GTTGCGATGCTACTGGAAAGGGATCGCCTCTATGCTGAATGTTGACAAATTCAGAAGCGTATACCCCGATCGAATTCTGGTTGAAATGGCTGCGCGATGACTTTGCCTATGTTCCCCAATGGGTAATGATTGACAACAGTGATACCGAAATCAGGGCTATTAGGAACGCATATGGTGGTGGTACTCAAATCAACATCTGTCAGTGGCATATCATTAGGAATTGGAAAAAAAGCCATTGTTAGCAAGGTTCACCCGGTCCAAGGCCAACGTCTGCCGTCTTCTGTGGTCTCTGCTCGTAGGCAAGAAGCCTTGGAATGTCTGATGAATTTAATGCATGCTGCTGATGAGGATTCTTTCGAAATGGCGTACGATGAATTGAACATTTGGTGCACGGATCAAGAAGATATATGGGACTGCGCAGATTTACTGGTATACTTTGATCGTGAGTATCTACAGAAGAAGAACGAATGGTCAAACGCTTTCCGACGTGTAAGTAGCTGAAAAGAAGGATGTATTGGGGATTTGTGAAAAAAGGGATAAGTGTACACTGTAGTGAGTGATGATGTATTGGAAAAAAAAAAAAAGAGAAGGGACAGCATGGTGAAAATCGGGGCATTAGATTAGAAATTTACTCTTAGATAGATACAAAAGTCATTTGTTGTTTTATTTTTAAAAAAAAAAAAATAAAAAACGTTTATTCCAAAATTTATCTTTATTTCACAGGGTCATCGTAACATTCACACCAACAACTATGCAGAATCCTGGCATAGAAATCTGAAGGGGACATATTTGAGATCATTGAAGAAAGAGCGAATTGATGTTTTGATTCATATTTTGTACAGTCAAGTTCTTAGAAGCTTAATTACTTCTCTTTTTTTTATTATTAGCATTCTTTTATTTCTTACAGTTCCATTTTTTTTTTTTTTACCGTGATGATCGTCTACAGCAGCAACAATATTCATATGAAGCATTACAATCATCAATTGATTACACCTGTTTACGTTCGCCGCGACTCTTTGGCAGCTGCAATCAATGTTTATGCTGCCGACTCTGCTGATGAAGATGAATATGATAACGGTACACCTAATGGAACACTGGATGACAGCACATTGGATGATGACAACCTAATGGAATTGACGGTATCAGCTGCAGTTGCTGATGGAAGGAACGAAGTCGCTGACTTCACCGCTTATGCTATTCACACCTTCAGTACCATGTAACGTCAAAGACAGGATATTGCATGTTTAACCGATATGACAGTGGAAGAAGCTCGTTAGAGAAGGAATATTCTTCGGTCATAAATAAACTTTTATGATGATGTTACAATACGACACACAAATCACTTCCGAAATATGAATACCCAATGATAACTTTATTAAATAAAATATATACCCTACGATATGATCGATGATTGATAATAAAGGAACACGGATGATATGTGATGATAGATAATCGATGATTGATGACACAGTACGTGACAATGGATAAAACAAAAAAGGGTAAACACCAAGCTCCACGGATAAACTAGTTATTACAATATAAATAAAATAAAAAAAAGGGTAAATGGTTACTGGTATTACTTGACTTTATATATAAAAAAAAAAAGTAGGCCCATTACCTTAAGGTCAACATGAGGTTCCCTTGTCATCGCCAACGTGAATAAAACAAAAAGAGGTATACCCCACGTTTAATAGATAAACTAGTTGCTATAATATGAATAAAGTAATAAAAAACAAAAGGTCAGTACTATTCTTCACAAACAAAAAAAAAGTAACGCCATTACCTTAAGGTCCATCGCAAGATCACGTCGTCATCATAATGGATAAAACAAAAAAAAAAAAAGGAAAACATCGAGTTGCATGCGTAGTATAATTGCTATAATATAAATAAAATAAAAGAAAGAAAAATATCAGCCGCATTTTTTCATTATATATAGATATATATATATATATAAATGAAAAGAAGAGTGAAAAAAATAAAAATAAAAAAAAAAAACGAAAAGAAAGTGAAAGGAGAAAAAAAAAAAAAGAGTAATAATGATTGGGAGAAACCCTTTTTGGGACGATCATCTGTGTTACATCTTTCATTTTCATAACAAAAGGTATCATTCATTATCAAAACCATCAACATTTATGACATAATTGCCTTATTTAGGTACAAAGATCCAACTACTGTCGGTGTTCGATCTTTACTGATAAAAAATGCAGCTCACCTTTTCTTTGTTTACATTTCTTTATTTCTTTACCTTTCATTGTTTACATTTCTTTATTTCTTTACTTTTTTATATTTACATTTCTTTATTTCTTTACTTTTTTTTTTCTCTTTCTCTTATTTTTCATACAAATGACGCGTATTAATGTGCTCAATTACACCAATCCAAGATATACAAAAGCAACCATACATCCAGCGGACAGAAGACGACCACCGACAAGTATACAACCAATCAACAAAGAAGAATGCTTGTTATACATAAAAAAGACCTTTCCAAAACGCCTTTCAAGAGAAATTTATTCAGCTGTTCAAAAAATGTCCAAATCATCCAGAAAACAACAACCTACAAAGGACCAAATCAAAACAAACTATGTGGCCAATGAACAAGCAAAATTACTTCGTCGAAAAGGGTTGACCAAAATATACAATGACACTGTCGATGAATGGAATGCTGGTAAGCTAATGAATAATGATACACAACTTGTACGATGATCATCGCTAATCCATCTTTTTTTTTTTTTTTTTTTTTTTTTTTTACAACATCATAGATCATCCCAACGATCAAATTAACAATGCGGTAGTTCGAAAGTGTGTGGACTCGGAGAGCATTGCATATCATCCTCTTTGGTTCGATTATATTCGAGAAAACATTGACCAGGTGATAGACGACCTTCTACATAAAAACAATCCTGAAGTAGCTGCGACCAGCACTGTGGCGAAAACAGAATATGTATACCGGACAACATCAACAACACTTAAGAAATGTCTTCGATCTGACCTAGAAGATAGCGAAAAGAAGATAATCATGGAAACCATCGAAATGGCAAGATTGAAAGTGACAACGGCTATGGCGGAGCTATCGACTATAGTAAAGCTGGACATGGAGAAAAGAACAACGTAAGTGAAATTCACATGCCAAGAAATCATTCTTTTTATTCATTCATCTCTTCCTCCTGTTAGTGGCGCTGCTGTCAATTTAGAATCTATTTTTCCTGTACAATCGCAAGAAACAGACGACCACCTCTTTCTTTCACCGCCATCACCAAGTGTAAAGAAGGGGATGACTACACATACCTATGACAGTGCGGAAAAACGAAGAATATTCGACCTCTACTCAGATCAACATATCATGCACATATATTCCTTACTTAATCAACAACATCAACCATCATCATCATCATCATCATCATCATCATCATCATCATCATCATCATCATCATCATCATCATCATCAAATATGGATGTGTGGAGTATCGACAATGAAATTCTTCGAAAAAATACATCAAAGTATCCTCCTGGCATACAGACGCTTCTGTCCCCGCTTATCAAACAATTCGCTACAAACATTTCAAATATATACCAAGGAAATACTGTATCATATCTTCTGGATAAAGCATTGCTTGCACTTTTTCGATGTAATCTTGCTCCAAAGCGACAGCAACAACAAAGAGACAAAATAAAAAAGCAACAGTAAGGATACAATAATGATAATAATAAAAAGAGAATGAATAAAAAAAAAAAAAAGATCACTGACATTTGATTTTTTATTAGGAAGTACAAGACGCAACAACAACAACATCAAATAATTGACAATAACGACAAAAAAATAATAACATTATCATTAATGAAATTTAGAAAAAAAAGACATCAAAGAAGAATTGATCGTTTGCAAAACAGTAACAAAATTCAAAATATAAATAAGGAGAAAGCTTACGTGGAGCGATTCAAGGCGATGATTGCAACGAAGATAGCATCTATGAAAAATGCAACGGAAACAAAAGACTCTGCCCAAGTTCCAATCAGCGACGATACTGATGTTGATGATGATGATAATGACTATGACGACGATGAGGATGAAGTGGACGTTGATGATAGCGCAAGTCCTGCTCCTACTACTGAAATTGAACCCTCCAACAAGCGTCTGAAGAAAATGGTGTCATTCGTAAAACGACTTCTTTTTTATCATCCTATAGAACCTGATTGTTCCATTGAAGAATTACAAGCCCATATTTCCCATCTTGATATTACCATTCATGAAGGCACTATTATCCAACGTATCTACAAGTTTCTCTCGCCATATGTGTTACCATCTGTGAATGACAAAGAAGTCGATCTCCACCCACTTCTCAATTACCCAATTGTCATGTTATGCAATTACATCCTGACGAAAACTGGATACTCAAGATTTACTCGAAAGTCTCTTCCAACAATCAAGTCATCTTCTATTTCTCCGCTAATACTTGATTCTTCCTCTATCTACAATCTTTTTTGTGGTCTAAAATTTCGGGCGGGCGGACAACAACGTGGTAGCGATGATCCTGAACCTTTCCATCGGTATGGCTTTGATGTTGGGCTAGGCAATGGGCAAACCATCACGAACAGTGAAATAGCACGTAAACATCCAGACGAAATGTTCGGGGCATTCTTCAAAACTGAATACATGGAAGCGCTGTGTCACTCAATGAACCTTCAATTCGACCACCGTATAATAATCACCAATTATGATGTAGTCCATTTACAAGGGAAACGACAAGCAACTACCGATGATGAAAAAGGGAAAACGACGAAATCAAAGCCGAATGCCAGAAAAAGAAAAAGAGATGAGGACATTGATCTCAACAGTCAAATTGGAATTTTGGATAAACAGCTATTGGATCTTGGCAAGGAAATTAGTCGGTTAAATAATGAATCTTCGATACTATACCAAGAAATCAAAATGGCCACAAGAAAAATAGAAGTTCATCATCCAACTGAAATCAAAAAAAAGCTTGTGGACACTAGACAAGAATTAAAAAAAAATCGAAATACCATTTTGCGTCAATTGGTGCTAGTCAAGAACAAAAGTTTGGATATACGAAACGAAAAAGCAGCTGTCTACAACGCATATTACGGTGATAACATTAATCAAGAAGACGATTCTGTTTCTGCTTCTAATACTTCTTTGACTCCGTTGGCGACTACTGGTGATAATCAAAGTTCTAATCAGTATGCGTATATTGGATGTGATCCTGGTCTCGTCACTATGCTACAAACAGCTAAAGTTACTCCAAGAAAGCTTGCCTTCCATTTGGCCTTATCAAATCGCTTTGAAAAATTACAAGATCTTGAGGAATCTATAGCTACGCAAGATTTGAAAAAAGAAATATTGAAGACTGCATCCATCCCAATCAAGGCTTCTCAAATAAACGCAATGTCCCACAACAAGAGACTACAAAAGGAACTCAACATTAGAAAGAAGAAATACGAGGCGGCCGTAAGTCTCCAAAAAAAAAAAAAAAAAAAAATAGAAGAAGGCTCACCTTTTTTTTTTTTTTTTTTTTTTTTTAGATTGCAACGGAAGATCAAGAAAAATTAACTCAATTTTATATCAAGGATAAATGGACCAAAAGAATGAAAAGACGACGCAAAATTTTCAAAGAAAGTGCTTACGCAAAGGTGGCTAATCAAAACCGATGGCTTCACGATCCTAATGGCGATACCAAACTGGTCTATTTCTACGGTGATTCTGGTAGAAGTACGGGCTTAAGAATAGGTGGACATCTTCGTCGCGGTCATAAGGATCTGATCAAATGCATCACTCAAAATTCCATTGTCGCTACCACTCCTGAATATCGAACATCGAAGTTGTGCTGTTTCTGCAATCAACCAACAATACATCCAATGAAACGCAATAAAGATCAAAAACCACGACGAAACCTTGGAACTGTTATTTGTACAAATCCTGATTGTTATGCAAGAAAAAATGGTTATGCTTCCTTTTCACGCGATGCTAATGCTTGTGTCAACATGGTTGTAGTTGGATTCTCACAAATGTGCAATCAAGTATCACCTCCTGCCTTCCAACAATCAAAAACAAAAATAGAGTCAAATAGCAAAAATATTTTGAACCTATTGGAATCTTTGCATCCTGATTTGTTTGGTGATGATTCTATCTTAACTTTGAATTAAACACTATTGGGTAAGAAAACAATACAAATTCGATTGTCAACGCCTATTCATCTATTTTTATTTTTTTATATATTTCCACCTCAAGTATTAATATGATTGTCAAAAAAATATCTCTCGATATCGAAACCTTGAAATAATTACACGCTACCCATTCTGGATTGATTGAGGTGGCGCGTGCATACTTTGATATGCTGGCAAATTTTGTAAGTAATCAAACGGAATTGGAATTTAACGATCATGGCTAATCAATTCTCTTCGAAATTGTACCCCAAAATTCAAGTTTTGCCCTCCTTGAAGAAGACAATCCATCAGAAAACTTACTATGACGTCTAGTGGACTCCTATACAATTTCTAGCCTAGATATGCATTCTAGGACCTCTAGGACCCCCCCCTAAATAGATAGGATAGAAATTATAAAAATATTTTGACTTCAATAAATCTATGACAAAAATATACTAAATCTAGGTAGGACATATTAAGGCTGAAATATAGGTTTGGTCGACCTCCAGAACAAGGACTTTCATTTGATCAGTACAAATATACTATTGAAATCATAATTTTATTTCATCACTACAAATATTCTATACTACATAACTATACTACATAACTATAATAATAAGTAACTACACTATAATCGATAATATCCATGAACACACGACCAGAATCACAACTAATGCCATCACCAGGACAACGATCATGACTTGCACTTTGGGTAGGACTATTTTATTTGATACAGACACTTCAATTGGATAACAGAGCCATTCCAACGTAGAAGGCATCCGATCTTGGCTTTGTTGTATGGTTTGCAATCTACAGATGAAATTAACAAAGTGCATAGTAATCCATCAATGCTCTCTTTTCTTTTTTTTTCTTTTCTATATAAATGTTACCTTGGCTATATCATTGAATGTTTGCATCACCATTATTATATAGACGATAATCTAGCAAGCTACAGATAAAATCAACAAAATGAGTAGTAATCCATCAATGTTTATTTCTTTTTCTTTTCTTTTTTCTACATAAATGTTACCTTGGCTATATCATTGGATGCTTGTATCACCATTATTATATAGACGATAATTTAGCAAGCTATAAATAAAATCACCAAAATGAGTAGTAATCCATCAATGTTTATTTCTTTTTCTTTTTCTTTTTTCTATGTACAAGTTACCTTGGCTGCACCATCGAACGTTTTGTACCACCAGTAAACCCAGTGTCATCATAACAGTTGGCTCGGAGAGAAATAAAGGATAGCCAAATGCAGATATCAGACAATTTCAGATCATCAAGAAAGATAGTTGTATCGTCTTACGTATAGCGCTCCACTATCAGTCATTGATATGATCCTCAATGATCTTTCCAAACCAAATACCGCAAATGTCAGGACTTAACAAGGACTCCAGGAAGAAACAACACGATCAACAGACAATAACTGAATTTCCTACGTGTTGCATTTTGCCCTCCACCTACTTGAGCACAAAATTCAGTCACTAGATTCATAAACGACTCTAGAGACTGATCATCCTCGACCAAGTCCATTGCCCGTAAACAAACAAAGATCAATGCACCATGATCTTCGTCTGACCAAAAGCTAAGTATAAAGTAATGATGACCATCCGACAGTTGACTTATAGACCACTATTCTGATACCTAACAGATAACAAAGAATCAACAAAATGAGTAGTAATCCATCGATGTTATTCATTTTTTTTCTTCTTTTACATATACATATTACCTTGGATCATGCGCCAGTGTCAATGTATCAATAACAATACAATAAAAAGAAGGATCTAAAAAAAAAGAAAGAAGCAAGTGATTGTATGTAATATCGGTTGATCCTCTTTTTTTTTTTTTTGTACAACTTACTAGTTCGGCTCTACAGACGACAATCTTAATATCTACAGATACAAAAAGCAAAAGAGAGAAAGAGTCCAACCAAATAGCAAAGAGATATTGAAGAGAACATCACCACAATGAGCGACAGATGGGAGGGAGAGAGAGAGAGTCCAAACAAGTAGAAAAGAAATTTTGAAATATCATAAGGAAGACTAACCAAGCAGTAAAAAGGACCTTCAAAAGTACTTGTGCATAATTGAATTGCATTGGCTGTGCAATGGAATCCGAAGAAAGAGAGAGCCCAACCAAGAAGAGGTCTTGAAATTGTAGACACTAGAATGAATTAACTATAAAACAAGTAACTAATTGTATTTTATACTATTTTTTATTTTATTATTATTATTTTATTTATTTCTTTAAATTGACAATAATAAAATAAGAATCCATTACTTGTCATTGTATTTTATATGTTACCTATCATGAGCCAATATGGAGACACGAACAAAGTGCGCAGGAGTAAAAAAAAAAAAAAAGAGTGTAGAGGAAAGGAAAGAGAAGGTAGAAAAAGAAAATTGTTAGGAAACGAAATAAATAAAAATGCAACGAAAAGTCCGACTAGGTAAAGGCGATGTGCCAAAGTAATATATAATAGAGAGAAAGAATATGTTGTAATGTACTAATGAGAATAAAGTATTTACAAAGAAGTAAGGTTAGTTTTTAATATTAAAGAAAAAGTGATAAAAAATATATGAAAAAGAGAACGACTTCATAATATATTTCTTTTTTTCATATCATTTAATTTATTTAAGGAACACAGGCACATAAACAGTTGTCTGAAAGGAAATGATAGATAACATTAAAAAAAAAGTGATGATTGTAAATAGTGACAATGAATATAATTTTATTAAACAAAAAGAATGTAAATGTGTATAATTGTATACTAAGTGTGATAGTAAAAGGAATCACTAACGCTTTAAGCCAGAATAAGATAAAAAGACCAAGAAGATATCTCTAATTGATTGTAAGTCGAATCCAATTGAATCCTATAATACATCCTGTTCATCCATTTCGCTGATCCAGACAGATAGCTACTTCTCGTAGTATCCTATTGACATGAAACTATAATGATCAATCTTCGTGTATCTAGATTTCTTTCTTTCTGACAGACGTACATTCAGTAATAATCATTATCCAGGATACCAAGTAAGAAGGATGAGAAGAAGAAAGAACGATAATCCGAGAAGGACAGATGTTGTAGTAAAAACATCAAGGTCGAAAGAACGTGTATAAAAGAAAAAAGAAGAAAAGTAAAGTTAGAAATAAGAAGAGGAAAGGACTTGTTTTTGAAACTTACAATTAATAAGAGTGAGTGTCTGTAAAAGCACATAGAGAAAAGGATATAGCAAAGAGGTTGGAATGATTCGTGTATAAAAAGAAGAAAAGGTTAGAGAACAACTGTATCATTATCTTTTTTTTGTTTGTCTTACTTTAATCGTCATATTTGTATTTAGAGTATAGATTCAAATAAAAAAAAAAAAGAGATCAGTGTCATATAACGTTGGTGGCATAATGAAATGGATTTACCTTATTAAACATGAGTAATACAGCATATAACAGGTTAAAAGTACTTGTGTTCACTTGTTTTAACTAAAAGGTATAAACACACAGCAAACAAGAATGATTCAGTCAGTTCATGAATACAATGAATATATGTATAAACAATCGTTTATTATTATTGTTTCCATACCTTACTTTGATTTGTCTTAAAAGGTAAACGTATAACAAAAAGAAGAAGAAAAAAGAACAATAATGTGATAAAAATAAAAATAAGAAGAAGAAGAAGAAGAGTAAAAATAAACAAACGTCCTTTTTTTATTTGGCAATGCATAATTTTCGCTCAGCGAGCCTGTGGGCAAAATATGCTCCTTCCAAATTAGGACTGGAATATCCAATTTCTATTCAACTCTACATAGAAACCCTAAATTCTACCTAGAAAACCAATTTTTATTCAACTCTATATAGAAGTCCTAAATTCTACCTATTTGACCTAATAATTATGTTTATTACAAAAAAAAAGGTAAATCTACCTATTATATGCTTTCTAGCCTAGATAGGAGAAAAGCGATCTGTGATGTCCATTTGAGATAATAATAAAGAAAAAGTTTTTATTGAATAAAAAACAAATATGATAACAAAACACTAATGATAAAAAAGAGATACTATATGTTGTTGTTGTTGTTGTTGATTTAAGCAGAAGCAGACTTTTGCATGGAGGAAGTACGGCGGCGTTCCAACTTCTTTTCCTTGGTTTCCTTGACACGCTTGGCGAGCAATTGCTTGTATTCGGCTTCGGCTTCCTTGGAGGCTTCACATCGTCTACGCTTGATGGCACGACGATGACGCTTACGTTGCAAAGTAGCAGGAGTGACCAAACGTTGAATCTTGGGAGCCTTGGTGAAAGGCTTCTTTTCAGGGTTCTTGGGTTGGATTTCACGACGGATCACATACTTGCGAACATCATCAGCATAAGACAAGTTGAAGAACTTACGGATCTTGGATGCACGCTTGGGACCAAGACGCTTGGGAACGGCAGTATCAGTCAAACCAGGAATATCTTGTTCACCTTGCTTGACAACCACGAGGGAGAGGACAGACAAGTCAGAAGAAACAATACAACCACGGACAGACTTTCTCTTGCGTTCACCAGTACGACGAGGACGGTAACAAGAGTGACCCTTGGACAACAACAAACGGACACGATGAGGCAACAAAACACCTTGCTTCATGGGGAAACCTTGCTTGTCATTACCACCAGAGATACGGAAGACGTAACCCTTGAATTCATCACCAAGAGCATCACCAGATACTTCTTGAGACATACGCTTATCGTAGAAACCACGACTAAGAGAGAGAGAAAAAAAAAAGATCAATCAACGTCAGTATATATATATATATATATTCAATGATCAGTTGTTCGTAATAGGGTGATATATCAAGGTTGTAGCGACAATAAATCATGAAAAAGGTGAAATCCAAATATAAAGTTGTCAAAAGTTCTCCGGTCGTATTCCCCTTCTCTTTTTTTTTTTGTAACGAAAATATTCCATAGTTCGTCGTGTTGATACTTCAAATCAAATGATGTTATTCAACGAAATAGTGCGTCGTCGCAAATGGATGATTACATTTGGTGTTATTGTTGTCGTCATTGCCGTTTTCATAATCATACGATATATCACCCTATCATTTGACTTGTATGCAAAACAAAATAAAAAGTGGTTTTACTTACAGGCGACGTTCATCGTCGATTTCAATCAACTTTTGGCAGCCGGTAGCCGGGTTGGCGATGTTAAGCTAGAGTAAATAAATATAAATTGATAGACCGTGAGTAACAAAGTTCTAAAATTCGCATTCAAAAAGAAGTGGACATCAATAGCATCAGTACCAAAGGGATTAACTAATCTTTTATCCATCCATCCATCCATCCATCCATTCATTCATTCATTCATTCATCTATCTATTAAATTGATATATCGATCGTATTTGTGCTATTGATATCCACTAGGTACTTATTAATCGGTTGTATTCATTACCTTCATATTGCTGCAGTGGAAAAAGAGATGGATTAATGGTTTTGCGGTTGGGCTTGTTTTTTTGAAATCCACCCAAAAAAAGTGGTTGGCTCGAGAGATTCAATTTCCGCCTTTGCTTTTTCAATAGAAAAAAAGATTTCTTTTTTAGAGTTTTCTCTTTTTTTTTTTTTCTTCCATACATAATAAATATATACCTTTGTCCAAATGGAAAAAAGTAAGTGAATAAAATAATAAGGCAAAAGAAAAAAAAAAGCATTTAATCATTGATATGAACTTTAATTGAATTGCTCTTTTGTTTTTTTCTCTTCCAAATAGAAGCTGACCTCTATACATTTTTGACAGGCAAAAGCAAAGATGCATTGGGAAATATTGTAAGTTCAGAGATTCTCCTATTCCTTGATCTATGTTACAACCTTTGACTTAGTTTGTTTATTTTTTTTTATTTCATTTTATTTTATGATAGAGTGGTGTAAAGTCTGTAGTCAAAGAATTCATTGTTGGTAGCTCAACACCAGCTTCAATACTAAAGGACATGCGACCAGTTTACCTGGACGGAGCGAATCTTGTCAAACCAAAGGAGAAACCAAAACGAAAAGCCAAAAACCGACCTCTCAATGCGCGTGAACGACGACAATTGAAAGTATATGATATTGATAAGACATATATCAAGTATGATCTATTCCTTCCTCTTCATCAGCTATGGCAAGGTTATATGAAAGATGTATGGGAATCTAGTCGTGGTGGAACCGAATCTCAAGCTGTTCAACAATTTGCCCAAAGACTTCTAAGAGCGGATTTACATGGATCTATTCTGACAGGTAAAGTGTAATTGATGTTTTTGGATATATATATATATATATATATATATATATAATTCCTCATTTCTTTTTTTTTTTTTTTTATGTAGTGACGAAAAGCAAAAATCCATTATTTATTGGCACCACTGGTATCATGATACAAGAAACTATGAACGTGTTTTCCATCGTAACAAAGGATAATAAACTGAAAAGTAAGTCAATGGAAAAAAAAAAAATTCAAATGTATGGAAACGGATCAATATTGAAGATAGAACTCTTTTTATTGAATTACTATAGAAGTACCAAAGGCTGGAACTATCTTTCTTCTCAAGACGGATGCTTGCAAGCAGTCATTCACTTTATATGGACAGCAATTACAATTTAGAGCTGCAGAAAGAGCTGCGAAGAAATTCAAGGTTAAATCAAGCATTGATTTATAGTTTAGATAAAGTTTGCATTTTGTATTATATTCATTTCGTTGCAATAAAAAGTCGTATATACTTTTCAATATCATATCTATACTTTTATTGTATCATACTGAATATTTATTTTATAGTATCATCATAATAAAAAAAAAAAAAGTCCTCAGTAATTGACATCTATGATTATCGTCTTTGATATTATTATTACGGTCGTCAATCTGTCAATAATCAGCAAGTAATGGTTAAAAAAATATATATTTATATTGATATTATGTTCTAATACATTTCTCCATATGATTATCCATCAAGGAATATACAAATAGACAAAAAAAAAAAGGATTGACATAGCATAACAATATATATAAACAAAACAACAAGAATAAAATCTATACTAAACGTTCAATATAACTTTGAATCATACCAATAGGGGATGCTTCATATTCCTTTAAGATAACTTGACCATCATCATCAATAAAGGTGTTTCCTTGGACAAAGACCTTGCGAGGTTGCTTGTTTCGAATCACAGTATCACGCATGCTTACCCAATCATCAGGTACACTAGTGGTTTCCAAATATAACTTGCTTCCATTCTCTACGTCTGCCGTTGCCTTGTATACTTGAAGTTTTTCCAAAAAGGTAGCAACAGCTGGTCGTCCAATAGAACGAATCTTTGATCTATCCAATCGAATTTCTAGGGTATCAATACCTTCATCGTCCTTTGTCTTGTTGATAGATAAGAAATTATCACCAGCTTGCATCATGATTCTAGTAATAGCGTAACGAGCTTGCATATGAGCTTGACCCCACTGTATATCATAAAAAAAAAAAAAAAAAAAGAATAAATATGAATGATTCTTCTCAACAAAACATTCTGCTACTTCCTTTTTTTTTTTGTTTGTTTGTTTGTTTACCTTCTTTGCTATAGGATCATAATATTCAAGAGCTGCCAGACCAGCACGAGCCATATTAAGATACATCACATAAAGTATATCTTCAGCCATTTGACCTTCGTATCCAAAAATTTTCAAGATATCATCATCAGGTGAAAGAGTCAATGCAATACATTCAGCACGACATTCTTCATAACTAGAAGCAATACCACCAAATACAGAACTAAAGGTTTGTCCAGGTTTGTACCATGAGCTAAGAGGTTGTTGGGTGAATGGATGAATCACCTTATCTTGATCAAAGTCGAATTTTCCATCTGTATCTTCATTGAATAGTTTGCCAGTACCGTGCCCCAATTCATGAGTTCCTACTTGTACTTCAAATGCCGGATTTCGAAGTTTTTTGTACAAGTCTAGATCTTCCGCAACAATAAAAGGGAATTTTTCACCAGGTGAGGATGCTGAGATCACATTTCCAAGAGATACATTTTTGGAGCCGAGCTTTTGTGTTACTTGTGTGTAATTTGGAATATTGATACCAGCAGGAATACCACAAGTAGCAAAAGAAAGTACTTCTAAAGAGGTAAAATCAGGTTTGTTGATGGTGTCTCGTTCAAATGTATCAGGCCAAGGTAATCGAGATACAAATAGAGGAGCTTGTTGGACCAAGTTGTTGAATTTTTCAGTTTGTTCTTTGTTCACCATAGCCACAAATCCTTCCCATTCAGCCCGAACACCTTGAGGGTCACGATAAGTTTCAATAAAACCTAAAAAAAAAAAAAAAAAAATCAATATAGATATATTACAAGAACCATATTTTTCATATTCTTTTATCTTTACCAATATTCGTTTCTACAAGTGGACCAATATCTCGTAGCCAGTGTCGTTGAGATTCCATATGATCCTCAATGGATCCAGTCTTGAATGAATCGTAATAAGAGTTGAGCATGTTCCTTTGATTGTCATTGGCAGCCACCGGAATAGAAGATTGAATATTTTCAGCGACTTTGGTCATTTGCTCGTGGAAATCACCATACTTCAATGTTAATGGAGTACCATTTTCCAATATATGAGTTTCAGACTTGAAATCAGAAGAAGCGATAGCCAAGTCATAACCATTGTCAGTTTTGAATAATCTAACATAAAATTAATTATTAATAAAACATTATTTTTCTTCATCCACAATAATACCTTGTATTCAAAGGATCAATATTGATTTTTTCCAAATAAGTTTGTACAGCTTTGATATCATCTTTTGTGATGTTGTCAGAATAATAACCAGAAAGTTGTCCATCGTCAGGGTAACCAAGCAAATTGCGAGTAACAGGTTCCACGTTGTAAATTTCGTCCTTAGCTTGATTGAAAAGAGATAATGCTTCTTCTTTGAGTTCACTTGCAGCCACTACCTTTTCGAAATCCTTGACAGAAATACGAGGGATAAACTTTTCGTCACCAAAAGATTTATAATTGCTTAGGTTACCCAAAAACTGACCAGAGTATTGAAGTAGATCTTCAAAAGTTTCAGGAGATACTTCACTAATAATATTCACCAAAAAAAAAAAAGAAAGAAAATATGAACGAAATGAAGTACTATTATTATTTTGTTTATGATTTTTACCTTCTTTGTTGGAGAGCTTGAATATCCGTCAATTGACCTTGTTTGTTTGAGAATATTTTGAGAATCAAATCATAGATAGTTTCGGCTCGAGGATTAGTTTGAGTAATAATAATACGAGTTCCTTCAAAAGCAGCACGCGACATGTGGTGAGCATAAGTCTTTTGTATATTGTCCAAAGAGTTAAAAAAAGGTTTGGCTTCAAGAATTGAAAAAGGAGCCTTCAAATCCGCCAAATAACGAAAAGTAGCAGTAGACATTGATTTATATAATAATATTTTGCTCGTTTGATGACGAGACTTGATGCTGGATAAAATAGAAGAAAGAATGTTGAAAAAGAAAAAGAAAAAGGAGGGAAACACACAAAAATAAATATTAAAAAAAAAAAAAAAAGAAAAAAAAAAATAGAATAATCCGGAAGAAGTAATCTTTGGCTTTTTTAGGCACTGAAAAAAAAAAATCGGTTTTCGGAATTGATTTCCCGTCAAAAACCAATAATAATAATTAAAAACCTATGATTATACCCAATCAAATGAGCGCATATATCGAAACAAAAAAGGGCACTTGTAAAACAGGTACAACCAATTTGATGATTTTGTCATATGACTATTTTCTTTTTTAGCATAAAAAGTGATATTACAAAGCAAAGAAAAAAAAAGAAAAGATGCGTCATTCAGGAACAATTTTTTAAATGCTGTGAATGAATTTCATGTTGTGCACAAATTTTTGCATTAGTTTTTGTTACTATTATTTCAAATAAAACTTGTCATATGGTTTTAATGATATATATATTGATCTTAAGATTCTACACGTATATCATTCTGACCCATTCTGTGTTTGAAAAAAAAAAAAAAAAGAGAAAATCGATTATTATTACCATGTTAATCATCAAATATATAAATTTTATTTGCATATTTATAATATAATAGGTAAGAACTCATTATTAACCAATTCATGATGCATTGTTACATGTTGATCATGATATCTAAAGAAACTACAAAAGAAAAGAAAAGAAAAAAAATGGCGAGTGGATAGAGCAAAAGGGAGACATTACAAAAAAAAAAAAAAAAAAGGCTTCTTCTATCTATCACCTTTGAACCTCACAAATCTCGTATAGATATCATCATTCATTATAATCATCTAGAATCCTTTCTTAACGCGGTATATTCAGAGGAGCTAGAAAAAAAAAGTTGACATTAGCGACAAACACGGGTGGTCGGAATCCAAATATAAACTGTAAAGCGCACACACACACACACAGAAATAAAAAAAAAAAAAAGGAGAAAAGCGGGAGAACCTGCCCTTTTTCTTCCTCCTTTTTTGTTCAAACCAGTTACTTTTTTTTTATATTTTTTTTGGAAACAACTATCCTTGATAAAATGGAGGTATGTGCGTTACGAAATAAAATATTCATTAAACAGAAAAAAAAAAAAAGAGGGCTTGGAATGGTAAAAATGAACTAAGGGGCTTCTTTATTATTATTATTATTGAAAACTAGGATGTTCATAGTCAAGTCAAAGAACTTCAAGCAAAAATACAACATAATACACAACTTTTAGAAAAGGCCATTCAACTACGTTCCATGCTTACTGACCAAAATGCCCAACAACAGTGTGATACTCAAATTAAAGAAGCTCAACGTTATATCGACTATTTTACCAACGAACTACAAAAATTACAACACAAAATTACTCGTTCTTCCACTCAATCAAGCGTGTCAAGTCAAGTTCCTCCTACTTCTGATGACGCCAATGATATGTCATCTCAAGAAAATTATCAATGGTTGTCTATGCCTTCTGAAACTGGTTCTTCTTCAACTACTTCTCCTATTACTCCTTCACCTACTTTGACACAATCTCCCAACTCGGCTTTCTTTCCTTCATTGGATGGTTTGGTAGGTGAAACGAACAACAACAACAACAACAACAACAACAGTACCGACAACACCTCTGTGTTACTCGACTCATCCCTTTCAGTCAATGATAGTCATTATAGAAAGAAATACACCAATTTAGGTAAGAAGTATAACATATTTTTTTTTTATTTCTTCTCTTTTCCCTGTTACACTCACAACCTTCTTTTTTATTATTATTGTTATTATATAAGATTTATTAAAGGCTGATACGCCTATCAACCGTGCAAAAGTATCACTCAAGTTACACGATTTGGAATATAAAGTGGATGTGGAAAAGAAAGTACAAATGGGAATTAAAAACTTATCACAAACGTATAACCCTCATTCATCAGCTACCACCGAACGAAGGATTAAATCTGAAATTCAAGAAAAACAAGCCGAAAGCAATGAAAAAATGTCCCTACTTACAACCGCGGTTAGGAAATACAAAGATCTTTATCTTGGTGAAGAAGAAGATGTAGATAGTACTGATGATATCAAAAGTATGACCGCCGAAGAAATCTTAGGTAAAGAAAAAAAAGAACGATGTATCTGGAACAACTTTATTTATTTTATTTTTTTTTTTTTATACATGCAGAAAATGGATCGAATAGTAGAGCTCCTGCTGGGATGCGACGACCAGTCACTGGAAAATTACAACTCAAAATTATTGAAGCCAAAGATTTAGCACATGCACCAACAAGGATGTTCCGTATTCGACAAACTGTGGTCATGGTGAAAATAGACGGCAGCACGCAGTGTCGTACACGTAGCTCAAAAGTAGATAAGTGGACGGACGCATTCGAAATGCATGTGGACAAGGCAACAGAATTGGAACTTTTGGTATACGATCAATCTGGTGAACGCACACTTCCTATTGGTTTACTTTGGCTCAAAATATCTGATATTACTGAAAGCTTACGAAAACAAAAAGTGGATCAAGATCAACAAGATACCAACTGGGTTTCTGCAGATGTGGCCCAACAACATCGAGATCCTACTTGTTCTATCGCAGTCGATTCAACTTTATCAGTGGATAAATCCAATAACAACAACAATAACAGCAGCAACAACAACAACAACAATAGCGACCATCTCCCAAATAACTCTTTGAAAAACAGTGACATGACACTTCAACCTTCTTCAGATGGAATACATGCTTGGTTTGATGTTGAACCTGTGGGAAGAATATATCTTCATATCAACTTTGGTAAGGAATGACGGAAAACATGTATTGGAGATTATTGGACTTATCTATTTTTTTTTTTTTTTGTAGTACGAGAAGCTGGTAATCGACGACCTATGGATAAACTTGGAAGAGCTGGTGCTGTACGTGAACGAAAAGGCGAAGTGCATGAACTGAATGGCCACCAATTTGTGACAAGAAGATTTTATCATATTATGAAATGTGCTTTATGTGGTGACTTTATGACGAATTTGACATATCAATGCGAAGGTAAAAACATAAAATGAAATGTTGAAAATGATGAATCTAATTTATGAATTATATATTATGGTAGATTGTGGAATGGCATGTCACAAGAAATGTTTTGCAAATGTTGTCACCAAGTGTGTATCTCGAAAACAATCTGCTAGTGTAAGTCAAAAGAATTTTGATCCTACGAAATCATTGTGAAATCAATCTAAATTCAACTTTTTTTTTTTTTGTCTCTTCTTACAACAGCAAGATGATGCAGATGCTCTTCGGCATCGGATCCCACATAGATTTGAATGGCTTACAATTATTGGTGCTCATTGGTGTTGTCACTGTGGCTCGATGTTATCTTTGGGTTTCCGTGGCGCTCAAAAATGTTGTGGTAAGCACAAAATTGAAATAAATAATTGATCCTGATCCCTTTTCTTTTTTGGTATGATTATGTAGAATGCGATATTGTTTGCCATACAAGATGTGCTCATCTTATTCCAGACTTTTGTGGTATGACTATGGAAACAGCTAACCTTATGCTTAGTGAGATGCGAGCAGCCAATAATCGGCGTAGTCAACTTATTGATTTACCAAGGAACAGTACTACCGTGTCAGGTCAACTTCAGATACAAGGTCAACCAATACGCGAGGATAGTTTTTACAATAATTCACTAGCTTCCGTTGGAGAAGTATCATTACCAACTTCATTATCTGCCATGCCTCCTCGGTCAAATACAGCTCAAGGTCGACCCTTTTCTGCTACTTTTGATTCTAGCTCGTACCAATCCATCTCTGCTTTATTTGGCAATTCTGAAGCATCTCTCAACAAACGTTTCTCTCAACCACTAGTGGCAAGAAAGGTAAAAGGATGACATGATAACATCTTGCTTCTTAGTCTTGATCAACTATGACTAACTTTATATATGTATATATATATATATTATAGACAACCCCGGTACAACTTAGTCGTAGAGTGGGATTGGATGATTTCAATCTTCTTGCTGTTTTGGGAAAAGGCAACTTTGGAAAGGTAAAGGAACAAGACGAACAAGAAAAAAAAAAGGTTTAATTGTGAATGAATCTCAACATTACATTCTTTTTTTTTTTTTTTTTTTTTTTGATAATCAACAATAGGTGATGCTAGCAGAAGAAAAATACACCAATGAACTTTATGCTATAAAGGTCCTGAAGAAAAGATTCGTCCTTGACAATGATGAAGTAGACAGGTATATATTAATATGAAAAGAAAGAAATATATTTAATTTGCAAATATTATCATAGTACTCGATCAGAAAAACGTGTATTTTTGGTGGCCAATCAAGAACGACATCCATTCCTTGTAAGTTTACATTCTACTTTCCAAACCGAAACAAGAATATATTTTGTGATGGAATATATTAGTGGTGGAGATCTTATGATGCATATTCAGCGTGAACAATTCTCTGAAAAGCGCGCAAGGTAAGAGCGAAAAAAAAAAGAAGGAAGGAAAGGATCTTACGATGATTTCGTTGTAGATTTTATGCTTGTGAAGTACTTTTGGCTTTGGAACACTTCCACAAACATGGTATTATCTATCGTGATCTCAAACTGGACAACATCATGCTTTGCTTGGATGGTCATATCAAACTGGCAGATTATGGTCTTTGTAAAGAAAACATTTTCCATAATAACACAACAAACACATTCTGTGGAACTCCTGAATTCATGGCACCTGAAATTTTACTGGAACAAAGATATGGCAGGGCAGTGGATTGGTGGGCCTTTGGTGTGTTGATCTATGAAATGCTCCTGGGACAAGTAAGAAATAACAAAAAAAAAAAAAAAAAAAAAATTCGCACGCATCTCTCATCTTCTTTTTTATTATCATCATTATTATCTATTTATTTATTTAGTCTCCATTCAAAGGTGAAGATGAAGATGAAATCTTCGATGCTGTGTTAGAAGATGAAATCCTATATCCCATTACCATGTCAAGAAACTGTGTATCTATTTGTCAAAAGGTAAAGAGAAAGGACCAAACGAAATGAATCCTATATAACCATTGTAACATGTGTTTTTTCTATTATTACTATTATTATTTTAGCTTCTGGAACGAAATCCTGCTCGACGACTAGGATCAAGTAAATCAGATGGACATGAAGTACGACAACATGTTTTCTTTTCTGGGATCAACTGGGACGATGTACTTGCAAAGAAGGTTCCTCCACCCTTTTTACCGACTGTAGCTGGCCGTGCTGATACTTCCAACTTTGATGAAGAATTTACTCGTGAAATACCCATTTTGACTCCTGTCAACGCTATGCTCACTCAACTAGAACAACAAGAGTTCACAGGTTTCTCATATGTTGCCAATTGGGCTATTGATTCTTAGTTATTATATCCATAGTTTATTTACTGTTTTTTTTAGTATATTCCTCCAATACCTTTACAAACATACATGCATACACACACTCATATATCATCATCATCATCATCATTTATTATTATCTTGTCATCTATTCATATCTATATATTTCTATATATAAGAATCATTTGATACACTTTAATAAAGGCATTCAGTACTGAACAGATATAGTGGAAATACAATCATCATGCAAACAAATAAACGTATCATCACCCATAACATATAAATTATCATTTATCGATGTACAACATCTAATCATATACCACACAAACACACACACACAGAGAAAGAGAGAGAGAGAGAAAAGATACATACAAAAAAAAAAAAACAAAGATAGGTTCAAAACAGTCCTTTGTGATTTATTCAATAACAAGCATCAATTAATAAACACATAAAAAGACAAAAGAAGAATAAAGATGTATTGAAAACAACAGTTGTAATTGGATCGAAGAGATAAGATGTCTATTTCTTGCCACCGCTGGCAGCAGCCTTCTTGGTACCACGGAACTTCTTGGCACGGTTCTTCTTTTCCTTGCGTTGCTTGCGACCACCCTTTGGAGCTTCAGCCAAACCAATCTATAGATAATAATAGTTTAAGTCATCCACTATTTTTTTTTATTTATTTATTCCAAACTTACACGAACGAGACGGTACTTGGGTTCAAACTTCTTCAAAGCTTCAACAGAATCGTAGATCAAACCAAAACCAGTAGTACGACCACCACCAAAATGAGTCTTGAAACCAAAGACAGAGACAACTTCCTTGTCAGTCTTGTACATCTTGGCAAGCTTTTCACGGAGTTCTTCACGAGACAAGTTGGCAAGACCGGGATGGATAACATCAACGACCATTTGCTTACGTTGGAGTAAACGGTTGGTAAGGAACTTGCGAGTACGGATGGTGACAGAAGAAGCGTCGGCCTAGAGTGATAAAATGAGATAATAAAAAAAAAGTGAGTATCAATAAAAAAAAATTTCATATGTGGACAATGATTATTCTATTTAGACAGAAGGAAATAATAGTATTCAAGATGGTTTGTCGTTGTTATTGTCGTTATGAGTTGATTGGTTATCGTTGTTTTTATTAAGGTCGTTATAGTGGTATACATTGGTGATTCTTTTTTTTTTTTTTTAGTTCATTATTGTAGAAAGCGAAAAAAAAAAGGTACATCCATCCATCTATCTATCTAACCCATTCATCCATCCATCCATTCTTTCTAGTTGAATTATTCATTTCATCTTGTATTCTTTCCTTCTGTCTGTCAAATAAACATCGTCTGTACTATCTTTGTTACGTACCATAATGGATATGTGTAAAAAAGAGAAGGAATCAAACCACTTGGAGGTTTCTGAAGCTTGATGAAGGAAAAAAAAAAATCTCGACTGTCCGCACATTTTTCAACTACCGCCATCATTTCCCTCACTTTGATTTGGCCTGTTCATTCATTCGTCCAAAAAAAAAAAAAAAAAAAAACGAAGGTTTTGATAATTTAAAAATGCATAATAGGAAAACAGCATATATATATTCTTTTTCAATGATGTGTTATAATCAGTAAAAAAAAAAAAAAAAAAAGATGAACCGAACGTAATTTCTAACATATAATTATATTGGTAAATCATCATTGAATCACTCGAATATTTTTAATCAAAAGAATACTGACAAGGTTGTTATAATATATGAATGGCAGTGAATGATGATGGAATAATGATGTTGTTGAAGGATTTACATGTGATGACAAATGATGATGGATAATTGGTTGACGGATGATTCCCCCCCCCCTCTCCATAATTATCTTTCAGTTTGAATTTTACGGGACTGAAGACAGTCAGTATAATGTCTTCCATTATGTTGTTGTGAGTATTCATTTCGAAATCTTCTTTCACATTACCAAATAGTAAGGCATACCATCATCATATAAAATATGATCATAACATATTTTCAACCACCGCAGCCAAATTCTTTTTTAAGAAAGAAAGCGATGATCTTATTTTTTTTTTTTCGTTTTTCTTCTCCCTTTTTTTTTTCCTTACAAACCCATGTTTCAACAACATGAATATTAACTTATGGTTCACAACATGGTAAGATTGATTTTGGATGTGTTAATAGGTTTGATGACGGGTTATTGGAAATGTATGTAGTAACTCACATTGATATATCTTTGGCATTATATATGAAATCATTTGTTTATGCTGATTTTTTATTTTATTATTTTGTTTATGTATGAATTAGGTCATTTTGAACATTCCATCCTGTCTACTGGTTTCACTGACTCTATCAAACTCTCTTTTTGTTTTCTTTCCTGACAGACATTACCTTATATGGTCGGGTATGAAAAAATATAGGCAAGAATGAAAAAAAAAAAAAAACATAATGATGATTATTCATATGTTTGTTTCTTTTTCTCTTTTCTTTTTTTTTTTTTTCTATTTTAGATGGGATTACAAAACGCGGATACATCAGGTGAAATCAAACTTGAAGAACAACAATCGCAAATACATTCCAGTCAAAACACTATGATGCGGTCAACAAATAGTGGAAACATAGCATCAGAAGGTTTGTACCCACCATCCCTGACTGTAAATACAACATTACCCCATTGTGCAACAAACTCATCACATGACTGGATCCATCAACAGCAACAACAACATTATCATCATTATTATTATCATCATCATCACCATCATCCTAAAACATCTACTGGTATTATCCCTCCTATTGCTTCACTCTCTTGGTCTACTACTTTTGGTTTGTCTTCTTATACAACATGGAAACCAATAGAATCGAGGATGTATGAAAACTCGGGCTCTTGTTTTAGAACATCCTTACCAGCACCATCATCATCATCAACAATACATGCGGAGTACCCGTCCATCCACCCCAGTAAACCAGGTAAATTAAAAAAAAGTTTCATTTGTTATATTATTAACTGACTCGGGCATTGTACTTTTATAGAGATGACACAGAATATCAAAACTCCATCTGTATCACCAACCACAGCATACAAACATCAACAAGAGGAAGGTCAACAACCACAGATGGAAAGAGAAGATATTAAGCGACAACTCTTTTTGGAAAAGAATAGAAAAGGTAATCAAATAAAAAAAAGATGGAATGTTGATTGATCACTCTCTCTTTTTTATCTAGCTGCATCGAAATGTCGTCAAAAGAAAAAGGAATGGCTTGCACAAATGCAGAACAATGTTGAATTATTTTCGGAAGAAAATGAAAAACTGCAACAACAGGTGATCATGCTGCGCGAAGAAGTGGTGGGTTTGAAGACATTGTTGTTTACTTGTAAGGAGTGTCCCCAGGCTCAAGCAAATGGTGTGGATGGATTATCGATGACTCCTTATTGACACCATCATGGTTATTAGAAATGAATTAGATGTGTATAATATAAAATAGTATGGTGGATGAATTTTTAATATAAAAAAAAAGTTGCCTTTATTGTATATATATATATAAATAAAAATTTTGTGATTGGAGTTTGATGGATAGATAATAGTAAATAATAATAATGATAATAGAACTTAAATGTAATAGTACGACAAATAAAAAAAAAATGTTAAAGATGAAAACGGGAGATGATTGATTCCCCTTCCATCTTCTTTTCTCTATTAATCTTGAGAAGGGGATGAAAAGAAGTTAATGGATGATAGTATTGGAGGATTCATTTGCATTCAACTTGATATTGGAGACAGCCTTTTTCAATTTCTTGGATAAACTTTTTCTTCTCAAATTCAATTTGGATGATTCACGACGTAAAGCCTTGTTGGCACCAGAGATCAATTGATTGGTAGGAGCAATGGCAAATGAATGTATAGAAGCAGGAGGTGTATGGACCGTTCGGGACGCCAAAAAGCGAGGATTTTCTTTTGCATCATGAACTTTATTCATGTCTCCGATTTTGTTATTGATTTTCATAAGATATTTTTTATCATCTTTGGCAGGCACAGGTGGAGGCGTGATTTTCTTTGTTGGTAGAGGAGGTATATCAGTTGGAGTTGATTTTGATTGTTTATTATTTTGTCTTGGATCAACTTTGGTAGAAGAGGATGGTAATGATGATGATTCCTTTTGTTTTTCTTGATCAATCTCTGGTACAGATAACAACAATGCAGCGGAGTTGACAGGTTCAGGTACCACCAAAGGATGAGAGGTACTCGCATCACAACTATGCACAGATGGAGATGCTGGTAAAGATGATGATGATGATGATGATAATGATGATTTTATAGAAGAAGATGATTGTGGTGATGATGTTTCTTCCAATGAATTAACAATAGTAGTATCAATAATATCTTTTACACTGACATTGGATGAGATTGATTGAGAAGGTAAACTTTCCCATATAGTTTGTAATTGAAGAATAGAAGAAACTCGAAGCATAATGATAAATAATAATAATAATAAAAAAAAAAATAATAAAACAAAAAAAAAAATAAAAGAATCAAAAAAAAAGTGCCCTTTTTATGAATGGTGGCAAAATGAAAAAAGTAAGGAGAAAAGTTTTGAATGTCTCATTAACTCCCCGCTATTCCTTTCCAGAAATAGGTAAAGGAAAATGTTGGGTTTTGTTTTCTTTGAAGCACATCAAATTACAGGATTGTTTACTTTTTTAACTATATTATTATCTTAGGTATCATATTTTATAATAGAAACCAATAGTTGATGCCCTATCATCATCATCATCCATACAACATCCTTTTTTTTTTTAATTACTATTTTTTTTTTTTTTGTACATTCTGTAACAAACACGGTAACTAAGGAGAAAACTCAAACTTGATACGTGTCATCTTCTGATAACTGACTATTAATTATAATAGATGATGATGATGATGTTGTATACCTTTTCTTTATATATATATATATATAGCTATCAAATTATCATGGAATATGGTAGATAACAAATTAAGGCAACTGGATTATGAATTATACCAGTGATTTAATACCTTCCGTTGAATTTAATCTACTTCACTTTTTTTTTTTTTTTATTAATGATGACATTTCCTTGATCGTTTGTGTTAGAAAAAAGAGATGGAAAGGGACATTTCTTATTGTTTGAAAATGGTGGAGTGGTACAAATTTGAAGACGGGAAAAAATAAGTATCTTTGAGACGGAGAAAGAGATGTTTAAAAAAGAATTGTAAATGATATTTTCGGGAAAAACGGGAAAAGATTAGTGTATATGAATGATGATTATTGAAAGAAAGAAAGAAAGAAAGAAAGGAAAAGAATAAATAATATTATATATTATTATATGAAAAAAGATAAAAAGTAAAAAAAAAAATTATTAAAAAATGATTGACTTTTAGATAGAATTCAAAACAAAAAGGTGGGGTTGGATACTTGGGAGAAAACTGAAAAAACGGAAGAACGTGGTACATTTTGTAATAAAGGGACAGATTGGAGTCTTTTTTTGGTGGTACAAAAGGTCATGTTTCGTCTCCAGCTCCATCTTTTTTTTTTTTTTTTCTTGATTTTTTTTTCCCTCTTTTTTTCCCGTTCTTTCTTTCTTTCTTTTTTTTTTTTTTTTTTCCTTTCTTTCTCTGTATAATATATTATTATGGTCTTCCCTTATTCTACTCGTCGTTTATCTTCAACTGAAGTCGAAGACATTTTGGCAAAATTAACTCAAGAATTAACTGTTACTACAGATCGCATCCGAACTATCATTAAACAATTCAATGAAGAAATGGATAAAGGTTTGGATCATGAAGGTGCAACAGGTAATAATAATAATAATAAAGAAAAAAAAATCATATTACTTATACTTTTTCATTAGTTCCTATGATTCCTAGTTTTGTTACTGGACGTCCTACAGGTAAAGAAACTGGAAGATATATGGCTTTGGACTTGGGTGGTACCAATCTTCGTGTATGTGAATTCCATTTGGAAGGTCAAGGGAAATTCTCTGTTCATCAACAAAAGTATGTTGTCTCTGATCAACTCAAGAAGGGTGAAATGAGACATTTGTGTGATTTCATTGCTGACTGTGTCGACAACTTTATTTCAGAACATGGCTCTGATCATTTGGACGAAGCTCTTCAATTAGGCTTTACTTTCTCTTTCCCAGTGTTACAAACAGCTATTAATCGTGGTACTTTGATGCATTGGACAAAAGGATTCAATTGTTCTGGTGCTATCAACAAGGATGTCGTAGTTATGTTACAAGATGCCTTTTTACGGAAAAATCTTAATGTTAATATTGCTGCTGTAAGTTTTTTTTTTTTAAAAAAAAAAAGGGAATGTAAATGGCAATAGAATAGAATCTTTTTTTTTAATTTTTTTTTTTTGAAAAGATTGTTAATGATACAGTTGGTACCTTGATGGCTCATACTTATCTTCATCCTGAAACTACTATTGGTGTTATCTTGGGAACTGGAACAAATGCTTGTAAGTTATCCATGCAAATAAAAACAGGATTTGTGGAAACTAAACTTTAGCTCTATAGGTTATTACGAAAAAGCAACTGGTATTAAGAAATGGAAGACTGAAAAACAATTCGATGATATGGTGATCAACATGGAATGGGGTGCTTTCGATAATGAACGTCGTGTTTTACCCTTGACGATATATGATAATAAATTGGACAGAGAATCAATCAACCCTCGTCAACAAATCTTTGAAAAACAAATTTCTGGAATGTATCTTGGTGAAATAGTACGTAATGCCATGCTTCATTTGGTAGATCAATGGATGTTATTCAATGGCCAATCATCTGCTGATTTGAATAAACAATGGGGTTTTGAAACCGCTTACATGACAACTATTATTGCCGACAATACGCCTGCTTTGGCTTCAACGGAACATATTCTTCAAGATGTCTTACAAATTGAAACAACCACCTTGGAAGATCGGCAAATTGTCAAACATATCTGTGATTTAGTTGCTCGTCGTGCTGCTCGATTGTCGGCTGCTGGTATTGCTGCTGTATTGTCTCATACTGGTGACATTGATCGTCCTTCTGTGGTGGCTATTGATGGTTCAGTCTATGAATTCTTACCTGGTTTTGAAAACAATATGATCATTGCGTTGAAGGAACTCTTTGGTGACTCGATTCAAAATCGTATCAAGTTTGCTTTGGCCAAGGATGGTTCTGGTTTCGGTGCTGCTATTGTTGCTATGGTTGCTCACAAAGCTGCCACCTCTTCTTGATCTCTTTTGATTGGTGATACCCTCCATACAACTTTTATTTTTTTTTTTCGGCTGGATCCCTACTTCCGTTTTTTTTTATTTTATTTTATTATATGTTTTTTTTTTTTATATCTATTACTACATTTTGTATACATCAATCATCACTTTGTACAAAACAGTGTCCTCCTTTTTTTTTTTTTGATTCGTATCATTCATTAGCTATATCAATAAACTCTCTGACTTGCTCTACTGGATCTTTTCAATGTAGTTTATAAGTTTCTGTAAAGACTGATTATCTTTTATTTTTATTTTTTTTGGGAGGGAAATTACTGTGGAAAAACGATGGATAATGGTGATTTTTCTATAAATTCTCTTTTAGTCATGAAGATTCAACATGATGCGCACTTATTTGGAATAAACCAGTTCTGGCTGATTTGTGTCATAGCATATCATTTGTTCTTCTGTTCATCATCTCATTATTCCAAAAAAAAAAAAAAAAAAAAAAAAAGAAAGAAAGAAGAATCATTATTTATTATTCATTAGGATTCAAAAAAAAAAAAGTCCAACAATGAAATTAAAAAAAAAAAGTCGTTAGACAATCATCATAGTAATAAGTAGTAATATATCAAAAGACGAGAGTGACTAATAAGAAAATCCATAAGCAAATGCCAAACCAAGAATGGCAAGAGCAAGTGCATAAAAGATCACCGTGTATGACAATTGAATAAAGTGATGATTAAAGACTGATTCAACAAATAAGAAGACAATAGCGAAGGCAACAAATCTTGAAAAATAAAAAAAAAATAAATAAAAAAAGTTTAGACTTTCCTTTTTTTGTTCGATTTGAATACTTACAACCAAGCAATAATCATGACAGCTCGAGTGGAACCACGTGCAAATGTATTCAAGACAAGAACACAAAGCAGCATGAATAAAAGATCACGAATCAGATTATGACCACGATTCATACGATGCTTTAAAAAAAATTATAGTAAGTAATAATAATAAAACAAGGGATGATTCGACTTACGAAAATATGTTGACCCCATGGAGGAGTAGATTCAAGTAATTTGGCAGCAGCAGGATTACTGGGTGCTGAAGAAGATTGAGCACCTGCTTCAGGATTAGCAGTAGGATCCGTTGTACCAGCCGCAGCACCAGCACCAGCCGCAGCCACCCCACCAGCAGTAGGATCAGGCGTTGCAGTAATGACAGGTTGATTGGATTGAGGTGCAACACCAGCAACATTCATGTTTGCCAATTCATCGGATGAGCCAAAACAATGCCGTGCCATCCAACAAACACCCCAAATAACAAAAAGTGTAGAAAACGCAATCCATGTCACACGAACATGCCAATCACTTACAAAACTGGCTACAGTAGGAAAAGTAGGTGGAAAATTAGGACTAGCCATTATATATATTTATTGTAATAAAGAAAATATAATAATCAAAAAAAAAGTAAAGAAATGATCAATAAATTAGATGGGATTTATGGTAGATGTGAAGTTTCAAACAAATGAAATATATCCGACATCAATGTCTTAGAAAAAGAGACGTAAGGTTTCAAATAAGAAGTGAATGATTTATTTACAAAGTATAAAACGAAAAGAAACAATATAAAGAAAACTATAATAAAAAAAAAAAAATTGTATAAAGGTAGGAAAGAAGACTATATTAAAAAAAAGGAAGAGGGATATCATCAGAAAAAAAAAAAGGAAAACAATAAAAAAAGTAGGGAAAAGATCAAATTTGTTCATTTCTTCTTGTGTGAAGTTGGTTTCTTCACCTGGTTTGTCAAACCCTATACAAATATAAAACATTTTTTTTTTATTAGTTAACATGGGGGATGTCTTTTTTTTTTTTTTTTATCAATAATATGCATAACACTTTACATTTCGCATTGCCTGTAAATCATCAAATACTTCTTCATCCTTGAGTCTGAATATCAATGTCGGGCGTAAAAAAAAAAAAAAAAAAAAGGTTAAGGATAACTAAAAATCATACATTCGAACATAAATATAATAATAATAAAAAGGATATCTGACACTTGTTTTCGTTTGTTGAGTTTATTATCACCATTGTCCATCCCACGTTTTCGTAAACTTCGTTTGTTCATTCTAGTTTGAGATTCCATCACAACATCTATAGTTGAATAAAAGTATTAAGTAATAATGTCTTTTATCCCATTTATATATATATATATATTTTTTACCATAAGCTAAATCACAATTATCCTTTTCTTCTTTGAGTCTTCGTCGCTTTTCTTCCAATACTGCAAATAACTTCTCCCGTACTTCATGTTTTTCAGCCTAATAGTAAGTATAAAAGGTTAATACATATAGATAAAAAAAAATGTTCATAGACTTTACCAAGTATTCTTCTTCAGCACGATGGATTTCTAATGTAAATTGTTTATCAGTCACTTGAGTTTGATAATCCCGTAGTAAACGTCCATCTTCAATTGTCTTTTGTCGAATCGATTCCAATAATATTAATCCTTCCTTATATTGCCTATGGGTATCTATAGAAATACATCATCCAAAAAAAAAAAAATGTCAAACTTTTCTTTTCTTGACGATAGTAAATAACTTACTATTGTGAGCTTGACTGATTTCATTTTGAGTTGCTAATAGTTTTTCCGAAAATATCCTAAGAAGAGAAAGAAGAGAATGTTCAATTATTTTTTTTTTTTGGTAAACCCCCTTTTGTTACACACACACAGATATATATATATATATTTTCAACAAAAGAGAGAAATTCCATTTTGTTATCTTCTCCTTTCCTATTTTTTTTCTTTTTTCATTTACCTTTCTTTGTTTTGAATAAAATCATTATTCAGATATTCGATACGTTGATTCAGTTCTTTTCGTCGTTTCACCCGTTTATTATCTGTGGCACTACTATCAAAATAACCAGAATCAACTATATATAATAAAAACAAAAACAAAAAAAAAAAAGAGAGAGAATTGATAAAGAGAATTGATAAGTACATATATATATTTCATTGATAAAAACCCGCCAATTCTTCCAACTTTTACCTTCTTCGTCTTGTGCAATAGTTTTTGTTGATGTTAAAATGGGTTCAGACGTTACTATTGCTGTCAAAGAACCAGTGGTATTATTTGGAGTAGTTGTAGTGGGAGTAGATAGAGGTACTGATCCAATTTTTGGTAAGGTGGTAGAGGTTGATAGTGCAGGTGGTGAAGAAGTCAAAAGATGAGGTGCGGTCAAGTGTGAAGTTGAGTTGAATGATACCACTTCAGAATCTTCCATTTTTACGTTTCCTAACTGATGATGGTCCATAGGAGGTAAAACTTGATGTGACACTTGAGAGCTACGGTTGTCGTTTAAAGTAGGAGAAGAGAGGGAAGAGACTTGATGAGTACCAGTGGGTGGTGGTGATGAGAAAGACAAAGACTGTTGAACCTTAACGATGGTTGAAGAAGTAGTAGCAGAGGTAGTAGAAGGAGAAGTAGACGTTGGTGTTAAAGAAGAAGGAGGAGGAAGAGGTGTATTCGCCGGTATAGTAGGGGAGGAGTGCTGATACTGTTGATTAGAATAAGAAGGTATGTCTTCATGAGGAGTTTTTGGTGTAGAAGTTGTTGTTGGATAGATATAACCATTTGGTCGAGAAGTTTGTTGATTTTGATAATGTGGATTCATATGAGGTTGATGAGAAGTTTCCTGTTGAGAATCCAAATCCTTTGATACGGAAGAAGAAGAATAGTAAAGACCACGATCTACAGGAGAAGGTGACGGTAGTTTTGTATGGTTTGTAGTTGAATTGTGGACTGGTCTTTGTAAAGTAGACTTGTTTGTAGGAGAAGGCAGTTCAGTAGAAGACCCATTTGAGTGTGAAGTAAAGATAAAAGGTTTGTTCGTTTCCAGCATTGAAGCTAATGGCATTGAATAAGAGTAAATAACAAAAGAATAAAAAGTAAAAAAAAAAAAACGAAAGTAACTAAAATGTAAAACTATTTGAATATTGACTTTAAAAAGAAAAAAAAAAGAAAGGAAAAAAAGAATGAAAGAAAAGGGAAGAAAAGAAGTGAAAAGACAAAAAAAAAAAAAATGACGAGGGCTATGAGAAGGGAAAAAAAAAAAGAGTGTATGTGAGTGAATGGAGAAAGAAAATTCTAATGTCCGTCGCCAGCCACAAACTATTAAGTTTGGTCAAAAAAAAAAAAAAAAAAAAGGAAAAAGAAAGCTGTATGCATCGTAACTAATAAACTCCGTTCATCTTTTATTGAATCAATTGGCATCAATTTGTTTGATATCAGGTAATGCTAATCTAACTTTGTTCCTATAAGTTGCTCGGTTGTTGGTTTGCATTGGATTCCCTTCAAGATATACCGTTTCCAAACTTTTGGTATTGCCCAATTCTTGTGATAGTTGATCAAAACATTCATTTCCAAATTGATTGCCATTTGCCTATTAAGACCTTTAGATTAGTATTCATGATGGATCATCGCAATCATTATCTTTACCCAGAATTCTTCCAATTTTGTCAAATGATGAATGTTTTCAATCTTTGTCAATCGATTCATAGCAACATCCAATGTTGTCAAATTGATCTATTTAAAAAAAAAAAAGGTTAATCATCTCATTCTTACATAACTTTTTTTTTTCATTTACATTCTTATCTAATCCTTCGATCTTTTCAATGGCATTGTGACTAAGATATAATTCTTCCAGATTTTCCAATTCTTCTAATCCTTCAATCTTCGTCAGTCGATTGCTTTGAATGCTCAATAACCGCAAATTTTTCAAACTACTCAAATTCTATGATGATAATAACAATAGTAAATCAAGTTAGTCATTTCATCATCATCATCATCATAACTTTCAAATATATTTACCTCTAGTTTTGTAATTTTGTTCTTTCCTAACCAGAGTTCCCGCAAATTCACCAAATGATCCAAGTTTTCGATCACCTAAAAAATATATATAATATAGACTGAGTCAAACCATCGTCAAGTTATAATATTTTAATAATCACCCTAATACGGTTCGCCCCAAGTTCCAAGTTGGTCACATTGACAAAACTATCCAAGTTTTCAATCTTGGAGATTTTGTTACTGACAAAGTATAAATCCGTGACATTAGTAAGATTTTCCAAATGCTTGATGTGCTTAATCTTGTTGAAGGAGAGGTCCAAACTAGTCAATTGACTCAGATGATTTAATCCTTTGATATGCGATATCTTGTTATCATATAAGTCCAATTCTTTCAAGTCGGGAACGCTTTCTAAACCTTCAATATCAATAATGAAGTTTTGACGAAGACAAATACGCTATAGAAATAGTCCAGATGATTTGGTTAGTTCAGCATATATTGTGGGTCGCTTCCTCTTCTTCCAATATGTTCACTTTTTTTTTTTTTTTTTTTTTTTACCTGTACGTTAGGGAATCGTTCCAACTGTAAAGCTGGAATACTACTGATGCGTAAATGAATAAGATCGATATCCTATAATATATGCAAAAAGAAAGGAGTGAATCGAGAACAATACATAAAGACGTGTGAAGTCGTTTCATACCTCGGCATCTCGTGGATAATCGTCAAGGACATCTAAAAAAAAAAAAGTATTCAGAATATAATATGTATGTCACGGTTTTTTTTTTTTTTTTTTTTTTCTTCGCTGCCAAGAATTGACTGTTTTACCTTCCTCATTGTGTTCCAATTCTTCCTGATCGGATTCATCTACATCACTGTCAATAATTTCTGTATTAACAACGACTTGTCCACTTTGCTCGTTGTTGTTTGACTTTTGTTGAGTCACGTTTTCGTCAGTTATCTGTGCCATTGGATTCAAAGGGAAAAAAAATTGGAAAGAGGGAAAAAACGATTAAAAAAAAATGATGGTTAGCAAGGGAAATAGACATTTTTCAAGCTCAGTTCTCTAAGTTGCACACATTACATATAATAGAGAAATCATGAAGCCTTGTTTTTTTTTTAAGAATCATGTAACATCTTGTTCTCTTTTGAAAGAAAAAGAATATTTTGGATAAATTGAAGGCAATCTTTACACTATCATCATATCATCATAAAAAAAAAAAAAAGAAAGAAGGGAAGTTAATCCACTATCAGCAGTTATTTCTTCTTTTTCACATGAGTCAGAGGTTTGATGGTTGTAGACGTGATCAATTGATCAAGCAACGTGGATCATCACCAGTCGAGATGACTTTAGAGCATGATATATATATATATATATATATATATATATAACACTTATGAACTTTTTTTCTCTTTCTTTTTTATGCTTTTTCTTGTTTTATTAAAAAAAAAAAAGACAACTTTTAAATCATCAAAGTTCTTTCAATCATGGCACATCTAGTAAATAAATTAATTGGACAGTATTGGTATGATCAATTATGTTTGACTTTTACTCTAGATGATTTTCCCCCTTTACATTCCTTAACATTCGACGAATGGCATTGGATCCACGATGATGATCTTGTACCGGATGATCGACCTTTGACAATAACAACTTGTTCAGTGAATAACATCAATGATTGGACAATCATCATGGACGAACAGAAGCAAGTACCTCAGCTTTTGTATTCAGATATTGTTAAAGATAACAAAAAATCATCAGTCATCCTTCGTTGTTGTCATCGAACATCAAAAAGAAAATTGATTCCACCCAAAAAAGGCAAACGGCGGGATTCGGCGACGGTAGGATTCGAGACCATAAATAATAATGATGATGATGATGATGATGATATTGATGATCTTTGGTCCCAATACAAGAGTTCTTCTCATCAACGATATAAAACCAAATATCATCCATCAAAGAGATACATGATCAAAAAAAGAGAAAAAGAATATCCTAATGATGATGATGATGTCGATCATGATAATATTGTGGTTGCGATTAAAAAGAAAAAATCACCTCGGCGTTACAGAATTCATCGATTCGTACGACACCAACATCGCCAAAACAACATACGGCGCCGCCATTGAATATGATAATGAAATTTTATTTTTCTATCCACCCCATTCTTTATATATAAATATATACATATATTATATGATATACAGATGATGTATGCATCAACCCCCCTTCAATCATTCAAATCTTATAAATAATAAATAATACATGAATAATATCTTGTAAAAGATGCAGTCAAGATTCAATTTACTATAAAAATTTATGCAGTCAATAAGACGAACAAGAACGTGAAATTGGCGACATTTTTCTCAACGGGAAATTTATCCATTTGGATGGCCGCTTATCTATGAGATGATTTTTTTTTTTTATATAGAATAACGGACAACAATGGGTTGATTCTTTCCGCAGCATAAAACCCCTTTCAGTGAACAATGAAAATGACAATCAATAGGATAGATCAATATAAAGGAAAAGGAGAAATCAAGAAATCTTTTCCCCTTTTCAGGAAATGAGTTTACTCCTTACTCGTTGATTTTTTTTTTTTTTAAATCATCTTAAATAGAGGAACATCTCGACTGTGATACTAAAAAAAAAAAAATCTCATCATATCCCAAAACAGCAAGTTTCATGTGTTTTGATTGGTACAGCAAGCTTGAGACTGACGTAAAATCGTTCAACAGGATGACCAATATTTGAAACACAGCTGCTGCGAGGTTTTGGAACTTTTATAAGAAATTCATTTTTTTTTCTCTTTCTTTCCATTGTTTTCTTTTTTTTCCTTTTCTTTTTTTTTCCATTTAAACATACATTCTATATTATTTACTTTTAACCATGCAAATTTTCGTCAAGACTCTTACTGGCAAGACTATTACTTTGGAAGTGGAATCTTCTGATTCTATTGACAATGTTAAGCAAAAGATTCAAGATAAGGAAGGTATTCCTCCTGACCAACAACGTTTGATTTTCGCTGGTAAACAATTGGAAGATGGTCGTACTCTCTCTGATTACAACATTCAAAAGGAATCTACTCTTCATTTGGTGCTTCGTCTTCGTGGTGGTATGCAAATCTTTGTCAAGACTCTTACTGGCAAGACTATTACTTTGGAAGTGGAATCATCCGACTCTATTGATAACGTCAAGCAAAAGATTCAAGATAAGGAAGGTATTCCTCCTGACCAACAACGTTTGATTTTTGCTGGTAAGCAATTGGAAGACGGTCGTACTCTCTCTGATTACAACATTCAAAAGGAATCTACTCTTCATTTGGTGCTTCGTCTCCGTGGTGGTATGCAAATCTTTGTTAAGACTCTTACTGGCAAGACTATTACTTTGGAAGTGGAATCATCCGACTCTATTGATAACGTCAAGCAAAAGATTCAAGACAAGGAAGGTATCCCTCCTGATCAACAACGTTTGATTTTCGCTGGTAAGCAATTGGAAGACGGTCGTACTCTCTCTGATTACAACATTCAAAAGGAATCTACTCTTCATTTGGTGCTTCGTCTCCGTGGTGGTATGCAAATCTTTGTTAAGACTCTTACTGGCAAGACTATTACTTTGGAAGTGGAATCATCCGACTCTATTGATAACGTCAAGCAAAAGATTCAAGATAAGGAAGGTATTCCTCCTGACCAACAACGTTTGATTTTCGCTGGCAAACAATTGGAAGATGGTCGTACTCTCTCTGACTACAACATTCAAAAGGAATCTACTCTTCATTTGGTGCTTCGTCTTCGTGGTGGACAATAGGTTTTTCATTCATCTTTTATCAAAACACATTCCTTATCTTACTCATTTCCTTTCTCATTTCTCCCTTTCCCCTATTTTATATGATATATGTGTTTATAATTGACCCCTTTACCTTCTTTACCACCACCACTTCCTTTTATCTTTACGCTCTTTTTTTTTATAGCTCTTGAATAGTAGGTTTTTTTTTTTATATGAATGTCTTTTACAAATTTATGATTCAATCAAACCAATAAAAGCCAAAAAAAAAAAGCTCCCTTTTCATGCCCTTTACTCTGGATAGTCTTCGTTTGATAAAATATGTATTGTTTGATAGATTGATGGATATATCATGGTGTTAATTATATAGAGCTTTGAATACAAGGTGCGCTGAATAAACATTTGTAGAGATAAACACACTATTGATCTTTTTTTTTTTTTCAACTGGATAACTGATGCCATCGAATAGAAGCGGATGGTAATTATGCTGTGATGATGATTGCTATTGGAAGCAGCGTTTAATAAATAGTAATGATGATCATGACGTTAATGAGGTTGATTTATCCATCATGCCTTTATCCATGCATAAAATTTCTTTTTTAAGATACATCATATATATATATACAAACCATCTATTTGGAATAATCATCCATTTATAGAGTAAACAGAGTAGGATATACTGGCCAAGTACAAAAAAAAAAAAAAAAAAAAAAGAAAAAGGCATTATCTCTCTCAAGTAACAAAAACACCACAAACCCAAAGACAACGAAAATAAGTAAACGTATGTATATTTGATTTATGATTGAATATGGATAGATTCGTGAGATAGGTTGTATACTATACTATACTATAGACTACAAACTACAGCCAAAAACAAAAGCAGAAGATTTCAGAAAAAAAAAAAATTAAGCCTTCTTGGCAGCTTGAGCAGCCTTCTTGGATTCCTTGGATTTGGCAATAGCAGCTTGACGAGCAGCAGCACGGACATCGGGCTTTTGGTTACGCTTAGCACGGATGGCATCCCAAGAGGCACCAGCAATGGCACGTTCATGCTTGACAGTACGACGAGAACGCTTCTTGGCGACTTCTTCAGTAACACCCTTCTTGTTCAAGCGACGGTAAATGGTGGTCCATCGGATCTTGCGAGGGTTCAAACGTTGGAGGAAATAAGATTCAGCCTTACCATTGATGAACTTGAAGGTCTATCAAAGGAATAAAAAAAAAAAAATCATGTTAATTACATAAAAATATTCAATATCCCCCCCTCTTCATCAATTAATATCCCTCTTTATCCTAAAGCCAATGTGTTCCCCCTTTTTATTAGTCGTTTCTCTTTTCTTTTTCTAAATACGTACTCTGTCAAAACAATACAAAAAAAAAAAAGAATTGGGTTTAGTGATAATGAATAATTAAAATTATCATTCGTAAACATGATGGTTCTTTTTTTTTTTTTTTATTACCTGCTGTCAATGCGAACGTAGGTCTTACCCTTGGCAGGATAGATTTTGAAGCCGGAGAACGAGCAAATTTCGAGTCTATCATCATAAAAACAAAACAAAAGTTTAGTCAATCATAAACAATAGATGGAATAAAATGGTTCGATATTGTCGTGTAGTTTGGATGGATGGATGGATGGATGGATGTATTTTTTAATCATAGGATTCATTACTTCATCGTTGTTCGACGTGGAGAAGAGAAGGAATTTCAAAATGTCAGTGCTCCAATATTGGTTTTGAGGGTTTCTCTCTCTCGTATGCCCGGCATGATTCAAATTCCGAACGAAATTGATCCTTTAAGCTTGATGATATACGGTTTATGGTCTGATGGAAGATTTAAATCTTAAAATGAGGTTTGAAGGTTTCTTTTAAAGATGAGATTAGAAAAAGATGATCTTTCTTTTTTTTTTTGATTTCAATGCATTACCGAGAGGTAGTCTATTTGACTCACTAACAAAAGGAGTAATCATCGATAATACCAACATCTTTTGTTAATGGTGCTTATACGGTATAGTGATAGATTTAGGTTTGAAAAATGTAAGAGTGATTAGGGCTCACTTTTCTTTTTTTTAAAAAAGAAAAAGAAAAAAGAAAAAAATCGGATTTTACAACCAAAGATTTCCAATCTCCCAGCCAAATTTTGGCTGTAAAAATAAATTATCGAGGGGTCATCAGGGAATTTTTCGAAAAAAATCGATGAAATTTTATAGTGTTCATTGCACACATTAGGTGGCAGGATAACTAATAAAATGTTGTTGGATGGTATTATACTACTTTTTTTTTTGGTAGGAATTAATGACGATAGTTGTGTTGGATGATGATGAAAACAGGATGGGGGATGATGATATTGGCATTTCAGTTTTAATTTACTTTATAAACTGGAATGATTATCAATTGCTATTAATGCAAGCGAAAGGGAATGGTTTCATATATATTCGGTCCAAATTTGGTATGATGATGATGGTCAGTTTTAGTTGAGGGATGGTGGTTTTACATTGACCGGCGAAAGCCTCCACGTATTTTATTATTTTTTTTTTTATTTCCTCGTTGGAGGGGTTGATCGACAATACCACCAATTGGATAAAGTTTACCGTATTACTGGATCATCATTATTTTTTAAATAGTACCAATAGTTTAGATACAGTAATTCTATCAAATCATATTCAATTTATCCATTCATTCATTCTAACATATCATGCTCATCATTATCTATGATAATAACATCAGAATCATTCATTCAATCCTTTGATCGTCAAAAAAAGAAAGCAGGGAATTCATGATGTTTATTTCATACAAAAACTTTTGAGTAAAAAAAAAAAAAAAAAAAAAAAAAAAAGAAAAGAACAATCTATGTATAATATAAAGAGTATATGAAGTAGTCTATAATTTACAGCAAGGTTTCGCCTAGACAACAGCGAGCAAGCGAGCATGCAACTTCAACGGTACGGAAAGCTGATTCTTCGTCTTCCAAAGCAGGATTGACTTCAACAATATCAGTCGCTACCAAAAGCCCAGTTTCATAAAGATGTTCACATATATAATGACCTTCTCTAAAGCTAAGTCCACCACGAACAGGAGTTCCCTATAAAGATGATGATAAATAATCTACTCTTTTTTTTTAAAAAAAAAAAATAAAAATAAAAGATCACTTACAGTACTAGGAGCTACAGAAGGGTCCAAAGCATCCACATCAAAAGAGAGATGAATAGGACGATCACGATTAGGGTTGACAGCATCCAAAGCCATTTCCATCACTTTGCCAATACCATATTTATCTACATGATGCATAGAGAAGGCCTTAATTCCAAAGTCTTGAAGAATTTTCTTTTCACCATCATCAACATCACGTAAGCCGATATAAGTCAATCTTTCAGGTTTGACCAAGGATTTGACCCATTGGAAATCAGGATGATTAGTTGCAATCCCGGTCAAGAAGCTTAATGGACATCCATGTATATTACCAGAATCAGTGGTTTCAGGTGTATTAATGTCCTAAAAAATCAAATGACAATGAAACAAAAAAAAAAAAAATCAGTTCCCACGTGGTTCCCCATTCATTGTTTTGACAGCCTCATATGATCCATATGATTTGCAGCTTTTTTTTTTTTTTTATTATTACTTACAGCATGAGCATCCACCCAAATCAAACAAGCATCAGGATAAGCTTGAAAAATACCAGATACAGAACCTAAAGCAATGGAATGATCACCACCTAGAGTCAAGATAAATTGATCATGAAGACGAGCACGTTCATAGATTTGTTGAGATAATCGATGAGTAGCTGCAGACACATATTTTGGATTCTTAAGATTCATCACCACAGGATCTTCCTTGGGACAAAGAGATGTGATATCATCGTTATTTTCATAATTGGCCTTCCATCCCATAGTTTCGATTTGTGTTAATAAACCAAGTTCGATGATTTTTCTAGGTCCACCTTGAACACCTTCTAATGATTGACCAGCTTGAAGTGGACAAGCTATGACTGATATATCTTTTGTAGTGATGATGGACTGTTGAACCATATGTTTCAATAATAAATAAATAAATAAAATGAATTCGGGAAAGAAATGGGAAAAAGGGGAAGAAAAAGAAAAAAAAAAATTTGCAAACAAAAATATTATTCTTTCAGTCCGTGCCAATGATCGTGCGAAAGATATTCCCAATTTGGGATCGGAGGAGGAAATGTCATCTGTCAAAAAGAAAAGGCCCTAAAAAAAAAAAAAGCTGGCGAACGTAGCATTCCATCTACCATCCATAATATCAATTTATAATATTAGAATACTACAAACGATGATAATAAATGACAAAAACATAAAAGTTTTATTTCAATATAAAAAAAAAAATCAAACTATTCAATATCGTTGTCGTAAAAAGAGAATCAAAAGGAAAGCCAATAACAAATTAACTTTGACACCGGTGCGATGAGTCTTGTAGTAGTATACCCAAGGATGTGTAGAGAGTAGTGATCGTAAGATGCGGAAATTCTTGGATGTATAAGGTGGATATCGTAATCTCATCAATGATTCCATACGTTGATTCTTGATCAAGATGGATCGTTCATGAGTAAATGTATCAAATGATTTTTCTCCATGGTAGCTACCCATTCCAGAGTTTCCAATTCCACCAAATGGTAATGAATATTCTATCAAGTTAGAAACAAAAATCATATTAATAAAGTATCTTTATCAGATCTATTTTTTTTTTCTCTTTATCTTACCAGCCTGATGCACCAAAGTATCATTCACCAAAACACCACCAGATCGAGTAGTACTCAAAACTAAAAAATGAAATAAACTATGAATAATCATCATCAAAATAACATTCATCATTCCTACCACTTACTTTTTTCCGTCACTTTTTTGTTTTTGGAAAAAATATACAAAGCCAAAGGAGATTCTCTAAAGGAATTATTAGTTATCCATTATTATTATTTCTATTATTATTATTTATTGGTTGGGAACTTACTTTTTATTAACATAACTGATAGCATCATCGATTTCCTTGTAGGTCAAAACAGGTAAAACAGGACCAAAGATTTCATCACCCATCAATACTGATTCCGAATAAGCAATGTTTGTCACCAAAGTTGGACCAATATACCGTTCATCTCGATGCATATCACCACCAATAACAATATCACCGCTTTGACGTTCATTAAGCAATCGAGCAACATGATCGAAATGATTCACAGTCACCATACGAGCAAAATGACTAGAATGACGAGGATTTTCACCAAACCATTTTTTGATTGTCTTGGCAAAAGCATCAATAAAACCAGCTAGTTTGGATTCATGAATTAATACGTAATCTGCAGCTACACATGCCTAACCAAAAAAAAAAGTCAATATGAATGATTTTCATTGATATTTTTTTTCTTTACCTGACCACCATTGTAAAATTTGCCAAAAGCAATACGTTGAGCCACGGTTTCAATGTTTACGTCCTCTGTCACAAAAGCAGGACTATATATATATATATATATAAAAACAATTAGAACAGGTTTATTCCTTTGAATTGCATTCATTTATTTACCATTTTCCCCCTAGTTCAAGAGTGATAGGAGTCAAATGCTTAGTTGCAGCTTCCATCACAATCTTGCCTACACGAGTACTTCCAGTATAAAAGATGTAGTCGAATGAATGAGTCAATAAGAATGTTGTTTCAGTGGCACCACCATTGACGATACGACAAATACTGCTATCCAAGTAGAGGGGAAATAATTCAGTTAACAAGGCAGATGTATGTGCAGATATTTCAGAAGGCTATGAAGAAGTTCAAAAAGAAAAATGAGACAGAGACTATTTTTATGCATTTGGCGTTTTTTTTTTTCCTGCATCTTTACAATGATTTACCTTCAAAATCACAGTATTGCCGGCAGCAAGAGCAGCCACTATTCAAACGAAAAGATAATAAGAAAAAAAAAACAAAAATTATTTGATATATATTACCTAAAGGAACAAGAGTAAGTTGAACAGGAAAGTTCCAAGCACCTAAAGGAAAGAAGAAAGTATAGTTAGTAAAAGATGAAATGACTCTTGATATATATTTACTAAAGTACCAATAATCAATACCACACCAAGAGGGTCCTTGCGTATAATGTTGATACCGCCTGCATTGCTAATACGAGATCTTGATTTGACTTTTCTATCCTTTATAAGCCGATCGAGATTCTATAACAGAGAAAAGGAGTTAAGTATTTTTATCCACGCTATGAATTGGCTAATCTTACATCCAAGTAATAAATACATTCTTCAAGTACAGGAGAGATATCACCAACAAAGGCTTCCATACGAGGTTTATTCATATCTTTGGCAAGTGCTTCATAAAATCGTTCTTCGTTTTGTTTCACCAGATCGTAAAGACGTTGGACATGGAATTTGCGCCAATAGAGTTCACGTGGTCTTCCTATCAAAGAGAAAATATAGATCAGCATTTCTCTCTTTTTTTTTTTTTTTTTTTTGTGTTTATTTGTTTCTATGATACTTACCAGTAACAAATGTACCACGGAGACAACTAACACTATCTTCAATAGTTTCAAAGGAAGAATATTTCAAAGGACCATTCATACCTAAAGACAATTAAAAAGAAAAGAAAGAAAAAGAAATAAAAAGAGAGAGAGACAAAAAAAAAAAAAAAGATTAGTCCATAAATAAAAAAAATCATCGAGTGAATGGGGTAAAAATTTCCCAAATCAATGTAAAATAGACATAAACCTAAGAAATTCTTCTAGCTCACGTGTGAAAATAGAGAATTTCATATGTTAACGCCCTATTTTACATCAAAATAGATAAAACACATTTGCCCTTTTTTTTTTTTGACCCCACTTTCCTTTCTTTTGATATCGATATTCTTACCTATTATGGAGGAATAATTTTTGTTCCATGATATCCATTCATTCTTCTTACTTTTTTTCTTGTGGGGTGAAAGTATATAAAGTCCGATATGTCGTTGTACTAATCATTTAATTTTCAATATCCATCATAGCAGTGTCGTTATTATTATTATCGTTGTTCTTTTGTTTGCTATGATTAGTATGTCCATCTTCTTCCAGTCGTGTCCACCAACTTGTACGTAGTTCAGGATCACCAAATCTTTCAATATGTACTTGCCGAAGATGTTGATTAATATCATAATAGTTTGAATTGATGGTCGTCGTTGGTGTTTCATGAATAGATAATGTAGCTAGTGAAAGTTCCGGTCTACAATAAATAAGAAAATTAGAATATACTTTTTTATGTTCAATTGTTTAACACTTACGTGCTATGTAAAGTTTTGGTTCTTTTTACACTTTCCGTCATATAAATAGGTATATCAGTAGTAGTAGATTGATGACGACGTTTGGTGTCTCGGGACATGATAATAAGTCAATCATAAGGAAAAAAAGAAAAGAATAATAAAATAAAAGAAATAAAAAAAAGATCATCGGCTGAGATTAAAACTATTTACCTTCGTCTGCTTACATTTTTTTCTTTTTTGATTTTTTCTCTTTTTTTTCCCTCTTTATTTTACAAAAAGACATGCGTAGCATCTATTACATTATATTTATAATCAATATTCTCAATTTTTACTGTTGATAGCTGGACTGGGGACCTGACGCGGGTAAGTTTTACTAACTGCAGTTTATGTTTTAATAGTTTTATACATTACTAAACATAGTTCTAATTGTTTCAAAGGTACGCAATATATCAATCACTAACAAGAAAGCAAAGCGCACGTTTCAAGGTTCCGAGGTAATTCAAATATTTTGTTTTGGGGGGGAGGGAAGAAACGCAGATATTTTTTTGTTAATATAAAAAAAAAAGTATTTAACTGACATGTCTTTTTTACACTTTATTTTCTGAAAATAGGGCCTTTTTTTTCAAGATCTTATTCACAGTTTGGCGGGCGGCGAAAATCCCAAAGGTAAAATAAAAAAAGAGGGTCAAACCAGGAGGTGTGGTAGTGCAAAAATGAATGTGCATTTTCCAAGTAGGGAGTGTGATCATATGCAACGTACTCCTTACCTTGACTTTTTTCATTTTATAATAGATTATTCCGTCTGATTGTCTTTTTTATCCCTTTCCCCTTTTTTTTTTTTATTCTTCTCTCCCTTGGCCCTTCTTTTACTACTTTCTTGATTTCCTCTCCCCTCCTTTTATTTTTTTTTTTATCTCTGTTTATCTTTCTTTGGGTTTTTTTTTCTACCTCTTCCTCTCTCACTTTGTTTTCTCTCTCTCTCTCTCTCTCTTTTTTTTTTATATACCATTTATATTCTTATTATATTCATTTATGACAATGTTTCATGACACGTTTTGTACACCTTCAACTTGCAACAGACTGATACATGACAAGTGCATTAACAATATGAACGACAATACCAAAAGCAATAACAACAACAAAAGTGACGACAACAATAGCGATAACAACAATGATAATAACAATAATAGTAGTAGCAGTGTCAACAATTTACGAGTAGATACTTTATTTCGACCTATCTTTGTACAACCACGAACATCAAACTCTTCTTTGACTACTTCTTCTGCAACATCCATCATCAGTAGTAGTGACGATCTCTTTCATTTGAATGATCAACGATTACTTACTTGGATACAACGTCAATTAGAATTCTATGTAGCACTATCGATTCTACCATGTCTTTCAAGTATTGATGATCTGGGTCATGGAAAGTTGTTACTATGTTTGATTCATCGGTTTGCTCCTACCTCTGTTCCTACTCTGGTCGTGACTTTGGAAGAAAAAACAAGTATTGAATGTCTTCTCCTTGCTGATGATTTAGCCCAACGACTATGGAATATCGCAATAGATTCGTTACCAATCTATTTATATCAACACAAACAGCAACAACAGACTAGCAACAATGTTATTATCAGTGATTACGTTGATCAACTCATTGCCCCTTCAGCCTGTTATTCACCTTGTTATTCTTCGCCAAATGGTAGTATTTTCAATTCCAATGAGCAATCTACTACTGACAACGACAAATACAGCAACAGGAATAACTCAAACGATCTACTGAATTCACCATTAGGAATGGCTTTATCATCATCCGACCATATTGACGAGGAGTATCATGCACGGCAACCTGCAGCAATCAATGCGGATGCTCTCCCCATTTGGCAACAACTGACAAATGAGAAAGATAATATCATCAGCACAACCAGCACAATCACATCCACTACTACTACTACGACTATATCCAATTTATCCTCTTTAACCAGATCTTGGATAGCAACCACTCACCGATCTATTCAGCATTATTTACATCAACCCTATATCACTTGTTTATCTGCATTACTATTTATATTACAACAGCTGCAACGTATTCATGTGGATTTTGCTCGATTGCCTACAACCTATATTGATCCTGACGTGATGGCTATCAACAACTTTGTCTCATTATCTCTTCAACTATATGATCGATTACAAACAGTGGGTGACCATCTCAACAAATTGACAAAGGCGGTGGCGGTGGCGACAGTCGACGAAAACGTGAACTCCTCTCCTACCAAAGAAGAAGAAGAAAACACGATGGACTTGACTTTTCTTGGTGATGTATTGGTACAAAAACATACATGTCTTCTTTCTTGGGTGCAAGATTCTCTCCGTGTCTTCCGGCAGTCAAACAAGGTACAAGAATGGGTCTTTGAACAGCAGATCATATTGGATAGGGTCAAGAATGGGATCGAAAGTCATGATGATAGTCATCATCTAAGTACATTACAACAAGAATTGGATACTTGGCTGGACTCTGTACGACACTATCGTCAAGAAGATCAAGATGTTTTGGCTTTGATGGCACTTTGCTCTCGTAGTGGTATGAATCATGCCACCACTACTTCGGCTACTAAGGGGACGGAATGGGACTCGATGGTGACACGTGTTACTTTGGCCACGGCAATCAAGGCTTTGGATGATATGGATTCTTTGGTATCAAGCTCAAATGGTGTGGCGCAACAACTTGTATGGAAACAGCGTTTAGTGAAATGGGAAACAATCTATGCTGATGCTATGACAATCCTACAACAAATGAATGACTCGATAATTTCTTTAGTTCAACAAGCAAAATGGAAATCATCAAGTCAAGAAAAACAACTATCTTGTACCACGTTGCTACAACAATGGAGAATCCTTGCGAAACGCGTGGCTGATTTTGGCAACAATCAACGAGATATTGCAGGTGTCTTAGGCATGTATCATCAAGTACGATCCATGACTCATTCTTCTTCTTCTTCAGCAAAAGTGGAAGCACTGGACTTGGCTTATGATAGTTTTATTCGAAAATTGGATGAACTCAAACGAACTCTGACATTAGCACGATCAAGCATCCATCAACGACGTCAGTTATTGGACTTTTTACGCCAATACAACACGATACATATCAAAGCAATGCAATTAGAACGACAGCTAGACTTCAAAGACAACGGCAAACATCAATATATTTGGGTACAAGATCAAGTTCTGGAACTGGATGGAAATATATCTCAACTAGTGGTTCAAGGCACTTCCATGATGGTAGCATGTAATGATGATACATGTGGCGATGATGACAAGATAATGGTGGGTACTATTATTCAAGATTGGTTGACTAATTTGGAAAAATGGAGAGCATCGTACCATTCGACTTGGGATACCTATCTCTCACACTATTCTCAAAACGAACGACGACAAAATTTGGAGGACATTCATCGACAATTATGTTATCATATCTCAGCAATGGAATCTTCTTTATTTGATCCTTGGATTTGTAAATTGGATGATCAACAACGACTTGATCATATATATTCATCACACAAGCAACGATTATTGATTATTCAATCTACGTTTGACCTCTGGTGGAACAAAGAAAACTTGGGTCAAGAATGGGATATGGTCAAGACTATCAAGGAAGATATTGACAAAGGAAAACAACTTTTGAAGGAGTATCAACATTCTTTGGCTATTGTAGAATCGCGATTGGATTGGGAACAAAAATGGACGGTGGCTATTACTTGGACAAAGAAAATGACGAACTCATTGCATGGTATAGTGTCATCAGCTACATCATCAACAGCAAAAGGCAACAATGAAGATGTTCAAGATGGTGGTGATTTTAATGTTATCCAGCAAAACATTATGACTCGCAAAGACCATATTGATCAGGTACAATACCAAAAAAAAAAAAAAAAAAAAAAAAAAAAAAGATATCACGATCAATCAATTCACATTTTTCTAATAACCACTTATCGTTATTTAGGTACATCAAGCTTTTGATACTATGATGAATCATCATCAAGGCAAATCAACGGAACCAATAGAGCGGCTACATCAACGACAACAATGGCTGATTGATCAAGTAGATGAACTTTATCGTCTTTTAGGTACAACTCGTTCAATCATGATTCAAACAACAATGATGGAAGAATATATGTCATCAATAGCCAAGGTGAACCAGTCAAGTCAAGTATTGATCAAACGCTTGGATGAACGTCTTGAAGGACCAGAACGTATCGATGGCAATCACAAGAATGATGATAGTGATATCGACAACATGGATCAGGATATTCAACAGTTAGAAATATCAGTAGTACAACTTTGGCAACAATCTGGATGTCGTATTCTGTATCCTCTTACATCCTTGATGGTAGATGATCTTGTTCGTTGGAGAGTATTGAACAATTATCGTGATACTTTGGCAGCAATGGTTCATATGGTGGATGACTTGCAATCATGGAAAACAAGATCCGCTTGGGAAGTTCAATGGCAAAATGACATGGACTTGGTTCAGGAGTATCAACAACAGCTAAGCACTTGGATACAACAACAACAAGAAGAAGAAAAAAGTGGCTGTTCTTCATTCGATGATGATCAAGTTAGGAAAACTATCCGGGCTATTGATGATTACGAGGAAAACCAACTTGGCCAACTTGAACAACTCTTTATTACTACCCAACAGCAATATCCTAGCAATGTCAAAATGCCAATAGCTCTGAGCTCACAACAACAATTACTGGTGAAGACATTTAGTTATGCCAAAGCTCTTGCCGATCTGGTGACCTATCTGCAAATGGCGAAACAACTGGAACAAGATTGTAATACTCTACATGCAACCATGGATGAAAATGGACAAACAGTTACAGAGGAAGCAGTACAGAAATGGATGGATCATACACAGCAACACTTGGATGGGCAACTTCTTGGAAATTTACGTGACCAACAACAGAAGCTACTATTGGCAACAGTGACAGTACCATCTGGCAACAATACTGGTAGTCTGTTGAAGAAAGAAAACATACGATTGGTTTTTGGCACAGCAGAACGTGGGATCCAAGTATTGAAACAACGATTATCGATTTCTCTTAAAGCAAGTCAACATGGACGTTTGATGGAGGCGTACGATCAAAGCATGACTGTATTGGAATCATCACTTGAAACACTACAAAATGACCTTACGATTTGTATGGATCATCATGGCAAGATGACTCCTCCTCCTTCTTATGTTGATGATAACTTGGCAAGAACAACACTGGATTATCAAGCTCATGAAGATGCTCTCTATTCTCAATGGAAAGATACCAAATATATTATGGAACACACTCACACCAGTTCATACAACAATGTTCAAAGTCTTTGTCAATTGATCCAATTACAACAAGAAGAACCCAAAGTGTTATCTCGACAATCTCGATTGGATGCTCAATGGTTGGCGATCTCTTGCTGTCTTCAAGATGCACATCATCTTCTCTTAGCTTTGGCACAATGGCGGGATCTTCATGCTTTATTGGACAAGGTTGAATCTACGTTATGTCAAGAATCACATCATTATATTGATCTCTCAACCATGATGATCAAAACGGATTTGGAAGTTTGCTTAGGTGTCTTACCACGGCTATGTCAAGATACTTGTATTACTTTGGATACTGTGAATGGAATGGTGCCCCCTTCTTCGCGTACGCTGGATGATGTTGACAGTGATCGTGGTGCTATGATTCCTTTACATGATGAACACAACAGAAGCGTCTTTACAAGTCGATTTAATCAGATATCTTCCTTGGTGTATAGCTTACAAGCATCCCTGTTACAACGTATTGATCAAGAATCTGTGGAACAACGTGATTGTATTCTGAAGCAGCTAGCTGATGTTCTTGCGATGAACTTTTTTGATGATGATGATGATGAAAAAGATGGTATGATCTTGATGAAACAATGGGATTCAATGAAAGACAAGATGCTTGATTGTATATCGAAACATGAACTTATGAAACAATCTATGAAACTTTTGCTTTCTCTTCCAAGTTCTAATGGTGATGATGATACTTGTCGACAATCGATGGATGAATATTCACTTGCTCTAAACACTCAACAACATCTGTATGATACTATGATGATCAAGACTGTGGAATGTGGACAGCATGCTTCCAAACTCCTGTCACGTATGGATATGACTCGCAAAGAATTGAATCAGTTTATTCAACAGACAACACAAGGTACTATTGATGGTGATGATGATTGGCGTTTGGATCTGCGTGTATGGGAGCATCGACTGGCTCATTTTGAAAATACTGAAATGCAAGATTTCCTCGGCAAGGTGACACATTGGGTATTATTGGCGACCACAGATGGCATGAAGATTGACAAAGAGATCGTGAAGTCTCATGGTCAGCATATGCAGCAAGAAATAGAGCGATTGGTGCAAGGAGTACAAGCAAGTTGGCAAGAACTGAAGACTCAATTAGCTGATGGAACGATGGCAGTGACAAGTGCCCAGTTAGGACGATATGCTGAACAACAATGGCATGAACTTTCAAACATGGTAGATGATGCTTGTGATAGAGCTACAGTGGTGGTGGCTAGCTTTTATCAAGATGGCAATAGTACTGTTCATAGTGGTGATGATGATGACAAGGACAGTGTGTTTTCATCCTGTGGATCTGGCATTATCAGTGGTGGTAGTGATGATGAAGAAATGATGCGTATGATGGGACAAGAACAAGAACTGGTTTTAGCCGAACAAGCACTGACGATCTTGGAACATGAAATGCGACCCTTATTGAAAACAAAAAAGGCGGCTTTGAAGGTAACAGTGGATGGATTAGTAGCTTGCTCAACGACCTGGATTGATCATACTGATGTGGACAACGTTCTGGATAAATGGGAACATACAATACAACAACACAAACAACATCTTCGTTATGGTGTAACTATGTGTCAATATTGGGTGGCAGCGGCGGAAGTACATGGTTACTTGTCAGCAATGGATCAAATCATTAGTAAAAACAATCCGGAGCTACTTGGTACTTCTACACGTAGCGTGGATGGACATGCGATTATGGCGGAATTGGAAACAAGATACAAAGTTTACAGTGATGCTTTGGATATCAGTATGGAAAAAGCAAGACAAGCGGCATTATTGGTGGAAGGCAATGGACAAACTGATTTTGCATTGATGATGGCTAAGAAAAGCAAGTTGGAACAACGATTTCATGATCGAATGAAAGATTGGCTTCAATGGATTGGATTGACAAATGGAAATAGCAGTAGTGGTAGTAATAGCAGTGGTGGTGGAAATCAACATAGATTATCAGGATTACGAAGTCGAAAAATCTCATTACCAACCAAAATGCCTTCTCCACCTTTGACAGCAACCAATTCTACTCGACGACGTGTATCTTCCTCTATATCATCAAGTTCTTCACCTTTATTACATGCACCACGCAATATCATGGGACGTAAATCTTCTTTCACCACTGCCACGAGACCTCCTCCACCCAATTCTTATGTGGCTGATCCCAAGAACGATCTGGATATGGAAATTGGACGTATTGTGAACAAGGTGCCATATAAGGTTGAATTACAAATGGTACCTGGTGAAGCTGGCCGTTATCGATTTGGAGACAAGGTGGTTTATTGTCGTATTTTGAAAAGTCGAATGGTGATGGTCAGAGTGGGTGGTGGTAAGTTTATAAAAAAAAAAAAAAAAGAAAGCATACTGACATGAAATTCTTTTTTTTTTTTTTTTTTTTGTAGGATGGACGGAATTATCACAATTCTTACGAGATCATGCTTTATTGGTGGGAAATGGAACTGGATTTGTTATGAGAAAATCATCATTAGATAACTGTCAAGAAGCTTTCTTGGAAACAAAACGAGCTACATCACCTACGTCAGGTCGTCCATTACCAAGAATGTCTCAATCAACATCTACTTCATCTATTACTGGAAACGCTGGTTATAAAGATGGAGATCGATATATTGCTGTGGATTTACAAGGTCATCAACATGAAATGAAAATGACTCCTCATGATAGTAATAGTAGTAGACGTCCTTGGTGATATTATATATATATATTATATTCAATAAACTATTATTTATTTAATTTTAATGTATTTGAAGCTGAGATCAGAAAAATAAATTGATCTTTATATAGAATTTTGATGAATATATATATAAAATAATGATGATCATGTATTTTATATATATATATGTTGGTAGCCACAGTGATGAAAAAAAAAAGTTTTTTTTTTTTACAGTGACACTATAAATGATGATATGAAAAAGGAAAAAATAAAAAGAAAGGGGAAAGGGGAAGATCAGCGTATTCTGAGCAATTAGAAGATAAAATGTAAATGATTGGGTAACTACTGAAGTCGGCATCTGAATCAACTCAAAGCCGCCACTTTCAAAAGAGTTTTCTTTCCCCTTGGGTGTTGTTGTTTGTTCTGTCTCTTCTTTTTTTTTTTTTTTTTCTTGTCACGAATTCTGTTCTCTTTTATCACTATTTTTATTGAAAAGAGTACTCTTCATTTCGTTACCCAATCTTTTCAAAGTGGATCTATATTATATCCCTTACCCCCTTATTTTATTATTCTCTTTGTCCATTTGTATATGAGTAGATAAACCTACAAACAATCATACATATTTTATTCTAATGTTACATCCTCTTCCTCAACCTCAATCACCTTCTGTACAACCTTCATCCGATCCTCTTGATATGCAAGCTACTGGTATAGATTATTCTTCTAGGTAATTAAAATTATATAAAAAAAAGGAACAAGTATTTCTTTCTACTATCAGATATCGTTTTATATTTGGGGGGGGGGGAATTCTTTTTTTTTCTCACTCTTTTTTCTTTTTCTTTTTCTTTTCGTTTCTTTATTTAGAGACGTACCTTCTAGTCATCATCCTTATTCAAAAACCATACCTTCTATTATTGAATCTAATACAAACGTCCATCCAACAGTTAATACAACAACAACAACTACTACTACTACTACTGCTACTTCAACCATGACTTCACCTTCTTCTTCAAGTCCTGTCAAATCCGAGTCTCCGATAAGGTCGTGCCCAAAGTAATGTAGACTTTTTGTTTTTATTGGTTTTGTTTATTTGTTTGTTGTTCATTTGTGTTGCGTTTCACTTAAAAAAAAATAATAATGTTCGGTTTACTGATTTTGGATTATTATTATTATTATTTAGTGTATCAATGTCTCAACCTACTACGCCTCGACCAACAGGATCTCCTAATTTTCAACCAGTACAATCTATTACTCAACCTTCTTCACCAAAAGAAGATTATCAATTACAGCAACAATATCATTCTCATGAAGCAACATCTCCTTATGTGATGGGTAGTACCAGAGGCAAACGTCGTGATTCAGAATATACAAGTACACCTACATTTGGAATGACAAAATACAATGGCAATATCTATGCAACTGATAAATCCACTATGTAAGTGGCCAAAACAAAAGAAATCATGAATCAAAAAATTTAACTCTTTTTATATATTTTAGTTTGGATGTTCGTATTCAATCAAAGGTGGATCGTGGATTTTTCTTGGCTGATAATGATTGGACTTGTTATCGTCGAAATTACTTTCAAATCAGTAGTTCCTTTTCATTACAAGGAGTGGTGGTACTTTATGATGGACAAGATCTCCCATGTTTGGTACAACATCAAGATATGCTTCATCAAGTGGAACAATTCTATCTTGGAATCTCTGCTCGTTTATCGGATTGTGATAAGAAAATCTCATTAGTACAACATACTGCAAAACGGGATAAGGGACCTCAAAGTACACCTGAACCAAAACCAATTCGTCCTGGCGGCAATCTCTCATTTAGCACTGTAGGCGCCAATCAATCTATTGTGACATTTGATCGTATTCAATTCAAATCGGCTACTGCCAATAATGGTAAACGACGTGCTGCTCAACAATATTATATATTAGTGATGGAATTATTTGCAAAGGTGCGTTCATCTGGAGAATTGATTTCCGTGGCTACAACTGAATCTCAATATCTTGTTGTCCGTGGTCGTAGTCCTGGTCATTATGCAGAATCTCATGGTTCATCATCAGCAGGAATAAATGATGGAACGGTTGGGGGTCCTATTCGTCGTCATCATCATCATCCAACATTGACATCTCCGCCCATGATCCCCGGTCATCCAACTTCTTATTCATCACATGCGCCACCTCCATCTGCAATGTATGCATCAGACTATTCATCCTATGATTATCCAACCTCAGCTCATAGTGGAAATGGAATTCATTATGCCTATGCACCTCACGCAGGCGTGCCAATGGTGCCAAGTGGATCTTCATCTTCACCAAATGGATCATACGAATATCATCCTCCTCCTCAGCACCCATATCCTGGACATCCAGTGCCACCAAGATCAGATCATGTTTATGAATATCCTCATCATCCTCAACAACAACATTATACATCTTTGCCTCCACCAATGCATCGTTCAGAATCAGCTCCATCGACCTATGATCATTTCAAAGACGAAGGACAACAACAATGGGCACGTGTTCGAATGTCATCGACGCCTGGACATCATCATCATCATCATCATCATTCTCCAAACACTGATCATGCTGGCTCTCCATTTATCCCTCATGCATCTTCTGGTACTCCCACCACTCCTGTCCATGAACATCCATCATCTCATCATCATCATACCTATTATTCTCACCATCAACAAATGCCTTATTACCATCATCCATCTCACTATGGACATCCTGAAAGGTAATAAAAAAAAAAAAAAAAAAAAAAAAAAAAAAAAAAAAAAACTCATCCTTTTTTGTTTGTTTGTTTTGTTAGTTCGACGCCCGTCGATGTCTCAAATTATCATCATGGTTATTCTTCCCATTGGCAACCATGGCGTCAAGGCAATATGTCACAACAAAATTATCAACAAGAGGAACATATCAAGATGGAATCAAAATCGCACAAATAATTGAAAATAATGGAGTGATAAGATGTCTCTTTTTTTTTATGTATGTACCTTTTTTCTTTTTATTCTTATTATTGCTTTATCAAATATCATCTTTTACCTTCTTCTTTTTACATATACACATATATACACACATTTTCATAATAAAAGAAAAACCAAATTATCTAGTCTCACAAAAGTTTAATCTATGGTCTGTGCTTTTAAAAAAAGAAATTGGTGTAACTTGGGTATACTTTATTCAAAAAAAAAAAAAAAAATAGAACTAGGATTCTATATACAAATGATCATTGGTCACACGAGCAGCCGACGAGCCAGAAGCCACTAAATCAGATAACCAAGGTGGAAATGGAGGTACCATCCAACCTTGCAAAGCCAAAGATCGTAATCCTTCCATGACATTGGTTCCTCGAAAAGTCACATTCATACTGATCCCACCCTTCTCTTTTTTCGTGTGGTCATCGTCCGAGTCATCCTCTTGAGGGTCAGAAGGTTCATCTACATCGGAAAACACATAAGGTTGGATATCATCATCATCATCATTGACTGGTTCTGTTTGATGGGCCTTGATTACAGAAGTTACCGGGATTTCTAACTAAATCATTGGAATAATAATAAAAAAAAAAAGTTCATTCATATCCTTTCTTTTTTTTTTTTTTTTTACCGTCAATTTTAAAGAATCCAAACCCTCCAAAGGAAAATGACCAAATACTTGATCCACATGATCGTATCGTCGTTTTATTTTGTCATGATCAATGGGAATCACACGTCTTATATCTTCTCTTGTACCTACATACTGTTCTTTTTCATAACGTGGTATATCACTGGATGGACCAAAATACAGTGGGTTTTCCATCGAATCCTGTTGTGCATATCGAAACTGTCCAAAAATCCCTAAACTAGACCGATGATCCATCAACGTCGTCAATTTGTCCAATCCTTTACTGGTCAATGGTATTTGCTTTAAAGACTCGGCTCTAAATGCATGGATAGTCGCTTGGTGTAAAAAGTCTCGATGTCTGATCATACTGGTCGTCGTCAATAAATATTCCGTTGATAGATAATGAATCAATATCGATGCACGGGCTGGAAGGGTTTCTTCATATCGACTATCAAAGATCAAAATACGGTACCAACAAGTATTTGATTCTGATTGTGGAATGATATAGACATGCTATACAATTTAAAAAAAAAAAAAAAAATTATTAAAAAAAATAAAAAAAGGTTTTTCATAAAGTTACATTCTTAAAAAAGGTATTTAAATATTCTTGTAATCTTCGTCGTGCTGTCGTTGTGCTGATAGAGACTTGTAGTTCTTGTTTTTCTATAGTTTTGGAACACATTAGGTCTATTTATTGAGAAAGTATTTGTTTCTTACCAGAAGGAATCAATTTCCAGGTAGACCAAGTCCGTTTGAGTTTTCTATTGAAGAAACCTAATAGATGCCTAGTTAGTTCCTTTTTTTCAATATGTCACCATCCATCCTTTTCGTTTACCTGAAGCATCCAATTGAGAATATTGTATCATATACAATCCGTCAGGCTATTATTCCAAAGAAAGAACGATTGTTATATATTTATTCTTTTTCTTTTCATATTTTTAGTTTACCCAGTCAATTTGTTGTATTCTGTCAATCATTTCTTTCTTTGTCAATGATTCATACGTATTCTCCCAGATAACATTACTGTGATCAGGTCGTAAGACAGGTGAAGTAAGCCAAGATTTCACAAGAGTTTCTAGATCGGGTTTTTTGGTATTAGATAATAATGATGTAACAGCTGTTTGCCATTTGACACGAACAAGGTCTTCAGCTGTATATTGTTCCATTTGTATAATTCTTTATTAAAATAAAAAAAAAAAAAAAATAATAAAAAAAAGTGAAAAAGAGAGGGCGCGTCTTTGAAAAAAAAAATATTAACAGTTTCTACGGGGTTTAAACATTGGATTGAATATCTAGAGCAGAAGTAGCATTCACCAACATTGTTTGATCTTGATCTGGAGATATAGATGCAGAGAGCTTGCTTAAAGATTGTTGAGATAAAGATCTTGAATGTCGTTTGAATTTGGCCACCGCTTTCACCTTTTTTTTTTTTAAAAAAAAAAAATATAAATACAATCAAACCATCATTCTTATGGATAAAAAGATAGGAAAACTTACCACAGTCAATATACTTGCAATGCTTTTGATGGCATTATGAATATCATCATCTGTCACTTCAGTCACCACCATTTCACAGTTTTCTTCTTCAGAAATCAACATATCAGTACCATGTTGCGTCACCCAAGGATGCTGCCGTAGTTCATGCATGGTAATTCTCGTTGAAGGATCCTTATCTAACAATCGTTGTAATATATCCAAAAGATCTACAGATATATTTTGATTTCCACTATAATCAACACTACAATCATAAAAAAAAAAAAAAAGTATACCATTCTCTTTTAGAGTTCATATCTCTCCATTTTTTTTTTCTTTCAACTTACGGATCATCCCTGATTTTGTCCATGAGTTCAATTATATTTGAACTAGAATAAGGAAGATGACCAAATACTAAACAATATAGTGTAACCCCCATAGACCAAATATCTGCAGCTTTTCCAGACACTTCACCATGTCGAGCTATACATAATTCAGGAGCCATGAATGCAGGGCTTCCAGCCGATTTCACCAATTTGTCATTTCCTTTCACAAACATTTCTGATACACCAAAGTCCACAATTTTGAGAATATCATCATTTGATATTAACAAGTTGTCTGGTTTAATATCTATCATGAAGAAAAAAAAGTGATATTAATATTTTTTTATTTCCCTTATGTGATATCTTTTTTTTTTTTTTTTTTTTTTTTTTACCTCGATGAGCAATATCGTTGTTGTGCACTAGAAAATAAATAAAAAAAAAAGAAAAGAAAAGAATCATCATTAGTCCTCTTTATCCTATGATGATGATCATTATATATCTACTTACAATATTCAATCCCTAAAATCATTTCTCTAAAGTAATGTCGTGCTTGTTCTTCCGAATAAGGAGTGGCTGTTTCATCCATAGAAATAGACATCAAAACACCTTTATGAGCCATTTCAAACACTTTTTAAAAAAAAAAAAAAGAAAGAAAAGTTCAATCCAAATCCGTACAAAGATATTTTTATCACCATCTTACCCATATAGATAGAATCATCATTAGGATCATCCAATACTTCGAATAATTTAACAACGTTGATATGATGTAATTTCTTCAAGATAGCGACTTCACCACGCACAAGGTCCAAAGGATTGGAAGATGCAGGTACCGCCTCACGTCCTACCCCTAATCCACGCCCACGTCCTCTAGGTCCTCCACGACGACGTAACATTTCAGATTGTTCCTTGCGACGTAATCTTGATTTACTGAATTCCTTGATGGCCTATATAATATATTAAAAAAGACAATGATCTATCTATGACATACAAGATTTTTTTTTTTTTGGTTTACATATTCAGTTTGAGTTGTAGTATCGATACCAAGATGAACTGTTCCAAAAGCACCTCGACCGATTTCTTGTTTGAGTAAATAATTGTTGATTTTACGAAGACCTTCTTTTGTTTCTGACGTGATTGCTCCTAAAGTTTCCACCACCACAGAAGGAGGACGTTTCGATGATGACGATGTGGAAGAAGGTTGCGGTGAATCTGATCTAGAAGAAGTCGAGGTCACTGTTGATGTAGGTGAGTCAAGAATATGGTTGGATTCAATCATAGTATGATCATTCAAAAAAAAAAAAAAAAAAAAAAAAGGAAGTAAGAGATAGAAAAAGAGATAAAAGGAGAAAGTATTGAAAAAGGAAAAATGAATCAGGACCAAAAATCATCGGGTATTGAACAAAAAAAAAAAAATGAGCTTGGCATCTGCACATAAAAAAACAATGCCGTTTTGCCCTTGATTTAAACAGCAATATAAAAACTTTGAATCAAGTAAATCATAGTAAAGAAAACTTTATTTTGTTTGTTTAGATGAAAATGATAACAATATAGCGTGCCTGAGAATGAAAGAACGTGTTTGTATATAATATATATATATATATATAAAAAGGTCTTTGTGCGTGTGTGTGTGTGTGTGGGTGAGGGGGGGAATATCATGGTGAGAAGAAAAAAAAAAAAAAAGATGTGCATAAGAGAAATAGACAAAGGGAGTGTGGGTAAAGACAAGATAATAAAAAATAAAAAAAAAAATATAAGAATTAAATGATGATAAAAAAAAAACAAATGGGTAAGGAGGAGGGAGATTTATCTTCGAAGATCAGCATAACCAACTACGGGAGATGGAGTCATATCCAAAGCAGTAACAGGAGATGGATGACATGCACCAGGAGATGTAAAGGCAGAAGGAGAAAGAATAGTTGTTGTGTCGTATTGATTGAAAGACGTAGATGATGATGATAAAAGACAACGATTGAATTCATAAACAGCTTCACTTAATAACCCATTTGATAAGGTATTGTGATGAGCTAAGCTTTTTGCCCATGAATCAATGGTATCAGCATGAAAAGTTGCATCTTGTGAGAATTTTTCAAAGGTCATTTGTACGGCTTGTTTCCAAAATAAGGCCAAATCATTGTATAAATCCTGTCGTGGTTGATTGTGTTGATCTTTATCCCAAGTAGGTAATCGATGAGCAAAGTATGTCACTTGATCCAAGAATGTAAAACAAGTTGTAGGGAAAATAGCAGTGGAGACAAAATGATGACTATATTGCGTAATGGTATCCTATAATAATAAAAATAAATAAAAAAAAAATCATATATTATAATAAAACCTTACAATCAAGTCCAAAAGAGATTCTCTAACTCGAGAAAAAGTATATTGATCTCGTCGAGGTCCATTGCGATTATAGGGAAAACTAGCTTCCAATTTCTTTTCCATATCAGTGAGAACAGAGATAGCAGAAGGAATAGTAGGTGGTGGGATGTACTTCATAATATCATGTTTGAGTTCAGGCTGTGATTCTAATAAAGATGCAAGTATTTGTAATAATTTATCCTTTTCCATGGTAGCTGCAGTTGTAAATTAGATAAAATAAAATAAAAAATCATCAGTTTTCTCTTGTTTTTTTTTTTATTAAAGAAATATATATTTTTTACCTAATTTCAAGTTGAGAGGTGATGACGTTCTTTTATTAAGACCAGTTTTATTACGTTTCCAGTCATTTTTACTTCGTTGTTGATGTTTAACTACAAAGGACCGAGTGGGTGATAGAATAGGTAATGCATCTCCCATTTCTTCGTCTTCAGAATATCTACGTTTCCGACCTATCAATAAAAAAGAATGTAAGTATCCATTGATTATTTTAACTTTTAAAGTTACCTTTCATGCAAGCCATCATATTATTTTGTATAACGAATGAATAAGGAGAGATAATGTAATAGTCAAGATAGATAAATAGATAGATCTATATATCTATATTTTTTATGTGAAAAAAACAGGGAAGAAAATGAATGAAAGAAAAGAAAAAAAAGAAAGAACTAGAGAGAAAGAAGGAGTTCAAAGGGAGACGCAATGAAAAAAGTCACCAAAAAAAAAAAATTGCCCTACCGCTGCAAAAAAAAAAAAAAAAAAGACTCTGTCTAGTCTCTCAACTGTTGATTGGTCTGATTGGTCCATTCTCTCTCAAATTTTCTATTCCCCATTAACAACCACAATTTTCAGCCTACAAACTAAAAAAAAAAAAAGTAAGTATGGCACAACATCCAAATCAGGATAAACCGAAAGGGAAACCGAAACACTCTTAAAAAAAAAAAAAGAAAGAAAACGATTGTCTGTTGTGTATGAGAAAAACACCTGAAGAAAGAAAAAAAAAAATACTCCCTCGGAAGATCGGCAACCTTGGTATGTATAAGTGTGAGAAGTGATAATGGATGATGATGGATAACGGGGTGATAATGAATGATAATAGGATGATATGGATGAAACATTGGGGTACAATGGATCCTTTTTTTTTTTTTTTTTTGAACAAAAGTATTTTTATATGATATTGCGTGATAGTAGGAGAAGAAAAAAAAAATAGTATACTAGTTTAAAGTACAGTCAGAAAAGACGAATGACAAGCATCAAAATGATCGATACTCTCCTCATTTTTTTTTTTTCATTCAGCAATCTAAATCCGTCCCATGAATTGAATGATAAGCAATCGGTTGTTCATTTTGTCAAAATTTTCTGACCAAAAAAAAAAAAAATACGGAGAAGGGAAAATGCGGAATCGAACCAAAAAAAAACTTTTTTTTTTATATTATGTACATGATTTTTTTTTTATTTGATAAAGAAGCATATGATAAAAAAAAAAAAAAGAGCGGGGAGAAAATAAGTGAGGGGGGGATAAATCTATACAAACTACCAGATGATATTATTAAGTGAATGCTATAACTACAATATAAAGAAGAAATGAATACTAATGAATGAATGAATGAAAGAAAGAATAATGATAATGATTGTTTAAAAAGGAAGAATAGAATGAATAGAAGGTAAAGAAAGAGAAGGTTGAGTAGATAGATGAATAGGAGGTAAAACCCGAGCTTGAGGAGGACGATCAAATAATTCTAGTAGACTTGGTTCATTAGATGATGATGATGATGATTTCATTGACGATAAATCATATTGTTTGCATTCCAAAGGAGTAAGTTTGACCATGGGAGGTTGTCTTGGAGAACCCACTGGAGTTAATACACGTCGTGGGGACAAAGTAGGTGATGTTTCAGGAGTAAACAAGAATTCGACTTCAGAATCCATACTAGCCACTGATAAAGCAGGAGAAGGAGGATTTGATTTAAGCATAGTATATTGTACTGAAGGTGATGATGATGGTGAAGTAGAAGTTGATATCGTATTATTGTTATTATTATTATTGGGAGAAAGACGAGATCGTTTTTGTTGTTGTTGTTGTTGTTTTCTTTCTCTTTTTTTGCTTGGAGAAGTATGAATCCGAATATGACGAGTCAATTCATCAGAACGAGAGAAACGTTTTTCACAACCAGCAAAAGTACATTGATGAGGTTTTTCACCAGTATGAGTACGGATATGTCGTGTTTGATGTTCCAATCGATAAAATGATTTAGGACACATGGGACATTTGTATGGACGAGGAACATTTGCTTTGTCAATAGCAGCAATGGCACGTTTATGTTGAGGACCAGTAGAAGGTGGAGTAGATAATGATAAAAGACTTGATGCTGCTTGATAATCCATTATATTAATAATAATAATAAGAAATAGAAAAAAAGAGAGAGAGAGAGAGTTGTAATGAATAAAGAAAAAAAATAAAGAAGAAAGAAAAAAAAAAAAGAGAAAAGAAAAGAAAGAAAAAAATACAAAAAATAAAAAAAAAATAGTCAGCTTTATAAAATGGGGAAGAATCAGACTCCTTAGTCCAAAATAGGAAAGTAAGAGATTCCGGTTTTGATAGCAATGGGATGGAGTTTAGAAATAAAAAAAAAAAATTTTGCTTACTTTATTTTTTCATTTTTCAGTCCCCCTCTCTCCCCCCATTTGATGATTCGATAAAACCCTTATTTGTTCTTTTCTTTCGCACGTTTTTATCGGTGTTCAAATGTTAAAGTATTTTATATATGCGTTGTGGGGTAATCAAACCATCAGATCAATAGTCCGATTATTGCGGGATTTTTTTTCCCTTAACATAATCATCTATCAACCCATGCTTTTTCTCTCTTTTCTTCTTTAGATGCCCGATGAAATCCCTATCACACCCATAAGTTTTCTTTACTAGTAATCACATGTAGAGTCTGTGCTTTTCCTTTGGTTTATCTGTCACTGTTTTCCTAAAAAAAAAACTTCCGATCTTTTTTTTTTTTTTTTTTTACTTTAGGAAGGGGATCATTGATTTCATGTGAAAAGAAAAAAAAAAAAGTGAGGTGATTTCAAGTTGTTTTATATAATTTATTTATTATTTGAATATATAGTTTCATCTCTTACTTTTAAATCATCATATATTGTTGATAGGGTGGGGAAAAAAAAAAAGCATGATTGAAAATACTTATGCGAATTCATAACCGTGAGAAGGGTAAGTCAATTTTGGGGGAGAAATGGCGGATATCCAATCCTCTTTTTTTTTTTTTTTTTTTTTTTGGTTCCTCTTACTTTTTCACTCCACTTAATTTTTTTTTGGTCCATATGAATAATAATAATATCTTACAATTTACCCCATTTCAATCAGCTATTGATGCTACTTTTTGGCATTCTTTAGTTGATAAAAAATTAAATATTATTCAATTATCTCAAGAACCTCAAACATTACAAGCTTATTATTCTATTGGAAAAAGAACAACTAATGATACTATTTTACCTCCTCAATTATGTATACCTGGTCAAGCACTTGAACAACAACAACAAAAAGAAAATAGGTAATATTTATTATTTATTATTATTATTATTATAAACTTATATAATTATATTATAGACCTTCTTTTACTATACCCACTAAAGGAACATTGATTAATACAAATACATTAGAACAATTTCAAACTATGGATAAGAAAATATTATTTGATCAAACTGCGGAAAAGGTAAAAATAGATAAGAAAGATAAGAATATAGTAATACTTATTATTATTATTATTATAGATATGGCAATCAATTCAAACTGGTAAAGAGATAAGTGATCCTTCTATACTTACTTCTTTCTTAATGGTCACATTTGCTGATTTAAAGAAATACAAGTTTTATTATTGGTTTGCTTTTCCTGCCATCATTCCATCATCACCTTGGTTAGTATCTAATTTACAATCTATTGATCAAATTTTTACTCCACATCAGGTAATTATTATCATTTATTTATTTTTTTTTTTAAAAAAAAGATAATAATCTATTATTTTTTTTTTTAGTAGATAACATCTTTAGCAACATCATATCATCGTCTTAATCAACCACCTTTCTTTTTGATTGAAACTCAATCGGATGATACCCTACAACTTTATCCTTTGAATCATTTATCAACTTGTCTTCCGACAATGATGCTTACTTTGGGATTTGCTGATCCGTCTTGTTCCCCTTTGACACCTGGTTGGCCATTACGAAATCTATTGGCTTGGGCACATCATACTTTTCCTGACTTGGTTCATCGACCCTTTAGAATTGTGTGTTACCGTGAATCACTTTCCAAATTAGATGCTATGCACTCTTTAGTTATTCATGCTGAATTTCCTTCTCAAGCTACTTTTCCTCAACCAGGTAAATGTGTTTCAAAATAACTATTCATTGACATGTGTATTTATTTATTTATTTATTTTTTATAGTCAAATCTGTTGGGTGGGAAAGAAACGTGCAAGGGAAACTTGGTCCAAGGATGGCTGATTTAAGTCCATTGATGGATCCAACAAGGTAAAAAAAAAATTATTTTTTTTTTATTATTCATCATTATTATTTATTCATTATTATTATTATCATAATAATAGATTGGCTGATACTTCAGTAGACTTAAATTTGAAATTAATGCGATGGAGAGTCATGCCTAGTTTGAATTTGGATAAGATCAAGCAAACGAAATGTTTATTACTTGGTGCTGGTACTCTCGGTTGTTATGTAGCTCGATCATTATTGGTAAAAACAGAAAAAAAAAATAAATTCTCACATGATTCTACTTGTTTTTTTTTTTTAGTTTGCTTGACAGTATTATTTCTATTATTATTATTAGGGTTGGGGTGTACGACATATTACATTTGTGGACAATGGTCGAGTTTCCTTTTCTAATCCTGTTCGTCAACCCCTTTATCGTTTTGAAGATTGTTTGAATGGAGGATCACCTAAAGCCGAAGTAGCAGCAAAACAACTTTTGGATATATTACCTACTATGACAGCAAAAGGATATTCACTCTCGATCCCCATGCCTGGTCATCCAACAACATCCATGACACTTGAACAAGATTTAGATGTATTGATGGCATTAGTTCAAGAACATGATGTGATTTTCTTATTGACGGATAGTCGTGAAAGTCGTTGGTTACCTTCTCTTTTAGGTGCAAGAATGGATAAAATGGTCATCAATGCTGCTCTTGGATTCGATACTTATTTAGTGATGCGCCATGGTCCAACTTCAAGTTCTTTAGGTTGTTATTTTTGTAACGATATTGTAGCACCAACCGATGTAAGTGATATGATTATAGATGATTCCTTAAAATTCATATCTTTTTTTTTTTTATTTCTTTCGTTCTTAGTCTCTAACGGATCGTACCCTAGATCAACAATGCACCGTGACAAGGCCTGGACTTTCTGCTATGGCTGCAGCTTTAGCCGTGGAACTGATGGTATCATTATTGCAACACAAAGACGGGTAAGTACGGATTTCATGATCCTTTATTTTTCATTCATTGTTATTATCATTATAGGATCTATGCAGAAGCTGATACTGCAACAAGCCAATCATCTAGTATATTAGGATTAGTACCTCATCAAATACGGGGATTTTTAGCTCAGTTCAGCAATATGTTAATTGTGGGACAAGGTTATGAAAGATGTACGGCATGTTCGAAAAAGGTGATTACGAAATTATACTGAACTCAAAAAAAAAAAACCTATCTTTTTTTCTTTATTTATTTATTTATTTATTTATTGTTTATTATTTATTTATTATTTATTTCTTCTTTTATATTGATGGGTAGGTATTGGATGCTTTTGATCAAGATCCTTTGGCATTGGTGAAGAAAGTCACCAATGATTCTCTTGTATTGGAACAAATTACTGGATTGGATGAAATGAAAAAACAAAGTGAAGATTTAATGGATCAAGATTGGTTATTAGAAGAAGATGATTTTTGATCTTTGTTGGGGATAATATAATCGTTTTATTTTTTTTTTTATGTTGTCGTTATTCTTTCTTTATTTTTCTCACGTGTCTTTTTTAATAAAAACGGATAATGTCGGTTTCTACCCTACAATTGTTTATTATTATTATATTTTGATGTTTGTCCTACATAAGTTTTGTTTTGTTGTTTTCCCCACATCTTGTTTTTTGTCATCAATAATCATTCAATGGCACGTTCTTGTTCCACAGTGTTTTATACGCTCCTTTGAAGTAGTGTAAAATAGTTTTATACTCCACATCTTTCTATCTTTCCAATCTATCAAAATTAATCATCAAACGTTTTTCCTCACCTTTCTTGGTTTTGGATTGGCTGATTTTTTTTTTGTCCCAAGTTTTCCCCTTTTTATTCCAATGAGTTTCATTCCCGATACTTCCTTTATCGGGTAACTCCCCCCATTTTTCCCTTTTTTTGACATTGATTGCTACAATTCTTTCAACCCCAGTCCCGAAACAGAAAGGGTTCCCTCCACACGGAAATCAAAAAAAAAAAAAGTTTCACTTTATAAGTCATTGATGTACCTGGAGAATATCTAGATAAGGTCCCAAACTTTTATCCGTCAACCCCCATATTATTATTTTTTTTTCTGTCTTTCTCCAAATAATCTGATTTTCAAATATTTTTTTTTTCTATCGGATGATACCAAAGAAAAAACAAGTTGATTCAAAAATCGTCTCAACACACACACACACAAAAAAAGAAAAAGTTCCGGCTGGATCCTTCTTGATGATTGGTGAGCTTAGGTAATAATCATTCTTTTTTTTTTTGGATTGATCATTTTAGTTACTATGAAATGATCGGATTTTTATTTGATAAAGCAAGAAGATATTCTTTGAATGATAACAAAAAAAAAAGTGTGGCGTGATTTAATCAAATAGTGATGAATATTTTTTTTTTGGATCAAGTCCATAACATCCTTCCTCCTTGTTTTTGGAGGACTTTGTACTAGAAATGAAATGATTTTCTGTTGAATCATATAGGAAGCAATTTGTTGATTGAAAACATCAGGAGGCTCCATCTTTTTCTTGAAGCATCACAAAAAAAAAAAAAAAAAAAAAAGGAATCTATGTATCACCAGCTATTAATTTCAATTCACAAGATCACCTTATTAACATTATCGAAGTAACAGTGATCATATTCCATCATTCATCCTAAAGAGAATCTTACAATGTCACATTGACAGAAATAATATACCGATTTGACTTTTTATGGGAATTTCCTGCTTGGAGCATTTTGATCACCGTGTCACATGATAAAAACAAAAAAAGAAGGAAGAAGTATATATATATATATCATTTAGGTCTATAAAATAGAATACGTGTAATTTGAAAATGAAATCTTTTGTTTATTCCAAGATAAAAACAAAGTTATGTTAATGAGTGATAATCAATAATAGGATTTGACAAAGAAAAAAAAAACAATGCATACAAAATAAAGAAATAAAAAAAAAAACTATGGCAACAATGTATAAGGAAGATGAATAATAATAAAGAATGATGAATTGTGATAAATAACTACAACTAAGAAATAATAATACTAATAAAAAAGAATCATCTATTTTCGTCGACCACCACCCTTCTTCTTTTCTTGACGTTTGACAGCACGCATTTCTTTCTTCATTCTTCCATCCACCATCTTATAACGACCCTTGACACCGCTAGGTCGACCCTTAATACCACGATTAGCACCTTTCGCCACTACTAGTTTGACTTCCTTCTTGGGTTTGGATTTTGTTGACCTTGCTAGAATCTTGTTGATCGTTGTTAACTTTTCCTTTTCAGACATATCTTCATTTTCTGCCACATCCGTTGCCTTCTTTTGTGCCTTTTGTAATCGTTTCATTGTCTTATATTTCTTGCGTGCCTTGGCTTCTGCAATCTTCTTGATGGGTCGTGCATCTAATGCCTTGAGTTTTTCTCGAATAGCAAGTACTGCTTCTTTGGTGATAGGAAGATTAGGTTTGTTGTGTTTGCCTTCATCATCAAGGAACCTATCACATACCAAAAAAAAAAAAAGAAAATTAAGTATAGAAATTCGTTTCCCTTTTTTTTGTATTTTTTTTTTTTACCAAGCTGGTAATCCCTCTTTGTCACGGAATCCTTCACGAGAGAAACCTTCATCTACCAAATCTTCTTTTGTTTTTTCACGATTCACTAATTGTCGAGCCAGGGTTACAGCTTCGGCCGTCATCAAACCAGTTTCTATGAGTATATTAGAAAATAAGAGTGAGTAGATAAAATTCTTGGTCATCCTTTTCTTTTTTTTTTTCCTTCATTTCCTTACCTTGCGCTTTTCGGACAGCTTTAGAATTTTCATCTTCATCACCACTCCACATTTCGTCATCAGAAGGAATGGTTTCTTTAGTATTTTCCATTTCAAAATCACTATCTTCATCCAATTCCTAATAAACAAGTACAAACAATAGAAGAAAAATAAGTATTACAAACTATCATCTAGTTTTTTTTTTCTTACCTCTTCAGCTTTGCGTTTTCTAGAATCCAATACATCAACTGGTTCATTTGATTCATCATCATCGTCATCTTCTTCTTCTTCATCATCACCATCCAATCCATCAAAGATATCTTGATCAAAGAACATAGATGCACCCATAGAAAGACCATCAGATGTTTTACGAGCCAAAGAAGCCTGTTTGCCCAAATCATTGATTAATGAGTTACCATTTTTCTTCATGGTAGTAGATTGTTTACTGATCTTATTGTTGGATTTGTTGAGAGAAGTGACGGAAGAAGATGAATCCAAAGTTCTGTCATCATCATCATCATCGCTAGACATATCATCATCGATATCTTGTTGATCATCATCGCTGGAAGCTTCACTGTCATCACTATCCAAATCAGATTCATCTTTCAAAGCTCTAGAGTTACTGTTCCTGTTGTTCTTGTCATCAAAGCCAGCCCATTCATCTTGTTCTTCACGAGCTTGTTTGGCGCGGAATTTGGCATTACGTTCAGCCTTATCTTGAATATAGCGTTCATAGTCTTCATCTAGTTGATCCTCTAATTCACTGTCATATTCATCTTTATCCACTACTTGAGTATTTCCAACTCGAATATCTTGATCCATTTCACGAGTATACCCTTTGTCTTTGAGAAAACCATATGCAGACATATCTTCATCATCATGATCTCCACTTTCAGCCAATTGATCAGCCAAGTCCATATTACCATTTTGTAATTGTTCAAGCATCTTTTCCTTGTTGATTTTTCGGATATTGAACAGAGTATGGCCATCAGCGCCTTCTTGTTCTAGACCAATATCACTAGGAACAGTCATGTTCAATTGCATACGAGTAATCAATTTCATCTTCTTTTCATTGTTCTTTCGCTTTAGTCGTTTGCGTTTGGCAGCTTCTTCTTTGCTGAGATTTTCCAATTCTGCTTGTAACTTTTCGTCGTCGTCCAATTCTTCTTCTTCTTCTTCTTGTTCAGATTCTTCCTCTTTCTTGTCCAGCTTGTACTATAATCATATATTAGAAAAAGAGAATGAAAAAGTGAATCCAAGTTGTACACAATGTTATCTTTCTTTTTTTTTTTTTCTGCAGAATTACCTGAGTACGTAAAGCAGTACGCCATTTCAATAAGGATTTGAAATCAGATTTGCCAAGCACCTTTAAATCTTCACAATTGACCTTGACATCTTCAGAAGTAAGAGGATTTTTCAATATAGCCATAGATTCATCCGTTTTGAAAGTCAATTGATTGTAACTTCCCAAAACAGCAATAGGATCTTCTGCCTTGATAAATTCCATTACATCAGCAGTCTTGTGTAGAGTATAGTTTCCATCTTCATAACCTTCACGTTGTCGTTTCTTCTTTTCAGGCTTAAAGATATCAATCATTTTGTTAGATTCCTTTGTATCCAATTCAGAAAATACAGCTTTGGGATCCAAGAAGCGAGGATCCAACTTCTTAGGAGCAATGAAATCACGACACACAACGAAAATTTCAGCAGATACACCACGAGAAGAAGGAGGTTTAGTAGCTTCCACCTTTCTGAATAGTTGTTGAAAAACCCATAACAATTTGTTGTAATCCTTAGATCTGAATACCTTGGTTACAAATGTACCTAAATTCATAATCTTATTTAATGATACCATACCATTTTACCTTTCTTTTTTTTTGGTTTTTACCTCCTTTCATCAAGAACTCAGTAGCCAATTTCAAGGATACAAGTACTAATTCGGATTGTGTAAAGGCATCATGAGTCCAAGCAGCACCAACGTTAGGAGCACCATCGTGAAGTACACTAATCAAAAACAAAAAAAAAGGTAAATACAAAGACCTAGCTCTTTCCTATTTTCTTTCACTTGTTTCATTATTTGATTCCTAATACATAACACAGTACTTACACATCAGCTTTCCATGTTTTGATTTCTTGACGTAAGTTTTGTCGGCAGCGATCAGTGGTAATGTCATCTTGGAAGGTAATGACATTGGGTATCGGTTTAATAGGTGCAAGATCTACACCAATAATCAAACTTGACTGAGGCATATATTTTGTTGCAACTTGAAGCCTAAAAAAAAAAAAAAAAGATAAAGAAGGTAAAGGAAAGTCAGTTTAGATAAAGTAAAGCGAATGTAGATCATTGCTTTCCCTTTTTTTTTAAAAAGTAAAACTTACCAACCACCAGGAGCAGCACACAAATCAATCAATACCCGAGAACGTTCCAAAAAGTTATATTTCTTATTCAATTGAATCAACTTGAAAGCTGAACGAGCACGATAACCTTGTTCTTTGGCCAAATGATAGTATTTATCCAAACGCCCTATTCGAAAAAAAAAAGATTGTTCAACAAAAAAAAAAAATGTCAACTGTCAATAAATCGTTCTTGTTGATCATGTCTGTGATCCAAAGATCTTGGAACTCATTCCTATTTTAATTTGTTTTTTAATACCTTTGGACGACTTTTTATCTCTTCCACCTTTAGCCATTGGATGCTTGAAGTATAAATTTAAAAAAAAAAAAAAAAAAAAAAAAGCTGAAAGAGATCTTGAAATAATTTCTCTCGGAGGGAACCTTTCTTTTTTTTGAGTTACACACTCCGCACATTTTCCTTTTTTCGTTCATGTTATAAGCCACGAAGTGTACCTTAACTCTGATACTATCCATTTCAAATACTAATATGGCTGATGATGATTGAATAATGATAGCAATAAATATTTAGAATATATCTATAATAATCATCATTACAAAGCTTATATCTATCTTTTTTTTAAAAAAAATCAATACCTAATGATCAACATTATTGTAGCTTTGTCATTGTATGTAGGACTTCAAGAATGATTATTTTCCATTATGAAATTAAAATCATCGTTGATATTAATGCTATATTAACTCTGGATGATGATTATTTTTGACAGTCTCTGTCAACACCTTTCTTTTCCTTTTTTTCTTTTTTTTTTTTGTTTTGAAACGCTTCTCTGACTGCGTCAAACTAATCGCATCCTTTCATTAAACCCTGCTGCAACCCATTTCTGTATATCCACTGGTAAGTTTAATCATCCAGGAGAAAAAAAAAAAAAGGAAACTAGAGCTCCCAACACCTTCTGAACTATAAAAGGTAACGATCGTATGCGAATGAGTTAAATTACTTGAATCATGGGATAAAAAAAAAAAGTTTATTGTCATATAATCATCACTTTATTACAAGGTTCCATTTCAAAAATTTTTTCATTTCTTTTTATTTTCTAGATCACTCACCCCTTTTTTTACAATATTGACATTGAAAAAATGATCGAATAGCCAAAAAAAAAAAATTAGGAGTTTGTCTACATTTCCCAGGTAATAACAAAGTTTTATAAATAATAAATAGAGTAGATAAAGGGGAGAAGGAGAAGGTTGTGCATGACATCAATTAAACGTTAAGGTTATATTTACAAATAAGAGGGAGATATCCTACAAAATAAACCAAAAGAAATGATCTTCATCAATACGATAGATTGCATTTTTGATGTTAGTCTCGCCATGTTAGCAAAATGGAAAAAAAAGTTTCTTTTTTTTTTTGGTAGGATGAGAAATGATGTTGAATGACAGTTGCATGGAATACATGTTACATCCGCTTTACAACCTAGCCATTCAAAAGAAAAGGGAAGATCGGCAAAACTAAAAAAGGAATGACCTCTTCTTTATGCGTACACTGTTTGATACGGTTGCCATGGCAACGGATCGGAATGTCAAAGGCCGCAGCATCTATCTTGGTCAGTTCTTATAATGCATTCTCTATCCCCTTTGTATACAATGGATTGGTATGAAAAAAAAAAAAAAGATAATCATAGGTGATAGGATCATTTTTTTTTAATTTATTCTAACTTTTCTTTTTTCAGGAAACATTGGGAAGTGAGTAGTTGTACAAAAGTATGTCAAAAACGAAAAAAGGATATACTTTTTTTTTTTTTTTTTTGATTTGCGACTTTTTGGTGTTACTCCGATATGAAAGGGAAAAGGTATAAAAGAAGGTTTTACCTTTTTTTTTTTTAACTCTTCCCCTTTCTTTTTGTTGTTATTGTCTTTTTTTTTTTTTTTTTTTTGCTCTTGTTAGACTGCTAGTCCATCTACTTGAATACTGTCTACATAGTCATCAGTGATGCTTCAATACTGTTCTTCTTTATCCTTTGGTTCTCCTTTAGTCCAAGCTAACGGGTATGCACAATGTAGTTGTATGTATTGAAGAATATATATACTAATGTTTTCAAGATGATCTCCTTTCTTACCGCATTCTCATCAATTAGATTCCAAGAAAACAGTGAAAACTGGCCTGCCTACATGAGTCATTACCAACCGCAACAAGTGATGAATGCTTCTCAAAACATGACAATAACAAATTCGCCACTTCAATCATCGATATTGTGTTCCAATAATAACCGGCCTTTGTATGATGAACTCATGGTATCACCAACCAACAAGTACGATAATGACCCTCATCGACAGTATAGTAGGAAAAATATCAGCGACAGGGAACAACAAACACTATCTGGCGATGAATTGCAAGCACTTACTAGCATCCCAATATCAAGAATGTCCTCTGGAATAAGTAACATTGATGAGAAAAATGGAAACAGCAATTGTAATGGCGATGATGACAAGGATGATACAGCCTCTCTTGTTCACCTCAGTCGACGACTTCGTACCAACCTTTCTTTGGCTAAGCAACGAATGATGATTGGTTTGAAACAATCGAATAAACCGAATGATATTGCGATATATACCCAACTGGAAAACATTACCTTGAACGATTCTTCTTGTTCGTCTGTTGTACCTGATACAATGGTAAAACACATATCATCATCATCATCATCATCGTCATCAATAACCAAATCAACAAGAACATATCTACCAAGATCTGTCACCTCTACTATTACTCCTGCAACTACAGTTGGAAATGGCAAAAATCTATTCTCTAATAAACATCATTTACATCATCTCAATAAAAAAAAATCATCTATTATACCCTTCTCAGCACCATTTTTATCAACCAACGACAATAACAGCAACAAATTTAGGGTGCACAAGAAAAAACCTTACTGTCGTGGCTCGTCATACATGGAACTCCAAACCAATCCAAATGGTTACGTTTCAGTGGTATTGCGCAAGTCATCATCCTCATCCAAAGATTCCTATGCAACATTAACTCGATCTTTTTCATTCAACATACTTGATGAAGATTCAGAAGAGGATGATTCTGATGATTCTGACATGGAAACGGGTGATGATTCTGAAATGGAAACGCGTGATGATTCTACTTTTGGAAATGATGGTATGAATGCAACAACAACAACTTCAGATTTGGCAGGACCAGGTCCTTGGACGCCCCCTTTTACTACTATGACAACTACAAATGATGATGATGATGATGAAATGAAACTCAATTTGGATATGATGGAAATGATGACACCAACATGGATGAACGATATGGAATATGTCTGGCAACAACAGCAACAACAACAAAAATATGATGATGATGATCAATATGATGGAAACAACGTTTTACATATGGCTGATCCTACTATGAATGAAAATGAAATTGATTCCTGGTTACAAAGAGGTGGATTTGGATGTAGTCCATTGGTCGCAGCCACTGATCAAGAATTAGCAGGTAAATTTAAAGTAAAAAGATTTTGATTTCTGAATTCTAATTTTAGTGTGTGTGATACTTATATATGTTATCTTTTTTCACCATTATTAGATTTACTTCAATTTGATTGAACCATCCAACGTGTTTTGATGTTACCTATGATTTTTTTTTTTTATGTCTCCACTTCTCAATGAATTATGATAAAAATAAAGAACTATGCTATTTTTGTACATACCAATCAAAATACTGATGTACCTGGGTTTTACAAGTAGAACTTTGTTTTGATGATGATGATGATGATAATGTCTTTTTATTTTTGAATAATCACTTTATTATTATTATTATTATTATTACTAATATTATTATTACTAATATTATTGTATGAGTATGTATGGGTTTTAGTAATTGTTCTATGTGTATATGTTCTATGCTCCATTAAAGTATCTTTATGACCTCCTTTTTTTTTTTTAATTTTTCTATGTTCATGTCATTAATTGAATGCAATTCTATACTGAGGTGAGATGAATGAACACCGCTGATTGGTTTCATGTACACATTGATTTCATTTCAAAACAAAGGCACAGCATTGGTCTTTTGTTGACACTAATTTTGACTTTCCGCCTCTTATTTTGCGCTTGCAGCAAAGGAACGGAAGCCAGCATTTTTTTTTTTCATTTCTTTCCTTTTTCTTCTATCTTATTTTTTTTTCAAGTCACTCATTACCCCTTCCCATTTCCTTTTTATTTATTTTCTTTACCTTTCTTTATTTATTTTTATTATTGATTGAAAGGTGGCGAAAACCACATTATCCTCGATTCATATTATGCGGGCATCTCGAGGCTTACAAGTCACTTCCTTGGTCGTTTTATCACCAGTTGCTTTGATTCTCTTTTCACTTTTGGCAATATTGACTTCAACTCTTTTTTCTCAACTTCAATCTTGGTGTTTACCCATTGTATCACTTCAATCTACTCGTACTTTATCGAGATGGGCTACAACAGCTATGACTCTTTCATACAACAATTACACCATCACGGACGATACTTTTTTATCACCTCCTGACGATACCACCTCAACAATCAACGATATGAATAACAATATGATCAATTTTCGACCACCATCTTTGATACAAATATGGTTGAAACGATGGCGTTATTCAAAAAGAAAATCACCTTCACTATGGACTTGTTGTGGTATTTCTATTATCATTGGTCTTGTCTTTATCAACAAGGTAAACTAATAGAATATTCCAAGTTTTTGCTGAGTGGGGAGATGAACGTTAGGGATCTGGGATTTAATCATCAAAAAGGACTGGGGGGATGTGGAGGGTGAACTATTGTGCCTAAACGTATTTAGGTCAATTATCAGCGAACTAGGGAAAAAAAATGGGTAGAATGGAATAATGTACAACGTGAAAATCTAACCAGCTGACTCTTTTTTATTATTATTATTATTATTATTTTTAATAGATGCATGTGCAAAAATGTCAATTATATGAAGCCTTTGTCAAATTCATCACTCACGCAGCATTGAAAGCACGTCATGGTCTTATTCTCTGCAATAACAAAGTAAATTATTGGATGGAGTATCTTTTTACGGATTCATCACAACAACAACAATTGAAATCAACGTCCGACATGATATGGATAAACAATGATGATATTGACAAACAAGATGGCAAGACAAAATATTCACATGTCCGACCCAAAACTTCTTCTTCTGGCTCCACAACTATTGGACATCGGCACTCTATGAAAAAATCCAAAAAACAACATCATCAACGTACTTCTGCAATCAAAAATCAATTTATATTGACAACGACAACTACAACCATTGATCACAATAGTAACATTCCTGGAACTTGTACTGTGGATACACCTACCAGTAACATTGTCGACCCTAGTTATGCGAATACTGATGATTGGGTCAGCGTCGGTGAAAAGAAAAGGAAGGACACAATGGAAACATTTTTTTCACAACAACAACAACAACAACAACAACAACGACTAAATCAGCAAGAGCAACATTATCATCATCAACAACAGGAGTTATTACACAACACAGACAATAGCGACAAGGTATCCAGTGATAACTTGGAAGAGCAAGATAACAACTGTGGTGATGACGATGATTCTGACAAGACAATTGTGGAAGAAGATCATATTCAATTGACTGGAACAACACCTACAACGAGCGATGATGAAACAGATTTGGGTTCTCCTTGCTTCTCTTCATCAGATGGCGTGTATCATCAACATCAACATCTTGAGCCTACTATTCGAAACTGGTATTCACCGTTCTCAACTGGTTTGGATATTGATATTTTACCACGACATGATCCACTGACCCAATTGGACCCTATGCAATTGAACAAATCCAACATGATGCCTTACTATCCTGTATACAACAAACCAGCGGCACACAGAACTTTACCTTTCCGTAGTACTCATCGACTGCAACATCACCATATTGACAACTTTTCATTATTACAAAATCACCCTTTTATATCTCATCCTCATCGTATACACGCACATCAATCCTTGTCCCATATCCCCTCCACTTCATCTCTTGGTGTCATTGGTCAACATGTTCCTTCCTCTCCTCCTTCTATCACCAAGCCTGTACAAAATTCAAAATCACGCCGTTTTTCTCTTTTTATTTGACTCTTGTTCCCCCCCCCTTTTTTTGTTCGATGTGTACATATACTCTTCTCTTTCAATAAAGATCATTGCTAATGCTGACCCTTTGTTTTTATATTTTATTCATCATCTGTCTTAAAAAAAATAATGATTATCTAAAGTATCTTTTTATTTTTTTTATATGTCATCAGATTCTCTCCCTTTCTATTATATCGTCTCATCCATCCTTACTCCTTCATAGTTAATACCATCATCCATCCTATCCCCTGCTTTTAGTTACTGTATATGAATGACATGGCTTCCACTCCTTCCATGTGATATAAAACTTGTTTTACTAGTTTATGAAATAAACACTTTCTCTTATTCCTTTTCTAGAAATAATTATGATGGATCATCCATCTTGATTATCATGTCTCTTCTTTTAATGCACATAGATTAAAAAAAAAAAAAAAAAAAAAAAAAAAAAAAAAAAAAGACTGGATAGTATCATCTTGATTTGACAATATACTCTAGTTAGATACATAAATGACTGGCTCAATTAATGTAGGAGGTAAGGATGAATTATCTACTTTACAACATTATTGTAAATAGTTATGGTGAAAGTACTACGACTTATATATGTATGATGATAAAGTAAATCTTTATTGAAATGCTTTTCTACATTCAGAATTCTTTAAACCAAAAATGGGCAGAATCTCGGATCGCAAGCCTCGGTTATTCAAAAAAAAACTGGGATTGAAATCCATTGAAAGAAATACAATATTCCAAGTTGAATTTCTTGTTTCTTTCTCTTATCCTTATATCTTGAAATGGTACATATATATATATTTTTACTTTATTGACGGAGAAGCGTAGGGGAACCCATTAGACCTAATGTTTATATATAGAAGAGGATGGATGGATGATTGGATATATACATATCAACTTTTGAATGGATGGATGGATGGATGGATGGATGGATGGATGGATAGAGATGGCCTCTTATTTTTTTTTTTTGAACAAATGAACTAATCTATACTTTTATATATATAGGCTACCCGTCAAGTTATCAGCGTGTTCGCCGAATCCGGCAAGGCCAGCGATGCTACTATCCCTCTTCCTGCTGTGTTCAAGGCTCCTATCCGTCCTGACATTGTGAACCACGTCCACACCAACATGGCCAAGAACAAGCGTCAACCTTATGCTGTCTCTTCCAAGGCTGGTGAACAAACCTCTGCTGAATCTTGGGGTACTGGTCGTGCTGTTGCTCGTATTCCTCGTGTTAACGGTTCTGGTACTCACCGTGCTGGTCAAGCTGCTTTCGGTAACATGTGTCGTGGTGGTCGTATGTTCGCTCCTACCAAGGTAAAATAGATTGAGAGTAAAAAAAAAAAAAAAAAAAAAAGGAGGACATTATGATGAAAACTCATATTTTGATATTATTAATTAGGTCTGGCGCAAGTGGCACATCAAGACCAACTTGAACCAAAAGCGTTTCGCTACTGCTTCTGCTTTGGCTGCTTCTGCTCTTCCCTCTTTGGTCATGGCTCGTGGTCACCGTGTGGAAAAGATTGAAGAAGTTCCTCTCGTTGTTTCTGACAGTGCTGAAAAGTTCACCAAGACCAAGGAAGCTGTTGCTCTTTTGAAGGCTCTCGAAGCTTATGCTGATGTCGTCAAGGTCTCCAACTCCCGTAAGATCCGTGCTGGTAAGGGTAAGCTCAGAAACCGTCGTCATCGTCAACGTCGTGGTCCTCTTGTCATCTACAACGAAGACAATGGTATTGTCAAGGCTTTCCGTAACTTGCCTGGTGTTGAAGTTGTCAACGTTCGTCGTCTTAACTTGTTGCAATTGGCTCCTGGTGGTCACTTGGGTCGTTTCATTATCTGGACTCAAGGTGCTTTCCAATTGTTGGATGAAATCTACGGTACTTACGAAAAACCCTCTACCTTCAAGAAGAACTACGTTTTGCCCGATAACATCATGACCAACCCTGATGTTTCTCGTTTGATTAACTCTCAAGAAATTCAATCCGTTGTCCGTGCTGCTGGTCCCAAGATTGTCAAGCGTCCTTTCACTCAAAAGAAGAACCCTCTCCGTAACCAAGGTGTCATGAACCGTCTCAACCCTTACGCTCAAGTTCTCCGTCGTGCTGAAATCATCGCTCAACAAAAGCGTGAAGCTGGTAAGGTCTCCAAGCCTCAACCTACCAAGAAGGGTACTAGCACTGCTGCCTCTAAGAAGTTCTTGGAAACTCTCCACTCTGCTTAAATTTAGTTTACATATCTATGTAAGCTAGTTTTTTTGTTGTCTTTTTTTTTTTCCTATCATTTATCATTTGGAAATAAAATGTTTTATATTTTTGTCATTATTTTTTATATTGGATATATGTATGTGGATTATGGATTAATATCATTTAGTATCAAAAAAAAAAAAAAAGGAGGGAAAAAAAACAAAAAGAATGCTCCTATTCTATTATATCATTTGAATACACTTTATTTAAAAGTACCATAAAAAACAGGCGTTTTATATTATGTAGAAATTTTGTAAGACATCATTAAAACAGTTATTGGTAACACGAATATATAGAAAAAGGCAGTTAGCAACGGTATTTCGCCCATTTTTTGGATCATCACAATATATTTGATAACCTATTGTTTGTTGTTAGAACTGGGTACTCTTTTTTTTTTTTTTTCTCCTCCTCTTTTACTTTTTAATTTTTCAAATTCAATTTTAGCTATTTTTGTTCCTTTCTTTTCCCTCTTTTTTTTTTTTTTTTATTATTTTTATTATTATTATTATTTTATTTTATTCATTTATTTTTGCTTAATAATATACCATGACAAAGGATGGTCGACCATCTACAGTCAATACTGTTACCACCACTACAGCAGTTCAAGTTGGTAAGTGCATTCAGGGAGAGAAGTTCAAGGGGGTTATTAAAAAATATATATACATACACAGGGACAAAAAAAAAAAAAAAAAAAAAAGGAAGTATGCCGATAATATTTACATATTTTCATTTACTACCCTTTTTTTTTTTTAGCTTTACGTATTAGACCATTAACTGCACGCGACCGTACTCAACCTCGTTTTGCCAACTTGAACGACGATGATTGTCTAAAAGTAACTGGAAATACAGTTAGAGTTGTTTCACATAATAAACTATTTACTTTTGACCATGTATTTGGACCAACAAGTCAACAACATGAAATATTCTCTACCCTTGGTGAAAACTTGGTGAATAAATTTATGGAAGGTAATAGATTCTTTTTTTTTTTTTTTTTTTTTTTGTTCTCTATTGAAAACTAATATGTTTTATTTTATATGTATCTAGGATATAATGTTACTGTTCTTGCCTATGTAAAACATAAACAAAAAAAAAATTATATCAATACTATATCTTTTGCTCATTGTGCTTCTTTGTTTATTATTATATCTAAACTTTATAGGGTCAAACTTCTTCGGTAAATCATATCAATGAAAGAAACGTAATGAACTAAATTTGTTTTTATTTTACAGGGGAAGACATTTACAATGGGAACAGCACAACACAACGGTAGATTTGACGAAGCAGAAGAAGGAATTGTACCTAGGGCAATGGCATACCTATTTGATTCTCTACAACAACAAACATTTGAAAGACCACCATCTTTTTTACCTACTTCAACAACTTCCTCAGTACCAAGACCTGCATCTCCGACATCTTCTGTCTCTTCTTCAACTACTTCTTTATCAAAAGGATCGCGATTACGACCTAGATCAAGACTTTCTCATGTACCAGCTCCTACACCTACACCTTCTAGAAGTTCTCGATTTTCTATACCTTCTTCATTCAAATATACAGTCAAGGTCAGTTTTGTCGAAATTTACAATGAAGAACTCAATGATTTACTCAATGATGCACCTCCTACTGAACGACCACCAATCACCATTCGTGAAGATACAAAGGGACATATCTATTGGACAGGTGTCAAAGAAGTCAATGTCAATAATGCCGATGAAGTATTATAGTAAGTAATTTTTTTTTTATGCAACATGCAAAAAGTTTCTTATCAATTATTATTTTTACTTTCGATAACAGTTATCTGGAACAAGGAACAAAATCTCGCGCTACTGGTGCTACCGATATGAATGAAAAGTCATCCAGGTCTCATGCTATTTTCTCTGTGACTCTACTACAAGAAAAGTCCTCCTCGACAACTATACCGATAAATCGATCCGAATCTCCTTCACCTTTGAATATCAAACGATCCAGTGTTAGACAGCCTCATGATGATGGTGATTCTTTAATTACTACATCAAAATTTCATTTCGTTGATTTGGCCGGTAGTGAAAGGGTATGATTTGCCAAAAAAAAAAAAAAAAAAAAAAGGCGTATGAAACATAGTTTCTAATTATTTTTATTCTATTTTTTATATTTCAATAGTTAAAGCGAACAGCAGCAGAAGGGGATCGACGAAAAGAAGGTATTAACATCAATGCAGGATTACACGCTTTGGGTAATGTCATCTCAGCACTTGGTGATTCATCAAAACGTGGTACTCATGTCCCTTATCGTGATTCCAAGTTAACTCGACTTTTACAAGATTCGCTTGGTGGTAATGCAACAACCCTTATGATAGCATGTGCCAGTCCTGTAGAATTCAACTTGTCTGAAACTCTCAACACATTACAATACGCCAATAGAGCTCGCAATATTAAAAATCGATCTGAAAAGAACCAAGTCGAAGAATGGATGACATCTGACAATCTGGAACTTTTACGAACAATGATTGGAAGACTCAAAAATGAAGTCAAATATTTGAAATCTTCAACACAAGGAACAACAACTTCATCGGTAGTTCAAGATGAATTTAGTGAATATGGTGATATTGATAATGACATCGATTTTGGACAGCATGATACTGATCAACTAGTTCAAGAGCATCGAATGGTTATTGCTGATTTACAACATCAAATTGAAGAACTGGATGGCGAAGCTAGTGTAACCAGGGAACGAAACAAGGTGGTGGAAGCTGAATTACAACGTCTTCGAAAGCTAGAACAACTGCGTAATAAGAAAGAGCAGGAAAACTTGGACTTTGAACACCTTGTGGAACCGGTGATTGAAGAATACGAAAAAAGCATCGCAAAACTAGAATCTGAACTCAGTGTGTCAAAGGCAGCTCTTCATCATTCAAATATGGGATTGGACGAACTTCAAAAGAAATGCGACGATTTGCAACGGGTGCTGGATCATCAACAAGAAGCTATGTCTGAACTACAAACACGATTTTCCAAGATTGTTGAACGTGAACAAAGCAATGACGCATATATTGAAGAACTAGAATCAAAACTGGAACAATCTGCAAATGACTCTACTCGTGATCAAGATACTTTGAATGAGCTTCGAAACAGAGTGATCAAATGGAAAGAAAATGAGGAAAACACTGAACATTATATTCAAGATCTGGAACGACGACTGGCTATTAGTGAAGAAAAGCATACTCAACTTTCGGCAGCGTTGGAAATTTTGGAACAACAACGTGCAGAACAAGATAATCTGATTGTGGATCTTCAACAACAGGTGAAAAATGCTACTGAACGCAGCTCGACGCAACAACAGCTAATACTGGATGAATTGGACAGCCTCAATGAAAAATACGTTCATCTGGAAAAGGATCGAGATCAATGGAGACTTCAAGTACAACAAAGTCAGCAAGTAAATCAAGGGTTAATAAACGGTACTTTGAACAACAGCAGCAGTAATAGAACCAATAGTAATGATATCCAATCTCTTTCCAACAGCAACGATGACAACAATGAATCCAAAGGAAGAAATGTATTACCAAAGTCAAATCGACGTAGTTTGGCTGACGAAAAAGAAACATCGGCATCATATGCTGCTTTGGCTATCAAGGAGGCTAGTTTGCGTGCAGATGAACAGGCTTCTCGAATACGGATGTTGGAGCAACAACTAGAACAACTGGGCAAGGAACATAAGGATACAATCAAGGAGCTGGATACCGTTATGCATCGTTATGAAGAAGCTTTGGAGCAAGTAGAACATTTGGAAAATACATCTATTCTCACAACCACTGCATCAACAATGGCAACCACAGCAACACACCCATCATTATCTTCTTATTCAACTACAAGTACTTCCCAACCGTCTTCTCGATCTTCCTCCTGTCATGAAGGCTCTGATGATTATCGTACAGGACTTGCAACACCAACAACAGCCTCTGTATCAATTGACACTAGTGATCTTAAAAGCGACATGGCCATTCATTCATCTTCCATGGGGTGCCTTTTAGATCAAGAAATGGAGCGAGCGCAAGATCAAGAAAAGCGAAACATTATTACACAATTGGAAAACGAAATCATCTCTTTAAACGACCAGTTGAAGGAACAGCAAAAATGTTTGGAGGATGTGCGTTTAGACAATGAACAACAAACTCATACACTTGAAACTTATATTGTCACTTTGAAATCCACGATTCAACGCCTAGAAACAGAGGGTGAAGAAGCTACAACGCTCATACGATCACTGAAGCAACTCACGGAAGATCATGAAGAATTTGTCGAACGTACAGTATTACAACTGGATGAAGTGACAGCATCCAACGACACACTTTTGAAGCAATACACGGCAACACGGGCAGCTCTGGATGCATTAAAACAAAAACATAGGTCTGTAGTAGGCGACCGAACAGAACTGACAAAACAACTACAGGATGTACGACGAGAATACGAAGAATCTCTACATCATCAACAAGCTGAATTGGAAACGGCAGCAACAGCAATCTCAACATCGACTGCAATGGTGGAGACACAACAAGGAACTTATCGGCAACAAGAAAGGGAAATTGAGCGCTATCGTCAACAAGTAGATCAGCTAGAAGAGACCATCCGCCTTCGTGATCAACAACATGCTTCCATTTTGCAAGAATTGACCGAGGCAAGGGATACATTGCAGCAGATACAAGCGAATCACAAGGACAAGATGGATAGTTTGATGGCTTCTGCGCTTGATGATCAACAAAAACTGCAAGCACAGATACAGAAATTAGAACAAGATGCACAAGACAAAGATCATCAACATCAATTGCAGCTGAAAGAGCTTGATCAAAAACACACTTTATTGCTGGAAAAGGAAAAGGCTGATACTATCAAGGAACTTTCACAAGCACACACTGAATTTTTGGAAAAGGAAAAGGCTAACACAATCCATCAGGTGGAATTATCGTGGAATGAACGACAATCCGAGTGGGAAAAACGTATACAACAGCTTGAACAAGATGCCGTCGATAATGATGAACGACACCAACTGACAATAAAAGAACTCTCACTGGCCCATACCGAACTTTTGGAAACAGAAAAAAAAGATGCCATCAACAAACTGGAATCATCATGGATCGAGCGACAAACCAAATGGGAACAACGTATAAAGCAATTAGAGCAAGAAGCTGCAGACAATGATGAACAATACCAATCAAGGTTGGAAGAGCTTGCAAACACCCATTCTGATCTTCTGGAAAAAGAAAAAGCGGCTGCTATCAAACAATTGGAACTTATATGGATGGAACGTCAAAGCAAATGGGAAGAACGCATACAACGACTGGAACAAGAGATATTAGACAATGATGAACGATATCAAGCAACCATGAAGGAGATGTCTCTAGTGCACTCAAATACATTGGATAAGGAAAAAGCGGAAACTATCCAACAACTTGAAGATATGGACAAGGATTATAAAAATCAGCTTACAGTATTGACAACCCACAAGACAGCATTAGAAGAAAAAGTGACATATTTGGAGCAAACCTTAGCTAAAGCGAACAATGATCTATTGGCAGCACAAACCAATCTGAAAAACGCGGAAGAAGATATTGTGGAACTTGAAGAACTTTTACAAACAACGGATAACCATCTTGAAGAAATGACAACAAGGGCAAAGGATGCAGAAAACAACGTCAATGACTTGGAAACTATTCTTACGGAGGCTGTACAAGAAAATGAAACCTTGGCTGAACAATTGAAAAAATTGGAAGATCAAATACAACAACAACAACAACAACAACAACAACAACAAGAAAGTCCAATCAAGAAAGTTGGAACGGGGCATCAAGAATCAGAAGAACAACAATTTATAGAAAGGGATCTTATTGGACAAGAACCGACCACCCCTACTCCACAATGTCAAGCATCTCATTTGGAAATGGAAAATGCAGCGCCATCAGCAAATATCCAAACAAAGAAGGTCGATCCTGTCCAGTTACTTGTATCATCCGCATCAACAACAAACCAAGGATCATCAGTGGAATTATCAGTAGAAGTAGCAACAAAAGAAGCACAAGAAAGAGTCAAACATGCTGAACACTTATGTCAACAATTAGAAAAGGACCAGGAGCTAATGAATCATCAACTCAAAGAAGCATTGACTAAGGTGGCACTTCTTGAAAACCAACTATCAACGACAAGTCAACAGCATAAAGAAGCATTGATGGAAGCTCAATCAAATCTGAACATCATGGAACAAGACTTTGTACAGTCAAAGCAGGACCAAGAAACGACCATCAAAGAACTGGTAGAAACTCATCAAAGACGTATTGAACAAATTGAATCGGAACGTGATACAGCAAACCAACAGTATTTGGAAGCGCAGGCGCAATGGAAAGAAACTAAGGAATTGCTCCAAAAGACCATAGAACAACAACGACAGCTTGATGATGATAGGCTCTTACAGGATAGAAAAGTACAATCACAACACGAGGATCAGTTATCAGCATTACAGCAGCAACATGAAGATCAAATATCACTACTACAGCAACAGCACCATAACGATTTATCGGTACTACAACAAAAGTACGATGATTTATCCTCAACAAATCAAATGGAATCATTACAAACAAAATTGAATGCAACGGAAAAAAAATTGGAGCAATCACCATCCAATAGCATCGAAATGATAACAACGGAAGAAAAATCAAGGCAAGAATGGCAACGTATTGTGGAAGAAAACGAAGAATACGCCGAACTGACGAAGACATTGGAACAAGAATTGGATAGAGTGACACAAGAAATGAACAAATTAGTTATTGAGGTTGGTGACAATGAAATCACTCTACAAGATCAAGCAGCACGTATTCAACAATTGGAAAAGACATCAACAGGAGAATTGACTCTAAAGGCAGAATATCAAGAAAAGATGGATGCATTGAAAAAAGAACATGTGACTGATTTGGAACGACAACTCAATGAACAAGCAGCACTCCATCGAGATCAGGTACAAGCCTTGGAACAGGTGACTCGGGAACAGCAAGATGCGTGGAATCAAGATAAACGACAAAAGGACAAATTAACACAACAAGTCAAGTTATTGGAAGAAAAATTAGATTTATTATTACAAGAAAAAAAGAAGTTTTTGTGTTTTTGATTACCTCCCCCTTTTTTTTTATTATTTCAATAAATGGATGTTTTATTTTTTTTTTTTTTGAAATAGTTATGTCCCTTGTTTTATATTAGAAAGAATAAATATATTGTGTCAGTGCTTTCACCAAAAAGATTGACATATCCATTTTTTTTTCCTTATTGATCATTTGTTTTGAGGAGTTGATTACCAAGTAAGAAAAGAAAGTTGGGGAGAGCGGGCTTCTATCGAGCGAATAAAAATGGGTCATTTGTTTCTATTCTTTAACACGTGGTTGTATCTGTGCATCATCTATCTTTTTCTTTTTGATGGGAAGTACTTTGATGATCCATACCATTCTTTTCCTTTTACACATAAAAAAAAAAAAAAGAAGGCTCATTAACGGAGAGTACCCTGTTTTACCACTGTGAAATAAAAAAAAAAAAAAAAAAAAAAAAAAAAAAAAAGGAAGGGGAGATTGATTAAAAAAAGGTTTAGATGTACAGCTGATCGTTCTTTATTTACGCCATCATGCAAATCATGGAAGAAAAAGGAAATCATTGGGTTAGGGGTGATGTTTTAAGATACTCATAGATTTCAAAGGAAACTTGCTTTTTTGTATTTACTTGTTCTATTCAATCATTGTATGAAAAGGGTCTATGATGGATGTTTTTTTTCCTTCTTTTTTTTTTTAAAGACGAAAAAAGAAAAACAAAAACAACAAAAGACATTCTCCTTTTTTTTTCCTATATTTTAGATAGGATGAATAGATGGATAAATGATAGTTTGAAGGCTGATGAATGACAATGGTAACACGACATATCAGTTGTATATTACTTTAGGTATCGCCAGGGCAACCCTGGTCACACCCGACCATTCTCTCTCTTTAAAAAAAAAAGATTATGTCGCATTGTAGTGTTTTCTCAATATTACATCAATAACATCGATAAACCTTATTGTTTTCCTTTTCCCCTTGGAAAATCGTAAACACTTTTTTTTTCAATAAAGGAGGTTTACGAGGGAAAAAAAAAAAAGAAACATACCTTGATGGCGAAAGGGGTGGAGTACAAAGTCAAAGGGCGACATGGAAAACGAAATGGAAACAGAGAAGTTGTACTACAAAAAAGTCAGATGATGGTCAATGCGTGTGTAAAAAGTTTTCACTTTTCACGTATCTACACGATTCATACGTTCTCTTCATATAATCAAGTTGATACAAGTTTTTTTTCGGATATTGATTTAATCTTTACGTCATTTGTGAATATATCATATTTATTAAAGAAGAAAATAGCATCATCTTATCATTGTTCTTATCATCTTAGAGATCATCATGAAAAAAACATCTTTATACTTTTCATTTCTCATCAATAATTAATCCATTTTTCAACAACAGTTACTATGATGATGATGATGGTTTTCTTATATGTATCATTAGACAAAAGGGGTGATGGGAAAATATTGACCTTTTTTTTTTTTAAAGAAAAGACCACGTTTTTTTTTATATATATAGTGGAGAATATCTATCCTCCTTACTTTTATATCCCCCGATCTCTTTTCCCCTTTTCGCCTCCTCCTCGTCATCATCGTCCACCTAAGCATAAGAAAAAAAAAACCCGCTTTTTTTTTTTTCTTGGTTTATATCTTCACAATATCAATTTTCTCCTCAAAACATATCTATTTTTGGGTTTCTACTTTATTAATCCATTATAGCCGAATTCACACTTTAATGATGATGACTTGTCACTTTAATACTTTTTTTTTTTTTGTTTCGTCTATATGCAAAAGAAGAGAGAAACTGACCGTTCGGGGTTCCAATGCCTTGCATGAATTTTTAGCTAATACAATGAATCTCTGTCTTTATATATATAAACAAAAGTAGATATTTACTGGTTAGGAGTAAAATAGCTTATTTATTATTGTTATTATTATTATTATTATTATTATTATTATTTCTTCGCTTTTGGTTGACAATAAACCGATTTAGAAAAAGGAGAGAATAAGGGGAAGAGGAGAAAAGAAGAAAAAGATGATATTTTTTTTTTCTTTCTCCACATATAATGTAAACATAAAATAAGAATCAAGTCATGAGGTACCTTTTTTTTAAAAAAAAAAAAAAAAGGGGGGATGACGATTTTGATGATTGAAAATGACATGTTGATTATCACTTTTTTGAATGGTGTCACTGTTGGACAGTAAGTAATCTCAAAGGTAAATGGGAATGACCTCTCTTAAAAAGGAAATCAGCTCCGCCATCGAAGGGCGCGCTATAAAAGTGTCAGGTTTTCTTGAAACCTTTTTTTTCTTTTTTTTTCTTCTTCTTTTTCTTCGTTTCTTTTTATATATATTTTATACGTATTACTATGTCATCTAATAAATCTGTATGTATTATTAAAAAAAAAAAAAAAGGTTATTTTTTTTTTCATTCATTCATATCTTTTTTTTTTTTTTTAGCTACGAGTATTTAGTCCAGTGGTTATATTTGATGATACTACCCGTAAAGATGAATCATTTCAAGGTGCCAAGATTGAAGAATACAAAGAAAAAATTATGAAAATGATGGAAAGAAATGCAAAATTGTGGTCTTCAAAAGTCATCGATGAAGGACAGCTGGGTAAGTAACCATATTTGGAAGACTAATCATTTCATTCACTCACATTACTCTTTCTTGACAGATATCAGCGTATCTCCCAGTACAAGTACCACCTCCACCACTTCATCTTCGTCTATTAGTTCAAGTGATAGTATTGATACCATAGACAGTACACAAAATCATTCATCATTATTATATACATCTGCTTTTCATTCTGTCGACAAAAACAATACCAAGATGCCTCCACCACTGTCACTATCTTCATCATCTCCATCTCCTACTCTTTTAGCTCCTAGTTTATCAGCAATATCAACGTCAGCTTCTACACCTTTACCAGTCAATGGACAAAAAAAAAGACGAAGAGGAAACCTACCCAAAGAAGTCACGGAATTCTTGAAACGATGGCTGGTCCAACATAAAAAACATCCTTATCCTTCTGAAAAAGAAAAAATCGATTTAGCCCGCCAAACTGGTCTTACCGTCAATCAAATCAGTAACTGGTTCATCAATGCACGTCGTCGTATTCTGCAGCCCATGTTGGAATCCGAAGGTTTACAAGCACATCTTTTATCTTATTCTTTTTCTCCAGCAGATCACCAACAACAACAACAACAGCTTCAACAATATCATCATATTGAACGAAATCAATCGCCTACTACCAATCTTTCTTTGATGGAACAAAAGAAACGTCGACAATTGGATATTTATGCTTATCAAGGTTTTGCAGGTAAATAAATGGAACGAATTTGGGTTGATGATGATCATTCATCCTTTTTTCTTTTTTTTTTTTTTTTTAGAATCTTATCCTGATGATACAAGACGATGGGCCTTTCGAAGAACCAAATTACCCAATTTTGACACGGATGATTGTTACTCTGTGGCCATCAGGTGAATTCCATTATTCTTTCCTTTTTTTTTTTTTATTTTCAATTTGATTTATATATTTATATTTACATATGTTGTGTTGTGTTTTTCTCCTTTTTGTATCTGATGATATATATATATATATTTATATATATACTACGATTTTCCTTTTTTGTCTCTCCCTCCACTTTACATATATCATTTTCATCCTTCTACATATTTTTTTTTTTTTACCTGTCCCTTTTCCTTCTTTTAGATAATTAGCTTCTTACTGTTTACTCCAATTGATGTAACTCTTTTTAGGCATGGAAAAAAAGAAGAGTAACATTTTTTTTTTTTTTACTTTTGTATGGTCATATTACTTATTTACTCTTCCCCTTATCACCACTATGCCTTATTGATATTTTTTTACCATGATCCTTTTTTTTTTTTTTTTTTTTACTTTTATGATGAATCAATAAAAAAAATCAAGTAGTAGTTATAGTGACAGCAGCGGTTTTTATTATTATTATCCCTCCCCCCAATTTTCGCACACAAGTGATTAGATGAAAAAAAAAAATCATTCTACATTATCCGTAGTCATATCAGGTGTCAATGTAGGACAATGACAAACCAACCTTTTCTTTTTGAAGTTCTATTTCCCCAAAGGACCTCATTATTTTCCCTGTCTCATAATTAACGATTTTTCCAATGATATATCTGCGTACCTTTTTTTTTTTCTCGGAGGATTCTCTATTCCCCCCAAAAGAAAAAAAGGAAGAACTCTCGTGCTCCTATAATGGCATGGATCGGAGATGACGGATGATTGATAAATAAAAAAGAGACTGTGTGTGTGAATGTATATTATTATGTACTACAAAAAAAAAAAGGGCTCAGTGCTATTGATTGAAATCCATCAAGTTGATTCAAAAATGACTGGACATGTCACCATGGTAACACAATAAAAATACTTGTTATTATTATAAAATGAAAGAAAAAACCACGGGATGGGGTTTTTTTATAAATAGGTTGGTATGAATCGGGTCAAAATGTAGGTAAATCATTTCCTTCGCAGCCTTTGTAAGAAGAAAGAAAAAAAAAAAAAGAGTGAGCCTAGACTACTTTTTTTTTTTATTATTATTTGTTGGTAGCCCTGAGAATTCTGACAACACCATCATCCTTGTTTGTCACTCTTCTACCTCATCTCCATCATCATCAACATCATCATCGTCATCATCATAGGAATCTTCGTCAGAGAGTCACCCTAAGAAGGTCATCAGTATCATGTCATCATGATCGATGATAATGATCCTGATAGGATCATCATCATTGCAGAGAAGCATAGAAAAAAAATATAATACAAAAATCAAACATGATTCACTAGACAGAAAAAGGTCTGTGCGTTTATGTTTTATATGTAATATGATCATGTGGAATTCTCATCCTCTTAGTAAAAAAAAAAAAAAAAAAAAAAGAAAAAAAAAAAAAAGAAAAGAAAAACATCAGTTGGGTGGGTTTCTTTCCTATGTGGGAAAAACTCGAGTTTTCTTCTCCTTTCCTTATTATGTTGTCCAAGTCACAATGCATCTTTTTTCCACTAACCTTACTAATCATATCTCCACACACACAAGTGATGATCATGCCAAACCATTTACATACATACATACAGACATGCATACATATATTAGATACATATGAATCATGAAAAATAAAAGAAGTAATGAAAAAAAAAAAGAAAAAAACTACTTTATTAACTTTGATGTTGATACGAATATAAATAAAAATAAAAATGTGATGAAGTGAAAAAGGAGAGAAAGAAAGAATAAGACTATATATCTACTTTGCTGCAAAAGGGGTGAAAAAAAAAAAAGATGAAAGAGACGGGGGGGATGAAAGTAGACTATAAACTAATACACAATATGGGCGTAATTTTTCTTGATAGAAGAGGACCCGGAGTTGGTGTTTCCAATCTTGATGACTCGACGCATGATATTTTTGACTTGATTATGTTTACTGACAGTTGCCAATGATGATACTTCTCTAGTACTATTGTCGTCGGGAAGAGAGGGTGATCTTTGTTGAGTTTGATAGGATCGCGGAGATGATGGTTGTTCTTGTTGTTTTGAGTCTTGTTCTGTTAGTTTTGTTTCTGATTCTGTTATTTGTTGCTGCGATGATGGCTCATTTGAACGTTGTTCCTTTTCTTGTTGCCGTTTCTGCAATGATGACTGTTGTAATGATGAATGATGTTGAATAGCAGAATCATTTTCGTTGATTGTATAGTCGTCCCTGATCGTCGTATTTTCACTTGTACTAAATCCACTACCTTCATCCATAGAAGGGAACGTACTTCGTTTTCGAAGGTTGATTTTCATATTGGACAAAGAGTGATTGATTTTTTGTAAATGAGACTTGGCCGATTTCTCCTTTTCTTGCCATTGAACTGAAGGTGCTGATGCGTTGTTTTTGTTATAATTTTGAAGTTGAGTGTTGGATTGAATCAATGGTGCAAATTCAGAAAATGCAGGACCTCCTAGTATATAATAAGTAAAACATATAAAAAGTCAGTTCAACATTACAAGAAGTAATAGGTTTTCTTGCATAAACTTCTACCTCCTTCCATTTTAACTTTGGTAACCTATTTTTTTTTTTTTTTTTTGGAATCTCCCTATACCCAGTTCTCCCCTCTTTCTCGGTCTCATCCCCCCCCCCTTTCCTTCTTCTTTATATATAATGTAGATATTACCTTTTTGATTTGTTTGCAACAAAGGATGACTATGACGATGTTGGAACCAATAAGAGGAAGCAAATGGATCAGATGGCACAGGTGGTTCGACTTTAGTAGCTTGGGACATAATACGATATAGTAATGGGGAAGTATTGGCATCTTTTGGGTCTAATTCAGGAGCAAAAATGGAGATCCAGGGTTCATCTTTCGGTACAGGCACCAATTCGTAATCATCATCTATCATGGCACGAAGTCCAACATTGGCATAATCCACCCAATCCTCATTACATTTCTTGATACGTTGAATAAGACGGTTGTAAGATTTGGCTTTTGCTTTTGCTGCTTCAGCTTTTGACATGGGTTGTAATAAGCTATCATCTTGATTTCCATTTGATATGTCAGGTGATGTTTTAGGTGAATTTGTTGGTGAAAGAATGACAGGTGCAGAGTAACGTTGATAAGGTGACAGTTGGCGATCCAGAGGTGGGCGTTTATTTTGTGTCAACCATTTTGAGTGTTCAATAATCATCCGGGTCATGAAATGGCCTGCTTTTTCGGCAATGATAGGGTCACAATCTGCTGGTCCTAGAGTCACTTTACCCATAGCTTCACCTAAATGATAAGCATCCATTAAATTGTTTGCTTTGTGTTGCATCAATTCCACTAAAAAGTCCAGAATTTCAATCAGTAATGCTTCACCTTTCTTGGTAAGGACTTTGGAAAGATCAGGTAGAGTACAAGCTATAATAATATATCATAGATTAGTTAACCCCTTTTCCTTATGGTTCAATCTTTCCCTCCTTCCTTCACATCAACTAAAGATCTCCTCATCCCTGTTTTTTTTTTTTTTTTTCTTTCTTTCTATATAACCTTTTCTTCACCCTTGATCCCTTTTTTTTTTTCTTGTTCTATTTTGATATTTACTTTCATAGTTGATGATCCTCCAAACTTTCTTTGGGACGATTCGTTCTTGACAGCACCAAAGAGTATCTTGCATCAATGTGGCAACAGAATGAATACTAACTGGTATGAGATCGTCCGCTGTACAGTTTTGTTGACGGAATACCTTCAAAAGTAAGATGCTGTTGGGAGCTAATAAAAATAAAAAAAATTAAAAAAAATTAGATTTTTGTTCCAAGTAGTTAAAAAAAAATATTATTAGTTTTTACCTGACTTGCGTAATATTTTGCGTTCATCTAGGCCTATAAAAAATGATTTTTTTATTTGATAAGTTAATATTTTCTATATAAAATAATGATATTTTTTTTTTATTACCTCGTCTTCGAATTTCATTCATGCAAATTCTAGTGACTTGAGCCCCAAAATCAAATGAATAGGCCATCTGTGAAAATAGATTAACTATAAAAGGATCAATACTATTATTTACTTTTATAATAATATAATGACTTACACTTTTTTGGATAATTTTAATGCTTAAAAAAAAAAAAGGAAAGAAGAAGAAGAAAGAAAGAAAAAAAAAAATAAAAAAAGTGAAGAAAAAAAAAAAAAGTGAAGAAAAGAATAAAGAGAGGTGAATAAATGTGTCTGGCTTCAAAATCTATACTTTATTTTTTTTTTTTTCTTTCTTAGTCTATCCCTCACTTCAAGGAGTTGCATTGTGACTAAAACATCCACCCTATTGTTATTTTTTTATCACATTTATATAATGGATTACTTACTTGAGAATCAATAAAAAAAAAACAAGATCATAAAGTGGTTTTTTTTTTCACTTTGTCCTCCTATTTCGTACGCTCCTTTTTTTTTTTTTTTACTTCTTCTTTTCTCTCTTTCTCTCTCTCTCTCTTTATTTATCCTTTTCAATGATTCAATTGATGATGTATCAGTTTCTTCTATTTATTCCTCTACTACATCACTTTTATTATTATTATTATTATATGATTCACATTTATTATTAAAAAAAAAAAAAAAGAGTAACAATCCCATCCAAAAAAGGCAACCTGAGATTCAATGTGTTTGTTATGTTTTTACTCTGGATGTCTCCCCTAGGCTTCACTTCACTTTTACTCTCCCATTTTGAGACCTCTTGTTTCAAACATTAGAAAGGAGTATTCTTTTTTTCTATCTATCTATGTAAGGAGAAAATAAAATCTTCACTTTTTTAAATCAATTTTTCTTTTTATTTGGTAACCATATATATATACATATAAAAAAGGCGCGCAATCTACTATATCGAATAGTCACGCGGAATTTGAAATACATACTTTTTTTTCATTCTCTTTCTTCAGTATTGTTTTTATTTTTTCCTTGTTCCATCTCTTCTCTTTCTTTTACAAAATGGATCAGGATGTTACTATAAAGGAGCTTTCTAATGTGGATGAAACATCTTCAACTCAAGAAATAATACCACCGACACGTACTGAAGAACAACACAAAGAAGTCTCTCCTGACACTTCTTTGGAACCTCCCTCTGATGACCAAGAGAAACAAACAACTTCATCTATCAATCCTCTTGATTCAAAACCACTGGAACAACAACAATACATCAACTCCCCATCTTCTTGGCAAATTCCTCCGAGTGCTTTTCAACAGAAACAACAACAACAACAACAACCATATGAACCAACAGAATCACTAAAATCTTTGGAAAAAACGACAAGCAAACGCGATCGATTAGAACAACGAATTAAAGAAGACGAAGAAGATTTGGATGCTTGGTTTACATTAATAGCAGATATTCAACAATCTGGTGATTTGGAGGCAACTCGTGCTATCTATGAACGATTTTTGAAGATATATCCAACCTCGGTAAGCAAAATGATAAATAAATAAATATATATATATATATATGTGTGCGTGTGTGCCTGCAGAGAAGAAGAGGGGTATGTGTATATATAGGTTATGGAAATGGATTGAGTAGATGGATACGACATGATTTGGTGAAATGTGCTTCACATAATACGATACTGGACTTGGTGGTGGCTTCTCTTTATTACACTCTTTTGGCATTGGTAGTTATCGGCACTTTCTCCAATAAATTTATATCCATTATCTATATTATTTTGTCCTTTTTTTTTTTATCTCTTTGTATATATCATACATTTCGCCCTTTTTATTATTATTCTTCTTACTTTACTTTTGTCACCTCATTTTGTGTGTTTTGATTATTTTGGATATTTTGGATATTTTGGATCATCTTTGAATTTTCAACAACAAGAGATTGATAGAAGCGAAGAAGAGGGTATTCCTGGTTGACATGCAATGCACATTTCACCAAATCAAAAAAAAAAAAAAAAAAAAGGAAAATAGAGAGAAATGAATTATGATTTTACTAACTTATTATTATTATTATTATTAGACAAAGCACTGGTTAGCATATCTCGAACTAGAACTCAAATATTCCAACTTTAGTCAGGTAGAAGCTCTCTTCACTCGATGTTTGAAAACGGTCCTATCGGTTGATCTTTGGAAATTCTACCTAGGCTATATCCGGCGTATCAATAGTGGGGAAGGTGGTGGGCTGGTTACAACTCCTGAATCAAGAGCAGTTATTGAAAAGGCTTACGAATATGTACTTAGCAACGTTGGCATAGACAAGGATGCTGGACCTATTTGGGCAGATTATATCTATTTTTTGAAATCAGCTGAAGTAAGTGATTAAAAACTAATCAAATGATCTAAACTAACTCTTTATATATTAGACAACAAATACATGGGAAGAACAACGTAAAATGGATAGTATGCGTCGTGTGTATCAAAAAGCTGTGGCTATACCTTTAAATAATGTGGAACATTTATGGAAAGAATATGATCAATGGGAAAACAACTTGAATCGATTAACAGTAAGTGAGCTTGAGGGAGAAAAGAAGTATATATATATATATTAAATAATATTTAATTTAATCATATAGGCAAAAAAGTTTCTGGGTGAAAAATCATCAGCATATATGACAGCTCGTACAGCATTACGTGAATCAAGACCTTTTACCGATAATTTGATCTTCAACACCATTCCAAGAAAGCCGCGATGGACTAATAAGGAAGCTGAACAGGTAACGAACGAATAGAACAACAATGGAAAACAATATGAAATGCTAAACGTTATGGATGATTGATCATAGTTGAATTTATGGAAACGATATATCAAATGGGAAAAAGGCAATCCTTTACATCTTGAAGAGAAAAACGCCGTTATCGAAAGGGTGTCTTATGTCTACCAACAGGCATTTTTAGTCCTCCGATTTTATCCTGAACTTTGGTATGATTATGCGATGTATTATTGGGAACTTAGCAAACCTGACAAGACACTTGCACTTTTGAAACAAGGCATGGAAATCCTACCAACAAGGTAATAAAATGAAACATATGTTTATAATTTCTATCATTTCTTATGATAATGATGATGATGGTGATTATGTAGTACTTGTATTCATCTTTCTATTTTATTTCTAGTTTATTACTCCACTTTGCATATGCTGAAATTTGTGAATCACGAAAAATGCTCGATGAAGCTCGCAAATCATTCGACTCCTTACTTGAACGACTAGATCAAGACATTGAAAAATTAAAGTCAACAGCACAACAAGATATTCAAGTTTTACAACAAGAGGCGGATGAAGAAAAAGCAAATATGAATCTTGGTGATGATGTTGATGGTGAATTACGAGAACAATTACGTACAAAGGAACGACAAGTTAAGAAAGAACAGGATAAATTGGAAGAACAACTATCGGAAAATATGGATGTGATCATGCGACAATGTTCCCTCGTTTGGATTGCTTATATGCGTTTTGCTAGAAGAACTGAAGTAAGTTCATTATCTTTCCAAAAAAAAAAAAAAAAATTAATTAGTTTTTCTTTTATATTATAGGGTATCAAAGCAGCAAGAGCATTGTTTTCAAGGGCTCGTAAATCTCAAAATCGAACATACCATGTATTTATTGCCTCTGCCCTCATGGAATACCACAACAGCAAGGATGCAGGTATCGCAGGTAAAATCTTTGGTCTTGGTATCAAGTCATTTGCAGATGATCCAGCTTATATTTGTGAATACTTGGACTTTTTGATTCAAATGAATGACGACAACAGTAAGTGTTATTATTGTTATTATTATTATTATTATTTGGTGGAACAAGAAAGTAATTTGTTACTCAATGATGATTTATTATTACTATTATTATTATCATTTTGTAGATACACGAGCTCTGTTTGAAAGATCATTGGCCTCTCTACCATCTGAAAAAGCAACCGATGTTTGGAGGAAATTCATGGAATACGAAAACAGATATGGGGATTTGACAAGTGTCCAAAATGTGGAAAAACGATTAAGAGAAGCAAACCCTGAAGGTATTTTTATTATCAAGAACCTTGAGTTATAAATTACTAGTACTCATCTTATTTTTCTTTTTTCTTTTTTTTTTTTTTCTTTTGGCGGGATTCGTCCGATTCTATAAATGATTACGATGAACGATGAATAGTTACTCAATTGGATTCCTTTCTTGCGAGATATAGCTATCTAGATCTTCATCCGGTAAGCGAATTAGAAGTTTTGGAAGGTAAGTTGGACTATATCGATAATAGTTTATTATGCTCATATATATGCATTTTTATTCCTCATAGAACCATCATCAGGAACTCCTGCAGCATCACCATCCGATATAGATACAAATCAAGTCGACGATGAATATGATCAACAGCAGCAACAGCAGAGTTACAAGGAAAAGCAAACATTAGGAAGAACTGGTGAACCAAAACGGGCATTGTTGGAATCTGTTCATGCTGAACGTTATCCTCGACCAGATTGGAGTCAATGGCAATTATTCAAACCAACCGCAGAATCTTCACGACCACCCATTAGTAATCTATCAGCTCCTTTAGGAACAGTGGATGAACTCAAACGATCCGCACTTAACCCAAGCTCTCCTCCTCCTCCATTTGCCGCAACAACTACTCCACCCCAAATTGGACATGAAGGCGGATCTGCACCTACTGTATCTACTCAGCCAATAATACCAGCACCTATCCAACAACAGCAACAATTACATACAAACCAACCACCAGAACCTTCACCACCATCTTCCAATTTGCCTGATCTAATTACTTATTTCGTCACCAATCTACCATCACCAGCTGATTATAATGGACCTATACTCAACGCCATGGAATTTGTAGAATTATTACGTAATGTCAATCTACCATCGTCTCCCATGCCTCGTGGTTCAGCTGTTCCAATTGGTATGTCCCGGTTACCATCATCATCTTCTGCTACTTCTTCACCATCACCTGGTCGTGGTCATCCTGGAATAAAGCACAACTTGGGTCGTGATATGCCTCCTGGTCGTGGAAGAGGTCGTGGTGGTAGTGGAATGGGCTTCAAAAGGGTAAAGTTATGATTTCAGGGGAGGCAAAATGATAATCTTCAAGAGTTATATGACGATGCTTATAATTTTTTTTTTTTTTTTTGCATATATTAGGGTGGCAGTGGTGGACCAATCCGAGGCCGTGGTATGAAACGAAAAGGTGGACGAGATGATTATGAAGACGATTATCAAGGCAACAAAGGTAAAAAGTGGATAAAAGCGGATACTTTTGAAGAGAATGCTTTACTTAATCCTTTTATTTTTGAATAGGTATGGGACCTAATCGACCACCGGATTATGATGTATTTAGAGCAAGACAACAAGCCAAGAGACAACGAGACGACTCTCCTTTTTAGTTTAGACTTCCCCACCTTCCCTTTTTTTTTTTTTTTTTCTGTATCTATATGTTTATATATGACCTATCTCATTCTATTTCTTTCTATTCATTTGAAATAAATACTTCTAGCTGGATCTTTTTTTTTTTTGGAAATCGAAATTTAATGTGGATATTTATTATTTATTTATTTTTTGTTGTAGAAAATTGGGATGAAAAGTGTGATGATGGATGAATGAATGATGGTATGATGAGTGGATAAATTCCATTCCCAAACCAGTCTTAGATTATTTCTATATGTTTTTTCTTCTTTTTTTTTTTTTTTTTTCTGAAAATTTTGGATTTTACAGCCAAAATTTTCGAACTCCTCAGCCAAATTTAAGCTGTGAAAATAAATTGTTGATGGGTCATCAGGGAATTTTTCGAAAAATCGAAAAAATCTTCTGGTGCACGTTAAACGACAAGTTAAACGACAAAGTAAGGTTAGATGAATTAGATTACTTCTTTGAGAGGAATTCAGTGATGGTTAATTTTATTGGATGATGATTACTACTGTATGAAGGATGACTGAATTGATTCCTATTCTTTAATTTACTTTATACATTTTGAGGGGAGAAAATATATATATTATTATTCATGCAATTGAATGTTTTCATCTATGTTCATTTCAAATTTGGTATAATGATGATCCTTTTTGGGAGAGCTACAAAGGTATAAAAATGAGTATAAAGGAAAGTTTAACTTCTCTATATGGAGCAGTGATGAAAAGCCATCATGTATGTTTATATTATTTTTTAGCAGTGTAGTCAATGAGAGAGAGAGGTTTGGAGTAATTTAACTGTATAAAGACAAAGGAAGATCAATGAAACTCCAAGTTGAATCCTAAAGAAAAGAAAAAAAGAAAAAGTGGGAAAAAACGAAAACAAAAGAAACTCATTTCTTGGGATTTTCATAACCAAAAAAAAAAAAAAAAAAAAAAAAAAAAAAGAAGAGAAGGATCGAAACTCCTCGGTTGAATTGGAGTCAATTTGGCCCTGAAAATTTTTTTTACTCAGGGGATTGGTTGTAAAGGTGATCGTCTTAAAAAATTGTTTCTTGGGCGTAAAACCGGTCATTGTCAATTAGGAGAGAGAGTTTGGAACCCTGATGAAGCTTGAAAATGATTTGGAGAGAGAGTTTTATATATATATATATATAAAATATGGGACCATTCTATTTTTCTATATATAGAAAACTTACATTGTTTTCTTGATCTGGTTTTGTATATATATAGTATGATGATGATGATGATGATGATGATGATGGCTGATGATTGATAATAATAATGAAATATTTCCTTTTACTGTATTTCTTATACGTTTTTTTGTTTCATTTAGAAAATGTAGGAAACCATCTTTTTTGTGATATTGATTTTTTAGGTCAAGTTCAAAAGAAATATTTTCAAAATTTAGTTTTTTTTTTTTTTTTTTACAGGATGCTTTACAGCGATTAAAAACAATATATATTACTTTCTAAATCTTTTTTTTAGATCTAGAGCCATGATCTTGAAATAAAAGATGCACCCAAAAAGGAAAGTAACACAGTTGGTTGCTCATATGGTTACGGACTTCCAACGGCTCGTTCATAATACTCGTTTTTTTTTTCTTTTCTTTTTTCTTTTTTTTTTTTTTTTTTTTTTTTTTTATTTTATTTTCTTTCTTCTCTTCTTTTTCCTTTCCTCTCTTTCATTTACTTCTTTTGTACTTTGTTATTCTGATCCAATTGTCATGACTGATGTGGGTATCACAACATCCCCTCCCAGTAGTATACGACCCTCACTTCAAGATGATGAATATCTCGAAGATGGACCACTTTTCCGCGCCACCATCAAGGAATTGGAAAGTCGAACCAGTACACTTAAAGCCTATTTAAAACGACTTGTCAAAACAACAACAGCATCACTGGAAGCTAAACAAGCATGGTTAGCAGCTGATGAAGAACTGATACAATCTTTACAAGAAATCCCGGCTGCTGAACCGCTATGGACGACATATCTCAATGACACGTGGAAAACCATGTTGGAACAACGTGAAAGGTTACAACATTCTATGCAATCATTATTAGTTGATCCTCTTTTGAAGCTTTATGAAATGGATCTCAAAGTAGCGGATACAAAACGACGTCAATTTGAAGAAGAAAGTAAGGAATATTACACTTATTTGGCCAAGTACTTGGGAATCAAAAAGAATTCAACCTCTGCAGATGCTCGTTTAGTAGAAACTAAACACTTATTCAAGAAACGTCATTTTGATTTGATTCGTTTTGATTACTATGCTTTTTTGGTGGACCTACATGGTGGAAAGAAGGAACAGGAAGTTCTTTTTCATTTGCTCAGCTATCATCAGAAAGAACATGCCTTCTATCAACAAGTTGCTCAACATTTGGAAGAACATCGATCTGGTCTTGATCACTTGGGAACTCAAATGGCGCAGGTAATATATGAAATATATATATATATATATATATATATATATATATATATATATATTGATTTAGCTTTATTTATTTATCTTGATGTGGAGGATAGGCAGCTCGATCTCAACAACTAGTTAATAAGGAACGATTGGAAAAACGAAAATGGCTTGAATCAAAATATGCTGAGGATTTGGCGACAGAGACAACCCATCTTTCATCACAATCGACAGGCGACAATACTAGTTCAGATTCGTTTAAGACACCATCTCCACAAGATGATATTGATAAATTTCATGGTATTCGTGATTTGGAACAACAAGATCGACGGTTTTTGGATCAGAATGAACGACGAAAGGAAGGTTTTTTATTCTCAACATCTAAACCTTTGAAACCTAATGGACATGATATGGCTTCTAGTGTGGCATGGCACAAGTATGAAACTAGAAATGATCTAAAAAAAAAAAAAAAAAAAAAAGAAGAAAACTCATATTTTGTTTTTATAGATATTGGTGTGTTTTGAGTGGTGGTAAATTACACGAATATAGCAATTGGAAACGACATTTAGAATCACATATTGATCCCATCAATCTTCGGTTCGCTACGGTACGTGAAGCAAGGAATGCAGATCGACGATTCTCTTTTGAAATCATTACACCACAACTTCGACGTATATATCAAGCCACTTCTCATGATGAAATGCTTGCCTGGGTCAATACCATTCAAAATGCTATCGAGGGACTTTTAGATGGAACAGGAACATCATTGGATTTGTTACAGGGTATGGATCACCATCTAGGAGATACTGAAATCAACAATTGCGTCAATGTCGAGTCACTATTAGATGCAGCTGTCACACCACCAACACCTACACCATCTAAATCAAAGACAAAAAGTATCACCTCTATCTCCATCAAGAAACCTGGTAATGGTCATCATCGTCGTTCTCTAAGTGGTGCTTTGCGTAATGCTGGTCTTGCTGTGGCATCCGGTATTCACTCTTCTTCTGCTTCTACTCATTCTGACAGGCATTCATTCCGAAAACAACCATCCAATCCTGATCTGTCGGCCGCTATGGATGATCCTCCTCCACCTTTACCTCCTTTACCATCTTCTCATCAACTTCATGTATCACCCTCTTTTTCAACAACATCATCTAACAACGAACGATTTAGATGGTCCATTTTATCGACACATAGTATGGCTAGCAGTAATATTCCGGCCCAAAAACTATCGACTGCCTCAGGACAATATACATTTTCTCCCTCTGTTAATACCAAGCTTATTGAGAACATTCGAAACGAGAAGTCCAATCGATTTTGTGCTGACTGTGGAGAAAAGAATCCGGATTGGTGTTCACTGAATTTGGGAATCTTCTTATGTATAGGTAATATATATATATATATACAAAGGAAAAAAATAATCAGTTTATTAATTTTTTTTTTTTTTTTTTTTTTTTTTTTTTTTTGTGTAGAATGTTCAGGTATACATCGAAGTATGGGTACTCATGTTTCCAAAATCCGATCATTGACTTTAGATAGTTCATCTTATTCTCCTGATATACTGGCTCTTTTACATTCTATGGGTAATGCAAAATCAAATTCTGTTTGGGAAGCTACCTTGTACGATACCAACAACAATAACAACAAGATTCAACCCACGGATCGACGTGAAAAAAAACTCCAATATATCCAAGCAAAATATGTTGTTCGATCTTTTATTCAGCCTGCGACCACTGATGATGAAAAGGAAGATGTGAACTTGTGTCTTTTCAAGGCCATCGATGATGATGATATTCCACAAGCTTTACGGGCAATAGTACTTGGTGCCAATGTCAATTCATGTCGACCAGGTCTGGATGATGATGATAGTGATCTCAAGATTCCAAGATATGCACTTCATGTGGCTCTTCTTCATGGTAGAATGCGGGATGAAAACAATATCGAAGATGATGACGATATTTCGGGTACTTCTATGGAGGAGAGGAAAAGACTATTTCCAATGGCAGAATTCTTACTTCAAAATGGCGCTGATGCTGGTATAGTCGATTCAACTACAGGAAAAACGGTGTCTGAACTGATAGGACTTGTGGAATCCTTGGTGAAAGATGATGCTATTGCGTATTTGAATCTCAAAAATACAGCTCGTGGTCAATCTTTAGTGTATCGATCAAGTTTACCTCCTCTTCCAACAAAATCGACAATACATTGAACTTTTGTTATACCTTCTTTTTCTTACTATTAATTATCCTAGTTATTATTATTATTATTATTATTTTTATTATTAATATTATAGTCATATATCCTTCATTTTATCTCTTTACTAATTACAAAATGATATCCTTAATTTTAGTTTCTTTTTTATATATATATATATAACCCAAATAAAGGAACGTCTTTAATTGTTGCATGACAGAAAAGCCACAGGAACATTATACGGAGCTGTAAATCGCAGGATGCCTGATAGAAAAAAAAAAAAGAAAAAAAAAGGCTTTCACATTTTTTTTTTTTTACTTCCCTTTTTCTTCCTTTTTTTTTTATATATATAGTTCCACTTTTCTTTATAGTCATATGGCCACTCAAGATAAACTCGACATTTTACTAAAGTGGTTCAAAGACAATCAAGTAGAATATGAACAAGAAAGTATAGATATCCGGATCAAAGATGGATCTTTCGGTGTTTATGCACTCAAGAATCTTCCCAGCAAGAAAACAGGTAACAACTTTTCTAGACTTGGTTTTAACAACATGAAAAAAAAAGGGTTATTTATGATTCCATTTTATAATTTTTTTTTTTTTTTTTTTTTAGTTGTCAAGATTCCAAAAGAAAATATACTTTCCATCAGAACAACAGGCATTGCCAATATCTTGGACGATGAATCTATTGAAGGTGGTTGTTCTCTGGCTTTAGCCGTCCTTTATGAAATGTATCAAGGCAAAGACTCTCCCTGGTATGGCTATCTTCAATCTCTTCCTGTATGCGAAGACCTTCCTATTTTTTGGTCTGATACTGAAAAATCATACTTCAAAGGAACTGAAATGGAACATGCTGTGGAGAATGATTTAGTAAGCATAAAAAAAAAAAAGAAAGAAAGAAAGAAAATGAGCTTACATTTTTTATTATTATTGTTATTTATTTAGCAAGATCTGAAAGATGATTATGAAGATATCGTAAAACCTCTTTTGGTCAAGTATCCTGATGTATTTCCTACAGAACATTTTACTTTTGAACAATTTCAAAAAGTGACGACTTTGGTGGCCTCTCGTGCTTTTGAGGTGGATGCCTATCATGAAAACGCCATGGTGCCTTTTGCAGATATCTTCAATCACCGATCCGGGAATGAACATGTTCATTTTGAAACCGATTTCGAAGTGTGTGATGCTTGTGGTGCTTTGGAATATTGTGAACATCAATACCTTCAATTTTTGGAAAATGACGACAATAGCGAAAACGATCAAGAGATGGAAGGATCTGAAGGGGAATGGTCTGATGATGATGACGATGATGATGGAGAAGAAGAAGAAGGACCATTGAAGGATTTGGAGCAAATGGAATTGGAAGGTATAGACTTTTGGAAGGAAGAAGATGATGATGATGATAACAAAAAGGATACATGCGACATGGTATTGGATCGAGCGGCCAAAAAGAACGAAGAATTATTTAATACATATGGTGATCATCCCAGTATTACTTTACTCAACAAGTACGGCTTTTGTTACGACAACAACCCCAACGATTATATTTCTGTTAGTGAAGACAACGTGGTGGATCTTTGTTTGGCTGTGACGAAAGAAATGTTACGTTCAGAACACAAAACTATGGACGATGAAGCTCTGGATGCCTTGGCGGTGGATCGTACCCGACCCCGATGGGAATTCTTTTTACTCAATGAATCCATTCTTTGTCCCTCGGCTGAAGATGAAGAACAAGATATGAACGAAGATGATTACGAGGAAGATGATGACGAACATGGTCACGGACATGACAACAATGACAACGATGATGATCACGAACACGATCAAGACGGAGGATGTTGTGGTGGAGATGATGAACGTGGACATCAACAAGGAAAGTCATACTTTGCCAATGTGGAAGGATTATATGAAGATACTCTTACTTGTTTATTACACATCATGTTTGTGGAGCAATCTCAATTTGACAAATTCATCAAGGATACTCAACATGCGGTGGATTACTTTGAAAAGATGGCATCAGGGAAAAAGATGGCAGATCAATGGAAGATGAAGAAATGTGTGTATCAAGTATGCAAGGCTCTTTCCGAACATAGACGTCAAGATTATTTGGATCCTCAAGGAAAATGGATCTCTGTACAGGATGATTTTGAAACAAGAAAGAAGGTAATATAAAATAGATTGTTGATTAGATTGAACTGACCCACTTTTATCTATAGACGACCAACAAACGGGAATATTATGCTTTAACTTGCCGAATGAACGAAAAGAAGATCATTGAAAAATCGATTGATTACTATGATACCATGATACAACAATGCAAACCACCCACGGGATCATCTGGCACCAAGCGAAAATCAAATGCAAAGAAAATTAGGAAAACAAAATAGAATTCATTGGATTATAGATGTAATTTGTATTATTTTCAATAGATGTATTCATATATGCTTTTATTTTCCCTTTATTCCAATAAAAATGTATTTTTTTTTCCAAAAATAAAAAACAAAAAAAAAATAGATGGTATAATCTTGATGATGAAAAAGTATATGATACTAAGAAGTGAAATTCATAAAGTAAGCCATTTTGTTCGTAAAAAAGGGGAATCATCCAGTCCAATGTCAACAAAGGTAGTCTGTAAAAACAAGAGTTGGGCAACCACTCGACCGATGATACCAACACTCACAATCAAAAAGGTCTTCATATATGATAAATCGAGATATACTATAGAAGACATGTATAAGATCGAGATATATAGATAAGGTATCATTTTTTTTTTTTTTACCTGATAAAGCTTCCACATTAGAAGCAAGAACAATGATACTAACCAACCATGAATATTCCAATTGTTCATATTCCCAAATCACCATCAAGATTAACAGCATTTTGCCAAAACTAGATATAATCAATGCCATTGATATATAGTTATATCTAAGTATAAAATCATTGTTAAGTCTTATGCAATGATAAATCTTTTATATACACATATAAATTACCTGATGACCTTATCATGGTTCCTGAAATAAAATCGCAAGGCAAGACAAATGCAGCAATGGAATACAACAAATTCTGAATCAATCATTCATGTAGAGAAAATGAATAAATAAGAAGATAAAAAAAAAATAGAGTCAGTGAAAATTTTAAATCTGTTAATTGTATTTACCTAATATACATAACGCCAGGATATACAAATATTGATAATACAAAGGTTTTTGAAGAAATAATGAGTTGTATAACGTGCAGTATCGTTCTAATCGAAACCATTTTATATCTAATTCCAATTAAAAAAAGTGAGCATCATTTTATCTACCTATCTAATTTTTATTTGGAAACTTACAAACTTCAAACAAAATGAGAAGAATGGCAAATCGAATAATATTGGACTACAAAAAAAAAAAAAAAAGAAGAGAGAATCAACAACTAGTTATCTTTCACTTTTTCTTTGTTCGTACCTCTATTCCATGACCAGTTTGAGATATCCTATTGAATAATAAGTGTCGATATACTTGAGGTTTCAAAAGTAACATATCAATAAAGATAATGACAAAGTCATATTCAATGTACTTGTCAGCAAACTGTTGACATTGATCCTACTTGTCAGTGATAAAAAAAAAAGGATAAAAGTTGATACCTTAATAGTTCCTTAAGAAAAAAACTCATTTACTTACACAAGAAGTTAAACGAATATTATCTTTACTATACTGTGTATATAAATTTTGTACTCGAGTTCCACATTCTACACATGTTGGCATTTGATTAAAGGAAAGAAAAAAAAAAAAAAAAAGTCTATACACAGTCGAACAAGCTTGCCTTCTGTCCCCTCTTTTAATAAGCAGCTGGTTTGATTCGGAGTGACTTGCGTCCAAATCGGGCAACCCAGCAAAAAGTCTTTTTTCCTTATTTCGTCAAATGAGGGGGATCCTTTTTTTTTTTTTTCTTTCTCTTTTACTTTTTTTTTCATCATCTAATAACCCCTTATATAATATTTCCAATGTCAACTCGTTATGCTAGAACGATTGATAAGGCTCAAAATGAGAAGAATACAGCAATTTTAAAGGGACTTTTACAACAACCTAGAAACAAATATTGTGCTGATTGTAGACGAAAAGGTAATTCTTCATCAATTCTACTTATCTTTTTTGTTATTTTTTAATAATACATTACTGTTCTCTTTATAGATCCTCGTTGGGCATCTTGGAACTTGGGCATATTTGTCTGTATTCGTTGTTCTGGTATTCATCGATCCATGGGTACTCATATTAGCAAAGGTAGACATAACAACTCGTTTGACGCTTGATTAAAAAAGAAAAATCTCATCTTTTTAAATCAATATAGTGAAATCCGTAGACTTAGATTCCTGGATACCCTCCCAGATTGAAAACATGGAAAAATGGGGAAATGAACGTGCCAATATGTAAGTATTTAGAAAGGTGATAAACTACTTGGGTTATGGCTTACTGGTTATTTTTTTTTTTTTTTGACAAATAGGTACTGGGAAGCCAATCTCAAGGATAACAAACCAAATGAAAGCAATATGGAAATGTGGATTCGATCAAAGTACGAGATGAAACGATGGGCAATGAAAGGACCTATTCCTGATCCTAATAGTTTGAATGGTACTTCAACTACTACTACTACCAAACCAACAACATCAACAACTGAACAGGTAAAAAAAAAAAAAAAAAAAAAAAAAAAAAAAGTTGGATTTTGGGTATTAATACCAATTTATCAGGTATCTTCATCGAACAACGCCAAACCTGTCAAAGCAAAACAAACAGAATTCAATAGCTTGGATGACTTTTTTGGCTCTAGTCCTAGTAACAGCACCACTACCACATCAACTGCTACTAATGGCAATCATATTCAGCAAAAGAACGACATTTTCTCGATGATAGATAACAATCCACCAGCAACAAATGAACAACCAAAGAAACAACAAGTTGATTTCAAATCATCCATTCTATCACTTTATAATAAACCACCTTCGAACACAACAAACTCCTTCATGGGCAATGGCAATAATTATCAACAACAACTCTCTGGTTTGGGTGGATTCTCAGCAACAACAACAACAACAACAACAACAACATCAGCTCAAGATAATGGATGGGGATCATTTGTTAGTAGTTCGGCAACCACAACAAGTTCTATGACCAGTCAGGCACCAATATCTACCAATCCTCAACAACAACCAAAGAAACAAGCATATGAGTAAGTTCTTTATTTATTATGAATAAAATATTGAATTGGTAACTAATCTCTTTATTTATTTTATGATAGTGCGTTTGCTGATTTATTGGGTTAATCAGAATTTATATATTATTATATAGAATTTTTTGAAATAAAGAAAGAAAATAAAACTGTAAAAGCTTGCTGTCTTATTTGGTATTCGCCGTCAAACATGTGATTTTAAGAAAAAAAAAGAAAAAAAAAAGACTGGGTGATTTTTTTATTATTATTACTATTATTTATTTTTTTATTATTTCTTTTCTTTCTCCCCTCACTCTTTTAAAACCCTTTAGTCTTTCCTTCTTCTTTTCTCTTTCTATACTATTTTGATACGTCCCCTTCATTTTTCCTTTATCCATTTCCACTCCCTTTTTTTTTTTCCCCACATACATACACAAAAAGGAAAAAGATGTCATCTATTCCGACTCATTATTCTGAACGTTACGTTAATCAACGATATAACAAAGCACTTCATATTGTTCAACATCTTCCTGTTTCATCAAGTTTTCAACCAAATAAAGAACAAAAGTTGGAAGTAAATGAATATTTATATAAAAGATGATATATTGATGCTTTCTTTCTTTTTTCTTTTTTATTATTATTATTAGTTGTATGCTTTGTATAAGCAAGTTTCACATGGCAATATAGATACACAACGACCTGGTATTTTTGATGTTGTTGGACGAGCCAAATGGTAAAAAATAATGATAATAATAAAGAATTGAAAACTAGTTTGATGATGGATTGGGAATCTGATCTCTCCGGTATATTATGACAGGGACGCGTGGGCAAAATTACAAGGATTACCTACGCTGGAAGCAAAACATCGATATGTAGAAACATTATTAAGAGTGTGTGCAGAGGTAAACCAAAAAAAAAAAAAAAATAGAAGTATATTTGCATGTAGTAAAAAAAAACCAAACATATATTACATAGGCTTATCGAAAACCTGCGGCAAAAGCTCAAGTTCAACAAATTATTCAAGCATTTGCTACGTTACGACCAACAGAAGATGATGATTCTGATAATATGGATGATACCGATGACGATGAGGACGATATGGATGCTGTAGGTAATATCACGGAAATTAAAGCAGATATATGAATGAAGATTGATCTTTTTTTTTTTTTTTTTTTTTGTTTCAGCAACAAGTGAATCTGTGGATGAAGAAGAAAAAGCATACCTTATGGATATTCGTAGAAGTGTACCTGAAATGACATCGTCGAGATCAGTATCTACTATTACAAGTCAAGCCAGTGATTCTTATCAGTCTTTACGATCACCTGCTTTACGATCATCACCTAGAACAAAACAACGTCGATCATGGCATTCAAAACCACCACCGCCACCATCACGTTCTCTAAGACGAGCTCCTTCTATAGAATCAACTCAATCTATGATGACAGCTCCCAGTGCACCACTTCGACGACACTCACGATCTTCTTCAACAACTATTCATCACAACGCAGCTGGTATGCGACCCCCTTCTACCATATCTCATCGTTCGGATCGACGTCATCCAACCATTGGACCTCAACAATATGCTGTATTTGATGAACCATTTGATGACAGTATCAATCCCTGGGCTACAAATCAAGACAATAGACGATACCGATTAGGTGATGATTCTAGTGATGACAGCATAGATGAAGAACGAAAAAGTTATATATCAACAAATGTGACATCAGGAATGACACCTTATATCTCACGACCTTCCTCTTCTTCTGCATATCATCAACATCGTATGTCAAACAACAGGCAACATGACCCAACCGTTCAATCACCTTTATTTGATGAATCAACTACATCCTCTGTGACAGCTACTGGTATACCATCCGAATCTCAACCAAGACAATCTACTGGAAATAGATTATTGACTGATCAACAGTATACATCAGTAGTTGCTCTTGGTCCAGCTACAAAACGTGCATTAGAAACCCTTCAATCAGAAATCATTGCATTGAACGACCGCATTGATGGATTACGGCAGGAATTGATAGATCGGGATAATGAAATGAAACAAACATCGGCATCATCGGGAAGATCGACGGTCAAAAAGGATGAAGATGATGGTGAAATATGGGATGCTTGGGAATGGGTATTCAAGGTAAAATGAAAATAAAGGGAATCAGTTGGTTTTATTAATTTTTTTTTTTTTTTTTTTTAGGCTGCATTGAAGCATACCACTATGAACTTGATGACAATCTTCCTTATTGTGTTCTTCTTGTACAAACGGGGTAATCCTATTGCTTATGCCTTTATTGGTTCTCTTTACAAACAATGGTGTACATTCAAATTGGGATTTTTAAAAAACAAATTAATTTTATAGTATAGATTAGTTTAATAATAATAATAATAATAAAATGGAATAATCTTATTCATATGATCATGATTATAATGGTTCTATATAATTGTTTTTATTTTCTTTTTCTTTGTTTTTGTTTTTGGAAAAAAAGGGGGAAGATTATGTTAGGCTATGAAAATATGTGGCCATATCATGTGAGGTCTCTCCAAAACTTCCACATGAAAATGGGATTTATTTATTTTCTTTTTCTCCTTTTTTTTTTTCCTTTCTTTCTTTCTAACCCTTTTATCTTTTTTTTTTTTTTTTTTTATGATATCGCCTTTGGCAATACGAATTAACCATTACAACCACCCAATAAAACTTGATGGCTTTAGTACAATCATCACACTCATCATTGAATTGTAGAGAAAACAGTTTATCCACTAGCAAGACTCTACGTCATTGGCAAAGTCAACCTATGCTAAGGTCCAAAGCAAGTATTCAACTCTCACCATTACATGCCCAAGCACAAACCAGTCATACCACACTTTTAGTTGACCCACCAAAAGCCTTACGAAAAGAGATACCTCGATCCCCTTCTTCTATTTCTCATTGCGCCCAACAGAATGAATGGCATCGAACACAAGATAAACTGATATTACAACGACAGAACTTCCTAGCCGATGATAAATATCATGTGGATCATCCTACCAATATGAAACGCTTAACAAAGGAAATGGACCGGGTGAATCGTGAATATAAGACTGTGCGTCATTTTGAAGATCCAATGGCTGAGTCCTTTTTTCGTGTTGCCTATCATCATCATTCATCATCCTTACCATTATCACCATGGATGCAAACTTCACCACGTTATATTTCCTCTTCCTCTTCTGCTTCTTCTGCCTCTTCTTTATCATCGGGTGGTTTACTCGATTTATCTTCTACATCTCCAGTTTTACAACGAAGAGCTTCTGATTTCATGCTAAAACGACAAGATCGACGCAATTCATCTACCTCGATCCATTCCGCCATCTTGGAACGATCTCATCATCATCATCATCATTCATCCACTTCACCTGCCAAAGGATTCTTCTTTTTTTCCCGATGGTTTCGTCCTTCTTTGCCACCCGCCAAACATCGTTATGCTCATCATATCACCGGATGATTCCTTTTTTGGATTCTCAAATTAGATACCTATTTTTATTACCTATATATATTATCACCATTTTATTCTTATTGTTATTATTATTATTGATTACTACTATTCTACTATAGATACCCATTTCTTTTATTATTATTATTATTATCATTATCATTATTATCCTTCTTAGCATCTACTATTGACTTTATATTTTATCATTCTTTCTGAATTGTGCTTTATATTTAATAAATTACACTGATTTTTTTTTTTTTGGATTTACATGATAAAAAATGATGATATAATCATCATCATCATGATAGGCATTTGAAACATATGACATGATGATATGCTTATCTTTTTTTTTTTTTTTTTTTTTTAATCTTGTCAAATGTTTGACTGGTATTTACAAATATAGTAATAAAAAGATATTCATTTTCTTCTTTCCAAAAGAGGGAGGTAAAATATAGAAACATCCTTTTGTCCTTCTTGTGAAACCTCATGTAGAACACATATATATATATATATATATATATATATCTACACATACACAAACCTCCCTAAAACGATCCATTACCACATCCCCTTTTTTCTTATTTCATTGACATTCATTTTGGTTATCTACTTTGTATTGTTTTATCATATAATAGTTTTTATTTCAATTTTCAAATATATAAAAATAGAATGTAAATAATCAGTTGGGTAAGAAAAGGAAAGGCATCCTATATCAATAAGGTTGTACATCAAAATCAAAATCAAAAAAAAAAGGGAGGAAGAATAGAAGGAGAATAAAAAAGGATAAACGTCAAAAGAAAGAAAAAATGGGAGACAAATAAATGGGTATCAGTAACAGTATAAGAAGGGAAGAGTGAAAATTTGTTATAATAATAATATATATATAAAAAAAAAAAAAAAGAGAGAGAGAAAGAGAAGGATCATGCCCAAATCTAAATAATAATAATAATAATAATAAAAAAAAAAAGAAAGAAAGAAAGAACGAATAACATTTATAGTTAGTATACAACACTATGATCCTCTTTTTTTTTTTTTTTATGTACCTTGAGTAAACTATCCCAACTACCAGTAGCCAAGGCATTTCCATCAGCAGATACTCCAAGACAAGAGACACGATTATCGTGAGCAGAAAGAGTACCTAATCTTTCCCCTTTTAATGTATCCCAAATATGACAATTACAATCATCATAACCACCAAATAAAAGACGACCTGAAGCAGAAAAGGCAATGGAAGTAATACCACAAAGTACAGCTTCACTTGAATATACACCTAATTCACAATCAGCACGTAAATCAAATAATCGACAACTAGCATCATCGGATCCAGTAGCAAATGCATCACCATTAGGAAAGAATTGAACAGCATTGATATCTGATTCATGACCTGCAAATGTTTGAACACATTTTCTTGTTCGAATATCCCATACTTTGGCTGTTGCATCACAAGCACCTGTCACGAATACATTTGGATTTGGACCTAATGAAAGACTAAAAGAATATATTTAAAAAAAAAAAAAAAGATATATATATATATAATGTACCTCATCACATCACCAGTATGATCCACGAATTCTTCAGTTTTGACCCCAGCATCAATATCCCAAAGCATACAAGACATATCACCAGAAGAAGTCAAAATTTGACGATCATTGATAAAACGACAACAACTAAGGTAACCAGTATGAGCAGAGAGTTCACGTTGAGGACGTACAGGACCATCGCGTCCACGTAAATTGTAAATAGAACAAATATTATCCAAACCACCACTAGCCACAAAATTACCAGAAGGAGAATAAGCACAAGCCATGACCCAAGAAGACCGTAAAGGAATAGCATGTACTTTATTAGAAGAGTAAACATCCCATACAATCAGTTTACCATCTTGAGAAGCAGATACTAAATGTCGTTTATCTTGAGCCCAGTGCATAGCATTGATTTTAGCCAAGTGACCTTTCAATGTACGACGCGCTTTCATTACAATACGAGGTAAGTCTTCTATTTCTTTGGCCATTTCTTGTACTAAAATATATAAATAAAAAATATTAGTAAATATATATATATATTATTATTGAATTTACATGTTGAATCGGCTAAAGCTTCTTTTCTTTGCTTAATACGTTCCTTGAGTGCTTCAGCTTCTCGTCTAGCAGCTGCAATTCGTTCCTGAATATCAGTATCGTTGGTATTCATATTAAAAGGGTTTTTCTTTTCGAAATGAACTATAAAATAATAAAAAAAAAAAAAAGAAGAAAAGAAAGGATGAATAAAATAAATGTAGGGAAAAAAAAAAAAGAGAAAAGTTAAAAAAGAAAAGAAAAGAAAAGAGAGGAGTTTGGAAAGAGTGAAAGGAGGAGGGGGGAAGAAAACACCCCTATTTTTATTTTATTCAAAGAAAGTTTTTTTTTTTTTTTCTCCCTTGGATAAATGTTTAATATTGTAAACATTTCCTCCCTTTTAATAATAATAATAATAATAATAATCATCCACGCGTTATTATTACTAACTAGAAAAAAAAATGACCTTACACCTAGTTTCTTGTGTTCTTATTTCTCCTTTATTTAATCACCGATATATATATCTATTGATACAGTAAGTGGATCAAACACTATTATGTTACTTCATGCACCACCTTGATTAAAACTCCTTCTTATATATATCTCTATCTATCTTAGATATCTTTTTTATATTTGAAATCAAAGTTCTTTTTTTTTTTATTTTTATTTATTTATTTATTTTATTTTATTAATCATATCTCTTTTATATATATATATTCTTTTTCTTTCAATAAGTTGAAATTGTATAATTGATTTTGATTGACTGCCTGACTTTGAAAACGCGATTTTATTTATTTTTTTTTTCCTTTCACTGTGGATGTTTTTTTTTCCCCCAGTCTCTTTCTCTCCCTCTCTCTTTATATATATATATCCCTTTTTTACTTTTTAAAATTTTCTATTTATCACATTATATAAAAAGGTAATTTATATATATTTTTACGAAATAACAATTTAATCTTTTTTTTTTAATTTTAAAAAAAGTAAATATAGAAAAAAAAAAACAGATCATGGAAACTGCAACACAACAACAACAACAACAACGAAGAAAATCAGTGACAAAACAACCTAATATAACTGGATCAGAAACATCTTTTAACCATTCATCTACATCTAATAAAAAATCACTGGAACAACTTATTGGTCGACGCATCAAAATCAAAACTAACTTGAATGAAGAAATTGAAGGCTTGATATACACATATGATCGTATTACCAATTGTATTGCACTTGATATCCTTTTTTTTCTTTTATATATATATATATTGATAAAAATAACTTTGTACTATACATCCTTAATCCTTCTTTTATATATATATACATTGTTCAATAGGTTCACGCCATTCTCGTAAAAGTCTATCGTTCCGTATACTCAAGATTTCTCATATCAAGGAACTCATTACAGTAGCATCCGATGAAGCTTCTGCACCATTACAAGATCCTGCTGTGGCTCATACAAGTAAATTGACTAGCTACCTTCCTGTCAATCATGTCCATCTTGATCGTCTTGCTGCTCGTGAAGCTGATACTGTCAAAGGTGTAAGGCAGCAAGTCGCCAAACTTGGAGTTGGTGTCACCAAAGAAGCTCAAGATATTTTTGATGCACTTACCAAAACGTAAGTAAAAAAAAAAAAAATGAATCAACCATTCATCATTTCTTCTTCTCTTTTTTTTTTAAAAAAAATACTAATACTAATAATAATAGTTTACCTTGTCGTTGGTCCAATGATACAATTGTCGTTATGGATGAAGTCATCATCACTCCTCCTTATGGTATTGAAAATTGTAAGGCAAACGCTTCATCTGCTGCCTCTCTTGCCCGTGTGAAAAAAGTGGTAAGAAGATTAAAAGTGATCAAAATATTCAATATCATCACTCACTTTTTTTATTTTTATTTATTTATATATATATATATATGATCTTATTCTAGTTGGAAGGGGAAAGAAGACGATTGAAAAAATAGGATTAGTTTTTGGATGGAAAGGTCAAAGTGTTAGATATTCTTTTTTTTTTTTGAAATAAAGGATGATGACTATGATTTGATTGTTATTTATGTTTATTATTGTATATATTGACTAGAAATATGAAATAAATAAAGGACCGTTTGCAAATAAGGGTGAGTGGTATATTGTATTCATATAAAAAAAAAAAAAAAAAAAAAAAGAGACAAAAAAATCAAGTATGAAATGGTCTGGTTTTTATTTCTTTTCGAGTAAAGTCTAATCTACATCGTATCGACGATACTGTATGCTAACAACAAAACAATCGTCATTTACGATTTCATCATGCCGTCATCTCTTTTTTTATAATCCATCATTTTAACAATTATTTTAAATCATCATCATCATCTAAACTTTATCACCAATTATCTATATGACGATCATCCAAGTTTTTTTTACCATCAATTTATTTTTATTATTTTGATCATCATCAAAGAATATTATTCTAACATACGGTATTTCCATATTTGGACAATTTTTCAACAAAAAATATCTTTTTTTTTTTTCTATTGTAATTCGTACTCACTATAAGACAATCAACAAAAATATTATTATCATATTAGTATCATCAACATGTACCAAATCATTTTGAATTATATCAAAAAAAAGGTGGTTTGTTTTTTAACTGCAACCATTTTTATTTCTTATTTTCTATCCTTTCTTTTTTTTTTTTAATTGTAACCACACTATGCCCACTGTATGGTATGAGAGTTTGTTATAAAAGAAAAAAAAAATATAACTTTTTTTTTTATTCTGTTTATGTTTTATCAATTTCAAAGAAAAAAAAAATCACTCATCATATTATTGTTATTACTGTATCAAATCAGCTTACATCCTTTTTTTTATTGCACTTCTTTCAAATTACTTTTTTTTTTCTACCAAAAGTAAAGCTAGTAATTATCATTCAACAACGTCATAATAATTAATATTGAAACAATTATATTTAAACTTGTCGTATCAGCGTATTTCGTACCTATAACATATGCGTATAATAAAAAAATAAAAAGAATACATTCATAATACATCTTAGATGGATCCTATTGACATGTAATAAAATAGTTGTAATAAATAAAATAAAACTTTATGGAATAAAAAAAAAAAAAACTATGTAAACTAACGACTACACTAATGTATATAATTAAAACCATTAAAAAAAAAGTCAAAGAGAAAAAGAAAGGTAAAAAAAAAAAAAAAAAAAAAAAAAAGAAAAACAAAAAAAAGGGACTTTGAAATTTATTCTACTGAGAAAAGACTGTTGATATATTTACCATATAATCATCATCATAGGAATTAATCATGATTATCAATACAAACTAATCAAATGTATCAACAAAGAGTAGACATGGTATTTAATACATATGATGATTAATTTTTTTTTTTTTTTTCAAACAGATATAAAAAAGATATAAATTTTTCAAGTGTCCAAATGTTTTCATATTTTTTATTTTTTTAAAATCACTTTGTTATTCACTATGCTTACCTCTTTTGACCTATTAAGATAAAAAATTGGTACAATTTTTATCTTTTATTTAAAAAAAAAACTAGTTTGATATCTCAAATAATCATGAAGTTATGGCAGTTTGAAATCATGCATGTCATGTGGACAGTTTTGCGACCGTGTATAAAAAAAAGAAAATACCTCAAAACATCACATTTGTTGGCGATAAAGAAAGATGATTGGCTGCTATATTTAAAGTCCGTTACTGTCAAAAATTAAAAAGCAAGGGGCTTCTCCGGGAATCGAACCCGGGACCTCTCGCACCCTAAGCGAGAATTATACCACTAAACCAAGAAGCCAAATATATTTTGTAAACCGTTTGCATCATTATAAATCTCAACGGCTGAGTCTGAATTTTATGATTAGATTCATATCATACTTCTTGGTCTAATAAACAATCAATGCGCGGTTGGTTAAGTGGTATAATCTTCGCCTGCCACGCGAAGGGCCGGGGTTCGATTCCCCGACCGCGCAAAATTTTTAGCCAATAAGCTTAATTACCTCAGCCAATCATATTCTTTCTTTTTTTGCAGCAAAGTTTTTTTTTTCTTTTTACTCGTTCCTTTTTTTTTTTTTTTTTTTTTTTTTTTTTTTCAATCTAACAATAATCATTATTATATTTTGTCGACTTGACTTTATATAATAACAACATTCTTTTATTTATCATTCATTGTTATTTGACCTATCAGTATGACATGGTCAAACCCATTTTTTTTTCCTTTTTGTGATTAACCCAACTTTTTAAATTCAAAATGACAACAACATGTAACCATGTTTAACACAATCCATTAAAAGTCATTTTTACTTTGTAAGTGTTCTATTAGTATCAAAATAACGCTTTGTATTATATTATAAATATACTTATATATTTTTTTTTTATTACACTTCATTGTAGTGGTGAAGTATCCCTCATTATTTTTTTGAACAAGATTCATTACGGTTCTAATTTACAGTAATATCATTAGGCAACATACGTAAAACTCTGGAGAAAGCTAAGGTCAGTAGAGTAGACAAGTAAAGCCGATCGTCTGTATGATAGTCTGTGTCAATATGAAAGATTCATACATACAACATGATGGTACATGCAATAAATAGGATGATACTTAAAAGATAGAGTTACTGTATTCATACGATAAGATGATTCATAGTTTAATTTAGTTTAGTTTGTTGTATTGAATTTAGTTTTAGTATCGTTTTTTGGTTATACTGCACCTTTTTATTCAATAAAACTCTTTTTTTTTTTTTTTTTTTTTTTTTTTTTGGTTCTGATATATTTTTGATTTTTGAATGAATTCTTTATATGTTTATGATATAATAGTAAATTGAGATAATAAAATGGGATTCTTGATGATCTTTCAATGTCATTCAAATAATAATCAATTCTTCATTTGGACTTTATGGAAATATATGACCAGATGATGATAATGATAATGATGATGATGATGATGATGATGATGATCAAATAATAATAATAACAATAATAGTAATAATCTAATGGAAATGGATAAAAAATTCATCTTGAAACGTTGTTTAAAAATCCAAACTCGCATTGTGTCACGCTTCGCTAAAAAAAAAAAAAAAAAAAAGTTTGGATTCCTTTTACTTTCTTTCTTTTTCTTCTATTTTTCCTTGAGACGTGATAAAAAAAAATGCATTTACAAGGATAAGCAATGTATATATTGGAAGAGAAGATAAAATTATTTGTATTAGGAATATGATATTCACCTTACTTCTTTTATTTTTATTTTCTATTTTGTTTAGGGAAAAAAAAAAAAAAAACGATAACAGCAAGGATACTCTTTTATGTGGAAAAATATCAACAACTAGTGGTATATCTTTTTTTTTTTTTTTTCAATAGTTGAATTATAATTTGATATCACTTTATTCATTTCGATATATTCATTACTTTCTCTAGATTACTCACTGATTCTACTCTTTAGTTACTACATTTTAAAGTGATATGACTAACCACAGAATACTTCATTGATAAGGACGCAAATGTTGATGGCTATATACAAAGTAAAAAAAAAAAAAAAAAAAAAAAAAAAAAAAAAAAAAAAAAAAAAAAAAAAAAAAAAAAAAAAAAAAAAAAAAAAAAAAAAAAAAAAGAGAATAGAGAAACATATTATCTTGAAAGAATGGTTTCGATACTGGTTACAACAATCATTAATGATATCTTTTTTATACACTTGCTTCTTCATATTAGTAGTATTCCTTGATACCATATAATTGATCATTGGATTGAAATACAATGTCAACTCGATAGATTGGAACTATATTTTAGAAATGGAAATGATGATTAGATAGAATAATATTATTTGATGACAATTTATATTAGAAATAAAAGATTCTGTTTTTGTATGTATGTGTCACTTTTGTTCTCGCTCTCGTTTATGACTATTGATGCTATGATAGTAAAGACAAAAGAGTAATCATCTTGTCCATTTTATTTTTATTTGTTCATTTAAAATCATCCATTATAAATGAACATATTTTGAGACAAGAATAATTAATAGATCATTTTGGAACTTTTTTTTTTTTATTTTTTATTTTTTATTATTTTTTCTAGAAAATACATCTATCTAAACTAGAAGACAATATCTATTTGAGTACGAATATATATATATAAATAAAAACAAAAAGATGATACTAAACTAAATAAACCACAACAAACTACTGATTCAATTGAATTTCACGCTTAGACCATCCACATTCAGAGTGACGATCTTTTACCATGTCTACTAGAGGGAAATAATGATATACCATCTTGACAGAAAGCATCACAGGTACATTATCAAAAGTAACACATCGAACTCGTACATAAGTATTGTCCAAAGTATGTTTGACTGCATCAATCAGATCATCCAACGTTTCCACCTTGACAGAGTTGATATGTGTGATCCACATAGTAGGTACCAACCCATACATATATGCTGGTGATCCTTTTGCTCTTGCTGAGATATAGATACGTGAGGGAAGAGTTTTGCTTTGTTGTAATACTGCCTTGTGAGGTTCATGAAGTGCTGCACCGGCCCAAAATACCACACGATTAGTACCTTCACCTGATTCCAATGTTGTCTTGACCTTGACTGTCATTTCTTTCTTTTGTCGTAAAATTGTCATTTCCAATTCATCCGATTCATATTGTACATCCGTTTCTTGTATCCTTGTTACGACATTGCCATTGATGGTTAGAATCAGATCCAGTTCCTCTAATACTTTGGCACTTTCCGTTCCTGCTTCCGTACGAATCACCATAAAAAGTTGATGTTTAGATGTATTGGCTTCTTCTACTTTCTTGATCCATTCATTTGACAATCCCATTGCAGTTGCCTGAGCCATTTGTACAGGTACAAGTTCAGCATTTAACATTCGTAAAGAGCAGTTTTCTTCTTGTTTTTGAAATCGTTCCAGTACAGGTTTAATAGCAGCCACATCCAATCCAAGATGGTATTCATTATCATTTCCATTTCCATTACGATCACCCAAGAAACTAAACCAAAATCCTTGTACATAACCATTGGGATCTGCCAATAAACCAGATGAACATTGTAAAGCAAGTGGTGTATCAAGAGTAATTGCATCCATATTGATAGCACGGAATCTTGGTGTCTATTGAATCAAATAAAAAAAAAAAAAAGAAAGATGAATGAATATAATACTGTATAATATCGATGATGATTCTTTTGTTAAGAAGATTAAATATAATTAAATCAAGTACTTACACCACTATGAGGAATCGTCACACAAGTAACATCTGTCACAGCAGTTGACAGACATACTGGCCTTTGATTTCTATTGTGAGCTACCAAAGTAACTTTACGACCTTGAAGTAACGGTTCATCAGAGAGAGGAGCACTAAGAACGTTTGTATCACCAATCAGTGTAGGATCATATTGTGTTATAGCATAGTTTTGAGTGGGATGTAAAAACTAGAAAATTATCATAATGGTAGAAAAAAAAAAAGAAAGAGTTAGTTAGATGAAGATGGAATAAATGTATTGATATTAAAATACATACCAACACTTTGGCAGGAATCACGATAGATTCGGCAAAAGTAAGAATCAGATCACCCATACTCGTTGGCACCAAATTTCGACCGACAATCACCAAACCACGTTTAGCATCAAGAATGACACCAGTACCTTGTTTTCTACTACGAGGGAATCCATCCATACGACAAGGCATGTAAAAGTTTACCTTGACCAAACAACGAATGAGATCTTTGGAAGGACCCATACTTGCATCCAATTCAACATACTTTTTGGTACTTGGTACAAAAGGTCTAGGAGGTAAAGGTTCACCAAGATCTGTAAAATCCCATAATCCAGTTTGATCATTACGTACAGCAAGACGGAAGGATGACCAATGTCTTTCGACTTGAACCACAGACATCATGATGGTATGAACATCAGTAATAGAATAATATACTACAGGTACACGAGCACGATCAGGAATTCCCTTCATCACTTGAATAAACGTATCTAAATTAGGAGTTGGTTTGTCATCCACAGATTTGATAATCCATCCATTGTCAGGTCCATCCAATCTAAACACTAGTAAGAACAATCATAATAAGTTATTATATATATATATATATATGCTTATTTTTTTTCTTACTTCCACTGGGTTCACAAACATAGACACCACTACATGGTACACAATACACACGAGCTAATTGATAGGACACTTCGTTTAACTTGGATCCACCAATTTCTACATATCTATCAGGAGTACTACAATCCAAAAAAAAAAAGGAAAAAAAAGGTGATGAATAATTGAGATAAACATATGATGGTAACTACTTACATTGCGTGAAGGTCGCCAACCTTGATAGTATAATCCAGTCGTTTCCCACCACGTTCAATACCAATACGAATATCTTTATTCACATGAGAATCCAATTTTGCTTCAAATGGTACAAAAGTAGTAATGTATTCATCATCCATAGTTAACAATATATCTCCTTCTTCTAGTTTTCCATAAGCAGGACCACCAGGTAAGACAGCTTCCACAACTAAAAGACCGATTTCTTCCTTAAATATGCTTCGTAAATGTTCTTCCGTTTCGGGACGTAATCCAAGTCGTCTTGCTTCATCATAAGGTCGATATCTATGCAAATAAATAAATAATTAAACCGTTGTATAAATCCACATTCGAACAACAAAAGTATCTTATTACTACTTACACAAGTTGAGTTTGAATGTCACCTCGAGGTACGGGTAAACCTTTTTGTACAAATTGAAGAGCTCGTTTGATTCGATCCAATGGTAAAAAGAAATCCGTTGCTGCCTTTGTGTGACCACCAGCTTGTAATGCTACGGCATTTCCATCAATATCAATGACAGGAGATCCAGAACTACCACCACTAGTACTTGACGCTGCTTGTCTATTTTTTTTTTTTTTAAAAAAAAAAGAAAAACAAGTAAATATAAATAGTTTACTCATATTATTCCCCCAACTTACATTCTATGATACTTACAGATAAAATGTATTGAAATCGTTGTATGTCAAATCACCATAATCTGGAGTATTGCGATCCAATCGAGAAATAGAACCTGCCAAAATACTAAGTTTTTCTCCAGCGTCATTACTATGTAAATAAATATTAAAAAAGTGAGCATCCATTTACTTAAAATTTTAATTTTAATATTGACATATTTACCCAACAACACGAATATCAAGACCCACTTTGGCAAGTTCTGGACGTAGTTCCACTTGCGTAACAGGCATATATTTTATCTTGCTTGGATCAAATCTATAATATAAAGTTAGTAAAGGGGAATATCATATATTAAAATAATGAATTTTTTTTTCTACTTGCTTTAAAAACCCAAAGTCATGAATAGGATCGCGATAAATAGGATAAACATCAACTTCTTCGTGATCATGACAAATAGCTTCACCAACAAAAGGACCAGCACACGCAACATGACGATTTGTCAAAATAATACCGTTCTTTGCATCGACAATAAAACCTGAAGCTTCTGATGTATCAGGACCTAAATAGAATCAAAAGAACATAAGTTTCTTGTTGTTTCATTTTATTATTGGATTATTTACCTTCAGTATCAAAAGCAGCCACTTGACTAAAACGAATAGATACAATTGCTTTGACAATGGACTCGATGGTATCTTGCCATTTGGATGGATTGGTAGGAGATGCATCAACAATAGTTGCAGGAAGGTCTGTCGTACCATTGATCATTGGATTACCGAGGTTAGTGTTATCTACTTTTCTTCGTTTCGCAGCATGTGAAATAGGTGTTGAAGCAGGGGAATCACCGCCTTCAAAGTTGTGATCTTTTGGAAGTATATGATCTGGTCTTTCAGGAGTGAGATTGGCCATTATGTATATAAAAAAGAAAAAAAAAAGTCGACGTTAAGTTAAAAAAAAAAAAAAAAAATTAAGACAGAAGAAAAAAAGAGACGAAGAACAGAAAATCCAAATTTTACTGTTTCCAACGCGGCGGCTGAAATTGATTTAGAAATACCAAAAGTGGCTTGAGGGTATTTTGCACACCCACAACTTTTATTTCTTTTTCTTCTTTTTTTTACCTGTTATATAGAATATGGAAATCCCTTCATCTACTGAAGCTTCTGAGACTGATGAATTAGAATCAGATGGTCAGTCTTTTGATATAAATATTCAAACTACACCTCCTGTATCACATAATCAAACGACAAAGGCAACTTTGACTACTTTATATACCGCCGATTCACCGACTAGACCAGATAACAGCAGCGACGCGATATCACCAACCAATATAGTATACGATGTCGATGAGGAAATCGAAATACAACAACAAATACATCCCGCTTTTGATCAAAAATATAGCAATGGAAACTATATTGGAAACAAGACAAACCATTCTCCTGTCAGGAAAGAAGAAGAAGAGGATAGTAGTCATACTACTGGGCATTCCCACTGTCCTATACTTATTTATGAAAACGATGAAACCGATATGGCAACAAATACTGCAGACACTCAAGATATTCAATCTAATCATCGAAACGAACAACAGGACCCAATTGCCATACCAAACAGCAATATGTTAACAGCACAGTCTTCTCGTACTTCTTCAAGTTACAATATAATGCAAGACGATCAACAATCTCCAACAATGTCTCAAAGCGACCTGGAACCTAGACATCATACTAAAAAGCAAATAAATAAGGAAGACTCATCATCGGGATATCAATTGTCGACAGATTCATCAATACCATCTTCACATTCAACATCACGATCGCCTTCAACAATGTCTATACCAACAGAAAGTCCAACTAGAAAAAAACGTATTCAAAAGCCAACAGGTTCGCTGTCACCTATACGAAAATCATCTGTCCCACCGAATAAACGATCTCGAACACCATTTTTCGATGTTGAAGCTTCTCGACGAATGACAAAACGATCTCTGTACGATAAACCAAAGCTCAACGGCTTCCGGCATGTCCTTCTTACGGGTTATGTTTATGATATCTTTATGTCCTATCATTCAACTCTCCATTCCTATGAACATCATCCCGAAGATCCTCGACGTTTATTGTATATATATCATGAAATGATGAATGATCATCTACTACAACAATGTGAACGAATTCCGATACAAAAAGCTACTGATGATGATATACTTGCGGTTCACAGTAGTCGGCTTTTACAAACATTGAAAGCTACAAAAGGTAAAAAAAAAAAAAAAAAAAAAAAAAAAGGTGTATAACTTAAATATTGACTCATATATGTTTTTCTAATAGAAATGACACGAAAGGAATTATTGGAAATGGAGGAAGCGAATGACTCGATTTATGTAAATGGTCATAGTTATGAAGCCTGTCTATATGCTGCTGGAGGTGTTATCGAAATATGCAAAGCTGTTCTGAAAAATCAAGTTAAGAATGGATTTGCTATTGTACGACCACCTGGTCATCATGCTGAACCAGATGAATCCATGGGATTTTGCTTTATCAACAATGTTGCTATCGCTACGAAATACTGTTTACAACACCTAGGATCAAAAAGGATCATGATTGTGGATTGGGATGTCCATTTCGGTTAGTGATCATCAAGAAAACAAAACTCTTCTTCAGATAGGCTCATTTTTTTTTTTTGTAGGTAACGGAACATATGAAATCTTTGCCAACGATCCAAACGTTCTATATTTATCATTACATCGTTATGAGGATGGTGATTTTTATCCTTGTGATGATAATGGTGCTATCAACAATGTTGGCAATGATCCAGCAAAAGGAAGGTAAGTCCATTATTAATACGATTTTTTAAAATTTTTCTTTTTGTAACTGATACTAACCATCATACTTTATAGATCTGTGAATATAGGATGGTCTCGTAGTGGTATGATGGATGCTGATTACTTGTATGCTTTTCATCAAATAGTTCTGCCTATTGGGTACGAATTTGATCCTGATTTAGTGATTGGTAAGAGAACTTTGTAGAAAAAGGATATGAAAGAAATAATAACACTTTATTTTTTTTTTTATTATTATTATATTATCAATAATAGTATCGGCTGGATTCGATGCTGCTGATGGAGATCATATCGGATTATGCAATTTGACACCGGCTGCTTATAGCAACATGACGCATCTGTTGAAATCGTTGGCTAATGGACGATTAGTGATGGCTTTAGAGGGTGGATATAACTTGTCAGCTACTTCCGTTGCTGCTGCTGCTTGTATGTCTGTACTTATTGGTGAACCTCCTCTTCCATTGTCAACCATTGGTGTTCCTTCGGATGATGCCATTGAAACTATCAAGAAGGTTAAACTAGCTCATCAAAATTATTGGCAATGTCTTGTATGAAAAACTATTTTAGTTTTCTTTCTCTCCCACTTCTCCTCCATTCACTCATCATATTGTAGTATATAGTCATTTTTTTTTTTTTTTTTTTGGTATACACTTTATTAGCTATTATTTCTTTTTCTTCTTTGTTCATATTATACCTAATATTACCCTGATGCTCTTTATAGTTCTTTCAATAAAGTCTAATATATACATATATATCATCCTGCTGTTATCGATCGCTTCCTTATTAATCCATTCTATTTCCTATGTAAAACTTGCTATTCAGATATTATTATGACAATATAAATCAAAATAAATCATGTGCTATCGTTGTCAATGGAGTTCTTCCTTGGTTACTTTTTAAGATAGTCATTAGGATTGAAGTCAAATTTGATCATCGAACCACATCTATCCCTTCTTACACATCTGATCATTTCCTATACAGATATGTCAGAGTCGTTCTTTCTTTTTATCAAAAAAAAAAAAAAGACGTCTGATGATCATCAAGAGAAGAAAAAATATAGATTTATTATAAAATGAAATGACAATACTAATAAAAAGACTAACAACAGCAAGTACACAAATGATCTTTATTTTAAGTAAGATGGATATATAAAAACAATAAAAAAAAGAAAACAAGTAAGACTACACTAATATAATTTTGGATTGCCTAAGCGTTTTCCATCCATTGGATTCGTCCTTGGTTTCTTAGCCCTTGATGATCGACGTATGGGAACCGATGATGTTTCTTGCCGTGAAGCTGGAGGTGTTGATGTAGTTGCTATTGGGGAATGTCGATGTTTTCCAGTATGTCGTAATCGCATGGCTGGCTGTTTCTTTTTTACAAGGAGAGACTTTGTTTTTTTGTTATTGTTATTCCCGTTATTGTTATTGTTGTTATTGCTGTTGTTGCTCTTATTACTGGTATTGCTGGATTTTTTGTTTTTGTCGAGGGAAGATAATGATGCACGACCGTTGATCCTCTTTTGTCTGTTGTACTGATAACCATAAATAGTTGGTGGTCGAACATATGTCCTTGAACGAGTGGCGAGTATACCAGACGTTGTGTTTTTGCTGTTGCTATTGCTACTGCTGGTATTGCGTCTTGGTCGTAATCGGTTCATCCATGGTTGTCGTGTTTTCGTTTCAGGTTCCAATTCCTCTTCACTGGTATCTGATCCTACTGATGTTGTGCTTTTGATTCTACTGAACATTGGACTGGGTACACGTTTTTCTGATAAACGTCTTGATGATGATTGAGTATGACGTCCTGCTGGTTTTGATCGTTCTAGATGGTAAAAAAAAAAAAAAAAAAAAAAAAAAAAAGTTGACTTCAATATAAATATATCTGTGTGCGTATGTGCGTGTGTGTGTGTTTCATCATAGAGTAACCGCTTACGTTTCTGTTCCAAAGATATCTTGTTTCTTGGTTGACGTGGATTGAGAGCTGTAGATCGTTCAGTTCGAGATGGAATTGTTGTATGTGATGATGATGTTTGTGAGGATGTCTCTGATATATCTGTGGATGTAAGAATCTCCCATGCTGAAAATGCTTGTTCTTGTTGTTGTGAAGCAGATGGTTCAAGTGCATAAAGTTCATTCGATTGCTGAGTTGACGTTGTCCTATTACCGCCTGGGTTGTCATAAAGATGATACAAATATGCAGAATAAGTAAGCCTTGATGGTGATGATGACGTTGATGAAGATGATGATGCTGCTGATAATGGAGATGAAGATGTTGATGATGGTGATGAAGAACCTTGTGATGATCCAGATGATTGACGTTGAAATATAGGTGTGATTGAAGACGATGAGTGAGCGGTTGGTGAATTGGTCGATGTGGTGGATGCTAGTCGCTGCATATATGAAACAAAAGAAAAAAAAAAAAAATAAAATAAAAATAAAAAAAATAAAAGAGTTAGTAAAAATTAAAAAAAAAAGTTTTCAAATAATTATCACCTCTCTAAAGCTGGAAGGACAACTGTTATAAAAAAAAAAAGGTCAAACAAAAAGAAGTAAAGTAGAATGAGTTGAGGTATAACGAAATGATGTAACGAGAATGGCAGGATCAAGTTCTTACTTTTTTGAGGACAATCTTCAAGCAAGTAATAGTAAAAAAAAAAAAAAAAAAAAAAAAAAAAAAGGTTAAAAGAGTTCAACACTCACATTCATTGATTTCTACTTACTTGATGGGTCGTGTTCTTGATACACGAGGAGTAGGTGGAGGTGATGATGGTTCATCTAGTTGTCGAAGGCCAGGACTTGGTGTCCTAAAGAAGATACGGTCTTTTTTCCGTGACATTCGTTTAACACTGTGATAAAACAAGGTTGCATAGCCAAACAAACGGGAAGAGGGAAAAAAAGGAAAAAGAAAAGGGAAAAAAAATTGGAGGATTCGAAAGCGGAGATTGGAATACAACCATATTACGTGGTGCTTTTTTTTTATTTTTTATTTTTTTTCCTGCACAGCTTTGTTTCTTTGTTGTTTCTCTTCATTCTAACATGTCTGATCATAACGAATCCATTAACCAGTTTATTGCCATGACTGGTGTTAGTAAGGAACAAGCAAAGTTCTTTGTAGAAATGGCTAATGGGGATATTGAAGTAATATAAAAAGAAAATAAAAAATAAAAATAAAAATAAAAATTCATTTGGGTTTATACCTTTTTTTTTTTTAATCGCCTTTTCTTCTTTCCTATAGATGGCACTTACTCAGTATTATGATAACAGCAATGAAAGTTCTGGACCTTCTACTCCTGCTGCCTCTTCAAGTCTAGAAAGTAGTGCTATACCATCATCTTCAGCCATTCCTGCGAAGCGGTCAACCAACGCGTCAAGGTCAACCAAATCGTAGGTGTATAATATACAAGCATAAATACAACGTATGACCAAGCTGAATATGTTACTAATTTATGGAAATAGATCAAATATACGAACTCTGAACGATGTTGCGACTTCTCAAGCTAGAGATGAAGACGATGACGAACCTCAAAACTTTTTTGCTGGTGGTGAAAAATCGTATGTGAATATATGTATGATTTTTTTTTTTTTAGAAAACTTATACTCTCCATTTATTATGATATAGTGGTATGCTTGTACAAGATCCTACCAAACGTGGCAAAAACAGCAATCTTGTGGATGAAATCTTGAAAAAAGCAGCAGCGTAAGTAATTATATATCAAAAAGAAGGGCAATGAGTGTATTGACTTATATATATTTAGTGGGGGTCCAGCTCCTGAAGAATCAAGCTCTGACAAGGCATCAAAACCAACTTATTTTACAGGATCAGGTTACACATTGGGCAGTGAAGATGAACCTTCAGTCATGGTGAATAGTGAAAATCCTGCGGAATCAAGTGAAGAATCCTTACCATCGGTATGAAAATGAAATAAGTGAAGTTATATAGTTGGATTAATATTGTATTATAATTAGGTAGTTCGATATTTGACCTTTTGGAGAAATGGATTTAGTGTTGATGATGGACCACTTTTACGATATGATGATCCTGCAAATTCAGCCATGTTAAGCTCAATCAATAGTGGGTAAGTAAGAAAATAATAATAATAAAAAGAAACAACTATAAAAGATGATGAGATAAATGACATAACAACCTTTTTTTTTTTTTTTTTGTTTTTGTTTTGCTTCTACAAATAGTCGTGCACCATTATCTTTATTAAATGTAAAGCATGGTCAACCTGTGGATGTCAGAGTAGCAAGACGGCAAGATGAAGACTATGTTCCTCCTCCTAAAGCTCCTCCTAAACCATTTGAAGGTACTGGTAATCGACTTGGTAGTCCTGCCCCATCTTCACCATCAATCTCCTCCAATACTACAGCTCCTGCTGCGGCTACTACTGCAGCCGCTCCTGAAATTGATGCTAATTTGCCAATCACATCAGTACAAATTCGTCTTGGCGATGGATCTAGGTAATTGAAAGAAAAAAAAAATAAGAGAATCTTGGCATGCAAAGGATACTTCCTATTTATTCACTCTCAAACACGAAACTTTTTATTGATTTTCATAGACTTGTGGCAAAATTCAATCATACTCATACTATAGGAGACATTCGACGATACATTGATAGGTAAGAAAAAGAAGAAAATAAGGTGATTATATATGATAGATGACTAGATGTTTTTTTTTCATTTCCTGTTAGTCAACGTCCTAATCAACGATCATATATTCTTCAAACAACATTCCCTGTCAAATCATTAGCCGATGAAGGACAATCACTAAAGGAAGCTGGGTTATTGAATAGTGTAGTAGTTCAACGTTATGAATAGGAATATATTAGAAAGAAGTACATCAAAACATTTTTTTTTTTTTTTTTTACGCGATCAATAAAAACTGCTTTACTGTCTTTTTTTTTTCTTCTCTTTTTGTATGGTTTGAATAGTTTATATTTTATTTACAGAGTCATAAAAGGATAAAAACCAATAGAGTTAATATGTATACTATAGGGATGTATATAAAATATATATAAAGACAAATGATAAAAAGGTACGAAGCATGAAGAGAGGGGAATAGGTAAGTAACATATCATAATAATAATAACAATGAAGGTGATGATGAATGATAAATGAATAATAATGAATAATAATGATGAATGATGATAAAAAGGAAAAAAAAAAAAAAGAAGAGTAATGTCATACTAGTAAAACTAAACTAAATCATGGAAACATCAAATGGTAAAAGGAAAAAAAGAGACCAAAAAAGGAAATGCTTGGTATTTTTTTTTTTCTTGGGAGTCAAAAAGCCAGAAAGATAGAGGAAAACCAACAATATAAGCCAAGAGTTACAAATGTATTATGAGTCAGAATGAGATTTGACAGTGTGACGGGCCAAGGCATCTCTGCGGCAGAAGGTGGCACTACAATGATTGCAAGAATAAGAACGATTTCCATAGTGAACTGAGCCCAAATGACGATCACGATCATGTTTTCGATCGAAAGCAGTGCCACATATATCACAGGCAAATTCCTTGATGCGATTAGCGTTGTGAGTTCGAATATGAGTATTGAGGTTGTATCGTCTTGAGAATTTGCGTCGACAAATAGGACATCCATATCGTTTTTCATTTTGATTCACTCGAGTTGTTTTGGTGCTGCGTCGTTTCTTATGATCAGATTCGCTATCGGTTGAATGGAAACTTGCATCACTATTCTTTCGTCGGCGTTTATTATTGTTGTTATTGTTTACTGGCACCTTTGTTGAAGATACTTTGTTTGCTGTGTTGGTTGATGTTTCATTTGTAACAGTTGTAGAAGAATATTGTCTACCTGATGGTTGCTGTTCATCATCCGATGGTGGGATCTCCTTTGATTGATCAAGTTGATTGATATGATGGTATTGTTGCTCTTGTACAGATTGCTGTTTTTGTTGCTGATGTTGATAGGATGAAGTAGTATCGATGATTCCTTCAAGTGCTTGGAATAATAATACATCAGTATCCTTGTAGCATAGACAATCCAAAGATTCATGATCCAAATGATAACGATGACTATTTGGGGTAAAGACATTCATTTGTTGTTGCTGTTGTTGTTGTTGTTGTTGTTGATGATGATGATGTAGAAATTCATTTTCATTGCTGCCAGTTGATCCGATAGGAACAAAAAGTGGAGTGGTGATGTTATCAGTTGGTGAGGGACTTGTAGTAGATGCCTTCGATTTGTCAATAAGTAGTTCCATAGGATCTCCAGTAAAAACAGGTTCACTTTTCACAACGGTTCTATCATTTTGATCAATGTATTGACCAACAGCAACATCTGTAGTAGAAGGATGATAAGAAATATGTTGTTGTTGTGTCATAAAAGGCGAAGTTTGATAAGGTGAAAAGCAAGCTGGCGATAAAGCTTCGTCAACACTAGATTCCAAAAAAGGTGTAGAGATGTTGGGTGAATTGTTTGCAACAAAAGGTGTTGAAACAGTATCGACACCAGTGTAAGGTATAGCATATGTATTGTTTTTGATAGTTTCGCCGTAGTTAAATTCCTTTGATACTTCTATATACAAAAAAAAAAAAAAAAGAATGTTTAGTTTCTCACTTTCCTTTTTCGTCTTTTCCTGCTAGAAGATGGATGGATGATTTTCATTTCTCTTTTTTTTTTTTTTTTTTTTACCTTTTCGGTGTAAAGACAGATCATCTAACCAGGAGTATAAAGAGGAGCTCTGTGAAGTGTTATAAGCGGTCATTGATATATGAATTAATGTAAATTTGTATGATAATAAAAAAAAAAAAAAGTAAAGTAAAATGAAAAGAAAGGGAGAAAGATCCAAAAAAATTTAGCTCCTCTTTATATACAAAAGCGGTCATTCAAAAAATCCTGTTACACCATTGACAATGAGTCAAAAAAGTTAGTTGGATCCGTTGCCATGGCAACCATCCTTGTCGTTTTTCATCTCCGTAAGGAATCACCAATCCAAATTTAGTTTCCACAAAAGAAAATAATGGAAGGAAAAGGAAGCAAAAAAAAAAAGTTTAAAAACAGCAGAAATTAAAAAAGTGACAATTATCCATTGGTCAAAAAAAAAAAGGATAGTAGATTGAAACTTTTGATGAGTCAGCCTTCATCAAAGATAGTAAAAGTATTGCGTATGTGTCCTGTGTAAAAAAAAAAAAAAAATTGATCGCTTATTGTTCTTAGCCATTTTTGTCATGTGGTGAGGATCAGACAAATGAATGCTGACGTGGAATTTTACATTTTTGCCAACTCTTTTTTGCATGACAACGTGTCGGGATTGGCTGATGAGTCATCATGCTCTCCTCACACATCAGAAGGCTAAAAAACATCACCCACTCTTCCCCGAAACGGAAGTTGATTTATCCTTTTGTTCTTTCTTGGCTGCCAAGCTAGTCCAGGATCATCACTATTTGATCTTAATATCATGATGATTTGTATAATCTATTTAGATAAAAAGAGAAATTGAGAGTATATAGAATTAATCCATTCATGTAAAGAATAGGTTTCATCTTCTTAGGTTTATCAGAATTCATTATTTAATTTTTCATATACATAATAGAAATAATCGGAATTTCAAATCATTCTTCTCTATCTTTTTTTTTTTTTTTATTATTTTCTCCCTCTTTTTCTCTTTTTTTCTTTACCCTTTTTTTTTTCTACACTATAGTTTTTCCAATTGATCAAACAAACAAACAAAACCTATTATAGAGAGAACATCTCTATTTCTTTTGTGGATGAATTAATATACAAACCAACAACTCTTCTCTTATGTATTTATTTCCTCTGAAATCTCTTCACATTTACTTATGCATGACTTGACCAACAATCTTTCCTTGGGTGTGAAGATGTCTCTAAGTATGTTAAAAAAATAGATGAAATATAATTATTATATATTAACGAAAGATATTCTCTTTTTTTTTTTAAAAAAAAATATTAAATAGTAAAGACTATGATTCACACTCAACGATTGGAACTTATACGACAAGCAATCACTCACAATGATTTTACTACTTTACAAAAGATGGCCAGGGAACCAGGAGGTTTTATGAAAGATTCGTTTCGCCAGTATGTCTGGTAATAATATAAAAAAGAAGTTATCATAATGAATGTTATATATCAACTCTTTTTTTTTTCTTAGGCCAATTCTATTACGAACTCACCAAGGATACTATATTGATGAAAAAGGCAGTGGTAGGATGTGATATGATAGATAATATGAAGGGATATTGTATATTGATTGTTTTCTTTTTGATGTAGCCAATGATATAGCTGATCCTATACAAATATCCAAAGACGTTGAACGATCATTATATTACTATCCTCAAGGTGGGAAAAAAAGATTATTATAATTAGGATATGGAAAAATATCTCCGTGAGTTAAAAAAAAAAGAATATTTATTGTTTTCTTTTTAATAGATATTACACCTAACTTGAAGGCTCGCAAACAACAAGAATTACATCGTATGATTGTGGAAATATTATGGCGAAATCCTAGACTGAAATATTATCAGGTAAGATGATTTGTAATATTTATATGTATTTTGTGATCTTACTGTTTATTTTCTTTCTTTCTTTTTTTTTCTTTTTTATTTATACCAAAATAGGGTTTTCATGATATATGTACTGTATTTTTATTGGTACTTGGAAAAAGGGCGGGTATTCCAGCAGCTGAAAATGTGGCACTTTTCTTTACTAGATATCCTTTTTTTTATTATTTTCATTTTGATCATGATATTTGTACTACATGATGATATCTATTCAATTTATTTTCCTTGACTATTTTCTTCTCTTTTACAGATGCGATGCTTGATTCGTTTGATCCTATATCAAAACAATTACGCTTGATGATGTCTATTATTGAATATGAAGATACTGAATTAATGACTTTTATGGAAAGGTAAATGGGAGATAACAAAAGATTCATCATCTCATTTTTTTTTTTTTTAATAGGAATAATGTCATGCCATTCTATGCTCTCAGTTGGGTTTTGACTTGGTTCAGTCATGATTTAACCGATTTTAACAAAATCACTCGACTCTTCGACCTGTTTATTGCCAGCTCTGCCATGATGCCATTATATGTAGCAAGTGCTGTAAGTCAAATAAACAAATATTATATTTGAAATGAATTGATTCAATGTTTTTTATGTATAGATTACATTAATTCGACGGGATGAATTACTTGGTGCTGATCCAGAATACTTACATTCACTTATGACTCACATACCTGAAGATATTGATATAGAACGTACTATTCAACTGGCTTGTCATCTGGAAGCAAATTATTCATCATTATATCTTCAAAAACGTAGTGGGATTTGGTTACATGATGAGTAAGTAGAGATATTTTATTCATAATTGGGATGATTAAACTTTTTCATTTATAATAGATCAACTATCAATACATGGGAACATGATTGGGATGGTAAAAAGGTACCTGATCGACTCAAGGCGGATCAATATTTAGCAAATGATGTACCTGTGGAAGAATGGGAAGATGAACTACTGACAGAATGGTTAACCAAAAGGAGGTGTTGTCTTGATGATGGCACTGAATAGATTAGATTTGTTTTATAGTTTTAACAATAAAGCTCTCTTTTTTTTTTTTTTTTTTTTTGAATACCGCAGTTGACTTTTTGGTTAATTTGGTAGACTTGAGCGAGTCACGGAAAGCGAAAAAATTTGTTTTTGGATAGTAAGGAAAAAAAAAAAAAAAAAAAACCTTACCTCTTTTTTCTTTTCTTCATTTTCACCTTGCAATGGCTATCAGTCTACCTCATTCAGAACCTCTCAAAGTAGTGCAACTTGATGGTTTGGTAAGAGAGTCATGTCAAGAAAAATATAATTTTAGCATGTTAATTGAAAAATAATATATATTCTATCTATTTTGTTTGTTCTATAGGTTGTTTTGAAAATCATCAAACACTGTCGTGAATCCTATCCTAGTGATGTTACCGGTCAATTACTTGGTTTGGATGAAAAGGGTACTTTAGAAGTTACAAACTGTTTCCCTTTTCCTGCTGATGATGACGAATCTGCCAGTGGTAAAATGATACAAAGAAACAAATATTTATCATGATTTCTGACCTTTTTTTTTTTTTGAAATATATAGCTCAATATCAATTGGAAATGATGAAATGTCTTCGTGCAGTTAATGTGGATAATAATACAGTAGGATGGTATCGATCCGCTCACCTTGGCAACTTTGTAGATTTGAATTTGATCGAAACTCAGTACAGTTATCAAAGCTCTTTGACTGAACAATCAGTTGTCTTGATTCACGACGTGTCCAAAAGCACAGCACAAAGTAATTTGAGCTTACGAGCATTCAGATTACAAAAGGATTTTATGAAGGCATATGAAGCTAAAAAATTCACAACTGAAAGGTATATATAAAAAAAAAAAAAAGAGTAGAAGATATATACTAATATTTCTTATTTTATATATAGTCTTGCCGAAGCCAAATTGTCTTTCTCCAACATCTTTGAAGAATTGCCTGTACAAGTTCACAACTCACATCTAGTTACTTTGATGCTTCACAACATTGAAATGCCTAAATTGGAAGTGGAACGACTGGAATCATTATCAACCTTTGGTTCTCAAAAGGCAACTCAAACGGAAATTGAAGAATCTCGACCTCTTGCACCCAATTTTGATGTATTGGATTTGGAATTAGATCCCTTTATGCAAAAGAACTTACAATACCTCTTGGATTGCTCGGATGCTCAACAACAAGAACAAAACAACTATCAATATTGGCAACGAAGTGTGGCTCGTGAACAAGCCAAGATGCAAGCATGGCTTACCAGAAGAGTAAGTTTAAAAGATAAGAGACAAAAAAGGAGTAAAAAGAAAAAAAAAGTTTTTATTTGTTATTAAATATTGTTTTGAATGATTAGAAACAAGAAAATGCATTACGTGTGGCACAAGGACAAAAACCATTACCTGAAGATGAAGTCAACACTCTGTTTAAGCTTCCTACGGAACCAAGTCGTTTAGATTCCATGATTCTTAGTGCTCAAATGCACAACTTTACCAAGCAACTCAATCAATTTGCTGGCCCTAGTCTTGCCAGATTATATAGTATTCAAGAATTACAAAAATAGATTAGTTAGGTCAATCTTTATATTATCATTTGTTACTACAATTCTTTTTTTTTTTTTATATATATACATATATTTGACTTACTTTCCCACTTTTTACTCCCTTTTGTCTTATCATCATCGTTTGTTAGTTTTGTATTCATTTCCAAAAAAAAAAAAAATAAAAACCTATCAAATCAAATCATACCTTTTGTATAAAATAAATACACATGATAATAAAGGATGAACAAGTTGGAAATAATTATTAAAAAAGGAACGGATTTTGCGTCACGGATTTCTTCTATAAGTGCTTCAACAACCAAAAAAAAAAAAAGGGTTCGTTGATTGGTATCATCATCTAATTGCTATATATAAAAATAAAGGCACGCATTACGGTATTGTGTTTCAAGACATCTTTTTATCACATGGTATGTTTATTTTGTTTTCATCGAACAGTTTGGCTCATGCCCCCATCTAGCATTATTATCCTACACACTGTTTTTCGTTGTTTACATCAAAACTCCGTCCCCGTGAACTTTTGGGCTGATGTCCTTCCCAACTATTTCAGGTATATATAAAAAAAAAGGATGTTTTTTTTCCATTTCTCTTTTTTCTTTTTCTTTTTTTTTTTCTCTCTCCTTTTTTTTGACTTTTCTCTTTGTTTTATTTTTCTTCTGTATTTAACTATTTCAAATGAATATACCTTTACTTTTAAACAATAATAATACACCAAATGATCTATATAACACGACCTCAAGATCGGTAACATCAGTTGTTCACCATTCTAGTCAACTAGTCAAACGACCTTTTACATGCAACTGGGGTTCTTGTGGCAAGACTTTTTCCCGAAGATCGGATCTGGCAAGACATTGTCGTATTCATACTGGTGAACGACCTTTTCCATGTGATTGGGCAGGTTGCAACAAACAATTTATTCAACGATCAGCTCTGACTGTTCATCGTCGTACTCATACTGGTGAAAGACCTCATACTTGTGAATATCCTTTTTGTGAAAAAGCATTTAGTGATGTAGGTTCAAAGTTCGGGTCATATTTTTTTTTTCTTGTTTTCACTTGAACTGATTTTTTTTTTTTTTAGTCTTCCTCTTTGGCGCGTCATCGAAGAACTCATACTGGTAATCGACCTTATACTTGTGATAAATGTGAAAAATCATTTACAAGAAAAACAACTCTTTCAAGACATAAAATGGCCTGTCATGCTGAAAAACGGTAAATAAATAAATAAATAAAAAAAGATTCTGTGAGTTGATGCATTGTCCATCATCGATATTGTCAAAAATCATAAAAAAAAAAAAAAACAATTCCCCTTACATATCCTTTCTTTATTTATAGTCCAAATGTCTTGGTGTTTTCTTCTTCAAATTTACCAACATCACCTTCTGATTCGGATTCAAGCTCAAGTCCTCTTACTCAACATACAATTCATTCTCCTTTACTGGATTCTCCATCACCACCTGCCATATTATCATCCTCTTCTCAATCTACATTATTATGTCCTTCACCTTACTACCCTGTTCCTTTTTACAATTATATACAACATAAACGGCCACTCAAATAGTATCTATTACATTAATGACGTGATCTTGCTTTGTAATATTCTTTTTATATATCTTCTTTCTCTAGTTAATTTTCATCCATTCTATGTGTATACTTCTACTTTCTTCTTCTTTATATATATATATATATACCTATTTCCCATTTTACCTTTTTTTTTTTTTAATAAATATAAATAATCATGTTTATATTTACAATATTTAGTTGGTCTGAACACTATCTTTCAAAGACCGAACACAAATGGCATGAATGAGGGTAATAGTTTGTTGTGATGTTAGAGAAAATGAAACAAATAGTGTCATCTTCCTTTTAGATTCATGAACGGACCGGGTATGTTATTTTGCTCAAGATGATCTGATAGCTTTCCTTTTTTTTTTATATATTCTTTTGCTTTTTTTAGGATAATTGATTTCTTCATCATTATCAAGTCACTGTGAAAATTTGTTGTGGTCTCATGCGGAGAACGAAAACTCCAATGAAAACACTCATGTCAAGAAGTTCGTACTCTTTCTTTCTCTCTCTCTTTTTTTCAGTCTTAAATGACTACTGATGTTTCTTTATCTTGTTTTGATGGATTCTCTCTTATTTATTCGAAATCGACACAAGGAAAAGGACGAGAATATGTAGCAAAACAAATCATTGATCCAGGTACAACCGTGTTGAAAGTAAGACAAAAAGGAAAAAAAAAATAGGACGTTTCAGAGGATGAATGTAAACTAATATATATATATATATATATGTTTCCTTTATTTTAGGTGACTCCTTATGCTACAGGTAAATTATAAATCCTTGTCATTCCATGGTCTGAACTGACTTTTTTTTTTTTTTTTTTTTTTTTTTTTTGTTGGTAGCTATTTTTGACAGTTTCAAAAAACGACTTTGTGCTCGGTGTCTTTGTGCTCATCCAACCAAAAGTTTTTCAACCCATTGTCTAGGCTGTGACCAGGTATATTTCTGCAGCATCGACTGTGCAAACAAGTACTTAAAATGGCATGATCCAGGTTGTTGTGATGTGTTACGGAAGCTAGCTTCTTTGAAAAAGGTAGACCGTCATATGAAAAGTGTAGCAAAATTGGTGGTGATGATCTATTGGCAACGACAAAAGAACAATGAAGATAATTCCTATACTTTAGTACAACATTTGGAATCACATTATGATGATTGGGATCAAGATATCAAACGAGACTGGCATCGGATACACACTTTTTTATGGAAACATATCTCTGCATTGGGTTGGCTGCTTCCTCATGAAACCGATGCGGACATCATGCATCTTGTGTCGAAAATTGAATCAAATGGTTTTGGGATTTATTTGGAAAATAGATTGGATGTGGTAGCAGGAAGAGGTAAAGTAGGATATGTCCTAGAAATAATCTTACTCCTTTTTTTTTTTTTTTTTTTTTTTTAGCACTTTATCCGTTAGCATCCTTATTCAATCATGATTGTGCATATAATTGTCAAGTGGAACAATGGACAGAGGAAGGATTGGAAGAAGAAATGGTTGAACAATTGGAGAAGGAGGAAATCATCCATATATATCCTTCTGTATTTACTCAGCCTCGTGGAAAATTCAGGGAAATGACTATTCGAACGCTCAGCACCATCCAAAAAGAGGATCCTTTGACCATTGCTTATACTGACACTGATTTACCTGTGATGAACCGACGACAGAAACTTTTACAAGATTATTATTTTACTTGCCAATGCAATCGGTGTTTATTGGAAAGTGCATCCAAGAAACGAAAATAATACATAGTTGTTATTTAGTTTATGTATTATAGTGTATTTTAGTATGATTGTTTTGTATTCATATAAAAAAAATAAATGAATCATTTCTTTATTTATACATATTTGTATTTTGTGCAAATAAAAAAAGGATCATCATTGAAAACTTGTCATGTTACACCATCCGTTCCACGTGTCTGTTTTTCTTAACAGACTCCAAAAAAGGAAATCATAAAGTCTAAATAAAAAAGCACATATATCAAATAAAAAAAAGTAAAAAAAAAAAAAAAAAAAAAAAAAAGGAAAGATACATGTTTTATTGTTATATATATATATATAGAAGAGAAAAAGAATAAGAAGAAGTGATAACTAATAAAAACAAATCAACATCATAAGAAAATAAAAAATGTTGTCAATTAACGTAAACTAGTAGTACGGCGAATCCAATCAGACTTATCACTTTGGCCTTTGGGTAAGATCAAACTTCTTGAACCATCATTTTCAAAGATACGCCAAAACTTGAGATTTTCATCAGCAGCAGCAGTAGCCAGGACTTGACCATCAGGACTCAAAGCAGAATGGAGAATACGGGAATCATGACCAGGAATATCGATGAGTTTTTGTAGTTTTGGAAAACTCCAGACAGATAGCTGATTATTGGGATAACCATGTGTAGAGACGATTTCTTTATAATGTTTGGACCAATGAAGAGATGTCACTTGAGATTCAGTTTTGACACTATTGATACGTGCCGTGGTCTTTGTATTCCAAAAGTGAATTTTCTTATCCTCACGTCCTCCTCCAGTCGCCAATACATGATGATTCCAAGGACACCATGCCAACGCCTTGATTGCACCTCGATGAACATCTTTACAGAATTTTGGATTGGTGGAGCGTGCATCCCATACACATACAAAGTTGTCGTTACCACCACTTGCTAGGTTTGTACCATCAGGAGACCATTTCAATCCACATACTTCATCTTCATGTTTGAGCAATTCTGCTGTCTTGTGTTTTGCCACCCGTACATCATGATTCCAGATAGAACCATCTTTAGCACCTGAAGAGACAATGTATTTTTCCCATGAAAGTACTCCAACACGACATTGACGGCCTGTCATGGATCGTAGTTTGCTGTTAGCTTCCACATCCCAGATTTGAGTATCACCTGATCCTGTTCCAAGTGCAAGATAGCTACCATCTGCTGACCAGGATAAAGATGTAATAGTTTCATCACCATTGTAGTTGAGAGGTTGAATCGTTCCGTTATCTGCATTCCAAAGATAGATTGACCGATCTAGACCAATGGCTACCACATTCTGACAAGACCAATCCAATAAGTTGAGGTAATAATCATCCTTCATATAGGGCGCGTCCAAGATCTTTTCAGGGGCTGTGACAATACGGCGCATAGGAATGGTATTGCGCTGTTGAAGATGGTATGCTGGTGAAAATGATGAGGATGAATGTTGAATACGTCCACCAACGGTATAGAGTGATAATGGGTTGCGACGAATATCTTCAGATTTCTTGTATTCCGGTGGGTTAGGTACAAATGAGAGAATACGTTTATCGCGGGCATATCCAAGAGCATGAGCTACACTATTGTTGTAATCATCAGTGTCGTGATCCAAATCAGTCGATTCGTTTTTGTTGGCAAGATTGAATTGAGAAGACGACATGTCCATGCTTTGTCGATGGGGAATAAAGCGGTCGAACTAAATTTAAAATGAAGAATTAGTATAAACCTTTTTTTTTTTTTTTTTTTTTTTTTTTTTTTATTTCTATTTACTTACACTTTCCATTCTCTTGACTGTTTTAATTGGACGAGGAGCATTAAGCCAATCTTGACTAACAGCGTCTAAACCAGAATGTGCTGAGAGAGATCGTTTCAAGGTAGCGCGTGGATCTGAGGGTGGATATTGTTTTGATTGTTGTCGCTTGTGAGAGGATGAGTCGGATTTTTTCCTAGTTGGAGAACTGTGGTTGATAGTTGTTTTTGATGAAGTATTGCTAGTTGAAGGAGAAGTAAAACCTTTGGAAGATTTGGTTGGATTCTTTTGGAAGAGATAACTTAGCATACTTTGTTGTTGTCGTGGTTGTTCCTTTGTTGTTACATTTTTAGTGGATGCTACTTTTGTTGTTGTTGTTGTTGTTGTCGTTGATTCTTGTTGTTGTTGTTGATTGTTGGAAGTAACATTGAAAGTATCCGATAAAGGTCGACTTACTTTGGAAAGAAGTGATTTGGCCATAGAGACCGGACGCTTATCTTCCACTTTTGGTGTTTTCGAAGTTACCTCCATCAATGATGGACAAATTGAAGAATGGACGAGGTAAAAAAGAAAAACAAGAAAAGAGACAAAGTAAAAAAAAAAAAAAAAAAAAGAAAAGAAAGAGTTAGGAGAGAAAAAAAGAAAAAGAGTTAATTATTTTCTTCTTTTGCGCATATAATAATAAAAAATCTCAAAGTGAGCGGAAATCTAAAAGTGACCCATTTTTCCCTAGTGAAAAAAATTTTTGTCTTCATACGTTGTATCACCCATCTCATGACAAAAGAGGTACGCGTTTATCATATTTATATACATATTATTAATATATGATCTTATATATAATAAAATAGAATTCATTCATATTATAGTAAGATTATAGAAATTCATGATTAAAGAAAGAGAGGAAAGAAAGTTTTATTAGATGTTTTTATTCTTCTTCTATAAATGATGATTTATCACAATGCACGAAACTTCTTTTGTGATGATAATTCTGCAGCTTCAAAATCACAGCTGTAACCAGTTCACCTTTCAATGAAAGCCACACTTTCAACTATCACCGATCATACACCCATTCTCCGGTAACATCAGACTGATAATGCTTTATCATCATCATTGCATTTCAATCTTCAATTTTTTTTTTTTTAAAAAAAAGCTAGAGAGTATTTGATCAACTTCTGATGAGACAAAGAAGATTTCTGTGTGTGATGATTGAGTTTTACTATCCACATGGACAATGAAAGAGAAATATTCTTTTTTTTTTTCTTTGTCTACGACATATGATCTGAAGCGGTTTCTCAACATGTTAATAAGAAATCGAAATATATTGTGGATGAGATGATGATGATGATGAAATGAATAAAGAAAGGATGACGATAGTTAAATAATGGCAATTGAAAAAGGATGATGAATGAATGATCGACGTATTAAAGGATAGATGTTAATTAAAATTGACAAATGGTATCATTAAAATGGTCATCAATCATTTGATCATCATCCATTCGGTATATATGAAAATAAAGTCGAAATAAATGTACTTTTGTTACCACAAAGAAAAGAAAAAGGATGCATTGTTCGATTGAATAGATTAGACTTGATTTCCGACATAAGGTACAATGATCATCTAGCTTGTTTTCATTATGAAAAATGTTATATATAGTTTGAATAAAAAAGAAAGATTTTTTACATTATGTTAGATTTTAATTCTTTTTCAAGCATAATGAATTGTGACTTAAGCGGAGTTTGTCATATCCACTTCTTTTTTCCATTGGGGGACCTTTTTATTTTGTTGTTTTCTTTACTTCCTCTTTCCTTTTGTTTTGCTTTGTGTCAACCTTTTTTTTTTTTTCTTTACAATGGATAATTGGGATCCTATCATATATGACAAGGAACTGGAAAAAATTCTATCTTCAAAATCTGCTGTATCAGTATCTCGCATCACTATTTTAAAGAACTTGGCAATTGAACATCCACAAGTAAGAAATAAAAAAAATAATAGTTAGCAGTAAATATATCAATCTTTTTTTTTCTTTCTTTTTGTAGCACCACCAATATATTACGCAAGCCATTATCAATTTTATTGGAAAAGCACCGGGTGATTATCGCGTAGCTGGTCTTTATGTCATTGATGCCATCTCTGCCAAGGTACATAAGCTATTAAGGGACAAGCAATACAAAGATACCGATCATTTACAAAACTATATCAAGCGTTTTACAAATCTATTATGGAGTCAAGCTCTCTATGGCTGTTTTGCTGATTGTACAGAAAAAGACAAGGTATGATATAAAAAAAAAGAAGATGAGACCATGATATTGTGATATATTTCGTATATGTGCGTGTATGTATGTATGTACGTCCCTCTCTGTGTGTGTACTTGTATATATATATATATACATGTGTGTGTGTGTGTGTGTGTGTGTGTGTGTGTGTGTCTGTGTGTATGTCTGTGTGCGTATATATATATAAACGAATGGATGGAAATTGAAGGTTTTAGGAAATAGGTATATAATATTCACGGGATGAGTTGTGATGTATTGATCGGGTTGTTTTAGTTAGCTTCCATTTTTTTTTTTTTTTTTTTGAATACATTTATTAAAAACCATTTGACCAACAAATTTATATATCTATCTACTTGATTGTAGGTGAAGGTAACAAAAACACTTGATATCTGGGGGAACAAGGGAATATATCCAATGGACTTGATTGAAGATTTGAAGGATACTGTATTTGGATATGAAGGTGATACAAAAGAACTGGAGAACTTTGAATTTTTTTTTTTTTTTTTTCAACTGAACCCACATTTTTTTTTTCTCTTTCTTTCTTTCAGGGTCTCACTCAACAACACCTCCTCATCCTCCTCCTGCTATTGATACTGCTTCTTTACTTGCTTCCTTATCTTCTTTGAATGCTGGAACTTCTGGTTCTTTAAACCTTAGTACATTATTATCTGGTGGTCAAGCAGCAACAACTCAGGATCTTCCTTCTAACCAAGTATTGACCAACAATAACAACAACAATACTAACACTCGCAACAATACCAGCATCAATACTGATATCTATTCCAAACCTGACAATGAACTTAGTACAAATCCACCATCAACTGATGCTTTTGCCAAAATTTTGGGGGACCTCGTATCGAGTAGGAATTACCAAGGATCGTTATCACCGGATTCACGAATACAACAAACATCTATCATGTCCTCATCTCTTTCTTTTCCACAACAACAACAACAACAACAACAACAGCAGCAGCAGCAGCAACAACAACAATACCAATACCAAGGATTATCAATATTTAATGCTTCATCACAACGACAACCTCCTCCTTCTTGGCCACCTGGAAGTTTTGTAGATCAAAATCCCTTGATTCACAGGCCTCCACCTCCAGCAGTATCATCATTCCCAGCAACTGGATCTTCACCAATGATATTCAAACCTCCATTACCACCATATCCATCTACCGTGTACCCACCTCATCGAACACCTTCTTCTCCTTTTCCTCCTCCTCCTTCTCAAGGGATCTATCCTATACATGACCCTACATTGCCAGCTGGAACCATTCGAGGTAAACTTTTATATACAACTATGGGGATGAGAGACGATGACTTCTTTAGATTTACTAATAATCTTCATCTTTTCTTTAGTTTTGACAAGATCGTTATTTGTTGGACCATTACCAATAGATATAGAACAACAAGATGTAGAAAATATTTTCTCCAAATATGGAAAAGTGGTCAGCGTTGTTGTAAGCGATTATAATGATGAATAATATAAAAGCTAACGTTTTACTCTATTTGTGATAATCATATATATATATAGTTCAGGAAAAAGAAACCACTCAATGCATTTCTTAAATTCTCAACACACCAAGCAACACGAGCTGCCAAATATGGATCTACTCATCTCAAGATCAATGACACTGAAGTACATGTAAGAACAAAACTAGGGATGGCATGATGATGATTTAATTTTTTTTTTTCTTTTTTTTTTTTAGGTGGATTGGGCTTATGGATTTGGACCAAAACGATTATTCAATTATGAAAATGGAGAATCGATCATTCCATTAGATGATTTGACAGAAGATGAAAAACAAGGATTGACAACTACTACACTTGGAGGATTCCATGGTGCACCTGTCATGGATCGAATGGCGATTGAAGAACCAGCCATTGATTATAAACCGGAATGGCAAAAGGATACCCATTATCGACATCGACGACCTGGTGCTGTTGGTGGTGGTAGTAAGCGGACGCACTCTGGACATGAAACACCAAGAAAGAAAAGTAGATTTGACAGTGATTGGTCCCGATGATGACATCCTTCTATTATTCCTTCTTTATAGATGATATACTCTTTCATTTTTTTTATATGGATCATCCCTGTATTACCTTTTCTGCTTCATTTGTATTTAGATATTCATTTAACATCCTTTTTTTTTTCAATTTATTTTTCTTGTTACCTTTTTTTTTTTTTTGTAAATTAACTCTTCTCAATAAAGCTAATTTGTCCAAAATAAAAAAAAAATATGTGTGTGTAGATGGTTTATCCGATGACAAAAGCCAAATGATGGGTAACGCATGATCTATTTTACCCTCCTTCTAGATTGAAAATGGAAACTTTTACCCAATACAGAGATGCTTTGTTCCACGCATTTCTTTTTTTTTTTTTTTTTTTTTTTCAAATCGTCAAATCATCTAATGGAATCATCATACTACTTATCTTTCTTTTTTTTTTTAATGTAGTTATGTACAACAAAGGGTCTACCTTTTTTTTTTATTGTTCTAAAAAATATATATATACAAAGAAAATAAAATAGGAAATCCATAAAATAGATATCTGTACAAAAAAAAAAAAAAAGATGACTAGTAATAAGAAATAAACTATACTAAACAGATATACATTGAGTACAAGATGTGGAAGCAGTATAAGGAGGTAAAGTGGATGGATGATAAGTAGGTAAAGCATTTTCATATTCTATAGTTTGTAAAAATTTCGGAGGCGGGACTGTTTGCAATGAATGAGTGTTGTTGTTGTTGTTGTTGTCAATAGAGGATGAATTATTTTCTTGTTGAGATACGATGGATGGTGTAGATGAAGGGATTCTTGTTAATGTATTTGCGGAAGAACGCGTGTCACCAAAGATGCCAGAATAGTCAGTATAGTTGGAAAGATCATCAGGAATGCGAATGCCGTGACCAAGAGTACCAATCACCAAAGGAATTCGAATTTCATCTTCACCTATCGAGGTCCAAAGTGATCGTTGTCGTTTCTTGCCCGAGACATGAAGCACAAGTTCATATTGTACAGTGATGACACGACCGTAATGATAACTAGGTGGTAGATTACTGGGGATCTTCATGGAGAGACGAGTACAAGTTTGAATACATGATTGTACTAAAGAAGGTGATGAGGATGAAATCGAGGTACGTCGATAGGATGATTGTTGTTGTTGATCCAAAAGAAGAAGCGAGATCGGAGGAGAATGAATCACAATAGGTGTTGATCGAGTTACTGTCGTTTCAGAAGGTGGAACACGTTCATCCTCCAATTGACAAGGAAGTGTGACGATTTGTACCAGTTCCATAATAACTTGCATACCAACCAAGGAAGATTTAATACAAGACGCCAGCGCCGAAGGTGATAAGGTTACTTGAAATTGGAAGGTATCACCCGCAACATAATCCGTATTGGGCATTTGTACCACAAGCCATTTAGAATGACGGACCATTGGAATCTTGAGAGCGCGAGTAGGAATCCAAGGACGATAATGAACAGATTGATGTGTTGTCAATAAAGGTTGTAACGAAGAAGAAGAAGAAGGTTGGTGATCGAGAATGGCAGTCAGCTTGAATCGACATTTATATCGTAATCTTGCATAGTCCATAGACGGTGGATGTTGTACTAATGGCATTTGAATGGTGAAAATATATTGGTTACTTGGGAATGGACTGTCAGTCGATTTTTCCCAGAGAATACGTTGAGAACCAAACAATTGATGGTGTCTTCCTCTAATCACGGATGCCATAGTAGAATGTAACTGAACTGACTCGGCAGCATGAAAAATAATACGAAGACGTTGAGCATTATGTTGTTGTTGTTGTTGTGGAAGTGATAAACGGACAATACCTATAAAATAAAGGAAGAGAATAAATAAAACCATGAATATAAAAATAATTTTTCATTGTACCTTGAAATACCGACCCTGGACAATAAACAGGTTCTCCATTAAGAGACAGTCCAAATTCAGGTAAAAGTTCAATAGATAAATTTCCTTTTTGCTTTTTTTTAATCATATAAATAAAAAGGTATTAATTTTTTTTAAAAAAAAAGAAGAGAAAAGGAAAGAAAAAAAAAAAAAAAGAAATGACGTTTTTAAATACACCTTTTTTTTTCCATGAAAAAAACACACATCTCCGCTAAACCAAACTAAGTGTAGGCCTTACTCATCCATTCCCGATGTTGATTGGCCTAGATTTTCTTGCTCCCCCAACAATGAGTCTCCCCCGCATGATCGGCCATTTTTTTTCCTTTATTCATCCAACTTCTACATCAACATTTATTGGTCATATTCAATCCCAATTCGTTTCGATATCTTTAAAAAAGAAGAATCTCGGATTACTATTTTGTGGCGTATGATTTTTGATAGATTGAGATGTCCGCAGTATTCATTTTTGAAAGAATCATTCTTGATCATCATTTGTATCACTTTTTTTTTATATTTTATTCCATCAAACAAAACAATAAAAAGGAATATCTAATCTAAATCTATTGAATTTTTTGATTATCAACTAATGTAAAAGTTCCCCAGTCAATTCCATTGGTACATCCAATTGATAATAAGTCACTTTATATCGTAAACGTAGAGACTGATTCAGTTTGTTGGTAATTGTGATGTTTTGATATACACTATTGGTCGATTTTGGTGGTATGGTTTGACTTGATTGAGGTTCTAGTTTCAATTGCATAGTCTATAAATAAAAATATATAAAAGAAATTCGTATCACCTGTGAGTTCCGAATCCAGATTTCTTTCATTCAGGCTTCGTTAATTTTCCTTTCTTTTTACCTTTGGTGCTGCTAAATGTAATGTCATGTTTTCCATTGCTGCTGTTGATTTGTTGGAAAACAGGGCTTTGACTTTCCATATCGGGTCACCTTTGGTAACTTGTAAAATCACCGACAATCCGTTTTTATCGAGCAACGCCACTATTTCATATGAATGTAAGACAAAATCAGTATGTCAAAATTTGTCATCTTCCTTTTTTTTATTTACCTTCTTCTTGTTCTTGTACTTTTGTCTGTGATGATACTGTTGGTGATTGTGTCACTGTTGTGTTTGATATAATATCCATAGGTGGAGTTGATGGAGAAGAGTTATTGGATGATAGTGTGGGCTTGAATGGTTGAGATAACATTGATTCAGGTCCAAGTTGTAAAGTAGACGTCGTATTAAGTTGTTCCCCAAATAAATCTGAAAGTTGATCCATCACATTTGTTTGCTGAGCTGGTGATCCATCAACTGGTGGTGTAGAAATATCGTTATCATTATCCAAATCAATTAGACTAATACTTTGATTTTCAACTGGTTGAGGGGTTCCATGACCACTGGTATTGACTTCATAATGAGTGTTGTAAAGACCTTTTTGAATATCTTGGTATTTTGCAATGACATTGTTAACAATATCATTGATACGTAGCAAATCCTCTATATAATAACCAATTAGTAAAAAAAAATAAAACAAAAGTTATCCAGATCATTACCTATTTTATCTTCATCTTCTTCTTCTTTGACCATTTTTGAGATTTTCGGTAAAGCACTGGCACAAGCACTTTGTAATTCCTATTCCAATAATAATAAATATTATGTATAAATGATTTTATATTCCATTCTTTTACCTTCATCATGTCATTAGCATCGACAATTTCACCTTCTTTCACATTCTCCAACATTTCATATAACAAAGTCGCCTTATTTTCGATCTTGTGTAATTCTTCCGCAAACATATCATTGTAATTGGTTTGTCTTCGTTGATCCTGATAAAATACCAAAATAAAAGATATTAACATTAAATCATCTTTTTTTTTTTTTTTAAAAAAAAAATACTTACATAACCTGACATAATCTTCATCAATCTATTGGCTTCCACCAAGTCTTGAGGTCGTCCCCGCCGAATCAATTCTTGTAGTTTCTATCAAAATAATAATAATTATCAATTTAATTCTTCCTCTTAGTATATCATATTTATTTGCTACTTACAGCAGATTGTGCAATACGATCTTCTTCTTCCAATTCATCAGCTGATCGTAATGTCTATCAAAATAAAAATAAAAAATAAAATAAAAAAATATAGGATGTGAGTTAAAGGTATCATTCATCTCAACCTACTATCACATACTTCTGGTGGAGCTAATGCCGAAAGAGATGCTTCACGGATTTCAGGGAAACGATAACCTTTGTAGCGCAACAATCGATACATATCCTTGATATGGATGAGGTCATTCTTGTAACGAGACAGTTCAGCCAATCCCACTTTCCATTCCTTGATTAGATATAATATACGACTCATCACCGGATTAGCCCCAGTTGGTTGTTGAGGAACATAGTCAAAGTGATTCCATGATGCATCAGAGGATCCATGTAATCTTGGTACAGAAGGAGAATAATTCGCTGGAGGACGTTCAGGAAACTTTCGTACAAGAGCATTCAAGAATTCTTTGGTGGCAATTTGAAGATGAAAAGGATATCCACAGTTCTTTACACAATGGTCAAGTAACTAAAAAAAAAAAAAAAAAAAAAAAAAAAGAAAGAAGGAGATGAGAAAAGCGGGGGTTTCGCCACGTGTAAAGAAAAAGTTGTCTTTTTTTTTTCTTGCATACCGTCAAGGCAAGCATAGCTTGATTGATTCTTTTACTGTTGACAAGGCGTACAATAGTCATAGCTGCTAATCGAGGTCTAATAAAAAGATAAAGTCATTAGATACAATATATATATTATTTGAAGAGACTTACAAACCACCACCTTTGATATTGATCCTTTCGCATATTTCGAGATTAAGTGCAACATCGGCTTCATATCGAGCAGGACTACAAGCAGTTTCTAAAAAGAAGAAAAAAAGACAAGATATTTTAGTTAAGAATATACTTACTTTCTTTATAATGTTGAATAAATAATATTACCAATAAGATCAGGTAGTGGTAAGGTCATTTCCAAAGAAAAAAAAAAAAAAAAACTGGGGAAAATAAAAAAAGGTCAAAAATGCTGAAAACAAAAGAAAAAAAAAAATAAAATAAAAAAAACGGACATACTATTTTTTCGGGGTCAGATTTTTGTTGTATTGATGATTGTATTGGCTTTTTTTTTTCCTCTTCTTTTTTTTTTTTAGTTTTTTTTTCTTATGCAATCTTTGAACGATCATTACGATTCTATAGATATTCATGTACGTTGGTCTGATAGACAAGACCTTATTTTAAACATATCACCTATTGAAACTATTCAAACTGTCAAAGATAAGGTAAAAATTCTGTTTTATTCAAAAGAGTTATTAACTTATGTTCTAATAATTAGATTAAAAGTTCATCAACTCGTACTGAAAATAAATATCTTCGACTGATTCACAATGGCCGTGTTTTGGAGGATAATAAGACTCTTTTAGATTACAATATTGGCAAGTTGCCATTACGGAACTCTAAACAAAAAATTGCACCACCTTCACCTGTTTTTATTCATTGCTCTGTATCTGACTACAAACCTGAAAAAAAGACTATCAATGTAAGTATATAAAATAAATAAATTTGGGATCAATATTTTCTAAAGAAAAGAATTTTTTTTTCTTTAATTCTATAGAATCAACCACAAATGACTGCATCTATTGGATTTGATCGATTACGAGAAGCTGGTTTCTCAGAAGAAGACATTCGAAATATTCGTACTCAGTTTCATAGGATGAATGGTTTGTCCCAAGTTGGCGATGGTAAAAAAAAAAAAAAAAAAAAAAAAAAAAAAAAAAAAAAAAGGATAACTAGATAATAGTGAATTCTCATTTCTCTCTCTCTTTTTCTGATATATAAATATTAGAAACATCGGATCAAGCAAGGAACCTGGAAGAACAATGGATGGACAATACTGGTGAAACTTTACCTGATGGAAGTAAGGAGAGGGATTGAAAACCTTAATTGCAAAACACTCAATTTTTTTGTTTTTATATATTTTTAGCCGTTCAGGGGACATACAAGGAAATGATGTGGGGATTGATGTTAGGCTTCTTTTTAGGCATCATCTGTTTATTTTGGTTCCGTGAATCTGTTTTTACTCGAAGACATCAGATGGGTAATATATCATTATTATTATCAAAAAAAAAAAATAGGTTAAACTCATTCTTTTATCTAATTTATTAGGTATAGTGGCTGGTATACTGATAAATATCTCCTTTGGTTTATTACATGTTTATTATTGAACAAGACCAATGACAAATATATATTACCCCCCTTTTGATTGTTTATGCTTTTTCTTTTTTTCGTGATACCATTTTATTTTTATCTTACCATCATCATTGTCATCATTTTTTTTTCTACATCAGCATAGTTTGTTATGTCATCTTTCCAATGGAAGAAATAAAAAAAAAACCACCTACTTTTTGATTTGTACTTTACACTGGATAAACCACATGCTGGATGCGGTCTTTGAATGTGGATACATACTTTTTTTTTTCCTTTCAATCTGGAAATGGGGGTTACCTTGTCTCCCTCTCTCTCTCTTTTTATATATATATACATATGTATTGATGATTCTTATTTGTATCATTAGCGGATGTCTTCTTATTTTATCATGTCTATGCCTTCTTGCCAAAACTGTACCTGATTTACGGTCTTCTGTACTAGCTTATGGCAAGTTGAATGAAACAGCCGATCAACCTCGCTCCAACTGGGCCATGGAATTGCAATCCTTGACGGTTCCCAAGACCTGGTTTACTCATTTTTACGCTGTTGGGTTTATATTCAGTCTATACTGTTGGTACGAGCTTGTTTTTTTATCGCCATTAAATACTACTAATGATCTTGGTCCTTTATTGCTATTATTGAAATACTGGGATGCTCCTGCAGGTGGTGATCGCGTGCCTTGGTCTGTGTGCAAACTTGGTCTTTTATTGATGACTTGTCATTTAGCACGTCGGCTATATGAATCTCAAGTGATTGAACGTCCTTCTTCTCTTGCTCGGATGCATATCTCTCACTATCTAGTCGGTTTGGGTTTTTATGGAGCTATGGTGTTTGGTACTTGGTTGGAAGGTGTAGCCACATTACCGATATGGCAAGGTAATAGAAAAAAATAAAGCAAAGAAAACAATGAATGTTGTTTTTATTGGAACTGACAAGATAAAGATTAGGGCACGTATACTCACATTTATTTTTTTTCTTATTTATTTATTTATTTATTTATTTCTTGAAAAGATCATCCGAATGTTTCTTCTAATGATATCTCATTCTATAGTATGATGATAGGGGTATGTCTCTTTTTGTATGCATCCAAACATCAATATCAATGTCATGTTATACTCGCATCATTACGAACAACTGAAAGTAACAACATAAGGAAGAAGGATAAAGATAATCGTCGTTATCGTATACCTCATGGTGATTGGTTTGAAATCTGGGTAGCTCCTCATTATATATGCGATATTCTCATCTATCTTTCTCTGTGTATCATTTATCAAGGTCGAAGTATCATCCTACTCTGTGGATTCTTATGGACTTTATTGAATCTTTCTGTTACTGCCTCTGAAACCAAATCTTGGTATGTTACCACCTTTCCTGATTTTCCTCGTCAACGTTGGATCTTGGTACCTGGTTTATTTTAATCATGCTCATACAGATATACACATATTCCATTTTCCCATTGCCCTTCATAGAATAGATACAATACAACTTTTTTATACCATCATTCATAAAATAAAATATAATAAATAAAAAAAAAAAAGGTCAACGTGAAAAGAAGTTTATTATTTTGTATAGATCTATTGCAAAAAAAAAAAAAAAAAAGATAATGGATAGAATAAGAAAAATAAATGTACAAAGTGAAGAAAAAGGATGTAAAAGATATCATAATGAATATAAATAAAAATGATAAAAAAAATATGACAAAAGGAGAAATGATGACAAAAAGTGATATAGTAATAATTTCAAGTGATTCGTTTGTTGATGAATAAGTGTAGGATAAATCGTTCGTTTCGTTCTTGTTTACTTGGCCTTGGTGAATCGATAACTGAAGCGTTTACGAGTAAAAGCAAATTCACCCAATTTATGACCAATCATTTCTTCTGTGACATGTACCGGTAAATAATCCTTTCCATTATGAACGAGGAATTTGAGACCGACAAAGGATGGAAGAATAGTACAACTACGAGCTGTTCACAAAAAAAAATTATTAGTTTTCTTTGGACGGTGGTCTAACTTTCATCATACCTTGTGTAGCAATGGGAGTACCGTTTTGAATAGCTTGTCGAAGACCAGGAAAAGCTACAAAAAAAGGTCCTTTCCAAGCAGAACGAGGCATTGTTTCAATAGAATAAAAAAAAAAAAAAAAGGAAAGGGAAAGCCACTGTTTGACCATTTTCAAAACAAAAAAAAAAGGAAACCTCATTTTAAAGTCCGTCGAGGCACCCCCCGGACTGTTGAAAATGTCAAAAAGTAAAAAAATAAGGATAAAGCGCGATCATTCTTTTTTTTTTTTTTTACTCTTTACATTTTAATCACCATGGCCTCCAAGAATCTTCCTAAAGTCTTTTTTGATATTGCTATCAATAACAATCCCGCAGGTAGATTAACTTTCAAGGTAAAAAAGAATATATGGTAAACCAATATGTTGCTAACTATTTAACTATCTTTGATCTGTCAATTAAAAAAAAAAAAGCTCTTTTCTGACACTGTACCCAAGACTGCTGAAAACTTCCGTGCACTTTGTACCGGTGAAAAAGGAATGGGTCAATCTGGAAAGCCTCTCCATTATAAGGGTAGTAAATTGTAAAGTGTGATTAAAATGAAAAACATGGTTCAACTTAACCTTTTTTTTTTTGTTTTGTTTTATTTTCTGACATATAGCCACCGTATTATTCCTGGTTTCATGGCTCAAGGTGGTGATTTCACTTTGGGTGATGGTCGTGGTGGTGAATCCATCTATGGTCGCACTTTTAATGAGTAAGGAGATGTGTGATAATGATTTATGTGTTGATATATATTCAATTTTTTTTTTTTTGTTAGTGAAAACTTCACTTTGAAACATACTTCCAAAGGTCTTTTGTCTATGGCCAATGCTGGTCCTAACACTAACGGATCTCAATTCTTCATTACTTTTGACGAAACTCCTTGGTTGAATGGTGCTCATACTGTGTTTGGTGAGGTTACTGACGGTAAGGAACTTTTGAACAAGTTGGAAGGTCTTGGTAGTCAAAGTGGCCGTGTTGTTGATGAAGTCAAGATTGTCGATTGTGGTGAAATCAAACAATAGATTAGATTATGTTATAATATAAGATGATATATGACAATAAAATGACCATTTTTTTTTTTTATCTTCAAGGTGTGTATGTATCTATGTATTTTTTTTTTTTTTTTTTTTGGATGAATTTGTATTTAGTATCAATGACGACAGATTTATATCCTCATGATTCAATAAGGATGCTGGTGTGTGAAAAGGAACAATGATAGCAAATGATTATTCGATGTGAATTGAGATTCTGTCCATGTTTCTTTATATTGAATAGCATTGACCATAAAAGGTGTTTCCAAAAAGTTGCACATCTTGTAACACGACGTAATCAAGAATGTTTGAAGAATACGCGTCGAGTTTTTTTTTTTTTTTTTTTTTTTTTTTTCACCTGATCATAAAGTCTATATTGGTAGATTCATCAACATCATGCTTATTTTAGAATGGTCACCGTAAGTTTTGCCTTCTTCATTGTAACGTTATCCATATAGAATTAAATTTAGCTCTATATGCTTTTTTATTGTTTCATGTAACTTATTGAAATTACAATCATCCATTTATATATTGTCTAAGTAATTCTTTATTGAGTCAATCAAAAGCTGAATATGTATAAAATAATAACAAGAAGAAGTAGATACTAAAAGTAACTAAATACGAGGTATGTGCATATAGATATATATATAGGGTAAGTATGAAAGGATTGATAAAAAAAAATAAAGTGTCTGTGTGTCCATGTATGTGTGAAAGGGAAAGAAAGAAGGACATATGTACAAAAAAAAAAAAAAAAAAAAAAAAAAAAGGAAAGAGGATAAACATATTGACTATAAATAGTAACTCCAACCATAATCATCCATATTGTCCTGATCATCCATGAGGTCCAAATAATCCAGATCGTCAAGTGATAATAACATATGATCAGGTCCACGACCTAAACTGATCAACCAAGCCAAGGATAAGACAGCAAGGAATTTGCACCAGGATAAGCTCTTGTCCATCCAAGCCAGTAAGTACCGTGAGCATGCTCCCAAGCCTTGATTTGCCAGTAACAGATAAAATGGAAGTTGTTTCGAATGAATATTGAATTTGTCTAAAGAGATGGACGAGGATGCACTAGACCAAGCTGATGAATCATGATGATGGTGTTGCATTGGATGTGATAAGATGCACCTTAAATCTTGTTCCAATCCAAAATCATTACCCAAATCGCTGATAGTATCCAAACATTGTAGAAGATCATCAAATAGATGGGATGAATGTTGTTGTTGTTGTTTGGCTTGATGTGGTGATGGTGAAAACAATGGTGTCATCGTAATTGAGGAATCATTCTTCTTTTCATCCTTTCCAACTTGTGTCATATGTGATATATCGTTGCTAAGCTCATGCTGATGATGATGATGCTGTTGTTGTTGTTCCAAAACCCATTCTGCTACTCCATGTTGTAACGGTGGTGTACTGTCATCAACTTTATTCATATGGCGAAGTGGAGGTATTGCTGAGTCAGGTTGATCCAAAGAGGGTGGTTTTGTAAGAGCTGTTTCATCTACTATCGGTAATAACGGCTGTTTCACTGGTATGGATGATGAGCTCACTTCCGGTTGTTTGCTCTTGTATGCTCTGGAGGTAGTAGATGCAGCTTTGTGGTGTTTGACAGGATCCGACTTGTTTGTTTTTCTCTTGCATAGACATTGAGTGGGCGTTGCATTGGATTGTGGCGCGGCCATGGATGTTGTCATAGGTTTCTTTGCTGATGATGACGTTTGAGGTTGCTTTTGTTGAGAAGGTCGCCTTTTACCCGGTGTATTGTCGGAAACAACAGGCTGTTTCTGCTTTTGATGACGTTGTTTTTGGTGATTCTGCTTATGATGCTTTGGATGCTGTTGATCTCGCTGTTGTTGCTGTTTTTCTTGTTGTTTTTCTTGTTGTTGTTGTTGTTGTTCCTCTTGTTGTTGTTTTTGTTCTTCTTGTTGTTGTTTTTGTTCTTGTTGTTCAGGTTGTAATAATTGATCTGGTTGCTTTTCTTTTTCCATGGACAAAGAAGTAGGACTATGAGCACTTTTCCAATCATCATTATCTTCATTCCAGGTAGGATCATACATTCGTAATCGCTGTTGATATTCTTGTCGTAATTGTTTGACCCGTCGACGTCGTTGTATCCTTCTTTCATGAGCTTCCTGTACCGAAGGTGTAGCATCCATCAAATCATCATCACTTGTTGAACAGGTATCTGAAGATTCACTATGTTGTAAAGTCACCATGCCAGCAGCTGTAGATGTAGAAGGTTTCTTTTTCACTGATTTTTGTCGAGAGCTGAAGATGGAGGACATACGTGATAAAGTGGAGGAAAAGGAAGTAGAGGCAGAAACAGCATTTGCAGGTAATGATGGTTTGGTAACTTGTTCCTTTTCTTGATGAATCCTAGAATTAGCCAATAGATTGTCAAGTTGTAACTGATGTGTGTTGAAACGTCGTTCTAAGGCTTGAATTTGTCGATCATCAGGGTCCCCGAATTTGGATAAAACGTTTTCTGTTGTCGCAAGTTCAATTCGAAGGTTATCCAATTCTGATAATAAATGAGATACTTTGGAGTTGGCATCAGTAAGACCTTCTTGTAATAATCGACAACGTAGACGTACTGTTGCTTTTTGAATAAGTTCATCCTTTGCTTTTGGATTGTTTTCATAATAAGAAAGTGACAGGTAAGAATTTGGTTCAAATTGTGGAGGAGATGAAGATGATGCTTTAACGATAATTTCATTAGAAGACATCATTTCGTGATTTGTACAAAAAGAAGAAGCAGGTAATATATCAATCATATAGAATAAAATAAAAATAAAAATAAAATAAAGAAGAAGAATAAGAAAAAAGAAAGAAAGAAAGAAAGAAAGAAATAAAAAAAAAAAAAAAGCATGGTTGAATGGAGTTTTAAATAATTTCGAAACAAGTAACAAGTAAGATATAAAAAAAGAAAAAAAAAAAAAAAAAACTTGAAACGCTCATTTTCTTTGCTCTGTCACAAGGGAACCTATTTTCATATGGTTTTATTATTTTTAATGCGTGCATTCTTGACATACTCTCTCCCTAATTTTTCTTCTTTTTTTTTTTTTATATTCACGTGCTTTGTCATTACTTCTTTCTTGACCATTTTTTTTAAAGTTTGATCTACTCCCGGTGTTTAATACAGTATCACTATCAATATCACTGCCGATACTATGATGATGACGACTACTGACAGGAAAAAAATAAATTCCCCTTCCTTTTTTTTCATTTCAAGCGAAAAAATCATGCAATATACTCTTTGATTCTTTTTGACTACTGACAAGTAAAAAACTTTATACAGTCACGCGGCATTTGAAAAGCGTGGAGAACAAGTGTCTTTCAACCAATGTGATTCTTTTTTTTTTTTTTCCTTTTCTCCTCTTTCCACCAAAAGCAATAATGTCTTTACCTTTTGGAATTAAAAAACCTTCTCGTGGTACAGTGATTTTTACTGGAATAATTGGTACTCTTGGAGGAAGTTATTATGCTAGTAAATATTATGCTCAACAATCTCGTCAGGCTCTATGCGATAAAGTATCTTGGTTAGCGAATCGTCCTTGTGGTGTCCATGTAAGCTTCAAAAAGATAATGTTATTTTATTCTATATTAATCTTTTTTTTTTCTTTATAGGAACGACCTCGAAAAGTACAAATATTTATAACAGCTCCTCCTGGTGATGGTTTAGAAAAAAGTCGAAATTGGTTTGGAGAATATATCAAGGTAATTTATTAAATGAATATGGTATGTCTAGTTAATTAACATTTCACTTTTTTTTTTTATATATAGCCCGTTCTTGTGGCTGCTGCTATAGATTATGAAGTCAAGGAAGCAAGAGAACCTGGTCAAATTGAAAAGTTGGTTAGAGAACAAGTCATTAATCTTCGAAAGAATGAACAACAACAATCAACAGAAACGAATGTCTCACCTACAACGCAGAACCCATTTACGCCTGTTATGCAAGACATTGTCAAGCAACAACGTACTTCTGAAAATGAATTTGATGGCATGATTGCAATTGGACGTAATGCCTGGAGAGAACTGCTTACTGGTCTGGATAAAGGATGCACCGTTAGTTTACAACAAGTGGCTCGGGAAGAAGCTTTAGCACTGGAACAAAAAACAAAGGATGAACAAAACAAGACGACAAAAGAAGATGAATCTTCAAACACTTCTTCTTTGGATGAAACATCAGCATCTTATGAACAGTCTGAAGTAATCATGTCAGATTCTAATCAACAAGAAAACGTCGTCGGTGACAACAATAAACAACCTGAATTCATGTCCAATACTAACCAACAAGAAAACATCAACGATGACAATAAGGACGACAATTTGATGCGTATGGATGATAATGTAGTCACGAATGAAAAAGATAGATTCAATGTACCTGCTTCGCTTTCGCCTGTTATATACATTCCTCATGAAAATATCATTGGATGGACTAATATTCCTTACCGTATCTATATGTGGTTAGCGGATTATCAACGCATTGAACGATTTGGAGAATATGCTGTATCTTTGGCATTGAACAAGACAAAACCTTTGGCTATAGAAGATATTGATGTTGGTTATCAAGAAATGAAATATTGGGTTGGTGATGATGAAGCCAAGTCTGCAAGAAACGATGATCAACCTATACAAATCGAGGATCGTGTTAGAGAAGAATTGAAAACTTATACCAATTAGTCATATACATTCTTTCCCCTCCTCATTCATATATATCTTTTTTTTTTTATGCTTGCTATAGAATTTAGATTTTTTTTTTTCTGTGTATACGTTAGTGAATTATAATAAATTTTCTGGTCTTTGATTGTCAAAAAACATAATATTTTTATCATGTCGGTTTGAAAAAGTAATGGTAATTATGGGCAATAATTAAATAATAGGCAGCGATAGATGATGAATAATATGTGATTTAGGTTGAAGCATGGTGGATGATCATATCCAAGAGGTATTTTTTTTTTTTAAACCTCTTGGTCGGTGATTGAATCCTGTACTTTGGAAAGAGAAAACAAGGGACAGGGGGATTCTTTTCTCTTTCTCCTTTTTTTTTTTTTTTTTACTTTTCTTTCCGGCGATTAGGATGGCTCGTGGTGCCCAAAAAGAACAAGCAAGGTGAATCAACAAGTTTCTCAAATATATCCCCGTTAGTACTTATTCAATTTCCTTTTCTTGTCTTCTTTCTTACAATTTTACTTTCTCTTATAGACAAAAAGCTCAAAAAGAAGCCGCCAAGAGAGCTAAAAGTGGATCCCAATTAGGTGCTCGTCAAGCTGGTCTTCAAGTAAGTGTATATATAGTTGTCAACAAAAAAAAAAAAAAAAAAAAAAAAAGAAAAAAAGCAACCGTTTTTCTCACTTTTTTTTTATTCTCTTCTTTATTCACTCTACTGTTTTCAAAGATCAAATGCCCTACTTGCATGGGTCAAATGGCAAACTACAAACTATTAGTACAACATATGGAAGTAAGTCCTTTTTTTTTGTGATAGTTTGGTATTAGAAAACACGAAAGACTACTTGTATTTATACTTTCTCTTTTTCTTTTCTCTTTATATCTTTAGGCAAAACATCCCAAAGAGAAAATTCCTAGTGAAGATAGTTTCTCTTCTTGATAGTTTAGTATGATGATATACCACTCTTTCTTTTTATTATGATTTGATATGTGCAATAAAGAATATACATTTTTTTTTTATATACATGTCTTTGAATGATTTGGGTACCTTGGAATTATATATGTTTAGCGATCATCGGACAATCAATCATTATATATCCCAAACAGGTTCGGAATTCTTTACCTCTTGTTCTTTTCCGTTTCTTTCGTTCCATCATGTTTGGTTGCTTTGGTCGATCTTGTCCTTTTTGTACTGTCTCTACTGAAAATGGTTTTTCTATTGTCCAAGAAGTAAGTTACATTGATAAGAAAGGTGTTATGTGGTGAGGTACTCATTCCCAACGGGTCTAACTTGGTTTTTATTATTATTATTTATGTTGGACTTTATGTATGTTTTATTTTAGACAGAAGATTTGATAGCTTTCAGAGATCGTTCTCCAGCCGCCAAAATACATTTTCTCGTGATACCTCGGAATCATATTGGAACAGTGAAGGATCTAGAAAAAAAGGATATATCATTAGGTAAAAAAAAAAAAGGGGGTGACGATGGTTTTATACATATATAACAAAGAACCATAACCAACAATGAAACCTTTTATATATTGATGATGGTTCTGTTTTAGTGCAACAAATGATTGGTCTGGGTCAGCAATTATTGAAAGAACAAGGTTATGAGATCAATGATAAGGATCAAATCAGGTAAACAAAACAATAATATATATATGATGATGAAATGATTGATGAATGACCCATTATAATTTCTATTAAAGGTTAGGATTTCATGTACCTCCTTTCAACTCTGTTCCACATCTACATATGCATGTCATTGGTGGTCCCTTCAAGAACAACTGGCGAAAATGGAAGTATATGTCTGGTCGAATCTGGTACTTGGAAGCATCTACACTTTTAGCCCATTTGCACCAGCTCAAGTCCTGATCCATTTTTGTTATATTTCTTTTTATTTAAAAGTCCTACCTTTTTCTTTCCTTTTCTTTCTTTTTCTTTTCTTTTCCTTTACTCTTTTTTTTTTTTTATTATTATTCTTTGTACTTCAACATATACTCACTTAATAGTTTAGATATTTATTTATACCTCTTTGACTTTGTTTTTTCCTTGTCTTATCTTTACTTTTTCTTTTTGTTTTAGGTAAGGTCAAGTTATAATAATAATAAAAAAAAAGCATAACGGCTTCGTCGTTACTTCAACTTTTTTTATTTAAACTTTTTTGTGCTTCAACTAGTACCATGTCCTTCTTTCAACAACTTGGATCGTTTTTTCTACCCAACAACACTATTTTAACAAAAGTGGAATCTTCCAAAACTACCATTCCTACTTTGGACGACACGGAAAAACAAGATACAGAGTATGAACAAGACTTACCAGTCTATGCAGGACTTGAACGTTATCAACTTTTGGACAAATTAGGCGAGTAAGTACTAATACGTTTATTGTGGGCTTTGATAATTTAAAAATGCATAAGCATTCTCATCTATGATCCTTTTTTTTTTTTGTATTTTTATTTTTTATTTTATATATATATATAAAATAGTGGTGCCTTTTCCGATGTTTACAAGGCCTTGGATCAAAAGACTCATGACAACGTGGCTATCAAGGTGGTCCGAAAACTAGAGTTAAACTCAAACCAAGTAATTTTTTTTTTTTTGGTCACGGGGTTTGCAAACATTGTTACAATATTGGATTTATCTAATGATTTTATTATATTATAAATAGAGAGCCGGAGTCCTTAAAGAAGTCCAACTCATGCGATCAATACAACATGAATCCATTATCAAGCTATTAGGATTTATCGAAACAAATGAAGTAAGTTGAAATTATAAATACATTAGAAAATTGTCTTTTCACTTTACTAATGTTTTTAATGATATTTAGTATTATTTTCTCATTCTGGAATTATGCCAAGGTGGAGAACTCTTTCATCAAATTGTTCATCTTACTTATTTTAGTGAAGATCTTGCTCGTCATTGTATATCTCAAGTTGCTGAAGGTATACGTTACTTACACGAAGACAAAGGGATCGTTCATAGGTAAAATTATTTAGGTTTAAAATTATTCCCTTTTTTTTTCATTTATTTGGACTGGGAAGCATTCTTATTCATTTACAGGCACTAACCGAACATTTGTATTTTTTTTTTTTTTTTTTTATTATTGATGATGACTTTTTAGGGACATCAAACCTGAAAATTTGTTATTCGAACCAATACCATTTATACAACGAGATACATCTTCCTCAAGTTCTTCTCAACCTCAAATCAATGCCATTGATGATGATCTCGATGAACCCAAAGTAGATGAAGGTAGATTTATTGCAAATTATGGTGGTGGTGGTATTGGTAAAGTCAAGATTGCTGATTTTGGTCTATCCAAGGTGATCTGGGATCAACAGACAAGAACTCCATGTGGTACAGTCGGCTACACTGCTCCAGAAATAGTGCGCAACGAAAGATATACCAAGTCAGTGGATATTTATTCGATGGGCTGTGTATTGTATACTATGCTTTGTGGTTTCCCTCCCTTTTATGATGATTCCATTGATATTCTGACCGAAAAAGTGGCAAGGGGACATTACTCATTTCTATCTCCGTGGTGGGATTCTGTTTCTGACGATGCCAAGGACCTGGTGGCTCATTTATTGTGCGTGGACCCTAATGAACGATATGACATTCATCAATTTATGCAACATCCTTGGATGAACAAACAGGTAAAATTCATCAACAAAAAAAAAAAAAAAAAAAAAAAAAAGGAAGACGATGAACTAATGTTTGTCCTGCTTATTGGTTTTATTTATTTTTGTACAGTCAGTTACTTCAGATGATGAGCCCTCCAAAGCCGTTGGTGATATCTTGATTCCACCATCAACAACTACCTCTATCGCCAAAGAAACAATTGCAGCTACCAAACCCAAACACATTCTGATTGGTAATCGGCATGATGATTTATTCCAAAATACGGTTTCTTCTATGAAAGAATTATTTGATATTTCTTGCAAGATACACAGAAAATCAGAAGAACAAGCTCATCGAAAGAAAACCCAGAAATTCTATCGACCCTTTTTTGGATACTATTTGACAGATGACGATGATGACGATGATGATGATGATAGTAGTGAAGATACTCCCATTGGCGATACAACTTGCAACAGTTTTCAAAGTAATGACGGTGAACTATCACCAACAGCAACAACAACAAATGACGATCAATTCAGTAAATTCAACCTATCACATTCATTGCACATTACACTGAATAAGCAAGGAAAAATCAAAGAGGATGATGATGATCAATGTCTTAGATCGAAGTTGTTTGACTTGAATTTGGACAGTGCAACCTTAATTGGACGACGCAAAAACAACAACAACAATGAACACCTATCGAACCCAATCATGCCGCTGGACCGGAAAAATTGAATTTCCTTAGTGTGCCTCTTAGTTTAGAATATGATTATCAATTAGTTAGTTTCTATTAATTCTATTATTTTTTATCCAATTTTGTTTTTATATATTTTTTTACACATACCCCTATATAATAAAGAAAAAGTGAATTTGGATGATGATTGGACAAGCCTAAACTCCGCGAATAATATCGATGTTTGAGAGATTTTAGTTTTTTATGTATTCTTTCGCTTTTTATCTTCAATTTTTATATTCATTAGTATTATGCAATATTACTTTGTGGTGATCGGTGCAACAGATAATCCTTTATATGAAACTGATATTATACCCTCTTCAAGATCCTCATCTATCAATGATCCCAATCGTGTAAGTAAGAAAGAAAATCATAGATATATATATATATATAAAGGGATGAATGGTCTAATATGTTATTGTAACTAGAAGGATGATCATAAACATTTGAATCAATTCATTGTTCATGCTGCATTAGACGTTGTAGAAGAAGTACAGTGGAATACACAAGCTATGTAAGTCTTGATTATATTTTTTTTTTTAAAAAAAAGAAAAAGAAATGACTCAGGGCACTTATATGATTAATGATTTATTTAGGTATCTGAAATCAATAGATAGATTCAATGAATATTTTGTTTCTTGTTTTGTTACTGCTGGAAGTAAGTGATTAATCAAGATATGGATTATTTATTTTATTGATACTGACAGTAATTTTTATTATTATTATTATTATTAGATGTCAAGTTTATGCTGTTACACGATCAGAAATCTGAAGATAGTATCAAGAACTTTTTTAATGAAATCTATGAACAGTATATCAAGGTAAATAAATAAAAAAAAATAAAACAAGAAAGAATTATTCACTTTAATTTTGTTTCCTGCTTTTATAATAGGTATTGATGAACCCATTTTATGAAAAGAATAGCACAATTACTAGTACACAATTTGATAGTCGTGTGAAAATGATTGCACGAAGATTCCTTTAAATAAAATATTTATTTACCATTTATTTATATTTATGATGGGTAGTGTGAACTGTGTATTTGAAAAGAAAGAAGTGATAGCAATCACTATATACATCTCTGATCATCAATCAATCTAGAATAGATATGGCAAGGAGAGGATATACGGTTTTCATTGTTTTCTTTTTTTAATACTATTTTGCAATTCTCATATCTCATACGATCGTTTAAACGTATAATGCGGCGGGGTTGTAATTTCAAATTGTCTATGGTAAAGCTTTGAATGAGAGAGTCACAGTTCTTTTTTGATTTGGGTGCGTCATCTTTTTGTCGCGTTTTTTTTTTTCTTGCTCTAATTTTTCCAGAACATTTTTTTTTCCCTCTCCATTTTTTTTTTTTCTTTTGGACTTTCTCCGTCTGTCGCTTTTTTTTCTTTCTCCTTCTTTTTGTACAAAAGTTTTTTGGTATTCCAAGATCTTTTTTTTTTCTTTTCTTTTGTTAGTTTCAACCTTCCTCTATTATTCCATACCGGTAAATCATAAGAAAATGAATATAACGAAAAAAGTATACTATTGATCTATAACCGATCTATTTATTTTATCACCATTCAACTTACTTTCTTTTTATCTCGATCTATATAGAAACTTAGAAAAGAAAGAAAAAAAACAATCCTTTTATACATACACCTTCAATTTATATATTACCCGAGAAGAACTATAACGGATCAACTTTATCATGGACGTCCCTACTCTTCTTTCTAATACTCTTTCACCTGGTAAAGTTTATGGATGGAAATATATATACTTTTTTTTCTCTCTTATACTCACTCGTATATTTATTTATTTATTTATTTTAGATCGTACCATTCGTGAAGATGCTGTACAAAAGTTGGAACTATTTGCTCAAGAGGATTATGTAAGTTATTTAGGATCATATGGAAAAAGAAATGAACTAGAAGTTATTGACTTTTGGATTCTAAAACTTTCGCTATCCTTGGGTTTCTTTTTTTTATTCTTTATAGCCAAGTTATGTACTTATGCTTTGTCAAGTTTTGGCCAACGAACAAATCACCGATGATATCCGTCAAGCTGCTGCTCTTGCTTTAAAGAATAGTTTATCTGCAAAGGTAAAAAAAAAAAAAAGAGTATCAATAATTTTTTTTTTTTTGTTCTAACACATTCATTTTTTTTTTTTTAGGAATTTGCACGTCGAGAAGAACAAGCTCTTCGTTGGTTAGCAGTGGATGAAAATAGTAAAGCTCAAATTAAACAAGCTGTAAGTTGAAATTAAAGAATGAAAGTGTGAATGCTGCGGAAAGGTGTTTATTGATTTTATTTATATATATATTACTTTATAGGTATTGTTAACATTGGCATCTCCCAAGAAAACTGCTGGTCAAGGTGCAAGTCAGGTAAATAAGATGATCATAATCAATTGTGTTCTATATATATCTTTTTATTTTCATTATATTAATGTTCTTTAATCTAGGTTATTGCTGCTATTGCTGAAATTGAATTACCCCGAGCTCAATGGCAAGACTTGATCCATGTGCTACTCGACAACGTTACAAATACCGATAATGCAAACCTCAAGCAAGCTACTTTGAAGACAATTGGTTTCGTATGTGAATCTGTGGTAAGTTATTGATACGATTTTCTATAGTGTTTTTCCTTGTTTATTCACCTTCTTTTTTTTTTTTTTTTGTTTATAGCATCCCAATGTTTTATCTAGTCAATCAAATGAAATTCTCACTGCCGTGGTTCAAGGTGCTCGCAAGGAAGAACAAAAGTAAGTTAAAAAAAATATCATATATCTATATTAGGATAAATCATATCATGAGACTGATTCTTTTCTTTCTTTTTTTATGTAGTAATGAAGTACGTTTGGAAGCTACCAAGGCATTATACAATTCACTTGAATTTATCAAGGACAATTTTGAACGAGAGGTAAAAAAAAAAAAAAGAGCTAGAATGATGGAAATTGAATATAATTCTTTGTTAGGGTGAACGTAACTTTATTATGCAAGTTGTTTGTGAAGCTACTCAAAGTGAATCCAGTGAAATCAAGGTTAGCGCTTATGAATGTTTGGTTCGTATCATGCAACTCTATTATTATATGATGCACTTTTATATGGAAAAAGCCTTGTTTGGGGTAAGTGAAATAAATATAATGAAAGTTCCTTTTTTTTAAACTGACTTGTATTAATTATTGATTAGTTGACGGTATCTGGTATGAATGATCCTGAAGAAAAGGTAGCATTACAAGCTATTGAATTTTGGTCTACTGTTTGTGATGTTGAAATGGAAGTTAAAGAAGAAATGGCTGATGTAAGTAAAGGAAAAAAAATATAAACATGATGCGATGTGCATATATATAAATTTACTAATGTTATATGTATTGTATAGGCTCATGAAGTTGGTGAAGAACCCGATCGTGTATGTTATAATTTTGCTGGTCAAGCTCTCAATGATATTGTTCCCGTATTATTATGGCTTCTTACTAAACAAGAAGAAGATGAAGATGAAGATGAATGGAACGTATCGATGGCCTCTGCTACTTGCCTTGCTCTTTTAGCCCAATGTGTGCATAATGCCGTTATTACCCCTATTGTACCTTTTGTAGATTCAAATATAAGAAATAATGATTGGCGTTACCGTGAAGCTGCTGTTATGGCTTTTGGATCTATTTTGGACGGACCTGATGTGGATGTTTTGAAACCTTTAGTTGATCAAGTAAGTTTTTTTTTTTTTTTTTTGGGTTGAATGGTTTGGACTGACTATTTGTTTCTCTAGGCACTTCCTACATTGATCACTATGATGCAAGACCCTGTTGTGAATGTCAAGGATACTGTGGCTTGGACTTTGGGTCGTGTATGTGAACTTCTTCCTACTTGTATCAAACCTGATATTCATTTACATGAATTGGTATCTTCTTTATTACGTGGTTTACAAGACAATCCTCGAATTGTTGGAAATTGCTGTTGGTCATTGATGAATCTTGCTGAACAATTAGGCAATTCTCCTGGTCTCGAAGAACCTACAAGTGTCATGTCTGCTTACTTTGAAGGTATTGTCACTGCTCTTTTACAATTCACTGAGCGTAGTGACAATGAGGCCAATTGTCGCACTTCTGCTTATGAAGCTGTTTCTTCCTTGATCATGTTCTCAGCGAATGATTGTATTCCCATGGTTCAAAAAGTGGTATTGGCAATTTTGGATCGACTTGAAGCAGCTATTGCCATGGAAGTATGTTTTCTTTTTATAAGAAAAAAAAATTGCATATATAAACAGAATACTGATTATTATTTTTTATAATATATAGAATCAAATTTTGGATGCTGATGATCGTGCAGAACATTCTGAATTGCAATCAAGTTTACTTGGTGTTCTTACTAATAGTATTCGTCGTTTACCTCAAGATATTTTCAATGTGTCTGATCGTATTATGACAGTGGTACTCCAACTATTGAATACATCATCCAAACAAGCTACTACAACTGAAGATGCCTTTTTGACCATTGGTGCCATGACTACTGTTCTTGAAGCTGATTTTATTCGATATGCTGATACATTTGTACCTATACTTTGTGCTGCTCTTCAAAACCCTCAAGAATATCAACTTTGTCTTATTGCAGTAGGCATCATTGGTGACATCTGCCGTGCTCTTGGACAAGCTGCAGCTCCTTACTGTAATGAATTCATGCAATTACTAGTATCCAACTTACAAAGCCCTATTCTTCATCGAAGTGTCAAACCCTGTATTCTCTCCTGTTTTGGTGATATTGCTTTGGCCATTGGTGAAAAATTTGAACCTTATCTTGAAGTAGTGATCATGGTATTACAGCAAGCTGGTCAAATGCGTGCTACAAGTGATAACTATGAAATGATTGATTATGTCAATTCTTTACTTGAAGGCAATGTGGAAGCTTATGTGGGTATCGTCCAAGGAATGAGCAACACTCCAAATGGTAAGAAATAATAATATTGGTAATGATGATCTAATGTATTGTTTATAATATAGTCCAAGTTCTTCTACCACATATGGATAGCATTTTCCAATTCATTAGTTCTCTTTCATATGACCAAAACAGGTCTGATGATTTGACCCGTGCATTGATTGGACTAGTTGGGTAAGGATCAATAAAAAAAAAAAAAAAAAGAATTATTTATTACGATGTGTAATTGACCATCTTATCTTTTTTTTTTTTTTTTTTTTTTTAAAATAGTGATCTTGCTGAAACTTTCGGTGGACATATTAAGATATATCTCAGCAACGAATGGGTAGCTAAACTTTTGAAGGATGGAAGAATTGGACGACACACAACCAAGGCAACAAAGGATACTTCTCGATGGGCAAAAGAAATGGTTAAACAAGCGTGTCAATGATATTTGGATTTAGTTCTTTCTTAGTTATCTCTTTTTCTTTATCATTATAGTCTAATCATAGTCACTTTATACAAACCAATCCTCAACTTTTTTTTTATTGTATTCATACATGTACTTTTTTTTTTGCTTTCTTTTTACATCCTTTAGTTGAATTTGTTTTCCCATTCTATTTCACACTTTGATCCCCCCAACCCCCTAACCCCCAATCCCCTTTCCCCCTTCTTTTTATTTCTCTTTTATTTACATCCAAGCATCTTTTTTTATTTTTATTTTAACAACACACACCCTTCCCCAGTTTTCCCTTTTTTTTTTTTCTTTCCCCAATAAATTTGAACAAACAAACGATGATGATTGTCTCACTGATTTATTCTTTAAAGTGACACAAATTATTATTTGTCCTAGGACGCGAAAAAAAACACACACACAGACAAAAGAAAGGATATTAAAACACGTCAAAAACGATGGTAATATTGGAACAAAAAAAAGTAATTTTTTATTGAATAAAATGCAGTATGTACAATATATATAGATAAAAGTAACAAAAGAATAAAATATTCAAGATAAACCAGGTCAATGTTCTTGTCCATAAATTGTTTGTTCCAGCTTTGTATAATTCATTCCATTGTTCTTTTCCTTTTCAAGATACATGCTTCATTTCATAACAGGGAGCTGTCTATTTGGATCTAGCTCTCATCTTCTTTCTCTTGGCCTTGAGACGTCTTTGTCTTTTCTTCTTCCACTTATCTCTCACTATATAAAAAAAAAATAGATGAGTACAATGATTCAATGTTTACTAATGATTGGACATGATGTCGCGGATGAATGAATATAATAGATGGATGGATTGTAATGGATGTCATGGTAGGATGGATGTAGTGGATATAATGGATGGATGGATGGTCTACTTACTTTTGTAATAAGGATTTGTAAAACTAAAGAGAAAAGAAAAAAAAAATTAGGGACTCATCCGCACCGAACTTTTTAAATCGTTCTCTTTTGGCATAAATTTCAAGTCACAGCACAAGCAAAAAAAAAAAAAAAAATGTCAGACTTTCAATAAAATCTTTTAGACTCACTTATTTTCAGTTTCAACATTTTTTTTTTTTTGTTTGTTCCCTTTTTTTTTTTTAAGTCAAGTTATTCCACCATGTCCAAACGTCAAGCTGATCAAGATGAGTATCCTCAAACAAAAGCCGTGATGGGTGGACAAAGTCGTCACCAACCTGAAGAAATAAGTGCCATGGGTGAATTCGAAGATGCTTGGGAAGACGAAATCGAAGAAGAATCTGGTGCTGAAGAAGACATGGAAGAAGAATCTATGGATCAAGACGGCAATGAAGGTATTATATACATGACTGCTAGGATATTATAGTTTATTGACAATTCAAACAAAAAAAAAATGATTGATCTTTTTTTTTTTTTTTTTTTTTTTTTTTACCATGACAATAGGCATGGAAGTCGATGAACCTACAGAAGAAGAACAGGAAAAGGAACTCAAGATGTATTTGCCTGGTCAAGCTTTAGAAGAAGGGGAAGTGTTGGAAGCTGATCAATCTGTTTATATCATGTTGCATAACTTGGATGTCCGTTTACCGTTCTTGAGTTTCGATGTATTGAATGACAGCTTGGGTGATGAACGCAAAAACGTAAGTTTGAAATATAAAAAAAACAGGATAATCATTTAATTTGATTTATATACATTGATAGTTTCCTGCAACGGCATATGTAGCAGCTGGTACGTCTGTACCTGGTGTTCGTGATAACGAAGTGGTGGTGATGAAATTATCCAATTTACATAAAACGCAACAACTTGATGAAGATGATGAAGAAGATGATCCACAAGCACTTGATGAAGATCCCGTTTTGGAACATCGAGCTATTCCTCATAATGGATGTGTGAATCGACTTCGAGTCATGCCTCAATCTGGAAAACACCTTGCATCCACATGGTCAGAATCTGGCAAGGTATATATTTATGATTTGGATCCTTATGTTACTAGTTTGGATGTACCTGGAACCACCTTACCTAAACAATACAAACCTTTGGCTATCCACAATCATGGACGGGAAGAAGGTTATGCAATGGATTGGTCTAGTTTGGATGCAGGCAAATTGTTAACTGGTGACAATGCGGGGCTCATTTATCATTCTACCATCACTCCTCATGGTGTCATCAACACTGACTCGGTGGCTTTCCGTGAACACAAATCCTCTGTAGAAGATATCCAATGGTCTCCTACCGAACGTACAGTGTTTGCTTCTTGTTCAGCGGATCAGACAGTCAAGATCTGGGATACTCGTACCAAGAAACGATCAGCAGTTGGAATTCGTGCCAGTCAATCTGATGTCAATGTTATTACTTGGAATAAGAAGGCTGGTTATTTATTGGCTAGTGGTCATGATGATGGAACATTTAGTGTATGGGATCTTCGTACATTCAAAAGGTAAATCAAATAATGAATATGAATAGAAAGTAGTTTAATCTTTTTTTTTTTGTCATCCATTTAGTGGTGGTCAACCAAGTCCTGTGGCTTCATTCAAATGGCATAATGCTCCTGTTACATCTATCGAATGGCATCCTACAGAAGAATCAGTATTGGCAGTATCAGGTGCAGATGATCAACTCTCATTATGGGATTTATCAGTAGAACCCGATACAGAAGAAGAAGGTCGTCTGACAAGTGATGGTGTAGAAGTTCCTCCTCAATTGTTATTTGTTCATCAAGGTCAAAATGATATCAAGGAACTTCATTGGCATAAACAAATCCCTGGTTGTGTACTTAGTACATCCAATTCTGGCTTCAACATTTTCAAAACCATCTCAGTTTAGACTTTTTTTTATATTTACTTATTATATATATATATATTCATCATTCTATTTTATTTACTTCATTTTCATTTTACTTTATTATCTATGATCCCCATTTATCTTTTATTCTTTTGTTTTGTATATTTTTTTTTTTTTTTCAATTTTGTCCCCAATGTATTATGTAAAACGATTGAATAAATGATAAAGTTATCCAGGAACCTTAACTTAATTCTTTTATATCTATGATACCATCGATCTCAGATGATGATATTTTTTTTTTTTTTGAAACTGCCTTATATATATATATATATATATATCTTATCATTACGTTTTATTATTAAATAGTCAATTCAAATGATGATTCTATAGTATTGTAGTAATATAATAAGTAAAAAAGAGGATAGCAATAAAACAAAAAAAAGGGTTTGATGACTAAAAGATTAAAGTTAGAGGAGTTTTCGGCGAATAACCATCACCTATGCAAAATTTCCCGTCCTTTTTTCTACAGGCGGAGAGCATCTCAAAAAAAAAAAAAAAAAAAAACGCTTTCACACGCTAATCCATTTTTTTATCTTTTTCTTTTCTTTTTCTTTTTCTTTTCTTTTTCTTAAAATATTGATATTATATGATGACTGGACAATCTCTTGCTGCTGGCATTTATGTACCTATTCCCAACTTTTTCCTCGACAATGAAGATGTGGATTATGCAACTTTGGAAAAACACATTGCTTATCTAGCGAACACGGGCATCTCAGGGATTATCTTTCAAGGGTCGACTGGTGAAGCGGTGCATTTGACAGAAGATGAACGAGTGGCTATTATCAAGAAGGGCAAGGAATTGATTATGAAATACGATCCTTCCATTCAAGTGTTGGCCGGTACAGGGGCAGGATCGGCTCGTCTTACTGTGAAACTGACACGGGATGCAGCGGATGCTGGTGCTGCTTATGCTTTGGTCTTACCTCCTTCCTATTACAAGGGCAATATGGATAATCAAGCGTTTTATGAATTTTATACTCAAGTGGCTGATCAATCCCCTATCCCTATCATCATTTATAATTATCCTGGTGTCACTCAAGGTCTCGATATTGATGCTCCTACTTTGGCTCGTTTGGCAAAACATGATAATATTGTTGGGATCAAAGGAACTGATGGTAATATTGGCAAGGTTGGATATTTAACGGAACATACCCGTGAACAAAGTAAGTGTAAAAAAAAAAAAAGGTGTTGAAATGGAATAACTGATTTTTTTTTTTTTTTTTTTTTTTTTTTTTTTTTTTTAGATTTCACATTGTTGGCAGGATCTGCTGATTTCTTCTTACCTGCCTTGTCAGTAGGGGCAGTAGGATGTGTACCTGGTTTAGCCAATGTGATGCCTCGTTCTTGTGTGGAATTACTACGATTATATCAAAATGGGGACTACAAGGCCGCAAAGGAACTACAATTAAAGTTGGTACTTCCAGATGATGCTCTTGCAAGATGGTTTGGTCTTCCTGGTGTCAAGGCTGGTTTGGAACAATTTGCTGGTTATGGTGGCCGTTGCCGTACCCCTTTACGCAGTGTCACCAATGAACAAAAGGAAAAGATCATTCAAGCCGTCTCCCCTGCCTTTACTATCGAACAATCTTTGCGAAAATAGGTTCTCACTGTAGTTTTATATTGTATGAATAAAAGCAACATTTTGACATGATACGTGAAATATATATTTTTTTTATTGTTCTCATTATTGACTCCTTTTGTCATCCATGATGATTCTATGAAGGAATGATAGATCGTGGATGATAAAAACATCATCAAGTTTTATCTGAGACGTTCGACTTTTTCCAAGTTTATCCTTCTTCAGAAATGTTCAAAACGCACAAGTCAGTATAATCCATCCTTTTTTTTTTTTATTACTCTTATTATTATCACTCATCTCGGTTTACTTTTGTCACCTTCACAGTAATGAAAAAAAAAAAAATGGAACAAATTTTTCGATTTTACAGCCAAAAATTTGGAACTCCTCAGCTTAATTTTGGCTGTAAAAGTGAATCGTCGAGGGTTCATCAGGCGATTTTTGGAAAAATCGATGAAATGACTTTCATGTTTATTTCACATTAGCTGGCAAGGCAAGTGGTAGAATAGGATTAGATGATATTAAACTACTTTTTTGAGAGGAATCCAATGGTGGTCATTTTATTCGATGATGATCATTATTGGATGAAGGATGACGATATTGACTTTATTAATTTACTCTATAAATTGAGAGGTAATATATAAACTGCTATTAATGCAATTGAAAGAGAATGATTTCATGTATACTCAGTTCGAAGTTGATGCGATGATGATGGCTTTTGAGTGAATTGCAAAAATATGCATTTAACTTTTCAGGGTCACTTTGAAGGTTAGGAGTCTGAAAGTTTGGAATGTTAACAAATCGACACCTTTTTTTTTTCTTTTTCTTTTTCTTTTTTTTTTTTTCTTTTAGCCAATCACTCGCTTCTTGGTTTGGTCTCCAATGACATGATATGTAGCCAATGCTTTGATATCGAAATAAAGGTGATGTCAATTAGAAAACACGAGGTATTACATGGAAACTACGACACTAATTATTATTTCTTTTTCTTTTCCAGACTCCTCTCAACGTCCATGGTGAATGAATGTATTAGTTGTTTCCTCTTTCTTTTCTTTTTTTTTTGTAGATCAACACTTTTTTTCTTTCCTTTCTATCATGTCTTTCTTCTTTCTTTCGTCATATCTTTTTTTAACCTCTTCTTCTTATTTTCCACACTCTCACTTCTTTACTATTTTATTCTTACTTTCTTTCCCTCTCCACTACTCTACGTGAATGATCATTTATTTTATTTTATTTTTAATTTACAGAACTTAGATGGATGTGCGACAGGATGAAAATGGATATGCGTCTGTGTCAACTGGATGGATAAGATTGGACTGAACAACAAAGGCAATATCATCATTGTAAGAAGTGTCTTCTTGGTGATAGGTTTGGTTACATCTTCCTCTTTTTCTCTCTTACATCTGATACCTGTGGTAATGATTCTTAGTGGTGAGTGTTAGTCCTAGTAGTACATTATTTTTTATTTTACAACCGTTTTGAATAAAATTATGCTCCATCTATTATTAATCATACTACCATCATCGTGTATCATCCAACAATATATTTAATCAAACAATAAAGAAAAAACATATACATGAATGCTTAGATTTCGAATTCAACAGCTTATATGAAGATCTAACTTGCAGGTATTGTCTTTCTTTTATCATACCTTAAAAAAAACATTCCCACTAAATCCATGCCATTATCTTTATTGATGACTGCCGAACTAAAGGGCAAAAAAAAAAAGCATAAGAGGAGGATTTTTAAACAGGTCTATGATTTTTTGTGGTTTGATGATGGTTGGGTTTGGAAAGGGTAAAATTATCGGCAGTCATCTTTATACAAACTTTTTCTCGAAAATCTAAACTCTTTCTTTTTTTTTTTTAATCACAAGTATGATATTTCTTCTTCTTTTATCATTATTATTATTATTGGGAAGTGATAGGAAAGATTGGATTTAGAAATATGAAAAAGTTTCGATATAAAAATATATATTTTCTTCACTGTTTTTTTTTTTTTTTTTTTTTTTTTACTACTATCAAATTTCTAACGGTGATTGAAATGAACCGAGAGGATGAACCGAAAGCATTGATTTGAATGTGAGGCATAAAAAGATGGACTTCCTCTCTTTTTCTGTGATGATGACCGGGTATCCCCATACATTTTTAATATGGAAAACACCTCCTGATGTTAGGAGTTGAAAAAAAGAAAATGTCATCCCTGATTTTTTTTCTTTTTTTGTCCTACTGCATTTGTCAAATTTAAGCTTACGTTTATTGCCTTTCTTTTTCATTTCCACAAAAGGTTACCAATAATAAAATAACTATTCTACTATGTTATCAATAACATTTGGGTTTAAATAGACAAATCATATATATATAAAAAAAAAAGAAAATCCCAATGAAACAAGGGGTATACATTTTTCATATGATAATTTTGAGTAGCTTCAATGCGGTAAATGAAATCACACTGTCATTTCGTCAGGTCAATAATGTAACCGGCAACGTGGAAATGACTATAGGACTTAAAGAGTGGGGTTGATTCCGCTTTTTCTTTTTTTTTTTCTTTCCATTCCTTCTTTTATCTTTTTTTCAGTCTCCCCTTCCTCCCTTTTTTTTTCTTCTTTTACTTCTCTTTTTACCTTTATTTGAACGAAAAAAATGAAAAGAATGGGTGGTCGTCCTAATACATTGATGGATAGTCTTGATCTTATTTTCTTAGGTACTATCGGTTTAGGTACCATTGCTTGGTTGGCTCGAAAAAAACTCTTTGGGTCTTCTTCATCTACTTTAGATAAGACATCTTTTTCCAACTCTACTACAACAGCAAACTCATCCACTCCAACAAAACCTGAACGAAACTTTGTCAAGGTCATGCAACAACAAGTAAGTGATTATTTCAATATTATTCATATTATCTAACTTTTTTTTTTTTCAGGGACGTAAATGTATTGTATTTTATGGAAGTCAAACAGGTACAGCTGAAGATTATGCTACAAGATTAGCCAAGGAATGTAGTCAAAAATATGGAGTCAGTGCCATGGCCGCCGATATTGAACTTTACGATCTTAGTTATATGGATACAGTACCCGAAGATTATATCGTTTTCTTTATTATGGCTACTTATGGTGAAGGTGAACCTACTGATAATGCTGTGGATTTTTGGGAACTATTGAACAATGAAACACCACAATTTTCAGAAATGGGCAATGATGACAAACCTTTGAAAAACGTACGATATGTGGTATTTGGATTGGGTAACAAAACATATGAACATTATAATTCGGTAGGCCGTACAGTGGATAAGCAAATGCAAAAATTGGGTGCAACTCGTATTGGAGAACGTGGTGAAGGTGATGATGATGGATCTTTAGAAGAAGACTTTTTGGCTTGGCAAGAATCAATGTGGCCTGCATTCTGTGAAGCTCTTGGTGTAGATGAAAGTGCTGCTCAATCTGGTCCAAGACAAGCTACTTTTGGTGTGGAAGAATTGACTGATGTTGATGAAGCTTTGGTATATCATGGAGAACTTGCTGAACGACCCAAAACAGAAGGGTAAGTTTTTTTTTTTTATTTTTTTTTATTTTTTTTTTATTTTTTTTTTTTTGGTTTATTTGTTGAATTTTTTTTTTATTTAATATAGAATCAAGATTATATATGATGCTAAACGACCCTATAATGCTCCCATTACTACTCGTGAAATATTTCAAGATGGAGGTGAACGCCATTGTATTCATGTGGATATTGATATTAGTGGAACCAATTTGAATTATCAAACAGGTGATCATGTCGCTATCTGGCCTACCAACAATGAAGCCGAAGTCAATCGGTTGGCGTCTGTACTCGGATTATCAAACAAATTGGATACTACTATCTTGGTGAAGGCTATTGACCCGACTGCTTCCAAACAATATCCCTTCCCGGCTCCTACAACCTATCGAGCTATTTTTAGACATTATACTGATATCTGCTCTATTCCTTCTCGTCAAGCTTTGATGGCTCTGGTGGAATATGCTCCAAACGAACAAGCAAAATCGGCATTACTCAAATTGGCTAGTGATAAGGATGAATATAGGGTGATTGTCAGTGATGCAGTTCGCAATCTCGGTGAAGTACTTACATATGTAGTTGGAGTTTCTGCTGAAGGTGCTTTTGCTGGTGTACCTTTTGATTTGGTGGTGGAAAGCTTGTCTCGATTACAACCTCGTTATTATTCTATTTCATCTTCTGCCAAAGAAAGTCCTACCAAGATTTCAGCCACTTGCGTCACATTGGAATATCATCCTGAACCTACTCCTGAACGAACCGTATATGGTGTGAATACGAATTATCTCTGGCAAATCCATAGCAAAGTACATAACATTGATGATGGTCGATCTTATCCCTTATATGCTCTTGATGGTCCTCGTGGTGCATTGATGTCTGCTGGAGTCAGGATACCTGTCCATGTCCGTCGATCGCAATTCAAGTTACCTCGCAACAGTAATGTACCAGTGATCATGGTGGGACCTGGTACCGGTGTAGCTCCTTTCCGAGGTTTTGTCCGTGAACGTGCTCTACAAAAGAAGGAGGGTAAATCCGTAGGACCTACTATTCTTTTCTTTGGTTGTCGTCATTCTCAAAAGGACTTTTTATATGCTGATGAATGGCCAGCATTATTTGAAACTTTGGGTGAAGACTCTCAATTGATCACTGCCTTCTCTCGGGAAACAGATCATAAGGTTTATGTCCAACACCGTCTTCAAGAACATGGTCAACAAATGTGGGAATATATACTCCAAGGTGCTTATATCTATGTATGTGGTGATGCAAAGAATATGGCTCGTGATGTTCAACAAGCTTTTGTTGCTTTTGCTCAAACTCATGGTGGCAAGGATGAAGAAAAAGCTAATGCGTTTATCAAACAACTTCGTACTTCTGGACGAGTAAGTAAAAAAAAAAAAAAAAAAAAAAGGAAATAAAATATATAATGATGATAAGTTAACTCTTATATTTCCTTTTGTAGTATCAAGAAGATGTTTGGAGCTGAACATATTCAAGATTATCTTCCCTTTTTGATTATATACATATTTATTAATACACACTCTATTATTATTATTATTATTATTTTTATTATTTTGGATCCCTTTTATTATCGTTGTTTTAGAATTCACTGATCTCTCTCCCCTTTGTTAATCATTCTTCCATTATATTTTTTTACCATGTTGATTGTCTTTTACGATTCTGTATTTTATGCATGAAAATCAAAAGGGATGATGTGATCAACGAAGAAATAAAGAAATAGAAAGTTGTAGTAAAAAAAAAAAAAAAAAAAAGGATAGTAGTCAATATCTTTGAAATCAATCAATAAAGTTTATCTGATTAATTAATTGGTTTTGTCTATTTTATTCAAAGTATATCTATATGGACGGGTATATGAATGTCATTTTGTAAAATAATATAAAGTAAAATAAAATCTATCCGAATAATAATAAAAAAAAAATGATACTATCACTAAGAAGAAGCTTTGAGTTTCTTTTCCATTTCTAGAAAAGCACGCATGGTTGGATCCATATCATCATCCTCTTCCTCATCAGTCACTTGTTGTCCTGGCTGAGCATTGTTCCCCTGTAAAGTCGTCTTGGTTTTAGGTTGAAGTTCATCGGGTAAATCCACTCCGGCTGCAGCGTATTTTTGTCGTAATGCATTCATTTGTTGTTTGTAAGTTTCCATTTCTTCTTGATAGATATCATATACACTAAATCAAAAAAAAAAAATGAGTATTCTTTTCAGCAATAATGATGAAAATGTATTTCAATCTATTACTTACCAATAAGCACAACCACTTGATCATATATATATATATATGCAAGAACATATTAGTAAACGAAAAAAAAAAAAAAATAAAACTTGATAGCTTTTTTTTTTTTCCTTTTATATCGATGTACAATTACCTCATACAACAATTTTCAGGAGGTGGAGGTTTTTGTGGCAAAGGGATTCTTTCATTCTGTAACCAAACAAAAGTAGTAGATTGAGACTGGGTGGTAGATATAGAAGTATTATCTTCCATGGTAGCAGCAAGATGTATCAGTTCATCGTCCTCGTTTGTTGTATCTAATGCTGCGTCGTCTTTGGATAATAAAGATGCTTTGTGGACAGGTTTAGATCGTTGTTGTTGTTGTTGTTGTAATAATAAAGTCCAATAACCTTCATAACGAGAATGATAAAAACGGGAATGAAAACTAAGCCTTTTAATAACAGTTGGAGTTATTATTAGCATGAAGAATAAAATAATAGTGGAAAAAAGGAAAGCATACAAAAATGGGAAGCGATGCTTTTACTTTTTTTTTGGGCTTTTTCGTCAAGAAAAGGCCGGCTCTTATTCCACTCCGTATCCAATCACATCGTCGCGGTATCTCAAATGACTAGCACAGACTCTCTCTCTCACACACACTCACAGCAGAGGTGAATACCAAGACTTTTTTTTTTTTTCCACATGAAAAGAGTTTTTTATTTTTATTTTTCCTCTATCTCCCTCTCTTTCTCTTTTCCGTCACAGTAATAAAATCATAATGTAAGTTACTCTCTTTTTCTTTCTTTTTTCTTTTTATTTTATTTTTACTAGTTGAATGACTGGTATAATAAAATAAAGATTTCTACAAAAAAAAAAGGGCCTTATTAAACATCTCTATTTTTCCTTTGTTCCTCCTTTTTAGGTCTGAACCTTACGATCCCTATATTCCCAACAATCAACGTGGAGCTGGTAATGGTGGTGGTAATCAAAAAACACAACGCGTACAACAACAAGTGGATGAAGTGGTAAATATCATGCAAGAAAATATTGATAAAGTGATGCAACGTGGGGAACGTTTGGATGACCTCCGAGGCAAAACTGGTAAGTAAAAAAAAACCATCATCATTGTTTGAATATTAAAACTCATTATTTCTATTTTATAGAGGATTTACAATCAACTGCTGGACATTTCCGTCGTGGAGCTAATCAAGTACGAAAGCGAATGTGGTGGAAGGACTTGAAATGGAAAATTATCATCGCTGTTACCATCATTGTCATTTTGGGTATTATCATTGGTAGGTTATATAAGAAGAAAAGGAAGTTTTTTTTTTTTTTCTTTTTTGTTTAACTCATTTTCTTTTTTATTATTTATAAAGGTTCTATTGTCGGTACTCAGGTATAGTGATAAAAAAAAATAATGGGAGTGGTGGAGCAAGATAGAGTGGAATATATATTGAAATTTTCTTTTTTGTGTTTCTTTCTTTTTTAGACTCACAATAACAATAGTTCAACACCTGCAGCTACTCCTTCCCAATGATGGAACTACATTTGACTTTTTTTTTCGATCAGTCATCTTCCTCCTTTTTTTTTTTTTTTTTTTTTTTTTCTCTCTCTCTTTTTTTTCTTTATTTATAGTCTAGTTTTCGTTTATAGTTTACCCTTTTCCCCCCATGTGATCTTTATTGTTATCCATTTCTTTCTACACACTTATTATTTATTTCTTTTCTTCATTACCCCTTTTTTATCCAATAAAATATGCAATTTATATATGAAATCTTATATGAATGAACCAATAGAAACACCAATCTTTTTTTTTGTTAGAAAAATACTATACCCCACACAATGAGATGAAAAATACAAAGATGTTAATTGATAAACAAATAGTAATAATAATAATAATAATGATAATAATAAAAGGAATCCATCGTAAGGGACTTTTTTTTATTGATAGTGATGTAAAGTAAAAAGGAGGATATATATATATAAAGCTATACTACAAAAGGACCTATTTAAAAAGAATGGCATATACACTAAAAAAAAAAAAAAAAAAAAAAGGGAATATAGAAGGACGATATATTACAGGGTAAACTAAAAAATGAGGTTAAACCTGAAGGACATTAAAAAAAAACCTAATCTACTACATCATTGTCTCGTTGTCAAGGTTCAAATTCTTCATGCTTTTACAGATAATCACCACGAAGCCCATCTTGTTCAGATACCGTAGAGCTATCTTTCCTATATAAGATAAGCCATCCTTGTTGCTCAAGTCACCGTTAGCCAACCGTTCCAAAAGTAAATCTGTATCTTGATGTATAGAATAGAAGAATCCTCTCCTTCCCCATTTTTCCGACCTACAAAACCAAAAAGGACAAGAGTAATCAGGTATGTTGTTGATATCATCTGTTATCCTTGCCACCCCTGATGCTTGTAATATCATATATCCAGCACGATGTGCAGCAAATCGGTGTGAGACGTAAGAAAAAGGTAATTCTATCACGCATTTTGAGAAAGTCGTATAGGGCATGTTGATCCAAGTAATCCGTCGTCGTTGATGATCTTTGCTATTGATGTTTGTCAAATGGCGCCATTCTTTCATATTGTCGTCTGGTGATGCAGGTTGTTGTGTCCCAAGACTGCCATGAATTTTAATATTTTCTAATTTTAAAACAGAAAACCGTCGACAATGGAAGGATATATATTCGAAGAGTGCTGTATCTGTAATATTTGAATCCTTGATGGTGAGTTTTTGTAATGGATGTGTTGCCGATGATGGTGAAGAACTGGAAGATGTTGTAGACAACCAATTTATTGTCGATGTTGTTGCTGATGAGAGTCCCAATCGGATTTCGCACAATGCAAGTTGTTGTAAATGTAAACACTTATCCAAGATAACATCAATAGAAATAGTTGTGGACTGATAACGATCATCACCATAGAATGAGAGGCTTCGTACTTGATTCACGTCCGGATCAAAGCCGTCTAATAATTTGTTATAATCCACTTTACTTTCGTGTATTTTCAACTCTGTCAAGTAGTTGCCAAAAAAATAAGGACGCTGGGAGAAATCAAAGTGAAATGAATGAAGATGTCCAAAGCATTCTGAGAAGTCGATTGTTCTTGTTGAATTAGCTGTCGCTAGATGACCAGATTGTTGAGATGATCCATATCCAAATAGAATAGCTTGCACCAAGTATTGCAGAGGAAAACAGTCTAGATGAATAGATTTCAAATCAGTAAAGACATATGATCGGTCACCAATGTTACCATTTTCGTCCATATCCAGTAGAACGGAATTGATCAAGTGAGTACGCCTTGACCATGACATTTCTTCATTACTGACTAAAGCATTTTCACCTTCGACGACGAGTTCCTCCAGATTCGGATACTTGACTACTAGATACAAGAAGAGATACAAAGTCTTGGATTGAGTGGTATGTGCTGAGTATGTTAGTATTGTAGTAAAATGCTTCAGAGTAGAACAAGGTCGGATCCCTGATGCCCAATTCGCTATAGTTGTTTTGATTGCTGTGGTAGATCGCTTGAACAATTGATTCAAATCCAAACGGTGATGTCTTTGAGGAGTAAAAAGGCAGCTGTTGAGTGAAAGAGACTTCAATTGAGGACATGCATCATGTATCATCTCCATAAAATCGATTTCACACAAAATATATTGATCATCCGAATCTATCCAAGAATCGAATTCATAACCTACAGAGAGAGACAGTGAAGTAAGACCAAAGAGATACGGAAGGATCGAGGACGAGAAAACATCATAAAAGCTCACGTTCCATAAGTTGAGGTGTTTCACTTGAGAGTTAGGAAGTTTGCGATAAAATTTTGCAGCATTTGCCACGTCCACATGTTCATTGTCTGGTTTTGTCGATGGCATACAACTAGTAAAATGATGAATGAATGGACATAGCTGTATAATTTGTTCCAAATAAGAGGCAGAAAAGGCTATTTCTTCTACATCGGCATATTGAATATAAGAGCCAATAGGTTGATCCACATTAGAATTTGTTGTTGCTGTTTGTAAAGAGAGGGTCAAGTCGGAAAGAGCAGAATCCACAGTATCTCTTCTAAAAGTGATCGATTCGAAGGCAAAAGGATTAGCAAGTCTGTTCCACACTCTGTTAACTAATCGAAGAGTACAATGATCGCTTCTGTTCAATAGCCTGAATATAAAGAGCATTACTTCATAAGGAAGATCATTGATGTGAGAAGGCATGGTATAAAGTAAGCATAAAAAAAAAAAAAAAAGGGAGTGGAAGAAAAAGGAAGGGCCCTTTTTTTTTTTTTTTTTTTTTTTTTTTTTTTTTATCAGTGAGCGCTTTTTCAAAAAAATCAAAAAAAAAGGATCCTCAAAATAATACACTAAAGCAAATATGACATATTTTTAAATGATAATATAGAAACAAAACAAAAAAAAAACATTTATTATTATTATTATAGTAGTACAATATCAAAGATAAAAAAAATGATAAATAAAAATATATATTATCTATAGAACTATTCTTCACTATTGTCCAATTGCTTCTTTTCATCTTGAATATGTTGTTGATCTTTCTTGATGATGGTTGTATTCACTTGTCGTTTCGCCATATCGAATGCATTGATATCATCATCACCTTCCATAGCTGAAGTTGCATCCGATGAATTCACATATCGTACTGGTCCCTTGAAAACATGACGACCACGAGTAAACCAGTATATAGCAATGATGATCCATAATCCACCAAAGATAACTATAGCATAATTCATATTACTGGCTTCTACGGGATATTCGGTTGGTAAAATAAACAAGACAGAAATAAGGACAATCCAACACAAAGCGACGATACCATTGATAGTACTAAATCTTCCCAAAGTAAAAGGACCTGGAGTGAACTGTGATCGATTGAGTAATAAACATAAAGTAGGGAATCCATAGGTAATATATAAACTTATGGTACAAACACTTGTGATGGCAACAAATGCAGTTTCAGATCCAATGGAAATCAAGCCTAATAAAGCAGCAATGAATAAGATAGCCCAAGCAGCAATAACAGGTGTTTGAGTTTTCTTATGCAGACGGTACAGAGTGCCACTAAAGGGAAGAGCCTTATCACGAGCCAAAGCATAGATCAATCGAGAATTGGATGTCACACCAGCATTACCACAAAAGAAAACAGCAACAATAATCACACACAAAACGATTAAAGCACCAGTTTTACCAAGGGCATCTAAGAATACTTGAGCTGTAGGAATCCCAGTCTTGGTATTAATGACTTGATCATAATCTTGAATACTGAATGTTACGGCAAGAAGATAAGCAAGACCAAGACCTGAAGTCATTAAGATGGAAGTCAGAATAGAGATAGGTCCAGCACGTTGAGCATTTTTAGTTTCCTCCGTCTTCAAAAATAAAAATAAAACAAATATCTAAATATGATCATTTCCTTTTTTGTTCGTTTTTCCTTTTTTTTTTATTTACCATATGAGCGGCAGAATCATAACCAGTAAAAGAATATTGACTTTGTAATAAACCCAAAAGAACAGCAAAACCACTATTGTTCCATCCAGAATGATTTTCAAAATCAGTAAATACAAACTTGGCAGATGCAGGAGAATTTCTTGTACAAACTAAGATAGAAATAATGATACCAAGCGTACCAAAAAGATGCCAATATACTAAAAAAAAAAAAAAAAAAAAAAAAAGAGTTAATCAGTTATTTTTTTTTAAAAAAAAAAAATAAATAAAGTGGATGATATCATTGTACTTACAAGAGATAACATTCATCATACCAATCGCCCTTGTGCCGAAAGTATTAAGAAGACCTTGTAAGAAGAGAATAGCAATATAGATACCGACGGTAGCACCAGGAGTAGCTGACCATTGTGTATCAGTTCCAACAGATATCGTGCCAACAACAATAAGAGCCAAACCAAAATTGACAGATGCTGTACCCGCAATCTGGCCAATCAGATTGAACATACCAGTGAAATAAGCTGCAATAGGAGACCATCGAGGTGTTGATAATGATGCGGCCCCTAATGATGAAGAAATAAGATTAAATTATCTCTGTCTCTCTCTCTTTCTTTATTTAGTATAGTGACTTACAATAATATAAACCACCAGATGTTGGTAAAGAAGAGCACACTAGAGATGATAAAAGAAGTTGATGAGTTCATAATGTTTCATAGTCCGCATGTAGTGTCGATCACCTTCTGACATGGAGAGAGCGACTGTAAGAGTCATAAGAGTAACAAAGATCCATCCAAATATGATGACCACCTAATATATCAATAAAAATGAATATACTCATATATTAGTTTGCTAAAAGTCTACTTACAGGTCCACCTATAGAAAGAGAAAAGAAAAAGTACGATCCGTTAGAGATCAAACAATAATAGAAAAAAAAGATACCCCAGCCTATTTCTCTTCTTTTTTTTTTTTCCTTTTCTTTTCTATTTACCTGTCATCAAGGCAGTTCCATATAATGGAGTCAAACCACTAAGTAAACTCATTGTAGTAAAACATAGACAAAAGTTCCTAAAAGAAGATAAGGAACGATTCAGTTCCTATTTTGAATATGATATATATCAAAGCCAAAGAAAGAAAGTGATATAGTAATAGGAAGGTGTAAAAAAAAGTGTATTTTTTTTCTTTCTTATTCAAGTTTTACCTGTTTATACCCAAGTTTATTTAAAAGTGCTTCGTCCTTATTGATTGACTTGCCTTGTTCCATTATAATGAACAGAAAAAAAAAAAACTAAAGAAAAGAGGAAGAAAAAAAAAATTAAAAAAAGGGCGCGAAAGGGACAATTTCTCTATTTGCGGTAAAATTTTTTGATGAGTTTTGATTGGCTGGAGAAAGGAATATGGCTGACCAACCCTCCCAAGACTGGGAATGATGTGTGTGTGTATCACAACCATCATCATCATTCATCAGCATTAAGCAAAAAAAAAAAAGGAACTTTACATCATGTGACATCCATCTTTCCTCTCCTCCCTCCCTAACACCCATAGAGTAACTCGTTTCCATCTTGTTTCTTACATGTGATGGACTAATATGAGAACTCCATTGTCTTCTTAATCCCAAATAGGAAATGAGGAGTACGAAAATCTTCATCCTAAAAAGTTAGTTGACTGTATATCTCAATAATCATTTGGAATCACCTGCCAAGGGAATACTTAGTCTTTTTCCAACTGGTTTTCCAACTCGCTCTTTTTTTTTGAATACCGATATCATCTACCAAAGAAAAAAAGCCCCGCCATTTTTTTTCAACAAACAGGCCAGAAATATTTTTTCCAACCTCACTTTTTTTTTTCTTTTCTCTTTCTTTCATTCTCATTCTCCTTTCCTCCTTTTCCTCCCTTTTAAATAAAGACTTGTTTCGACAAATAAATAGTACTTCAATGCTACGATTGTCCATTCCTACTTCAGCACCAGGAAAATTACAAAACTATAGATTGTCTCGTATGAATATGGACCAGGACCTAGATGAAGTACAATCCAACTTGAACGATTTTCAAGAAATCCTCCAATCTGAAGTTTATGTTGATCTTGATCGTTTACGTATTCTGGCTCGTCAAGGTGTTCCTCATCAAATTCGTGGTGTAAGTTTGAAAAAAGAAGAAGAAAAGGGGGAAGGGTTGACTAAACACCCCCCGGTAAAAAAAAAAATTAAAATAAAAATAAAATACAAACTTGACTTTTTGATTATATTAGGATGTTTGGAAGTATTTATTAGGTGTACAACAAGCTGATAGATGTAAGTTATATCATTTAAATAAGATCATCATTATTTATTTATTTATATATATATTTTGTAGCCAAAGAACTTAGTAGTACCAAAGCTCGAAGTGAAGAATATGATCAAATAGACAAAACAGATCCTGATGTGGCGAAGCGAATTCGTGGTGAAGTGAATAGATTTCAACGCAAGGTCCGGGAATTAGAAGGAAAACATTATGCTGAAAAGTTTGAAAACGTCATCCTGGCTTATTTAAATACCAATCGCGATGTTGAATACTCCCCTGCCTTGGTATCTTTATGTGCTCCTTTTATTTATTGTTTAGAAAAAGAATGTGATGCTTATTGTTGTTTTGAACGAATGATGCAAGCTATAGGTAAACTTTTTTAATTTATATGACATGAATTTTTTATTTATTTATTTATTTATTATTATTTTATATATTAGAGGATGTATACTCAAATCATTCGATCAAAGAACGTGTGGCCAACTTTATGACTCTTTTTCGTTGTGTAATACCCGACTTGTGTAGTTATTTTGAAGATGAAGAATTGGATTTGAATGAATGGGCTACTTCTTGGTTACAACACTTATTATCAAAAGAAATGCAATTTGACGATTTGCTACGGTTGTGGGGTATGACAAATAAAAAAGAAAAACACTGATTCTTAACAAAATAGATTGACCCTTTTTTTTTTTTTTCTTATTTTAGATGTTTATTTTGCAATTGCAGATCCTTTAGATTTCCATCCATTTGTTTGTCTATGTAAGTTGTTACACACACACACATATATATATATATAAAATTGATGACACAATATGCATACATCTAACCTCATTCCATTTTTTTTTTTTTTTTTTTTTAGCTATACTTCGAAATGCCAAAGAAAATCTTGAAGATCTTGAACAATCTGAAATTAGAACTGTTTTATTACGTCTACCCAGTATGAATATGCGAATGGTAAGGACAATTTAGGATGAAATTGAAATGATTCCTAATTTATTTTATTTAGATCATTGCCGAAGCCGTCAATTTACGACATGAATCATTGGAACGACAAATGTCTGAAGATGCTGATCTATGACCATAATCACATATGAACTTCACTTTCCCCCCTTTTTTTTTCCTTTGTATTTTATTTTGTATTTGCCTTTTTTATTATTATTATTATTATTTTATCATTATTATCATCATGAAGATCATCATTTTTATCATCACCATCATCATTATATTATTATTATCATCCTGATCATCGTCACTTTTTTTAGATTTCGATTATTTACTGCTCGTTATTCTATCACACCTCCTTTTCCAATTATGTTATTTTTTACCCTCTAGTTCTTTTTTTTCTTAAAAAAGAAAACGTGTCATCTATCGATTCCTGTGATCTTTGTCTTTGTGTGAAGGAGTGTATACACTTGTATGTTATTTTGTATCCTTCTCTTCCTCTCTCTATATCTCTCCCTGTGTATCTCTCTTTTTTTATGTTGATTCTATCTTTTATGTGCGGGACCTCATATATGTGTATTTCCCTCTCCTCCTACTTTTTATTCCATTCTTTTCTTTTCTCAATTTCTTTTTTTTATCCTCCTACCTTTTTGTTTGCCTTCATTCTTTACTTCTACAATGGTATGGTTTTAATGAATACTCATCCTATCATTTATCAACACGCGTGCATTGACTTTGGTTCTCCATTGAAAACAACTAGATCGACCTTCTGGTAATCACTTGTTGTGAAAGAATGACAAAACTTTTATCTAGGAATTTCGACAAATTGTCACACATTCATCGGGCTAGTGTGAATATACATTTCAAAGAGAGCAATCATGACAGGTACTACTAATTACTGCTTCTTTTTTTTTTTTTTTTTTTTTTTTTTACAGATAGGTATACGATTCAAAAGAGACTGCAACAATAGGCATGGATCCAATTGAATCGGGTATTTGACGGATCAAGAATTAGGGCGATATCAATATTTAATCAAGGTGATAAGTAATTTTGACAGATACTAAAATCGTTTTAGTGACCTTGCCTCTTTTTTTTTTTTTTTGAGGGACTTAATTCTCTATTCAACATCCAGCAAACAATGATCACAACTGTAGATACCCATAACTTCCATTTCTTATTATGTTACCATTTTTTTTTATTGTCTTAATTTGCTTTAGCTTATATTATTCCCCTCTTTCCTTTAGTTCGTTCTATCATTTTACAAATTTATCAAACAATAAAAATATATAATATAATATCATCATCTTAAATGATATCATCAATCTCGTCACATATCCAATCTAATAATAATAATAATAATAATAATACATCACAGATCGCTTTTCTCCTATCTAGGCTAGAAAGCATATAATGGGTAGATTTACCTTTTTTTTTGTAATAAACATAATTATTAGGTCAAATAGGCAGAATTTAGGACTTCTATATAGAGTTGAATAAAAATTGGTTTTCTAGGTAGAATTTAGGGTTTCTATGTAGAGTTGAATAAAATATTGGGTCTTCTATGTAGAATTCCTAATTTGGAAGGAGGTGTTTTGCCCACAGGCTCGCTGAGCGAAAATTATGCATTGCCAAATAAAAAAGGACGTTTGTTTATTTTTTTATTCTTCTTCTTCTTCCTCTTATTTTTATCACATTATTGTTCCTTTTTTTCTTTCTGTTATACGTTTACCTTTTAAGACAAATCAGAGTAAGGTATGGAAATAATAATAAACGATTGTTTATACATATATTCATTGTATTCATGAACTGACCGAATCCTTCTTTTTTGTAGTGTGTTTATACCTTTTAGTTAAAACAAATGAACACAAGTACCTTTAACCTCTTATATGCTGTATTACTTATGTTTAATAAGGTAAATCCATTTCATTATGCCACCAACGTTATATGATATTGATCTCTCTCTTTTATTATTATTTGAATCTATATTCTAGAGACAAATATGACGATTGAAGTAAGACAAACAAAAAAAAAGATAATGATACTGTTTTTTTTTCTAACCTTTTCTTCTTTTTATACATAAATCATTCCAACCTCTTTGCTATATCCTTTTCTCTATGTGCTTTTACAGACATTCACCCTTATTAGTTGTAAGTTTCAAAAACAAGTTCTTTTCCTCTTCTTATTTCTAACTTCACTTTTCTTCTTTTTTCTTTTATACACGTTCTTTCGACCTTGATGTTTTTTACTACAACATCTGTCTATCTAGGATTATCGTTCTTTCTTCTTCTTCTCATCCTTCTTACTTGGTACCCTGGATAATGACTATTACTGAATATACGTCTGAAAGAAAGAAAGAAATCTAGATACACGAAGATTGATCGTCATAGTTTCATGTCAATAGGATACTACGAGAAGTGACTATCCGTCTGGATCAGCGAAATGGATGAACAGGATGTATTATAGGATTCAATTGGATTCGACTTACAATCAATTAGAGATATCTTCTTGATCGTTTTATCTTATTCTGGCTTAAAGCGTTAGTGATCCTTTTTACTATCATACTTAGTATATCAATTATACACATTTACATTCTTTTTGTTTAATAAAATTATATTCATTGTCACTATTTACAATCATCACTTTTCTCTAATGTTATCTGTCATTTCCTTTTAAACAACTGTTTGTGTGCATGTGTTCCTTAAATAAATTAAATGATATGAAAAAAAGAAATATATTATGAAGTCGTTCTCTTTTTCATATATTTTTTATCACTTTTTCTTTAATATTAAAAACTAACCTTACTTCTTTGTAAATACTTTATTCTCATTAGTACATTACAACATATTCTTTCTCTCTATTATATATTACTTTGGCACATTGCCTTTACTTAGTCGGACTTCTCGTTACATTTTTATTTATTTCGTTTCCTAACAATTTTCTTTTTCTACCTTCTCTTTCCTTTTCTCCACACTTTTTTTTTTTTTTTTTTTTTTTTTTTTTTTACTCCTGCGCACTTTGTTCGTGTCTCCATATTGGCTCATGATAGGTAACATATAAAATACAATGACAAGTAATGGATTCTTATTTTATTATTGTCAATTTAAAAAAATAAATAAAATAATAATAATAAAATAAAAAATAGTATAAAATACAATTAGTTACTTGTTTTATAGATAATTCATTCTAGTGTCTACAATTTGAAGACCTCTTCTTGGTTGGACTCTCTCTTTCTTCGGATTCCATTGCACAGCCAATGCAATTCAATTATGCACAAGTACTTTTGAAGGTCCTTTTTACTGCTTGGTTAGTCTTCCTTATGATATTTCAAAATTTCTTTTCTACTTGTTTGGACTCTCTCTCTCTCCCTCCCATCTGTCGTTCATTGTGGTGATGTTCTCTTCAATATCTCTTTGCTATTTGGTTGGACTCTTTCTCTCTGTTGCTTTTTGTATCTGTAGATATTAAGATTGTCGTCTGTAGAGCCGAACTAGTAAGTTGTACAAAAAAAAAAAAGAGGATCAACCGATATTACATACAATCACTTGCTTCTTTCTTTTTTTTTAGATCCTTCTTTTTATTGTATTGTTATTGATACATTGACACTGGCGCATGGTTCAAGGTAATATGTATATGTAAAAGAAGAAAAAAAAAAAGGAATAACATCGACGGATTACTACTCATTTTGTTGATTCTTTGTTGTCTGTTAGGTATCAGAATAGTGGTCTATACAGTCAAATGTCGGATGGTCATCATTAGTTTATACTTAGCTTTTGGTCAGACGAAGATCATGGTGTATTGATCTTTGTTTGTTTACGGGCAATGGACTTGGTCGAGGATGATCAGTCTCTAGAATCGTTTATGAATGTAGTGACTGAATTTTGTGCTCAAGTAGGTGGAGGGCAAAATGCAACACGTAGGAAATTCAGTTATTGTCTGTTGATCGTGTTGTTTCTTCCTGGAGTCCTTGTTAAGTCCTGACATTTGCGGTATTTGGTTTGGAAAGATCATTGAGGATCATATCAATGACTGATAGTGGAGCGCTATACGTAAGACGATACAACTATCTTTCTTGATGATCTGAAATTGTCTGATATCTGCATTTGGCAATCCTTTATTTCTCTCCGAGCAACTTTACGATGACATTCGATTTACTGGTGGTACAAAACGTCTGATGGTGCAGCCAAGGTAACTTGTACATAGAAAAAAGAAAAGAAAAGGCATAAACATTGATGGATTACTACTCATTTTGTTGATTTTATTTGTAACTTGCTAGATTATCGTCTATATAATGAAGGTGATACAAACATCCAATGATATAGCCAAGGTAACTTGTACATAGAAAAAGAAAAAGAAATAAACATTGATGGATTACTACTCATTTTGTTGATTTTATTTGTAGCTTGCTAGATTATCGTCTATACAATAAAGGTGATACAAACATCCAATGATATAGCCAAGGTAACATTTATATAGAAAAAGAAAAAAAAAGAAAGAAAAAGAAAAGAGAGCATTGACAGATTACTATGCACTTTGTTAATTTCATCTGTAGATTGCAAACCACTCAACAAAACCAAGATCGAATGCCTTCTGCGTTGGAATGGCTCTGTTATCCAATTGAAGTGTCTGTATCAAATAAAATAATCCTACCCAAAGTGCAAGTCATGATCGTTATCCTGGTGATGGCATTAGTTGTGATTCCGCTTGTGATTCTGGTCGTAGTTCATGGATATTATCGCTTATAGTGTGGTTACTTATTATTATAGTTATGTAGTATAGTTATGTAGTATAGAATATTTGTAGTGATGAAATAAAATTATGATTTCAATAGTATATTTGTACTGATCAATGAAATTCCTTGCTCTGGAGGTCGACCATACCTATATTTCAACCGTAATAGTGTCCTACCTAGATTTAGTATATTTTTGTCATAGATTTATTGAAGTCAAATATTTTTATTATTTCTAGGCCTAGCTATTTAGGGGGGGGGTCCTAGAGGTCCTAGAATGCATATCTAGGCTAGAAATTGTATAGGAGTCCACTAGACGTCATAGTAAAGTTTTCTGATGTAATAGTGTATAAATAGTGGGTTTTTGGAGCAATCGACTGGTATATTTTGGTAAAATCCAAAATGCTCACCCAAAATACTTTATTGGTGGTAAAATTCGAAAGATCAGCATATTAAATTATTTATATGCATTATTTCGTGATCACATAATACGCCAGAATCCATCATCATTCGGTTATTCCTCATCATCATCTTATATGTCTATATAAATCGGCTTTATTGATAATAAAATGTATAAATTGTACAATGTTTTCGAAATACGTATGAATAATAATAATAATAAAAATAATAGTGAGACAAATTCAATACGCCATTGACAAAAAAAAAAAAAAAAAAAAGGAGGAGAGTGATCACTATGCAGAGTGACGTATGAAAGAGTGTGTTGTGTATGAATACATATATAAGGAATAAAAAAACTCTAATCATCTACAATTTGTTCATAACATCCATGGCCATTTCGTAAGCAAAGAAAGTAGCAGCATTGGCAGGGAAGGCACGAGCCATGGTAGGACCCACACCACTGAGTAAGCTTCGAGCACCAGCTTCACGAATTAAAGTACGAAGAGCTGCCAAAGAGGATTTCAACCGAGGATCGTTTTGCATACGGCTCTTGATGACATCTTGAGGATAAGCAGGAATCCAGGCTCCAAAACCAGCAAGACCACCAGCCATCAATAAATCAAAAGTACTTAATTGTTCTTCAGGGTTCTTCTTCATTGATTGGAATGTACGTTTCAATCCTTCATAAGTCACTGTTTAAGTATAGTAAGAGTTTAGTACTCATAGTCAACGAATCATTGCCCTCTAATTCAGATTTTTTTTTTTTTTACCAAAATAAAGACCATAACTAGGAAAATCACGAAGAAGAGTGATACCAAGACCCCGATAGATACCTTGAATACCATGAGCACGTACTGTACGAACACCACATTCCAAAACACCTTTGTACTATCAAAGTCAAACATCATAAAATCGTTAGGGATAAAACAGTAGATATGAGTAAATTTACTTACAGGAGGTTCTAATTTGCCATTAGCACCAATAACACCTTTAGGATCTTGGGTTTGAAGTTTGACTTTGAGTAATTCAATAGGGCAATTAAAGAAAGACATAACAGAGCCAGCAAAAGCACCTGCAATCCCAATTTCAGCCAAAGATAATTCGCGATTGCTACCATTTTGAAGGATACGTCTGAATTCACCATTTGACATGAAAACCACAGCATTACTACAAGTAGCAAAAATAAAAAATAAAAAAAAGTTAGAGTTACAGTGTGAGAAATATAACGTAACTAAGTATCTCAGAGTATTAAACCCCTTTCCGATCTATAATCCTATTATTTTTTTTTCTTCATCCTTTCACTCTATTGTATGTATTGCCCTTTTTTACCATAACCCAATACCGGCTAAAGGAGAAGCCACACCACGATATAAACCTTTGGGCTATATATATATATATATAAAGGTTAGTCAGTACCTAGTTTTTATCATTTTCTTTGTTTAAGTAATAATACATACTCCTTCAGACTTGACCAGTTGGTTAAAACAATCCATAGCATTCTTATAAATAGGTGGTGAAGGTTGAGTTTGCATTCTAACCTTTAAGGTATCAAAAGGATGGCCTAAAGGAAAAACAAATGATCCCATTGTTAGGAACCAGATCAAGTTAAAAAAAAAACTGACAGTCTTTTTTTTTTTGTCTTACCAACCACGACTTGAGCCCAACCACCAATAGTGCCAGCAATCAGATCTTGGGCCAATTTGGGTATAGCAAAGGATGACTTTTGTTCAATGGCAGCCATGAATGATAAAAAAAAAGCAGTAGAAGGAAAGGAAAGAAAGAAAAGAGAAAGAAAAAAAAGGAACCTGAAGTCCAAAAAAACAAAAAAAAAAAACAGAAACAGGCTTCTGCCATATGATTGGTCAAAGATGAATCATAGAAAAAAAAAAAAAAAAGAGTTGTCAGAAAAGGGCATTTTTATTCGTTTTCAATTTGGGGAATGAGAAAAAAAAAAGATAGATATGTACAATGAATGATAACTAATAAAAATGGAATATATATTATTTCAATAGTTAAAAAAATGGGGATGATTGATATATAATGATAACAATTGAGAGATTAGTTAAGAGTTGCATAAAAATCACCACTTTGAAGTAGAAGAGGAGGAAGAAGAAGTGGAAGAAGGACCATTGTCCATACCGATAACCCAGCCTAATCGATCTATGAAGCGTTGTTTCACTTTACCGAATAAATCATGAGTTTCTGCATCATGATAAGCAATCCTATTAATTCCAATGAAAGTGATTTTAGTCAATACATTCATTCATTTTGTTTTTTTTTTTTTTTTTGTTTATTTACTGTTTAGCCCATTCAGTCACTACTTGATGTCCAAAGATTTTCCCTTGTTCTAATTCTGCACCAGCAAGTTCCACCGCCTTTTCCCATCTTTGTAATAATTCATCATAAAGATCCCGTTTGTATTGATTATTAACTATATAATATTAAAAAAAAAAAATTAGAATGGTTTTTATTTCTATTTCCTATATATATATATTACCTTCATTATCCCATGTTGGTAACCGATGAGCAGTGCATGTTGCATAGTGAAGATAAGAGAAGATGGTTGTTGGATGTTCATTACTAGAAGTAAAATGATCGGCGTATTCTATCAAAGAATGCTAATAATACATTGTTATTAAAAAAACATTAATAATCCATGATTTCATATATACTTACTACTACTTCCATGAGAGCAGGTTTGACACGATGGAAACTATAATCATCCCGACCTTTTCCAGATTTATGTAAAGGATAGCTTTCACCTAATTTTGTTTCCAATTTGTTGATAAGTATTGATACAGATTGAGTAGTAGGTTGGGGTAAATGAGCATCTATTTCAGGTTGTAGGTGAGGATTAGCATCAACAAGATCATTGATCAATTCGATAAGCTTATCCTTTTCCAATGTGGCTAAAGAAATGACAATAAAACATGAAATAATAATAACAATAAATAGTTAGATTATAATACTAGTATAGATTTGTCTTTATTACCTAAAAGTTTGCTAATAGGGAATTGTTTCTCTATACCGGTTCGATTTCGTTTGATAATACGACGGATATCTCCAACTTCTTTATGTCTATCTGTGCTTGTAGTTAAAGTGACGTTGGTATTGATATTAGTAGAAGAATGATCCACAAGTACGTCAGCTATAGTCATTTCTTCATCTTCCGAAGCTCTCCTTTTTCGACCTATTAAACATATGATATAAAAAAGAAAGAATGATTAGTAATAATATCATAGACTTTTGTTATTAATATATCAGAGTATATCTGTTTCATGACGTATTTCTTTTCCTTTTTTTTTTTTTCTTTTTTACCTTTGGCAGAGTGAGTATTGCTTGGAGAAGGAGGGATGTAAAAGGTAGGTTGTTTTACAGGAGTTAAATAATGTGAAGAACGATATAAGTGTTGCTGTTGTCGAAAGATACTATTTTGAGAAGACATTGTATAATGATAGTCAACAGTAAAACAAAAAAAAGAAAATAGAAAAAAAAGGAAAAAGGGAAAAAAAAAAAAAAAAGAAGACGGAAAGGACAACAAAAAAAAAAATTGGGTTGGGATAAAGTGTACGCATTCATTAGTTGACACTCCGCTTGGATGATGAATCAGTGAGCTAGAAAGTTTATTCAAATAAGAAGGAGAGGTTAAGATAAGGAGAGAAGAAGGGTATCAATATATGTATAATAAAAAAGAAGAAGAAGAAGAAGAAAAATAGTGTATATTTGTGAGTATATAAACTATATAAATATGTATATCAATATATATATATAATATATATAAAAAAAAGTATGTCTTTGTGTATGTATACTATTCTACAAAAAAAAAAAAAAAAAAAAAAAAGAAAAAACGAATGTCAAACTAATCTATCCATTCCCAATCACTACCACAATCATCACGACGTTCATGATCATCATTTTGATCACTTTGATCTGTTTCAGTTCCATCATCCATATCATCCAAAAAAGGTACACTGTTCTTATTGTTGTTGGTATCATTTGGTTCATCACACCAATCCCACTGAGAATGTAATCGCCGTTGATGATGAGCTAGGAGTCGTTTTTTTGCCACTACTTGAATACTTTTCTTAACTACTAAATCAGTTTCTTCCAATTGTTTCGCTTGTTCTCTTAACGTAGCAATAGTTTGTCGTAAATGAGTCATGTCCACATGTTCTCTTGTTGTTGTTGTTGTTGTTTGTTGATAAGGAAGGGATGGATTTTCATTATTAATTTCTTTTTCTTCTTGATATGGTGAGGTATCTACCCAAGCACCAGGTAAAGAAGTACGTAGAGATGTTGGAGATAATGATGGTGAAAAAAAGATAGGTGATATAATAGCTAGTGTACCAGTGTCCTTGCTTGTATTATTATTATTATCTTCTTGTTGTGAATAAGTGTCAAAAGTTGAAGTGATATTGTTGGTAGTATTGTCATGACAATAAGCACCTGGTAAAGACATGTGGTGTTCTTCCGTAGCGATACAAGTCATGTCTAGTGATGGTACAATGTAATAAAAAAAAAAAAAAAGAGAAGAAAGAAAAAAAGGAGAAAGGAGTTGGAAATTTGAATCCTTTTGATCATGCGGTTGGTGAGTTATTCCAAATCATGTGCTCGGCGTTTCGTATCGTTTTTTTCCTTTTTACCCAGTTCTCATCTATCCAACTAAATAATATGTAATATATAAGATGATTGCATTCACAATAATAGCAATAAGGGGGGAAGATCTTAAAAAGGTAGTTCAAGGGGGATAAATTACAAAAAAACTGGATTTCGAAAAAAACAGAATTATAATAATGGATAGTAAAAAAAAAAAAAAAAAAAAAGAGTTATTAAGACACCATATTTAGTATCTATGACGTTGATAGGGTGATGAATCACGTTCTATATTTGAACCACAGATTACTAGAAATAATTCTCAATGTGGTTCATGACCCTTTTTTGAGTAATCTGGAAACAAACAACTACCATATATGTATTTCTTGATTCAATCATTTTATTTTATTGAGGATGGCAAACAATAAAAAATAAAATAAAAGAAGAACAAAGGACAAAGAAATGTAAATAAGAGAGAAAAAAAAAATAGAGAGAGGAAACAGAGAGAGGAGGGAGTAGGAGGAGACAAAAGAAGATAATGATGAAAAATATAGATGTGGATGGAAGACTAAAAATAGATACGTGTGGTATATAGTAAAGAAAAAAAAAAGTAATATAGAATGGGTGGAATTGTCCGTTTTCAAACATATACTAAGGACTCCAATGCTAATGCATCATCGTATTCAAATAAATAATGATAATAATAAAATAATAATTATAAAAAAATAATAAACAAGAACAAAAAAAAATCAAAGAGGTATATGAATAGGATGCTATACAAAAGAGAGAAGATGTGTTTGAGTAGGTGGGAAAGTACAAGTTAAAAAAAAAAAGGGTATATGAAAAAGAAAAAAGGAGAACGAAAAAAAGGGAAGGAGGGTATCATTCAGGCTTGAATCTTGAGCATGGTACGCAACTTTTCTTGAATTTCAGAGATAGGGTCCATAAGATAATATGACTTTTGAGAAGTAAACTGGAGTTTGGTATCAATAGTATCGCACATAAGAGAACGTTCATAAAGGGTAGGTCGATGATGAAGAGAGAATGATTGGACTGGTATAGGAGAAGTTTTCATATCACCAGGAAGAGGTAAAGAACTTGCAGAAGGAGCATCATTCATAAAGTGAGGACCAGCATAAATTACAGCACTGTTGGAACGTCGACGTCTTTTTATATGTACAAAAAAAAAAAAAAAAAAAAAACAACAACAACAACAAAGGATTAACAATAAGGATAAAAATATTTAATATTGATATACCTTTTTAAATCAACTGGTGTAGGAGAAGAAGTTTGTTGTAGTTTAGGCTGAGCACTAGTTCGTTTATGATGATGACGATGGCGCTGTTGTTTTTTTTGACGAGATGATGATGATGATGATGATTTATCAGTATCATCCGATTCAGATAAATTAATAGTAGTAGTAGTAGTAGTAGCAGTAGTAGTAGTAGTATTGTTGTTATTGGATGACTTTTTTCGTTGACGAGATTTTTGAATATTGGACTTTTTGGAAGTAGATGAGGACTTGGATTGTTTCTTTGGTAAAGAGATAGTGGTCAAAATAGGTGATGAGGAAGACATAATATGTATAAATATATATATATATAAAAGGAAGATAGGAAAAAAAAAGAAAATAAGAGGAAGAAGGGGGTAAAAGTAGGAGAAGGAGATAAAAAGGAATAAAAGGGGTTAGAAACGTTTGTTTAGTATAATGAACTAATGAAAATAAATGAATGAAAGAAAGAAAGAAAAGAAAAAAAGAAAAAAAAAAAAAGGCTGTGGGATTTTTATTTATAACTGTGTGGCATATGGGTTACACTTGAAGATTTAAAGCGATTTGATTGGCTGAAATTGAAAAGGTGGGAAACAACAGAGGCAATAAACCAGTTTATGTATTATCGATGAACCACTCCTCATTCAAAGAGTATTATACATATATATATAAAAGAAATACAAGTTAAAGTAATAGTAAAAAAAAAAAAGTGTTTCATTATGATGATGATGATAATATAGGATTAACGTTTTGTGGAACCAAGTGCATTTTCTTTTTTATCTTCAATACAGCCTAGAACTGAGTTATTTTTTTTAAAGTACTATTTGACCTTTTTTTTTTTTCTTTCTCTTTTTCTTTTCCTTTTTTTTTTTTTTTTTTTTTTTTTTATCTATATAAAAACCAAAATGTCAAGATTACCTACTAGTCCTATTAGTACTGGTATTCCACCACCTACAACAAAATTATTGAAAAGACAACCATCTTTGGATTTAAGACGTAAAAAACAATCTCATGACCCACCTCCTTTACCACCTTTAAAAGCATCCAAGTCTTCAAGAATGTCACGTACTTCAATTTCTTCTTATGAAGATATGGATTCTTCTTCTTCTCGCTTCTCTACTTCCTCTTATGGTTCTACTCAAACTGCCCTGACTTCTCCTCGTTCTTCTGTCACGTCTCCAAAACCTTCAGGTCCAAGAAAACGTTTATCTGTTAAACCTCCTCCTATTCCTGTTCAACATCTTCCACAACAACAACAACAACAACAACATGATATTAGTTCTTCTCTTCGTATTGGTGAACGCGTTATAGTAGATTCAATGAATATTGTTGGTACTCTCAAATTTATTGGTAATACTCGCTTCAAACCTGGTATTTGGGCTGGTATTGAACTGGATATTATTGGTACTGGTAAAAATGATGGTTGTGTTCAAGGGTAAGTGAATAAAATAAAAAAAAAAATTATATAATATATACATATATATATATATATTTATTTATTTATCTTACGTTATATGTATATATTCATTTTGTTTTTTTTTTTTTAAAAAAAAATATTTAGATTACGTTATTTCTCTTGTCCTCCTGAAACTGGTATCTTTGTCATGGCAAGTAAAGTGGCTCCTATTGATCGTGATGACATCTCTGTTAGATCATTGTCTCCTCCTTCACCTTACTCATCAACTCCGCAACCTAATGGCCGTACTGTCACACATGTTACCAAAGGTTCAAGAGCCGAGCGTTACATTGGCTTAACAGCATCACAACTTTCTCAAAAACAACAACAACGACGAACGACTCGAACACCAAATACATCATCAAAACGTTTATCAACTGTTTCATCAACATCGACTGGAAGCAATTCGCGACGATCTCATCAGTTACCACCAACACAATCTCCTACTCCTACAGGTCATCGACGTCGTCTTAGTCGTGCATCTACTCCATCATCATCATCTATTCGACTTCAACGATCTTCTTCTACTCATCAACGTCATCATCCTGATGAGTTACACGATACAGATGATTATTATGCTCAAGATGATAGTTTGGTCATATCTGATGAACATATGCTTACGGATACTCCTGTTCCTATCAATCTTGCCATGTCTGAATCAACCGATCCTCCTTCATCCATGCACTCATCTAATTCAGTATCTTCTCCACCTCTTCCTTCTGCAACTGTACCTACTGCCAATCATCAACCTGTAGAAGAAGACTCACAAGCCCGATTAGAACGTGTTCTCGGTGAAGCAATTGCTCAAGCACCAGATGAAGCGATCATGCGATTACAACAACTACAACTACGTGTCGAAGTCCTTGAAGCCGAAAACAAATACTTGAAACTTGAAAATACCCAAAACAAGACAGCTGAACAGATCTTGGAAAGGTCCATGATACTCAAGAAAATGAAAAAACACTCCGATACTGGTGATGATGTGGATCAAGAGGATCAGGATAGTTACTTTACTCTTGAAGGTCACAAGGCGATTGTGGAAGAAATCAAACAAGATCATGAAGCAAAGAAAAAAGCATGGGATTCGGACATGGATACAATGCGATCCTCCATTAAGAAGCTAGAAAACCGTGTATTTGAATTGGAAACAGAACAATCAGAACTCATCAAGGAACGTGACGAACTATTGACTAGTCTTAGTGAAGCACGCAAGGCCAAAAATCAAATGGAACAAAAAGTACAAGAATTGGAAGAAAAGGTGGTGGTGGCTGAAGCTAATGCAGCTACTGCTCTTGCCTCTCGAACAGTACAAACAACTGCCAACTTTTATTCTCAAGATCCTGATGAAATGCAAGAACGACAACGCCAAATGGAAATGGAGATGGAAGAAGTACATGACAAAATGACCTCTCTTATGGATGCTATGCGAGCCAAAGATATGTTTTTAGGTACTCTTTCTGAACAAGTAGAACAACATCGTAATCTGGTAGAAGAAAAAGAACGGGAACTTCGACGTGTACGCATGGATGCTGAACGACATAATCGTGACAAGGAAAGACTACGAGAAGAAATTCAAGATTTGGAATCCAAATGGGTCGGTCACGAAGGATGTGTCACTAAAGAAGAATTCGACAGTATCAAGCGTGATTATGCTGTTGCCAAGGAACAACTTGTGAAGGAAACTGCCACTGTGGATGATTACAAACGACGCATTCAAGGATTGGAAAAAACAGTGGATGAACTCAAGGTAGCTGGTATGGAAAGTATCGAATTGTACGAAAATTCTGTGGAATTGAACCGTGTAGCAATGGAAACCATCAATGCCAATTTACAAGATGAACAACGCAAAGTATCAGCACTAGAATTAGAAAAGGCTCATTTGGTCAAGACAGGTGCAGATGCTTTGGATACATTTGAAGAAACCATGACAGCCTTGAAGCAACAACATGCTGCCAAACTACAAGCTTTTGATACTGAACGACAAGGTTGGGAAGATATGATTGCCAAACTCAAACAAGAAATTAGTCAACTAGTAGATAGTAGCAATCAAACTGAACAGATGGATAAAATCAAACAAGTATGGGATAGCGAACGTCAACGACTTGAAAGTACGATCGAACATCATGTGCAACAATTGACAACTGAGCAACCTACTCAACAACAACTCAAGCAAGAGATAGAACGATTGCAAGAACAAGTTAAACAAGCTGACAAGATGACAACAGAAAAGCAACAACTGGAAGAACAAGTACAACAGTTACAAAACAATTATGACGAGCAATTACAATCTCGAAGTCGCTATTTAGAAGAAGTACGTACGGCGGTAGAAGCACAAAAGAAAACTCAAAATGATCTACGTCGACTTGTGGAAGCCAAAGAAAAAGTAGATCGTGAATTGGAATTGGCTCGATCAGATTTGGACAAGGCAGAATCGACTTTGGCATGTCTACGTAACTCTTCTACTGAGATGGATGGATGGATCAAGGAAAAACAACAACAAGCCAAGGATATGGAAACACTAAGAAATGAAATTGAACGACTAGAAGCTCAAAATGTGATGTTGATCAAACAAAAGGAAAGTGCAGAATTGGCGGTCAAGACAACAACAAGTAAAGATGAAGATGATGAAGCATTCCAACGACTCAAGACTGATCACAAACAATTGATGAAAGAACATGAGGCACTCAAGGAATCGAATAAACAAATGGAAACAGAATGTTTGAAATTGATGGATGAAGTAGAGAAATTACATTCAGAAGGACCTAGTTATTCAGTAGCAGCAGTAGGTGATGATAATATGACACCAGAAGAAAAGGCACAACAATTAGAACGACAATTAGCAGAAACCAAGCGACATATGGAAAAGTTAATTCTCAAGCAATCATCAGAGATGCGACAAATCAAAGATCAGATGCAAGAAGCGGATCGCAAACATCAACGGGAAATCAGTAGGTTGAATCGTGATGTGACAGAATTGGAAAGTATTATCGAAGCCAAGATCTTTAAGGAAGCAGATTTAGAAGAAGCTTTGGAAAATGAACGCAAGACAGCCAGTCGACTTCGTGATGATATTATGGAACTTCGAGAACAAAAGGATATCAACAAGAAAAAACAAGATGGAGAACTTAGTAGCAGTAGTACTAGTACTAGTAATGGTCCTATGACGGATGATGCACCTTATTGTGAAATTTGTGAACTCTCTGGACATGATTTGATAAGTTGTAAAGCTGTATTGAATGATGATGATAAACAGTTGATTCGACCAGTAAGTTATATATATAAAATAATTTATTAATTTACTGATTCTTTTTTTTTTTTTTGTAGTTCTGTGAAAATTGTGATGAACATGGATTTCATAATACTGCTGAATGTCCCAATCAAAATGAAACCTTTTGAATGAAATAGTGATTAGTATCTATCTTCTTTGTATATTTCTCTTATTATCCTTTTTTTTTTATTTTTATTATTATTATTATTTATTCTATATATATATATTTTATATCTTTATATACATATTTATATACCTTGCAAGAAATATCCCCCCTTTTTATTACCTTTTTTTTTTTTTTTTTTTTGTATAATAAAATATGAAATATATATATATATGGTGAGAACGGAAAAACTTAATTCAGTGATCAACTTTGGAGATGCGGTAGATCAAAATTATATCTTTTTTATTTCTTGATCCGGTTTATCGGGGAAGGGGTTTGACCAAACTTTTACGGATGTTTTTTTTTTTTTCTGATATAAAATTAACCTTTTTTTTCCCGCTAGATTGAAAAATTCCCTTTTTTTTTTCTTTCTCTTTTCTCTCTTTAATTTTATTATAAAATGATGGAACAAGAAAAGAAGAATAATCAAGAAGAAATAGATCATCGATCATTAACAAGTGAAGCTACTTTGGATGCCAATGAAGAATCTTATCCGGCTGTATTGGAAATAGCACCTTTTCCAACTTTAGCTTCTTTAAATGAAATCACTACTACCATGTCAAGAAGAAGTCAAAGAAATAAACCAGAGATTGATGATTTAAAAGAAAAGATACCTGAACCTGGTTTTGAACCATTAAATGAAGGTATCACTAGTCCAGTAAGTTTCAAATTTATTATTATTAATGATTATTATTAATGATTATTATTATAGGGTTGGTTAGTTGTCTTGTCTACTTTTCTTGTCAATTTCAGTGTATTTGGTTATTGTTTTTGGTAAGTTCATATATATAAAGGGGTAATCTGGGTACCAAAAAGAAAATATTTTTTTTCTTTCTTTTTCTCATGGGTTGATCTGATTTTTTTTTTTTTGACACTTTTTTTTTTCCCAGTTGGGGAAATTTCCAAAAATTGTAAGTCTAACATATAATTTTAATATATAAAATACTAAAAAAAAAAAACCGTCTTTTTTTAGATATTTACAACCTGAAGTTTATGGTCAACAAACAAATGCTTTCAAGATTGCTTTTATTGGTACTTCTGCCAATGCTGCTATGATGTCTTTAGGTTTATTTATTACTCCTGTTATTGTTAGACTTGGTTATCGTCGTACCATGTGTATTGGTACTATTATGGCTCCTTTAGGTTTAATCTTGGCAAGTTTTGCAAATGAAGTTTGGGAAATTGCTTTATCTCAAGGTCTTGTATTTGGTATTGGTGCTACTTTTGTTTTTTCTCCTTCTATTGCTCTTCCTAGTCAATGGTTTGTTAAAAGGAAAGCATTTGCAACTGGTTTAGGTAAAAAAAAAAAATATCATACGTTATAATTAAAAAAAAAAAAAAAAAAGAATACTAAATATATATATATATATTCTATTTTTATTTTATTACTATAGCGGTGAGTGGTAGTGGTATTGGTGGTGTTTGTTTATCACCCATGTCTCAACAATTGATTAGTCAACTTGGTTACAGAAATGCTTTACGTGTGTTAGGTGCATTCATGTTCACTTTACTTACCATTGCCACAATATTGGCCAATTCTCGATGGAAACCTAAATCTAATGGTCGTCCTTGGTATGCCTTAGTGGATCGTTCTTTACTTGGTCCTCAATTCAATTTGTTTCTTTTGTTTTGTTTATTGGTACCTTTTGGTTATCTTGCTCCTTTCTTTTTGATGCCAACCTATGCTACTTTTATTGGTGTGGATGCTGTCAATGGTGCAAGTTTGGTTAGTATCATGTCTGCTACTAATGCTGTATGTCGTGTAGCTTTGGGTTTTCTTGGTGATCGATATGGTCGTTTGAATATAACAATGATCTCTACATTCTTATCAGGTAACCTTTTTTTTTCATGATGATTATCTAAAAATAAATGATATCTAACATTTTTTTTTTTTTTTAGGTCTATTCACGATGATTTTATGGCAATTCTCAACTAGTTATGGGATCTATGTAGCATATGCTTTGTTGTTTGGTTTTTCAGGTGGAGGTTTTGTATCACTTATTCCAGCAGTGACGGCAGATATTGTTGGTATAGAAAATATTCAAAGTGGACTTGGCATGGCCTATGCTGCTACAACATTTGCAAATTTATTTGGTACTCCTGTTGTTGGTGCATTACAAACTCAATTCGGTTGGACAGCCGCTATTCAATTCTGTGGTGCTCTTACTATTTCTGCCTCAGCTGTGGTTTTGGTGCTTCGAATTGTAAAAACAAAAGGTGCTTTCTTGGCCAAAGTGTAATGAATTCTTGGTAATCTCTGTATTGTATACATATCCTGTCTATCTTGTCCGTCGATACACATCCGATTTTGTTTTTTATGATATATCATCAACGAATTTTATCAGCAACAACAACATCACAATCACGAACATCATATATCATCAGTTTTAGCAACAATAGGAAACGTCGTCATCCCATGATCATCATTGTGTAGAATATTCCCCATCAAATTTTTTTCTTTCTATTTTTTTTTTTTAACTCACTCCCATACCTTGTCTATAGTCCGTTCCCTCGTATATTAGTTAATCTTTGTTTATACTTTTACTTTATAATAAAACTTGTTTTTTTTTTCAACAACGATCTTAACAAAAAAAAAAAAGATTTTTCTTTATTCACGCAAAGGATAACTTGTTTGATGAATTGGCATGATGATCCTTCATTTTTTTTTTATATACAAATCCCGAAGCTTGTAAATCGGAATGGCTCAGGGACACACGACAAGGTAGGACAACAATCTTCGTTCTTTTCACATTCAGCTTGCAATCCCTTACAATCAGATTGGCCAGCCACGGTATTGACCATGAAAATGAAACAGACAAGGCTAAGACGTTGAAAGAAAGATCGGAACATGATATATAATGTGATTAATATTATTATTTTTTTTTTTTGGATAAGATCAATCCTATCATCCTCTCTTTATATACTTTTTTTTTTGTAGTGTCATTATACATTTCTTTGTTTTTTTTTTAACCAATCACCGTTATAACACAAATGACAAAGATCCATAGAAAAATCATTTTCATTATGCATCATGTTGTCATTGTCTGTTCTAGCATTCATTTGATTCCTGTCCCATATCTTTCTTCCTCTGCTTTACAATAAACCTCAGATTCAATGATTTCAAATTCACATAATGATTCACGTATATAACGATCCATATAAAGACATCACCACCACAGAGGTACAAAATGAATTCTTTATTATATACAAGTAAAAAGTCAACAATAAATAAAAAGAAGGTAAGATAAATAAAAAAAAAAAGGGGGGATATACTAGGAATAATGAGAATAATAAAAGGAAAGCAAAAAAAAAAAAAGAAAAAAAAAAGAGGGAGACACAAGGATGCAGAAAGAGAATCAAGTTGCGGGTAATAATGGTGTCGTTTCATCACGTTGATCCAGTTTTGCAGAAAAGAAGTGATGTATCCGTTTATAGAGTTTTTGCCACACTGGATGATCCGAAGCCAAAGAAGAAGAGACATGAGGTTGTACAGGAGGAGGAGAATGTGATGTCTTTGTGGATATATCAGATGAAGGAGAGAAAGAGGTTGTGGTGTTAAATGAGATGATTAACACCCCCCAAACAAGAATAACAATCCCTGCCAATACCAAGACAACTTGCCACCAATAGAGTCGATCCCATTGATTGTAATACACCAATCCATTGAATAAACAAGATACATTGAATGAACAAAAATTCAAAGGAACAAGGATAATGGTATCACATAATTGGACACCGCGATTCAAATAATAAAGCTAAAACAAAAAAAAAGATTAAATTCTATTCTTCATATATTATTCTAATTATTACCTGTAACACTGCAGTGAAGATCAAAGCAATCACAATTACCCAAGTCAAAGGATAGATAAATTGATTTTCACCATGAAATACCGTCAAGATTAATAATTCCAATCCACTTTTAGCAAATAACATGGCTTGACTACTGATATTGGCACCAAACACCCCAAAACTAAAATAAACAAAGAAAAATAAGAATAATTTTAGGGTAATTTTTTTTTATATTATTATTATTATTTTGTTTTACCTAATTCCCAACCACATTTTCAAATCAGGATACTTAATTTGCCATTGAGTATTTCGTTCAAGACCATATTCCATCAAATGAGTTAGAATCAAGCCAAAACAAATACAAAATTCAACCAAAGCAAAGTAAATGATAAAAGATGGCCGTTTGTAAAGTTGAATTAAATCTTGTAAAGTATGATTTGGTTCAGGCACCACTCCAAAACCTGCCACCAACATAGCCCCTGCTACTATCAAGGTTGTACCTATATAATAATATTAAAATATATGAATGAGTTTTGACTTATCTGAATGAGTTCTTTTTTTTTTTTTTTTTTTTACCTATAATAGTTCTTGAAGTGAAAGGATCACCAAGGACTAATCGAGCGAAGATAGCATTAAAGACAAGACCAATGGAACCCAAAAGAGCAAGTACCACAATAGGTAAAAAAGCAATAGTACAAGTAGAGGCGACCAAGTTACTGACAGTATAGATGAGAAAACCCGTGACCCAAAGTGGTTTTCTAAATGATCCTGTTGTAGGTTGTTCCAGATGAGACCGTCGTTGTAAAGATATTCCTAATGCCTGAGTCATGCTGGCCAGCAGCGCAACCATCAATGGTACAAAAACTTCTTTGTTATTTTCCATCATACTTAATGCTGACGGTATTTCCACCATAGTAATAGATGATAGTGATAAAAATGCAGTCAATCGTCTAAAAATGTTATATATATGTATATATAAATTAAGAAGAAAAAGGGAGAAAAAATCAATAATGGGGTATAATAAATATGTATCCAAGTAATCCAATGAAAAAAGAAACAAGGGAAAATAATTATAAGAAAAGAAAGAGAGGGACCAAAAAAAAAAAAAAAAAAAAAAAAAAAAGGACAAATGAAAAAATGTCAGCGCTTCACTTTTTAAGCCCAAGCAGGAGATTTAAAAAAAAAAAATGTACCATAGACACTTTGGGCATAAGGATAAAAATAGCCATATAACAGAGAGAATGAAAGAAACAAATGTTTTATTTTATTTTGAGAACAACATCAAGGAAAAAGGGGAAAGATTCATTTCATAGAAATATATATATTTACAGTATACGGAATGAGACAAGATGAATGAAAAGAAAAAAAAAGAAAAAAGATGATAATAATATAATGATATAAAAACTAAACTAAGCTAAGCTTGATGCCAGTAAAGAGTTTGTTGAGGTTGACGTGATGGATAACTATTCATGGTAGGTGGATTATAAGGTTGTTGTTGTTGTTGAGGTTGTTGTTGATATAAGAAAGGTTGTTGTTGTTGTTGTTGTTGTTGTAGTTGTTGTTGTTGATACTGAGGTTGTTGATAATTTCCAGGTGTCGTCATGATTGGTTGTTGATGCATAGGAGGTCCTTGATGTTTGTCATATCCATTCATTATACTATCTTTGGATTGTCCATTTCCACTATGTGCTTGTTGTGATCCCATATTACCACCTAGATAATGTTGCATTTGAGGTAACGTTTGATATTGTTTATCGTACATTGATCCTTGACCTCCATTGTTATGTAACATACTATCATCATACGCTTGTGGATTGGTATAGTCTTGATACACAAAGTTGTTTGGTTTTCCATACATCGGGTAAGTATTACCATTCATATACGATACTTGAGGATGATGTTTTTGTGGAGTTTGTTGTGGTTGTTGTTGTTGACCTTGTGTTTGTTGTTGTTGAGATGATTGTTGTTGTTGTGCTTGAGGTGGTTGTGATTGAGGCTGAGGTTGAGGTTGAGGCTGTTGAGGAAGTTGTTGAGGAGGTTGTTGAGTAGGTTGTTGAGGAGGTTGATAATGCTGAGAAACAGGTTGTTGTTGTTGATAACCACTTTGTTGATAATTTTGATATTGATTGGGCATATAATAATATGAATAATATCCACCAGCGTTACCACCATACATTCCAGCTTGAGGTTGTTGAGGTTGTTGAGATACTTGAACAATTGGTGTGGATGTGTTACTATTCATCACTCCAAGGGTAGTAGGAGAAGGAACAATACCTTCATTATTGAATTTTCCTCGTCCATATAAATGAGCATTGGCCACTGAAGGTGATTGATTATAGATATTAGGATCGTAATAATTCTAAAATAAAAAATAACAAGCGAAGTGAGTATATATATATATATATATATTCCTTTTTATCTTAATTTTATTATTATTAATGAACTTACCATAGGACGTTGACCATCAGCATTGTAGTAATCAGGCATTGACACCATACCAGGGTTAGCAAATCCATGTAGTTGACCGTTTGCAGGGATAGTATTAGGAACGTAGGGAACATAAGGTGCCATATGAGCATCAGTAGATGGCAAAGTGGAATGTTGTGGATGTTGGAAAGATTGTTGGTATGTTTGTTCAGGTTGTTGAATTTGTTGTTGTTGAATTTGTTGTTGTTGAATTTGTTGTTGTTGCTGTTGTTGTTGTTGCTGTTGTTGTTGTTGTTGTGGTAGTGGTACTTGTTGTTGGTAGTATACAGTAGAATCTGGTACTTTCATATTGTTAATTACACCGGAAGATGAAGTAGTTGTTGTAGATAATGATGTTTTAGAGTTGGGTTGAGCAAGAGGAATGGTTGATTGGACAGAGGCAGTAGTAGTGGTGACGGTCGTAGAAGGAGCTGGTACAGGAGTGGCAACAGTTGGTGTGGTTTCTTCATCCTTTTCTTCTTGTTCTTCAGGTTGTTCCTTGGGAGCTGATTGTTCTTCCTTGATAGGTTGTTCTTCGCCATTTGTCAAGTTGAGACTACCAAATTGTACACTGACATTTTCCAGACCTGAACCACCAGCAGGTAAAACCACAGGTTCATCTTGTTTCAATCTTCGTACTGGTACTTTTCGGAATGTTATAAATTGTTGTTGTTGTTGTCGAGTTGTTACAGTATCGGATTCTTCTACTGATATAGTTGTGATTTGTTTGTTATTATCTTCATCCTTGTCATTTATGTCGCCTTGATTGATATCTGCTGGTTCGTTCACTTGTTCTACAATATCTGCTGATTCCTGGTGTTCTTTCACTTGAATAGTCGGATCTATGGATTTCTCTGTAGTATCTATCTTTTCACTATCTTTTTCATCCAGTTGTGTTGGTTTCTCGTCCTCGTTGTCAGTTGTTGTAATAATGGTTAATTCTGTTGCATCTGATACTGGAACTTCAGGTTTCGTTGGTCCTCTAAAAAAAAAAAAAAAAAAAAAGATGAATGATCACAATTAGCAAAAAAAAAAAAAAAAAAAAAAAAAAAATGACGCTTACTTCAATATGCTTGCCCACGAAGGTTTCTTTTCTTCTTCCTTTTCCACAGGTTTGGAAGGTTCTTCAGTTTCTTTCTTGCCACGATGTGATTTGTCACCAAATTTGCCCCCTAAACAAAAGTACGTGAAAAAATAAATTCAATATGCAAAACTTTTCATTGACTATTATTGACTTACGTGGTCTTCCATTCCTTGATTTTGCACCACGAGGGAGATCTATATTATTAAAAATGAAAATACACATGTTAAATAAAAATAATCTTGATAAAAGTTTCACTTTATTGTTTTACCTCGAGTTCCAGTATGACCTTCCGATTTCTTTGATGTATTATTGGTGTTGACTTGTTTTTGTTGTTGAGTTTTCGTTTTTTTGGTTTTGACCTGATCCCATTGATTAGCGTGGCCTATTTTAGGATGAAAGAGAGAGAAAAAAAAAAGTTAAAATGACAAAAAAAGAAAAAGTCTAATAGAGATAAATATAGTTTTACCTTCCATAATACGTCCAATAGTAAGTTCCAAATCACCGTTTGCTTCATGAGTAGCAGCAAGAAGATCTTCTTGACTCCATCCAGGGAATAATTCACGAAGTGTCGGTAATTGCTGGCGATATAGAATTTTCAAAGTCTTAAAGTCATTGCCGGCATTGTTGTTATTCTTGGAAGGACGTCGGGAACCGGTCATCTTGTTGTGATAAAGTAGATTGATATGTTGAACTGACTGATGTTGCCTTTTTTCGATAAATAAGAAATGAAGGATATGATTACTATAACAATAGAAAAAAAAAAAAAAAGAGGGAGAGTGAACAATAGACAAAGAAGAAAAGAAATAGAAAAAAAAAAATTATAAAAAAAAAAAACAATGGGGAGTAGAAAAGAGAAAGTAATCCCAGGTTCAATTCCAGCTTTCCTTATTTTATTCAACGCGTTAACAAGTTAATAGTGGCTTGGAGATATCTCCTGTTTTCTTTATTTCAAAAAGAGTAAATCAAACTATTAACTACAATAGACTATCAACTAAGAGAAAAAAAAAGAAAATAATATATCTATATATATAAATATAAATATATTGGTATAAAACAATCACAAATCTACAAAAATTTCATTCATCAAAGGTGAACGTCGTCGATCCTTGCCCAAGTAAACTACATCCTTGCGTCTTGGCAAAAAACCTCTAGGTCGTAAAGGTGAAATCAATTTTCGATTTCGCATCATATTCAATTCGCAAGCAATCATCCGTAAATGATCAGAATTGTATCTTGTATCCCGTTTATAAGTATTCGTATCCGCATTGAATCGAGGTTGTGTTGTAGCTTCCGATCGTCGTCTCTGATTGGCTGGTTTGGGAGGTGGTGGTGGCATTGGTATCAAATGTTCTGGTTTCTTTTTACGTATTGAAGCAAGTGAACGTCGTAATCTACTGATCGTTTGAACCCAGCGTACTTGTTGTAAATGATCATCAGGTGGTGATATTCCTGCTTCAGATAAGACACATGATGCTGTAGTTGATAAGGATGGTGTTTGTGCATTAGTTGTAGTGGATATAGAGTGACGACGAACAAGTGGAGGTCGGTTGTTATTAGTAACAACTTGTTGACTTGTATCTAAGCTTGTTGGTGTTCTGGGTATACGAGTTGCTTTCAATCGGTCTGCTAATGCTGCTATTTCGTTTTGTTGATCAAGTGAAGATGGGTCACTAAGAGAAGCAGGAGGGGTATGTAATGGTAAAACATCAGATAAGAAATCAATGGATAAAAAATTCCGTAAAGGTGACCGTTGAACCTAAAGAAAAAAAAAAAAAAGAAAGAAAGAAGGGATATGCAAGTCGGTTAACAAAAAAAAAATTCCCACCCACCTACTTTTCTTTACCTATATCTTTGTCAACTTACCAAGTCTTCTTCATCGGGCAAACTTTCTTTACTATCCACAACAATCCAATCTTCTACATGTGACATTCGTCTTGATACTGGTGCTGGAATACTGACTGGAGGTTGAGTCACTTGTTTCTTCTTCTTTTTCTTTTTCTTGTTCTGTTTTCTAGGAGGAATGTCACCATATACTTTAGGAGCTTGAGCAGCCAAATGTTTGATGATTTTTTTGTACGACAATGTCATATTATCGTGTGAGTTTGACCATAATGAAGTAGACATTATTGACAATAATAATAAAAAGATAAAAGAAAAAAGGAAGATATATAAAATAATAATAATAAAAATAAAAAAAAAAGGTAGGAAGGAACGTTTGAAATTTTATTCAAAGTAAGACAGAAAAAAAAAAAATATCGACGAAACATAAAAAAGTCAAAACTATAACCATGTGACTAATTCTTGCGCCATGCTCTATAACTACTTGGGGAATTCACGGACGGAGGAGGAATATGGTCAACATAAGACAAAGCAGGATCCACTGGAGGTTCATAAGTAACATAGGCAATTACACCAATCATAAGAGCAAGACCAGCAACAAGTGATCTTTGGGTATATATTTTGGTATTTAAATGAGTGTGTTGATGAAATGGTGATGGTCTGTATCCTTCTACTTGATGTTTGTGTTTAGTAAGTTGTTCATAAGCGCCTGTGATTTCAGCAAAATCTCTTTGTTTGTGTTGTCCAACAATATCAGGATGGTGCGATTTGCATAGCTGAAGGTATCTTTTTCGTATTTCTTTGTTGGTGGCATATCGCCCGAGACCTAATACATCGTATGGATTCTTCATGTCTACCCAAAACAGAGAAAAATAAAAAAAAAAAAAAGACAAGTACTAATGAATGGGTGGTAACCTTTTTTTAAAGTATCATTTCAATTGCCGTAAAGTGATCAGCCAATAATATTACGTCGAAAATTTACAAACAATTGGTAGGCATTATTTCTGACAACCATACTGAATTAGTAATAATGCATTAAAACAAAAGACAATACGATCTAAACGAAATCCAAAATAATCACGATTTTAATAATTAGTAAAAAAAAAAAAAAAAAAAAAAAAAATGTAACAAATCAAAACATAACTTTTTTTTATTGTTTTCACTATGATAAAATACAAATATTTCATTCTAATAATCTACTTTGACAATATTTGCAGAACCGTGCCGATTTATCTGGTACTGTTGTTGGTATATTTGAGATACAAGGCAAACAGAATAATCCTAATAAAGTATAACACAAAAAGAACGGTCAATATTTATTATATCTTTTTTTCCTTTTTTCGCATTTTCTTACCTCCACAACTACGACAAAAAGATTTTCGTTCTGTTCAAAAGAAAAAATAGAAGAAAAGATCAATAAAGTTTTCCATATGTTGTTGTTGGTTATTTTTTTTATCATACCTAAAACAGAAAATGATTTTCCACATTGAGCACATTCCTTGCATCGATCTTCTTTCAAGTAATGTAAGGTGTCCGAGGTATCAGGTAATACAAAAGCATAGACTTGTCCATTTCTATTGCCAGTTAACAAAGTGCGTTTTTGTCTTAAAAAAAAAAAAAGAGAGAGAAAGAGGTCAGAAAATAGAAAATAATTCATCTATATACTACTTACGAAAAAGAGAGAGAAACGATATCGGACGAATCAAACGTTGAATCTATACGATTGGCGTGGGTCAGTTGATAGAGTTGATTCAGAGTCCATTTATGTTCTCCTGTCTTTTCATCCTGTACGATATCTTTTGCCCAAAACTATATATAAAAAAAAAGTAAATATAACGATGAATGATCATTCTATATTTCTTACCTTGACAATACCATTTCGATGGCCAGTGATGATCAAATCTTGACTAGACCATTCATTTGGTTTGGCATCATAAATCGCACACGATAGTACACGTTCTGAGTTAGCACATACTGATTTCGTCAAGTAGAGTTCACCATTAATGGTCCAAATACGTATCATATTTCCTGAACAAGTAATAATATCACCCTACACAATAATAATAATAAAAAAAAAAACTAAGCTCCCATCTAATCTCTCTATCATACATCATACTTTTTTTTTTCATACCGTTGCATCATTCACTCTGACAAGATGAACACCTGATTCATGACCTGAGAGTGATCTCACATACTTCAATCGATTCAAATCCCAAATGATCACACTCTTATCCTATAAAAAAATCATAATCAAGGATCAAACATTATCGTTAGTGCTGTACTCCCTTATTTTTTTACACTTTTTTTTTTCTACGGGATTACCTGAGACCCAGTGACAATGATACTATATGATCTTGAAGATGTGATGGTTGTTACAACTTTAGAATGTCCACGAAGCGTTTCTTGTAATTCAAAATTGATTTGTTTTCCTTGTTCTATTTTCCATACACATACAACCTATATGGATAATAGATATAGATATAGATATATATGTATTAGATCAAATGAGTCATTCCAACATCTGTCTCTCGCTCTTTTTAGTGTCTTACACTATCAGTACCACCGGTCACCAAAGTTCTACTATCAGCAAAATGAGCTGAGCTAATAAATCCATCGTGAAAGTTTTCAAATACATTTATAAGCTATGAAGAAAAATACAATAGTGAATCATAGTGTTCATTTTCTGGGTATGATGTCCGTATTTTTCTTATGTGTTTACCTTGCCAGAATCTGAAGAATACAAACGTAAACTATTGTCCGAGTAACCCCATTCAATATAGTGTAAAGCATCCGGTGGTATATAAAGTTGTTGACAAGTAGTAACACCTAGTTTGTCATTGTAGACACCAATATCCCCAATTTCGTCATGAATATCTGTATTGATAGCAATCAAACCAGTAATTATGAATATATTTTGATACTCTCTTTTCTTCTTCCTTTTTTTTTTTTTTTTTTTTTGTTTTTTATATAAAATGCTTACCACGTAAAGGATAAATAGATTGAATCAATTTTTGCAAATGACTACGTAAAGGATAGAATCCCAGTGCTAAAGGATCATGAGTAGGAGGAGATCTAGCCGGATGTGGTTTCTTGAACAATTGACGAGGAGTTTGTCCAAAGTTGTTGATAATACCAATTGTTGCTGTCTTCTCTACAGTATCGGTAATAGCGTCCAGATCTACCAAAGGTAAGAAAAAGAAAAGGTTTAGTTCATCACATTGTTTTTTTTTCTTTTCTCTACTATTGTTACAAACATACCCACAGCACCTTCGTATGATACATGATGGAATACATTCAATGCATCAATGGCTGCTTTCCCTTGTTGTTTATATCCAAAGATAAGATCAATCCAATGATGTAGATTTTGACTAACATAATCACTTTCCAATGCTTCCCGATGACGTTGAATGAATATTTTTGGATCATTAGATGCCCAAGGGGGTAAGGTAACTGAATCAATTGTTTCACCTGTGCCTTGTTTTGTGCCTAAGAATATAATAAGTAGGTGAGATTTTTCTGTCTATTTTCTTTGTAAAGTATTACCAAAGTTGAATTTATTGACATTTTCCAAGAATTCGGGTAGACAGAAAAATTCAGGGATTAGTTCACGCACGTCACCCATATTCTTTTCCGAAGCGGATTCCCAAGCCTTGCCAACAGAATCAAATAGACGATCAGCATGATCAAATGTTCCACCCTATTATAAAATTTCAACAAGTGAGATTCATTTTATTTTTATTCCGATGTCTATTTTATCATTTCCTTTACTTACTTGAAGCTTCAAATAGTGTTGAGTAAATGGCTCCAATCGAATCAAAAAAGAACATACAATCATAGCAGATGAATAATGTGTTCCATAATGAAAAGCAGGTGCAGGATCGTTGGTTTCTCCCCATTGACGATATCGGTCTTGGAATTCATCTATCAAATACAACAATTTTTTTTTTTCATAAAACAAAAGATTTTCATTTTTTTTTTCTTTTTATTTATTGGTTCTTCATCTTACCTCGTCGTTCGGCCGTTTGAGCTCCCATTGGTTTGGAAAGATCACGGAAAGTTTCAGGTTTATCCAAATCAAGCTAAAACACAAAATAAAAATATTAATCAGTCAAAACCACACACGCGTCTGATCTACAAGATAGATAGATATTCATACTTTTTCACTAGTATAGTCAGCCAGAATCCATGGAAATACAGGATATTGAGTCAAATCTAGTGAATGAAAAAAAAAGTAAGAATATTTCTAGTTTTATTATTCTTTTCTTTTTTTTTTTTTTTTACTCTTCCTTACCATTGTATGAGCGTCCTGCAATAGCATTAATATACATTAAATATTGGAAATTGGTGATTTCCCTTCGTTCCCATTTTTGAGTAAGATCATGTAAGGTTGAGCTGCCAAAAATGCTTGTGAATTTGAATGCATTACCCAATGTGCTTGATTCTTTGTCGACAGCGCCAAAGATGGATCCCTTCATATCATTATCATTTGTTGTAGTAACACGGTTGACCAGTTTGGTAAATAGATCATCACGTTCAGATCGTTCTACTGTAATTAATGCATTTTGACCATCAGCAAAAAAAAGTTCTAGAGCAACGTCCCTAAATAAGAATCGTCGCTTGAATACTTCACGTAAATCAGCATTCGCCCTGCAAAAAAAAAAAAAAAAAAAAAAAAAAAAAAAAAAAAAATGTCAGCCTTTGCATTCTCATTGCATTAACTACTGTGTTTTACCATTTTCTGCATGTATGAAGATCTCCAGAAGAGCCAATAGGATGTTCAGTTTCCATTCCTGCAGCTTGAGCTAACAATAACAAGTATTCATCACGTTCGTGTTTCGGTACATCCCAAATTTCAACTACTTCGCCATCCACACGTTGGAAAAAGTTATCCACCAAGTAGATATGATGTTTACAAATAAGTAATAAGCCTTCACGAGCATCTAGACCTTCGATTCGACTAACATTGTAAACATCCAACACCATATCTCCAGCATCCAACAATCGCAATACTTTTTGATTCTTGTCTTCTTCATAAGATAAATCATCTTCATTTTCTGTTTCCACTACTTTTGTTTCATCATTGTCATCTATATTAAAGGTGTCACGTTAGTATAATATGATATATAAGTCAATATCTTAAGTCTTACCGGCTGTCGCTGAAGGGGTATCATCATTACTATGCTTTTGTTCAATAGGATCACTGGTCAACTCTTCATCTACTTCAGATATCGTTTTTTTATTTGTCATTGCTATGAATAAAAACAAGTAAACACACAATACTGTTGAGTATATCGAGTATCATCGTCAAAAATATTACATCCTTTATATTTACCTTCATTTCCGCTTTTACTAAGTCTTTTTTCTGCAGAAGATGTTAAAGGAGAACGAGGAGTCGTCTAAAAGAAGAAAAAAAAAAAGGAAAAGGTTATCATATCAAATTATATATATATATATATAAAAGATCCATGTATTCGTGCACCTTCTTATCCAAGTAGTCTTACCTTTTCAGAGATAGTGGAAGGAGGAGAAGAAGAGGAATCGTGTTTTGGTAAATATAATGTTGCAGGACCGTCAGAGATACATCGAATCTTTTTCCGCATACGATGTCGACCTTCCGTAAAGTCAAGAGCCCATTTGGAATGCGTTGCCTTGGATGTTGAGTCTAGTTGCGGTCCCCAGATGGCTCGTTCCCTTGTCAAATCACTATTGATACGAGACCATTCGCTACAAATAAACTTTTCATGCCCATCATTATCTTGAAGTGCCTTGGTAAATCGACTTGTTTCCACTTCCTAATCATTACCATAAATATATGTTATATAAATTAAAAAGATAAATTCAGCAATCAGTTCACTTTTTCGTTTTCTCTTCCTTCTTGGATCTACCTGAATACTTCTGGACCAAACGGCAGTTTTTGTGGTATATTCTGCAAATATTTCAGCTTCATATATTTGACGTTTCTGCACCTTCTTGAGTTTGTTAACACGTCGAGCTTGATGATTTTTCCAAGTTTCACGACTATACTTATTTTCTTGAAGGATGACGCTTTCCCATGACTTGTGCACATGTTCTTTGAATAACAAGTTAAGATCAATCTTCCTTGAGTCCACCCAAACAAAAAAGGATTCTTGATCCTATATTATATTTAAAAAAAAAATGGAACAAAGTATGTGAGTCATCATTGATTGTAAAGGCATAAAAAAAACTTACCATTTCTAACATTTTCGAAAAACCTTGCAAAAGATCATCACCTAATAAGAGAATAACAAGAAGAAAAAAGGTGGTATAAGTATGTAATCATTGAACTCTCCTCTCCTTTTTTTTTTCTTTCTCCAATATCATATAAACCATAACACATATGGCTGATATGCACTAAATTACCTCCAGTATGAATCTTGAACACGTTTGCCACAGCATCAGGTTTCTGTAGCAATAGTAATTTCCAAACCTATAATTAATATGAAAAACAATAAAAAGTAAATTGGTAGTGAGCATTACTGCAGATATTGTTAATTAAAAGCGGAAGGGAAGACTTACATTGAGAGCATCATTACTGATAGTCTGATTGGAAGAAGAGAGGAATTGATAAAGATGATAGCAGAAACATCGTAAGAATTCTTGATCCGTATTTTTGGGACTGAGGATGATCTTTTGATGATGAATGCAGTAATTTAAGAAAGCACCAATTTGATCCGCCACCATGTCACCCTGCTCTAGATCAGAGATCTTGAGTAATACCATGCGATTGAATGCCCTATATAAAGTAGCCACCGTATCACTAAGGCCACGACGACCCATAATGCCAGTACCATCTAGTGAATGTAAAGTTTCCAAAATAGTCGCCAGGAGATCATATGTTTGTTCAGCACCATCGATAAACCGTCCTATTAAATAAAAACCCATATGAGAATAAATCTTTTTTTTTAAAAAAAAAAAAAAAAGAAAAAAAGGAAAGTTGTAAAGGATGAATCGAAAATTACCTTGAAGCACTGCATCAGCTGCAATTTGACAAAATTTGGCTACATTCATCAGAATCACATTGCTACCAAGTAATTTGGAATCAAATTGTAGCGTACTCTTGAGATTTTGGGATATATAAGTCAACAAATAGCTTTCAAATTTCATCTAAAAAAAAAAAAAAAAAAAAAAAAAAAAAAAAAGGAGAATAGAAAGAAAATGATAAATATTTCAAGTACTCAATTTTTTTTTTTTTCCAAAATCCAATAATCAACCATAAAGTACCTGAGCATCGAGACTACTTGGTGGGTATGACTAGAAAATGCCAGAAAACAGCACAAAAAGATAAAAAGGTAAATAAATGAAATAATCATATTTCAATGGCTATCTGTTTCATACATACATTCAAAACCATGTTTAACACTGTAAGATTCTTATCTACTGGATCAACAACAGAGGCGACACTGATATCCACTAGGAATTGAAGGAGGGCCTCTAGAGCAAGGTCAGCCAAAGGTGTAACCTCATTTGTTATTGAAGAGTGTTGACTCCAGCTAGCAGACCTACAAAAAAAAGTATGAATTTGGCATGGATCAAAAAGATCTACATGATTATTTCTTTTTTATACCTTAAACGAGTAAGCATAGCACCCGATTTTTTGTTGAGATGAGGAGATGTCTTTGTCATCAAAGTCAAAGTCCCACCACGTTTGATGATACTACCATCATCCATCATAGGACTCGATACGTTGCTGTTGTTGTTATGACCATCGTTGAAAATCATCATCTTTCCATCAATAGGACTATAAGTGGTTGCTGAACTGGGTGTTGCACAAAAATCATCAAAATGGGCAGATTCTTCCTTTGTCCGCAGTTCTTCTTCCACAGATAAAAGACCATCATCATTTCCACCAGCACCAGATTTGCCAAGAGTAGGGAACAACACTTCCACTATATCATCCACAATCTCCTGTCGATTGCATTCTTCTTTAAAATCACTTCTTCTTTTGTATAATTCATCCAAAAGGCATACAAGTTCATGCTGAATCTTTATAATTGTGATTGCTGTTGATCCTATGAATAAAAATCAGTCAATTAAATATATATATATACGTCTACCTATCAGATTTACCCCATCCAATTTTTTTTCTATTATTGTATTTACCTTCATTTTGGATTCTACTTCGTCGATATCGGCCACCTTCACGACAAAGAGCCATCAATATGGGTAAAACATGACCAGCAATAGGCTTAGAGGAAGAGGATTTTTCGACAATATGATCTTGAAGATGCTTGATATGGAATGAATCATAGAGAGGATATTCAGCAATGTCCAAACCCATCAATAGAATCACCAAAGTTTCATAGAGTTGTGTCAAATTCCAAAAATGGGGTAACAAGCGAGTCATAACAAGGAAGCCTTCTGATGCCACACCAAATTTATTCATATAAGAAGGACCTTCAACATGAAGAATACGCACCAAGATGCGAGAAGCAAGCACAACCGTATAAGGATCCGTTTCATGAGCGAAAAATAATAATGGCCATTTGTTGGTGATTGTGAGTGAGAATTTGTGCACATAATCTTGATTTCCTGGTAGACAAAGGATGTCATGAAGCATTTCCATGACAATATTACACATATGGATAGATTTGGTTGACATAGTAGACGTTTGGCTGTATGTTTTGGAATCCATGATAATATCCATAATGGGTGCTTCATCTGTTGATCGGCCAGTAGATATAGAAAGACTATTTGCGCGAGGAAGTCGAGAGCGTTTGACAGTTGGTGCAGCTTTGATCTTGTTTGCGCCTATATATATATGTATATATAAAAATGAATTATATCAAACAAAATCGATCACATTGTTGGAAATAGTGTTGTTATTTACATACCATTGGGAGCTGTAGATGCCAAAAATGTAGCAATTGCACGAATGCTTTCAGTTGTCCAACTACTAAGTACCACAGCCTTGAGAGCTTTCACAACATTGGGAATCAGTTCCTTTGCATAAATATTCATTCGGAACGCCAGTAGCATTTTCTTTACAAGATCTAAAAGACATAAACAATAAAAGGCGGAATTAATAATAATGTCATCATCAAAACAAAAAAAGAAAAAAAAATTAAAAAAAAAGAGAGAGAGAGAATAATAGACTTACGAACTTTCAAAAGACGTTTCAAATTGAATGTATGTTTGTTGCTAGTTTCCATAAAGAGAATGAATTGATCGAGATGAGCCTTTTGGACAGGGATACTTGTTTTTTTCCAAATTTCAAAGTTGAGTATCACTGATCTATAAGCATATGGATTACTGATCACAGATTCCCTTTAACAAAAAAAAAAAAAAAAAAAAAAAAAAAAAAAAAAAAAGATATCAGTGCCGTTTCATCAAAACATTTCTCCCAAGAACACTTACTCGGGCAATGAGCTATTCTTTCCAACAAAATGTAACAAGAGTTCAAAAAGATCAACGGTGATTAGATCACGTTTCTGTTTCAAGATACTAGCAAGGATTTCATAACCATGACAACGTTCCATATCATCCGAGTTTCTCCAAGAATATCGAATCATTTCAATAAGAAGTTCAATGGATTTGATCAGCATGAGAGATGACTAATAATAATAATAATAAAGGCGGTCAAATATCATATCAATTTTTTTAATTTTCGTCCTTCATCTTCCATTCTTACCTCTGAACGTTGTACCAAATTCAAACCAAGAGCACATCCACCCACTTTCCAAACAGATTCATCCAGACCAAAAGGATAAGCTATACCAGGATTTCCATGTAGAGTACCCATTGAATTTGTTGCATAAATGGCTTGTTCAATCTTGGGAATAGCTGAGTTCAACAACATGTATCTAATATCAGCATCTGTTTCAATCCGATCCAAGCATTCTTCACTTAATCCAGTCAATGTAAGTCCAGTTTGTGCACCATAGGCAAGGGTATTTCCTGCAATTAATGCAAGTAGGATCTTGTTCTCCGGTAACATAGTCGTTGTCCCTCCACGCATTACATTGGCTAGTACACTTTTATTCATTTCACGTCGTTTGGTAATACCACGAAGATTCAAAAATAACGCAGTGGATGCTTCGTAAGTTTGGAACTGACGTAGAGAATCCTGATAGAGTGATTTGTATCGAGCACCAAGGTGGAAGTAGAGATTCAGTGCATCGCCATCTAGAGTATCAGCCAAAATATATGTTGGTCCAAGATCCCAGATAAGTTGTTGTTGCGTGTTGTAATGGCCGTTCTTACAAGTATTTTTATTTTCGATATGATTGCTGACACCGCCAATGACTACCTTTCCATTTCCTTGAGGACCGCCTGGTGATACGTAGGTACATCGAGCTTGTTCCATCCATACTCCATTCACAAATAAAGTCACAGTACTAAGACTAGCTCCCAATCTTGATTTGTGATGTACCAGTCCAATATGGTACCAAAAACCAGGTTTAAATTCAAATGACTCAAATCGACAGTCCACCTTGTTTGTACCAGAATGAATGTGAAGATTGCGAGTACTTGCATCAAGATACACATGGAAAAACAGATGTTGTTGATCATCCCATAATGTCCATATAGTCATATTGGCATCATTATTCCATCGTTCAATATGTATCCAAAGCATTATCGTATATCCAGGAGCAGAAGGTGGGAAATTTGGTAAAGCTGAAAACTCCAAAGAAGCTGTCCGTCTTGATGATGTTGATCCAGAGACATCGAATTGAATAAAATTAGGCCATCGACTTCGGTTCATTCCATGAAGAATCAAGTCCACTAGTCCATCAATAGCAGGGTCCTCTAAATCAGTTAGATAACCATCTGTACCAAAACATTGAAATAGATAACGTAATTCCTTATCACCAATACCCATAGCCATCAGTTTCTTGATAATTTGTAAAAGTAAATTTGTTGTTTTTTCAGTTTCCACATTCTTGATTTGACATAGAGATAAAGGATGCTTTTCTGTGGGTCCTCTTGGATAGACACGTTGCAAAGCTAAAAGGACGAGTCCACTCCGATTCAATTTGATTTGATTCTGTCTGTTACCTCTTATCAAAGAATAAAGAGCAACTAGAACTGCATTCGCTAATTCTTGATCCCAGGTCACGGATTGCTGTAGCTGAAGAATGGTGAGCGCCACATCTGGATTATGAATATCCACCAAGGCATCGTTCAATGTATAATCAATATGTTGTAAAAGTGTTGAATGATCCAGAGTACCAGCATCGACTAATACATTGGCATGTTGTCCAGTAAACAATCCACACATTGTTTCATCTTGAACCATAACTGAGAATAGCATACCAAATAATGGGGCGGCAAGTCCATCAGAAGTAAGGGCACCAGTCAAGCGTAAAGCATTTTGTAAAGTGTCATAGCCAACTTCCTTTGAAAAATATTGTCGATTCACATCATTATCGCGCATGGATTCCATCAAGACAAAGAGAATCATTTCCAACACCTGAGAGAGAGTTTGTTTCAATTTATGATGATCTAAAGGTTGATGCGGTTGATCTGATAGTTTAATAAAATCTGATCCATCGGTAAAAGCATTTTCTAGAGCCACAATCATAGAGACTAGACCAACATAACCACCTGAAAGCCGAAACACATCACGAGTTGAAGGATACATAGTAAAGATTCGTTTGATAGTTTTCAATATTTCCAATCGGAAGGCCAAATCTGTGCGAGGGATATCTTGTACAGCTTCTATGACACGGCTGAATGCGTAAGAGACATCGTTCGATTGGTTTGATTCATCTCCAGACTGAATTGATAATAGACCAGTATCATGGCTGGACAAAGCTTCAAATAATTCCAGGGCACCCATCCGAGTTTGCTCGTAATGTAATAGATCGAACACATTTCCATTGTACCTATGAACGATTGTAGTTATAAAAAAAAAAAAGGAACGATATAAATATTGTTATATTAAGATGATCCCTTATTCTGTGTCTACTTACAATTTCCTAAAGATAGTCATGTTTGTTGAATCCTTTGTCATCTCCACAACACATTTCACGACAGCATCAAAATCATCAAGAATACATTGAACAAAGGAGGAGCTATCATTGTTATCACCATTGCCATTTGATTCACCGAGGGAGGTCCTTTGGTTCAAATATTCGTTGACCTTTGATAGTAGTAAGCTCATCATGTTGATCAATCCAGATTCACGAGCCACACTTAATAATTTTGATGATTTTTTTAATTGTAAAGTAAGTCGACGGCAGATAAGTCCAACCAATTTTCCACCAGAGTTTGTACCTATACATAAAACGAGATAATAATGCGTATGAATAAATAATCATCATTGTACTAAGAATAAATAAAAAAAAAATAAAGACGTACTTTGAAGATGTAAAGATAATACAGCTAGTTCCTTCAATGGTACAAAATTGAGATCCACCATGACATAATCAAGTAAGTCCATAATGCCGTTCTATCAAGAAATATATTATAATGCAGTGTGAGGTTTTTGTCCTATATGGTTTAGTTCTTTTGTATATATTCCTTTTACCTGTACATCTGATTGATAATTTTCCATCATTTCAATAAGGAGAGGTAGAACGTTGGTTCTTTCCACCAAGAAAAAATTGACTTGATTTTTCTGTATCACTTGTTGAATACCATGAAAGAGAGCGGTTTGTAAATTTGGCGGTAATGGTTTGTTGCTTGATATCGTTGATTGAGATTGATATGGATATAAAAGAGCTGATTGAAGTATTTGAAGTGCTGGTAAATTTTGGACAATCCTTCCTTTGGATCGATCTGTTTTTGGAAACACAAAATCTAAAAAAAAAAGAAAAAAAAAAGTCAATTCGAAGGAAGAGAATAATATATATATATATATATATATATATACCATCATGCTGATAAGGAAGACCATCAGTAATAGTAGGTGAAGCCACGCCTTTTCCGATAAATGTTAATTCCACTATTTCAGAGACCAATTGTAACTAATTAAAGTAGTTAATATAATATAAATATGAAATATGGATTATTATTGCTATTATTATTTTCTTTCAACAACCATACCTTGTAGTTTAATAGTTCTTCATCGAAAGGAGGAGTAACTAAAAAGGAAATCAATACTTTGTTGGCATCTACTTGTTGTAATTCATCATATAACCCAGTATCACCAATTTCAACAGATAACTAAGTATGGAGATAGATATAGATATAAATGAGTCCCTTTTTCATATTGATTAGCAACGATAATGAATCAAAAAATGATTTACCTTGAGTAGGAATAGGATTAGATCTAAATCCAAGTTGACATCCAAATATTCTCGAGCAGAAAGTCTAGGTCTTTTCAATGCATCTTTCCAAACTTGTACCAACATTTCCACATAACGTCTTGAGTGCATATATTGAATGACTTCAGAATCAGGATTGATCATTTTTAATATCGCGATAGTTCTATTTTTGAAAATAAATAAAAAAAATGTCATGTTATTTGATTGATATCTTTTCTATGTCATATTCTTCACTTACTTGTGCTTCCATATCATATATGCAGGTTCCTTTTGATTATTTTGCCAAGTACTAGTATCCCATTCGACCGGTTTTGTAGATACCAAACGCATAATAGTGAAAAAGGTATCATCCACAATGAGACGACGAAGAATAGATGCATTTCGTACAAGTTGTTCCAAAATTCCAGCTACCACTGACCCAGCATCGTCCAGCGATACCATTTCTTTATTGTTATCGTTTTCATCATCTTTTTCTATTGTATTCGTAACAGGTTCATCATTGGTATTGTTGTCGTCATAGTAAGTAGGTGATAAATCAATGAATGATCTAAAAACTTTGGTGATCACTGAAGGTATGCGTTGTTGTTGCATCATGTTGAGGAATACTACCTAAAATATTGTAAATAAAAAAAAACAATGTAAGTGATCAATATTGTTTTTTTAAAGAAAAACTACTTACAGGACCACGTGAGATAATATACATAGCTTTGATAACATAATAAAGATGCCATTTGGATCGTAGGCTATTCATCAATGCTAAATAAGGAAATGGATTAATTATACTATGAAAAATAATGTTTTTTTCTTCTTTCTTTTATGCTTCAGTTTTATAACTGTCATACCTTGACTTGACTCCGCCTTTGTCTTTTGTTCCGGAACTTTTCGAATACCTGCCAAGAGATGTCGTGATAGCATTCCCATGAAGGCACGTTCGTTAGTGAGAGCAGGAAACGCCAGGATCTCTTTGTCTTGACCATAAAGATCACAAAATTTGGGTAAGAATGTAAATAAAAATAAATCGGATCGTTCCTAAATACATAAATGTATAAAAAAAAATGAATATGAAATCATTGTTTCTTCTTTTATTATTATTATATATTACCTGTTCAGTTGATAAAAGGTCTTCACATTGACGCCAAATATCTTGTAAATGTATTTCAATTTGTTTACGTCTAAATATAAGAAAATAATAAATAAGTAAAGAAAGAAATATTCGCGTTTTTACTTTGAATTATGGTTAGTTATTTACCTCTTTAACTCTTCTTGTGAGTATTCCGAGGAATAGTCATCATCTTGTTCTGTTTTTCCAGTTGTATTAATTCGATCCACCCATGATCGCCACATTGCTTCATATACGATTCAAGTGGAAATATTGATAGATAAAAAAAAGAGAAAGATATACGAATCAAAAAGAAAGAAAGAAAAGAAAAGAAAAAGTAAAGAAAAAGAAAAGAAAAAAAAAAAGAGAGAGAATTTGAAGTAGGGACAAAAGAAACTGTGGGCAATGCCATCTGGCGTAACTCCGATTTCTCACTCAAACAGCTCTACACATTTCATTCGTTTTATTACTTTTTTTTTTTCTTTAACTTTGTTATTATTATTATTATGAATGACCAATTGGAAGATACAGCTTTCGATGTCATAGTCATTGGAACTGGTCTTGTGGAATCAATAGTAGCTGGGTAAGAACCTAAAAAGTATTGACAATAACAAAAATTGACTTCTTTTATTATTATTATTATTATTATTATTATTAAAAGGTCACTTGCTCGAAGTGGCAAAAAGGTACTCCATCTTGATAGTAATAAACAATATGGATCAAACTGGGGTGTATTCAATATCAAGAACTTGCTCGATTGGGAACAACAACTGAAAACAGATACCACTGACAAAGACAAAGGTGAACTTATAAAACATTGATTGGTCAGCTTGTTACGACATCCACTAATTTTATTATTTTTTTTTTAATTCATCTTTATTGTTCTTTTAGATCACAAAAAGAACTACATTGATTATTATACATCCTACGCTAATAACTTTAAGGATGTAGAACTTTTATTCGGCAAGCAAGTAGTGGAAGTGGACGAGGAACTCGAAAAACCATTAGCCGTGCTAGACCTATCAACAAAGGAACATCCTCTTGACGGTGATGCTACTCTGGAGGCTATCAAGAAAGCTCTGACAGCTCTTCTTATTATCCCAGACACTATTTCATCAACTGACATTCAAACTTATATCCAACCAATGACCAACAATTACGCTTCAATCTTACTTAACGATGAAAACAACGCCAAAACTGGACGCTACGAACTGCAAGACGTCATCTTTAAGTTGAAGACACTTATCGACTTTCTTGTTCTCTCTCGTCATTACAATCTGGATACGGTACCTAAAATCTTACCTTCTCGTGGTGATTTGGTAGAAATCTTGATACGAAGCGGTGTGGGCCGCTATATGGAATTCAAGAGTGTAGATGATATGTTTATCTTTGATCATACGAAGCGGCGTATGGAGAAGGTAAATTAAAAGAAATGATTAATTGGAGTGTATATATATGCCTTTCTCTCTTTGTGTGTATACGTGTCTGTGCGTGTGATGTGTGGAAATTGATCTCTTCTTTTTTTTTTTTTTGATCGTAACTTAGGTTCCAGGATCAAAAGAAGATGTGTTTGTCAATAAGTCTATTAGTTTACCTGACAAACGAAAACTTATGAAGTTTTTGAAATACGCAATGGATGATGATAGAGATTTGGAGCTATTGAAAGGTAGTGGTTTAAAATTAGTGATTGCATGGGAGATATATATAATAGAACGGTCTCATTCATTCTTTTTTTGATTTGTTTAGATTATGAAACGATGACATACGCCGAATTTCTACAAGATAGATTCAAGATCACTGGGAACTTACAGAATGCTGTTGTCCATGCCATTTCATTGTCAAGATCAGATGGTACATCAAACCGGAATTAAATCACTGAATTATTATTGAAAATATGTTTACTTACCAATCAATTTATTACGAATGATAGTCAATGCAAAGCAAGGATTTGAACGAACACAGGCGTTTATGAAATCCATCGGCCGTTTCGGAAAAGGTGCTTATTTATGTACATTATATGGCGGTGGTAGCGAAATTTCTCAAGCATTCTGCCGGTATGATTTTTTTTTTTTAAAAAAAAAAAAAAAAAAAAAAAAAAAAAAAAAGTTTCATCATAGTATTAATTCCTATTTTTTTTTATTTTTATCGATTCAATGATAGTATTTGCGCTGTTTATGGTGGTGTTTACATTTTAGGTCAGTCTCTTGAACGGTATGATATAGATGAACAAACTGGAGAATGTACAGGTGTTGTTACAAAGGATGGACAAATTTTCACTGCTCCACATATCATCACTGGATTGGACTATCTTTCACCTGATTGGAGAGCATCAAGCACTACCGACAAATCGTAAGAAAAAGAAAAAAAATATAATATTTATTTATCAATTGTCTTTTTTTTTTTTTTATGCTTAGATCTTGGGTATCAAGAGCAATGATAATCACAAACAGGTCACCAGCTCAATTCTCAAAAGAAGACAGTAGTAATCAATCACTTGGTGCCAGTGTGATCCCTCCTAATGATTGTTTGGGAAACAAGAATGAGTTAGTATATATATTGAATCAAAGCTCAGAAACTATGGCTTGTCCTAAAGACCAATGTAAGTAGAAATGAAATCAAAGCTTTCATCATTCCACTCCTTTCTTATAAATGCATTTTTTTTTTTTTTTTTTTTTGTAGTTGTAACCTATTTGTGGACATTGGAGGATTCAAATGGACAACAAGTATTGAAACAGGCGGCTCAGCTATTACTGGAAAGGGAATCAGAAAATAATGATATGGATCACGGTAAATGAATAACTTAAATGGATAAACGAATCATTGCCAGATGTATTATATATATTAATGATATTATTACCTTTTTTACCTTCCAATCTCTTTTATTAATGTTATTGTTATTATATACTATTAGAATCAACGCATGTATTACTTGAATTACATTACAAACAACGTATCAGATCATCGCAGACGATTCAAGAAGAATGGAATATACCCAAAAATGTGTACATTTGCAGTGATCCGGATGCTTCCATTGACTTTGAAGAAGCAACCAAGGAAGCAAAGACTATCTTTTACAAGTGTGTACCAGAAGAAACAGAATTCATGCCCCCTGCAGAAGAAGTAGAAGGTGATGATTATTAGATTTTTGATTAGCTTTTGTATAGGTAGAAAAAAAAGAGTATTATCAATAAAATGGATTATTTTTGTATGGTCGTAATGGTTATATTATTGTTTGATTTCTCTTTCTCTTTCCTTAATCATCATTTCTTGTCATCATTGGCTTTTGTTCATTTCTACTATTGTGTTTTCAATAGCCATCCTTTCAGCATCATCTACAGTATAAACCAAAGACAGTTCGTTGTCAATCAACGCGTTCAAGATATGTAAAAACAAACAGAAACCATTTTATATGATACAGTGTGATACTTGTAATTTTGAATAATATACCAAGGTTTCATATTCATGTAAAATAAAATAATGAGAATTTTATTGGTATTAAACCATAAAAAAAAAAATACACGAAAGGGTGTATTGGAATCAAATGCTAGGAGGTGATGGCGTAAAAAAAGAAATAATAACAATAATAATAAATAAAAAGAAGAAGCGAGAGGGGATAACATAAACGGAAACTATTTAGTTGATAAGGAAAAACATATAAACTAATTGTAAGGCAGCGATCATCAATAAGAACCACATTCGTCGTTTTCTTTGAGGATTCAATGTGGAAGGACCAGCAGAAGCATCAGGTAATATCACATAACGCATGGATCGAAGCTATCAAGAGAAAAAAAAAAGATATATAAATCATCCTACCGTTCTTTTTTTTTTTTTTTCAACAACTTACCAAAAAGAAACCAACACTGAGCCCAGTATAGAAAAACACAGCCCAAGAAATCCATCCAGAACCACTTAGTAATTTGACTACATCTGTCACAATAATTGCCACAAATTTATATCCATAGTAAGCCACCAAATCCATAATCGAAGCTTCAAAAGGTATATTCATAAAGTAGCAACCCAATCTGGTAAACATGATTTCAAAAAAGACAATAGCCACAGAAGTCGACCCGGCAACATATAACTTTTCAGGATGGAATCTAAAATAATAATAATAATGTGACATTAGTCTCCCAAATCAAGCACACCTATTCACCTTCGTTGTATACATGTTTTTTTTTAAAAAGTAACTTACGATCCTTGTCGGCCAGCTACAAGACCACACATCAAAACATAGGTCACCACGGCCATTACTATGAGAACAGATTAGTCAATATAGATATAGAGAATCATTTTGCTTATCCATCATCCGTTCCAGTCCCACCTCTTTTTTTTTTTTTTCTTACCTGGGATATATAGATCAGGAGAATTGATATCGTCTCTAGGTGGTCTAAATCCATCCATTTGTCCAGTTTCGGTTCGCTTTATTGATCGAGTCCAAGACTGAAAAATAGAAAGAAAAAAAAAAAAGGTAAAGGAATTAGAGAGTGAGTAATATAAATATATATAAAATTAAAGAAGTTTACCGAGTGACGCCAAGGGAAAATAAGTAGTTTGAGTTTATTGACAACGTAAAGATTGTTCACATTGAAATAATGCCTTAAAGCTGGCATATTGACCCAACGATTGAACTAAACAATATAAATAATATAAAAAAGAACAATGGGTAAGTTTGATGATATTTTTTTTTTCAATCAAACAGATTTGCACATTTGTATATTAATCCTTACGTTTCGTTCCATATATGCAGTTCCTTGAGCCATAGCATTACCAGCAAAATGCATACCCATCTGAGCAGCGGGATCATTCAAATTAAATTGAGAATAAAAGGCATCGGTTGTTTGTCCAGGAGCATAGTGATGAGGCTGATATCCCTGTTGTGGTTGAGGTTGTTGAGTTGATTGTTGAGGTAAGTATTGTTGATAGTGTTGTTGTTGTTGTTGTTGTTGTTGACCAAGACCAGGAGAAGGTGTATGATGAACGGTACTATTGAAGTTTGGAATAGGATGCTGAGGAACAGGATGTTGAAGAGGAGGCGGTGACTTGGAAGTCATTGGATGAGAACCATATTGCTTGTTGTCTTCATAATATTGATAATGTTGGTTATTACCCGAAGGTTGATACATGTTTATAAAACAGATGATCTATCTATATAATATATATTAATACAAAGAAAGTAAAGAACAAAAGAAAAAAAAAAAAAAAAAAAAAAAAAAGGAAAAAAAAAAGAAGGAGACGTGTCGAATTGTTAACCCAGTGAGCTATAAACAAAAAATGAATCATCTGAGATTGAATCCAAATAAGTGCTCGAAATGTTTATTGAAAATAATGTTAAATAAGCTAAACTATGAAGGTCCTAACATTTTGGATGGATCAACCCATTCATCGAATTGTGCTTCAGTCAAATACCCTAATTCCATAGATGCTGTCTTTAGAGTTGTTCCTTCAGCATGAGCTTTCTTTGCACATTTTGCGCTTTTGTCGTAGCCAATATGACTATTGAGTGCTGTCACCAGCATGAGTGATTCCTTCATAAGATTACCAATACGTTCCTTGTTTGCCTTGATATCAACTACACAATTCTTAGTAAATGTTTTACATACATCTGATAAGATTTGAACTGATTGAAGATAATTTTTGATGATCACAGGTTTGAAGACATTGAGCTAATCGAAAAAAAAATATAAATATATATATTTAATGACTTTATATTAAAACATTTCTTCATTTCTTACTTCAAATTGACCATTGGATCCAGCAATTGAAACAGTAGTATTGTTTCCCATGACTTGAGTACACACCATTGTGACAGCTTCACACATCGTTGGGTTGACTTTTCTATATGATTATTGAAATCAAGATAAGTATTTCATATATTCATACTTTTTTTTTTATTTCATTTTCTTAATTACCCAGGCATAATGGATGATCCAGGTTCAGTAGGTTTCAATTCCAATTCAGAATATCCACATCGAGGACCAGAGCCAAGATAACGAATATCATTAGCAATTTTCATAAGGGATACAGCGATGACATTCAATGCACCATGAGCTTCCACCAGAGCATCATTACAAGCAAGTGCTTCAAACTAATATAATAAAGACCTTAGAACAAAATGGGTATAGCTTTTTTTTGTGTTACCTTATTGATGGCGGTCTTGAATGAATATCCTGTCAGTTCCGAGACCTTGTTGGCAAACTTGACATCAAATCCTTTTCTTGTATTCAAACCAGTTCCAACAGCAGTTCCACCTTGAGCAAGATAGGATAAACGTTCAAGAGTACCTTCCACACGTTGAATACCAAAAGTTACTTGTTGAGCATAACCAGAGAATTCTTGACCAAGAGTTAAAGGAGTAGCATCTTGCAAATGAGTACGACCGATCTTGATGATGGATTCAAATTCTTTAGCCTTTGCGTCCAGAGCATCTCTTAAAGTATGAAGTGCAGGAAGTAATTTTGAATTGACTTGGATGATGGCAGCAATATGCATTGCAGTCGGAAATCTATTGCCCAAAAAAAAAAAAAAAAAAAAGTCAATAGTTAATGCACTCCAACTAGTTCCGTTCCTTCCCGCGTTTTTCCTTTTTTTTTGTTTTTCAAACGTACGAATCGTTGGAAGATTGACTCATGTTGACATGATCATTAGGATGCACAGGGTTTTTGCTTCCCAACTTCCCACCAAGAATCTCAATGGCGCGATTGGATAAGACTTCATTGATGTTCATACTATTCAAAAAAAAGAGATTTAAAAAAGACGCGTATAAAAATAAATAAGTATAGGATATTACTTACTGAGATTGGGTTCCACTTCCAGTTTGAAAAGTACACAAAGGGAAATGTCTATCCAGTTTACCAGAAATGACCTAAAAATCCAAAGAGAAGTCAACATGATAACTTGTCTTTATTAAATTGATCCGTTGTTACCTCGTCAGCAGCTTGGACAATGGCGTCAGAGATTTGTTTATTCAAACCAAATTCCACATTAACAATGGCAGCCGCTTTTTTTTGAAAAGCAAAAGCTTTCATAAGATCAAGAGGCATACGTTCAGGCACGCCACCAATTTCAAAGTTTTCTAAAGATCTAAAAGAGAAGAATAAGAAATAATGCATAAGACATACGAAGAGGAACTTACCGTTGTGTTTGGGCACCCCAATAGACATCGGCAGGAACTTTGATTTCACCGAAGGTGTCACTTTCAATACGGAAGGAATCACTCATTGTTATTAAAAAAAAAAAAAAAAAAAAAAAAAAAAAAAAAAGAAAAGAAAAGAAGAGTAAAATAAATAAATAAATAAAAATCGGCCCAGAAATAGCGGCCGCCTCCCGCAAAATAAGGTTTGCCGAATCCGGTATCCAGTATGCGTTAAAGAGAACATATTGATCATATTGATTCCCACACACTCAATGTAATTTTCACGTTCATTTTTACTTTTTTATTAATGGCATTCAAAAAAAAAAAAAATCAACTAACTAATCCACCAGTTTCTTGTTCTTGATATGCCAATCCTCCAAAGATAAATCCGGATAATTGTCAAAAGTATGTTTAGCACCCTTTGGAATCACAACCCAATTAGCCTTATCCTTGGTGAGAATGTAATACACATTTGTTATAGGGTCCACTTCTGGTAAAGGAGTATCAATACATGATGCCACTGGATAAACATAATCTGCATATTTCCTATCATATGCATACAAATGAGTTCCACATTCACCACAAAAGTGTCGTATATTGCCACTATGTAATAAACAGTAAAAATAGATGAGATTATTGCTCTCTTAACTTTGTTGTTTTTACCATAATTCTTTCGTTTCCTTGTCACGCATTGCTTGATATTTACTGTAATATATATATAAAAGTCAAATGGATGAAGATAGTATATAATATATAAATTTTCATCTTTATTACCGAAGATATTCTTCACCCTGCACTTTGAGCGTCTTATACTATGTCCATATATTAAAACCAATTGAGTTGTTAATAAAACTAAAGTTTCTTTCCTTCATACCCAATGTCACTTACAAGACCCATGATATTGATACAATATCCACCACCGCCATTCGTCTTGCGACAAATAGTACTAATATATAATATATATATAGAAAACAGTTGGAATTGAGTATAAGTTCTCGACCAGAAAAAAAAAGTTTGTCAGTTCTTACCAATGACAACGCATAAACTAACGTCAGCGAGAATTTAAAAAAAAAAAAATTAAATTTGTTGATAGGTTATATACAACTACGTTAGTCATACTTACTGGAGCCGGTGTATGAGACTTTACAGTAAAGCGAACTTTTTCGCAATGACAAGACCCTTTCAATTCCATAGTTTTATAAGTGAAGAATGAAGACGAGAAGAAGAAAAAGAATTTAGAAGGAAAGAAAAGAAATCTCCAGGGTTTTTATATTTTATATGCAGAAACTTTTTTTTTCACCACGACACGAAAAAAGTCAGGGAACAAGTAGCCAATCATATTCTAGGCTTTAATTGAAAACGATGAAGAAGGAAATTGACTGGAAAGGTAGGGAAAAAAAAAAAAAAAAAAAAAAAAAAAAAAAAAAAAAAAAACGATGAAATTATATACCTTTTATAAACGGAAGTGATTTTTTAGTGTCAGTAACCAATAGTGTATTAGTCTATCATACAACAAAAAGCAAGGCATATTCTTGTATTTAAGATTTACTACATCTCTTTTTTTTTGGCAGTATTGATGATGAATGATCTGTTGATTGAGTGATGATGATTATATGATGATGATGTTGATGATGATGATTATATGATGACGATGATGATGATTATATGATGACGATGATGATGATGGTGATGATGATGCATGAGGGTAGAGGATGGCCCTTGTTACCAAAAGTGGATAAAGAAACAACACCAGGTGATACTCACATATAATTGAATAAGGAAAAATGAAGACAAAAGATAGATAAAAAAAAAAATAATGTTTATTCAAATAACAACAATAATAATTCTATAGAAAAGAAACCAATATATATGTACAAAAAAAATATATATAGAATAATAAAGAGGTACCGTCTAATCTAGATATCAGTTGTACTAACCTTGAGTTTTTCCTTGTAATGCGTTTCAGAGCAATTCCTCAGACGTTGAGCAGCTTGTTCAGGTGTTAGATCACGCTGTGGTTCACCAAGCATTTCAAAACTAAAAAAAAAAAAAAAAAAAAAAAAAAAAAAAAAAAAAAGAGGGCAATCAGTATGACGATATAAAAACCTACTATTTTGATTTGTACTGTATTCACTTACCCAACCAAGAATTTCCTAACTGTTGCACTTCGAAGAAGAGGAGGATAAAAGTGCAGATGCAAATGGGAAGCTTTCTGTTCTTGAGGATTGATAGATTGTGTAGGAGCTTGATGAACACCCATAGAATAAGGAAAACTACATTCAAAGAGATTGTCATAACGGCAAGCAATACGACGAAGTATGTCGGCTAAATCATCTTGTTCTTGTTTTGAATCAGCCAAATCCAATAGATCAGTACAATGACGTTTGGAGAGTACCATGACTTCAAAAGGCCACACCGCCCAAAAAGGAACCAAACACACAAACGAATCATTTTCCATCACCACTCTCTTTTCAGGTTGAGCCAGTTCCCGTTTGACATAGTCACACAATAGACATCTTCCATGTTTGTTTTGATATTCATCGAAAGCCACGAGTTCTTGCTGAGGTTCTTGAGGTACCCTTTCAGTACACCACATTTGTCCATGAGGATGAGGATTGGAACAACCCATAGCTGCACCTTTATTTTCAAAGATTTGTACATATCGTATCCAAGGTCGTTCCTGCTTGATATATTTGTAACTATCTGTCCATTGTTGCACTACCAGCGCCACTTCATCTACCGTCATTTCTGCCATGGTCAAATCGTGACGTGGTGAAAAACAGATAACATGACATTCTCCACGAACACCTTCCACACAAAATAAATCATCTTGTCCATCATCCATATCGCTGTTGTTGTTGTTACGGTTGGTAATACCATTCATCTTTGGTTGAGGATAGTCGGGTTGATCTGACTTGACTGCCGCATAATCATTAGGAAAAACAAAGGTGGAGGTATACTTTGGATTATGTTCACCATTAGCACGCTTATTTCCAGGACACAAATAGCAAGTGGCATCATAAATAGGTCGTTGTTCCAATTGGGGTCCTTCTTGTTGTCCTTGCCAAGGTCGTTGAGTTCGATGAGGAGAACATAATACCCATGTTTTAGTCAAAGGATTGAATCGTCTATGAGAATCATTATTAAAATCAAACGAACTCATGGTCAAAATAGTAAATATATTCAAAGAGGAAAAAAAAAAAAAAAAAAAAAAGAAACAAACAAAGAAAGTAAAGAATTGAATTGACTTTAATAGGGCAAAAAAAAAAAGAGCATCGGTATTACAAACTTTCTGTCCCTCGGAACAACCTGCTTATATAACTCGAGCTCCGCGTAAGGGATAGTACTTTGACACAAAAGTTTTTATTTTTTTTATTAATGAAGAAGAAAAGGAGGGAATAAAGAAAATAAACAAAAACTAGACTTTTGTATTCTATTGATAATAACAACTATTTTCTAATAAAATCCATCAAATCTATAAAAAAAAAAAACAGAAATGTTAAATATAATCTTAAATGCCAAATACTCGGAATCATTTTATTTTCTTCTTTTTCTTCTTTTTCCCAACAATTACCGTGCCAATCCATTCCACTAGAAGTACCCCAAAGAGAAACAGGTGACTGTCCATCAGGATGATTACTTGACGAATCATCTTTTGCTGTATTTTGATCTTCTTCAATCATTCGGCTAATAGCATCAAGGAAGGATATCAGTGGTGTCTAAATGTATTATATAATAAATATTCAGCTCATTAGCCTATTTTTTTTTTCTATATTAACTTTGTTTTTTTTTTTTTTTTTTTTTTTTTTTTTTTTTTTTTTTTTACCTCTATAAATTGATCTTCCAGTTTACGATAGTGTTGTTTGAATGATTCTGCTTGTCGTTTGGCTTCAGTAACTAATTTTGCGTCTTTATTCTTATGATTCAAGAAAATAAACATTAAAGCTTGAGATAGACCACAGCTTGATAAAGACCAACCAATATACATAAGTGAAGGAAACTTGATCACCTGGAATATATCTAGTGCAATGACCACAGCATCCAAACATTCTTGAGGAACAACCACTGTTGATGTTGTAGAAACTGTTATTGATGATGATGAATGTTCCGGTCCCAAAAATATACGAGGACGTTTCGCTAAGAGCTGAACAGCTATGTATAAGATCTGTAATTGTCCAGCTATATAATATATATAAGAAGAATTTTGAGATACCGCCCAATGATCACCCCTGTTTTTTGATTATCTAATATACTTACCACCATGATTTAATTTTGCTTCAAGTTCCGTAGATAATTGCCGCCGATGTATGGATTCCAATTCATCTTCAGAAAGCCATATTGACTCAGGTAAACTTTCTTTCCATTCAATTAATGCTTGATCGAGACGTTTTGATATCCTTTCTAATCCTAACCCTTGATCACCTAAAGTTCGCGCACGGGGTGAACATATAGCACGAAGAACATCGCCAAGAATACGAGAGAGTTTGATGATGGCCACAAAGGTTACATACTTGTCATTTTCACCAAGAGCAGGATATTCCAAATCACAATCAGCATCATTCACCGTTAATGGTCTAACAAAAAAAAAAAAAAAAAAAAAAAAGATAAGACACAAAATATTGTCATTTTTTAGATAATCATTATTACCTTCCTAAAGATGCACAAACCCATCGATCCACAATATACGCTGACCACCATAATCGTTTTCTAGCTTCAACAAATTTTGGGGGTAAAGTCCATTGAGCATTTGAACGATGTAATCCAAGATCTTGAGCCATTTTCACAGCAATACTAGTAGCTAACCAATCAGTACTCTTTGGACTCCAATGATCTGCATTGGCAGAATTAAGTAATAAGAATTGAATACTTTCCACATGAGGTTCCATAAAATCCAATTCACAATTCGTTTCCAATTGATGACATAAATCATGAAACATAGCAGCTCGATCAATATTGTATTCTTGAGCAACACTATCGTCCACAGGTAGCATGCGAATTGTCACATGGCAGATGGTCAATAATAACGGTTTCGAGACATTGTCGTAATCCTGTTGGTATTTCTCCATGAATTCCTCTTCATCCACAATAGGTAAGTAAGTATTCATATTTGTAAAATATCTAATAAAATAAAATAAAATAAAATAAATTAGATTTTATATTCCTCTTTTATCATATCCATGACTTACAGTTGTACCAATCTATCCACCACGGGTTTTGGAGGTAATTTCCATCTTGAAGAAGTTTTCGCGAATTGAGTACTAGTACCACCAGGACCCATAGTGAGCTGAGAGGATTTGGGAGCAAATCGAGCAACCATCACATCATCTTCATTTCCACGTACTACAGATTGAGGGTTATGGGTTTCTTCCGAGCATTCTTTGGAATTCGAAGGAAAAAGTCGATTCAGCATATAGACTCCAGAAGAGCTTCCTAGATAGGCATATTTTCCTTCCTTTGCATTTTTTAGTAATTCCTTCATATGTGAATCGTGTGATGCAGCAGTTTCATCAATACCATGAAGACGTTTTGTAGCTGAATGAGAGGTTGGTGAAGAAATAGAAGATTGATTTGTAGATTTAGTGATGGAAGGTAAATGGTCAGAGTCTTGATTAGTTTTATTGGCTTCATTCATTGGTATTTGGTCCGTATTATCGTTGATATATTGTCGTACAGCCTCTGGTGAAAGGTTGTTTGAACTGGCCACATTTAAGAGTAATTGTTCCATACGTTGTAAACGAGATTCCAATCCTTCTACATAACCTTTTGGAGGACCACGCCTTTTGGCTGTCTTAATCGTCAATAATTCAATTCACCATATAAAAAAAAAAAAAAAATAAGACCTTTTGTGAGTTTCATTAAGAGGGTATAATTTCTTTAAACTTGACTTTTACCTCTGCGAAATCACATGACTTTTTATAACCTCTACAGGAAGAACACATAAGTTCTGGATACGCTGGATCGTAATCGCATCTAATAATACCAATTATATTACAATTGTTAGCATTGTGTAGTCTTGGGTGCCTTTTCTTTTTATATGTCTACCTTATCTTTTTCCTTCGACACAAATCACCTATCAAGATAAAATGGTCACTATACAATATAAATACTACACCTTTTTTCTTTATAATACTTACAGGCTCGAGGTTTTCGTATTTTAGCTCGTTTTGGATTTCTATCGATTGTAGTGTTGCTATACAAAGGAAGTTGTTCTTGTTGCTGCTGCAGTTGTTGTTGTTGTTGTTGTTGTTGAACAGGAGGTAAAGATAAATGCTGTGGATGAGTTGTTATAGGAGGTAGCTGATTGTTCATATATATTGGATCAGAAGAAGGAGAAGAAGAAGAACGTTGAGTAAAGGGTTGCATATTCGAGTTTCTATGGGAAGGGAAACAAAAGGGAAAAGATAAAAAGAAAAAAAGTAAGCGAAAAAAAAAAAATAAAATAAAAATAACGGAAATGTATTTCAGCCGAATGATAGCCCAGCCAATCAGATCAAAGTATTCATTATCTCTCATCTTTTTTCAAAGAATCCAAACTCGAATCACAACCTCCCATCAAGAAAGAAGATAAACTATAAAGAAACTATAAATAATATGATAATGTATTATTATAAAAGAAAAGACAAAAAAAAATTTTCGATTATCGGTAATTGATGAAAAGATTGGGAAAAAGAAGATGGAAAATCTTTGTCATCCAAAAAAGGAAATTGGTGATACAATGGAAGCATACAAAAGGTACCCACAAAAAAAAAAGCTTTTTTTTTCCCTTTCTTTTTTTTTTTTGTTTGAAATCCGACCTTTTTTTTTTCTCTTCTTTTTTCCCTTTTTCTTTTTTTCTTTATCTTTATCCTTTTAGTTGTTATGATTTTATAAAAATGTTACATTACGCAAATTATGATTATCCCTACTACGTTACATATAACCCACCAGCTCAATATCTCCAACAACAATCTCCTCTAGTTTATTCTAGAGGTTATTCTCAACCACAAACTTATGATCTACCACTTGACTCTGGTCAACATCATATACAACCACCAAGGGTAAACTATCGTCAGTCTTATCATCAATATCATTCTCAACCTCATCATCACTTTTCTCATTCACATCAAGATCTAAGAATGGTAAGAACAATATATATATATATATATATATATATTCACGAGACCGAGAAACTCTTTTTGTTATTATAATTATTAGTAATTTTATTAATTATTTTAAATATATATATATATGTTATAGTTTCAGGATTATCATCAACAACCACGCAACAGACAAAGAAGATCATCGACTGGATCAAATTGGCCTTCAACATATTCTTCTTCTTCTTTGAATAACCCTGAATTTCACTATGAAAACAATGATAATAATAATAATAATGATGATGATGGTGAATCTTTGAATAGTATGGAAATATTAGCAATGGAAAATGCAAAAAAGAATGAACGACCTGCACCAGTTTCACCTGATCCTTCTTTTGATGCTGACAACCTCTCCATACCTATATCTGCATTACCCGAGGAAAACAAATTGAAATCAAAAAAGAAGAAATGTCCTTACCATGACAACAAGAAAAATGAACCATCATCTTCATCAACAGTACCATCATCTACATCACCAACAATGCCATCACCTGAAACATCATCCAATGTATCTGTTAGTACTGTAGTTTCAGCATCCGACCAGGAAGAAATCAAAGAACCAACAAAGAAACCACGATGGAAATTTACAAAGCTTTTTCGAAGATCATCAACGGGTTCTAGTACTTCAAAAGTATCTTCCAACTTTTTGTTTACACCATCACCATCCAACTCTCAAGAATCATCCAACACTTCGGACTCATTACGAAAGCAACAACCTTCTATTGTGACTTATCGATCAGCATTAAAAACAGCAGTAGCAGAAGAAGAAGCTAAATTACAACAACAACAACATCAAGAATCTCGATTGAAAGATTTGGAAAAGACATCAAAATTGGATTTTATTTGGGTATTCAAAGCACCACCAGCAGCTTCTCAACTTTTATCTTATGAAAAAAAAGCAAACGTATGGACTGGATTTGATTATAAAAATCAAGAACTTATTACTAACTATGCTGTAGCCATGATGAACGATCAAGTCGCAAAGGATCCTGGACTTGAATTGGTGGATTCTCATATTCGTAAAGGCAGTCTTCCTTTCCTATTGGTTTTACATCAACAATTGGTTTATTATCCTACCTCTAACAACAAAATTGACAAAATTGAAATCAATTGCTTACCCAACAACAAGGAAACCATTTTACTTCGAAAGAAAAACTAGTTTGACAACATTTTCTTTTTTTTTTTTTTATTTTTAGTTTTAGTTCATAGTTTATTTTTTTTTTTTATTTTTACCTCATTCTTCTGCATGAATCATTTCGCATCCCGCTCTACTTTTGTTCCTTTTATTTTGATATTCAATATAAAAATAAATATCATTTTTTCTTTTAAAATAAAAAAGACTTTATTTCTCAACTTTATTTTGGATCATCCTGCCAATTATTTTTTTTTGATCATTCTTTTATTTTTTTTTCTTGACTCCTGAACACCTCATCAGATCTGTTTGGCTGGGGAAGATGTTCGCTGCGTTCGAAAATGGTCATGACAACGTGACTTCGACTTTTTCCCACTTTTTTTTTTTTTTAATCAAATTGAATTATTTTCTTTTCCATCGTCTCTTTCTTATTTACTTACCACCTATTTTTTTTTTTTATTTTGGTTTTATTTGTTCTCCTTATTATTATTATTATTATTCCTTCATCTATTTTATCTAATTATATTTATGACATCACTTCCTTCTGATAATCTTGGTAAACGACTAACCATGGATTCACCAGAGGATATTTCCTCAGGTCGACCTCCTAGAAAAAGAATGGTTTCTTCCTCAAGGTCCTCTTCGCCTGACGATGATCAAGACGAAACTATGGATGCCTTCAAGGTTAGATCATACATTGTTAATACTATTGAAAAGGCATTGACATTCTCTTTTTTTTTAAAAAAAAAAATACACCCTATAGGAACCTCTAGATATTTATCGAAGAGACGCTATATCGAGACAATGGAGAGAATATGTGGTAAGGAAAACGGAACTTGTTATTAATGAAAAGTAGATTGATGATGATATTCTCATTTCATTAGCGATCCAGTCGTCGATTATTAACTCAAGTGAACACGGCTGAAGAAAGGAAAACTGAAGGACAACAACAACTTTCTACATGGCAAAGTCACTTTACACAGGTAATAATAATAATAAGGGAAATAAGTCCTAGCAAAAAAAAAGATATAGATCTTTTATATACATATATGCATTATTATTATTATTATTATTATTATTATATTTACTTACCAACACGTATTACTTCTTTTCTTTTTGTAGTTAAAAAATGATCTACAACGTCTATTAGCTAATTATGCTTTGGAGCAATCGAAACAACAAAATCTCAATTATGGTATGTATAAATCTAATCTATCTTTTTTTTTCATTAGTATTAATAAATTCATATGTTGATTTGTATAGATACGGAAGTATTACTATCTGATGATTGGATTGATGAACGTACTGTGAACATGAATGATACTATCAAGATGAACAAGAGAACGATGAATGTGATGCCGGATATGAAGAACGTGGTCAAATCATGGTCTTCCAAACGGATTCATTTTATAGATGATCTCAATGTAGAACAAGGTTAGAACAGTAGAAATAATGGATATTTATGGAAATATTTTATGTTTTAATATTATTTTTTATTGAAATATTTTACTTAGTGATGAACAAGGATTTGATGAAAGATTATAAGAAGACATTATCCACATGGATAGAAGGACAAAACTCTGTAGACGAAACAAATCATCAATATCGTATATCAAAACTTAAGGTACGTACAGACTGAAAAAAAAAAGAATATGACATACTAACTCATAATTCCTTATATATAGTATTTATTGTTGACCGAAGAATTACGGCTCCTCAAATTACGACTCGGCATATCTGAAAATGTTTTGCATGGAACAAAGATGGAATTATCGAACGTAGAAAACCGTTTAGCCAACAAAGATTTAGTCAAACATGAAACTGACCACCAACAGCAACTACCTTCTGATCAAACTGGAGGAAATGTGATATCAAATGAACAGGGACAAATGGTAAGATCCAAATGATATATGAATATCTCGCCACAAATTTGTCTCATCAATATATATATACATATTATTTAATATTAGCGAACCATCATGGAACATCAACAAGATCCTATTGTACGAGCGCAGAAAACATTGGATCAACAACTCCGTGAAATCGAAATGATCAAAGAACAACGTATTGATATGAAACAACAAATAGTACAGCTAGAATTAGATTTAGTACAGATTCCTGAATCTCGAGTGTATAAATCATCTATCTGTCGACAACTACACCAATCTCGCGAATATCAACGAGATAAATCCCAATATCTTACTGGACATGTGGATAAGCTTATACAAGATGTAGAAGATATGCGACGACATCGAAGACGATTGATGGAGGAAATGGATCTAGAACAATTAACACAAATTCGATCATTGGAGGAAAAATTGGCGAAATTGGAATATGAACTCACCAGAATTCGTGGTCAACGTGATGATTTACAATGCAAGATAGAAATGGGTAAAGCAAAGAGTCAAGATGGTAAGGCGGCTTCAGTAAAGGAATGGCAAACTATTGTAGAAACTCGGAAACAACGTGCCTTCTCTCTGGAAACAGAAGTAGCTCGATGGATACAGAAAATAGCAGCTCTTACTGGATCTCGTGAATTCTATCAGTATGTGATGGATCTTCGGTCTCATGTTTTGTCAATTGATTCGGTTCGGAAAGAGCAAAGGTTAGTATTATATATGTTTATATTATAAATGACGCTATATCAACTAAACATTTTTTTTTTTTTGTATAGTGAACTAGAAGGAAAAGTCTCAAGTCTGAAACAAAAATTATTATCTCGTCCTGATATTTTGGAATCAGATCATAAGCTTTTGGAAGAAGAATTAACATGTGTTGGTCAGATCAAATTACTGGAGGATGAATTGGAAACATTCAAGTCTATTTATGGTTTTGATCCCATGGAAGCAACACAAGATAGCGTTTTAGAAATCTTGCAGGATAAAATTATCAAAGAACAAGAAACACTTACACAGTATCGTCAACGAGTGGATGTTTTGCAAAGTGTAAGTGATACTGGGGAAATGAAGAATTATTTACTAAAAAAAAAAAATACATTTTTTATGCTAGACTGAAAACCAACTGTTGGATGAAATTGGAAACATTGCCAAAGTGTATAGTGAATTTGATGAACAAAACATGGAAAAGATCAAGAAACTAGCAATAGCTGAAGATGAAGTGATCCAACTCCAATGTGAAGTAAGTCATTAAAGAAAAAGAGTATAAAATATCACTTACTTATTATTTTTATAGCGAGTGAAATATAGTCAAACCTTCACTGCATTGAATAAATCCAAGGATGCTCTTACTATGGTTGCCAATGCATTAACGAAACAAATCGAAAAGCAAATGACATATATTAAGCAATTGAATGAACAGGAAAAGAATCTAAGTAGTCAAATTGTAAGTAAGAAAGAGAAGAAGAAAAAAAAGGGGAGTTGAATCACTAACCAATTTGGTCCCTTTTATTATGATAGGCAAGTCTGGAACGTCAACTTGGTGCTGGAAAATCTGCTTCTGATATTTACCAACAAAAGGTAGCTGAACTAAAAACTTCGGTAGATGATGCCAAGGAAAAGTTGAACTTTGCCAAAGACAAGGTGATCGAGGTAAAAAATAAAAATAAAAATAAAAAAAAAAATAAAAAAAAAATCTCATTATTATCTTTAGGTTGAAAAATCGATCATGGATAAGATTCGATCTATTGAAGAAGGTGCTCATTCAAGATTACGGATGGAAGAAAATTGTGAACTTTTATGGCGAAAAATTGAAGCTACCACCAAAGTGGAAAAACCAGCAGAAATGAAATTACGAAAGGAAAAGGAAGAATATCGAGTAAGTTGTTATAAACAATTAAACCTGACGATACTCATTTTTTTTTTTTTTTGGTTTAGTCTTTACTGAATTGTAGTTCTTGTGGTACAAGACTGAAATCCCATGTACTTATGAGATGCATGCATACATTCTGTAAAGATTGTTTAGACATTCGGATTGAAACTCGACAACGACGATGCCCTACTTGTAGTGAGCCCTTTGGAATCAATGACGTGAAACAATTTTATCTTTGAATAAATTCTGTATTATATATAAATATATATATTTTTGTATGGAATAATGACTTATTGATTGTTTGTTTTGCATGATGAAATAAACAAAGAAAAATAAATATTATATATATTATTCATATCTTTTTTTTTTTAATTGTATGAAGATAATTTTTGTTTACTATAGTTTTAGAAACTGAGATGACGATACAAATTGATGATGAGATTATGCGCATTGGGAGGCGGCATGGACTAAAAGACCTGATGAAATGATAGAGGAGTTCTAAACAAAAAAAAATCAATCTATATAAATAGTGATATTATATTTGTTTGCTCATCCAAAAAAAAAAAAAGGGGGGGTGAAGGGGTCCATGATAATGATGATCATGATGGTAAGGAGAGAAAGGTATAATCATAATAATGCCTTGAATTTTTTTTTTTTTTTTTTTTTTTGTATATTCTTTCTTTTTCATTTTTTTGAAAGTATGAAAATCCATGAAAAGGAAGAACGTAGTTCTCGTCGTCCATCTACCATGGAAACATATTACGATGATAAAAAACGACCATCTCCTTTATTTGCAGATATGGATACACATATCTCCTTTTTAGATAATGATCAATTACAATATCAAAAAGAAGATCGTCATCATTGGTCAACAACTCCTTCACTTTTTTCAGATGGATATCATGGTAGAATCGAACATAGAATAGAGGAAGAAGATGAAGATGAAGATAGGAAATCAAATCATCAACGTACATGTCAATCTAGTTGGTACTTGGTATTTCGATCAGGATTTACACCTTTTAGTGTTAAACGATGGCCAGTAGTCACTACTTATATCTTATTAGCCGTCATGTTCATGATTTTATCTGGTGAATTATTATTAAGTCAACAAACTTCAAGTAAGATGAAAATGATGATGATGATACATCCATTTAACATATCCTCCTTTTCATCATGCTATAGATGAATTTTTAGAGTTAGATCCTTTCAATATCATGCTCGGCCCTTCAATTCAAGTATGACACGATAAAAAAAAAAAATTAAAAAAGAAAAATTGATATTTTTTTTTTATTTTCTTTTTCTTTCCAAAAAAAGATCCTCATTCAAAGTGGAGCAAGGTTTCCACCATGTATGCGACCAACAAAAGTCATGCCAGTCGATGAACGATATGTTTGTCTCAATACTACTCTCCCCATTATGAATGCTACTTGGACCAGTCTACGAAAAGGAGACAAACGAACACCTTTAGGTTTATTGGATCCTATCTTTGATGTGGCCAGTCCTGGCATACAGAATACGTCATGTTCTTTACAAGATATATGTGGTATGAGTGGATTTGCCAATGCTTCGGTACCTGACCAAACATTCCGGTTCTTTACTCCTCTCTTCCTTCACACTGGTGCTCTCCATTTGCTTATTGATGGTGCTTTACATTGGTTTGTTGCCAAAGACTTGGAACGTGTTATGAATCCTATTCGTTTTGCTGGTAACCATTCTTTATTTACTTTTATTATTATTGTTCTTATTCTTTTCTTCTAGGTGTCTATATCTTATCTGGTTTATTCGGTAATGCTTTTGGCTCCAATTTTGCTATTCCCACCAATCGTAAGTTCCTATTTGATCATAAAAAAAAAAAAAAAAAAAAATATTATTGACGTTCATTTATGATGATAGCATTCATGGGTTGTGGTCCTTCTCTATTTGCTCTCTGTGGTTGTTCCTTGATTGATATTATATTCATGTGGCGACTGATAGGTCAACCTGTTCGACATATGATCAAGATTGTTGTTTTTATAGGCAAGTACATCAAACACACTATCTTATACATACTTTTATGATCTCACTTTTTTTTTTTTTCTGTATATAGCTGCTGGTTTTGTTCTTGGTTTATTACCAGGGTAGATTAGAATAACAAGGATATATAGAGTTGATGGAACAAGATTCATTTTTTTTTTTTTTTGGATTAGAGTGGACAATTTTACTCATCTTGGTGGATTGATCAGTGGACTTTTGATTGGATTGATTAGCATGCCTGCCATTTATTATTCAAGAAGATATCAAATTACCCTGATCTTTTGTCGTTGTTTGGCATTTGCTTTGTATATGGGACTCTCGGTCCTCTTTTGGAGCGACTTCTATTCTGGCGATGATCCTGGCGAAGTAGGTGTACAAATAATAAAAAAAAAAAAGCTTAAACTCATATATTATCTATTTCAATAGTCTTGTGCATTTTGTCGATATGTTTCTTGTTTACCAATAGGTGGATTTTGTGATTGATTCATATTCTTTATTTTTTGACTTTGAAAGATATATCATTTACATTTCTCTTTTTCTTTTTTCCATGTTATCAAATAAAAAAACTATTTTATGACAATTATCTTTTATCTTTGTTTTTTTTTTTCTTCGATCATCACTGTATTCAACCGTTAGGTGGAAAAATACATATCGGTCACTACACCATGCTATCATCTGAATCAAAACAAAGATCATTTTATTATACAGCTATATTTTTTTTTTTTTTGTTCCGGGAAGTATATTCAACTAAACTAAAAATTTGGGAATCAAACGTCTACATGATAGCACAATCTACAGCATTGGAAGAGGCAGAAGTTGTCTTTGATTTCTTGATCATGGTTTTTTCGGGTAGGTTCAACCGTTCAGCAGCCGGAGAATAACCTTTTGAAGCGGCTTTTCCAAAGTATTGTAATGCACGAGCATAATCCGGCATCACACCCATACCATCTTCATAATATGTTCTATTTATGTATAAAAAAAAAAGTGAGTAAATGAAATGAAAACAAGGGAAAAAAAGAAATTAATTATTACCCTAAAGTATATTCAGCTTGAGTCAATCCATAACTTGCAGCACGTTGACACCATTTAAAAGCAAGAGAAGGATGAGGAGGAATGGATAAACCAGGGATACCTTGGGAATAAAACCGAGATAAAGCCAACATAGCTTGAGCATGCCCATCCTCTGCTGCCTTAGTATAGTATTCAAATGCCTTGGTGAGATCACACGGTTGATCCAGTGCACCTTGTTCATACACAATTCCTAATTGATAATAAGCATCGATCCATCCTGATTGTTGCGACTTGACCAAGTAATGCATCGCCATGCCCACATTTTTCCTTGATGCCAAACAATCACGTTCCATGCCAATCGCTTCTACATTATCCGAATATACACAACTGAGATCATATGCTGCTTGTGCACTATCATCCGATGGATCATCCGCCGCTGATTTGAGATATTCTAATCCTTGTTTGATATTGATCTTTTGTTGAAGTTGACCACGTAATAAGATTCTTGCCATTTTCTAAAAAAAAAAAAAAAAAAAAAAAAAAAAATAAGAATAAGAATAAGAATAATAAAAAAATGGATAATAGAGATGATGGAAATATAAGATTGTCTACGTACATAGTTCGCCAAAACATGACCTTGATGGGCAGCCGTCTTGTAACATGCCAAGGTTTTTTTGTAATCACCACGATCCCGCCAATACCTAGCCACTTGATAAGAAGCATCCATCCAACCACGCTTAGCTGCCGCACGAAGACATTTGAATGCTTTTTCATGATTGATACCTTGATATATCAATCCTACACAGTCATGATCGTTGCTAGCATGCCACATACCTTTCATATACAGTGCTTCAGGATGTCCACTTGCTGCCAATTTCTCTACCCAGTATTCGGCCTCCTCCAATAATCGTTGTCGTGTAAGATCAGCAGTGGTTGGTTTCTTCTTGTTATCACCCTTGGATTGATATAAATCAGCCACTTGAAGTAGATACTTGCAATACGTCATTTGTACATCCTTGTTGTTTGTTTTATTTGCCATGCGACGGTACGTCTTGATAGCATCCTTATCGTGAGTCAAACTGAAGGATGCAATACTAAATCTTGACTTGGATGTTCCCAACCCAGAAATGGAGGCATCATCAGGAGAAGAAGGTGGAGGAAGAAGTGAATACTGAAGTGAGGACATACTATGATTGTTTTGGTACAAAGGACGAGGAGGTGGAAGGTTGACATCTTGACTACAACCATTACTGCTGGAAACGCTGACATTACTTGGATGAGAGTTGTTTTGATTCAATGAGAGAGTGGAAAGTCGATGATCTAAATCAGGAGGACGCAAAAAGGAAGTAGATGCGGAAGAATGGAGCACAGGAGTAGTAACGGCCGCTGAAGATGAAGATAACGAAATATGGCTATGTCTCTTGTTGATGATATTGTTGTTGCTGGCTGATGATGCTGAAGCGAATATACATCCATTTTCATGTGTATCACCACGTCGAGCACAGTGACAGAGTCGATGCATCATAGACACTGAGTGATTATTATTATTATTATTATTGTTGCTGTTGTTGTTGTTATTGTTATTGGTTGCATATTGATCAGAGAATCGTCGTTGATGAGCCATCCATTGAGCTTGATACGGTTCTTGAAACATAGATGAATGAATACTGCCACTGGTTAATGTACTATACGAAGCCGATGGTCGTAAATGACTAGCTTGTTGTTGTTGTGTATTCTTCTGTACTTCTTCTGTAGGAGAACATACTACTGATCCAGTTGGTGAATGATTCGTTTCCAAAGCCTGTCGTACCACAAAAAGATCGTTACAAGATTTATAGGATGTAAAAGTAGGACCTGATCGGCGATGACTAGGATGTTGATAACCAATACCACTGCTGCTTGTCATTTCAGACATTGTTTCAATTGTGTCGTTCATTTCTTCCTTGGATGTACGTCGACGAAGGCTTTGATAGGGTTGGATGGGCTGATGCTGAGATGACCAACTGTGATGACTATTGTTAATGGTGATAGGACTGTTAATACTGGAACTACTTCGAATAGATCCTGTTTCTAAAGTCATGGGCGACATTTGTTTGAAGGAACCACTACCACTGATACTTCCACTGCTGCTGTTGCTGTCAGTATTTGGTTTCAAGTAATGTTGTTGTTGAAAGGTCTTAACAGGTGAGATGGACCCTTTTACAAAGGAAGAAGAGGATGGACTAGATAACCTGTTAATCATGTTCGTATTGGTCTCAATCTTGAGTGGAATATCAGGCGTGTTTGTCTTGATGTTCAATGCAGCTGCCAAGGTTGCCTGCTTGTCGGTAAGTGTGTTGTTTTGTACATTTTTTGCATCATTTCCCGTACTCCATCTCCAACCTTTGGATTGTTCTTGCTGTTGTTGTTGTTGTTGTTGTTGCTGTTGTTGCTGCTGTTGTTGTTGTTGTTGCTGATCATTTTGAGAAGTAGAAGAACTGTAATTTACAAAAAAAAAAAAAAAAAAAAAAAAAAAAAAAAAGAGAAATGAGATAATGGTGCTTTGTAACAATATATATTGGTAATACCTTTGAGAATATGGCTTTGGTTCAACTATATCTGCTGATAGACCAGTTGAATGGGAATCTTTTGCAATATCAGTTGATAAGTCGGGAGATAAGGAAGATTGAATTGTTTCAGTTGAAGTCTTTTTATAAATGGGAGCGGAGGTTGAAGAAGATGTGGGCAAAGTATCAGGAGCAGGACCAAATTGATCTTCTAATAGACGTTCAATAATGGCTTGAAATTGTTCTTGTTGATTCATTAAAGGTGTACTAGGACGACTGCTGCTATCATCATCACCTTCATCTTCTTCTTCTGAATTTGGTGAAGGAAGGATATCACTTTGTTCAGCAATAGGTTCTAACATGGTATGATCCCTCATAAAATAATTATTATTGGAAGAATGAACTGGTAAAGAAGGTAGTGTACGTCTTGATGTTTGAGAAGAAATATTAGAAGATCCATTGTTATTGTGTGATGAATCATCATCATCATCATCTTCGCCATGATCACTATCACTATCATCCAAAGTAAGTTGATAGACTCGTGCTTGTTGTTGTGCTGGTACTGTCGTTACTGTTGTCGACGATGTTGTTGTTGAAGGCGTAGTAGTCAATTGAGTAATGGTAGCAGATGATGATGATTGTATTCGACGAGAAGGGATTTCTTCCACTGTCACCATACGCTTAACGGGCATAATAGGTGTTTGATGATGATGAGAAGAATTGTTTATAGTTGGCCGTTGTAAATATTGATTCAACAAAGAAGACATAAAAAATAATGATAGATGAAAGTAGAATGAAAGAAAGAAAATAATAATAACAAAAAAAAAAAAAAAAAGTTATGTTGTTAAATGATAAAAAGGTAAACCTATTTTTGTGTATTTGTTTTCATGCAACCTTCTTGATTTGGACGACAGCTTTCCATTTTCATCCGAGTTGATTCTCCCCCTTAAAAACAAAACCATGGGCATTCGATCATTATATTGTTTTCTTTTTCTTCATAAAATGGTATAAACACGTTTGATTTTATTGATAAAAATATAATAAAAAGGGAAAATGGTATCATAATAAATAATCATCATCATAATCATATATAAAAACATAAGGAACCATCATCCACGGAGAGTGAATTCAAAAGACAAAATACCAAATATTTGTATTTAGGAACTGATTCCTAAATCCGCATAACATTTGTCACAAATACGTTGATGTTGAGATTCCAATACATGAGAAGGTTCTATTGGACCATGAGGATTTTGTAAGATTTCAGAAGCTGAGAGATAAGTGCGAGAAGTAGAACATCGATCACACACAATTAATCCACATCGGCGACAATGATGTCTTCTATTCAATAATCCAAATTTTCTGTTACATCGTCGACAATCCTTGGCTTCTACATCTGATTCCCAAATAAATTCTCTTGTTGTTGTTGGTCGATTGATATCACTATTATTGTTATTGCTGCTATTGAAATCAACTTGATGTAATAAACTACTACTGTTGCTATGGTTGTCAATGTCATCACGTTGTTGTTGTCGTAAAGGACGCGGTTGATATGAGTTACGATCACCAATAGTGTCACGAGTCCAAGGATTTGCATCAAAATCATTTCCATTTGCTTTGTTGGGGTATCTATTATTATCATCATGATCATCCTCCTCCCCATGTTGATATTTGTTGGAAATAAAGCCGAGTTCCCGAGCAAGTTCTGCATTATGTTCAAGTGGCACTGGTGATATTGGCGTAGTTAGTTGTGGAGCGAGAATAGCAATTTCCGTGTTGAGTTTATCAATTTTGGTTGAATGTAGTTTGATCAGGTTATTGGCTCGTTCCTTGCGGTATTGGTTCAAATCATCTAAAATAAGAGTTTATTAGTATTTCTCTTTTCTCTTTTTTTTTTTTTTTTTTTTTTCCTGTGTTGAGAATTACCTTTGACACCTGCCAAAAGTAGTTGCACAGATTCTTCATAGGTCCGTAATTCCTTTGTCAATGCTTGGATACGATGCACATTTCCTTGTTGTCCATTGGGTTCATCATCCATAGTTGTGTTGGCTTCCGTTGTTGTGGCTGATATCACCATTTCTTCTGCGATCTCCAAATAATCGCTATTTGCCGCATCAAATCCATTGTTGCTGAGAGAATGTTGAGAGTTACTTGTGGCTGCTGCAAAATCCATTTGTCGATTCATCACGCGTACCCAACGTCGTCGTCTCACCCAACCATTTCCACCAGTAGGAGCCACAGGTGTCCAATGTTCATCAGCCTCGTCAAAAGATCGAGCATATTGCCATCCAGAGGTAGGATCAATGCGAGGGTCACTAAGATCAATTTGCCAGTCTGTGATCCAATACCAATTTGCTTTTCCAGTACCATTGTTTTGTCGTGGAGGTTCGACTTGATCTTTAGAAGAGGGAGTGCCAGAAGGATGGAGAGACCAAGGTCCACGTACATCTTGTTTCGTAAGGTAGTTGGCACTAAATTGAGGACGAGAAAGACCCAAAAGTGAAGTAGCTCGTTGATTTTCATGAAGAACAACCATCACTGTAACATGATAATCAAGTATGTCATATGGTTTACTTTTGGTGAAAGATGGATCATCCATTCCTATAATAAAAACAATAAAATTAAGAATAATAAAAAAGTAGTTTCTTCAGTCATATGTAAATAAATAATAAATCAGTGGTATATACCATGTTATTACCTTCCATTTGTTGAGTATGCCACCATTTCTTTTCTGCCTTTTCCAATAGCTCACAAACATAAGCTTCACGAGACACAGCACTAGCATCATAAGCAGCTTCACCAATATTATTTTTCATCAAAGGGTTTGCATGAGCTTCATCCAATAAGTATTCTACAATAGATATATATCCTTTCGATGCAGCATTAACTATGAAAAAGTATATAATAAATGAATGAGTGGATTGTCGCTTTTTTTTTTTTTTAAGTATAAAACGTACTAAGCGGTGTATGACCCATTTTACTCCGTACATCAACACGTGCACCATGATTGATAAGTAAACGTACAATAGGAAGGTAACCACGAGCACAGGCATTGTGAAGAGCTGTCCATCCATCCTTATCTTTTTGGTGTAAGTTAGCATTCTTTGATTGTAAATACTTGACGATATGGTAATGGCCATTATATGCCGCTTTATGAAGAGCAGTCTAAGTAATCATATCAAAAAGTAAAAGTTAGAATCTATAATATACGTTTTTGTTCATAACGAACGATTTTACTTACTTCACCTTCCTTGTCTCTTGCATCTACAGACACGGAATATTCATCCACAAGACATTCGACCACTTTCAAATGACCACGAGCAGCAGCATAATGCAGAGGAGTAAAACCAGTAGAAGATTGAGGATCGTTGACAGCCTTGAGAGGATCCGGTAATAAACGTAAGATTTGTTTCAAAAAGTTCAAATTACCCACCGCTGCCAAGTCATGGATTGTCTTTTGTTCGACTGATTTCTTCTTCATCTTGGTATTAACAACCGGTAAAGTTCGAGAGGTATCGAATTGAGGCAACCTGATAAAATTATTGTGAGCATCACCATAATACTTGTGTGTTTCCCCAGGTACAGGCGGTGTACAAAATTCAACAATAGTAGTCATGATGACAAAATAAAATAAAAAAAGAGAAATAGTGAAAAAAGAAAAAAAGAAAAAAAAAGAAAGAAAAGGAAACAGGGGGGTTGGCGTCTACAAAAGGGACTTTTTTAGATTTCATCCAGAAAAGTAGCACGGTTCAATCACCGACTGAAGCACTTTTTTTTTTTTTTACTGCATCCACCTATTTTGTGAGTGTATCTTTGGCAATATCATGGATATTAAAATAGAATCAATAGTCAAGCACGCTAATGAGTTAGTCATCACCTGTAACTGATTATAAATGAAGAGATGCATATGCATGATTCTATGTTATTTAATGAACACACACAAAAAAAAGTTTCTTCCATTTGATCAAATAGGAAGATCAAAATACTACGATACTATTTATTCAATCATAAATGACGGATTTCATGTTTTATTCACAGAGCAAGTAAGCTTGGATTATTACCTATTAAAGACGAACACCTTTAAATCATCCATCATGACTCAATTCGTCATTCCTCTTCTAATAGAAAACAATGCATCCACTTCCTTTTTTTTAAAAAAAACAAAAGAAGTTATTGTTTATATACAGAACGAACGGGTAAGAGATACCTTAAAGAAAACCATTAGAGTCCAAAAAGATGCAGGAACCACCAGGGCGACTGAAGTTGAATTAGTGTTTTTTTTTTTTTTTGGTTGTAGGCCGCAGACAAGTAATTTTTTTTTGTTTTCTCTCTTCCTTTTTTTTTTTTTTTTTTTTTTTTTGCTTTTTCGATTCCAAACATTTTTTGCTAATTTTCTTTAAAATGGGTATTCTGGAAAAGATCCAAGATATTGAAAATGAAATCAAGCGTACACAAAAGAACAAGGGTAAATAAAATGGATAATAATAACTAACTAACGAAGGAACAAACGAACAAACGATCTATATATTATATTGACCATTTATTTATTTCAACAGCCACTGAATACCATCTTGGGTTATTGAAGGCGAAACTTGCAAAATATCGAGTGCAGTTGATGGAAGGAGCTCAAACCAAATCAGAAAAGGTATTTTAAATAAAATATTTGGAATATATTATAGAAAATAAAAACTAATTGTATCCGTATATTCAATAGGGTCAAGGTTTTGACGTTCAAAAAGTAAGTCTTTATCACTTATTAAATATTAAGGTAATTTCAAGTATACTCATTTTCTTGTCTTATGTTTTATCTAGTCAGGAGATGCTCGTGTGGTCATGATTGGGTTCCCTTCGGTAGGCAAGTCAACTTTATTATCAAAACTCACACCACAAAACAGTGAAGTGGCAAGCTATGAATTCACAACATTGACGTGTGTACCTGGAAAAATCAACTACAATGGAGCCACTATTCAGTTATTAGATTTACCGGGGATCATTGGTGGTGCCGCAGAAGGTAAAGGTCGTGGTAAACAAGTGATCGCAGTGGCAAGAACAGCAGATATTGTTTTGATGATGTTGGATGCTACAAAATCAGCACAACAAAGGTAAGATGGGAAGAAGAAGAAGAAGAAGAAGAAAAATGAAGAATGATTCATTGTTTTTTTAAAAAAAAAAAAAATCTTCTTAGACCTCAATTAGAAGCAGAATTGGAAGCTATTGGTATTCGGTTGAATCAATCATTCCCCAATGTATCATTTAAAGTCAAAAAAGCTGGTGGTATTAGTTTTAACGCTACAGTTAAATTGACTTATTTGGATCAAAAAATGGTACACAATATCCTACATGATTACAGTAAGTTTAGAATCAAGGAAGTAATGATGTAAGTGAATAATTCGACCATAACCCTTTTTTTTTCGCTTTAGAAATATTTAATGCTGACATTGTAATTCGAGAAGATATTACTGTGGAACAATTTATTGACGTTGTACTTGGAAATAGAAGATATATCAAATGCCTTTACGTAAGTATCATCCATATAAAACTAATAATAATAATATATAGATATATATATATATATTGATATTTTATCCGTTTTTATTTTATAGTGCTATAACAAGATTGATCAAATCTCAATGGAAGAAGTAGATCGATTGGCACGACAACCTGACACTGTAGTAGTATCTTGTGAAGACGATTTGAATATGGATTATCTTGTAGAATGCATTTGGAAGAAATTGGGTTTGATGCGGGTATATACTAAGAAACGGGGCGAATATCCTGATTTTGATGATGGTCTGATTGTAAGAAGTGGAGCTACAGTTGAACATGTGTGTCATGCTATTCATCGATCATTGGCTGAAACTTTTCGATATGCACTTATCTGGGTAAGTCTAAAGAGAGAGAGAAAAAATACAATGATATGAAAACTATAGAGATCGATCTAACTCCCTTTTTTTTTTTTTTTTTTTTTGTGGATCTCGTTAAAAGGGAACTTCAACAAAACATAATCCTCAACGGGTTGGTTTATCTCATTTAGTACATGATGAAGATGTTGTACAAGTTGTTAAGAAATAAAGAAATTCTACTTTATCTAATGTATATTTATTTATATGAAATAATATGATTTTGGAATGGAGTTGGTTTTGAAGAAGTTGAAAAGATTACTATATATGATGATGCTGGAAAAACATGTTTTTATTTTTCAAGATTACTAATAGATACTAAATTTAAATCAAAAACAACACTGGTTTTTTTTTTTCTTTTTGTATTGTTTATACTAACTAAGGGATAAAAAAAAAAAAAGAAAAAAGAGGAAAATAGATAATGATATGATATACTACACTCGATCATGAGCCATTTCAGTCAATACAACTACTTCTTGATGTTGCTTGATTTCAAGTTTGACAGGTTTATCACCATTGCCACGCTGCAACAACTTTTCCAAACTTTGAATCTCGGCAGGATGAGAGGTAGCCCATTGAACAACACCAGCTACTACTGTCACATCCTATGATAAATGAAGGAAAAAAAAAAGTAAGAAAAAAAAAAAAAAGTCCAATAAGAGCAAAGGTCTTTCCATTTTTGGAAGCTCTTTATTTTTTTTTCTTTTTTTTTTTCTTTTTTGTATATCTTACCAGAGCAGAGACAGTCATTGCCATCAAGCCACGAGGAGCACCATCATAATAAATCACCACACCATAATTAGCAATGGCCATGATAGCAGAAACAATAGCAACGGTGATATTACGTTTAGCCATCATGTGCAAAGAAGATGATTGATGAGAGGTTTGTTGAGCAGTATTGGGCCAGAAACTGTACTTGATAAAGATTCCGGCAAACATCAAATTGATAACAAATTCATAGGCCAATACAATTAATGAAGCTGGCTTTTGATAACCAATGGAGCAGAAATAAGGGAAATCTGCACTGATCAATTCTTCACGGTAGATCACCATCATGATCACTAGACCAATATAAGGTACTAGCATACAGAGGTTACATACATAAAGTGTAGTTGATAATCGCTTGCTTTTAGGAACGGAAATGATGTATGCCTAGTAATCGAAAGGAAAAAAAAAAAAAAAAAGATAAATAATCAAATTTGATGATGATGATGGTGATGATTGATTGATTGATGAATGATGATAATGGTGATGGCGAATAATAAATAAATAGTGCATGATGGTATAATGAATGAAGAAAAAAAAACGGAGTGATAGTATATGTAGATATATATATTTTTTTTTCTTTTACAAACCTTTTCAATAAAGTAAAGATACAAAACCACCTTGGTAACGGTATGTAAAAGAACACAATTGAAGAAACCAATCATACAAGAGATGAAATTACCATTGTTTGTACTAGTAGACATACATGCGATCATATCAAATGCCCAACTTAAACCATAAAGAAGCAGTAAAAGACCGCGCACATAACGTACTGGTCCTTCAATACCGGCGATCTTTCTACCAAAAAACAATGATAGAGCCGTGATACACGCCACCATCACGATTTCAGACATGATTTCATAATTATCAGGTGAATACATTTTTCTTTAAAATGTGAACAAAGATCAAACGATATTAAAAAAAAAAAAAAAGGAAATGAAAAGAAAAAAAAATAATAAAAAAAAAGTAGATTGAAAGTTATATAATCCAATCGAAAAAAGGAGTGATGATGATAATGATTAAGGAGAGTAAAAATCAATAAAAAAGGAGAAAATGGGAAAAGATTGTAGAAAGTGATACCATGGCAACATTTTATATACACTAGATAAAAAAAAAAAAAAAAAAAGTTAAAATGCAAATCCATTCCACCTTTAAAAGGGATCGGGGTTTGTACCTGTTTAAAGTTGGTTTTGGGCAACCCCAAGGTTCACTCCTTCTCGTCCCACATCCCTTCTCCTCCTTCTTCTTCTTCTCCCCAGGAGTATCTTATGTAAACTACTGTTGTTATCGATTTTATTTGTTTTTGTTGTTGTTATTGTGGAATGTCATCATGGTAACGTTGTAAATTCATATCTCTTCTTATTTGACGATTGGAGAAAAATAGTAAAAACTATTAAACCAATGATCACTAACTCTATCAAACTCCGCGTTGGCCCTGAAGGAAGAGGTTTCTGTTCTTTTCTTCTCTTTTTTTTTTTTTCTTTCTTTATTTTTTCATTTTTTTCATTCTCGCTTCCTTTGGATTTGACCTTTATTCGACATGATCAATCATCCTACTATTAGTGTTCTTTTCGTTTGTTTAGGTTAGAACAGAAAAAAAAAACTATGGATCTGTATGGAAAAAGTTTATTCATCCCTATTTTTTTTAATAGGTAATATTTGCCGTTCTCCTATGGCGGAAGCTGTCTTCGCTCATATTGTTCAACAACATCAATTGACGGAACGTTTTAAAAAGATCGACTCGGCAGGAACGGCTGGATATCATGTATGTAGTGAATAATAGATTCTTTAAAAAAATCCAACTGATACTCATTCTTTTTATATTCTGGGGGGTAATGAATGACGTCGTATGTATAGGTAGGAAGCAAACCAGATAGTCGTAGTGCGGCCACCTGTGAAAAATACGGCGCTGCTGTCAATCATCGAGCACAAAAGGTAAGGGCATGGAAAAAAAAGAACTCCTTTTTATATACGCCTTACCAAGGGTTATGGGATAATATTACTTTGATCTCATCTTTTTTTTTTTCGTTTATCTTTTATTAGGTGACTACCCAACATTTCAAAGAATTCGATTATATCCTTTGTATGGATGAATCAAATTTGGAAGACTTACTGGTAATCTAATATATATATAATCACGTTTCACTAATTGGCATGGATACAACTAACTAATTTTTTGAACAAAACATGTTTCTCTCATAGAACAAAAAACCTGCTGGATCAAAGGCGGTGATATCCTTATTTGGTGAATTTGACCCACAAGGAGAACGTATTATCCAAGATCCATACTATGGTGGTATTGATGGCTTTGAACACAACTTTAAGCAAGTCACTCGGGCTAGTGAAGGTTTTTTGAAACATCTTGGTATGTTGTAGTTTAGAATTATTCAATGTAGTTTAGTGGTTATAATTGTGTATAGCCCATTAGTCTAGTTAGATCATTATAGATTGTCAATTGTAACAGTAGAATTCTTTTTTTTTTTTTATGATTGATTGAATAACCATCAATAAAACGCGCGGGCTTGATGACCTCCTTACTTTTGATAATAGTCTACTTTTACTCATGATCCCAAAAAGGGAATTGATTATGTCGATCAAAAGAAATAGTTGAAGGTTATACAAAAAAAAAAAATGCCATGATGACATGGTAAATAGATCCTCTCCACTATGCCCTATAGGAGGTGAGAGTGATCTCTCTCCTATTTCTTTTCTTTTAAGTAAAGGGATAAGAACAAATTAAAGTTGATGTACTTTCTTGCTCAATAGAAACACTGTTTTCAATATCATGATCATTTTCATTTCCACATCTGTGATACCAAGAAAATAGATATGCCAGAAAACTACCTATTATTATTAATCCATCATATAAGAGTATTATAGAAGGAATTTTAAATATCTTTTATTTTGGTAATGATTGTCTAAACTATGAAGAGTAAAAAAAGAAAAAGCCAAAAAAAAAAAACTAAGGAAATGTACAAATGATTTGAATAAAGAAAAAAGAATGAAAATAATATATTGGTACTTGATATGACATTTTAACGCTTGACCCTATAAAAAAGAAAGAAAGCAAAAAAAAAAAAGAATTAATCATCATTTCATTTGTTTATCAGAATAAATGTTCATGAACTTACCAGGTATACTTTGCACGGGCCTTTCGTTGACCTTCCTTCTTACGTTCCACAACTCTAGGATCACGAGTAATGCAACCAGCTAAAATATGAGGTGTACCCCACACAAGAAGAATAAATAAAATAAAGTCAATTTACTTCAACTAACCCAATCTATTTATCCTATTTAACTTACCTTTTCGTAAAGTAGGTTTCAATTCACTATCATGAATCAATAAAGCCTTTCCCACACCCAATTTAATAGCTTCAGCTTGACCAGTGGTACCACCACCAGTAACAATAGTCCATACATTGTACTTGTCAGTCAATTCAGTAGCAGTTAAAGGTAACACAACTTGATCACGATCTACAGGTCGTTTGAAGTAATCTTGTAATTCCATACCATTGACAAGTACTTTACCTTCACCTTCCACTACCCAACAGCGAGCACTTGATTCCTTTCTTCGTCCCACAGCATAAGCACGACCCATATCATCCAATGCTTTCGATACACTATGTTTATCACCATTTTGTCGTTGTAAAGCTGTAGAGTCAAAACGTTCATAGGCAGATAATACTTGAGTTACTTGAGGAGGTAAAGGTCGAGGTAAAGATGCAAGTTGGTTCAAATGCAAAGTAATCTTTCGCCATTGAGAAGTCTTCAAAGGAATAGCTAACATTTCAGACATCTTGTCACGCAATTTCCAGGCATATGTCTTTTCAGCTACAGCAGTCAAAGATGCTTGTTCTTCCACTGACAAGACGGATGTTCCTTCTTGAGTTTCGGTAATGGTTTGAGTGGTTGTTGGTTTCCAATCGGCATATTGTTTATACAGCATATCTAATTCAATCAAGAGATCGTTGTATTTGAAGTTACCAGTGAAATAGGATAATGATTCAGGTCGTTCTCTTTCAGTAAGGATATCATCGAAAACAACTTTTGTTTGAGGTTGAAGCGTGGTCATGAATCGAAAACCGGTTATTGGCGTGGCGGTGGCAATTCTGGGAACATTGTACTTGGCCATAGGAAGTACTCTCCGTAACAACATCATTTTGTCCCAAAAAAAAAAAGTTTGTTTAAAAAAAAAAAAAAGGAAAGAGAAAGAGAGAAACAAAATAAGAAATAAGAAAAAAAAAGATCAGGATAATCTGAGAAACCAAAAAAAAAAAAAGTCGACATTAGGGCAAGGTGAAGGGGGTGGTTGAAATCGTAAAGTCACAAAAAAAAAAAAAAGAGTCCAGATGGCTCAAAAGGTGGCTGAGAAGAAAAGTTTAAAAAAAGGGGAGAGGGAAATTCAAAATGCATTGATTTTCTCTTTTGTATCTTTTTTTTTTTCCTCAACATGCGAGCTAAAACGAGTCGTCTTTATAAAAAAGCAATGCATTCTTATTGCATAAGCTTCAATTTTCGTACTCCTTATCAGATACTATGTAAGTTTCTTTTATTAATCAAATAAATAAGCGGATTAATTCTTTTTTTTTTTAGTGGATAGTAGTTTTTGTAAATTGGCTACAGAACAACGTCTTAATTTACAACAGGATCTACAAACAGTGCTATGCAATCCAACTCGACCAAGTATGAATGAATATTATTATTCAAAATATATATATATATATATATATTATATAGATTGAATACTAATTATCCTTATATATATATAGTGGTAACCGAATGTGTTATTCAAGAACTTCACAAAACTGGAGATCATCGCGCTGCAACGGTTGCTAAAAGTTTTGAACGACGAAAATGCAAACATCATCTTCCTGTAACTAGTCAACAATGTATATTGGAATTGATTGGATCCAACAATGATAATAATTATGTTATTGCAACTCAAAATGATATTATACGAAAACAAATCCATGATATTCCCGGTGTACCCGTCTTACGTGTTAAAAATGGTATGATTATTTTGGAACCTTTATCAAAAGTGACAAAGGATGCTATTCTACAAGTAAGTATGAATCAAATATATATAATATATAACTCATTTTTATATATGTTTTATAGAAAGAAAAAGAAAAAACTCTACCTTCTTCTGCTGAAGCACAACAATTAAAAATAGCCAAATTGGTACAGAAACCTCCAACTGAACCTGTTCACAAGAAGAGAAAAGTCAAAGGTGCCAATCCTCTTAGTATGAAAAAGAAGAAAAAACAATCTCCTCCTCCACCAAAAAAACAAAAAAATCAAGGCAACAAGAAGAATAAAAATACCAACAACGACAAAACTACTACTAATACTACTTCCAAGACTGGTGAAAAAAGGAAACGATCATCAGATGATACCAAAGATTCATAGACTGTCAGTTACACTTTATTTTTTTTGACATATATAATAAAAATTTGACTTTTTTTTAGACTCCCCTTTTTTTTGGCTCTTTTTTTTTTTTTTTTTTTTTTCCTTATTCCTTTTTTTTTTTATGTCCAATCCCTTAGATCATTGTCTTGAACGTCTTCATTTAACTGACAATACCAAACTTCGTGAACGTGCTGGATATTATCAAGGTCAATGTTCTTCCAAGGTACCAACTAGAACATTTAGTAAAGGACCAAATAGTCAACATGTTATTAGCATTCAACTGGCTTATGAAAGGTATATAATTTATATATTATGAATAATTCAAATATTCACTCTTTCTTATATATTAGTTTAGGAATGTTTGGATGGAATAGTAAATTAGCAGCCGAACTCGCGGGTTGTAATCAAAAGACATATGAATCTACATTATCAGCAGTACGAAAACACTTGAATCTAAAATCAACCATTACCTTCGATACACTTGGTGTTGCCTTTGGATCCACTATATTGGCTACACATGCTCAAGACTTTTATACTTTTTTTGTAGAACAACACATTGCCAAGCTTGGTCCTGCACAACAAGTTTCAGCAAAAGAACAACTGAATTCGGCAATATGGAAGGCTGCTGCTTTTTATGTATGCTCAAAAGCAGTTGGAGTAAGTAATATATAAGAAAAAGAGAAAAAAAAAAAGGTACTTGAAGATAGCTTACTTTTTTTTTTTTTTTGGTTTATTTGTTTGGATCACTCCATATATAGACAAGACTAGATAAGACGAAACTACAAAATCTGTGTACCTGCGGTAGCATAGAATTCAACAAAAGTGTTACATTAATTCAACAGGAATGTGAAACCAAATTGGAGCAACTCAAAAAGGAGTTTACGGTATTGACACGATCGACCAGAAAAAGAAAAGCAACAGAGTCAGTGATCGAAGCAACCAATGACAACGAAGGATCAATCAAGGAAAAGAAAACATCTAAAAATAACAATACAACAAAAACAACAATAATACCCCATTCATCTACGAATAATAAGAAGAAAAATACTGTATCAGGAATTGTATCGATGATTAATTTACAAGATTACCGTGATTCCAAGAAATATAAGGATTATATTAACTGGGAACAACAAATCAAGCAACGATTATCAACATAAGTATTACATTTAGTGTTACCTTTTATTCCGTTGTTATGAAAAAAAAAGAATAATAAACAAAACCATACCTTTTATGAAAAATAATATGTATTTTTTGAACAAAGCAGAAGTCAAATAGATTTGTATCTCAGCTTTTTTGGCTTCACCCCTCTTTTTTTTTTCAAATTTCGGTCATGGGATTTTCTCTATCTTTATCTTTCTTTTCTTTTTTTTTTTTTTTTCTTTTTTCTTCTCTTTTTCTTTTTTTTTTTTTTTTATTTTCTTTTATTTATTTTTTTTTTTTACACGTCTTCTTTATAAATATTGTATACTGAACAGTGGTATATAGTTATACATTTCTTTCTCTTTTTTATCTTATCTTTTTTATTCTTTTTTTTTTTTTTTTTGGTCTGCCCCCATCCATTCTTTTTTTTTGAAAAATAAAAAAAAATGTATTCACCTACGCAGCAAGAATTCAATTTAGACTCTGATTCTTTCCAACATGCCATGACGTCGCAACATACAACAGTAGGCGCTATGCCTGTACGAGGTTCACAACAACAACAACAACAACAACGTAATAGCGGGGTGTTCAATCACCAAGCCTCGTATCACCATCATCCCCACCAACGACAAAGTAGTTTTGGTACTGCTGCTTCTATTGCAATGAGTCCACCAAGAGGGATACCTTTTAATACAGTTGATCCTACGGCTTCAAACTGGTTTGGTACAAGCTTGGACTCTAGCTCATCTTTTGGTCAATCCCCTCCAACTATGTTTGCCACAGGTGGTGGTCGAAACGACTTGATTGTGTCTCCTTCAAACTCTACTAGTCATTTGGATGGTTTTGTAGGCAATGAAGACGATGAAGTACAACAGAGGAAGTAAGTAATACTATATGTATATATGATATATAATTAAGATGTTTGTTATTATTATTATTATTATAGTTTACAAGAAATGTTTGAAAAACGAAGAAGACGAAGAGAATCACATAATGCAGTGGAACGTAGAAGAAGAGATAACATCAATGAACGAATTCAAGGTAACGTATATGGAGCATCAGGGGTGGAAGGAAAGAAAAAAAGAGAGAGAGAGAAAATGTTAATCACAGTATATATATAAAACCATTCTTTTTCTCACGGTTTGCATTGAACTTTCTTTTTTTTTTTTTTCCTTCTATTTAGAATTATCAACACTTCTTCCCGAACATCTATTGGAAAGTGCACCCAGTAGCTCCAATATCAACACTTCAAATATACAAAATGGAGGCAAGGCGATCAATAAAGGAACGATTCTAAAACTCTCAGTGGATCACATCAAGGATTTACGCGAAGAAGTTGCACGGTACAAGGATCGGGTACAAGAATTGGAAAGAATGATTGAAGCTGCTAAAGGTGGATGTACAGCAGGACAACAACAATATATCAAGGAAGAATATCATCATCAACAACCTCGTACAACATCTACTACTTCATCTGCTATCAATGGGATCGGTGGAGCAGCATATATGATTAACCAGCCTCCTCCTCCTTCCACTATGAAGGATGATCTTCATCTTTTTGGAAGTAACTCATCGACTATACCATTGAACAATACCACTTCTACAACTAAGCCTAACAATAACAATAGTAGTAACAACAATGCCTCCAATGAACAACATCACTCAGCTACAAGGCATGAAAGGGTTGGATCACTTCAATTTCAACAACAATTTGGGAATTTACATATAGCCAGTGATGATCCTACTTCACAATCTTGAATTTTGGGGGTCCTTCTTTATTTATATTAGTTTATCCTTCCTTCCACTTTCTATTCTCCTTTCTTTTTTGATATCTATGTTTTATGACTGTAATTACACTTTCTTTTTTTTTTTTGTTATTTTTTTCTTTGTTATTTTTTTTTATTATTTTTTCTACTTGTTATCTTATCAATAAAAAAAAAACAAATCAATCCACTTTTATTATTCTTGATTCTCAAATCAATCCATTTTTATTATTCTTGATTCTCATCGGTTATCAATTCATGATATCATTTTGACTTTTTTTTTTTTTTTTATCTTTTTGAACAAGGAGTGTGTGTCATCATCATGCATGGCTTCATGTCCGCTCATCGCCGATTCAACCACTGTCTGTTTCCTTTTTCTTTTTTGTTCTTTTTTTTTTTTTTTTTTTTTGTTCCATCGGATCTTGTAATAAAGTTCATCATTCAAAAAAAAAATCATGATTTGATTTTGCTTGATAAGGTATAACAGACAATGAATCATGGGTTCATTATCATCATCATCATCAACTAGACTCTCCTTGATCAACCTTTTTTTAGTTCCTGTTTGACCTTACGCTGAGAAAATGTTTCATGTACTCCTATTGGTTGATATTAGACAATTAGCTAGTATTGGGGAAATCGTTTCAAATAAATCATCCATTCAAATTATCATTCATCACATCAAATAACTTATCAAAAACACATCAAAAGCATTTGTTCAATGATACCATTCTTCATGAACAGACTGACTAAAAAAAAAAAAAAGGATCCACTGGTTTGGTTCAATGAAATGTAAGGACTAAGAATAAAACGTAATTTTCTTTTTTTATTTGTTTGTTATGTTTTTTTTTTTTTTTTTTTTTTTTGATTTGGTCATATTTCCATTATTTTGGCATGGATGAAGATGATTTGTTGAAGGTCTTATTGGTTTTGGTCAAATTAAAACCTTGAATCAACATATAATGTAGATCAGATTACGTTCACTATCTCTTTTTCAAATAAAATCATCAAAAATCCATAGTGGATTTTTTTTTTAAAAAAAAAAAAGACTGTGTCCTTATGGATGCTTGGTCAGATACAGCTGATCTCATATTTCTTATGATGTTTCGACATTGCTGAGATAAGAATGCAAGTATGACAGGGTATTTATAATAACGATAGATCTGGTTAAATTACACTTTTTCTATAATGACGACAATTATGTAGGTGATTATAAAAACATTGAGTATATTTCACAAAAATGATGTCAAATAATAAGGTTGATTACATTTTAAAGAGTGTTGTGCAACTGATTCAATGTTGATATGAGAATGAATATGATGAATCATCATTGATGACGAATAGATAATAATAATGAAAAGATACTTAACAATTATTGAAGGTAATGGATGACTCGTATCATTACAGAAATGATCGTATGTACTACAGCATTATAAATGACACGATGATATTGGTAAAGACAATAAAAAAAAAAAACCAACTACGATGATTTTATTAGAATAAGAATATGACAATTGTATAATGCAGACTAACTATCAATAAGAGAATCACCACAAACAGAATCATAGTTCAAAGGTAACTCCACCAAACCAGAAGAAGAGATCATAAAAAAAAAAAAAAAAAAAAAACCTTCTTTACATGTTTGACTTGTTTCCCTTGTCTAGTCCATTCTTGTGGTACATCCATTCAGTTGCATTCTATACATAAAACAAAACAAAACATAATCATCAAAAGGATTAGTATTCGTAAAAGACAAAGGATAACATTGGAAGAAGACGTTGAAAAAGATAATAAAAGTGAATTTAAAAAAAAAATAATGAGAAGGAACAAAGACAATTAAAAAAAAAAAGGATGAAGGACAATGTAAAAGAGAGAGAGAGAAAAAAACAATGGATTGAGTGTAAAGGAAGATAAAGTAAACACTGGATAAGTATAAACACAGATAAAAAAAAAAAAAAAAAAAAAGAAGAGACAGAAGTGAAAAAGTACTGGTGTAGTAGGAAAAAAAAATAAAAAGGAAAGAAAAAACACGATGTTACAAAAAAAAAAAAAAAAGAAAGGTAGAGAGAATAAAAAAAAAAAAAAAAAAAGAACAATCGCGATGAATTTCCACTCCAAAAATATTGGCAGGTAAAATTAAGCTTAGCCAATCGGAAGACTCTTCCGAAGAGTTTTTCAAATTCCGCCGTTTCACTTTTTCATGTAATTACAAAATTTGAAAAAGTACTATGGGTTCATGGTCTAGTGGTATGACGTCGGCTTTGCATGCTGAAGGCCCGGGGTTCAATTCCCCGTGGATCCAATATTTTATTATTTTTTATCATATTTTATTATTTAGAAAATTGAAAAATGCATTTATTATATTCATGTTGGTAAGAAGTTGTTCTTTTTCTTGCCAATATAAAAAAAAAAACTATCTTTTTTTAATTTGAGGGAAATTTTAAACATCCGACGGAGTTCAATGTTACGCGTGACTGACTTGGGTGAATGATTATTCTTTTTTTTTTTTTCTCTCTCTTTTTTTTTTTTTCTCTTTTTTTTTTTTTTTTTTTTTTCTTCTTCTTTGCTTTTTCCATTCAAAAAAAAAAAGACGACTCAAAAGCATGTTTCGACAGATATGTCTACAGGTGCGCCATAATAACACCATAAGGAGAAGATTACCGTTTAGGATTTATTCTAAGCCAACAATAATAGGTATGAAACCAACCAGCATGGCACAATGTTCAAGACAGTTGACAACAAGAACGACAAGGATACCTCAGCTTGTGCAATCTAGTGATACAGTGACGGATGTACTTGAACAAGTAAATACTGAAATAAACAACAGCATTGGACATGAATTACTTGAAATATATGCATCAGAAGGACGGTGGCACGATGCACAAGAAGTATACGACAAGGTATTCCGATACAGCAACGACAATGAAAGTGACATTCGTACCAATATGATAACGTATGGATTATTGATGGAAGCCTATATTCGAGGGGGTCAAGAGGATGATGCTATGGAAATATATTATAGTCTGAAGGATCATATCGAACTTCATCCTACGACAGCTCAACAAAAAGGACTTGAATTGGATGCACGTTTTTATACCCGACTTATTACCGCGTTGACAACGAATTCAAGGATAGATGAACAAAAAGAAGAAACAATATCTCGTGATTTTGGTTATACGGTAGATGATGGTGCACAAGAAATTATGAATGTAGAAAAGGATAGCTCTGGTGGATTACGATTAGCAATGATATTATTTCAAGATATGCGACAACAAGGAATGAATGTAGATAGCGCGTGTTATTTGGCTCTTTTACAACGATGTGGATTAGAACAAGATAGATATTTACTTCAACAAGTACATCAATATTTACGAATGGATGATACGATTGAATTGGATGATTCAATGGTTTATGCATTGATGTCAGCTTATCGACAATTGGGGGATGAAGATGCTATGGTATTTGAAATTTGGGAAAGTATGGGTAACAAGAAGAATATGCAAGAGGATATGATTACTTTGATATTGAATATGTGTCGGGAAAAGAAATACAAGCTTCATGCAGTCCGAGTGTGGAACCAACTATCTTCAATGCAGAAATCTAAATCAAGTTATCCGTTGATGGTGTCGTGTCTTTGTGAAGCTGGGGAATGGAATCATGCCAAAGAAATTGTACTTAGTCAACAACATCAAGATCATCATACTTACAATGAATTGGTTGAATTATTGATACATTATGGAAAAGAACAAGGTCTTTCTTCTGATCACTGGTTGGATTTGATGTAGTTATATAAATTAGCATAGATAGATTGATAGATAGATTATTATTATTATTTTGAATTGTATGTATTCTATATATAGTGATGATGATGAATAAAAAAAAAAAAAAAAAAAAAACATAGTCCATACTTGATGATTTTCAATGGCATGTTATTTCAGAAATCCTCCTTTTTTTTTTTCTCACCTTTTTTTTTTTTTTTTTTTTTTTGTTCCACTCCCTTTGATTATGACTTCCCCCACTTTTTTTTTTTTGATTTACCCCTTTTTTACGATTATTTAGCTTCTTTTTCCCATTTTTCCCAATCCCCTTTTTCTTCTACTTCTTTTTGCAAAACTTCTTTTTTTATAACTTTTTACTTGATCAAACAATTCATTGATTTATCATGGCTCATGTAAAGGATGATTATTATCAAAAAAGAAATATTAATTATTTATCATTTTATATTATATTCTTCTTTTATATAAAAAAAAAAAAGAGACTTGGTGGACGTAGAAAGAATGTGAAAAAAGGATTTCAATTTACTTTAATGGTCGTAGGTAAGTTTAATGACTATGAAAATAAATAAAATAAGATGATGATGATGATAGATTATTTTCCTTTTTAGGTGCATCGGGTACTGGTCGTACAACGTTTGTCAATACTTTATGTGATTCTAATGTTCTTGCGAAGAAGATATGTGATAATCCTGAAGAAGCTCATAATGAAGAAGGCATCACCATCAAGCCGGTTTCTGTAGGTAAAGTCATAAAGAAAAAAACAAATTCTTTTCAAAGAATATCTCCTTGCCTAAAAGGAACCCCCTTTTTGCTCCTTGATTTCTTTTTTATTTTTTATTTCTTCTGTTGATTTGATTCATCTTTTTTTTTTATTGTCATTTTTGAAATAACAAAATAATCATTATCTATTTATTATCTATATATTCTTTTTTTTTTATTATAATATTAGAATTGGATGAAGATGGTGTTAGGTAAGTTGTTTTTCTTGGATGGGCCAATTTTGGTTCATGCACAAGGGAATTTTTTTTCTCCTAAGTATTTTGAAGGGGCGACTCACATCTTCCAAATCTCTTTCTTTCTTTCTTTTTTTTTTTTACTTTCCCAATTCTCCTTTTTTTTTTTTTATTTTTTATTTTTCTCTTCTTCTTGATTTATGTTTGGAGTAGAATTTCCTTGACCATAGTAGATACTCCTGGTTTTGGTGATAACATTGATAATGAACATTGTTTCCAAGAAATTGTGGGTTATCTTGAACGACAATATGACGATATTCTAGCAGAAGAATCACGTATTAAACGTAATCCTCGTTTCCGTGATAATCGCGTTCATGCTTTACTTTATTTTATTTCTCCTACTGGTCATGCGTAAGTTTATCAATATATTTATTTATTTATGCTCAATTCTTTCTTAATTCCACCTTTTAGTCTTCGTGAAATTGATATTGAACTTATGCGTCGTCTTAGTCCTCGTGTTAATGTAATTCCTGTTGTTGGTCGTGCTGATTCTTTGACTCCACAAGAACTCAAGGATTTCAAGAGAAGGGTAAGGTTCAAAAGAATATATATATATATAAAACATTGACCTCTCTCTCTCTTTTTTTTTTTTAATTAGATTATGGAAGATATTGAACATTACAATATTCCTATCTACAACTTCCCATATGATGTGGAAGAAGATGATGAAGATACTATTGAAGAAAACAGTGAACTTCGTGCTTTATTACCCTTTTCGATAATTGGTAGTGATGAAGAAATCGTGGTAGGTGGTCGTACTGTACGTGGACGTCAATATCCATGGGGTGCAGTAGAAGGTAAAAAAAAAAAAAAAAAAAAAAAAGAAAAGTGATTCTATATATTTACCTATATATATATATATAATAGTGGATAATCCTCAACATTCTGATTTTGCTCGATTGCGTTCGGCTTTGTTAAGTTCTCATTTACAAGATCTCAAGGAAATTACTCATGACTTTTTGTATGAAAATTATCGTACTGAGAAGTTGAGTCGAACTGTCAATGGTGGTGAACAAGAGTAAGTAATGAGATGATATTTATATATATACTAATTACCCTTTTTCTTTTTATTTTTCCAATTAGTGATGCCGCTTTGAATGCTGAAGATATGGCCAGTCAAAATGTACGTATGAAAGAGGAACAATTACGAAAGGAAGAAGAAAAGGTAATTCGTTGTGCGATAGAAAAAACATTCTAAAATATCGATTATCTAATATTCAACACTTAGTTACGTGATATCGAGTTGAAGGTACAACGTGAAATTCAAGAAAAACGGGCTGAACTATTGAATAAGGAAGAAGCATTACGAAGTCTGGAATCAAGATTGGCACAAGCTCAAATTGCTGATGCTTAGAATTAGTTTGTTTGTTTTTTAATGATATCATTTAGTATTAGTATTGATATGATATAACTTCCTATTTTATCATTAGATCCCTTTCATACTTTTTTTTGCATTTCGTTTTTTTTATATCTATTCTTGTTTTTCTTTATTTTTTTTATTTTATTTTTCTTTTCTCTCAATCTTCCTTCCTATCTCCCCATATTTTTTTTTATCGTACCTAGTTTAATAATTTTTTTTATATGAATAAACGTATTTATCGACCTCCTTTTTTTTTTTCTTTACTCTATTGTGATCAAGAAGAGATCGTTTGTCAAATCATACAGGAATAGTCGATTTCATAGACCGCACTCCAACTCCTTTTTTTTCTTTCTTTCTTTTTTCTTTTTTTTGTTCTTTTTTTTTTGCAACTAACCTCCCATCTTTATTCCCTTACTTTTACCCTTTTTTCTTTTATATATCCTTACATTCTTTACTTTGGTTCCTCCATGGCTTCAAACACAGAGTTCAGTAATCCTCTTCGGAAATACAAACTTGTCTTTTTAGGCGAACAAAGTGGTAAAAGAACAAAAAAAAAAAAAAAGAAAAAAGAAAAAAAAACAGTAGTCTATTATTTTCTAATCTCTTGATTGCTCTTATGATAAAATCTAGTGGGAAAGACTTCACTTATTACTCGTTTTATGTACGATACTTTTGACAACACTTATCAGGTAATATTTCAAAGGAATCATATTTTTTTTTTTTAGGAGGAAAGATAACTGGGAATCCATTTAGAAACTTGTTCATTAATATTCTCCCTTTCTTTTATCTTCTCCTTCTCTATGATATATTATTTTAGGCTACTATTGGTATAGACTTCTTATCAAAAACAATGTAAGTGAAAACTAGGCTTGTCATGTAGAATATAGTATTCATTTTTTTTTTTTATTTGTTTGTTTGTTTATATCTGCCTTTTTTTTTTTGCATACGACAACCATTTTCAGGTACCTTTCCGAACGGACAGTACGTTTACAATTATGGGATACAGCTGGCCAGGTAATAAACAGGATACATGGTTGTTATATTATAACGTATTTTGATCATCGCCTATATTATCCAACCAACAAATGATTCAGGAACGGTTTCGATCTTTGATTCCAAGCTATATTCGGGATTCTTCTGTGGCAGTGGTAGTATATGATACAACGAGTAAGTGACATTTAGTAATATTATACAATATTATGAGATAGCATCAAATCAATATGACTGACTTAAAATCTCTCTCTCTCTCTCTCTTTTTTTTTTCTTTATATATATATATATATATATAGATCGTGCATCTTTCTCCAACACAGCGAAATGGATCGAAGATGTTCGTGCAGAAAGAGGAAATGATGTCATTATCGTATTGGTTGGCAACAAAACCGATCTTAGTGAAAAGAGGTAACAAAGAAAGAAAAAAAGAGGTTGGAGATAGCTCCTATATATTAATCATTCAATGATTTTTAGAGAGGTCACTACAGATGAAGGGGAAAAGAAAGCCAAAGATCACAATGTCATGTTTATTGAAACTAGTGCAAAAGCAGGTCACAATGTAAGTATTATCATAATGTGTTTTTATATGAGCGTATGTATCTCATGTTTTTATTTATATTTATGGGATGATTTTTTTTTTTTTAAAAAAAAAAGGTCAAGACACTCTTTAGGCGTATTGCTCAAGCTCTACCAGGTGCCAACTCGAATACAACTGATGGTGACCAAAAAGAACAAAGTAAGTTATTCACTTCAACTGACAGAAGAAGGAAAAAAAAAGAAAAGGATTATGACTAAAGACCCTTTTATTATTATTATTATTATAGTGGAGAAGGTCGACCTTCATCATTCAGAACCAAATGAAGCTGGTGGATGTGCATGTTAATTTAGATAGGTTTCCTTCTTTCTTTATATATATGTATATATACATATATATATATTATATTTACTCTTTTTATTGTTATTCATAATTCAATACTTCATTCAGTTGTTCCTTTTTTGTCATGATTTTATTAAGATGTATCAAAATAAAAAATATTCCCATTTTGTTTCCAGACATGAAAATCCCTTACTTTTCCAATTTAGGAAAATTCCAAACTGAACAAAGATTTTATGTAAATGGATATACTTTTTATTCAATTTTTTTTAAAAAACAAAAAAAGTCTAAATACAGGATAAATAATAATAACAATAGAAACATAATATTAACTAGAATACATAAATAAAAAAAATAACTATGATGCAGATTCTTCTTGATGGGTCTTTGCAAAAGTAGCAGCGACAATAAGAGGGAATACTAAGGAAGCTTCAGCATAGACCTTGACCATTTGACTGTTTGCCCTAATCTTACCCCAAGAGACGGCTTCATCTGGACGAGCACCTGCATCACTACCATCATATTCCTGAGCCGTATTGATATATACCGAGAAATCAGCACCGTTTCGCATCAAATTGGCATTACAGATATGATGTTTGATAACCCCACCACCTAGGATGATCATACCCGTTTTCTTAGCGAAGACTGCTTCGTTGTTCATATTTCGGATATCACCTGCAATATCTACAATCAAGCCAGGATTCTTGTATGAATGGAAATAGATCATGTCGCCAAGGGAACCATCCGTAATAGCAGGACAATATACTGGAATATCATTTTTAGCACACCAATAGTAGATACTGGATTCATCATTGATTTCTTCACCAAGTCGTTTGATCATACTTGAAGGAGTCCAGATAGTTCCCTATACATATATTTATATAATTGTTCAATAATGAAAATATAGACCCATTTTTTTTTGATTAAAAAAAAGTAATACCTTTGATTTCTGTTCTTCCAACATCTTGTCCAAAATAGGAATCACCCAATCTTCAAATTGACAATAATTATTATTTGGTACAAGCAAGTTACCAATACGATTTAAACCTTGTTTACGAAGATCACTTCCTTTGAGAGCAAAGTCTCCAAGATAAGTAGGAGCAAGGCACTTGATAAAATCTTCTTCCACACCACCAGCAGTAGCAACAATGACGTCCACCATTTTGTGTTGAACTAAAAATTTGATAATTTCACGTACTCCAGATGATACTAAATTCGAAGTATACCCTAAAAAGATCTTGCACTTAGTTTGTTGACGTACTTTCTGATCACGATATTCTTCAGGTTCATCGTCAGCTACAGGTTCATCGGATAACCGCCATTGAATCTATTCAAAGGAAAACAAGAAAAAAAAAAAACAGTATCTTATTAGTACAACTTTTATAACAATAATAATAATGTCTATTTTCTTTTTGTTACCATTTTTTCAACAATTTCAATAGCTTCACCTAAACTACTTGCTTGAAATCCCATAGCTTTATAAGACGACAAGAGATCAGTCAAAGACATGGGTTGGTTGAAGTCAGGACCTTTGATCAAAACTGAATCCTTTGGCATTTCAACTGATTCCACAAACACAGCAGCTTGAGCACCAATAGGTTCCTGGTTAGCAGTGTTGATCTTGTTATTGTCGTTATTAGCCATTAAGGAAGAAGAAGGTGAAGTAAAAAAAAAAAAAAAAAAGAAAAAGGAAAAAATAGGTCCAGCTTCAGTTTTTTTTTTTTTTTTTTTTTTTTTTTTTCGGAAATGAAACTCAACTGCCCAGTTCCAAATTCCCTTTTGTTCCCTTTTCTTTTCCTTTTTTTTTTTTTCCCTTCTTTTTCCTTTCTTGTCTGACTTGTCTTTTGGAAATATGCACCATTTCACACCATTACGACTAATATTATGATATCTGGTCTTTATTCCACTAGAAAAATTTTATTTTTTCTCTTCTTATTTTGTCTTGTACTTGAATGTTATTGGCCATATACCCTAAAATCACTCGCCTACATCATCCAACTTGGTATTCTCAGTTTATGGGGTTTATTAACTCTCAACTTACTAGTACTTTATATTTATGTCAAATATTTTATTTCTCCTACTCGTATTGGTCAAGACAGTATCAATAAGTTAGACTTGGAAGACTTTCATCCTTTACGCTTCTCTCAAAAATTTGCCTGGTCTCGACTACAACAACAACGACTTCAAGAAAACGACTCTTCTTCAACTTCACCATTATGCTCGGATAATGACGTTATTTCGAACACCTTCAACGAACTTGTTTCTTATATTATTCGAGACTTTATTCAATCTTGGTTCAACAATGTATCTCCACCTAACGAACAATCCTTCCCTCTTTCTGTTGATCATATCATTCGGTCAGCTGCTTTTGCTTTGAAACGCCGTCTGGAACAAGTAGATACCATGTCAGTTTTACTCAATCGTCTTGTTCCTCGTATCACTGCCCATATCTCGGAATTCCGTGCTGCTGAGGTCGCTCTTCGTGGACGCTTCTTGGAACGTTCTGTTACTGAATCTGATGAACTTGACTTGTTACTGGCTTCCCATTATAGTGGTGGTAAACTTCATCCTGCTCTGACCACCTCTGCTGCTACGACAAAACCTACCGAAGTTGCTTATCTACGTCAAGTGGTCGATCGTATCTTACCAAAATTATTGGATGCTGATCAAGTCAATTGTGCTCCTGTCCGTGTTATTGTTCGTGAAATCACCACCTGTGCATTGCTTCAACCTATTATGAATATGCTGGCTGATCCTGATTTTTGGAATCAAACGATCGATACTCAGGTACGGATTCAAAAATCAAATGACTGAAAAATTAGGAAACATTTTATTAACTCTTTTATATTTTACATATATATAGTTAGGAATGGCTCTTCGTGAACAGTAAGTAAATAAAAAAAACACTTTTTCAGAGAAATATTCATTTCCAATACCTTTTTCCAAAAAAAAAAAAAATCATCAATAGGAAAATGGTACGACAGTTACGTGAAGTATTGGATCGACATTCTAATGATATGGATACTTTAAATGAATATATCGAATCTGACTCGAGCAATCTATTGAACCCAACAACACCATCTTCTTCTTCCAGCAAACAATATCGCAAGATGGGTCCTATTAGTCAATTTTCTTCAGCATTTTTGGGAATGGATATCGATGATGATGTGGCATGGGATGATCAAGACTTTGATCCGGAAAAAACGACAAAACGACAAAACTTTGGAAGTTCAAGGATGGGACGCCGCACTTTCCAGGAATTCTTGAAAAGGATTGAAGAAGAAAAGAATTTGTTGGATCTCAAACGACTTCGTAATGATGTAGTGACACAAATCCGGAAAAAGAAGGCTCTGATATGTAAGTTGACGAAACAAATGAAAAGCAATAGAAAAAAAAAAGTGAGAAATTTTAAATCTTAATTTTATATACTTATAGTGGACCGTGATCCTGAAGAAGTGATCGATGGCGAAAAGGTGGAAGATCTTATAGTATATGTTAATCGACTATCTGTGGCAAAGAAAAGAGTGGATAAACGAATAGCAACATTATCTGGCGAACACGTGGATTTTGTAAGTAGAAGAAGAAAAAAAAAAAAAAAAGGAAGGCAGCATTAACAAAAAGGATGAAACAATTTTCTAATTTTGATCTATCATATGAAAATAGAAAACATCGGCATCACAGTTTTTTGGTGTTCGAAGGCAACGTCCTAAACAAATATCACTTAGTTCTGGTTTTACTCTTCAAGACATTTTGACCAATACTGCTGGCTTATCTTACTTTATGGAATTTATGGATCGACGAGGCGATATGGTGAAACTTCAATTTTGGCTTATTGTGGAAGGATTCAAAAGCTCTGATGATGATGAAACTAGACAGGATGATCAAACATTTTTACAAGATGTCAAAATGGTATACGATATGTATTTTGCTGCTACTTCACCACACCGGCTTTCGATCACCGATCATTTGGAAAAGGATCTTCTACAATCAATTCAATATGCTCAACAGATCATGCGTGATGGAGGAACCAATAATCTTCAATACAGTCAGGCTATCAAAGATATGCGACAACAATTATATCGAATTCAACAACATTTATTATGGCAATTGGAAAAGGAACACTTTCCTTATTTCAAGCGATCTGATCTCTATTTTAAATTTTTGGCATCTACACCAACTCCTGAAACTGTGGTACCTGGGCGACGTAGTTTAGACGATACGACTCTATACCGGCGCTCTTGCTCGGTAGATCAAAAACATCATCATCATCATCATCATCGTCATCATCACCATCGTCCTGCAAGTCATGGTAGCACACCTCACAGCAACCACGAAGGTAGCAATGATCGACTTTTACCACCAGTGATAGGTATGGAAAGATCTTCATCAGCAAGAATGACAACAAAGCGAACACCATGGATGTCTCAGGAATCGAATCAAAAGGCAGATTCTGACACTGAAATCAGTACCAGAGAGAAAAAACGGCCCTCTATCTCTATTTCAGCCAGTGATGGTCAAGATAATTCTATGAGTCCCTCTCATTCCTCAAAATCATCATCATTACAGCAAATAGGTCATTCAAGAACTTTATCAGATAACATCATCTCACCTGTGACGGATCGCAGTGGCACATCAAAGTTCCTCTCTTTTGGACGCGTTTTTGATTCTGCAAATGAATGGTGGCGAGCTACAGATTTTGGAAATTCAACACATCAACAGCAACAACAAACACAACAAAGCAGAACAACGACTGGAAGTATCAAACGAAACTCTGTCCATGGTTCTCTCAAATCGACAGATACTGAATATCCAGATACAGATGAGGAATTATCTCACTCAGTCACCACTTTGGATGAAGATCAACATGGAACTCCACCTCCCTCTGAGCAACCACGTCAACTCATACGACGAAACACAGTGGACGCCGTAGAAGCCGAATTACAATCCATTATTGATGGCAAGGAGAATAATGGTAACAATACCAAGGAATCATGTTCGCCAATAACAACTTCTCCAATATCTGCAACATTACGACCTCGATCATCATCAGGAAGCGCTTCACTTCGTCGATCTCCAAATGTATTTATAGGGGGTAGCAGTGTAGATATCAAGTCATCGACAGCAGATCCTGTTCAAGTGGCCAATCCTACTACTTCTTGGGAGTCTTCAAGAGAAAACAAGCCAATTTCCCAAATGATCCAGGACCAGCTTGAAAATACAACGACATCATATCGTACAACTGCAAACAAGAGCAATAAACAGAAGATAGCGACAATCACGGAAACTGATAATACTATCACTAATGTTCACCTGGCTCCTCCTGGAGATTTGATGCTGGCCGACAAGGTACACAAACTCTCTGATGAAATGGAGAAACTGATTCAACAAGAAGCTATAGTGGATGTATTGATCAAGAAAGCTGAAGCGAAAGACAAGATTGAAGAACTGCGGATCCTTCTCAAAAGCAAGAATATGTTTAGGCGGGAATTGGAACAAATGCAATATCAAAAGAACCAGTACGAATTGCAAGAATCTGAAAATGTACTCACTCCGGTAAGTGTTGATTTATTTCGTTACACTTCTATCTACATATTCTCACCTTTTTTTTTTTTTTTTTTTTTTTTTTTTTTTTAAAAAAAAAAAAAAAAAAAAAATTAGGATCGAACAAGAGTGAGTATTACAAGCTCGACGATTGGATCAGATCAACACGGTGATTTTGCGCTTTATGTGATTGAAATTCAACAAATTGGTTTTGATGGCAACTATGCATCTGGATGGATAGTAGCAAGACGATACAGTGAATTCTTTGGATTACACCAAACTTTGAAAGCTACATATCCTAGTGTCAAAATGATTGATTTTCCTTCAAAGTGGCCTCTCTTGAAACTTCAGAAATCTTTTGTAGAAGCAAGACGGATCAACTTGGAACGGTATTTGAGACGATTATTAGCGCAACCTGATATATGTCAAAGTGAAGCACTTCGGGTGTTTTTGTCACAACAAAATATTTATGTCCCAGGACCTCGACAACCATCTCCATCGAACTCATTTTATCAAGAAGCAGTCATCTCCCCATTTGGATTTTTACCGTTCATACCCTCAGCATTCTATGGTTCAGATCAATCAACATCATCAGTCATACCTCAAACATCATCCAGTTCTTCATCTGTTGCTTCCAACACTTCCCCAACGGGTTATCATCCTTATCAAAGATCCTCTAGTGAGAAAATGATACACTCGTTACCTAATGATCTAAGCCGGAGCAGCAATCTTAACGACAAAAAATCAAAAGGATTTATGCGTCATATCTACAATACGGTGGCTGCAGGGATCGACGATATGTTTGTCACACCATCCATGTTGGATCTGATTACTCAACGACTAGGTGAACAAGTGATGGGATTCTCTAATGATGACAATGATATGGTGATACAGGAACAACAACAGCAGCAACAACAACATATATTGACAGCAGGATCATCATCACCATCAACACCTCCAAGCTCCTCTGGGTCAACATCTCGATATTATAAAAAGTCAACAGTCGTGGATGAGGAAGTGTCATCAAGTGATCTGATGGATGACACTATGCAAACAACTGCGGCAGGAACTGCTTTAGGATCCGAACTAAAACCAGTAGATGTAGAAGGCATGACTAGATTCACGGAACCATTATGTGATCTATTTATTGAAATGTTTGAACTCAAGGAAAAGAATAATTGGTTACGACGACAAGCTGTGGTGATCATTCTTCAACAAATTCTTGGTGGAACTATTGAAAGGTAAAAAAAAAAAAAAAAAAAAAAAAAGAAAAGGGGTAGGGATTCACTTTGATTTTTTTTTTTTTATAGAAAACTACGGGACACAATCAAATATCTAGAAACCGAATCTATGGTAGTATTTTATTTCCGGAAAATCATGGATAGTCTTTGGCCTAATGGATCAAAATTGACTTTCAAGCCAGCAAGAAAACCGGAAGAAAAACAACAAACAAAAGAAGAAGCAAATCGGAAACTCTCAACATGGTTACCAGGTAATATATATATGATAGGAAAATAAGAAATTATGTATTGATCTTTTTTTTTTATAGATCTACTTGGGAATATGGTGGGAAGACAAAACGCTAGGAAAGGGGCAAGACGGCTTTTCAGTGTTTTACAAAATCAACGTTTGAATCAACACTTGGTATATATCCTCCTTGATGAAATTGTCTTGGCACTCTTTCCCGATCTAGATGCCATGCGATCGACCACTTCTGGACATTTAGTATAAAATATTCTTTTTTTAGTTTTGTAGTTTAGTTTTTGATTTTATTCTGTTGTATTTTTTTATTATAATACATTTTATTGTCTTATCATTCTATGTGTTTAGAATATAAAAAAAAATTGTTTATTTATTTATATATTGATTCAATAGGATATGAATAATAAAAATTGTGTTTGAATATATACAAAAAGTTTTTTTTTAAAAAAAAGAAAGAATAATACTAAAAAAAATAACTATAGTACATAAAATAGGAAGAATACAAGAAAGATATGATGATATGGAATAAAAGGGAAAAATGGGAAGACAAAGAGAATAAAAATAAAAAATTCGTTGTCGTTTACACATTGTTGGGTGGTATTCGAGTATCTCTTTTATGTTCATTGTAAGCTGGAGGAGGAGCAGTGATATCTTGTTCTGGTTTGAATGGAGGCGGAGGTTGTTCATATGGTTGATAGTTGGATGAATATGGATACTCTTGACCATGATATCGTGATGATGATGATGGCGGGATATTGATAACATGATGGTTGACTAACGGAGGTCGACGAACTTCATCTATTAAAAAAAAAAAAAGAAGTTAGTATGAATAGAAAATGATTCCTTTTTTTATTTTTTCTAAATAGAATATTTACCTCTTCTAGGCGTATTGGACAACATTTGTTTCCGTCTTCGAATATAGAGAAAAAACACAACACATAAAAAAGCTGCACCGATCCATAGAAAGATCAGTGGATTAAATTCCATCATTGAATTTTTTTTTTTAAAAAAAAATAATAATCAAAAAGAAAGAAAGAAAGAAAGAAAGAAAGAAAAGAAAAAAAGAAAAAGGGAAAAAAAGGAAATATAAAAATTCATCGGGTCAAGTGAGAGACTTTCTCTATTTTTATGCATCCAATGAAAGACTGCTGGGCTTGAATCATGTTTCTATCATGGAACGCCAAGACAAAAAAGGTTTACTTCAAGAAGTTTTGCTGAGTCAAAAGAAAAAAAGGATGATATGAGTAAGAATATCCTTTTTAGGAGAAGTAGAAAAAAGAATTGGAAATACAAAGGTTTCTTATGAAAGAACAAAAGAACTACTGAAATGAGGATATTCTTTTCAGTTCATTCTTCGGTGGAAGTATTGCATTCATCCACCACTGGTTTTGCGTTCTGATTGAAACTCAGGATTGAGACAACCCCCGTTTTGCCCTGATTCTCTTGTGTAGATATTAAATTCGTATGATAAGAATCTACATTGATTGATTATTCTATGTAAACAGTGATTGAAAATGATTCATACAGTGATGATGCCTATAAATGATGACACATTTCTATCATAGAAATGGTAAAGATGGAATACTATTGACCTTGTCGAAATTCAACGTTTGCTGCCATGATTACATAAAAAAACTATTTCTCTAATTTGGATATCATTATATTAATGTTCACAGTCCATTCCAGGTAGTAATAAAATAATAATAATAATAAAAAAAACTCTTTTTCACCAATGATTATACGAATCTTTTTAACATGAAGTGATTAATATCTTGGATTTACCACCGTCATCACCATTTATATATATCTCATCACCTCATTCATCCTATATCATGTCATCATCGAAAGTAGATATAATATTGTTGATTTTAAAAAAGGAGCGTTTATTGATATATACAAATAAGGTCTGTATTATGATAACATGCGTGATAATAATAATAAAAGAGCAAATAATGAAAGGATGTCAGAGAAAAGAGTACATGTGAAAAACAAGGGGGGGATCTAAATCTATAAAGTTGTCAAATCTACCAAATCAAATCGTCGTGGTTTTGGTTGACCAGCAGGAATAGGAAGCATATCATCACGGTTGAAGACAATACCAACCAGACGTCGTTTAGGTTGTTCAGGATCCTTATAAAATTGTACGTATCCAGATTCCAAAGCATATAAAGTATGGTCTTTACCCATACCAATCTATACAATAATATGTACGTAAAGTTTAGTGCATGTATACTAAAAAAAAAAAACCTCATTCATTTATTTTCCTTACATGATCACCAGGATGGAACTTTGTACCTCGTTGACGAACAATAATATTGCCTGGTACAACTTGTTGTCCTCCAAATTTCTTGACACCAAGACGTCGACCAGCAGAGTCACGACCATTTCGAGATGAACCTCCAGATTTCTTTGAAGCCCATCGTACTTGGTTTGATACTATAATTCATGAATAATAAAAAAAAAAGTTGAGAATAATTGAATCAAATGGATAGTAAGTTTATGTATATACCAGAGGCTGATTCACAAAGGTTGATAGTTGTAGGACGTGCAATTGATGTCCATTGGCACATCTTTATGGTACTAGTCAAAGAACGATTCAACATTGACATAATTTATATATCAAAAGAAAATAATAATAATAATAAAAGAAAAATAGATAAAAGAAAAAAAAAATCTAAAAGAGCCTTGTTTTTTTTTTTTGTTGGCTCTGGAGGATTCCGCTTTTAAGATTGGCTCAGTCACAAGGGGGACGCATTCATGCTTGTTCCTAACCCCGCCAAGGTAAATGGTGGCTTTTTTTTTCCTTGAGAGTTCCAAGAGTGGAAATATTTTCTTTCCCTTTTCTTTCTTTTTTTTTATTTTTTATTTTTTTATATTATCGATCATACAGTAACATGGTGGCCAATCTACTTTCTAAAAAAGCTAAACGACTTGCGGCAAGGAAGGCACTTAAGGAAGAAAAAGTATCAACAAAAGAAGAATTGACATTGGATCAAGATACTGTTGATCAAGAAACCAACACTAGTGACGAAGACGAGGAACCCATTCTTGAGGACTCTCAGAATACCGATCAAGAAAGTGAAGATGAAGATGATATTAAAGAACAAGAACAATATATTCCCAAGAATGATGAAGTAAGCTTTTGTCTTTTTTTTTTTTTTAAAAAAAAAGAAAAATCCTCTTTTTGTTTTCGACTTCATTCTTATATCACTTTTTTTTTGTTCTATTTTATATATAGGATGCTTTACGGCGTTTGACTGACAAATTAAGACTTAAAGATCTTCCATGGATTGAAACAATGCAAGTAACCTCAACAAAGCCTATTGAAATTAAGCAAGACGACAATCAAGATCAAGACATGGCTCGAGAATTGGCCTTTTATCAACAAGCTTTGGAAGCTGCTCGCATTGCCCGTGATAAATTCAAAGAACTCGATGTACCTTTCTCTCGTCCTGATGATTATTATGCAGAAATGCTCAAGAGTGATGAACATATGGCCAAGGTAAAATAAAATATTGTCTTATGTGAGATTTTTTTTATTCAATTTTGTTTTTTCTATTGGTATTAGATTCGACAACGGTTATTGGATGAAGCTGCCCGCAACAAAGCATCAGAAGAAGCAAAACGACAACGACTTCTCAAAAAGTTTGGTAAAAAAGTACAAGTTCAGAAACAACTGGATCGACAAAAGGAAAAAGCACAAACATTGGATAAGATCAAATTACTTAAGCGAAGTAAGTTGGATTACAAAAAAAAAAAAAAAAAAAAAAAGGGAAGAGAACTAAATTGATTTTATTTTAGAACGTGCGGATGGTAATAATGAATCACTTACTTTGGATAATGACTTCGATGTTGCTTTGGAAAATGCGGACAATAAACGACAAAAGAAGGATGACAACAAGAAGGGTAAACCTACCAAACGACAAATTAAGGATAAGAAATATGGCTTTGGTGGAAAACGTGGCAAATATCACAAGTCAAATACTGCAGAATCATCAGCTGATATTGGAGGTCCCCGAAAGCGAAGTGGTGCTGGTGGTAAACGTGGTGGAAAAGGCGGTAGAAGATAGAAATATCCAGGATATCATTATACTCATTAGTCAACAATCATGTACAATTCTTTTTTTATTATTATTATTTTTTGCTCCAATTCTTAAGTTGTCTTTACAAATCATATTTATTCTTTCATTTTTTCATTTTTTTTCTTAAAACTTTATTCAATAATAAAAATCATCATTTTCCATTCCATTTTGACACTGTGCATATACCGTGATTAGCGAGCGGTTGATGAATTTACATCCATATCCAAGCCACTTCTGTCTGTGCCTGGTTTAGGCTATTACTGAGATTTATTGGAGATCGTGATATTTTCCTTTTTGTTTTTTTTTCCCTCTTTCTCTTCTTTGTACAATTTTTTTTTTTTTGTTTTTATAGCATATTTAAACATGCATCGACGATTCTTATCCAGTAGTGCAAGCGCATCAAATTATTACAAAATCACCTTGAAGCGATCCACCATTGGTCTTTCCAAAGATTATAAGGCTGCTGCTCATACGTTGGGATTATATCGTCTTCATCAAACCAGCTATCAACCTGTCAATGCCAGTACTGCTGGTAGCATCCTCAAGTTGAAAGAACTTGTCAAGGTTGAAAACGTCGATACGATTCCTACAAGAGAAGATATCTTGGCCTCCAAACCAGCTCGCGGCTACAAAGTCATTGGAAGCAAGATCTAGATGGAAGATTATTCTGACACTTGATACACGCACCTACATCAGCACGTAACATCTTAACTCTACACATACACATACAAATACACAAACAGCTATCCTTTTTACATGTACATTTACCCTCTTTTCACGAATATTGTTCATATCCTTCTCTTGTCATTAGTATATGTGTTTTACTTTTATTAGACTTGACACATTCAATTTTTTTTTTTTAATATCATTGTAATATCAAGTCCACCTTCTTTTTGTACAAAATCAGCTTTATCAATAAAAGGTTCTCTTTTTTGTTTTGATCTAACTTTTATCATTGTTTATTTAAAATATTGATTTTCATTCTCTGATGATAATGAAAGTAGTTTGACAGTATATATTTGTTCACTCTCTCTTACTCATTCTCTCTTTTTAGCCATCATCAACCTATGGACAATGGATTTCATCATCCTGTTGCCATTATCCTTCCTGTCTGATACATGTCAACATCAACTTTTTTTTTTTTTTTTTTTGCATACGATACAACATGATTCCAATAATTTCCTTTTATCCTTTTTCTTCGCATTTTTCTCTATGAATGCTGTATTATTGTTGATGATATATGTATTATTGAAAGTACTATTGAAATTAAACGTAATATTTCCCTTTGGATATTTCATTGCATGAATGGAAGAATGCTCTTTGAATAAATGAATTCATGACTGAGGAGTATGAAATTTTAGGTTGTAGAATTCAAAAGGATAACGCGTTTTTGATGCAAAATATCTGGCGCGCGCACCCTTCTTTCTTTCTTTTTCTTTTTTTTTTATCCCTTTTCATATAACTCATGACTCATGCTTCCATTGAACAATTACTTCAACAACTTATTAAAAATATCACCGGTTTAAATGTAAGTAAAACAAATATAAAAAGATAAGTTTATTATCCAGTGATAGCCACCTAACTTTTTAATCTTTTTTTCTTTTTTCTTTTCCTTTTTATATATATATATAGGAAGATTCAGCCATGTTGGATTCAACTTTGAAACATGCTCAAACTACTCTCTATAAACATAAATCAACAAGCACCGAAGAACACATTATTGATGAAATATATACAAAGTACGTAAGAGAGCTAAGGAAAAAAAAATAGAGAGATACAAGGAACTGATTTATTTGGTTCTTTTTATTTATTTAGCCTTGCCGACAAGTTTATGATCAAAGGTTACGATGAATTGGCAGATGATCTTACCAATGCAAAGACTGAATATCTGAACAAACTGAATCATGCTTCAGCTCCAGTAAAATAATGGATAATGCAATGAAATCACCAAAATTATTAACTGTTTGTTTTTTTATTCTTATCTATTTTTATACAGCAACGTATTCTTGCTTATGATATGCTATCTCTCTTACTGGCATTATCTGACTCACCTTTGGATCCTTCTATTGAAAGAAAACGACAGCTAAGGGATGTGAAAGAACAAAGGATCAGAAATTGGGATGATGTAATACGTGAAGAAGCCCTGAACGGCCCGCACTGGCGAACTTGGGACGACATTTCTTCCGATGATGATGATGAGGACTGGGATAATGAAATGGATTATAGCTTTTCAACTATATCAAAAGTAAGCAGATGAAAATCATCAAATGAATATAGTCAAACTTGTTGTTCATTCTTCTCTCTCTTCTTTTTAGCCTATCCAAACAGCTCCATCACATCCACCAAACATGAATGATAAGATAGATCGAAAACGGATCCAGTCAACACGGTACACCTCTTTGGAAATAGATGGTAGTAATCGACTAGAACGTTTGAATCATCGACAATATTGGAACAAAAACGTAGAAAAAGATGCTGATAACATAGGTATGTATATATATATCTCTGTCCCCTTTTACTCAAATTCAACCCGAATATCATGTACTGATTCAACATTATTGTTCAATAGAGGAATATGCACCGCCTGATTCTATACTACACAACGCTGGACAGCTCAGTAAGTTTTTTTTTATATTCAACTTCATTACCAAGAAAAGTGAACTTTATTACCTTTTGACATACTAGATATTGCATTACACAAGGTCAATGGTCCATCGGAACTGAAAAAAAGGTGTCATTTTATCGAGGAAATAGATGCAATGCGTGAAATTTTATTCTTATTGTATGGTTATGAAACGATTCTTTTCAAACGATCTACAAACAAGGACGGAAAGTTGATGGATTCAGTATTTTACGTACGTTAGCAAAAAAAAAAAAAAAAAAAGGGATACAAACATAAGAAAACGTCTGACTAATATATTATCTATCGTCTCTACTTGACTAGTTTGATAATAAATATTCTATCAATCATCTCAGCGATCAATCATTCAAGTCTATAATGGACATGTTTTGTGAACATGGCAACATTCTGTACAAATTAAGGCGTCATGTGAAAAAGTAATCCTAAAAAAAAAAAAACCATCAAAAATTAAATAAGCTCCATGATACTAAAATAGTGCACATTATTGTAGATCTGTATTTGTCAGAAGAAATGGTCAAACATATCAGTCTTTTTTGATGTCCATTTCCGATGCTCTAGATGATTTTGAAAGGTTACTGGCTGAACTGGAAACAAAACTGACAAGAAGATCCACTTTTGGTAGGGCATGCATTGATACAATTCTCATTTCTCCATTTTATTTCGATTAACATTATTGTGATATAGATTCTCAAGATACAATATCTCTTCTTCAACTACAAGAAAAACTACAACAACCTTTATCTTGTCTCAACTCTATCTATGATACAATCACTGAATGCTCAAAATTTGGTAATAATATATATACATATATATCTGTCGAACTAAATATTTATTTCTTTCTTCCACAGTGTCATCAACATTATCATCAACCAATGCTCGGTCGATGGCGACCTTCCTATTGTCTACATTATTCAATCAAGTGGTAGGAGCACAAATGCAAGGCAACCATCACATTTATAAGGCAATGCTTTCTATCTTTGAACAAACTTTGGCACCATATAGTCGTTTATTGGATGATTGGATCCAAAATGGTAGCTTACAGGGTGATGTAGCAGGTGAACTCTTTGTCAAAAGGTAATTTGATGCTAATGTTTTGGTTATATACTAACATCTATTTATGTTGTCAACCCATAGAAATGAGAACATCAACGAAAAAAGTCATCTCTATTGGTCTCAGGGATTCTGTATCGATGGTATTGAATTGGTGACTCCTGATTGTCCTTTATTCACCTTTCATTTTACAAATCGTCTCCTGTTTGTTGGAAAAACTATCAATCTTATCAACAAAATCAATCCTGATAATGTAAGATGAATAAAAAGTTGAAAGTGGAGAAGAGATTTACAACTGTATAAGATATGAACTAACTCTCAATGTAGGACTCATCTATTATAAAACATCATTGTTTATATACCTTCATCTGTCAACACTTAAAATATCCGTTAAATGTATCTGACAATCGTCCAAGATTAAATTCTATCAATTATCATCACTCACGACCACCCAATTGTCAAGCAACCACCAATCCATTCCTTTTATATGGTGTACCGACTTTGAACCAGAAACTGGAAAGTATCTCTGAAACTAAAGTCAATCCAACTATTCAACCATCCAACAATACTTTTCTTTTTGAATACCAACTTGAAGAATGTTTACAAATGTATATAGACTCTCCATATCAAGAAGCAACAAAAACACTACTTAATGCTTTGCAACAACATGAAACAACGACTTTCCATTTAGGGGCACTCTCAACCATATTTCTGATGCAAAACAACGATCTGATGCATACATTTTGTGAAATTATCTTTGTACAGGTAACTTATATTACAAAAAAAAAAAAATCAAAAAAGATTAAATGGAATGATATGAACTGAATTCTTTTTTTATATATATATATATATATTCACTGGTTTATTTAGATGGATATGAAGCAACCTTGGTGCGATCATGGATACATTAACCAAGCTTTTATTGATGCATGCAGGCTGACTCAATATAAACAAGATATGACTTTGGTCAATATCAAAGTGGATTTGAATAAAGATGACTTGAACCAACCTCGAAAAACATCTTTGCTATCTGAGATCAAGGTGATGACGACTGCGACATATTTGGACCAACTCAATATAGATTATCAGGTACAGCAAGCAAAAAAGAAAAAAAAAAGTCTTTTGTTATTTTCTTATTCATCATTTTATATGTAAAATATGAAAATGATATGATTTATAGATTCCGTGGCCAATAAACAATTTTATCAAACCTTATTGTTTGGCAGATTACAACAAATTGATGCAGTTGCTACTTAGGATCAAGCGTGCCAAGTATGTATTGGAAAAGAGGACTTTATGGAACTGCAAAGGAGAAAAGATGTCAACTCTATCAATAGCAAGAGAAACTCAAAATGGATATATCACAAGACTTTATGCTTTACGTATGCGTATGATCTGGTTTGTTAATGCATTCTGGAGATATACTATGACCACGGTAAAAAAAAAAAAAAAAAAAAGTATCATACCAGAGAATTCTATATATATATATGTGTGTGTGTATGTGTGTGTCTGTATTGACACTTTCTTTTTCTTTTTAGGTGTTACACGCCGATACAACACGGTTCATGGATAACCTAGCTAATATACAAGATGCTGATGATATACCTCTCCTTCATGAACGGTACTTGGGACAAATCATCGATAAATGTTTACTCAATACAAAGGTAAATAAAACAATAAGAAAGGGACTAAGTACTTTAAGGTAATGATGATGACAAGATCTTATTGACCTATTTTTTTTTTTTTTTTTTTTTTTTGCTTTTAGTCTGTGTCGATTAAGAAAGCAATCATTCATATTCTAGACATGGTTGAACAATTGGCTGATCTTTTTATGGACTTGGATATCTCTACTTTCGAGTCTTTGGACATTCTTGAAAAGGATTATATGCGTACCAGTGAATTTATTACTACAAGTATCTCGATCATGGGTAGAAAAGGCAATTTGGAATGGTTTGATCTTCTTTCAGCATCTTTATCTGTGTAATTCTATTCTTATTATCCCTCAATATTCATCTTTATTAGTCTATGTACTATACATCACCTCATACATATGATACCCCTCCTTTTTTTTTAATTTTTTTGTCAAATAAAGTCAATAAAATCACATATATGTAATATTCTATTTATTCACAAAGCTACATAACTGACAATTTCTATACTACTATCGATAACTATAACAATTGGTATGTCGTTGAACAAAGCCCAGTTTTTGGTAAAGAGAATTAGCAGCGATACGGTCGGGTCGGCTGGTCAGTTCTATGGTTCTGACATCAAGTGAATCTTTTGCATAGGTAATGACGGTCTCTATAAGTTGTTGAGCAATCCCTTGACAACGCCAAGCTGGATCCACCACTACATCTTCAATATGGGACCGGAGACCTGTGAGACATGCTGTCGTTACCAAGGTTGCTGTACCCACTATCATATTGTTATTGGTTTTGGCAACAAAGATAAAACTAGATGGCGATAAAACAGCGTTCTGTAACAATGTCCTCGTGGCTGATGATGATAAATGATCATGGACAAGTGGTACCAACTGTTCTATCTCTTCTAATTTGTCTGATTTCAATTGTTCAATAGTAATCATAACTAAAAAAAAAAAAAAAAAAAAAGAAAAAGGAGTGAGTGTCCTAGTTATTCGTCCATAATGAAGAAATACCCGAACTTGCTTTGTTGTAGTCAAAATGAAAAAAACCTGCATTGCTACAGATTCTCACCCCTCGATTTATTTTTAACCAATGAAATTGTCTTTTCACTTTTTGGAGAAATCTATTCCTATTTGCTCATCCCGCATTCTTTTCATTTCTCGCTCAAAAGCCATCATCATTGCACCAAATTTGGACCAAACATACATGAAATTATTCTCTTTTATTTGTCTTATTAACAATTGATATCTTACCTCCCAATTTATAGAGTAAATTAAAAAAAATAAGAATCAATTTAGTCATCCTTCATCCAATACTATCCAATAAAATGACCATCATTAGATTCCTCTCTCAAAAAAGTAGTGTAAATGATCTAACAATATTTTATCGCCTTGCCATCTAATATGCAATAATCGTCAAAAGGATTCATCCTTTTCTTTTTTTTTTTTTTTTTTTTTTTTCAAAAATTGCCTGATTACCCTTCGAAGATTAGATTTTACAGCGAAAATTTGGCTGAGGAGTTGGAACTTTTGACTGTAAATCCAACAAAAAAAAAAAAAAAAGATGAATCCACAGTCCTAAATAGTTCTAATCAACTTTCAAATTCCCATTTTTCAGCTTAAATCTATCATCATGCAGCGCCATTAAAAAAAAAAAAAGATGTGTATATCATCTATGATTATTTCTTTTATTAGTGGATCAAAAAGATAGCATGTCAATAAGTGATAGAAAATCTCAGAAAAGTTCATCCTCATTCTAAAAAGATATCTTCAAATCCATTTTGAGGTCGAAATCTAAAACAATCATATCATAAAACTTATTGATAGTAAAACAAGTGTATATCATCCATGATTATCTTTTTTTATTAATGTGTCAAGGCGCATTTAACACTAAAAAGGAAAGTTTCTATTGTGCAAATTTTATCCGGATATTGAATAATAATAAGCGGATGAGGGATGACATATTGAGGTGACAATGGGGCGATGATGATGGTGTTGATTGATGGTGTGATATGATGATTGATGAAGGTGTCCCAAGGATGAAAGTCTTTCTATTTTCTGTCGTCGAACATCATCCATCATCATTTAACAAATCGTCATCACTCTCTACAATCATCATGTAAAAGATATTTTGTCAATATACAAAAAAAAAAAAAAAAAAAAAAAGACTCCAGTAAATCATCATTATCTGCGTATGAAATCAACCAGCAATCTGATGAATAAGTATGCTAAACTTTGACTAGCTTGATGATGATGACGATGATTGGCAATGAAAAAGGAATCATTATTAAACTTATTACCTTATGAAGTAGGCAAGTAAATGAACTCTCCTGGGGGAGGGATTGGAGAAGTTTTTGTTATTATCTGTTGTGTTTGGTACGACATCACATGTGTCAGTGAAACTTTCCTTTTTTTCTGCCTCATCTAACGTAGATGTTCAACTCCGCATTGCATCTAATCAACCAAGTTGCCATATCCAGGCAAAAATTAAGTTAAGGCCCCTGATTTTTTTTTTCCCTTGAGGAATCATATAAAATGAAGACAGTCTTATTATTATTATTATTATTTGATCAAAGTATGAAAATTATTTCTTTGTTGTTATTGGTATTATTGTCAATCCTATCTGTTTTTGCTAAGGATCAAGACAAGAATACTACCCAATCATTCTCTTCAGGGCTTATTCCAGGTCGATTTTTTGACAGAGTGGTCATTTTTATTTTTGAAAATCAAGATTTTTCCAAGGTGGTTAAAAATAAGTATTTTGCGTCCTTACCAAAGAAACACAATGGTAAAAAAAAAAAAAAAAAAAAAAAAAAGAAAACACCTTTGACATTGATTACTTTTTTTTTTTTTATCAGGTGTGTTATTGACCAACTATCTTGCCACTACTCATCCCTCTCAGCCAAACTACGTACGTTATTATAAAAACAATCCGGATGGTTTTTTTGATTATGATTATTTCTAATTCCATATTCTTTTTTTTTTTAAAAAAAAAAGATTGCATTGATTAGTGGTAGTACCAAGGGTACTAATCAAGATGACAAGTCTGATATCAATCGACAAAACATTGTGGATCTTTTGGAAAAAAAGAAAATCTCATGGAAATCATATCAAGAAGATTATCCTGGTCATTGCAATACCAAGATGGATATCAACAACTATGCTCGCAAACATAATCCTTTCATGTCCTTTGTCAATATCAGTAAGAATAAGAAAAGATGTGCCAATATTGTCAATAGTAAACAATTGGATGAAGATATCAAGAACAATGCAGTCCCTCAATTTGTATTTTATACTCCAAACGTAAAGATGAAAATCATCCTATAATATATATAGATATCTAACAAGGATTATTTTCCATTAGTTGAAAAATGACGCTCATGACACCAATATCAAATATGCATCCAAATGGTTCAAAAAGTACTTAGAGAAGCGCATCAACAATAAGGCTTTGAATAAGAATACAATGTTTGCTGTTACCTTTGATGAAGATGATGGTGGAGGTAATAATAAGGTGTACACTGCTTTGTTTGGCCCTGATTTCCATCGCAACAAACATTCAAGCACAGATTCCCAGAGGTACAATCACTATTCCCTACTTCGAACAATAGAGGACAATTGGAATCTTGGTACTTTGAAACAAAATGATGCCAAGGCAAAACCTATCGATTTGTAGCAAAAACCCATTCGATGAACCAAAAAGAGAAACCATGATGATTGCAGCTGAGCTGTTAATATTTTTAACAAAATAAATAAAGAATATGAATCAACATTGTTTATTATCGTATATATAAATGGATGGTGTAAATAAATAAAAAAATAAAAAAGATACTATCAAGGATAAGGATTATCAACTAATATCCATTATATCTGTCGTCATGTTGATTGTTGTATATACTGATCCGGTGTGGTCGTTTGAACTTGGCTGATGTTTCTTGTTGTGATGATGTGTCTACTGTGAGTCCTGATATAACCTTCGATAATGCTGTAATAAAAATGGCAGAGTAGCAATAAAAGAGAATAAAAAAAAAAAAAGACATGAGTATAAGTTGAGTTGATGAAAGAGAAAGTATCAAATTGAACTTACATCGTCTACGGAATCCAGGTCGCGTTGCGGCAAGATATAGTGAGTATGATCGAGTCTGTCCATCATCCATATTTGAAGTTTTGAGTAGTTGGTATGCATCAGACGGATTGATCAATGCGTAGTTGAGGTAGAGTACACCAGCCCATCCACTTTTGACATCATGTATAATTGGAGCTAATTTTTGATCCCATTCTTCTTGTACCTAAAGGGGAAAGAAACTGATCAATACGCCTAAGAAGACTAAATAAATAAAAAAAAATCAATCCATGACTTACAAATTGAGGTGTCCTAAATATTTCAGCTAGAATGGGCGTCATAGGCAATTGTTGTATACCGTGAATGTATTCCATATAACGTCCAAAATAAGTTGTCTAGATTTGTAAAATATAACTTTAGTTAATCGCATTGACTTTTTTTTTAAAAAGAACAATTTCACGTACATAATCCAATTTTTGTTCAAAAAGAATACCAGTGACCTTGTTACTGACCAAGCCAATATGCCTATTTGTATTGGAGTCTAGCATCCAGAAATATTCATATGTCGTTCGTTTCATGATATCAAGTTGTAAATTTGCCAGTTGAACCAAGGGTGTATTCTTTGATGCTAGTCCCCATAGTTTCATTCCCCAGTAAAAGTTGACAGCTTCTGGAACAGATTCTTGATCTCGACCATCCATGGCGCCATTGATTTTGATTCCACCTATAGGATAATTGGTCATCAATCCTTTCACTTTATGCTACCTCTCCTTCTTTTTTATTATTATTATTATTATTAGTTTTTTTTTTTTTTTTTACCTGCCCAAGTATGTCCAGCAAACCAATCCCAATTTCTATATGGAGCAAAATGGGTATCTTCTCCAGGTGAGTTCACATCACGTATGAGAACTTCAGTCCATGTCTTGATTTCATCACTACGCCAGGTTGGATCCAAATAATGAATGATAGCAGCTATTACGAAGAAAGAGATAAAATAATGTTAGTAAAAATGTACGCTTTTTTTTTTTTTTTTTTTTTTTTTTTTTTACCTGTCACTACAAAGTATCCTTGATGATAATGATGATCGCTATAATAAGAATGTCCAAATCCAGCATCAATATTGCCAGTACCACCCATGGAAGTAGGAAGACCATTTCTAGACACAATGCCTTTGTAAACTTGATCATAATAGAAAGGATCGTTTTGTCGATTTTCTAAAAATACAGCAAATGCAAACTTGAGTTTATCCAACGATATACGTGCCAATTCAGGGTTTCTTAGTCCAGTGACTTCAGGTTGATTGAGTAATAGAGCCAACAGTGCATATTTTTGAAGTGCTTTTCCAGAAAAATAGTTATCATTTTTGTTGGTTTCCTTGTCATAATCAGCGTTGCCAAGTTCTTGAGCCAAGTAGGATAGAATATCATTTATTGTGGATGGTTCAGGTTTAGGTTGTTTTGGAAACCAATCTATGGATGCGCTTTGATTAAAGGATGGCATATCATTGTTTGAAGATTGCTGTTCTTGTAATGTCCAAGTATTTCCTATCACCGCGTGCATGGTACCTTTGGTTGCTGATTCCAACCGAAGAGATGTTTGTTCAACATTGGTCAAAGTTTGTATATGGTGAGGATACGCAAATATCAGTGGTTCACCTTGACCTTGTGTTTTCCATTGAATTGTATACGAGCTATTTTTGTTGAAAAAAAAAAAAAAAAGAAAAAAGGAAAGAAAAAAAAAAAAAGAAAAAGTGAAAAAAAAAGAAAGAATTTTTTTTATACACCCGATTTTTTTTTTTTTTCAGAAAAACCTAAAAGGGAAAAAAAAAAAAAAAAGAAAATCTCACCCTTCATTAGGCACCACTGTACCACCTGTAGTCCAAGTTGTATAATATTGATCTAAAATAGATTCATCCGAAGTATTTGACAATTTAGCTAAACGAATAGTACCGTTGTAAGGACCGGAAGTTGTTAAGCCAGAAGTACCAGAAAACACCAGATGTAAAGGATCATCAAGAGCATAAATGATAAAAATGGATGAATTAGGATCTTCCAAAGTTAATTTGAATTTTGTTCCAGTATAAATAATAGTTGATGTTCCATTGATTTGCTGCTCATGCTGCTCATCACAATCAACATGTAAGATATTGTATTGAGTGATGAAATGTGGTGTCAATGCATGGTAATGAGCAGTGACATAAGCCATACCGCGAGCTAATGGAAATTCAATAGATTGTGCCTTATTATTACCACTGATGAGTTGAACAGTGGCTCCAAAGTGATCCCATGATGTGACCTGTACAGTGGGTGATGATCGGTTCGTTGCCCATTCTTGACAGCTAAATCGCATATCCACTACTACCTGATTTAACATATATGCAGCCGATGATCCTGGTACATTGTTCATAGATGGATATCCTCCTATTGTTTTCTCTTGCTTTTGTGTCACAGAAAGACCAGGATGTCCATCAACAAGTTTGTCTAGAATGCGAATGGTATATGGATCAGTATTTGTAGACGCCAGATTGTTTGCACTTGGATAAAAGAGATTGGACATCCATGAGTTGGTAGGTACGGTCTGTTGATCATCAGGATTACTACCATTGACAATAAATTGTGGGGGGAAAGGATGCTGAATGGTTAAAAATTGCTGTGGTATGACATTATTTGAAAACATGAAGTTGTTGGTGTCACATAAAATTGCAACGAAGAGGAAGAAGAAAGTGAAAATGACGATCATCGCTATTTGTCGACTGTATAGTTGACAAAGTATAATTAAAAAAAAAGGATAGTACTAACAACAGAAGAAAAAGAATAATTATATTTATTCAAAGGAAAAAGATTTAAAATATATATATAAAAAAAAAAAAAACGTCTCCCAGTCAATCATCAAATGTAAATCATCTTAATGATGTGATCACCTAGAGTACTTGGAGAAAGAATTGCAGATGTTTCAGTTGAGAGTAACCGTCATCGTTATCAGAAGAGGAATCATAATAGATTACCATCATATGAGTTAATTTGGTAGGAATAAACCTTATACAGCATGTCAAGCGTTGAGTCATCATCAAAGCTATAATCATGACATCATTGTGATCATCTCCACTACCACACGCTTTGATCATAATACATACGATCACTGTCACTATTACCATATAATCACTGTCATTAATACCATATCATTACTGTAACTAATACCATAAAATTACTATCACTTTTAATACACGATCATTATGATAATAGAGTCACTAATCACCGTAGAGACATCGTGATAAAGTAGTCATCATAGTTTATTCTTAGAACAGAAAGATACTGGTTTTGACGATTATGATTCATATTTCCACTGTTCTAAAACATCTGAATCTTTTGGTTATCATTGAGTCCAGTTCCCCCCTTTTTTTTCCATATAATCTTCAAACATCATTTTAATAAAAGCCCCACCAAATGATAGACTTCAGTCCAGAGTCAAAAAATATTTCGGTTCCAATCAAAATAAAAAAAAACATCATCACCTTTATTATTTCGAAAATAACAACCATATCACAAAACTAAAAATACAACATGAGGATATCACCAAGATTGTCTATTACTCATACTTGAGTTCGCTAATCTATATTTCCGTAAATCTAGAGTATAATCATTCATCCTTGTTCCCCAATCCTTCAATCGGACCACTACTGCCGTGACATTATCTTCGGAATGAAGTTGATCAGCTGCATCCACTAATCGTTGAACCGCCGTTGTTGGATCCTTCTTTTCCTTGATCTATTTATAATAATAATAATAAAAAAAAATCAATTCATAATCACTACTTTTTAGCATTTATCAATATCAATATAGACTACTTACAAAATCAACGATTTCCTGATCAGACATGATGGACGTGATACCATCTGTTACAAGCACCTAAAAATAAATAAAATAACGGATTTATCATCAACTAACATCATTTGTCAATTCATTCTCTTACCATAAATGCCGCCGGATTATCCTTGGTGATCGTATGTCGTATAACATCTGGTTCAGCCGATACGCCATATCTTTTGAGTGTAGCATCTCCGAAAGCTCGACTGGTCGCTAACATACCTAATATTCTGTCATCTCCCCAGGAATCCGTTGTGATAAAACCAGCATATTTCCGTAGCCGTTCATGTTCAATAGGGTTGCCTGGATGATGATCGCCGCTTGTCAATGTCACTGCTTCACCTGAATTAGAATCACAAAGTAAAATACTAATGTATACAAGTATATATACAAAGGTTAATTGAAAGATCGAATTACTTTTTTTTTTTTTTTTTTTTTTTTTTTTTTTTTTTTTTTTTTTTTTTTTTTTTTTTTTTTACCGAGTATCACCAACATGACCAATGATAATATCGTAAGCTTCACTTTCCCAAAATGGTTTGTCATCGTGAGGTTCTAAAATAGCAACACTACCCGTTGAACCTTCATTAACTAAATGGGGATCATTCTTTTCGTTTCGTAGGTTTTGAAGACATTCAGTATCAGCTTGAAGGAATCCAAGTGTCAATCTTTGTTCCACAGAAAGATCAGTGCGAGATGTCACAGTCGGTAAAGGTACACCAGAGTCGTCCACAGCATTCCGTAATACAGCAGGAATAGGAAATCGTCGAAAGTAACCACGATAAGCACGTAAAGTTGATAATATTTCAGGTAGATCATCCAGAGAAACTGTTTCTATTTTTTCTTGTAATTTTACAGCAAGCCAATCAGATACTACGGGTCCACCATGTCTTTAATATCAATAATATTAGTGTCATTCATATATCATTGTCCACATTGTCCTTTCACACGTACTTACCCGTCAAAGATACCAAAGTAAGCCCTGTTGGCATCCTTTTTCATTGTACGTAAACAATCTCCTTCTGGTAGTTGTAAGGTAACGAATCTGAAACGGTCTTCGTTTTCCGCCCTGGTTCCGCGTGAGCTATGTGCGCCTTGATGATGCAGTGTCAAGATCAACACATACAAAAAAAAAAAAAAAAAAAAAAGGAACAAGTAACTATATATCAGTGAAACAGTAGTCAACATGTAATTTTTTTTTCTTTTTCTTTACCAATAAGGTGCTTAGATTTGGCTAGATGAAGTCGAAGTAAATTGGTTTCTAAATAATATAAATAATGGAATATGATATTGGTGATGAAGACATTAGTTGATATCTACAGGTTCTTATAGTTCCCACGCTGGGTATGTTGTCTTTTCTATTTCCTTTTTTTTTTTTTTTTTCCTGAAGTCGTTTTTTACCATTGAATGCTCTCGTAAGATAGTAGTCTTCATAAGAGAGTCGAGTTGAGTATGTAAAATATCTATTGAAAGGATGCCTTGCCAATCTTCGGCAAGTTTGTGATAATAACATGTGTTATAAGAAGAAAGAAAAAAAAAAAAAAAAAAAAGAAAAAAAAAAAGAAGAAAAAAAAAGGAAAAAAGCGGGGAAGGGTTATTTTCTCCCCTCTGTAGAATCCCGCCGACAGAGCGCTTGGCCCAATACCAAAACTGGGAACCTTACTATACGACTATACAAAGGTCAACAGGCAAGGGATCAAAAGAAAGGAAAAGGTTTTGATTGAACTAGAATGATACCATAACTTAATTTTGATAGGTTTGTTTCTCTTTTAGTGGGATCTACATAAAAATCAGAGGATGACAAAAAAAAAAAAAAGGTAATCAATATTGGAAGAAATCGAAAGTATTATAAAACTGTTCATTTTTAAATTATATCTTAGAAGGTATACAAGTCAAGATATATTTGTACAACTATATGGATTGACATTATTAGATCCATATACTATTTCATTTTTATTCATCCATCAAAACAATAATAATAATAATAATAAACTGTCTATCCATATCAACATATACAATCTATATAAAAAAAAAATAAAAATAAAAAAGGAGGACGCGATGCATATGAAGAACAATAAAAAACTATAAACTAAATTAAACTATACATTAAAACCAAACTAATGGACTACTTGAATTCCAACACTTTTGGCCACACCAATGATACTTCCACAAATACTTTCTAGTGATAAATGCTTGAGGTTGGTATCTTGTTGCTTCAACTTGGCGATCTCGTATACATGTTTTAAACTGACGTTGCCGACAATTTCTGTTCCAGGTTTTGATGCTCCTTTGTCAATACCTGCTGCCCGTTTCAATAAAAAGGTAGTTGGAGGTGTCTTTGTAACAAATGTAAAGGTACGATCGGGTTTAATGGTAATAACAGTTGGTACTGGTGTATCGGTAATAATATGTTTGGTCTTGTCATTGAATTGTTTACAAAAATCCATGGATTTCACACCTCTTGCACCTAAAGCAGGTCCAACAGGAGGTTGAGGTGAAGCTTTTCCTGCTGATACTAATAATCGTACAAGTACTTCTGCTGCTTGTTGCTTTTTGGACATGATATATTTATATATTTATAAGAAAGAAAGAAAAAAAAAAAACAAGAATGGTAATAAGGGGAGGGATGGGGGGAATGTGAAATTTACAATTGAAATATAACATGGTGGCTTTTCTAAAAAATTACCTTGAAACACCGCATGTGGCCCTTTTTCTTTTTCCTCTCTTTTCCTTCCCTTTTCTTTTCGCTCTCCTACACTTTTTTTTTTATGCAAATTTTAAAAATGACTCTATCTCCCTTTGTTATTGAATTATCAGGTGATCATGATGATTTCTTTAAAAATCAAAAATTATGTAGTAAACTATATTAAAATACTGATGAAGGAATTATTTATTTTTCGTAGCTCTTATTACTGAATTACAAGCGTTGATAAAATTATTATCAGAACCAGGACAAATCTTACCATTATCACAACGCGTTTTAGAAAAAGTGGATCGTTTACCAACTGTAGTAGAAACTTCAAAAGAAGAGAATAGTATATTGGAATCAAATGGTAAAAAAATAAATCATCCTCATCTGGGGTTATAATGACATCATTTTATTGATAATAGGTGTTGACTTGTGGAACTGTGCTGCTGGACAACTATCAAAATTATCATCTTTTGATAGTAAAACTATGGATGAAACTCGAACAACACGTAAGTATACAATCTTATAACAAATAAAAGGTCATTCATTTTTTTTTTCATTTCTTAATTTATTTTTTAGTTTATCATATTGGATATAAGGTCATTATGCAAGCTTACAAACAACATATGAACAAGGATATTAATGGTAAAAAAAAAAAAAAAAAAGATCATTTTTTTTCTATTGATTTATCTCTCATTTTTTTGGTTTTTTCTTTTTATATGCATTAGTCCTTTTGCAATTGATTGATATGAGCATAGTCGTTGGATCTGGATGGACAGGAAAGTTTTGAAATGAATGCAAAACACAACAGCTTGTCTTATTTTTTTTATCTTCCTTTTTATATAAATAGGTTGCCATTCCTTTTATAAAGCTCATGATCTTTTACTATCCGCAGATCAAGTAAGATGTAAATAATCTAAAAAAGAAGTTTACTTATATACCTGCTCTTAATATATATATATATATATGTAGATGATACAGAAGATCAACAGAATAATAACTAATATGGAACAACAACCATTGAACTGTCAAGAAATATTACAAAAGCATCAAACGAACTTACTTATGGCGTGGGCAGAACTGGTATACAAGAAAGGAAATCATTTTTCCATATTTCTTTTTTTTTTATCCTTTTTTTTTTTTTTTTTTTTTGATTATATGTCATATAGTCAGCTAAACAAGATGAGTGGAAAGAAGTTCAAGTTTACGTTAAACGGTTACAGCGTAAGTCTATCATTCATTAGATAATCATCATATAAACATTCACTCACGTATTATTTTTTTTTCTTCTTTCAGAATCGTTGGCCTCTGGGTCTGATATTACACCAAAACATGTAAATACATTATATTCAATTATAATTATCATTCTTACACACACTCTCTCTCTCTTTTTTTTTTTTTTTCTATTTATATAGCTCAATCGGTTACTCAGCTTTTGCATTAACGTGGCATCGTCTCTTATCTATGGCAAGGATTATAATCAGGCTCTTCAATGGATCATTTCTTTTTGCTCAAGTTACAAGGATTACATTCATTGTGAACACTATCTTTTGGTACTTCTACTTAACATCATCTATCTTATCATTTGTATTACCTTCACTGATTATTTTTTTATTCTACCCCATCAGACCCGATTACTACAACTGATATGTAAGAGTGAAGATGTTTACACGAAATGCCAATAAGATTTATCTTACTATTTTTATTAGGTCACTTTCTGGACAGAATCAAGGAAAGAAAATTGGATCAAGTAGAAACACATCGATTACTAGAGTTACTTGCTCATTTCCCAGAGGTAAGGAAAATAGGAAGTGAAAATAGATATGCTGTGGGATATGAATTTTTTGTGTAGATAAACTTCACTTGCGTACCTTTTTTTTTTTTATTGCTCCATCTTATAGAAATGGAATACTGAATTGGATTATCACTGTGCCAAAATCATGATCTTACTGCTCGGTCCTGTATCATCCTCTCATTCTCTGGAGAAGGCTGTTTTTGAAATGATGGAAAATATGGATGTCGTCACTGAAAGCACTATTCATAAGATTCAAAGGTAATTAAAAAAGGAAGAGAAAAGAAAATCAAATATGAATTTTTATATATATTGGTATAGATTAGGCACTTTACTTTTACATCAAACAGGAAAACTCAGGTATTTATCAAGAATTTAATTTGAAGAGATATTGAAATTCAACCATTATCTTCTTATTGGATTAGCTTCGATCGACTTGTGGGTGCTTTGGATCTTTATATTCAACGTTGTTTAATCAATATTGAACCTTGTATCAATAATGAAAGTAATGGAAATTTTCCCTTTGCGCAGCTGTATCTCTTCAAACTCTTCATTATATCAGAATGGATAATGCGACAAGCAGATACCATTGATGAAACTAGGTACTACGATGAAACTATCAAGGCTATCATGCAAGGTAAAAGAAGGAAAAAAAAAAGTGGAGGGAATAGATTATACATTGGGTGATTTTGATATTCTTACGCCAAGAGAACTCTTTTGAATATACGCATATTGTAGAAATGTATCTTGTTAAAGATCAGTTAGAAACTCAAGACATCTGGAATTGTCAAATGGTAAGTAAATCATCATGGAATATAAATTATGGCGATACTGATTCCTTTTTTTTTTTTTAGATTCTCTGGACGACAGGCGATAAGTTTTTTGAAGTAAGTCATCAACCCGTCAAAAAAAGAAAAAAAGAGAGTACCATAATACAAAGTTAATTACAGTCTTGATTATTATTCTTTTCTTGCAGCATGGACAATATATGTATGCATTGGTGTGGTATTCACAAATATGGAGTCTCTCTATTACATTGCCACAGATGGAAGACAAAAACTTATTGGTGCTAGCGAGGTAATACAGCTGATATTTGGAAATTCAAAACACTGATCATTATATATTAACTATTTTCTTCTTAATTGACAAATAATAGAAAGATAACAGCTTGTCACATACAACAAAGAACTTTGGAAAATGCTTCAGTTTATATCGAAAGAGCAATTGGTGATACTGGTGACAAAGCATCAGCAATCGATTATCTTTTGTTATTGGAAGTCAGTATTCACCTCAAGAATGTCGAACAAGGTATCCTATGAAATATAAGAGAGGTAAATTTCCAATATGTAGTTGACTGATTATTCTTCTTTTTTTTTCATTTAGCTCATCACTATATTGATAAGCTCATTACTGTTCCAACTCTCACTATGGACAACTTGTTAACTGCTGGTCATCTATGCTACAAGGTAAGCAATAGTCATTATCTGTTTTGAGAGATGGGAATCAACAGGCTAGCGTGACTCAATTTTTTTTATTATTTGTTCAATTATTTAGAATGAACAAGGTAGATTGATGCAAAAGATTACAGATTATGCGTTCTCCATTGCCAAAGAATATGAAAGCCAAGAGGTCTTCAAACGCAACCTTATGATTCTCTTTAGGTATATATCAGAAAAGAGAATGAGTCATAAGTTCACAGTTGGTAAATTGTTCCCCCCCCCCGCCTTTTTTTTTTTTTTGAATCATTAGATGGACCATTCGATTTGCTATCACTGGGAAATATGGACATGATAACAATCCGACGTAAGTCAAGAAAGAGATAGTTAAATATATATATATATATATATATATAAAGCCTTTTTTTTCTTTTCTTTTTTCTTTTTAGAGAACTTTTGGTAGACAAGGATTCCATATTAAAGTATATGAAGAAAGGTAGAAGAGTATAAAACGATAGGAAAGAATATTATAATAAAGCATCTAGCTACCACGTCTCCTTTTTCAACTTTATTAGGTGCTGATTATTTTGGCTCAATGACCGGCGAACTTTCTCAATCATTACAGCAAGATCGTGACTGGGTCCTACGTACAAGTACGATTAGAAGAAAACATTCGTTTGAAATTTTACTGATGACTCGTTTCAAATTCTATTATTTTGATTCATCAGGTTGGAATCTTGGTTTACAGTTCTATGGGAATGATCTCGAAATGGAAGGTGCTGCATTATTCAAAAATGCATACAAGGTAATCACTAGAAGGAAAAGCTGCTCAGAAATCTCATCAGATGCATAAAATTATTCTTTCTCCCAAATATATTATAGTTACTCTGTAAGGTCGTGCTCCAAGGCTCCTTTAATAAACAATATTTAGCATGCTTATGTATTTGCATGGTAGATCAGCTATTCTCGACTTTTTATGATCAATTAACCCTGGAAGAAAAAATGATTGTATGTGCAGAGCTTATCTCAATGATCAAGAACTATTTGGATCTGGAATCAGATATATTTGGAAGTGATACCTTTGCTTCTATTATTACATTAATACAAGTTCAGTGTTATACCACTTTGGAAAACTTTACAGATGCTATGAATTCACTTGAGGTAAGAAATGAGAAAAAAAAGTTACTTCATCTAATTGATATTGTTGTTTGATTTGATAATTATTTTTTTTTCCTTTCTTTATATATGACATAGCTCTATGATCAACGTTTGATATCCTCTAACAATGTTGGAATTGCACACATATATGAATGGTTGGCAGGTAATCAGAATACATATTAAAAGAAAAATTATAGATGGTAGATATATGATTAATAGGGTACTATTTTTTGATAGGCATTATATTGCAGCATGAACGATGTCCCTCTAGTAGTAAGTCACATACAATCTGTAACAACAATAACAAAAAAAAAATACTTACTATACTGACATAATAATATAGCAACGATATCTATCTTGAAGATGGTTTCAAGTCGCTTTCAACAATTTACTCAATACGATGGCATGATGGACAAATGGGCCAGATGGAATAGAATGTTTATATCTACCTCAATGATGACCAATGAAAATAAAGAGGATGCATTTGTTTATATTGAAAAAGTATATCGATCAATCTCAGAAGACCATCTCGTAGTAAGTCAAAACAAAAAAAAAAAAAAATGTTTCCCTATACTCAATATGATTTTATGTAGTATCCTCAAAAGGAAATCCATTATTTAGTGGTCATCACATGGAACGAAGGTATAACTCGACTTCAGTAAGTCATAAAAAAAGATTACATGAATCGAAGTATTTGATCATCTTTTTATTCTTTAAGTTCGTCTGATGAAGATCAAGCTCATCGTTGGTGTAAGTTATGCATTGGTTTACTTTCTTATCTTGATTCTTCCCACACTAATGTGAAAACTCAGGTAAAACAATCCCCAGTCAATTCTAACTGCTCTATTTCAAACTTAATGAATGATATTTTTTTTTTAGATCAACCGCGCATACCAAAACCTTGTCCATACAACTGAAACATAGCCGCATGATTTATATGCATGATTCACTATTACTTGATCAATAAATAAAAATAGTCCATTATTCTTTTTCTTATTTTTCTCGATTTTTCTTTCTTTATTCAATTTTATAATTATTTTCGCAAGATGTTGTTAGAACTTTTTAGTAGAAGCAATATCAGACATTTACCTCATCAACGAACACCAGTTGAATTAAGGCCATTGATAGGATTTGTAGCCACTGCAGTAGGAAGTATGTATCATTTGTAAAAAAAAAAAAAAAAAAATCATGATCTAACATTTTTCTCTCTCTTTTTCTTTTTCTTTTTTTTTTTTAATTGAAGCTGGTTTATTCGTTTCAACAAGGAAATTACGTACAGATCCTGATCTTCGTAGTCATGCTGCAAGCTATTTGGCCGAATATTAAGAAAAAAAAAAAAGAAGTAGTTTGAATTCCTTATTGCCTCGTTTTTGTATATATAAATGGTTTCAAAGTTGTAGTGGTTTTGATGCTTTGAATCTCACTTTTTGAAAATAAAAAATTGGTCTATTTAGTTTATTTTTCTGTTTTCTGTTTTCTTTTCATTTCGAGTGTTGTGATATGATGAATGTAATGATATGATATGTATTATGATGATCTGATGATATGATGGGATATTGATATGAAAATCTATGTAGTGCTTGTCAGCGGTGTTTCAACTATCTCGAGTGACAAGTAGAAAGTGATAAATCAAAAATACTTTCTCTTCTCCTCTTTCTTTTCCCTTTTCTTCTTTTGAACCAACTTTTATATATTGTCTTTTTTTTTTTTTGAGATGGATACACAAGATCAAAAAGCATCAACCAAGGATACCAGCAATGGTAAATGATAAGAATAAATAAATAAATAAACCATATTTGTGGTACTTATTCTCTCTCTCCTATTTCTCTTTCTATTCTGACAGACAACACCAAGGAAGAAGATAGTATTGTCCAACAATTACGCGAACATCTCACCACAACATTAGCAGATCCATCTGATACCAAAAGAATCAAGTCATTTGTTACTTCACCTGACTTTGTTCAAGTCTTACGGGCGTGTGGGAACCCAACTGATACCTCTGCTAGTGTACGCGCTGTGTCGTTTATGATCCTTACGAAACTCTTCAATCCTGGGACTGACAATGATACCTCATCTTCTTATCCTATCACTTTTATCATTGAACAATGTGCACAGTGCTTTAGTCATTGTTTAGGCAGTGGGAAAAACGTCGACAAACTTTTAGCTTATCGTACTTTACATGCTATCTTCCAAACAAGTATTACAGTGGGTGCTGCTATTTTATGTCAAGAAGGAGTGGTCGAAGATATGATGGACGTGGTGGAATTCGAAATTGAAGATGTACAGATGGCGATTTTGGAAGTACTGGCGATTGCTTCTGGTGACAAGTCATGTCGGAAACTGATTATCAAATATAGTTGTCCATGGTTGGTCAAGGTGGCTGCTACTAGTCATGGTAGTAGTAATGATGGAAACAAAGTCAAAAATTGTGGTTATAGTGAAAGACTCAAAGCAGCAGCTGGAACTACATTGACTAAACTTCAAGCCCAAACATCTATGGAGCCTCAACGACAGAAACAAGATGGTGGAACTGAAGATGATGATTTGGATACGTCTTTGGAACAAGCGATGAAGGGGGTCAAACTTAGTAGTGATGATCTTATGGAAAGTTTGAAAAGTGTAGTAATCTCTCAATCAAGTGATATGTCAATAATGCTTACAGCAGTCGAAGGTCTGGCTTACTCTTCGGTAGAACCTGGTGTCAAGGAAGCTCTTGCTAGTGATGACACTTTTTTGAAAGCATTATCAGCACTTTCTATCAATGCAGCAAGTAGGCATAGCAATCCATTACTCTTTGGAATCGGCACAATCTTGGCAAATATTACTATGTATAAACCTATACTTTCGGAACAACAACGTCAAATGAAGAAATTACGGGATCTGGCGAATGCAAAAAAATCAAAAGCGTCAACTGGAGAAGAAGATGAACGTGATTCTGACAAGGCTGTAGATCAACGTGTACACAAAGTAGTGGATGAAGGATGTGCTATGGCTCTGATGGTATTATCAAAGAATTCAAGTACTAACATACGTATGGTGGCAGCTCAGACATATTTGAATCTAGTGACACCTCAATCAACACGTGGAAAATTATTACAACAAGGGATCGTTAAGGGATTATTACCATTAGCAATAACAACGAATAACAAGAACAACAAACAGGAATTATATCAAGTGGTAGCGACTCAGGCAATAGCAAAATTGGCCATTACAACAGATCCAAGATTGGCTTTCACAGCAACCCAAATGCTCGACCTTGTACGACCTCTCCTTATGTTATGCAAGGACGACAGTCAATTAAGACAATTTGAAGGATTGATGGCATTGACTAATATGGCTTCCATGGATGATCAAGTACGGAATATGATTGAAGATGCGGATGGTATGTCAGTATTTGAAAATCTTCAACTCTCATCCAATGACATGGTACAACGAGCAGCTACGGAAATGGTGTGCAATATGACCTTTTGTGAACCAGTATTTGAACGCTACAGTGATCCATCAGTACCAGGCTCACAAAATCGTATTCGACTGTTGATGATATTATCAGATCATGAAGATAGTGCTACTCGACGGGCAGCATCAGGGGCTTTGGCTATACTTGGAAATAGTTCTGGTGCATGTACGATGATGACCAAGGTGGATAAGGGCTATGAACGCATAGTACGACTGATTGATGAAGAAGAACAAGTAGAGGTACAACACCGAGGAATCGAAATCATCCGCTGTCTAGTGAATCATCTTGGAAAAGAAGCTGTGGAAAAATTGGTCAAGGAACATGGTGATAAAAAATTAGTAGAAATAGTGAAAAAATGTCAAGTGAATGTAATCCGAGGTGCAGCTATGGAAGTATTGAAATTATTTGTCCAAAATGGGGTTGAATTGAAAGCATAGAATAAAAAATGTGTGCTACGGCATCGTTGTTTGAAATTATTTTTGGTGGCTGGGTGATTTGTCGTCTCTCTCTGTGTGTGTGTGTCTCTTCACTGTGTTTCCACATTTTGTTTTTTTTTTTTTCCTCTTTTTTTTTTTTTTTTTTTTTTTCTTCCTCTCTTGGTCTTTGTCATCGCTTCTCCACGTCATTTATTCCTTTTTTTTTTCTTCTTCTTCTTCTTACTTTAACCTCACCCATTACATTACGGTTACAGTTTTCTTTTTTATCTTACTCGAATTCTGTTTATTTTTTTTATATATACCAAAGTATTTATATTACTCCTCCCCCCTCTTCATTATATTCTTTTTTTGACCGCGTATCATACGTTTCTTTTTAATTCATTATATACAACTTTCATATTATGTTTAGGTCAACCCGACTGTTTTAACTTCGATATTTATATTACTTGATTCAAACCATTTATTCTGTATATTACAACTTACTCTTTTACTTTATTCTTACATAGACTGTATACACCTTTTTTTATTATTTTTTATTTTTATCCCTTTTTTTTTCTCTGTTTGTCTAGCTACCATCATCTTTTTTTTATACATATCAATCCATTCCCTCTTCTTTATAAAAACATCATGCCATCACAAAAGGTAATATATATTTTTATATATTTAATTATACTTATTATTTATATTTCTTTTTTTTTTTTTTTGTTTATTCAATAGACACTTTCACCAATGCAAATCTATTCTACTGCCATTTGTTTCGGGGACGTTACTCGGGACGAAATTAACAATGTATTAACCGAAGCTGGTATATCATTAATCCCTCCAAGCAAAGTAAGTTGAAATTATTCAACATGAAAACTATATGTTCTAACTTTTTTTTTTTTTTTTTTTTTTTTTTTTTTTTTTTTTGCTAGACACCTTTTGCTACTGGTATCAAACGAAGACGAAGAAGGAAACCAAAACAATCTATAGCTTCAAAACTGACAAATATGACAAAACCTGATATATCCTCCTCCTCATCTTTATCATCATTACCAACGTCTTCAGCATCCTCTTCTTCCACATCCTCAACAACTCCATCACCATCAATATCTTTGTCACAAATACCGCCAACTACAACTCTGGACACAAAATCAAATGACACAACAATTTCATCACAAATAACAACGGCTGCGCCAACCAACACAATTACAAATAAAGCAACATCTCCTTCTTCAACAGCAACAACAACAACAACTAAAACAACTACACCCACTTCAACAAAAACAAACGGTACTACTACAACTCCTGCTTCTCCTGCTATTAAACCACCGACTAGTTGGGCTTCTCTACTGAAACCAACAGGTGACAAAGTGAAATCTACAACAACATCTACTTCTTCTCAACAAACTCGTACAGCTGTCTCTGGTCATTCAACAACAACTGTATCCACTCCCAAGAAATTCACCGGTATTGCTGGTATGTTAAAATCAAAAATTTTCTGATTAAAATGACACTCATTCTTATGTTCTCTTATTTTTTTTTTCTTTGTTTCTATATATACATATGTAGATATTATACATCAATACGAACCTTCTTATAAAGTACCTCTACTGGAACCTCGCGGATTGATCAATAATGTCAACACCTGTTTTATGAATGTTGTAAGTAGAAAAAGAATCAAATGTTAGAAAATAGAAGATTAATACTCACGATATTTTGTTGATTTAGATTCTCCAACCTCTTTCACACTGTCCTCCTTTTTACAATCTTGTCAAAACCATTGGCCAACATGTTGTTCATAGTTTCAAGAGTCAAACGCCATTATTGGATTCTTTGTAAGTTAAGAATAAAAAAAAATATATTAAATGTCAATAAAAAATTGACAATTGACATCCTTTTTACATATCTATATATATATATATATATATATATATAGGATTGAATTCATCAACGAATATCGTCCTCAAAGTCAAGATGTTGATTATGGAGAACCTTTTGTACCTGAATATGTTTATGACGCTCTCCGTGGACAAAAGCGATTTGATTCACTTCGGGTAAAAAAAAAAAAAAATAGAAATATAAGAAGAGTATGTTTCTCATATTGATTTTAATATCGCGTAATAGGGTCGACAAGAAGATGCTGAAGAATTTCTATGTTTCTTATTGGATGGACTTCATGAAGAAATGGTAGGCGTTTTGAAGGAACAAATGGAAAAACGAGAGGAAGAACAGAAACGGACAACTGGAAATGGACAAAACGATTGGCTTGAAGTTGGACACAAGAATAAAACAGCAAGTTTACGAACGGTAAAATAAAAGAGTGATAGAAAAAAAAAATTAGGAAACATGATTTTTACTTATTTATTTGTTTGATATAGACTGGGTTTGAAGATTCGCCTATCAAGAGGATATTTGGAGGTACTGGTCGATCTGTATTGCGATGTCCTGGTGCCAAAGATTCCGTTACTGTGGAACCATATCAATCATTACCTTTGGATATTCAACCTGATAGTGTTCATTCTATTGAAGATGCCATCCGCAACATGACATTGCCTGAAATCATGCATGATTACATGTCCCCCAAAGGTATTCGTGTGGATGCAACAAAACAAGTTTATCTGGAAAACCTTCCTCCTGTGTTGATTCTTCATGTCAAGAGATTTGTCTTTGACAATGTCGGAGGTGTTCAAAAATTACGAAAACAAGTGACTTATTCTTCAAAAATGACAATCCAGCCAGGTAAGATAAGTTCTAAGTTGTATAGATGAATGATCGCTCATATCTTTTTTTTTTTTTTTTTTTTTTGTGAATGATAGATTGGATGGCAAGACCTTCTCCTCCTGTCAATTATCAACTGTTTGGTGTAGTCTATCATCATGGTAGTTCTGCGGGTGGTGGACATTATACTTGTGATATCAAACGACAAAATGGCGAATGGCTCCATATTGATGATACAACCATTGTCCCGGTCAAGGAAGAAGATGTCTTGGTGACCGAAAAAAATACCCAAACACCTGAACAACAGCAACAACAACAACAACAACAACAACAACAACAAAATGAACAAACTGCTTATATTTTATTTTATATGAAGTGTTAGGTTTACTTGTTATTTGTTTTATATATATTTTTACCATTTGTGTCCTTCCCTCCATCCAATTGATCTTATTTATTTTGTGTGCCTTTGGACTCCTTTCCCCTTCCCCTGTTTTTTTTTTTTTTTTTGTGTCCACCAGGGGTTTCTTTTTTGTTCTTTTGTTTTTTTTTTTTCTACTATTATTCTTATTTTATTCATTCGTTTGATTTTCTTTCTATCTTTTTTTTTCCTATTATTCTTATTATTTTATTATTCAACAAAAAATACAAAAAAGTAATAAAAAGCTATTAAAAACTAAAATCAAGTAAAAAATGGTAATGATGATGATGATGATGGATGATTGTGGTCAACAGTAATAGTGCTTTGAGGATGGATTTGATTGTTGCTCGATATTAAATACTTAGATGATCGATGAGAAGGATGGATAAATGTATGATATGATATGATATTACTGTTTTTTTTTTTTTTTTTTTTTTTTTCATAGGGATGCTAAGAATAAAAGGGGATGTTCTTTATATCACTCATCGGATGATGATTTACTAAACAGGAAAAGATGATGATCATTAAGAAGACTATAATAAAGATAAAGAAAGTTCCTTTAATCATCCATCATCCGTTTCCGTAATATAAAACAAGGATCTTCACAAATACATTCAAAACCCAATGCAAACAAATCTCTAATCAAACGCAGAAAAAGAAAAAAAAATTAACGTGCTTCACATGGAAAAAAACCAGTAATTATGACAATGATGCACGAAAGATGTTTACATAGAGTATGTATCAGGAATATTATGTAATGAAGATTTTTTTTTTTTTGAGACAAACAATGTTTTTATTGTGGTGATGGAAGAGTGTGACAAAAAAAGAAAAAAGAAAATGCACCAACTAAGTAGAGCGTATGTATGTGTACAACATCAAAAATTGAAAAAGAAGAGTATATTTTTCTATAAAGATCGCAAATAAACTAGGGGAAAGTAGTGTAAAAAGTAAAAATAAAATGATCAAAAAAAACATTATCTAATTTATTTGGAGACAATATAACCAGTGCCCTTGTAACCTTCGGAAGAGATACCAGAGATAGGATTGGAGTTTTGACTCTTGAGGTATTCGTTGGTAGCGGCTTCCCATTCCTTATTGACAGTGATAGGGGTTTCCTTGCCTGGAAAAAAAGATAAGAAAAAAAAAAGTTTAATAACAGTAGTCAGATCATCATCCTTCTGATTTTTGAAATTTCCACTTACCACCAGTACGGATAAGAGCAAAGAGACCACCAGAAACAGCAAGAACAGCAAGAGTACCAGCGATAACCTTTTGAGTGTGACCGGGACCAGTCAAAGGTTCACGAGGACCATGAGGACCAAAGGCAATGTAATCTAAAAGTATAAATCAACCCATGAGAAACAAAAAAAAAAATTGAATCTTCCTTTTTTCTTAAAACAAAAAAAAAAACTTATAACATTGTTGAATCAACTTACAAGAAGCCTTCTTTTCATCAGCAGTAAGAGCCTTCCAGTCACCTTTTTGAGCTTCTTCGAGTTGCTTGGCGATGGTGTTTTGTTCGGCAGTAGACAAAGTCTTCCAGCGACCTTCCAAGTTTTGGACGGCAACAGTAGAAGCATTACGACGACCGACAGCACGAGTAGCTTGTTGTTGAGTACGAAGGGCAACGCGGAACATGATTACAAAGACTATAAAAAGAGAGAGGGGGGAATGTAAAGAAGAGTCAGATAAAAAAAAAACTAAGGACCAAAACAAAAGAGCAGGGCGCGATATAAAAAAAAAATTCACTTCCACAAACCACCCCCCTTCAACCAACCAACTAACGCAAAATATGAGAACTGACGTAGTTATTCCTTTTTAGTAAGTGGCTTATTTCTTCTACAGTAATGAAAGAAAGGTTTCAAAGTCAGGTGACCAGTTTGTGCTTCATGCTTCGTCTTTCCATCTCCGTTTTTTCGCTTTTTTTCTTTTTCTTCTTGTAACCGTTTCAAGTTTCTTCCTTCGTTTTATCTTCCCCTTTTTGTTTTTTTTTTTTTTAATAAATGTCTTTGGCTCAGTGGAGACAATTCAACTTTTTTGATAAACAACAAGTACAGGACCCAAACGACTCATCCAAGTCGCCAGCTATATTCAAAGTAAGGAAGCCTTTTTTTTTTAATTTTTTTTTTTTTCAACTCATCTTGTTCCTTTTTATATATCAAAAGAAGTCTGACATTGGTGTCATTACTGCCGGTCGTGGTCAAGTTGTTCTAGCTGATATCCTTTTTTTTAAAATAAATATATATTATTCGAATGTGACTTTTTTTATATATCTATCCTTAACCTTTTGAAAATACATTCGTCAGGTCATATCTATATCGTAGATAAATCATTCAAGGCACAGTCATTTCTCGCTTATGATGGTGGTCGCATTACCCATTTGAAATTATTGAAACAAAAAAATATTCTTATCAGTGTTGGAGTAAGAAAAAAAAGAAAATTACCATGGATACTTTTATAGATGATTCAATTAAAACTATTATTCCTTCTTCTAGGAAGAAAATGATGCTCAACATACACCTGCTATCAAAGTTTGGGATTTGGATAATACTAGCGGAAAAAGTACTAGCGATACGATACAACCACACTGCTTAAGAAATATCAAAATTCAACATAGTGAAAAACCATTTCCTATCACAACATTTGCCACGGTAGAAAATATGTCACAAATGGCAGTTGGTCTAGCAAATGGTACTGTCTTATTATATAGGCTAGATCTCATCAAAGATAGAACTCCCAAACCAAAGGTCATTTATGAAGGACAGGAACCGATCACAGGTAAATGAAAAAAAAAAAATATAATGAATTAAGATTTAATGTTTAATATTTGTGTTTTTTTTTTTTTTTTTTTTTTATTTAGGTCTTGGATTTAGAGAACAAACTAAATCAACTATTCTTTTTATGGTCACAACAACAAGTGTCATGTCTTACAATACAACTGCAAGCAAACCTACCGCTGTAAGCAACTTATGTTTATATTATGAATTTATGGCAATAATGAAGCTCATGATGTTATTTAGGTGACATTGGATGAACAAGGATGTGGATTGGGATGTGCAGTGATGACTGATACTCAAGATATGGTGGTTGGAAGAGATGAGGTAACATAAATATTTATATAAAACAATTTACTGGGTGATGATTAATATATGAATTTATTTTGTACTTTGTTCACTAGGCTGTCTATTTATATGATCCAACTGGAAGAGGACCTTGTTTTGCATATGATACACCAAAATCATATTTGACTTGGTTCAAATCACACTATCTCATGATTATTTCTCCACCAGTAACAACATCAACTCAACTTTCAACACCATCTCGTACATCTATTGGTGTCAATACAAATCGAAATAGTGGAACGAATGATCTGACCAAGGTGACAATATTCGATACTGCCAATAAATTTGTAGCTTATGTGGGAACGTTTACTGGAGGTATTCGTGGTGTATTCTGTGAATGGAACTCTCTTTGGGTAGTTGGATTGGATGGAAAGGTAAATAGAAGAAAAGGAAAAAAAAAAAAAAAAGATCGAAAATAATGGTAAAGAGATCTTATATACTGATGTATTTTATTTTTATTTTTTTTTATCATTTGTTACAAGTTATACCGCCTGGATGAAAAGGATACCCCAACCAAACTTGAAATTCTATTCAAATTGAATCTTTATGTTTTGGCAATCAATCTCGCACATATGCAGAAATACGATGATGCAAGTATTGCAGATATTTTCAAGAAATATGGTGATCATTTATACTCGTAAGTAAGTTATCAGCATCCGTTTCGATCACACTTATTCCTTCTTTTTTTAAAATTTAGACGCGCAAACTATGATGGAGCAATCGATCAGTATATCAGAACCATTGGTCAATTGGAGCCTTCTTATGTGATTCGAAAAGTAAAAACTTTATAGATGAACAAATATGAGGGAAAAAGTCTTAAATAGTCTTTTTATTATTATTATTATTATTATTCTAGTTTTTAGATGCTCAACGTATTTATAACTTGACTAACTATCTCCAAGAACTTCATGCCAAAGGACTTGCCAATGCTGATCATACTACTCTGTTATTGAATTGCTACACAAAATTGAAGGATGTCTCTCGATTGGATCAATTCATCAAGGTATAGAGCTACTTGGATGAATTAAAATAGGAATGATTTTCTCAATAGGTTTTTTTTTTCTATGTTTTTCCTTAGACGGATGCTGATTTGAACTTTGATTTGGAAACTGCTATCAATGTATGTCGTCAAGCTGGTTACTATGAACATGCTGTTTACCTTGCCAAAAAATTCCATGAACATGATTTGTAAGTTGACTTTTATCCATGTTTATTATTTTGGGACATGAAATGAAAATGAGATTATGTCTTGACTATATCATCTTTTTTTTTCCACATTTAGATACCTTGATATTGTCATTGAAGATATGAGGGATTATGATACAGCACTTCATTATATCAGACATTTGGGTCCTCACGAGGTAATCATTAATGATCTAAAATAAAAATATAGAGACACATTTGATTTTATACTTTTTTAATTTCATCATTATTTAACAGGCTGACAAGAATCTCCAAAAATACAGCAAGACGTTACTCAGTCATCAACCTGATCAAACTACCCAATTACTTGTCGAACTATGCACTGGGACTTTACCATTGGCATCTGCACCATCTACTACACCAAATGGTCGATCTATCTCACCTATTGGCACTTCATCCACCAAATCACCAACTCCATCCGTTAAAAACAGTAATGCACTAGCACACTTACCCTTTGCCGAAGGTTCTCCAGCAATGGCATCACCTCGTCAGCATCATCAACGGACCAGTAGTGGACTACAATCGGGACTTAGTTATAATCCTCCTTCACCTCGTACCTTCATGCCATCATTTGTGGATAGACCTGATTGTCTTGCTGTTTTTCTGGAACGAATATTAGAAACTCGATGGGGTGGAATCAATACTCATCATCATCAGCAGCAACGGTCGCATGAACGATCATCCAGCGATGATATAACCAAGACAACAGCAAATGGACTTGGATCTACCTTATCTCAGCATGTACAAGAAGAACGAAAAGCGATCTGGAATACGTTACTGGAATTGTATCTGATGGATGAACAGCCACATCCAACAACTTCGACAAGTCCTGTTAGTTCACCTCGACCTAAGCATGCACAGTTAGAACAACTCAAACGATCCAAGGAGTTCAAGCTCAAGGCATTGGCTTTACTCAAGGATGAAACAGTACAATATGATACCAATCAAGCTCTAGTCTTATGTCAACTGAAAAAATTTGATGAAGGAATTGTTTATCTATATGAAAAGACGGAGATGTATACTGATATACTTCGATTCTGGATGGAAAAGCAAGAAACTGATAGAGTCATTGAAGGTGTACGCAAATATGGGTATGACGATTCTTTTTTTTTTTTTTAAACAAAGGAAAAAAAAAAAAGCAACTGACTAATTAATTATTATTATTATTAATATTACTATTATTTTATAGACCCAAGGATCCTTCATTGTATCCAATGGTGCTCACATACTTTTCATCTACTCCTGAAATTCTATCAAAATCAACATCAGAACTTCTTTCTGTCTTACGCCATATCGATGAACAAGACCTTTTGCCCCCAATTCAAGTCATTCAAGCCCTGTCTCGTAGTAACGTTGCTACCATTGGATTATTGAAAAGCTATATTGGACGAAAAATCCAAAATGAACGCAAAGAATTACAACAGGTAAAAAAAAAAAAAAAAAAAAAGACCTCTCAGATTTTATGAATCGCTTTTCTCATACTTTTATTTATAGAACAAAGAACTAATCCAGAGTTACCGTGAAGAAACTGAAAAGCGACGCAAGGAAATCGAAGAATTGAAAACTAGGTAACAAAAAAAAAAAAAAAGAATTATCTTCTTTATGAGATATATTTTATTTATTCATATCATTTATTTTTAGTGCTCGTATTTTCCAAGTTCAGAAATGTACAGGATGTGAAGGAATGCTTGATTTACCTGCTGTACATTTTCTCTGTCGTCATTCATATCATCAAAGGTAATATTTTAAAAAGAATTGTATTGAAAAAGAAAAAAATGATCTCTTATTTGTATTTGCTATGATAGATGTCTTGGTGAAAATGACAACGAATGCCCACAATGTTCAGTTCAACATCGAATGATATCAGAAATACGACATGCGCAAGAAGCTAGTGCTGATCGACATGATCTTTTCTTTGATCAGGTAAATTTTGATTTTATAGTAATAAACAATAATATCAAATTACTCATTCATTTCTTATTAATTATAGTTGGATAACGAAGATGATGGATTTTCAGTGATTGCTGATTATTTTTCAAAAAACACCATGGCGTTTGCCAAGTTGATTGATTAGATTAGATATTATTTATACTTATTGCTCCATTTAAACACATATAATAAAAACTTTTATATATATGTCTTATTGTTTATTTCTACTTTGCGCATGGGGAAGTACATAAAAAATGGGTCATTGTATACCATCTCTTTTTTTTTTTTTTTTTATGCATGACCTAGGGCGGTGTCTTTAAATTTTCATTGTTTCTTGATGTTTTTTTTTTCTTTATTCTTTCTTTTCTCTCTCTTTTTTTTTTTTTTTTCTTTTCCTTCTATTACATTGATACATTATTATTATTATCTCTATTATATTAATATCAATTTCTTATTCACATGCGGACCAATGAGGATGAAACTTGGGATGATCTGGATATAAAAGACAATAGTTTTTTGTATCATACTAGTAGAGGGATTTATTCTTATTACCCTGACAAGGATCTCGCCCGTGCTTGCCAAAGATTACTTAGTCCTTCTATTTCTGATGACGACGATACTGTTTCCACTACAACAAGTATATTCTCTGACAAGTTTTCTGTTGACGAACAAGACCTTTCATTCTCTGATTTCCAACATTCACCTGAACCTTCTTCTTCCACCTCCTCATACGTTGGATTACCCATTCCTCAACAACAAGCATCGACTATTCATTCAGTTTCTTCAAGACAACCCAACAACAACAACAAACTATCTGAATTACTAAAGGGATATGATGGACCTGGCACAATCACTCGTTTGGGTCATCCTGGCGGACGCGTTCATACTGACAATGGAGACTGGACTGAAGATTTGGACCTACCTACTGCTTTGAAACTACCTTCAGCTAACTCACCAAGTAAAAACAGCAATGAATCAACCCGAAATCAAGCTACCTCTTCTTTGGACGATGATGGCGATGACGATCCATTTGCAGACCTTTTAGATGATACCGATAACAACGAATCCACTGGACAAACTACAACTGGAAAGAAAAGTGTCCGTTTTGATGACCGATCTTTAGCCACCACCAACAAATCATCATCATCAACATCCTTATACCAACCTGCATGGAAAGAGGAAGAGGACGATGAAGGATTTGACGATATTGATATTCCCAAGAATATTGGTTCGCTCACCATCAAATCTCAACATAATCAACCTACGATCAACACCATGGGTAGCAACAGCAATACATCCAAGAAAAAACCAACTTTGATGACACCTCTTCCTTCAGCAATTCAAAAACATCTAATTCAATTCAAAGAAAAGGACGAGGATGATTTCATGAATGGATTGGATATAAAGGACGGTGATATATTCAAAACAATAACAAGCTCCAAGAAAGAAAAGCAAACGATTGAAAGCAAGTTACCACGACCAAAGCAATACCAACACAAGTTACCTCCTTCTTCATTTAACTCTTCCTGTTCTTCGTCCTCCCCGGCATCAAACAAGAAAGTTGCTTACGAAAATAGACTCAATCGACTGACCGCTCCGACTTATGCATCAAGACAACGTGGTACAAACAATACTTCAACACCAACAACCCCCACTACATCCTCATCCACATTACGCTCCCGACAAAGCAATACACATTTACACCATGATTATACTGCAACATCTACCAAAACTCCCACCACTCCTCGACCCACTTTTTCCAGACGTCCATATTCTACTAACAATAACAGTAGCAATACTAACAAAAAATCAAAAGGAACAGTGACCTTCTTACGTTCTGGTGATGGCTCAACTTTGATAACACGACCTAGATCTGCACATCGCATTATTTACGGAAATGGATCTGAATTGGATCATTTGGACGATTTGGCTGATTGGAAAAGACCTAGTTTTACTTCAAGAATTACCACTGCTCCATCAACAGGTAATATACTCTTTTTTTACTGGATCACGAACTGATTTTTTTTTTTTTTTTTTGTTTAGGCGGCAAGCGAAGTGCGTTCCTTGACCAACCAGTTAACAAGAAACCAGAACCTTCTAAACCATGGAGATGCAATATGGTAAAAGAGCCAGAATCATACCAAATCATAAGCTGACATTCTTATTTATTTATTTTTTCTTCTTTCTATTAGTCAAAACGCAAGATGACATTAATCAAGCCGAACGAAAGAAATGTGGCAAAAGGTAAGCTTTTTTTTTTTATTATTATTACTGTTATTATCATTCTTGTTTTACAATCAATCCACACCACTCACATAGTCTAACCCTTCATATATATATATATATATAATAGAAATCAACGATATGAAATACGATGAACGTGAAAAACGATGGCAAGGCAATGAACAAGCGATCCAATCATTTGATGCACCAGCAAAACGACGTCCTGCTTTGGTGAAAAGCATGACACAATCACGAACGGCGAAATCAACAATGGCAATGGTGGTAGGCAATATGACATTTGATCATCAACGGATGACCTGGACTACCCGAAATAGCGCGGATGAAGAAAATGTTTTGGCTCACATTGCTGATTTGACCGACAATATTGAACAACAGCAACAGAAGCGTCCATCCTTAACAACATCTATCAGCACTACTGAAGATTTCTCTAAGACGATATTACCAGCAACAAGCATCCACAATACACGCCATCATTCATCCGCCATACATTCTGATGACAACATTCGTTTAGATAACAGCAACAATTCCTTTCCTTCTTCTACCTCTTCTTCTTCTTCTTCCTCCTCGTTGTTGGCACCAGTGACAAGATCCTTATCATCAACTTGTATAACCAATACAATACCCTCTCCTACTGAAACAACAACAACGGCATTCAAGCACTCTTCTTTACATTATCGTCATGATCATCACTCTTCAGTAACTAGTTTATCTGGAACATCGGAATTCAATCTGCCTGTGGATATACAACGAGCAATGCGCGATCAAGAAGAAGATCATAATACCTTTTTACAAGCTTGGCCATTACGTAATGAATGTGAAATGACTACCACCAGTTTTGGACATGATGTACCTCAGCATACCTATATCCTATATTGATAGTTATTTAGTTAATAGAATATTATTATTTTTCACTCCTTTTTTTTTTATTGAAATAAAAAACGATAAATATCATTATTATTTTTTTGTACAGTTTTATTTTGGTATATAAAAATGATGAGGGGGGGATCAATGTACAACAGATAATAAACTAAACTATAATAAAAAAAAAAAAATAAAAAAAAAGAGTATCATATCTATTCCTTGTGTTTGATTTCGCTGTAATTTCGAATACGGCGTGATCGATATTGCCGTACTTTCTGATATCGGTAAATAAGACTTCCAACATCCTAAAATACAAGAAAAAAAAAAAGAATTAGTCTCTTGTTAACATTGATTTTTTTTTTTTTTTTTTTTTTTTTTTTTTTACCTTGATAACAACGAAGAGACATCCACCAATGATATTTCGATGAAAAGGTTCAGGAAGACGATCACGGATCCATTTGACTTGAGATAAACATCTATTTGATATATATATATATATATAAAAAGATGGAAATACATCAATTCAAATGAAGAATATCTTTCCCTTTTTTTTTTTTTTTTTTGATGAATGACTTACAATCCAGAAAGACTACCAATGACAGGCCATAAGAAAGTGCCCATAAAGAGACCAGCAACACTTGGAGGACCACGTCCCAAAAGAATATCCAGTTCAGTACTACGTTCAGTAGGACTTGGTTGTTGTTCAATCATGGTGGTAGGATCATTATCTATACGATTCACAGTCTGATTATCAATGACCACCACTCGACTGTTGTTGCTATGTTGTCGTCGATGTTGATCCTGTTGTTGTTGACGTTGCACCCCTTTCAATGATAATTGCCGAGAAATCAGGCTTTGAGCAGCGTAGTAAAGATTATTATAAAGTAATCGGACCCATGGAAGAATACCCAAGGTAGCAAGTGGAGTAGGTGGCCAGGTGAATTGGAGATGAGGTAATGTCGAAACACTGGAAGACGAGGCAAAAGGAAATGTTGATAAGAAGGGTGAAGAAGGATGATTTCCATGGGAGGACGCAGCTGACATGCGCAGGAATAGAAAAGCCGCAAAAGGTAAAGTCGAATCAGCCCATCGAGAACGAGTTGATAACAAAGCCAAAGGAATAGAAGGAAGTCCTACCCAAGAACGCCATGTCCAAGAAGCTGGTGAGCCTAAAAGTCTTTCCCCTTCACGAGTACCAAATAAAAGAAGAACAGAGAAAGCACCATATGTTGTTGTTACTACAAGAAGTGAAAGCCCAAGACCAAGTGAGGTAATATATGGCGTGACAGTATGTACCGTTTCATCAACCATGCCAAGAAAAGACAAGATCCAATTGGCATTTTCATATAAGGAATAAGCTGAAGCACATTGAGGACAATGAACCTATCATAACATTGAGATGAGTATTAAAAAAAAAAAAAAAAAAAAAAAAAAAAAAAAAAAAAAGTTCCTTACGATTTTTCTAGGTGAGCCCTTTTGGTTCTCAGTAATCCAATCCAATAAACATTTTTCATGTGCAACTAAGGAGCAAGGACAAGGTGATACCCAAGTTCCTTCAGAATCAGCATCTTCTCCATAACAAATCCAACATCGTCGATCTTCTTCGTCTTCAAAGTTGTTATTACTAGTTGAGGCTAGGGTAGTTGCTGGTAGAGTTGTTCTTGAGGCATCTTGGTCATATCCCGATGTTGATAAGGAGTTTCCTGAAGTGGATAAGTTTAATGGTCGAGTTGAAGTTCTTGAAGCGAGTATAGTTGAGGAAGAAGAAGAAGAAGTAGATTCATCACTACTTGAAGAATCATTATCATCGTTGCTATTATCAAGGCTGTGTAAAGTAGAAAGTCTAGGTTCATTCAAAAGAATATGAGAAGGAGGGGAGGTACTATTGTATTGAACGGTATCTCCGGAAGGATATGTATATCTTCCTGTATTGTTACCAACAATTGAAGACGAAGGACAACGAAAATGAGCCATATCAAATAAAATAAAATAAAATAAAATAAAAACAGTGAGAAAAAAAAAAAGAATGTTGAAATAGAATCATGCTGAGTCTTGCCTATTTATTGGCAAATGAGCAAAACTCCGTGACTTCGATCCCATCACTGACACTCCACTTGTTTTATTCATTTGAGCTCCCATTTTCGATACTCTTTTCTTTTTTTTTTTCTTCCCTTTTTTTTTCATTACTGTATCTAGTCATCCTTCATTGGAAATACGAGTTAGTTCTTTTTGACTTTGGAAGGTATACATCTGATAAAAACAATAAAGACTTTATTATATACGTTGTATTTTATTTATTTTATTTTATTTTATTTTATTTTTTGTGAATTGATCAATTTCTTCCTTTGCTAGTAAAAAAGAAAGAAGGTATCCATCGTATACTGACAAACTCGCGACTATAAAACAACGATTTAACGACTTGGAGAACGAATAGACTTTATTGATTAGTTTATCCTTTTATATATATATATATCAATTCTTCCCTTCAGTCTTTCCTTCTCACTTCCGTATATACAACCTATACACCGCATACATCTATAATCTATCCTTTTTTTTTTATCGTTTCTTATTCTTCTTCTTCTTATTATTATTATTTAACTTACACGCTTTTTTTCTTATTACTATCATTATCATTACTTTATATACATACTTTTTATATATACATATATTCAACACATATCATGTTTTTCCTTGTAAGTAGCATGAACATCCAAATCAAAACTGACCTAACAATGATTTGAATCAATCTCACTCACTAATTTTCTTTATTTATTTATTTATATATGATGAATAATCTTTACCGAAACAATTCTCTTATACACGAACGTATATATATATATATATATATATATTATATTCGAGTAGAAAGAATTATCACATACAATCACTCTTCATCCTTCGTATTTTGGACCCAACATGCAAACACAACTGAAGGACAAACTATATGCGGATGTAGAAGGTACTTGCTCGGGGCGGTTTGGATATATTATCACGGTGGTATCATTGATGAACATTAGCAAAGGCAAGGTATTACCAGGATCTGGATTGGCTGAATTCCGTGTCAAATATCAAGCCATCGTATTCAAACCATACAAAGGTGAAGTACTGGATGCTGTAATTACCACTGTTAATAAGGTAAAATTCATTATTATTATTATTATTATTATTATTACCATATTTTTTTTTTATATATCGATTTAAACTGAATTTGATATGGATGATTTTTCTTATATTAGATGGGATTCTTTGCCGATGTTGGACCATTACAAGTGTTTGTTTCTAGTCATGTAAGTCTATATGGATCGATGATACAATAGATATATTAATCTCCCTCTTTTTTTTTTTCTAAATAGCTCATACCAAATGACATGCGATATGATCCTAATAGTACTCCACCATGTTATGCGTCTGATGATCAGGTATATCGATAATTCTAATGATCTGATACATTATACTAATTCTCATTTCTTCTTTATTTATCTACCTAGGTGATACATAAAGATGCACAAGTACGAATCAAATTGGTGGGGACACGTATTGATGCTACTGAAATTGTAAGCTATTATCATATTGTGGCATTTGGTTATACTAATATTTGAAAATCCATTTTCATTTCTAATAGTTCGCCATTGGAACAATCAAGGAAGATTATTTGGGTGTGATCTCATCTTGAAAAAAAAAAAGAAGTATTTTTTAGAATAGAACTTTAGTTTGTTAGGATTTGTGTTATATCTACTGTTTTCAAAGATGTCATTTTGATCTCATTGCATGAAAGATGGTAACTTTTTTTTTCTTTCTTTTTATCTTTTTTTTTCTTTTTTTTTTCTTTCCTTCTACACAATACAATTGAATAATAATAAAACATGATGGATGGATTGATTAATTAATGATGGGATTTTATTGTAATATAAACAAAGAATGAGAGTAAACGATGTGATATATAAAAAAAATTGTATTTGTATATTGATGGGAAGTATAAAGTCGGTAGAGAGAGCATGGAGGGGAAAATCGTGTGTATACGTGTGTGTGAGTGTGAACAAATAAATGTATAAGGGATCTATCCAGTAAAAGAAAAGTTTGTTCTTGGTCGACCTGTTCTTCCCTTCTTGTCCGTAGAAGTTGACGATGATTTCTTTCTTGATGTTGATGATCCAGAATCCATTTCATCTTCAGGTAAAGTATCGCCACCCGCACTAAATAATCGATCTACAGTATATGGACTTTGCGCTGGTGTTGATTCTTTGGATGATTGTTGTTTTCTATTCCTCTTTGTTGGTCGTGGTGAATCTTTCCGTTCGTCGTTATCTTTCTTGTTGTTATCTTCTTCTATCGCCTTTCGTTTAAGTTGCTGTGCTAATTTACTATCCATTTCTATAAATAAAAAAGAAAAAAAATATATATATTGGTTCTTTTTTTTCCTTTTTGTAGCTTTTATTATTAGTTTTACCTTCATCATCCAATAAGAGAGAAACAATTTCACGAGGTTTAAAGTCGACTTGTTTGAATTCACCACCAGAAATCACTACCTTTTGAATTTCATCCTTTTGTTTTGCTCGCATCAAGATTCGTTCTTCAATTGTATTTTTGGTTAATAATCGGTATACCGTCACTTGTTTTGTTTGGCCCAATCGATGTGCACGATCCATAGCTTGTTGATCCACAGTTGGATTCCAATCGCTGTCATAAAAGATCACAGTATCTGCTGCTGTCAAGTTGATACCAAGCCCACCTGCACGTGTACTGAGTAAAAAGATGAAGATTTCTGGTCGTGTCTGCCAATCCTGTACCATGTCTCGACGATCTGAGATTTTTGATGATCCATCTAATCGTAGATATTTATATTGTTTGTAGGCGATATACTCTTCCATCAAATCAATCATACGTGTCATTTGGAAATAAATCAAACATCGATGTCCTTCCGCCTTGAGTTGTTCTAATAATTTATCCAGACGTGCTAATTTCCCAGAATCTAAAATAAGATCACGCATAGCTATATTAAAAAAAAAAAAAAAAAAAAAGGTTAATATTAATAAAAATGTATATCATGAAATATGAAAGAAATTCATACCTGGTACTTTCATTTGAGAATAACCATAACCAGATGAAGGAATTGTAATGATACCTTGACCATCAGATTTTCGAATCACTTGCTGTAATGCAATCATTTCTTCAGGTTCATTTCTATCCATGTATTGTGGTGTTCCAAGTAACGATGAGATGATATTGGTGTTGAATAATATCGAATGTTGTTCCCTTTCAAAGGATGCATCAGAGCAGACAATATCAATGGGTACCGATCGAGCACTTGGGAAATAGTTGTTGCCAAACTTTTTGTTCAAGTATATCATTTTATCTCCAATATGGGTCAGTTCATCCATAGCACTACCTGAAGTGATAATCAATGGGTCGGTAGGTGTGGTGGTATCAGTTATTAAGAATTTGGCGTATGTATTGATAGGAGCATCCGGATAACTATAAGGATATTTTTTGTGTATATAGAATATGAATAAACATCCTTTTTTTTTTCTTTTTTTTTGATATACCTGTATGATTCTTCAGTTTTGTAAAATCGTCTTCGCGCACGTTGATCCCTTTGAGATAAATGTACAAGCCATCGAGATATTAAAGAATGTTTGAACAAATAACTTGCTTCATGAGGACTGGTATCAATGAATCGTAAGAATGAGAATGCAGTATCTAAAAAAAAAAAAAAAAAAAAAAAAAAAAAAAAAAAATGATAAAGAAACAAATTAAACTTTTCTGAAAATCACACTCGATATAACATCATCAAACTAACCTTGATCATTGGATGACATGGATTGATGGATATAATCACTGTCCCAAATATTCAAGAGATTGTCAAGATAGCGAGTAGAGAAACCAGCATTGGATTGAGGTCCAGGTACTTTTAGCATGCCACCGTTTCGATATACTTGTCTTGGAAGATAATATTTGATTTTGTTTCTTGTAGAATAAGAGTATTCCAAATATTGTTCCTTGTTGAGAGGTCCACTTTCCCCAAATTCACAGAAAGCAAAAGGTGATTCTACATCGGCACGTTCAAAGAGCTCAGGATGATTACATACCTAATACAAATATATATATATCATCAATCAAATGTTCTTCAATCTTCTTTTTTTTTTTTTTGGTATGATTTACCTTTCTAAACTGCATGACTAGATTCATCAAGCTATCCATACTTTCAACATCACCCAAAGATGTTGCTTTTTCCAATAATTCAGAAATAGATATCTTTTCTTTCAGACCTCTATAAAGTTGTTTCTGTCGAGCTGTCAGATCACAATAAAGTTCCACTTCAATCTTTTCACCCAATTCGTGTTGTACATTTCGTTTTATACGTCTTAACATGAATGGTTTCAGAATCATATGTAATCTTCGTAGTTGATGTTCGTTCAGAGTTCCTTTGTTTTCAGCATGACTTTCGATATCCTTGGAGAACCATTCACTAAATTCTTCGTGAGAATCAAACAGCGTTGGCATAATAAAATGAAGTAAAGCCCAAAGTTCTAAGCAATAGAAAAGAGACTAAGTATCAACATTCCCAATTTAAAAGCATATATTTATTTCTTCTTTTCTTACCTTGCATGCTGTTTTGAATAGGTGTACCAGTAAGTAGTAATCGGTTTCGACAGTGGAATCCAAGTAGCATTTTCCATCTTGCACTAGATGAACTCTTGATCGCTTGTGCTTCATCCAAAACCATATATTGCCATTTGACCCGTTGAAAATAACTAACATCTGTCAATACCTGTCAAAAAAAAAAAAAGTCAATCAATCCATTAATTGATATATACATCATTCTTCTAAGAACACTTACTAATTGATAACTTGTAATGACAATATGGAAAGGAGCGTCACGACCATATAATTGCTTTCTTGTCCAAGATTGTCGTAGGATTTTTCGTTCCTTTGGATTACCCCAATATGGAAGTGCTTTGAAAGAAGGAACAAATTTTGAAATTTCTTGTTGCCAATTGTGAAGAGTAGAAGCAGGAGCAATCACAAGAAAAGGACCCCAAATGTTGTGAACTTCAGCTAAATATGCCATTAATGATATAGATTGTACAGTCTATAATGAAGAAATACAATGAGTTCTCGTTTTCTTTTTTCCTTTTTCTCTTTTTTTCTTTGGTATTACCTTTCCGAGACCCATTTCATCGGCCAGAATTCCATTAATTCCTTGATCATACAAATTGGCCAACCAGTTTAACCCCTTGAGTTGATAACTTTTCAATTGACACATAAGAATACTAGGTTGTTTGACCTCAGGTCCTGATCCCATACTTGAAGGTTCTTGGAAATTCATCGTATCCACTATTTGATCATATAAAAGAAAAAAAATTGAGGAAAACAATGTTTCTAATCTAATGATGGTTTGAAACTTACATTGATCTTGCATATTCAAGTCACCATTGGCATCCATTCGTCGTTGTTTGGCCCCTTCATCGAAAGCTTTAGTTCGTTCCCTTTGTTTGGCTAATGCATTTTGAGCACTGATACGAGCATGTTCCTTGAGTTTTTCTTCATCATCTATTCAATATATATATATTAATATCCAAATCATATTTTCAACTTGTTTTATCTAACCTTCGTCGAAATCCAATTCTTCCATGGATCCATCATTTGCAGTGATGTCAATATCCATAGATTCATGACCATTGTTAGTATCCATAGTTGTCAAATCATCTTGTTGGCCCATCGTATCTTCATCTTCAGTCACATCCTTGTTGATTTTTCGTCCAATGAAATGGCTGTAGAGTTCAGTTTGGGTAATTAAAAAGTTCAACTTTCTTGCTTGTCGTTGAGCTTCACGGCGTTCTTCTTCTTGTCTTAATCGTTCCAAGGCTTCACGTTCAGCTTTCTTGCGTAGTTCTCTTTCTTCTTTTTCATTCTTTTTCCAAAAGATCAACATCTATTGTTTTTTTTAAAAAAAAAAAAAAAGATGGATGAGTGATCATTTTCATCCTACTATCTTGTATAAATACTTACTTCTTTTTGTGCTCGTTTTGCTTTCAATTGAATGTCCTTTGTTGCTCTTCCACCTTTAGTAGCTGCACGTTTTGCTTCTTTTTGACAATACTGAGCCAGTTTTTTGCAATTACCAGCCCTTGTTGCTTGCACTCTGGTAATAATACGAGCCATCTAAAATATATATAAAAAAAAAAAATGAAATCAGTTGGAAGAGAATAATAGTAATAATAATCATAAATCAGATGTTTCTTACTCTGGGAATATCAGTGCGTGCAATGTCCAACCAAATACGTTTCCTTTCAGCATCCATTTTTCGTTCCGAGATCAATCCCACCTTTCGAGGATCCATAAAGTCAGATGTATGTAATGCTATACCTTCAGAAGAGTCACTTGATGCATCTTCGTCTTCAAAATGTCGATGTCGATGATGTAATTTCTTTGATGACGATGATCCTTGTTTTAAAATGCGAATAAGCCCATGATGACGCCTGACCTTGAATCGATCCTTTTCTTGTTTGACTTTGTGTAAGAGAGCTGACGGGATTTCCAATCCACCACGAAGTTTCCATGTATCGGTGCCATAACGTTTTTCGTACAATTGCTCTAAATGATCCTTCATTTTCTTTTGTCGTCGCTAAATGAATATAAATAATAAATAATATATTAATATAGACGCTTTCCACGAATATCAAAAAAAAAAAAAGTATTTATTACCATTCTTTTGTTTTCATAGGCATCAATGGCAACTTTTTTCCTTCGATGAACGCTTAACATATATTCGACCATGATATTCTTATGTAGTTCCAATAGTTCCTTGTCATCATCGTCGTCATCATTGATAACATCATCATCGTCGCCGTCATTGTTGTCATCTTCATCATCACCATTGACATCGCTTTCGTTATCGTCTGATAGTTGTTGATGTAGTCGTGATTTACGTTTCGATGATTTCCATTTCAATACAGCCTTTCTGATGCTAGGATCGTCCTTTTCGCTAAGATCATCCATAAAAGAGTCATCACTGGTTACCCGATGCATACGTTCACGACGATGATGTCCAGCATCTGACTTTTTGTTGTCATGAAGATGTTGTGAATTTGATACATTTTCGTTCCCAAGAAGAGCTAAAAATATAAATACATTTATATATGAGATTAGTTCCCTTTTTTATTTTCTACTGATGATATTTATATATAGCTATTACCATCAGTTGACTTTGTTCGATCATGATGGTTGATCAGTGCGATGTCTTCAGATTCTGTATCTGAATTCGTTGTAACGTTGGTAGTGATGTCGTTGTCTTGAGTACCGTTATTGAGTAAGCTTTGAATTCCATTTCGAGTAGCAGAGGATGGAGCGTTTGTATCAGTCGTTGTATGAGACGGTGATGATGGTTGATGTGGTTGATGTGTGCCTATGGGTTCAAAATACACTTGTTCTTCAGTTCCACCAAAATTGTCACTGGGACCCATTGCAGTTGTTGTTGCTGTTGTTGATGATGGATGAGATAAAAGCTGTGAAATGGACATTATAGGTGAGACAGAGTTTGTATGTTCATGATAACTTCTGCTTCCAGTAGGAGACATCTATAACAGTAGAAGAAAGAAAGGTAAGTTTACTTACATTAATCAACAATGGTAATAAACTTTATTTTTGGTTTACCTGTTGTCTATCTTGTTTGGTACTGGTATTGTTGTTGCTGTTATTGCGAATAGGGTCGTAAGGAGTGGTGTGAGATGACGTGGAAGCGTTCGGTGAAAGGTATCCTCTTTGATGCAGAGAGTAGTTATTATCTTGAGGAGAGTAAATTGTACTATTTGTAGTCTTAAAAAAGAATGACAAGCAAGAGAAGATTGGATTAACATCATATCGGCAGTTTTTTTATATATATATTTATTTATTTTATGATTGACTTCTTACTTGATTATAATGATTTTCAGGTTGTTCTTCAGAATATTCAGATTTGAAAGAATAGTCTAATAAAGGAGGAGATTGTTGTTGTTGTGTATATGGGCGATCAGTTGAGTAAGATGATTGCGCGTTGAATGGACTAGAAGAAGGATGTCTATTGTATGGATCCCAACGTTCAGGAGAAGAGGAATGCATATCCATAGAAGGTAGATGTTGGTCAGAGGAGGATAGTTGATAATCCAATTGCTGCTGCTGCTGCTGCTGTTGTTGTTGTTGTTGTTGTTGCTGATAGTATTGTGAGTTATGTCTGCGATCCGTAGGTGAAGAGTGAACTTGTCGATGAGGAGATTGATTCGGTCGCTCAAACGACATTGTGAAAAAGACTTTCAAAAAAAAAAATAGAACTATGAGATGAATTGAATGAAAAAAAGAGGAAAGAGGAAACAAGTCTACCGTGGTTTTAATTATTTTTTTTTTTTTTTTGTGCAGTCCACGTTATCAAACGGGGAAAAGCTTCTCCCACTCCCTTTTCAACCAAAGTCACTTTCACTTTGTAACGCCGCATAATAACTTAATGGAAACATCAAAAATCATAATTTTTGATTCATCTTACAAGAAGATAGAAAATTAATCATCCTATTTTACTTATATGTCAATATTAAGAGTATTTATTAAAAAACAAGAACATAATAATAGTTTTTTTTTTTTTTATAATTATCATTTCTATTTCTCTGATCAATAGCTTTGATTCAATTAAAAAAGAAGACTGATTTGTCCACAACGCTGATTATTGCAATCATCATACCTCCAAAGAACTCGGAAGTCCGATCGACTGCCCAGTGTTGTGTGTTTTTTCTTTATTCTGAGTGTCTTCATTGGTCAATTCGTCTACTGAAAAAGAGCAGAAGTAACAACTAAAAAAATTCAAACACAGTCAAAACATAAAGTTCTGTCAATTGTCATCTTTTTTCAGCCATCTTTCGCCTCTAGTTATAGATCATCAAGTTGTGGTACAAATTGGTTTCAGTTCATTTTGTGGAATGAAAATTTATGATAATCACAATCCCTTTTTTTTTTCCTTAAATATATATTATAAGAAAAAAAGTTGTCACTATATTTACAAGAGTGAATATAAAAAACCCCCCCCCCATTTTATTCTTTCTTTGATGGTTACCATGAGAAATCAGGGGCAATATGTATATATATATTACTTTTGTTTGTTTTTATATTGTGTAACCAATGTTTGGCTCATTCAGCGATCATTTATTTTATCAAAAAGGAATGATTTGTAAGCTCAATACTAACAACGGCTTTAACCTCGGTTCATACCTTAGATAATAATTTTATGTATTTCTAAAAAAAAAATAAATTTTATCTTTAAAAATAAAAACAATAGAAAACAGATGATCATAAAATTGAGATATAAATAAATTATAGCTACAGGAAGAAAGAAAAAAAAGAATTTTGTTTTTTAATCAATATTAATAAATGCTCTGGCGCTCCGCTGGAGCTTTTCGAAATCAAAGATTTGTGTAGACTCTAGATTTTCTTTGGAAGGTGTGGACTATAGATTTGTTTGGAAAGTGTGGATTATAGTTTGTTTTTTTTTTTTTTGAAAAAGTATGGACTATTGATTTGACGAAAAGATGTGGATTATACATTTGATTGGAAGATGTTGACTATTGGTTTGATGGAAAGGTGTGGATTTTTTTTTTAGGAAGGTGTGAACTATTGATTTGATGGAAAGATGTGGACTACAGATTATCTTTTTAGAGGGTGTTTTCATTAATCATCAATCATCATCACTAACATCGTCAAGAGGAGGAGAAAATAATTTATTGTTTTATTGGATATTGAATATATATATTATAAAAAAAAAACTATAGAAGGACGTCGCGATATACAATATTGGCAGTTTGTCGTTGAGAATTGCGAACTGGTTGTGAGGTTGCCACTCGAAGATTTGACGGATCTCTTGATCGTGAGAGAGCTACATACAGTTGTCCATGGGCAAACACTTGATCTTTCAGATACACACCTACATAGTCCAGTGATTGTCCTTGACTCTTGTGGATGGTCATTGCAAATGCTGGTCGTACAGGGAATTGTCGCCTTCCAAGTTCTTTTGCTCCGCTGATAACCACTTGAAGATTCCCAATCGGTTCGTCACGATCTTGATCTACTGCTGTCATGAATTTAATGGCGTAATGGTTGTTGTCATGGATGATTTTTTGAAGAAGTTGGACGGTTTCAGGCTTCAAATGAGAGATCAAATTCGTTCGTCGTTGCAATTGTTCAAAGGCGTCATGGAAGTAAATCTATCGTAGAGAAAAAAAAAAAAAAAAAAAAAAAAAAGAGGTTAGTGGATGATGATTTGATTTAAAAATATTAAATTTATATACTTGCCTGAGAAAAATTGGATTGTTGATAGTTGTTTGATCGTAAAGCACCAATACAGTGGTAAATGGTTCCATTAATTCTGAATGTTGTTGGTCTGTTGCTACCTTGCCAAAGAAGACTTTGATCTACATTTGCCACGGTGGACGCAAAGGCAAACAAAGTATTGTATGATCGAATGTTGGTGTGGAAATCCGCAATCGTTTCATTTGTGGTTCTGTCACCAAGTAACATGGAAAGCATTTCTTCTGGAGGTGGTGTTGGAAGTGGGAGGTTGATTTTACCATTTGAACAACATAAGCTGAATTGCAGACGGGTTGATGTTGCTGATTGAAGTCGTTCCTCGATACACATTAACGCTCCGGATGTCGAACAGATAGTTTCAAATGGAGGGAGTAGATGCCGGTGATAGTTGGGACCTTGATCGTCGCGAACATAGGAACCAAAGACAGATTCTGGGACAAATGAGATAGAAGAAGCAGCTTGATTGTACTGTGCGCCTAGACGCTCGTTGATGATGTTTAATTTGTTGAAAGGACATGACCTGTTATGTGCACTTGAATGACCTCTACGACCACAGCGAGAGCAAATGAGAGAAGAGCTGACGCGCTGGTTGGAATCTCCATGTAGTTGATGAGAACCTTGATGTACTTGACAATCTTCATATCTTCGCCGAGTACTTCTGTTTAAAGGACAGTCGTAATGGGTTGTTCGAGAATGAGTGTCAGATCCGCACCTGCATAAATTGACGCTACTGTTATGCGCAGTTGGCTGTTTGTTTTGATTGAGTGGACATTCATAATGGCTTGTTCGAAGATGAGTGGTAGATCCGCACCTACAATGACGAATTGATCTGTTCATTCAAGGAATATGAAAGGATATATGAAAAAGAGAAAAGCTAAAAAAAAAAAAAAAAAAAAAAAAAAAAAAAAAAGGAAAAGGAGAGGGAAAAAAAAAAAAAAAAGAGGGAAGAAAAAAAAAAAAAGAGGGAAGAAAAAAAAAAAAAGCTCAGGCCAAATAGTCTCAGACGACTATTTTTTTTTTTTTTTTTTTTTGTGTGGTGTGAACATAAGCACTCTTTTTCGTGTGGATGATTGTTTTTTTATTTTTTTGGATGGATGATTATTTTTGTTGAAAAGATGTGGACAATAGATTTGACATGAAGATGTAGACTATAGATCTTTTTTTTTGGAAGGAGTGCTAATCTTTAGTTTTTCATATTTTTTTTCATATATTAACAAGAACAGGATTAAAATTAATCTTGCAACTTATCTAAATAATCACCTTTTAAAATCAATAAAAAATAAATTTTTAACTATTTTATTAATAAGTAATAAGATTTGATAAATAATATAATATTAAAGATTGAATATTCAATTTTAATAATAATATTTGTAAAAATATGTTCCAGGTGGTGTAGCTGCCTTTCGTACCATATCTGTCGCTTGAAGTGAAATTTGATTTACAGCATTTGCAGTAGACATTTTCTTGTTTAGTATTTGTTGTGCACGTTCAAGAATTCTTTTTTCTTCATTAGCTTTTTGTTCAGGTGTAAGAGGTGATGGTAACAATATGTTAGGTATATCATATTTAAAATATTTTTTCATTTCTTTTTGCCATTTAGGTGAATCAGTTTTCAAGAAATATAATTGGTATTGATGAAAACCTTTTCTTGTTAATCCATCTTGTGTTAATTCACAACCAGTAGCCTCAAGTGCAACGGATAATTCTTGTTCTGCTTTTACTGGTTCTTCAATATAATTCATGTAATTGGTAAGTTTTTGATACGTTAAAATTCCTTGATAATCATAATCAAAGAAATTATAAATTGAATTTATAAGATTATACAAATTTTCTGATTCAGTACCATCAGGATTAATTAAAGGTTTGTCAAAAAGTTGTAATTGTATTGGTATGTATTGATTTCTTATATCTTGACCATTTGGAATATTATATTGTTGATGTTGATATATTGGAAATTGATTTGTAAGAGAATTAGAACACATAGGACAAAATAACCATGTATGTAATACTTCAAATGAGCATTTAAAACATTTTTTTTGTGAATTCATATTTTCTTATTTTTAAAATTTCAAATAATAAGAAAAAAATAATAGAATTGTTTCCCTTGTTTTTAAAAAGAAAAAAAAAATCGAACAATCAGCGTCTACGGTAATGCTGGAGTTTTAATATTTTTTATTAGAATTTATGACTAAGATGTTCTTTTTGAGAAAAGGTGTAGTGACTGTTGCTTTAATCTTACAAATCAATTCTTCCGGACTTCACATCTTCAACAAGAAAAAAAAAAAGGGAAAAAAATTTAAAAAAGATTGAATCTCCACTTGTTCATTATTTTCTCTTTTTTCTTTTCTTTTTTTTTTTTTTTTTTTCTTCTTCTTCTTCAAAAGAAGGAATTCACAATGCCAGCACAACAAGTACCACATACCATGGGTTTACCTGACTTTAAACAAATGGTGCTTTATACTGGGAATGTCATGCGTACAAGACTTATCAATCGAACAAAAGCACACCAAAAGATGTCAAATACAGAGGTAATATATATATATATATATATATATATATAGGGTTGTTTATTATATGATTTTAGATATTCAATTTCTTTTTTTTTTTTGATTATTTTATTAGCTTATAGATGCTATTGATGATACTATCAAGACTTCTTTACAAGGTCAAGATGCTCCATCTTTTCGATATTTCTCAGATGAATCTTTATTGGAAGTTCCTGATCTCCGACACAACAGTATTATTTCCATTGATGATCGTGATGAAGTAGAAGTGACAGGTAAGATATGGGATTATATATATATATATATTCAGAATATAGTTTCTGATAACATCTTTTTTTTCTTTTAGCCAAACTCTTTTCTACCAATGGTACTTTATACCCTACTGATGTTGATAACTCTATCTTATTATTACAAAGACTTTTGGGTGTATCATCAATTGATTCCTTCGTTTTATCCTCATCGTCACCAATCACTGCTAATAAGACATGGAAGTCTTTGGAAAATTACTATACTCAAGGTGTCATCAATAAATTGGGTGTCTCGGATCTTTCGGAACAAGAGTTGATCAGTGTATTGGATAATCCGGAATTTGAAGTGAAACCATCTATGAATCAAGTTAATTACAGTTGTTGTGATATTCCTGCATCTATGATCAAACTAGCAAAACAATATGGTGTTGATTTGGTATATACACTGGATTCCAAAGGTAAAAAAAAAAAAAAAAAAAAAGGATATATGTTTGATTTATAACATTTCGACTAAGTAAAAGTTTTTTTTTTTCCTTTAATTTAAGATATCTTGACGAAACAAGAACTGACTCAAATATTACAAACAACTGGTGTTATCAATACAAAAAAATCTATGTCTCCACGATGGGTACTCAAATATGATGTATTTGTAAAGAATCGTAGTGTGGTAGCTGATAAAGGATATATTATCACTGGTGACATAGAAATCTCACCCTCTTCATGATGTAATTTTTTTTTTTTGTACCTTTATCTACTCTATATATTTTACTGTTTTATCTTCGTCCCATATAATCATATTTTATATACACTCTATTCAATTACACTTCATGAACAACTAGTCAGTTTTTATTTATTTATAATTTTTTTTTCATCTTTACATATACATTCAAATAAATATCATCATACCATCATTACTATTTTTTTCTATATACTGTATCAATTTTTATGCGGGGAATCAATATGATCTTTTTTTTTTCTTTTTTCTTTTTTTTTTTTTTTTTTTTGTTCTTTTACTACTTTTTTTTTATATTTTTTTTTTTTTATTTCCATCATTATAAATATCAGTGTTCATGATACAGGCCTTGTTATCAACAAGTAGTTGTTATCGCTCTATGCATGTTGCTTTTCGTGGTACTAATACTCGCTCTCTCTTAAAGACTTATACCACTAAAGGTACGTTTCATTACCCCTTATTAAAGTCCTTTTACTTACTATGATCTATTTTTCTATTTTAGCTCTATCTTCTGGTGATCAACTTCATGGTTATCTCGTTCAACAGGTACATATATATATAAACGTTTACCAGGAATACTTAATACTCATTTTATCATTACTTGAATTTTGTTCACAATGATAAATATTACAGGTACAAAAAGTAGAAGAACTCGAACTCACTGCTATTCTTCTGGAACATCAACAAACTGGAGCACAACATCTTCATATCGATCGTAACGATGCTAATAACGTCTTTGCTGTTGGATTCCATACACCTGTCAAAAACAGTACCGGAGTGGCGCATGTTTTGGTAAGTACATCATTAACCAATTATAACTACAAAAGGAACTCCTGTTTACTTCTTTTCATACATACATATATATAGGAACATACTACACTTTGTGGTAGTCATAGATATCCTGTACGTGATCCTTTTTTCAAAATGCTGAATCGAAGTCTAGCTACCTATATGAATGCTTTGACTGGTAGGTTAAAAATTTTCCATTTTTATCTTTATTTTGATCTGACCCTTTTTCTTTCTTACTTCTTTTATTTATATAATTCAGGTAGTGACTATACGGTGTATCCTTTTGCTACGACTAACGCTGTGGATTACAAAAATCTAGAAGGGGTTTATATGGATGCTGTATTCCATCCATTACTATCAGAATTGGACTATAAGCAGGAAGGATGGAGATTAGAACATGATGATTTGACAGGTAAAATAATGAAAAAAAAAAAAAAAAAAGATATCGAAACTATCCAAACTCGTCATGATGATTCTTACTTTTTGATAGATTTGTCAAGTCCTATCAATTTCAAAGGTGTTGTATATAATGAAATGAAAGGAAGAATTGTAAGTGAAAGATCAAAAGGAAATAAATTCAGAACTATTTCTTGAATATAATCGCTAATTTATATATACGTATATTTATAGTCTGATCCTGGATACCTCTTTTATAAGCAATCTCAACAATCCATGTACCCAGGAACGACATATGAAAATGCAAGTGGTGGTGATCCTACATTTATCACTGATCTTACCTACCAAGATCTTCTCGATTTCCATAAGACTCATTATCATCCAAGCAACGCAAAATTTTATACTTATGGTAAATTTATTCCAAATTAATGTTATCTTTACTTATTTATGAAACTTATTCTAGGCAACTTCTCATTGGAGGACCATTTGGCAACGATTCGTACTAAATTAAACGGCTTTGGCAAATCTGAAATACCTTTTGTGAACAAGATTCCTGATAGATGGGCAAAACCAAGAAAAGTAGTATCAAATTGCGCTTTGGATCCAAGTAAGTAAAAATAAGACGAAGAAATAAAAAAAAAAAAAAAGGAATAACAAATGACTTACTCTTTTTTCTTTTTTGACAGTGGTGCCTGTTGATCGACAAACGCGGTTATCTTACTCCTTCTTGACCAATGACATTCATGTAAATTAATTAGTTAAACGATCTTATTTATCCTAAAAAGAAACGATCTCTTATTTCACTTTGCTTTGATAGGATTCATTTGAAACATTCTCTATGCGAGTATTATCAACTCTATTGTTGGAAGGTCATAGCTCACCCATGTATGAAGCGTTGATTGATTCTCATCTTGGTACATCGTTCTCCTCAAATACTGGCTATAATCGAAACACAAGGTAAAATGAAGATAAATGAGAGAGAAAAATCTGGGTTCACAACCTAATCATATCTTTTGTAACATTAGAATTAGTAATTTAACTATTGGGTTACAAGGTGTCAAGACGCAAGATGTTGATCAGGTAAATACACCATGAATGTTTCGCAAACATTTGAAAAATAAATAAATAAATAAGTATTTATGATTATAATCTTATTTCTTTTTTTTTTTTTTAATAGGTGGAAACTAGAATTAAACAAGTTTTAGAAAAGGCCAGGATGGATGGATTCGATTCTAGAAGAATTGAAGCAACACTTCATCAAATGGAATTGGGTTCTAAGCACGTAAATATTCTTATTGTTGTATATGCCAAGCAACAAGGGGGAAAGGGGACAAAAGAAAAAGGAGGAAGAATAAAGGGAATTCGATAATTGATCTCTTTATTATTTTTAGAAAACTTCAAAGTTTGGATTGACAATTATGCATTGGATTACATCGGGATGGTTCAATGGTGCGGACCCTATTGATCTACTACATATTAATAAGGTAAGTCAGTGTTATTACAATATTTATCCCGCTCCCCCCCTGAATACAACGTTCCTTCACTAATCGCACTTTTACTTGTTTTGTCTTAGTACATTGCCCGTTTAAGACAAGAACTTCAAAAAGGCCCATATTTTGAATCTCTTATTGACAAATATTTGCTCAGAAACACTCATGTTTTGACATATATCATGCATCCGGATGCATCCTTCAACACTGTTACCGCCAACGAAGAAAAGGATCGACTAGCGAGGAAAATACAACAAGAGGAGAAGCAACAACAACAACAACTGATGGAACAAGCTCAACAATTGGAAAAAAAGCAGAACATAATAGATGATGTATCTTGTTTGCCTACTCTTCGTATCGATGATATTCCCTTGAAACAACCAAAGATCGTGGTGGAACATACTGGTCTATGCAATACTCCCATCCAATGGCGGACAACGTCTACCAATGGTATCACCTATTTCCGGGCCATCTGTACTCTACCTCCTCTTATGGATGATTTGAAGCAATATGTGCCTCTGTTTTGTGATGTAAATGATTTATATACATATATATATCATATATCTGATAGTTTATTCTTTGTTTTTAGGCATTACATTCTCTTGGAACGAAATCTCAAAGCATGGCTGAATTAGATGATGAAATTCGATTATATACTGGTGGATTGGGATTCTCTGCAACTACATCAACTAATCATTCAGGTAAAGAAGAGTGTCGATAGTAAAACAAAAAAAAAGAGAATATCTTTTATGCAGCACAGACATATTTACTATTTGTTGTTATTTATTGTCATTTTAAACCTTATATAGATATTAACGCTATGGAAGAAGGCATCATGTTCTATGGCAACTGTTTGGATCGAAATATAGAAAAGATGTACGATTTGACTAGACGATTGATTAGAGAAACAAATTTTGACAACATACCCAAACTTAGGTCCTTGATTAGACGTGTATGTAGTTGCAATATAAAAAAAAAAAAAAAAAAAAAAGAATACTAATTAGGAAAAAATTATATATGTATAGAATGCATCGTATCTGAACAACTCAATAGTGAATTCAGGTCATATGTACGCCAAAACGTATGCATCTGCTACACTGACACCTTCTTCTGCAAGCAATGAACTACTTTCTGGTATCACTCAAATCAAGTTTATGAATCAATTGGCAGCGAAAAGTGATGATGATCTTTTGGACGTGATAGAACATCTCAAGCAGATTGCTACATTGGCTATTCATCAAACTTCGTTACGTGTGGCTGTGACATGTGGGGAAGAAGCAATTAATGACAATATGAAGTATCTATCTGGATTGATTACTGGACTACCTGAAAATGCAGATATCAAATTTAGCAAGGAAATAGAACATGTAAGTTGTAAATAGTTGACAATAAGACCGAAATTAGTCGTAATCTCTATTGTTGATTTCTGCATCTTTTTATTGATTACATATGTATATTTGTAGACGACACAATTCGATCCAACATTCAAGAAAACGTTCATTGGAATCCCATCTCAGGTGGATTTCTCAGCCAAGTCATTACGTGGTGTACCATATACACATATCGATAGTGCCAAACTGCAAATTCTGTGTTCATTATTGACAAGCCGATACTTACATCGTGAAATTCGGGAAAAAAATGGAGCTTATGGTGGTGGAGCAATCTATGGTGCATTAACAGGATTATTGACGTTTTATTCTTATCGGGACCCCAAATCAAATACGACAGTGGAAACTTATAACAAAGCAATGGATTGGGTACGAAGATATACATTTACTGATCAAGATTTAACTGAAGCCAAACTATCCCTTTTTCAACAAGTGGATGCACCCGTCAATGTGTCTATGGAAGGAATGCCTCAATTTATCAGTGGACTTTCGGACAACATGCGACAAATGTAAGACTTTATTTTTTTTTTTTTTGGCATAATGACAAACCCTGATTCATCCTACTACTATCTTTTTTTTTTTTTTTTAATTTAGTCGACGTGAACAACTTTTATCGGTGACTCAAAATGATATTAAGGATGTTGCTGAACAATATTTGAATCAAGCATATGGAATCACAATCCTTGGAGATGAAAAGAAATCGGGCAAGGATTTACCCAGTGACTGGAAGATCCATATACCGTAATCAATAGTATAGAATTAGAATTTTTTTTTATTATACATTATTGTTATTAATAATAAAAAAAAAACGCTCATATATGTGTATATATATAAAAATCTGTCTGTTTGTCATTATTACTGGCGACATTTATTTATTTCAAGATTTATTTATACAAAAGTCCATTTGATTTCATGTGATAACAATGATGATGGTATCGTTGAATAGGCTGAGATGGGAAATGGTTTTTCCTTCTTTTTCTTTTTTCTTCATAGTTATATATGTTTTCTTCATTTGATTTCATAGAAATACAGAATGCTGCGTTTTTGTATATTGAGTTCCTCGGAAACGATTAGATAAGGTTTTGGGGAGAACCAAGTGTCCTTAGTAAATGAAATTCATTCAATGTCATTAGTAGAATTACTATTTTTTTTTTATAATGAAAGGAGGAAGGGGAGAAGGAGGACAATAATTGAAGTTTTGTTAATAAGGTGTAGTTAATGATTGTACCTTTTGATTTAAGGGGAGACAATATTCTAAGAAAGAAATAAAAAAAAAAAAAAATAGGGGATAATCATCTTGGCGCATAAAAGCTGAGATTGTATTTCCTTCACGGTTAAAAAGGGAGAAACTACGCCAAAAAAAAAAAAAAAAGTTAAAACTTGCATTCTTTTTTTTTATTCTTTTCTTTTCTTTCTTTCTTTCTTTTTCTTCTTTTTTTTTTTTTTCTTTACTTTAAAAAAATAACTTTATTTTAACGTACTCCAATTCATTCACCATGGCTGATCAAGAAGAAAGACAATTCCTTCAAGAAGTAGAACAAGTCAAAAAGTGGTGGGCTTCTCCTCGATTTGACCTTGTACGTCGTCCTTATACTGCTGAACAAATTGTTAGTAAACGTGGTGACTTCCCTACTCATTACCGTTCTAATGACCAAGCAAAGAAACTTTGGAAAATCCTTCAACGCAACAAGGCAACTGGAGGAACTAGTCATACTTTTGGTGCTTTAGACCCTGTCCAGGTAAATATTAAAAATAAAAATAAAATAAAAAAAGAAGAAGAAAAGAAAAGGATAAAATAACTTTTTTTTTCATTTATTATTTTGATATAATAGGTGACTCAAATGGCAAATGCTGGTATTGATACTGTTTATGTCTCTGGTTGGCAATGCTCTTCCACTGCTTCTTCTAGTAATGAACCTGGTCCTGATCTTGCTGATTATCCTATGGATACAGTTCCCAACAAGGTGGATCATCTCTTTAAGGCTCAACTTTTCCATGATCGTAAACAACGAGAAGAACGTTTACGTATGTCTCCTCAAGAACGTAGAAAGACTCCCAAGATCGATTATTTTAATCCTATTATTGCTGATGGTGATACTGGGGTACGTATTTTTTTTTTTAAAAAAAAAAAAAAAAAAAAAAAAGGAAATACATATTTGTTATTGTTATTTACTTTTATCATACTTTATTGTTGTTGTTGTTTTTTTTATAGCATGGTGGTGTTACGGCTGTGATGAAATTGACTAAAATGATGGTTGAACGTGGTGCTGCAGGCATGCATGGTAAGTGTCCCAAAATATGTTGGAGAGAAAAAAAAAAAACATTAGTGATATTCTCATACATGATATTTATACCATCGAAAACCAAACATCAAAACAAACATCGTATTAAAATTCTTTCTCTTTTTTTTTTTTTTTATTATTATTATTCTCCTCTTTTAGTCGAAGATCAATCACCAAGTACCAAGAAATGTGGTCATATGGCTGGCAAGGTATTGGTTCCTATTGCTGAACATATCAATCGTTTGGTTGCTATCCGTGTCCAGTATGATATTATGGGTGTTGAGAATGTGGTAGTGGCTCGTACTGATGCTGAAGCAGCCACCTTATTAAGTAGCAACATTGATGAACGTGATCATGAATTTATTGTCGGCGCCACCAATCCTACACTACGTCCCCTAGCTACTGTGATGGCTGAAGCTGAACGTCAAGGCAAATCTGGTGAAGCTCTTGCATTAGTGGAATCTGAATGGACAGCCAAGGCAGGTCTCAAACGTTATGGTAATGCTGTAGCAGATGAATTACGTCGTCAAGGCAAGAACGCTCAAGCCACCGCCTTTTTGGAACAAATTCATTTCAAGTCTAACTCTGAAGCTCGTTCTATTGCTAAAAATTCTTATGGTATCGATATCTTCTGGGATTGGGACATTCCTCGTGTACGTGAAGGTTTTTACCGTTATGAAGGTGGTACTGAAGCCGCTACCTCCCGTGCTATTGCTTTTGCTCCTTATGCAGATATGTTATGGATGGAAACAAAGAAACCAATTTTATCTCAAGCTGAACAATTCGCAAAAGGTGTCTTAGCTGCTTCCCCCAAATCCTTATTATGTTACAACTTGTCACCTTCCTTCAATTGGTAAGAGAAAAAAAAAAAGATAATGATTATAGCCGATGAAAATTATAACCGTATGATTACTTTTATTTACTTTATTATTTATTTGTATAGGGATGCTGCTGGTCTGACTGATAATGACATGGGTTCCTTCGTTCGTCAATTAGGACATCTTGGATTTGTATGGCAATTTATCACATTGGGTGGTCTTCATGCCAACGCTTTAGCAACAGGTAAAATAGAGATTTCTTTTTTTTTTTTTTTGGGATCATAAAAAAAGGATGTGGCAAGTTCAAATACTGATGTGAATGCATATTTACTTTTTTTTTTTTTTTTGGTGATCTCTTTAGCTACTTTCGCCAAGAGTTTCAAGGAAACAGGTATGCTTGGTTATGTGTCCACTGTACAAAGGAAGGAACGCGAAAACGGTGTTGACGTCTTACAACATCAAAAATGGTCAGGTGCCACCTACGTAGATGAACTAATGAAGATTGTTACAGGAGGTGTTGCCGCAACCGCTGCCATGGGTGAAGGTGTTACTGAAGATCAATTCAAATAGTTTAGTTTCATAGTGTTTGTAGTATCGTTTTTTTTTTATTCTTCAACCGTACCTCCCCCTTTTATTATATTGACATTTATTTATATGATAGATGATAATCTATTCTTCTTCTCATCATGATTTTAACGCTTTTCTTTGGAAACGTGTTGTAAAAATAAAAGAAAAACAAATTATTTATTTATTTATTATAAATACATTGACTTGGCTGTACGTTTTCATTGGCAGATGAATGGATCAATATGGATCAATGGGTAAAAGGAACCATCCTATAGTTACTAGCTGTTTTTATGGTATGATTGAAGGTGTAAACTTCAAAATGGGATTTGAAGGGTTTCTTTTTTCGTGTGAGACGAGTTGTCAGATAACCTTTTTCTGTGATTTTCTATTCATTATCGACAGTCTGTCTTTTTAATTCACTAACAGAAGTAATAATCCTAGGATAATTTACATATCTTTTGTTAATAGTGTGTATACAGTATGATGATAGGGATTTGACTGGTGATTTAGGCAGTGGATTCATCTTTTTTTTTTTTTTTTTTGTGAAAGTTTTGGATTTTAAATTTAGGCTGTGAGAATAAATCATCGAGGGGTCATCAGGCAATTTTTCGAAAAATCGATGAAATTCTTTTGCACATTAGGTGGCAAGATAAGTGATGAAATGATATTAGATGATATTAAACTACTTTTTGGAGAGGAATCCAATGTTGGTAATTTCATTGGGTGATGATTATTATTGGACGAGGAATGAGTATTTTTATTTTTATTTTTTAATTTACTTTACAGACTGAGAGACAAGATACAAATTGTTATTAAGGCAAGCGAAAGAGAATGATTTCATATATCTTCACTTCAAATTTGATGCAATGATGATGACTTTTGAGCGAGAAATGAACAGACAAAGTTTGCTCTCCTACTTGAAAGCAGGATGAATAAATAAATAAATATATGGGAAAAAAAAAAATTTCTTATATCAGACATCTAGTCCATGATTTCCAGTATTTTTTTTTTTAATAAATTCCGTATATCTGAAACATAAAGCAGATGATGTCTGATATATATGCCAGATATCTGATATATGGCGGATGTAATTATTATAATAAATAAAATATAAAAAAAATAAACTACTATACACTAGATAATAATATTTTTTTATTATAATAGAAAAATAAAAAGATAAAAAAAAAAATTGAGCTAAATATTCTATATGCTATCCTATCTTTGTCTCCCAATACATGATCGCTAGTGTCTATGTCAGATACCATTCCAGACCAAAAGATATATGTGCACCCATATCTCTGGAATTTTCTAAGAGGCCAACTTGTCTAGTGATATACGAAGCAGCAAGTAACTTGATTTGTGGTGTAGAAAGGTTAGGACGATAAAACCTTCCATTAGTGATTGAATAATAAGTAGGATAGAGGTTGAGTCAATTAAACCTGCATAAAAAAAAAAAAAAAAAGTTTATATAAATATTTTCTTTTTTCGTTGATAAGATCATTTTTATTTTAATTCTATTGAATGATACCTACAAATAAGCTAACTATAGCTTCTTTATAATGGTGCTGTATGAAAAGAAATATAACATAAGGAGTGTTGAGTGCGAGATTATTAAAAAAATAAATAAAAGAAAAGAAAAGAAAGAACAAAAGAAATAAAAAAATGCTGCACGTTATGAAGAGGTCAAAAAATTTTAAAAGTCAACAGCTTGGTTCCCCCAATTGCATCTGGAATCATGCATATTTTCATTTGAATATTTTTAATTCGCATGATTATCCTTTTCTTTTTATATATAAATATCCTCTTATTTTTTTTTTCCTTTCTTTTTATCAACTTTTTTTTTTTTTTTTGAATCTAATCTCATTAACCACTCTTAAGGAATTAATCATCCTAAGTTTTATCTTTATTTTATTATAATCAAGCAATGATCAAGTTTTTTTATACTAAAGTTACTTTAATTTTTTTTTTTTTTATTGATCATCATCATCAAAAGTGATCATATATTCAAGACACCTATTTCCTTTTCCAGATTACTTTTATTTTTTTTTATCACAATACTTTTGTCCTTTTTATAAAAAAGAACCGATGCTCACTACAACGTAATCATCATTGACATTATTATTTTAATACTATTATCCATCTATTCTATTAATCAATCATCTACCAAGTAACAAAAAAAAAAAAAAATCCGTAACACTACCTAGTAAAAATCTGACATCCTCCTAACGATAAATCCCAAAAAGGCACACGACTGTGTTGTTATGACTTTTTGGTATTTTGAACATCCGATTTATTTATCACATCATTGTAGTTTATTTTTATTTTTTTTTCTTCTCTCTATATTTTTCTTTTACATTATATCACCTCATTACTTCACTTCTCCGAATAACATTGTCTCTCTTTTATCACGCCAGTATGTATATTAAGTTTAGGAAATTAATATACAAAATAAATAATCGAATGAACATAATCCAAATCTTAAAAATGCAAGCTATCCAAAATTATTTACTCGCTCGACCAATGACTAAGGCAGAAAGACTCGAAGTCGAATTCATTCAACAATATTCGCAGTATTTGAATGTCTACAATAATCACAAAAATGCGACTCAAGAACTGGAAAAGGTTATTTATCTACAAGTCATACCTATTCTACTGGATCTTATACATGCAAAAAATTTGACCAGCCTACTTCAAGACAAGGGTCTCAAGTTTATATCAGGGTTCGAAACTTGTATTTAAGGGAACTGATGAAGCAAATAGGTGGAAGTGTTGAAGCAAACAAGAAGATCATGCGCAAGGTTAAAAAAAATGATGGATGGACGCTTTACCAAAGTTTATTCTTTGATCATCCTCAAGTGTGATCAAATAATCAAGACATCTACTTCTATATTTGGAACATATATTTAAATTTACCTTATACTGTTTTGTTCTTTTTTTTATAAAAGATCTGGTGCTCACTACAAGTAATCATCAACGATATTATTATTATTATAATAATATCATCCATCAAATCTATTGTTGAGTATGAAAAAACACACGATCAATGAAATTCTTTTTATTTTTTTATTCAATTCTTTTTTCAAACACTATGTTTTTTTTTTTTTATTTTTATTTATTTATTCTTTTTACTTTAGTATAAATAGCCATCGTATTTTAGTTTTCTTTTTTTGAATTGTCAATTTTTTTATATTTTTATTCAATAAAAAAGGTTGTTTTTTTTTTTTTTTTTTTTTTTTAACCAAAATCACATTGGCCACTCTTCAGGAACAAATCATCCTAAGTTTTATCTTTATTTTTTTTTATCATCAAGCAATCATCAAGCTTTTTATTCAAGTTATTTGATTGATCATCATCATCTGTGATCAAATCACCAAGACATCTATTTCCTTTTTGGTTTACATTTATATTTTTTTATTTTACTTTTGTTCTTTTTATATAAAAGAACTGATGCTCACTATACGAACAATCATCATCAATATTATTATATTAATAAGATCATCCATCAATCTTAAATTTTCAATCATCCGTTAAGTACCAAAAAAAATCCTTAACACTATAAAACAATCATCCACTCAAAGTACTTGTTGAAAAAAAAAAAAAAAAAAATTTACCAACACCGCTTCTATTCTCATTTTCGTTTTTATTTTTTAACGTTAACTTATAATTAGTATAAATACTTCAGTTTTCTTATTCGTTTTTTAAATCAGTCAATTTTTTTATTATATTTTTTAAATAAATCTTTACTTTTTATCCCTACTTGATTGTATTGTGGATTATCACTTTTGATTGGCTCACTTTGTTCTATATTTAAAGTCAGAACAATTTTACTCTACTTTTAGTTTCCAAATTTGGAACAAGACTTTATTTTTTTTTACTTTACTTTTCTTTTTTATTTTATTTCTTTTCTTATACGTGTGCTTGCGTAATCAAGTACTGGTGCTCACTAAACAACTTATTCTCTTTCAATCATCCGAATTACTTTTTCAATTTTACAACCAAAAAATCACTTAACAATAGTTTTATATATATAAACTTTTATTTTCTCTTAGTCTCTCTTCCCGTTAACAACACGACAACTGGCTATATTTTTACCCGATGTAATGGAGCAAAAGCTAAGGGCTTCTCCGGGAATCGAACCCGGGACCTCTCGCACCCTAAGCGAGAATTATACCACTAAACCAAGAAGCCAAACGTTGAAAATTGGACTGATTACTTCATTAAAAATCTCATTTTAATTTCAGCCAATCAGCATCGAGTATTTCTTTGCTGGGTTAACACGGAAGCCTCAAGGTCACGCGATTTTTGGCGTGAGTCGGTGTCTCATCCTCCTTTTTTTTTTTTTGTTTTTTTTTTTTGTTTGTTTGTAATCTTTCGTCTTTTTTTCTTATTTTTATTATTATATATTTTTTTTTGAAATAAATTACATTACAAAGCTCATTGAATGAACGATGCTTAGATATATGTACCAAACTTTACATTCCTTGGTTCAATTAGATGTATAATCCTTCTTCCTTTTTTTTTTTTTCTATTGGCAATTAGGAACGTATTTAAGATGAATAATTGGTGAAATAAGGTAACATGATATAAGGAACAACAGCATAAAAACACTTACTAATCTATTTTTTTTTTTATTTATTGAATTTTACAAATTTATCATATTGGATTGAAAAAAAAAAAAGTATTATACGTTGAAAAAATGTGGATAGACAAGAAAATCTGATGATATCTTTTCGACAAAACATCAACATGGTTATTTACTCTAGATACATATTACTGTGTATTAGTATCATTTATTGGTTTGATTTTATATATTAGATTTAGTAAATATATGGAAATAAAGAACAATATTATATATGAAAAAGAGGGAGAAATATATTTTATATAAAGATGAATATTACCACTCTATAGAGTAAAAAAGATGAAACAGGCTATGCTTCAGATGATCTTTGGCTTTTTTTTTTTTTTTTTTTGTCCTATTGGAACGTTCCCCGACATTGTAGAACAATAAGACTTTAGCATGAATGGTTCCATTTCCTTTTTTGGGGGAAAAGTAGTTGATATATTTGAAAAAAAAAAAAAAAAGAAATTATCATTCATCATGAATTATAAATTATTATAAATCAAGATGATAACATGGGAAAGAAATAGTATAAATGAAATAAAATGTTTTTATCCCCTTGTTATATAATATCAAAACTTATATTATTTATCTTTTTTTTTTTTTTTTTTTGATCACATTTCTATATTGTTTAAAATCGGAGCGAAAAGATTTGGTTTTGTTAGTTTACCCGATTAGATTTCTTTTTATAACACTTTTTTTTCTTTCTTTTTCTTTCTCTTTCTTTTACCCTTTTTTTTTTTATCATTTATATTTTTCAATTTTGTTTTTTATTTTTTTTTTTTTATTTTTTTATATAATATATTCAATATCATTCAATGAATTCTACTGATGATACCATACCAGTTAAATCATTATTAAAGGTAAAAAGGAAGGAAAGAAAAAAAAAATAAGAAAAAAGAGAGTTTTATTATTAATAATGATATCTTTTTAGCATTCATCTATATCTTATAATAATACCATTCATTCAGAAATGTCTATTGAAACTAAACCTGCTATCAAAATAGATAAGAATGATCATCAAACTCTTATCCGATCAGCCTTCTCTTTGTCAGACAGTGAAAATATCATTGGTGGTAACTCAAAAATATTTCTCCCTTTTTTTTTTTTTCTCATTTCTTTTTTTTTTTTTTTTTTTTTTTTTTTTTAAAAAAAAAAAAGAATACCCATGTTACCTTGTTCGACTAGTTACTCTACCTGGATGGTTATACGTGACTGATGAACGTATTTGTTTTTATGCTCCTTTACCTGGAAAAGAGGTAAAATAAAAAAAAATAATAAATACATTCATAAAAAATAATAATACTTTGTTTTGAATATTTTTAGGATTCTCCTAGAAAGTCTGGATATTTGACAAAAAAGAATCATAAGACTTCACCACTCAGCTATCGATATTATTTTATATTACAATATAACGTCATTTCTTGGTACGAATCTGCTGAACATCACTATCAACCTTTGGGAAGCATCAAATTAAAAAATGTGATAGACATTCAAGAATCAAAAACAAGGAAATTAGGTTTCAAAATAGTAACACCTAATGAACGATATACCTTCATTGCAGACTCTGAAATATCCAAAAAAGAATGGTTAGACGACTTACGACGTACTATGTTTATAGCAAAGAACGATGGAAATAGTGTTCGTATTGTTTTACCTTACAACAAAACGACAAATATCACCAAAGATTCTGCTTTTGAATTTGCTGAATATATCAAGGTATGCATCTCTGATATACCAGATCAAACACTCGAAAACCATACACTTGTTGACGCGACAGACGGCGAAAATGAAGTAAGTACATATATGGAAAGAAATTTGATTGATGATTAGACTAATCGTTTATTATTATTATTATTATTATTATTATTATTATTAGTATTATTTTGCTTTCTTTCCTGATATCGATGAAGCATATGATACCATTCACAACTGTTGGAAAAAACGACATACAAATTACGATGATGACAATGATTCCAAAAGTACATCATCTTCGATAAGTGGTGACGAAGAACTCACTCAATTGGATGCAGCAGACCCTTTATCAGTTATCTCTACCTTGGCAGCTTTTGGTGATAGTGAAAACGTTCGATCAGCAGGTTCAACTTATATGATGAATGCTTTTACCAAGGCATGTGCATCATCCCGTCCTTCTACTGACGACGCAAACAAATTGGATATGGTATTCAAGAATGGACCAGTGATACATCTATCAGAACAAGTCAAATCTACACGTGATGGATCAGTATACAAAGCACTCAAACATTTCAACAAAAACTCACCATCCAATCAAATATCATCTTTGACTCTTCCTTCTTCTTCATCATCATCATCATGTGAGAATGACAATAACAACAATAACAATAACGACAATAACCAGTTTGTATATTCTTCAACTCCTAACCTAGTAGCACCACCATCGTCACCATCACCATCATCATCATCATCATCATCGTCATCGTCATCGTCAAGTGGAAATGTTAGTGCTCCTCCAGTTACAAAATCAATTATGGCGAATACAACAAAACGGCTACGAAGCAGTTCTTTACAAACAATCAAACATTATGCAACTTTTCCTTTTCAACATTTATCCAAGGATTATTTTCCCAGTATGAAACGACGAAATGATATTCATAATGATGATGACATATCTTCTTCCATTGATTCATCACGAGAACTAGAACGGTCGAACGATACTAAAAGTCCCGTGGCAGTAGGAACAACCATAGCAAGAAAACATTTATCATTTCCTGTGGCACCTCAATTACTTCAACTTGCAGCACCATTTACACACAACATTTTCTCGGATCAACAAGTTTGGAAGAAAAAAGAAGATATTTGGCTTTGTGATGGTATACGACAACAACTTGGAATGGATGATCAATCAACAACAATAGCAATAATGAAAGATGGAACCGAACAATCAAGATTGAACGATGAAATACAGAAATATTTCCCCATGTTGGATACTGATAATACTAATGTCCATGCAAGTAAGTCTCTTCCTCCTTTTTTTTTTTTTTTTTTTTTTTTTTACGGTGAGCGAATCAATACTTACTTACTTTTTTTTTTTATCATTATAGTGTATCGTGCTTTTGTTTGGAGAATGATTCCTTATTATGGTCGGTTATATTGTACTCAAGATTATGCTTGTTTTCATGCTAGTGTCTTGGCTGGACAGCAAAAGGTAACCTAGAACATAATAATAACAAAAAAAAAACAATATTAGGGAATTTGATTTTATTTATCACTCCTGATTCATTTTATTTTATTTATAAAGATTGTTATTCCATTCACAGATATCATCAACATACGTCAATTGAAAAGTCGTGGATATTACCTACAACATGGTCTTGGTGTAACAGTAAAGGATATGCATGAAGAAGTAAGCCTATAAATATAATTGTATTATGATGATACTTACATCTTGTTTATTTCTAGATTTTTTTCGATTTCTCATCTATAGAGCTTCGTGATAGTTGTTATGCTTTATTGAATCTTGAATTACAAAGATATCATAATGATCAACAGGAATCCAGTGAATCAGATAGGTATAAAGGAAAAAAAAAAAAAGAACAAACGATATAAGGTATTAAAAAAAATGACTTCTTCTTTTTTTGGAATACATAGTAATAAACGTGAATCAAGTTCTCCTCTTACACCTGCTCCTCAAAGAAGGAGATCACGATCTATTCAACTTGAAGATATCACTTCCAAGGAACATGTTGTACCACCATCTCAATACAGTAAGACTATTGTTTTAATGTTATGTGATACTATGCAATTGATTTTTGACAACTTGTTTGTACTACATAGATGGCCCTCCACTTCTTTCAAGTTTATCAATATCAGAACAAAATCGTACCACACCCAAACAATTAACTATTACGTGTTTGACTATTGGATCCCGTGGAGATGTACAACCGTATATTGCATTATGTAAACAATTACAACAGGATGGTCATCACTGTCGAATTGCCTCTCATGAAGAATACCGATCGTGGGTAGAAAATTATGGAATTGAATTCAAATCTATTGGTGGTGATCCTGGTGAATTGATGAAACTTTGTATCGATAATGACTTTTTATCCTTTTCTTTTATCAAAAGTGGTTACAAATTCGTAAGTTATATATATATAAAAAAAAGACGGTTCTATGAATATGAATCTAATTCTTTTTTTTTCATTTTTAGTTTTACAATTGGTTTGAAACATTATTGGAAACAAGTTGGGAAGCATGTCAAGGATCTGATGTTTTAATTGAAAGTCCCAGTGCTATGGTTGGTATTCATTTGGCCGAAAAATTAGGTACGTTATTATCATCTATTTGTAAATTCTTTTTTTTTTTTTTGTACCTATATTTAAAATGTTGTTTGTTGTCTTGATTATAGAAATTCCTTATTTTAGATCAATGCCATTTCCATGGACAAAAACAACAAAATTCCCTCATCCTTTTGCAACTCCAAATTATGCAGGTGGACGAATATATAACGACATGACTTATATGATGATAGAAATGGCATTGTGGGCAGGAACTGCGAGACCTATCAATCGATTTCGACGTGAAAAACTTGGTTTGGCTTCTACAACATTGGAACGGTTGGAATTATGGCGAATCCCTTATCTTTATTCATTTTCACCTCTTGTACAACCTGCACCCAAAGATTGGCCTGACTACGTTCATTGTACTGGATATTGGTTTTTGGATGAAAAAATTTTATCGATGAAAGAGGGCAAATGGCAACCTTCTCCTGAATTACTTCGCTTTCTCCATTTGGATTCCACTCAAAAAGATCAAGACAGACGACCTATAGTATATATTGGATTTGGATCTATCATTGTTTCAGATCCTGTGGCAATGTCTCGTGTGATTACTGAAGCTGTTATTGAAGCCAATGTACGTGCTATTGTTTGTAAAGGATGGTCAACAAGAATATCAGAACAACAGGAATCATCAACGCAGATTTTACAAGATCATCCGGATTCGATCTTAAAATTGGATTCTGTTCCTCATGATTGGCTTTTTCCATTGGTTCAAGGTGTAGTCCATCACGGTGGTGCTGGAACTTGTGCAGCGGGTAATATTTCTTTTTTTTTCTTATATATGTGCACGTTTGTAAATTCAAAATGAAATGATGATGATTGATTATATTTATATATATTCATTTCTAGGTCTAAGAGCAGGTGTACCAACAATCATCAAACCATTTTTTGGTGATCAACGATTCTGGGGACAACGTGTGGAAGAACTTGGAGTGGGCATATGTATGGCAAAATTAACTAAGAACAAACTCAAGGAACATTTGGTGACGATTACTCAAGATACTACAATGATTAATAAAGCAAAATTACTAGGTGAGGCGATTCGACAAGAAAATGGTACTAAGACAGCAGTGGAATGTTTATATCGAGATATAGGAATGGCCAAACGAACAATACAACCTTTACTTGATACAGAAGAACAAACATTCAATAGACTTTCCTCTACATTTAATACTTCAAAATGGCTTCAATTACCTTTATTTGGAATGGATGATACTGATGATAATGAAAAAAATAATGAAGTCAATACATAATATATATATATAGTTTATCTTAGTGTAGTATATGAAATTTCATTTGTTTAAATAACTAAATAAATAAAAAAAAAAGAATTGAAATTTGGCTTAAAAACTACTTTATTTGGAATAGACTTTTTGTGTTACTGATGATTTTTTATATGGAATTCTGCTGACTTAGCATAGTCGAAAAGGATGAAATTATCCAGTCAAATCACAAGAAAATAGTGTCAGCTTTTTTCATATTCATACTCCTTTTTTTTTTTTTTTTCTCTCTCTCTCCCTTCCCCGTTGAACTTATTTTGAATTTTTCTCCCCGCCTTTTTTTTTTTTCCTTAAACTTTTCTTTTTTTTTTCCTTCTTTCTTTCTTTGTTTCTTTCTTCATTATTCACTTTATTTCTTTTTGAACCATGGCACCCAAAGTATGTTATCTAATATAAAATAGTCAAATAAAGCTCATTTATTTATAATTAATTTTTATAGACACCTATTGACCCTAATGCTGCTGGTCCCATGTTCCAATATCAAGCCAATTTACCAAAGTTACCAGTTCCCGAATTGAACCGTACTATTGCAATGTATTTGAAATCCGTACGACCTTTATTGTCAGATGCTGAATATCAAAAAACAGAACAAGCAGCCAAGGAATTTATCGCCCCTGGTGGTCTTGGTCAAGAATTACAAAAGCGTTTAGTAGCTCGCGCTCAAGATCCAAATATTGTTAACTGGATGGAAGAATGGTGGTTGGATCAAGCTTATATGGGTTATCGTGACTCTGTAGTTATCAATGTTAGTTACTTCTTTGCTTATAAGGATGATAAACTTCGAAAGAAACCTGCTCAACGTGCTGCTGCCATTACCACAGCTGCTCTTGAATTCAAGAAGGATATTGTTCAGTAAGTATTGTTTTTTTTTTTTTTTTAATAATTCTTTTGGTTTTAACATTATTATTCTCTTTTTAGAAAAACATTGCCTATTGAATATGCTAAGGGTGAACCTTTATGTATGGACTCTTACAAGTACATGTTCAACAATTGTCGTATTCCCAAAAAACCCTCGGATATTGAAATCAGTTTTGATCCTATTGAAAACACTCATATCATTGTTATTCGCAAGAATCGATTCTATTTTGTGGACGTGGTTCACAATGGTCAACAACTCTCCACCACTGAAATAGAACAACAATTCCAACGTGTTATTGATCTTGCCGGCCAAGACAAAGGATTACCTTTGGGTGTATTGACTACTGAAAACCGTGATAACTGGACAGATGCTCGTGAAGCTTTATTGGCTGCTCATGGTGAAAATAAGGCTGCTTTGGAAAAGATTGAATCTGCTAGTTTTGTTGTATGTTTGGATGATTATTCCCCTGTGACTCGTGATGAATTGTCTCGTGCTTGTTGGCATGGTGATGGTCGTAATCGTTTCTTTGATAAACCTTTACAATTTGCAGTGTTTGAAAATGGCAAGGCTGGTTTTATTGGTGAAGTAAGTTATTGAAATCACTTTTTTTTTTTTTTTTTTTTTTACATAAGGGTATTTATTTATTTATTTTCAAAATTAGCACTCTTGTATGGATGGTATGGTCACTGCTCGATTGAATAACTATATTTGTGAAAGTTTAGCCAAGAATAAGGTGAATCATGGTACTGTCTCTGTACGTCCTAGCCTTCCTCAACCTGTCGAAATTCAACTTTATGCTGATGATGCTGTCAAGGGTCATATTGCTTTAGCTGAAAAGAACTTTGATGCTGCTATTGCCAATCATGATTTGACTGTGCTTGCTTTCAATGGTCTTGGCAAGAACCAAATCAAGAAATTCAAGTGCTCTCCTGATGGTTTTGCACAAATGGTGATTCAATTAGCTTATTACAAGATGTTTGGTGTTAGTCGTGCTACTTATGAAGCTGGTATGACTCGCAAATTCCAACGTGGTCGTACTGAAACCAACCGTACTGTGTCTAATGAAAGTATTGCGTTTGTGAAGGCTATGGAAGATCCTTCAGTGCCTGATACGGAAAAAATTGCCTTATTCCGTACTGCTTTGAAGGCTCAAGGTGCTTATATGGGACAAGCTACTAATGCTCATGGTGTGGATCGTCACTTATTTGGACTCAAGAACTCCTTACGTCCCAATGAAACTAAACCTAGTTTATTCACTGATCCTAGCTTTGGTAAGACTTCTCACTGGTATTTATCTACATCTCAATTGGCTTCCGAATACTTTGATGGTTATGGATGGGGTCAAGTTGTACCTGATGGTTTTGGTATTGCTTATATGGTGAACAATCATGTGATTCAATTTAATGTAGCTAGTGTCAAGGATCTAACAATTGACGGCAAGAAATATGTGAATGGTACTGTTCATTTTAGACAAGCTTTGGAAAGTGCTTGTGAAGATCTTCGTGAATTATTATCCAATGAAATCCCTGCTCAAGCCAAACTTTAGACTGTAAATCATTTCCCATTATATTTCCCTTTTAGTGTATAGCCCAATTATTATATACATATTATAATCAATAAAAATATATCTGTATTGATTCAATTGTTTCTCCTTTTTTCATTTGACTATTTAATATTACTTTCGAATTTTTAATTATTATTTTTTTTTTTTTTTGAAAGGGCTTTATTTTTTCCTTTCCCGCTGTCTTTCCTTATTTCATTTTTTTGTTTTTCTTTATCTCTTCCTTTCATCCCTTTTTATTTCTTTATTTTTAATCACTAATGTCCTTCAAATCAAAACAAAGAGCAAAACATGGTCATTTATTTGGTGATGGTAAGTCGAAAGAAAAAGATGATTTGTAAACCTTGTAATATACATGAATATGTTCTCGTTTTATCCTTTTTTTTTTTTTTTTTATTTTGCCAAGCGAAAAATTAACACCTTCCTTTTTTTTTTATATTATGTTTATGTTTATAGATCCTTTGAATGCTACTGCTACAACAACATCACTGAAATCACCTGATCCTGTATCTTCTAGAAAAAGTCAGTCCAAGTCACCTTTAGATCCTTTATCACGGTCCAGTTCACCAGGTAGTAGTTCAACTTCTTCTACTGGAAGCATTTTTGGTGGTATCGATGTCAGCAAGTTCGGCAACAAACGGAACAACCTACGTTCCTCTACTTCCTTACGACCATCAGCTTCATTGAAACTAATTGATGACGATGACGACAGTACTCATCATATAGACGATAACGACGACGATGATGACGACGACTTTTTATTTGGTGGAAAAAGAAAAACAACATCAAACTTAGCAACAAGGAAAAGTACTTCAACATCACCAAGGATAGCAAATCAATCTACTTCCTCCCCTCGACTCAGTCAATCTACACTTATACCAATACAACCTACATCACAATCGTCCTCTGGTACTCAACCTCAACAAACGTCGCAAGTTTCATCACCACCGTTACCACCGCCTAGAGTGAACTCATCTTCTTCTCTTAACTCACAGTCTTCATCTCAACCAAAACACTCTGATACACCGAAGAAACAACCACCTCCTTTGCCACCGGCTCGACGACCTGCATCCATATCATCAAGAACTCCTATTTCTTCTTTGGTATCTTCTTCCACTTCTTCTCTTTCCTCGTTTCCATCTTCTACGTCTTCTTCACCTATCTTGGGCAATCCTCAACAATCATCTGCTAGTATACCTCCACCACCTCCTCCTCGTGTCCACAAAAAACATCAACAACAGGATTTATTACGCCAAATAGAGTCATCCGTGGAATATAACAACAACAACAATGATGATGATGATGAAGAGACTCGTAACTTACAACGACAAAAGGCCGCCATGATGGAAGATGAAGCAACTCGTGCATTTGCAATGGAATCTTCGGTTTTATCTCCATCTACCATGTTGATGAACTATGATGATGATCCAGAACTCTATGCATCAGTGACCCAGTTCCATTCTTTAGCCATCACTGGATCTTCAAGTACACCGACTAGTAAGAGGAACGTGACCAGCATACCCCGCTCGAATCCTATGATCTCCAGCAATAATAATAATAGTAGTAATCCTTGGGACAACACAGCGGCTTTCTTGACACCAACCATGAGTACACCTTTTCCCACCAGTAATCATACAAAACAAGATTTGGAAAAGAATTGGAAGGAAATCGAGCCAGCAAAACGAGCAGCATTTGCGGATTTGATAGAGAATTGGCATTCATCCAAGAATGCAGCACATGAAAACGGTTGCAATGACGATGAAGATGATTTTTTGAAATATGTGGCTAGTGAACAACGTGATATTGGTTTTGCTGGGATTGATGATGGCTTAAAGGATGATCATTCAAGAGTCTCTTCTTTTGGTTGGCGACAAGATATGTTGGACGAAAATCCTTGGTCCTGATACTTTTTTTATGATTCCTTTTATATTGGTTTGGTTCTTTTGGGATGTAGTTTAGAATACATTTTGTATACCTGTGTATTGGTTAATGATTGATGAAAATAAAAAATGACCCACTTTTTCAAAAAAAAAAAAATTGATTGTATTTGATAGATGCATGAACTGTTTTATTTATTGACAAAAAAAAAAAAAAGAAGAAAATGCATATGTAAAATAAGATTATATATGAACATAATAACAAAAAGGATACAGACAAAGAATCATACGAATAGAACAATAAAAAAAAAACAAAGAAAAAAGAATATATAACATAAATAAATAAATAAATAAAATATATATATAAGGGGACTATTTTGATTGTAACTTTGCTAAAGCAGCTTCCAATTCTTGCACCCGCCGAGAATAAGAATTGACTTCTTGTTGTAAATGACGAATATGATCCACCGAATGTCGTAAAATTGCACCTTTGTTTGGTTTATTGTTTGCATTGGTTTCCGCCATCATCTCCGGTAATAAGGTGCCTAATTCTTGAATTCGTTCATTGATATTTTCTCTTCTACGTCGTTCCACTATTCAAAAAGAAAAAAAAAAAAAAATTCAATAGGTTATTGATAACATTTTTTTTTTATCATCCCTTACCTGCATTATGTGATTCTCGTCGACGTCTTCGTTTATCCATCATCATTTGCATACTACATAGAAAAATATAAGAATCCATTCCACATAAATCATTTTTTTTTACTTACTTCATTTGAAGATTATAATCATCTTCTTCAAAACTTCTTGCCGCTGAACCAGGACTATCCATTTGTTGTTGTTGTTGTTGATATGGTTGTTGTGGATGAATAAATAAAGAAGAAGAAGAGGAAGTAGGCATGGGTACAGGAGCGCCTGCATTATCACCACTAAGATAATGTAAAGAAGAAGGAGGAGAGGATGGACCAAAATGCCCAATATTGGCTGGCGCAGACATTGGAAAGGTATCATATGGACCAGTATAAAAAGTAGAAGAAGATGGTGATGTGCCTTGTTTCATCGAATGAATAGGTATATTGGAAGATGGAGGAATATCCATAGAATTGGAATTTGGCTATATATAAAAAAAAAAAAATGAGATCATTGTTGCCTTTTTATTTGCTCTTTCCGGTCTTCCCGCATATATGTTATTGACTTACCAAAGAAGGATGTCGAGATACCATATGTTGTTTTTGGTAACTAGTTAAACCAGATTGATAATCTACATCTTCAAAGTCATCAAGTGGAGAAGTACGACTGAGTGGTGACATGAAAAGAGCATCATTATTTGTAAAGTCAATAGGACTAGTAGGTGCATCTTGTACTAAACCAGTAGAATTACTAGTACTTGAAGCAGTAGTAGGTTGTTGTTGTTGTAAAGTAATAGATGGATGAGGAATAGAAGCTGATAAAGGATGGATATTATGTTGTTGCATCATGTTGTGATATTTTGTATCTTTCATAACTTGATGTAAAGAATTTATTTATTTTTTTTTTTAAAAAAAAAAGGAAAACAAAGAAAAAAAAAATTAAAAAAATTGGGGTAGAATATTTATAGCAGAAAAAATTATGCGTGTGAGAAAAAAAAAAAGGCCAAGAGAGAGAGAGAGAGACGGTCAGAAACAATTTATAAAAGATGAATGGCCAGGTTTGATTATGCAACTCTCCAATCACAAGAGAGCGGTAATCAAAAATAAGTTAACAAAAAAGGGGAGGATGTTGCTGTTTTATTGAATATGATGAAATGATGATAAACAAGTGGAATACTAATAATATGTATTAAGTAAACTAAAGATTCAATTTATTCCATATCAAACTCTCATTTTTATATGAAAAATATAAGTGAAACGTATATAAAAACATGGATGATTAAATTTATAAATTTACAATTATTTTATTGAATAAAAATATATTTAAATTTATTTGCTGTCGTCATGTTGGAGTCAACCGTACATTTTCTTGTTCTTGAGGATGTTTCACTAATGATTTTTGTTGAAAAAAGAAAGTCAATCGCACAGCTATACATTTTATCAAAAAAAAAAAAAAAATTACTCTGAAAAATAAAAGATCGAGATTGCCAGGAAAATCGACGATAAACGGTGTATTTTGGGGTCATCTTGTATTGTTGACCAATCACCAAGACTTTCCAATTTGTTCCAAAGAGGGGAGTTTTATTGTCTTGATATAATTCTTTCAGTTCTACACTTTTTTTTCTTTTTTAAAAAAAAAAGAAAGAATGAAAAAGGTAAATTTGATATAATAACATCTAATTTACACAAGCTTTACCTTCATATCCAAAGAAAAAAATTCCAATTTGTCAATAGTTTTGTTTATTTAGAGAAGAATAAAAGGAGAAGAGTACAATAGAATTTTTTTTTTTTTAAAAAAAAAGTACCAATTTAGAAAATACGGAGTATGAAAACCAATATTTCAACCTAACTTGTCATTTTATTTCTTTTCTTTCTTTTCTTTACATTTGATTCTTTTTTATTAAAAAAAAAAAATGCATATTCCATTCATATCTATTCTATATCTTTTTATCATTCATATGCTGATGATTAGAGTATGGGCTCAGGTACAAGCAACTAATCGACGATTCAATGTGACAGCACCTATACCGGATTCTCCTTATGTGGCTGGTCAAATCGTACCTGTTACTTATACTTTACCAGATGATGCTAATTTACCTTCTGGTAAGTAACTCCAAAAAATCATCATCATCATCATCATCATTCTCTTATTATTATTATTTTGATCATTAGTTCTTGGATTAGCCGTTTATTTTACAACAAGAGATCCTTCTTTACCATTTGTTCAGGCCACTATTTCCGACAATGCTGATCTTAGTCAAGGATTCAGTTTTAGACATACCACTAATACTGAAGTTTATTATGAACATCAATTGAATGTAAAAAAAAAAAAAAAAGAAAGAAAGGATACTCATTTTTTTTTTAATTCTACCTAGTATGGTATTCCCAAAGAAACAAAGGCTGGTAATTATCAAATTGTTTTTGTCGATACCAAAGGTGGTGGCAATACAAGTATACCTATTGTGGTTCGTCCTTATTCCTCTAATCCATCTGCTTCTTCTACCAATAAACCTCAAGTCTCTAATATCTTTTTACAAGGCAATTCTGCATCATCCACATCCCATTTTGTAGTTTATAATCCATTAGGTTTTTTCTTGATGTTTATTTTCTATACCTTCTCATTCTAATTTTTTTTTTTTTTTTTTTTACTTACTGTATTGTTTATCACAATAAAAATGTACTCTTTTTTCAAGGGGTTAAAAATGGACAGACTTACAATCATTTATATATATATATATATATATATATATATTTGTTATTATGGAAGTTCGTTGTTGATGAAGGTATACCGTAGAAAAAAAAAAAAAAAAAGAAGGAGTATAAAGTCGATCAAACAAAGCATATCAAACATTCTTGAACATTGATTGATTATTTGCATCTATAATTAAACCAAAGCAAACTTGGGGTCTAGAATCATCATCATTGGATTAGAAAACAAGGGTTTGAAAACCAGCAGCATGATTTTTTTTGTTTGGATATCTGTGTATTTATAACAAAAAGCAAAAGATCATTTTTTTTTTATTTCAAAGGATGAATGTAAAATAAATAATGATAATAATAATAATAAAAACAGGGTACTTTTGACTTTTTTTTTCCCATAAGAGAAATGATATTCTTTTGTGATAAAACTAAATAATGAATGAAAATATGTATAAACAGGGTGTAAAAATATGATAAATGATGAGAAGGGGCAAAAGAGGGTTTAAACTAGTATTATATATATAAAAAAAAAAGAACTAATCTATTTCTTGCCAGCCTTGGTAGCAGCCTTGGTAACCTTACCAGCCTTGTCAACCTTTTCAACAGCCTTGATGACACCAACAGCAACGGTTTGACGCATATCACGGACAGCGAAACGACCAAGAGGAGGATAATCAGTGTAAGCTTCAACACACATGGGCTTGGAAGGAATCATCTTGACGATAGCAGAGTCACCAGATTTAACGAACTTGGGAGCATCTTCGAGCTTCTTACCGGAACGACGATCAATCTTTTCCAACAATTCAGCGAACTTACAAGCAATATGAGCAGTGTGACAATCCAAAACAGGAGCGTAACCAGCACCGATTTGACCAGGATGGTTAAGGACAATGACTTGAGCAGTGAAAGAAGCAGATTCCTTGGCAGGATCGTTCTTGGAGTCGGAACAGACGTTACCACGACGGATATCCTTAACAGAGACGTTCTTGACGTTGAAACCAACGTTGTCACCAGGAAGACCTTCAGCCAATTGTTCGTGATGCATTTCAACAGACTTGACTTCAGTGGTCACGTTAGCAGGAGCGAAGGTGACGACCATACCAGCCTTGATGATACCAGTTTCGACACGACCAACGGGGACAGTACCAATACCACCAATCTTGTACACATCTTGAAGAGGAAGACGGAGAGGCTTGTCGGAAGGACGAGTAGGGGGATCAATGGCATCAATAGCATCCAAAAGAGTCTTACCAGACTTTTCACCAGCCTTGGTTTCCTTCTTCCATCCCTTGTACCAGGGCATGTTGGTAGATTCGTCCAACATGTTGTCACCGTGCCAGCCAGAAATGGGGACGAAGGGGACAGACTTGGGGTTGAAACCGATCTTCTTGATGAAACCAGAAACTTCCTTGATGATTTCGTTGAAACGAGCTTCAGACCACTTGGTAGAATCCATCTTGTTGATAGCAACAATCAATTGACGGACACCGAGAGTGAAAGCCAACAAAGCGTGTTCACGGGTTTGACCATCCTTGGAGATACCAGCCTATGAATAAATAAAATAAAATAAATAAATATATTCATTCTCTTTTTTTTTTTTTTTTTTTTTTTTTTTTTTTTTTTTACTTACTTCGAATTCACCAGTACCAGCAGCAATGATAAGAATACCACAATCAGCTTGAGAAGTACCAGTAATCATGTTCTTGATGAAATCACGATGGCCAGGAGCGTCAATGACAGTAACATGGTACTTGGGAGTTTCGAACTTCCAGAGAGCAATATCAATAGTGATACCACGTTCACGTTCAGCCTTAAGCTTGTCCAAAACCCAGGCGTACTTGAAGGAACCCTTACCAAGTTCAGCAGCTTCCTTTTCGAACTTTTCAATGGTACGCTTGTCAATACCACCACACTTGTAGATCAAGTGACCAGTAGTAGTAGATTTACCCTATATAATTACATTCAAGTTAGTATACATAAAAAAAATAAACAAAGAAGATAATAATAATAATAATAATAATAATACTTACGGAATCGACGTGACCAATAACAACGACGTTAACGTGAGTCTTTTCTTTACCCATGGCTGTATATAATAGTTTATAAAAAAAAAAAAAGGTAAAAAAAGGAAAGAAAAAGGAAAAAAGGAAAATGTCGCTTTATTGAAAAAAATTTTCTGTCGACTCCGGCATCGGAAAGTGAACACTACAAAAGCCACCCCTTTTTTTTAAACTCGGGACCAAAGAAAGGTGAGAGATTTTTTTCTTTTTATATATCATAGTTCTACATGTTTATTTAAAACTCTTCCCAAAGAGCATCAAATTGTGCTTGAAATTCTTGAATACAATAGGGAAGATTAGTGATGATGATGTTTTCTCTATTCTTAAAACGAGCACTACATAATGATAAAGAAAAAGAGAGATTAGAATTAGTTCACGGTCATTGAAATTAGATAAATGCAGCTTGTGTCACTGTTTTTACCCTTTTGACCAATTAAAGCTTCCATTGATCAACGTTTTTGAATCCACCACTGTCAAAGAGAGAAAAAAAAAAAAAAACAAGTTTAGATTGGGATGATGTTGTCAGATTATATGATGATGGATGATCACAATAAAAAAAAAAAATTTAAATGTATTCCTTACCTGCAAATTTGTTATGCATATATCCAGTACTAAAAAAAAAAAAAAAAGAATCAACTTTTTTTTTTTCTCTTATCCCCTGACCCCTTAAAATTTCATATTTACTTACGTATGATCAGTCTTATAAGGAATACCATGATCTTTTTGTAATCTTTCAGCATCAGCACCCACACCTGCTGCTTGTTGATTATCAGTGATGATACGAATAGTAACATTTCTTTTCTTGGCAGCAATTAAAACATCGGCAACATCATCATCCGTTAAAGAGAATACACATACATCAATGGTTTTTTGAGCAGAATTTAATACAGATGTAAAAGCCTAATATAGTGGCGTTAGTTTTTTTTTTTTTTATTTTTTTTTTTATCTTTTTCCCTCTTACATTGAAACTTTCTTTGGATGGAAAGAAATAGGATTTGATAAAATGACCAGATGCTAAACCATTTTTTTCTGAAGCAGCCACAGGATGAGAAGAAGAAAAATAAGAAACTACAGCTTTGGCACCGGCATTAGGTTGAATAAAAGGAGGTTGATCTTCTTCTTTCTTTTTTTTGGTGGTGGTAGGTTTCTTTTTCTTGTCATCCTTCTCTGTTTTCTTTTTTGCTGGAGGAGATGATGGAACTTGTTGATCATCATCATCATCAATAGAATCAGAAGGAACATAATCATCATCTGAAGCCCCAATAACATGATAACCAATAGAATCTGCATCATCATCATCCTCTTTTTCCTTCTTTTTTTCCTGTTTCTTCTTTGTTGGCTTCACTTGATCGGAGTTGTTCGCTGTGGTGGCACCAACTTGTTGACTTAGACAAGTATCCACACAAAATTGTACCCATCTCAACACATTTTTCTCTTTTTCATTATGTCTTGTATTGATGGCTGCATCCAAGATTTGTTGAACTGTACGTCGTGTATTACTAACGCTATGTGATTTGTTGTTTAAACTATTGGTCATATAGTTTGATACTTCCTTTCTCAATGATCCAGTATTCATGATTTCAGAGGATGATATCATTGTCTAAATATTATTATTTTTATTAATATTTTTTTTTTAAAAAAAAAAAAAAAATCAAATACAATCATCCGTCAATAAGTGAAAGCATGAATAATAATATAAAAGAAATGGGACATTACTTTTTCCAGTAATTGCGCAAAGTTGGCCTTTTTAAGTTCAGTGACATTCACAGATGGTATCGAAGGCGCGCAAAATAATTCCAATAATGCTTCCATGGTGACAGAAAGTGGAAAGAAGACAAAGAAGAAGAAGAAGAAAAAAAAAAAGGCAAGTAGTGATTTGTTTATTTTTAATATGTATAGGAGAGTCTAATTCATTTTTGTCAAACATTAAGAATGGTCGGGAAAACAATCAAATATGGAAATGGGGATAGGTACAAAAAGACTAGTAATGAAGGGGGGATACAATAATATATAATAAACATATTTGGATCAATGCTATTCAATATGGTCTATATCTAGATGGACGACATGATGATGATGATGATGATGATGATGATGATAATAACAATGATGAGGATGATGAGGATGATGCGGTCGATTGTCGTTGTGATGTAGTAGGTTGGGTATCAGGACAAACCGGGGACGTTGATTGCTTGGGCTTTTGTAATGCAGCTAGTTTTTGTTCAATGGCTAGAATTTTGGCATCCGTACTACAAAGACGAAAGAGACATAGGTATCAGTATCAGAACTGAAGATATGCAGCTTCATTTGACACGCACACATACACACTCTTTTGTTTTCCTTTTTTTTTTTTCTTCCTTTGTACCTTGCAGGTTGTGACATCTTTTGATTCCTTAACAGACTAAAAGACGTTGGTCTATGGATGGTCGATCGATGATGTCTATTGCTATTATCTGATGATGAAGTATTCTGGAGAATTAAAAAAAGAAAAAAAAAGGTTAGATCAATTCATGTCATTTATGATCCATATCATTCTCTTTGATTACTTTATTTGCCGATGATACTACTAGAGTTCTTCCCTTGATCTTCTTTCCATTCAATGCACTGATTGCTGTCAAAGCATCCTATCAAATAAATGCGTGTTATCAAATCCAAAGAGACATGAAAGGATGAATGATCATTCTATAGTAAAAGATATTCTTTTTAAACATCTATAATCTTTACCTTTTTGTTTTCATATTCCAAAAAGCAGTAACCTCTTGGTTGGCCTTTCTTCGGTCCATGAAGGTAAAACATATATTCAAATACAATGATCTTGCCATAAGGTTCGAATAGTTTCATGACAGCATATCTATAGAAAAATTTTCAAGGTTCAAAATAAAAGAAAGGAAGATAAGTGAATATTTAATATAAATCAGTCTGGTGATAACTTGATTCACTTACTCGTCAACTGAAGGATCCAAGTTTCCAATATATAATCTCTAAACAATGATATTTTTTTAAAAAAAAAAGAAAGGTATGCATATAAGTAAAGTGTTGGTTATACAGCTTGACTTCATAAAGCTCTCTATAAAATTTGTTACTACGAGGATACCTTACCTTTGTCTCCATTAAAAAAAGAAGAAGAAAGAAAAAAAAAAAAAAAAAAAAAGAGAGAGAGAGAGAAATACAAAAATGCACAAAAAAATGAATGATCCCAATTTGTATCCACAGATCTTCGGAAGTTGAATACTCGTGACCACCAAACAAAAATAGGTGGCATCTTTTCCTGCGTCTTTTTTTCTTTTTCTTTTTTTTTTTTTTAACTTTTATTAATTCTACACAATGGAACCTTCAACTTTAGACAAAATGAAAATGGGTGCTTTGATGGGTGGCACTGTTGGTCTCTGCGTAGGTTTTGTATTCGGTGGAATCACTATTTTGCGGTAATATACAAAATGACTTTAAAAAAAAAGAAGATTACAACATATTTATTTATCAAGCTTTTTCCTTGTGTATCTTCTTTTTTTTTTATCTAGTTTTGGAGGAGGACGAAAAGGTGCTCTGTCTACTTTAAGTCAATATATGCTTGGCTCTGCTGCTTCCTTTGGTTTTTTCATGTGTGAGTTCATTGATGAATGACTTCTTTTTTTTTGTATTCGTAAATTAACTAACGTGTAAACTTCTTTGTAAAACAATTTAGCTATTGGCTCAGTCATTCGTTCCGAAGGTGCAAAAAAGGCAATCAATTGGCAACAATCTCATAGACTTCCTGTCATCATCAATCAACCTCAAGAAGCCAAACATTTGGATTAAAGAACGCCCACTACATATGTCTCTACATTCAATACAATGCCTCTTGTAAAAATCATCATAGAATTATCATTATGTTTATCCCAGTTTAGTAGTTTAGTGATTATTGATTTAGTACGTATATTATATCCTTCCTATCTTCCTTTTCTTCTTTTTGTCTTGTTATTATGATAATAATAAAAACTCTGACTTTGCCTTAGATATTATTGGAATCAATTAGGATGGCGTTTGTTATATTTGCAAAGTGTGGAAGATAGACTTTGATGATTAGCGTGAAAGACAAATTTCATTGATGAATGATCAGTGAATGAAGCTAGCATTCATGATAGACTTGAAGATCTGATGTAACTTTAAAACGAATGATAGATAATCTTTATCCCTTTTTGAATGAATTTCCAATCCAAGTTTCTATGACATCAACTTTACAAAGGAAGACATCACTTTCATTTCCAACTTGTAACCTTCATCTATTCTAATCCAAACATATAAATAAATATACAGAGATGGTCTAATTGATTATTAAAAAAAAAAAAAAAAAGATAGGATGGACATAGACCAGACAAATTCACGCAGCCAAGCAATCCGATTGAAAATGAAAAATAAAGGAACAATTACAAAAAAAAAAAAAAAAAAAAAAAATAATCAAAGTTTATTATTTCTAGACATATAAGTATGGAGGGAGGACTAAACTAGCTAACAATGAAAGGAATTCAGGTATATCGAGTAAAATCAAAGAGACTTTCCAAATGAGGTTTTGATGTATTCATAGACATAAGAATAGGAGTTGTAGATGTAGAATTGGATGCTGAAGATGAATTTGGAGGTGCTGATGATATAATACCATTCAAATTTGTAGGTGTGAGTATCGATGAACTGTTAATATTGGGTGTCGATGTTGTTGTTGATCCACCAGCTGTACCAGAAGGTATCACAGTCGATGCGTTACTTGTCGATGTAGTAGTAGATGTAGTTGCTGCAACTGCTGTTGTATTCACTGCTGATGATTGTTGCTGCTGTGATTGTTGCTGTTGCAATACACGATCTTTGATCCGTCGGATATGCCGTAATCGTTCCCGCCAATGTGATACATACTCTTGTTTTCCACCTGCACCGAACCGATGGAAAATTTGCGCAAAGATGTTGGCATGAAGACTGACTTGACGTACAAAACCTGGTAATGATTGAGCAGAGATAAGTTTGGATTCGCTGATGGGTCCCATGTCCGGCATGTCAGGTCGTTTTTGCATAGTCACTTTGAAGAAAGTATTTTCTTGACCCCACATGGCGCGTGATGGTAATGATGTTTCGGTTGACATTGAATAAGGTGTGACGACAATATTGATAAAGTTGAATTGTCCAGGAAGTGTATCGAAAGCATATTCTGCCGCCATATCATCGTTGTCAAAGTATACAATGGTCACAAAGTCATTACCAATATGTCGTTTTTTTCCACTACAACGAGGATCCCGATCCAGATGAGTAGGCATCATTGTCGCCACATGAAATACCATTTCCGTCACATCATCCTTCCAAAAGTAAGCATAAGCACCGTCAATATCCATTTCACGATCAAGTCCACCGGTATTTCCAGCACGTCCACGAAGACGTTCTATTGTTCCCAATTCATTCAAAAATTTGACATAATCAGGTGATCCTCGAGTGTTGGCAAGAATTTCCACTTCTTGTTTTTGTCCTTTGCCCACATATAACACACCAATTTTGTGAAAATCCACTACAGGAATTCGATCCAGATTTCCAATTGCTCGTATATTTGCTTCATCATCAGGTAAAGGAGGTAACATTTCCAAAGAACCAGTCAAATCAGGATAGTTATTCAACTGAAGGTATAAAAAGCCAGGATCCAATGAAGGTTCCATTTTTCGTAATAAATTTCTTGATTGCTGGGAAACACCATGTTCACCTTGTTGATCAGATAAAATATCACGTACAATTGTATGAATTCGTTCCTCTTGTGCTACTGCTGCTCGAGTCTTGTCCAAACGAGGTGTTTTGATACCTGCTGGTAGTAATGGGGATGATGATGATGATGATGATGATGTCGTTACCTGTTGATGAGATGGTGGCGATTTGGTATATGTATTCATATTATCTTCCAGTCGTACACGTGCTGATGATGATGATGCTGATAGTGGTGAAGTAGGGGTTGATATCGTTTTGTTTGATTTGTTGTGATCAGTAGAACCCGCAATTGTTTTGTTTTCTGTTGTGTCGCCTTCGTCTTCGTCAAATGTAATACCGAGTGCTTCTCCTTCAGCCGCCAATCGATTATTATTATTATTGTTGTTGTCTATTGTCGCAGTTGTTGTCATAGTCATGGTTGTATCAGTCATCACTGCTATTGTATCCGCATTTGTGTTGTCCTGTCGAGTAATTTCTGTTTCGCTCAATAAACGATGGGCCATCAAATCAGGTTGGTATTGCATCATCAGTAATGCTGGTAGCGTCTTGTAGTCAATGTCGTCCGATTTGATTGTATTTTCAATGTTGCACATCATAGATACTGTACCAGAAGGTCGCCGAATAGTCATTTCAACCCATCCAAGTGCTTTCGCAGTTTTGAGAGTGAGTAACGTATGTCCATAAACCCAAGTTCGAGTATCTCTGCTACTAGTTGATTTTCCTTGTCCTATAGTAGTATCATCCGTATTGTCCATAAGAATTTTCGATACCAAAGATTTGTGGGGTGACAGACTTGCATCAGCAAAAGTAAAACGAGAGAGCATATCGATACAGGTAAATGTTTGTTCATCTGCTGGAGTGCCTGCTAATAGTCGTTGAATGATGAATGGGACATGCTTGCGTCGTTCGCGTAAAGGGATTGCTGTAAACCATACTGTGATCACTAGATATGCCATAATCAAAACATATTGAGACATTGCACCTTGTTGACTAGTATCTTTGTTTTGTTGAGGTTGTTGTTGTTGTTGTGCTTGCTGTGATGGCGTGGATGGTTGACTGTTAGACGTAGCTGGAGAGGTAAAGGATGGTGAAACAGTCATTCCAGGTGTAGAAGAAGGTGATGTTTGTGATCCCATAGCGCTGTTGCTGGTTCCACTACTTGCTGTAACAGATCGTGCATGTTGAAGATAATTAAGTGCAATGGCAAACACAGGCTTGTACATATCACCAGTAAAGTTTGAATACAAAATAGGGAGACGAGCAAGACCAGATAAGAATTCCAGGATATGTACCGATACACTACCAACAGAAATAATTTGAGACATTCTTTGTAGGATTTCATTGAGCATCTTGGCAACAGATAATGGTAGTTCGTGACAACAGATCGTTAGAGCATTGATACAAGGTTTTGTTGCCGCAGTGACTTGAGTAATACCAACGTAAAAAGCATAGACCATTTCATCTTGAGCATGTTTCTTGAATAATCGTCGATATGAGATAAGAACTGTAAGTATTTGATAGGCATAGACATTCAAATCATTTCGCTTGACAGTAGGAGGAATATGAGTCACTTGCTTCAAAAAGTTTCGAGAGCTAATCCATTTCACCAAGGCACGATGAAGTTTACGTATAAATGTCCTTGCACCACAGAACATATGTTTCGTTGCTAATTGCCAAGGTAAGCGTCTCACAACAAAAGCCACTAGTTCCCAGTTTGGAGAATCAGACAATACAGAGATATAGCCCTTGATCATGTCGTTAATATTCAATACCACACCACCAGAATTTTCATCTTGACCATTATCCATATCATCCATTTGATTCCCATCTTCATCTTCATCACCATCACCATCGTCGTCATCATTATCGCTGTCTTCATCACCTTGACGTTCCTTGTATGATAATATTGCTGGACTAGATTGACCATATCTTTTCTTGCCAGCGCTAGGTCGAGAGATAATTGATCCATAGGGTCCACTTTCACGTTCTTGTTGAATGCTGCTTTTTCGGTCATCATAAGCTTTTCGAATTGCCAATACATAATTATTCTCTTCAGTGACAGGTACTAGTAATAAAAATAAAATAAATTAAAATAAAATCATATTAATTAGTAAAGTGCATCTTTTTTTTTTTTTTTTTTTTTGATTCATCTACCATCCTACCTTTTTCGATTACAAATATGCGATGATTTGTAGAACACCGAAGCCGTAATAAAAGATCCACCGCAATCAATTTTGGACCACCAAATGGGCAAAAGAGTCCACCAGTATCATTAGCAATTTGAGTAATAACATTATACACCTTGACGCACATTTTCTTCTGATTGTTTCGTAGTAACTGTTCAAACAGATCAATAATACCACACATACCAGGGATACCAGTACATTGACCATGAATCGAAGGAGCTGATAAAGAAGAGATGGAGCCAAAAGCAGCAGTTGTTGTAGAACTTCGTGGTATTGGTTGATCATGAGTAGAATGTGTCACATTTGCTTTTGATTGAGAATGACTACGCCGTAAAGATGAATGTTGTGTTCCACTATTACTTGTTGTAGATGTTGCTGAAGTCGTTGGAGCACTATTTCGATGATCCACAATAAAAGATAAGTCGTCATCTCCACTCGTTGTCGTAGAGGTAGTAGTTGTAGTAGCGTGTTGATCAGAAGCGGTACATCGACAACGAGAGCAATCCTTCAATATTCCAAGCATCGTATCAAAAATCATTTCATTCTGACAATCCGATAAGCATTCCACCAAAAGATCAATTGCTTTTTGTTGTACAAGACTTTCTTTTTCTTGAGCCATGTGTTCCATCATAGGTGTAACGATTTGTTGATACATATCTTCAGAATAAAAATCTTTGACTGCCAAACAAACATCCGCCACAATAGTCAATACCCTCGATCGAATGGCTGTTGTTGTCCTTGAAGGTGGTGATAAAAAGAAGGTATTCGTGATTTCCAATAAAAGTTCGATCCAGTTTTCCGATGAAGGCAAAAAATGATGTTCCATTTCGTAATAATCTAACAAAATAGTAGCTGATGATTCTGAAGCGTATCGACGTAAACCGTATAAAACATGCATGAATCTTCCTACAGGTCCTTTGAATTGTTTGGTCAAATACAACTTGTAAATTCTTCCTAAGAACCGCCCTAGTTGATGAACAGCATTGTATGTCAGATCACCAGTTTCAGCACAGTTGTTGTTTCCATCCGTAGTTCCAATATGATGATCCGGTAGTTGATTTTGTAGTACACGTTTCTGAGAGTCATCCATGATTCCAAGCACAAAAGTGGTACAAATATCACAGATATCCCATATCACATCCCAGTCCATCAATCCAATATTGACTTTATCAGGATCCGCCACCAAATCTGTCAAGCTTTTCAATATACATGCATGGATAACACCATTGTTCCTTCCGCCTTGTTGAACAGCCCGTAAAAAGTAGAGAAGTAAGACTGTATCCGAGACCTTGTATGCTTCTGCCCCAGTTGGTTGATGATGAGTACCACCCCATGCCGTTTCGGTAAGTAATGTAATAGCACCTTCAGCCAAATTTTCTGCACTTGAACCAGGATCCAAACGTTCTTCCATAAAGTTGCATAAAGTCAAAATTGCATTGTGCGCACAGTGAGATCGTAATAGATTGAGAAAGATGGACCAATAAGATATAGAAGCTTCAGACAAAGCATCTTTTGGAAGAGTCACCGCACCACAAATGATTCCCAAAAAAGGTTTCAGAGCATCAAAAGGAACGAATCGATAGCGTACGACAACATCACAAAACGACAAGCATGTAGTGATATCATCTGGATGATTGGATGCATAAAAAGCTTGTTGAGTAGCAATTACCATTTGAGTGACTTCAGATTCTTCAAACAAGGCAAAGTTGAATTTGGCAATTGACGTCAAAAGATGTAAGATATCACTGAGATAAGGAATAACCGTTGGTTTGATTCTTGCGGGTGCTGTTGTTGGCGCGATATTCGGGGAAAGAGTACTAGATACTATAGGATGAGATGTTGATTCTGTCGAGATACTACTTTGATCGGTTGTTCCAGCGAGAGGTGATTGACTTGTCGATGTATTCATATTCTTGTTATCGAAACTAGTCGAAGGTTGTTGTCCAGTATGAGATACCAAGAGTAAACGATGGGGAAAGTGAGATACACGTTTCAAAGTCATATCTAGCCAGTTGATAAGAAGTTTGTTGATGTTTTTTTCGAAACCAGATATATCGCGACCACCTTTGCAAAGAGCATATAACACACGATACATGTCATAAAAATCGTCCCAGTTGTCATAATCTCGTAAAGAGTTATAAAAGGTAACTCTTGCCATACCAAGTTCATCATATTGACCAGTAATACAAGCGAGCATAAATTCAAACACCCGATGACGAGCTTCACGAGGCATAGTTGGTTCCAAAATGTCTTGAACAGCGAAGAAGATATTTTCGAGATGAGTGAATTTGTAGCTTTCACACAGTTCAGAAAATACCTTGAGATGCTTGATGCGAGTCGATAATGCCTGAGAATGGGATAACAGTTGTAAAACAGGACGAGCATCCAAAGCAACAGCAGGATCAGCATTAGTAACATTGAGACAAGTTTCCACAGATATAGAAGCAGCACGAGGTCGAAGAATACTGCTTAACCAATTGTTCGTTGACGATGCCGAAGGGTGTTTTGGTGGTGGATTGTTCGACATTTTCCAGACAATCAATCAGAAGTAAAAAAGACCAGTTCGCCGACAGATAAAAAAGAAAATATATATATATATTTGTAGAAGTAGGGAATGTAGACAACAAATATATATATATGATGTATATTTTTGTCTGCGTGTGTATATGTGTATTGACGTTAATTGTATATAAGTTGGAATAAAATAATGAAAAAAAAAAAAAAAAAAGGCAAGGGAAAAAAGAAAAAGAAAAAAGAAGAGAAAAAAAAAAAAAAAAGAAAAAAAGGGAAGTTTCTAACGGAATTTTAAATCGACAGGATACAGTGATCAAACGACCAGAAAAAAAAAAAACTACCTACTAAAATAAAGCATAAAAAAAAAGTATATACTAAAATCTAAAGAATCCACTTTATTGATCAAACCTAATATATATATATATATATATATATATCCATACTTTTAATTCTATCTTTATATACTAACTAAGACTATGTCGACAAAGGCCAAAAAAAAAAGTATCAATAGTCATCTAAAATTTGAATACTTGATCACCCATCTTGCTGATAGCACGAGGTTTTTGGAAACCAAGAGCTTCAGTAGCCTAAAAAAAAAAAAAAAAAAAAAAAATAAGTAAAAAATCAATCCATTAAAATGGGAAAGAAAAGGGAGATTTTACCTTTGTCATGGCAGACACCATAGGAGGAGGACCACATAACAAGATTTGAATATCCTTGGCTGGTGCAGGTAAATGTTCCTTGATCATATCCTGAGTAACGAATCCAGCACCACCAGTCCATTCGGTAGGAGGATTGTTCAAGACATAATATACATTGAAATTGGCATGTTTGACAGCAAGATCATCTAATTCCTTCTTCAATAAAATATCTTCTTCATTCACATTGGCAAAGATTAAATTGATGATAGTCTTATCTTCAGGATTTCTAACAATGGCTCGGATAATCTATTGATCAAAGGAAAAAACAAAAAAAAAATAAAAGAAAGAAAGTTAAGAATATATAATTATTTTATAGAATAATCTTACTTGAAGCATAGGAGTAATACCAGTACCACCAGCAATCATACCAAAAGCACGAACCAAATTGGGAGTATAATTGAAATTACCCTTAGGACCACGAACACTAACAGAATCACCTAACTTAAGTTCACCAAACATCTTGGAGATATTACCACTAGGATATGTCTAAATAAGAATATCAGTGAAACAATTCATAATTATGTCAGGCCACTTTATTATTCCTCTTATATATATATATTATTTTTACCTTGATCAATAAATCAAAATGACCAGCATCTTCATCAAGACTGGTAGGTGTATAACTTCTTGAAATTTGCTTGCCATTGATTTCGGCCATGACTGAAATATGCTGACCAATAGGAAGACCCAACACATCGTCCTTACGAGGAAGACCGAAACGATAACTAAAGAAAAGCATAACAACTTAGTCATCTAAAACCTCTTATAATCAAATAAATAAAAAAAAGATCACTTACATTGCTGTATTGTGAGAAATAACAGTCTTTTCGATAAGTTTGAAATTTTTATATTCCTTGGGATCAAGAACAGGAGCTACAATGTTATTTTTTTTAAAAAAAAAAAAAGGGCAACATTAGTTCATCTATAGAATGGATTCAAATTTATTATAAACAAAAGGAGTATAATAAAACATACTTTTTCTGTTCAAAAAGAAGTAAGCTGAACCAGCAAGGATGGCAGCAGGAAGGGCATAAGGGAATAATGATTGAAGAGAGTCCATGGTTGATAATAAAAGAAATTAAAAAAAAAAAAAAAGAAAAGAAAAGAAAAGGGGAAAGACAACAAAAAAAATCAGGTAAAAAAAAAATTGGTAAAAATTGTAACCCAGCACAAAAAAAAAAAGAAACTATGTTTGTTGGGGAGGACAGATGGGAAGAAGATCTACACATGTGATATTTCAGTAATATATCAAACACGCCAGCGACCAGTACGTAATAAGGGTTTCACTCGTAAGAACCAATAAGCCGCTCCATAAGATACACCACCAATATGAGCTGCACTATCCACAATACCAGTCTAAAAACAAATATAAATTAATCAATATATTTCATATAGGTATAATCATACTTACATTTAAAGTTGTTGCTTGATAGATATCATATGCCGCAAAGAGTCCAACTACAGCAATAGCAGGCATTGGTATCACGAAAAATACTAAAAAAGTGGCTTTGGGAACTATCATCCAATATAAAATAGATTAATATTCTATTATTTTTCTTTATTCAAACTTACATGCACAAGCAAAAAATGTAGTCAAGCCCATGACAGATCCTATTATATAAAATGAGTTCATCATCTATAATTCATCCTATTTTTCCTTATCTATCTATTTATTTTTTTATTTTACCAGAAGCACCCAAAGATCCCATGTTTGGAGGTTCACGTAGAGAAGAATATCGACCACCATTACTATTCAACAGTGCAGGACGAAGATACTTTCTATATACCATTGTAGCCAGTGATCCAGCAATTCCAGCACCACAATATAAGAGTAAAAATCGAGAAGCGCCAATAGCTTCCATAACACCTTGACCGATAGAATACAATACCAACATGTTTATGCCCAAGTGATCCAAACTTTTATGCGAGAATGCAGAAGTTAAAAGCGTGTGCCAACGTCCATGTTGCCAAGCATCAGGCGAATTGATGAAGTGTTTGAGCATAAAGTTGAGGCAATCGGGATCACCAAACTGCTTATATGTACTGATACTATATTGCCAAAGTCCAAATACACCAACATTTATTCCAATCACTGACCACAATACTCTGTTTGGATTCATATTATTCACTACGCGACCTACTCGATAGAATGGATTGTTTTGTCGACGCATAGCTTCAGACAAGGTTGAAGACAAACGAGTAAATTGACGAGGTCGTATGCTGACGTAAACAAAAGATGGTCTACTTTTTAAACAGAAGGCTGTTGTCGGTGACGAAGTAAGATTTTTACATAGAGATGTCTGTTGTTGTTTTAACAAAGAAGAGAATCGAATATATTGCATTATGTGAACAAGTGAAAAGAAAGAAAGAAAAAAAAAAAAAAAAGTGAAAAGAAAATTAGAAAAGAAAGAAAAAACGTTGGCAGGGACAATTGTAAGCGGGGTGAATTGTTAGCATTATTCTCAGCCACTAGGCAAATAAAAAAAAAAAAAACCTGTATTCCATTTTTTTTTCTTCCTCCTTTCTTTCCTTTATATCACCATGGCAAAAACAAAGGTATATTATATACTATAATATGTTTTATTATTAAACAAAGAAAAAGAAATTCAACTGCTTTTCTTTTATATAATAGAAAACAAATGCATCTAATTCAACGACCTCAACCATTCAATCCACGAAAACGATCAAAAAATCACATAAGCAACGAGTGAAAGGAACTTCAGAGACTGACAATCCAAAATATGCAAACAAGGTAGATAAACATTACAAACGTAGTAGATAATTTGTACTTAACCTTTATTTATTTATTTATTTAGGATCTCATGTTGGCATTGATTGAAAAAGCTGCAGCCAAGGAAACCAAACGTGAAGACGAAAAACTTTCGAAAAAGGTAATTTATTCGATATATTATATAAATATCAAACTGATTTTCATTCTCTCTTTTCTTAGTTTGCTGTGGAAAAACTCGTGGAAGAAAAGGAAAAGAAGAAAAAGAATAAATTAGCATTGAAGCAAAACGAATTGGTAAGATGCATAAGACGATCTACAAAAAAAAAAAAAAAAAAAAGGAATACTAACCTTATGGTTCTTTAGGAGGAAGCAAAACAAAGATATTTAGATGAACAAAGAAAAAAGAAAAACAAAAAGAAGAAAAAAGCCGCTCCAGTGTTGGAAGTAAGTTATAACGAAAAAAAAAAAAAGAAGGAATGAATTTGGTTCATTGAAGTTAAGCGACTTATTTTTACCTTTTTTTTTTTTTTAATCAATGTAGGTCTCAAAGAAAAAAGTACGATTCGCCTAATTTTACCTTTATTATTTCTACATTTGTCTTTACACCATTATGTATTATCAACTTATCATTATCATCATTATTGTACCTACTGCATACCACTAAATAAAACCGATATGAATAAATCATTTTACATTATATCGATTACTCTGTATGGATTAATTATTACTTTTATTATTATTAGTAGTAGTGTTTTTTTTGTTGTCCATTCGTATACGTCCAGTAGAGGGATGACGGAGAAGGCTAAACTATAGCCGTCTCGGCTAGTTCTAGCCAATCATTGTGCGCCATTTTTATATCTGATTCATATAGAAGAGACCAATTTTTTGGTCAGTTCGACCCTTTATAGCTCAGTTGGTAGAGCGGAGGACTGTAATGAAATTGTCATCCTTAGGTCACTTGTTCGAATCAGGTTGAAGGGAACTTCTTTTTTATTTTTTGTGACGAAGTTTGTACTACAATAACCTTTGTTAAGTGTTAAGGGTTTTTTTGTTATTTGTGTGATGATTGATTTATGTTGTGTTGTGTTGAGGAATTTTTTGGTTTATAAGTTTAAAATTGAAAAAGTAAACCGGATGATTGAAAGTTAATAATGTTTATAGTGAGCACCAGTACTTGATTACGCAAGCACACGTATAGGTAAAGAGATAAAAAAAAATATAAAGTAAAGAAAAATAAAGTCTTGTTCCAAATTTGGAAAGTAGAAGTAGAGTAAAATTGTTCTGACTTTAAATATAGAACAAAGTGAGCCAATCAAAAGGGATAATCCACAATTTCAATTGAGATGGGATGTTAAGATAGTTATTTATTTAAAAAAATATATTTTATTGACTGAAAAAAAGAAAAATGAAAGAAAATGTTGGGCTATTTATACTATTTTTCTGAACCTTGGTTTAAACCTCGGTTCAGACTGATGTTCAAAAAAAAATATACGATGTTAAACCTGAGTAAAAAAAATGATGTTAAACTTGTGAAAAAAAATTTGGTTGGATGTCACAAAGTGTGACCACGGTAAATATATATATATATATATTTTTTTTTTTTTTTTTTTTATTTTATTTTAACAGTTGGGTGATTTTTTTGGTTTATAGGTTCAAAATTGAAAAAGTAATTCGGATGATTGAAAGAGAATAAGTTGTTTAGTGAGCACCAGTACTTGATTACGCAAGCACACGTATAAGTTAAGAGATAAAATAAAACAAAAAGTAAAGTAAAGAAAAATAAAGTCTTGTTCCAAATTTGGAAAATAGAAGTAGAGTAAAATTGTTCTGACTTTAAATATAGAACAAAGTGAGCCAATCAAAATAGATAATCCACAATATAATCAAGTAGGGATGAAAAGAAAAGATATATTTCAAAAAATATAATATTTATTGACTAAAAAAAAAAGGAAGAGGGGAAAGGTGATGGTGTGATGTTGGTGGTGTTGTTGATGATAATATTATAAAAAAATAAAAAAATGAAAAAGAGACAAGAACAAGTCTGTGAGATTTCTTTTTATTTCGAAGATGATTGAAAAAAGGAGACAAAGTATCTACACAAAAAGTTTTGTTGGTCTTATATATAAGTACGTAGTGAGTGATACGTAATACTGGTATGATTACACCATATTTAAGATTAGTGACCAGATTTTATTTTATTTTCTTTTTTATTTTAATTTGTAATACTGTTATACAGAGAGTATAATTTTATTAGTATTTTATTTTTTATTGATGTGATGAATCATCATATGTGTAGTGATTCATTATATTGGTTGCCCTGAAGCGTTTGTACATGATATATATCTTTCCTGATAGTATCAAAAAGATCATGAGCATACTAACTTTCAAAGTCCGTATTTTTATTTTTTATTTTTTAGATATGCAGTAATTTTTATTTTCTTTTCTTTCTTTCTTTTCTTTATAACAATTTTAGTTATAGTATATCAATTAGTAGTCTTTAGTAGTTATATTTTTATTTAATAAAACTTTTATCTTTATTCCAACTACTTTGTTACACGTCAATGTAATTGATTCCATCTTACGATGTATTTTTATTCTTTATTTGTGAATGCATTCTTTAGTTTTATTTTACGCATATGGTTACGAAATACGCTGATACGACAGATGGGGTATTTATACTTTTTTTTAAAAAAAAAAAGATAAAAGATATAATGATCATATAGATGAAAGGGATATAGGTGGTATTGACATGAGATGAATGTGATATGGATGTGATATGGATGTGATATGGATGTGACCTATATGCTATCATCGGTATATGAAAAAGAATAAATGGATAAAAAAAAATTTTTTTTTTCTTTCAACAAAGGTTTTTTTGTTATTTGTGTGATGATTGATTTATGTAGTTGATGGTGTTGGGAGATTTTTTGGTTTATAGGTTCAAAATTGAAAAAGTAATTCGGATGATTGAAAGTTAATAATGTTTATAGTGAGCACCAGTACTTGATTACGCAAGCACACGTATAAGTAAAGAGATAAAATAAAAAAGAAAAGTAAAGTAAAGAAAAATAAAAACTTGTTCCAAATTTGGAAGGTAGGTGGGAAGTAAAGTTGTTCTTTCTTGTTATAAGGAACAAAGTGAGCCAATCAGAAGTGACAATCCACAATACAATCAAGTAGGGATAAAAAGAAAAGATTTATTTAAAAAAATACGTTGATGATTAACTAAAAAAGAAGAAGAAAAAAGGAAAAAGGTGGGGTATTTATACTAAAATGAAATAAAGTTTAAAAAAATGAAAACGAAAACGAAAATCATAAACGAAACGAATTTCGTTTATGAAATAAAGTTCATGAGATTCAAAAAATATATTTTTTTTTTCTTTTTCCTTTTTTTTTTTTAAATTTTTTTTTTCTTTCAACAGTGTTAAGGATTTTTTTGTTATTTGTGTGAATGATTGATTTATATATTTGATGGATGATGTTATTAAAATAATAATATCGAAGATGATAGATATGTAGTGAGCACCAGTTCTTTTATATGAAAAGAACAAAACGTATTTTGATAAAAAAAATAAATAAAATAATCCAAATATGGAAATGGATTGATATTTGTAATCACAGTTAATGATGATCACATAAAAAAATAAATAAAAGATACCAAATGACCTGATGATTTGGTATATAATTAAATAAAAATAATAATAAGTTTGAAGATTGTTAAAAGAATTAAAACCATTGGATGATTATTTCCAATAGAGTGGCCAATGAGATTTATATTTGTTTATAATAATATTTTATTTAAAAAAATTGACACTGATTATCTTTATTTTAATATGGATTATTTATACTACACTTTATTCATATGTTTTTTTTAAAAAAAAAGCAGATTGTTATAAAATAAAAAAAATGTGGGATTTAGAAAAAAGTGTGAGATTTAAAAATAATGTGGGATTTTTAAAATTATATATTTTTATTTTTTATTCTTTTAACACGGATGATTGAAAGAGAATAAGTTAAATAGTGAGCACCGGTACTTGATTACGCAAGTACACGTATAAGAAAAGAGATAAAATAAAAAAGAAAAGTAAAGCGGTAAAAGAAGGGACTTCGTTGTGTTACGTATGTGACTCGGGTGGTGTCGTCCTATGGTCGTGTGAAGTTGTGATGTAGAATTTGTAGAACAAGTGGAATCAGGTTATTTGCTTCTTCGTGGTATATTTCTAACTGTTTTTCCTTGTATTCCTTCAACTTATAGAGATATGCTAGCACCAAGTCTTCAACAGTAAACGGTATAATATGCTTTGGAGATAAAAAGGGGTGGTCGTTGATGTCAACTTTTTGTCCAGTTATCCATTCGTCTACTTTGTCAACCGTGGATTGGGAGTCAATGATTATTCCATTGGTAACAGAATGTATATTCCACGTATTTGTATCTAATATAGTGGCCAGCTCTTGTGGAATAGTGAATTCGGGATTCAAGGTATCAATTACAAAGTGATTATCCATAGTAGTAGCAAGAGAATTTGACATAGTTGTTATAATAAAGATTTATACTTTCTTTTTGTCAGTATTTATATGTATAACAGGTCCAAAATAAAAAAAGTAAATAGGATGATTGATTATTTAAAAGGTTTATAGTGTGCACCAGTACTTGATTATGCAAGCACACGTATAGGAAAAGAGATAAAATAAAAAAGAAAAGTAAAGTAGAAAAATAAAAAGGTCAATTATTTGGAAGGTAAAGAAATCAAAATGTTCTTAGTCTGACTTCAAAAAACGAGGGTTGAGCCAATCAAAATAATGAATCCGCCATACAGTTACTGTAACTAGGGATGAAGGATGCTTTTTATTCACAAAAAAAAAAAAAAAAAGATAGATTAAACTAAAAGAGAACAGGTGGAGTATTTATACTAATTTGTTGGATAATAAAGTTTGAAAAATATGTAAAAATATATATATAAAAATCACTAATGTGCAATATTTTGAACATGGATGTAAGAATTTTGTTATAATGAAATGAAATTGGAGCAACGATGTAAAAAAAAAAAAAAAAAAAAATGTTTAACAGTGGAAAGGATGATGTTGTTTTTCTTTATGATGATAAGTTTGTATACAGTAGTTGATCATCACCAGCTTTAGTATTTGTAAAGCAAATAAAAAAAAAAAAAAAAAAAAGGGATGACCCCTTGCTAACCAATAAAACTCTGTATCTCAGTAATCCAAATTTGGTAAGGGACCCGAAATAAAAGACTTGCATTTACCAGTACTTCTTGTTCCCTTTTAGATTATTCTGTCAATAATGTGGTTGCTTAAAGTCATACATATCTTTTGGACAAATTCGAGGTTATACCTGATAGAGAGTATAGCCACATGATCATTGCAGATAATAATGCAAGCACTCCTATCACATCTCCTAAATGTTATACCAGTATAAAATATCATCCACTTTATAAAAAAAAAAAAAAAAAAAAGGTCGCTTTAGTAAAAAAAAAAAAAAATGTTTAATCAATACTTTATCTTCTTATTTTTATATAATTTTGGTCTTGTTACTTGTGTTCCTTTTTTTAATCCGACAAATGGTGGTGGATCGATGTTAACAAACACACAAAATGGACTTGGTGAACCACTTAATGTTATTATTAGTGGAGAATCTTCTCCCGATATCCTTACCGATCACGGATCATTAAACTATTTTCAAGCAATAGGTTTTAGTACTGAATGTCTTGGTATCCATCTTGGTATGCCACATACAGCGAATCTTGGTGATGGCAATGGCTGGATAAACCAAACAACAGAATTAAGAGAAGATTATGATGATCCTATAGAAGGTACTTGTCTAGAATCTGCAGTAGGTGGCAGTCATTTTAGGATGTTTAGACAAAATGGTCCTACAGCCAATTCTGGAGCATTATTTTTAGCTGTTGGTCAAGAAGAAAGTGCAGCACAAGGGCACAATATTGTTCCGGATGGATACAATAAAGGCAGAGACTCACTTGTAGCAAATGCTGTTGGTACTCTGACATATAATGGTGTTACATATATCACAACTATGAGCAGATTAACTGATTTATTAGCTCCTGGTAACCAAGGTATAATTCACGGAATTGCGCAAGATGGTGTGGTAGCCCTTCTTACAGTAAAAATAACGTAGTATAATAAAATGATTGATTTAATTGATTTCTTTATAAGAAATGCAAAGTTTTTGCACAATGATGATTGGCTGAATTTGAATAGAAAATAAAAAGTATCCACCTTTTTTTTTTTTTTTCTTCTCTTCTTCCTCTTTTTTTTTTTTCGGTTGTAACAAATCAAATTTATATATTTTATTTCATTATGCAACGTTCAACAGCAACAGAAGATTTAACTAGTGTAGAGTGGCGTGATACAAATTGGTTAGAGGTAAGAAAAAAAATAATGATTTCTATTCTATATTCATTCAAAACTATTTTTGTATTATTTTATAGCGTGTAGGTGGTTTTCAAAATCAACATATGGTATTAGAATATTTCGCCATGTCACCTTTTTGGGATCGTCAAAGCAACAACCAGATATTAGCAATGCAAACACAATATAACGACTTGAAACAAAGCAATGAAATCACTATGGAAGCATTAAGGTAAATTCTTTTTTTTTTTTTTTTATTTTCTATATAAGAATAGATTTTGGCTTTTGTTTATTGACTTCCCTTTTTTTTTTTTTTATAGGAAGATGACAGGTATAGAGTTTGCTGTTACTCATGAACAACCTCCAGTGTGGGTTATTCAAAAGAGATATCGTCGTGGTCCTGCTCCTGATGATGGTAAGTTTGTTGCATTTGTAAAACACGACTTTTGAAAATAACAAGAATAACTTTTATATTATATATATATATATTCATAGTGAATCCAATTGCAACTTATTATATTATGGGCGCTAATGTTTATCAATCACCAACTATCTACTCTGTCATTGCCAACCGTTTAGTAAGTGATAGATTAGACCTGACCACTTTTGATGAAATTAAAAATTCCAATTTTATTATTAGTTAACTAGTTTATTCCATGTGAATAGTGCATTTAAAGAAACACAATCAGTCATGGATTTTAATCCTTCTAAAGGTTATAGCTGGAAAACATCAAAGGAAAAAACTGATAAAGGTAAGTGAATAGAAAAGTAATAATAGAGTATTGATTGTTATTATTTTAGGACAACCGAATATGTTACGAGCTCAAGAAAATCAAGCTTTTCGAATGTGTATGGATCGAGCTATTGATACTTCTGCTTTCCGTATAGAACAAGTTAGACACATCATTGAACATTCAGATACCAATGTAAATACACCTCCTACAAAGTCTCAATCAACAGATTCACTCCAATCGGTAAAGAATGATGAAGTCAGAAATGATATATACGATTTTATTAATTTCATATATATATATATATATTAGATGACACAACAACAGGATACCAACCTAAAACGACCTAGAAAGAAGATTGTGGATGAAGGAAGTGGTATGGCAAGCACCAAACGAAGAAAAAAACCAACGACAAATCCTCAAGAAACCGATCTAGTTTAGATTAATTCAATCCTCTCTTTCTTCTTATATATCAACCTTATTTTTTTATTATTATTATATTTTAATCAATAAAACAATCTATATATAATACTAAATTATTCCACTTTTCTTGATCTTTCTTTTCTTGATGCTATTCTAGGTTGCCTATTTTCAGGGATGAATAAACCAAAAGGAGATTCGGTCCTAAAAGGTCGTCGTAATTCGCCACTAGTCGTTCTACCTTGCCACAGATGTATCCTTGCTTCTTTGGACATAAAAAAGGTCTTAAACCCCATAATAGAATGTAAGATAAGAGGTTGAATATAGTGGAATTGAAGATGAAGGAAGGCAATCATCATTATGCCTGTAAATGATTGCTTGATTCCCTTTTTGATTTCTGCTATATCATAATCTATATATAATAATAATAATAAAAAAAAAATAAATATTCATAGTATTTTTTTTTTCTTATTAGAGAAATTTTTACCCATAAATGTTGTGTTAATCAATTGATCAGGTCCAGTAGATCCATCCCATCCTTGCTGTCCAGGTTCAATGTATCGAAGTATGGTTTGGTCTATATATAAAGTATTTATATATTTATAATAGTTTGAAATAACTTTTTATTTTATCATACCATTTTTCTTTCTTACAACTGCAATAAGCCAGTAATTCAAACCGAGGATGACCGCTTGTGCTGCAAGATAGATGTTCCTAATCAAGGATATAATAGAGGGATCTTCTAAAGGTATATTCTTGGTCATATATTTGACAATCATGAAAAAGATAACATTGAACAATGGATGATTAACAAAGTAGATCAGATCTGGCATTATAGAATAAACGTTGTATTCAAATAAGAACAGAGAGAAAAAGAAGTTAACCTACTCGGTGTTTGAAAAAAAACAATCTTTCCACGTTTTCAGATCTTTTTTTTTATCTTTGAAAATTTTTTTTCTTTTCTTTCCATTTTTGTTTTTGTTTTTTTTTCTTTTTCCTTTTTTTTTTTTTTTGAACATTATTCAACATGGATGGAAAGAAAAAAGGAAAGTCCACTGACGACATGCGTTCAAGAGGACCACGTGCCTCTGTGACTGATATCAAAATGGATACCTTTAGCTTACATGACAAAGAAGACATTCCAGAATCCTCATCCATGGCATCAGCACTCGATGGTACAATTAGGTCTTCAGTAGAGGAATCACCAAAATTACAACGTGCATTGAAGGCTCGTCACGTAAGCGATAAATTAACAACAAAATATATATATATATAAAAAAAGAGTCTGTTAACTTTTTTTTTTTCCTTTATTTTGCATAATATAATAGTTGACAATGATTTCACTTGGAGGGACTATTGGTACAGGGTAAGGAAAAAAAAAGAATCATGATAATAAAATAAAAAATTGATCTGATTCTAACCATTTTTTTTTATTTTATTATTAGGTTATTCTTGGCTTCTGGAGGTAAGAAAAAAAAAAAAGAAGATAGAATTTAAACTTTTCTCATATTTTAACTGATAATTTTGTTTATTTATCTATTTTAGCTAGTATTGCTTCTGCAGGACCTGGAGGTGCTTTGATTAGTTATGCATTAGTTGGTATCATGGTATTCTTTATGATGGAATGTTTGGGTGAAATGGCAACTTTTTTGCCTATTTCTGGAAGCTTCAACAATTACGCTGGTAGATTCATTGATCCTGCTATTGGGTTTGCGCTGGGTTGGAACTACTTTTACAATTGGAGCGTTACATTGGCTGTAGAATTGGTATATAAAAAGCATTTTTTCTTAGATCGGGGATTGATGTTGTACCGAAAAAAGAAGGATATCTCAAACTTTATCTTATTTTTATTGCCTAAAATGGGTTTAGACTGCCGGATCAATGGTTATGCAATTTTGGTTACCTGATGTCCCGAATTATGTATGGTCTATTGTATTCCTGTTACTTGTTATGTCATTGAATGTATTTTCAGTTAAAGGTTATGGTGAAGCAGAGTAAGTATATTATTTAATAATATAAAAGAAATAACTAAAATAATCATTTTTTTTTTTTTTTTTTTTTTAGATATTGGTTTGCATTGATCAAAGTTTTGGTGGTAATTGTATTTGTGATCTTGGGTATATTAGTCGATACTGCTGTATTGGGTGGTGTCTACTATGGAGTAGAAGTATTCAAAGAAGGTGGTATCCAATCTACTGGTATTCTTACCACTTTTTTGACGGCTAGTTTCTCATTTCAAGGTACTGAATTGATTGGTGTGGCCGCTGGTGAAAGTGAAAATCCAAGACGAAATGTTCCTCGAGCAATCAAACAGGTAAATAGGATATATCACAACCTTTGATAAGTCTGAACTTTTTTTTTTTTTTAATATTTTTGGATAGGTGTTTTGGCGTATTCTTTTATTTTATATCCTCTCCATCTTCATCATTGGTCTCATCATCCCTTATAATGATCCTTCCTTATTGAAAAATGATGTATCTGATATTACTGTATCTCCTTTCACTCTGGTATTTAAAAAAGCTGGCTTGGATGCAGCTGCTCGTAAGTTTTATATATTATCGTGACCTAATCAACAATACTGTATTTCTAACATTTCTTCATCTATTAGATTTTATGAATGCAGTTATCCTAACTACGGTATTATCGGCTGGTAACTCTGGTTTATATGCATCTAGTAGAACATTATATGATCTTGCTTTGGAACGCAAAGCCCCTCAATTTTTCGCCAAGGTCACACGTTTTGGAGTTCCTATCTATTGTGTTTTACTAACATCCGTCATTGGTATGCTTGCTTTCTTGACTTCCTTGTTTGGCAATGGTGTTGGTAATGTAGAACGAATGACATATATATATATATATTTATATATACATGATGATTTATTTTTTTTTCCTTCTCATTTTCACGTTAGTGTATTCGTGGTTATTGAATGTTAGTGGTGTTGCAGGTCTTATTGCTTGGCTAGGTATTGCTGCTTCTCATTATCGATTCCGAAAAGCACTTATTGCTCAAGGTCGTAGTGAGGATGAACTTCCTTTCAAGGCTCGTCTTTTCCCATTCGGTCCTATTTTCACTTTTGTGGTATGTCTCTTTATCTTGATTGGACAAGGCTATGACAGTTGGTTTGCGCAACCTGTAGTAGCTGCTGATATTATCGCTTGTTATATCGGTATTCCTGTCTTTTTCGTATTTTATATTGGTTACAAAGTTGTAATAGGATCCAAGATTATTCCTCTCATGGAAGTGGATTTGGATTCTGGTCGTGAAGAAATCATCAGGTAATGATTTTTTTTTTTTTCGGTTGTGAAAACGAAATCAAGTGATTTTTTTTTGTTTTACTAAAGTCCTTGTTTTTATAGACATACTATGGAATTGGATGAAGTCAAGCGATATGATCCCTTGGAAGGTGTCAGTATTATTAAACCATCAACATGGAAACGAATCCCTCACAACTTACGTTCTTGGCGTGATGCTGTCCACAACTAGATAGATTATGACATTCTTTTTTTTTCCATCTCCTTCTATATTCGTTATATTCTCCTCTTTTTTTTTTTTTATTTTCATCCATACACTATCTGCTTTATTCAATATCATTGTTATCATACATCTTGTTACATTAAATCATCATATTTATAGAAAGTTCACATCTAGAGTGGACATGCAATAAACAATCTTACTGTATTTATTCAATTTCATTATGCGATTTGAATCATTTGGACTTCCTTTGAGAATTTTGATAGATTGTTGTTAGTGAATGAACTTACTTTCTTATTTCCAATTTGCTTGTCATATTTTTTTTTTAAGACATGTTTATTGTTGATCTACATCATGATTAATTCCAGTTTCATATACGGAAGACCCTAATCATCAGTATCATTGTTACTATTCTGATTATTGAACATCATCATCACATATTACTCCATTATCAATCATCACACTTCTATAACTAGCACCATGTTTATTCAAGTGATCAAATAAAAGCCGTAGTTTGGTATCTAACTTTCTTATCATTTCGACAAAAGAAGTCAACTTATGTTCAAATGGACAAGAACTAATAATAATATACGAACTATCTACTAGTTGTTCAGTAAAATATCTTCACCATCCCATATTTTTACATAGCAAACTTCAGCCGCAATGCCCATGTTCGATAGAGTATCCAGCCATATCTTTTGTGTTTCAGATAGCTTGTCCCCTGGTCCTTTTACTAATGAAAAAAAGATTCCATTTTGTACATCATCCACTATAATCATTTTTTGTTTCTTCTTACCTTCAACAAATACACATTTCTTTTCAGTATAATTCCAACAACTAATAATAATAATAATAATAATAAAAAAAGCATCAATCTTCAAATCTAGAATAGAAACAAAAAAAAAAAAAAAGAAGGTTTACCATAGATCAGGCATACCACCTAGTCGATGACCGAATTCTTCTGCAAGTAAATGGCAAAGTGATGATAATGATTCTGGTCCAATACACTAGATATATACATATATAAACATTTTGATGAATCTAAATCGATTTACCAAAAAAAAACAAGTCCAATCATTCTTTACCTCTGCAATTTCCAATAAATGAACTTGTTCATAATTCCAATTGATGCCAGCACACATGGTTTGTAACGGTCGATGTTCATCGTCGATCTTTTTAATGATATCCAAATACAAAGTGGAGCCTTCTTGACCAATCTGTGCAATCCGTTCATTGATCAAACCCATTCGTTCAATATAGAATGCATCCGACCAAAGATCCAGAGGAGCTGTTTGATAAGGTGTTTCGAATGCACCAGGTACAGGAGAAAATACAATATCCCAGAAAAGTAACATAAACTAATATTCGTTCGTCATAGAAAAAGAAAAAAAAGAGAAAGTAAGCATAAAAACAAGTGATTAGAGTAACATTGTTTACCAGCATCGTGATGATTCCGTTTTCTGTATGTAGCCTAAAGTAACACCAAAAAAAAAGGAAAAAATATTGAGTGATCATTTTTCATCCTTCAAAACAATATATCCACTTTGTTACCCTTGGTATCCTTGCTTGTTATAATATTGTATGGCTACCGTTTCCACAGAGATTTCGGCACCATCATCGCCTCGCCAAGATGATTTCTTTCCAGTGATTGTATCTGATATCCTTTCAGCTACATAATATATTAAAAGATATTAAAATCCATTTCTTCTTCTTTTTTTTTTATTATTATTTTACCATGGATCGTTCTTTCGGATGGTTTCTTCAGTGTCAAATAAGAGAAATCATGTTGTTCTCTTTTTGGTATACATAAATCTCTTTCCAATCGTTGAATTCTTCGTTGTAAAGCATTGAGATGAACTAATATAAAGTAGGAATCAATAATTAATAGTATCAAAAAAAAAAAAAAAGTCAGGATCTCATCAATAATAATAATAATCAATTGCCATCTGCTCTTTTTTTTTTATCTTACTCTGATGCACCCTTGGATCTTGAATACCACATATACATGTTTGTAGTGCCATTTTTTTTCGTTGTCGTTCAGGAAGATCTTTCAAATAGTTTGCTTGAATAAGAGCCAATCGATCGTACCATTTGCCACGTTTCCCGATCCGGTAGATACGTTGGTCAATCAGTTTTTGTAAAATCAGAGCTTCCAAGGAATATTCTTGCAATTTACCCAATGCCTTGGTACCATGTTCTATCATGTGGGTATATATATATCCTATGAAATAGATAGAAGATGAATTAGTAAAAAAAAAAAAATGAGAGTATTGCATTAATTTTTTTTTTACCAGCTTCAAATCTACGCATATAATAAAATCGACGTTCATCACTGTTCTCACTGATATCATTTCGTTGTTGTATCAAATCTTCCCAAGTACCAATAATGTTTTCACACATAATCCAACAATCCATCCAAAGTTGTCGTTCCAATTGCTCGATATCATCATTCTTTTTCGTGATCATCTTGTTGGTATTCCCGTTAGTCGCCTGTTGATCCATTTGGTTAATGAGTTGTCTTCGTCTTCTTTCAAAAGGAATGTTTTCCATCTTTGTTTCAAACTCGTATTGCAGTCGGAACGCATTCTCGTAATGATCTAAATCTTCAATACTAGTCCAAACGTTGGAAGTACGACAGTAGATGTAATTCGGATAATGTCGTCGACTAAGTTTAGCCAGGATGGCACTACGCATCGAGTTGGTTTCTGTTGGATCAGAGAGTCGATAATATACAATGTTGAGCCGTTGAAATACAGAATCATAGTCCTTGTCTAGAATGATACATGTTCCTAGAAAAAAAAGATGAAGAAAAAAAAAGTAAACATTTGGTTGGTATTCGTAATTCTCTTCTATTTACCAAGCATTGATTTGGCCATTTCATTAAACGAATCTTGTCTGCTATGATCATGTAAAGCCATTGAATCCAAGGTTTGTTGGCGTCCCAGTGTCAGTGCTTCTATCAGATCCGATTTCTATAGTAATATCAAGAAAGAATAAAAAAGACTGGTAGATGAGAAATCAATTCGTCCTATTGTATCTTGTCAGCCTTTTTTTCTTCTTTGTGTTATTATTTTTACTTACAGATTTCCCCTCCTTTGGCAAACATTGTAGTGATTGAGCGAGATCCTTGAGTTCTTCGACAGTAAAAAGAGCTAGAATATCAGGCCATTCCATAGATCTAGCATCGGGGCTATCTCCAAATAAGACGTGTACCATGTTATGAGCAAGTAAGTCGTTGCAAGCTTGATGTATATCGCGAATATTAGATGAATAGTCGAGTTTGTCCAAACGAAGCCATCGTCGTTGCTTTCGCATCCAAAGTCGTACAAATAAATGTTGAGGTTCTAAAGGTAGTTGCTTGAAGTTGATAAAGCGTTGGTGATCCTCAGCAGAGAAAAGAAATGATTCCCCATCTAATACTGTCATTAACATTTCATGGATTTGATCAGTATACATTGAGGTTTCGAAAAAGGGCGAGTTTGTTGTCACAGGTTCTATTGTATCTTTCATCTTTCCCTTATCAACTAACGGTATTATTGTCGTTGTATTTGTTGATTCTTGTGATCCTCCGTTTTCCTTGTTGTTGCTATCGGATTTTTCTACGTCCAAATGGGTGTCATGGCGTTCAACGAGAGACTTTGTTTCATCCTGTACTGATTGTTGTTGTCTAGGTTTCTTAAAGAATAGATCAATCTTCTTTTGGCCCGTATTTTCCAGCGCTTGAAATCGTTTTGAGGTTGATGTTTGTTTGGAAGCGCCTCCCCTTCTCTTTGTACCAGATTGCATTCTTTTGATCGATTATGGTATCATAGAGATAATTGGAGAGATAAATAAATCGCTAGATAAAATAGAGATAGAGATAAGAGAGAAGAAGAGAGAGAGAGAGAGGGCAAAAAAAAAAAAAAAAAAATAGAGAGAAAAAAAAAAAGAAAAAAGAGTTCACTTTGAACAGTTAAACGGAATTCGAAAAAAATAATGGAAGGACAGAATCAAGCAATCCATTATAAAAGAGATGTTGAACAAACATGGGGAGAAATCACAAAAGTGGAATATGTCAATAGATGTACCATGTAATCTGACCAAAAGGCAAATAACAGGCACCACCAAGACAGCAATCAGAGATTTACAAGCATAAAATTTATGATTCTCTTTTTCTTCCATTCTTGATTTGTCTTTGTTTTTTTATATATTATGTATATTTGACATATATTCTTTTTTTTTTTTTTGGAGTATCACATATAAAAAGAGACAATTTATGATTATGATGATATGACTTAGATGATGGATAGACAGAATAAGATAAATTTAATGGATGATTCAGTGATGATGGATTACAGGATGATGCCAAAAAAGTCAAATATCATCCATTATTATGCACCAAGCATGATTGAACATCACCATCATCCTATTATCCTATCATCATAGATTATTTATCATACAACAAGACACACATATCTCATCTATCATTCCCTCAGCAACTGTAGATCTTGTTGAAACAAGAAAAAAAAAGTTTCCTTTTTTGAACGTTTTCCTACTGTTGATAGTCGATCAAATGACTTTATGAAACTCTATTATGAAATGATGCCCTTTTTTGTACCTGAAAAAAAAAAAAAAAAAGAGATGAATTTGCCAAGTTCTTGATATGGAAGAAAACTGGTTATCCGGGACTGTCGAGTTCCCCCTCCCTAAATATTTTACCCTGTACAACAACCCATCTTTGTCAAATAAACTCAACTTTAAAAATAAATCATCTAGTTCATTTTTCATTGTATTCTATCACAGGAAATTTAGATATATATATATATATATCTGTGTGTCTAAGCCAAATGAGAGAACACAGAGTACTTTTGCTTCAACTTTCTCTCATTCTTGATCTTTTTTTTTTGTAGCCAAAACTAGTCAAAGGAAAAGAAATGAAAGCACATGACTTTGATCATCCTTTCCTTATCATATTAATCATGTCGTTTGCTTATATATATAAATAATATTTCCTTTTTTTAGATGATGTATTACTACTGACCCTAACTAACGCTTTTACTATCCATTGAGTTTTTCTTTTTTTCTACTGTTAGTACTACTATCGATTCTTAATAGTATGAAACAAAAAAAAAAAAAAAAAAACGAGAGAGAGAAAAGAGCATCAAGATGGTCATTGTACTACAAGTATAGTCTAGTATACACTCCGCTGGTGTCCCTGCAAAAGCTAAGCTCTATAGGAATGAAAAAAGTTTAAACTGTTCTTGTGTATCCGAAACACAATCCCATTACTCAGATTTGACAAAATGAGAGATGATGATGCAAAAAAAAAAAAAGAGAATTGTTGTTATTATTGGGATGACGCGGTCAAAGAAAGATGGTCAACTCATAAAGAGGGAGAACATCCATTTTGTTTTATTTTTTTTTTTTTTGTTTGTGGTGACTCAAAATCAATAAAGAGAGGAAATAAGGAAATTGATTTTTTTTTTTTTTGTTCATGTTCATCCATCTTTTTTTTTTTTTTTTTGTTTGATGTTACTTACATTACAGTCATTGAGCCACATTGAGTTCCAAAGAATGAATGTGGCTAGAGGAAGAAAGTTTAAATGTATAAAAGAGGTATTTTTGATTGATATTTATAAATTTGTAGACTATGTAACCATGATAAAAAAAAAAAAGGTTTTTTAGAAGGAAAAACAATAGAAAATCTATTTTTATTTAGTGGGGGAGCATCATCGTCATCATCCTAACAACGATCATACCAAAGCTATCACAACATCATGTGAATCACTAGATGCATAACAGTTCACTGACATTTTTTCCACACTCTAAGTGGTTATATGTGTATTTTTTTTTTTTATGTAACGTTGGCTTGAGTGCTAAAAATAAATCCTCCCCGCTGGATTTTAATCTCTTTTTTTTTTTTTTTGGTTAGTTCTTGGTTCTTATAAAAAGGCATTTTGTTTCTTTTTCTTTCCTCTTTTCTTTACTTCTTTATTATATATATTATATATATTTCTTTCTTTTTATTTTTTTTTTATTGTGTATATACATATGATGAACCAATTTGGATCTATTGAACTTTCTTATCCATCACCTAGTCAATGGGATGAATTGATGATGTCTTCAAATACTACTACTTCAAGTTATAGTGAACTTTTGACGGCTCCTTATTATCCTAGTCCTGATGTTTCGCCATGTATGACAGATTATGGTTATACTGGTTATCCTTCTTCTTATTCTTCTCCTTGTTTATCTTCAACATCGCCTGATTCTTTTTCTTCTTATGGTGGTTCCATGACAACAATGATGCCTCCCAAGGATAATCAGATTATGATGATTGCTCCTTTACAAGATTTATCTGTGATACCTCCTTCTATGGATTTATTGGATCAATTTATTCAACATCATGAATATATCTTATCATCAACTTCCTGTAATGATTATATGATTCAAAATGATACAGAAAAATCAAAGAATGTATCTACTGGTGCTATACGACGTGGACGTACTCAGCAAAAAACAACCAAAAGGAAACGACTTAGCAAGGATGGGGATCATGACAATATGCCAATTCAATACAATTGTCAACATCCAGGATGCGGTAAAACATTCAATCGACCTTACAATTTGCAATCACATATGCGTACACATACAACCGAACGTCCTTTTGGATGTAGTAGCTGTGGTCGTCGATTTGCTCGACAACATGATCGTAATCGACATGAGAAATTACACTGGGGAATCAAGCCTTATGCCTGTAGCCGATGTCATAAGACTTTTGCAAGAATGGATGCTTTGAATCGACATCTCAAGGTGGAAAATGGATGTATGGGTGCTACTGATCTTGTTGGAGTTACTCTATAGACCAAGTTAGATAACAACTTTCTTATATATATATATATATATATTTATACGCTACCACTTCTTTTTTTATACCCCACCTTTTTTTTTTGATAGTAGACTTTTTTTTTCCTTTTTTTTTTTTCTTATTTGTATTATTGTATTTTATGTTTATTATGCTTTATATATTTACTTTCCCTTATATATATATATATATACACTTCCTTTTTGTAAATACATTCATTTTATCTTATCATACTTATTGTTTATGTTTCCAAAATAAAACATCGTTCAAAACCTTATATGACCTGATCTTTTTTTACACATCAAAAAATAAACCTGAAACAACTCTCTCTTTATGGAGTGGCGGATATTAGACTTTTTTTTTTTTTTGATCGGTACCTTCTTTTATTCTATCTATGCTTTTTTTTTGGATTGACTTTGAAACCGTAGATCATTGTTTTTTTATCATTGATGAATGATGAGTTTTTTTTTTAATTTTAATGATGTTTTTTTTCTTTCTTTTTAATGTTCATTCAAAGATCTTCTTCATAAAAGGATATGTTTTTTAATAGAAAAGAGGGAATCCATTCATTCATTGGCAAAATCGGATCTTCCGCACTTCCCTCCAAATATAGTAACTGGTTTGGGAAAACAGCTCGTGACCAAATACGGAAGGTTGCACGGTATCTTGCTTTTCTATGTATGTGCCTTTTTTTTTTTTTTTTTTTTTTTTTTTTTTTTTTTTTTTTTTTTTGCTTGGCCATTCCACAACAGATCAACTGATGATATGGTTGGCTAGGATCCTCTTCGTGGAAAACGGCTACCTGCGATGTCTCACAACCAATCGTTACCATGTTAATCTATCACATTTTTTTTTTTTTTATCAATTCATGATTGCTGGTCATCTTTTTCTGTATCGTCGTTATATGAAAGACATCACGTTTTTCATTGTCATAAGAATCATCATCATAAGAAGCATTATTGGGATACATCCTTGTTCTTCTTTTAAGGATCGTCGTCATGCCATCATCATACATCTCATTTTCATCATCATCATCGTCATCATCATGGATTTTTTTTTTGAAGAGGGATAATTTAGAATGTTTTTTATTACATATTATACTACACAAAATGTCCAAAAAAAAAAGGCAAACTAACAGCATGACTATATAAAAGTAAATGGGAATGATGAAATATAGGCCAAACTTCAACAAGACAGAGAGAGAGAGAGAGGGAAAGAGAAAGACGAGAGAGAGAGAATATATACATATATATACGTATATATATATATATGTATGTGTGTGTGTGTGTGCGTGTGTGTGTGCGTGTGTGAGTATGTATGTGATAATAAGAAGGGAAACTAATATATATACATACATAATATATATATAAATGTACATGTATGCATCAACTAAAAAAAAAAAAAGGAATCGGATATACTAAAAAACTAGTCTATACTTGGAATCCAGCAGAAGGAGGAGAGGTAGAAGACACTTTTCTGGCAAGATAGGCATACCAAGTCAGAAAACTATTTGTATTGACGCACTGAGCTACAACCATTTCCACGCGATGCCGATAATCATCCAAAGAGAGTCCCATGGCTGGTGCCAAAATGGATGACATTTCTTCAAAACGATGCAAGCTGACTCCTGTGAATGTTTCGCCCAATTTTTCACCTGATCCTATAAATGATATCAATAAAAAAAAGAAAAAGAAGAGAGTCAATATGTAGTGTCGTTCATAAATCGATGTTATTCTTTTTTTTTTTTTTTTTTTTTTTTTTTTTTTTTTTTTTACCGTAATGAACTTTCTTAGATATGGATTGAATCACCTGGAACCCGAAGCTTGAAAGTTGTGCACCAAGTTTGGTTGCCCGATCTGTGTCACGATTCAATGACACCATAATGCCCCGAACTATAGTAAAGAAAAAAAGAATATCATCAGTATGAAGACCAAGTTTTTCCGAAGTAGTCGAAGTTTCTTTGTTTTCCTAGCTTTCTTTCTTTTCATTTACCTGTTTCTGTGAATGATTCAATCAATACAGACCCTGACGGCTAAAATATAAAACAATCAGTATTCATTAAAATAACAACAAAAAGAGGACTTACTTTGTAATTGTATTCTATAATATGAATAAGTCCACCTGGTTTTAATACACGATGCGCTTCTTCAAAAGTACGACGCCAAGCATGATGATCCATAAATGAATTTTGAGCCCGCAAATTCACTACATCTACAGATTCATCTTCTAAAGGTAGTCTACCATTCGCCACATTACCGACTTGGAAGCTAACATTCGGGAGAACTGGTAATCCATCCGGTAACCGTTCCAAATTGGTATCAAATCCGATAAATTGACATTCTGGGAATTGAGTAGCCATATCCTTATTAAAAAAAAAAAAGGAATCAGTTTATTCAAAATATCATGTCTCATATTCCTTTTTTTTTTTTTTTTTTTTTTTTTTTTTTTTTTTTTACCAAAATCCATGATCCACGATGACATCCAAGTTCAATAATACAAGCATTCTTGATGAATTTTGGTAAAGCTAATGATAATACATTCCTAATTTTTTTTTTGTAAAAAGAAAGAATGATTAAGTATGATCATCAATATATATTCGTAACTTCAATTTCTATTGTATACTTTACGAAGCAAAAAGTTGTTTCAGAGCAAAATGAAGCTAATCAAATATATATATAGAAATCAAGTTAGTAAAAAAAAAAAAAAAAAGAAGTTTCAGTAATAATAATAATAAAATATATTACATTATGATCAGCATCTTCTGCCTGCCAATTCTTTGGTAAAAAGAAACTATTGGACTGGAGACCAGTAAAGATAGGAGGTCGTGTTAAAGAATGGGTTGATGAGGATGACTGTTGCTGTTGAAGTTGTAATTGTTGTTGTTTTGAACAACTAGAAGATAAAGTATTGTTAGTTGTATTTGAAGTAGAAGGACGAATAAAGGATGATCTTGATTTGATAGCAGAAGTTGTTCGATAATTATTCGATGATGTAGAAGTAGGAGTAGAACTACCAGGAGCTACCGATCGTCTATGAGAAGAAGAAGAAGAAATAGAAGGTTCCTTAAGACGTTTCGATTGACTGGAACCCATAAATATAGAATATAAAATAAGATATATATATAAAAAGACAAAAAGAGAGAAAGAGAAAGAAAATATGGAGAAAAAAAATATGGAGAAGAAAAAAAAAAAAAAAGACGATTTCCCATCCGTATGGTATTGAATCTCCGTAGCCTTTACCATATTTCTTTTCTTTTTTTTTTTTTTACGATATGATTCTCGCGCGTTGCAAGTGGTTGCACGGCAGTAACTATTAGGGTTTATGAAGAAAAATTCCTTTTGATAAACTTTAATACATTTTTTTTTATTTCCATGTACAAGATTTTATAATGATATATAAAATAATAATAAAACGGAAGAAACGTACAGTTGATAAATAATGAGTGATGAGAATATGTAAGTAAAAACTAATCTAAACAAAATGGGGGGGGGATGTATGACGTTTTTCACGAAGAATAATAAGAATAATAATAAAAAAAAAGGTTTGATGATGGAAAAAAAAAGTGTATATAAGTAGATGAAGAAGTTGTAATAAAAAGGGAATGAATGATATATATATATATATATTTAGATCTAGATTAAAATAAAAAAAAAGAAGGATGAGTTAAATAATAATAATAATAATAATATATAGAAATTATTTTCATTTTACCTCATCAATATCAAAGTCAAATTCAATTTCATCTTCTTCTTCACCACCAAAGGTTTCATTTTCATTGATCTTAGTTGTATCAGGTAATTCACCATAAGATTTAAGTTGACGAGCTTCTTCAGGAGTGTACTTTTGAATTACATCAGCCTTATCATCTTGATATTCACGTAATGACAATAAAATAATATCACCTTGATTAATCCAAACCTTTTTTCGCATCTTGCCACGAATATGAGCTAATCGTTTAACACCATCAAAACATTGAGCTTCTAAACGACCATTACCAAGCATTTTAACCACTTGAGCATATTCTATAATAATAATAATATATGTATTCTGTTAAATATCTGTACAACCCCTTTTTTTATATATATACTTCATCATCATCATCATTATTTTTTCTTAATATTTACCTTGGCCTTCTTCCTTGAAATCAAGTTCACGCTTGTTATCTTCGTTTTCGTTCTTTCCTCTTCTTCGGTTTTTACCACCCTATAATAATAATAATAATAAAAGTAAATGTTAATATATATATTAAGATGTAAATAAGAAATAATAATAAAAATTGTTACTGTACAACAATAACAATATTAGTACTGTTTTTTTTTTCTTGGTTAATATATCAAAAGAAATACATACTTTCCCTTTATTCTTAGGCATGTTAAAATAAAATAAATAAAACTAAAAAGAAGAAAGAAAAAGAAAAAAAAAATAGAAGAAAAAAACAAAAAAAAAAAGTAACAAGGAAAAAAAAAAAACTGCGGCGGATATTCAAACTTAGTGCGTAGTAAGTGGCTTGGATTGGTGCCAAAAGAAAAGGAGAAGAAAAAGATTGACCAACCATTTTCATTTATTTCTTTTATTATGTCCTATGCTAAAGTTTATGACCCGATAACTGTAGGAACTATTAATGGTGATAGTTCTCAAACTATTCCTCATGACCATGCTATCCTTAGAGCTCAAAAAGCAATATGTAAATTATATTATTATTGTTATTCATATTATTAACTATTTCCTTTTTTTTTTCCTAGTTCATCCACCTTCCAAAAGAGTTACTTCTACTAATGCTTTGAAAACTCTTTTCATTGCAAGACTTAATTATGATACAACTGAAGGTATTCTATATAATAATAATAATAAATAGTATTATTTACTCTTTCTATATCAATCCATCTTTATATATATATATATATATATTTAGCTTCTGTGACAAAGTTATTCGAACGTTATGGAAAATTGACTAATGTGACACTTATATATAACTGTGGTAAAAAAAAAAAAAAAATCAATAATAAATGAAATAGTCAGATAGTAGATTTTCTTTTTTTTAAAAAAAAATTATATATTATATTCTTTAGTGACAGGATTATCAGAAGGATATGGATTTGTTACATTTGAACGTACTTATGCAGCTAAAGATGCTTATCGTGATGCACATGGACGATTATTGGATAATCATCGTATCTTGGTGGATTATGAACATGGACGAACAATGAAAGGTTGGATACCTCGAAGACTTGGTGGTGGATTTGGTGGCAAAAAAGAAAGTGGTCAATTACGATTTGGTGCAAGAGATCGGCCATTTCGATCTTTGGTATCTAGGTAAGTAGAAATAATCATGCAATATTTATCATGCATTTAAAATAGTATTAATCTCTTCTTTTTTCTTTCCATAGTGACCATACAAAAAAAAAGAATCATACATCCTCTTCTGATAGACATCAACAAACTCATTCGAAACGAAAACTAGATTCATCATTAACATCTTCTCAACGTAGCCATATTACAAAGGAATATTCATCACGATCATCATCACCACCACCACCATCATCATCATCATCAAGGCGTCAATACAATGATAGCAGTAGTAGCAGTAGCAGTAGTAGGCATAGATATAGATAATGTAATATAATAGCATAGTAGTAGTAAATAGTAGTTTTTTTATACCACCATTATTTTCAATAAAACTTCATAGAATCCTGATCTGCGCTATTTTAAGGCGCCCATTGAAAAAATTTTCAGGTCTCTCTCTACTCGTTTGAAACTTGTTTTCTTCCCACTTTTTTTTTTTCTCTTCTTTTTCTTTTCCTTTTTTTTTTTCTTACCACTTTTAGGATAACATGGGTAAAGACTCTATTAAAACCAACAAACGAGCTTCTCGTCACGATCCTTTACATGCTCAACTGGCAGATAATCCTGAACATGGTATGCGGAAAGCCACTCGTCAAAAATTTATTGATCGCAACAACAAAGAAGAAGAAGTCGAGGTAAATCTGAAGACACAATTCATTTCATTAAACTATTACACATACACGTATACATATATATATACCCTCGATCTCTCTCTCTCTCTCTTTTTTTTTTTTGTCTTATTCCGTATCCCCTCCCTCTATCCTTATTGTTTGACTGACAAAAAGAAAACTCCTCTATACTGTTATGCATTTTCTCTTTAGGAATACCTGGATCCCAAACTATCAAAAAAGATTTTGAAGATTGCTCGTCAGCAACAAGAACAAATTGAACAAAACCGAGAGGACGATGAAGAAACGTACGTAACTGAAACATTCTTTTTTTTTTTTTTGAATACTAAACTGACTGTTTGTTGTGTAATAGATCTACAAGGACACATCTGAACAAAAAGAAAACCAATGGCAACAACAAAACACATCCTCTTGGACTTGACCTTAGTGACGAAGAAATTGATGAAGGAGAGCTATATGGTGATTACGAGGAATTGGAAATCGATGAAGAAGATGCTGATGTGCTCAACAAGTTCTTGCCAAGTGCACCCAAAGAACGACGTACATTGGCCGATATGATCATGGAAAAGATTAATGAAAAGAATGCTGCTGATGAACGAAAAGCAACAGGTGAAGGTAAGACAAATACAAGAAGATAGGAATGATGATGATTAACATTATTATATCATTTTAATATTCAATTTTTTTTTTTTTAGACGATGATAATACTTTATCTCCATCAGTGAATCCAAAAGTCGTAGAAGTATACACAAAGTAAGGCATATAAAAAAAAGAATATACAGAATGAGAGAGTGTAAATTAATTGATGTGTATTGACTAATGATCCATTACTGCCTTTTTTTTTTTTTGAATGAATAGGGTTGGACAACTTCTAAGTAGATACAAATCTGGCAAATTACCCAAGGCTTTCAAAATTATTCCATCATTAAATAATTGGGAAGAAATTTTATATTATACATCTCCTGATACTTGGTCACCTCATGCAACTTATGAAGCTACACGTATGTTTGTTTCTAATCTCAAGGCGCAGCAAGCTCAACGATTTTTCTCTTTGGTATTACTGGACCGTGTACGTGAAGATATTCAAGAAAACAAGAAATTGAATTATCATTTGTTCTTGGCGTTGAAGAAAGCTCTTTACAAACCTGCTGCTTTTTTCAAAGGTATCTTATTCCCACTTTGTGAATCTGGTAGCTGTACTTTGAAAGAAGCATCTATTCTTGGTTCAGTATTGTCGCGTGTGTCTATTCCTGTGTTACATTCTTCAGCAGCTTTACTTCGTTTGGCAGATATGGATTATACTGGTCCCAACAGTTTGTTTATTCGAATCTTATTGGATAAAAAATATGCTCTTCCTTACAAGGTAGTGGATGCTTTGGTGTCGCATTTTGCCAGATTCCAAAATGATCCTCGTGAAATGCCTGTGTTGTGGCATCAATCTCTATTAGTTTTTACACAAAGGTAAGAATAACAAAATAATAATAGTAATAATAACAAGCTCAACCATCTATCTCTTTTTTTTTTTTTTTTTTTTTTTTTTTTTATATATGTACAGATACAAGCAAGATATGGTACCTGAACAGAAGGAAATTTTACTCAACGTTGTCAAAAGCAAGTTCCATTATGGTATTGGTCCTGAAATTCGCCGTGAAATTGTACACTCTACTACTCGGGACGAAGTTATGGATATGGATGATGTCATGATGATTGACTAAATGAACTGGATGAAAGAAAGAGAAGTTATAGAAATTGTCATTTAGTGATCTATTGATTGATTTTTTTTTTTATTCCTCCATTCACACTCAAACTCTTAGTAGCATATTTTTAACGTTTACATATTCTCTTTATTCTTTTTACCTCCTCTTCTTCATCTATTTTTTTCATTTTTACATTTTTTTTTTTATTTGTCTTTACTTTTATATGTATCATACATAAATCTATTCCTTCATATCTTTTATATTTGAAAATAAATAATAAAAAAAAAGAACTATAAATGTTTAGGTGTTTACTATCATTATTGTTTGATAGGTAAATAATGATGATGATCACTTGCATGTCTTAGATCTTATATTTAAACTACGATTGGTAGATTTACATCAGTTTAAGGAGGGAACAAGTACTGCCCAAAAAAGGACATGGGATCCAACGTAAAGGACTATTGTTTGATTAATGTGAAAGAATCTTGTCATTTTATCTTTTTTTTTATTATTATTATCTTTTCTTTGTTTTGGTTCACTTGGATGCGTTAGTATCATTGTGATACTTTAAATCGGCTCGGGTTATACCTTTGAGTTTCCGAGCAATGAAACTACTAAGATCATTAAAGACAGCATGTGATACATTCGCAAGAGGGCGTTTTTTGCTTTTGTCAGACCTTGAGGTCTAAACCTTTTTATCTTACATACTTTGCAGTCTGCGGCGTTTTAACTTTTTTTTTCTTTTTTTCCTTTCTTCGTTCTGCCTATTGTCACCCGCCTCAACCCCCCTTTTTGATTTTCTCTCTCTCTTTTTTTCTTTTCTCTACCTACGAATTATTTTTTTTTTCTATTACTTTCATTTCGGCAATCAATTATTGGCCAACAACGTTTTTTTTTTATATTTTGCATCAAAATGTCGACGACTTTTCGATGGCTTTCGTGTTCCAAAGAAGACTTCCCTCATCGTCGGCATAAAGTCCCTCAAGCATGCGACAAATGTAGAGCCAGGAAAATGCGTTGTGATGGAAGTAAGTCATAACTTTATTTTTTTTTTTTCTTTTCTTTTCTTTACTAACATTAATAATTTTTTTTTTTATTTATTTAATTTAGAATTACCTTGTGATCGTTGTGAAATGAATAAAGTGACATGTACTTATTCCAGCAAAAAGTCAAACAACTTTTCAAGAAAACGTGGCGATATTCATGACAAAACTAAAGGTTCTTTACTACATGGTGTTTCAGATGAAGGACAGTTGGATAGTACAACAGCTACGGAATCTTATTCAAAACGGCAAGAACAGAGGAAAAGGAAACGATTTGATTACCGACAGTTAAAACAGATGACCTTCAATAACGATTATTATAATTCTTTACGTCAAACAACAACATCTTTTTCCTTTTACAAAAATTTACCTCCTTTACTATTTGATTTTTTCAATCTCACTTGTCAACCTTATGCGATATGGTCTCGATTCATTCATCTCTTCCGACAATTCAATATCAGCCTTCGTCATCATTCGTCTTCTAACTGGTCAACCACGTCAACTGCTATATCCATCGAACTTATTCAGGAAATCATGTCATTATTTGGATTGCACAACTATTTATATACTGCTTTTATGGATATGACCCAGGTCAACTCTTTTTTGAGTACCTCACCCAATATATTTGATATACAACATCAATCTACTTTTCATCCTGATTCTCAATTGGTTGTAATCTATAGTATTTTGGCATTGGTCTTTCAATCCGCTGCTCAATCTTTGTCTCATGGATATACTGATTTGGCTCCTTTGTTGCAGAAACAAGCTAACCTATTTTATCATCATGCTCATCATCTTCTACTTACCATGACGTATCCTACTGGAACAGCCGCCTCTGATACTTTGGGTTCTACTGATTTACTCAACTTGACTCGCGCTTCTGTCTTCTTGACTCATTATCAATGTGTTGCTATCAGTGAAGAACAGGCCTATATGACTTTACAAATAGGTTTAGGTTATGCTCAAAGATTGGGTCTCTGTGAACGAATTTACAAAGAAACGGGAAATGATATCAAACAAATGGATCATTCAAACGTTTTACGAAAGGTACTTATTGGATGGCAGTTATGGTTTACAATATATCTTCACCGAAGTCATCCCTCTACCCTCTTTGACAGTCATGAAACATCTTCCATCACTTACAAATCTGAAGTTCGAATGGAAAACTATCTCGGGAAAAAAGGTGACCAGCGTTGGGCTGTTGACGTTTTAGATGTTTATATTCATTTATTTACCAAAATCACCAATACCACTGAACAACCATGGACTCTATTAGAAATCAAGGTATATAGAAAAAAAATAATAATAACAATGATTTATAATCTGATTTATTCATGATGGGTGGAACACTGATTTCCATTTTATTTTTTTTTATTTTTTTTTTCTTTGTAGCACCATTTGAAACAAATGGAATCATGGTCATCCACATTTTATTGTACTAGGTTGAATTTGACTGATCTTCATACAACCTCAATCACTACGACCACCACCAACAACAACAATACAACACCTCGTGTACGCGCAAGTCAGCATTTATCAGCTTATGTATTATCACTATATCATCATATTTTGACTATTCAACTACTTCAAAATCAGCTATCATTTCCACCAGTAAAAGCATCACCTACTACGTCTTCAGTATCAAGTACACAACGATCAGCATCAATCCCACATCCATCTTCTAGAATTGAAGATCAATACCAAAAATCAGCTTGCATACCAACTGATGACAACAGGAAAGGCATGATGCAAAATTCAGGTTCAGATCTAGATGACTCTAAATACACTCCCCTTACTGTCAAACAGGAAAATGTTGAAACACCACAAGGCGAATTTTTGGATGATGATCTGATAGTTCTAGATGTTTGTTCCCTTGCTTCACTTGGAATTATTGATACTATCTATGACATGGTATCAGAAAAACCTCTTATGGATCCTCAACATATAGTAGTCTCAAATATACAACAATTCGTTCATCCTGTGGTGGTATATCCTCTTTGCGTGGCAACAGCTTTACTTTCAACTTGGACTTCTTCCAATCTTGCAAGTTGTGATATTACACAGCAACAACTACTTCATCAAAGTCACTTATTAGAAAAGCAGCATTCTCGCTTGACCGTATTACTTGGCATTGTTTCTTCAAGTTTCAATTTTATGGATAATTTGTTACGTGCTGTGCAAGGTATGGGCTCTACTTTCTCATCTACTATTGCCCAAGAAATGACTATCATGAATCATGAACAACAGAAAACTCATTTATCGAACAACAACAACAACAACAACAACAACAACAACAACAACAACAACAACAACAACAGAATCACTCCAATACCAGCACCACCACAAACAACAACATCATTGAATTTACAATCAGTTTCACCACCTTCTCCATCAACATCATCCTCATCTCTATCATCATCATCCACTTCTCTATCATCTACTTCAGCATCATTATCATTTTCAACGACAACTACTTTGGGATCAGCAATGAATAAGTATCTGGAGCCTACATCAAAATCAAGTGTGAATCAAGAACGACAAATGGCCATCCCAATTATGGATCCATCATCAAGAGCTGTCATTGATCAGCAACAACTGGATAAGCTCTCATCCAACAAAAGAATGACATCCACTTTCTCACCGTCATTTACAGCAAAAAATCCAGACCCTAAACGGAAATTGGGAACATCAGTGATATCTCAACCATTGGAAAAAAATCAACAACAATCTCGAACAAAAAAACAAAAGACAGAAGTAGATTGTGAAATACATGATAATTACTCTTCCAAAAACAATACACAACAACAGTTACAACACCATCAACAACAACAGCAACAACAACAGGAGCAACAACATATACAACAACAGGTGTATCCCCAACAACAATATCAGCAACAACAATTCCATCCTCAACCAAATTATTCCCACCAGCAAGATGCATTCTCCTCATCCAATGTGATTACAACCCGTTATTTAGATCAATTGAATGGACTTTCAGAACAATCACAATTGCAAAATATCTATTCACCTGACTGCCTTGCAGATGATAATTTATGGATGGCTATTGTTGGTAACGGTTCTTTAACAACACCTACTTTATCAACACATTCTAGTAACGAATCTGGAACACGATCACGGCGAAAATTACCAACTGAAGGATCCAATGAAAACAACAATTCCTTGACACCAAAACTACCTTTACCTCTACCAAAACACAAAAATACATCTATCGCCAAAACATGGTCAGCTGCTGGTGCTTATATTAATGTGGATTGGAACGTCTGCTTCAACGCTGAAATGATTCAAACTTTACATCAAAATAGTTCACAACAACCTGTTAGTGTGGATGCTGCCGCTGCCGCTGCTGTTTCATTAGGACCTGTGGATCCAGCCATTCAAATGAATATATCTTCAACCGCACCGACCACTCAAGACAATGTATTATATCTTCTCTCTTCCAATGTTCATCAACCGCATCATCATCAACAACAACAACGACAGCAATCACAAGAAGAACAACAACAACAACAGCAAGAGAATCATCATCATCATCATCATCATCATCATTCTTCTAATGGTACGACATTCTTTCCTACTTCATCCTCTTGGAGTAGTGTTACCTCTGAGTTCTTTTAAGCCTTCTATCATTATTGTTAGTTTTGTTTACCTTTTTTCTTAGCTTAGTTTAGTATAGTTTAGTATATATATATATATATTTGTTTATTCCCTTTATCATTTTTTTTTTTTTTTTTTTGGTGTATATCCTTCTTATTATATTATATATTTCAAATTTTGTCAAAATTCCTTTTTTATTCTTTATTTACATAGTTTATCCTATATACACTTTATACATATATATATATTCTTTATTTTGATCATCCACCGAAGTGTTGTGTTTATAGTATTATTAGTAGATTTTGTGTGTGTATAAACAAATAAACAAACAAAAAAATCATATCATTTCATTTGTGTGAGAAGTATAGATTTTGATTCTGATCATAAGGAAAAAAAAAATTCTCTTTTTATTTCCTCTTTCCTAGTCTCACTTGTCTTTATGAAAATGTAATCCTTGATCTCATCAGGTCACTTTTTTTATGTTATGTGTGTGTGATTCGGAAACGTTCTCGGTGTTGAGCGAATTACTTTTTGATTCCATAACTATCAACAACAAGCTTCCTAAATAAGCATGAGACCGACCGGAGTTTGTTTTCTCGTCCACACTTCCCACTCTCTCAAGCATACTTTTTTTTTCTATTCCCTCTTTCTTCTTCTTTCTCTTCATTGATATTTTTTTTTTTTACTATACCTTTTGTTTTATATCAAACTGAGTCATTCATATATATACGTATATAATGGAATCAATGTATAATATGGATAGCAATATGGATACTCACCAGATTCAACAACGCGGATCTTCAAGAAGGCGATCAAAGAGGCGACATTCATCCCGTAGAAAGCACCCATCTAACTACTACTCTTCTTATATTGAAGATACGTCCAATTATACCGATTGGGGATCACCACCACCACCACCTTCGTCTTCCTCTTCTACTTACTTGTCAGCACCACCATTGTCTTATGATGTTTATCCTGAAGTACCTGAAGACTTGGATTTATATATGGATGCTTTGAACCTCCATTCAACAGCCACAGATAGCACTTTATATGATGATTATGAAGATTATCCAATTGATTCACCCTATCAAGATAAGAAGGCAATGATGCATCCAATGATATACGATGACTTTTACCAAGGACAATTGGACGAACCGTTACCATCGCATATGATTTCAAGACAATCATCATCAAGGATATCGGAACCTGGTTATCATTTATTGCCTACGCCTATTGTAGATGAGCATATGTATTACAATGATGAAGATGGTATGTTGATGATTCAAGACAATGACTGGTATTATCCTCCCGCTCCACCTGTACAACGGAAAAGACGACAAAAGAAACAATATCCACTCCAACGTAGTCATTCCATTGGTACCACTGATATGCATCATCTTCAACAAGATCAGTTTATTCCTCCTCGTGGTGATCCATATCTTTATGAATTCGATCAACCTTCATTCTTCCAATCCAACAGTGCTCCTAGTTCGCCAAACAAACATCATTTCGATGATCCTATCGATGAAGAAATGTTACAACATCCTGTACGTCGATCTACTTCCATGCAGGGTCCACTTTTGCCTCCGCCTCCTCCTATAATGGCTGGTCCACCTCCTTCATTACAACGTCGCCATAGTTTTTTCGAATCAGCACACCACCAACCATCCCCTGAATTTTTTGGTCCTGGTATGTTCAATTTTTTTTTTCTTTTTTTTTTTTTTTTTGACATCCGTACTGACTAATCTTTTTCTTTTTTTTTTTTTTTTTTTTTTTTTCTGAATCAATCTGTATCATGTTTATATATTTAGCTGCTAATTCTGCTCCTGGAACACCATGGTTGTCACATATGGATCAACAACCTCAGCATCAATCCCATCAGCAACAACAACAGCAACAACAGCAACAACAATCATCATCATCTTTTACATCAATGGGGATATATCCTACACCTGCATCATCCATGGCCGGACCTTCAGATCCAACTTTATCAAGTACATATCCATCTACTTCTAACCAACAACAACAACAACATCATCATCATCAACAACAAGAAGATCATCATCAACAACAACAGCAACAGCAACAACATCAACAACAGCAACAACAACAACAACAATATCAAGAGCAATTTAATCAACCAAACAATGGAAATGGATTAATGAATCAATCATCAGCAAGATTACATCTCCCAATGCCTTCTATTCCTAATGGCGTAAGTAGTGGTGGCTATTTTCCGCAACAACTTGGTAATCCAATGATGAATCCGGCTATGCAGCAACAAATGACACCAATGAACATGCCGTTACCAAATCCTTCAATGATTGGAATGCAGATGGGACACAGTGGTATACCAAGACCTCCTCCGGCTCATTGGAATAATGGACCATGGGACCCGATGATGATGGATAGTATGATGGGACCGCCACCTCCATTTGGATTTCCTGGTGGATCAATAGCAATGAATCCGATGGGTGGACCTTTGGGACCAATGGGAATGCTACCTCCAATGCATCATGATGAAATGAACAATCACAAAAAACCAAAGGACGACAAAAAACCAAAGGAAAAAGGGGATGAATCAAAGGAAAAGACAATCAACAAAGGTGAAAAGGAATCATCGACAGTATCAGCAGCAGCAGCAGCAGCAGCAGCAACAACAACAACTCCGGCAGAAATGGCAGCAGCAGAACAACAATTACCTCCATTGGCAACCACGGCAACAGAAGCCGCGGAAGAAAATGCTCTGGTACGATCGACTATGGAAAACAACAAGGATATACGACGAAAACCATCGATCTGGAATTTATTTGGTATGGGAGGAAATCGAGCACAGATGATGGCAATGCAACCTTATGCACCACGACCCGTACTTCCATTTTTGCCTCCACCTGATTTCATAGCTGATGCGCACCGTGGCGAACACCCAAAGTTGACCGAGATGATTGAAAAATTCCAACAATTGATGTATGTATGGTGCTATGTGATGCCTATGGAAGATTATCGGAACACAGCCTGGTGTACGTTCAAGATCCAGAATCAACGCAAACTCAACTATGCCGATCGACACAATCAACGTACCGTGACTTTGGACAAGGAAAAGAATCTTCCAGGCACTGTGATTGTCAATCCACGCGCAAAGACCGCCGTCATGTACAAAAGCTTATGGTCCACCACCAAAATGATCATCACCATCATGTGTCTACCTCAAGAAGAATACAGGCGTCAGCGACATGCTCTTAGTACTGAACTCATACGTCGTTGGGGTTCAAAACCTTCCAGTTCTGGTGGTGTCTTCAATTCTATGTTCCGTGATTATGCTAGATGATATCTTTTTTTTTTTTTTTTTTGTACTCTCATTTTTTTTTTTGTATTACTTAAATGACCAAATAAAAAACACACTTTTTTTTTAACCTCTTTCTTGATCTGGCTTCGTTTTGAATTTTTGAAAAAAAAAAAAAAAAAAAAAAAAAAAAAAAAAAAAAAAAAAAAAAAAAAAAAAAAAAAAAAAAAAAAAAAAAAAAAACAAAAAAGATATTTATCTATTTGTCGTGACAATATCGCGGTAAATGGATGAAAAGGAATAAAATATCTTCTGACTTATTTTCCTCTCTCTCTCTTTCTCTTTTGTCTCTTATCACGATGATTCCTTTTTTTTTGGATAGTTAATATTAGTCAATTAGTTTTACATATATACTGTTTTCTACATTCTTACATTAATAAAGTCATATTCATATTTCATTAGTATCTCTGAATCTTTATACAACAGATTATTATTATAGTAATATTTATGGACAGCTATCATCCAATCATTCGAGTATACTACCATTTTATTACTTAATCATTCTTGATCATATTTATTATTATCGTCATCTATTAACCAATTCAATCGAAGATAGTGAAAGTTGTGTTGTTATTATTAGATTAGTTGTTATGAGTTTTTTCATCGTCATGATCAACTGATCATGAAATCATCTTCATAGTGTTACTACCATAGAAATGTCTTTGTAAAATCGCAATATATTTATCATCATTAGCTTTAACGTCGATATCAACATAGGTTTATCATGATCATCATTATCTTTAACGTCAACACCAATATACCATCATAAAATAAACCAATCAAAAAAGAAAAAAGAGATGGACAATTAAATTGAAAACAAGAGTTTATTTGGGTTTGTATAAAATGAATAAAATAAAATACACTATAAATCTATTCAACTATTCTCTAAACAAAAGGGAATAGTTTATTTAGCCGTTACCCAGGAACCACCATAAAACTATATTGACTTCCAATATTTTCTTTTTGTTTGCTAACCCAATATATTCCTTGACAACTGTATGACTTGATATCACCAAGCATATAGAACTACTATAGAATATATGTATAATATATAAGAGTGATTTTTAGTAGTAACCACCGTATACTGTATTGATTATATAACATTCCTTAAATATTACCTTCCACCCCATCGCGCGCACGGAAATGATTCACAGACTGCTTGAATACATTTGATATCTTAGTTGAATTTACCTTTGGGAGCTGGCTTAACCTCAAGTCAACTTTGACATTTATGATTAGCGGTTAAAGCAGGTTTGATCAAGACCTAACTCCAAAAGAAAATCATAAAATATCAAATTAATTCAAAATCAAGTCAGTTCGAAAGTAAAATCCAACCAAGATATCAAAGGTATTCAAATATCTATTACACCGTAGAGAACTAAAAAAAAAAAATGAGAGGATGAATAGGTTATTCACAATATATAATATGGTAAAAAGAGATAGAGTACTTACATAATTCTTGCTTTCTTTGCTTGTGGCGACCGCAAAAGAAGAATAAAAAAGTAACATACAAAAGTAGTCTACCACATCCATTATTTTTTGCCTTACCTTTACTTTTTCTTTGTATATGCCTTGTTTATCCCCATCAGCCATCCATAAAACATTGACAACAAAGCGATAAGAGCTTCATATGACATCAACCGTACCTATTATAAGAAGAGCCAGTAATGGTTGCATTAAAAAAAAAAGACGATTTATGATGAGTTTCATTGATAATATTGCCTTTCCTTAGGTTCTCAATACCATCATCCTTCATACAAGAATGTTCTTGTTTTCGCCAGTAAAAGAAGAAATCTTCCATCATATCACCATTTTTTGAAAACTTTTGTCCACTTGAGATGCTAATACAATAAAAAATAACAATGATTTTAGTTAACTATTCATTCTTGCTCTCATAGTTATTACTTATACAACATAAACTTACGGTAATAGATGCCATTTGTGGGCCACACAGAACTAACTTCTAAAGTCCAAATAAACAGAATTAGATTAGCTTGGTAATGAAGCTAATTTTTTTTTTATTACTCACCCATTTGAATATGTAAACAATGAAGATAAAAAAGAAAGAAAGAAAGAAAGGGTGAATATATAATAACTTGGCATATTCATTTAATTACTTACCAAACAATATCTTCCAACAAGAGATGATTGTGAATGAGGTGGTCAGTAAAGGAAAAGCATAATACAGGAACAACCTAAATAATTGAAGAGTGATTACGTGTTAGTAAACTTAGTTTAAAAGTTGAGAAAAACGAAAGAAAGAAAAGAAAAGAGAAAAAAAAAAGTAAAAATTATCTGCTCATAAGATAATTTTTTTACGCGTTTCAAACTCCACATGACCTATTTTATCTAATCGTCTTCTTTTTTTTTTTTTATAGTAATAGTGGTATACATATATCATTTCTTTACAAAAGAGAAAAAAAAAGTGTATTGATACTTAATGTCATGATGAGAAATGGACATTGATATTTTTTATGCAGTTAGGACTATGTACTACACTAAATTGATCTACACATTCTAATATGTTAAGTTTGACTGGTCTAGAAATCTAAGAAAGCCGTAGAGGGACATTTTAAAATAATTCAGGGACAATAAAAAAAGTAAATGGATGATGATGATGATGATGATGATATCAAGATAACTCTATATGATGATCATGAATCCTAAATGGCTTAGGGGCTTTCACCTTCTCTTTTTTTTTTTTATTATTCTTTATAGGTCTCTTTATGATGTTGTTATTATGTTTGATTTAGTTTATTATTTATTTATTTATTATGCTTTAAATAAAATCATCTTTATTTTATATTATTCCATCTGATTCTATTATAGTTGTTTGTGTTGTTTGTTAGTCTTAGTAGTTACATATATATTAGTTAATTTACATTCTTCTTCTTTTAATAAAGTACAAATCATTATTGTTATTATTACAGTATTGATTTATATCATCATATAACTCATATCATCATGTTATCATATTTTATGAATTTGATAAAAAAAAGAGAGAAAGGGTAACTTGTCATCAAAAGTATATATTATAATATTATAGTTAATATTCATCTTATTATGAATTATAAAATCATCATTTCATATTATTATTATTATTATTATTATTATTATTATTATTATCTTTTATTAATAATTCAATCTAAATCATCTTATTATTATTATTATTATTTATTCATCTAATTCTACTTTTATTAAAATCATAAGCGTTTTCCATAAATGGTATACATTCAAAGTCCGGTCTCCATGTGGGGGTGTGTTGGATCAAAAAAAAAAAAAAAAAGTTGGTCGAGACAAATGGAAAAAAGTTGGACCAAAGCTCTGACAAAATAAAAATTGGCGCACTTTCACTTTTTTTTTTTCCTTTTGCATTTTTTTACTTTTCTTTTTTTTAACCACTGTCACTTTGAACATTGTTAAGTTACCATTATATACTTTATTAATCTATATTATATATATTTAAAAGTCACTCTTTATATATATTATACTTACTTTATACTTTACTATATACTTTACTATTTCACTTACTCTATACTTATTCTTTCCTTTTTTCTTCTTCTTCTTCCTCTTACTCCATCATATTATGAACTAATCTATTTTTTTTTTTTTACTCTTTTTATGAACATAGAGTAGATAGGATATATGAAGAAATATACAATAGGTTTAAATGGATATTGGATAAAAGAATAAGCAAATTAGGGAAAAAGTATCCAACTCTTTATCATAAGAAATTAGTTTATTGAATAGTTTAGTCTTTTAGTTATAGATATTATATTCTCATTTAAATAAAATCATATCTTTATTATTGTCATTTCATTATTATTTATCTATTTTAATAAAACTTTTTTTTTTTTATTATGAAGACATCAATTATAAAATATACTACAGTATGATAGAGGTAAGAAAGAAAAGAAAAAAAAAGATTAAGGAATCAGCTTTAATTGAGAATTCTAATGATAAAAAAAAAATACAGTGATATAATGAATTTCTATACTAAAAAAGCTATTTCTAAAGGAAGGAATTGTCTATCGTCTAGCCTTTCTGAATAAAAAGACAAATACAATGAAAGCAAAGACGTTGAATACCCAGTATGCACAAAGAATACCAAAGTCGCGCCAGCGGTTTGAAAAGCTCCATCCAATGTTGGCTTCGTAAAAGTCGTTACCATAGCTGTATTGGCAATAGTTGCAAGAGCCAGTAGCATCAGGATCTTCCAAATAACCAAGACCACCATCCTTAAAGAATTCTGTAAAGTATTGTCCACATGTTTGATTTGCAGGAGCATTGACTTTGATCCAACTACTTTCATCACACACGACCTTGACACCATCCATAACATTGACGACCAAACCTTCAATCAAATAATGGTATGGATCCACCCAATACATCCACGCACGCCAGAAGTAAGGCATAGCAGAAGGAGGTTGCATAATACCAGCGAACAAGATAAGAATAGAAGTGAAGAAAGGATTGATCACAGCAGCCATTGGAGGAGTAGAACTGAATGATGCAATAAAGAAACCCAAAGAGACAGAGTACAATAAGAAGACAGAGAAATGAATATAGAAGAAACCAATACGATCAGAGGCTTCTTGTAAACCAGCCGTCCAGTAGAAGCAGAATAAAAAGATAGCAGATAAGACAAACAGGTATGGAATTTCCACCACTATACAAGACAAGGCAAAGGGACCCCAACCATAATACTTGGAGGCATATTCACGTCGGAACCACATACGTTCGGCCATAAATCGAGGTTGAGCAAGGATAATCAGAGCGTTACTCATCAAAAGAGTAGTGAATACTGAGAACATACGATTTTGCATATCAGCAGGAGAGTTTCCCAATTTCCAAAAAGAGAAACCAGATAGCAAACCGATAAAGCATACGTTGAATAGACGACCCATGTTGTAAGTAGGACAACGCCACCAAGAAACATTCATACGTTTGTAGACGATTAAGAATTGTTGCCAGAATGATTGAGAATAAGTAGATACCTTCTTACGCTTTGCATTACGATCAATAGAATTGTGAATCGATTCGAGTTCTTCTTCCAATGCCTTGGCTTCCTTTGAATTTGCCCATACGTCAGCCCAATCTTGAGTCACCTTACCAGCAGTACCAGCACCCACACATTCAAGGATATATTCAGCAGGATTGGCACTTGGAGAACACTTGGGACCACCATTAGATTCAAAGTAATCAATCATAGTACGAGCATCAGGACCAATTTCACCATAATAAGCAGTACGACCACCACGGACTAACAATAAAAGATGATCAAAGTGTTCAAATAAGGTAGCAGAAGGTTGATGAATAGTACACAAGACAGGCCAGCCAGCATTAGCCAATTTACGAATGAAACGAACAATATTGTAAGAAGATTGAGCATCCAAACCAGAAGTAGGTTCATCCAAAAAGAGTAACTTTGGTTTACCAACCAATTCAGTAGCAATAGTCAAACGTTTGCGTTCTTCTACAGAAATACCAATACCAGCTTCAAGATCACCAACTAGGGCATCGCCAATTTTTTCCATTTCCATAAGAGTAATAATTTGTTCCACATAGTCGTTCTTTTCTTCAATAGAGACAGATGCAGGTTGACGGAGGTATGCTGAGAATCGAAGAGCTTCACGAACTGTAGCATTGGGATTATGTACGTCCATTTGTTCACAGTAACCGGTAACCCGTTCAAAATCATTTCCAAGAGGTTCACCATTCATGTAGATACGACCTTCAATCTTACCGATCGTCTTTCGTTGAGCCAATACATCCAATAAAGTAGTTTTACCAGCACCAGAAGAACCCATCAAAGCAGTAAGATGACCAGGTTTCACGATACCACCAATATCATTCAAAAGTTGACGTTTACCACCTTTGACAGGGACAGTGTAATCCATATGATGCCAAGAAAAAGTAGTACCATCTGTCACAGCTTCCATTTCTTCATCATTGACAGTCATTGTTTGTTCCATAAGCTTGCTTTCATCTTCTTCCTTGGGAGCACATCCACGTTTATACACCTTTGTAACAGAACCTTCCTTGTTCAATTCGACATATTCCATAGCAAGAGCAGTAATAACAGTGAAGAAGATAAAGAATAAGACCACAGCTACGAAATCAATCCAACGTTGCCAAGTTTCATAACCATAAGCGGTATGCAAGTAATCATCACCCAAAACAAAGCTAGCACCAGGTTTTGCACCAGCGAGAAGACAAGTCTTGTACGTTTGATCTTGATATGTGGGTCCATAAGGAACAGATCCAGCACCTTCACAACTAAATTCCATACCAGTCATTTCATTAGAGACAACAGCCTTGTAACCATAAGCTAGAGGATTGATCCAATAAATCCACATCAACCAAGGATGCATTTGTCTATAAGGAATTTGATAACCACAGTATACCAAGGCAGCAATCAAGAAGATAGAAGAGACTTGCGAAGCAGTAAAGAAAGTAGGAGCAACTGCACCCCAGAAACGGAAGAAGCCATTCATACAAAGATTGGTAAAGACAAGAATGATGAAGAAGGTGAAGAACTATTATGTAGATAAAAAAAAAAAAAAGTTAGATCAAAAAGGAATGAAATTTGATTATATGTAAAAAATTACCTTTCCAGCATCCATGACAAAACCCATCATAAAGTAAACGATAATTTCAAATACCAAAACTTGAATAATAGCCAAGGGAATATCAGCGATAACTTGAGCGATATAAAAGGCAGACGGATGGTACAAGGCAAAACCTTTATGTTTTTCCAATACACGACGACCTTGCATGAAAGCAGCCAATTCAGATTGAGCAATAAGAGCGTTGAAAAGTAGAGAGAAAAGAATAGCACCACCACGAGAGAAAGCACCAGTAACATCAGTAGGAATCATAAAGAAAACAGAGGCCATGATCAATCCTTTAACGACAACACCACCATAACGAGATACAAGAGCACCCTTATCACCAAAAATCAGTTGGAATTGACGGATAGTAAGAGATACCACTTGTTGATAGTAAGTAGACACAAAAGGAGAGCGTTTGGAGGCATGTTTTTGATGAGCTTCACGAACAGCTTCACGGAACTGTTCAGAAGGTTTATCTTGAGCAATCTTGGCTTCATAGGCATCACGTTCGCGCATCATTTCAGCATAGAGAGCACTTTCCTTGTACACCTTTTCAAATTGAACAGAATTGAGAGGCACACTATTTTCGAATCCAGGCTTCATTTGACGTTCATTGGCATTACAGAGACCAGTCAAAAAATCAGGAGTAGATTTGCGATCAGGACAATAGAAACCAATATCTTCAAAGTAACTCTTGGCAGTACTGGTGGGACCAAAGTAGATACAACGACCTTCATCCAATACCATAACTTTGTCGAATAAATGGAAGATAGAATCCGAAGCTTGATAAAGAGTTGAAATGGTTGTCTTGTGTAAAATATCGGTCATGATACGTAAAGAACGAACATAATCCAAAGCAGAAGACGCGTCCAAACCACGAGTAGAACAATCCCAACAATTGATTGAACTTGAAGTTGTCATTTGTTCAGCAATAGAAAGACGTTTTCTTTCACCACCAGAAAGACCACGTACAAAAGCATTACCAACCATTGTATCCATTTGTTTAGTAAGACCCAACATATTTCCAAGCATATAAAGAACCTTGTTGATAAATTCCTTTCGACTTTCATCAGGAAGACGCTTGCCAGGAGTCTTATTCTTCAAAGCAAAAGTCAAAGTTTGTTTTGTTGTCAAAGTAGGATAATGTAAGTCTTCTTCTTCATTGTAACAGACTTCACCTCTAAAGTATTTACTGAATTCTTGAGCTTCAATACCACCATAAGAGACTTCACCTTTCACATTGGTATAAGACTACCAAAAAAAAAAATAAATAAAAAAAAGAAAAGAAAGAGTAAAAAAAAAAAAAAAAATAAAAAATAAATAAAAAAGAAATGCAACGGGATTTGAAAAAAAAAAGATAGAAATACTTACTTTACGCATATTTGCAAGGACACGAAGAAGAGTAGTACAACCAGCACCAGGACGACCTAAGACCAATAACATTTCACCATCTTTACAAAAACCATCATTGCCCTTAAGAATAGTAAAATCATGACCTTCATGTCGACCCCATTTCCAGAATTGAAGAGCAGAAGCAATCCAAGTATAATTGGTAGGAATGACTTTGGCATCGGCACCTAAACCTTGTACTACTAAATCTTTCCAAATGACACCCATATTTTTAGGATGAAATCCAGCAGCAGCACTTTGTTCATTTTGATTTCTTAAAAAATCAGTTAAATCAAAATCACCAGTTCCAGCTTCAGCATCATGTATAGATTTACGAGAATGTTGAGTTAATTCTTTTCTTAATTCTTCATAATCTTGCATAGCTGTATCAATATCTACAGCATTTCCTTCATGTTCACCATAACCACCTTCAGTACGACGAGTATTTGATTTCGTTAATTCATGTTCATCATTCATATTGACAGTCATTTCGTCATCGGATGATCTATGTTGTCGAGTATAATGTTCTTGATCCCTATCAACCTTTTCATTGGGCATCCCTTGTAAAGCAGGCATATCCATGTTGATTAAGTTTTATGATATATAATTAATGATGAATGCAATAATAATAATAATAATAATAATAATAAATGAAAAATAAATAATACAAATGAAAAGAAGGATGAATGTAGTATCAAAAAAAAAAAAGGTATTGTATGAATTTCAAAAAAAAAGGTACCCTTTTATAGATTTTTTTTTTTTTGATTTGTTTCTGGATAAAAAAGATTTTTTCGGTAAAACCAAAGTAAAAGGATCAAATCAATTGAGCCGCGCCGTTTGAAAGTAAAAAGGATAAACCATTGATGGCAGCATAAAACCATATAAAAAATATCTTTAGTTTAGTCTCACTCTCATTATTATCATCATCCACCTAAAACAAATTTAAATGGATTATCTTTGGGATTCATTTATCTAATTTTTCTTCCCCCACTTTTTTAAAAGATATCAAAATAATAAAAAAAAAAAAGAAAGGGAATTGGGAAAAGAGAACATCCAGGTATTGAACTCCGTTGATAAGGGTCCTTGGTTCAATATTATCTATTACTTTTGTTTAAAATAATTTGAAAACAATGATGATGATGATTACAAGAAAAAGAAAAAGAGTAATAATTATGTATATTTCTTGTCTGCATATTATTATTATAGTTTAAGTTAACATTAAAAAAAAAAAGAAAGAGAGAGATAGTTTGGATGGATCGGAGCAAACCGACTCCGAAGGCTTCTTTCCATTAGTGATCATATTCTGCTACAACAACTATATCAGCTTGGGCGAATAGTACCAACTTAATCTAACCATCTCCCGTTAAAAATTTTCCCGTTTGATTCTCAGTCTAGAACAAAAAAAAATACTGTTATCTCTATCTTTTTCAACCATTTCTTTATAGATCCCATCCTTGTATTAATAATGCATCCAAAAAAAAATATTCTGTAGAATGCAATTGTTTTGTGTTTTTTCAAATAGGAAAAAAAAATCATCAGAAGAGAACAGTTCTAGTCGAATATCAACATCATCATCGTCCAAAAAAAAAACAAACAAACATCATCTTTCTATCGTCACTTCCGTTTTAAATTAGATAGACCTTGAGGAACAAAAAAAAAAAAAAAAAAATGGGACATCTTTTTTCCTTTTTCCAAAGAAGGTAATCCTAAAAAAAGGGCTGAATGCTGAATGACAGCCAATCATCATCGACATTGGTCCAACACTCTTCAACACCCAACAAATGACTGATTTCCTAAAGTGTAACATCTCCACATTTTTTCAATCAAAGTCAAATAGAAACAAAAATATAAAAAAAAAAAAATAGTTTTATTGATAAAAACTAGTATACGATTAAACTATAGAGGCAATTTAATATTAGATCCAAATTGAATCCAAGAGACGACTTGATTTGTTTTTATCGATAAGAATGAAAGTTCCCTTTACACTATACAGGTCAAGGTCTCACAGTTGTCCAATTCAAAAGTTTCAGTTTTTCTTACCGATAATCCATGCATTGGTTCGTTGTATCATCGCTGTTTCAATCGTCATCAACATCCTCTAAAGATATATTGAATCTATGATACCACAAAAGAGTAAAAGCATTTCTAACATGTTCCAAATGTCGTAAAAAAAAAGACTTGAAAATCTTGAATACATTAGTTGCCATTCCAAAAGATCATTGTAAAGATGAATTTAATATGGTGTTGTACTCTAGACCGAGAAAAGAATATGGAAATGGAAAGAAAGGAGAGACAGAAAGAAAAAAAAGAAGTTCCAAAATGTGAAATCAACAAAAGAAATAAACTTCAAAGTCAGCATTACCCATAGCAGAAGTACTACTTCTATCTACTATATTAGTCATCTTCTTTATGCATGAATGAACGATCAAATTTTGACTTGCAATGTTGCTTGATGATTAGTGATGAGTACCATACCATTTTGTTATGTTATCAAAAGTTATCATGGTGTTATTGACCAAAAAAAAAAAAAGACAATTTATATACTGTACAAGTTGAAATGAATTGTTTATTCATACAAAAATTCTAGTAAAACAATATGTATATATGATTACAATAAATAATAATAAAATGTATGCTAGAGATAAAAAAAAAAAAGAAAGAAAGAACGGGGATAAATGATGTTGTGTAATGAAGATGAACGGATGAATAAAATAAATAAATAATAATAGTAATAATAAATAAAAATAAAAAAAAAAACAGTATAAAGAATAGGTAGTAATGACAATACTTGTAAAAAAAAAAGTAGATGATTTAACGTCTTCCCTTTCGCTTCCAGTACACTAAACCAATAAACACAATGACGTTGAATACAAAGAATGCAGTAAGAATACCAAAGTTTCTCCACTTGTTGGCAGCAGACCAGCCAAATCTTGATTCATAAAATTGAGGTCCATTGGAATAAGAACAATAACCACATTGCTCAGGTTGCATGGCATCAGGGTTAGCAAGATAACCAGGTGTAAGAGGACTGCTGAAGAAGTTTTGTGTATATTGACCGCAAGTTTGACCAGGAGGAGGAGGGAATCGTACTAAATCTTCATCCGAGCATACCACCGTCATATGTTCCAATTCGTTCACTGTCAAACCTTCAATATAATAGTGGAAAGGATCCAACCAATACATCCATGAACTCCAGAACTTGGGCATAGCAGAAGGAGGTTGCATCAAACCAGCAAATAGAATCAAAAGAGACATGATCAAAGGATTAATCACAGCAGCCATAGTGGGCATTTCAGCAATAGCTATTGAAGAAAAAGTAAGTTAGTTAAATCACTTTTTTTTTTTTTTTTTGAATTCCAAAATAAAATATTTTACCTGCAATAATGAAACCAAGAGTAACTGCCCAGAGAACAACCATCAAGAAGAGTACATAGAAATAACCACAAGATTCTGGAGTATTTGACATACCAGCAGTCCAATACAAACCACACATGAACGCGGCAGCAAAGAATAAGATGTAAGGAATTTCAACCAACACAGCAGAAACAGCCCATGGGAACCAGGAGTAATATCTTGAAGCATATTCACGACGGAAGTACATACGTTCAATCATAAACTTGGGTTGAGCCAAAATAATCAAAGTGAAGGCCATAATGAAGGTTGAGAATAAAGCGAATAACTTGTTTTGTAAATCTGATACAGAATCTCCAAGTTTCCAATAAGTGAACCCAGTAAGTAAAGCGGTAAGCATGATGTTGATAAATCGACCCACGTTATAATCAGGAGAACGCCAATAAGCCAAAGCCATACGTTTATGTACCAAACGGAATTGAGTCAAGAGAGGAGTAGCATAAGTATAAGCCTTTCGACTAGGATTAGTGTCAGCAGTATCATGTACATGATCCAATTCTTCTTTCAATGCCTTAGCTTCCTTTGAGTTTTCCCATACATCAGCCCAATCTTGAGTCACCTTACCAGCAGTACCAGCACCAACGACTTCCAAAATGTATTCAGCAGGATTGGCATCAGGAGAGCATTTGGGACCACCATTAGATTCAAAGTAATCAATCATAGTACGAGCATCAGGACCAATTTCACCGTGATAAGCAGTACGACCACCACGGACTAACAATAAAAGATGATCAAAGTGTTCAAACAAGATAGCAGAAGGTTGATGAATGGTACACAAGACAGGCCAGCCAGCATCAGCCAATTTACGAATGAAACGAACAATATTGTAAGAAGATTGAGCATCCAAACCAGAAGTAGGTTCATCCAAAAAGAGTAATTGAGGCTTGCCCACTAATTCCATACCAATAGTCAAACGCTTACGTTCTTCTACAGAAATACCAAAACCAGATTCAACATCACCAATTTGAGCATCAGCAATATCTTCCATTTCCAAAAGAGTGATAATAGTATCAACATATTCATTCTTTTCTTGAGTAGACACATCAGCAGGTTGTCGAAGATAAGCAGAGAATCGAAGAGCTTCACGGACAGTGACAGCAGGTTGATGTACATCCATTTGTTCACAATAACCAGTAATACGTTCAAAGTCATTCATAAGAGATTCACCATTCAAGTATACTCGACCTTCTACCTTGCCAAGAGTCTTTCTACGAGCCAATACATCCAATAAAGTAGTTTTACCAGCACCAGAAGAACCCATCAATGCAGTAAGATGACCAGGTCTAACAATACCACCAATATCATTCAACAATTGAAGTTCACCACCCTTCACTGGCACAGTGTAATTAACATGTTGCCATGAGAAAGTAGTACCAGTAGCGATTGTGTCCATGTTTTCAGTAATCTTGACTTGTTTGCGACGACGTTCATCTTCTTCTTCGTTGGTACGTACCTTGGGAGCCTTTCCGGGTAAGTAAAGACGAGTAAGATTTCCACCTTTTCCACCACCAATATATTCCATAGCAAAAGCAGTAGCGAAAGTGAATAGAATGAAGAATCCAACCACAGCGACAAAATCAGGTGCCCACATTTGTTCAGGAACATATGAGAGATATTCACGCAAGTAATTTTCACCAAGTACAAAGTTTTGACCAGGGACACCACCTTGCATAGTACAGGTCTTATAGTTCCAATCATCGTAACCAGGTCCATAGGGTACAGCATTTCCAAGACCTTCGCAAGAATATTGTTGACCTTGCATTTCGTTGATCAAAAGTGTCTTGTAACCATAGGTAATAGGGTTGATCCAATAAATCCAGAATAACCATGGATGCATTTTGCTGTAAGGAATCACATAACCAGTATAAGTAACAAGAGCAATCAACAAAACACCAGTTACTTGGGTTGCTACAAAGAATGAAGGAGCGATCGCACCAAAGAATCGGAAGAAACCATTCATCGTCATGTTGATGAAGAACAATAAAATGAAATAAGTGAAGAATCGTCCAGCAGTCAAATTCAAACCCATCATAAAGTAAGTACAAATTTCAAAAAGAAGAACTGTACAAAAAAAAAAAAAATCAATATCTTCCATATTTTTCCTTTCTTTTTCTTTTTCCTTTTTTTTTTTTTTTTTTTACCTTGAACTAGTGCATAAGGAATATCCAAAACGACTTGAGCAATATAGTAAGCAGAAGGTCGATACATGGCATAATGTTTATGTTTTTCCAGAATAGGACGACCCATCAAGAAACGAACCAATTCAGATTGAGAGATAAAGGCATTGAAGAGTACAGCAAAGAAAAGAGCACCACCACGAGAGAAGGCACCAAGACCAGTTGTAGGTAACATAAAAAAACAGGAAGCAGTGATAAGACCTTGAATCAAGATAGTACCATAACGAGAGATCAATGCTTCAGTATCTTTGATAAGAAGATGATATTGACGGATAGTGAGAGCCTTGACTTGTTGGTAGAAAGAAGCAATATAAGGAGATCGACGAGAAGTATGTTTTTGGTGTTCTTGTGAGACGGCTTCTTTAAAGGCAGCAGCTTGGTTTTCTTGAGATAATTTTTGTTCATATTGTTCCATTTCGGCCATCATTTCCTTATGGATTGAAGATTGATAATAACTGTTTTGGAAATCAGCAGCGTGTTGAGGAGCAGTTGATTCGAATCCAGGTTTGATTTCACGTTCCAAAGGGTTGCACAAACCAGTCAAAAAGTCAGGAAGAGATTTTCTAGGAGGACAATAGAAGCCAAGGTCTTCAAAGTATTGCTTAGCACGATCACCAGGACCAAAGTAAATACAATAACCTTCATCTAAAAGTAAGACTTTGTCAAAAAGGTTATAAATATTGTTGGAAGCTTGATAAAGGGTAGCAATAGTTGTCTTGTTGAAGATATCGGTCATGATACGTAAAGAACGAACATAATCCAGAGCAGAAGCAGCATCCAAACCACGAGTAGAACAATCCCAACAATTGATAGAACTTGAAGTTGTCATTTGTTCAGCAATAGAAAGACGCTTTCGTTCACCACCAGAAAGACCACGTACAAAAGCATTACCAACCATTGTATCCATTTGTTTAGTAAGACCTAACATATTTCCAAGCATGTAAAGAATCTTGTTGACAAAGTCGTCTTTTGTTTCATTGGGTAAACGCTTTCCAGGAGTTTTTGTTCGTAACGCGAATTGTAAAGTTTGTTTTGTTGTCAAAGTAGGATAATGTAAATCTTCTTCACCATTGTATGCGACTTGACCACGGAAATGAGATGCAAAAGTTTTGGGATCAATGCCTCCATAAGAAACAGTACCATTGATATCAGTAAAAGCACCGCGCATATTGGCTAATACTCGAAGTAAAGAAGTACAACCAGCACCAGGACGACCTAAGACCAACAACATTTCACCATCTTTACAAAAACCAGTAAGACTGCGAAGAATTTCCTTTTTGTTGCCAGAAGAGCCAATACCAAAGAGTTTCCAGAACTGAAGGAAGCCACCAATAAAACTAAAAACAGTAGGAATAGTGTGTGCATCTGCGGCGAGACCCTTTTATCCAAAAAAAAAAAAAAATTGAGGTAAATTAAAAAAGAAAAGAAAAGAGAGTGAAAAAAAAAAAAACGGAAATCCAAAAAAAATTATTTTTACCTTGACTTCTAAATCACGCCAAAGTACACCCAAATGCTTTGGTAACTGTCCAGCATCACTTTGTTGAATATGCATACCACTTAGAAAATTGTCAAGATTAAAGTCATCTTCTTCAATAGCACCTTCTTCTAAACGACTAGCATGAATAGATGATTGACGACTAATACGACTTAATTCTCGTTTGATAGTTTGATATTCTTCCTTAGCAGCTAAATATTTGTTGTTTTTTTTTTTAAAAAAAAAAGAATAAATTAGATAAATAAATAAAAAAAAAGATAGATAAAATGATTATACCTTCTATATCAACATCATTGCCTTCAGTTTCTCCAAAAGTATTATTTGCTTGATATGTATTAGGAATAGTTGCTGATGAACCGTTATTGGAAACATGATCCGTTTCATATTTCGTACTCACATGTTCTTCAGAGTACTGATATGTTTTTTCATCCATCTTAAGGAAGAAAAAAAAAAAAGAGAAAGAAAAAATAAAGTAAGAAAAAAAAAGTAAGGATAAAGGAAAAGAAAATAAAAAAAAAAAAGATTAGGGTATGATAGAGTGAGCTTTTTTATACCACAAGTAAAATTGATCCGTTCACTCAATTTGAAAAATTTTCTGGTCTCCGTCAAATGCAGAACTTTACTCTATTTTTCGGGTAATTTAAAACCGGATTGCCTAGCCTTTCTTTTTTTGGGGGGGAGAGAGCGTACAATCATTTTCTATTCAATCATCTTTTGAATCATCCGCAGTTACCATGATCAAATCTATTATTTTTTTTTTCTTGTTTCATCCCCTAATTTAATATATTCAAGGGGGACAGGAAAGTCTATTTCTATAGTCATAAGGAATGAGGATGTATTGACGGACGATATGATACGTATGTCTGCGGTAATGAGTTCCACCAATCAGGTTCCTCGGATTATTTGTATCCGAATCAGAAAAACATTGATTTAACGTGCCGCAGTAAAAAAAAAATTTGTATGGTGTTCTTTGTTTGATCCATTGATTCAAAAAGTTATCACTTATGTACATATTACATTGTTACGGATGGATCATGTTATGCATAAAAAAAAACAATTAACCCCTTTTATTTTTTCTTTTTTTTTTTTATCTTTTTTACTTGCATTTAAAGTCAGTTCTTTTATGATATAAATTATCCGTATCTATCATAGTGGCAAAAACGTGTTTTTCTTTTTGATCGATTGATAGTATAAGATGGAGACAGAGAGAGAGAGACACAGTCGGCCTTCGGTGGCGATTTCCACCGATGTGCCCTATTTTTGGTTTGAAACCCCCTTCCCTTCTTCCCCACGTCCACCAATCATATGATACTTTTCCGGTGACAACGCCGTTTTTTTTTTTTTTTTGTGGAATCATGAAACAACCGTTTCATCCGCGCGAAGTTAATCCCCCCCGGAGAAACTCATTCGAGAAAATTTGGGAACGTGATCACCATTATTAAATAATGCAAATGTAGGTAATAATTGATTACCCTCTTTTTCTTCTACTTTCAAATCATCCAATCATCCATCACCACAATCATCCATCCTAACCATTCATCATTGAAATTATTATACTATACTATGTCTACTCTCTTCAGTGGCAATCGGAGTTGAGCTCTTTTTCTTTCCCCCTTTTTTTTTTGTAGGTTTACAGGAACAACGTTTTAAAGAATCGAGGGTGATGATCTTCTTTATATAATGATGATTAAAATAGTAGAAAGATCAATCAACATTACAATATCATACTATGAATCAACCATCCATCCAATCATCATATGTATTATCATTATCAATAACCTATGATTTAACCACCACCCACCATCATGTATATCATACTCATTCATCAACTATTAAGAAAAAGGATCTTGACTTTTTTTAGTTTACGGGAGAAAGAGAAGAAGAAGAAAAAAAAAGGGTCATGTGAATGCCTACTTTCGGATAAGAATAGAGTGAATAATAATATACATATTAAAAGAAACATCGAATTGATAACGAGTGATTTATGGTGGGTTTTATGGGATAAATATGTAAGATATAGAAATGATGATGATGATGGTTTTTTAATTGGTTACCTTAACATTTATCTTGTAAAAGTAGGTCAGATTTTTAGGTTACACGTTTCTTTTGGTAAGAGAACTCCGTTCGTGTTGATTTTCTTTCTCTCTCCACTTTTTTTTTCTTCTTTTCTTTTTTTTTTTTTTTTCTCACCTCTTTTTTTTCTTTTTTCTAATCGATAAATTTATTCAACATGGCTGATATAAAACAAGAGGAAAAAATAGCAACATTGGCGGTAGAAAACTCACCTAGTGATGAAGAAAGTGATTTGGAAGAAGGACAAGAACTTAGTTTGGTCATCAATGCTTTACAGTCAGCTGTGGAGAAAAAGACAGATGTTCCTTCTGGTCAAGAAAAAACAACTGCACAATCAATTGAAGTATCAAAAGAATTATCTTCATCATCTGCAGATCAAAAGGATGCTGAAATATTATTCGAACAACCTATTTCACCACAACCTAATGAAACCAACAAATCCGAAGTTATTACTGAAGATATCTCACCTCCTAGTCCCGGTACTCCTCCGCCAAGACCTACTATGGAAAATGGAAGAACAAGTGATGATTTGGATCTAGATTTTAGTGCCAATTTGATATCTGTCAATAGTATTGATCTAAAGGAAATGCGACCCAATAACTTATCACCTAGACAACAAGAAAGAGCTGGTAAACATTCATGTATAAGAAAAATAGATGGATCATTATTTTCATTATTATTTTTTTCCATAGATGAACCGCTATTACGAGCTGTTCGCCATCTTTTCAACAATCGATTTATGAAAGCAAAAGCTTTATTTGAAAAATATGCCCAATTGTAAGTATTCTATAAACAAGCAGAAAGTGAAGATGGCATTTAATTATTTATTTATTATTATTTCATCATAGTGAACCTCTACATGCACTAGGATTGGGTTCTATGGCCTTTCTCAAAGGTATGTTATAAATGAATGATTCAAAAAGTACATGATTCTTATTTTTATTTTTATTTTTATTTTATATATATATATATATATATATATGATTTATAGCTGTCATGGTAAGTGAGAAATTAAAATCTTTATACATTTGTAGTTTCTTTTATGTATCGTTTTTATGATCTATATTATAGACATCTGATGATCAAGCAACAAAGAACGCCATCAATGTGCTGACTACTACTTACAACTTGGCCAATGCTCAAATTGATGCTGCAACAAAGAAAAATGTTGGTGATTCTGTAGTTTCCTATGTAACAGGCTATTATCAGCATATCAAGTATTCCCGTGGTTCCAAAGGCAGTGGTCTTCCATCAAGTCCCAAACCTGTTACTAAGCGATCTATTCAAGAAGAAGGTGTAGACTTTTTACCTAATGGGGTTTTACGTGCTCATGTTGCCAAAGCTGAATGTTGTCTTCAAATGGCCATTTTACAATTACTTCAAGAAAATGTTATGAATTATATCAAATGTGGTTTGAATTTGCGTAGAGGTAAGAAAGATCAAAAAAAAATATATACATATGTTGATTGATTCTCATCATATTTGATATCTAACCATATCTTGTTAATATATATATATATATATATATATATATATATATATATTAGCTTATGTTAGTTATAGTTTAGTATGGCAAGAATACAAACGAATGGGTCAAGAATATAATGATTTTATTGACAAAGACACTGTATCTGGAATTCAGTTTGGGTAAGATAGTTGTAAAACTATTTAAATCATCAAAGCTAACTGTGATTCTTTGTTTATAATAGTATTGGTACTGTCCATTTGATTTTGGCAAGTCTTCCTCAAAAAATCCTTCGGGTGGTATCGGCCTTTGGTTGGAAAGCAGATAAACATCTTGGATTTGCATTGCTCAAATTGTGTTTAGAAGATCGTCGTATCCGATCACCTATGGCTTCTCTCATGTACAATCCAAAAAAAAAAAAAAAAAAAAAAAAAAAGGAATTGTTAAACTCACCCTCTTTTTTTTTTTTTTTTTTCTTGATTATTCTTAGGTTACTCGCCTACTATACCGTCTTGACATCCCTTTGTCCTCAAGTACTTGCCAACGAATATACTCAACCAGCTATTGAAGTAAGATAATAGAACCATTTCAATATACCAGGAAATTCATGTTTTTTTTTTCAACATAGACATTATTGGATGCACAACGAACATACCCTAATTCGGCTTTCTTTTTATACTTTGCTGGACGTACCTCAAGATTGGCACGTAACTTGACATTATCAACACAATCCTTTATGTATGGTATTGAAATCAGCAAAAACGAATGGGCAGAAGTGGAAGTTTTACATATGTGCAGTTATGAAATTGGATTTAACTATATGATGCAACACGAATGGGAAGAAGCAGCCAAAATCTTTGAAATGTTATACAAAGAACGATACTGGTCTCCTGCCATCTTCCGTTACTTACAAGGTGCATGTTTGGATATGTTTGGACAACGTACGGAAGCGATTCTTGCATTTGCTGAAGTTCCTGATTTGGTGGGATCAAAATCATCGAGTACAGCTATGATGGAAAACTATGTCCTAAGAAAGGTGAAGACATTACAATCTAGTGGTTATCAAGATATGGATATGACTGTATGTGCTTTGGAATATTTGTGTCTTTACAATGCATTTGACTTTATGGAACAAGGTCAGTTACAGAAGTGTTTGGATGCTGTGGATCAGGCTCAATTACATATTGTAGAAGCAGAAAAGATTGAATTTGGTATCCGTACAAGAGAACTACTTCCTCAAACGCCAGCTCCTCAATATTATGATCAACGTGGTGCCGTTCTATTGATCAAATCTTCTATACAGAACGCTATGGGTTGTTATAGAGATTCCATTATTCATCTCAACTGGATTATCGACCACAAGGACAATATTAAGACGGATCGCTGGATTGTACCTTTTGCTTATTGGTAATGTGGAAGAGAAAAAAAAAAAAAAAAAAAAAGACAATCAGAGATATTGATTGAAAATTTAACTCCTCTTATATATGTATCAATAGGGAGGCTGGGGTAGTGTCATGGGGAATAGGCAACAAGAAACGAAGCAATACATTTTGGGAAACAGCATTGAAATATAGTAAATACGACTTTGAATACCGGTTGGCGACTGTAAGTTGATACGTTGTACTTTACTGATTCAATATACAATAGACTTAATGATATTTCTTTTTGTTTTTATATATATCCCAATAGCGAATTAATTTGGCAATGACAAAGGCTCAAGAACAAGGTGGGACAAAACCTGTCAATAATGATAACGATGATGAAGAGGATTTGGATATGCAATCTGAACATTCTGTTCCTTTGAATGATGATTCTGAAAAGGCTAATGATGGTAATCAATCAACGGTAGATAAAGAATCACGCTCATCAACACCCACACATCATGAAGAAAAAGAAACTACAGCATCATTCACCGTCGATGAAAACGTATCTCAACACCAACAGAAGGAAAAAGATGAAAAGCAAGAGAAAGAAAACAAGGAACAAGGAGACTCACATACGAAGGGTCAATAGGAAAATAGTGTTATCGATAGATTAGTGAAATTATTTGAACCATAATATACTCGTTATTTAGACTTAGTTTTACACACACACACACACACATGATCCTCCCTTTTTTTCCATTAGTTGTTATCCTCCCTTGCTCAACCCCTGATATTCATTTTTTTTTTTATATATATTCATCTTTATATCAATAAATCAAGGAAATCAAAATATACGATGAAAGAAAACAATATGATGAATGTAGTGTAAAAAGGGATTATTTATTTTTAATTGAATACAAGTGTTTATAAAGTGAAATAGGTAGTACTATTGATGTAAGATTGATAAATAGAGAAAGATATATAAATACTACGTAAAAAAAAAAAAAATGTGTATATGGGTAGCTAACTAAGATGAACAAATATTGGAGGATGGTTTAAAAGAGGATGCGGCAGGTGCAATCCAGGAATGGATATTGACATACAAGGTATAAATCATGATACCAATACCCCAAAGAGTCATCACGACGTCAGCTACTTTCATCCATCTGCCTTTAGAGACTTTGAAATGGAATAGACCTAAGAAAAAAAAAATAAGTGGATCAAATTTTTGATTTTCAAAAAAAAAAAAAAAAAAAAAAATTACCAGGTATGATAAATGATAGAGGCATACAAGCAATTGAACCGACCAAAGCAACAAATTTGTTGAGACCATCTGGACCTACACCAAAACTAATGGCAGCACAAATAATTGGAATGATAGAACGTACCAGATTCTTTCCCCATTTGTATTTCCAATTAGAACGACCACTACGATGAGCACCGAACAAACCACGTTCTATAATGATTAATGGAGGGTAAAGCATAAAAGGAGAAGTCAGGATCATGGCAATAGCATAAAAGAGTTGAACGGTAACAGATAATCCATTTTGAGGAGGTAAATTTGACACCACACTTGCATGCGTATTTTCACCAAAGGCAACATAACCCAAAGTACCAATCAAAACAAATAAACATGTACAGATGATCATACCTAAAGTAAGCACCCGTGGAAATTTTTCTGGTTCTTTCATACCTTGGATAATAGGGACCACTATAAGAAAGAAGGGTATATCCACGTATTTGGTATAGATGCAAATGATTATTCATCCTACATTTTCTCCTTTTTTTTTTTTTTTTTTTTTACTTACCCATACCAATACCTTCAAAAGAAAATACAGCTGTTCCAATCATCAAGGCAAAATCAGAAGTATTGATCATCCGGATATTAGGACCTGGTCCATTGTGGGTAATCTGATCCGAAGTAAAATAAATGACGCTGATGAGACCAAATAGAATAAATACATCAGCAATAATAGCATTCCATGATAAACGAGCAATCTTGCGTACCCAAGTGATAGGAATAATAATCAAAAGAACCAACCAAATAAATAATGGTGCTTCAAATGCTCGATGACAATGACTAAGTTGATCTACGACAAGACCTAGATTTTCGGATACAAAGATTAAATAGGAAGCAACAAATCCCATTTGAGAAAGACATAAAAAGAAAAGAACGAGATATCGTAACCATCTTCCATATAATTCTTGTGCCACTTGTCCATAATCACCACCCACAGTCCGTTGTGCTTGAATCAACATTTGAAAGGCAAATAAACAAACAATAGCTATGAATATCATTAAACATATAGAAAATACCAATCCACCGGAAACAAAACTAAAATAGAAATAAAATGTTAAGTGATAGATCTTAATTATTTTTTTTTTTTTTTACCCTCCAGGTAGAAATACCACACCAGTACCAACAAAAGCTTTCAGTAACATAAAAAGAGCTTTACCACAAGAAGCTGTACCTTCTGGTACATGTTCAATTCGTTCTTCTTCAAAAGATTTGATTAAATCTAATGATGTATTACTTTCTTCATGATGCTGTGTTTGAGTTGTTTCTTTGGAGGATGGATGATGATCACTTTGTATACTTGGGCTAATTTCCTTTTCTGATGCCATACTGTATAGAAAATGATGATGATAGAAAACGAATAAATAATACAAAAAGAAGGAGAAGGATACAAAGTTTAAAAAAGAGAAAAAGAAAGAAAGGAGCAAAAAAAAAAAGTTTGATGCATGGCTTTTCCTAATTTTTTACATTAAAAGGAACGGAGTTGAATTTTCTGGATTTTCGCTTGAACATTAAAGATATCTTGAGGGGTTTAGATATCATTTTCGAAACAAACAAAAAAAAAAAAAAAAAACTCAATATGTCGTCAATGGCCTCATATCTTTTTTTTTAGTGTTTAAGGATTTGAAATAATTTAGATTATATAGTATGCTTTTTTTGATAGTTGTACCTAAAATTTATTCATTGTTTTATTTATATCATTTTGTATCATCTTAATATTATCTTTGATTTAGTTGTAATAAGGTCAAAAGAAATATTTTTCAACCTCCTCCCACATGAATTTTGAATTAAAAAAAAAAAAGAAAAAGTTCCGTTTTCTCTTTCTCTTCTTCTTCTTCTTCTTTTACTATTCTTTTTTCTTTTTTTGGTTATTTTTGTTTGTTTGAAATATGTTTACTACAAAAACAAACAAAGTACATTCTGTACCTGTTTTTCAATCAAAAACATTACAACAACCATCTACTATACAACATGATCAACCTGATCTTCAACAATTATCTTCATTAATTCAACAAGTATCTAGTCAAATTAATCTCATGTTATCACAACAACAACAACAACAGCAGCAACAACAACCACAACAGAAAAATTCCGAAAATACGAATGGTCGTGATAGATTAGAGGAACAACCTACTTGTACATACCATATGCCCCCTTGTCATGCGTCACATTATCCTTCTTACCCCGTTTGTCGGAATAACAACAATAACAACATGATGACTTGTATGCCACAATATCATTATCCATCCTTATCACATTCTTTATCCTCTTTGGTTTCTTCAGCACATTATCCTCCATTACAACAATCATCCACTTGTTCAAAGGATTTATGGCATCAACGACAACGACAACATCTTCATTGTTGTAATTATGACCCATATATGTCAAATATATTATGCTCTTGTCAACATCAACATTATCATACACCTGGACCGAGCGACTCCATTAACCCGACTATCTCCTCCTCACCGCCTCCTTCAACAAAATCATCCAAAATGACAAATGTGGCAGATAATACTATGACAACGACAACTTTAAGGAATTCATTAGGACAATTCACTACTGGTACAAGAACAACACGTACTAAACGACGATCTCCTACTGACCCTCTTCCACCTGTGCCTGATGTCAACGATGTTTCAAATGGTAATGATATCACGACAGACGATCATGTGGCTCATCATTATCATCCTTCCTCCATTCTTCATACTTGCGCAGATATTAGTCCTCCTCCACCTCCACGCTCTTCTTGTTCATATCCTGCAACAGCTGCAATAACAACGGAGAATTTACCATCACAACAACAACGACTTTCTTGGACAGAAGTTTATCGACAAGAACTATTGGCTAAACAGGATGCATTGATTTCACCTCAACCATCTGCTTTTGATACTTTCCATAGTCCTCCTTCTTCTCCTCAACAACATCTATATTCCCGAAGCAAGAAACATGATTATTCTCATTTGCGCAATTGGTGGCAGCATAACAAACTCAAATGGATACGATTCAAGAAACGAACAATTACTCCTGACAAAGCTTGTGTTTAATTCGATTCCATCTTCTTCTATTCCCCCCCTTTTTTTTTTTCTCCTATTCCACATTCATATTGATGTTATTTTTTTTTAGTCAAATAATAAAAAAATCAATCTTCATCCATGCATAGAATGCTTTTACTTATTATTTTTTTTTATCCTTATTATTTTATCCATTCCGGTCTTATATGATAGAAAATCGTTATGATAGAGTCATCATCATTGAATCGTCGTATTTTTTTTTTTTTTTGTATTATAAAAACTAGAGATGAAACCATCAACACATCTAGTATGATTCAATCATACTTGTCATTTTCGATCATCAAGCAAATCCTTGGTTGATATGAAACCTACAGAACATAGAAAATGTTGCGACACTTAATAAAACTGTGATTGATATAAAAACCTTAAATCCAAGATGCAAAAATGAATGGATTTATAAAAATAAAGAATAAAAATCCTGTGAAAAGTTATCCTAGTCTATACAAGAAAAGAAGAAAAGATTTTAAAAATATTCATTATCGTTCATTGTAAAAATATGTGTTGTTATCATAGATCATTAGCATCAGTTGCAATATAACAGAGAGTCATCATTACAGCCATATATATCATCCGGGAACAAAGATTAAATTGTCAACTTTGGATGACTTCCACTGGATCCATTTTAACGAAACAAAGAATATTTGAGTATAAGAGACATCATGTTTATTCATAAAGTATAAATATAATAAACTCGACTGACATAAAAAAAAAAAAAAGGGAAACCAAGTTGGGAATTTCATTGATACAGGCACGAATACGAGTTGACTGGCATAAATATTTCCAAACAAAAGAGAACGGGAGAATAATCAATTTAAATTTATCATCGTTGTTGACTCCCAAGAATATGTCCATCCTTATCTCGTCGTCGACGTGGATGCTATATGTTCTGAGTGGATTTGACTTGATGGTGAAAAAGAGGTTTACCGCATCCATAGTGGTTGAACTTGATGATGATTGACTGATTCATAGTGTTGAGATCAAAGGAGTGATCAGATGTTGCTTCATTGAGTGTTGATGCGGTCCAGAGCATGTAACAATATAACACCAAACCCAAATGCTTGACACTGATTGGCTGAAATTAGCAATGGGATTCGTAATGCAGTAGTCAATTCTATCTGTGCTGTCATGATCAACAATGTAACCTGTCAAGGTAAAAAGACGCAGTTGAATACGATGAACCAAAGGTATTTGGTGCCGATCTTGAACTGAGACTGGAGGCTTCCAAGAGGTCGAAGAAACTACAGTAGCTATATGATTTTTTTTTTCAAAAAAAAAGGAGTCAAAAGATTAAATCCTACAATACGTACTTTATCATTTCCTTATACCTTGAACGAAGATATTGCCATTTGTTCAAACTACTAGATATAGTCCACTTAGCTTGATATTTTTCACGGTTGCTAACAAGTTATTCCGTATAGATATCTTGAAGTGCTTGCAAATCGTCTAGATCATTATACTGCTTTCATCATGCTTGATTGTTTGTTTGACATACTTCGGTTGAAACTATTCTTCCACCCTTTTCCAAGTAGAACACCAGGTTTATACTCGCGCGGTAAAGTGGCATGCAAGTGCGTAAAGGAACCATATAAGCAAGCTTGTTAACTGAAGGTGTCTATCTTTATTTCATGGAAATAACTGTTGTACATTTTGCGTGGATATGACTGGATAACGAGACTGAATAAACCTTGTTGCTTAGACAACAATCGATCAGTTGGAAAATAAGGGGGTCTTCTTGTTTGAATATACTAATGACATTCTGTCGCATGAGAGGTGGACGAAGCACTACATTGGCCAAATGTTTCAAAAAAAAAAAAAAAAAAAAAGAGTCAGAAATCAAATGCCACAAGACGTATTTTTATCATTCTCATATACCTTGATTGACACTAATGGAATGGAAGACTGGTTTTGATAACATTTCATGAAAAATATTATTAAAGTGAAAGAGAAAGGTTTTATTTTATACATATGAGGGACCGCTTGTCTAAATAGAGAATAGGCGGAATCCGAAAACAAAGACTAAAATAGGTATGATACATAATAATGGATAATGATAAAAAGAAAAAAAAAGAAAAAGAAAAAGAAAAACTAAATCTGAAAGGGGAGAGGATAAATATATCTATTTCTATTCATTTTGATCCAAGTATTCTTCAGGAGATGGACAAGTACACATCAAGTTACGATCACCATAAGCATCATCCACACGAGATACGGTAGGCCAGAATTTGCGTTCACGAAGACCAGGGACAGGGAAAGCAGCGGTTTCTCTAGAGTAAGGATGATCCCATTTATCGGCCATCATGATTTCCAGGGAATGAGGAGCACTCTTAAGCATATTGTCTTTCTTGGGAAGCTTGCCATCAATCACTTGTTGAATTTCCTTCCGGATACCAATCATAGCATCACAGAAACGATCGAGTTCAATCTTAGATTCGGATTCAGTGGGTTCGATCATCAGGGTATTGGTGACAGGCCATGACATGGTAGGGCTGTGGAATCCATAATCTTGAAGACGCTTAGCAACATCAATAGCTTCAATACCGTATTGTCCAAATGGTCGAATATCCACAATAAATTCGTGACCACACATACCATTTTCGTTGGTGAAAAGAATTTCATAATGAGAAGCAAGTCGGCTAGCCATATAATTTGCATTCAATAAAGCCATCTTGGTAGCATGAGTCAATCCTTCACCACCCATCATCTTAATATAAGCCCATGAGATAGGTAAGATAGAAGCAGAACCATAAGGAGCAGCAGAGATAGGTCCAATAGCATTTTGTCCACCAGTTTTGACCAAAGGATGTCCAGGAAGGAAAGGTTGAAGATGCTCTTTACAAGCAATCTAGAAAATAAATAAATAAATAAATAACCCCATTCTATCTCTTTGCCTTTTTCTTTATTCTGTACTTACAGGACCCATACCAGGACCACCACCACCATGAGGAATACAGAAAGTCTTGTGAAGATTCATATGACAAACATCAGCACCGATTTCACCAGGACTAGTCAATCCAATTTGAGCATTTAGATTTGCACCATCCATGTAGACTTTTTTTTTTAAAAAAAAAAAAAAAAAAGAACAATTATAATTAGCATCAATATTTTAAATACATGTTTTCATTATTTACCTTGACCACCAAATTTGTGTACAACTTCACAAGCTTCAGCAACACCAGTTTCAAACATACCAAAAGTAGATGGGTAAGTGATCATGACAGCAGCCAATTTATCCTTGTTCTTTTCAGCTTTTTCCTTCAAATCAGCCATATCGAGATTGCCTTCAGAATCACACTTGACAATAACGACGTTCATACCAGCCATAGCAGCAGAAGCAGGATTGGTACCATGAGCAGAGATAGGTATCAAACAGACGTTACGATGACCTTCACCACGGGATTCATGATAAGCACGGATACAGCGAAGACCAGCGTATTCACCTTGAGCACCAGAATTGGGTTGAAGAGAGACAGCATCAAAACCAGTGATTTCTTCCAAATCCTTTTCCAATTCATCCAACATAATACGGTAACCAGCAGTTTGATCAACAGGAGCAAAAGGATGAATGTTGGCAAATTCAGGCCATGTGACTGGGATCATTTCAGTAGTGGCATTCAATTTCATAGTACAGCTACCGAGAGGAATCATTGAGTGCACAAGGGACAAATCCTTGTTTTGAAGATGGTGAATGTATCGTAACATTTCGGTTTCAGAATGGTGAGAATTGAAGATTGGATGCTGAAGAATGGCAGAAGTACGTTTCAATTGAGATGGGAAGGCATTCAAACCGTTGTTGAGAATAGTAGCGGCATCATCAATGTTGATTGGTTTATCATCCTTGGCAAAGACCGAGATTAAATCAGATACATCTTTCTTGCTGACGGATTCATCCAAAGTCACTGATACAGTTTGAGGGTTGATGGTACGAAGATTGATACCAAGAGCAAGAGCCTTTTCACATACAGTAGCAGCACTTTCAACCTTGATGGACAAAGTATCAAAATAAGCACCATCGTTGGAAATAGTATGTCCAGATCTGCGAACACCTTCGGCCAAAATTTGAGTCAAGTTGTGGATACGTTGAGCAATAGCTTTGATACCCTATTACCAAAAAAAAAAAAAAAAAAAAAAAAAAAGAAGTGTCAATAGCACGAATAAGATATATATTCTTCTCCTTAACTTACCTCAGGACCATGATAAACAGCATACATAGCAGACATGTTGGCTAAAAGGGCTTGAGCGGTACAAATGTTGCTAGTGGCCTTTTCACGACGAATATGTTGTTCACGAGTTTGAAGAGCGAGACGAAAAGCAGGTTTACCATGAGCATCACGAGAAACACCAACAATACGACCAGGAATACGACGTTTATGTTCTTCCTTACAAGCAAAGAAGGCAGCATGAGGACCACCAAAACCAAGAGGAACACCGAAACGTTGACTGTTACCCAAAGCAATATCAGCACCAAATTCACCAGGAGCCTTCAAAAGAGCCAAAGCCATTAAATCAGTAGCAACAGCCACTTGACCACCAGCACCATGAATAGCAGCAGTTAAATTTTCATAATCTTGAACGGTACCGTGAGTATTGGGATACTATAAAAGGAAAATGAAAAAAAAATATTTTAATAATGTGATTGATCCATTCCTTTTCTATTCTCTCACCCCCTTATATTTATTTGTTTATTTTTTCATTATTATTATTTTTATTTTTATTTTTTTTTTTTTTTACCTGAATCAAAGCACCACAGAGTTGTTTCTTATGTTCATCAAAGTTATAGTTGAAAATATCAGTAACAACGACGTTGATTTTGAAAGCTTCAGCACGAGTCTTGAGACAAGCAATAGTTTGAGGATGACAGTTGATATCAACAATAAAAGTATTCTTCTTGCGATTACCAGCTTGCCAAGTCATCAACATAGCTTCAGCAGCAGCAGTACCTTCATCCAAAAGAGAAGCATTGGCAATAGGTAAACCAGTTAAATCACTAACCATAGTTTGATAGTTAAGTAAAGATTCCAAACGACCTTGAGCAATTTCAGGTTGATAAGGAGTATACTATTAAAATATATATATATGAATATTTTTAATTCCTTATTTCTCTATATTATTATAATTATTATTTTTACCTGAGTATACCAAGCAGGATTTTCCATGATATTACGTAAAATCACGTTTGGCACCACAGTATCAGTATAACCAGTACCAATATAAGAACGATAAACCTTGTTCTTGGAAGCAATAGATTTGAGACGTTCCAATAATTCCTTTTCAGTCATACCTTTAGAAACAGCTAAAGCTTTAGAAGACCGAATAGAAGGAGGAATACTTTTGGCCAATAATTCATCCATATTCTTGACGCCTACTTGTTTCAACATGATATCTACTTCTTCACCACCAGAACCAACATGACGACGTGTAAAAGTATCCAAAGGAGTAAAAGCATTAGAATGAGCCAACCGACGACTTGCTAATAATACATTAGGATTCATTGGTTTCTTTGTTCTGAGACCAGCAGATAATACCAAACGAGTGCTTTGAGTCGCCGACACCAAAGGTATGCCACGTACCAAAGTATGCTTAGACCGTTGACCAAGACGTGACAACATATTTATATATATATAAAAGAAAAGTTCTTTTCTAATATAAAGAAGAAAAAGAAAGAAAAAAAGAAAAAAAAAAAAACAAAAAAAAAAATAAAAATAAAAATAAAAAAAAAAAGATTGGAAGATATCACTTTTATTCAATATCTACTTCCACCGAGTCAAAAAAAAAAAATCCACATTAAGACACCGCTCAGTGCGTTGATAGGAAGAGAAGAGCTCCACTGAGTCAAAGGTCACTACCAAATACTGCAGTTTTTTTTTTACTGGTTCCCCTAAATTCATTCCACCGAGTAAATTTTTTTTTTTTAAACAATCCAGGTTGTAACATCATAGTGTCACATTCCATTATGTCTTTTTTTTTCCCTTTCTTTTTTAGATCTTATCAATTATAAAAGACAATACTAGTTGAATAATTCATGATTTTTATTAAATCACTGAGCGTAAATCAGGATCCCCAAATCCAGGAACATCCCCACATCATCAGATCACTTTTTTGATGTTATTGTTTAAAAAAGTTAAAATCCTCTACTTTCATTCTCCGTCTTTTTCTTTATTTTCTTCCTGTAATAGTATCCTTTCAAAGTCTTAAATAACAAATTTTATATCACCATAGTAAACTATTTTTTTTTTTTACTTTTGGAACAACCCCGTAATTCTATTGACATGAAAAAAAAACCAATAAATGATCTATATAAACTATTACTAATACTAACATTAAGCTATTGTAATTTAAGGATTCTTCGGTCTACTTCATCACCAATATAAGTAATAGAATGATTCCAACTTGATACAACTTGTTTGATGGTATCGAGTAAAGAGTTTTGATTCACCTATATATAAAAAAAAGTCAACATCACATCCTTCTCTCTCTCTCTCTTTTTATGTATTTACCTTGTTTTCAAATAGAACTAAACCAATATCTGATGTTGTAATGTCCTTGATCAATTTCTTTTGTAATGCAGGCTTAAAAGCTTCTTTTCCTTGACGGCACTTTATTTGAAGTTGAAGTAATGATTTTTTAGCCACAGCATGATTCATCATCACCTTGTTTGCCTATAATAATTGCCCACCAAAAAAAAAAAAAAAAAAAAAAAAGACATTAGGGATTCATTCCTCCATCTCATCATCATTAGCATTTCACACTTACAACAATATCACCATTTTCATTTTCGGATGCCTTGCGCTTTGCGTCTTTGTTTGTTAATCCAATAGTACGATTCATGATTTCTAATAATACTGATCCATAATTGAATGCCTATGAAAAAATTGAGAATCAATAAAAATAAATGATCAATTACTTGATTCATTTCAACTTTACCTCTAGTATGATGGATATATTGTGGAAACCATTCCAGGAAGCTACTAAATCTTGTTCCGCCAATTGATTGACTAATATAGAATAACAAAAAAAAAAGAAAAGAAAAGAAAAGAAAAGAAAAGAAAAGAAAAGAATAATAGAAATACAATTGAGTATAATAGATCTATAAATAGTCATCATTTATGAGAATCATTCATCCTACCTTGTTCTTCCAATAGAGTCAACGATTTTTGAAGATAATCAGCCGTTTTTTCGGATTCTTTATATCAGAATAAAATAAATAATTGGCATTTAATAGGTCACATCTATTTCTTCTATCGTCATGTCCTTTTTTTTATTATTATTATTATTACCTGTAGAGCGAGTGTTAGGATCCTTCATTAAAACCAAAGCCAAAGAGAGATAGTGTACATAATTCGCCAACCAATATTCTTGAATGGTAACCTACCAAAATAATAATAATAATAATCAATATACCATATCAATTTATAATTCCCTTGTTGATTACCTTTTCCTTCCACTCTTTTTCTTGTAAAAATTCCGTATACTTCTGAACAAGACCAGGAAGATCTTTTGTCTCCTTTGTATCACACGCTGCAACCAAAACTTGCATGATGATAGAAAACAAATGAAGCCAAGTAGACTAAATCAAAGAATAATGAGTGTCAATTTCTTTCTTTTTGGTACATGTGCACTATAATAAAAAGTTTCACTTTTTTTTTTCTTTTTCAACTTACATTGGTCGATATAGCTGGCTTGATCAGTTCTTGAGCAGAGAGTTGACCATTTGGATTACAATTCATCATCACCTTGAAGTCTCTATTGTCTGCCTTGCTTGCTATATATTCATCTATAGAATAAAGAAAGAATAAAAATAAACATCAAGTTCATCATTCTGATCCAATAGTTTTTAGTCCTATACCATCTAATTTCAACATTGGAATATCCAATTCTTGAAAGTGTTGAACTGCATATTTGGATTGAAAGGAGGAGTTCAAAGCATCTACACGTAATAATTCGATTCTAGAAATAGCATGTTGTAACGAATTATCTAATCTTGATCGAAATTCAATGAATTCTTGAATCTAATAATATAAAGTATTTAGTCAATACGCCCATCTACACCATTATATTCTGACACGTACACACACACACACACAAAAAGAAAAAAAAAAGGATGCATTACCTTTGAGAAGGTTCCGAATTTGTAAGCCTGGACCAGCATATCAGGGGTCTATACATTAATAAACAGGTTTAAGGAAATGATAATATGAATAAAATTATCTAAACGGTTAAAATCAAGTATAAACGCATAACTGACCTCTACATCATTGCTTTTGTAAATCATCATTGAATCATAAAGATGAGATTCTAATTCATTGACACAACCAAGGGAAATAAGACGATCAGTAAAGTAATGAAGCATAGTGTCGAATTGAATTTGCTTGATATCCATAGTCTTGTAGATAGCGAAAGCACGAGATGACACACCAAGAACGATATACAATCGAACGAGAGCCAATTTGATTTGAAAATTGTAGATACTTTTTACTAAGGCCATTTCCAATAAAGTAGTAGCTTGGATGAGTAATTCTGGTTTCTTATATTCCAAGTAGAGATCATATAACGTATGGGAAGCCAGAACAACAAAATCATCACCATATTGATATTCGGTCTTTTCAAGTCCTTCGCCTACAAAAAAAAAAAAAAAAAAAAAAAAAAAAAAAAAAAAAAGAAGTTAAGAGATTATTTGAATTTAATTCTCCAATATATTATTTTACCTAAAGGTAGTGCATCCTGATATAATTCCCATAGTTCTGTCACATAAGACAATCCTGATTTCAGATCATCACTCGGAATCAACCCCAAGAATCGCTCCATTTTGTAAATGTTGACTTTTTTGTATACATTTTTTATCTTTCCAGGCTTGTATAAAAAAAAAAAGATATGATTAGTTTTATAAATGGCTTTTTTTTTCCTTATTTCTTATTTATTTTATCTATTTACCTTTTCAGTAGTATCCTTGATAGTTTCCCGTAAGGCAGAGATAAATGATTTGGCTTTATCCTTATCTTGTCGCAAAAAGGTGATATATGTTTGTAGATCTTCAAAACAGCAACTCTTGGAACCAAATCGTTCAAAATAAAGTATAATGTGATCCAATATCAGTTTTTCATCTTGTAAAAAAAAAAGGAAAAAGAAAGAAAGGTTAATTTCCATCAATGTCTATTTCTTTTGTTTCTTACCAATGGATAGATTCTTTTGAATTCTATAATCGAATTCCAACTCTGCTAAAAAGGGACCTCGTTTCAATAAAGAGGATGTGAGTGTGGATTGCTGCAATTCGGCCATTAAGGATCTGGTTTTATCCAAAATAGTGTCATCTTGTTTATTTAGAGATTTTTCTAATAAACCAAAAGTAGCGTCAAAATAAGCAAGCCAATTGATCCAATCATCCGAGTTTTCCTTGAGAGCTTTTTCACTTGATACCAAGACTTGATCCCATTTTTCATTCTTCAGTTCTAATTCAACCTTGATTTGACACACTTCAGGATCACGTAATGCTGTTTCACCAAGAGGAGTATCGAATAACGCCAATGCTTCTTGATACTTATTTTGATCCATCAAGATGAGAAGGAAAAGTCGCATATGTTCCACTTCCACAAGTCGTTTTTCTTCTTGAGCCTTTGTCATCATTCGTTCCGCAAGTATATATGATAATTTATTCCCGTGTTGTCCCTGAATAATATATATATGAGTATCAAACCTTCTCTATATTATGAAGCGATTTTTTTTTTTTTTTTTACCTGAAGAGCTAATGACATAATGGCCCAGAATAAGTACTTGTCCTTTTTGAATACACGTTGCAATTTAACAGCAGCTTGTTGTTGTCCCTTATAGTCATTGTTTCGTACCATAGCCATAAACCATTGTACTCCAAATTCTTCATTCTTAGGTTGAGCATTGAATACATTTTTATATAGATCTACCATACAATGACCTAAAATAACCAATAAAAAAATAAAATAAGACACGTATTCAATCCTTGATATATTACCGTTTACATACTCATTCCAAGTTCTGAATAAGCCATACCAATGGCTCGAAGGGAAGCGTCATCTGTGGGAACGGATTTCTTCACTTGTAAACATAGATCCTTTGCTTCTTCTTCTTTTCCAGTTCGAACTAAGACTATGGCTTTCAAAGCCTGCAATAAGAGAATGAGTGAGTTTATCAAAGTTTCCTTCTTTTTTTTTTTTTTTTTTTTTTTTACCTTGACAAGAGACCAATTAGGTGTTTTTTTCAATAACTTATTAGCATGTTGTAAAGCAAGTTTAAATTGACCATCGTCAATAGCATCTAATAAAAGAAATGTTGTGAGTTTTCCAAGTTTGTATAAAGGTAATATTATATTGTTGTACCATAAAGAGGTCGAAGTTTCCTCTCTGTGACATAGTCAAATGTCATTACTAACAAAGAGTTTGTTTGTGTATTAAGGGAAAGAAAGAAATAAAAATAAAAATAAAAATAAAAATGTTTGTATATCAAATGTAAGACGGAAATTGAAAACAGCCACCAGTTGGGAGGGTCTCGAAAGACCCAAAAATAACATCAGCATAATATGCTCTATATATATTTTGTATATTGAACAAATATATTGAAATTTACAGATATCAAATGATATATTTTATTGTACTAAAACAAAGAGTGAACTAGATTGTGAATACAAAAGAAAGAGGGAGATAGTAAAAAAAAAGAAAAAAAAAGAAAAGATGAAAGGTAGGAAGAGGTGGATATTCGGTAAAATAATAATAAAGAGAAAGCTAAAGCGAAAAAATATAAATCTAATCTACTTCATTGATTTGACAGGAACTAATAATAATAATAAAAAAAAAAAAAAAAGGAAAAGTTTTTAGTTCTTGGGTTGAATCTTGAATTCTTGAGATTGGAAGTCGCAAACAGCGTCAGCATGCTTGTTGGAAGTGGCTTCGATTCTACAAAAAAAAAAAAAAAAAAAAGAAAGGAAAGAGTTAATAATATTAATCTATTGATATGTATATATATTTAAAAATGATTTACCGGTAGAAGTAGGTAGCACTGGGGTCAATATGTTCTTGAGGAATGACGATGTGATCCTTAAGAGTAAAGTAGTTACCAAGATCTTCAACACCTTCCCAGGCATTTTGAACAAGAGTGGATTGACCATTGACAACCTTGTACAAATCAACCTTCTTCAATTCATCAGTTTGGGAAGAAGAATCACGTTTGATCATGATACGAGAATGTTCACCTTCAGTAAAGACTTGATCTTTGGCAGGATATTGAACAGTAAGACCGAAACAACCCTTGGCATGTTTGGGATTGTAGATAGATTCATCATCCAAGTTTTCAGCATATTCAGTCAAACCAGCAGCATTAGTGTGACTAGCAGTAGTAACCTTGAATGTATGAGAAGTTTGTAAACAATCAGGACCATGCATACCATTAACTTGATTGGTAACCCAAACACTAAAATATATAATAGATATATTTAGTATCATAAAACTAATATATATATATAAAAAGTAATTATATATATAATAATTACCGGTAATAGTATTGACCAGCAGCGGTATTGGAAGGAATTTGATCATCAATAGAAGCATCAGTAGTTAAAGGTTGGCTACCCTTCCATACATTTTGAACATATTTAGCAGAACCATCAGAGGCAACAGAGTATAACTAAACAATAATAATAGATATATAAATTGATAAAGTTAATTAAATATCAAATAGAATATATTATTTATATATATTACATCCAAACCAGTAATAGTCTTTTGGTGAGAATCGTTAGGTTGATTGTCTAAGTTTAAATTGATAGATAAAGAGTAAGAAATAATTGGAAATAATTTTTTTTTCTATTCTTAGAGACTTACGAACACTGATATGAGCATTGCTACCAGCAACGAAAACAGCATTACCATCAGGAGTAGGAACAGAAAGACCTATTTATTTAATAAAGGTAAATATATATATCTATTTTATATAATATTTTATAAAATATTTTATAATATTTACCACCACACCATTGCTTCATAGCAGAAGCATATTCATCAGCATTGACAGTAGCAATAGCAGTGAATAAAAGAGCAGAGGCAGTAGCAATAGAAAACTTCATGATATAAAGGAAAGAGGGGTTTGACGTAAGGAGTGGCAACAAAGAGAAAAAAGAAATATATAAAAAGTAGAAAAGGGAAAAAAAAAAAAAGAAAAAGAGAAACAATTGAAAGGACTTTCTTACTAGTCATATCATAATACTAGACCCACCTCGGAGACCGAAATAACAAGCTCAATGTTACACATTGTCCACCAAGTATTAATTAGCGAAGATATTATTAGAACAAGTTTATATATCTCAATAGTTTTTATATATAATGATATCTTTCTAAAACAAATCATACACTTCATTTGTTTAATAACAAGGAAATCAACCCTTTTCTTTTTTTTTTTTTTTGAATAATTGTAAAAATCATGATCCAAATCATAAAATATAATAATAATATAACACTGCATTCAAATTTTCAGTCTAAAGTTGAAACCTTTTTTTTTTCTCTCTCTCTCTCTCTTTGATACACTACTGAACAGATTTGGATTAGACAAAATGATTATCTTACACATGGTTGTTGGTGATGGCAACTCCAAAATTCAATCAAAAGGCGGAACATCAATTCATTTCCTTTTTTGTTTTTTTTTTTTGTTTTTTTTTTTTTTTTTTACAAAGTGGCTTGCGACTGAGTTTTTTTTTTATTGATATAGTCAAGGGGAAAAATAGATGAGAGAGAGAGAGAGAAAGAGAGAGAAGAGAAGGGAAATTCAAACTTATTTTGTGTTTTTGTTTTTCTTTTTTTTTTTTTTTTTTTCTCTTTATATTATATATAATGAAATTGAAACAACTAAAAGTACGACCTAAGAAACTTCTTGAATCTAGTCCATGTATTGTTGAAATGGGTGCTTTATTTGAATGTTGGGCTTCTGCTGGTGTTGACGATAAACGATGTATTACTACTGCTAAATCTTTAACTGATTGTTTAGCCAAACCAGTAAGTATAATATTAAATATATATCAATAATCTAATATTATTATTATTATTATTATAGGTTAAAAAAACGAAAAAACAAAATACCATCAATTATCATTTGGCTCGTTTAAGCAAACAAACTTAGAAAATTATTATGCACAATACTTAGATACACTTTCTATTTTTTTTTCTTCTACATATAGTCTACATATAGTAAAAAATCATTGATTCATTCAAAAAGAAACATAATCACTTATCTTTCCCTTCCTTCATTCTCCTTTTGTATCATACATTTTTCTTTCTTTTTACCCTTCCAAATAAAAATATATATAATTTTTTTTTCTTTTTCAAAAATAGTTTATTTTCAATAGAAATATGAAATAATCCAGTCAAACTCCTTCAACCTATCTCACTGCTTTTGGACAGAGGGCTGATCTCAACCCAAAAAGGTAATACAGCTCAGCGACCATGTTACACCGTGCATGGAAAGTTAGATCTTTTTTCTCTTTATTTTTTTTTTTGTTCTCCCTCTTTTTTTTTCTTTTCCTTTTCCTTTTTTTTTTTCTTTTTTTTTTCTAATTAATTATATCCATTCATTATTTATACAAAAACAATAAAAAAAAATAATATGACTGAAGACCCACCAAGTCCAATACCTTTATTTGATAAAGATACCAATGTCAACCATTCTTCAAAAATATTATTGTCGTCACCTTCTCATTTATCAGTAGAAACGTTTACAGAACAACCTTCAACAACTATGAACTTGTCAACAGATATAAAACCTTCCACTACTACTACATCTCCAGTTTATTCCAATATACCTTATATCTCTAATAATGATACCGTTTTGGAACCACCTTCTTTCAACTTTTTACCTTTTACTCTTGAAAAACAACCACCTGATGATCAATACTATGCACTTTTATCTAATTTATCTGAACAATTTATTTATTGGATCAAAATTGTATCTGGATCAAGAAAACTCTTTTGTACTGATGAATATCCTTTTAGTTTTACTGGTGAAGAAGCCGTGGTAAGTTTCTCAATACCTTCATCTCATCTTTGATTGTTTTGAATCTTATTTTTTATTTTATTGGATTTTTCGGTATTGCCTTTTTTTGGGAATGATGTGGATTTTATAGCATATTATTCGGTCTCTGGTCTCCGAAGGTTACAAAGACAAATTCTATCGCCACATAGCAAGAACTTTGATGAATCTCCAGCCTCCTTTATTTGAACCTCTCCCTTATTCTGAAAGATCTCTCAAGAAGAACACGTTCTATGATACCTCAAAAGAATTTTATACTCTAAATGAATCTACTCTTGGTTTAGGTCGTGATGGTTTGGCTCAAGGTATTTATTATCCATTATCTCGATGTTATACCCCAAGATGTACTGGAAATGATGCCTGTTATTCTCCTTGCTGTCCTCATAGAACCGGTCCAAAAAAACAACAACAACAACAACAAAAAACATCAAATACTTCCTCTTCTTCATCATCATCTTCTTCATTGAAAATACAAAGTGATATTCATCGTGCTATATCTTTGACATCTTCTTTAGCTTCATCTCATGATACGGTACAGAAAAATAGGAAAAAGAAGAAAAAAAAATGAAATGGGAAAGAGGCGCAATTCTGTCACAATATATCTACACAGAAAATTTAACTCATGAACTTTGTTTTTTTTTTTTTCTCTTAAATTCAAACTTAGGCACTTTCCCGAGCTTGGTCAGCAATGATACCAAGAGATATTCTACAAAATACACCAGAAATCGAAGTTAAACGACAAGAAGCTATTCATGAGTTGATATATACCGAAGAAGATTACGTTCGTGATTTGAATCTATTGGATGAAGTAAGAATCTTATTATAAAATAAAATGAAATCGATGGTGATACTAATCGTTTCTAATTACCATTTTTGAAACAAAAGCTATTTGCTAAGCCATTGACGACAGCACAATGTATTGAACCTGAACGACGATCTGATTTTTGTGAAAACGTATTTGGTAACTATTTGGAGTTGATTGAATTACATCGAGGCTTGTACAAAGATCTTCGTGATTATCAAGGTTTATGTCAAGCTCGTGGTGGTTTTATTGGTCGTATTGGGAATATTTTTTTACAACATGTATCTCGATTTGAAGCAATCTATCTAAAATATGGTCCGAATGTAGTGCTTGCTGATTACAATGTCAAGAAAGAAGCTGGTGGGAACATTCTTTTCCAAAACTTTATTCGAGAAAAGGAAAAACAAGCGGAAACAAGAAAGTTACCCTTCCGCCACTTTTTGGTGCTACCAGTAACAAGATTGCAACGTTATTCTCTTCTTTTGGATGCGGTCTACAAGCGAACACCCGATGATCATCCTGACAAAAAAGATTTGTCCACAGTAACTTCTATTCTTCTCAATGTTGTGACACAAATGGATAGACAAGCCGCGGAATCTAAACGCCGATTACGACTCTTACAAGTACACGATCAACTTCAATTCAAACAACCAAGTAACAATAATGGTGTACAATCACAACAATCGTCTTATCAAACAGTAGATGATCTTCAACTTTTGGTACCGGAACGACAATTAATTTATGAAGGCACAGTGACTCGACGATCACAATTAATGGAATCCATTACACTACACTTATTTTTATTCGACCACATGTTAATCATGACCAAGCCAAAACGATCAAATAAGCAATCATCATCCAATGTTTTCTCCAGTAGTCCTCCTCCACCTCTTCCTTCTCATGGCGATATTTCTGGTGGTTTCAGCTTGGCTCCATTATCGATGATCAATCCTTCTACTGATTATTGTAGCTATACCATTTCCAAATCACCGATTCCCCTGAATTTGTTGTACATTCAAGGTTGTGAAGGCTTTGTTTTGGGCGACTATTCTACAACAACAATATCGTCGTCATCGTCATCTGATCATCCTATATCCGAAAGTGGTAACAACGCACCATCATCTCCGTTACCGTCTATGCGTTTCAAATCAAATAACAATGGTGCTTCTCCTACACATCTGACTTTACGCCACTTGGGACGTCATGGAGACGATTATGTCATTTATACTGATTCATCTCAACAACAACTCGCATGGAAAACACATATCATACAAGCCAAAGCCCAATGGGAAAAGAATCATCTAAAAAACCAAGTATTTGAAATACAATGTTTGACAGATCATACTTTTGGGTCCGACTTGTCAGCAGGAAAGGTGATTACTACTGCACCATTTGGTAAGTGCGAAAGGAATAAGAATGAAAATGCATATATACATATATTATAAGTAATGATCTCAATCTCATTTTTCTTTTTTCTTTTTTTTTTTTTTTTGAATGGAATACTAGTGAGCTCTAGTGGCAAACATATGGTAGTACTAAGCACAGCACATGGATTATGGATGGGAAGTATGGATGGAACAATTCCTTATCAACAAATTATGGCTTTACAGAACATCACACAAATCGATGTTATGCAAGACTGTCATATCCTTTTGGTTTTAGCAGGTAAAAAAAAAAAAAAAAAATACATGATTACAAAGGAGATCTGAATACTAACAAAGTCTTTACTTTTTTTTTTTTGTTTTCCTTATAGATAAAACATTGATGGCTTACGCTTTGGAATATCTGGATCCAAGTACCAAGAAAAAAGGTCATATCGCTCAAAAGGTATCACAACATGTACAATTCTTCTCCTGTGGTATATCGGCAGGACGATCATTACTGGTGACAATGAAACGAAAAGGAATGGATAGTCATTTCAAAGCATATGAACCATACTGTGGCGATTTAAGAGATCCAAAGAATCAAAAATTCCTCAACAAGACTGGTTTTTTAGGCAAAGCACAATCATGGTTTCGATTATATAAGGTAAAAAAAAAAAAAATCATGAAATGAAAATAAGGAAATCAAGACTAACTCACTTTATATATATATATATGGGTGGATATAGCCATTTTATATTGGAGCTGAAGCATCTGCGATACAACTTTTGAAAGCAAGATTGGCCATTGTATGTGAACGTGGATTTGAAATCATTGATTTGGATGCTTTACATGATATTCGTAATCTACCAGACACGGTTAATGATCGCGACTTTGATTTTTTGGCGGAGGCTGGTTCGACAATGACAGGAAAACCCTTGGCGATGTTCAAATGTCCTGATGGCTTCCTCTTGTGTTATCAAGGTTTCTTTTTCTTGGTGGATTATAAAGGTAGTTACTATCGAAACCGATATGATAAGATCGAATGGGTTGGACATCCACATGCAGTAGCCTTTTATCATCCTTATATTGTGGCATTCGATTCTCAATTGATTGAAATTCGACACATTGGCACCGTAAGTGTGAACAAGAAAAAAAAAAACTATATCTATTGATATCAAAGATATTCATCTCTTTTTTTTTTTATCATTATTATATAGGGTGAATTGGTTCAAGTATTAGCAGGAACTGATATTCAAAGTTTATGTATGTCTCCTGCTTTACACGGTGTGATGGCTCATCCTTATGATTCTGGTCATCAATACGTCTTTGAGTTAGTACCCAAATCATCTTGATTTAGATCAACAACCATCACCATATATACCTTATACCACTTACTTTTAGTCGACAAATATATATATCTCTTTTTGTATCATCTCCTCTATCGTTACGCTTTTTTTATTTTTTACTTTACCTTCTTATTTAATGTATATATCTATTTATATATCAAATTTCATTTTTAATAAACCATACATTTATATATACCCAAAAAAAAAATCTATATCATGAAAAGGTGTTGCTTCTGAGTCTCAAGGCAGGTTGATACTTATTAAAAATTGGCGAATACTCCTTCGCTCTTTTTTCGCTTCTCTTTCCGAATACCATCACTTTTTTTTTTTCCTAGCCTAAAATTCCTCTTCTTTCTTCTCTTGTCTTCACTTTCCCTTTCTTGGCTCCCATTGAATAACCTGCTATACGGATTTACATTGGTGAACATCATACTCTTTTTTTTTTTTTTTTTTTTTGGTCACAATAACTTTCTGTTTATATATAATCCTTGGTGCCTGGAAAAATTAAATGTCAAAAAGAATAAAGGATACTATGATAAATGAAACAAAGTCGTTATACTAATCCTTTTTTTTTTTTTGTTCCTTTGCGAAGAATCTCTCGTAAAGGTAAAATGAAATGATATTCCTCTGTATTGGTTCTAGTCTTTCTTGTTGATAGTTCGATCTGAGAAAAATAAAAAAAGTTCATTCATTGATCATAGTTTATCCATTATTCACTAATCACGATCCGATCCTTTTTTGGGGGGGTTTATTTATTTGTTTATTTATCTCGTCTTACACATCGTTTTGATCACGCATAATGAAATAACCGGTCCCTATCATCAGAGAGCATGTTTTGTCATTTTTTTGCTTGTCAGGACTAGAGGAATGACTTCAAATACTAACCATATGAAAAGTAAAAAAAAAAAAAAAAAATACAGATCATCATCATCATGACTCTTGTAGAAACGTCAGAGAATTTGTCTCCAAGTTAAAATCAATACATTGGTGATTGAAATAAAGAGTTACATTGGTACATTATTCACTTGCATCCAACATCAACTCATTAAAATGAGCACGGTCCACCGAATTGATGGTCTACATTTTTTTTTAAAAAAAAAAAAAAATGAATGACAATCATCATGATGACTTGCTTCACCATGAATAGAGTAAGGTTGAGAAACATAAATTTTTGAAAGATGAAGCATACGCACAGTAGATTGCATGATGGTCTTGTCTAACACAAGCCCTGTTCCACAAAATGCTCTCAATTCGGACAAACACGAATTGATGGATCTTCTTTATCGAGCGTTTCTTTTGTTCAGGTAATCTCATGCCTATAAAAGAAAATCTTTTTTTTCGGTTCATTTCTATATAAATATAGATATACATTTGGTTCATCTACGCACTTTGCAACCTCGTTGGGCAAAATAAATAGTACGAACAAGTCCTTCTCTCACAATTGCAACTGTAGATATATATATATATTTTGTCATCAATTGCAAAAAAAGAAAAACTAATATACGAAATAAAACGATAATAAATAAATGAAAAGAAATGATCAAAAGTTTTTATAGTTACTTTATTCAGAAGTTGGCATAATTCTTTTATATTTCAAAATGACCAGATAAACAAGATTGAGATAAAACACACCATATTGACATCAAAAGTTTTTTATTTTTTTATTTTCATACTAAAAATATAATTGTACTAATTCATCATAATTCTACATTGACAATCACCTTTTGTTCATCTTGTAACCAAGGAAGCTGATTCTTTGTATACTTGTACGCACGGAAGAGCGCATTGCTTTCATTGGGGAATGCAGGTAATAGTTCAGGGACCGAGTATTTTGTAAAGTATGGATTGATATATTCAAACACCAAAATGCCATCCACAGTTACTTCAAAGATACGACCAAACGCAGCTTCATTGACTAAAACATTACCATTCGGTAATTTCTGTGCCGCTATAAAAAAAAAAAAAAAAAAAAGATGAGCACATTGACGGATGATAATGAGAAGGATGATATATATATTTATATTACTTACAACCCATAAAAGGAGTGAAGAAGAATTCAGGTTGACGATCCTTGTATTGCCAAACGATTTCTTTGGTGTTGCGGTCCACCTCGATCACACGGGAAAAATTCACACTTTCATCAGTTCTAAAGGCACCATTGTCAAATATCAAAATATTACCATTGTCCAATTCAGTAGGATTGTGTTGTTGAGCCACAGTGTTGCGATCCAAATGCCAAATGACTTTGCCTGTAGTTTTTTCAATGATGATCACGGATGATACACTACGTAGACTTGCCAAAATATTGCCATCCTTAAGAGGGTAAACAGTGTTGATCAAAGGCCAATGTTCACGAGGATAATGAGGTTGAAGTGCAAATTCGGTTTTGTCCAGATGTTCAAATGCATGCCATTTCCAAATCACATTATTATTTGCATCCACTTGCTTGATAACATCACTGTATACATGACTGGGCGCTTCTGATCCATGAACACCACCTTGGATTTGTTTTCCTTGTTCTTCTGAGAGAGCTTCCAATGTAGTATACAAGATAGATCCATCATCCAAATGATGCGCGTCATGATGAGCATAGGAATCATAATGTGATCGTACAATTTTGCCTTGAGGGTCCACTTGTAGCATAGCTCCACCACGATACTTTTCCCACATCAAAAATAGATGAGGTGCTGTCGGTAATGCACCATTGAATGCTAAATTTCCATTGGATAAAATACGAGCATGACGTCCAGGTCGATAAGGTAAATGCCATTCACGCACAGTTTCACCATGGTTGTTGATCAAATATACCTCGCCATTAGAACTAAGAGGTGCGAATAAAGTATACCCAGGTTGTACCTTGTCTTGATCTACGGCTGTCAATCCAATATTACGTCTTTTCAAGCTGTTTTGTTCTACTATAGTCATATGGGATATAAAAAAGAGTTAAGCGACAACAAAAAAAAAAAAAAAAGAAATTGCTTTATATACATACATAACAGTCGGTGATTGAAATAGTGGAACTATATGTTTGTTGTACACATTTTGTAACAGAAGCACGCCATCTAATCGTTTTCGTTGTCATTTGAGATATGGATAAGAATAGAATTAAAAAAAAAAAGAGAGAGAGAATATATTAGTATATTTTTTTTATCCCAATTATAGTGTACATTCATTATACACTTTTACACCCGTTCAAACTTACCTAGAATATATATATATATCGACAGCATAAAGGTTTTTTAGGTTGCTCTTTAAAAGATTGGTTGGTGTACGTCCATTCCAGTTCACTTTTATTGCATTCTTGACCAATAATATAACTTTGATATAGATTATCTTTGTTTTAACAGTAGAATGCTATTGTAGTTTTTGATAAGTAATGAAAAAAAAAAAGGAAAAAAGGAAAAAGAAAAGAAATGGTTGAACTACAAAATAAAAAAACCTTTCCCTCAATTTTTTAACCCAGCTTGATTTTTTTATTTTTCTCGTTTTTTTTTTTTTTTTTTTTATTTTTTTATTTTTATTTTTTTATTTTTGTCTGGACGCTTTCTTTTAATTAAACGTCATGACGAAAAAAACCAACTTTACCTTCCAACCAGCACAACGCTTGAAATATAAACCATTGTCTCGACCAACAACAACAACAGATATCCATCCAACTTCCACACCTTCGACCAAACGCCCACGTCTTGCACCACTTCTTCTTGGTGGGGCATTTCTATATGTCACAGCAACTTATGTTAGTATGATTGTCTTCAAAAGCAAACAAGACACTAGTGATCGTAGCCATCCATCCAATACTCCAATCTCAAAAGAAACAACAATAACAACAACACAGCAAGTAACACCTGCTAATTTTGACACCAGTTCTATTTGGGGTCAAGTGGCGACGAGTTATGACAAGGAAATAGGATGGGATGAACGTGTGATGGGGATTGGCTTTTTACGACGCTGGTTAGTTGGACAAGCACAAGGCGATGTCTTGGAAGTCTCGACAGGCACAGGACGTAACTTTGATTATTACAAGCCCAACAAGATCGCCAGTCTCACTGTAACAGATGATCATCCTTCCATGCTTGACCAGGCAAAATCAAAGTTTATTCAACAGTACAAGGATAAATTCCACCACACTTTTACTAGCTTCCAATCTGCCAATGTCGATCGTCCTGAATCATTGGAAAAACAGCGTTATGATACCGTCGTTGATACCTTTGGTCTATGTTCATGTGCTGATCCTGCTGGGGCCCTAGTATCTATGGCTGATGCTTGTAAATCTGAAGAATCAAGGATTTTATTATTGGAACATGGTCGATCACATTATGATTGGTTGAATCGTCTCTTGGATACAAATGTAGATAAACATGTGCAAAAATGGGGTAAAGAAAAAAAAATAATAATGAAAAGTTGAGTAAAGTGATTAATATTAATATCTGTAAAATTTAGGTTGTTGGTGGAATCGAAATATTATGGATTTATTTGAACAAGATCGAGTCAAAGAAAAAGTAGAAATTGTTAGTGTATCAAGATGGCATTTTGGTACGACATGTTATGTGGTAGCGAAACCCAAGAAGAAGAAGAAGAAGGATAATTAAACAACAATAGATAGATGTGATGTGTTTTTTTTATAGATAGTGATTTTGTGTATTATAGTTGTTCAATAAAAACTTAATCTTTTTGTTTTATTTTATTGTTATAATTCTCACAAAAAAGGCAAGTCCGAAGAGACGGCACTGCATCCCAGGAAAAAAAAAAAAAGAAAACCCATCCTTTTTTTTTTTTGTTCCTTTCTTTTTCTTTTTTTTTTTTTTCTTTTTTATTTTATATATATATATATATATATTTGAGAATACAATGATATCCAAGGTCCAAGTAGTGGGTGCTTCCATGTCAACATTTACACGCACCATTCGTATGGCTCTGGAATATGTCAAGGTCCCTTACGAACAAATCTCTGCCTTCCCACACAGTGAAGAAATCAAGCAATACAATGCGTTTGGTAAACTACCGGCATTATTGATTCCTGGAAGACCAAAACCCATGGTAGAAACATTGGTGATGCGTACTTTTATTGATGCGACTTATGGCAATGACAAGACAAGATTGACACCTTTAGACCTGGAATCTCAACTCAATGTCAATTTTTGGATAAGTAGTGTGAGTGATCATGTCTTCAAGAATTTAATCTTTGGTGTAGCCAAACCACGCGAAATGATGGAAAAAAGGAACGAATCGGAAGAGGCTATTCAAGAACGGTTGAGCAAGTCGATGCCCCTGGCTTTACGTACCCTTGCTCACCTCAACGATGAATACATGAACTCAGAAGGTCCTTATCTCTGTGGCGATCAAATAACATGGGCTGATCTTTATTTGTATCCTTGTATGGCCGATATGTTTTCTCTACCTGAAACTCAACAATTCAAGCAAGTGGCTCCCAAGATTTGGATTTGGTATCAACATTTTGAACAATTGGATTTAGCCAAGAATACTTATTCTGGTTCCGTGGCTCAACAACGTGCATCTTTGTAATTTCAGTATTATTATTTTTTTTTTTTTTTACTTTAGTAGTAGATCTATGTATTCTTTTTTTTATTTTATTTTTTTTTATTAATCATGAAGAAATAAATGTGATGATGATATATATATATTATTTTTATTAAAGAATATGGGAAATTATGCTACTGGATGATGTTGATGATGATAATAAAAACAAAGATATATTCTATATTCTATATACTACAGTGGGATGAATAATAAAAAAGAAATGATTGTATCTATATTGTTCATGGCTGATTTATTTCGACCTGTCACGATATTCTGGATCCACAAGTTGAGCATACTTTTCAATAAGAGTCCGTTGATCATCACGTAATATTCTATATAAAAACATATTAGTATCCGTCAGTTTCCTTCTTCTCTTGTTTTACCTTGGTAATTCGACTTTCAGAGTAACCACTTGATCACCACGACCAGTCCCACGCATATGTTGAATCCCTCTACCTCGTAAAGCAATCTTGTCATCAGCTTGAGAGCCTTTTGGAATCTTTAATTCAACATCCCCATCGATCGTAGGTATCCGTATTTTGCCACCCAAAATAGCCTTGTAGAATGGAATCTTGGTATTTAAAAAAATGTCTTGATCTTGTCGACTAAAGATCTTTGATGGTTGGATCTATAAAAAAAAACAAAAAAAAAAAATAGATTAAATAATGAAAAAAAAAAAAAAACTTGAGAGAAATACTTACATTGAGAGACACAAATAAATCGCCATGAGGACCATTACCTTTGAGAGGTGCATCACCTTGACCAACAACACGGATTCTTGCCTTGTTATCCACACCAGGTGGAATCTCGACTTGAACGGCTTTTCGTTCTCGTATTTTCCCAATACCTTGACAAGTACTACATTCACCACCTAGAGGAATGGCAGCACCAGCACCACCACATACCGAACAAGTTGTTTGCATATTGAAACCACCCATTTGGACTGTTTGTACACCACTACCATGACATACTTTACAAGTTTCTTTTTTAATACCTTGTTTCATGCCATTTCCTTTGCAACTCGAACAATTTGTCACTTGTTGAATATGTACTGTTTTCTTGGTTCCCTTGACAGCTTCCATAAATGTAATTGTCAATGGTGTCTAAAATAAATCGATAAACCAAAAAAAAACTGAGTAAATAAAAAAAAAATCATATGTGTATTTTTTTTTTTTTTTTTTTTACCTGTAAGTTTTCACCTGTCATTGTTCGAAATCCTTCACCCATACCAGCTGCTTGTTGATAATGACTTGCTCCACCAAAGAATTGATTAAAGATATCATTTGGATCAAATCCACCAGGGAATCCTTGACTACTTGTTTGACTATAAAATCCACCAGGACCAAATCCTGGACCAGGTCCACCAGCAGTAGAAGGTCCACCTTATATTAACAAGATGAGTTACAAGATAAAATTCATAATTTAATATGTAACTTACCTTCAAAACCATAACCATATTGATCAAATTGAGCGCGTTTTTGTTCATCCGATAACATTTCATAAGCTTCTTGTACTTGAGTAAATTTTTCACGAGCATTTTTTTCTTTGTTGGTATCTGGATGATATTTCTTGGCCAACTAACAACATAAAATAAAATTAAGAATTATGGTCACACACAAACACTTTTTTTATTTTTCAATGTCACATACTGCATAATATGCTTTTTTAATATCATTTTGACTTGCTGATTTAGATATACCAAGGATTTTATAAGGATCTTCCTTTTTCATACCTGCAGAATAGACACCTAATATATATATATATATATAAGATTAGTATCCATTTCAAAAAAAAAAATGTTTCCTTCTTTACCAGAGGCATGAAATGTACGCTAGAATTAAAAAAAAAAAAAATGAATTAGTTAATGTGTTGAGACTTTTTCCTAAAAGTTTTTATTACCTGTTGTTGATATAGACAAAAAGGTGATATTGATTCTAACAATCAAGTAAAATATCTACATTAACGTGTTGGTGTATTTTTAATTAATGTTTTTACTTACTAGGGCGACATATAGATTGTAATGAACGACGAGAAGGTTGTAATAAAAAGTAAATAGTGAATCGAGTCATAACACTGGTGATAGATTTCCTTTTATTTAAATGTAAAATGAAAGAAGAAGAAAAGAAAAAAAAAAAGAAAAAAAAAAAAAAAAAAGAAAAGTAAAAAGGAATTGAAACCCATGATGAAAACTTGATGATCGGACATCTAACCCAATCTCTTCATCTCTTGTCCAATAAACCCATAAGGGAATATCTAAAATCTATATGATTATTTATTTTCTTATATCAACCTAAAATGTTATCATCAATCCATCAAAATATAGAAATTATACTTTTGCATTCCCAATCACATTGAACCTAGAATATCGGTTGTGCTTTGATCGGAGTTGATCTCATATTTTTTTTTTTTATTTTTTTTTCTCTTTTTTTTTTTTTTTTTTCTTTCTCTTTTCCATCTATACCAATACATGTATGTACAAATGATATAAATAACAATGGACAACGTAAATTGTTAAAGTTGCACTTATTACTATAAAGAAAAATAGAGCTGACCAACTTTCTCATTTATTTTATCATAGGAATTTAGAATAGAATGTGACATTGTCTTTTTTTTTTTTTTTTTTTTTTACTTTATAATTGTTTTAATCTATTGAAATAAAAATCTATATTATAAACACCTTTTTTCTTTCTTTATCAAAAGATATTGAATCAACATTGAACAACATTTTCCATATTTCTTTATATTCTCTACAGCGAATAATGATTTTTTTCGCGCACAAAATCCACTCTCATTTGGCTTTCCAAGTTTTGTTTCCGAGCAAAAATGAGCCTCCATGGCGCAATTGGCTAGCGCGTCTGACTGTTAATCAGGAGGTTGGTAGTTCGAGCCTACCTGGGGGCGACTTCTTTTTTGTTTTTGTCATCATTCATATTGTTAAGGTGTTAAGTATTTTTTCGTAATGTTAGGGATTTATTTGTAATCGAGTGGATGATTGATTCGTAAATAAAGTGTTAAGTGATTTTTTGGTTTATGGGTTCAAAATTGAAAAAATAAAACGGATGATTGTAAGTTAATAATGTTTATAGTGAGCACCAGTACTTGATTACGCAAGCACACGTATAAGTAAAGAGATAAAATAAAAAAAATAAAGTAAAGTAAAATAAAGACTTGTTCCAAATTTGGAAAGTAGAAGAAAAATAAAATTGTTCTGAGTTGAAATAGCGAACAAAGTGAGCCAATCAAAAGTGATGATCCACAATACAAATTAAGTTGAGGATGGAGAAGAAGGAGATTTATTCAATAAAATAAGTAAATATGATTAACTGATTAAAAAAAATATAAAGAAGAGGAAGGATATTTATACTAAGAAGAGGTCAACGAAAAAGAAAACGAAAGTCAAAAGCGAAACAAGAATCAATAACGAAATGAGTTTCGAAAACGAAATGAATTTCGAAAACGAAACGAGATTCAAAAATGGAATGAGAATCGGAAATGAAATAGGAGTCGTAAGCGACATGAGTAAAAGAAAAAATTTTTTTTTTCTTTTTTTTTTTTTTTTATTTTTTAATTTTTTTTTTTCTCCAACAAAAGTGTTGGGTGATTATTTGGTTTATAGGTTCAAAATTGAAAAAGTAAAACGGATGATTGAAAGTTAATAATGTTTATAGTGAGCACCAGTACTTGATTACGCAAGCACACGTATAGGAAAAGAAATAAAATAAAAAAGAAAAGTAAAGTAAAAAAAAATAAAGTCTTGTTCCAAATTTGGAAAGTAAAAGTAGAGTAAAATTGTTCTGACTTTAAATATAGAACAAAGTGAGCCAATCAGAAGTGATAATCCACAATACAATCAAGTAGAGATAAAAAGAAAAGATTTATTTAAAAAAATATAATGTTTATTGACTAAAGAAAAAGAAAAATAAAGGAAAAAGTTGGGCTATTTATACTCTTTTTGTCAGATGGACAGAGGATGAAGATTTCCAGAAAAAACATATTTGAAATGAAACTTTGAAAATAAAGAAATATTAGGGATAAAAATATATATGAATAATAAATCACTGAGATAAAAAATAGGTAGAAAAATCGTACCTAAAAAAAATCTTTTTATTGTTTTTTGTCTTTTATAAATTTTTTTTTTTCTTTTCTTTTATTATTATTTTTTTTTTTTATACGACAATCCACGCCCCAGACAAAAATGGTCCCCATTTTATTTTTTTGTCCAGGTATCTCTGCGTTTTACTTTCTTGACAAAGGAATGTTCCATGGCGGAAGGCATTACATCCCCCAACAACCGATGGAGAAAGCGATTACGTTCCTTTACATATTTTTGACGACTGATATTGTCGGTTGGTGGTTCCAGATGGTCATGAATCAGGTTAATTACACGGGGAAATAAGTTCTCATCCTCCTCCCTCACTAATTCTTGTTGTTTCTTCTTTAGTATTCCAAGTTTGTATAGGTAGGATGGCATTTCCAAAAGCAACAATTGTTCGCTGTCTTGTGGTGTCGTTATGAATGGTGTAGTGGGATTAAAGAAGGGTTGGTTATTAATATTCATATCTTTAGTCCATTCAGATTCTTCCTTTGTCTCGTCTGTTTCTTGTTTAGGGTTAAACAGCTGTTGGGAATCGATCACCTCGTTATTAATGGTAGAATGTAAGGTAAAATCGAAGGGATCTAACATGGTAGAAAATTCTTGTGGGACTATATCTTGTGAAATTCCAGAGTCATTATTCCACGAAGGATTTGACGCGAAGATGTCCAAGGTCAATAGGTCTTCAAGGGAAGTACTTCTTCTAGGTGTATTCATAATGATGATTTTATTATTATTTATCTTCCCTTCTCTTTTTTTTTTTTTTTTTTGTTTGTTTGAGGATGCTGATGTAGTTGTAGGTAGATCATTGTGGATCATATTATTTAATATTAATAAAGATGCTAGTGGTGATTGCTGATAATATTAATGACGATGATGATATGCAAGTCTCTCCTTTTTTTTTTTCTTTTCTTTTATTATTTTTTTTTTATAAGACAAAAGTAAAAGATAATATCAAGATGATGATATTAATGATGATTGTTCGTATAGTGAGCACCAGATCTTTTTTATAAAAAAGAACAAAAATAATTTAAGAGGAAAATGAAGATTGATCCAAAATAGGAAATGATTTGTGGAGATTAATGGATGATTAAATTAAGTAAAATAAAAATGATAAAAGTAAAAAGGAATGGATGAGGTGTAAGAGAGGTAATAAGGTTGATGTAGGATGATCGTGGAGCAATTGGTTAGTAATAAGATAGTTTATAGCAAGGTAAACTAGTCGATTGGGTAATCGATGTAAGGAGAAAAAATAATATAAGTAAAATATGATAAAAAAAGAAAAGAATCTTGATTGTAAAAGTTTTAGATGATGATTATCCAAATACTTGAATAAAAAGCTTGATGATTGTTTTGATGAAAAAAATAAAACTTAGGATGATTTGTTCCTTAAGAGTGGCCAATGTGATTTTGGTTAAAAACCTTTTTTTTTTATTGAATAAAAAATATATAAAAATGTTGACGAGAAAAAAGAAAAAGGATTGTTAAAGAAAGGTAACTATTTATATAAAAAAAAAAAGTGCCATCGTAAGATGATTCTTAAAAAAAAGGGGTGAGAAATTGAACAAGAGGGTGAGAAATTGGACAAGAGGGTGAGAAATTGAACAAGAGATTTTTTTTTTTTTTTTTTTTTGTGATTTTGGAAGAGATCCACATTTAGTTATCAAGGATAATCAAATCAGGATCTACAGTAAATGGATGGATGATTGATTAACTTGATAGATGGATATTATTATTAATATAATAATATTGTTATGGATTTATTTGCTTTTGGGTGGATGATTGATTTGTAAATAAAGTAAAAGTTAATATCAAGATGATGATTGTTCGTATAGTGAGCACCAGTTCTTTTGTATAAAAAGAACAAAAGTAAAATAAAAAAATATAAATGTAAACCAAAAAGGAAATGGATGTCTTGATGATTTGATCACAGATGATGATGATTAAATAAATAACTTGAATAAATTGCTTGATGATTGCTTGATAATAATAAAATAAAGATAAAACTTAAGATGATTTGTTACTTAAGATTGGCCAATATAATTTTGGTTAAAAAAAAAAAAAAAAAAACCTTTTTATTGTATAAAAAATATAAAATTTTGACAATGTAAAAAAAAAAAAACTAAAAAAAGGAGGGATATTTATATATATAAAAAGAAAAATAAGGTTGGACATTTCTCAAACAATGGAAAAAAAAATCCAGTGTTTGATAAATGTCAAACGCAGGAAAAAAACCAATGTTGTGATATATGTCAAATTTAAAAAAAAAATATTCATGAAAAGAAGAAGGAAGACGAGAAAAAAAAAAGGATGTCACGTATGGTGTTTGTTATGATCAATGTACTGATGTTGTTGATGATCGATTCGTAGATGTTGTTTTGTAGCGAGTATATTAGTTTTGTTGTGATAATAAATATGGTTATATAATTGGGACGAGGCGTTGTAGATAATCAGAATTTTTTATTAAAAAAAAATTAAATCAAAAGAAGATAAAGATCATTTAAAAAAATAAAAGCCATATCTTTTTAAAAAAAATAAAAAAGAGTCCAACAAAAAAAAAAGGAAATATCTAAACTACCCAAAACCAAAAGGGAATTGATTGTCACAATTGTCAGAAAGAGAGTTGATCTTTCCAAAAAAGGAAGGCTGAGAAATATAACCTACTACAGGACGTATCAAGGATTAGAGATCAGATGCCACTACATGTATCAGGACGCAGCGCTACCTTTCAGAAACGTGGGTACGACACGCAGAATCACATTTCCTTCCAAGTCAATCCCTTCCAGCCAGCTTTCGACGTTGCGTAACCATAATAGAGGATTTTCTTGATCATCACCATGGAAACGATCGGGTTTGTCAATAAAGTGTTTAATGTTGACTGATACGTGTGGTGCTAATACTTGAAGTTAGCTATGCTTCAAGGATTACTAAAACGTAATCACGTGTGTAACTTAATCAATAAAATAAAAGTAATATACAAGGTCCAAGGATCGTTCTTCTTTAGCTTGCGTATGATTATCCTAGTGGTTTCATTTGTGCCTCCAAAGTCCCTTATGATTTTTTTTTGATGAATTTGTTGCGCATTTCGATGTATTTGTGCACTTGTGGCTTGGTTGTAGGTTTATCGAACCTATCATGGACCATTTCCAGAATAATAGGGGTCACTTGATGATAGAGATCTTGACTTTTGTTGTAGGTTTCCATGAACTATGGAAATACCTGTCAAGAACGTGACAGGAGAAATGGTATAATATCAGTAAATAGACAGACAGACAAGACAGAAGTAATTATATATATGCTTACGGGAATATATTAGTTGTTTGATGAGAGTATTGAAAACAATGTAAAAGTAATTGTTGACCAAAGATAACAGATAGTTCCTTTCTTGTTGTAGAAATAAAATAACGTATTTATACCTAAACTAAAAAGGAGAGACTAACTAATGTATCACTGTTGTAATGAAGGAGAAAAAAACAAAAAGAAACAAAGGAGGAGAAAAGTAAATAAATAATTTTTTTTTTTTTTTGGTTGTTTGTTTTCATCTGTACATACATAATATTTCAGGGTCCGTAATTTTTCAAAATAGAATCAATGATGTTCCAGTGTGAAGTCTTTATTTTTTTTTTTTTTTTTTGTAGTCTTAAGCGACTTGACATTCATAACAATGGAATGACTATACTGTTACAATAGTGATATCTTTAATGATTGATTTGTAAGGAGCATTAATTCTAATGAAATAGAACAAAATATATATATAATTTTATTGATGATTTGATACATGTTGCCCAAAAATGGAAATATATTTGAAAGATGAGATCACACTTGTTAATGATCGAAAATAAAAATAATTTGATATACAGTACAATGCTTGATAATTCAAGTGATGATTATCCAAGAGAATAAAATATGAATTGATCTTTTTTTTTAAAAAAAAAAAGGAGACCAAGGTTATTGAAAAGTAATACTGTCATTAATGACATTGAGGTATGTATGTATTATAGATTCACAATATCGACTATTATATTTTATTCTTTGTCAATAATATGGTTTGTCCAAAAAAAAAAAAAAAAAAAGAAACTCAGGGTATAATCAATAATATATTAATAATAACACATCTAATCCTTTTTGATTCTAGAGGGTAAAAATAAGGAAGACACTAAAAGAGAAGCAAGGAGGATATGACCAATAAAATAAACTTGACGATAAGCAACCCAAGATGAAGTAAGAGAAAGTAAATCAAAACCAACACCAGCATAGAAAAGGGTAGATGAACATAAACACCAAGCCAAGATTGTCTTGATCGATGAAGGAGTATTTGACCAGGTAGGGAAGAGGAGAGCTATCCATTTTCGTAAAATGCCTTCTGCCATCACATCCAAGAATTCCATCAAAAATGTCGTAAAGTAACCGTAATGAAATCCATGCCAGATCGCTAAAAATGCCAATGTTCCCATCTGTGAACCTGTCTTGGATCCCATCCATCGTAATCGTTTGAATACATGATATTTGGACCAGTAGTTAGTATTGATATTAAAACTACCAATGATATGTTCAATGGATGTAGCTGTTTCATATTTGATTGGATCCACATTGGCCAAACCTGCAAAAGAATATTGTCCATTAGGTAATTGTCCTTCATATCCAATCCCAAACAGAGCCGTGGCACCTTTATTAAAATAAAACAAGAAATCAATATATCTTTGTACTTGTCCTTTTTTTTTTTTTTTTTTTACCTTCTGTCAAAAGCCATACTCCCAAATATTTTGTAAAAACAAATTTGCCTACTAACCAAAAGATTCCACATCGTCGAAGAAGAGGTAAACCAGCATAATCATCAGTCAAGAGGTAAGTTGTAGGATAGTGAACACCAATGAGTTGTTGTAAGACCAGATAAAAGATACCCCATATGGCACATTTGAATGCATACCGTTGCCGTTGCTTAGATTTGGAGGATGGATGAGGTTCATAAAATTGTAGCCATTCCTGATACAAAGAGAACGAAAACTGAGGACCGACCAAAAACGAAGAAGGGAAAAAACAATAAGCTGCCACTTGAGACAAGGAAGGAAGGGTGGTTAAAGCTGTATTGGCACCAAAGGATAAAGGTCTTGATGTTTGAACTTTTTTATTTTCAGCAGTGATAGCCGTTATATTGGTTTTTATACCACCATCCATGAAATCCATACTAAAGCCCAATAGTCGAAGACAGAGAATACATTGTGTCATTGTCCAAGAGATGTCATAATCATCCGCTGCCATGACATAATATCCACCTAACAGATAAGCCGCATTAAAGATCCATACCCCAGCAACAGCCACAGTACGTTGGTATTGAAAAACAAGACAAAGGAAGTAACTGACGATCAATGTCAAGAGAGAATGATACACAGCCCAACCATTAAAGAAGGTAGACATGGCCAATCCAGACACAAGAACATATGTATTGCGTGTTTCAAAAGCCTTTGTAAATTGTTGTTTGATTTTTTCTTTTTCGTCTTCCTTTGCTTTCCTACTATTTGAGTAAAAGAGTGATTGGTAACATGCCGCCACAGGATACGCCAACAAAATGGTGAGAAGGAGACGCAACGATGATTCTGGTACACCTACTGTTTCTGATAAGATAGCACAAGGATGACGCATGAGTGATAATAATAATAATAATAATAATAATAATAATAATAATAATAATAATAATAAAACTCCAAGATTCTAAAAAAAAAAAGTTAAAGAAGAAGAGGAGGAGAGTAAGGAGAAAAAAGTGTTTTATAGGTCATTAAAAAAAAAAGGTACACCTGCATATATCAAGTTTGCCACTCCGATTGACCAAAGGGATGGTTCGTTATGCCACAGGAGAGAAAGATAACCCCGTTTGGTTTAACTAAGAGCAGTTGTTAAAATCATCATTATCATCATTGGTTTATTATTTGGATATAAATGAAAAAACAAGGGTACATAAAGGGTTTTTGATATAAACTAACTAATATAGGGATGACAGGAGGCTACATGTTCTAATAGTTGAGATTTTCGAATGGTTAAAGTATTATCACATTGTTGGCAGTACCAATACATCTTCACACTATCGGGTATCTTGTTGTCAATATCAAGAGGTAGGGTCGAGCTGCATGATGGTATATCTAGACTATTGTACCACAAATGAGGAGTAATCTGTACACCCTTCCGAATCACTTTATGATGAGTTTTGAATAATCATAATCATAATAATAATATAAAAACAAGGGTGAATAGAATATTTTTTTTTTTGCTTTGTTTTCAATTACCATCTTTCGGATTCCATGATCGAGGAATTCCTTGTTCTGTTTCAGAACGATAATGAGTAAACTATAATAAATAAAAAAAAAAAAAAGAATATCAGTAAATATTATTCATCGAGAGTTTGAACATACCATCTTCATGAATTGAGATGCTTTTCCCATAGTGAGTTCTGCAGAAGTTGAAGTTGTCATAAAAGTTACCAATTTGTCTATCACCAATAATCATATAGAGTATGAGTCTTCTTCCTCCTTTTTTTTTTTTTTTTTTTTATCACGATATCTCCTATTTTCCTTTTCCTTGTCTCCTATTCCTTTTGCATTTTACCTGAAAGGGATTGGACTTTCAATTGGAAGGCGGCTTCTACATCAGGTGTCCAAAACTCTATTTGCTCTGTTTCCAATTCTTGATCATCCAAAATATCTTGTATGGGAATTGGTAAAAATTTTCGTACTGATGGAGTGATCAAAGATGGGATGGATGAACGTACATGATCCTTGTCCATAGTCTATCAAAAGAGAAGTTTATATTTACAATGAATAACTAACTTTTTTTTTTTACTTACCCTATCCGCACCTTCACCTAATTTTTGATTAAATAATCTTTCCCATTCTGTTCGTAATTTGTAAGCCAATCGTAAAACATGTTGAGCCACAGCACTGGTCTTGAACTGAATCACATAAAATGAATCGGCTACGATCACAGAACAGTCTTCATTGGTATCCACTATACAAGAAATAAAAAAAAAATAAGATTGTAAATAAAACTAATGGTCATTGATGATCATTGTTCACTTACACTGTTTTGAGAAAAGCAAAAGAGCTTGTATACCTATGTCATAAAAATAGAGAGAATCGGTAAGAGATAAAAAAAACAGACTTCATTTTAATTTTTTTTTTTTTTTTTTTTTTACCTGGCACACGGATCATGCTCAATAAATAAGGTTTACTTGTTTCTAACAATTGGAGATAACACAAAAGTTGATTCTGGATTCCTTGTTCCACCTCAAGATCGTCTAGAATGATTGATAAATAGCGTGAGTAACAAATAACAGATGATCTCTGTAATAAAATATTACCTTTCCGGGTGTTCTCTTTAGATTCTCGGATCCAATCAGGATGATGTGCCATAGTACTCGTTGGATGAAGAGATAAGAAACCAGCCACTAAAAAAAAAAAAGGTTAGTTCTGTTTTTTTTTTTTCTTGATCAGATGAAGATGGTACTACCTGGTGCATGAAATACAAGTTCATCACTTTTTCTATATGGATTGTGGTCATCGCCTATTGCAAATTGTGGATAGAGGGATGAACAAATAATCAACTTTAATAGTTGAATAGTGTGATCGTCTGACATATTCAAAGTTGCTCGTCGTTCAAGTCGTTTCAAGTTGTTGCCCATAGAGAATTCCAAAGCACGAATATCCACACGATCATCATCATCATTGTCACCTAAAATTTTCTAATTATTAGATATCATAGTTATATATATCATATATATATTACCATTGTAACCTTGGTTCATGGATAAGATCCGTCTTTTCTTTTGAGATCGTTGACCAAATCTTTCTCGTTTCAATTGATCACGCTGTAGGTAGCGAGATTGTCGTGTTTCAGCCTATAAAAAAAAAAAAAAAGAAATCGTTAGTTCAACAATCATTAGATTTCTGATTTCCTACATTATTGTATTCCATATCATCATCACTGTCTTCCTCTTTCTCTGGTTGAAAATCCTTTAATATCTTTTCAAATTGTCCACGAATCTTGGTGATCTAAACAAATAAAAAAAGAATAATACATTGGATAATTAACGATAAAAGGAATAATATCATTTATTATTCTTACTTCATAAAGTCGTTGTTCTTCAATGCCATGTTGTCGACACCATTGTCTAGATGATCGCTAGTAATAATAATAATAATAATAAAAACCAACATGAATGTCAACTCCCCTTGCATTTCATACTTTTTTCTTTTTTTCCTTTTTATTACCTTTCTGTCGTTTTTGATTCCCAACCAAGCTTGCCACACGTTCAATAATGTGAATGGGTCTCCGTGACGGGAGTCAAATGATTTTTGATTCTAAAAGAAAGAAAAGCAGGAATCAGGGATATATTTCTATTTCATTGATCCTTTTGTTACCTTTAAAACTTGTGTATTGGAGGGGTTGTCGACAGAAAGATGAACAAAAGGAGATTGTACACTCATGCACGCCACAAGGGTCAAAATGGGGTTTTCCACACAAAGTACCTGAGAAAATAAAAAAAAAAGGAAGATCAAGTTAGAACAAAGACAATTATTATTTATCATATTACATAGCCAAGTAAAATCATTTTTCCAATAACAGCATCTACAGGAAGATTGGAGAGAGCTGTTCCTAGATTTGTAATAGATTCCATTTCATCTAGTGCACCCAAGTTTTGTAAACATGTCACTGAAGCTTCGATCGCCATTGCTGACGGAGCCTAGAATACAAATCATTTATTTGAAAAAAAAAGTATAGGATGAAAATAATGAGAACATGCATAAAATTGTTGTTTCCCGACATGTCATCCTTTTTTTTTTTTTTTTTTTTTTTTTTTTTTTTTTTTTTTTTTTTACCTCCAAGTAATCAAAATTTCTCGGATCACCCAATTGTAAGGCCTTGATATTCAACACGATAGGTTCCAATGCACCCCTTTGGATTTCAGGTACAGAATAGTCGTTCAGATGTAAATATTCATTTTCAGAGTATAATCTATAGCATTCACCAGGTCCAGTTCTTCCAGCCCGTCCTGCTCGTTGTTTTGCACTTGCTTTAGAAATCCAGAATTCCGATAATTTCTTTCTATTTGTTGTTGCTTCATGACTTGATTCCTTGACTTTACCTAAAACAAAAGAAGAGGTATTATTTAGTTATGGTCGTGAAGAACATGCATATGTAATGTAATATCATCTTTTTTTTTTTTTTTTGTTTTACCAGAATCCACAATGAATCGAATACCATCAATGGTGACACTTGTTTCGGCACTATAAATATATATATATATATAAGTATATTTGCATTATCTCCTTGAAAACGATCACTTACATATTGGAACTAATGATGCACTTTCGTATACCTTGAGGGGGTATATCAAAGATCTTTTCTTGATCATCAACAGCGACAGATGAATGTAATATAAGAATAATCCATTTTCTAAAGGAAAACATAGTGCATTAGCATTGCATCAACATATTTTCATTACCACTTGCCTCGTTTTTTCAGCATAGATTTTGAGTTCTTGTTCTAAAGCCATGATCTATGAATGATGAATCCTTGTTTTAATGCAGTTCCTATTTGTTCTCCATGCGTATTTACCTCGTTGATTCCAGATAAAAAGATCAGAAGATCGCCACGTTCATTCGTAGGAATAGTTTCATCAATATGAGCCATGATGTTCAAATAAGGTGCTAAGCAATAACAATTGAATAAAAATATCATATGATTGTAATGTTAGTATACCCCCTTTTTTTTGTTTTTGTTGCCAGAGGTACCTGCATTCATACGCTCGGATCGACTAGGTATAGATTCCTAATAGTATAGAAAAGAAGAGGATGAATTAGTAGTTAGTCTTATTTACAATATCAAACACTTATACCTTGATAATAGAAGACTGACGTTTTTCATAAGCGGCATCATCAACCAATCTTTTATCTTCATGCCGATGATGATTCCAATAATGAATCTTAACATCATACATTTTACCAGGTACCTAAAAGTAGAGAGAAAAATGTATCAAAAAGTCAAGATATCTATAAACAGAAACATAGATGCAGATTTCTTTTACCTTCAGAGTAGGCGCATCAAAATAGTTGGCAAACAAGTCGGCATTGATGGTAGCACTCATAAGAACAACATAGAGATCTTTTCGAGCTTGAATCAGTCGTTTCAGCAGAGCCAGTAAAAAATCACCTAAACAAAGAAATAAATGAAAATAAAAGATCGTCAATGTGTTTTTTGTCGATAATATTTTTTATACTTTACCCATCATATGGCGTTCATGAACTTCATCTACTACAATCACATCGTACATTGATAACGATTGATCCATAGCGTATTGTCGTAATAAAAGTCCCTAAATTTTATTTTATTAAAAGAGTGTATCTACTATCCTTTTTTGCTCTTTTTCTCTTACTTCAGTGAGGAATAATGTCCTTGTTCTTCGAGTCTTTGTTCCTTCAAATCGTACTTGATACGCGATTTCTGATCCATATTCGTTCATAGTTTCATAACTAAATATAATCATAATCGAGCAATCAGTTACAAAAAAAAAAAAAAAAGAACCATAACACATTACCTGACACGTTTGGCAAGAGAAGAACAAGCAATTCTTCGAGGTTGGGTACATGCGATCTTTTGGAACCCCGCCTTCATCAGAATCTGTGGTACTTTTAGATTAATGGATTAGTCTTTTTTTTTTTGCATGAATATAGAAGTAAATATGTGATGTTACCTTGAGTTGATTTCCCACATCCGGTATCACCAGCAATCAAAAGTAATCGATGTTCTTTCAATGTATGGACAATGGCATTAGCAAATGGTGTAATAGGTAAAGCCTCTCTATTCTATATAGATAAAGTCAATAAATAAGTTTAAAATAAAGGAATAAGGAATATATATATATAATTGTACCTGATCTAGTTTTTTCCGTAATGAAGATTGTTTCTTTTCTTGGAAGTCATAGAATAGTACCAAAGCATGTCGCATCACTTCACTTTGCTGTTGAGGATCCATTTGTTGTTGTTGTTTGGTGGATGATCGATTGGATGGGATTGTTTGCTGTAACTTTTTGTAAAATCCTTGACACCACACACACAATATGTAGCGAAAGAAGAAAATAAGTTTTGCGTTTATTATTATTATTATTATTGTTTTTTTTTTAAAAAAAAAGAAGAAAGCAGAGCTTTACCTTCGAATTCATAATAGATCGGTGACCCGGTAGGAATCCACCAAGATACAAGACCTCGTCGTCGTCTTGAAAAAAAGAGATCGTCTGTTTGTTGATCCCAAGGTTGTTGTCGTTCGTCATTATTGTTGTTGTAAAAACAAAGTCCAGTGATATTTTGCTTGATGTATAATTGCGCCTCTTTGACTGCTTCTGATCGTTTGCCAGCATCATTCATCTGAATAAAAAAAAGATGTAAAAGATTCAATCATGTCAATAATAGAATGTAGATACATTTTGACTTACAATCGTTTTCATATTCCAAGCTGGAGCTAGTTTTGGTGTCACTTTGTAAGATTCTCCAGAAGGTAAATACCGTTCTTCGGATTCATGCTGTTGGTATTGTTGTCGCCTTCGCTTGGACATTGTTATATAAGTAGAAGAAAAAAAAAAAGAAAAGAAAAGAAAATAAAAAAGAAGATCGAGTTTGTATGCCACCATTTGAAATACCGCTCGCTCACTCATTTGTTATATACAATCAGGATATTTAGTTTATTTTACAACGAATGGAAAGGGAAATAACTTTGGAATAAGAACATATACTATATATATATATATATATATATATATAAATGAATGAATGAATAATGTATAATAATAAATGATAATAATAATAAAACTAGTAGTGATAGATGGATGAAAAATAATGAAAATGATGATGATAGTTCTTGATTGGATGGATGATGATTATGATGATCACGATATATTGAATAATAATATTATAAAAAAATATAACACTATACAATATTCTTTTTTGCTTTGGAAGATGATGAAGGTTGTGGTTTTGGTGAGGATGGACGAATAGCTGGAGGCGGAAGAGAGCTTCGCTTACGTTTTTCTTTCTCGGCAATCACACCAGGTGGTTCATGGGTTACCATAACAAGATGTTGTCTTTGTCGATGTTGTTGTTGTAAATGTTGTTTTTGACGTTCAAGATGTGATGTGGTATGTAACGGATCGAGTGATTGTTCAATATTGTTGTTGGATGACATATGTGTCATAGATGTAGTAGTAATACCATTTGCTGAAGAAGTAGATGACGTTGATGATGACGGTGCTGGTGGTGGTGTTGGTGGTGGTGGAGGAGGAGGTAAGACTAAGACATGATGTACGTGATTAGCACCAGGTTCGTCAACATGACATACATCAATGGATTGAACCCAAGGATCAGCAAGTACTTGAGATAAATTAGCGCGTCGTTTGGGTTGAATATGTAACATGGAAGCAATGACAGGTCTGGCTTCACGAGGTAATAATTTTAAAAGTCGGAAGGGTTGTTGTGGTTGAGTACAAAAAGCATGGAAAGAATGATCTGAAGGTCGAGGTAGTCGCCAAGGGAATCGACGAATGGTCATACAGATGAAGATGATAGCACAGGACCATATATCAGCCAAACAGGGATCATAGGAAGATTGAGTATATTGTTCTGGGGCAATATAAGGATCTGAACCAAAAACACCTTTAGATAATGTAATAGAAGGTTGAGATTTATCTTGAGCAAAAGGAGAACGAAACACAGTAGCACAACCAAAATCGATTATCTTGAGCATTCCAAAAGGATCCAACACCAAATTATCCAATTTGAGGTCTCGATGAGCGATACCCATATCATGAATATAAGATAAACCTTGTAAGAGTTGACGCCAACAACATGCAATTTCTTCTCTTGACATCATACCACTCATCACCACATTGAAGAGATCATTTGGGGCATATTCCATGATTTCATAAAAATGAGTATCTTCTTGAATAATATCCAGAGTTTCAATAACATTTGGATGATGTAAAGCGGATCCAATACAAAATTCAGCTGTCACCTTTTTCACATATTCCTTTTCTGATTCATGATATAAACGTTTTCGAAATTGCTTGACAGCGAATGTTTTCTGATCTGATGCACGTCGAATCAATCGTACTGATCCCCCAGCCCCTTTTCCAATATAGCGACCTAAAATTAAAAAAAAAAAAAAAAGAATGAATAAACAAAGAAAGTAATTTTTTTTTTAAAGCTTACCCCAAGTTCCATAACGAGTACCAATATTTTTTCGAAATTGATTTGCAAAAGTAAGATCATCTTTACTATCATCGATAATATCAGATACAAAGAAACGACGAAGATCTGACCAAATAAGAGATAAATCCTTGCGATCTTGACCAATTGTACTAGGTTGTTTTTTGGACTGCGGTGGATGATGATGATGAAAATGTGTTTCATGATAATGTTGATCATATTCTGGCTTTTTAAAGATAAATTGAGTTGGCGTAGAACAAGTCGCAGGACGATGAGGTAATGGAGGACGTGGTTTCATTGGAGTTGTTGAAGTTGTAGGTAAAGTAGGAGTGCCAGGAGTAGAAGATATATTGTTTCCAGTAGTATATAAAGGTGGTGGTAATGGTGATAAAGTTGGAGAGGATGATGAAGAAGAAGAAGTCGGAGAAGGAGGTTTAGAAGTTAAAACAAGTTGAGACTTTGGACGAGGTCTAACAGAACCAGTAGAAGAAGAAGCTTTTTGTAATAATTTTGCTAATTCAGTAACGTCAACAGGATGACTTGTACTATGACGGTTAACTACTTCATGAGTGATTTGAGCAGGAGATAAAGAAGGAGAAGAAGTTAATGACCGTTCTGGAGTAACCAAATCATAACGTTGGCGAACAAGAGGAATCATCCAATAACCAAGAGTCTTCAAATGGAAAGAGAAAATATGTGTGGGAAAAATAACAATGATAATAAGAATAAAAGAAAAAGAAAAAAAAAAAAGAAAAAAAGAAAGAAAGGTAGAATTTTTTTTTTTTAAAATCTGGTAAATTTTTTTCTTTCAGCACTTTCCAAAAAAGGACAGAAAAAATTGATTTTACTGTAACATGAATGGTTCTTTTTTTTTTTGTACTATGATCTATTCTTTTATACAAAGAAATGAGACAAATGAATTTTTTATGAAGATAATAATAATAATAATAATGATTCAAAAAAAAAAAGGTTTTAAGGAGTTTCTTTTCTTCAAAGGGGAATCTTTCTCTAGCTTCACTATATGCAAGGAGAAATCTAATTTATATCATAAAGTGCGCCTTTTTTTTTTATAAAAATATAAAAAAAGAATCTAATATATGATTAATCTTTTTTTTTTTTGTTTCTTTTCTTTTTCTTTTTTCTTCTTTTTACCTTGAGATCATTTTCTAGAATCCAAAAAAAAAAAAAAAAGAAAAGAGAAAATAAGTCCCATACATTGGACTTTTTTTTTATATATATATAATAATCATCATCATTATCATGTTATTTTGTAAATCTTTATCAATAGATCTAGTAGAACCTGTAGTCTATTTACATGGTCCTAAAGATCATCATACTATTAATATTTTACGTGGAGTTATTCGATTACAACTTGCAAGACCAATACATATGGAATCAGTGACGATCCAGTTTGTTGGGATTTCCAAAACACTTTGGCCTGAAGGTAACACTGATATATATATATAATAGAACATACATGTGATCTACCATTTCCTTTTTTTGATCTTTTTTTTTTTTTTTATAAAAGCATCACAACATTGGGATAAACAAATCTTAGTAGATTCTATTATTCCTATTTGTCGTACACCGATGTATCTGAAAAAAGGAACACATGCTTTTCCTTTTGAGATTTTATTGTCCAATGCATTATCAGAATCGATCGAATGTGGTTTAGGTCATGTCCGATATAAATTGATCTGTCAGGTGCATACTCAACCAACATGGACACCCAAACATTGGTCATTATTATTTCATCCTCATCATCAACTACGTGCTAAACAATCAGTCATCCTTGTTCGATTACCACCACAAGATACACCTCGATGTATCACTCAAACTCATCATATTACTACGAATGATCAATTAAATATGGTACTCGAAACTGCTCATTTAACACCTGGTGCATCTTTACCATTATCCTTACATCTTTCCGATCCTAGTATCATACAATCACTTGATAATTTGACCGTTAAATTAATCGAAAGACAAAAATTCCGCGCTCCTTCCAAACAAACCACTCGTATTTTACATCATGAAATCACTCTTCAACAATCATCATCGTCCACTGAAGAATGTAATGAGACTCGTTTTATTTATCAAATTCCAGATTCAAGGTCTCTTCAAGTACATCCAACTACTACCAATCGTATCATCCGTGTACGACACTGGATTCAAGTCTCTTTAACCTTAACCTTGACCAATGGAGAAACAAAAGATTTATGGATGGATACTCCCATTTCTGTTTTATTATCTTCTTTGGATGATTATCATACTTTACCTGTTTATCAACCTACCATCCATCCTCCACCTCCTCCACCTCCACCTCCTCCTCCTTCTAACTCAAAAAAGAAATCTACTTTATTACCTAGTCAAAATAATCATCAAGATAAAAAAAAGAAGAATAAGAAAAAAAAGAGAAAACCAAACACGTGGATTTCCAAGCTTTATGCTCGTCATAAGGAGATGTTTCGTTCACCCTCATCCATCTTCTTTTCGCCACTGTCACCTTCCTCCTCTTCCTCCTCTTCCTCATCATCATCATCATCATCGCCACCACCTCTCTATCAAGAACTCGATAATTATCCTTCCTCTTCTCACTCTCCCATACAAAGATGACAACATATCCCTTCTATTCCCCCTTGTTTTTCTCCTTTTTTTTTTTTTTTTGTATTTCTATCTATCATTATAGTAATAATAATAATAAAAAAGGATATCATGTTTATAGAATAATTTACACTAGTGGTTTATCCTTTCTATTCCAACTAAATCATTTCATCCTTATTAGTGGTAGTTTTCCCCTAAAAAAAATAAAAGATATTCTCACTTCCCCCCTTCTCTATTTGTCTTTTTTTTTTTTTTTTTTTTTTTTTTTTTTAAAAAAAAAAAAAAGAGATACTGGATCATCTCATTGATCTTCTCCCTGATTTCCAGATATAAATCAATAGATAACAGTGATCTACAACAATAAAACTTGTTTGATAAAAAAAAAAAAAGGTTTATTGAAATCAAAATGAATACAAACTATACTAGACTAAAAAAAAAAAAAAAGGTCATCCATCAAAAGAATAAATAAGTAAAAATAAATACAAATGCTGAGACTGATAAAAGGACTTGAGGAGGATAACCTTCGACAGTTAACGGAGAAGTTTGCATAGCATGTGCAGTAGCAGCAGCAGCAGCAGCAGCAGCAGCAGTGGTAGTATTAGTTGTTGTGGGACCAGAAGATATATGATCCTTTGTAGTATGAGCCGCTGTACGTTCCAATGTTTTAATCTGTTGTTGTAATCGTTCCACTAGAGCATGTGCTGAAGCTGCATCATTTCTTTCTTTGATGAGTTGTTGTTCCAGTGTTTTCTCCTTTGCCAACGCTTTGGATAAATCCTGCTGTAATTGTATTTTTTCCTCTTTCCATTGTTGTTGAAGATGAGTTAATTCTGATGTATTAGTTGATGATGATTGGTGATGAGAAGAAGGTTTCGTTGTGGCTGTAGGAGTGGCCATAGTTGTACGTGCTGTCAATAGGGAGATAGATGAAGCTGTAGGATCATATCCTCCTTTGTTGTTAGATGATTTGTTGGCGGCGTCAATAATGGCAGGTAATGTCGATGATAATGTAGGTGAAGATGTGGCACCGTCATCATCATCTTCTTGTTGTTCTTCACTTTTATTCTCTGATGGTTGTTGTTGATATTGTGATGATGTAGGTGTGGGAGGCTATATAAATAAATAAATAGAAAAGAATTCATTATTATAAAGAAATCATTATATTATATATATATATTGACTTACTTCATCTAAAATAAATTCATTTTTTACTACTGGTTGAGGTAATTCAGGTGGTAAAAATACACATTTGACTTTTCTTTGTGACATTTGATCTCTATAATCAGCTTCAATACGACTCCACTACAATTTCCAAATATGTCCAGTTAGATCATGACACACAGTTGATCTTTTTTTTTTATATATATAAATAAAATACTTACTAATTCCACCATATTCCATTCACTCCATTCAGGCTTGACTATGGCAGTTTGCACCAAGAATTTGTCTTTACATTTAAAATCGGGAGCAGGTTCTTCTTTGAAAGGTTGAAAGATTACTATGAATAAAAGATAATAATAAAAATAAATAATGAACAATAAGTCTTACTTTTGTATTCCTTTTTTTTTTTTTATTTATTTTATTTTACCTTGTACTTCTACATGACTTGAAGGTTGAATGATACCACTATTTGGTCGAACACAGTATTGTTTGGGCGCAGTAGTCTTGACTTTGAAAGCAATAGGTTCCACACCCACATTCCGTACATATAAAAATTCCTCAATGGGTTGTGTCAGTGGTCCTATATTACGATAACAATGTGAGTTTTATCTATCTTGTAGTAGTATAACTTTCTTTATATACCTACGTTTAAAAGAAAGATGTGTGGGTGGGTCTAATACTACAGTCATTATCTAAAAAAAAAAAAAAGAAGTGGAGAAAGAGAAAAGAGAAAGAGACGAAAAAAAAAAAAAGAAAACACGTTACTATTTTTTTCTTTTTTCTTTTCCACCTGAAGGTTACACGTTTCCAAATTGGCTCTCTTTCAAATACCGACTATGTAGTGGTTTTGTTAGGTATACATTTTATGAGTTGATTAACAATATATAATAATAATAATAATAATAGTAAAAGATATAGAGAGTAAATAGTTCATGTAAAAGAGATAGTATTTATTATTAAAAAATTATAAAAAAAAATGATAAAAGATAAAGAAAAAAAAATAAGAATGCGCACATACATTCAACAATGAAAAGGTAGCACAACATGTTCTTTAACCTAAAAAGTAGGCAGATAAAACTAAGACAGTAGAAGCCATCATCCATTCAAATTTGATTTGATGATTATTTGCTGAATTTGATTTGGATGAAGTTGAAGCAGAGGCAGAAGGAGATAAAGTAGCAGATGCAGATGCAGATGTAGGTACAACAGTGTTACTCCAAGAAGTACTACATTCAAAGAAATATATATGATTATTTTCATTCCATCTTTTTCTTTTTTTTTTTTCTACTTACGTGACATTGGCACCAGGTACACTACAATCAGCAGCAACAATATTTTCTTGTGTTCCTCTTTCAACATCATTAGGACAAGAACTCCAACAAGATAATTTCGCCTTATTCCACTACAAAAAAAAAAAAAGAAAAAAAAAAAACACCATGAGTTACATTTATGAGTTACATTTGTGCTTTCGGCGTTTCAATCGATATATATATATATAAGAATATGTGCGTGTGTGGAAGGTTCCTATTTTTGACTTACTTGACAGAGACATTGGTAATCTTTTTTTTTTTTTTTTTTGATGATGATGATAAATAAAAATATATATATAAATATAAATCAATTATTCACATATATTGATAGATGTATTGATAGAATAATGACTTACTAGTAGGAGCACAAGTAGCAAGATATTTATCTTGATTTTGTTTACAGAGATCAAAACTATAATCAAAAAAAAGGGAGGATGATTAAGGAATATATCAGTTCATTTTCTTCTTTTTTTTTTTTTTTTTTTTTGTTTTTTTCTATATAACTATGTATGATATATATATATATATATATATAAAAGAAAACTTACACAGCTTGATCAGGACAGGCGGATTGACCAACCACAGATTGGATAGAAGCAGTAAAAGCAAGAAGACTAACAGAAGTCAAAGTAAATTTCATTTCAAGTGAGTAAAAAAATGAGTAAGAGAAAAGAAAGGAGAAAGTTTAAAAAGAGAAAAAAAAAAAAAAAAGAGAGAGAGAGAGAGAGAGAGAAAAAAAAAAAAGGTTGTCATCCCATCAGAGAAATCAAAATAAAGAAGAAATCAAAGAGGAGATTAAAGACCATAAAAGGTAATAGGAGACTGGGAAAAAAAAAAAAGAAGTAGAATGATTGGAGAATAAAAGAATACTGTAGTTTATTGGAATCAAATCAAATCAAATAAATAATAATACAAAACTAATTATCATCTATAAAGCACCTTGTTTCTTTTTAGCAGCCTTCTTTCTACGAGATTCTTCCACAAATTTGCTAATACTTTCAAATGAATCAGCGCTACCCATACGTTCCATCAAACGTTCCATTTCGATTTCATTGGTCTTTAATAATAAATCGCGATCCACACCTCGAACAAGTTCTTTTGTCACTTTCATGGCTTCCACAGAGAATTCACTAGCTTGACCGGCAAGTTTCAATACATGTTCTTGAAATCCTTCTGCAGGGAGAATACGAAGGAATCCACATTCTTCCATTTCTTTAGCTGAGAATCGACGACCCAACAACTACAATCATAAAAAAAAAGAAAAAAAAAGAGAGAAATATTGGAATAATAATAATAATAAAAAAAAGAGTAAGTGTATAACCAATATATCATTATCTCCCCCCCTCTTTCTCTCTCTCTCTCTCTCTCTCTCTCTCTCTCTCTCTTCCCCTCCCTTTTTTTTTGTATTCATCATCATCACTCCTTATCTTTTTTTTTTTTTTTTTTTTTTTTTTTTTTTTTTTTTTGCAACAGTGACTTACCAACATTTCATTTGCCTTGGAACTTCCCATGATTCTTGAAGGAAATAGATAATTTAGTCAAATGTTATTATTTTTCAATCATCTTTTTTTTTTTGTTACCTAGGGAAAAGAACACTTGAACAACCTTCAGCACAGAAACCAAGCTTCATAAAAGGGGTAGCAAAAGTGGCATCAGGTACACTATAAACAACATCACATAATGCAGCTGTAGTTGTACCAAAACCAATACAATGACCTAGATATAAAAGAATAATGAATAAGAATAAAAAAAAAAATTAATCATTATCATCATCAACATATCACTTTTTCTTACCGTTGATAGCACCAATCAAAAGTTTAGGAAATTGAATCATTTCTTTGACCAACGTTCTATAAGCATAAAAAAAGGAAAGAAAGAAAGAGAGAAAATAAAAGTGTTATATAGAATATAGAAACACGTAATATATATATTTACTTTGTAGTAAGATGACGTTGAGCAAACTTTTCAGCAAGATCTTCTTCTTCAGGATCAGGTAAAGTTAATTCTTGACCAGAAGTATAATATTTGCCACGACCAGTTAATACACATACCTTGACACTTTCTTCATTTGCAGCCCATTGTATAGCAACCAACCAATCCTAGTTATCATAAAATACAATTTTTTTTTAAAAAAAAAAAAAGAGAAAGAAAGAATGAAATATACTTACCTTATAGGCTTGAGGGGTTAAAGAATTATATCTGTTGGGTCGATTGAAAGCAAGTTCAGCAACACCATTGGGAAATACAGTAATATCGATAGTTTCTAACGTGGGTTTATTGGACATGATATTATTGATAATATAAAAGTGAAATGAATTGAAAGAAAGAAATGGAAATAATAAAAAGAAAACATTTTTTTTTTTTCAAGCACCCCAGATTTTTTTTTTTTTTTTTTTTTACTGTAAAGCTTTGTCACCATTTTTCCCCTCATTCACATGTGATGCTAATGGACACTCTCCATCATTCATACTCCGTCTTTACTTATTAGCTGTGATCAATGAGATATGAATTCTATTATGCTATTGTATGTCATATAGTGATTGGATGATTGATTTGATTTAATAGAATAATCATGATTATTTGATAGTTTCAATGTGATTGGAGAAAAAAGAAAAAAAAATATGAAAGAGACTTTCCTTTTGTTTTTCTTTCTTAAATCATTTGCTTTTTCTGTCTGCTGCCTTGTTGGTATCTTCTTCTTTTCGTTCACCTGTCATACGTGACAGAATACTGATTCTTATTTCCACGTTTTCCTCGCTATCCTTGTTCTTGTCCCTCTGGTTGTTTGTCCTTGCGTCTCTCTGACCTCGTTTCTTTTTTGGATTCTTTTTTTTCTAATATATGATATTTATTCTGTCCCTTTTGCGTCGTGCACATCCCGGATGGGTTGATGCGTGGCAACCATGCCTTAGAGTCGGAGGATTTTTTTTTTTGGTAAGTGCACATATACCATTTTTCCATTTCTTCTTTTTAACTATCGAAATGGGGAGCGAAATACGAAGATCCCATAAAATCGTTTTTATCTTTTTTTTTTTTTTTTTTTTTTTTTTTTTTTTCAAATATCAATCAATATTTATACGAGAATTAATTGGTTCCTGATGACAAATATGTATTCCACCACATAAAACTCAGGTTCCGTATGAATATATTTTTTCAACCATTGATTTTCTTTCTTTCTTTATTGATTAGATGATATATATATAGGGGATAATAATAATAATAATAATAATAATAATAATAATAATAATAATAATAATAATAATAATAATAATAATAATAATAATAAGAATAAAAACTATGCTATTGCTGTATGGAGGATCAAATAATAATAACAATAATAAGATTCTATACTACATTATCCACACCACCACCACCCAAGAGTTTAGAACTTGCATGACTTTGTTGTTTGACAGCAGCAATCACTAGAAAATGAAGAAATAAATAAAAAAGAGATCAAACAAAATCCATCTAGAGTGAATGCTTCCTCTTTACACTTACAGTAACAAAAAGATGTCAAGAGTAAAATCACTGCTGGTAAATTGAGAAGTCCTGTATTGATCGTATTAGCCAAAAACATGACGATCGCCATCACAAGATATAAGCCCGCACGCAAATATGAATTTTCAAAGCTCGAGACAAACGAATCACTATATTTTATAATATATATATATAAAAAAAGAATAAGTCATTGAATAATACTATATCTTATTAGTAAAGGGAACTTACAATCGAGGACTGGTAGGACAGAACTTCATCATATTAAAAAAAAAAAATTAGACATATATGGAGTTAATATATAGCGCGTTTGTTCCTTGTCTCCTCACATCCATCTATTCATTGATTTTTTCTTTTCTTTTATTCCTTACCTTGATACATAATGGTATTTCAACAAATACCAATACAAAAGCGAAAATCCAACCAAGAATTGAAAACGGAATATTGCCAAGAAAGGTAATAGCACCCAATATCACCAAGACTAACAACAACATTAATAATAATAGTAATATATATATATGTATAAAATTATAATAGTTTGAGTTCATCGTTATTTGTTTGATACCCTTCATTCATTGTAGACTATTCATTCATCTTTTTTCTTCGCGTTTTTACTTACGTATAATAGATACAACACCTCCCCTATTTAATAGTTAAAATAATAATAAAAAAAAAAAGATGGGTCCAGTCAGTAACTCAAAAGAAATAAAAAATAAAAAAAAGAGATAATGTTTTACCATTGTGCATAAAGAGTAAAGTTTCTTGACTTGAATTCTTCCAAGACACTCATGTTTGTAATAATAAAGTAAAGAACAAAAAGAAAGAAAGAAAAAAAAAAAAAGAAAAAAAAAGAAACAAATCTCCACCAAAAAGACAAAGCGGAGTACCCACACGTGACTCAGTGGCATCAAGGGAAGCCAAGACTTCGCTATGCGCATTTTTCTATTTTTATTAGAAACCAAGACTTTCCAATCATGTAAAAATGAATGAATGAATATATATGTATATATATATATTTTCTATTTTTTTTATTAAAGCAAGTTGTAAAGAATGCATAAAACCAATAAAAATGATCATATATATATAAATAATAAATAAGAATAATATTAATAGAAAAATCATTCGTTCTAACTAATATTATTACTATTACTGTTACTATTATTTGGTACTATTGGACCTGTTTTCACTACATTAGAGATAACTTGATGTTGATCATAATTAGGACGAAAAACATGATTTTTCAATGACCTTCGACCACAAAGACGAGCTTGTCCTTTCTATAATATAGATATAAAATCAATGAGCAATCATCCATCCTTTTTTTTTTTTTTTTTGAACTTTACCTCGATTTGTTCTACAGCTTCCACATAAAAACTAACCCCGTCATGATTTCCACCCCATTGTCTTGATTTAATACGATGTTGGACTGTACTTGTATACTGTTGTAGTTTAGGTAATACACGTAAAGTCACCTTGATATCATGTCCAGGTAAAGTATCATCTCGTTGGTGTAAATAAGTCTTGGGTGACATTGCTTTGCGTCGGGATGCTGCACGAATGGATTCGACGGTTTTGCCTGCCACTGCCAATAAGAATGGATCATTGGATTCCAGTTCAGGATCATGATAATGTGGTGTATATTTGCCCGAATGGATAGCCACTATCAAATAATAATAATAATAACAATAATAATATTCAATGATTATGGTTATCCCGAATTCATGTTTTAACTTACTAGTCACAATATCAGAATCATCCGTATAAATACCAGTTCCCCAAATAGCTCGTTTCTTCACCTTTGGATTTTGATACGTCAGATATCTTGAGGGTATACGTACTTGAACAATCCCATTCAAATGTTCTTGTAAGTTGGGTAATAACATGGATGGATGATAGACGTAGAATCCTAAACATGAATACATAAAAGGATATATATATAAGCAATTCATCATTTTCTTTCACTTATTTCTTACCTAAACAAGTTTCCTCTTTTCCCTTGACAGCTTGCCACACTCGGTCATTGTTCACCACTACTTGAGGAATTTTTGTTATTGGTGGCTGATATGGATGGTATGGATGATGCTGATATGGATGGCGTTGATGGTGTTGTTGTTGTTGTTGTTGATGACGATGATGAAGATGATGATGTTGAAGATTTATGGAAGGTGAAGACGCTACTCTATAGATATCATGGTGATCCAAGCGATGAGATGAGGGCATAGGTGGTATGTGTGTCTGATTTGTTGGTAATGTCGTAGTTCCAGATACTCCAGATGATGCATTGACTACTACTGCTGTGGCGGCTCTCATCATCCCTTCCATTTGATCTTGATCTGTCCTTGTAGATTTTGTTCCTCCCTCCTGCTTGAGTTGCAGCTGTTGAGTTCGTCCCAATTGAATGGCTTGATCTAACATATTTGATATTGCCGGTGGAGGTTGAGATGGATGTTTCGAGCTTGATGATCGGTCGTCTAATGAATGATCGTCATCATTTGTAATCCCATGATTAGTTCCTTGTTGTCTTTGTTGTTGCTGTGATGATGTTGGTATTGTTGAAGATGATGTTGTTGTTGGTGCTGATGTGCCAGTATTAACATTAGTACTATTATTGTTATTGTTGTTATTATTCAATAAATGACTGATATTTGCTGTGATTGCTGCCAAATTCCCAATAGCTGCCGCGGCTGCCGTTGTGTTTGTACCGTGCTGTTGACTTCTTGCCACTGCTGCCAACGCACTACCTAATATTTCTGTAGGTGATACATCCGATACATCGTCTTTCCTTTGTTGAGAGAGATCTTGTTTGCTGCTTCCACTTAATCGTTGAAATGTCGATCCAATTCCAGGTAATGATGATGATGATGATGATGGTGATGATGAATCCAACCCACTTGGCGCCCCAGTAGTAGTAGATGCTGATGAATTTGGTGAGGTAACATCATGCTTTTCTGTTACTCTATTGGCATCCACTATTTCAGATACATTTGATGAAGTAGATTCCATTGGAATTGATGTAGTGAGTGCTCGTATCAGTTGTTCATTGGTGATGGATTGACCCTGTGATGGTATATGTGGGCTTTCAGAAGATGTTGGCCTTTCCCGAGGAGTAGGATGCATCATAGAAACAACGGTTGGATGACTAGAACTTCTTTGATGATGATGATGGTGATGTTGTTGTTGTTGTTGTGTTGATAATAATGGTGAGGATTTATTGGATTCTTCGTAATGATTTTGTATTGATGATGTAAGACGTTGCTGTTGTTGTTGATTCATGTCATTGGCGGGCGGTAAACTTTGACCACGTAAAGTCGATGAATAAGGTAATGATTTTGTAGATGATGGTGAAGTAGCTGATGGTGATAATGACGAGGCTATATTGTTCTTGCTTTGAATAGAACGATCATGATATCCTTTCCCAGTTTCGGTAAGAATGGCAGACATGGACATCCGCATACCAGAAGATTCATAACTGGAGTATACTGGTTTATTGGTCAATTCATCTAATATAGGATGTAACGCAAAAGGTGATGTCGATGTGGACGATGATGTTGTTGGGGTATTGCTTGATGGATTATCTATATTTAATAATAAATAGTATTTCATGAGAAAACTAAGATCTTTTTTTTCATTGGTCAGAATTCTACATTACATACCATGTTGATTTCTAGACGCCGTCCCTGCTATTTTTGGAAAAAAAAGTTGTGAAAGACAAAAAGAAAAAAAGTTAAGAGAGATACTTTTAGGTCTAGTTAAAAGTTAAAAAATATAAATAAAACTATAGCTTACAAGAGGAGTCAGTCCTTGATACCGTAGATCTATCAGCATGTGAAGTTTGATGACGTTCATTATCGTTACTGCCAGTAGTGGGTTCCTGTGAGAGAGTATCTTCAGTATTCGTGTTGTTGAGTTTGAAGCGCTTGGTAGATGAGGTTGAAGTATCAGTATTTGGCTGTAAATGTTCCTTGTCATATTGACGTTTCATTGCCCCATCATTGTCATTCATCTCTTTTTTTCCTTTTTTCTTTTTCTTTCAATGTTTGAGTCAAAAAGATAGAAATAGTCAATAAGAAAAGATAAAAGAAAAGGAAAGAAAGGAAAGAAAAATGAGGACAGATATTGGAAAGAAATTGTGACTTTACGTTTTCAAATGCAGCTTGGAAGAGTGGCTTACTACTTTTTGGAAAAAACCGTCGTCTTTTTTCCCTTTTTTTTCCTTTTTTTTTTTTTTTTTTTTTTTTAACTTTCTTTCTTACAACTATTCTTCTTCTTCTTCGTTTTACCTTTTTTTTCATTTTATTGATCCAGCAAGTTCACTATGCAATCTGACGAAGTGATATGGCAGGTTATTAATCAACAGTTTTGTTCTTATAAAGTCAAGTAAGTACGATAGATCACCAGCCTTTTATATGTTACTAATCTATCTACTTTTTCTGATCCGCTATAGGACTCAAATGCAAACCTTTTGTCGTAATGAATACAATGTGACAGGTCTTTGTAATCGTCAATCGTGTCCTTTAGCAAATAGTCGTTATGCTACGATTAGAGAAGACAAAGGTAAAAAAAAAAAAAAAGAAAAACTAAGAAGAAGAGTATATAGTAGAAGGAAGAGTATTCACCTTTTTTTTTGTATTTTAGGTATCATTTATTTATATATGAAAACACCTGAACGTGCTCACTCTCCAGCCAAAATGTGGGAACGTAAAAAATTATCAAAGAACTACGCAGAAGCTTTGGCACAAATCGATAAAGAACTTTTATATTGGCCCAACTTTTTACAACATAAATGCAAGCAAAGATTGACCAAGATTACACAATATCTTATTCGTATGCGTAAATTGAAATTGAAGGAAGGGTAAGCGAAAAAGAAAAAAAATTGAGTGAATGAGAAAACTAACAGTTATTATTTTTTTTTTTATATCAATAGTGATGCACCTCAACTGATTGGTATTAAGAAAAAGGTAGAACGTCGTGAAGCAAATAGGGAACGAAAAGCGGAAGCGGCAGCTCGACTTGAAAAATCCATTGAAAAAGAATTGATCGAACGTTTGAAAAACAAGGCTTATGGTGATGCTCCTCTTAATGTCAATCAAGAAATCTGGCAAAAGATTTTGGATCAAGATTTGGAAGGTGCCGAGGATGAAGAAAGTGAAGAAGAAGCTGAAGAAGACATTGATGAAAATGATCGCTTGGCTGAATTAGAGGTAAATAATAATAATAATAATAATAAAAAGAGACGGGGAAAGTAAGGATTGACTTTATTTTTATATAGAATGAAGAAGAAGGTGATGAAGATGATGTTGAATTTGTATCTGACTTTGAAGAGTCAGATATGGAAGACATGGAAGATGGATTTGAATATGAAGAAGAAGGACAACAAACTGATACGTTATTGGAAGAAGAACAAGAAAGCGATGAAGAGGATCATACACCAAGAAAGAAACGTAAGGCAACAAGCAACAAAAAGTTCGGCAAACGATCAAGGAAGGGTGCTCATGTGGAAGTGGAATACGAACATGAAGATGAAGGCGCTTTACAATTGTAGGATACCTTATTATACACACATATTATTTACAATAGAATCCCCCCATTTACACTTTTTCATATTTGTTTTATTTGCCTGTTTTATCATTTTTTCCCTTACACCACCATTACTTGTTTACTTTTTTTTTTCTTTTGAACTCTCATTGTATCACTTTTCATCATTCAAGAATAAAAAAAAAACATCTCAGACTTTTACATATTGATCTTATATTGTCTCATGTCAGCTGTATACATGTTGTGCATGTGTTTGTGTGATCAAAAAGAAAAGAGGGATTTTGGAAATGTCGCAATCAAACACTTTTATTGTAACTGCATTAATAGAAACCAGTACGTTTTTTTCTTTTTTGATGATTATCCCCCCGCCAGCTCTTCCTGATTAGGAAGGTCGTAACTTGGGAATGTCTTAACCCCTCTACTGGGTAAAGTCTGAGTCATTTTTATTTATCTCTCTCACCTACTTTTTTTTTTTCTTTCTCTCTCTCTCTCTTTGGTTTTATATAAAAGGTCAAGGAAGTTGACCTTCTTCCTTCTTTTTTTTTTTTTTATTTCCTCATTTCTTTTCCTTTGTACATATACTTACTTCTTTACAACAATGGAAACTGCTGCTACCACTGGTACTACTACTGCTACTGCTGCTACTACTACTGCTGCCACTTCTTTGCCTTCTCCTACTCAACTTGTTAAAGATACAAGATCGACTTTTCGAGAACAACTCAATGATCTTGCTTTTGGAGCTGTAAGTCAGCAAGGTATATATATTTTTTTTTAATATTATTCTTCTGTTATTTAGATAGCAGGTATGGTTGGTAAACTGATTGAATATCCTTTTGACACTATCAAGGTACGACTACAAACACAACCTCTGGATCGTCCTTATTATTCTGGACCTACAGCATGTTTCTTTTCCATGTTGAAAAACGAAGGAGCTACTAGCTTTTACAAGGTAATACTTTCAGAACAATCATGATTGAAATTTCTTTTTATATTTAGTAAAACTCTATTTCCATATCTTTTTTTTTTTTTTTTATTATGACAACCAATCAGGGTATGGCTTCACCATTAGTAGGTGCAATAGTGGAAAATGCAGCACTATTTGTTGGTTATCGACAAATCCAAAAGATGATCCGACATTATACAATGATAGACAAGGAGAATAATAGCCTTATGGAGTTTGAAGTAGTACCATTGTCCCAAAGTCAATTAGTATTAGCTGGTGCATTGTCTGGTACTCTAGCTTCCATAGTTTTGACTCCTGTTGAATTGATCAAATGCAAACTTCAAGTACAACTAGGTAATGGCAACTATAATCGACGATATACTGGTCCTCTAGATATTATTCGACATACAATCCATCAACATGGTATGACAGGATTTTATCGTGGGTTTTTGGCAACTTGTATCCGAGAAACTGGTGGTGGTGCTTGTTGGTTTGGATTTTATGAATATACTTGTGATCGATTCATTCAATTACGACGACAAGCTAGCGGAAATCAACAAATCACCAAGGCTGATTTATCCCCTTATGAACTTATGCTTGGAGGTGCTTTTGGTGGTGTGGCATATAATATTTCATTCTTCCCTGTGGATGTAGTCAAGTCTCATATGCAAGTGGATGAAGAACAATTACGGATAGGGAAAACAAGTCGATCCTTTATGCAAACTACAAGAGAGCTTTACAACGCTGGCGGAATCAAGGCTTTCTATCGAGGATGTGGTATTACTGCTGCTAGAAGTGCACCTACAAGTGCCATCATCTTTATGACTTATGTAAGAGATATATGAATGAAAGATTATAGCGGATCATGAAATGTTAAACTTATGCAACCCCTGTTTTTTTTTTCTTTTCTTTGTTTTATATATAGGAATTACTTTCTGGTCACTTTTCCTAATCACAACCATCACCATCTATTAATTCAATCATTTATATTACCATCATTCTTATTATTATCCTTATTATTAGTATTACCATGATCAAATCCCCTCCTTCTTTGTACATCTTTCTTATAATATCATTTTAGATTTACTTGTATTATTTCATTTTGTATTAAAAAAATTCCCAGTTCTTGTCTTCTCTCAATAAAGAAAAAAAAAAGTAATCATTTTTACAAAAGCCATCTCAAGTAAAATGATCAGCCCACTTACTACACCCATGTCATTTTTATTCCAAAAGCAAATGCCATAACCATCTATTACCTGAGTTCAAAATAAGCAGTGATGAGGGTCATGCGTCCAAAAAAAGTTTAGAACATCTGATTCGAAGAAAAACAGTAAGAAAAAAAAAAAGTCAGCCCATTTCAATCTTTTTTTTTATTTTTCTTTTATTTTTTTGTTTCTTTTTTTTGTTTCTTTTCCTCTTCTTTCTTTACTTATTTTCTCGGCTTACATTCTATTCTGTTTGTTTCTTTTCTTATTTTATTGTTATTCCCAACGATAGTATAATGAAGCCACCTCAAGGATTATCTCATATTGTATGCCATGCTGGTAATCGCGAAGATTATGAAAAAACGCGTGAATTTTATCTTGCTATTGGATTCAAACATATCTTGAAAGAACGCCATGAATCTGATGCTGTCACTTGGTTGGTTCTTACTGCTGCTCCTGACGCCTTCTCAACTGATATTACTGTTCAATTGATCTTGAGTACTGGTGTTATTCCTCAGGATTTGACTACTGACCAACCAAAAGACACCGATGAATGGAAAATGGAAGGTGTTGCTTTGGTTTTAACTATTAAACAACTTGATGTAAGTATAGAAAATAAAATAAAAAACTTATTCTGAAAGGAATTATTCTTATTTCTCTTTATATATAGTCTATGAAAACTCAATTACAAGCCATTGGTGCTCGATATAAAGATAAATCCTCTATTGATGGAAAAACTTTGGAACTTCATGTATTGGATCCTTTAAACAATGGTATTATATTTGCTAATCGACCTGCTTTTCCCAATCTCTTGGATGCTTCTACTTTATCTTCTCAACATTTTCCTCAATCTTCTCGTAAGGATGGAACTCCGAAACGTATTGGTGTCTTAACTTCAGGTGGTGATGCTCCTGGTATGAATCCTGCTGTACGTGCTGTTGTACGTTATAGTATATCTAAAGGATGTGAAGTCTTTGGTATTTATGAAGGTTATCAAGGTAAAATTTTTTGATCTCATACTTTTTTTTTTTTTTTTTTTTTTTTTTTGTTGGGGGTTTGTTCTGGGATTCAAAAAATAATCTAATGGGTTAATCTTCTTTTTCTTTTTTTCATATAGGTCTAGTTGATGGTGGCAAGTTTATTCGAAAAATGGATTGGAAGAGTGTTCGTGGTTGGCTTGCTGTGGTAAATATATAAAAAAAAAATAAAAGATTAGACTATTTATTATTTAATGAATGCATTAATAAATATTTTTTTTATCTAATTTTGATCTAGGGTGGTACAAGTATTGGTACAGCTCGTTGCATGTCATTCAAGACACGAGAAGGTCGATTGAAAGCAGCAAGCAATTTGATCAAGAATGGTATTGACTCTCTTGTTGTATGTGGTGGTGATGGTTCATTGACTGGTGCTGATGTCTTTAGATCAGAATGGAGTGGACTGGTGGATGAATTACTTGCTACTGATCGTATCACCAAGGAAGAAGCATCAGAATATAATCATTTGACAATTGTTGGTTTGGTGGGATCAATCGATAATGATATGTCAAGTACAGATATTACTATTGGTGCAGTCACATCTCTTCATCGTATTTGTGAAAGTGTAGATTCTATTGGAACAACAGCTTCTTCTCATTCTCGTGCTTTTGTAGTTGAAGTGATGGGACGACATTGTGGTTGGTTGGCTTTGATGGCTGGTATTGCAACTGGGGCCGATTTTGTATTTATTCCTGAACGACCTCCTCCTGATGATTGGGAAACAACTATTTGCAATGTGGCTCACCGTCATCGAGAATTGGGCAAGCGAAAAACTGTTATCATTGTGGCTGAAGGTGCTATCGATACTTCTCTCAATCCTATCAAGGCAGACAAGATCAAGGACATTTTAACTGAACGTTTAGGCTTAGATACACGTGTGACGACTTTGGGACATACACAACGGGGTGGATCACCTGCAGCTTTTGATCGTATTCTCGCCACTATCCAGGGAGTAGCTGCTGTGGATGCTGTTTTACGTTCTACACCTGATATGCCTTCTCCATTGATCGGTATGAGCAACAATGAAGTCACCTGCAAACCTTTGATGAAAGCCGTCAAGCTGACACATGAAGTAGCTGAAGCCATTGGGGAAAAGAACTTTGCTCGTGCCATGGAATTACGTGATCCTCAATTTGCCGAAGAATATAACGTGTACAATGCCTCAACTATTCTGGATGATCATTCTTTACAACTTCCCGATCATCTACAACTACGTATTGGTATTCTACATGTAGGTGCTCCTGCTGGTGGTATGAATGCTGCAACTCGAACGGCAGTACGATATGCTGTGAATCGTGGACATACTCCTATTGCAATTTATAATGGATTTGATGGTTTGATCAAGGGTGCCATGAGCGATTTAACTTGGAGTGATGTAGATGGATGGACTTCTCGTGGTGGATCTGAATTGGGAACCAATCGTCATGTACCTGGTGAACAACTCGATATGGGAATGGTTGCTTATCAAATGCAAGAATTCAATTTACAAGGTTTATTGATTATTGGTGGATTCGAAGCTTTCTCTTGTTTGAAGAATTTGGAAAATGCTAGGGCTAGATATCCTTCACTTTGTATTCCTATGTGTGTGATTCCAGCAACAGTATCCAATAATGTACCTGGTACGGATTACTCTTTAGGAACAGATACAGCATTGAATGCCATTGTCAACTCTTGTGATGCTATTATTCAATCTGCTCGGTCATCTCGTCGTCGTGTATTTGTGGTGGAAGTTCAAGGTGGTCGCTCAGGGTATTTGGCGGTGGAAGCAGGTTTAGCCTCTGGAGCAAACACAATTTATATTCCAGAAGAAGGTATCGATTTGACAAGATTACAGTCTGATGTACATCATCTTATGGCACTCTATATGGATGATGATCCCAACAAATCTGAAGGTCGTATTGTACTTCGTAATGAAACTGTCAGTAAAACCTATACAACAGATGTGATCAGCAGTATATTCAAGGAAGAAGGACATGCCCTATTTGATTCTCGTACGGCAGTTTTGGGACATATTCAACAAGGCAATACACCATCACCAATGGATCGTATCCGGGCCACTCGTTTGGGAATGAGTGCTATACAATTTATGGAAAGGGAAACTGAACAAGTATTAAATTTGGCACGCGGTCAATCAACACCTGTTGAATTATGCAAGACTGACAAATCTGCAGTAGTAGTTGGATTAGATGGTGCTGGAGTATCCTTTATGACGGTCAAACAGTTAGAACCTTTGACGGATATCAAGAATCGTAAACCTAAGAAAGCTTGGTGGTATCAAAGAAGACCTCTAGTGGATTTATTGGCTGGTCGTGGTTTATTCTCTCCTGGTGCTCAATCTCTTCGATCATCATGATAACTTAGTTTAGTTATAGTTTGATATTTTTTTTTTTTTTTAGTATTTATGTACAAAACTTTTTTAAATAGACTTTTTATATATATTATCGGGTTAGTGCGACGCCATGTGGATAGAAACCAAAAAAGGCAGATATCTATTGGCAAATGGGTTTCTAATGGAAGGAAAAATAAAAAAATAAAATAAAAAAAAAAATACACTCCATAGATATTGTTTATGATGATGATGATGATGAGGAAAAAAAAAAGATCTGATTATTATTTATTAGAGATTAGATAATATGCTTATACTTTTCTTATATAATTCATCAAATTGAGTTATTTTATATTATTATATTTAGTGTCTCATTGGCAATTTCGAATATTCCAAGGACTTTTCAAGAAAAAAAAAACTCCGTCAATTTTCTCTGTTAAAGTTTTTTTTTTTTTTTTTTTCTTTTCGTTTTTCTGAAATCCTCTCTCTCATTTTTTTTTTCTTTTCTTTTTTGTCTTTATTTCCCTCATTGACACTCTTATTCCTGAATTGGTTAGTGAACAACAAAAAGCCATTTACAATCAACAACAACAACAACAACAAATATATCGACAAAAGTTTTTTTTTTTTTTTACTACAACAATTAGAAACAATTGCCTTTCACTAGGTTTATTTTTTTTTTTTTTTGGTTTTATTGAACAAACTCAATGCAATCTATTTCCGGAATCATCACACAAATACGATCATCTAAAGGAGAAGTACCACCTCCTCTTGTTGGACCTTCTGTGACATTAGCAGGTGATCAACTCTTTGTTTTTGGTGGACGACTGGTTTCTACTCGCAAAATGACCAACCAACTTTTTGTTATGGATGTCAATACACATGTTTGGACTCGTCATATTCCGTCACCTGATTCTGACAAACCACCTACTCCTCGTTATTTTCATTCAGCTAATGTTTATAAACGATCACTTATTATCTTTGGCGGTATGGGTTATACAAGAAAAGCAACATCTTCCTCAGCAGCAACAGCAGCAGCAATAACAACGGGATCAACCATAGGCGATGACGAAACTGGAAATAACATGAACAGTAGTGGAGGATTATGTGTAGTAGATGATCTTAGTATTTTGGATCTTGATACCATGACTTGGCGACGACCGACTATTCATCCTTCTCTTTTTTCTCCACGTCCTCGATATGCTCATTTGGCGGAAATTGTGGATGATAAGTTAGTGGTAGTGGGTGGTCAAGATATGAACAATAGCTATTTACCAGAATTGAATATATTGGATCTCAAATCATGGGAATGGGTACAAGTCAAGACCATCGATAAACATGTGGGTGCTTATCGATCTATTGCAGTGACAACACCTCCTGGCACTCGACTACCGGCAGCTGTGAAGGAAACAATGACTGACGATAATACAACATCAAATCACTTTCATCATTTGAAACAACAATCAGAGGATGATTCTGCAAATAAAAGGCAACAACGACGTACTTCTGCTGTTCGAAATCAATCAGTATCTATTGAAGAACCTAGTCCGATTTATCTCTACACCAATTACAATTTTACCGATGTCAAAAGGGAATTACAACTTGTATTTATGCCATCCTCCAATACGAATACACCTACAATTGAAGATTGCTCTTCATTTATGACTGGATCTGCCATGCCTCCTGGATTACGATTTCCTACTGGTCATACTTTGGGTCATCATCTAATTTTGGCTGGTACCTATCTGTCGCCACAAGCTCAATCGTATAGTGTTTGGTCTTTGAATTTGGGCACACTAACTTGGTCAAGAATTGAAACTGGTACAATCTTTAGTCAAGGTTCTTGGAATCGTGGAGTTTTACATGAAGCATCAAATCGATTTATTGTATTTGGTAATCAGCAACGTAGTCTTCTGGATGATTACCATCATCGACAAACCAATTTTGATCATATGGCCTTGGTGGATTTGGAAGCTTTTGGCGTGTATCAGTTACCAAGAATCACATGTTCTACTTTGGCTCAAGAAATGGGACTTTCTCTTTTGAACGAACCAGCTGTTTCTGATTTTTACATTGTTACTCGTGAAAATCAAAGTATTCCTGTCAATTCTGCAGTATTAGCGCAACGATGGCCATATTTTGCTGATTTGATGGAAACCAACAAAAGTTCTTTATCCTCTTCTACTGGTCATCTTGATAACAACAACATGGACAACTCGGACAACAACAATGGTGCTATCTTGAAAAGTCACAGTATGTTATTCCCTTATTCTTATCCTGTGGTTATCGCTCTTTTACAATTCATTTATACTGACAATCTTTTAACGGCTCAACAATATCAACCTCATATTCTGGCACAACTTTTACTTTTATCTGATATGTACGATTTGCCACGATTACGCGTTTTGACGACACATGCTTTACACCAAATGTTGAACATGTCGACAGCACCGTTGATTTTCGAAACTGCAGCCCTCTCACACCAAACTAGTTTACAAATCCGTGCTTTGAAAATGATGATTGCCGCCAAGAAAATGATACAACAACAACAAATGGTTCAAGCTGGTATTCAAATGGAAAATAGTAATAGTACCAATGGTCCAAGTACAACAACAACAACAACAACAATGACAACTCCCATGTCAACCAGCACTTCAGCACCAACGATGGGTACAGATATAGGTACTGGAGCTATGTCACCTTCTGCAGATTTCTCACCTTCTTCTTTTGGCAATATACAACGACAACAGCAGCAACGGGATCTTTTAGCTTCTCGACGATCTCCGCCTGTACAACAACAACATTCACCTCTCATGTCACCACAAGCCTCCAGGTACGATCGATATTCTTCAGCCACACATGATACTCCTTATTCACATCATCCTCATAGTCCTCTCATGAACAATAATCGATCACCCAGTACATCAACAGGAACAAGTACACATACAGCAGTGGCACCATCAGGATCATCATCACCAAAACATCGACTTTCTTCATCTAACACCAATCCCCTATCACCTCCAATGTCAGCCAATTCATTTATCAATGGACCTAGTGGAGTCGGTGCTGGTAGCCGTATGTTAGGCATGAGTCCTCCATCTACACCTCGTCAATATAATTCTGATTTGGATTCTTCACAGGAAAAGACGAAGAGCAAGAAGGAAAAGAAGAAAGGACCTGGTATGAACTTTTTTGGAGGCAAGATATTCTAGTGATTTAGTTTATTATTTCCCATCATTCATTCTTATTATATTATTATTATTATTATTATTATTTTATTTATCATGTACCATTATTCTTTTACGGATTAGAGACAATTTATATATATTTATAAAAAAAAGACATCATTGTATCCATCTTTTCAATAAATAAATAAAGTTGTCATTAGCTGTGTTACCATATTCGATCAAAAAAAAAAAAAAAGAGTTTCATCATGTTGGTATGTTTCACATGCATTCCTCAGAAAAAATTGACACTCAAGCTGGGAAAAAAAATATTTGTACTTCCTGGATACCGCAGTTATTTACCTTTTTTTTTTTCTATATAAATCATCATCATGCTTGGACGCTTTTATCGGGATCATATACAGTCATCATGGTCTTTACGTCTATCACACTTCATTATTTTGATTATCTTCCAGGAAAAAAAAGTAAGTGAAACTTCACGAACATCATCTTTTTTTTTCTTTTCTTTCTTTCTTTTTTTTTTTTTTTTTAAAAAAAAAAACAAAAAAAAAAACTGATCTTCATATCTATCTGTAGCAACGGCCGCGTTGGGTGAGAACATTCATCTGTTACTTAAAGATGCAGGGTTGGATTATACTTATATTCGACACAAGAATGATGAATGGCCTACAATTAAACAAGACATGGTGGAGAACAAACATATCTTTGGACCCACCATGCCATTTATAGAAATCGATGGATTTGCCTTTAACAAAACTGTACCTGCTATGCGATACATCAGTAAACAATTAGGTAAATGAAGTGATCATCATCATGGCTTATGTACTCATCTTTTTTTTTTCTATTAGGCAAGTATCGTGGGAAAGATGACAAGGAGGAATATGAATTGGATGCTGTGGCTGATATCACTCGCGATTATTGGAATGCCATATTGCCCGTCTTCATGTCCACTGATGAACAAGTCTTAGCTAATCATCAAGCATCTACTACTCGCAAGTATTTAGAAATATTTGAACGTGTCTATGCCGCTCGTTCTACTGGTCCTTATATCTTGGGTGAAGACGTAAGTGAATTTTTTTTTTATCCATAGTGATTCTCATCATCTCATTTTGATTTAACTCCTCTTTTTTTTTTTATTTGTATATGTGATTGATGTTACATATGGTGGTAGTTGTCTTATGCTGATATCCTTATTTATCATCTCTTGGATGACGATAATGCTTTTAGTTTACTCGAGGTAAGAAACAAAAAAAAAAAAAAAAGACACTTGTATTAAGGAATCATCCATAGAAATATCAACAATCATCAGTCATCATCATCACTCAATCAATTCAACTGTTCTTCTTCTTTTCTCTCTATTAGGAATATCCTCATATTGCCACTTTTGTACAAGCCTTTACTCATCGTCCCAATCTCGTAGATTACTTCGCATCATCATCATAGAGAGTATACAAACAAAGATGAACAAATAAAACTCTTTTTTTTTTTAAAAAAAAAAAAATCAATATCACTGTAGAAAACATGATAGACACATCATCCTCGTTGTGGGAGGCATCATCATCATTACAGACCATCCATCATCCACATCATTCATCGTCATAGTGACCAAATAAAAGTATTTTTTCGTTATCTGGTAATTACTGCCTAATATAGATTTCAATAAATAAAAACGGAGTCCAAGGGTATTTATCGATTTCTTTGTCTTTTTTTTCTTGCAGGGTTGATAAACCAAGAAACACCAAAGTCCCTTTTTTTTCAACATTGTTATTGACCTTGTTTGTACAATCAACAACATTACTATTAATGAATGGTTTCTGGAACAAAAAAAAAAAAAAAAAAAAAAAAGAAAAAGAAAAAGTCAAGAGTGAATGTAGTACAAGGAAAATCAGATTGGTGATAAGATGAAAATGAATGGTTGAATGCGATCATCTGGTGTTTGAAGGCCTAATACATATCCTATCTTCGAGGAGAGAGAAAGAAATAAAGATTTTTTTTTTGTTTGTTCCCAAGTTGATCAAGCATCATACAATGACACGCAATGTTACGAGACTCTGGATAGATGATTTAAAACTAGTTCTTTCTTGAAAACCAACGATGATGATGCATAGTAGTCATAAAAGGTAAGATCTCTATTGTATATCGGAGATCAAACATTTGATTTGTAATCTCAAGAAGTTCATCTTGCTTGCGAATGCTTTCTGCGCAATATGACGCGTTTTAAGGTATTTAAAGTCAACAATTCTCTCGCGTTGATTATTTCTTTTCTTTTCTTTATTCTTCTCTTCAAAAAAAAAAAAAATCAAGCTATTAACAAAATGATCTCTTCTCCTGTTACTCTTCATTACTTCGATATTGAAGGCAAGCCATGTAAGTCCATATAGATAAGAATATTTTTTTTTTTTATTTTTGATCGATCTAATATATATATATATATTTATTTATGCATATATATAGCCACCTCTGCTTTGGGTGAAAACTTGAATTTGTTATTAAAGGACTCTGGTATTGAATACACTTACCTTCGCCACAAACGTGATGAATGGGCACCTATCAAAGAAGATATTTCCAAAAAGGTGAATCATCCTACTATGCCTTTCATTGAATTGGATGGAAAAGTGTACAACAAGACAGTTCCTACCATGCGTTATTTATGCAAGAAGTTGGGTAAATGATTTATACAATAATAGTAAAAAAAAAAAAAAAAAGAATAGGTGTGTTGATTAATCTTTTTTTTTTATATGTAATGGTTAGGAAAATACCTTCCTGCCAATGATGATGATCTATATACTGTGGAAGTAGTTGCTGATGTCGTTCGTGATCATTATGGTACCACGATGCCCGTATTCCGATGTGAAGATGAAGAAAAACTGAAAGAACATTTTGAAAGGGATACCACCAAATACTTGAATGCTTATGAATCCATCTATCAACATAAGGAAGGTCCTTATATCTTGGGTGAAGAAGTAAGTAGATTAATATAAAAGGGATTATTTTGGTATCTTACTTTTTTTTTTTGATTTTATAGATTACTTATGCCGATTTCCTTGTTTATCATGTTATCCAAGATGACAATGCCTTAAAACACGTCCAAGTAAGATCCTATAATTTACATCTTGCATGATGGATATTGCATGATAGGGTATTAACTCTTTTTTCTTATTTTTATTTTTACATAAATAGGGTTACCCTCATGTGGCCAAGTTTGTTGAAACCTTCTCCCAACGTCCTAATCTTGCTGAATATATTGCTTCTTTGGCCCAATAGTTTTTTTTTTTTTTTTTTTTTTCAGAAAAACACATTAGTATAATAAAACGTTTTTTTTTTATAACCGAACTGTATCCGAGAATGGGTGATGTTTAGATATTGAATGTTTAATATTTGATCCTCTTAATAAGCCTACTTTACATCATCATCATCATCATCATCACAGGAATTATATTATAGAAATAAAGATCAATGAAGAGAATCTTTTTTATTCATATCACTATAGAACCATTATAGATTCTCCATCATCCATCATCCATTGTAGCAACCAATAGAAAGATGCTTTTTCATTATCTGGTAATTTGCTGTCTACCATGTTTTGAAAGTGTGGGAAAGAAGGATAAGAGCGAATGTAGTATAAAGAAAAACAGATAGATGAGAGGATAGGATGTTGAACATGATCATCTAGTGACTTGAATCATATTCACCCAGAGAGGAGAAGAAGAAAAAAAAATGAAGATTACCCTTTTTTTTCAAATTGATCATATAGGTTTGTACCATAAGGTGATACGTGTTTATATGAAACCTACTGATAGATGTTTTAAAACTAATTCTTTAAGGACAACCATCATCATCACTTTCTTGTCATAAATGATATGTTACGTCGGAGATCAAACAATTGATTTGTAATCTCACGCGTTGAATTTTGGATCTAAAACTTAATTTTCTGCATTAAAACATTTCTTCCCTTTTTCTTTTCGTTATTCTCAAAACAAAAATTCTGTTAATAAAAATGATTTCCTCTCCTATTACTCTTCATTACTTCGTTTTCGAAGGCGAGCCATGTAAGTTCATATAGATAAAAGAAATTACTGTTGATTCATCTAACATCTTTTTTTTTTTTTTTTGTTATTACTATTTATATAAATATATCTGTATAGCTATTGCTTTTTTGGGTGAAAATTTGAATTTATTATTGAAGGATTCTGGTGTTGAATATACTTATGTTCGTCATAAGTATGCTGATTGGCCATCTATCAAGAAAGAGCTTTCCGAAAAAATGATTTATCCTACTATGCCTTATATTGAATTGGATGGAAAATTATACAATAAGACAGCCCCTACCATGCGTTACTTATGCAAGAAGTTAGGTAAATGATTTAAAAGAAAAGGATATATGGAATGGATGTATTAACGGATTTTATTTTTAAAATGATTAGGAAAATACCTTCCTGCTAATGATGATGATCAATATATTCTGGAAGTGGCTGCTGATGTGACACGTGATCATTATGGTACCAGGTTACCTCTATACCGATGTGAAGATAAAGAAAAGTGGAAAGAACATTTTGAAAAGGACACTACCAAATACTTGAATGCTTATGAATCTATCTATCAACAAAACGAAGGTCCTTATATCTTGGGTGAAGAAGTAAGTAGATTAAAAAAAAAAAAAAGGATTTACTTTCTTGTCTTATATCTTTTTTTTTTTTTTTTTTTTTTTGATTTAATAGATTACTTATGCTGATTTCCTTGTATACCATATTATCCAAGATGACAACGCCTTAAAACACGTCCAAGTAAGATCCTAAGTTTTAGTTCGTGGGAATATATTGTATAATAGCGAAAGTAACTCTTTTTTTTTTTATGTAAATAAATAGGGATACCCTCACGTGGCCAAATTTATTGATGCCTTCTCTCAACGTCCTAATCTTACTGAATATATTGCTTCTTTGGCCAAATAGGTTTTTCAAAAAAAAAAAAATCACTTTAGAGTCTTCTTTTCTCTTTTGTTCTTATAATAAAAATGTTTGACCTTTTTTACCAAATATTTTTTTTTTTTTTTTTTTTTTTTTTTACTCCAATGTGTTTGGGGATGAATGATGTTCAAACATTGAATGCTTGAGATTTGGGGGTCTTAATGAGGATGACTTTGCATCATAATAGTAATCATCACATATTACACAAATAAAAATAAATAGAACTTTTTTTTTAATTGAATCATTATATATTTGTCACTGAAGGACGCGTCATCATCATTACAGACTATCCATCATAGATACCACCCACATATTCCATCCTCATAATAATTAAAATAAAGATATTTTCTCATCATCGGATCATTACTACCTAATATAGGTTTCAATCAGGAAAAACGGGGTCTAAGGGTTCTTGCTGCTTTGTTTTTCTTGCAAGGTTGATGAAGCAAGAGACATCAAGGCTCCCTATTGTTGCAACTTTGTTGTCGTTGAGCTTGTTTGTACAACAAATAGTATCATTATCATTAATGAATGGTCTCCAAAAACGTGGGACAAAAAAAAAAAAACAAGAACGAATGTAGTATAAAGAAAATCAGATATATGATAAGATGAATGATTGTATGCGATTATCTAATGATTTGAACTATTAATACATATCCATCCAAAGAGGAGAGGAAAAAAAAAATAAAGATTATTTTCTTTTTTTTTTTCTTTTCTCAAACTGATCACGTATCATACAGTAACACGCAATGTTTTGAGGCTGGGAATAGATGTTTTAGAACTAGTTCTTTCTGGAAATCCATCATCATCATCATGCATGACAGTCATAAAAAGAATGGATTGGTAATCCATCGTTTACTATGTAAGTAACAAGCTTGTCGGAGATCAAACATTTGATTTGTAATCTGACGGAAGACATTCCACCTTGCTTGCGAATGCATTTTGCGCAATATGACGCGCTTTAAAGGTATTTAAAGTTAAAATTTCTTCGGCTGCTTATTTTTTTTTCTTTTCTTTTCTTTATTCTTCTCTTAAACAAAAAAATCAACTAGTTAAAAAAATGGTCTCTTCTCCTGTTACTCTTCATTACTTCTATATCGAAGGCATGCCATGTAAGTTCATATAGATAAGAAATTATTTTGGTATTGTTTCATCTAATATTTTTTTATGCATATATATAGCCACTGTTGCTTTGGGTGAAAACTTGAATTTGTTATTGAAGGATTCTGGTGTTGAATACACTTATCTTCGTCACAAGGGGGATGAATGGGTATCTATCAAGCAAGATATTTCCAAGAAGGTTGCTCATCCTACTATGCCTTTTATTGAATTGGATGGAAAAGTGTATAACAAGACAGTTCCTACCATGCGTTACTTCAGCAAGAAGTTAGGTAAATGATTTAAACGAAAAAAAGAATAATAAAAAAAAAAGATGAATGTGCTAATGGATCTTTTTTTTATATATATATGTAATGGTTAGGAAAATACCTTCCTGCTAATGATGATGATCAATATACTTTGGAAGTGGCTGCTGATGTGGTTCGTGATCATCATAGTACCATGTCCCCTCTATTCCGATGTGAAGATGAAGAAAAGTGGAAAGAACACTTTGAAAAGGATACCACCAAATACTTGAATGCTTATGAATCCATCTATCAACAAAACGAAGGTCCTTATATCTTGGGTGAAGAAGTAAGTAGATTAATATAAAAGGGATTATTTTGGTGTCTTACTTTTTTTTTGATTTTATAGATTACCTATGCTGATTTCCTTGTATACCATATCCTACAAGATGACAGAGCCTTAAAACATGTTCAAGTAAGATCCTAAATTTTACTATATTGTATGATGGAATATTGCATGATGTTAATTTTTTTTTTTTTTTTAACAGGGATACCCTCACTTGGCCAAGTTTGTTGAAGCTTTCTCCCAACGTCCTAACCTTGCTGCTTATATTGCATCTTTGGACCAATAGTTTGAGAAAATCATCTTAGTATATAGTCTTCTCTCTTCTTTTGATCTTATAATAAAAATTAACCTTTTTTACTTAAATACGATGGTTGATGCGGACCTTGAATGTTTGATGTTTGGTAATGTTCAAAGAGTGTAGGGACCTGTTCTGTTTCTTTTTCTTTTTCCTTTTTTTTTTTTTTTTTTTTTGTTTTGTTTTGTTTTTACCCATATAGAAAAACTCTTTTATTCCCACTACCTTCATGAAGTTAATGCAGGAAGTGTTCATGGTGAGTCGTCGTAGGTTCATACGTCCACCATCACCGTTGCTTCTACATCCTATTAGGGTCACTTTTCATTGTTCTTACAGTACTGACAGCAACCGACAATCAGACAAGGTCAGCACCAACAACAATAATGACAAGAACAACAATGACAACTTGGCAACGAGCAAGCCACCACCATATCAAGATACATTTGCAGCAATACAACAACTTTCTCGATCACACATGGATAAACTGCAACGTGATTTGCAACCCTGGGTACGAAAAGTACAAGATACCACCAATACTTTGAAACGACTTTCTCATGATGTTACTGACTCAAAGGATGCTTTGGACCGTGCTCGTTTGGCATTGAATGAACTCACTGGATACAATCAAATTGAACTAGTCAAGAAAAAGGTGACGGACCAAGGTAAATGAATAAAGAAAAGAGAAGGGCTATGAGATAGTTCTCTATTCACACTTTTTTTTTTTAAAAAAAATACAATGGTTTATAGCAACAGCGTTTGAACAATCGCGAGATCAAGTGCAACTAGCAAAGAAACGATATGAAGTAGCTATTTCAACACGAAGTAGCACACAACGAGGAATCAACGAGCTACTTCAACGGAAGCATCTATGGACGGGTGATGATGTGACGCAGTTTACAGAACTATATCGACTAGAACATGAACATGCCAAGGAAGAAACCATGGCCAAGGAACATTATGAACGAGCGGAAAAGCAAATGGATCGAGAATACATGGCTCTAGTGCGTGCAATTACGGACCGATATCATGATGAACAATTGTGGAGTGATAAAATCCGAAGTGTGTCGACCTATGGTACCTGGGCCTTGATGGTGCTCAATCTAATGCTTTTTGTTGCTGTACAGACTGTATTTGAACCTCGCAAACGCAAACGTCTGACTGATGGTTTTGAAGAGCTTTTGGTGGACAAGATGGCGGAACAAGAACATACTTTCAGTGCCATGACTGATGCTCTGGAACATACAGATCAAGTCTTGATGTCGCAACAACAAATATTGGTGGATCTATTGAACCAAGTCAAAGATATACCTTATACAGAAGTGATGGATTCTCCACCTGAACAAGAAAATGCTTTGGACCAACAGATGACTCCTACTTTGACGACTGATACGCAAGTTCCTTTGGATACAACTGGACCGACAATCAACCTCTCACAACGTAGTTTAATCCTTTATTCTTTAGAAAGTGCTATAGCTGGTGGCTTGATCACGGCTTTAGCTATGTTTTTGTGGAAATAGTTTAGTCTTTTTTTTTATTATATATGTATTATTACTATCCCTCTCATCATTATTGAATAGAATAATAAAAGAATCTATATCCCAAATTATAGTTGAATATGGACAAAATATACAAGATTAAAATCAAAGTGTCTTTTATTGATCAAGATACAGGATGATAAAAAGAAAAAGTGTATGTCTAAATAAATAAATAAATAACATTCTACAGGTATAAAATAACTTCAAGCTACGCCTGGTGGGGAATGACGATGGATGGAAGCATTCAATGGCTGATGAAGAAACGGTTGAGATTCTTGATCATACAAGTCTTGAATACGTTGATGATATACAGGAGGCTGTGTCAAATTGTACAGAGTAGCCCCGGCAATTACTAAGAGATATGCCAATGGGTAAAGTGGAGGCATCTGTATCCATTACAAACCATTAATGAACTTTTTTTTTTTTAATTTCTACATATATTTATATTTTTACCTTTGCATTCAAAAATAAAAGGCCAATCAATAGAGAGTAAAAGTTACTTGTCATCAAACTCATACTAACAAAAGTAGCCCCATACAATCGATAAATCATAGGAATCAAGGAGTACATGGAAAAAAGACAGATCACATAGATGGAAACCAGGGTCACTATCAAAAAAAAAAAAAATAAGTGACACAAACAAAAATCATGCATGATGTTTACCAATGTGCCATGACCAAGAGATAGTTACCAAAGTATCGTATTCAAAGTAATATCTAAAAAGAATTTGTAATGAAAAAATAATCCTTGATTATTATTATTTTGGATGAACTTACGCCAGCATACCACTTTGAATCATCCCAACCAATCCAATCCGACTCAAAAATCCAGAAGTAGAAAAATAATGAACCAAGTATTCTTCTGTCACATTGCTAATGGCGTATAAAGTTGCACTGATCAACTAACAAGATATCAAAAAAAATATTAGTCAACATCAATTGATCTTCTTTTAAATACTTACACAAATAAGATCACCTATCCAACTATGATCCGCAATGGGAGAATCATCTCTTGTTGTCATGGTATCGCCCCATATCAATAAAGATAACCCTAGTAAACAGAGAGACACACCGAAAAAGTGTATTGGTTGATATCTTGTCTTGAGGAAATGTGCTGATAATAACATGATGCATGGTAATGTCCAAGAAGAGATAATCAAAGCTGATAATACAGATGTATTTTTGAAGGCAATCACAGCTAAGACATTGGCTAAATAAGAACCAAAAAAAAAAAAAGTTCGTTAGCCAATAGTGTATGTTATAAAAAAAAAAGTTCTTTCCTTCTTTGAACACACCTTGGACATCAACAATAGAAAATCCGAGTACTAATAAAGAAAAAAAAAAGACAAGAAAAGGACATGAGAGAAAGGATCTAAAAGGAAAAAAAGAAAAGAGAGAGAAGTGATACCTGCGAAAAGAGAATGTCTAGGTTGAGTACGACTGGTTGAATCATGTTGCATTGATGTTGCTGTAGATGTGACATTGCTATTGTGGTGATACTTGTTATTATTGATGATTCTTTGTCCGCAGTAATATTGATAAGATCCATAAATAATCGCCAGCAATCCATACATGAATGCGTTTTGAGTAAAAGGAATATTGACTTGATAATGTTGCCATAGTGCTGATGAGGCTGAACTAGTCCCAGTAATACATAAAGAAACAAGTTGTCCAAGACAAAGTGGTAAGATCCATAGTTTGTCAAAGTATCTAGGTTGCATTATAGTGATTTATCATGGGAGTATGAAAAAGAGAAATATAAAAAAAAAAAAAAAAAAAGGAAAAAAAAAAAGTCTATTAAACCCACGGGGGTTCAAAATTCAGCCTTCTTTTGTACCCCATACAGCGCTCAGCTGTTCGTCAACGCAGGTACCCAAAAGACTTATGGAAGGTCACTTGCATTGGTTCAAATCTAAAAAATAAAAAAAAAAGGGAACGATAAAACAAGTAGATATTTATATATTCTTTATTTATGTAAAGATATAAACAACAAAACCTAAAATTATAAAACTATATTGAATGATCCCCTTCAACCTGAACCCCATTCTTATCCCATTTCAAACGGATGCCACAATTGCATCTGCCTTTTGAAGAGCCTAATACAAAGACAAGAAAAAAAAATCAATAATGTAATCTTGTTTGAATATTTCAAATTCTGTTTACCTCAATCATTTTCTTGCATTCCTTTCGTCTTTGTTGAGTGAAATCAGATTCTTGTAAGAGATCATCCAAAACATCAGCCTTGTACAATTCCGTCAGTAATTCCCTTTGTAACTCTTCCTTGGCACGACTCACAAGTTTCAACATGATAGCCTTGGGTACCATGTCAATCATTGTTCGTTTCACAATATTGTAATAGGACTGGATCAAGAGTTCTAAATAAAAATAATAGAAATGAGTAAAAGATGAAGAATGATTCCTTAACATGACCACACTTACTGATGACTTCGGTTTCCATATGTTCCCGTTCCGATAATGCTCCAGTAGCCTTGAGAGAAGCAGGAGGCTATATGTGCATATAACCAAAAAAAAAAAAAAAAAAATCAAATACAAAGATGAATAAATTGTAAATACATTTGTCTCTTTTTTTTTTTTTTTTCCTACTTACAGTATCAAAGACGGCTGAATCCATCAATGCACTTCCAGATTTCTTTGTTTTCTTGTTACCAGCAAAGAAACTTCCAAAAAAGGATCCGCTTTCAGTACCTGTAGCATTTGAATCCAAACTGAGATGACTATTACTTGTTGATAAGGAGGGCGATTGATGAGCAGCAGTGGGTGCATTTCGACTAGTGGGTTTGCTTCCATGTTCAATACCATTGGTTCCGTTAGTTTGAGGTTTAGGATGTAGTCGTTCATTCACCGTAGCAATTGCTTGATGTCCATTCAAAAAGTCTGGATGAGCTGTGTTGATATAACATGATTCCATACTTAACCAAAAAAAAAAAAATCATCAAGTTAGTTTTCTATATTCCAAATAGAATTCTATTTCCATTTATACTTACGCTACTAGATCTGTTACCAATTTAGTTGTAGGCGTTACAGCTTTTTTGAAAAAGGCAAGAACAACTTGATAAAACTTTTCTTTCATAGCAGGGAACCGTTTGAAAAACTATATGTATATATATATATAAAGTTAATAAAAAAATAATAAGTCATGAGAAAAAAAAATTCATGTACTATCATCACGGCTCCCTTTTCCTTTTTTTTATTATATAAAACTGTACCTGTTTCGTCAAAAGTTGACCCAAGATTCGTACAAGTTCATCATAAACCATATTGATACATTTGATACTGGGATCTTCTAAACGTTTGATTTGTTGTTTGATGATGACTTCAAAAGCAGTGGTAGCAACAAATAATGCAGGAGAAGAACCGGAAGAGTTGTAGAGGATCATACGAATATCGGAATCCTTGGTTTGTTCTAGAGGGTCGATACTCTTGATGCAATTGGAATAGAGTTCATGGAATACAAAGCTAATACGCGCACCACCAGATAATTCAAAACTTGATAAATCATTGGAGTTGCCATCAATGATTGTGCGGAATTCTGTGCAAAATTCAGTGATAATATTCAACACCATATTGGCTTGCCCTCCTTTCCCATCGGTCAGTGGATCGCCTAGTTGGAGAAGTTCTTGTTGGTATTTGATTAAAGCAGCTTGAATTTTAGATTTGATTTCCGGTAAAGTTGTTCTAATATGATGCATTAAGATCTATAATAATATAATTTAGTCAGTTTGTCATTAGGTTGTCTAAAGTTTTTCCTTACCATATTCAATTTTCGTGCCAAAAAAGGAGTACCACAGTATTGAGCCTTACTTTTATATGATGGATGATTTTCAAAGAATTGATGCTCTGCTTCCAAAGCCTTTGTGATCATTTTCTTGCTGTCAATATCACGTTGTCCACGATTGACCACAGGAACATAACCTACGGAAGGGGAAAAAAAAAATAAAATAAATCAATTGATAATTCCTTTGTTTTTTTTTTTTTTTTTTTTTTTTTTTTTTTTTTTTTTTTTTTTTTTTTTTTTTTTTTTTTTTTTACCTAAACGCAATGGAATTACTCTACCAGCCAAAATATCTATCACGTCCGTCCCATCATCCATCAAGTCAATTTTTGTCAAGACACCAATCGTACGTAAACCTTCAGGATCCACTTCACGAGCCATTTTCAAACCATCAGAGTTTGCCAAATCAGTATTTGCCGCTGTTACTGCTAAAATGATTGCATTTGGTTTAGTGATATATTTGAGTAGCATGTCACGAATTTGAATTTCAATGTCTTTTGGTTGATCGCCGACTGGTACCTAAATATATTACGAGTTAAAACTGATTATCTATATATATATATATTGATAGCTAAATGACTTACCTTTGTTAAACCTGGTAAATCTACCATAGTCAGTGTCAGTACATTGGGTGAGAAGATTCTTAGATTGATAGGTTGAGAAGAAATGCCTATAAGTTAGTAAAGGAATAACTAAATTAGTTATGCATGTCAATTACTAGTTATTTAAACTTACCCAAATTTTTGCCAGTTTTCAATTCCGTATCACGTACAATTTCATCACGAATCTTGTCAAAATCATAGAATTTTTCACCAGGTAAATGAAGGAATTCACCCCATTCATCAGGATTATTTCCATTTCCAGTAACAGGTGAATCTTGATTATCATCATTATCATCATTGGATATTGTTCCATTTGTTTTTGGTACAGCAGGTCGATTGATAAGTTGAAGAACCTAAAGATAAGAATAAATCAAGAATGTGAATATGATGATGGTATACTCCGATTTCAATGGATGAAACACTTTTCTCTTCTCCCCACTCCGTCCTTTTGCTTGTACTTCCTTTTTCTGTCCTGGGTACCTTTTCTTTCTTTTCTCACCAAAAAAAAAAAAAAAAGAAAAACTTACTAAAGGTCGTCGAGTAACAATACCACTACCACGTGGAAGAAAGTCCCTACCAACAATATTTTCCAAAACTGAACTTTTCCCACTAGATTGAGATCCGATCACAGTGATTTGAGGTAAATCTACAGGATTATGAACACCCACAGTAGAGAAAGCATCTTGAAGTTTATTGACTAGTAACAAAATAGTAATTTTTTAAAAAAAAGGATAAGAAATTAGTAACACACTTTGAATAGATTATCCAAATTCAAAAAAACAGGATGAAAACATAAAAATAAATAAATAAAAAACTGCTCCCACCTGTTTTAATAAGATTTGTATCCATGCAAACAACCGTGTAAAAATAAAAAAAAAGTTGAACAAGTGAGATAGAGAAGAGAATGAAAAAAAAAAAGGATTGCCAAGATAAAAGAAGAGAAAAGTTCTGAAAGTCAAAAAAAAAAAAAAAAAAAGGACAAGAGGGAGGCGAAGCGGACATTGATTTCTGCATACATTCAAAATATCATAACACTATTCTACACTTTATTATTATCTATAGGTGAAAAGTAAGATTCATGTTGGAATTTTAAGCATTCGTTCCCCCAACTAGACCAACCAGGAGTTAAACATCGAGCAAATAATTCAATACATTTTGGTTTTTTTGGTAAATAAGGTGAAAGGATATCTACAACAATAGGGTAAGTATTGCGTTGTAATCAATCAAATTTATTATTAATCACTAACCTTGTAATGGCGGTTTTCTTGAATGACGTTTTGAAGGTACACTAACAATAGAATGTTGATAAGGAAAACTAGATGATGATATTTGTTGTTTATAGTATCGTCCAATAATAAGTTGTTCATATGGTTTTCGATGAGTAGAATTCAGAGGAAGTACAGGTTCTCCATGATTTGTCACCTTGATCCAAGTCCATTCACCTATACAATCTACCTTCCATGATTTGAATAACTTTTCTATCACGAATCGCCTAAACTTTGGTTTGTTTGTGACCCAGACTGCAATCAATGAACCGTCATGAATCATCGATGATATGGGTATCTGATAGAGATCATAAATATCTTGTGTTTCATAATGGGAGGATCGATGGACTATACAAGAAAAAAAAAAAAAAGAGATGTAACGTTATCATAAGATTCATATCACAATATATAGATAAACTATTCTTTTTCTCACTATACCTACCACTTTTGTTTGGCCATGGAGGATCCAATACAACGAGATCATATTTATTATCCTTGTCATCTATATATATATATATATATATATTTATATAAAGATCAAAAAGCTATTAATAATCATATACACAATTATCTATAGCCGTTTACCTTTAAGTAGAAGGTCGTTCACATCTTTCAAATCACCCATGAGAAAATCTGTCTGTGGTGGAATAAGGTAAGTACCATGACCGCTCAAAGTGATTTTTCGACACATGGAAGTCTTGTTCTTAATCCATTGATTAAATATATCCAGTAATTCAAATTCTTGCAATTCTAAGTTACCATACGATAGTAATAATAATGATAATAATAACTAAAGAGTCAATGATCCTTTCCCTTTCGTTTCATGTTCATTCTTTCGATAAACATATATATATATATAAAAGTTGATTACCTAAAGTCAGTGTCACTGTGGGTATACTGTCAAAAGACTGGAACCGTCGTAGAGCTGTAGCTGATGGGATCCAATCCGGAAAGTGTAGCATGGTGAGTTCTTCATTATCCTTGTCATAGTCTACAAGATCTATTTTTTCTAACGTTTTCGCTTCTTCTTGCTGCTGTTGTCGATGTTGTCGCCAATAAGAGGTAATGTCTTCCATACACAATGATAGAAACGGTAATAATACTTCATGCCGTTCTTGAGTCTGTTGATCGGTGGTACTGATTTGTTTTCGTTTTTTCTTGGGGCGTGTTTCTTTATCAGTCATAGCTTTGGTACGAAAATAAGGTTGATCTAGCTTGTAATCCTTAGAGTTGAGAGAATACCATGGTAATATACTAAATACTGGAAGGCAATCTATGATATCAACAAGATCAGTTGAATAGATCACACTCATCACCCTGATTTTATATATATCTCAAAAAAAAAAAAAAAAAAGAAAGAAAGACAGAGAGGAAGAGGGAGAAAAAAAAATACAACCAAGACTTTATTGAAAAAAAAAAATAGGATAATCGGACGTTGAATCAAACAGTAAGTATAGATATATTCTACAAAAAAGGTTTACGTCTTAATAGCCACTGCCCGAAGACGCACATACATAACATACCAAGCACCATCTTCTCTTTGATAAGAAGGTCGAAGTTGTTCTACAATTTCCTGAATCATTTGCTGTCGATCTCGATCTGTCGGTAAGGCATTCAAAAACGTAAATCCAAAGGTTTCAATCCATCCAGCAACATCAGTATCCAAACGAGTAGGTCGCGGTATCAAATCAATTTGTTGTACGTTGAATCCATGCTTCTCCAAAAGATGTCGGTAATGAATATCAGAAGGGAAAAACCATGGAGAATACGCTTTACCATCTAATCCACGTCGATTCAATGCCTGTATCAAAGCCGTATGTACTTCACCAACGTTCATAAATCCACCAAATTCAACTGCAATTCTTCCTCCAGATTTCAAAGCTTTATGCATACCTTTGATGACACCTTCAGGATCATTTTTCATCCAATGTAATGCTGAATAGTAAAAAAAGAAAGAAAAAAAAGAAGAAGAAAAAGAGTGAGTTATCTATTATTAATAAAAGAAAAAAAAGAGTAGATAAAATAGAAAGAAGTATATTTCTTACCTGCGTTTGAGAATACCGCGTCAAAAGTAGGTATTTGGTTTTCAGTAAGCCAAGAAGGTATTGCCTGTCCATCCACCACATGATATGTCGTGTTATCATAACGTCGAATACGATTAGCCTTGTTGATCATATCCGGACTAGCATCTATTCCAACCACTTGAGCACATTGACTTGCCAAATCGTTTGTCAATTCTCCACTTCCACAACCTACATCTAATATACGTTCATGAGATTGTGCGTTCAGCATGCTTAAAATAGTATTTCCAAGTTGAGGTACAAATGACGCATGAGTGTTATAATTGTCTGCACTCCATTGGTCATTCTGTAATGTTACATCCTTCATGTTGTGTTTTGTTGAAAATATCGTTCTTCTTTTTTTTTTAAAAAAAAAAAAAAGAGAGAGAGAGAGAAGAAAGCAGTGGTAGTATTCTCCCCCTTTTTTGTAGGATTACTTGGGTTTCAATTTCCGCTTTATGCGTATTCTACGACTTCTTTTCATTGGCTATTGGGTATTGAGTCAAAAAGATATCAATAATGTCATTGCCCATTGTCCCTTTTTTTTTTTTTTTTTTAGTTGTCGACATACCCTATTTTAAGTTTATGATGATGATTACTGAATCATTGATTTCTGAATATCAAAATAAATTATACGTCATCATCATCAGACTGTCTATCATGATAAAGCTTTCCTATTATCCCAAACTTTTTTTTTTGCATAAAAAAAGAAAAAGATCATCATCAACTGAGCAGTGACACCTAATCCATGTGAGATGGGATAAAATAGGTGGTAATTGACCGATAAGTTAGCGAAGATACCAGTGGATTATTTCGGATCTTTTTTAGTTGCTTTTAGTGTAACCAGAAAAGTGCGGCAAACCTAAGACCGCGACTGCTGTAACCCCTATAAAGGATCGGAGATGGATATGTTACCAATTATAATTTACTAGTACAATAAAATAAGAAGAGTATACCCCCCTTTTTTTTGGATTCTAATGAAGTTTGACTTGCGTTTCATATTCAAGTGTTACGATCATGAATTTTTTTTTTTATTATTATCATCGTTGTTAAAAAAAAACCTTCTTTTTTGTACCTTTTCACTCTTTAAAGAAAATCATGCGGATTGACCAAGTTATCTTAAATAAACAAAAGTCTTGGTGTACACGTGGAAAACTACCTTGTCATCAAAAAATAAATATTCTCCCCCTTTTCTTCTCTTCCGTTTAAAAAAAAAAAAAAAAGAAGGGGAAGGGAATCATGATGAATACTCATTATATCGGAATAAGAGAGGTGACTCATTTCTACTGATACCATATATATATATAAAATAATCTCCCATCATCCTCATCATTGGAATCAATGGAAATTAAAAAAAAAAATTTCAACATGACTCTTTCTTTGAGAGGAACTAAAAATAAGGTATGAGCTCTTTTTTTAACTACTTGGTACAGATATTACCTTTTGTAGATGTTGAGTTTGAATGATGGATGAAGATCCGTACAAGTGATGTTAGTACGAAAAAGTTTTTTTTTTTTTATAAAGTACACTGTGATGATGATGTTATGGAGAGAAATACATATATATATATTGCAAAAAAAAAAAGTAATAATTATACCTCTTCTCTGTCTAAAAAAAAGGAATAAATAAAAAAAAAAAGAAATGGATCATTCAAAATACTTAAACTCTATTATTTTTCGTTGCTATGGTAACCGTTGGCCATATAATTTGAAACATAAAAGTCATCTATTATTGGTTCCCAGAAAAATGAAAAAAAAAAAAACTCTTAACATTTCATTTCAATCTAGGACCCACTTTTTTTTTTTTTTTTTTTTTTTACTGGGGGGTACCAATTATCTGTATATAATTAAGAGGAGCCTAACTAAAAGCGATATATTGCATTGACATTTTGTCCAACGTATTCATTATACTACGCGTGTCTAAAGCGGAGCCTTTTTTTTTGATGAATCAGCTTTTCTTCCCCCAAACGTCAACTTTATAGCTCCCGATCCGACTGCGTACTCTTTTTTTTTTTTTTTGAATGCAATCTTTATCATACACACTCTCCCTCTTTATGATCATCAATGGTCATGGATTCAAGTAAAGGGAAGAACAAGGGAAAGGAGGGAGGAGGAATTAATATATTTTGAATGGCAAAGGTCATGATTATCCGTTTTTATCTGTTTGTATGTTCATCACCCATATACACAATTGAATAGGCGAAGAGATAAAAGTTTATAGTGAGTAAAAAAGAAAGTTTATTCAATAATGATGATAATAAACGACAAGAAGGAATAAAAAAAAAAGAGAATATATATAAAAGATGATGTATACGAGGACAAGATGAGAAAGGGAGGGAATGATATGTTTCATAAAACTAGGGAAATAATAATAATAATAAAAAAGACATGAGATCCATTCTATTCATCAAGAATACAATGAAAATAAAAAAAAGAAGGAAAAAAGGGGAAAGGTAATAAGGAGGGAGGAGGAAGATACTATCATAAAGAAGAAGAAAATAACATACTAGAAGAAGGCATTGATTTCTTTTTCTTTCGACAACCAGTAGAACGAGTACATGATGGTGTGGATTGAGAATCATTACGTTGGTGACGGTTCAAGGCATCTTGTCTTGCAAAAGATTTAGTACAGAATTGACAAGTATATGGTTTGATTCCCAGGTGTAATTTCGCATGTCGATTTCGGTCATGTTGTCGCGCGAATGATTTCGGACATAGTGGACAAGTGAAGGGGCGTTCAGCTGTGTGAGTTCTACGATGTGATTTCAAATTATAAGGCCTTGTAAATGTTTTATCACAATTAGGATAATCGCAACGATAAGCACTAGGTTGTTTGTGATTACTTGTAGTGGAAGATGTGGATGATGATGGTGATGATGGCGATGATGATAACGATGGTGTTGATGGTGATTTTGCTGATGTTGTTGTAGATGATGATGATATTGACGATATTGATGATGAAGATAGTTGATTTTTTTGATGTCTTTTGTTATAAGTATTGTTATTCTGATGATAAGATGTTAATTGTAAATTCAATAGGTTGGGAGCATATGGCAATTCGCTGATTCTCTTTTGTTTTTTGCCTAGTGGTTTCTTTTTATTTGATGTTGTATCCATTGTAGTGAGAGTAGACTGTGAATGATAATCTTGAGTATCTTGTTTATCGTTCATGATTGGCAATAGATTATTAGTTTGATATTGTTGCTGTTGATAATGTTGATAGTGTTGATGTTGAAAATGATGATGAGATTTTACTGTATGAGGTATCAATAATGGTGAAGGATGTTGTTGTTGATCAGTTTCAATAATACTGTTGGTAGGAGAAGGAAATCCAGATATGATTTCTTGATGAGAATAAGATGATGTATCATGAATACTAGATGATTCATAGGTAACTGGTTGATAATATATAGTTGGTGACAGCATACCTTGGTATAACGAATCAGTACTTGAAGTAGGAATAGTAGAATTTAAAGGATTCTTATGTAGATCGGAATAAGATGGTACATCTAAATGATCAAACATCATCATATAAAAAGGATCAGAGCATTCCATAGTAACAATAATAATAAAAGACAAAAAAAAAAAAAAAAAAAAAAAAAAAAGAAAGTGAAAGAAAAGTAAAAGAATGAAAAGTTAAAAAAGTGGATCCGTAAAGTATTCTCTCCCCCCCCAAAGGTTCTCAAACTCCGAAGCGCCACTCTTTTATTCCCATTTGCTGTTCGATAGTATTACACATACAAAACACTCATAGACACAATACACACACCGCAAATACCATTGCTTCACATGACACCATCCTTTTTTATCATTATTTTTTTGTTCTATTGTTACACATTAACTTGACTCCTCTTTCACTCTCCATTTTTTTTTTCAACTATTTGAATACTACTCGCGCGATCTAAAGCCTAAATCACAACTCCTTCAATCCTCACAGTAAAAAAACAATTATATATATATATATATATATAACTATGGGATGATCATCAATATAATACTTGTAATGAAAAGAAAAAAAGAAAAAAGAAGAAAGGATATAAAGTTAAATCTATGGATTTCCTTTTTTGGCGCTTTGATCGCTAGTGTCCCAAAATGGGAAATCGGTATCCACTCCCTTTGATCAACCAAAATGTTTACTTTGATGACACTCTTATCATTATTTATTATTGTTACCTTAATATTTTCTTATTATCATCATCTTCATCCTCATCATTTATAATCATGGAAAATAGGCTTCTTCTCTTTTTTTTTATTTTTATTTTTATTCCTTGTAATAGTTTTTTTTCCATTTCTTTACTTTTAAATCATTCTTTCTCATTTGCTTAGTTCTTACACAATATTATAAGTAGCTTCCATTTTTAGATTTTAGATAGATAACTACAACCATCATTCATTCATTCATTCATTCATTCATCTATACTGTACAATCATCATCTTACTGCTTACCATGATACTCCTTTAATAACATGATTTTTTTTTTTTTGTAAATCCTATTCCCCTTCCTTCTTTTTTTTTTTTTTAATTCTCCCCATACTTCTCTCCTTTTGTACAATGGATTCCAGTCTTCTATGCTTATAATTAAAATCATAAAAAGGTATTATCATCCTCTTCACAAAAGATCAACATTGTCTTTTAATGATGACGAGTTTACCATTAATACATTGATCGACTACTCCATACCCCCCCCCCCCAAATTTTTTTTTGTTTCCCCGATTAGCATTGAGTTTGTCTTGGTATCGTCAGTGAAAGTAATAGTTCTACTTTTGGATGTTCTTTACGACTCTTTTCCGTACATTCGGGTGCTACATGAGATTTAAACCTCAGATCAACTAATACTCTTTATCGCAATTATGGCAGCAAAATCCTAGTATATATGATCCATATAACACTTTATTCAGTATAGATACGACATGTATAAAAAAAAAAAACTAAACTAAAAACTATACTATTCAATTGATTCACTACAATAAACTAAAACAAGGTCATGGTCCACTAATCAAAGAGGCAATAGTCATGGAAGTAGGTTTTTGATTGGTACTGGTTGTAGATGATGATGATGATGATGATGTTGTTGTTGTTGTTGCCGGCGGTGGTGATTGGGTGGGATGTAAAGTATCACTGGAAGATTCCATCATAATCGTATCATCCCTATGATCTTGAGTATTTATACCATTGGTAACTATCGTTTCTTGCGTAACTATTGATAGATCAAGAAAAAAAAAAGTATGTGTAAGCAAACCTTTTCTTTCCCCATTTCTCGGACAAGTGGTAATTTCTTTTTCTAGGATTACCTTTTTTGTTTGTTTTATTCGCACTAATCATATCCGCTGATGTTGTGCTTGATTCTTCATTCGATAGCTTTTTACGTTTTTCCCCTCCTCCTGTGGACTGAGTTGATGATTGCTTTGTTGACTTATGTGCAGAAATAGGAGATGATGGTATTGAACCAGTTGATGCTGTAGTTGTAGATGGTGCAGATCGTTTGACTGGAGTGGTTGCTGGTCGTTTCATTCCTGCTGTTGTTGAAGCACCTGCTGATGTTGATGCTGTTGTTGTTGCGGTTGATGATGATGAATGTGATGATGACGTATGACCTGATTTGATAGAAGTTTCGTCTACATTCTTCATCTTTGATTTATACGTACTATATTGTCGACTGATATCGTAAGTTGTCATCCATTGTGGAGGCCAACACGGTAATAACTATGATCAGAAAAAAAAAAAGGTGAATAAATAATAATAATAAATAAATCATTAGTTTTCTTTCACTTACTTTAGTATACATCGCCTTTCTAGCTTTGGTTTCAGTAACTACTTGTTCTGGTCGTCCAGTGAATTCTCTAAAGTAAGTAAAAACAAAACAAAAATAAATAAATAATATCAATATCCCTTCTTTCCATGTCTTTTTCTTTTTTCCACATACGCAATATCATTGGATAAGTTGACCGAGTACATATCCTTTGTCAATATTTCATATAAAGTCCGGCGAATCGTTTCATTGCATCTAAATTTTCGTTCCACTTCCAACCCGTCTGATGGTTGGTTCTCTAATAAAAAAAAGAAAATGAAAAAAAATCGTAAGTTTTATAATATATGTAACCTTTTATATATATATATATATAAAGATAAAAACTTACTCTGTTCAAGTACTTTTTGTTCATATTGTTGTAACTGCTCTGGCATGAGTTTATCCACTGCTTCGGCCAATTGTTTGATCAAGTCCTCGATTTCTTGTTGTAATTCATTGACTATGCCTGGTCCTGCCTTGGTGGTCAAGAATTTCTATCATACAAAAAAAAAAGGAAATGTTTTGTGAGTAAAAAAGTAAACCCATTGCATTTTTCCTTTTTCTTCTTTACCTTTAATGTGAAACGGTTGTAAGGAAGAATGTCCATCAAATGATTGACTACATTTTCATCCATTTTATGATACAGGCGAAACATTTTAGCACCGACTTGAAGTACTGTAGGTCGTAAAGAAGTTGGGAATTTGGATTTGACTTCAAATGTTTCTTTGGCTCTATCTTGTCGTAATTTATCCATTAATACTTCAATACTAGGATCCAATGGTTGAAGTTTATCGCTTGATGATGATTTCGTTTTCTTGCTGGTGCTTTTTGCTTTTGAAGATTGTGATGTTGATGATGATGTATTTGTAGTTGATTTCTTTACATCAGTAGATGATACTATATTGTTTGTAGAGGAAGTATCATTTGTTGTTACTTTACTGGGTAATGATGATTTTGGTTTGTTGGATGGTTTTTTGCTAGTACTATCAGTTGAAGTTGACTTTTTCATTACAGGACTTCCTTTGTTGGTAGTATCTGACTTTAAGGAAGAAGACGAAGAAGAAGAAGGTTTTTTGGTTTTTGTGGAATTAGTTGCAGAGGATGAGTTTGTTGTTTTTGCTGTTGTTGTGCCTGTTTCTGATGTTAATGAGGTTGTTGACTTTGCAGGTTTTTCCGTATCGTCTTCAGTATCAGAGATTTCTATAGTTTCTATCTTGTTGGTTGATTTCTTTGTTGAAGAAGAAGTCGATGGTCGAACTTTACTACTATTCCAGGTTGCTGAACCGACTGATTTAGTATCCTTTTTCACATTTGTTTTCTTCTTTGATCCCGTTGTACTATCAAATAAAAAAAAAAAGAATAGTTGAGTATATACATTTTTTTAATACCAAAGTTCAAAACTTACTTATCAGATCCATCTAAGGAGCCATGATAAACAAAGAATCCATCGTATTCAGGTTGCGAGTATTCATAAGGTTCATCCAACATCATATCACTATCATCAATGAAAGGATCGTCATAATCATATTCGTCTCCTTTGTTGTCTTTCTATTAAATAAATAAATAAATAAATATTGAGCTCAAAGTTGATAATAACTTACATTAGGTGTATTATCTTCTTCACCAGATTCCACGTCTTCTTCATCAGGTTTCATATCGTATTTCGCAGCACGTTCTAATAACAGTTTATAAAAGTCATTGTCGTCCTGGATCAAAGGGGCCAAGGGGAAATCCTTCACTTCTTTTTCATGACGTTTTAGTAGATCCGGATAAGAGAAAACAATGGGAGCATTGGCAGGTAAATTAACACGTAGTCTGATGGACTGACCTGAAGTACTAGCCATCGTATGACAAAACTAAAGAAAAAAAAAAAAGAATTAAATAAAACAAAAATGGAGAGAGGAAGAAAAAAGGTTGGATGAGATTCGGGTTCTAGAGTGAATTTGATTGGTCGAATGACGTTGGTCAAACCGGAAGGAAAAAATATTCATACAATAAATATTATTATTATTTTTTATCCCCTTGCCATTTTTTTTTCTTTTCAGTGTACACAATATTTTTTTTTTTTATTTACAACCCTTGTCTTACTACAATTACACTTTACTAAAATAAACAAAGTAAATTAAAGTAAAGTATACTTTATAAAAATAAGAAGAAGAAGAAGAAAAAAAAAAAAAAAGAAAAGAAAAGACTTGATAAACATTGACTAATGTTTTTTTTTTTTTTATTTATTGTTTTAGTTGTACTTCTCTTTTTTTCTATCGAAAACAAATTCTCTCCGTCAGTCATGTCTGATATTTACGGCGTACCTACAACCATGTTGAATACTCGACGACACCTTCGACGAAACTCTTCACCTGGTATGGACGTTATTCGTGATGAAATTAATGAAACTATTCCTAAACCTTTGGACTTGTCTCGTTCAAAACTATTCAGTCCAGCTTCGTCCATTTTACATTCACCTATTGCTATGTCTCCTTCTTCGTCTAGTTCTTCTATTCGATCTGCTGCTCGTACTCACCAATATCGTATGAATGCTGCTCAAGAACAACGTACTTACCACGAAAGTTGTCAACGACTTTTGAGTCATATTGCCTCTGTTACCAGTATTTGTGATGAATTATACAAAAATAATAAGAATCATTCTGTATATTATCCTCCTTTCCCCAAGGCTCAACAACAACGACTTAATTCTACTCGTCTACAACCTCAACGCTCAATGACTACTTCTTTTATATCTGATTCGATGCATTTGGAAACTGCCTCTCAACCAGATATGGGAACTCCTTCTTCTATTGTGGATTCACTTTATCAACGTCGCTCCTCTGTTCAGTCTGATTCTTTACCGTCTTTGCAATCATCCACTTCTACTCTTGTCGCTAATGCCCATGCCAGTTTCTTGAAACAAGAATTCAATATTCTTCATTTGGATCTTAAGGTTGGTCATGCTACAACCAATTTACACTCCACTTTGGAACAATCATCTATTGCCAACCTTTTGGAAGAAAAGCTTTTACAATGCAAACGACATTTGGATAATTTATATACTCGAGTTGCTGATACTTCATCCAAGGTACTTGTAACTGGTGATTTGAATGCTGGGAAGAGTACTTTTGTCAATGCTTTATTGAAACGAGAATTGTTACCTGCTGATCAACAACCCTGTACCAATATGTTTTGTGAAGTTTTGGATGCTAATCTCAACGATGGTGTAGAACAAATGCACGCTATTCCTCAAGTGGAAAATTATGATCGTCTTAATCCTGCTACTTATCATGTTGTGGAAATGCGTCACTTGGACAAACTAATTATGGATGATTATGAACAATACCAAATGGTCAAGATTTATACCAATGATGCTCGAAATACTCAAGAAAGTCTTTTGCATAATGGTGTGGTTGATATTGCTCTGATTGATTCTCCTGGTCTTAATACTGATTCTGTCAAAACTACTGCTGTTTTTGCCCGTCAAGAAGAAATTGATGTTGTTGTCTTTGTTGTCAGTGCGGAAAATCATTTCACCCTTTCCGTAAGTCTTATTTCTTTATAAAAACAAATAAAAATATCAACTCTTTTTTTTTTTTAAATATATATATATATATATAGGGAAAAGAATTTTTGTGGAATGCTGCCAATGAAAAAACTCATATTTTCATTGTTGTCAATCGATTTGATTCTATTCGGGATAAAGATCGATGCAAACGCAATATTTTGGAACAAATTCGTCAATTATCTCCAGCTACTTATCAAGATGCAGATGATTTGGTTCACTTTGTTAGTGCAGGTGATGTTGATTTGGAACCTGGATCTCGCAAGTTAGATGCTCCTGATTTCGCAAGATTGGAAGAACGATTACGTGCATTTGTATTAGGCAATCGTACCAAGAGCAAACTTCTTCCTGCCAAAAATTATCTGGTAAATCTTTTGTTGGATATTGGTGTACTTTCTGAAGCTAATCAAGCTGATGCTGCTGCCAAATATCAAGAAGCTACTACCATGTTGGAAAAGGACTTGCCTGCATATGAACAACTTCTTCGTGCTCGTGATCGTATGTTGAATCAAGTCGAACGTATGGCTGAAACTACTGTGACGATGGTACAACGTCAAGCAATGGAGCGACTTCAAGAAGCTGCTGAACAAGTACAAAAAGCTATTGAACCATTGGAATACCCTGGTTTCTTTTTACTTTGGCAATATGCACAGGATCTTTGTGAGTCTATGGCACAAGCAATGGTGAAAGAAATTCGAGCAGTGGAACAACAAACACGACAAGATACACAACATTGTTTGGATAATGTTCATCAAGTAGCTGAAGAACAATTGGGCAATTTTCCTCGTGTGGCTAATGTAGATGGTATGTTTTTAAGACCTCGTGACCGACGTTTATTGATCCAAGTGGAAACTACCGACTTTTTTGACTTTGTATTGGATGATAAGTTATCAGGATGTGCTCTCTCCGTAGGTGCTGCTGCAATGGTAGGTGGACGATTAATGGGTTTCAAGGATGCCGTATCAAGTCTTTGGAATATGTCTACCATGTTGGGTGCTCAAAATATGCGTAGAATGGCACTTCCTGTGATCGGTATTGCTAGTGCCGGATTACTCATCTATGTCGTGGCCGATATGAGAAATGCAGTGGAACGCAAATTAGTACGCAAATTTAAACAAGCTGTTCGTGATCAAGGTTATGTAGAAACGCAAAGTCATCGTATTGGTCGTGACACTCGCAAGATGCTTCGTGTGGAAGGATGGGAAATCCAATCTCGTTTACAAAAGGCTATTGAAACAAAGGAACAAAAACGCAATGAAATGGAATTCGTGATTCAAACCTCTCAAGAAGCCATGACTTATTTTACTTCTTTACTGGAGAAATCTACTATGATGTTAGACAAGGTCGAATTGGTTCAAATTGAACAATCCAGAATAGATGAACCTTTGAAGATCTAGGTCTTCTTTTTTTTTTGTTTTATTTTATTTTATTTTATTTTATATTTTTGTTATATGTATAGTCCTTCCCACCCTTTCTCCTTTTTTTTTTTTTCCTAGTATATTATATATCCCCACTTTTATTTCACCATGAATGAACTTCTTTTATAGTTTTCTATATACAGACGTTCGCCATTTTTATTATTATTCTTGTTATCATTATTCGTTATCAAATAAAATTTTCTGGCTTTTTAAAATTTATAATATATAATTTTACGATGATGATAATGATGATTTTTTTTTTTTTTACGTTGGTTTCAATTCGATACTATGTGTCATCTTGACTAAAATAGATAATATTGCACTCGACAGTTTAAAATAGAATTTGACTAGAATGAATATCTCTCATTATATGATGATCGATCATCCACTCACTTTGAACCTCTTTGATCTTCTTCTTTTGTCAAATGGATGACTTAATATCATCATCATTGTTCTTGTTTGGTGCATGAAAAATCTTGGGGAAACTCTCTATGTTTGTATATTCAAATACCGAAGTGAAATTTTTTTCTCTTCTTTTGGTTGTCGCACACACGAACATACACACACAAGCTGGGGGTCAAAAAAAAAGAACGTTTTGTAAACAATTCTTTTTGTTTTTTTTTTTTTCTCGTTCTTTCTTTTTTTTTTTTTTTCTTCCATCATCCTGTAATAAAAAAAAAACAAAAACAAACTATAAATACGATGCCCGGTGAAGCCATGTTATTCCTGTTTGCGGTTATTATCGCTGCACTACTTTTATTCCTGATGGTCTTTTTCGTATCCTTTTATTATTATTATTATTATTATTATCATGATGTTTACGTGTATTACACCTTATTATTATCAACTATGACTTTATTACCTTGACTCTTTTTCTTTACTTTATGAATTAGGTTATCATGTTCTCTGATTTGGAATGTGACTATATCAATCCCATCGATCTTTGCAACAAACTCAACCAGGTAAAAAAAAAAAAAAAAAAAAAAAAAAGCAAAAAGCAAATGGGTTTGATATATTAATCTTCGAGATTCCTTTTTTTTTTTTTCTTGAATGTAGTTTGTTTTACCGGAAATGGGCACACACGCGTTCTTGTTTTTCTTGTTCTTGATTTACGGAAGTTGGATAGCCATGTTACTCAATCTACCACTTGTTGTCTACAATATTCAAAAGTAAGTACATAATCAGGAAAAAAAAAAGATATAAAGAAATAGAATAGAATATGATATGATCAAGTTCTCATCACAAACCTTCAATTTATATTCATATAGAGTCACTTCGAATCGACATATGTATGGTAAGTTGTTGGATGATCAATTTAGGAATGGATGATAGAGATTGATGGATTACTTAACTTTTGTATGTATACGTATTGTCTGATCATTGGTTCTCTTATTACAATATTTTTACAATATATAGATGCTACCGAGATTTTCCGTACTCTGTCGGCCCATAAGAAGGAATGCTTTATCAAACTAGGATTCTATCTAATTGTAAGCGAAAAAGAAAATAGTAAAGGTTATTTACTAACATATTTTAATCTTTAGATGTTCTTCTACTTTTTGTATCGTATGATTGTCGCCTTGATTGCCGCCGATTCTTGATCAACAAAACGACAACAAATCATGGATGATTACCTCAAAACTTTGGAAACTAGGATGATTCTTCTTATGTCATTGTAGTGTTGTTGATTATTATTTTTTACACTTCTTGTTTATTGTACATCATTCTCTCCCTCTCTTTTATATATACGCAATCAATAAAAATAAACATACAAACATGATTCTATATTATCTTTGGTTTATGCGAATGACTGACCTGCAATTACTTAAAAGTAAAGTAATATACCTATAAAAAAAGGCCAAATAGGTCACGTTTTTTTTTTTTTTTTGCCTTCAACCTTTTTATGCACCAATACAGTCGAAATGACTTTGTCCAATCCAGATGATCTCGAGAAAACATCTTTACCCTGGATCAACCTTTGTGATCATTTGATTTCATTTTTTTTTTTTTTTTTTTTTTTTTTACTATTTGGAGTTTTCCTATTGGAAATAATGACACAAAATGAGCGACCTGTCCAACCAAAAAACAGGCGGTAGATGAATCAGTTACCCTGACGTAAAATGATGGGATAAGGTACCTTTTTTTTTTTTATATAACATACAACCTTCATAGTAACTTTCAACCGGCGCACTGCCTTGATGTTATCATTGGTATTGTGATTTTAAATCCCTTCTATATTTCTGATTTTAGTACTTGATGGTCATTTTGAATTATTGAATATGATGGAAACTAATAGGTTTTACCCCGTCAGATATCATAATCTACAAATTGTCCTTTTTGTCTCATGACATTTCATCTTTTGGGAAAGAATCGGATATGAAAAAAAAAAAACTTTAACCTAGTATTCTGTACCAAGTTAAAAAAGAAAGAAAAGCAACTTTCATTGGTTTTATGGATATTACTTTTAATCTAAAGAAAAAAAAAAGAACTATCCCTTTTTCGATGGGCATCAAGACCATTCATTGACTTATCATTAATTTGCTAGATAGAACTCACGTATATCTTTATATACGATAACCTAAAAAAAAAAATGATAGCGTTAGTTGTTATCCAACCAATTAGAATGGGATTGTGGGGATGGAATTAAACTATCGCTGGGTACCATAAAAGGCTATTGTGAGATTAGTAAAACCTTCCAGATTGTTTAAAGAATCGAGTGTTTTTACTATATACAGAGCTCAAATATTGAGAGAACACCACTTTTTCTTTTTTATTTTCTTTCTTTCTTTCTCTTAATCATTTTTTTTTTTTTTATGATGACTAGTAAATTAGAAAAAAGTGAAAAATTCGAGACTTCTACTTTGGAAAGTAAAGATTCAGTTATAGAAGATCAAGTCAAATTACGGGAAGCCCCCGATGGGGGAATAAGCTGGTTATCTGTTATTGGCTGCTTCTGTGTAAGTCTAAAAAAAAAAAAAAAGAAAACTCTATCTCTTATTTATTTTTTATTATTATTTTTTTTTTCTGTCTCACTGGGGGATGATTCACTTTCTTAGGGTCTATTTGCTACGCAAGGTTATGGGTAAGAAAAAAAAAAAAAAAGGAATGATGATCATCAATATGAACTAACAATTTTTTTTTTTTGATCATTCATACTAGTTACTCTTGGGGTGTTTACTTGGATTACTATAATAGTAATGTGTATCCTGGTGAACTGACTAATTTGACATGGATTGGATCATTATGGTTTGGTTTAACCAATATCACTGGACCATTTTATGTATACCTCTGTGGTAAAATAGGATATCGTTGGATGATTGGTGTTGCTTGTATTCTATCTTGTTTTTCTATGATGATGGCTTCTCTTACTACAGCGGTAAGTGAAAAATATTATGGCTAAAGTTCCCCTTTTTTGGACATGCTCAATTTATAAAAGGCGTGGGGGACAAAATCTGTGGGAAAAAAAAATTGATATTCAACTTCTTTTCGTTTCTCTTTCCTTTTTTTTTTTTTTTTTTTTTTTTTCTTTTGAACCAGGTATGGCAATTGTACATTACTCAAGGTGTAATGAGTGGCATCGCGTCCTCTCTCATTTGGTTTCCATGTATTAGTGCTCCTGTAAGCTCACAAAAAAAAAAAAAATTGCATTGTTTACTGACAGACTTTATTCTTTTTTTTTTTTTTAAAAAAAAAAAAAAAAAACATATGTGATTAGCAACAATGGTTCTCTTCTAAACGTGGATTGGCAGTTGGACTAGGTATCTCTGGATCAGGCCTTGGAGGACTCGCTATTTCCAAGATTGTAGGTGCGGCTATTGACTCTGTTGGTTATCGCTGGTCTTTGCGTATTTTAGGCTTCATCCAATTGGTCTTGATGGGTATTTCCTTCTTCACAGTTAGACCTTTGAATCCACTTCCTCGAGATGTCCCATTCTTTGACCTGGCACCTTTTAAGAACAAGAAATTTTGGGTCTTATGTTGTATTCATTGTCTTGGCAACTTTGCATTCTACATTCCCTCTAGTTTCGTTCCTTCGTACGCCACCTCCCTTGGTCTTCCTTCCGACATTTCCCGCAATTTGTCTGCAGTCATGTCTGGTATCATGGTTGTCGGTAAGATCCTCAATGGATGTCTCAGTGATTATTTTGGTCGTGTCAATGTGACGTTTTTATGCAGTGTCATGACAGGTGTGATCTGTCTTGCTGTTTGGATGACTGCCGAAACTGCTGCTTCCATGTGGGCCTTTGCTGTTCTATTTGGTATCTTTGGTGGTGGTTATGTATCCATGATCGCAGCCGTCATTGCTGATTGTGTTGGTATCGAACTCATTGAAAGTGCTACTGGTTGGCTTTACTTTGCTTGGATATTTGGTGGTCTATTTGGTCAACCTCTCTCTGCCGTCATCATTGAACAAGGTAATCTAGGTTACAAAGGAGCTATTATCTTTGCTGGTGTCATTTTCCTTTTCGTTGGTCTCTTGGCTGGTATCTTACGCTTTATGAAAAGTGGCCCCAAACTATTTGCTAAAGTTTAATCGCTGTTCTTCTAGTTAGTTATCTTCTCCTATATTAGTTTTTTTTTTTTTTTTTTTTTTCTCTCTTCTCACTTCTCACTATGTATTCTCTTTGTATTTCTACTTATTTTTTTTTTTAATAAACTTTCTTGATTTTGCTAACAATTATTTTGGATAGATCAATGGATAAATGATATTTGGTGGTATGTAATGATAGGATGATAATTGATGACGGGATGAATAGATATGAATTGGAATGACCTGTAATGATTGTATGATAATAGTTAAATGACAATATATTAAACAAATGATAATAAAAATATGATTTTATTTAAATGAGAATATAATATCTATAACTAAAAGACTAAACTATTAAATAAACTAATTTCTTATGATAAAGAGTTGGATACTTTTTCCCTAATTTGCTTATTCTTTTATCCAATATTCATTTAATCCTATTGTATATTTCTTTATATATCCTATCTACTATATGTTCATAAAAAGAGTAAAAAAAAAAAATAGATTAGTTCATAATATGATGGAGTAAGAAGAGAAAAAAAAAAAAAGGAAAGAATAAGTATAGAGTAAGCATAATATATATATAAAGAGTGACTTTTAAATATATAATATAGATTAATAAAGTAATGTATAATGGTAACTTAACAATGTTCAAAGTGCCAGTGGTTAAAAAAAAAAAAAAAAAGTAAAAAAAATGCAAAAGGAAAAAAAAAAGAAAAGTGAAGTGCGCCAAATTTTTCTTTTGTCAGAGCTTTGGTCCAACTTTTTTCCAATTGTCTCCAACATTTTTTTTTTTTTTTAATCTCCCAGATTTTTTTTTTTTTTTGATCTCGACCAGCTTTTTTTTTTTTTTTTTTTGATCCGACACACCCCCACATTGAGAACGGACTTTAAATGCATACCATTTATGGAAAACACTAATGTTTTTAATAAAGTAGAATTAGATGAATAAATAATAATAATAATAATAAGATGCTTTAGATTGAATTATTAGTAAAAGATAATAATAATAATAATAATAATAATAATAATAATAATAATATGAAATGATGATTTTATAATTCATAATAAGATGAATATTAACTATAGTATTATAATATATACTTTTGATGACAAGTTACCCTTTCTCTCTTTTTTTATCAAATTCATAAAATATGATAATATGATGATATAAATCAATACTGTAATAATAACAATAATGATTTGTACTTTATTAAAAGAAGAAGAATGTAAATTAACTAATATATATGTAACTACTAAGACTAACAAACAACACAAACAACTATAATAGAATCAGATGGAATAATATAAAATAAAGATGATTTTATTCAAAGCATAATAAATAAATAAATAATAAACTAAATCAAACATAATAACAACATCATAAAGAGACCTATAAAGAATAATAATAAAAAAAAAAAGAGAAGGTGAAGGCCCCTAAACCATTTAGGATTCATGATCATCATATAGAGTTATCTTGATATCATCATCATCATCATCCATTTACTTTTTTTATTGTCCCTGAATTATTTTAAAATGTCCCTCTACGGCTTTCTTAGATTTCTAGACCAGTCAAACCTAACATATTAGAATGTGTAGATCAATTTAGTGTAGTACATAGTCCTAACTGCATAAAAAAATATCAATGTCCATTTCTCATCATGACATTAAGTATCAATACACTTTTTTTTTTCTCTTTTGTAAAGAAATGATATATGTATACCACTATTACTATAAAAAAAAAAGAAGACGATTAGATAAAACAGGTCATGTGGAGTTTGAAACGCGTAAAAAAATTATCTTATGAGCAGATAATTTTTTACTTTTTTTTTCTCTCTTTTCTTTTCTTTCTTTCGTTTTTCTCAACTTTTAAACTAAGTTTACTAACACGTAATCACTCTTCAATTATTTAGGTTGTTCCTGTATTATGCTTTTCCTTTACTGACCACCTCATTCACAATCATCTCTTGCTGAAGGGCTTGGTTGTTCTGTAAGTAATTAAATAAATATGTCAAGTTATTATATACTCACCCTTTCTTTCTTTCTTTCTTTTTTATCTTCATTGTTTACATATTCAAATGGGTGAGTAATAAAAAAAAATTAGCTTCATTACCAAGCTAATCTAATTCTGTTTATTTGGACTTTAGAAGTTAGTTCTGTGTGGCCCACAAATGACATCTATTACCGTAAGTTTATGTTGTATAAGTAATAACCATGAGAGCAAGAATGAATAGTTAACTAAAATCATTGTTATCTTTTATTGTATTAGCATCCCAAGTGGACAAAAGTTTTCCAAAAATAGTGATAGTATGTTTTCTTCTTTTACTGGCGAAAACAAGAACATTCTTGTATGAAGGATGACGGTATTGAGAATCTAAGGAAAGGCAATATTATAAATGAAATTCATCATAAATCATCTTTTTTTTTAATGCAACCATTACTGGCTCTTCTTATAATAGGTACGGTTGATGTCATATGAGGCTCTTATCGTTTTGTTGTCAATGTTTTATGGATGGATGATGGGGATAAACAAGGCATATACAAGGAAAAAGTAAAGGTAAGGCAAAAAATAATGGATGTGGTAGACTACTTTTGTATGTTACTTTTTTATTCTTCTTTTGCGGTCGCCACAAGCAAAGAAAGCAAGAATTATGAAAGTACTCTATCTCCTTTTACCATATTATATATTGTGAATAACCTATTCATCCTGTCATTTCCTTTTTTTTTTTTTTTTTTTTTTTTTTTTTTTTTTAGTTCTCTACGGTGTAATAGATATTTGAATACCTTTGATATCTTGGTTGGATTTTACTTTCGAACTGACTTGATTTTGAATTAATTTGATATTTTATGATTTTCTTTTGGAGTTAGGTCTTGATCAAACCTGCTTTAACCGCTAATCATAAATGTCAAAGTTGACTTGAGGTTAAGCTAGCTCCCAAAGGTAAATTCAACTAAGATATCAAATGTATTCAAGTAGTCTGTGAATCATATCCGTGTGCGCGATGGGGTGGAAGGTAATATTTAAAGAATATTATATAATGAATACAGTATACGGTGGTTACTACTAAAAATCACTCTTATATATTATACATATATTCTATAGTAGTTCTATATGCTTGGTGATATCAAGTCATACAGTTGTCAAGGAATATATTGGGTTAGCAAACAAAAAGAAAATATTGGAAGTCAATATAGTTTTACCTCTTCATGGTGGTTCCTGGGTAACGGCTAAATAAACTATTCCTTTTTATTTAAAAAATAGTAGAATAGGTATATGGTGTATTTTATTTTATTCATCTTATACGAACCCAAATAAATTTTTGTTTTCAATTTAATTGTCCATCTCTTTTTTCTTTTTTGATTGGTTTATTTTATGATGGTATATTGATGTTGACGTTAAAGATAATGATGGTCATGATAAACCTATGTTGATATCGACGTTAAAGCTAATGATGATAAATATAATGCGATTTTACAAAGACATATCTATGGTAGCAACACTATGAAGATAATTTCATGATCAGTTGATCATGATGATGAAAAAACTCATAACAACTAATCTAATAAGAACAACCCAACTTTCACCATCTTCGATTGAATCGGTTAGTAGATGACAATAATAATAAGTATGATCAAGAATGATTAAGTAATAAAACGGTAACTCGAAGCACTATCGAATGTTAGTGGGTGCTCTGCAGCCAATGATTTTCAGCGGAAAGAACATGGATTATGTATCACAAAAAGAAAGTGCATAAACATACTATCTGCGGAATACGAATAGACAAAGAAATGACAATTGACTATTCTCTCTGATCAACATCAACAATATAACTATATAACATCAAACAATCGTTGTATTTTCCTCTTTTCTTTTTTCTCACCCTTTCTCTCTTTTTTTCTTTTGATGACCAACTACGATTTCTCTTACTAATTTTACCCTTCCTATGAAGGAATATAAACCTGAAAAAGAGGATGTTGAAATCAGAGCTGTTTATACTGATGATCATAGTACGAAAATATTTTTTTGATGTAAAAATCAACCATATTAGGACTTTAGTTTCATTTTAGTTTGTCTCTGATTAATTTGTCCTGAATTTTTTGACCAATTATATTCAATAGAATAATCTCCAGGAGATCTTGTATTTTACACTGAGGGTGAGCGGACTTCTTCGTTTGCCACTATTGCTTAGCACGAGTTTTTTTTTTTTTTTTTTTTTTTTTGGATCTTCCCTTTTTCTCTTCCTTTCTTTCTCTTTTCAATTTATTCATTTTATTTGATACCACTTTTTATATATTCATGTATTACGATGCTCCCCAATGAAATACAACAATTGATTTGTCATATAGCGATAACACAGTCTGAGAATAGTGTCAAGACTATGCTCCTACTCCTGAAAGTGAACAAACTATGGGCTCATTTTGTCTGTAGTCATTATTATCGGTAAGTCATCGAAAGGGTCAAGAAGAAAAAAAAACAGAAGAAAAGAAAAAAAGAAGAGAAGGGTTTGAAGGGTCAAGAAGAAGAAAAAAACAGAAGAAAAGAAAAAAAGAAGAGAAGGGTTTGATTGTTTCTTTACTAAATCTTCTTTACTTTTACCTCTCTTTTTTTTCATTGTTTGTGTGCGGTATTACTTAGTCATTATCGAATAGATAAGTATGTGACATTCATTGGGTTTTACAACACTATAGTATCTAAACAAACAGTACTACCATATGGTCATTATATATATTCTTTAGACTTGACACCCATCAACAAGTATGGAGTGGATATGCGTACTCATGAATTGATTCGACATTGCCCCAATCTCAAGTCGGTGACACTAGGACATCCGACTAGTTTGAAACCTACGACTATACGCTGGATGGCTCGATACTGCAAACAATTGGAAACATTATCGGTTGGAGCTTTGGAAAGCTTTCCTTTCATGTTGGAATGCGATTTTTCAAACTTGAATAGTTTGAAGAAAATTGTATTTTCGACAACACCTTTGCTCAATTCCTCCCTATTGACTTTACCCCGATCTTTACAGCAACTACATTTGATACGAATGGATTCTTTGGATACGGAAACTATGACAGCATTTTTTCAACAAAGACAGACAAAAAGGAATTATGAAAAGATCACACATTTGGCAATCCACCGATGTCCCCGATTATTGGAAAACATGACAAGTTGGTTACCTTTGAATCATCTAAAGTGGCTGTCTCTTTCTGGACTTGATGTTAGGGATGAACATGTGATTGCTTTATTATCAATGCCTGGTGAATTGGATAGGTTGGAATTGAAGAATACTCAAATCACGACAAAAACTTTGAATTTTTTGGCTACTGCTAGATCTTGTGATAGTGCTGCTGGTCAGCGTCGTCTTGAAGTCAAGGAATTACGCTTGGACAAGAATCTGAATTTGGACAATCAACAATTGTAGCTATAGATAGATGGTCTTTTTTTTATGAACTAGTTATTGTTTATCTAGTGAAAAAAACTGTATATTATTCTTAATACAAATAAACTTTTGTTGCATTATTTATGATGGATGTCTATTTTATTTTTATTTTTATTTTATTTTTATTTTTTTTAAAAAAAAAAAATCATGGCTTTGTCCGTTGTGTACCCTTTGATGATTCTTTCGGTGATTAGAAAAAAGATATTTTTATATCAAAAACTTGTTATTGCGCAACTCAGATTAAAGAAGAAGAGGCTGACTGATTTCCTTTTCAGGATATTTCATCATGTAGTACAAACAGGGTAAGCAAAATAAATTAGACAAAAACTTCTTGTTTGTTCATTTTTCTTTCTTCTGTCTTCCCCTTTTTTTTTAAGCTTTTCTTTTCATCTTTCCATTTTCTTTATTATCATAATGTTCAACAAACTCATTCTTGCTGCTACCACCTTACTTGCCAGTTCCTTTGTTGCTGATGCTTCTATGGCTCCTTCCTATCCTTCTCCAGGCACTGTCTGGAAAGCTGGTCAACAATATGACATCCTTTGGGGTAATACTAATACCAAAAAAAAAAAAAAACAAAAAAAAAAAAAACTTGATTGACTTATCCTACTTTATATATATATATATAGCTGATGATTCTACTTCTCCAAGCATTGCTTCTGGTTGGAAAGACTTCAAAATCGGTAAAACTGAAAAATATCGTCTAATCCATTCATCCGTATTTTTTTTTTTTTTTGTTGTTGACTAAAGAATAATATTATTGATGATTGATTAGATTTTATGACCGGTGATAATAATAACCAAATCTTCATCACCAATGTTGCTTCCGTAAGTCATCATAAAAAAAAAAAAAAGAAATATCTATTTTTTTTTTGATTGATATAATTTGATTTAACTGATTTATTTACATGATCATCTTTAGAATTTGGATGGTACCAAGATCTCCAAATACACCTGGACTGCTCCTGAAGTGAACCCCAATTCAGCCATTTACTTCTTCATGTTCACTAATAGTAAGCTTTTTTTTTTTTTATTTGTTGTTGCAAATCATGTTAATGTTTGGTTACGCGAGATTTATATTGAATCATACAAATTTGGATAAAATATTGAATTTTTTTTTTTGTTTGTGATCTTTTATTGCTTAGCTGCTGGTAACTCTGCCTGGACTACTCGTTTCGGTATCAGTGGTCCTAATGGTGAACTCACTCCTCCTGAACATGCCACTCAACCTACTGGTAAAAAAAAAAAAAAAAAAAAAAAAAAAAGAGTACATCAATTATTTTTACATATATTCATTATTATTATTATTATTATCAATAGGTGAAAAGATCCCTTGGGGTGTTGGTGCATTGGCTTCTGGTAACTCTACCTCCAGTGCTAGTAATTCTACTCAATCTTCTATTGCTAGCAGTGCATCTGCCAGTGTGAGTGTGTCTGCATCATCCTCTCCCGTTTCTGCTTCTTCATCTCCTTCTGCTTCTGCTTCTCCTGCAGCCGCTTCTTCATCTGGTACCTCCACTGCTGCTGCTGCTTCTAATAAACCTTCCAATGCTGCTGGTTCTCTTACTCGTCCTTTGGCTGGTGTTGCTATGGCTGCTGCTGCTGCATGTATGTTGATTTAGATTCATTATCATCATCACTATTATCATCATCACCATTTTTTTATTTATACTCCATAACCTTTATGATCACCCCTCTTTTTTTTCCTTATTCAAGTTTATAATGTGTTTTGTACTTTATATTTCTATTTCCTCCTTATTCTAACTGTGCTCTCTCTCTCTCTCTAATAAAAGTAAAGGAAGTATACTTGATTTGGTTGTTTTTAGTACGAGAAATATTTCCTTTTTTTTTTTTTATTTGTTATATTAATGTGTGTAATGATGAATGGTTTCTCAGCAGCATGATATATGAAGAAGGGTTACACAATGAAAAATGGGAAATGTCAACTTAGTTTAACATTCAACATGTTTTGACTTTTTTTTTTGTCAGCTGCCGATTTTCCTGGTCCATGTTTTATATAAATAGTCACTCTTCCATTGACTTCTTTGAGTAATCCTATCCTTTCTAATAACAGAAACATAGAAAGAGCGCCAAAATAGATGAACTATGTTTTTTTTTCTTCTCTTTTTCTTTTTTAGAAGAAAAATAAAATATAAAAAATAAGGTGAGTGTTGTCTTCCATATTCAGAAAATTAAAATGAGATGTATTTTGTACTCCTTCTTTTTAACTAGTATAGAATCGATCTAAACTTGATTGAAATCAATTCTTTATTATTCTACTCAAACCTTGATTTGGATTAACCTCGTTTCTTTTCCTTCCTCCTTCTCTTTTTCTGTTTTTTTTTTTTTCTGTCTTCTCTGTCATTTCAGGAAAAAAAAAGGAATCATCTTTCCTCTCTAAATCTTTAATAATAATATTAAAAGATCAGTCAAGATGATTTCTATGATATCTTACAATGATAATGAATTTGTTAAAGAGGATTACTTTAATGAATATGATGATGGATGATGATGATACGCCTGTATGCCTCTCTGTAGAATCAACTCCGACATCAATATATTTTTTTCTCTTTTCTTTTTCTCTTCTTTTCTTTTTCTCTTTTCTTTTCTTTTCTTTTCTTTTTTATATCAATTTTACATGGTAAGTCTCTTCTCAATTTGAAAAACTTTTATCTTTCTTCATTATTATTATTATTTACAAAAAATGAAACTAATTCTTTCTATCACTGCTTTATTTTACTTTTCTTTTATATTTTAGTTTTGTATTAGCAACATGGATGTAACTTTTATTCCTCGTAAAACTTATTATGGTTATGAATCGACTTGATATCAGTAATAGATGAACGTGAACCTTAGAAAAAGTAAGAGACAAGTATATACAAATCAGCGCCTATCAGCAGTCAACAACATAGATAGATAAGGTTCTTGGTACAGTAGGATTCGGTAGGATAACATATACGACAGGATGTTACAGGATAATTAATACATATGACAGGTACAACAAGGTGGAATATAGGAAAGAACAGTCTTTGATTTAGTTTAACTTATTTTAGTTGTATATATAGTTTCAATAATTTAGATATGGAAATAAAGTATACATTTTTTTTTGATTGGGTTTTACTATTTTGAAATATGAAATACACTGTGGGGATATCGTTAGTATTGGATTTGATAGAGAGTATTATCACCATCAATCGACTATTATCAAGCAACTTTCAATCATACAATATGATCATTGATACGCTAGCTTAGTTAATATCATCTTGAATCTCCCCTCATCCAGTCATAGCTCTTTCCGGTAAAATAATTAAAATGAAAAAAAAACAGACAGGGGGTACATTATGTCATTGAATATTTTATTATTTTCATTTTATCTTTTTTTTTTTTTTTTGTTGGGGGCCTATCGTCTTTTTTTTTCGCTTTGATTGTCATTTGAACCCCGAATAAACTGAGGTGATGTATGAATTGGAAAAGGTTAGATGTTGATATTAGTTGATCGGGTAAAGAAAGGGAAGAGATGGGAAACAATGGAAAAGAAAAGACCAATTATCTCAGTTTTTTTATTGTAATTTTTTTTTTCTATTTTTTCTTTTTGGATAATTTATTGTATAGAAAGATCACGATACTTTTTGGTGAATAGAAAAGCAAATAAAAAAAAAAAAAAATAAAAGGGAAGAAGAACGACTTTATATGAGACAAACACGATATCGGGGATTTGACTGGTTTCACTTGTAAGCATGATTTCAAAATGCCCATGAAAAGAAAAGAAAGAAAAAAAAAATTATATTTTTCAACACCGCTTTTTTTTTCTTTTCGTTCTTTCTTTCTTTCTTTCTTTCTTGTTCTTCTTTACTCTATAGTCATCAACAATCTTATTAAAAACAAGCTATCTTATTACCATGTCCAAACATACTATTGAAGCCAACCCAGTTGGTCCTATTAATGGTTCTCCTGAACAAAACGCCTATATGGAAGAACTTGAACGTCAACTTACTGTGGACACGGAAAAACTAATTGATATCAAGAACCATTTTATTACCGAGATGATCAAAGGTCTCAATAAACCAAACCATACTTTAGCTATGATTCCTTCTTATGTTGAAGGTCGTTTAACTGGTAAAACAAGAACAAAAAAAAAAAAAAAAAAATACAAACTCAACTTTCTTTTCTTTTTTTTTTTTTTTTATTATTAACGATAATAGGTGAAGAAAAAGGACATTATCTTGCTTTAGATCTTGGTGGTACTAATCTACGGGTTGTATTGGTTACTTTGGAAGGTCAAGGCAAATTCAAAACTATTTCTACAAAAGCTAGAGTATCCGATGAACTCAAGTCGGGTCCCATGCGAAACTTATGTGGTAAAGTTAGAAGAGAAGAATATATAAACAAATATAAAAACTGACCTCATTTCTTTTACTTTTATTTAGATTATATTGCTGATTGTATTGATACTTTCTTGACTGAACAAAATTTGGGAAATGTGGATGAAGATTTGGCTTTGGGTTTCACTTTTTCTTTTCCTGTACTTCAATCAAAGGTAACATATTAATATATTGGTATTACACACACAACGTATATTAGATTACTGATCATCATTTTTTTTTTTTTTTTACTGATATAGATCAATCGTGGTATTCTGACAACTTGGACAAAAGGTTTCAATTGCTCTGGTGCAGTAGGCAAAGATCCTGTATTATTACTTCAAGATGCTCTACTTCGAAAACACGTCCCTGTCAAGATCACAGCCTTAGTGAATGACACTGTTGGTACATTATTATCCAATGCTTATCAAAAACCAAATACATTAGCAGGACTTATTCTAGGCACAGGTTCTAATGGTGCTTATATTGAAAAGATGTCCAACATTGGAAAATGGGAAAAGGAGAATACAACGGCTCATGAAATGGTGATCAACATGGAACTAGGTGCTTTTGACAATGAACGTACGATTTTACCACTTACTCGATTTGACAACAAATTGGATCGGAAATCAATCAATCCACATTCTCAAATCTTTGAAAAACTCATCAGCGGCATGTATTTGGGCGAAATTGTACGCAATGTGATCACTGATATGATGGACAGAAATTTACTGTTTACTCAACCTGGACAAAGCACAGAAGCTATTTCAGCACATTACCAATTTGAAACATCTTTCATGTCTAGTATTGAAGCAGATGGATCCAAAGATTTATCAACTGTTCGTGAAGTCCTGGACACTAATCTCAACCTGACCAATGTGACTGATGTGGAATTACGTATTGTCAAGCGAATTTGTGAACTAGTGGGAACTCGTGCTGCTCGATTAGCTGGTGCTGCCATTGCCTCTATTGCTATTCATACAAAAGTGGATCGTCAAGGTGCTGACTTTGGTATTGATGGCTCTCTCTATGAATTCTATCCTTCCTTTGAATCTCGTATGTATACTGCTTTGGCTGAATTGATGCCTGATTATGCTGATGATATTCGCAATATCATTCGTCTTGGTTTGGCCCGTGATGGTAGTGGTGTGGGTGCTGCTTTAACCGCCTGTGTAGCTGACAGGATGTTCAAGACTGTATAATCTTCCTTGGTTATTCTTTTTTGATTAGTTTTTTTTTTTTTTTTTTAAGCATATATATATATATAATCGTTTGTATTCTTCTGTTTTGTTGTCATCTTTCTTTTTATATATATATACATTACAACTTGTACTTATTTCACATTGTTTTTTAGTTTTTTATTATTTTGATCTTTGTTTATATAAAAACATGGCTGTTCTTTTTTTTTTTTGACAATCTTTTTGATAGAAACAATAATAATAATAAAAAAAAAATAAAGATTCATACAATTTCCTTTTGGATTCAATCATATAGTTTTATTTCTGATCAATCAATAATAACAACATCAACAAAAGAGAAAATCATAGATCAACTACACTACTAGTGGAAGCTATACCATTGAATAGACAAGTATTGTTGATAGGAATGTATTGCCGAGTAATTAATTTGATAGCTTCTTGCGCTACAAGACCGCCCATCAAAGCCGCCATATTTGCTGTTTCTTGATTCCTGAATCGTATGTAATTGGTCATAGGCTTGGTCAGGATTGTATCCACTAATCCACAATCGTTGATTCCCATAGTTTGCAATGTCTTGATTACTTGTTCTTTTAATAACTTCACCTCCTGTTCATCATTTGTTTCCATCATTTCACCTATGAATACATATCTATCAATATCTTCACCACTAGATCTACACCTTTTCTTTTCTCTCCCTTTTTTTTTTTTTTTTTTTTTTTTTTTTTACCTGGATATCTTTGATGTTGGGTGAAGAAATGATCAGCTGCCTGAAAGATAATATAATATGTCATGTTATCATCTGTTGATAATAGATTTTCTATTTTCCAAAAAAAAAAAAAAAAAAAAAAAAAAAAAAAAGGAGAGAGAGATGAAAATCTTCATCAATAGCTTCGAGATAATGAACAATTATAATGGGTATTACCTATTTTGGTCGCTCGAGGTTGTTGTATTTCTTCATTGATGGATCTGAATTGAATCAATTTGACATGACCAGCATTTTTGCAAAACGTGTCAATCGCATCATTTGGTAATAGATCCTTGGGTATATCCAATTTGTTCAATAATGCATCCACTCTTAGAGTCACATTTTTCAAATCCTCCAAAGCTTTTTGTCGATACCTAAATGTCAAAATAAGAAGGAATTAGATCCTAACTTTTTTTTTTTTTTTTGGTTTACGCATTTTGTAATCCCACATAATTTTTTGTATCTGATTTCATATCCGGTAGTTTTCCAGATAATGGTAGTTGACCTTGTCCTTCATTGTTCATAAAATCACGGATAGCTCGAGCAATGATCCAAAAATAAGTTGACTAATAGAAACAATTAGGAGCAAAGGATAAATTTGTTTTCATTATTCCTCTTTTCTAGTTTTACCTGCCCATTCAAATTTTCACATGCATCACTGGCGAATATACTGCGAACGTCAGAAGATATCTATAATACAAAAAAAAAAAGTTTAAGTATGTCCTTTGAAATAACATAGAATCATCATCGTAATATACCTACATTATTTCCTCCAGATAATCTCCAAATATTTGATATGGCTTCTTCAAAGTTTTCTTCATCCACAGTCCGCATATTAGCTTGTACAAGACTTTTGAGTTCATTCCTTTCTGCATAAGATTGAGGTAACTTGCCATCATGCTAATAGCAACGATAATATCAAAAAAAAAAAAAAAAAATGAGTCTTACATACATATATGTATAGATATTCACTCTTTTTTTTTTTTTTTTTTGATGGACTTACTTCAGCTTTCCATTTTTCCACAAAGATCAATAGAATCACAATAAACGGTACATGTGCATGATCTGTCTGATCCAAAGCATCCAAATCAAAAGTCTTAACATACTCCATGAGCTGAGGGAATGGTTGAGTAAGTCGTAAATCAATGACATTTTCAGGATGTGTTTCAATAATGGTATGATCCGGTGCCTGGATTCTGAAGAGTCCAAATAGTCCTTTACATGATACTGTTATCAATATCTTGTTGCTTTCTTCACATAGTGTTGCCAGACGAGAGATATCGGTTTGATGCATATTGGTGGCCACAATCAAAGAAAAGGAAGAGAAAAAAGATGGATCATGTTGAAGTAAATCATGTGGCGACTAAATAGTAAACCAGGAAGAGAAAATGAGTGTTTCTATCTTTTAATAATGAAGTATACCTTCTGAACAAAATGAGTTTCCACCGCTTCATTAAGTTCTTTGAGCAAATGAACCACAGATTGTGCCTTGGGACTATTGATATCACTTGGTTCCAGGAAAAAGTTACTTTGAATATCATGTTTATCCACCAACTTGTCGTCTACAATCGTGACATTGCCAATGCCTAGTCCATGTTTTAAATATATATATATATTATATAAAAGTCAGTAGATTTATTTCACATTATGATATAACTTACCAGGAAGAATAAGATTCTTTAGTACTTCACATCCAGTAGCAGTTGCATTAAGAAGACAAACATTAGCACTTTCAAGGGCTGCTTGTCCAGAACTAGCCCACAATCTAACAAAAAAGCAAGATATAAGTTATCTGACGTCATATAAAAGGTGAGATAATAGTAGACTATTTTAATCACTATACCTTAGCTGTCTATCATATCGTTGAGTTTTTAAGTCTATATTCGGTTTGTTTGTTGTGATGGACATAGTCGCGTATGTATACTGTTATAAAGAATGAAAAAAAAAGAAAAGGAAGTAGAAAGTATACACTTCATTCAAATAATCAATGACGGAATTTAAAAATAAGATATCACAAAAATAGGAAATAACATGTCGTAAGGATAGAAAATAGACATAAGAAGAAAAAGAAAACTATTGTCGCATAATCAAATAGAGAATATATGAAGAACAAAAAAGAAGAGTGACAGTAGTTTCATTGAGTATTTTGAATATCATAATATATATATATTTAGTCAACATATCCGTTTTTTTTATATTTATTTTAACTTACCTGTATTAAATACATTCCCAAAAGAGGTCATAACATAATTTCTATATATTGCTGTATACAGATTGATTATTCATTTTGAATTGGAAACACCAAAGGAGATTTCAAAAAGAAAAAGAAAAGAAAAGAAAAAGAAAATGACATTTTTTTTTATATATTTTTTTTCACTTGATCAAGGACTAAAATAAACCCGAGTAAATGAAGGAATTATCATGCAAATTTACTTTCATCAGTTATAGAAAAAAGTGATCGAGTACCATGAAACCATTTTCTTGTGATCTGACAAAAAAAAAAAAAACTTTTGACATTATATACACCTTTTTTTTTTTTTTTGCCTGGACGTGGAGTTCAATCTCCGGTAGCTTTTTTTTTCTTTTCTGAAGGATTTCCCTTCCACTTTTTTTTTTTTTCTTTTTCTTTTTCACTATACTATGGCCTTTTTATCTGGCTTTGTCAAGAGTGGATTATCTCTTCTAGGCAAAGATTCAAGTTCATTTCCTTATTCCATAGGTGAAAAAGTGATATTTTACGAACACCCATTTTGGTCACTACATCACGGTACAAAAAAGGTAGAAATACAATCATGATGATTAAAAAAAAAAAAACTAATTATTTTATTATAGGAAGATGGTTCTTTAGTATCTGTATTTGTCTTTGACTGTATTAAGAATAGAGACAGGATCCAAATGGCTCGCAATGCTTTCAAAAGGTTACGAACTTTACGACATCCAGACTTATTAAAATACCTCGATGGTGTTGAAGTAAGTTCTCAAAATACAATTTAACTTGAATGTAGATAGATAAAACAAATATTGATTTTTATATATATATAATATAATAGAATGAACAAGCCATCATGTTTGTCACTGATCCTGTGGAACCACTCTCCAATCAACTCGGTCAAGATCCAGATCAAAATTTGGTTCTTTGGGGTCTTTATAAAATCGCGGTAAGAAAAACTCTATATTTTCAAATAATGGTTTATTAATATGATTTGCCTTTTTATTTTATAGAATGCTATCAAGTTTCTCAACAATGATTGTTCCCTTATACATGGTAATATACGAACTAGTTCTATTTTTACAACGAAGGCTGGTGAATGGAAACTAGGTGGTCTTGAATTATTATCTTCCATGAAAGAAGAAAGTCCAATGATTTTGGTAAAGAGTAAATTTATATATATATGAATATGACAAATGACTTACTTGATATTTTTTTTATAGACTTTTGGTGGTTTAGTACCTGATGCTCAGAAATATGCTCCACCAGAAATCAAACAATCTAGTTGGTCCAATGTGAAAGAGTGAGTAAAAATAAAAAAAAAAATAAAAAAAATGAGTAGGTACTATTGATTTACTTTTTTTTTTTTCTTATTTTGTTCTTCTAGTTTACCTATAACAGCTGTGGATTCCTATCAACTTGGATGTCTTATCTACGAAGTATATAACCGACAATTCAACAGTGCGGATCAATTATTACATCAAACAGGCAACATTCCCACTTCGATGATACGTATTTATAAATCACTTTTACAGACTTCACCTCGATCACGATCAGATGCCGATAGCTTTTTAGACGAGGGTATACGCTCTTCAAAAAACAATGGATATTTCGCTGTAGATTTTATTCGAGTTAATTTATTTTTGGAAAATATCAGTATCAAGGAACAAGGCGAAAAGGAAGCATTTTTCAGGAAATTAGATACTGTGGTAGGTCAATTCCCTAATGAATTTGCCATGTACAAAATCTTGCCTGAACTGGTCAATGCATTTGAATTTGGTTCTGGTGGTGCCAAGGCTCTCAACGCTATTATGAAAATTGGAGAACATCTTCCTGATGACGAATTTGACAAGGTACTTGTGACTCCTATCCTACGTATGTTTGCATCTCCCGATCGTGCTATCCGTGTTAGCTTGTTAGAAAACATGCCCAAATTTATTGATCATATTCCTGATAAGGTGGTTTGTGCTCAAGTCTTTCCTCATGTCGCCACTGGATTTACAGATACTGTGCCTATTATTCGTGAACAAACCATCAAAGCCATTCTTCAATTGGTACCCAAGGTAATCAATACTTTACTACTTTTAATGATGTTCATACTAAATTTTTCTTATTTATAGCTCAGTGAACGTATCATCAATTATGATTTACTAAAATACCTGGCCAAATTACAAATGGATCAAGAACCTGGAATTCGTACAAATACAACTATATGTCTAGGGAAAATGGCGAAAAACCTTAGTGATGCAGTAAGTGATCATCATAATATGTTCTTTTTGGATCTGCTATTATATTAATTCTATTTATTTATTTATTTATCTATTTATGGAACCAGACTCGAAAAAAGGTCCTTCTTCCTGCATTCACGCGTAGTTTACGAGATGGTTTTCACCATGCAAGAATTGCAGCTCTCATGGCTCTGAATGCTACAGCAGAATATTATACTCCTGAAGAATGTTCTCAACGTGTTGTCCCTGCCATTTCTATGGTATTACTTGATAAGGAAAAGTAAGTTGACTGGTTATAATCGATGAAAGAAAAAATTAATTGACTATCTTTTATTTTTATTTTTGGTATGTAGACCTGTACGAATTCAAGCATTTAAAACGATGTCATCATTTATCAAAAAGTTGGAAGAAGAAGCTGAAAATATGGTAACAAAAGGAATCATTCTGAGATAGGATTCAAGGAAAAACTGATTTTTTTTTTTTTTTTTTTTGTATATGTTTCTAGGCAGATACAGCTTTGGAACCCGTAACACCTGTCAAAGACTCTTCTACTACATCAGAATCCTTAACAAGTAGTAATCCATCAACACCTGGTGTGTCAATGTTTGGAGGAGCTACGAAAGGTTTAGCAGACTGGGCAGTATCATCTATTACTAGGGTAAGAAACAAGCGAAGATGAATCGATATTGATAAAGTAAACGCTATTTTTTTTTTTTTTTGTTTATTTATTATACATAGTTCGGGACACCTAATGGCGAAATTGAACCTGCAGCAGTGACTCCAGTATCCAGACCAATGGATGATAATAGTAGTCGACCAAGTTCGATTGGTTTTTCGGATCGTTTGACTATGGAAGAAACAAATTCTTTGGATGGATGGGATGAAGATACATCATTTTCTGATCAAAAAAATGATTTGCTTGATATGAATGACGGCTGGGGTAAAAAAAAAAAAAAAAAAAAAAAAAATAGTGATGTGAAAATAGATTTAACTTTATATATTTCTTATTGAATATAGAACCATTTGATGTAACACCTCAAGAACCTATTAAAGCAGAACCAATCACGTCAATTATTCCAACCAACAATCATGCATCATCTATATCAAGCTTTGGATCACCTACTCCATATCGTTCTTCTAAGAATGATAGTCCTCGTCAATCCATGAAACTTGGTCATAAACAACCTCCTTCTCTTGCCCAAGCATTGAATCTCGATGAAGAGAATAGTTATACCCCACCGACCTCTACGGCAACAACATCTAATCATACTGATCGCAAGGCAGAACTAGAAAGAAAACGAGAAGAACGACGACAGGTAATATAATCTTATTTGAAGGCTATTGAATTAATATTTTTTTTTTGTCTTTTAATAGCGTATGGCTGAATTACGAGAAAAGAAGAAAAGTGGTATTGGTGCCAAGAAAGTTTAGTTTAATATATCTCATTTGAAATAAATTTATTTTTTTTACTGTTATATGTCATCCATTGTGCGTGCTTTGAATTGCCACGTCGCCCAATTTTTTTGTCCTTTTTTTTTTTCTATTTCTTTCGTTTCTTTTTCTTTTCTTTTTTTTTTTTCTGACTCCCTTGTCTGATACTGGTCCCATCTATTCACCTTTATATCATCTCAACATGTTCAACTTACAACAACGATTAAATGTAAGTTCTTCTTATCTATGTTCATAAAAAAAAAAGAATGAAACTTCAAACATGACCAATATACTCATCTCTTTTCTTTTTGATGTGTTGTGATCGACTCAGGTTGTCGCGTCATTTGCTATGACATCTCTTGGTTGTGTGCTAGCTGTCATTGCTGCTATCTCTGCATTCACATCTTATGGTATGCCTACTGGTGCTCTTAAAGTGGATCCCAATACTTTTCGCGTGTAAGTAATGAAAACATGGTTAATAATATTATACTTACTTATTGGTTTTGAATTTTAGAGTGACTAGACGATATGGACCTGATCATTATGATTATAGAAATTCAAAAAGTGAATTTGCACGACTTGCTTTTGACCTTGATGCTGGTAATTTAAATATATATGTATGAAAAGGATGGGACAAAACTCACTAATGTTTATGTATTTCTTTTGTATAGATTTTACACCTTTATTTAATTGGAATACCAAACAAATCTTTGTATCTGTGGTGGCTGAATATGAATCCAAAACTCATGTAAGTTGGTCGATGCCATAAAAAAAAAAAAAAAAAGAAATGGTAGATGATGATCATCCTTATATATGAATATCATTTTTTTTTATAGAATCGAAACAAGATTGTCTTATGGGATCGTATCATTACTGATAGGAACAATGCCAATCTTCAATTACGCAACATTCCCAACAAATATGCATTGATTGATGTCAGTCGAAAGTGGAGGTAAGAAAGAAAAAAAAAGAAAAGGATCACTTATCATCCATGATTTCTCATCACTTTCTCTCTCATCTTTTTCCTTTTAGTCAACAACAAGCAAACTTGTCTTTACATTGGGATATCACTCCTCATGTGGGTCTTCTTCAAAGTGGCCAATCCCCTGAAGCTTTAGCTAATATCGTCTTATCACCTGCCCCTCAGAAATAACCTCTCTTTTTTTTTTTCCTTTCTCCAATATATCCATTCCCATATGTGTATTGCTTTTTTTTAAAATGGAAATAAACGCTCTGATGCTTCTTTGAGCTTTTTTTTTTTTTTTTTGTGTGTATTCTGGATTTTTACGATCAAAATTTTCGTATTCTTTAGGTCTGAAAATCTTTATTTTTTCAAAAGAAGAATAATATTAGGAAAATCGGTCCACCTGAGCTGAAATATCATCATCATCTATCAATCACATTCTAATAGCGCAACATTATTTCCATCATCCTTTGCACGAACTTCCGATGGAAGGGTGTGATAGACATATATATGGGTGTGTACATATGAGCATAGATCAATGTGTTTTATTTTGATTTGGTATAATTATAAATATGGATATACATAAAATAGAAAAATGGGTAATAATAATAATAATAATAAAACTAAGTAATAGAGTAATAAAAAAAAAATAGAGAAAAGTAGTGATCATAAGAGAGTTTTAATATAGGAATAATCGCGTGGTATCTTCCGTCATCCCCAATTTTAATAGGCCTATCCAATAAAAAATAAAAAGTAGAGAATGAGTATCACTTAAAAAGAAAAGATGGAGAGGATTTTTTTTTACCATTGATTTGATAATGGCGGGCTTCTTGCATCAATTCATCCATCCTATAACCAAAAAAGGAAATTGATGAATGAGATGGAAAATCATGAGGGGAAGAAAAAAAAAAACAAATAAAATCACTTACACTTTCGGATCTTCTCGTATACTCGAAGGTACCCGAAGATCTCGAAGATAATTCAACACCAATCTAAAATAGGTACTATCTCGATCAATAAAATAAGATCCATCCGTTTCATCAGGAGTAATGTTACTATGACCATTAAACATGGCTGCAAGTGTTGAATTGGGATCACGTCTTAAAGTAGATAAAGAAGTTTCAAAGAGTTGACCACCTACATTAAGTTTGATCTACATAAAAAAAAAGGAACATTATCATATTTATTGATTTTTTTCATTTTCAATCTTTTTTTTTGTTACCTTTTCTTCTTGAGCTTTTCTAACGTCTATATTATCCAAAGAATACAAAAAAAAAAAAGAATGTAAATATATAAAGATATGATATGATCTTCTTACTACTTACGTCGCATCATTTCCTTTTCACGATCAGACGATTTCTTTTCCAATTCCAATTCATCTTGCCATTCAACCAGTTCTTGTGATAAGTTCTTATAAGCTGATTCTACCTTTCGATGAAAATCCATACTCATCTTTTCAAATCGATCTTCTAATTCTTGTAAACTATGTAATTGCTGTGTAATCCGTTGATGAAGTTCTTAAAAAAAAAAAGATATAATCCCATCATCATTATCATAATAACAAAATAAGTTGAATAGTTTGTATTTCTTTCATTTTGGTTTTTTTTTACCTTGTTTTTGACTTTTATAGGATTCACTAAGCATTTGCCATTCTGGTAAGTATTCTAAATAAGAAACAAATAACAAAAAAAAAAAAAAAAAAAAGAATGAATAATCATCCATTATTTATCCATATTATGGGATAATAATAAATAATATTTTATTATTATTATTTTACCTTCATATACTGAAAAGTGGGTAATAGTTTTGAGTTCTTTCAAAGTAGGTACGGGAGTATCAGGAAAACTTTCTTGTTGTGGGTCATCATGATGAGAATAATCAAATAAAGCCGATGTAGGTGAAGTAGTAGTTGACTCTTGCGAGGACATATTATGATGCTGAAAGGGAGGTATGGATTCCTTGGTGGGAGGAATAAAAGAATCAAAAAACGAAGCACCAGTTGTAGTCATTGTTTCTAAATAGAGTCAAGTAAACAAGATATATGTATATGATTGTATATATACATATGCAAGAGTATATAAAAGAAAAAGGAAAAAGAGATAGAAAAAAAAAAAGAAAGAAAAAAAAGGATAAATCTATGGCTGGTACTCAATATTTATAAACCCAAAAAAAAAAAAAATCAGCCTGTGAATGTACAAAAAAAAAAGGCCATGTGGTCCAAAAAAAAGCGAGAAGCATACAGAAAATATAACATCACCTTGTAAACATTGCCTTTTTATTTCTATATATTAAACTATACTACATTCTACAATTTAAATACTATCAATTCAGGATATCACATAGGCACATCTTGCACAAAGACTATCTACTTCAACTGCATGATAATTCCAACACCGAGGGCATTTATGATTGGTTGCTTGGCTGACCATAATTGCGCACCCCACTTTAAAAAAAAAAAAAAAAGAATAAAGGTTTACTTGCCAATAACGTATCAATGTTTTCTTGTTTTTCTTACCATTTCCTAATTGTGTTTCTTTTTGATATTCAGCTGGTCCTAATAACATGCGCTGGTCTTCTTCATCTTGGATTTGGACCCGTGATGTCAGGAACAAAGATGCCAATTCCGATACTATTCAATACAAAACTTTTTTGGTTAGTAAAAGAATTCTATAATATTCCTTCTTTCTTTTTTTTATTTTCTCTTCTCTTACCATCCATTGAATGTATAACTTGTCCTATAGATGTGTCTTTATTAATAGTTATCTTGATATCAGCTTCTTGTGAAGTTCGAACTGCCCTAAAAATCAAAATTAAAAATTTTTTAAGAAAAAAAAAAATGCAACATCATCCATCTAATTTACTTTTCTTGTCTTGCTTGTTCTAACACTTGATTCACTTGTCCTTTAAGTTCTTTCAATAGAATCCATTTGGTGTTCAGTTCTGGATTGTTCCATTCGGAATAGAGTTGTAATTGATTTGGATGCCACTGGTCGATTTTGAAAATAGATGATTCAGGGGTTGGTGTTTTGGAGCGATAATGTTCATAAATTTCTTCGGCTGTATGACACACAACGGGTGATAAGGCAAGGGTGTAAGTATTGAGAATCTCATATAAAACTGTTTGAGCCATTCGTCGTGTTATTGCATCTTGTCTATCATTATAAACTCGATCTTTGATCACATCAAAATAAAAAGCTGATAATTGATTTGTAGTGAAGTTTTGGACATGCTGCATAGCTAATAAACAAGACAAATCGAATGGTTAGATATAAAATCAAAAACTAAATACATATTTACCTCTATTGAAAGCAAAATCATCAAAGGCAGCTCTCACATCTAGATTGAATTGATACAATTCATGAAGCATGTATTTGTCAATCTACCAAAAAAAAAATAAGATAAAATAAAAAAAAAATACGACTTTAAAAAGGAAATATTTGATTATTATTATTATTATTATTATTATTATTATTATATTACCTCTTTCAGATCTTCATACTTGATTTTGTCCTTATAAGTGAAATCATGTAGATTGCCCAACATAAATCTTGCAGTAGTTCGAATTTTGCGCATAATTTCAGACATTTGTGCTGCAATGATCATGACAAAAATAGAGCGGTTATACACGAATTCCCAACTTTTTTTTTCTATAGTTTGTTTGTCTACTTACCAATAATAGTAGGACCAATGGAGACATCTCTTGAATATTCACAATTGGCAACCCACATACGTAAAACATCACTACCATAGGCCGGGTTTTTCTTTTTATCTTTCCCTCCATCAGTAATCAAACCTGGTTCCACTGTGTTTCCGATACTCTTCGACATTTTTCGTCCTTGTTCATCCAAAGCAAATCCATGGGTAATCAATGTACCATAAGGTGCCTTTCCAGTTAATGCAACTATATCAAAAAAGAAAGAATCAATTTCATAAGCTCATTCAAGTTGTCAAAGGACGCCATTTTTTTATGGATATACTTACTTGATGTCAATAGAGAAGATTGAAACCATCCACGATGTTGATCACTTCCTTCCAAGCATACATCAGCTAATGGTGTTTCATCTTTTGGATCTCTAAAAACGAAAAAAAGAAAGGTATACTGTTAAATTTCCATATTCCTCTCTTGTTTTTCTTTTTATTTTTTTTTATTGACGACGTACCTTTCAGTGTATTCTTTGATCATTGTCCACGAAGTACCACTATCAAACCATACGTCCATTGTATCATATCCACGAATATAAGTGTTACCATCATCCTTGTATTTTGGTGCTATAAAGAGATCATCATCCTCAGCTTCCCACCAGATATCAGTAGATCCATTCTTGTCGAAAATGTCAATGATATGTTGTACAGATTCTTGTGTCAATAAAGCTTCACCAGTTTCCGAGTTATACAGTGCAGGAATAGGTACACCCCACGATCGTTGTCTTGATATGCACCATTCCTTTCTTGAAAGAGTGAACTGTTCTAATCTTCGTAGAGCTACAAAATAATAATAACAACAATAAAAAAAATTATAAAAGAAACGGCATCAGCATAAAAAAAAATCGTCATCCTCTTTCTCTTTATTTCTTTTATTCTGTCTTTACTTACACACTTCAGGGATCATACGAGTGTTCTTCAATGCTTCTACAGCCTTGATTTGAAGTTGCTCCACATTAGCAAACCATTGAGCTGTGGCACTAAAAAGGAAAGAATGGAATACCGTGAGAATACCAGTGTCAGAATAGTTAAAAAAAAAAGTCAACATTCATGTGATATTATGTTTTTGTTCATGTTTTATATTTTTACCGTAACATGACTGGTTGTTTTGTTCTCCAATCATAAGGATACTTGTGAATATAATCTTTTTCCAACATCAATGCAGATTCCTTCGCCAATAAGTCTATCACAGTTGCCGTTCCTTCGTTGAATGCCATTTTTCCTTCCAATCCTAAGCTTGCTACTTCTTTTGTGAATTTTCCATCATCGCCAACTAAGAAAGAAAAAAAGATCAATCATTTCCTTTTTTTTTTTGTAATCTATATCTGATTCAGTAATATCTTACCTGGACTAAATGGAGAAATGCCAATTTTTGAACATACTTCATAATCTTCCATACCATGACCAGGAGCAGTATGCACCAATCCAGTACCAGAATCGGAAGTAACGTGATTTCCACCTATAATAAGTCGATCGTCCTTCCAAAGAGGGTGTTGATAAGACGATCCAATTAAAGTCGATCCTGGGACCTTGTCAAGCACATGCACAGTTTGATCCAATTCAGAAGCAAAGGCATCCACACGATCACTTCCAATGAGATAACAATCATCCCCATTTGTCAAACGTACCAAAGAGTATTCCAAATCAGGATGTACAGCTACAGCCTTGAAATATGTTAATAGAGATATCATCAAGATTGAATAAAAAACGAAATGTTGGTATATATTTTCTCTCTCCTCATTTTTACGTGTTCATATGTAATTAAATTTACCTTATTCGATGGGATGGTCCAAGGAGTGGTCGTCCAGATAACAGCATATAATTGATTCAAATGATTTTTCCATTTTTCTTGCAAAGAAGGAGCTACAAAAAGATAAAAAAAAAATCAGAAAATATCGAAGACAATTGAATCTATAAACTTTTGTATAAGTACCTAAATTCACCATAGGAAAACGAACGTGAATAGATCTTGATTTGTGGGCATCGTTATATTCAAGTTCTGATTCGGCCAATGCTGATCTAATAAAAATATCACAGATTGAGTTGATCATTTCAATTTCTTTTTTTTTTTTTTTTTATTCATCCTCTATCTACACTTACTTTGATGAAGGTGACCAATAGACCGGTTTGAGCTGACGATAAATGTATCCTGTAAAGTAATGTTTTTAGTAAAATAAATGATCATCATGTTTATTGCTATTTCTAATGATTACCTTTTTTCACCATTTCATTGAATACATCCAATTGTCGAAGTTCATAATCCTTGTCTATTCAATCAGATCAGTAAATGTCATTTCATTAGATCATATTTGTAAAAATCATTTTTTATTTTGAAGATTTTTTTTTTCTTTCTGGCTTACCGAGTGTTCTATAAGGATTATCCCAATCACCCATAATCCCCCAGCTTTTGAATGCGTTGCGTTGTATATCGAGTTCCTTGAGTGCTTTCTTTTTGGCCAAATCTCGGATTTGAATAGGTGAGAGCATAGCAATAGTTCCTTTACTCTAGTTGATTATAAATAAATAAAAATAAGGATTGTGAATTAAATACCGTACTTAATTTTCTTATTTTCTATTCATACACGAAGTTGTTCTAGAGCTTTCATTTCAATCGGAAGACCATGACAATCCCAACCAGGGCGGTACCTATAATCATCATATGAATAAGTACACAACGATGATAAAGAGAGAGAGCATCCAGTTAGTCACATACATTGTATAACATCGCTGTTACCATCCTTTCAAATTACCAGACTTTTCGACCTTTCAGTACATGGTATCGATTGATAATATCTTTCAGAATTTTATTCATAGCATGTCCTAATCATATCCGGAAAGAAAGCGAGTGAGTAACTGTACTAAGAGCATAAATGACAAGTAGCTATAAGTTTCATTTCAATAATTTATATCTACCTGAATGAACGCTTCCATTTGCGTAAGGAGGGCCGTCGTGAAGAATGAACAACTCTTCAGGATTGTTTTTCAACTAGTGAGTGAACGTGTAAACGCAGGAGAAGAAGCGATTAATGAGTAACAATTTCAAAAAAAAAGGACACTCTAATTCATCATTTTACCTGCCATGGATATAGATCTTTGGTACAGCGATCACGAAACAAGTGTTCCCTTTTGGCGGCATCAGCTCGTAGGGCAAATCCAGTGTTGGGTAAAAGAATAGTATCAGAGTAAGGATTCTTCTTCTTATTGTTACCTGCTGAAGGTGTTGTTGTTGCATAGCGTCTTGATTGTTGTCGAATAGAAACACATTCAGAGAATGGAGAAAGTGGGTTGTTGGTGGTGACAGACCAAGTCAAAGGATTTGGCTTTAAGGATTGTTTTTGTTGTTGGCGATAAATATTAGAGGTCACGGATCGACCAACCAGTGATCGAGTCCAATGCAAAGACATTGTATTCGGAAGAAATGAATGATCAAAAAAAAAAAGAAAGAAAGAATGAAAGAAAGAAGAAGGTAAATGTCAAAAAGGGAAGAGAACAAAAAAAAAAAAAAAAAAAGCGGTGGGTGAAATTTTAGGGCAAATTATCTTAGCTTGCCAGGGTTTGATCTTTCCGGCATAGGTAGTTAGGTAAAGAAAGCATTTGTTTATTGATGTTAAATAGAAATCATAAGCTAACTAGTTTAAAAATAAATCAAGCATCACCCTTATAAACAATTTCCATATTGTTACCATCAGGATCAAGAACAAAAGCACCATAATAGTTAGGACCATATAAAGTACGGATACCTGGTTTTCCATTACAAGTAGCTCCCAAAGTCAAAGCCTTTTCATAAAATTCATTTACTTGTTCTTTAGATTTGGCACCAAAGGCAAAATGAGCATAAGAAGGATGATCACGTTTATTAGGACAAAAACCAAACGAATTATTACTATACCCAACGTAGTAATTGGGGACTTCCAATGAAATATCTTCACCTAAAAGTTGTAACAAAGGAGTATAGAATGCTTTGCTTCTTTCCATGTCCTTGACATAGATACACAAATGATTTAAAACCATGATGGATGTTTTTGAAAGTGAAAAAGATTTGCCTACAAAAAAAAAAAGAAAAGAAAAGAAAGACAAGAAAGACACCATTTTATAAGTATGAGTTTAACACGAAACACGCAAAATCGCTGCGGTCTTTATGTCGTGAATACACCTCTAGGAAATGTGGGAAAACCTATCAACAAAAGAAACAAATGCAGAATCCGGATTAATGCAAATGGAGTTTATCCGCTCAAGTTAGAATCCATGTTTTTCTCTTTCCCTTTTTTTTTTTTTTTTTTTGTTAGAAACCGCTACATAATCCTTTCGCAATCTGACAACAGATTACATACTCCACTCTTTCTTAATATGAAGATTTTATTCATTAAATTAACACCCAATAAGAAGTGTGGTCAAAGTATATGCTTTTTTTACATAAAGTTTCTTGTCATTCATGATGGTAAAGGCGATATACAATACATGATGGTAGGTTGATACATACTATGTGATGATGATGATGATGATGATGATGATGAAATTATTTGGCTGTTGACAATACAAGTAATTTCTGAAAGAAAGAAAGAAAGATGATTAGAGAGATCACAACTTCCCAAAAAGATTTTAACACCCGTCTGTGACTGAAGCGTACCTAGAAATTTTATGGGCTGTTGTAGCTTTTTTTTTTTTGTTTTTGTTTTTTTTTTTTTTTTTTTTCTTTCTCCTCCATTCGCCACTATTACTACCAACGATATTTTATCATGTTTCGATCGATAATCGCTGCTCAATATAACACCATCCGTACGTTTGCTTCTCATAGTATTCAAGCGCCTAAAACCAAAATTGGTCTTGGCAACTTGGCTGATAATGCTGGTGCCGTTTCAGAAGTAAGTCTGACAAGTAAAGATATTGGAATATAAAAAGATTTTTCTTAATAATAAAAAAAATTTTCCTTTTCCCTTCATAAGCGTACTCGTGTAGGTCGTGGTCCAGGTTATGGTAAAGGAAAAACAGCTGGTCGTGGTCATAAAGGTCAAAAAGCTCGTTCTGGGAATGGTAAACCAGTTCCTTGGTTTGAAGGTGGTCAAATCCCTCTTGTGAAGCGATTACCCAAGCGTGGTTTCTACAATTTGTAAGATTTGTATTGATAGGAAATAGTTTATATCTATTTATACTGACTTTTGTTCTTCTGTTTTTTCTTTTTCTTTTTTTGGTTTCTTGTATAGACACGGCAAAGAATATCAAGAACTCAATTTGGATCGTCTTCAACATTGGATCAATACTGGACGTATTGATGCTACTCAACCTATCACTATGAAACATTTATTGGATAGTCGATGCATTCACAAAATTGAAGATGGTGTCAAGATTTTGAGTGTGGTAAGATAGAGTAAATATAAAGAGAGAACTGTAATAAACTAACAACCATGATTTATTTATGTATATAGGGTGCTGAAACATTTAATATTCCCATCACCATCGAAGTATCTCGTGCATCTCAAAAAGCTATTGAAGCTATTGAAAAAGCTGGAGGAAAGATCACAACTCGATACTATAATGCTTTAGGTTTACGTGCTGTTGTACATCCTGAAAAATTCAGTCAAATCCCCAAATTTGCTGCTCCGCTACGAAAGGAAGATATCAGTAAGTATAGGATCCAGAAAAAAAAAAAAAGAAAAAAAGAAAAGAAAAGAAAACTTTGGAACTGATCATCTTATTAACAATATTTAGAATACTATTCTGATATTAAGAACCGCGGTTACTTGGCTCAACAACAATCTTCCTCTTTAGAATAGATTCTTTTTTTTTTGTGTGTGTATTATATTTTTTATCATTTATCATCATGTCAATCCATCCATCCCATTAATAAAAGAACATTTGTTTATATATTAGTTTTATTTAATCAAATATTTTTTTTTATTAGTAAAAACTTCTTTGAAAGTAATATAATAAGACATTTTAGATGATAGATCCTGGTTGGTTGCACCATATACTTGTTTTTTTTAAAAGGAAATCATCTGTTTGTATCCTATTTTTTTTTTTTTTTTTTTTTTTAACTCGGTGGAAGTTGACTCGGTGGACCTTTTTTGACTGGTTGGAAACATTCAAATCCAGCTTAAAGTCTTATACAGTATAAAAAGATTGATTATACCTCTTTTTCCTTTTTCCCCACTTTTTTTTCCTTTTCTTATTTTCCTACATCAACACAACCATGCTTCGTTCTCTTCTTACCACTGCTGCTCGTCCTAACACTTTACGTTTAGCTCGTCCTGTTACTGCTCATACTATGGTAAGACTTCAAAAAAAAAATACTATGCCATTTGCTCATATCTAATTCATTTTATGCATCCCCCACCTTTCTATAGCGTCACTATGTTTTCCCTGCTGGTCAAAAAGAAGTAAGTATTGTTTAAAAATACTGATAAAATGAAACATAAAGATATGAAAACTTAGTTTACGCGTCTTTTTTACTTTTAGTTTTTGAATGAAGACCTCAAGACGGGTGACCCTGAAATGTATAATATCATTGAAAATGAAAAGAAACGTCAACGTGATAGTATTTGTTTGATTCCTTCTGAAGTAAGTGATATATATAAAAATTCATTTGATATATAACTTATCAAAACTCTTTTTTTTTTTATTTCTTTGTTCGTAGAACTTTACGTCCAAAGCGGTGATGGATGCTCTTGGTAGTGTGATGCAAAATAAGTACTCTGAAGGTTATGTGGGTGCCCGTTATTATGGTGGTAATGAATTCATTGATATGTCCGAACAACTTTGTCAAACCAGAGCTTTGGAGGCTTTTGGTCTTGACAATGAAAAATGGGGTGTCAATGTTCAACCTTTATCTGGTAAATTCGTCTTTTGAAACAATATATATATTAAAAAAAAAAAGGATGACTAGTAAAGAAAAAAAAAATAATATATATATATTGACATTTTTTTTTGTTTGTTTGTTTATTTGTTGTTAGGTGCTCCTGCCAATTTATATGTTTATGGTGCTGTTATGAAACCTCATGATCGTTTGATGGGACTTGATTTACCTCATGGTGGCCACTTATCTCATGGTTATCAACTTCCTAACAAGAAGATTTCTTATGTATCTTCCTACTATGAAACATTACCTTATCGTTTGGATGAAAAGACTGGTCGTATTGATTATGATGAATTGGAAAAGAACGCCCTCCTCTTCCGTCCAAAGGTCATCATTGCTGGTGCAAGTGCTTATGCTCGTAACATTGACTATGCTAGAATGAAAAAGGTGAAAAAAAAAAGAATAAGAGAAGGAATATATTTATATATCGACTTTTTTTTTACTGACTAAACAATTATATTGGTTCATTGTTCTTGATTTATTTAGATTAGTGACAAGGTAGGCGCCTATTTGATGGCTGATATTGCTCATATTTCTGGTAAGACAAGAGATAAAAAAAAAAAAAGAAAAAAAGATATACCAGTGGAAGTATAATGATAGTATCTAATAGACTTTTTTTTCTTACATATTCTTAGGTTTGATTGCTGCTGATGTATTACCTGGACCTTGGGAATATGCCGATATCGTCACCACTACCACTCACAAATCACTCCGTGGTCCTCGTGGTGCTATGATCTTCTACCGCAAAGGTCTTCGCAGTGTTGATAAGAAAGGAAAAGGTAAAATCATGAAAAGAAAAAGATTCATCATTGATCTTTTGAGGAAAAAAAAAAAAAAAAAGGAATCATAAAATGAGGGCCAACGAGTTTTATTATTTTTTTTTTTTTTTGCATATTTATAGAAACATACTATGATCTTGAAAACCCCATCAACCAATCTGTTTTTCCTGGTCATCAAGGCGGACCCCACAACCATACCATTGGCGCATTGGCAGTAGCACTTAAGCAAGCTCAATCCCCGCTTTTCAAAGAATACCAACAACAAGTCTTGAACAATAACAAAGCATTTGCTGATGCCTTTGTCAATCTCAAATATGATCTTGTATCTGGTGGCACCGACAATCATTTATTACTCGTCAATTTGAAACCCAAGGGTGTAGATGGTGCTCGTGTGGAACGTGTGTTGGAATTGGTGAACATTGCTGCTAACAAGAACACTGTGCCTGGTGATACCTCTGCTCTCCGTCCCAATGGTCTTCGTATCGGTACCCCTGCTATGACTAGTCGTGGATTCAAGGAACAAGATTTTGTCAAGGTTGCTAATTACATTGATCGTGCTGTCCAAATCGCTGTTGATATTCAATCCTCTACCTCCTCCAAACTATTGAAGGATTTCAAGGTCGCCTGCGAAGGAAACAAGGACATTGAAGCTCTCAAGACTGAAGTCGCTCAATTCTCTTCTCAGTTCCCCCTCCCTAGTGTAGCTGAATTCTAGTTGACTTTATCATCATTATTATTATTTAGAATCTTTTTAATCATACATCACATTTATCTATTTTATTTTATTTTATTAAGTAAAAAAACACTCGATACACAATACATACAAAAAAATATCATCATATATATTGTTCAAATTCCTCATTGAACAGTGAAGATTAGTCTTATCGAAAATGGAATAAAAGTTTGATCTTTCTTTTTTATTGATAAAGCAGAAGAGAATAGAATAAAAAAAAAACACTAATACTAATACTAAATATGCGTCTATCTATCCAATACCACCAGTTCGCTTTATATATCAACAATCAGACAGGAGATCATCCACTTTTGAATACAAAACAAGTCCAGTTGCCATAATTCAGTGATCCTATCAAAATATAGGCGTATATTTAGTCAAGACGGTTCGAATTTGATATCTGGATGTTTTTTTTTTATGTTGCTCGCTTTCTATTTTAAACCAGAGAGGTCTTTCCACAAAATGAATAGTCCAATACTCGTCTTTCCAGATTGTCATCACAAGGACCTATAAAAAAAAAAGAGAGATCGTCTGCAAATCAAATCAGTTTTCTACTATATTACGTAGACGCACGTATATATACAAAGAAGTTATCGACACAACAAACATGATTTTCCTAACTTACAATATATACCGAGTCAAACGTAAACCAAGTGAATCCATTCACTATATTGTATATCCATCTATCCAGTTTTCATTCTTCCGAGCGTCTGTTTAGTTGACTTTTATCGTAAACCTATCCTGTTGAGCCTTGCTACTTATCCACTTATTAGTTAGAGCGAGAAAGAGGGAGAGAAAGGAGAGAATGAAAAGTCAATAGCCGAGTTTTACCGCTTATATAGAAGTACATCATGAAAGTGAACGCAATCACTACTATAACCAAATATACACATCATAAATATGAATATATGTAGAAATAAAAATAAAAAGAAAAATAAGGAAAGAAAAGAAAGGAAAGGAAAGTAGAAAAAAAAAAAGAAAAATTGTGCCTTTTTCACAATTTCTCCTCTTTGGGCATTGAATCTCCGGATGACTGATCGTTCTCTTTTTTTTTTTTTTTTTTTTTTTTTATGCTCTTCAGGAATGAACTGTTATTGGTCAACATTTTATTGTAGTCTTTTCCACCAATATCACGCAACATCGTGTAACTAAAAGAAAGAAAAAAAAAAAGAGTTAACTTTTATTATAGTAACTTGAATAAGTTCGATCAACGCCTGACCAAAAGTTCAACTTTAAAATGAAAGCAGAGAGCACATCATTTCAGTACAAAATGATTACAGTCCGTAAAGTCCAAACAGTCTTTGTTTTGCGTTTTTCTTTTTTCTTTTTTTTCTTTTTTGATCTATTTTTACTCTAAGTTTTCAATCCGTTGTCTGATCATCAAAAGAAATGTCTTTATACCAAAAAGAAGGTCCTGTCGATATACCACATGAACAAGATAATTTATTTACTGGAATGACAAAATATGGGACAATATCAGATCTGAATAAAGGCGAGAGATCATCGTTGACTTGGACTGAGGAAGAAGAAAATACTGTTCGAAACAAGATTGATCATCAATTAATGGTCTTTATTATGTTGTTGATGTTTATCCTTAATCTTGATAGAACTAATCTATGTAAGAGAATGTCTTGAATATGATCATCTTCATTCTTTAAAAAAAAAAGTAGAATCATCAACATTTCAGGATTTAAAAAAAAAAAAAAAAAAAAAGGGTGTCTTATCTTATTCTTTTTTCTTTAGCCAATGCATTATCAGATAATATGGCGGCGGATCTCGGGTTTACCAATGATAGTGTCAATCTATCTATCTTGGTGTATTCCATAGTATTTACTTTATTTGCTCTCCCATCCAATTTTATTACCAAAAAGATAGGAGCTCATATATGGATTCCTGTAATGATGTCCTCTTGGGCTATTGTCACTTGGTGTCATGTCTTAATTCATGTAATCTATATTTTTTTTTTTATTTATTTATTTATAGTCACTCCTTATTCACTAATATTTTTTTTTATTTTGGTATATTATTGATAGGACTTTTTTGGGTTCATGATGGTACGGATTTTTATAGCTGTTACTGAAGCTGGTTTTATACCCGCTTGTTTAGTTTATTTAACTGAATTTTATAAAACAAAGGAACTAGCTACTCGATTGGCTTATCTTTGGGGTGCTCAGGCCTTAGCAAGCTGTTGTTCTGGTATCATCTCTTTTGGCGTATTTCGTTTGGATGGTTGGATAAGTCTTCAAGGTTGGAAATGGTTATTCTTGATAGATGGTGTTTTTACGCATCTGATTGGACTTGTTGCCTTGTAAGTGGAAAGCATTTGTCGTCTACACATGTCATCATTCATTTAATTATCCTCTCACCGTCTCATCATCCCATCATCATCCCATCATCATCCCATCATCATCCCATCATCATCCCATCATCATCCCATCATCATTCCATCATCATCCCATCATCATCCTCTTCATCCCATCATCATCCCATCATCATCCCATCATCATCCCATCATCATCCCATCATCATTCCATCATCATCCCATCATCATCCCATTATCATCCCATCATCATCCCATCATCATCCCATCATCATCCCATCATCATCCCATCATCATCCCATCATCATCCCATCATCATCCCATCATCATCCCATCACCCATCCACATATCACATATCATCCCATCATCCCATCATCCCATCATCCCATCATCCCATCATCCCATCATCCCATCATCCCATCATCCAATCATCCATCATCCATCATCCAATCATCCAATCATCCATCATCCAATCATCCATCATCCAATCATCCAATCATCCAATCATCCAATCATCCAATCATCATCCAATCATATCATCAATCATCCATCACCAATCATCCAATCATCCAATCATCCAATCATCCCATCATAATCCCATCTATCATATATCATCCATCCACCACAAACAAGATATTCAATCTTCTTTTATCCTGTATTAATAGCATGTACCTACCAGCATCACCAACACAGTCATCTCTCTTTTTAAAATCAACTAGATGGCTAACACAAAGGGAAAAGTACATTGCAAAGGCACGTGTTATTCGTGATGATGCGATAAAGGAGCATGATGATCACCCTTTGACGTGGCAAGATGTGAAATTGACACTTTCTGATTTGAATATGTATATGCATCTACTAATCACCTTCCTAGGGTAAATGAAAAAAAAAGATTAATCTTCTTTTCAAATTTTATTCATCTTTTCTTTTTTTTTTTTTTGTGATACTATAGACTGATGCCCAATGTACCAATCCATACATATTTACCAAGCTTAATTTGTTCATTTGGATTTCCTGTGACATGGGCTAATCTATTGGCAGCACCTGCAGTGATGATTGGCCTCTTTTTTTCAGTACAGATTGCCGCCAGCTCAGATCGACATGGTCAAGTGGCACTTCATGGTTTGATTGGTACGCTTTGGAGTTTGGTTGGATTTGTGATGATGCGCCTTTTACCTGAACAAGTAGATACCGTAAATGGAGGAAGATGGACATTTTATCTCATTGTATTGTTCACTGCTGCTACACCTTCTTGGCATGGTATGCAAATCGCTTGGATGTCAAGGTGAGAATAAAAAAAAAAAAAAAAAAAAAAGTGGAGGAAATAATAAACATCTTATTTCAATGTCAATTTCATGCAACTATAGTAACCTAGCACCGATCGGAAAACGAACTTTGGCACTTGGTGCTGTGATCAGTGCTGCAAATCTGAACGGTGTTCCTGGTTCGATGATATATCGTAAGTGAAAAAGAAATAAAAAAAAAACGAAGACTGATAATATATGAATATTGGATGATGTAATTCAATGATGATCTACGAATAGGATCAAATGATTCACCGTTATATCGTCATGGTAATATGATCTGTATTTATCTTCAAATCGCCACGACTTGTTTATGGCTCATTCAACGTACTCGTTATACCCTCAAAAACAAGTCTAGGGAACAAAAATGGAGTAAGATGACACACCAAGAAAAAGAAATATATATCAAAACGACAAGTGATGTAGGAAATAATCGATTGGATTATCGTTTCCATTTATAGCCGACTGCATCCTATGTTATTAAATAAATCCAGATCATAATAAACTGAATAGATAAAAAAAAAAGTATTTATTCATTTTTGAGATGAAATAGTCACGGACAAAAAGAAAGTATATCTAATGAGGGGAGTAAAACATACTTGAGAGAGGGAAACCAACAAATCAAGTAATATATAAAAACAGAAAAACGATATAGATAAAAAAAAAATAGAGTGAGGGGAGAGACTAATCAATAGAATATCAATAAACTATAAAATTCATTTGTCATCAGGGTTGGAAGTGCCATTTTCACCATCATTTTCCTTTTTGCTCTTGTCTTCAGTAACCGCATTATCGGTTTCAGTTGATCCATTGGCAGGTGCTTCATGAGTGCTACTTTGTGGAGAGGTTGAGTTCACCTTTTCGCTAGTTTCGTCCTTCACAATGGAGGTATCATTACTGTTGTTGTTGTTGTTGTTGTTGTTGTTGTTTTCGTTGTTATTGACCGTAGAAGAAGAATCATTGGTAGGTGCACGATCCAATACAGCTGTACAAAGTTGAGAGAGAATGCTTAACTTTCCATTTTCATCCGCATCAGCTCTGTTATCCGCAGTTTCTTGCTGTTGTTGTTGTTGTTGCTGTGTTTGTTGTGATTGTGTTTGTGGTTGTTGCTGTTGTTGCTGTTGTTGTTGTTGACCCTCCGCTTCATTGGCACCATTGGCATTAGCAGCAGCAGCTTGTTGTAACATAGTATTCATATTGTTCAAAATGTTGTATGGTAGGTATTGAGCACCATTTTGGAAGTTGGCGAAAGTTTCAAACTGAGCGGTGTTGCCATATGGTTGGTATGCAATGGGAGCATTACCGGCTCGGCTAACGGCGACACCTGAAGTGGCAGTGGAGTACATACCATTTGATAAGGCAGGGACAGACATGTTTGGTGTAGTGGCAGCAGAAGAATCAGTAGATGTATTAGCCCCTGTAAAATATTATACAGATATGAAAACATCAATATCAGTCATAATATAAAGGTATACTTTTACTTTCTCCTTTTCTTCAATACATACCTTGTTTTCTTTTCTTATAAGGACCACGCTTGATACCCTTCTTTCGTTCCTTGCGTACTGAGTTCACACATGTTTCAGTTAGTCCATACTTGACACAACGAGGACAAGGTCTTTGTTCATCACACTTTTTGCAGGCCTTTTGACAATTGACTAGATAAAGAAAAATAAAAAATAAAAAATAAAAAAAAAGAGTGAGAAATTAATCAAGCCCAAAAAAAGATACCCTAAAAATGTCGGTTGTGTCACAAGGTCTATTCTACTTTACCACAGGCGTTCTTGACTTGTTTTCTTTTTGTTTTTCCATGAGAATAATCTTGCGGAAGAGCACCATGAAAGCTACCAGTCATACCAGCAGGGTTGGGTAGATTAAGTTGTGAGTGGTCAGGTACTTGAGTTTGAGACGCGTTCATACCAGACGTATTGGGAGCTTGAGATTGAGGATAACCCGGAAAGTAAGCAGTATTGGCAAACATAACAGAAGATCTATAGAAAAAAAGAAAAAAAAAAAAACTTTTTTACATTAGTTCCACTCCATAGTCACGATATTCTATCCCCCATATTTTTTTTTCCCTTTACATACTTTTATTCCTCTCAAGTCAAAAAGAGAGAAGATAGTATGTATTTTTTTTTCCTTTTTTTTTTTTTTTTGTTCGTTTTCCTTACCACAAGATAAAAAAAACAGAGGAAGAAAAGAGTCACAACCAAAAGATGATGAGAAGAGAATAGGTCTTGAGTTCCTTGTTTCTTGATAGGAAATTTAAATAGTCAATGGCAAATAGTAAGAATTGAGGACCCCTTTTCAAATTCAAAGGTCAGAATCTAACTGTGAAGGCTTTCAAAGTACAAAAGAGTTTTGAGTATGAAATAGAGAAAGGATACCCACTTTCAAACGGAGGGTAAATTGTTCGGAGAAGGAAAAGAAAGAAGAAAGAAGGAAGAGAGAGATAAAATGAATAGGTTAGGAAAAAAAAAAAAAAAAAAGAGGGAAAAAAAAATTTTCTTATGTTTGGATTCTTTCGTCATCTTTGTGCAGTCCAATCACATTCCAGAAATTCACATTTATATTTCATATCCCGTCCATCTGTATCAACCAATCAAATGCTAGATCCAAATGTATAGTAAAAATACAATGGCTTTTTTTTATTCGATGTAAAAACTACTCTATTATTATTGAATAAAACGTGATAGAAATTCAGAAAGATTTTTCTGTGCTGCTATACTAGAAGGAACAAAGTGTCTATAAAGAATCAAAAAAAAAAAATAGAAACATATGAATATTAATATACACATCTCTCAATCATCATCCATCATCCATCTTACCCGCCAGAATGCTTGAATATAACAGGATCTTGATACAAGTTAGCCAATTCATTCATTTGTTCAGGTAATACTAGGGTATCTAAATCACCAATCATGTGCATAGACTAGCATAAAAGAATAAAAAAAAAAAATCATCTACTAATCTTCCATTCAATGAGTTTCTTACTGGAGTTCTAATCTTGATTGGTTGAGCAAATAGAGGTTTGAAAGCTTCTTGTTGTTTGGGAGGAAATCCTGCGACAATGATGACAAACTTCAACGAAGGATGTGGAAAATCAGGAGGAATCATATTAGGTAGAATAGTCCGATTTTCTAGCATGACTGAAAGACATGCTGATAAACAAGCGCCCTGAGAAAAGCCTAGAATACCATCAAAAGGACCCTAAGAGAAAAAAAAAATAGAAGAATTGAATATACATTTTTTTTTTATTAATATTACACACATCCAGATATTGTTTTTTTTTTTTTTCTCTTTAATGATTTTCACCTGATCAATCATCACTTGTTTTAGAAAAGATAAGGTTTCCATTGTTCCAACACAGGTGCCATCGGGTAAAAGTTTCTTGTAACGTAAAGGGTGCCACCAACCAAACGCCTTCACTTCTATATATGAAAAACTACCAAGTTTGAGGGTGAATATAAACCAAAAAGTTTCTTACCATCTGAAATAGTAATGTTTGAATCTTGTTCGCGTTTTGATACTGATGAATATTCTGGTGATAAGATAACGTGTGGTGCTGTAACATAAACTATATATATAAAAATGAGATACATCGCGATCCGAACTCTAGGGAATGCCAAGACTTTTATTCTTTTTTTTTTTTCCCTGATTTACCCAACTCGGCTTGCTTGTCAATGCTTGTCGCTAAAGTTGTCATCTTTTTACGAAAGTGAATACCATTTTGAGCTAAACCGTGAAGACATAATATACGTAACTTGCGCATAAGTGAGAAAAAAAATAAATAAATAGAAAAAAAAAAAGGGAAAAGAAAAGGAAGAAATACACTTCCTGTGTGAAAAGCACCAGAAGGTAAAAAAAGTCGGAATCCGAACTTGATAATACATATCAATGCCGTGATTTTTTTTTCATTCTTTCATTTCTTTCTTTCTTTCTTTCTTCACTCTTTTTTTTCTCCCTTTCTTTCTTTCTTTTTCCTTTTATAGGATGGGGAATCCAAAAGACTATGTAGCTTTACCCACTTCTGAGGAAAAAGCTCTTCCAACCTCTTCTTCTTCTTCTTTTCCTCCTCCTCCTCCTTATGAACAAGATGGACCTCGACAATATTCTCTTCGTTGGAAACTTATTTTCATCTCTTTTATTGCAATCCCTTTGTTACTCATTGGTATCTACATTCGCCCTGCTTCTATCACTGTTTTTTCCCCAAAACAGGTATACATTGACCTTTTTTTTTTTAACTATCACCATACTTATATATATTTATTTACAATTCGATAGTCTTCTCAAGTTGACCTTGGTTTTCCTCAGGACATGCAACAAGTAAATTTGGCTCAGAATGAATTGATCAGTTTTATGACTCATTTAGTGGAAGAAATTGAACATGGCACTCCTTGCAGACGTCCACATGAAAAATCTCCTCACAACGGCAAACACCATGATCATCCTCATCGAAAGCATCATCATCATGGTTATCACGGCAATCACGATCACGAACATCCCCCTCATAGCCTTGGAAATTCTTATGACGGTCCTGAACATCCTCATCATGATAATCACCCTCATCATGGCAAGTATCTTCATCATCATGGGCACGAACATCCTCCTCACTACAAGCACCATCATCATCATCATCATCATCGTGGGCATGAACATTCTTCTCACGGCAAGTCTCCTCAACATGATCACGAACATCGTCCTCAAGATAATCAACATGAAAAACGTCAGAACGAAGATGGTGTATTTGTTCAAAAACTTCCCACCCACAACCGATATCAACCACCACACAGAAACCAACGACGTGGCATAGAATTTCCTTCTGTACCAAAATGGAGACAACGCTATGAAATAACATCTTCAACCAATGCATCAATGCGCATCCACGTCCGATCAGGTCCTTTCCCTTCAGGTCTTACTGGCAATGTCAATCTGCGACAAGATACAACAGGCGTTCAAAAAGATATTATCGTAACCCTTAGTATGGATGATGTTGACTATGCTAGGATGATTCGACTCTCTACTCATAGCTCTGGTGATGCTTTTTCCCTACGCGTTTTCCCTCAGCATGATATTCCACCTGCCTCATTCAACTATTCCCTTGATATTGTCTTTCCATCTGGCTTGCACTCAATGGATTCTTTATATATTAAAATTGATAACGGTACAGTAAATGGTGATGATTCTTTGAAATTGGCTTTCAAGTCTGTTACTTTGGCTGCAGCACATGGCACAATTCTCACCAAGGTAACAAATTAAAATAATTATTTATTATTACTATTATTGATCTATTTACGGTAATTCAATTAACTTTTTTTTTTTGGACTGGGACATGATGATTTGATGCAAAAAATAGAATCTCAAGGCCGACCGTATTATGTTAGGTGCTTACTCCGGTACAATTGAAGGAAGTTACCAACCTACTGAACAGTTTGCCGTGGGTGTTTTCCATGGTCATTCGGATATTCATCTTTTCTCCTCTCCTAATCGAACAGATCATCTTCATATTGCCTCTGGTTCTCCTCATGGTGTTGCCAAACTCTCTTTGGTAATATACCAAATAACTATTTCCCTATTGGAGCTCTAATACCTTTTTTTTTAAAAAAAAAAAAAAAAAATTTTCTTATCTAGGCTCATGGATCCTTTGAAGGTCAGTTTATTGCCAAACAATGCTATGGAGATGTGCCCACTGTGAACTTTACTGTCAACGATGGTGAAAGCTATGTTTATGATGAACAAAAAGATAGTCCTTCTTCTGGTTGGTACTTGAACGATACTAATGCCGGACAGCTGATCATCAGTGCAAGGGATAATGCTGAACTTTTGTTTGAGTAAACATTCCTTCTTCCTTTAGTTTCGTCTTTTTTATCTTCTCTTTTTTTTCATCTTTTGATTCCTCTTTGTGCTACTTTTGAACTCTAATCAATAAACATTTTGAAATCAAATACTTAATAATAATGACTCGATGATTGATGATAGTTGATGAATAGATGATGACACATGACGAAAATGAATGGTGATTTATATCAATTTAACGCTGTCTATACTAAAGTGTCATGATGGTATGATAGGGTAATCTTATGTTTTAAAAAAAAAAAATGATTCTACAGAAGAAACTATAGGGTCCAGGCTGAATGAATGAGTTGATCATCCAGGGAGAATGGTATCATAATGTGATAAATATGTATATATATGGTATAAAAAAAAGCATGATTATCTCACTATTCTTACAGTGCTACCATCACTACGCAATATGATTCATCCTCATTGTTATCGGCTGCACTGTTAAAAAGTAACTTAACAATGGATAATGGCTTTTCATTGCTTTGTCCCATAGTGATTCATAATGTTGTAACGTCACAGGGAGTAGACATGTTCCTCTTTATACTTTTTTAATTAAAAATCATCATCATCGTATTACATTTGGATTAAACATATATGAAGCCATTCAATTGGTCTTCATAACAATTTATACCTTGCTTTCCAATACATAAAAAAAAAATCAATATCGTCTTATCTTATCCGATAGTCATCATCATTCAATAAAATGATCACCATTAGATTCCTCTCAAAAAAGTAACATCATATCATCTAACCCCATTTTATTGCTTATCTTGCCACCTCATGTGCAATAAATACTAAAATGATTTCATTGATTTTTTCGAAAAATTGCCTGAGGATACCCTGACGATTGATTTTTACAGCCAACATTTGGCTGAGGAGTTCCAAATTTTTGGCTGTAAAATCCAAAAAAAAAAAAAAAACTGATTTCCCACTTGCCGCACTTTGGGGGGGTATGAAAAGAAGGGGGGAAAATGTACTTGAATCTTTCCCTTTTGGCTTTTATATATTTCTTATTTGATCAAAAAAGATGGTAAATCATAAAAAGCATATAAACGATATCAATAATGACGACAATAATGGATGGATGGATGGATGGATGGATGGATGGATTGATTTATTATTATTATTATTATTATTTGATGTAGCCTAAGCAAGTGTTCGACATTAAACAATTCCTCGAAATCACCCGCAGAAAGGATGCCAGCTGTAAGTTTCCCCCCAACTTAAATCTAACATCAACTCATTAAATGTATTTTTATATAAATGTTATAGCTGCTCGTGTAAAGAAGAACGGTGACAAGTACAAGTTCAAGGTACGATGCTCTCGTTTCTTGTACACTCTCGTTGTCAATGACAAGCAAAAGGCCAACAAGCTTAGACAATCTCTTCCTCCTGGTAATAACATTATATATCATTTTCGAAGAACAATTTCACTCATTTTTTTTTTTTTTTGTGTGTAGCTCTTAGCGTCAAGGATATCTAAACGACAATATGATCGAATCATGATTACTTTTTGATTTACCTCTATATCTATCTAGTCTTAGTTATTCTCTTTTATTCATTTTTTTGGGCTCTACGCTTGCAATAAAGGAAATTATAAAGTCAATCATCAACATTATCAGCATCAACGTCGAATTATATTTGAGTAGATAGATCAAGAAGAGAGAACAATAGGATTTATTGATATACATATTGGGAAAAAAAAATAGAAAAGGGGAAAGGAATATATTAAACTATACTAAGGTTCATCTTGCAATATCATAGTGACAGAACTTCCACGTTGATCTTGAGGGAATATCACATCATATTGGATAGGAGCTTCTTCTTGGTCAATGGAGATCTTGATGTTTGTCGAAGATAAGGATTGTGTTGGATCACTGATGCTTACTACCCAGGTGCCATTGCCCACTTGTTGCTGTAAACAGAGTACCAAAGGATGTATCGTTTCAATAAAGATATCTGTGCCATCATCCCCTTCATCATCGTCGTGTGACCATGGTATACTGATCGATGCCGGTGCCCAAAACGCCAACATCACGGAGTGCTCCGTTGCACTGAATGCACCTCGTACGTCCTCCGTATAAATGAATTCGAGTGGTGGCTCTGATTGATGTCGGTGTAATCGATAATTGGGTTGTACTGTATACGTCAATGTCTTTGTTGTCATGACTGTTACTGACCAAATATCCACATTTTCTTTCGTCTTGTTGTTGGAAACACCAAAAGAGGTCCAATCACTTGGATGAGATGTTGCATCCATTGTCAAATTGACAGGCATGTCGAACGTATAAAGTATCTTGTCGTGCCATACAGTTGTTACATTGTGATAAATTCCATTGGGTTGCTGTAATCGCTTTCCATTCAAATAGATATCACCACGCCGCCGTCTTTGATCCAAGGTTGTATTGACCATCATGACAGAAGAAGAAGAAGAAGAATTGTGATTATCATAAGATACTACATCCATTTGAACTGCATAAACAGAAGGGAAGAAAATAAATGTCTTGTGCCAACCAAATGCTCCAGGATCATCATCAAGTGGATCCGTATAATTCATCACTGCCACACCCATTTGACTTGACTGTAAAGTTGCCGCGCCTACAAAAGATGTTTTGCCTTTGAATCGATTTGCTTTTTCGCATCGTGAAGAAGAAGAAGAATTGTTGTTGATCATGGTCACTCCAGGTATCTTTTTCCAATCCCAAGCACCAAAAATATCCACATAATCATCCCCTTGTTGATATGTAAAAAGACTGCCATCATTAAGATATCCACCCTTCAGATTTTGACCATTGAAACATTCACAAGTTGTTGTTCTAGTAGATATCATTTTCAACGTAGTGATAAAGCCATGACACCGATGGACAAGATAATCAGCATTCCAAAAGTATCGTGTTCCCATCAATGGACCTTGATTTGCTGACGTATATGGATGATCAAGTCGCTGAATCATAGATGATAATGCCCGTATTTCTGGTTGAATCACATTTCCTGTTGTTGTTGTTGCGTTTGTTGTCTTGTTGCCAATGGTACTAGCATTGATATGAATTGCTGACCATGATTGAAGAATCCCATTCAGTTGCATGATATTCAATGCCACCCCATCAGTACCTTGTAAATCGCTAGTTCGATAAGAAATCATCCTGCCTAATACATTGTATTGCCATAACCAAGGAGATCGTACCACAGAAGATGTCAATGAAGAAGAAGATAAGTTGGTGCCAAACATCATCCATTCACTTCCAGAAAGAAGAGTAGCAAATGATTGTTGTGTGGTATTACTAGGGAACCAGGATGATGCGTTGCGCATCATATCAAAGATATTGATCAAATCCAAGATATAAGCTTCACCATAGTTGCCATTGTAAAGTTGAGCATCATGAAATAAGTATGAACCATCCACTTGTATACCATCCTTTCCATTTGGAGCAATCACTACATCTTTAGATACTCGATCCAAAGCGTCTTGAATCAATAATGGATTGGATTGAAGAAGAGCTAAAGAGATACCGTTGTGAACTATATTCAAGAGATCGACGCCACTATATTGATCCACCACAGAGTATGACCTAGAAGTGAACTTGATACATTGTTTTCGTTGTGCAGATGATAGTTCATTGTTGATCAAGAGGCATATATTCCCAATATATCGAGGAACCTCAATCACCTATATCAATTGAGAAAGAAAAGAAAAAGAAAGAAAGAAAAAAAAAAGGGAGTTTTAATTTCAAGAATTTTCTCTTTTTTTTATTTTTATTTTTTTTTTTTTTTTTTTTGTTATACTTGCCTGAGATTCCCAAGCTCTACTCCATAAGCCAATTGTACCACAAGGACAGTTTTTATAAGCTTGGCCACCATATAATAGACAATCATCATTAGTATAATCATGAGTGAACCAATATTGGAGAGCTTGCAAGATGTGTGATAATAAGATTCTATCTTCTTGCTGATGATACCAAATAGATGCCATGGATTCTATAATTGAAGCATAGATTTTAGACTATGATGATTTATCTGTTACTGTTTCTTACCTATACGTTTGAGATGATTTATTGCCGACCATCCCGTTTTTCTATAAAGACAATAAAATAAAGAAAATGAGACATATAGATACCATCTGGAGAAAAATTCATGCAAAATCATATCACTAGCTTACCGCACTAAACAGCCGGATGTATAATCAATATCAGACCATAATCCTGAAGTATTCAATGTTGAACTCCTATATATATATATATATATGATGCTGATGGTTGAGTAATCACAAAAATGGAATTGAGAAATATCTATCTTAAATGTGATTTACCAAATAAATCCATTCTGTTTTTCTTTATTTGAGTTGGCGTTGATAAGATTCTTGTTGATCAAGATATGAGAGAGGTCTGAGGACTGGAGAGAAGTCGTGATGATCTTCAAATGGATGGGATAGCTTTCGTTACTTCCATAAGAAATTGATTGATTCTGCTGTTGTTTTGATGATGGATGATCTGTTCCTGATGATGATGATGCTGATGATGATGATGATGATACAGTAGATGTGATAAGAATTGGTTCATGTGAAAAGGTAAAAATGGGATAGGCCGTATTCCAAGCATACCATAAAAAGAAAATACAGCCTATACTCAAGCCTAATTGATATTGTTTCTTGTAGTAAAGATAAGATTCAACGCAGGTGATGAGAAATAGGATCACTAGAATCATGATGACACCTTTCTCTTCAAAGAACCAAGCTAACAGTAATTATAATGAAAAAAGAAAAAGGAAAAGAAAAGAACTAAAGGAAATCAGGGTCTCCTCTCTCTCTTTTTTTTTTTTTTATATGTATATCGCATGTAAATGATTAGATACGGGGGGAGAAAGAGAGACAACAAATGATAGAAGGAAAGGACACTTGAGTCTGAATTACTCCAATAGGCAAGTTAGATCATCAAAGCACAAGCTCACGTGTGGTCAATATGGTAGAATGAATGCATATATGTGTGTGCTTGTATGCCAAAACAGAATAGACCTCACAATCAACTATACTGGCAATCATTTCTCTTGCTCTCCTTATCCATCTACACATACGCTCATCCACACACAAAAAAAAAAAAAAAAAAAAAAATTAGGAGTTCAAACCATCCTCTTTATTATACAAATTATCTCATATTATTGAAAGCATTCTTCAACCAGTCATCATCATATTTAGGTATCCAATGATCATTATTATCACAAGAGTCATTACAATCATCATATACATATATATATATATATATATTTGAATATATATACAAAAGGTTTTTATTTGTCTAATAATAAGGATTGCAGAAATGGTATAAAAGGAGGAATAAAGATAAACAGGGAGGAATACAAATATAATAAAAAAAATGGTAATAATAAGAATAGTGATAATAATAAAAATAATACAAAACACACAACAGAGATAGAGAGACAAAGAGAATAGACTATTATCCACGTTGCATCTTGTGTAGTAAAAAGCTGGAAGGATTTTTGTTCATCACTCGCTGTAATCGTTGAGGATGGCGTAAAAAGGCCACTTTGGCAGTCGTTGTTGTCTTCATATCAAGATCGTCCATGCATAAAGAAGATGTCGTTGTTGGCAATTGATGATCCATTTCTTGTTCTTGATGGCAAGCAAGTGTATAAAGCGTTGCAACCGTTGAAACCATATCGACATTGTTGTGTAAAAATGATTTTTCACGATGGAACATATTCAACAAACGATCATTTTCATCGGACCAATGAGCTGAGCATAATCGATATTCCAGTGGGATCCATAAATCATTCTTTTCAATTAATCGTCGGCGAACCACATGAGTGTCAAAATAAGGCCCATGGCATGATGAACATACTTTTACGGATGCGAGGTATGATAATAGATGATTAGGTAATTGCGTCAATTTCTGTGTTGTGATTCTTGGTGATGCATACTGTCTTGTTGATTTGATACTAAATTTCCCTTTTCTTGATGAAGTTGTTGTCCCTGCTGTTGTTGTTGAGAGAGTTGAAACTACATTTCTAGCACAGATTTCCATAAGACTTGGTGGATCGTGAGTCAATGTATACTCCATAGCTTGATGTTGTTCATGATTCAATAACTGATGGCAATGATCCAGTCGTAATCGTCGTAAATGTGACAATCGAGTCATTTCTGCCGGTAATACTGAGAGCGGATTATATGATAGATCCATAGTAACAAGTCGTTTCATGCCAGCTAAATCCGATGGTATAGAAGTCAACTGATTATGTGATAATAATAAGGTGTTCAAAACTGAAAAATGACCGAGAGATGGAAGATGCTGTAACTGGTTGTATGATAAATCTAATTCCGTTAGCCGCGATAAGCATTGTAAAGTATTGGGTAAATGTTGAAGTTGATTTTTGGAGATCGTGAGAATTTCGAGTTGTTTCAATTGGCCAATGCTGTCAGGTAAATCAACTAACTGGTTGTTGCATCTAAAGAAGAAGAGAAACAAGTTAGTTGTTTGTTGTCGAGTCCTTCTTTTCCCCTCCCCTTTTTTTTTCCCTTGCTCCTTTTTTTTTTTTTCTTTTTCGCCACCCAAAAGATATCTTTTTTTTAACCCCTTCCTATGTTCCCCAAATCCATCATTGTTCGCAAAAGACTTTCCCCCCTGTAATCCAAGTCTCCCAAAAACTATGCATACGATCATCACCCACTCCAGCCCCAATCAAACCAATCTATATATGTCTATTATAAATACCATATCTTCATCCACATAACATACACACATATATATATACCCAGATACGCACATACTCGCTCACACAAATGTATATATACCCACATATCTCCTTTTTTTTTCAACGGGAGTATCACTTACAAATCTAATTTCCGGATAGATGTCAATAAACCAATATTTGGGCTAAGACTAATCAAAGATCGTCTAGATAGACAAATTTCACGCATAGAAGCATCTTGGGAGGCCAATGCAGCTGCAGCAAAGGTCAATTTCGTACCAATAGTAAATTCATCATCATCATCATCAAGATTGCCACCGTCGATAATACCCGCAGTCAAATTGGAAGCATTCAAATTGGAAGTATAAGCCAAAGTAGGAGCAAGAGTAGGAAATCTTGGTTGTTGTTGTTGTTGTTGTTGTTGTTTCTTTGAAGGGAGTGAATCGGCGTAGTAAAGCTGGTCCACATAAAGTATATCCTTAGCAAGGCGTTCATTCAGGGTCACCATTTTGGGGGGAACAAAAAAAACATCTTGATCTGCATAACCGGAATCTATTCGGTCAATGTGTTGTTTCTGTTGTTGTAATGTACTATAATAAGAAGACCTTCGACGTTGTTGTTGTTGAGTGAGTGGTAAGGAACAAGAGGAAGAAGAAGAGGACGGAAAGGAAAGTCGTTCCTGTTGTACCTTATCGTCATCGTCACTTTCGTCAATATCATATACAAGACCGTAGTGTTGAGGATAGAGTAATAAGCGTTCGTCTTTTTTGATATGTTGAATATTGTTAGTATTATTATTATTACTGTTGCTAAGATGGTCGACTTGTTTTTGGTTGTAAGGTGATGTTGCAGTAGTGTTTTGATTAGGCTTGTTGGCTACAATACCAAAAGTGTAATCTACCTGACTACTGGAAGACGTTTGACCCATTGCTATATATGTATTTTGTTTCCAAAGTGATACACTTTTACGTAATAAAAAAAAAAAAAAAGAAGAAGGAAAGAAAGAAATAAAAAGAAAAAAGAAGAAAAAAGAAAAAAAAAAACCAAGAAAACAAGTTTTATGTAAAAAAAAGACAAAACAAGAAAAAAAAAAGGCGTATACGGAGTTTGAATGTCAAGAGGTAAATTTCCTTTTTCTATTTTTATTCATTGTTTGTGCTTTGATGCATGCAGATTAACAAAACGAGATATAATGAATAATAATGAATAACTAAAATTAAAAAAAAAAAAAAAAGAACTAACACAACGCTAGGATTTAGGTAGATTTGACAATCACTTTCACATTTGTTGATACATCACCAATCTGTACCTGTACAATATGTTCACCCAATGATTTGATACGACCACCTTCTGACTTGAATTCAATAGCTTGTTTATCAATCGTCAGTCCATAATCTTCTTTCAATTTCAATACCAAATCATCAACTGTAACAGATCCAAATGTATTGTCACTATTAGGTACCACTGCACGCTTAAATTCAAGTTCATTAACATTTTCCAATCCACCCACTAATCGTTCTGTTGCTTGTTGACGTTGTTGTTGTTGCTGTTGTTGTTGTAAGTATACATCCTATTATATAATCATTATAATCATTAGTCATTTTTGCACGTTGTCTTCCTTAAATGTTAACGATCATCCTCTCTATAAATTACCTCCACGTGGTTATGATTATCATTTGCTTCCAATATACGATTACGAGGTCCTTCGTATGTTGATACATAAGTTGCCTTTCCAGCAGGATATAAAATGTTTCGCATAAGTCCAGCTATATTAAGAAAAAAAAAAAAAGGGAATATCAGATATCTGCATAACTACATAACATAACCTTTATATATGCATACCCCAATCCTAACTCTCCCTAAATCTTCCCCCCCCCTCCTTTTTAATAAAATATACTGTCAAAAAAAAAAAGTTACTTACGTCGAACTAAAACAATGTCGTCTATAAAATAATAATAATAATAATAATTATAAAGTATATAATTAGTTCATTTTTTGTGCATAATGATAATAATAACTTTGATACCTTTGATACCAACCCCTTCAACAAAGTCATTAAGTTTGACTTGAATGGCACTTTTCTTGTGAGCATATCTCTATTAAGAAAAAAAAAAAAAAGAAAAAGAATGGTAATAATAATGAGTATATTTAGCAACACCAAAAAAAAAAAAAAAAGATAGATATGACCAATTTACTAAGACATTCCTTCTTTATTATTATTATTATTATTTATTACCTTTGAAAAATAAGAACTAGTTGTTGAAATACGGTTGATTCGTTGACATTGACGAGCTAAAAAAGACATAACGAAAGGTAATTGAATACTCAAAAGAAACTGTATCTTTTGACAACCCCCTTCCATTTTACTCTTTTTTTTTTCAAAGCCACTCATGAAAGCGACCAGTACATTTTATTCTGCCTTTTTCAATTTCCGCATAAAGTGGCATTTTTTTTTATCTTCATGATTTCGCGCCCATTCTGTATTTCATTTTTCTTTGCTAAAAAGACATTTATTGGAAACTCGGTAATGTAAAAAATAGATACCTTTTTATTTATTTATATATAGAAAAGAGTCATGATGATGCGGTAAAAGGTTCGAAGATGAACCATGAAACAAAAGGAAACTAATATGGACCATATAGTACTACTTCTTCTTTTTGATTCAAAAGGTGATTCACTTTATATTTTTTTTTCCTTCTTTCTCTATAGACAAACAAGCGTCCCTTTTTTTTCCTTACTTTCAGGTCTCTAGTCACTTTTCATTCTCTTGCTTCCTTCTCTATGGTGGTCACAATGTTCGAAATCTTAGCATCCTTCAACAAGTCTACTGATGATGATGCTGTAAGGCCGGACAAAGATCAAGAATGTGCTGATATTTAGATTGTCAAAATGAACACAGACTCCTTGGGTTCTTTTTTTTTTTTATTGGCGATAAAGGATCGGCACAACATATATGTTCTCCTTCTTTTACTTTATGGTTAGTTGGAAATATACAAGCTTTTGCCTGAACTTTGTTGGTTTATCTTAGATCATGGACAACAACTAGTGGAAAACAAAAAGCAAGAACTATTTGGGTTATACTGTGGGTATGGACTACCTTCTTTTTTTTTTTTTTTGAAGGAACAATGTCAATGGAAAGGAAAGACTTGTAAGGAAGGAAAAATCTGGAACATTGTTTGGTTGGAAGAAAAAGGTTTACACTTTTTGGATGAAGAAATAGTCTATCTTTGGTCTTGCTTGGTTATACTTTTGCTTCGGTTTGTCTAATAATGTGAACAACTTTTTTTAAATCTGAACTCATTTATATCATTTGATATTTATATAATTGTGCTGATCGACCAAGTGAATGGGATTGAAACTAACTATTTTGATATTTGTATTTTTTTTTTTTTTTTATTTTGTAGTCTTATTAATTTTATCGCATGATGGAAGAATATCGGAAAGAACCAGGCTCCTCAACAACTAACAATGATGATAGCAATCAACCACCTGCTGCTGACAATGAAATCCGTGTATCAAATTCTTCATCAATTAAGAGCAAGGTCGGTATGGGATTGGACAAATTGAAGGTAAACAACAACAAAAAAAAAAAAAGGAATGGCATTTCATAGTTTGGTTTTTCAACTAAAAATATATATATATATATATATTTTTATTTTTTTATTTTTTATCAAATTCATTGATAGACTTACCCTAATATTGTTGTGGTGGGAAAAGGAAATACGATCAATAAGGCTATTACCATTGTAGAGATCATCAAACGACGTATGGACGGAACTCTTCATCAATACAATCAAATCGGAACTGTGACTTCTACAGAACAATGGGCTCCCATCAAAGACAATGAACTAGATAGGTATGTATCAATTTGATATCTGATGTGAACACTATTTTCTGCAAACTGATTTTCTTTTTTCTTCTTCTTCTTTTTTAGTATTACCGTGAAAAAAATGTTACCTATTACAATCATCTATTTATCTTCTACTCCCATGCCAGAATTGGAATCTACTGCCACGTAAGTTTACAAAAGGGGATAATTAACAAAAAGAAAATATCATCTTTATTTATTATTTCTATCTTATTATAGTTATCAAGCTCCCCACAAATATGACTAGTTCTTAGCTGATACATATATTATTATTATTTTTGTATATATTATTTTTATTGTATTTCCATTTTTTTTTTATCATTTACTTTATCATCTCTCTGTATTATAATAAAATATCATATTTTCTTTTCAGTTCATCATATACATTTATGATGCTTCATTAGGATGGATTTAGAATCACATTGTTCAGATATTGCATAGATGAAGATCGATGATGATGATGATGATGATGATGATGATGATGATAGGACGATATGATAAATAATGAACGATAATTATTATTATTATTTCTTTTTTTTTTTTTTTTTTTGCTAATGATTGCATAAATCAATACGAAATATATGTCTCTCTTTTTTTTTTTTATTACTTTATAAACTACTTCTTCTATCTAACAAATCAATCTATATTTTATGTTTGCGGTTAATAATTTCATTGCTTAAATTCCTATGTTATTACTTGTCACACCATCAATCAATGACCTTTACACATGTTGAAGATAGGGAGACAGGTCATGTAACCACACCAGGAGCAATCCTACAAACCAATCAGAAGAGAAAAAAAAATATTTATGAGATACAAAGGAAAAAAAAAAAAAAAAAAAAAAAAGAAAAGGTAAAATCTTACATCTAACATATTTTGATTAGAATAAAATTTGGAAAGTAGTAAGTAAAATAGAACACCCAATGCGACCAGCGCTAAGAGCCGAATAAACATCATCATGATCCAGTATTTCTTATTGAATCGAAAAGTCCATTTTGTTGGTATCACGACAATACCTGATAATATCCCTGCCATAAATCCACCTAAATGACAGAAATTATTATACCTACATTAAAAAAAAAAATGAAGATGATGATTAGCCAATATATGTTACTGTACTCCTTTTTTTTTTTTAGAAGGGAATATTTGTCTTACCCTGGCAAGTAACCAAGAGCGGCACTCAAAACTAAATAATAAAAGTAATTTCATTAATGAGATTGAGTTCATTTTGGACCTATTTGGTTGTATCGATCTATTTGCTCTTTTTTTTTTTATTTCAGTTACCAATCAATAATAAAAGTTTGAAAAAATGGATACTAGATTGAGGAGTCATTTGCCATGTTTGGATATGATTCACCAAAGCTAAGCCAAAAATACCATTCAAGGAACCAAGGCAACCCATAAGAACTTTTTTTTTGTAAAAAAAAAAAAAAATGAATATCGTTCATCCATCCATTATCATTGACTCTATTACCTATATCATCATGTACAAATACAGAGGCGAGCACATAACCAAAGGTACCAGATAAAGTCCACACCAGCATGAATCGTATAGGGTTGACACGTCGTTCTATTGTTGCTCCAAATGTCAATAAAATGGCTATATTAACTAACCATTGGATGATACCACCATGAACAGCAATAGCAGTAATAAATCTATAAGGTTGATAAGGCTGATCCGAATTTTGATCAAATGACGATAATCCACACATATCCTTCAATGAACATTGGATACCGTCATCATCATTTCCATCGTTAAAAGAATATGACCATGACGGTGCCGATAAAGTACTTGGTTGACCTAAGAATGAACAAAATTTGGATTTAAGATGTTAGATATGACCTTTTTTTTTTTTTTTTTTTTTTTTTTTTACCGTTGTCACTTGGGCATTTGTATACAGCAGAAGATGAAATCGATTGACTAGATCGCATACAAGGTGTAAAAAGTGCCCCTGAACGAATAAAAATCTTAGAATTTGGACCAAGCATTATGTTGAAAGGTGATAAGTTGATGATGGTACCTATTTATAATGTAAGGTAAATGTTATTCAAAAAAAAATTTATATGTAGACGTAACCTTTTCTTTTTTTTTTTTTTTTTTTTTTTTACCATAGTTTTGTTTGAACTGGATGATTTCATAAATTAAAAGAATACAAGTGGCCATTGCAAAAAGGTAGGAAAAAAAGGGTAACCAGTGCCGGTGAGGGCGGGTATTATGCTGATGATTCATCCTTGAATCATTTATCCATAATGGGTATGATGCATTTTTTATATTCTTAACATGAGGTTGTCGTTCTGGTGGTGAGTAAACTGGTGATGGCTTTGTTGGTTGTATCACTTCTTTTTCAGTCATTATTGTTGTTACTGGGAGAAAGGAGGAATGGCGATGATCATCATGATTTATCTCTTCTACTTTTGGTTGTGTTGATAAGATGGAAAAAATAGTTTGTCTAAATCCATTTTTTTTGTATTTGTCAAAAAACCCGCCATGACGGTTTTTTTTCTGTAATAATCCATCGTGTGTACTAGTGGTGGATAGAACGGACTGATGATCTGTATCATTCAAATAATAATGATGATGGCTTTCTAAATTGGTATGATTGTGACCTGGATGATTCTCTAAGGTTGTGGCCGGATGTTGATGGTACATTCCAATTGTGTCTTCTTCTTTTTCACTATGATAGAAGTGACGAAGATGATCATCATCAGATGGTTTCCAATGATTGTTGTTGTTACGATTCATACCACTATAGAATGATGATGATGATTCTCTTGAAACCAGTGAATCACTACGTTGAATAGGCAGATGTAAGCTACTGGAACTTGGTTTAAACTTGGTTGCAATAAATCTTTTCATTATTCATCAAAGTGTCAATAAAGATGTGAAAAAAAAAGAAAAGGAAGAAGAATTGTATAATGATTGACAGTTTGGATTTTTTTTTTTTATTATTATAAGAAAAAAAAATTAATGATGATGATATAAAAGGTAATCATACCGTCAAGGTTGTCAATGATTTCGCCCTTTCATATAGCCAGATTATTAGAGATAGAAGAATGTACAACGTTGTCAATTACCGTGTAATTAAGATCAATATAAAAAAGTGGACTTTAACTAAATTTGTCCATCGGTTTTCATGCGATCTGAGATCCTATTAGAAGAAAATACATGTATTGATAACAAATGCTGTCGGTGCTTTATTTCTTTATTTTCTTTTTTTTTTTTTTTTTTTATTTTTTGCCTTTCTTTCTCTTTTTTTTTTTTTTTTTTTTTATGGAAGCCAACAAACTTTCTGTCCTATCTCTCAATTGTTGGTATGTAAATCGTAATAAATACTTGTAACCGTTTTCTTTAGATAGACCATTCATTTTTTTTTTAAAAAAAAAAAAGGGGACTTTATTTAGTTTCAAGAAAACGCAAGTTTCGTTTGGAAGCCATTGCAGAAGCCATTCGTCAATTATCGTGCGATATTGTGACTCTACAAGAAATATGGGTTTATCAAGACTTTAATCATCTCAAGAATCATGTATCAACCGAACTTCCCTATGCTAAATACTTTTACAGGTAACTAAATCAACTATTATACTCTTTTTATTTACAATTATTTACATATACTTCCTTTTTGTTTCCTTTTGATAAATCCGTGTACTAGTGGTGCTCTTGGCAGTGGCCTGGCTATTCTATCAAAATACCCTATTACATACTCATCTTACTTTCGTTATACGCTTGCAGGACGGCCATTGAAGGTATTCCATGGTGACTACTATGTAGGAAAAGGTTGTGCTTCTGTGTGTCTTGAACATCCTCTTGTTGGCGTTATCCAAGTCTTTACTACACATGTAAATATATACTCAATATTGAAATGTGTTGAATGAACTAACTTTCGTTTCGTTTTTTTTCTTCCAATTAGTTACATGCTGGTTATGGGAAATCTGATGAATATCGAGGACATCGAATAACCGAGTCTTGGGAATTGGCCAATATATTACGATCTGCAGCAGCTCAAGGAAGACAAATCATAGCGGTATGACTTGGGAAAGAGAGATGAATCATATTATAATGGTATTCATCATTCTTTTTTTTTTTTCTTTATATATATATATATGTAGACTGGTGATTTTAATAGTACCCCTACAAGTTACAACTATCGACTTTTGAAAGAACACGCGTTTATGACAGACTCATGGCTGGAGACACATTTAGATAGTCAACAACAGAATTGGCAACAAACAGAAAACGAAGATTTGGATGATTTTATTCAACGCTTTGGAATTACTTGCAACTCATCTTCAAATACTTGGTCTAAACATTTCAACCCTCAACCTCATAAACGAAAGGCAACTGGAGATCGTTTGGATTATATCTTTTACCGGCGTACACCTCAAATGATATGCACTGATTCTTTCGTTACAATGACAAAACTTATTCCTGGATCAACAGTTAGTTATTCTGATCACTTCGGTGTTCAGTCTAATTTTATTCTTAATGGTGATGATGATTTCTCTAAACATAACGGTTACATGAATAATCATTATAAAACTATATCTACAACATCAAACGCATCCATGTTACCGCCATCAACAAGATATCCTTCTATTTCAACATCACTTTCCCATCCTACCTATACAGCACTTGACTTGACAACAGTACAGGAACTTATTTTATTGTTACAAAAGGATCAATTGACAATGCAGCGCATGGCACATCGTTTACTACGGACTTTTATCTCTCTGGTGGTGATAGTTCTTGCATTATATGTTGCAATTGTGATTGTTCCCTATCGTGTTTCTGTGAATCAATTTTTATCACATAATGGTGATGGTCATCATCATGATATGCTTATTGTGTGGTTACTACCTTTACTTCTTGGTATTCCTCTTATTATCTGCTCTGTCCTTGCCATTGTATGTCTTATTGTTGGTTTTGTTTTCGGTTATGGTGAACATCAAGCTATGCATCAATTTGTTATAGATCTTCAGACGCTACTTCATGGTCTTCAATTACGCAACAAAGATTCGACAATCTCATCATCATCTCCAACCACTCCATCTCAATTAGTAGAAACGTTGTAGTTTAGTAATATTATTATTTTCATTACAGTGTATGTGTATTTGTATTATATATATATATAGATTTACTGTAGATAATTATTTATATTGTCACTGTTGTATATTGACTTTTTAATAAACTGATATTCCTTTTTTTTTTTTTCTAATATACTCCTGATTATTTTTATTTTTATTTTTGATTCTCAAATCAACAACATACGTACAATGTATTCTATCATCATCATTGTAGCACGCCTAGACGATAAAACTCATTTCATCAACCATAAATGGAAACTTCGGATGTCTTTTTGTGATATTGCCATAATGAATAATCATAATTGAACAAGAAAAGAGAGAAAGAAAAAGAAAAAGAAAAAGAAAAAGAAAAAAAAAAGAAAAAGAAAAAAAAAAAAGAAAAAAGAAAAAGAAAAAAAAGAAAAAAAAGAAAAAAAAGAAAAAAAAGAAAAAAAAGAAAAAAAAAGAAAGGAAAGAAAACAATACAAATAAAACTAGTCAAAGGCTAAAGACACAATCATCAAGTTTGAAAAAAGGCTCATCCGTTACATTTTTTTTAAATATATGCAGTATATAATATACAGTGTATAGTATCAAAGATATAAAAGATTAGGAAGATAGTATCTACCAAATATAAGTATAAATAAAATAAAATCAAGTCCAAGATATAATAGAGAATAAAAGATAAAGTTTTATTTTTGGATATTATACTAATTTAATTAATAAATGAAAAGAGAACTAATGAAAAGACAAATAGAATGAAGGAAGAAAGAGATGAATACAAGTTCAATGAAGGATGATGAATATACATTAAGATGTGTAGTAATGTCGAATATTACGCGATAATGGGAAGAAGAGGAAAGAAAAAGGAGAAAAAAGAAAAAAAATTTTTTTTTTTTATTCGTCTGCGGAATTCGAAAAGTCAAAAAAAAAAGCTGTATTAACAATACAAACTACTGTACCACTTTACTTTTCCTTTTTTTTTTTTTTATCTCTTTTCCTATACGTGTGGTTGCGTAATCAAGTACTGGTGCTCACTATTTAACTTAATATCAATCAATCATCCGAATTACTTTTTCAATTTTGGCCTTAACATTTTCATCTAAAAAAAAAAAAAAAAAAAAAAAATTGGCCTTAACAACCAAAGACCACTTAACATATCACTTAACAACCGCATATGATTGGCCACAATTCGACCACCGAATCAAGTCAAACTGTAGCAAAAAAGATACTGAGATGAGACTACCAGGGGTCGAACCTGGAATCTCCTGATTCGTAGTCAGACGCCTTGTCCAATTGGGCCATAGTCCCTCAGTTGCGTGCTAGACTGATATGATCATTATGAATCAGTCGACGATTTCGCTCAAATTTGACGTTAGATTGATAATGAAGTAATCGATTTTCGACATTCATCTGTCAGTTTGTCCGAGTGGTTAAGGAGTGTGACTAGAAATCACATAGGCTCTGCCTGCACAGGTTCAAATCCTGTAGCTGACGCTTTCTTTTGCTTCTTTTTCTTTTTATATACTCCGTTTCCATGGTAGCCAATAGGAACGAGTGCTGTGTTAAGTGATTTTTTGGTTCAAATGGCCAATAAAAAAAAAAAAAACCTGTTAAGTGAAAAATTGGTTCAGATGGGTCAAATAAAAAAAATATTATCAAAGTTTATAAGGTAATACGGATGATTGAAAGAGAATAATGTAAATAGTGAGCGCCAGTACTTGATTACGCAAACACACGTATAGTAATAGTAATAAAAAAAAAAAAAAAAGTAAAGTAAAGAAAAATAAAAGTTCCAAATTTGGAGGGTAGGAGTTTGTAAAATTGTTCTCTTGCTGTAAGGAACAAAGTGAGCTAAAATAGTTGTTTTCATTAAAAAAAGATAAATTATATATTGACTGAACTCCAGAAGAGAAAAAAAAAGGAAAAAGGTGGGGTATTTATTCTATGTCGTATCAGCGTATTCTGTAACATATGCGTATAATAAAAAATAAAATGAATACATTCATAATACATCTTTGTAGATGGAATAAATCCTATTGACATGTAATAAAATAGTTGTAATAAATAAAATAAAACTTTATGGAATAAAAAAAAAAAAAGTATGTAAACTAACGACTACATTAATGTATATAATTAAAACCATAAAAAAAAAGTCAATGAAAGAAAAAGAAAGGTAAAAAAAAAAAAAAAAAAAAAAAAAAAAACTAAAAAGGGGACTTTGAAATTTATTCTACTGAGAAAAGAATGTCGATATATTTACCATATAATCATCATCATAGGAATTAATCATGATTATCAATACAAACTAATCAAATGTATCAACAAAGAGTAGACATGGTATTTAATACATATGATGATTAATTTTTTTTTTAAACAGATATAAAAGAGATATAAATTTTTCAAGTGTAGATATACAGTAATAATCAACTCTTTTTTTTTTTTTTTAATTTTTCAATAAACAGACTTTTCCACTAGTCCCATATTTTTTATTTTATTTTATCTATACACAAATTTAAAGAATATGGATATAAAAAGTATAATGTGAATGACTAAAACTAAGAGTGGATAAAATATACGAAATATAGATATTTAGGGTGATGCTTCGTATCGTATGACTAAACAGAAAAAAACCTTTTTTTTTTTTAACATCCCTTCGCCCCAAGAAAAGATGGTCCCCATATTAGATTGTTGTCCAGGTATCCACTCTTCTGATCTTTCTGATAAAGGCTTGTATACTATACGTAGGCATTAAGTCTTTCAAGAATTGTTGTAAATATTGTCTTCTTTCCTTCATGTAGTTTAGGCGTTCGACTTGTCCCAAAGAGTTCTTCAAATTGGTTATGTACTGTATTAGTTGTTTGATGTAGAAGAACGAAACAAAGTAATTGTTGACTAAAGATAACAGATAGTTATCTTTATTGTTGTAGAAATAAAATAACGTGTTTATATCTAAACTAAAGAAAGGAGAGACTAACTAATGTATCATAGTTGTAATGAGAAAAAAAAAAAAAAAAAAAAAAAAGGGACAAAAAAAAAAACAGGAAGGAAAGAGGAGAAGAGAAAGAAAAAGAGAAGGTGAGAAAGAAAACAAAGTAAATAAATAAAATAATAATAGAACTCAGACATACGCCATGATTTTTATTGACTAATGTTCCTTGACAGAATAAAATAAAACAAAAAAGTAAAGTAAAAGAAATAAAAAAGATCGAAGTTTGACAAAATTGCTCTGTCTTGATATAAAGAACAAAGTGAGCCAATCAGAAGTAAGAATCCACAAATATAATAAATATAAGATAAGTTTATTTAAACAAAATATGTTTTTTTTTGAATGACTAAAAAAAAAAAAAGAAGAAGAAAAAGAAAAGGAAGGGTATTTATACTAAAATATTTTATACAAAAATGATATTTATAAACGAATTTTGATAACAAAAGAATTTTGAAAACGAAAATAAGACGGTCTTGATATGAGACAAGACAATAAAAAGATAATTTCAAGCATAAAAGAACCTGTAATTTATTATCAGCATAAAAGTCATAACATATAAAAAACATAAAAAATAGTAAAGGAATGTACTTACCGTGATAATTCACGGTTCAAATAAAAAATAAAAAAGAATAAAATAAAGACTAAAGTAAAATAAAAAGAGAAAGAAAGACAAAAAGAAAGAAAAGGGAAATAAAAAACTTATATTCCATAAAAATAAAAAAAAATTCAAATCACCGTCCGCTATCAGGTCTTCGAACTATAATTTTTTTTTTTTGTATATTTTTTTTTTTTTATTTTTTTATTTTTTTTTTTCTTCTTTACATCCCATGCCCCAACAAAAGATGGCCTCCATCGTTCAACTTTTATCAACATGACACCAGGCATCAGCTTTACGTATCTTCTTCAATAACCTTTTAAAGTTGGAAAGGTTGGCGTCACGGATCGTCTCCAAGTGTTCGTTCGAAGGATTGATTCCAGAAGACATCAGGCATCTGATATAACTCAAGTCGATTACCATGCACACGTTTGTAAGTTTTGGTTCAGCGGATTGATATGGTTTTATGAAATAGGTCCCTTTGTCAAGTATTTGATGCACGATATAGATTCCATCCCACATGTCAGATATTTTTCCTGCCCATGAATTTGCCTTGATTCCAGTATACAATGTCATCATGTCACCAAGCTTGAAAGGATGTTTCCATTGTCGTGTATTTTCGATGATTTTCTTTTCCATGGCTCTTTTTTGATTTTCTTGAGACTTTCGTATGACTTCACAGTGTGAAATGGGTGTAGGTGAGTGTCAACAAAAAAAAAAAAGAAAGAGAAGGAAGAATCAGTGAGGTTTTTTTTTATTTAAAAATTAGTTGAAAAAAGAGACAAAGTATCTACACAAAAAGTTTTGTTGTTCTTATATATAAGTACGTGATGAGTGACACGTAATACTAGTATTGTATTTAAAATTGGTGATCAAATTTTATTTTTGTTTTTGTTTATTTTTGTTTTGGTTTGTAATACTGTTATACAGGGCGTATAAACTTATTAGTATTTTATTTCTCATTGACGTGATGTTATCATCATATATGTAATGATTTAATCATGATTGCTGCCCTGGAGTCTTTATTCATTGATATATATCTTTCCTTGGTAGTAATTATGGATCATCAGCATAATGGTTTTCAAAGTCCGTATTTTATTTTTTATCTTTTTAGATGTGGTAATTTTTATTTTCTCTTATTTCTTTCTTTTTCTTTATAATAACTTTAATCATAGTATATCAATTAGTGATCTATAATAGTCATACTTTTATTTAATAAAGCTTTTATTTTTATTCCTACTGCTTTATTACACGTCCATGTAATTGATTCCCTCTTACGAAGTAGTTTTTATTCTTTGTTTGTGAATGCATTCTTTATTTTATGGATATGGTTACGGAATACACTGATATGACATGATTAAAAAAATAAAAATAAAAAATCCATGTTCAAATACAAAAATAAAAAAAAAAGTGATAATAAAAAAAAGAAAGTCCAACCCAAAAAGAAATATTCAATCCAAAATGGTAAGAATCTAAACTACCTATAATTATGACGAAAGACGAGATGAAAATATGCAAAAAAAAAAAAAAAATAAGGATTGGGTTTTATGATCTACTACATTATGTATCAATAATGAAAAAGATATGGATATTTCTTTCTACTTTATATCGATCCTTCCTTTTACATTTCTACTTAGTTTTCACACCTGATCTTTGTATATAGTTTTAGATTATCGTTTTTTTTTTTTGAACTTTTTGAATGAATAATGATAATAAAAGAAAAATACACGTATATTTTATTTCAATGATGATAGTAGATCCAATTTGATAGATATATAAATATATATAGTTGCGATAGATAGATATATGTATGATTGTGATACGGAAGGAAATAATAATAATAATAAAAAACTAGAAGACGAAGGATGAGGGGAATATAATAGGGATGGGAGGGATACAATACTTGCATTCAAGATACCAAAATAAGCCAAGAAATTACCATATAAAATAAACAAAGAGGATACACAGTCAAAGCACGTCTATTGCTTAAATTGATTTGAGATTCGGATAAAAAACCTACAGAAGCTTTTTTTCCCAAATAAATAAATAAATAAAAAATTGGTGAGAAAAAAAATGATAGAATAAAAGAATACATACCATAAGTCGACCAAGCAAAAGTAACAATGGCTATAGGAAGACGGATCCAAATCAGATGTACAAAAATTGAAACAATCGATGCAGCAACTAATGGGAACAAGCAGTAACCTATAACACACACTGATTGGAAAAAGGATCTATTTAATAAAAAAGTAATCACCATCGTATTAGTTCGTTCATCTCATGTATTGACAATAAATAGTTATTCATTTTTATAGATATTAACGTTCAATCATACTTACACAGCACCTCCAAGAAGTTTGGCATTCAGTGTAACAACAGCCGCGCCAAGCCAGACAATAACAAAAACTCCAGTAAAAATGGATACACTTTGATCAACAGGTGCTCTAGTACTCAAAGTACTAAGAAAAAAAAAAGTTGATAAATATATGCAGCATTGTCATTCTAAATATATATATATCACTTACATTGCCAGAGACAGACATAATAATAAAGGTCCCCATAAGTCCCCTATAAAAAAAGACATCGATATAAGTACTTCAGTTTCAAATGGTAATAAGTTCTTAATTTTTTTTTTTCACTATACAGTCTCTTAATACGTGCCGATCGCCTTTTGGATGAAGCACTTGTAGCATTTTGTTGGCCACCTTTTTCAAATCACGTAACTAGTTTGTAAAAATAAAAAAAAAAAAAAAAAGAATGAGAAAAATGAGCATATCCTATAATATATTAATACTCTTACAATAGTGACTGAAACAGGTTCATCTAGAGTATCTTCACCAGTATATTGATAAGTTGTCGAAGAGGCTGATGGATTTGTAACGGGTGAACGAGTAGAGCTACCAATATTACCAGACAGAGCAGGATTAGCAAAAGGATTGGAATAACTAGATGGAGTGGAGTCGACAGTAGGCTGAGAAGGTTGTCTAGTGGATTGACCAGTCAAGTCTAAGTCAGGTTCAATGAAGGTAGAATAAGGATCTGAGGATGATGAGAAGGGATTATCATATTCATTAGATTGATGGTTAGATGAAAGCATCTTTATTATTGAGGAATGATTGAGACAAAAAAAAAAAAAAGAAAAAATAAAAAAAAAGAAAAAGAAAAAAAAAAATAAAAGACAAGAAAATGCTAGGAAAAAAAAAGCACACTTTTGATAGAGTCGGATGTTCAAAGCAGTCATACAGTCAGAGTTTTGATTTTTTTTTTTCTTTCCATTTCTCAATCTCTTTTTTTTTTTTTTTGTACATCATCTATCGCGCGTATATATTACAATGACTACATACAGTGACGAAACAATGACTTATTCTCAAACATTATCACAACAAAAGCTCGTTGCTGAAAGTTGTATGGATTTATTCTTGATAGAAATGGTAGATACTATTTGTAGAACAACTATTACTGAACCTGACGCTGATATTGACGCTGTCTTTTACAAGTTGGAAAATCTGGGTTACTCTGTAGGTCAACGCTTAATAGAAAGGTAACGTTCAATGGGTATTTTTTTAATATAATCGTGTAAAAAGGAAAATGATAACTTGACTCTACTGATAGATTTACACAAGACCGACCTCGATTCGTGGATACTTTAGATGTGGTCAAGTTTATATGCAAGGACCTTTGGACAATCATGTTCAAGAAACAAATCGACAATCTAAAAACGAATCACAGGGTATTTAGGGAAAGAAGTGTAAAATATATAATTATATTCATCTTTTTTTTTCATTCTTTATTAATAGGGTGTATATGTACTTCAAGACAACAGTTTTCGATGGTTTATGCGACTTTCAACAGATGTAGGAGGTGCTGATTCCGCAAAAAAGGCTTCACCGGTAAAATATTAACTATGAAAGAGAAAGAATGTAGATAACTTGTTATATTCATTATTTAAATTTGTCTTTTTTTTTTTTCTTTCTTTCCTTTGTATCAAAGTATCTCTGGTTTCCTTGTGGTATTATTCGTGGTGCATTGGCCAATCTCGGTGTATCTAGTGTTGTTGTAGCGGAAACTTCCAATCTTCCTCAATGTATGAATCTAACTATTTTAACAATATCATTATTTTATATTAACTCTTTTTTTTTTTTTTACATCTTTATTATTTTATAGGTACCTTCCAGATCAAAATAGCCAAATAAACGAGGATTTCCTTACCAAATCGCTATTGACTCTCTCTCCAATTCTATCCATCTTGAACATCATATCTTCCTTTTTCAGTTTAGTTTAGTCTTGTCCAGTTTATTTATTTATTCTATCATGTACATTACATTACCTATAAAATTATTCTTATATTTATACCACTTTATTACCGCAAACGTCGTGTTTTTTTTTTTTCTTTTCTGAAGTTATGGTCATCTCTCTTTTATGTTTTACACCATTACCATCAGCACATGGAATCATCATTAAAGGGAATCATCAGCAAAGTGAATCATCACCAAAAAGTTATGATCAAAGGGAATCATCATCAAAAAAAGCTATGATTAAAGGGAATCAGCACCATCAGCATCATCAACGTTATTGGCAGAGTTCGACTGAATGAAAGTGTTACTTGTAATAATTCAGAATAGAGGTTTTGAGTCGAAACCAAACCATTGTGATTGTAAAGAAGAGTCGTTCATGGATGATTTCATAAAGCGTTATCAATGGTCTAGAACTACGTAGAATTGACTAAACATACTCTTTTTCTTTTGATTTATATATATATAAGATGGCTAATAAAAGGATGTTCTTACATATCATCATTCATTCTATCAGTTCATTGTTCATCAGGTTAGATCAATAGATCTGGATCTATGATAACCTATTTCGAAAAAGGGCCCAAAAAAAAATCAGGAGCAGAAAAAAAAAGGTTATTTTTGACATGACCCCAATGATCCAGTACATGTGTGCTTTACGAAAACTGATTTGCTCTTTCACTTTTTAGAAGAACGGAGAATGAATAGAAGTATCATATACTATAAAGAACAGAACAAATCCGAGAAAAGGGTTTTTGGAGTTTAAAAAGAACAAAAACGTGGAACTTGTTTCAAATGAGATCATCAGGGGTATTTAGTAAATCACTTACTAATTGACATCCTTATTTTACATAATGACAAATATTAGACTGATAATGGTAACATGTTGATAAAAAAAAAAAAAAGGATGACAGGTAGATGACAGATTAAAAGTAAAGAAAGAAAAAAAAAAAGGATGATATGGGATAAGTTTATAAGGTAATGACCAAAAAAGGCATGAGGCAGAGTTCAAATGACACTAATTGACCAATGAAATCAAAGTTAAATTTTGACTTTAAAGAAGCATAGTAAAGTCAATATTTTGCCACAGGATAGGATCCAAAAGGTAAACCAATAAAATCATTTTGGCATGATCTCACGATATCAAATACTAAAATCAGTTTGTACACTAATAAATATACTTTTGACAACAATTTTTAAAAAACATTTAAAATAAAAAAAAAAAACCTGAACGCACGGTCTTCTTTTTATTTTATTTTGTGCATGATGATGGATGATTGGTATATATCTACATCTATATATATATATATTTATATCTGGTGATGATAATGATGATTCCGATAATGATTCTTATAATGAACAAAAATAAAAGAGAAGTTAAAAAAGAAAAAGTCATCCATAGGAAAAAAAAAAAAAGTTGAAAAATGCATCGTGACGAGATTACAGTGTTTGATTGGATGAGTTTTTAAGCGTAGTACTGGACGAAACTTCGCTTCCTCGATTTGGTAACACTGACTGGATAGAATTCCAGCAAATTGAAAGATTATCTTTATAAAAAGTAAAGTTTTTTTTGAATCAAAAAGAACACATGGGAGAAATGATAGGGTACCAAAAAAAAAAAAAAAAGTTGATTTTTAGAGTATAATATATATAAAAAAAAAATAATCATCATATAGTTAAAAAAAATATATATATATTTAGCCCCAGATTTACTTTTTTTTCCGTTTCAGTTTTTTCTTGTCTTTCTTTCTTCTTTCCTTCACTTTTTTTTCTTTTCTTTCCCTTCTTTCTTTTCTTTCCTTAATGGCGCAAGTTACTCAACAAGTATCTTCGGCCGGCGCCACTTTCGATGAATCCTACACCATTTCTGCTATTGATCGACGTCGTTTAGCTCTTGAAGAGGTAAATACATACTATTTTGGTATTTTTTTTTTTTTATACATCAAAATTAGATAACACATAAGGATTAATACTCATCATCTTTTTTTTTTTTTTTTTTTTTTTTTTTTTTTTTTTGTTTATCAACAAATAAAAAAAAAAGATTGACAATGCTAAATTTGGCTGGTTCCATATTCGTGCCTGTATTGTCTCTGGTATTGGTTTCTTTACTGATGCTTATGATATCTTCGCTATCAATTTGGTATCAGCTATGATTGGATTTGTTTACTGGCATGATCAAAACAACAAAACTCCTGCCAATGTTGATACTGCTATCAAAGTTGCTTGTTCTGTTGGTACTGTTGTAGGTCAACTTTTATTTGGTTATTTGGCTGATCGTGTAGGTCGTAAACGTATGTATGGTGTTGAATTGATTATCATTATTATTGGTACTGTTGGTCAATCTTTAGTCGGTAATGGTTCTGCTGTCTCCTTCTGGGGTGTGATGGTCTTCTGGCGTGTGATTGTTGGTGTCGGTATTGGTGGTGATTATCCTTTGTCCTCTGTTATCACTGCTGAATTTGCTACTACCAAACGTCGTGGTGCTATGATGGCTGCTGTATTTGCTATGCAAGGTATTGGTCAAGTGGCTGCTTCTATTGTTGGTATGGTTACTACTGCTGCTTTCAAGAGTGCTATTGAATCCGATCCAACTTACTTGGATTATGTCTGGCGTATTGTGATTGGTGTTGGTGCTGTCCCTGGTGTACTTGCTCTCTATTACCGTTTGACTATTCCCGAAACTCCTCGTTATACCATGGATGTTGAACAAAAAGTTGAAAAGGGTATCCGTGATGCTAAGGCCTTTGTTGAACATGGTGCTTCATCTGGTGATTACACTGATAACATTGCAGTGACTCGTGAAGAAGCTTCTCCTAAGGCTTCTTGGGCTGATTTCTGTCGTTACTTCGGTCAATGGAAGAATGGTAAGGTTTTATTTGGTACTGCTTACTCTTGGTTCGCTTTGGATGTCGCTTGGTACGGTCTTGGTCTCAACAACTCTATCATTCTTACCAACATTGGTTTCTCTGGTGGTTCTGATGCTTACAAGTAAGTGATCCTATTCTCTTTATATATATTTATTTATTTATTTATTCAACTCATTTGTTTTTTTTTTTCTTTATAGCTCTGTCTTCCGTACTTGTGTTGGCAATTTGATTATTCAATTACTTGGTTCCGTTCCTGGTTACTGGATTTCCGTCTTCACCATTGATCGTCTTGGTCGTAAATTCATCCAAATCATGGGTTTCACTATGCTTACTATTATGTTTGTCATTCTTGGTTTCGCTTATCAACCTATTCTTGATTGTTCTGTTGCTCTCTTCATTGTCTTGTATACTATCACTCAAATCTTCTTCAACTTTGGTCCCAACACTACTGTAAGTATCTATCATCATCATCATCATCATCATCAGATATATATGAGACTCATCCTTTTTTTTTTTTTTTTTTTTTTGAAAAAAAAAATAGACATTTATTGTTCCTGGTGAAGTCTTCCCTACCCGATATAGATCTACTGCTCACGGTATTTCCGCTGCTAGTGGTAAGATTGGTTCCATTATTGCTCAAGTTGGTTTTGGTTTACTCAAGGATATTGGTGGTTCCAACAAATGGATCAATCACTTGCTTCAAATCTTTGCTCTTTTCATGTTGACTGGTATTTTCTCTTCTTTCCTTATCCCTGAAACTGCTGGCAAATCTCTCGAAGAACTTTCCCGTGAAGATGATGATACTGATTACAATCACAAGATTGAAAATGAAGAAGTTGTCAAGGGAACTTATTAATTTTTAGTTATACTTCCAATCCATTTTTTATTGTTACTATTATTATAAACCATATATGTATTATTTTTTTTTTAATTTTTAGTTTGTTTTTTTTTTTATTATTTTTTTTTATTATGATATTATCTTTTTTTTTTTTCTGAAATGACATGAAGTAATAAAGCATGTTACTATGTATTCATCTATTTTATATAGTGGATCTTTTTTTTTTTTTTTTTAATATAGGGGTTTAAAACGCCGTCTTTGTATCTTTTGTTGTTTGTTTGTATTTTTTTTTTTTTTTTTCGTTCCTCTTTCCCTTTTTTTTTCTCTTTTTTCCTTACTACACTTTTCCTTTTTTCTTTTTTTTCTTTTTTATGATAATGGCGAATCCTTCACCTCTTCCCAATTCTTATTCACCAAAGGACCAACCACCAAGAAGTGCTTTTCAATGGCCGGCTCCATTGTCCCCTAGGTTTAATAAACAAGATGACTTTGATACCACCGCTACAAATACCGACCTCTCTTTGAAGGAAATTCTAGATAAATACAAGGACGATGCTGATATATTACGACATATATTACTGGCTAAGGCAGAAGAAGACAAAGTAAGAAAATAAGAGAAAAGTGAAATAAGTGACGCGAAATATGGATGAGTTAGGGTATCGTCTTGATGAACAATAAAGAACGAATCCATGTTTTGTATCATATTGGTACTTTTGATCTTAATAGAACTGAAATAATAATTATTTTTACTTACTATATCTTATATTTTTTTTTTATCATTGTAGAGACAAGCTGCTAGGGATATGTTGAAAACAGAACAAGCACGAATTCACCTCAAGCAGTTGGATCTAGAATATTTACGTGAACAAAGTAGATTATCACGACATGATGATAAGTCATATCACCAAAACCAGTCAACAATTGCAACAGCTCCACCATCAGCAACAACACAACATTTGCCTCCACCACCAGGAACACCATCTTATGCTTATGGTCTTGCTCCTGTTCAACAACAAGTTCTTGCTCGTCTCACCGGGAATCATCCAGATACTCACTATTCTTCCAATTATTCCAGCAATTATGAATACCAACCTTCTTCACCTGTAGCTTATCCTCATTCAGCTCATCCTCTTTGTCCACCTACCGAAATACGTACCAATAACAATAATAAAAGTTCAACGGCTGTTGCGGCTGCAGCTGCACGTTATAATCATCCCGGTACTTCCAATTCTACGCCAGTATCAGCTGCTACAAGTTCCTCTATTCATTATCGACATCGATTGCCGCCACCTTCTATCAACACTTCAACTTCTGCAGCTACTCTTCAGCCTTCTGCACCAGTATCACCTGCCGTAGGCGCAAATTCAATTGACGACTCTACTGCATCTATCCCTACACGTTACAAACGAAATCGACATTCTGCTTCTGATCAATCGGATGATAAGTTATCTCACAACAAAGTCATGGAAGCATTAAAAGCAAAAATTCAACGCGGCAATGGATCTCCGATCAGCACTACTCCAACTTCTTCATTACCCTACAGGTCCAACTTTGCAGACTCTTTACATATGGATAAACGACAACGACAATTACCGAAACCAATAGTCTCTGTGGAAAATAATAACAACAATAAATCATCGACATCATCTGCATCGACAACAGTCAATAGTATCACCTCAAATGGCACTGGGCCAGTTCCATCAACATCATCCTCATCAGCAATATCACCATCAACGACATCTCATACACCATCACCTCGATCTGCAAAACCAATTTTACCACCTATCGATACCAGTGTTGGCAGAAATCCTCATCATCCTCATCATCCTCATCATCACCATCAACAACAACAACAAAAACAACAACAAAAGCAACAACAACAACAACGCCATCGATCATCCTCTCCTCCACCACGTGTATCCACTTCTTTTCAATCTACTAGCAAGATCAGTGATATCCCCACAAGTACACCAACTACAGTTCAAATATCACCTTCTGATCAAGTTCTTGCTCTCTCTACTCATCATCGGCAAGGCAGAAGTAGCGGTTCACAGCATTCTACACCACCAGAGATCACATACAAACAAGAATCATCAGATTAAAAAAAAAAAAAAGGAAGACTTGACAACAAAAGGGACAAGGATCGAAGGAAAATTTTATGGGACGGAACAAAGAACGAAGGCTTTGAATGGTTGGTTTTGGACAACAAACAGTAAGCAAGAAACAAATGGGATCTGTCTTTGGCTTGGCTTCGAGGCTTTGATATAGATGTTTGGCTTTTTTTTTTTTTTTTTTGGTAGTTAGTCATGTGTGAATGTGTGTGTGTGTGTGTTTTTTTTTTTTTTTTTTTTTTTGTTGTTATATTTATACATATTGTTTATGTTTGTTCTTCATTTCATTCATCTGCATGTGTTTTTTGTATCGTCATATTGTAAATGTAATAAACACCATCTTTCCTTTTTTGTATACCCTTGTCAAGTCAATGAAAAAATCAAATGTCTTTATTCTATTCATTCAAAATAAAATAAAATAAAAATCTATACTACAAATAATACTAAATCTAATCATTCTTCTTTTCAACACTAGGTTCCTCTTGTCCACTTGCACCTGCAATTGTGAATAAAAGAGCCACTAACGCTAAAAATCCAACAGCAAATACAAACGAATGATCACCTAAAAATTGAATGGTTTTACCAAACATCGAGACTGAACGAGGAGGTTCTGTAGTATGACTTTCCAGTTGTTCTGTATGTTGTAATGCTTCAAACAGTGAGGCAGCATCATCTATTGAAAACTTTTTACCCTTCAGATCTTGGTTATAATACGTCTTATTCTAAATCATCCATCAAAAAAAGAAAAAAGAAGAAATGAGTAAGCATCATGAGCCTTTTCTCACAAAATCTTCTCATCATCCATCCATTTTTTTTTTTTTGTACCTTTGGATTCACAATCACCAAGGTTGGTAAGTCATTGGATGAAATATCATAAACGCGTTTGACATATTTTGCCCAGACTTGACCATTGAGTTCGGCAAAGATCACTCGAGGAAAAGCATCAGTGGACTTGACCAACCATTCACGAGATACTTGTCTGAAACCATCGTGTGCCATATCACTGTTGAGGAACATTAACGCTACCAATTGTTCACCTTTTAAAATATCATTGGCATTTCCAGAGTTTATCCTTGTCACCAAAGGATATTTGTTTTGATCCACCCAATCGATATAATGCTTTTCTGTCTTGATGTCATTTGAGTAAATTTGACGCAACGCGCCTCCATCCTTGATTAATACTGCCTTGCTTGTAGCCTGATCTTTATCCAATGTAATATCTAAAGCTTTCATTACTTTACTATCATCGGTCGTATAGAATGGTACGGAATCCATATACTTTTTCGCTACTGATTGAATTGTAGTCTACGGAAATGATAATATATATATATATACAAATGTAAATAAAATAAAGAATTTTTTTTTAGTTATTTACCAAATCATCACCCTTTTTGTGAGCATACACCAGTGAAACAGGATTTTCATAGATAGATGCCAATGAAGAATGATCAATTGCACGAGTAGTAGGACCAGTCATTTTTATCAAGTATTTTTGGAAACTATCCAAGTCTCGCCCATCTTTGTAAATAAAGGATGTTTCACCATTGTAACTACATTGTATACCGATAAAGGAAAGGAAGGCAAAAAAAAAAAAAAAGATGAGGATTTACTTACTCATGTATATCATTCAACTTACAATTTTAACGTCGGTAACCCGGTTACTTTTTGGGATGAGCAAAGATCTATAGAAAAAAAAAAAAGTGAGTTATCCTTTGCAATATTGATGATTTTTTTGGAAGGTTTACCTCGATCAGTTTCACAGTTGACTTCGCCAACATTGATGATAGAGGTATCAAGAGATTGAGCCAGAGAATCCCAGATAGGTGCCAGATTTTTGCAATGACCACACCAGGGAGCATAGAATTTGACGAACCAAGGATGACCCGATGCTTCAATGATAGTCAAGTCATCTTTAGTAAGCGAAACTGAACCACGTAGAGGATTGGAAATAATTTGTTGTTTCAGGAATGATGTCACATTGTCATCAAGACCATTCGTACTAATCACATTACCATTGGAAAAAACCTTAATGATATCATTGTTATTGTCACAGATGGACTTTTCAGTCGAGCAATTCACTTTGCCAAAGTAAACACCATGTTGGATCCATCCATTGTAATCCATAGCCAATTTCTCCCAGGTCGATTCTGATCATAAATAATAATAATAATAATAATAATAATAAAAATTAATATCAATCATATCCACTTTTTTTTTCTATTTAATTTACCAAAAGTATGAGAGATTGAAGTAGAATGGTAATAAAATACCAACCAGTTACCGGCAGAAGTTTTAAGTTTGATATTAGCTTCTGTAAGTTGAGTTGATGCCAACGCACTTGTTGCAAGCAAGCATACCAGTAACAATACAAGATAGACCATTTAGTGTTGTGTACGAATTCCCTTTTACTGATTCTTTTTTTATTTTTACACTTTCCTTTCTGCAAAGAAGTTCAAAATAAAAATAAAAAAAAAAGAATGAACGATAGAAAGGGAAAAAAGAGACAAAGAAAAAAAAAAAGTATTGAAAAGGCAAGAAAGATCTTTTTTTGTAATTTTCTCACTCCGTTAGAGATTCCAAAGAGGTTAAACTTTAGATCCAAATACCTCTTCATTACATAAACAACATTCATTTTGTATGATAATAAGAATAATATGACATTGATTATCAAACTTTTTTTTTATTTGTCCATTCATATCAAAGTGAATTATCCATTTTAATAATACTAAGTCTATCTATTTTCCTATACAGAATTGTCCAAATAATGCATCTAATACATCTTCTACATCTATTCTACCGGTGATTCTTCCGAGTGCATTAGCAGCTTGACGTAATTCTTCTGCTCCAAGAACGATTTCTCCAGCTGGCATATCTATCCAAAAGAAAATAAAAATTAGACATCATTTTTATCACTTGCTCTTCCTTTTTTTTTTTTTTTTTTTTTTTTTTTTTTTTTTTGTTCAATTACCTAAGAAAGCATCAAGACAGTCTACACAATTTTCCAAATGTTGACGATGGCGAGCTTGAGTAATTAGTACAGGATTGGCTAGAGATTGATCGAATCTAATAATATACAAATAAAAGTCAGTCTTCCATACATATTTTTTTTTTCTTGATTAAACGTAATAGTTTTACCTTGATTTCAAAACTTGAATCATATCTTTTAAAAAGACATCCATACCTTGACCTGTTTTGCAGCTGATAGACCATACTTTGCGAGCACCCGTTTCACGTTGAATTTGATTTGCCATTTCCAATGGAGAGATACCAGGTATCATATCTTGTTTATTTAGAATAATATATGTATCTTGATCAATGACTTGTCGAACAACTGGATCCATATGAATTTGATGTTGAGTATTTTCTGTTGTAGTTAAGGTTGAGAGAGATAAAAGACAAATTTTGATATCTGATAATTCCACTCGTGCTTTTGCTCGTCGAACACCTTCCATTTCAATTCGATCATCTGATTCTCGAAGTCCTGCCGTATCACTTAGAATCACAGGATAGCCACCTAGATTCATTGTCACTTCTACCACATCGCGAGTTGTTCCTGGTATATCAGATACAATAGCTGCTTCCCGTTTGGCTAAGAAAATGAAAGTGCATTTTCAAATCCCAAAATAATAATAATAATAATAATAATAATAATAATAATAATAATAATAATAATACTATTGATGAGTTTTCTTTTTTTTTTTTTTTTTAAAAAAAAAAAAAAGATTCTTACCTAATCGATTCAGCAATGAACTTTTTCCTGCATTTGGTGGACCAACAATAGCAACTTGAACACCATTTCGTACAATTTCACCAGCATGATTGTCATCCAAATGTTGTTTGATTGTATCCCTTAATTCTCCAATATTCATCATCACTACATGTAACACAAAAGAAAGATGAAGTTATTTGACTTTTTTTTTTTCCTTATACTCGTCAGATATTCAAGGGTTCACTTCCTTACCATCATCTAGGACACCATCTTCAATATTTTCATCTTCTCCAAAATCAATAACAGCTTCAGCAATAGCCATAGAATGAATGATTTTCTCCCTCCAGGAGTCAAAAGGAATACGTAGTCCACCCTAAATAAGGAATCAACAAGAATATCATTAATAATAATAATAATAAAAAGGATGATGAGCTCTCATATATTTGTTGCTGTTGGAGAAGAGGAAGGATTACCTCTGCTTGTCGAAGAGCCAATTGTCGTTGAAGTTCGGTTTCTGCATTGAGTAAATCAGCCAAGCCTTCCAGCTCTGTGAGATCAAGTTTACCATTATCAAAAGCCCTTATTGAACAAAGTAAAGATAGAGAGAAACAGGAAGATGTCAATAAATGGATGATATTTCTCTCTCTCTCTCTTTTTTTTTTTTTTTTTTTTTTTTTCATTCCCTTACCTTCTTGCATATTCACCTTGTTCGGCCAGTCGAAATTGAGGTAATTCATTCAAAGCATCCAATATACTTCGAATCACAGCATTACCACCATGGACATGGAGTTCGACAATATCTTCACCCGTAAAACTATGAGGACCTATATATAGTAGCAGTCAATGAATTAATAATGATCCTTGATTCAAATAGATCTTCTTTAGTGTTTTACCTGGAAATAAGAGAACCAAACCACGATCCAAAACAAGTCGAGAGAAAGGATGAAGGATTCGACGAAAAGCTGCTTGCCGCGGTCTGATATTATTACCATGTGTTGTCATTTTCTCTACTACCTATACTAATAAACAAAAATATGAGATCATTTATGTATACAAACCTTTTTTTTTTTTTTTTATATCAAACTTGTCTCTTACTTGTCGTGCATTAGGGCCGGATATACGTATGATAGCTACACCTGCCTTTCCTGGTGATGTCGATAGTGCATATATGGTATCAGAAGAGGATATGGATGCTGTCATTGTGTCAGTAGTAAGAGATCGTTGGGCCGAAAATGGACGAGATCGACTGGAGTTGTCAAGATCGGAATATAAATGTCGTTGACCATTTATACATTGCTTTGTAAATGTTGTTGTCACAAGATTTGATGGTTTTCCAAGTCGTCGAGTGAATTTTGCAGGTGATAAAAATGGTAATAAAGATAATCTAACTAATGGCCGTTGGAGCATGAACAAAAGTAAAGAAGGGAGAAACAAATAAAGGAAAAAAGTGGGATTAGGAAAAAAAAAAAAAAAAAAAAAAAAAAAAAAACCGCCGCCCTATTTACTCTATCGGCTAATTTGGGCAGCTCTCATCCAATCGGTTAAATAATAGCCGATTATCCGAATTTGAGAGTTTTATAGTTAATTTTTTGTGCCACATCAAAAATGCTTGTTTGGCTCAGTTGGTAGAGCGTCAGTCTCATAATCTGAAGGTCAGCAGTTCGATCCTGCTAGCGAGCATTCCTTTTTGTCGATTTCCATAATAAACTTTTGAAATAACAGCCAATCATATTTCTTCTTTCTTCGTACCTGTGCAACAACATTCAGTTACTAACCTTTTTTTTTTTTTTTTGTGTTAAGTGATTTTTTGGTTTATAGGTTCAAAATTGAAAAAGTAAAACGGATGATTGAAAGTTAATAATGTTTATAGTGAGCACCAGTACTTGATTACGCAAGCACACGTATAAGTAAAGAGATAAAATAAAACAAAAAGTAAAGTAAAGAAAAATAAAGTCTTGTTCCAAATTTGGAAAGTAGAAGTAGAGTAAAATTGTTCTGACTTTAAATATAGAACAAAGTGAGCCAATCAAAATAGATAATCCACAATACAATCAAGTAGGGATGAAAAGTAAAGATTTATTTAAAAAAATATATTGATGATTAACTGACTAACAAAAAAAAGTAAAAGAAGGGGTATTTATACTATTTGAAATTTAAGGTTAAAAAAATATAATATGAAAAAGAAAATGAAAACGAAAAGAATAAGTGAAATAAAAAAAATAAAAAATAGAATGAAAATAAAAGGGGAAATAAAAATGAAAGTAAAAATTGAAAATAAATTTTTTTTTTTTTTTATAATTTTTTTTTTATTCAACATTTGACATCAGCGACTCGTGAACATATCACTGTAACTAACTGTTATAGAACAATCTTATAGTTTAGATTCGTTATGTGTGTATTGAAAATCAAAATTACCTCTTTGACTATTGTATTGTTGTATTTACAGTGTCTTGCGTATAGTATCAGGATAATAATAACTCTATGACATTAATTGACGCGATAAAGAAGATGATTTTATAAAGATAATTCCAAGATGATGTTTTGCTACTTACTGTATGATGATGATGACCGCTGGCGATGAATACAGAAATGAAGCATTGTACGATGATGATGATTACTACATAGATGCCACTATTAGAATGACTACTTACGTGTTTGCGTTATTTTATGATTTCTTCTGAATGAATTGATTTAAAATAGGGTATCATGGAAGATTTTATTGGTAGATGCTGGTCCCAAGAGCTTTTGCTTCCGTATCTGCAGACAACGAAGTACAAAAAAAAAGTATATTTTTCAGTAGCCGATTTTTTGTTTTATCTCTCTTTTTTTTTTTCTTCTTTTTTTCTTTCTTTCTTTTTCTTCTTTTCCTTTTTTCTTTTTTCTTTATTTTATTTGTTTGAATCCAATTGCCATTGGAAGAATTGGTAAGGAATAAAAAAAAAAAAGCACAACAACATTATGGTTTATTCTTTTGAGAACTTTTGAGAACTTTTGAACAAAAAAAAAAAAAAAAAGGACCTCATGAACAGGTTTCTGCTCATCTTACTGACGTATTTTTATAATTTCGTCATCTAGGAAGAACAACATGTCAGGAAACAATATCAAGGTTGTTTGTCGTTTTCGACCTCAAAACAAACTTGAAATCAAAGAAGGAGGTGTGCCCATTATCGACATTCAAGAGGATGGTACTGCAGTAACTTTGAAGGTAAAAGAGAGAGAGAGAAAACACTTGACACGCGAACTATATATTCATCTCCTTTAATATTATAAATGATAGGGTACATCTCAACCACCTTTTTCTTTCGATAAAGTATTTGGAAGTAATACTGCTCAACAAGAAGTATTTGAATACTCCATCAAGTCAATTGTAGATGGTAAAGAATACTATTATTATTATTAGTATTATTATTATCAATGAAAAAACAAAAGCTCATTCTTTTTCATTAATTCAATGATTAGATGTGGTTGCTGGTTATAATGGTACTGTCTTCGCATATGGTCAAACTGGTTCAGGAAAAACTTATACAATGATGGTAAATATCAATTCAGAATAGGATTAATGTGATATGCTAACGATAAAATTGTTTTATCTATTTTGTTTAGGGATCTGATATTGATGATGCTCAAAATAAAGGTATCATCCCTCGAATTGTGGAACAAATCTTTGAAAGCATCATGCTTGCTCCTGCCAATATGGAATTTACTGTCAAAACCTCATATATGGAAATCTATATGGAAAAAGTCAAGGATCTTTTGAACCGTAAGTAAATGAAACAAGAACATGTTTAATATCATCACGGTGATGTTTCAACCTTTTCTTTTTTCTTTTTTTTTTTTTTTTAAAAAAAAATTAGCATCTCAGGATAATTTACCAATTCATGAAGACAAAACAAAAGGTGTTTACGTTAAAGGTCTATTAGAAGTATACGTGTCATCTACGGAAGAAGTTTATGAAGTTATGAAAAGTGGTGGCAACAATCGTGTGGTGGCATATACAAGTAAGTATTTTTTTTTTTAAAAAAAAAAAAAAGGTTATCTAAAATTGAAACCTCTAAATCAAATTTTATTTGTTCTTTCCTTTTTTTTTTCTTTAGATATGAATGCTGAAAGTTCTCGAAGTCATTCCATCGTTTTGATCACTATTACTCAAAAGAATTTGGATACTGGTGCGGCTAAGAGTGGCAAACTTTACCTCGTCGATTTGGCTGGTTCTGAAAAGGTGGGCAAGACTGGTGCCTCTGGACAAACTTTAGAAGAAGCCAAGAAAATCAACAAATCATTGACTGCTTTGGGTATGGTTATCAACTCTCTTACAGATGGAAAGGTAAAACATTTAACTTGATGAATTCTAAACGTACTGACAAAAATAATTTTCTAAACTCTATAGTCAAGTCATGTGCCATATCGTGATTCCAAGTTAACTCGTATTTTACAAGAATCATTGGGTGGTAATTCTCGTACAACTTTGATTATCAATTGTTCTCCATCATCTTACAATGAAGCTGAAACAATATCTACTCTTCGATTCGGTGTGCGAGCCAAGTCTATCAAGAATAAAGCAAAGGTCAATGCAGATCTTTCTCCTGCAGAACTCAAGGCATTATTAAAGAAATTCAAGGGCGAAACTGTCAGTTATCAACAATATATTCAAGCTTTGGAAGGCGAAATTACTATATGGCGATCTGGTGGTTCAGTACCTGAAGCTCAATGGGCAACGATGGATAAATTAGCAAAGAGCAATGGAACAGCATCATCATCACCAGCAACAACACCTTCACCTAGAACACCAACACCTTCTGCCTTCAAACCAACATTACCAGATGATTCAAGACCTGTGACACCGGCGCTTGCACTTGAAAAGGATGAACGAGAAGACTTTTTGCGACGAGAAAATGAACTCATGGATCAAATAGCTGAAAAGGTAATAAAAAAAAAAGTGTGCAAATCAAAAAAGACAAAATTCAATATCGTTTATAAATTCATATTGTCTTGTTTATTATATTCGCTAGGAATCCGAACTGGCCAATCGGGAAAAACACTTGGAAGCTTTACAAGAAGAGCTTGGTTTCTTGAAGGAACAGGAAAAGACATTGACAACTGATAATCAAAGCATCACTAGTGAACTCAATGATGTCAAACTTCAACTACAAAAGGCATCCTATGACAGCAAAGAAAGTGCCATCACTGTGGATTCTTTGCGTGAAGCTAATCAAGAATTGACCCTGGAACTTACTCAGTTAAAGAAATCGTTGGCCGAATTACGCAACTTACAAAAGGAAGCTGATGATGAAACAAAATCAAAAAAGAAGGCGGATAAAATGGCGGAAATGATGGCTTCTTTGGATCCTTTGGTAAAAAAAAAAAAAAAAAAAAAAAAAAAAAAAAAAAAAAAAAAAGGGATTCGTTACTGATTCCTTTTTTTTTATGACGATGATGATGATGATAGGACAATGATATTTCTGCCAAAGAACAACAAATGAAAAACGCTTTGGACAAGTTGAATCCTGAGTCTGCCATCAATCTGAGCGAAGAAGCATTACAACAATTGAAACAACAATTACAGCAATATAAGACTCAAGCTACTCAACAAGAATTAGTTATTAAAAATCTTCACAATGACAAAGAAGCCTTGTTGACAAAGCGTACTGATCTGGAAACCAAACTCAGTGCCTTGGAAGTGGAATATGAAGAACTTTTGGAAAAAGAAATTGCTGACGAAGAGAGGGCTATGGAAAGTAATGCTGATTTGACTGATACCATTTCGGAACTCAAGGTAAAGGAAAAGAGAGAGAGAGAAAGAGGGATTAAAATAAATAATAAAAAAGATAGAATAACATCTCTTATTTTGTCCTATTTTTTTTTTTTTAGACCAAACTGGAAAACACATATGTTGCCAAAAAGGAAATGCAACAAAAAGAAATCGAAGAATTGCGAAAAGAATTGGATCGAAAAGATGAAGAATATAAGGCTCTTGATGCTGTTATGGTAGAACTCAAGATTTCCAATGAAAATCTACAAGTAAGAAAATTCCTACCCAATAAAAATAATAAAGGGAATGAATTCATTAAAGCTACCTTTTTATTTTTTTCATTTTTTATTTTATCTCTTAGTCTGCACTTGATTCTCAACCCAAAACTATGGATGCCGTTAGTGATAAGGAAAAGGATGTTGAAAAGATGCGCAAATCGATGGCTGAACAATTGGCTTACTTTGAAGTGATGAAGAAAGGATTGATGCGCGACTTGCAATCTCGATGCGAAAAAGTGGTTGAACTGGAAATCTCTTTAGAAGAAACTCGAGAACAGTACAATCATGTTTTGAAAGCAAGCAATAACAAGGCACAACAAAAGAAGATGGCCTTTTTGGAACGTAATTTGGAGCAATTGACAAATGTTCAAAAACAGGTAATTAATAATAAATAAAAAAGGAATAGATTGATGATCATATCTTTTTTTTTTATATATTAATATATATTATTTATTATTTTAGTTGGTGGAGCAGAATTCTCAATTGAAAAAGGAAGCAGCCGTATCTGAACGCAAATTGGTGACACGTAATGAACGTATTCAAAGTTTGGAAGTTATGTTACAAGAATCACAAGATAATCTATTGACACAAACGCAAAAGTAAGTTGAAATAATGACAGAATGGTTCAATCCTAATTCTTTTTTTTTTTTTTTTGATTAGGTTTGAAACTCAAATACAAGCTGTACGAGAACGGTTGGAACAAATACGATCTCAAAAATCACAAAGTGCTATGGCTCTAAACTTTGGACGTATTGCTAAACCACTAAGGGGTAGTGGAGCTGTTGTAGATAGGTATGAATAAAAAAAAATGAATGATAATGATTATTTAATTGATTTGATTTCCTTTTTGAATTTAGTGAGGTCTCTGCTGCTGAAAAGCAAGAACGCCGCTCTTCTTCTTGGATTCCTTTCCGGTAACTGATGGCTCCTGACTGTTCGTGATATTATTTTATTTCCCCTCCCCTTTTTTTTATACTATATATATATATTGTAGTTCTTTCTCTTTATCAAAATGTCTCTTATATATATATGTATATTTATATATTTATGATTATATATATATATATATATATATATATATGTTTATATTCCCTTTATTTATTATATAGTCAATATTTCATATATATTCCCTTTTTTTTTTTTTGTTGTTGTCTATTACCCCATTATGTTACACACACGAAATAGACTTTTTCTCCATTCCTACTCCGTTTTCGGCCTGGTGAAATAAAAATTGACCATTTTAGTATCTCTTTTTTTTTTTTTTTTCTATATATTTTTTTATTCTTTTCTGTGAACTGAGACCAAGGTTCCAACGAAAAGAACTCCAAAATCTAAGACGATATTATTCCTTTTTTCCTTTTCTTTCCTTTCTATCGTTTTACTCATTCCACCATTAACATTCTATTTTGTTGTTTCGTTACTTGTTTAGAAAATTCCATAGATATTTAGATTAGTATAAATATATCAATTACAATCATTTAACTCTTCTATTATTTTTTGGGATTTTTATTTTTTTTTTCTATGAACATCCATCAATCCATATTCTTGTTTTCCTTCTTTTTTTGCTTTATTAGTAAATCATTATCACAACCTACATCATGGTCTTTCCAAAATTGGCAATCTTATTCAAAAGATGTCCCTTCTAGTAATCCTAGGTGGAAATCCGAATGGAAAATCCCTGATCAAGGTGGTTGGTCATGGCCATGGCAAGAAGAAAATATCAATTATTCTATTGTCAATGATCCTTCTCGGTCCAGTCAAGAGAAAGGTATACTTCAAGTTACATATCCTGCTCATTCAATGAATCCAAATACTTTTCCACAAGGTGGTATTGGCTTTTATGCTCGTCCTCTGTCTTTATCTAGACCAGCAGCTTCACTTGATTTCTCTTACAAGGTTTATTTCCCGAAAAACTTTGATTTTGTCAAAGGTAATCATTCATATCAAGATTAATTGATGATCAATGCTAACAAATCTTTTTTTTTTTTTTTTTTTTTGTGACCAAGGTGGTAAACTTCCTGGATTATTTGGTGGTCATGAACAATGTTCGGATGGAACAAAATCTTCTACATGTTTTTCAACACGGTAAATCAAAACAATAATAATAATTACTTCTATTCTAATACATATTTTTTTTTCTAACTTTAGATTCATGTGGCGTGAAAATGGAAAAGGGGAAATCTACGCTTATATTCCATCTCGATTACAAACAAAACATCTTTGTCAAACCAATGGAAATATTTGCAATTCAGCTTACGGTTATAGTTTAGGTAGAGGAAGCTGGACTTTCAAGACAAATGCCTGGAATACTGTACGACAAGTCATCACATTGAATACACTTGGTAAACAAGATGGTGATATTACTATCTATATCAATGGAAATCAAGTCTATAAACAATCCAACTTGGTTTATCGAACATCAGCAACAAATAACGAATTTGGTATCGGTAAGTGAGAATAAGTGTAAATGTTGTTCATTTGGCTGATTGTTTTTTTTTTTTTATAATAGTATTTGATACCTTCTTTGGTGGTTCCACTTCTGATTTCAAAACACCTAAAACTCAACATACCTACTTCAAAGAGTTTTCATTGAAAGCTCATTAGTATAGTGAATATTATTATGTCTTTGGTTATAAAATAAACAATGTAGTTTTCCCTGTCTTCCTTTTTTTTTTTTTGACTTTTGCATGAATCCGTCCAGTGTAACAAAGCATGTTACTTTCAGTAAACATGGATATCTTAGAAGCTACTTGGTCATTATAAAGAGGACTTATGATGGTGATCCTAAAAAAAAAAAAAAGATATGATCATTCATCATCTCATTATCAATGTTTTTACACAAGATGATTATGAGAAAATCGACAAGAAAATGTTGGTCCAAGATTCTGGTTCTATTTCCCTGAATGTATTCAGTTGGCTGCTGACACATTCCCAATTATTATCACTATTCATCATCATGATTTGGTTTATTTAAAGGTGTATTAAAAATGAAAAGAAAACAAAAAAAAATATGATAAAAGGATCCATAAAAATGCTCCAGATCACATCATCCTGTTATCGAGATTTCTATCATTTTTTTTTTCTCATAGGTGATCTATTTCTGGAAAATGAGGATGATGATAATGGGATGGGATGATTGGAGTGTTCTGCGTTTACATCAATTGGTATTAGTCTCACTGATTGATTTGGTTTCAATTCAACTCAGAAGATCTGACCCTGAGCCTTCCATGAGAACTTCTTTTTTTTTTTCCTCTTGAATAATAATAACAACAATAATAATAAAAAAAGACTTTTTATTCTAAAAAAAAAAGAATCAAAAACTTGTCAAAAATCTAAAAAATAGTTCATCAAATGATGATAATAGATGATGATAAAAACAAGCGCTGATCAGAATCAAATGCATCCGGAGTTCTAAACCCATGCTTATCATGAGTCATAGAACAGATAGATTTACTATAATAAGGAGAAAATTTTTTTCATTTTTTCATTTTTCTTTTTTCCTTTCTTCTTTTCTTATATTCTTTTCTCTTTTTTTTTTTTTTAAATTTATTTTATATACATAAATCACAACTACAGACGTCAAGTCTAGCTTATGTATATTCACGCCTACGAAAAGTGTTCAGCCGACTATATTTGCGATCAAAGTAAGTTATATATATATATATATATGATATATGTTTGTATATTAATCCAACTTGTTTTAGTCTGGAAATCCTCTGGTAGCTTCTAAACTTCTTCAAGACTACGAACCTATTTATATTTCTCTCTATTTTATTCTTTCTTATTCTTATTCTTAAAATATGACTCTCTTCAAAACTCTTCAACAAACTACTCTTCATGCTCAACCCATCACTGCTGCTTTACGTCGTGGATTCGCAACCAATATTGGATCCATACCTAATGCTGCTGCTCTCAAATTAAAATCTGGTCAAGTTTTTACTGGTCAATCTTTTGGTGCTCAACAATCTACTTTTGGAGAAGCTGTATTTACCACTTCTCTTGTTGGTTATCCTGAATCCATGACTGATCCTTCTTATACTGGTCAAATCCTTGTTTTTACTCAACCTCTTATTGGCAATTATGGTGTTCCTGGTCAAGTACTCGATCAATATGGTCTTTCCAAATACTTTGAATCTGATAAAATCCAAGTACAAGGTATTGTTGTCAATGATTATGCTACTCAATATTCCCATTGGACTGCTGTGGAATCTCTTGGTGAATGGTGTATTCGCCACAACGTACCTGCCATTAGTGGTGTTGATACTCGTTCTATTACTCAACTCTTACGTGATCAAGGTTCTACTTTGGCTCAATTGGCTGTGGGTTCTGATGCTACTAGTTCTAATGTGACGTCCTTCCCTGACCCTAATACTGACAATCTCGTTGCTAAGGTATCGACCAAAGTGCCTCTTCATTATAATCCTCAAGGTGATGTCAAGATTGCTGTTATTGATTGTGGTGTCAAACAAAACATTTTACGATGTTTGACTGAACGTGGAGCTCAAGTCACTGTATTGCCTTGGAACTATGATTTTAATCAAGTCAAGGATGAATTCGATGGATTATTTATCTCTAATGGACCTGGTAGCCCTGCCACTTGTACTGAAACCGTAAAGCATTTACGTACTGCCATTGATCACTGGAACAAACCTATCTTTGGTATTTGTATGGGTAATCTACTTCTTGGTATGGCTGCTGGTTTGGATGTTTACAAATTACCTTTTGGCAACCGTGGACACAATCAACCTGCTCTTCATGTAGATACTGGACTCTGTTATATTACTTCTCAAAATCACGGTTATGCTCTTCAAGATAAGGTGATGCCTAAAGGTTGGAAGAAGATGTTTGTCAATGCCAATGATGGTTCCAACGAAGGTATCCAACATGAATCTAAACCTATTTTCTCTGTGCAATTCCATCCTGAAGCCAAAGGTGGACCTCAAGATACTGAATACTTATTTGATGACTTTTTGGGTCATGTTCGTGCTATGAAGTCTGCTACCTACCATTCTGTTATTGATCAACAACAAGCTACCACTGCTGCCTTTGCCTGATCGCAAATATAGTCGGACCCCCTTCTTTTTATACATATCATGAATTCTTCTTCCTCTTTTTTTTTTTTTATCTTTTATTATTATTATTATTTTACATATTTCATTTCTTCAATAAAAAAAAATTCATTATTATCTCTTTTTTTTTTGTCTTTGTTTGTCTTTGCCTTTTCGTTCTTTTTTTTTTTTTAAAAAAACATATCAATGTGTCAGGCTAAACTCCGGCCCCTTAAAACAAAAAGTTTTTTTTTCTTTCTTTCGCTTTTAAACAAAAAAAAAAAAAAAAAAAACACTCGACATGATGCTTCCAACGTTACCTCTTGTGAAACGCTGGTGCATACAAGGATACACGTTGATACCAAAGACAAGGCTCTATCCGATGACCTTTGCCATACGAAACTTGTCATTGAAAAAACCTCTTATCCAACAAACCACTAAAGATCTTTCCAATCGACAGAAATTCAAACAATTGGATCCACCATTACGACTTTATGAAAGACTAGAACGATTGGGATTTGGATCATTACGACGTACCAAACGATATCAAGCTGTTCGTCAACAAAAATCAAAAGACAAACATCCTATCCCTGATCCTGAATACAAGGTAATTACCACCAACAAAGAAAAAAAAAAAAAAAAAACATGGTATTGATTTAATCTTTTAGCTACCATTCTTATCCTTTTTTGCAGGTGCCAAAACACCAGCCTCATTTCCTGAGACACATTTGGAAGAAGTTGCATTTGTAGGCAAGTCATTACTTTTTTTTTTTATTTATTTATTATGTGACTCATATATAGGTATATTATCTTAGGTAGATCGAATGTGGGTAAATCCAGTTTATTGAATAGTTTAGCATCAACCACGATTGTACGGACATCGGATAAACCAGGTCTGACACAACAAATCAATTTTTTCTCGGTGGGACGATTGTTTTATATGGTGGATATGCCTGGTTATGGATTTGCTTTTGTGGATGAACAACAACGGCAACAGTGGCGACAATTGGTATATAAAACATCTTTTTTTTTTCATTTGGAGGGTATCTCAGTATCTTTTTATATATATATATATTATAGATGGAAACTTATATTAGTGAACGGAAAAATTTGAAACGAATCTATGTAGTGATTGATGCTCGACATGGTAAACGAAAAAAACAAGTCAATAGTACTATTCATTAAAAATGAGGAACATTTATTTGTTATGATAGGACTCAAATTAGCAGATCTGGATTTTCTCAATATGTTGGATAGGTATAGAAAACATTCGATGATTTTGATAATATATTGATTTTTTTTTATATTGCAGGAAACGAGTCAAGTTCCAAGTAGTGATGACCAAGTGTGATTTACAAGTACTTCCAACACTGGCAAGGCGGATAATGGTGGTGGAAAAGGATATCAAGAAATTCCATCATGCTATTCAGAATGTATTAGTAGTTAGTTCAAAAACTGGTGCAGGTATCAATCAGATGCGCAAGGAAATGTTATTTATTACAGGTCATTTGAAAGACAATGATTATTATGAAACAAAATCAAATCAAATAAAGAAATAAAGTTTTTTATTATCATATTTTATGGGTCAAGTCTTGAATACAAAAAAAAAAAAAAAAAAAAGAATGGAGAGATCCAATAGAATAATCATCATAAAATAAAAAGGAAGGAATAAAACTAAATAGATATATAAAAAAATGTCATAAGCATAATAAGAAAGATAGAAGGAATACATGATTATCAAAAAGAATCCCTATTCAAAATCCCGATGGATGCACGTCTTGAAGAGTCCAATAGAGTATTCTGTTCTTGTTGTTCATGCTGGAGATGATGATAATGAGGATCATCATTCGTATGTTGACAAGCATCAGGTTCAGATGATAAATGAGAAGTATTATCCATACTTTGGTGTTGAGATAATTGCATCATGGCAACAGCAGCATTCACTTCTCCTACATCACTTTTTTTATGACTAAGCACTTCCTTGGCAGTTCCATTGTTTGATACCATCGTATGAAGTGGAGGTAAGCGGATGTTGTTGTTTGTTGGTGTTGTTTTCACACAAGCTAATGATGGTTGCTGCTGTCGTGTTGTATATGATGTCGAAGAATGAACAAGTTGGTGAGTATATCCAGTAGTAGAGGCAGTTGTAATACATCCTGAAGAAGATCGCTGACGATCTTGATATTGTGATGTTGCGGATGGTTGATGTATCATTCCTGAAGTAGAAGAAAATGAAGGTCTTGGTGAGAGTGGTAAAATGATTTTATCATCTGTGGTTGAATGTCGATGATCCAATTTGAATTGAGTCGAAGGTGGTGATGAGATTGTTTTTGGACTAGGATAATGATAATATTGTGGATGAACATTATGATGATAAACATATTGTTGTGGATGTCGTTGTTGTTGAGAATAATAATGTTGATACGATGTTTGTTGTTCTTGTTGTTGATCTTGCGGATGTAATGGTAGAGGATAATAAGCCTGGGAAATTGACTTGTGCCTTGATTGAAAATCATATGGTTGAGGTGGTGGTGAAAACGGTATTGTAGATAGTTGATCACTGAAAGAACGCCATTGATATGCATGGTCAGGTGGATCGTGAAATTGCTGCTGGTGTTGATAATGGTGTTGTTTTGTAAAATGTTGAGTACTATGTCTTCGAATATGGTATGAGGAGTAAGGTTCATCTTCTTGAGGTAATATACGACGTTGTTGTTGGTCTTGATGATATGTCGTACAATATGGATCAAAGATAGGTGATGTGGGAGCCGTGAGAGAAATTCGTTTTGTTGATAAGGCTGGTGGTGGTAGTGAAGAATCTCGACTGTGATGGTCAGGTGGTGATTCACTAGTATTGGCGTCGTCTTCTTCTTCTTCTGTAGAGAATTTTCGTTTTCTTGTAGAAGTTCTAATATAATACATGGATAATTAGTAAAGAATATATATATATATATAAAAGAGTTTTTTTTTTTTAACTTACACTTGAACACGATGTTCTTTTCTGATACGAATACGTACACCTTGGTCAGAAAAAGATCTTGATAAAAAGGTAGCATCCAATAGTCTTGGCATTGTTTTTGAATTGTAGACTTTGAATACATTGGAGAAAACATGCATCAGGTTAACTGCACCAGTACTAATAAAGTGAAAGAAGAAAAGAAAAGAAAAGTCATGATGAGTAGAGAAATATGTTGATCAAAGTAAAGAAAAAAAAAGAAAAAAAAAAAAAAGGAAGAAAAAGGCGGACTTACGTTATGATTTCAAATAAGGTGAATTTTAACCTATATTCGCCTTCAATTCTAGATGATAAATCGCCAAAACAAAAGAAACCACCATCTTATATCAAAAAATAAATAAGTTATTATATAAATATAAATCAATATTTACCATTATCAGTAACATCTTTCAATTTATACATAGAAGATACTGTTTGACCAGAAAGTACAGGATGATCAGGTCGATATATTTCTTCTTTTGATGTTGGATTGGCTAAATTAACACTCATAAAAAAATAAGGATTTTGTAAAAAGTCTCTAATAATAAAATAAATAAATAAATAAAAAAACATAAATAAATGAAAAAGGATTACCGATTTTCTTGAGTAGAACCACTTTTAAGTTGAATTTGAATAATGGGAGGAGGTTCAATTGGTTTACGATCTATATAATGAAGAAAAGAGTAGTAGAATAGTCTACAATGGTAATTTTGAATCATCATCCATTGAAACCCATAATTATTTTCTTTTCTATTCACCTCTTTCATTACTTGTACTAACACGAGCTTGAACTGGTTGCTGTCGGAGTATCAACGAAAGTCTACTTCTGCATGAATGAAAAGGTTTAAGTTATATAAAGTTCCTTTTTTTTTTTATTATTTTATTTTACCCATGATATCTAGGACCAGATGAACATACTGATATATAATCATAGTTATGTGATATAGATCCTCGAGACATGATTGTATTAATATTTCTTTTTTCTTGCTATGATGATTATAGAATGAAGAAAAGAAAAAAAAAGAAAAAAAGAAAGAAAAAGAAAGAATTTCAAAGAAATGATGGCATTAAAAAAAATATTTATATGTTGTATAAATGCAGTTGTACAAGTAATTTATTTTACTAATACGGCTATTTACTACCACTATTATTACTATTACTATGATCATCATCATCATCATCATCATCACTACTACTAGAAGTGATGCCATTTCATCATGTCTTTTTTTTATTATGCCAATGTGTTTCCCATCCCCTTTTTCCGTATATGGTAATCGTGATACCACTGCTTGCTACTATTACTGATGATGGTGATAATAATAATAATAATGACAATAATAATAATGATGTCCGACCTCGACTTTTTTTTTTTTTTTTTTTTTTTTTACTTTTCTCGTGTTTTTTTTTTTTTTTTCATGTTGCTAAGTGTCATTGTTCATACTTGAAAAAGAATAATTTATTTGTTCTCTTATGAATGTACTATAGAAATTTATCAAGTTTAAAAAGGATGATCAATAAAAATGAAAGATAACTTATTGTAATCTTGCGCTTAGACCGTGTTCCTCATACCAAGGGAATTGATTACCGTCATTGTAACCGAGCCGAGAAACTCAGTTTTTCTTTTCATCTTGTGTTAATCGCATCCAATTTATGCTTTTCAGATAACATTGTTCTCTATATTTGTACTTTCCCTTTGAGTTAAAAATTTTTGTTAGATGAACGATTGTATAGTGAGAGAATAATCAATGCTAGATGTCTTTTTTTTTTTTTTTTTTTTTTTTTTTTGATGGAAACATCCTTAGTCATTCAATGTAGAGATTACCAAAAGTAGAGTATCACAGAGTAAGTGTCATGATCATGACATCCAAGCATGATGGCTGAATTACACCAGGCATATTCTTTTTTTTTGTCATCGTGCTTAATCATCATACCAAGCATTGTTATTACTATAAATCATTTATTCTTGGCTGAATGTATGAGATGATGTTAATGACGATGAATCATCCAGCCAAATGAAGGGGCAACGAACTCCGGTGTCTCCGTTTTCGACAAAAAAAAAAAGTGGCATTCTAAGAATGACGGGTAATCAGATTAGTCAAGTGTCAAAGGTAATCTAACTCCATTTCAAGAAAATCCGGATGTTTGGAAGTTGTCTCTCCCTTAAAAAAAAAAAAAAGATAAAGGTGGCGATCGAACAAAAAAAAAAAAAAAAAAAAAAAGGAAATACCTTTTCATATTCGCTTCTAGTTCAAAAAGTGACCTACATAGAGTTAATGATTGGTAAGTTGAAAAGGAAATCATCAAAAAAAAATCATTATTCAACATAATCATTGTTATCCTTTTTTTTAAATATATTAAGAATGGATAGATATATATATTAATTATATGTTATTGTCAATCTCCTGTCTATTCTTGTTACATAATAATAACTATACAAATAACAACAACTATAATAATAATAATATTAGTAATAAAACGGACTTATCCTCGGTCAAAATCATCGATCACCAATGCCGCGCGTTTCTCCCCCCTCTTTCTCTCCATTTTCGTATTGGTCTCTTTTTTCATTTTATTCATTTATTCTTTAGCTTTCATCCCCTGAAATGCCTTGCGGTAGTTCAATCTTGATTTATGCTTAATACACTGTGGCTTATCATTAGAAATTCTTTCCCAACAATTTTTTTTTTTTTTGACTCCTTCACTTTTTTTTTTTCTTGTACTGTTTTACTTTTTTTTTTTAATCCTCATGGCACCTATTACGAAACGAAAGCGAGAAACTGCGACTGTAAGTAAATAGTTGAATAGCTTATTGATCTAAACGATTTAGTTAGAATCTATACATTGATGAAATAATTAATATTTATTATATTATTAGACTTTGGATTTTAAGGATGTACGACAAAAAATCCGTAGTTTGGAAGCTGGCTTGAATGACAAGAGTAATCTCAACAATATTGTCGATTTGATAGCATTTGCTCAACCTGAACAACAACCTAAAGTTATTCATGCCGCGATCTATGCCCTTCATCGTGTATTTACTCATTTTCTCAGTCAAGGAGAACTACAAAAGGAAACTTTATCGACTTTAGCCAACAACAAGAAAAAGAAAACAATCAGTGCTATGGAAAAATATCAACAAGAACAAAAGGACAACAACAACAAGGATAAACCGTTATCAGCGGCTCAAAAAGTGACTTTGTGGCTTCGAGAACAATACCAGGACTACTTAGATATTTTACGGACACTTATTGATAATGATGAACCTGGGTTACAACTTCCTGCAATGAATTTGACGATGGCCATGGTGAGGTCAGAAAGTGAAGCAAATCAGCGGTTTGCCAAATCAAGATCTACTTTTGCCAATCCACTCTTTGGTCGTATGGTCCATGCTATGCTCACAAGTAGTCATTTTATTGGTCCTCTGCAAAAGGAATTTGTGGATAAATATGTCAATGTGTATGATGATGTACGATTTTACTTTTTCAAGGATTGTGCGTAAGTTTCTTTAAATTGAATGATAAAATCATAAAAATTTTCTCATGATTGTTATTCTAGGGAAATCATTGACAAGGCTCTATTGGTAAACAAGCAACAACAAAAAAATGGCAAACGACAAAAGACAACGAATGAAACACAACTTAGAACTGAACTTGATCAACTTTTAATCAACTCATTCAGTGTAGCAGAATTGATTACTTCTATGCCTACCGAATCTTCAGAACTTGATGATTTTTGGTCTTTACATCCCAATTCTAGAATTGAAGACAACAACAAGGATGGAAATATGGATGATATGGATGCAGTCCTTGGTGGATCTTTATCGGATGTGGAAGAGAACGATGATGATGAAAAATCTGGAAAAAAGGTCTTACCTTCATTACTTCAACTCAAAGTACACAAACGGGAATTTTCCAAAGGTTGGTTGGCTATCTTACGACTTCCCATGACTGAAGAATATTATCGACGGGTCTTATTGATTGTACACAAGAGAATCCTTCCTCATTTGAATGAACCTCGTTTGTTAATGGATTTTTTGACAGATGCTTATAATGTGGGTGGTGCTATCAGTTTATTGGCATTAAATGGTATCTTTACATTGATTACCGAACATAATCTGTAAGTATTATACATTATGGATGGTGATGATTATATTAACTGATTGATTATCTTCTTCTTCTAGTGATTATCCTGACTTTTACCATAAACTATATTCTTTACTGGACCGAAATTTGTTACATATGAAATACCGTTCTCGGTTTTTCCGATTGTTGGATATTTTCTTGTCATCAGCGTAAGTTGACTTTTTTTTTTAACAAAGTATTCTCGTTTTTTGACATGATTTTTTTTTTTTTTTAGATATTTGCCTGCAGCCTTAATCGCTGCCTTTATCAAACGACTAGCACGACTTTCACTCACAGCTCCTCCAGCCGCCAGTGTGATTATTGTACCATTTATTTACAATTTGATGAAACGTCATCCCACTTGCATGAAAATGATCCATAGTCAATCAGCGACACCTTCCACCGATCCTTTTGATTTTGACACTTTAGATCCTTATCAATGTCATGCCATCGACTCGTCATTATGGGAACTTCAAACGCTTAGTCAACATTATTACGCTAATGTCTCTACTCTTGCCAAAATTTTTACCGAACAATTCCTCAAACCAAAATACAACCTGGAAGACTTTTTGGATCATACTTATGCTACGGTAAGAAAATAACAAAGCATCAGAAATAGGACTTTTTTTGTATACTGACATCATTTATACTCTAGTTCTTCAAAACTGAAATTGAACGAAAACGAAAAAAGACACCTGCTTTGGCCATTGAAAAACCAACGGAATCTGTGTGGAGTCTTTGAAATAGTAATTATAGATTAGATAGATATCATATTCAATAAATAATTTATTCATCATCATTGTACACAAAAAATAATAATAATAATAATTATTCGACAAAGAAATCAAGGTGATAGATAGTATCCTTCTAATCAATTTGATTATTCTTGTTTCCCTTTGATTGTATGACGCCTCTTGATTGTTTCAACTTTGGTACATTGATGGCACTCAGTCTAGGGAAGTAACGATCAATCATAGATTGTACAATGCCTTCCAAAGAGGCTAATGAAAAAAATCTGCGGTGGTTCAAATTTGCGTAGGTTTATTTCTTTTTGGTGAAATTGTACCTGACTTATGGTTCTCTTTCTTTTTCCTTCTCTCTTTTTTTTTTCTCTGTTTTTTTTTTTTTTTTTTTTTTTTTTTTTTTTGTTCTCTTTTGATAAATCCCTCTTTATCTACATGCCATCTATAGCTACTAGTACTTTGATTTTAGGACTTCCTCCATTACTATTATGGGCAGCTCATGCAAAATCTTTACCGTTAAGTTACACTCTTCGGTCATGGTTATTGTTACGTTCACTTATCAAACGTGCTCAGCAAAACAAGTTCCAACCTGATCGTAAGTTGCATAAGTATGGTATTGTCGTGAACAAAAAAACTGATTACTCTATGTATTTTCTATTGTAGCATTATTCAGTATTCTTTCACAAGACCATCGATGCCTATTTGACGATATGGACTATAATCAACACATGGTAAAGAAAAAAAAAGAAAGAATAGAAAGGCATAATTATTTAGTGAATTTATTATTTTTATATTTTTATATTTATTATTCGTATATCTTTACTATACTTTAGAACAATAGGTAAAATAAAAAGATACATCGACATCACTGGAATGTTTTCTCTTTTTACTGATATGTTATTATTTATATATTATTATGATCAAGCTCATATAACAAGATGCTTGATTTTAGTCGAATCCAAGTGTTGTATACGATATTTTCACGTGTGATGATGGAGCCCAATCATGGTGTATATGCACATAATGCTGGGGTAGTGACATTATTCAAGAAGGAAATCCCGCCCTTTCAAAAATACAAGATGCAATCTCGAGTGTTTACTTGGTCGGAAAAATGGCTCTTCTTGGAACATCGTTTTGTTTTTACTCAAGCAGATAATACTCTGGTGGTGGCAAGTGCAGCTTTATCCAAAATCGTATTCAAGCGTGCTTCTGGCAAGACCGTGACTCCGGCTCATGTCCTTACATTATGTCTTCATGATTTGAATGATCCTTTAGTAGAAGAACGTCGTGCTCGTAATTGGAAGATTGCCCAAAACCTTTTATCTTTAGATACTATATTCAGTGATAATCATGATGCTTGGGATATCACATCCAAATTGTAACATATATTATATATATATATGTATGAAATAAAAAGTCCGCTTTCCCCCCACGTTTTTTCTTTCTTTCTTTTTTTTTTTTTTTTTTTTTTTAACTTTGTATGTGCTTATAGAATATGTCTACAACAAATGATGCTATGCCACATGTTAATGAAGAACATATTATACCCTCATCCTCCTCTCATTCCTCAATAAAGGCGACCAAGACTACTTCTGCTGCTGTTTCGGGTTGGATTGACAGCACTACACCACCATGGTCAAATGTTTCTTTTGATCAACTTTCGAAATATGCACGTAGAGCCTCAAGTTCTAGTCTTAATTTACTCAATGTGACATCTGTGCTTCCTATCATCAAGTCGGAAGATGCTGAACAACGACTTGTCGATCGTATACATAAAGGTAACATATATATGATATTCTATAACGTGAAAATGAATTTTTAGTTACTTTATTTCTTGTTTATGTTTAATAGTCCAGCGAGGATATGATAGGACACTCAAGTTATCATTGAATGAAGGTTCTCAAGGATTATCAAAGATATCAGATCATATTCATCGACGTGTACCTCAACTGGTCAGCCAACGTCAACAATTACAAACACTCTCGGAACAAGTACAATTGGCCAATGGTGATTTGGAGGATGCTCGACAAACAGTGGCTAGTATGGAAAGGATAGAATCATTTGTACGTATGGAAGAGATGATTCAAAAGTCTTTGGATTTGATGATATTACGGAAAAGATCTCAAGCATAGTTAGTTAGTGTTAGATAAATATAATTTTAGTATACCTTTTTTTTTTGGTTCAATAAAAGAATCTATGTATATAAATATGGATAAAAAAAATAATGCTTTATATATTTGAAATGATTATATGATGAAAGGTGTGATAAAAAAAAAAGCTATAAAATAATAATGATAAAAGGGGAAAATGTTCTAAACTAAAATATACTACAAGGAAAAGAAAATAAAAAAAAAATACTAAGACAAAAGGAAATCAAATAAATCTTATCTGAAAGAATTTTTCATTTCACGTAATGTATGTAAAACTTCGACAGGATCGCTTTTGCCAGCAATGAGTTGTAAAGCTTGTTCATTGACACGTAAGAATGGATTATATAATTTTTCTTGACCAATAGTAGAAGGTACAGTAATAGTTTTATCTTGACACCATGCCCATTTCGCCATTAAATTTTCATTATGAGGTTCCAAAGAAATGGCAAACTTTATATATATATAAAAGAAAGATCAGATCTAAAATCAGATGATTCACCATAATTAAAATTTTTTTTTTTTTTTTACCTTTAAATTTTGTTTTGTATATTCATGACCACAATAAACCCAAGTATCATCAGGTAATTTGGTAATCACATGGAATAAAATCCTATACATATCTCTAGCATCTCCTTCAAAGAATTTTCCAATACCAGCTACAAATAGAGTACTATGAAAAAAGTAATGAATTCATAAATAATACTCTCTATATATATATATTATATGTTTTACTTACTCTCCAGTAAAAACAGCCTTTTCATTGGTAGCAGGATCCACAACATAATAACAAACATGGCCTTTAGTGTGACATGGAGTGTGTAAAGGAGTGATTTCTAAAGAGCCCAATTTAAATTCTTCATGATCTTTGCATACATAGTTAATTTCAGGAATTCTAGCATCAGCACCATAGACTGCTAATCCTGGTTTCTTGGCTATATAATAATAACAATAATAATAATAATAATAATAATAATAATAATAATAATAATAATTCTATTAGTTTTTTTTTTTATATTTTTTTTGTGTCACCCTAATCCCAACCATTCAATCTTTTGCCCTTTTGATCACTATAACATATATTCTTCCCTCTTTATTTAATTTTTTTTTTTTTTTTTGATTTTTTACCTACGAGTTCAATATTACCACCCGAATGATCCCAATGATGATGAGTAACAAATACACTATTGATAAATATAGAAATTAATTAATATATATAATATAGAAACATATAAACAATTTTTTACCTTGATAATTTTGCACCAGTTTGACTAATGACATTTAAGATCTTGATAGGTTCAACAGGATCTATAACTGCAGCTTCTTTTGTTTTTTCGTCAATAAGAATGTATGAGTAATTATCTTCCAAAACACCAATGGGAATGATCTTCATATCGTCTTTTTTTTTTTTATTAGTAGTGCTAATAATTCGTAAAATAATAAAGTTCGAACGAGACTATGAATAAAGAAGTATACAGAAAAGATATAAAAATAAAAAATAAAAAAAAAAAGAAAAAGAATTTGAATAAAAGAAGAAGGGTTGTTTTTTTTTTTTTTTTTTTTTTTTTTTTTTTTTTGAGAGAGAAATAATAAAAATAGGTGAGATGGAAACTTCCATTGAAGAAAAAAAAAAAAATTGGGAAAATAGGTAAAAACAAAAAGTCCGAATTGTATGTAGACAATGTAACGAAACCTTGTTGTAAAAAAGAACAAACAAATAGGCAAACGATAATAAAGTGTCTCACCTTTTACTTGATATGTTTTATTGACAAGAATTAACAAAAAAAGTATCCTTTGTCACTCAATCATCACAAAAAAAAGAAGTTTAAATAAAAGATGAGGATTACATAGATGTATACGGAGTTGGAAATACTTTTTTCTTTTTTCCATTCATCATCCCTTGTGGATAATATATAATAATAATAATAAGATCAAAACAAGTATAAAAACAAGAAATAAAAAATATCTTTTTTTTTTTTTTTTTTTTTTTTTTTTATTAATCAAGATAAATTGGTATTTAAATAATCTACAAACATATCAGCTAAACGAGATGTATCCAAGGTAGTTCTTACTTTGTTAATCGATACAAATTGTTTCCTTAATCGTCTTAATTCTGATAATGTAACATTTCTTGATGGATTAATCACTTTTTGAGTTGCATTTGGTATCACCATAGGTAATCCACCTGATCCATATTCTCTTTGTCCTTCTATCACAGCATTGATCACTTCCAAAGTTACTCTATCTAATTCATAAACATAATTTGTAGCTGATACTGGTTTCTAAAATTATATATATATATAAAGTTAATAATAAATAATAATAAATAATAAATAATAAAATATAATTCTTTACCGATACTGTAGATAAATTGGGTGGAGGTGGTTTCTTTAATACAACAGCATCCCATATTTTGTCACCAGGAATTGATTCATCATCATAAATAACAGTGAATAATGGTGAATCCCATCGATTACGTCCTTCAGGTTCTTCATATCTAGTTACTAATTCATCAAATCTTTAGAAAAAAAAACATCAGTTATATATATATATATATATCATGATTTATTCAAAAACTTACACTTGTTCACTATAACCTTGTTCACCCAATAATCCATTCCATTCTTTTGCCATAGCTACAGGTGTACCAGCATGAATCACACAATGAGGTGTACTCAGAGCACGTGCCACACAATATAATTGATATCGAAATCCTTTGATATAATTCAATCCATCAGCAATTACTATATCGTCCTTACTTAAAAGTCTTTCCACTGCTGATAACATGGCTCCACGTGCTTTTTTTTCTTCTCTAGCATCTGAAATAGAAAAAAAAAGTATATTAGTATATTCAATATATCATTTATATATATATATATATATATATATATTATTACCTTTGTAAGCATCTTTAGAAATATGAAGAGATTCGTCATTAACAAGGTGGATTCGCATAGACTTGTTTTCTTCTTGTAATCGTTCAGTCAAATATTTTTGTACTTCAAGTGCTCTTTGTGTTTTCCCGCTTGAAGGGATCCCTGTCATAATAATAAGAGGCATTTCTGTTTTAAAGAAAAAAAAAACAAAAGGGAACAAAAAGGCCTTTTTTTTTTTCTTAATAGTAACAAAAAAAAAAAAAAAAAAAAAAGAAAAAGCGCGGACATTGAAACCATGAGTGAAAGACAAAGAAGGTTGATGTGGCTGGTTTGATGGAAGAATTTCATGCAATATTAAAAGATTATCATAATTTTTATAGAACGGGGGAAATATTCAAAATAAGATGATAATATGAAAAGGATGATGTGATTTAAATTTTTAATAAAGTAAAAAAAAAAGATCTCATTAGATCTTCGGTGATCTAAATAAATATATAATCAAAGTTTATTGGTTCAAAATTCTCCCACACACCCTGTGTCGTGCTTGGAATCTTCTTTTTTTCCTTCTTTTCAACCTTTTTTTTTCTCTTTTTCCCTTTTTACTATTATTATTATTATTTCATTACTTCCATGCATCTTGGTTTACTTTCAAATGATCGACTATCGTTTGATCCTCTCAAACCTGTCATTCTAAGTGGTCCCTCATCAGAAGAAGGTTCAGTTGTATTTAGTGGTAATGTCGTACTTTCACTTGGCAAGACTACAAAAGTATCAAAGATCAGTGTCATTCTCAAGTCAGTACAAACTACTTATTGGCCTGAAGGTAATAAGTTTATTAAATATACACTCTACTTTAATGAAAAAACAAATACTCATCTTTTTTTTTTTTTAAAAAAAATAGGAATTGGTTCTAGAGGAACTAGATTGTCTTATGAAAAGACTTTGAAAGAAGATATTTGTAATGTATTTCAAGCTGAAGGAGAAAAGAAAGGTTATGTCCAATTACCTGCAGGTATACATCGATTCATGTTTACTTTTGTAGTACCCAACGTAAGAAAAAGAAAAAGAAAAAAAAAAAAGACAAGAAAAAAAAAAAGCGAAGATATGAAGTTTAATCTTTTTTTTTTTTTTTTACATGTCAAAATCATAGTCAACTGTGGAAACGGTGGAAGATGTTTATGGTCGTGTCAAACATACTGTAGAAGCACGTGTGACAAGTCCTGGGATTCCCTTATTGAATAGTTGGCATATATCCAAACCTGTACTTGTACTACGTACATATTTATCGAATGCATTACTTACTAACAACTCTATTCAAGATTTGTCTCGTACTTTTGAAAAACATTTACCTGGCGTTGATATTCAGATAATGGTGGAACAAGCTGCTTTTTCTTCTGGTGATCTCTTCCATGTGAGATGTGTCATTCAACCTCAAGTCAAACATGTACGATTGGAACATTTGGAATTTTATATTATAGAAAATCGACGGTATGCTGCTCCAGAAATGCGTGCTTTACGAACAGATCAAGAACGTTTTGATCTTTCTTTCCTTTCTGCTGGTCGGTTAGAGGAAAATGACAATGGAGGTGAATTAAGTACATCTACTCCTGATATCAATAGTGATTGGTCAGCATTATTCACAAAGAACAATCATCATCATCATCATTACATCGATATTCACGATACTGTTTCCTACAGACTCACCTTTGCTACTCCTACTTGTGTTCGTAATCTTCATCATTCAACTACTTTCAAGGATATTCTGTTTAGACATCATCTCTCTATTCATGTGACATTGTCTTACCCTGATCCAACATCTGTAGCATCCAATTCTTCTCCACTTCTTCACAATCACAGCTTTTCATCCAATGAAGAAGATCCTATGGCAGCAGTAGCAGCACGATTGACAAGAACAACCATTCATCGACACAACAGTGATCAAAGTACGGATAGTTTTGATAGTACGACTTCAGCATCCAATACATCTACAGGGCACCACAGCGGTAGTTCCACACCCACCACAAGTGGAGCAAAATGGTTATCCAAACTACGAAAACATCGGGTCGAAAAGGATATGGATATGGAAAAAAGAAAACGAGAAACAATCAAGTTTGAATCTCCCATCACGGTTTTTGATTGTCGATTGAAAGAAGATTTTGGACGGTTACCCTCCTATTTTGAACTACCACAACATAACACCAACGCCAATGGATTATCGGAAAAGGGACGTAGAATGCCTGTCAACAATGGAGATAGTACAACACCATCTGCTCCAGGTTCACCCATCATCATTCAACAAGACGAACCTTACAATTCATCTTCAAGACGAAGTTCCTGTAGTATAGAAGCTCATGTTTTCCTATGTCCTTGTTATTTCGCATTTAGGCGTCAAGTAGAACGTGCTTCCGAAGTCCAACTATATGCACCATCTTCATTATCATCTCCATCAACATCAACATCATTGGTTACCGACGGAACTACAGCCTTGGATCGGATCCCCTCAAAACCTCCTCCAGACTATTATGTCGGTTAGTATTCCTTTTTTTTTTTTATTTTATTTTTATGGTAGTTATTTTATTTGATTTTCTTATTCCCCTCACCCATCATCGGTACTACTCAATTGTATTCTAGTTTAATATTATTATTACTATCATTATTAACATCTTCATACCCCTATTACTATTATCGTATTCATCTTGTTCTCCTATTATTTTGTGCAATAAAACTGTTTTCTTACGTTTATCTATCTAATGGAGAAAAAAAAAAAAAGAAATAGGATATTCCCAGAATATGTTCTTGTAGAAACTTTTTGAGCTAGCAGAGTTGTGCAACAATAAACGACTGGATGAATAGATGATACTTAATGTTATCATCATCTACGACGTCCATCATAGTCATCTATGGACATCACTATATGAATTATTCCATTTCCACATATCATCCAAAATAAAATAATAATAAAAAAAAAGCGCAATCAAACATAGTAATATCTTTCATACCAACGAAAAATGTCAATCTTCCATATAGTAATGACCGTAGTGACGATATTATTGAACAAGTTGATTTATTATTATATTGATAAATCTATACAAATGTTGTACTAATATATATATATATATATATGTGTGTGTGTGTGTGTGTGTGTATATGAATGAATATGAGAAATAAATATGAGGTTGAGGTGAATAACTACAAAGTAAAAGAGGGAAAGAAGAAGAGGGAGGACAAAATAATGAAATGGTATGAAGTCATCTAATACTAAAATAAATAGATAAAAAAAAAAGAATCTAAAGAGATCAACACTGAACTAGGCATCTTTCTTTGTAGGCTCGGTCTTTGATCGTTCTTGTAATTGAGCAAGAGCTTCCTTTTGCTTTTGTTCTTTATAGGTATAATAGAGAGATCCTCCAACCATGGCAACAATGGTGAATCCTTGAGCAGCAACTATAGACAAAGAATAGGGTTATATTATAGTGTTTGTGAAAAGAATCCATATAATGTTACCTCTAAGACGGAACATGTTGTTTGCATATGCTTTATTTCCAGTTTTGACACCCACTGTGGCGGCTACTAAAGCAAAACAAGTCAAAGCGACACCTATATAAACGACAATATTGAATAATAATGATAATAAAAATAAGAACAAGTGAAACTATAATCAATTTTCTACTCATACCTGCTGGTACTAATGGTTCTTCTCTCGACTTGCGTTTCATTCGATCCCAGGCAGATTCGCCATTCATCATTCTATGCATGTGCTCCATTTCTTCCTTGGTGTATTCTTTCATGATTTGGATAATATAAAAGTAGAGACAAGGAAAAAAAAATAGAGAGAAAACAATGAGATTCCATTTTTTTTTTTTTTTTTTTTTTTTTTTTTTGTATTCAATCCCAGGCTGAAGCAAGGGAGATTGAAAGACGCGCTCTCATCATTTTCTTTGATTGTCTTCCTTTCTCTTGTTATAACATCCCTTTTTTATCTTGATGAAAACTCATATCAAAGCCTTACTCATAGATCTTAGTGGAACAGTACATATAGATGCCAAGGTAATTCCTGGAGCTATAGAAGCCATTAAAAAACTTCGTATCAATCATATTCCATTTAGGTATGAATAATAATGATAAACATGTTTCCTATTATTAAAACTTTTTTTCTCTCTTTTTATTCTTATAGGTTTGCTACCAATACAACCAAAGTATCTTCAAGAAAACTAGTTGAAAAACTCAATGGTCTAGGATTTCAAGTGAATGATACTGACGTAAGAGAACTAAATACATATCTATGATAAGAAGGATAGTTATTTTGATATTTATCTTTCTTATGATAATGATAATAATAGGTATTCACTTCTTTATCCGCCTGCAGAGACTTGATTAGAAGCAAACAGTTACGGTAAAAGAAGAAGAAGAAGAAGAAGAAGAAGAAGAAGAAGAAGAAGAAGAAGAAGAAGAAGAAGAAGAAGAAGAAGAAGAAGAAGAAGAAGAAGAAAAAAAAAGGTAACAACATGAATATAGAAAGCTAAAGTTAACTTATTAGTAGACCTTTACTTTTGATGGAAAAGGACGCTTTAGAAGAATTTAATGAATTTGATACACAGAATCCTAATGTGGTGGTAATTGGTCTTGCTCCCTCTGAATTCCATTATGATAAGGTAAGCCAAAATATCAGACTTTTTTTTTTTTTTTTTTTTTTTTTTTTTGTCGATTGGATATACTTATTGATTTTTTATTTTTATACAAAATAGTTGAATGAAGCTTTTCGTTTGATGATCAATAACAAAGATATACCATTGATTGCTGTTCATAAGGCCAAATATTTCGCAGATAAAGATGAAAATCTCTCCCTTGGACCTGGTGGTTTTGTATCTGGTAAATAGTTTAAAAATAAAGAATCATCTGTATTAATATATCATTTACTTTATAGCATTGGAATATGCAACTGGAACTACAGCTAGTATTGTTGGCAAACCTACAAGAAATTTCTTTGAATTGGCTTTAGAACAAATGTAAGTTTTTACTCATTATTATGATAATTTTGTTTTTATTGATGTGTCTTTTTAGAGGATTTCAAAATTCCCCTGGAGAAGTAGCAATTATTGGTGATGATGTGAATAATGATCTTGGTGATGGTGCAAAAGAACTTGGTCTTCATCGAATCTTAGGTAATCTTAGTTATTTTTTGGTGAAATCATACTTGTTCTTATATTGTTTTTTACTATAGTCAAGACTGGCAAATATCGTGAAGGTGATGAAAACAAGTTACAAGGAGAAAATACTTATGTATATGATTCTATTGCCGATGCCATTGATGCTATTTTATCTCCCTATCCCTGAATTGATCTACCTCTCTCTCTCTCTCTCTCTCTCTCTCTCTCTCTCTCTCTCTCATATAGATATCTTTAATTCTTAGTGTAGTTAGTCTTTTTTTTTTTTTTTTTTTTTTTTTTTGTACAAGCTTGAATTACCATTTTTGGTGGGACAAGGAGACATTAAATAAAAAAAAAAAAATCGACTGAGTTTTATGATTGTACTCCAAAAGAAAAATTCCAGGACTCCTTTCTTTTTTATTGTTTTATCATATCATTCTTTCATCATTCTATTTTTACAAGTAGTTTCTATTACGTATTGTACTTTACATGTCATCACGTAATAGTAGTCCACACGACTCTTCTGGTGATATCTCGTCTGACCTACGTCCTGGTACTCGTATCCAAGTACAAGGGAAAATTGGCACTATTCGTTATACTGGTACCACAAGTTTTCAAACTGGTAAATGGATTGGTATTGAACTAGATGAACCTCAGGGGAAAAACAGTGGTGTTGTCCAAGGTAAACGTTATTTTGACTGTCGTACCAACCATGGTGTCTTTGTTCGTCCTAGTCAAGTCAAACTTCTTCCTTCCTCTCCCTCTCCTATGAGTCGTAGTGGTAGTGAGGTAAACAAAATATCTTTTAACCTTTAGTTATCCAATGGCATTAATAATTAAACCTTTTTTTTTTTTTTTTTTTTTTTTTTTTTTTTGTAATTCCTTAGGGTGGCTCTTCTACGCGATCTGGACGCAGTTCTACTGATTCTTCTCGTTTTGCTCCACCTCTTGATGCAAACTTGGCAGCAGCTCGATCAACCCAGCAACGCACACCTTCGCCATCATCCACTTTACTTCCTTCTCGACTCTCTTCTCCCCGTCGTATTCAACAAAGATCAAGTGCTGGTTCATCACCTACCGCACCTCGTACTACAAACAATATAACGCCTACAGCCAGTCTCACTACAGGTCCACGTAGAAGTTTGATAGGAAATAAAACAACAACTACAGCGACGATAACAAGACCTCGGTCTGGTACTTTGGGATCAAGTACACAACAACAAAAGGAGAATACAACAAAGGAACTTCGTCAAGCTCAGCTTCAAAAACTACGATTATCACAACAGCAACAACAACAACAACAACAACAATCTGTACGTCAACTATTGGAAGATAATGATAGATACAATATTACAACAGCATCGACCAGATATTATTCTCAACAACAACAACAAGATGACAATGATAAGGAAGAAGAAGAGGAACTGGAAGATGATAACCAAGTTATTCCTATGGATTATACAAGATCACATTCCAGCATTTCTGATCAAGATTCTATGGATCAAACTCAATCACCTACTGGCATTAAAACTACTTCACATGTTTATGGTGCTCTTGATACTTCAATTCCTATCAGCAAATCAGATCAGGTAATATTATTTAGTCAAAAGAAAAAAAGTATCAAACATTTTTATTTTATTTTGTTCAATAGACAGTACCTTTGAAAGATTACGATGAGCTACGATTTAAATTGAAAATTTTGGAATCCAAACGACAAGAAGATCGAGAAAAATATAGGGAACACGAGAAAATCAAAGAAGAAGCAGAACAATTTTTGACTCTTCGCAACAAATTACAAGGTAAAAAATAACAGCTTCCGTATTTTAATGTACTCATCTTATTTTTTTTTTATTTAAAAGACAAGATCTCCGAACTTCAAAAGGAATTACGGGAAGCCAAAAAGGAAAGCAAGGAAAATGATGCTGACAGAGAATCATTCGAAATCAAATACAACGATGCTTTGGAATCTTTAGAAATGATGACTTTGGATAAAGAAGTGGCAGAAGAACGCGCGGAACATCTTCAACAGGAAGTCAATGTGCTTAAGGACAAATTAGAGGAAATCAATGTGGATTTGGATATTCTTCGAAAGGATGCTGGTAAGGACAACTGAACGATTAAAAGATGTTTGTTAATTTTTTTTCTTTCTTTTTGAATGAACATGATAATTAACATAGATATCCTCAACCAACCTCCTGAAAATACTGGTGATGAAAAAACGCCGTTGGAAGTGATTCAATTGGAAAGACATAATGAAAGATTGAAGGATGCACTTTTAAGGTAAATGATTTTAGTGGTTCATTTTTTTTTTTTTTCATTCATCCCCATGACTTAATCATTGTTTATAATATCTTTACAGGTTACGAGATGCTACTACTGAACACGAAGCTGAATTGAATCGAAGAATCAAGGAATTAGAACGTGAAAACCATGAATTGACCGAAATAAGAGGTACATGAAAAACATTTAAACTTGTATGCGAATTCATTTTGATGGATGACTAATACATGTTGCTCCTTTCTTTCTTTCTTCTTTTTTTTTTTTTTTAATAGCTCAATTTACCCGCACTAAAGAAAAACTCGAAATTTCTGATAACCAAAATGAAATTCTCAAGCAAAGATTGGACGATGCTTTAGGTGCTGAAGATTTGGTGGAACAACTTGCTGAAAAGAATCTCAATCTTACAGAGAAATTGGAAGAATTATTATCTGCTGTGGATGATCTAGAGGCTTTGAAGGAATTGGCCGACGAATTAGAAGAAAATCACTTGGAAACTGAAAAGCAATTACAAGCCGAAATCGGTAATTATATCATTACTCTGTGATGAAGAATATCATTAACCCATCCTTCTTTTCTGTAGATCATCGAGATATGTTACTAAGGGAACAACTAGAACGTATACGATCTATGGAAGAAACAAGTGCAGACTATGAAGCAACCATCCAACAGTTCCGTGAATTGGTGATTCATTTACAGAGGTAAGACACATCGAATTGGCAAAAAAAAAAAAAAAAAAAAGAGAATATATCTTTCCCTGACTTTATAATTTACTTTTTTTTTTATTATTATTCTATGAAATTAGTGATTTGGAACGATTACGACACAAACAAGAAAGTCAACAAACTGAAAAACAAGATCTCAGTAGTCAATCTCAAGCAATGATGTCCCTCAATATGCAACTGCAATCGACAGTGATGAAAGCTCAAGCAAAGGCGATTGATTTGGAATTACGAAAATTGGATGCTATGCAAGCGACAGATAAACTTAGCTACATACAAGTAAGGAAGAAAGATAAACGGATTATATGTATCTTGCTCATTTTTACTTTCAATTTTATTACATTTGTCTAGCCTTATCTCCCCGATGTGTTCTTCAAGACCGAAAACGATGCCATCTCTTGTTTCCTCTTATTCAAACGATTAGTATTCAAGTCAGAACTTATTATTAAGCATTTGGATCAAAATCATCCTATCAGTGAAAAAATTATGGACACTGTCACTGAAAATTTAGTTTCTGTTTGTGAGGTAAATATACCAAGAAAAAAGAAAAAAAAAAAAAAAAGAATGGTCAATTAATTCTTCTTTTTTTTTTTCCTAGTTGCGACAACGTGCTGGATGGTTGAGTGATATTGCGAAACGGTTTGTCACCTTTATCAAGCATTGTAAACCAGAAATATTCACAAAACTTGGACAAGTATATCATGATCTAGTAGGAACTGAACGAAGGTAAAAAAATAATTAGTAAAGATTTTGTCTATCACCAGAAACTCATCTCTTACTTTTTTTTTATTATTGCTATGAAAGATTGAATGGTATTGTTGAACTTCTTCGCACTGATGAACTCAATGAGGCTGACTGTATTTTGGAATTACAAAGGTAAACAAATGAACCGATAATATAAGACAGTTGTGTTTAACTTTTTTTTTTTATCTCCCTCATTTACTTATCTACCTTTCTATGATGAACAATGAGAGTAGAATGATCGCCCAATTGGAACATTTGACAGAAGTTTACTTGGTACCAAATGGACCTTCGAATCATGTGGATCAATTCTTTGGTTTGACAAGAGCTCTGGACTTCAATGCAGATAGGATGGCAGTTGAGTTCACTTTTGTAAGACAAGCTGTAGAGAACGCTGCAAGAAAAGATGGTAAGATGGAAATAGAATGGGCTTTAAAGCAATGTTTCTTGTTTTTTTTTTCTCGTTTTATTGATGTTTTTGTTTGTGGATCATTGATTAGGTATCAAGATCACTGAAGGGTACGAACGATTGGATTACGATTATTTGGAGCCTCTATCACGCTTGGTGGTTCAAAGTAAAAATAGCAAGATGATGGCAAGGCAAGTTTCTTTTTTTTCATTTTTGTTTCTTTTGATGATTTTGATGAATACTCAATCATGCTATCTTACTTTTTTCTCTTTTGATTCAATAGAAAACTTCTTCGTCAACTGGATGATCTAGCTGAACAAGCTCTTACCCCAAAAGCAGAACATTTACATCGATTCAAAACCTTATATGCCATTAGTTCCAAAGTTAGTCGATTCTGTTTCGAGGTATATATTAAAAAAAGGTCTTTTCTTTATGTTTGCTCACTTTCCTCCCTCTCTCTCTCTCTTTTTTTTTTTATGTATTTCTCGTTCCATTTTTTGAAACATCCGGTTTATAGACATACAAACAAATCGCAATTTATGTGGATACCAAACGTGGAAGCAAGGAAGAAATCAGACTTGCCAACATACAGCAAATTGTTTACAACAAGGCCGATGAAATCTTGGAAATTGCCGAAAGTACCATGTGGGAAGGTGCTCTCAACACCTTGAAATCATTGACGAATGAACTATCGAATACATTTACTAGAGTGGAAAGCGACAATAAGATGGATAAAAGTAAGTGCTCTTCAAATATAGATACCATCTAAGACTTTTTTATATTGTTCTTTTCATTAATCTAGTTGCTACTGGTACTGCTCCTTGGATACAACGTGCTTCAGATATAAAGGCAGAAGTCATTGTGGATCATGACAAGGATCGAAAGTTACAACAACATGCAGATGAAATTCTAAAACTGATTAAGGATGTTAAGATGAAGGTAAAAAAAAAAAAAATTAGATCGTTGGAGTAAAAACGGTATTCATGATCAATCATTGTCATTCTTTTCTATGTATATATATATATATAGGATCAATCACTTCAAGAGGCTGGCGTCAAAGTAGAACTATTGGAAAAACGCATGGAGGCTGCAAAGAAACAAGCGGATCAAATTAGCGTTTTGCAGGAAACTTTACAAAAATCACAATCTCAGGAACAAATGTATGCGGAGGCAATGGAAAATCTACAAACGGAATACGATTCTTTAGAACAAGAAAATGCAAAACTCAAGAAACTAGTATCTGTTCAAGAAGAAAGCACTCGATCATTAGTGTCCTCATCATCCGTTACACCCAAGAAACCTGAGTATGACATGGCGGAAGGAACATCTACTCTGGAAACTTCTTCTAGTAGCTTGATGACAATGTCGCAACAGGTAAAAAAAAAAAAAAAAAAAAAAAAAAAAAAAAATCATCTTATGGATTGTTTTCTCTCTCTCTCTTCTGTATATAGGTGGACTCTTTGAAATCAGCTATTCGATATTTACGTGCAGAAAATGCTCATCTCAAATCTTGTGATATGGCTCGATCTATACAATTGGATCAATTACCACCAGTCATTAGTATCTCTCAACAAAAACAAACATCACCATCATCATCTATCAACTCTGTCTCCAAGGACAGTGACGACCAATCAACGACAACATTATCAACATTAGTAACAGAAGAGGACGACAATGGAAAGAATAAAGATAGTGTTCGATCATTGATTCGATCGTATGCTATGGAGACACGAGCTCTTTTGAAAGATATCCGCACAGCCAGTGCTTCGCCTAAATTGATCTCTTTGGCTCCTGATCATCGCAATGGCAAATGGCAACGACGCAAGCATACTCCCGAATATCAATACCAAACTCAGCAGTCTGTCCTGTATACCCTCAAACAACGCAGTGATACACTTCGAATCAAAATGGAAAAGCTACAACCAACACAGATATCAACTGAAGCAAAAGAAAAAACGGTAAAAAAAAAAAAAAAAAAAAAAAAAAAAAAAAAAAAAAAAAAAAAAAAAAAAAAAAAAAAAAAAAAGAGATCGATTTGATGATATTGAGTCTTTTTATTTTTATTTATTTATTTATTTTTTTTTTTTTTTTTTTTTTTTTTTTTGATAGACTGCTATGTCCAATATGATATCCACATCCCTCGCCAAAATCCAATTGCCTCGTCGAAATATATTATCATCACCAGCTCATCATTGTGTCCAGTTACAAAGCTTCAAGGAATTCGAACGTATACATACTCTATTTATCCATTGATATACACTTTTGTTAGAAATAAAAGAATTTATCTACACCGTAGATTTTTGTTGAATAAAAACAGAAATATTTTACTTTATTTGGATAGACTTCTATTTTTGTATTATTACCTCTAGATGAGAATCCAAATCAGTCATTCCCTTTGCTGTTTGCAAGAATAGAGATCGGTGTATGCTAACTGAATAATATGAATTTGAGATGAAAATAAACAATAAAAGAAAGGAGATAAAGTGATCATACAAGAATAAAAACATTATATATAAATGATTGAACAAAAAGAGACAATGTTTTATTGTGCTTTTTTTTTTTGGAGGGTTGATGATGTATATGACAAAGATTATATAAAAGATATAAACATGAATGTAAGTAATAAAGGGAGGAAAAAGAAAAAAAAAAAAAGAAAATACATACACTAGACTAAAAAAATAAAAGGAGAGGGAAGGAAGATTTCATCATAATATTTAGGCATCATAGGTAGAAGCTGAGACATTACCACCACGACCAGTCCAGTTGGTGTGTACCCACTTGCCAGGGGCATCAAGACGTTCATAAGTGTGAGCACCAAAGTAATCACGTTGAGCTTGGAGGAGATTGGCAGGTAACATTTCATGTCGAAGACCATCATAGAAGTTCAAAGCAGTGGACAAGGCAGGAGTAGGGATACCCATGACGACAGCTTGAGCAACAACGTTACGCCAGGCATCTTGAGCCTTGGCAGTAGCATCAGCAAAGAAGGAATCAAACAAGAGGTTTTCCAATTCGGGATTGTTGTTGTAAGCATCACGGATCTTGCCCAAGAAAGCAGAACGAATGATACATCCACCACGCCACATCAAAGCAATACCGGCATTATTCAACTTCCAATCGTAATCCTTAGCAGCTTGACGCATCAACATGTAACCTTGAGCATAAGACACGATCTTGGCAGCATATAGAGCTTGACCCAATTGAGCAATGAAAGCCTTCTTATCACCAGAGAACTTGGGAGAGGGACCCTTCAAGATCTTGGAGGCACGAGTACGTTCATCCTTAAGAGAAGACAAACAACGAGAGTATACAGCTTCACCAATCAAAGTGACAGGAATACCACGATCCAAAGAATCAATACCAGTCCACTTGCCAGTGCCCTTTTGTCCAGCAGTATCACGAATCTTGGTTACCAAAGGTTCACCATCAGTGTCCTTGTACTTGAGAATATCTCTAGTAATTTCAATCAAGAAAGAATCCAATTCACCCTTGTTCCATTCAGCGAAGACTTCAGCCATTTCATCGTGAGTCAAACCAAGACCTTCAAGCATGATTTGGTATACTTCAGTAATTAATTGCATATCACCATATTCTATATAACATTATGATTAGTTAATAAAAGATCATCTCATTTCTTTTTTTTTTTAATTACTTACCAATGCCATTGTGAACCATCTTGACATAATGACCAGCACCAGTTTCACCGACCCAATCGCAACAGGCAGCACCATCAGGAGCCTTAGCAGCAATAGATTGGAAAATGGGCTTGATAGATTCCCAAGCAGCAGGGTTACCACCAGGCATTAAGGAAGGACCGAAACGAGCACCTTCTTCACCACCAGAAACACCAGAACCAACGAAAAGAATACCTTTTTCTTCCAATTCCTTGGTACGACGAATAGAATCAGGGAAGTGAGAGTTACCACCATCAATAATGATATCTCCCTTTTCCAAGAAAGGCAAGAGTTGATCGATGAAAGCATCAACAGCAGAACCAGCCTTAACAAGGAGCATCACCTTTCTTGGGCGCTTGAGTTTGGCACAGAGTTCTTCAACAGAGTGAGCACCGACAATGTTGGTACCTACATCAAACAAAACAAATAAAAAAAAAAAAAAAAACCGGGGGAAATCATCAGTTACTATCCAAATAACGGCATTGTGTGATAGGTATGATTGAAAATTCACACACACACTCATTTATAAAACCCAATCTTTTCCTTTCTTACCTTTGGCTTCATTTTCCAAAAAGCTGTCAACCTTGGAAGTGGTACGGTTATAAGCACAGACAACAAAACCATGGTCATTCATGTTCAAGATCAAGTTTTGACCCTATTATCAAAAGAAAAAAAAAAAAAAACTGGTTAGACCTGACAACTCGTAGGTTTAAAGTTTAAAATATAATATATAGTTTCTTACCATGACGGCCAAACCAATAAGACCAATATCAGCACTATCGAGAATAACAAAAAAAAAGTGTAAGTTTTATAGCTTATCTCTAATTCGAGAAATAAAGAAAGACGCGTTTCTTGGAAGGGAAACGTATAGTTATAAATCATCATATATATATGTATATGTTTACTTACACAGCTTCAACCATATTTGTGTATGTTTTATATAAATAAAGTAAAAAAAGGAAAGAAAAAAGACAAGGAAAAGAAAAAAAAAGAGAGAAAAAAAAAAAAGAAAACACAAATTTATAAGATCGGGACTACAAAAAAAAAAAAAAATTCATCCCACCCCCAACACTCGCGCAATCCCATTTTTGTTCAAGATGATGTAATACAGACCTCTTTATGATCTTTTATCATCATCATTATTATTATTAAAAAAAAAGGAATAGTTTATGATTAGATTGTATGTATTTTTTTTTTATTTAGTTCATTAACATCATCAATATATTAATATATTAAATATAAAAACGTTGACTTTATTTTGAAACTTTGACTGTTATCGATTATCAACATTTCTTTTTTCCCCCAAAAGGTTCACAATTTTCTCCTAGGCCGCCAAAAGGTGAATCCGGAGAAATCGTGTTCATCATTAACCAAACTGAGTACAAATAATCTCAATATGATAGAATTCCCGCCCTTTTCCGGAAGTCCCTCATCCAATCATAATAACGATATAAATATATGAATAAGCAAATAGATTCTTTATTAAAAAGGGTGACAAAACATATAACATACTATATAAAAAAAAGGGATACTATAATATATAATAAGAGGAATACTTAATAACAATAAATAATAATAATAGTAGTAAAATAATGGTAAGAGTTTTTTTTTTAAAAAAATAAAAAAAAAATAAAATAAAATCAATCTTTCACTACACTAGGTACACCACCAACACCACCACCTCCACCAGCACCAGAAGCAGGTAATGGCATAAATACAGTTTTGGGACCATCACCAGCACGACTCATTGCCACTAAGGTATCCAAATATCGAATTTGTTGGGCTGATTGACTGTTCATAATATCAGCAGCATCACGCATAAGTTTGGCAGCTTCTACTTCTGCTTTTGAAGCAATCACTCGAGATTCACCAAGTCGAACAGCCAAAGCAGCTGATGCCAATGATTCTTGTAATTGTTGAGAGAAGGTAATATCCTTGACTAAAGTTGCTTCAATCTTATATATAAAAAAAAAAAAACAAATCAGTTTCTATTCTCTTTATATATATATATATATATATATATATATATATTTATTTTATTTACCTTGACACCCCATTGTTTAGCCACAGGATCAATGATTTCTTTGATTTCGGCTGAAATAGCATCCCTATTTTCAATCAAGTCTTGTAAAAAGTGACTACCACAAATATCTCGTAAACTTGTTCTTGCACGTTCTACCAAAGCAAATTGAACATCACTAACACCAAAGTGAGCTTCATAAGGATCCACAATATGCCAAAATAATACTGATTCAATAGAAATACTAACATTATCTTTGGTCATGATATCTTGTCGAGGAATTTCTGTAATATTGATTCGAATATCTAATTTTCTGATCTTTTCTGTCACTGGATTCACTTTGACTAGACCAGGATCTACCAAACGTTGAAATCGTCCAAATTGAGTAATCACTCCAATACTACCTATATACAAATCATTTATGAGTCATTGGATCATTTTTCTATAATTATTATTATTATTATTATTATACCTTGTTGTACGCGTTTATATGGATTTGGGAAACAAAAACAACAAGGAATCTATATTATAATATAAAATATATTATTAAACTATAAAAAAATGAATAAAAGAAAAAGTACTTACAGATCCAAGAAAACCTAAACAATTACCAAGACCATTCATCATAGTCCCATAAAAACCTCTTTCGTCTTCAGAACTTTCAGCGACTCTTGCAAAAGAAGGTTGAAGTCCACCATATTTTCCAATACCAACTTCCATAGTTCTATCTGTATTAGAATAAATTGAAGAGTTAGGTACTTGAGATACCATTTCAATCATATCTTCCTGTTGCATATTAAAAATACCTTGTTGTAAAGAAGTATTTTCAGTCATAGTTTTTATAATTAAAGAAAGAATAAAAAAAAAAAAAAAAGAAAAAAGAAAAAAAAAACGAAAGATATTATGCGTGAGAACTGACACCGCTTTATTCACTGAGCAGATATTTCCGTAGCCCGCAGCCAATTGAATAAAATGTGTAACTTGATCTGCTGAGCCAAATCCATCCTTTTATGGTTGCAAAAAAACTCTAAAATGCTTTAATTTTTTTTTTTTTTTTTTCGAATCTTTCCTTTTTCTCTTTATATTTACCGCTTGTTTTCTCTTTTATTATATATTATACTTTTCTTTCTTAAAACTTTTTTTTTTTTTTAAATAAAAATGTCCACTGCACCAGTATCTGCTGCTTCTAATACTTCAAAAGCTCCTATGATATCAAGAAATCCTCCTCATAAGTTTGCTGGCAATTATAATCTTGATGTCGTTGACCATGTAAAAAAAGATAAAATAAAAAAAAATACAAACATGCAGTTTTTTTTTTTTACTTATTTTATTTTATACATTAGGGTTGGTATGGTTCCATGTTAAATTCATTTGGTGCTATTGTTGGTACTCTTGGTTCGGTAATTCCTTTTCTTTTTTCCTTTTTTTCTTTTTTAAAAAAAAACAATTTCACACGTTAGTATTAAAAAAAAAATCATTGACAAAATTTTATATGCAACTTTATAGATTCCTCTTTGTTTTTGTTTCCCAAATCCTTACAAATCAATTGATCAAGGTTATGTTGGTTTAGTCACTCGTTATGGATCATTCACGAAGGCTGTAGATCCTGGTTTGGTGAAGGTAATTTATGTTATATATTTATATTTCTAAATCATCAATTAACTTATCTTCCTTTATAGATCAATCCATTCACAGAACATGTACATAAAGTTGATATCAGAGTTCAAGTAGATCAAATTCCCAAGGTAAGTTTTAAAATTCATCTTTTTATATATAATCTATTAACGAATGTTACGCGTCTTTTCTTCTTCTTCTTTTTTCTTCTAGCAAATAATCATGACCAAAGATAATGTGAATGTACAAATTGATAGTGTCTTATATTGGTAAAAAAAAAAAAAAAAAAAAACCGAACAAAAGGATAGAATGAATATATTGTTTTTCTTTTTTTTTCACTGATGAAAAATAGGAGCATTGTTGATCCTTATCAATCAGCATTCGGTGTCAGTGATGTTCATCGTGCATTGATTGAACGTACTCAAACCACTTTACGACATGTCCTAGGTGCTAAAGTATTACAAGACTGTATTGAAAATCGAGAAGCCATTGCTATGGAAATTCAAAATGTTACTGCTCCTATTGCCAAACAGTGGGGTGTCAAGGTAATTCTTTTTTTTTTTTTTGAATATAATTATTCATTCTTTTTGATTTTATTTTAAAATAGATAGAATCCATTTTGATCAAAGATTTGAATTTTTCAAAGGATTTACAAGAATCATTATCATCTGCCGCTCAAGCACAACGTGTAGGTCGTAGCAAAGTCATTGCTGCCAAAGCAGAAGTCGATTCAGCAAAACTCATGCGAGAAACTGCAGATATATTAAGTACCGAATCAGCTCAACAAATTCGTTACCTGGAAACAATGAAAGCTCTGGCAAAATCTCCCAATACTCGTGTCATCTTTTTACCTCACAATCCATCTGACAAGAATCCAACTGATCCATCCAATAGTAGCAACCTTTTGTATGCTAATCTTGCTCAAATCAAGTGATTCTTCTTTTTCTTCTATAACTCTTTTATATTTTTCTTTATTATTATTTTCTCTATAGTTATTTACTCACTTATAGTTATTATTATAATTTTTTTTAATAACAACACAATTGAATTTTATCTTTGTAAACGATTTTTATTCATGCGCGGAGTGCAGATTCTCACCCAGGAAAGAGGTACAAAAAATCTTTTTTTTTTTTTTGTTGCTTTCTTTCCATCTTCAAAAACCTACACATTCACCCGTCCATGCACACACATATACTTTTAAATTCACTCCTCTCATTGTGAACTCTACATAATGAAATATACTCTGCTTTGATATTAGTTACTTTTTTTTAAAAATGGATGCCTCTCTACTCGATTAAGACAATCTTATCATATTGGCTCTCTGGTGGACAGTCAACCTTTCCATTGATGGGTGTAATTGACGAAAAAAGTATGTACAGAAAATAAAACTAAAAAGGAAATGGCTTAGTTACTGAGCTTGCCGCAGTTCGTCTCTAACCGAACTATTATTATTATTTTTTAGTGTCTCACGCGTTCTTCGTCACCTTGGTTTTCTCTTCCTCATTGTTTTTTCTTTTCCAACAAAAAGGCTTTTAGGAACTGCCATGACAATAACTGACAACTTCCTGATCTCTTTCTCAACGGTGATCATGGCCGGTGCATCCTGTATCAGTGGCATTACTTTGATACTCCAACAAAAGTATGGTTCAGTACAAGATGAATTGGAGTACATCAAACGAAAGCAAGACCAACCATATCAAGACCATCGATTTCCCCGGATGCTTTGGCAAACTTTCGTTGTTGCATTAACAACTGGCTATCAACTTTTATTGTGTGTACTGTATCCTTCTACAATTGATGGTGACGTCTATACAAGACAAGCGGTGGAGTATGCTCTAGATCTTTGTGTTTGTGTCTATTTATTGGCATTGACGTGGATGAGTCAACAATACTATCGACTTCCAAATTGGTGGGGTGGCATTCTCAATATTCATTTATGTTCTTTATGGACGATGATGCTCTGCTGTACGATGATACAATTTTGTATTGGTGTGATCTGGAAAGGCATATACGTTGACATCACAGTGGATTGGATCACTGTTTTTCCTTGGATTTTGATATTAGCATTGGAACTCGACATGATCATTAATACGGCGACAGTGGAATACGATCGACAACACTATGTAGATAAATCTGATAATCAACACAACGACAGCGTCTACGTGCTTGGTGTGAATAGCAGTTCGATTTTGGGATCTCTCCTTTTTAGCTATATGGTTCCTTTCATCAAAGTGGCAACTAAATATCATAAACTAAAGCAAATTCTTCCAGAAGATGAACTTCCTCGTCTACCATCTCGGATCACCAGTGTTGCAAGTTTACGCCGCGCTAATCAAAGCCGACCTCACAATTATTCCTTATTATATCGATTATTCCTGGCCAATCGTGGTGATGTGATTCGATTTTATTGCATGGCTCTCTTTTGTGCGGCCATTTTTTATATCCCAGCTTTATTGATGCAGCAACTCTTACTGGTGATTGAAGAATTGACGACACTGGATAAAGACAAGCAATCCGATCGATATGGTCAACTCTACATTCAAGCTTCTTTATGGATCCTTGCACAAGTTATGAATACCCTTATCATTGAAATTATTAAAGCAAGGCTTTGGTTATATGGTAAACAATATAAAAAAAAATATGCTCGCTAGTAATATCTCACTCAACTCTTTTTCCTATCTCTCTCTCTCTCTCTCTCTCTCTCTCTCTCTTAGGACATAACATTCAAGCGAGTGTGAAAGCAATGCTCAGTTTGGAAGTCTATAGGAAAACTTTACTTCGACCAAACAGTGTTGCAGCAACAATATCACCAGATTCAACAATAAAGGAAGATAGTGCAGTGGAAGAAGAAAAGGAAGAAGAAGAATCAACTGTATCTACTACTGGCAACATTATCAACTTGATAGGCACTGATGTCAAAGAGATTAGCGATTTTTCGTTAACATCATTTGCGCTGGTGAGTTCTCCAATTGAGCTGATGATTGGATTATGGATTCTTTATGGACTACTTGGGAAATCATCTTTTGCTGGTATCTTGGTGATGGTGTTATCTATGCCGCTTACCCATATCGTGGCCAAAAATTTTGTCAAGGCTCAAAATGATATCATGATGTCTCGTGATCGACGTGGTAGTGTCACTCATGAAGTGCTTCGTGGTATTCGACAAATCAAATTTTTTGCCTGGGAATCTCAATGGAAAGAGCGTATCATGGAATTACGACAACTTGAATTGAAACATCTGTTGACTCTTTATCTGTGTGAAATCGCTTCTTCTACAATATGGAACGGGTAAGTCAAATTTCTAAGAAGAAAAATTATCAAGAGAAAAAAAAAAGGGGGGATGAAATTTAACGTGTTATTTCATTGTTATAGACTTCCTTTACTTGTGATAGTTGCTGCTTTTTGGTCTTATACGGTGTTGGAAGAAAAAGAACTAACTCCTGCTGTAGCCTTTACGTCCATGTTTATCTATTCTGAACTACGATTTCAAATGACTTCCATTCCTGAAGATATTGTTCAGTTATTACAAGCATCAGTTAGGTAATTAAATATAAAAGATTATTCATCCACCTTTCTCTCAAAATATATAACAATCATATCTTTTGACATCTTTATAGTTTACGAAGAATTGAAAGATATTTGAAACAACCTGACCTTTGCCAATCTTCTACAATATCAACATCTCAACATACCACGGATTGTGAAAAAATCGGTTTTGCTAATGCTACAGTGACTTGGATATCGACATCCTCCTCCTCCTCCTCCTCATCATCATCATCCGTCGATAATACAGAATTGACTCAGGAACCTATTCTAATTGACGTTTCATCACCTGACCCAGTTGATCAAGCATCTTCAACATTCAAGCTTCAAAATATCAATGTGATATTCCCTCCCAACGAACTTAGTCTGATCTGTGGCAGTACTGGTTCTGGCAAGACATTACTTCTGATGGCATTACTTGGTGAAGCGTCTGTCGAAGGTTCAGTTTTCTTTCCTCGTACTGGTTTTGATGAATTGACTGAAGTTGATTTTTCTTTTACAACTCGAGCTATGGTGACATCAAATGATTTGACAAACAATAATCATTGCGATCAATGGATTTTGGACAACAAAGTAGCATATGCAGCACAAACAGCTTGGCTTCAAAACGCAACAATACGTGATAATATCCTTTTCGGTTTACCTTACATTGAAGATCGATATAAATCTACTTTATGGGCATGCTCTTTGATATCTGACTTGGACGCATTGGTGGATGGAGACTTGACAGAAATTGGTGAACGAGGTATTAACCTTTCTGGTGGGCAGCGCGCACGTGTGGCTTTAGCTAGAGCTGTCTATTCTCGGACGAAAATTGTGTTGATGGATGATGTACTCAGTGCTGTTGATGGTAAGCGCGTTGTAGAGCATTTATGTTTTAGATTATTGATTCCTCTTTTTTTTTTTTTTTTTTTTTTTTTTTTTTTTTTTCTTGACGTTTTGGTCATTTCAGCTCATACAGCAAAACATCTCCACGACCACTGTTTGACTGGACCATTGATGCAGGGTAGAACTAGGATTTTGGTCACCCATCATGTGCAATTATGCCTTCGACATTGTGCCTATTTAGTACATTTACAAAATGGACAAGTAGCTAGTTGTGGTACACCATCTATATTACGTCAAGAGGGATATCTGGCTGCTTTAGTGGACGAACAAACCAATTTGGATAGTAAAGAAGAAGAAGATATTGATCAGAAGCTTAATGATCAACGCGACATGGTATCAAAACCCAATAATAACAAGCCTCAAGTTTTGGTGGAAAAAGAATGTAAGTGAAGATCGAGAAAAGAAAAAGAAACTCCTTTTTTAATAATGTTAAAACAAATTATAAATCATCCACACTTTTTATCACTATATTTAGTCCGTGCTGAAGGTCAGATCAAACGACAGCTATATTTATACTATTTGAAACTTGTCGGTGGTATTATGTTTTGGATATTACTTGGTAGTATGGTAATTGGCACTCAGTATTTGACTGTATTGGCAACTTGGTGGCTCAAACAATGGTCAAACGCATATGACAAGGCAGTAGGAATGAACAATTTGTTGGTAGTAAATAACAATAATTATCATTCCAGTAAAGACAACAAACTATCAGCAGCAGAAGTCAAATATTATATTGGGGTGTATGCAATCATCAGCTTGGTATGCTTGATAGTTGGTACTGGACGCTATGTGATGATGTATCTTGGTGGTCTTCGTGCAAGTCGAAAACTATATGCCAGCTTATTGGACCGATTATTACATGCACCACTACGATTTTTTGATACGACACCTGTGGGGCGTATTTTAAACAGACTCACTAGCGATTTTGAAACCATCGATAGTCGACTCCCACAAGATACGATGTTTTTTGCAACTCAATCGGTAACGTTTACGGCGGTCCTGATCTCCATTGTTATAGTGGCTCCTTGGTTTTTGTTACCTGCATCTTTGATTGCGGTGGGTACGATTATTTATAGTATTCAATTTATCAATGCTTCTCGGGAATGCAAACGTATCGAATCGGTATCCAGGTCTCCTGTCTTCAGTCATTTTACCGAAACCATTGTGGGAATCACAACCATCCGTGCTTTTGGTGTTTCCAAATCATTCCTTCAAACTATGTTAAAAAATATTGATGACAACATTTGTCCTGCATATGTCAGCAACATGATAAAACAATGGATATCTATTCGATACGCTTATCTTGGTGCTGCTGTTGTAGCCTTCAGTGGATTCTTGGTTTTGATTAGTTTGAATTATTATGGGAATGCTGCTTTGGCTGGATTTGTTTTTTCTTATGCCTTGACGTTTGCTGATGAGGTAAAAAAAAAAAAAAAAAAAAAAAAAAATATGGATGATTTTATTCTAGCATTACTCATTTTTTTTTTATAAAGTCTTTCTGGGCTGCCTATAGATATCGACAAATTGAAATGACATACAATTCTGTGGAACGTGTGGTTGAGTTTATGCAAATAGATCAAGAATCTAATTTGGCTACCACACAACTATCACCAGAAGTAAGAGAAAAACAATATCTTTATTTAGATGAAAGAACATATATTGGTCACTAATCGCATCTTTTTTTTTTTTTTTTTTTTTTTAGTGGCCCAGTAGAGGTGCATTAGATATACAAGATTTGAAAATTCGGTATGCTCCTGGATTAGACATGATTTTGAAAGGGATCAGTTTCTCGGTGGGTTCTGGTGAGAAAATTGGCGTGGTGGGCAAGACAGGATGTGGCAAGAGCACGTTGACATTAGCCATCTTTCGATTCTTGGAAGCTGTTAGCGGCAAGATCATGATTGATGGTATTGATATTAGTACTGTGAGTCTCAAGGAACTGCGATCAAGATTAACCATCATTCCTCAAGACCCTGTCCTCCTTTCTGGTACTCTACGAAGCAATATGGATGTATTTGGTGAATTTGATGATGATGCTATTATGGATGCTCTCTATCGAGTACGACTTGTGCAAACATCCACTACAACTACTTCATCATCATCATCTTCATTAGTGGATGGAAATACTGAACGCAATCGAAATATATTTGAAGATCTCAACTCTCCAGTGACTGAAGGTAATGCGTATTTAAAAAAAAAAAGGGAAGAAATATATCGTAGAAACTCAACATATATCTTTATGATAATAGGTGGGCATAACCTTTCTCAAGGACAGCGACAACTTTTATGTTTGGCCCGTGCTCTGTTGAAGCGAAGTAAACTTGTGATTATGGATGAAGCGACATCCAGTGTGGATTTTGAAACAGACAGAGCTATTCAACGTACCATGACAACTGAATTTGCTTCTAGTACGATCCTTTGTGTGGCTCATCGTTTACATACTGTGATTGAATATGATCGGATCTTAGTTATGGATGATGGTCAAGTCCAAGAATTCGATAGGTAAATCAAGGAAAACAGAAACGATATGTCAAAAGAACAAGAGAATCTCATTTTTTTTTTCATTAGTCCATTGGCATTGATTTCCAACCCTGAATCTGTGTTTTACAAGTTATGTGTCAAGTCGGGTGAATATGAACAACTCTTAACTGCAGCACAACAATTCCATCAAAAAAAAATCAAATTAGTTTAGGATTTACAAATAAAATAGAAATTGATTTGCTTTAGTTTGACCTTGTGATATTATCATTAACAATAAAAAGTTGGCATCTGATGTTGTTGGATGAATACAATAGCCCTTGTTTAACCTACTTGTATATTTGTTCCTGACATAGATACAGTATGATATACCTTGTGATTTTGAGTCATAACTATTATAATGCAAATGATATGAAGACATACTAAGTAGTGGTTTGTTCTAGTATTGATGAAATGAGAGAGAGAGAGAGAGAGAGGGAGAGGGATTGTGATATTCTCTACCTTACTGTCGTCTGACCTAGGTTACATAGTTACATTTTGACCCCAAGTAAAACAAATCGGAGCAAGTTTTCATTCCCTTAGGTATGAAAAATGCAAGATCTATTTGACATTCCCATATGACAGTAGACAAGTAATTGAATATAATAGGCAATTAACGTTTTTTTTTGTTTATTGAACAGTATAGATACAATATATATAAAATAGAATGAAGACAATACTGAAGAATACTAAATCTAATAATAAAAACATGGAAAAATATATTTATACAGAAAGAATGACGGACCAACAAAAACGGATACAATTAGGAGAGCCAAAGAATAAGAAAGGTATATTTTATCCTTGACGTTGCTTATGCTTCTTATTCTTGTTGCAGGTAACAAAAAGTTTTCCTCGTCTTCGGACAGTGGTGCAACCATCACATAATTTCTTGACAGAAGATCGAACTTTCATGGTACGAATTACGGTAAGCATGGCAGGGGTATTGAGTAATTGTTGCTGTTGTTGTTGAAACATGCCAAACATGGGGCGTGTTTGCTGGAATAATGATTTTAATAAGGACATGGTGAATGAGATGTATAGAAAAAAAAAAAGGAAAGAAAACAAAAAAGAAAAAAAGAAAAAAAAATCTTTTTCCGACGGGGAATGAAATCAACATGTGGGAAACGTGTGTGGAAAAAACGACAAGGGCGATCCGTTTGGCTCTTTATGCTTTTCTTTTCTTTTTTTTTTCTTTTAAATTGATTCTTACCCCTCTCCTCCCTTTTTATTTTGTATTATGTTGAAAAATACTTATTCTCTTGCTAGAAGATCTAGATGGACAACAACAACAACTACCACACTGATACGAGCACATATTTCTACCACAACAAAACGTCTCGGTCCTGTTTCCTTACAACACCAACCATCATTTACTACACCTTTATATAAATCCTGGGTATTTGGTTCTGGGTTGGCTTTAGCTCTTGGTGGATTAACTTTGGCCACAATGAATGAGAAGATTTATGCTCTAGAAGCTACTCGTAAGTCAATAGGAGTTTTTAGTTTGAAACTCAATATATTCACCTCCTTATCATGTTTAGCAAACGGTGATCAAATATGCCAAGCTATTATACAAAATGACTTTCGAACTCTGAGAAAGTAAGTCAAAAAAAAAAAAAAAGAAAGTTTTAAAAAAAAGGTAAGAAAACTTATTGTCTTTTGATAATTATTAGGTTAGCCGAGGACCCTAATTTTACTCCCAATGTATATCATCGTTGCGGTTGGACCCCTTTGGTAAAAAAAAAAAAAAAAAAAAATAGACGCGTAAAATCACAAGTTCCAAATTAGTATTCATCTTTTTTCTTTTTCTCTTTTTCCTATACAGCAAGTTGCAGTGATTCAAGACAATGAAACCATGGTCAAGTTTTTATTAGAAAAGGGTGCAGGTAAACTTTGGAAAATATAATGAAGTATAATGTATCAAACTGATTATTCTCTTTATAGATCCAAATCTTGAAGATCATTATTATCCTCGATCTCATCAAGCAGCCAATATACGTCAATCTGATTTCTCTGCTGATTTGATGCCTTATCGCGACTATCGTGATTATACTGCTCTTCATTATGCTGCCATCATTTGTAATCCTACCGTAGTAGCTCTCTTATTAGAACATATGGCTGATCCTCTTGTACGCAACTCAAATGGTCTCACTCCAAGGGAATATCTTTATCATGTAGAACGATTTACTGGTGAAAGTAATATTGAAATAGATGACATGTTACGAGGTAAAAAGAATGAAATATAGGTATGAACCAATAGATTAACTTTTTATTTATTATTGAAAGCCAAGGAACAAAGTTTTGCAGTAGATAAGGAAATGTATGAAGAACGACAACGCAAAGAATTAGCTAAACAAGAAAAAGAATATAGGAAGAAACACCCATTAGAAGATGCTCTCAGAGATCGAATTGTTGGTCAATTAGGTCCCATCCATGCATTAGCAAGTGCTATTCGTAGAAAACAAAATGGTTGGCAAGATGATGATCATCCATTAGTATTCTTGTTTTGTGGATCCTCAGGTGTTGGGAAAACTGAATTAGCAAAAAGTAAGATTCCCAAAAAAAAAAGAAATCAATAGATTTGTAACATACTAACTTTTATAAACATATATATTATCTATTGTTTTAGCTTTGGCTAATTATTTACATGGAAAGAACATGGATAAAGGTTTTATTCGCATTGATATGAGTGAATTCCAACACAAGGTAAAAAAAAAAAAAAAAAAAAAAGGGATCATAAGAATATAAAAAATATGGTTTTAAAATTTATTTATTCTATAGCATGATGTATCAAGATTTATAGGATCTCCTCCTGGTTATGTTGTAAGTGAAAATATAAATTGATTTTCATTTATTTGTTTCATGGACCTTTTTTTTCTTTATTATTTTTTATTTCTACTATCCTTTTTGTAGGGTTATGACGAAGGTGGACAACTCACGGAAAAACTCAAAGAATGTAAGTAACATAGTATTGGAAGACAAAAGTTTTAGCTTATTCACCTCCTGATATTTTTTTTCAGGTCCCAATGCTGTTGTGCTATTAGATGAAGTAGAAAAGGTAACGAAGGAAAGATATCTTTTTCACAATTCCTCATATCCTTTTATTTTTCTATATAGGCACATCCTGATGTATTGACAGTCATGCTTCAACTTTTCGACGAAGGACGTATTACAGATGGGAAGGGAACGACAGTAGAATGCACAGATGCAATCTTTATCATGACATCCAACTTGGCGCAACATGAAATTGCCGATGAAGCAGAATTGTTACGATTAGAAGCTTCGGTGACTTCAGATGCTCAATCAACAGGTGTTGCATCTACAACCAATAATATTGTCAATAACACTAACAATCATGGAGAAGAATTGATTGGCAATGACGAAGACGATGGACAAATCTCATTATCAAGACAATTTATCGAAAAGACGATCTATCCAATTTTATATCAACATTTTCGACGGGATGAATTCTTGGGCCGGATCAACGAAGTACTTTTCTTCCTACCATTCAGTGAAGACGAATTAAGGGACATCACTCAAAGGGAACTTTCAAAATGGGCGGACAAGGCCAAGTCTCGACATGGCATCACAATGACATGGGATTCGGACGTGGTGGATCATCTGGCTCGAGGTTACAATATTCGATACGGCGCACGCAGCATCAAATACGAAGTGGAACGTAAAGTGGTCAATCTTATTGCCAAAGCCAATGAAAATGATGAAGTCATCGATGGTGGAAAAGTTCATGTTGTCATTGATAAAATCCCTGGCAAGAAACGACGTCTATGCAAACTAGAAATTCAACAAAAATCGGGTGATGATCGAAAATCTTCTGGTACTGGTTGGTTTGGTAGCAAGAAATAGCCATAGTTTTTTTTTTTTTTTTTTGACAACAATCCTTTTTATTTATTTATTATAACACAGACTCCAATAAATGTTTTTTATTATCATTATTATTTGTTTTATCGACGATGATTGAGTAGAGGGATGACGATGATTAGGAGGATGGAATTTTATGTGATGTTGGATGATAATAATGTAGTGGACAAGATGGGAAAGTATGACAATTTGGATGGCATGTTACACCAAAATGCAATTGACAAAAAGATGAAACAAACATCTTGTAGATAGATAGATTGATAGATAAAAAAGAAAACTATTTTATTGATCAATAAAAATTGTATAACACGCACCACCAATAATAGCACCAGCTATAGGAGCAAATAAAGGTACAAAGAAGTAATAGTTGCGGACAGTAAACACTCCAGATCCCCAACCTAGGATAATGGATGGATGATTGATGTTTGAATAAGATAATAGATGGAAGGTTGACGATAGATATTTCATATGATGGATGGTGATCAGATGAAAAGTGAGCGATGTTAGTAAAGAATACAGAACACGTTTTTTTTTTTTTTTTTTTTTTTTTTTTTTTTTTTTTGGAGGATGTTCTTACCAGCAATAGAGGTAAATAAACGAGGACCTAAATCACGAGCAGGATTCAAAGAAAAACCAGAAGTATAACCTAAACTAAGAGAAATTGATACAATACCAACAGCAATAAAGCATCCTTGAGCATTTCGGAAAGGAAGATTGTTTTGATGTCCTGTAGCCATGATAATCAAAAGCAAGAGAGCAGTACCAACTACTTCTGAAAGAACAGAGGATGACATACCCACGTAGACAGCAGGAAAAGTGGCGAAAATACCAGCCGTACCATGAGGTCCCAAAATTTGCCGATCACCACCATCAAACTCGTTGATGGCAGGTTGAATCACCGAATACAATATAGCAGCCCCTGTAAATGCACCTAAAAGTTGCGAAAGGATGAAACCAGGTACTTTTTTCAGAGGAAATCCAGAGAATAACCAGAACGTAATAGTGACAGCAGGATTGATATGAGCACCCTATTTTTTTTTTTAAAAAAAAAAAAAAAAAGAGAGGGAAGGGTAAAAGATTTTCTTTTTAGTCCTAGACTTTTCCCAATTAGTCAATCTTTTTTCTCAGTATCAAAGACTTACAGACACATGACCCACAATGCTGATGGCTATCAAAACAGCAAGACCTAAAAGTAAAGATGAACAAAAGAGTTAATATATACATCATGTGTATATATGTAATCTGTAACAAGAATTCACGAGATATAGACTTGATTTTTTTTTGTTTACCACTTCCAATGGATGAAGTTAACCAAGATTTGTTAGGTTCAACATGTAAGGTTTGTTCAGCTGAAGCCCCACAGATCAGGAGTACCAAGATACATGTACCAATAAATTCGGCTAGATATTCACGTAGATGAGAACGATACATCCTTCCTTTTTTTATAAGATTTTCCATCATTTTATAATGTTGTTTTCTATGATCATATACTGAAAATATAGTAATAAGAATAGAATTAAGTAGATTATCATTAAAAACGATATATATATATTTTTTTTTGACATACAGTGATGATGAGTTCCTTCTGATAAAAGGAGAGGTTCAGTTTCGTCTAAAGTCGAAGAGGACGTCGATGAACTCCATTCAACCATTTATATTATTGTAGATATATATTGATAAATAAAATGAAAAGAAAAAGATAACGAAAAAGAAAAGAAAAAGAAAAAGAATATAAAAAAAAAGATGATTTACAAAATTATTTTGAGCTCAACTACTGCCATACATGGAATAGCTTGAAGGGGACAAAGGAGTCTCTCCCTGTTGTTTCCAATGCGTTTCAAACCCCGTTACTCTCTTTTTTTTTTTTGCTTTGATACAATGATGATGATGATGATGATAAGCCAACAAAAAAAAAATGTGAAGACCCTTTTTTTTTTCTTGTGGTTTTAAATGAAAAGTGCATTATCACCTGCTTTCATGGAAATTAGATCACTTGTATCTAAATATGGAAGTATCTTTCTTTTTTTGATTTCCTGGCTTTGGATTGGTTGCCATACTCAAATGAAGGTTTGTTCTCAGACAGCGTCCTACAAATGTACAACCCTTTCTTTTTTTTTTTTTTTTTTTTGAGAATGAGTTAGAGTTCAACATTGATCAATTTTATTATAATGGGACGCGCGGCAAGAAGTAGATTGTAATCATAGTAATACAATATGTTCAATGAATAATAATATATATATTGATATCAATATTGCTTTGATAACCAAAGATTCTCATTTTTCATGTGCCTGAATTTGTTCTAATTTATAAAAATTGTTATCACCATATTGAGAAATGATCATTTTAAACTAATCCTTTTCATTCTAGGTTATTAAAAAAAAAAAAAAAAAAAGAGAAAGAGATATAGATTCAAAGCTCGGTTTATTGTATTTAAAGTCATAGGAGGAATAGTTTTCTGGTGGGAACCGAGTTTTGTACGTCTTTCAAAGGGCGATGCTCAAATTATTTTTATTCATTTCCTTTTTCTTTTTCTTTTTTTCTTTTCTTTTCTTCCTTTTTTTTTATTTTATTTATTTATTAATATTATTCTTATTATTTATCTATATGTTTTTACTGGAGATGGGGTCTTCTGAATATGACATATCTTCCACTGCTTGTATTCCAATTAACTCTACTCACAAGGCGAAAAAGGCAAAATCAGCAGAAGAAAAAGCAGCAGCAAAGGCAAAGAAATCTCAGCAGGACGAATTAGATGCTTTGCAAATCACCTTTTACGAAATTGAATCTTGGATTGAAAAAACTACTCCAGTACTGACTCGTATGACCAAAGAACTCGATAAGGCATCTCACCGTTTAGAGAAACAACGTCGTGAATTATCAAAACACCAACCACAAGCAAATGATCAACCACACAACCAACCAATCAATGCTTTTTCTATGACTAGTGCTCAACAACAACAACAACAACAGCAACAACAACAACAACAACAATGTCCTTTAATTCAGTCTGACTTTATCTCACAATCCACCTTTAGCGATCACAACATATTATCATTGCCATCGCCTAGTACCTCAAGTCAACCAATCCCTTCTTCCTCTTGTACAGATATACAAAGCGATCCTATGCAATGGATACTCACGTTTCAACCTGGTAATTCATTACGACTGGAAACAAATATTACTTCGGTGGAACAACTAGTAGATGCTGTACAAAAAATACAACTTTTGGCTGATCCATCTTCAAAAAACGTCCATCAACCTATTGACCCATCTAGTGTATTTATCGCATCATCATCATCATCATCATCATCTTCATCATCATTCTCATCGAATTCTTCATCTTCCTCTATTTCTTCACCATCATCCAAACTGTCAACACCTTGGACTGGCAATCATCAACTACGTTTGGGCCCATCGACTGAATACTGGTATGCAGCTTTACAACGTCGACCACGATCATGTCTGGAAGATTATAAGAACTCTGACGAAATGAATCTTAGTCAAGTCACGGAAAATGTCTCACCTCATGTACTCAACTATGCTTGTCAAATATATTGGGATTGTCTTCATCCAAAGTTTTCTGGTGATTGGTCTACTTTTTGGGATCGATCAGGTGATCCAAAGCGCAATCAAGTCTGTATCGATTCTGGTTTAGCAATGGTATTCTTACATATTATTCGGCATCACAAGGATTCATGTCCCAACGCAAATGATATTGGCTACTACTACTACGAAAGGGCAAGAGAAGCTTTGATGGATTATTTTGATTCTCCAGATTGTGCTACTTTGGAAACTCTGATGAACTTGGCTATGTTCTGTATTCTTTGCAAGCGACATTCTCAAGCACGTTTACATATTGGATTGGCGTATCGTATGATTTTGGATATGGGGATTCATCAACAATCCAATTGGCCGAAGGACAATCTACTGCTACGAAAGAAATATCTTAAACTCGTCATGGTACTTTATTATAATGATATTAGTGTCTCGATGTACTCTGGTGAACCTACTTTGCTAAATGACATGGATATTGATGTGGATTTCTACGACCTGATTGCTGTCAATCGTGCCTTACCAGCTCAACCTGATGAAAAAACCTTGGTCAAGGAAACCTTTTTTGCTCACCTGTTATCACTGGCCAAGATTGGGAAACGCACTTTACTATTGACTGATGATTATAAACAACAACACGAAGGAAAACAACATGTTGGTGAATTACCTTTATCTTGGGCAAATCAAGTACAAGCTTTAGAAGTAGCTCTGGCACGCTGGTTTGATCGACTTCCTGAAGAATATCGTGTAGATCCTCAACCAACACCTTTTTCAACAGCATCATCATCATCAACAACAACGGCGACAACAACAACAACAACAGAGGACAAGACTTCTCCTGAACGTGAACATATCTCCATGGATGCCACCTCATTGAAGAAACAATCCGCTCTTTTACTGATGTTACAATATCAAACACAATGGTTACTTTTACACAAAACTTTTGCCAACATTGATGCTTCTCCTTTGGCCGCCACTATTGCTGCTGCTGCTGCAGGTTCAACATCAGCGCATATACCACCACAAGGACCGGATCGATCAAGAGAAATATGTACTGATGCTGCCAATCGAATTGTTGTTATGGGCGAAATGATCACTGAAAAATATGGATGGTGTGTCTGTCAACAATTTATGTCCTGTATTTATCAAGCATCTACGATTTATTGTCGGAACGCCCTTGCTATGAACGAAGACAGTCGTCAACATGCCAATACTATGATCAAACGAATTATACATATATTAGGATCAAGTAGGATCAACTATAGTGGACTACCTGATGATATCACAGCATGCCTGAACGAATTCTTGGTCAAGAATGGAATGCAGCCACCGACAGAACAACACTCTCTTTCAACTGATACAACAACACCAGTGAATAATGTGAACAACAAGGATGATAACAACCATGCTAATGATGATGATGAAACATTGGATGAAAATCATAAAATAACAATTCCAGAAGGATGTCAACTATTGGGACACTGGGTTTCTTTCGATAACTCATCTACAGCAGAACATACGCATTCATCAGCAATCACATCTCCCCTTACTAGATTCAACGATACATTATTCAACTCACCTCATATGCATTTGGAATGTTTACATCAACAAGCTCTCCATCGGCCACCACTCACAACTCGATATCATCAAACGGATGCTATGCTATCTATTAAGATTCAGGAACCAGTGGTAGATAATTCGATGGCAATGGATTTCCAATTGGAGCATAGAAAAAACTGGAGGTATGAAATTCAAAAAAAAAAAAAAATATGTTTTTCCTATCATATTTATTGATTTTTTTTTTTTTTTTTTTTTCATTAGAAACATGTTTTCATCGTCCAATATTACCCAAGTCAATCAGCGAATGTTGTAGAATAATACCTTTTTACCATCTCTCTTTTTACACTATGACTATTATTGTATTTTTTATTTATTTATTTATTTTGTTTATATCTATATATATATTTACTATTGTGTATTTTTTATCCCTTTTTTAATAAAATGTTTTCTTACTTTGATGATCATCAATGTTACAAGTCGAAACCTCTTGTCTTTATATTTTTATTTTTACAGACATATGTGGATTCAAGCTACGGAATTTGAATCACTGGTCGATTTTGGAAAAAAATCAAAGGACTGGGTGCCAAGTTTTCATTCAATCCTAAAAATAAAAAAATTCCCATTTCTTTTTACTCTTACCCCCTTTTTTTTTTCTTTCACTTGATTCCACAATGTCATTATCTAGACAATCATCAACAATACTTGCTCACTATTTTGATTATGGAATGTCTTGTTTGGAACAAGCTGCTATTGCTATTTTGACAAAAGGAAGAATACCAAAACATCTTGGATTTATATTGGATGGTAATCGCCGCTTTGCTAGAAAGATGGGTGCTTCATCAACACGATTTGGTCATTATGAAGGATTGAAACGACTAGAAAAGGTAAATATTATTATAATATACTAGTGATCTGACTGATCTCTTCTTTTCAAAGGTATTGGAATTATGTATGCAACTAGGTGTCCTGGAAATCACAGTTTTTGCTTTTAGTATTGAAAATTTTAAACGATCTCAAGAAGAAGTAGAATACTTGATGCAATTATTTCGGGAAACATTCATGGACTTTTGCAATAATAAGTAAGAAAAAGGAATGATAACGAGGGTTGCTTGGAAAGATAGTTTTTGTTATTTAACACAATACTAATTTTTTTATATATATCAACATAGCAAATTCATTAAAGATAATGATATTCGTGTACAGTTTTTGGGCAACTTGGATTATTTACCAAAAGATGTGGCAGATCTGGCAAAACAAGTGATAGATCAGACAAGAAACAATAGAGGGTAAGAAAAGAAAAGATTAGACCTTTTTTTCACTCACTTTTTTTTTTATTTTATTTTATTAGACGTACATTCAATATATGTTGTCCTTATACTTCAAGAGACGAAATGACCACATCCATTAAGAAAAATATACAACTGATAGAGGAAGAAAAATTGAAATTAGAGTAAGAAAAAAAAAAGATTGATCAAAATGAAAGATGAACGCAGTGAATTGATTTTTTTTTTTTTTTTTTGTATTCTAGGGATATCAATCAAGAGACGATAGAACAACAACTGTTTACATCGACATCATACCCATTGGATATTCTTGTACGAACTTCAGGGGAAATCCGTCTCAGTGACTTTCTGTTATATCAAGCAAGTCAAGGTTGTCAAGTACATTTCATTGATTGTTATTGGCCTGAATTCTCACTCTGGAAGTTCTTACCGATTCTGTTGGAATATCAAATCTATTACGATTATATGCGAAAATGATCATAACTATTAGTTTAGTTTAGTTTAGTTATAGTCATATCTTCTTTGTAAATAAAATTATTACTACTGATCAATTTAACGTGAATAAATTGTATCAAATTGGAACAGCGAATTCGGCCAGTCAAAAAAAAAAAAAAACATCGTTCTACTTTTTTTTTTTTGTTTTGATTATTTTATCTTTTTCACTTCCACACTTTTTCTTTTTTTGTCACTCTTTGTTCGGACAGTATAGTTTTGAAAGTAATCTTGGAACCAGGCTTTCAATAAATATACGTACAACATTACTGTCCTTACAACCGTAATTGAAAAAAAGACATATCTCTGCTCTCTTGAATGTAAGTTGGAATAATAATAAAATAAAAATAAAACAAACTGATTTTAAAAAGGTACTGATTATCCTCGGTGTTTTACCTTTTTTTTTTTTTTTTAGATTACACTGATGAACAAACAAAGTACTGCAAATGTATGGTCTGCAGCTCAAATATGTCAACATTTCTGGGTGGAAAGCAATTTGACTCGACTACAGATTCGGCAAAGAACACTTCAATTCTATAGATCTTCTTCACGACGTGTTTGTACTACAGCGATCTGTCAACAACAACAACAACAATATACATGTCCCATACCCAAAAGACGACATGGTTTACCCACCGCCACTACACGACAATGGTCTCAACAGGAACATTATCGTCGTTCATTAACCACACGATCTTACTCTTCCATTCATCCTCAAACAACTATCGATACTTCACACAATAGAAAGATATCGACAACTGATACCAACTTGATGACTGGCCAACAACAAATGACACCATCATCTAGTCGGACAATATTATCTGCAGCTTTGGAACAGTCTGATGCATCGACAGCACAATCCTTGTTGAATATTACATTGCAACTATTACGACGTCGTGATCCACAACTTGCTTGGGAATGTTATACCGATCTAGCCTCCAGAGATTTATTACGATATGTAACCTTAGATCAATTCAAGCAACTTATCAAGCAATTCAATCATCATAGCAAACACGTTCAAGGATTGGAATATGTTTTGACATTAGTAGAAGATATGAAGCATTTAGGTTTCCAAGTGGCTCGGAAGGAAAAATTAATAGTGATGCGACTCTTGGGGATGAATGGGAAACTAAGAGAAATGGAAAAAGTATTTGAAGATCTTGGAGCTGACGATTTGGACAACAAGGAGCAAATATTATTGGCACTGGACGCTAGTAATTCGACAAGCAACAAGAACAACAATACTAACATTAGTAATGATATTCAGAAACCATACAATATTATGTTAAGCTCTTATCAAGAACATGTTTCAACTATTGGTACCATGTTGGTGGCACAGAAATCAATGGATATATATGGGGATATGTTAGACCTTGGTATTCGACCATCAGGTGCGGCAACTCGAGTATTGATGGAAAATATTCGACTTGGAGGACATACGGATAACATAGCTGAACTTGTATGGGATTGGTTTTGGAACAAGATTGGATTGAACGTTGGAGGCAAAACTAGGGACTTGGAACCATCTTTATATCGAGAAATGGTGATCTATTTTACGAGTGCTGGTCGGCCCGAATATGCTCTGGAAATCAATGATATCATGACCAAGAAGAACATGGCCAAGGATCGACGTATGATGACAGCTTTAATTCACAAGGTGGGTCGTGCAGGTGACATCAACAAATCCATGGCTTTATTGAATGACATGATGAAAGTGGATCAAATGGAACCAGATAATATTACTTTTAATGCTCTGATCGATATTTATACTCACAAGAAACCTAAACCTGATTTTGCCGGTGTCAGTCGAATGTATTCTATGATGTTGGATATTGGACTGGAACCTGATATTTATACCTACGGCACCTTGATCAATATGTTTGGAAAAGAAGGGGATTTGACAATGGTACATCGACTTTATAAGGATTTGAAATCAAGAAATATTGCACCTTCACCACATATCTATTCCGCTTTGATTGAATGCTTTATCAATAATGATGATCAACACTCGGCTTTGGATGTTTTACGGATATTACATCAGAACACTTCTCAATTCGACAACCAAGTCCAACCCAACAAGGTGATGTACAACATTTTGATCAAATCATACGTTGATAAACATGAATTACGCCATGCGTTTACTTTGATCGACTTGCTCAAGAAAGCTGACCTGATGATGGATGCTAGAACATTTACACCTGTGCTCTCTTATTATGCTGATCGTGGAAATATCAAGGAGATTCGGAAAGTGATGGACAAGATGGAAGCTTATCAAGTCGAAGGCAATGCATTTACATATACATCTCTTTTGCATGCATATTCCAAAGCTGGTGATATGGAGACGGCCGAGCAACTATTTAAAGAATACAAGCGACGATGGCGACCCAATGGACATACTTTTAATGCTCTTTTGTATGTATATATTAAGAAGAACGAAATCGACAAGGTATTTGGAACATACAAACAGATGCTCAAGACATTCATTAAAATGACGGAACATACCTATGGCCTCTTGATGTATTTCTACTCTCAACGACGGGAACCAAAAGCAGTCGAAGCTCTGATGAAAACGATGCAAGCCAATGAAATTACACCTGGAGCTATCTGCTGGAGTATTTTGATGCAAAGTTACTTTAGAACAGGACGATCAACTGAAGCCAGACAAGTCATGGAACAAATGGTGTCAGCTGGGACAGAACCTACTTGGATTACATGGACGACACTCATCAATGGACTTGTACAAGAAGGTGAATTGGATTTAGCTGAATCTGTGATGCAAAAGACATTGGAACGACAAAAAAAGAAACAAGAGGCTCAACTCGATGATATACAACAATATTTCGGTGGATATGCAAAACTAGCCAATATCGATCTGAACAGCAAAAGCCGCTCTTTATTATCAGATGATCAAGCCTATACCCAACAGTTACCTACAACCATCGAAGATTTATTGGAGCAACGACAACAACAATATTCCGGACGCAAACCTTTCATTCCCCCTGGTCATCTTTTTACACCGTTGATTCGTGGTTATACTCGCAATGGACAATTCGACAAGGCTCGTGCTATTTTCAACATGATGCATCAAGCAGGAACACCAGTCAATCAAACCATCTATTCAACTTTGATGAAATTGTATCAACATGAACAACGTTACGATATTGTGGAAAATATGTGGCAAGCTTTACGGAACCGTTCTCAATCAGCATCCTCTCCTACGCATATTTTTCTGGATGGTATAGGTGATATTGCGTTACCTATTTGGCAGCTTGATGATACAGATGATGAAGAAACGCAACTTCTTTTGGATATCAACAATAGTAATATATCTGATTCTGACACTCTTACTAGTGATGATATGGATGATGATGATATCAAGCAAACATTACCATCACCGTTTATACTATCAACCTATATGGATTCTTTGATGGCACAGGGGCGATTTGATGATATTTGCACATTATGGAATACTTTGGAACAAGAAGCTTATCCATTTGATGAACAAAATTGGAATCGATACTCTGTGTCTTTGGTTAGCAAGGGTGACTTGATGGAAGCCTGTCATGTCGTGCACAAACGTGTTTTGGAGGCCAGCGATGAAGATGTCAAGAAAAACGTACGACCTCGTGATCAATCCTATTTCTTTTCGGACACTACTGGAAATCATCTTCATTTACATCGTAGGACATGTCTTGTATTTGCTGATGCTTTTGATATTCCTGGTCATACTGGTATGGGGAGTAAACGGTTACGTTCTTTGGTGGTAGAAAAAATCAATTTTTTGGTCAAGGAACAACAAAAAACAACAAATTTAGAATAGATGACTCTCTCCTTTTGTTTTACATTTTGCTAAATTGTACATATTTTTATTGAATCCCATTCCATATAATAAAACAATATTATTTATTTAGACTTTTTTTTTTTTTTATTATGTAACATAATTTGATTGTATCAATCGAAGAATAATGGATAATAAGCAAAGATGATTCTGTGTTGTTGTTTTTTTATTTATTTATTCAAGATGATAATAATAATAAAAAGGACAAGATAAATAAAAAAGTAAAAGCAAACTAATCTAATCACCAAGTTTATCGAGTTTTGTTCAAAGTATGGGTAGTAGCAACGAGTTTCTGGCTGATGGGATCGACCTTGGTATTGAGTTTTCCAAGTTTGGCATTCTGGCTTGACAATTCATCATTCATGGTAACAGCCATATTCTTCAAACGAGCAGTAGCATCCCCAAGTAAATCCAAGTTTTGATCGATTTCATCTTCCACGGCATCATCCTCTTCATCTTGTTCAAATTGATAACGACGACGATCGGCTTCAGAGCGGCCACGACGATATCCACCATTGGAGGATCCACGTTCGTTACGACGATTGGCTTGGTCAATACGTGCACTGGATTCATATTCAAATTGGCGAATATCTTCCCTTTCATTCATATGTTCAGCATGATCATTCTGTAACTTTTCAATTTCACGACGTTGACGAGCACCTTTGTTGAATGGATTCTTCACCACTGGAATAAAGATCGATCGGTTCAATTGCTTGAGTTCATCCGCTTGCGACGATGCCCGGTCAGAATGAGCCTTGGCCAGATCAAGATTACGGCTCACATTGGCAATTTGTGCTAAAAATAAAATAAAAAAAAAATTCAGGATTAAATATCTAATATATATATATATATATATATATCTAGTGTTATGGACTTACTTGATTGAGTTCCAAGTTGATTCATTGATTGAGCAGCACTTTGTTCAGCTTCACCAATTTTCTGAAGAGCATTACGAGTACTTTGTAAAGATTCTTGTTTGATGTCTCTAATTTGTTTCTTGATGCCACCGACTTCTTCATCTTCATCTTGTTCACCATAACGACTCTTGGATCGACCGTAAGCATCTTCCTGTCCTTGTGAGTCATATTGTTGTTGTTGAGGGCGTCGAGGTGAACCAAATAAATCATCACGGTCTTGTTCATGAGTTCGTTGGCCATATCGACCACCATCATTATCGTTGTTGTTACTATATCTGCTGCCTCCATAAGATGGTTGACTGTTGTAACCTGCAGAACTACCACTGGAGTAAGAAGGAGTAGACGAGAGTTGAGGAGTAGATTGTTCGAATGGGTTAGTTGATGTAGAGGAAGAATCTTTATCCTTCTTTTTCCAGAACATGATGTGATGATATATAAGTAATAAATAAAAGAAAAGAAAAAGGAAATGATATTTTTGTACAAAAGAAACGAGAAAGCTTTTTAACCACCGATCATGAATGAATTTCATTGGCAGTGATCTATTTTTGACTTTTTGAGCTGCTTTGCCCTTTTTTTTTCCTTCTCTTCTTCTCCTCCCTTCAAAATCCTTTTTAGTACCAGAAGGCAGTTCACCATATATGGTTACATACACACTACACAATGGGAACACTATGCCTGCTCTTGGATGTAAGCTAATCAATAAAATAAATAAATAAAGATACACCATATATCTATTGAATGCTAATATACTTTTTTTTTTTTTTTTTTTTATGTAGTGGGCACTTACAGAATGAAAACAGTGGAGGAATTACGACCTGTCATAAATCAAGCTATTCGGTCTGGCTATAGACTAATAGGTATAACTTTTGGCTATTCAAAATTAGACTCTTTCATTTCTCATTATTTTTCTATTCGTTTTTATTCTAGATTCTGCTACTGTTTACAAGAATGAGGCTGCCATTGGTTCTGTTTTGAAAGATATCTTTGCTGATCCTTCTTTTGGAATTCAACGACAAGATGTCTTTATCACCTCTAAACTATGTATATATATAATTATTGTTTTTTATTAACTATCTCATATTAACTTTTCTTTTCTTTTTTTTTTATTTTGATATAGCACCGCAACACCAGGGATATGAGAAATGTTATCAAGGTAAATAATGACAGAGGAAGTTTGAGTATTACAGCTTGCGCTTATTCCCTCTTATTTTTTTTTTTTTTTATGAAGCTGTCCTGGATTCACTCGAGCGATTTGGGTTGGATTATCTAGATCTTTACTTGATTCATTGGCCAGGGTAAAGGGAAAAAAAGAGAGCGGTGGGAAGTAATGATTCAGATAAAATAATTAATATATTCTGTTTTATCTTCTCTCCTTCATCTAGTACATCAAAAACCAAGTTATCCGATCCTGTGAATCAACAAAATCGTATGGCTAGTTATCGTGCATTAGAGCAGCTTTACAAAGAAGGCAAAATTCGACATATTGGGGTCTCGAATTATACAACAGCTCATTTACAACATCTCTTGGATCATTGTACCGTTATTCCTCATATCCATCAATTTGAACTGCATCCATGTCTTTATCAACCTTCTCTTTTACAACTCTGCAACCAACATCAGATTCAAATCCAAGCATACTCAAGTCTAGGTGAAGGCAAATTGATTGATGGCACAGTATGTATAGACGGCTTGAAAGACATTGCGGCAGCTCATCATACCTCTGAACCAACTGTACTCTTACGCTGGGCTCTTCAACATCAATGGGCTATCATCCCAAAATCAACATCACCACAACGGGTTCAAAACAATGCTATGGTTTGGAATCTTAATTTATCATCTCAGGTAAGTGATGCAAAAAGAGAATGGTACCTTGATATCATCCTTTTTTTTTTTTTTAATCCGTTTTATTTTATTTAATAAAGGAAATGGAACAACTGGATCAAGTACATCAATCTCAATCTTATCGGTTTTGCTGGGATCCCTCTGATATTTACTAGTTAGAATACCACCATGTATATTATTAGTTTTTGTTTTTTTATATAATAAACATTTTTAATTTTCTTTTTTTTTTTTAAAAAAAAAATGTGTATGATTGATTTTTTTTTATTTGTGAAAGAGATACGTTTTTGTATCGTTCATCTGGAACTTGATGGTGGCATTACACTTTGCTAATAGAGAATGGCGTCATAAGTTCGGGAGTAGGTTATCCATGCAATGAGAGATGACGATTGTACGAATCGAAACAAAACAAAATAAAACAAGGAAAAAGACAGAAAACAAATTTAAATGGATAAGTATGGATGATTGTAGTAGGGTGAGTCCAAAAGAGACAAGTCGAAGAGGATTGTATAACTGATCAGTGAAGTATGTGATAAAAGACAATGGAAGGAAAAATCATAAATATACATCAACATCAAATAGTCCACAAACATATTGTATACAATTGTTTTATTGTTGGTGATATGAATAAAATTGGTAAGGAAGGTGAAAGTAATAATCTAATAATTTACAACATTCTTGATAGCATCATAGCATCGGATCATACTGGGCATATAAAACTTCTCAAATACCAAAGGGAAGGGGGTATCCCAACCACATACCCTTTCAACTAGATAAATAAACCAAAAAAAAAAAAAAAAAAAAAGAATTAGATGATGACTCTTATTTTTTTTTTTTTTGTTCCTTTTTTCTTTTGAATCATACCAGGAGCTTCCAATCGTAAGAAACAATTTTCCATCACAGTAGAAGCAATTTCAGCACCTACACCAGCCGTTTTTGGAGCTTCATGAGCAATCACTAATCGTCCAGTTTTGTTGACAGATTCCACCACAGTTTCCACATCCCAAGGTAAAATGGTACGCAAGTCGATAAGTTCACAGCTAAGTCCAGGCATCTTCTTTTCTGCCAATTGAATTGCATTTTCTAGAGCATATATCTGAGATCCATATCCTAATACAGTGACGTCTGTACCTTTCTTGAGTATTTCAGCTTTGCCTAAGGGCAATTCATAATCTTCCACAGGCACTTCTTCCACTAGATAATAAAAAAAAGAGGGAGTGTAAGTCAATTCGAAAACAAAGAGGATGATAGATTATTTTCTCTTACCAGCTGCACGATAGAGGCATTTTGGTTCGAAAAAGATAACAGGATTACGATCACGTATAGATGCCAGTAGTAAACCTTTTGCTTGAATGGGACTTCTTGGTGTCACAACCTATAAAAAAAAAAGAGACCGTGAGAAAAAGGAAATAAGTTAAAACTCCATCTTGTAAGCATAAGTATTACCTTTAAACCTGGACAATGAGCAAAGAAACCTTCAGGGCTTTGAGAATGATAATGTCCACCATGACCAACAGCTGAACAAGGAGCGCGAATCGTCATACCACCTACGTTAAACTGATTTCCTGATCTATATCTGAATTTTGCAGCTTCATTGACAAGCTAACCACAAAAAAAAAAAAAAAAAAAAAAGGAAGAATGATATGAGATAAGAGTAATTTTCAACTGATAATGGGACCTACTTGATCAAAAGCTGGAAAGATGTAATCCGCGAATTGAATTTCAGCAATGGCAGTATGACCAACAGAGGCCATACCAACAGCAAATCCAGCAATACCTTGTTCTGTCAATGGTGTGTTAAATACACGATCACGTCCAAACTTTTCTACCAAACCAGAAGTAGCTCTGAATACACCACCAAATGAGACATCTTCACCGAATACAACTAAAAATAAATAAATAGAGAATATAGACAGTAAGAGTCAATACAGTACATAGTTTATTCTCTCTTTTCATTTATTACCAGCAGTATCATCGGTCGTCATTGCAATAGACATGGCATCATTGACAGCTTGGAATAGATTCATTTTCTTTGTTTCACCTTGAAAAAAAATAATAAGTATTGAGGATTCTTTTTTTTTTTTTTTTTTTAGCTTACTGTTGAGAGCACTCATCCGAGCCAGCTCGGGAGTACGAAATGCTTCTTCAGGAGCTCTTTTCAATAGTTTTGAATAGGCAACACCTTGTTGGATACCATCGTTAGTTTGAGCAGCAGCGGAAGCAGCATAGTATCGTTGTTGGTGCTAAATAAAAATAAGGAATAGAATATTATAGTCGATCAATCGGTTAGAAGAATATAATAGATTACCTGTAATAAAGAAGTGATGCGACGACTTGCGTTACGAAGCATTGTTGTAATATATAATATGAGAAAAAAAGAGAGGGGAGAATGGAAAAGAAAAAGAAAAAGAAATATATAAAAAAATAAGAAGAAAGGGAGAAAAAAGTGGGGAAAAGAGGATGGCCGTGGGAAAAAATGTCAGGTTCAACCAAGTGACTGACATTTTCAACAACCGAGTTTTTGTTCATGCTCATAAGCATTAAGGGAAAACGATAGAAAATGTAATCTTTGGAAAATCTATACTTTCAGGTGTAACGATATGATGATGATGAAGATTAATAAGTATCAAGATGAATAGTATGTTGAATAACCATATATGAAATAATAGAGATGAATGATACAGTTTATTGAAGATATGTTACAGTTTTGATTTTCTAATATAAATATAAATATATATATATAAAAGAGGAATAAAAGGTGGGTTACCTGCTACCACCAAAATATAGTTATATTAAGTCAAAAAGAAACTATACTACACAGGATGTTTTTTTTAAAAAAAACAAACAAATGGGTTCCCTGCAACAACCATTTCCGCATAATCAGATCGACCAGTCCATCATATACAAAGGTACAATAATCTATCTAACATGTTAAAAAAAAAAGAGAGAGAGAAAAAAAAAAACACATCATAATAAAACAGTACATCCATCCCCCCTACATCAGTTTTTTTTTTGTTACCAATAGTGGGTTTGCCTGCAACCACTACGACCAAAAAAGATGGATTTAAACAATAGGCCATTTAGGATGACCCTTGATACCAGCACGGGAGTACATAGCATCAGCATAATCACGAGCATCCTTCATGACTTGTTGTTCGTCCATAGTCAGCAACTTGCCTTTTTCAACTACCATACGACCATCCACCACTACAGTTTCCACTTCTCCTCCAGTAGCGGTATATACCTAAAATATATATATAAGAGTCAACATATATATCTTTATTATTATTATTTTCATCTTACCAAAGTCGAGATGGGATTGGGATTGGGAGTAGTATGAAGTTTACTTTCAAAGTCCAAAACAACAAAATCAGCTTTCTTGCCTTTTTCCAAAGATCCAATTTCATTTTCAAGTCCAAGAGCTTTTGCACCATTAATAGTAGCCATTTCAAGAACAGTTTCGGCAGACATAGTCAAAGGATCACAAGAGACAGCTTTATGAATCTTGGCTGCCAAATTCATTTCACGTACCATATCTATGATTTTAAAAATAATAAGTATAATTTCTATATATAATCCTTTTTTTTTTTTTTTTTTTTTTTTTACCATAAGCATTAGATGATGGACCACCATCTGTACCAAGTCCAACATTGACATTTGCATTCAAAAGCTTGGGAATAGGAGCAACACCAGAAGCCAATTTTGAATTAGAAGAAGGATTGTGAGACACATGAGTTCCAGAATCAGCCAAAAGTTTATAATCCTTTTCATCCAACCAGATCATATGAACAAGTACCGTCTTATCACTGAGTAAACCAACATGTTCACAGAATTCACAAGGTGTCATTCCATGGTTGTCCCGATAGTGTACCAAATCAGCATGGACTTCAGCGCAATGCATAGTAATACGGATATCACGTTCACGACTCAATGCAGTCATTTCCTTGAGTAATTCAGTACTAACACCAGGAGGAGTACGGGACCCGAACCAGACATCTAATAATAATAATCAATGTTAAAATAAGATCATCAATAAAATATCATTCACTTACGAATACGATCATCTGCTTTGCCATGCCATTTCTTATGCATTTCAAGAGCTCCCAAAAGACTCTGTTCACGAGTTTCTATAAGACCAGGATGCATAGACCAAGCCGATTGAGAAGCATACTTGCCAACATCCATGACAATTTTACCCAAACAGCCACGAATACCAGATTCTTCCACAGCCTTTGCAATTCCATCAAAACCGTACCTATCCGCACACATGGCTTCCAAAAAACAAGTGGTACCAGATTTAAGCATCTCAGCAATACAAAGACGAGCACTACCATAGGCTTCTTGAGCAGTCATGGTACCTTGAAGTACCCACACCGTTTCACATAACCATTGAATCAATTCACAATCATCTCCAGAACCTCGGAGTAAAGCTTGTGCCAAATGGACATGAGTATTGATAAGACCAGGAATCACCATCTTGTTTTCCAAATCATAAGTAGCTTCATCAGGATATTGTTCCTTGAGAACCACCGTCTTGCCAACCTCAACTAGACGATTGCCTTGCACAAGTAAAGCACCATCCTTGATAATTTCACGTTTAGCATTCATCGTGACAATCAAACCATTGATATAAAGCATTTTGGTTATTCTGAATAAAAAAAAAAAATAAAAATAAAATAAAAAAGAAAAAGAAGAAAAAAAAAATAAAGTGAGAACAATTGAATTTATACACACAAGTAACTTTTTTTTTAAAACAGCGCTTGATAAACTCATATACAGGGAGAGGCGATAAACCATAATTCTGTATCGATTATACCTTCTATTTTTCTCACGTTTTTAATGACCAGATAGATTAAAGATGACAATGATGATAAGCTCTATGAAGATTCTATGATATCCTTGATGATGGCTCTAGAAAATCATGATTTTCTTATAATTATAACACTGGTATAATTTCATTCCTATCATTCACATGATACTTTTCACTTTTATTTTTTTCAAGTTGACAACAGTATAATTCGAAATAATCAATGCAAATTATCAGAGCAAAAACTTGAATTTTTGCGGTCGAAAATATCGCGCTAATGAGGATGATTGATGATCCTTTTTTTTTTATTAATACTCTATCAATACAATGATAGTCTATAAATTTCAAAAGATAAATTCCAAGAAAATGATTTGTTCTATGTTCTGTTCAATTTTGATGCGATGATGATGACTTTTGAGCGAGAAAGGGAAAGGCAAAGTTTTCTGTAAGCTTATATGCAGGATGAAAAAATGGGATCAGTTTTTGGATTTTACAGCCAAAATTTTCGAACTCCTCAGCCAAACTTTGGCTGTAAAAATAAATCGTCGAGGGTACATCAGGCATTTTTTCGAAATATTGATGAAATCTTTTTGGTATTTATTGCACATTAGCTGGCAAGATAAGTGATAAAATGGAATTAGATGATATTAAACTACTTTTTTGAGAGGAATCCAATGGTATAATTTTATTGAATGATGATCATTATTGGATGAGGGATGACTGAATTGACTCTTATTTTTTAATTTACTCTACAAACTGAGAGGTAAGGTATAAGTTGTTATTAAGGAAAGTGAAAGAAAATGATTTCATCGTTGTTCCTTCTAGAGTTTGTACGATGATGATGATTTTTGAGCGAGTTACAAAAGAATAAAAGAGGTACATGTCTACTTCATTTGATGTCATAGTACAATCCACAATCGCGGGATTGGAAAGTATTTTTTTTTTTTTTTTTTTGAAGAAAAAACGCCACTTTTGAATTTTTTTTTTTTTCACTTGAACCTTTTTTCTTTTTTTGTTTATGCTACTTTTAAAAGAAATAGGTGGCAGATCTAGTTGGTATCGATATCGTTTCTTACATTCTATTATCAAGTCACAAAAGAATATTCGAACTATGTCTACATTTTTACGGTTTTTAGGTCATTCCACTCCAGAAGGCCCAGCAACCATTATATATCAAAACGGTAACGATCATTACATGTTCAACTGTCGAGAAGGAACTCAACGTTTAGCTGTGGAGGATAAAGTGAAGCTCTCAAAATTGAAAAGTATCTTCTTTTCACGTTTACAATGGGAATGCATTGGCGGTTTACCTGGTAAGTTCAATAGTTATTGTTTTCTTTTGCATAACTAATTTGTTCATGATTTACTTTTTTTATACTGACATTCTTTTTTCATTGTTTGTTTTTATAAAGGTATGTTATTGACATTAGCAGATGCTGGTATTCAAAATCTAGATCTTTATGGTGGCAAAAATTTGACTCATTTTATGGCATCCACTCGAAACTTTGTTTATCGGTAAGTGTATCTAAACATTTGGAAAGTTTACTTCGCAAGATCACTAACGTTGAATGAATTTTATGCAAAAAAAAAAAAAAATGATAGGACATCTATGACTGTACAAACGCACGAATTCAACAAAGGTGAACAAGACGAATTACATTATGTTCAAACGTACAAAGACAATTCACTCAAGGTCATCCCTGTGATTGCTTTACCGAAGCATCGACAACATTATAGTGGAGTCAAACGACGTCGCAGTATTTCACCCTCTTCGATACCATCAGCTTCAGAATCATCCCCATCATCAATGTCATCATCATCAGATTACGTGCCATCAGATAACTCTTTTTCAGAAGAGCCATCCATGGAATCAGCGCATCAACATCGATCTCGTATTCTATCTTATATGTTTAGTAATAACAAAAAAAACCAACACAAGTCGAAAAAAAATGGCAAGGATACTCTTTCTCCAGAGCACACCATCGACTCACCGTGTACACCTCGAAAACATCCTCTTTCCAATGTATCATCATCACCAGAGGCAGTAGTTGAATTTGTGAAACAAGATGAAAATGGTCCTTCCCAAACAACTATCACTTCTCTTCAACAAAACAATCAAAATCGTTTCCAATCACAGATCGATCAATTATACGATAGAACATTACCAAGAACCAAGCCTTATCCTGCAGCAATCTCATATATCTGTCAAGGTCCTGAAACTCGTGGCAAATTCCGTGTTGACAAAGCTCTTGAACTTGGTGTTCCAAAGGGCCCTCTTTTTGGTAAATATTTATGAGCAATAACAGAAGAAAAAAAAAAAAAAGAGGATGATATTTACCATATATGGTTGACTTTTTTTTTTATACAGGAAAATTACAAAGAGGGGAAACAGTGACATTGGAAGATGGTACAGTCGTGACGAAAACTCAAGTATGTGAACCAAATATACCGGGTCCCATCTTTATGGTAATTGATTGCCCTGACATACGTTATATTGACGATCTGGTTTCTTCACCCAAATTCACGCCTTATCAATCGATGACGGATACTCAAAATATACCCAAGGTAATCATCCATCTGGTAAATAATAAGGTGCTAGCAAACGCAAAATATCAAGAATGGATGAATACATTTAGTCCAGAAACAGAGGTAAGGAGGAAAAAAAAGAAAGAGCTATTTTTTTTAATACTAAAGGATCTCTTTATTTATAGCATATAATTAGCAATCAAGATGTATGTGCCCAAACAACACTCTTTCGTAGTCATGCTCTTAGTCAATATAAACTATCGAAATTGGATGCCAATATTTTCCAAGTACCTGAATACAATAACACACCAAACTGCACGTTAGACAAATGTAAGTTGAAAAGACAAAATTTGAATAAAAAAAAGAGATTGAAAGTGGCTTATATATATATATATATTATTTTAGTTGACAATTTGCCACCCAAAGTATCACCATTGATGAACAAAGCCGTGTACAACCTGATAGACACTCGAAAAGCCAAAATAAAAGGAATGCAATTAGATTCAACTCAACCGTTTGATGTGGATCAACCAAATGATGATCCTAAAATGCTAGAATTCAATGAAAACAAAGATTATCAACAAGCTATTGAAGAAGCCAAGAAAGCTGCTGAACTTGTGCCACTTGGAGTTCCTTTCCCTGGTGATGATGTTCAAGTGATCACTCTTGGTACTGGAAGTTCTTTACCTTCAAAATATAGAAATGGTAGGGAAAATTAAAAAAAGTCATCTTAATTTGCGTTTGTTGTTTAATTATTTTTTTTTTTTTTTTTAGTTAGTGCAACGTTGATCAAAATTCCTCAATTTGGGTCTGTGTTATTGGATGCTGGTGAAGGTACTTATGGACAAATGTTGCGTCACTTTGGTCGAGACCGATTACCTCAAGAATTAAAAGATCTTCGGTGCATCTTTGTATCTCATCTTCATGCTGATCATCATCTTGGAATATTTCAATTATTGATCAAAAGAAAAGAGGTAATAAAAAAAAAAAAAGGAGAGAATAAAGGAGGGATTTATCGGTGATTTGATCTTTTTTGTATGATAGGCCCGACAAAATGGTGCACCACTGTTTTTAATTGCACCATATATTTATCAACGTTGGATGCTGGAATACAACAATGTGGAACATCTGGATTCACCAAACCATATTCGATTTATTCGTTGCAATCATATACTCTCAGAAACATCCAAATCAAACGCCGTCGTATCTGAACAATCGTTAAAAAAGTAAATCCACGAAAATAAAAAAAAGAATAGAAAGAGTGATATTGATTTTTTTTTTCTTTAGTGTTGAATCGTTGAAGAAGACTTTAGGATTATCTGAAATCAACTCTATTGATGTTGTGCATTGTCGTTTGGCTTATGGATTATCATTGAAACATATGACAGGATGGAAATTAGTGTAAGTTGTTATATATATATATTGGATAGATTGATTGAAATATTTTTGTATGGGTTTATAAAAAAAAAGGTATTCGGGGGATACAAGACCTTGCGATCGATTGATAGAAGCTGGACAAAACGCCACTTTATTGATTCATGAAGCAACGTTAGAAGATGGAATGAAAGAGGAAGCTATAGCTAAACGACATAGTACAACAGCTGAAGCAGTAGAAGTTGGAGAAAAGTAAGTAAAAAAGAAAAAGAAATATATATATATATCTATAACATATCTTTGTTTATTTGTTGTCAGGATGAAGGCTCGTTACACATTATTGAATCATTTTAGCCAGCGGTATGCCAAAGTTCCAACACTCTCGGAAGCACAAACCAATGTCTGTATTAGTTTTGACATGATGTCAGTACCTATCAAGCAAATCCCTCAATTACCCAAGTTTACAAATGCTATGCAATTGATATTCAAGGATGAAGAAGAAGAAGAAGAAGATGAAATGAATTTATCAAAGAATTAGAATTAGTTTACTCATACCGTTTAGAAATAATAATAATAAAAAAAGTATTTTTTTTTATGATGCCTTTGCATTCCATGTCACATGTCCTCTGCTCCCCTAAAATTTTTTTCTCTTTCTTTTTTTCATGGTCCGGTTCAATCTTTGCCTTTTCTGTGTGATGATAACAAAAAAAAAAAAAAAAAAAAAACTTTTGAAACGCTAAAAAGACACACACAAAAAAAAAGTTTTTTTTTCTTTTCTTTTCTCTTTATTATTTTTTTTTCTCTCTCTTTTTCTCACTCTTTTTTTTTTCTGTTTTTTTTTTACATATATTTACATTATGGATACCATTACTACTGAATTTGAACATAAAGTAGAAACAACTCAAACTACTGAAGTTCAATCACCTTCTGAACCCATTCGTAAGTAAATTGATAAGATACTTTTTATTATTATTTATTTATTCTTATTTCGTAATCACTTTATTGCCATTCTAGCTACTCCTCGTAAGACCGAAGAAGTACCTAAAGTGACCAACCCTGTTCCTACCCAAACTAACGGTCTTGCCAAGAATACCTTGTATCAATCACCCAATATCAAGTTTGAAGACGGTAATAAAAAAAAAAAGAAGAGAAAAAAAAAAAGAGGAAAAGCGCGTATCCACGATAGTGTATACTTTTTTTTTTTTTGTTATCTCCTTATTCCAAAGACGAAACATTTCTCTTTTTATATATATTGATTACTTATTTTTTTTTTTACCCTTTTTTTATTATTATTATTATTTCATTTAGATCCTGCAGCATATATCAAGGCACGTATTTCATCTCTCATTTATTGGGAACATCCTCGACGTAGTGCTACTTATCTTGGTGTCTCCCTTAGTGTATTGATTTTGACTCAATATTACTCCTTGTTACAAATCTTGGCTTGTTTCTTTACTCTTGCTACCGGTGCCAATTGGATTTATGTCAATACTCACAAACAAACTCAAAGGATTATTGCTGGAAAATCAGGTGAAGATATCAAGAATCCTCACAGGTAAATCATAATAATAATAAGAAAAGGAATACAAGTACAGTTGTATAGTATAGTATTTAGCTGACTTTTTTTTTTTTATTTTTATCTTTGTAGTGAACGACTTCGAACCAAAGGCGCGATGATTTCTCGTGACCGTGTGACGTATGCAGCTCAACTATCAGTGGATGTATTTGAAGTGATTGCACAACAAGTGACAAGATTGATTTTGATTGAAGACAATACGCAATCCGCTGTGGCAATAGCTGCTTCTTTCTCTATTTGGACTTTGGCCAAGCATATTTCCACCAAATACCTTGTTGGCTTCTTTTTGGTTAGTGCCTTCACCTTCCCTCGCTTATACCTTCAACATCAAGAAGTCATCGATGCTCATGTAGCTCAACATAGTGAAAAGGCTCGTATTTTGGCAAGACAATATGGTGGTGTTGCTTCTACTAAGGCTCAAGAATTGTATGATCAAGCATGGGCGGCTATCAAGAAACAACCCAAGTCTCAAAAGGCCGAATAAGGTATCTCCTTTTTTTTTTTATTTACAATTAGTTTGTGTGTGTATATGTGTCTTTAGTTAGTATGCTCGTAGTTGATTATATACTTTTTATATATTGCATCCCTCCTTTTTTTTTTTTTCTTTCTTTCTTTTCTCCCTTCTTCCCACACGAACACAATTCATCCTTTTAGTTAGCAATATTATATATATATCTTCGTGCTCAAATAAAAATGACTTTTTTTTTCCAGATTTTCATGTGACAGTGAAGGATAATGTGGGTATGTTTGTTATGGTAGTTACTAAACTCTAAAACAAAAATAAAAGGTAAGGGCATCATCGTTTGTAAACAATATTTCTCGAGTATATCCACTAGGATAGTTTTGTCTTTATGAGATTTCATATATATATAAACAAAGAATAAAATTTATATTGACAACAAATATAGATGATGATCTTTTTTTTTTTCCTTGGCATCACCTATTTTTTTTTTTTTTTTTTTGAGGACTACCGTAGACCAAACAAAATCGTATGAGCTTCTAACAAATAAATGAACATTCATGCAAGCCGGGAAACTCCGAATGATGAATATGGCTCTATTCCAAATCATCCAATCCCCCCAACTAAGGGTTCTTTTTTTTTTTTTTTTTTTTTTTGGCTTTATTGGATCATCAGAAAAAAAAAAAAAACTCATCCGAGGCAATTTGAGATATCCACCGAGTATTTTCAATCTATGACAATAATAACGCGGTTCCTTTTTCAGTATGTATATACCAAAAAAAAAAAAGAGCCTAGTTGATCTTTTATCAACATCATTCATATCGTCAACGACAGTATCGGTAAATACAACTGTATCATGATACAAAGTCAAAAGGCTTCAGAAAAATATGGCCGTACATATATAAAAAGAGGTACTTCTCAATGACAAAAAAAAAAAGTTTCCTTCTTCCTTATCAATTTTCTGAAATCATCCCTTTTGTTGATACAACACACAGACAACGCACACATATATACAATATGCGTACGAATCGAGTTCTTTCCCTCCTTGCCGTGATCGCTCTTGTAGTCTCAGGTTAAAAAAAAAAAAAAAAAGAGAGAGACAGAGACTTCTAAATACATTGTCATCCTCATCATTTCCTTTTTTTTTTTTTGATGATTAGCCAAGGCAGCAGAAGATGATGTAGATTATTCAGAGGATGGTCTAGTGGATGCTGATGCAGCAACATTGGTATCAACAACAACCATCACCAAGACATTTTATGGTCAACCCACTACTGCACCTGAAGAAAAACCTGAAAGGGATAATGAAGAACAAGAAGAAGAAGAATTATTAGATGAAGAGAATGGTGATCAAGAAAAGAAAAAAGACAGACCTCGTAAAGAAAAGCATGATGGTGATTTTTTTGAACCTCCTGAACCTTCCTACACAACCGTCACCACTACATCATATACTGCCACACGCACAAAGAAACCTAAGCATGATAAGACTCGTACTACCACAAAGACATATCAAGCGTCCCCCACAAGTGAAAATAAGAAACCAACTCCCCAACCTACTAATAATCCTCCTGCCACATCGTCCAAATCATCATCATCATCATCATCATCCAAATCATCATCATCGTCATCATCATCATCAAGCCGTCCATCCGATATGAAAAAGGTGCCTAGTAGTTCCTCTTCAATGAGCGTGAGTGTGACCAATAGTGGCAGTAGTCGTACACCTCGTCCTTTGAGTAACAGTCTCAATGCACGTCCACCTTCATCAGCCAATGGTTCACGTGCCATTATTGCTACCACTCCCTCAGCATCACCATCATCATCATTATCTAAGGTATCTTCACTATCTGCATCTATGAAACCCTCTGGTGTGTCATTGAATATGTCATCCTCCCCTACAAACAGTGTTGCCCATCCTACCACGGTCGATACCAATGTCAATAGAAAAATCGGCCCTTCTGCCGTGACCAGTAGTACAAATCATGCTGGTCATATCGTGCCTACTGGTAGTTTGACTTTGGCTTGTATCATGGCATTCATCGCAGCTTTTTAAGTCCATCCTTTTTTTTTTTTTAATCTAATAGTATGTTACATCTTTTTTTTTTTTTTTTGAATATATACATATATAAAAAAGGAGAAAGGCAATCCAGCAAACTAATTATATTAATACTAATAATAATAATAAAAAAAAAAGAGTGGATCACCCTTTCATCCAATCATAATAAAAAAAGACAACAACATGGTATAATGTCTATTTTTAGTCATCGTTGCAAGCCTCCCTTTTGATCTTTTTTTTTTCTTTCTTTCTATATCAGGTTTTTTTTTTTTTTTTAAAAAAAAAAAGAAACCAATCATCCGCTCATTCAAAGCCACTATCTTTTTTTTTTTTGGGTGATGATTTAACGTTTTGGAATGAATGAAAGATAACATAAATGATGATCAACGGAGTAGTCTATAAAAAGTAAAACCCATTTTTTTAAAGACGATCAATACTCCTTCTTTGTCTTGCCTAAAAAAGCACGAGCCATTGAGTCTCCGCATGAATGGGAAAAAACCCATTTCTGTAGATGAACTTTTTTTTTTTATTTTATTCAAAAGGAGGTTTCTTTTTTCTTTAAAGAAGTATATACATAGGATGATGTTTTCTCTCTATCATTTCTGCATTCCAAGAAATAAGGGGAAATGATTTTATAGTGGCGAATCAAAGAGAGAATAAAAAAAAAAAGGAGAGTGGGTATAAAAAAGGTTGCAGAAATCAAAATTTACTTTATTTGGTCTAGCACCAATGGGAAGCGAGGCAAGGATGCATCCTATCCTTTCACAAAAAAAAAAAGACACTTCCATTTTTAGATGATGATGGGATGATAATATAATGATTGGTTTATTTGACAAAAAAAAAAGTATGAATAACATATTGGTACAAAAGAATAATAATAATATAAATAAAAGAAAATGTTGACTACAGTAAAGAAATTATGAAGAATGATACTAATTAACTAAAAAAAAAAAAAAGTAAAGGTCATAAACGTTCCAATTGTTGAGAGATATCATCCTTTGTAAAACCAGCTTCTAACATATTTTTAACCAATTCAGCTTTGGCCTTGATTCGTCTTGTTTTTTCCTTTTCCATCAATAATTGTTCACGTTCCAAACGTTTTTCACGTAAAAAATCCAACATATCTTGTGATCGTTTCATTCGTCCAGCTTCTTTTTCACGAGTGACTTGAATTAAAGAATCTGCCAAGACTTGATAATGTTGTTGTTGATGACGATAATTCGAAGATGACGATGATGATGATTGAGAAGATGATGATGATGATGATGATGAAGATGAAGATCTTCTTCTTTTTGTAGTTTGTTGATGTGATGATTGTTTTTGTGTAGAATCAGTTTTACTAGAATGTTGAAAGGATCGTGGCATAGGTCGTATTACCATAGGTTGAAGTAAAGAAGAAGAAGAAGGTAATAAAGTTGAATGATGATAAGGAGGGTGATGAGAAGTACCATTTTGTTGTTGTTGTTGATATTGTTGATTATTATTATTTTGTTGAAGTAAATTTGTAGAATTTGTAGCAGTACGTAAACTACTATCACTAAGTCTTCTTCGTCGTTTTGAATGTGGATCATGAAGTGTATGATAAAATCGATTTCGAGTGGTGTCATCTAATTGTTCCAAATCTTCATCAGATTCTACTTTGAGTTGTTCATTTTGTTCTAATTGTTCTTCTTCTACACGATGCATGATACTACTGATAGACATAGGCCAAGAAGAAGTACGAGTACCAAACGTTTCATGAAGAGCATCCCAGTAAGGAAACCGTTTAACTAATTCCTCTTTATAAAATAAAAAAAAAAAACAGTAAATACTTTTTGTTTCTTTTTTTTTTTTTTGTACAACCATTTCTTTATTTCTTACCATGTACAGTTTCATCTTCGGCACCAGCATCTCTTAAACGTTTACCTTCAGTATCATTCCATTCACGAGCTGTTCGATAATTACTTTGTAAAGTAGATATCTTACTAGCAATATCTTTAGCTAATCGATGATGTATTCCATGTTCACGCATAGTATCAAGAATATTTTCCAATAATAATTTTTTGGGAGTTCGTTCACTTTCATCACCACGCCATTTAGAAAAATTAGCTTTCACTGATAACCATTGTACAAGAATATCCATAGAACAAGGTCCACCACTAACACCATCTTTGAGCCAACTTTTATAAGGTTTCTTTCCTTTATGAGGTGTAGGAGCTGAATAAGTGGTTGTCATAGTAAGCATTGTAAATTAAAAGAAAAAAAAAGAAAGATAGATGTATTGATGATGAATTAGACAAAAAGAAAGAGTGAAAAGGAAAAAAAAAAGGGGGCGGAGCAGAAAATATTTATAGTGAAAGAAAGGGAGGAAAAAAAAAAGTGAGGGGAAAGAGGAAAAGAAAGAAAGAAAAGAAAATAAAAAAAAAATCAAAATATTGACCAAAATTATAAAAAAAAAAAAAAAAAAAACAGAAATGAAAAAAAAAATGGACCCGCGCGTCTCATGTCTTTTTTTTTTCTGTTTCCCACACTGGAAAATAGGACTTGTCGATCATTATCAACAGAAATAGTTTTCCATAAATTATTGTTACAAAAAAGATTAAAGTTTTTTTTTTTCTTTCTTTCTCTTTTTTATATGATAATAACTTATTCACACACATACAAAAAAAAAGATATATATTTTTTCTTTTCTTTTTCATTATTTTATATATCAATCATCTCCCCTCTTTTTTTTTTTTTTTTATTGATCGGTATGATTTCCAAAAAGGGATCTTCCCAAGTTAGATGAAAAAAAAGGAGTTGGGGTCTAGAAAAACAGAGGAGTAAAAGAGGAGAAAATAAAAAAAAGGAAATAGCATTTTAGACAAATGAGAACACTTCTTGAAAAGTTAAGTTAAAGAGGTAGAGCTGACAAATTTCACCTTTTTTAGTTTGGGGAACCAATCAAATCTCTCGGAATATGAATATAGATCGACACGTTTTTAAAAGAAAAAATCATCTAGACCCTCCATCGGTCTAGTCTCCTTTGAAAATTTCAAAACAATGACAAAGCTGAATATGGTTAAGATCAGAAATCCCGTTTTCTTCCTTTTGATTATACTTCTTCTTTTTCTTTTTTTTTTTTTTTTTTTTTTTTTTGAGACTCCTTTTTTTTTTTTTTATTATTATTTGCCGGAACCTACCTTTTTCTACTTAATGGTTGTACCAACTAATACCATTTTCTTCTTTCTATATTTGTATATATATTACTTTTTCTCTTTTTCTTATTTCTTTTCTTTTTTTTTTCTTTCTTTCTTTATTATTATATTCCTTATGAAAGAAATCACATGATCACATTATAATATTGTTCATACAACTTACTTCCATTGACAATCAATCAAAAAAAAAAAAAAGACAGTTCATTCTTTTTCATATCCGTTAGTCATTGGGTCATATTTGACAGAATATTTTTTTAAAAAAAAAGAAATCCATCATTTACTTTTTTTTTTTTAATCATTGATTCAATGCTGATATGAATGATCATTCCATACGTGAATTTATACTTAATGCAAGACTAGAGATTGGAAGATTTTCATTCATCATATATAAAAAAAAAAAAAAACTTTTTCAAACGCAGCTTAGTTTGTATTTTTTTAGTCTTTTTTTTTTTTTTTGTTTACCAAAGTTCTTTCTTTCTTTCATTTCTTTCCCCCCCTTTTTTTTTTCTATTTTACCCTTTTTGTTTTTTTTTCCCACTTACCTTTCTTTCTTTTTGTATAAACGATTCTACTATGTCTACTATTGATGTGAAAGAAAACATGTCCCTACCACCTCCTTCTGCATTGTTTGGATCTTCTACTATATATCCTTCAAATCAACAACAACAACAGCAACAACAACAACAACAACAACAGCAACAGCAACAACAACAAAATGGTTCAACCAACCGACCAGTTTATATATTGCCGCCACCTTCTTCATTACCTGGTTATAGTAGTAGTACTTCAGCACCATCCAACAACAACAACAACAACAACAATAATAATAATAATAACAATACTCCTTATTATCCACCTACTCCTTCACCTCCACCTTCTACTTCTAATTATTACTATCCTCAACAACCATCTACTTATTTACCAACTCCAGTCACTACACCAGTGGAAGAAACGACAACAACCACTAAAGTAGAACGAAAACGAAAAAGAACAAAGAAACAACAACAGAATAATACTCTTCCTTCACCACCTTCTTCATATCATTATCAAGTCATGGAACTGAACCATTCTAAAAAGAAACAAAAGAAAACAGAAGATCCTTCTATTTCAGCAGCTGCAGCAACTTTGGCTTCATTTACTCAATCATCCGATGAAGATATTGTTATTCGTCAACACTATCGAAAAAATAAGAAATCAAATAAACAACAACAACAACAACAACAACAAGATGATGGTTGTGGTGATCATGAAGATTGTTCTGGTAATGGAAAATATGTTTGTGAACAATGTGGTTTGACCTATCAACATGGTATATGTTTACAACGACATGCTTGGGATCATACTGAAGGTTGGACTCATCGACGTTGGGGAATGAGTAAACGACAACAAGTTCAAATTTTGGAGGTAATAAAAAATTATATAAAGAGATATTATATATATTAACATTTACTATTGTTTTATATAGGCTGCTCAAATTTTAATGGATATTGCCAAAGGTATGCGTGTTAGTGTCCTCAATTGATTCAAAAGAACAAGAAAAATTTTTTTTATGTGCTCCGATGAAAAAAAAAAGTTTCCATAGATTGTAGTATTTTTTTTTTTTTTTTTTAGTTTAGCTTTATCTTTTTATTTTTTTTTTTTTTTGTTTTGTTATTCTTTTTATGTACATACGTGAAAACAAATCTATTCACCCTTCCCCTCTTTTTTTTTTTCTTTTTTCTTCTTTTTAGAGAAAGATGACATCAAGCAGTGGATCATGCTAAAAAGTCTTCTTTTCTTTATTGTATCATTTTTTTTTTTTTTTACTTTACGTATATCCTTTCCTTCTTCCCCCTTTTTTTTTCTACTTTAGTTTTGACTTAATCCTTAATAAACAACAATAAAAAAAAACTACTTGATTATTTGTCAAAAAAAAAAAAAAGAAAATAAATAAACAAAATCTTCGTCACTCGTGTAGAATGTTACGCAAACAATAAAAAAAAAAACATGCCCCATTTTACCCCTTTCTTTTTCCTTTGTTTATATGTGTGAATTTTAATTTTTTTTTTTTGGATTCACTTTTTTTTTGTTAGACGTTCTATTGAAATTGGATGATGAATAAACATCTGTTGGCTTTTTTTGGATTCATTTCCTGAAAATAAATAAAAAGATAATAACACGGAGTTGAAAAGTATGATCAGACTCATTTCCTTTCATGGGGAATTCCTTCATATACGGATGATTTGCTTATGAGGATGATAGACTGATGACTTGATGATGATGGCTATGATGCAACATGAAAATAAAACATAACAAAAAAAAATAAAGATAGTGACATAGATCAATTTTATTTCAAAACATAAAATAATCCTAATACTATAAGGTCAATTTACTTGAAGATCTTGCCATCAGCGAATCCATCGACTTCCCAGGCCATGTACTTATAAATTTCATCCTTCTTTTCTTCATATTGGGAAGGTTCAATCTTGACAAAGTTGTAAGAATCGTAATCAGCAGCATCATAAACTTCGAAAGGAACTTCTTGACCACGAATAAGGAAGTAACCAGAGATAGCATTATTGTTGTTGACACCTGTTACGACCATAGAACCAAAGGCATACTTTCTAGCCATTTCAAGACGAGCAAAGAAACCACCAATCAAATTGCTGGACATGAAAATCAAGGTAAGTTCATCATTATACTTGTAATCCACCTTCCAAAGAGAATAACCTTCAGGATCATGATGATCCCAGAACCATTTCATGGCAACATCAGTATCATTGTTAGAGTACATACGTTTCCATTCGTCCATAATAAACTTGGAGGGTGGCAAGAGATCCAACTTGGATTTGGGTTTAGGAGGAGGTTTAGGAGCTTCTTCTTCATCGTCAGCAGCAGCAGCAGCAGCAGGTTTCTTTTCCTTCTTGGGAGTTTCTTGTTTTTTAGTTTCCTTCTTTTCCTTCTTGGGTGGTACATATTTCAATGGAGTTTCACACAATTGAATTTGACCAAGATGTTCCTTGAAATGTTTCTTGCCAGTGACAGTATTGAAGTAACGGGTGACGTTCTTGTATTGAGAGCGGAAAGATTTGTCGAAAAGAAGCTTGTAAGGGAACACCAAAGAAGTGGCAACTGCAATATCGGCATAAGTAATGTCTTCTCCCACAAGATAAGTACGGCTCAACAACACCTTATCCAAAGCACCCAAGGCGCGTTTCACCTTTTCAATGGCAGCGTCAACAGAAGGTTTCAAGTAAGGAGAATAACCCATCAAAGGAGACAACCATTGAGAGAAATTGGTTTGGAGTTCATTTTCAGAAAAGAGAACCCATTGAAGGATCAAGGCTTTTTCGGCAGGTGTCTTACCAAGTAAAGGAGAATCAGCATTTTGGAGAGCAGCTAATTATTATTGAAAACAAAATATGAATGTCATTATAAAAAAAAAAAATAAATGCTTTTTTTTTTTTTTTTTACCATAATAACCAATAGCATTGGATTCAAACAAGTCAACTTCCTTGCCTTCAAGTACTGGGACTTTGCCAACAGGGAATCGTTGATAAAAAGCTTCGTCACGTTCAGTCATAAGATCAAACATTTTTTCATCAAAAGCCAAACCATTGTATGCAGCCTATTAATGAATTTAAAAAAAAAATATGTATTAAATGTTTGACTCTTTTATGTAATTCTAGTACTTACAGCAATCTTTGCTTTAGCTACACGAGGATTGTTGGGATAACTGAGAATAGTCTAATCAAACATTAAATTTAAATGAATGATTTAGTATTTTATTAAAAAAAAAAAATAAAGAGATGAATTGAATTCATTCATTCTACTTACTCCAAGAGACATAATAGATAGATAGACGGATGGATGGATGGATAAGAAAAAGAAGAAACAAATAGAAAACAACAAAAAAAAGTTTTATAAACGGTGTTTAAAATATGGTTCATGCTTCTTCTGGATGTCTCAACCCCACATTTATTTTTTTTTTGTTTCTTCCTTATTTTCATTCACTTCTGTGTGTGCCTTCATATATGTGTTATTGACAATTGCTTATTTATACTAATATCCTACATTATAATTCTTACGATGAATTCTTCCTCATCCTCATTTAGTTGGGATGATATTAGAACCCAAGTCAGAAGGTTACGTATGCAAACTTTATCTTCTCTCAGCAACCACAACATCTCCACCTGTAAAAACTTTTATTTCCATCCTCAACAACACAAATTATATTTTTTATCCAATTGTATTGCTCCTAATTACACTACATCAAGACAATTTGTTTTTTATCAAGTCGATTATTCCTTATTTTATTCCAAAGGTAAACAAAAAAAAAAAAAAAAAAGAAAACGAAACAAGACGCGTTTCTATATACAACAAACCACTCCATTATAAATGTTAACATATATATATATATATATATTTGTTATTATAGATGAACCACTTCCTTCATCATTACCCTGGACTCGAATGTTTGATGAATATAAAACTCAAGATGACATGTCCCATCTTCAGATGAAAACGAATAGACAGGACCGTATAAGACCATTACAATCATTATCGTCATTTCAAATGGTGAATGATACTGTTTTGATGATATTCATGGGAAATATTTATGCTGGGACAATTGGAAAGGTATAGTGATATAATGAAACAAAAGTATGACAGTGCATGAAAATATGTATTCGATATGATAGTACTTGTATCACAACACCCTAAACTTTTCTTTTTTTTTTATGTTTTTTTAGATTCCAAAACTTGTATCATCACATGATATGAATCTGTTACTGACAAAAAGTAAGACTATATATATATTATAAAACCTTTTATTCATTACACATCTTTACATAATTTGTTAGGTGATCAAAAAAAGCAACAACCTACAACATCTTTGGGCAACAAGGCACTTTATGACACGAGTGCTAGAACTGATCCAAAACTTGGTGGTATCAACAATGACATCTTTACATTTATTCGTAACCGTGATATTTGGATATCTAACTTTGATGGTGATGAAATACAACTTACCTTTTGTTCTAATCAACAAAATGAATCACTCTCTTGTGGTGTGGCTGAATACGTGATCCAGGTAAAATAAATTATTGAAAACAATAAATAATAAAAAAAAAAACTTATATGGACTATTTTTTTTTTTTTTTACGTATACTCCTATATACATTAGGAAGAGTTCCATCGGTATACTGGTTGCTATTGGGGTCCGTCAGCAAAGAACTCGGATTTGAATCGTTTACTGTATCTGGAAACGGATGAATCAGGCGTGGAATTAGTGAATTTTAGCAACAATGGCAACAATATTATTGATGAGAATGAAGATAATCCTCAAATAATCGCAGCAGCTTCAGCAAGATATCCTCGTGCTGGTCAACCCAATGCCATCAGTAAACTATATATCCTCGAATTTACTTATACAACAATCCCTTTTAAACTGGGTACTTTTCGTCGAAAACAATTATGGGGTCCTGACACTATAGAATGTTTATATCCTTGGGCTGAATATATTGTAAGGTTAGGTTGGCTACCAAATGGTGAAAGGTAAAATTTATATAATATATGATCATCACCTAAACTGACTTTAATTTATTTATGCATAGTGTCTGGCTACAACTTTTGCCACGCGACCAAACAAAAACAGTGGTGATACAAATCCCGTGTACATTATTTAGAACGGAAGAAGAAGAAGAAGCAAGACAAAATACTCAGCACCATCAATCGCAACAACAACATACACCAAAAATAGAGGAACTGTGGTCGGAAAAACAAGATTCTTGGGTCAACATATCGGATGCATATTCATTTTTGGAAAGCAACAAATCTATTTCTACTCATTTTATTTGGAGCTCTGAATTGGGTGGATTTCGACATTTATATTATGTGGCAAAGGAAAACAATAACGATCATTTCAATGTACAACAACTGACAAGTGGAGATTGGTGTGTAGTGGACAAACCTATTCATGTGGATCAAAGACGAAAACTTGTTTATTTTATGGCTAAAATGGATACACCTTTGGAAACACACTTATATGTAACGACATTTGACCTTCATTCAATACAGCGACCCATTCGAAGATTGACTTCTTTAGGTTATAGTCATACGATTGAAATGAATGGAAATATGGATGTATTTGTTGATGTCGCATCGTCATTACATCAACCTCATGGTGTGGTTTTACGACAATTGCAGTTCACTAAAGATGATCCTCTACCACAAGTGAAATATAACCAAAGTCAATATTGCAACGATAATACTATAAATAACTCTATTGTGACTATTATGCCAGCTATGTGTGATATCAACGATATTGATGGTGATGATGATAGTGGAATGGATATGAAAATAGATATACAGAGTATGATTATTGCCCAACCCTCTTCAGCTTTTTGTCATGTACCCTCTTTACCAAAACGACATACTACCAATGGGAATTCTATTCTGGTATTGGATCAAGATAAGCAACTGGAACCTCATCTCTGTCATCCCGATAATGCTTGTATGACATCTATCTATGAAGCTGAAAAACGAATGCATGTTATTCCTGAAGGCGAAATATTTGAATTTATGACATCAGATGGTAAAAAAAAAAAAAAAAAAAAAAAAAAAAAAGGAACAGAAATCAATTAACAGGTTTTTTATTTTTATTTTTTCATTTTTTTTTTTTTAAACAATCTGTTCTATTTGTAGGCGTCAAACTCTATGGTTGTTTATATAAACCTCGTTTTTATCAACCTGGCAAAAGTTATCCAACGATTCTACATATTTATGGTGGGCCCAAAACACAGATGGTGACGAACGAATTCAAATTCCCTCGACTCTTGCGATATCTCATGGGAGTGTATTTTGGCTTTGCGGTGGTAGTCATTGATGGACGAGGCTCATGTGATCGTGGATTAGCTTTTGAATCATATGTTAAGCATCGTCTTGGACGTGTGGAATTGGAAGATCAAGTACAAGGATTAGAATATTTGGCAACATCATGTTTTGGAGCATTACCTCAAAATAATAAACTTGTTAGTGTAGTGGATCTAAATCGTGTGGCAGTGACTGGATGGTCTTATGGTGGTTATCTTAGTCTAATGGCATTGGCTCATTACTCAAGTATATTCAAAATTGCTATTGCTGGTGCTCCTGTTACCCAGTGGGAACTATATGATTCTGCCTATACCGAACGTTACATGGGAATGCCTTTGGATCATCCTTATCAATATGCTACCTCAAGTGTGTTACATTGGATTCATCAATTTCCAAATGAGTAAGTTTTTTTTTTTTTTTTTTTCTGTCAAAACAATGATGTATTCTTCAATTCATTTTTTTTTTTCTTGATAATCAAATCAATAGGGAAAATCGACTGATTGTTGTGCATGGATTAATAGACGAAAATGTACATTTCATCAACTCGGAACGACTTGTATCTCGTTTGGCTCACCTAGGCAAACCATATTGTCTGCAAATGTACCCCACTGAAAAACATGGTCTACGACATGCTAGCGTCAACGAACATTTTGAAACGTTGATGTTCCATAATTTATTGAATCATTTATAACTTTTTTTTTTCATACTTTATAGATAGATAGATTACCTTTTTTTTTCCTTGTTAGAAAATATCATTTATATACTAATAAAAAATCTCGTTTGAACCAGTTTTGTTTTTTTTAATCTTTTTGACTTATACATCAAATTAAATGTTTATTTACATACAATGGATCACACTATAATACATAATAAGAGAGGATGGGGAATACATGGAGGGGAATGGAAATAAACGATAAACCAAAAAAAAAAAAAAAAAGAGATCAACTAATTATAGTAATCTATTGATGAAGCCAATAGTTTGATCCAACAAGATTTCGATAAATAGATTCACGTGTCTTCTTTGCATACATTTCCTCCATCTTGTCATATTGTCGTTGTAAGTCTTGATCTGCCAGTTTTCTTCTTCGATCAATATCATCCATATATTTTTTCTTTTCCTCCGTCAGTGAAGATGTTGCCTTGATGTTTCGTTCCTGTTGTGAAGTCATGATAGATTGAACTTGATCCATCATCTCTTTCATATCCGTCACTATCCACAAAAAAAAAAAAAAAAAAAAAAAAGAATAATAATTCAAAAGTGAGCACATTGTTTTTTTTTTCTAGTCGCAAATTAACCAATACATATACACTTGATATCCTACATATATATATATATCTATTTGACTTACATTCTTTCGACAGTGAATGCCATTCATCTTTGCGTGTCTTGGCTACGTCAAGGTACACATGACAACTGTTGAGTTGAATAAATGCAGCAGTCAGGTCGTTGGGACTAATGGGTGAAGTTGTAGACGATGTGGAGGAAGAAGGGTGTGATTCATCCTATATATATATGTATGTAGATAGAAGCAAATAGTATTAATAACAGAAGAGTTTCTTTAAAGAAGCGATAATTTTTCTTACGTCAAAATTGGAGACAAAGTCGTTTATATCTTGTTCCAAAGATTGTTGAGTCGCCTTGAAAAGTTGATGATCGAGTTGAGATAAACCTTTATAAAAAGAAAAAGGTTAGTAATGTTGTAGTACCTAATGATATTCTTTCTTACTTTTCGAGATATCATCGGACTCTAGCAATGCCATCGTTTTCCTAAATAAAAAAAAAAAAAAAAATGAGACAGAGAAAGAGAAAAGAGAAATAGAAATAACTAAATTCCGCTGTGGTGCAGAAGGTCACAGAAAAAAAAAAAAAGAATAATATTTTTTTTTCCCTCCCTTTTCCTTCTATTCATTCATAGACATGCAATCGTCCGTAGAAGAACCAGCTAGCAAACGTCAAAAAGCCGAAGAAGATCAAACCACAAACGATCAAGAAGATCCATCACAGCAAGAAGATCAGTCGACTGAAGAAGAAGTATACACAGCGGAGGAGTTGGCTCTAGGTGAACAGTTGATCCAAGCGGTAGTTGCTGGCGATCTCGCACAAGTCAAGACATTGATAACGGACAAGGAAGCGGATGTGTGTTTTAATGCTACGGAACAAGGAAGGACACCTTTACACTATGCAGCGGAAGCAGGTCATTTGGATATGGTGGAATACCTTCTCTCAGAACGACATCCTTACAATCTGGTGGACAAGGCCGAGGTGACAGCTGGCGAATTGGCGCTCAAAAATGGACATACTGAAGTATACGAACGATTGGTCAATGAAGGTGTCAGGGCGGAACTGGTGATTCGTGCCATGAAAAATGCATTCCAAGATGAGAAGGACGAGATTCCCAACGAAGATTATTTACAACAAAAATTACACTATGATGATAATAAATTGATGGATGCTAACGATGATGCAGTGATGATGGGTTGGGAAGGACCTTTGATGGTGGAACACGCCAAAGTGATGTGCCCTAAAGAAGGATTAGATGTGTTGAACGTTGGTTTTGGACTTGGTTTGATCGATATGGAATTACAAAAATACAAACCTCGCCATCATTATATTATTGAAGCACATCCTGATGTCTATGCACATATGAAGAAATTGGGTTGGGATCAAAAACCTGGTGTTACTATTCTGTTTGGTCGATGGCAAGATGTCGTCCCTACTTTGACAATGACGTTTGATGGTATCTTTTTTGATACTTACGGCGGTAAAAAAAAAAAAAAAATAAGTGATACTATATGATTCATCTTTTTTTTTTTTTTTGATAGAATTCTATGATGATCTTCGAGCTTTTCATGATGCAGTACCAAACATGTTGAACACGGATGGTATCTATACATGGTTCAACGGATTAGGGGCTACTAATCAATTCTTCCATGATATCTATTGTCGTGTGTCAGAAGTGGATCTCCGTGAATTTGGCTTGGATACTGAATATGTAGCTATGGATATTCCTACTGCTGATGAAAAAGGTGTGTGGGATGGTGTACGTCAAAGGTAAATCCAAAAAAAAAAAAAAAAAAAAGGATCAAAAATCATAGACTAATGATTTGTTTTGTACTTTACCTAGATACTGGTCCCTTGAAAAGTATTATTTACCTATTTGCAAATTCTTACAATAATAATAAAAAAACTACCTTTTGTCCTGTTGTACATATTAGTTTATTATTATTCTCTCCTTTTTGTTGTGTCTATTTGTAGTTATTTGAATTTGTATCTTTTATTTTGTCCCACCTTTTTTTATTTTTTTTATGATGATCAAATGTTTCAATAATGAAGATGATAATATGAAAAATCTTTCAAGCATTTGATAAATAGAAAAACGAACAATTCAAAGAGAATAATAATAATATTTATACAGTTTTATTTGAATGAAACAAATTTATATATACACTAAACTAAAACGAATGACCTGTGAAGGAGAAATTCAACTTTTGTTCATTTTGCTTGTTTGGCTGGTAGTGATCCGTTATATTGTCGTCGTAGTCGTTCTGCTTGAATACCAACGTTGCCACCATAGAATTTTCTTGCACATAAAAGAATTTCAAGTTCGGTCATACCATTGATACCTAATTGTTTGCGTTGGTTTTTGGTGAAAGGATACTTGTCCTGAAGCATTGCTGGCGTTGCTTTACTTTTTTTCACGTCGATCGGGATCGTTTCTGGGTGTTTTTCATAATGGGCTTGTCGACAAGGTCCACAGAGGTACATTTCTCGACGAGCATAGTTTGGTATACGAACAGGAAGAACCGCCATCCATCCGACTTTGTGAGGTTTATATTTGTGGTTGCCATAACAGTAATCACAAGCTTGTCGAAACACTTTGGTATAGTTTTTTCGAACTTGGTTCAGTTGGCCGTAAAAAGTCTTGCTTTTAGAATTCAAGGAAGGAGGACCTCGATCTGCGACATGAATCCAATACAAAGAAGAGTACCGAGCAATTGTTTGAATATGCTTCGATAACCTGTCCATTTCAGGGTACTGACTGAGCGGTAGATTGATCAAGATATTGCGCCATACATCAGGTGGGAGTTGTTCTAATCGACTCAGTGCTGGTTTTTGTTGATCCTTAGTTGATCTCTCTTCAGTCAAATCTTGTTTCTTTTCTTCCTTTTCATTTTCCAGTACATGCTCCAAATATATTTCCATAAATGATGTACTTCGCATAGGTTGCATTAGCTTCGTTTCGTCGCTCATTTTAAAAAAAAAGTAGTTGTAAAACAAAAAAAAAAAAAAAAAAAAAGAAAAAGAAAAAGGGAAACCAAGAAAAAAAAAGTTTAACATGCCTGATGTACCCTCGACGATTTATTTTTACAGCCAAAGTTTGGCTGAGGAGTTCCAAATTTTTGGCTGTAAAATCCAAAATTTTCAAAAAAAAAAAAAAAAAAAAAAAAAAAGTGAATCCACCACCATAAATACAGTGTTTTCAAAGTTTTTTGTCGGGTCACAAGAAAATGCTTTTCGTGATGTTATAAAATAAAAAATCGTACTTTCCCAAAATGAATGTCGCATTACCACTTTTTTAGATATCGCTTTAGAGATGTCGGTAGAGTATGTCATTGATTGATGATTGATGATTGATGACTGATTGTTAGCTGATTCTTTTCAGCAGGCCATATTTGGAAAAAAAAAGAACTATATTTTTAATATTGTATCATCATAATATTCACAGTTAAGACAGGGGTATACTAATGTAATATTCATATCTTGTGATGTTGATGTGAATTTGCATAATAGTTCCTTTCCTTTTTTTATTAAAAAAATACATTTACTCGGGTCTTCTTTGTTTATTTTCATTAACTGAGACATTCGATCGATCGATAACGAATGTAAATTTGCATAATAGTTCTTTTTTTTTCTTATGAGATATTTTTGCTGGGTTTACTTTATTCTTTGATCAAGTGAGAGATATAAAAAAGTGATATTTTATTTTTCTTTTTTTTTCTGTTTCTTCTTTCTCTTTTTTTTCCTTTTTTTTTTCCTTTTTCTTTTAATTTCTTTATCTATTTTGATATCAATTTTTAAACCAATTTACAAGCATACAAGACCTTTATATCCATCCACTCCAATACAAGTTTTTTTTTCTGGACAAGAACCTTACAAGAATCAAGACGGGCCTTTAGGTCCATTTGCTTTTTTTTTATATATACTTATTGGACTTCCTTCTTTCTGTGCCTTGCTCAATAGTAAGTTTCTTTTAATAACAATGATGACGATACAGTATATTAATCATTCTCCTCTTTTTTTTTTCTTTTTGAAATCTCTCTTGGTGTTCAAAGTGAATATCAACCTGTACAGCAACATATAAAAATATGTTATCGCCTCTTCGGAGGACGTATTTAATGCTACCCTACAGGTAATTTGAAATAAATATAAAAAAATGGATATGTTGACTAAATAATATTTTATTTTCTGTTATTCAAAATACTCAATGGAACTACTATCACTCCTTTTCTTCTTGTTCTTTATCTTCTTATATTCTCTATTTGATTATGCGACAATTATATTTTTATTCTTCTGTCATTTATTTTCTATCCTTACGATATTTTATTTCCTATTTTTGCGCCATCTTATTCTTTGAATTCCGTCAATTATTATTGAATAAAGTGTATCTCTTACCACCCCCATTTTTTAAGCTTAAATCTATCATCCTACCATATAAGCAGTATTAACAAAAGATGTGTATCTATGACTATTCCTTTTGTTAGTGGATTCAAGAGACAACCTTTCGATCATGCGTAGAAAATCACAGAAAAAGATCATTGGGCAGCTCTCACTCTTAAAAGAAATCTTTGGATCCAATCCTCAGGAGTTGACAATCATCAATAATAAAAGCCGAGTAGGTGAGTATGATTATATATATATATATATATATTGCCTTGTTTCTATTGATATTGATGGATACGATCGAGTAACATTGAAATAATAAATAAGAGTTATTTGCCATTAGAAAAGACGTGATTTCACATTTTGAAAATTGACAATCTACTTTTTTTTTTTTTTTATTCGATCAAGAAAAAGAAGAGTGGTGAAGAAAAAGATGGAGTATGAATATAAACTATAAAGTGTATTCTAAAAAAGAAAAAAAAATGATGATGGTGACTATTAAAAAAAATATCTATACTACATATACATTATATTAAAAACCTTGGCCAACACCAGTTTGATCTATGACCTTCTTAATGGAAGAACCTTCGTCTTGACAGATTTCAGGATGGATATAGAAGAGAGCTTTGGGTTTGGCAGATTTATTGTTGATAAATCCTTTGGTTTGTTCCATATCAGATACCATAAGACTTGTGAAAATACGAGTAGAAGGAACCAAAGCATTGACTGGTACCTTGGTAATATGATCCTTGGCAAGAAAGGAGAGAGTATGAATAGTCAATTCTTTTGGATCAGAGGCATTGTTCGTTGTGATCTTTGTAACGTATGGAGACATAACCCATTGAATCAATCCTGTGGAAGCAGCACTAGTAGCAATAGCTAAAATAAAGAAAAAAAGAACATGTAAATAAAGGAAGATCTATATTCATTGTTTTATCTTACCGGCACCCACAAGTGCAGTCTTAGCAATCAATGGTACAGGAACATCAATAATATATACAAAAGGTGATATACCACAACCTAAACCAAGAGATGTCACAGAAAACAGTTTAAGTTTTTTGGCCACACCGGATAAAGGTCCTGTATAGATGGTTGTTTCTTGGTCAGTTTTGTTGGAGAAAAGTCGTCGAGAAAGGATAAAGGTATTCCTCAAACTAGAAAGACGTTGCGTGTTTGCAATAGTAAGAGAAGATCGTTGAAGAAGTAACATTGCCATGGTGAAGTTCTAAAACTGTGGTTTTCTTAAAAAAAAAAAAAAAAAAAAAGAGAAAGGGAAAAAAGGAACAGGCCCTTTGACTATCCAATTTTTTTTTGACATTCCGCCTTCTTCATTCTTTTTTTGCTTTTTCTTTTATTCATATTTGCTTTGTTTACACAACTCATGTTTGCCAATAGTAAGGATCATATACTAGTAATAAAAAGGATAATATTAAGTAACTTTAATACTATAGTTAAAATCCCTCCTGGTATTCGACTTTTCAATAAGATCGCTGACTTCCGAGCTTGGAGAAGACAACTCCTATTAGATCGCCAAACATTGGGTTATGTGCCTACTATGGGAGCCTTACATAAAGGACATCTTGCACTAGGTAAGAATAATATCATATCTATTACATTACCTTATTAAAGAAACAGTTTAAAAAAAATAACAATATTGATATAGTGACATCAGCCAAAGACAAATGTGATCATGTAGCTCTTACTATTTTTGTGAATCCAGCACAGTTTTCTCCAACTGAAGATTTAGCCACTTACCCTCGTACTCTTCAAAACGATTTGGATCAATTAGCTGCTTTGGGACCCGGGATTACTTCTGCTGTGTTAGTACCTTCGGTCAAGGAAATGTACCCTGGAGGGATTGAGTTGGATGTGTCAAAACAAAAAGGAACGTTTGTAGAGGTCAAGGGTCTGTCTCATCAATTGGAAGGTATCACTCGTCCTCATTTCTTTCGTGGTGTGGCAACAGTTGTTTCCAAGTTTTTAAATATTGTAAGTGTTTTTTTTTATGTCTTATTAAGGCACACTAAATAATGATATTCATTTAACATAGGTACAACCAGAACAAGTCTTCTTTGGTCAAAAGGATGGTAAAATAGATACCTTTTTTTTTTTTTTTTTTAAAAAAAAAAAAAGAGATATAATAAAAGAACTAATCATATTTCTTTGAATGATAGTACAACAATGTGCAGTGATTAAGGCCATGATTCGTGATCTTCATTTTCCAGTCAAGATGAATATTTGTCCAACAGTACGAGAAAAGGATGGATTGGCCATGTCATCAAGAAATGCTTACCTAACTCCTGATCAAAGAAAATATGCACTTGTCGTCCACAAAGCTTTATCCACCATTGAATCATTATACCATAGCGGACAACATCATGCACCATCGTTGATTGATGCCGGAGCTGCCCTCATTGAACAAGCTAGACAACAAGTACAAAAGGAAAATTTGGATTGGGAAGTCAAATTGGATTATCTCAGCATCAACTCACCAGAAGATTTATCAACGATATCGGGAACCATTGATCAGCAAGAAGGATGTATTGTCAGTACTGCCGTTTTTGTAGGAAAGACAAGATTGATAGACAATTTGTTATTGGATGTTAGTGATTCTGCCCAGAAAATATAGCTGTAGAATAGTTTAGATCATCCATATATATATATGAAAAACAATAAAAAAAATGGACTAGCTTTTTATTTTTTTTTTTTATTTTTTATTTTATTTTCGAAAGATAAATGGAAGTGTACTGTATCTAAAACTAAACTATGCGTCACATACTAGAATACCATGATCATATAATGAACTAATGAGTAATTTTTGACGAGTAACATCTAGAGCACCAGTTGTAGAAGCAGCATAGTAATGACCATCATCACTAAATAAAGTCTTGACTTCACCTTGGGAAGGAGTCCATGATACCACTTGTGAAGCAGCTCTAGGAATAGAAGGATCTGACCGGTCACGAGCTACAGCATATTGCATAAAATCCAAACCCTTTGGGTGTCCAGCGACCACCAATTTTCCAGTAGAAGGATCAAAATCCAGATTATCCACCGCCATATCAATATTCACATTTTGAACATATTCCAGGTGAACGGCCTTGTTGATATCTTTTTCATTGGATCGTAATGTAAGGTTATACTGATGTACCCGACGTTTGTTGCATTCAGATACAAAGAGTGTAGAGTTGTCACCACTGACACCATTGGCAAAAGCAAGACCATGAATCACAGGATAAGCATTTTTGGAACGAGCATCATAGAACATCACATTGGAAATCGGGAGGATGGCTGTATTTTCGATCAATTTAAGAAATTTTGTATCAAAGTAATGGTCATTGGAGAAAAAGAAGGAAGGAGTACCATCAGCGCCTTGCCATTCTGAATTATCCACTAGATGAAGACTATTGGGAGTATAAATATTGTCATGTTGAATAGTATGATGATGAACCAAGCTACCATCTTCTTGAATGGTGAATACTTCGATTAAAGATTTGTCGGATTCAAATGGAAGATTGATGGCCAATAAAAATCTTCGTTGAGGGTCAACAGCAAGGCCAAGAGGATGAAAGTCAGTTGGTCGAGAATTTGTAGCAATACTTTTGACTTTTGGAGGAGTCTATGATTAAAAAAAAAAAAAAAAAAAAAAAGGATAAAAATCGTGACAATGTTTACATTTTTCAAATATTTACCGTTGTATAATCGATTTGCCAAATATCACCAGATGGAATAACTTCACCTTCAGTAAAATAATTGTAATCGAGTACCTTGTTTCTTTTTGCACGAGCAGGGTCACAAGACGCATATGCTATACCATCATTACCAAGGACAATATCTTCACAGAAGGAAAAATTTTCAGGTGCTATCAAAGATAAAGAATGAAACTTCGGTTGAGTACCATTTTCACGTGCATTCTTTTAACTACTTACAGGCTATTTTCACACAGGTATCGCGTCCAACGGATGGTATTACTTTATTTATTCCAGCTAACCCATGAAGATGATCTAAACAGAAGAGAAACAAAAAAGTAATAGTAAATAAATACACGTATATATTACCTTTTAATTGAGAGAACATAACCCATGGACTCTCTTTTTTGTTCATTGCTAAAAAAGATAGACTTACATAAAGGATAGGCGATAATGGATAAAACACCAATGAATAACCATAAATGATTTCCAGAATTGAACATGATATTTGAAAATAAAAGAAAAAAAGAAAAAAAAAAAGAAAAGAAAAGAAAGAAAGAAAGAAAGGTGAGAAATCAAAGCAACCTCATAAAAAAGACGGAGTTTCTGTGAAGTAGGAGGAAACAAGTACAAGCATATCCGAATAAAATAATAATAATAACCATAATAGAAATGTCTAGTTCCTGCATATTTATCGAGGCAGGGACTGAAAGGAATAGTAATAGTATGCCTTTTGATGAAAAAGAACAGATGATTCCGCAATCAATCTAAATATTGGACTTAGCCCTGACGACAGAATGCCAACCAACGAAAAACCACATGATCAAACCATCATCAGCTGCGTTCAGTTATAACAACAACAACAAAAAAGAAAAAAAAAAAAGGAAAAAATAAAACTTGTATTTAATCATATTCTTATTTTTTTTTTCTTTATTATTCAATCATATATATATATGTAAAGAAGTATGATCATATTCAAACTCTGGGTTTGAAACTATTGGCATTCTCCTTAAAGAAGGCATCCAGAGATCGAGGTGTTTTACCAGTAAGGAGACGAACATGAGGAATACAAATACTACTTGATGTATTGAAGATCCAATTGAAGTAATCTAAAAATGTTTGTATTTGTAAATCTATTTCAAAATAAAAAATATAAAAATAAAAATAGAATAAGTGACCCGATAATAATAATAAAAAAAAAAAAAGAGATTTGTTTATCTATATATATACCTGATGGAGGACCAAATATATTACTGCGATATGAATAAGAGCCGAAATCATCATAATGCATACGATAACGATCCCTTTTCAATCGAGCATCAAACCAAATATCCTTTGGTAAATATTTCAAATAATATTGTAAATCCATGGGTCGTACTTGAAGAAAACGATAAGATGAATAGTGAGTGGCATTGATCAAGCTTTTCATCAGCTTTTTCCCATTGATCATCCGAGGTCCAGTCAAAGTGTATACCTGTCCAATGTGTTGATCATCCAATGCATCTACAATCTTAGTTATATTATTTTTTTGTTGTAGTAATAAAAGTGAAGCTACTGATTCACACACATCCAATATATCAATAGGACAGAATTCAGTAGTTGCATCCATTGGTAAAGGAAAACTACGATTTTTTTCAGTATAAGTAGTCCATAGATGAAAGTATTGTTGAATCCAATCACATCTATATAAACACAACAAAAAAAAAAAAAAGATGATCAATGATAAACAAATAAAAAAAAAAAAAAAAAGGACTTACCTGAGGATTGTCCATGCACAGTCAGCATTATAAATTTCATTTTCAACCAATGCAAAATCACTCAATGATGAAGTCAAGTTAGAACACAGAGCGCCAACATGAGAGACAAGAATAATAGATTTGATACCTGATCGAAGAGCCACCTGACAAAGTCTTTTAGCATGGATTACCCTATCTTTATTATCCCCAATCACAAGTACTAAATGATCCACATTTCGCATTGCCACTGAGAGTTGATGAGGATGATGATAATCTACTTGATGTACATCAATATCTTGATTCATAAACTGTTTGCATGGAATCAAATTTTGACAAAGTACTCGTAGCTGGCTTCGAATATTTGGATCATAGGCGAGATGTGAAGTTATACAATGTCCAATATATTGATCAGCATTTGATATCAGTAACATTAGAGTAGATAAAAATTTGTTTATATATAAAGTAGATAAAATGAAATATATGTATAAAAAAAAAAAAAAAAGAGAGAGAGAAAATAAATAAAGGAGAAAGATTTGATTTATATACCTTTTTGATATCATGTCAGATGTTCACGTACTTTTTTTTTTTTTTTTTTCATTCATCCGTTCCTTTGTTTCACCGCATGATCAACCCATCGCCATATTTGTTTCCCTCACATCAGCGCAGACCTTTATCCGCCAATAGTATATCAAATCATTCCAACATACATATCAAAAAAAGAAAGAGTTTGTTTCATCATTGTACATTTCAACTTTACGGTTACTACGACGGTCAAGGAAGAAATTCATGCAAGAGCGTCATCATTAACATGACAACTTGTACATCCTTCTTCATATAGTAAATTCCCCTTTTTTTTTTTCTTATTATCATCATCTTCTCATTGTTTCAACTACTTTTAAAAAATTCTTCATTATTACCTTGCAGAACATCATTCGATATCATCATTGCTTAGACTATCCCTTGAAAGTTCCCAGTCTATTGAATAAACAGTAAACAAAATAATGCAGTTAATAAAGCCTAAAAAAAAAACCATCAAGATTTATAATTTGATAATGTTTTCCTGCTGAGCTTCATGCAGATAATAACACACCAAAAAAAAAAGAGGCTTTTTGTTGAACGTTGTTTATAATATTTAATATAGAGAATATATTGATGACTATTAACGGATCATCTTATAAAAAAGAAACAACTTGAATATATATATAAATGATAATTTCAAAACTAGTAAAAAGATGTACACGATGAAAGGCAATAAGTGAATAAGCGGTGTTGAAATTCTGCGCAGTCTCTCAATGAAAAAAAAAAAAAAAAAATCCTTGTCTTTTTTTTTATTTTTCTCTTCTCTCACTGTCTCTTTACCCTCTAATTATCGTGAATCTTCTATACCTATCACTCTCTCTCTTTTTTTTTTTTAAAAAAAAAAGAAACCATTATATATTGTATTTTTCAAAGAAAAAAATATATTTAACTTAACAGTTCCACTCATTATACGACTTATGGACATTAATCAAGAATCTTGCACTCATGAAGTACAATTCAATAATCTGTGTGCCTTTTGTGGATTGAACTTGGAACAGTAAGTCATTATTCAAGAAAATGTTTCTTTTTTTTTTTTTCTTTTTTATTCAATATTTATTTATTTTATTATACAGTGCAGAAGATCAAACAACTCAAGTAGATATCACTCATAATCGACCTGGTTTGACTGTTTCTAAAAAGGTACGTTACCATTATTACTTTGATAAAAAAGTATACATGCTTATATATATATTTATTGTTTATTAGGAAGCTGAACGATTAGAACAAGAAGATGCAATACGATTACTGAAAGAACGTAAACTTATCTTGGTAGTTGATTTAGATCAAACTATTGTACATGCTACTTGGGATCCTACAGTACGAGAGTGGATGGACGACGAAACAAATGCAAATCATGAAGCAACAAAAGATATACGACAATTTGAATTACCCGAATCACCTTTAGTATATTATTTAAAACTAAGGTAATATAACAAAACTCCTTTTATATTGATTTTACTCAAACTTTTATTTTCTTTAGACCTGGTGCTTCCGAATTCTTGACAAAACTATCAAAATTATATGAATTACATGTATATACTATGGGAACTCGACAATATGCTGATGCTGTGGTTAATGAAATTGACAAGAATCATACTCTTTTTCAAGATCGTATTATGTCTCGTGATGAAAATGATCGGAAATCACGATATGAAAATGGAAGTAAGTTTTGTTTATATTTTGATTAGTAGTGGAAACTAAATTTTTTTTTTTATGTTTTTAGGCTCTACGAAGAAATCACTCGATCGATTATTCTCTAGTGATAAATCTATGGTTGCTATTGTGGATGATCGTTTAGACGTATGGGATTATTCTCCTCATTTGGTGCATATTAAGCCTTGTATGTCTAATAATAATAATAATAATAACAATCCACTTTCAAACTAATCAAAAAATAACTGATCTGATTTTTTTTATTCTATTAACAGATGTCTTTTTCAAAGGTACTGGTGATATTAACTCTCCTTTTGCAAATAAAAAGGTAAAAGAAGAAACTCGTCATTTTCAATGAAATGAACTAAACTATATATATGTATATATTTTTTTTTCTATAGCAATCATTAGCACAACAATTAAAGGATGAGGAAAATGAAAAACAACCTTTGATTGACGGCACAAGTAAGAAAATAAAAAAAAAAGAGGGAAAGAAACAAAGAATATATAATTTAAATTTGATTATATGATATAGGTACGAAAGAAGACATTGAAAAGGAGGTATCAGCTGAATTGGAAGAACAAAAACGAGAACAAGATGCTTTGGCCAAACAACAACAACAAGAAAGACCGCTAGCTCAAAAACAACGTGAACTTGGTGCTTCTCATCAACCAGTCTTAGTAGATGATGACAGAGTTCTATATAATAAACTTGAAGTAAGAAACAATAAAATCAAAATGATGGGAAATACTAACTTGGTTTTAATAGATGCTGACACAAGTGCACAAAAACTTTTATGAAGCTTATGATCGTGAAATCCAAAAGAGAGGCGACATCTCTCCTACTACCAATCCATTCACATTAATACCTAATATTGTGGATTTTATCAATCCTTTCCGAAAGCATGTTTTGGCAAATGTTCACATTGTATTCTCTGGTATGATCAAATTGGATGCTGATCCGAAATCATCTCATTGGTGGAAGACGGCAGAATCATACGGGGCTACTTGTCATCTTAACTTGTCATCAAAAGTCACACATTTGGTTGCTGCAAAGGTAAAGAAAATAAAAATAAAAAAAAATGACACAAAATTGTAACTATAATACGTATTTTTATTTTATTTTATAGGCTGGTACTTCAAAAATGATGGAAGCAAACAAATTATTCCCCCATATCCGTGTTGTCAATCCAAATTGGTTGGTTGATTCTATCAATCATGAAGGTGCTCAAGATGAATCCTTATACCGTCATGCCTCAAATGAACCTCCCTCTTCTCTTGGAAACTTAAATGGAAATGATGATGTAGCGAATCCTGAATCGACCCCTTTAGATCTGGAAGATGGTGCATTTGACAATAATCAATTGGATTTAGAAGGTGTGGATTGGAATGAAGCTGACGACGAAGTAAATGAATTCCTCAGTGATAGTAGTGAAGAAGACATATCAGATCAAGAAGATGAAGATATTATGAACATGTAAGACAAATTATATGAATATAATTAATTTATTAATTTATTATTGACTGTTTATCTCTTGATAATGTTTTATAGACATTCTAAAACACTAGGAAAACGATCCCATGACGATGAAGTGAATGAATCTGAATCGGACGAAGAATCAATATCATCAAGCAAGAAAAGGAAAATACTGTATACAACGGATGATACCAACACAATAGATAAATCATCATCATTAAATGTGGATCAAGAAGGTTACTCAACAGGCGACGAACAGTCAGTAGATGCAGATGATGATCATCATGATAGAGATAACAGTAACAAGATGTACAGTAACAACAATAATAATAGTGATGACGATGATGATGATAGCAGCGACGATGATGGATCAACTGAACTAGATGATTTAGCGGATCTATTGGATGAACAAATGGATTAAGTTTTATTGTAGTATCAGATTTGCCCTCCTCCTTTTTTTTTTTTTCTTTTTACTTGTAGTTATTTCATTTCTTTGTTTATTTTTGCTCTTTACTTTTTATTTTATGTCATTGTCTTTATATATATATATATTTTTACATTAATAGTTTTGAAATTTTTTATTATCATATTTTTTTTTGTATTATATCATCAAATAAAAAATTTAAGGAAAATGAAAGAAAAAAAATCATATGTGTGTCATATATGTTTGAATTCTGTTTGACCTTATGTTTGAGCTGCTGTTGTTGAATATATCGAGAGTGGGCCAATCAAATCGAGTGCATGGTCAATTTGGAACCAGTTTCTTATTTTACTATTTCTATCCTATTTTTCCCCCATTTTTTTTTCCCTTCCACCACCTTTTTTTTTTTTTTTTTATATATATATACATGTATAGTTTTTTTTTTTTTTTCTAAAACCCGTTTGTTCTGCAGATGAATAACGAAAGGCAACCATTACTGGAACATATTGATTGTTCTAGTTATGACACTATTACATTTGGGGTGACAGCGGAAGCATTAGAAAGTTTAGTAGAATCAAAAGATAAAGACTTGTTAATTGAAATGGGAGGAGTGAAAGGTATTTGTCATCGATTAAAAGTGGATACTCGTACTGGATTATCTCCTGATGAAGGTGTAACTCATTCTTCAAAATTACCCTTTGCAAGTCGGAAACGGGCCTTTGGTGAAAATATTCTTCCTCATGCTCCTTCAAAAACTTTCCTAGAATTATTATGGTCTGCTTACAATGATAAAACTTTATGCAAGTGTCAACAAGAAAAAGAATAAATGATAAAAAAGGACAGTGATTAATAAAACTCTTATTTTTTTTTTATTTGTTTCTAATGAAACAGTCATGCTGACAATAGCTGCTTTTATCTCTTTGGGTATTGGTATATGGAAAGATCATACTGAACAAAATCCTCCTGATGAGCCTAAAGTCGGATGGTAAAAAAAAAAAAAAAAAAATAGGAGTCCCCTTCACCTAATTTTTAATTTTTTGTTTTTCTTTCCATCTTTTTCTTTTTTTATTTATTATTTATTATCCAAGGGTTGAGGGAACAGCTATTATTGTTGCAGTGTTAGTAGTTATATCAACAAATGCCATCAATGACTATCAACGCGAATCTCAATTCAAAAAACTCAATGCTAAGCACCATCAAAATCAATATATCAAGGTTTTAAGGGGTGGAAGAGTACGACGACTTCATGTACAACAACTCTGTGTAGGTGATATTGTTGACTTGGAACCAGGTGATGTGGTACCGTTTGATGGACTCTATTTATATGGTCATGACTTGGCTTGTGATGAATCTGCTTCTACTGGTGAATCAAAAACGGTGAAAAAGCATAGTGACAACCAACCAGGACTTTCTTCTGTTGAATGTGATTGTTTCATCATATCAGGTTCAAAAGTACTTCAAGGTGTAGGACGTGTGGTTGTAGTAGCTGTTGGTGTGAACTCTTTTTTTGGCAAGATATTGGTCATGACGATAACTGCAAACCATCAACAACAAGTTATGACTCCATTACAACAAAAACTTGGTATATTAGCAAATCAAATCGCTTGGTTTGGATTGGCAGCAGCTATTGTGATTTTTTCTGTTTTGGTGATCAAGTTCTTTATCATGGCCTGGTGGGATCATTCTCTACCGGATAATAGTACTATTGCTGTCTTTCTTATAAGTACTATCATTGAAGCTATTACGATCATTGTGGTGGCGGTTCCAGAAGGTTTACCAATGGCAGTGACTTTGGCTTTGGCTTATGCAACAACACATATGCTGAAGGAAAACAATCTGGTTCGAATATTGGCAGCATGTGAAACTATGGGTAGTGCTACAGCTATTTGTTCGGACAAGACAGGTACGTTGACGATCAATAAGATGACTGTTGTACAAGGCACTTTTGGTGAAGCTTCTTTCGATATGAATGATGAAAACTACAACTACAACTACACCAACAACAACAACAACAACAACAACAACAACAACAACCATGAAAATGACGGCAATGACAATGAAAGACCTCCTACGCTTTTCAATCAACATCATCTTTATCCATTTACAGATCAAGTACGGCAAATCATCAAAGAAGGTATTGCAATCAATTCGACAGCATATCCAAATCAAGACGATCAAGGAAAATGGCAATATATTGGATCTCAAACGGAATGTGCTTTATTGGAAATGGTGGATCAATGGCAAGATCTATCCTCGGTGGAAGATTGGCGACATAATGCGATCATGATCAAAGTACAACCTTTTTCTTCTCAACACAAAGCAATGAGCAGTATTATTCAGCTTACACCACATTCGGCACCTAATCCATCCAACTCTCTTGAAAACAACAAGTACAAGGAAGACATTATTTATCGATTACATGTAAAAGGGGCACCTGAAGCTATCTTGGAAACATGTACACATTATATGGATGAAGAAGGACAAATTCATTTGTTAGAACCGGAAAATCGAATGATATGGGAACAAATCAACAAAAGATATGCTCAACAAGCTTTACGAACAATTGCATTGGCTTTCCGTGATATGAAACCAAGTGATTATGATCTACTGGTCAGTGATTCAACTACAACAATAACAGGGACGACACCAATGTTCGAACATCTGATACTATTAGGTATAGTCGGTATACGAGATCCTCTTCGACCAGGTGTAGTAGAATCTGTCATTGCTTTTCGTCGCGCAGGTGTTTCTGTACGGATGATTACAGGTGACAACATACATACAGCCAAAGCAATTGCAACCAATGCTGGAATATTGACTGTGGATGGTGTGGCACTAACCGGGGCTGAATTTCGAAGGATGACTGAAGAACAACAATGTGATGTGGTGCATCGGTTACAAGTACTGGCAAGATCTACTCCTTATGACAAGATGACTGTAGTGGCAAGATTACAAAAACTAGGACAAGTAGTGGCGATGACAGGGGATGGTACCAATGATGGCCCGGCTCTCAAACTAGCAGATGTTGGATTCAGTATGAACTTGGCAGGCAGTGAAGTAGCAAAGGAAGCTTCCGATATTATTCTGATGGACGACAACTTCAATTCGATTCTCAAGGCACTATTATGGGGACGATCGGTTAATGATGGTATAAGTAAATTCTTGACCTTCCAACTTACGGTGAATGTAGCAGCTGTTCTTTTAGCATTGATTAGTGCGGTGACGTCGGAAAGATCTGAAAGTATTCTCGGTGCTGTGCAGTTATTATGGATCAACCTTATCATGGACACTTTGGCGGCATTGGCATTGGCAACGGAACCACCTACAGCAGCTCTCTTGGATCGACAACCTATTCCAAAAACAGCACCGGCGATTGATGGTGGTATGGCGTATCGTATTGCAACTCAAGCTTTTTTTCAAGTTGGTGTTATATTGATTATTATGTATCGTAGTCCTGTTTGGTTTGAATTGGATCCTCTTCAAAAACATGATTATTTGGTGATACGTACTTTGGTCTTTAATACATTTGTATTCATGCAATTCTTTAATGCTATCAACTGTCGACGTGTGTATGGAACTACTTTGAACGTATTCAGTCATTTGGAACGGGATTGGCTTTTTCTGGCTATTGAAAGCCTGATTACTATTGTACAGGTGATGATTGTGATTTTTGCTGGATCTGCTTTCAAGACAACACCTCTGTCATCTACGCAATGGATAGTCACTGTATCTATTGGATTCTGCTCCCTTCCTGTGGGTTGGCTCTTTAGTGCTTTGGCAAAAATACCTCACTTTCAACAATGTGGATATCGATTTTGGCATACCCTTTTTCCATCCTACGAAGATGATGATGACCCAACCAAAACAATGACAACAACAACAGCAACACTATCAAATCGAGATGATCTTTCTTCGACAACTGTATGAAGGCTTTTATACGTATATTTTTTAGATGATTGGATAGTTAGGGTTGTTTAGTGGGATCGGCTTATTATTCGGTTTTTATTATTGTATGATTATTATTATTTTTTTTTTCTATTTATTATTTTATCAATTTTACAATAAAGTTTTTTTTTTTTTTTTAAAAAAAAAAAAATGATATATGTGTATGGGGTCCTTTTATCGGAAATATTTTTTTTTATTGGATGATTTGTCATAACACCTATAGAGAGAGAGAGAGTGCAACGTTTTATCTGATCAAAGGAGATAATAGGCTGTGAATCCTATAACTGTCATCATCATAGAACCAGCCACTTTGATGGTAGAGGCAGCACTAGTGGTAGGATGGGCAGTAGACGTACCAGAGCTAGCAGATGCAGCAACTGAGGAACCAGAAGATTTGTTGACGATACCAGAAGCACTGGAAATGATAGAAGAAACGGCAGATTGGACAGTGCTTGCAATATTTCCGGATGTAGATGATGATAATGATGATGATGGTGATGGTGATGTGACGGCGGCGACAGGGGAGCTGGAGGTAGTAGCGGCATTAGCAGCAAAATCATCCTCATCCATTTCCTCATCATCGGTATTTTGCTTGTCATCATCATCGTCATCTTCATCCTTTTTATCCTTCTTCTTATCCTTGGCTTTTTTCATTATATCATTTTGTTCCTTGGGGATATTTTCTTTCTGATCTTTTTTACCAGGAGGTAACTTTCCATCTTCATCTTCCAATTCATCATCATCATCATCCTCTTCTTCTTCTAAGTCTTCTTCAAATTTTTCTTCATCCTCTTCTGTCTTCTTGTTGGTTTCTTTGGGTTCCACATTTTTTCGATCATTTTCGGCATTTTCTCGTTCTACCTTGTTCTTGTTTTCATAATCAGGGCTTGCTTCCTATTTTTTTTTTTAAAAAAAAAAAAAAATCAAAGAGATCGGCTTTAGATTTCCTTTTTTGGTACAGGATTCTTTTTTTTTTTTTTTATCTTACAAATTCAGGATCTTTCACCATCAACGTACCAGTTACTGTTGTATAAACAGTAACAATGGATCTTGGTGCTGGTGGATGATTTGATGAATCAACTTCACGGTTTTTGTTCGAATCACCAGCTACAAGAAAATAAAAAAAAAAGTATGGAAGATTTAACTCGTTGTTATTCAAAAAGAAGGAAAAGTTTACCAGAAGCGGCAAGAGCAAGAGCAAATGTAAGTGTAGCGATAGATAAACCTTTCATTTTATATTTATTTATATGATAAAGAATCAAAAAGAAATGATATTACAATCAAGAAAATAGAAATAATAAAAAAGACAAGGCTTTTAAACCAATAGTGAACAAATATTCCCGATGGAAAAGGTATGTTCCTCTAGTTGGATTAAATTGAAAGATCTTTTTACTGATCTGAACTAGTTTGAAATTACCAATACTTGATCAACCTGGTAACATCGTTTATAACAACAGTTTCTTGCGGTATGTGCCTAATAAGTAAATCCAGGATTAAATGCGTGATTTATTTTTAAGAGACCTTGCTGATTTTACAATCGGTAGTAAGTGATTAAACATCTATAATAAATGATTGATATGGTGGTTCCTATACTGTCGTATGTTTCTCATGAAGGTGATTATTCCGATGATATGTGTGGATGGCACATACTGCACATTAGATGCATGCTCAACGTTTTATTTCTATTCAGTGGGTATCGTATTCCAAATAAGGTGACGGGGTCTCAATTTTGTTGCTGTTATTGGTTTTGATGGAAGGTCCTTTTTTCTATTACTTTCTTTCTTTCTTTCTTTTTTTTTTTTTTTTTTTTAACAGTCAACAATAATACAATGGGTATCCCAACTCACATGTCACCAGAAGAAGCTCGATATAGACAAGAAGCTCAAGAGTTAATGCAAAAGCAAGATCAATTACTCATTCGACTACGCGGCTTGGAAGAAGAACTACAAACACAAGGTATTGGGATGGATGAACCTTTGATTGATAGCCAAGGTTATCCTCGGTCTGACATTGATGTAGCAGCAGCGCGACATACACGCAACCAAGTATACCATTTAAGAAACGATCACAAAAAGGTAATGGCTGAAATAGAAACGGTTTTACATCAATTGCATCAAGTCAGTAAACCAAGAACGAACGATCAAGAAAATCAACAACCATCAACAGCAACAACCAATGATAGCACTAATCCAGCAACATCCCTTTATCCTTTCGCTAAAGTTAATGCGGTATCACCTGATTCTCCTGCCTCAGAAGCTGGTTTACGTTCTAACGATCTTCTCGTACAATTTGGAAATATCACAAATGCCAACTTCCAACAATTATCTTCTCTAACTTCGGTAGTGCAAGCATCTTTGAATCAACCTCTGGAAATCAAGATCATGCGAGGTCAAGACACGCTGACGTTGACGTTGACACCAAGGAATGGATGGGGTGGTCGAGGGGCATTGGGATGTCATATTTTACCATATACAGCATAGTTTAGTTTTATCGTTGTAGTTGTAGTTTAGTATAGTTGGCCATTTATCAATAAAACATTCACATATATTTTTTTGTTGTGAATTTATTGGAACTAAGTTTGTAGATCTCTCATAAAAAATGCTGCAAAAGTAGATTGAATCATCCAACTCCGTTTCAATCCTTAGTGATGCCAAAACGTTAATATAATTTCATACTTCCAATTCATTGATTATAACGCACCAACAAGAACAACAACAAGAAAAGCATCAATAATTATCAATTGTCTAATGACTTGAAGACTATGAGAAATACATAATTAAAAAATAAAAAGTAAAAATATGAGGCTCATGGTATATAGAAACCCAGAAATCAAAATAAGGTTCTCTCCAACGAGTCTAAAATATGCTCCAACAATTTTTTTTTTATTATTTCTCTTTCTTTACAAGAGAAAACCAAGCTTTTCTCTTTTTTTTTTTTTTCTTTTTTCTTTTTTCTTTTTCTTTTTCTTTTTTCTTTTTATTTTTTTTCTTGGATAAAAAGAACTGTATCTACCAGCATTGTTACCTTGAACAGTATGGAAGTGGGAAACGTATGAATAACTAGAATATTTTTTTTATGACAAGGCTATGAACACGTTTTTATTTTTTATATTAGGATGGAAATACATTGTTACGCCCTACAGGTCCACTTCTTTCAAATTTGGCCATCATCTTTGTACAAGCCATCGCATACACTCATATTACTCGTCAGGAAGCTTTGGTAAAAAAAAAAAAAAAAAAAAAAAAAAAAAAAAAAGTTTATTAAATAGTCTTCTTATACTTGTTCCTTTTTCTTTTTTTATTATTATTTTATGTATGTATGACTTAGGACGTTATTGGTTTTATGTTATCAAGTCACTCTCGTCTTGTTCATGAACAATTACTGGCATCTTTTATTCGACTTGGGTTACTTGAACGCATTCCCTCAACCGCTTATTACCGAATCCTGCAGACCAACGTTTGTGGAATATTTACCCCTATTTCTCACTGTTATTCCTCTACATGCAATCATAGTCGTCCATGTTATTCCCCTACTTGTCCTCACCAGACGTCTGACCTTGACCTTTTCAATGTAAGCCCATATATATATATATATATATATATAGTTATATTTGTAGTCTCTCTTTCTTAACTATATGTTCCTCTGACTTTCTGCTAGGCGACAAATTCTTGGTTACAACGTATTCCTCAACAGATTCTTCAAAAAACTCATCGACATGAACTTTTACGACAAGCCGCTGTTGTTGACTTACTCTCCATGGAACAAAGTTATCTTGCCGACCTACTTGTATTAGATGAAATTTATGCCAAACCTCTTTCCTTGTCACCATGCATTCCATCAGCAACTCGCAGCTCATTCTCCGTACTTTTATTTGGAAATTATCGGTCGATCATCAAACTTCATCAACGTTTTTGTACTGAACTTTTACAACAGCGTCAGAAATCGAATCAACTTTTATTTGGTAATGTGGGATATACCGTTCAACAACATATCCAAGCATTAATCGACCCTTATATTCAGTATACTGGCAACCATATCCGATCATCTTATTCCTTACGTATGGAACGTCGTCGAAATCCTCAGTTTGCTCAATTTTTGGATACTCAGAACTGTCAACCTCGTACAAGACGTTTAGATCTAGGTCATTTTTTGTCTGCACCAACTTTATGGATTGGGAAATATCGGATGCTTGTGGAAGCTTTAGCGAAAAGAACAGCAATTGCTTCTGAAGATAAATCTATTCTTCATCAATGTGTTATTATGTTACAAGATCTACTTTCTCGGATGAATCAAGCTGCTACCCATGCTGGAAATGATGCAAGGCGAGATCACATATCTGCTTCCCTGGCTCATTCACTTTCCTCTTTCTCTTCCTCTCCTGAAATGTCGACTCTAACCTCTCACCAATGGATGTTTCCGGATGATGCAAAATTATTACGTGAAGGAAAAGCTTGGCTACGACGATCCTCGGGAACTCCTATTCCTACTACTCCCAATATGGTACAATGTCACATCTTTCTTTTTGATCATATGCTTTTTATCGCTCAAGAAAGGATGGTCGACGATATGGAAGAATACTCCTTGTTGGTCAAACCTATCCCATTAGCAGCCTTTATCTGGATGGACGATGATCAACATAATAATTACAATTCATCATCACCTTTGATTCATCGCATTTCTCGCCACCTCTCTTCAAAACTATCCGCTAAATCATCAACTATTTGGTCAACATTACGTAAGAGTCCTTCCGGTTCTTTTTCATCTTCTCCTCCTATCGGTAATTTGGCTAGCAGCAAAAGTACGCCTACAGTTGCACTTCCAAACACTTGTCCATCTGGAAACTCGCGAATACGACAACGTTTACGTACCAACCGATGGTCATCCAGCTCAGTCTATACTCAAGCATCTTCGACAGCATATTCATCTTTCTCAGCACAAAATCAACTGAATCGGCGGCAATCTGTACCAGAACTTTCGCTTATCACACGTGAACCGACAATGGCTACAAATGGAGCATCGAAGACAGCTACATCAAACACTCGCGGTACAATTAAAAATAAAAGAATTAGCATCTCTCCTTTGACACCTATTGATGATAACCAACAATCAACACCATCATCATCGTCATCATATTCGTCAACATCATCAGCATGTGGTATCACTGGGCAACATGATCCTTCTCAATCGTCATCCTCATCATCGAATATCCTTATCAGTACACCATCACCATTAGAAAATGTTGATAACAATTCACCATGTCTTAGGTTTAGTCACGCAGGATGGATAGGATCACCTTATCGTCTAGAATTTGATGATAATTTGGAATGTCAAGCTTGGAGAGATGTCATTGAACAACGTCTGGTCACATTACAATCATTGTGTTCACTCTGTCCGATTTGGGAACCATCTGGCTTAGTTTTACGAAAGATGACACCAACTACTCAGCAACAACGACAAGATGACTGGCCATCCTTCAAGAGACTATCTTCATCTGCTTGGTCACCTATCCCAGCAGCATCGATGCCACCGTCTTTATCAACATCACTGCCATCCCGAATAAGATCCGATCCAGAGGAAGGTTTAAATCAAATGCAAATCCACTGTGCCCTACATTATGGTAAAGTAAAAACATGTGTGTATTTAATTGATCAAACTTTTATTTATTTATTTATTTATTTGTGTGTTAATAGAAACAACTCTAGGCGAAGATATGATAGCACTTGGAACACAGGATGGGGTTTGGATTGGACCTCAACATCATTTGGAGGACGAAAATGATATGATCGACAAACGACAGCAAAATAGATTCACTCAGATTATTCCTACGCAGGCTTGTCATGGATTGGTATTGATTGAGGATATGTTGGTGGCAATGATTTATAACCCAAAGCAAAAATACACCCTAGCAACATATCGTTTACTTGGAGAAACAGATGATAATTTATCTCAAAGTAGGAAATTGAAGGATCCATTGACGAATCAAAATAAATGGTCTATTGTCAAACGGGACAGTGTGATTTCTATCTGTGTTGGACGTCTCTACCAACAATCAGTATTAGTCTATTTGACTCGATATGGATCTCATATTTTGGCTGTGGTAGCTATACCCAAATCACAATCTCCATGGTTCAAGAAAGTTAAGGTAACTGGCGGGAAAGCGAGTGGGAACATTCGGCATATATGGATACTTAAATATTTTTATTACTATTATTATTATTATTATTCATTAATCGACTTTTTTTTTTTTGAATTACTAAAAAAAAAAAAAAAAAAAAAAATAGGAATATACTGTCTGTTTGAAGGATGCCAATAATATATATCTCCACAACAATACGATATATGTTCAATCCAATAAATATGGTGTAGAAAGTATTGTACCAAGTCGAAAAAGGGAAACCACCGTACATTGGCAGCGTCTATTCGAATCTCCTTGTATCAGTTATCTTCCGCTCTCAAATGACCACGGCTTAGTAGTTACTTCAATAGGCGTCCGACCCGTTTACCTTCCAACAACAACAACAGTGCCCAAGAAGCTACAGTCATTTGATTTTGAATTACGCATATCATCTGTATCCATGGTATATCCTTATTTGATAGCATTTGGTCTTTCCATGATAGAAATATGGAATGTTGAATCGGTAAGATGGGTGGAGATGATTGCAATTGGTGAACTTTTTTTTTTTTTTATTAATTTCCTACTTTTATTTTTGATAGGCCACTCTTGTCCAAGTAATACATTCACCAACTATCCGACGTTTATATGACTCTACTCAATGCATCATCAACAATAAGCGACAATCCGATCATCCAGTCATATTAGTGGGTCCTACATCTTCTTATTCTCCATCCTGGGATAAATCCAATAAGCCGATACCTTTTCGCATCTATAAACTGAAACTAGATGACACTTTTTCTTTCAATAGTTAGATATCTCTTCTTCTTTTTTTTCTTTTCTTCATTCTTCACTTTTTTTATACATACATCTACATGCATTCAATTCATTTTCTCTGTCATCCTTCCATCTGTTTTGCTATACTTCATTGAATTTTTACACATCTTGTATTTTCCATACAATAAAGAATATCACAATCAAAAAAAAAAAAAAAGACAATTGTATTTATTTCACTATGGGAAAAGATCTGAAATAAATTTTATTTTTCCTGAATACGTTTATTTTTTTTCCTGACTCGATTTAGTACAGACGTCCTTGATTTCTGATTTTTCTGAAATACATTACGTCGCTTTCACAGTAAATTAAATGCGAATTTCGGAAAAAAACGAAATGAATGTCGGATTTCCGAAATTCATTTAGTATTTTCATCATTGATTCCAGAAAACCGAACTTCATTTCTGAATACAATATACAGCCATCGGTCATTATAGACACGAAAGAGACTTTATTTCATTGATATAAATATAATACATAACTATACTACATAACTATACTACATAACTATACTACAAGGATAACGTTCACCAGTACGACCAGGACTAACACCTCCAAGATAATGATCATGACTTCCACTTTGGATATAACTATTTTATTTGATATGGATACTTCAATTGGCAGTCTAACAGAGTCATTCCGGCGAAGAAGGGAGTCGATCTTGGCTTGATTGTATAGTTTGCAACCTACAGATAAAATTAACAAATAGTAATCCATCATAATCCATCAACATCACTCTCTTTTCTTTTCTTTTTTTCTATATAAATGTTACCTTGGCTATATCATTGGATGCTTGTATCACCATTATTATATAGACGATAATCTAGCAAGCTACAAATAAAATCGCCAAAATGAGTAGTAATACATCAATGTTTGTCTCTTTTTCTTTTCTTTTTCTATATAAATGTTACCTTGGCTGCACCATCGAATGTTTGCATCACCTTTATTGTATAGACGAGAATCTAGCAAGCTACAAATAAAATCAGCAAAATGAGTAGTAATCCATCAATGTAATTTCTTTTTCTTTTCTTTTTCTATGTACAAGTTACCTTGGCTACACCATCGAATGTTTTGTACCACCTGTAAACCCAATATCATCATAACAGTTGGCTCGGAGAGAAATAAAGGCTTGCCAAATGCAGATATCAGACAATTTCAGATCATCAAGAAAGATAGTTGTATCGTCTTACGTATAGCGCTCCACTATCAGTCATTGATATGATCCTCAATAATTTTTCCAAACCAAATACCGCAAATGTCAGGACTTACAAGGACTCCAGCATGAAACAACACGATCAACAGACAATAACTGAATTTCCTACGTGTTGCATTTTGCCCTCCACCTACTTGAGCACAAAATTCAGTCACTAGATTCATAAACGATTCTAGAGACTGATCATCCTCGACCAAGTCCATTGCCAGTAAACAAACAAAGATCAATACACCATGATCTTCGTCTGACCAAAAGCTAAGTATAAAATAATGATGACCATTCAACATTTGATTGTATAGACCGCTATCCTGAAACCTAACAGATAAAAAAAAAATAAACACAGTGAGTAGAAATCCATCGATCTTATTCACTTTTTTTTTCTTTTATATATACATATTACCTTGGCTACATCAGGTTCCAATATTGATGTAACAATCATAAAAACCAGCACCAAAGAGATAACCAAAAGCATTTTACATATAGTATAATTTGTTGACTTTTTGTCAAAGAGAATGGAGATAACCAAAGGAACAGGAGTAGTAGCCTAAGACCACGAGAGAGAATGATAATAGGGAGACACCATATCAAGCGGGAAAAAACAAAGGGCAAAGACCAACAATGCAGGAAAAAGATCTTGAAGAAATCACCAACCACAGTAGAGACAGATAAGAGGAATAGAGGGTTCAACCACCTGTGAAAGAAATATTGATGAAAACATCATTACAATAAGAGGCAGATGAGAGAAAGGAAAAAAAGGCTAACCAAGTATGAAAACAGATATTGAGGAAGACACCACCAGAATGAGAGAGATCAGTGCAAGAGAGTCCAACCAAGAGAAGAAAAAAAAAAAGGATAGAGAAGAAAGTACCAAGTTGGAAGACAGATAAAGTAGAGAGAAAGACCAATTACGTAGATAAGAGATTTGATGAAAAATACCATTACAATGAGAGACAAATGAGAGAAAGGGAGAGAAAAAGAGAGTCTAACTAAATAGAAAAAAGAAATAAGATGAGCCACCTCTTGTACTTGTTGTTTCAAGATGTATTTGTGATTTCTACCACTTCTTCTATCAGGAATCGCACCAATTCATTTAATTCATTACTAAACGGTAATGGTATCCAAAGTGTTCTTCAACCAATATTTGGCTTGATAATGCTTGTGGGAATATGGAGGGCACAGAATGAGCTACAGTTTGTCATGTTAAAAAAAAAGTGAATTAAACAAGAAAGAAAAGCGAAGAAAAAGGAAATACGGTGGATTTTCCCTTTATGCTAATGACTGACTTTGAATCGACTTTACCATTTTTTTTTTCTCTTTGATTTTGTACCTGAAATGCATTTCATTTTTACGGAATCCAATTCAAATTTATTTTAGATCTTTTTCCCATAGTGAAGGGATCTGCGAAAAGGATACGAGTCCCAAAAACATAGGTTTGGTTTAGGATTTTTTATTTTTATTTTTTTATTACAATAAACTTGTTTCTTTTTTTTTAAAAAAAAAAGGTTGACTTCGGACGAAATTCATTTCATTATAACGAGTTCCATTTCATTTCAAAATGAAATCAATTTAGGAAATCCGACATTGATTCTTGTAAAATAAAATGAAATTCATATTTCCGGAATTGATTTTACGACACGAAACTCATTTCGGATTTACGACATTGATTTCATTTTGAAATGAAATGTTTCCGGAATCAGTTTAGAAAAAAATTAGAAAACGAAATTAAACGAAATTCATTTAAGAAGAATACTAAATTAATTCAGGAAATACGAAAAGGATTTCATAAAATGTCGGAAATCTGATATTTATTTCGGAAATCTGATATTGCTTTTCCCATAGTGTTTATTTTAGATTGATGATCGTTTATATGCCAATAAAAAAGAAAGATCATATCTACTTTTTTCTTGATTCATTCGTAAAAAAGCATTTGGTAGATCCTATTGTGTACCTATCCAGTTTGATCTTGCTGTAACCACATTCAATTGATTCGATATGGTATCCACAGTTGATTGTACACTTTTTATTGATTGATCAAAAAAAAAAAAAAAAAAAAAAAGACTAAACAGAATAAATCTAAAGTATAAACCTATGATCAGGGTGATAAAGGAATAGCTAAAGCAATTGGTAAACCAGAGTCGGGATCAAGCATGGAGCGTTTTGCATATTGAGGCATAAAAGCACGACGAAAACGTGACGAAGCATTTCCTGTACTCTTGTGTAAAAGATGACTTGACATAAATACGATACTTCCAGCAGGGAGTTGGATGATCTCTTGCACTTTTTCTACTGTAGAACCAATCATCAGAGTCCCATTTTCTTCATTAACTTCATCCAAAGCCATCCAACAAGCAACCGTGATTTCATTTCGCAATGATGTATCTTTGTAATAATCTGAATCCTAATATACAAAAAAAAAAAAAAAAAAAAATAGCATGAGTGATTGAAAGAGAAGGAATAGGAAAGAAACTTGCACGATGCCAAGCAAAAGCAGAGATTGATTTGGTATTAGGCGGTTTGATAATATATTGTTCATTCAACTAAAATAAATCAACAAAAAAAAAAAAATGTTAATATGTTATATATCGATTTGATTGATATGATACATACAAGATAAATTGGTTGATCTTTATTGATGGTGGTACCATACAAAAGAGAAGCTGCCCATTGTCCGACACTGGTTGTCAAAAATCCTGCAACACCTGGAGTAAGCTGGTCACGTCGTTCACAATAAGCTGCTTGGTTTGTTTTATATTTAGTATCAGAAGGATCCAAGTAGCCACATTCTAAAGGTTCTAAAAGATAATTATAAAAAACATTGATTCGTTGTTCATTATATCCCATCTATGTTTTTTTATTATTATTATTATTATTTTACCAATAATACCACCTAATTCCCGTAAAAGATCAATTCCTTCTGACATGAGATAGTTAGATAACATATCAGCTTCATCGTGTAGCATATTCAATTCAGACGGTGATAAGGCTATTCAAGACAAATGAAAAAAAAAAAAAAAAAAGGAAAGAATTGAGTTTCGTTAACAACCTATAACCGTCTTCACTTTTTTTTTTCCTTCTCCTTTTTTTTTTTAACCTTCTCGCAGTATTGTATATCCTTGAGTTTGGAATTCTTTAATATGTTGACAAGTAATGAGATTCATGGTGTAGCAAAGAAAGACAACAAAGAATACAGGAACACAAAGAAGTGCCCCATATTGAAACCCAGATGACAAAATAGAAAAATAAAATTACAAGCGTGATTCTTTTTTTTTTTTTTAAAAAAAATAAATAAATAAATAAATAAAGGGAATTAAAAAAACTCTTGAAATCGACTATTTCTATTCCATGAAGGGTATTCAAAAGAGACAATATCGGATGATTCGCCTAGATGGTCTATCACTTGCGTAGGAGAGATCATGGAGAGATTTAAATTGGAATCATAAGGTGAAGATGGTGTGGAGGAAGGAAAAGGCGATGATGATGATGTTTGAGCAGGAGAGTTAAACAAAAAGGTGGTGGAAGATGGGTGATCAGATATCCAGGCGCGATTCTCCACTTTATGCTGATCGTCTTGTTGCCCGCCTGATTGTTGTTTTTTCTCAGGAGGTTGCTCGACACATTCTACAACCATAGAGGACGGTGTATCATCCATGGCACTGTCACGATGATCATGATGGATTGGTGATGATGATCTTTTTTTCTTTCTTCTTCTCCATAATGCAAATCCAAGTAAAAGAAAGATCAATACAGTACCAAACACACTGCTTAAAATGATGATCAAAGGAGGTCCGTTGTCTTCCTTCTCAGTAGCATAATCGTTCTCATGATGCTCTCCATAGTGAATGTCATGATACGCTGATTGTTGCAATTCTTTCTTTTTTATTGGAACGGTATCTTCCACTTGCCATCGTTTTATAATCGTCATCAATAAATTTAAAAAAAAAAAGAAACGAAAAGAAGAAAAAAAAAAAAGGTACAACAAACGTCCATAAATAGATCACATCAACATAAATAGATACTAAGGAGATTTCAATTTTGACTCTAACAGCACTTACTATAAAATAGAAATTCATGCAACCATGCATTTTGATGTTAGAAGCTAAAAATACTTCTGTCACTCCTTTGATATGGCTGGAAATGCGGGGGTTTTTCCGATGCATGAATCATACTAAGCCGCATTCATCCTATAAAAATATAAAATCGTCAACGCCCTACAAATATCTTCATCCATCTATTAATCAACACCATATATATATATAAAGAAAACATGATAAATGACAGTTTATTTTTTTATGTGAATAATAAAGTGTTAATCTAAAGAGCAAAAGAAAAAATGGCCTCCATGTCTTCCACAGTTCTTGGTAAAATAAGATGAGGGTCTACACCGTACCCATTTGCCGGATCCTGTACAGCTTCACTAATCCTTCGATATGTATCCAATAGCAAATGAATGGCCTTATCCTGCACCTTTTGGCAATGTTCGCTGGTTGCTAAGTGTTGTAACTGGGGTGACACATCCGCACTAGCCATCACAAGGAATGAATCAAGTTTCGATAATGTATTCTTCAGTGATTGAGCGTTCATATTGGGTAATGAAGATAAAGGCACCTAATTATCATATTAAAAAAAAAAAATGTCAATAAAACACAACAAATTTATTCTCCTGATTTACCTCTTTTTCCTTAGTCTTCAATGCTTGATCAATCTTGGACAATCCTGATTGTTGTAAAAGATCACGACACTACAAAAAAAAAAATTGGATTAGTTTTCTATCTCTTTCTTCCTTTTTTTTTTTTTTATATTTACTTGTTCGTTTGCCAGCAAATCCAAACGTTCGTCGGTCTGTTCACTTAATGCTTGACGTTTTTTTTCCGTGAAACTATACATGGTCATGGTAGACTATAAGAAAGAGTTCTTTAGTATTGAATAAAAAACGGTTCATCACTACTCTTTTTTTTTTTTTTTTTACTTGGATATAATGAATACAATTGATCATATAGATATGATTATCCACTTTGTTTAGTTTTTCCACTGAAGCTTCACACATTTGTAACAGAGGTTCAACAATAGCATCCAAAATTTCACCAAAATCAAATTCTGGAAGATCGTTCACCGGTTGCGTAGCCATCACCAATGAAGAGTCATAAGAGGCCAATATTTCTTTCTATAAGGACAATGGAATTTGAGCAATCATTACACACTTTTTTTTTCTCCTAAATGATACCAACAACAACAACTTACCAATTGTGCAGTCATGTCTCGCACTACCGGTGCCACCGTCAAATCCTTGGATGGAGGCTATCAGATACCAGAAAACAGAAAAGAAGATTATTAAAACAATAACACTTGTTTCCATTCACTTACTTCAACATTTTGGAGTAATCGTTGCGATTGCGCATTCAATGTTTTGAAAAAGTACTTGTATGCCATTTCAGTGTTCCTATCATAAATAAAACATTAATATATATATATATATATATATATATATATAATAATTATTGTCCATTGTACTTACTCATAAAGGGTTTTCGCCAACACAGAATTTTTCCTTAATAGACGACCCATGGTGATTGCATAAAATTGTATCAGGTTAGCCATTTTGTAAGATGTGATAGCATTTGGTTGTAATACTAGTACTTGCTCCATTCGAGTCTAAAAATCAGCAATCAAAAAAAGTTTTGTTAGTATTAATCATTCCCACACAACCTCATAAAACTTACTTTCAACGGTCGACATGTTCCTTCCATTGCTGCATCTAATAAATCATCCACAGCATCATTGATCATTGCCACCGAAACACCTTGATAATCATCTATTTGTAATAGTGAACAACATTAGATTCATCTTATATATAAGAATACTTTTACCTTCAGTATTTGCAGAATTTCGATGAAATAGACCTTCTAACATTTCTTTTTCGCCAGCACATGCTTGATGAACCCATGCCAACATATCCCCAACATATCTTAATGAATCATGTGCTTGAAGTTCAATGGGTCTTGGTGTACCTCCTGGTCCTCCACGAGTCAACGCTGTCATAAAAGCACGAGCCACTGCATCTCTTCGAGCCATAGCCAATTCATCTAGAATCGTTCTATAGTACCCACCAAAAAAAAAAAAAATTCATAAGGAACGTCTCAGTATAAATGATCAGTAATATCAGAAAAAAAAAAAAAGGAACTTACTGAAAAAGAACAGGACGATGCCTAAGAGAATATAATGCCTTGGTCATCAATGTACTAACATCAATACTATCACCACCAAAGGAAGATCGGCTTTCAAATTGAGTCCATCGATATAATTTATCGTACGCTGATTCTTGATAAAGTGACATGGACTCCATGATTTGTAAACTAGAGTAAATATACAAATGTAGAAAAAAAAAAAGGTAATCAATATCAAGTTTCACAACACAGTATAGATATGTTTTTCTTATTGATGATTTACCCTGCTCGCTGATGAGCTGTCATGAGAAGTAATTTACAATCACTGTGAATTTGTTGTAAATGGGTCAAGGCTTCAAAGAAGGTGTTGTCCACAGGAGTTGTTGAAGAAGTCAAGCAATGAATTTCATCTTGATTCAAGGTGAATTTTTCAAGGAATCGATCCGCCACCATGATTCTCGTATCACAAGCTTCACTAATATCATAAAAGGTCAAGTCGGTAAGGTAGGTTTTTTGTAGTTTTATATAGTCATTTTTACCTTTGATCTTGATAATTGCTTGTTTCTTTGATCATCTTTGCTGTTTCAACTGCAACATCATCCAACTTGCCCCTCATCTGAGTACAAGACGCTTGCATATCTTTCATTTCCGTTTCCAAATGTTCTAATTGCTAATTAATCTCAATCATAAGTATCAAAACAGACAGATTTTTTTTTCTCTTTTTTACCTTGACCACAACGGAAAACGCGTCCATAAATTTTTGATTGGTAGCTATTTCTTTTTTTTCAATGGTACCACGTAAATTACGTCGTAGTTCAGTTTCATCCAGGTCAGGTATATCCGATAAAGCTGATAGAGCTGATTTGATACGGGTATCATCGGCGATCGAAGCATTCAATACTTTGTGAAGTTTGGCTGCCACTAATTTGTTGGGTTTGTTAGATACAAATGGTGTCGGTGATGGATCGTTCAAAGGACTTGATGGTTTTTCATACTCCATGTTGAAATATATATCAAAATAAGAAATAATGAGAAAAGATTGTAAAGATGAAAACAAAAAAAAAAAAGTGTTTGAAATGGGTAAAGATCTTTGTCTACCGAAAATCATTAGCGCGGAGTGAGAAAACGAGTCTGCAGCTATTCTACTGAATATATAGCTTTGTATTTAAAAAAAAAAAGAATAGCTTTATTGAAATGAAAATAAATAAACTATGTGCTAAACCAAGGCAAGGAAAGAATATCCAATAAAGAGATCCGTTTATCAGGTTGTCGATGAAGAAGGGAATTTACCACTTGCTTGGCTTGATCGGGTATGTCAATATCTTTTGGCCATCGAATACTAGCTTGAATGATTTGATAAAATAATTGAGAAGTAGTAGATCCATCACGAGCAGAAAAAGGTAGATAACCTACAAGTAAAGCATATAAAATCACACCTGTAGCCCAAGTATCCGTCAATCGTCCATCATAACCAATCCCTTGTACTATTTCCGGTGCTGCATATTCTTCACTACCACATCGAGTTGATAATAAAGGTTTTTCAGGGTCGATCACTCTTGCTAATCCAAAATCCGTGATTTTCAATTTCAATTGTCCACATTTATCATATAGTAAAATGTCTAAAAAAAAAAAAAATAAATAAAAAAAATAAGAGTACTTTCTATCATACGCTTCTCTACAACTTACTTTCCAATTTTAGATCACGATGTACCACATTTTGTTCATGCATCCACTGGACCACAGTAGCCAATTGAGAGTAAAGATCTTTTACAAGGTCCTGTTTGATCTGTCCAGTGTCATCATGCATATACCTTTTCTGGACAAAATCAAATAGTTCCCCACCATTGACATATTCCAATACCAAGCATAAATGTTGTTCAATTTCCATGGTGGCTTCAAGTTGTACAATCCCAGGATGATGTAAAAACTAAAATGATAAAGATATAAGCCTTCCTCTATTTCTACCAAAAAAAAAAAAAAAAAAAAAAAAGATATACAACTTGCCTGTAACACGGCTACTTCACGTTCTACACTTGATTTCATCCGGAGATCCTTTAGCATTTTTGATTTTCGAATCATCTTGATAGCGGATTTCGTGTTTTCCTTATCCATATGAGTGACTAGATAGACCTTGGAAAAAGCCCCCACGCCCAATAACTGATTAATACGAAATTTCCATATAGATTTCCCAATCAGAGATGCTTCATCATAAGTTCGAATAGCAGGTGAGAGTAAAGATTGTTGTTCACGCATCATAGTTGTATTCATCATCAATGGAGGTACTGATAGAGACCCAATGTCTTGAAAGTGATCATCATCAATATCGCCTAGGATAGGAAGTTCTGATAAATTGGGCATTCGTTGCTGTTGTTGTGATGATGATGAAAAGGACGGTGATAATGAAATGACGGGGATGTAAGAATCATCATCTTCTTCTTGTTGATCAACTTCATCTGGTGTTGTTAGCTGTATACTGGTAGGAAGAGAAGGTGAGATGATGTCATGCTTTGTAAAGGTAGGTTGATCACCAACTGATGAAGGACTTGGTAGAGGTATGATATGTCGAGGAAACGAAAATGTTGTGGTATTTTGTGGTGTTCCACTATCAAATACAATGGTAGGCGCTGGTGGTAAAGTGATGCTAGATGGTGGCTTCTTCCGTTCATGTTTAGTTACTACAAGACCTAATCCAATGGAGCTTTGTTCATAACCAGCAGTTCTCTTTTTCTAAAGAGTAATATAAAAAAAAATTAGTCACAATGATACAAATAAATAATAGTGCTAAATTACCTTGTTATTACGAAAAGGACTTTGATCATGATGTTCTTTTGATTTTATTGATGCATTGCAAGCGTCAACGGGGGAGTCAAGTATAATACAGCGTGATGACATTTCAGTTGTCATGATAAAAAGAATAAGGAAGAAGGATAGGATAATACAATACAAAGAAATTGAAAGGAAATAGACAACTACAGGAGAAACAAGTAGATGTTAAAAAAAAAAGGGAGAAACAGAAGGGAATAAATACAAAGGGCGGACGAGAAAGGAAAATAAAATAAAAAAAAAATATAACAATAATCATTCAACTTAGGATCTTGGTGGTTCAGTAATAGGATCACTTGGTGAATCTTGTTCTTGATTGTAATCTTTACCACGGAAGTTTTGTTTACATAAAGGACATAGACTATTGAGAGCAAGCCATTCATGTACACAATCCTTGTGAAAATGATGACTACACCTGATGATAAGGAAGAATGAGCTTAGTAACAAAAAAAAAAAAAAATACCGAACCGACATTTTCATACAAAATCATCAACAAATAAATAAACAAGCCCTGCATAATGTCTTACCATAGTTTACATATCAGATCACCAGGTTCATATTCAGATAAACAAATAGAACATAAAGCATCTTCTACTTGAGGGATGGTAATGGATGGATAAGATCTATCTTCGACATCATTCTTGGTTTTTTTGAAACGTAGAAACAGGCGTCGTGTCCATGATGGTGAGTTGATAGTATTTCTTTGGGATGCAAATGAAGATGGTGTTGCGGGGGTGGTACTTTCATTTTCTTGTAGTTGATACTTATAAATAGGGATCTTGAGTATTTCTTCTTGACTAGCACCCATTGGCATACCAGGTACTTCGGTAATATTGAGTATTCGAAGTATCACTAGCAAAATAAAAATAGTATTAGTTGTTGTCCTTTTCATAATATAACTTGGTTTTGTTGTAATTACCTAAAACAACCGGTAAACAAAAGATAACTGATGCACATAGGATGACAGGAATCAAAATAATAATATAACTAAGTAAAACCCAGACCAAGATGGTGTAATAAAAATGTCGAGCTAAATAAGAGCAATTTTCTGTAGTAAAAATAAGATAGTTTCCAACAATAAACCAAAGAATACCAAACAGATCCAATAAAGACTTTATTCTAAGGAGATTGTATAGTTAGTTCGTTAGTTGATTATATTATCTCTTTTATTTCCTTTACCTTTCACACCATTCCTTGATATTGTTGTTATTTTGTTCTTGTAATGGATTAACCCTTGGTATTGTAGACGGATGTTCTTGAGTAGGTAAAGAACTAGTAGTAGTAGTAGTAGACGAAGAAGAAGGAGAAGACGAAGAAGGTGTATAAGACGAGGAAGGTTGAGCTCTTGAAGCAGTAGCCATTTCGCGTTGTCGCCTATATTCCCTTTGTATTTCCATCCGTTGATCATTTTGACGTTGTTGACGTTGTAATAAAGTAGGACGATGGAGATATTGATATATCAAGAGTGGTAAGAGAAGTCCTATACGAGCTGTATGTACAATAAGATAGGTGCCTAGTGGTTTATCACAAGTATCATTGGAATACAGAGCAAGCATGACTATGGATACTATCATCTATAAAATATTAATTGAGTCAAAAGATGTAATCATAATAAGATTATCTTTTATTTTTATTTTTATTTTTTTTTTTTTTTTTTTTTTTTTTTACTTGTGAGACGATGAAGAAGACAGAAGAGACCAACATGAATTTGCTTGCACGAGAAATGTTTTGCCAAGATGTACGAAGGAAAAGTAAACCATTTGATCTAACTGTAGTCCCAGAAGGTGACTGTAGATCATTATGTTGATGTTGTATGGGTAAATTGGTAGAAGTAGAGGCCATGTATTATTATTGTATTCACATGTAATATATATATATATATATATAGAGAGAGAGAGAGAGTTAGAGAGGAAAAAAAAAAAAAAAAAAAAAAAAAAAAAAAAAAAGGAAGAATTGAGGAATTATAATTTCCCCATGAATTTTTTTTGTTTTTTCTTTCAGACACACACACACACATAGCAACTTTAATTCAAAAATCTTTTTTTTTCTTTATTGATATAAATAATAAATACATTCTATACTAGATAATCTACAAATCTACATTTTAGTGAAAGCTAACCAGGCCAACACAGCAGTAACGATGATATCTACTAATTGAGCAATCAAATACAATACGCATAATTTACCTAAGCTTCGGATATTTTGTTTCAGTTCACCCATCTTGAGACCCAGACCAATACTGACAAAAGACAAAGTAGAAAAGTATTCAGATACATAAAAACAATAATCCTTGACCTTGGCACGTTCATCAGGACCACCAGGAATCACAGTATTAAACAAAACAGCTGTAATGATAAAACCGAGAACAAATTTGGGGAATCGTTTCCATAACAAGACCAATGCTTTTTCTTGTTTTTTGACAGTTTTACTTGATCGTGTAAAATCACTTTTGTTTCTATTCTCCAAAGGTATATCACTTGTTTCTTGTCCATCTGGTTGTAATCGCTCTTGTTCTTCCAAATGAGCTAGTCGTAATTCATATTGTGACCAAAGCCAAGCCATGATGACAGAGAGAGGACCAATCAATACGTTTTGCATCATCTTGACAACGGCAGAAGTGGAAATAGCTTGTGGATCATTGTAAATACTAGCAGAAGCAATCACAGCGCCAGTAGAGTCTACACATCCACCAAACCAGGCACCAGCAACATTTGGATCAAATTCAAGGCTTTTAGCAATATAAGGAAGAGCAATGATACTTGGAATGGTGAAAATAGAAATCTAAAATAAAATAAAATAAAATAAATAAATATTAAAAAAAAAAAGATGAATATATATATATATATATATGACTTACAATGGCAATAGGCATATCTGTTTTATGAGGTACACCCATAGCAGAACCAAGAGCAATAGCAGCAGAAGAACCACAAATAAAAGTAGCACCAGACATGATAATAGATGTTTGCTTGTCAATATCTAAATAACGCCAACCAATAAATGCTACCACCATAAAGAGAGTAGGAGTATCCAACCAACTGACGAATAAAGCACGAGGAGCCAATGGTTTCAAAACTGCAATATCGATACATAATAATACCAAACTAATGGCAATATATAATTCCGTTTGTTGAGCAATTTTGATCCAATGAGGTAAAGGTTGATTTTGATGTTTATATATATAACCGAGTAGGTTGCGCAAAACACATCCTAAAATAATAGCCCAAATGGATGCCCCAAGACTTGCACTATGGAGTACAGCTAAAAATAAATATAAAAAAAAAAAATTAAGGATGAGGTCAGATTCCGTCATTATCCAAATTAGGACACCCAGTTTCCTTTTTAGTCATTTTCTATTGTTCGATTGTTTCTAACTTACCATTGCTTGCCAACATATTACTGATGAGAGCTACAAAAAAGATGACTACATAACCAATAGGAAATAATTGCCAATGTGAAGGTCGATAACAAGCCATTGCTATCCATAATAGACCACCCATAACGAAGAATAATACAATTAGACCATAATTTCCCACGTCAGCAAATGTCATAAAAGGATTGTGTTGCCAACTTTTAAAAACAGGACAAGGTATTCCTTTGAGTACAGTAGCAGTAACACCTCCAAATATAATTAATCCAATCCAACAAGCCATCCATTCTTCTGTATTCCACCAAAGGAGCCATGGTTTCCATTTTTCAAAGCTTGTTTGTTCAAAAGAATCAATATTATCTTTATTATCATTTAAATGACCAGATCCAACTTGTATTGAAGAAGAAGAAGATGATGAACTAATATAGTCTTCAGTGGTTCTTGAAGAAGCGTCCTTGGTTTTGTTTCTATAACCAAGGTTTTCTTCATCCATTCTATATATATAAAAAAGTCAATTTAAAAAAAAAAAAAAAAAAAAAAAAAAAGGAAAAGAAAAAAAAGGTAATGGATTGGTCTTTTTTGTTTCTCTGTCTCCTAAAATTTTTTCGGACATTATATTATCCAACGTTGCCAATGAACAACCGAAGAAAAAAAAAAAAAAAGAAAAAAAGAATCAGTCCACTTTATTTTAATTCCAGACTTTAAAAAAGCTTAAATCTCTCAATTGAACAGGGGGAACAAAAAAAAAAGAGATAAAACATAATAAAAAAATCTGGAAGAAGATAATATGTTACACTTTGGTAAAAAAGACCACATGATCAAAAGAATATAAAAGATAAAAAAGATCTTGTTTTTTTATCAAATAATGATAATGAAAGATAATCAATAAAGGAATAATAAAATCAACTTGATAATATATAATGGATCATAATAATCAATTAGATCAAAAAAAAAAAAAAAAGATTCTTTGTTCATCTATACAAAATTTTATTATCAAAAGTTTTTTATAATAAAAAGTGAGGGGAAAAAAAAGGGACTACGTGGGAAAGTATGGACCAATGAGACTATTTGATTGGTCAACTTGAACGTCCGATCCAAAATTTTTTTTCTTTTTTTTTTTTTTTTTTTTTTTGTATTTTCAACTTTCATTATTATTTTATCAAAATCGCGCGATTCCCCTTTTCTCTTTTCTTTGTATATCACTTTTTTCTTTATTTATTTATTATTTTCTTTTTCTTCTTATTTCTTCTTTTTTATTTATTTTATCTACTTCTTTTTTTTTATTTCTTTTTGGTCATCTATATTATACCTTGTTTTTATCATGGTACAAGACAATCAAATGTCCCTTTGTACACAATGTCAAACTGCATTTAATTCAGTAGGTTGGAAAACTGATATTTGTCCTAATTGTCAACCACACAAACAGACAACAATACTAGATGAAACTTTTGTTAGTAACAAAGAAGATACTTCTATTAGTTGTGCTAATTGTCATACTACTACTACTCCTCTTTGGCGCCGAGATTCCGATGGCAAGAATATTTGTAATGCATGTGGACTTTATTACAAATTACATATGACTCATCGTCCTGTTACTATGATGAGATCTGTTATCAAACGACGAAAACGAGGTTCTGAAAAGAAAAAGGATCAAGATTTGGATCACAAGAAAATTAAATCGGCTCCAACCATCAAAATGGTTCATACCCTACCACCATCATCAACAACTCAACAACAACAACCTCTATCACCACCATCCAATCAATATAAACAACCTATTTCTACTAATGACAATACCAGATTGCCACCAATGATCAAACCTACTTCTACAACACCAATTACTTTATATTCATCATCATCCTCTACTTCTTCTTCTTCCAATTCTTCAGTCTCTTCTACGCCACCTTCACCAACTATCACTAATACAATAACTACAACTTGCTCTCCTCCTTCTCATCCTGGACTTTCTTTCCATCATTCATCAACCGGTCCATGCCGACATATACAGGAACAACATGAACGACGCCAATATTTACAACAAGAAGTAAATCGATTAACTCAACTATTATCTGAAACAGAGGCCATGTTATCCTCTATTGATAAGGTACTAGAAGATTCTCCCGCTAATTCACCGTGCTCTCAGTGTAAACGACCTCCTCAAGAACAACAGGTAGCACAATTTCTCTTATCTCTCTCTCGATCTCCACCTGCCGCCTCGACAACTGGTGCAACCAATCTACCTCGTCCTGCATCGCTTCCTTTTCAAGATTATCCCAAATTACCTCCCATTATGGTTTCTACCCCGCCCACCTCAACTCCTACTTCTACTTCATCATCCTCTTCTTCTTCTTCTTCTTCTTTGTTACCATTAACTACTTTACCTCCTCTCTCTTTAAAATAGTTTCTTTCATTTTGATCATACTTTCATTTTATACTTTTTTTTTTGTTCACCCTTTTTTTTTTCATTCCAATGCATCATTTTCTTCTCATATGACACCACCCCCAATAGTTATTTTTTTTTTTTTTTTTTTTTGGTTTTTTGATTTTTTTGGTTTTTTAGCTTATCATTTTTTTTTTCTTTCCTTCATATATATATACACAAACATGTAACATTCTCTTTCTCCCCTTCTCTGTTTTCTGTATCACTTGGACCATACTTTTTTTTTTATCATGATCAAACAATAAAGTGTACTTTATCATACCTATTCTACAATACAAATAGAGTTTTTTTTTGTTTTTTTTTTTGGTCACTAAAAGAAAAGAAAACTGAAATATACAAATATTTTTTTATTATTGTATTGATAATTTGAACGCTTTCTATTTTGATAAATAGGAAGTAAGATGGGGGTGATATATATATATATATATATATATAGGTACTATAAAAAGTATGCATTTGATGGATGATAAATACTAACAAAAAGTGAATAAGAAAAAATGATGATGATGATGGGAAATATGTATTAAAAAATATATATATATATACATAAAAAAACTAAATCTATTGTTTCAAAGCATCATCATGTACACCTTGAGCACGACCAGAAGGATCTTCAGGACAACCCCATTCAGCTTTAGGAATCCATCGTACGACACTAGCAGTACAAGCTTCTTGAGGGAACCATTGTTCAAACATCACACGATACATATAGGCTTCCTTGGTAGTAGGTGTATCCTTGGTCCATCTTGATCCAGCTTGAGCAAATTCTTCATCAGTCACCTTGGTAAGAGACACTTCCTTCAATGTATCAATCCAACTATATCCAACACCATCTGAGAATTGTTCCTTTTGACGCCATAATACATTGTCGGGTAAATAAGGTTTGGCAGATGGATCATCCGATGTATCAAAGGCCTTGCGCACAATATACTTTTCCATACGACCTTGACTACGATCTGGCATCTTTTCCTTGGGATCAATGTTCATGGCCACTTCCAAAAATTGTTTATCCAAGAATGGTACACGTGCTTCTAAACCCCAAGCCATTGTAGATTTGTTGGCACGTAAACAATCGGATGTATGCAAGTTCTTGACACGAGTCACTGTTTCCTCATGGAAGCTAGCTGAGTTGGGAGCATAATGGAAATATAAGTAACCACCAAACACTTCATCAGCACCTTCACCAGAAAGTACCATCTTGACACCAGTAGCCTTGATTTTACGAGATAATAAATACATAGGAGTGGAAGCACGGATAGTAGTTACATCATAAGTTTCCAAATGATAGATCACATCACTAACAGCATCTAATGCTTCTTGAATAGTAAAAGTGAATTCATGATGAATAGTCTTGAGGTGTTTGGCAACATCACGAGCAGCAATCAAATCAGGAGAACCAGGAAGACCAATGGAAAAAGAATGAAGACGAGGCCATAGAGTAGATTCACCTATTTCATTAAAATTAAAAAAAAAATAGATTTAATATATATGTAAATAAAATAAATGATTTTTACCTTCAGTATAGCCAGCAGCAGCAATCTTTTCAGTTTCACGAGCAGCAATAGCAGCAATCAAAGAAGAATCCAAACCACCGGATAATAAGACACCATAAGGCACTTCAGCCATCAATCGTTTACGAACAGCAGTTTCTAAAGATTCACGTAATAATTTGAGATCAGCAGGATGAGTGGGTACACGAGATTCATCCCACCAAGTAGGGTTAAACCAACGCGTTGTTTCACCAGAATCAGAATCATAGATATGACCAGGAGGGAAAGCCAAAATCTTATCACAATCTTCATTCAAAGATTTCAATTCAGAAGCAAAGTAAACAGTACCAGGCATTTTAGAGTCCCAACCATAATAAAGAGTAGTAATACCAATAGGATCACGAGCAGCAATGATTCTATTACGTTTCTTATCTAAAAGTACGAATGAAAACATACCATCCAATTGTTGAACTAAATCCTTATCCATTTCTTTATACTATCAATCAAAAAAAAAAAAAAAAAAAGTGAATAAGATTATATAATGTCTTTTCTTTTTTTTTTTTTTTTTTTTTTTTTTTTACCATGGGCATAATGACTTCACAATCAGAATGAGTTTTGAATTCATATTTGTTTTTCAAGTTGGCACGTAATTGTTTATGGTTGTAGATTTCACCATTGACACAGAGAATAAGGTTATCATCATCACTTGTTAAAGGTTGAGCACCAGTATCTGTCAAAACAAAAAAGGCGAGTTTAATAGCTTGTTAGTTTTTTTTTTTTTTTTTTTTTTTTTTAAATATATAAAAAAAGAGTTTAATAACATCTTTCATGAATATAATAATCTTTAAATTACCAACACCAACAATAGCAAGACGTTCATGAGCAAAAATAGTATTTCCAGAAATCATACAACCAGACCAATCAGGACCACGATGTCTAATTCTAATAATAATAATAATAAAAAAGGGTAAGTTTTTTTACTTTATAAAGTGAAAAGAAAACTTACTTTTTTGAAAGATATAAAGCACGTTGACGGAAAGCATCAATATCGCCTTGATAGTTATAACAAGCAAAAATACCACACATAATATTATTATTATATAGAAGAAAGAAAGAGTGAAGAAAAAAAAAAAAAGAAAAGAAAAGAAACAAAAAAAAAAATCAGATCTCTTATATAAGAAATTGCGGGGGTTGAACACAAAAAGATTTGCTCCCCCATTTCTGCTTTTTGATGACACTGTAAAAATCAATATTCCCCTGTGATAAGTAACCCATCTAAATAAAAATGTTTTAAAATTCGATTAAACATGGATTCATTTTTTTCCTTTTTTTTTTTCTTTTTCCTTCTTCTTCTTCTTCTTGTAAATATTTTATTTCTTTTCTTTTTTTTTTTTTTTTTTTTCTTTTTGACATTATCCTTTTTTGGCCTGTGATTCATTTTCCTAATTCATTGGAGAGAATACACTTGAGTCATCTGCATCAGTTTCCTTTTTTGTCTACTAACTTTATTCTTATTTAACTCTTTCTCAATCAAATAATAATACCTTTTTATATTATTATTATTATCCATATATATTTATATTATTATCATCATATTATTCAAAAAAAAAAATAAAAAAAAGAAAGAAAGAAAAAGAATAATTCTTGATGATTCTATTCTACATACAGTATATTTAATCTTGATATTTTGACATTCAAGCAAATGACTCACTCTTTCCATAAAGGGTTTTGGCGGAGGTGAAATATATCTTTTTTATCTATTTTATTTCTGAATAGAATCGTTTCCTTTTTTGGACAATGATTGTAGGGGAGGGGGGTAAAAGATAGATTTTGCATGAATCAAACTTACCCTTTGAGAACTCAATTTTTATACAAAGTAACATTCTTTGAAAAAGAATCTCAAATTATTTTAAAAGTAATACACGAATATTGATTTGCCTACAATAATATATATACTGTATAATAATAATAATAATAATAAATAATATATATTGAAGATACATTGTAGTAGTTCTTTTCTTTTTCCTTTTTTTTTTTTTTTAAAAAAAGTATCATACAATTATTTATTCTTCTGTTATGTATGATAAAAAAAAAAAAACAGTAATATAGTAGTTTTAAATACATTTTTTTTTCTATAGATGAACCCAGTTCAATAGTTGTTTATCGGAGTTACTATAGAAGGAAATGGTTAGTCGATCCTTTTTTTTTTCGAGATTGTCTCTTCTTTTCTTTTTTTTTTTCTTCTTTTATTTATTTATTTCTTATCATGAACACTATTCTTATATATATCTTTCTCTTATATATATTTTTTTTATTCACTCAATATTCTACATTCATTTTTATTACACTTATATATATATCTAATATTGAAATAAAGTATTATTTAGTTAAAAATATGACTGATGCAAGTATCTTAATATTTGAATAAAACTACTAATACTAGAACAAAACTTATATTCAAACTTTTACGTCTTTTTTTTTTTATATATATAATATAGAATATAAAGACTGTTTATATTACTTCTCATTATGGTTGGGACCAAAATGAAAAAACTATTATGTAAGTATCTTTTTTTTTTTTTTTTTATTTCTCTCATTTTGATAATTGATAGGGTATATCTTTCCATTCCAAATGCTGATACTATTCAAAAGGAAAACTATTCTTTGGATGTCAAACCTCGTAGTGTTCATCTATGCATCGTAAAGTTATCTTCATAGACAAAATTGAACCCACGACATTCTGATGAACCTTTTTTTTATTTTTATTTTTTTTTGGAAAACGTAGAATGATCATCAAGGTTCCAATTATAGCTTTAAGTTGACTCAACTTTGTGGAGAACTTGAATCAAAAGAAACAAAAATCAAGGTAAGGAAAAAAAAATTATCCTCTTTTTTTTTTTTTTATCCTTTTTGTACAATAGATAAAAAAAACATTCATCATAGTCCTTTTTGTTCTTTTTCTCTTTTTGTTTATTAGTTCAAACCAAACAAGATTGTGCTTTATCTACAAAAAAAAGAAATTGGGAAATATTGGAATGATCTCAAAATAAAAAGTGTACGTGACGTTTATAATCAACTTGAAAGAAAAATGAAGAATGATGCTCATTATCAAAGTAAGTCCCAAGGTGGATGGATGATCACAAAGTATTTACTCTTTTTTTTTTTCTAATGGAATAGATACAATCAGGAAAGATGAGAAGGATGGAGATGGTCAGAAATCTACTTTAGAAAACGTCATCCATGAAACATTTGAAAATAAAAGTCCAATGTCACGTCAAACAGCAGAAAAACTCTTACAACAAACCATATCAAACCGTTATAGTAGTGATGATCCTTTTATTATCTCTGACCTAATCTATTCTTTACCCAATCATCATCATCATCATCATTCTTCTCCTGAAAAACATTGATATCTTGATTCTATATATCCCCATTTCATTAAGTTGGATCTAGTTTATACATATACCTTATTATTATTTTGTATGGAATAATAAAACGATACGTCCTTTGTTCATCATCACTCTCTCTCTTTTTTTTTTTTGATGCAATTTAACAAACCAGTTTTTGATTTTATACATCCATTCATGTATATGCTATGCTATCCATTTCAAAATCAACAAGGATATCCATTACTATGTAAGCATCCCATTTACATATTACATAAAAAAAAAAAAATAAAATCCCATGAATGCATTTTGGATTCAGGAGTTATCATGACTAAGCTGAGATGAATGAACTATTGGAATAAATAAAAATGCATCCATCTTATGCATTGAGTCATTCTATGTTTTAACACTTGAAAAAAAAATAGATTTTTAATTTTATTCATAAAAAGATTGAATGAGGGGGGAGGGTCAATAACAAAAGGGGTCTAACTAATATAATCTATTTGAATAAAGAAGGGTATTGAGAGATAGTAAATACTACAAAATAAAAAAGGATATACAAAAATTGGAAGTATCAGAAAAAAACTAACAGTCTTGGAAATTGAACTTGACATGAATACCACAAAGAGCGCCACACCACAGATAACCAGAAAACAAAACCATCAAGGTAAGAGGAATCAGCCAATCATCTTTGATACCTAAATTGGAGGAAAGTCCGATCACCATGGTCAACAATACACAAGGAGCAAAGGGTTCATTTCCGGTGATGAACAACCATAACATCATCATCGTTCCTTTTTCTTCATCATATTGTTTCGTAATGGGTTTAGAGGGAAATGAACCAGGAAGTGATGTTGTGGATGATAATGTGGTGAAAAAAATAGCCTTGATCAAAGATGGAAGAAATGGTGTAGCAGTCAAATGTTGATCCAATGATGATGATGATTCAAGTGAATTCAATGAAGAACATTGTGATGAATAGATACGATTATTGTCATGGTCGTCCCAACAAGTAGTTGAAGTAGTGGAATAAACAGATGAACAAGTACGTCTATGATCCATTCTAACACTGGATTCTATAGGTGAGGTATTCGTTGTTATCATAGGTGTTGGTAGATCATATGCCGACTTGTCAAATTTAGTCACATCATCTTGACATCCATCATCCCTAGTAGATTTTCCACGATCGTCATCCAAACAGAAAGGATCATCCTGTGCTGGCCTTGCAGTACCATCCTGTTGGGTACTCACTATCCTCCTTTTCTTCATTGTTCGAGATGCGGCCTTAATCATTAAGTTCATTTCCATAATTGTCGGTGCTGTCGTTGATGCATCTGCTGTTTCTACTGTAGGTTGTTCTTCTATTTCTGATGATGGTAATGGCGCTACTGCATTAGACAAAACAGGCGACTTTAAACTATGACTTTCAACTATCTAAACAAACGAAATCAATAAATAAATAAAGTAAGGGCATGTTAGTATATAATTTATTAGGATTTTTTTTTCTTCCATTTGCATTTCATTTCCTATTGAAAACCTTAAATGGATGATGTTCTTACCTTCTGCAAAGAGTTTAATTGTTGGCTCATAGTCATAAAGTCCTTTTCCAGTTGTGTCACCAGTTCATCTTTTTTCAGTAATTCGGAAGTCAACGCTAGTTTATCATTTTCTTGTTCTTTTAATTGTTTGAGTGCTTCTGCCAAATCTTGTTCCAATTGTTGTATTTTTTCCATCAGGTAACCATCAACTTGTTTGTTTGAAAGAATATCATTGCATTCGGTAGTCATTGTTGTATTTTCACCTATTTCATTGAAGGTTGATTGCTTATGGATCTACAAAAAAAAAAAAAGAGGAGTTTAACTTTTTTTTTTTTTTTTTTTTTTTGCATTTGGGAAATAATATGCAGAAGAAGGAGAAATTATTTACCTGTGATTGAAGATGATGAATCATATCCACAAGAAATTGATATTCAGAAGAACCAGTACAAACAATTTTAGATTGCCATTGAGATCGTTTCCATTGAGTTAGTTGATCTTTAGCTTCTTGAAGTTCTTGTTGTAATAATCGAGTTGCTCGTTGCCATCGTACATTGGACATGGTCAAATCACGAATATGTTGATCCAAAGGTTTTATTCGTTTTTCTAACCAATTTTCTCTATCCACTTTTAATAATCGATTCGCTCGTTGAAGTTTGGCATTTTCCAATGTGAGTGTTTCAATATCTACTTCTTGCCAACTTGATTGCCAAGAATTATGTACTGTCTGTTGTTGCTGTTGTTGTTGATGTGAAGTTTTCTTTTTATATGCATGATTGTTATTGAATAATAATCGGTCGGGTGATGTCAAGGGTGATAAAGGTGGCGAAAATAAACTAGGTTGATCTAATGCTTGTTTTGTATTGATATAAAGAGATGATTCTTTTCGTAAAGGTGGCGATGTAGGATCGGTAGGTGATGGTGGAAGAGATGGTAAAGGAGAGTATTCCATTTCCATGATATTCTTTTAAAAGAAAAGAAAAGATAAAAAATAAGAAAAAGGAAGATAAAAAAAAAAAAAGAAAGAAGAAGAAAGAGAAGAAAAGGAAATAGAGACCCTTTCCTTTTTTTTTTTTTTTTTTTTTACCCCACAGTTCAAATTCCGCTGCTTCTCTTTTGTAATGCAAAAATTAGGCGCAGCCACCCACATGCGTCTACACAAAAACCAGTTTTTTGACTTTACCCATAAATAAAAGATCCCAAAATATAAAAAAGAAAGGATTTATACAAATAAAGGGTAATTTAAAAAGTAACTTTATTATATATATATATAAAACAGTATATAAATGAAGCATCTAGACTAAAATAATAATCAAGACAATTCTTTGGATTGATATTTGATGAGATTCAAGATTTCCCGGTGACGTTTTAACCAAGATTTAAAAGATAATCCTGATGATTCTTCAATCATTGTTGCTAGTCCACCTGTTGATGAAGATGATAAGGATGTCCCATTTTCAATCGGTAGTGTTGAATCTTGATTCTGTTGTTGTTTCACCATTTCCAATAGATAATTTGCAAACACAATCAAATAAAAGTATCGTACAAGGTAATTCAAAAATCCTTCTTCAGCGATATGTCGTTTAGATGATCCCATTTCAGCCGCATCCATTCGAAGTTTCAAATCATAAATCGCTTTCCGTAAATTCTGCATATGGTCACACATATTGATTGCTTGATCAGTCAGCCGTTTCGCCAATTTTCCATGACTAAGTACACTAATGAGTTGCAGAATAACCCGATAATCTCCATTTTGTAATCGATGCTGTTCATCATTATTTTCTTCAGATTGTTCCATGTCCCCAAATGATAATGATACTTCTGAAGTTGATCCAATCTCAGAAATATCATTGGATTTAGCAATCATCGATAGTAAACAGGCTGTTACCATGCCAGTTGTTGTACGGCCACGACTAAGACAAGACGAAAACTAATTAATATCAAGTTTTTTTTTTTTTTTTTTTTTTTTTTTTTTTTTTTTTTTTTATAATCATGAGTCCTTACCCCATTTGACAGTTGAACATGATATCAGTTTGTTGATTTGAGAGTTTCATACGATCAATAAATTGATCAAAGACATCAGGAATAGGTGCTTGTTCATCAGTGCTATAAAGAGAAAAGAAAAGAGGAGAAAGTAAAAATTATCAATGAATTCGCTCTTGCCCCTATTATAATGACATTATTTCACTACTTGCATTGGTATTCTAAAGTAATTGACTTGATAACCTTCATCAATAATGGATTGGAATACTTGATCAGGAGTTTCAACACAATCTGGTGGTACAGTTTCCCATGTCGGCTAATGTTGTCCAAAAAGAGAAAAAGAAAAAAAAAAAAAAACAAAAAAACAGGTTGATTAGTTATCTTCAAATTACCCCTAGTCCCATTTCTGGACTTACCAATAAAATAAATCCACCTTTTTCGGCTGTTTCTTCTCCATGTAATAAAAGGCGTCCATTGTACGCCACCAGTTCTTCCATCACATCTCGTTTCATGATCCTTTCCATATGTTCCACTCGTTCTTTCGCAATACCAGTCGTTTCCAAATTTCGAAGAGGATTATTGTGAAGTCGTAGTACATAGGGTCGTTTGTTGATGTATAATACAGGTTCTTCACGAAGACATGTCCAGAGTACTTTTCGTTTTCCACCAGGCCCAGCATTCATTGCCTTGAGTATTGCCTTGATTGCGTCTTTGTTTGGCATGGCACAACCACAAATATAAGGTGGTGCTATTTGATAGTCCGATGCAGCTAAGAGTGTATCTATACTATCATCGTTGTTCTTGCTATTGATTTTCGTACCATCATTGGAGTAATCGGTATTCATCAGTTGTAAGATATCCATGTCCACAGCTAGACCACCCACCGTAGATGCTTTGCCTCCATACTTTACTGCTCGTTTCACTTGATCCACAGGTATACGTCGGAAATTGTAAGCACCAGGAATTTTTTCACGTAGACCCATTTTTTGACAACCAGGGAAAGCATCATGTTTGAGAATAGAGTTTTGACCTAATACTTGTCCCGTTCGAGCTTGCAATACATGTACCACTTCACTTGTCAGAGCTATTCCATCGCCTTGTATGACAAGTTTGTTGCTATCCGCTGAACTTGCTGTTGTTGTCATTGTGGTCGTTACTGTTGTTGATGATAGCGATGATGGTATTGTAAGTTCCACAGGCACAATACTTTCCAAACTGTCAGTAGATTGTAATTCCTTCAAAATGGTCGCAAGTTCAGGATGTCGTTTCATCCATTGCCCAAATGATTCTGTTTCATGCAATAATTCGGGGGAGGTGTTGTCCAAATAAGCCTGGAAACAGATAAGCACATAATATCGTTCCAAAGCGACAATGCCACGTTTGATCTTGGTTTTCCTTTTGTCCGGATCTGTTTCATTTTCCACTTGAACCCTAGCTTTTTCAATAATATCACGAAGATTGATGGTTAGGCCACACTTGTCCAGTACATCATCCACAATGCGTTTGTTTTCCAGGCCATGTTTGATCACCCGTAAAAGACTGTTAATAATTTGGTAGTTTCGACGTCGTATTGTCAGAGGTTTCTCTTGTTGTCGTTGTCGATCATTTGTTCCTTCTTCTTCTTCTTCTTGCGAAGGTATAGAACCAGATATTGATGATTGTTGATGTACCCAACGGGTAAGCAATGTGGCGATGACAGTTCCTAAAAAAAAAGTGAGATAAATTTGATAAGAAAACCAAGATTAGAAAAAAAAAAAAAAAAGGAAAAAAAAAGGAGGGCGTAAAACTGCCTTTTTAATCTTTATTATTTTTTCGTTACCTGTTGTAGATCTTCCAAGCCCAATTTGACAGTTCCTAGATAAGATTTAGGGATAAATAAGATGAAACTCCTCTCCCCCCTTTTTTTTTTGTAGTTGATACTACTTACATGACAAGAGCCGTTTTTCCAAGATCTGCTGTAGCAATAATAGCTCGTAATTCATCAAAATCTTCATAAGTAGGTACCTTTTCTGCAGTAATAGGGATACGATGGTAAGTCAGCATGTTGCCTTGAGCTGTATCCAACTCTAATTCTTCAGACATTTCGCCAGTCATAGATTCCATTACTTCACGCACGGTCAATACATCATCCACAGAGACTTCTTCCCATTGAGAAAACACTTGGCCATCTTGATTTTCACCATGAAGTAATATCCGTCCTTCGTAATTATTGATTTCTTGAACAATATCTTCTTTAAGTCGATCTTCCAGTTGTTCTAATCTTGCGCCAGTGATTCCTTTATACGCTCGAATGTTGCGAAGAGTAAAGTATCTATCACGAAGGACATAAGGAACTCCATTAATATATATAATAGGCTCTTCTCGTAGATTGATCCAAAGTATTCGTTCGTTTCTTGGTCGATCGGTAAGTAGTTGTCGTATCACTTGCTTTAGTCCATATATCGTTGGTTGTGCTATACCATAAACATGAGTATTGTCAATTCGTCTAAAATTGGATGCACCTTCAATATAAAATGAATGATGAGTTTGAGGATGATTATAATTGTTGATATTATCGAGTTGTCGTGGAGTTCTTGAATGGATAACCGTATATTCCTGTCGTTCATTATCTAGGTAGTGATAATACCAAAAGTCGACCTTGAGGATATTTTGAGCTGTAAATACTGCACCTTTTCGAGACTAATAATGGATAACAAAAGTAGAGAGGTTAATTGAAGTTGACTTTCTTTTTTTTTTTTTTATCACTTGCCTGAATAATAAAGTTTTCTACTTCAGTAACAACAATATCATCATGTTGTGATCCTGCGCCTTTCATATCAAACATACCCTTCGAACTACCATGAAAACGAGCATGAGATAAAGTCAATGTTGATCCATGTCCATAACCATGTTCAATAGATTGTAGTTCTTCTATTGGACGGAAATAATAAAGCCGAGGACCTTTACGACGCATATTTTGTAGCATAGACCATATTTCAGTACGAGCCTTGATCCAAGACGAGAATCGAGTTTCAAACCGAGTATTGGGACTTTCGTTGATATATGCCATAAAACAGAGTAAAAAGAAGTAACGTTGAAGTGCCTTGGATGCTTTTTCCAAATAAAGATTCTTTTCATATCCATTGCCACTGCCATTGGGTTTATTATTCTTGGAAGAAGAGGAAGATGCTGTTGTATTGTTGTAACGAATACGATTGGTCAAGATAATTTCACGCAGGTTCACTACAGCATCAGCTACATGGAATGAAGAAGAAGAAGAAGAAGGTAAAAAAAAAAAAGAAGGTGAGTCCTAGGAATTGATTCTATATTTCTATTTATATAAACAAACATACATCGATCAATCATTTCATCTAAAATACGTTTGCTAAAAACTCCACTATCCAATACAGAAGTAAGAGCCACCACTGAATGATAATTGCCCATTATTGCTTCCATTAAATTGTCCATGATATTGCCTCGTTCCAAAGCCCATTCGATTGCAGAATGCGTTGACATTTTTGATTCCAAAGCTATAAGTATATGAAGGAAGGGAAATGATGAGAATGAAAATATTATATTTCTTGACTTTCCATACATACCTTGTTCCAATACATATACTAATCGTAATAAGGTTTCTTGATATTTCGCCTTTGGATTACCAAGTTCCAATGATACCACTGGTTCCGACGTATTTTTGGATGCTGATTGATAATCATAACCGGGAATGATGAATGGATCACGATAACCACGTTCGATAAGCTGAGTTCGACGGATAATCTGAGCAATGATAATCCCCACAGTAGCTATTATATATATACAAAAAAAAAAAGAAGAATGATTGTATGAGTCAACTGATAGACCATTATCGACTGTTTTTTTTTCTATTGATACTTACTTCGTACATTGCCTATACCACAATTGAATATTAAAGGCTCGGTTGGTTCCAATGTTCTAATAACACGTACATATTCATCAAAGTAATTATCTTCTGGGCCTTGTTCAGGAGATATAGGAATCCGAAAGTATTTCAATTGATAGCCTTGTTGTTGGAATTCTTGAAAGACTATTAATAAAAGTAGGTTAGTAAGAAAGTTACAATAAAAATCTTTGATCTTACCTTCACTAGGAGTTTGAACCTTATCTGCTGCAAGATAACAGGGTACTACAGTTCCATCAGCTATAATAAGAAAATACAAATATTAATGAGAATAACAAAAAGTATAACAAAAAAAAACTTACATAATTCTTGATGAGCCAAAATAAGACCATTCATCGAATTTGCTTCCTTAATAATATCAGTTTTGAGTCTTTCTTCCACTTTTTCTAATCGAGTTGCATTGATACCCCAAAACATATTCATATTTTGCATAGGATTGGCATATTCACGTAAACAATATGGATATCCATTGAGATAGACTAAACAATATTATAAGAAGGATTTATTATATAAATTCTATGACTTTATTTCTTTTTTACCTAAAGGTTCTTCGCGAGTAGAAAACCTAAAATAGATAAAGAAGTATAATGAGTATAGCGTACATTGATAACATCCTTTTGGAATGAACTCCGATTGTCATCCGACATGATCATATTAGCAGCACACTTTCATTAACGCACGTACCCATTTGCATCACATTGAATATCACCAGTCCTTTTTTTTTTTTTCTTACCAAGTACAAGATACACGATTGACACTTTTTGGATGACAATTCAAAATGGATAAGATGGTAGATAATCCGATGACCTATATTTAATATACCAAAACAAAAAAAAAAAAAGGATGTTACATAAAAGAAAGAATGATAAGTTGTGTCACCAAAAAAAGATTTCATTCATGTTGTTATGTTCTCATGGTTCATACCGTTGGTTGTGCTACACCATAGACATCTAATTCAGCAGCTCTAAAGTTAGGTCCTCCTTGAAGATGAAGATCTAAATTGGTGTTTGTTCCTATTAATCCAGAAGGTAATAAAATAATAGGTCAATAATCATATTTGTTATCATCTGATACATTTACTTACCACTTGAAAAATGATCTGCTTTAAGAATTGTATTTCTTGTCAAAACAGTACCATTACGAGATTTTATAAGGGTACTAGCAGCCTTCAGAAGGGATCGAGGATCAGATGGTGAACAAGTAGTAGTAGTAGTAATAGGTGACGAAGACATATGAGGAGAACCATGACCATTTTCCATAATAGATTGACTTCGAAGTGGTGGACTAGTTGCAAATATATCTAACCCTTTGTTTCTAATAACAATTACAAAAATAAATGTCAGTAAAATATATATATGTTCAATTAAGTTCATGAACATTACAGGCGAGGAGGCACAAAATTGGAAGTCTTGTTAGAAATATCTGTATCAGCAGTACGTCGAGAAAACTTTGGACTAGACAGACTGGAGGTAGGTGAGTCACCATATAGATAATTGGTTTTTGGAGGAGAACCAAAATGAGACGATGTCATTGGTATGTCTTTTGGTGATGAAGGTAACATGTAATACAAAAAAAAAAAATGTAAAAAGAAAGGAAAGAGAAAGAAATAGAGAAAGTCAAAAAAAAAAAAAAAGAATTAAGGGGGCGAAGGGGCAGAAGTAAGGTTCATTTTTTCCACGGTGGACCCCGCCTTTGTTGAGATTTCATAGGACATCTAAACATCAGTCAAACTTATCTGATTGGTCACTGTTATTCAAACATAGCATAAAACCAATCTTTAACTCCCACACTCAATTTAAACTATACTTTTACTTTGGTTATAGCTATCCAAAATATGAATTCTTTCTTAAGTGGACTCAGATCCTTTTAGAGGACCGCTTATCAGGTACACTGCCTGTTGTATAATGGTTTCACTTTTTGTTAATGGTAAGAAGAGGCAATAATCTGATACAAAAGAACATATCAACAAATCAATATTATTTATTTCATATATACAATTAAAAAAGGTAGATTTTGATGATAAAAAGGGGAATTATTTATCTATCTATCTATGTCTATTCTATTCATTCATTCATTCATCATCATCATCATCAATTATATCGTAGAGTACCCTTATTCGTAATGAACAATTATCACAACAAATCACATCATTGCCTTGTTCCAAATCTTCTTCTGATATCACATAACTACCAGAGCAACGACATATCAGACTGAATATTCTATTGCTTTCATCGTATTCCATATCATCCAAATCCACATCTGCATTGATTGTCACTTTTTGTCGTTGCGTCGCTACTAAATATTCCCCAATATAAAAAAAAAATTAGTTTGATTTGAATATATTTATTGTCTTCACTCTTTTATTACCCTCCAATTCATGATCATATAGTTTCCGTTTCTCTTCATTCCGTAAAACAGCCCAAGCTTGCAAGATACGATGTGCATAATCTTGATCTGACGTTGACAATGGTAGATTGTTTCGTTTATCAGGGTGATGCTACAAGTGTCAAGAGGTTGAATCAATCATGTTAGTAAACAAATAATTTTACAGCTTACTATCAATTTCTTTGTCTTCATTCAAATAATACTACGACTACTTACTTCGATAATCAGTTGTTGAAATCTTTGCTTGATTATACTAACAGGAGCATCTTTTGCTACACCAAGAACTTCATAATGGGTTTCCATGGATCAAGGTAAAGCCAAAAAAAAAAAAAAAAAAGAAAAAGATTCCCGGTTTTTTTTTTTTTGAATCCTACTTCGAGACGATTTTTCAATATCCGCCGAAGTCTTTAGAATCTTAGTATTTCACAAGAATATATGATTTATTATTACTATTATTATACAAGAATTCAAAATAATACACAAAAAAAAAAAAAAAAAAAAACCAACATAACAAAAAAATCATCAACTAAACTATAACATATCTATATATGTACGCATATGGATGTGCGTGTGAGAGAGAGAGAGGTGGAGGGAGTCATATAAAATGTTTCTATGGGGATAGCTAGTAATAAGATTTCCATTGTAAGATCGGGTTATTGTTGCTGTCATTGACTGTAGTTGTTTTTCTTTCCAAGATATCCATGATCTTTTCCTTCACACCAGCTTTCCTACGATGACCCTTTTCAAACCATTGAAGCACATCCTGAGCAGTGAGTAAACGTCCTTCCAATCCAAATTCTGGTCCATCACCAGTGATTGCCAAACGAACATCCTCCTCTGTTGGTAACGAGAATCTTGTATAAGGGTAGTTGATTAAATCCATATTGGATGGTAATTTCAAAGCATTTGGTGATGGTTTCGTAAAGTACAATTGTTCAATATCATCATCCGAGATATCTTTTAACGTAGGTGGCATCCATTCTGATTTCCGTCTTGGTTTATTCAACAGACTTGCATCCACACCTTCATGGAAGTCTTTTGTCACCTATTTTGTAGTAATAAAGCATCATATATATATATGATCATTAGCAATGGTAAGAAAATAAATATAAATGTTCATAGGTTAGATCATTTTATTTCAAACTTACCAAAAATTTCTGCATAAGGTCAAATTCCATTTTTAAACATTCGATCAGAGACATGTTTTTACTTTTCCTTAATGCTTTCAGTGTGACCCGCAAACTGGTTGGTGACATGGCCAATAACTTGTGTCTAGTTTCTCTTGTCCAAGATGTTTGTTTTTCTTCATCCAAAGCCTTGATAATGTCTTCCATCCGATCATGTCTAAAGCATCTGTCATACAAAAGAAAAAAAAAGATTTTTATAGTGATCCATTTTATTTTTTTTTTTTTTTTACTTTCATTTCCTTAGATACTTGTCTTCCTTACCTATCAATAGATTCTCTGATACTTTGAGAAAATCCTATCCGTTTGGTAGGGTAGGGTTCAGCAAAAGTTTCCAAAACTCGTTGAATGATTTCATGTTCTGACGTTTCCAAATCGATCAATCTATCTTCCAAAGCTAATAATCTTGATGAAGGGACATAATGTGTTGCAATGCCAGCATAACTAAAAAAAAAAAATGTTTGAGTAAAAATAAAAAATAAAAATAGAAGGGAAAGGAAAGAAAGATAATATAATATATTTTATTAACTGTAATAAGTAATTTTTTTTTCTCTTTTGAATCACTTACAATGCATCTAGTCCTTCAACTCTTGTTCCTGTCAAAGCCAGATAAGTACCGATGTCGCCGTCCAATTTTGGTAAAAAGAAACTTGAGCCAGCATTGAAGATGACACCCATAGTTGGTTCAGGCATTGAAAAAATAGTTTTCTCTGTCGCAATTCTAAAAGGACTATGAGCAAATAATCCCAAAGCACCACCCACTAATAAATATACATATATAAATAGTCAGTTTTAATGGTTTGTTCCTTATCCTTTTATATATATATATATATATATATATGTTGATATATTTCCATCCTACTTACAAGCATAACCATCCAGAATAGAAACATAAGGGGTAGATAAAGTGGATATCATTTGTATCAAAGATGATTTTTCTTGAAAGTAATATAAAGCATCTGGATCTTTTGTATTGACCTTGTGAATAATATCTATATTTTTGTTAAGAGTCAAAACAAAGGATCAGGTGAATAATAAACAATCATCATTAATCATTTGATTTTGTAAAAATTACCTAATACATCATCGCCCACGCTGAACTTTCCTTCATTAGCACCTTTCATCAATATCACTTTAGCCAATTTGGAGACATCCCATGCCTATCAACAGTATTAAATTTATTTAGTATACAAAGCATACCTAAATTATTGAAAAAGTGGATATATATATATATATACGTATGTTACCCTTCCCCATCTCATTCTACACTAAATATGATAAAAAATTACCTTGAGTTGAGGGGCAATGTTCCGTATCATGGCAAGATTCAATGCGTTAAGTTTTTCCGGTCTATTGAGTATAAACATACGAGCGCCAGATAGTTTTCGATGAAGAACATGAGTCTTCATTCATCCAAACAGACATGATATATAAGTGTTAGAGATAAGCAGATTTTTCCATCTTTCTTTTTTTTTTTTTTTTTTTTTTTTGTTAATTTACCTTTGGCACGTCTATTTCCTGTTCAGGAAGCTGGTTTGGAGTGAACTATAAGGATAAAAATAAGTAAACATAAAGTGTTTAACCTAAAAAAGAAAACATAACTCGTTTCGAACTTACTGGGTTTATATGTATTCGTCGTTTCAACTGATATACGAAGGAATAAGCATTATTATATTGACAACACAATCGAGAACCAAAGTGGTGATGAAATAAAAGTCGCATGTACTATAAAATATGCAAATTTATATAATATAGATATATATTTATATATAAATGTATATCAAAAAAAAAGAGAAAGAATGGAAGGAAAGTCGATAATGGGGAATAAGAAGAAAAAAAAAAATTAAGTGGAAGGGAAGCGGCTCAATGGCAAAAAAAAAAAAAAAAAAAGAGTAATCAAATCCCGCCTATTTGAGCCATCAGCAAAAGCAAAAAAAGAAGGCAAAGGGAAAACGAAGGTACCGGATGATTGATAAGTTAAAAAAAAACAAAAAAAAAAAAAAAAACAGATGGATGACATTTTTACTCAAAGGCAACAATAAACCCTTTATTTCTTTTTGTCTTCTTTTTTTTTTTTTTTGACCTTCCCATTGTTTTGGGTCGATTTACCACATTGAGTCTACTAAAATGAAGACAATGTTTTTTTTTTTTTACCTCCCCTCCCCCCTCTCTCATTCTCTCCCAAACTCATGGCTGAGAAAATGCAACCATGCCGATTTCATGCTTTTTGTAAATGTGTGATTTTTTTTTTTAGTTCCTTAAAAAAACATTCATATACTATTGTTTATTGCATCCCACGTTTTGAAAAGAAACACATACCAAAAAAAAAAAAAATCGTATCATCACGTTCCTACCGATCATATTATTGTTATTACACGATATGAAATAACAGATGAAGTTGAATGGAGTTTAAAACCTAAGAAATTGTGGGGAAAAGTGAAAAAAAAAAACGTTGTGATGATCTAAATAAGTATATTCATGATGATTAAAGAAAAAAAAAAAAAAGAGGCTTTCTTAAAAAGAAAAACCAAACTTTATCTTTCTTTTGTTTCTTTTAACCCCATTAAAGTATCATCCAGATAAACTTTTATAATAATAATAATAATCGCTACCTTATTTGATTCTTTATCTTTAAATATATAAAAAGTAAAAAAATGAAATCAATTTCAATTATTTTTTTTTTTATTATTTTTTTATTTTTATTTTTTTTTTTAAAAAAAAAAAAAAAGAAACTCAAGTAGTACCAAGATCATTTATAATAATAATGATGATGTATTAAACCACGTTTATTATGAAAGGACGTCATAGAGAAAATCAATGTGCTTTTTATGGCTCGTGCTTCTGATAGGTGTTTCTTGATGAGTAGAAATTACCAAGTTTGAATTTAGAGTAACTTGAATATTCAAAAGTAGTCAAGTTGGTTTTTTGAGGAGGTAACACAACATTGAATAATGACGAACAACAACTGTCAGTGCGTTTGCATCTATTCGATAATTCCCTTGATGATCCAATGAAAACGAGAAAAAAAAAAAAAGAAGGATGTTTTTTTTTGGTCGATCATCAGGGTAGTTAAGGCCACTTCTCCTTTTTTTCTTTTCTTTATTTATATAGTTGATCGTTTTAAAAAAAATATATATATAATTTTTTTTACGTCTAATATGTGATGTTAAATTTAGAATATTGGCAAAACAATGAATATCACTTAATGATAAACTAAGGTTTAATCGGATGTGATGAAGAAAAAAAGAAAAATAGGCCTGAACATGTACAATCTATTACCTCATTTGGATTGATTTCCAGTCGGACCTGAATAAAAAATTTGTCTTGTAGAGACACTAAAAATGAGATGATGTTTTTTTTTTTTTGAAAGAGGAGTATGTTGTATTGTGGATGATGATGGATATATATCCCCACTATTCATGTGAGTAATTTGTTATAGGGAGGTAAAAACATACGAACAAGATATAAAACAGGGTATCTTTTTTTTTTTTTTTTTTTTTACTCTTTTGTTTAAGAAAGAGGGGATTTTTTTTTTCATACACACTTTTGATGTAAACCTCGTTTGATAAAAACATAACATTGGTCATATCGGAGTGGGTAAAAATAACACATTATCTATGTCGCATGTAAATGAATCCTTTTTTTTTTTTTTTTTAACTAAACAAACGATATCTCGGGTTTTACTTTTCTTTTTTTTTTTTTTTAAAGTTGTCTCCTAAGAAACAGGGAGAAGATGATTTTATAAAAAAAGAAAACAGTCCATCCGTGCATTTCATCCTTTAACTAGGAGATGAAAGATTGTGAGAGAAAGGAGGAAAACGGGAAGGATGCCTGTCAAAAAAGAAATAGAGAGAACTCAATATGATTATTTGATATATAATAGAAGTAATTCTTTCTGCACCTTGGAAGCGGAATATGAAATATGCAGCATTTTGTATCACCTTTCCCAAAAAAAAAATTTGGGACAAAAGAGTGTATTGGTCGTGTTGAAACCCGTGATTTTTTTTTGACTCCTCCCCCCTTTCTTTTTTTGGTTTATTCTTATATAAAATGGGGGGGGGGAAATTGGGTAGAAAAATGTCTGTGATCTCTTTTTTTCTTTCTTTCTTTTTTTTTTTTTATTTTTTATTTTATTATTCTTTTCCTTCACTTATTATTATGGACATTCGTAACTTGTTGAATCAAGAACATCAACACCAAAAGCAACAACAACATTACCAACAACATTATCATCACCAACATTTTCAACATCGTCAACTTGATCAATATCAACCAAATCACCATCACTATTTTCATTATTCAATTTCTACAAATAGCACTATGAACGTGACAAATGAAGATAAACCGTTTGAATGTACTTGGCACGCATGTGGAAAAAGTTTCTCTCGTCGTTCGGATTTATCAAGACATAGACGTATTCATACTGGTGAACGACCTTATCATTGTGAATGGATAGGATGTGGAAAGCAATTTATTCAACGATCTGCTCTTACAGTACATTATCGAACTCATACTGGTGAAAGACCTCATGTTTGTGAATATGAAGCTTGTGGAAAATCTTTTAGTGATGTAAGTAGAAATGATTTATTCATGTGTTGATTTTTTACAATACTTACTTTAAAATTTTATTTATAAATTATATTTTATGATAATAATAATAACAATAATAGTCATCCTCTTTAGCAAGACATCGACGTACACATACTGGAAAGCGACCTTATGTATGCCATCATCCAGACTGTGGCAAATCATTCACTAGAAAAACGACATTGTCAAGACATCAACGCTGCCATGATCCTGAATGGAAATCCTCGGGGTAAGAAAGAAAAAAAAATAAAATCGATTTATCATCATACATGGACATATGTTAATATATGTTGTTATTTTCTTTTTTTTTTTTGATATAAAATTGTGGGTTACTAATTTATGTTTATAATGATTTTATAGTAATAATCGACTATCACCGCGTCAGTACCCAACACCTAGTTCTCCTACAAGCAACAGCGATTCTGAAACTGACTCTCCTAATAGTCCTCCTATGACACCATCCGACCAGGTACAATTCCGTACAGTGCCACCCTTGATTGCTCCTGTTGTACATCGGCTTCATCATTCTCCACCTAGTTTTCCTAAACTGTCTCCTCGTCACGATTTGATGGATCCTATTTTCACCTTCAAAGATACTGCTCGACCTTATCTTTATCATTGAACATTACTTGTGAATGGATTATTGGATTGATACATGAATATTCGGATGGATTACTTTGCCTTACAATCACTTTATTAGGATGAATGGAAAGTTAGTCTACCTATAGTCTCTCCCTCTCTCTCTCTCTCTCTCTCTCTCTCTCCTCTCTTCTTTTTTTTTTTTTTTTTTTCCTTACACTCTCACTTTACCTATCCACCTTTATATCTCTCAGTTTATTTATTTATTTCTCTTTTACTATATTACTATCACTACTACTATTATTCAATCATTTTATTCTTTCATTCTTCGTCATCAATCCCTTTCATTCCTTTATCTATCATATACCTTTTTGTACATAGTTCCATTTGATCTTGTTCTCCTCGTATGCTGATGCTATTTAATTTTATTATTACTATTATTATTGCCACTTCTCTAGTACATTTTTACTCATCTTATTCTTCTCACTTCAGCACATATTGTATATGCTTTTGTCTTTTTTTTTTTTTTTAACGATTCAAACAAAAAAAAAAAAAAAAAAGAAAAACAATAATCATACTAGTTGAATCATCTTCACATTCATCATAGTCTTAGTCTTTCTTTTTTATATTATTATTTTGTTATTATGTATGCCTTACCTTTTATAATTCTTTAGTTTTATCTCCCTTATTTTCACACGCATCCTCTTACCTTTGTATTTTAACGATCAATAAACAAAAATTATTTTTTTTTCTACATATCTTTGATTCTTACATAACTATTTTTTTGATGAAGATGATGATGTTGTATGATTATGTTTAACTTTGAACATTCAATCTTTAGAAATCATTTCTTTTCAACTATTGTTTATGATGAATGGATTGAATCATTTTGAGTACTTTCTCCTGAATACTTGGCTTACATACTATAATGATCATCAGCCTATCAATTATCATGATCATCATCTCCTCATTTCTTATGTCTTCTCCCCTTGTTTTGCGCTTTTCTTTTCGTTTTGGAAATTATTTTTCTTACCTTGGAAAGGCTGAAATCAAGTTGCCTCTTTTTTTTTTTTTTTTTTTTTTCGAAAAGGAGACAAATCCGTGTGTTGCAAAAGCATCAAACTTGTTTTTCATCCCTGTTCTAGTTTTACTTTTATTATTTCATATTATGTGTATTGAACGTACCTTTGTTCGTTGTGAAAATGGTTTCCTTATTAAGAACAAGATATTCATCTATTGACTGTAGTTATTACACAAGCTATAAACCTTACTTGAAACATTCCGTTTTTTTTTTTTTTTTGTGTCAACTAATTGATTAAAAACAACCAATCAACCATATCATTTACTATTATTACTATTATTATTATTATTATTCTCATTATTTTTCATCATCCTGTTTTACCATACTATTGGTCATCTTAGCCCTATGTATGCAGGGAATGGCAACAATACACTACAACTTGATTGTGAAAAGAAATACTCGTGCCTTTTCCCTTCAATGCTACAGAAAAGGAGATCTTTGAATGGCTTCCTTATGCCTACCCCGCAAAAGGAAAGTCAAAAAAGGTCTTTATGTCAAAATAAGGGTAATTTGCCGAATCCCTTGTTCTCCTTGATCCCTTTCAATTTTCATACTTTGTCGGTATTAACACATCATATGTTTCCCATCTTACACATGTTCCTTTTTTTTTTCCTATAGATTCTATTGATACATGCAAAAGAAATTTTTTTTTCCCTTGATGTATCAATATGAGATTAGATGGCATGTGCGTTTCCATTCATCCTTCTCTTCAACACGTTGAAATCAAAAAGAAATCAAGCATCCTCCTCCTCTTCTTCCATAATAAAAAAAAAAAAACCAACTTGATGGGAATCAATTTGATAGGATGATGTAAGGAACAATCGGACAAGATTACAATGTATGTATGATATTCTTCCAACAAGCATGTATTTCTTCCCTTCAATCCCTCTCCTTTGATCTCCTTCCTCTTTACCTTTTTTTTTTATTTTTTTATTTTTATTTTTATTTTTATTAGTCTCCTCTTTACATTTGAATTTATATCCCCTTGATGTCTGTTCTTTTTGTTACTACCGAAATTTACAATGTTTAAACATACAATCATCTCCTCATTGGTACCCTTTTTTTTTTTTTTTAGATCATTGATTTCGGAATATGAATGTCTGCGTATATGGTAAGGAGTGGGGGGAAGGATGGATCAAGTGTAAGCAACATTACCATGCTTAATGTACATTTTATTCTCCGGTTCGTGTTGTGTGTTCCAATCCTTTAAGCATAAAAGAAAGAAGAAAGATACAATAGATGATCTGATGAAAAAAGTAAGTTTCGTTGTATCCATAATGGTGTATTTATTTATTTCAGTGCCCAGCACTTAAAAAAAAAGAGTAGAGCATGTAAAATTCACGTGAATTTTCTTTTTTCTTTTTTTTTTTTTGATCAACTATTTTTTCAATTTACGCTTTCTCTTTCTTTTTTTCTTCTTTCTTTCTTTCTTTATTTTCTTTACTTACATTACCATCATTCCCCTCTTTTTATTATTTTATTGAAATACACCTTTTAACTATGCCTGAATTGAAAACATATACAAGAGAAGAAGTTAAAAAGCATAACGTTGAAGGTGACGCCTGGATTATCATTGACTCTGAAGTTTACAATATCTCTACTTTTGCTGATTTACATCCTGGTGGCGCCCAAATCCTTATTGAATTAGCTGGAAAAGACGTTACTGGTAATTACTTTTTATTTTATTAAAATAATAAAATATAATTCATTCTTTATTTTTTTGTTGTTGTTGTTGTTTTTTTAGATGATTTCTATGGTTTGCATAGACAAGAAGTTTTACTTAAATTTGCTCCACGTCTCAAGATTGGAACTATTGTTAATGAAGAACCTAGTATCAGACAACCTGAAAGTGGTGATTTATCTATTGTTCCTTATGGTGAACCAAGCTTTTGGATGGGTTTCCATTCTCCTTATTACAAGTAAACAATCATTATTATTTTTTTTTTAAAAAAAAAAGAATTTATTTTAACAATATTAATAATTAACCCCACTTGTTTTTTTATAGTGAATCCCATACAAAATTCCGTATAGCTATCCGAAAGATATTTTCATCTATTCAAGAAGAAGCTCAACAATGTGAAGAATCTGGTAAACCTCCTTCCAAGGAATTATATATGAAATTGGGTGAACAAGGTGTATTAGCAGCTCAAATTGGTCCTGGTCCTTGGATGAAACATATCATTAAAAAACTCCCTGGAGATATCAAGCCTGAGGAATTCGATTACTTTCATGAACTGATTGCTCATCAAGAAAATGCTCGTCTTAATGCTCCTGGTTTTGCTGATGGTGTGTCTTCTGGTTATGTCATCGGTCTTCCTCCTGTTATTCATGGTGGTTCAAAAGAACTCAGAGAACGTATTGTACCGGAAGTTCTTCTTGGAAAGAAACGTATTTGTCTTGCTATCACTGAACCTTATACAGGTTCCGATGTTGCCAGTATTCGTACTACAGCCAAACGTACTCCTGATGGTAAACATTTTATTGTCAATGGTGTCAAGAAATGGATTACCAATGGTCTCTTCGCTGATTACTTTAGTGTCGCTGTCAAGACTGATAAAGGTATTACCATGTTGTTGGTGGAGCGTGATGATTCTGTAGAAACAAAACCTATCAAGACCTCTTATTCTGCTGCTGCTGGTACTTCTTATATTACCTTTGATAATGTCAAAGTACCTGTTGGTAATATCTTGGGTGAAGAAGGAAAAGGATTCTTTATTATTATGGCAAAGTAAGTTAAAAGGGAATCAAAAAAAAAAAAAAAGAAAAAGATTCTTATTCTTTTTGATTTATTTTCTCTTTTTAGCTTCTGCAAAGAACGTTGGTATATTATTGCTGCTGTGAATGCTGCGTCTCGTGCGGTTACTGAGGAGTGTTTCAAATGGGCAAATCAACGAAAGGTCTTTGGAAAAAGACTGATTGAACAACCTGTGATCCGGAACAAATTAGCATCTATGGTAAACTTACATCCCCTCCAAAAGAAAGACAAAAAAAAAGAAAAGGAAAGAAAAAAAAAAAAAGAAAAATACTTATATATATATATATATATATATATATATATATATATAAATTAGATCTCAGAAGTCGAAGCAGTGGAAAATTGGCATGAAAATTTAACTTATCAAATGAGCAAGATGTCACCTTTTGAAATGGCTACTCAATTGCTTGGTCCTGTTGCCTTATTGAAATTCCGTGCTACTCGTACTGCTCACAATGTTTCTGATGATGCTTCTCAAATATTTGGTAAGATTTTTTATTTTATTTATATTGACTTGTGACAGTTCTCATTCATAAATTTCATCTTTCTTTTTTCATTATCAACAGGTGGACGGGCTATCACTAGAACTGGTATGGGCAAGAATGTGGAAGCATTTCAACGTACTTATAAATTCGCGGTAAGGACAAAAAAAAAAAAGCTTCATTTCTTTAAGTGATATAGATAATTTATCTTTTTTTTTTTTCTTATTTGATAGGCCATTTTGGGTGGAAGTGAAGAAATCATGGCAGATTTAGGTATCAACCAAGCTTTGCGTATTTTCCCTCAAGAGTCAAAATTGTGAAACTACTTTTATCATCCTCTGATTAGCCTTCCTTTTGTCTTGTTTTCTTTTCAAATATGTTGTTTTATTTTGTTTTTTAATAAAGATATATCAAATCGTCATTTGAATGGAGAGTGTTTTTTTTAAAAAAAAAAAAGACAATAAATTGGAACTCCACCCTCTTTCTTTTTCTTTTGTTTCTTTAATGATTGTTTTTCCTGGAACTCAAAGTATTCCTGCTATTGCAAATGTTTCCTTTGAACAACTAAAACGACTTGGACTCACTGCTGGAAGTTGGACTGAAATATTGGATACCACTGCAAACGTAAAGTAATAATAATCAATTCAATTTATATACTAAAACAACCTTAATATATTTCATAGATCTACTATTGTCGCGTATGGCCAGCATTTATACCTTCTGATCACGTAGTTGTTGATGATTTTATTCACAAGAAATCAACAACATTTGTATCCAATGGTAAATATTATGAAAAATATAAAATGTTATACTCATTTTTGTCTTTCTTTCCTTTCTTTTTTTTTTTATTCAGTGACATTGACACCGCTGGAACCTACTTCTGCTATTCAAGTGACTCTTGAAATATCGATCAAAAAGGATGCCACCCAAAAGGAACAAATGAATGAATTTGGATTTGTATTTAGGGAAGGATCTCGGGTGCAACAATTGGAGGTAACATATAGATCTATTTGGACCCTTTTCATAGGAAGACTAAAGTCAAAAAATAATGTCTATCTTGCTTCCATAGACAATCCGGTCTTTTATCGATGGTATGGTGGTAACTAATGGTATGATTCTAGGGCATTCGTCTAATTGTTCATCAACATTATATATCAAGGTATGAATAGATGGGATATGAAAAAGACTTAAACTCAATGACTCATTCTTTTTGCACCTTTTTTTTTTTTTTTTTTTTTTTTTTTTTTTTTTTTTTTTTTTTTTTTGTTGATGTTACAATATAACTATCGCACATTAGGTTATATCTTCCTTCCCTGATGATACTCCTGTTCTACTGGTAAATGGGACACGAATTGAATTCAATGTTATCGATACTGTAGAAGAACATGACAATTCCACCACGTTGTCAAATTCTGTCTGTACGACAGTTGCTGATAAAAATATCGATGACATTAGTTATGAAATGAAAGCAATGACTCTTTCTATGGATCAGAAAACTATCAACAAAACGTTGAAACCTAATGGACTCGAAAAGGCTTATGATTCACTTATTGAAATGGTCAGTTATCCCTTTATTTATCAAGATTGGATCGAAACACTCGGCATTGAATGTCCCAAAGGCATCTTACTTTACGGTCCTCCTGGTGTTGGTAAAACGTTTCTGGTCTCTTCTGTGGCAAAGACATGTGATGCTCAACTGATGGTGATTCAAGGCCCAGAACTTTATGGTCCATACGTGGGTGAAAGTGAAGATAAACTACGGCAGCAATTCGACCTAGCACAACGAATGACTTTGGAAAGTAACAAGCCAGTGATTTTGTTTATTGATGAAATAGTAAGTTTTCAATGTTTTATCAAACCATTCATTTTTCATCTATATTTTTCGTTTTTAAATAGGATGCTTTGACTCCTCGTCGTGAACAAGCTCAATCACATGAAAATCGAATGGTTGCACAACTGTTGACTTTGATGGATGGTGTGAAATCTCGTGGCAAGTTGATTGTGGTGGGTGCAACTAATCGTCCTAATGCTATCGATCCAGCTTTGCGTCGTCCAGGAAGGTAAATATATATAACTATAAAAGGAAAACAACGCAAATTGACATTCTCCCTCCTTTTTCTTTCTATAGATTTGATCGTGAAATCTCGGTGGATGCTCCTGATGTTAATACAAGATACAAGTTGATTACTTCTCAATTACGAACAATGCCCTTGGATTCATCTATTGATATAAGTAAGTGATAATCTTACATTTGAAACTAATATGGAGCTGGATATTATACAAGTTGATACATGAAATAACTCTTTTTTTTTTTTTTTTTGTTTCTTTATGATAGATTATCTCGCGCATTGCACAAATGGGTTTGTCGCTGCTGATATCACCTCTCTTTGTCGAGAAGCTGCTTTACATGCTGTACAAAGGAAGCAGATAGAATTCGATACGTAAGTTTACTAGTTATATAAAGACAGTATGTATCATTCTGATATTTACTTATACATATATATATATATATATATATATATTAGATCAAACTCTGTGAACCTGAACGATTTTAAGGTGGCATTATCCAAGGTGGGACCTTCATTACAAAGAGGATTTCAAGTAAACGTGGAAGCAACTAGATGGGAAGATGTTGGAGGTCTAAAACAAGTCAAAAAGGTAAATATACCACAAAGAAAAAAAAAAAAGAACCCATCTTAGATATTAATTGGATCTTTATTCTTAGCAACTGAAACAAGCAGTGGAATGGCCATTAATACATAAGGATGCTTTTACTAGATTGGGATTGAAACCTCCTAGAGGCATATTATTGTATGGACCACCAGGATGTAGCAAAACAACATTGGTCAAGGTGATTGCTTCATCATCAGGAGCTAGTTTTCTTTCGATCAACGGAGCTCAACTTTATTCTCCTTATGTTGGTGATTCTGAAAAGGTGGTACGAACAACATTCCAAAGAGCAAGAGCATCAGCCCCAGCCATCATCTTTTTAGACGAAACTGAAGCCATTGTCGGAAAACGCAATATGGGAAATGGAGGAACTACTAGCGGCGATAGCGTACAAGAACGTATCTTATCCACCTTGTTGAATGAAATGGATGGGGTGGAATCGGCAGAATCAGTGCTTGTAGTGGTAAATAATAATAATAATAATAAAAAATAACAATCATCACTCACTTTTTTATATATTATGTTTAAATAGGGTGCCACCAATCGACCTGATATGTTGGATGCAGCTTTAATGCGACCAGGACGATTTGATCGATTAATTTATGTACCACCACCAGATCCTGACGCCAGATTGGAAGTATTACAAATACATACTCGAAATATACCATTGGCTGAAGATGTGGATTTACAAGTCATTGCATTAATGGTAAAATAAAAAAAAAAAAAGGATTTATATCACTAAATTCATTTTCATATAGACGGAAATGTATACAGGTGCAGATTTACAAAATGTATGTCGTGAAGCTGCTATGATGGCATTAAGACGAAACCCTGATACCCAGTATGTGGTAAGTTAGAAAAAAAAAAGGTTGGATGTTTTTGTATATTTATGTTACTCCTTTTATAGACCATGTCCGATTTTGAAGAATCTCTGGCTACTATTCCTCCATCCATTACGACATCCATGTTAACATCCTACAATCAAACATAGATCCTTACTTTATAGAAAATCATTTTAGATATGTATATAGTTTATTTTCCCCCCCCCCAATCATTCATACAATAAAACAAATTCCATCATTCTTTTACATATAATAAAACAATTCAATTTTTTTTTTTGTATTTATTTCTTTATTCAAAATATACAATAACAAAAACAATATCAAATAAGAAAAAAAAAAAAAAAAGAAAGGGTATACTACAAAGATGATAAACTAAAAAAAAAAAAAAATCAAGAAGAGGTACCTTGTTGTTGTAATTCCTTTTCCTTCCGTATCCAGCGTTTTTCCAAGGTCAAAGCGGTATAAGTAGAAGGGATGACAGATACAGCCAATCCATTGAGTTTGGTTTGTTTGGCGATAGCATCGGCTTTGATTCGGGTCAATATGTCATAGGCCACCACATAACAGTACTTGCTATATTTTGAATGTTGTATTGACCGAAGATAGGCACAGCTTGCTTTGAGGGTTTGCACCAGGCGTCCATCGTTAGCCAAAAGATCCATTTGAAATACAGGCGAGGTCAAGGAAATCGCAGCTTGGAATTGTTGTGCATGATATTCTTCTACATCAGATAGACAATTAAATTTGTTGAGATGATCACCAAGTGCCGTTGAGGGGGAGGATGGTATCTCCTGTTGTTTTTGGTGAGATGACCGTTGTGATCTTTGTTCAAGAAATGTAACCACAGACTTGACATCTTTTTGATATCTGTTGAAACTGTCATCCACTGTTTGTCGTATTGTTTCCAAATCTGTTTGCATGATTTTGTCATCCAGTTTGATTGCTGTTTCCAATGCTTTTTCCCAAGGCGCTATTAGATCAGGATCCTTTCGTGTCACCAATTCTTCAGGAATGATGGAATAAGTATATTGTACCATTTTTTCGATTTCTTTGGAGATAGTGATATGTAGATGATCCATAGTCGTTGTAGGAGGCCGATCCACTAGATTAATAGAACGATTGTCATCGGTTGTTTTTAGTTTCTTGAGCTTGTCCAGAAACCAGGCAGGAGAAGGATATGGCGAGTACTTGATGTAATCTTCTTTTCGTACCCAGGATTTGATGGTTAGACCTTGTTTTGGACTATCTACTAGTAAAGCACACATCTGCGCAAGGTAAATGGCATCAGGTGTATCGAATGAATCTAATTCTGATAGAACAGTTCGCCAGTTTTCATATACCCCAAGTGTTCCATCATAAACAGGCACAGAGAGAAATAATTGTTGGAGTTTAGCACCTTGTTCATCCAAGTCTCGGATATGACGCAGTTCATCACGGATCTTGCTAGTATTTTTTTCAAATGCCACTTTGACACGTTCAGAAGTATCGGGTACAGGACAAGCATTAAAAGGTTCCACTAAACGTTGATCCCAACAACAAAAGATCTTTATTTAAAAAAAAAAAAAAAGGTTTGATAAGTAAAATTAATTTTTCTAAAAAAAAAAAAAAAAAAAAAAAAAAAAAAAAAAAAAAGAAAACTTACTAAATCACCATCGTAATCCCCACCACCAAGTTTACTAGCCAAAGAACGATCACCTTGAACGGAAAAGACAACCACATCAGAATAGACTCGAAGTGCTGACGAATCAACTGCAGTAACCTTTTGGACATCACTTTTTAGACCACACGGATTTCTTGTCACCAAGATATCACCCACAATCAGACCAGCATGAACCCCAGTCGTTTCATCGATTTTTCTATTGGATAATTGAAGGAAGACTTCATTTGGTTTCAAAGTACCAGTAGGATCAGGAACACACATCAGCGTACAAGATTGTTGAACTTCCACACGATATTTTGTTGCCATGTTTTGCATTAGTGCACGAAGAATTGTTGTCACCTTGTTAGCCAAAAAAGCATTCGTAAGATCAAATCCAGCATCCAGTAAACGAACAATGATTTCATATATATTGGAAGGTAACCCAGAATATCGATTGAATTTTAATGCACTTGATGGTGTAGATGTAAAAGTAGAAGAAGAAGAAGAGGATGATGGTGATGGTGGTGCTGTTGTGTCGACATCGTTGTTATCATCGCCGTCTAGATCATCTTCCAATACAGTTGATTGTTTTTGTCGTTGCCATAATCCATATCCAGAACCATCCAGTTCACGGCGAATATACATCAAACCACCCGTTCTGACAACCCAGTCCCGTAAAAGTCGAAGATTCCGATTGTTCGTAAGTATGTTCGTTAGATTGCTAATATGTTCTTGAAGAATATCCACAAAGACACTAGAGGGAACACCACCAGCAGAGAGGCACTGAATAAATTGAGTGTTGAGATAGGATGGATAAACGCAAAAAGCATTTTTGACCAAATCAAAGGTGAAATGTAGAGGATCTGTCTTCAGATCTACACCAGGAAGACCAGTCTTGAACTTGTTTTGAGAAGCACGAATTTCAATCCAATCGCCACTATTCATATCCAAATTGGGAGGTACAATCCAAATGCCTTTGGCGCCAGCAATACGTCCTTGAACAGCACAAGGTAGAATGTCGTGTTGTTGTGAGCCCATGATTTTACGCATCGCTGAGGGGGAGATGAGACCACATCCATCAGTCATACATGTTTCGTCATCCTTGATCTTGTTATCTGCATAAATATCATCGATAAATCGTACTTGACTAGGATCAAAGGACAGTGTTGGTATACTATTGCTGTAGGCAAGTGTCATGCGGCTAGCGAATTTGCAAGTTGTCAATCCCCAGTTGTCGATAATTGGAATGTGCCAATCAATCACTTCACGTACCGTTATTGAGGTCAATCCAGGGCCTTCGGTAGCAAACATCACCATACGATCATCCTTGAGAAATAAAAATCGATATGTACGTCCCATGAGTAAGAAAGGTTGAAGAAAAAATGTTGATTGGAGTCGTAGCGAATCACGAGATCGAAACTTGGAAAGTCGTAACTCCAGAAAGCGTTCATAACCATATTTTCTAAAGAACCGATTGGATGGTTGCAGTCGAGGAGGTTGTAACTGAAGGGTGGGTTTTTCTATTATTGACTCCGGTAAATGTACCTTGGCTGTATATCGTATACAACGGTTAGTGGATTTGATTTTGTTGGTTGTCGTACTGTTGATATTGCTTGTTGTAACGTCGATTTCATTTCCCACATCACGGTCATCATCATCATCATCATCATTTGTGTCGAGTTGTTTGTCAAAAATCCATACGCTTTCACCTACTCGTTCCAGAGAAATAAGCTTCCAAAGATTTTGATCCAGATTCAGTCGAAGAGCGTCAGTAGAGGAGGACCGAATCTCAGAGAACCAATTCATCATAGTGTCGTGAAGTTGTGAAGGTGTCTTTTGCGAGACATCTATAAAGTGTTGTGTGGTTTCCAGGTTCAGATCGTTCCAGGGGATTTGACAATGAGACATGAATCGAGCCAATTCAAATTGAAATAACCAAGGTGCTTTATTTAGTATACCAGAAGATCGAATCGGACTAGATATAATATTGTAACCAGGAAAAGATTCCTTTTCTTGCTGGATCTGCTTTTGAAACTTTTGGGCGAAATGATCAGGATCATTCTTTGGTGTCGTAGGCGTATTGAATGGTGTTGATTGTGTTGAAGTGGTGGGTGATGAAGTGGCTATAGAATGGCTATGACTGTTGCTTCCAAGATCGGTATTTATATTCACTACTGAGAATTCATCACCATGTAGTTTTTGTTTGCATTGCTTGACAGAATCTGAAGAAGGATTCACTTCTTCAAAAGGTCGTTTTACGGCAGTCCAGTTGCTGGTGTTGCTAGTGTTGTTGCTCGTGTTGTTGCTGTTATCCATAGTAGTAACATCGTTGACATCAGTATCAATACAAAGGTCGTCGTCATCCCAATCGACAAGATCTATAATACAAAAAGAAAAGAAAGTGAAGGAAAAAAAAAAAAAAAAAAAAGAGGTGAGTTGTACTGCATAGAATGTTAAGCGAGTTATAGTTTTTTTTTTTTGTTTTACTTTCACACAAGTCAGCCAAAGCCTTGTCTAGTTGTGAGATAAAGTCTGTCAATGTTCCTTTTTGTTTTGCGTGTTGAGACCACTGTAAGAATTGATGTACTACTCTAGTGAGTTCCGGCATGTCAGTGGAGAATAATAAGTGCATCTTTTGAATTTCAATCGGTAGATCATGGAGTTTGTTGGTGTCGGTCAAGGAACGTTGCTTTTCAGAAAGTCCAAGATGAATATATATTTGTTTGGCATGTTGTACTATCTTGGGATTTAGTTTGAAGTTATTAGTCATAACAACTAATCAAATGACACGCCTTAATTGATACAAGTTTTTTTGTTAAAAAAAAAAAAGAAAAAAAAAAAAAAAAAAAGGGAACTGCCCTAAAAAAAAAAAAATCTGAATGTATCAAGGAACGCTGTGTTTCAAATGTTAGTGGAACCATCGAATGACAGATCATCACGTGAATAAGGTACGTTCATTATGCACGAGGGGCAAAGAATATTTATTGAATAATGGATAACTGAAAAAAAATCTAACTAAAATAAAAAGTAAAATGAAAGGAAACCTGTACATGATGTAATAATAAATGCTTTTATATGAATTGAATGAATAATAAAAACGGAGGAGAGAGGGGGGATAATCTATTTGAAGGGAACCGAAAGTGGATCGATTACTGTACCAAGTTTGGTCATCACTCTTGGTTTGGTCATCTTTTGATAAGAGTCTCGAGTATTCCATTCCTTGCCAACAGGAGCACGTAATGAATGTTCGTATTGTTCCATACTCTTGAAAGGGAAAGGTACCGTAGTAGCTTGATATTTTTCAGACTAAAGAAGGAGAAATAAATAAAAATAAAAAAAAAAAAAAATAAATTATCTATATAACTAAATAATCATTAATATTACCTTTTTATGACGCTTTTCATTGATAATAACATTTGCCAGTTTTGAATCCTTTCGTTCTGCAGCATCTATTCCCTTTGTCACCTTGATAATCTTCTTTTTGTTCTTTGCCTTAGTCTTGATACCTTTGCCACCCCAGGAACCCCAACCAGGTAATGTTAAATCTTCCACCTTGTCCCCATCTTCAGCAATTACATCTTCTTTTTCTTGTTCGAATTCTTCCACTACATTATCATTTGCAAATGCTCGAGCTACCAATTCACGTTGGTTAAAGGATAATTTGTTTGATGTGGAGATCATTGTTGGAGCAGCTACATCATCTTCATCATCATCACTATCTTCATTATTTTCCAATGTTGTTGATGGCTGCTGTGAAGTGCTGATATTCTTTGTTGATTCGCTGACAGTAGCTTGTGTGGTAGCTGTCGATTTTGTCTTTGATGATTTTCCAGATGATGGTTGTTTGGTTGAAAGAACATTGGTGAGATCCAATTCCACATCCTCTTCTTCATCTTCTTTTGGTTGAATCTTCTTTCCTTTTACAGCTTTGTTGGATTTACTTGCTTTCTTGGATATGCGGGAGGTATCGTTTTGTAACCAAGGATTGGCATCAGTAGAATCTAAATCGGCAAGGGGACTAGAAGATGGAACACTTGTTGCTTTCACCGATCCAGAAGTACGGGTAGTATGACTAGCACTAAGAGCAACCTTATCAATTTGACCAGCATCATTGAGTTTGACGGAAGCACTAATAGTGTCTTCTTGTTGATTTTCGGAAGATGTTGATACTTTTTTCTTGTTTGCATTCTATTGATAAAGAAATTAGATTAATAAAGTTTTTTTTTTCCATGCAACCTCATCTTCCCTCTTTTTTTTTTTTTTTTTTTTTAAAAAAAAAAAAAATCACACCGTTTCATACCTTTTTAGAACCAAAAGCCATTCGACCTGGATTATTGGCAACATGAGAGTAAGTAGGATCTTGAGCGTTTTTCTCATCATTGTCACTGTTTTCATCCAACCATTCATTGCGAAATTCATCCAATTCCTCCTTGGCAGCAAGTTGTTCTCTTTTAGCAGCATCTTGCATAAATTTCATAGCAAAGATGCCTTTTCCAGGGGTATCTTGATCCAAATCCTTTTCCAAAGCATCCAGTTCCATAGCAATGCGTTCCTTTTCAGAGCGTTCCACACCATCATCATCATGATCAGAATCATCACCAGATTCATCATCACCCGATTCTTGACCTTGAATCTTACGTCGAAGTTGCTCCCCACGTTGAAGTTGTTCCATGATAGCATCACGAGTACCTTCGTCCTGTTGACCTCGGGCCAATGCACGTCTTGCCCATTTACCAGTATTCTTGTGTTTGAGAGACATACGTTCTTCAGCACGAGACATAGCTGCTTCTTGTTGTTCTTCCAATGAAATTTCATGATCCAATTCTTGTAATTTTGCCATTTGATCTTCTAATCGGGCCTTTTCTTGTCGTTTCAACTTTCGGTAACTTTTACTCTTGATCTTCTTCATTCGCTTGGCCTTGACTTCATGTCGGAACATCAATTCACGCATCATTGCCAGTTGTTTTCGTCGTTCTTCCACTTCTTCCACTGTCAACTTATTGAGTTTCAGAGCTTCGAATTCTTCCAATTCTTCATCTTTCATACCAGCTTGCTGTAATGCTTGTTCAATTTGTTTTTCCATATCAGTATTGGCGACAAATTTGCTGGCTAAAGTAGAGCTGGTGAGTTTTTGTTGAGTAACAGATTCTTGCATAGGAAATGATAAATGATCAGCCTAACAACACAAAGATAAAGGAAGTATTAATATAATTTTTTTTTTTTGGGATTTTAAGATCTTACCTCTCTATTTTGTTTGACTGTAGGTTCCCAGCGAGTAATTTCCTTGTTGGCTTCTTTGTAGGCGGCTTGGCGTTCTATGCGATCTTGTATTCGTTGAGGTAAAGGAGCATCCAAAGCAGTTTGTTTCTTGCTATCAGCAGCCATAGATTTCACTGTTTCACGAAGTTCACTGAGAGCCACTTCACCATCCATTGATCCCATCAAATCTTTCAAGTCTAATTTGGTTTTCTTTCCAGCTGAGGTTGGTTTTTGTGCAGGTAAATTGAATTCATTTTCTTTGTAAACTTCGGATCGTTCCGTCAATTGTTTTTGTCTCTTTTTTCCATCCTTATCCATGCCGAGCTTTCGTTTCTTGGTATCCAAAGAGGTAATAAAGTCAGTTACTTCTTGTTGATCACGATAGCTGTCGTCTTCATTGGATGTGTCTTCATCATCGTCAGAGAATCCAAGAAATTCTTCCATATCCGAATCTTCATCATTATTCGCAGGTAGTAAGGTATTTGCAGTTTCATTATCCAGCGCCACCCCAGGAGCTTCATTATCGCTAAGCATATCTGCAATATCCATATAGTCATCGCCATTCACATCACTTTCATTGTCACTATCGTGTTGATCGGATTCATCCAAATTGATTTCACCAGTTTCATCGTCCGAGTTTATATTTTTCTTCTTCAAGTGCTTTTTATCAGAAGGCTAAAATGAATAGAGATGTTTAATGGATTGAACTTTGGCTTTCCTTTTTTTTTTTTTTTCCTTTACCTTTGTAGATCCAGCAAATTTAAAATGATCAAAACGGTCGTCATCAGATTCATCAAAGGCTTCATCAGAGTCTATTTCTTCATCGTCATCACCTTGGATATCACCAACTTGGTATTCATAATTGTCTACTTCGTCTAGATCATGACCTTTGCGTTGTAATTGGCGTTCATCGTCGTCAGCTTCAAACACATCAGTAATATCTTGTTTTCTTCGATTTCCTTTTTTATTGTTTTTGTAATTTCCCTTTTTCTGTTGAGGTCGAACCATAGTAAAGGATATCAAATAACAGAGAGAAGAAGAAAGAAAGAAAAAAAAAGTGTAAAAAAGGCAAAAAGAAAAAAAAACTGGGTGGCTTTTTGTCAAGCAAAAAAAAAAAAAAAAGTAAAATCCAAATTGGATTTATTGAAACACCGAGCATTTTTCTTTTTTTGATAAGAGTTTTGCTTCTATTTCCTGCTACGTTGATATTAATGGTGAACAGTTACTTTATAACGTTATTGTTTTTGGGATTTGTAGGTTTTTTCCATACTTCTTATACACATGATAATCATATAAATACCCAATTGGTCTTGAGTACGTCTCAGCATTTGACAGTAAGAAAGAAAATAAGGAATCACTCTATATCTCATTAACTTGTATTCTTTTTTTTTTTTAAAAAAAAAAAATAAAAGGGTTCTGACATTCTTTCGCAACATAGTAATATCAATGATGGAAAGAAATCTATCAAACAGTTTACAGGTGGTGATACTTTGGCTTATGTGACTCCTTGGAATAATAAAGGTATGATGATACCAGAGAATCTTAAAGGAACTCATTCCTTTATTCTTTTTTTTTAATTCTTCTTGTACTAGGTTACGATATTGTCAAAAAGTTCAAAGGAAAATTTGATTAGTAATAATATGAATAGATGAAAAATAATCATAAAGAAACTAACTGATATAAAATTTGATAGTGTTTCTCCTGTTTGGTATAATATTCAATCTCAACAGGAACGGTTTTTGATCACTGGTGAACATGATGTTGATAGATCAGTAAGTACATCTATTGAAAAATCAGTGATAACCTATATATATATATATTTCATAGTGGATGGAACAAGTGAAAGGGAAGACTGCATCTGGTGATCTAGTGGGCAAAATCGTACCTCGGTTTCAACTTGAAGGATGGAAATTGGAAGATTATCAACGTTTCATTAATGACAAGAAGAAAGCACATCAGTTGATAGATTTAATCATGAATCAAGTCAAGTAAGTTATTCAAAAAATAAAAAGATGATTCTAATTTCTTTCATTTTTTACTTCGTAGACGATACGAATACGATGGCGTGGTACTTGAAGTTGGTTATCCTGTAGCACTTTTGTATTTTCTGGAACACATCTCACGAACACTTCATGAATTTAACAAGGAATTGATTATCGTATTACCTCCATTACGACAAGAATATCAACAAATGATCACAGCAGATATTTATCAACATATGGCGACATTTGTGGATCGATTCAGTTTGATGACTTATGATTATTCGAGTTACCGCGCGTAAGTTATGATTGATGAAATATATATATATGTAACACAACATTTACATTCATTAGTGATGGTGGACCGAATGCTCCTATTGATTGGATGATGGACAATATTATTGGACTTACAAATGAAAATAATCGTCATCAATTACTTTTAGGAATCAATCTTTACGCCATGTCATATCTTCCTACAAGGCCACCACAACCACTAGTGATGAATCAAGTATTAGAAAGGTTGGCAGCACCACGAGATACTTTAGATGATAACGAGACAGTCATCAATATAGAATGGGATCAAGAGAGCGAAGAACATTGGTTTGAAGATCAGGATGAAGATGGAATTATACAAGGAATCATATGGATGCCGACAATTAAGGTAATTAACAATACACAATATTTTTGATAACTTACTTGGCTTGTATATATGTATATATTTTTAGTCTCTTCAACGACGAATTCATTTGGCAGAAGATTATCAAGGTAAAAATAGAAGACTTTTATTTTATGTATATAATTAATTGCTTTCGGTTACTTTTTGTCTTTTTTTTTTTTTTAATAGTTGGTTTATCATTATGGGAAGTTGGTCAAGGTTTAGATTACTTTGTAAGTAAACAATTACAAGATATACAAAATAAACAAATAAAGGCTAATACGTTGTTTCTCTAACATAATTCTTAATTTTTAGTATGACCTATTTTAGTCTTCCAATGGCTATCTCTCACATAGTGTATATCTATTTTCTGAAATTAGATTATTTCATTTTCTTCCTCCCTGTAAATAAACCATTTGATGAATTCATTATCATCAACTTTTCTTTTTTTTTTTTTTTTTTTTTTTTTTTTTTTTTTTTTTTTTTTTTTTTTTACTTATTTATTTGAAATCTGATGTGATATGACTTTGATATATGAAGATAATACATACAAGTAAAGACTCGGAGACTAAGATTAGCTTCGATTGTAATCTCAATATGAATTTGATAAAATCATTTTGTAGTTGTCGATATGGAACAACTATAATTATTAATTTTAAAGATGAGCTTATTCTCGGTAATTATAATGAACCGAAAAAGAAGGTCAGCGAGGTGATCCAAAAAGGGCAACTGTCATTTTTGTTTCCGAAAAAGAAATCTAAAGACAAACAAGAAACAAAAATGAAATCCAAAATACTTTGTTTATATGATATATCTTTTTTTTTAAAAAAAAAAAAACCCGAAATGATCACTTTCGATATCTTTTCTTTTCTTTCTTTTTTTTTTTTTTTTTTTTTTTTTGTCACTATTTGATCCTATGAAACTCAGTTTGAAAAGTTTTGCATTAATAGCCTTACTTGGTGGATTCATCTCCAATGTGGTAGTACATGGAGCTATGGAAGAAGAAGAAGATGATGATGATTCACCTAGTCCCAAGATGTATCCTCCTTTACCACCTATTAAAGGTCCATATATTGCACCCATCACACCTAAATACAACTATGCCGAAGTCATTCATAAAAGTTATTTATTTTATCATGCTCAAAAATCGGGTTATTTACCTTATCAACGTATGGCTTGGAGAGGTGATTCTTGCAAAGTCTGTGTAGGCAAATATGGTGAAGACTTATCTCATGGTTGGTATGAAGCTGCTAATACAATGAAATGGGGTTTACCTTTTGGTTGGACTGCCACTCAATTGGCTTTCAACATTGTAGTCTTTGGTGATGCTATGAAAGCTGTGGATGAATTGGCTGAAGGTCTTGAATTACTAAAATGGGGAGCGGGTAACAAAAAAAAAATATATACATTAGAAATTAAAAAAAAAATTTTTTCTCATTTCTTTCTCTCTTTTTTTTTTTTTTTTTTTTTTGTAAGATTATCTTATCAATGCTCATTATAACGATACTCATGTGGTAGGTCAATTAGGAACATCAGCTCTTGGACCTATCTCTAAATTGATTGAACTGGATGTGGATTTCAACTATTGGGGACCACCTGAAGAATATGAACAATGGGTTCCTACTGGATTACCTCACGAAGCGTCTTACATTACTCCTGATAATCCATCGTCTGAAATCATTGGTGAATATAGTGCTGCCATGGCTGCTATCTCGATTGCTTGGAGACCTTACGACGAAGCTTTTGCTGATGATCTTGTGGATCGTGCGAAAAGACTATTCAAACTGGCTACTGAACATCAAGGAAGTTATGTAAGTTCGAATGACAATGCATTCCAGTGGGCGACATTCTGGTACCCTTCAACTCATTATGTGGATGAATTAGCATGGAGTGCTGCTTGGATCTATGCTGCTACCAAGGACCCTGACTGGTTGGACACAGCAAAAGAATGGTATCTTAAAGCTTCGGATTCTTTTACTGAATATTCTTGGGATGAAAAAGGTGGTGCCTTACATGTCTTGCTCTATCTATTCACCAAAGAAGAAATGTTTTATACCAATTCCATGGAATATTTCAATCAATTCTTACCCAATCCAAATCAAATCGTCAAGTATACTCCTCGTGGTCTAGCTTACATCGAACATTGGGGTTCTGTTGGTTACTCTGGTAATGTGGCTTTCTTGATGTTAGCTATGGCCAAAGCAATGGATTACAAAGGTACAGAAGCAGAACAGATGGTCACTTTTGCTACACAACAAATCAACTATGCTCTTGGCGACTATGGTTACTCTTGGGTAGTTGGATTTGGTGATAATTTCCCTTCCAAGCCCTATCACAAGTCATCCTACAATAGTTACATTGATTATCCTATGCGTGGTGAATTCCAAGATAAAGTGGAAAAGGACTTTTCTGAAAGCAAAACAGGTCAACGATTCATTCTTTATGGTGCTGTTGAAGGTGGACCTAGTGTGGATGATAGCTGGTATGATGATCGTTCCAACTATGAATACTCTGAAGTCACACAAGATTACAATTCAGCTTGGACTGGTGCTATTGCAGGTTTAATTGATTATTATGGTGTGGACAAGTTTGAACCTTATACTGATTGTGGTCTTGATCTTGGTTGGTCTCATCCTAATGCATCTACTCCTCCTGCCTGGCCAGCAGATGATTGTTATCACACTTGCAACAAAGGATGTCCTCGTGGTGAAATGGCTTCATCTTATTCTTGGAAGTTATTGATGAATCCTCAGGCGGCCGAAACAATGATAGACACTCTTTATCCCGGACAAGGTGCTGCTCGTGCTTTTACAGTGACTGGTGGAAATAGTATCAAGCAACAAGCTAAACCAAACGATCAAGGTGAAAAACAACAAGTTGATGATGAAAACGGCAAAACAGAAGGACACAAAAAGAAAAAGCATCATCATCATCAAAAAGACAAGAAACAAAAAACATCTACTGCCAATCCCTCTCCTTGTTCCTCCTATGTGGTGTCTGTGTTGGCCGCTCTTATATCCTTGATATTTATTCGTTGAAGCAATTGGCATCTTTTTTTTTATCATTATCTTTATTTTTATTATTATTCATTTAGTTTAGATTTATATGTACAATTAGTTTAGTGGACATTTTTTTTACTGTTGTTATTTGACGACTCATTAGATCGAATAAAGGAAAACATGTTGTCTACAAGTTTTGGTGTTACACGTATAAAATGAAGCATGATGGATGAATGGATGAATAAAGGATGATGGGATGATGTGATGTGATTTGATGGTATTATGGCATGATGAATTCTATGATTCTTTTAAATGATCTATACATATTAAAAAAAAAAGAATTCTTGTTCTCCCCCCTCCTTTTCCCGTAGGCAATAATTAACCAATAAGATTGCCTTTTCTCTGCATTTGATAAAATACATACTTTTGCAACTCATTCAAAAATGATCATCATCCTACCAAATTTGGGTTGAACACAGATGAAATCATTTTCTTTCACTTGTCTTAATAACAATTTATACCTTGTCTTTCAATTTATAGAGTACATAAAAAAAAAATACATCACAAAAGAATATGGTAAAAAAAAAAAAAAAGAATACATCGATGGGGAAGGAATTCATTTGCTACATTACAAACATTTGATAATGGTATGACTCGACGAAAGGTTGATAAAAAAAAAAAAAAAACTACTTTATTTCTTTTTCCACTTCCATAGCTTCGTCCGTTAAACCTAAACTAAGTTCATAATAAGCATTAGGATGTTCAATTGTATCTATCTTGTCATGTCGTGGATGAGTGATTTCAAAATATTTCGTGCAAGCCACTTGATAATGAGATCCATGCACCAAGTTCATGATTTCTTTGACTTGATCGGGAGGTATCTTGTCCTTGTATAACCTTGCTTCTAAATTGCCATTTGAGAAATGTCGGAATGGGCAGCCATGGTAATCACCTGTAGATGGAGAATTTCCTTTGATGATGGTATTACAACTATAAAGAAAAAAAATTACATGAATGATCTTCATCTACTTTCATCCAATATGATTCTCACCTATATGCAGTATAACTAACTCGTTTTCCTTCCAATCCATAATTGTGTCGAATATTGTAAGCATATTCCTTTTGGAATTGTTCATCTGTTTTGTTGGTAAATGCTGTTCGCCAGAACAATAAAGCTTCTTCAACCGATAATCCAATGGCCTAGACGTGTTCAATGTAGATGTAGACGTATGATGAATATGTATATATATATTGCAAAAATAATGAAATATTGTTTCTATGTTACCTTGAGAAAAAGACCATACTGCATTCTACCACCATGTTTCAAATGTTTGTCCCGACGAAGTGCACTATGTAATGTTCGCATACACAAAGGAGCATGATTCTCTACCATCTATACATTAAAAAAAAAAAAAGAGTGAGCCACTTTTTTTTTTTTTTTTTTTTTTTGTTATTCATCATCACCAAAGCATATAACTTACCACATCCACATCAGCTGCCTTCAAGTCACCATTGGAATCAGCAGATCCAGTATATATTTTACCAATATATTGTTTTTCCACATTTAATAAAATAGGTTTCAATCGATCATCTTCCTCCAGTCGTGGTAATGCTTTTGCTGTTGCCTATATCATCATGACATATAGGTTAGTATTATATTTCCTAGAGATATAGCTATAAGTTTACCTGTAACATTTTGGCCAAACGTTTTTTGAATTCATCTTGTACCAAACTAATTTGATTTGACATTGGAACATAAGCTTTGCCTTTGTGAACGTATACACCACGACGTCGTACGAGATCAGGGACTTTTTCAAATGGGACCTACAAGAGTAATATGAATATTGTATTATTATCATTTTTTTTTTTGATTCTATACTTACTTCAAAATATGTTTCATTAACAACATGAGAAGCTGCAGTAGTTTTATCCTTGAATGTTTTTCCTGATACACATCGTTCTAATTGTGGTTGAATTCTTTTCTTTGTTTCAGGGTCCACCTAGACAATAATTAGAAATAAGGAATATCATAAGTAAATATATCCTTTTTTTCATTCTACTGTTTTTATCTTACCACTTTCCAATCCAAGTTAGCCGTTTCTAAAAATCTTTTCTTATCATCCATATTTTCTTGTTCGAATCTGAATCTATCATAATGTAAGAAAATAAAGGTGAGAAATAATATCATATATATATATATTCAAAATACTTTACTTGAATAAAGCATCTTCCTGACGTAAAAACCATTCTCTTGATTCTTCACTTCGACAATAAGCTAAACGTAAAACAAAATGACTAATATGATCCTTTCTTCGTTCTTCCACTAGATCTGTTTTTGCAGCATTTGATTTCATAGGTAAATATTTATCCAAAGCTAACTGAATATCTTTTTTGTATTCTTCTTCGTTCCTGTTACGTAATTTTGATGTTTCGACAGCCTTAAGTACTAATATATTGGATTAATAAATAAAATAAAAAGAATTGTATTTTATAATACCTTGTAAACGATCTAGTGCAAATAATTCAAATTCTTCAATAGTAATATCAGCAGGAGGAGGTTGTAAGTAAAAGTTGAGTCGAAAAGGGTATTCTGAATCCAATACAGAGTCTTGTTCTATATGAACTCTTTGACGAGTAGAAGCTGCAGCAAATCTATTAACACTAGTTTTCCTTGATTTGAACATGATATATATAAAATGAAACTAAAAAAAAAAAAAAAAAAAAAATAAAGAAAAGAAATTTTTTTGTTTTGAACTGACGCGGGAAGTTCTTTTTTTTTTTTGGAGTCTCGCGTTTTCCCTTTTTTTTGAATCCCGCGATTTATAACTTTATTAAAAAATTTCTAAGATGCATCTAACTAAAAGATATTTCCCACACCAACCAATAAAAAGAATACTTTAACTGAAACTAGAAGATGATCATTATTTTATTTTCATATGGATAATATGTATCTAGGGAAGATACAAAAAAAAAAAAAAAAATAGACCCTGTGACAAAAAGTGATAAGCATATCATGCTCTTTTTTTTCTTTTTTAAGGGGGAAAGTGATTACCTATCTCGATAAACTTTCCTAAAGTGAAGAAAGAAAAAAGTAATGTTTATGATTGTTTAACCTTGTTTTGTATATATCTATATAATAATATAAAACAAACTATAGTTACAAGTTCATCAATTTAAAAAAAAAAAAAGAGAGAAAGAGAGAATGTTGTGATTACTAGTGTAAAGGGGGTGATTCTCCTAAAAAAAAAAAAAAATAGAATAAAGGAAGAATCAACAGAAAGCACGTTTTCCATTCGTTGGGCAATGATGTGCTAACTGAGAAATTTTATCTCATTCTTTATTGTAATGAAAATTTCTGATGTTACACTCACTGTCAGAGAGGGGGGAGGTTATAAAAAGCGGCGAATCAAACTCAGGGAAAAGCATGGTCGTCATTTAGAGCCTGAATGGTCAATGATGATATAAAAAGGATAAGGACTATTTCTTTTTTTTTTTTTTTATTCTTCTTTTTTTTGATTTTTACTTTTTTTTTTTTTTTTTATATATCATCATTACTTACAATTATTCATGTATTATCCATCATCAACATCGTCAAGTCAATATTATTCATGGGAAACTATGGGTTTAGATAGCTTTATGTATCCAGGCTTACCGACAACAATTGATACTATGACAACATCTCCCGATAGTAATAGCAGCAGTGTTATTGGTGATGGTGATGCTATTTTATTGACACCTACAATGACCGAAGATATAGATCATCATTATCATCCTCAACAACCATCATCCTTTATACACCCTTTTGACATGACACTTGATGGTATTGATGATTCTTTTTTCTCTTCTTCTTTTGATACACCATCTTCTACTTTATCTTTTGTTATGCCTTCAAGTCCTTCTACCATTTTGAAAACTCATTCAACATTATCTATTCCCCAAAATAACCTTGACTACATACAACAATCATACCAACAAGAAGAATCCAGTACTTCCAATTTATATCATACATCCACAACAGATAACATTCATACATCCACAATAGCAGCAAGTCCATTGAAAATGATGGATTCTGATGTAGATGAAAACGACAATAACAACGACGATGATGATGATGATGATGAAGAAGAAGACGATGATGATTTATTATGGATGGAACAACAAGAATTACAACTACAACAATTACAGCAAGAACAACAAGAACAAGATGATGATGATGATGATGATGATGATGAACCATTAGAACAAAGTGAACAAGACATCATGGATGAAGCGGAAGATTTGGATTGGCCAGTGACCCATTTGATGGAGAAAGAACGAAACGATCACGTGTACAGTACTCGATCCTATCATTCACCAACCCAACATTATCATCATCGTCAACAACAACAACAACAACAACAACAACAACAACAACAATCCACCAATAAAAAAAAACCTAGGACATCATCATCTCAAAAAAAGAAAAGGAAATCTACACAACAAAAAAACGAATATACTTGCAAAAGACAAGATGTAGCTGACAACTCTATGCACTCTACTGCTACTGAAGATGGTGTGACCCGATGCAACAATTGCGGTACTTGTAATACTCCCTTATGGCGCCGGAATGTGGATGGATTACCTCTATGTAATGCGTGTGGTCTATTTTTGAAACTCCATGGAACTGTACGGCCCCTCAGTCTAAAAACAGATGTCATCAAGAAACGAAACCGTGGTGGTTCTTTATCATCATCATCATCATCCAAGCGAAAACGATCCTCACGTGGAACAAGAAAATGGTCAAAGAAAAAGAATTAATATATATAGTACATTATCTCCATTCTTTTCTTTTTTTTTTTTTTTTTTTTTACTCATCTCTCTCTTTCTCTTTTGTATATACTCTGTTGTCATTTTTTTTTTTTTGGTGATGATGATGATGATGATGATTCTCTTGTCTTTTTTTAGTGTAGCTTATGTCTATTCAAATAAAGAAACACAAATAAACAATAGGCCTTATTACAATGAATGCGGATTTATAATTATATAGAAAATATCCTTTTTTATAATAGATTTTCTTTTATATAATACACAAATTTATAGATATATTTATATATAAATCTAGGTCATGAGTCCTTTTTGGGGGGGAAGAAAAAAGGGATTGAAATGTGACCTAGCAATGATGATGGAAAAAAAAAAATATGAAGGATGATGATATGCCAACCATGTGCCCTGGTTGATTCGTTTGTGTTACTGATCGTTGCTTTTATTCACATGATTCGAACATCTTTTCCTCTCCCCCCCCCCCAAAAAAAAAAATCCAACCTAGCCACTTTTTTGATTTCTTGAACTGATAACAGTGATCCCGATTTGTCCGTTTTTACCCACATCCCATTTTGAATTTTTCTCCGTTCCCATAAAAGTAAACACTTATATTTTAAAATAAATATTTTTTTTTATTCATAAGGAAATGAAGAAGACGAATAAATTGAAGGTGGAGGATGACTATAACTACTACTACTACTATTACTATTACTATGAGGAGGGTGAGAATCCATCGTAGGTGTATATACAAAGTCTGCAAATTTGAAAAGATCATACAGATGAACATCATCGTTAAAGTTGAACGTTGAATCCATTGATGACATAGTGGTGGATGAGGCTGATGCTACTGCTGCCGCTGCTGCCGCTGCTTCTTCTGCTGTTATCCTTCCTGCATTCAGTCCTTGATGTTTCTGCTGGTATCGCTGCTGCTGTTGCTGTTGTTGCTGTTGTTGTTGTTGTTGTTGATGTTGTTGTTGATGTTGTTGTTGATGTTGTTGTTGATGTCGTTGTTGATGTTGTTGTTGATGTCGTTGTTGATGTTGTTGTTGATGTTGTTGTTGTTGATGTTGCTGTTGATGATGTTGCTGTTGTTGCTGTTGTTGTTGTTGCTGTTGTTGTTGTTGCTGTTGTTGTTGTTGCTGTTGTTGTTGTTGTTGTTGCTGTTCTTGTTGATGTTGATGTTGTTGTTGATGTTGATGTTGTTGATGTTGTTGATGTTGTTGATGTTGTTGATGTTGTTGATGTTGTTGATGTTGTTGATGTTGTTGATGTTGTTGATGTTGTTGATGTTGTTGATGTTGTTGATGTTGTTGATGTTGTTGATGTTGTTGATGTTGCTGTTGTTGCTGATTAAACCATGACCATGCATTGATGGCATTGTTGTCCGTAGTTGAATGTAACAAGGAAGATGAAGATGGTATTTCGCCGAGACTAGAGAGACCAGATTGTAATGGTGGAAGATATGTGCTTGACATTGATGTTGCTATTGTAAAAGGTGATGATCGTACAACCAATGTTTCTGTCGAGATTTTCCGTTGTTGGGTTGAAGCTGATGATTCCAATGGCACAAATGCTGATCCTGTTATTGGTATTGTTGGACCTTCTACTACTACTTCTGGAGTTGGTGATGCTGGGATCGATGGTATCGTCGATGTGTCCGTTACTGTTTTCCCTTCCAAGGACGAAAATTTTTCCATGCCGTCGTCAGATACCAGTGATTGTTCCGTTTGATCATCCTTGATATGTCGTTCAATTCGTTCCATTAGAGCTCTAACGTATTTGTGATGTCGAACAGGTGAAGTTTTTAATACTGTATGGATCCGCATCATTTGTCGTTTGGTATTTGCCACCACGTCAGGAGAGGAATTGCATAGTTGACAGCTGCTATAGATACCACAAGCCATCACCAAGGTTCCCAAAGTAAAGTGACACCAAGTTTGCTCAAGCTGCGCCCAATGTTCCAAAAGTTCCGTGATACTATCCGCCGCATCCACACATATCCGAAGAGACAACAAAGCAATGGCAGACAAAGATGATGATATTTCATCCAACCGAGGTAAAAACATGGAATACAATTGGCACATTTGGAAGTGATATTCGAATGTAAGTTTTAGACAGGCTTGTTCCCGAAAAGATGTACTGCGCCAATTTCGATGTCGATCATACTGAAAGTAGCTGGGCAAGTCACGATACCAATCCTTCAAACGTCGTTCCAAATGAGAGATAGAGGACAAACTTGGGTTTTTGACAGATGACAGAATGTTATCATGGATACATCGGTCGATTTGGCTGATCTGATGTCGATAGATGGTGAATTCAACACGATATCGTTGTTCTCCTTGTTCTTGTAACATCCTTGTTGGTGGTCCAATGGTGACATCGTCTGTTGGTGGTAACATCATTGGTTTATCAGAATGACTAGCACAAAGGGTTTCCATGAATTCAATGGCGGCAAATAAACGTCGTTGTTTTTCGAGCATGATTGAATATTTTTCGTCATCCTTTTGTTGTTGATGTTGTTGATACTGTTGTTGCTGCTGTACTGTTTGAAGCCTTTTTCCCTCTTTCACGTTGTTGTTTGAATTATCATCCATCGAGTCTTTCGTAATATCAGTCGATTGTCCTTCTTTCCCTAGTTGCATATCTCCTGCTGATGTCGATATTACTGATGTTGCTGCTGCTGACGATGACAAAGTTGAAGATGAGGTAGATGATGGTTGTCGATGTAAACCCATATCCATTGCCATACGAATAGCCAATCCCAAAAACACATACGCTTCAGAGCCCGCTTGAGCGCGTCCAGAACCCGTCTTGCCAATGCTATAGATATACATCAAGAGAAGAGCGTGCACCGTATCCATTGTTGAGTTTAGGAAACAATCCCGAAGTAATTCCTTGGCTTGATCAAAGTAACATTCACCAACCATGTTTGGATCTTGACCGGGAAACATATCATGATAGATGGCCGCATGTCGCGCAGACCAAGCAAGAACTGCATTAGCTAAAAGTGCATTTATTCTATTCTGAGTATCATCATCTTGGAGTTGTCTTTTTTTTTGTTGTTGCTGCTGCTGTTGTTGCTGTTGTTGCTGTTGTTGCTGCTGTTGTTGTTGTTGTTGTTGCAAAGAGTGACGGCAAGTTGTCAAGAACGAGTCGGTATCTGGCAACGGAAAGCAAAGGAAACACTCGGCATAATGTTGGAATAACTGATCGATAACATCTGGATCCATGGACGTCTGTTGAGAAACCATACTCTTCTTATTGTCACTGTTGTTACAATTGTTGTAACGAGTGTAATTGTTGGAATTGGATGTCGCGATTGATGACTGTACGGTCAAAGGTGAATTTGATTTGGAATGAGCCAATTGCAAATGTTGATGATGGTGTGTTGATTCCCAAGCACTATACAGTGGAAAGATTATACCTTTGGATTTGTAAAGAGGATGTGTCTTTGCTACAATCACATGATCAGTCAATTTTGAGAATGCAGAGGAAGAAGAAGAATGAATTGATGATTCATCGTTGCTGATGGTCGTGTTTTCGTATCCACTGCTTTGTTCATCTTCAAGTTGGTCATCATATCGTTTTTCTTCTTCTTGTTGTTGTTGTTTTGATTCATGTTTTTGCTGTGATATACGAGAACTAAGCGATGAATGTGAAAGTTGATGACGTTGGAATTCTGATGCACCCGATAAAAGAATATCATGTAGATCTTGTAAAGAAAAGATGTTGGTATCAATTCGTAATCCAGTTGTAGTAAATGACAAGGCCCAGTTAGTTTTCAATTCTGAAGAAAACAAAGTAGGTTTGGTTTGAGATAAGACAGGAGACGATGTATTGATACTATTGGTAAAATGAGAAGAAGTAAGACTACCAGATCGTATCGCCTTCAGTTCTTGTAGAATAGATTGCGTATCATTCTTCATTGCTTGCAATTGTTCTTCCACAGTTTCTACCTTGTTGTTCAGTTTGTTGATTGTTTCGTTCAATTGAACAAGGTTGAATATATCGATTTGAGTAGAAGATCCAGTATAAGAGCATGGTACTAAATAAATAAATAAATAAATAAAAACATAAATAAATAAAAAGGGAAATAAAAAAGGGAAGAAAGTGTTAGTTTTACCTTTCAAGTTCTCACAACGTCGACAGGCGGGATGTGAAAAATCGCATTTGACTAAAACACAGAGAGATGAAAGAAATGATCAGCATAACACATATAGTCATTATTTATTCCCTTTGATTATTTGTGAATGACTTTACCTTTCTTTGCTCTATATATATATTTATTGTATTAAAAAAACAAAAAAAAAAAAAAAAAAAAAAACTTTGGAGTTATTTCAAGTTATAAAAATATTTTCTATTAATGCTCTCTTTACCTACAACGTTCACAAGCCAATGTCATGCGCATCCGTTTTGTAGTAGAATAAGGGTCTTGATATTGATCATGTTGTTTCTCCATCAAAATAATGATTAAAACAACAGTAAAGAGAAAATGGGGTAGAAAATATAATCAAAGAAGAAGAAAACGAAATAAAAGAGAAAAAGTAAAACGGAAAAAGAGTAATCTATATTTAACTAGGATGAATTGGAAAGGATTAAAAAGAAAAAAAAAAAAAATAAAGTCAGCTGACAATGAATAACTGACAACAAATTGCATATATAAAAAAGTGTATGATGGTAACTTGGTTAGAAAAGCAACATGATTTAAAGTTTGACGTACATCCTTCAATACTCAAGCCAAAAAAAAAAAAAAGTTTTATATAAAGTACTTTTATTAAAAAAAAATCATTCTTCATCATTGAACGAATACTAGACTAAATTAAAAACATATCATCACTATTTACTACTAAGAAAATGTTGATGCCAATTCCCATCCACAGAATGATTTGTCATTTGTTTTGATACAGAAGCAACAGGAGTCATTGGGCCTTGAGTAGAGATTGTAGAAAGACCATCATCATCCATCCAACAAGAAGATCGACGAACACCAACGCGAGCATAAAACATAGCCAACCTTAATTGAATCATTTCCATATATTGCATTTTTTCATTTGAAGTAGTAGTAGTAGTAGTTTTATCAGTTGTCATAGTGTCATCCTTTTGGTCTATATTCTGTTTTTCATGATCATCATCATCTTCAATAGGTGTCTTGACTAGAAATTGGCGTAGAAATCCAAAAAAGGTGCATACAGCCATTAGACGATCACGACAGGGCATATCCAGATGTAACCAATCATTGTCTCCCCCTTCATTGAGACGAAAACGATAATAATGGTGCATATCCAGGGTGTTCCCACATCCAGCACAGTCCACAAGTGATGCCCCTGACATAAATCGGTTCCATCGTAATCCAATACTACTACTACTATTGTTTGTTGTTGTTGTGGTTGTTGTTGTTTGATTTGCTGGTAATGGTGATTCTATTGTCATTTCTTCCAATACACAAGGTTGCTGTAACATTGAATCGATCATTTTTTTGATAGAAGCCAATCTATTTTGAGGTCCAAAGTTCAAACAAGGTTCCACATCGCCAATCAGACATTGTTTCATAAAGGGGTGATGTTTATTTTGTAATAAGCAGGGTTTATGTGCAAGTGTTTGAATAAATTGTTGAAAAAGTTGCATTTGTTGTTGATCATATAAAAATTCCATGTTGCCACCATAATCCAATAATGATATTGTTGTTTGGAAACAATCTGAAGTTGATGGTGATAATATTAAACTAGGAGTAATACTACTATTTTCCAAATTGTTTTCTAAAGAGGAGGTTGATACTTGTTCCATAGTCTGATGATTTTGTAATAAAAGTTGTTTATATTTGTCTTTTTCCAACACCAATAATTGTTGAGTTCTATCCAATTCAGTACGTAAACGATACACTTCCCGTTTTTCATTGGCAACCATTACATTTGCTTGTTCAAATAATCGACAGGTGAGGTCTTCTAGTTCCCTTTCGGCCAAATCTTTTTCGTGTTGTATGGTAGCAACTTGATCCAAAGCAGCGACATATTTACTATTAAGTTGTTCCATATCCAGTTGTTGTTGCTTTAGTTGTTCTGTCTTTTTCAATAACTGTTCTCTTAACTGACCAAGTTCTGAACGTAATAATAACATGTTGTTGCAATTGTCCTGTTGTGAAGAAAGTGAATGATACAAAAGTGTTTGACAGTTGCTGTTATTCGATATCATATTGTAATATGGGTATAATAATAGCAATAAATAATAAAAAGAAACGAAAGGAAAGGGAGGTAGAAAAAGTATAATGAGGAAAAAAAGAGAGAGAGAGAGAAATATAATTCATGGGTTGAAATAGTGAAGCACAGTGAAAAAAAAAAGTAAGGGGAGAAAGGAGAAAAAAAAAAAAAGTAAACCAGCTTAACAAAAGAGCACACAACACACACATATATATATCTGTGGAATCCCCCTTTCAAATTCATTCTCCCTTCCATAAGAAGAAATTTTAAGACAATTGCATGCAAGACAATAACCCAATTGTTAAATTCAAGTTAAATGACAAATATGTTTTATTATTCAACTAAATACAAATAATTAAGTGAGATGATGATGATGATAATAATAATAATGATATGAAAATAATGATCAAATATAAAACACTATACTAATACAAAGCTCCTTTTTTTCATGTTCCATGTAATAATTGTTGCTTGAATGTTTCCAATTCGTTTTGAATATGTTCTATTTGAGCAGCAATTCGTCGGCGATGTCCATTTCCAAATTGATCCACAAATTCAAATGGTACTTGCAGTTGAAACGTTTTGGTAGGATTCAATTCTTCTTGAGGATCCAGTTGAAAAGTCACTTTTGGATGATCGGGTCGAAGGAATTGCATAAATAAGGGACCAAATGCTACCTCCTCCTCCTCCTCTTCTTGTTTATCCCCCTTCTTTTCATCCTTCACAATATCCATATCAGGTTTGTCGTTTAGATTTTTATCATTTTCTTGCGATATTCCTATTGTATGACATGCTGATTTCCCTGATGATGATACCGTTCTTGTTGTTACAGTTGTCGTATCATTTTGATTTGAAATTGTTGATCTGATATTGGTATCGGTCTAACAATAGAAAAAAAAAAACAAAATAAAAAAAAAAAAAGGAAATCAGTATGAATGTGATGTCTAAACCAAACGCACGATTTTGAGGGGAGGGGGGGTAGAGATAGGAGAAAGCGTGTGTATGCGTGCGTGTGTATATGTGTGGAGAGAGAAGTAGGGAGAAAGGATGTCCTTGTTTCTTTTCTTACCTTTCCTTTGGTTCCTAGGGATTTCTTTTTGGATGATGATGGTGATGATAATGGGGTTGAGTTACCGATATCAGACATGTCAAATAGGTCACTATAGAATATATATATATATATATATATATATGAATACAGTTAGTAATTCGAACAATGTCTAGTGATAGTTTATCTTAACATATTATCCCCTTTCCTCCTATTTTGATCCAGACTGATAATCTTTTTTTTTTTTGTATACCGTTTTTTGCCACGGGTAACCATTTCTATTCGTTTCCGTTTCCGTGATTGTTCTTCCAAAAAATATTGTGTGTTGCCATGATACGTATTGCAGTATTCGTCCATAGTTAATGATCTAACTGACTTGAGTAACTGACTAACCGTCATCTTGCCTTGAGCTCTTAATGAACTACATATAAAGTCTACACTTTGGCGTATTTCATCGATCCGGCGGGTAGCTAAACAAATGACCAAAAAAAAAAAAAAAAAGGAAAACCATGAGGTTAGAGTGTGTTTTCAATATTACTTGACTTCCTCATACCTTCAGCATCCAATATAGAAATAGCTTCATCCACCAACGGATCTTTTGTCATTTTTTTTTCAAAAAAAACCGCAATTATTGCAAATATATATAATAATAAATAAAAATAATGAGAGGGAATAAAAGAAAAAGCACAAAGAGAAAGGGACAAAAAAAAAGTGGAATTTTCTATTTGTGTAGCTTCAAGAAGCAGCCAACGACCTATCTCCGCTCCTTTCTTAAATTTTTCAAGCTCGCTATTGCTTTTGTGCCTATCCCTGAATGCGGCTTGCCGGTAAGTCATTACCATTAATATGAGTTTTTGACATTAAACTTGAGTGATTGGAAAGAAAAAAAAATCGATGTTCTTTTTTTTGATCTATCTTTTATATATATATATATATATATATGAACTGAAACTAAATCGGAATACGGCGGCTACTTTATCCGATGCTGCCTTCTTATTTCGTGATCATCATTCAACAAATGACTCTTGATCATCTACACGCTATCATCACAAAGAAGCACCAACTTCTTCACAGTAAAAGTCAACTGTTCATTTTAGTTTCGTGGTCAATAGGAAATGAATATTATGAACGATATATGAAGATGAATGACGAAATGAGAAGAACAGAATAAAATTGATCAAACGTCATGTCATATTGAATTTAAACTGGCAAATCATAAAAAGAATATCATTGAGTTATAATACAAAACAAAAAATAATTTTCTTTTTTTATTAGCATAATTTTTTTCTCCTCTGTTATGGTATAAAAAAAAAAGAATGAATAAAGTAAGAAAGGAATAGATGAGCTATGATATAAAGAGTAAGTACAACTAGAAGAGATCCATGTGGCAAACAAAAGAAGAAGAAGAAGAAAAATAAGAGTAACAAGTATAATCCTTACAATAAACTAGATATAAGAACCCAACATTTTTTTTTCTTTAAGCGGCAGCAACAGAAGCCTTTTCAGTAGTAGCAGTAGTAGCAGCAGCAGGGGAATTTTCAGCAGCCTTTTCAGCCTTGTCCAACTAGTACCCAACAATAATTATTAGTACCACCATTGATCCATTCGTTTTTTACCCAATAACTCTATATTAAATATTTTTCATTCAACTTACTTGGATCTTTTTGGCTTCATAGTGAACAGCAGCGATTTGATTAAAGGTTTGATTGGCAAAGTCATTTACTTTTTGTCCAGTAGGTGTTTGTAAAGCACCTTGTAATTGAGTTTGAGCAGTTTGAGCAGCATTTTGGACCTTTTCTTGAATCTTGTACTTTTGATCAATTTCAGCAGCCTTGTCCCAAATACGATACTTTTCATCAAATTGCTTGACTAACAAAAAAAAAAAAAAAAAAAGAATAATCATTAGTATTATTATTATTATTCTTCATATCCAACTTTTCTCTCTATTTCAATCGCAAACTTACCATTGTTTTGGAAATAGTTCAAATAACCAGTAAGACGAGAGGTGACATTATATTTTCCATCGTATTCCAAACCTTTGGAAACAATTTGATCTTGAAGCATATAACCATTGGCAAGGATTTCAGCAGCAATACGAGCTTTAGGTTTGGCTTCTTGAGAAGCTTCAGGAGCATCTACTTCCTTTTCAGTTTCAGCAGGGAAAGCAGATTCAAAGTATGGAGTCACAGAAATATGTTCATTATCAATCAAAGCTATATAAAACAACAACAAAAAGGATAAAACGTTACATTAGTTTCGAATCTTAAATAAAAGTCACCCGATATCCTTTTTTTTTTTTTTTTGGTTTGTTTAACTTACCAGTACTAAGAAGAGAAGCAGTCTTGGCAGCAGATTCACGTTCAAAATTGACTAGAGCTACTTGATGAGCTTCATCGTCATCCCTAAATTCAAATAATAAAGTGTCAGATTCTTGAATATATCCATATTGCTATTTGTTTTTTTTTTTCTTATGTAAAGACTTACTTGATCAATTCAAATTCCTTGATTTTGCCACAGAACAAAAAGAATTCTCTAACTATTTAAACAAAACAAAACAAAACAAAAAAAACATAACACGATAAAAAGAAGAAAAAAAATAAAGATGAGTTGAAAGGTAATAGATGACAAAAAGGAAACGAGACTATTCAATTCCTTTTTTTTTTTTTTCTTTTACCAGTTTTTTCAGAGGATTCAAGAGAGATATTCTTGACAAGTACATAGTTAGGAGAAGGAGTTTCAGGAATGGCAATAGTGAAAGCAGGCATATTTAAGATGTTTAATATAAAATAATAAGAATAAAACAAAGAAAGAAAAGAAAGCGAAAAGAAACTTTTTCTTTGGCACTTATCGTTCTTTTATATGTGCCTTTTCCCGCCAAAAAAAAAAAAAAAAAGTTTGTAGTAAGCGTTTCGTTTCAAACACCGGCGGCTCACGTGAAAAACCTTCATACCACTTTTTCTTTACCTGTCTTCCTGAAGGATTTATAAAAACATGTGGATCCCTTTTCTATATTATATATTCATGTGAAATGTTACTATGATTAATTATACTCTTATCATTCAAAAAGAAATCAAATATATATACATTCTAAATACAAAATTATATATATATATATATATGTAAATATGTACAGATATCTACTTCTTTATCATCCTTTGAAATAGCCTATTTGTCTTGGCCAGATTTCCTTTTACAGATAATCATCCTGCCGGAGATCAAATATCCAATATGTCTCTACCAGTCGTGTTTCAATGTCAATAAAAGAAACGTGCACTTTTTATGAGGTCCCTATTTTTCACATGATGGCATTAATAAAGCAAGAAAAATATCAACAGGAGATTTTCAACAACAAAAAAAAAAAAAATGGGTTCTTTATTTAAGTGTTTCGAAATACATAAATAATGATATCTAGACTATAGAAGACAAATCTAAAAGAGATACATATACTAGTTCTTCTTCATTTCTTCTTGAATCTTTCGATGTAAAACACACATATAATCCACATAAGTTTGCACTTCAGCATTTCGATCTTCAGTCATCCAGGTAGAAAAAATAAATTCAAGAGGATCCATATCTTGGCGAATCACATGCAATTGTAAATAATGCGATCTATCCAACTGTAACTTTCTAGAAATCCCATGTACTTGGTGCGACAAATCTGTATCTAAACCAGGAAGTAACGTCTGTCATCAAGAAAAATGAGATAATATCAATTTTCTGACACATCATCATCATCATCATTATTATTGATTTTCATATTGCAAGTGTTTTCTTACCATTTTGGGATCTACTTGATCTATACTAGCTACACCAAAAAGATCTTGAAGGAAAGTGCTTGGGACTTTCTTCCCTAACCAAATATACACATCATACCCAGTATCTATATATATATATATATATATATATATATATGTTTTATGATATATAGAATTAAAAAAAATATATCTGTAGTTAGCAAAGTATAGGTTATTGATATTATTATATCTCCTACCCAGTAAGTAAGCACCAGCCGTATCCAAACGTTCATAAGAAGTACGTATCATAGGTGGAAGCTTGATATATCCATTCATTTCTTGTTTCCCACACTAGATTCAATGAGATTTGTTAGTATCAAGTTTAATACTCTATTCCCTCCAAAAAAAAAACCTACCTCCTTATCCATAGTATGCAAAGGAAATAATCGTGGATATAATGACCATACCAATTCCTTCACACTCAATGCATTGAATAATCGCATTCCTGCTGATCGGCAATCTGTATTCATATCAACACCCACTATTTCCGTACAAAAAAAAAAAAATATTTACCCATTCATCCTATCAAAAACATCATCATCATCATATGTTCTTGTCCATTTCTTACCTCCACGTAGAGCCTTAGATCGAATAGCACCATGAATATAAACGGGAAGTAGTTTGAACGCCTCCGGAAGAATCAATTGGCCAGGTGACGTTGATGATGCACAGTTTGTACGATAGGCTGTCAAAATTTGTACACATTGTTCAGTCAATTTTTGATGGATATCTTTTCTATTTTTGTGTTGAAGATCAAAGATCGCTAATGAAGAAAAAAAAAGTAAGTTAGAAGGACGTATCTTTTTTTTTTTTTACCATTATTTTTATCGTATTTTTCATCATTGATTACCTTTTCGAAGTATAACACTTGCAGTTGTATCAGCGTCACCATGTCTAAACACATCAGCTATTTCAGAAGTTGCTGATACATTCAAATTGTGTACACGAACTCGACGATGACCATCTTTTGTCGTATAAAGTAATGCACATTGGAATGACACTCCACGATTGACATCCATTTTGCTATCATGTTTCAACACAGCTGCTATTGCCTTGTCTTCATCTACACCGGCTAATTCCATATCTGTATAAGTACTCATATTACAGTTTCCATAATGATCAACGACTTGCAGTCCTAATAAAATAAATAAAAGAATATCAATCATTTCGGTCGGGTATATGGATAAATATGGGATTTACCATCAGAGCATCGAATTCGAAGAACACCATCATAACCAATTTCACGTTGTAAATCATGATCGAGTTGGAATTGTATATTGAGAGCATCGCTGGTATAATCAAAATTAGGATAATAACGGATATCACCTCCCGTCATTTCAGATATCACGCCCACAGTAGCCACATCCATATATTCCTTGGGAAACACCCATGTATTGACACATACAGCTTTCTGAACGCATTCCTTTGCCAAGTCCTTGTATTTTTCATCTTGAGGTTGCATCAATGATTTCTCTTTGTCGGTATTATACATATTCTTATCATCACGCGGTTTCAGGGCTTGCGGACCATAATTGGGAAGGCATGATTGGAATACAAATAATTGACCACCAATATTTTCCAATGCTTGTAATCCTCCATGAACAGCAGCAGTAAATACGGATTCAGCTCGAGCATTTTCTTGAAACATGGTCGGCAATCCATCTAAAAGTTCAATGATAATGTCTCTGGATTGCAGAAATAGAGTGTGAAAATATCGGTTAGAGAATATTGTATATATAATATATTATTACTATCGTTACTATTATTACCTTGATTGTTCGATATCTACAAAGAAACCGGCTTGAAGAGGACAAAACATATCAGTGATATCAGGAACTACAAGCATTTGTGCCTGTGATAAGGAAGGCTATAAAAGGAGAAATAAAAGGAAGGGGCAAAATCAATATCTCTAAATTTATTCTTATTTTTTTTTTTTAAGAAACAAACTTACATGAAGGTTGTAAAACTGAACATCTTTATCAAAGGTTAAGATACCAATTTTGTTCCCAGATGATAACTTTGGCTGATCCAGAGAGTTTGAGTAAAGAGCAATTTTGAGGGCATCACAACACGATTTCAACATACCAGATCGAATAGCTTGAGCAGAAACATCGATAGCAAATACACAATGTAATGGAGTAGGTTGACGAGTAGAGTAATAATCTTTGGGCACTTCAAATTCAATGGACCCATATCGTAATTCCGGTCTTTGTTCAATATCCACTCGACGACCTGACATATCAGTATTGGAGAAATACCAGGAAGGTACTATATAAATGTATGATTTGTTAGGATGATAGTTTATTTATAGGTTCTTCTGTCTTCTTTTTTTATTTATTTATTTATTTATTTTCTTACCGGTATTTGCATGAGAACAGATTGAACAAATAAATCTGGCACCACCTTCCACAAATTCACACCAAGGATTGATATAAGCACGGCAACGTATACATCGAACGGGTCCTTCTTCACCATGATCAACCACTTGAATTGCCACTTCATCAGATCGCCGTTTTGCAAGAGGTTGAACAATCAATCCAATAGGTAATTTTGCGGTATCTGCTAATTCTTTACTAAATGGTATCTTGTCCGTTGTTGCACGAATATAACGAGGGTTACTATTGCCTAAGTTGTGAGAATAAAGTAAAGTGAATATATTTTTTGTCACATAACAAATATATATATATATATATATATCATTTACCCTGATCAAGTCCAATGTAATCTGTTGTCGCTAAAGGTACACGTTCTCTTTCTACAGTTCCAAAAAATTGATTTTCAAATAAAATTTGATCTTGCTCACGTACTTGTACAGGGGCAGGCATTTGGTCAGGATCAATACGAGGCTTCGGTTGTTGAGGAGGTCGAAGATCAGAAGGAATCTGTTGAGCAGGTTGTTGTATTGGTCTTGACATGGCATTTGGGTTGACATTATTCATCATACTAGTATTTGAAGTAGGACGAATAGAACTCATCACTGGCGAACGAGACATTGGAGGATGAGATTGATGAGGTGGATTCAATCCATGAGGCCAAGGAGCACTCGCTGGTATTGTGGTTCCAGCAACCTCAGGGTTGACAGCATAGACTCGTTTTGTTCTTCCAGAAGATGTCTAATAATGATAATAAAAATAAAAAGAAAAATAAAAAAAAAAAAATCATCCAATTAGTTTGTTGTAATACAAATGTATATCATCTCATATCTCAGCTTACTTGTTTCGGTGCGGATGAAATAGGCTGAACTGGTGGTTGTCCTTGTTGCACTTGTTGAGATTGTTGAACTGTTTGAGGATGGAATGTCTGCGATGATTGACTCTGTTGAGATGGAAGAGGGGATTGAGACCGTATTGTTTGTTGCTGTGGGTGAGATTGAAGTGGTTGACCGTGTTGCAATGATAGATCCTGCTGAGAAGGTTGACCAGGTCGTAATGAATTTCCTTGTTGTAAAGACATGGCTTGCATAGAAGGTACCAAATTAGGTGAGGGAGATTGTTGAGGTTTTCCTGGAGAAGTTGGTTGTTGCTGCTGTTGTTGCGGTTGAGTGATTTGAGGCACAGATTGCTGTGCTTGAGGAGGGATGGGTTGAGGAGGTCTAGGTAAAAATCCTGATTGTTGAACATGTGGTTGAACGAGATTGGGTTGTACTAAAGGTGGTCTTCCCTGAGCATGTTGTAATGGTTGTGGTCTAACAGATGATGACTGCTGTGCTACCGAGAGTGGAGGACGAGGCGGCATTCCTACAAGAATTCATAAACAAAAAAAAAATTCTTTGTGTTAATAATAATTCAGTGGTATATTTCTCTTCAAACTTTAACTTTTTCGCTAATAAACACGAGAAGAAAGCTATTACTTCCTATATATTACCTTGAACTTGGTTGAACATTGGAGGACGTGGTTCTGATCCAGGTACATGATGAATTGGCTGTTGTAAAGGGTGTTGTTGCTGTTGTTGTTGTTGATGATGTTGTTGTTGCATTTGTTGTGGAGGTTGAGGTCGTTGTTGTAACTGGAATGGAGGATGGTGAGCATTGTAACTCGTTCGCTGTGGTTGGTTTCCAGTATTCATGCCAGAATTGATTTCGGCGTGCCTTTAGTATTTCACGAACGACAAGAAAAAAAGTGAAATAATGAAAAAAAACGTGTGCCAATGGCGAATTTGTTTGGGAAAAAAAAGCGGTACTTCAAAAATCACGCTTACCAAAAAAAAAAAAAAAAAAAAAAAAAAAAAAAGCAAAAGCAAAAACTGTTCGAAAAATCCTGCATACAAATGACATAATAGATCAAATCAATATGATTATCGTACAGTAAATACGATCAAATGCTTTTAGTTATCAAAGACCATAAAAATATATTAACAAATAAATAGATTTGGGTAAATGGTTGTTTATTGACATTAACACAACAGATGAAATAAGAAGGTAATAAGACTACAACTATAACTAGGCAATCAATTCGACAACTAGACAGAATAGACAAAACAATTAGACCTATAATAATAATAATAATAATAATAATAAAATATTTCTTTTTGGGATATTCTTACCACCACCAGCAGCCTTGATTTTTTCTTCAGCACGACGGGAGACGAATCGAGTACGAACAATGACAGGTTGAGAGACACGACCCTTAGCCAAAACCTTACCGTAACCCTATAATAAAAAATAAATTTAAGTCTGGATTCCTAATAATATAAGTCTATACTTACGTTTTGAAGAGCATCAATGACAGGAACCTTTTCAGTGTTCTTGTATTGTTCACGGACACCTTCACCAGCCAAAGTCCAGATTTGATCCAAATTGACAACAGGACGCCAGGTAGGATTCTTCTTCAAGTGGAAATGACGCATACCGACCTTACCAAAGTAACCAGGATGGTACTTATCCATGTTGATACGATGATGATGTTGACCACCAGCAAGACCACGACCACCAGGATGCTTTCTGTGCTTTCCGACACGACCGTGACCAGCTGAAACGTGACCACGCTTCTTTCTGTTGTGATGAAGTCTGGTAGGCTAATGTACAAAATAAAAAAGAAAAAAAAAAAGAATCAATTTCATTGTATATCGTTTAATTGGTGGAATTCGGTGTTCATTCAATATTCAATATCGTCGTCAGTTTCCCAGTATATCCATCCATCCATCCATCCATCTATCTAAGTAAAATCATCCACTTCATATATTCATCCATTCATATAATATAATATCTTCATATAATTTTGTCTTTTCCTTATATCCTATTTTCGTATAAAATAATAGTTACTAGTTACTTACCATTCTTCAAAATGTAAAGAAAGATTCAAAAGTGTCAGAGTGAATCCTGATTGCTGTATACAGTTGATTTCAAACCCAGCGTACTACTTTTTTTTTTCCACAGTTGTTTTCTCTCCTCTTTTTGTTTTTTTTTTTTTTTTTATATTATCCTTTATTATATCCTTCTATTCTACAAAGTTGTTATTTCTATTCCTACATTCTTCTATTCTTTAGGAATAACATCATATATAGTATTTGTAGTTTTCTTTATTCTCCCTACTTTTTTATATACTATTTAAAAACATGAATCCTTCACCTTCTAGTCATCCTACTACAGTATCAAATCCAAATGTCAACATTATGCCTGCCGAATTGGTAGTATCCTATTTGAAGAAAGAAGGATATACTGCAACTGAATCTGTCTTCTTGAAAGAACTCAATGGTATTCCTGTTGAATTACCAAATGACTCTTCTAATGGTAAGAAAACAATAAAAAGAAAAGAGGATGTTCTAATGTGTTTGTTTTTGTATTATTTTCTCGGATCTAGGACGAATAACAAATGAATCAGAAACAGAAACAACAAGAGCAGCATTAGAGAAAAGTGAGGACAATGACGATCCAGTGACATATGATATTAGTTACAAAAGTTTACGCGAATGGATAGAAAACTCTTTAGATTGGTACAAGGTAACGTGTTTTTTTTTTAGTACTTATTCTTACTTGCATTCAATAAAATTAACTTGTTTGTTTCTCCCTTTTAATGAAATAGCCTGAACTTCGATCTGTTCTCTTTCCAATATTTGTACATGCTTACCTTGATTTGATTCAAAAACGACAAATAGACCAAGGTGAGAAATGACATGTTATATATATATATATGTATGTATAATGAAGACTGATTTATCATAACTTTTTTTTTATCCTATAGCGAAGGAACTATTTACAACATATCAATCAGACCATATTGAAGTACATACACCGGATTTGAAACGATTAGAGTCAATCAAGGAACCTCAACATGTTCGTGAAAACGAATTGGCACAGATTTATCGAAACAACAAATATAACTTGCGGATGTCTAGCGTGCCTTTTGAACTGTTTCTCAGCTATCTACAAGATAATCGATTCATGCTTCTACTACGTATTGTCAATCAATACATCAATATACAAGGTAAAAAAAAAAAAAACAAGAGAGAGAGAGAGGGAGTAATTTTAATTTTGGTTTGGTTAAAACATGATAATATAGTGGTGCATGGCAAGCTTTTGAAATCTGCTGGCGGATTAGAATTGGACGATGTCATTGGAATTACTGGTCATCAATCACAACATCTAGAAACTTTCAATCAACAACCAGTACAACTCGGACAACTGCCCATGGATCCAGCTTTCAAGGAAGAAATGGAACAAGCTTTGAAGGATGAAGAACAAATTAGCAAGGATGAAACTTCTGAAAACGTAAGGAAGAATGAAATTTTTATATCATAAAGGTTTAGATCTAATTTTTTTTTCTCTTCTTGTTCCTTTTGATTAGCCTGATACAACTACAAATTCATTACTCGAACTATTCAAGAAAGTGACTCAAGACCAAGGTGTAAATAGTCCAGCTTTAAATGATATACCTCTTCCTCCATAGTAAGTAAATATTATATAATGATTAGAATTTGGACTAATCAAACCGTTTTTTTTTTTTTTTTTTTGTATAACTGATAGTCGTGGGACTGATATTCAAGCCGAAATCAATTTACTGAAAGATATTCAAAAAAGATTACCTTTGGGACATGATTCATTACCAAGCATTTGTTGTTATACATTCCACAATACATATGATACGTATGTAAAAATATTATAATTAATCTATTGACTTTTTTTTTAATTCATCCATTTTAATTTATCCTTTTTTTTTTTTTTTTACTTTCTTTTATGTTTGATTTTGAATGATAGTTTGAATTGTTTATCGGTGACGAAGGATGCATCACTAGTCGCAGGTGGATTTTCCGATTCTTTTGTCAAAATTTGGAGTCTGAAAGGGGAAAAACTCAAGGGATTTCGAAATACCATTAATCCGGCTTATATTAATGATTGTAAGTAATAAGTTTGGAAAATGGCCAAATGTTTGACTCAATTATTATATATATTATATATAGATGATGATCTCAACAGACAAAAGGAACGTCATGGTTCTGAATTCAAAAAATTAGTGGGACATTCCAACTCGGTATATGGTGTTAGCTTTAGTCCGGATGACAAGTATTTACTCTCCTGTTCGGCAGACAAGACAACAAGATTATGGAGCACACAAACCTACACTAACTTGGTGATCTACAAAGGTCATAATTATCCTATTTGGGATGTGGATTTCGGTCCATTTGGATTTTATTTTGCTACTGCTTCTCATGATCGTACGGCAAGACTTTGGAGTTGTGATCAAATTTATCCTTTACGTGTATTTGCGGGACATCTCTCCGATGTAGATGTAAGTGTGATGAATTAAAAAAAAAAAGGATGCAGGGGTTACAAAATGAGAATGAATGATTTATGTTCCTTTTATATATATATATATATATATATATATATTATAGGTGGTTAAATTCCATCCCAATTCCAAATATGTGGTAACTGGATCAAGTGATAGAACAGCAAGAATGTGGGATATTCAAACTGGTAAAACAGTTCGTGTGTTTACGGGACATAGAGGCGCAATTAAAACAGTAGCACTATCACCTAATGGACAACTTATGGCATCGGCAGGTAAAATAGAGGGATGACAAAACTAAATCATACTAGATGATTTATTTTTGATATTTTTCCTTATTTAGGGGATGACCACACTATCATGCTTTGGGATCTTGGAACGGGTAGACGATTAAAGACAATGACAGGCCATACGGATATTATTTATTCCCTTCGATTTAGCATGGACAACAATGTTTTAGTATCGGGTGGAGCCGATGACACAGTACGAGTATGGGACGTGAATCAAGTCAATACAGATATATCAGAATCGAAAATGGAGTCAAAACGAATACGATTGGATTCTTCTTCTTCTTTAACAAGACAAATAGGCAAAGAACGAAAAATAACGGAAAGGTAAATATATATATATATATATATATGAAATTGACTGACATTTTTTTTTGTTATATGTATACATATATAGTAAGGATCATCTTGGAGTATTCCCTACAAAACATACACCCATTTATGATATTCAATTTACAAATCGAAATCTTTGTCTTGTTGCAGGTGCATTCAAGCCTCCCCTTTAGAATAGTTCTCAATTTTTCGTTTTCATTTTTTATTTTTATTTTTATTTTATTTTACCCAAATAAAGAAAATAAAAAGGAAATCCTCACTCACACACACACACACGCTCTCTTTTTAAATCTAGTTTTCTAGTGGAGTAATACCACATGATGAATATATATATATATGTATATATATAGGAAAAATAATATCATAGTTTGATGAAAAGGTGCTTTTATATAATGATGCATAAGAACTAGTTGAAATCACATGTGTTTATTCCATAGTAAATTGAATGCATGGTTATACAGTGTTTTCAAGGTTTTTTGTCGGGTCACAAGAAAATGCTTTTCGTGATGTTATCAAATAAAATATCGTACTTTCCCAAAATGAATGGCGCATTACCACTTTTTCAGATATCGCTCCAGAGATGGCGGTAGAGTACATTAAAAACACACAACACATTGATGATAACTTGTTTATTAATAATAAAAGACACAAAAGAAAAGTAACATAAGCTTTTCATATTTTTAGCAGCTTTGGGTGTCGTCCATTCTTTTTTAGGTATCAATTGATTGATGATTCATAATTGATGATTCATGATTGATGATATATGATAACGGATGATTGTATATTGGATGATTACAGGATGGATGATATGTGATAATGGATGATTATATGTTGGATGATTGTATGATTGTATGATGGATGATGAAACATTGTCGTCAATCACTGTACAAATTTCTGATAAAATACAAAATACTTCATTCTAGTTACCTTCTGACAGAACAGCATTTTCTTTTTCTTTTCTTTTTTTCTTTGAAAAATGTCAAAACACTCTTTTATCAGCCAACATGATAAATCAATATAATAATGATGATTCATCACATCAATGGAAATTAAAAAATACAATAATAAATGTGCTGTACACAATCATACTACCATTTAAAATAGAACAACTAAAAAAAAAAAAAAAAAAAAAAAAAAAAAAAAAAAAAAAAACTAGTCATTAAACTAAAACACGGCAAAAACAAGTCAGTACCATGTATCACTTAGTACATAAATATTGTAATAATAGAATTTAATGTAGAACATCTATGTAATTAACTTTATTATTAAGAGAGAAATGTTGCTAACACTAAAAAAAAATGATGAAGTAGATACTAAAAAAGACAAATGATAAATTAAATACAATATAAAGAAAGAAATGTTGTTAATACTAAAAAAAAGAATGGTGATGAATTAGATACGATATAAAGATAGAAATGTTGCTAATATTTAAAAAAAGATGATAAAACTTGCTTACATCTTGTCTCATCATTTTATCCACTAAAATTAGCTCATAATTGCAGGGATGATTCATTTTCTTATAAAAGGATCTCTTTGATTTAACTTTTTTTTTTATTTCTGTCTATCTCTTTCTTTACAAGTATTCTTTAATGGTTTAATCACCGTTGGTTCAATCACTCTTTTTTTTTCTGTCTATCTTTAATGGTTTAATCACCGTTGTTTCAATCACTCTTTTTTTTTGCCTATCTTTTTTTTTACAAGTATTCTTTAATGGTTTAATCACCGTTGGTTCAATTAATATAACAACTTTACAATTTAACAATTTCCGGGATGGTTATCGCCATCCTACTTTCGCTACGGCGATCTCGTTACACTTAAATGGTAAGCTAGTGAAATATTTTTATTTGGATAAGTATTACTCATTTTTTATTTTTTTTTTTTTATATATATGTTAACTTGGTGAACTCAATTGGTGGATTTCCTTTTTTTTTTTTTTTTTGATTGCTCTTTTTTTTCATGATATCTATTTTCTTATATTCTCTATTTGATTATGCGACAACTCTCTCTTTTCTTCCCTGTCATTTATTTTCTATCCTTACGATATTTTATTTCCTATTTTTGCGCCATCTTATTCTTTGAATTCCGTCAATTATTATTGAATAAAGTGTAGTTTCTATAATATTGAGTCACATGTCTTTCTATTATCGTTTCAATAACAAGGCATAAGTAGTGAAACATCAAAGCATCGTCATCTCTAAATCCAAAACAGGTATTCCAACAAAAAAAAAAAAGTTTATATATAAAATGAAGCAACTTTTATTGTTACACGTGAGCTGGGTATGGAAAAAGAAGAGGAACCAAATATAGGAATTTTTCAAAAAAAGTAAAGATGGAGTTAATCGAATACAAGACGCCATAATCTAGTGAAAGGACTAGTTGTATATGTAGAATCATCTAATGAAGATAATGATGAAGTAGTAGAAGGGGATGATACAATTATAGGTCTCTTGATATTTTTAATAGTACCATCGGGATAAACTATATGATGAATAGTTTCTGTAGCCACACCATCGTTGGATTTCTGATATATTGTTTCTTCAGAACCATCTGTACGAAATACACATTCTTGAGTACATTTCCAATCCTATAATATATATATAAAAGTGAATCATTCAATCTTTTTTTTTTTTATAAAAAAAAAATCAATCATCTTTTTCAAATAATCACTTACCTTTCCCAAAGAGGAGGAGTGCCGATGATTTGTTGATTTAATAATAGTATTGTTTGTCGTTTGTATTGCGTTAAAAGAAAAGTTTGCCTTGGCGTTCAAAGAGTCACTTGGTTGATTGTTGTCATTGCTGTATAAAGAATTGGGACTATTCCATTTTTGTGATGATGATGATGTAGTTTCTCGTCGGGTTTCTTGAGGTGTTGACAAAGAACGATTTCTACGAGATTTTTCCGCCAAACGTTTGAAATCACTACCACCAAAGTCATGAAGCTGTAAAGGAGGAGGAGTAGATGATGATGATGATGATGATTTAGTAAAGATATCATGTTTTCCACTATCAATTGGTTCAATCAATTGTCGAAACATCATTGATATAGAGCTTTCCATGATACCAGCCATCATTTGATCAAATTGATCCATATCATTAGGTTTTAAAAAAGGAGAAGATTCATTTGATGTCATCATATATTTATTATTTATAATAGAAAAAAGAAAAAAAGAAAGAAAGAAAGAAAGAAAAGGATGTCAAAATGACGGCATAAAGAGATTTTTATATATGATATTTTTCCGCTGTTTTTTTCGACCCCGCTTAAACTTTTTTTTTTTTTTTTTTTGGGTTCCATCTTTCTCTTCCTTTTTTTTTCCCTAGTGCATTCCTATTATGTCGACAACTGAGTACAACAGCTCTGCTCCTTCTTCAATAGTACAAGCTTTATCAGCTGGTCTACGGGAAGCTAAGCCAACCAATACTTTATTTACTTGTTTAGCTTGCCAAGTTGCCTTTCCTACTTCAGAACGTCAACGTTCACATTATAGAACTGAGTAAAGTATTAAAAAAAAAAAAGTATACTCATATTTATTATACTAATCTTACTTTTTTTTTTCTTTTTTAGTTGGCACAAATACAACTTGAAACGTAAAGTTGCTGATCTTTCTCCAGTTTCTGCTGAACAATTTGCTCAAAAAGTTTTAGGTAAAAGAACTTTCCACCAAAATGTGTGTTTTAATGACTAATATATCTATATATATATTTGTTTTAGCTCAACAAGCCATTGGAAGGGAAGAAGAAGAAAAAGCAAACGTTATATATGAATGTGGTGTATGCAGGTAAATTCTTTTCTTTTTCTTTTTTTTTCTTTTTTTTTTTTTTTTTTTAAAAAAAACAAAACAAAACAAACAAACTCATCTATATCTTTTATATATCTCTTATAGACGATCTTATGTCAACGAAAACTCATTTAGTAATCACTTGAAATCAAAAAAACATCGAGATCTTGAATTCAGATCTTCTCCTACAACCACTTCTACACATGGAACTCACAATAAAAAAGAAAATACTCACAGACAACAACTATTCTCTGATGACGAAGAAATTGAACATCAATTAGAAGATCAACAACATCAACCTACTATATCTGATAAGTCTCAAGTCTCCTGTTTGTTTTGTCACCACATTTCTGATCATTTTGGTGCTAACCTACAGCATATGATTTCACAACATGGTTTCTTTTTACCTGACGATGAATATTTGATGGATGCTCCTGGTCTTATTTCCTATCTTTATGACAAAGTGGTACAAGATTATATCTGTCTATTTTGTAACGATCGTGGCAAGGAATGGCGAAGTTTGGAGGCAGTTAGAGCTCATATGGTAAGAGAAATTAGATTATAATCGTTTTCATCAAAATAACTCTTTTTTTTTTTTTTTTTTTTTTTTTTGTATAGATTGATAAAGGTCACTGTAAAATGGCATATGATGATTCTGAAGATCCTGAAGCTTTATTACAATTTTATGACTTTGGACCTATCGATTTGGATTCACTCGATCAAAATGATGATATTATTCTATTGAACAACAATACAGAACGATTATTGGAAAATGGTACAAGAATTGGTCATCGACAGAAATTACGTTATTTCAAGCAACGTTTAAGAAAGACTGTAAGAAAAAAAAAAAGAGTTGTATGTCTATTTTTTTTTTTTTGAATTATCTCATTTTTTTTTTTTTTTTATTTTCTTTCAAGACTCATGATACAAAGACACCATTATCTATTCAAGATAAAGAACATGCTGTTGCTGAAATAGTTGCTTTGGCAGAATCTGAAGGAAATCCTCTCAATAGGAAACAACGTCGACAACTCTTGACTGATGGTACGGCTCTTCATAGTGATGATCCACAAACCTCTTTAGCTGCTATTCAATCCACTCATCAAGCTCAAAAGGAATTCACAAGAAAATCAGATTTTCAACAACAAGTGGCTATTAAGAATAATAGAAACACAACTCGTCGTATTCGTATTCAAGTACCTGTTTAGATTTGTTTACATTAGTTATGTCTCTTCATCCAATAAACTATATACAATATATATGTATGACCTGTACTCCGATCGTATCGCTGCTTGATTTTCGTGTCTTTTTTAAATCCTAGGCGCGTTCTGTACCTTTTTCTTGATTTCTTTTTTTTCTTTTTTCTTTCTTTCGTTCTATTTTTTTTTTTTTTTTCATAATATGACTTCAAGTTTCGTGCTGCAAGAGGAAATACGACTATTACAAAACGATACATCCAATTACCATATTGAAAACGAAATCGACATTGAAGGTCAATCAGAACATGACTTGGCTCGAAGTTTGAACTGTAATTACAAAAAAACCAAAAAAAAAAAAAAAAAAAAAAAAAAACTACTTTTACTAAACGTTTTCTTTTTTTTTCGTTCCTTGATATAGATGTCACTGAACATATTGAAGTTTCAAGTAATACCATAACTGATCCTTCAGTCTTTGATAAAGTTCGTAGTTTTCTAAAGTAATAATCATTATCGCTTGGACAACCTTCTTTTTTTTTCTTATGTATTCACCTTTTTTTTTTCCTTCACCTTGGAAATAGATATTTCGAAGCTCTTACCCCTCGTATTGCCGCACGACTTCATGATATCCTATTGTCAGGTAAAAAAAAAAAAAAGAGAAGAGAAGAATTGTGGAAAGACAGAATAATGTTCATAGATTTACTTACATGACTCCTTTTTTTTTTCTTCCCTTTGTTTTTCTTTTGATAGCATTCCGCACTGAAGTCAAAACTACTTCTGATGACTTGGCAAATAACGAAACTAGTACATTTGGTGAACATCGAACTTGTCTTGAACATTATATCTTTTTGATCTACTGGTATTTGGAACTATCTGAGGAAGCTGCAAAGGCTGCTGCTTCTGCTGCTTCAACGAAATCAAAGGTATGTAATATTTGCAAGGAAAAAAAAAAGAGATGGTAATTCTTCTTAACGCTCAATATGATTTTTTTTCTTTTTTGTAGAGAGGAAAAGGACGTGTTTATGATGATCGACCAGCAAACTGGACAGTACAACAAAAGAAAACCTATGATCTCTTGGCGTGGCTCCTAGAACTTAAATTGACAAAAATATGGACTCTTCCACCTGATCGGACAGCATTGATCAAGTAAACTATCAATATATTACAATATTCAGCTGACTAATATCATTATTTCTATTCCATCATCTTTAGTTTATTCACGAAATCATGTTATCACTTCTTTGAAAATGCCTCCAATCTCAAAGTGATCGATTTGAAATTAGCAATCTTCAGAATATTAAGTTTATGTGTCAAGAATTATGATCATTTACTAGGTAAGAAATCAGAGCATAATGAAAGTTTTGATCTGACTTTTTTTTTTTTCCTTTGTCATTCTTGTAGCTGCACAAGCTACTGTGATACAAAATCTACAATACTGGGAACATTGTGCTGAACCAATGGCGGAATGGTTACATTATTTGATTGACAAGTACGATTATGGACAGTTAACAGATGAATTACTACGTGAAATTGGGAATCAAGAATTCAAGGATACAGCCGTCAAAGATGTGAAGGATACAGCAAATCCAAAGACATTCTCAACCTTTCTCCTCAAACTAACTGATCTGGCTCCAAGGTCTGTGCTGAAAAATTTAGGTGTTTTGATACAACAATTGGATAGTGAAGTAAGTGAGGACGCTTTCAAGAAAAAAGGAAAAAAAAAAAGAATATGAAAACCATTATTTTACTGACTACATATATATATATGTTCAAATCTTTCTATTAGTCTTATGCCATAAGGTTGACTCTTATCGAAATTGCCGGTAAACTAATCGTGGAATTGACTCAAAACTCGGAAGAGTCACAATCGCAAAAGGATCAAATCAATGGATTCTTTGATATATTGGAGGAACGCATGTTGGATCCCATCTCATTTTGCCGTGTGAAAGTGCTTCAAACCTATATTAAAATATTAGAGTAGGTGGACAATCATATGTTTACTTTAGGTATATATATTTTGATACTCACTTATCCTTTCAACTTATAGTCTTCGTGTCAAGTTTCCAAAAAGGCGTCAAACATTATGTAGTCTGGCTATTCGGCACTTGGAAGATAAAAGTAGTAGCGTTCGGAAATATGCTGTCCGTGTATTAACCAAGTTGATATCTACCCATCCTTATGATATGTACGGTGGAGAACTGACTTTGGAAAACTGGCAAGATCGATTAAGCAAACTTGAAGCTGAATTGGAGGTAAGAAATGTTGTAATAATGACGCTACACAAACTGATGTCTTACTGGTTCCTATAGGCTTCGACTACGGAAAGTGATGTACTTGGATTTGTTGCTATTGATGCACTTCAACCTACAAATAGAGACGAACAACCAGAAGAACCTAGCGCAAGCGCAGCAGCGACGCCTTTGGGCAATGAAACACAAGAGGTGGAAATGAATGACAGTGAAAAGGAAAACGCGGCAATTACAGACAGCACTAGCACAAATGATAATGATAATAATAATAATAGCGATGAAGATATAGTAGACGATACATTATCAGGGCCCACCAATGATAACGTCAATGACAATGACGATGTACCAACAACAAAAATAAATGCAACTCCATGTCCTAAAACCGTCATCAGCGAAGAAAAGATGCAACAACTCACTCTTATGAAAACGTTCCTTATTGATGCCGTTAAATTTATTGAACAAATCCACAAAAGTATTCCCATTGTTGGCCAATTATTGTCTTCAAAATCAAAATTAGAAGTGGTGGAATCTATGGACTTTTTTATGACTGCCTATTTATACAAAGTGAAATTGGCTAAAGTAAGTGATGATGACGAAAAAAAAATAGATTTGCATTCTTTTCTTATCTCTCTCTCTATTTGGTTTATATAGGCTGGATTGAAAAAGATGCTACATTTGATTTGGATCAAGGATACTAGTGATGAAGGAAAAGGGATTAAGATGAAACTGTTAGACTGTTATAGAACGCTTTATATTGAACCGGATACCAAGTTATCGAAACGACAAAATATCAATAATATAGCCAAGTATCTTATCGAATTAACATACCACACAACATTGGCTGAATTGACCTCATTGGAACAAGTATTGAGTACATTGATGGCAGAAGGTGATATCTCGAATGCTGTGGTAGAAAAATTATGGGAAGTCTATGGTAAAGAGCTGCAACTAGAACAACGAAGGAAGAATCGAGATACCGTTATGCTAATCTAGTTGTTTCTTTTTAGGATTTTCAAAAGGACAAATTTCAAAACAACAACGACGAGGAGCTATCATCATTCTTGGCATGCTGGCAAAGGCAAATACTGAAGTGGCATCTGAAAAAATAGATCTTATGCTTCATATTGGTTTGGGATCTGTAGGAAGAGTAAGTATATTTACAAATGGGGTCAACATTTACTAATTTACTCACTTGTTATTATTCTTTCTATTAGACTGATTTGGTAATTGCAAAATATACTTGTATCGCCTTGCAAAGATTAGCAGGAACCAAATCAGACAAAGGTAACAGCAAAAAAAAAAAAAAAAAAGAAGGCATAATTGATCAATCACTTATTCTTTTCTATTATTTATTTACTTATTTGTTTGTTTTTTTTATTTTAGCACGTGGTGTTTATGAAGGGAAACGATTTCCAATGTCCCACCCTGTTTTCGCCAAATTGAAGGAGGTTGTACAAAGTCAAAGCACATCCATGGAATGGTTCGGTATGACAGAACAAGCTCTCAATGCAATTTATTTGTTGGGTGAACATCCTGATCTCCTTTGTGGTGAAATCATCAAGTCCAAAACGAGAGAAATCTTTTCTGATGATCAAGATGATGGCAAGAAACCTGAATCAAATGATATGACAAATGATTCCAATGATGGGAATGACGATGCAATGGATGTGGACAATGACATCTCAAAGGAACAGGAAGAACAACAAACAACGCCATTACAATCTCAGTCATTACGCCAATCTGTTAACAGAAATCCATATGAACTTAGTCAACTTTTTTTCATTGTCGGTCATGTTGCTCTCAAACAAACTGTACATCTTGAAGTTGTGGAAGCTGTATGGAAACGAAAGAAGTTGACCAAAGAAGGTAAGGTCATTTTGAACAAGATATTGGGGATTGTTAGAAATAAATACAACTTTTACTGATTACTTTTTTTTTCTTTATGCTTCATAGAAGGAAAAGAAAAGTCATCGGAAGCTATGGAAGATGAATTAGAGCAAGTGGGTGGTACAGCTGAAGACGACATTGGTGATGCCATTATTAGAATTCGTGAAAGGGAAATCTTATTTAGTGGGAAATCATTATTGGCTCGGTTTGGTCCTTTATTGATAGAAGTGTGTGCAAGAAATAAAGTGTATACGGTAAGAAATAGATCTCACTAAAACAATAATTGGTTTTATTTATTTATTTATTTGGCAGGATCGTACTTTGCAAACCATGGCAACGTTGGCTCTTGGCAAATTCATGTGTGTTAGCTCAGATTTTTGTGAACGACATTTACAACTTTTACTTACAATTCTCGAAAAATCCAAAGATCCTACTATTCGAAGCAACATTGTGATAGCACTAGGTGACATGGCGGTCTGTTTTAACACATTGATTGATGATAATATCACTTTTCTGTACAATCGACTGGCAGATGAAGATAAAATGGTGAAGAAGAATGCAGTAATGGTCCTAACTCATCTGATTCTCAATGGAATGGTCAAGGTGAAAGGTCAAATCAGTGAAATGGCGAAATGTTTGGAAGACTCTGATCAACGTATTGCTGACCTAGCAAAACTCTTTTTTACTGAATTGGCCAATAAAGACAATGCTATTTACAACAATTTGCCGGATATCATCAGTAACCTTACAGCTAAAAACTCAAGTCAAGTGGACGAGGAATCCTTCCATCGCATCATGAAATTCATTTTTTCTTTTGAATTTGTGGAAAAGGTAACGCCAAAAAAAAGAAAGAAGATAAATCTGATCTGATTTTTTTTTTTGTTAGGGAAAACATGCGGAAAATGTGGTGGACAAACTGTGTCAGCGATTTCAAAATGCAGAAGAAGGTCGGGGTTGGCGAGATATTGCCTTTTGTTTATCATTACTCCCGTACAAGACGGAAAAAAGCTATCGAAAACTATTGGATGGTCTCCCTTATTATCAAGACAAATTACATGATGATGCAGTGCATAAATACTTTTTGGAAATCATTGCAAAAGGCCGGAGTGCTCAAAAACTACAAAAAGCTGAACTCAAGACAATAGTGGATGAATTAGAAGCAAAAGTGGAATCCATTAGCGGTATCTCGAAGGAAGATAAACAAAAAGCTGCCAAACCAAAGAAGAAAGGTAATGAAAAGAACAGATACCTATCAAACTAGTAGATTGATTCTTTTTTTTTTTTTTTGGTAGTTGTTTTACGTGCCATCCGAAAAGATCAAAGATCGTCTTCTTCTTCGGTTCCACCATCATCAGTCACGTCAACAGACGAATTATCAACCATTATTTAGCATATATTCTATTTATTATTATTATTATACATTCATACCTTATATCAATCCCCATAAATGAACCAAATAAAAAACTTTTACTCTCTTGTCAACATCATATCAACAATTTTTCGACTTCATCGGTTAAATTTGTTTTTATGGCGGAGCACAATGTCTTTTTCTTTCCTTCCATTTTCTTTTTTCCTTCCCCCCTTTTTTTTTTCCTTCTTTTTTTTTTTTTTTTTTATCGCTTTTCATTACATTATATTCTCATGACAGTCCCTACGTTGCATCTTCTATCTACAGATCAATATGCACCACTTGTAGAACAACTATCTCGTCACCATCAACCAAGCTGTTCACAGTTTTTAGGCTGGTTCCTTCAAACAGGTCATTCCACCGTTGATCACCTTGGCCGATCTAAAGTCTATTCAACCCATTCCAATCCAGATTATTTACCCCTTGATGAACCCGTTGTCCTTGTCATCAATAGTTTCCATCGACTTCGTATCTATGTCAGCACAGAACCGGTTTTTGATAATCAAGGCGTGGTCACCGAATCTTTGAAAAAACAAGCTGCGGTAGGCGATTGGAACGGAGAAAAGGCGCCACGTTTGTACGACGACGATCATTTGCATGTCTTGTATCAGAAAAGTGTGGATCTTTTGGAGCATGTGCTACATCAAGTCATCAATGAATGGGGAAATAATGGTAACTGGATGAAGACAAAAAACAAAAAAACAAAAACGACGAATAAGAATATATTGTTAAAAAGGAAGCTTACCGTTTATACTTTACTTTTATTTTTTTATTTTTATTATTATTATTATTATTATTATTTTTAGAATGCATGTTCCATGGTGTTTCATTAGTATGGCAACCTTTGATCAGTGCTTTATATAAAATTATCTACTATGGTCCTTGCCATACATTTGTCAAACCTGTGGAAACAGACATTCCTATAGAATCACCTTGGCCACTTTCCAATTTGGTAGCAAGTGATGTGAAGACGGTAAGATATACAACGTTTTTGATTCTCATAGCATTAACCATTCTTTTTCTCTCTTTTATTTATATCTATTCAGGTAGTCGAAAGGAACAAAATTTTGTATGATTCGAAGTATGTGGAGGATTGTTTCCGTATATCTTCTGCTTTACGTGATCAAGGAAAGCTAGTTGCTTGGGCGTATACTCATCGTGATTGTAATTATATGGTTCACACTAACTAAATATGAAACAGGAGATATTTATCTTTTTTTTTTTTTTTAATTATCATAGTACCCATTGGTGGACTTCATGTGATTCCAGAATATCGACGACGACAGTTGGCAAGTATCATTGTACGCGACTTGTGCAACAAGCAATCTCGATTTTTACTCGATAATGCACCAAACAGTGATCAGATACAGTATTATGTACTATCTCTTGTGGAATACTCAAATCCAGCAAGTACGGCCTTATTTGAACGACTTGGCTTTTCGAAAGTGGGACTTGGTATGACTTGGACTGAAATCTCTGTTAGAAAATAATCTAGATAGATTGTGTACTTTTATGCTTAGATTCGTATTTTGATTCTCTCCTCCTTTTCTTTTTTAATTTTTTATCTAATAAATATCTTGTATTGTTTACTTTTTTATTTGATATGATGATGGTCAGTATGGAATATTTGGTAATATAGAATAATAATAGGGTTGTAATAATAATTATAATAATAATAAAAAAGAATGAAAATGTTTATTTGAAGAATACAATAAAAAAGAAATGAAGATGCTAAGAGAGATGTATGGATAATGACTAATAATAAAGCTAAATCACAGCGGCAAAGAATCCAAGTTTTTCCACAGGCTGACCCAATTTTCGTTTCTCTTGAACTTGAGCTTCGTCTTCCAATAGTTTGGTATCTAATTGTTGCAATAATGGCTTGGCGAGATTTGTGGCACTCTATATAATTGTTAGTTCATATATTCATCTCCCTTTTATATATGTATATACCTGAATCATTTCGGTCAATAAACTTGGATCAATGCTACCAGTTGCTGATTTTTGAATACCACATATTTGTCCTTCTTTGTTGACTCCAACCGTTAATGTCACCTGTGAACATAATTCTTCCAAAATCGTAGGATCAATGATATATCGATCAGCGATCTAGTTTGTCAAATCAAAAAAAAAAAAAAAAAAAAAAATTAATATGTCTGGATGTTTCCTTTTTTTTTTCGCTTACCTTATATAAAGTGACTGAGATAGGTGATCGATCCCAACCAATAATGGATTCAGCATCTTCTATATCATCCACCACATCAAATTCAAATTCACCATCTCCTAAATCTTGAATTTCGGTTTTTGGTATACGTGTGTTGTGTAAAGCGGCTCTTGTGGTCATAACAATACAATCAAATAGATTTCCAGCACAATCCATCACCTATTTATTTAGAGAGAATAAATATTTTTAAAAAAAATAAAATAAAATAATAATAATCAGTGTATCATTTCTTACCATTGCATCAATATATATCACCCAACAATTTTGACCAGGTATAATGCATAGTTTTTCGAGGTCAATACCACTTTGAGGTCCATTATAAAGTCGATCCAATGATAAAGTCAAGGTATTGTTGATATCATCAGCACCACGTCCTTCGAATTGTTGTGACGCACTAGGTGAACTGTTCATGGTCATATTATGATAAGAAGAAGAAGAAGAAAAAAAAAAAAAGGAGATCAGTATGTGAAGAAGAATAACTTTTTGATTGAATATTATTATTGTTATTTATTATTTTACCATTCCACATTGCAAACAATACGACCTACATTGGGATTTTCTTGATCAACTTCACCAATTTCCACTTTAACACCTACGAGAACATCACTATCACCTAGTCTACAACGAGCACTACCACTTGCTTGAGAGAGTAAACCAGATTCAAGGACAATATGACGATATTCCAATCTTCCACGACCATCAGCGCGACAATCTTGTTCTATTCCTTGTTCTATATAACTTTTTTCTGCAGGAGATATTAATGGTGCTGGCATTATTAGAAATAAAGAAAGAAATAAAGTCGCAGTATCAAAAATGAATGGACAAAAAAAGAAGTGGGAATTTTTATGGATTTACTTTTTGCTATGGTGGCTTTTTTTTGTTCTCTTTCTCACTCAGATCAATTTCCATCACATCCAAAAATAGCTTTCCAACGCTTTGCCCGTAAAAGGCAATTCTAATTTTTTCTTTTTCTTTGTTGATGTTGAAACACCGAACTGGATACATTTAAAGTGATTTGGAGAAACAGGAATCTTTTTTTTCTCGTTTCTTTCTTTATCATCTATACAAATATCATTCTTTTTTGTCTTCATTCACAACTTCATTCATAATATGACAGTAGAAAGTGAGGAAGAATATAAATTGAACTCTACTTCTTCTGAAGTAACCACTGATGAACAACAAGATATGAAAAGTGCTGAAACGCAGAAAAGGTTCAAGAACTTTCAACGCAGTTACTTGGTAGTTTATTTAACAGTGATGGGTATATTGACATGACAATAGTATACTCTTTAACTTATATTTATTAACTTTCTTTTTTTTTTTTTATTATTATTATTATTAGGTGCTGATTGGTTACAGGGACCATATTTATATAAACTATACACAACATATGGTTTAGCTTTTGAACATATTGCCTTACTCTTTCTTACTGGATTCCTTAGTGGTGCATTTGCTGGTACTGCTCTAGGTAGTATGGCTGATTCTTGGTAAATTGATATATTCAACCGAGGTTTATTCATATAACCAATATATTAAATTTTATTTCTATTTGTTGATTAGGGGTCGAAAAAAAGTATGTTTATTATTCTGTGTTACTACGATTGCCGCATTATGTTTACGAATGATGAATATCTATCCTGTATTGGTTTTATCTCATGTATTATCTGGAGCATCCACAGCATTAATGTATAGTGTTTTTGAAGCTTGGTATGTTGCTGAACATACAACTCGAGGTTATCCAGCGGATTGGCGATCTCGGACTTTTGCCACGGCCACTTTTTTGAATGGATTTGTTGCTATCATTGCTGGTTTAGTCGCTAATCAATTGGTCGATTTTTTCGGTGTTAGTGCTCCTTACTTTTTCGCCATGGTACTTTTGGTCTTTGCTGGATTCATGGTCTCTACTACCTGGACTGAAAATTATGGTGAAGCTCAAGGAAATGTAAGTCAAATTAAATGAGGAAAAAAAAAAAAAAGAAATGTGTTGTAATGACGATAACTGATGGACCTTTTCTTTATATATATATATATATATATATATATAAAAGCGTGATGTCAAGTTGGTGGTTGCATTGAAACAAGGGTGTCAAGTACTATTCAATGGTAAAAAACATGATTTACAGCAAAAAAAAAAAAAAAAAAAAAAAAAAAAAAAAAAAGGTGCTAATAGATGATAAATATCCTCATAGACTCTAACATCCTTATCCTTGGTACTGCCCAAACATGTTTTGAATGCTCAATGTATGTCTTTGTTTTATTATATACACCTGCTATTGAAAATGCTGCAGCTAATCATTTTGGTAAGAATAAAATGAGTGGATGATTGGGAATATAGATATTCATAATAATTGTTCATTTTGCCTATATATAGATGATGATCAGAAATTACCTCTTGGTTATTTGTTCTCCACCTTAATGTTTGCTGTCATGTCTGGTTCTTTAGCTTTTCAAGCACTTGATCGTCAAGCAACTCTACCTCAAGCACGTGGATTGGCTCGTTTCTGTACAAAGGATCATTTATTAGTAATAGCTCTTGCGATTGCAAGTGCTTCATTTACGTGTATGGCTTATGGAATATCATCAGTAAGTGAAAAAAAAAGAAAAACAAATGAAATAGGAAAGGATGGTTTGTGAATGATCATGCTTAACATGTTGGTTTTTTTTGGGGGGATGAAATTAGATGATCATGCTGGGATTATCTTATCATGCATTTGAATTTACAACGGGTATGTACTATCCATCCATCTCTTCGTTAAAAGCTGATGCAATCCCAGAAGAATCAAGAGCTTCTGTCATGACCCTTCTCAGAATACCCATGAATGTCTCGATTGCTATCCTATTTTGGAATGTAAGTCAATCTTTTATCCAAAATACATGATTTTTTAACTATTACTTATTTGTTTAGGTGGACGTTATTAGTCACGAAACGTTGTTTGCTTTGTGTGGAATTATGACTCTTGTAGGTGCTACCTTGATGGTATGTTGCTACAAAAAATAGAATAGAAATCCTTATAATAATCTTCTTTAGTGATACCACATTACCCTTTTATTTGCCATTCACCTGAATTTTTACAATAAAACAATGTACTTCAACCTGTATTTATCATAGTGAACATTAAAAAATTATCTATCTTTTTCTTGAAGCATAACATAAAATCGTGAAAAGAGAAGAAAAGATACTCATCATCATCCATTAATTATCGTTGTCATAGACACAAGGACCTCTTTTTTTTTTAATTTTAATTCCGTGTAAAATGTTCGTATATTGAACCCCTATCCTAAAGGATCATCATGTTTAAATAGGATGACTTACTGTACCCCATCATCACTTCATGCCGTTTCTAAAACACAATATAAAAGACACAAAAAAAAGACACATAGGGACAAATATATATATATTAAAGTTGACAAGAATAATAAAACACAATGATGATTGTTTTTCTTTATTTAAGAGGAACGAATCGGGAAGAGTGAGTGGCACCAATACCAGGACGACCGTGACGAACAGGCTTGTAAGTGATACTATATACAAAAAAAAAAAAAAATGAATATTTTTCATTTGAAGAAAAAAAAATATACTTACGAGAATTCACCGAGGTAATGACCCACCATTTCAGGACGGATTTCCACTTGGTTGAAAGTCTTACCGTTGTAGACACCGACGATGGAACCAATCATTTCGGGAACGATGATCATGTTACGCAAATGGGTCTTGACAGTGGCAGGCTTTTCACCAGAGGGGGCTTCAGTCTTGGCCTTGCGAAGCTTCTTGATCAAACCCATAGGCTTGCGCTTCAAACCACGTTGGAAACGTCTACGAGCACGGCAATGCACCAAATCCATGAATTGTTCAGAAGATAAATCCAATAATTGGTCGAGATCGACGCCACGGTAGCTGAACTTGCGGAAAGTTCTCTTTCTTTGTGTTTGTTGGTCAGCCTATAAGAAGAATAAAAAGATAAGTATCATCGTTAAGATTAAATTATTATTTATTTTTTTTTCATCATTGTCACATTGTTTTCCCATTCATCCATTCATTCATTGCTTTTTCACGGTCAATTAGGTTTTGAAGACTGTAGAGTAACGAAAAAAAAAAATCGATGATTCCAAGAATGTTGTAAAAATAGATGTTGATTTGTAGACTGTATTTTTATATGGATTCGTTGATGAATGGATGGATGAGATAATGTACCAAGGATGGATGGATGCTACGTACCATGATGATGAAAGAAGGAACCTTCTATTGGATTGTCCCATCTCCCTTTTTTTTGATATTGAAATTCAAACACAGCCGGATGGATTTGGCACGACTTTGGCTGACCAATAAAAACAGTGCAAAATGCCCAGTGCATCAAAACCTAACATAAGGTTGTCAAAAAAAAAAAAAAAATGGAATGAAATATCCATTGTAAAGGCAAGAGGCTAAAAAATAATCACATTGAACCTTTCCAACGGAAATAGTCAAATAATAATAAGTTTTATTGGTTTGAAAATGAATGAATAATAAAAAGGGCACATGAATAAAACGATTTCTATACTACAAACTAACTATATCTTGAAGACCTTGAGATTCTTTCATGCTGTGGAGATCTTGATCGACTGGTTCGTCTGTGACGGTGATGCCTTCTCGATGGTGATGATGATTCATATCGATGTTCCCTACGACGCACGGACTTTCCAAGAGGTGAGCGTGATCTGGAGTCAATATCATCACGTCGATGATGAGAACGTCCATGCCGACTTGAAGGTGATGGAGATCTAGATCGACGATCATGTCGAGAAGTGTGTCGATGTCGAGAATGTCTATCATATTCGTTATCATCTTCATTATCACTTGAGTCATCATGTCGACGTTTCTTGGAATGGTGCTTGTGTTTCTTTGATTTCTTCTTCTTCTTCTTGTCCTTTCTTGATGAAGTATGATCATTATCGTTTTGAATGGTTGTATTATCGACTGATGATGGTTCTGGTTTTGTGTTTGAATAAACTTGACGGTTGTTCATGATTTCCATTGAATTATTACCGGTAGCCATGGTGACACGACTAGATCTATAATAAATTTACATCAATGTCAGTATATATCTAAGATGATCATGTAATTTCAAACTTACTTTCCAAAACCTAATCCTTTTTCACCTTCATCTTCAGATTCATCCTCATCCCTATTTAAGGCATGCTTGATTTCTTCTTTTGTAACATTGCTTTCAATAGTTTTCTTCTTTTTCACACCACTGTAACATAAAAAAAAAAACAATTCGGATTAGTTCATCAATATGTAATGAAGTTTCGTCACTCTATTTACAGTGCAATGGCCATGGCATCTGCTTCAGCTTCCTTAATTTTATCCATTTCAGCTTGGTGGGCCTTTTTCCTTTCATCGACATTCCTTTCTTTGGCGTACCAACTCAAATCCTTGCCTAATGAAATAATAAAAATAAATAAATAAATAAAAAAAAAAAAAAAAAAGACGATGAAAAAGAGTAAAGATGCTTATAAGCAATACCTTTTTGCCACCTTCCAACAGGAGCCATCAATGAATTCCCAAGATAATTTTCACGGTCCTTATCAGTCTTTACATCTTCCCAACTAAACTATAATAAGAATGTCACAAAAAGATAATCAAATCAGTACAAATACTTTCATTTAATAAAAACTGTTTTGATCCATTTCTTTGTTATCCTTTACCTGATCACGTCCACCACGGGTACCTAATAAAAGAATGTTTGATAATATACGATAATGTTAATATGATCGCTGAATATTATTATTATTATTATTATTATTATTATTTGTTAATAATAGATTACCTCCTCTTGTAGGATGAAACATGGTATATAGAAAAAAAAAATAATTAAATTGAAGAAAAAGAGAATGAAAACGACAAACCTCACAGTGTTTGTCTCATCATTTTAAATCCCCGCCTCGTTTGCTTGTGTGGCTATCATTGGATGACTAGAAGATATTATGCTTTGTTTCTTTTATAATATTAATTTAATCATAACGATTCATGAGATATCCCATCAACAAAGACATGGAACATCATTTTCTAGAAATGCAATAACTAAATCTGAAAAGATTATATAATGACAAAAAAAAAATCAAATTCCTTTATTAAAGACAATATGAAATGAAAATGATAGTATATAATGATATAAGAAACAAACTAACTAGAGGAAGATGTGTGAGGTACAGGTTGATGAGGAAGTGATATAACGGATGATGACGAAGGGGGTGATAGATATTGATTTTTATTACCTACATCAGGATGAGTTTCAAGAATTGATCCAGTTGGTGAAGATGTAATTGCTGTTTTGTCAGTGGGAAGCATACGTCCAGTTGCATAATCACGTTCAGCACGCCATTTTTGAGGAATATCACGGATACCATGTAATGTATGTTCAAACCAAGTACGTAAACCAAGTCGTTGCATAGACAACAAGGCAGCTACTACCAAACCAGCCAAGAATCCAATGCCTGCATTGGAAAATGCCATCATCACTCCTGTGGTCACAAGCATCACTACCCATTTTTCTGTTTTCTTTTGTTCATCTGTTTCACCAGCTACAATCGCTTTACCAGCAAAAGCGAGCTATATCAAAAAAAAAAAAATGAGATATATATGTATATATATATATGTATATGTTTGATGCTTTCATTTTTCTTAATATCTTACTTCAATAGCTGATACGAATAACATTACAGCTAAAATAGATTTGGGAAAGAGATCTAAAAGACCGACCAAAGAACTACCAAATAAGATACCCAAAAGTAACTTGCATAAACCAAGAATGATGATGGATACTTCAGAACGAGCACCAAAACGATATTGACCTGCCAATCCACCAGCACCATGACTATCAATAAATGATCATTAGAAATAAAGTTCAATTGAGTTCAATATAATGATAAACGCTTTTTTTTTTTTTTTTTTTTTTTGGTCTTACCAAAGGGGCATAGCACCAAACCAACATTGGACTATATTCATAACACCCACACTCATTGATACTTCAGATGTACCAGCATGTTTATCCGGAAATAAATCGTCAATCAAAGCGCAAAGGCCAATCACAGAATTCAAAGCAGTCAAAGGAATTTGACCCAATCCAGCGTTAACAAAACCATCACGAAATTGTGAAGCAGAAGGACGAATAATGGTATCAGGATAATAGCCACCAATAAAAGGTCGAGGAGTATCAGTTTTGTCCACGTACATTTGGATAAATGCAAAAATTAAACCAATTAAGAATAAGATCAAAGCACTTGGTACTTTATTGTTATAACAAGAGAATACAAAAAGGAAGGCCAAAAGAACCCAAACATAATTGTCAGCCCATTGATCTTGAGTACCTCTCATTTCCCAAGAGAGTTTGTTGACCAGTTTGTAAGCAGTCTGAATTAAGGAAAACCCAGTACCCATTTGAATCCCTAAACAAAAAAAAAAATACACAAATTAGCTTCTTTTTTTTTTTTTTGCATTTAAGGTATCGGCCTTCCTTACCTCTAATCACGGCAATTGGAGTGTAATTCCCAACCAAATTGATAGTCCGAGTTACACCCAAAAAAAAGACAATTGCTCCCACGCCTGTTAAAATAAGGAGTAAATAAACAATAACAAACATCAAGAAAATGATCTGATAAATAAATAGTACTTACCAATACCAGCAGCCATATTTTCTTCTATAGTCATTTTACTTGAAAGAACAACAGCCGCAACAGCTAATAGTGAAAAAGAAAAAAAAAATATAATAGTTAATATCAAATAAACACGTCTTGACTATTTTTTTTCTCTATTTTTGTATTTACCTTTCATAGGTTGAACGCAAACAGGTACTTGAAAAAATACACCAGATAAAATATTCCATATACCAGTAAACCATAATGTGCTTGTTAGATTGATTTGACCTCCAATAGCCAATGAAATCATGATTGGTAAAAAAGTACCTAAATCACCTAGACTACCAGAGACCTAAATGATCAAAAAAAAATAAGTCTTTTCTTTTTTTTTCCATTAATAATATATATTTACCTCATGAAGATTAAAATTATTTTTGATACGTGTCAATCGATTCTTGAGATACATAAAGGAAACTTACAAAAAGAAAGAAAGAAAAAGGAAAAGAAAAAAGTAAATCAGAAAAATAAAAACTTTAAAATAAAATCAGCGGAATTTCTAATACTAAAAATCAATCTTGTAGATAAGAATACAGATATAAAAAAAAAAAAAAAAAAAAGAGATGATGATAACGATACGATAAAAATATAATAGTAAGAACTTTTTTTTAAAGAAAAAAAAAATCAACAGTAACCATGTTTGTAACACTCAAAATCAAACTATGCATCAATAGTATTAAAAAAAAAAAAAAAAAAAGACACAAACTTTATTTCTTCAAATAGGAGGTTTTGATGAATCCATTTCTTTTGCTAATCGTTTCCAAGTTACTTGAATAGTTGGCCGTTGATCCTTGAGTTGTTTCATCATTTGATCCCAACCTTCCATTTCATTGTCTTCAACATTGCCACCCATTTCCAATAACATCAATCGAGGTAAACCATTATCCAATAGCATCCTAACCATAGCTTCCACATCTTGTAAATCGATTCCATTGCCACCAATATCCAATGTATGTACACCACTTGTTTCAAACCGAGGAAGTTCCGGTTTATCTGTATGACCGAATCCACGGACTTGATTATTGAATAAACCTACATAGCCGAGTGTCGTAGTATCTAATAGTGCTGCCAATCCATCACTTCCAATGACATTACCACCAAGTTCCACATGTTGTAATGATGTACATCGAGCCAAGTAAATCGCACCAGTATTATCAATTCGATTTTCGCGTAAATGTAATGTTTTCAATCCCTTGATATTTTCATCCAAATCTACTAGACCACTAGATTCAATACCATTTTGATCCAACCAAAGACTTGATAAATGATCATGATTCTTCATCCCTTGACAGATAGCAATCATCAATGCATTTCCAAACGGAGCCGCCTTTTCCAGTTGAGCTTCATTATGAGATTCCAGTGCACGTTCCATTTCTTCCGAATCCATGGCAGGTGGTGGTAATTGCATATCATCTTCCTTGGGTTTGCATACATTCGTCATTTTCAAGGTGCAAAGAGAAGTACATTTGGTGCAGATCTGGGTGGCCAACGCAGCAGCACCATCCATAAGAGGGTTTTCCGATAGATCCAATTCTTCTAAAGTCGATGCTATCAATCCATCATCTTGTTGTTTATCCGATAAAGCTTGTGCAATAGAATAGGCTCCTTGGCTACTGATCGCATTCATGTTGAGTCGTACACAGCGTAATGAGGATGCTTTATTGGTGGTGGTGGTGGTCAGCCATTGAGCTAAAGCATCTGTCGTGAGATCATCCAATTCATTTCGTCCCAAGTATACATGTTGCAAAGTAGGATGTTGTTGTATGCTTTTCACCAAAAGTCCAACTGTTTGAGGTTGTTTGCCTAGTCCTTTATTTTCCAAATCCAAAGTCTTCAGACCTTCGTTCACAGCCAAGCCTTCACAAAAAATAGAAAATAATGATATATCGCGACCCAACGTTGCATTACCGATATTCAGAAGTTCTAAAGTATCATTTAAAGTCAAGGTTTCTGATAACTGTTCCATGGCCATTCGATCCAATCCATGTCCCGAGCAATAGAGTTCCTTGAGAGTGGTATTGCTTGCCACTGCTTTGAAGATTCGCGTGAGTTCTGTTGTATTGATGCGTCTAAAGCTGAGAATATGAAGTGATACCAACTTTGGATCATTTTCTTCTAGTTGCTTGATCCATCGGTCAACAGCACCGTCATTACCGCCCCAAGCCATATGATTGAGAAAGTATAAAAGGGAAAGAGAGAAAGAAAAAAAAAAAAAAGAAAAAGAAAAAAAAATAACAAGCAAACATGGAAATTTTCGGATACCGCTTACTATCAACATGATCGTTTTATTATTATGAAATAATAGATTGTACAAGCTGGGGGAAATATACGTAAATATATATATATGAGCGTGTGTGTGAATAAAGACAAAAAACTAAAACTAGTTAAAAAAGTATGGAATGAAGTATATATGGAGTGAGGAAAATCATTCTTCAATTTGATCATCAGTTGCATCTAAAAACACATCCTTGTTGTTATCCTTGTCGTCTTCTATATCCTCTACTATGTCTTGTTCCTTGTTGTTTTCCTTGTTGTTTTCCTTGATGTCCTCTTTGTTGCTTTCCTTGTTGCTTTCCTTGTTGCTTTCCTTGATGTCTTCCTTTTCAAGTTCCTTGTTATCATCTACATCGTTGTTTTCTGCATGTTCCTTGTCAGTCTTGCTTGATTCGTTATTGACCTTGTCATCATTCTTCTCATTATTGTTTGTCGAAAGAGAAACCACTGACATATCTAATTTGATGTCATCATCAGGATCGGTTTTTGTCGTCATGATCTTGCCGTCCATGCTACCACTTCGTTTGTTGTTATCATGTACCAAGGATGCCCTTCGTGGTAATGGAGAGGATTCACTAACAGGTGGTTCGGGAATATCAAATTTTGGTGAAGTTGCTGATCCAATTTTATCATCTTTGATACCAAGATTTCGGATGGTCCAAGGTAAAGCTCCCATTCTAAATATATAATATTAGAGAATATACGTATATATATAATATTTTTTTTTATAACATACCTGGCATAAAACATTTGTAATCGTAATCGCATTGCTTCTTGATACAGATCAGTAATAGTTCTAGTTCTATAGTAACCCTGTCGAACATTTCGGATAAACACATAAAATTCACAAACGGCCACCAGTCGATCACGACAATAACGATCAATACAAGCCCAATCATCAAAGTATGAAATTCGAAATCGATAAGGAAGAGAAGAAGCATCGTTGTTTCGTCCACAGGCTTGACATCCAGAAAAGATACCGGCTTGACTACTTGAACTGAATCTTTCCCAAATCATAGATTTTCCAGCAGAGATCTTGAGAGGTATATCCACAGGTCGTTTGGCTTGTTCTTCGGCAAATCCAATAGGTGCTTCTTCAATAAAACAAGTATTCATCACGATGGCATCATTGACCTTGCGAGCAGATAGACGAGAATGAATACCAAAACGAAGACAAGGTTCCACATCTTCTAGTTGACAATGTTTCATGAAAGGTATGTTGTGTAATTTTTTCAAAGATACAGACGTTCGTAGCTTGACAAATTCAGCAAATTCATCCAGGAGCATTGTATCCAATCCAGGCCAAGGATCTTTGTCGATTTCTTGTTGTTGATGATCCAATACATGTTCGGGAAACAGACCAGCCAAATCCTTCATACCACGTATATCAACTCCTTCATTGGTAATAGATATATCAGAATTACGATTGCTGCCACTATTCAAATGATTCCCATTGGTATTAGAATTGCTAGAGTTGATATTGTGTTGTTCATTTTCAAAATCCTGCATTGCTTCCATTTTCAATCGTAATTCTTGAAGTTGCATTTGTTCAGCGGCCAATCGATCCCTTGTTTCCTTGAGTTGATTTTCCAAATGTTTTTGAGCTACTTCTAGATTGTATTTTTCTCGTTTTTCATTGGCAACCATTCCATTAGCTTCTTCAAATAAACGTCTTGATAAATCTTCCAGTTCACTTTCCACCATATCCTTGGAATGTTGAATTTCTGCCACACGTTCGATTTCGTCTACATATTTATCGTTCAGCATTTCCATATCGTTTTGTAAGGCTAGAAAGGCTTCTGTCTTGATGTTTAATTGTTTCTCGGCTTGACGTACAGCAGATTGTAATTGAGAGATATCATTTGTTTGTTCTTGAATACGGATTTGTTCTTCGGCAAGACGTTGTTGTAATAATTTTATTTCACGTTCATGGGTATCACGTTCTTTGAAGAGAGCATCCACCACAGGTATCACGCGATCACATAATCCACAATGGCGAGAATCTTCAGATATCAAAATATGGTGACAAGGACAAGGTATATCATTATCGACTGTGATTTTTGTTGCAGTAGGAGACCTTGTTGGGCTTCCGTCATAGGTACCAAGAGAAGTAGGTGTAAATGGTGGAGGAGCATTGTTAATAGGTGAAGTTCCAATATTGCTGCTATTGCTATTGTTGTTGCTATCGTTATTATTGTTGCTATTGTTGTCGTTGTTGTTGTTGTTTTTGTTGTTGTTGGTATCTTTATAGGCGTAAGGAAGAGAGGTATTACTACTATAGCTGTTATTATTATTATTATTATTTCCAGGTGATGATGTACTTGGGGACATTGGTAAAGAAGGTGGAAGAGGAATGAATTTTGCATCAGAAGGATCAGGATGAGTTTTATTCATAACGGATTGAAGTCGAGAATATAATTTTGCAATATCTTTTGCTGTAACATCAGATTCATTTGCTGAGTTGGTATCGATTGATATAGAAGAAGAAGAAAGAATGGCTTCTTCCTGTGAATCCATAGTATTTATTCAAACAAAGGAAAGAAAGAAATAATAAAAAAAAAAAAAAGGAAGTGGGAAAATGAAAAAAAATAAAGAGAGGGAAAGATAGAGGAGAGAGAGATGGGCATCTATTTAAATCCCCGATATATCCTTGGTTGACCAATCCTAACAAAGCACACACACACATATATATATATAGAAAATATCATTTTTTTTTTGCAATTGAACAGTAGGTTGCTCATTATGGCAATATTGTTATTTTATTCAAAAACGTTTCAGAAAGCGATTTTCTCTTTTTTTTTTTTCATCACAAAAATAACAATGGAAATCATTCCAAGGTAATAACACTGTGAGTTTGCTTGTTTAGTTCTGTCCACACGTGCCAATCAGAGGCTGAGCTCAAAAACTGGTATTTTTAGAGCCACTTCCTTTTTTTTTTTTTTATTATTATTATTTTTTTTATTTAGTTTTCCTTTTTCTCTCATTCAACACTCCTTTTTTTCTTTCTTTCTTTCTTTTATACCCTTTTTATTTTATATTACTCTTTTTTTTTTGAAAGGAAAAAAAAAACTAGTCCTTTAATGTCGTTAGCTTCATTATCTCATCAGCAGATACAAAACCATTCTACCAAACCGTCTTCGTACATGTCTCATCATGAACAACCTTATGTCTTGGCACCTACAGCTGTAACCAATATTATTTCTCAACATGAAGAAGAAAATCAAATAGAACAACAGTGTACTTCTCCTATTGATATCAATACTGAACGTTCAGAACTTTCGCCACCAACTACACCTATTCCTTCAACAAAGAACAAAGACGTTGAATCATTAAGAGACCCTTTGATGAACAACAATAATAACAAAAACAAGTCTGGTATTGGATCATTCCCTTTTGACGTACAAGCACTACACGAACGAACTTTACATAAATTTCATCAAGAAGGGGATGACGACATTACATTTAAACGACACTCTACTCATGATGCTATTATCCACTCCAAACGACGTGATACGACAATGGGGATTATCCCCCTGCATCCAACCGAATATGATCCATCATCCGCTACATCTGCATTATCAGCTGCAGCCGATTCAGGAGCCACTTCTATCAATGGTACAACTCAAAGCACCAATACCACTGCAGTCGCCACTATTACTCGTCATGGTTCAACTTCTACTTTGACTCGTCACAATACTACTGGACACGCATTACAACAAAACAAGAACAAGCATAAGAAACCTGTGACCGAAATATCTGAAGACTTTCAAAAGGAACTGACTGCTCGACGCAAGGCCTTTCGAAGACTTTCTCGACGAAAGAAGGACTTTGATGATGATGAAGATCGAGTCATGATTGGCACTCGTATTGGTGAAGGTCATCAGAATTATGTTTTGATGTACAATATGTTGACTGGTATTCGTATTGCTGTTGGACGGGTGTCTGCCAAAATTGATCGTGCTTTGACAATTGAAGATTTTTCTGCTGCCCACAAGTTAGCTTTTGATGTGTAAGTTTCATTATTATTCTTATTATTATTCATTGATATCTTTTTTTTTTAATACGTATCTTTTATTAGTACTGGTGACGAATTAACCCCTGGTGCAAAATATGATTTCAAATTCAAGGATTATGCTCCATGGGTATTCCGACATTTACGTGAACAATTTGGAATTGATCCTGCAGACTATTTGGTAAGAATTATTCTACTATAATTAATAAACATCACCATTTCTAATCATTTATCTTATAGATCTCTTTGACAAGTAAATACATTCTATCTGAATTGGGTTCCCCTGGAAAAAGTGGTAGCTTCTTTTATTACTCTCGTGATTATCGATTCATTATCAAGACTATTCACCATACTGAACACAAGTTTATGCGAAAAATCCTCAAACAATACCATGATGTAATATAAAAAAAAACAAGTCTTGTTTTTTTTTCTTTTATTCCTAATGATCTCACCTCACCGTTTGTTTTTATATATCTAGCATGTTATCAACAATCCCAATACACTTCTTTGTCGATACTATGGCTTACATCGTGTTAAACTTCCTCGTGGTAGAAAAATCCATTTTGTGGTTATGGGAAATGTATTCCCTCCCAACAAGGATGTCCATGAAACGTATGATCTTAAGGTAAGATTGAAAAGATAACTGAATTACCAATGCCAAGAAAAAATAAAATGAAAATTAACATCCAATATTATTTTTTTTTCATATTGTTAGGGATCTACTATTGGTCGATTGCTACCCGAAGAAGAAATCAAGAAAAATCCCAGCGCCGTCATGAAGGATCTCAATTGGGAAAGCCGAAAACGAAAGTTGAGACTTGGTCCTCGCAAACGTGGAATGTTTATTAAGCAACTTGTCCGTGATGTTAGGGTAAGTTGGATATTTTGAATTTATATCAAGCTATATCTTGATTTACCTTATATTTTTATTCATCATTCTCTTTTTATTATTGTTATTATTATGTCATTATTATCTTCATTCATAGTTGTTGGTACATTTGAATATTATGGATTATAGTTTATTGATTGGTGTCCATGATATGCTACGTGGAAACAAAGATAATGTGCGTGATTCTACTCTCCATGCGTTCCAGGTAAGATGACAAAAAAAAAATAAAGTTTGTAGCTATATATATATTTGATGCTCACTTTTTATTTTTATCTTTTTTTTTTTTTTTTTTTTGTGTTAGCCTGATACCAAGAGTGTGGAACGTAGAGATACTTTGATGAAACGACGTCAAAGCAAAGCCCAAGTTGTACGAAAAGCCATTGCTCAAGCAAACCCAGATAAATTAGATCTATCTGAACTTCCTGATGATCCTGAGGAGTAAGTTATTAATTGATATGATGATGATCATTTTATACATCTGGGACTAATGCATCTCTTTTATTAACAAAAAAAAAAATAGACGTCGTAACTGTGTATTTTATTCTGACGAAGGTGGTTTCCAAGCAACAGATGAAATGGATCAACCTGCTGGTATACTCTATTTTATGGGTATCATCGATATTTTAACCCCTTACGATACTAAAAAGAAGACAGAACATATGTTCAAATCGTTGACTCAAGACAAGGCTGCTATCTCTGCAGTGAAACCCTCTGTTTATGGTGATCGCTTCATGGGATTCATGGCTAAGACTTTGGAACACAATCAAGATATACCTCAAGAATACCATATGAGCCTTTGATGTTAGATACATTCATTTAGTTTATTATTATTATTATTATTAGTATTTACCTCCCTTTGTCTTTCCCCCCCTTCTATATTTATTTTTTTTTTATTATTTTACCTATTAGTTTATTAGCCTCCCCTTAGTTGTTGTATAAGAAAAGAAATAAACATACAATATTCCAAGTTAGAAATAATGATTCCTGAATTTTCAAAAAGTAACATTATCATCACCGTCATCATAACCATTTTGTCATATTGTCATCATAAAATCATTTATCAATACCATCAACAAACTGGTCAATGAATACAAGTTGTAGTAAGGTATCATATGAAAATACAAGTGATCATTTTATTAAAAGGCCCAAAAAAAAAATCAATAGTAAACAAAAAATGATAATCCACTTTATTTTATTTACAAGAGACTATCGGAAGATTTAATGATATGAAAGGATGAAGTATAGAGAAAAATCAATCAATAAAAGCAATATATAAAAAAAAAAAAAAAAAAAGGAAAGAGAAAAAAAAAAATACAAAGAAGATAGATAAATAAATGAAAGAGAATAGGAATTGGATGAAGAGGAAGTATGGTACATGGAATATATAGAAAAATCAATCGATCGAATAAAAAAAAAAAAGTAAAGACGAGAGATAGAAAAATCAATAAATAAATAAAAAAAAAAACTATATGTTGTAAAACTATCTACTGTTGTTGTGCTTCAAACTTTTGTCGTGATTGTGCAAACAAGAGTTCTTGTTGTCGTAATAATTCTTCTTCAGAGATTCCAGTATTTTCCAGTCGGGTACTCTTCTTATCCCGGTCCTAATAATTTATAAATTAGTATCTATATCACTGGTACTTTTTTTTTTTTCTTCTTTTATTACCTTTTGTTGTTTTTTGTGTTCCTTAAAGACATCATCCACTTCTTCTACATACTCTTCAAACCCCAGAGCTTGTAATGATTGTAATACGTGTTCTCCAGCAATGGTCTTTTTGGTTTCCTTTTCACAGATTTCATTGGATTCAGAGGCTATCAAGTGGATAAATTCTAGATTCGATACAAACAAAGAAAAAATAAAAAATAAATTTCCTGTCATTCATATTAAGATCAAAAAAAAAAAAAAATAGGATCTTACCAACACAACAATCGATGAGTAAATCACGCGTATCTTTGGCACATACTACATCGTCCGGCATCATTTCATTGATGAGCTTTTGTACTGTGGCTATATATATTTAGAATATTTATTTATTTATTTATTTTTTTTAAAAAAAAAGAAGGTTAGTTCATATATTATCACCATGAACTCTAGATGTATTTACCTTTTGGTAAAGAGAGATCGTCATCTACAGTGGATCCAGAACGTTCGTTATCACTCATTGTATTGATATAGAGAGATAATCCGTTTTATATATGTATATTAAGTTGTATAAAAGAAAACAAGGTCAAACAAAAAAAAGAAAAAAAAAAGGTAGAAGGGAAAAAAAAAGAAAAGTGTTCAAAACAAAAAGAAAAGGAATAATAAAAAAATAAAACCAAGGTCGGAATTGGAAAAAAAAGTCGATTCATTTTTATTCTTATTAGTTTGACGTACAAAATAATATCATCATACTAAGATCATCATCGTCTTATATTCATTATTCAGATACTATATGTGATTCTACATTGATATTAAAGGAAGGAAAACTGAAATAAAAAGAAAGTAATATAAAAGTTGAGATCATATCCGAATGACCGCGATCCAATATCAGTATAGTACAAAAGGGGGAAGGGTTTTGGACAAATGCTTTGTAAGCGCGGATTAAAAAAAAAAAAAAAAAAAAAAAAAGTATAAAAGTAATGAACACTTTTTTTTCGTCTTTTCTTTCTTTATCTTACTTTCTCTCTTCTATTTATTCCTCACATATGTTTTCTAAGATACGATCTTCAACTTTAAGATCTAGTCTTATTCGTTATCATTTTCTGTCGACTACTAGCTCTCGAAACAACAAGATACCATTTGATACCCAGGTGTTCCCTTTCAGTCGTTTTGAACCATGTTGTCCTGTTAGCGATGTTGCCCCTGCGACCAATGGGTTTGTACCATGCCAAAAACATCCTCTTCCTAATGTACTTGGACGTAAGATTGATATGACTATGCCTATGACAGGACGATCAGATACCGAACGACATGTGGTCATGTGTGTAGGACCTAATGGACGAGAATGGGAACGAGCCAAGGTAGAAACGGTGGTGGATGGACCTGTCTATGCAAGCAATCAACTTTATAATGAATACCTTCGAAGTCCTGCTCACCGAAATAATGATATTATAACGGAAAAAGATACTTTGATGACTGTATGCGATCGTATACCAACTTCAAACAACAACAACAACAATTGTGATGTCATGGTATTTCCTGAATTTGTTTTTTATCCATCCTTGGATCCTGCTCAACTAGCAACATCTGATGTAGCCAAGGTACTTCAAACAATTTGGCATAATCCTTCCCATCCAACTCTACCGGTGGTGGCTGGTCAACAACCCATCAAGGATGAAAATGGTGATCCTGTGGATACTGTGGTCTTGGTATGTACTCATGAAAGACGTGATATGCGATGTGGTAAAATTGGACCTCTGATTATGGATGCATTTAAGAAATCAATTCAAAAACGACATCATTCATCTAGGAGGATCTTGATCTATGGAACAAGTCATTTTGGTGGACACAAATTTGCTGGCAATGTGATCATTCATCAGAAAGGATTGGGTGGACATATGTATGGGAACGTCAGGGATTGTATGGTAGATGATATTGTGGATCGTCATATTTTCAATGGAAAAGTCATCAAGGAACTTTGGCGTGGTCAAGTCACTCCTCCTACATTATCCTAGAAGGTCCTTTTTTTTTTTTTTTTTTTTTAGTTAGTTAGATATAATTGTTATTATTGTTAGAATAGTAAAGTAAATAGATTGTATTCAAATGTTACGAAATAAAATAAAAATGGACTCTTTTGATTTCACTACTAAATCATTCACACACACCAAAAGAACTTTACATCCCATCATCACTACACTTTTACTATATTGATATTTGATTGATTAACATTACGGATATGAAAGAATAAATGCTTTATTTCAAAATGATATAAGTATAAAAACTAGATATATAAAAGACTATACTAGGATATCCAATGGAAGGTGAAGGAGGAAATATTGAAAAGAGAATTCAAAGCTTGGAGATACGATTTTGACTCTTTTCCTTTTGAGCTTGGAATCTTGCACGGATTTCTTCAACACGTCGAAGTTCATTGCGACCAAGTTGACTACGGAAAAAAAAAAAAAAAAAAAAAAAAAGAAGAAAAAGGTTTCATAAATAAAGTCTATTCGTTTATTTTTTTTTTATTTCTTGTTATACTTACTTTAAATGAACCTAATAGAAGAAAAGGAAGAAAGGAAAAAAAGAGACATATTAAATCCAATTCATATCACTTTTCTTTTTGATTACTTACTTCATCAGGACCATCAGCAAAACGGAGAGTTCTTGAAGAAGCATAGAACTTGGCAAGAGGGAAATCATCAGAGAGACCACCAGCACCATGTGCTTGAATAGCTCTATCAAGAACAGAAAGTACCATATTGGGAGCAGCAATCTATCATAATGAATATATATATTCTCTTTAGTATTATGTTCATCTCCCTTTTTTTTTTTTTTTTTTTTTTTTTTACCTTGGCCATACTGATTTCCTTCAAAGCACCCTTAGCATTACCTTCATCAATCTTTTGAGCAGCATTCAATACCAAGAAACGAGTTTGATCAATTTCAATACGGGAGCGAGCAATATCTTGTATAATGGTACCATGTTCATGAAGACCTTTTCCAAATGTACGACGAGCGGGATCGGTAACACGGACCATCATATATTCCAAAGCACGTTCAGCAATACCAATAGTTCGCATACAATGATGGATACGACCAGGACCAAGACGACCTTGAATAACTTCAAAACCACGACCTTCACCAAGGATGATGTTCTCTACGGGAACACGTACATCTTTGAAGATGATTTCACAATGACCTTCAGGAGCATCATCATAACCAAATACAGGTAAGGGACGTACCACAGTGACACCAGGAGTACCAGCAGGTACAAGTACAATGGATTGTTGACGATGTTTGTTTTTATTTCCAGGATCAGACTTGCCCATGACTAGATAAAGAGCACAACGAGGATCACCAGCACCAGAGATCCACCATTTAAGACCATTCAATACGTATTCATTGCCTTCTCGACGAATATTGAGTTCAATGTTGGTAGCATCAGATGAAGCAACACGAGGTTCAGTCATAGCAAATGCAGATCGAATCTTACCATCCATCAAGGGTTTCAACCATTTCTCCTTTTGAGCAGCTGTACCATACTTGGCCAAAACTTCCATATTACCAGTATCGGGAGCAGAACAGTTCATAGCTTCAGGGGCAAGTTTAGGACATCGGCCAGTTAATTCGGCAATCAAACCATATTCCACATTACTTAAACCAGCTCCTTCAGGATATGCTTTACCAAGAAAGAGATTCCACAATCCAAGTGATCTAGCTTTTGTCTTGAGTTCTTCGAGAACAGGAGGAATAACCTAATTTAAAACCCATGAGACTTTATATATATATATATATATTAGTTCTTTTACCTTCCAGCGGTTTTCACCCTTACCCATTTGAAGGTCAAATGTCTTTTCAGCAGGAATACAGTCATTCTATTAAAAAAAAAAAATGGAAAGAGTGAATAAAAAGAAAGTTGTCGGCTATATTACTTACTTCAACAAAGTCCTTGGCTTTAACATAAAGTTCTTGGAACTTTGGAGAAAGTTTCTTCAAATCAATAAGAGAATTACTGGCCATGATAAAAATATATAAAGAATTGAAAAAAAAAGAAAAGAAGTTTGTGGGAGGGGGTGAATGACAGAACTTTTTATATCTTTTTTTGAACGCAGCCAATTCTCAATAGTCAGCAAATTCGCATCAATCTATTCATCGTGAGAACAGTTTCGTTGTCAGCATTAAAAAGTAATATCCTGATCTTTTTTTTTTTTTTTTTTTTTGTTTCTTCTCAAAAAATTAATAATCCAGTATTTCACTTTCAAATATAAACATTAAAAAAAAAAAAGAATGATCTTTTATTTGTAAAAGTAATAAATATAGAATGTTGACTAATAAAATATAAAAGAGTGAGAAGGGGAAATAATACACTAAGAATAGATTAACATGTTCTTTCATTGCAATTGTACATAGTTTGCTGGGAACTATTACAATAAAATAAAATAAAAAAAAGTAGATTTTAGTATATATAATGTGTGTATATTAATCAATAAACTTACAACACCCTGCCTAGAGCCAATTTTGCCAGTCCACCAATCATCTTGACTATCACTTTTTTGTACAATAGTAATAATATCATTCTCGTTAAAACTAAGATCCCCTTCTTGTTCTCCTACAAAGGCATATACGGCACGAGCTGTTGGTTCAGATGGTCGAGGTGGTGCTGGTTTACGACTTGCTGGTGGCGGTGGTGGTGGAGGTCGTTTGAAATCTGTATGTCCTGTTGAATGTTCATTTGGAGTGGGTGGTGTATAGGTAGGAGGAGCCACTGAGTAACCACCATTGCCATAACTGTTACTATTATTGTTGTTGTATCCATTGGTGTTTGTGTTTCCACCATTGCTATAAGGAGATGATGGTGGAGGTAATGTAGGAGCACCATAACCAGCTATTTGTCTTACAGGAGGAGGTTGTCGAAGTGATCCACGAGCAGAAATATTGGTACTTTTGTAAGTTGGTGATGAGTCGTCTTCTGATCCACGTTGATACATAGCTCCAGTATTCCCAAGTGTGTGGAATTTCGCATTCAAAGCACGGTATAGAGCATCAGCTTCAGGAGGAGGTGTAACAGATCCATTGAGTAGTTCCTTGGCAGTCACTCGTCGTCCATACAACTTTTCATTTGCATCCCCACGTGTTACCACTACAGATCCTTCGAGTGATACTCCAGCAAAAAGACCACGAGTTTTACTATACGCATAGATTGCTGCAATATGTTTCAAACTTGCTGATCCAGACGCTTCTGCATTTCTTCCTAATGGTCCAGCAGCAACTATTATACAAATAATTAACATCACTCTATATTTGTCCATTCTAAAAAAAAAAAAGATAACTTACGAGAGACATTGCCACCTAATGTAATATTTCCACCTTGACTAAATGTTTTAACAGCTTCTTTCGAATTGAGTACAAGCACAAAATCAGTGAGTTCAGCCCCTAAAAAAAAAAAAAAAAAAATTTAATGTCAGTTATGCACTATATAAATAGGCTATATAATATTGATGTTACCTATCTGTCCTCCAGCACCTAATCCACCAGTGGCTATTGAGCTTGGAGCTGACCATGCTATGAATGAACAAAGAAAAAAAAAATAAAGATGATAATTCAACATCCGCTGGATTGATGCCAAGACACTGAAAAAGCATATTGGAATCATTCAAAACTTACTATTATCCGGGAGTCTAAGTAAATATAGAAGAAGCATCAAGTTTAATATAGACTATATATATATATTTCAGCTTGGTTTTTTTTTTTTTCCTCTTACCGCGCAACCACAAGACCACTACCACCTCTAAGGGAAAACAAAAAACTAAATGTATACTATTAGTATAACAGTTGTCATTAAATATTTACATCTATATATATATATATATACCCAGCTTTGACTACAGAATAGATGGCTAATCCTTGTGCGTTTTCCAAAATATTGGCAGGAATCACCTTATCTAGACCTTGACCAGGATCTAAAGTAAGTAATTTTTTTTTATTAGAAATTTGACTGTTAGTATCGATACACGTGTTCATTTTGTTTTTACCGATGAAGCTATTCAAAATCTTTGCAGCCTTCTTGCATTCACCTATAGGATAACAAAATATATATATTAATATAACATTATAATCATGTGATGATAGACTTACTTGCTAAGCTACTGGGTAAAGGGGAGTTAATAGAAGAGGTAACACTAGATATTTTTTTCATGTCTTGTGAAGATGAAGATTAAAAAAAAAAAGAAAGAAAAAAAAAAAGAAAAGAAAAGAAAGAACAAGAGAGAAGGAAAAAGTAACTTTGGAAAAAGAGAAGCATCGGAATTTCAAAACAGAGTACAGCAGTTGGAAGATTTCTCTTTATGGCAACAAGATGAAACGTTGATGATCCAGCATGATAAAGAATGGTTATCACGTCATCATTTCATCTAGTTTTCATACAAGTATCTTATGAAGATGATAAATTACTTTTAAAGAATCATCAAATTATAAAGAATAATGATGATATAATAGAAAAAGTAATTGAATTCTTATGCTCGCTCATCTCTTGATTTACTTTTGACATCCCCATAAGTAAAATTAACCAATAAGGTTGCTTACTGCTGTCTTGCACCTTACCCCAAAATACGACGGTTTAACACGATATTTTTAAAGGTAAATATGTTTTGACACATTAATAAAAAAAAAGATAGTCATAAATGATATACACACGTTTCAATAATATTGTTTTTATGGTATGATTGGAGGGTTAAAACACTCAAATGGGAATTTGAAGATTTCTTTTTAAAGTGAGATGGGGTGTCAAATGATCTTTTTCTATGATTTTCTATGCATGATTGACAGGCTGTCTTTTTACCCACTAACAAAAGAAATAATCATAGATAGTATAAACATCATTTGTTAATGATATTGCGATGATAGATTTAAGCTTATATTGGCATCTTATTTTTTAATTTACTCTATAAGTTGTGAGTTAAAGTATAAATCGCTATTAAGACAAATGGAAGAGAATATTATCATCTATGTTCAGTCCAAATTTGGTATGATGATGATCATTTTCGAGTGAGTTGCAGAAGTAAGAATCCATATAGAAAATAAGGAAAGCAATTTTTTTTTGATTAATTTTTACTTTTGGGGGCGCCGCCAAGGAAGACGAGAGTAAAGAATTTCCTCTATTTTCTTTTTTTTTTTTTTTTCTTCTTTTTTTTTTCTTTTTTCTTTCTTTGTTCCTTTCTTCTCTAATCTGACCAGTACATCCTTTCTACAATTTGTCATCACCTTAAGATAACAAAAAAAAAGAAAATACTTTGACAATCACTACAGGGAAAGTCAGTAAGACATCTACTTTTTCTGGTTAATTGATTGATTGGCATATTGGAAATCTTACTTCATGGTATACAACTGGAACAATATTCACTAGGTCGGACAGGTTCATTGGCAAGGTGAAGAAGGATATAGTACGCGTTGCTCGTGTGGAATGAAGGCTCAAAAAATGTCTCTACTACTTCACCTATAATATGCAAGACAGCACTTTCAACGTTCACAAGTAAAAGCTTATTTATTACAATGGCCTTTCTTGATATATTAATACAAAATCTTGTTGTTTTTTTTTTTTTTTTTTTTTTTTTTTTTTTTTTTTTTTGGTATAGTTCTTCAAGATTGATTCAATATCATGACTTTACTATTGAAGCCAACGATTGTCACACTATCTTTGATCCCGGCTTAGTCGCAATCTTCTCTGAGAATTCGATATTCAAGTTATAATGGTAAGATTGTTCGATGATTTCTTCTTTATATATTAATTGGATACTCATTTTATGGCATTGGGATGTGTTCTTTGACTTGATCGTTTATAAAGTAAAAGCGACAGGCAGCATGAATCGTGGATGTATCAATGATTTTTTCAAACTTAGACGACAGATGAAGATAGCCTTGGATAATTTGATGGAAATTGGTGCAGAAGCAACGATTAGTATCATGTTAGTGGATGGTATGATGATATTTAATTCTATAGTGTGTGGAAAGGGATAAAAAAAAAGAATGAATGAATGACCTGATGTTTTTTTTCTTTTATCTTTCTCTTTAGGTTCGATGATGTCTATTTACATGATGGATATCAAGAAGGATGGTATTTATTGACTAGTAGTATTTGGAACTTCTTCCCATAACATATAACTTTGGACCCTATCATGGATTTCTTCTTATTTTCTTCCCATACTCGATATTCTCACTATATCCAGGCTATATTTGACCATTATTAGATCATCAGTACCATTAACAATACAACAATACGTCAATATATCGATTATCATCATTATCTTCGAACATCATCGTTAGAAATGACTCTCTCTCTCTATTTCTATGTAAAAATGATCTCGATTTGTCCTTGTATTTATGATACTTATGTTTATTTTCTCGGTTTATATATGATTACCCTCTAGTTTTCTTTACTTCCTTGGTATATTTTTCCTTCTTTATACGATTAATATTGTATATTAATTGTACGCATAAATAAAAAGCTTTTATTTTCATATCATTGATCTTTATATATTTTGGTTAGTTCTTTATTGTCACTCATTTTTTGAGACCTAACGTTTCAATCTGTGTTTCAAATTTCTTCAAAAAGAAAAAAAAAAAAGACTATCCTTTTTTATTTCTTTTTTTTTTTTTTTTTTTTTTTCTTGTATACAGTTGTACATTTCTGTTATCTTCCACTTATTTAAATAATTTTTGTTTTTTATATTTACTTCTTTTAATCTTCTTCATAAAACTACCAACCATATCTACGTTTGTATATTTCTTTTTTTACATTTTGACTTTTTATCTTTATATTCCCATCATGGCTTCTTTCTCCCTTCTCAAGTAATGGAAACGTTTTTATTTGATACTATTTTATTTACTTTGACAATACTGTTATACCTCTACTTTAAACAACTTAACTGGATCTTTATCAAAACTACAATCAAAACCAACTTCCGAACTCAAAAACGCTCTCCATATAAGCTCGCCAAACTCTCTTACTCTTATCTACATCGATCTCCACATCCCCCAAGAGTTAACTTTATACAAAGCGATCCTCACCATTATCACCAAAATTATCCATTCTCCTCTGCACCAAATTACTACTTTTATTACTTAGTATTTACTTTACAATAACAACAATATGAACGCGAACGCTCCTACTTTTATTCCTTCTTCCAACGGTAGCAGCAGCAACAACAACAACAACAAGAACGACAACAAGAAAAACGTTGCAGCAAATCAATCTCCAACTGATGCAGTCAATAATAGTCCTTCAACTAAAACCAAACTAAATGGAAAATCTCAAGCTTCATCAACAACAAAGCGTTTTTCGACCCAGCCTGTGGAAACATCAACATCATCAACCAATCAACGCCACCAAAAATATCACCATAGCAATCATCATAACAAAGGATCTGCCGCAGCCAAGAATAAAAGCAAACGCCAACCACGATCAACTTTATCTGAACAACCAGAAATGTTGGAGGTAATTTTATATAAAATAATTATATACAACCTAATATGTACTTATACTTTTATTATTATTATTATTATTATTTATCCTATTCTTAGGTTCAACGTCTTCACATCGATGGTCAACCTGATAAAAAGGGTCGTGTATCACTGAACCATTTACTTAGTTTCTCCTTCCCTCCTCGTCAACAACAACCTGTGTACACTCCTCGACGTCACAAACCAACCTCTTATCAACCATACAACAAGGAACGTTTTATCAATGCAAAGTAAGTCTTATCCTATTATGCTAATTGAATACATCTAACTAATGGATATTTTCTTCTTCTTGTTATTACTGCAGCTTTCGATTTGTGGTCAAACCTTCTGGGAATTACCTCACCAATATTATTGAACCTGACTCGACATTTGATTGGGATAATATTGAACAAGTGGTAATGAAATTTAAATTAAATTATGCATCATGTTTATTTATAATTTTACTCATCTTTTATTGATAACTTTCCTCTCTTTAGTTAATTACTGGTGAAGAAGCATTATCCTGTCCTATTTGTTTATCACCACCAACTGCTGCAAGGGTTAGTAAATGTGGGCATACTTTTTGTCTCAGTTGTATCCTTCATTATCTTGAACTTCGGGAGCCAAAGAAACAATGGCGCAAATGTCCAATCTGCTGGGAATCTATCTATGGTCGTGATCTGAAAAGTGTGCGTCTTGTACATCCTTTTGCCGTATCAAGACCATCTTCAACAACAACAGCAACTTCAAATCCTTTGAATGTGACAGTAGGTGATGAGGTCGAATTTTGTTTGATGCAACGATCTAGTAAATCAACTCTAGCCCTTCCACTATCTGATACCTGGCCTATTGATGAACTGTCATACAACAAGTACCACAAATCATCCGATTCTTTTGCTTTATCAACCATGCCTTGGCACTTTACTCCTGATGTCATGTTATTTGGACGATTTATGCTGGCTAGTCCTGATTATCTATTGATGGAAAATGATCGTGACATTCGAGAATTGAAGGCTGCATTGGAGGAAGCCAAGGAATGGGGTTCAAATGAAGAAATACCATTTATTGAAGCTGGATTACATCAATTGGGACTAGAAGCTGAGACCATTGGAAATATGTATTCAAACGCGTCTTTGTCTAATGCTGTCAAATCTGCTGAAGAGGTATTGGAACAAATCAAATTGGATCATCTTCAACATCGTAAAGACAAAGAAACGACAATTGCTGCGCCGCTATTATCATCAGCATCAGCATCAGCAAAACAGTCATCATCATCATCAACGACGGAAGTAGGAAAACCAGTAGTCAACGAGGATGAAGTACCAGAAGCATACCGACAGTATCATTCACAACGTGCAGGAACAGATGATGTGGAATCATCCAATGGATCTGATCCAGAAACTATGAAACATCTCCAACATCAACAGCAACAAAAACAACAACAGCATCCTGTCAACGAATTCAACTTTTATCAGGCAAAGGATGGGCAACATATTTACCTTCATCCTTTGGATATCCGAATTCTTAAGCATGAATATGGTGATTATCAGTATTTCCCTTCCTATCTCAAGGTCAAAACAACAGGTGTAGAAGAAACAACACTTACAGAGGTAAGATTTATTTATTTTTTTTTAAAAAAAAAAAAAAAAACCAAAGGAGAATGAACGATGAAACCATTAAATATATTCATTTTGATATAATAGGATATACGCAAAAGATTCAAATATCTTGGTCATTTACCTTTGGCTTGTGATGTAACGTTTATTGAAATTGACATGAAACCATTGGTTAGCAAGAAGACAATAGATCATTTCCAGAGTAATTTATGAAGAAAGCAAAAGAAAGTGAAAAAGTGGTGAACATGAATTGACTTTTTTTTTTTTTTTTTTGTAGATGAATTAAAATTGCGCAACAAGAAACGTCAAGATAGGATCAAGCGTGAAGAAAAGGCAAGAAAGGCATCAACAATCAAACAACAAAAGAAACAAGTGGAAATTGGACGACGTGAAGAACAAATTCGGCGGGAACAAGATCCATTTTTCCAAACCTATCAACCCATGACGCAAGAAGAAAATGATGCCATGTTGAAACAAGCTTTGGAAACATCAGCCTTGGAAGCTCAGCAGCATCAACATCAACCAAAGACTGTCTGGGGCACTCCAGCCGTGGCAGCAGAACAAGTCGAGACTCAACCACAAGAATGGGCTGAACATATTGTTGTTACTCAAGGAAGAAGAAAACCCAAAGGCAAACGCAGATGATGTTAGTTTAGATTCAATTTTTTGTATCTTTTTTTGTGATTCCTCAAATAAATCAATCTCTATTCAATAAAAAAAAAAAAAAAGCAACTCGATTTATGATTGAATTGTTTGATAAAATCATTATCCCTTTGATATTGTTTCTCGTCACCAACACAAACGAAGATCAAAAAAGTCATTCCTTCGTTCATTCTTCTTTCTTGTACAAGAGTACTTTTTTTTTTTTTTTTTTTTTTTTTTTTTTTTTTTTTTTTTTTGCTGAATCAGGACATGTAGATGAACTGGATGAAACAGTCAACATATCTCCATACTTACCATTTTTCTCCATATACCGCATGATCGTTCATATTATATCGGATCATCATCATAGGATGACTATATCATAAGCCGAAAACAGTATACCTCAAACAATATAAGACAAAAAGAATCATAAAAAATCTATTTTTTTTTTCTTCATGTGCATAATAAAAGAAAAAAAAAAACGGAAAAGCATTATTTTATTGGATATAAGAGCGAACGAAACTTCTAAAGACATAAAAGGCATTATAAAGAATACATACAATACTGATCATCGGAAATATATTCAAATCCAAATAAGTTTCTAACCATTACGTAGAAATAATAAACGCGCTTCATATGAAAAAAAAACCCCCCAGTAAATGAGTAATACAATTGACAAGAAAAAAAAAAAGTAAAATTATTCCATCAGAGTCTTCACTTGGTGCACTGAACTTGCTGATTTCTCCACATTGCTGACATTCATAAGACGAGAACGACGGAAACTTGTAGAGGCATAGAGTTGATGTTTTACAGAAGATGAATTGGAAGGATTATCCAAATTCGCTGATGGCCTACTAGATGTCGAGGAGGATGCCGATTTCTTGCAGAGAAGTGATTGGAAAAAGTTGTTCAATATTTCGTTTGATGAGCTAGTGTTGTTATCATTATGCTCATTGTTGATGCTGATAGATGATGTGGTAGCTACTGTATCACTTGCTGAAGTCGATAAAGGAACCGTAGATCCTTTATTCAATTTATCAAGGGCCAATCTCTAACAACGAAGGAAGAGGAGATGACATATGTGTATCAAAGTTATAACAAAAAAAAAATGTACATAAATCAATATTACCTTGAGTGAATGATTCAAGTCCTTGATATTATCTATCCGTGACAAAGGTGATGTAGCATGATCTGTATGTAAGATGTCCAGTGAGCTTGGCGTAGTTGATGTACCTAGAGGACCAATGATGCCAGGCCGATGATGTTGGTTATCTGTAGGACCATTACGTTGTAATGTATCAAGATGTCGTTCCAAAAATGTTTGTTCATCTTGACATAATATCAGAGAAGGGTTGGTCGAAGGCTATTAAAGAATAAAATAAAATAAAAATGAAATTAGTTTTTTTCAGTTTACACATCATAATCCTTTTTACCACATAATCAAATCCTGGTTGCTTATGAATAGCGTTCGTATACATAGCTTGTAATCCTTGAGTCATATTAGCGGGTTGTCCTATTTCCCAAGCCTTCATATCCATATCCCACAAATCGGATACTGATCTACAGTCGAAATGTTCCTCCAAAACCTTGATTTTCTTCCAAGAATCCCAACCGGCTGGTATCATTAACGTATCTCGATCCATCACTTGCGCTTGTTTTTGAAAAGAGGCGTTTATCAATGTTCTATGCAGTATGTATTGTCGTAAATCAGTGAACGTGTGTGGGTGTGACGTTGATGTATAAAATAAGGCAGCACCATCTGTACATAGGAAAGGACAAAAACTAGTACCATTTAGTGATCCAACAAGAAGAAAAAAAAATTGCTTTTATTTTTTCTAAATAGACTTACATTTCATACAAATAGTCCGTAATATCTGTTGTATATAATCCAATCGACCCTGTTTGAAACCTTGCGTCTTTTCCAAATTTGCCTGTGCGTCACTCTTAAGTATAGCAATATTTTGCCACCCACAATAAAAAAAAAAAAAAAAGGGTTGGGAGTCATGTTAGTGAAGGAGGATAGATATGCATGTATCATGATGATCTTACTTTACAACAAACAACGGCTAGTGGCACACCGTAATTGATGGTCAAGACACCTTCAGTCAATGGTAAACTCGCTTGATCAGTAGATAATAGACTTGATGATGGTGATATTTTTTCATTCGTAGTAGCATCGTGTTCAACATAATCTTGCATATATTTGAGTACTAATCAGGGTTAACAGCAAGAGGGAAAGAAAAAAGAAAACGCATAAATGCCTAATCATGATCTATTTTGACTTATGAGGACTTACCGTTGGCACGTATTTGATCCATTTCTTCGTTGTCTTCATGATTAAACGTAGACATCACTTGATGAATCATATGCATCCATTGTTGTAATTTTTCCACCATTTTCCAAGGTTGTTCCCAATCCAATACAATCAATATCATTGTATCTTTGATCATTTCCATATTGAGCACAGCTTGTAATAACGTCAGATAGCCTGGAGCCGATAAGTGATAGATCCCTAATCTTGCCGATACTAACACGTACACATGCAGTCAAAAAAAGAAAAAAAAAACAAGCATCGTACGTTAATAATCTATATTTTTAATTGATCATTTCTTTTTTCATTTTATCTTTTTTTTTATTGCTACCTTTAGTGTCTTTATCTTGAATATTTGTATATGTATAACCAAGAGCCAACTGTTTATTGTCCAACGGTTGTTGTTTATAGATCTTGTTACTCAAAGGCTTGTCATTGATATTGATGATTGTGTCTAATGAGTGTTTGTCTTCTTCTCGTTGTTGTAATGTAGATGTGGACTTTGTTAATTGGTGTATGAGAGTTGTTTTTCCACTTGACGGTTCGCCCAAAACCAATATATTCTTTGTACGAATTATTTTCGACGAAGCAACCCCTTTCAATATAGTAGACCATATATTGTTGTGTGACGTGTTGGTACTTTTTTTTATTTTCGTAGTATTGTTGTTGATATAAGAGTGTTCATTAACCATCAGTAACAAATTGATGTAAGAAAAAAAAAAAAAGAGAGAGAGAAAGCAAAGGAGGAATGAAAAAGGGGCCACTCTCCTTACCAATGATAGCGGGGATTGAAGAAGATAGATCATGCATTACACTTTAGCTGTTTGACCTGAAGGCACCAAAAAAAAAAAAAAAAAAAAAAAGGCGGTAGTTCAATAGAATTGGGCAAAGCCACCTAAGATTTGTGCCCAACCACTGTAATAAAAAAAAATTATTTTCAAGGAAAACTCGTTTTCTTTTTTTTTTCTTCCTCTTTCGTATAGTTTATCATTTGCAATGGCTCCTGCTAAGTCCACCGCTGCTGTCAAGAAGTCCAAGTTCGTCATTGACTGTTCTGCTCCTGCTAACGACAAGATCTTTGACGTTGCTGCTTTTGTAAGCATCTATTTAAAAAAATATTCTATGATGTACTTATTTTTTTTTTTTTTATTGATTGGCTCAATAGGAAAAGTACCTCCATGATCGTGTCAAGGTTGAAGGTCGTACCAACAACTTGGGTGAAGCTGTGACCATCACTCGTGCCGATAACAAGATCGTTGTTGTTGCCAACATTGCTTTCTCCAAGCGTTACCTCAAGTACTTGACCAAGAAGTTCTTGAAGAAGAACCAAATCCGTGACTGGCTTCGTGTCATTGCTACTGATAAGCAAACCTTCGAACTTCGTTACTTCAACATTGCCAACGATGAAGAAGAAGCTGACGAAGAATAAACTTCATGATCTCTCTTTTTCGTTTTTTATTTGTTATCTATCAATAAAACATGATTTTGAATGTGATTTTTTTTTATATGTCTCTCTGTATAATGATGTCTTTGTATATGATGGTTGATGTGGTAGAAATGATGAATAATGAATAATGAATGGCAAGGATGATAAGCGAATGCACGATGACTGTTGATAATAAATGAAAATATTGGAGACAATAATAAAACAGTAACAACAATGATAATGATATAATTTTATTTATACATATATGTAAAAGACGATGATGTAATCTAAGACAAGTATGAACTATCAATAAAAACTACGGTAAGAGCAAGGTAAAAGAGAAGCCAATCAAACCATAAGAAGATCATCGCAAAGATCATCTTGTACCATTAATTTGCTTTCTTTTTTTTTCAGTTCAATCCAGTCGTATATTCCATCCAGTTTGATCCTATCCATCCAATTGATCTAGTTCTATCATCAAATCGAAATTCTATTCGCCTAATAGGAAAAAAAAAAAGTCAAACAGTCGTTGAAGTTAAATTGGCAGGAAGACTCCTTTTCTTCTTGTATTTAATTTGGATTATGCAACTATACTTTATTTTTTTTTTCTTTATTGTCATCTATTTTTTCTATCCTTACTATATATTTTTATTTCCTATTTTTGCGATATCTTATTTTTGAAATTCCGTTTTTATTATTTGAATAAAATTTCTTGTATGCAATTGATTGATGATCATGTTGAATGAATTTATAGAGTGCTTTGTTACTGAATATATATATGTTGGATTAAAAATAAACAGTATAATAATAAAAAAAAGAAATATGATATGATAATAATTGATGATGATAATGATGATATTAGTTCATAATAGTAACGATGATATTAGTTAGATGATGATGATATATGAATTGTGTGACATTGATCCCAGTGTGTGAAATTTACGTGTTCCTTCATTTTTTTTTTTTTCTAAATGGAATCCTTTCTTTACTTCTCTTTATGTGTTAATATCAAAAGGAAGTAAATTTCATTATGGCTAAAAAAAGTCAAAAAATGATTTGAGCCACACACAGGTTTTATACAAGAAAGAAAATAGTCACCTAGAATGGTTAAGATTTCTTTTAGAGGTAATGATTGGATCATTTATAGTGATATTTTTAACTGATTACGCGGAGAAGGAAATCTTCGAGGCGATGTGTAACCTTTTTTTTTCTAAATCATCATCTTTTTTTTTTCTTCTTTTCCGATTCCCTTTTTCTTTTGTTGATAATTTCTCGGTAAATAACACTCTTTTTTTTTTTTTTTTTCTGTACAATTCCTTCTTCATCTAATTTTCTTTTTTTTATTATATTTTATTTTATTTTAATATCATTACAGTTACATTTAAAGATGTTCAGATCCTTGCCTTTACTGGCAATTCTGTTATTTTTATTACTTTTGAATTTAGTACATTCTCTGGAAAACAGTAACAACAATTTACTCAAACGACAACAACCTACACTTGCCATTCGTGATGACTATTCTAGTTTTCCATTCCTAAACGACAATAACCATCGCAGCAAAAGTAACAGTGATAACGATACATCACCAACTACAACAATGCAACCACCTCCTAGTGTGACAACCATCATTATCATTCAAACCAATGGACAAACATATCATGAACTTGGCGGAACGGGTGCTCCTTCTTCTTCTTCTGCAACAAATAGTGATGTTTCGGACCCAAATGAATCCAGTATAGAAGCTCAAGTAGATCATGACAACGAAGTATTGAAGCGATTGATCAGTATTTCGACTGTGGTAGGTGGTGTAGGTGTACTTATGATTGTTGCCGGTACAGTAGTCATTCTACGCATACGAGCTAAACGAAGACGAATGAAATCTGTACAACATTATGATCATTCAACCTCTCATTTACATCGAAACAACAGTGGTAGTGGAAATAATCATCGTCATGAACGACAACCTTCAGGAACATCTACAGCTACATCACATCACCCAACAACAACAACACCACAACAATCATTATCTTCACCAATGTCAGCATCATCATCATTATCAACAACAACAAATTGTCAACATCATCATGGTAATGGACAGGAAACTATTGAAATGACTACCATTATTCCATCAGCACCACCAGAACCTACATTGTTACCATTACATCTTAGGGAACGACATCAACAATCCATGTTATTACAAAGGGAAGCAGCGACATCATCAAATTCGGCTTCATCATCAACATCATCACCATTATTGTCAACAGATCTACCTGCTCCTTCGGCACCTTCGGCTAAAGAACTTGAAATGGATATTGCCATATCACCATCCGCATTACCCTATCGACAAGATGTGGTCCCTTCACCAAATTCATCTAGAAAGACTTCAACAAATTTACATTTGAAACCAGTGGCTGGCTCCAATGGATTATCAGACTTGATGACTACAACTACAACAATAAATGAAGCAAGTTCTACTAATGATTCACATCAACAACCACCAATAACTCCTGATATGCCACCACCGGCTTATACACCTAGTGCACCACCTTTATTTTTATTACCTCCTAGTCAACGTCGACGATCAGCCGATCAATTATCCTTGGATAGGTTTAGACGGTATCAATGAGCAACAACCTACTTTAGATCAATTCTTTTTTTTTTTTATATCAAAGATTCCCCCTTCAATTTCTCCACCATTCTTTTTGTATCATAGCCTATATATTTCAGTGTAGTATCTCCTTTTTATTATTATTATTATTCTTATTCTTGTTAGTTCTTATTGTACTGGTCTTATGCATCTCTTTTTATTTTTCTTGTCATTTACTATCATTCATCCCTTTAATAAAAAAAAATATTTTTTTTTTCTCTCACACACACTATTTGTCCCATCTTTAGAAAAATTCAATTTAAAAAAAAAGGAGGCAGGTGCCAGCATCGGGATATTGTCTTTGTTTATGAATGGCCGGCGTCATATGTTCTCTTGATTTTTTTTTTTTATTTTACACTTGTTAGTAGTAGAAGAAGAAGAAAGGTTGCTTGAATAAAAGGGAAGAAAAGCAGAGAAAGTGCCTCGCTATGTTATGATGATGCTGACATGGTTGCACACACACTTTTTTTCTCTTTATTAAAAAAAGTGATGTGTTTTTTTTTCGGCTTACACAGATATATTATCGTACGATCCCTGAATAGTAGTAATAAAACAAGAAGGGGATCATCCATCTATGTTGCCTTTCAAAAATCCATTGATCATGGGTGTACAACGCATCATATTATGTTTTCCGCTCTAGAAATTTTTTTTTTTCCTTGTCACTCCAACCTTATAAACATGTTTTTTTTAAAAAAAAAAAAATCAATAAAAATCATTGTTGTTTCTTTATTTCAATATATGTATAAAAATATGTGTTTTCAATGTAAAGATAAGGTATAAATATGTATATATAAATATAAAAGAGTGGTAATAATAATAAATAACTATAAATATATGTAAAGTACAAAAAAAAAAAAAAAATCATGGAAAGGGGGAGGCGGAGATGAATACAAAAGATAGAAAGAAACAAAGTTCAAACTATCACTCCACATAAACTAAACTATAATAACTAATCAATGTCTACTGGGAAATGATGGAGCTTCGTTTGCTTTGACTGTTGCTGTTTGAAGAAAAGGCGCGTTTCAACTTGTTAGTCATGCTTTTGCGTCGTTCAGTGAACTTGGAATCCCGGCGAATACGACGACGAGGAGGTGAACTAGATGTTGTGGATGTAGGTGTTTCTGGGAAAGAGCCAGTTGAGGAGATCAAGGAGGAACCACTGACTGGTTGTTGTTCTTCAGTAATACTTGTTAAATCACAATTGATGCCCACACTAGGTGGCCTGATATCTTGCTTTTCTTCTTGATGATGATCGTCGTGAATAGTTGATTGTTCCCTGGGACTACTCGAAAACACTGGTTTTTCTTCTTCTTTTTTTTCTTCTTCCTCTTCTTCTTCTTCTTCTTCTTCCAATATCACTACTTCTTCAGGTGGTTGTTGTTGTTCCATTTCTTGTAGTTGAGTTTGTTGTTGTTGTTCAATTTCCAAATAACCTGTTGCCAATTGTTGTTCCTGTTCTTCTTCTTCTTGTATTTCTCGTTCCTGAGTTTCAGTAATATCTTGGTTAACGTCAGCTATCAGTAAAAACGATAAAATACATTTAGTTTCATATTCAAGGTACATATGTATATATTTGTATCAATTACCTGGGATGGGATTCTCTTCAATGGTAGTATAATAATGAGACAATAAGGGTTTGGTCCAGAGAGGTTCCAACTGCATCACAGAATAAACACGCAACATTGTTCAATGAATTGATAGTAAAAAAAAAAAAAAAAAAAGAAAAGATAAAAGATAAAGAAAAAGAAAGGGAAAAAAAGGGAAAAATACAGCTTTATATTCATCTACGCCCACATCTAACTCAAATTGAGTTCGAAAAAAAAAATCCCAAATAAGAAGTAAGAGTCAGGTGAGAGAGTGATTTTGAAAAAGAAAACAGCTTTTCCTCTGTGTATATGTACATATATGTATATATAATAATAAAAAAAAACACCGCCACGAAAATGATCATCATCCCTTTCGTTGAATTTTTAATCTTGCCTCTGTTTTTGACATTAGTTTGCAGTAAACAGTAATCATAATAATAATAATATAAATAATGTCACATTGTTTTCATGTAATGTGCAAAGTCATTCACCCCCTCCCCCTCTTTTCACACACTTATTTGCTATATTATGCTTGTTGTAATGGTCTTCCTACTTCCAAGGTTACACTAGCTCCGACATTGCAACCAGCTAATGTCTCCCCATTGAGTCACAAACACCTCTCCCTTTGATCAATCTATAAAAGAGTCAATCATGTTGTCAAACGAGAAATATCATTGGAAGTCTGATGATAAAAAAAAAAACAAAGTTTGTCATAACAAAATATATATATTATATAAAAGTTCAAAAAAAAAGACCCTAACGAACAAAGAATAAAATGGTGATTTCAAGATGCCATGGCAAAGTATTTTTGAGTAGCTGTCAATGCTTGATAACGGACCTGTTGATCCTGATGTGTCATGAGTTCCATGATTTTCTGTTTTGCTCCTACTATTTCCAGTTGTCTAAGTAACGCAAAAAAAAAAAAAAAAAAACATTAATGAATGGGTACACAAAATGATACATACACACGCACATCAGAGTTTTTTTTTTTATTTTTTTTTATTAAACATATACATATTACCTTTTTCCATCCTTTGATACATGTTTGACATATTGTCCTAGATCATGACATGCAATGGCAAGTACAGAAGTTTGTTGAGTCACATTTAGTAAACGAGCAAGTTGCCTAGACGTTACAAAAACAAAAACAAAAAAGTCAGTTCATTATCAGAGTTATTATTGATTCTTTTCTCTTCCGTTAAATACTTGCTTTAGTAATCGATGATCATTTTCATTCAATTTATTTGCATTTTGTTGCCAAAAGACTTCAGACTGATGGGGTGGTGACCACTCTAGCTTGCCAGTTTCCACTTCGGATGCATAAACTTCAAACGTCCTAAAACAAAAAGCATGATAAAGAAAAAAAGAGTTCAATCTTTTCGCTCTATACATCCGTTTTTTTTTTTTTCTCTCCAAAATACTTACGTCAAACTTTGGAAGTTTTCTTGCAATTCTTTTTCGATATAAGCAATATCATCTACCAGTTCTTGATCCGACCATTTCCGTGTACTGAGATGTTGAACAAAGGATAACAAGTCAGCTACTAACATCGCCGCTAAGTTTTGCTTGGGAGCCCGTTCAATCAGATTCTATATAAAGGGTAAGAAAGGATATTTCATCAGTATAAGAAAGTTGGATATCATATTCTTTTACCTTAAAGATGGCCATAGTTATACGAATCACCTTTTCTTTGACGGCTGATTTAGCAATTTCCATCAATGTAGGTATCACATCGTATTTCCTAGATATTTCCCAGAATATCTCTTAGTACTCCATCTTTTTTTTTTGTCTTTTTAAACTTACTCATTGAGATGTCCTGCTATCTTGGATTGGAATGTCAATAACCAAACAGCAAAGAGAACTTCATATGTCTTTTGAGGATTATTGCCATTCTGTAGAAGAATAGAGATCAAACTGATGATATATGCATATACAAAAAAAAAAAATCTGGTTAAAATCACAATCACTACCCTTATCACCAGAATATATCAAACTTACGAATCCATGGCATGAAGAGTTTGCCAAAACACCAATCGATAGGATGGAATATGAAAAAGGCAATTGAGGATCTGAACATTCAAATCAATCACATATGGCTTTTGGCTTTGTAATTGGAAAGTCATCCATCGAAACAATTCTTCAATATCAACATCTCGCTGTTCTGTTGAGCTTCCAAGAAAGAAAGAAAAAGTTAGAAAAATCATCATTTCTTTCTCCCTTGAACCTCATACTTACCAAATTAAAAGTGTGAGAATTTTGCTTGATTGAACTCCAATGAATTCATCATTGATTGACAAAGCTCTAATAGAAAGATAAAAAAAAATAATAATAAAAAAGAATAAGTAAGAAGATCTAGGGCAAAAGAAAAAAGGTAGTATTCACTTTGGATCCCTTACTACTTTTTTTTTTGTAATACTTTACTTGTGAAATGGAAGGAAGGGGTATCCTTGTTTGTATTGACTTGCTTGATGAAAGAGAACAATACGTTCATCTTCGTGTCCTAAAGTATCCATATCAAAAAAAAAAAAAAAAAAAAAATAGATAAGTATCATCCATGAAGCAAGCATTAAAAAAAAGACTATACCGTTTAACATATCTTGAATCAGCACCAACACTTTTTTAACAGCATCCACACGAGCAAGTTTGTTCATCAAATCTAAATACAAGCCAGCATAATGAATACCATGCTAAGATACAAAAAAAAAAAAAAAAAAAAAAAAATTAGTTGATTAGAAAAACAAATTACACCACTAGGTCCTTACTTCACTCATAATGATTTGAATATCTTCAGGAGTTGCTTGCTCCACGTGTTGAATCATAGCCACTTCATCCTCTGTCAATAACCCACTACGTTGATAATCCTAATTCCCCCTCATGGAATTGACAAATATATAAAAAAAAAAGGAGGGAAAAGAAAAGGTTATTGCATAAGAAAAATTAATGAGCGCATAATCTATATCGAATATTCTAATATCTTTTACTTTAAATACTTACCGACCAAGGAAGTGTGGTTTGTTTGATAGTTTGAATGGATTCATCCAAGTAAGGATGGCTAATGACAGAATAACTGGAGGTCACGTTCTCGATCAAGTCTTGCTGACAAGATGAATCGAGAGTGGTATTGTCGTAAGCAGATAACATGATGATTGGTATATGAAGAAGAAGAAGAAGAAAGGTGAAAAAAAAAAAATAAGAAGAGGAATGAAGTAAGGAAAAAAAAAGAAAAAGAAGAAGCAAATTGGAAACAAAGGAGGAGGAGAGAAAGAATTCGTTTCATACAAAAAAATGCGGCCATTCAAATAATTCTGTGTGAATGAAATGAAAAAAGTATTTATTATAATCATGATGAGATGATTTCATTTATTAATCCTTTTTTTAAAAAAAGAAAGAAAGAAAAAAAAAAAGGGAAAATGAAAAATATATATATAAGTAGTGTCATTTAAGATATCATTGATTCATTTCTTCTTTTAGACCTAGATAATAACGTACTCAGTCGTCGTCCTATAACGGATGCTAGTATCACTTTGTTTTCCTCACCACCTATCATCCTCTTTTCTTGTTGTGTGCTTTCATCTTGACTCGTTACATCCTTATTTATCCTATGATCACTTTTATCTAATGGTATAATAATAATAAAGAAAAAAAAATTGAGTTTCAAACAACATTGCATGATAACAAAAAAAAAGTCCTGTTGTTTTGTAGCTTTTTTTTTTTTTTTTTTTTTTTTTTACTTTCTTCTGTAAGAATAGCAGTGTGATCCATAGCATTAAATTCATCACAAACAACAGCAGGATGAGATGATCGTGGATTAGAGTACCATATTTTATGAAGAATGGAAGGTCGCTTAATAAGAGGACGATCATCTATATGAACCTTACTAATATTATCATCATGATGATGATGGTGATGATGATAATGGTGATGATGATGATGATGATGATGATGATGGATCTCATTTGATAGTAATGAAGGCGATGATATTATTGTTGTTGTATTAGGATTCATATTAGTATTATTAGTAGATATTTTGGTGACGGTGGTGTCTTCATCAGTTGCTATGGGATCATCAGAAGGGCTGTTAAGAGACAAGGATGAGTAGTCAGAGGTCAAGTGTAAATCCGTGTCGATAGGTTGAAGATGTTCAATATGAGGTAATTCAACCTTCAAATTACTGTTCAGTGGAAGAGGAGCACCTTGTGAGCTTGTCTTCAAAAAAAAAAATAAGGTTTCGTTGGCTTTGTTTACAAAAGAGAAGAAAAAAAGTTTATTTACCTTGAACTTTTGAAAAAGCGATTCTTTTGTGGAGAGCACTTGATTTTTACCGATTTGGATAAAGGATCGACGTTTCAATTGTTCAGCTAAATTTCTTTTTTCATCCATGAGTGAAATCAAAAGGAAAAAAAAGAAAAAAAAACAAAGAGTCTATTTTCTTGATTTATACCTTTTTGTTGTTATCATTCTGTAGATTGCTGCCTGATGATGCTTCTTCCCTAGAGCGGATTTTCTTTTCCAGGAGATTGCTTACTGATCGATTAGATGAATTGATTTTTGTTTAAAGACACGAGCATCGTAACGGTAATCGTTCCTTTAGATGTTTTTCTATTATTATCAAAAAAGAGAAAGAGAGAGAGAGAGAAAACAGTTATTTTATGTATTTTACTAGATGCATCTCAAGGAGTAAAAAAAAAAAAAAAAAAAAAAAAAAAAAAAAAAAAAAAGACTTCTCTTATTAAATGACTAACAGAAAAAAAAAGATATATTCTATTATGAACAAACAATCTAGGAGAGTCCTACTAAAAGAAATATCAAACGGAAACTATTAGAGTCTGTGTGTGTATATTTGTGTGTGGGTAAAAAAAAAAAAAAAAAAAAAAAAAAAAAAAAAAGTGATAATGGTTTGTTCTTTCACCGCCAGAAGGAAAAAGGGGAAAATAAGAGGGGGCCATGACCATGTGACACAAAACCTTAAACGTTTACTCATATGATCAGATGGTTGATTTGAAAGTTAAACACAAACAAATAACAAACTCCAAAAAAAAAAAATAATAAACAAATTGATGAACAAATAAGCAAACAAATAAGCAAATAAGAATGTTAGGAACAAAAGTAATAGTTGGAACAAAAAAAAAAAAGATAGGCAAAAAGGTAAAATCATTGTGGAATATCCTGTTTTGTTTTTGTTTTTTTTTATTTTGCTTTCGTTATAGAAGACAAAGGTGATTTGTCAAAAAAAAAAAAGATAAATCTATTTTTTTTCAACACTTTGTGTCACTACATGTCAGTTGGTTTTATCCAAAAACAGCATTATCCACATGGTTTTGACGCCTTGTCAAAACAAGTCTATCGTTTATCAAAACATCGAATCAATCTATATAAGAAAAAAAAACATAAGATGATCGTTTTTTTTTTATTGTAAATATAGGGACAAGAAGAAAAAATACAATCGTAAACAATAATAATAGAGATACTAATCTGATAAAACAAGTATGTGAACAATGTGTGTTGATAAACTAAACTAGATTGAGATAAGAAGGGGGGATTGAATGATAAGGAAGTATGATGATACAAATGTATGTATATATATATATGCAACATGAAAAAAAAAGAATATAACAATAATACTAATAATGATAAAAAAAATGATGTAAGGAATAGAGAGAGCAGAAGAAGTGAGAGGAAGAGAGAATGCAAAATAATATGAAGATAAGCTATTGAAGTATACAATAAGATGATGATGAAGAAGAAAAAGTATTGGTAGTTGATTTCGATATAGGATCTGTTGATACTGATTGAGAATGATCGACCATGGATTTCTTTTTACTGGGAGATGATGATGATGAATTCAAATAATGATGATGATAATGGAAACCTGGTGAATTTGTGGTATCGTTTCCTCGTCGTAAAGGAGTATTCAAGGATGGAGGTGTTGAAGCTTCCAAACAGTAAGATAAACGACGTTTTGTTCCTGCAGTGGTATTTGTCGCTGTCGATAAAATATCCAATCCATTCGATGATTGTTGATTCTTTTCCTTTTGATTGGCTTTTTCGATTTCCCACTGTTGAAGATTTTGTTTCATTTGCTGAACGGTAAATGAGAGTTCTACAAAAAAAAAAAAAAAAGGAATGATAAAGTGAGTTAACATAATATATATATATTAAAAGGACTTACCTGGTAGTAAATCAGAGACAGAAGTAAATAAATCTAGAGCCACAAAGCGAATAAATCCAATTTGACATTCTTCCAAAATGATTTTTGTCCTATCATTTGCTGCTTGAACAGGCATACCCAATTCACGTTCCAAATCACCTTGAGAAGCGAATTCTTCCACTAAAAGTTCAGCCCATTCTTTACCACGACGAAAAGGTCTTGTCACATTGCTGACATCGGCACATTTGATCAATGCTGTACATAATAACATCGGATCTATTGTTTGTTGATGTTGTAAAGTGGTTGCAGCATTTTTAAATTTGGTCACATAATCATTGTTGAGAGCCATATCAGTTGCAAGAATACTGGAAATAATGATTTGTCGAAAGCATTGATAATCATCACCTGTCCACCATTGATCTAAACCATGTTTTTTGATTAATTGGAAGAGAGTCATCGAATGTAGTGATTCCAATACAGAACGATCATTGTACATCACAGCTAAAGGGGTTCTTGAATTGATTAAAAACATATTGTTCACACCAGGGTGACCAGCGTCATGTCCAATAGCAGATAACAATAAGGCAAAAGCGTGTTTAGGTTCCATTTTGTTCTTTCCATTGGATGATCGACATGACAGGATTTCCAATTGACACAAGAAATAATAAATACATTGTAAAACATCTACGGCATGAGCAAAATTGTGGTAAGGATTATCATCATGATATGCATTGGCTAAATCAATGATGAAATCATAAAGTTGATCTACATGATAAATTGTAATAATAATTAAAAAAAAAAAATAAGTTTCAAATAAATATTTTGTTCATCCCATGGCTCCCTATTTCCCTCCCTTTTCCCGGTTTCCCCCCTTTTTTTTTATTTATTTGATATACCTTGAGTGACAGTAAGATGAGATAATTCTGGTGAAGTCAAAGTCATTTCAAATATAAGATAAACACAATGAATCAATTCATCACGATTGAATTCAAAAGGTGAAAAATCCCATTGTTTTAGTTTGACTTTCAATTCATCAGCTTGTCGACTATTAAATAATATATGGTGACGAAATTAGAAAAAATAGTAATATATTATGTGATGATTTTACCTTGAAAGTGGTATATATTTAGTTGGAAAGGGTAAAGGAGGAGCATAAATATCCATCATCACTTTAGTCAATCTATTAAAAAAAAAAAAGTTGGTTATAAATCAAAAAAAAAAAAAAAGAGAAAAGAAAGAAAAAAAGAAAAAAAATAAAACTTACTGAATATCTTTTGTAACAATTTCTTTAAATCGATGATTGATATCTTCAGGTTGAATGCTTGGTAAAAAGTAATAATCATCTTGATGTAATTTAGTAGCAGTGGCAATTTCCAAAGTAGTAGTTGAATTGGAGGTGGAAGAGGTAGTAGAAGAAGTGGTTGGAGACTCGGGTCCCTGTCGGCGATGTAATTTCTAATAAAAAAAAAAAAAATAAAATAAAATAAAAAAAAAAGTAAGAGAGAGACAACACATATTAATAAATCATTCGATATAAAAATAAAAATAAAAAAAGAAAGAAAGAATTGGGGGGGGGGAGGGGAAGGAAGTGAATAACAAATTATATTAATTTACCAAGAATAATGTTTGAATAACAGGTAAATATAAAGGTTTGCGTAAGAAATCAGTAGCACCAGCATGAAGACAATCCAGCATAAAAGTAGAACTTGATTCCATAGAACATACTATGTTAAGATAAAATAAAATGAATAAATAATAATAATAATAAAAGCCGAAGTTATCCGAATTTTTTTTTTTATTACCTATCAAAGGGTATTGAATAAAATGTTGAGATAATCGTTTTATCCAACCAAGTCGACAATCCAACGTTGCTGTATAAGAACTACTAGATGAACTAACAGAGACTTGATCATCAGGTTCTTGTACCATATCCAAATCCATAAAGAAAAGTGTATTATGATGATATTTTTGTTGTTGTAAATCCAAATAACTTTCATCATATTCTAGTGAAATCACTATTTTTTTTTAAAAAAAAAAAATTAATATATAATAATAATAATAATATATATAACAATTTATACCTTCTCCAAAGACAGAAGTCAAGGTATCTATATAAGGATAAGCTAATTTGCTATAGTAGTTTTGAGTTGGCTCTAATATCACAAGTGTACATTGGGAAGAGTCCATAATATTGTGATGTCAAGATACCCTAAAGTGGCGTAATGGTAGGAAGTGACCTTAGGATGGGATAAGTTATATGTATTTTGTGTGTGTGTATGACAGAGAAAGAATATGTATGTGTACGTGGTGATGGTGTATATTGTATATAAAATATATAGTTATGTATATATAGAGATATTCTGTATATGTAATGAATAGAAAAAGAAAGAAAGAAAGAAAGAAAGAAAAAAAGAAAGATAGAAAAAAGAAAAAAAAAAGTGAAAAAAAGGGGAAGAAGAGGAAGAGGAAATGGAAAAGGAAAGAGTGAGACGAATGAAAAAGAAAGAAAGAGAGAGAGAGAGAAAAGAAAGAGAGACCAAAAAAAAAAAAAAACCTTTATTTTCGACCTTTTTTTCACACTCAAAAAAAAAAAAACGAACATGGTCACATTTTTGGTAGTTACACTAAACGAGAGACATACACAACAACAACAACAACAACAACAACAAAAAAAGGAGGGAGACAAAAAAAAAAAAAAGCCCACGTGGCTAATCTGAACTTTAAAAAAAAAGTCTCTTTTATTGACAAAAAAGGGAGGAGAACATAAAATATGATTTTCACCAATGATTACTATTACTACTACTATGACTACTACTACCTACATAACTTTCAGCTAAAAGTCCATCATTGGAAGGATTATATGTAAACCCAGCAAATTGTTCTTGCATTGTCTTGGAAATATGAGTTTCGTCAACAAGGGATTCCAAAGGTGCTTCGGAAGTAAATTCTTCATCAAAATTTGTTGTATCATATTGGTTTTCTACACTAGGTTTAAAAGGTGCTTGTAATTTCTTTTGTAATAATAATCGCCAATCTATATGTTTTGCAAAGAAAGGATGATTCTTGATATCTGCTGAACCATGATTGCCTAATCGTTCTTCTGGATCTCTTGTTAATAATCCACGTAATAAAGATTTTGCATCTTCTGATATATCATCTGGAAATCGTAATTCATCTTGTAAAATTTTACGATACATTTCATTTGTATTTTCATCATAAAAAGGAGGAAGTCCAGTCATCATTTCGTATAACAATACACCCAATGTCCACCAATCTACTGTTTTACTATAACCTTGTCCAAGTAGTAATTCTGGTGCCAAATATTCTGGGGTGCCACAGAAAGTATTGGTCCGTTCGTTTTCTTTCATGTTCAATTTACATAATCCGAAATCGCAGAGCGCAATATGTCCATTGTAATCAATCAAAATATTTTCGGGTTTCAAATCACTAGTTTTTTTTTTTTTTTTTTTTTTTTTTTAAAAAAAAAAAAAAAAAGTCAATAATATATAGAAAAGGGAAATCAATTTTTTTTTTTTTTTTTTTTTTTTTTTACCGGTAAACCACATTGAAGTCATGCAAACATTCCAGGGCTGAGAAGAGTTCCGCTGTATAAAACCGAGATCGTTCTTCATCAAATCGTCCCTCCACTTGCAAATGATGAAAAAGTTCACCACCATTGATAAAAGCCAATACCAAATAAAGTTTATCAGGACTTTGAAATGCAAATTTCAAAGGTACAATGAATGGATTTCGAATCTTGGCTAATACCGTCTTCTCTGCCATCGTATGTGTCACTTCTGATCGGGAGATAATACGTGATTTCCGTAGTACCTTCATAGCATAAATTCGATTTGTATCCTTCTTGCGCACCACATATACTTTACCAAAACTACCACGACCAATCACACGTAATAAATCAAAAGAATCAAATGCTATAGGTGATGTTTGCTATAATAATAATAATAATAATAATATATTAGTCTCTTTTTTTTTCTCTTTTTTTTCTTTTTTAATACCTGTTGTGGTTTATAACATAATTGTACATGCATCATCCCAGTACCACCAGTTATTTGTAATACTTGATCATCTAATCTTGTTGAATCAAAATTTGGTTGTAATTTGACACTACCCAAAAAATAGTCCGCAAGTTTTGTTGTTGTTGTTGTTGTTGACTGACTGTTATTATTGTTATGATGACGCTCGATTGTTTCAGGAGGAGGGCGTAAGTATATGGAGATGGATACATCGGAACTTCTAGACACATCACTATAGATATAAATAGATAAAAAAAAAAGTTTAGTAGTTTAGTTGATACATATAAAAATAGATTCAGATTATTCTTCCCCGACATACACGCATACACTTACAAATGAGCCCTGTATTGATAAATTGGATTTTGTGTATCACCGCCAAGAGCATCAATCAATATTTCATTCTTGTCGAATTCTAATACCACATAAGGTAGCCACCAATGTTGTTTTCGAGTCAAAGAGTCACGATTACGTGGTAAAGGTTGTATAGGTGGAGGTGGAGGTAAATTAATTTGAGAAGGTATAGTAAGTCCTTGAGCATCACATACTCGAATAAGTAATACACCTGAATATGGTTCAGAAGGTGAAGAAGGTGAAGATAATATTGGAGATATTGTTTTAGTATTTGTTGATGATGCTGTAATGGTATTGCTACTATTTCTACTGGATGAGTCTCTTCCTGACGACGTAGGTGATAATGAGTTGATAGCAGCCGTTAACGATGTTGAGATTCCTTCCTTGGTTTCCTTGGCTTCCTTTTCTATTGGTATGAATAGAGTAAAATAAATAAAAAAAATAACATAATAACATCTAAAACATATTTTAATAATAGTTTCTCATCTTACTTCTTGTACCCGGTAATTTCCAAGAATTCATATTATATGTCGTATAACAACAATTGAACCAATGTAACCAAAAGTATAGAGAGAGAAAACGATATATATATATATATATATACCCTCTAACACAGAGATAATATAATAATATAAAATAAAAAATAAAAGTCGGTATAAAAGTAAATGTAAAGAAAGAAAGACCTACAAGAAAAAAAGATAAAAAAAATTCTTTTGCTTTGGCAACGGATTGAAAGTTGAGTTCGGGATTGCAAAATCAAGTGAACCCTTTCAACTTCCTTTCATTTCAAAATTGTCATCATCCAATTGATATGACAAGTTATATTATAACAAGATAATCAAAAATAAAAATAAGTTTCATTTCATAAACATTTTGACAGTAAAAAAAAATAAAAAGTGTTTTATTGGGATAAAAATTTCATAGTATTGAGTGATTGAAATGATAAAAAGGAAGATGAATAATCTAAAGTAAAAGATGAACGAGACCATCGAGACCATACTAAATAATAATAATAAATAATAATAAGTAAAATCATTTTCTTCTTAATCATTCTATATTACTTACACCAAAAAGAGCACTTTCTACCTAACCATTTCCCTACAAAAGGAAATATTACTAAGGAACAAAGAGCATTCAATTGAGCTATATTTTCTTCCCATTGTGCTTCAGCATCATATTCGCTATCTTCACTATAATCATCATCAAAAGAGGATTCTTGACTATTATCATCTACTCCATCAATACTTAAATCAGAATCAATATAATCAGTTGTTTGTCTATCAATAAAACTGGTCATTATTTTGGTATTTCTATAAATAAAAAAAAAAAAAAGAAGAAGAAGAAAATGAGTATAAAAATAATATAAATGTATAACATGAAACTTAACTTGCCTTGTGGTGGTATTGTAAAGAAATGACAAGAAACAAAAAAAAAAAAAAAAAAGGATAAGAGAAAGAAAGTAAAGAAAGAAAAAAAAAATTGAAAGACGGAGATTGGTTTTCCATACTTTTTTACTTACTCTTTTTTTTTCCTTGGCTCTTTTTCTTTTCTTTTCTTTTTTTTTTTTTTTGAACTAATAAATGGATACCAAACTTGCTTCTCGACTTGAGTTAATAGCTGATAATACTTTAACAGCTGTATTTGAACGTAATAGATTAAAAGAACTAGGGTAATGTCAATAAGAAAAATAAAAAGATGATATCCTAGTTATTTTATTTAATCTTTCTTGCCAAGATTTTCATTCTTTACTATTTCCTTTTTTTTTTTTTTAATTAGGTTAAATTATGACAAAAATGAAAAAACAATAGAAAAGAATATGAAGCAACTTCGTGAAGGTATAACCTCTTTGGAACAAGAATTATCTAATGAAGAACAATCTGGCACTACGTAAGTTTTGAAATATTTATAAAAGAGCTATTTTTAACCATTGTTTCTGATTTAGAAATACCAAACAACATGAAGATCAATTAATCCAAATACAAGTTAAAGTAGATAAATTGGATGCTTTATTATCACCCACAGGCAATCATCATTCTAGAGATCAATTACTTGGTAATCAAAATAGTATTAAATTCTTATCAACTTCCGAACAAGTGGATCCTACCAATTTAGAAAATGATCAAATCTTACAATTACAGCAACGAATTATTGATGGTATTAATTTTTAATCATATCGTCTCATATATATAGATATACTAAGCATTACATTTATATAATATATATATAGATCAAGATGAAAATTTAGATCATTTATCTTTAGCAATTGGACGACAAAGAGAATTAGGTTTAATGATTGGTGATGAATTAGATTCTCATGTACAATTGATTGATGAAACTGAAATGTTGGCAGATAGAACAGATGAAAGATTACGACGTGCAAGAAGAAAATTAGATTATGTTGGTCGAAAAGTGAAAGATAATAGTAAGTGAATCATTTTGAAAATTAAATTAAAAAAAAAAAAATAATTGATCTTTTATTATTATTATTATTATTATTAGAATCTGTCTGTATTGTCATTGCCTTGATATTTGTATTCTTTGTACTTGTAGCATTATTCCGATAGTTATCTCTTTTCCTCTTTTAATCTTTTATAATAAAAAATAATAAAAAAAAAAATAAAAATTTATCCATTTTTCTATAAGATGAATCAAGTTGATTATTTTTTTTTTTTTTGATATTTTTACAGTGTTTTCATAGTTTTTTGTTGGGTCACAAGAAAATAGTTTCCTAAAATGGATGTCGCATTACCACTCCAAAGATTGTTGGTAGAATATGTCAAAACACATTGATTGATGATTGATGATGATACAGTATATTAATCATTCTCTTCTTTTTTTTCAAATTTCCTTTGGTGTTTTCAATTCAAAATGAATAATCAATCTGTATACAGCAACATATAAAAAATATATGTTATCACCTCTTCATGAGAATGGTATTTAATACAGGTAAGTTAAAAATAAATATATAAATATAAAAAAAAAATGGATATTGTTGACTAAATATATATATATATTATGATATTCAAAATACTCAATGAAACTACTGTCACTCCTTTTCTTCTTCTTGTATTCAATTTGGATTATGCAACTATACTTTATTTTTTCTTTTTTCTTATTGTCATCTATTTTTTTCTATCCTTACTATTATATTTTTTTATTTCCTATTTTTGCGATATCTTATTGCTGAAATTCCGTCATTTCATTATTAGATAAATATCGGTCCTAATTATAGTTAATAAATATCATCGAAAATAAAAGCAAGTTTAAATGTTCAAAAATGGCTTTTCTATTGTTATACGATCGACCATCAGCATCTCTCTTTTGACATTTGGTTTATTTGAATCTCCGTTTGAGGTGTGATTGATGACAAATGAGATCTCTTTGCCACCTAACCACTTTTTTTCCTTTTTTTTTTTTTTTTTTTTTCTTTTTTTTTTTTTTTTATCTTTATTTACTTACACTGACCATATTCTCATCAACATAATGTCACCGTCAAAAGAAGAGATTCCTAATAATGCCAATGAACACTGTCCTGTATGTATATATATATATATATAAGATAGATTTATAAAAGACAACTAATTCATATTATTATATAGGGACCCGAAAGCGAAAAGGCAGGAAAAGAAGATGCTTGTGCTGGTTGTCCCAATCAACAAATATGTGCTACCACTCCTAAAGGACCTGATCCAGGTATGAAATGATATTATACTTAAAAACATTTCAATTACTAAACTTTTTTTTTAAAAAAAATCTCTTTCTTCTTTTTATGAAACAGATCTCCCAGCTATTAACGAAAGAATGAAACATGTTCAACACAAGATCCTTGTACTCTCCGGTAAAGGTGGTGTTGGTAAATCCAGTTTTACTTCACAACTAGCGTTTGCATTATCACAGGATGAGGATCGACAAGTAGGTGTGATGGATATCGATATATGTGGTCCTTCTGTACCAACAATTATGGGTGTGGCAGGTGAACAGATCCATCAAAGTAACACAGGTTGGCAACCAGTTTATGTACAAGAGAACCTTGGTGTAATGAGTATTGGATTCATGTTAGCTGACCAGAACGATGCTGTGATTTGGCGTGGACCTAAGAAGAATGGACTGATCAAACAATTCCTTCGAGACGTAGAATGGGGCAAGTTGGATTACTTATTGGTTGATACACCACCTGGTACTTCTGATGAACATCTTTCTGTATCAACTTATTTGAAACCAAGTGGTGTGGATGGTGCTGTTATTGTCACTACACCTCAAGAAGTGGCTCTGCAAGATGTACGTAAAGAAATTGATTTTTGTCATAAGGCTGGTATTCCTATTTTGGGCCTAGTGGAAAATATGTCTGGTTTTGTGTGTCCAAATTGTCAAGGTGAATCCGTCATTTTTCCTCCTACTTCTGGTGGTGCTCAAGCTTTGGCTGAAGAATTAGGTATTACTTTACTAGGTCGTATTCCATTGGATCCTCGAGTGGCTAAAAGTTGTGATATGGGTATTTCTTTCTTGGATGAATATCCCGATTCACCTGCATGTGCTGCTTTTGAACATATTATTGAAAGTAAGTAGAATAATAATAATAATAATAACATTCATCATACAAATATATATATATACTCATTTTCTTTCTCTTCTTCTTTTTTTTTATAGAACTACAAGGATTAGTAGAATAGATACACACTTTATTTCATTATTTTATTATTATTATTTTTCTTTCTTTATTTTGTATAATAGTCACCTTTTATTATTTTTTTTTTCTCATTCCCGAAATAAACAATATATTTTCTTCCTCCTTCTGAATGTACTTTGATGGATCATGCATAGATACAGTATTCCCAGTTGTCAAGAATAACCAACCACCTAGAACCTATGTTCGGAGGCCAAAAATTATCTTTCTTCGTTTTGATTGTGTGAAAAAAAAAAAAAAAAAACCAACTGAACTTTTTGTTTCTTTTTTTTTTTTATTATTCTTTTTCTTTCACTTTTTTTTTTTTTCTTTTTTCTTTTTTACTCTAATGATATTACCAGTTCGCTTATCTACACCATGTCGTCATTTATCCTCTTGTATAAGTCGATCGGTTTCCACAAAAGCTTCTGAGAGGCCTTTAGCACAGTCGTTTTATGATGACAAGATTGTAACGGTAAAGTTTTATTAAGAGTAAAAAAAAAAAAAAAAAAAAAAAAAAAAGAAAGATCGATATCGATGGAATACTCATAACCATTTTCACTTTTTTTAGTATGCAAATAAGCCTATCAAACCTGTAACCTTGAATCAATTAGTTCGATTTGGACAACCACCTTTATCAAAAGCAACATTAAGAGATTGTGCTCTGTATGCAAGAACTGAATTACCAGTACGACTAGCAAGACGAGTACGTGCCTTCCAAACTCTTCCTTTCATTGTTGGTACTAATCCATATATAAAGGAAATATACAAACTTTATTATGACTCTTTTGAAATGTTGGAACAATATTCTCATAGCCGTGACGATGCTGATGATATGGAATTTGCTGAAAAGCTGAAGAATTTGGTGGAACGACATACTGACAATATTCCTACTTTAGCAAGAGGTAAGAAGAATAAGAATGATGAATTATTTTGATTTATTTACAAATCATGTTTTTTTTTTATTTTTTTTTTTATTTTTTTTATTTTTTTATTTTTTAGGCTTTCTTGAATGCAAACAATATATGAACAATCACGATATGGCGACATTTTTGGATGATATGATTAAAGCAAGGATAGGCATACGACTGATTGCTGAACAATGCATTGTATTGACACAACATTCTCAAACACATATGACACCAATTGATATGTCAGATAATGCAACAAAAACTAATGGATATATTGGCATCATCGATACCCAACTTCAACCAAGTCAACTTGTACAACATTGTGCCAATTTTGTTGCTGAACTGTGTGAATTCAACTATGGACAAAGTCCAGAAACTATCATCAATGGTCATACCGATACAAAATTTACTTATGTACCTGTCCATCTGGAATATATCTTGACAGAACTCTTGAAAAATTCTTACAGAGCCACCGTAGAACATGCAAAAGAAATTGGATTACTCGACCCTCCTCCCATTGAAGTGACTATCAGTCAAAGTAAAGAAGAAATTGGTATTAGGATTCGTGATCAAGGTAGCGGCATCAACGAAGAAGATCTTAGCAAGGTATTTGAATACTCCTACACAACCGTAACTCGACCTGGCGATGAGGAATATGGTGATGATGATTCTAGTATCTTTAGCGGTATGGCTCTTATGGCAATGCAAAGTGGTGTAGGTGGTCCCTTGGCTGGTTTGGGGTAAGGAAATAATCATTATGATATTTTGATTTATTAGAATTTTATTTTCATTTTTTATTCATTTTTTTTTTTTTTTTCGTTTGATAGATACGGTTTACCTTTGGCAAGAATGTATGCTAGATATTTCGGTGGTTCTTTAACGCTTGTATCCATGAATGGTTATGGCTGTGATGTCTTCCTCAAACTAAAACATATTGATGAATCTTTAGCCGAAGGATTAGAAATTTAGTATAGCAGTAGTTAAATAGATATTTAGATAGACTCCCTTTCTTTCTTTCTTTTTTTTTTTCTTTTATTGGAAATTTGTAATCTCCATCTACTTCTATCCATTGATACTACTGTTGTTATCATCCCTTTTTTCTGAACCAATAAATACATATCTTTTTTTTTTTTTTTGTCTTTATATATATATATATATGCTGAAATGATAATGTTAATGAGTGATTGAAAATATTGGTGTCGTAACAACAATAAATATAGTGATGGAAGATGACTTTTATTTTATTAAAAAAGAATGGAAAAACTAACTATAAATATATACTATATATCAAATAAGAGCTAATACTGACTACATAAAAAGAATAAACATGATATAAAAAAAAATGAGAGGGAAGAGAGAGAGACCAACCATACTAGGAGAAGATCATCAAAAGGATACTTTTGTATGCCTTTATACTAAATATCTATATATTCGATCTATTGTAAACACTATTATCTATCCATCCAGTTGATATAGTTGTACATTTGTCTAGTTGTCCCAGTCGTATCATCACCTATTCGTACTCTATTAACGCAAAAACGAGCATAAAAAAAAAAAAAGAAATAGAATGGAAAAGAATGAGGAATAGAGATTATTGATCGTATGTTGAGTTTACTTAATTTTTATCTTGACCCTGAAGCCATGATACCGTGATGTTGTTCCTTTTGCATTATCCTATGCGCATCCATCGTTTATCCGTTCTATTCATTTTGTCGAGCAGTAATTCGTCATTGTTGGTAAAAGCATGTACTTTAATAGGTGATTCCTTTTAATAACATCCTATAAGGTTCAATTGGATAAAATAGAGAGTCAATATAGAATCGTAATCCTCAGAGATGAGTCTAAATTACCAGTTTCACGTAAAGCATAACGCTGCTGCTGTTGTTGTTGCTGTTATGGAAAAATCATACCAAGTATTGTCCGCGAGTCGTTTTTCGTCACACATAAATAGATCACAAAAAAAAAAAAAAAAAAAAACATGTATCCATTCTTTTATTGATAATATCAAATGGAATTGGTTAATAAGGAAGACCATTTCCCTGCTGCCATCCAATCCCCAAAGTTCGAATCTTTATAATCCAATTGAAACTAAGAAAGAAAGGAAAAAAAAAAAATAGAAATACTGTAGAAGGATAAACTTGACAAATATCACAATAAATATACGTTGTATTTTACTTTGTTCATAATAATTGCATCATTGTAGAAAAGAAGTGATATAATCCAGAAGAAAGTATTCAAAAAGAAGGGGAAGGAAAAAAAAAAAAAAAAAAAAAAAAGAGGCAAAAAAAAAAGTCAGCGTCAAAGGAAAATAAATCAACCGAAATTAACATAATGTATAAAATTGAATCAGTAGATTCTTCAATAAATACACTTCCAAACCAAACAAAACTTAATACTCAATAAGAATAAAAGAAATCAATTCCAATAATAAAAAATGTTTATTGGTAGAATCAAAAATCAACGAACTAATTAAAAGAAAAGAAATGTCGGCGATCGAAATAGAAGGATTGGCTTTATAATGATGTTACGGGTGTACGTTACAAAACGGCTCGCTTAGCTCAGTTGGTTAGAGCGTGGTGCTAATAACGCCAAGGTCACAGGTTCGACCCCTGTAGTGAGCATTCATTTTTATTTTTTTCTCGTATATTAACTGATTTTCAATTCATCCAATCAGTTGTTAAGAATCTTTTTGTTATTTGTGTGATGATTTGATTTATGTAGTTGATGGATACTATTATTAATATTGTTAAGTGATTTTTTGGTTGTTAAGGCCAAAATTGAAAAAGTAATTTGGATGATTGAAAGATAATGAGTTAAATAGTGAGCACCAGTACTTGATTACGCAAGTACACGTATAAAGCATTGAGTAAAATAAAATACTGTATATCTTTCCTGATAGTATCAAAAAGATCATGAGCATAATAACTTTCAAAGTCCGTATTTTTTTTTTTTTTTTTTATTTTTTAGATATGCGGTAATTTTTATTTTCTTTTTATTTCTTTCCTTTCTTTATACAATTTTAGTTATAGTATATCAATTACTAGTCTTTAGTAGTTATATTTTTATTTAATAAAACTTTTTATTTTATTCCAACTACTTTGTTACACGTCAATGTAATTGATTCTATCTTACGATGTATTTTTTTTCTTCTTTTTTATTTGTGAATGCATTCTTTAGTTTTATTTTACGCATATCGTTACGAAATACGCTGATACGACAGAGATAAAATAAAAAAAAAAAAGTAAAGTAAAGAAAAATAAAGGTCCATTGCATATTTGGAAGACAGGAGTTTGATAAAAACTGTTCTGTCTTGCTATAAGGTACAAAGAGAGCCAATCAAAAGAGATAATCCACAAATACAATGGAGATGGGATGGGAAGGATGTTTTTTTATTATAAAAAATAAGATATAAATTGACTGAAAGACTAATAATAAAAAAAAAAAAAGGAAAAGAGGGATATTTATACTCTTTTAAAAAAGGAGAAAACAACAACGAAAAAAGAAAACGAAAACGAAAATGAAAGTGAAAACAAAAATGAAACTAGGAGTAGGGATAAAATATATATATATTTTTTTTTGTTCTTTTCTCTTTTTTTTTTTTTCATTCAACAGTACCTAAGGTGATGATTGATTAGTACGAATGAAAGATGGTATTACTAAGATGATAATATCAATGACGATTATGTAGTGAGCACCAGTTCTTTCTATAAAAAGAGAACAAAAGTATTGTAGATAAAAAAAAGAATAAAAGTAGACCAGAAAAGGCAATAGATGTCTTGATTATATGATCATTCTTGATAATGACCAATGAAATATACAATAACTTGAATATAAAACCTCGATGATTGCTTCATAATAATAATAATAAAGATTAAAACTTGGAACTATTGATTCCTTAAGAGTGACCAAGATGACTATACAGTCTTTTTATTGTTTGTTAAAAAATGTTGATTGATTTTTGGCAATGAAAAAAAAAAAAAAAAAAAAAAAAAGATAGATGATGTTAAGAGCTTTGAAGAATAAAAGTGTGAAAAGAGAGTTCAATAGGCATGCTGATCCATAATGGCTAGTTCAAGAATTCATTTTTTTTTTATAAAAAAATTCCAAAACAAGCAAAAACAAGTATACATGTACAGGGTATATCGAATACATTGGGATAGAAAGATACCATAGAAGAAGAAAAAAAAAAAGGTTTTCGATTTTATTTCTTTTCTTTTTTACAATACAAATACAATACACACACCAAAAAATAATTAAATAAAGTGTATAATCATTAATATTACCAATCTAAATGTTCTATCTATTTCTTATTATTCGTCAGAGTAGATAAAAGGATGCGTTCGCATTCTTCAATATCCTTTGCACTTGTCACTTGAGAAGTCATCAAATAAATCACATTTCCAAGAGGTCTTGCAAAGAGGTTGATGTTCGTACCAGCTGCATCTAAATAATTACCATGTCGTAATTGTTGAATCACTGAAGCTGACACTGCTGATCCATAGCCTGAAAGACATATCAAAAAAAAAAAAAAAAAAGAAGATCAATCATGTCATCTATAATAGTATATCCTATTCCATCATCCTTTTTTCTATTCCATCATCCCTTTTTTTTTTTTTTTTTTTTTTTTTTTTTTTTTTTTTTTTTTTTTTTTTTTACCTTTTGTTTGATCATCCTTCAAATTCACAGCAAGAACAGAACCAAGTGCCATCACGCTTTCAACGTTAGGAAGATGTGAAATCTGTTGAACAGTATGCCAGTTCCACATGGACCAAGTATTGGATCCATCTTGTTGTTTCCATGATTGCTGATAGGATTGCCATGTACCATTTGATGCAACATTATCTAGAATATCAATAGTTTGTTTTGCTACTTCCGTTCCCATTGGATGAGCTGTATATGAATGACCATGTAGTAAACAATCAGGTTTGTTGTCAGATAAGAAGGTGTCAAAAATAGATTCCTTAGTTACAGTCAAAGCCAAAGGAAGTAATCCGCCAGTCAAAGTTTTCGCATAAGCTACAATATCAGGTTTCTATTCAAACAAAATAATAATAATAATAAAAGATGAGCAGCTTCTTCTATATAATATATTTGTTAGTGATCAATTTACCACACCAAGGAAATCAGAGGCAGAAGATCGACCCAATCGATACCATCCTGTGAATACTTCATCGAAAACAATTGGAAGTCCTTGCCAAGACGAAGAAGAAGCTGATACATTTTTATAACCAAGTAAATCCTTGCCTTCATTACGAATGACGTCTACCAAAGTACGTTGGAACAAAGGATCAACAAAGATCATACCACCAGCACCCATGATCAAAGGTTCCATTAATAGAGCACCAATTTGTCGACCTTGTTGTCTGAGTCCATCCAATTCCTTGCGGATATACTGTCTGTAAATATTTGCCAAACCAGGATCGCGTTGATCATTTTGTTGATCCACAGAATAGATTGTTGAAACACTGTCATAACCCACTTGCATAGCATCCTTGCCTGTCACTTGCTTTGGAACTTGTACGTATGGTTTACCTTGAGAGATATGAACCGAAGGAGGTTGAAGCCAATGTCCACGAGGTTTGTACCATTGTACTTGTTCATTGTAGACGTTGGGAGAACAAGCATCCATTGTACCGATAGTATCACCATGGTAACTTCCATCAATACCCAATATATCCACCGGTCTTTCTTCACCATCCAACCATCCATATCGTTTTGCTGCTGTTCGCATTGCCATTTTGAGCGCCACTTCCATCGCTGTGCTACCATTGTCAGAATAGAAAACCCTTGATGCCCAAGTATCTCGTTCAAGTACTTTTTCTGCCAAAGACAAGGCTGATTCATTGCCACATTCAGGGAACATCACATGACCATACCTTCCAGCTGCATAAGCCGCCGCCAATGTCAATTTTGGATTCCCATGTCCTAAACCTTGCGTCCACCAACTTGCACAACTGTCAAACATTTCTTTGGCTTCCACATTGGTCGTAGTTGATGATGATGATGGTTTGGTATAAGTGACAAAATGGTCTTGATGTGCTGAATCGATCACTGTCACTTCCTTTACCATATTGTGTTGAGTGAATGGCCACCAAAATGTTTCACGCGACTTTTCGGCCATAGATTCTAACCTATCAAATCGTTCTTGATGTTTCAAATCCAATCGTTCCATTACAGGTACCAAGTATTCATCCAGTTGTTCATAATATTTCTTCATGGCTTGTTGATCTAATGTTGGATCAGGATTAGGAGAAGGAGGAGGAGGTACAGCAGTAATATCGATTTTCTGATCACCTAATCGAGTGGAAAGTAATTCATGATTCTTGCATCGCTCATGGTCAAATAATAAAATAGAAGGTACATCATAACCACGAATATGTAAAGATTCAAATGAGGTTGTGGTAGTAGAGATACCACCTAATTGTCCATCACCAATAAGAATAGTTGGAAGTCGAAAAGCACGATAAAAATCAGCTTGAGAAGTACCAGACATCACTGGACTGTGAATTCCACCTGCTGTTTCCAAAAAAAAATACGCACCACCGTCACGACTTTTCTTGATACAATCCAGCATGTATTGTTTGGTTTTCAATAGTACTTTGTCATCGGAAGGAGGCTAAATATTTAAGAAGATTAGTCATATTATATTAGAAATACATATATATATATATATATATATATATATAAAGTCTTTCTAATTAAATACCTTGTCAGTAGCAATATGAGGACTAACAGGATCTGGATATGCATAAAGTGTTTGGCTTTGTAAATTAGAAGGATTGAATGTTTTGACGTGTCTATATATATATATATAAAATGGTATTTAATATTAATAACAATGAATATAATATTATATATATATATATATATTACCTTTCATCACTATCTACAGGGTAACCAGTTTGTATAGGTTTGAGATAAAACAGTTGGTGATCGTTTTTCCTGGAGGAAGCAACTTCAGCTGCTGCACGGCATAGACCAGTGGCAAATATAGTCTTTCCTACATTTGTATTGGCGGAAAAGATTTGATAAGCTTGAAATGCTCTTGACGGGTGAATGGAAAGAGGCATGTAATAAAATGGGAAGTAGATATAAGTTTAAGAACGCAAAGAAAAAAAATAAATAAATAAATAAAATAAAAAGAAACAAAAGAAATAAAAAATTGGTTGGGGTAAAATGAGAGACTATTATGATTTATTTTCAAGTTCAGATGGAGTGTAGAACTAACATACAAAAAAGTATAATATAAAGAGATAAAATATGATAATCAATGGGAGAAAAAAGCATGATTCTAAACCGATCACTAGCTACATAAACTAACCCAATTTTTCTAAGTTTGTTGGTGATATTTCTTCATTTGTTGTTGTTGTTGTTGTGTGTGTGTTGCATAGTTGAATTGTTCAATATCATAACGAGTTGATGAGTTGTTGTTGGATAGTAAGGAAGTGATGATATCGATGATGATGCTGTAATATATTCTTTCGATATGGAAAAAGAAAAAAAAAAAAAAAGGAATAAAAATAAAAAGGGGAGTTAGTCCACAAAGTATATGTATTTTTTTGGAATTCTTTATGTGACCAAAAAAGGGAAATGACCTTGAATGCAAAAGAAAAAAAGATAATAAAAAGCTGATTTTTTTTTTTTGACAGGTAATATAATTATTAGCGTAAAACCGCACGGATGTTTTTTTTTTTCTTTTAAGTATCCGGGATAAATGTGTGAAAAAGGAGCTATAAACCAATATATGAAAAAAAAATATGTTATTGTTAGGAGAAAACTACTATATTTACAATATTATCACGTTGTTATCACGTTTAATAGAAGAAAATAACTTTTTTCTTTTTTAAAAAAAAAGAAAGAAGAACGAGGTATTGAAATAATAAGAAATTAGGAGACTGGATCATCATCCTTCATTGTCACACTAAACAAAAAAAAAAAAAAAAAAAAAAGCGCCAAAATATTTTTCTCACTGTAAAGCTTTTTTTTCTCGGTTTTTTTCCTTTTTCTTTTCCTTTTTTTTCTTTTTTTTCTTTTTTTTTATTTTCTTTTATTTTTTTATTTATAAAAAAAAAACAAGGTAAATATATATATACATACTAGACCTTAATACTTTTACTTACTGTTATTAACGATATTTTGGTTTAAACCATCACTTTCTAACTACCTTTTTTTTTTTTATAAGCAAAACGGAGATAACAAAAGTTCTTTCTTTCTATCTTTTTTTTTTTTCTTCCTCTGTCTATCAATTATCTAATCTTCTCTCCATTATACTTTTGGTCATTAGGTAAACTTGAAAAAAAAAAGAAAACTGGAAACTTGTCAATATTTGTTTTTATGATATTGGATAGTAGACCATTCTTTATACCGGGGAATTATATTGACATTACTTTTTTTTTTTTTCTTTTCTCTCTCTCTCTCTTTTTAGCTACGCCAATTATTCTTCCAGTAATAAACGGTACCTAAACTCACTTTTTTTTTTTTCTTATGGGTCAACTCTTATCAAATTTTAAAAGTGAGGCTTCTATACCTGACTTTGGGTTTGATATCGAAAGTAAGTCAACAAAGATTATTATAAACACAAATACTTATATTGATTATTATAGATACAACCCCATCCAATGAAGATCGAGAACTTTATGAAGAAATACATACAAAATTAGTAGCTCCTACTCCTCAATTGCTGGAACAATTGAAGAATTATACTCCTTCTGATGCCTTCAAAATCGCTATTGAAAATGCTACACCAGAAAATGAAGAAAAAGCTTGGCAAATGGTTTTACCTACTGTAGAAATGTTAAATGCTTTTTATCAATATGCCTCCGAACTGCGTAAGTTTTTTTTTCATTTCATATATATATATATATTCTTTTGTCATGATTCATTCTTTTTTTTTTTTTTTTTTAAATTAAAATTAGAGGTCAGTCTTCCGAAATTATTATCAGTCTTATGTAAAGATAATCACTTTGATCAACATCCTGGATTAACCAAATTATTAGCGGAAATCTTGGACTTTGTATTTGATTTTGATTATTGGAAAATTCGAACACCAACATTATTAAATAATTTTGCTTATTATCGACGACTTTTAGCAGGTGGACGATATCATCCATCACCCATTACAGTAAAAACAAATGATCACAACGTATCCGATTTACGATCAGCCATGCAAGAAGATGATCAAGCACACAAAATCACCATGTTCTTGGCTCCACCTACTCCCATGTTCACCACTGTCATTGATACTATCACCAACTATGTCAACAAACAAGGTTTACAACGTAGTGTAACTGATTGTTTAGTAGCATTATGGGCTGCTTGTGTACAAGGTCTTTCCAATAAAAAAAAGTAAGATCATCTACTATAATTCATACATTGGACTCATTCTCCTTATTTATAGACCTTTGGATGATCCAACCACTTCTACTTATTTAAAATCTATGGTGGCATCTATTATTTTATATGATCATATCGATTCTCAAGGTGCTTATTCGAAACAATCATGTATCAACGTAAGTCTTTCGTTTTAGAAAAAAAAAAAAAAAAGAGAGAGAAAATAATAACAGATTTATGAATTAACAATTTTCATTTCATAGATGAAAACTTCCATCAAATTGATCCAAACCACTCCCGATCTACCTGAAGAATCATCAGCCGAAAACCTGTTATCTGCATTGCGATACAATTCAAAACATCTTAAAGATGATACGACACCCAAAAGTATCAAATTTCTACTCCTTTCTTCCTGATGGACATCCCCCCAAAAAAGATTTTTCTTCTCCTACTTTGTTTATTTATACCCTATTTCTCTCTCTCTCTTTTTTTATCGTTTTACTTTTTTTTTTCCCTTTATATCTTGTATCTTTGTCTCTTCTTCTTCTCCTTCTTTTTTTTTTTCTTTTTTTTTTTATGATCATCATCAAAATTATAATAAAAAAAACAATGCACCCTTTATTTCTTTTTTAGTCTATGGGCCACTTCATTCCGCTATTTTTCCTTTTCAGGTCATTTGTCCGTGTGTCCTTCTCTCTCTGTCTTTTTTTTTTTTTTTTTTTTTTTTTTTTTCTCACACCCAGTCCAATGGATATCAAGGAACAATTCAAGCAGACAAGTATCAAATTGGATACTATATTGGAAACAATGAACTGGGATAGAAATGAATTACGACAGTGGATCAAGGTAAATATAAAGTAAACCAGGTGGAAAAGGAATACAATTGTTTTTTTTTTTTTATTATTAGGATCAACAGACTCTTAGACCTTGTCCTATTCAACCTCATCGACATTCTATCCCTGTCTCTTCCGTCCAGCGACATGCAAAGAATTGTTTTTTGAAACATGGAGGATTATATCAGCGTATCAATGAAATCGAACCTTCAAAGTTGCCGCCACCTCACTGATAAAAATAAAACAAAAAGAACTAATCAGCCAATGGATACTCGTTGGAATACACACTTGGAATGACTAAAAAAAAAAAAAACAAGATCAAGCTTGACAGGAATTCCTCTTCATCTCTCTTTCTCTTTCTCTCTCTCTCTCTCTCTCTCTCTTTGTTTTTTTTTTTTATCTTACTCATCATGACTTTGTTTTATGTCCTCCTCCCCATGTTTATACCCTTTCCACAAGTTATTAAAATATACCCCCATCATTTTTTTAATATTTGTACGCTATCAGTATAACTTCCCAATGAATAAAACTATAAAATATTGACTATTAGACAATATATGTATGTATATTTGACGGTATGGATGATAAGGATGCTGATTTATTGAATAATAATAATAAAGAAAAAAAAAAAGAATACACTAAGCTATTGACTAGGAATCTATTTGCGTACAATCGAGAATGCGCCATCACCAAAGTACTTTTCATTTGCTTTCTTGGTTCGTTCCGCAGCCGCCGTTGGATCAATAAGTTCAATGCCTTGTACTGGTGTAAATGATAGTGAAGACGCCAATCCAGATGTTTGAAGTCCAGAAGTAGTATTGTTGTATGATTTGAGCTTGGGTGCTTTAACTGTATATAAATAAAATAAAATGTCTTTAATTTCCTAAAATTGATTTTTTTTTATATATATTTCTTCTTTATATTACCTTTGTTTCTTTGATCTGCAGCTGATGCTCTGATTTTCCCAATTTGTTTTGCTGCCATACCAAGTCCTTCAGTTTCATCACCATATCCAACTTCTTCTTCTTGTTCACCAAATGTCATACGATTTCGTGCAGCGCGTAATTCTGTCATGGCATAAGCTTCCTTCTGTCGTCGAACTCTATATAAACCATTCAACAACGAAATATCAATATCTGATCATAATCCATTTCTCTATTCTTTTTTTTTTTTTTTTTTTTACCTCTTGCCACCTCTTCGTTTCTTGGGTCCTTCATCTGGTACTGGTAAGGCTTTAACGTTCTTGCTTGGTGGAGGTTCTTGCAATTTTTCCAACTTCTGATCTATATCTTCCCGCATTTTTCTACCAAGTTCACCTAAAAAAAATATTTATAGAATTTAGCATGAGCAATCATTCTTTTTTTTTTTTTTTTTTATTATCCTTAATTACCACTCGTTGATGCTCGACTTTGATCAATTCTTCCAGCCAAAGCAGCCTTTCCCGAAATAATCTTTGTCGCTTTTCGTCGTAAATCTTGAGGCATAGATAATACCAAAGGAGATTGTGCAATGAATCCACCACCATGAGGATTTGCCGTTGCTACCGAGAAGCCCATAGCAACTTTACGATTGTTTCCAAGTACCTGTACATTACATCCTGGGATCTTGCAGAATTCTCTCAATCCACCAGCTGCAGAAAGCAATTGAGCCGCTGTAGCACTTCCTACTACATGAGACAAGTTGGGAGCAATGATTGTCATTCTAGAGGCAACATAGTTGATGATCTTCTTTCGAGCATCGTCAAGTGCCAATGCCATATCGCAAGCCTCCTCTGTTCGCTTCCATTCTTCATCCGTTAATAGTCGTCCGTTGGTTGTTGTTGCTGTCACTGTTACCACCATAATCGTCGCTGAAGGTAAGATGTTGCGTAAATCAATGTTCGTAATGTCAGCTTCGTTGCCAATCTTTTTGACAGTTCGTGCATAATCCAAAGGATTCAGTACAAGTGATTCTAATTCTGGAAACTTTGTAGCATAATGATCTCGAATGAACTATATATATATATATATATATATATATATAAATAAAAGAAAAAGAAAAAGGTTAGTCTTTTCTTTGAAATCCAGTACAGGTTCTACAGTACCTTGTGGATGGTTTGCATTTCATTATCTATTTCCGCAGTCATGCTATTTGCTTGAATGATCAACCTATATTCTTCGTCTTCTTCTGAAGAACCTGTGACTCTTGGAGTTGTATCTTTATCTTGAGATTCAAAGTAATCGATACGCTTTATTTCCAAGAGAACATATATAATAGAAAGAAGTATAAAGTCAGTATTCTTCAAAACTTTTTATTTTAATTCTCTTTATATTTCAAACTACTTACCGACAATACATGTTGTACTTGTTTACTATATAAGAATTTGCAAACTTTTCGAATATTGTGAGGATCCTCGATAGAATTATCTGTTGAAGGTTGTTGTTCTTGTTGTTTGCTATCTCGACTGTTGCTGGTATCTATATTATTTTGGTCCACATCCATTTCATCATCGTAATGTTGAGCTTGTTCCAGTTCTTCATGATCAGAAGTTTGTTCATCACCAGAATCGGAAAAATCAAGATCGGCAGCTAATTCATCAGCTAGTGAAGACATTTCTTTTTTTTTAATGTGAAAAGAAAGAGAAATTGAATGAAAAGAAAGAAGGGAGGGATTTTTTATTTCTAAACTTCCTGCTTGCCTGTTTTCGGAGTAGCTCAACAGAAAATCCAAACCGGCGTCACGCTCTTAACTATAAAAAAAAAAGGATGGGCGGAAGAACAAATCCTGCATTTCAACCCATCTTTTCTTTTATCTCTTTACTATTTTTTTTTTTTTTTTTTTTTGACTTCTATATTCATATTATGGAAGAGGAAGGGCAACAAGAGTCAGAACACCGAATCCATTGTTCATATCGTATCCTTATTGGTCCATGGATGGGAAAAGCACCCACTTTTCTTCATGTTAGTCAAGACTCTCACGCAAAGTCAAGTTCATTTCTCCCTTCTAAAGTTGGGCCCACGCAGACTTCCCAAGTGACAAGCACTGGTATTAACATTAGACCTGAGTATGTCAAATAAAATATACTTCATATTTTTTTTTTTGGAAAACTTTTTTTACTGACTTTTCTTGTTCTCTCTCTCTCTCTCTCTCTCTCTTTGTTTTCTAGTTTGACAGCAATTCAAACACCCGTCAAAAAAGATACGACTGGACCGACACAGAAGAGTACAGATAATATCTCAACTCGTAGAAGTTATAGTGATGTCATGACTGGAGAAGAAAGTTATATAACAGCACGTTCTTATTTTTTGGAACGGCAACAACAAAAGAACAGTGATAATGACGAAGAACAAAATGAATCATTCCTTTCTCAAATTCGAGCGTCCGGCTCTGTCACCTCCGACTCTTCTGCAGATACCATTCGACCTTCGCAATTCACCACCACATCAAAAACATTAGATACAGTGACAAACAAGTACTTGATATCAAACGACGATCCCCTTACCAAGAAATCACCGAATAGTTTGCCAACTAATACCATTACTGCTCACCAAGATAATGAAGTTGATATTAACAACATGTACGTAAATGACACAAATAACGGTAATAATGAATATCCGAGCATGGGTATTGGAAAGTCACTTAGGAAGAGTATCACGCGGAAAATGAAGCAAGCAAAAAACGACAGGGATGGACAACAACAGCGTCAAACACAGAACAAGTCTCTTCTTTGGCGTCAATCGGGACCCGTCTTCGTACCAGTGTTACCGCATCATGTTACGTCTAATAGGGACAATGGTACTATTTACAACAAGGATACAGTGATCAAACATGATGTACTATTATGTACTCGGATGATCCATGGTGCCAATGATCCTGCTACATACAATAAGAAACAATCTCATCATCTCAAACGACAAGATAAATGGAGGCAATTAGAAGTCATTTTAACACCAGCAGCATTGGAATGTTATGACTCTACTGTAAGTATAAAAAAAAAAAAAAAAAAAAAAAAAAAGAGATGAAAAACTATAACTGAACTTTTTTTTTTTTTATGATAGGGTCTGATGTGGCCTCATCGGAAACTGCAATACAGAATACCATTGGACAATATATTGGATCGTAAACTCTCATTATCCCTATTATCTTCATTGGATTATACCTTTTGCCTACAATATACACCAAAAAATGCAACATCCAGTTTTTCTGCCATATTTCGTGCCCGATCGATCACATTAAGTCAAGAATGGTATATAGCTATCTATCGATTACTTCCCGTTGGTGCAAGAAAAGCTTTTCCTCGTGAATGTGAAGTTTATATTCCCTCTGTCAACCTTCGTGTGCATCTTCCATTAAGGAGACATCAATCAGAACAGCAAGAACGTGACGATTCCAGGTATCAGATAAATATGGATCAAGTAATGGATGCTTTAATCGACTTATTGGCAAAAGATCCTGTTTGGGTGACTTATTGGGGACAACAAGCACGTCGGTCGCATTTATCGTTATGTTGGACTCAAAGGGATCGTGCCGAATGGATTTTTTGGAAAAATGCTATCGATAGAAGCCGACGTACTGATACCGTGATATGTCCTCAGATCATCGAAAAGGTAAAAAGTAGAATACAGATTAAACCAAAACAGATTTGGAACTGACGTTTTTTTTTTTTTTTTTTTTTTTTTTTTTTTTTTTTTGGGTATAGACACATCAACTAGAATTACGACCCGTTCAACACACACCTCACAGTGTTGTTTTAGGTGAAAACGTGACTCTGCAGGTAAACTTTTGGATGATAATAAGAAAACTTGATGAAACATATTAATCAATTCTTTTTTTTTTCTGTCATGTATACTATAGGAACCACCACCTTTTGAAGGATTTTTGACCAGAGTGACAGATTTCGAAGGCCATCTCATCAAACCAAGTTCATGGACAAGGAAGCGGTACTACTTTTCAACATTCAACAGATTTCTTTTTATGACACCTATCAATAAAGTCAAACCACCCAATCAAAACACACTTGTTGATCCAGCTATATTGAAGATCAATATTCACCGTAACAAGGACAATGAACATTACAGAATATTACAATCCCATTTTGCTGATCGAATCAAACGAGAAGACTGTGTTACGTTGGTGACCCCATTTGCTAACGACGAGCATAGCCTTACTCAATCTTGGCAGCAAGATGAACTGCGACGACGGATGGATTTGATTATGGATTCAACAGGGTACATCAACATGACCGAAGTTTCTCATGTACAGCGATCTTTCAGTGATTATTCCCCGGCGGAACTTGCTCTCCATCGACAACAGCAACAACAAAATCATCATAATGGCTATACTTCATATGGGAGTCTCAACTCAAGTCTGGCGACATCGTCCACCTCACCTATGCTGGAACATAGTGGTGAACCCTTCGATTCGTCTTCATCCTTCTTACCAACATCACAATATCAAAATCCTCATCGTAATAGCTTATGGTCTAGACAACAATCTTGTATTGAACTTGTTATGGAGAATGGGCTTGTTTTGAAATTCGAGGTAAATTTTGAAAAAAAAGGAAAATAGAAGATGACTCACTAGATTTTTTTTTTTTTTTATAATTTAAAAGGCACCGTCTAGTGATCTTTGTGATCAATGGATACTTTGTCTGTCTGATCTTGTAGTGTATGCCAAAGCCCGACAAGAAGCTGATCGTGATGCCCATAGCCATGCAGTATTTACTTCACCATGTGACTCCAATGTTGGCAAGAAACAAGAATGTAGTGGTACTTCTGTTATTGATAATTTGTCTCTTTACCATTCTGACCGACTGGAGAATTCAAAACAAACTTTTGTCGATACACGAATATGGAGTATATGTCTATTTGACCAATGTCGAGAAACTGCGGTAATTTTCTAAAGAAGAAGAAAAGAAAAATGGAGCTTGAGTCAATCCGCTTATCATGATTTTTTTTTTTTTTTTTTTGTAGAAATCAGGTATCATGTACATCCAATCCAAGGGTGTATTTAGTCAAAAACAATTCATCTTGACAATAGATGGACGACTGCATTACTACAACATCTATAAGCGATCAGGTGACGACGGCAAACCCATAGTGACAGGTAGACATGAAAAAAAGGGCACTTTTGATATGGCAAATGCGTATGTATATTCTGGTGTGGCGTCTTGTTTGGACTCAAAAGCTGACCAGCTGGATCGACCAGCTCGACTTTTTGACAACGGTATGGTGACAAACGACTCAAATGAAGACTGTTTTTTGACAATCTGGATCCCCAAACGACGACGCATCTTCTCTCCCCAGCGCCAACGTATCATATATTATGACAATGCTCACAGGTTCAATTCATCAGGCACCAGGTGGTTGTTCTTTACCCAAAGTCGACAAGAAAAAGAGGAATGGGTTTGGGCAATCAGTGTCATTCAAGAAGCACTCTTACGAGAGGCACTCAAGCATCGATCTCATCTATCTTCCTCAACATCTTCTTCTGCATCAAACTCTTAGTTTAATTTAGTGATTCCTTTTTTTTTTATGAATAAAAAGAAACGTATATATTTTCTTTTTCTATTTTTTTTTTTTATGAATGCTGAACTCTTGACTTGAATCTAATGTATAAATATATATGCGTGTATATGTGTGGAGATAATGGCAGATACATTCCTCTGTTTTTTTGTTTATGTCAATCCATCTATCATGCATGGACAGAGTCATTTGAAATCCCGTCAAACAAATGCACGGACCATGGTACAATAAACGAACATTAATGAAAAAAAAAAAAAGAATAGTGCATGATATAACAATTTTTTTTTTTTTAATTTTTATTGTTTCCAAGAGTGAAAAATATAATAATATAAAAACATATCTAGTCTAATTGGGTAAAATGTATTCAGCCGTCAACTCTTGATCCTTGTCTATATCTTGAAGTGCGACCACGGTGAGATGGTTACTATTGTCCATGAAAACGAGTTTGACATTTGGTTGTGTTGCAGATTGTCCAATATATGTTGAGATCTTGTAAAGTGCGGTACCGACTATCTTTTGATTCTTCAAGGAAGGAAGTATCCGATATTTTTCATCCAAAGCCATCTATTCAAGACAAAACGTAGACTAAGCATTTGTCCATGTCACTTTTTTTTTTCTTTTCTTTTTACCTGATCATCGTCATGATGAACTTCAATGGAAGGATCTGGGATAGGATAAGCATTGTAGATCAATTTGCCCTTCAACATCAGGTAAATATCATCCGTCAAGAATTGGCCAATACCGGGTACTTTGTTTGTTAAAACATCCTTGATTAGTGAGATTTCAAGTTGTGTGTTTTCTGTAGGGACTGCTTCTAGATAACGCATTCGTTCCATGTGATCCCAAGATGAATAATGTTGCCGTTGTTGATCAGGTTGTTTGGCTTCCATTTCTTCTGCCACCATGCTTGACAAGAAACGAGTAATCATTTGGGGATATTTGAGTTCGTATTTGGAACAATAATCATCAAAGGCGGCTTCTTTGGTGCTTGAGCTATACTTGTTGTTAGTACACATAAATTGATGAAATTTTGTCAATCCTTGTCGTTCACATTCAATGCTACAAAAAACAGTGTTGGTACAATTGCTGCAGCTGATCGATCTGTCCTTTCCATCCATTCGTTTCAAGCAGTAATGACAATATTCACCCTAGATGTATCACTAATGTTAATTAAAATTAAAAAAAAAAATTCAATAGGAGAACATTTACCTCTAATGAAGGATAAAGGGTAGAGATAAAAGGTTGTTCAGTATAAATGACATCACCGGCTTTTATATTCTTGTCAGCAACTAATCCACGTCGTAGAGTTTGTCTCTTCGGGTCATCCATTTTATCGATAGAAGGTAATTCCATCAACTTGACATGAGTATTTTTAGGTGGGAATTGATCATAGAATCCATTTTGAATCTTCTTTTGCTATAACAAAAAAAAAACAAAAAAAAACAAAAGATAAAAAAAAAAAATAGAATTGATCATGTGGTGATATTTGGTATATTACTTACTTCAAGGCTCATGATACTAATGATGATTTGAAATATGGCATCCGGTACAGTCTTCTGATAGATCATGATCAAATCTAGCGGTTTTGGGTACACCTTTAGAGCACGATAGAAGGGAAGGACACTTTCATGATAATATGCTTCACCTATTATTTAATCATAAAGTAAAAAAAAAAAAAAAAAAAAAAAGAATAATAAGAAGATAATTATTATAATTATTATTATTATTTTTTTTTTTTTAAAAAAAGAGAAGATAATACCTTTTGCAGCCAGAGATTCACCCAAAGATATCTGGTTCATAAAGTATACTTCTTTTTCTTCTGCTAAGGTAGGGAATTCGTCTTGAGCTACTTGGTCTAATACCTTTTGAATAGTCGCGAATGCTTCCTCTTTTTGATTCTTGTTTGCTTTTTTGATTTCTCTCTTTCTTTCCCGTTCTAATAAAGAAAAAAAGAGATGTTTGTTTTTTGAGTTAATTCCATGCTCTCTTGTTATTATTATCATTGTCAATACTTTGTTGTTTTCGATAATGAGGATCATTTCGTCGTTTATAATCATAATATACAATGTAACTGAGTCCAGAGACAACTACAATACCAGTAGCTACTAATCCAATAGTATAAGGTCTCATTATAAATAATAGTGAATAATAATTACAAAAAAAAAAAAAAAAAAGAAAAAAGAAAAAGAAATGAAAAATTTGAGACTCAATCATTTTTCCATTTTCCCCAGAAAAAGAAAAAAGCCCTTTTTAGGTTTCTTTACCATTTTTGAAAACGATTCCTTCTCTTTGAAATAAAATAGTTTTTTTTTCTTCGTACTACTTAATCTTGCCGTATATTCTATTTGTTGTATACAAATGAATGTTTTTATTTCAACTCTTTTAATCATCGGTCCACAGCTCTTTTATGGTAGGCCGGACAAGAAAAAAAAAAAAAAACTTGTTACACCACTCAGGTACAATAATTCACAATCACTATTTTGAAAAAAGAGTAGTACAATAAGTAAACAAAATTAAAAGAAGAGAATAAAAGAGTACCATGTAAAAGGTTTTATTTAATAATAATAATAAAAATAAAAATAAAAATAAAAAAAAGAGATATATACATTCGTAATGAAACCAAAGGAGAATGACTACGATAGGGAATAAAATAATGAAGAAAAAGAAACTAATAATCATCTTTATCATATACAGATGGAGAGTTTTCACCAGTAGATACTTGCTTGTTTGCGGATGATTTCCTTGCCAATGCCTTCTTTTCTTTTGCTTCTTGTTTTGCCAATCTTTCTTGTTCCTTGATTTCTTCACGTAGTTTGCGCTTTTGTTCCTTTTCTGCCACTTTTTGCTTCTTTTCTTCCATCTTTAATCGTCGTTTTTCCGCCCTTTCTGCTTTTTCCGCCTTGACTTCTTCAGTTGGTCGTTTACGTTTGCTTTTCTTGTCATTAGCACCCGTACCATAACCATCTTTGCCTGTTTTCTTTCGTCCACCACCAGGCGCACAGAGGCCTAAATGTACAGGAGGATATCGAGGTCGCCTATTGCCACGTACAGGAGAAAACTCGTCTTCAATCAGTCGTCCATTTTCAGCTTCATTGATCTTCTTTTCAAAGTAAGGCTGAAGTAATCCAATCACTTGCTTGCTTGTTGTCACTGGTGTAAATGGTGGTCGTGGTGGATACTTATATTGAGGTTCTACAGTAAAATAGATTAGAATGTTAAGTACCTAAGTGTAGTTTTATTGGTCTTTAGTTTTTTTTTTTTTATTGGTTTTACCTTTCATTGTTCTGCCATTCGTTCAATAATAATATTAATAATAATAATAGTAATAATAAAAAGTTAGTCTTCATCATCCAAATTAAATTATTTTCCCTTATTTTTTTTTATTGATACATACGGAGAAGTTGTCAGATCTTTTTCATTATTGCGTCCATGCCATAAACGAGAAGGAATCTACGAAGAATAGAAAAATATTAAACAAGAATATATACAGATTGAATCAATCACTTACCGTCAATGAATGTAGATTATACTCTTGATCAAGTCCAAGATCTTTGAATCCAAAATAATCTTCGCCAAGATCTTCACCGAACATACCACTAATAATAATAAAAGGTAGCAACATATTATATCATCATGTTTTGTTAATCATTCTTTTAATGTAAACAAAAACAAAAACTTACGTAATAAACGTATCCTCATTTTGTAATATGGATTCTTCATTCTTCACTGTTGGTTCAGGTGGTCCCTATAATAAATATAATGCAAAGATAAATCAATTCTAACTCCTTCTCCTAGAGAAACTTACCGATAGTAAATCTTGATATGATGTTTGTAATCGTCGATAAACATCATCCAATCGATTCCCGTACCTTTCAACATCATCATGAATATAGTTTTCTAATTCAGATAATTCCAATATACCATTTTCATAAAGAGTATGCATAAGAATTTCCTATATTAAATTTCCAATTAGATATTGTTTAGTAAAAAGAATAAAAAAAAAAAAAAACGTAAACCATTATATAAAATATATATTCTTATTACCTCTACAGTCATCTGTTTTCCATAATCATCACAGTAAGATCGTAGAGTTTTCCCAATGTTGGTAATATAATCAGTCGCCACATCAGTCAGTACCCGTAATGCATTTTGATTTGCCCCCTCAAAGCCAGCATGAGCGAGTAGTTTCGAATTGGATCGTATTAAAAGATCTTGAGCCGATGATTCTGTTACCAATAAAGGAGGCAAACGAGTATTTGATGGTGAAGTCACTTGAAGTGATGTGGAGACTGGCGTTGGAGGATAAGATGATGATGATGATGATGATGATGAGAAAAGAGTTGGTGGTGAATTTGCATCTCCTTCAGGAGTTGATGAATATTTCGAATCCCATGGTCGTGTAGGTCCAACAGGATCTGGTACCAAAGATGAAGTCAACGTGGATATCTATGTGAAGGTAAAAAAAAAAAAAAAAAAAAAAAAAAAAGGAAGTACATACTGTATTAGTGAGATATCATTTCACCACTTCATCATCTTGATTTGAATTTCTTACCGTTACATTGTTTCGTATAGCTGCACATTTAGCGTGCATTCGTCGTATTTGTCGAAGACAGCGAATATTTCGATCAATCATATTATTCAGTCCATGGTTAGGAAACAAAGTTTCTGGGTAAGCATCCAAAGATATATCAGTAAACCTAAAAAAAAAAAAGAAATATCATTAGTTTTTTTTTTTTTTCTATTTATTTATTTACTTATTTTGCTTACCCTTTTGATTCTGGCATAGTATCAAAACAAGAATCTATGGAATCCTTTCTTGATAATGTACGACGGCTACTAAGTTCTTTGTATTCTGGAGGCACATTACCAATTTCAGGGATACCAGCAGTGACAATGTATTCAGGTAAAAACAGGTCGGTCCGAGTAGCATCATCTTCGTCAGCATGCTTGGGTTTTGAGATCTTTCTTGAAAAGAAGGCATCCAGGATTTCATCATCACTTGAGTCCAAATCCACATCATCGTCATAGATACTAGCATCACCAGGTCGTCGTCGATCTGTCCATTGTACCAAGTTCTTTTCTGTACATCGCACCAATTTTCGTACCAACTTGATATTGTCATGAGCGTTTTCCATCATCGCGAATCTTTCCATATCAAATGCAGATCTTATTAAAGCTTGTTGTTCACCAAATGGTTCAAGATCTTTTTCCAATATTTCTTTGGTACGCTCTGCTCTTGTCTTTTTTGTCACTTCGTGCCAGACTTGCTCCCGTAGTTCTCCCCAGTCGGCATCAAGATCACCATTCAATTCCTTTTCTTGTTCAGAATCCATTGTACCATTGCCATTCTGATTTTTCAGCTGTTTCCCGCCATACGTCCTATGTGCATCGTAAACATCAGGTGTATATCCACGGTCGTTATCACCAGCTAGAGATTCTGTCGTTGCTCCTGGTGCTGCACTAGATCCTCTTGTCAATGATCGTTCTCTTGATCCTCTATCACCTTCATTAGTTGATATGTCATCCTTCTGCACTGATGTCATTGGCTGTTTATGTTTTCCAGAGGTCTAGTAAAAATAATAGGATAGAATAAATTTCCATGACTCTATACCCAAATTATTGTTATTATTATTATTATTATGAGTATTATTACCTTTCCAGATACATGTCGTTTTTCATCTTGATCTTCATCACTAGCTTCATCACCTTCATCTTCTTGCTCACCATCGGATTTATCTTTGATAATCAAATTTGGCACTCTAGTCAATAGTCGGTCAGTTTTCCTTCGCATAGCTGTGGCATGTTTTCGATATTCGCTCGCTGGGTTGGTATTGTAAATAAGACAGTTGTCATATATCAGATAAAGATCATCCGCAAATTCTTGTTTTGTTTTGTATTCTAATTGTTTCAATTTCTTTGACACTGTTCCAAGATCCATTGGTCGTTTGATCACTATACAAGGTGAAAGATTTATAAATCAGTTGTATGTCATCATTTTTTTTTTTTTTTTTTTTTTTTTTGTATCCACTGAATAATTACCATCCAAGTAATCAGGTGCTTCACGTTTGCTAACCTTGTTTAAAAAAGGAGTCGAATGGGTCTATAAAAGATATTCGTTATTATTTTTCTTTTTCTCACTTGCATCACCTTTTTTTTTTTTCCTTACAGTATAATTTTTCAATTCCAACAACACTTTTTCCATTGCTTCATAGAGTTCTTCTTGTCCTTGTTTTTCATCGTTGGCCCATTTTGATCGATGAGGTTTGAAATCTGAAAGTAGATTTTGTAGCTCCCTATCCGTCAATCCCATATTTCCTCGATTGGCAGCTATTCCCTTGAGCAGATACTATCATTGGTTTACCCATCAGCAAATAATAATAATAATAATAATAAATAATAAATGATGGTTAATTATTATATACCTATCTAATTCTATCTTCATCATGTAATTTACCTTGAGAGTAAAATTTCCATCAGCATTAAACATAGATAACTGTACAATAATTAAATTCATATAAAATATCGTAAGTAAATTTCCTACTAACAAAAATCATGTTTTAAGTTATTATGATTTACCGAATGATCTTCAGCATTTTCCTTTTCTTCTTCTTCATTCAAGGCTTCCTGGGCTTCGTATTCCTAAATAAATAGACAAAAAAAAATACTCAACATCGACAGATAGTGCCTCCAATTTGTTGTTCGACAGTTACCTTCAGTTTTTGTTGTTCAATCATAACAGCTTGATCAGTTTCGAGAGTGTGATAAACATCCAAAATGGGTATTTTGTCAGGATCAGCCATGGCTAATATAGTAGATGTTTGCTTATCCGCTAATATCATACAAGTAACAAAAAAAAAAGATGAGTATAAAGATATAAAGTCGATCTGATATAGTGTGTCATTTACCTGCTGTAGTACTGTCTTCATGATCACCATTTTGTGTGGTGGAAGATAGTGGTTGTTGCTGTTGTTGTTGTTGCTGCTGCTGCTGCTGCTGCTGATCAGTGAGATCATCAAGAGGTATATCGCCACGAGGTTGCTGCAGTTGCCGAGATTGAAGTTCTTGAAGTTGCTGTTTCATTTGGTCCTGACGTTTTTGTAATAGATCCATGGTAGCTTCTCTCACTTTATCAGGATCTGGAATCGGTAATGAGCGTGCTTTGATGGAAAGTTTTTTGATATCGAGTTTCATATGTTGGCAGCATGGATGGTCGGAATGATAAAGATGAGGAATAAACCGTTCAAATAAAAGGGATCGTACGCGAAAGGCAGAAGTTTCTATTTCAGAAAGTAAGAAAGGACCATTGTTGTTATTGTTGTTATGTATATCGAATTCGATTGAAGAGTTAGATTTGTCGAAAGAAGAGACAAAAGAAGAAGAAGAAGAGATGAAAGCAATCCATTTGGGTATTGTTTCCGTGGCAGCTTCAAAACATTGTACTTCGGCTGGTGTCAAATAGGTTGTATGAATATCGTTGTCGATAATGTCTTTGGCGAGAACATACGATAACTGAGGCCATGGTATGCCATTCCATTGGTTCAACATGTATAATACAAAGAACGTACTCGAGCAAGGAGAATAGAATATAAAGTAAACTAGTTCAAGTAAGTGTAAAAAAAAAAAAAAAAAAAATAAGGTAGAAAAGATCAATACCAAATATTAAAAAAGAAAAAAAATAGTGAGAGAGAGAAAAAAGAAAAAAAAGAGTCGCAAATTGAAAAATAGCAACCAACTATAGAATGGGTGACGGTTGATTTTGATTGGCTAGATTCATGCAGTTCACTTGTCTCTTTTTATGGTGCCTAACTTATAATTTTTCTTTTTTTTTTTTCTTTTCCAGTTTCTTTTTTCTTTCTATTTTTTTTTCTACAAAATATGTCATACATATCTTCACTAAACTTATTGAATACGGACTCACCTGCTCCTCATACGGAGGATTCATTCTCTGACGACCTTTCTCTTTGGGCCAATGCTCAATTTACGTTTGACAGTACTCCTGGTTCAGCTCTTCTTGAAGACGACAAGAAGGAAGAAAAAGAAGGACTATGTACTTCCTTGATTGATTTTACCATGGGTAATATATAATATATATACGATCATCTAAGTTAGACTGATAATATAATTTTTATTTCCCCTCTACATAGAAAATCATCAACAACGGCAACAACAATCAACACTTACTAATTCAAGTTACATGTCTTCTGACCTTTTCTTGGCCCAACTTCAACAACAACAACAACAATCTCAGTTGGGTTTGCCTCGAATTGCTCCTGCCATTGTGGATGAACATCAACGACAATACATGAATTCGACATCGATGAATCATCATACCAATAAAGGTAACAAACGATCTTTCAATGATAAGAACAACAGCAGCAACAAGGATGACTCAAACCAGCAATTATCTGCTGAAGATGACAAACGCCGCCGCAATACTGCTGCCTCCGCTCGATTCCGCCAAAAAAAGAAGCTACGTGAAAAGGCATTGGAACAACAATCAAAAGAAATGTCCTCTAAATGTGAAACTTTAGAAAAACGTGTACGTGAATTGGAATTGGAAGCCAAATGGTTACGTGCTCTTGTTGTGGAAAAGAATCCTGCTCTGCTACCAGATACATCATCTTCCTCCTCTTCTTCTTCTTCATCCGGTGCCCAAGAATCCGCTACAACAGCTTCATCCTCTTCCTCTTCAGACGCTTCTACCTCTTGATTCTTCTCATTTGATACTTAGTATATGATTTATTAGTATAGGCAACTTCTTTTCTTTGTCTTTTTTTTTTTTTTTTACACATGTCTTCTTATTCTATTGTTACTCTATTTATATGTATGAAACTATGACAATGATATTTATCAATAAAATGCTATGTATCCTTATCATTCTCTCTGGGAAAATCTGTATTATCAAAACGACTGTAGTTTTTTTTTTTCTGCCTGAATCCCGCAATTGGTAGGTTTTCTGATTGTCGTGATTTTTGTGTAAGATTTCGTGATTTGACCCAATCATGAATTTGATTGGCGGAGTGTGGGATACCCATCAAAAGAAGGATGCAGATCTCCCTCGCCGCAGTGTACCTTTCCACATGCAGCAACTTTATCTTTTTTCGGAACACACTGACTTGAGTATTGACAAATCCTTCTTTTTTTTTTTTTTTTTGACTTGATGAACGGGAATTTTTTTTTAACATACATGTCAACTATATTATATGAGAAAAAAAGGGAAAATAGGGATATACCAAAATGTGATTACTTATATTACAATTTGCATAGTAGATTTTTATTCCATTATCAATAAAGAGGAACAACCATGCGTGTATCCAATTATGTCATCCACTAGTGCATAAATTCTGCCAACCCATGACTACATCATTCGCGTATCACCATAATTACAAAAAAAAAAAAAAAAAAATCGTAAAGTCCAAAGGTATTTGGGATGTTTATTATAGTCATTATATATAAAGAGTAGAGTGTAAAAAAAAATAAAATAGAAGACAAGATACATGTATTTATGATGAAATGAAATGTCAGAGTAGATGAACAAAGTATAACTAAAAGTAGAACAAAAAAAGAAAAAAAAATAAAAATGAAATAAAATAAAAGCAAAAAACTATGGTACAAAAAAGAGATGGGAAATAGGTGACAAAGGAAATCAATAAGTAAATACGAAGGAATACGATTTATGTATGAGGACTAAACTATGATACATCGCCAGTAAGGATTCTAGTTCTTGTCCGCTCCAATTAGCGTCATACCGGTTCCAAAACCCATTTTTCTCTCTTCATCCGGAATTGTTGCTGTTGTTGCTGCTGTTGTTGAGGTGCTAAAGGTCTTGGTATTGATGACATCGCTGGAGGCGGTTGTAATAAACAGTTTTCTGTCAAAGGATGATTCATTGTTGTCATTGTTGCCAAGTGGAATGGAATGTTGTGATTGTTCTGATCTTGTTGAAGCCGTAAACCATCCAATTCGTCATGAGAATTAGCGTCAACTGTAATGCTGTTCAATTGATTGATGATAGTATTTGCTGTTGTACCAGTCGTAATCGAGTTCACGTTTGTTGCCAAAATTTCCACATTATTTTCGTTTGTTCCTTTCACAGTAGTCATTGGCGTTGGTGTCATTATTTCTTCGTTGCTGCTATTGCTGCTGCTACTGCTATCGCTGCTATTGCTGCTTTTGATGCTATTGCTATTGTTGTGATTGTTGTTGTTGTGATCGTTATTGTTGTTGTGATCGTTATTGTTGTTGTGATCGTTATTGTTGTTGTGATTGTTATTGTTGTTGTGATTGTTATTGTTGTTGTGATTGTTATTGTTGTTGTGATTGTTATTGTTGTGATTGTGATTGTTATTGTTGTGATTGTTATTGTTGTGATTGTTATTGTTGTGATTGTTATTGTTGTGATTGTTATTGTTGTGATTGTTATTGTTGTGATTGTTATTGTTGTGATTGTTATTGTTGTGATTGTTATTGTTGTGATTGTTATTGTTGTGATTGTTATTGTTGTGATTGTTGTTGTGATTGTTGTGATTGTTGTTGTTGTTGTGATTGTTGTTGTTGTTGTGATTGTTGTTGTTGTTGTGATTGTTGTTGTTGTTGTGATTGTTGTTGTTACTATGGCTACTATTACCACTATTACTGCTACTATCGTTATTGTTGATATCACTACTTTTGTCCAGAATTGGCGATACAGAAATGGCAGCAGCATGACCCGATGATCCCTTAGCGTCCCGTAAATGATATTGTAACCCATTGATATTCTTGTACTTCTTGGAACAGTTCATCACAGCGCATCGGTAAGGTCTCTCGATTCCAGTCAGATCAGGATGTGCATTTCGCATATGATAGAATAATCCACTTGATTGACTGAACGTTTCAAAGCACCCAGGTATATCGCAACCATACGGATTCAAATGGCCAAGAGGTTCTGCTACTTCATAGTCGTGTTGTTGTCGATCATGATTCATTGAATGGAATGTTGTATTCATAATAGTAGTATTCGAAGACGAGGATGACGATGTCGTTGTACTTTGAGGGCGAGATGTCGTATGAATGGATTGTTGTTGAAAGAGTGAAGATAGCGGTGAAATTGCAATAGTTGATCCTATAGAATTATCAGCAGATGTTGATCCAGGTAATGATATTGATGCTGTGTTGAAAGTATTTGATGAGAATGATGATGGAGAGATATCCGATCTGGTATTTCCTGAAACGCTGATAGTAGTAGCTGTTGCTGATATGTTGGGATGCTGACTTGAATGACTTTGATGATGATGGTGAAATCGTGTATTAATTGTATCATCAGGTCCCATGTTGATGAATGATGCCATAGATCCAGCATTGTCTAACGTCGATTCATTCTGTTTTGTTGTATCGATATTGTTATTCTTGTGTCCACCGATTGTTATAATACCAGATGATGATGATGATGATGATTTCGTCAGAGATTTTTTGTCTTTCACCTTTTGCATCTGAGACATCCGTTGTAATTTTCGCCATCGATTTCTACAATGTAATCCAGGTCTTCCATCAAAAAATTGAGCGATCTTTTGCCATTGTGATCCATACTCCCGATACTTTTCCGCCAGTCGTATATCTTCCTCCGTTGTCCAGTCAGATCGATCTATTGTAGGATCCAAGCTTTCCCTCCATCGTTTCGCACATTGATCATCCGTACGTCCTTCCAGTCTATCTGCAATCTTGCTCCATTGATTAGGGAACTTCTTGACACCTTCTCGTAAGAGTTGATCTTCTTCTTCGGTCCAGGCACCTTTTCGTAATGACGGATCCAGGGAGTGAAACCATCTTTTTCTACAGTTTTTGTTAGTTCGTCCAGGTACACAGGCTGCGATCTTGGCCCATTTTTCAGTGTTGTAACCATAAAACTGTACCGCCAATCGTAAAACATTATCTTCTTCAGGTGTCCACGTAGCTCGTTCACCAAGTCCACGTTTCATACGCTGCTTTTTCAATGCTGGTAAATCATCAGATTTTAAAACTGAAGTCGTTGACTGAGAAATGGAAGTGGATGGTTGTGGAATAGCCAATGATGAATTAAGTGGTGGTAATGTGGTTGGTAAATCAGGTACTGAAAGCACAGGACTATGTACAATGCTGCTAATATCAACATGATGATAAAGTTGTGGTATTGAATTTTGAAGGGAGAAAGTGGCGTCCGTAATATCTTGCTGATCCAACTAATTATTTTATGAAACAAACAAATAAGAGATGAATTAGTATGTATATATATACTATTATGGTATAGAATTTCACAATGATGACAATAATAATAATAATAAATAAATAAACATATCATTTACCGATTGAAAGGCACTAAATTGAGTCAATGAAGAATTGTGGTCCTCTATACTTGGTCTGTGTTGATCGGTATGGCTGATGGCTATACTATTACTTGTTCCAATATCGTTGTTGCTATTGTTATTATTATTATCATTATTATTACTGCTGTTGGTGTTGTTGCTACTACTGTTGTTGGTATCATGGTGGAATCCGTTAAACTGATGAGGTTCCTAGTTGGAAAGTAAAAAAAAAAAAAAAAAAAAAAAAAAGGTAGTTTAGTTATATATAACTACTTTGACATGGAAAAAGAAAGAAGATAAATGTTGTCATACGGTTTCTTCCGATATGCTTATCAGTTTATGTTAGTTTTTACCTGTAGTTGTAACTGAGGAGGTAAAGTCGAGTGTTGAGATAAGAAGGCGAATGCAGGTAAAGCAGCAGTTGAATGAACATCAGTCAAAGAGCTATCGTATTCATAACTGTTTTCTCCATAAGGTTGCAAGTGCTTGATTTCATTTGATTGAGAATGTTGTTGTTGGTGTTGTTGTTGTTGCTGGGATTGTCCATAGCTATAAAGATGTTCAAACTAGGTCACATATAAATAAAAAGGAAAAGTACTTTAGTAGTCAAAATATGAAGTCTATTTTATGAACTTACCATTGAATGGCTGTAACCGAGTAATCAAAGTCGGATTAGCTAAACAAGAGGAATAAACGTTTGCTAAAAAGAGCTTTGAAAAAAAACAGGTCAATAAGAGAGAAGGGTGGTCTAAGGTTCTAACAAAGGGAAAGAGGAGATGCAGAGAAAAAAAAAAAAAAAAAAAAAAAAAAAAGAAAGCTTGAGACTCAGTCTTTCCATGTGACTTACTACGCATCGTCCAATAAAAAGCTTTGATTCATCTTTTTGGTAAAGGAAAAAGATCAGCTCATTAAAGAAGGATATCGATGCAAAGTAAGATTATTGCATGCGTAGAAAAATATAGCAGAAGAACGATATGATTGTGATGAAAAAGGAAAAACAAGAGGCAATTGACGAAGTAGATTTATCGAGTCAATTTATTGAATGTGTGAAAAAAAAATATCAAGGTATCATCTCATCCTATGGTGTAGGCAGAGAGATTATAGTATTATAGTAGTATAGTATATTATATACTCTGTTTGCCTTAACGATCCTGATTAATTGATAATCATTTATTGCTCTATAGAAAGCCAGTGTCAATACATTTCTTTTTCTCTCATTTTCACTTACCGCTCAACTGGAATTTTTGATTGTCTTCCCCAGATGGTTCATTTTTGTTTTGGGATCATAAAAAGAGAAATGCAAAATGTTTTTTTAGAACTACCAATCAGAGCAATGTATCTTTTTTAAGATGGAAAAATCTTCCTCCTTACTGGGAAGTTACTTGAAATAGAAAGTGAGACCATATACCTTAAGGACAAAATCAGGCTCTGGCCAAAAGAGAAAGTTAAAACTTGTAGTATATTTAAAAGAATGATATAAAATAGAAATAATAACGTACAATGTATATCCAAAACAGTACTTTATTTTTCATACAAAAAAAAAAAAAAGGGAGTCACCAAAGCTAGTCAGGTATATACAATACATGATATATATAGATATAAAAGGTTATTCAACATAGATATATTTTTTGGACACCAAATTTTTGAATTCGACATAAGGCACATTCCTTCAGCTTGTGGGCACAATCAAGACAGTAAACTATAATGAAAAAAAAAAAAAAAATGTTAGTAAGAAAAAATAAATGGATTTCCTTCATTTTTACCAGAGTGAAAACAAGGGACTAAAGCACAATCCACATTTGCAGAATAACAAACTTGACATTTGGGTTCCGGATGTAATGTCTTTTGCCTAGATTCCATCACCAGACTGGTATTTTCTTCGATAAGGTTTTCCAATGATTCCTCCATATATGATAATTGTTGTTGATTATGTTGTCTTAAAGCGATTTCTGTATTCATATTCTCTTGTAAAAGTTGTTTTTCCTTTTCGATCCCTGTCTTCAAATGCTGTATTTCCTGTTCCATGATATCATGTTTCCGTTGTAGTTGTACCATTTGATGACATCTTTCTGCATCTTGATTTTTTAACTTTTCAACCATTGTTGCCTGTTCGTTAATATGGTTCCACATGCGCTCTATTTCGGATCGGTTGTTAATCAGATCATCGATATATCGTGAAGAGCTGTCAAATAGTCGTGATTCCACACCATCCAATTTGTGTTGTTGTTTCATAAGATCGCTTCGTCCAAGTGTTGTTGGTGTAAACTGACTGTGGCAAGATATAGCATTCAAATACTCCGTTTCTGCACATTTCGATTCAACCGATGATTGTTTTTCCTCCAATACATCATCTTCATCTTGCCCTAGTTGTAATGCCGTATATTTGCTTTCCAGTCCATAGTCATGTTGTTTCATCAATCCCTTCCTTCTGACTGATATCGGTACAAATTGGTTGTTGTTATAAGTGATCATATCCAGTAATGATGAACGCATACTTGTTGTCGAGTCAGCTGTCAGAAAATATGGTAATGTCGTTTGGTATAACATATGATTATTGGTTTCCTTCTTGTTTTTATCTCTGTCATTGGAAGATTGTAGGTATGGTGATGATACTTGGTTTATGCTTTTCATGTGGTCGAAAAGATCATTGTGTTGAGTTTCATAACAAAGATCATTGCTGTTGATATCACTTTCATCATCGGTATTTTTGTCATCCTTTTCGTCACAAGTACTGCTATCATATTGGCCTTTGATTGATTCGTATTTTTTCAAAGAATTCAAATTTGTTCCTTCCAGTGTCATCAAAAGGTGCATACTATGTTGTTCAGGGAGATATTCCGGTCGTTGATCGTGCTGTTGGTCGATATAATGTTTTATTTCGTGTACAGATGTATCTTCGGTTTGTTGATCGGTGAGAATAGGTGATTTCTTTTGTCGAATACGAGAATTTGCATCTTCAAGTAATTGTTGACTGTGTCGAGGATATTTGGGTTTGTTGAAAGCCAATTCTTCCGCCCAGAGAAACCAGCTACATTTTGGTCTAGCACCATCGATGTAAAAATTCGGACAGACAAAACATAATCGACGTTCAAGTTTGTAATCACATTCAGAGAGTATCACACGTCTATTACAAAAACATCTTGGAGCACGAGGACTTGATTTTTTGAAGATATTGGATACACGGAAGGCCACACAAAAAGTAAAATTGAAATAAGGACAGGTTGCTAATTCAGTATCATTATAGTCGACTGGTTTCTTGTTCTTTGCTGCTTCTCCCATTCTTTTCCATGCCTTTTGGTGAATATGGAAACCGCAAATGTGAGTTGTAGTCTGTTGAGAGCCAGTATTGGTCAAGTTGGTACTAGGTAAAGATGAGTTTGTTGAAGTTGAAGATATAAAGTGACAATCGTATACAACACCAAATTCCTTGCTTTCAGATCGAAAAGCTGGTTTTTGACAGAAACAATAAGGAGGATCAGAAAATAATTTCCGTTCATTTGAGTCTTGTTCTAAATTGTGATTGAATGAAGATTTGTTGGTTATAAAGGCATTGACAGAGGGTTGACCACGTATATTTTGGTTAGAGGAATAATCAGTTGAGGAAGATTGAGATGGTGACATCACAGGAGTGTTTGGTTGCTTAGAGGATGTTGGTTCCTTTTCAATCTGTTTCGAAGTCTTTACCGCCCAATTATGCCATTGAGCTGCAGCAGGATCAATTTGAGGACTTTGTGTGGCAAACCTCTCGTCAATTGATTGTTTCCGTATCATGATAATAGAATGTAAATAAGTATGAAGAAATATGAAGAAGTATAAAAAAGGTATTGAAAAAGGGTGTCAAATAAAAAAGAAAAGAAAAAAAAAAAAATCAAAAAAAAAGGATGTTAAATTTTTGCGCTTATCACCAAAAAAAGAGAGAGAATCGTCACAAATTTGGGCATTTTACTCGCTCTCTTTTTCTCGCTCTTTCTTTTTCTCTTTTTTCAAACTCGTTTTTTTTTTTTTTTTTTTTGATATATATATATATATATAAATATATATATTTTATCACTTTTCAGCCTTATTGTGGTTCTGATGTCCTTTCATGGTTCCCCTCCCTCTTCTCCATCCGCTGGCAAAAGCTTGGATACCAATATGCTAGCATGTGAAGTCAAGCGAACTGAAAAGATCAACTGGACACCCTATCTTCGGGAATACATCTCTAACGGTTATGCTGAACATCCTGACTTGTATACTGACGATTTTCGACTATTGGACGAACTTCGCAATGACTGTATTTATTTGGAATACAATGAAAAAGCTCTAAATAGACTCATAAAGTAAGTAATAACTTGTGTGCTCTCAAAACCATTCTCATGTTTGGTTTTGTATCTTGTCTAGATATTATGCTCAACTGGTATTTATTGGTTCCAAATTTCCAATTGATGTAAGTTCTTTCTATGATATATATATATATATACTTTCAAGGCTTATTACAGCAGTACTAACTATCCTTTTTGTTTTTTCAAGTTGGGTATAGAGTTTCCGTGGTATTTGACATTTTCGACAGAAACAAGCAAACCAAGTAAATTATAAGATAAATAGAGATGTTGACTATAAACTAATATGCCTTCTATTGCTTTGTTTTTGAATAGTATCACATAGAAATATGAATTATGAAAAAGCATGTATTCTCTATTCCATTGGTTCAATGTACAGTCAACTAGGGACCTCTCAAAATCGACTCTCAGCTGAAGGTGTAAAACGAGCTTGCAATCATTTCAAGGTATTAAAAAAAAAAAAAGATACATAACATGATCAATAATAATCACTATTATTCTTCCTCTTCTTTTATATTAGAGCGCAGCTGGTTGTTTTAAGCATCTTCAAGACCTTGTTATACCCGAAATGCGAATATCACCTACCATCGACATGTCTTCCTATGCTTTGAAAACTCTTATTAACCTGATGTTAGCTCAAGCTCAAGAATGTGTATGGCAAAAAGCAGCAATGGATCAACTTCGTGATGGGACAATTGCAAGACTGGCTATCAAGATAGCCAATTTTTATGACGCAGCATATGAATTGGCTTCAAATTCATCTATTCAAAATGTTTTCCCTCGTCATTGGCTTACACACATGCAAATCAAAGCTCTACATTTCAACGCTGCTGCTCACTATCGCAAGTCCTGTGAGTGCATCTCCAAAAACAAATACGGTGAAGAAATCGCTCGATTACAACTGGCTAATGGATATGTGAAACGTGCTTTTGATATGCTAAGATCCTTCTTTTCCAACAATTCTCCTGGCATTAGCAATGCAGTCATCAATGATCTCAAATCTCTACAACAAATCATTCAAACAAACTTGGCCCGTGCAGTGAAGGATAATGATGTGATATATCTTGAACAAATCCCATCTCCATCAGCATTACCACCTATCCAACAATTTGAGATGGTTCAACCTGTTGCACCACCTGATGTGGCTGATCCGGTGTCACTTATGCTTAATAATGAACGACGATCTGATGCTTTACCTCATCCTGTAATTGGTCTGCCTTTATTTCAAAAATTGGTGCCTTTCGCGGTACATCAAGCCGCAAGTGTCTATGTGGATCGCAAGGAACGTATTATCAAGGAAGATATCATTGGAAGACTGGATGAATTAACTGAAGTGTTTGACAGGTATGATTGAATCAGAAGTGGAGGCAATGAGTGACCAATTTTTTTTTTATTTTTATATATCTATATAGTACATTACAATCATTGAATTTATCGGCTACACTTTTCGCTTCAGCAGATGATCAGAAGAAGGGATTACCGGAATTACTTTTACAGCAAGCAGCAGATATTAGAAATGAAGGTGGCTCCAAGGTGTTATATGAAGCATGGCAAAATGTACAACTCTCTTGCTCCAAAAATGCCGATATTCTAGAAGATGCTTTCAATGCTTTGGATGATGAACATGAATTAGATGAAGAGCTTCGACAGAAGTTTGGTGAAAGTAAAAAAAAAAAAAAAAAAAAAAAAAAAAGGAAATAATGAAAAGAAATATTTTTCATCTCACCTTATATACATATATATTTATATATATTTATATATATATTTATAGGATGGAATCGTCCCTCTTCTCAGGCGCTTACAGAACAACTAGTTGCACAAGGACAAAAACACCGAATGACACTTTTATCTGCCCAAAAGGCGGATGATATCGTACGAAAGAAACTAGACAAATGGGCCAAGATCATTGATGTACTAATGCTAAGTGATGAGGAACTGGAACGATCTGTACCAAACGATGACGGAGAAGAACAAGATGGTAGTGGTGGAAAACGGCAAGCTCTGGTAAAACGACTCAAAGAATTGGTGATGGTTATGCAAGAACATCGTAAGATACGCAAGGTCATCAAAGATCAAGCTAAACGGACATCGAATGCGGATGATATCTCCCCTGCTTTACTCAAGAAGGCTGCTGAATTGACTGCCAAATCGCCAGTAATCAAGATTGATCCTGCTCAGTTTGAAGATCTCTTTGTGGAACAGTTGCGAAAATATGACTCATTTTTGATGAAGGTGGATGAAGAGGATGAAAAGCAAGGTCAACTTTTACGTGAAATGGCGGATACTCATAGGAACTACTTGGCCAGTAGACCGGATGGATCAATGTCATCAAGAAGGGAAAAAGCATTACAAAACTTGAATCAAGCCTATGCTATGTACAAGGAAGTCAAAATCAATCTCGCGGAAGGTGCAAAGGTAAAAAGATTCTTGGAGAAAAAAGTACGCATTATGACATCAGGATCTAATTTTTTTTTAATATTATTATCATTCTAGTTTTATGAAGATCATGCCAAAGGATTGATGAATTTCCGTGACAATTGTCGAGATTATTGTTATATGCGAAAGGCTGAATCCAATGAAATCATCAAGTAAGTGTATGGGACAATGGGTTTGAGCATTTTCAACTGACTTTTTTTTTTTTTTTTTTTTTTTTTTTGGTTTAATCTTTGATAGCAAAATGTCACAGAGTTTTACCAATATGTCAATCAACAACGAAGGTGTTTCCAATCCTATGGAAAATGGTGATGGTTCAAGACGATGGCGATAGTAAGTTTTCTGGATTTATACCCCTTTATCGCTGATGACTCGATCCTTTACATTTTCAATCACGTACAAATATTATCTATTCTTCCGAATATCCTTTACTTCGAATTCCTTTTTTATTTTCCCATTTGTATTTCTACTTTTCTCCCATATATCTATTCACATATCTTCATTATGAAAGAGATCCCCACAATAGTTCGTAAGATCTGTAGCTATTCTATTATACTCTTTTTATTTTATTTTTATTTTATATATTCCCAGTCGAAATAAAGCATTGTTATTTTATCATTATATGATGAGAAGTATATGTCCTAAGTTTTTGGAGAGGCAAATCTATGATGATTACAACAGGAGGTTCTTTCTTCCTTGTTTTTCTATCTATCGATTTTTTTTTTTTTTTGTAGCAATAATGAATATTAAAAAACCATGCAGTACATTTTTTTTTCGGCATTGTAAAGAGAAGTCATACGGGATGATGTCGACAAGTATTGAATCAGAGAAGGAATAATTATCCTCTTGTATGTGTGGATGAATCAAGTGATCTTTATTATTGAATTGTTTTATGAAAGAAGTGTAGATTTACATTGTTGTCATTCATCATCATCAGTTAATATCATTACTTAATCATCTGATCAATGTTCATCCCTCATCCATCACTATTTAATATCACAAAAAAGAAACAAACAAGTATTTTATTTCAAGAATTAGGGTAACAAGACAATAATATAAAAAATAGTAGCAATAAAATAAAGGATATAACTATATTAAAATGTTCATGATCCACAACCTTCATCCATTTCTTGTTCTTCTTGTTTGGTAAGTCTTGATAATGCTGCATTAGCGATTTGTTCTCTTCGTAAAGCTGCTGATTCTATCCCACTACTGGATTTCCCCCCTAATCGATAAGATCCAGCTTGCCAAGTCACCAATCCATCCACTTGATCCTCTTCAGGTTGAAAGTATTCATCATTGGATAATTGATGTCCGCCATGACTTGTCCAATCTAATGCCACTACATCCTTATTCAATTGTCGATTAAGTTTGTGAAAGTTATCATCATGATCACCCCATACCTAGATTCGTTTTTTTTTTTTCAAAGTCAGTGCATGATTAGGTAAAAAAAATAATTATGTGGGACTTACGTTATGAGTCAGTTCATGAAGTAATACTTTACGTATGGAGTCATAATGTCGAAACCCAGAGAGATCGTCTGTACGTAATCGGATAGCAATCAACTGACCAGCGTTGCGATTGTACCCCAAGATAGAAGTTTCAAAAGGTGTCAGTTCTGTCAATTCACCAACAGACCATCGTCGTTGCGTCATGATAGCTTGAATCCCTCGATCGTCCCGTAATCGTTCCAATAATTGTCTAGCTTTCTCTTGTTCCTTAAATTCTGGAAGTACTGTGATGCGATGGAATGTATAATTGATATCTCTTATGGACCGAGGCGTTGAAGATGGTTTTACTCTCGAAATAGGTTGTCGTCGTCGTCGTTGAGCGATATCATTGTCCAGTCGTTGTACTGCGGCCACTTGAGCTTGTTGACTACCCATTAATATAACCTTGGATTGTGCAGTTATGCCTACCATGGCCAAAGTCGCAGCATCGTCTTGAAGCACTTTTCCTTTCCATAATAGTTTTTGGCAATCTTTGATAATACCTGTTTCTTCAGCTAGCCAGGTCTTTACTTGATCAATTGTTGAATCAGTTGTCCACTTGGTCAATGGTATAGTCTTGCCTTTGAAATTGACAATGAAATCAATGGTCGTCATTATCGTTGAATATAAAATGTATTAAAAGTAGAAAAGGAAAAAAAAAAAAAAGAAGTTGAAAAAAAAGGAACCTACTGAGAAGTTTTTGATTTGTCATTTCTGGATTCTTCGAGCAAAAAAAAAAAAAAAAAAAAATGTTAGCATATCATTGGATTCACCGGAGAACTAAAAAAGATGTGGGATCGATTTTTTTTTTTTTTTTTTTTTTTTTGGATTTTACAGCCTAAATTTTCAAATTCCTCAGCCAAACTTTGGCTGTAAAAATAAATCCTCGAGGGGTTATCAGGCAATTTTTCGAAAAATCGATGAAATCTTTTTGGTGTTTAATGCACACTAAACAGCAAGGTAACGCATAAAATGGTATTAGATAATATTAAGCTATTTTTTGGAGAGGAATCTAATGATTATAATTTTATTGAATGATGGTCATAAGGGATGATGATATTGACATTTCATTTTTACTCTAAATCGCGAGCTAAGATATAAATTGTTATTAATACAAGTGAAAGAGAATGATTACATCCATGTTCAATATAAATTTGGTGAGATGATAATCACTTTTGAGTGAATTATAAAAGTATAAATAGGTACATTGTCTACTCGATGTGATGTTACAACATAATACAAAGACATTGAGTCAAATTTCTCGCTTATGGAGAAAGTTAATCAATGAGGCTTGGAAGGAGAAACAGCAGTAATTTTTCATTTAAAGTAAAAAAAAAAAAAAAAAAAAAAAAAAAAGATCATTTTATTGAATTTATTGAATATTCGAATAGCTAAATTATTATCCATACTAATTCAATTGAATTTTCAATGTCAATATTTGGAACGGTGTCAAGTTCAGAGTAAAACCACCATCTTTGTCCGCAGTCAACAAATTGTTAGTATCATCTTCCAAAATATTTGATATTTGAATTGTGTTGATATTCAGAGAACTAAGGAAAAAAAAAAAAAAGAGGGTCAAATATAAATCTGCACGATCCTTGTGATTTTACATACCTTGTAAGAGTACCACGAGATTGACCACCATACGCTTCATAAATTCGAAGAATCACAGTCTTTCCTTGATCTTGATCGTTTTCCGCCAATTTGACGGTATCGATAATAATTCTTCCTGGTGGATCAATAGAAAACAAAGAAGGTGAAAAAGTCTTGGGTCCAGCGTAGTAATTTGTTTGACTATAATGACATTGATAAAAGAAAAAAAATGACTACACAATCATATATGAAATCATCACTGGAACTTACCGATAAGACAAAGGTACATTGAATTCTAAGGCTTTGCGAACAACATCAGATGATTCAAAGTTTCCATTGTGAGGGAAGATGGCATATTTGAACTTATGCCGTCCTATAAAGAGACTGATATTAGCGAAACATGATCTTTTTTTTTTTATTTCCAGTTTGTCAAACTTACCCATATCAGCATTTTCATCAGGTCCTTTGGGAGATCGTAATAACGAGAGACGTTGTGATTTTTCATGAGTAGCGTATCCATATTTGCAATTGTTGAGCAAAGCGACACCGTAGTTAGCGTCAGAGAGATCAGCAAATTTATGCCCACAAACCTAGTGTCCAAAGAAATATAAATCTTAGTAACTGACCAAGCTTATTTCCATCTCCTTTTCTTACTTCAAATCTAGCAGAGTCAAGCGTCGAGTTGTAATGGTTAGGTCTTCGGAGAACACCGTATTGGATATCATAAGTTGCCTATCATATAGATCAAAAAAAAAAAAAAGGAACGGACCATGATGAATACTTTAGGAAATAATAATTGAAACGAAGTACTTACAAAATCAGTGATAATATCCCAATTGAATTCAGTTTTCTATGATTGAAAAATAAAAGAGAATTCATTGATAAGTTTAATAGCATAATGAACTTTGATTCCCTTAACATTTTTCATATTCTTACCAAAAACTGATGTTTCTCATGCCATTCCACAGCGCTGTCAAATTCGATAAATGTACCAAGGCATGTCAAACTAATATTTTGTTCAATCCAGCTGTCCTTGGAAATATCTTGTCTAAACGTCAGTTCAGCACGGAGTGGACCATTAGCAGAAATCTAATGAAAAGAAGACTGAGTGTTCTAAAGACATAAAAAAAAGGGAGTGGTGTATGTTTACCTTCAAAGATTCATTGTTTTCCAATATCTTGTATTTTTGCAAGTGATATATTTCAACTAGTTGTTTCAACAAATATAACGAGGTTATTATGTTGAATGTAACCTGAACAAAAAAAAAAAAAAAAAAAAAAAAAAAAAAAAAAAAAAAAAAAAAAAAAAAAAAAAAAAAAAAAAAAAAAAAAAAAAAAACTCATCAAGAAATCACTTACCGTCCCAGGCATCCCAATAAGTAGGCTATACAATAGGAAAGACAGAATAAAACGAGTAAGACCAAAAGTTAGCGTTAGATCGCCCATACTTGATAATACTTTTCTTTTTCTTTTTCATACCACATCTTCATAAAGTTGTAATATATTTCCTTTACTACCGCTTGGAACCAAATTTCCTCTAGAATGAAAATATTAGTAGAATTTCTAATGTATTGACAAACAAATAAAGAATGGAATATCTAGTTACCTGTTTGAATGTTTGTCATACAATTCCAATAATTGACCACGAGAGTTGAAAATACCCTTGATGTGGCTATTTTCCAAAACAAATTCACCTGAATCTTGCTGATATGCTATATCGTATCGAAGAGATTACGAAGAATAGTTAATTAAATATAGTATCATATTGTAAGATGATGATTACCTCGTACTCCTTCATTTGGTTCCACACGTGGAATACTTTGAGAAGGAAAAACAGCAACAGAGAATCCTGGCACACTTTCCACTATGAAATCAAAAGGAGAGAATTTGTTTATCATTTCCAAGGTGATATAAGAAATAATTTACCAATAATATATTCATGTTCATCTTTCCATTGTTGATCAGACCAATGAGTATTCTTTTCTGGCATAGATACAATATCAGAACGCGTCCAAGGGAGAGTATTGAATATAGCAATACCTATGCAACGTATGAAAAATAAAAACAACCAGTTAATAAAAAAAAAAAAAAAAAAAAGAAGAAGAATCATTCATCTTACAATTGCCAGACTGTTTTTTTTCATGACCTTCTTCCCCAAAGAGAATATAATCTTGAGCCTTTCTGCGGAGTGTCAGAGATTCATAAATAACTTCACGATGATACTATGATCAAGGATAAAAAGAAAAAGAAAAACAGGTTCAATTTAGAGATACAATGCAAAAAACTTTGATATCTATATTTATTTACCTTGTGTACATCCACGTAGGCAAGGCCAATACCAGACCCAGGTAAACAATCATGAAATTGATTCAAACAAATGAGTTTCCATAGCCTATTGATATCTTTTGTAGGATAGCTATAAGATGACTGTTTGCTGATGTTATTGGAATGAAATAGTCGAGCTGCAGTTGATAAGAATTCTACATCTCTAATCAGTACTTCACATTGTCGATTCCCTCGCTTCACCAAAGCCTGTGTTGTATAAGTACCACGATGGAATTCCAGATATAGTTCACCTTTGTAAGCTTGCAGTTTTTGGCTATTGTCTTCTACATTTTTAAAAAAGTCAATCACTTGTCCAGGTTTGCACGAAGGTAAACCATCCTTAATATAAAAAAGAAAACGATGTAAACATATTAATAATTCTTACTTTTTTTTTTTCCTGAAATACAGGTAGCATGTTCATCTTACCACATTTTTCATTCTTTTCAATCGTTCTAAATGTTCAGGAGCTGGACCACCTCCACCATCACCATTCCTATTGAATAACAAAAAATCAAGATAAAAAAAAAAAAAAAAAGAGAAATGTCACTTTAGAAGAGAACTTACCCATAAACAAGCAGACTACGATTGGAATATTCGATATCATGATGGTTGGTAGTACTAAAATAATAACAACAAGATAATTAAAGATTTTTAATGGTATTATAGTGACATCCTTGTACCTACCATTTATATAGTTCGCTGGGAGTCACCATTGCATTGTATCTGTATTGGTTATAAATAAGTTAGTAAGTTATTTGCTTCCTTTTAACAAATTTCACGACATCTTATCTTACGTATCTGCAGGAGTGAGATGTGCCAATACACGAGAGTTATCAATACCAGTCCACCAAAACGTTGTCAATGGGAATTTGTTGATATTGTTCCATGATAATTTTTGGGTAAAGAAATAATCACAACCGGATTGTTTGAGTACTTGAGGCAACTACATCCATCCATTAAAAAGAATCATAAGTAACTATTCAAATAACTATTACACTAACCGGATTTTTTTTTTTTTTTTTTTTTTTTTTTTACCTGGCCAGAGTATCCTACAAAAAAAATGACAAGATGTATTAACATTTGTTGATTTTGTTGACTTTCTTTTTTTTTTGTTTCTTACCAAAAGAATCAGGAAGCCAGAAAACATTTGTTCTTTTACCAAATTTCTTTTCAAAGTATGTCTGTCCCAGTAACATTTGTCGACATAATGATTCTCCAGAAGGCATATTTGTATCTACAAAATAAAGTAAAGAATGAGATTCCTGTCCAATATCTTGAAAAAAAAAAACTTAACCATGTTCCACCCAGCTCTATCGTGTGGTAGGTGAAAAAAAAATAATGAGTATGATGGAATGAATTAGAGATAGATTAAAGAGTATAGCTTACACCACCAATGATTTCCCATCTACCAAGTTTTTCTTGTTCTTGGATTGCACGAAAGAGATCAGGATAAAGTTCTTCCAACCATTCGTATTGTTGAACCTAATTGATAAAAGTAAAAATAAGGAATGGATATATATATATATATATATATTATTATTATTATTTTTTCTAATGTGTTTACCTGAGATGCAGTAAAGACGTAATCAGGGTAACGATTAATTAAATCTAATTGACTTGACCAAGAGCGAGCCACTTTTCGTTTTGTTTCATCAAAAGGCCATAACCAAGCAGTATCAATATGACAATGTCCAATAGCTGTAATTTGATGTTCACCTTCTCCATTGGATGCTGCAAGGAATTCCGAACTCAAATTTAGACATTTATCAATAGAAGTTGGATCATTAATGATAAATTGGTTGATGATTTCATTCAATACCCATACAGCTTGTCGAGCGCGCGATGAATCTTGATTTGTATCATATGCGATCCCTTGAATAATTCTAATAAACAATAATTTAGTTAGTATATTTTGATTTAATCGTTTTTTTTTTTTTTTCACATACACTAGATCATAATATAATTTTTGGATAGAATAAGCAGGTATAACCAGATCAGCTTTCTTGATGTTGAAATATCGATTTGGATCAGGTACCATAGCATCATTGTCTCCAACACCAAACATACCATTGCAAGCAGCTTCAATGTAAAAGGAGAATTCTTGATCTTTTGTTGCATTTTGAGTTAAAATATATTCTTGTCGAGCTTGGTCATCACCTCCAGTTAAGCCTTGCAAAGGAATACCATCAGTAGACCACACAAGACCTTCAGAATCCATATCCCATTGAAATACAACAGGATGATCCACCATTACTTCTGGAATAATAATATCCACTTTAAACCAATGAGTAGACCAACTAGGACCAAAAGAGCGTTGATGTTGTTGAATAGGTTCAAATTTTTGCCCAATAGCTTCCTATATTAATAAATCATGATAATCATTATAAATAGTTCTATTTTTTTTTTTTTTGAATGATATATGTTACCTTGAAGGTGATTCGCTAATATAAAGAAAATAGATAAAGGTTAAAATAATAAAATAATGATAAATTGGATTAGAGTACTTACCTTCAAGTCAGGTACATCATATACACTTAATTTTACATATGGATCTCCAGAGTGTCGTTCAGTCCATAAACCTTGACGAATACCCATACTATAGAATTGTCCATTAGGAGCCAGGAAGTTATTGATACGTGATTGCTCAATGTTCTTTGGTATTTTCGGAGTGATATCAACGGAAGGTTTCAAAGTCGCCATTTTTCTTAAAAATAACCAAAAAATAAAATAAAATAAAATAGAATAAAACAAAAAAGAAAAAAAAAAAGAAAAGAAAACAAAAGAAAAGAAAGAAAGAACTGAATAATATACGGTAAATAAATATGAGTATTGAGAAATGCAAAGTCTTTAAACGATGAGGATTGAAAGCCAGCCCAAACGCGCAGGATTTCCCATTGGTGTAACTGATGACCTTCAATTAAGCACTAGGGAAATTTTATTTTCCTTTAAATTGTTGATTGTACGAAAGAAATACGTTCACATGCTTTATAGCTTTAGAGAACCCATTCATAGTACTGTATGATTTTAAGAGCAAAATGTAAACATAATCAGGTATTTTATCATTATATTACAGAAAAAAAAAACATCACTTTATCATCAGGGTAAAGTATAAACTTATGATTAAATCTATCTCATACTTTAACATTATCTTACAGAAAAAAAAAAAACATCATTTTGATGGTAACTTTCATCAGTCACAGTATATATTAATCCACATGATGGATGGATGTATGAATGAATAAATTCTTTTTGACTTCATTAAACATGAAACAAGAAAAAGAAGGAAGGTTATGTACTTTACACTAATATTTCCAAACTGGGACCGGTGCTACCACAACCTGTACTAGCTGATTCAAAAGTGATGATGATTCGTATATTTTCATTTTCATTTTCAATTTTATAATAATAATAAAAAAAAAGGGTGGAGGAAGCAGAGTAGTCTGAATCGAGTTACTGACAATGTCAGCCTTATGTATTGCACTGCATAGTACTAACACCCGCAAGCATTTTCAATAGAAAAGAGATAAAAAGCACATATCCTCCGAATACAACCAGTATTCATCTTTGGATTTTACTTCTATCCCCACCCATATAGTTTCTGGTAACTTGCACTCGTAATAAACGAGTTACTCGGTAAGAGCAAGATGGCTTTACTCAGACCTTCCCACGGGTAATAATGATGAAAGAAAGAAATGAATCTTACTTTCCGTGTGTTTGCCCGTACACATAAGCTTGCTACCTCCACTCAGTTTAATAAAAAAAAAAAAAAAAAGAAAAGAAAATAGTAAATATTTTTTTTTTTATAGATGAACAGTGGATAGAAAATTTTTTTAACGTTAGAGTTTTACATAGTCACAGATGTTTTAGATCTCCACTTCACACTCAAAAACACTTAAAAGGTCTGACTGCCAACCATTTTTTCCTTTTTTTTTTTTTTTTTTCTTTATTCGATCAAATAACAATACTTGTGACTGGAGTGTTTGATATCGTTGTTTTACTATAATAATGATTTAGCTCTATCTGTCACATCAGATTAAAGAAACCAATGTATCTACCGAGTGATTCATTTCAATTGTTCACAAGGCTCGTAATTTTGGTTAACAATGATAATATTATTTATAATGAAAAATGAAAATGATTATTGACTAAACATATCCTTTATTTATTTCTTTTGTGTTATAAATAAAATCTGAGCCTAAATCATTGAGTGGCAGATTTCAATATGTACGATATATATCAATCATCATCATTATTATCTACCATATATGTACGATATATATCAATCATCATCATTATTATCTACCATCACATATCATTCAATCATTCTTTTCAAAACTTCTTATTTTTATTTTATTTGGGATATATATATATAGAGGGAATAATTTAATGATCTGATCATAATATATCTATCCTAGGTAAACTTATTCTATGTGTCGATTGAATATCACCAAGAGCATCCACGTATTGTATCATCAAAGTATTATCTAGAGAGTTGCCCAAATGAATATCGATGCCTGATATTCTATACAAGGTAGAAAAGGAAGAGCCTATGAAAATATCATTGTCATCAGATAATGTTGAGCACGAGAGAAAAACCAAAGTATATTCCGTTTGACGCCATTCTGGTAAAGGACGTTGTTGTTTTTGATCGCTGATTTCATTATTCGCTGATAGACACCAATTGATTGTTCCCCAAAAGCGAACTATTGGATTGCCATTGTTGTCATAATCCAGTTTTTCCCATTGTACATCGGTCCAGCTGAAGCACGGCGTTGATGTAGTGATGATATTATCAGATATTGAATAATCCAATGCTGATGCTTCCCCTATAATACTGACTGATCCAAGACGCACCATATCCAGATCCATTCCTGTTGTATCTGAAACTATTACTTGTTGTTCTTTGTTCGTGTTGAGCACTTTTCTTTTCACGTTGGTCGCGGAATATATAGAAATAATAAAACCAATTTCTTGAATCACCAATGTAGATTTTGCAGACATAGCTAGGGTACAATCAATATCCACTTTCCGAATTATCCATCCATTTATCATAGCTTCTTCCCTTATTTTGATGATAGATAATCCACCAGTATTCAAGGGATGATGTTTGCCGTCGTTTCCTTCATGGTCCAGAACGCTTATGCTTTGAGAGTTGATACCATCTGTTGTAGAATGTCCAAGTAAATGACCGGTCAGGGAATAATTGTATCCATTCGCATCTGGTAGTGATTTGTAAGAATAACAAAGTTGAAATCTTGGACTTTTGATCTTGAGTGATAATTGAAATAATCCAGTAAATGATCTTGCTGCAGGATGATCAAAAGTGCCTGTATGAGAATTGGTAGTTGGACGAGAGCAATGAAGAATAACTGAGCTTCCACCAATATACGCGTCGTTTCCATCAAGGGTTGCAAGGTCAAACATAGAACCTGGGATACTTTGATGAGATAGATGAGACCATGGTCCAGTCAATAGTTTCTATGAATGAAAAAAAAAAATTCGTTCTATTCAGTATATGCCTCATTTTTTTTTTCTGTCTATACCTTGCCATGAAAATAAAAGTTTTTCCCACAACCTTGATCAAAAGAGGTAAAGAACCAAGTCATACTAGGGGGTCGCCTTATAGTTTGTCCAGTACCAGGATGATATTCCTTTGGAGAATCAGTTATATCTTCAAATTCAGAAGGAAAATCAGTAACTGGTCCACCTTTCCAGAAGAGCCTATCCAATGTATCAAAATTTTGTTGTTCAAAATGTTCATACGTCCATGCTGTCCCAAACAATGCAGACGATGTACCACTTTTCATAGAAGTTGTCACACCCTAAATAAAAGAAAGAAAGAATGAAATGTTTTATAAACAAATTAAGCTAGATATTTTTTTTTTACCTTGTAAGAATTGAAGCCACCACCACCAAATGTTCCTCTACCCCATACATCTGTTCCAAAATAAATATTTGCAGGATTCCGATCTAGAGTAACAAAAGATGTGAAAAAAAAGGTATTATTCTTTTTTTTTATTATTATTACAGTATTATTATTACCTATTGTGGTTGCCAATTTGGAAGCTTCTTTCGGATAGTTTTCCTAAATAATCATTCTGTCAATTCCAACTTCAAATTCCTTATTATGCTGATATCATCCATTATATATTATTATTATTATTATTATTACCTTCCAACCATAATTCAAGAATATACCATCGGTGACTTTGAAGAAAGGCAAGTTCTTGTCATTTAACTGGTCCTGCCAATCAAGTTCTCCATCTATAGTAAGACTATCATACCAAAGTAATATCGAATCAGGTATAGCTTGGTGTAATTTTTCCCTAAAATAATCCAGAAAGCTTTTATTGTTCGTGAGTATCAAAAATCAATGGAATTCAATGAGAGAGAGAGAGAAAAAAAAAAGAGGGAGTTAGATCTAGTTTTCTCATATTTTCCACCAAACATGATAAATTTCATAGTATTACCTAAGAAACTGCTGCGTTTTATATTGCGCCGGAGTTGGGAAAGGCATGAATGAACATTCAATGTTCATCAACCAACCATCAAATCCATAATGTTTTGCAATAGCCACTATGATACAAAAAAAAAAAAAAAAAAAAAAAAAAGGAATCGAATAAATTATGTTATTACTTAATAGCATTCCAATATTTCTTTTACCAAGCTTATCGGCAAAATAAGGACTCCATAACCTCATAGGATCGTCATCTTGTTTGCCAATATGTTGAGAACCAAGAGGACCATGAAGTAACTGTTCAAGTTCATGCATTTGATCATTTTCCACAATAAAAGTACCTAGACAAGATATACCATTTCGATGACACGCGTTGATCCAATTGACAGGAGGAATAGTCACTCGTTCATGCGAAAAGCTTGTTGATCAGCATCCAAAATCCAACAGTATCAAAGAAAATGAAAGAATAAAATAAAAGAAGTTAGCTAATAGAATCATATCATTCCCGTATTCACGTTAAACTAATATTAACACTGCTTTTCTTTTTGTTACTTACTAAATAAAGGTGTCCACGTATTGCCAATACTGAACATGATAGATTGTTTCATAGTTGTTGCCTTGAACCCATTCATCTTCCTTGTATCCTCCTACATGGATAATATATATATATATATAATGATGAATAGAAAGGAAATATAATATTTTATGTTATAGTTACCGGCCATATCGTGACAAAGTAAAAGCTTAGAACCAATAGTAGTATCTTTAGGTCGTTTCCTTAACTTGATAGAGGCAATATTCGCATTATCCAACATTTGATTTGGATTCCAGTTTTTCAGTTCTTCCATACTGGATAACGGATGAGATTTGAATAACTTTTCATCGTTAATTTGTTGAAGAGGAAGAGAAGGCATCCCTCTAAAAAAAAAAAAAAAAAAGTGAAAAGGGACGAAAAAGAAAAGAAAGGAAGAAGCGGAGTCCATAAGATCTAAAAATGAAACTTTTTTATTTATTTATGGATAAACTGTACAATAATGACTACAATAAAAAAAAAAAAAAAACTAATATCCACTAATCTATAATTAACGACGTTGATGATGATTATTTCTTGAGAATTTTGATTCCTTTTCCTTTTGATCCAAAAGTTGTTTGCGCCGGAAAGCACCATCTTTGGCAGCACTAGAGATCACCTTGGCAATAAGTTCTACACCACGAATGGAATCATCATTGGCAGGAATAGGATAGGTAACGAGACGAGGATCATAGTCAGTGTCGGTGATGGCGATAACAGGGATTTTATTGAGTTGAGCTTCAGAGATGGCAATTTTATTTTCCAAAGGATTCAATAACACAATTAGATCAGGCTTGTATGTTTTGGGAGGGCGGCCAGGATCTTCTGGATCTGGAGAAGCATGTCGACCTAATACTTGGTGAGCGTTAGTCAATGTACCGGGAATCCACTTGCTAGATACATGATAACCTTCACATTGACGAGCTGCATCAATTGTCAAATCTTGAAATCCAGGTCGAGTTCCCACAAATAAAATGGAGCCTCCACGTAAGGAAATTTCACGAGCTACATTACAAGCTCGTCGAAGATACACCAAAGTATGTTCCAAATTGATAATACTGATACCTTCACGAGTACCGAATATAAAAGGTAGAGTTGCTGGTTCCCATAAACTAGTTGAATGTCCCAAATGGAGTCCTGCAGCAAGTAATTTGGCAATGTTGAGGTTATAAGGTGTGATAGGTTCAGGTGCAATCGTTCGTCGAATAGTTGTACTTTTCAAGCTCTCAGTAGGTGGTACTAAAACATACCAAAAAAAAAAAAATAAGATCAGCTGTCCAAAGAAAAAAAAATAGATTAAGTATATACCTAAATTTTCTACAGAGGTTTCCGTATTACATAAGGATCGTGTTACTGATAAGGATCTTGTACAAACTAAACATTTCAATCATAAAAGGAAAAAATAAAATTAGACTTTTGACAACTTATGATTTTGATGTGAGCCAATCTTATTTTCATGTAAACCAAATAAAAATAATACATACTTAAAGATACTTTGTTCAATTGACGACGTGATACACCATTAAGAGAATGACTGAAAGCTCGAATAAACATGGTTAAGGAAGAAAATAAAAAAAAACAGTGCCTTTTTTTTCAATAGGATGAAAAAAGCATACCAAAAAAAAAAAAAAATAACGGGATTTTAAAGTGACTGAATTCCACTGGTAGGGATAGGGGGGGCTTTCTCTCTCTTTCTTGCAGAGACAAATGGCCGGGTTGGGCTTTCCCAATAGATCTGGGCGGGGCCTAGAGTTACATATTTGAATTTGGAAATGGGCAACTCGATTTCCCGTTCTCTTTTACTAGACACATATCCTTGCAGGTAACGTTGAAGAAATACGTAAAAGAATGAATAAATGCATATATGATAAAAATATAGATATGGAATTAGATGAATGGATAATATCGATTATATGAATGAATGAATCGATGAATGGATGGATGGATGGATGTACATAAAAGGAACGAGGCGAGCATTCATAGGGTGATTTTTATACAATTGAATGTGATATTGACAAACTTCTTTATTTTTAAATTATATAGGGTTAAAACATGGGTGCCTACAAATATCTTGAAGAATTGCAAAGAAAGAAGCAATCTGATGTCCTCCGTTTCTTGCTCCGTGTCCGTTGTTGGGAATACAGGTACACCAATGGAAAAAAAAAGGAAACTTTAGGAAGAAAGGGGATAATTAAGCTCATTATTATTATATATATATTTTTTAATATAGACAATTGAACGTCATCCATCGTGCTTCTCGTCCTTCTCGTCCTGATAAGGCTCGTCGTTTGGGATACAAGGCTAAGCAAGGTTTCGTTATCTACCGTATCCGTGTTCGTCGTGGTGGCCGTAAGCGACCTGTTCACAAGGGTGCTACTTATGGTAAGCCTGTCAACGAAGGTGTGAACCAACTCAAGTATCAACGTTCCCTCCAATCCACTGCTGAAGAACGTGTCGGTCGCAAGTGTGCTAACCTCCGTGTCCTCAACTCTTACTGGATCAACCAAGATGCTACTTACAAGTACTTTGAAGTTATCCTTGTCGATCCTTCCCACAAGGCCATCCGTCGTGATCCCCGTATCAACTGGATCGTCAATGCTGTTCACAAGCGTCGTGAAGCTCGTGGTCTCACTGCCATCGGTAAGAAATCTCGTGGTAAGGGCAAGGGTCATTTGTTCACCAAGACTCGTGGTTCCGGTCGCCATGCCAGCTGGAAGAGACGCAACACTCTCTCTCTCCGTCGTTACCGTTAAATCATTCGTTGAACAGGGTCTTTCTTGGCTCAGTTCTTTTAGTATTAGTTCGTTTTTTATATTTATCAAATAAAAAATATACTTTTGTCTTTTTTTTTTTTTTTTTTTTTGTTAATATCTATTATCAATACTGTATGATGTTTGTCTTAAATTCACCATTTTCTGTAGATCATGAAATCGATGTTTGTCAAATCAATATCATTATTTATTTATGTGCTCGGAATTATGCATGAATTCAAATCAATAACATCCCATCTATCATTATCAATATCATATATCAGAGTCATCCATAGGGATGCCATACAAATCATCATTACCATAGAAAACACTGCATTCATTATGATCCTTCATTCGATCATCATGATGAATACTCCCTCTCCATTCATCACTACAAGCACTACATCCAGTAAAAATCAACAATCGTTTTTTATTTTCTAAATTATGTAATATCAAAAACTAATCTAACTTGTTTGCCAATTTTGCCATGCTTCATAATATGCCTAGATAAAATAAACAAAATAAAAAGGGTATTAGGCGGAGGCTGTATATCATATTTTCTCCTCCTATTCACTATTTTCCTGTTTACCTTATATTCTTCAGTTGTCATATTTCGTTGATCTTCTTCTACGACTTCATCCAATGGTACCATCTTCCCATTCACTAAAAAAAAAAAAAGGTGGAAAAGTTGAAGTATTAGTTGAAATAGGTTTTTTTTTCTTTTTCTGTTTACCTGAAACAAGTGGAATTTCCTCATCGCCTTCAATGAATTCTTCAGTTTCCTCTAATCCATTTTCATCTGTATTTGGTTTTCTTCGTTTGCTATCATTATCATCAAATAAAAGGATTGAATTCAGTCAAGTTGTTTCATATATGCCTATTTATACCGTTCCCTTTTTTTATTTTATTTTATTTTGACTTACCTATCATCATCATTGTCATCTTCTAAATCATAAAGGCGTTTGTTACCTTCGTTGACACCCACTGTTTCAAACTCTTCATCATCCCCATCAAGATCATCATACTGATCAGTAGTCAATTCTTCATCCTGTGCTTGACTAAGTGATTCATAATACTTGGCATAATCTACAATAGATTAAAATCATAACAATATCAGTTATTTTTGAAATAATCTGATAATATGTATAAAAATCATCTTGATTTCACTTACAATCTTCAGTATCAGGATCCATTTCGGTGCCATCAACTTCTTCAAAATGCTCCTCTTCTTCATGATCCAGAACAATAGAAGGCGCATCAGGACCAGTACCACGAATGCTATCTGACACTGTACTCCGTTGATGCCAAATAGGAAGAGCATTTTGTTGTCGTTTTTCTTCTGCTTCTAATTGTTTTGCACGTCTTGCTGCCTCGTTATCCATTTGTAAATCAACAATAATATCCCCTTGACCAGCACCCGTATCCTGCGCCACCGCCAATTCATATGGATCTATTTATCAATAATAATAATAATAATAAATAAATAAATAAATAAATAAATAATATCATTAGAATATGCTTTTAGCTTTTTTTCACGAAGTAAATACTCTTACCAGTGCCATTTCTAGATCCTGTACCGAGATGTTTGAACATATAACTAGATATATATGTAAAAAAAAAAAAAAAAAAGTTCATTGAGTTCATTCATCATTGTTTTCTATATATATATATATATATATTACCCTTGGGGTATGACTATGGCATCGGTTTGCTTGAGTAAAGAGATAATAGGTTGAGATTGTTCACGTAATTTGGCCAATACTTGTTGCCTTTCCTTGACATTTTCGGCATTGTCATTTTCCTTGAGTACTGATTCACACATATCACAATAAAACAATCCATCCATAGGATTGACCAGAGATAAGACATCTAAAGGTGTAAATTGACTATCACATCGTTCACAAATAAAACCTTGATTTTCAGATTCTGTTCGTAAATTGTCCCGTACCACCATTTGCATTTTATACATCTTCCATTTTACAACATCCACAAATTCTTTATAATCCAAATAGTAAAATGTTTTTGGAATAGGTCGTTGATCTTGTTTTCTATTTTCCATTCGTGTACCCCTATTAGCAAAATAGAAAGTTTAGATTAGATCGTTCGTATCTTTTGATATACTTACATTCTAAGTAGTCGATGTTCTCGAAGTTTCCCACAAAGTTTATGGATTTCACGAGCAGTCATTTTAAGTATAGGTACCATATCATCTTCACGAATCCTATGATAAAAGTAAAATATAGATTTAGTTTATATTTGTAAAGAAGGATCTTTTTTTTTAATATTATTTTTACCCATTTGAATTCGGTGGAGCATTATTTAAAATGTCTAGTATAACAATATATTTTGGATCATAAAAAGCACGAGCTACTCTAGATACTAATAATTTTAGGATATCCATAAATAATATAAAATAGATCAATAAAGCAAAAAGAAAAGAAGGAAAAAGAAACAGACAGTAAACTTTTTTTTTTTTGTTCTTTTGAAGACTGCCACTTTAAATTCCGCTCCGGATTTGGTCATGTCAGTAGTTTGAAAATGTAAAAAATCGTCGAATATCTTCTACCAATGTTAATAATGATATAAGTAATTATGATTCTAATCATCATCATAATCATCATCAAAATTCAATTCTATTTTCTTCTAAAATATATAGTTATACTAACGATAATTTTCGTATCGACTATTTTTCTAATCTATACTAAATTTTTATCATAACAAGGTTCTACTCAATCTCATCTACTTGATCCAATGCCACCTTACGAAAACAGTATATATGTAGAAGATCAATATCAAGAAAAGCTACTCATACATATATCCAGTTCTTATTGAATGTTAGTTGACACATGATTTTGTCCACGTCATTCATTTACATTGATCTTTGATTTTTTTTTCTTTTTCAGGTGTCACGCAAATAGTTTAACTAGTTCACTATTGTTGTTTTATTTACAATCATAACGAGAAAAGGACGACCTGTCAGAGATATTGTCTCATGTTCCACATGATGACTCTAGACCAAAGTAAATATTTACATATATAATAAAAAAAAAAAAGTGTATCAACCATTGTTTTCTTGATTAGGTAAATCAGATGGGTTGACTGAGAGGATCATGTGTCAAAATACTTTATTCCTCATTTTATCATTTATTATCTTGACTTATTGGTGCTAACTCATTTGGAGATGTGAAAAATGAATCGTTTAAATTTGAAAGAGGAAATCGAAGAGAAATCATCATGATAAAGAAAAAAAAAAAAAGAAGATTTTGATCATTATGAGTAACACAGTAGAAAAAAAAAAAAAAAAAGGATGCGATCCAAATTCTCGGATTATGTTTTGCCAAAGTAGAAAAAGGACCAATAGAATGTCTTATTTTTTGGGTTAGATTTGTACTAAAGCCGAAACGATGGAATAACACGATTAATAGGAGGAGACACATGCAGATAGAATCATTATGCAATAAATAATATTTTAGAAAAAGAAAATGATTTCTGAAAAATTATTTGATCTGTTAAAAAATGACAATCGGTATATAAAAAAGAAAGGATCTTTGCATGAAACAAAAAAAAAAAAAAAAAGAATGATAAGACAACATTGGATTACTTGGATTACTAAGAATCGGAATGCCAATACTTGATGATCATCCACACTGTTCGTCCGAAGCATCGGTGTCTCGGTTTTCGAAGATCATCATTCATCATCATCTGGGGTATTTCTAGATAAGAAGCATTTTATTTGGATGATCTCATTTTTTTTTGAAAAAAAAAAAAAAGAAAAGAATCGGATGAAAAAAAAAAAAATGATAAGAATAATATTAAAAAGCGAATGACCGGTGTATAGTGAGTCATTCAAATGGTAGATCAGTCAGTAAAGGGAATAGTAATAAAAGCCACTGTGTAACGATGATTACCATTCATAAAATTTATATGCTGGCGCAGCTATTGATCTATTGATCTAACATCAGTTCAGATTGCTGTTATGCTATTTGATGAGTAATGCTGTCTTCTGACGGACTCTCAAAAAAGATTCATTGATATATAAGGACATGCTTCTTTTCTTGATTTGTTTTGATAAAAATCAGTTTTTATTATCTTTTATCATTTGATTTGATATTCTATTACTTTATATCTCAATGATGATCACTGATATTACCAATGTTAAGTCAAACATTCAACAAAAGAGCAAATACCCTGGCAGTTACAGTAATAAAAAGCCTTTAAGACTTGTTTTGGATGAACCTGTTCTTTTCGTTGAAGATAAACCTGCTATGGTTCGTGGTGAAGTTATTGTTAATTTTTCCAATGATACTACTATTCAGGGTCCCATTGAATTGGTCTTTGAAGCCATACAAACTTTTTATCCTTGGTCAGGTACGTACTGATAAGAAAAAAGCGGGGTGTGAATGTTTTTTAAAGAAAATGGATATATTTTTGATTTTTTTTTTTTCTTTTTTTACTCACTTTCTTTTCTCTTCTCTTTTTCTCTATCTCTCTCTTTTTTTTTTTTAATATTATTATGACGCGTACAAACAGAAATTATGGTGAACCGTGCTATTGGAAGTCCTATCGAAAGTAAACTTCAAGTGATCGAATTATCTTTATTACCACCAAACTCTCAAGGAATTATGCCTGCTGGTGTCCATCGATTTCCTTTTGAATTCCCTATACCTCCTACTTTACCTCCTACTCTCAGTATTACCAACCGATTGGCTATTTATTATCGTTTAACAGCAACACTTCGAAAATCGTCTGAAGCTACTTCTTTAATGGATTGGGCCATGCGATCAATTGGAAAAAAGAAACTGGTGGATGTCTCTCATTTACGTTTGGTACGTGCTATTGAAGGTACACGTTCTATCTCTCAACTTGATTCTTCTCCTCTTGGTTCTTCATCAGTGAATGAAAACTCGAACAATAATAACACAAATCAAGTGGTACCTTATACTGATTTATGGACACAATACAACAATCGACTCTCTTTGGATGAACAGCACGATCAATTAATACATTCTTTGGGTGGAAGAACGACTGACAACTATACTCGACCATTAGATAGTTTGATTAAGGAACATGGAGTACGATACAAACTCTCAGTGGATAGAACTGCTATTGCTTTGGGAACAAGTGTGGGAATAGAAGTGGTGTTGCAACCTACGCAAAAGATGACAAAGGTACGATCTATCTATTTATCCATTGAAGAAAAACGAAAGTACAAGATGAATATTCCTGGTCGTCATTCCTTCTCTGATTCTCCAGCCGAATCACGACATCATTCTGAAGTAGGCAAGATGGTACTGAAATGGGCTTATGGGTATCCTGTTCCTTCTGATGATGAACCCTATCCTGATTATTATGATGAAGATCATCTCATTGGTATTGGTGCAGTTGGTGCTACGGACAGCAAAAAGAATATCACTCATTTGGGTCAACGCTATTCTCATGATATCAAAGAATGCAAAACACTACGACAATTAGAGCAACCATTTTCAAGACGTAGAAGATCATCATCACCAGGCTCAGCAAATTCAGTTACTTCTATTTTATCCTCATCATCGTCATCATCAAGATCATCAGTATCATCAATGTCATCTACAGAACAACGTAAATCAACACTACTAGGGAAAAATGACGTAGCAACATCATCCATTTCTGCGATCTCGGCTATGAAGGCTTCATCTTCAACATCAGAAACGCAAACGACAACGGATTTGACATCATCACCAAAAGGAGGATTATTAAATCTAAAACTATTGGATCATCCGATTGAACTAGGCGAATACTTTGAAGGAAGATTTGTATTACCTGTACCATCTTGTGGAGGTTTATTGCACCCATCTATGGATCACGATAGTATCAAGATTCAACATTGGTTACGAATGGTGGTTGTCTTGGAACAGGAAGGAAAAATGTTTGAAGTTGCTTTGGAAACACCTATGCATATGTTGGATTGTCGATTAGTTGCCGATGATGGTCGTCAAACAATTTTGCCACCACCACCAAGTTATAACACTGATGATGACAATCGGTCCATTCCATCCACAGTATTTTGGGAACAACGTCAACCAATCACTACCTTGGCACAATGGGGAACTTGTCGAAGACCTTGTCCTTGTCAAATCAAAAATTACAATCAACAGAAATCAAGATTACTTGCTGCTGTCAACAACAAAGCCAAATCATCAGTATCTAGTAAGCAAAACAATAATATCAGAACAAGCCGTCAACTTCATCATCCTCATCGACAACAACAACAACAACAACAACAACGACAACGACAACAACAAGAGGAAGAAGAAGAAGTGCAAGAACAACCTATTGCCGGATGTCAGCCTGAATGGGGTCCACCTCCTTTGTATAGTGAATAGTTATTCCCCTTTATTCATTCTTTTTTTTCCCTCCTTTTATGTCTTAGTATTAACCGTTACCCATTTTGTATTATATTTGTTATTATTATTTTATTTTTTAATGTCTCCTCTTTTTTTTTTTTTTTTCTTTCTCCTTTTTTTTTTTTTTTTTTTTTTCATCTATCACATTCTTTTCATTCATCACCCATAGAATATGTTCATTTACCACCATCATCATCATTCAACTTACTTTTTTTTTTTATCTCTATTCTTTATTTGGATATATCAATCTTATCTAATTACTTTTTTTTATTATTATTATTTTCATAATAAAACCTTATACTTTATTGATTTTTATACTTGTTTATCCCTCTTCAAATGATTGACTGAAATGATAATTGTTTTGATTCTTATGAAATACTAATATCGGTTATACTATCAAAAAAGGATTTGATTAGTTTTCCAGTAAATCATTCATCCGGAAATATTTCTTTCACAGGAACATTTGTTATCATTTTATTGATGACATTGATGCATATTGAATATACATATATATATAAAAATAGATAGACAGATAAAGAATCGATATATGAAAAAAAAAAATAGTCTGAACGATTAATGAAAAAAAAAAGAAGTGATCAAGTTTCTATTTACCCCGAGTTCCCAAGCAAGCAAATAGTTTGGTCTAGATTACTTGAATAAAATGAAAAAAGGAGAAAAAATTGAAGAGAAACTAGTCATCATGGTCTTACGATGAAATGATTACCTGCCCATACCGTAAAACTTACGATTTGGCCACCCATTTCTCCATTTTTCATTGTGTTTCCCTTTCGTTTTAAGTTGATCCTTTTAAAAATAACTAAATAAAGAACATGATTCATAAGGGTACGATGAGAAGGAGTATGAAGACATCAAGGTATTCAAAGTGAAATGAACAAAAATAGACTGAACAAAGAACACATCAATTGTATCTCCTTTTTTTTTTTTTTTTTTCTCACTAGTAAGTACTACATCTACAGCATCATCCTTCTTCTCCTTGTTCAATAATACCGATAAACTATTCTATACAGCGAAAAGGTTTTCTCTGTAAGTTCCTCCTGAAGATATTTACAGAGTCTACCCGCTCATTCCATCCCGATCATCACCCCTTTATTTTTTAATTCATCAAAGGATATAAAAGAGATCAAGAAAAAATGATCATCGACCACTTTTTTTTTTCTTTTCTTGTTATTATTATCTTTTTTTTATTCTCTCCCTCTCTCTCTCTTTCTTTCTCTTACACTCTTTTTGTCTACAATTAACTCCACTTAATATAAAATGGTTGCTTCCAAGTTCATAATGTTTGCTTTGTGTCTTGTTGCTTTGAGCTCAACTGTCACTGCCCGTCCTCCAAAGTCAGGACCTGCCCGTTTGGCCAAACGTGAATGTAATTTTGATTGTGACAACGTTGATCCCGGCTGTAGTGACAAATGTGGACGGTCCAATGTGAATGAAGTACTTGAAAGTGTTTGTTATCAAGGTAAATGCTATTGTGGTTTCGCAGCAACATGAAGGCTCAACCTTTTTTTTTTAAATGTGTGTGGATACCCTTTCCTATTCATCCTCTTTCCTTCTTTTCTTTTTTTCTTCAAAATAAATAAAATCTATAAATGATGATTCATCTTGCTAACACCCTATTTTTATATATTCACTATGCTTGTCATATACTGACATTTTCCTATTTTGGTGTGAAGGACAAAAAGGGAGTCCACTTTGAATCACCGCATAAACATAAAAAGTTTTTCATATTCTGTCTTCCGTGCGTTCTTCCTTTCATTTTTTTTTTTCCTGCACTCCCCACTCTTAGTTAATGACAAGGATCATGTCTGCTATTTCAAAAGTTATTGGTACTCATAGCGGTCACTTTCATTGGTAAGTCAACTTCAATGGATCAAAGACAGGAGGAGGGGAGGGGAGAACAATAACATGTTAAGGAGACTGCAAACAACGACGGAAACGGTGAACGTGTCTTTTGCTATTTTCCTTCATATTCACTTTATCCTTTTTTTTTTTTTTTTTTTTTTTACAGTGACGAAGCTCTTGCTGTTTGGATGTTGAAGCAAACTTCTGCTTTTAGTCAAGCCAGTTTGGTGCGTACTCGTGATCCTGCCAAGTTAGCCGAATGTTCTGTTGTCGTGGATGTTGGTGGAGTCTATGATCCTTCTCAACACAAATATGACCACCATCAAGTAAGTACAATCATCTCTAGGAATATGCATATATGAAAAATACCAAGTTCCTGATTCTTAACTTTTTTTTCTCTCCCTTCCCTTTTAGCGTGGATTCGCTGAAACTTTTGACGACAAACACAAAACCAAGTTGAGTTCTGCTGGCTTGGTTTACAAGTAAGTATAATGAAATGGAAAGACACACACACACACAAAAAAAAAAAAAAAAAAGGATATTTTTATATTGATAGACTTTTAATTAAATAGGCATTTTGGTCGCGAAGTCATCACAAGCATTGTTGGAGAAACAAAACATTTAGATACCATTTATCAAAAAACATACAACGTAAAATACGGAAAAAAAAAGAAAGAAAAAAAAAAGGTTGATGGGACTCAATGATTTTTTTTTATATGTATATATGTAATAGGATTTTATTGAATCTTTGGATGCTCATGATAATGGCATCAGTGCTTATCCCAGCAACTTGACTCCATTGTTCAAAGAAAGTCCTACTAGTTTGGCTTCTCGTGTTGGACAAAAGAACCCTTCATGGAATGAAACCTTATCTGATTCAGAAATTGATGTAAGTAATGTAAATGTCAAATCAGCGGTTTTTTTTTTATTACTCATCCTGCTTTTTATTGCTATTATTATTAGGCTCGATTTGTTGAAGCTTCAGATATGGCTGGTAGCGAATTATCAAGATACGTTGAAAATTTGGTATCATCATGGTTACCTGCTCGTACATTAGTAGTAGAAGCTTTGGATCGTCGTCAAGAAGTACATGGATCTGGCCAAGTGATTGCTTTGGAACGTAGCTGCCCTTGGAAGGAACATTTGATGGATTTGGAAAAGGAACAAGGTTTGAAAGATTCTCCTATTCTTTATGTTTTGTATCCTGAATCATCTGTTGATGGTAATTGGCGCATTCAATGTGTTCCTACTCGTCCTGAAGGATTTGAAAATAGAAAGAGTTTACCTGAAGCGTAAGTGAATGATGATGATGAATCAAATATGTCATATTAATTTATTTTTGTTTTTGTGTTATATAGTTGGAGAGGATACCGGGATCAAGAATTAAGTCAAATCTCCAAGATCGAAGGTTGTATCTTTGTGCATGCTGGAGGATTCATTGGTGGCAACAAGAGCCGACATGGTGTATATGAAATGGCTCGTGTCGCTGTAGAAGCTTAGATTTTATAGTTTATTGCATTACACTTTTTTTTTTTGTTTTGTTTTATTTTATTTATTTTACACCTCATTAAAATGATGATATACTTGTTGTGATTGGTGATTTCAAGTTTACGGATCAAAAAAGGAAAAAGGAAAAAAAAAGATAGAATTATGATGTAATGTAGGGCATATATATATATATTTAAAAAAGGTGATTAATTATAGTAATGTTCCTTCTCTTTGTTATCAATTCCAGAATAATATAGGAAATGAGTCATACATTACGTAGTTCATTGATATAAAAAAAAAAGGGGGGAAGTAGAACATTTAAGGCAAATTGCGGGGAGTTGATTCCGGAATAGATCCTTTATCCGACATGAAAGAAGGATGTAGATCATTTCTTTTACCAAACAGTAATTGTATGAATGATGAATAATATTTTATATCAGTTTCTAATTAATATTTATTCTATAAGATCTTTTTTTTTTTTTTATGAAATCAACGAACGGATTTCTACTCTTAAATGGGAAATATATATTAACATCATAGTCTTTTTTCTACTTGATGAAACCAGAAACACTTGACGACATTTTAGTTCGCCGCCGATTTTTTTACTACGCCAAAGTGGAATGACTACAAGTTTTTTTTTTGTTCCATTAAGCAAAGAATTGATAAGCCGACTTTTTGTTCTTTTTTTCTTTTTTTTTTTTCTTTCTTTCTTTCTTTCTTTCTTTATTTATTTATATTCTTTTCTTTCTTTTCTTTCTTTTTTGTTTCTTTCTTTTATTTTTATATAATATACTCTTTTTTTTTATTTATTTATTTGTTATACTTAGTTTTTTCTTTCTTTCATTCATTATATCATTCTATTTACAATCTAACTCAATGTTATCTCAACCTTATGATCGTTATACACCAACACCACCACTACCATTTCAACGACAACAAGAAGATCAACAAAATGATTTATCATCATCGTTGCCAACACAAAGTCATTCAACCGATTGGTTGACTAGAGGTTATGATCCACATTTGTTTGATAATATGTATTATTTCGATTCTATTGATTCTACCATGTCATCCTCTTTACCTTTGAACGAACATAATGATTGGTTCTCTTTCTCTGAACAAAATAATACTGATCTTCATCATGGAATAGATCCTTCTTTTTATGATACTGGAATACCTGTTGCTGATGAAATCACTATGCCATCGGTAAACCGGAATACATACATACATTACTTTAGATTTCCTTTTACTGACTAGTGCCCATAACTTTATATTTTTTTTTTAGGTGCCGCCACCATTATCCCAATCATTGTCACCACAATCTGATACATCCATGGCCTCTCCTCAACAGCATCAACAACAACAGCAACAAACAGTAACAGTAGACAATAATATTCACAACAATGATTTATTGACTCCTCCTTATAAAGGTCATCGTCGTCGTCGTTCTTCATCTTTACCTTCCATTTTTTACAGTGCAAAGAAACAGATGGTTCAACCTGCTCTTATGCCTCCATTACCTGATGTAACATCTGCCAATATGTCACCTGTCATGGCACTTCCTACTTATCAACAACAACAGAAACAACAGAAACAACCGCAACAACCGCAACAACAACAACAACCTCCACCACCGCCACCGCCTCCATTACAACAACGACAACAACCATATAAAGCACGATTATTACCTATTCAAATCCAACGTAATCCTGTTACCCATGCTCGTCATCCATCCCCTGTGGTTTTGGATCAACAACAATTAGATGAAAAATTATTGGCTGTGAATTTTGACGACATCACTGTAGCAGAACTCAAGGAAATGTTACGGGAAAGGAATCTTTCGGTGGCTGGAAGAAAAGCAGAATTGACGGATCGATTGACTAGAGAACGACAAAGAGTACAGGCGAAAAAAGAACAACAATTACAATATCATCCACTTGCACCGTCTGCATCCACATCATCTACACCTTCTGCATCAACTCAATCTCCTATGAACGCATCACCACATATTCAACATTTAACTCATCGATTAAGTGATCTTGGATTTCAACAACCTGCTTCTTTTCCAAAATATTATCCTTCTCAACAACAGTATCATCATCAACATCTTGTCAATACCAGTCCCATGTCGTTATCTCAACAACAACAACAACAGCAACAACAGCAACAACAACAACAATTACATACGACTTCCTCTTCACTTAATACTCAACCTTTTTTATCTTTGGATCAATGGGGTGATGATGATAGTGTTATGTCTCAGTTTTATAGTTTCAATCAATAAATCAATATATATTTTATTTTTATTTTTATTTTGTATCATTATTATTACTATTATTATTTTTTTTTAGTTTGCTAATGTTTGATTCCTATCGTGTCTATATCAAGAGTCATAGTCTTAAATGACAAGAGGCCAAGTTTTTGGCGGAGTTGTCTTCCTCAAACATCATGCATTGATCTTATTTTTTTTTTTGGTGACCACGTGGAAAGAGAAAAAAAGTCACTTGTCAACAGGACAGAAATAGAAAAAAAAATGGGGTTGCACTGCATTCCCATGTTAAATATGTTCATTTCGGAGCCTCAAGTCGCGTTTCTTTTTCTTTTTATGGATGAAGGACATGGTTATCATACAGGAAAGAAATGATTGGGAACCACACTTTCTATAGATTGTTCATTATCCAAAAAAAAAAAAAAAAAAAAAAAATCATGGGATGCTCTTCTCTCTTGATCTCCGCTGTTCTTTTTTTTTTTTTGTCTCCTAACAATCAGATATATATATGTATAAAATGTTGTCATTGATTTATTGTTTTATTGAAGGATTGATTAAAAAGAAGAAGAAGAAGAAGAATAAAAAAAGATGGATGTAAAACCATATATATATATATATATATAAGGAAAGCATCAAGTTGTTGAAAAACGTTGTTTTTTCGTAAGAGGAGGATCACAGGTAGAAAAGTCATGTTTCATAGTATCATAGGGCACACCACGATGTTGATGATGATGAGGAAGATGATGTTGATGATGAGGAGGAAGATGATGTTGTTGTAATGGTGCAGAAGTAGGTGGATGATGATGTGACGGTGGCCATTGGAATGCTTGATTTTGTTGAGATGGAGGTACACTTGTCGTATTTTGCTGTTGTTGTTGTGTATTCAAATTCAAAGGACTTGGTAATTCAGGTTGATCATAAAACGAATGGTAATACATCCATGGACTTGGTAATGGTGGTGGAGTCATTTGGGAAGTCACAGTCGCGGTGTTTGTATTACCAGATGGATTGGTATTTGCTGAGCCAGGTGGCGGGGTGATAGTAGACGCTCCTGATGATGATGATGAAGACGATGATGTGGTTGTAACAGCAGTAGTAGTTGAAGATGAAGTAGATAAACTACTACCATTAGAGGACCTGCCTGATGTAAGTAGAGGAGGAGGAGGAGGCATAGCTGTCATGGAATGCATAGAACTTGTTGTGGCTGTCGATGATGGATGGACTGTAGCGTACGATGGATAAGGAGAACCATCTGGTGGCAAAATGGTAGAATTAGAAGATGATGAAAAGGATGAAATCGATGCTTGCTGGTGATTTTGTGAATGATGATGATGCTGTATATGATGATTGGATCCAGGTGATGATTTCGTTGATGTGTCCAAATGTAATTGAGAAGGAATAGGTGGTGTTTCTATATACTGAATGGATCTAGATGCCTTTAAAGAAAAAGTTATAAACGAATTTCAATATCATCTAGCTCCAATTGTGTCTTATATATATATATATATTTACCTGAGAAGTTGGAGGAATAGTAGATAAAGTATGATTACCCATTGCCTGATAATCATCCTCGTCATCATCATCGTCGTCGTCATCGTCTTCTTTTGTTGATTTGCTGTTTCTATCCATTGCTGAATGGTTAAACTATAATAATAACATGAATATTCGTTACTAAACCCCTCTTCTTCTCCTATTTCCTTTCACTTACATCATGGTTTGATTTGCTTTCATAAGGGTCTCCGTGCTAAAAGTGTAAAAAAAAAAAAAAAAAAAAAAAAAAAAAAGAATTGTCAAATCTCTATTTGTTAATATATAATATATATTAACTTACCTCTGTATATTTCATCAAGATATGGTCCATATCCGAACTTGCGTATTGCACCAATTTTCCTTTGGGGTTGAATATAATCAAAGCCACTTCGCAATTGCATAGAACTGATAATTCATATGCTTTTTTCATCAATCCATGTTTACGTTTCAAGAATGTCACCTAACACCAAAATAAGTAAAGGTTAATCATCATCATCAATAATAATAATAATATATACAAACTTACTTGTCTATTTCGGTTGTCTGCAATAGGCTGAATCTTAATTTTCTTTCTTCCCATGGTTTGTTGTTTGTAGAATGTAGAGTAGAATGAATGAATACGATCAGTGTAATATATATATTATATAAGTAAGATATATACAAAAAACAAAAGGTATCTAATATTGAAATAAGAATAAGTGAAAGAAAGAAAAAAAAAAAAAAGAAAGAAAGAAAAAGAGTGAAGGAAAAAAAAAAAGTAAACCCTAAATACGCTGGTAATCTATTTTTAGATTATTTTTTTTTTATGTTGTGTGTGTAAGTAGGAAAAATGTCTGTTCACACTCCAGCATTTACGTGTATGTACATATTATATATATATGTGCCTGTATATATATATTATATATATCCCTGAGCAAGTAATCTAGTCTCCGCTCAAGTTCACTGTATTCAACCATGTTACTTCCAAACCTTTCACCCCCTTGTCTTCACTTCAAATCAAATCAAATAAAAAAAAAAAAAGAACTCTCTCAATTTTTTTTTTTTTAATATGAAGGTCTGGAAGGAACCAAAAGTACCCCTTCATCATCCCTTTTTCTCCTTTATCTATCTTTTTTTTTTTTGAGTGTGATATGGATGAGTCTCCTCTTTTAAATTTTTTTTTTCATCCATTGGTTCACGTTAGATAAAAGAAAAAGAGAGAGAGAAATGTATGATTAATTTTCATTATTAAATGTTTAGAACTTGATGATGATCATCATCATCCATTTACATGATACAAAATGGTCGTATAACAAATGATTCGAGTCAAGCGTTATACAGGAGATTAACTTTTTTTGTAACAACATTGATGCAGGCAAGGACCCTTTTTGGGTTCACTTGTGAAATAGAAACCTTGTTTTATTGACAGAAAGTTTACTTGTATATAGGAAACAAGAAAAGCGGAGAAACCATCCTTGTTTATCCTTAAGGTAAAATAAAAAAAAAAAAAAAAGAAAGGGGAAACTGTCTCAAGAATATAATAAAAAGAAAAAAAGAAGGGAGGAAAGAGGAGAAAGATGGAAAAAAAAAAGCTTGTCCTCCCGATGTTTCAGACAACTCCGTTTGTTAAGGATGGCGAATGGTAAAATAATGAGAAAAAGCATTGGAAACTTTTGTATCATCATCAGTCAAAGAAGTATCAGGAAGGAAAGCCAATTGATAACGTGTACCTTCTGGAAGTTTATCCCATACATGGAAGGAATACATGTTTGATGATGTTGGACCAGTAGTACGATTGTTCACCACCACTAATGGGACCGCCACTCCGATTCTTCCCATATCTTTAGGGAAAAAGCCATGTTGATCTACTAGTTGGAGATCCCCACTACCTACTCCATCCGAAATTATTTCAATATTCACTTTTGTACCTACTCGTATTAAGTAAAAAAAAAAAAAAAAAAAAAAAGTCATTCAAAGAGAAAAAAAATAATAGATATCGTTTACCTGTTTGCCATACAGTACGTTGATTAGGTGATAGAAAAAAAGTCGATCCTTGTACAGAAATCAACATCATCATCATCATTATCAATACACGGTAATAAACAGTAGACTTCATCATCATGATGAGCAAAACACAAAGCTGGAAAGTAGTAAAAAGAAAGAAAGAAAGAACCATGAATTTATATGATGTGTACGAGAAAAAAGTTGTCAATGGTAAGACTTCCATTTAAAAGTTAGCTTATTTTTGTTCTCTTCAACTAAAGTCGATTTGGTAAGAATTATTTTAGGTATAAACAAAATAGATTTTATTATTTAATAAATAACGAACTATATTACAAATGAAGATGGGTGATTGCTACTGTGTATGTGAATAGGTAAAAAAAAAAAAAAATAAGAAATAAAAAAGAAAGAAAGAAAGAAAAAGAGGGAGGGATGGAATAATAAGGGAATGAACTAAAATACAAAGATGAAATACAAGATGATAGAATGAAACTACATTAATAATAAAATAATAAGAATAATAAGGATACCCATGAAACAGGGGGAGGGAATGAAGTATTCTAAACAGATACTTGACAGGAATGAGGAGAAGACCAACCATAAGAAGATTCTACAGCTTTCATCCAACCAGCATACATGATATCACGTTTTTCATCAGAGATGGAGGATTCAAACACAGTTTTGCCTTGATTATTGACATTTTCAAGTTCTTGCATATTCTTCCATACACCTACAGCCAATCCAGCAGCAATAGCAGCACCTAATGCCGATGATTCACGCATCATGGGACGTTCCACCGAGATACCTAACAAATTGGCTTGAATTTGCATACAAAGATCAGAGTTGCACATACCACCATCTACTTTGAGTGATCGAAGAGCCTTGCCACTATCTTTGTTCATTGCATCTAAAATAGCTTTACTTTGGAAGCAAACTGATTCCAGTGTTGCACGACAAATATGTTCCAAACGAGTAAATTGGGTCAAACCACAGATTGTTCCACGGGCAGTATCGTTCCAGTAAGGTGCAAATAATCCAGCAAATGCAGTAACAAAATAAGTACCTGCTGAATCATCTACTTGTGAGGCCAATTCATTTAACTGTTGCGTATTTTGGATCACTCTGAGGTTGTCTCGTAACCAATTGATTGAACTTCCAGCAACAGCAACAGAACCTTCAAGAGCATATGCAGGTCGATCTTGTCCAAATTGATAGGCCACCGTCGACAATAATCCATTCTTTGATACCACAGGTTGATCACCAGTGTTGAATAACATGAAACATCCAGTACCATAAGTATTCTTGGCATCACCAGCATTAAAACATTTTTGTCCAACAAGAGCAGATTGTTGATCACCAAGACATCCAGATATAGGTACACCTGCGAAAGGACCTTCATATACATGACCATAGATTTGAGATGATGAAACGAGTTTAGGGAGTTGTACTTGTTCTAAACCAAAGAAACTAAATAAGTAAGAAAGGTTGTGAGTATATAAAGCTAAAAAAAAAAAAGTTTGATGTAATATTATATATATATATATATTTACCTTAAGGCTTCCACACTCCATTCAAGAGTGTGAATATTCATCAGCATCGTACGACTAGCATTAGTAACATCCGTCACAATGATTCCATTTTCCGCTCCGCCAGTGAGATTCTATTATAAAAAATGTGATGTATAAATAGTTTTGTTAGTAAAGAGACTTTAATGGAAAAGTATATACTAATTTTTTGAATAACTTACGTAGATCAACCATGTATCCATGGTACCAAAACATAATCGACCTTGTTCTTGAGCTTGAGCAATAACAGGAACATTATCCAAGAGCCAACGTAACTTGACAGCGGTAAAATAAGTAGTAAGAGGCAATCCACAAACAGATTCCAAGATATGAACATCACCGTCAGCTTTTTTGGTGAGTTGTTTTACAGTTTCAGAAGTGCGAGCATCACTCCAAAGTATAGCAGGATAAAGAGGTTGACCAGTGAGCTTATCCCAAGTAACAATAGTTTCACGTTGATTGGTAAGACCAATACAAGTAACGTCTTGAAGAGAATAACCTAAACCTTCCAATTTGTGAGAAGCATGAAACATACATGTACGTACAGAGTCGAGAGTTTCATAAGGGTCGTGTTCCATCCAACCAGGTTGTGGTGAGTGTTGTTCTAATTCCATTTGATGATATGTCACCAAAGTACCTTGTTCGTCAAAGATGACAAAACGTGTAGAAGTGGTTCCTTGGTCAATGGATCCAATGAGTTTTGGCATGTTAAAAAAAAAAGTAAGTGTGTGTGTGTATATATATAATATATATGTATATATATAATAAATATATGTAATAGAGAGAGAAAAAAAGAAAAAGTGAAGAAAATAGGGAAAAAAGAAAGAAAGAAAAGGAAAAAAAAAGGCGACGGGAAAAAGTGAAATAAATTCTTTTTTTTTTTTTTTTTTGCCCCACCTCCACCTTTTTTTTTTTTTTTTTGAGCCTTACTTTTTTTTGGTAGTAAAAAAAACCCTGCTTTCCCTTTTTCGAGAACACTCAACTTATTTTTACCCATTAGTTTAACCAGAGCTTCCACGGAGCGGAGGATCAATCACGTTTCATTTTCTTGCTTATTTTTCCACAGCATGCCATCTTATTGGTGCATCCAATTATTCTTCTAGTGTAGTACCAACTCTAAAAGGTAATTTTGATGGTTTCTGAAAGGGTAAAAGAAAAAGCTCCATTTGAAATCTATGCACCAGTCGATCGTTTTTCCTTTAGAAAAAAAAAAATCTTACAATGGCATTAAAAAAAAAAAAAAAGAATCGGGAAGGAGTATTATAAAGGGAAACAATAATATTTTAGTATATATCGTATTGTACATTATTCATATTGTGAACTTGCATTATCTGACTTTGAATCTTTTCATCTCATATCACTTTGTTCTACTTTGGTAGAAAACAGATTCATCGAGACCAAAAAAAAAAAAAAACCTTTCCATCTTTCCATCTTTTTTTTTTCTTTTTTTTTTTTTCACAAGCTAACGTATAAGCTTAAATCATTAAATCTCCGTTTTACCCCTTAAGAATCTTCTTTTTCAAATCATCACAAAAAAAAAAAATAACATTTGATCGTGTTTCTTTATTCATGAATAGATGACTAAAATAAATATAAAATACACAAGAACATAAATGAAAAAAAAGAAGAAAAAAATGTCGCCATATTAATGATGATCCTTTTTTTTTTTTTTTTTTTTTTTGCTTAGTGTGAATGCAGTAGGCAATCATCAACAAGGGAGCCAGTAGCATTTGTTTCAATTTGTATAGTACTATGATGTACACCATAAAGATCATAAATCAAAGATTGAGCTTCTACCAAAACCCGATTATCATGATTAACCTCCTGATTATCATCGTTACTATTGTTATTAGTGTTTTTTGATGATGATGATGATGATGATGATGATGATGATGATGATGATGATGATGATGATGATGATGATGATGATGATGAAACCGCCATCATCGTATGGGAACTACTACCACTACTATCACTATGTAAACTTGATGTTGCCGTATTTACCAAAGGATTCACAGTCAAATGTACAGAAAGAGCCATCTTTCCTGGGGACAACGTCCAGATATGAAGATCATGGACACCTATCACTCTTTTCAAACCTAACAATGACGTTTCAAGCTTTTCCACATCGAGATGATGAGGCACTCCTTCCATCAAGACAACCAAAGAATCTCGAACAAGATGATATGTCGTATACATCACTATCATTGAGAATAAAAATGTACACAAAGGGTCCACAAAGCCGTATTCAGGTTTGATCCATAACACAATTGATGAGATGAGAACACCTACAGAAAAAAAAAGATAAATGAGTTCATCTTCCCTTTCACAATATGTGATAATGCTTTTCTTTCTTTCTTTCCTTTTTTTTTTTTTTTTTTTTTTTTTTGAAAAAGTGACTTACCCAGTGATGCCAGGAGATCACCTATAACGTGAAGTGCAGCTGCCTGAAGGTTAATATTATCCATCTTCTATTAAAATACATATTAATGATTGATGATTGATGATTAAATGTATGGATGGTATGTGATGATCAAATGGATTGATGATAGCACGATGGAGCGATGGACGAATAAAAAAAAAAAAAAAAAAAAGAGTCAATAATGAAATGTTGTCAAGTAGTTTGAGAGCTGTGTTACCTTTCTTGGCATGATTTGATTCTCTGGATCAGAATCATGATGATGATGGTGATGATGAGGATCATGATGATGATGATGATGATGTCCACCTAATACATAAGCCAATCTATATACATCGGTGAATAAGGCGAAGTAGATTAATCTAAAAAAAAAAGATCCTTACATGACGTTCACCATGACACCTATGGAAGCAGTTCCACACATCTAAAATAAACAACAGCATCTATGAGTTAATCTCCGCCAGACAAAAAAGGAGAAAACCTTACAATCTTTGCATCAATTTGTTGAGGATGGCTTAAACGATGGAAAGCCTCCATGACCAAAAATCCAGTCAGTAACCAAATAGTAAAAACAGAAACAAGTGCAGCAATGACCTCTGCGCGATGGAACCCAAACGTATGACCTAAAAAGTAATGATGTTAACAAATAACAATAAATAACAATAAATAACAATATCATGACATCAATGTAATGTAAACAATAATAAATCTGAAACGTTAAACACATGGATACCTTTTTTTTTTTTTTTTTTTTGTATTTGTTTAATTAAACTTACGTTTCGTAGGTGATTTCTCAGCTAGGTAGATGGCAACTAGAGCAACGATGAAACTTGCTACATCAGACAACAAGTGGAATCCATCACTGAGTAAAGCTATTAAAGAATGGATATTAGTTTGGTTATTGTATCATCTGTATTTACTTACCCAATGAATTGGCAAGATAGCCAGCAGTGATCTCGGTAATAAAAAACATAAAAGCAATGAAGCATGCAGTCATCAATTTCCTTTTAGTAACAGTGGCATCTGCATCATTGTTTTTTATAAGATCTGTCTGTGAGCAAGTGGATCTGGATCTTGGTAGAGATAATTGACCTTCCTTTCGAGAAAGTAATGGTTTCGTTTCTTCTTTCAACATCAAAACAATTATAATAAAAAAAAGTGGAGAAAAGAAGGAAGAAATAGTAAATTAAAATTGGGGTGTTTCGGGATTGTTTTTATTTTGCTTTGCTTATCGTAGGGAAGTAAAAAAAAAAAAAAAAAAAAAAAAAAGAACAATAAAGTTATCAGTAGACCCAGGGATAGGGACACAATTTCTATTTGTAGCAAATAAACAAGTCCTCTATGCATCACCGCGTATCAGTATAAAAACCATTTTGAATTGAAGATGAGAAGACACTTTTTGATAATGTCGATGACTGATGACAATCGATTAACGATGATGATGACGGTGATGATCATAGTAATGAGGTATTTCTGCAATGTACCATCATTATATGAGAATCGATCTGACAAATACTAGCGCAATCAGGTGGTCCTTTCAAGCGTGAAAGAAAAATCATCCTTTTTTTTTGAAAGTTTTGGATTTTACAGCCAAAAGTTTTCAATTCCTCAGCCAAATTTTTAGTTGTGAAAACCGATCGTCAGGGGATTGCCAGGCGATTTTTCGAAAAGTCGATGAAATTTTTCGGTGATCATTAGGTATCAAGGTAAAAAGACAAAATGTTTAAACTACTTTTTTGTATCTAATGATGATATTTTTATTGGACGATAGTCACTATTGAATAAGGGACGAATGAATTGACTCTTCTTTTTTAATTTACTCTATAAATTATGAGGTAATATATAAATTATTATTAATATAAGCGATAGAGAATGGCTTCATCTATGTTCAGTCCAAATTTGATATGATGATGATGACTTTTGAATTACAAAAGCATAAAGAGATACATGTCTACCCAAAATGACGTTACAGCATAATGCTGCTTAGCATTCCGCTGAAGAAAAATATGGCTCCATCTACCGCCAATCTAATAACAAAAAAAAAAAAAAAAAAAAAATGAAAGGGTCCGGTCGCCAAATTTCAATTTCCTTTCTTTCTCTTCTTTCTCTTTCTTTCTGTTTTGTTATCTCACATAGCACACTTTTTTTTTTTTTTTTGATATTCTGCTTTGGTGATGGATAATCTGAAAAGAAGGCACATCACTACCTACAACGATTCTTTTGAATCTACTCAATATACACAACCGGTCGATGTTCATGTACAGCAAGAAAAGTTACATAAACCATCACAACCACATACCATCTTACCACAATATTCATCTAACAAGGTAAGTACAACTATTTCTTTTTTTCTTTTACTTTAACCCAACTATTTTTTTCTTTAATTCTATTCTGATCTCAGTACATTGCTTATTGTCAACAACACCATGAAGTCATCATACCTACTGTCCTGACCATTCTCTCTTTTTGGACGCGCTTCCGATTGATCAGTCTTTCTCAAATCGTTGTCTGGGATGAGGTATATTTGAAAAAGGAAGAATAAAAAGATACGATCAACTCATGATGATAATCTCACTCACTGTTTACTTATGTCCTTTTTTTTTTCCTTTCTTTATTTCTTTTATTTTGTTACTACTATCAAGGCACACTTTGGGAAGGTAATAATAAAAGCAAGAATTATATTTGTATGATAACTAACTACTATTTCTATTTTATTATTATTATTATTATTATTATTATTAGTTCGGATCGCATTATATCAAACATGACTTTTATTTCGACGTACATCCACCCTTAGGAAAGATACTCGTTGGATTGTCGGGCGTATTGGCAGGTTATAACGGTTCGTTTGGATTTGATTCTGGTTCTACTTATCCTGATGGTATGCATTATGGAGTAATGCGTGTATTCAATGCCATGTGGGGAGCCCTACTTGTACCTTTGGCTTATTTGACAGCAAGACAACTCAATTTCTCGATAAAGGCAAGTGTCTTGACTGCTACAATGGTGTTGTTAGATACTGCTCTTCTCTGTATCAGTCGATTCATTTTGTTGGATTCAATGTTACTCTTCTTCACCTGTACTACTCTTTACTCTTTATCCAAATTTCATAATTATCGACATGAGTAAGTATATTAAAAAAAAAGTCAAAGGTAGAGAGGGGGGACATAAGAATGACAGGGGTATATATGTATGAATTCTCATCTTTTTCTATTTCATTGTATTTGTAGATCTTTTTCTGAAGAATGGTATATGTGGTTATTTATGACTGGGTTGTCCTTAGGTTGTGTATTAAGGTAATTGCAAGAAATATGACGTAAACCCAATCTCCTTTTTTTTTCTTCTATGTGTCGGTTTGTGATGATTAATAGTACAACGGTCTTTTTCTTTTTATATATTTAATAGTGTTAAATGGGTTGGACTGTTTGCCGTAGCTTTGGTTGGTATCTATACTGTGGAAGATTTATGGGACAAGTTAGGAGATCTCCAAATGCCAAAAGTAACATATGCTAAACATTGGTTGGCCCGCATTCTCTGTTTGATTATTTTACCTCTTACGGTGTATCTCTTTAGCTTTGCATTACATTTTGCTCTACTTTACAAAAGTGGTGATGGTGATGCTCAAATGAGTTCCTTGTTCCAAGCAAATCTTGAAGGTAGCTCTCTTGGTCAAAATCCATTAGGTAAAACAAGAAAAGGATACCGAAAGGATATATTTATAATTTGTTGACTCTATTTTTTTCCATTCTTTTTTTTTTTAATATAGAATTAGCATATGGGTCAAAACTGACGATTAAAAACTTTGGTTATGGTGGCGGTTTATTACATTCTCACATTCAAAAATACCCTGAAGGCTCCAAACAACAACAAATCACTTGCTATCACCATAAGGACGACAATAATCATTGGATTATCAAGACACCTCGAAATGGCAATCCAGACGACTATGAAGGCGGTAGCGATAATGACAATAATGAAAATACACCCATCCGCTATGTAACAGATGGAGACGTGATTCGATTGATGCATGCGCCAACTAATGTTAACCTACACAGTCATCCTATCAGTGCACCAGTTACAACCGGACAATGGGAAGTCAGCGGATACGGAAATGATACTGTGGGCGATTTACAGGACAATTGGAAGGTGGAAGTGGTGGATGATCTTGCAAAAGGAAATGATCAACATCGTATACGTTCTTTGACAACTCGATTCCGTTTACGTCATGTACAACAAGGATGTCTTTTGACTGCCAACAACGTTATATTACCACAATGGGGATTCAAGCAAGTAGAAGTTTATTGTGACAAACGAAATCGATTGGATGATCCCCATTCATGGTGGAATGTAGAAGAACATTATAATGACAAATGTAAGCAAAAAAAAAAAAAAAAAAAAAAGAGAGATTTCATATTTATAATTATTAAAATCTTTTTTTTTTTCTTATCATTTTTTTTATATAGTACCTCCTGCTCCTCCTAACGCATACAAGTCTCACTTTTTACAAGATTTTTGGCATCTGAACGTGGCAATGTGGACATCTAACAATGCCTTGGTACCTGATCCTGATAAGATTGATATTCTTTCATCCGAACCATCTGAATGGCCTTTGGCTAGTGTAGGATTACGTATGTGTGGATGGGATGATAATACAATCAAGTTTTATCTTTTGGGAAATCCTATTGTTTGGTGGTCATCATTCGTTTCAATATTGTATTTTGTTGGGTCAGCCTTATTTTACATTGTCCGTATGCAAAGAAACATTCATGATTTGACCAGTGGTAATAATAAAAAGAAATTTACTAGGATTTCAAAAAAAAAATGACTCATTTGATTCATCATTATTATTAGGACAATGGGACCAATTTTTATATGTGGGCAAAACTCTCTTCCTTGGTTGGTTCCTTCACTATATTCCATTTTTTATGATGGGTCGTGTGACTTATCTTCATCATTACTTCCCTGCTCTTTATTTTAGTATTTTCATGGGTCCCTTTTTGTTAGATCATTATACAAGAACATGTTCAAGTCGTACTCAATGGATTATATTTGGTACCTTTTTCTTCTTGGTTATCACCGTCTTTATTTACTTTTCTCCTTTGGCATATGGTATGAAGGGCCCTGTCAATGCTTACGCTGGTCGGAAATGGTTGAATAGTTGGAATTTGGTAGATTAGTTTGCATATACATTAGAATTCTCCTCGTATATTGCAATTATATTCTTATATATCATTCATTATCAATAAATAAAAAATACGTTATATACATCATCATCATTATTTTTTTTATCATAGATCATCTAATTGGATTTCTCTTAGCTTATTATTATTATTATTATTATTATTATTATTATTATTATTATTATTCTACACACAAACTATTTCATCTTGTAGGGTACAGGATCTTTTTTCTTTGGTAGGTACCTGGACTTGCATGATTTTTTCCAGTGGCAAGCCGTCACGTTGGGGCGTTTTTTTTTTCCAGGCGGACTTCATCATAAAAAAAAAAATTGACATAAAATTTTCTCTTTTTTTTTTCTTTTCCTTCTTCTGATTACTACTCGTATTAAAAACATTCAACATGAGCATTCAAGGATTCTTTGGTAAGTAAGAAAATATAATAAGAACAATAGAACAGCCTTATGAAGAGACTAGATCATAGTTTTGATCTGGTAATCATCAAATGAAACTCGATATTTACTGTATATACTCCTTTTTTTTTATTTCTTGGGAACATAGGATTGAAGGTTGCCCCTGGTAAGGTGTACAGTCAAATTGCTGAAAACTCATTCCGTCTCACAATGGTAAAAAAAAAAAAAAAAAAAAAAAAAAGATCAAACTTTTACTTGTAACAACATAAAGTGGAAGAATAATTCATTCTTTTCATTTGTATTAGGCCTCTCTTGCTGAAAACACAAAGAATAACAACCGTACTAGTCTCACCATTAAGGTCGATGAACGTGATTTTGTTTTGTGCTCTTTGACTCCTGGAAAAGTTGATCAACAATTATTGGATTTGATTATTGTGAAGGGTGAAGAAGTTGCTTTCTCTGTTCAAGGTCAAGGGTAAGATAGAAAAGTAGATCAATGAAAAAATCATGGTGGATTTAAAGTTGACAACATCAAACTCACCAGTATTTACGCTGTATTTTTTTTTTTTAATGACCAAACAACAGCACTATTCACTTGACTGGCAATTACTTGTTTGAAGGCGAAGGTGACGAAGATGAAGAGGATGAAGATATCAACAGTGACGAATTGGACAGTGATGAAGCCGATCTCATGCTTGAAGACGATGAAGAAGACGAAGATGAAGATGAAGAAGAAGATATGGATGATGAAGCTCTTTTGGAGTAAGTTACATTAGATACATAACAATAAGAAAACATTTTTGGTCTCATCACTTTCTTTTGATACCCTTTTTTTTTTATAGAAATATGCCCGAAGGTATTGATCGTGAAAAAGTCCGTAAGTACACATAAAAAAAAAAAAACCACAGTTGAATGATGATGATGATGATAGGAAGCGAATTGGTTTATTGACATTTGTTGTTTATTTTTCGAACTGGTGGTTAGTTGCCTACTTGAACGGTGAAATTGACTCTGATGATATGGGTTCTGACTCTGAAGAAGAACTTGACGAATCTCGCATCCAAGAAATTGTAGATGAAGAAGAAGGAGAAGAAGAGGAAGAAGAAGAAGAAGAAGAGGAAGAAGAAGAAGAAGAAGAAGAAGAAGAAGAAGAAGAAGAAGAAGAAGAACCTGCCAAGCCATTGACCAAGCAAGAAAAGAAACGCGCTGCCGCTGCTGAAAAGGAAACCGCCTCCAAGAAACAAAAGACGGAAGAAAAGAAGTCCAAGGCCGAAGAAAAGAAGCCCAAACAACAAGAAAAGAAACCCAAGGCTGAAGAAAAGAAACCCAAAGCTGAAGAAAAGAAGCCCAAGGTCGAAGAAAAGAAGCCCAAGCAACAAGAAAAGAAGGTAAAAACAAAAGCAAATAAGAAAAACGCTTATTATCTTGTACTTATTATATCTGTGATATTGAAATAGGTGACCAAGATGCCTAATGGTTTGATTATTGAAGATGTTAAGATTGGTGAAGGTGCCAATGTTAAAAACGGTGCTCGAGTAAGTTTCTTTTTTTTTTTTTATTTTCTCCCTGTTTGAAGGCATAATAATTTGAATAATCATTTTTTTTTAACTCAATTTTTTTTCTTTCTTTGTTTATCAAAGATTGGCATGCGATATATTGGTAAATTGACCAACGGAAAGGTATTCGATAAGAACACTTCTGGCAAGCCTTTCAACTTTGTTCTCGGTCGTGGTGAAGTGATCAAGGGTTGGGATCAAGGTATTCTTGGAATGAAGTTAGGTGGTGAACGTAAGTTGACCATTCCTGCACCCTTGGCTTATGGTCGTCGTGGAGCTGGAAAAGACATCCCACCTAACGCTACCTTGGTATTTGAAGTAAGTTTGCACAAAAAAAAAAAAGATAGTCCTGATTTTATTATCAATGTTTTATTGATTGACATTTTTTTTCTTGTCTCCTTTAGATCAAGTTGGTATCAATGAAATAGATAGATTACATTTCAATTTATGTCTACATACTATTGTTTATTTCTTTCATTATTCTTTTATCACTTTTTCTTAGATAGCTTTTTTTTTTTTTTTTTGTCATCATTCTTTATCATCATTTATCATACTTTTTTATTTTTATTTCTACAACGCAATAAAGTATTTGATTGTACCAGTTATTGGCATCTATCACTCAATTGGTTTGCCATCTTTATTTCAATGACTGACCTTGCGTTCTTGTTTAATCATTATCGAAGTTCATCCATCATTTGTTATATCCAATACCATTGCGCACTATTCATCATGACATGCCATCCACCCATCAGTCAATCGTGCTTCCGTTATTCAATCATATTTCAATCATATAGTATTATCATTATACTGCTATCATCAATTCATCTATCTATTATCCACATTATTATGAATCATTCAATTTAATCATTCGTTTTCGCAATAGTATTATGTACTGGACAAAATGGAATCGAAAAAAAAAATAAATGTATTTGGCAAACCAAGGATCTAGCGCTGATAAATGTGTATATGAAAACACGTATGGACATCCTCTCGCTCCTCTTTGTTATGCATACTCGTGTGTAAATTCATACATACGCATCCATTTGTTCTTTCCTTATAAGTAAGCTATGGAATTTTCATCATCTCCGTATCAGACCAGAATCAAAGATACTTTATGTTGTTAATAATAACGATACAAAATAAAAAGTGAGTGAAAAAAAAGAATCAAGTCAGTGATCAACATTGTTTATTCAAGATGTATAATGCAATTTTTATAAAAAAAAAAAAAAATAGGGAGCAAAGAAGTAATATAAAATAATCTATGTATAATAATAAAGATGATGAATGAGTATTAACAATAACAAGTGCTTGCTACTTCTTGTTCTTTGGAAGCAGACGTATCATTCAAATCCACTTTGATTACTAATAATAAAAAAAAAGTTAACATTGTCCAATATAGAATGGAATGACTTACAGAAATCGCTATTTTCCTTTTCCAATTTATCATCCAAATTAGGTAAAGCATGTCCTATTTTACGAAAGAGAGCTTTGACCTATATAAATACAACCAAAGATTTATAAATGAGTGAAGATATAATTTCGTTTGATTCTTACATTGTGTCCTGCTCTTGCGCTTGTTTCAATATATAACATATTATACTGTTTGGCTTTCTTTTCCCCTTCTTCCAAAGGAACTTGTCTATGATATAATAATAATAATAATTGTAAATGACAATCCACATCTATATGATATTTTTATTATTACCTTTTCTCATGTAAATCTGATTTATTACCAACAAGTACCAAGATCACGTCATCCCCTCTTTCCGCACGTACATCATCAATCCATTTATCCGTATTGATAAAAGTGGATCGATCTATTATAAAAAAAAAAAAAAAGAGTGAATATATCATTATTATTTAAAACGAGAGACTTACTTGAAATATCATAGACAATAACACATACAGCAGAATCACGGATATAGCTAGGTACAAGACTACGAAATCGTTCTTGTCCTCCTGAATCCCCTAGGAATCATAGTTATCATTATTATCATAGTAATAATAATTAATAAAAGATGATGATGATGATGACGATATTTACTTATTTTTTTTTCTTCTTCTTACATAATTGTAGTCGAAGGATCCGATTATCATTCATATACATTGTTTTTGATAAAAAATCAATCCCAATTGTTGCCTAAATGGATTTTCAAAATTTAAGGAGTAATTAGTAAAAAAAGAATGATTCTAATTTGTATTTTTTTTTTTTTGACATACCTGATAAGTACTATCAAAAGTATCATACATGAATCTTGTAATAAGTGATGTTTTGCCAACTAGAATAAAAATATTACATTATCATACTACAGTGGTAATATTTATTATATTTTCTTTACCACTTTGTTCTCCAAGAAAGACCAGTTTATATTTCCGTTGACTATTGTCTATAATATCAACGGTCATGACTGAAGACTAGATTGTAAATAAAATAAATAATAATAATAATAATAAAAAGAAGACAATAGAGTCAGATAATCGAAAAAAAAAATCAAAAACCAAAAGAAAAAAAAGAGAGAAAAGAAAAGGAAAAAAAAAAAAAAAAAAAAAGAAAAGAAAAGAAATAGGGTCAAATAATCAATTAAGGAGCGAAAAAAAAAAAGAAAAAACGCATGATTACAATGAAACCCAGCCATTCCAACCATCAAGGTACAGAAAAAAAAAAAAAAAAAGACATACAGTGCTTATTCAGTACAATATATTTCTCTCCCTTCATCATCAAAAAAAAAAAAACAATATGATAGTAACTAATATATAATTGAAGAATGATGTATTTGGGTTGTAAATAGAATCAAAACTATATAGAGTTCAAATTAAACTAAATCTAAGCTTCCCAAGAAGAAGGAGCGGCAGCAGCGGCATCATCAGCCCAGTCAGAGGAGCCAGCTTGAGCATTCCAGTCAGCAGCAGCAGCAATACCAGCAACACCTTCAGCAGCAGCACCTTCCACACCCCATTCAGCAGTAGCAAGTTCAGCATTGAATTCACCAGATTCTTCGAAAGCAGCGGCTTCTTGTTCCTTTTCAATTTCTTCAGGATCACGGTAGAAGAACATATCAACCATGACATCCCAAGGAGTAGTGTAGTCAAGAGAACCACGGAGACGGAGGACAGCACGAGCCAACAACCAGTAGATCAAACCAAGAGCATGTTTACCCTTATTGTTGGTGGGGATAACAACATCAACGTATTGAAGTAAAGCATCAGTATCGGCCAAAGAGATAACAGGGATGTTGACATAAGAGGCTTCCTTGATGGCTTGGAAATCAGTACGAGGATCAGTACAGATCACCAAACGAGGTTCACGGAAAGAACGAGTAATGTAATTGGTGAAGGTACCAGGAGTGAAACGACCAACAATGGCTTCAGCACCAATATACTTGGCGAACTTCAAGGCAGCACGGTGACCATAAGGACGAGCAGAGATCACAACGATATCCTTGGGGTTTTCAATAGCAGCAATCACACGAGCAGCGAAAATAAGCTTTTCCCAGGTCTTACCAAGGTTGATCAAGTTGACACCTATTTGTAAAAATTAAATGATCAGTTCCTAATCCATTGTATCTTTTTATTCTCATTGTTATTATTTCCACTTACCATCGGCACGACGCTTGTAAACGTAAGGAGTCATACGAGTGTTGACATTCTTGGCACCAATGTGACATTGAGCGCTCAACAAGAGTTGAATATCTTCTTCAGTGGGGTTAAGAACTATTTAATTTTTTTTAGAAAAAAAGAGATAATAACATTGGTAAGTTTAATCGTAAAAAAAAAAAAATTCTCGTTTTTCTTATTTTGTTGCATTACTGGCAGGAAGACGGGACATCGTGGAGTTCTACTACTATATACGGAAGATATAAAAAAAAATTGGTAACTATATATGATTTTATTATTCCATCCATCCATTCATCCATCCATCCATTCATCCATTCATCCAAATGTTCAATTTATCCAAGGTATCTATCCAATTTCCTCTAGTACTTACATTGAAGACTTGGAGGGTTCAAAGAGGAAGAAAAAAGAAAAGATGATGGATTGTTCAATCCATATGATTTTGAGTCGACGGAGTCTCAATCGTCTTTTTTTTTTTTCTATTCATAAACACTTGTACTTAACATTTGAATGATAATTATCATGTTTAAGGTAATCAAAAGATAAATTATTTTCAATTATATATTCTTTATTTCAAAAATAATCAAAATGCTACAAAGGAGGGAGGGAAGAGGGGGAAAAGAAGAGTAAGACAGTAGGAAGTAAAGAATCCCAAATTCATTCAATAAAGAACAAGTTTAGAATCTAAGCTTGCTGAAGAACCACTTGTTCTTGCCAGTTTGGTAACGTTCTTGGAACAACTTCTTGATAACCTAAAATGAATAAAAAAGAAATATCAGCCTACTTATCCTTATCACATCACCATTATTGTTATTATTATTATTATCCTCGTACCTTCTTGGCTTCATCACGTTGAGTAGGTTCCTTGAAAGTATCAGCAGAGATGGTACCCTTGATTTGTTCCAATTCCAAAGCATAACTAAATCATCATCATCATCATATATTTGTATTAATGAATGATATATTTTGCAAAATGAAAATTTTCTTATTATATACTTACCGAGTGGGCATCATATGGTTATAGTTGACGATCTTGATGAAAGGCTTAACTCTGGAGCGCTTGGCAACCTTCTTCTTACCCATGGAACGAGTGACCTTCAAAGGAGTACGTTCGACACCAGCAACAACAGCATAACCGTAGGGTCTGTCCTTGGTACCTTCGTCATGGTCTAATAAAAAAAGAATAAGAAAAAAAAATAAAAAATAAAATGATTAATAAACTATTTTCTTTTTGTTTGAGAATATAAGATGGTGAAATACGTACTACGGACGACAACAGCCTTTTTGCCGGCATAACGACCTTGCAAAACAACGACAACCTAAAAAAAAAAAAAAGAATGTGGAGAAATAAAATAAGTATATCAAAAAAAAAGTCATTTCTTTGTTGAAGTGGTGATAAAGCAATAGAGTAATGGAAAGAAGGAAGTGAAAAACTGATAAAAGTCGTAGTCTATTAAATGGACGAGAAACATGTCATGTTGTTTTATATATCATATATTTGGGTAACTGATTTCCGTTTCATCCATCCATCCATCCATCCATCTTTGTAATGTTTATTGTTCATTCGTATATTCTTTTTTCGTTCATGATTTCCTTCCTTCTTTCCTAGTTGATGATATTTGATAATGTTGGATATCGATACGTACTTTACCAGCCTTGATGAACTTGACCATCGGGATTAAAGTATACAAAGAGGAAGAAAAAAAAAGAGGGAGTATAAGCAAGCCAAAAAATTCTTTTGAACTTCTCCCGGACCAGCTCTTCTTTTGACATTTCATCTCCGATCGATGGCTTTTTTTTTTTTTTTTTCTTGACCACCAACCTTGTATACATGACAACTTGGCATGAACTTTCTCAAGTAGTTGATAATTGAAATGATACATCAAAATTTTAATGGATAATTCTTAACAATCATCTCTTTAAAAAAATAATTTTTACTCTTATAATATGATATTTATGTTTATAACGATTAGATGAAGTAGATAAGTCTAGTTAGGTATCCATCACTTAAAAACTAGACAAATCGCTAAGTTTGTAATAAAGAGAATGGTTTGTTAGGAAAAAAAAAAAGGAAAGGAAAAAGAAACTACATATCTTTTTATTTTATATAGACCATACATAGGCTGTATAGAGAGGTAAGGATACACACAAAAAAACAATTTCTAATTCCGCGTTCTTTTTTTTCTGGTGGAAAACGTCATTCTTTTTCTCAATACGCGCTTTGTTCCCTTTCCTTTCCTTTCTTTTTTTTTTTTTTTTTATATTAATTACAACCATGCCTAAAATCAACGTTAGTGTAAAGTGGAGTGGGAAAAAGTTTGATCAAATTGAACTTGGTAAGTAAAAAAAAAAAGATAAAAAAAAAAAAGGAAAAATGAAAAAAATACTGTTTTCGCAAAAAAGAGCTTTAGGGATCAACTCATCTACTGTTCCTTTTATTAGATACTGATGAATCTCCAGAATTGTTCAAAACTCAAATCTACTCACAAACTGGTGTCCCTCCTGAACGTCAAAAGATCATGGTCAAAGGTGGTATGTTGAAAGACACTACGGATTTGAATAAACTTGGATTGAAAGAAGTAAGTTGTTGGCAAAAAGCACTCGTATTCAAACAATCAAGCTTACTTTTATGTTTTATTAGGGACATACTTTTATGATGATGGGTACTGCCGGTGATTTGGCTAAACCTCCTCCAAAACCTATTCAATTCATTGAAGATATGACTGATGCTGAAATGGCCGAAGCTGTAAGTCTTTATGGAAAAAGAATTTATATATATACGTTGACTGACCATCACTTTTGTTTTTTTATTACTGTCGTATAGTTGGACATTCCTGCTGGGTTGGAAAATCTAGGTCATACTTGTTATATGGTAAGTGATTTAGTATAGGATTAGAATGCAATTGCACATATGGGAAAAACTGAATCTGTAATTATATTCACAATTCGTATGGCTTTAGAATTCAACATTACAATGTCTTCGTGCTATGCCTGAACTTCAAACATCTTTAGCAAGGTAATAGGAACAAGGACATCATAACTATTTACTTAATATTGACTGAACTTATTGATAGATACGAAGGTGGTATCTCTGGTATGGACAATCATGGTAATTTGACAGCTAGCCTTCGTGATTTATTCGTTAATTTGAACAAAAGTGGAGAAGGCTTTCCTCCTCTTGTCTTTTGGCAGGTAAAATAATGGGATTAGGATAGTGAATGAATTCACTCACTTTGATATTTATATTTGATTTAGATGCTGCGTCAAGCTTTCCCTCAATTCGCTCAAACTGGTCCGGGAGGAGGTCCTATGCAACATGATGCCGAAGAATGCTGGAGTGAAATCATTTCTGTGCTTCGATCCAAGTTACCCATCAATCAAGTTACCTCTCAAAACTTTGTTGAACAATATATGACTGGTCAAATGTCTACTGAGTAAGTTTTCTTTCTTTCTTTTTTTTTTTTTTTTGTTACTTGTCATCATATCTAACAAATTTTTTTTAGACTTAAATGCATCGAAGCTCCTGAAGAAGAAAAGCAAATCACAGTAGAACCGTTCTCCAAACTAGGTTGTCATATTTCTATTTGTAAGTTGAGAGAGATGAATTTAAATAATGAGTAATAAGAAATTCATTTATTTATCCTGCTTTGTTTTGTAGCTACCAACTATATGATCAACGGTATTCTTGAAGTAAGTTAGAATCACAATTCGTGTAGAGAATCAAAAAAAAAAAAAGATTTAAAATCAATATACTCATCCATTTTATTTGATTATAGTCTCTGAAAGAACAATTAGAAAAAAACTCACCTACTTTGAACCGTACTGCACAATATGAACGTGTGTCGCGTGTAACCCGATTACCCAAGTATTTGACAGTACAATTCATTCGATTTTTCTGGAAGCCTCAAGAACGTATTCGTGCCAAGATTTTGCGCAAGGTAAAATATCCATTGGAATTCGATGCTACCGAACTGTGTACACCTGAACTTCAACAAAAATTCTCCAACGTTAAGACCAAGATGAAGGAAGTGGAAGATCAAAAATTACAAAAGAAACGGGATGAAAAACGACGCAAATTGGATCCTGAAGCTGCTACATCGTCATCATCATCACCAACATCAACAGAACAATCATCAGAACAACAAACCACTCTTTCGGAATCACAAGAAAAGGTGAATTGGAATGAATATTTGGATCCGGAATTAGTCAAGGATGAAGGTTGCAACCCTACTGGTCAATATGAATTATGTGCTCTTATTACTCATGCTGGCCGATCTGCTGATTCTGGTCATTATATTGGATGGGTCAAAAAGGGAGAAGGTAAAATGATGAGAATTAGAGAGAAAAAAAAATTGAAAAAATATTGTTTAGTTTGATCACTCACACCATTTAATTTACTCTTTTATATGTTATATTTTATAGATGAATGGCACAAATTTAATGATGACAAAGTGTCTATAGTCCGTGATGCCGATATTGAAAAACTAGATGGTGGTGGCGACTGGCATACCGCATACATTGTGTTGTATCGTGCAAAACAATTGGAATAGATAGAATAGTGAATATTAATATTGACTCATTTTAGTTTAATAAACAATTTTTTTTTTCTTTTTGGATACACCTTTTGTTTATATACGGTGTATTGACTTTCATAATGATACTATAATGATGATGATTCTACAATAACAATAAAATGTCACAGTACGAATGCGTGACAGCAAGAAGAATAGTTTATTTGGATTATAAAGTTGTGTGGGGCAAAGTATCGATGACCTAGTCTACTTGAATGATAAGAAGTAACAAGGAAATGAGACATAAGTAGTAGCAGTATACAAATGAATAAATGGATAATAAGGAATCGGGAGACAAATAATACAGATAGAAAAGGGACAACTAGTTTATCACTAATTTATCATTAGAAAATGACTTGAACGGCTTCATCTACACCAGATTCAGATGGACAATAAGGACACTTGAATCGCATTGCATTTCTATAAGAAGAAGAAGAAGAAGAAAAAGAGTATATTGAGATGATCGTTACTATTATTATTATTATTATTATTATTTACCTTCCATAACGACTATTCCTACTCAGTCGAGTCAAACTTTCTTTACAAATGACATGACCACATGGCATCATCATAGGTGGATTGCTATCAGTAGCTTGTTCTTTGCTGACAGGACAGGCGAAAACGGAATGAAATCTGAGATCATCATCCATAGGCACTTCAACCGGTAATTCATCTTGTTGACTCCATTCTGCACGTTTGGCTGCCATGATCTTGTGAAGCTTCATGATGCTAGGTAAAGCTGTCGTTCCAACGTATACACTGGCATATAAAGGACTTTCTGCGCTCATGTTGAGAAGAGAACAGAAATCACGTTGAAATTCATGTTGTATATCCATCCATAAGCTTGGCGAACACAGATATCGATAAGGAGATGATTCAATATCCGTATAAATTGTACAAGTCATTAGTCGCATGATTTCTAGTTAATTAAAATAAAACATCAATAAATAAAATCCTTTCTCCCCTTCTTTTTTTTTTTGTACCAGAGAAATGCTTATCACCAAATTGACTAAAATGCCGTCGCCCATACATGATAGCTTCCAAAGGTTGATGTGATAATAAAAGTTGAATGAATCGTAATCGATGTAAGTTAAATTCGAGACTACTAGAAAGTGCATTCAATTCTTGTCGATGCTCTTGTGCCCATCTTTAAGAATAAATAAAAGTTAAAAATGAGAAAAACATATAATAATTCTCTTATTATTACTTACTGAATAGCTTGATCCAAATGATGCTCTTGTCCGAGTTGTTGAATAATCATATACATTTGCCGAAATTGTGTTTTCAAGTCATCCACAGCTGCAATCAAAACTGGGTCATTCACTGCAATATCAGTATCAGGTAGAGTACCATAAGAGGTTTTCATTTCTGTCATAAAAGTATCACACATATCAAATTGTCCTTGCCGAATAAAGTGCATTGCTAATGCCCGTTGCATCAAATATTCTTTCCCAGCAAAGGAGTCAGGTTGATAAATTACCGAGATATCCTGTTTGAATTTCTATTTAAAATACAAGTCCATTATTAGTTTATAAATATTATATTCCAAACTTTCTTGTAACTTTACCTTATCTATATCCTTGCCAAACTTGGATAAAGTAGATTGAAAATCCTTTTGACTCTTTTGAAATTGTAGTTTCTGTGCCTTTTCTCGTAATATTTCCAAATAAGACCTTGTTTGTGAAGGATCTATATGAAATTTAGAGAGAATTAGAGTATATACTTTTCCTTTTTTTTTAAAATAATAATAATAATAATAATACCATTGTTAATATCTTGTTTCATCTTTTCAAGAGTTTTATGAAAATCATCAAGCTTAGAGTTGACTGTTTCTTGGTGTTTTTGATGTCGTTTGTCTAATTCTAGACTGGCGCTTAATAAACTATCCATTGGATCATATATATATTAATAAGAACTTGGTTTATAAAAAAGGAATCAGTATTGAAGGTAAGAAGTAATAAAAAAAAAAAAGTGGCGTTAGAATAGATACGTGTGCATCAAAAGAAAAAAAAAAAGAAGAGACTGTGTGTGAGTAAAGAAAGAAAAAAAAAGATCCGGTCGGGATTTCAAATCAAAGTTTATGCTCTTAAGGATTACTTCACATTGGTAAGAGTACCTTCAAAGGACGTTTTTCAAATAAGCTATAAAGGATTAATTTCGGACAATGCATATTGAAAAAAAAAAAAAAAAAAACTATGACAGTTCTCTTCGATTCTTTTTTTGGATAATAAATGATTAAAAATTAGGGTTTTTACCAGTCATTTTTTTTTCTCACTGCGCATTTATAAATTTCATTCTCTTTCTCCCCTTTTTTTTTATTTTATTCTTTTTTCTTTTTCTTTTTTTTTGAATATTATCAAATCAATCAATATGACATTAGAACAAGATATTGTTTTATTTAAAAACAAAGTAGCTGTGATAACAGGTGGTAGTGGAGGTATTGGATTCGCTGTAAGCTCTGCTCTTGTGGATCGTGGTGTCAAGGTCGTCATTGGTGATGTTCTAAAGAAGGAAGGTCAAGAAGCTGTCGACAATCTCAATAAAAGGTATTAAAAAAAAAGAGTAAATAATATATTAATAATTTTGAAAATAGAATGAACTAACAATTTATTTATAGAGTTGGAAAAGTCGTGGCCATCTTCCAATACTGTGATGTCCGTTACTATAATGACTTGAAGAAGCTTTTCAACGTGGCGGAAACAAAGTTTGGTGGTGTAGACGTAAGAAAACTACATGTTTGTATTATATATTTATTCATCAATTATTATTATTATTATTATTATTATTATTAGATTGCTATATTGAATGCAGGTCTTGGCTTTACACCTGGCTCTGCTCTTGAAGTAATGGATGGTAAGGATGGATATTTCAAACTACAACTTTGGTTATAGAATATAACACTCATTTTTTTTTGATTTATAGATGAAAGTGAACGTTTGATTTTTGATGTCAATATTGGTGGTGTAGTCAAGGGCAACAAAGTAGCTATGATGCACTTGGTGAAACGACAAGGAGGAGTTATTATCAATACTGCTTCTATAGCTGGTGTTACTACTACCGTGTAAGTTCATTATACTAAGTAAAAAAAAAAAAAAAGCATTCATCCTTTTTTTTTTCTTTTCTTTAGTGGAATGGGTGCTTATTCTGCTACTAAACATGCTGTAGTAGGTTGGACCAGAGCTCTTGATCATTTACAAGTTTTAGGTATTCGGGTCAATGCAGGTAAAAAAAGAGATGATAGATGTTGTATGTTACAGATCACTCAATCTTTTTTTTATTCCAACTATTAATAGTATGTCCTTCTTGGACAGGTAATGTTAGATAAAATAGATGATCAAGTGGAGTATAAGACTGATAACTAACAAAAATGTCTTGTATAGATACCAACATTATCAAGTTACCAAAAGATGCTGATGGCAATCCACATGATTTTTCTGCTGTTTTGGATGCTTGTCCTTTGGTACCTATGGAAAAGGTGGTGAATGCTTTTTTGGATTGTATTCGAAATGAAGAACATGTCGGTACGTAATTTGATGATAAATTTTTCCTCTTCATTCTAATATTTGTTTCTTTTTCTCCTTTTTAAGGTGAAACTTTCGTAGTGACTCCAGAAGGCCATCATCCACATCCTCGTTCTAATATTCCAGGTAAAAAAAAAAAAAAAAAAAAAAAAAAAAAAAAAAAAAAAAAAAAAAAAAAAAGGATGATCTTTTGATTGTTTTATCATTACCATTTTAAAACATTTATCTTTTATCTCTCTGTCTATCTATCTATAGATTCTTGTATTGGAGATGCCATGATGGAAAAGATCGCGGAATTTACTCCCAAACTTTTACAGAAAACAAAGGCTGATATGGAACAAGCATCTGCGTCGTACTTCAGCAAACTTTAATCAAGATCATCAAGCTCGAATTATCGTTTTGGTTTAGCTTTGTTCTTATTTACTTTTATATATATATATATATATATATATTATCGATATGTATGAATAAAATATTGAACTTTATTGGATAAATATTATTCAAACCTGCTGAACCGACTATCTCTGTTATTGTTGTTATTTTTTCTACATGTGAATGCATGCATTATCCTTTATGATTGGGCATCACGATCTTTGATTAGTTGTTGAATATGGTTACTGAGAACAAATTGATTCAAAGTACTTGTAGATAAATGTTTAGCTCCCCTTACAGTTTCAATACACTTTTTTTTTTTTTAAAAAAAAAAAATACAGATAAAGAGAAAATAAATAAAATCAGGTACATGTTACATACAGAAAGTAGCACTATATTGTGTAATCATATTATTTTTACCTTTGGTGAACCACACCAGCATGCAAATGGTTGAGCTATCATTTTTTTTTTAAAAAAAAAAAAAGAAAGGATGATGATCAGTAACACTAATTAATCAAAATAGGAAAATAAACTTACCCATATCCCATTCAGTGGAAGGGTAGAAAAAAGTTAGTTCATCACCAGCCTTGAGATCTTTTAAAGCTACAATAGCCATACGATCCACGTCCAAATGAACAGAAGGATCACAAGAGTGATTCATAAACACCAAATCACTGTTCAACTCAACATGTTCAGTAGCAGAAATTTGAACAGAAGAGTAACGTTTAGGTCCAGGAGTTAATCCTTTCAAATCCACAACAGAAGCTCCTTTCGCGTAATCCAATTGAACCACCAATTTACTTGAAAATTGTTCAGGAGTACCTTGACGAACCACTTGAAGTAAACCTGGATGAGTATCACCAGGTAAATGAATATGTTGAGAATCAGTAGTAACAGACATTTTGCTTGCTTTTTTTTTTTGTAAAGGAAAAAGAAAAAAGAAAAAAAAAGAATATTTCGTTTTTGTTCCTCTTTTTATATCCAGTTATTCGTTTGGATACATGCTTATATATAATCATTCCTTAAAATAACCAGAAACGCGTCTTCCCAAGCTAAATAACCGGACGGAGACCACTTGTTAATCGACATTACATCATATTATTTCCTAATGAGGAAGGATGCTCGTCAAATTAGGCAATCTTCTTCCATTCGTACCACTTTTATCCGAATACATGTAAACCAATTACCAATCACAATGCTAGTAAAAACGCGTTGTAGTGGGGTAAAATGAAATCTATATATATTATATATTTATTTATATTTATTTATTTATATATATATATATAATCATCTATTATATATAGAGAATTATAAAAAAAAAAAAGAATAATCTACCTTCTCATTATGAAGATTATCTTATCATAATAATCATCACTATACAGATCATCAACAGAAAAGTTTCATCTGCATCATCAGTAAGAAATATCAAATAAATCAATATCATCGCAGAAATCAGCATGATAACGATCACTATACGAATCATCATCCATAGTTCAACGTAGTATAATAGTAATCATCATTGTATGAATCATCATTCTATTTCAACACATCATAGGCATCATCAGTATCCTCATCATACGTAATATCATAGAAATCAATCGGTGGGAACTATCACTATTATTAACTATCATCCATTTTTATCTATTGACTATTTCCTCCTATTATTAAACAACAATCAATCATTTTCACAGAAATCAAATATCTTGACTACTTGTATACATGATTCTTTTCAAAGTTACCCATTTTTTTTTTCTTTTTCCCCACCAAAAAAAAAAAAAAAAACAAAGTTGGAACGGGGAGACCGGGTACAACGGAATAAAGTACCGCTTTCCAACGAGGTACATATCCATCAATATCGATCATGGGTTCAAAGACCGACAGAAAAGAAGTTAATGGGGAACAGTGCACAGTCCAAAATGAATAAACTGTTCCATTAGAACTTTTTCCCTTGCGGGGGTTTAAACCGTGTGGATTTTGCATTCATACAGTTGGGGGAACCATGTTTCTTTTTTTTTTTTTCCTCTCTTTTTTTTCCCTTGCTTCACATTTTTTTTTCTTTTCCTACTTTCTTTTCTTGTATAACGATAGTTTATCGGAATATGTCAATACAGAATAGGTAATAATAAAAATAATAATAATAATAAAAAAAAAGGCGACTATACCAAATCAAAACACTCGATAACTTCATTATTAATGTTTTTTTTTTCTTTCTTTTCATTTTCTTTGTTCTTTATAAAAGTACTGAAGGACAATATTCCCAATCCTTACAAGTTGCTTTAGATCGTTTTCGACAGTTGACAGCAACTAATGAATGGATCTTATTAAAATCGAACTTGGAACAACAACAATTATCAGAAACAGGACAATTACAATTATGGAAATACAAGAATGCTTACAAGGTGTCACTAGTGGATCGTGATACTTCTACTTTTTGTTGGTCTTTGAACGATTGGCGTAGTTTAATAGAAACGGACGGTTCTCAGGGTGGTAAGTGTGTGTGTGTGTTTTTTTTTTTCTTTTTAATCATATGATACGGTGAACAAAAAAAAATGTGTAATGAAATTATTATTTTCTTATTTATCTATATATAGTGAATCAAATGGTGGAAAATAGACAAGTGATTACAAGGTTAGACAAACATACTCGAGTTAGTCGACTCAGAATGAAGGAAGAATGGAATATAGGGTAAGTAATAATAAGATATTAAAAAGGATGGTCATATTACTAGTTGACTCATTATTATTATTATTATTATTGTTATTTTTCATCATCTTAATCGATATAGATCTCGCGATCGAACGTTGATTGAACAAGTTATACAGCATCCAAAATCGTTACGTTACATTGCCACATCTACTCAACAGGACGATCCTCTACAAATCATTTGCCTTGACATTTATCGTCCAACCAATCAACCTGATCAACAATCCCATGTGATTCTTTACTGCCAATGGGAACCAAACTCTACTACTAAAATTATCGAGTCAATATCAACATACATGTTGCCTATTATCACCAGATCTCTTTCCTTTTTATCATCACATGGATCACCTCCTTTTATTAGTCGACAAGATTCTGGATTGCAACTTGAACATAATTCATACGATCCTTCTACTCGCACTTTGGATATCACATATCAATACTGTCCTAGTAAATTTCACTCATCTACAACTGCTGTTATTTTATCACCCACTTCTTCTTCCAATATCAATATCCATCGTCATATATCATCACATTTATCAGCACAAAGTAGATCCTGGGATCAACCTCAAGAACCCGTGTTATCTTCTTCTTTACGAAAACACGATTTTATGTCCTCTTCTATGGTCTTTCGTCCTTCGTCTCCCAAGCGTCTTCCAGGTTCTCTGAACAAAAGATTTTCTTCCGTCGATATCTCATCTTCTTCACCTACTACAAAACCAACAATGCAGCAAGGATTCTTAACGCCAACTTCATTTAGTACTGATACAACAACTGGAAATGAATTGATCATCAACTTCAGTGGCAAACATACAATGACAGCTCATCTCACTCTACATCTTACAGCTCACACTGATACTGATTTGGAGATGGATACTAATGTGACAAATCAATTCGCTCAATTATGTATACGATGCGCCAAACAACAAATGGAAAATATATCCTCTGATACTAGGTATAACCTGTTTGTCCATCATCCAGTATCGCTTTTGGAAGATTTGAAATTACCTCAGGGAACAACATCGTTGACGATTACGCTTAAATTTGTATTACAGCCTCAGATATCTTTGGACAACAACGGGAAAATGATGTCTACTCTATTGAAAGAAATGCAGTTATTTTTGAATGGAAATCAATGGCCAGTTCGATCATCAATGCCTTGGGACGTGGCAAGCGATAGTAATGAGGATGACGACGATGATGATAACAATATAGACGAAAAGGACGACGATATGGAGGCGGACCCTTTTATGGATAGTATGGAGGATATTCATGATTCGACAACAACAACATCAGCATTAACATCCGAGAAATCGTTATCACAACAACCATCAAATACATATATGAATTCTCATTTACCTTCTTCATCGACTACTGCAGCAACACCAAAGATACTTCAATCATCAACTACCTTGACTAGCATGGATCAGAAAGAGACAACGAAATCTCCACTATCTTTTGATGAACGTCCAATTGTAGCTGAAACTAGTGTGTCACAACCATCTTCTGTTCTGGAACAACAACAACCGCAAAATGAGGAAGCAATAACTGACAAGAAGTCAAGACAACGGCGACCACCTTCTTCTGGGAAGAAAATCCATATTCCTCATGTCGATCCACCTGAAGTACTCAAATCCTACCAATATTTCGACGCTCTCCTCCATAGTGACAGCTGGTATGTTACTCAAAAACCTGATCAAAACAATGGATTCGCAACTATCATGAAGATGGATGTGGACGGGCATCCAACAGGTGCTCTTCTTTGTGAAACTGTGTGGCATCATTGTAGTATCTGGGACGCTAAGGCTGTATTGACATGTTCTGAAGCAAGGGAAATATGTAAGTCATGAATGTCTTTTTTTTTTTTTTTTTTTTTTTTTTTTTTTTTTTTTTTTTTTTTTTTTTTTTTTTAAAGATTACTCATGATTTTTTTCTTTCTTTTATTGTTTTAGGGGATTCAATGTTTGAAAAAAGTGACTTTATATGTGCCTTGACACCATCATGTTCCATTTGGCATACCAAATTGAAAAGCGCCTGGCCTGCAAGGTAACAATAAAAAATAAAAAAAAAGATAAATTTCAAATATTGACTAAAGTGATATTTTTATTTTTATCTTTATATACACAGTCCTCGTGATTATGTTGCTTTTACTTCTCAATATACATCAAAGCAGCGAGTGGATATCTGTTCAACATCATGTATTGGAGATACCTATGAACACTACATTTTACCAAAGGAAACATCGGATTATGTACGAGCAACATTAGATCTTTCAGGATGGAGATTGGATAGTATGGATAGTGGCAATGGAACAACATCAACTAAATCAACACCTACCTCAGTGTCTGTACGATATGTTTTGCAAACACATTTCCAAGGTTGGATTCCATGGTATCTATTGAATCAGTTAACAACTCAAGCTCCTAATATACCAACTTCAGCTTATCAGTATCTGAAAAAATATGGGGCACCTCCTTGTGTAGAAGACTTGGTGATGGCGACAATACGAAAGATGAAATACGACCATACAAAGAAGAACTGGCGATGTGAATACACAAGATCTATTGTTTCTGGAGATGTTGGACCGACAAAAGCAATTATACGTTTAGATCGACGGCGTTGGGCATGTCATTCAGTGGATGGTAGCTATTATAATATTACAATCGATCCTCCTCCATCCAAAGTCATTGCTGAAGCAAGAAAAGAAGATCCTTATGGAATATGGCTTGATATTGAACATGACGAATCCTTCATTATTCCACAGAGGGCCAATATACTAGTGCTTATCAAACCTGGAAGACATCAAAATCATAATCATTATCAAATACAACAACAACCACAACAACAACCACAACAACAACCACAACAACAACCACAACAACAACCACAACAGCAACAGCAACAGCAACAGCAACAACAACAGCAACAACAACAGCAACAACTACAGCAACAGCAACAACAGCAACAACTACAGCACCGTCAACACAAAAAGAAACGAAGAAGAGCAATTACCTTGATGATAAATGGTGCAGCTACACCTATACAAAATGACAATTCAATCAACAATGGGGAATTCTTGGATTTAGAAGATCAAGAAGCATCATCATCATCTGCTAAAGAAGTGCATCCTACAACTCCATCTTCAGCATCAGCATTGACAACACCCGCACGTACTAGCTCTACTCTAACGTCAATGGCAGACGAAAATTCAATAGAACAACAGTTGCAAACTCTTTCGGTGACGCCTATGGACCAAGCACAAGCAGCATTATTGTATTTGAAAAAGATGGATGAACAATTTGGATGGACGGCAGTGTCAGACAAACAAGGAGTACGTGTCGACAAGCGTTCGGGAACGAAATCATCTTCGCTTACAACAAAAACGAAACCAATTCAAGGAGCATCACACCAAACAAGCAGAGGTAAAACATCAACAACCACCACTTCCTCGACTATGACTACATCTGAAGGGATTACCCGAAAAAAGTCTTCTTTATCACTTGCAGACAACAACGACACAACAGCTCTCAAAACGTTACCAGAAACCCGTCATCAGTACTCTTTGGATGTACCAGACCCTTATGTTATCTACAAATCTTCCAAAGTGATCGAAAATTTTTCTGTGGAAGAAGTTGCTTCGGTAGTTACCAATGTCTCGGATGTCCGTGTGTCTTACGATTCTTCTATCGAAAAATGTCAAGTAATCCAACCTGTCCAACGTGGTTGTCAAGTTATTCGACAAGAAATCAAAGGTATCTTTCCATTCAAGTAAGTACTGATTACATAAAAAAAAAAAAAAAATAAAGAAAAGAAGCTGATTCTCCGTTTCTCAATATGTAGATCGCGTGAACTCTATCTGGCATCATGTACTGCGTTTGAAAAGACAGTGGGTCCTCCATCATCGAAAAGAATTCTCTATGTGGAAAGCTCGCTGGATTTACCAATCATCAAATCAAACAAGTTACCTAGAGGAAAATTATTTATTTCTGGTTGGATCTTGGAACCAATTGACCCATATACAACAGCCACCAATCATCCTATTCCTTCTATGCGTGCTACTCATGTCATTGCTTTAGACCTTGGTTCCTCGATTCCTTCCTATCTCAGCAATATGGCTGCATCCGGTACGGCATCTAAAAGAATCCAATGGGTGGAACAATATCTGAAACAAAAAGGTCCTCTTCCTTATTTGGTACATCCTCTTCCTGCGGTTGGATTGCAAAAAAATCAATGTGTAGATATAGAGTTATTACAAGACGAAGAGAATGGATTTGTCAGCAGCAGCACAACGAAAGATGATGAAGGCAATGTTCCTTTTGGTCATGCCAATACGACGGTCACTTCAACGACGACTACAGCGGTGGCAACAACACGTATGACAACATTACGTTGGAGCGATGTACAGACAATTTATGATCAGCATTCTTTACTGGTGAAAAGTCAATGTCAATATCAGCAACCTCCTCCGCCTATAACACCACGAACTTCTGACTTTTCATCATTTTCTTCCACCTCTTCACCTTCTGCAGCAAATTCATCAGTAGTAACACCATTATTACAACCATCCCCTACCCTGGTTCAACCGGTAAGCTCCATTAGTGCCTCTTGGATGGATCGTCGTCATAGTACTACATCATCTTCACATACAACTCAGAATCAACGTCGCGGATCAATGCCTCCGAATGCATCATTGTCTTCTACTGTTACAGCTGCTGCCATTGCCGCTGCTGCCAAACAACGTAAACTCGAATTGGAAAACAATACAAGTAACAACCATAGCCCGACAAGTCGTACATCTAGCGTGATGATGGATCCTATTCTTTGTGAAGTCATTGTTGATCTTCAAGCATTTCCTCAAGGCTACGATGTCCAAGTACGATTTCGACAGCACCAGGATGTCAATGATGATATCAGCAACAACATTGATGATGACCATTACGATCAAAGGGATTTATCAGGCTTGTTATCAGTGATGATCTCGGAATTGGCTCCCACTCCATCCCATCTATTATTGGCAACAACTGATAGTGCGAAAGCACCTCCAGGAAAGCATGTCGTTCAAGTGACTCTTGTAGCATCTTCTCTCTGTCAAACAACTCTCTTTCAACCCAAGGATCAAGATGTATACGATTTAGAACTAGAATTACGACCACATCAGCCACCACCGACTCATATTGAAGGAGGCGATCGATTGACGATGTCTGATATATTAGGTGATGATGACGATGATGATGACGATGATGGAAAGAAAAAATCAACAAAGAAACATGGTAAGGAATCAGTGCGTTGGCAAGGTCCTGTGTTTGTAGATGGACAAAAATTGATGGCGTATGGCGAAGGTATCAGAATCACATCGAAGCGACGACCCACCACTGCGATTTCTTCTTCTTTGTCGACATCTATGGAAAACAAAAACAAGATGATAACTGAGTCTTATGATGACAACAACAAGGAAATGAGTGATCGGTATGATGAAACTAGCTTGGCAACTAGAAAACAAGATATCAAGGATCATGAATTACTTTCTGATACATCCTCTATCTCTTCCTCTTACTCTACGTCTTCTTCTGGTGAAGATGATCAAGAAGATCCTGAAACTGTATCTAATGGTCCTTTTCTTGGTCAAAGTGTAGTGGCGGCAGCTCTGGGTGGTGTGAACGTAAGGCTTTTCCTTTTTTTTTTTTTTTTTAATTTCTTTGATCTCGTATCCCACTGGACATGCTCACCTTATTATTATTCTTTTTTTTTTTTTTTAAATCACTATTAGGATATCCGTATGCGTGTGATGTTTCCATTTCGCAATCCATTTTATCTCCCTCAGTCTCTCGAAGCAATAACAGGCATACAACCATCCACTAATGAAGAAGAGGCAAGCAAAAGTATTAATGGAAATAATACGACAGGAAATTCAACAACTGCAGCAACAACGACAACATTAAAACAGGATGAAAACAATGTGGTCATGAATGCAAGGGAAGAAGCCATTCATGATACTGGATTATATCCTACGGTGGTTATGGTTCGAATGATGATCTTGATTGGTTTGATTGGACTCTGTCTGTTTTATGTACTGACCCTTGTGATCTTGCAACCGATGGTGGTGGTTTTTGATACACAGAAACCTATTTATTCCTTGGGCCGATTACCGTGGTTTGGTGGTTGGCAGATACAACTTGTAGCTAGTCAAACTTCATTCACTTGTCATAATCCATAGTATTCTTTATATACCCTTTCTCCCCCCTTTTTTTTATACTGCTATATGTCATAATAAAAAATAAATACCCTGATTTGATTCACTCTTTTTTTTTTTGATGATAGACACTGATAGGTGATGACGAGCATTCTTAGGATGATAGAAAAAGGATTACGATTCTACATACTGAAGGTTAATAATGACAGATGACAGATGAAGCGAAAAAAAAAAAAAAAAGATCAGATCAATCATCTGGAGTAAACCACGGTGATGATCTTTTAACCTTTGACAATAGGGATGAAACAATTTAATCAATTCCAGTGCTGTTAAGAGACATAGACTACCTTATGACAACAACAAGTATAAGAATAATGAAAATAAAAGACGGATTAGGAAGATGAATACAACAAGTTTATTTCTTAACTGAATATTCCTTCTATAAAAAAAAAAAAAAAAAAAAAAGAATATATAAAATAAAAAGAGACTGATTAAATCCAAAAAGTAGTCATGACAACCCAAAAAAAGGAAGTCTAAACAACGGAAGTACCAGAGCGAACGGCCCTTTCTTCAATGACCTTGTCCAAACCCAATTGCTTGTCAGTCCACATGGGAGTAGGAGGTACGGCATTTTCCACACCAACACCGGCACATCCACCTTGTTCGACCCAATCATTGACACGTTTAAAGTCGTAGCGATCCCAGATACGTTCCAAAGAATCAACAAGGTGATCAATCATCTTTCCATTATGACCAGGAGTGGGGGTGATACGGAGACGTTCTTCACCACGGGGGACGGTAGGATAGTTGATGCTTTGGACATAAATACCATGTTCAGATAAGAGTTCATCAGAGGCCAATTTGGCAGCAGCAGCATCACCTAACAAGACAGGGACAATATGCGAAGGATTAGGTACGACTGGAATACCCAATTCACCCAAACGAGATTTGACATCACGAGTGTTAATTTGTTGCATTTCACGTTCAACGGTAGATTCTTTCAAATACTTGACGGATTCAAGAGCACCAGACACCACGGCGGGAGGAAGCGAAGTAGTGAAAATAAAACCAGGGGCATAGGAACGTACCATATCCACAAATAATGCAGAACCGGCAATATAACCGCCAACAACACCATAAGCTTTGCCAAGAGTACCAGTGATGATATCGATTTCATCCAACACACTACCATTACCCATGGTAGGTTGGGCAGCATTGAGATCATAATCTAAATGTTCAGCTACGCCAGCACCACGAGGACCATACATACCAACAGCATGAACTTCATCCAAAAAGGTGATTGCACCATATTTCTTGGCCAAGTCGACAATTTCACGGATAGGACCAATAGAGCCACACATGGAATACACTGATTCAAAAGCAATGATCTTAGGGACACTGGGATCCACAGATTGCAACAATTCTTCAAGATGAGCCATATCATTGTGACGGAAAATTTTCTTTTGAGCACCAGAATGACGTACACCTTGGATCATCGAGGCATGATTCAAAGCATCAGAGAAAATCACACAACCAGGAAGTTTACCGGCAACAGTAGACAAAGTAGCATCGTTTGCAACATAACAAGAAGAGAATACCAAAGCACCTTCTTTATGATGAAGATCAGCCAATTCGGATTCAAGACGAAGATGAAGATCAGCATTACCAGCAATATTACGAGTACCACCAGCACCAGCACCATAACGATCCAAGGTACGTCTATTCAAAAAAAAAAAAAAAAGTTTAAATAATAAATTCTTATTTTTTTTTGTTTGTTTGAATGAGATGATTTGCTTACTTCATAGTTTCAGTTAAAACAGGATTGCGACCCATACCCAAATAATCATTGGCACACCAGACAGTGACTTCATCTTCTACACGAGCAGTATGAGCACGAGGGAACTTTTGTGCAAGTCGATTGATATTGTTGAAATAACGATAACTTTTATCTTGATGTTTCTTTTCTAATTCATGTTGATAGAAAGCTTCATAATCGAAATGTTTGGATTTGGAATGATGAGACACAGGAGTAGGTTTGACTATAATTAAAAAAAAAAAAAAAGATTTGAGATTAGATTATTTTCTCACAGTCCCCCAATCATGATTTCCCATTTCATGGTTTTTTATGACCAACAAATTATTTTCCTTATTTTGAATTAAAAAAAAACTTTACCTTCAGCCTTAACAGTCTTTGTGGGAGTTTGAGCAGCAATAGAAGAAGTAGATAAAGGACGTGCTTGTTGACCCATAGCTTGACTCATCACAGGACATTGCTGAGCCTTGCGTAGTAAACCATTACCAGAAGAAGCATTATTGGACAAACGCTTCAAAGTAGAAGTGGAGGTGACGTGAATAAAAGGACACGATTTCTTGGCTTGCATCAATGCAACTTCCATGTTTTCAAATGACTAAAAGGTATTTAAGGGGAGGGAAGAGATTGAGAGAAGGGGGGGAAAAAAAGTTTAAATGTAAGAAAGAAAAAGAAAAAAAAAACAAAGAGGGAAAAGAAAAGTATACAATAAAAAAAAAAACATGGGAGACAAGTCATAAAGATAAAAAAAAAAAAAGTTTTCAATTTACATCACCGCTCGGCAAAAATAAGAGGCGTTGGATTTTCCACCAATCAAATTAGTTAAAAACCTAAGACGATTTTTATTATTCATTGTATCACAACTCCTCTTTCCATGTGTGAATCACAGAAGAGAGAGGGGTAGATGTATGAACCAGGGTAAGTGATGATGATGATGATGATGTTTCTACTATAGAAGATGAGGGGATAATGGATGATATAATACTACTACTGCTACTACTACTACTATGACTACTAATTATACTTGAACCGATCCAAGAAAACCAAGATTTTCCAACATCATAGGTTCGTTTCTTGATAATATATAAAACAACTAAGCAAAATACAGCCACACCAAATAAAAGTAACAACCGATCAAACCAATCTGAAGTTTCCAAATGAGTAATCATTCGTTTGGAGATAGTCAATAAGGAGTCAAGATTTTCATATTCCGTAAAAGTCGCCGATAATGTTCTTGAAGAATCAGCTAAAAATATAATTTATATATAAGGTTAATAATAAAAAAAAAAAAAAAAATAGAATCATCATCATTTTACCTAAAATGCTAGCAGAATAACTACTTTTTTCTAATTCTTGTTGCATCAATGTACTTGTTCGTTGTAAAGCTTCTGTCACATTTGTTGTTGCTCGTAATAAAGAATCATCCTTCCTATTCAATATAAATATATAAACAAATCAAATAAAAAAAAAAAAAAGGAAAATATCTTTACCCTCGATTACGAAGTTCATATTCTTCATTAAAATCATCCTTTTTCCTTCCAAAAAGTGCTTCTCTTGTTTCTTGTTCCTTTTTTTGAATACGTTGTTTTGATTTCAAAATGGCCTGTCTTGCTGTGATTTGTAATCTATCATCATAAACAAAAAAAAAATCAGCTGTGTATATATTATATATGACGCCAAAACTTACTGACGGTGTTGTATTTCATATTCCCCTAGTCGATTTAAAATGTCATTCTTGCTAGATTGTCGATCTTGTTCATCTGCTAATAACTTGACTTGCTACCCAAAGAAAAAAAAAAAAAAAAAAGAGATTAAAATAGAGTCTCTTTTATTACTACTATGACTTACTTGAATATTTTGTTCCAATTGACGTATATCACTTTTTAAAAGACTTGCTACTTCTTCTTGTACAGTTAAAGAATCTACATTGTTGAGTTTATAAATATGACGTTGACAATCCGCTGCTTGTTTGCTTAAAGATCTAAACTTAGCGTCCATGTATGTTATAAGAAGAACTAAAAAAAAAAAAAAAAAAAAAAGATTACCTCGTTCCTACCATAATTTTTGGCGTGCATCAAATTCATTTTCCGAATCGGGACATCAATAGAAAAACTATAAAAAAGAGCCTTCTACTTGAACATTTTTTTTGTTGTTTCTTTAGTTGCTCCTGTCTTGTGATCATATCACGTATAAATCTTTCGCCTTTTACTAAAGATTTCCGTGGCTGCAGGACATAATGGAGATTACTCCAATTTTTTGTTTTTCTTCTTTCATTCTTGAAAGTTGATTTTTTATTATTTTTAAAAAAAAAAATGAAAATACAAGAATGATTCTCACGTATTCACTCTCTTATTGATGAATCAAGTTGGACAAAAGACAACATCATACACGTCATCATTACAATAGTAAGTACTAGTAGCATCATCAAATGGAAATGTATACACTTGACCACATACCTTTTTAACTGCCTCGGCATAGTGATTCGTGACACAAGTATCTGGCGTGTTGTAATCACCCATACAACAGTACTCATCTTGATGGTATCGTGAACAAGCACTTTGACAGCCTTGACTCTGTATCAAATCATTTGGACATTTTGGTAATTGACCACAACCTACTCGTTGACACTGATTTGTATTATTTGTTTCCATAATAGAACGAGGAGCAATAGTCATGGGCAGATTAAATCCATCCACAAACGATATGTCATAAAAATCATGATCATGGGTATTCATTGTGAATTCGGCAAGTGATACAGGACTATGAGAACAAATATCATCCTCACATACTGGTTGGCCCCATATTCTTCCGGACCAAGTTGGACTGACAGTGAATATGTATGATGTTTGTGACGCGACGACAACCGTAGTATTGTTAAAAGCTGTGTTGTTATTATTAGATAATTGATTTACTTGAAGATCTGGTTGACATTGATTGGTGACAACAATTTGTTTTCTTTCCTTGGCTTGGATATTGATGATCATACTGGAATACAACATCAACAACCAGCAACAATAATATATCCAAGCATACTGTGGACGACAATGGGTCATTCTTTATATATAGATGTATATTCGATGTCTCTATGATACCTCTACTTTTGTGTATTTATATATATTTTTTTTTTTTTTTGGTTACTGTTTTATTTAGACTGTATGGCATTTTATCATTATTACATTTCTATTTGATATCTTAGTTTACTCCTTTCTATTTTAGAATCTATATAATATCCCCTTATTAGTTAGTAGGAATGTGTGTTATTATTGATGATGATGATTCTAATAAAATAAAGTCATTTTGATGATCTATTTTTTGTCATCATGAAAACAGGAATGATATGTTTATTACAAATAACAAAAAATCAATAATAGATTAGGACTGAAGAGGGAGAAGAAAAAAAAAAATACTAAAAAGAAGAAAAAAAAAAATACTAAAAAGAAGAAAAAAAAAAATACTAAACTACTAATCCTTCTTCCACTATGAGTTTCTTGACTTCCTTAAGTACCTTGACTTCCATTTCCACGTGTTTTTCAGTGATGGCATCACCTGATTCAGAGAGTATACCCGATGAATTTACTGTTGTTGATGATGTTTTCAATGGTTTTATTGGTGGTGTCGAGCTAGACACTACATCTTGTAATGAATTGGAATGGTTGTCTTTTGTGGTTTCTTGAGCTTCTTTCATTTCTGTATCTTCAGTTGTTGGTTTGGATGGGCTATCACCTTTGTCATTTTCATTTTCACCATTGATTTCTTTTTCTTTATCATTTTCATCTTGATTGTCGTCGTTATTATCATCATCTTCATCATTATCGTCATCATCATCATCGTCCTCATCGTCGTCACCGTTACTTGAAGATGCTGATGATCCAGGACTGACCAGTTCATTGAAATAAGTTCGTTTCATGTCGTATACCTTGGGAATCAATGATGCATGTGTTCGGAACATCAATCTTGTCACTTGAAACAGAGCTCCATTCGCAATGTTGTAACGTTCTTCCACTGTCGCATCCTTTTCTCTATCTAATATCTTTAGTGATTGATCGATGATGTTCACAGGTGAAGGTGTACTTTGTCTTGATCTGATAAGAATATATATATATATATATATCAATTAGATTTCATTTCTCTCTTTGTATCAATCAATTCAATTTTTTTTTTTCAAAAAACTTACTGCATAATAGTCGCCAGGGTTTCTCTGGGCTTTCCATACATATTGCTCATTTCCATATTACCATAGGAAAACCGATAATTAGAAGGAGTTGTCTATAATGAAGCCAACAGCCAAGAGGAACACAAGAAGAAAAAATAAAGTTGAGTGTTTTTTTTATTATCAATATTCATATATTACCTTCAATATTTTCTTCCTTTGCTGGCGTGCTTGTTCCAAAATACTAGAGTCTAATGGTGGTTTTTCAAATGGTGGACATCCTGATGCTTTCCAAATGATCTTTGATAATACAAAAATATATAAGTTGACTTTGAAAAAAAAAATATGACTATCTTACCCAATTGCGTTCATGTTTAAGTACAATCAATACAATGTCGGTATAAAGATTGCCATGAGGTTTAGTGTGTCGTAATAAGTCAATCAATTTTGATTCCATATCAGTCATCCATTCTATCTGTTCATTGGTCACGGTGTAAGTAGGCTGTACCAAGGTTTGTTTGTTTGCTCCACGTGCAGCCAGTAAAGATCGAGTATTTTCTTTTTCATCTTGAGAGAATGCTGAAATGTATTGGAATAGAATCAAAAATTGAAGTATCACATTTCGTCGGAATCTAACATCCTCAATCTAAAGAAGAAGGAAAACAGATGATTAATAAATCAATCTTTGATTTTTATCATCATGACTTGACTTGTATACTTACTTCGAGTTCCAATAGTTTTCGATTTGTCAATAATCGAGGAAAACGATAATCATTGTTGATTTCCTTCAATATGGCTTCTGCTGTATCATTATCGTCAGTATGTATTGTCATCGACTTCCTTTTGAATCCTGCTACTTGTAATGACTTGGCTCCCGATACCTCTTCCTCATTTTTCGCAATTTCACCAAATTTTTCAAAGATAATTTGAGCTCCCTAAAGAATAAACAAAAAAATAAGATGAAATCTCTTACTATCAGTCAAACTTGTTGCAATTACCTTTTGGAGTTCAATAAAATTGTCGGCTTGAAGTACAGTAGGAGGATCTGAGAAATATTTACGAGTAGACCAGAATATCTTGTAAAATGTCTTTTGATCATCTATATACATATATCAAAAAAAAAAAAATTAATTCATTGACTATAAATCTTTTATTTTATTTTTCTCTTACCAGTCATTGTTTCATCATTGTCCACCATTTCATCACTGTCATAATGAATCGGTTCCGAGTTAAAATCACCACGTAAATTGACACCTTTTGGCGAAAGAAAAGTAAAGAGGAAGATTGAGTGTTGATCCAAATAGGTCCACGATATATTTGTGTTTATATAGAGTTGTTGTAATAGTACCTGATCGTTCACCAAGAGGGAATGAATTAGCAAGAAACATAAGAATGCGACCACAGAATACAGTATTTGTTTCCTTGGATAATCGTCTTAACATTTCATTACACGTTCGGAGCAGTACAAGAGCTTTTCCACGTCCAGGAATCATATTCTATTATAAATAAATGATGATAAATATTCCTTTTTTTTTTTCCTTTATTATTGAATAATCATAACTTACGACAATCAATCGAGTTTTTCGACTTTCCACATAATCAAATAATCTTTCACAACTGGTAATAGTATGTACATCCATCAATTCTTCTATAAAAGTCAGTGGAATAATTTGCTCCAAATAGTCTAAAACAAATATACAAATATTTGAGTAAATAATATTTTAACTTGGTTTTATTACCTTTTTCTTGAAGAGTGAGAATCACGTCCAACAATTCGAATAATTTGTTAAATAATTCAGGGTTTGATTCAGGAAGAAGATCCTATAAAAATATAAAGAAAAGATTATAACAATACATTTTATACATATATAAATAGAGAATAAAAAAAAAAAGGGTTAGTCAACCACAAGTACTTTTATTATTATTATTATTATCCATCTTGTCATGTTACTTACCACTATTTGAAGTAAACGTCTTCGAAGAACAAGTTCTAAAGTATTCTTGCGCCAATCAGGCTTATCATGTAAAATACCAAACGTTTCTGATGCAAGTGTACCACTGATGGGAGTAATATGTTGATCGATCTGTTCTTCGATACATGGTTGTAAATCTTCTCCTGGATGAGATTGACCTTGGTCTACAATGGCTTGAAGAATATTTTCAATAGCAATTTCAGCTTGTTGTCTAAATTCAGCAAACTTGGACATGGTGACCCTAGTAAAAGTTTTGTTCTATAAAAAAAAAAGAGAAAAAAAAAAGAAAAGACAAACAATTACAAAAGAAAGAAGTGAGGAGAGAGCAATGAGATAAAAAAAAAAAAAATTGGGAAATATACTTTTTGGAAATCTAAAGTCAGTCACGACAAATCGGCCTATCCTAGTAGAAGTTATTGTTCACTCACTCTTTCCCTCTTTCTCATAAAACGCATAGATATATACTGTTAACACGAATATGGTGAAAGGAGAAGAAGAAGAAGAAGAGGAACTTATTAATAATGACATGAAGAAAGAAGATATCATAAAAGGTCTCGAGGTAAGATCAAGTAAAACCGTTCTACTTCCTTTTACATTCATTCTCCATATTAAACTAGGAACGAGGTTCCATGCCTTATGCATCATATTTTACTGCTAATGCATCAACATCGAGCGTATTATTATGTGGTATAGTGGACGAAGTACTTCCAACAAGAAAGACTCAAGCGGGAACCGGTAATAATAAAAAAAAAAAAAAAAACTTGAGTTCCAATATTGATTTTGGATATTATATAGATCATGCGACATCGATTTTTCTTCAACAAGCCTCACTTACATCCTCTCGAACAAGACTTATTATATTTCATGCCGATCCAACTGAAACTAAAGATTTGAAGAAAGGTGTTCTTTTTATATGTCAGAATGCTCAAGTAAGTGAACTATAGATCGAAAAACGTTTGACTGACTTAAAATTCAAATAGGCGTATTCCAAGTATCAAAATTTCAACGCGAACAAAACCACAGTATGGGCTGCATTCGATACAATAACTCTCGATAAGGTATGTCAAGGTATATTGGAATTCGATCTTGACCATCAATATATGGATATTCTCAAACTTTACCAAATTTGGATCAATCTACCAAAGGATATCACCTCTACTGAGCAAACCATAGCGACAAACCAAGATAATAGACTAGGGCGCCGACTAGTATGTACTAACGAGATGAAATTCCGGACATTTATCGATTTCATTGGGATGGTAAGAAATATATTTATATATATCTATATATATAAAAGAGAAAAGAATCAAAATGGAAACAATTAATACATATCTGTCTTCCGCTATAGGTTGTACACAGCAAAAACGTTGATTATCGACTTGCAACGAGGAAGGATGTATTATTGACAGACTTTACCATGAATGGATATCCAATGAATTCTGGCGGATATTATGGTGAAGGAAGATTTATCGATCGAACTCTACTTATCAACTGTACCCTTTTTGATGAAAATGCTCGTGGTTGTCCGGATCTGGAATATGGCGATTATGTGTATATCAAGAACGCTCAATGCAAATTAAGCAAACATGGTATTATGGAATTGGCTGTGCATCATGATAGGAATCCTCAACATCAATATGCTAAGATTTGGATTATGGAAGATCATGATACAAATTTGATGACATTGAAAGAGTAAGTATATATATATATATATAGGAGGTTAGTAGTAGTAATTAGTAGCATTCTTTTTTTTTTGTTAGACGAAGATCTACCTACGAAGCCAAAAATAAACGACTTCTTGCTTACCGAGAACAACGTATGCGCAAAAGAACAAAGGAAGAGTTCATCCGCAATGGTAAGTGAAAAAAAAAAAGATGATGACTAGATATGATTGTTGTATTATCATCATTGATCTTTTTTTTTTTTTACTTTTATAACATTTAGTACATAGACAAACCATTCCTCTCTTCTCTTCGATCAAGAAGATGTTCCACAGTGAAGAAGGAAAACGACATCATATTCGTGTTACTATTTTAGATTACAAACCGAAGAATATCTCTGATATGTCTGTCAAATTCTGCGGAAAATGCCAAGCATTGTAAGTTGGGATGGATTATCTTTTTTTTTTATTGATGTTAAACTTCTCTCTAGGTCGGATGTTAGTGCTGATTTTTGTTCTCATTGTAAAGAAGAAATTGAAATCATCATTTATCGCTGCACATTCAAAGTCAAAGATGCTCATGGGGATATTGTATATGGTACTGTGTATGGATCTTCAGATGTAAGTGGATGATGGAAAATGAGAAAATATGACTGATAATATTTTTGTTTATTATAATATAGTGGCCTTTTTTACAAAATATCCCAATTGTCAAGTAAGCTTTTTGTTAATGTCGATTTTTTCCATCATTCATCTTTTTTTTTTTTTTTAATGTAGTTTGAAAGAAAATGATCAAGTCCTTCAACAAGTTACCAAATATATGGAAGCTCTTTGCCCTACTGATGGAAAGGAACATCCAAAGGTTGATATTTGTATGGAACCAGAATGGAATGATGACAAATTACGATTTGTGATCTTGGATACCTGTTTTAGATTAGCTGAATATTGATAGTATCTACTTATTTTTTACAAATTTAATAAATACCCTTTTGTACATAATATCTTTATATGTCTAAAGTTGGATCTTTTGCTCGATATGAATCATCATTTATTTATAGGAGAGATTGATCAATGTAAAGACAATAGAAGCTGTAATGATTTATTAAAATATAATAATAATGATTTGATGAAAATGGAAAGAATGTATAGAAAAGAAAAAAAAAACAAATGGAAGAGAATAATAAAGATTGAATTGTATTAATATAAAAAGGTATATGTATAAAGGCAAGGAAGTTAAAAAAAAAAAAAAAGAGGAACTAATGTCTACCCAAAGCGCCACCAGCACCACCAACACCACCAGCACCACTAACACCAGAAAGATGACTTGAATTATCAAAAGATTCCAAAGAGGACTTCCTTTCCCTAGGAGAACCTTCCACTTCGGCAACTTGTTCCAGTCGCTTTTGATGATGAAGAGCTGATTTCAAAGCAGATCCAATTGGTTTGTCCGTAGAAACAGGAGGGTTAGAGTCATTTGTTGTAGAAGAACTGTATCCAGTCGTTTCTTTCTTTAATCGTCGCACAGCAATTGTCAAAGCATTCAACCAAGCTTCCAAGTCATTCTCAGTACTAGCGCAAAGTACATAATTTCGTTTTGGAATGATAATCTTGAAACAGTGTTGTTTATTTTTGCTGATGGCTTCGATTTCTAAGGCGTCAATAATATGATTCAATGGGATGATTCGATGAGGTGAGTATTCCTAACAACAATAATAATAATAATAATAAGAAATCATGATTCATTTCATCTTTTTTATTTATTTATTTATTTCTATAAAATTTACCTTTTCATTTTCATAATAAGAAAGAGTATCTGTTCGTAAAACAAACCATCTTTTTTGCCAACCCTAATAAATTCATTTAATATTAAAAATAAAACTCTAGTTTGATCATATATATATATATTACCTTGTTTCGACCAAGTTTTAGTAAATAACCTTCAACCAAAACTCTATTCCGATCCTCTTCCTTTCTAATGTCAATCATACTATTGTTGGCGCTATAATCTTCATCGTCTTCCGAGCTTGCAATGCCTTCAGCAAAATGAACTTGAGCTTGATCCAATGTAGGAGAAAGAGGGTATACATGACCAGTGGTGTAATCGCTTAGTGGTGATATAAGAGCAGGCTTCAATTTGGGAATATCCATAGGCGTTGTTGTACTGGTATTGATAGGTTCTAATTTTGATAAAGTAATTGGTTCAGTCGATGTAGAGGAAGTAGTAGGCATAGATGTTGGAAGAGGTGGAACAGGTGGAGGTGGAGAAGTTGATAATGAGGAATGACCAGGAGGAGAATGAGTAATACCAGTTGTAGAAGGAGATGATGATAAAGATGAAGCCATACCACCTGATTGTCGTCGAATCTCTATAGTGGTTGCTGTACCTGAAGATCGTCGTCGAGGTTGTTGAGTGATACTGGAATTTGATTTATAAGAGGTCACGACATCCTTGGCAAACTCCTGATCTCTTCCTGCTGAACTAGAATCGTCATCAGCATCGTACAAACGTAGTTCTTCCTTTGCATGATCAATAGCTTCAAACCATCCATCCATTGTTTTTTGATCATCTGCTTGAACATAATACATTCGTTTTGGTGTAATAATAGCGAATACATATCGATATTTGTTTTTGGATGTCACTTGGACGACACTGTGTATGTCGTGCAAATCAATGATGCGTAGGAGCTTGTATTCCTGTAGTACAAGATACATGTTGATCCCAAGTCAGTAATATGTATATATATATATATTATGTATAAAAATAGCGATAATACCTTTTTATCCTTATACATGGCCAGTTTAGTTGTTCGAAGTACAAACCATCTTTTTTTCCAAGTCTTTTTTTTTGTTATTGAAATTATGTTAGCTTTAAACAAATATGATCTTCCCTCTTTTTTTTTTTTTTTTTTTTATTACTTACACGTCGTTTTTCCCCTTTCTTGAGTAAATAACCAGAATGACATACTTTTTCAGTTTGTAAGAGTTCCAAAGCTTTACCAGAAGGAACATACGCAGGATCTTCATCTTCACCATCAGACATTGTATATCGAAGATCTTCTTCGTCTTCATCTTCACTCATCACTATATTTGTTGTTTGATGTGTTGAAGAATTATCAACATGTGAAGATCGTGTTGGTGCTGCCTATAAACAATAGTTTTTTTAATCCTACAGACTTTGAGATTCAAATATTTACTTACCTTTAAAATAGAGATAGGCTCAGTTTTTCGTGGTGGACTAGACATACAAAATAAAAAATAAAAAAGAGAAAATATAAGAATTAAAATAAAAAAGGGAGGAAAGTAAAGGAAAAAAAAAAAAAAAAAAAAAGAGACTGAAAACTTTTTTTTCCATCCCCAGCATTTTCAATAGTCGGTATCACCTGATTTCTTTTTTTTTTTTTTCTTTGGTCAATCACCTGTGAAGAAATCTCAGCACAACAAAAAATCATCATCAATAGTAACATTTTATAATAATAATAATAATAAAAATAATAAAATGTCTAAACTATCAACCTATCTAAATACAAGAAGTCATTAGTATCCAAATGCTTGCCAGTTATTTCCAAAATATCTAAAAAGTCAAAACAATTAAAAAAAAAAAAAATGAAATAGTTAGTTACACGAGTTGTATACCCCAGAAAAGATCATCTGTCCCCTTCGTCATTTCATGTCACCTTACCCTGCACCTAATATGCCACCAACACCTTGTTCTTTTGTTAACGGACTTGTAACCACTATAAAATATGTTCAAAAGCATTCTTATCTTCGTTCAAAGTTCAATCATTCTATTTTTTTTTTTTTATTTTTTATTTTATTTTATTTTTTTTTTTACCCCACTCTGGTATTAACATACCGGTACGTCGTGGTAATAATTGACACGCCAATTGTAATCCTTCTAAATCAAGTCCTGAGATCACGATCGCCATTTCATTTAAACTACCAGGACTAAGGAATAAAATACCTTGAAATAGAAAAAAAAAAAAAAAAAGGATATTCAGTCAAATAATTAAAGAGAAGATTAAAATATCGATATCAGTCCTCTTCTTTAGACTTTTCTTTCTTTTTTTTTTTTAAAAAAAAAAAAAATTACCTGATCCAGGACGATCAAAGTATCTAGAACCCACTTGAATAGCTGAATGATTGATTTCTATATCCACATTGTTTCCATTCAAACCTAATAATTGTGATACGGCTTGATTGTCGTTCCCAATATCAAGATAAATACGGAAAAAGAATGGTGATATCCTGTTGTTCATCGTTTCTGTTGATTCCATTTCAATTTCTTCAAAAGTCACAAGAGGATGATCATCCGTCACTATCATCGAATCCCCTCCCCCATAGAGATACCAATCATGAGATATTTGTAAAGCGAGATGACGATAATTATCAATTGTTGAAGACTGGCTTTGATTAGGTATCACAATCATCAATGGTTTGCTTGATTCATAAACACGATGAATAGGTCCATAGGAAAGTCTGCTTCGTTCACCACGTTTTGGCCATTTGCTTGTTTCGATCTAGATTGATGAAAATACAACATCAATAACAATACCAATCATTTTCTTTTTTTTTTTTTTTCTTCTTACCATCCATTTTCCATTATTATCCAATACAAAAAGAACTCCTTCCTTTCGATTCACATGATGAAAAACCATTTGATCAATAGTAATGGTACTTTCCTTGCGATTGCATATTTTGAATGCCGATACATTGAGAGATTTCAAATTTAGCGAATTGTTTTCCGTGTCCATATCTCCAACAAGAGAACTTTTTCTATAACAAGAAACGAAAGTCAAAGAAAGTGAGTGACTCTTTTTTTTTCTATGAATATAATATATACCTATAAGGAATCAAGAGTTGTTCAATTTGAATTCCATGTACAACCCCAAGAGAAGCAGGATTTGTTGTGGTGATAATAAAATGATGCTGATTCAATGATGATGGTTGTAAATTATCATTTTGTTGAATTATTTTCTTGAGAAAATCGTTGGTTTCTTGATCATTGAGCACAGTATCCCACCAATGTCCTTTTCCTTCCACTTCAGACAGTCTATTCAAGTTTTCAATGGTAAGTTTTTTCCTTTTTTTTTTTTCCTCTGGCATGATGTTACTTACTTTATAAGATTTGGGTTTTTGCTGTATTCATTGAGTAAACGGACATATTTGCGTGAATGTAAAGGAGGCACATTATCGTCTTCAGATCCACACTTGGCTAAAACAGGAAGTCCAACCTGAAAAACAAATCAATTATGAGAAAAGTTCAATCAATACGGATTATCAACTTATAAAGTTGATATTACCATGTTTGAAAGATGCAAATCATTGTTATATTCAGCGTAAGCCGATTCGAGTACCTACAGAGAAATCATAAACAACAACAAATTACATTGAGATCGTTTTGTATAATTAGTATTCTATTTTCACTTACACCAAATAAGAGAGGGTCTATATGCGAATGACTAATCCAATTATTGTAAGAGACATAATCTTGAATCTTCACATATCCTGCTGCAGCTACAGCTACAATAGAAAGACAAACCTGAAAGTGAGAAAATGAATCATGACAATAACATAGAGTTTCACTATAAATCTTTACCAGCGATAGCTCGATCAGGATGATGAGTAGCCAGATACCAGACGCCTTGCCCACCGTTGCTATGACCTATATGAGATATTTGATTCATATTAGTATCATCATATCATTTCTTTCTTTTCTTTTGTCTTTTCCATTTTAGATTTGCATACCCATATAAATCAATCTGTTTATATTCCCAATGGAAAAAGATTCACTTTTTTCTACTGTATAAATAAGGAAGATAAAATAACGCAATCAATAAAAACATCATATTATCCCTTTTTATAATATAGTTCTCTCTCTCTCTCTATATATATATATATATGTATATATGTACATTTACCTACAATCCAATCTTGGTCATCAGAAGGTTGACTTCGATTTCCATCAGTGGCTCTAGAGAATAATAGATCCATCACTTCGGCGAGTCCTTCCAATGAATAAAATGCGTTTTTCATACTTGGTCCATGCCAATCCATTCCCCTAAATATCATAAGGAAAAGAAAAATAATAATAATAATGATCAGTTTGTTTATTTGATTTTGCAAGAACAACTTGATATGGGATTGTGGGAAACTTACCAAGACGTTCTTCCAGTAGGAAATACTATCCAAACCGAATCTTGAGCATCAATAGAGTCAGTCCAAAAAGTATCATGTTCAACATCTACACCAGCACCATGAAGCGCCAAAATAATAGGTTTATTTTCATTCGCGTCCAGGACTTTTGGTCGTTTGGCTTTTGCATATTGCACTGATCCATCAAAGTCCAAAAAAGTATAAAGAAATACAGATGATGTTGGGAGAGTTGTTGTTGTTGTTGCTTCTACTGAGGATGCCTTGTTGCGATTGTTAGTATTCATCTGATTCCAATCTATTGAGTTGATTGTGGTACTGTCATCTACTAGGGTAAATGTGTTTGTTGATGTAGCAAATGTTACAATCACCTTGACATGAACCTTATTTGCTTGTAAAAATAGAGTTTCGTCATGCACAGTATTGTTTTTTAAATCAAAAGAAAATCCTATCCGTCGTTGTTGTCCTTTGACCATAGTGGTATGATTTGATCGTTGAAGTAAAATGGCAGGTCGCTTGTAATAAGATAAAAACGAATAAAAAAGAAAAAAGAAAAGGAGTGAGCATACTTTTTATTGTCAACATTCCATTTCAGCATTACCAAAACAGTAATAACATCAGAAATATGATGATAAGCTTGAAACACCAGTCGAATAGAGACCACATGTAATGTTTCTGGAATTAGATTGTGAATAGAGACACTTCCAAAATGACCAGCAAAACCTTGATATTGAATAAAGGATGGCATAAGTACTTGTTTGATCATATCGCGACCCAAAAGAGTAGTAGTATTAGCTGTAGATGTATTAGAATGGAATCGATGATATTGTTGGCGAGGAAAAAGAGCGTCATCCACCATAGTACCACAATCCAAGGGATAAATAGAAATAGAGAATTGACATTGAGGACCATTTTTATTACCACCACCAAAAACTCGAACATCATGTACCAAACGTACTTCCAAAGAATATGTCCCTGTTTCCAATTCTACCCAATGTAAAGTTGATTTATAACCATAAAGATCACCTGAGTATTTTTGTTGATTGATATAAAAAGAGGTAACACCATGTAATTGAATTAGGATATGACTTTTCTTGCTAATTTTCAAATTTCCTCTTGCCCATGCTTGATATTGTTCAATAGACCATCCAAACGGAATCCCATTTTGTTCCCATCTAAAATTGTTACAGCATTGAAATGATTTCATAGTCAGCACTGCTAATCTTTTTTTTGAATTAAAAAGAATCATTTTTGTACCGTATGTCAGGAAACAGTAATGGTCCTACAACATTATCTATAGACTTGACTTTAGTCCAACCAACTTGACCTTTAGGAGAAAGTTCACTTGGGAATTGACTTGTCTTTGAATATTTGAGTTGACTGAATCCACCTATAAAAAAAAAGTTTGTAAAAGAAAACTCTTTTTCTATCCACCTTTTTTTTTTCTAGTCCTTTACCATAAGCTTCCAAAGGATCAGCACCAAAGTCTTGTTCCCGCATCCCAATAGGAAAAGGTCCAAGAACTTGCCATACACTAGATAGTTGAAACGACATTTATCTTTTGAATAAAATAAAATAAAAGGAACAAAGAAAAGGAAAAAGAAAAAAAAAAAGGAAAAAAAAATAGGAAATAAGGCAATGATGATTCAATTTAAAGTCAGATGATACATCTAGTTCAAACCAGTGATCCTTATGTCAAAAAAAAGAGGGGATGTGGAGAAGATCAAGAAATATATTGTTTATTTTATGAATATGATAAATATAGTGCTCAATAATAAGTAATTTTATATGAATAGTTAAAAAAAGAAAAAAGAGAGAGAGACGGGATAAAGCTATAGTACAATGATGCGAGAAATGAAACAAAAGATAAAAAAAAAAACCTAAATGAGACTAATTAAAGCTTAAGTATACCCAAAGGTTCAGCCTTGATTTGTGTAATATCTATTTCTTGATCTTTTTCGGTATCAATAAGTCCAACGGTACAACTAGATATATATAAAAAATAATAATAATAATAATAATAATAATAAAAAAATGAGTTAAGTAATGAAAATAAAATAAATGACTAAACTTACATATTGTCCCCTCGAATAAGATATAAGCCAAGAGGATTGACTTCAGTACCACTAGTAGAAAATACGCGTTCCTCACACTTTTCAAGAATAACATTTGATGTTTGATCAGTTCCACGTAAAGTACCCTATAATATAAAAAGAATGAGACACGGTTAAACATAAAATCAAGTAGAAAAAGACTTACCACAAGTATTCGTCCGTCCAAGGTTAAAACTAGTACAGATTCTGTATATTAATAAAAAAAAAAGTATTAATGTAGAGATATAATATAATGAATTTATTAAACTTACGATCGACATAAGGTTGAAGTAAACTCATGATTGAAAATCAGTAGTTAAAGAAAATAATAATAATAATGAAAAGGAAGTAGAAAAGAAAGAAGGTCAGCGGCCCTTTTCCTCAAAAAAAAAAAAAAAAAAAAAATTGTAGCTTGACTGTGACAGGGAAAAATAATTTCCCTCACTTTTCTTCCTATTCTTATTTTCTTTTCCTTAGTCTCTCACTCTCTCTCTCTCCTTCTTTTGTACCCTTTCATATACAAAAGTATGTCTGGAGGACAAGATGGTCAAACTCCTTTAAAAATCGCTTTTATACATCCTGACTTGGGCATTGGTAATATATATAAATTATTTATACTTTATAGTAACCAACTTTCTCTCTCTCTTTTCCTTTTTTATTTCTTTTTTTAGGTGGGGCAGAACGTCTAGTAGTAGATGCTGCTATGGCTGCTCAATCGAAAGGTCATCAAGTCATTATATATACCAGTCACCACGATCGTTCTCACTGTTTTGAAGAAACAAGAGATGGTAAGACAAATAAAATAAAAAAACTATATTCTAAACTATTATTATGCATCAAACACTTTTCATCAAAGGTACACTTTCTGTTCAAGTCATTGGTGATAGTCTTCCACGACATATATTTGGAAAATTCTTTATTGTTTGTGCTATTCTTCGTCAACTGGCTCTGTCTTTATGGTTACTACAGTATCATCGTGATACTTATGATGTACTCTTTATTGATCAACTTAGTGCCTGTATTCCATTACTTAAATGGTTCTCATCCTCTCGTGTATTATTTTATTGTCATTTTCCGGATAAACTTTTGGCGAAACGTGATTCTCAGTTACGGGAAATCTATCGTTATGTGTTTGACAAATTGGAAGAATTGACCACAGGTAAATATATATATATACATATATATATCGATTCTTATTTTTCTTTCTTATTCTTTTATGATTTGATGGGGTAAATAGGTTTATCAGATACGATCGTTGTCAATAGTGGATTTACTGGTGGTATGTTTAAACGGTCATTTCCAACCATCTTGAAAAAACCACGTGTATTGTATCCACCTATCAATTTTGATGCTTATGATAGAACCACCGACTACTCTGATCCACAAGTACAACTACTCGAATCTCATAGAAAGACGTTGTTATCCATTAATCGATTTGAACGTAAAAAGAATGTGGAACTGGCATTACGTGCATTTGCTGAATTGAAGAATTCCAATATGATTCCGGACTCTGTGTTTAATAATTATCGATTGGTATTAGCTGGTAAAAGAAGATACACTATCAACATTGATTATTAATATCCTGACTTATTATTCCTTTTCTTTTTTTTTTTTTTTTCTATATACATGTTGATTTAGGTGGCTATGATAAAAGAGTACAAGAAAACGTGGATTACTTGAACGAATTAGATATATTGGCGACTGAAACATTCCAATTAAAGACAGCAAGGATTTTTCCAGATACCATGACGGCACCATCAACGGATGCACAAGTGATTTTTGTATGCTCATTCAACGATGCACAACGTACATACCTCTTGGCCAATTCTGAACTTTTATTGTACACCCCAACCAATGAACACTTTGGCATCACTCCAGTGGAAGGAATGTATGCGTCCATCCCGGTGATTGCGACAAATACAGGTGGACCTTTGGAAACGATCAAAGATAAGGAAACTGGACTATTATTACCACCTGAACCAAAACTATGGGCGGATGGCATCGGCGGATTTATTTCCAAGGAATTTGATGGACCTGCTATGGGACGGAATGGTCGTAGTCATGTTAAGGCCAAGTTCTCATTATCCAATTTTGCCAATCAGCTGGAAGATATCTTGGAAGAAATGATGTCTGGTGGAAGACCTACAAGATACTATTATATGAATGTGGAATTTGGATGTAGAATAATTATAGCTTTGGTCATGATATATATTTGGTATCATTATTGTTTATGAATATATTGAATCAATAATAAAATATAAAAAATATATATATATATTGTGATTTTTAATAAATAGAATAGAATCATATTGTTTTTATTTTGTTTAAAAAGAGGATAAAGGAGAAAAAAAAGAGAGAGAGAAAGAGACTAGGATGATTAAAGGGTAGGAAATAAGATATATAAAAAAAAAAAAGGGCAATAGAATGAAAATAAAAGATATAATGAAAATTGAGAAAAAAACATAAAATAAAAAGGGAGCTATAAAATCAATTTACTAATATACTAACACTGGTCAATACTAATTACTATACTACTTTCTAAGTGTTTTAGGAGAGTCTCGTTGATTGTAGTAGTAACCATCAATTTCAGCTTGCAATTCCTTGACACGTTCACTTTGTTGTTCCAATTCTTTATGAAGACGGTCTCGTTCACCCAGGAGCTAGAATATATATATGTAAGATCATCAATACCATCATTATACCAAATTAAAAAAAAAAAATACTTTTTTTTTTACCTGTTGTTCCCAACTACGGAATCTAGCTTCTTCACTTTTAACTTGTTCTGTGAATCGTTTACGTAAAGCTTCTTCTTCTTCCTTGAACTTGGCATTTTCATTGGGTTGAGAACTATTCAAAAAAAAAAAAAAAAAAAAAAAAAAAAAAAAAAAAAGGAGATCAAAAAAAAAAGGACATCGATCAAACTTTATGCACTTACCGAGGATCACCAAATTTTCTAGTTTCCATTTGAGATTGACGATAATTTTCATAATGAGTTTCTTCTGTGGTAGTGATCAAGTCCAACATATGAGTACGAATCAATAAACTTCGTAATTTTCTAAAGTCACAGTGTTCATCGTTTTCCACTTCAGCTACACCCCAAGAATATTCACGACCTTTCACTTTTCGTCCATCTGAAGTCACCACATCTTGAGTTGAACCAATCACTGCAAAAGGTAATGCTGCCATAATATTCACATTACGTTTGGTGGTAGTTTCATCGTCACTTTCAATAGGACAAGAATATACTTGAATGTTTTGTGCACTAATGACTTCACGAATCTATAATATAAAATATATAAAATAAGAAAAAAAAAGGAGACCCAGAAAAAAAAAAAGGAGAAGAAGAAGAAGAAAGAAGAAGAAAAAAAGGTGTTGAGTGCCAAAGATATTTTTAAGGGGAAAAGGAGTATCAGAATAGGAGATTTTTTTTTTTTTTTTTTTTTTTTTACATTCTGCTTGAATTTGGCCAAATCAGCGGGAGTCAAAGTATCTGCTTTGGCAATGACAGGAATCAAATTGACTCTTGAACCCAATCTTTTCATGACTTCAATATCCAATGGAGATAAACTAGAAAAAAAAAAAAGGAATCATCAATCATTAAAACTATCATAATAATAATAATAATAATAATAAATAACTTTACGTATGACCAGTAGGCTTAATAAAGTATAAACAAGCATGCACCCGCATATCCATCACTCCTTTACGACAAGGTTGTTGTTCTTGACGCATATATTTTTCGTGTTGGTCATCCAAAAAGTCCACAATAGGAATCCATCCATGACGATTATTCACATAATCACCAAATCCAGGTGTATCAATGATCGTTAACTTGACTTTAAACATCTTTTCTTCCAATTCAGCTTTAGTGATTTGAATTTGCACTGTCTTTGCTGGTGTCTTGAGTCGTCTTTTAGTCAAGTTCTTGGGTTCCTTGATAGTCGATGTAAACAATGTATTGACAAATGTAGTTTTTCCTACACCTGATTCTCCACATACCATCAATGTGAAATTCGCTCCATTCTTCGCAACAATCTTATGTCGTTGATTAGGAAGATTGGCAATCCCTGTACCAGATGATGTGATAGGTACTGGTGGTGGTGGTGGAGCTACTTCTAATGGTGAGGCAACAGTAGTCATGATTCAATCAAATTAAAAAAAAAAAAAAAGGAAGAGTAAAGAGAAAACAAAAAAGAGTAATCGAAATGAGAAGAAAGAAAGAAAGAAAAAAAGTGACGAATGATTTAAATGCTTTCAAAAAAGAAAGAAAAAAAAGGGGGCATTGCAAGGAGTTAAGCTCTTTTTTTTTTCTGCTGATCTAAAAAAGGAAACAGGGGTGGGAAAGGATTTCTCCTATACAAAAAAAAAAAAAAAAAAAATCTTCAAGTTTAGTTGAGTCCATAGTGATGAACAACTTTTTAGTCTCATTCTCCTTTTTTTTTTTATATGTAAAGAATCCTATTCTCTCCAACTAGTACACAAATCAATCAACTGAATTCCATAGACGTTACAAAGAACCCTGGATGCATGATGCGGGAATTAAAATTCTCAACTAATATCTTCAGGGTTGGGACATCCCCATTTCCAAGCATAGAAATCATCATCTGTCAATCGTCACTGTCAATCATCAATCATCATCAATCATCATCAATCATCATCAATCATCATCAATCATCATCACTGTCAATCATCAATCATCATCACTGTCAATCATCAATCATTCAATCAATACATCATTATCACCAACCATCATCAACCTATCAATCATCAGAAATCATAATAGAACCATCATCACCAAGTTGTTCGTTGCCAAATCCTTCCTTTTGTTTTATGTATACAAAGACAAAATGTAAGAGAGAATGTATTATATAAAAACAAAGATTAACTAGCTACAATGAACTAACTAACTATACAACCACGCATAGCCATTCCAAACTAAGAAACAACCATTTAAGCCTTGTTAGCAGTCTATTTTTTTTTTAAAAAAAAAAAAAAAAGGTCAATACAATGAAAGAAATGATAATTTATTTTATTTTATTTTATTTTTTTACCTTTTGGAATCGGAATCGTGGAGGAGGAGCACGGTTGCGACGACTGACAACGGAACGCACACGGACAACACGAGCATGGATAGCGCAAGAGATACAGTAGTGCAACTTGACGTATAACTTGGGAATAGCGTATTCTTCATAGATGGAGGCTTCTTGAAGATCACGTACAGCAGCGGCTTCGACCATGTTGCGGATGGTGAATCGCTTGATGGCCTTGTCCTTGGGACAGCAGCGGTAACAGTTGATACAACGAATAAACTTGTTGTGGCCACGGCCGTGCTTGTTGCGTCCGTTATTTCTTCTCTTGCAGGTCTACAGTCAAGGATATACATATAAAAAAAAAGTGAGTCCATTGTTCTTGATAGAATGTACGTCTAATGATATCAACAAGAAAGGACATTTTCATAATGTGGCATCGTCAACATTTATCCTCTATTCGCCAAAAAAAAAAAAAAGTTCAAACCCTGTCCATCCATCCGTCCATCCATCCGTCCATCCATCCATCCATCCATCTATCCAGTTATATCGTGTTCCTATAATATCCAATCTAAAAAATGTTCTTTCTTGTTGTATCATTCATTATTTTTTTTCATCTTACCATACTGTGGAGATCGAAGATCGAGAAGGAACATGAGATTTCAACCATTCTTTCCCATTTTGAATTTCCTTCGGACATTCAATCCCAAAAACTAGGAAACAAGAAAAAAAAAAAAAGCTTCATTCATCAACCTAATTATACACCTATGCATAAAAGTAATAACAATAATAATGAGAAGATCATTGATATGTTTAATGCAGATAAATCAAAAACGATATATGAAATAAAAAAAAAAGATATGTATATAAAGGAGAGAGAGAAAGATAGAAGATGCAGATAATAAATAATAATAATAATAATAATAAAATGAAAAAGTCGAAGAGTCTATTCTAAAGAATTGTGTTTTTCTTGAGCCAAAGCTAAAAGTTCTGAATATTGACCACTACGTTGACACATTTGTTGGAAAATCCCACCATCATTCGTCATCAAGGCATAAGGAGTGTCGAATTCTTTCACTTGACCCTGATCAAGTACCAATACACGATCATAATCAATAATCGTCTTCAATCGATGAGCCACACAAAGAATAGCAGAATCAGCAAATTCAGTACGGATTGTATTCTGAATTAATCGATCCGTTTCAAAATCCACAGACGAAGTCGCTTCATCCAATACAATCAATGCCGATTTCTTGACCAAAGCACGAGCAAGAGCAATCAATTGACGCTGTCCTTGAGAGAAGTTCTTGCCACCTTCCGCTACCACTGTATCAAGAGTGACATCTTGATTATCACCATTATTGTTATCAATCAAGTGAGATCGTTTCAAAGCCTTCCATAATGTAGCATCATCATATTGATCAAACGCATCCAAATTGCTTCGTAAAGTACCACTGAGGAGAACAGGATCTTGAGGAATAATCGTCAGTCGAGAACGCAAATCATCCAGTCCAATTGTCGAAATATCTATTCCATCAATAGAAATCTTCCCACTAGTTGCTTCCATAAATCGGAATAGAGATAATGCAAATGTACTTTTACCACTTCCAGTACGTCCAACAATCGCTACTTTTTCACGAGGCTTGACATCAAAGGACACATCACGTAATACTGCAGGATTTTCAGGTGCATACTTGACAACAAGATGATCGACTTGAATGGATCCAGTTTCAGGCCAGCTTGCACGAGGCATGGTTTCAGGAATATGTGTCGCAGGTTCTTCTTCCAATGCCAGATATTCACCAACACGTTCCACCGCATTCATATTCATTTCATTCATAGCATAGTTGCGTACCACCCAAAGAATATGTGATGTAAAGTTGAGAGCATAACTAAGAGAAAGACCAGCTAGACCAGGATCCACCCAATTCCGTGAAAGTATCAAAACAAAGCCAGTACAGAATCCAACAAATGCACCAAGAAGTTCTACACGACAATGTAACCAACGATTGGTAGCCCACATCCAAATAAAAGGTCGATTATTATTATCCACCTTGTTAAAGTTTTCTAGAATGAATCGTTCTTGACATCCAAAAGCACGGATGGTTGCCACACCGTTAACACTTTCGTTGAATTGAGTATAGATAGGACTACGAGAGATAGCATTAAGTCGCTTGAGATCACGAGAGGTTCGGAGATAGTAGATACCAATAAACCAGTAGAGAATACTGATGAAGAAACCAGGGACAAGGAATGCAGGTGTCACAGCTGTTACCACAATCACCACCATCACAGTTGACACAACAGAGAACATCAAAAAAGAAAGTTGAGGAGATACTTCTTGATCAATGGTTTCCAAATCCGAAGAGAACCGATTAACAATGCGACCCATCGGTGTAGTATCAAAGAATCGAACCTTGGCACGTAAAATACGATCAAGTAATTGCGAGTGAATACGACGAGATGCGTTGATGGAACCAGTATAGAGGATAAGTAATCGTAAAGAAGCCACGAGTAGAGCTACCATACCAATTGCAAAATAGATGCCTAAATAGTATTTGACATTAACGGCTTGAGGATCGTTCAGTTTGGCATCAGTCATTGTAAGGTCAAAGTGACTATCTCTAGAGATACCAAAATTCATGGAAGCGCCATTGTCAAAAGATCCGAGTTGAGAGACAGAGAATAATAAAGTGGAAGAACCAGTGGAAGTACCATTGTTGTTCACCAAATTATAAGCACTAGCCCAGACCTTGATCCAATAATCTTGACCCAATACAGTAGCTTCAGTAAGGCAGAAGAAAAATACCACGGCAAACCAAAAGACATAACCACCAGAAGCAAAGAAATAGGTTGCATAAACAGATAGAGGTACACCACCTTCAGCACGCACTTCATCTTTGATCAACTTGCTACCTTCACCTGTTTTAGCCACCTTGGCACGTTTTGGTACAGATGGAATAGGACCTTCTTCAGCTTTTTCTTCTTCAGCGTCTTCGACCTGATCCTTTGCATGAATTAATTCATCACCTAGAGCACCCGTTTGTAAAACATCTTGAGGATTACCAGCCGCTACCACATTTCCACCTTTTAAGGCAACAACATAACTTGCTCCACCAAGACAAAGGCCAACATAATGTGTTACCATGATAATAGTACGATCGATCATAAGCTCACCTCTTATGCAATTATCATACAAATGTTTGGCTGTATGAGCATCCACAGCACTGAGACAATCATCAAGAACAATGGTTTCAGCATTTGAGTAGACAGCACGAGCAATAGCAAGTCTAGAGAAAAAAAAAAAAAAAAAAAAAAGAGAGAGATTAGAGAATGATAATCAACAAGATATATCTAATATATATTACCTTTGTTTTTGACCACCTGATAAACTAACACCTTTTTCACCAACTTCAGTTTGATCACCAAATTCAAGAATATCCAAATCTCTTGTAAGAGCTGTCATATATAACACTTTGGCATAACGTTCTTCATCATAATCCAATCCAAACAAGATGTTATCACGAATACTACAATTTTGTAACCAAGCTGTTTGAGCAACATAGGCAATACCCGAGACAGCGCCACCTAATTGATGACGATGATGGAGAGCAGGACGAGGAGGAAGTACAACAGAACCATTATAACAATAAGTTTCACCGAATAAACTTGAAAGAAGAGTACTTTTACCACATCCAGTAGGACCACAAATAATGGAGAGCTTATTTCGAGGGAAAGAGAGGTTCAAATTTTTGAGAGAAGCAATAGGAGGAGTGGCAACGCCGCCATCATTCTTGGAGGACGCATTCGGATCTTGCCAGCCAAATGTAGCATTATTGATAAAACCAATATAAGTTCCTGAAGGATGACCAACTTGAGGTACAATTTCCACTTCATCTTCTTGTAAGAACTTTTCCACACGACCCAAAGACACATTCGCTTGCAAAATAAAAGAGATGATGAAAGGGAATTCATCCAAAGCAGAACGGAAGGTGATGAAGAGCGCCAAAGCAGTGAACGCAGTGGCAGCAGACAGGGCATTTTGCAGAGTATACACATAAAATACAACCACCATGATCAAGATAGGAATCACAAACCAGATGTTCATCATCCACATCATCATAAACAATCGATGGCGGACAGCTTTGAGTTCGACTTCTCTTGCATCCACCAGGCGTTTTCTGAATTCCTTTTCCCAAGCAAAGAATTTCACAATACGAATGGCGGCCAACAGTTCATTCATTAGTTTTAATCGTTTATCGGTTGCACTCATCACAGTACGTTGAGATTTTTCGAATTGTCGACTGGCCAAATACGTAAGAGGTTGAGAAAGTGCCATGACTAATACACCCCAAAGAGCTGCTGTTCCCAAAAGTCGATAGAGAGCCACGATACAGATGCCGATTTGAAGAGGATAAGAATAAGCGTAAAAGATGTAAGCAGTCAATTCACCAATCTTTTGTGCATCGACAGATAATAAATTGTTGATATCACCAGATTCCGGATTTTCTTCTTTTTCTTTGGTACTATCAGTAGATGATGATCCACCATTGTCGCGTCGTCGTAGTGCTTTTCCGAATACTTCTCCAATAATAATAGCTTGAATTCGAATACCCAACGTACGGCCAATATAAAGAGCTTGCTGCATAGCCAGAGATTGAATAGAAGAAGTGATAAAGAGACCAGAAACATAGACAAATGCTGTTAATACAGGTTCCCCAGAATCAGGATTTTCGATAAATTTAATAATTTTGTTCAAATAGAGAGCTGGACCAAAGATAATCACAGACCATACCAAGGCATAAACAGTTTGCACAAATAACGGCCAACGAAAGGTATAAAACAAGGATAGTTTCATTGTTGCACGTTTATTGCGGTAGAAATCAGTCAACACGTTCTTTGTACGGTTGTTAGGAGGTAATTCGATCAAATCTTGCTCATTCACAGTTCCTTTGTAACCAAGCTTCATCATCACGTTCACCCAACTGAACATGAATTTGGAATAGATAGATGCCCAACCTTCCCCAGATAATGCACGACCCTACAATAATATGATAATATTAATCTCATGTTTTATGAATTCTTTTTTTTTTTAAAAAAAAATAATCATACCGTATCAGTGATCACAGGTTCAGAAGGAGCATGACGTTCTTCATTAATAATAAAGATCAATAAAATCAAGGAGATCATGGTCGTATAAAAAGAGATACTGTAACCATTGGAGACCTTTGAATAATCGTAGACGGTATAGAATGAGTGTAAATCGATGGAACCAATCAAGAAGTGCACCAAATAAAGGATGTTGAGTTGTTGACAGACTACATCAGCAATGGATTTAGCATTTTGAGATAATGATAAGTTGATCACAGCCAAAAGAGAACAATAGATCTAAAAAAAAAAAAAAAAAAAAAAGAAAGAATTAGATTCCTGTTTTCCATCCAAGATATATATATATTGAAACTTACCCAAAAGAAAGATTGTGCGGCATACATGATCAACAAATTTGTAGTCGTTCCCTCTACCAAAGGATCCGCCACGTACGTTTCGAAATAAACGTTGACAAGAGCATTACAATAGATAATACATTGTAAAAGAGCTAATAATCTTGACCAACTAAACACTGTCCATTGAGTTGGCTTTTCTTCATAAGAATGAACAGTGGCATCAGAAGCAGTATCACCAGTAACATGTTCGTCATTGGCATTGGTAGTAGTAGTAGTGGCACCATAAGAGTTTGATGTAGAAAGATTGGTTTTCAAAGGTGTATACAAAGAAGATCTTAATTTTTTATATTTATAAGATATCGTAACAATGGAGCCAATGGACCAAACCAAAATCGCCAAAGGAATAGCGGCATCTATGATTCTATTCAATCAACCCCATAGGTTCAGTTCATATATTATTCAACCATTATATTTATTATATTTTAGTTTCACTTACGTTTCTCTAAAGCATGGAGTAAAGTCATTATCTGACCAAGGATGCTATATTTTTCAAAAAGAAATTATTATCTTATATCAAAAAGTTCCACTTTAGACTAATAACTTACCAATAGGCTACAGTCAGTAGTCACCATGAATTGTTGAAGGAAAAGAAAAACAATGAAGAGAAAGGGAGGAAAAGAAAAAAAGGAAAAAGGAAAAAAAAAAAAAAAAAAAAAAAAAAAAAAAAAAAGAAGAAAAGAAAAGAATTGGGTACCGACAATTTCTTTTTAAAATTTAAAATTTAAAAAAAACCTTTTGACCGCAGTGGTACTAGAAAAGGTAGAAACGTACAAAAAGAGTAAACCGGGCAAGCGGGTCACACACACAAATCCACACACGGACATTCGCAATACATATATTGTAATTGATTTACATTCATACAGATTTCATCTACAGAAGAAATCATACACTTCGCCACGTTTTTTTTTTATCATCCTAACCAATTGAACAAAAACTAAGCTCTATAAAAAAATATATTTATATTGATCCCTTATCTTTTACATATTGTGTCCTGAAATTCAAATAAAGGTAGTTACAATTTATCATTCCGCAAATTTGGGAAAGCTCAAAGTATGATGATGGTGATACACAGATCTTTTAAAACCATAAAAAAGAATATGAAAGAGCTGCGGCGATGTGGTGTTTAATCTATTGTTCACTGTTTATTTACATTTTTGGATCATATGTGGATCAACCAGTTAGAAAAAGTATATTCGCTCATCAGTCAGCATTGAGTCAGCAGTTGATTGGATATTCACACGTATAAACACATTCAATCTTCTTATCATTTCCTTTCTAGTTTATATTGATCATCATCACAAATGTTGTGATTTTTTTTTTATTATATTGAGTAGACGCCATATTAGGTAACTCCTGATGACGACTACAACGATGATGATGGATGATGATGACGTGAACGCCCTTTCTTGAAGAAAAGTCCAGTTTTCTATGGAATAGTTTAAAAACTAAAGAAAAATATAAATCCAGAAATCTGGACAAAGGACGAAAAGACGAGGCAAGTCTGTAATAAGAAAAACTTCCTTTTGAGGTGAATAATGAATGATTGACATGATTAACAGATATGGATGATAGACTGACATGAATCCAAGGGTTTAATATGCATATTCATGATGATCATCCTATTATATTGGTCAATTTCTATTTGTCATAAAAAAAAAAAGGAAACTATTCATCCAAATCAAAAATTTATTGAACAATACTTGTACATGGGAGACTTAATTTCCCCTCCCTCTCTCTTTTTTTTGGAGAGTGACAACAAAATAAAATAAGTAAAGAATCAGAAAAAAAAAAAAAAGGAGATATCATTTACACGTTTTCTTTGTCTCTATTATAAAAGATCATCATTTGTAACATCAAATCAATGAGGAAAGATACCAGGAGAGCTAAAAGAAACAAAGAAAAAAAAAAGAGAAAGAACGCCAATAATAGAAATGATAATTGTGAATAAAGCTACTCTACTATTTTATTGATTTGATGATAATAAAGATGAATGATAAATAATAATGTATAAAAATAAATGATAATGACGATTAATAATAGTAATAGTAATAAAGGGAATCGTTCTATTCTATCATCATGACATACTATATAAAAAAACAACAAAGGACGACAAGTGACCAAAAAAAAAAAATGCAAAACATGCAAAAGAATAAGGGGGGACTGTAAATCAAAATGGAAAGGGAGATAATACCAAGTATATAGAAATAGACACCGTGTATAAAATATATGTATATAAAATAAAATAAAAAAAAGAGAAGGGAGAGCTAACTAATGTACTTTTGATATAACATCATTGAATCCTTTGATCTTTGCACATTCACGTTTAACGTTGTCAGCCTTGTCCGTATCCCAATCACCAGCAGCGATCATCATTCGAGCATATCTTAGGCAAGCTTCTTCTCGGTAGTAATCATATAGTTTCTTGTTGTATTTACGCTTTGAAAAAAAAAAAAAAAGGAATGAATAAATTAATATCATGTAAAAAAAAAAAAAAAAAAAAAAAAAAAAAAAAAAGAATACTTTTTTTTTTCTTAAACTTACTTCTTTTGCTCTGGTTTCTTCAGGATAATGATGTGTTTGATGAATCAAGAAATCATCAGGTAATACCCAATAATCGATTCCAGCTAAATAGATTTCGTACAAACATGCGGCCTTGTTTGCACCATAACCAATAAATCGTTCATCGCACCAGGGAGTTCCATCTTTTTTGAAAATCACATATGGTTCGTAGGAATAATTGTAATCTGTGACTTTATAAGGCATAGTTGAAGTATACCATTTTGTATAATTTGTTGAACCATGACCACGTTTCCAAGAACGATGAAACATATCGATTGTATCAGATTTCACAATATCCATGAGAGCTGCTTTATTTTGAGGGAATAAACGCCAATCTTCACCATCTTCTTCCTTGATATATTCAAAAGCAGGAATCACTACAGCACCACGACCAGATCGTAATACATCCATCAATTCAGGATTTTTCTTGAGAGAACGTCGGAAATCAGTGCATAGATAAAAGTCCACATCTAACATGATGATATATTCTGTTCGAGCAAAGAACTTGGCCACATTTCGCCACATATTGAATTGTCGGTCAAATTTGTCTACCACCAAATGGAGATCCACATAACGTCGCATATCAGGATTTTCGTCGTATAGTTTATGAAGGTCGGTTAAAATCTTTTGTTTTGTTCCATCATCATTGACATGAATTGCTACGGAGACTGGACCTTTGTAATGAGAAGCTAATCGACTTAATACAGCAAATCGATTATGTGTCACTAAAGTTGAAATTGTCACTTCTTCTCGGTCGAATGTTTCTTGTGCCTTGAAGTAATAAGGTATCACTTTACTTGGTCCCATTGCATCCGAAAATACTTTACTGAGCATAAAGTCTTCACCCATGGATTCGTATTTAGAACCTAATAAAAAATAAAAATAAAAAATTGAGTATTCATCATAAATATATATATATATAAAGTATATATTTACCATCACGATTTATCCAAGATACTCGTTGCGAACCAAGATAATGTTGTTGTAATTGTGAGACTGATAGTGCTGGTTCGTTATTAGATCGAGGAGCGATATGTTTGTTGCCAACACCAGGAGTTACTTGCACAAAACCAAGTAGATGAGCAGTTGCATAGAAAAGTGAGCCAGCCACATATAATAAGAAGAGATATTTTAAAGACTTGGAAAGATTCATCCGTGATGATTCACGCATGATAAAATAAGAATAGTAATAATAATAATAAAAAAGGAAGGAAGGAATAAGTAAAGATGATGAAAAATAAAAAAAAAAAAAATAAAGAAAAAGAAAGGAAGGAAGGAAATAATGGAGAAAGTATAGAAAACAAGAAAGAAAGAAAGAAAGAAAAAATGGTTTTCTTTTTTCTTCCCCCCTTATTTCAGAAAAAAAAAAAAAAGAAGAAGAATATGAATGAGATAGTATGTGTAGATGAGTGTCAATATCTATATAATATATATGTCCCACAAACACACACACCTAAATTTTTTTAGTTGGTGACAGAAATATAAAGGAAGTAAAAATGGGCGTGCGTGTTGTTCCCCAATAAAGGTTTTTGCTGGTGTGATATTTATATTATATATATATATAATATATAATATATAAATAGACGAAGGAGATAAGGAGTGAATTAGAAGGAGTTTGTTTATAGAAAAAGTAAAAGAAAGGGGAAGAGGTTCAAAGGGGGGAAGGAAAACAAAGAAAAAAAATATATAGATTCGGAGATAGAAAACTATTGGACAAAAAAATAACTACAATGAATCTTGGAGAGAGATGATTGATACTGGTGTGAGTATATATATTTATATAGTGAAACTACTAAGAATATTTCTTTTTTATTATTAAAATAAAATCAAACGAACAGAAGTGGAGGTGGGGGAAGGAAGGAAAAAAAAAAATACAAATGTGAAGAATGGAAAAATAGGGTAACAATATTTAAAAAAGATGAATATACTATAGAACTAAAAGGTTAAGGATAATGTTTGTATTGTTATGTGATGAAGGAAAAAAAAAGTGCTGTACATTTGTGATAAAGGAGATTGGAAGATAAAAACAAACAGTAGGACCATTTATAGACGAGCTTGATGAGAGACAGTGACAATATCATCATATAGGAGAGTGGTCAAGAAGTCATCAAGCTTTTCACCTGTAACATTGGTAGCGAAAGCAGCTTTAGCAGCTTCAAACTTAGTATTACCATACTTGTCTCCAAGTCGTTGACGGATCTTTTCAGTTTCTTCATCAAGGATCTTCAAAAGCCATTGACCAGTGACACGAGTACCTTCAGCAGTGATAGTATTATGCTTGGCCCATTGGAATAACTAATAATAATAATAATAATAAAAGCAATGAGTATATGATTTAAAGATCATCCATCATTACGTAAGGATCTTTTTTTTTTTTTTGATCTCTTTGAAACTTACTTGAGAACGAGAAATTTCGGCAGTAGCGGCATCTTCCATAAGACTATTATAAAAAAAAAAGGTATTGAAGATCAATCATCCTATTTCCATATTTGTTCCCCTTTCCCCGCTAAATTAATCGACCAATCATTTTTCATCGATATCAAAAAATAACCCCTTATCTTTTTTTTTTTTTTATAGTTGTGCTTACCCGTGAATTGGAACACAACCAATGCCTCGTAACCAAGCTTCCATATATTCAAGACCAACTTGGATGTTATCCCGGATACCCTTTTCAGTAACAGCACCCTTGAAGTTGATATTCAATAAATCAGTATTCTTAACGACAACATCATCACGACGAATGTGAATTTGATTAGGTTGAGGCATATGTTCATTGAAAACATCCAAAGCAATTTGTACAAGACCAGGATGAGCAACCCAGGTACCTAATAAGAAAAAAAAAGGACATTAGTAAAAAAAAAAAAAAATATTGTTATTATGTTTTTCTTCTTACCATCATGACCAGCTTGAACTTCTCGAAGTTTATCATCATAGACCTTCTTGGTAACAGCATCATTAGCCTTGGGATCATTCTTGACAGGGATGAAAGCAGACATACCACCCATAGCATGAACACCACGTTTGTGACAAGTTTGGACCAAAAGACGAACATAAGCATCCATGAAAGGAACGGTCATGGTAACATCAGCACGATCAGGCAAGACAAATTGAGGATGGTTTTGAAGTTTCTTGATGAAAGAGAAGATATAATCCCATCGACCACAGTTCAAACCAGAAGAATGATCACGTAATTCATAGATGATTTCGTCCATTTCGAAAGCAGCAAGAATAGTTTCAATGAGAACAGTACCACGGATAGTACCACGAGGGATATTGATCATATCTTGAGCAACATTGAAGATATCATTCCAAAGTCTAAAAATAAAAAATAAAATATTGATAAGTACTATTACTTGTTATATATATATATATATATATATACCTAGCTTCAAGATGAGATTCCATCTTGGGAAGATAAAAGTAAGGACCTTTTCCACGCTTAATAAGTTCCTTGGCATTGTGGAAGAAGTAAAGAGCAAAATCAAAGATGGAAGCAGAGCAAGGTTCACCATCAATAAGGACATGCTTTTCAACCATATGCCAACCACGGGGACTATAAAGATAAAAGATAACAGAAAAAAAAAAAAAAGTTTTCAATGTCAGAACAAAGAAAGAGGGTATTTTCACATGTAAGTATAATTTTGTATGATTTCACTTACCGAACAATGAGAGTAGCGATCTTACCATCCTTTCGTAGTTCATACTTCTTACCATTAGGATTACTGAAGGTGATGGTTTCACGGACAGCATCACGTAAATTGTATTGACCACTGATCATGTTTTCCCAAGTAGGAGCACTTGAATCTATAATTATGCAAAAAAAAAAAAAAAAAAGTTATGTGAGAATTATAATAATATAATAATTATATATTTATTTACCTTCAAAATCGGCCATAAAAGTAGAAGTACCAGCATTCAAAGCATTAATGACCATTTTACGATCAACAGGACCAGTAATTTCAACACGACGATCTTGAAGACCAGGAGCAGGTACAGCAGCACGCCAATTAGGGTCATTACGGATATAAGCAGTTTCAGGTAAAAAGTCAGGAAGAACACCACGATCCAATTCTTGTTGACGGAAGTTTCGTTTTTGTAATAAAGTCTTACGAGTAGGATTGAAAATACGATGAAGAGTAGCAACGAATTGTAATGCAGAAGGACTCAAGATTTCAGCTTGAGCAGGAGTTACTTTTCCAATAACAGCCACACCGGGAACAGCTGATTTCAAAAGACTAACAGCAGATTGAACAGACATGATATATAAGAAGAAAATAAAAATAAAAAAAAAGAAAAGATATATTAAAAAAGAAAATATGGGGAAAGAAAAAAAGGAAAAAAGAAGTGAGAAAAAAAAAAGTGATTTTATATATGCGCGAAGTTTTGTAACGCTTGAATTTTTTGAAATGTGGAGATTTTCGGAAGATGAATCCGAATTTACTTTCTCAAGTGACGGTGCTTCCACTGAGTCAAACTTTTTTATTTGGTAGTTGAAGGATACTTGCTTATATACAAAAAATGCAAAACCATTTTTTCATTTCTTTCTCTTTATCCATTGATCACATGCCTTACTTTACAATTCACATGAAGCGGGAAGATACGTTATTTCCTTTTGCTAATATTATTTAATTGATTTTCCTTTTTTATTTTTTTCTTTTCTTTTTTTTTTTTTTCTATGATCATATTCTATATATAATATGTTATTATTGGTATGTATCAATAAAAATGAATTAGTTTCATAAGGCGGTTGATGAAAATAAAACCAATCAAAATCACCCGATTTATTCCTATATTCGCATAAGAGATTTGGAGGAAAAAATATACTTGATCTTTTTTTTTTTCAAAATCAAAAAAAAAATACTATTTTCTTTCGGTATTTCAATCACAACGAATCATTTATGACAAAATACAAAAGGGGCCGATAAAAAACGGCCCCCCTCTCTAAGCTTCTTTTTCTTTTTTTTTTTCTCCGAGTTTTTATCTTTTTTTTTTTTTTGATCAGTGGCTGAGCTGCACTATAAATCAACCTTTCATTTGAAATGAAAAATCAAATTTTCTCTTCCACTTTTTTTTTTAGTTTTCTTCTTTTTAACATATATCATTGTTTTAATAAAAAGATTATTTAAAAAAAAAAAAAAAAGAATTGACTCTTGTTATCAGTGTTTGAATTTTTATTTTGTTGATTACATACGCAAGATCATTCGCATTAAGAACATATTAGTTTGTTTAATAGCTTATTATGTTCAATACTACTTTGTAGTGCTTGCAATATGGAAGAGGGCTCGTTTGAGTGTAGTCGCCTTCATCAATGACGACTGTATATATAGGTTGTCCCTCAACATCACCCTTTGTGACTTTTTTTTTAAAAAAAAAAAAACTGAAATGAAAATATATCCTTGCCAGAACATGTCAAAATCAAAGTTTGGTTTTTTCTTTTTTAAGTTTGATTCCGAAGCCTCATCATCTGAGATCAAGTTTTTTTTTTTTTTATATATCTGTTACTTCTTTTTGTATGTATGTGTATGCAGATAGATCATCATTCACGTTTTTTTTTTCTTTGTCATTCCCTATGCGAGTTCATTCTCTGTATTAGCATCATCGTCCATTAATCACTATCATCATGCACCATACCATGATATCATGACATCATCACTATTGGTCACCATCACTACCACTCATTCATTATCATCAGTAGAAAAGGGGTGGATGTTGATCGCTGTTTGAAACAGAGTCAAATTGATTACTTGCCATTGGCTTTTCCATTCTCATTTACCATGGCGTCATCGGTCTTTTTTTTTAAAAAAAAAAAAATCAAGCCCCCCTCGTGCTTTTTTTTTCAATTCTTTCATCTCTACTTTCTTACATCATCATGGCTGAATACCAAGCTCGTCAAGTGGGTGCTCTTAACACTCTCGATTTCCGTCTCTTCTATGGTAAAAAAAAAAAAAAAAAAAAAGAAAGAAAGAAAAAACTTAAATAGGTTTTGACAGATGGGACGCGTGCTATTTGAAATATAATAATTTTTTTTTCTTATTTTACTAACGTCACAGTTCTTATTATCTGACATTATTAGAAAAGGATGGTGTTCCTGTCTCTCCTTTCCACGACATCCCTCTCTTTGCTAATGAAGAAAAGACTATTTTGAATATGGTGGTTGAAATCCCTCGTTGGTCTAACGCCAAGCTTGAAGTAAGTTTGAATACTATCGGGTTATAGAATGAAAAAGCTAAACAAATATGGATTCTATAATAGATTTGTAAGGAAGAAGCTTTCAATCCTATCAAGCAAGATACCAAGAAGGGTAAACTTCGATTTGTCCGTAACTGTTTCCCTCACAAGGGTTACATTTGGAACTATGGTGCTTTCCCTCAAGTAAGTTATAATAAAATAAAATAAAAAAGGATGGATGATCTTATTATTATATCTGTTATTTTATAGACTTGGGAAGACCCTAACCATACTCATGCTGAAACCAAGGCCAAGGGTGATAATGATCCTATTGATGTTCTTGAAATTGGTGAACAAGTGGCTACTGTTGGTCAAATTAAACAAGTAAAGATTCTTGGTATCATGGCTCTTTTGGATGAAGGTGAAACTGATTGGAAGGTGATTACTATTGATGTTAATGACCCATTGGCTCCTAAATTGAATGGTAAGATATTTAATGGAATAAAATTAAAATTTGATGTATGTGACTCAATATATTATACTATAATAGATATTGAAGATGTTGAAAAGCACCTTCCTGGTCTCATCCGTGCTACCAATGAATGGTTCCGTATCTACAAAATTCCCGATGGAAAGCCTGAAAATGTATTTGCTTTCAGTGGTGAAGCCAAGAACAAGGTAAATATATAATATAATATAATATAATATATGTTAACAAAATGAATTTAAATATCATATAGAAATATGCTACCGAAATTGTCTTGGAAACTAATGAAGCTTGGAAGGCATTGATCAATGGCAAATCTGATAAGAAGGATATCTCCACGTAAATTAAAAATATATATATATAATGCGTGAAAAGAAGAAGGAGAAAAAAAGAAAAAGAATATTTCTCATTTATTCTCTCTTTTTTTTTTCTGAAATATAGTACCAATGTTTCTGTTGATGAATCTCCTTATAAGGTTAACATCGATGATGAAGTTGTGGCCAATGTACCTGCTGTAAGTATCAAAAAAAAAAAAAAAAAAAAGAATGATCACCATATTATATTTTGTTAATATTATTATTATTATTATTTAGGCTGATGTTCAAGCTCCTGCACCTATTGATTCTTCCATTGACAAGTGGTTCTTCATTAGTGGAAATGCTTTGTAGATTATTTTGTTATTTCATCAATAATAGTAATAAAAATAAAACTAAAAAAAAAAAAAAAACGTCAAGTGCATATATGTTTTTATTGGTGATGATATTGTTATTTACCATATAGAGATGGAAAAGAAACAAAAAAAAAAAAAGGGAGAGTATGAAGCCTTTTTTTTTGATAGGAGGAAAGCCTATTTTAAAGTTTTCGACTATACAAACATATATATATATAATTTTTTTTTTGATCCCCTCTCTTACTCGTTTCTATTTTTTCATTCTCCTTCATGTCTCCTTATTTGAAGCATGGCGGTCGCTTTGTCCTTCTTTCTTTCTCTTTTCTTTTATTTCTTTTTAATTCAATAAGACTTGTATTTTATTACTAAAAAAAAAAATGGGTATATGCATGTCTTCAGAAGAAAGAGAAGATAGGGAACGTAGTCAACGTATTGATAAAATGTTAGAAGAAGATAATAGGAAATTGAAAAGAGAATGCAAAATATTATTACTCGGTAAAAAAAAAAAAAAAAAAAAAAAAAAAAAAAAAAAAAGTTATTCAATATTAAATAAATAGAATAAAAGTCTTTAACAACATATTCACTTTTTTTAATAGGTAGTGGAGAATCTGGCAAGTCTACTATCGTCAAACAAATGAAAATTATTCACCAAAACGGCTACACTAAAGACGAGTTATTTACTTGGCGAGCAACAGTATATAAAAACGTCATTGAATCAGCTCAAGCTCTGGTAGCTGCTATTATCAAGTTTAACTATGAATTTGAAAATATCAAGAATAAAGTAACTATATATATATATATATGCAAAAAAGAAAGATGATTCACTCCCTACCTCCCTTTCTTTCTTTCTTTCTTTTTTTTTTTTTTTTATTATTATATTATTTAGGATTATGCTCAACTTATTGCTGACTATAATTTAGGGGATCCAAATAGTCCTCTTGATCCTGAAATCGTTGATGCCATTACCAATCTATGGACAGATGGAGTAATACCTCGTTTATTGGATGGAGAAGCAAGTGAATTTTATTTGATGGATTCAGCTCCTTAGTAAAGTGAAATTAATAATATGATGATGATGATTATATTAATCATTTTTTTATATAAGTTTTTTTGAACAAATCAAAAGATTAGGAGAGACAGATTATATACCTGATGTTCAAGACGTATTACGAGCAAGATCTAAAACTACTGGTATAACTGAAACAAGATTTACAATGGGACAACTTAGTATTCAGTAAGTTTGATTTGTTTATATATATAAAAAAAAACATCATCTTTACTCCTTTTTTTCCCCTCCTTTGTTTTATATAGTATGTTTGATGTTGGTGGACAACGATCTGAAAGGAAAAAATGGATTCATTGTTTTGAAGCTGTTACTTCTATTATCTTTTGTGTAGCTCTTAGTGAATATGATCAAGTATTATTGGAGGAATCAAGGCAAAATCGAATGATGGAAAGTTTGGTTTTATTTGAATCAGTTATCAATAGTCGATGGTTTTTACGTACATCTATCATTTTGTTTCTCAACAAAACGGATATTTTTAAAGGCAAATTACCTAAAGTACCTATGGAACGTTATTTTCCTGATTATGGAGGTAAATTATTTATGATTATCTATCATAAATACATTATAACTTGTTTTTATATCTTTGAATAGGTGGTGATGATCCTAATAAAGCTGCCAAGTATATATTATGGAGGTTTAATCAAACAAATCGTGCTAAGCTTAACATATACCCTCAGTAAGTTATTTATAATATAGAATCGTATATTGATACTGATCTTTATATATTATATAGTTTGACTCAAGCAACCGATACCTCTAATGTAAGTTCACTAAAAAAAAAAAAAAAAAAAAAAAAAAAAAAAAATCTTTTAAACTCATTATTATTATTTTATTCAAAATAGATTCGATTGGTATTTGCTGCTATCAAGGAAACTATATTACAAAATGCTCTCAAGGACTCTGGTATTTTATAGTTTTATTTTTATATCTTTATTCATCTTTGTATACATTCATTTGTTTCCTACTCTCTTTCTTTTTTACTTTTATATATATATATCCTTTTTTTTTTTAGCATAGTTTCAACTTTTCATTGTTCATTTTCTTTCTCCTATCCATTGTTACACATTTCACCTGCATGAATCACCTTTTCCCCTCTCTCCCCTTACTATAGTGTACATCACATTTTAATTCTTCTTTCATATTCAAACAAATTCCTTCTTCTTTTCTTTATTCATTCATCAATAATATTAATAAATATATCTATATATACAATCTATTTATATACAACAATTTTTATATATTTAATTCTATAAAAGATCTAGTTCTACATTACAAATATCTTCAAATTCTTGGATTGTCTTTTCACAAATAGATGGTTGATTCTGCCAAGCTGATAACAATGCTAAACCTTCTTCTTGATTGGAAATTTCTTTCATTCCTTGTTGTACCATCAGTTGTTTGGAGTATAATTCTTGAGTATACATATCTATAATAATCTTGCTACGTTGTACTAAATGATTCCAAAAAAAAAAAAAAATGGATGAGTCATTGATTATTATTTATATAACCATTTCGTAACTTACCAAATACATGTATAGGACATGTTTTGAATAATGGTATTTGATCATTTTCCAATACTTGACCCACACGTTGTTGAATCGCGATAAATTCACGTATAAAAGTCATCATTTTGATTTGTTGTTTTGCCTAATATCAGTCATCGACAAAAGAATAAAAAGTAGAGAAAATGATTAGGTATATACTTTCTTTCTTTCTTTCAATATGACAACTCATGTATATTATATAACACAAACACTTACCATACGTTCAAGAATCACCATAACTTTCTTGTCATCTTGTTCTATTAGTTTCTTCAGTTTAATATCATATTTTTGAATAATATTGGGAAATTCTTGTCGTAAACTAGGATGCCAATATCCCAAGTCATCAGAATATCTAAATCATACAATATATTCAAATATAATAATGAGTTTCTTTGTTTTGAAAAATAATAACTTACTTTGATTGGATAACAGTATTGATCAACTTGTTGGCAGCTGGGAATCCTTCAACATTTAATTCGTTCCATGTATTTCTAGATCGTTTGAATTCTACTAAAACCGTTTCAACTCGTCGTTGTAGCGTACCAAGATGCGTTGTCATATAGATATCAATTCGTTCAAAAAAAAAAAAAAAAAAAAAAAAAAGAAAGAAAGAAAGAAAAAAAAAAAATAAAGAAATTTCGTATAAATATCACTCCGGCCCAGTGATGAAATCTGCATTTTCCAAAAGACGTCATGATAGCCAATATGATTGGATCAACCTTAAAATTTATCCAAACTTGGTCACTATGAATTTTGTCTAATACATTCTTTTTATCATTCCATAATAATATAAATAATAGTTTTCAACCTTGATTCGTTTTGTTATTTTACAATAAGATGATCCTATTAATTATATTTGAACCATTAAAATATAATAAAAATATATATATGGTTGATTGACACATATATATATATATAAGAAAAAAAAAAAGGTGATTTTTTTGGTCTCTCTATTGTAAGCAAGTGTGGTGGTACATCCCTGCGATCTGATTCGTCAACGGGGATACAAATTGTTCTTGGGAAGGGAGCAATTGGAAGAAATTTACCCCATTCCTTTCTATTATTATTATTATTATTATTATTTCTCCCAGTTCTCTTGTTTCTTTCTTTTTTGTGTATATATATATATAACTATGATCAGAAGTGGGTGTCCTCGTGATGAATTTGACTTTATGGAAGTAATAGGTGCTGGTTCTTTTGGATCTGTTCATAGAGCCATTCAAAAATCTACTCAGAAAGTGGTAAAGTTGCATAACAATATATATATATATATATATATATATATATATTTAATTCATCATCTTTTTTATTTTTTATTTTTTTTAATTAGGTGGCTATTAAGATCATGAAAAGGAAGTTCACCTGTTCAACAGAATGTGACCTTTTATTAGAATGCAAAATATTACGTCTTTTACCTCCTCATATGAATATTGTAAAGAACTACGACACATTTTTTGCTCCTTCGAACGAACTTTATTTTGTCATGGAATATATGAATGGTGGTAATCTATATCAACTTATCAAAGAAAAACGGGATAACGATATATATTTTACTACTGGTGAACTTCGAGATATCATGTAAAAATATATTATTATTATTATTATTATTATTATTATTATATACTGAAAAATAGTTTTTCATCTCTTCTTCTAGGCGACAAACTCTAGCTGCTGTCTCACATTTACATTCCAACCATATATTTCATCGTGATTTGAAACCTGAAAACCTTTTACTTTCCACCTGTACTGGTCTTCCTATCATCAAACTGGCCGACTTTGGATTGGCTCGTGAAACAAGTAGTTGTCCACCATATACAGAATATGTTAGCACACGATGGTAAAATATATTCTCTTTATCTTTATTTTATATTATATTAATTCTTCGTTTTCTTATTATTATAACTTTTTTTTTTAAAAAAAAAGGTATCGTGCTCCCGAAGTATTACTACGATCTTCTAATTATTCATATGCTGTTGATTTATGGGCTATTGGTACCATCTTCGCTGAACTGATTAGTCGCCACCCTTTGTTTCCTGGTGAATCCGAAATTGATCAACTATATCGTATATGTCAAGTATTAGGAAGTCCTGGCAATAAGTTTATCAATACCCCCAATAAGAAGAAAAATTTGCGACCCGAAAAAAAGGTTAGTCCTGGTTTTGCAAGAAGAAAAACTCTGGATACATCAGCTGCCCCATCAATTACCGATTTATCACAGTCTATTCGACAACAACGTAGCAACAGTAACACAGCTTCAACTATTTCTTTATTGGATGGTGGTGGAGTATGGCGTGAAGGCGTGAAATTGGCTCACAGAATAGGTTTTGAATTTCCTCATGTAAGTTTATTTGAATTCTCTTTTATTATTATTATTATTATTCTCCTGATTGTAAGCTTATATTCAATATTTGTTTCTTTTTTTTTTATATAGTTATTACCTCAACCTTTGGCATCAGTGATACCAGAAGCAACTCCAATTATGCTTGATCTTTTACGACAGTTCCTATTTTTTAATCCTTCTCAACGATTAAAAGCTCCAGATGCGTTACAACACCCATTCTTTTTGGAAAGTGATAATGAACCTTTGAATCCCACTACAATACAAACACCCATAGCCATATCTACAATACCATCAACAGATTTAACAACAACAGCACAAACAAACAAATCAGAAGCACAAGACAAGGAAAAAAATACATCAATCATGCAATCAAGAGAATCAATTACCACTGTATTAGGCAATGCTGACGATAAAGTAAAGGATGAGATGAAACAATCATCAGATAGGATAGATTCTCTCAGCAAAATGATACCAAGCAACAAACTACCAACATCAAAATGTACACACGCAAATAAAACGAAGGAAGATAAAGAACAACAGGATACGAATAATAACCACAATGAACCATCTTCAATAAGTCCTCCTTACAGTGGAAAAAGGCGACCAGACAGTACTGATACGATCATGATGGACGATACAAAATTACGAAAGACAGATGCACCAAGTCCTCATTATTTTTCAAGTTATTCCGGAATGGAAGTCGATTCACAACAACATGATGATCAAATACATACTCATCGACATTTGATCTTTCATCCTCATGATACAATCGATGAAGTATCCTCTATGGAACAGCCACCTTCTAATGGAGATTATTATCATCAAGATGATGGAACTTCGTCCTCTTCCAGAGGTCCAAGCATGGATAGAGAAAAGTAAGTAATAAGAAAATGGATAAAAAAAAAAAAAGGAAAAATGAGATGATAACGAATTCTTTTTTTTTTCTCGAAATAAAACATAGTACTGATTGGATGTGGCTCAAGGTTTTATGAATACATATATATATCTACAGTTTTATCGCTCTTGATTACTTGGTTTTTTTTTTTTTTATTCCACTTCCTCAATACGCTTTAGTCACATATTCATATACTGATCTTTGTACAAACATTGATTTGTTAATTAAAATACCCCCATTCCGTATTCTTTTCTCATTTATGATATGCCTTTTTTTTTTTTTTTTTTTTTTACCTACCTTCTCTAGTTTTAGGAATATAATCATCCCTTTTACCCTTCTCTTTTCCATTCTTTTTTGATTTGTACAAAGAAACAACAATAAACAAAAAAAAAAAATCTGATTTATTGAACAACAAAGAACAAACGAAAAGATAAATTGCCGACTAGTTTTACATACACTTCTTTATTTTACTCTCTTTTTTTTCCATCGTTTTTCTCTTTATATTATTCTATATTGGGGTCTCTATTCCACCTTATATTCGCTTGTTTCTAAATCTCTTATCCTATTTTCTGGGGAAAAGGATGATGATTCCCTTATTAAGGTATTACCGAAGATTACAAAAAAGAAAAAAATCGGAATCACATCAACAAAGACTCTTAAGTGGATATCACTATATTCAATACCTCCGAGAGCAAAGACAGAGAGATTTAAATTATGTAGAACAACGTATTCATCACACAGAACAGTTATACTATGCAATTACAAAAGAATGGAAAAGGATCAGGGCACAGATGCATCGCGCCAATCAGGTCTTCCAACGCATGGATCGAGATGATGTATGGGTGACAGGTGCAGAACATGAATATTTGTATACATTGAGGCACAAATGGACCCAACCACTCTGTCAAGCTCGCGCTGACCTACAAGTCTATCAGGAGACTCTAGATGTCTTATATATGCAAGCAGATAATCATATTGCTCACCTCGCTGGTATCGATCGTGCATTAAATTATTTAGGTTTCGAGATCCACCCTGATGTACGTGACAATCATATATCTCTTCATCGTTCAAAGATCCCTAATGATCGGCAAGAACCATCTAATCATCATCATTTTTATCACCATCCGTACAATCATCGTCACCATCATCATCATCATCATCCATATCATCATCCTTATCATTATCAACCTCATCATCGTCCGTACCACTATCCATACTATGATCCTTATCGATACCAATCTCATCATCGATCTAATCATGCCATCAGTAACATGCAAAAACATTCTAACCATCATCCATATCATTCTCCTTATCATCCTTCGGATCATCAACTTAATTATCACTATTCTCATTGTTCAATGGCACAAGAAGAGCAGTCCTTAGATGGTCCAATAGATCATACATATCAACAACATCATCAGCAACAAGAAAAAGAACAACAGGCAAAACAAAAACAGAAAGGATATTGGTCCTTGTTAAAAACACGAATTTATCCCGTCAAGCTACATCATTCTAATAGAGATCATCCTATAAAAGAAAAAAATGAATAAACGTTATCAATTTTTTGATTTTTTTTTATTATTATAATAAAAAAAAAAGACTATTACTACAAAAGGGGAGAGAGAGAGAATGATATACAATTAAATTTATACTAAAAAGATAAAATAAACTGACCACTATAAACTTGATTCCCATTGATTTTGTCGACGTCTTCGTTGTTGTCGTCTTCTGTTTCCACCATTGCGTTCTCGTTCTTCTTCTTTCCGTAAAATGATCAATGCCAATCGTACAAAAAGAGCAAACAAATCCATAAAAAGTTCCAATGCATGACCTGGAATATCAAAAATGCCAGCACTTGCCCTTTCCACAATCATTTGAGTATCGTAAACCACTATTCAAAAAAAAAAAAAAAATGAATCGTTCTTCTTTTTTTTTTTTTATCATTCATTTTTTTTTTTTTTTTTTTTTTTTTTTTTTTTTACCAAATCCTGCAAAGGCAATCAATCCAAGGTATAATTCAGCCGAGAACATGGAAGAAGATCGAATAAAAAAGAGATTGGCAAAGGACGCCCAGATCATGATACCAAGTAAACTACCCGCCATACCACCGTAATAAAGCATACTTCGACGATTCGCCAATAATGCACTACCTGCAAATCCCAAAAAGATAAACACCGATCCACTCAATGCTGCAAGAAGAAGTGTACCAGTAGGATCCCATCGAAGATATATTGCCACCAAACTGGATAAAGATGAACCACTAAAGAGTGCATATACCTAAATCAAAGAAAGAAAAAAAAAAAAGTGAGTCATTGAATTTCATTTTTTTTTTTTTTTTTTGGATATTACGAAGAGTAATCCCCAGCGTAGAATATGATCTTGTCTTAAATGTCGTATACCAAATACACTACCAATAACTGCACCAGTTTCAATGACTCCTCCAGATAGAGCAGATAGTCGTGAATAAGGACCACCATAATGTGCACCAATAGCGGCAACACCAAGGAGAGCGGCTATTGTAAGAAATACATGTACAAGATGTTGTCGTACAGGTCTGCTAATCACTTGTTGACTTGAACTACTTGTATAAGAGGAAGATGCTTTTTCATGTGGATAACCTGCCATTGTTTTTGGAGGTACACTTATTGTTATTATTATGAAAATAGATTAAAAAAAAAAAAAAAAAGAAAAAGATGGAAAGAAATGGAGAAAAAAAAAAAAAAAAAAAAAGGAAAGAGTTTTCGTGGCAAAAGCAGAAAGGAGGACTATTTTCAAATACCGCCATTCTTTTCTTTCTGTTGCATTTCAAGATAAAGCACTTCTTTCATTTCTACCAATTTACCAATTTGTGTATAAAATATAGAGTGTTGGATAAGTTGTTATCATGATGATTTGTTATGATAATGATATTTATCAAGCATCTTTTTTTTTTTTTATGCCATATTGGCGGAGTGTTTTTGTTTTTCACTTTATTTTCTTTTCCCTCTAACCTTTTTTTTTTTTTTTTTTTTTTTTTTTTTTACATCAATTCCTTTCCCATTCTTATCATATCCATTATGAAATAAACAGTATCATTCATTATCTTTTTTTTCTTTTCTTCATTCCTTTTTATTTTATTATTGCTATTATAGTGTATGTCATTCCATCTTTTACCCCTTTATTATTATATGTACACCTCATGCCATCTTTTATTTCTATACGATCTTCCCGATTCTTATATGGATTCTTACCATATAAATATTCCATTATGAAATAAACGACATTTTCTATATCACTACCCTACATCTGTGTCTTTACTTCTTCTTTTTTTTTTTTTTTTTTTTTACTTTGACTAATTTGATACGAATAATGATGGAACGAGATGATTGGGTTGTGTTTTACCGACGGCTTCTTTTAACCAATCAAATGGCGCGAATTTACGATTGGCTTTTTCATGCACATTGGAGTCTAGTTTTCTATCTAGGTAATTTGGCCGAGTTGGTCTAAGGCGCCGCACTCAAGTTGCGGTCTCGTAAGAGGCGGGTGTTCGAATCACCCAGTTACCATTCCTTTTTGCTATTCGATGATCGGGTAAATTGTTTCACCATGGTTAAAAGATGTGCCTGTGGTATTGTTAAAAGTGATTTATGGCATGATCATGAAGAAGGGAGTGTTGCTAGGTGATTTTTTTGGTTTATAGGTTCAAAATTGAAAAAGTAATTCGGATGATTGAAAGAGAATAAGTTGTTTAGTGAGCACCAGTACTTGATTACGCCAGCACATGTATAAGAAAAGAAATAAAATAAAACAAAAAGTAAATTAAAGAAAAATAAAGTCTTGTTCCAAATTTGGAAAGTAGAAGTAGAGTAAAATTGTTCTGACTTTAAATATAGAACAAAATGAGCCAATCAAGAGTAATAATCCTCAAATACAATTGAAATGGGATGTTAATAGTTTTATTAAAAAAAAAATATAATATTTGTTGACTACTGATAAAAAAAAAAAAAAAAAAAAAAAAAAAAAAAGATGGAGTATTTATACTATTTTTCTAAACCACGGTTTAGACTGATGGTCAAAAAAAGACACGATGTCACAAAGTGTGACCATGGTTAATACATATATAATTTTTTTTTTTTTTTTAACAGTGTTAAGTGATTTTTTGGGTTCAAATAGCCAAAATTGAAAAAGTAATTCGGATGATTGATTGATAATAAGTTAAATAGTGAGCACCAGTACTTGATTACGCAAGGTCATTCTTAAAGAATCAGTCGTCTTAGGTTTTATTTTTATAAAGGCTATCATAAGATCATTTATTTGATCATCATCAAGGACGATCGTATTATATTATCAAATCAATTATCCTTTAGATCATTCAAGAATACTATGAAAATATATTTCTTTTTTTCCACTCAGTGACAAAAAAAAAAAAAAAAAAAAACACTAGTCATCCATTACAAGATGTGGCCTTCATAAAAATGAACACAAAGTTACGATATAAAAGTTCAGTAAATACTTTATTTCAAATCAAATAATATATGTAAGCTTTGTTGAAGACATACTATACTATAATATACAGCATAAACTAAACTAAGCTAAGCTATAGCTGTAGTATGAATTACCATGTTGCACGCATCATACTGCCGTATACACCTTCACGTCGTATATGTCATCCTATCCTTCCCAATTTGTCGTCTCTGTAATGGACTTACCTCTGTTTCCTAGCATGTCTTAACTTTCTCCAAGAATCGCATACACCTCCTAAATAATGGTATCAAATTGTTACATACTGTAGCGTACCTTGTTCAAAACAGAATGAGGGATATTTTCACCGTTGCCATGAATTCTAAACAATAAAGAAAAAATAAGTAGTAAGAATATGCAGAAATATTTAGAAAATAAAACAAAAGTGTTACTTTCAAACTGATAGAGCATATCACATTTATTTATAAAGTGATTTGATTTGAATTTGGAAGCGTACATGATCATAAAAGAGGAGAAATGGTTTTGATGCCATTCTATCAAATGAATGTAGATTCGATATAAACAATAGTTAGGTTAATACACTTTATTCAATAATAAATGACGGAATTCAAAGAATAAGATGTCGCAAAAATAGGAAATAAAATATATAGTAAGGATGGAAAATAGATGACAGAAGAAAAAAAATATAATTGTCGCATAATCAAATAGAGAATATAAGAAAATAGATATCATGAAAAAAAAAGAGTAATCAAAAAAAAAAATATAAAGGAAATCCACCAGTTGAGTTCACCAAGTTAACATATATAAAAAATAAAAAATAAAAAATGAGTAATACTTATCCAGATGATATCTTTTTATTCACTTACAATTTAAGCGCGAACGCCTAAACATGTATCGAGATCACTGCAGCAATTTCTCACTGCAGTGAAAGTAGGATGGCGATAACCATCCCGGAAAGCGGTGTGTGTGTTTATAACCTTTTTAAAAAAAATGGGCGACCCCAACCACGCCTAGGCAAATAACGACCGAGGTCAACCCAGAGAGGAAAGAAGCGGATAAGAAGAGAGGCCAGAAAGGAGGACAGACGGAAAAGATGACAGGCCCAAAAGAGAAGGTGACCCCAACCACGCCTGAGCAAATAACGACCGAGGTCAAACCAAGAAACAGGCCACAAGGGAGGACAGACGGAAAAGAAGATTGGCCAAAGGGAAAGGACACGGAAAAAGATGACAAAGGAAGGGACAGGCAAGCCCAAAAGAAGACAGGCAAGCCCAAAGAAAAAAAAAGAAAAGAAAAAAAGAATTTGATGAAGTAAAAAAGGACGTTCTTTTATAATAAAACAAACCCCTGTAAAAGAAAAAAAGACAAATCACCCCTGTAATTATGAGCTTTTTTAGCTATGAAATCAAAAGGACCCGAGTAAATGGTTTCAAAAAGAAAAAAGGAACTATTATGCAAATTTTGATGTCTATGGGAAAAAAGATCGATCGATTGTATGTTTCAAAAAGAAAAAAAGGAACTATTATGCAAACTTTAATGTCATCTATGAGAAAAGAGATCGATCGATTGCATGTTTCAGTAATTAAAAAAAAAAAACTATTATGCAAACTTTGATGTCATCTATGAGAAAAGAGATCGATCGATTGCATGTTTCAGTAATGAAAAAAAAAAGATAAGGACCCGAGTAAATGGTTTCAAAAAGAAAAAAAGGAACTATTATGCAAATTTAAATTTGTCATCTATGGGAAAAGGGAATGATCAATAGTATGTTTCAGTAATTAAAAAAAAAGAACTATTATGCAAATTCTGATGTCATCTGTGGGAAAAGACATCGATCGATTGTATGTTTCAGTAATGAAAAAAAAAAAAGAAAAGGACCCGAGTAAATGGTTTCAAAAAGAAAAAAAGGAACTATTATGCAAATTTACATCTGTCATCTATGGGAAAAAAATCAATTGATTGCATGTAAGATAGTTGATTGGATTAAAAAATATAAAAATAATAATAAAAGACAAATCGAAAATACGATGAGACTGTTGATATGGTTTATTTCAATAAGAATTGAATGAGAGAGAAAAAAAGAGAAAAAACTATTCTAATCCAATCTTAAATGACAAGAAGCTGAGATCTTAAAGTTACACAATAATATCAGTCTAGATACGACAGCATGTTTCAAAAAGAAAAAAAAAGGAACTATTATGCAAACTTTGATGCCATCTATGGGAAAAAAATCAATTGATTGCATGTTTCAGTAATAAAAAAAAAGATAAGGACCCGAGTAAATGGTTTCAAAAAAAAAGGAACTATTATGCAAATTTACATCTGTCATCTACGGGAAAAAAATCAATTGATTGCATGTTTCAAAAAGAAAAAAAAGGAACTATTATGCAAATTTTGATGTCATCTATGGGAAAAGGGAATGATCAATAGTATGTTTCAGTAATGAAAAGGAACCACAGACTTGTTCTCGTCTCCTTTTTTTACTTTTTACTTTATTTTTAAACGTACATCTACACCAATTCCACAAGCTTTACAATGATGATATCAGTTTACAATGATGAAATGATGGAACTATGGTGCCAGTGTTACAATGATGAAATGATGGCACCATGATATTACCTTTACGACGACGGGATGATGGGACATCATGTGCTGATAAGATGACGGACAGCACGATGGACGATTACGAATCATGACATGAGGTCAGACATCATGTGGTAGCCGATCAACATGCATAATGCATAAAGCAATATCTTATATATTGTACTTGCATGATATACTGTATATTATGTGTTAAAGATAACGGAGGAACATAAAAAAAATCATTCAAAGATGAGAAAAAAAAGTGGAACAGTTCCGCCGGTTGCCATATGATTATCACATTACCCACGGTAGTTTTTCTTCTATTTATACCCTGACAGAACAAAAGTTTTCTTTTTCTTTTCTTTTCTTTAATTTTTTTCTCAATATTGTGTTTTTACCATTTTTGTAACGTTTTAACATTCAAGTATCATTATGGCTGAATTTCGTATTAATGAAATGCAACAAGCCCGCGAAGGAACTGGTGAATCCAGGTTTATTTGTGTCAAAACATCCTTAAATGACGCTGGATGGCATGAGCAATACCTCGACAATTTGAGGCAGTTTGTAATCAATGTGAATACAGTAACTATGCATGCCTATAGCTTTACCAAATTCATATTTTTACGTGAATTTGAAGCCGATGAAAATTTCGATATCTACAGCTGTGTACAAGACAAAAGGTTTTTTTTTGCAGTCTGGAAATCGCTTGTTACCACCAGTGCTGCTGTTAGAGGACCATATGCAACCATAGTCAATGACCATAGACAATTATATTTCCAACATACTCAGTATCAGCCGTTCACATTTACATACAACCAACAAATCGGGTTGTATGAGTCCAACAAAATTCAAACTAGCTACCTCAATAATATACAACGGAATTTCGAGTCACGTCTTCGTCACTTCGTGAACCGTCTTTTAAATGTCACGGAAGACGCTGCTCTGCTGACAGATGGTCTAGTCGAATCAGGCGCAACGGAAGAAGAAATCGATGAGGCCGTTCGTCAACAAATAACGATGCCAGCTGCCCAATTTAAACGAGCCATCGTCCGGCATCCAAGTGAACGAAATGATGCATTGCTACGGAACGCATATCCTCAAGCCTTTGACCAGATTGTAGCTATTTTAGACTTGATCCAACCTATTCCTCTTCGAAATTTTCATCAAAACCATTATACGCACGTCAAGTACGATCCCGCAAAATATATCACAGCATTTTACCATTTGGCAAACGCTTTCCACACAAATGGATATAGAGAATTCAATTGGTATCCTCTCCGGACCTCGTGGGTGCCTTCGTTTGTGCAGATTGACACCAAGATTCTGCATACGAAGATACTCGCAAGAACTTACAGCGGAGGAAGAAGCGTTCTATTCACCCCAGAATTCAAGATCCAAACTTGGGGTGAGGTTGTTGATTTGCGTCGCCAATGCTGGAAACCTCAGAACGGCAATGGTGACGAAGTCCATACATTCGTGTTCCGTGGGACTGTGTACACAGATGGTGTGAGCTTGGTCATTGCTAAACAGAATAAAAACACGTTGGCAATGGGAGGTCGACAAGCTTATCAGGCTCCAGTTCGAACGACTCAATATATCGACGAACTGAATGTCGACCAACATCACGAGATTGCTAATCGTTGCGTTTTAATTGATGTTGGTCGACGCGACATGCTGTACTGTGTACTGGAATCATCAACGACAGTTAATGTCTCAGCATATCGTTATACTTCCAACCAAAGAAGGAACGAAACAAAAAGGAGGCGGTATGCGAAAATCTTATTAGAACGCAAAACGAACCAAGTAACGCAAGCCGAACTGGAACTTTCACACACAAACAGCAAAACCCTGAATGTCGGTGACTTCACCACATTCTTGCAAACTAGAGCTACCGTTTGGCAAGCGTTACATGAATTCTACGCCATGATTGTGTTCCGAAAGCTCAGATTGTCTGCCTATATTCGACGACAACAATCTGACGAGCGACTGGTGAAATCGCTCAGGAACCAATTTGGTAATGACTCTGTCTTGGTGATCGGTGATTGGTCGGCCCCACATCAACGTCATCACGAACCGATGCGAGGTGTTGGAATGCGAAGAATGCTTGTTCGTTTCGGTTGTCAGTTATACCTTATCGATGAATTCCGAACCAGCAAGGTTTGTCCATCCTGCTCTCAACGTTCATTGGAGCACTTCGGCCTTTTCCCTAACCCTCGTCCTTTCAGAACGGGACAAGTGCGTCGATGGGGTTTGCTCAGGTAATTCTGCCTTTCTACTTAACAATTATAATGTAATGATGTTAATATTATTATTTTTAGATGCACCTCCCAACAATGTCTGGATGCGATGACAGCGGCAGGACATGAAGGAAGTCATCGCCAATGGAATCGGGATCTCATGGCATGCCTAAATATGCGAACAATCCTTCTTAGTCATAGGGAAGGAAATGATAGACCAGAGCCTTTCGTTCGCCGGCAAAGGCCTGACCCTTTCCAGTGACCTGAAGTTTGTTCACTTAATTTTTTTTATTTGTACTTTTTTTATTTGATTTTATTTCAGATATTATTTATTTCTTTAGTTGTCGCTGTTGAATTGTGTGTAGATAAAATAAAGTAAAATAAAAAGTATAAGACTAATGATAAGTCAGTGAGATTCTTCTTAGTTCTTTATTTAGAATAAAAAGATAAAGTTGATTATTGTATCTACACTTGAAAAATTTATATCTCTTTTATATCTGTTTTGAAGATAAAATTATAATCATCATGTAATCATCATATGTATTAAATACCATGTATACTCTTTGTTGGTATATGTGATTAATCTGAACGATATTCATAATTAATTCCTTTGATGATTATTATATGGTAAACGTATCGACATTCTTCATTCATTAAATTAGAGTTCTTTACTCAGGGGTGAATTTAGGTTAAGAGCAGAATAAATTTCGAAGTCCCCTTTTTTATTTTTTATTTTTCATTTTTCATTTTTGCATTTTTCTTTTCTTTTTCTTTTCCATTGACTTTTTCATGGTTTTATTATATACATTAGTGTAGTCGTTACTTTACACATTTTTTTATTCAATAAAGTTTTTATTTTATTACAACTATGTCAACGGGGTCATTTCCATCTACAGGATGTATTACGTATGTATGAATGCATTCTTTTATTTTTTATTATACACTTATATTATAGGTACAGAATACGCTGATACGACAGTCGCCATTTTTATATCAAAAGTTAAATATAGAAGATAGATATAAAAGTTAGATCAAAAGTTGGAAATAGAAGATAGATATACAAGTCAGATCAAAAGTTAGATAAAGGTTTTCCTTTTTTTTATTATATTTATATAAAATAGATTTTTTTTTTCAATGATGATTAGTATTGGTTGTTTATTCGATATGACTAGTCATTTGGCTAACTCTTCCCTTAACCCCGCTACCACCAGCCTAGAATTCACCTAAGAATAAAGTACCATCTATCTATCCTTGTCTTCATAGTCTGCTGAAATGCGATGTACTGTTAGTATAGATGAAGTGACGGTATTTCTTTTTGTTCAGTTCATGACGGTGCCGTCAATTCTTTCAAACCATAGTCTGCCTGTTTCCCATAGTGCAGTAGCCCGTAGGACAAGAAAAGAAAGTTAGAAAATACTGTACATCGATATCTACCAATGTTGCGTGTTGGAGACATTTCATTCCTTCAAACAGCGGCTGTTTGTTTTTAGTTTCTATTGAGTAGCTTGTATAGCTTGGAACAAAAATATAAGTTAGGATTATCTCTTCTTGCCAAGTGATTGTAACTGCTTTATTGGCTTGCCTAAAGACACTGCAAGTATTTCTATTGAGTAGCTTCAACAACCTGTTTAAAAATAAAAGGCTGCGAGGAAGTGAATACACATCATCATCATCCATACGAATTGTTTGTTCACCTTCCCTTTGCCCTCCTTTGATATGCTTCCATTTCTGTTCTTCAATGACCTATTAAACAGGATAGAAAATAGTGAATGTCCATCATCTTCTAATCCATCATTGTTATTCTCTTTTGCCTTATATATACGTTTACCCTCTTACGCTATTGGAAGTGTATATCGCCATTTAATTGCATAGACGAGAATATTGACATCTACAAATAAAATCAAGAAAACGAATAGTAATCCATTACTATTATTCATATATATATATATATTTTATTTTTCAACATCATTCACTGGTGTTGATGCACTGTATCATTATGAGAATCAAATTAAAGGAGAAATCAAGGGCACTTTACATAGAGTGTAGGCGCAAACGAACTGTTGACTTTATTTGAGGGAATAGAGGGCACCACGAGATATGAATGATAGTACAAGATCACGGAAGACGACATTAAGGAGACACATACCAAGCAATAAAAAGAAAAATAAAACAAGGGTCAACGACATAGGAAAAACATATTGAAGAAACCAACACCATAAGGAAAATCAACCAAGTAAGAAAAAGAACCTTCAAAAATACTTGTACATAACCGAATTGTGTCTGCTATGCAGCCGAGTCTTAAGAGAGAAATAGTACTATCAAGTAGAAAACTGATATTGGAAGAAACATCGTTGCAGTGAGAGATAGATGAAAAAAAAAGTAAAAAAAGAGATAGTTCAATCAAGAAGAAAAGAGATCTTGCAGCTGTAAAAACCAAGAGGGTCAAGCATTGACTATAAAAGAAGAGTCGTAAACAACTGTATATTATCCTGCTTTTTAAAAATTACCATTTTATTATTTTGATGGTAATAGAATAAGAATCCATTAAAGTTACTGTGTTTTATATGTTACCTATCGTTAGGCAGTATGAATGCACGAGTAAAAGACCAAAAGCTGAAGAGAAATGAAAAGAGTGAAAAAAAAAGGGAACGAAATTAATAAAATGGAAGCAAAAGCAACTTGCTAAATTTTCTGTAGAAAAAAAAATCCAAGACGGTATTTTCCATTTTCGCTCCTTGCTAAACTCATCCAAGAGATATATACTTTAATTTTGCACGACAATATGATGAAAGGAAGGCAGGATAGAATTGGCAAATCTAGAAAGGAAAAAATACAAAACGCCGAAAGAATGTCATTGGATCATTTTCGTACATCCCATGTATCGCAAGAAACTGACACAATATAAGCATTATCTTGATTTTTTTTGGTGACCTTGAGAAACTTTACTCTCATCCTGATTTTATTTTTGTTTGTCCATTTATACTGTCTTGACCATGCCTTTACAATCTAATGAGCATATTTTAGATGTTCTGAATCCGAACGTCGATTTCAACCAGATACTGGCAGCCGCACGTATGGAGATTTTGACACCAACAAATCCTGTAGATGAAGGTGAAGAACCCTGTTTTGCTTGCCAAGCAAAGAAAAACTTGGCGTCTAAAAAACGCAAAAAACGTTATCCAAGTACAAAAAGAACGAAAAGGAGACGTTTTTGGTGACCTCAGTTTGCGCAGATTGCCTCTAGCTTGTCATTAGCGGAAGGAAAGCAAAGAAAAATAAGAGTCTGTATATAAGTTTATTTTTTGGTTAGCTATAGCCTTTTAGTTCTATCGAATGGTACTTCTTTATATAATAAAAACCTACTGTTGAAAATTTTGGATAATCGTGTTGTGTAGGACAAACATTACGCCATCTGGAGTCTGGAATGGGGAAAAAAATTCCGGATGTCATGTCTGCCACGTAGTGCATGACTTTTGGAATAAAAAGCAGGAATATATACTGGATACTCATGATTTTTATTTTGCTTTTGTTGTAAGTCTATATTGTAAAAACTCTTCGTATTCGAAACGGATTTTTGATAGTATCAAAAGACCATGAGCATAATGACTTTCAAAGTCCGTATTACTTTTTATTTTTATTTTTCAGATATGCGGTAATTTTTATTTTCTTCTTATTTCTTTTCTTTATAACAACTTTAGTTATATTATATCAATTACTAGTCTTTAGTAGTTATATTTTTATTTAATAAAACTTTTATTTTTATTCCAACTACTTTGTTATATAAATCGATTCCATCATGTATTTTTATATTTATTTTTATTTTTATATCTTTTTATTTTTATATCTTTTTATTTTTATTCGTACATATTATATATTAGGTACAAAGTACGCTGATACGACAATCGTAAAAGAAAAATTTTTTTGTTTATTGTAAAGATCAGAAATAGTAATGAAATTTAGGTGCTATACATAATACATTATTTTTTGTAAGTTTGGCCTGACTTTATCAAAGCTGGCCAATTGAGCACCAATATCCATATGTTCACCAGTAGAATCAGTATCTTCTCCAATATTACCCTTGCGATAGAAATTCGCACGAATTGCCACCAAATGAGCATAATAAGCAGGGGGACAGATAGAGGCAGCATTACTGGCCCGACCATAGAGGTAGCAGAGACGGTAAGTGAGTTCTTGTAAAACATATGGCGCGAAATTACAGTTGTCGTAAATGACGTGGTATTGAGTAGGACCCGATGTACTTTGAAGACCGGCGTACGACTTTAAAACTAGAATATATATATATCAATGCATCATCCTAATATGCATAATCATCTGAATACTTACAAAAGCTGAACGCAAAAGGATGTACAATATGACTATCCACAACCGTACCAGGTTCACAGTTACCAGTTCGATCAGCGTGACGGAATTCAACAGGGAAGAATCGAGCATGATGATGTTTTTGAACAACCACAAAGGTGACAGGAGGCATGTAAGTTCTATCCAATGAAGCACAGGCAGCGTGTATGGCAGCAACTTCATTCCTGAGCACTTGATCAAACTGACCTTCAGAAACACCAGAACGATAGAATAAAATCTGCTGAGGCTTTTGACCACAACTTTGACAGAAGATCTTCAACAGTTCCTTGACCATGTTGGCTAAATCCTCAATGATTTCGGTACGGGGGGCTTGAGCACGGAAAGTAGAAGAATAATATGCTGCATCAGCATTCATAGTTGCAGTCACTGCGGCTATAGATGGTCTGTTCATATCGCGAGGAGGATGAGTAATGTCAGCACCAAAAACAATAGTAGGTCTGGTTGAGATCAAAGGAATTTGAAAATTATCCAGAAACCAGTTGATTCCGCCAAGCTTCATGTTCACTTTCAAGCAGACATTGGTCAAATATTCTTTCTTACAGTCAGCAACATTCTCACTTTGGATGCACTGAGTAGGAATACCAATAACTAGACAAAAAAGATACGGGATTACGTCAGAGAACTCATCATCATCTTTTTGTTTGCCTCTTTTACCTGTATCAGAGACACGCTTGATTTCAGCATAGAGAGGAACTTCAGCATTTGGCAAGATACAGACAATTAATTGGGTTTCAGCCTCTGAGCCTACGCAGAACCATGAGGAGGCCTGCAAAAGAATGCGTTCAATGCTATCTTGAGGATCAGCATTGATCATTGGGGGTCCATCGTCGAATACAGTCTATATTATTGATGATAAAAGAAATAAAATAAAAAAGACATGTTAGTATAATTCATGTTTTTATTAAAAAAAGACAACTTACCAACCCAGTATCAACAAACGTTTGATATAGTTCATGAATAAAATGTTGGATTATTTCGATAGGAAGAAGGTGGTCAAAATTGACAACAGACCAACAACTCAAGTTGGCGCCCTTTGCAACTTTCTTACCACGAAGATCCCAAACACCATCGATAGGAGTAAACGTAGCATTTTGAGAGGAAGGATGGAAAGAGATCTCTGGAGCAGGAAGGACTCGAGCTCCGATCATGGCCATTTCAGGCTTGACGTTGACACCAAATTGTCGAATATATGGGTTATCATTGTATTTGAGGAGGTTGACACCTTGGTTTATCCTGAATGCACATACGTTGGGCTTTTGCCAAGTAAAGCTAGTCATTTCGGCAGCTTGGTCTTCATTCAATTTCTCCGTATAGCGTTGGCCAGGAAGGACTTCACAAACTTCCATAGGCAAAAAGGTATCTTTCTTGACAACAATACAGGGTAAGAAAGGATAAGCAAAACGTCTGTTGTAAGTCTTTTGAAAGTATTGAGCAACCGTGATTTCATTTCCAAGTTTATCTTTGAATACAGTATTTTCAACAGAGGTAGAAGTGAGCTTATTAATCTTGTACTCTAATCGCTTGTCAGCACCACGATGGACAACAACGATCTTGAGATTCTTGAGCATTTTTTCAACTTCGGTGTGTTCACTATCAGAAATGCCATGACGAAGATCATCAAGACTATGGCGGTCTAGTAATTTGGGTAACAGTTCATGAAGAGGACCAGATTCATAGAAAGCGGTAGCACTAACATCAACATTGACCATCATTTTGCCTATAAACAATGAATAATTTAATATTAATAAAAAAAAATATTAAGGATTATATGTTTTCTATGTTACCTTGAGTAGGACGAATAGATTGATAAATGCCTTGCCATACTTCAGCACCATTGGGTAAAGGACGTTTATCCTGGGGAGTGAAAAAGGATCGATCCACAGTGGGATATTGCATGCTTGGAACGTGATGAAATAATACATCAAGAGCCATAATAGCTATGACACAGTTTCAGAAAAAAAAAAAAAGGTTAATAAAAAAGAAGTTAATAAAAAAAAAAGACCAAGACTGATAATAATCTTTTTTTTTTTTTTTTTTTTACCAGCTAGACAATTGTTGGTAATACCGGACCTCCCATCCAAGAATGATTGTAATTCACTCATGTTGATTACACCTACAGGCTTGATATTCAACTTGAAGACACCACCAGAACGGTTTCCTTCTTGAAGATTGACCTATAAAAAGAATAAAATAGACGAATATAAGTGAACCAATAAAAAAAAGAGTGATCAAAAGAAATATAATATTGACTGGAACAATGAGCATATGATGAAATATACGTCATTTTCTTTTTTTTTTCACATACGTTAAAACAAATCCCAAGATTATCATCACCACATTTCAGAGGTTTTGGAGAAAAAAGATTTGCACGACCATCAAAGACAGGCTTGACCTTGTTAAGAAAAGCTTGACCTTCAAGACTATCTTCAAAAGATTGCCATACCTTTCTAAGTACAGCAGGAGGAGTACCATCAGGTAATATTTGAATATTCAAGTGTTGTATATTTTGAGCTGGAAGACTTGTCATTTCAAAGAAATTGCTTCGTACTCGTATCGGTGTACCAAATTCACCGGTAACAAGTCGAATAATCAGTTGAGTTAGATCTCTGTTTGCGGTATCTGCCATAATAGAAGAGTGAATTCAATTAGAAAAGGAAGAAAAAAAAAAGTAAAGAAAAAAAGAAGTAGAGAGAGAGAGAGAGAGAGAGAGAGAGAAACGTATCGGTTTTTATGCCGCTACTTGATCGGAGCGAGTTTAAAAAAATCCTGCAAATCTTTATGATCATCTTTGTCAGCAGCAGCATGGATCTATCGTTGTTATTATGGAATCATTATCGTTTTTAATATGAACATCAACATATCTACCATCACGTCAAAGTATATACAATTATAAAAAAAGAAACTAAGAGAGACAAGTAGATCGAAAACAAGTGTTTATTCGGGTTTGTATGAAATCAATAAAGTACACTATATCTATTCTACTATTTTCTACACTAATGGATGGCGATAGTTCATTTAGCGTTACCCAATAGACTTCACGAGCAGGACTATATCGATTCCTAATATTCTTTTTTGTCTACTTGTTGGTGCAATGGGATGGATTTATTTTATTAAACGTGAGTAACACATCATATAACATTTTAAAGATATCTATGTTCGCTTGTTTCAACTAGAAGATATTGCACACACTACAAAAAGAGACAGAGCGATTGAGTCAGTACACGGATACAATGATAAGTATAAAAGGTCTTTCATTATTGTTTCATACCTTGCTTTGGTTGGCTTATGGTGTAAAAGGCACCTTAGAAAAAATGATCTGAATACAGGCTATACACGAAATATTCTGTAAATATCCTGTCAATCTATCCTGTATTTCCAACAATTCCAGATGAAAATCTGAATATCCAGGATAAATCCTGAGTTAACCTACACGATATTTCCTGTAATTACAGGATCCCGGATAAATCTGGTATATACAGAACGCATCATTGAGTTGACGTACGGGATACAGCTTGTAATTCCAGAATCTAGTAAATAAAGAACTACCACGAATAATTACTAAATAACTAACTAATATACAGGGAATAGACTATAAAAAGTAATTTATTATAATAAGGCTAATAAAAAAATGATAACATACTATACAAAGTCAAAATAAAAGATGGCTACAATAAACTAGTCTTGCCACAGAGCTGCATACTTGTGTCTTGACCCAACACCATGTTTTTCCAGAAACATAGTGACGATTTGTTTGCCCACAGTCTATCGTTCCATCACTTGCAATCATAGTATCCAGGCTAAGGATGGTACGTTTTCGGCCAAGATAGGAATCGGTAAAGTAGAACATTCTATTTCCCCAGTCGTATTGCGATTGATGAAGATAGACAACTACAAAGTACTTTCCATTGCAGCGTTGATATTCTATTTCATCCCCAAAAAACCTCTTCGTCGAATGATCTAGCCGTCGATGTTGTCGTAAAGCGTTCCTACGGTATTTAAAGATATAAACAAAGCGTTGTCCAACAATTATTATAGAAATACCTTTTTTTATCTATTTACGGAAAGTTTGAACACCATGAGATGTTACTGGCTGTAAACTTGTTGTTGAGACATCTTCATAGAAGAAGAAGCAGAAGAAGAAGAAGCAGGTGAGGAAGAGGAAACTAATGATGAATAAACGTTGTTACATTGGGAAAGGTGGGTCACCAATTCATTAGGACGTAAGGCCATCCCGCACCAAGTACAATTAGTCAGACTGAATAGCTTTTGTTTCTTTTTAATTGACATAACACAAAAAAAAATAAAGGGGACTTGAAAAGGAAAAGAAAAAAAGGGAAAGAAAAGATAACAAACCTTTTAGGGATTTCAATTTTTACGTACTTGTCAGTCTTATCTGCGAGCATAAATTTTTAATCCCCACTTTTTTTTTTCTCTTTTTCTTTTTTTCTCTTCTTTGTTATTCTCTCACTTTTTTTTTCTTCATTATTTTTTCACTTTTTTTTTTCTTTCGTTATTTTTTCACTTTTTATTTCGACAACATTCTTTTCAAAGCTAATGTCTTCTCGACTAGATCGTATTGTTACCTTATTAGAAGAAATGGAAGCACGACTACGCGCCGTAGAAAGCAAAATCGACAACATTGAAGCAGTGGAGAGTCAAGCACAGAAAAAACTCGATAAACTGATTGATATATTCGAAAAACAGCCAGCCAACGTGGAACCTGTTGAGCGCGATATAAGACACCCATTCAAGATTACGGACGGAAAGGAGAAAAAGGTAAAGGTTACGAACAAATTGTTGATCACGGCATTATCAAACCTACAAGGTCCCAACCAGGCACAGAAAATCTTCGAAAATATCAAAGCGATGGCCATCGTTATCATAAAACAAATGAAACAAGACAACGATCTGTCGTCCAGATCTCTCAACTGGTCGAAAATACCGGCGGAGGAAAAGGAAAAGGCCAAGAAGAATTTGGAAGAGAGGTTGGCCGCAGTTGGAGTGCGAATTGATCGTGCTGAAGATAGGTGGATCGCCAACACTGTGCTCAGAAATAAATGGGCAAATCGGGTAGAACGACTGGTAAGATTGGTAGATAGGGATATGACATTGTACAGCCACTAACACTTTTTTTTATCAAACTGAAAGTCCATTGCCTCTTCTTCAGCAGCAACAAAAGCATCATCACCGTCATCATCACCATCGTCAACGTCATCATCATCGTCATCATTATTGTTATCGCCTTCGCCACCACCACCGCCATCAACAACAAGAACATCATCATCATCATCATCATCATCTGCACCCCGAAAGGTAACAAACACCAGATCTTCCACAAGGAGAACAAGATCATCAACATCATCAAGACGATCATCATCCTTATCATCATCAAGATCAAGAAAACGTGGACGATACCAATAATAGAATAGCTTTTTATGTAGACATATTTTTTTACACCATATTTTGCCTTTATTCATAATAAAAATCCACGATTTATTCTGTATTTGATCCTGTAAATATCCTGTATTTTATAATACCCACGATTTTCTGTATTTGATCCTGTAAATATCCTGTATTTTATAATACCCACGGGATGAGAAATCCTGGAAAAATCCTGTATTACAGGATCATTTTTTTCCAAGGTGAGGTAGGCGTACAAAGAAGGAATCAAACGCGCTGCATCTGATCTTATCGAATGAAAACAAAAACGTTATTGAATAAAAAAATATATCTACTAAATCATTTCACTAGGGAACTAGAAACTATACGACAAGGGAACAATGGACAGACCTTGGCAACTGTGAAACTGTTTAAAAATGAGACGATAAGCATGGAGAAGCATAAGATCAAAATTCAGTCAAAAGTGGTCATCATCGCACGAAATTTGGACCGAACATGGACGAGATCATTCTCAGTAAAAAGCAATATAGCTTTATTTAAAAAAAAAAACGTTATCCACATACTAACTAATAGAGCTATCACTACTATCCATTCTATTGTATCTATTATAGTACCAACCAGAGGCGTTTGTCAACGCCAAGATCCTAACAATAAGCTGCCATTAAAACAAGTTCGCCGTCCAGTCAATCTTTCATTGGCATTACCTATAAAACAAATCCAGGTCAAACATTTCATAGAAAAAAATAGTGTAAAATATTTTTTGTCATTTACCTGTAATAAATCCTACATCCAAAATGGAAAGGTTTCCCCATGTATTTTGTAAATCCCTATTTCAAAACACTCCAAATCCAATAAAATTTACCATGATAACATCGTAAAGACAAAGAGGACACCCAATGTGGAAAAAAAAAAAGTGGATGAAGAACAGAAAATAGAGAAAAAAAACAACAAAACCCACACAAACAGGTGGACTTTCTTTTTTTTTTTTTTTTGAAGCCAGTCCACTGAGAACAATTTGACATATTTTTTTGATTTTTTTTTTTTGTCCCAGCCCTAACCTTGCCAAAGTCCACGTTGTGGTTCGCTCAAAAATCACCATCATTTCATTAAATTCGGATTAAAGATACACGATATCATTCTCTTTCATTTGTATTAATGACCATTTATACCGTACCTACCGATTTGTAGAGTTTATAAAAGATGAAAATAAAAATACTCATCCTTCATGCAATAACGTCCTTCATCCAATAAAATCACTACCATCGGATTCCCCTCAAAAAAGTATTTAATATCATATAATATCATTTTAGTGGTTATCACTTAATATGCCACATTAGACTATGACCCATTCTCATCAACTTCAATATTATACAGTCAAATACTAATATTTCAAGTTATTTCATTATTTTGATCATAGTCTAGAACTTTTTGGCGAGATTCTATCGATCAACAAAACTTTTTTTTTTTTGTTCTAATTAGAGCATCATATAAAATACGGTTATCATCCGTGAAAGACGTAATCACGACCGAAACAAGTTACTGCTTTCTTCTAGTTCTTGAAGTACCAAATTCAATAAACACAGGGAATATCAATGGATGAAACCTTGACAATGATATTCGTATGTGAAATGATATGTTCAGATCGATATATTCATGATATCATCCTCATAACGTTTTTCTTAAACAAATTCATGCTCTTCCTCTATCTATGAAAATATGCCTTGCAGGATTTTTACAAGACTCCGATTATGAACTTGCATGAAAATATGATTATAAAATAGCAGGGATTTTTTTCTTTTGTGTCGTTTCTTGTTTTTTTTTTCCTTTACTTTTTTTCTTAAATAATATGTCCAAAAGTACTGAAGTCTATGAACCAATACCATTAAAAGTCAACTTATTTCAGGAAGCTGGAGGCGCATATCGCTTCAGCGTGAAAGTATTACCTGATAGTCTTCCTCCTGCTATTCTCAGCAAGGTGTGGCAATCTTTTGAAGATAGTCTTGAAGGTCAAGCTTTCCTTAATAAGGTCAAACCGATTTTTGATGGTCATGGAAATCTTTTTTCTCCAACACCTCTCAAATGTGGTGATGATAATCTTGGGATTTGTTTTGACGTATGTGAAAAAAAATCAATATGCATTATCTATAATACCGTTTCATCATGTGCTCATTGTTCCACGTTGCATTATATTTTTTTGATCACTGTTTTTTTTTATTGGTTTATTTATATTCATCATTTTTATTCTTGTCTATAGGTCAATCTTCAAGAAGGAAACAATTCTGGTGGTGTCTTCAAGTTGAATATCAGGCCTGAGATGGCCATGATCGATGCTCGAGTCCTTCCTGCTCCAGAGATCTCTTACCATCATTCCTCGGAGGATGATACGTTTACTCCTATCAATGGTGGTTGGGATCTTCGTGGTAAGAAAGTTGTAGATGGTGCCAACTTGAATCGTTGGTGTGTTGTCAATTTTGACGATCTTCTTCCTATCAATACGGTCATAAGTTTTATCCATGAATTAAATCAAACATTTATTGATATCGGGTTGGTAAGTTGTCTTTTTTTAATAAAAACATGAATTATACTAACATGTCTTTTTTATTTTATTTCTTTTATCATCAATAATATAGAATATGGGCAATCGCCATCCTCCTGTCATTTACGCTGATCAACAAGATAACATCGATAACGTACTCTTGCACGCTTACTTCTCTGGTTTCACAGAGGATGATGAAACCCAATTAATTGTCTGTATCTTGCCAAACGCTGAAGTTCCTCTCTATGCTGAAATCAAGCGTGTCTCTGATACAAGTAAAGCAAACATACAAAGAATAATAGTGATGCTAATGTGACGTATCTTTTTTTATCTAGTTCTTGGTATCCCTACACAATGTATTAAAAGTGAGCATGTCCAATGGGCCAAGAAAGGGCAGATGGCAAGCATGGCCCAAAAAATTAATATGAAGCTTGATGGTATCAACTGGTTTGTGAATCGTTCTCACATTTCATTTATCTCAAGCAAACCTACCATCGTTTTTGGGGCACACGTCATCCATCCTCTCTCTGATGACGTTGTCCGGCCCTCCATTGCCACTTTGTCTGCAAGTATGGATTCCTTTGCATCATCATATGCGTCCAGTATACGTGCTCAAGACCAAAGTACTGCAATCATTGAGGATTTAACCAATATGGTCAAGGAATTGTTGGAAGAATTCTACCGTTGTTGGGGTGAAAGGCCTCAGCAGATTTTATTCTATCGTTCTGGTGTTTCTGAAGGTCAGTTTGATCAAGTGCTCAGGAATGAAGTTGCTGCCATACACGCTGCCTGTGCTTCATTGGATAGAACTTACATGCCTCCTGTCACCTTTGTGGTTGTTCAAAAACAGCGACGTGTAAGGTTCTTCCCAGTTCATGATCGTGACGGAATTGGCAAGTGTCAACCTGGTACGGTTGTGGATACTGATATGGTAGTCACCAGGGACTATGTATCTAGACATCTCTTTCGGCCTCCCGTTAAGTTTGGTTTCTGTATGTCTTCCAATTATTGTATGTTTTAGGAGCGTATGCTGACTTCTTTTTCTTAGATTTACAATCCCACCCGGATACCCAAGGGACATCAAGATTTACTTTATATAACGTTCTCCATGATGAGAACTTTATGACAGACGGCACCCTACAGGATCTCACCTACAAGCTATGCTACCTATCTAGTACCTCAACTAGTGCAATCTCAATATGCGCGCCGGTGTACCATGCTACTCGGTTAGGTAAGCGTGCCAGTCTCTATCGAGACGTTGAAAATTGGGACATGACTGAAGTCAATCCAAACCTACACTGGTCAATGTACTATATATAAATTGATTATTGAATTTATCTTTTCATTATTTACCCTTTCTTTTATATCTATATATATATATGTATACGGTTTTAATAAACCAAAATTATTTCATTTTTTTTTTCTTTGATGATGGCGCCTCTTTCTCAATAATGGATGGATGGATCATAGCCAGTCAGAACGTTCTTTTTTTTAATAGAGTGACCTCTTGAAAGAAATTGCTCCATTATACTCATTTCTGTCGTAACACTGTATTCGGTACATGTAATTATACGTAAAATAAAATAAAACAAGGTATATATAAAGAACTCATTTAAAAATAAAAATAAAAAAATCTTGAAAATGGAATTAATTCATGTAACATAGTAAAATAAAAAATTTATTTGAATCAACCATCTGGCGCTCCGCTGGAGCTTTTCGAAATGGAAGACTTATGTGGCCTCTAAATTCTTTTGAAAAAGTGCGATGATAGATTTGATGGCAAGGTATAGGCTATTGATTTGATAAGGTACAGAAGGTCGACTTTATTTTTGGAAATTTCAAAGAATACAGGGTTGATAAGTTATTAAAAGTCCGATCTGGATCAGATCGGACTTACAAAAATCCAGTATAATTTTTATATAACATAAATCCCCAACGACATTTTGTACCAACATCCCCATCCATCAAATATCCTTTTTTTTTACCAATTACACTTAAGATTTTCTATTGACTAAATGAAATCATCATAATTCAAGGAAAATGCTAACATATAATATGACAAAGACGGCTCAATAGACAAAAAGAAGGCATAAGATCGTGATAACGTGTTGGATTGTGTGTAGATTGAATAAAATAAAAAATATGAGACTAGTGATAAGTCAGTGAGACTCTTCTTAGTTTATTTAGAAAATAATAAAAAAAGTTGATTATTATATCTATTGAAATTTTACATCTGTTTTCATCTAACACGGAATAATAACAAACAAATTTATTAGAAGATACAAGACTTGACTAAAGATTTATCAGATCATCATAAAGGGATTAAAGCAAATGAAGCGAAGTCGTAAAGAAGACCCTCCCACCCACCCGTTATATGTCTATCTTTGTAGTTTTTCATTCATCATCAGGATTTTCATACGAATATTGGATGTCTGTGTCCGTATCATCACTGTCGCTTCCGAAAGCACTATCTTCCCAAAGAAGGGCACTTGTATAGGCTGCACTATCCATAGCCACGATCTCCGTGATTCGTGGTGTCATCTTGTTCACTTTCTCCATCAGAAAAGTCACGTACTTCTCCCAAGTTTCCTTATCCATCTATTATATAAAAACCGTTTCGGTTATTTTCCGTTCGTTCTCCTCTTTTTTTTTAAAAAAAAAAATCAATAACGGCTCTTACCAGATCCAAATCACTTGTAGTGACTAAGTCGAAGAAAATGATCCCCGTATTCCCAAAAATGGTAATAACATCGTTCATCCGTCGCCCCTGTCGCACCCATTTCTTGGCAGCATGGATGTTGTCCTTTGTATTCACATTCATAGCTATTTCCCAAATTATCTTCTGTTAGTTCATATTTATTTATTTCCTTTTTTTCCTACCTTGCACTACGAGAGCATCTGCTTCTGCTAGAGGTACTTTCTTCACCAACAAGGCATCATAGTAACGTGCTAGCATGAATCGATAGTAAAGGGCATTATGCCGAAGGACAAGCTGATGGCAATCTGTCCTGCCGATTTGCTGTGTTATTTCTTTTAGTTTTTCTTTTACTCGTTCAATATCCATTCCATCTGGATTGTCATCATATGTTCTTAATGTCATGAACGGTGTTGCTGTTGATGTTGTTGCTGTTGATGTTGCTGCAGTTGATGTTGCTGCTGTTGATGTTGTTGTTTCATCCCCCCATCCATACAGTGTACGGATGGAGTCTACCTTCTTTCGAACGGTTTCCTCATCTTTAAAGACAACCTTGAATTCTATTTTTCCCAAAACAATTCCGTTCGTTACTGCACTTTCCTTTTTTTCTTTTTTTTTTCGCTTACTTTTTTTCAAGGTTGCCATCTACATTTATACCGAGAAATATGACATAAATAGATAACTAAGATTAGTCTTGTCATGCATTGGGCTTCCTTTTTTTTTTTTTTTACCATGTCCATGTTTCTAGTTCTTTTTCTTTTTCCTTCATTTCTTTCTACCATTCTTCTTTTTCCTTTTTGTCGTATAAAAAGATTAAAATATTACTCGTCACTCTTTTCCTCTAATAGACATAATAGAAACTTTAAATTTTATTTTACCTTTATCCGTAGTAGCAGCAGCGGTAGCACGGGCAGCAGCAGTAGCAATGGTAGTAGGGCCAGTAGTAGGACCAGCAGTAGAACGGGTGATAGAACGGGTAGTAGGACGGGTAGCAGTAGCAGTAGCAGTAGTAGAACGAGCAGTAGTAGGAGCAGCAGTAGTAGGAGCAGCAGTAGTAGAACGAGCAGCAGTAGTAGAACGAGCAGTAGTAGAACGAGCAGTAGTAGAACGAGCAGCAGTAGAACGAGCAGCAGTAGTAGTAGCAGTAGTAGCAGTAGCAGTAGGAGCAGCAGTAGCAGTAGTAGCAGTAGCAGTATTAGGAGCAGCAGAAGTATTAGGTAAAACAAAAAGTTCATTCCATTGATCTACATTGGCCCTCTCTAACAATCTCTTAAATCCAGTTAATGCTAACATCCCCTTTGAATCTCCTTGTTTTATAAAATAAAAAAGTATAAACGAGTCAATCCATGTCTTTTTTTTTTGGCGGTTTGTTTACTGTGACCAGATTCCCCTTTTCCCATTCATTGCGCTTTTACCTGGATTTGCTTGCAGGTAGTGCGAAATGACATGTGCAATTTCTTGCAGATGCATTCCGTTACCGTTCTCATCATCGCTATAATTAGTGTTAGTCATTGTTTACGTGATTTGAGGTTTTAAAAATAAATGAAAAAGAGTAAAAAAGCAAAGAACAATTCAGTGGCTGCTACGAATTCATGCATTTTACCTGTTCCGAATACGCTGTTCAATCTCAATCTCAATATAATATTATCTTTTCTTTTTGACTTAGATTTGGGTTACTGAACCAATCATCTTTTTTCTTCCTTCGATATTATTATTTTTATCAATATAGCATTATTATATACATAATATAAAAATGAAAAACTGAACAATCAATGATAACTGATATATTTTCATTCTTCTTTACTTTTGAAGGTCCATATTAAACACAATTTCTTTTTTTGGTAAGATATTGGTACTTCTCTTAAAACTCCGAGTTCTCTGCTCTCACATTCTCGTATTGTCAATGTTGCATATGAATAGAGTACAACTTCCAGTATATATCTGGATCAATTTTATTGGGTGAACGGATATGCGAATGGTATTAGATTAAGTGGGCATCAAGCAAAGACGAAGACGCAAGGATAAGTATACGACTGGGTTCGATTTTTACTTGTATTCTACTTTTTTTTTTGTATATTGAACAATGTCTTATTCATTAACATTACCCCTATTACCTTCATCACTTTATCATCATCTCTTAAACAATTATCATCCATTATCAATCATCATTCACCATCAATCGTAGTCAATGCATCCATCCAACTTGTACCTGGTTCCTCAGATAAATTCAATTAGAGAAACATAGCAAAACACCGACGACTGTCTTGGTCCAATAGAACACAATAATTAAAATCCAGTAAAAAATATTCAACTTTTTTTTTATTCGTTTGATTTTGATAACTAAACTAAAATATAAGCAATATAACTGGTACTATATACGAAAATATAAATATATTGCCATTCATTTCCAAACTTTCTGTTCCCCTTGCATAACTATCCATTTTTGGTTGATGACAATATCGTCCACTGCATCAACGTTGATCATGACATACCCTCCTCTGTCGGTTTCTGGGGCGTGTCTCAGTCGTTCCTTTCGTTTCCTAATCAACGATGACGATGACGATGATGAGGATGAATAGTTGTTGGATGACGGGCTTGGAATCGGTATTTTGCATTCACGTATATGATACCAGACCTCTTGGTCAGTCAGACACTTGATCTCCAGAAGGCGTTCCAAATGCCGGAACAAGTCACTTGTTGACATTTCACCATAGCTGCGATAGTAACGTCGTTGGTCAATGAAATCCATGTTCAGAGCTTGAAATGTTAGTCGTACTATGTTCCTTTGGGCAGAGCCACTATTGTCAGTAGACAGAGTAGGATGCTGTCGTCGTTGTATAGTCATGAATTCAATTGGTATCCATCCTTCATCCCACATTGGCTTGAAGTAGATAGGAGATCCAAAGAAGGGCCAAGGGCGCACACTGGTTACCATTCGAGGACAACGAACTTGATTGATAATGATTGATTTGAAGACATGATTCGGGAAATCAAGCTGGATGGATGGATAGGGTGAATCATCTTGCAAGATACTTTTTTCAAGGGAGAGCCAATCCAATTTGGGACACTTCTTTTCGATATATGACCAAATTTCATCTTTGAAGATACAATTTGTAATGATAAGACGTTTCAGGTGATCATGTTTAGTGCGAGACGCCCATCCATTGGAAGTGCTGTCGACAACACCAAGGAAACTTGAATCCAAAGTAAGTGATACCAGTGAAGGACAGGATTCGAGAATCCAATGAATGCTGAGTATGTTTGACGAAGAACGACCATCTTGTCCGATAGAGATTTTCAAATCTGTCAGCATAATGCCAGAACTGAGATCATAAGAAAATAACTTGGGATGGTCGATGATTTGTGGGCTTAAAGTAACATCCAATACTTTGATAAATGTCATAACCGAGCAGCACAGATGGGTAAATAGGTATGGTGATACGCCACCACGTGTATCGACGATCTCCACTTCTTTAATAGAGCTCGAAAGATGCCGTGCGGGATCCATGTAATAATCCAAAAAAATATCGGTCCACCAAACGTTGACCAAGCGTAGCGATGACAAATTACTGCAACTGTTGAATAACTGATGCACCGCGGATTGTATGTCCTCCACTCGAGTAATTGCAGCAAAGCCATCATTTTCATCCTCAGTGACATCTAAAATTTCAATATTTGGATATTTTTGTGCAATATATGTCAACCACACCATGGAATTGTGGTAAGGATCAACAGTAAACGTGATCTTCTTCATAAAAGCACAAGGTTCATCAGGTATTGGTATTGGCTGCATCAACTGGAAAAGATTGGGCCCCGAGCGAATATAGTCGAGGCAGAGTTCTTGAAGCCGAGGAAACATGTTATGCAATGATTCTGCTTCAAGTGGAGGGACGTAGCGGGACAATTTCCAAAGTTTAAGGGACTTCAAGTTGGGACATTTTGAAAAAAAAGGACCCAAGTTTTCTATCAATTGGGTACGGCTACAATTGATTTCCAGCTGGGACAGTTGTGGTAACATTGGATAACCATCACAATGATGGGAGATCCAATGCGAATTACAGATCTTCAACATGGTAAGGTTTGGACAATACCGTAAAGCTTTCGTAAGAGAAAGCTGTCCTTGGGGTAGGTACTGAATATTGAGGTTATTGGTTTTTCGAAATAATTCAGGCTCCATGGACATGGCGCGAAAGAGTTCGCTGGCTTGAACATGCATGCGTAAGGAGATAGAGGTAAATAAAAATTGTTTGAATATTTCGTTCAAACTTTTGTTGACCAGACGAAGTTGACATCTATCGGAAGAAGATAAATAGCGATTGATTTCGCCCATGAGCTCATCAGGGAGGTTCAAGAATGAAGTCATTTTTTGTAAGAAAGAATTGAAGAAAGAAAAAAAAAATACAATGAATAACCTCAAGTAGAAGAGACTTCTGAAATATATATGGTGCAGCATGTTTCAGGTATAACATAATTATCTAATATATGTAATATACAGAAACAGAAACATAAAAAAAAAGAACATAGGAAAAGAAAAAAATATGTAGATACCTTTTCAGGTACATGTGCTTCCATACATTTCAAACACAGCTCGATGTTCTTTAACCTAAATCTAGAATCACTAATTAAACCGTGGGATCCTTTATCTTTTCAGATGACCATAACACAGCAAAATATGCGATTGTAAATATCGATCTGAAACTGTCTTGGTCAAATGATGCGCAACAATGAAAATTAATAAAGACTACAAAAAGAGGAATAATTCCAATTTTTTTATTTATTGATGTCATCAGCTAAACTAAGCTATATACTACTGTATCGTCTTTACTCTTATTAGCTGGATCGCCATACACCACCCTCCTCTTCCCATCACTACGCACTGGTCCTCTGGTTAGCCCTATGCATCTCCTTCATCTACTATTCAAGGCTTTCGACATGATACCTCTTTCTCTGGATTGGACTGGTCTCTCTTCCGCCACGATACTCACTCTGCTATTACAACAAATGTTCACAAATGTCCCTCTCTCTCACTGGATTCATCACCGTCGCCACCGTCATCTACAAGCATCAATATTTTTTTTTTGTTATGATGATCATCAACTTCGCTTTCGCCCCAAAGTGGATCATGAATTCCAATATTGCCCTCGCCTTTGTAGACGCCTCTTCAAACAAGTTTTCAACAAACAGGTTACACTCGCTCCTTTCGTATGGCATCATGTCCTCAACAATGCCCCTCCTGGGGACGTAGATTTTTTTACCAACCATCCAACAAATCCGCTCTCAACCACAATGGTGTCAACTCAATTCTCAAACTTTACGAACTTTGAATACACTGACAAACACTTCTTCCTTTTTATTTTCTAGATCCATGATCAAGTTATTTTGGAACTGCCCCCCCCCCACACCCATATGCAAGATCAGTTTGGTATCGTTTTCTGGTCAACAAAGTTCCCATCCAGCCTCTACGGGTCAAAATTGGTCGATCATCCTCTTTCAAGTGTGTTCTCTGCTCTGTGTCCTTCGAAGATCTTGCACATTTTGCCCTTCTGTGTCCCCCAAAAATGCGTTTATGGTTTGATGTTCTGGAATGTTACTACCCCGGCCTTTCTTTCTTTCCTGATCAGCTCACCCGTTTTCTCTTTCATCTGATAGTCCCACCGCTTGTCCTGGATGTTCCCCGCTTTTTCACCATCTGTGGCACCGCCTTACACAACATTTGGTTAGCACATTGGCGCTTTGTTGTTCACGATCAACCTTTTCTTCCTGCTCGACTCCTTGGCTCCATCCGATCGCAGGTAGATATCATCCTGACCTCCCCCACCAAATAGTCCCTTAGTTAATATTCATATAGTATTTTATTTTATTTCTTTGTTTTATCTTATTCTTTTCTCTCCTTTTATTATAATTTTAAAAAACCGCGCTTCATCCCTCACTAAGGCGCAAAATAAATAAATAAATAGTCTTTACAAAAAAAAAAAAAAAAACTTTTCCTTTTCCTTTTCACCTTTTATTTTTTGTCTCTCAGTTTCAACATCTTTCCCTGTCTTTCTTTTAGATCCATTGTTTTTATCCATTCTTCTTCTTGTCCTATTGTTCCTTTTTTATATTACGCTGTTCCTGATTCACTGTACTATAGAATCTGTTTATTTCAACCCACGTTTGTCGACCAACAGGTATATAAACATCGTTTTGTTTATTCTTCACACTAAATATTTTTTTTTATTTACCAGAGACGACCGACAACAACAAGTTACGTTTGATAAGGTAAAAATTAGCACGTTTTATATAACTTTTGTACTAGCTAACATTTTACATTGTTTTCGTCTTTAGAGTCAACGATGTTTGCTATGGATTTTGTATCGACTTTGTAAACTGTGGCCATCATTCAAAAGATATGCATTCAAGATAAGTAAGCAATAAAGAAAGGCACTAGTGTATCCGATTGTACAAGACGACGACCAATATCATCAACAAGAGATTAACAACCTGATATACATAAATCCACTTTCGAATCTTCCAACAGTATTAGCACATCGACGCTTTGTGGCCATAATTCCATAAAATATCAAAACAATGTTAGGTTATCAAGGAAATACCGAAACGGTGGATGGACCTGCGTATCCAATTTTTTACGACGTACTCTAGTTTTGAGAATTTGGAACTACAAGGTAATTAAGAAAAGAGGTGTGTCCGTGTATAGTGATGTGTAGTGATGGAATGGAATAATAGGACGATGTGATAATGTGAAGATGGGATGAATGGGAGGACAAGGAACCAAATAATTAATTATTTCGATTCTTGTACATATATGTTGTTTGGATAACCTTACGAACCGGTATCGATCTGACAAACTTATGCACCTTGACAGACGGCGTTTCCATCAACTTTCTATTTGCAAGATTCTCTACTCCACATCAACTACAAGTCACTACGGCAAATTTCAATTCGTGAATACCGAACTTGTATTGGATTGATTAGACAGTAACATTTGGAAATCAAGAAAGCTACGACGATGGTGCTCGATGATGACAGTTGGCTATGATCTTATGTCCGAAAGTGAACGAAAGCAGGATATGCTGCGCGCCCAACTTCAATCAACGGAAATTACATGTCAACGATGGATGGATCAGTGCAATTTACTATAGAAAAACTTACTTGATCAAGCTGTGATAGGTGAGAAAAAAAAAGGAGAGCAGGTTATTTTTTTTTTTTTGAAAATAGGTTGACCATTAGGATCTTTTGGAATAGATGGCTTCTATATGTATTTTCTGTATACAGTGTTATGTTTATAGTTTTAGTTCAGTATATATCTTAGTTTAGCTGATGAAATCAATGAATAAAAAAAGTTTAAATCATTTCTTTTTTTTACTAGTCTTTATTAGTTACGTTTTATTGGATCAAGACATTTTTAGATAAGTGCTTACAAACGCATATTTTATTGTATTACGGTAGTCTGAAAAGATACTTTGTATGTTATGACTCTATGATGATGGGATGAATAGTTTTTATTGGAGCTGTGTTTGAAATGTATCAATGCACAGATACTTTGAAAAAAATGTCTATATTCTCTCTTTTTCTTTTTTTCTGTTTCTGCCTATTATCTTATATTAATATTAATATTGTTATATTAACATTTGAAACATGCTGTATCATATTTATATTCGTGGTCTATTCTATTGTGGCTAATTGCTTTCTTCCTCTTTCTTCATCACATTTCATCATGGCATCACCATTCTCACGTCTTCCTCTGGAACTGCTGGAGGAAATAGACACATATTTAACAGCTAGAGAACGATATCAACTAATTTTACTTGACAAGACGTCAAGTAAAATATTCAAACAATTCCTCTACCACTTGATCACCTTCAACAGCTGGTATCAAGTGGAGAAAATCTTATACAACATGGAAAAAGAACCGCTGTTATTCGAACAAACAAAAGCTCTTGATATAAGGTACCTACACAGCCACTTTCACCAAAGCCAACGTTTCCTCAGAATTGCTTTGGAATTTTGCGGTAACGTTGGCTTGTTAAAGGTTGGAAATTCCAGTTGGATATCACAGTTCTACCGCCCTGGTGCTGCTGACCTCAGCGACTTCCCGGTGCTGCCCAAACTGAGAAAACTGGAGATCAACTGCGGCAATTGGCAAATGATAGAAAACTTGATGACCTTCTTCTCAAAATGTCCAAATTTGGAATCCCTCAAGCTTTTGGATTTATCTTACCATTTCGCCCCAAGCCAAGCAGAATTGTTACATGATGTTTTTCCATCTCTTCAAGAACTATGTCTTGATTGTATTCACTCTGGACCCAATCTTCTCCAGTTGATGCAGCCAATTCCCATACCTGATGAACCTTGTGCTTTTATGAAGAGATTCTCTCTTGCTGCTGACTCCCGATACGATTTTATGCCATTATTACAATATATACCTCAAAAGTACCCCAACCTTGAAAATTTGGATCTCACTGGTGATGAAGTTTTTGTAAGGAACGTTCAAATAACGGAGGAACTAGAGTCAGCTGTGTATCAATTTCTCGACGGTTGCAACAACTTAAAGTCGATACGCTTGGTCAACGTTCCGTCGACTGATAGTTTTTTGGGTTATTACATGGATCCTGTACGACGTAACTCAAGCTCTCTCGAAAAACTAGAACTTGTCAACTCGCATGTTGGGGTATCATCGGATCGGTTCAACCTTCTATCTTGGTCTGCTATGCCATCTATCAAAGTATTGGATATTACTTTAAGCCCACAAATCTTACATAACCCTAGGTCATTCTGTTACAAACTCAGGTCTGGTGTTATGCTCAAGGATCTTCGAATCTCTATCGGACAAGATGGTCGTTCTTCGTCAAACATACTCAGCATTCATTGGATTCTCGAATCCTGTCCTTCACTGGTATCACTTACTTTGGATTCAAGTTTCCTTGGTGTTGTCAACGACCCGGTCACTGGATTGCCGCTCTCCACTGTACAGGAATATAATCTGGAACGTCTTGTCATCACAAACTGTACCTTCAAAAACGAAATTTGGTCGTATATCGAAAAGCATTGTCCCAAATTGAAATTTCGCTTCATCAACAAAAGTAGATCGGATGATGATGGTTCACGGTACCCATAGATCTAGCTCGAATTCATGAATCATATCTTCAAATCAATCATTATCAATTGTGTGTATTCCTCCTGAATGTCAAGCTTTTTGGTAAATAGTTATAGTTCTAGTACTGCACATATATAGTATATATCTTAGTTTAGCTGAAGAAATCAATGAATAAAAAAAGTTTAGTCACTCGTTTTTTTTTTTTTTTTTTTTTTTTTTTTTACTAGTCTTTATTGTTACGCTTTGTATGGATCAAGATAGTTTTATGTAGTATTTACAACAAATACCTCGTTGTGCTACGATGGTCTCAAAATACACTTGGTGTATTTATGACTCTATGTTTGTTGACACTAGTATGATAGGATAAGAGTGAATGATAATATAAACAACAACAAAAATATGATTTTATTTGAATGAGAATAAAATATAAACTAAAAGACCAAACTATTGAATAAAACAATTTCCATGATAAAGAGTTGGAAAAGAGATATATTTCTGCCACCATTTGACTTGTCATTGTTTGCCAACAGAAAACCCATTTTTTATCCAGTTGATTTTGTTGTATATTCCTGTCGTATCACCCGTCTACAGTATTTTCACAGAAAGATTAAAAAGAAATAGATTAGGTCATAGTATGGGAGATTAAAAGAAAAAAAGAAAAACAGTAAGCATAGAAGCATATGCGTAAAGGGAACTTACCTTTAAGTATAGAATGTGGATAGTATCATTATGTATAATTGTAACCTACAATGTTCAAAGGGTCATTGGTTAAAGAAAAGAGAAGTAAAGGAAAAGGTAAAAAAAAAAAAAAAAAAAAAAGTCAGCGCCCGGTTTTTTTTAACTCGTTCAATCACCTATCAGCTAAATACTTTTGTAACTCATGCAAAAATGATTATCATCGTACCAAATTTAAACTGAACTTATACGAAAGCATTTTCTTTCTCTTATCTTAATAGCAGTTTATACCTTACCTCCCAATTTATAGAGTAAATTAAAAAATAAGGTTCAATATCATCAATAATTATCATCATCAAATAATATTACCACCATTGGATTCCTCTCAGAAGAGCAATCTAACATCCTCTAATATCATTTCATTGCCTATGTTGCCACCTAATGTGTAGTGATAATCAAAACGTTTCATCCATTTTCCAAAGATCGCCTGGTGACCCCTGGACGATTGATCTTTACAGCCAAAATATGGCTTTAAAAAAAACCACTGATGCTAAATTGGTAGGCTCAGCCATAGCGCGCCTTCCTTTCTCCATGTTTTTATATGAAAACAAAGTATAGTTCTGAAACCATCATCAATTACTCTTCCTTCAATGATTGCCAAGACTAACATTCGTATTACATGTATGCATTAATAAGCGATTAAACCAGTAGACTATTTGTTTAAAATCCGCATCATGCGACAACTTGCATTTGTAATATATGATGAAAGGAGTTTAGTATTCATGATCATCATATAGAATTATCATGATTGTAAGAATACAATCATCATCATCATCATCATCATCATCCATTTACTTTTTTGTTGTCCCTGAATTATTTAAAATGTCCCTTGTAGAGCTTGCTTGGATTTCTAAATCAGTCAAACCTGACATATTAGAATGTGTGGATCGATTTAGTGTAGTACATGTCGTACTGCATGAAAACAGTGAAGCCATCATCATGACAAGTGTATGAATAATAATAATAAAGAAACGATAAGTATCCATACCATTGATACATCTACCACTCACTACCAAAAAAAAAGGAAGACGATTAGATAGAGCGTGACACGTGGAGTTTGAAACGCGTAAAATTTAAAGTCTTAAGAGCAAAGAATTTTTACTTTTTTTTTCTTTCTTCTTCTTCTCTTTTCTTTCAACCTTTAAACTAAGTTTACTAATACATATTACTCTTTTGATTATTTAGGTCGTTCCTTTATTATGTTTTTCCTTTGGGGACCAGCTCATGCACAATCATCTCTTGTTGGAAGGTTTTGTAAGTACTTAAATGAATATACCAAGTCATTATATACTCACATTTTCTTTTTTTTTCTTTTATCTCCATTGTTTTTTTTTCGAACGGGTGAGTATTAAAAAAAGAAAAAAAAAGAAAAAAAAGGGTAATCTTCACTAACAAGCTTATCTAATTCTATTTATATTATATAGGCCTTGGAAGCAACTTCTGTGTGGCTCCCCAACGACAATCTATCACAGGTAAATTTATATTGTATAAATATTAACTGTTCACAACAAGAATGAATAGTTACTAAAATCATTGTGTTTTGTTTATTATATTAGCACCTCGGGTCAAGAAGAGACTTTTCCAAAAATGGTGATATGATAGAGGACTTCTTCTTTTGCTGGCAAAATAAGAAACTCTGTGTATGAAGGATGATGGTGATGACGGTGGGTCCAAAGGAAAGGTAGTATTATCAATGAAATTTACCATAAACTACCTTTTTTAAACATGTCCATTCTTTCTCTTTTTATAATAGATATGATCGATACCATACGAAGCTCTGATTATAGCACCTCTTTGTCTTGTCAATGTTTTATGGCTGGTTGATGGGGATAAACAAGGCATATACAAGGAAAAAGTAAAGGTAAAACAAAAGTAATATGGGTGTGGTAAAATATTTTATGTGCTGCTTTTTTTTTTTCTCTTTTACTCTTCTTTTGTAGTTGCTGCAAGCAAAGAAAGCAAAGAATTATGTAAGTACTTTATCTCATTTTTATTGTCATATTGTATATGAATAATCTATTCATCCTCTCATTTCCATTCTTTTTTATTTTTTAGTTCTTGATGATTTAATAGATACTTGAATCCATTTGATATATCTTGCTTGAACTTTACTTTTGAACTGACTTGATCTTGCATCAATTTGATATCTTACGATCTTCTGTTGGAGTTAGGTCTTGATCAAACCTGCTTTAAACTGTAAATCATAAGATATGAAATTGATGCAAGATCAAGTCAGCTCTCAAATGTAAGTCCAATCAAGATACCAAATGGATTCAAGCAGTCTATGGGTCATAATATCTGTTTGCGGGACGAGTGGTGGAAGGTAATATATAAAGAATATTATACAATGAATACAGTATATCATAGTTATTACTAAAAATCATTCTCTTTTTTTTTCTATTCTATAGTAATTCTCTATGCTTGGTGATATCAAGTCGTATGGTTGGCAAGGAATATAAAAGGTGAGTAAGAAAAATTGGGAGTCAATATAACTATATTACGTCTTCTCGTGGTGCTTGCCGGGTAACGCTAAATGAACTATCATCATCTTTCCCTTTAGTTTAGAAAATAATAGAATAGCTATATAGTGTATTTTTTTATTCAAATGATGATTTTATTACAAACCCAATAAACTCTTGTTTTCAATATACTTTTCCTTTTTTTTATGCTTATATGTGTTGTGATACGATGACATATATTGATATTGACGTTGAAGATAATGATGACCCCATGACAATGATTCTATAATGACAATGATAAATCTATGCTGCTACTACTGCTGCTGCTAATAATGATAATGACAAAGACAATAAAAAAAAACAAACTAAATCTGTGTGATTCTTATGGTTGGTTGATTTGATTTGCATGATCCTTTTACAGTCTCCGATCAGGTAGATATACAAAAATGATTTATTTTTTTTTGTTTTCTTTCTTCCTTTCTTCGCCTTTTTTTTTTTCTTTCTTTTCTAATTGAATTTACTCTTATATTATGGCAAATATTTCAAACACAAATCTAACTCAACTCGCCATGCGACCCAATACTGGCATGGTCGGTAGGCCAATCCATGTACGAAGCAATTTCTTTGAAATGACAAGTCTTCCAGCTCAAAATATACAACACTTGAATATTCAAATATTACCTGATGGTACTCCTCCTGCTGTACTTAGAAAGGTATGGCAATCTTTTGAAGATAGTCTTGAAGGTCAAGCTTTTCTTAACAAGGTCAAGCCTGTCTTTGATGGTCGTGCAAATCTTTTTTCTCCAAAACCTCTGAAATGTGGTGATAATAACCTTGGGATTTCTTTTGAAGTAAGTTTGTTTCAAACAAAAAAAAAATGACTTCATTTATCATATGCTCATTGTTCCAGTCAATATTATATTTTTTTTGATCACTCTTTTTTTATTGGTTCACTTATATTCGTCTATTTTATTCTTTTTATAGGTCAATCTTCAAGAAGGAAACCGTTCTGGTGGCGTATTCAAGTTGAATATCAAGCCTGTAGGTGTAATCAACATGAGGGAATTACAATCATTCTTGGATGGGAGGTCTGGTATTACCAACAATTGTCTAGCTGGTAAAAAAAAAAAAAAAAGATTATTATCAGTCTTGGTCTTTTTTTTTTTATTAACTTCGTTTTTATTAACTTCTTTTTATTAACCTTTTTTTTTCTGAAACCGTGTTATAGCTATTATGGCTCTCGATGTATTATTTCATCACATTCCAAGCATGCAATATCCCACTGTGGATCGATCATTTTTCACTCCCCAGGATAAACGTCCTTTACCCAATGGTGCTGAAGTATGGCAAGGCATTTATCAATCTATTCGTCCTACTCAAGGTAACATAGAAAACATATAATCCTTAATATTTTTTTTATTAATATTAAATTATTCATTGTTTATAGGCAAAATGATGGTCAATGTTGATGTTAGTACCGCTACTTTTTATGAATCTGGTCCTCTTCATGAACTGTTACCCAAATTACTAGACCGCCATAGTCTTGATGATCTTCGTCATGGTATTTCTGATAGTGAACGTATCGAAGTCGAAAAAATACTCAAGAATCTCAAGATCGTTGTTGTCCATCGTGGTGCTGAAAAACGGTTGAAGTACAAGATTAATAAGCTCACTCCTACCTCTGTTGAAGATACTGTATTCAAAGATAAACTTGGAAATGAAATCACGGTTGCTCAATACTTTCAAAAGACTTACAACAGACGTTTTGCTTATCCTTTCTTACCCTGTATTGTTGTCAAGAAAGATACCTTTTTGCCTATGGAAGTTTGTGAAGTCCTTCCTGGCCAACGCTATACGGAGAAATTGAATGAAAAGCAAACTGCTGAAATGACTAATATTACTAGCCAAAACCCTGCTGTCCGTGCCAACAAGATCAATCAAGGTGTCAATCTTCTGAAATACAAGGATAACCCATATATTCAACAATTTGGCGTCAATGTCAAGAACGATATGGTCATGATCAATGCACGAGTTCTTCCTGCTCCAGAGATCTCTTTCCATCCTTCCTCTCAAAATGCTACTTTTGCTCCTAGCGGTGGTGCTTGGAACCTTGGTGGTAAGAAGGTCGCAATGGGTGCCAATTTGGGTTCTTGGTCTGTGGTCAATTTTGCAAGCAATGTCCATGAAGGTATGGTCCAGTGTTTTATTCGTGAACTATGTCAAACGTTTACTGATACTGGTTTGGTAAGTAGCTTTCTTTAATAAAAGAAAAAACAAGATTTATGCTCATCTTTCTTATTTACTTTATTTTTCTATGATTAAAAATACAGAACGTCATCAATCGCAAACCACCTATTACCCATGCTAATCCCCAAGGTAATATTGAACGTACTCTCAAGGAAGCTTGGTTGAAGGCCGGTAACGCTGCAAAGGCTGAACCTCAATTGATTTGCTGTATCTTGCCCAACACTGGTGTTGCTCTCTATGGTGAAATCATACGTGTCTCTGATACAGGTAAAAAAAAAAAAAAAAAAAAAAAAAAGATGATTTTCATTACATAATCTCATACCCTTTTTATATAGTTATTGGTATTCCTACTCAATGTGTGCAAAGTAAGCATATTGCTGATGCCAAGAAACAATATTGTGCCAATGTCTGCTTGAAAGTGAACATGAAGCTCGGTGGTGCCAACTGGATGCTCGATAGGTCTGAAATTCCTTTCATATCAAGCGAACCCGCTATTGTTTTTGGTGCTGAAGTTACTCATCCTGGTCCTGGTGATATGAACAGACCTTCCGTTGCTGCTTTGACTGCAAGTATGGATCCCTATGCATCAAGATATGCTTCAACTGTCCGTGTTCAAGCCAATCGTACTGAAGTTATCGCTGATTTAGCTAACATGGTCAAGGAATTGTTAAAGGTCTTCTATCAACGCTCTGGCCTAAAACCTCAACGAATCTTATTCTATCGTGATGGTGTCTCTGAAGGTCAATTCGATCAGGTTCTAAAAAATGAAGTTTCTGCCATCCATGGCGCCTGTTCCTCCCTTGAAAAATATTACAGACCTCTTGTCACCTTTGTGGTTGTTCAAAAATGTCATCGTACCAGGTTCTTTGCTACTAGAACCCGTGATGCTGATCAAAGTGGTAACTGTCAACCTGGTACCGTCGTGGATACTGATATCGTACATCCTTTCGAATTTGATTTTTGTAAGTATTCAAATGACTATGTGTATTAGGATGACATATTGATTTATATGTATTTTTTTACGTAGATTTGCAATCACATGCTGGTCTTCAAGGAACTTCTCGTCCTACTTACTACCATGTACTCTATGATGATAATAATTTTTCTCCTGATGCTCTTCAAGAACTCACATACCGACTCTGCTACACCTACGGTCGTGCTACTCGCGCTGTTTCTATCTGTCCTCCTGCTTACTATGCTGATTTGGTTGCTGCTCGTGCTCGATTCCATCGTAAGGGTAAAAACTGGGAAGACACTGATACAAGTGAATCAATGGATAATGATAGTCAAATGGCCAGTTTCGCTGCTGTTAAGCCTGATTTACAAAAACTAATGTACTTTCTTTAAATGGATGGTTTGGTCTCTTTTTTTTATATTTACTCTTTTTTTTATATTTACTCTTTTTTATAGCTATATATCTGTACAATAAACCAGAAAGTTATTCCTTCTTTTGATAATGATACTTCTTTTACGATGTTGAGAGCATAGTATGATGGTTGGATGAAGGGATGATTTTAGGACACGTTAATAATAAATAAAAAATGATAAAAATATGACTTTTATTTAAGTGAGAATACAAAATAAAAGATATACTAAATATAAAATACCAATCACTAGCTAAAAGGCTAAGCTACTGAATAAAATAATTTTCATAATAAAGAGTTGGATAAGAGAAGCGACCTAAACCAGAAGAGTGATATCTTTACCACCATTTGACTTGCCATTCTTTGTTCAATTGAAACCCTGTTGTACATCCAGTTGATCCTATTGTATATTCTCGTTGTTTATCTATCTACTGTATTTTCGCTTAAAGAGTAAACATTGGGTAAAAGACAATTAAAAAAATAGATTAGTTCAGAGAATGAGAATGAGAGACTAAAAGAAAAAAAAAAAAAGAAACATAAAGTAGAAGAGGGAAGTATGCATGTACATAAAGGGTGTCTTACCTTTAAGAGCGATACAATGTAGATTAGTATCATTGCATTTATGTGCAATTTGTTATCTTGCACGCTCAAACGGTCATTGGTCCAAAGGAAAGGAAAAAGGAAAAGAAAGGCAAGAAGGAGATCAGGGCCAATTTTTTTATCTCCGGATTTTTGGAATGATCCAGCACTCCGATAACAGCCAATTAAAATTTCATCTTTATTATTTTACCAGTTTCACCTTCACTGAACGTTGTCCTGAAGAGAATGATGAGCTGTGGTAGCTGTCATTGCTGTTGTTGTTGCTGTGATAATGATTAATTGTGATTGTTGTGATGATGATTAATTGTTGTTGTTGCTGTGGTAATGATTAATTGTGATTGTTGTGATGATAGGTTGTGATTCGGTATTACCCCGAATGGAAAGCGAAATTGATAAAAAAAAATGGATGTATGTTAGGAACCTGGATTTATATTAATCTATGGAAGAACATTATGACAGCATCAAAGAAACTTGATTGGAGATGATAATTGTTAGTAAATGATGGAAATAATACGAAGATAAACTTTATTGAAGAAGAACATAATAAATAGTAAGACTACTATGAAACTATGATATCAAGGGAAAGAATCGAAATAAAAGACAAAACAGAATAACACCATCCCATTTTCAAGCAAATCGATTTCCCTTTCGAGCAGATGCCTGTGATAGACCCTTCCGGTTATCGTATCATATTGAATGAGAAGAAAACATGTTTCAAAGTCGCGGGTATAAGGTATCGTAATAATACTGTATGCATTCAATAAATCTTTGCCTATTATAATATATCCATTGACCTAACAATCTTCAACTATTTATTTTTTGATTGAATAGAAAATGAAGAGTCATGATATATACACGGATGGATGATGAATGCTAGTGTAGTACTATCTTTTTTTTATTTAGTTGATTTTATACAATATAAATGGTTGTTTTGAACTACTATCCTTTTCCTTTTTCGGTGATTGAAGATGTAGGCGATAATATTGATGTTGATGATGAGTGGATCCATATAATGATGGATATCCTGATTCATTTTAATGCATCCTTATGAGGAATTGCGGTAGTGATTGTTAGAGAGAATGAGACTCAGAGGCCAAATACCACTTTTTTCCCTCTTTTTTTTTTGGAAATTCTTATTTTCATTCGCCCTCAGTTTGTTATCCTCACCCCCACGGTAAAAAGTAGCCAATAAAATCGCTTTTCTCCTGTTGTCGTGGGCAACTCGCCAAAATAATTCTAAACGACAACAAGCATCTCAAGCAACATTCACAGATTAGTTCCTCTGACACGAAATACATTTTTTTTTTTAAAAAAAACTATGTTTCAGCGCTTTTTTATTATGTAAAGAATCCATCATCATCTATTCATGCCGTCATCCATTCATGCCATCATCCTATTATCCTATCACGTACCAACGTCTAGTCGTATCTATAAAAATATATGTGAAATAAAAAGAATGTATCCAAAATATAATAATCCATCAAAAGAAGATTAGAATCAATTACATTGACATGTAACAAAGTAGTTGGAATAAAAATAAAAACTTTATTGAATAAAAAATATAAATACTAACAACTACCAATTGATATACTAAAAGTCAATACAAAGAAAAGAAAAGAAGAGAAAGAAAAGAAAGAAAAAAGTAAATACAAAATAATATGAAAGAAAAACGGACTTTGAAAACCACTACTTTCATGCCAATCATCATGATGAATCAACACTCTAATGATAATCCATTATATCAATAAAGAACTTTTGTTTCATTTTTTAATATACTTTTCAAATAAAGTCGCAGTATTTTTTATTTTTTTTCCATCATCATCACCAACATCGACCCATCATTCTATTATCAATCACCTCTACCGACATCTCTAAAGCGATATCTAAAAGAGTGGTAATGCGACATCCATTTTGGGAAAGTACGATATTTTGTTTAATAACATCACGAAAAGGATTTTCTCGTGACACGACAAAAAACTTTGAAAACACTGTATATTTATGAGAGAAGAGAAAAGAAAGGAAGAAAAAAAAAAAAAAAAAAAAAAGAGTCTTCATCTTTTTAAACGCGCGACAAAAAAAAAATTGGGTATTTCACAGATCTTAAAAAAAAAAAGTATTAAAGATTTTATTTTACAAAACATCCATGCTAAATTATTTTCTTTCACTTTATTTAACGCCACTTTGTAGCTTATCTCGCCATTTATACAGCAAATTAAAAAAATAAAATGTCAATATCATCATCTCTCATCTAATAATGATCATCATCCCATAAAATAACCACCATTAGATTCCTCTCAAAAAAGTAGCATAATATCATCTAATTCCATTTTATCACTTATCCTGCCAGATAATGTGCAATAAATACTAAAATGATTTCATCGATTTTCCCAAAAATTGCCTGATGAACCCTCGACGATTTATTTTTACAGCCAAAGTTTGGCTGAGGAGTTCCAAATTTTTGGCTGTAAAATCCAAAAACTGATCCCATTTTTTCATCCTGTATATAAGCTTAAATCTATCATCATGCCGTATAAGTACCTTTAACAAAAGATGCTATATTATCTATGACCGTTTCTTTTGTTAGCGGATCATAATGATAACTTGTCGATAATGCAAGAAAAGGCCACTTGGCATCTAATCTTACTCTAAAAAGAAATCTTCAAATGCATTTTCAGATTTAAACCTCTAATCATATCATAAAGCCACTGCTAATAAAGCATATCATCTATGCCATTCTTTTTTATTAATGTATCAAAGCGTATTTACCACTAAAAATGTCACGTTAAATTATAAAATTTGAAAAAAGGAAAAAAAAAGTATTTGCTAAATATGATGTTTTTTTTTTTTATTGATTGATTTTAAATAAAAAAAAAAGCACTAATCTGAATTCAGTATCTTTCCCATTTAGTTCATTTTTCTAGTCGATGCTAGTATCGCCTTGTTTCTTTTCACTTGCTGCTACTTGAGTAAACGTATGGATAGCTGCTTCCAATTCCTCTTTCCGCACTGGCTTACTGACATAACCATTCATTCCTATAGACATAAAAAGGAAGAAGAATAAATATAAGTGTTATTACATACAACAGCAAAAAAAAAAAAAAAAAAAAAAAAAAAAAAAAGATTGGTCTTTTTTTCCTTACCAGCATCAATGCATTTTTCCCTATCTCCAGCCATCACACAAGCAGTCATCGCAATGATATAAGGACGAGTGGCCGTAGTAGACGATTCTGAGCGTATCTTTGTCGTTGCTTCCAAACCATTCATTTCCGGCATAAACACATCCATGAATATCAATTGAAGAGGTATACCTTGTTGCTCCGATGTGATCCATTTTTCCACTGCTTCTCGTCCATTTTGAGCCACGTCGCATGTCAATCCCAATCGATTCAGCATCCGTGTTAGTACCTTTTGATTCACCGGGTTGTCATCTACGAGTAATGCACGTACTGAAGTCAATTTTTCAGACCAATCTGGAAGTTGCGCTTGTTTGCCAGAACCAATAGAATTGTTGGGCGCCAACATTGATATATATGTACCTGAGGTAGGTGTGTTCATTGTATCATCCGGTATTGGTGTCATCATCACTTTGTTGTTGTTGTTGTTGTTGTTCCCTAACCCAGTGTTAATAGTACCAGTAAAGCGAAGAAAAGAATCCCAACCGTTTCTTACAAATGAAGAGGAAGAAGGATTTGCTACTTGTTCGGTTGTTGTCATTGGTGACGATTGTAGTAATGAGACAGACGAAGTAGGAACAGGACTTGATAAGAGATGAAGACATTGGATAAGCTTGGTGTTCTTGAATGGCTTAGTGAGCATTTGAAGATAAAAGTGGTTGCTGGTTTCTTCTTGTGGGGTTTCGACACAAAGTTTCGATGATTCAGGAGTACGAGGACAACGTTGGTAAGGTCGATCTGAAGGAGAAAGATTGATAAGAGATGAATTGCGCAACCGGACATCCACCACACATAATTTTGGAATCATCGAGATATCAAACAGTTGCTGTAAAGTTTCGAGCACAATGCGACTTGTCGTGGTGGATTCGGCAAGGTTTGATGATGATGTATGTTGTTGTGATATTGCTGATCCTTTGTTGCGTGAATGTTCTCGTAAAGATGGATGATCGATGGCGTCCAAATCACAATCCACTATAAGAGTTGTTGGCAAAAATATACTATCATTATCCGAGCTTGGCTGTTGTTGTTGTTGTTGTTGTTGTTGTTGTTGTTGTTGTTGTTGTTGTTGTTGTTGTTGTTGTTGTTGTTGTTGTTGTTGTTGTTGTTGTTGTTCAAAAAAGTCTACAGCTTCAGCCAATGAGAAAGCTTGGGCATTCATACCAAAATTTGAGAGTAGTTCAATCCAAGATTGACGAGTCACTTGTTTTCCAGATATTACCATTGGATGGGAATTATTTTTTGCCAATTCATTTAAAGCGTTCTGTTCACCATAGGTTGGAGTATCTGCTTGAGTTTGCAACTTGACCCGGAAGTAAAAGGTCGATCCATGTCCTTCCTCAGATTCCACCCACTAAAAAAGGAAATTACATAAACTTAAAAAATGAGTATTTCTCTAGATAGGTTTGATCAATCACAGATATTGATTATTGTTATTGCAATTGTTCACTTTACCATATCGCCACCCATGATTCTACAAAGTTGTCTACTGATGGCAAGTCCCAGGCCTATTATTAACAAAAAAAATAAAAATAAAAATAAAAATAAAAATTTTAGTACAGTTGACCAATAATGAGTTATTTTTCTCGAGTTATTTTTTACCTGTTCCACCAAAATTTCTAGCTGTTGATGCATCCACTTGAGAAAATGATTTGAATAGTTTCTTTGACTTGGATTTTGGAATACCTATACCAGTGTCAGTGACCGAGAATAAGTAAGGAACCACATCCATAGGATTATAATTAGTATCCGCGCTTGGTGTCATGGAAATCCAAGGAGATTGATATTTGTCATCGTCATCATCCATATCCGTCACGTTAGTTAATTGTTGATCTTTATCTAGAGTTGCACGTATAACTACAGATCCTTTCTCCGTAAACTTGAATGCATTAGATAATCTAGTTTTTGATATTAGGAAATAAAAAAAAAGATGAATACGTATTCATTCCATATCGCCAGAAAGGTTTTAGAATAAGAAACTTACAAGTTGAGAAGAATCTGGCGTAAACGTACCAAATCACCATAAACATGAATTGGAAGATCAGGATCAATACAGTAATAGAGAGCAACACCTTTACCAAGATAGTTTGATGACATCAATTTCATGCCACTTTCAATTACAAATGTCTATTTTAAAGCAGAATAACCAATTAGTTTGAGAAGTACAATTTTCTTTGAGAAACTACCTTCCTCTTTCTTTATCTCTCCGTTTTTTTTTTTTTTTCTACTTACCAAATCAAGCTTGCTGTGTTCCAAGGTTAATCTTCCAGATTCAATTTTTGAATAGTCAAGAATATCATCAATCAAAGCGACAAGATGGTTTCCTAAGATAAAATAGAACCATTCATATAAAATATACCATATTGTCGATGGGTTAATTCAATTTTCTTATATATTTACCAGATGATTCTATAGTTTCCGCGCATTCATAAAGGTGGGGTTCAAGATCGCTTTCCATTAGCATTCTAGACATACCAATAACAGCATTCATTGGAGTTCGGATTTCTATCCATTATCAAAAAAAAAAAAAAAAAAAAAGGAGGGGAGTTATATTGACCAAAATAATATTGTTAATCCTCTCTTACCATGAGACATATTTGCCAAAAAGTTTTGCTTGGAAGCAGCAGCAATTTCTGCTACCTCTTTTGCCGCAGAAAGATCTAATTGATTCAAACCATGAAATAAGTATTTTTCACGTAATCAAATAGTAATCTTAGTATACACCTAATACCTTTTAACAAATTCTGAGTTCGTAAGCGTTCAGCCTCCAATTCCTTTGTTCGTAGTACTAAGTTTTCAGTTCGTTTTCGTACAAGCTTTTCCATGTTGTTTGCATACTTCTCCAACTAATAAGCAATTCGATTCGATTCAAAAAAGAAAAGATAAATAATCATCATCCTTATCATCATCACTATAGTAGTACTTACAAGAATGGCCATATTATCTACAACACTATCTGATCGAAACAAGTTAGGATCAATTGTCTTGACTCGATTCTATCATTGTTAATTGTAATAAAAAAATAATTAGTGGTATGAAAACGATAGTTTCCCTCCTTTCTTTCCATAATATAATAAAAAAAAAATGTTGTTCTTACCCCAATCGTGGCAAAACTAGGTCTTCCAGAGGAATCTCGACGAAGACAGTCCAGGATGATTGAGTTGAATTTCTCCGCATAATCGTCTTTTTTCGATAGTACGAGACAAGAGGGACCAGAGTGTTGCATGTTGAAGATATTCTCTGCTGTTAATCCATCGTCCAATAGCGCTTGATAGGGTAATTCACGTGTGATAATTTCGTTCATGATAATGCCAGCACTAAATCAAACATGTTCAAAAATTAATGATATTCGAGGGGATTAGTAATAATGATGACGATAATATAAACCGTTGCAACAGTTTTATTTTTTTCCTTTGTTATTATTATTATTTATTATTTTTTTTTTTTTTTTTACCTATATACATCAGCAGATTTGCTTGGGTTGGTCAAATAAATTCCCAATGGAGTGCGATAAACAGATTCAGGAGCCAACCAAAGAAGAGTGCGATTAAATTGTACAACATTCAAATCCTCCAAATTGTTAATGATTTCATTCCTTTGACCTGCCACTTCCAAATAATTGTTGCGGACGGATGGGAGCAATACCGAATCGACCTGAGAACGGCGCAATTTATGGAGACCATAGTTAGAGATCTTCAATTCCCATTTACTTGATATGAAACACGCACTTGAGGTTAAACAGCCATGGACAGCGAATTTCGATCGATGTATGAATGCCATTCCTTGAATAAGATCATTGATAAGAGAGAATCGGAATATCCATGTTAAATCAATGTCAGGATCAGCTAGAACATCTGCCAATGATCCTTTTGCACAGTACTCTTGCGTTGGCAAAATAAAAGTGAAAAAAATAATATAAATGTTAATAATAAGATAATGCTACGATTTCTCATATACCAACGATGCTTTACCTTCAACAATAAAAGTACGATAAGGTTCAAGAATCAGTCCAACAAATTCCACCAAATTTTGATGTCGAGTTTCCTTCATTAAGGCAGCTTCAGTCCGTACAACTTCATCTACGCGTACTCTTTTAGATCCAATTTGTTTGACGAACACGGGGAGATTATGTCTACCAAAAAAAAAAAAAAAAAAAAAAAAAAAAAAAAAAAAAAAAAAAAAAAAAAAAAAAAAAAAAAAGAGGAAAAGAGTCAGTAATTTAGAATGCCCCTTATATATTACCATCATCAACCTTCTGTTGATATTTCTAATCTTTATTCGTTTACCTGTAACACTTGGTATATATCAAATCTGAACATCCGCTTTTTGGCAACGAAGTAAAATACTTTTGGGATCCACTATGAGCAAAAAGAGGGAAAAAATAGAGGTAAGTAGCTTATAACCTATTCGATCACTGATTGAGTCTAACAATAATAATAACTTACACTTTCTTCGTTAATGATTTGGCACGCTGGGAGTCTAGATCAGATAATTCAACCAAGACTGAAGTGCATTTTGGTTCAGCTGACGATAGACTGTTGTTAAACTTGACCTTGGATATAGCCATTTCCTTTTGTTCTTCTATTGGATATTGTCTCTGTGGCTGGGGATTTTGCTTTTTAATGACACCAATACTGTCCTCCTCGTCGCCTTCTTCTTTGCTGCTAGTGTCATCCATTTTTTCCGGTATGCTGAATTCATCATGATCATCCGTAGACCCCGTTGTCCGTCGATCTTCTTCTTCGTTGGGTGAGAGTTGCTTGATCTTTTCATTCATAAGTTCATCAAAAGAAAGTAGCCAGGTTTCATCTCGTAAACGTTGTCGTCGTAAAAGGAATTTGCGTCCACGCCATACAATAAAACCACATAGACCAATAGACAAAAGAACGATAACTGGGACCAAGATTGCAACCAAAGTACGTCGTTGTGCTTCACTTTGATCTGCTTCAAATGCTTGACAGAGAGAATTTGAATTACCTTGTTCACATTGAGTGCATGATGTCGAACCAGAAAGTGAGTAAGTACCATATCCACAGGGTGTACAAACACGTTGATTGTATTGATCTGTATATGTGTTTTCAGGACAAGGAGAACATTGGATTGAGAGCCGAGTACGCTGATTGCTATCCATACAAAAGTAATCAGGAGATATTTGACTGTAAAATGTACCAAGAGGACAAATATCATTCACTAATGGTGTTGCGAGTTGAGTGTGCATCCAAGGCTGATAAGAAATAGTGTTGATTAACAAGATATTTAGAAGAGATAAGAAGCCCAATGCAAACAGATTGAGATACCTATGAAAAAAGATAATATTAATAATCATAGTAATAAAGATGAGAGTTCGTTGTTGGCATTTAATTCTTTCTTTTATTCCTTTTTTGCTGACTTACCAAAATCGTCGTATTCTGCCACTAACAAATGCCTGAACTTGATCAAAGAGATCACTTGAAGTATAGACCACCGTATCTTTTTTCAAATAACCTTTGAGAATTCGCTATAATACGAATATATTATTTAAAAAAAAAGTTAGTGAGAGGTATTCTTAATACTTATGTCAGTATTTGTACTTTACGGCATTGATGATATCAAAGATATGATCTGAGAAGGTAACAATAGCGTCGGGTTCGTAATGCATGGATGCCAAAGCTGTCATTATATTTTGGAATTGTTTGTCCGTGGCGTCGCCTGTAGAAATATTAATATAGTGTATAACATGATGAGCCTGAGGAATATGGAAACTGTCGCTACCAGTTGTGAAGTGAGTTCGATATGCTTCATAAAAGTGTTGACAAAAAGACGTGATATCCATATAAGTCTGTTCAGCCAAACATACTGGTGCCTTGATATTATCTTCTATCATGGTATTTGCTATGGACTGAGAAAGATCGGCAAGATTAATGGCGACATTGGGAACTTTTGATTTGACTTCTTCAAAAAAGGAACCTATTTGGACTAAAGTGACCTGACTTTTGTTGGTATATTGTTCAATCGATTCATCACTAGATTCCAATATGATGCCGCTAACACCTAAAAGAATCAACAAAGGTAAAAAAAAAAAAAAAAAAAAAAAAAGAAGAAGAAAAAGAAAAAGAAAGAAAAGAAAAAACGAAGAACCGTGAGTAAGATAAAAAGAGTTTATCTACTATTTTTTTTTTTTTTTTTTTTGAGTTTACCTCGTTTTGCATAAGAAGAGATTTGAGTTCTGACTTGACTATCGCGTTCTATATTTCATAAATCAAATTAGAACCAATTCTATTATTTTCTATATTTTGTTTTATTATTATTATTAATAACATACCACTACCTGATGGTTGCTTGAAGAATGATACAAAGTAATGAATAAAGAAAAAGAAAAAAAAATCAAAAAAAGAGTTAGCTTTTCACTGCAGTGACCGGAGTTGATATTCGATTCCAATAAGTAAAAAACTTTTACTTACATCAAATGCATTCAAAAGAGTCCAGTTCAATTTATGAGCTAAATCATACGCACCTCTCATGACAGCAGAATTGTATGTATCCCCAGCTATATTAGGTACTATATATATATTTCAAAAAAAAAAAAGATTAGGATATGATGTATAATCATCCACTTTTATTTTACCAGATACACCCACATAACCTGTTTGATCATTCAAAGGGATCATTGTTGTTTGTTCATTTTCCAGAATACCAGCCAATGTAGAATTAGTTACTAATGTAGGTCCAGTACTAATAGTTTTGTTGTAGTATACATCTTTTCCTGTCAAAATCTAGTAAAAACATAATGAATGAGGTGATGATTGAATCAAATTTGATTTTACCTTCAGATATAAATAAAATACAGGCAATGCAATTTCATAGTAGGGTAAATGAGAGATACCGAACACATCCTTATGTCTCTGAAAAAGACTTGTCATATTGGAGCCACCAAGATCAAAGAAACCTACACCAATACGAGTACTATTATTGACATCCAACATATTCAATACTGCATCTGTCACGATATCCACAGCATTCTTTTTTTTTTTTTTAATATCAAAAGTAAAAGAATTAGTTATTCATATCTTTGTTTTAAAAATCATAATATATATATATATATCACTTACAGCGCCACTGAGAGAAATGATAGAATCGTAATCACCTTGATTAAAAAGTCGAGTAATTTCGGAAGCAGGGTTCAAAGTACTATTATCCTTGAAGATGACAGGTGAAGAAGTCCAATCAATCATAACAGACTGAATACCTGTTACACGTTCTTTGCATGCAGTATCATTGGCTTGAGAGAATTGAATGACCAATGGACGAGTGTATCCACGTTGAAAAAGTTCCTTTCCCAGCATTTCACCACCTTTTATATTATCTTGAAGCACTCGAGTTAATCCTAATTGACTAGCATAATCTTGACCCACATTGAATACAAGCATAGGTACATTTCTTTCCAAAGCATACTGGGCAGCCTCGAATACAGTGTTATCGGGAATACTAAGAATAATACCGTCCACATTCTATTTAATAAATGTTAATTCATTTTACGAGTTTGGTGTAATAATAATAATAATATTAAAAATATATATTTATATACAGATTACCTGATCTACAGCTGCTTTGATATCATCACTCATTTTCAATCCGGTTGTAACCAAATGTCGATTCCATTCTAATTGAATATCTACAATCGTAGCTGCATCCAAAGCACCTTGTTCCGGATGATGAAAATAACTGGCTGCATTGGCTTCATTGTGAGAAAATACAGCTATTCTTGGTTTTCGTTGTTGACTTCCTGTAGTATTACTAAAAGATGTTGTGCTACATGATGGTAGTAATAATTGCCCTTGTTGAATCATGGCGGTATCATTTCCAACCAATTGAATCGCTTGAATCGATGTCACATAAAAAGATGAAAGAAATAAAGTATTGAATAACAATATAAAAAAATAGTAGAATACCATTTAAGGTGATATGTATCTATATAAAAAAAAAAAGAGAGAGAATGAAAGATGCAGGAAAATAAAATAAACTTTTAGAAAAAAAAAGTCTATATTTAAATTTCCTAATGTTTTCATATCAAAGAGAGTAAAAAAAAAAATTACCTTTTTTTTTATTGAATAAAAAAGTAAATAATAAGAGAGTATCTAGTCTACGCTATATATATATTAAGGAATATCTATGTACAATTCAAAAAAAAAAGGAGGGAGAAGCATATAGATGAAATGATAATATAAGTTGTATATAGTGAGGTATAAAAAGGGACTATAATAGTATATATGTGTGTAGAAATGTAAAAAGAGATGCTAATAAAAAAAAAAAAAAAAAGAGAGAGAGAGAGAGTAAAACATAAAAAAAAAAAAAAAAAAGGAAAGAAAAAAAGAAATTCAATAGGGACAGGCTCGTTGGCGTTGCTTTCGAACAGCCCTCGATAATTTAAATGACCGCATTTCACAATCCACCCAATTACGATTCCCCATTTCTCGTGCCACTGCTTTCCAAGCTTGTTTAAATAATCTATCATGTTTCTTAATCGCCAACAACAAAACATGATCTTCGGTTGTGGACCATTCTCTATGCTCAGACATTTTTGCTTGTAAAGTCTTGAATCGACCCCAACAACATCCACGTGAACGATGTGGTAAATAGGTAGAACTAATTAATGCCCATGATAATCCTTCAGCATATCCTTTTTGTAATAAAAAATCTTCAGAGGAAGTCCATGGTGTACGTGTTTGAGGACTTGATGATGATGATGACATTAATGGAGATGAAATTGTTGCTGGCGTACGTTGTTGTTGTTGATGATGAGATAAATATATTGTTGTAGGTGAACTAACAGTAGAAGAGCATGATGATAGAGATGGAGTTGAATGTCGACTATTAGTGATGTCTTCAGAATATGACCAATTATCTTTAAATTCTCCAAATGTTATCATAGGTGATCTTAAGCATACTTCTTGATGATGATCATGGTAAGGAACCATATCAGCTGGTACTGTCAAGGTAGATGACTTGTTGCAAAGTAAGTTTTTCAAATCCATAATATAAATAAAGATAGTAATAATAATGATGAATAAAATAAACCAAAGAAATGTCATCATTTTATATATATTTCTGAAATGTCATTTTTTAAGGAGGTACAAAGTCAAAAAGTTTTGAAGCTTGACGCGGAGTTGAAACCAATCCGCATTAATCATGGCCCAATATGGAAAACATGCTGATGAATCAAAAACTACCCTTTATAACCCCCTTCACTATCATCATCATCCTTCTTGTAAGGACCCTAGACTTTCCACGGATAAAAAAAAAAAATACGGAGAAAAAGAATCCATGTTTTCATAAAAAAAAAAAAGGTTAAAAAGGCAGTACTTTTGTTCATTCTCATGGGCAAGACTTTAGTACCTTAAAAAACCATATTAGGACAACAGGGGTGTCTATCGGTTTTCTTATGAAAAAATAAACATGTCATTAAATCCAACCGCGTGTTGGCATTTTTTTTTTTATTACTCGTGGTAAATAGGAGACCCGTCTTGTCATTGTTTTCAATCCATCAAACAACGTTTTATCTCCCATTTGTCAGTAAGGTTCATCCAAAGTCAGAATATAGAGCAATAAACTTTTTTTTTTTTTCTCGTGATATTATATTTTAAGGAAACTAATAAATCCACGTTATTACCATCATCATAACGAAATCAAGGAGCACCTCATTATTATTATTGTTATTATTATCAATGTTTATCAATTTGTCAATAATTTCTTTGAAAGATAAAAATAAATCCATATATTTCCATATATGCTTCTATAAGCACGGCCATTGATTTTATTCCATCATAAATGACATAATCTAATCATATTTATGATCATCATCCCCAAAATTTCCTCCCAATCAGTTTATTGAAAAAGGTATTCCAAAGAGGTAATTATCTAACTAATAATAATAGTAATACTAATGCAATCCCATCAAATCTATAAATACTAACACGATCCCCATACTTAATAACAAGTCCATCATCCTAGGATTCATCTTGAAATTCAATCAGCAGTTGTCCTGATTTCACTGTATTGCCAGCAATCACATAAATTTTTTTGATAGTCCCAGTTCGAGAAGTACGTAATATGTTTTGCATCTTCATAGCTTCTACTACTGCCAATTCTTCACCTATCTTGACCTAAACAAATTGAAATAAAAATATTAAAATTAAATTCATATCATCTTATTATTATTATTACCTTGTCCCCTTCTTTCACAGCAATACTGATGATCCTCCCTGGCATCGGGCTTGGAATCCATTTGCTTTCTTCTTCCTTGGTCTTCCTTTTCATATATCGAGATAATTGATGTTGATCACTGTTCAATACAGCTACTTTGTACTACAAAATGCAAATAGACAATAAGATGATACAAAATAAAACAATAATAAGGATAACAAAAAATTAGGAGTCCAATTACTTTAATGAATGATGGTGAATAAATAACTTACCCGACTACCATGATATTGTACTCTAAATCCAAAATCAAGTACATCTAGATGTTGCACCACAAGTGTCGTTCCATCAGGTAATAATGTTCTTGATAGTAATCCATCTAATGGCCACTGCATACTAATGATGCCCGACAATCCAGGTAAACATACCTTTCACAGAAACATACAAAGAAAGAAAAAAAAAAAAAAGAAAAAGAGAAAAAAAAAGGAGAGGTGAGTATGAACGATAACTTTTTTTTTTTTTTTTTGGTTGCTTTACCTGGTATTTATCTTTGTCCATCATATCCATATCCACCTTGATTTCCGTTACTTGATTATTCTGTTCATCAGTCAAGTGAACCCACATAGATGATGATGTTGACGATGCCGATAGTGTATTTTTGCCATATCGATGTTGTTCTTTCTTGAGCCACATACCAGATACAATTGCAGCTAAACAGTCCATATCCTTTGAGGTCATGACAGGAGGTCGAAATCCATTGGGATATTGTTCCATTAAAAAGTTGGTCGAGAAATCACCTTGACGAAATTGAGGATGAGCCACAACGCCACGTAAAAGAGGTATATTGTGTGTAACACCTTTGATGACATATTCATCCAATGCCTGTACCATGGTATTCATTGCTTCTTGTCGATTCTCGCCGTGTGTCACTAACTTACATATTAAAGGGTCGTACTCCACATGAATATTTGATCCTTCCATAAATCCAGAATCACATCGTCGTCGTTGATGCTTTTGAGAATGATCACCATTATTTGTCCAAGGTTCTTGATAAGTAAGTAGCCGCCCCACAGATGGTAAATATTTTTCAGGATCTTCAGCATATACACGTGCCTCCATAGCCCAGCCAGAAATTTGTATATCAGATTGTTGTAAATCCAAAGGATAACCTGCGGCTGAGTATAACATTTGTTCCACCAAATCAAGACCAGTAACATATTCAGTAATGGGATGTTCAACCTGAAGACGTGTATTCATTTCCAAAAAATAAAAATTATGTTGTCGATCCACCAAAAACTCTACAGTACCTGCTGAACTGTAACCCACATGTTTTGCCAAAGTAACAGCCTGTTCACCCATTGCTTGTCTTGTCTTTGGATCCAAATGCACACTAGGAGATTCTTCAATGACTTTTTGATTCCGCCGTTGAATAGAGCATTCACGTTCAGGCAAATAGATAACATGACCATGATGATCACCTAATACTTGAATTTCAATATGTCGAGGTTGATCAATGTATTTTTCAATCAGTAATCGATCATCACCAAACGCGAACCGACTTTCTTGTTTCGCCAATGTGTAACCATCCTTGAGTTCTTGATCTGTCCAAGCAACTCGCATTCCTTTGCCACCACCACCTGCACTTGCCTTGATCATCACCGGATATCCAATATCATGAGCCACCTGTATTGCTTGATCGAATGATTGGATTTCACCATGATAACCAGGAATCACATTCACACCGCTAGCTTCCGCCAATTTCTTGCTTTGAATTTTATCACCCATGGCCGCTATCGCCCATGCAGAAGGACCAACAAATCGAATGGATGCTCGATTCAATGCTTCTACAAACATCGCATTTTCACTGAGAAAACCATAACCAGGATGGACTGCATCGCATCCCGTACTTTGTGCCGCCGCCACGATCCGGTCTATAGACAAGTATGAATCTGCTGGTTCCCCTGGCCCAAGTCGTACTGATTCTTCTGCTAATTGGACATGTAGAGCATCCACATCCAAATCCGAATACACTGCCACTGTTCGTATGCCCATTGCCTTGGCTGTCTTGATAATTCGACATGCTATTTCTCCACGATTTGCTACCAGTAGTTTGTTAAAAGTCTAAATAAAAAAAAAATATTGTTCTTATGAGATATGTTATGACTATTTCTATAGGAATAATGATGGATTTACTTTCTTATATCCAGTAGTTTTTGTATCTTTGCGTTGAATAGAGGATAATGTAGTAGTTGATAATGGAGTTATATCAGAAGATATTGATTTTGTTGTGACCGGAGAAGAATTGTTGTATGCAGTTGATATATATCTATATGGAGTTGTGTATCGTGAAATCGTATATAAAGAAGGAAACCATTTGGAATGTGCCCGAGATAAGAAGGAAATGTTTGATCGAGAAGGTGAAGGATGATGTCTGAAGAAAGACTTCATTATATATAAAAGGTTAAAAAAAGTCAAAAAAAAGGGGAATAAGAAAAAAAAAAAAACGAGAGAGAAAAAAAGTTAGTTTGAAATCGACTGAGTTTGATATTTTTATTTCAGAGTTGTGTGCGTGAGAGAAGTATCAAAGGGAGTGAATATGATGAAGCTGTACAGAAAAAAAAAAAGAATATAAAAAGGAGAAAGAGGGGAATACAATTTTGATAAAATAATAAATAATAATATAATAATAATAATAATAATAATAATGAAAGAGGAGGAAGAAATTGAGTTCAATGATAAACATGCATGTAACCAAAAGAGACGTTAAGGAACATGCCTGCAAGAATTCCAAGTTGATGACGCCGAGTAAATACTGATTCACGTACCCAAAAGACACAAAGAATACCCAAGAAGAAACCTAACATTAATCCCCACATCATTTCTTTGTAAGTACCTTGAATAGCTATATATATATATATATAAAAGATCAGAATGAATATCAAATAATACTATAAATTTTTAACTTACTTCCTTCTGGTACTGTTTCACCTGTCTGATCCATCCATTGTTCTTCAAATTGTAATAATTGTTCTGTAGGTTCTAATAAAATAAAATGCAAGATAATATTAAATCATTAATTGTCTTTTTTTTCCTTTAAAAATAATACCTTGTCCATCATAAGGTGTTTGATGCATCCTATGAAACTGTGTTCGAATACTACGGATTTCCTCTTGATTGAAACCTGAGTTTAATAATCGATCAAAACCTCGAATACTATCAGTTTTCCTTTTGATAGACTATCAATGATAAAAGGTTAGTTATTTAAATATAATATTCATCATTATTATTAGTATTACCTTTGAACAATTAACAGGTACATGATCAGAAACAACACAGTGGATGAAGGAACCTGATATTTGAAGTCCATATTCATTTAATGGTTTTGAATCATTATCCAAGATCTTGCCATTATATATAAGCCTTAGTTTCTTATTTGTTGTATTTGGATTAACTTGATATATCTAACATGTTAAAATTATAATATTAGTTTAAAATATAAAACAAATTAAAATAGATATTTTACCGAGTTTTTTATATTTGCAGGAGTGTCGGAAAACGGAGCAACATGTAAAGGAAGATCAGAACCTTCTGTCCAACGTATGTATATAAGTATATTATCAATGGTAGAAGTCATATATGATATCAATAATATTGTAAGCAAAAAAAAAAAAAAAAAAATGGATAGATAAAGAATAAAATAAAATAAAAAGAAAAGAAAAGAAAAGAAAATGCTTTTTTCCTGTTCAAGACTTGGCAAGTGAAATGATTCAAAACCAACAGGTTCATCCTATTCATACTCCGTCTCTTGCCTCTTCATTTTTTTTTTTTCCTCTCTCTTTTTCCCACTTCTTTTTTTTTTTCTTTTTTGTTACTTTATCATTATTGGATAGTTACCATGTCGGTACCTTTACAAGAATTTATAGGTAAAAAAAAGAAATAATATTTTATATAAATAGTACAATCCAAACTTTCACTTTTTTTTTTAATTCTCTTTATATATAAAATGTAATATCTTTCTATGCACAGACGGTGCATGTAGTCCTGCGCGTTATGAACCTGACCTTGCTCTCAATCTCGAGATATGCGAAATGATCAATAAGAAACAAGGCAATGCGTAAGTATTTTATAATTTGTTGTTTATATTATTATAATTGACGTTCATTTTTTTTTTTATTATTTCTAGTCCAAGGGAAGCAGCTACTGCTATTGTCCGTATCATCAATAGCAAGAATATCAACCAAGCCATGTTAGCTCTCACAGTAAGAATAAAAAAAATAAAAAAATAAAAAGATATATATATATAATTTGTATATAATTATATAGTTATTGGACAATTGTGTCAAGAACTGTGGTTATCCTTTCCATCTTCAAATTGGTACAAAAGAATTCTTGAATGAACTTGTGCGACGCTTCCCCGAACGACCTGCGGTAAAGTATAATTTATATATATATATATAACATACATACAGATATATGGCACAAATATGTTTCCAATTTTAATTTCTCCCTTTTTATTTTTTTTATTATAAAAATGAACATAGCCATTTCCAAGTCCTGTCATTCAACGTATATTGTATCTAATCAAGGAATGGAAAGTAGCTCTCACTGACATGTCACGTCATAAAGATGATTTGGTACACATTAAAGATATGTATCGACTTCTTCGATTCAAAGGTAAGAAGAAGATTTCAGTTGAATGAGGAAGAATTATTTTGTATTTATTTTCAATTGATTTATTAGGTTATAGATTCCCAGATTTACGTGACTCTTCTATAGCTGCCTTAGCTCCATCAGAGGTAACGTATACAATATATATATATATATATATATATATATATATATATATATATTTAATGAATAACTTGACTCATATCAATATCATTATTATTATTTATGACATATAGTCTTTGAAATCAGCACAAGAATTGGAAGAAGAGGATCGTGTGGCTCAATCAGCAGTAAGAACACAAAGAGAAAAGAGGGAGAGATGTATACCTATGTGGCCTAATTATTGGGAAAATTTTGGATTTCTTGTATATTTAATTAGAAACTACAAGAATTGATTCGACGTGGAAGACCTCAAGATTTGGTAGAAGCAAACCATTTGATGAAAATCATGTCTGGTTATGTAAATATAGAGAAAAAGATAAGAAATAGTAGGGTTACCTAATCTTCTGTTACTAACCTAGAATTCCTTACTTATTACTATATTGCTACTTAGGATCAAAGAGCCAAACCTGATTATAAACAAAAATTTGAAGAGGAATTACACAAGATACAGGATAAAGCTATTCTTCTGTATGAAATGTTGGAAAATGTAGCACAAGGTGAACGATTGGATCGCAATGAAACCGTGATGGTAAGAATTAGAAAGGGAGGAGGAGGAAGAAATTAATGAATTTAATATTTTTTTTCTCTTATATTATAGGAATTAAAACATTCATGCCAAAACGCTCAACCAAAGATCCAGAAGATGATTACAGAAGAAGAGGATAATGACAAAATTGGTAAAACATAAAAAAAAAAAAAAGGAGACTTCTTTATTTATTTATTTATATTTTTATTGTTATAGAGAACTTGCTGACTCTCAACGATATGATCAATAACGTAATTGCTAAGTTTGCCGACATTCAAAAAGGAATATATGACACCCAGTATGATATCAGTGGAAAGCCACCCAAGCAAACATCAACCACAGAGGAACCTAGACAGGCAATTAGTTTGATCGATTTGGATGATGACTCGACCTTATCCAACAATACACCTACAGCCTCTGGATCAGCATTGAATGAACTCAGTGACTTATTTGGCCAAACAAATATATCAAGTGTACCAGCTACAATACCCACGATGTCCACCCCATCATCTTCAAATATGACCAGCAATAATCCTAGTGATATTTTTGATTTATTGAGTGGATCCAATGCACCACCAGCTTATTCTGTCGAATCACCAGTATCAGCAACAAATCCCCCAGTATCTGTCTCTCCTGCTTTATCCAACACTTCATTCAATGGTTTTGGATCTCCTAGACAACAACATCAACGGTCTATAGAAAACAACAATAGTAACGATGGCTCACTTTTATCATCGTCTTCTACTAACAGTAATGGATCTGCTCAAACTCATCCTACAAGTAAATAATCATCTACTGTTTATTTCATCCATTATATTTAACCTTTTTTTTTTCTTTTCTTTAATTAGTCGAACTGGTGAATAAGAATGGTTTACGGATTGAACTGGAAGTCAGACAAATTAGTACTCAATGGAAATTCAAGGCATTGTTCTCAAATCAGTCCACTGCACCTATGGAAAACATGACTTTATCGCTCGCGGCACCAAAGGTAATGTATATATATGCGTATATGCAGGAGGCGGGATATATTACTGGAGAAAATACGTTAAAAACAACATTTTGATTCAATTTTTATTTATTATTGTAGTCTATGCAATTGAAAATGGAAACTCAATCATCCCAAGTGGTACCTCCTCATTCACAAAACTCGGTCACTCAGTTTATTCTTCTCAACAATCCCAACAATGAAACTTTACGTCTGCGGTACAAGGTCACTTATCAACAATTTGGTGTGGATATGGAACAAACTGGCGATTATCGTGCATAAATGATTCTTATTTTTACTCTTGCTTCCCTATTTTTGTTATTTATATACACCTATTACATTTTTATATCTATTTGATTAAATAAAAGAAGAAAAGTGTCTATTTTGAATCCGTTCTGTTGTCCATCTTACTCGTTTTATTATATATATATATATATAGTTACGTGTAACTTTTTGTTTTGATTATTTCCCTTACAGCATCTCATCAATCTTCTATCATCAATTAGTACCACTCACCTTACATTATCTAGTCATTAATGGTCAATTCAATTCAATCAATATCATATATCACGCTTCCTTATCACGTACGATGACCAAACAACAATCACCCACACAAAAGTAAAGCAACCAAAAAAAAAAAAAAAAAAAAAAAAAAGGTCTGATCTAAACTGGGTTACATACAAGATCTCCTGTTTATTTTCAGTCTAAAGACAAACTAATAGATAAATCAAACTAAACACGCTGTGTTCTATATAGTATATTGGGAGAAAAGAATGCTTTGAAAGAAAAAGGAAACAAATATATACATATATGTGTAATAAGAAGGATTCAAATTTCTTCACAGGGTATCATTTCATGGGTTTCTTGTTCTTGATCTGTCTTGATATTTTCTTGGTCTTGTAAAGAACCAAAGTTCACGGCAAAGAAGCCTGCTACCACCAAACATGCACCGATGGAATACTGTACACCAGGTAAAATATGTTTCAATACAACATCACCTACTAATGCCAACGGGACCTTTTCTCACATAAGGAAGAAAAAAAAAAGTTAATATTATATCTAGCATTACGATTCCTTTTTTTCTTTCTTTCTTATTATTATTACCGTTAAAGTGATTCCCAATGTCACCACAAGGGGGGAAGTCATCAGCATAGCTAGTAACCAAAGGTAATCAGATCTATGGTGAATTAAAAAAAAAAGGAGTACATGTTATTGGACTTCGCACATATTGAGTGTTATATTGTTTTCACACTTACAAAAAGGTCCCAATGAAAGCATTCAAACTAATCATGGTCCACAAAGTTGAACTGTAGGGAAAAGAGAAGGTTTCCACACCTGTCCAATGCAGAATGAAAAAGAAAGGCCAAAGCATCACCACATTAAACAACCCAACAAATCCAAAGAACGTCGGCATATCGATTCTTGATTCGTCACCAATCCTTAATTTCAATAGAACCGTATAACCACCATAGAACATCGCCCCTGCCAATGCAAAGAAATCACCTACAAGTTTGTTGTGATGATTCATACCGTTATTCTGACTTGATGTTGCTGATGTTGTTGCTAACTGATCTGACCAAGATACAAGTATAACGCCAATGAAACTAATAATAAATACATCCAACAGAAATATGAGAATTCCACTTTGATCATATCATTCTCTTCTTCCGTAACTTTTTTTTCGTACCTGATGCCAACCGAGAATATCTTGATCCAGTTGAACTTCTCTACCTTAAGAAGAACTCCGAAGGTCAATGTGAATAATCCTTAGAAAAGAAAAAAGCAAGAATCAGTCTATTTAATCTTTTCATTTCTTTATATAAATTTTATAATCTACCTGACATGGATGACAAAAGAGTAGAACTACCCACCGTCGTATAAGCCAGACTTGCATTGGTACAGTAATTCGCAAGGAACCAAAGAACACAAAAATAAGAACTGAGCTGGATCGTTTCCTTAAGAGTCATCTTGTTGGACAATATTGAAACAGTAGAGTCATCTCCAAAACCGTTTTCACCAATCTAAAAAAAAAAAAAAAAGAAGAAGAATAATGGAAAACATGGAACAGGTAAGGGACAGATATTCGTATACATATATATATAACAATGACATTACATTATCTCGTTCCTCTAGTTCTTCTTCATCCAATAGTCGTTCCGTTATTTCTGAATAAGATCTATCGGTTCAAAAAAAAAATACATTTAGTTTTCTAATTATTTGTTGTTCTTATCGACAATATATGTGTACTTGCGTGTCAGTAGTAGGGACTGTCGTTGTTTGAGTATGATAAGAATGTCGTAAGTAAGAGATGGCAACTGGAATAAGATAGACTGAAAAGGTGGAAGTACTATAATACGTAATAAAAAATGGTCGTTCGAAATCTTGATCTCCAAAGATGCTCTATAAACAATCAACCGAATATTAACTGAATGATATCCTTTTTCTTTTTCTTACGCACATTGGTGACAAAGGATGTGGCTACCCAAATGAAAACAACCACTAAAAGAGTCAATATTCCAAAATAATAACGTCGTCTCTTGAAATGTTGTATAGGGTGATTTGACATGAGATGTTCATTGAAAAACGAAAAAGAAAAGCAAAGGAGAGAGAAAAAAAAAGTAAAAATTAAAAAAAACGAACTTTTTATTTAGATGCGGTAATTGAAAAAAGTGAGAAAAGACCAAAAGTATACCATTCATATTGAATCCAGATGCATAAAAAAGAAAGATGATATATATAAAAGTATATGAAAGGAATGGAGTATAATGATAATAGTAAAAAAAAAAAAAAAAAAAAAAGGTATGTATAGAAAAAGAATGTGTAATAATAAAAAAAAAAAAAAGGTAGTCTATGCTGAGGGTATCATTCTAAAAGGGTTAAATCCATCTTTTTTTTTTTTTTTCTATTAGAAGACCGAGGTACCACCATTGTCATCATAGATATAAAGGGAATCATATGAGGGTAATCTTGTGTCTTCATATACTGGTAGAGATTCTTCATATTCCACATTGCGCATAAACGTTGGTAATGGAAGGCAAGGTCTTGTATCACTTGAATCATCAAAAGGGGTACGATAGGTAGCATATACTTGAAGTTCTTCGGAAGCTCGGATTCCATATCCAAGTGTGCCAATCTTGATGGGTAATTCCAAATGAAGGTTATCTTTGGTATTGGAGGATGGTAATAAGCTGGACAATATTGTCTTTTTCCCGTGGAATCGGATGATCAATTTATAGTTGATTGACGCCATATCGCTATAAGTAAATGAGGGAATGGTGTCACAAGGTATAGGCAGTGCGAGTTGAATCCGAGTATTGTTGATGATGGCTGCGGTAGATGATGATTGTTGTTCTTGTTGTTGTTTTAAAGAACAGATGACACGTCGAGTCGTCTGATCCATACTTCTAATTGTTTGATGTAATTCCATATGGATTGCTGAGTACACTAGATGAGTAGGAACCGTTACATCGATCAAGATCGTATCGTTTGCTACATAATCCAATGCATGAGTTGAAACAATGACATTATCTCCGTTGTTGCAGGCGATGTGTTGTACCAATGGTGTTTTAAAGAGACATGTTTCAAGAAAAGGCATTAATGTAACTTCCTTTCCAATGGTAGCCAACAATATATCACCGTCATCATCATGAGGAGCTTGATCCAAATAAACAGTCAACATGAAATAACATACATAAATGTCATCACGTATAGAAGGAGGAAATTGAATCATTGGTAACTGAAGAGTGAATGGAAACGCATACTTTTGTCCAATGGCCAAATCGAAATCTTTTATTTCCCAAAGGGTACGTTGTACTCCAAAGAACTGTACGCGACGCTGTGTAGAAAGTGTATCACGGTTTCTACTTCTCTCTGATCCATGGAACACTACACGTAATCGATCAGCTTTGGATAATAGCGACGGATCCTTGATTTCCATTTGAACTTTGCCTATCAATGAAGCATCATCATCGCAAAAAAAAAAAAAAAAAAAAAAAAAAAAAATGAATGATATTGAACTATGGATGATGAAATGTCATCCTTTTTATAATACCTTGAATAACAGATCCAGGACCGAAAACAGGTTCATCCTTGATGGCCCAGCCAAATTCAGGTTGCAATTGAATAGATAATTGTATTTGATCTGTTTCTAAAGACATGATCTTTGATAATATATATAAGGAGATAGAAAGAGAAGTAAAGAAAAAAAAAATGAATCGTCGCTTGAATTTTATTTTATATGAGATGCCAAGTATGGAAGACCAACTTGGCAGCGACAAAAGCACATTGGCGCCAAAAATCTTTGGTATCAAAGAAGATTTTCAGTATCCGCAGTTTTTGTTGTCAAGGAACCGACCAAGTTAGGACATTTCCTTACCTTCGGTGAAAATTGCGCCAATGAAAATCGATGATTTTTTTCATACGATAAACAAAAAAAAAAAAAAAAAAAAAAGTAAAAGATGATGATAATGAGTATCCATAATAAACCCGGTAACAAAAAAAAAAAAAAAAAAAAAAAAGAAAAAGAAAAAAAAAGCAGTAACACGGAAATCATCCTTTTTGTTGGTATTTCTCTATTTGTCAAGAAATAATAAAAAAATGTGTGAAGATCGATGTGATAGCCAAGTGAGAATGCCAAGATTCCAGGGACTGGGTAAATTCCATCGGCATAAAGCCACTGCCAATGTTGATCTTTCGATCTTCTTTACATGATGAATGGTATGGATACATTGAATTCATTTTCTTTCTTTCTTTCTTTTTTTCTCTACCTCTCTCTCACTCCTTTGTTCATAGTTTTTTTTTTTTTTTTTACAATAAAGAAATCTAATCATCGTCAAAAAAAGGTGATCCTATTTTTAGAATGAAATACCCAACTCGCTGAGAAGATTAACATACCCAACTGGAACCACTTTGCCGCAGTCGCACCAAGGAAAGAAACTACGATTATGTGGAGAAAATCATTGGGTTGTGCCACATTGCATGGACAATACGCCGACAAAAAAAAAAAAAAGGCATGGACAATACGCCGACAAGGTATTAAAAAAAAAAAAGAGATGATTTGGTTACACATGTCAGGATATTTTCACCATGTGAGTAGACGTTTGGTTGTTTCATATTTGTATGCTTGAATCCTTTTATTATGAAAATAATAAATATATATAATAATAATAATAATGATGATGATGATGAATAATCGAAAGGAGGAATGCTAAATTATACAAATGATGATGATATGGAAAGGGGTATAGAATTGGTGATATCAAAAAAAAAAAAAAAAAAAAAAAAAACTACAAAGTAGAATGATAAATTAATATATGATATAAACTACAATACAGACGAGATTACAGTATGAGCTTGATAATCAGGGAGTCGGTCAGAATCATAAAGAGGTAAAGCATCTTCGTATTCCACAGCTTTCATAAATTTTGGACGTAATTGTTCAGTAGTTGTTGAATCCGCACAATAAACCAGTAAATCCGAACAGGATCGTACACCAGCACCTAAAGTACCCACTGTCAATGGCCATTCTTTCGTCAGTTCTTGAGCCCACATACCCAATGGTCCTTTTCGTTTCACTGTCAGAACAAGTCGATAGGTTACTGAGCACAAAGCACCGTATGTAAAAGTAGGAGTGAGATTGTCAGGAAGGTCCAATTCCAAAGAAGATGAATATGTCACTGATGATGATGATGATGATGATTTGCTGGAGGAGACATAAACAGGTGATAGTTTTTTACTGGTAGAAGCCACTATTCTAACAGAACTAGGTATATCATCAAATACTAAAGGTGTGATTGTTTGATAAACTTGAAGAGAGACATCCAATTGCTTTTTCGATGATGATGAAGATGATGATGTTGAACTGATAGTAAGAGAACCAAGGATGCAGTCACCTGGTACATAGCACAAAGCATGCAATCGAGTTGTCAACGTCAAATCTGAATCTTGTTGTTTGGATACCAAAGGTTGTTTTAATAATTGTGTTTCTACAAAAGGCATATAAAGCATTGATTCCTCAGAATAAAAAAGAGTATTGTATCCAGAAGGACCCGTTGATGATTGTTCTTCCACCACAGCAATCAATTTGAATGAACACTTGTATGTTTCATTATCCATCGTAGGAGGATATTGTATTTGAGGCATTTGTACTGTGAATGAGAATTTATATGTGTCAGCATCCAGCGATCGAAGTCCATCCTTGCTTTCCCAAAGTGTTTGTTGAACAGCAAACAAAGGCGTATGCTTGGCACGAAGAACACCTGGAGTGATATGGAACGGTACAAGAGCTTCTTGGCCTTGAAAGACAAGTCTTACTCGATCCATCATCAATGTTTGTGATAAAGATAATTCAACATGACCTAAAAAAATAATAAATAATATAAGTTGTTAGTAATATTATTCATTATTATTATTATTATTATTATAATAATAATAATAACAATTACCTTGAAAAACAGAGCCAGGACCAAAAACAGGTTGACCACGTACAGACCAACCAAATTCTGGTAGTAAATGTATAGAAAGAGACATTTCTAAAATGAGTCTAGAATATAAATAAAATATATAAAGAAAGAAAGAAAAAGAAAAGAAAATAACAAAAAAAAAATTGAGTTTTATACGTCTATCCGATTCGCCGGCTTTTGATTGGACTAAGGATTTTGTTGTACAGCAAATGTGTCTATGTACCATTTCACCTTTCCGCAGCAAAAGGTAATCCGATCGAAATGTCCACAAATAGAAAAATGGTCAATGTCTATTTGTACAGCTGATGAACAAAAAGGTTTTATTATCTAGATCCTAAAAAAAAAAAAATTAATAGTCACTATTTCATATAGACTTATAGTAACCATGACAAATGATGATCAATTTTCATCATCATCATTTCACAAAACAATGACACATAAATGATAATAATAAATAAAAAAAAAAGTAAATAACAAATAGTAATAATTAATAATAATAATAATAATAATAAAAAAAAAGAATTTGTTTATTGAATATATTTGTGAAGGAATCGTCTATGGAAATCAGAACGTAACATATCATTAACAAAACGTTTGTTTGGTTTTTCATCGGTTCCTCGAGCTTGATTCTTGAAGATCACATCGTCATCCCATCTATAATAATAATAATAATAATAATAATAAAAGTGAGTATGTTTACCCTTGTGAAGAATTTCCTTCCTATTTTCGTAAATATATATCATCATTGTCACCCTTTGGTGTGACTGAAACATCCATTTTCTCTTACCTTCGTTTGACACTGAAGTCACGTTGTTGTTCTCCAATCTGTAATAATGGATTCCCTGTCATAGCTTGTTCATCACGTTCAGCTGCTTCTTGTTCCAATTTTTCACGTTCCTGTCGTTCCTTTTCTTCCGCACGTTCTTTTCGGATTCGTTGTAATGTGGCCAATAATTCTGCTGTATTTTCATCATCATCACTTTCATCTTCGTCGTCACTAATAAAAGAAAATCATATAAGTATCAAAATAGTTTATTATTGTCATTTTATTTTTTTATTTTTTTTTTACCTATCATCACTATCGTCATCATCATCATCATCATCATCATCACTTTCTTCCTTATCCAATGCTGCCATCTTTTCTGCTTCAGCTAGTAGTCGTTGCCGTTTTGTTTCTATATCTTCAATACTATCCATCTGTTGTTCCCCTCCACCTCCACCTCCATCATTGCCAGTCAATAAACGATCAGAAGCTGGACCATTTTTGCCTTGAGATTGATAATATTCTTGTTCTGCTTGTCGTAATTCTTCTTTCAATCGTTCACGATCTCCAATTTCTGCAGCTGTACCTTGTCCAGGTTGTCTATTATAAGAAAAAAAAACGATATATATATAAATATTACTGAAACTCATCCTTACATGTATATTAACTTTCTTTTACCTGAATTTGAGTTTTGTATGAGAAGCAATATCACGAGCACTATATTGGAAACTAGGAGCCTTGCTGTCATTACCTCTAGCAGGATCAAATGTAGGACGAGCAGCCGTAGTCTTAAAGTAGATTAAAAAAAAAAGTTTTGTTAATATCATACTATTGATTCCATTTCTCTTATACGTTGTATACATCATGTATTCCATTTCTTATCTAACTCTTTTTGATAATAATTTTACCATAGTAAAAACTGTATGATATGATTAGACTTAAAAAAAAAATGAAAAATAAAGAAAAAGGATGAACAAAATTAAAGAGGAAAAAAGGAAAAAAATATTCCTTTATGTAAACAAAGGAAAGAAAATGTACTGAGATTTAGACCTCCGCATCCAATCAAAGGTAAAGAACTTATTTTTATTTTAATCAATCATAACTATAAGACTAAAAACGATGATGATCATAATAATAATAATAATAACAAAAAAAAAAAAAAAAAAGATAAGCTAAAATGATAGATTCATCGGATGGATAGAAAGAAAAAACTGAGTATTATTGAAAAGAATTAGTATATCTTGCAACGGCCTGTGTGGCTACATTTTGACTAGCATCATAAAGTTCTCTGGGTAACAAGAAACGACAAGAGTATTCAATATCACGGGGCATCAAAGTAGGACGACGTTGTTTCTTGGCCAAATCCACAGCTTCATCGATAATACGATTGAATAGAGACCTTACGATAGAGTTTAAAGCATAAAGTGAAGCTGCCGCTATCTTGCAACTAGGATGGTATTCTTTCTGAATAGTACGAAGGTAAGTATCGAATTTGATTTTACGTTTCGTCCGGATTTTTCTTCCAGCAGCTTTTCTACCTGTTGTTGACGCATTACTACCTTCACCTTGTACTATATAAGAATAATCAAATAAGTTTCTTTTTTTTTTTTATATATAAAGTTTACCTTCTTCTGATGGTTGAGCTTCATCCATATAATCATCATCATCTTCATCTTCAGAAGACATCAAATGATCATCAATATGATCATCATTTATATCATATCCACTTTGTTGAGAATTAGATGACATCACTCTTACTATGTATTTTGAATATAAAAGGGAGAAAAATGAAAGAGAGAGAGAGAAAGAAAGAATGAGGATGACGAATCTTTTTTCTTTTATATATAAAACTATAATAATAATAAAATAAAAAAGATCACCTGGTTGATTTATGTTTCTGAATGAAATCGATCTAATATAAAGAAACTGTAGTCAAAGAAAAATCATCATCGACTGACTACCTTTTCGATTAACAATGCAAACATTGAAAATTAAACCCAGCTGGCTCATTGTTTATTTCATTTTTCTTTTCTTTGTATTCTTTTTCTCTTCCTTTCTCTTTCTTTCTTTCTTTCTTTATATATTCTTTTTTTGTTTCTCTTTCTTTCTACTCATTCTTTTTTTTTTTTTGAATATCTTTTGAAAACGTAAATTCAACCAATGTCATCCTCTAACAACAACAATCACAACAACAACAACAACAACAATAATAACAACAACGGAAACAACAATAACAGAAATAAAAACAATAGCGTTTTGGCAGCTACTACCGTGAAGAAACAAAGAACGTCAGGATCGGTACGTGCAGGACTCAACTTCCCAGTAGGTAGGGTGAATCGAATGATACGGGAAAGCAGATATGATGTACGTGTCAAGAAGGAGACGCCGGTGTATATGGCAGCTGTCTTGGAATATTTGTCTTCAGAAATACTCGAAATTGCTGGTAGAGAAACCGTTGATGCGAATCGAAAGGTGATTGCTCCCTATGACTTATTGGCTGGTATTCAAGGTGACAGAGAATTGAGTACTCTTCTTGGTAATGCTGGTTGTATCCATATTGCAGGCGCTGGCTGGGTCACTCCTCCTCAATCCGTGTTGGCTGAATCTGGATCTCCCGTTCAATCAAATGGTTCTCGTTCAATTGGTCATTCTACGGGGAAGTCTACTACTGCTGATTGATAGGTTGTGTCTCTATGTGGATCATTGCTAACTTTTGGTTGGATTTTATTTTCTTTCTCTTTTTTTTTTTTTTTATAGTGTAGTATCATTTACTTTATAGTCTAGCGTAATCTTTTTTTTATCATTCTCTTTCTTAGTACATATCTTTTTCTTTTTTTATGATGATGATTCCAATCTCTTTTTTTTTATATCTCCTTTTTTTTTTTTTTTTTTTCTTTGAAAATCTTCACTTCTTTTTATATTAAATATTCCACCATCTTTATATCTCAATAAATAAAAAAAATACCTTCTTTTCTTCTCTATTCAAAATTGATTTGAAATGATACAATTTTTATTTAGTAAAATGGATGAATGATTGTTTTACCAGAGATGTTAATATTAACGTAATGACGATGATGGTAACAGGATATGAAACCAACCACTTTAAATTCCGCTAGCATGAATATGACGGATGATCTTATGATAAATATGAATTATATGATGATGATGATGATGATGATAAATAACACATTAAGGGTTACATTCCTATTATGAACTTTTTTTTTTGATGTTCTTAAAAAGTCAATTGAAGAATTCAATAATATAGAAAGGGCATCATTTATAGAATGGAAGTAAAAAGCTTAATCACAAGATGATTCTCTTACTTGGATGATTCATCTATAATGTTGAAATCAGATTGATGGACAAGAATAGCGAAAAAATTTTACTATATTTGGGATGACTTCTAGGTTTGGAAAGTTACATGAGGTAGCTCCTCATATGTCAAATCGTCTAATCCAAAATTGGAAATCGGGAATCAACCCTAGTGTGTTGATTCTCGGCATCCGAACGTCCCCGCAGCAAAAGAAGAAAAAAAAATGAAAATTTCTTATCTGATGATGGTAAAATCTGAAAATGGGATCATTGAAATGAACAGATGAGTTCCTACCAATGACAATGATCCAACTGATGATCCAATATAGTAGAACATGATGATTCATTCATTATAAATAATAATAATAAGAATAACAATAATCTGTACAAAAAAAAAAAAAAATTAAAAGAAAAAGATGATGTTTTATTTGATACGTTCAAAAAAAAAAAAAGGAGTGAGGAGTATGTAAATAAACAAATAATATATACAGGTATAAATGTAAAAGATCAAGAGAAGGGAGTGGTATATAAAAATGTACAATAATGAGAAGACCTAGAAAGTAAATCCTTGTTCAGCTGCCCACAGAGTAGCCAATTGAGTCAAGATAGGCACAGAAGCTTCAGGAATATCACAAAATAGCATTTGATTCATGATTTCTTGTTTCTGATCCGCCCACATTGCACTATTACCACCAATCTCCATGATATGTACTGGTTCTGATAATTCCATAGCATAACGTTCATATACCAAGGTAAGTTCTGGATAATAATCTTGATCAGAAGAAGACACGACAGATGATAATGATTGGAATACAACAATCAAAGAAGGAGCAAAAGGAAAAAGACCAGTATAAGGTACATTGGGTTGTAAAGGCATACGATTTACACATTCATTCAAAAATAAAGTTTGGCACCACATTGGTAATTGACCTCCACGTATCACTACATCACGTCCATGATAAGGATTGGTGTATCTGGCTCCAAAAGTATAACTAAATGGAATGAAATTGTTGTGTTGTTGTTGTTCTATCTTTTGTTGTTGTAACATAAATCGTTTCATATCTCCATAATGGAAAGTATCAATAGTTTCTAAACGTGCAGTATCTAAAGAAGGAAAAAGAAATGAGTTTTTTTTTTTTTCATAGAATAAAAAGGAAAAAAATGAGGCTTACCATCCAAAAAAGTAGCATCATTCAAGAATTCTACAGGTAATGTTTTAGGAGAGACTGCCATGGTAGTACTTTTTTGTGATTTGTTGGCCACAAAGACACCTTTACTTAATCGTATAATTGAGCTGGGATCAGCATCCACCTTCATAAGATTACAGTTAAACATTCGATATAATAAACTTTCAGAACGTAATTGTCGATAAGAATACATATCCTTCACTTCTAATGGATTGCTGTTATAAAAGAGCATAGGATCCTTGGATGGTTCAGGCACAAAAGGAGTTGGGAATATGTAAGTTGCAGGTGAGGGTACGACAGCACTGGTAGTATTGTACATTGTTTTCTTGATATTGGTCATGATGTGATTCCAGTCTGCTTCATAATGAATTCGTTTACCATAAGAAGATATGGATGAAACAGAAGATGTTGACGGTGAAGACGAAGGAGAACTGCACAACATATTATCGTTATCAATATTTGTTCTGTTTGTTGAATAATACTGTTCCACTTCATAAAGTGTTTGTCCATAAGGATAAAATAATAGAGGGTCATGTGTAGATGCTGTAGTAGTCATGATGAATAGTTAATAATCAAACGTTGAGATAACAAATAAGAAAACAAAAAGAAAAGAAAAAAGAAAGAAAGAAAGAAAAGAAAAAGAAATGAAAAAAAAAAAGATTTGCCACTCCCTTTCTTTTATATATACATATATGATGATCCCTTCCCATTGCTCCCCCCGAAAAAAAAAAAAAAAATCATTTCCATTTAAACACAGCTTTCACGCTTTCTCTTAATGTTTTGGTTTCTCGATTGTATTCACTTTTTTTGACTCAATTTTGATTTCCCTTCCCGGTTAACTCCCAAGTCAAACCGAACTCCCGCGCGCACTTACCAAATCATCAAAGGAATGAATAATTTTAACATTCATAAATCTTTTTTTTTTTTTTGTTTATCAGTTCAAATAGGATTAAAAAAATTTGTTTTGTTAAAGGATTGAAGAAATTTTTTTTTTTTTTTTTGTTTAGGAAAAAGGATCATGTTTTACATTTTTTTGATCTTTTGGGTATCTCTAACGCAATCATCGATGATTTATGGTAAGGATGTGTTCGTCATGTACTTCCTAATTTAGTAATCTGATCTCGCACGACCAAGTTTCTTTTATTTTTGGGGGGGATGGAAAAGTCGCCGAATCATAAATTTCTGTACTATGGATCAGCATGGAAAAAATGACAAATCAATGGATGGCTTACAAATGCAACCCTAAATCTCCTTCCCCCATTAAAATCATTGAAAATTTCAAACCCATTAAATCTCATCCAATAAATCAAAAATAGTTTATTTGGTACATTGAAAACTAGTCTTTTTTTTTTTTTTTTTTTTTTTTTTTTAGTATTTTTTCCCTTTAGATTGACTAGTAGTAGGTAATATCATTGTATGAAGTTCACCTATAGTATCAAGAGCTACTACATTTTTTTCATTTAATCGTATCTCACCACCATCATCCTTATTTGAATCCAGTACCATGTGACGCATATGACCAAGACCATCCACGCCAATCATGTTCTTTTGCTTTCTTTTAGGAAGAGGTTTACTGACTATCTCTTCCTGTTGTTTTTCTACTTCCACTTGTTGTTTCATCATTGGTACCACTAGAGTAGGATTCTTCACTAGATGATTTTGACGATAACGACGACGTTGTTGAGGTGGATTTCTTAATCCAGTACGAGGAGTGTTTTGTCTACCATTGACACCTTGATCAATTTGATCCAGATCCAATGCTGTTCGATGACTCGTTTTGTATGCAAGTGAAGCTAATACTTGTTCATCATCCATCATTGATACATTCGCATCTTCCATGCCTACTGGTTCCCTCCATCGTTGAAACGGTACAAATTTTTTGTTGGCTTGATAATCTATTTCCATCGGTAATTTCTCCATACCTACCGCATTTGATCGTTTGATGATCATTGCTTTGACTTGTAATATAAATAATCCAATGATCACAATTACGTTACTAAGATACATCTTAACTTATTTTTTTTTTTAAAAAAAAAAGAAAGAAAAAAGAATATAAGAAGAGTAAAGAAAAGAATAATAGCTGAAATTGGATATCCCTTTTGTTTGGATGAAAAGGATTGCCTTCTTTTTTTTTAAGAAAAAAAAAAACATCCGGTTATCAATGAAATGATGATTGGAATGATATCAAATGAATAGGAAAGTTTTTTTTTTTTTTTTTTTTGATGTTTGTTATATTTCTCTTCTTGTTCCTGGCATCAAGTGGATGCCCCCCCCCTAATCATGCCTCGGTAGTTCAAAAAATAAGGAAGAAATAAAAAAAAAATCATCATCTAATATGGAAGTATATTAAAGATAATGCCATTGATATAACAATATTCAACAAGTAATAGTAATTGGATTCATTTAAGCCGAGGAGTTTGAAGTCTTTGGTTATGAAAATGGAATTTTTTTTTGTTAGTTCTTTTACTTTCCTTTTCTTTTCATTCTCCCACACTTTTTTTTTTCCCTTCTTTTTCTTCTTCCGATCCAAGTTGGTTCGAACGTCACTTTTTGGTTATTCCTTCAGTTTAATGGTATGTCTTTAATGTCCTTGTCATTCTTGCCTATAGTCAAGAATAAGAAAAATAAGTAGTGTATTGAATAATATTTGGATACTAATCTATTTTTATTGTTGCCTTCTTTTTTTATTTCAAGATCCCTAATCAAGTATATAGCGTGTTTTTTCTTTTTCTTTTTGTTTCTTTCTATATCTCTGGTCACTTTCCTTTTTTTTTTTTTTTTTTTTTTTTTGGTAAGTCTTCTCTTCTCTTGTTATCTAGTTTTATGTTGATGATTGTTTGACCTTTTCTTTTTATACATATTTACATAAATAGAGTAATATCATTATATATTAGGATGAACGACTAAACAGCAACCGAATATCACTATGTCAAATTGAAAGGATATACAAAATACGGGATCAACTGTGAAAGTATAGCAATAGGAATTAATTATATGGATATACAGTGTTTTCAAAGTTTTTTGTCGGGTCACAAGAAAATGCTTTTCGTGATGTTATAAAATAAAAAATCGTATTTTCCCAAAATGGATGTCGCATTACCACTTTTTCAGATTTCGCTTTAGAGATGTCGGTAGAGTACATTAAAAACACACAACACATTGATGATAACTTGTTTATTAATAATAGAAGACACAAAAGAAAAGTAACATAGGCTTTTCATATTTTTAGCAGCTTTGGGTGTTGTCCATTCTTTTTTAGGTATCAATTGATTGATGATTCACGATGGATGATTCATGATTGATGATATGTGATAACGGATGATTGTATATTGGATGATTACAGGATGGATGATGGATGATTATAGAATGGATGATGGATGATTGTATGATTGTATGATGGATGATGGAACATTATGATCAGTCACTGTACAAATTTCTGATAAAATACAAAATACTTCATTCTAGTTACCTTCTGACAGAACAACATTTTCTTTTTCTTTTCTTTTTTTCTTTGAAAAATGTCAAAACACTCTTTTATCAGCCAACATGATAAATCAATATAATAATGATGATTCATCACATCAAGGGAAATTAAAAAATGGCAATAATAAGTATGCTGTGCACAATCATACTATCATTTAAAATAGAACAACTAAAAAAAAAAAAAAAAAATCTAGTCATTAAACTAAAACACGGCAAAAACAAGTCAGTACCATGTATCAGTTAGTACATGGATATTGTAATAATAGAATTTAAGGTAGAACATCTATGTAATTAACTTTATTATAAAGAGAGAAATGTTGCTAACACTAAAAAGAAAAAAGAAAAAAAAATGATGAAGTAGATACTAAAAAAGACAATGATAAATTAAATACAATAGAAAGAGAGAAATGTTGCTAATACTAAAAAAAAAAATGATGAAGTAGATACTAAAATAATAAAGTAGATACTAAAAAAAAATGATGATGAATTAGATACGATATAAAGATAGAAATGTTGCTAATATTTAAAAAAAAAAAAAGATAAAACTCGCTTACATCTTGTCTCATCATTTTATCAACTAAAATTAGTTCATAATTGCACGAGTGATTCATTTTCTTATAAAAGGATCCCTTTGATTTAACTTTTTTTTTTATTTCTTTACATTATATTCATCTTTTTGGCCTACCTGCTTACTTTTTGATCTGCCTTCTTTTTTTTGCCTATCTTTTTCCTTACAAGCATCCTTTAATAACTCAACCACCTCTGTCTGTCTCTCAATTGATCTACTTCTTTTTTGTTTTTGGGCTTGACCGTGGTCGCTAATGCGCATTTGCGTGGTTACGGTCAGCCTTTTTTTTTTTTTATTCAATACAAATTCCGGGATGGTTATCGCCATCCTACTTTCGCTACGGCGATCTCGTTACACTTAAATGGTAAGCTAGTGAAATATTTTTATCTGGATAAGTATTACTCATTTTTTATTTTTATTTTTTTTTATATATATGTTAACTTGGTGAACTCAATTGGTGGATTTCCTTTTTTTTTTTTTTGATTACTCTTTTTTTTCATGATATCTATTTTCTTATATTCTCTATTTGATTATGCGACAATTATATTTTTTTTCTTCTGTCATTTATTTTCTATCCTTACGATATTTTATTTCCTATTTTTGCGTCATCTTATTCTTTGAATTCCGTCATTTATTATTGAATAAAGTGTATTCGTACAACAGGAATTCTTTTATGATCTGCTCTTGATTTTGGTTGATCCCTCTTTGATTCGACTCTTATCATGGCCCATGTTTTATCAGTTTCCAGTATTAGTTTTAGTAGTATGTACGTTATATATATATATAGCGTATCATCTATTTACATTCATCATTAATAAAATCATATTTGTTTATCTCATTGCCATCTTAATACATTGTTGTTTTTATTATTTGTTGTCAGTGGAATTAACAACATCAATCACCATCGATGATTATTGGTTACTCTTGTACTTCTATAAAGCTATTATCACACAAGCGAATTTTCCATCATCTTTTGTTGTCGAGGGATGGATCAAAAATTATATGATTGACTACAGGAAACGAGCATCTTTTATAATATAGACCTGATGTTCGTTGACGATGGATTGGACTTCTCTTTTTTTATCGTTAGTACTACCGTCATTATAAAAAAAAATCATTTGATTGAATAAAAAAAAAAAAAAAGTAAAATGGGTGTCAAAAGATAGTAGTAACCTTTTTCATTGTTAGTTTGTGTTCAGGGTCTGTGATTGGCCGAAATCGTCAATAGGAATCAGGGGTAGCATAATTAACGATACAACAATAAAGTTCTGTCAGAATAAAAAGGTGATCAACGGAATAAGATAGATTACTTTTTCTCATAATTAAACCATCTTACTATACATTGTTTGATTCATTTGTTGTTGTTTGATGATGGACTCTACTACAATTACAAAAGCATTAGGTACAATAACAGCTTTATTTGTGGTAAATTATGCATATCGACGGTATACATCTATTCTTTCCAATGCTCCGACACCTAAAATTAATAATTTCTGGATCACTTGGTTTGGTATTGTCCCTCCTCCTAGTGATGGTGATGATGATGTATCTCAATTCTTAATTGAATCTGGACAAGATCAACATCAAAGTCCTATTAGTGTTTGTTTCTCAATCATGGGTAAACCTCTTGTCTTGGTGAATACTTTGAAAGGAATCAAAGATGTATTGATTGATGGTCAAGCAAGAAATAAAAAGTTGGGGCCTTGTGTACAACGTGGTGAGATGATTTGTCGACTTCATAGTTTAGTGTTTGGCGGGCCAAGTATTAATAACACAGTGGGTCAGGTAAAAAAAAAAAAAAAAAAAAAAAAAAAAAAAAAAAAAAAAAAAAAAAAAAAAAAAAAAGCATGAGTGAAACATATAGGGGCGGATATTGAATTCTTTTTTTTTTTCCATATATAAAAATATAAAAAGGATTGGGCTTGGCGACGACATGTTCTTTTACCTCCTTTTCAACCTCGACAACTCGTTCCTAAATTGTTACCTTATGTGGCCGAACAAGTGACTGATGTTTTGAATCTTTTTGACCAGCATGCTTCACAAGGAACTGCTTTAGAACTCGATAATGTTTTTACTGATCTTACTATGGGTGTCATTAACTATTATTTATATGGTCGACGAGATTTGAAGTTTGATATGGTTGGTGGGCGCTCCAACCTAAAGGTAACAATATTCATCTTTTTTTTTTTTTTTTTTTTTTAGAGATTCATTTATATTATCTTTATTTTTTAGCACGAACATTTGAAACTTGGTTTAGGCTTCCAATCCCTTGAAGCATGGCTTCCTTTTGGATTGAACAAAACTAACTGGGCTCAACGTGCATATGGACCAGCTCGTGAACGACTTAAAGATTTTATTCGTGATTCCTTGAATTTGGCAGAAGAAGAACACAATCAACGACAAGAAATACAAGGAATTTCAACCACATCAACTTATCATTGTGTTGCAGCGGCTGCTCTGGATAGTGGCAAATATGATCATGATCGTGAAGCTTTGGTGACTGATTTGTTATCCTTAACATTTGCGGGTTATGACACGACGTCACATACATTATCATTTTGTTTTTCTGAATTGGCGAGACATCCAGAACTTCAACAACGTTTATTTAAAGAAGTACGACAGGTGCTTGGTCCTCCTCCTGTGGCGATTGAATCCATTACTGCTGAGAAGCTTGCACAATTACCTTTGGTGACGGCCATGTATCGTGAAACTCTTCGCAAGTATCCTGCTGTGGTATTTATTCCTGTACATGTAAATCGTGATACTTTGGTCGATGGTGTAGTAGTACCTGGTGGTGCAGAAATATGGTGCAATGTACGTGGACTTCAAATGAATTCAGCTATTTTCCCTGATCCTGATACTTTCAACATTGATCGTTGGTTACCTCCTCATAGTGGTTCAAACAGCTCCTTTACTTCCAACTATGGCGACTTTGATAATTTAGCAGATAATGATAATGACGATCAAGCTAGTTTTGGACCTGAATCACAACACCGATTCCCAGATATCACATTTACCTTGGGCCAACATGCTTGTTTGGGAAAGAACTTGGCTATACTTGAATTACGTACTATGATCGCTCTTACTGTCAATCAATTCACATGCTCCTTGAAACCTGGTAATCGTATAGAAACAAAGATTATTCTAACCACCAAACCGAAGAATGGCGTCTGGGTACATTTTAAAAAACGAATTGATTAGAGTTTAGTTTATAGTTTAGATAATTTTGATATGGTTGTGCTCAAATGTGAATAAAATGACGATATGAAAACCTTATCTTTTTTGAACCCCAGTGTTAGCATATTTTTCTTTTCACTTTTTTTTTTTTTTTTTCCTTCTTTTTCCTCTTCTTTTTTTTTTTTTCTTTTTTTTTTTCTTTTTCCTTTCTATATTCTTTATTTATAATCATGGCTTTATCTCCTCTATATATTGGTAAGTAAATATATGATATTGATTTAAGAAACATCACTATTTATTATATACAAACTTTGATATATTTTTTTTACAGGTCATCGTCTTGGTGCTGCCAGTGCCCCTCATACGCTTGAAGTTTATTTAGATTACGTGGTAAAACAGGATTAGAGAAATATTGTAATGTGTTTCAACGTGTTATTCTCATATTTCTCATTACCTTTTCTTTATGTATATTCCTTTTTGTCACTTTTATAGTGCCCATTCTCTGCAAAGATATACAAATCTCTTCGTACTGTAAGTAAAAACAAGAAGAAGGAAAACATAACGCGTGGTTTTTAAAATACTGATTACTTTTACAGCAAGTTCTTCCTTGGTTAGAAAAAGAACATCCCAACAAGGTCCAATTCGTCTTTCGCCATCAAGTTCAACCTTGGCATGCCAGCTCTACATTAGTCCATGAGGCAGCATTGGTGGTGGAACGACTGAGCCCTGATGATTTTTTGACGTTTTCGGATTATCTATTTGAACATCAACGCGATTATTTTGACGAAGCGGTGGAAGCGAAAACGAGACGACAACTTGTTGAACAGATTTCTCACTTGATTGTCTCCACAACACCAGGTTTGGACCAGGAAAAGATCATCCATGCACTGGCCAATGGTACGACAGATCCTGCTTCGGCAACCAATAAGGGGAATAGTGTATCGGCTGATCTAAAATGGCATATTCGATTTGCTCGTCAAAACGCTATTCATGTCAGTCCTACTGTTGCTTGGGATGGTCTTCGTGATGATGCTGTATCTTCTGGATGGTCTCTCTCTCAATGGCAAGATTATTTTACTTCCAAGCTGTGAACTCATTGATCCATTTTATTTTAGTATTTAGTGTTTATATAAAACATTAGTCTTCTTTATCTCAATTTATCATTGTCAATAAAAAAAAAAGTATCAAACAATCAAGTAATTTTTATTTATTTATTTATTTTTTATTTATTTTTCATTTATGTAAAAATACGATATATAAATATATAAATAAATATCCGTGTGTGTACGTATGTATCTGTGTGAATGAAACTACAAATCAATAGATAAATGAGAGGGGGCTAAACTACTATGAATAAAAGTAATGTCATACTATTTATCTATTGTCCAAAAGCTAAATCTAACCAAACATCTTGGAGAAGGCCTTCTTTTCCTTTTGTTTCTTCGCCAGCATTTTTTGTTTCACGGATTGTAATTCACGCTTGATAGCCGCATCTTCAGGATCTCGAGAAGCTGCTGCTTCCAAATCAGTTACTGCACCTTCTTCATCCTTGATCAGAGCACGTGCAAGTCCACGACGGAAGTAAGCCTTGGTGATGTCAGTAGGTTTCAATAACTTTTGGTCGTATTCTAATACAATAGTAGTAGCATCAATGGCAGCCTTTCCTTGTTGTTGTTTGAGTGCACACATGGCTCTATTCAAATAACATGGGATCTTGATAGCAGCAAACTTGACTGGTAAATCCTTGGGATCTTCTTCATCAAACACAGGTTTTTCGTTCAAATATCGGATAGCCTGAAAAAAAAAAAAAGGATGAAATTAGTTAAGAGAAAAAAAAAATTCCTTCCTATCAATTTTTTTTAACCCAACTAATTGAATGATAATAATATATATATGTGTATTTTACCTTATCATATTTCTTTCCAGCTGAAGCATATTCTCCTTTTTTGAAGTATTCATTGCCAATGTTCTTGAGTTTGCCAGCAATTTCCACAAGTTCCATAGGTTCGAATTCAGCTTCTCCTTTTTGATCCTCTAAAAAAAAAAAAAAAAAAAAAAAAAAAAAAGAAGAGTGAGCAATCAATATTTTTTTTGATCATCTTTTCTAAAATAAAGATATTTGGCATATTCAGAAAAGTCATTACCTGGGAAATCTTCATAGACATCACCATCAGCAGGAATAGGAACACCATCATCAGCACCTTCAGCGAGTTCACCACAATCAGCCACAATAACATCAGCCAAAGGTTTGTCATTGGAAGTAGGTTGATTTTCAATCAAACGAACAAGACCTTTACCCTTCAATACCTTCCCAAATACAACATGCTTGCCATCCAAATGTGGAGTGTTGACGGTTGTGATAAAGAATTGTGAACCATTAGTACCAGGACCTGCATTAGCCATAGACAATAAAAAGGGTTGATCGTGCTTCAAATCAAAATTTTCATCAGCGAACTTTTCACCATAGATACTTTCACCACCGGTACCGTTGCCATTGGTAAAGTCACCACCTTGACACATGAATCCCTATAATATAAATCGTAAAAAAAAAAAAAAAAAAAGGAAAGATTAATATTTTCTAAATAACCCTTCCATTGATAAAAACGTAATATGCATATATAATCATCAATTTACCTTGATCACTCGATGGAAGGAGCTACCTTTATAGGAAAGAGGTTTGCCAGATTGACCAACACCTTTTTCACCTAAATATCATACAACAACACAAAAAGTCAGAAGGGTGTGAGTCAAACAAGTGAGTATTACGCGCTTTTCTTTGTCACCATATACTCAATCATATTTTATTTACCTGTACATAAAGCGCGGAAGTTTTCAGCTGTCTTAGGAACAACATCGGTGAACTAGTAATAGAATAGATATCAATGAGTATTAATAGAATAAAACAAGATCTCAAGCTTACCAATTCAAAGACAATACGTCCTTCAGGTTGACCACCAATAGTAATATCAAAGTAACTAAAATAATAGCAAGAAAAAAAAAAAGAAAGCCACGTTAGAACGTTAAGAATCTCTTTTTTATGACAAAAAAAGACATTGAGAAATAAAAAGTTCCTTACACACGAGGGTTAGGCATGGCGACGGGTTTCGTTATTGTTATCTTGACAGAGAGAAGAAAGAAAGAAAGAAAGAAAAAAAAAGAACAAAGAAAATGCTGGAAAACGGGGTTTACAGTTTTTTGGGAGAAAAAAAAAAAAAAAAAACAACCTCAACCGACCCAGCGCTCCTGGAAATCTTCTAGAAACTTTCTTGGACTGCAGCTTCATATACGTCCGTTCAACCTTTCTCAAACAATCCTCTCAGTTGTAGTTATGATCTTTTTTTTTCAAAAAAATATTTGGGAAAGTATTGATGATAGGGTGATATGATAAGCGATAGTAGAATGATACTGTGATTATGGTATGATGGATGATAAAAGTAATAAATGATAGTCATCAAATCTGGACCAAAACCAGTTTTCACAGACAAAAGTAAAAATTTTCGAGATACTAAGATTTTCAGGGCTAAAATTGGGATACGATTAAGTAGAGGAGTTGGAAAATGTTAGCTGTAAAGGCTTAAATTTGATCGTTGCCCTCTTATTTCTTTCTTTTCTTTTAACAATAAAAACGATACTGCTAACAATGAACTTTTTGATATATACAAATCTGGTATGCGACACAGGATGATACTCCCTGTCAAAAAAACGAGTGCAATAACAGTAACAAACATGGTGACAACTGGTAGAAAGACGATGTTTACAAATAGGACTTGGTAATAAACATCTTTGCAAACTGGATTGAATTGAATTAGATTTCGTTTGAAAAAAAAAAAAGATGAATTGCTTGACCAAGGTAAGCGTATGAAAAGGAGAGAACAAAATATGATACATGACTGAAGCTCTTTATGGCGCGTACTTTACCTTTTTAGTGTAGTTGGTCCTTTTTTAATAGGGTAGATTGATATGAATAAAGTGATTTGTACTTTTTTGACAAGGATGATAGTGTGACTTGACTCGATTGATCGTTGACGACTATAAGGATGATGTGAATTGAATTAGTTGATAAATGATGATCGTTGGACCTTTGACTTATAGATTTCTCTTTTATCGGTTGTATATTAGACACAGACACGCTATCAAAATGAAAGACTGGAATAATGTTTGGTGTAGTCTGAAAAGAGATTTTATTTTCTATATTTGATGGATTTCTCACCGGAATTTTTTTTTTTTGTAACAATAAGCTCTTACAACATGAAAGCATCATGGTTGACCAATAGAACGGATTTGTATCAATGATCTGCACAGAAAGACAAAAGGTTCAGGCGGCGTCTTTATCTATTTTATGAACCTAAAAAAAAAAAATGCAATTTTCTTTCTTTTTTTCTTTTATTCTTTCTTTTTTTCTTTCTTTCTTTCTTTCTTTTTTTTTTCTTTTCTTTTTTTCTTTCTTGATCAAAATGGAGACACCAACAGATGAAATCAAAAATGGACCATCATCATCATCACCAATTGTATCAGAAACGTCTATAGTAGCATCTACCAAACCAGACGACGATGATATTACCGCTTACACTACAATGATGATGACAGAAGAGGAAAGAGGATTGGAAAAGAAGTTGTTACGCAAACAAGATATTCGGATGATTCCTTGGTTATCTCTTCTTTACTTGATGTTAAGTTTAGATAGAAACAATATTGGAAATGCACGATTAGGTGGACTGGAACAGGATCTACATATGGAAGGCAATGATTACTACACAGCTTTGACGATCTTTTTTGCTGGTAAGAAAAAAAAAAGATTCATGTATATATATATATTTTGAGAAAGTGAATTGAATGATTATTTTTTTTTAGGATATGTCATTTTCCATATTCCTTCCAACTTGCTGGTGAAAAGGTAAAAAAAAAAAAAAAAAAAAAAAGGTTATACTGAAATGGAATGGTCAAAAAAAAAAAGAAAAAACGCCCTTCACACATGACTCATTTCGATGATACTTAGATTACGACCTTCATTTTGGATCTCCTTTACAATGGTGATGTGGGGAATATGTTCTTTTTGGTACAGTAGAAAAGACAGAAAAAGAAAATAGTCAAGGAGATTTTGTTTGTTTTGTGATACCATCCTCTAACCTTACTTTTTTTAATATATGTCTAGCCAAGCTTTTACTCATAATGCAGCCGGTTTGATTGCTTGTCGATTTTTCCTTGGTATATTTGAATGTGGTGTTGGTCCCTCGTTACCTTTTTTCTTATCCTTATGGTATCAAAAAGATGAATTGGCATTACGTGTAAGTCATAGGTTGATGATTACACTAAAATAAATGATGATAATCTAAAACTAAAAAAAAAAAAAAAAAAAAAAAAAAAAACGAATCATTTCTCCATAGGTGGCAATCTATTTTGGTTCAAGTACGTTGGCGGGAGCGTTTTCAGGTAATAATAATAATAAAAGAAAAAAGAGGAACTTTTTTTGATCATACGTCCATTCAATATATGTTTACTTTTTTTTTTTTTTCCACATGTATATCTTTTCTTTTTTTTAAGGGGCAATTGCATATGGTGTTCTAGCTACTCTTAACGGTGCGCACGGTATTGCAGGCTGGCGTTGGATTTTCATTGTAGAAGCTGTACCTACCATTGCTCTTGGATTATTATCTGTGATGATGATCCCGGACCTACCTACATCAGTGAATCGACGTTGGCTTACATCTGAAGAACAAGAATTAGCGATCAAACGTGCGACTATCAGTGGCAATACGGATAATCGACCTTTCGACAAGAAACAACTTTTTGCAGCATTAATGGATTATAAGAATTGGTTAACTGTAATCATCTATGTTGGTTTGAATGTTGCTCTGGGAAGTTATGCAGTAAGTGATGTGAAGATAAATGATGATCATATACTAAAATAATCAGTCATAGGTGTTTCTACCAACGATTATTCGTGATTTAGGATTTACATCATTAAATGCTCAATTATTATCAATTCCACCTTATGCTGTTGCATGCTGCTTGGTATTCTTAGTTTCTTGGAACTCTGATCGTATTGTACAACGTGGTTATCATATCATGACAATGGCTAGTATAGGTGCCCTTGGATATATCTTTTTATTGGCTAGTGAAAATCTGGGACTTCGATATACGGGAGCTATCCTTGTGGCATGTGGTATTTATCCTATCATTCCTTTGACATTATCATGGTTATCCAACAATCAACTTGGTCATACAAAACGTGGTGTCGCCATTGCTATGGTTTCTATGATTGCTCAAGGTAAATAATAATAACAATAAAGAAAAAAAAAAAGTATCTATTTCATAGGGAAGATGATTGAACTATATCTTTTTTTTTTTTTTTTTTTTTTTCAATCTGTAGCATTTGCCATTTTAGGTACACAGATCTACCGAACTGAAGATAGTCCAAGATTTATCCGAGGTCATGCCGTTTGTCTTGCCTTTATGATTTTAACAGGCTTAACAGCTGGGTTATTACGATTTCTTTTACAGCGTGAAAACAAGAAACGTGATCGCGAGTATGGTATAAATACTATCAAGGATTTGTCTAGTTTGCAGGATATTGATATTTTATATGATTCCCATCCACAATTTCGTTATACTTTGTAACTATATATATTATACATTCTTATTCCATTTAGACTCTTATGATGATTTAAAATTTTTCACTTTGATGTATAAAGAAAATAATAATGATAATAAAGCTAATCTTACTTTTTTTTGATTTGTCTTTTCTATACTGAGAACTAATGACGGAGAGCCAAAGTGATCACTCTATTTTTAAGGTGGCTCATTGGTATTCCCTCTTTTTTTTTTTTTTTTTTTTTTTTTTTTTTTTTTTTCTTTTTTCTTTTCATATTTTTCTTTGTTCTGCAATTGGAGTTAATATGACAACAAAAGAATCCTCACCACCTTTAACAACAACTTCAACTACTTTGTCATCAAAGACACCATCAGTCAGTAATGATAACGTTGCTACAGATAGGGTATCACCAGCACCTTTAGAAACAACTAACGGTACTTATTCATCTCATCGTCATCCTCGCGATCGAAGAGACAATCGGTCTCGATCACCTTCTCAACGATACTCCAACCATCATGATGATCGTTATGAACGTAGAGACAGCCACCGGATGAATCGATATGCCCAACAAGATCGACATTATTCGACTACTCATGAACACCATCATTATCCTCCTCGACGCGACTTTCGTAGTGAAGACCGATACAGCAATAACGAGAATAATGACAGACGCAGTAGATATCATCGTCATCACCTTCCTCCTCAAGACCGATATGAATCTCGCTATGACCATTCTAGATATGACAGCAGATATCGTGATGATCCGTATCGATCCTCCTATGATTCCTATTCACGCCCTTCTTATCACTATCATCGCCAATCTGCACATTATTATGAAGATCGTCGTCAGTATGATTCAAGATCGCGACCTACAAGACGTGTGATTGATAGGTAAATACTCATAAATACAATTTAGAATGGATAGTGGTATTCATACAAGCATACTAAACATCATATATATATTATTATTATTATTATTATTTATGCGAATCAAAATTATGCTATGAAGAGGGACAGAAGAAGAACGCCAAAATTCATCCGTATTATTTGTGGGGAACTTGCCTTACGCCTTCCGTGAACAAGATGTTGCTAGGATGTTTGAAAGATATGGAAAATTAGCTAAGATCACCATACCTATTGATACTTTGACAACCAAAAATAAAGGGTAACAAAAAAAAAAAAAAAAAAAAAGAGAAAAAGGAAATTTAGAAAGTGCTTATTGATATGAATTGTAGATTTGCCTTTGTTGAATTTGAAGAACGTCATGAAGCCCAAGAAGCATTAGACAATTACCAAGGGTTCAGTGTAGAAGGACGTAGATTGAAATTGGATTGGGATATTGGATTAGATCGAAAAGATACACGACGGTCAACACAACAATCATCATCATCATCATTAAAAGAAGAAGGATATCGATCTGCACATCATGAAGCGAGGTAACGAAAATCGACACGTTGTGTTTAGAAAAAAAGAAAAAAAAAAGAAAAAAAAAGAAAATGGAGGAATTGAATGGCATTTTTCGTCGTTGCTGTTTATCATCAACAATTGTATATCTCATTTTTATACCCCTCTATATAACATCACTACCATTATCAACAACTACGCCACATCGATTTTATTTTTCCCATTCTCTGTCAACGGTACTTCCACCCATACTAGATCCTCACCTCCATCAGTATCACCTCTACAATATTCTCGTGCTGCTGGTCGGTCTACTGATACATGTAAGTCGTTCTTTTCAATCGACACCATCATTCAAAATAAATTACTCATTACAAACTATAACATACGTTTCTTCTTCTTTTTTATATAGATATCCCTTTTCAAGAAATGCCTTCCAACAGAACTAGGATGACCGCGTCTTACCGCCATTGAACCCTGGGAAAAATTTCTTACGTTCCTTTTGGTTGTCCTATTATATAGATTAGTTTTTATTTTTATTATTGATCCCTTGGCTATGTTCCCTTCGCGATATTACCTTTTTTTTTTTTTTTTTTTTTTTTTTTTACTAGTTATTGATTCATTCATTACTCACCTATATATATCTATTCATTTTTTAATAATAAAATGCTATCTATTTTATCAAAATATTCTATCAAATCCATCATGTCAGATCTTCTTTTCTTTTCGTCCTTGTAAGATTATATATAAACTATTTTTCTTTATTATTCTTGTCGTCAATAAAACGATATCACCAAAAAAAAAAAAAAAAAAAAAAGGTAGTAAAATAGGTATGAACACTAACGAGTATGGGGCAAAAGACTACAAACTAAAATCAAGAAAAACTTATAAATAATACTATAATACAGACAAAGGAATGGAAGGACAAGTTTATCATGATATATTACGTGAGGATTGTTCTATTCTAATTGAGAGACATGTAATTGCCAGGCACAAGACCACGTTGTCGTCGTTTATCATCTAGAATTTCAGCTTCCCACCATCCGTCAGGTTGTTTTCGAATCACTGCAAGGGTGTCATTGGCTTGGAAGGATAATTCTGAATCAATCTATACACCCCCCCCCCAAAAAAAAAAAAAAAAAAAAAAACAAAAATAAAATAAAATTAGAGATCATCGTCAAGCAAAACTGATCGTAACACACAAACACACACACACACACATATATATATATATATATACTCCCTAATATCCGTTATTGTACCTTGGCTTCGTAACTCCACATGGCCCGAGCTATCAAGTTCAAAAAAAAAAAAAAAAGAGATCAGATTCAAATTTACTTCAATACTACTACGTTATTCTAGTTTAATCCATTTTGCTTACCTTTATGTTTATAAACTGTACCATCAGGCAATTTGGATCCATCGCTTGTTGCTGGTTTATCCTTCTTGAAAAAGATATTGTTGAATGAAAATCCACTTTTTGGTTCTTCTTGTTGCTGTGATGCTGATGCCTCTGTTGTTGTTGTTGTTGTGTCCACAGGTATCTTTGTAGTTTCATCTGCTTTGTTCTTGTCATCGTTTTCGTCCTTTTCGTTCTTGTTGTCCTCGTCATCCTTGTTGTCAGAATGATTGTTGATATTGCCTTCCTTCAAAATCGAGACCGTCTCTTCACCGAATCCTCGTGTGTTCTTCAGCTCGGAAGGTGCAATGTAATTGTCTTTAGGAGGAGGTGCACGAGGTCCATTCACACTCTTGAATCGTTGTAGACCTGGGCGTAATGGTGAAGTTGGTGATGCCTCCCCTTGCATATATTCTGATGCTGTTGTGCCTTCCAATTCACCCTTTCGATCATCTTGCCATACAGGAGGTCGGATTCCAATCTTTGTGTTAGCTGGTGGTGGTTGTCCATAAGAATCAAGTGTAAATTGCGATTGTTGCTGAGTCGTAATTGCTGATGATGTTGCTGTTGCTGGATGATTTGTGTTTTTGACGGGTAAGTATCCAGGCGCTGTTACTGTTGTTGCCGGTTTGTAAGCTACTGTAGTTGTTGAAGGTTGTTGATAAGTAGAAGTGGCCGTTGATGATATTTGATACGTAGAAGATATATGTGATGGTTGATAAGTGGATGCAATGGTTGGTCCAGATGCTGATGGTGGCTGATAGGTGATAGCAGTATTCGCATTAGGTTGATATGTTGACATATTATTATTGTCTGTTGATGGCGTATGACTCGATGTCGTATTTTGAGCTTGAAATACAGTTCCCTGTCCAGAAGTGATACTAGGAGCAACATCAATTGTAAGTGAGTTTGTGGAGGATGTGGATGCCTGTTGGTAAAAAGATGATCGACTGTTGTTGTTTGATGCATGATTGTAGAACGATGAACTTGTGTTGTTATTTGCTGCTACCGCGTAATTTTCAGGGGGATAAAGGCTAGATTGCGATGATGGTTTATAGTATTGCTGCTGTTGCTGTTGCTGAAGAGGAGGTGGATGAATAGATGGATCAAGGTAACCAGACTTCATTTTGACACCTGTGTTATTGTTGTTATTGTTGCTATTGTTGCTATTGTTACTGCTGTTGTTAATACGTTGGTTGGGTCGAGTAGTTGATGTAGTTGATGGTCCAGTACGTCTTGCTGAAATGGTCCACTTTTCTTCCCTAGGTTTTGGCATGCGTAAAGGTTGTCTGGGAATATCATCATCGTCAGAGTCGTCATCGTTTATATTTGATAAGATAGTTGACGTATTGTTCGAGTTAGACGATCCTGAAGGCGAATTTGTCATTCCACTGAAACTTTCCGGTTTGATGTTATTGACAGTAGAAGTAGAGGTAGCAGTAGCGGTAGTGGTACTGGAATCGGGTTGTTGAGATGAAGACGATGCTGGAGAAGAAGACAAAATGACAGGTTTTTTTGTTGGCGATGTGTTTACTTGAGGTTCTATGGTGGTGACGGAAGGCTGACGTTGATGATGATTACTGTCGAATGAATCTCTTGGAGTAATAGTGGAATGTTCATTTTTGGCACGTGTTTGATGAGGAGATCCAGTGGAGTTGGAAGAGAAAGAGTTTCGTTGTTGGTGTGATGAAGATGCACTGTGAATAGATTGATGATCGAGAGAATGTCGTTTCACGCTTCCAGAATCTGATAACATGTTTTCTACTTCTTGAAAGGCGAATGACATTGAATCCGCAGGAAGAGACTGTTGGTTTCCAGTGGATGAAGGAGAAGAATAGGAATGATCTTCGTCGAGTTGAGATTGATTCGTTGGTATTTTGACACTTGTACCATACTTAAGAATGAAGTCGTTAATATCTTTTCGCACATCCGTTGTTTCCAAACCAGTTCGAATACTTTCACATCCCTAATGAAATAATAATAAAGAATATATGAGTTACTTCATGAATAATTTATGTTAGAAAACTTACTCTGTCATCTACAATATAGACGCTGGACATCATATTGGCAAAACTATATAAAATAATGATAAAAATAAGTTAAAAAAAGAACCAAAAAATAAAAAAAAAAAAAAATAAAAAAATAGACAGACAACAGCAGATCACTATTTTTTCGATGATATTCATTTACTTACGCCCAGAGATTACTTCTGACAAAGTTAATCCTTCTTTCCTCTAAGTCTTGGTATAAGTCACAAGTGATTTTCCAATCAAACGTAAACTTGTCCGTCACTTCTTGTAAAATTTCCACTGAATGTTGCCATTCCTGATCTATTATGGTCGTACAAAAGAAAAGTTCCTTTTTTAAGTTCTATTTGGTCAGATCAATAAAAGCATCTTTTTCATACCAGCTAATGCCAAGGAATTTTGGACTGTTTCTATATCTTCTCCATTCTAATTTCATCAAAAAGAAAGTATAGCATAATGAGTTTATCATTTAGAGTGAAAAAAAAAGGTGTATAAATTTACCTCTTGTTTTTGTTTGAGTAATTGGTGTAATTCATCATATGCCTGTTTTGCCTATTTCAAAGGAGAAAAAAAAAAAAAAGAGTCAATAAATTGTCTGGTTTCTTATTTTCCCCTGAATTACTCACTTTATCCACGTGAGCTTGATGCATATCCTTGAGATGCTTTGAGTTTTCCATCTGATGTGTTCTCTATTCATAAAAAGTTCAATAATTCTAGTGAATTATTATTCCAATTAAAAAAAAAAAAAAAAGAAAATAATCTTACAGCATTAATCAATTCACATTGTTCTTTCAAAAAAGAGGTTAAAGGAGCTTCCAAAGTAGTATTTAATTGTTCAGCCATATCAATATGAGCCCGAGCTGTAGTTTCAAAGGCAAAAGGAATTCGTTGCATAGATTTTGCCAAAGTACCTAGTTCAATTTCGCCAAGAGTATGTTGTGATAATTCTAAAAGTCTTTCTCCATAATCCTTTTCAATTTGTGCTCTAAGAGATTAATATTGATATTAATAATAATAATAATAATAATAATAATATATTATGATATTACCTTATTTCATAAATCTTCTTCAGGTCTTTGCAAGTTTGTTCGGAATTAGTCAATTTGTCGGTAAGTATATCTATGCCTCGATCTTCCTCATCCTATATTAAAGTGAAACAATATAGATTAGTTCTATTGTTTATTTGTAAGGTTTTACTTTTTGTATGTCATAAAAGGATTATCTTTATGTATGTATAAAAGGATATCTTTACCCAAAAGGAATCCGAGAAACGCAATACAGAGACAGTCATAATAACTAAATGTCGAAATAATAATTAAAAAAAAAAAAAAAAGAAATAAATAGAAAAACGAAGATCACAATATATTTAAGTTGGAAAAGTTTATTTTTGGAAACACATTTTCAATGGCCGATATACGATTGCTAAAAGAGAGATTGTGTGAAAAGAAAAATGGGTAATAAAAAAAAAAAAAAAAAAAGACTTCAACTAACTTTGAAACTAACTATTGTATTTGTTTTTATTCTAAAAGAAATAAATAAATAAATTAGTCTCAAAACTATTATTATATTTTTTTTTCAAATAATCTGACTTACCAACAGCCATATAAGAGTCCATATCAGCATCCAAATCAGCTTGAGAAGCCTTGGGACGAGTATCACGTTTAGGACGACCACTTCCACCAGCACGTTGATTAGGACGACGACCACCACGACCAGTATTTTGAAGTCTACGGTTGATAGGTAATGAACTAGCTACAGCACTAGGTAAATTGGCAAAAGAGATCCTCATAGGACGACCTAATAATAAATAATTAGAATTCTTATTTTTTTTTTATTTTAAAAACTTTCATTTACCATCTAATTCAATATTATTATAGGTATTTCTTGCACGTTCAGCATCATTAGCTTGTACAAACACAATATCGGCCACACCAGAGGATTTTCCAGAAGGAGCCAAGTGAAGGAATGCTCGTTTGACCTTACCCATTTGTCCAAACAATTCCTAATATATCATATTTTTAGTTCATCAAAATAATATTTTTATATATAATTGATTTTACTTACATAAAGATCCTTTTCAGTCACCTTGTGATGAAGATTGCTAACAACTAAACTGTTTCTAGGTCCACGAGATACAGGAGCTTGAGATCTACGAATAGGTCCACCAGGAGTAGAACGACGGCCTTGTTGCTGTAAAAAATCGGATTGAAATGATAATAAGATGAAGACGTAAAAAAAAGAAGGAAGGGAATAAAAAAAAAAAAAAGAAGAGTTGATATATCAGTTTCCATGAATAAATATAAATAATGAGAGAATAGGGAAGATGAAGGGAAAAGGGAGCAAGAGATAATTCGAAGAAACATAAGGTAAATCCCAAGATAAGTACAACAAGGAAGGAAGAGAGAGAGAGAGAACCATTATCCACCAAATACCAAAGGAAAGAGCCAAAAATCGATATAATATATATGTATCAACAAAAAAAAAATCCCAAGATCAAGTCAAACAACAACCATAATAATAATAATAATACTAATAATAAACACACAAAATAATAATATATACCACCAAATAATAATTCAATATCCAGATAGTCAAGATTGGCAATCCATTGAATCTTCATAAAAAGAGATAAACCATCAATACCTCCACAATTGATAGCGCAATACCAGATACATCGTATTTGTGTGTGTTTTTTTTTTCCATCATCAAAAGGTTGTAAAATAAAAAATAACCAAAAAAAGCTCCATCCTTTTTTTCCTGTTGCCTTTCCAGAGAGAGTTCTTCCAATGGACATTCACTTCATATACAATGAAGCTTCTGTTTGTATGTGTATGTGCATATGTGTATGTATGTATGTATGTATGTATGTGTAAAAGGGTGTATAAAATATAAAACGTGGGTTGATCAAGAGAAAAGACATACCGATTGGTTTCTGTTGCTGCGCTTGTTCACACCACCAGCAGTTCTGTTTCTACGTTTGTTGGCAGAAATCACTTCGTCAAGGGCCATATCAAGAGAAGAAGACATTTTGTTGTTATTATTGTTTGTTGTTGAAAGAAAGATAATCAAAGATTGATATAATTAAAAAAAAAAAATCAAGAGATTGGATGCGAGTTAGAAAAAAGAAAAAGAAAGAAAAAAGAAGGAAAAACAACAAAACAAAAAAAAAAAATAAAAGTCCCTCCCTATTACAATTCCACGTCATATAGCTTGATTTCAAATCCAGTGCCAACATAACCGTTTGATTGGTAGATTTTCTGAATCCTCCTTGTTTAAATTTGACAAGGAGGATTCGATTCAGGTAATTGATCAGGTGATTGATTCACTAATAATAAATATGGTTTATTTGGAGAAAAAGGGAAACATCACATATTATGATAGTTGGGACTTAGGCATTAATGAGATGATACGTTGATGATGGAAAAAAAAAATAAATGAATTGATTCAGTGCTCGTTGTCGGCGGATTACTGTATACAAAAATAGAAGAGAGGGGGTTGGATTGGGAGCGGCGCATATGTCCGTGAATGGGTTACATATCAGAAAATGACAAAAAAAAAAATAAAAAAAAAAAGAACATATAAAGGCGTGAGAATCGTATTATTCATAAATGCCAATCATTTTTTTAAAGAAATAGAAGATTGTTATTAATATTTGTTGATATTTTGTTTATTGATGATTGTAATAAAAGGATGCATAAGCCAAGAGGAAGAACATATGGAAATAATAATATATATGATTGGATGGAGAATGAAAATATACAGTGTCGTAGTGATAAAAAAAAAAAAAAAAAGAGGACTAAAAAAATAAGAAAGGATAAAAGGAATGAATTCTGCGTGTTTGGTAAGGGTAGGGTATATAATGTGTATCTATACTAAAAATATACATTTATCTTCCTTTACAAGAAGATGGAATATGATGATGAGGTTGATTGTTGGCACCAATACCATGAACACAAACATCGATTGATTGTACCCAAGGATCATTCAAAATATCTTGACATGAAATACGAGTTGAAGGATTTGGATCCAGAATAGCATAGAGTAAACGACGAGGACCAGTAGGTAATTTGGATAATAATTCAAATTGCTGAGTTGAGTATTGGCGTAAATAACAAGCATAAGCATGATCAGATTTCTTTGCTCGGTGCCATATTAATCCTTGCATCCATAGACAATAAAGAACAATTCCAGAAGACCAAACATCAGCAACAGCACCCCAATATTCTTTGTTTTCAAAAGCTTCAGGAGCAATATAAGGTTCAGATCCCATCAATCCACGGCTTTTGTGACCTTTTGATTCCCATGCAAATCGGAAGACATCACTAACACCAAAATCGGTGATTTTCACAGTTCCATCAGCGGTCAATAGTAAATTTTCTGGTTTGATATCCCGGTGAGCCACACCAACAGAATGAAGATATGCCAAGCCTTGAATCATTTGCTTGAAACAGCAGGCTTTTTCACGTTCCGTCATACATTCCGCCATGATACATCCAAATAAATCACCACCTGGGCACTATTATTGATTTCAAAAATAGAATATGAATAAATTTCAAAATACTAATAATAATAATAATAATAATAATGATAATGATAATGATAATAACTTACGTATTCCATCACAGTACTATAACGTTTTCGATCATCCAAGACCAAATCAATAGTTTCCACCACATTGGGATGAGAAAAGGTGGATGAGATACAAAATTCACTTGTCAATTTTTTCATGTAATCCTTTTCTGATTCAGATCGTTGTCGTTTTCGGAATTGTTTGATAGCATAGAGTTTTTCGCCTTTTCCTTCCAATTTGCGAGTGATCATGACAACAGCAGTAGAACCTTCACCAAGACGTCGATAACATTCACCATATTCCTTGAGATTAGCAGTATCAGCACGATGGACACGACGATTTGTTGTTGCTGTTGAAATAACAGAAGATGCAGGAGACACATTGGTAGAAGAAGGACAAAAAGAAGGAGGTTTGTTATTCAATTCATTCAAATGATTTGGTTTTAATAAAATAGGTTGTTGTTGTTGTTGTTGAGTTGGTACAGTAAGTTCATGTTTTTGACATTCTAGAGTAGAAGATCTACTTGAGGCAGAAGATAAACTTTGACTTGATTCCCTTGAAATAGTTGTTGGTAAAGGTTCTGGTGTAGCAGCAGCTTTGGCAAGATCGTTAATCATCGTTTTGTTGGCTTGGTTTATAGGTAACCAAACGTCTACTGAAGAGTTTCTATGTATATTGGAAGAGAAATGAACCATTCAAGTTTGTATATATAAAGGGATATAAAAAAAGAAAAATAAAAAAATAAAAAAGAAAGAAAGAAAGAAAGAAAGAAAGAAAGAAAGAAAGAAAGAAAGAAAGAAAGAAAGAAATAGAAAAAAAGTTGTTTTCTTTTAAAATATATATATATATATAGAAACAAGGAAAGAAAAAAAAAAAAGAGAGCGAGAAAAAGAGAGACAGAAAAAAAAAAAAGTTGGCATGGAATAGGTGAGATCGGCGGACAAAAAAAAAAGTGTAAAAATGCCTCAATCTGGGTGGCTTGAATTTATGAAATACTTGAATTTTATCCAATGGCATTATTCGCTTGCCTAAAGCTTAATATACTTTTTGTATCACTCTCAAATGACAACCTACTTTATTCTTTTGGCGCCCTTCCAATAAAAATGAACCTACTTTTGGCTCATGTGGTCGATGATGTCTTTTATTGCTTATCTCAGAACCAAAAAAAAAAAAAAAGACTCATCTATCTCAGAAGTCGATCATCACAATCATAAAAAAAAATAACTCATATATAAAATTTTTTGATTTCTCAATTTAGTCTTATTTCGTCAGTCGTTACCATATATTCGAGAAATAAGATAAAAGTAATATTTGTTTTATTTCATTTTAGGGACTAAACTTAATTTATCAAAATCATCATCATTAGTAGACTTTCTGTCTTATCATCATTCATCCAAAAAAAAAAAAAAAAAGATCATAGAAGCATCATCGACCTTTATATCCTTGTACCCATCAACCTTTCATAGAATCATCAGCAACCACATTATCATAATCATTGTAGCCACTAACCCATTATATCATCAACTCATTATATCATCAACCCATTATATCATCAACTCATTATATCATCAACCCATTATATCATCAACCCATCATATCATCAACCCATCATATCATCAACCCATCATATCATCATATCATCAACCCATCATATCATCAACCCATCATACCATCAACCCATCATACCATCAACCCATCATACCATCAACCCATCATATCATCTACCCATTATATCATCAACCCATCATATCATCTACCCATCATATATTAGCAAGACCAACCAAATATAAAGTCAAAATACATATTGTTTTATTTTTGAGTCCATTTAAGCATCAGCTTCAAGAACATTGCGTTCAGAGACATAGATACCATCCAAGAATTTACGAATATCCTTCTTCTTGACCAAACAAGATTGTTGAATATCAGCAGCTATAGAAAATAGAAACAAAAGAAGGAGAAAGATTTAGTAATTCCTTGTATATATTGATGTTAATTAATATAATCCTTACCACATTGAGAGACAGCTTCCAAATCGTTACCAGTCAAAGTCAATTCATCCTTTTGGTTGGCTGAGGCAGCAACAGTAACACCTTCACGCATCTTGACACGGAATACGACCTTTTGACCCAAGAAGTTACGGATTTCGACGTCCTTACCATCGTTGTTAATAATACAGTTGATGGGAAAATGCGCATAAACGTATCGCATCTTGTATTGGAAACCCTTGGTCACACCAATAATCATATTGTTGACGAGAGAACGAACAGTACGGATACAAGCAACATGCTTACGACCACCATGGTACACAACAAATTTGAGCTTGTCCTTACCAGCAAACTTGATTTCAATGTTCAAATGGCGCAAGTTCTTGTTCAAAGTACCGCGAGGACCAGTGACAGTGATGTCGCGAGCCTTGATGGCAACCTTGACACCTTGAGGGATGATGAGTTCGTCGTCTTGATAAATATCCTTCATGCCTATTTAGGAAAGAGTATTCGTCAATATCATCCATTCATATATGCACTCATTCATCCATATATAATTCATCCATTCATCCATTCATCCATCCATCCATCCATCCATCCATCCATCCATCCATCTATATATTCATCCATCCATCCATCTATCTATCTGTATATCCACTTCGTTGTATTTCATTCGTTTCGTTGATCTTTTATATAAGCTACTTCTACTTTACCGAAATGGTCACTGATATGTGGTATGTAAAAAGGAAGAAAAAAAAAAAAAGGGTACTCCCAGCAGCCTTTCCCCGCTTTCACACAACCCAGATCTGTGGGCCAATCAAATCTTCTGACCGATTTGGTAATTTCCAAAAGTATTTCACTCAGGTGATCATTCTCATCGTCATTATCAAATGTTATATAATGACTTTTTTTTTTTTTTTTTTTTTACTGTTGTATGTTTCAAACATAAACAAAAGGACCACGGGGATCTTTTTTTATAACATGAATCACCATCATCATCATCATCATCATCATCATCATCATCTTCATTGACTATTTTTAAAAGGAGTCAACATCAATCATCATGAACATCATCATCATCATCATCATCATCATCATCATAAAACAATTATTATTGGTCATAATCATTATTAATCTGAATGTAACTGCTATTGTTTCTGATGGAAAATACCATTAAAAACTTATCATTGGACTTCAGTATCAAAGAATGGGAAGGAGGCCTGCATCTAAATGATATCATTCAAGCTAGCACTGAGACATACATTTCATCCATCCAAAAAAAGACCTCCTTTTTTCATTGAATCAATATGCCACGTGTTTATCTAGTTATAATGCCTTTTTTTTTTGTTTTCTGTGGGACATAAACCTGAACATAGAAAGTAAATAAATACACAAAAGAAAAGAATGACTCTTTTGTTGTTTTCTCCTTTTCCTTTCTTTCTCTTTTTCCTTTTTTTTTTTTTCCTATTTGCTTCACCACCGCCACATCATTTTTAACAGTAAGCCAAAATGTCTTACTATCCAAGTAGTAAGTTCACCTTCTCTCAAATGAAAATATCATCATCCATATACTCATCTTTTTTTTTTTTTTTTTTTTTTTAGTACATAATAACTATTACAATAGTTATTCACCAGTTTCAATGTATGGAACAGAAGCTTTATATAATGATCCTATGTATGGAGTAGACCCTAATTACGCTACGAATTATAATCCATCAATAGCAGTACCATCAGCAACAATGGCATCCTACCCTCCTCCTCCTCCTCCTCCTCCTATGAGTTATCCATACCCACAAGCCTATTCACCCGCAGCAGCAGTGGCAGCAGCAATCCCTGGTTATATGCCGTACTATAATTACTATCGCGAACCCAACGTATTAAATCGATTATTGAATCGTGCTCGTTATGGTACTGGATCATACTTTGGTAATCCATACTTGCATACCAGAGTCACATTTGATCCCCATGGCAACCGAATTTGGCCCGAAGGAAATTATGTCAGCTCTGTTAAAGACCTTTGGAAAACCAGTGATCCTTACGCTACTCCATCATGATGATGATGATGAATGATGATGATCTTTATTGTTATTATTACATGAAAGTTGGTTTGATTATCAATTGAAATGATGTAACAAAGTTTATATGTATATATATAGATATAACACATGATTCGAACCCAGCGTGTGAAGAGTAGTTGGATTTTTTTTTTTTTTTTTTTTACGCTTGTCTTCTTTTTTTCTCTCTCTCTCTTCCTTTTTTGTACCTTTTTTAAATGTCACTCTATGATAAATTGCTCCATGCTTTAACCCATTATCCAATGTAAGCACATCTTTTTTTTTTTATTTGTAAAAATATAGACTTCATTATTCTCCCTTCTACCTTTATATATATATATTACTTTTTATTCTTTCTTCCGTCTACTCACCCACTTTAATCATTCATTTTTTTTTTGTGAAAATAAAATAAAAAAAAAAGCATCAACAGATATATTTTTACTCACTCACTTCAACCTCTTACTGATACTTTGGTCGCTTTCTTATGTTTATAAAGTGATGAATTAGGCATCTTGCCTTGTGCTCCCAATCTTTCTGAAATCCCATCTGACGCGCAGCAATATTATCCTTTATTGGTAGTGGGTTGCAAACTTGGCTTCTCTTTTGATCAATGGATGGTCCTTTTGAAAGAAACTCAAGAACTATTTAATGACTATCGACTCCACCATTTTGAAGTTTTAGACATGACTGATACTTTGGAACAATTGACACGGGTTATGGTACTATTGAAACCAGATAACTATACTGCAATGAATATAAGGTAAGGAATAATATAAGTGTATTAATGAATGAAGTGAAATAAATGGTAGTATAAGATTGAAGACTGATTCGCCTTTTTTTTTTTTAATGGTATTATATATAGGAAACAGATGGTTGTACGTGGTCAAGTATCTATACCAGAGGAACTCAAATTGATTGAATTGATGTTTACTATAGCAAAGCACACTAAATCTTCTATAGCATGGTATCATAGGTAATATATACATTTATAAAAGTAACAAAAAGGAAATAGTCCACCCCTTGAAATATGAATACTAATGTAACTTTATCTGTCCTTACTTTAATTCAAACAATGATAGACAATGGTTATTTACATTCAATAACAAACAACACATGAATGATATGGATATGGAAAGAGAAATACAACTTTGTCAACGATGCATTACTCTTCACCCACGTAACTATTATGCTTGGAATTATCGACAATGGTTAGTGGCATTGATGATCGAACGCGACAATGGAATTTTACAACAAGAATACCATTCAACATGTCAGTGGATGGAAAAGAATATCAGTGATCATACCGGAATACGTCATTTGGAATTTATTTTGGACAAATGGATGGTATCGTTATCAACATCTTCTTCAATTCAATCATCACCACAAGGATCGACATTGTTGTCTGATCATCATCATCAACGACAGATTATTCAATCACACGTGGCGTGGTTGACAGCTTTGTTATTACGATATCCAGGGCATGAATCTTTATGGTGCCACCAACGATTCTGTGCTACTTTATGGTTTCAATATCGAGACAATGATAAACAATGGACGGATTGGGCGAACCAGCAACATAGATTTATTCAACAAATTTTGGACAATGAAAATGAACAACATCAATCACTAGATCTCTCGAATTATCAACAACAATTGGGATTTTCTTCAAAGTATGGATTATGGTTATGCTTTATGGTAGGACAAGAACATGGAAAGGGCAAAGGAGAAGAAGATCAATGTGTTTACGTACTTTATTTGCAACAGAAATGATGGCTTTTTGTCTTTTTCTGTTCCGAAAAAATAAAAGGAAGGGAAAGGAAAGGAAAATAGGAGAAAAAGGAAACTTACCAAACGGGAAAAGAGGGAAAAGAAAAGAAGGAGATTAGTCTTTTGGCATATGATTCTATCCCTTACCAACTAACTCACTTTCTGACTATTTTTCTCCCTTTTTCTGTATATAGGAGATCAAGAATGATACTGGCAACAACTACAATAAAAGGAAACTGGAAAGTCTAGTGGATAGGTATATAGCTCAAATACAACAAGTGGACTCTTCTCCCATCTATTTACGTTATTGGAAACATCAATTCTTATCAGCATCATCATCATCGACTAGTCCTTTGAAACTCGACAGGAATGATAATTCACCTCCTCCACCATCATCATTATCATCAGAATAGAATAGATATTATTTATCTGAACGTTTATTTTTTTTTTTTATGGGACAATAATAAAACAAGAGATTTGTGGAAAAGATTAGTGGTGTAGTTGATGGCTGGTTCTCCCCTTTTTTTCGGCTACAGAGGTTGTATATATTGTTGTATAAAAGATCTCCTTTTGTTCATTGAAAGAAAAAAAGAAAAAAAAAATAGGGTTGACCAAGATTTTCTGGTATGGTCAAGTGATTGTGAGGGTAAAAAAAAAAAAAATAAAAAAAATAAAAAAATAAAAAAAATATATGGTCTATATTTGGTTGATGCTGATTTATATCATATGTATGATTTTTTTCTTTTTTTAGTTGGCTAATTTCTTGATCAACGGTATTATTATTAATATTATTATTAGTATGATATTTTAATATGCTAGATGACCCCATGTGTATGTCAATATTTTTCTACCAAACGCAAATGAATGGCGAACCCCCAAATGAGATCGACAAGTTACCGGTAAAAGTGCATAAAAATGTCGTGTTAAGGATAAAAGATCATCAGGGTCAAAGAATGATTAGGCTTTTTTTTTTCTTTCTTTTCATCATTTCTGTCAACTTCATCATCATTACCATTCTTGGTATCTTTATTATTATAATTATTATTATTGATTTCTAATATGAGTCAATTCATGAAATAGAACTTTTTCTAATGTAAGGAACAAGTAGAAAAAAAAAAAGCAATTAGACAGGTTTTTTTTTTTTTTTTGTCTTTCGTTTTATTTCCTTCTAGAGAGGAGAAAAGAAAGAAAAGAGAGAAAAAGGGGAAAAGAGGGGAAAATGTAGCATTATCATCATCGAACGCGCAATGATAATAACAATGATTCATTTGAATTTGATTGGATTTGGAAAATATATTCAAAGTTTGTTTCGCCTAGATCTAAATCATCCAAAACTGGGTAAGAAAAAAAAAAAAAGGAAGACGATACGATATTTATATATATATATTTGTTTAGTTGTTTTATTTGGTATTTTGTTCAAAGCAAGGGGGAGGATATAAAAGAAACAGACTCCTTGAACTATAGACACATTAAACGGTGATTGAAATTCGAGGTTTACCATTGCCTCAAATAGAAAGCAACTAAGAAAATGAATCAAATCCTATAATGATCCATCATTCTTCTTTATTCTTTTTTTTTTATTATCAAGAAGATCTGATCTGATGATGATGATGATGATGATGTCAATATCTACATATATGATTTACTTTAGGCATTAGAACTTGGAGATCTTGATTTATTTATGGATTATGCAAGAATTTTTGCGTCTTCATATTAACCATCATCTCAACAAAAAAAAAAAAAAGACCACTTTAAGGCGATGAGGTCCTTCTTTACACACATGGTGATGATGGTGAAAGTGAACAAATTCCTTTGTTCTCCCCGTTCCCCTTTTTCTCTTTTTTAGTAACCTCCTTGTTTGCAGAATTATAATTAGTATAAAAACTGTGAAAGCACCGGAAAAAAAAAACTGCCACTCGTAATAGTAGTTGATAATTTTAGATCCTAAACAAGAAAAAAAACATTTCTCTTTTCTTTCGTTTTCTTTCTTTCTTTCGAATTACGTATATAATTTTTCATTATTGGGATTTTCTACCTTTTTTACATTTTTCTTTCACTTTTTTTTTCAAATCTACTTCCCCCAATCTTAACCCTGACATATTCATCATTTATATACAACAAAAAATATATATACATCATCCATATAGAATCACTTCCTTTTTTTTTTTTTTGTATATCAACTTTACAAGAATCATCTTCAACAACAACAAAAAATATCGTTAATATCATCTTAATCAACAACAATAATAACAAAATTATGTATCCAACCATCGAGTTATCCAATCATCAAGTCGGTGAAGATGACGCGACTACCCTTTATCCAGAAAGTCATACCACAGTCGATAGTACTCTTGTCACCCATTCAAAATGTAAATTATTTTCTTTTCATTTTATACGTTATATGCACTTTTTTTTTTTCTTTTATCCTTGAATCATTATACTCCTTTTCCTTTCTATTCTCCCTCTTAAAAACACTCCGACTCACATCACTTTCTTTTTTTTTTTTTTTTTGTTGTAGTATATCGATTACTATTAGCTCGATTATCCGATTCAGGTTATCTATCACAAAAAAACGAAAAATCAACAAGTATCACTAATGGAGATGATAAGGATCAACAGCTTCAACAACAAACTGATGATTTTGATAAAACAACAGTCGTCGACGATGATAATCAAGATGAAAAAGAAGATCCATATCGATGGCTTATTCTATTAGGTGGATTCCTTGCTCAAGCCATTAGTATGAGTACTTTATCAAGTTGGTAAGTTTCTTTTATTGTATTTATGATGTATTATCATTCATCATCATGTCGATGGAAATATTAATATTAAACAAAAAACAACATTGGATACTAACTCAATTTTTTATTTTATCTCTCTCTCTCTCTCTCACACAACTATATATATTATACACGTTTACTTTTTTTTTTTATTTGGTTCTTTAGGGGTAAAGCAAATATATACATTACATATGACCATCATCATCACCATCATCATCACCACTATCATCTTCATCATCATCGTCATCTCTATGAACGATTGGATGACAGCTTTTTTTTATTTTACTTACTAATAATACTTTACATATTTGTATTTATATTTTTTTTTCCTCATTTGCACCTTCCGTGATCTACCGTCGAACGATATGATTGGTTTGCATATAGGGATTATGCAAGATTACTATGACCGACAAGTCTTCAAGGGTTCCGTGGATTCAACTCAACTTTCGTTTGTGGGTACAATTGGATTTAGTTTCTGTGGTCTGATGGGTCCCATCAGTCAAATCATCACCTCGGCAATTGGTCCAAGATGGGTTTTATTGATTGGTACTATTCTTACTTCAGCTGGTTTGATCTTGGCAAGTTTCTCGGTAGAGGTACAAAAATAGGTTCCAAAAAAAAAAAAAAAATAATTCGATATGCTGGATTACCTTATCAATATCAGGGTTCTCTTGTGTTACTATGGAGATGAGACTAAACACTCCGAATACTTTTTTTTTTTGCTGAAAATAATAGGATTCTTATTTTAGATACACTCATCATCTTCTTTTTTTTTTTTTTCTATTTATGATTAGGTTTGGCACCTTTACATGACACAAAGTTTGATTCATGGAATGGGAGCAGCTTTACTTTATATTGTAAGTTAAAAAAACATTACAATTTTGACTGGATGATAACTTTAATATTATGAATTCTAGGTTTCCATGTCCTTATCTCCACAATGGTTCAATAAACGACGGGGTTTTGCAATGGGTGTCATGGTGAGTGGATCCGGTGTTGGTGGTTTGATCATGCCTTTTTTGATGAACGAATTGAATGAAAACCTTGGTGGAGCCTGGTAAAGTATCAAGTTTTAATATTGATGATCATCGGTTGTATATCAATATTCATATTTATCTTTTTTTTTTTTGGATGAATCATAGGTGTTATCGAGTACTTGGTATTATATCTTTCGCCATTAGTCTTATCTCTACAGTACTACTCAAGGAAAAAAAGGAATCATCACTCAATAACAAAGCTGAATTGGAATCGGTCAAGAAATCTATTCGATGGAGTGATGTGGTTGATTTCAGTATTTGTAAAGACTCCAAGTTCGTTATCTGGTGTGTGGCTGGTAATTTGAGCATGATGGCTTATTTTATCCCTGCATTTTTTCTTCCATGTAAGTCACCATCTTTTTTTTTTTTTTTGATGATACTTATCTTTCTCTCTTACTACAACGTAGCTCATGCAACCAAATTGGGATTAACTCCTTCTCAAGGTTCACTACTTGTCGCTGTCTTTTCTGCAGTCAATGTGATTGGTCGAGTCATGTCGGGGTATGTAATGATTACCAAAACTGGATGCTTTTCCCTTATTTCAATCATGCATGAAAAAAAAGATAAATGTCTGATCCACCTCTTTTTTTTTTTTTTTTTTTTTAATAGTTACTTGGGTGATCATCTTGGTGTGGTCAATATCGATATTATATTCCTATTTGTATGTGGAATGAGTTCATTGTTTATTTGGTCTTTTGCGGCTTCCTATGCAGCATTGATGATATTTATTGTTACCTACGGATTTATGAGCGGTGCTGTATTCTCGTTATGTAAGTTCGGTCATAAAAGAAAAAAAAATAGGATGATGAGTCTTATAATATTCTTTTTATCTTATTTTATAGTGGCCCCTATCACTGCAGCTATTACTGGAATGGAAAGATATCCATCAGGGATTTCTTTATACCTTTTTTTTATGACGGCTGCAAGATTAGGTCCTTCAATGGCGGGTGCTATTCAAACAGCTACCGATAAGAATTCATTCTTTGCTCAACAACTATTTACTGGTCTTGCCTTTGTTCTTTCTGCAGCTGTCACTGTGTCTTTGAAATTCAAGCTCAAGCGTGGTGTATTTGTAAAGATATGATTTATTTGCTCTCTTGACCTTATCTTATTCTTTGTACACTGTTCATCGTCATCATCATCATCATCTTTTTTTTTTGATATATACGCAATATTTTATTCCTTTCTATTATACGCTTATATAGTTTTTTTTTTTTTTTTACTAGAAAATTACGCCTTCACACTTTCCTATTAGTATAGCTTTGTTTTCGTGTTTTATTTTTTTTTCAACTTTTTTTTTTATTCATCCATGGAAATTGTATTTAGTTCAATCATCAACTCTCTTATTTATTTATTTATTTATTGTGTTTTGTTATAAAATACGTTCATGCGTCATGATATTGTTATTCTTTTCACTCTCTCTCTCTTTTTTCTTTTTTTCTTTTTTTTTCCCTTATCATCATCAATTGACTTTATGTCAGTTCGTTTCCTGATTGATAAAATGTCCTTGTGATAATATACTATTGTCAAAAATGTTTGATCACGCTTTTCTTATCTAAAAAGTCAAACTAAGGATGTTGGATTATGGAATTAGGCTGTGTCACTTTTCTGGGTTTCAACACGGTGAATAATAATCCTTTTTTCTAAAATTTCACTTCTTTCTTTCCCTTTTTTTTTTTATTTTATTTTTTTTCTTTCTTACTCCCTGTTTTTATACTATTGTAATAATATTTCCTCCTTTCTTTGTTTGTACCTTTAACCGCATTAGGTTTTTGGTTGGAAAACATCCAAAATCACCACAACATTACAAGACTGACACCAGTTTAAACAAACAAACTAATCTCAATGGAGCTACCATGGTCCAACTTACTCGCCATGGCCAATGCATTGACAGGAACGCCTTGGTTATATTTTGTTCTCTATCTTCAACTGTCTCTTCACTTGTCATGTTTCCAAATAGGTTTACTTATGGCTTATCTCTACATGGTACGTTGGATGGCCAATAATATTATTATCTATCTTTTCGATCGTCTTTCTCGTCATTACAGCATTTTTTTAACTTTGTTTTGTATCTTGGTCGGTATATCTTCTCTTTTGGTTTTCTTCATCCTTTCTTCTTACTCAACATGGATGACGAATGTCGACAAATCTCCTTCTTCTTATTATTGGTATCTCATTTTGGCTTCTTTGACTCTCTTTGGTTCTTTTTATCTTTCTTTGGGTGTTTTGGTCGAAAGTGTCATTTTGAAAAGCTGGGGTGAATATCGAATGTATTTTTACGGTAAGGATTCCTTTTTTTTTTTTTTTTGTTTATGTCATCTATTTTCTCGGAATATCATGTACTCATCTGTGTTTATGCGTCTTTTTTTTTCCCACTATCGTCAACAAAACAAACAACAACAACAACAACAACAACAAATAGGTCATCATCGTTCCTGGTCGGAATGGACAGTCGTATGCTTGACAGGTATGGTTGGATTGATCTGTTTTCTTTTATCAACTTTTACTGCTGACAGTGATGACGATGATGATGAACAACGAGATACAGTTTCTTATCTTCTTGCTCCTCTATTTACTGGTATGATTACATTTGGCGTATGTGTCATGTGCCTAATAGCTCTTTTCAAGATCCAATCCATGCCGTCTGATCCTACTTCTTTGGGCTTGACTCCTTCGACCCCTTGGTTATTGAAGAATGCAGTACTAAATCCTTCTGATCTATTACTAATGCCATCCTATTTTGCTCCTTACAAACCTTACAGTCTTTTTGGTGAACCCTTATCCCATATCTCGGAAGAAGATGCTAGTATGGTACAACGTATGACAAGTCATCCTTCGCTGATCCGTGAGTCAAGCCGCACAAGCTCTCAATCAGCTTATTCTTATACAACAACTCCGCTCTCAATTCACAATAGCAACAACAATAATGGTACCTCATCATCCTACGGTGCAACCATGATGAATCCTACTATCGACCCTCCTAATTTCTTGTCATCATGGCTCAATTCAACTCTTTGGTCAGGACGCCGACTTAATAATACAAATACAACTTACTCTTATGATCCTGTTTCTTCTCCAGTGAATGATGATGATGTGCACAACAACAATGACGATAGATCATCCAATTTACATCATCAACAACAACAATATACCTTGACACCTTGTTGGGATACGGTTCCTTCATATGAATTGGCATTGTTCTCATTTACGGCACCTGACATGCCTTCGATCGCCATGCTTCCATTCATCATGTCCTGGTTCAACAATAAAAGCAACACTAACAGCACTAGCAATATTACTGGATCTGTTCGATATTCTACAGCAGCTGCAGCAGCCACCGCCAATATGGCAAATATTTTTACTCCATCCTTATCCGGACCTCTTCTGATCAATCCACCTCCTATAGATAATTGGAAATTACTCTCACTTCAATTGACAATGTTCCTCTTAGGGTGCGATTCGGCCATGCTTCAAATGTTTTTACTTGTTTATCTATATGTCTGTTTGAATTTGCCCATGTTTTTAATTAGTTTGACTGGATCCTGTATTATTCTATCTGAAATCTTGCTTTTGACAACAGTGACAAAGGTACTAAAAAACAAAAAAAAAAAATATAAAAAAAGAAGATAATAAGTTAATGATTGAATATATTTTCTATCTATATATATTTGTTAGTGGATTCATGGTACCAATTTTACTGGGATGACTTCGCTTATTCATGCCACCTTGATTATCTGTTCATTCTCTTATTTATGGCTTCAATCCGATAATGAAATCACGATGATTGCATCTTTATTACTTCCTTTCCTATCAAGTAAGTAATTGGTGAAAAAAAAAATATCAGTTTTTACGATCAATAATTTTATCAAATCATATACCTATATATACTCAATCTTCAAATCTTTTTAGGTGGTGTTTTTTATTTGGCTTGGTTAGTGGCTTCAGATAGAGTCAATACTTTGGTATGGTCGGATCAACAACGTATCTGTCAAAGAGCTATCTTGTCTACATTATTCTGTTATGTAGGGCCTATGGTGGGAGCTTGTCTAACTGGTGCCATGATCTCGTCTTCTTCTCATTTGTCATCATTACCTTATACGTCCGATAATCTCTTGAACAATCCAGTCGCATTTTCCTCAGTGTACCATTCATCCATTGGACTCTTGGCCATAAGTTTTGTGGTTTCCTGGGGTTGGTCTGCTGATGATTGAATTCATTTTTTACTACTCTGATTCCTTTATTATTATTATTATTATTATTATTATTTCTTTGTATATACCTTCTTACTTTTATCTTTTCCTGTATCACTCTGTTTATTTATTATATACATTTCATTATTATATATCCATAAATATGAAATAAAGAAAAGCAACATTATGTACATTCATCTTTTTTTTTTCAAATTTCTCGTTATGACTTATATTGATTGTTGGTTGGGTAACATGGAAATGGAAAGGTGGTTGAAAGAATTAGCAGATTGAAGAGATTTTTCTAAATGTCACTTATAAACGCTGAAGTGATCTTTCTACTCTCTGTCACGTCTGAGGATTCGATAGTGAATGTTGGACCTATAGATTTTCAACCCGTATAATGCGTGTTATCGATGCTATCGACTGTGAGTATTATTACATTATATGGGTCGTATCATCACGCAGCCAATCTATTATACAGTAGAATATCTTGGATAAAATACCATTGTCATTGGTTATTGACCTTTTCATTGGGTAGAAATAATTTTTATTAAGTTAAAAGAAGAGATATGTATTTGTGAATGAATCTAATAATATTCTAAGTTCAATGTAATGGATGGATGAGAAATAAAAAAAAAAAAAAATAGAGGTAAATGCACGATAAAAATCATAATAGAAAAAAAAAAGTTGAAAAATAATGATGCTGAAGAAGCACAGAGTAGAGTCATCATTGTCCTATCCAAACTTTTGTCGAAGCTTATCGTATTGTCGTTTGTCCTACATATTTGCATGAACAGAATCCATAGAAATCGAAAAAAAGAGAATGTTTTTAATATCATGAATTTTTTTTTGATGATGGTCAGCCTTACGTGAGGTAAAACACTAGGAGAGACTCGGGTAAAGGCTGTATTAAAATGATCCATGGTGACGAAAATGTCATCAGCACTAGCAGATTTGTCCAATACAGTGACACCATGTTGATAAAACTTGCTTCTTAAAGAGGCTACGGCACTCTCCCGTACCAAAGATGCCAAATCAGCACCACTATTTTAGGACAAAAAAAAAAAGTCAATGAGAAAAAGATCCTAAAATAGATAGTTCTTTTTTTTTTTTTTTTTTTTTTTTTTTTTGGTTTTACCTAAAGCCTTCGCATCTTTCATCATCGGCAACAGTTCGTAAGGAGATTTCGGATGATAATGGAGTATTTTTGGTCAATTTGGTCAAAATATCTAATCGTTCTGCAGGAGTAGGTAATTCTACATATAATAATTTGTCCAACCGTCCAGGTCGAAGCATAGCTGGATCAATCATATCTAAAATTAGATAAGTATCATCGTTAGTTTTATTTCTCGGTTCGGTCCACATCCCCCCCTTTTTTTTTTTTCTTATTACCTGGTCGGTTGGTGGCTGCTATCACATAGACTTGACTTCGGTTTTCCGCACCATCTAATTCGGTAAGTAATGTATTGACTACACGAGCTGATGAATCAGTCTATCCACAAAAAAAAAAAATAAGTACTATTGCATTTTTCTGTTCAATATTTACCTGTTGATCATCTCGTCTAGAACATAATGCATCTAATTCATCAAAGAAAATCACACAAGGGGCAGATGCTCTTGCTCTCGCAAATACTTGACGTACACCACGTTCACTTTCACCAACATACTATTAAAAAAAAAAAAGAAGATTCAGTTACGATCATTCTCATATTATTATCTATATTTACCTTGTTCAATAATTCTGGACCTTTCACAGAGATGAAATTGGTATTACTTTCATTTGCCACAGCCTTCGCCAACAAAGTTTTACCACAACCAGGAGGACCCCATAATAATACACCGGCAGGTGATGTGATACCCACACGTTCAAAGAACTCGGGATGATTGATAGGTTCTACTACCGCCATTCGTAATTCATCACGTACATATTGTAGGGCTCCAATGTCATCCCATGATACATCCGGCACAGTTGCAAATCCTTCTCGTTTGGATGATGGTTGTACCTTGGTCAATGCAATCTTAAAATCATCTTGTGTAATTGCTAATGATTCCAATTGAGCTGGTGATAATGGTTCTTTGTGTGACTGGATAAACTCAGAGATCGCCCGAAGTTGTTCTAATGCTGATTGTGATTCGAATTCCTCTACTGTTGTTGTTTTGATCGCTTTGTCTTCAGTTGTTGTTTTGTTATCATCAGTGTTGTTGGGTATGATTGATGGCTGTAAAGTCGTAGTTTCTTGTCCCATTGTAGTAGTTATCGAATTAGTCCCATTCTCGCCTTGTTCATTCGCATTTGTGATACTGGTGACCAAATCCGTTGCAGATGTTTCATCTATGTCCATTGCATTGTCGTCAACCAAGAGAGGGGAATTCATACGTGACTGAGACAGGGATATTTGTCGTAAATGCTTGAAAATTCTTTTGACTGCAATCACACACCAGCTGTAGTGATCAATGCTTGTAAATCAGCACCTACATAACCGGGAGTAGCTTTGGCGAGTTCAGCGAAATCAAAGTCACCTTCCAACCGTAATTTGCCTGACAATACTGATAAGATCCTACATAAGTTTATATATTAATTTTCTTGACTTTCTCCACATTTCAACATTCCATTCTCTACTTAATTTTATATCCTTACTTTTCACGAGCTTTTTCATCTGGTACTCCCATACTGATTTCACGATCAAACCTTCCAGCACGTCGAAGAGCAGCATCCAGTGAATCAGGACGATTGGTTGCACCTATGATCATAACAGGTTTGTTGTTGGTCTTTTCCCACGAGAGATCTAATTAAAAAAAAAAAATAAAAAGAATATATGGTAACTATATAATCGAAATATACATATACAGTCTTCTATACTTACCATCCATACAGGTTAATAATTGTGCTACAATTCGTCGTTCCATTTCTCTTTGAGCTGTTTCCCGTTTTGGAGTAATGGCATCAATTTCGTCAATAAACAGGAGACAAGGTGCGCTTGCCTAATAGTAAATAATGGTAGTAAAAAAAATGCATTATAAGTTTGAATATCGTATACGATATTCATTTATTCTTTCCTTTCTGTCTTTTTTTTTTTTTTTTTTTTTTTTTTTTACCTTTGCATCTTCAAATACATCTCGGATCTTTTTTTCGGATTCACCAGACATGCCAGATACAATGGAAGGAGCCGAAATATTAATGAAAGGTACTTGTAATTCCTAATAAGGAATTAAAAAAAAAAGAAGTAAGTCACCAAAGAAGAAAAACCCAATAATCATAATAATTTGATTTATCTCTTTTTATCTTTACCCCAGCAATGGCATGAGCTAATCGAGTTTTACCACAACCAGGAGGACCATGTAATAAGACACCACGAGGAGGTTGAACACCAGTATGAATATATACTTCAGGATGAGCCAAAGGCATCGCAATAAGTTCCATGATTTCTTCAATACATTGATCGATACCACCAAGATCGGATAGCTTAGCATTAGGAATAAAAGCACCTTCACGTCCTTCAGCTATTAAACAAATATATTTGAATATTTAGACATTCTTTCTATATCAAGTTTCCCATCTTTTTTTTTCCTATACCTTTTTGTCTTTTAATTGCACCAGCACCTGATCCTTTGATTCGTCGTTTCCCAGTTAATTTTGTATCATCAATAGTCGCACCCTCATTCGTGGTTGCAGTTTCATTTCTCGTATCAGTTGAAGTCTCGTTTACCGAAGAAGTGATGGTATTGGTGGTCGCAGCAGGCGAGCTAGGCTGTGATGAACTTGGTTTGTGCATATTCCATAAATTGGTAACCGACTTGTTCATGGCATTGTTGTCTTGGGCAGGCTAAAATGAATAGTGTGTACGGTTAATATTGACAAGTAGGTTGGGATATAATCAAGCAATTTTTTTTTTTTTACTTACTATAGCATAGTCAGCATGATCGTCTTCATCTACGGACAGTTTTAGTCTAACCAAAAAAAAAGGTCGTGAGTTTCAATGTCACTATGGTTCAAAAATATATATATAGAAAAAAAAATTACTCTTCTTCGTCTTCTTCATCAGATAGAGTAGGGTCAAAGTTTTCTAACACTAATCATAAAAAGAAATACAAAGAAAGGGAGTTAGTAAAAAAGAAAAAGAAGGAATATTTGCTCGTCTTTTTTTTTTTCTGTACCTCGTTCAATAGCTTGTTCTAATTGTCGTTTTTTCATACGTCGTAATGAGCTATCAACAGTTTGAACATGATCTACAAGAGTTACCAAAGTCCAATCATTTTTGCCTTGTTCTTTGTATTGTGTAAAATATTTGGCGATTTTGAATTCCAAGGATCTTGACAAACGGCCTTGAGATCCCCCACCTGCTTTGTTGGATCTATGCATGGTGATTAACAAAGAATGAAGAGAAAGGGAATTGACAGAAAAAAAAACAAACAGATATTGAAATAAGCCCAGCCACTGCTGCACCCGGAACCCGGAGTCTCAAACAAGTCAATGCTTCCAAATTTGACCTGTTGCGGGGGGGACGAGGGAAGGGTGAAAAGAAATCGAATTCCTTTTTCCGCTGGGTTCCTTCCTTCTCTTTCATAATAGTTATCATGGCTAGAGTAAGTTACAAATTGAAAATTATAACTTGGAAGGAAAGAAGATCGATGATTACTGGAGGATGCTATAGGACAACATCTTTTAGACCGAAAAAAAACAACATACGATAATATTACGATTCGATACGATGATTTTGAATAATGGATGGATGAATATATAGATCAACCATCCATCCATCCATCCATCTAATTTAATCAGCAAGAGCAACTCTCTCTCATCCATCCATCCACTTTATTATTCATATGTAACGACGATAAACTAAAACATCAATTATTCTCATCTCTTGATTATTACGTGAACTTGATACTATTCGAACACAGCATACAATTGGATTAAATATAACAACATGATGATCATTTACGAACCATTACTTTCAACAACACATTGTCATCCTCCAGATTCATTTTTTTTCAACCTCCTTTTGTTTTTATATTTCTATGTTACGTTAGGATGAATGAACATGACATCTGATTTTTTTTTTTTTTTTTTTTATGATTTAGTTCCACGAATATCAAGTGGTGGGTCGCAAGCTCCCTTCTGAGCAAGACCGTACTCCTAAGCTTTACCGTATGCGTATCTTTGCTCCTAATGATGTTGTTGCCAAGTCTCGTTTCTGGTATTTCTTGGCCAAGCTTCGCAAGGTGAAGAAGACTGCTGGTGAAATCGTGTCTGTCAATGAAATCTTTGAAAAGCGCCCTGAACAAATCAAGAACTTTGGTGTGTGGCTCCGTTATGATTCTCGCTCTGGCACCCACAACATGTACAAGGAATACCGTGGTATGTCCCGTGTCGAAGCTGTTTCTACCTGTTATCAAGATATGGCTGCTCGTCACCGTTCTCGTTTCGGCAACATTCAAATCATCCGTGTCGCTGAAATCGCTGTGGCCGATGTCCGTCGTCAATACATTAAGCAATTGTTGGCTCCCAAGCTTGCTTTCCCCTTGCCTCATCGTCTCCAACGTGTTCAAAAGGCTCACCGCTCTCTCTTCCAAGCCAAGCGTCCCTCCACTTTCTATTAGGAACTTAGTGTCATGTAAATCTTCTCTTTTTACTTGTCCCTTTATTATTCTTTTTGTTAAGAAATAAAAAAAATCAAAATTCAAAGAGTTAGTTGTCATGGATTCTATCTTGTGATTATATGTGTGTGATGATAATAATGCTGATGATGATTCTTTGTGTGTATGATGACTGGGTAGAAGGATGACGAATGGATGATCTTTTTTTTTTTAATTTACTCTATAACTGCAATGACAATCTATGTAATTTCTGTAAGTCAAATGAAAGAAAATGGGTTTGTTTTACTTTGTGTTCGAATTTGGCATGATGGTGATGACTTTTGAGCGAGAAAGAGAAGACAAAAGTTTGATTCCAAGCTTATATGCAGGATGAAAAAATGGGATCAGTTTTTGGATTTTACAGCCAAAAATTTGGAACTCCTCAGCCAAACTTTGGCTGTAAAAAAAAATCGTCGAGGGGTCATCAGGCAATTTTTGGAAAAATCGATGAGTATTTATTGCACATTATCTGGCAGGATAAGTGATAAAATGGAATTAGATGATATTAGGCTACTTTTTTGAGAGGAATCCAATGGTGATCATTTTATGGGACGATGATCATTATTGGATGAGAAATGATGATATTGACATTTTTATTTTTTAATTTACTCTATAAATTGAGAGTTAAAGTATAAATTGTCATTAACACAAATGAAAGAGAAATTATTTCATCTATGTTTGATCATTTTTGAGCGAGTTGCAAAAAATAATAATAGATTTAACTAATAGGACGAAAGAAAGGCATGATTAAATAGAGGGTGCGGAGCCAAATTGCTCGAAACTGAGCTCACAGCTGCGTACTTCATTTTTTTTTTCGAGCAGGTCGCGTACTTTTTTTTTTTCCTCTTTCTTTTCCTTTTTTTTTTTTTTTTTGGATCGTCCATACATATAAATATATATATATTATATATTATGGCCTCTGCAACAACTGCTGCTCCAATGGACATTGATTCTTCTTCTGGTGTCAAAGACGATAGTTATGTCTTACCTTGGTAAGTAAATCGACTCAAATTGACATTAATGATATAAACAAATGGTTTGATCTTAATATTTTTTTTTTCTTTTATCTTGTAGGGTAGAAAAATATCGACCTATTATTCTCAAAGACGTGGTAGGCAATGAAGAAACAGTGGCTCGCTTGAATGCAATCGCTCGTGATGGCAACATGCCTAATATTATCTTGACGGTAAAAAAAAAAAAATATACCCATAAAATGTATCTTACCCTTTTAGATCCTACGACTTTGCTTATTTCGTATCTATTTGATTCTTAGGGTTTACCAGGAATTGGGAAAACAACAAGTATTCTTTGTCTTGCTCATGAATTATTAGGACCTGCATACAAGGAAGCTGTATTAGAACTGAATGCATCTGATGACAGGTATAACACCCCTCAAAAAAGATACAAGATATATTCGATGATATTGAATTCACCATATGCTTTTTTTGGATATAGAGGTATTGATGTCGTTCGAAATCGAATCAAGAGTTTTGCACAAAAAAAAGTGACTTTACCTCCTGGAAGACATAAGATTATCATTTTGGATGAAGCTGATAGGTAACAAAAAAAAAAAAAAAAATAGGATAGGCAATTGATGAAGAAGTAAATTATCCATCTCATTCTTCTTAACTTTATATATACATAGTATGACGGGTGGTGCACAACAAGCTTTGCGTCGTACAATGGAAATCTACTCAAATACAACGCGATTCGCGCTGGCGTGCAATCAGTCCAACAAAATCATTGAACCCATTCAATCACGATGTGCCACTTTACGCTACACCAAACTTTCAGAATCTCAAGTTTTAGCACGATTACAAGAAATTTGTACTGCCGAACATGTAAGAAAGAAAGAGAGAAAAAAAACGAATCAATGATGGTGTATTCAAAAAAAAAAAAAATGTTTTTTTTTGTACATTATATACCATAGGTACCTGTCACTGATGATGGATTGGAAGCTTTGATTTTTACAGCAGATGGAGATATGCGACAAGCCATCAACAACTTACAATCAGCATTTTATGGGTTTGGACATGTTAATGGGGACAATGTATTCAAAATTTGCGATCGTCCTCATCCTGTACTGATTCAAACAATGATGAAACAATGTGCTGATGGTAATGTACGTGCAGCTGGTGATATCGTTCGTGAACTTTACTTGAAGGGCTATTCATCATTGGATATCGTCACCACCATGTTCCGAGTCGTGAAAAGTTTTGATGAATTGGGTGATGAACTACAATTGGATTTTTTGAAAGAAATTGGATTTGTCCACATGCGAATTATGGATGGATATCAAAGTCTGTTACAGTTAGCTGGGCTTGTTGCCAAACTTTGTCAAGTCAAAACTTCAAAGACATAGTTTAGTGGTTTTTTTTTTATGTTCTTTTTTTATTTTATATCTTATATATATCGTATTCTTCCGCATCACACAATAAATACATATACTTTACATACTGTTAATTGGATAAGGGTAACTGACTTGGTGTTTTATTGATATATACATATAATGACAAGTTAAAGATGAATGAGAAAGGGATGTACAATTGTTGCTAACTAATGAAACTGTGGCAAAAGGAATAAATATTACATATATAAAAGAAGACGATATGATGAAGATTATATCTGGTACCGGCTTGGAAGTTTGACATCGTATTCTATGTATTGTTCAAAATTGTAACATGGTTAAAATAATGACACATACACACACTCTCTCACATAAAATAAAGCAATTGTACTTACGAGCTTCATCGATGATGGTTTGATTATCAACACATTGTTGAATCCATTTTGTCGTCACAAAATAAGGGGGGTTGATCGGATCCCTATATATAAAAGTGGTACATCAGTCAAGTATTTTATCATAATAGTCAAAACTTACGTTATCAATTGCTTTGTCGCCTTTGAAATGATTTCCATAGTTTCATCTTCCTGCATGATAACATGGGTGATTGTTTTGTCTCGTTCATCCATGACTATAGTTCCACCATAAAACCGGATCAAAAATGACATTCTCTTGAATATATCACATTGATGTTGTTGTTGGACCCATGTTATTGTCTTACTATCATTGTTCGTATTATGATCTTGGGGTTGAGGATAAAAATAGACACGTACACCAAAGAAAAACATGCCAGGGATACCATCACTACTAAAATATCGTTGTCGTATTTCATCCACATCCTTAACCGTTGCTGTGCTTGGAATAATGTCCCATATCTAACATACCCAAAAAAAAAAAAAAAAAAAGGAATTAGGATCCATCTCTTTGATATCTGAGCCTTTTGTTCCTTTTTTTTCACCTCTTTCAAACTTTGATCTGTGGCATCCTCCGTATATGGATCTCCATACTTGTCCATTCTCATCATAAATTCCTGTTCAGTCTTGTCAGTGGTAAATAACATATATCTATATAAATTCCATCAGATTAGAGATGATGTCGATCAAACCATATATTCTATTCTTCTTTTTTTCTTCTTTGGCACTTACTTGGGAGCAATAGGAATGAGCTTTTGCGTTTCAATACAATCCAGAATCCATTGAGGAAGAATAACATCACACGTTTTAAGATGAATCAAACTGTCCACTCGTATATCTATATTGAATAATAATAATAATAAGTTTGAAATCATATACATTATTTGTTTATCACCAATTCTATTATGTTTTCCAATGACTTACTATGTTTGCCAGCAATCACAAAGTCGACATTGCTATCCGTTTGTCTAAAGTCTCCACCATTTTCTTTGATCATGTATTCCAATTTAGATTTTGTGATAACACTGTTTATGCCATTAATCACATCTAAAAATTGAAAGTAAAGAAGTTAAGAAGGTTATACAAGTCTCCTTTTTTTTTTTTTTTGTATTAACTTACAGAATTTGAGATCTCCAAACAAAGTGGACACTTGGTTGATATGTCCGGTTTCCACTCCTTGTTGGCTTGATGCAAGACGTAACGGTGTTTTCTACAAATATATAAATATATATTAATCGAAACATTCCTGTATCCTTGTGTATCATTTATTCAATGATAATGACATACTATAGGCCGTGATGGTGATTTTCGCTGCTTCTTGGTCACATTAAACCTAAAAAATAAAAAAAAAAAGTTCATTAGTTCCATGACCTTCACTAGTAACATCTATGATAAGAAAGAAAAAAAAAAACTTACGAGAAATCGTTTTGTGTATAGGTTTGTGTTTTGTGTTCAATACTTCGTCGAACTTGCATAATTTCTATGGATGATCATTACCAAATTGAGTCAATACCATATATGGTCTCTATTCATCCATTTTTCTTCTTCTTTACCTGAATAGGTCATACAATCGTTCCATGATTTGTCATGACGGAATCGAATGAATCTTGGGAATCGCAAAGTAGCACCAGCACCCCACATTTCTACATAAACAATAAAATCGGATGTATTAACAAAGGTTTCTTTATATATATATCTTCTTTGAACTTACGTGAGAATACAACTTCAGAAGCTTTGACTTCAATTACCACAGCATTACGATAATCATTCACCAGGACATCAGGAGCTTCCGTTGATCTTTCCGGATGATCCAACCATGAAGGGAGATTTCTTGGATTATATTTTCGAATATCTTGAAAGAATTTCCCAAATTCCTTAATTTCATCAAAAGAAAAACCAGTACCAATCATACTAAACGATACAAAACTATAATAGAGAAAAAGAGAGAGAGAAAAATTAAGTTCGATAAAACAATTGGTTTTCCTCTTTTTTTTTTAAAAAAAAAAAATCATACTGAGGTGGATCAGAGGCAGGTTTTCGATCATCCCGTAATGCACACATGAATTGAGCAATCTTGTTTCCACGACGTCCAGCTCCGTATTTTCCTCCTATTCATTCTTTAGTTAAAAAAAAAAAAACAATATTTTCAAATAAAACAATTATCGTTTTCAGTTTCTTACCAACCACAAGTAAATCACAGTTTTCACCAAGAGAATCGAAATAATCTGGTTTGATCTTGATCCAAGTCTTATTTCGTTCACCAGGTTCATATCGAGCACCAGGATTCTTGAGCATAATACCTTCTTGTCTATTATAACAAAATAGCTGTTAATATATTTGTAGTTAAATATTTACTTTCATGGTCTTACCGTTGTTCAACCACTTTATTCATTTCGTTCAGTATATCTTGTTCTGTTGTTCTTTCCTTGCGCTCCAATATATTGATATAACCCCTTCTCGGTTTCACCAAACTTTCGAGAACTTTAAGACGGTCAGAAAGAGGATAATCCACTAAAGGGGAACCATTACAGAAGACAACATCGAATACAATGACTAGAATAAAGTATCATATCAGTTAATTCTAACCTATTATTACAAGTCTAACAAGATCAATAATAGTAATAACTACTTACAACAAGGCCGAGCCTTATCAAGTTCCAAAGAGTCATCTAAAGGAATTAGACACGGATACAATTTTTTTTAGTATACAAAAGTGAAAAAAAAGGACATCCATCTTACCTTTTGCTGAAGATTTCAAGGTACCAAAAGGTAAGAACACATCCAATTTAGGATCATAAGCTACCATCTCACCATCCAGAATCAAACTAAACAATAATAATAATAATAATAATATATATATATATATAAAGAAGAAGTAGAAAAGAAAAAAATAGAAAAGTAAATCAAGTCATTATTATCATACTTGGTCAAATATATACCTTTTTGCCTTTTGTAAGGAGTCCACAATTTCGGCCGCCAATTTCCCTTCTTCAGTAGGACTTGCACCATAAAGATCCGTATAATCCGTTGCTTTTCTACGATTATTGTTATAAAGAAGAAATAAAACATGATAGATAAATTAAAAATTAAATGCTTCAAATAGAAATGAGAATGATCATTTGATTTACCTTGAGTACCATTGAAACTTTTGAGTTGATTGTTCATAGTGCATCTGCATACGTTCTCCGTCAATTTTTTCTTCTATATAAAATATACCATTATGTTTAACATGTACACAATCCTTGATCTGTCCCTTGAATCCCAATTGAGGTTTGAATGGCCTAAAAAGAGAAATTGTCTATAGAAAATATATAAAAATAGTATAGATTGAGTCAATGTGTCATTTTGTATTGTGTTTAATATTATTTCTTTATTACCGTTTTTCCTAGTTTTGTGGTTGGGTTGCGTAAGTCTTCGCATACTTTCTTGAGATTACTACAGACACTATAGAGTTCACGTGCTTGAGGATGATAGACATCAAATATAGAATTTTCAGACATGCCCATTTTTAAGTCCTTGAGTATGATACGAATGATCCAACGTTGTTCAAATGCAGTATAGTGATTGACCACATATTTAAAGATATCCGATTTCTTCTTATCATCACTAATACATAAATTTAATATAAATATATTTCACATACAACAAAAGTCGTGTTTTTTTTTTTTTTTTTTTTTTTTTTACCTTTCAGATCGATTTAATGTATCTAATAAATCATTGACATCTTGAACAGTTTGAGTCGGAGTTGTCACGGTAGATCTTCTTTCAATAACATCAGAAGCAATTGAAGCGAAGTCACCAGATGATTTCTAATATTAAAAAAAAAAAAAAAAAAAAAAAAAAAAGAAAGAGAGAGATTAAAATGAATGATTATCTCATATAAATGTTATTTTTAATACCATTTTGTTAGACACTGAAGGTAATTTCCATTTTGAGAGATTGTATGCATCTTCAGATTGAGCTCCTAAACCCAGTGAATCGATATATGCTTTAGCCAATTTCGCTTCTTTGATCCCATATCTTGTTCTATCCAACTATTAAAAAATAAAAATAAAAAGCTTAAAATAAATAACATTTTACAAGAGTTTCTTTTTTTTTAAAAAAAAAAAAAAAAAAAAAAAAAAAAAAACTACCTGAGGCAATAGTAAACGCATCAGTCCATAAAATTGATCACCACATTGTTGTCGCCAACCATAAAAGAATTTACCAACCATTCGTTTCTTATCTTCAGCACTACGAGATTCATTGATGTCCTGCATAAGTTTACAGACATGAATGAATAAAGGGGATCCCATTTTCAAAAATACTATAAAGAAAAAGAATATAATGTATAAAGAAAAGGTGAAAAGAAAAAAAAGACGGAGTAAAAAATTCAACAAAATCAAGAAAAAAAAAAGATCCCCACCACAAAAAGTGACAGCATGGCTACTTATTCTTTTTATATAGATATATATATTATATATATTTATTATTATTTTACTTATTTATTTATTGTATGGGAATAATTGTATATATTAAACTACTACGGTTGATGAAAAATCAGCACCAACCACTTTGGATAAATCTAGTTTGAGTTTGCTAATGTCCATATTTGCTGCTGAAGGTTTTTCTGTTGGCATGATACTTTGATAAATAGTCGTTTGATCCTTTGCCCAAGTTGACTGGAGATCTTGTTCAAATGCTGTTTCTGAGTCTCGAATGATCTAATACAAAAAAAAAAAAAAAAAAAAAAAAAGTTTGACGAGTTGTTACTATATATATATATTCTCCTACCTCTTGTTTTTCACTTTGGATCAAGTCGATAATGGTATGTGTTCGTCTTTGATAAAAGTAGCCATCAACATCGGTATCTTGAATAGGTTGTCGTTGTTCTATTGGAACACCAAGATGAATCGTACCAAGCTCTCGCATAAGAACTTGTGTATTCACTCCACTCTGTGCTAAGAAATAGTGTCTATTTTGGTTTATTAAAAGAAAAAAAAAATCTTAGTATGATAATCCTACTCTTTCTACTTACAACACACACACAAACAGTGTAAAGTATACATACGCTCTAATATCCACATTGTCATCTTTCTGAATCGTTTTGCTAGAGAGTTTCTTCGTTTGGGAGTCAATTTGTTCCAAGCCACGTTCAATAGGAGGTAGATCTTGTTGACTAATCTTCGACGCTTGTAGTTTTGAACGTTCTAAAATCTGTTTCAAAGATACTTTTTGATCATTTGTTTGATAAACCATATCTAAATTAATAAGTATAAAATAAAATAGAAAAGGAAAAAGAACGAAAAAAAAAAATAATGTGTAACGAAATTTTTACAGTTTTCAAAGATTTTGTCGGGTCACAAAAAAATAATTTCGTGATATTATAAAATAAAAAATATCCAAGATGGATGTCGCATTACCACTTTTTCAGATATCACTCCAGAATATGTCAAAACACATGGATTGATGATACAGTATATTAATCATTCTCTTCTTTTTTTTTAAAAAAACAATCTCCTTTGGTGTTTCCAATTCAAATTATATAATCAACCTGTAAACAGCAACGTATGAATATATGTTATCGCCTCTTCATGACGATGCATTTAATGATTTTCTACAGGTAAGTTAAAATAAATATATAAAAAAAATGGATATGATGACTAAATATATATTTTTTTTCTGTTATTTAAAATCTCTTATACTCAATGGAAACTACTGCCACTCCTTTTCTTCTTGTATTCAATTTGGATTATGTATCAATTATTTTTTTTTTCTTCTGTCATCTATGTTCTTTCCTTACGATATTTTATTTTCTATTTTTGCGATATCTTATTTTTGAATTCCCTCATTTATTATTGAATAAAGTGAAAATGCTTGTTGATCATCCAATTCGATAGAGACATGGTGAAGGAGAGAAGGAAGATAGAGTAAAAACGGACAAGTAAGAATGCTTTATTGTCAAATCAGAAAAATACTAATAATAATAAAAATTCATTTGACACCAAAAGCTATAAATGTAAATACAAGTGAGTAACTGATACAAGCATTTCATCACGTCCATTTACCTCCTTTGTAAGGAACAATTTCCCACGATTTCCAAACATTACCACGAACGTAAATATCACTTTCTACAAAAGCTTTTGCCTTCTCAAGAGAATCAGCTTCTATAACCAGCAAGCTACCAAGCATTTTGCCATTCTACATGACCAAAAAAAAAAAAAGGTAAGTTCTTAGGTAATGAATATAAATAGAAGATACCTCGTGAGAATCCAATAAAGCACCACCCATTTTGAGAGTACCATGTTCATGTGCTTCTTTGGCTTTTCCTATGTGTTCATTTCTAACAGAAAGACGACGTTGTAAACCTTCTTCACCAGGATGGTCTCGAGCAATTACCGCGAAAAGTTGCCTTTGAACTAATAATAAAAGGAAAGATGTTGATACATTTATATATATTTCTAATTTTATGGTTATACCTGAAGATGTTGAAAATTTTCGAATGGGTTGAAGCATAAAAAGATAATGATAAATGAAAAGGTGAGAAAAAAAGAGACAAAAGAAATTTCTTTAAAAATGATGGACTAAGGCGAGAAAACCAAAAAAAGCAACGGCGTTTTAAAAAAGGATTTGATGAGTGATCACTTCGATTGTATTTTTAATTCATATATTGTTTATGCATTATTGTATCAACATTCGAATAGAAAAAAGAGAAAAATTATGGTTCATTTTTGACATTTAGAACTTCCTCAATGGAGTTTTACGGATGATCATCCAAGTAAAAAAAAAAAAAATAAGGTCCACTTTTCGACAATAGCCATTCTTGAATGAATTTTTGTGAATAATCGTATCAACATTCAAATCACAAGTGAGTAAACATACATTTTTTATTTTTATATAAAAACTATGGAGAGAGTAACATATAATATAATAATGGTTATTGTACTATTCTATAAGTTGACCTACTTTCAAATAACAGAGATCATCCATGGAAGGCACCTTTTCACCAATCACACCAGCCTTTTGCAACGTAGATAAAGTCACTTGAATAGCACGTCGAGAGATTCCAGTATGATCAGGAGCATAATGAACAGTCTTGAACCAATTATGGACATCTTCTTCTTGATAATCTAAAATACGGATAATATGTTTCACTGATTCATCTTCCTTTTGTTCCATAAATAAAGTAGTGGCCTTTTGAATAGCATTCAAAACACGAGGTAATTCGGGTGCATCCAAAACATCTACATGAGCAGCAAACATAAAAGCAGGCCAAGGAGGTGTAATCTTTCCAATACATCGTACTTCCTTTGAATCATGATATGGTTTGGTAGTAAATAATTCCCACATAAAAAAATCGGTAGATCCATCATTGACAGAGTCACGCATTGCTTTGAAATTGTTGAGAACAGTAAAATTCATAGGTGCATCCGAATGTTCACCGGTTTTCTTGTTGTTCAACCAACCTTGTTGATCTGCTAATACGTAAGCCATGATTTGAGATCCAGAACCATAACGAGAAATACCACAATTGCTTTTATGTAAACTATCAACAGAATGATGACGTGATTCTTGTCCTGTCGAGATAGCCCAACCTACGATATATAAATATTTTGTATCATGCTATTATCTACATATATATTATCAACTTACATAATGGTGCATCTACATATGTTCCTATAATTTTGTACCAATCTTGACCTTTACTAATACCAGCAACTAGACCTTCTGTCAAAGCAATTGCTACATCCAAACTTTTATCTTCCAATTTGGCAGTCATCTAAAGAAGAAAAAAAAACCAGGATAATACAAGGTGAAACCATCCTACTTTTAAAAATATAGACTTTTTTTTTTATATATAAAACCTACTTCGCCAGTGCCACCTAATACATGATAAACATGAATATATAAATAAATTGAGTATTTCCAAACAATACAGAAAGAATGATATAAACAACTTTTTTCTTTTTTTTTTGGTTTTACCTGGACAACAGACAAGCTCCACATTGACATTGTTATCGCGGAAGAATCCTTGTTCTTTAGCAATATACAAAGGAGTTGAGAAATGCTCGGGAACTACAAGAGATATACGTCAAAGAAAATAAAAGTTAATTAGATATAAACAAGACCATTTATTTATTACCGTAACCAAGACGAATAGTTCTACTAGACATGACGAGACAAAAAGAAAAGTTCAGTGGTGAATGGAAAAAAAAAAAGAAAAGAAAAGAAAGGAAAATATAAAAAAAAAGAAAGATTGTCGGTGATCAAAAACTATAAAAAAAATCAAGATAGACTATGACCACACATCAAGCTGAACGGACGATTATCGACCTATTCCTGGAGTCATTGTCCTCATCATCATCATATATCATCAACATCACTACCTTATATTATCATACATCATCACTAATCATATATTACCATATATCATCATCAGATATTCCATCACTAGTATGATCATACATCATCAATACCCTATACCTAATTACCATGAATAAAGTCGAAAACGTACATATTGTAATTTATTTTTCAAAAAAAACAAAAGAACAAAAGAGGGAGCTGTATATAAAAACAAAGAAAGTAATGATGATAGTAATGTAAAAAAAAATATGAGTAGTAAAAACACCACCAATTTGTTTCCAAACGTTTAACGGTAAGACTTTTGGAAACGAGCACGAGCACCAGGACCACCAAACTTCTTGGGTTCGCAACGACGAGGATCAGCAACAAGGAGAGTACGATCATATTGGACAAGAATTTCCTTGATTTCCTTCTTGGCAGCTTCGTCAACGTACTTTTGGTAGAAAGCAACAATGGCCTTGGCAAGAGCTTGACGGATAGCATAGATTTGAGAGGTGTGACCTTAAAAAATAAAAAAAAAAAAAAGAAGGATGATTTAGATCCATATCAGATTATATGATATATTCTTATATGATATTACTTACCACCACCTTGGACACGGAGACGAATATCAACGTTAGCGAAACGTTCTTCACCAAGGAGAAGGACAACTTCGTAAACCTTGAACTTCAAGATTTCAGGTTCAAGGAGTTCAAGAGGAGAACCATTGACACGAATGAGACCACGTCCACGCTTGCAGTGGGCAACAGCAGTAGCGGTTTTCTAGAATTAAAAAAAAAAAAAAAAAAAAAAGTAATAGTCAGATTAATGTATTCTCCTGTAGTTTGATCCTATTGTCCTTTCTATTGTATCGTTCCTCTTTTTTTTTTTTTATTTTATTTTTCTGCATTTGTCGTTCTTCCCAATTCGATATCTTTCATGATAATCCCATGTCCACTTTTTTTTTAATCGTTACACACCTTGCGACCGAAAGTTTGAACAGCTTCCATATCTAGAGAATCAAAAAAAGTGATAAATTCAGTATATGATGAAGTCAATAAAAGAAAAAGAAAAAAAGGAAGAAGGATGATATGGATGGATGGATGCACGGATGGATGGATATCTTTTTTTTTTCGATGTATGGGTGTCTTTTTCTTTTACCTTTAATGAGGGAGGGAAAAAAGGGAATCCTACAAAATTCAAAAAGTGGACAACAAAAAACATGCCTGGCGGGAAATGAAAAACCCGGACTGGAGCTCTAGCCCGTTACAGGCTGCTAGAGTAGTATGGACCTCTCTACCTTTGAATTTTTTTTCCCTTCTCTTATCTTCTAGTTATCAGCTATGGTAAGAAGCATGAATATAGAAAACATCCATCCATCCATCTATCTAAACAGCAAATCGTTATTATCCAAAATTTTCTAATCATTATTCTTTCCATGCATATAGCCTACTAGATTGCATCACAACAGAAAGAAGCGTGGTCACGTTTCCGCTGGTCACGGTCGTGTTGGTAAATGATAAGACAAACAACAATGAAAAGCATCAAATATCCATCGACATGAATATTGAACCTATATTATTATCATTATTTTGAATTTGTCCATTTATAGGTAAGCACAGAAAGCATCCTGGTGGTCGTGGTCTTGCTGGTGGTCAACATCATCATCGTATCAACATGGATAAGTACCATCCTGGTTACTTTGGTAAGGTCGGTATGCGTCATTTCCACTTGAAGAAGAATCCTACCTGGCGTCCTGTCGTCAATTTGGATCAAATCTGGACTTTGGCTGGTGAAGGTGTCCGTGAACAATACAAGAACACTGAAAAGGTTCCTGTCATTGATGCTCTTCAAAACGTAAGTATATATATTACTATTATTATTAGGAATCCAGATTTAATTTATTTTTTATTATAGGGTTACGGTAAGGTTTTGGCTAAGGGTCGTGTCTCTCAACCTGTCATTGTTCGTACTCGATTCGTCTCCCGTCGTGCTGAAGAAAAAATCAAGGCTGCTGGTGGTGGTAAGAATATTGAAATCAGAGTGGGAGGGATTATATCATCGATTTGATGGTGATCAATGTGTCATGATGACTGATATTTTTTTTTTATTTCCATTATAGTTGTTGAACTCATTGCTTAAATGTACCTTTTTTTTTTTTGTTATCTTACTTTTATAATAAAAAAAACATGTTTGATCTTACTATTTTATGATCTTATGTTGGGATGAGGGATGATGGCTGATTTATGCAACAAATAAAGATAATGATCAATGATAATAGAATAGAAAATGCTGAATTCAATAGGATGGATGAATAACGTTGAAGATAGATTACACTGAATTTGACAATAATGACGAAGATCATGTAATAAAAGTAGAAGGACTTCATTTCTTTTTTTTTTTTATTGAATAGACGACAGGGAGGATAAAACTAAAACTACTGATGTGTCATTGGACTGAATAGAATACAAAAGAAATATATCTTGAGATATCAATGCTTGTAATGATGCTGATGATGTTTTTCTTCTTTATGTTCCTTGATTTCATGTGCCACAAATGCTCCAAGTCCAAGGGCTCCAGCTGCACCAAGAGCAATTCCACCGTATTTCTATAAAAAAAAAAAAAAAAAAATAATTCAGTTTCCACTTATTGTTATCTTGTTCTCTTTTTGTTTCCAACTTACCTTCCAATCAGTTGATTTATCTTGATCTTGCGATGCTTTGTCGGGTTGAGATGTTCCAGGCATTTGAAAACCTTGTTGTTGGTTATGTTGTGGATAAGATGGAGGATAAGCTGAAGGGTATGCTGGAGGATCGTTGGAAGATGTGGCAGGAGGAGTAAAGGGAGGAGGATTACCAGCACCATAATTATCAGGAATAGGTTGTTCAGGACCAAGAGATGCAAATGAAGATTGTCGATCGGGTTGACCAAAGGCAGGTGGTTGTTGTTGTTGATGATGTTGCTTTTCTTGAGGATATTCATTACTTGCGAAAGATCCAGAATAATTTGGAGGAGGAGGTGGATAATCAGATGAAGGTTGATAATGTTGCTTTTCAATTCGAATCAAAAGATGACCTAGAGTGGAAGCATTATTGTTGGTTGGGTGAATAGGAATCCAAACCTCTTCTCTTTGATTTTGATAGATCACAGGTGTCAAATCAAATCTACCCACACCAATAACACCAGAATCAGAAGGATTTTCATTAATAATTTCCAAGTGTAATTCGTTATGGCCTTCAGGAATAGGTCTAATATTCAAATCAAATCGAAATTTTATTGGTTGTTAATAATAAAACTTGATATTAACTGGCTAAACTTCAACTTACATTGTAAGAGTTTGATTCCATTGAGGTTCAGGACCTCGTTGACTTTGTGTACGATGTTTATCAGTAGATACAATGTAACAACCCAAAAAAGCGTTGATATCTTTAAAGGAAAAAAAGGAAAGGTAAGCAAATGATGTTTATTCATCTGTTCGTTCTTTTTAATAACTTACTATTCAACCCGTTTTCAGCAAGACCACGGATAGTAACTAATAATAAAAAAAAGTATGAATAAGATAAAACCATATAAGTATATATATATTTTTTTTACCTGCAGTAACTTGGAGATTGCCTATAGTCATGGTGATATAAAAGATAGGTATGAAATAAAAAATAAAAATAAAAAATAAAAATAAAAATAAAAAAAAGAAGAGGAAAGAAAGAAAAGAAAGGAAAAAAGAGGAAATCCTAATTTTGAAAGCGCGTGGAACTATTTTTGTCCCACTGCAAAACGAAATGCCAAGGCCTGCCTGAAATTGGAAGTCCGTTTTTTTGAATTTCAACGGTTCCCTGGTTCATTGCATTGTTCTTTTCCTTTTTCTAACAAATGTACCTGGTCCGTATTTTATCTGCTGCGCGTTATTTCGTTTTGGCTTTATTTTTTCAACAAGCTTTTACATCAGCTCTATCTACGAAACAGCAATCTTTGGAAGAACTCAATCCAACTTTTCGAACTTCCAAGAATATACTATTTGCTTGTACAGTGGGTGGATCAACACATGCAAACTGGGTATTAGCTATTCTGAATGAATTGGAAACAAGAGGACACAACGTGACTTTTGCAACAAGGGTAAATTCTCACTAGTTTCTTTTATTTTTTTTTATTTTATTTTTTTTAAGAAAACACTAAACGTTATTTCATAGGATGATCACTCTCGATTTGGGAAAAAGTATGGTATTGACACTATTTCGGTTGGTCCACCTACTGTACCAAAACAACATATCATTTTTGAAGACAACAAGCATCTTGATCCTAATACTGTTATGGGTACTTTGATTGGTCACATTGCAGATGCCTACTCCTCAGGTAAAAATAGAGATCAACACTTCTTTCGGTTCAACCCTTGATTTTCTTTTTTTTTTCTCACTCTCTTTTTAAGAATACAATGCTTTCAAGGAATTGATCAAGACAAGGCAAATTAATTTGGTTATCTGTGATCACTTTGTGGATTCTTGTATTGAAGCTGCTCGGTTCCATAATTTGCCGTTTGTTATTACATCCACTTTGGCTATCGCTCCAGGTAAAGAAAGAAATCAAAAAAAAAAAAAAAAAGGTCGATAAACGATCTATACATTCCATATCTTACAATTGTTTTTTTTTTTTTTGACGAATAACTAGATGCACGTGCAAGTTTTATTGGTAGTGGCATTAGTCTTTATGGTGTCCACAATAATCAACTTAGTTTGTTCGAACGTATTCATCACAACTACCTCTTTACAGCGAGCTTTTTGTGGCGCAATTTCAATACATTGATGAATGTTGCAAAGATCAAAAAGGATCTTGGAATAGTAGCATCAGCAGATACGATGGCATCTTGGAGAAATTCGCTCAAACTAGTAAACACAGCATTTGGATTAGAAAACGCTCGCCCTTTAGGACCACTTGTGGAATTCATTGGACCGATTTTACCGCAACATTATCAAAGTCTTAAGAACACGCCTTATGAAACATTTTTGGATCGACATAATCGTGTGATCTATGTGGCCTTTGGACAAAATGCTATTCCTTCTCTTTTGGATCGACAATTGATATGGTCTTCTCTACTCTCTTTGTTGGATGTTGGTGATATCGATGGTGTAATATGGGCCGATGGATTCGCAGATAAAGTATCGCAACATAGCAAATATATCACACTTCAACAAAAGGAATATACATTACTGGATATTAAGTCTCGTTCGGATGTGTTCATATCGTCTTGGGCCCCACAAATGGCAATTCTTCAACATTCTTCTACAGCGGTTTTTTTAACTCATGGTGGAGCTGGTTCTTTATACGAATCCCTTTATGCCGCTGTACCAATGGCTGTGTTTCCTTTTGTAGGAGATCAATTAGGTAATAATCAAAGGTAGAAACTACAGGATCAATCCTAACATCCTTTTTTTTTTTTGATATAGGTGCAGCTCGGAATATGGAAGATCAAGGATTAGGAGTGCGTCTAGATCGTGATGATACAGTGTCAAATACCGCGGCATTATTGAGAACATTAGTTGACAATACACAAGACAATAGTAACTTGGGTTATAAAATCCGTAACAACGTCAAACGCTACAGTGCTCTGATTCAAATACACTCACAACATGCTGTGCAACGTGGTGCTGATTTGATCGAAGAGGTGGTATTTGCTGGAGTATCCCATCGGTTTGAAGCATCAAGGAACATGACTTTCTTTAAGGTCTATAATCTGGATATCTATCTTTTGTTTGCGTCAATAGTCATGGTGTGTCTATGGATAGGACGATGGATCATTCAACAATTATACCGCAGAATGGTACAACGGTCAGCTGGAGGCAATATCAAATCAAAATTACAATAGTTTGAAGCATTCTCTCTTGGTGAAGATGATGATGATGTATTTAGCTTTGTATCACTTTATTTGTTTATATAGATAGATCCATAGATTTTAATAATACTACAACTATTCAAATCAATAAAGTCATATCCATGTTTATTTTCCTACTATTACTGTATTACTATCATATCTACATCCTCGATCATTGGCAAGTAGCTAGCATTCAAATAGGAATAAAATGGATTTGGATCTTATCATAATCCTATCATTTTTTATTTTCACAGGTCCAGTTTATTATATAGATAAAACTCGAATATTTGGATCATATTGACAAGTACATTGTTATATGAATGATTCTATGATATTATACATAATAAGACATAAACATAAATCAAAAAGTAAGAATTGGATTCTTTATTATTAAAAAAAAAAAAAAAAAAAAGAATGAAATAAAATATTTGTCATGGAGGACTAACTGATGGACACATACACTATTCAATCTGACTACGTAAAAATCCCAACATAAAAGGCACCATCGAATTCTGGACAACCAACTTTATGATTTCATGACCGCGTTTGGTAACCACATTGGTGCCACCACCAGATAAGGAGATCAGAGAGCTACGGCTATTTTCACCACTGGCATCATCTTTTTTCTTTTGTTGCGATAGAATTTTACCATTGTCTGTTGATGTTATCCTTGTATCAGTTGTATCGTCCTTTGAGATGACCATCTCTTGCTGATGTTCACCTTTGTTCTCTTCAGTATCATCCTTGTTCGTCCCTGTTGCTGTTGCTGCTGCCGCTGCTGCTGCTGCTGACCGCATAGTCACACTAGCCGTCCCTTTTTTCACTTCATCTGCCAGTAATAATTCCTTTAGTACTTGTAATGCTACACGTTCTTCCGCAGATGATAGTGATGATGATGATGATGATGATGGTGTTGCCAATATAGATGATGATGATGCTGAAGCTGTTGAATTTGTTGACATGGGGCGTTTCTTGTGAATGTTCTTAATTGTTTTCGATGATGATGTTGAGTCTCCACCACCTACAAGCACAACACATCCACATAAATTCGCCAGATGGTACATCCACGCCAGTTTCTCGTTTTCTGTTTCCACACTAAACATATACCGTCGTTTTACCATAGTCGATTTGCTTGATGTCACAATACCTGATCCATCTTGTGCTACTGTTGATGCTGAGAGTGCTTCATCCGATTCGTCTTGCACAGGAGTTTGTGATGTTGGAGTAATGGGTGATGTCAATTTGTTGGAATGGTTGTTGGTGTTTTCTATATTTTTGCCACCATGGGTATCGTCATTATCATTGTTGTTTCCACTAGTAGATGTAGTTTTCGCTGCTGCTGCTCTTGCTGCTTTGATCGCTGCTGCTTTGACAGCACGTATATCGGTATGACTGAAAGCAATCTGGAAAGTGAATCGCATAAAAGGTCGTTCCACTACAATGGTCTTGGTTCTTGGTAAAGCTGGACTGACATAGTTCCCTGCATGAATTCCAGATTTGATAAACATAAGACTGGTACGTCCTAGAGTGTTGCCGGTGATGGTGAAGGATTGTGTATTTGAAGTAGAAAAATCGAGAACATTGGGTTGAATCACTAAATCTTGTCCACGTAGCTTAATTTGAAGACCGGCATCAGGTTGTGGAATGGACAAAGTAATTTCTGCGGATGCTACACCCTTGATCAATCGTGTTGGAAGTCGATGAGGTGTTACTGTGATGATTTCGCTATTGTCTTCGATGTCGTTATCATAGTTTTCATAGTCATCAGTTTCATTTTCTTCATCATGATCGGGAGAATTTGTGATATCATTGTTTGATGTAGATGTCGTTGCCTTGTTATCCCTGCCAGTTTCCAAGCGTTCATTTAAAATCGATCGATACATTTCTTCCATAAATTCTCGAGGTACCAAAGTATACTGATCAAAATGAGTCCATCTCTCCAAGAATTCTTGTAAAGTTGTTTGATGGGGTTGTCCAGATTTTTCACGTAAAGCTGTAATGTAATGAAGAGGCTCCACAGCGACACTATCTCTGTGATGTAGATGATGGTGGCGATGTTGATATTGTCCACGATCAGCTACAGTGGAAGATCTTGTTGTCATAGCGGAGAAAGACGATGTTTTTTCCTCTGGTGGTGATGGTGTGGATATATTGTCGCGATATTGATCCATGGTCGTTGCACGTCGAGTCAATCGTTGTCGGTCACTTTTTTCTTTTTCTTTCCTGGCGTACCAAAAAACATCCTTATTACTATCGGCATCGTACCAAATTTCGGCATTGAGGAAGAGCATAGCCACTACTACCTTGACAACCATATCTTCATGAAACTTGACCACATTTTGATTTGCATCATGCCACTTTTTAGCGAATCGTTCAATCACGTATTCCAAAGATTCCCAATGACTAGGTAGGCGAAAAGTTGTCAATAAAATGCGTAAAGCTTCATCTAATCGAAGACCAACTAAACGGAAACAATCCAGAAAAGCATCATAAATATCCCCATGTTTCCTATCCCCAAGATAGGCTCCAAGTTGTCTTCGGTTGAGATCTGGTGTCTTGAATAGAAAGTTGGCAATACTAAGAGGATCCAATGTCAATACTTGTTTGCTTAAAAGATAGTCAATACCAGATTCCGCACTAGATTTGAATTTTCGTAAAGCTGTTGCCAAGATAGGATGCATCTTTCGAGGTGGCGTAGGAGAAGACACACCTTGTTGTTGTTGTTGTTGTTGTTGTTGTTGTTGTTGTTGTTGATGTTGTCGTCGCAAAAGTTGATCTTCTGGAGTCAAATAGAGAGTGAGTTTGCTGAGTTCAACAATATTCTTGACTTGGAATAAACTGTTTTCATTGGGTCTAAAACGATATCGAGTATCACCATGGCCTCCATTTTCACTATTACGTACAGAGCCTCCACCAACAATGATGTTTTCATCCATAATAGGTTTGCATATCAATAATAGATCGTTGAAAAGAAATAGGTAGCGATCCTTGACGGTGTTTGCATTGACAACTTCAAATACTGGTGATTGCAACAAGTGGGATCGTGGACTTTTCCTTGCGAGTTTATTAGATGCTGGTGTTGTTGTAGTCGTTGAATCCAATTTTGATGTTGTTGATAAGTCCAAAGGCGGTAGCTGTGGTGGTGATGGTGGAACCATAGGAAAATATTGTTGATGTTTTTCGTCGTGATCATCCAAAGACGGTAATGCATCTTTTGTATAACCTTTCATGGCTAGAATCTTGTTGAACCTATCCATAGATGAAGGAGGTACCATTTCATCGTCATCATAAGTAGTATTACTTGAATCTATATCAAATTGTTAAAGGAATTTAATATTATCATCACTTTTTTTTTTTTGGTAACAGTATAAATCCAAATACCTTGTTGATGAGAAACTGATGAAGAAAAAGGGGCCAAAGGAGATGGTGATCTTGCTTTACCACTTTCAGTCTTCCGTCTATTTCCAGCAGCTGTCCTCCAGAGAAAAGGTGAGGCGGTATGATGATAATGATGATGATCGTTGTGATGATGAGAAGTGTTTATAGGAGGTGCCAATCCAGGAGAATGTTGTTTTTCCAAATCATCATCTGATAGTTCAATATCACTGTCTTCATGTTGTATATGTTGTAACCGGTTATTATGCAATCGACCTGCTTTCATCATGTCAGGAGAGAAGTTGCCAGTGGTTTCTTCGTCATCGTCTTCGTCATCATCGTCGTCGTCAGAACCGTTTCTATGTCGTGTATTGTGTCGTTGATGATGAGGTGGCCCATTTTCATGTTCATATCGATGTCGTAGAGAAAAGTATCTCGAATCACTATAGGGAGCCCTTGTTATAGATGGATGACCAGTTTCATTGGAACCTTGACTATTAATACTGGTGTTGTTATTGTTATACTGGTTGCCATGATGTGACATTCCTGTTGTTGAGAAGGATGAAGTGACAAAAGGAGATAAACCAAAATATGCACTAGAATCAAACTCGTTCATCAAAGAACCACTGGAAGAAGATAAGTCTTGATCAGTTCCACTTGAAGAATGATGAGTATGGTTTGAACGAGGACGATCCCAACTCGGAAATGAAGGTACTGGTATACCTCGATCAATAAGTCGTTGAGTAAATGAAGCTGGTGGAGAAGATGAAGTTTTTGATGTTGAATTATCTAGAAACAAGAATGAAAATTAGTTTATATTGAATAAATCAAAGTGTTTCTTTAATGGATAGATTGAATTTGACTGAATGCGTGTAAAACAGAGAGAGGGAGATAGAGAGAATAAAGGGAAAGTGCTTTACCTTTTCGTGTCAATTGGTCAAAAGCGGCTTGAACATTTTTGTTCTCTGATACTTGAATATGGTCACTAGTAGATGCTTGTTGTTGTTGTTGTCGTTGTTGTTGCTGTTGTTGTTGCTGTTGTGATGGTGGTGTTGTTTGTGGTGGTGGTGGTGGTGAAAATACTAAAGAGTTGAATGTAAAAGAAGAATTGGAGTCGTCGCTATCATTCATAGATGATTTAAGTTTTTCGTTTGTATAAGAAAGAAAAAGAGAATTGTAAAAGTGAAAATAGATTTGAGGGATGAAAAGGACTTAAATTCAACCCCCGAACAAAATCCTTGTAGCAGACAAGCTTGTTATGCGTTTTATTATAGCTGACAATTCGGAAAGTTTTTGAATTTATAAAAGCTGTGATTGCATTCCTTCCTCTTTTACTGTTTTTTTTTTTCTGAAACTCTAGAGAAAATAATCCTTTATAAAACTCTATAAAAAATAAAAATGAAAGGAATTCTATTTCCAAAGCAATGGTTTTCTTCAAAAGAAAAGGTAAAATTTTTTTTGATAGTTTGTTACTATAATTGGGTTTTGATCTTTTTCTTTTTATATAATATAATATGCACTTCACGATAAATCACTCAAAGCCCGAGATCGAAACATTATTACAATCATCCGATAATAAAGCATCTCAAACATATTCATTTCATAAGAAAGCAACTCGAACATATTCTGTCAAAAATATAGTTCAAGATACAAAGGAAAAGAATCGAAAATGGTTTCAGGAACGACAACGTAGTAAAAAAGATAATCAGCATTTCCATTCTGCTTCTTACTTTTTTAACAATAACAAACTAGTTAAACTCGTTGGTGTACTATTAAATCATTTTTATCCTAATAATAATGAGACCAAAAAATAAACAAATAAAATGAAAAGTTTTATTAAAAAAAAAAAAAAAAAAAAGATATCAAAAGGAAAATAGGTAGAAATCATGATATGTGTCTTCAAGACTAAAAAGTGGAGTGACTAAGATAAATGAATATATGTGTGTGTGAGTGTAATTGACTGATTCAAAATAAAAAAAAAAATGTACACTAATGATAAAGATAAACTAAAAACTAAGGGAGATGTATAAAGAGTAATAAAAGAAGGAAAAAGGATATCATGATCATCTAGGGTTGACCAAATTGGAATCCACCTTGAGGAACATTGACATCAGATTGGAATTGGAAACCACCAGCACGAGAAGGATCAGTATCCGCCATAAGTCCTGCTTCATCTTCATCATTACTGAAGAAGACATTGATGATATTGTATGCTTTTTTGTAGATTTGTTCGTTTTCACTAAATTGTAGTTGATGAATAGAATCCATCCCTCCGCAATCTTCAATATATAATGCATATCTATTGTCGTCACATTCACCCCGTCTCATTTCCAAAGCGCCCACCTTCAGAATATTTTCTAGTCCATCCAAAGCCACCAACGTAATACGATTGTCCAATGCTGTCAGTATATCACAAAGAGGTTTGATACATCCCTGGGACACCATGTATTGAATTTGTGCAGGATTATTGAGTCCACCTGATGTTGCATTGACAATAGCCCAACAAGCTTCCTTTTTCGTTTTTGGATCACCAGCAGCAAGATTGTGTATTAATAGTGGAATAAGATTAGCATCAATCACGGCTTGAATCTGAGCGCCGTTTCCAGCAGTAATATTCGATATAGTCCAACAGGCTTCCTTGCGTAAAGTTTCCTTGGATCCACTAAGTAATGATAATAAGGCAGGAAGAACACCACAATTGATGATCACTTGAGTTTGCATGTCGTCACCAGTCACAATATTCCCCACCGATCGAAGAGCAGGTGATTGTACAGCTGAAGAAGGATGCATCAATAATTCAACAAGACGTCTACATACACCAGATTCCACTACTTCTTGAATATGTGCGTTATTGCTGTTGGAGAGATATGATAACGCCCAGCATGAATCAATCAATATTTCTTCATCAGATGAATAAATCAATTTAGCAAGGACTGGTAAAGCAGGTGAAATCTAAAAATATAAATATATGGTAAATGATAAAAGAAGTTTTTAAAAGATCTAGTCGATCTACTTACGGCTTGCCATTGGAATTCTGTTGTATTTCCTCGACATAAATTAGAAAGAGTCCATGTTGCATTTCTTGTCATTGTGATTTTATGATGTTCACCCAAGATAGTCAATAGAGGCCCCAAAGCACCGAGTTCCAATACGTGGTCACGACATTTTGGACTATCACCAGCAATATTTCCAAGTGCCCATACAGCCTAAAAAAAAAAAAAAAAAAAAAAGATAGGATGATATCAATTATAGAGTATATCAACTGATAAAATCTTTTTTTTTTTGTTTGTTGGTTTCTTTTTTTTTTTTTTTATTGTTCTTACTTGTTCCTTGACATCTGTGACATCACTGCTTAAAAGCTTGATAAAAATGGGTAAAGCACCTGCAGCAATCACGGTTTCAGTTTGCTCAGAGGTACCAGAAGCAACATTTGTTAAAGCCCATGCAGCCTCAAACTAGTAAATGTATATATATATTGGTTAGCATTGTTTTTATATTTGTTTGTTTTTTCTTTTCCTATTTTAATTACCTGAAGTAAACCATGACGAGAACTTAGAAATTCGACAAACTTGGGAACCATGCCAGCATCGATCACTTGTTGAATAGGAGGGTTTTGTTCTTTTGATAGAAGCTTACGAAATTTGATAGTGGCATCATATTGTAGTTCAACGTTATTGCTATTAATCGCTGCAACCAAACTTTGGAGTTGTTGCTGTAGCTAAAGATAGACATTAAATTATGATCTAAGTTAGTTTTACAGAAAAAAATAAATCATTTATTTATTATTATTTATTTATACCTCGAATTCCTTTTCAGATTGATCTACACCTTCATCGTCACTTTCAGACATGCCTTGATCAAAGTTGAGATTTCGACGCTTTGTCAAGTTGGCTTCGCGTTTTTGTTTCCGGAGTTCTACTGTGTGTTGTTGTCGTCGATTCCTCACTTGTTCACTTTGGAATGTATCCTTGTTCTTGAAAGCAGTCTTTCGCTGACTAGCTGTTGATTTATTGTCCATTATCGATTGTAAGAGGGAAGAGCGAGAAAAAGAGAGACTAACGTAAGGAAGAAGAAAAAAAAAAAAGAAGTACTGTAAAAAAAAAAAAGGAAAGAAGAAAGAGGTATTCGTAGTTCGCTTCGTACAGTCACTGGTGGAGAATGAAAGTGGACCAAAAAAGATTACCCTGAATCTTTTTTTTTTTTTTTCGCATTTACGAGATTTTTTTTTTTTTTTGGCATAAGTGGCGGAGTCGTGTTCTTTTCTTCTTCTTCCTTTTTTATACTTCTCATTTTTTTTTTTTTTTATTTCATGCTAGAGTTCCAGAAACAAATCCTCACCAATCTTGTTGAAGAAGATAGTTTATTGATTATATCTCCTGGACTTGGACTATTCAAAATATTTTGTTCTTTTCTTCAACTTTACTGTAACAATGACAAGCATTTGATTTTTTTGATTAATACGACTCAAGAACAAGATATTGCCATACAAGAACGTTTAGTCTTGGAAGGTGTTCCACGATCTGTAGGACTACAAATTATTGAATATGATACTCCATCTGAAGTAAGGTAAGTAATAATTACTTTCATTTTGGTTTTAAATTGTGTTCACTTCTTCTTTTATTCTAGATCCTCTTTATATCGACAAAGTGGTGTATTCTCTGTAACGTCTCGTATCCTTGCAGTCGATCTCTTATTGAAACGTATTCCAACTAGCTTGATTAGTGGTATCGTCATATATAATGCTCATCGGTAAGGAAAATAGAAATAGGAGGAAAAAAAAAACCTTGTACTCAATTGTCTTTATATATATATATATATATATATATCAGTGTACGACCTGACTCGATGGAAGAATTGATACTACGTATATACAGAGAAGAAAATGAGGTAAACCTAACCAAGTAAATATGAATGACAACTTTTTTCTCTTACTATTATATTATAGCAAGGATTTATCAAAGCTTTTTCTGATCAACCTGGTGCGTTTACTTCTGGATTCGCTCCTCTTCAAAATATGTTGAAAATATTACAATTGCGAAATGTACAACTATGGCCAAGGTAATATATATATATATATCAATATAGAAATCATTAACTGAAAAATCTCTTTCTTCTTCTTTTGGTCCATAGATTCCAAGTGATGGTGACAAATGATTTGACTCAAGCAAATGAAGAAGTCATTGAATTACGACAACCTATGACAGAATATATGGAAAAGATACAACAAGGTCTCATCGAATCTATGGAAGCTACATTGTCAGAAGTTCGAAAATCAAATAGTCGAGTAATAAATATATCTTGATTTAAACGAAAAGATTCAAATATATATAGTAACGCACTCATTTTTCGATAATACTCTGTAGGTGGATGTACCAGATTATACCTTTGAAAACTCTTTATTCAAATCATTCGATTCTATTGTACGACAACAACTAGATCCTGTATGGCATCAAGTAGGACAAAGCGTAAAGCAACTAGTTGGTGATTTAAAGGTACTTCGTCAATTATTGTCGTAAGTAGAGAAAAAGAAAAAGAAAAAGTGAGGGAATTTCAAGAATTACTCAAATGTTTACATTCTTTATATAGTTATCTAACAAACTATGATTGTGTATCTTTCAACAGCTTTATTGAAACTGTTATTACAAGTAATACCCCATCGCCAAATACAAGATATACAAGACAATCCCAATGGCTTTTTTTAGACGCTGCAGATCAACTTATCACGGTAAAATCGTTTTTAATATATTGAAAAAAAAAAGCAATTGATCAAAATCTAGTATATACTGATAGAAATAGTCTATATTAGGCAGCAAGAAAACGTGTATATGTACAACCAACAGATAACGAATACGATTCAACTCCTGAAGAAGAATATAATACAGATTTGATTGGAAGTATACCGAAGGATATTCGTCTTGTATTGGAAGAACAACCAAAATGGACATTATTACAAGATATTCTGGATGAAATTGAAAAGGATGTGACAACGAATACAGATCATGGTAAATACAATGAAAGAAGAAGAAATACATGATGATTACTTTACAACTTTATATTCTTGAATTTTTTTAGGTGCACCGGTACTTGTTATGGTGGATGATCAACGCAATTGCGCACAGCTACAACAATATATCTCACAAAAACGTACTATGCTGCAAAAGATAGCAGGACGGTATTTCAAATGGCGAAAAGGTATGCAACAGATTCAGCAAGCGACTATTGGTGCGACAAACCAAAGCTCGATTAATACGAATACACCTCAGGTATCACAACGGTATCCTCCTAATAAAAGACGACGAGTTCGCGGTGGATCTGCTACAGCAACAACCTCAACACTGAACGCAAGACCTCCTCCTCTGGCACAAACTTTTCGTGATGAAGTGAAAAATACAACAAGAACGTAATATTTTAATTTATATGCATGCTTATTGAATTCTTATTCCATTTCTATCTATTTTTTTTATTTAGGTTAACTGATTCAAACTATGATGATAAATACGATGATGGTGACTATAATGATGATACCGAAATGGATAATATTATTGCTAATATGGAACTGGGTGAACATGATATTTTACCGACCTTTGATGAAATCCCTCCAAGCACATTGGTGACCATCCAATGTTATGAAAATGATACAGATGAACAAATTTTAGAAGATTATAAGCCTAGATATATCATTATGTATGATCCTGATCCTGCGTTTGTGCGACGCGTAGAGGTAATAAGAGAAAGAATGAATTATAGGATGACATTACTAACAATCTCTTTTTTTTTTTTATTGCTCTTATACATATAGATGTATCGAGCACTGAATCCATCTTTACAAGTTCGTGTATATTTTATGATATATGACAATTCAGTGGAAGAACAAAAGTATCTTAGTTTGATTCGAAAAGAAAAAGAAGCTTTTGAAAAATTGATTCGGGAGAAATCAGTAAGTGAACAAAAAAAGTATAAGTGTAGTGGATACAAAAACTTTAATTTATTATTATTATTATTACAATCGTTATGATTCCTAATAGGTTATGGCTATTCCACTGAAACAAAAACCAAGTGAACAAGAAGATGTCTTTATTCGAACTGTCAGTTCAAGATATGGTGGTGGCAATCTCAAATTATCGAGTGTACAAACGGTACATGAACAATTGTGAAATGATTATTTTTCAGTGGATTAACTTTTTTTTTGTATGTTGTTGTTATATAGATTGTGGTTGATATGCGGGAATTCCGAAGTTCACTTCCACCTATTTTACATGCTCAAGGTGTCAAAATTGAGCCGTGTACTTTGGTCGTTGGTGATTTTATTTTGGCTCCTGATATTTGTGTAGAACGAAAATCTATTAGTGATTTAATTCAATCGTTAAACTCTGGAAGATTGTAAGTTAGATGTACTTCTGTTAAAAAAAAAAAATAAAATAAAATACTCAATGATTACCTTCGTTTATTCTTACTAGATACGCTCAATGTGAAAATATGAAGGCGCATTATAAGATTCCTATTCTTTTGATTGAATTTGACCAGAACAAATCATTTTCGCTTCAGGTAATAAAGAAAAAAAAAGGGGGGAGAAGGATATAAAATGATTCACATCTTTTTTATGATTAGAATGTATTGGAAATGAAGGAAAATATTGTTGTTACAGATTTATCATCCAAACTTACTTTATTGACATTGGCTTTTCCTGAATTACGTATTATTTGGTCTTCCAGTCCTCAAGAAACAACCAAAATCTTCAAACAACTCAAAGTAATAAATAAGAAATTAACCATTTAATATGATTATTACTTATTTCTGTTTTTGTTAGGAAACACATGATGAGCCAAATGCGGAAGAAGCAGCTTTGAAAGGTGTTGACAACCCAGATCAAGTAAACACAACCATCAATGTTACCCCTGAAGTAAGTTATACATTATTATCTCCCTTGAACGATTAACTCATGATATAAATAATACAATAGGATATTCTCCGAAGCATGCCAGGCGTGACATCCAAGAACTACAGATTGATTATGAATAAAGTACACAATTTAGAAGCATTGACTAATATGACCCAGAAAAGCATTCAAGATATCATAGGTATTGGACCGGGTAAAACTTTATATCAATATCTTCATCGGATGATCAAAAAGTGAATAGCTTCTTATCTTCTCCCTTGTTACTGCTCCTTTTTTTTGTTTTTCTTTGATCCTCCTTTTTATACATATCATATTTTATTTTGTAAACATACCACTCCTTTTTTTTTAGAAATAAAGTTTTTTATATTTTTATCTGTTCTTCCTTTTTATTTTCTTCTTCTTTTTCTTTTTCTTCTTTATCTACCTCATCATGGTACGGCAGTCGGTCTCTGAAGCGAAATTACGAAAATTACTAGATTTGAATGAAAGGTTAAAAGAACAGTTAGATATCCAACGTATTCCTGTATCCGAAGCTAGTCGATCGTAAGTAAACCACTTTTAGTGAAAGTCATTATTCATTTTTTTTTCTCTCTCTTAGTTTAATAGATTATTGTCAAGAGAATACTGATATGATGATTCCTTCTTTATGGGGTGCCAAACATCCTGATCCATTTGCTGAACAAGTAGCAGGCTGTGGTACTTGTTTAATCATGTAGTTTTCCATTTCTCCTTTTTCTTTTTTTTTTTTTTTTCCTTCTGTTGGGCAAAATAAAATTATATTGTGTCGCATCCAATGATGTTACACCACCGATAAACTTGATGCAAGTCGGTGTAACTAATGTCATATTCACATCAAAATGAATGTTGATGTGTCTGTTTCAATGATATCCTCCCTTCTTTTTGACATGTCTATTTTAGGTTGTAAAAGATTCTATGTATTCAGGTCATAGATCAGGAATAAAAATAAATAAAAAAAAAAAAAGAGGAATCATTATCGGCGATTTAGTTCCTTTATAGAAGAAACGGGAGCAATTAACGAATGTCTATTAGGTCATCATCCATTTTACAGTAATAGAGTAGAAGTTGTTATCATACTTAATCAATGATCTTATACAAAAATGAAAACACTCCTTTATTTGCTACTATATAAAAATCAATTTCCTAGTCTTACTGATCATACTCTATATGTGTGTGTGTGTTTTTTTTTATCCGAGGAACGGGACGTTTTAAAGTATCCAAAATCTTTCCTTGGTAATATAATATATATATATATACATATATATTATACAGATAAAGTTATCTCTTCCTCTCATTCTTTAATGTAAAATCATTAACAATCATTGAAAAAATGTTAACTCTCTTAGTCAATTGTATGATATCAATACCATTCCTGACTTTATTTTTTATATCCTTTTCATGTGCTTCATCCACACCAAAGAAGTTGGCATGGATAGATGAATGGGTCATGAAACATGCCAAATTTCAAACACCGCCTTCACCAGAAGTGGTATTGCCAGGTCGCTATATGATAGAATTAGCTTCCACTTCGTTTTCTTTTTCTTCTTCTTCCAGTTTTTCTCCATTCTCTTATTTTCAAAAAGTTCATCAACAAGTCTTTAACGAAGCACGGGAAAAAGTATTTAATCGATCAGTCATTGAAGATGAATTTGACAATACTTTGGAAAGGGATGATTGGGCTTCAGCAGCATCCAATATGAACCTCTCTGTAGAACACACGTACGCTGTACCTTCTATCTTTTATGGGGCTTCCATTCAATTCGAATTCAATAACAATTACAATGGCAATAACGACTCCACAACTTCTTTCTCTACTCACCATGATTTGAATAACTCTAATGAAGATTATCATTCACCTATGCGTTCTCCTCGACCTCCCTCTTCTTCAACTTTTTCTTCTTCTTCAATACATATCGCCACATATGAAAAGATACTTACCAAGTTCTTTGCTCATCAATCTATTCACAAGATCTATCCAGTGACTATTATTCAGCGTCCTCGTCCTAATTCTAGAGATAGGGATGAATTCCGTCGCAAGTCCTTTGTCAATATTACTCAACAACTACCACCGGATTTAGGTTCTTTAGGATTTCCTTTCAATTTGGCCGCTCATCAGATCAATCAAGCTCATGCTGCTGGATTCGAAGGTCAAGGCATTGTGGTTGGTATTGTGGATTCAGGTGTAGATTATTATCATCCGGCTCTAGGGGGAGGTTTTGGACCCAATTTTACTGTGGCCTTGGGTTATGATCTAGTTGGCAATTATTTCAATGTGGCTGATCCATCTTCTCGACATGAACAACCTACTCCTTTGGATGATTGTGCTGCTGCTCAATTAGATGATTCTGGTAAGCCAAAAAAAAAAAAATGAAGATGAAGTTCTTTTTTTTTTCCGATGGATGATTCATCATTTTGTATCTTCTTTTAGGACATGGCACTCATGTTACAGGGATTATAGCCAGTAACGACAAACGATACGTAAGTAATTCATCGAAATATGACAAAAATGAAAATTTACCTTATAGTTAATTCTTTTTTTTTTCCACTCTTAGAATTTTACTGGTGTTGCACCGAAATCAAAAATTGGAATGTGGCGAGTCTTTAGTTGCAATGGCTCAACGAGTAGTGATTTGGTTATCAAAGGTTTATTAGATGCTTATGATGCTGGTAAGATTTACTCATACTATTAGAAGAAGAAGAAAAAAAGAAAAACTTTTGCATACTAATTATAATTTTATTCATTTTGCACTTGAAGGATGCGATATTATAAATCTTAGTCTTGGTGGACCGAACAACTGGGAAGAAGATGTTACTGCGGTTGTGGCTAATAGGGTAGCGGCTAGTGGAGTGCCTGTGGTGGTAGCAGCTGGAAATGCTGGTGATGAAGGTGCCTTCTATATTAGTTCACCTAGTACTGGTAGAAAAGTGTTAGCGGTGGGATCTATCAACAACAATGTTACTCTCCAAATGACGATGGCTGTGGATTTAGAAGATTATCAGGAAACTTTTGGTAAATGGAAAGAGAAAAAAAAAAAAAAAAAAAAAAGAGGAATATTGTTTTCTAATAGCATGATCCTTTCTTTAATGTAGCCTACGAATTATCATCAACTACAACTTCGTTTCCCGATGGTACCTTGATATCATACAGTAATAGTAATCTTACCGACCATGAAGCATGTGAAGGATCTACATCAACCCATGATATCGTCGATCGGATTGTATTGATTCGTCGAGGCAACTGCACGTACGATGAAAAGGTCAAGGTGGCAACTAAAGCTGGTGCTCTAGCTGTATTAATTTATGATCCATTACATCCCATGGCTTACGCTCCGATTACTACAGAATCCGAATTATCAATTCCAATGGCAGCCGTCTCCATTTCAACAGCAGAAACTTTTCTAAAATTACTTGACAACAGCACTTTAACAAAAGGTCAAGGCATTCCTATCACTTTTAGTCGTCTTTTATCTCCTCAACCTGTAGTATCTGGTGGTCTGGTTTCTGATTTCTCTAGTGTAGGTCCTACTAATGAATTGGCAATGAAACCACAAATATCTGGTATTGGTGGATACGTATTTTCTACATTACCTCTGGCTCTAGGTGGATATGGTATCTTATCTGGAACTTCCATGGCAAGTCCATTTGTAGCTGGCTGTATTGCTCTCTTTCTCCAGGCTGAACGAGAAAAGACACATCCTCGTCAACAAAACAATGGTGGTCCTTCTTATATCATTGTGGATGTCGTGGACGTGATGAACTCGGTGATGAATCATGCTCTACCTGTTCCTGTGGATCATCATACTGGTGGAAACGACAACAAGTCCTTTTTGGATCATCCTACCAAGCAAGGTGCTGGCTTGATTCAAGGTAAAAAAAAAAAAAAAAAAAAAAAAAAAAAAAAAAAAAAAGGATTTCCATATTCGGTATTGACTAGCTCTTTTACTCTCAAACCTAGTGTACGACACGATTGATCAGACCATTCGTGTATCGCCTGGACAAATCAATTTCAATGACACTATACATCAACAACCACAACAACTTACTATCAGTAATCCTGGATCTCAAAGCATAAAAGTGGAAGTAATTGGACAAGATCCAAGTGTATCTCTTGTTCCTTACGACACCAATAAACAAGGATTTGCACCATTGGAGCCAGTGGGTATTGGTCATGTCAAATCGAAATTATCACTGATTTCAGATCAAGGACAACATCAACAACCGCAACAAAATCAAAAGGTTCCAGGTATTGATGCTTCAGTCACTCAGTGGGAATTAGCACCAGGACAAGTTATCTCACTCCAAGTGCAAGTGGTCGATTTTGATTATGGTAATGATGAATCTATGAAGAATGATTCAACACTCTATAACAGCACAAATCATCCTTTTCCTATTTTTGGTGGTTATCTCAACATACAAGCAACACCGATCTCTTCTGACAACAGCAAACAAACATTGGTGCGGGTACCTTATATGGGTGTGATTGGTAATGTGCAGGATTTGCCTATTTTTGCACCAGGTTATCCTTATTTAGAAGTAGAATCAACAGAATCCTCGTCAGCAGAAACATCGATGGTGGTACGTTTTTTGACTGGTACAGCAGTATTTCTGACGGAAGTATGGAATTATGATAAGGATCAAGGCAAGAAGACGACTTTTGTGGGATATGCCAATGTCCATACTTATCTACCAAGAGATACGATGGTCAGCCATCCCGAAACGAGATTTCCTTGGAATGGAACAGTTTTAGTGGAACCACCAAGTTTACCTTCGTTTTTACTTCCAACGTATGATATAAAGGGTGATGATGACAATAACAAGAATAGAAATACAATGGTGGATGACGTGATTTCGACAAATATAACGAGGACGACTGATAGTGAACCTTCTGGAACAGCAACTGAACGTCATGTGCCACCAGGCGTTTATATTTTATATTGGAAGGCATTGAAATTACTGGCAGATCCTTCAATACAAACAAGTTGGCAATCAGTTACGTCGAAACCTTTTGAAATTACGAAATAAAGTGTAGTAAGCTCCGTCCTTTGGTATCACCTTGTTTTTTTTTTTTTTTTTTTTGTAGTTTTTATTATTATCATTATTATTATTATTATTATTATTCTATCTATCTTTTTGTTTTCTTTTTTTTTTACATATGATATGAATAAACCTGTCTATATATATATATCATCCATCAATTTTTCTCTAATTCAAGACGACTATTTTATACATTACTGCTACAATTTTATTTTATTTTTTTTTGATTTGTCATGCCTGCAAGAAGACATCAGTGATCAAAATCCCATCCAATCAAAATGATATATTTTTGTTAAGGCGAGGCTGGGTTTGTATCCATATAGATATAAAAATTGTCCGGAATATCGGTTTCCCGTGTTTTTCTTTTTTTCTCTTTTCTTTGTCAAACTAAATTATTTCTAAATATGTCTACCATTCCTTCTGCTACTTTGTAAGTTTTATTTTGATATGATCCTTTTTTTCCTTTCTTTCTTTATTGATGCTTATTTTATTTACATATATATAGAAATACCGGTGCCAGTATTCCTCTTGTCGGTTTGGGCACTTGGCAATCCAAGCCTGAACAAGTATACAACGCTGTTTTAGACGCCATCAAGGCTGGGTAAAGCTAAAAGAAAAAAAAAACCGTATCAATACTTCAAAAAAAAAGGGGAGTTGCTTAGTATACTAATTATTATTTGACATATTTTAGTTATCGTCATATTGATACTGCTTTTATTTGTAAGTGATTATGAACCATATATTATATAAATTAATCATCCTTAAAAAAAATTATAATGGAATAGATGGTAATGAAAAGGAAGTTGGACAAGCTATCAAGGATAGTGGTATTCCTCGTGAAGAATTATTTATTACCACCAAATTATGGAACAATAGTCATCGTGCTGAAGATGTGCTCCCTGCTCTTGAAAAGTCCTTGGAATTATTACAATTGGATTATCTTGATTTATATTTGATTCACTGGTAAATTAATTAAAAAAAAAAAGAAAAAAAAAAAAAAAAACTGAATCAATGCATATATATGTATGTATATTGACTTTTTTTTGTATATAGGCCTGTTGCTTTCCAATCTGGTGGTGAAAATGTTCCCAAAGATGCTGATGGTAAAATCATTGTGACTGATACTGATTTTACTGAAACTTATGCTGTAAGTTGATCAATGCTGAATCGAAAGAAAGTGATTATTAAACAAATGGTTTTATTAGGCTCTTGAAAAATTGGATAAATCCAAGGTCCGTGCTATTGGTGTTTCCAACTTCAACATTGCTAAATTGGAAAAGTTACTCAAGGTTGCCAAGGTCGTTCCTGCTGTCAATCAAGTTGAACTTCATCCTTATTTGCCTCAAGAAGATCTTGTTCAATTCTGTCGCAAACACAACATTCATGGTAAAAAAAAAAAAAAAAAAAAAAAAAAAAAAAAAAAAAAAAAAAGATTAAAACAAAAAGATGAAGATTAATAAATATATATTTGTAGTCACTGCTTATTCCCCTCTTGGAAGTACCGATTCTCCTTTATTGAAGGATGAGAAAGTGGTAAGCAAAAAAAAAAAAAAAAAAAAAAAATAAGATACATATATATATATATATATATATATATATATAGTAAGTCTCACGTTTTTATTTTTTTATTTTTTTTTTATTATTTCTAGTTGGCCATTGCTCAAAAGTATAATAAATCAGCAGCTCAAATTCTTCTTTCTTGGGGTGTTCAACGTGGTGTGTCTGTGATTCCCAAATCTGTCACTACTTCTCGTATCATTGATAACTTGCAAATTGTATCTTTGGATCAAGCTGACTTTGACACTTTGAATCGTATCCTTGGTGGTGAAAGCAAGCGTATTGTTGATCCTTTCAACTTTTGGGGTGTAGATGTGTTTGATCTTCATCAAAAGTTATAAATGATATAGTTTAGATTATTGGTTGTTGTTGGTTTTTTTACGCTGACTATATTATGAAATAAAAAAAAATTGGTTTATTCCCTCCTTTTTACTGATTATTATTATTATTGATATTGTTGTCAAAGAAAAACGTCATATACTCTGGTTAGAATGATTATTTCTTATTTGTGCAAAGAATGACAGATGATGTAAAGATGATATAGCCAGGATTCTAATTTTTTTTCTTCAAAAGGAAGGGAAAAGGAAATTTTTTTTTCGTTTTTTTTTTTTTTTCTTTTTTGGATTCATCATTTAAAAAAAGAAGATCGATGCATGGGACAAAATCATCATGTCGTCAAGATTTGAAAGTATTACCTATGCTCTATTTCTTGACCAGTCTCCAAATGGTAACATTAAAAAAAGAAAAAGTTAAATGGATAGCAACGATGATGACTTTATATATATATATATTAGGTACGTGTATGCTGGGAAATTTGGAATTTATTTTCAGTCAATGATTGGCCAAGTAAAGTATCCTCCCATTTATTAGAAAGATGTGTTAACATGTTTCCCTTCTTTTTTTTTTTTTTTTTAATGATTAGGTGCATTACAACTTGTTGCTGGGATTACCACCTATGCATCTTGTTTCATCAGTTGTTTATTGCTCTTATTCTCCATGTTGTCAACTTTATCTGTCGTCTTTGTAAAAAAAAAAAAAAAAAAAAAATCAATGAAGTTTCTCTGTATCTGATCTCCAAGCATTGCCTTTTTTAGGCATACACCGGTGTAACGCATTGTATGTGGTGGTTAATGTATGCAACCACTTTACTGGATGCCATCAACAACATCACGTATCTTTCCATGTTAGGTTTTGGTATGCATCCTTTTGTCATGGATTGTGTAGGTGACTGTATCGATACTCTTTGTCCCGCTTGGTCCAAATGTACTCAAGTATGGAAAATCTCAATGATTTGGATTGCTACCACTACTGTTTGTTGTTTCATCATCAATGTAAGTAGAAAGTCCTTTTTTTTTTTCTCCTTAAACTCTTACTTTTTTTTTTTGGTGAATAGGGTATCTTTGTCTATTGTTTACACTCGGTTCGTCAACAACAAAAAAGGCAACGGATATTACTGATAAATGAACGGTCTACTTCCAAATCTCTACCTTACTCACCTTCTTATTTTGATTACAATCGCCCACCACGTACTATGCCTCCTCCTGAACCGACTTATCAACAACCTTATACACCACTTTTTTCATCAATGGAAGATTTATATCGGTCCAATCAGATTAGATGTTAAATTATCATGATAACACACACACATACTCATTCATTCATATACTTGCACATATATATAATAATAGATATTGGGATTTAAAAAAAAAAAAAACAATAAAAAAATGTATATATATCTTTATTTCATTAAATAGGGAGTAATATAGAGAGGTAATAAGAGTACAATAAAAAAATTATAGAGAGAGTAATATAAAAAAAATGGACGGATGATTTTGTCTATTTGTTGTTGTAAGTAGTTGCTTTTCGTGTCGCTTTTCGGATCGACATTTTCAAACTTTTGGATAATCCACTACTTTCAGATTTTGTAAACGGAATATGATCATTTGGATGAATAGGTGATGTTGGTGCTGACATGGTTATAGATTCATTTTCACTTTCCCGATCCATTAATGGCGTATTTGCTGTTGTCGTTCGCCCAGTTGATGATGATGGAAGTCTATCGTTCGAGCGGGGGATGTGTTCTTCATGTACAGTTGGAATGGCAAAACTACTAGATGATTTTGGGGACATGAGTGATGAAAACGTACCAGCTGGCGCATTACTAGTTGGAGTAGATGATCCCACAGTTTGTTGAGGTTGTGTAATCGAATTTGTCCTGGACTTCATCATTAATGGTCGTTCCATTTCTCGGAATAAAGATGAACTTCGACGATTTGTGTTGTGAAGACTACTGTGTGACGCACTTGATGTAAGATTAACTCGACTAGGTGATGATGGATTGGTTTTCTCTTTTATATTTTCTCCCTTCACTGATGTTGCTCCTGTCGATGATGCTGCTGATTTGAAGGTCGTCCCACGTCTTTTCAGTTGACTGATGTCATCTACAAAGTTTTTCTTGTACACTAACGTAATAGAAATATAAGTCATCTTGTTTTTATTCCAAAAAAAAAAAAAAAAAAAAAAAAAACACACACAACACTTACATTCCACCAAGTTGCTATGGAAAGGTTTCATATCATTGCTGACGAGTTTGTTATGAGTATCCAAACATCGATCGATGACAACCACCTATAATATACATATAAAAATAAATGAATAAAAGATTGCATTGTCAATTCCTTTTTTTTTTTTTTTTTGGAGTACCTGTTCATCGATTGCCTTTTTCAATTGGGTAATCCACGGACGCATATGAGGATGTTTCTTTCCATAATAAGGAGATAAAAAGGCTTTCTTGTAAAGAGGAACACCACCATTGACAGGAGCATCAACAGCACCATTTAAAGCCATCGAGAAAGGATTGAGGTTGAAAGGTACCTGGGGATTGTCTACATACACTTCATATTTCTTTTCCAAATTCACCAATTCATGTGTCTTCTTGATCATGGCATCCACAGCATTTTCGATAGGTGAGATTTCCTCCAATTCAATCGACAAGATCTTGGATCGTAGAGCAATGGTGGGGAACGAGTCTTCACTGGTAAATGTTGTTTTTTCAGTCCAAAGATGTAAAAAGTCCAATTCTTGCTTCGATAGAATAGGTGGTTCTATAAGATCAGAGGTATCATCGCCATCCATATTTTCTTGTTCATTTCCATCTTGATTATCGTCATTGCCATTGTCATCATCATGTCGAGTCACGGGTCTTGAATAGGTAAATTGAGATACATTATTGGAGTGATAGTACTTGAGTACTTTTTCATCCACCAAAGGATTTGTCAGTACAGGATTTGCTTGAGGATTCATCACTGGAGTCACCGCCGTAATTTGCATATATTGACCATCCAATTCTGATTCCAATTCACGAACTTGTTCATCAGATAGTACACAAGATGATGCCATTTTCCCAGAAAGTACTTGCGCATTTGGATGACGGTTTTGCATCCGTTCTACAAAAGAAGCCATCTTTTCCCAAGCCATACCACGATAGATAAATTGTTGATTTCGAATACTGGCTGGAAATCCACGACCATAGAATCCTACACGGAAGTATTCAGAGAAGTACCGTTCCTTGTTTACAATGTTTTCCAAAAAGGTTGCCTGTCGCCGTAAAGTGTTGCTACAGCTATGATAATCTGATATGGTGAGAGCATATTGATCACAGAGTTCTCGACATAGATCAACACATAATTCCCAAGCTGTACCTTTGTCCAAATATGTCAACATCGTATCATATAGTCTACGTTTTCGAGCAAAAGGACTTTGAGCATCAAATCCAAGTTCAGGAATAGCTTCCACTTCACCATAAGGATCCCAAGGCATCAAATCAGCATGGAAACGAAGAGTCAATGCAGCCTCTACATAATTGTGACTATTTAAATGAAGATCCACCAATTGATGCACATATTTGATATAGATTTCTTGTCGTTCACATACTTGAATAAACTTCATCAGTTTGAGCGTTGCGTTGATACGTTCATCCATAAATTCAGCACTATCCATGGGTAACGAGCGAATCTGAAGTAAGAGTTCCATTAGATTGTCCAAAGAATTCACAACACTACGACCCCATTCCTGTTCCTTTTCCGTTGTCAGTCGCGCCTGGAGTGCTTGATTCAATTCCATCACCCATTTCACTCGGATTTCATCACTTCCTTTTTCATAAGTCATCACTAGCTTGTCAATAGTTCCAATCAGCAGATTTCGTCCTTCAGTTGGATCGTATGATTTCGGCATGTGGATCGCAATCAAATCAGCAATCATACCAACCGTTGTAGAGCGTAACTTGTCATGAAGTGTAAGACTGGCAGAACAAAGAGGTCGTAATAATACCGGCATCAGATCCAAATGTATTTGAGTAGCAGTATAACGTGGAAGAGGTTGTCGTACATCTCTTTTTTTTTGTTCCTTGTTGTCATCCAATGGTGGTATATCATCATCGACTTGTTTGGTTTCATCCTTACTACCTTCATCATCACCAGAATCATCATCAGTAGAGAATTCCGATAAACCATCACCTCCTTCACGACTTGCATTGCCATGATGATCAAAGTAAGCCAAAAGCTGTGGTTTCATCTTGAGATCCTTTGATTTTTCATGTTGTTGATCGCCTGATGGTTGTTTTTTCAAAGTACCTACTGCATTCCAACTTGATCCTGCTAACTCCCACAATTGCTTCAAGGCAGCCGTACCTTGTTCCCCACGGATGTTACCAGCTAATTTCCAGACCGCTCTTTGTGCTTGAGGTAATAACGTTTCCACTTCCAAAGATGGACTTGCTAAAACACGTACCAGAGACATAAATACCGTTCGCCATAATCGCACCATAATATCAGTATCAGGAGAAGAATGAGTTGGAATATCTTTTTTATCACCAAAATGATTATCCATAGGTACTTGTTGTTTGGGAAGAAAAGTTTCCGTACCCAGTAACGCAATCATAGGAGTCATCACGTCCAATAAAACAATCTTGTGAGCCACCACATCCAGATTCAACCAGTTCTTGGGCCATTTCCGCCGTTCACGAGTAGGATCATCTTGTAGTGCATCATAACCAACCAAAGTTCCACGAGATTCATTCAACTTGTGAACATCGTCACCAAAGAGAATAGACATACACACGAAACACAAAGTGCAGAGATAATCAGCTGTTCCTTCAGGTCCACTAACACCACTAGTATCAGTTGCTATATTTGCTTTGTTTGTTGAAGATACGTTGTATGTTAGATTCATCCATTGTTTCGCTGGAGTTAAGTGTAACAAGTCCAAGAGTACAACTGTCAAATCCATTAGTCCAGATGCCACCATTGCCGCCAAATCAGAACCTGCCATTAATGCTGCATCAGATGTCGTATTTGCTTGAAAAGGAAATACAGAAGGAAAAGGTCTTGTTGGTGAAGTAGCCAGTGCTTGTAACACCACCGGAAAAGAAGTTGTAGTTTTGTGAGCGCTAGATCCTTGATGATCCGTAAATGTACTACTTGGTCCATTTTCTACCACCTGAGGTAATCCTCCACGAATTGAATTTGCACGTTCCCGTAAAACTGTCAGAGAGTGTCGCGAATTTGGTCTTGCAGTACCAGATGGTAATGTCTGTTGTATATCCTTATTTGTTGCTGATGACATAGTTTTATTGCCAGAAGTCGAAGATGTCAACGGTGTGGTTGCTTGAATAGCTTGATTGGTAAGTCGTTGTAAATCCTTGTATGTTTGAAGTAATTGTGGTACCAGTTGACCCAATGCACCTGTAAGTGAAGTCAGAGAACCAGTAGCAGGTGAACTAATGCCTTTTCCACCATATTGATCATCCAAATCATCATCATCAATATCACCTAAGGTTGACATTGATACTGGTCTTGTTTGAGAAGGAGTTGAGGATGATGCTGAAGATGTCGCATTGATAGGAGGAGATGATAGAACAGCTGATGAGGAGAGTCCAGGCATAGAGAGGCCACGCACCTTTCGTATCTTATCCAAGAGTTCATGTATAATTGTCAATGACAGTCGTAGATTTTCAAGCCATTGAGCACGAGGTAATCTGGTTTGTTGATGATAATCTTCAGCTTGATTGTTGTTGCCATCCAAAGCTGTACGAGCAAAAATCACTTCCTTTGCCACCGTCATATAAGAATTGAGCCAAACACTGATCCATCCAACAACACGACTTCCCAATTCATAACAACACATCTTGTCGCTGAAGATCGGCGCCTTGATTATTGATAAAATCATTGAGAGTTTGAATCCAACCAATTTACCAGTGACATGAGAGCAGGCATCCACCAAATTTGAGATGATTTGCATTATTTCTTTGGTCGAGTAAGTTTCCTTAATTTCTGTAATGGCTTCACTGAAATGCTGCAGTATCAACGTTTGTGTACCAATCATTGAACTTGGTTGATCAGGTCCCATCATTTTTGTTGCCAAATCAAAGAATTGTTGTAAATCTTGCTTGTACATCAATTCCCGTAGTTCATGTTCCGCTTGATCTTCATTGTTGCGTTGCATTTCTCTTGATCGTTCAATAAATCGGAAGAGATATTCCCATACCTTGATACTACTTCTTAATTGTTTGGCCTTGGTGATATCACTAGGATCGGTCGAAAGTCGAATCAAGCCTTTCAATAATTGGTTGTAGGTCGTTTCATCCAGTGTCATTTTGCGTCTAAGAGACTTGTTGTGTTTCAATCGATAACGGTACGATGTATATAATTGATAACCATCACGGGTATCTGCATCACGTTTGAAAGTTGCACTATCGATATCTTTGATGATATGTTTGCCACCAGAAGCTAATTGAGGAGTAAGGGTACCATGTAGATTCATGCTGTTGATCATTATATTCGGGTCCACAGTATCCAGAGGGATGTCGTTCTTGCTGCCACCATTTTCACCATCTCCATTGTCATTGTCGTAATCATCATCATTGCTATCATCATCAGAACAGTAGAACCTTTGATTGATATAAACATTCAATACCGGTCGGAAGTTGCTGAATCGTCGATCTTGAACAATACTGAGTAGCCAAATGATAGCAACAATCACTTGATCATGAAGGGCATTTTGTTTTTCGATATTGTCCGGCACACGATAGACCAAAATATCCAAAAGAGCATCAAAGATATCTGCCAAAAACTTGACCACTTCTTGTTCACCCACAAAAGTAAACTTGTCCAGCATAACCAATAATTCATCCACGGATTCAATAACAGATTTACCGAAATTACTCTCTTCCACAGTAGATCTCCAGTTGATCAATTGTACTAATGTTGCATTTTGAGTAAATCGAGTTGAGCATAAAAAGGTTGATATAATCAAAGAATCACGGATGGCATGAGGTCGACTTGTTGTACCACTAGAACTATAAGATATTGACGAATTTGCATGACTTGAGATGGTCGCACTACTTTCCACACCGGTCATTCCCGTTGTCGTTGTTGAATGAGAAGGATGTTGTTGAAATCCATGAGGAAATAGAGGAATATTTTTGATTGAGTTGCCTCCGTTGCTCTTCACACTAGAATGACTTGTATTTGCATAATGTTGACCAACAGATCGTTGACGATTTGCTTGATGAATGGCTGTTAACATACTTTCTTGACCTTGCATATTGGATGGTGAAGTTGATTGATTACACCAAGGGACAACACCAAAATAGGATGATGGATGAAGTAGCTGTCGATCATACTTGTACAAACACAGGGTATGTGTACCATCTGCCACAAAATCGTGTGACAAAGGAGGAATAAATAAGGGTATATATCCCATAGCCAAGATTTTGTCTGAAGATGATGTATTGCCTTCTACCGTCATTCTTGCCAAAGGAGAGGAGACACCTACACTTGTTGAACCATGATGACTACCACCACTGATATTATTATTGTTGCTTAGCATTGAACTTGCACCGCCACCATGACGACTTCGATGTTTGACTACCAAAAAGATATGAGATCGTTGCCATACTTGAATATCACTAATCTTGACCTTGACCATTTCATTCCAAGTAGGTTTCATGTCATGATAATAAATAGCACTTTCCCATGTAGATGCCATTGGAGTCCCTGATCCTACAGCTACACCCATTTCCACCACTTCACCAGTCTGATTGTCTCGTACACAAATAATGACTTGAATATTTCTTGTTCGACCAAAATGAGCAAAATCACCAGAGTTCAATGTGATATACAATTCATTACGTTCATCATCAGGAAACACCACGTCAGGAAAACCAATCCGGGCTGTCAATGGAATATCTTGTAATAGCGCTGCATTTGCCTTGAGTACTTCATCCCGTTGTCCATAAAACATTCGTAAAAAAACACAAACCATTTCCGCACGAGGATTCTGAGTCACCTCTTTTTGATTGTCCCAAATGATATCTTCATGTAAATGTGCAAAAGTAGATTCAGAAGTTGGTGTATAAATACGCATGTCATGCTCCGAAGGCGAGATGTGATAGTAACCAGAGTTGTTGCTTGATCCTCCCGTTGTTGACATATTGATAGAAGAAGGTGTTGATGATGACGCTGCTGATGACCCCGTACCCAAGCTTGTTGGTGTTGCCGCTGCTGCTGCTGCTGCTGCTGCTGTTGTTGTTGTTGTTGTTGCTGTTGTTGTCGTTGGACCAGATGCAGGTGATTGAGGCCGGCTGGATAAAGTAGGTGATCGTATCGAATCGACATCAGAATACACGGTTCCAGTTCGCTGACTTGTACCCACGTTGGTTGTTTTATTCATTGATTGTGTTTCTTGGTTGCCTGAATCCACTTGTTCCAAAAGTCTACCTACATTCAAAACCGCACATCCAAATGGTCTTCGGAAGAGATTGGTATGAGCCAGTGAAGGAAGAGTAGTTGATTCATGAGAAGTTGAAGAAGACGATTGTTGAGATTGATGATGTCGACTACTATGATCAAAATAGCCACCTCCATTTCCTACATTCGTAAAAATAAATAAAAAAATAAATAAGTAAAAAAAAAAAAAAAAAAAAATAAAAATAAAAAAGAAGTATATTTTCATTTAATTATCAACTTACCAGAAGATCCTTGTTGAGATTGATGATGACCAAATAATGATGACGCATGACTTCCCAAAGAGCTGATAGTATCCTTTTCCTTGTCTATAAACTTCATGCCTCCCAATCGAAAGATGTAACAAACGAGGTAAAGATGTTCATTCAAATCTTGAGCACCCAAATCCACAAATAAAGATTGTAGTTTCCCAATTTGACGTTCATCCTTGGGCATACCATTATAGTTGAGATGAACCACGAATTGTTCAGTGATGAATTTTGCTTGATTTGAAGAATATAAGGAAAATCGTAATTCAGTCCATTCACCAGGTTGACAGATATGAGCCACACATGCCTTGAGATCGAAAAATAAATGATGGAATTCGCCACCTTTGTAATGATAGTATGCTCTTTTTTTCTTGAGATGAGGTCGAGGAGAAGTTTGTCTGGTTGTTGAAGAGGTTTTGTTATTACTTGACTGAGTTTGATCAGGTGATTCTTGTGAGGATGATGATGATGTTGTTGCTGTTGTTGTTGATGATGTTGAAGTAGATGATGATAAGAAGGAAGGAGGAAAGAGAGCAGTGATAGGAACTTGTTCAGAAATGGTGTATTTCCAGTGCATAAAATATAAAGTGGCGACTGATGTACTATCGATATCCAAAATAAAACCTCGTTCAGGGTGGCGTATGATCATTTCCCTATATTGCGATATATTCATTGTGACCATACGTTGAATAATTTCTTTTCGAAGGCGAGCCAGTTCTTCTCTAGAGAGAGCTTGATCCAAAAGTTGTCGACGAGCTTGGAAGAGATAATTGATATGATCCCGAACAGCGTTGAAAGCAGCATATCGATTTTCTTGTAAATAAGTATAGAGAAGACAATTCCATTCACTAACACAAGCGGCAATTTCATCAACTAATGGTTCATCAGCACCTGTAACAGTAGATTGATCGAAACGAATCATTGGTAAAGAAGGAGGTGGAGGTCGCTTTAATTGTACTTGATCCTGATCAGTTTCTACAGTTGTTGTTGATCGACTACGAATTCGTTGATAATGTTGATGAAATTGAAGATCAATTATTGGAGATGAAATATTGTTGTCAATATCAAGACCACTAGAAGGTCGTGAACCAGTAGTTGTTGATGTATAACCAGGATTTGAAGTAGGAGCAAGAGTGGTATTAGGATCCAAGTGAGAAGTTGAAGGAGAGCGAGACATGACATCTGAAATAGAAGAACTAGGTGATAATGGTAATATATCATTTGTTGTTGTTGTTGTTGTAGGGAATTGTTGATCAGAAGAGTTGAAATCGACATATTCTTTGATTTGAACATGAGTAGCAGGAAATATACCATTTGGAGCTTTGTTTGGTTTTCTACCTTCTTCCAAAGAACTAAGTACATAACCACGATACCAAGCACCACATTGTTCAAAGATATAAAGTTCATCACCCACTTCTAATGGAACCAAACACGTAGAGTCAATAATACTTGAATAAGAAGTATCAGATGAAGCAGTAGAAAGACGATGAGAGTTTATATCATTGGTAGGTGATTGTAAAGTTGAATAAACAGTAATTGGACGTGAATGTGAAGAAGTTGAAGTTGTTGTTGAAGTTGAAGTTGGAGTAAAAGGTGAAATGGCTATACCGTGAGCTATTTTGGATAATGGCACCCACTTGGTTGTGGCCATTCTATAATATTAATAAAATGTATTTTTTTTTTATATAATAATAATAATATATAAAAGAAAGAAAGAAAGAAAGAAAGAAAGGAAGGGGAAAATAAAAAAAAAAATAGTAAAAAAGTAACGTTTTATGAGGGTTAAAAGAAAGTAAAGAGAAAAAAAAAAAAAAAAAAAAGACAGATTATGTTTTCTCTGGGCCTACTTATTTTCTATGACGTTTTTTTCACCCGCATTTCGGTGGTTGAAAAGAAGAAATGGAAAAATGGTTAGTGTTATGATCAACTAAACATTATTTGTATACGTGCACTTACCAAAAAGAAAAAAAGAAGACCCTCCGGCTCTGAGGCACGGTCGCCACGCATCAACCCATCCAGGATGTGCGCGACGCAAAAGAGATAGTATAAATATCATAAATGGTAAAAAAAAAAAAAAAAAAAAAAAAAAAAAGGATCCAGACAGCAAGAAAGAAAGATAGACAGCAAGGACGCAAAAGACAGACAACCAGAGGCACAACGAGGACACGAACAGCAAGGAAAACGGGGAAACAAGAATCACAAACAAAAATGAGAGTGTTCTGTTGCGTTAACCAAGCGAACGGAAAGAAGAAGATACATGGAAGCAGTCAAAAAGAAGCAAATAATTTTTTTTTTGATTTTTTGATTTTGAATTTTTTTTTTTTTTTTTGTGTTTTGTAGAAGAAAGAAAAACAAAAGAAAAGAGAAAATAAAAAAAAATGTCTTTTATTGAAGCTATCAAATAATGATTATTCTATGCGATCAAGGAAATTCAACTCCGCGAAAAAAGGCTCAAATGCTCGTATCTTCTCTTTTCTTTTCTTTTTCTTTTTTTTTTTTTTCTTGTTGTTTCCATTATATTCTAATTGTATAGTATCTGCTATTGGATAATAGAAGGTTGGTGTCTTTTGGTCGTTTTGTTATTGATGGTAGTGAAGCAACCCTTTTGTTTGGTAAGTTATCTCGACTTTTCTATGGACTCTGCCTGTTTTTTTTTTTTCTAATTTACTATACACATTTATATGCATAGAGAACGATTAAATGGGTACAGATCAAGATCAACTGATTGAATATACTATTGGACCAACGTGATGCGTTTGTAGTATGAATTGACTCTATATGAAAGCAATACTAAATGTGCAAAAACACCTCTGGTTGAACTTCAAAAACGACGTGAGTACGTTAACTCAATGTATATTCATCACTTATCAAAACGTTTGGTTTTCTTCTTTTTCCTTTAGAGATTGCAACTAATATTGAAATGACTACTTTCTTACCGTCCTCTTCATCAACAATCAAGATATCAGGATGTGAACCAGAAATGGAACAAACTCTCAAGGATGCACCCAATATGCAAGCAAAGTGTATTATTATGGCAGGATCCTTTTTTTTTTTTTTTGGAACAAACCTTGTAAGAAGTATTATTTTCAAGCTGATGGTGATCCGTGTGTATCTTGGTATTGTATTTGATAAAAAAAGGTAAATGAAAGGATACTTTGATCTATGTAGTATTATGGTCATGCTAACTCGTATATATTTACCATTTAGCTATTGGAAGTAATCTATGGCTGATATGTCGATTCTACTCATCAAGCATGCTTGTCGATGACAGATTCCAAGCAATACTGCTATCTCTATTGTATTTTTCGCCCACACTCCCACTGTAACAAAGTACTTTTGTATTTTTGATGTTTACTCTGAATGAAACCATCCCAAATCTTGTCAAGTGGCCTCAATGGATCAAAGAAAACAGCGACTTGATAAAACCTACGTCTACCAAGCAAGCTTCTCCCTGATTCATCGTCTTCTACTATCAAATCATCTTTATATATCTTTGGTGCATATTCGCTGCTGCCGATTATCTTTCTCTGTGTCTTTAATGAAATATATCTGGTCTTCATCCTGTGGAGCTTATTACCGGTAAATACTCTTCTGGTTCCCCTGTTGTTGATTTCAATGCTCTCAGTATGTCCATCAAGAACTTCAGTTTACTCGTTTTCTTCCTTCTTGTGTCAAGAGGCCGTCCAGCAGTCGCAACCGAAACTACTTTTATCTGTGAAGAATTTGATGATTGGACGCTTCCTTATGTTATTGGTATGTCAAAAGTGTTTAGGTCAATATTATAAAGTAAGTTGGTTTTATCTTACCATTTTGATTCTACCAACGGACTACTGATGTTTGTTTATTTAATTTATTAGTCGAGGGGAATGACAAGCAAGGAAGTTACAAGACGTTACCTTATGGAGAATCATTTTACTCCTTTTTATATTTTTTTTGAAAATATTTTGTAAGCAAGAAAAGTATTGTGGTTGAAAGCTTTCTATGTTGTAAGTATCTGCTCAATCAAATTCATTCAACTTTCTGCACGTGAGCTGATGTATTTTTTTTTATTATAGGGTACTCTTTTATACAAACAATCTGTAATCTTATCAGAAGTTATGATTGCTAGTTTGTTGTCAATCTGATATAGAGGAATTCTATGGGTCAAATGATTGTTATTGAATCAAGTTGGAACGCATTGTAGAGGACAAAGCCGATGGCGTCGAAGATGATATTACCTACAGTTTACTGAAGTTGGTGAAAATGTGAGTAGCAAAAAGGATCAATGCCAAGGGTAGTTTACTCATCATTCTGCTCATTGTCTCATATCTGTATCAAAAGTTTATAGGGATCGTATTATGACGCTTCTACTTGGATTCCGTACATCTTGTTTCTCTCCTGGTGTTGACGAACACGTATTCAATGTATTCTGCATCAAGTCACTTCCAACAATGGTTATACTTCTTATTTGAGCTCTTGCTGATCTTACCATATTCTCTTCTCTGCCTGCATCTACGACCATCAACAACAACGACAATCGAATACAATTTCTTGAAATGCACCCACAGGTTAGAAGAGTACTTCGTTTTATTTTATCTTTATATATGTATATTATTTTACTCATGATTACTAGTATATTATTTCAATAAAATGCTGTATAGCAAACTTTTTTATTATTCAATCATTCAATCTAACCCATCCATATGTCTATTTATCTGTTATACCCAGTATATAGTATCAGGCAACGGTATGTTACTCGATTTGAAAAAAAAATCAAAGTATATGTATTTTATCTTTTTTATATTTAGATAATGAGTTTTTTTTACAATGATACTGGCATTCACCAGTGGACCATGCTGTTTAGCTGATGGACTCCCGCATGAATGTTTATGCCTGACCGGGAATTGAAATAAATTCACCCAAAATGGTGAAGACTCTTTTTTTTTCCTTGTTTCTCTTTCTTCTTTGTTTATTCTCATACTTTTTTAAAATACTTCATCCTACTTCATACATCTATCCATGTACAGGTATAAACTAGAAAAAAAAATACGAATTCTTTTACAATCATACTGATCTACATTCTTTTTTTTTTTTTTTTACCGAATAGTTCGCGTATGACTTGTGCAGGGACCATTCTGGATGTTGCTGATGAGACACTAAAAGGAAAAGAACGTCAAAAGAAACACGCTAAAAAAGGGCTAGCTGGCATATACAAAGACACAGAAGTCATCTACAATACTGGTAATCTTTTTTACGTTGTTGCTATATATAAGTACTAATCCATTTTTTTTTTTTTTTGAATAAAGAATATCCTGATACCCAGATCAAAAATACTGATATACGACAATGCGTTGACAGCAACAGTATTGATTACCTTAATCTTTGGTTGGATCTCATTGAAGCAAATATTGACAACTATATCAACACACTATATCAAGAAGATCATGCGACTCTAAATAATGATCAGCAAGAACACGCTCGCCAATTGGAATTGCAGAACTGTTTGGTGATATTTTACTGGATGTTTCAACGATTATCTCTTTTCAAAGGACAAAGTAAGTATAAGAAAAGAGTCTCCAAAACTACATTCTTTATTTATTAATGTATATTTTTAGCCCAAGTATTGTCTTGCTCTCTTTGTACCAAGAACGCTCAACCAAACTCCTCTGATGGTCCCGGTCTTATTCCTCTTCCTCCTGTTATGGCTCAAATAATTTTTTTCTACTTAACTCAACAAAAAACATAAACGTATATATCTTTTTTTTTCAACAATGCAATACCTTAATGATGATCATGATGGACATATTAGGATGAAATTAGTATAGTAAAAATAGTTGTCTGACTATCTCTTGGCACAAAAACAAATAAAATATTCTTTTACTTGTCTTCTTCTTGTCTTATTTTATTTTATTTTATTTTAAAAAGATGTTTGATAAGAAAAAATAATAGAATATGTGTACTGCCTTTATTATATTGGGATTCTTTACAATGACACTAGCGTTCATCCACCCACTACACTGCTTTAGTTAGTTGATGATAAATATTAGTTGCACCAATGTTTATGCTTCCTGACCGGGAATTGAATAAATTCACTCAAAATGGTGAAGGCTCCCTTTCTCCTTCTTGTTTCTTTTTCTTTGTTTATTTCTATATTTTCTTAAATACATTGCCATAAATACAAAATCCATTCATAATAAGTGTAAAGAGAACAGAAAAATTAAATATGAATTCTTTTACAATCATATTAATCTACATCTTTCTTTTGTAGTTTCATCATGACCTATTCAAAAGCCATTCTTAATGTTACTGGCGAAAAACCAAAAGGACGAAGACTGACATTATCAAAACAAACCTGTGAAGAATATATCAAGAAAACTTTTCCAAGTCGATTGACACGAGGTCTCAAAACAAAGCTGAATGCTCTAAAAAAAGCAAAACGTGGAATACCAACAGAACAAGACTTGAAAACACAGTATCTCGATCAAGAACGTCAAAAGAAACACGCTAAAAAAGGGCTAGTTGGCATATACAAAGACACAGAAGTCATCTACAATACTGGTAATCTTTTTTATGTTATTGCTATATATAAGTACTAATCCCTTTTTTTTTTTTTTTTTTTTTGGAATAAAGACTATCCTGATGCCCAGATCAAAAATACTGATATACGACAATGCGTTGACAGCAACAGTATTGATTACCTTAATCTTTGGTTGGATTTTATTGAAGCAAATATTGACAACTATATCAACACTCTATATCAAGAAGATCATGCGACTCTAAATGATGGTCAGCAAGAACACGCTCGCCAATTGGAGTACACTTGTATCTCATATCCCTTGAAGAAGCTACTCCGTAAAGATTTAGGGCAGTTGGAAACCGATATTGTTATTCAATCTTTCTCAAAAACTTCGGAAATCATTAGTCATATTCTATTGGATATCTCAACAATTATCTCTCTTGACTTGCTCGAAAGAACAAAGTAGGCAGGAAAAAAAAAATCTATGCAAACTGTATTCTGTACTCATGAACGTTTTTTTAGAGGTCCAGCCATTGATTTACAATCAGTCATACCAGAAAAAGCACGACGAAATGCCTCATCTTGCATTATTTCCATATCACCACCTAATCGCGATATCCAAGACAAGATGGTTCATCGTGGGAATTTGGCGAAGGATAAAAGAATATTTGACCTGTACACCGAGAATCATCTTAAACATGTATTAGCTCTGGTTCACAAACAACGACATGACCACCAACAGCAGTCTGATATACTCGCATCATCTTCCGTGACAGCTTCTTCAACATCAGTTACAGCTTCTGGGTCGGAATCAACTCACTGTCCAGAATGGTTCTTTGATATCAATGACAAAACTGGGTTCGATCTAACTCCACTTCCTCCTGGCATGCCTTCAATGATTGGCTTTTACTTGGATCAGTTTTACACCAATATAAAGAACATATATGAGGGCAAAACACCTGAATATCTCGTAGAAAAAGCTCTGCTAATTCTCCTACGTTGTAATCTAGCTCCAAAGCGCGAGGCTAGATATATGGAACGAATACAAAGGTAATGATAATAGTGAATATTCCATCCATGAATATGAAATGATAATGCTAATTATTATTATTATCATTTTTATAGACATAGCAAAAAAGCCAACAACAACAACAACAACAACAACAACAACAACAACAACAACAACAACAACAACAACAACAACAACAACAACAACAACAACAACAACAACAACAACAACAACAACAACAACAACAACAACAACAACAACAACAACAACAACAACAACAACAACAACAACAACAACAACAACAACAACAACAACAACAACAGCAATAGATACAACAGAAACAGATACAACAGAAACAGATACAACAGAAACAGATACAACAATAACAACAACACCTTCACCTTCAATAACAACAATAACAACAATAACAACAATAACAACAATAACAACAACACCATCATCAGCAACAACAACAATAACAACAACACCATCATCAGCAATAACAACAATAACAACAATAACAACAATAACAACAATAACAACAATAACAACAATAACAACAATAACAACAATAACAACAACAACAACAACAACAACAACAACAACAACAACAACAACAACAACAACAGTGATGATGATGATGATGATGATGATGATGATATAAACACCAGCAGCAGCAGCAGCAATAACAGTGATGATGAAGATACAAAAAGCAATGACAATGACTGTAGCAATAGACGTATCAAACAATTATTTAGATACTTAAAAGACAAACTGGAAAGAAAAAATGTGTCCTTGGATTTGACCACGAAAGAAGAAAATGTATTACATAAGTTATATATGCTGTTCAACCCGTTTGTTATTGAACCTTCTGGTGACAAGGAAGTCGACCGACATCCATTAATGTTGTTCCCTGTAGTATGCTTATGTAACAAAATCCTGTATATCGCTGGATACACAAAGTTTGCTCGACGGTGTTTGCCTCAACCAAAAGTTTCATCCACTCCTGCACTACTCCTGGATGCATCATCAATCTACTATATCCTTTGCTCATCAGCTGGTCGTCAAGGGGGGGTGAAACAACGAACTGGTGGTGATCCTGTCCATTCAAAATCGTTTACAGTCTCTCTACCGAACAATGATTTTGTCACTAGTGAAGAAAAGGCGAGATCTGAAAAGGATTTATTATTCGGCGCTTTTTTTGATATGGAAAGAATAAAAAAGCTATTTGAAAATAGTAAAGGATATAAATTTTCCTATAGAAGGCATCTGACAAACTTTGGGCTATTACGACTGCAAGGTGAACGATATATAAAGCAAGTATTACCTTCTTCATCACAATCATCATCAGAATCATCGGGAACTTCCTTATTTGCAGAACCGGCTCCATCTGAGAAACGTCTCGGAAAACGAAAAGCTTCGTCGTCGCTATTGACATCATCAATTGTCAAAAAAACTGTGCATCCATCAACAACTATTGATACACCTTCCTCATCCCCATCGGCTTCTTCATCACAATCATCATCAGAATCATCGGGAACTTCCTTATTTGCAGAACCGGCTCCATCTGAGAAACAACTTGGAAAACGAAAAGCTTCGTCTTCGCTATTGACTTCAAATACCAAGAAGAGTATTCTTCCAACACCTGATACACCAACTATCGGAGAACAATTTTCAGCCATCAACGAAAGAATCAAAGAACTCAACAATAGTCTTCAACAGAAGAAACGCACTCTTGATATTAAAAACGGCCAAATAACTCTTCTGAATTCAACTATTTCCAAGTGTATTTCGACAGACGACAAAAAGAAACTAGTGGATGAACGACAGAAGTTGAAGAACGATAGAAACGAACTACAACGAATGATCATCCGAGAACGAGAAGATATTATGTATTGTCGAGGATCGAAGTATGCTCTGTACAAATCAACAAAAAGAGACACATCAAACGATAGTTCCGACATGAACGTCAGCAAGGCATTAGATATAAATCAACACAACGACAACACCATCTATGTTGGCGCAGACCCAGGTTTAGTTACGATGCTGCAGACAGTAACAGCAAATCGCAAAATGTTGATTTACCATCTCGCCAAGCACACTAATTTGGATGAAGTGATTACGACTTTGGAGAAAGATGAGTGCTTCGTAAACAGTCTTTTGAAATTGAAAACCTTTTCGATAACTGCCAAATCCCTCGACATCGCGACACACACGAAGTATTACCGGGACCATCTTTTATATCGGAAAAGACGCCAGCAAAAGGAAGTAAGTTTATAACAGGAAATGATGGTACCGACGATAGTATACTAAAGTTAATTTTTTTTTTTTTTTTTTTAGGCAGAAGCACGGGGAGAACTATCTGTCTTTGATATGGAAACCAAGTTGGGCGAGGCGATGCAAGGATCTCTTTGGCAACCCAGTCAAGAAGAAATCATAAAAATCCACAAAGTAAGCTGTTATACTTGATCAACTACTGTATTTGTTGTCATCTTTTACGATTAACATATGCGCCGTAATCTATTTCTTTTTTTAGGTTTGCAACGAAGTGAAGCCGGGATTGATGAAATTTTATATGGACAGCTACAATCGTAAGCGTAAAATCGGACAACCTATATTCAAATCAAAAGGAACCGCTTCCATTGTACGACAGCACTTGAAGGCAATCATCAATCATTACCATGTCAACAACACCAATGTGGACATAAAATACATGTACGGTAACGCTGGAATGGGTTATCAACTACGAATCACTGGTCATATGAGAAGAGGTCATGGTAATCTGATCCAAATGCTACGACAACAACCTAACGTGGATTTACACATGGTCGACGAATACAAAACGACTCGACTTTGTTTCTGCTGCCACAAACCGCTGATCCACCCAAAGAAGAAAGACAAGAAGTTGAACCTAGGGACGGTAATCTGCACGAATCCTGATTGTTACGGAAAATTGCTTGGAGGAAAAGGACATATCGCCTTCTCTCGAGACGGAAATGCATCAATGAATATTATAATGGTCGGCTTATATCAATCTATCACCGGTTCACCTCCTATTGCATTCCAAAGAATAACTGCACCTGCATCAACAACAAGCGTCGACAAACTAATCAATTATGTGAAGTATCACTATGCTGAACTGCAATAGTTGATTGTGACAAAGAAAGACTCTGATCTGAAGGTTAATGTAAGTAGAATTAAAAAAAAAAAAAAAAAAAAAAAAAAAAAAAAAAAAACGAATATATACATAGATTACGATGCACTAACTTTTTTCTCTTTTTCTTTTTGCTTCAATCACATATGTTATTTGACATGGAATCCTACTGGTTAAGTGTGTGCTGCATATCTCTCTCCTTTGTATTTTTTTTTTTTTTTTATATCTCCCTTTTTTTGTTGTTGTTTTTTATTGGCTTTCTTATATTCTTTTTTATACCTGTTTATATCTTTTTTTCTTTTATTCTTTTTTTTTTATTTTTCTTTGTCCTCTATTTTATTTTTTTATTACAACATTCTTTTTTTTTTTATTTTGATTCCTTTTGTATTCATTCTGTCTTTTTATTACAACATCATCATATCAGTTGTCAATTTATCAAATATCAAACATATTATTCTCATACTTTCTGGAAATCCTTGGTGACTACTTGCCCTTGGTTTGGTGGATAAAGAAACCAAAGTCGGTGTATCGGCTGTTACTCTTTCAAGACCAAGTGTATCTCGTATGTTGGATTTGGACAGTAAAAAGGTACATCAAGCTACACAAGGGTATAAAGAAGAAGAAAAGAAAATGAAAAGCTCAGGGTATAATCTCTATTCTTTTTTGGGTAGTTGGATACCAGTTTAGGCTGGTGTACATCAATGGCTTCCTTATATGTCTATTGGATCCTTTTGGACAAAGAATAATTCGGTAGAGTATGATGTGATCTAAAAAAAAATGATAATCAACTGCATATATCTCATTTCTTTGTTTACTTTGCCTTGATAGCCACGACCAAGTAATCCTTTACAGATGTATACTGAGTACTCTCGACTATCCATTGACCGATACATTACCTAGCACTTTGGACGGACATATTGTTATAATTGAAATCCTTTCATCCTGATGGTGATTGTTACTACTCCTCAAGCAATCGTTGTTGCTGGTGTGCGCAAAGAATTCTCTCTTTTAGAAAAGTCAAGTTACATATCCTTGGTGTGACTGAAAATATGTGTGATTATAGTCGTCGTCGTCATCATACTGTAAGTTTTCTTTAAAAAAAAAACATGACCTTTCCTTATACATACTTACTTTTTTCTGGATTGTAGTAATATCTTCTCTTTCTGGTGGTAGCGAATCCATGATCAAAGAATACAACATTCCATTCCTCGCTCGAGTCCCTATTGATCCAGTTTTTAGCAGTGCAGTCGAAACAAGAAGCGAGGTGACCTATGTCATCTCTTTCCAATAACCCTAGTTGCTCCTCATCCTCCAAAATCTCTTGTACTCAGTTTGTAGATATGCCAATATAAATACCAGTATTATTTTTTATTATTTTTTATTTTTTTTTATCTTTATGTAAGAATATATATTTATATATAGCTGTTGTTAATAAAAAATTATTGTTTATTTTATTTATTTTGGTATAATAATATTACATCTATATATTAGATTAGAATATTGACTAGCTACAGTGGTAGATCTTCTCCGCAATATGATAAGGTCTCCATATAACAGCCAAACTCCAAAGAATGATCCAATATGTCCCTGATACTAATGTTGATTCCTTTCTCATTGTTAGTTGTCGTTGTTGCCAATCCATAGTGATAACAGCGAAAGGGAAAAAAATACATATGATAAAAGAAAATCAAAGATATGGTCGGATAAGATATACCTACACCTTAGAAAAAATGATCCTGTAAATAAACGATTTATCCTGTGAATACAGGCTATACAGGGAAGAGATTATAAAAATGCTTTATTATATGATAAAAAAAAATTACTAATACACTACAAAAAATAATAAAACAAAAAGATACTGCACTAAACCAATATCATCAGAAAGCTGCAACTTTAAATCTTGACCAAAAACATGTTGATTACGAGTAAAATAATGGATTGATTTGTCGTGGTAAGTTCCTGGGAAGGTATATTTCAGTGCTCCATCTTCAATTCTCATATCAATATCAATATCATTGTTAGAAAGTATTGATGTTTGTATTGATGTTGATATTGGTGTTGGTATTCGAATGGTCAGAAACTGTTTCATTTTCGTGCAAAATCTCATTGATATCCAAGAGAAACCTAGCCGATAAAAAAGATATCAAACACAGTTAGTCAAAATATATACCTTAAGAAAGATCATACCTGATCGTCAGACTCCACATTCATTGTTGATATAGTTTTCATAGAAGAAAGAGAAGTGGAAGCAAACGAGGAATAAACTTTTGGGACAGACAATTCATTAGGAGGTGATATCATACCGTATCGGACACTACGTGGTTTTTGTTTCCGTTTAATTGACGACGCAAAAAGTAAAAAGGACTTCACGAGAAATAAAGGAAAAAAGAGAAATAGAAAGAAAGAAGGAAAGTAGAAAGATAGAGTATAAGAAAAAGTGAAAGAAGAAAAAAGCGAAAGAAGAAGAAAGGAAAGAAAAACAGAAAAGAAAAAAAAAAAAGTAAAGAAAAAAAAAAGGAGAAAAAAAAAACCCGCAGGAGGTGACGACAGAGATAGATCAAAAAATAATATTATATAAAGTTTTTATTACAACTATTTTTATTACATATAAATGGGGTTATTTCCATGTACAAGATGTAGTATGTGTACGAATGCATTCTTTTTATTTTTTATTATACGCTTATATTACAGGTACGAAATACGCTGATACGACACATGTTGTTATTTACGTAGGTATCACTATAGTAAAGAAAAGGAAAATATAAAGAAAACCAAAGAGTAGAAGAAAAAAACGTTTTTAGAAAAAGGAGTATCACTATTTATTTCACAAGTAGTGTGGTTTGGTGACGAAGTCATTGGTTTGTCGTAGTAACTAATCTACAGTAAAAACTTATATCGAAGTGAAGAATATTGGAATCGTATCGTTTCTCTTATCTATAAAAAAAAAAGTAAAATAAAAAGGAACGCATTCACATATAAAAAAAAAAGGTACATTCGAAGATGGAATCAATTGCATTGACATGTAATGAAGTGATTTCAATAAAAGTTTAACTACTAAAAACTAATAAACACTACTAAAATGATATACTGACACTAAAGCCAATACAAAAAAAAAAAAAAAAAAGGAAAAGAGAAGAAAAAGAGTGCAAGAAAAAAAAAAAAGGAAAGGTCACTTAAAAATTTCCCGAAGCCGCTAATTTAGCCGTCGACAGAAAAATAAGTATAAATCACATTAAAAAAAAAAATAATCAAATAGTTTGTGATTATTTTTTTTTTTTAATGTGATTTATTCATTGTAATCAGTTACACAATGGGTTAATCAATCTCTTTTTTTCTTTTTTATCATATAGTCAACAATAAATAATATATTTTTTGATTATATTCATATATAAACAGTTTTACATGATTCTCAATGTTGATTGGATAAAGATTATACCTTTTTTATGTATCCGACTAATCACTACATATCAATATAATTTTGAATGATTATTTTTTCCGACACCTTTTCTTTTGAAACAAAAAGAATAATAAATACTGTATCATCATTGGTTCATTCGCATTACAGCTCATTAATATGTGGGAAGTCACTGTCTTCTTTTTTTTTCTCACCGATTCTATATCCTTCTTTTTTTTTTTTTTTTTATTCTTTCTTTCTTTTTTATCTTTTTTTTTTTTTTTTTAAATCTCATAATGGCAACAAGCATACAAAAGGTAAATTAAAGAAATAGTAATTTAACCTTCTAATATATGACTTACCTTTTATAGTCTCGACGTGTCAGTTTTGATCTTGAACACAATACCATTCACGTTCTTCCTACTGAAAAACAAGTCAAAGAACATGCTGATAGATTACGACGTGAAGCTTATCAAAACCGAACTCTTAATCAAGAACTTTTGGATGATTCTATTATTTCTGAAATAGTTGCTTCTTGTAACTGTAACTCAAGACAAGATGAAGGAATATGTTTAAAAAGTTGTTTGAAAAAACCTCCAACAAGAAGACATAAAAGACAAAGACAACAACGTCGTATTGATGATGATGATGAATCGCGGAGTAAGTATTATTATTTACAGATAAACAGATAAAAAAAAAATCATGGCATCATTTATACCATTGATTGTGTGACCTTACTCATTATTACTTTACTTTTATATAGGAGTCATCCATGTCCATTGAATCTATGGTTGTAATAATACAGTGAATTTGTGTTTACCATGGCTACTTCGGCTACTCTTTTTTTGGGTGATGAACAAGAAAAAGAAACAAAAGATTGGTTGATGAATGATCCTAGTAGATATTATTTAGATGATGATTTTTTTACCCTTTTCCCCCCTTCTTTCTCCCCCCCCCCACTCTTCTTTATATATTATTATTATTATTATTATTATTATTCACAAGAACATTTACATATACATATACACATATGTCTCTTATAGTAGTTAGTATGTTTTTTTTTTTACCCCTCTTTCTCTCTCTTATATATATATATATATATATCTCCTCTTTGTGATACTTTGTGAAAAATAAAAAAAAAAGTTCCCTCCTTCTCCTTGTGTGGGGAGGTTAATAGTAGGAAACTCCTTGAAAACTCAAGAAAATTGTATTTAAGCTTTCGAACAATCTTTTTTTTCTTATTTATTTATTTATTATTTTCTTTTTTGTCTTTCTCATTATTTTTAAATTATTATGTTGGAACAGGTAAATTATATCATAATGATTTTTGAAAAGTATATATAATTAATCATAACATCCTTTAAACATATACATATATATAGTCACCAACATTTATTAACCCATGGGATTCTCAGGTAAAAAAAAAAAAAAAAAAAAAAGATAACCGGTGTTTGAAATGAATAGAATATCCTGTTAAATACTTTCTACCTTTTTTTTTTTTTCTTTCTAGAATTATTCTACTACAACTTGTGATCTTGGTATTGATGATGATTTGAAAAATAATTTACCTTATCGACGACACTCTTTGGCTCAAGAACAACCTGTCTTAAGAGGCAATAGTAGTAATAATAATACTCAACGTCAGACTTCTTGGAATAGTATGTCTTCCTTTTCCTCTAACTCTTCTGATCTTTTTGGCTCTATATGGAACAGCAATAACAACAACAATATTCATACAAACGGGGCAACTACCTCCTCTTCTTATTCTTCCCCTCATCTCTCCTCTTCAACATCCCCTACTTCTTCTTTTACACGTTCATTCCCAACTACTCAAGATTCTTTACCCCTTCCTTTCCGTCGGTTTTCTTTGGCTCCTATTACTTATGAAACAAATCAGGATCAAGTCAATGCATTATCAAGGTAAAATTCATTATTATATATTCTCCTATTTAATCGCTCTAATTTCTTTTTTTTTTTTTTATTTATTTATAGTGTACCTGAAGAACCCTATCAAACTTATCGTCGTCATTCTTTAGCCGGTCCTTTGATATCAACACCATCCTCTTCATTACCATCACCTTTATTATCATCATCCATTCAACACCAGCAACAACATCATCTTTTATCAAATTATCATCATCCACATTCAAATCATGCTAAATTAATCCGTCCATCAGCAACTACTTCGTCCAATAATGGTAACTCTTTATTGTCTCGTATGCAAGAAGAAAACGAACTTTTACCATTTGAATTATTAACTTCAGTGGAAAGACAAGGATCATTCTCATTGGATCCTCCTGTTTCTTGGTGTATGGTGGAATTCAAGGCAGGGCGTGCTGAAATCTATTACAGTTCTTGTCCAGTCAATCAAGATGATTGGGTTATTGTGGAAGCTGATCGCGGTAGAGATTTAGGCAAAGTGGTAGCTAAAGATTTACCTTTGGATCAAGTACAACTTTTACTAGCAGCAACATCCAACTCATCATCTTCAGCAACAACAACAACAACGACAACAACGAATTCACCATCAACAACGAATTCCTCATTTATGACGAACATTCAGTCTTCACAATCGACTTCAGTATTGATATCAGATCATCCTCCTTCCCCTTCGGCTTCATCATCATCTACTTCCTCATCCTCTTCATCTTGCTCCTCATTACCATTACCGAAACAGATTTGTCGTCTTGCCACTCCTTCAGAAATTACATTGTTAGTCACCAAGCGTCATGATGAACAAAAGGCCCTCTTGATTTGTCAAACTAAAAGCAAGCAAAAGAATTTATTAATGGATATTGTCGATGCTGAATACCAATGGTAAAAAAAAAAAAATAGATATAGATTTCTTTTCTTTTCTTTTTTTTTTTTTTTTTTTTTTTTTTTTACAAAGATTTTAGTTATCTATTACTTATCCTTTCTTTCTCCTTTTTTTTTTTCTTTTAGGGACCGTCGCAAATTGACCTTTTACTTTATTGCCGAAAGAAGGGTTGACTTTAGAGAATTGGTTAGAGATTTATTCAAGATTTACAAGACAAGAATCTGGATGTAAATAATAAGAATATCTTTATAATTTATGACATACTAAAACTTATTAATTTGTGAATAGGTGCTCTGTGAACTCTTTGGGTAAAAAGAATATGGCTTCTGTCAATGGATGATTAGTTAGTTATATATTCTTCCTTTTATATTTTATATTTCTTCTTTATACAACAAACAAACAAAAGTAGATGCTCACTTTTTACAAGCCTTTCTATTTATTCATATTATATATATAAATATATACAAATCATTCACACACTTTTATTTAATCACTTTACTTTTATTCTTTCAAATACAGTCTATCACGAAGTTGGCAGGAATGTTTTTCATTCCCAGCGTCAGTCCCAAAATAAAAAGATTTTTTTTTTCTTCCCTCCTTTTTTTTTTTTTTTTGAATCATGTTTGGTTCAACACGCTTTTTTTCACATGTACGAAGTCAATATCTAGTAATCCGACCGACAACTATATTATATTCTAGATATACAACTCTCCCCAAATATGATTTACCCTATACTCCCATTCATAAACCTGTCATGCTGCAGGAGGTTCTTGATCAAATTTCACCTTCTCCCGGACACATTTATGGTGACATGACATTTGGTGACGGTGGCTATACAAAGGCGCTCCTAGGTAAGCTCTTTTTTTTTTTTTATTAGAAAAAAAAAGAATTGAAAGGATCTTATGGAGAAACTCCTTTATTTTAACTATTATAGCAAGGGAGAAGTGAAAAGGGTGAAATAGGAGGATATTGTGGTGATTGTGGATCTTTGTCTGTGTGCAGGAAATGACTCACTCTTTAGTATCTCGTGTTCATTTATTTTTTTTTCTTAAATTTTATTTGGTAGATTCGTGTGATTGTAAAGTCGTAGCTGTTGATCAAGATCCAACTGCATATGAAAAGGCTCTTCAAATGGCGTCTATGGACTGTTACAGGTAAAAAAAAAAAAAAAAAAAAAAAAAAAAAAAAAAAAAAAAAAAAAAAAAAAAAAAAAAAATACCCTATCATCATTATCATCATCATTATTTCTTCAGAGTTCAATACCTTAGTATATTGTAATAACAATGTTGTTTTTATCTTTAGGAGTCGATTATATCCTTTATTAGGTCGATTTGGGGACATACATCACTTGATGAAGACACAATTATCATGGAGGTTAGTTTAAAAGAATATCAGAAAATTAAAATATATATATATATATATATATATATGTTTGTTCACCATCAATACTTTATTTATATATAACCTTTATAAAATATGATGATTCTCGCAATATTAGTCTTCCTTGCTTTGATGGCATGGTCATGGATATTGGTGTTTCTAGTGGTCAAGTACGAATAAAAACTGATGATATAAATGCATTATAATAATTACTATTCTATACAGGTAGAAACGGCTTCAAGAGGATTCTCATATAAACTGGATGGACCATTGGATATGCGAATGTTTTCTAGAGGAAGGAATACAGATTTGACTATTGTCGACACAAAAGAACGAGAATTATTACGGAAATCCATTTCTGCTTATGAAATTGTCAATTTTTATTCTCGTGAACATATTGCCAACATTATCTATCAGGTAACAAAAAAAAAAAAAAATCATATTCTCCTTCTCATTAATAATCCCTGATTTTATTTTTATTTATTGTCTATAGTATGGTGGGGACCGATTATCAAGAAAGATAGCAGCTGCTATTGTGGATGCAAGACAATTGGAACCTATAGAAACAACAGGTCGACTTGCATCAATCATTCAAAAGGTTTGTCCTCAACCTCGATGGAAACGTGGAGATGATGATATGTTACGAAACTCTGCAGCAAGGACTTTTCAAGCATTAAGGATTTATATCAATGATGAAGTATGTCACAAAACTAATCAAATAGAATATTTGATAAATAGATAAATAGATAAAATCTGATGATGATGACGATTATTAATTTTTTTTTTTTTTTTTTTTTTTTGTTATGACAACTTAGTTGGGAGAATTGGAAAACGCATTACGGGCAAGTGAATACATGTTGAAACCAAATGGCTCGTTAGTGGTGGTGACATTTCATTCCTTGGAAGATAGAATGGTTAAGAACTTTATGCATCATTGTTCTGGGAAACGATCGATAGAAGATGCAGAACACAATCAATTCGACATGAAACGTGCTGTACATCGGGAATGGAAAAAGGCTTCAAGGCGACTCTCTTCTGAAGATGATATTCAACATACCTATATGCATCGAAAGAAAAAACATATACATTCGGATACCTCTTCTTCTTCTTCTTCTTCTTTTCGACTATTATCGAAAAAAGTGATTCTTCCAAGTCGTCAAGAAACAGCAGAAAATCCTCGAAGTCGATCAGCAAAGTTACGGGCGGCTCAACGTACTTCTGCAACCCCTATGACTCCTTTTGGACCTTTGGATTATGATGATGATGAATAGATTTTGTTTATATAAAAGAGTGAACAGATTGTAGCTACAGTTAGATTAGATCTTGTATTTTTTTTATTTTTTTAATAAAACGAAAAATATTATACCTTCTATTTTTATCTTTTAATATTATATATAGTATTTTTGAAACTTTTGACAGTAAAAATATGAATATGGATGAACTTTTGATAAACGGATGATCGTAATGAAAAGATAATGTATAAGGTTGTCCCAATTGATATAATAATAGGTTCAGAATTGGCTCAATAATACGTACAACACTAATTTGAAAAAATAAGGCTATGATGATGGATGATGATTCCGGTTACGATATCTACTGCTGATTATGAAAAATATTAGAAGGTAACAAGCAATAATACTGATAACAATGATAGTGAAAAAAAAAAAAATGAATATGATTTTTATTAAAGAAAAATGTAAATAATTGATATAACACCACTAAACTACATAATGAATAATCATCATGATCCAAATGAGAGTAGACCAACAAAAAAAAAAAAAAAAAAAAAGGGAAGTAAAGGTGTCAAACCCGGAAAAAAAAAAAAAAAAAAAAGTCGTCCTGCTGAATTAGAAATATTATAAAAATTTCTTACCGGAAAAATCCAATATAAAAGGGTTCACTGAAGGGGGAAATTATTTTTTTACTTCCTTAATTCTTTTAATCTCGTATGCCCTTATGTAATATGTAAGTTTATCCATCCATCTCATTTTTTTTTTTTTACTCATCCATCCATCCATCCATCCATCCATCCTTTTATTGGTATGATGTTTGATGAATGTTTTTGTTTGAGTAAAAGAAACTAAAAAGATAATGACGAGGATGACACCGTTTCATGCACCACGCATAAGTCTTTTTTGATGATACAAAGAAACTTCAGTCTTCAAACTGAGTCATTATCTTTTTGGTTTTATTTTTTTTTTATATATATAAATATATTTTTACAATTGAATACTTATATATTTATTTTTTTTTTCTTCTCATACAGGATTTCCTTATAGTATATCAAGTTTGTTTTTATTAGTTTAGTCTTTTATATCTATGTATCTATTACAATAAATAAAAAATCTTGTTACAATGAAAAATCTTTTATTATATGTGTCTATTTGGATGGTCTACTAGTGTATATACGTCAAATAGGATGAATAAGTATCGATCAGTCTTGGAGATGTAGTTTAACCTTAGGAAACCATCCAGGATGTAAAATGTACAATTGAAATTACTGTATATCGCCATCAATCATCACCTACATCAATCATTATCATCTTCATCAAACTATATCAATAACGCGGTGCTTTATTTCAATCAATCAATCAACTAATAGCATCGTCTCTAACACGTGTTTTATCAAGAATCCGTGAATAAACAAACATAAAATACTAATAACAGTTTGTATCATAAGGGCAACAATGACTGTATCTGCCTTTTCCGTCGTCACCAACATCACAAACTTGATCCATAGCCTGCCAAAACCAAAAAGTCTCAGCTCCCATTGTTTGCTGGCAACACTCTCCTGTCTTATCACCAGCGTATGACCCCTGACATCTGCAGTATTCACACTTGACAACAGAAAGGATGCATGCCATAAAAATCATCACAAGAAGGCTTTTAAAGTAAGTAGCTGTCATTTTTGAAAGGGCTTGTTATTATAAAGAAAAGAATATAGATAGAATAAAATATGATTTTATTGTAAAGAACAGTTCGATATTTATACTAATGATGTATGATCAAGAAAGGAAATATTTAGAAGATGGAATACTAGTCGAAAACGGATAAAAGGATAAGTGTATAGTAACCAAAGTTGTGGATATCTAAAATATGATAATGAAGAACAAGGACGTTGAAAAAGAAAATGAGAAGACTAAAGAATACCCCTGAAAGAAAATATCCATCTACATAAAAAATTGTATTCCATCACACATAACTTTATGCAATCACCAACATTCAACTGTCATTGAGTAACCTAAAAAAAAAAAAAAAAAAAAAAAAAAAGTTCACCCTTGAATTATTCGATTTTACAAACCATCTTACCATCTTTGAACAAATTTTTTCTATATTTTAAGTCATTGATCAAACCTTAAGAAAAATATTGGCGCAATTGGCGTAATTTGTGCTTAAAATAAAAATATAAAAAAAAAAATACGTCTTGATGGAATCAATTCAATTGACATGTAACAAAGTAATTGTAACAGGATAAGTTTTATTGAATAAAAATATAAACGCTAACGACTACATATTATATAAAAAAAAATTATATAAAAAAAAAAAAAAAGTCAATGGGAAAGAAAAGAAAGGGAGAGAAACAAAAGAGTAAGAATCTAAAGTAGGACTTTGAAACTATTTCTTTTCCCCCAGAATCATACAGAAATATTCCCCTGAGCAAAGGAGAGTACATTGATAAAAAATGCCGATATATCACATATATCATTAAAAGAAATCACAGAGAAATAAGGTACATATTTAGTACATGATAAATAATCAACCTTTTTTTTTTTTTTATTATTTTTTATTATTTTAAAATAAACTAAAAAAGGAATCTCATTTTATCTATATTCAAATCTAAATATCTAGCTACATATCACATCACAATTCAATAAACTAAAAGAAGTCATCACTGACTGTCTATTTACACCAAGAATAATACAATTATTAAATCACCACCTACATAAATACTTCAATAACCCAGTACTTTATTTCAATAATATTTCTAAAACATGTCAGTTTTAAATATGATACTACATGCTCTAAACCATCCATTGTTTCTGGATCCCATAGCTGTATCCAAGTGTTTTGCCCATTTGCTGATAGTTTTTTTTTTTTTTCCAATATGTGGTCAGAGTGTCGTCGCTATCAAAGAGAGAAGAAAGATATGTTAATGAATCAGCAAAGTTAACAATCGACATTCACATTGTATCCTGTTATACTTTTTTTTTTCTTTTACCTATTACACAAATAATATCAACAAGTGGAACAGCCATTTCAAAGGGATGTCAATCGATCATTGTTGAATTTTGTTTTGTAATTGATATTTAATTGTATAAGCTGGAAGTTGCTGAATATGGAGAAACAGTAGTCATAACTGCCAATAAGATTCATTTTGAAAATAGTATATATTGAAGTTTCCAAAGATGTCATACATATAAAACAATGTCGTCTGGGAAAATACTACAAGTTCCGTATTATATCCATTTGTAAATACAAGTTCCTTGATATATTAATTCTGCATAATACTGTTATGTATAAAAAAAAATAATTATGAGAATATGTAGCAAGCTAGAAAAAAAAAAAATATAATGATACTTTTTTTTATTATTTTTTTTTTAAAAGACTTACCAACTAATAACGGTATAAATACTAACAGAAAAATGTCACAACCTTTTTACAAACAAAAGAGAAAAAAAAAAAAAAAAAAAAAAAAAAAGAAAAGAAAAGAAAAGAAAAAATTCCTCTGTCGTTTATCCGAAATTACCAATTTTTTTTCTCACCGTGTTTTTGCCTGAATACTATTGCATCTCAGCGTTAAAGATTTTTATAGTTAAGTTGAACTTTTCATGAAACGTGTAAATTGTGAGTCAACGATGTTCAAATAAAATAAATAAAAAAAAAAAAAAAAAAAAAAAAAATAGAATTAGACTATAGCTATCTGCTTCAGAATATTGGAGAGAGAGATTCGAGTTTGTTTATTGAAAAATAACACAAGAGTGGAATAAAATAAGAAAATTGATTAACATAGTAATAGAAAAGAATGAAATGTAAAATATATATAATGTAATCTAAAAAATAGATATCGTTCGTCCTAAAAGATATATATCGTAATAAATTTAATATAATAGACTAATAACTATCCTATAAAATATAAATTATATAAATGTACTAACTTGTTCGTGATAGAAATAAAAAAAAAGTGGTGAAAAAAAAAAAAAGAAAAAAAGACCAAAAAAATTGGCGTCAAGAAATTGAGAGTCAAGATTGGCCACGGCAAAACCCAAGACCGAATTCCAGGATCGGGAAATATATCCACCGAACGATATCGACCAATCATCTTGCGAGAATTTTGGATGAGAAATATAATGTAAAAAACGGCTTTTTCGTCAGTTGACGCGCGGTTGGTTAAGTGGTATAATCTTCGCCTGCCACGCGAAGGGCCGGGGTTCGATTCCCCGACCGCGCAAAATTTTTAGCCGATAAGCTTAATTACCTCAGCCAATCATATTCTATCTTTTTTTTGCAGCAAAGGTTTTTTTTTTTTCTTTTTACTCGTTCCTTTTTTTTTTTTTTTTTTTGTTCAAATAGCCAAAATTGAAAAAGTAATTCGGATGATTGAAAGATAATAAGTTAAATAGTGAACACCAGTACTTGATTACGCAATTACACGTATAGGAAAAGAAATAAAATAAAAAAAGGAAAAGTAAAATAGTAAAAATAAAAAGATCAATTCCAAATTTAGAAGGTAAGGAAAATTGAAGTTCTTAGTCTGACTTCAAAAAAGAGGGTTGAGCCAATCAGAATGAGTAATCCACAGTAAAGTGAAGTAGAGGATGAAAAGAGATGTTTTAATTAAAAAAAAAAAAAGATATATATATATAATTGATTGAACTAATTAAACTAAAAAAAAAAAAAAAAAAAAAAAAAAAAAAAGGTGGGGTATTTATACTAAATTGATGGGTAATAAAATTTGAACAGTATGTAAAAATATGTAAATAAAAAAAAATAATGTGAAATATTTTAAACATGCACGTAGAAATTTGAACAACGATGTTAAAAAGAAAAAAAAAAAGAATTTAATACTTAACATTTGTATTGGCGATTGATTAATTGGTAACTAAGGTGATGATCGAAACATGGAAAAGATGGATGATGTTATTAATATAATAATATAAATAATGATTGACTGTAGTGGGCATTATTTCTTTTATAAAAAAAAAAAGGTAATCCAGAAATGGAAACAGATTGTAGTACGTGATCATTCTTGATAATGATCATCAAAATAAATAAAATAACTTGAATATAAATACTTGATAGTTATAAAACAATCTTAATGATTGATAGTAATGATAAAACCTTAGATGATGGTCCAAGAGAGAGGCCAATATAATAAGTTTTGATTTTAAAAAACTTTTTTTTTTTTTTTGATTGATAAAAAAATATAATTTGACGGAAGAAAAGGATAATAAAAAAAAAGGATAATAAAAAAAAAGGATATGTATTTACACTTTATTCAATAATAAATGAGGGAATTCAAATATAAGATATCGCAAAAATAGGAAATAAAATATCGTAAGGAAAGAACATAGATGACAGAAGAAAAAAAAAATAACTGACATATAATCCAAATTGGATCAATCATCATCATTAAAAGAGACTTACTAAAAGAGAAAAAAAAAAAAGATGTTTAGTTTAATATACGATGAGAAATGGCGAAAATTGCAAAATGAAGAAAAAAAAAAGTCAAACGTAAGAATGACCAGTAAATAAATGTATTTTGAAAAGTAATCCTCATGAGTGGTTTTCCGTATAAAATATATTATGATTAAAAGTGTATAATTGAACAGGATGATTTTACCGTATCATCAGTATGAATGAATCAATGATTGTTGATTATTAGGAACATATTTCAATTTCATTATATGTTGATTAGTTTTTTGAATCAAATAATAAAAGAAAAACAAGATATAATATAATGAATAACAAGGTCAAATGATTTATTGTAAAAGAAAAAAATAAAAGTGTATCGACAGATGAATGTGTGTGATTGTGTAAGTCATTGTTAGACAGATAAAGGGGATGGTGAGAAAAAAAAAAAACAGTAGATAAAAAAAAAAAAAGGAGAATATATTCTCCAACATTGAACCATATAAGAAGGAACAAAAAGGAAGAACAAAAAGTAATATAAAAATAATGAGACAAAAAGAAAAAAGTTGTCAGAAAAAAAAAGGGTAAAAAAGGACGAAAGAATATGAGTGAAAAAGAGAATGAGAAGGAGAGGAAGGAGAAGGGACAAATTAAAAGATTGTGTTGATATTAAGTTCCTTTATATGCCACCGAATTGATTCAAATATGATAACGTTCTTGTAACGTAGTCTTAGTTTCTTGAGGAAGGGAAGCAACACCTTGTTGCCATTGTTGTTCACCAAACATATTCTTATATCCAGAAAGAATCTACATATATATATGTATAAAAAGATCAGTATACATTTTGAATTCATTCTTGATTCATTCTATTATTCTCATTTTATCTGTCTTACATTTCCAAATGCTTCTTGTAATGGCTGAGGTACAATGTGATAGTTTGCAATAGCTGTACAAAGCAATGGGAATACCTATATTATATAATATATAATGATGAGTAAAAAAAAAAAAAAAAAAAAGAAAAAGAAAAAAAGAAAAGACGATTATATTATGATTACCTTCAAAGCACCTTCAGGATTAGTTTTAATCATTTCACAAAGACCACTGAAAGCGGATGCCTTTTCTTCGTTGTCTCTAACAGGTGAAAGAGATACCAACCAAGGATGTACAAAGTTTTCCAGATGAGGAGCAACCATAGTAGGACAGATCAAACCAAGACGACCAATGGTGATGGCAACGTTTTCCAATAAAGTTCGTTGTATGCTTTGATTTACCATCAAAGGGAATAATCTTTGCAATAATGGTTCTACATAAGGTTGAATTTCATTGCCTAACCAAGAAAAAATAAAAATTACACATGTCAATTTTTTTTTTAAATATTCACACTTTCTCTTTTTCTATACAATCTTACCAAGTTTGATGGTGATTTCACCAGCAGCCCAGGTAGCATTGTTACAAACAGAAGGAGATTCAGCTTGAGGATCGATTTGTTGAAGAATAAGTGGCATGAATTGAGGAACAACAGCTCTAATATGTTCGAAACAAGAGATGGCAAGATCACCCAACAAAGCATAGGATGATTGACGTACTTCTGCAACTTCATCCTATTAAAATAACAAATATTAATTATCATATATACTAATCGATTCCAATTCTTGTTTTTTTTTTTTTTTTAATACTTACGTTGATACACATAGATAAAAATTGAACAACAGGAGGTTGAGTGTTGGCCACTAGAGGTTCAGCATCAGTATTAAGAGCTTGTACAATACCAGATAACAGATCCAAAGCAACAATCATAAAGTCCTTGTCAGGTTCTTCCATAGCAGGGTTATGCGCAGCTAACTGACATTCTTCCAAAGTCTTGCAAACAAGGTTCACACAACGAACATAGATCGGTTCAGCGAAAGGTTTGAAGTTTTTACCAAGAGCAGTTGTAACAGATGAAAGACACTATATGATATACAAAAAAAAAAAAAAAAAAAAAAAAAAAAGAGTTCAATTAACATGACAAAAACCTGGCTTTTTTTTTTATTCTTTACCTCTAGAAGTGGGAAAAGGTCAGTATTGTCATCTGGAGTTTCTTGCCATTTAGTAATAAGAGGTTTCATCACCATATCAATATATTGGGGAGCACCCAAAGCTTCACCAACAGCGTCAGCTAAAGTACCAAGAGTATCATAAAGAAGTAACACGTTGTGACGTTGGTACTTTTCAAAAGCAGTAGATAAAGTGGCCAAAATGGGTTGTAAATAAGGTATCATGTCAGTGGTGGCTTCCTCTTCTAATAGGGAGAAGGACGAGCAAGCAGCTTCCTGTACACGTTTGTTGTTATCCAAAATACGTTGTAACATTTGTTGCACCAATGTTTCTAAATAATGTTTTCGAGCTTCAGGGCTTTGTTGACTAGCTTCAATAATCCATTGTGCGAATCGACCAAGAGTCCAGCATGTGATAGATCGTACCAAAGGCTATATAAAAAAAAGCAAGTAAGTAAAAAAAAAAAAAAAAAAAAAAAGGTATTTCTATTCTTTTTATCTGTATATTTACCTTTGAATCATTCAAATTGGTCAATAAATAAGGTACCAATTCAGGGAGATGAGGAGCAATTTCATGCAATCCACCTTCAGCAGCAGCACCCAAGGCCAAAATCCCACATTCACGATGAAGCCAATCACTACTTTCCAATTCTGTCTTTAACAAAGGCATCAATAATTGAATGGCTTCCCCTTCAAAAGCAGTACAGATAATATCCAAAGCGGCAGCACTACACTTGCGCAAGTTCCATTCACCATACATATCATCGTCATCATCCAAATCATAGTCATCATCATCTTCATCTTCATCATCGTCAGCATTGTCACCATCCAAAAGACCATTCTTCTTCTTTTGAGCACCACCTTCCTCCAAATCGTTCTTATCGGCACGTTCAACTTCCACCACATTGGCTTTATGGAATCGAGGTTTGATATCTTGTTCACTGTCAGCTACATGAGCATCATCATCATCACCACCCATAATTAAGAGATCAGTTTCAGAGTACACCATACACTTGAGTAGAACAGGAATGACTTTAGGAAGATAACCTTGGAATTGATCACGGAGACTATCTTGTTCAGCAAATACTAACCAGAATTCACAGGCCTCCAAGGCAAGGTCTTCATCATCAGACATAGTACAATAGAGCATATATTCGACCAAATTGGGCATATGAGGTAAGAGGTTTTCAGGACATACTTCTAGAATATTGACCAAAGCTTGACAAACAGCCCTACGCACTTCCACACTATCATCTGTAGCACGGTTGAAGAGTGCACTCAAAAATTCATTCATGCGGCGCATCAAAGGTTCAGATCGTGAAGCAATGAATTGCTGAGTACATCGAATGGCAGCAAGTCGAAGTTGAGCATTAGGATGGTCAAAGAAGTTGATAAATTTGGGGATCATGAATTCCAAAGGTTGAACACCACCAATACTTGTATCTAAATCACGAGAGCAATCTTCACATACTTTTTGAAGAGTACCAAGAGCATGCTAATAATAATAACAATAATATTAACAATAATAATAATAATAATATAATGAAAATAATGAAAATAATGATTAGAACATATTCTCTTTTATTTCTTTGTTATCTCATTTTCATTATACTACTTACGTCAACCATAACTGGAGAAGGATCATCCAACTTTTCCAATAAGACTTGAAGACCATGAGGCCAGTTTTGTACTTGACCACGAGCCATGATAGCAGCAATCACAAGACTAACCGTTTTTCCAATTTCTTCATCACCCAAGTGTTGTAAACAACATTCCTTAATATAATCGGCAACTGGAGCAGGGAAAGAAGGATAATACGATCGAATGTTGTTCTTGAGAGTCAACCCAGCCACAGCACGGTTGTATTGAGGTTCTTGAGGCATCTTGGTCAAAACATAAACAAGGTAATTGTTGAAGTCAGGTACATTGTTGAAATATTCTAGTTTCTATCATTGTAAATAAGACACAATAATAATAATAATAAAAAAGAAAGAAATAAAAAGTTTGAATTCATTAATATAAAAAAAAAAGAACTATTCATATACACATAACACTCTCCTTACTGAAGACCTTTCTCTTTTTAATTCTACATACCGCTTGAACATTTTGTCCACTGGTAGGGTTGACCGCTTCACGTAAGAGTTGTAATATTTCGGATAGACCTTGGTCAGTTGGCTGCCAAGCGCTCATTTTATTCAATATAGTGTAAAAGTAATGACAATAACAAAGAAAAAAGGACTAAGACTAGTATAAAAAAAAAAGAAAAGACCAAGTAAAAAAAAAAAAAAAAAGAGATTGAAAAAAAAAAAAAAAAAAAATTTCGGGAGGCGTTTACAATTTCCTATAATGAATGTTTGTCCAAGTCAAGAATAAAGTCACGGTCATCCAGCCAATCAGCAATTACGAAATTTAGGAGGGACAAAAGGAATATCTAATACATTGAAGATGTCCATTTCACTAGCCACTGGTATTATTCTTTCTGGTATAGTTCTTGTATACATTTGATTACTTTTCAGTTTGATATTCTTTTCCTATAATATAATATATATATATAAATCATCATTATCGACCTTTGTTTTGTGTATTACCATTTTTGCATAATCCCTTATAGACCTTTCAAATTGTCGAGATCCTACAACAAAGAAAAAAGAAAAATCATAAATTAATGGAGTAACACTAATTCAATTGTTTTTTTTTTTTTTGATTATCTTCACCTGTCCAACCAAGCACTGCTGTCGGAAATTGTTCATATGTTGAAATAATCAGATCAACTTGTCTAACCACTTTCTTTGATGGTTGCATGAAACATGTGAGTACCTTAAAAAATAAAAACAATAAATTATTAATTCATTCAATGATTGATTATCTGGTTCATTTCTTGTTTACAATTCTTTTTTTTTTTCCTTTATTTTTTTTTTGTTGTACCTTTGGTAAATCATCAAATCCGGTTCTGCGTAATGATTTGGTGATAAATTGATAGTCTTCTTCATTTTCCCTAGATTCTTGCTGCATTTGATATCGTTTTGCAAAAGTGGTTGTTTGCTGATAAGTGTTTCGCCAAAGTATGTGTTTTGCGTATCCTATCTCAATATGAATAATTAGATATTAAAACTTGTTTTTTTTTTCTTCTTTCTTCTATCATAATTACCCTGAGATTTGAGTCTTTCAATTATACTATCCAAAATACCATCCATGTTTTTTTCCTGTTTTGATGATATGATAATATCGAGATCCCCATTTTTTTCTTTTCCACGCCTATATATAGATATAAGTTAGTAAATGATCAATATTTAGCAAGTTTTTCATTATTTTAAAATTGACCTATATCCACCAACAGGTATTATCAGTAATTGATCATCCACAAGCATGACTTGTGTTTCTATAATATCAATCAATTCTTCAACATCATCACGAGTCATCCTAATGAAGAATATTTATTATGAGAATATTATTAGTTTTCTTTTTTTTCTTCCAAAAAAAAAAAAAAAAAAAAAAAACTTACGGAATAATAAAATCAGGAAGTAATTGAATTCCAAGTCGAACAGTGGAGGTTAGTGATGCTTGATCTAAGACTTGTTGTAATGATCTATAACCCATATCCCACCATGCACGAGCTGTTGATGGTCCTACACCTTGTATCCCATATATTCAATAATAGTCAGAATAAGGAAAATGATAAATCAAGATACATACCAAAACACTTGTTAAATAATTTCAAAGTTCTAAAACGTTCATCAGACAGTAATGCTTCTGCTTCAGGTACTGTGCTAGTTTCTAGATATACTCGGACTATTTCCTTGATTTTCGATCCAACGCCTATATATAAAAAAAAATATTCAATAAAAATTAGGTGGTTATCACTTCCTCCTTTTTTTTTCATAGATTTACCTTTTATTTTACCAGCTTCCGTTGATGATCGAATTCTTCGGGGATATGACTATTGAATCCTTTTAGTAAATGGAACTTTTTTTTTTGTTTCCTCTAAAATTTACCTTTATTGCAGAGACTGCATTCGAATAGGCCAATGCACTCTTGTCATTTGATTCCAATTCGCGACTTGTTTCCAGTAAGTGAAGGTATGCTACTAGTTTACCGTTATGTAATGCTTTCAAAGGAGTGGGTCGAAGACACGCGTATTTTGTGTTGTTGTAGGAAGGATCAATATCATAATGTTCATTGGTATCTTCGTTATCATCGTCACTATTTGATTGAATACTCGTTTAATATATTATATTATTCTCATACTTTTCCTTACCTAGTGTCACTTTCTGCATATATCAATGTATCAGTATCATTTTTGTCGTATGTTTTTGTCAAAATAGAAGTAGGTTGTGGGATATAGTAGTCGTTGTCTTCCGTTGATAATGGAGATGCCGATGTTCTCTTGTTCATAATAATGTAAGAGTCTATAGGTAGTATGTGCTTTTGCATAACACTAAATTTGAATTAAATAACCAAATATATATATATATATGTATTCCTATAATGGTTAACTTACCAGTCTTTTAGCCAGCGCACGTCAATAACAGGGATCTAACAATAATATTAAAAGTTAATAAAAAAAAAAAAAGGACAAGCAATAAGGATAATTATAGTGTTTATACCTGATGGTTTTGTAAATGTCTTTTTATACGAGGAATAGATTTCAAACTTGTCAATAATATGTCAGCTGAATGTTGGTTGTTCTGAATCATTCCACCTAAAGAAAGAAAGAAAAAAAGTCAGATAAAGTTATTAACTTTTATATATATTTACCATTTCTTTCAATGAGTTGTCTAGAAGCACTTATAGACAAGTCACTCATTTTCTCGTCAATAAGATAAAATTTTTTGTTTTTGAACATATTGATATATACAAAAAAAAAAAAAAAAAAAAAAAGAGAAAAAAAAAAAGAAAAAAAAAAGATTTCCCCACACCGTTTTTTTTTTTTTTCACTTCGATCCTTCAAGTTGAAACTCCTTCTTTCGCATAAAAGGGCGTTTTCTGGTAAAAATCATGTTGCACAGTTGAACAACAAATGTAAGCCTCTTATCCTTCACACAAAAAAATAAATAAAAGGTCCCTTAACTCAGTTCTCCTCTTTCTTTTTCTCTTTCTTTCAAAAACATCAACAAACAGAAAATGTCATCGAATAAAGCTTTTACGTGGCAGATAGAGGGTAAACACCTATTACTGATCAAAGAGAAAAAAAAAATTTAGAAATAATAACTAATCATCGTCCTTTTCTTTTTATAGCACACGTACAAGTCGATGATCATCATGATACATCACCGCCGCTTGTTAAAAGAATGAATGATGACCAACAAAATGCACAATCATCGCCTACAATTATTGATGAAAAAGTCATTACACCATCATCCCTTTTAAAGGATGTCTCATCACAAACAACTTTAGGCAAGAAATATGGAAGATTTATGGGGAAAATTTTACTTAAAAGTCAATCATCAAGTCATACTACTACTAGTATGATTATCAATAAACAATCATCACCTATTCAATCCAACCTTACTTCTTCATATCCTGGGTACCTTCGTTTGGAACGACACCGGAAATCTGAAACGAAAGAAGGGGACAACCGTATTTTTGAAGGTCCGCACTGGCTTAAAATGAGAGATTCTTTTCCTGCTCTTTCTTCTTCCCAAACTTTATTTCACCAAAAGTTTCGCCAACTTGACAATGGTAAACGAACGCGATGGGATGTTATTCAGTCCAAAAGTCCAAGTATCGACAATATTACTTTTTTCTCTCAACGGCTTTCTCAAGAAAAACCTTCAACACAACCTCATGTTACATCAACTTATTCCTCAAACCCTTTAATTAATGAAGACATTTGTCCTTTCTGCCATGCTCAAGCTATGTATCGTGAAAGTCTGGAAGTGATTGAATTATGTGAATTCTGCAAGAAAAAATGGTATCTTTGGCCAAAAATATTTTTTTCTCGTTTACGAGAACATGCTCATGGTTTGAACAAACTACAACAAGAGGAACCGCCTTCGCCTGTCAAATTAAATTCATCAGCATCAACACCAACAAGCCATTCGCTTATTGGAAATCTATCAAGTATTACCGAAAAGTCTACACAAAAAAAAAGAACCAGAAAGAAGAAAACAACGACTACGATACGACGAAGATCAGCAGCGAAACAACCCCCACCCACACAATCAAGGAACTCGAAGAAACTAACAACTATGCGTAAACAAAAATCTGGTTCCTCTTTTTCAATGAAAGCAAATGAACGTACTGCCTATTACGACAATAATGATACACTTCCTCGTGATGCCGATCACAACAAAGCATCGTGCTTCCCAATCATCAAGAATGACAAAGATGAAGAGACTATTGAAGCAAAGACGGCGCGATTGAAACAATCATTTGACGAAAATGCTATTGGATACACTTATGGACAAAGGGTGGAAGTCTTGAATATTAATGGCCATTGGTATACAGCAACATTGATCAAGGTTGAAGGATCAAAAGTCAAGGTCAGCTACAAAGACTGGGATGATCAAGACGAATGGATTATTATGGGCAGCCAACGATTACGTACAGTGACTAGTGATGAAGGTGATGAAGGTGAAGATGATGACGATGACGATGACGATGATGACGATGATGGTAGCAACAAGGATAATGACAACAATAAGCATGATTCTGGCTCAACCTTGGCTAACAACGAAGACGTCGATGACGATGATGATAAATCATCTACTTTATCTGATTACTTGTATGAAATCGAAGGTATAATCACACTTCTTTTTTTTTTTAAAAAAAAAAAAGAATATAATTTAAGGTAACAATACTAATAAACTGTTTATTATTTATTATTCACTACCTTAGATGAAGAACAAACATCTCAAGACAATCCTGAAAAACTTTTTACTTCTTCCTGTGATATTACCACTATCTCTGATCAACATGAAGGTAAAAAAAAAAAAAAAAAAAAAAAAAAAAAAAAGACTGTGGGTATATCTATTTACATGTAGCTGATGGCATTATTGATTATGATAATAGACGTCAAGCAAACATTTCAGGAAAAAAAGGAAGATCAGCCATTAGTACTTTTACACCACGATTCGTCCTCCTCCTCTTCTTCCTTGGACAATGATTCCGGTGACACTCCTGCTTGTCAACAAAATAATAGCAAGTCCAAATCTAGTGAAGATTATGTGTCATCCACTCTTGATACCGACCCTACACAGATATTCAACAACAATGAAGTATTTATGACTCGACGAATGGCGCGACAAATGGTTGATGAACATGGATTCCGCCCCAATTCTTTTGGTTATCATTATGGACGTCCTGTAGCAGTGATTTATACAACACAACAAGGAACCAACAAGAAGAAAAAACAAAAACAACAAATGGAATGGATTGGTTATCTTCGACAAATGCGTGGCAATCAAGTACGAGTCTGGTTTCCAAGTTCTCAACAATCCGATTGGGTGATTAGTGGAAGTCGTCGTATACGTCTAATTTCTGATCAAGAAGATGCTGAATATCGTGCCTTAGGTTTTGATGTAACCGGTGATGATGGGGATGTGAAGGAAACAATACCAGCAAAACCACGTACTAATCGGCGCCGTCGTGATAATGGAACTACAGTGAAAAACCAACAGTCACCACCATCGCGATTTCTTGCACCAAAGGATTCCTCGACATGTTCCAATCAAGTTATGAATCAATTTGAACAACCATCGGCATCGATATCCTCTGACAACAACCAATGTGAAACAAATGAACCGCCTTCTTCACCAATACCTAGTCGTACCGAGACTTCTATCACTTTATCCAACCAACGTTCATCATCTGAAGCATCCTCTTTACACAGCAACACTGATTCCGAGCAACAAATGGCAACAGCTGGCTCTAATGACACCAATACTTTTTTGATGAAGACTGGCAATACATCTTTGAGAAAGACACGAGATATTGAAGGACGACAACAAAAGCAACATCAGCAAGATCAAAAGGATACACCCGAATTTTTGACAACTGGAGCTTTTGCAACTAGACGTGCTATGAGACAATTACAAGATGAACATGGATTTGTACCCAACCCGTATGGTTATGTCTATAATATGCAAGTGGAAATATTGAATACTAAGTCTTCGAAACAACATCAATTCTTCTGGGAACTGGGTCGACTTGTGGCAATGCGACCAGGCAAAGTATGTGTACGATACGATGGATGGGGTGATATGTACGATGAATGGATGATGGTAGGCAGCAGACGTATTCGACCCGTTCAACAAAACCAACAAGCAATACAAGATGATAACAATCATACCATCAGCACTAATGGTCAATGTTCCTCAAGCTCCACTTCTTCTGACAATCCTTTGTTATTACATCAACCGACTCCGCTATCCACTGAGACGGAAAGGCAAATAAATGACAACAACAACAGCATCAACGGCAACTGCGACAAAGCTACAACTTTAATACAAAACAAAGCAACATCGACATCAGACGCAAACTTTTTATTGATGATGGAAACCAATCCTGAACTAGCAGATGAAAAAACGAAAACCAGAAAAAGGGTAATTCTTGGTCCTGATGATTATCATCGTCTAGGTATGGTAGTCAGCATTGAAGAACTTGAACGCAAAGAACTCAAACGACGACGACGCAGTGGTCAGCAGCAAGAACAACAAGATGTGACATCTCTTACGGAACCGATGTCTACCACTCCTTCGACCAAACTCAATGATAACAATGAAGATGGCGACTACGTATTGACGACGACGAAAAAATCACGAAAACCACCGTCGTCTACTTCAAGCAAGAACACTACAACAATTGCAACGAAAAAGGAACAACAGATCCGTAGGCGACGAAGACGAAGACGACGGCAACGTCTGGATCTTTCCGATGACGACAATGATGACTTTGACGAAGCTAATTTTAAATTTGGAACAGAAGAGGACGACGATGATTGCGGAACGGATGCTGATCAACATGTAGACAAAGAAGAAAATAATACAGCAGAAACCAATGGTGACAACGATGACAATCATCATGGATTTGTGGCAAATGTGTACGGATATGACTATATGCAACATGTACAGCTACTTCATCTAGACAAAAAATGGTACGAAGGACGTCTTATTTCTATGGATCGAAATAGACTTCGAGTGCATTACTGTGGATGGCCCGATTTATTTGATGAATATGTTACTGTTGGCAGCCGGCGTCTTCAAGTAGTAGAAAATGATCATGAAGTGGAATGTTTAGAACCTGATTACATGACTCGATATGAAAATATGCTCAAGAACAACAAATATCATCAACATCAATGTAGATCGAAAGCAAATATTACTGATAGAACAACATCTCATTCTTCGGCAACGTCAACCAGACTTCGGCGACTTACTTTAGCAAATACTGGCAGTGATGATCAACAAGCAGAACTTGACACAGACAACGCAGGTAAATATATTCTAGTCTTTCTATTATCAACTCAAAACAAAATTGATGCTTATTTTTTTTACGTTTTTTTTTTTTCTTAACTTTTTCTTCTCTTAGTGATTTGTCATCGTTGCAATGTGGCCATCAAACAATTTAGATACTATTGTACTTATTGTGAATCATCATCTGACCAAGTCTCCTCAACTGACAGCTTTGATCTTTGTCTACAGTAAGTAAACCAAAAAAAAAAAAAAAAAAAGAGTCAGAGGGTATGAATGTATATTTCTCAATATCATACGACAACTTTTTCTTTTTTCTGATAGATGTTTTGATCACAATTTCCCATTCTGGCACGAACATCCAAGGTCAAGTTTTGCTGTACAATCGGTGATCAATGCAGCTATTGGACCCCGTCCTATCAAAGGTGAACTGGTGACTGTATGGGAAGAAGATGTATTAATGTGCGATGATGATACAGCTCAGGCTCCTCCCACTTCTCAGGTAACGACAGAAACAACAAACACATCATCTTTGGTGGAATCATCGACATTGGATCAAGTCATCACCACTGGAACAACAACAATGCTATCATCACCGTCTACACCAATACCATCCATGGAAATACCATCAGCAACTACTACAGCAATGGTGGCGTCCTCTGATTCTACGACAACTTTGGAAGCAAGCCAGATTTTCTCTGGTCAATCAGCAATTGCAGCAGATCAAGGATACAAGTATTTGAAACGATGGCAGCGACGGAAGGTATGCTCTTTTTGCAACGATGATGATGATACTTCCGAGGATCTTGGCAAATTCATTGGCCCATTTGTGATTACATCCTACAACAAGAATGGTACGAAGAAGAAACGATCGTTTTGGGCTCATGACGCATGTGCAAGACATAGTCCTGAAGTATTTTGTACTCCTGATGGAAAATGGTACAATGTCACTCTTGCTTTACGCCGTGGTCGTGGTGTGGTAAGTGTCTCATTTATTCTTTTTTTTTTTTATCGTATACTGTGATTGGTCATATTGATTTTTTTTTTTTATATGTACAATAGCGCTGTTTTGCTTGCAAGGAAAAGGGAGCTACGATTGGTTGTTTTGAATCGAAATGTTCCAAGAGTTTCCATTTGCCTTGTGCTGAAAAGCCTGTCAATTATTTTGAAAATGGGGTTATCTTTTGGTGTTCAACTCATGAAGCTTATTACAACAAGATCGGTAAGTTTTCTCCATTTGTTTAGTAAGAAAATGAAATATCTTACCATCTCTTTTTTTTTTTTTTTTTTTTTTAGATACCTATGTCAATGTCTTTAGTTGTGATGGATGTAATAAGAAACTAGAAGAAGAATCATGGTATACCTGTTTACCTTGTGCTACCAGTTATTTTTCTACATTTGATCTATGTGCTGACGTAAGTATATAAAAGTATAGTATGGAATGATTACTTTGTATTCATGTTTTTATTCTTTCTCTCTTTCTCTTTTTATGTGTCAGTGTTACGAGAACTTCCCTCAAGATCACGTCCACAATGAAAGTCAATTTGAAGAAACTTGTAAGTAAATAAAATAAGAATAAAAAAAAAAAAGCTGAAGATGAAAAACTTATATATGTACTTCGCGTATATTATTGTAGCATTTGAAATTATCAAGGAAATGGAAGCTCAAAAGGCAACCAAAGCAGCTCGTGCCAAAGAAGAAATTCGTGCAGCTAGTAAGTAATAATCATTCAACAAATATTCTTTAAAAGTTTATGATTCAATCGACATTTATTTTATGATTTAGATGCAAAAACAAGGAAGAAACCAACGTTTCTCAAACGAAGACGACGACGAGCGGATGGATCAGTCTCTATTACATGTTGTTACTGTGGAACTCAAGATGCAGATGAATGGAGAAAAGGATATGATGGTGGCGTTTTGATGTGTGTGTCATGTTATGACTTGGCTCTTTTGGTGGACAATGACGGACGAAATGATATCAACAACAACAATGATGAAGAAGACAATGAAGAAGATCCAATGATACAACAATCTGATACGATGACTTCGTCTATTGTGGTTGGACCTATTTCAGCTTCTTCATTTGATCCTGCTGCTCAATCTCACCAGTATCTCGCATCCATTGATAATTATACGCATAAACCATATTTGACACGTGATGCATTATCAGCAAACAAATTCAGTGATTCTCTGACAGGCATTCGATTGACAACCTACGAACCACAACCAAGTCAAATATTCTCGTTGATCTTTGATTCCACTTATTATGATATTCCTGGTCGCGCTCCTCGATGGGCTTCTCATTCTGGCACTGATTACCATGGTTAGTATTGGATTTCATATTAACAAAGTAGGATGACTAATAGAAAGTATCATATAGGGACTTGGTTACCTCAAACTGTCCGAAGGTATGTATATACATAGTTCGATGATTTTTATTATGAAATCATATATATATATATATATACTAAACAATTTTGTTTTTTAGATCTATTTTGAAATACACTAATAAGGGTGAACGGGTTTTATCCAACTTTCTGGGTCGTGGTACTGACGCTATTGAATGTTTTTTATTGCAAAGAAGGTATAGAATGAATCATAAGTAGTATGTATTTACTAATGATGAATTTCTTTCTATTGTATTATTTATAGATGTGTGGGCATTGATATCAACCCGGTAAATTAGAGGAAAAAGAAAAAAAAAAGAACATAGGAAATATACTTATTCTGATATATCGTCAAGGCGGCTGTTGCTTTATCTCAACGAAACTGCTGTTTTGAACTCCCAATAGGTTTGACTGAAGCGAAATATCGACCTATTGTTGCGCAATCAGATGCAAGAAATCTCTCTGGTTCTTTATTCGGCAATGAATCATTCCATCATATCTTGTCTCATCCCCCTTACAAAGATTGCGTGGCCTATTCAACCCATTTGGAAGGTGATTTATCTAGGTAAACATGATGAATAACATGTAGTTTTTTTTTTTTTTTTTTTTTTTTTTTTTTCACTGACATTTCTCTATGATTAGATTCAACAATATTGAAGACTTTATGGTTGAATATGAAAATGTGGTCAAACAAAGTTGGAGGTAAGACAAATATATATATGACATTCAAAGCATTATATGACTGATAAAATCTATTTGATCACTATAGGGTATTAAAGATGGGTAGAAGATTGACACTAGGTATTGGTGATAATCGTGAACACTGCTTCTACATTCCAGTGTCATTCAACTTAATGAGGCAATATATTGATGAAGGCTTCGAAATGGAAGAACTCGTAAGTGTATATAATAATTGATTATCATACTTATATGTTATTATCATCTTCATTTCTTTAGATTGTGAAACGACAACGCTATTGTTCTGCTTTTGGACTTGGAACTTATCTCTGTGTACAATTCGATTTCTTGGTGTTTACTCATGAATTTCTGGCAACCTTCCGGAAAGTGCCTAAGGACAAAATTGACAGAATGATGGGACGAGATTGTAGGTTTTCTTTTGGGGGGGATAAAAGATGGAATGCAAAATGACAAGATACTCGAATAATAAAAAAAAAAAAATTGGGGAATTTCTGGGAAAGATGACTCATTTTTTTTTTTATTCTTTTATGATAGATGATACTTTATCAGGAGACAATGTTCGCCTCAGTTATGTTACTCATGGGGTACCTGCATCTGCCATTTCAAGGAAAAGTGTTGTTATGGGAACGGTTTGGGTATTTAAACCTACGGAAAAATATAGCTTTGCCGATCTTTGTATGTCTCGTATGGTTGAACGCTTTGGAAAGGATGATTGTAATTGGCAACATGTACAATTAGAATTCATGGGTTCTGAGGTAAGAAAAAAAAAAAGACTTCGACGCGTTTGCATGGTAATCGATCAACCTTCAGGTTCCAATCTAGATTACTAACCGGAAAAGATAACTTACATTCCTTTTTTTTTTTTTTTTTTTTTTGAAGGGAGATGAAAGTAACAAGACTAGTTCCTCTTTGGTAGAATTGACTGATGAAGATGGTAAATTTAAAAAAGGTGAATACTCTTATTGTGATAATAAGAACTAAACATTATATTATACCTTTAGAATGGAAAAAACAACAAGAACAAGATGCAGGAATTTCAAGTTATGAACAAGAAAGATTGAAAAGGATTGAAGAAAACAATCGTATTTTACTGAAATTGGTAATTCCAAAAAAAAGGAATACTATTATTAATTCATCCGAATCTATTTTTAACATTTTTTTTTTTTTTTTTTTTTTTTGTGTAGGGGTTGGTATCGGAGCTTGGGGATGAAGAATCTGAAGATATGGTACATTATGATACGATGATGAACAAACCCAGTGGAGAGGATGCAATATTATGTCTCATCATAATGGAACATCAACAGATCAAGGTACATCAATTGGATTTATATCGACAAACAGTGGTACATACTGCCTTGGAAGCTAGCAAACAATTGAGTCCCTTGGGTATGTTAATTATTGGTACACAAGACATTCGTGATCCTCAAACGGGAAAATTATGGCCAGTATCTTTATTGGTGTTGGAGGATATAGAACGATCTGTGGATAGATCGATAATGAAACTCAAGGAAATGGTTGTTACTGTGCCTGATGGATATTCAAGAGATCGGAAACAGCCAATGGCAGATGCTATGACTCAGTATCAACAACAAACATGGTATGATAACACGAGTAATATGGATGAATCTCAAGATACAATTGTGGTAGTGGATGACACTGATGATGATGATGGAAGGATAAAAGAACATTTACCTATTGTCCATGCTATTTATTTAGTATTCCAACGTATTTAGTCTAGTTTTTTTTTTTCTTGAAAGAAAAATAAAAGTTGATATCTTTATTTTGGTTTACTCTATTATTTATTTGATGATGAATAATGGATGAATGGTTGAATGAACAGAGACAGCCAAATGATTTCTAAAAATGAACAGTGAAACATGGAGAATTTTGAGTTGAAAAAAAAAAAATGTGAGGTAGCGTGGCTTTCCCTTTTTGGTTTTTTTTCTATACATTTGCATAGAATTGAATTTCTATCGATTACTGGTTTAGTTTTACATATGTATTTTTGGATCAAGAAAAACTCCTTTCTCGGGGAAGGTATTCCCGATACCCGTTTTTTTTTTTTTATTATATTGTTATAAACAAATGATGATGTTAAAGAAAAGAATTAACAATATCAAATCATATATGCTACATTAATATAAGATATATTCTAAGATAAAGAAATGGTTGATTCATCATATTTAATAGAAAAGATAATTTAAAGTAAGATCAAAGATCATATATTATCAATATATACAATTAAAAAAAAAGGCTTGGTTTTTGATTAATATGAGATTTCAGTTGGTAATGGATTCAGATAGTGATCCACTTTTTTTGATGATCAATCTTATGGGTTTGATTTTTTTTTTTTATCCGATTACCGTCAAAAATTCGTTTCCTAGTTCGGCACTAGAAACTTACCAATGGTAAAAGATTTTTTTTTTTTTTTTGAGGAGAAACAGTTTTTCCATTAGTAATAAAAAAAAAAAAGAGGTTTCATCTTATTGTTTATTTACTATTGAATACTAAAACAAATAAATAATAATAATAATAATAATAATAATAATAATAATAATAATAAAGTAATAAAAAGAAAAACTAATCATCAAGATTGTATAATTGATATTTAACATTCATGTCAAAATGATGTATCACAAGAAAAGAAAAGAAATAGAAAAATAACTATAGAAATTCTGTTGCTTAATTTAGAAATGATCTTTTGGTTAGGTGCAACAGGAGTAATGGAAAACCCGGATATTCGTTGATAACCCTATTCGGAGTTTCTTTTTTTTTTTTTGGTGGATGGATGGGTTTTTTTTTTTGTTTAAGACCCTTCTCTTTTAATTCTTTTTCTTTTTTTCTTTTGTCTTTTTACATTAATCTTTATTCCCTCTTTTTTTTTTTTTTTTTTTTTTTGTTGTTGTATTTATTATGAAGTTCGGTGCACAACTAGCCGAGGAAATATTTGTACCTTGGCGACTTGCTTATATTCAATATGACGTGTTGAAAACTGAACTCAAGGCACGTCAAGAAGATCATGGTTGGACAGATCAAGACGAAAAGGATTTTACAGCTTTATTGGAAAACGAATTGGAAAAAGTATACGACTTTGTTAATGCTAAACTAGGTGAAGTGGAAGCACGCATTAGTTATTGTGAACGATCGATTCGTACATTTACCAACAATCCAACTTATTCTTCTGAACAAAACTGGGCTGTTATGGACGAAGCATTGACTGAAGTATTATTTGATGTTAACGATCTTGCCAAGTTTACTCGACTTAATTATATTGGTTTCCAAAAAATCATCAAGAAACACGACAAATGGACTCAATTGAATTTACAACAAGCCTTTGTACCTCAACTACGTGCAAAACCTTTGGATAAGCAACGATTTGATGTGGCAATTGTGTTTATTTCTTCTCTTCATGATATTTGTCAACTCAAGGGCAAACCACGTACAGGAAATGCAGCCGCTGGTGGTGATCAAAATGCATTTGAAAGGGCCACTGCCAAGTATTGGATTCATCCTGATAATATCACTGAAGTCAAGTCTATTATCATGCTTCATTTACCTGTTTTGATTTTCAATGATACCAAGCCTTTCGAACCTTCAGATGCTGCCATTTCTTCGGTGTACTTTGATAATCCTGATTTTGATCTCTATACTGGTCGTTTACAACGTGATGAAGGTGCTGAAGCTATTCGTTTCCGATGGTATGGTCCTATGTCTTCTAATTCTATTTTTATTGAACGCAAAACACATCATGCTTGGTGGTTGGATGGTGCCTCTGTCAAGGATAGATTTCGTTTGGATGAATCTGATGTCTACAAGTTTATGTCTGGTGAATTGTCAGCAAGTACTTATGCGGATCGATTAAAAGCCAAGGGAACGGATGAACAACTGGTCAAGGATAATCTTTTTATTGCCAATGGTATTCAAACATCTCTCAAGGAAAAAAATTTGGATCCGGTACTTCGTGCTTTTTACAATCGTACTGCTTTCCAATTACCTGGTGATCAACGTGTACGGGTGAGCTTGGATACTGATTTGACTTTTATTCGTGAAGACAACTTTGATCAACAACGTCGTGGTCCAGGTGAATGGCGTCGTCCTGATGTAGGCATTGATTATCCTTTTAGTTATTTGAATGATGCTGATGTACTTCGATTCCCTTATGCCGTGTTGGAAACAAAACTACAAACTCATCTTGGTCAAGAACCTCCTGCTTGGTTGACAAATCTATTGGATTCTCATCTGGTCCATGAAGTGCCTCGTTTCTCTAAATATCTCCATGGTGCTTGTCATTTCTATGCTGATCGTATGCCTCTTTTACCTTGGTGGTTATCTGAAATGGATTTGGATATTCGAAAGCCTCGTGCTACCAACTTTGGTCTGACGCGTTCCAGATCCTTCAAGCCTTTGATTGATGGTCATTACAGTCGTGCTATGGAACAAGAAGAAAACAGAATGAAGGCTGTGGCTGGTCGGGCAAATAGTGTGCAACAACAAACTGGATATACCTTGCAAGATCCAAGTGAAAAAGAAAAGCAACAAGATGAATCATATGCCTACGAACAAGAAAAACAACAACAAGTATCATTAGCAGTACCTCAACCATTACATCAACATCATCAACATCAACTTCAAGACAATACAGCATTACAGTATTCACCACCTATAGAGGAAGGCAAAAAGAAAAAGAAAAATCGTGCAGACGTGACAGCCATCAGTTTAGGTGAACCAGTAGCAGAAGATGACAAGAATAATAAGTTTGTAGGTATTACCAAGGTGCGTGTGGAACCCAAGGTCTTTTTTGCCAATGAAAGAACATTTATCTCCTGGTTACAATTCTGTGCTCTCTTATTGACAGTGGCTCTTAATCTGTTGAACTTCGGTGATTATTCAGCTAGAATCGCGGGTGGGGTCTTTTTAGGTATCGCAGCTGTGGTGGCCATATACGCTTTATATCGATTTGAAAAACGTGCTTATATGATCAATCGTCGTATTCTTGGAAGATATGATGATTTATGGGGTCCTGCTATTCTTTGTGTACTTTTGGTTGGTGCTCTTATTGTCAATTTTTACCTTAGATTCCGATAGTTGTATCATTTTTTTTTTTATATATATACATATTTATTAGCATTCCATTTACATTTCTTTTTTTTTTTTCTGCATTGTTCTTTTTTTTTTTTTCTACTCTTGTACCATCACATCATTTTTATAATAAAACGTTTATTTATTCCTTTTTTTTTTTTTTGGGTGTTTTCATATGGATGATTATTGATTATAGGGTGATAGGATAGGATGGATAATTAGTGTGTTGATGAATGACAATAGTGATAAATTAGTATGGTGATGGATGATTAACATGAATGCATGACAGTAAAATGATGATCAGAAAGAATGCATAAAATAAATTGGAAAATGAAACATTTAACAAGAAACAATTTTTTACATTGTACAAAAAAGAAAGGATGAAGAAGATGGAAAAGTTTTCTTTTTTTTTTTATTTGATGCCATGGAAGGGATTGTTGTTTACTACGAAAAAGTAGTTTGAACTAGAAGTACATGATGATAAATAATAAAAGATGATGTATGAACATGGGTATAAAATGATATGACAAATAACAACTTTTTAAGATACTAATCTAAGTTATAGGAAAGGGAGAGTATCAGTTTGGTGGACCAGGATAAAGGACATCAAGTAAGTTGAGATTATCAGAAAGTTCACACAGATTATGTAAACACCGCATTGGATACATCACATCAATATACAAACAAGCATTGGCAAGGATCACGTCGTCAGCAGAATAATTACCCATAATATAATATAAATCCAATAGTACATAAGTACATATCATGCCTGATAATCCTATTGGTAACAGAATTTCTAATGGATCGACTTTAAATATCATTCGTAACCATGTTGAACTAAGACAGATTGCTGCCATACTAAAAAACCTACATCATCATACATCATACATAATAAATATTAGAAACATATATAATATTTTTTTTTTTTTTTTATACCAGGGACTTGGACCAGAAAATTCAAATTTATGTTGAAGAGTATAACAATAAAAAGCCAATATACCAAATCCAACCATATTCATAATCAATAATCCATCATCATAACAGAATGTCACAACTAGATAGAATAAAGATAATTATATTAATATCATTTAAAATAATCATAGAATAAATAATTTACCAATTTCACCAATAATAAATGACATCAAAGCAGAGAAAAGGACTAATAAAATGATTCTAGCTTGAGTAATCAATTGAAAATAAAAAGCCCATAATTGCCAAATAATCAATATAGCACCTAAAACACAAGGTATCATAGGAATCCACCAAGTCAGAATACTAAGAAAGAATTTCCACAAAAGGTATCAATCATTTTTTTTTTAATCAAGATGAAACCAAACAGGTACCTGGTGTAGTTATGTCCCTTTTTTTTTTTCAAACCTTATTTGTAACCAGTGCCAAGTAAGTTGAATATATTGTAGACAGATAGTAAGGATAAAAGTAAATAAGAGTTGTCCAAGAACAATAAGAATCACTTTTCCTACAAAGTCTTTTTTTTATATAAAAAATTAGTTTATATATATATATATATATATATATATATATATATTTTGACTTATTACTCATTTGTATAGATATAGAGTTTCTAGTGACTGAAGTACCGAATACATCAAGATCGAGTTGACTTGATTGATATCTTGTAAGTAAAGGATCACCTGGATATGGAGAATGAGTTGGTAAAATTAAATTATGTTCGGTCATAAAAAAAAAAAAATAAAATAAAAAAAAAGATAAAAGAGAAAAGAAGATAAAGAAAAAACCTTTTTTTTTTTTTTTTTTTTTTTTATTTATTGGTGTTTTTTTTTTCTTCTCTTCTTTTCAACTTTGTGGTTGTACAGACATTCGTGAATTTCATTCTCAATCCACCTCTTCTTCTCTTTGATTCTATGCTTTCCTTTTTAGGATTACTTTCACTTTTTCCTGCCCCTTTCTAGCTTAAAAAGATTTCACTTTTACTCTCTCCCCCCTTACTTTTGCTTTTTAAAGGAGTTTTTTTCTTTTTGATTCACTATTTTTTTCTTTTTTCTTTCTTCTTTTCTTTTTCTTTCTTTCTTTCTTTTTTCTTTACTTATTTATTATATATATATGATGGAAAAATTAGATTATTATCATTCTAATCCTCATCCTTTTTCATTGACAACACCTACTAGAGAACATATTGTTCATTTACTTGATCAATTACCATCTTTAGAAGAAGTTCTTCAAAGACAAAGTCGACCACCAGTATGTCTTTATAATTATTATATTGTATTACGTGATAGATTACAAATGGAAACATTATTGGATTTTTGGCTTGATGTACAGCAAGCTGAAATACTTCATCGTCGTTATATGAAACAACAAACTAAGAAACAAAATAATAACAAGAAATCATCATCATCCATTCATAAAACTCCTCAATCACCTATGGAAAGTATATCAGCAGAAAGTTTTACCAGTCAATCCGATCTTCTCACACATATGCTTCTTATTCAATCACGGAATCATTCAATTTCACCTACCACTACAAAACGATCTACTATGGCTACTAGTATCACTGCTCATAGTAAACAATCATCAGCTTCTTCTATTACATCATCCATCCTATCGACACCTTATCATCAACCAACTCAAGCAGATATGATTGATACAATAGAACGTATTTACTTTCGATATATTGTACCTCATGCTGAAAAAGAATTAATACAACTACCTGCAGTTTTACGTGATCGTATTATCAAATCATTCAATCAAATTCCTCCCAACAACACAAATATAATGGATGATCCAAAGGTGTTTCAACATGCCAAGCAATACGTACATATTCTACTTCAATCATCCTTCACTTTGTTTATTCGTTATAGGGTATTTATGAACTTGACCTTACCTCAACAAATCATTCGCTTGGCAGCTGGTCTGTTCTCTCTTCTTGTTGGTTTTTCTTTGGAATTTTCTTTGATTTTTTTAAACATTTCTCCTTGGTCAAAACGTTTATGGGTAAAAAAAAAAAAAAAAAATAAATAAAAAAGAAAATAAAAATAAAAAAGAATGGATCATTCATACCTTTGTTTTTTTCTTCTTCGTCTTTTTTTTTTTTTTTTTTTTTTTTTTTTTAAAGGGACTCATACCTGTCACTTTTGGTATCTATTGTCTTGGTTCAAGTATATGTGGATTAGATCCAATTTGGGTCTTATTTTTTAATATCAGGTAATATATTCTATATGATTATTGGTAATTTTTATCTTTTGTTTTGACAACTTTCTTTTTTTTTTTCTTATAGTGAAACAACTACATTCAAATTCAACGCCATCAAACAAACCAAAGTGCGCTCCATTTTACGTCGAAGATCAATCAATTTATTGTCAGTGATGGTTTTTTTGATTACAATTATTCTCATGATATTCTGTATGATACCTGGAAATAGACTTTGATAGTAGTAGTAATAATGATGGTCCATAGTATAGTATTTCTTTCATATTAATATATATCCATTTTTTTTAATTCAATAAAATACGAATATTACTAATTACAGATCATTAATATCAAACATTTATATATTTGCGTTTATATGTGTAAGTGACTCCTTAAATATATATATATAAGTAGATAAATGGATTCCTTTGATAGAAAAATATTATTGGTCAGGAGCTATTTGTCAGGAGGCTCAAAATTAGAAGTACGGTTGTTATCATCAACCAACTCAAAAAAAAAAAAGAAAGTGAAAACAATAAAAAGTGAAGCACAGCACGTACAATCTATGCATCCAATCAAAGTTGATCTTCATCCATCTAGCATAATATTACTTTTTTTTTATTTTTTTATTTTTATTTTTCTAAATGTACTACAAAATAATACTTAAATCTAATTTAAACTAAAACTAATCAATATTAATGTATCCAACCTAGTGAATGACCATCTTCCATTTGAGGTTCTAGGAACCCACGAAATAACCAATCATCTTGTATTTTCCCTTCTTTGGTGGTTGTTGTCGTCCATCGAGCCCCATAACCATTCGATTCCCTGATTTCATATACCGCTTGATCATGCTACATTCAATCCAAAAAGAAGAAAAGGAGAAAATTCATATTTATATTTATATATATATATTTATGTTATTTCTTACCGGTAAGGAGTGAAGATTGATCCATACAGCATTGGTCAAAATTTTGAGTAAGACTCTATTGGCGTGATCATTCTTGGTCGATTCACCTAAATGATTTACCCAAAATAATATGTCAAATAAGAGATGATTAGTAAAACAGATTTATCTTTTGTTGAAATAGTGTATTACTTCCAGTACAGTTACCCCAGAATTCATTTTGTCTATCACGATGCCAATGCTTGCTAAGTGCTTTTGCTCCAACTGTCAATATATGATTTTGCATGTTTTTCTTCTTTTTGTTGTTGGTATCTGTGGTATCGTTCAAAGAATATTGTTTTTGATATAGAGTAGAAAACCCAGTAAGACATTGATTAAGACTTGGAGGCATCACCCTCCATCCCTTTGATCCTGTTGTTGTACGCATCAGTAACCATAACCGCCAATCTTCAGGTTCCAAGTACTACATAAACTAGGTGAGTGGAAGAGATCGACAATAATAATAATTATAGGTGTCTTTTTTTATTATTGTTATTGTTTACCTCAAATAAGAATTCCTGTAATACACTTGATGAATCTTTATTGGATGAAACTATTTGAGAGAGTCGTATCTGTATTTGTTCCAATCTTTCTTGACAGTAGATATCAATAACCAAAAAAAAAAAAAAAAAAAAAAAAAAAAAAAAAAAAAAAAAAAAAAAAAAAAAAAAAAAGAAAGAAAGAAAGAATAAATATATATATTTATATTTTTCATCGTTCATCTTACCTATCACTGTTATTGCAAGTCAACATATTTAATGGGTTATCCAGTAACAAAGGAGGAAGTCGACCACCATGTTTGTAACAACTATCCAAAGTATATGCCATGGCTCGGTAATAAGGTCGAGGAATAGCACCTGCTGCAAAAATACCTTTTTCTTCTATTAATGCTTTTACCTCGTTTTGTAGAAATAAGATGGAAGGCTTATCCACTCGTACTTCCTACAAGTATTATAATATGAATAAGGGTTAATTAGTCGTATTATCTTGTATAAGTGTACTTACATTTTCAACTATATCTTCTTGTAACATGCCTTGACAAAGATAGGTCCATTGATCTTGTTTCTCTAGTCGTTGCTGTAATGTATCGCGTAACCATGCATTCAAGTCCATGAGAAGAAGAAAAAGATTATTAGTTTTCTGGGAAAAAGAAATAATGAAATATAAAGTTGGGCGGAGTGAAAATGTAGACTTCCTGCCATTTTACCAAACTTGTCATTTCAGAGAAGTTAGTAAAAAAAAAAAAAAAAAAAAAAAAATACTCGAGAGCTATTTGATCATTTTAACCTTATTGAATGTCTATTTAATATAATAGTAAGTAAAATAGAATATAAAAAGAATTATTAATTTCCAATATAATGTGTCTCTCTCTCTTTTTTTTTTTTTTTTTTTTTTTTTTTTTGGACTCAAAATGACAGGACTTTTTCTAAAAAAAAAAAAGAAAAAAAAGAAATAAGGTGGCAGCTGATATTCAATTTTGGATTTTTTTCTTTCTTTCTTTTCCTTTATCCGATTTTTAAAATACAATGTCACGTCTTGGCACTGATGAAAACCCTATTGATACTTCATATTATGACTTATTGGAAATACCTATCAATGCCGATGCTGCTCAGATCAAGAAATCATACAGGTAAATATAATATAGTTTAAATATATCATTTTTCATTTATTCAACTCATTTGTTTGGTTCCTTTTTTCCGCTTATTGATAGAAAACTAGCTATAGTAAGAATAAAAAACAAAAATAAATACTTATTAGTTAATAGTACAAGGCATTTACTTCTTTTTTTTTTTTTTTTTTTTTTGAATAGAAATATCATCCTGATAAAAACCAATCTGAAGGTGCTGAAGAAAAGGTATTTTTTTTATATCAAATCAAAAGAAAATAATTATTCCTTTTAAGTATACTTAGTTTTATTTTATTATTTTATTTTCTATAGTTCAAGGAAATTTCAGAAGCATATCAAGTTTTATCTGATGACCAACTTAGGGCTTTTTATAACAAATATGGCAAGGACAAGGAATTGGCTCCTGGTGGTGGTTTCTCTGATCCTAAAGATTTCTTTGCTCAAATGTTTGGTGGTGATGCCTTTCGAAGTAAGTTCCTATATTATTATTCAATATGATTGGTTGACTTATATATATATAATAGGTATGATTGGTGATTTAGCTATGGGAGAAATGTTTAGTGAAACTATGGATGAAGCTTCTACTGCTCAAGATGGCGAAAATGATGATCCAACTGGCAAGAAACAACAAATGTCAAAGGAACAAATGGAAAAACTCAAGGCACAACAACAAGAACGAGTTAAAAAATTGGCTGAAAATTTAATTCACAAGTTATCACTCTATACCGACAGTGAAGGTGATGAAGCTGCTGCCTTGGCATTCCAGGAACAAATCATTGTGGAAGCGGAAAAACTCAAGGAAGAGAGTTATGGATTAGAACTTTTACATGCTATTGGATATGTATATAGTAGCAAAGGTCGTCATTATCTTGGACTTAAGGGTGGAGAATTACCAAGTATTTTCCAAAGCATCAAGCAAAAGAAACATATTGTCAAGGAACTCTGGACGACTATTCGATCTGCTATGGAAATTCAACAAGCTGCTGAAATGGTCGCTAAAGCTGAAAAGGATGGAATGGATCAAGCTGAAAAATTAAAATTGGAAGAAGAAGTTAGCAACAAGGTATATATATATATATTAGCAAAAGGAAGTATATGATTTATCATTTATTTTTTTTATTTTGATCCTTTATTGATAGGCTTATAAGGCTCTCTGGCAAACATCAAAATTTGAAGTTGAAGGAACTTTACGTCAAGTATGTGATACGGTGCTTCAAGACAAGGTAAAAAAAAAAAAAATATTGACATAGTATAAAAGATTGATTTTTTGTGTTTATCATTATAATAGACTGTCCCTAGTAAGGTACGTACTAAGCGCGCAGAAGCCTTACGACTAGTGGGTCATATTTACAAGAATGTGGAAGCCGACAAACCTGTATCTGATATTTTGATCAAAAAGAAGAAATAGAGATTGAACATGATGATTATGTTTACCCTATCTTTAACTACCCACAATTACTAGTTTAATGACTTATTTCAATGTTACTCCTTATAGTGTATCTTTTTTTTTCATATAGAATATTTCATTTTTTTTTTCTTTTTATATCTATCATTTACCATTTCTCTAATAAAACAAACATCAAGTCTTTTTTTTTTTTTATCCTATATGATACATCACTTCTAACGAACAATGTACTACTATATATGATTGATCACTCATCTATTCCTCTGATAATACAAAACTATGCCTTTTCCCATATCCAAATAGAAGACAATCGAATTACAACAAATACCAAATTGAATAATTGAAAATATAGATCATGTATTTTTTTTTATTGTTGAGATAAAAAGATAATAATGAACTATGATTTTAGATTTCAGCCATTTCACGGAGACGACGAACAGTGGAGCGGACAGTGGCAGCAGCAGTAGTACTATGGATAGAAGATGATCATTTTTTTAGTATTAGTGAATATTGTTTCAAATAAAATATCCTTTTTTTTTCCTTAAAAAACTACTTACGAGACGGTGTAAGCACCACCAGCCATGGTCTTGCTACAACCCTTGCACTTCCAGATACCAACGGCAGTACGCTTGACAGCATCCTATTAAAAAAAAAAAAAAAAAGAAAATGGTCAAAGGTCGCGTTCCTTCCGTTGTTCAAAAAAAAAAAAGGAGTAGCATAATGATTTGTCGTACCTTTCCACAGAAAGTACAGGTGTACTTGGAATGTTGAGTGATTTCCATCTTCTTCACTTGCTTTCTGAGCGAAGCACCATAACGAGTACCGTATTTACCGGTGATACCGACCTTCTTTGTGCGTTTGGCCTAAGTTATCGTATAAACAAAGAAAATTGATTAAAAATAATGATCAATGGATGGATGGATGGATGGATGGATGAATAGTTAATTTCTTTTTTAGATTTACCATTTGAGAGGTTGATTATAGAGAAGGAGGGATAATGGGAATTGCGCCTATTCTCAACTTATTCACTTCAAACTTTTCTGTCTATTGATTTTTAGCTTCAGGCGGAACACGAATGTAAAATTCCGAGCCGATGTTATCATTTGTGCCATGCCTTTGAAATTCGTCACCCATTCTTTTTTTTTTTTTTTCTCTCTCTCTCTTTTATCTTTTTTTTTTTTTTTTTTTGTAGGCAATTATTATACTACTACAGTTATTATATATTTTTGTTGTACATATTCCTTTTCCAATAAACTTACATAGAAACTACTTTCCCCATTCTATATTATTGTATTTGTTTTGACGTTACTTTGCATCTTTACCTTAGTCAAAAGTTTGTGTATATCACCAAGAAGGTAAAAATAATAAAAGAAAAAAAAATATTGTTATGCAGCACTTATTTCCAAGGTGCTAACTTTGACTCTCCTTTTATGGTTAGGTAACGATTCACTTACATATATACATAGATACTTACAAACTAGTCAGCCCTTTATGAGTAGACAATCGCCTTCTCCATCAGTACATTCTCTTCGTAATGGAATCAATCGTGAGCAATCTCTTTTACAATTGAATGGATGCTCTCCAGTGATTTACTCTCCTACACCTCGAACAACTACAGGGGAATCTTTAGGTGCCTTGGTTGGTGCTTCTTTGACTGTAGTGGATAATACAATATATACTTTTGCTGGATTCGACCAATATACTGATGAAGTTTACAACTCTCTTCACCAATTGACATTTAACGATAATCAAGAAGAATGCATTTGGAAACGCGTGGTATATACAAAGGGACGACCTCCTGCCAAACGAAATGACCATTCTGCAACCTTATGGGGAAACAACAACAAACTTGTAATTTATGGTGGTAGTGCCGAAGAAGACGAAAAGTATTACAATGACATTGCCATCTTAGATTTGAACACTATGACATGGGAATATCCAACTACTTTTGGTAATCAGCCAGAAGGACGTATTCGACACTCAGCAACTATATATAACAACAAATTGTACATTGCAGGCGGTATTATCTCACCATCATCAGCATCATCAGTATCATCATCATCGGTTGGTGCTTCTAACTTGGGTCAAACAGGACAGCAACAACATCCCGACACGCTTTTGATACTCGATCTTACGACATGGATTTGGCAGGATCCAATTCCTTTTGTAAAGCGATCGCAACATATCACTTTTGTTTATAACGACCGATTGTATCTTTTTGGTGGCCTACACGAAGACATGACTCGATCGAATTATTTATCATTTATCGATATATCGGATGATCCATTCAATGATTCGACAGTGACTCATATTGATATCAATTCACCTAAAGCACCTTCATTGACTGCGCAACGGTTCCTTCAAATTTGTGGCGATAAACTTGTTGTTATTGTTACACCATCGATTAGTCAACCATCCTGTTTATCCGATGTAATCAGTGGGGTATGGACTCTAAATTTGGAATCTCTTCAATGGCGATGTCATCAAGTTGGAACATCCTTTGGCACTTGTCACTGGCATAGCTTTGCAATGGCAGAACATAGTACTCAACTCTATCTATTTGGCACGGAGGACGAATTACCCGATGAATATTATTCCAAGGTGATCTGTTTGGATCTCAAAGAACTTGGCATTATCCCTATACCTCAACCTCAGCTTGGAACAGATTTAGCTCAACTACTTCAACTGGATTTTATCAAGCCGGATTTTATACTTCGATCAAGCATTGATTCAGAAGGGGATGATATTTATGTACACAAATTGATTTTGTTAGCACGATGGCATCATTTTCACAACAGTATGAAGGCAGCTTTGGAATTGGATGGAAATCAAGTGATGGATATGTTGACGTTACCTTATTCATTACCAGTGCTTCGTGGATTTGTGGATTACTTGTACAAGGACACGTTACAACAATTACCTTTGATGATGATATGTGATCTTTTGATGATGGCAAATGAATATTCGATGGATCGACTCATGGCACTTTGTGTACAACGACTCTATATGCATATGGATGTGAACTCGGTCAGCAAAGTGTATTACGTGGCACGACAGACAAAACAACAAGGATTACAACATCAGGCTCTTCAGTATATCTTTGAACATTTTGGTGCTGTATCTCATAGTGAAGGATTTAGAAATCTACCTCGCGATCTTTTGCTACAGATTTTAGATGAAATGCCAAAAAACGCTGCTATTGTTGCTCATGGAGTGGTCCCAATGATGACTGGATCCCTATCCAATGGTGTTGGTGGTTTTACAATTATGCAAACTCAAAGAAATGGTAGTGATTCTGGATTATATCGACAACAACGATATGGAATGACCTTTGATGACGATGGTGATAACGGAGAAGATGATGATGACGATGCTGATGATGCCATGGAAACATGATATACGTGATCTATTTTTTTTTTTTTTTTTTTTTTTTTTTTGTATCTTAGACAATCTCCTTTTTCCATTTTTTTTTTTTTTTGTTTTTGATTATTTTGTAGTATAATCTCACACACATACACATACACATATGATCTCTCTCTCCATATATATATATATATATATTCATCTTTGATGATTATCCTTTTTCGTTATTTTTATCATTCAAATAAAAACTTGTATATACACTTTTTTTTGGGAATTCTTATATCGGGGTTTTAATAGTGATGAATGCGTAAAGTCATCTTGTCTTCATTTTTTAGATTTTCTCCCCTTTCTCCTATCCAATACATACCTTCGTAATGGTAAAGCCATCCATCCATCCATCCATCCATTGATTCATTCAATCCATCCTATTGCATTTGTCCCCGAGAATCTATCTATCCATCCTTGACATTATATACTACGATTTACGACTCTGGATAAAACAACAGCAACGCCAACAATGTTAATCTTTTCACTGGAATGGGAAGGGACAGATCATCGACATTCATCAACACAGAAAACAAAAAAAAAAACAACAACTGATGGATATTCAAAGGAGACAAATGGAATAGGAAGCATTGTTTGAACTGATTGTTTTTTTGATTCAATCTACCTCTTTTAAGATGAACTCATATTTCTTTCTTTATATAGGCTCCTGTCAAGGCTAACGAACTTCGTAACAAGAACAAGGCTGAACTTGTCAAGCTCCTTGATGAAGCTAAGCAAGAACTTGCTTCTCTCCGTGTCCAAAAGGTGGCTGGTGGTTCTTCTTCCAAGCTCCAAGAAATGTAATTTTTTTTTTATTCAAAAAATGTCAAATTCTTAATTTTTTTTTTTTTTAGTGGTCGTGCTCGTCGTAACGTTGCTACCATCTTGACTGTCATCAACCAAACTCAACGTGAACAACTTCGTCTTTTCTATCAAAAGAAGAAGTTCGTTCCCTTGGATCTCCGTGTTAAGAAGACTCGTGCTATGCGTCGTGCTTTGACTCCTTATGAACGTAGCTTGAAGACTGTCAAGGAACAAAAGAAGGCTCTTGCTTTCCCTGCTCGCAAGTATGCTGTCAAGGCTTAAATCATTCCTTTTTTTAGATTAGTTTCTTTTTTTCCATTTTGTTTTATACATGTGTCATCTTCTTTTACTGTTATCAGTTATCCCCTCCTTTCTACATTTTACTTGTCCATCACGTCTCTTGTTTTTTTTTATCTTTTGAAAAAAGAATAAAATTCGATATTGTATGTATGTGTTGTGTTTACTGATGATCATCATCATTCGGAGTTCTACGTCCATCGATCCTACCCATCATTCATTTTTCTTCACAAGGATCTCCACCTAAGTGTGTGATATGGCAATCTCCCCATTGACTGAAGTTCTTCACTCATTTTGCCCTGGCTTCACTCTCACACAAAAAATCCGTGCGGTAGTTGAAAAAAATTGATGTCACAAAATCCCTTCCCTTACACCAGGCTCAATAGAAAAATAAAAAAAAAAATACTTCCTTTTTTTTTTTTTTCCAACCTCTCTCTTTCTATTTATTTTTCAAAAGATCCTTTCGACCATGTTCGCTCGCATCGCCACTCGCTCTGCCGCCCTCAAGGTAATGAAACCTAAACTACTCGATTCAACATTTCATTGAAAGAGAATGTATTTTTCAATTTTGTTTTCTTATGAATGGTTTACTGAATTCTTTTTTTTTTTCAATTAGGCTCCTCGTTCCATGGCTGTCCGTGGTTTCTCTGTTGCTGCCATCCAACAAAAGGGTAAAAAAAAAAAAAAAAAAAAAAAAAAAAAAAAAAGAGGAGAAATAATAATATTAACTTTAGGAATGATACTTTGTCCTCACCATTGACTTACTTTTTTTTTTTTTTTTCTCAAATAGATGTTATCTCAGATTTGTATATCAAGGAATTGAAGGCTTACAAGCCCGCTCCTGCTGTAAGTATTAGGGAAATATATAAAAAGAGTGAGAAGAATGACAAGTTATTAACTGATATTTTGTATTATTATAATAGTCTAAGGCTGATGAAGCTCAAGTCAAGGATTTGAAGCTCCCTCCTGCTCCTGCTGCTCCTCAAGTGGATGAAGACTTGGCTGCTCAATTGGCTGCTTATGATGCTGAACCTGAAGAAGCTTCCCAATAGATATTGTACTTTATCAAAATCATTCCTTCTCATCCATTTCTTCTTCAATAACATCCTCAACATCGACAACAACAACAACAACAACAACGATAGCAACGAATCAACAATCTCATATACGAATTTGTGATAGGTTTAGTTGTAGTATTATTGCTTTTGGAAAATAAAGATTGTAGAAACGTATACATTTTTTTTTAACTGTCTGATTGTTTCTATGTGAATGATAATGCTGTTATTTATAGTTCCCTTTTTAGATTTTAAAGCCAAGACTTTCTTTTTTTTTTTTACTTTTTTTTCTTTTCTTTTCTTTTCTTTTTTTTTTTCTTTTTCTTTTTAGTACTCCTCGGATGGAAAAAGTGCCAGTTGTACGCGTTGCTCTTTTGATACCGGTCGTATTTTTTCTTTTATACTATGGTTGGTTTCGTGGTAGTATGAACATGGACCGTGGACCACTACATTCAGGTCATTCCTCTTCAGATAACCCTCCTTCTACTTCTCAACGACTTCCTATTCTTGCTGGTTACTTTCCTGCATGGTAAGGAAGGCAAAACAAAACAAAACAAAAAAGGTCGACTAGGTACTTATTTTAATGAGTCCTTTTTTAAATCAACTTTTAGGAGTATCTATGAACGAAATTATAATGTAGCTGATATCGACGCCGAACATCTTTCTCATATCCTTTATGCCTTTGCCAACATTCATGAAAATGGTACTATTATTCTAGGTGTAAGTACATACTGTTTAATAACTTTGCCATTGTTTTTTCTCTCTCTCTTTTCTTGTATGCGAAATAGACTCATTCATTCAACTTTTTTTTTCTTCTTTCTTATATAGGATCCATGGGCAGATACGGAAAAACATTTTGAAAAAGGTATTATTATATTATGTGTATAAGATGATGATGACTAAAGAAATTTGATCTGTACTTTTGTTATGCATATTGTTATCATTATTATTAGATCAAACAGTCAATCACAAAGCGGACAAATGGATGGCCAATGTTAATAACCTTTATGGAAATTTCAAGCAACTCTATTTTTTGAAAAGACGACATCCCAATCTCAAGGTCAGTTTATCTGTTGGTGGATGGAGTTGGAGCACACTTTTCCCTACTGTGGCTATGGATGTAGAAAAGCGTAAGAGGTTTGCAATGTCTGCTGCTCAACATATCAATGATCTTGGTCTTGATGGTATAGGTATGAACAATAATATGATGAATGGAAATAATAATAAATAAAAAAACTGATGATTTTTTTTATTATTATTATTTTGTATAGATATTGATTGGGAATTCCCGAAAACGGAACAAGAAGGACAAGCATTTGTGACATTACTCAAAGATGTTCGATCAGCATTAAATGATACTCAATCATCAGCTAACAATACACCTTATCTACTGAGTGTGGCAGTTGGTTGTGGACCTGATAATTACAAGTATCTTCATCTGCGTGAAATGGATGATTATGTCGATTTGTTTTATTTAATGGCTTATGACTTGGCAGGCGCATGGAATGAAAAGACGGGTCATCAAGCAGCTCTTTATCGCGACAAGAAAATCAATAACGTTCAACAACTCACAGTTCACGATGCTATTACACATTTTGCCAAGATGATTCCTCGACATAAATTGGTAATGGGATTGCCAATGTATGGACGTTCATTTTCAAAGACAACTGGACCTTATGCTGAATTTGATGGTGTACCTGATGGCACTTGGGAAAAAGGCTCTTATGATTACAAGGATTTGCCTCGACCTGGCGCATTGGAAATATATGACCCAGAAATTGGTGCATCATGGTCTTACGATGCGAAACTACAAGAATATGTGACATATGACAATCATCAGGTGGTACAGCAAAAAGCACAATATGTAATGGACCAAGGACTCGGGGGATGCTTTTTTTGGGAATTGACTGGTGGCGGTTCCAACGATAGTCAACGCAATCTTCTCACAGCAGCCTTTTACAGTCTTGGTAGTAAATTAGATACAACACCCAATCATTTATCTTATCCAGCAAGTCATTATGATAACATTAGATCCTTTGCAACCTGACTTGTTTTATAGTAGTAGTATTTTTTTTTTTTTTATGTATGAATAAATTCTATATTTTTTTTTCAGCGTGATTTGAATGTTTTTGCGGTTATCCAAAGCAAAATTTTTTATTTTTTTTTCTATCTTATCTTTTCTTCGTTCCTTTTTTCTTGTGTGTGTATATCAACAAATTATATACCAATGGACAACAAGTCCTCACCATCAACGTCAACTCTTCATATGGTCGAGGATACTGAAGGTGTACAAACAAAACGAAAATTCGCTGCCTATGAACCTGTAAAAGAACCTGCGTTATGGAGAGTCATTAAAGATCAAATGAAAACGAAGGAAGGTTGGTGGGGTGATCTTGGTTGGGCAAGTCTATGTTTACCTCCATTCTTCATCAAGGAAAAGAAACCTCCTGCCTTTTGGGGACTCAATAGTCGGCTGCCTTTAGGTTTAGCTGCCATTCTTGGTTTTCAACACAGGTACCACTATACTTTTTTTTTTTTTTAAAAAAAAAGGGGGGGGGGGACAAATAAGGGCGATGATTATCTATGATTTCTTACTGTCTTTTTTATTCTTCTTATTAATGTTGGTATTGATTAGTTTGGCTATGGTAAATTATTCTTGATCTTATTATTACCTATGGATATTGGATACAAACAACTCTTTTTTTTTTTTTTTTTGCAGATCAGCGGCGTCGTGACACCAATCCTTTTGATTACAGCAACTGGCTCCACCTCATTGAATCTGGATCCTGAGGATCAACAATACTTGTTATCAGCAGCATTGATTACTTCAGCATTTTTGTCCTTTATTCAAATCACTCGATTTAGATTGTTCAAAACCAATTTTTATCTTGGATCTGGTCTACTCAGCTTGATGGGTCCGAATTTTGCTTCTATACCTGCCACACAAGCCGTGATCTCCAACATGTATGCCAATGGTTACTGTCCTACAGAAATCATGCCTGATGGAACAATCAAATACTTAGCCTGTCGTCACGCTTGGGGAGCGATATTGGGAACTTCTATGTTATGTAGTGTATTTGAAATGGCCATCAGTTTCCTTCCTCCAAAGACTATTCGTCGTTTGTTTCCTCCTGTTGTGTCTGGTGCCACCATTCTCCTCATTGGTTGTTCTGTCATCTCTACTGCTCTCAAGGATTGGGCTGGTGGTAGTGGTCCTTGTGCTAATCGTCCATCCGATGGTTTCTTTGCAAAATGTCCTAATATTGATGCACCTCATGCTCTCCCTTGGGGAAGTCCTGAATACCTTGGTTTGGGTCTCTTGGTGTTTATTACCATTGTTTTGGTGGAAAATCTTGGTTCTGCTTTTATGAAAAATGCTCAGGTAAGAAAAAAAAAAGATCATCTATTTATCTTCTTTGATGAATATATTTTTTACTTTTCATTATAGATTGTGATTGGTTTGGTGGTAGGCACCATTGTTGCTGCTGCTACAGGTTATGTTGATCCTACTTCTATTCAAACTGCTCCAGCTATTACTTTTGTATGGACTCGCACCTTCCCTATCAGTCTCTATCCTCCTGCCATCATTCCTTTTTTGATCGTGTACCTTGACAATATATTGGAAAGCATAGGTAATCTATATAAAAAAAGTCTATCATCATACTGATTTTCTCCCTCTCTCTCTCTCTCCATATATGATCATCATAAATAGGCGATATCACAGCGACTTGTGATGTATCAGGTGTCGAAGTGGAAGGACCTCATTTCCAACGTCGTATTCAAGGTGGTCTATTAGCGGATGGATTTGGTTCTTTGATTGCAGCATGTATGACATTATCTCCTATGGTCACCTTTGCTCAAAATAATGGCGTCATTGCTTTGACTAGGTAAAAAAAAAAAAAGGAAATGAAGATGAATTAAGATTATTTTTTTTTATCTAGATGTGCTAATCGTGTAGCTGGCTACTTTTGTTGTCTATTCTTATTGATCTATGGGGTCTTTGGTAAAATTTCTGCTGTCTTTTTGGTCTTGCCAAGCTCTGTCATTGGTGGTATGAATGCCTTTTTATTTGCATCTGTCACTGTCTCTGGTATTCGTATTTTAGCTTACTTATCCTGGACTCGACGTGATCGATTCATTGTTACTTGTGCTTTATCGTTAGGACTTGGTGTCTTATTAACTCCAGGTAAAAATAAAAATAAAATAAAAATAAAAAAAAAAAAATAAAAAAAATCAACAATATATTGACTAATCGATCTACTTTTTTTTATTTTTTGCTTTTACAATTATTCCTAGGATGGTTCTCTCATGTATTTAGTTATCAAGGTAATAATGAAGCTTTGAAAGGATTTCTTAGTGCGGTGGAAACAGTAGTCGGTACTTCCTATTGTATTGGCTCACTTCTTGCAATCCTCTTGGAACAAATTGTCCCTCGTGAATGGGGAAATGTTAGTTTGGCTGAAGAAGAAAAGAAAAAGAAGGAAGAGATGGAAAAGGTACGAAATGGATTCTTGGAAAGCGATATCGACCTTGGTGCTACTGTCCCTCCTACCACAATTGCAGCTTCTGATACCACTACTACAACTACCGTCAATCATTAGTCTCTTTTTTTTTTTTTTTTCTCTTCTTCAGTTTTCTCTTGTTAGTTATAGTTTTTTTTTTTTTTATCTTTCATGAATAGCATTATCATAAAACCCTTTAGATTAAATTAGACCTTTTATTTACATCCATTTTAGAATAGTTTCATATATTTTGTTTTGTCTTTATATTAATGATTTAAGAAAACGTATAGAATAGGATGAGTACATTAAAGGAAAATTCTGCCACCCACTAAATACAGTATATAGCATAATATTTGGTTTGAACAGAGTATCATTGGAGAAACAATTGTTAACATTCATCATACATAGAATATCATCATATTATTATTCATCTATTCAACTATGCAAATCATAAGTGTTTTCCATAAATGGTATATATTCAAAGTCCGGTCTCAATGTGGGGGTGTGTTGGATCAAAAAAAAAAAAAAAAAGGTTTGGAAGTACCTCAAAAAAAAAAAAAGTTGGACCAAGCTCTGACAAAAGAAAAATTGGCGCACTTCACTTTTTTTTTTTTCCTTTTGCATTTTTTTACTTTTTTTTTTTTAACCACTGGCACTTTGAACATTGTTAAGTTACCATTATACATTATTTTACTTAATCTATATTATATATTTAAAAGTCACTCTTTATATATATTATACTGACTCTATACTTATTCTTTCTTCTTTTTTTCCTTTCTTCTTCTTCCTTAGTCTTTCATATTATGAACTACTCTATTTTTTTTTTTTTACTCTTTTTATGAACATATAGTAGATAAGATATATAAAGAAATATACAATAGGATTAAATGAATATTGGATAAAAGAATAAGCAAATTAGGGAAAAAGTATCCAACTCTTTATCATAAGAAATTAGTTTATTGAATAGTTTAGTCTTTTAGTTATAGATATTATATTCTCATTTAAATAAAAATCATATTTTTATTATCATTTGTTTATTATATTGTCATTTCACTATTATTTATCTATTTGTCCTCGATCATCATCATTATCAAAAGGAGTAATAAGAAAGAATAGTATGATCATCATTGTATTTTCACTAAAAAATAAAAAAAAAAAAAACTATTGTAGAAACAAGATTCATATGCACATCAGTATCTACTATTTCATTTCATACATTATATCCATCATTTTTAAGAATAGATATTCTCTTATTATCAATCATCATCACCACCCATGATAATAGCAAGTTGTACCTGGATACTGTTCGTCTTCTCTCTTAACGAAAATAACGATGTCGTTGATGATACAGTAGAGTATATCATGCACTTTATTACATAATACACTCAAAGAAACATTTTTATTAAATCATCACAACAATAGATAGTAGCAATAGGTACATACACGAAGCATCATAGCAGGATAATTTAAATAATCAAACATTTTATTTAAATGAAGGAGTATTTTTACAAAAAAAAAAAAAAGGAAGGGAATAAAGAAAAAAAAGCAACTAAATACCAACAATATAAAGAATATATACAATACTGGTGATAATAATGACAATGGTAATAATAGTAATAATACTAATGGAGACAGAGATACCAATCAAGTAGAAAAACAGAATGAAACCATTTAACATGGGAGAGACCAACCAAATAGGAAGAAACAAAAAAAGACAAGGCCTAACCACGTAGTAAAGGGTTCTGGAAGAAAATACCATGACAACGAGAGACAGATGAAGGAAACGGAAAGAGAGAGACCAACCAAGTAAAAAAAGCGACGAAGAGACCACGCAAACATTACAGAGAACAGCAAGAGAGAGACACCATACCACTAGAGAAAATAACCAACCAAGTAGGAAGAAAAAAAAAAGACCTTCAAAAGTACCTGTACATACAAGTTGACTTGCATTTGCTGTTCAGTCCAGAGTCCAACAGTAAATAAGATAAAAAAAAAAGTAAAACGATTAGTTCCTTAATCTATGTCTTACCATCATAATTGTCATTCCATCCAGTTCCAAACCATTAGAAGAGCCATAACCAGCTAAAACTAGAGAAAAAAAAAAAAACAAAAAAAAAAAGAAAAGAAAGATGAGAGAAATGAGATAGACAAAATAAGAAAGGAAAGGAAAAGAAATGAAAACTCAGTTAGATAAAACAAGAAATGAATTTATAAGTTGGCTGAATTAAAGTATCTCTCAAAGCAATCACGTATCTTTTCTTTTCTTTTCTTTTCAATAAAAAAGATTTGGACTATATAGACAATAATATCTAAAAGATCAATAAAATAAAAGAAGAAATACATTAGTATCATTCCCTTTTTTTATCTATTTTTTTTTTTTTTTTTTTAGACTTATCATTTTGCACCATTGATCGTTTTATATCACCGTTTTGTTTGACTAAAGGTTAATATAAAATAATGATGATCATTCGAGATTTGATTGCATAAACAACAATCATTGTATCTACAGATAAAATCAACCAAAAAACAGTACTCCATCACTGTTATTCTTATATATATCAATGTTACCTTGTGTATATCATCTGACAGCGATACCGTATCAATCCCCATACAATAAAAGGAAGGATCTAAAAAAAAAAAAAAGAGAGAGAGAGGAAGAAGCAAGTGATTGTATGTAATATTGATTGATTATCTATTTCTTTCCTGATGACTTAGTTATTTGATTGTATAGACGACAATCATGGTACCTACGAATAAAAATAAACCAAATGAATAGCAATCCGTTACTTTTTTTTTTATACATGTTACCTTGTCAACACCAGTGGATGTTTTGTATCATATTGCAATTGAATGTCATCATCATCACGAGTTCGGAGAGAAAGAAGGGTTGCCACTAGCAGTATATCTGACATTTTAAGACCATCAAGGAAGGTAGCTTGTTCCGGTTTTAATAGATACGCTCCACTGACCAGTTATGATATTATCCCCTAATTCTTTCCAAACCATACCGCAAATGGCAGGACTTCCAGGGACTCCAGCATGAAACAACACGGCCTATAGGCGATATACTGTACTCCCTGCATGTTGCCTTCTAGTCTCCACCTACTTGAGCACTAGATCCAGCCTCTAGATTCATAAATGATCCTAGACACCAGTCATCCTCGACCAAGTCCAATGCCTGTTAGATAAACAAAGGTCATCCCGCCATGATCTTTGAATATCACCAAAAGCTAAGTATAAAGTGATGATGACCATTCGACATTTGACTGTATAGGCGACAATCATGGTACCTACAAATAAAAATAACCAAATGAATAGCAATCTGTTACTCTTTTTTTTTTATACGTACTACCTTGTCAATAACCAGTGGATATTTTGCATCATCTTGATTGTATAGACGACAATTGTGATATCTACAAATAGAATCAGTAAAACGAGGACCAGGTCATCACCGTGATTCTCTCTTTTTTCTTTAATGTATGGATTACCTTAATTACAGGATTCACCAGTGTTGATGTATCAATCATAAAAGTCAAACTAAAGGAAGAACCAAGGACACTTTATAAGTAGTATAGGTGAAACCGAAGCTATTGATTTTTGTTGAAAGGAATGGAGAGTACCACAAGACGAAGGGATAATAGTCCAAGGCCATGGGAGAAAACAATAAGTGGAACACATCATACCAAGTGGGAGGGACAAAAAAAAAAGACAAGAACCAACCATGCAAGAAAGAGATTTCGAAGGAAACACCATGACAATGAGAGACAGACGAGAGAAAGGGAAAAAGAGAGAGAGAGACGAACCAAGTAAAAAAGAGAAGAAAAGACCACACAAACTCGAGAGATAACAACAAGAGAGTGAGAGACACACCATACCAGTAGAGAAATGATCTTGAAGAAACCAACATCATAGGAGAGAATAACCAACCAGGTAGGAAGAAAAAAAAAAAGATCTTCAAAAGTACTTGTAACACAGGTTGACTTGCATTTGGTGCTCCGTCCAGAGTCTAATGGTAAAAAAGATAAAAAAAAAAAAAGTAAAACGATTAGTTCCTTAATCTATGTCTTACCATCATAATTGTCATTCCAACCAGTTCCAAACCAATAGAAGAGCCATAACCAACTAAAGCTAGAGAAAATAAAAAAAAAGAAAGAAAGAAAGACGAGAGAAACTATGCTCAGTAGGATAAAATGAAACAAGAAAGGAAAAAGAAAAGAAAAGATACGTGATTGCTTTGAAAGATACCTCAATTCAGCCAACTCACAAACTCATTTCAATAAAGAAGATTTGACATTTACTATTTTTTTTAGACTTATCTTTTTACACCATTGGCTTGCTTTGTATCACCGTTTTGTTTGACCAAAACCGAGACGAAAAGAGATCTTGACAATTGGAAAAACCAGAAGAATCATGAATTAACATAAAATAAATAAGTAATTATATTTTATACTGTCTTTTTATTATTATTTTATTTTATTTATTTTTTAAATTGACAATAATAGAATAAGAATCTATTACTGTCATTGTATTTTATATGTTACCTGTCATTATTCCAATATGGAGACACGAACAAAGTGCGGAGAATGAATAAAAAAAGTGTGGAGAAATGGAAAGAGAAAGAAAGAAAAGAAAAATGTGGGGAAACGAAATAAATAAAAAAAAAAAGAAAGAAAGCGAAAGTCCGAATAGATAAAAGTGACGTACCAAAAGTAGCAAACTAAAGAGAAAGAATATATTGTAATGTGATAATGAATGTACAATTAAAAAAGTAGATTAGTTTTTTGACATTGAAAGAAAAATGTCAAAAACTAATCTATCTTTCCTTTCATTGTTGATAATACATTTAGATCGAGTCGAATACAATATATAGCAAAAAAGAAAAAAAAACGACAAAATATATGAAAAAGAGAATTAATATGATTCCATGTTGTTTCTTGTTTTTCATATTTATTGTTAGAAAGTCTTCAAACTTGATTTTCTTTGCTTGGATTCAGCTGTCATTTAATTTATTTAAGGAACCAGGTACAGAAATGCATTGATGACTGTTCGAGAAAAATAATAATTATGATTTTATTAAAAAAAGAAAAAGAATGTAAATATATATAATTGATATACTAAGTACCATTTTAAACTACAAGTAAAAAGAATCGCTAACGATTCATAAGCCAGAATAATTAAAAAAAAAAAAAGATAAAGAAGATACTTCCAATTGATAATATAAGCCAATCCAGTTGAATCCTGTAATATATCCTGTTCATCCATGTTGTCTACACCTTCTGACCATGGCGCGTATTCATTTCGTTTAATTCTGTGATCCTATTGTATATCTATCTATTCCGCTGATTCAGATGTATAGCCACTTCGCGTAATTATCCTATTGATACTATATTTAAATGAATAAGCCTTCGTGTATCTAGATTTCTTTCTTTCTTTCAGACAAATATTCAGTGATGATGATCGTCAAGGATACCAATTATGAAGTATGAGAAGAAGAAAGGACGGTAATTCTAGATGGATGGATGTTATAGTAAAAAGATCAATATCAGAAGAACGTATATAATAAAAAAAAAGGAAGTTAGAAAGAAAAAGAAGAAAAGCACTTGTTTTTGAAACTTATCTTTAATAAGAGTAAATATTTGTAAAAACCACATAGCTAACATGAGTAGAATATAGTAATGAAGTTGGAATGTATAAAAAAAAAGAAAGAAAGAAAGAAAGGAAAAAAGAAAAAGAAAAAGATTACTTTGTATGTCTACCTGATCGGAGTCAGTTTAAAAAATCATGCAAATCAAATCTACCAATCATAAGGAATCACATAGGTTTAAGTTGCTTTTTTTTTGAATTGATTTTTTTTATTATTGATTATAGTAAAATCATGATGATGATGATGATGATATATTAGAATAAACACTTTCAACTGAATGATTTTATCACTTATTTCCTGTTCGTTGTATTCATTGAGCTTTGAGTAACTATGATACTTGAAGAAAGATTACAAAAGAAAAAGGAATAGCAAGCATATAGGTTAAATCAATTTGAACAACTTTATATTAATCTGATGGAAGAGCAATCACATTCATATTGAATAATAAATCAGTTTAAATATCATAAATTGATTACCTGATAATATAAAATAAAGTAATGAATATAAATTATGAAAAGCGGTAGTTGAACATCCAAAAAAGGAAAGGCTCAATTCATGAGGTTATATAAAACAGACCTCACATTTTTTTATTTTCTCACACCTTCTTCTTCTTCTTTATCACTGCTGTTATAAACTTCTTTTTTTTTTTTATTTTGTATAAAAAGTAAGTAAATATATAATAAAAGGAACTTTATATACTTGTTAACTAAACTCTCTCTTTTTTTTTATCTTGTTATAGAAATACCATCTCTTGACTCTTCTTTACAAACTGAATCCTCGATATATATTCAATAGATCATGAAACTATAACAATGGGACTATAACTGTCAAAGGTACTACTATGATTCCAAAAGAAAAAAAAAAGAAATAGTAAAATAGTAAGTGATATAGGTATGGCTGCGATTCTCATACTTTCCTTTTTTTTTTTTCTCAGTAGTATTCCGGTATAATGTGACAATGGAAAGGCTATTGAACATATATATCAATTATGGTTATCAAGCACAAACAAAACAAAATCAAGGGTATTATCTTTGAAGGTAAGGCTTAAAATACGATAATGAAGGATTTGTCAATCATTAATATCATCTTTTCTTTTCCTTTTGCTGATGGGTAGTGTCACAAATACAAGTTTAGCTGTTTATATGTTACTCTATTCTCTATAAAGGCATCCTATCTTATCAAGATGGTTTTCATCAACCTCGTTATCCTCGTGTAAGTTGATATCGTTATCATTACTATTGTTTTCACCCGTCAAATACTATTGATATAAGTTTTCAACTACAGTGGAATATATATTATACACATCAACTATTAAACATTTATTTATTAAGTCGACAGGTTGCCATGGTACATCGTCCACCAGTCTTATTACAGTATATTACTATCATTGAATTGTTATGATCCGTTTCAAGTATGGTCAATTACTGTATTCAAAGTAAGTTATGCAAAAAAAAAAAAAAATGAAAAAAGAACATTTAAAATATGATTCTCATTCTCTTTTTCTTCTTTCTTCTTTCTTTTCTATTGTTTTGATGCATCATCATCCTTTATATACAGATCACAAAACCAAATGAAAATTGGATACATAAAAAGGACGAATAACTAATGTAACTATATTATTAACAACAACTGGAAAGGGAAACCAATTTGTGTGTAAATAGATGACATTTTTTCTATAGTTTCTTTTATTGATAGTTTTAGTCTTATTTATATTTTTTTATATTCTTCTTCTTCTTCTTTAGTAAAGTTTACCTTTATATCATCATCATCATCATCATCCTATTATTATTTATTATTTTTTTCTACTTTTATTAAAATCATAAGTGTTTTCCATAAATGGTATAACTTCAAAGTCCGGTCTCAATGTTGGGGTGTGTTGGATCAAAAAAAAAAAAAAAAAGTTGGTCGAGATCAAAAAAAAAAAAAGTTGGTCGAGATCAAAAAAAAAAAAAAATCTGGGAGATTGAAAAAAAAAAAAAAATTGTTGGAGACAATTGGAAAAAAGTTGGACCAAAGCTCTGACAAGAAAAAAAAAGAGTTGGCGCACTTCACCTTTTTTTTTTTCTTTTGCATTTTTTTACTTTTTTTTTTTTACTTCTCTTTTTTTAATCAATGACTCTTTTGAACATTATAAGTTACCATTATACATTACTTTATTAATCTATATTATATATTTAAAAGTCACTCTTTATATATATTATACTTACTTTATACTTATTCTTTCTTTCCTTTCTTCATCTTAGTTTCTCATACTATGAACTAATCTATTTTTTTTTTTTTTTTTTTACTTTTTCTGTGAACATATAGTAGATAAGATATATGAAGGAATATACAATAGGATTAACTAGATATTGGATAAAAGAATAAGCAAATTAGGGAAAAGTATCCAACTCTTTATCATAAGAAATTAGTTTATTTAATAGTTTAGTCTTTTAGTTATAGATATTATATTCTCATTTAAATAAAATCATATTTTTAATATCATTTGTTTTTTATAATGTCATTCACTATTATCATATCATATCATCATATCATCATACCATCCTTCTTTTCCTCCTCATAAAGGCATCTGCAGTTTCTTCATTCTAATCACATTTTTCTTTTTTTTTATTACAAAGAAGGGGGGGGTAAACATAAAAAACTATATAATGAATAATGATATCTACATAAATAAAGAAAGATAATATATATATATGTATATAAAGAATAAGATATAAACTAGGTAGAAGGCGATTTTGAAGAATGAGAACGTGGAGAGATAACATGCCACACCCGTCCATATAAAGAGGCAGATCTACCTATACGATTACTTTTGACTTGAGAGCCTTGTAGATCCAATTCCTTGTCAGTCTGTTGATTTTGTGTTTCTTCAGAAGAAGCTTCTAGTTCAGCCAAACGAACCTTGGTAGCAGCCAGCGCGGTTTCCAGTTCATATACCCTTTCCATCATGGCTCGTTGTGCACATACGTGATTGTTTTCCAGGTCCAACCATTGTTCATCGCGTCGTTTCTTTTCCTGTAATAGTTCATCCATTTCTGATTTCATCATCACCAGTTTGTCCACAAGAGCAAGTTGACCTTCATTCACCATATCCAATCGTGATTGAAGATCATCCACTTCGTGTGCCAGTCGTTCGGATTGTTGTTGTGCTTCAAAATGTTCCACCTTGACTCGAACAAGTTCACTGCGTAGGAGATTACTATCATCTATCTCTTCGTCTGATGTATCTGGAAAGAGATCGCCACCTGTACTAGTACTGCATGTTCTGATAATATCATCTGAAAGCGGTGAACAACATGGAGGTGATAGTGATGGTAGTGATGGTGACATGGTAAGTGTATCTTGTATGTCGTTGTTATCAACCAACGTTGTGTCTTTTTCGCATAATGATGATGATGATATTGTATTGTTGCTAGTCAATGAATGATTGCTATCTAATAATAGAGGATGTTGATATCGTCGTTCCAATTCCATGATGGTCATTTTCAAGGCATCGCGTTCACTTTCCACATCCTTCTTGTCCATTCGAGTTTCATGCAATTCATCAATGGTGCGACTGTGCTCTTTGCGTAATTGTTCTAAAGCCTGTAGTAACTCTTCTGTGACATCATCATGATGCTGTTCTTGGTTATTGGTGGTGAATGATGTGGCAGCTGGTGATGAATATCGATTATCAATAGATCGTATATCTCTAGTTGTTGCTGAGGTGGTGGCGTTCATATGTTTTGATCGTCGTTTGTTTTCGCATTTGCTTCCATCGCTAATTGAACGTTCCAATGTTGTTGTTTGTTGTTTGTTCTTATCTATTCTTGTCGATTTACGCCTCCAAAAGCTACCCAACCGACTGGCCAAGACTTGTTGTGTCTTTTTCTTTTCTTGCTGACCTTGTTGAGAGTATTGATGTTCCAATTGATCCAATTTTTGACGAGTGATACTGTTAGAAAAAGACATAGCATCGCAGATAGCATCGGACCAATCTTCCATATAGGGAGCACATAGCTTTTTTGTCGCCACACAATCCAAGAGATCTTCAAATTCGGTTTCTGCCAAGATGATATGTTTTGATCGGTGAAGCATAGCAAGAGCAACGCGCATCATTGTTTCAGTAGCACCTTCAACAAAAAGAACATCATATATTCTAGTGACAAGACCCATTGGAAAGCAATAGGCAAATAAAGTAAGGAACCATTGGGAGGCATACATGGCAGCATGAATTGAGTGCATATTCAAGTGAGCTGCAAGGTCAGGTAAAAATTCTTCGAGTAGGCAGGAGAATTGATAAAGTCGTAATTGAAGACCCTCCATATTGACTGTAAACATACTTCGCATTTCATAAGTTTCCATCATCCTAATAATAATAATAGTAATAATTAATGTATAAGACCTTTTTTTTTTTTTTTTTTTTTTTTTTTTTTTTTTTTTGTTAAATGTTGTTCTTACCTAACAAATACACAGAAAGCTTGGGGTTCTGGCATCTAATGGAACAAAATAAATACATAAATAAATATTTTTTTTTAATATATCATCTCCTCAAATCAATACTTCCTCCTTTTACTCCTTACATTCATCAAAAGGGGACCAACCAAAAAAGCTAAACCCTGACAGTAACCAACATGAGCATCATATAAACTGTAGGCCACCAAAATCCTGCGCATTGCTAATTGACCAGAACCGTTTTCTTGCTTGAACATATCGATATTGGGAAAGGTACGGGTGAGATCACGTTGAATCATTCGTTCATAAGGAGATCGATCGCCACATAATTGACCATAAACAGTTTCCAAGTGAAGACAAGCTGATTGACAGATTGCCTGCCAGATTTCGCCACGTGCATGAGAGGGTATACCAGCTTTTAGTTTTGTCGAGAGTAAATGAGGAGTCTTTTTCGCCACGTGTATAGGATCTTGAATCAAAGCTTGCCAAAAGGTCCAATCCATCACTTGATATTGTTGTTCTTGTTGTTCTTCATTATCGTTGAGAAATCCATCCAATTCGCCATCATTAGATAAAGGTGGAGATGATAAAGGCTGATAATCTGTCACTAGTTGTTGTACCGTAGTATAATGACCGCGTAGTTCATTGGATCGTATATAAATTGATTTAGGGTCCTTTTCCAAAAGAGCATTTTGACGTTCAATTTGTGCGAGAATAGAATATTGAGGCTGAAGTTTTTGTTGTGGTATCATCAAGTGTGATCGTTTCGTCATTAATGTTTTTTGATCGGATGGTTGATTCAATGTCATTGTTGTTGAAGAAGAAGAAGAAGAAGATGAAGGTGAAGATGACGGTGATGCCAGATAAAGACTTGTTCCTCTTCGTCTTTCGATTAATGTGCTACTGTAAATACCGGTTTGATCATGATCGCCCATTGTCGTACTACCAGTCATCGATAACCAATTGGAACGATTGCCGTTCTTGGAGTGTTGTCGTGCGGCTAGTGAGGCTTCATCGGTTTCCATTTTTGTCACTAGTTCCTTTGCGAATGGTAAGGAAAGACCCCCTGTGTTTGTCGTAGTTGTAAGAGAAGAATAAAAGCTGACATACTTTTCTTCTTCAAGACCAAGAGTAGGTGAATCTAGTCTACTATTGTTATCGTTAATCTTCATATGAGATTATTGTTGAAATGAACAAATGAATCGTGTTGATTATGTCAATTGTTGATCGTGCTATGAATACTGACAAGAAAATAGTTCAAATGAAAAAGATAGATAAGAATATTTGTTTATTGATATATATATTTGGGAAAATAGAAAGAAAAAAAAAAAGAAAAAGAAAAAAAAAAAGAAAAGAGAAAAAAAAATATGAATATAATTTTATGGACCGTAAAAAAAAAAAAAAAAAAAAAAAAAGGGGGGAGGCGAGAGAGAGTGAGAGAGAGAGAGGGGGCGCTGGGCTTCACTGAATATTTTTTTTTTTCTCTGCATAAAAATAGAATACTAAAACAAGAAAGAAAAAAAAAAGAAGTGACTGATTTTTATTAAAACTATATATATAAAAAAATATAAATAAATAAATCACTTGAACATATGGTGTAGCTTTGCAACAAACATTGATAAGGCTGTGGATGGCGTTTCTAAAAAAGAATAGGCTATAAAAAGTATATATATATAGAGAGAGAGGGTCAGTCCATCTATGCAACTCCGATCCTTTTTGGGTAACTTGTTTATACTTACATTCATTAGCAATAAGAATGTCCAAAAACGGTCCAAGTAAATCATCATAATCCATCAAAGAATAATCTTCCATTCCATTGATTTGATTACCAAGACTGTTCCAACCAGATTCAATGATCTTCCATTTTTGCAAATCGTTTCTTGTAAAAAGACATGGGAACAATTCCAAAAGAGGTTTCAATACTGCATTTTCATCCATCATCTTGATCTTGTCTATAATCAGGTATATTATTGGGTAACGTGAATCTACTTTGTTACGATAATCAATACATGCTTTCAATAATTCAGGTCCATGATGATCATCATCATTATCTTGGTTAAGATGATCCAAAAGAAGTGAAGGTTGAATGGGTAAAGCTGCTGATACTGCCTGATTGATTGGAATATCGCCTGCTAATTCAAATACGATCGCGTTCATCATTTCCAAAAAAGTCTCCGGTGCCAAAAGTATGTCCTGTGATACTGTTGATTTCTCCATTTCTTCTTCTTCTTCTTCCATCCAAAGATCTGTTTGTAATAAAGTTGTTTCCCGTTGTATCAGGTCTGGTAGATGTAAGTGTAATACTGTAAAAGAACGTGGACCACCGAGTGCATTGATGATATTGGTTGCCTTTTCAGTGAGTGGTAAGAAATGATTGGGTATCATTTGATGCGATACATCTTCTAATAACCGAATTTCTTGATCTGATTTGCTAGATACAAATGCTGAGCTTTGAGAAACCGAGCCAAATTGAAGTAATCGGGTATTCAATTGTACAAGCTGAGAAGTGGAAGCATATCTATGCGATAGTGGTCTTTGCATTGGTAAGGGTACTATAGAATCATCTTCCTTTCGTAACCATTTCCATAGTTTTTGCATTGGTGAAGTGTTAGCCATAATAGGATGTTGTTGTATATTTTGTTGTTCATGAGTATCAAGTACACTACCATTTTCCATAAAAGTCAAAGGATCAACCACTACTACTGCCGATGAATCAGAAGGTAACCATCCACCACCATGTTTCCAATCCAAGTTTTGTCGTTCCACCACACGTACAGAATGTTTTTTGAATACAGATAAATCAAATAAAGTAGACCAAGGTATTTCCACCCAATTATAAAGATCCTTGCAGTCATCGTCGTTCTCAGCCAAGTCAGTTTTGTAACATATAGAAAAAAGTTTTGTCTTATTCTGAGCTTCATATCGATTGGCCATTATATCAAAAGGTACCCAATCTTCTAAAGTCTTTCCAAGTCGTAGATAAGGAAGGATGAGTGTTCTATTGGTATCGAGAGCAAGTCTAAGTCCATTTCGTAAAGAATGAAACTGATCCATAAAGTCACTACAAGTATAAAAGAAAAAATAATGAATAAATAAAAATAGTTGAATTTATAATAACTTTTTCTTTTAATGTATGAATTTACCCATTTGGGAAGTAGGATAGAAACTGTTCTTGTTCTGGTGGATACTGAACTTGTGGCCAATACTGCTTCTCTTCACTGCTGTTATTGTACTGCTGAGCTGATTTAAGGTTAAGATGATCTTGTTGCGTTTGATGTAATAGTAATATTGTAAAAAGAGTAAATAATAAAATAAAGATAAGATAGAAGGTACGTATTCGTAACATTAATAAAAAAATAAAATAAAATAAAATAAAAAGACAGGGAAAAAGGGAGGAGAGGAGAACAGGGAAAAAAAAGAACGAAAAGAAAAAAAAAAAAAAAAAGGGAGACGACACTTTTTATATATGATGCTGCTGGGTTTCAAGGGTCAGTATGCATAATTCAATAACGCCATTAACAATCAATAATCAACAATCATAATAATAGTAATAATAAAAGAAAAAGAAAGAGAAAAAACTAATAAATATAATACATAATTAAGTATTATTTTAGTAAAACAATAAAAAAAATAAGAAAGAAAGAAATTGTTTTTTAACAATCAAAAAAAAAAAACACTTGTTTCATTCGTCAAGGAAATCTGTCAACTTTCAAAGGTCCACATTTTTAAATTGCAGCCAGCCAACCGACTTGAATGAACTCCCGGGAAGGCGTCACGTCCTATTTTTTTTTCTTTTTTCCTTTTTATTTTTTTTTTTTCTTTTTTCTTTTTTTTCTTTCTTTTTGCTTTCTTATATATAATAATTATAATGTCTTTTCTTATCACAACAACAACACGTCAATATATTCAAAGACAACCAACTTTACTGATGCGTGGTTATACTTCTTCCACACCTTCAAACAATAACAACAACCAACAAGAATTGATTCCCACATGGAACGATTACTTCAAGCTTCGTTCCAAACGCCGCTTATTCGAACTAGCAAGTTATGCTCCTAGTACTATATTCCCTGCTGCTTTGACTGGTTCTTACTTTATGCAAATGCAAATCGATCCTACTACCACTATTTTAGGTATGGATCCTTTGATGGCTGCTGGCCTTGCCACAGTGGGTGCTGTAAGTAATTATTAATAAAATAATAATAATAATAATCATTATTATAGTTGATATTGATCATAACATTCTTTTTTTTTTTATCATTGACATCATTTCATTTGGATCTAGGGTTTCGGTGGATTTTTGGCTGGTCCTGTTTTTGGAGATATCTTTTTCAAGTTATTGAATCGAAAATATGTGCCTGAAATGGATGTTCGTGACAAAAACTTTTATGAACATATAAAGAAAAACCGTGCTGATGCTCGTCTCAATTCTATTCGTAATCCTGTACCTGATTACTATGGTGAAAAGATTCAATCTGTGGCTGATTATCGTTCCTGGTTACGAAAACAACGTGAACATTATCGTAAAGGTGTATTTGGTGGTAGTGCTGATGATTTGGAAAATTAGAATATTATATATATTTTTTTTATTAATCATTGATAGTTGTAGGGTTAGTTAAGATACATTTATTTTTTTTTATTTTTATTGTATATGATAGAGCAAAATAAAAAGGAAATATACAAACGCTATACTATATGAGATTCATTGGAAATGTAGGTTTTTTGTGGATAAGGCATGGATTCTTGTGGTGGAGGAATGGTAGGACTTGGATGGGCAACGCTTTGTGAATAAGAAGGTGACATGTTGCTGATAAAAGGAGAATGACCAATAGAGTTATTATATTGTTGAGGTGAAGCAGTGTATGGATATTGTTGTTGTTGTTGTTGTTGTTGTTGAATCGATTCGTGATCAGTGGATAATTGCATATTATTTGGAAGTTCCATTTGAGGAATAAAGTGACAAATAGCAAAAGCTACTCCAATAAGGATGACAATGATACCACAAGCTAAAGATAAAGGATTATAATTCAAGATGATACAACCAATAAAGATATAAAACATAGCACGACCAAGAAAGTGTAGCATAAAAGGAGCAGCTTTTGCAATTTTATCTCGTAACTTGAATTCAAACATCACTATCATCATACCAAAAATTCTTTTCAAATATAAATCATCGAACATTGTATATATCTGTAGATTCACTTACATACAATAAACGGCCAAAATAAAACTTGGAAATCCTTTTTTTTTTCAATAATAATAAAAATGAATACCAGTCTTATATATATATATATATATATATTTCCTTACCTCCTTGTAAAATGAATGCAACTGCTCCAACAATCATAAACGTTGCTGCAAGTAGATTTAAAATCCGAACTATAATGACGGCTTTTACAGCCATTGTATTGATATTAAAAAAAAAAAAAAAAAAAGGAAGAAGAAGAAGAAGAAGAAGAAGAAAATGTCAAATAGGGAATCAAGAAGAAGAGAATAGGAAAAAGGAACCTGCGTAACAATATTTTCTCTAATTCGTGTAACTAACCCGTTCTCCCATTTCCAACTTGTACTCCGATTCTTTGTAAAATGATCTTTTTTTGTTCATGTCATGTAACTATATTAGTATCTTTATTCTTTCCAGTCAATCATATTCATACACAGATAAGATTTTATTAAAACTAATGATGTTTCATAAATAGCGTTCGAATTTACAAAAAAAAAAAAAAAGTAAGTGGATAATATGAACGGAGTAGATGTCAATGTGGTACATCATGAATTTGCTTACCAAATACCATGGAAACTTAAGCATCCATGATGTATTGGCCAATCACCTCTGGTTCTAAGAATCTCAGCGACTGCCAAGATATCATCGTACAAGGATGCATTGATTTGTTTACCAAAAGTAGTAGATACGTTATATTTCTTAACTAATGCCATAATTCCTACTAGTATTATCATATCAATCATTTACTCTCTCTCTCTCTCTCTATCATCCCACCAACCATCTTATATGTTCTAAATAAAAAAAAAAATAACATTGTTTATTTCGATAGTATACAAAATCAAAGAAGGGAAATATGCTACCGTAAAATAATAATAACAAAAAAAACACTAGAGCTTGGAAGACACGGATTCATTTGCGATGACAGCGTAACCATTGGAGAGTACCAAACGATTTTCAACTTTTCCAGTGAAGATGACACCGAAGGCATTAGCATCATGAGGCACTTTCCACATATCAAAAGTGACAGTTTCACCAGGTAAAACAGGACTAGCGAAACGAGCGGTGATGGATTTGAAACGATGACGATCATTGTTAGCGAATTTTTGAGTAATAGCATAACCTACATGTCCATAGGAAGCGAGACCATGTAAGATAGCGCGAGGTAAACCAACACTTTGAGCAACAGAAGGATCGGCATGTAAAGGATTGAAATCACCAGAGAGACGATACAAAAGAGCCTGATGGGGAGTAGTATGGAATTCAACAGAGTAATCAGGGTGATCATTAGGAGGCGTATAAGATGGAGATTTTGGACCTTTACTACCACCCCAACCACCATAACCTCGTACAAACATCTTGCTATCCATGCGACAATAGTGGACATTATCTTGTTCGCCATACAAATCGACTACAGAGGCAATCACCATACCAGACCCTTTGTCGTATACACCCGTACATGTTTTCACTGACTTGAATCGACCACCCATCACAGGAAAAGGCTTTAACACTTCCAGAGATTGTTCACCATGTACAATACAGTCAGGGTTGTAAGGAGGAACTCCAGGCAATCCACCACCTGCGTTGAATCTTTCCGTAAATACATTGACATCCCAGTGATCTGACTTGAGAAGTAATGAAAGCACATAGGTAGGTAAAGGACCGAAATGGCTATCTAATATCATAAATAAATAAATAAAAAATAATATAAAAGTATGATCAGTTTATCATATATTTATACCAATATGTTTGACTTTTTTTTTTGTGTATACCATTTTCATAAAGCCATTGTAATTCAGTTGCAGGAACACCGACAGAAAGTGCATATAACAGATAGTCTCTACGATTACAGGCAACCTAATTAATAACAGTAATAAATAAAAAAGGTTAATGAGAAAAAAGAGAGAAAGAGGTAACTTACTACTTCACTTGGTGACTTGTGACCAACTGCCTTCGCAGCATCTACTTTGTATCCTTCGGGCATATTATTTTGGAATGAGGAAAAAAAAAAAAAAAAAAAAGAAAAGAAAAGAGAGAGAGAGAGAGAAAAAAAAAAAAAAAAAGGTAGACTCAAAAAGGGGAGAAATTGAAGATGCGCGCTGTAGGATGATTGTAATTCACATGAGAAATCCCCACACTTTTTTTTTATTATGCTGTTTTTTTTGTTCATTTTAGGAAATGTACAAGACCGATTGAGTAACGCGTCTTTTCTTCTTCTTTTTTTTTTTTTATCAATGGAGATTTATTGAAAGTATAATACAAAAAAAAAAAAAAATTAACCTATAATACAAATAAGAATAATCTACAATACAATTTCTAATCCACTACTATTGAAGACTGGTAAGATAGTTGATCGCATTTTCCCGCCATTGATACCAAGCTAATGCCTGCATTAAGCAATCACTAAGATCATCCTTTTTCTTTGCAAGCCTAAACATATGAGCAAGATCATCAGGACAAGATACAGTTTGTTGATCCAACCAATGTTGTACCAAGAGAATCGAAGCATGCTTCTTGTTCATTTTCTTTTCAGAGCCATTGTTAGTTGACCATAAAGATTCTAAACCATCTTGCCAAAGTTGATCCACAGGTCGTCGAAGAATAGGTTCCATCGTGGTTGTTGTTAAACATTCTTGTAAGCTACACCATAACAAGGCCTCCACAGTATTGACGCGTAACGTATGTTCAAAAATACCATGACTACCATTACTTCTAGCACGTTGTTGTTCTATTAGAATATGCTCCAGTGGAGATAAAGGTCGGATATTGTCGTATACAAATTGTCGAACCACTGGTGCCATACTGGAGGGATGAAAGTTCTCTAATGCCAGATCCACTACTTGCCATGCCTTGATGTGTCGTTCTTTTGAAACTTGCACAAACGCTAGGTTCCTATATCCCATATCAAAAGAAAGCACAGAGCTTGGTAATAATCGGTCAACATCCAAAACTATATTTTTTGTTGTTGTTGTGGTTGTTGTTGGTTTTCCAAGATGAAGAAGTTGTTCAAAATGAGTACCAAGTCGATTCACCAATGTTGCTTTAGTCCCTGTTAACGTCACACCACAAGATAGAGCCAAAGACTTGAGTTCTGATCCTTTGAGAGTTGAAAGATGTGCTTGAACTCGATGAATCATAAAGGATGACTATAATAACAATAATAAATAAATAAAATTGGAGGAAGAGAGAAACAGAGAGAGAAAAAAAAAAAAAAAAAAAAGAGGGCGAAAATGGTTATTTCAATAGCCGATCACCAACATAATGTAACGCTTTATTAAAACAAACAAACAAACAAACTGATACTAAAGTTCAGGTTGTCGCATAGCCAATTCTTCATCAGTAGATAATAGAGCAGCATCCCAATAGTTTTCCGCATGCCACTTTGTAAGTTCTTGTCGAGCCATTTTTTCACTTTCAAAAGATCGCCAGGTAAACTTTTTAAATGCCTTGTTCTTCACTTGACCAGTCCATACTAAGTAACACTTATTATCACCATCGCCCACCATTTTATTGTTGTTAGTATCATCATCTAAATCCATCATTGAGGTTGCATCCAAGTTCTTGGGTACTGGCATATCATTCCAGTCGATCCGTCGTAACATAAGTTTCTTATATGCTTTGATACTTTTAGGTCCACCTTCTACAATCACCATATGACATTTGGGATGTACAATAACAATACCAGTCAATCCAAATTGTTGAGCATTCTTTTCAATTTTATATCGATGTTTGGGATGAGCACAATTTTTAATCCTATAATAATAATAATAAAATAAAGTAAAATAAGTAAACAAACAGAACAGATTGTTTTTTTTTGTCATGACTTACTTGAATACAGCTACTTCATTTGCTGTATTTTGATCTGTTGCTATCTTGTTCATCAACTTGGCTCTTCGTTCTGCTGGAGTCAATTTGCGTTGTTCATTAGCCAGATCATGTTGTTTTTGACGTTCTTCCATTTCCTTTCGAACCTTAGCTTCCACCTTAGTTGGATCTTGAATAGCTTCATCACCTAATACCTTCATCAAATTGCTGATTTTCACCTTGGGAGGATCAGGAGGTAATAAACCCAATCGGATTTTATCTTGTTTGTCTTTTTGCGTTTCTAATCGTCTTTGTCTTCTTAACTTTTTGCGTTCTTTCTTGGTTAACATCAATGCACGAGAAGGAGGTTTGCCATTCAGATCACTGGGAGCCTTGATGGGAACAGGGTGATGTACATAAATGGTTACTAAGGAAGTTAACTGTTGTGGATCCACAGGTTGATCATCTAAATCTTGATAGGTTTGATTCGGTAAGAATGGTGCATCCCACCATTCTGCTACTGGAGGAGGTTCCTTCTTCAATACTTTATCTGAAATATCCATTTCCGTTTCCATACCAGCTTGTTTCACTTTGGCTGCTACTTCTTCCTTGAGTCGTTCCAATTGAGCTTTGGCCCGTTCTTGATTTCCCTTTTCAATATATTTTCCAGGTTGTATGAATTTGAATGCTCTTGAACGTCGTCCTTTGGGTGCTACGTTGACAGGTAATGATGGATCATAGTAAGGATTCTTTGTAGGATCAGTAAATGATTCAGGTGTAGTTTCCATTTTCAATGTTGTTGGTTTGCTAGTAGTCGTTGAGGCTGCACTTGCTGGTTGTTTTTGTTGTTTTTGTTGTAATTGTTTGGATGGACTTGCTGTTCGAGAACTTGCCTATAAACAATAATAATAAATTAGAAAAATCATCCTATATTGTGTTATCTTTCCCATTTCTTTTTTTTTTTTTTTTTTTTTTACCCCAATTTCTTTTTCACGTTTTGGAATGATCCCTTTGTCTAACATTGCTCTCAAGTCAAAGTTTCCTGAAGCGTCTAGTGGCATAGGTGGAGGGGCCGCTTTTTTATCACCAGGCTATTAGTAAAAAAAAAAAAAAATTAGTTTATATATGTAATGTTTTCAATCATTCACTTACATGTATTCCACCAGCTTTGAGTCGATTCATAACTTCTTCTCGTTTTCGTTGAATTTCGGATAGACTCAACCCGCTGATTGGTTGAGAAGGAGTTGTTGTTGAAGATTGTGTTGGTACATGACTTTGCGATCGGGAACTAGTTGTTGATGGTGGACGAGGTAGTGCAGTGTTGGTGGTATTATTGTTCTGGAATTTAGCTAATTTTGCTAAGACTTCTGCACGTTTGGCAGCAATGATGGCAGCAGCCTATATATATATATATATATTTAAAAAAAAAAAAAACCACAAACACGTTAGGATCTTCCATTAAATATTACTTTACAAAGTATTAATTTGACACTTTACCTGGCTAGGATCAGACATCACTGTTTTTATTTGTTATAAAAGAGAGGGATTGTCCTTAAAGTATGTATTATAAGAAAAAAAAGAAAAAAAAAAGGGAAAGAGAAAAGAAAGAGTTGAGACAAAAAGAAAGAAAAAAAAATTTTGAAAGTGAATGAGTGGAAAAAGTAGCAAAAAAAATTCAAACTGCGGGATATGAATAACAACCAATCAGAGGTTTTGTTATTCAACAAGATATCCTTCCTTGTTCATCAATACTTGCAGAATAATAAGAATAATGTAAATGACTAATAGCTGTTATTCTAAGGTATCAAAAGAAGGATGATATGATGATTTACTTTCTTTTTTCTTTTTTTTGGTAAAAATAAAAAGTAGTTTTGATTCCAAAATGAAATGCGGCATTTCAATAAAGATCTGCTCAAATTCACTCAAATAATTTTCTTTTGTCTTTTTTTCTTTTTCTTTATCGTTTTATCTGATCGATATGAATGCTTCTCAAGCCAGACTATCCTTGGTAGCAAAACATTTAACTACCTCATCATCACCAACAAATATAGTAAGAACAGCTACAGCGAAACCTCCTACTTTTAGAGAACGAAACGATTATAAATACTTTTTACCCATTCAAACCAGGTATTTCCCCTTTCCTATTTTTTTTTTTAGTTAATGGTTTTCATAAATATATTTTTTTTTTATATAGATGGACAGATAACGATCAATATGGACATATCAACAACTCTATCTACTATCATTATATTGACACTGTTGTGAATGAATATCTAATAAAATATTGTGGATTGGATCCTTTAGATAAGAGCCAGACGAAACCTATAGGCTTAGTGGTTCATTCTTCAGCCAACTTTTATGCACCTGCATCATATCCTTCAGTGATGGAAGCTGGATTGGTGATTTCTAAATTGGGGAAATCATCGGTTACTTATCGGGTAGGTATATTTGAAAAGAAAAGCAATAATGGCAATAACGACGAACATAATCTGGCTTCTGTTGTGGGTGGATTTACGCACGTGTTTGTGGATCCAAAAGCTAGAAAACCTGTGGTCTCTTTACCTACTGAAATCTTGGCGGGTCTTCAACCATTGATTGTTTGATTGATTAGTTTAGAATGTAGTTTATACCTCTTTTTATACGCATTTCAATAAACAAGTTTTTTTTTTTTTTTTTTTTTTTTGTAACATCCTCTCATCCATGATGATTACTTTTTATTTTGCAGTTTTTTCGCGATTTGTAGATTTTTTTTTTTTCTAGATTTTTGAAGAATAATTGTACCTGAATTTTGGCCAATGAAACTAGATAATTCTTGGTGCAGCTATTTTTGTCCGACTGCTATAAATATGTATTTATTTGTCATTGGAAAGAATAACAATAAAAGAGGAAGGATGGATTTTTTTTTCTTGGTTAAATAGATTGATTTATGATGAATGGCATAATTTGATATTAAGGACGTACAAGTACATCTTTTTCTTTAATGGGGAAGAAAAAGGGTTTTGCTGAATGAAGGAGAATGAAAGAAAATGATTGGCTGAAAGACAATTCGCTGCCACGTCAATTCCAGCGCAATTATAAAAAGGAATTCAATTTTTCCCTTTTTCAAACTTTTTCTTTTCTTTTCCCTTTTGAATATTTGTATTATCATCATCCTTAACATGAAGATTCCTACTATTGCTGCTATTTTAGGTCTTGCTGCCCTTACTTCTGCTGAAGTCTTTTTACATGAAACTTTCTCTGATGGTGAAGGTTGGACTAAGCGTTGGACTCCTTCTACTCATCGTGCCGATTTGGGTACCTTTGAAGTCTCTTCTGGAAAATGGTCTGTGGATACTGAAAAGAATGCTGGTCTTCGCACAACTGAAGATTATCGATTCTATGCTACTTCTACTAAGTTCAATAAGACTTTCGATAATAAGGATAAGGAATTTGTTGTTCAATTTGACGTGAAGAATGAACAAAACATTGATTGTGGTGGAAGTTATGTAAAGGTAAGCTAAACAAAAAAAAAAAATAAAGAAAATTATATATATATATATATATATATTTATAAAGTGTGATTGTGTGAACTTATGATATCATTATTTTATTTAGATCTTCTCTGACAAATTCGAACCTACCACATTCAACGGTGACAGTGAATACAACATCATGTTTGGTCCTGATATTTGTGGTACCAAGGCTATTGTACATGCTATTCTCCAATATAAGGGAAAGAATTATGATCTCAAGAAGACTGTTGCTGCTCCCACTGATGTTTACACTCATACTTATACTCTCAGCATCAAGCCTGATCAAACTTATCAAATCTTGGTGGATGGGGAAGAAAAGGCTGCTGGCAAGCTTGAAGAAGATTGGGACTTTTTACCCCCCAAGACCATTAAAGATCCTGAAGCCTCTAAGCCTGCTGATTGGGTAGATGAAGCTGAAATTGATGATCCTTCTGATGTCAAGCCTGAAGATTGGGATAGTATTCCTGAATTTATTCCAGATCCTGAAGCGACCAAGCCTGAAGATTGGGATGATGATATGGATGGCGAATGGGAAGCTCCTTCGTAAGTATAAAAGAGAAAAGGATTGAAGAAATAGAGACACTCATCTCATCCTTTTTTTTTTTAATTAATAGTATCACTAATCCTGAATACAAGGGAGTTTGGACACCAAAACGTATTCCTAATCCTGAATACAAGGGTGCTTGGGAACATCCTGAAATTGACAATCCCGAATACAAGTTGGATGACTCTATTTATCATTATACTTTCGACAATCTTGGTTTCGATTTATGGCAAGTCAAGGCTGGTACTATTTTCAACAACATTTTAGTGACTGATGATGCTACTGAAGCTAAGAAATTACGCGATGAATCTTTGGCTTTGGCAAAGGAAGAAGTTAAGGCAAAGGAAGCTTATGATGAACAAGAAAAGGCTAAACTCGAAGCTGAAAAACCTGAACAACCATCATCAAAAGAAACCGAAGAACCCATTGAAATCGATTTGGACGACCTTTCTGTGGAATCTGATACCAAGCCTGTAGAAAAGAAGGAAGAAGAAGTTAAGGAAGAAGTCAAGGAAGAAGTTAAGGAAACCAAGCCTATCAAGGACGAATTGTAGATATCCCCAATCCCCTTTTCTTAATATAATCATACATACACAATTACATATATTTTGTCACTCTCTCTCATCGCTTTTTAGTTTTAGTTTTTATTTTATCGTTTAAAAAAACTCATTTTGTTTAGTATCAATAATATTATAAAAAGTAAATAAAAAAATAAACAAACAAATTGAATTTATATTTTGTGTTTGCCATTTTGAAGTCATTAAAAAGATGTTGATATTATAAGGAAAGAGAATGATTACTTGATCGCGTTAAAATTGATGTGATAGTCAGGATGTTTTATTTTCATTTTAGGGAAATCCAGCCTTGTCGCATTGATTCAGTGGAAGAACGTTTACCATTGGATAAATTTCTTGAGAGGAACAATTTCAAAAGACAGACTTTTTTTTTTTTTTTTTTTTTTTGTCTTCCTTTCCTACTTCCATCATGGATCAGAAAAAAGGAGTTAAAAAGTTTACATTTGGTTTACCAACACGCAAACCTACGACTAGTACGAATACAACAAACGATCAACCTTCCGCAGTATCGTCTAGTAGCGGTTTAACAACAACCACTCTCAAGAGACAATCAAACTTGGACGGGCAGCTATCATCAACACCTACGACTGAAACGAAACGAAAACGAACCATTGAAGCCGACGATGAAGATGACTTTTTAATCAGTGCAGGTTTAGGTAAACAAAGGAAAGACAAAGTCATATAAGTGTTTACTGGTAACGTTGTGATTATTTACTATTATTATCATTTTTAGCTCCAACAAAAGTAAACAACCAATCTGAAACTACGACTAACTTGGATGAAGACGATCCGTTGGATGCATTCATGGCAGATATGACTGAACAAGCGAAAAAGTCTATTCCAGAACAAAAGGTAAAAAAAGCTCAAGATAATGAAAGATATGAAAGTGTATATTAAAATTAATTCTTTTTCGAATTAGGCTCGACGTGACGATTTAGAAGAAGAAGATGACATTGAAACATACGTACGACATATGAAAGATAAAGGTATTGTTATTGGCAAAACTGGAAGATCAACACAACGTGATGAAGTAAGTAAAAGGAAAAATGGTATTAATAAAAGAGAACTCATAGTGATTTTTTTTTTTTTTTTTTTACTTTGAACAGAATGCCGATTCTGATGAAGAAGTCTATGCAACTGCAGCAGCTGTAGACGCTCAATTACGATACGATTCGGATGATATGGATAACAACAATGTGGATGGACGAGGCAAGAAAGAAATTGAACCATTGGCACGTGTTGATCACGATAGTATTCAGTACCCAGAAATAGAAAAATACTTTTATCAAGAACATCCGGATATTACAGCAATGACAATGGAACAAACACAAAAAATTCGAAAAGATATTGGAATATATGTTTCTGGAAGTCAAGTAGCAAAACCTTGTATTTCCTTTGCTCATTTTGGATTCGATGAAGATTTGATGGCGGCTATCATCAAGGCTGGTTACACCGAACCTTCTGGTATTCAGAAACAGGCTATACCCGTGGCATTAGAAGGCAGAGATATCATTGGCATTGCAAAAACAGGATCTGGAAAAACGGCAGCTTTTGTATTACCTATGTTAGTACACATCATGGATCAAGAAGAGCTGGTTAAAGGAGATGGTCCCATTGGTCTTATCTTGGCTCCTACTCGAGAATTGGCAGTACAAATCTATTCGGAAACGAAGAAATTTGCAAAAGGTTATGGACTCAAGTAAGTAAAAAAAAAAAAAAGTTGTATACATTTTTGTTATTTATTTATTTATCATTTTTGATTTATAATTCAGAGTCGCAGCTGTTTATGGTGGTGCCTCGAAAATGCAACAATTTAAAGATCTTCGTAGTGGAACTGTGGAAATACTGGTGGCTACTCCTGGTCGATTGATTGATATGATCAAAATGAAAGCAACCAATTTGAGAAGAGTCAGTTATTTATGTTTGGATGAAGCGGATCGAATGTTTGATTTGGGATTTGGTAATCATGAAAAATGGAAATTCATTTTTATTTCATATACTTAGTATATCATTCCTTTCTTTATATATATATAAACAGAACCTCAAGTACGATCCATTTGTGACAATGTTCGACCTGATAGACAAAGTAAGTCATATATATATATATTTAAAATGCTACATACTAACTATTGTTTCTTTTAAGCCTTACTTTTCAGTGCTACATTCCAAAAAAAAGTAGAAAACCTTGCAAGACAAGTGACAACCGATCCAGTACGTATTAGTGTTGGTCAGTCTGGTCAAGCCAATGAAGATATTACTCAAGAAGTGGTTGTCCTGGAAGATGAATTACTGAAATGGGATTGGTTGATGCAATATCTTCCATCACTTTGCATAGGTAAGGAGACCAAAAAAAAAAAAAATAGAAATAAAACTAGAGAAAGTTATATTCACGTTATTTATTATAATTATTATTTTTATTAGATGGTAGCGTCATCATTTTTGTTTCTCGAAAAGGAGCTGTGGATCTATTAGCAAACAATATCAAGGAAGCTGGATACAGCGTCGGTGCATTACATGGCGATTTAATGCAGGTGGAACGAGAAAAAGTACTAAGAGATTTCAAAAGCAACAAATTGACGGTACTAGTAGCTACTGATGTGGCTGCTCGTGGATTGGATATCAAGGCGGTCAAGACAGTGATCAATTATGATATTGCTCGAGATATTGATTCACATACTCATCGTGTAGGCCGAACTGGTCGAGCTGGTGAAAAAGGAAAGGCAATCACTCTGATTACGAAAAAGGAAGACAGGTTTGCTGGTGAATTAGTGAATCACTTGGAAGGATCAAATCAATTGATACCAAAAGCATTGATGGATTTGGCTCTCTCCAATCCCAAGTTTCGACATCGTCATTCGTATCGTGGTGGTTATGGTCGTGGACGGGGTCGCGGTGGAAGAGGTCGTGGACGAGGTCTTGGTTTTAGAAAAGGAAAAGGTAAGGAAACAAGTCAAAAGTAATTCCATCATCTTACTTTTTTTTTTTTTTTTTTTTTTTGATAGATGCTACAGGGGCCAATAGGGAAGCATTGTCATCAGGATCAAGATACTCATCTATAGCTAACCCAATTCAATTTCAAAGACCTAGCTCATCGGCTTCCAGTTTACATACTGTACAACAAGGTGAAAAACAATTCCAGTGATCATAAGCGATAGATTTATATTCATATATTGTCCCTAGTTTTAGTTTACATTATCATTATTATCATTATTATTATTATTATTTGTATCAAATCCATCCATTAATAAAATACATTCGTCCATTTTTACTTTGGTTTATTTATCATTTGTTGATCTACTAATATATATTTGACTATTTTTTAATTATATTCAATATCAAATCATCATCACTACTATGCATCATCCAAATCAATATATATGATGAAGTTTTATTGAAGAAATAACTAAACTATGGATAAAAAAAAAGTATGCATCTATATGTTGTATATAAAAAAAAAAGAGATCTACAATACACCCTTTGTACTTGGTACATCATTAGTACCAGTAAGTTCCACAGCTTGACGAATAGCGACAGCCAAAGCCTTGAAAGCAGATTCAGATCTATTCAAATTACATCAAGAAGAAAAACCACATGAATTCAAATATCCTTCTACAAAAAAAAAAAATATGACTACTTACTTATGATGATCATTGGACCCCTTTAATACATCGACATGCAAGGTAATACCAGCACCAAAAGCAAAAGAAGTCAATACATGAGGAATCATTTCAGTGGACAAAGTACCAATCATTTCCCGTTTCAAATCAAGATTGATATCTGCAAAAGGACGACCAGAAATATCAACAACAGCACGTGCAAGAGCCTTGAAATAAATAAAAATAAAATAAATAAGTATGATATGTATATATCGTTTTCTTTTTGAGATTTACCTCATCCAAAGGACAAAAAGCTGAACCGAATCGTTTAATACCTTTAGGTGTTCCTAATGCTTTCTTGAAGGCCATACCCAATGCAATAGCAGTATCTTCAGCTGTGTGATGATCATCAATATGCAAGTCACCTTTACAATGAAGAGTCAAAGACCAACCACCATGTTTAGCAAGAGCATGATACATCTTTTAGAAAAACAAAACAAAAATAGGTGAGTCATAGCTGTCACAACAATATTGATCTTTTTTTTTTTTACATGATCCAGAAAACCGATACCAGTATTGATTTCAATTTGTTGATCGAATTTGGAATCCAAGTTCAAAGAAAGGTTAATATCAGTTTCATTTGTCTTTCGGGTGACTTCACTGGAGCGAGGAATAATACTCATATCTGATAATGTAACAAGGAAAGAAAGAAAAGGAAAAAAAAAAAAAAATAGCGATAAGATGGAAAATTTTATTACCTTGGTGCAGATTATTCGTTTTTGGAATTCCGTTTTGTTAAATTTCGAGATTTTTTTATATTCTTTTCTTTTTTCTTTCATAAACTATTATACTTTTTTTTTTTTTTTTTTTTTTTGTATCATACCCTATCTTTCTTATTTTATATACAATCCCTATTCCAGTGACTTATATAAAACAATACCTTTTTTATGATGACTTTGGTTAGTGATACTAATACTCCACCACCACAACCTCCACCGCACCTCGTTATGAACTCTTCTCTTGCCCAGGAAGATACTGGTTCAACAACTCCTCCACCTCCTTATACTTTTAATTCAACTCGTCAAGAAACTAATCAATCAACTGATACTGTAAGAATATAAAATAAACATTGTTTCACGAGTCATTCACGTTTTTGACCTTTCTTTTTATATATATAGCAAAGGATAACACCATCGAATCAACCTGATTTCTCTTTATTGGATTTGAATCTATTTGAAACATGCAAATCAACAACATCCTATTACAGCAGTTGCGTGATCGAAGATAGATTTCTTTTATTGGGACACTCTACGGATGGTTTACAAGTAGTGGATTTGAAGGCATTAAAAGATCAACAAAAGCCAAAAACCATCATATGGATTCAAGCTCGTCAGTTGAAACTCTTATCTAGTTGTGGTCTTTTATTGGTATTACCTGACCGAATGAAGAAAGTACGGTGTTATTCCTTGTCAGCTATTGTTAGGCTTTGTTATGGTGTTCTTGAATTGGAATGGACGAGCCACTGTACGACAATCTACCCCCTCGGGAATCTTCACACGTGGTGGCAACATACATCATCATCATCATCATCATCATCATCATCAACAACTTCAACAGAACAATTAGACTCAACAATAACATCATCATTATCTACTTCTTCATCGAAACCTCTTGTTACACTCAATGGTAGTTTAAGGAAACGATATATGTGGGAAAACAAAGTAGCTTTAGAAGATTTTTGTTACAAATTGCCAAATACCAAAGATGCAATCTCTATTCATCTCTATCAAACAAGTGGTTATGTCTTTGTGGCCATTCTTCAACGCGATCGTATCCTTTTGTGGCAACAACAACGAAATCAGCAACGACCCCTTACTCTATTGAAAGAATTTTGGATTCCTGCGGAAGCACAGACTATCTCATTTGCGGACGATCGTGTGACTCTGCGGCATATTGTGGCAGTATTTCCTCATGGAGCATCTTTGATCAGTATTCAGAATAGTAAGGTGAAAACTGTCCCAATTGACGCTAAACTAGAGCAACTTTACCAGGCGGCTTGTTTTCGACAACAATATGCATATCATGGATTATTGACAACAACGAATCATCAAAATCATCCATCATCATCACCATCATCAATATCGACAACCAGATTCACACGATCTCATTCAACAGGAATGGGTACTTCATCTCGTTCTGATCTTCCTTTCGTTTCAACATCATCATCATCAACATCATCATCATCATCATCATCAACCACAACAACGTTAGCATCTTTAGCATCATCATCTCGTCGACCTCTCAGTTTCAATGCGCCTTCACTACAATGGACATCCTTAATTCAGCTTCCTTTTTATCCTGATGGTCTTGCCTCATTAACAATGGAATTCTCAATCCCACCTTCCTATGACACTGTGATGACACGCACGCCCTTTGAAGCCACAGATGCAGTGGCAGTACCAAGCATGACAGCTCCACAACTCTTTTTCGCCACATTTGGATGTCATAGTATGATCATTGACATGAACGGTGTTCTTTTCTCGACACAAGTCTATAGCTGGCCTGACCCTCCTGATGGCCATATTGCCTTTTTGCCATTACGACCCAACGACTGGTACGCAGTAGGATTTGCAAAAGAAAGTGTGAATGTGATGCACATGACATCTGCAACTTCTCAACGTATTATGGCTGGTGTCACCGTACGTTATCTTGGTCAATCTGGTGATTCTTTGATTTGGTCCTGTATAGATGGCAAATCCAATCAAGTGTATTCTCTCTCACGGTCTTCTTCGTTAGAATAGTTTTAGTATTATTCTTATTATTATTATACGATACCAAATAATCAATTGTATTCATATCCTGTTACATTTGTTTTTAAATAAACCCTACTACATTCCTTTTTTTTTTCTTATTGGAACATTGTATGTTGAAATAGTTCAAAATATAACAAATCAATGACAAAAAAAAAAAAAAAAAAGTAAAAACTTTATTTGAAGAGAATACGGTGAAATATACATGGCAAATTCAGGGAGATCAGCCGAAAGATAATAAAAAAATAGAATAAATAAATAAAAAAAAAAATCAGTCAACTATCTACATGACATATTCCTGGAGGCCAATCCATTAAAATAGATAAATAATAAGGAAAATAAAAGGCAATATATACAGGTATATAGATAAGAAGGAGCTAATCTAATTCAACCTACAATTATTATTATTTTTTTTAAAAAAAAAGAAAAGTCAGTTCATCATATTTTTTTTTATATCTCTTTACTAGTAATTGACTTACGATTTTCTACACTGGTCACTACCACATGAGCAAGGTATCTTGTTGGTCTCCAAAGGAAATTTGTAATCATAGGTTATTTCTTCCCCAGGTTGGATATCCCGATTGGCATAAATGATGATCCGTTTCGTTTTATTCACTCTGATAATCTTCGCACAACAATTGGGCTAATAAAAAAAAAAAAGTCAATCCAAGTTTCCAATTCATCTATCTTTTTTTCTTCTTTTTTCACTTACGGTACAGCAATGATTAATATATCGAGCCAAGTTGCCTTTCACCGTTGCATCCACGACTAGATCATCATCCACGCGAAATAAATAACTACTACCTATTCCACGTTGTTCATATTCTCGTTCACGATGATTGGCCACTTGTTGTCGGATTCTTTCCCCAAGATATTCAATGACAAATTCATGTTGTAATATAGGATCCATGGCAAATAATCCCCAGTCATGAATACGTGATTTGTTGAACTTGAGTCGTTTTTTTTGTTTACATAATTCCTTGTACTTGATCGTATCGTTGGCAATGGATAAGCAATATCGTTTCTTTTCATTATCCAAACTTCCTCCTCCTTCTTCTTCTTTTGTTTTGGTGACTGTTGATGATGATCCATTGTGTTCATTATATGGTCGTGTACGTGCACATTCCACTTGATGACTTGTGTCCATCGTATCCGGTATAAATGAGTATTGTTCCAAAATAGCCAATCGCATCCATTCATAATCTTCTGCATCCTTGACCAGATCAAATGGGTTGTTACTTGAAGTTGTCTTGTTTTCGTCATCATTATTATTATTATTATTATTATCATCATCATCAGAATATGGGGATAATAATGCAGATTCATACCTTTCACGTGCCAATCGCTGTGATTCTTTTCGAGCTTCCTCTTCCAATTTGTTCTTGTTCAGTGGTTGATGCTTAGTATACTTTCCCTTCCGTTTTCGGCTTTTTCGTCGTGATACTTGTATACTGTCATCCAGGATAGTGTCTTCAGTCTTTGGTGATAAAATTGGTGTGATCGTCTCTGGAGCTGTTGTCAACGCATGAATCGAGACAGGTCGTGACATAGACAATGATGAGGAATGAACTATTGGGGTTGATTGTGCTTGAATTGAAGGAGTGGTAGAAACGGAAGACTGTATGAAAGGAATAGATGGCAACTGGTATGGTTGAGAATAAGCGTAATACTGTTGCTGTGGCTGTTGGTGTTGAAACGTTGAATAAAGTTGATTTGCAGATGATAGTATGTTGCTACTATAAGCCCATGATGCATTTAAAGGATAAGATGGAAGTGGAGACATTGCTGTTGTTGGTAATGGTGAGTAACTGTAGTTGGTAATAGGTAGAGAAATATTTTGTTGATGAGTTCCAGGATAAAATGGATGGACATGGTTAACAGGATGGGACGAAAGAGAAGGTTGTATCGCGTCAATACTTAAGTAGTACGAGCCATTTGTACCCATACGACCTTTATTGTCATAAGTACTTGAAAAGGATGGTGGTAACGTCATAGCATTTTAAGCATAAAACAACGAAAAAAAGGAGGAAAGTAAAAAAAAAAAAAAAAAAAAAATAAGCGGGAGGAATTTAAAAAAAAATCACCTCTTCCCCACTTGTTATGTTGATCAATGGCAAATCTGGTTCACACTGTATAAAATTGAAATAAAAAGCCACGTCTACTTTTTTTTTTTTTTTTTTTTTTTTTTTTTTTTTCGCAAACATCCCTTATTTTTGCAGAAATACAAATCAAACGCCGTCGTACACTCCATTGGTCCCAATCATCTATCAGACTCCCAATGAAAATGGGCCCTCAAATAGAGATATCCAAATATGGTCAAGAGAGGACTCAACTGTAGTAAGCAAATGCGCTTGATTTGTCACAAAATTAAAATATCTCACGATAGACCCAATTCAGAACTAAACGATATTGACTCACTTCATCATCATTTTTTTATTATTATTAACAATCAATATTATATTGATCAAGAAGTCTTTTCAAATATCATCTAATCAAGAATAGATACCTTCATATTAATAATAAAGTAAACATCTTGCTTCAATAAAGGTATTATATTTTCATGTTAAGATGAAAGGGAAGCGGAGGTTAAATATTGGTTTATATCTATTGAGTACTCATATATAAAAAGGTTGAATTGCTTCCCAATCAATTTCTTTCTCTTTTCTTTCACTTATCTTTTCTTTTTTTTTAATTTTTTATTTCTTTAATTTTAATAAAATATAAAATGGCTCAAGCTGATATCCAAACTGCTCAATTATCTAATGGAAAATCTATCCAAGGTAAATATTAAAAACTAGTAGTTTGATCGTAATGCAGCGTCTAACCTTATTTTATTTTCTTTATTCAAAATAGTACATACTCAACTCTTTATCAATAACCAATTTGTGCCTGGTAATGGTCCTATGCTTGAAACCATCAATCCTGTCAATGAACAAGTGATTTGCAAGATCCATTCTGCAAGCGAAAAGGACGTCGATGCTGCTGTGGAAGCTGCCAACAACGCGTTCAAGAATGTATGGAAGAAAGAAGCTGCTGCTCAACGTGGTCGTTTACTTAACATTCTTGCTGACTTGATGGAACGAGAAAAGGATGAATTAGCTACCTTGGAAGCTCTTGACAATGGAAAGTCATTTGTTGTTGCTCGTGATGTTGATGTCACTGATTCTATTGCTTGTCTCCGTTACTTTGCTGGTTGGGCTGACAAGATTCATGGTCATACTATTGAAACTACTTATGATAAGATGTGTTACACTCGCCATGAACCTATTGGTTGTGTTGCTGCTATTACTCCTTGGAACTACTCTATCATGATGCCCGTAAGTAAATAAACATGGGAAAAAAAAAGAAAAGAAACTTGGTTATTTCATATTTGTCTCACTTTCTCTTTCCGATTAGATTTGGAAACTGGCTCCTGCTTTAGCTGCTGGTAACACAAGTAAGTGAATGATCTCTTAGATTGCTATTACTTTTTTTTTTTTTATTTTTTTTCTCATCCTTCTTTATCCTATTTATAGTTGTACTCAAGACTTCAGAGGTAACCCCATTGGCTATGCTCAAGGTTGCTGAACTCATTGTGGAAGCTGGCTTCCCTGCTGTAAGTACATAGAGATAATACATTTTTTTTTTATATGGGAGAAAGAAAGGAAACTAAGTAGTGTCTCTCTCTATCTATATATAGGGTGTTGTTAACATTATTACCGGTCTTGGTCATATCACTGGTTCTCATCTTACTGGCCATCCTGGTGTGCACAAGATGGCTTTCACTGGTTCTACTGTCACTGGTCGTCGAGTTATGGATGGATCTGCCAAGAGTAATCTTAAGAAGGTCCAATTAGAACTTGGTGGTAAATCTGCTCAAATCGTATGTGCTGATGCTGATCTTCAAAATGCTGCCATTCAATCTTGTGGTGGTATCTTTAACAACCATGGTCAAAGTTGCAATGCTGGTTCTCGTATCCTTGTCCACGAAGATGTTCATGATAAATTTTTGGAATTGTTTATTGCTGAAGCTAAGAAGATCAAGGTGGGTGATCCTTTCGATCCTGAAGTTAGTCAAGGTCCTCAAATCAACAAGGCTCAATTCGACAAGATCCTCGATTATATTGAAATCGGTAAGAAGGAAGGTGCCAAACTTGTCCATGGTGGTCGTCGTCTCTTTGATAAAGGTTACTTTATTGAACCTACTGTATTCACTGGCTGCCATAACAATATGCGTGTGATGCGTGAAGAAATTTTTGGTCCTGTTGTTGCCATTGCTACTTTCAAGACTATTGATGAAGCTATTGAAATTGCCAATGATTCCGATTATGGTCTTGCTGGTGGTGTTTATACTAGTAACATTGATACTGGTATTATTGTCTCTAACAGTTTGGAAGCTGGTACTATCTGGGTGAACTGGTAAGGGAACATAATAAAAAAAAAAAAAAAGAGGGATGTGATGATTAACTTTTATTATTATTATTATTATTATTAGTTACGATGTATTTGATCAAAGCACTCCCTTTGGTGGTTATAAACAATCTGGTTTTGGCAAAGAATTGGGTTTGGATAGTTTGAAGGAATATTCTCACATCAAATCTGTTAAGATTCAACTCTTATCTCGACTTTGATTTAGTTTAGTTTAGTTTCATTGGTTGTTTAAATAGGAATCCTTTTATGTGTATAAATTATGTAATAAAGAAAACAATACTATTCATGAATAATTATTCTATTCGTCTCTCTCTCTCTTTTTTTTTTTTTTTATGACTGATCCTTTCCATACGAAGCGTGTTTATTTTTCTTTTTCTGCGTTATGATTAGAGACTTGTTTGCATTGGTGATTCTTTTTTTATATTACGGAAACGGATGATATCAATAGAAACTTTTTTATTCTTTATTATAGTCTCTTCTTATAATGATCATAGCTAAATCAATAATTTGATCGTTTTGGAAGCTTGGCTATCAAAAATGATTCAATGAATAATTCCAATGAATAAATTCGGTTGAAAGTATTAAAAAAAAAAAAAGACTCACCATATTTCTCTTTCTATTCATTTTTGTATATTCTCTTTTTGGTATAATCAATACAACGCAATCACCCTTTTTTTTTTTTTTCTCATCTGTAAACCATATTATTCAATTACGTAAATTATCTATTCCTCTCCGCCAATTCTTATGAAAAAAAAAAAATCAGTAACGGGATGATCATAGAAAATACATACATCAATTAAAATTATCTGGTCTCAACTTTTAGTGTCATAAGCAGCAGCAGGTCACTTTTGGTTTGATATTCCGTTTGTCCGGTCAACCCGAGAGTCACCTCAATGACGTCTGGAAGAGAGCGGAGAAAGAAACAAAATAAAAAAATTGGGAAGGGTGAAGGGGACTGGGGGGATGGAAATCTATTACGATAAAACAAGCTAACTCTTTTTTTGTTCCTCACTTTTTCTCCATTCACAACCCTTCTCCCCACTCTTCTTTTTTTTTTTTTCTTTTTTTATATTATATTATAATGTCTCTTCGTCTTGCAACCCCTACTCTTCGTTCCACTGCTCGTCTTCTGACTCGTCAACAACCTATGGGTTTGGTCAAGATCCATTCTTGTAAGTCTTTTATCATTTCATACGTAGTTGATTATTTATTATCATTAAAAGATCGACGTTTTTTTTTTGGTAACCTTTTTTTTTTTTTTTTTTTTAATAATGTGTAGCTGTTCCTTCTCAAGTCAATGCTGTTACTACTCCTCCTACCGATCGTCTTCATGGATCTTACCATTGGGATATTGAACGTGGTGTAAGTTTAGCTTTGGTCCCTATTATTGGTGCTCAACTTACTATGGGTGCTTCTCCTGTCACTGATACCCTTCTTGGTGTTGTCTTGCCTCTTCATTTACATATTGGTAAGTCAAACTCAAAATACTGTTTGATAATAGAATATTAACTTTTATATGAACAAAATAAATAGGGTTCGATGCTTGTATTACTGGTACGTAATCATTCGCTCGTATACACACACACATACGAATTCATATATATATATATACGACAAAAGATGAAACGGAATACATTATGGAAACAATACCATGTACTCATGCTCCTTTTTTTTTTCCTTTATGCAAATATTTATATATAAATAATATATATAGATTACTTCAATTCTCGCAAGGCTCCTATTCTTGGTAAAGTGATGACCGCTACTTTGTACGCTTCCACTGCCGCCACTCTTGTTGGTTGCTACCAATTCAACACAAACGACATTGGTATTACTGAATTCCTTGCTCGTGTATGGACTGCTTAGATATATCTCTTTTATTATTATTATTCTTGAACGTTGGGTCGAGTTGGATGGTCGTTGAAATAAAAAATCTTTTTTTTTTTTACTCGATTGTCTTTATCATTGTTAAATAAAATCTGTTTTTTTCCTTGTTATACGGATGATGATCCTATAGTTGATGTTGATCTTTGTCATGATTTGATCTTTCTATAATAATGATAGATGTTGAGCAAGTTAGATATTGTTAACATTAAATTTATAAATGAAGATCTAATGATATATTGTATATATCGTAGTTGATATGGCTGTTTTCACAGATGTATATATATAAGATAATATATAAAAAAAAAAAGATAACATAGTTTGATTTATTATAAAAGTCATCAAGGAAGAGACAGAGAGAGAGAGAGAGAGAAAAAAAAAAAAAAGAGGGATAAGAGAGGGGAATCGAGAAGCAGCTAAACTAAGTGTACAAGGAGTAAAATAGTTCATGAATAATACAAGATTATCACTAATCTCGTTGCATAGCATTCAAAATTTGTAAGACACGAAGGAATAAGTTGATGAAATCCATGTAAAGACTAACTGAGGCCATGATATAGTCTTCAGGAGAATACTGATTGAAGATCAAGTAGGTGTCAAAGATGATATAACAACTAAAGAGAATGACTCCACCAACAGCTAAAGCCAATTGGAAAGTTTCAGAAAAAGGAATGAAAATCTGAACAATTCCCGCCAATAACAAGATGGATAAACCGGCAAAAAGGAAAGGAGCCATACCACTAAAGTCCCATTTGGATTGTAATGTGAATAAAGTCAATCCAACAAAAACACCAAGAGTAATAATCAATGCTTGAAGTACAATTTCCTTGTCATAAAACGTCACTAATAAATAGATAGATATATAAAAAAGAAAATGTAAGAGAAAAAGATTTATCCTCTTTTTTTTTTTTTTTAATAGACTTTACCGACAGTACCAACAAGGTGACCTTCCAACATGGTAAATAATGCCAAGAGGTAATAGTTCAAAGGAGTGGATCTTGCCTTCCACATTAATAAAAATAAAACACCCAAGGAACCAATTCCGGATACTAGTAAGAGCCATGGACTAAAGAAGAAGAAAAAAAAATGAAACAAAATTAGTTCAAAAAAGAAGAAGAATATATGCCAAGCTTCCAGTTTACATACTTTGATTGTACCCAAGATTTGATGGAAATATTATACATGTAGATAGAAGACAAAATAGCAGTACTCAATAACTGGACAGATAGAATAGAATATACCTTTCGTACAAATTCTACCAAAAAAAAAAAAAAAGGAAGAAGGTTAGACCAAAAACCATGTAACTTCTTTTTAAAAATCCAAAAAAAAAAAAAAAAAAAAACTAGTGACATACGCATACGAATATCGACACTACTATTGACTACTTTGAATATATCATCCGTTTCATTGCCACCCATCAAAGGTTGATTGGCTTCAGCATCGTAAGCAGGAGGAGGCGCAGTATAGTGTTGCTGATAAGACATTATTAACAGTAATGAGAAAGAAAAAAAAAAAAAGGAAACAAAGAGAAAAAGAAGGAAAAAAAAAGCATCTCACTGAAAAAATAACCGTAGTTTTAAAGTCCGTCACTTCCATTTTATGGTTTGGGGGTCCACCTAAAAAAGTTTTTTTTTTTTGTATCATTCCATTACTTTATTTCTTGTCTTTTTTTTCTTTACATTTATCTTTTGATCAATATGCCCAAAGTTCAAAACAAAAGGACTTTAAAAAATACGACAATTGGTAAACCACAAATCACAAAGAAGACTAATATTAATGATACTACAGTAAGAAAATATATAAAGTTGTTTTCTTTTTAAAGGACTAAAGATTAATCTCAAAATGTTACATGTAGATAGAGGCATCAGTGTCCAACAAACCTATTATTAGTAAAGCAGCGAAAAAGAAACAACGGCATGAAGAATGGATGGAAAGTATGTTCATAAGTTTTGATATATAAAACAGTATAATAACAATAAATTTGTTTATATTAGAATTGGACTATGCTTATGCAGCAAGGAAGAAACAGAAAAAGTTGGAAAATCGACAAGGTGCATTGAATAAAGGATTTAACGATTTTGAACTTATTTTACAAACCATTCAAAAGGAAACACCAGAAACAAATAATACATCATCAACAAATACAACTACCACGCCTCCTGCACCTGGATCCCATATTATATCCTCTGATAAAATCAAAAGTAAATCAGCTAAGAAGAAGGCAATGTAAGTGGATATAAATATATTGAATTTTTAATGTTTATTAATGAATGTTTTGATGAATAGGATACAAGAAATGGCTCGATTCCAAAAAGTGATGCAGCATAGTGCGTTTAAACAAGATCCTTTATCAACCATCAGACAACATGTACAAAACTCATTCAAGTAAATATAGATAATATGTCAGATGGTACCTTCATTCTTTTTAACTTAGACTCAATAAAAAAAAAAACTCTATGCATTCCCTTATATGACAGACGGAGTTATTATGTTTTATGTTTGTTCCTTTTTGGGATTATTGTTTTTTTTTTTTTTTCTAATTTCTTAAAACAAATCTTTTTATCTCGCTTTATCTATAAAACTTTTTACTTTTTTTTTTTTCTCTTCTTCAATTGTTATTTACGGCTATAAATATATAAACGTTATGTTTCAAGGTCAACCTATACGGACAAAAGATGAATTAACGAAACTACAAGATCAATATACTCGATCAAGATTACATCCTCGATGTTGTGGTTGTTTTCCCAATTGGTTTGGAAGTCTTTTAGGCTCGTTGATTATGTCTGTAAGTTATAAAATATATATATTTAAAAGAATTCTTTTAACTGACTATAGAAATTTTGATTCGTTTATTATAGGGTTTCAGCTTTTACTTTGGAGTATTATCATTTATGCAAACAAGTCGTAAGTTAGTGAATATAATTTTTACCGCATAAATAGTTATATTTTAATATATATTATTATTAGCTTTTTTCTCCAATCTTGCTACTGCTCCATTAATTGTATTTGGTGTTATCAATATCATCTTTGGTTTGGTCACCCTTTTTACATTTATCATGATTGTGATTTCGGTAATACTAAATAAATTCAAATCAAATCTAATAATAATAATAGTTTGTTCATTTTATATATATATATATATTTATATTAGCATCGTGTATTCGATAGACACCTGGTTTATCTACTTGGAGTGACATCAGCAGCAGTGGTTGTAGATGCATTCGCCAACTTTGTTTATTTTGTTGCAAATCCAAAAGCTTTTCAAGATTGGTGTATATCTGATGGATTATATCAAATACAAGATAGTGTCAATATGAATACTACAATCCCTTTGACAACTGATTATTATAATTGTGAACGATTATTCAATGATGAAATCAAATGGTCCTTATTATGTGTTGTCCTGATATTTTTACTTTACGTATGTATAGGAAAAAAAAAAGAAATTTATAATAATAAATACGTTTACTTATTTTATATGGATGCTATATCCTTTTTCTTTTTTTTTTTTTTGATGATGAATATCATCTTAGGTACATTGGACTGTTTTTATTGCTACTTTTATTGGAAAGGTGTTCATTCCATATGATCCCATGCTTATTGTACCTGATCCTATACCTGCTATGGAAGCTGTTCAACCTCATATTATGGCCAACATTGCACCTTCTTCCTCTCAACAACAACAAGTAGAAGAAACCTATTATCATAATGTCAAACCCGGTGGACCAAATCCTTTGTTGCCTATTGATCATGGACGGCGCACTTTGAACTCGGATAAAATATTGATTGGGCCCATTGGAGTCACTAGTTAGGATGTTTTTTTTTGGTTGTACAATAACAAATCAGTGACACATTCCTCTCTTAGAATTAGAACATGGTCTTTTATCTGATCCCCCTTCGACATATATTACGATCATCATCCTCATTCCTATTTTTATTACCCCATAACCAATGTACATTACATCACTTATTTTTTTTCTTCTTCTTCTTTTCTTTATTTAATAAACTATTTAAAGTTTTATCCATACCATTTTTTTTTAAATCTATCAATGCCATATTTATCTCATATTTCCAAAAACATTGAAGTTTTGAAAATACCTGGTAACAGATTGTAACATCGCTCCAATGAGATATCTAAAAAGGTAACTCTTTTTGTAAAACATTGGCAATGGATTTGATTCGCCGGTGAAAACTGATTGTCACTTAGAAAAAAGAAATCCAGGAAAAGTGGAATGACAAAATATAAAAAAAAAGGTTGTCAACGTGCTTGAAGTAAACCAATTCAAATCGTTGTTTGTATGAACGTGATGATCAAATCATTATAGTTATACTTTTTTTTCTTTTTCTTTTTTTCTTTCTATGCACTGAGACTTACTTAAATTATCTTGTATTCGATTTTCCTCATCTATATAAAGTCAATGTTAAAATTGGCGTTTTCCCTTTTTTTTTTTTGTTTCTTTCTTTCACTTTTAAATTCACTTGATCCATCATCATCATGAAGACTAGTCTTCTTGCTGTTTTATCTTTGAGTGTCATTAGCTCAACTGTACTGGCTGGCGGTCATTCTTCTTACAAATTGATCCCTGATCCTGAAGGTCAATATCCTCGTCTTGGTGCCTGTCCAGACAAAGTGGCATGTATTTTCCCACCTACAGAGTAAAAAAAAAAAAAAATCTATCACCCATTTCCATCATCTATTTCTTTTTTAATACTCAAGTCTTCTTTTTATTCTTTGTATCATCATAGATCACAATTTGTCGCTGGCGGTCTATTCGATTTGAGAGTGGAACTACATGCTTATAATGAAGATGTCAACAAACCTGCACCTACTCCTTATAAATCCTTCAAAACATTGGTGCGTAAAGAGAACGAAGATTGGGTGGATGCAAGTAAATATTTCCATCAACCCCTGCCTACTATTGAAAACTGGAATTTCAACTGGACCCAATCACTTGAAGTTGAATATGCCAAATTATTACATTCGGGTGCTCATCCCGTCAAAGTTAATGTTGCCAGTCGTGCTTGGCGCAAGCTCCAATTTGATCGTCCTGGAACTTACTATGTCAAGGTGGAATATGCTAAGAAAAAGTCTTATACTGTTCGCTATAAGGTTGTAGAACCTAAACGTCCCAAGAAGAAGGCAAAGAATGTGATTCTTTTCATTTCCGATGGTACCAATACAGCTACGGTAAATCTATATGAAGGGAAAAAAAAAGATATAGGATGATTATATTAATCTTTTTTTTTTTTTTTTTGGGTTGAATCATCTATCTAGATTACCGCTGCTAGAGCAATCGCACGTCAACATACTTCGGGCAAATATAAAAATTTATTATCCTTTGAAGAATTTGATCATTTGGGTCATGTCATCACCAATTCTGTTGATAGCTTGTTGACTGATTCTGCTAATAGTGCTTCTTCTTATGCCACTGGTCATAAAAGTAGTGTCAATGCTCTTGGTGTTTATGCTGATTCCTCTGCAGATCCTTTTGATGATCCCAAGGTATTGTGCATAGTATGATGATCATGAGATGAATGATTTACCCCACCATTTTTTTTTATAGGTGGAAACCATCACTGAGTTGATCCGCCGTCGCCAACCCAAAAAAGGTAAGCATTTTTTTTTTTTTGATTTCTGAAACGTTTTTCTTTTTTTCTTTTCTTATTTTTTTCTTTTTCATTCCACTATAATAGCTATTGGTATTGTTTCCACTGCTTATAGTCAAGATGCCACTCCTGCTGCATTCTACACCCATACTCGCAAACGGGATACTTCAGCTGATATTGTTGATCAATTACTTCATGGTGTGAAGAACTGGACTGCCCCAGGTAATGAACAAGAATAAAGGTTGGTTATACAACTTAAGAATGTCACACTCACCTTTTTTTTTTTTTTTGGTCATTTTCTCTAGTTCTTCCTGATGTTTTCCTTGGTGGTGGATCAGAATACTTCTCTGGAAACAAAAGTTTAAATGGCAAGGACTATTATAAAGAACTTACCAAGGCTGGCTACAAGTCTGTATTTAATAAGAAAGATCTCAAGAAATATAATGGCAAGGACAAGTTGTTTGGTGTATTCCGTCAAGGAAATCTCGACACGTAAGTCCTTCTTATTATTATCTTTGATATCTATATCGACCAAGTATTCACTTTCCTAATAATTTTGATAGATGGCATGAACGAAATGTTTATGTTAACAACACTGTGGGTAACAAGGCACATCCTGATAACAGTGGTAAAAAGGATGCCTTGGGTTCTGATCAACCTGGTTTGGTGGATATGACTGTCAAGGCTTTGGAGACCCTCAAGAAACGTGGTGGTAAAGATGGCTTTTTCTTGATGAGTGAAGCTGCTTCTGTTGACAAGAAGGTAAGTGTATAATACATGATATATTTAGTTCTATTTACTTTAACGTATCTAATTTTCTATTATCTGATTAGCTTCATACTTTTGATTATCCTCGTGCTTTTGCTGATCTTATTGAATTGGATGTTACTGTCCAAAAAACTGTGGAATGGCTCAAGGTATATGATAGTACAAAAAATGATAATAGTAATTGTAAATTAATCATTCCTTTTTTTTTTTTTTTTTTTTACATAAAAATAGAAAAACGGTGAATATGATGATACTTTGATCCTTGTTACTGCTGATCATGCTCATTCTTTTGATGTATATGGTACCGTTGATGCCAACTTTATGCGTAAGGCTAAGACCGAAGATGAAAAGACAAGTGCTATTGGTGTCTATCAATATGCTGGTTTCCCTGGTTACTTCGATCATGATGGTGATGGATTCCCTGATAACTGGAACCCCAAGATTACTCTCTCTGCAGGTAAAAAAGAAATATAAATACTAGTCTATGATATACTCTCTTGCTCACATATCTATTCTTTTTTTAAAAAAAAAAAATAACCAAAGGAACAAACAATGGACCTGCTCATTATGAAGCTTGGCAAATCTCTTCTAATGCTCCTCGTTATCCTTCTATTACGGATGATCATGGTGTGATCGTTCCCAATCCTAGTGATATGGCTGGTAACTTTGGAAATGGTCTTTTGGTGAACAATAATTTACCCCATGGCAATAATCAAGGTGTTCATTCTATGAGTGATGTTTTCATTTACTCCAATGGTAAATAATGAAAGGGAACATGTGTAAATGAAAATAGTAATTGATGATGATTGTTTTTTTTATTTATAGGTCCTTCATCTTCTCTATTCTCTAAAACCAAGGAAAACTGGGAACTTTATTTCGCGGTAAGTGTCAAAATAGGAGTAACAGAAGAAAAAAAAAGAAAAGAAAGATGAGTGATGAAACTAATGGGTCTATTTGTATAGATGGTGGAAGCCATGGATTTAGGTCGCAAGCATTAGAATTTACTACTTTTTCTTATTTATCTTTATTAGTTTAGTTTAGAAGTGTAATAAAACAAAATAATGTACTGATTAGAGAATAAGTTTGGATAATCAATATGTTTATCATTCAAAAAAGTGTATAAATCCCAAAATGGAAATACTCCTGTATAGACTTGGGCCAAAATTTTCGCACTGAGCATGAAAACACAAAGAGTCACGACTCTTTCTCTTCCCTTTTCTTTTTTCTTTCTCTTTTTCTTTTCACTGTCTTTGATCTATTTAGGTTCATTAGTATTCTGAAATATGGTCAAGATATCAACTGAATTCATTTCCATTGGTTGCAATCGAACTACTCATGCATGCGCTTGGAGTTCTAATGGTCTAGTTGGATTTGGTGCTGACAAGTTTATTGCCCTTTACTATCCTTTGGTAAGAAAGAAAAAAAAAAATTAAAAAGTTTTCCAAATGTTTCCTTAGTAGATCTTATCTAACTTTTCTACTCTTCTTTTCTTTTCTAGGATAAAAATTGTCAAGGCATCAAAGAAACTCTTCCTGGCCATAAGGATCGTGTTATTTGTGTAGAATTCATCGAAAGAGGTTAGTCAAGGAAACTTAATGAAATATATATATATTGGTGCTCACCGTTATCTATTCTTTCTTTATATACTGACTATTTAGGTTATCAATCCAATCCTGATCAACTTGTTATTATCTCTGGATCAGCCGATCATACAGCTAAAGTGTGGAAACAAAATGGACAAAATGAATGGACTTGCTCGGCAACTCTTACTGGATTCACTGGTGCTGTGGAAACTATTGCAACTTTACATACTGAAAAGGTTGCAGAAGACGCCAAAGATTTAATTGTGACTGGATCAGCAGATGGAAAAATTCGTATTTGGGAACGAACTGTCAAAGATCAAGATACTGGTAGGGAACACAAAACAGATTCGTCCCCTTTTTTATTTTTGGACAAGAGACTTATAATGATTTTATTTCATATATAGATGATGTGATTTGTATTCAAGAACTTAACTGTGGAAACAAGTATCCAATGTCACTGGCTCTTGCTTACCTTCCTGGAACAACAAGTACGTTATAATATATATATATATATAGAAAGAAGAAAATACTCACTAACACTTCCTGTTATTACGATAGTTCCTGTGATTGCTAGTGGTCATACGGACAAAGTGATCAACATTTATATATATCAACAAGGTTCTCAATCATTCGAAAAGGTCTACACTCTCCAAGGTCATGATAATTGGGTACGATCTTTAGCTTTTGCAACTTACACAGGCACATCTGCTGATCATGATGCAAACAACAATAACAATAGTAGTAGTAAAACACATACTCTTCATACTGGTGATCTTGTTTTAGCTAGTGGATCTCAAGATAGATTTATTCGAATTTGGAAAATATCACCCCACTCAACTGAACCATCTTCCAACGATATTGAAGAACATCAACAAGAAACAGGATCAAGTGATTCCAATATTATTACCAATGACTTGATTGAAGCTTTGAAAGAAAGTGCACTGTAAGTAAAAAAAAAAAAAAAAAAAAAAAAAAAAAAAAAAAAAAGATTGAATTTCAATACAATATGCTAATACTATTTTTTTTTTTTTTGAAATAGCACTGGTGAAGAAGCTGAACTTAGTACAAAGGCACATTTGATCAAGGCAGATATTGTAAAGGAAGACGGACAACTAACACAACAAGAATTCTCTATTATGTTTGAAGCTTTGCTGATGGGTCATGATGATTGGGTATTCAGTGTATCATGGGAAAGGCCAAAACCAGTGAAGATGGAAAATGGAGACATCAAGTATGACCAACCTATGCGATTGATTTCAGCTTCTAGTGACAAATCTATGATGATCTGGAGTCCTGATCCATTATCTGGTGTTTGGGTGAATGAAGTACGTATGGGTGATATTGGAGGCAATGCAGCTTTAGGTTTCTGTGGTGCACTTTTTAGTCCTGAAGGAAAACACGTTCTTTCTTATGGGGCAAACGGATCATTCCATCTTTGGGAAGAACAAGGTAAATAAAATTTAATCGAGTCAAATTTAAAAAAGAAAAAAGGTAGTTGAATTCATTTCATCATTATTTAATAGAACACAATCGTTGGTCTCCACAAGTTACAATTAGTGGTCATTTCAAACAAGTTGAACAGGTTACTTGGGATCCTCAATCAAGATACCTTGTTTCTGCCAGGTAATTAAAAATAGACCTGAATTTTGTTGTTTTATATAATTTCTTGTTTACCCTTCTCTATGATGATAGTTTGGATCAAACTACTAGATTATATGCACCATGGCGACGACAAGTAGATGGTGAATTAATTGAAACTTGGCATGAAATGGGACGACCACAAGTGCATGGTTATGATATCAAGTGTGTGGCCTTTACTCACAATTGGCAATTCGTTAGTGGAGCTGATGAGAAGGTACTCCGTGTATTTGACACTCCTCGGTCCTGTGTTGAAAGCTTGGCGGAACTAACTGGTGAAGAAAAAATGAAAGCAGAAATAGCAAGTCGACCTTTGGGTGCTAATCTTCCAGCTCTTGGTCTATCGAATAAAGCAGTATTTGAAAACGACATTGAAGCAATGACAAATGCAGACGAAAATCATGCAACATTGCAGAGTTATTCTCATGCTTCAGCTACACCTACAGCTCTTATTGAAACGATGGTACAACCTCCTTTTGAAGAACATTTGATTCAACACACTCTTTGGCCGGAAATGGAAAAACTTTATGGACATTTGTATGAAGTGATGTGTGTGGATGGAACAACGGATGGAAAATACATCGCTACTGCTTGCAAGGCTTCTACAAGTGAACATGCTGTTGTTCGTCTCTTTGATACAACCAACTGGAAAGAATTGCCTACCAAGATTGCTGCTCATACATTGACAGTAACACGTGTCCGATTCTCACATAATGATCGCTGGCTACTAACGGTATCTCGTGATCGTTACTGGTCCTTGTCTGAACGAAAGTCTACTGGAGAACAAGATGAATATGTATTGGTGGCGAAGAACAAAGCTCATGCTCGTATTATTTGGGATTGTTCTTGGACTCATGACGACTCGTTATTTGTTACTGGTTCTCGTGACAAGACATTCAAAGTATGGCAACAACAAAAAGAAAATGGTGAATGGATTTGTATTAGTACTATCAAGTGTACTGAAGCTGTCACTGCATTAGACTTTGCTCCTGATTTGAAGAATGGATTGTAAGTTTTTTTTTTTTTTTAATAGAAAAAAGAGAAAAAAGAAATATGATATATATGTATATTTATTCTATTGGGATTTTTGATAGGTATATTTTGGCTGTGGGATTGGAAAATGGACAAATACAACTATGGACAGGATCAAAGGAATCTCCAAACCAATGGGAATTATGGACTGATATAGATCCAAGGTAAAGTGCAAAAAAAAAAAAAAAAAAAATTACAAGAACGATATTCACTATTCTAAAAATCTATATTAGGATTTCTCATGTGGGTGTTGTACGGTCATTATCCTGGAGGTCGGTTGAAGGTCGATTCCAACTGGCATCCGGTGGTGAAGATCATTCTGTTAGGATATTCAATGTAGAATAGAATAGAAGAATAGAAGAAGAAATATAAATATTGATGTGAATAAATGATTTGTTTTTTTTTTTGTTGGATACTTACACTGGTTGAATAGGATGAGTTCTTCATATAGATTCAATTGTTTTCTTGACATGTTTATACAACTGAAGTCGATCGGATATACAACGAGTCACAGGGTGGTGTTGGATGAAGGCTTCAGTAGACCATTGTTCCAAGATAGACGATAGATCGGATGAAGGTATGGCTATAAAGAGCATGCGTTTGCAGTGATATTGCCGATGATAAAGATAGGCTAGCTGAGAGATCCATTCATAAGCTTGAGTAGGAGACACAGCTGTGACTTGAATAAGAGAATGAGATGATAGAGGCACGGCTTTGTTGTTATTGTTGATGAAGGACATGGCTTTGTTTGCATTGTGTTGAGCATCTTTGGCCAATTGCTGCCAATCTTGAACCACTGTTTTCCACTGGTCTAGTCGTGTTGCCAGTTGCACCATACATTTATCAAATCGTTGTGTTTGTTTGTACAATAATCGTTGGCCATCCACTTGATACTGATCCAATCTGTGTTCGTTGCATTGTTGCCGATGGAGATTATCAAGGGTTGAGAGCAAAGCAAGTGTGGCAGACTGATATGTATCCCAAGTTTGTTTCAAAGACTCGGCTCGTGATAGTAAGCTAAAGGTTGTTTTTCGAAAAAGGATTTCCTGTTGTTGCATTTAATAATAAAAAGTAGTAAAAAGAATATAGGAAAAAGTTCACCACAGACGAACAAGGCACTTGATAGCGGTGGTTCAATTTTTTTTTTTTTTTTTTTTTTTGCTCTCTCGTTTGGGTCTTCAAATGATGGTGCGGCACATTGAGATTTTTGATTTTCTTCCTCCTCTTTTCCCACCTCAAACTTTAGGGTGAGTGATTTACAATATCATAAAAAAAAAAAAAAAGAGTAAACCCAAGCAACATCGAATGGAATACATGATGGATGAATGGATAGATAAATAGAATGGATGGATGGATGGATGGATGGATGGATGGATGGATGATAGAATAGAATGAATGTGATTTATAGTGGGACAAGAATGAACATCTGATGTACAAGTTGGAGATTATTGAAAGGCCATTTTTACTGATGAATTCTTCTTTATTATTATTATTTATAGAATTGATTAAACATGGGTCGCGTCATTCGTGCTCAAAGAAAAGGTGCTGGAAGTATCTTCAAGGCTCACACTGTCGGTCGTAAGGGTGCTGCTAACTTGCGTGTTTCTGATTTCGCTGAACGTCATGGTTATATCCGTGGTCTTGTCAAGGAAATCGTTCACGATCCTGGACGTGGTGCTCCTCTTGCCAAGGTTGTCTTCCGTGATCCTTACAAGTAAGTTTTTTTTTTATATAGTCAAACTAGATCTAATTCTTTTTTTTTTTTAAATAGGTACAAGCTCCGTACTGAAACTTTCATTGCCACTGAAGGTATGTACACTGGTCAATTTGTCTACTGTGGTAAGAAGGCTACCTTGAACATTGGTAATGTCTTGCCTTTGTCCTCTGTCCCTGAAGGTACTGTTATCTGCAATGTTGAAGAAAAGGTGGGTGATCGTGGTGCATTGGCCCGTACTTCTGGTAACTATGCTACTGTGATTGGTCATGGTGAAGATGGCAAGACTCGTATTCGTCTTCCCTCTGGTGCCAAGAAGATCGTTCCTTCTACTGCCCGTGCTGCCATTGGTATCGTTGCTGGTGGTGGTCGTATCGATAAACCCCTTTTGAAGGCTGGTCGTGCTTATCACAAGTACAAGGTCAAGCGTAACTCTTGGCCCAAGACTCGTGGTGTTGCTATGAATCCTGTTGACCATCCTCACGGTGGTGGTAACCATCAACACATTGGTCATGCCTCTACTATGGCCCGTGATTCTTCTGCCGGTAAGTCTATATATATATATATATATAAAGATCGACATTATCTCACCTCTTTTTTTTTTTTTTTATTATTATTATTATTTTTATTATTCTTATTTTATAGGTCAAAAGGTTGGTCTCATTGCTGCTCGTCGTACTGGTTTGCTCCGTGGTACCAAGAAGCTCAAGGAATAAGCTATGGATATCATATTGTGTTTTTATCTTGTGTGCATGAATCAATAAAAATGAAGTTTTGTTATATTACTTGTCTGTGAAATTTAGATCTGTCTTTTGTACCTTTTTTTTTTTTTTTTTTGTGTTTGTTATACTCTGGTTGATAAGCTGATCTCTATTGATTTCTATGATGATGACAACTAAGACACACATGTATCCATATATCTATATGATGGGTTCGAATACCTGGAATAATGTATGAAATAAGGGCAAATAGGTTTGGTTCAGTAGTACCGTTAAAGCAAAAGAGAAAACATTGTAAAGATGATAAGATAATAAAACAGTTTTATTGAGATCAAAACACACAAAAAAAAAAAAAAAAAGGATAAAAGTACAATAATCTAAGAGACATGTGGTTGAGGTGAACGTTTGTTGAATGAGGATGATCGATTAAGTAAAGCACCTAGTTTTGAAGACAAAGCATTGATGGTAGTGGTGGCTGAGGCAGATGATGCTGATCGATGAAGTCTCGTTTTTGCCTTTGGTGGACGAAGGGTAGTGGAGGTGGAGGCAGAAGGTGCAATGGTTGGAGGAAGAGGAGGTAATGGTCGATCTTTATATGATTCAGGGAGAACATTGATAGCTGCTGATGTCGTTGTTGGTACACTTGTTTTAGAACCGGATGATGATGATGCAGTGGTTGTTGTAGAGGAGGAAGGTTGTTGCAATTGTTGTTGTTCCATATTCAATTGTCCCGAACTACTGCCGCCGCTATCATTGCTTTTACTGCTTTTATTGGAGGTACCACGACGCAATACTACGTAAGATATCTTGCGTAAGAGTGATTTCGCTGGTAAAGGCGTAGCTTGCACATGAAATTCCTCCGTTGTTGTTGTAGATGACTCTAGTGCAGAAGAGCCTGTTGATCGGTACTGTTGTTGTTGATGATGATGATGTTGTTGCTGTTGTTGTTGTTGTTGTTGTTGTTGTTGTTGCAAGGGTGAAGTTGCGGCAATCATATCATCATTATCTTCGGCATTGGTAACTTGGGTTGTTAATGGAGAAGCTGTTGTATGATGAAAATGATGACCATGGGCATTCATAGAAGAAGTAGGAGATGATGATGGTTCGTCCAAATGATGTTGTGATGTTGATGAGCGAAGCCAGCGCTGAATTCGACTGAGATAATCTGTTGACGTAGAGGACGCTTGAGGTTGAGAAGAGAGACCTTTGACACTAGGTGAATGTTGTATCATATTTCCAAATGGTACTTCAGTAATTTTCCTTGCAGGCATAGTTGAATTCTGTGATCCATCATGATGATCATCCATCATATTGAGTGAAACTTGACTTCCAGGAGCAGTGGAAGTACCACCCATAGATAATACCGATTCCACCGAAGTTTTGCGAGATAGTGACACTACCGGCTTGATGGCTTGCATTTCTTGTAAATAATGTTGTCGTTCTACTGTCAGATGATATACTGAGACCAAAGGATGATAGGCAGCAGGAATCGATTGAGGATCATCATAAAAAGGAGGTTGAGTCAAATCATTGGTCAAAGTGGCAGGTCTTGTTTGATGTTCCCTAACCAAGAAAGCGGCATCGCGATAGACGGGTGATTGTACAATGACATCTAATTTTTTTGTAATTTCTTCGGCAGTTCCAAGACCCATTCCATGAGACATCTGATCAATGATACGAGGATTCAAAGGTAAAGACAATGGTTGGCGTATAGGAAGATAGTTTCGAATAGGTGGTAATTCCAGATTCATCCAAGGATGCAGCATGATATCTGATAAATAGATTCGTTGAACAGGATCAGTAACAAAGATTCTTTTAAGAAGGTCGAGACAATCTTCACTAAGATGAGCAGGATAAGTGACTTCACCACGTTTGATTTTTTCATGAAGACCAGGCATAGATTTGTCATCAAAGGGAACAGAACCGGTCACCATCACGTAAATAACCACACCGAGACTCCAAATATCGACTTCAGGACCATTGTAAGGGGTAGCACGTAAAAGTTCAGGAGCAGCAAAATAGAGAGAACCACAATAGGTAGTCAATTGACGTTCAGGACAAAACAAGTTAGAGAGACCAAAATCAATAATTTTCACTTTGCGACCCGACTTGTCAATCAATATATTTTCAATTTTGAGATCTCGATGCACAATAGAATTCCGATGCATGTAATCCAACGCGCTGACGATTTGGCGTGCAAAGCTGCGAGCACGTTTTTCAGATAGACGTTGACGCTTGACAATATAATGTAAGAGTTGACCACCATTGACATAATCCATCAAGATATAAAAGTAAGGTCCAGCCACTACCAAATCCTTGAGTCCAACAATGTTCGGATGTCGTAAGAGCATCATCATATGAGCTTCACGTATCGTTCGCATTTCACGGTTTTCTTCTCTGGCATATTCTTTGGCTATTTGCTTTTCTGTTTTATTCGTAACACCTGTTTTGAATTGAGCAAAGTTGGCACGAGGTACAATCTTGATAGCAATCTATTTATCCCAAAAAAAAAAAAAAAATTATATAAATAAATAAAGATGATATTTTAAGTATTATATAAAAAGAATTACTTTATCTCCTGTAACATTATGTACACCAAGTTTGACTTTTCCCATAGACCCTTTCCCAAGACTTTCAGTCAAAGAATAATTGCCAATAACTTTTTGTTGATATCGATGGTGAGGTTCCTGAATAGAAGGTGATATTGATGTTGTACCAGACGTTGTTCCTTTATTTGATATATTTGAGTGATAATCTTTTGTACTTGGTGTTGAAGTAGTGTGACCGCCATAATCATCAACTAATACAGCAGCCATGAGAAGAAAGTAAAGGGAATATAGAAAGAAGAAACAGAAAAAAAAAGCTGGAAGTCAGAAAAAAAAAAAAAAAAAAAGACGGGAAAAAAAGAGAAGAAGAGAAAAGGTAGGGACAAACAAACAATTATTACCTCTGCGGAAGTGGAATTTCATACTTAACTTTCTAAATATAGGTTTTCAACCTAAAGTATTTTTTACCACTTACACGTGAGGAGGGGAATGAAAGGCAAAAAAAAAAAAAAAAGGTGCAGACACAAAAGCTTAAAGACTACACCTAAAGTTGTCAAAATTTAGGTGGACGTAAAAGCGGAGACTGAGGATGGTCCATTTGAATATGTTCTGGCCCGTGGGTCTACACCCGTTTAGTCTAACTTTACCGTGTTTTTATTTTTTTATTATTTTACACTAGACTTTACTAGGTGAAGATAAATGATGGTTGTAATCGTAAAGGTATTTGTACCATAATCCGAGCCGAAGGATCCTCGTGGCAATATCTTGCATAGATCACTGAAATTTGACAAAAAAGCTTTCACTTTTTTTTTTTTCTTTCTCACGATGATTGGATCCCCGAGTATTATATTGACTGGATGAAAATGGGTATTTCCTAATAGTTGATTATTCAAACATATATAAATAAAATGAAGGATGGAAATTCTATCCAATAAAAAAAAAACAAAGGAAAAAAAAAAGATAATGATGATAGAAAAAGGATGGATATCAGTTGAGTAATAGAGAAGTGAGTCATGGTTACAATGATCGACCGGGGAATCAAAAAATAAGGGTTCATGGAGATTTGCAAAAAAAAAAAAAAAAGGTTGATTTCATTCTTTTCTTTTCTTTTCTTTTTTCACTTCGTTTTATTTACAATATGGTCTCTAACACCTTTGGTCGTTCCTTACGCAAAGATTTTTTACTCGATCCTAATTATACACCTTTGAATCATGGTTCCTACGGTTGTTATCCTCGTGTTGTGCAAAAAGTCCTTCGTGAACATCAAGAAAAGGTTGAACTGTTTCCTGATCGTCGGTTACGTTACGATATGTATCCAGAATTGCGAAAGTCTCGTGAACTTTTAGCAACATTACTTCATTGCAATGCTGATGACATTGTCTTTTCTCAAAACGCTTCTACCGCCGCTAACGTTATCTTCCGTAGTTTTCCTTTTGAAGAAGGTGACAAAATTTTATATGTAAGTGAAATATTATTATTATTATTATTCAATGATTGATTGTTATTATTATTTAGTTTGGAACTGCTTATGCAAACGTACGTAGTACTTTGGAATTTATTCGCGATCATCAAAAGGTAGAACTGGTGAAAATCGATTTGAAATACCCTTTGAATGATGCCTGCATTATTGATCTTGTGAATGAAACTCTTGCCAATGAAAAATCAAAATCTGGTAAACCTTTCCGTATGGCCGTATTTGATGTAATATCTTCTTTGCCTGGTGTCCTTTTTCCATACGAAGCTATCAATCGAATTTGTCAAGAAAATGGTATTCTCACGGTGCTAGATGGGGCTCATTCAGTGGGTAATACAAAAAAAAAAAAAAAAGAATGATGACTCAGAAAACTTGAAACTGACTCATCTTTTTAACTTTCTGTTGTAGGTCATATTCCTATCGACTTGGAAAAAATCAATCCTGATTTCTTCTTTACCAATTGTCACAAGTGGCTTTTTGTTCCTCGTGGTTTCGCTATTCTTTATGTTCCCAAAAGAAATCAAGGCTCCCTTCATCCCAACACTATTAATGTTGCTTACAAAACCCATTCATCATTGGATGATAACTCCTCATTTGAACAAGAATTCTGTTCTCCTGGTACTATCGACCATTCCCAATACTTTTGTGTTGAACCAGGTAAACATCCAACACAAAAATAATGACTTTTTGACATACTAATTTTTTTTTTTTTTTTTTTTAGCATTGAAATACCGAGAATCATTGGGTGGAGAGGAAGCAATTATGCAATATATTCATGATTTGGCAATTCGTGGCGGTGCTCTAGTGGCTGATATCTTGGGAACACAAGTGATGGAAAACGATGATCAAACTTTGACTGTTGCCATGGCGAACGTAGAACTACCTATTAAGGAGGATATCAACTTGTCAGATACTGAAATTAGCTCTACTATTGTCAAGAAACTCATATATGAACATAACACTATGGCTACTCCTTATAAAAACAACGGAAAATGGTGGATACGATTATGTGCTCAAGTTTATTTAGAATTGGATGACTTTAAGAAAGGTGGTGAAGCCATATTGCAAATATGTCAAGAACTCAATAATCTCTAATCTAGATACTCCAATGATAGTTTAGCTATGTTATTTATTATTTAAATATTAAATAAAGAATGGATTATATATTGAGATATCATTATCTTAGGAATCGGATTGAATAAAGTAGTTACATAGTTTGAATTTGACTTTTTATCATTCTTCAGTTTAAAGACCTGAATTTTTTATATCTAATCTCAGATAATCACAGTAATAGATCAAAAAATGGTATGTTTTATTTGTATACAATAGGTTAAAAAAAAAACAAGTAATCTAATCAATCAATCGCTTTCGACGGAAGTAATGACGTAAATATAATGTTTGCCAACAACCTAAACTAATCAGTGTAAAAAGAGATAATAAACTAAACCATTTGACCCGTTCATTGGTTGATTCTATGTATAGATAAAAAAAAATGATAATGTTAATAATAACGAAGATCAATATTTAAATAGGTATCAATTTCTTTTTTTTGTTTCATCTTACCATTGGTATCACGCATAAATACTTCACGGGATTTCAGATAATTCATTTCATCTACGATTTCCTGAACAACCTTTTCCAATTTACGTAGTTCTAATTCAAGTGGACCCAATTGTTCCGTCTTTGCTAGAATTGTATAATCGATAGCTTCTGCACCAATATTCATATCCAAGTCAATCCATCGTTTGTATTGTGATGCCTCCTGAAAACCTACCAAAACCGTTCAAAAGAAAAAAAATCAATAGCAGGTTCACTTGCTTATGATAATAATATGACTATTCTTTTTTTCATTTACCTTCGTCTAGAGTATTTGTAAAGCATACCTTCACTTGTCCTTCTGAAATGGTGTTGAATGCATTGGCAAAACTTTGTTGTAAATCTCGTTTTCTTGTATAGACATTGGGTACATCGCCATCTTGGGATACCTTGAGAATAAAGGAAAATAATGAAAGGTAAACTTAGCCATGTCATTTGTATATCATGATACCTACTTTGAGATCGACTCGTTGATTGTATCCATTGCCCACGTTAACTGTGATATAAACTTGAGTATCTTTGGCGACAAACTGAGATAAACAGCGCTGACGAGGTTCCGGGCGATCGGCTTGAGATGCTGTAAGATCAAATCGTACTGCCTGAGCTATTAATGTGAATATGAATAATATTGATAATAAACATGGTAATAAAGATGGCATGAAAAAAAAAAAAGAAAAAGAACTATATAAAAGATATACACAGAAGGAAAGAGAGTAAAAAGAAGAATGCTAAGCGGAGAATGGGGTAATTCTTCCTGATTAAGTCACAGCGAAAGAAAAAAAAAAAGAAAAGAAAAGAAAAGAAAAAAAATATCAAGCTGCATTTTTTTTTTCCTTCTTCTTACTTTCTTATCTTCCCATTCTTACTTTTTTTTTTTTTTTTATTTTCTTATATCCAATGAAAATGCGGGTCAAGATTAGTGCATTGACTTGCTCACCAAAAGCTGACTTTTGGTACTTGATTGATAATAAACAACCAACTTACTCTATTCGAAATCTCCAAAAAGACATTAACAAATTGATTCATCCTACCGAAAAGTCAAAGCGACTCTCTCTTTCCCTTGATGGATTCCGCCTACTTCCAAATTGTACTGTCCAGGGTCTTATTCGTGATGGTGATACTTTGACGTAAGTTACTTCTGATAGAAAATTCACTTGAAGGAACTATTTTCTACTTGTGTACTTAGTATCTTGTTTTTATATATATATATATATATCGCGTTTTCTAATAACAGACTTCAACATATCGATACTCCAGGTAATATTTTTTTTTCCTTTCATGCTTTATGAAAACATGCTTCTTTATTTTATACTCACCTTTTTCTTTTTTTTTCAATTAGCATTGAACGAAAAGTCAACTCATTCAAAAAAACGCAAGAAAAGCGATTCGTCAGTCACTCACGAAGAGGCCAAGGACAAAACCAGAGTAAAGAAGAAACACAAAACAACGAAAATAAAGGAAAAGAACCATTCCAGCAAACGTAGACGATTAGATACTACTAGTCATATCGATGATGATAAGAAAATTTCCAACGAAAATGCAGCGACATCTTCAAGAAATACTAACGAAGAAACGACACCCGATAATAAAGTATTACGGCGTACGCGTTCAAGGAATATGCGTCGACGACAACAACGACAAAAAAACAGGGCAGCTTTAGCAGCACAACAACAATCGGCAAACTTGAACAATAACAAAGGTACCACTAATAACACATCACAGGCACTACCAGTGGAAACGGTATCAGAAGATTCGATCACGGCACAAGATGGCAAAACTGTGAAACGCAATAACAAATATATGGCGGATGAGGAACCTTTACGACAATTGGTGAAGAAAAATAAGAACAAGAAGAAAAACTTTTTGAAGGAAATGGAGAACAATCAGCGATCACACGTCATTTTCTCAACTAACGACAATGCTGGTCAAAATCATCAGGATGATTACTACAGTGGATACACCAATGAAATGGATTACAATTTTAATACAGACGAATATAACAACTATTTGACATCTGATGTATATAACCCATCCAACACATTAGGTGGCGCATTCATTACCGACAGCGGATCTCCTCAAAAGTATTACAACAGCAACAAAGGCAATCGACAAAGAAAGGAAGGAAACAATAATGAAAACTATGCGAACCGACAATACCCTGTGGATGATACAGATCTCATTTTTTATGCTTCACGTGAAGAAGAAGAGGAAGAAAAACAAGATGAAGGAAAAGTCGAAGAAACTGGAAACAAAGATACCGTGGATTCCCAATTGGACAACAACAACAATAATGACAGTGGTGATAACGAAGATGATGATAGTAGCGACAGTGATGACACCAGTGATAGCGACAGTGATGACACCAGTGATAGCGACAATGATGACGATGAGAATGACGATGATTCGGCAATAACAACGACAAAGGAAGGTGATGATCAATTGGAAGTGCACAAAGTGATCGAAAAGGTAATAACCAAAGAGAAATAAAGAATAACAAGACACTTTATTATATATATGTATATTCATTTATTCTCACTATTGCCGTATTTAGGTGGATTATGACAAATACCCTGCTACCACATTCCAAGGCTCTAGTCCTCCAGTGGTTGGTGATCTCTTGGCACTAAAGGTACTTATCTATGAAAAGATATCATTTGAATGATATTCATATTGATTCTCATCTCCTCTTTTCTTATTATCATACATTCTTTGTAGACTTTACATCTGTCAGAAACTTATACACCAGAAATCTCGAATTGGAAGGTAATATTGATTGAATAAGAAATATCATGAAAGCTGAAAAGATTGCTAACTTTTTTATATATAAAAAAGGAAGTCAAGGTAGTAGAACTGAATGGGCAAGAAATGGTGGCTGAACTAGTTGGACAAGATATATCACAGTTGACAAAGACAAAAGGACGTAGGAAATTTGATTTACCTCCTGATGACGATGATGATCAAGAACCTGAACGCGACAACATTGAAACTTACAATTATACTGATATTATCGATATGCGCCGAATAGTATTATAGTCATTTTTGTTCACAACCCATTTTAGTGATCATGTCTCCCCACATCCATTCAACAACTTTGTTCTAAAATAAAATTTACATTTGCATTTGATAGTAATCATAAAAAAAAAAACAATATCATATAGACATTTCATTACATTTTATAGCACACAAAGGTCAACATACATTCTTTATCTTACGTTGTCATTTGTAAATATCACACAACAGCCATCATGTATTTAAAATGTACACAATGTCATTTTTATCCAAATTCGTCTTCATCATGCCAACCACCAATAAATTCAATAAAAAAAAAGAAACACGTAACAACCATCAAAATAAAATAAATCAATAAAAAAAAAACCGTATCAAAATTCGACCATTAAAAAAAAAAAGATTATTTTATTTCAGGGAATACGATATAATTATTGCTGTGCAGATCGAAGTTGTTGGTATTGCATTTGTAATTGCGTGATCTATGTAAAATAATAAAAAGAGAGCGTGAGTATCTCTAGTACTCAATGTATCCGTCGTTTCTCTTTTTTATAGTACTTACATCTGCCTTCTTCTTCTCTGATTTTTCAGTCAGTTCTTTTAGTTGACCTTCTACCCGTTTACTATGTATTATATAAAAGAAAATAAAGTGTCAGATTTGTTTCCTTCTTTTTTTTTTTTTTATTATGACTATGTACATTTCACTAGAGATCAGATCAAGACGATTTTTGACATTGGATGAAGCTTCCGATTTTTCTTGTTTAACTAACACAGGACCAATGAGTTTGTAAATATTGGCTTCATCTTCTAAATGTTCAAATTCCTATCATCAAAAAAAAAAATTAACACAAAATCCTACAGTATCATCCCCTATCTTTTATTTTCATTTATTACCTTGCGTACTTGTTCATTTTCTTGTTGTTGTGAGTCTAATCGTTGTCTTGATTCAATGGCTTTTGTCAACTCTTATGTTTCAAATAAAAAGAAAGGAAGGTAAGACACGCGAACTCAAGTCATCATCCAACTCTTTTCCTATTTATCTTTTCTTACCCTTTTGTAATTCTTGGAAAGCTTTTGATTCGGCTTCAAGTTTGGCTTCTACTACTGAGAGTGACATAATGCGACAAAATATTAAAAAGAAAAAAAAAAAAAAACAAGTCAGTACAAGAATCAGTGACTACCACCAAAAAAAAAAAAAAAAAAAAAAAAAAAAATAAGTAGCAGTGAATAATTGGCCAATCATAACCCAGGTTTTTCTTTTTTTTTATTTCAACCAATAGATCATAAAAATAAAAATAAAAAAGTAAAGAAACATGATGCTAATTTTTTTTTATTTTATTTTTTATTTCAAAGATGCATAATAAACTAGACTATGAAGAGGAACTAACTATAGAGCTTTTGCTATTGACTTTTCTAATGGTTTTTTGTTTCAAACTTAACCGTTCAATATCAGCTACGACTTTTTCTATGCTTTCTTCAGTAATTTTTCGTCGCATATCACCTAGAACTGGAGGTCGAATGATAGGTGATCCATTGTTGCTATTATTGTATTTGATATATGTATTATTGCCAGTCGATCTATTTAATGAATTGGTAGAACTATCCTTTTGGAATGCAGCATGGTTTTTGTGAACTATATATAAGAAAGAAAAAAAAAAAAGATAGCTTAGTATGATGATAAATGATGATAATGATGATACTTACTCTTGAAGTAAAATGATTGAATTTCAGCAGGATCCAAAAGATCAGCTAATGCTTTTTTGACAGCAGCATTATCTTGATCCGTTTTCTTATCTTGTCCATTACTAACCCAGATTTGATAATTGTCACAATGTTGTCTTGATGATACGGATACCCCACAGACTGTATCATTTAACCAATGTTCCACTTTTTCACCAATCAATAGTACCAGTAGATCTCTCCATACAATAGGTGATTGATTTTTGTTGACCTTGAAATTAAAAGACCCACCATATTCATTTTTTGGATCTTCCCTATATTATTAAATAATAAATGAATTTGTTTTCTTTCTTTTTTTTTTTATTTTTTATTTATTTATTTATTTACCATATTGGCTTGATACCTTTGCGCATAAAATGTAAATTGCTTCTAAAACCCAATTTCTCAGGACCATCAATATTATTGTACACAGACCAAAATTTCTATAATTAGACAATGTGATATTTATCAGTAAAGAGATCATACAAAAAAAGAAAAGAGTTTTATATATCTAAAAAGGAATCATTTTTTTACCTGTACTGTACCAACCGTTGATATAATTTGAAGATTAGCTTCATATTCCGATGCAGGTAAATTTGGCACATATCTAGTTAATATATTCGAAAATTGAAGATATTATTATTAAACAAGTAAGAAATCTTGTTATTTTATTATAACTTACCTATCATACCAATAAGTCCATTCTTCTTGTAACAAGATAGTGCCTACTTTCAAAAGTTGTTCTTTTCTTTCTTGATCCAAAATGACTACTTTATCCTTGTAAATGTATCCATCTTTGATATGTACTATGGGAGGCATTGTTGATGAACCATTTTCCAAAGTGTGAGAGGAAGCATCATAATGAGAATTGTGAGCATTATTGCTGAGAGAGGAAGAAGAGAGTTTGGGCGAAGAAGACAAAACAGAAGTATTGGCCATAGAAGGAGGAGACCAGAATTGTTGAAAGGCGGAAACGGCAGGTGATAAACTGATATTACTAGAAGGTATGTTGGTATTGGTATAATGAGTAGAAGTTGTTGCTGGCATTGTTGTTGTTGTTGTTGTTGTAGTAGTAGTAGTAGTAACCGATTCCTTGGAAGTATCATTTATTGTCACAGTAGTCGTAGCCTTGTCATTAACTTCATCGTCTTCTAATCCCATCATGTTACCAAGTGATAATAGTTTAAAAAGAATGATATAATAAAGTATCAAGAGAGATGAGAAAAGGTATAAATAAAGAAGTGAATAAGAATAATAATAAGGAATAAAATAAAAAAAAAGTTCACCCCTTTTGTATGATGTAGTTAAAGAAAAGAAAGAAGAAGAAAAAGAAAATCCCACCTGTTCTTTCTCTTCTCTTGCCTACTTTTTTATTACTATTTAAACGCCGTTTTTTTTTTTATTTTATTTTTTTTTTATTTCTGGATACGAGAATAAGGGGGGAAGGAAACAAGTTGAAAAAAAGAATAGTATGTAAGTTCAATCAATATATAATATATATATGATTAATTTTTTAATTAGTAAAATAGAATAAAATTATATCATAGCTTATATTTTTCTCATTCTATTATATAATTCGAAATAAACGAGGCTGATGATTAAAATACTTCCCCAAATGCTTCCTTTGTATGATGAATGATTCTTTCAATCGCCGAACTACGGCTTGCATACAGATTAAAAAATATAAGTATGTCTCTATACGAAGAATATCTTATTTATTTTAAAAAAAATCTACCTAAAAGTGGATTCATCATCTAATAAAAGACTAACAAGTGTAAACTGACTATATGTATGGTCTTGTGTGTGTGTGTATATATATATATATAAAAAAAGGGGGGAAATAGGGAATTGTACACTAATCTAATGGGTAATCAATATCATAATGGTTCAGCTGTGGGAAAAATGGCTTGATGCATCTTTAATTTCAATTGGGTAGTATCTGACAGATCCACACTAATTATTAAAAAAAAAAAAAAAAAAAAGAATAAGATACATATAATAGAATAAAAATAATTTACTTACTCTTTCAATCCTTTGAATTGGAAATCATCATAATGTTCTTCAAAAAATTGTGGTTTCCATTGAATACCTTTAGTTTCACGTTCTTTTGCTAATTGTCTTTGTGCATCTTCCACTGACGTTTTGGCATCAGTTGCTCCATCCATATCACGATTTTTGATAGCTTCTGTTAACTTGGACCAAAGTCTTTAAATGGAAATAAATACCTGTTAGTTTCTTTATATATATATATTTTTGAATGTACCTTCTAGATTCATATTCCTTTTGTTGGTCTTCGGGTAATACAGTCTTAGGTACAGCAACTGCCGTTTTCGCATCAAATAATACGTCTTTTTGTGATGTCTATTAATATAAATAAAAAAAAATATATATAAGTTGTATCGTTTTCTTTTTGTTTTCACAACCTTATTATTATTATCATACCTTGTAATTCTTAATATAAATTTCATTAGACCATTGTCCACTGATTTCATATAAAACTTCTTGTGTAGATTCCTTTTTGATCTTGCCTACAAGTGAATTCCATTGACCAGAGAAGAACCCCTAGAAATAGAAATAATCATTTGTATTAGTTTGTTCTTATTGGTATTTTTTTTTTATTTTTCTACCTTTGTCTTGAATTCGAGTTCACATGATAAATCACTAGATTTGCATGATAATTTTGATTTATCACCAAGTTCAATGGTCATCGTACCAAACCTTATATATAAAAAAAAAATAAAAGTGAGTATATGAAGGATGATTTTTCCATTTGTTACTTACAAAACACCACGAGCATACATATTGGGCATTTCAATATCATAACGCTCATTGTATCTATCTGTCAAAATGACATGAGAAGCACCTTCCATGATAGTTCCAACTGAATTGCCGTAAAATCGTGATTTTGGACGGATGTCTCCTGCAATCAAAACATGATGGTCAGGACAAGTGTAAAAATAAGCAGACATGGGTGGGTGATGACTAACTTGTTCGGCAATATAATAAGCTTCAGCTCCATCAGAGTACTTGTATTGACAACGGAAAAATTCACCCAAAACTGGATTATATGGTTTCTTGACACCCTATTGATATTTTATTATAAATATTTGTTTTTTTCCTTCTTTTTCTTTTTAGCATGCTCTTTTAGTTACCTTGGGTTTGATATGCCATCCAGATAAGTAATAACGAAGAACACCAACGAATCGTTCAACAGGGTCATCCAATTTACTAGCACTAAAACGGAAAAGAAACACGGTTAATTCATATTCAACATTACGCCGCCTCAATACAAAAAAAAAAAATAATGTTGTTACCTGAAAAGAAGTTCGGGATGGGACATAAAATCAGTAATCCTTTCCAACATACTTCTAGGTTCAAGTACAAAAGTAGGTAAGGCTACTCTTTGCTATAATAAATAAATAAAAATGTGAATATTTGTTATGTAGAAAACCGTAAAAGGGGTAAACTTACCAAATCCATGCCTTTTGTCAACTGACCAGCAATAGCTAACAAAATGTTACGAGAACCTTCTTCAAGTTCTTCAGTATTGTTTTGGTTATCATTATTATTGGCCGACATGAGCAAGAAATATCAGTAATGTTGAAAAGGACAACGAACAATATCAAACAAAAAAAAAATAGAAAGAGAAAGAAAAAAAAAAGCTGAAAGCAATTGGAAAGAAACACATTTCATTTTGAAGTCCGCTATGAATCATTAAAAAAAAAAGTGATTGAAGCTCGCAAATGATTTCCCCATTTACAACATCAGTTGAACAACGTTTATTTTGTAAAGTCAGAGCAGAAAAGTTGGAAGTAAATAAGATGATGATGATGACGATTGAATGATGATGATCTATCCATATGGTTGAAATAAAGCACTCGATTAAATAAACTATTGTTTTTTTTTGGGTTTATAAATAGTGTTTTGACTTGATCATTGACATTACGATCATCAAAAGAATCGGTAGTGTTATGTGATACTGCATGATCGACATTATAATATACAGTATGTAGTGAATCCTTACGAAATATTTTTTAATATTCCAAAATTGATGCCATCAGTGAATTTAAAAATGGAAGGAATGGAAGACTTTTGATTTGATAAACATCTATATAAATGATTTAAATTATTTTCTAATGTATACAAAGTAATCTGATATGCTTAAGCACTATAATAAAAATATGTAAAGTGTCAAAAACCACTTGGTCCTTTTTTGGTAATGATAATAACCAATCAATCCATCCCATTCTTTCAGGCCCAAAAAAAAAAAAAAAAAAAAAAAAAAAAAAAAAAAAGACGGATGACTTTTTTTTTTGTGACTGAAAATCTCTGACGTCGAAATAAAGTAGAGGATGAAGGGGTGGTTGTTTGAGTGGGCCAGTTGGGTATAACCCAACGCGGTGTGTTTATTTGCAATTTGTTTTTTTTTTTACTTTCCCTTCTTTTTTCTTTCCTTTTAACACCCTTCTCTACCTTCGTTAAATTATCATCCATAATGCTTCGTGCTACTATCGCCAGTGCCGCCCGTACTTCCGTCATTCGCACCTCTTCTATCGCTCGTCCCATGGGTAAGGCAACGATAAAGTGTTTATTATTATTATTATTTTTATTTACATTGAAAATTCGGATTTTTTTTTTCATTGTGCAATATCATTGATCTTTTTACATATGAAATATTGACTCCTTCCTTTTTTTTTTTTCTTTGTATTAATATTTGAATCTAGGTATGAGCAAACGTTTCTATTCTGCTGACGTTGAAGACGAATCTTACGATGCTTTGACTGAACGTTATGTCCGTTTCTTTGATGGTGTTGAAGATCTTTTTGAACTTCAACGTGGTTTGAACAATGCTTTTGCTTACGATTTGGTACCTCCTGTCAGCGTTGTTGAATCTGCTCTTAAGGCTTCTCGTCGTGTCAATGATTATGCTACTGCTGTCCGTGTGTTTGAAGGTCTCAAGGAAAAGGTTGAAAACGAAACACAATACGAACAATATCTTCAAGAATTGGCTCCTCTCAAGAATGAATTGGGTGTTTTGACTAAGGAAGAATTGGGCTTCTAAATGATCATCATCACCTTATATTTATTGTTATAGTTTTTTTTTTTCTTATCACTTTTTTTTGTCATATCACTTTTTTTTTTCACTTTATACTTCTACTTTTAGAAAATGTCTTTTTTTTTTACATCATTGAATAAAGGATTTGTCGAACTACTAACTCAATATATATATATATATATATATATAGATCAGATCATAATTAAAGAACTATATTGTATCATACTGATTCTGATATGGCATATTTACTGTTGATTTTATTGTATAATATTTAATGGCTGTTTCAAAATCATCGGATATCCAAACATTGACCCTGTTTTTGAGTCAAAAAAAAAAAAAATCGGTTGACCCTGGGTTCGAAATTTCTATTTCTTAGGTTCCTTTTTTTTCTCTTTCTTACGTCTTCCTTTCCTTTCTTTTTTTTTTTTTCTTCTTCTCTCTGTCCTTCTTTTTCTTTTTCTTTTTTTTTTTAATCTAATTCTTCTAAGTATATCAATGCTTTCTCGATTCGGAAAGATCGGTTCTCGATCTTTACATCCTCAACATGTAAAAAGCTTACAATCAACCACTTTACTTCGATCTCGTCTCCTTTCACAGCGTCGTTTGTTTACCTCGGAAAAGGATGGTAAAAAGGTGGAAAACAGTAATAATGATGGCAAACCTTTCAACATTCCCAAAGGTTTCGAAGGATTCTTTGGAAAAGATGCTGGAAAATCAACAAGCAAACGATCATCTGAATCCAAGAAAGCTTCTGAAGAAGGTTCAGCGAAACATGACAGCAACAAGCACAACAATAATACTGACAGTGGCAAAAAGTCAAGCAACAATGGTGGTAGCGGTAACAAACCTCCTGAATTACAAATCAATGCCAATATGGTTCTGGGAACTGCTGTTGGTACCTGGTTACTGTGGAAGTTATCCTCTCCTGGTGAAAACTCTCGTGAAATTACATGGCAAGGATTCCGAACACAACTTTTAGATAAAGGTCTAGTAGATCGTCTTGTAGTAGTTAACCGTAACCGTGTACGTGTACATCTTCGTCCTGAATCTACCTCACTTGGTGTGGCTTCGCAACAAACATTTGTATTCAGTATTGGCTCGGTAGATGGATTCGAACGCAAATTGGATGATGCACAAAATGAATTGGGTATCCCTTCAGCTGAACGTATTCCTGTCTCTTATCATGAAGAAATCAGTCTTCTCAATACTGCTTTACACTTTGCTCCTACCATGCTTTTGATTGGTGTTCTGTATTATATGACTAAACGTGGTCCTGGCGGTGGTGGTCAAGGCATCTTTGGCATTGGAAAAAGCAAAGCTAAAATGTTTAATCAAGAAACTGATGTCAAGGTCAAATTCAAGAACGTTGCTGGTGCAGACGAAGCTAAAGAAGAAATTATGGAATTTGTAAAGTTTTTGAAGAATCCTGCTCTTTACGAACGTTTAGGTGCTACTATTCCTCGTGGTGCTATTCTATCAGGTACAAAAAAAAAAAAAAAAAAAAAAAAAAGAATGATTCATCAACTTAATATATCTTTTTTTTTTTTTTCATTTGTATTCATTTAGGTCCTCCTGGTACCGGTAAAACACTTTTGGCCAAAGCTACTGCGGGTGAAGCCGGAGTTCCTTTCTTCAGTGTATCTGGTTCAGAATTTGTGGAAATGTTTGTTGGTGTTGGTCCATCTCGTGTTCGTGATCTATTTGCCAATGCGAAGAAGAATGCTCCTTGTATCATTTTCGTGGATGAAATCGATGCTATCGGTAAAGCTCGTGGTAAAGGTGGACAAATGGGTGGTAATGATGAAAGGGAAAGTACATTGAATCAATTATTGGTGGAAATGGATGGTTTTGGATCAAGTGAACATATTGTAGTTTTGGCTGGTACGAATCGTCCCGATGTATTGGATCCTGCTTTAATGCGTCCTGGTCGTTTTGATCGTCATATTGCTATTGATCGTCCTGATATTGGTGGTCGTGCTCAAATCTTCAAGGTACATCTCAAACCTATCAAAACAACGGAAGATATGGAACAACTATCTCGCAAGCTTGCTGCTTTGACACCTGGTTTCTCTGGTGCTGATATTCACAATGTCTGTAATGAAGCTGCCTTGATTGCTGCTCGTCATCAAAAGGATGAAGTACAAGAAGTTGATTTTGAACAAGCTATTGAACGTGTTATTGCTGGTTTGGAAAAGAAATCTCGTGTATTATCCCCTGAAGAAAAGAAGACAGTGGCCTATCATGAAGCTGGACATGCTGTTGCTGGTTGGTATTTACAACATGCTGATCCTTTATTAAAGGTTTCCATTATCCCTCGTGGTGTGGCTGCTCTTGGTTATGCTCAATACTTACCCAAGGATCAATACTTGTATTCTGAAAAACAATTGGCTGATCGTATGTGTATGACTCTTGGTGGACGTGTGGCGGAACAAATCTTCTTTGGTTCTATCACAACAGGAGCTCAAGATGATTTACAAAAGGTAACCAAGATTGCTTACGCACAAGTGACAACATATGGTATGAATCCCAAGGTTGGACCCTTATCTTTCCATGATCCCAACTCTGAACAACAATTCCAAAAGCCTTACAGTGAACAAACTGGATCTCTGATTGATGATGAAGCTCGTAAATTGGTGACTGATGCTTACACTAGGACAGTAGACTTACTTACCGAAAAGAAGGCAGATGTGGAAAAGGTGGCTAAACTCTTATTAGAAAAGGAAGTGATTACTCGTGAAGATATTGAAAATACTTTGGGCATGCGTCCTTTCAAAGAAAAGACTGTATATGATGAATACGTTAGAAAACCATCAAAGGTAATTATTTGAAAAAAAAAAAACATTTTCTATATATTGATCCTTTATATATATATATATATATATATATATATATATATATTAATAATCTAGGTTGAAGCTCCTCCTCCTTTCCCTGAAGATGTTCCTCCCAGTACTGGCGAAGTCAATTCATCATAGTTTATATTATATATACATTGACAATAGAAATTTGACAATAGAAGTCTTATTATCTTCTTTTTTTTTTTTTTTTACTCTCTCTCTCTCTCTCCTCTCATTTATTCTCAATAACCTTTTTTTTTATTGTTATTGTTTTTGTTTTTGTTTTTGTTATTGTGTTTTTTTATATATATAAATATACATATATGAAATTGTAATAAAATCCTCTTTATAGATCTGTGAATCTGACATTTTTGATCTCTGTCTTTCATTTTCCAAAAAAGGGTGTTTTCGGCCATTCAATAGTACTCCATCCATTCTATCGCTTTTTTTTTTTTATTCCTCTCTTTTCTTTTTTTTTTTTCTATCTGAAAGAAGAAACGTGACATGACTTTTTTACATCTCTTTATATCAACAATACTATCATTATCGTTTGTCCATGATACCATCATACTAGCTCAGTCCACCAATCCTCTACAAAATAATCAAATCTTATCCTCCAACATTACATCAGGTGCTCAACACCATTTTTACTTTAGTACAAAAGGAAACACTTTGACAGCGAGAAGTTTAGAAAAGACACTATCTTACTTTAATAGTTTTGATGGTCAAGTTAACGATCTCAGCATTGGTTTAGGCATTCTGAACAACAAACGAGCACCAAATACAATCATGGATAACAGTACCAATAGTGTTTATTTAACCCTAACAAGTTGTTCTCAACCTTCTCCACCGTCCAATTACCAAGGTGACATTCCCAGTATTGATCTTTATTTATCTAAAGCGAGCAGCAATACCCTTCCTGGACCCACCAACAATCAAAATAATGATACTGTAGACGATACCAAACCCGGTCGAATCAGTTGGCAAGGTGATCATATCTCGGATCTATGGATTGGTGTGGTAGCTCCTACTTTAACAACTGGTTGGACTGGACAATGGACATACGAATTAGGTATATCCACTAACCGTAAGTATTTTCATATACATATATATATATATATATTAGAGAAAAACTAATCTTTATTTTTTTTTCGTTCTTTATCAGAGTGGATGCATCCTCTTCATGGTGACAATGATTCATTGACATTGGACGATACAGACAATACACATGCATTATTTCTTTCACCACCTTATTCTACACAACAGCAACCAAAACCAAACTTTACAGCTCTGGTAACACAAAATATGCCCAAGGAACTAGAATATTCGTATTGTGCGGCAAAATCGTACCAGGTATCAGGTTATTCTATCAACGTCACTGAAACTCAACGAGGTCATCCTGGGCAACAAAATGGTATTCCTCTTACACAACAACAAATCATGATATCCAACTTAACTTTAGGCCAAAATTATACAGTATACATGGTAGAACAACAGCAATTACCTATTTCATCACCAACGACACCGGCTACTACCATTATTGGGACTGCAACACCTTTAAAAATATATACCAAGTCAAGTAAGAAGATAAGAAAATGGAAAAAAAAACAAGAAGATAAACATCCTTATTTTTTCATAGATGCCAATTGTCGTATGATGTACAACCTTGATTTTTGCAGTGATGTGGCATATAGTGTACCTACAGATCCAACACATGATATATGGAATATTACTTATTCTTATGATCAACAAGCACAGGCATTATTCGAACCTTTTGCAACAGCATTATCACAATTCAACTGCAACAATACTCAGTACTCATTAGTCCGAAATTGTGATGATTGTTATCGCGACTACAAACGATGGCTCTGTGCAGTCACCATCCCAAGGTGTACCGACAATAGCACTTCAATATCAAGTACAATCTCGACACGCGATGTTGCTAATGGAAGTTCGAGAAACCCATGGATTGATTCAGCTTACCAACCTGGTGAATGGACAGAATTACTCCCATGTATTGATGTATGTTATCAAGTTGTGCAAAGTTGTCCTCCTTTTCTACAATTCAATTGTCCTGAAGATGATCTTGCTCGACAACAATATGGTTATTGGAAAGTCAATGGATCTCTTGGAATAAATCGACCCACTTGTAATCGACTGAATATGAATGTATCCTTGTTAGTGATCTCTCATGGCATCCGATTATCTTTATCTTCTTCATTATTGATTTCATTGTTTATTTTTTATATTATATTTTATTCATTATAGCTAGTTTACATGTAGTTCAAAAAGATTTTTTATATATTAGAATGAATAAAATAAGAAAATTATTGTGTTCAATGATGATTTGAATCGTTCTGATAATAACTTTTTTTGATTCGTCAATGCAACCGAACTTCCCACCCGCTGCATGTGAAATGCCCACAAAAAGATCTGGTGCAAGCGCCTTTTTTTTTTTTTTTATTTTGCTTTGTTTTTTTTTTTCCTCTCCTTTTTTTTTTTTTCTTTTTCTTTTTTTCCCACTTTCTTTTCTTTTCAATCTTTGAAAAATATGGCGACTACACTTGTATCTGATATCATCTTACCTGAAGTCGATCGACAAATTAGTCAAGACCAAGCTCTATGGCCTCCAGTGAAAGGATTTTTTATTTTAAGTGTAACCAAGAAACGAAAGCCAAGTACTACTTGGTAAGAAAAAAAATATTCTCACGCTTCAAGTAGAAGTGGTTTTTATTTTTATATTTATTATTATAGGTATATTTTATTTCAAGGAAACGAGATTCAACCTATTATTACTAAGAATGAAGCAAAAGTACGTGATGCTCTCAACAAGAAAAAAGTCAAGGTGGTCAAGATTCGTGTAGAAGATCATGATGTTCTCAATTTTATTACTGGAGGGTAAAAAAAAAAAAAAGTTTAGTTAAAGCGATTGTATGTTCTCTCTCTCTTTCACTATATATATATTTATTTGATTTTGATTTTTTGATATTTAGTTTGACTGCTATCAAGGCTTATGTGAATCGTCGTATCAAGGTAAAAAAAAAAAAAAATTATGGGATAGAGCTGAAAAAAAAAGTACAAGAGAAAAATGAAGTTTCTTTTTCTCATATCATATTCTATTAACTAACATAGGTGAAAGGTGATTTGGCTCTTGCACAACGACTGGTGACTCTATTTGAAAAAGCAGGTGGACACGAAGTAAGTGAAAAGAAAGAAGAAGACCAATATGATAGTATAAGATGCTCATTTTTTTTTTTTTGGATGTTTATAGCGTGCATTGGATTTTATTAGGCAAAATGAACAGCTCCTTTTAAGGGTCAATCCTGATAGTGCCAAGTTATAGGATATTACTTTCTATGATAATGGATGAAATAAAAGATATATTTACCTTGTTTTTTTTTTATTATTATTTTTTGGATGATGATGCGAGATTGATATTATCTTTTGTTCATGTCATTGCTAACATGGTTGAATTGGTGCCAAACTTATTCATTTAGTGACACTATAACAGCAACTTTGACTGTTTTCCATTTATGGACATCTGCCACAATCTTCATGCATTGAACAATGATGATTCCACTAATTGATAGATTGATTGATGATAATGTCAATGAGGACCATGCAGATGATTATTTTATAACCTCTCCATCGGATTGTGGGTTGTATTGGATAAAATATTTCTCCATTGATAAATGTGCTTTATTATAAATCCTCTTGATCATAAATTAGTTACGCATATCGAATTTTTTTTTTTTTTATCCATATTAACATCACAACGATAATAGAGAACAAATAATTATTTTTTTTTTTCAAACATTGCTATCGATGCGATCAAACCAAGTATTAGATAGAGACAAAAAGACTCATTTTTCCTTCCTTCTAAGTACATTCAAGGTTTCATCAGATACACTTTTGTAACCATCTGTCATTCAATCTCTTCCAACTCTTATTGGTTCGCAACTTCGGATTTAAAGATGAACAAGCTGAAAGTGGCTTTTGATTGACTCACCGACTATCATTTTTTTTTTCTTTTTTAGCATTGTTCCCTTTTTTTTTTATATCTCTTTTTTTTTTTGTTCTTTACTTTTTCTTTTTTATATATTTTGTTAACAATAATGTCAACTTCAACTGAAAAGTTACCTACAGATATGAAATCCATTCTCAAGATCCTTATTCATCAACCACACCATTTCTCAGCGAACGATGCAGAAGACGCTATTAATGATATTATGAATGGAAACGCTACTCATAGTCAGATATCTGCTTTTTTAGTTGGTTTACGGTTACAAAATAAAGACTCTGATCCTGTGATTGTTGCAGCTTGTGCAAAGGCCATGCGTAGTCATGCTAGATTGATTCCTTATGAAAACTATGAACATGTAGAAGGCAACGTAGTGGATATTGTGGGTACTGGAGGTGATGGACATGATACTTATAATGTATCAACAACTGCATCTATTGTGGCTGCTGGTGCTGGTGCCAAAGTAGCTAAAGTAAGTTTATATTATATATATAGTTTAAGTGGATGATTGATATATATATATATAATTTTTTTTTTTTTATATATAGCATGGAAATCGTGCAGCATCATCTAAATCAGGTTCGGCAGATTTAATGGAAGCACATGGATGTCATATTGGATTAGTAGAACCGGAACAAGTAGCAAGTATCCTTGATAAGACCAACTTTTGTTTTTTATTCTCACAAACATATCATCCTGCTATGAAACATGTCGCTTCTCTCAGAAAAGAAATTGGCATTCCAACTGTGTTTAATCTTCTTGGCCCAATGAGTAATCCTGCAAAACCTGCTCGTGTCGTGGTTGGTGTTCATTCTCCCCAGATTGGTAGCTTGATGGCAAATGCTTTGAAATTAACTGGTGTACGTGGTGCTTTGGTGGTTTGTGGAAATGAAAAATTGGATGAGGTAAAAGAAAATCAATAAGTGGAATCATATTGATAATGCAAAAAAAAAACGCACAGACTGATTTTTTTTTTTTTTTTTTTGATTTCACTCTGTTTTTAGATTAGTCCTTCTGGTGATACAAACGTAAGTTTTTCTCTCTCTCTATATGGAAGTTAGATGATCATATTTATCTAATCATCATTTTTGTTATAGTATTGGAGAGTACACGAAAATGGAGATATCACTACTGGTACATTACATCCTACAACAGATTTTGGACTTGCAACACATCCTTTGGCAGAGGTGAAAGGAGGCGATTGTTATGAAAATGCGAAAACATTAGATCGACTATTAAATAATCAACTACCGGAAGGGGACCCGATCCTGGATTTTGTATTGTTGAATGCAGCTGCGTTACTGGTAGTCGGAGGTGTTGCTTCGGATTTCAAAGATGGTGTTAACAAAGCAAAGGAATCTATTCAATCTGGAAAAGCTAAATCAGTACTGGAAGCATTTAGGGTAGCAACTACTGCTTTACAACAAAAACATTCATAGACTAGTTTAGATTTAGGTTAGATTATATATATATATATATCCTATTTATTATTATTTCCATATCTACATCATATTGAATCATCCTTCCTTTTTATATAATTTTTTTTTTTTTTATATAATCTTCCGTTCCCGCCAATGACATATTACCAACATATTTGTACTACATTATTTGAATTATCATTTGATCATCATGATCCTCCCTTTAAGCAGAAAAATAAAAAAGATCGCCAAGACATATACCAATTCAAAATCGACTTGACTTTATTAGGAAAACGCACTTAACCCGAACAAATCAAAAGAATGAAGAGGAGACCAAAATTATTGATAGAAATAATTAAAGTAATGTGGATAGATGTGCTAAACTATTTTCCCTATTGGCTAAATGAGATGATGATGATGATGGATGTGCTTGATCTACAAGGGAAACTATACTTTTTTGTAAACGTTGACTAGTATCCAAAGCCATTCCATCCCATGGTAAAATCTTATTTGATAGATGTTTGTTTTGTTCTAACCAAGATGCCAATGATTGATTGTTGATACTATACAAATGTCCTTGAATAGGTGAAAAATGAGGATTTCCTTGAATAAATAATAATGATCCATCAGATGTAAGATGAACATCATCATTCTATTCAAAAATAAAAAAAAAAACAAATTGAGTTTTGTATAAATTAAGTTCATTATATCTTACCAAATGTATCCAATGTTGTAATGAAGATGATGATAAAGTTGATGAAAGGTGTAATTGATATGGATAGAGTATAGGAGCCCAATTTTGTATAGAGTCTATATATGAAAAAAAAATGAATGAATGAAATGAATACAAATTGATGATGATTGAATTATATATTATTACCAATATCATCTTTCATCCATTGTCTTGAATCTACCCATTGTATATGAATAGAAGATGATTGTAACCAATCACCATTTTCTGTCATATATCTACATGCTGCTTTGATATCCATGGATGTCAGTTGTTGAGGAGTGAATAATAAATGAGATGGTATAGTTGTAGCAGCATATAATACTTGAGTTGAAGATGATGGTATAGTATACAAAGTAGAACGATCCAATGCAAAAGGAGTCCAAGGTAAAGGAGACATCCATACTAAATGTGCTTGTAAAATACTAATTATATATGATCAATAAAAACAAATCAAGAAAAGGGAAAGTTTATAGTTTTTTTTACCTTTCCACAGTTTGGTTTATAATAGTCATTCTAAAATAAACGCGGTCATGTTGAAGATTGGCAGTACAAGAATGTACTATTAAAGAGTCACTGGGTGTATAGTTGTTATGAGAAATACCTTTATGAGATAAGAGTGGTAATAAACCTGGAGGAGGTTGTAAAATATTTTTTGTTCTTTTCCGTTTTTGTTGATCAAGTTTAAAAACGTGGGCAAGGTCGTTTTGTAACACTGTTTTTGAACCAAGTAAAAAAGCGTGTTTTGTATGTACCTAAAATAAAATATATATTAGTTTTTATATAAAATATAAAATAAAATATATTTTTTTTTTTTTACAGTTTGTTTTGTATGTCTATATTGAATTTGAGTTGATAAAAGTTTCTTTGATAAAATATTCAAGGTTTTTTCCAAATTATCTTGTTCTTGTTTGCTCATTTTGGTAACAAAAAGGATAATAGATAGAAAGAAAAAAAAAAAAAATGAGACTTAATTAAAAGTCAACTGCTAATAATAGACCATGATTGGAATGATTGGTTGTCGATCTTTTGATTGCAAGACTAAACCAAAAATATTTTTTTTTTTTATTTTTTTAGTGTAAAAATATAACAAGGAACAAAAAAAAAATCTCTTCTTTTTTTTTTCTTTTTTTTCTTTTCATCTCTTTTTCTTTTTTTTTCATCTTTTTTTATATTCTTTTTTAATTCATCATCTATTATATATACCATGAAAGCTCTTATTCTTGTTGGAGGTAATATTTATATTATTTTTATATTTATTTATTATTTTATTTATTCATCATCTAATAAAAATATTATAATTAGGTTTTGGTACTCGTTTGAGACCTCTTACTTTAACTCTTCCTAAACCTTTAGTGGAATTTGCTAATCGTCCTATGATTCTTCATCAAATTGAAAGTCTTGCCAAGGTAAAAAAATATTATATAAATTTTTTATTTTTATTCTTATTTTTTATTTTTTATTTTTTTTATTTTTGATTTGATTTGATTTAGGCTGGTGTTACTGATATTGTATTGGCTGTTAATTATCGTCCTGAAATTATGGTGGCAGCATTGAAAGAATATGAACAACTTTATAATGTAAAAATTACATTCTCTGTCGAAACAGAACCTTTAGGTACGGCTGGTCCTTTGGCTTTGGCAAGAGAAATTCTTGGAAAGGATGACTCTCCATTCTTTGTATTGAATAGTGATATTATTTGTGATTATCCTTTTGAACAATTACGTGATTTCCATTTATCTCATGGTAACGAAGGTACTATTGTTGTAACCAAGGTAGACGATCCTTCCAAGTATGGTGTTATTGTGAATCAACCTGGTCATGCTTCCAAGATTGAACGTTTTGTGGAAAAACCTAAGGAATTCATCAGTAATAAGATCAATGCTGGTATTTACATTCTTAGTCCTTCTGTATTGGACAGAATTGAAGTAAGTGTGTGAAAGGGAATAAATAAATATTAGGAAAAGAATATTTTTATTTATTTATTTATTTTTTTATTTATATATAGCTCAAGCCTACTTCTATTGAAAAGGAAGTTTTCCCTTATATTGCACAAGATGGTCAATTACATACATTTGAATTGGAAGGTTTCTGGATGGATGTTGGTCAACCTAAAGACTTTTTGACCGGTACCTGTTTGTACTTATCTCATTTGGCCAAGAAAAATCCTCAAGAATTAGCAAACCCTACTTTGGATTATGTTCATAAGGGTAACGTTATGGTACATCCTACTGCAAAGATTGGAAAGGATTGTCGTATTGGTCCTAATGTCGTCATCGGTCCAAACTGTGTGGTTGGTGAAGGTGTAAGATTACAACGATGCGTTGTTTTGGAAGGTGCTACTATCAAGGATTATGCTTGGGTGCATTCTAGTATCGTTGGTTGGCATTCATCCGTGGGTCGCTGGTCTCGATTGGAAGGATGCTCTGTTTTAGGTGATGATGTCACTATCAACGATGAAATCTATGTCAATGGTGGTTCCATTTTACCTCACAAGTCCATTTCTGCCAACATTACTGAACCTCAAATTATCATGTAAATAGACTACTTTCCTCCGTTCTCTTCCTTTATTATTATTATTTATTTATCTTTCTATTATTTATCCCATCATCTTTTATTCTATTTACTCTCCCTCCTTTTTTTTTCTCTTTACATCTATTATATTGTTGTCCTCATGATTTCATTTATCATTTAAACCGTTTCTAATGTCTTCAAATAAAATACATTCAATTTGTTTTTATATCAACCTTTTCAAATAAATATATCATCAGCATGATATATCCATAGGAATCATGATGATAAAGAAGGATTAGATTTAGTATAGGAAACATCATAGGTATAGGATAATCACTCTGTTTATACATCACCAAAAAAAAAAAAAAAGTAGGCTCTAATTATGGTACTATAATTTTTCTTTTTTTATTATTAAGGATGAGAAAGAATATGTAATAGTAAATAATGTACATATATAGAGAAACTATACTAGAAAAAAAAAAAAAGAAGGAACTAGTTATGAGGTGGGGTGACGTGGAGTTGATGTTCTTTTCTTGAGTTTCTTGAGCCAGTGATGACGAATCAAATCGGACAAATTGCATCGTTTATGGACATCCTGTTGTAAAGCCAAAGAGATGAAAGACCGAGCCATGATACCAACGTGATCGGGGAACGTATAATCCACTCTGGTGATATGTTGATAAGTATCCATATATTCTACATGTTCAAAAGGAGGTTTGCCAACCAGTAGTTCATATGTCAATACACCTAAAGCCCAAACATCCACTTTTGCATTATGTGGTCGATTTCCAATCATTTCTGGTGGCAAATAATCTAATGTTCCACAAAATGTGTTTCGTCTTGGTTGTCGATCAAAAACAGCCCATCCAAAATCAGCCAATTGAAGATGTCCTTGTTTATCTATAAGAACTATAAAGGAAAAGAAAAAGAAAAAAAGAATTAATAAGTAAAATTTTTTTTCTTATTGTTTTATCATCTTACTATTTTCTGGTTTGATATCTCGATGAATCACACCTAATTTGTGAAGATAATAAAGAGCACTGGCAACTTGATGTATACACTTTGGATTGATTCAACCAAAAAAAAAAAAAAGGAAGTTACCGTTAAATGTTTATTCAAATGAATAATAGTTTACCTTTGATGCCAATATATCTGTGAATCGTCCATGTTCTTCCAATTTGTTATATAAGGAGCCTTGAGTAGCACAATCAAGCACAAGGTATATATGTTGATGATCTTGAAAATAACCATACATTCGTAGAATATGAGGATGTCGTAAATGTGCATGAATTTCCACTTCTCTTCGAAGAAAATGAGCTACTCCAGCTTCTTGTAATTCTTTCTTGATCAGAATTTTCATGGCAACCACTTGACGTGATTGTTTTTCCCTTGCCATATATACATTTCCAAACTTGCCAGTACCCAAATGTTTCCCTACATCAAAATCATCAGTGGACCACTCTTTTTTCCTGTGTAAAATTAAAATCATAGGGTTAAATAAATATAAATCATCTTTTTTTTTTGTCTTGGATACTTTTGATTGGTCATAGAGGACACCTGTTTTCGTTCATGAATATCAATAGGAATGACAGAAGGATTGACACCAAGATTACGTCGCACTAGAGGTGAATCCATATAATTCTTAGTTGAGTGACTTTTTGTTTTTTGTGCTAATTGTCGATAATAAAGTGCTCGTTTTTGTCGTAAGAGACTAATCTCATTGGTATGAGATGAAGGAGAAGAATGTGGTGGCGTTTCAACTGTGATATGACGAGGGGTATAATCTACAAAAGCCGAGGGTGGTGGTAATGGTGAGGTTAATTCCGTCATGATAAGTGATGTAGTTTGGTCATGAGTAGTTTCGTCGTCAGTGATCATTTATTTTTTTTTTTTTAAAAAAAAAGGGGGAGGGAGGGAAAGAAGAAGGGTGAAAGAGAAAAGAAAAGAAAAAAAAATAATTGCTTGGTTGGGTCAAAAAGGGATTTTGAAATTCCGGATTTGGTAATCTTTTAGGATTTTGCTGATCAAAACCATAATGATTGATGTGTTTATTCCGTTATTCCAGGTCTATTATATGAAAAAAACAAACCCATTAAATAAACATTTGGTTAAGAATGAAACTACAGTATTCGGAAGTCTTTCTTGTCTTTCCTTCTTTTTTTCTTTTTTTTTTTTGTGATCCTTTCATGTCAACATTATTGTCACGATTGATTATTGTTATATCCATATTAATTCAATACACCGTTTCACAAAGTAAGTTTCTTTTTTTTAAAAAAGAAAATATGATTATCCTTTTGTAATCGATCTTTTTATTTTTTTAAATAAAAACAAAGCTATGCTGGCTGTAGATACTGATACTGGTCGTGCTTGTCTTGTTGGACTTCATGATTGCCCAGATGGTCAAACGTGTATTCCAGAAGATGAAAATTATGGTCATTGTGGTCCAGTTCAACACTGATTGTTTAAAACACCGCCTTTTTTTTTTGTATACTCAAAAGCTCAAACGAATAAAGTCACGCACCTCTTTTCTTTTCTTTTTTTTTTCCTACTTTTATTTTCTGTTCTTTTTAACTCTTTCTCCTCCTTGTACTTAATACTATATTTTTATACCATGTTTTCATTTTTACGACGAACAGCAGGTGTCGCCGCAGAATCAACTGCAAAAGGTAATAAAACCATCTATTCTTATTTCATTTTTGACAAATACTTTTTTATTTCATTTATAGCACTTCGAATGGACGGTCTTCAAGGTTGGCAAAAGGAATTACCTATGCTTACTTTACAAAACAAAGCTGATTTGGACGCATGGGCTATAGGATGTGATAAGGATATTGGAGGATTTTCTGAAGCTTCATTAGAAATTACACCACATAATACCGGTCGTTTTTATGGTTATCTTTCATTGGATCTACCTGTTAACCCTGAAATACAACAAAGTGGATATGCTGCTATACGGTCAAAGGTTAAATATTATATAATTATATATATTATATATAAAATAATGGAAGATACTTATTACAAACGATTCTTTTTTTTTTGATAGGCTCGAGCATCATCTATGTTTGGAACACCATGTTGGGATACTAGCCTGTTTAGGTATTTAGCTTTACGAGTGAAAGGGGATGATCGAAAATATTTTGTCAATATTCAAACAGATGGTGTCATTCAAACTGATTTATATCAACATCGACTCTTTTTGAAAACTCCTGGTCAATGGGAAACTGTGATGGTAAGTCCTTTTTTTTTTTTTTTTTAAAGAAAACATAGTAATGATCTATATTTTTTCTTTTTTTTTGTGAAACAGATACCTTTCCGAGACTTCATTTTAACCAATAATGGAATGATTCAAGAACAACAAATTGAAATGTATAGAGAAAAGGTCAAAACAATTGGTATATCACTTATGGATAAAAAAGAAGGCCCCTTTAGTATAGAAATTGAATCAATATCAGCACAAAACACTCCATTTACAGAAGGGGATCTAGATAGAATGGAATAAAAAAAAATTTAATTTGAAATGCCGCATTACTTTTTCTTTTTCGTTTCTTTTTTGTTTTTTTGCCCCTCTTTCTCGTTGTTCTCCGTCTGTCTTTTTTTTTTTTTTATTCTTATTTACTGTACACGTCAGTATGACTTTGAAGGAACTAAAGATAAAAACGAACGTGGTAAAACGGTACGTGAATAACAACAAAAAGGAATATCTCTTTATAACTTTGTTTTTATCATTAGTATTTACAAGGAACATATTGGATATGGAAAAGAAGCAGAATGTCAACAACAACGTATTGATAAATTAGTTGCGGAAGGTGCTGATGAAGCTGATGTTAGAAAACAGGTAAATCAATCAATATATATATATATATATTACAAAGTTTATATATTGAATATTTTTCTTTTTATATAGCAAGAAGTACTCAAAGAAACAAACCAGATGATTCCTGACGTGAAGAAACGTCTAGTTGCAGCATATGTTGACTTACAAGACAAAGCGGTAATTGAAACTAAATGGGTAACCTTTCCAGAGGAGAACATTTAATCTTTTTTTTTTTTTTTTAGAATGATCCTCAATATCAAGGAAGTGAAGAATTACAGGAAGCTCAAACAGTACTTGGTGATATTGATATTGATTCTTTTGAAAATAGATCTTAAATATAGTATATTAAGATGATTGTTATATTATTATTATTATTTTATTTATTTCATATGACTCTTTTTTTTTATATATATATTTATATATATATATATATATATACATACAATTTTCAAACACCAAATTGGGATAATTGCTTGATGTGGTTTTTCACTCTCCGTGTGCCCATTTCAAGGATAAAAATAAATTTTTCTTTTGGACCTCAGTTTCGCCCTTTTCTTTGTTCTTTTTTGTCTACTTTTTTTTTTTTGTTGTTAACATCTCGAAAAAAGCCTCTTTCTTTTTCTTTTTCTTTTTCTTTTTTTTTTTCTTTTTTATTTTTACTTATATTGTTCTGCTTGGTAAGTAACTATAAAAAAAATATAAAAAGAAACCATTGACTCATCTTTTGACAGTTGTTGTTTTTTTTCCCTTAGAAAAAAAAAAAGGAACACGCTCATCCTGACTCGGTGAATATAGTAAAAAGAAGAAGAATATGCAAGACGATAGTAGAACAGACTTGACAAGTCTTCCTCATGAAAATAACAAAGGACCTTCTGAAGATGCTATTCTACACCTGTTACAAAGTCGTTACAAGAATGGTTTACCTTATACCCGACTCGGTCACTCTACTCTTATTGCCGTGAATCCTTATCAAACACTTGACATATTGAATGATCCAACTTTACAATCCTATGCTGATGTTTGTTATCGAAATCTATCTGATTCCAAGCCTGTTATGCAACCTCACGTATATGATTTGGCAGCTAAAGTATATTTCCATATGCGAAGAACAGGACAAGATCAATCCATCATATTAAGGTAAACAAAAAAAAAATAGAGTTAAGGAATAGAGAAAAAAAAAACATTTTTATTACATACATTTTGGTTGGTTGTGGTATAAATATCACACTTTCCATATATGAATTTGTGTACCCGACTCTTAACATGTTTCTTTTCTGTTTTGAAAATAGTGGGATCACTGGTTCTGGCAAAAGTACTACTCGTGCTCATCTTTTGGAACAAATCCTATTATTATCAACACACACCAAGAAGGAACGTAAATTACAACAACAAATTCGACAATCATCTATTATTTTAGAAGCATTTGGACATGCTCGTACTTCCCAAAACAAATCGGCATCTCAATTTGGTCAATTCCAGGAAATTCAACTTAATGAACGTGGACACTTGGTGGGTGCACAAGCTTTGACATTTGCATTCGACAAATACAGACTCCTTGCAACTCGTAGAGGAAGACTAGGTGAACGTACTTATCATGTATTCTATTCTCTTTTGGCTGGTACAACTCCGGAAGAAAAGACTGCGTTATACATCAATTTTGATTTGGATCACTTTTATTATTTGAATAATCAACAATTGACAACAGAAGATGAATTACATTTTGGTGATTTGAAAACTGCTTTAAGGACATGTGGATTCAAGGCTTCTGTTGTTACTGCCATGTTTCAATTATTATCTGCAATTTTACATATGGGAAACTTACAATTCACCGAACCTGAAGATTCAATGGTACAAGATGCCTGTGCTGTCAAAAATGTCGACGTCTTACAAGCTGTGGCTGCTTTACTCGGTGTTTCTCCTCACAAATTAGAAACATCTTTGACGTACAAACTACGATTGATACGAAGTGAATTATGTACTGTGTTTTTGAATCCTCGAGCTGCTGAAGAACAACGTGATGCTTTTGCCTGTGCTCTGTATCATTCGCTCTTTGTATGGATTGTGGAAAATCTCAATACAAAGCTTTGTCATGGTGATCCTGCAAACTTTATTGGTCTAATGGACTTGCCTGGTTTCCAAAACTTCTCAAAAACTGATGACAATGGATTCGAACAATTCTGTTTCAACTTTGCCAATGAACGACTTCATCAATTTTTGATTCAACAACAATTCAATGACGATAGTGAAGCAATCCAAGATGGACTTTTATTACCCAAGGTACTGACAATGGATAACGTTGGATGTTTGGATTTATTAGGCGGTAACAACGGAAATAATGGTGGTACGAGTGGACTTGTAGGTGCAGTCAACAAGGCAAGTGCGAAATATCAAGCTGGTGCTACAGATGCTACCGATGCAAATTTACTGGCTGATATGCAACGACAATTCAATGGTCATCCTTCCTTCATCTCTGCTCAATCATTCTCGTTTGGTATTCATCATTATGGAGGTACGGTACACTACTCAGTAGATCGTTTCTTGGATAGAAATATGGATTCCATGTCACCCGATTTCGTTAGTTTATTGCGTGATCACAGTACAAACAACTTTGTCTCGTCTCTTTTCCAAAGCATGGCTATGGCAACTGAATCTCACCCCAAAGATGATCGTACTATCGTCAAGGCACAACTTACTTCGAAACCAACTAGAGCACCTTCCATGCGACGCAAAACAACAAAACGATTACAGCGCAAAAATACCACCAAGCAAACACCAACCATTCTAGAAGAATCAGAATCCATGGCAGCAACAGCAGTGGATACATCCCAGGATATCATTCCAGAAGAAGAAATCAGAGTATCAACAGTTTTGGATCAATTATACACCACACTCAGTGATTTGTTTGTTACTATGGCCGGCACTCAAATTTACAATGTGATTCACATTCGACCTAACGATTCACAATCACCAGATACATTGGAAAGTACACGTGTCAAACATCAACTACGATCCTTTTTAATCTCTGATTTGACATTACGACGAAGCAAAGAATATGTGATCAATTATACCTTTGCCGAATTTGTTACTCGGTATGAAACTATGGTGATCAACATGGTGGATACAACAAACAAGACGGAACGCGAACAAACCGAATCACTATTTGCTTTCATGAATTGGAATGAACATCATGCTTATCTTGGACGTGATTTGATATGGTTGGCATACGAACCTTGGAAGGAATTGGAAGATGGATTACGAATTGCTGAAAAGGATGCACGTGCAAAAGCAAAAGGTACTCCCACTGGTGAATTAGCGGCTGCTGGTGCTGGTGCTGCTGCTATAGGTGTTGGTGGTGCTTATGCAATGGATAGAAAGGATGATGATGGTATGCAAGAATTTCGAACGATGCCATTATCCGGTGAAGATCCTACTTCTTATGGTGGTGTTCCCCCTCCTGGTTTTGGTGATTCGACATCTGGATATCATGGAAAAGATGATGGTTTGTTGGGTGCTCCTCATATGACTGGAACAGCAAGCATGTATGGTGGAAGTTATGCAGCTAGTGAAGATGGTAATCGACGTGATGATGTTGCAAGTCAATGGGGTGAAGAATCAGAATGGGGTATCAATGGCCTTGGTGAAGCGTAAGTTGATTGATCATGATAATATATATGAATATACATGTTAACTTGTTTTTTTTTTTTTTTTTTTTTTTTTTTTTTAGATTTGGACCCAATATGGATATGAGCAAAATGGTGGAAGATTATCAATCACCTCAAATAGAAAACATTGAAGAAGTTCCAATTACAGCATTACGTATCTGGTGGGTACGATTTGTTTGGTTTATGACTTGGTGGGTTCCTTCACCTCTTCTTAGTTGGATCGGCAAAATGAAACGTGAAGATGTGCGTATGGCTTGGCGTGAAAAGTTCACTCTCTGCTTGTTGATCTTTTTATTCTCTTGTGTGGTATTATTCTTCATTGTTGGTCTTGGTTATATCATGTGTCCTGGTACAAGCACGATGTACTCTTCTGGTAATGTCAATATTCACAATACACAAACCGATAACTATGTTAGTGTCCGTGGTCAAGTCTATGATATTACAAACTTCGCCCTTACGAATCATGGTACTCAATCTTATCCTGCTACTGCTGATACAATGGCTGAAATTGCTGGTCTTGATGTTTCCAATACGTTCCCTATACCTTTGACTCAAGCCTGTGCTGGTTTGGTTACCTCTGATACAATTTCAATCACTCCTAACAATACTATCAATCTTGGTCCATTTGTACACAAATCTGGTGGTCAACTAGCAGATCCTTCATTGAAGGCCATGGCTGATCCTCGATGGTACTGGAATACTTTTTTGCCTGGTATGAAGATGTATAAGAAAGGTACTCTCGTGATTCCTATCTCTCAACTCGAAAGTGACTTCAAAGGATGGGGTCGTAATGCTTTGGCTGTGAATGGAAAAGTATATGACATCACTGATTATCTATCTACAGCAAATTACTATGGATCAGCCAACCCTGCTTATCATTTCTTGAACAGTGCGGTGGAACAGATCTTTTCGCGATTTAGTGGTACGGATGCAACAAATGAATGGAATAAATATTTTGGTCAACTCTCAGCTGATGTACAACAACAAAATATGAATTGTTTGAACAATGCATTCTATCTTGGTGATGTGGATATCCGTGATACTCCCAAGTGTACCTTCAGTAACTATTTACTCTTATCTTTTGCTTGTCTTATGTGTCTAACTATTTTGGTCAAATTCCTTGCTGCTCTCCAATTTGGTGGTGCTCCTACTCCAGAAGAACATGACAAGTTTGTTATTTGTCAAGTACCTTGTTATACTGAAGATGAAGAATCTATTCGAAAAACCATCGACTCACTGACGGTACTCAACTATGATGATCGACGAAAGCTGATCTTAGTTATTGCTGATGGTATGATTATGGGTAGCGGAAATGATCGTCCTACTCCTCGTATTGTTTTGGATGTGCTCGGTTATGATACTACTCAGGATCCTGAACCTTTGATGTTCAAATCTATTGGTGATGGTAGCAAACAACTCAATTATGGTAAAATCTATTCTGGTCTCTATGAATGTGAAGGTCATGTTGTACCCTATCTTGTGGTGGCGAAGGTTGGCAAGGCTTCAGAACGTGCAAAACCTGGAAATCGTGGTAAACGTGATTCCCAAATGATTCTCATGAACTTTTTGAACAAGGTTCACTTTGATAGCCCTATGACGCCTATGGAATTGGAGATGTATCATCAAATCAAGAATGTAATCGGTGTTCATCCCTCCTTTTATGAATATATCCTCATGATTGATTCTGATACGGAAGTGGAAGCCAACGCTCTTAATCATATGATCTCAACTATGCTTCATGATGGAAAAATTATTGGTCTCTGTGGTGAAACAAAACTTTCCAATGAAGATCGATCCTGGACAACTATGATTCAAGTGTATGAATATTATATTTCTCATCATTTATCCAAAGCGTTTGAATCTCTCTTTGGTTCTGTTACCTGTTTACCTGGCTGTTTCTGTATGTACCGTATTCGAACCCCAGTCAAGAATGAACCTTTGATCATCTCACCCAAAGTCATCAATGAATACAAGGACAATCACGTTGATACTCTCCACAAGAAGAATTTACTCCATCTTGGTGAAGATCGGTACCTAACTACTCTGATGATGAAACATTTCCCCAACTACAAGATGAAATTCACACCATATGCCACATGTCAAACTGTCGCTCCGGATAAATGGGCCGTTCTCTTATCACAACGTCGTCGATGGATCAATTCTACTATTCATAATTTGTTGGAAGTGGTATTGTTACCTGATCTCTGTGGATTCTGTTGTTTCTCTATGCGATTTGTGGTATTATTGGATTTGATTGGTACATTGACTCTTCCTGTGTCTGCTGTGTATTTGGTTTATTTGATCTACGTGATTGCGTCTAATACTGGTCCATTCCCAACGATTGCCCTCTGTATGTTGGCTGGTATGTACGCTCTCCAAGCGATCTTGTTTATTTTGAAACGACAATGGCAACATATTGGGTGGATGGTGTTCTATATCCTAGCTCTTCCTGTTTTCTCATTCTTCCTTCCGGTCTACTCCTTCTGGCACTTTGATGATTTCTCATGGGGTAATACTCGTGTAGTAGTGGGTGATAACAAACAAAAGAAGATCATTGTGACAGATGACGAAAAGTTTGATGAAAAGATGATTCCTCTCAAGAAATGGAGTGTGTACGAACAAGAACTTTGGGAACTCGGATCAAGTGGCTCTAGGGACAATAAGAGTTACTATTCTGCAAGTAAAGGAAATCCTGGTGGTACTGGTGGTAGTGTTTATGGTGGTGGCAGCGTTTATGGTGGTGCAAGTCAATACGGTACAAATGATTATGGATACGATTATTACCGCGATACCAAGATCAATGAAAAACCAAGTCGAACGCAAACACCTTCTTATATGCCTTCTTATGCTGGATCAGTCATTGCTCCTCCTCCCATACCTGGATCTGAATTTGGTGGACCTCAAGATTATATGATGATGCAACCTACCTCATTTGCTCATGGCCCTGGATCAGTTCACAGTTTTGGTGGCAATGATATGGATTATGATCAACAAAGTATGTCTGGTAGAAATAGTCCTCATTTCAATGGCGGTAATCATCCTATGGCAATGAGTCAATACTCTATGCCCATGTCTACTGCTTCTTTTATTCCTCCTGGATTCCCTAGTGATGCTGAAATTTATGAAGTCATCAAGCAAATTTTATCTACGGCTGATCTGATGGCTATCACAAAGAAACAAGGTATGTATGATAAAAAAAAAATCATCAAGACTAAATCACTCATCATCTTTTTATTGTTATTATTATTATTATTATTATTATTACAGTTCGTACTCAATTGGGCGCTCATTTTGGATTTGACATGATGATCAAGAAGGAATTCATCAACTCTAGCATAGAAAGCATTTTACAAGAACGTACAGAAAAATAGACACTTGAAATTTCTCATTCCATTTTTTTTTTTTTTTTTATCTATCTGTTTACCATTACCTCATATTCAACTATATATTTTCCAATCACAACTTATCCTTTTTTATTTATTTATTTATTTATCATTTCTTTTGTTTTTATTATTGATCAACATTGTTTATTCTTTTTTTTTTTTTGGTAATAAAAAAACCCCACATTTATTTTCATCAATACAAATCATTACGTGCAACTTTAGAAATATATTCTCTCCATATAAATAAATATCAATGACATCCAATCATATATAAAGATAAAGTACAAAAGGGTTGTTCTTTATTGTAATAAAGATAGAGAGGGGACTAATTAAAATGTATGTATTCCTAATCACTATTGCTATCACTATCGTCATCGTTATATGCTGCCAATAATGAGCCTAGTGCTGTAGTTTTTGAAGACTTATCATCCTTGTTCACATTCTCGTTGTCTATTTTGACTTTCTTGTTGGTAGGCTCTTGCTGAATCTTGTTGTCATTATCTTCCATTTCGTCCTGTTCACGTTTTTTCTTTTTGACTAAAACCAAGCCAGCAATTGCATCCTTCTTTGGTTTTTTGACTACATTCCCTTGACTTGATTTCCTTTTCACTGTTGCTGTTGAAGTATTAGTAGTGTTAGTATTTGTTGTTGCTATTGTTGATTCAGTTCCATTAGTAGTTGCAGTCCTCGCCTGTTCTACGGCTCTATCGTTTCGAACGTTCTGTTTATATTTCTTTCTCTTTGTCAATATCATGTCAATTTTTTTCTTTTTTTTACCTTCTATATTCTTCTAATTCCTGCATTTCTTTCAGCTTGAGATCTTCGTCCAGTTGTTTTTGAGTATCTGATAATGATTTATAATAGGCAGCTTCTTCGGGATCAATACGTTTGACAAGATTGCTGAACCGTGTTGCTTCTCTGAATTCTTCTTCCTTTTTATTCTTTTGTTCCTGAAGTCGTTCATATAATGTTCGTGGATCATATTCAGCTTGTGGCGTTTGTGTTGATTCAATCGATTCTGATGATTATCAAATAGAGGAGACACGCGATTTTATTATAAAAGTAGTGCATAAGAAAAAAATGGTTAATCATTATAGTTCGAGTTCTAAAGTCCTTTTTTTTTTTTTTTTTTTTACCTTTTTGATTATCAATAATTTGTTCCTCGTCATTATTAATGACAGAGTGTGAAACAAAGCTTTTAAATGACATTAATTATGGTTTAATAATAAGAAAAAAAAAAAGAAAAAGAAAGGGGCGGAAGAAGAAATTGTAATTTTTTTATGCCTATCATGTCAAAGCAAAAAAAAAAAAAAGGAAGTTTTGTTCAAAAAGAGTCTCTCACTTTTTTTTTTTTGCAGTCACCAGCTTGAATCAAGGAAACCCTTCCGGACCTTGAAAAATTTGCTTTTCAAGACAAAAAAAAAAAACCTCTATATTCTCTTTTTCTCCTTTCTACTACTTTTATTGGGATGAAGCCAGGCTTAAAAGAATTTGTCAATGATCAAGTCTCGACCTAGTAAGTCAGCAACTAAAATAGTTACAGTCTTATAAACAATGGTGATACTAATCAACTAAATAATTTCATTATCTATATACAAAAGTTGTGATGCTGATCCAGAAATATTGACAAATTATATCCTCGCTCTTATTACTGAATCCAAACACTCTACCGATCTCGATTCGTCTCTTAAGGAAAAACTGGAAGAATTTTTTGAAGATGGTATATATATAAAATGATCCTATAAATGTCCTTGTTTCTCATTCTTCTTCTTATTTTTTTTTTTTATTTTAGAAACAAGTGGATTTATTGAACGATTAGGTCATTTCTTGAACCAACCTATGACAGAAGAACCAAAAACTCCCACTGAAAAAGAAGAAGAAGAACAACCTCCAACACGCTCATATAACGATGAAGATGAAGAAGATGAAGAAGATGGTGATCGAAGCTTCAAACATCGTCGACCTAGACAAGACGATAATGACACTTCACTTAAACGACAATTATCACAACAGGAAGATAACGATAATCCAAACAAAATACGTCGTAGCTATCGACCACATCGTGATGATCCTTCAGCAAATGATATTCCAAGTGGGCCTGCATCAATGTCATCTTCAAGCAACCGACGCGGTGGATATCAAGGTAAATTTAATGGACGTGGTGGATCAAGACGAAACTATCTCTCAAAACCCATGTGCAAAGACTATAATGGTAAGAAGAAGATTATATTAAATAAAATAGAAACTGATTTTTTTTTATTATCACTATTATATTATCGTTATTGCTAAACAGAAAAAGGATTCTGTGTGCGTGGTGATCTTTGTCCTTATGATCATGGAAGTGACACTATTGTCTATGAGGAAGGCAATTCATTCAATAATCGTTCAAATCAAATGATGCCTTTGATGCCTCCTGGTGCTCCATTTTTCAATATGCCTAATATGCTTGGTAAGTTGAACAAGATGATGAATGTATTTCTCTTATTGATCTTCTTTGTTTTTTTTTTTAAAAAAAATATATCTATTTCAAGGTAAAGATACCTTCACTCCTGAAGATATGACAATGATGCAAAATACTATGGCAGCTTTCCCTATGAACATGCCTTCTGGAATGATGCCTAATGCAGAAGAAATGTTCAAGAATATGATGCAATTACAACAACAAATGGGTGTTCGTGGTGGTTCCCCTAGGAGAGGTCGTGGTGGTGGTGGTCGTGGTGGTCATATGGGTGGAGATCGATACAGTAGCCGGCAACAACAACAACAACAACAACAACAACAACAACAACGTCAACAACAACAAAAACTCGTGACAGCATTGGTAGTGGACAACATTCCTCCAGAAAAATGTCAAATGACGACAATCAACGATTATTTCAAGAAATTTGGTACCATCACAAATATTAGCTTACAACCCCAAAAAGCCATTGTCCAATTTAGTACTCGTGAAGAAGCGGAAGCGGCTTATTCCTCTCCAGAAGTGATCTTTGATAATCGATTTGTCAAACTATATTGGCACAAGGAAACGGATGATACTTCTCAAGCCAAACTCAACAATGGTAGTAGTCATGGAACCTGGAAAACTCGTCCTAGTCGTGATCAAACTCATCCTCCAAGCAGCGAACCTGATCCATTGGCAGTTGCCGCTAAAGCAGCAGAATTACAAAAACTACGTGATGAAAAAGTGAAAAAGCGACAGGAACAAATGAAAGCAGTATTGGATTTACAGAAACAAAAGGAACAATTATTACAACAACAGATTGATGAACAAAAGCAACTTTTGGCAAAATTGAGTGACAAATCTCTGACATTGGCTCAAAAGGAAGAACTATTGGCCTCTCTGAAGAAAATTGCTTCTGATATTGATGCTTCAAGATCCAATACTGTGGCTCCAAGGTCTCTTCCTATCGAAAACTCATCATCAACCGAAACGTCAAACTACTTGAAAGAAAAGTTAGCCAGATTGGAAGCAGAGGTAAGTAAAAAAAAAAAAAAAAAAAAAAAAAAAAAAAAAAAAAAAAAAAAAAAAAAAAAAAAAAAAAAAAAAAAGTCTTTGAATACTTAAAATATAATTTCTTGTTATATTTAGGCAGCATCTTTGGGTATTCCTACAGATCAAACTCATCGACCACAAGTTGGTGGCTATTATGGTCAAGGTGGATGGCATGGAAGACCTGGTGCTGTTATGAAACGTAGTCTAGACAATCGTCCAACAAAAGTGATGATCAAGGATATCCCTCAAGATACAAGCAATGAAGATCTACAAACTCATTTCCAACAATTTGGACGGATATTATCCTTTGAAAGTGGACAAGATGGTACCATTGCTCATTACTCACAAAGATTCGAAGCAGAAAAGGTAAATGAATCGAACAAAAAAAAAAAAAATTGACCGGAAATATATTAATTCCTTTTTTTCCTTTTCCTTTTTAACTGAAAACAAAAACTATGATAGGCAATGGCCATTGGACCAAACTTCCCCGGTGGAAAATTATCATTATCTTGGTATACCAACAACTCATCATCTTAGTTTTGATAGATCATTATATATATTTTTCTTATTATAGTATTTTTTTTTTTTTTCTCTTTGGAATCTATCCCCACTAGTTTTAGTTTATTTATTTATCTATCCAGTCAAATATTGTACATATTAAAAATGCTGTTGTTTTTGTACGTGAATATGATGGTTATACATTGAAATGAAAATTCTCAAGGGTTGTCAAAAGGAATAGTTCGATAATCAAAATGATCAGTTGCCTTTTTTGTCTGTGTACGTGCCTGTCGAGTCAAAGGACCAGGTATCAGTGAATGCAGCATATTGTGTGGCTTGCGTGACGCTTTGGTTTACTTTCGCTCGCCGCCTCAATGGTGGTGTGATGGAGTTGGAAGATTTCAAATTTCCACTTTGTCTCTCTTTCTCTCCCTTTCTCATTCTTTTTCCTTTCCTTTTTCTTTTTTCTTTTTTTTTTCTCTAGCGTATAGTTTTTCGTTTATTTTATGTCCTCGCCTTTACAGCCTCCAAACAATCTTCGGTATGCCCCTTATTCTTGATAACATATCAAACTGTTTACATTAGAGTCACTTTTTTTTATTTGAACGTGTTACTAACCATTCTAAATGCTTCACTATTTTGTAGTCAACCGACGAGTGAGTCGCATCCGACTCCAATACAACAACCGCAACAACAATCTTCTTCTTCGCCTTTCTCTCACCATCTTCCGCCACCATCATTAAGTTCTAACAATGCTCCTCCAGGTCAATCCATCTCTCTTCCTCCTCCAAGAGGCATGGATAGGTCATATCAGAGTCCGATGCGATCTCCACTCACTGGATCGTCCAACAACAATAACAACAATAATACAACTTTATTTGGCAATGCAAACAATAATCCACCTTCGTTAAGTAGCCAACTTGGCACGACACTTCCTCCTCCAAGCTCTTTTTCTACTTCAGACCATTCGAAACCTGTGTTACCACCACTTCCTTCAACGGCGCGTGCTCCTTCACCTTACGATGATCACCATCATTCAGCTCTATCTTTACCTCCACCTTCTTCTCAACCAACGGAACAGCGACAAAGAAGCTCTACAAGGACACCACCTCCACAAAAGTCTCCTTCTACTGAAACATCAAGTCAATCTGCTGGTTACCGACCTCTGAATGTACGAGATGCTCTTACTTATTTGGACCAAGTGAAAGTGCGATTTTCTGATCAACCTGACGTATACAATCGTTTTTTGGATATCATGAAGGATTTTAAGAGTCAAGTGTAAGTAGGATATATATATATATAATATTTATTGCATGGATAAAGGCTCATATTTATTTATTAATATAGAATCGATACGCCAGGTGTCATTGAACGCGTATCTACATTATTCAAAGGTCACTCTATGCTTATATCTGGATTTAATACTTTTTTGCCACCTGGTTATCGAATTGAATGCTCTAATGATCCTCATGAACCTGATCTTATTCGTGTGACAACGCCAAATGGTACAACAACAACAACTGGTGGTCGATTAAATATGGAGCCGGAAAATTCTATGCTTTCGGATCCTTACTATCATCCTCATCATCCTCATCTTCCTCCTCCACATCAACCATCCATGCAAACTTCAACACAACATGCTCTTTATGCAGGCAATCCTCCATCCCAACCTCCTCTACCTCCTCCTTCATCATCCTCTATCATGGCTTCGGCTCCATCTACAACGTCTTCTCAATACATGCCCATGGGACGATCATCGGTAGCTCCACCTCCACCAGCATCACCACAGAGCGGAAAACGGTCTCCTGTGGAATTCAATCATGCCATCAATTATGTGAATAAGATAAAGGTAGATTTTTTTAAACGAACGAATGGAGTTGAGTATTATCAGAAACTGACTCTTCCTCTTTTTTTTTCTTCTTCTTCTTCTTTAGAATCGATTTGCAAATGAACCAGATACCTACAAGCAATTCTTAGAAATATTACAAACCTATCAGAAGGAACAAAAACCAATTCAAGAAGTTTATGCTCATGTGCAATATCTCTTCAACGGTGCTCCCGATCTTCTGGATGAATTCAAACAATTCCTACCCGACATTACTGGTCAACCTGCCAGTGTATTATTCGGTGAAGATCATGGCCCATTTTATGGCGAAAACGGTATGGACTCTACCCCTGTCACATATGGTAGTGGGAAACGTGGTGGAATGACTCAGAAGAAGAAACGAGGACCTATACCTCCAGGTGCTGTTGGAAAAGTAAGTTGAAAAAAAAAGGAAGGTACAATTCAATTGATAAGCTAATCATCTTTTTTTTTTTTTTTTTTTTTTTTTTTTGGTTTAGCGATCGAAAATATATCACAAACATGATGATGTCGAAGCTCTCCGTGTTGATCCTTACGCATTTCCCGCTTCACCATTTGATCCAGTACATCCTACAGTGTCTGCAGAAGAAGTCGAATTATTTGAACGTATCCGCAAATATATTGGCAATAAACCATCATATGAAGAATTTCTCAAAACCCTCAATCTTTACACACAACAAATTGTTGATCTGGATCAATTAATGGAACAAGTAGAAGTTTTCATTGGAAGTAACAAGGAATTATTGGATTGGTTCAAGAGTGTACTAGGTTATGAATCCAAAGAACATCCCATTCGACGTCCTGCTCGTACGCTTGCCAAACCTGATTTGATGCATTGTGCTACTGTGGCTGATAGTCCTAGTTACCGTTTAGCTCCAGTAGATGTAAGTTTCCAAACTTGGTTGCAAATATCAAAATTGACTTATTTTTTTTTTTTTTGTAGTGGCAAAATCAAACTTGTTCTGGTAGAGACCAATTAGCTTGGGAAGTCTTAAATGATGTTTATGTATCTCATCCTATTTGGGCTAGTGAAGATGATGGTTTCGTTGCTTCCAAGAAAAGTCAATATGAAGAAGCTATGCATCGATGTGAAGAAGAGAGGTAAATCGACGATAGCTGATAAAAAAAAAAAAAGAACGATATTAATCTTATTCTTATTTGATTATTTAGATACGATTACAATATGAATATCGAAGCCAATCTCAATACTATTGCATTGTTAGAACCTATTTCTAAGAAACTAGAAACTATGACATTGGAAGAAAAAGCAGCCTATCGACTTTATCCTGGACTTGGTGGACAATCTGTTACCATTTACGAACGTATCATCAAGAAGGTCTATGACAAGGAACGAGGCATGGAAATCATTGAACTTTTATACAACAATCCTGCTCAAGTTGTTCCAATTTTATTAAGACGATTAAAACAAAAAGATGAAGAATGGAAGAAGGCTCAGGTAAATATATATATAGAAAATAATATTAATAATCAAATAAAAGTAAAATCTCATGCAAACAATCTAATTCAATATCTTTTTTTTTTCATTAGCGTGAATGGAACAAAATATGGCGTGAACTAGATAACAAAAACTATTATCGATCTCTGGATTATCAAGGCATTACCTTTAAAGGCAATGATCGAAAAGCAATGACAGTCAAGGCTATGGTAACGGAAATTGAAGGATTACATAAAAGCAAGAAATTGAAACAAAGCCAAAAGAATGTATCGACCAAGACGCATTGTCAATTTATGTTTGAATTCCCTGATAAGGATGTTTTCAAGGATGTGACTCGTGTTGTGTATTCTTATATCGATCGCCAAGCTGGATTCAACAGCCATGATAGAGAAAAGGTACGCACATTTATTCGATCATTCATACCTCTCTGTTTCAATGTTGACAATGTGGAACCCGAAGGTGTCAGTAACTACTCGGACGACAATGATGATGATGAATTGATGGATGATGATGATGACGCTCAATCAACCAACACCGAGGATTCAGAATCTGATGTAGCACGATCACCTAGCAAACGAGAAGCATCACCATCACGGCGACGCAGCAGACGTGGCCGCAACCAAGAAGATGATCACACGATGGACTTGTTACGCGATGTTCTTACCAAAAACAAAAAGGCATTGGATGAAATGGGACCTGTCAATGTACGACCCTCGTCTCCTGATGCAAACGACACTTCCGTGATGGAAACAGATACCGATGTCGATGTACCCGCTACCGCCACTTCCGAAAACAGCAAGAGCCCATCCGCACAACCACCTTCTACCAACGTACAAGAAAATACACCTCAAGCCAATGATATCTCATCACCATCGCAAAATGAAAAACTCTTGACTGCTGCCGCTGTGGCTACCGCCCCCGAATCAAGGAAACGAACAATTTATAATTTCTTCTGCAACACTACCTTTTATGCCTTTTTCCGGTTATTCGAGGTAATCAAAGACTATAAACCCACTGGTCAACAATATTGGTATTAACTATTTTTTTTTTTTTAATTTTTTATTCTGTAGATGATTTATGGTCGATTACTAAAATTGAAACAACTGAATGAAGAATACATGAAGGATCCTCGTCATGGAAAGAAAACTAATCAGGTTGCGTTACAATTAGGACTCTATAGCAACAAATTTGATGGTAAAATCTTGATACAAAAAAAAAAAAAAGTTTAATGTACGATACTGATTTTTTTTTTTTTTTTGATGTTATTATTAGACATTTCGACTTCGAATGGATACTATAACGCTGTACTGGATTTGATTGATCGATTCTTTGATGGTGAGGTTGAACCTCAATTGTTTGAAGAAAGCATACGATATTTCTTTGTGACAGATGCCTATTTACTATTTACTATCGATAAATTGGTCCATGCATTCGTAAAACAGGTAAGACAATATAGTCTGTTACTTAAGAAAATGCATACGATAAAAAAAAAAAGGATATCAAACTCATACATTTTTCTCTAATCTACACTTTCTAGATTCAAGCCGTTACTGTTGATACAGACTCTGTTGAACTCGTGCGCCTCTTCCGTAGTGATCAAGAACTAGATGTGACATCAAGCAGGATATTATCTGTTTATAGATTAAGAGCTGAAGAAATCGTGGGATCTGAAGAAAACTTGTACAAGATCAATTTTGTATGTAGTGATGACAAAAAAAAAAAAAAAGATATATAGATCAACTCACATTTATATCTATATATATAGGATAAGAAAACGGATGTGATGACGATTCAATTACTTGATAGTGATGATTACATGTTGGAACCAAATAAGGAAGACAAGTATGAAGATTATATTAGCAGCTATATGGACTGGGTCAATCCAACCGAAGGAGTGTGTATATCATCCATGAAACCAACATATATGAAAAGGTAAGAATAGAATCTGAAAACAATTGATTTAGGAAACAACCTAACATTTTATTATTATTATTATTATTATTTTATTTTAGGAACTTACGACTACAAAATGAGGATCTCGATGAAATATATGTCCGGTCCCAACTCCAATATAAGGTTGATCAAGATACCTACCGCATGTACTATATCGATGGATCAGAAGATGTGTTTATTCGTCCTAGTCAAAAAGCAACAGATGTGCAACAAGCCATGTAGATTCTATTTATTCATTTGAACTTGTTTTTTCTATATACAAATACATATTATATATCTTTTTTTTTATTGTGAAAATTTACAACCAATAAATATTACATTGATCATTCCCCATCTTTTTTGTTTTAATTTATTTGATAGAACTATATCTTTGTTAATAATAAAATTGCTATCAAATTATCAAGTTATATGTCATCACTTTGTGATCATCAGCACCATCCATTTCTGTAATATAAAAAGAAGATGCCGAAATATGTTCGAACCTGAAAGCAAAGATACCTCCAATCACAGCGCAGAAAAGAAAAGAAAATTTATTATAAAGGAAAAACCACTGTATAATTGCAAAGAAAAAAAAAAAGACACTAAATAGTAAAGGGATAACGATGATACTAAGTAGCTATTGAAGGATGTGGATTACTACTAAGTCACAGGTTATTGCTACCAGACTAACATAGAAAGAATGGAATGATGCTAGGCTTATGAATCGCGCCACCGCAATCATCCTCAAACTTTTTAGTCATTGGAATGCCAGATCTTTCTAACCACCAAATATGATCCAAAATTTTTTTAAAGCAAAAAAAAAAAAAAAAAAGAGATGATTTTGCATCATAGAATCACCAATATAAATATATATATAAGCAGTTAGTGTTATGCTTCTTGTTGACCAAATAAAAAAAAAAGAACTTACCATAATATGGTATGTGCAATGGGTGATCAAATAATATATCGAGATAGTATATGAATGTCAAGTAAGAAAAGGATAAAGAAAAAGGCAAAGAAATAAAAAGATCAAGGAATGGTATTTTATAGAAAAAAGTCAAATTTTTGCTGAGGATGCTAAGAATAAGAAGGGGAAACTCTTTTATCAGTCATCGGATGATGATGATTGTCTCTTCTACGGTATGTTGGTTCTTTTTCATGGGATGCTAAGAATAGACGTGAATTGTCTTTTCATCGGATGATGATTGTTTTTTTATTTACTAAACAGGAAGAACGTGATGAGAAACAATGCAAAAAAAAAAAGAACAAGTCTTGTTATTGAGAACGATCATTGATTTAGTTATGATCATTAAGGAGACGATGATAAAAGAAGAAGAAAGTTTTTATTGATGTCATTAATCATCCATTTCCGTAATATAAAAAAAGAGAATCACCACAAATATATTCAAACCCCAAAGCAAACAAGTGTCTAACCGTAACGCAGGAAAAAAAAATAAAATAAATGCGCTTCACATGGAAAAAAAATCAGTAATTCTAAATGGATGCATATTCAAGTACATGTTTGTGTGGTAAGAAGGCCAACCAGTCAGAAGTCGTTGTCGGTAACAGACCCATTGCATTCACTTTATAAATCCCTAAGCAGATGGTAATAATATGAAGGCCAATAAATGTCAATTTTGAAATCATCAAGTCTGCACCAGGCTGCTTGGATCCTTTAGTTTCAAATCTTTCAAAGGCTATAATATATAAAACAATTGAATGAGTATATCTATCATTTTCTATTTTTGTAGGAATAAAAAAACTTACTTTGGTTTAAAGACATGATGGCCTTGATAGGAGTGATGAAGAGCATGACAGTGATCATGACTGAAAAGATTTGCACACCATTGCCACTCATATAGATCATAAATGCATTCATTGGAATACTTTTAGCAGGACCAGTAGCTACATCCCAAGCTCTTTTGATTTTCATTTCGACATCATTATGATCTTGATTCTTTGGACGTGCTGACTTCTATATAGAGGACACATGGATAGGTCAATAAGATATGATATATATATTTCTTTGGCTTTTTACCATTCCGTAACGAGATTGTAGTGCTGACTGTTCAAAGCCAATTGGATTAATGGATTTTCTATAGAGGTTGCCAGGATAATGTTAATCTAAAGAACTGTTAAATAAAATGAATGCACTTACGTCGCTGTGCTAGTAATGGAAGCATAATCTATTGACCAAGTTGACATAATAAGGTACAAGTAAAAAAGAAAAAAATGTAGAGAAGAGGGAAGAGAGACACGAACCTTTTTTTTTTTTTTTTTCTTATGTCTGTTCTTCAATTCATTACCAGCCAGCCAATCAATAAACAACCAAAGAAAGAAAAAAAAATCATCTATGCATTCAAGACGAGATCAGTTGTTTGAATAAAAATAAAAATAAAAAAAAAGAAAATGAACAATACATCTTTTATAAAAATACACAATGTACAAGAAAAAAAAAGAGAATTGACCTTAAATATTTATATTGAAGCAAATCAAGTGCCAATTATCAGTTCAACATGGCTCATCATTAATGCGATACATCATCATAAGAAATATCATCTTTCACAGGAATCATCATCAGTATATAGATTCGAGAGATTCTATTTGTCTAAAGAATGTTTTTTTTTTTTTTTTTTTTTTTTTTTTTTTTTTTTTTTTTTAGCGTGATGAGTTTGTTCCACGATTTTTTACGCATTATAAACAGTTTGTCCTTTTGATCCACTAACAGAAAATATAGTCATAGATAATATACACCTCTTTTGTTAATAGTACGAGAGGATGATAGAATTAAAAATGGGTTTGAGGGATGATTAGAGCCATTTAGACTGTTGACTTTTTTTTGAAAATTTTCTATTTCACAGCTAAAAATTTGAAATTCCACAGCCAAATTTTAGCTGTAAAAATATAATCGTCGAAGGGTCATCAGGCAATTTTTCAAAAAATCGATGAATATATATTGGCACTGATTGCGCATTAGATGACAAGATAACTGATAAAATGGAATTAGATGATACTAGGCTACTTTTTTAAGAGGAATGTAACGATGTTATTTTTATCGGATGATGGTCACTATTGAATGAGGGATGACGAAATTGACGCTTATTTTTTAATTTATTCTATAAATTGGGAGACAAGATATAAATTTTATCAAGTCAATTCAAAAAGAATGATTTCATGTATCTTCACTTCAAATTTGATGCAATGATGATGATTTTTGAGCGAGTTGCAAAAGTAACAAAAGATACACATGTTGATTTTGTTAGTGCAAAAGACAATGGTTTGGATTTTTCAAATGGCTTTTTCTCGTTATGGAGCAAATGAACCAATGAAAAGTCATTATCTATTGTTAGGCTACTTTTTAACAGTGCATCTAGTAGATTAGAGAGTTTGAAGAAAAAGTCTGTACAACTAAAAGAAAAAAGAAAAAAAAAAATCGTGCCTAGCAAAAAAAAAAAAAAATTATTTGGCTGACAAAACATTTGATATGCCGTTACCTGAATTGGTCAAGTCCAGTGAGACAGAAATTGAAGACCAGTAAGAAAGAGAAACAAACAAAACCAATGAGATATCCAGGTTTATTCATTTTCTGTACCCATCATGACAATGCGGAGACTATCTGTCAAAATATAAGAAAAAAAAAAAGAAAAGAGAATAACAAGATCATTGTATGAGAAATAAGTTTTTTTTTTTTTTTAAAAAAAAATCATCTTTTAAGAGATGGCTCATACCTTTTAACCTTGTTTTGGATATGATGATTTTTTTTTTTTTTATCAAATACGTGGATTATATCTTTGAATGACCCTCTGACCAATGACATCAAGGCAACGAGTCGTTTTAGAAAAGATGCGGAAGATGAATGAGTTATCTCCGTCAAGTGGTATCTTTTGACCATATTGGGTTCGAAAGTGAGAGTTTCTCACGTTTTTATGCTGTGGATTTGTCATTGAAAAATTTCATACTAACCTCACTTGGTCTATTCTGGTCAATTCGTTGTTTAGAAAGAGGTAGAATATAAAGATGAAAACCGAGATTCATGCATATAAACCAACCTCTGGATTTCAAGAGGATGATCATCATGGTTATTTCGTTGTTCCATCATATAATCATTTATGTTTTATTTTAGGGTTCATCATCATATAGAAAATGACATGATCATATATACCATTGAACACTTAATGGATGTTGTCCCTGACGGTCATTGAGTGTGGGGTAGTCTGAGGCTAGTAATGACAAATTTGTCTAATTCCACATCGGGGCTTCCTATTTTTTATCTCTTTTATTGGTTTGCTTGGTTATCGCTGAGAAGACCGACAAAAAAAAAAAAAAAAGATATAAAAATCATTTCATTTTGTTTCTCTCTTTTTTTTTTTTTTCTATATACTACTTATTTATTCCCACTTTTTTTGAATCATCATGGCTACTGTTAAAGAAATGAAGACTGTCACTGCATCAAGTAATTTGCATCCTTTGGATCAATTAACTAGTGATGAAATCATCCAAGTTGCTCAAATCACTCGTCAAGCCAAACCTGATATGAACATCATCTTCAATACCATCACTCTCCGTGAACCTGCTAAGGACAAGATGCTATCTTATTTGGGTTGGGAAACTACTGGTCCTCGTGTGACGCATATTGAACGTGAAGCCCTTGTTGTTGCTTTGGAACGTCCTTCCATGAAAGTGTTTGAAGGTATTGTTTCTTTGGATGCTCAAGACCTCAAGTCTTGGACTTTTGTACCTGATGTGCAACCCATCTTGACCATGGATGATATGTTTGAAGTTGAAGAACTGGTTTTAAAGGATGAAAGAGTACAAGCTGAATGTCGTGAATTGGGTATCACTGATATGTCTCAAGTCTTTAATGATCCCTGGGCCATTGCTCGTCATGTGAACTATCCTGGTCGTAACAGACGTCTTATGCAAGCTTTGATGTATATGCGTACTTGTGAAGAAGATAATCAATATGCTCATCCTTTGGATTTCGTTCCCATTGTTGGTAAGTCTTAGTGAAGAATTAAAAAAAAAAAAAAAAAAAAAGAGGGAGATGAGCTGATGATATTCCTTTTTTTTTATTTTATTAATTAGATATTGGATTGATGAAGGTGATTGGTATCGAAAGAATTAAACCAAGAGATAGCAAGTTTACTCGTCCTACCATCCCATTGGAAAAACATAACTTTTTGCCTGAATTCATTGGTGAAGAAAACATGCGTAAGGATGTCAAGCCTATCATTATTCAACAACCTCAAGGCGTATCTTTCAAGATCAAGGGTCAAGAAATTGATTGGCAAAAGTGGAATATGCGTATCTCTATGAACTACAGAGAAGGTCTTGTCATTCATAATGTCAGTTATCAAGATGGTGCCGAAAAACGTCCTTTGTTCTATCGTATTTCTTTGTCCGAAATGGTGGTTCCCTATGCTGATCCTCATACTCCTCACTACAGAAAGGTAAATAATAATAATAATAATATAGAAAAAAAGGAATAATAAAAAAAAAAGAAGTAAAAAGCTAAACATCTTTTTTCTTTATTTTGGATGATTATTCATTCTTCTTAGCATGCCTTTGATGTTGGAGAATATGGTTTGGGTTTATGTACCAATTCTTTAACTTTAGGTTGTGATTGTTTGGGTTCTATTTATTACTTTGATGCTACTTTCAATGATCATAAAGGTCAGCCTTATACTGTTCCCAATGCTATATGTCTCCACGAAGAAGATCATGGTATTTTATTCAAACATACTGATTATCGTAATAATCGTGCTCACTCTGTCCGTGGTAGACGTTTGGTTATCAGTCAAATTGTAACAGGTAAAGAAATATAAATAATTTTGGAAGTATAAAAAGGTGGGATCAATTATTTAATTTTCTAACTCCTTTCTTTTCTTTCTCTTTCCCTTTTTTTTTTTTTTTTTATTCCGATAGTTGCCAACTATGATTATGGTCTTTACTATTACTTTTATCAAGATGGTACTTTCGAATATGAGGTCAAGGCTACTGGTGAATTGAATACTCATGTGTTGGCTGAAGATGAAACTCCTGGAGGTCATGGTGTTATGGTTGCACCTCAAATCAATGCTCAATACCATCAACACTTCTTCACCATGCGTATTGATCCTATGATTGATGGTCAAAAGAATACGGTTGGTCAAGTCGACTGTCACCGCGTGCCTTATCCTACTGGTCATCCCATGAATGCCTTTGGTAATGGTTTCTATTCTGAAACAACTATGTTCCGTGATACTCATCAAGCTCAAGCCATTCCTTCTTATGAAACCTCTCGTGTATGGAAGATTTTCAATGAAAACCGCATTCATCCCTATAGCAAGACACCTGTTGCTTGGAAGGTAACATCTATGCATCAAGCTCCTTTGATGGCTCAAGATGATTCTGTGGTGGGTCAACGTGCTGGTTTTGCCAAAAAGACAGTGTGGGTAACTCCTTATGATGAAAAACAAGTGTTTGCTGGTGGTTTCTACTGTAATCAATCCGATGGTAGTGATGGTGTGGAAGCCTGGGTTAAGGAAAAGAAGAGTGTATCTGATACCGATATCGTGCTTTGGTTCACCTTTGGTATCACTCATTTGCCTCGTGTGGAAGATTTCCCTGTTATGCCCGTCGAATACTGTGGTTTCAAGATGCAACCTTGTAATTTCTTCATCGCTAACCCTGCTATGGATATCCCTGCTACTAACAAGAAGATAAATCAATCTGTGAATGCCAATGCTGAATCCAAGGAAGGTGGTTGTTGTTCTACCAAGCTTTAAAATCGTCTGTCTATGTTTCGGTTACCTTAGTTGATTATATTATTATTAGTATTATTATTATCCCCCATCCTTTTTTTTTATATATGTATATTGCTGGACGATTCTTATCCCCTTTTGTACCATAGTGAATTTATATTTTTAACTCTTCCATATATGTTTTTTTTTTTTTTTTTTGATGATCAAAATAAAAAAACAAAGCATTTCATTTTTTTTTTTTTTTTTTTTGGAAATCATTTTTACAAATAGATGACTAGATCTTTTTTTGTCTATATTTTACAGGATAGATTTGGAAACGAAATTGTGAAATTATCTTCAGATTTATGCCTTAAAAATAGGTATTTTTTTGGATAATCCAAGGGGAAGGTTTTTATTTTACTTCCATCATATCTTATAGAAAAATGATATAAGACGAATGAGAAAAATAATCAATATAGACAGCTGTATTCTGTATCAATCAATGACTTGTACAATAAAAGATCATTATTACTATTGAGAAGAAAAAAGTACTTCTCATCTGTTTCTTTGCGACTTGTCAGATACTTATTGTTTAAAAGGCAATGATGGATACTAAATCTTTAAGCCTATCTTTTTTTTTTTTTTTTTTTTTTTTTTTTTTTTTTTTTTTTTTTTTTTTTTTTGCGGATCTCAAACAGGTTAACGCATATACCTGTCATCACTTTGGTTTAACATAGTTTCACGATCATTGGCTTCAATAGTCCAGACATCTCGTCATGCGTATAGATGTGAGATGATGCAATTCTAGAGAAAAGACCAAATTCGCTTTTTTTTTTTTTTTACAAATACAAAGGTATACGAGAGAAACAATATAAATAAATTACAATCAAATTTTATTGAATATAACACATAATATATAAATAATAATGAGACAAAGAGGTGTAGATGAAAAGAATTATTCTCTTTCGTAAAACAACAAATAAGGGGCACTAGCTAATACTGTATCCAAGTCCACTTCTTCAATCGATTCATCGTTGCATCGCCAGAATTTGCTCGGTGATAGAGATGTTTGATGTCGTTGTGGATGATGAGATTGAAAGATGCCATTGTGTCCACCATAATATCCAGATGAGGTACCCATCATCATCATATGAGGAGGTCGAGCATCTTGTCCTGTTGGAAGTTTTTTGCGTCGATAGGTGATAAAATGACCAGACTCATGTCCGCCACCATAATGTACTATCACTGCATTCAGTCGGTATTGAATGGGTCTAATTGCTGGAAGTGTCAATGATGGTAATAAACTGGGTTCGCTTCTATTGTCCATACCGTTATTCTTATTGTCATCATTGTTGATATCCTGTTGTCCTGGTAGAATAACATTCAATCCATCTTGTTGCCCATGTACAAACTGTTTCCCTGCCATATTTCGAAGATATACCAAACTAGTTCGACTTGTTCTTATTTGAGGTGGCGTGCCAGGCGCTGATTTTGACTTGTTAGATGAGGAAGAAGATGGACTTAAAGATGCGGTTGGATCTTGAGTGTTGAGATAACCATTGGTAGTATAAGGAGCCAAATCAAGATATTCAGGAAACTGAACATTACAATGGTTCTTTTGTACGTAGCCAGAAGGATGATACATAGACCTTGATAGATGAAGACAAAGCGATTTTGGTGGGTTGGCGAACATGGTTTGTTTTGATGTACAAGATGCTGTTTCTGGTGGAATTAGAGTAATACCAGGCTGCGTAACAAAAAAAAAAAATACAAATGTATGAATACTCCTTCACGAAAATTGTATTTAAATACCAGTTATTGTAATTACCAAATCATTTTCTACATCTGTTTGCAGAGCTTGTTCAAGTTGATCGATCTGTGACTTCAGTATTTCACTATGTTTCGTTTTTCCATCACTTGTTGAGTTTTTCCATTCTTCTTTCAGTCTTTCTAGCGTTGCCAATAATGTACATTTCCTACATTGGTAATCGTTCAATATATCCATTTTGGTGTAAGTTCCTAAGCAGCTTTCCAGCGTACAATTGGCCTAGACACGTATGAGTTGAAATAAGTTAAATGAGTTGCTCCAACCTTTCCCTTTTTCCTCTTTATCTTTATAAAACGTTTACCATTTGTGGTACAGGCAATGATATATTGTCAAAGGTATGATGTCGAATAGGTGCCTAAAGATGAAAAAACAGAAGAAGAAGAAGAAGGAAATAGGTTGAGTACACAGCTCTTTTTCATCTTTTTTTTTTTTTTTTTGGGAAAGGAAATTGAACTTACCGTATAACCACATTTCAAACAGCTAATTTTCGAAGCAGCTAGACCAGTAAAAGGGTTTCGAGGACGACGTGGACGATGATGTAAGTTACCTCCAGTAGTAGATACTGAAAATGAGCTCCACATTGATCCAAAAGTTCCCATTGAAGAAAATGATGATGATTCAAAAGCGTCCAAGGATGAAGCCGAAAGAGGTTCCTGCATAAATAAAAGTTGATTGCAGCTTAGTATGAAAATATCTTTTTTTTTAAAAAAAAAAATTACCGTTTCAGCAGCAAGATGTCGAATAGCACCAACGTCTAATAAGGAAGGTATTTGTTGTTTATATTGTATTTCTTCTTCAGAGGTTAGTGAACTTGATATAATTTGGAATAATTCATGAGCATCCTACAATTAAAAAAACAATGAAATGTTAATAATGCATCAATAAGACAAAAGTATATAAATAACCTTCTTACCTGTTGTTCTCGACTGATTGTTCCTCGTGTTTGACGTTCGAGTGCCTGTATGATATCCGTAGGAGCTATAGATCTTGGTCGTGAAAGAGGTCGGTTCAACACTAATTCATAAAAATCTTAGTAGGTGGTAATAACCTATGTATATGTAATGATGATCTGCTTACTTTCAATAGTGGAATAAAGAGCAAATGCAACAGATTGAAGAATAAACTCATTTGGAGGGACCTGAGCACCTGCTTCATCACCTTGTTCATCCACTCGTTCAGCCTAGTAACAATCATGAATAGAGTAAATATATAATACTATCTTTTTTTTTTTTTTTTTACCAAATAAGATCTTAAACAAGAGAGTGTAGCCAATGCCTATAGATACATAAAGCAAGGATTAGTAAAAATTTTTTCAACTTAATTTCTAATTGATTCTTACCTGTAATATAGAATTGGCAAAACAAGAGTTTCCAGTATTAACAAGGCCAAGTACATACTTGTCATCCCGTTCTACCAATGGAAATATATATATATATAAATGAATATAATATGATTACTTTTCAACGCGAGCACCTAATTCTTTTTTTTTTTTTTTTTACCTTTTGATATTTTTGATTTGATTCTTCTTCGACGTTTCTTTGATTCCGAATTACTTGAAGATATAACATATCCAGAAGCAGCAAGAGCTATACCAGCCATAGCAGCTATAGCAGGCAAATGATAATTGGATGAAGATGAAGAAGACATTATCTTTCTTTCTTAAAACTATATCCTTATATATATATATTGTATATATTGTATATATCAAGAGACAAGAGAAAGAGACAGAGAGAGAGAGAGAAAGGAGATCTAAGAGGGGTATTAAAATGAAGTCAAAGTAAAAGGAGAGGAAAAAAGAGAAAGGGATACAACAAAAAGAAAGAAATAAAGAAAAAAAAAATGTGGCTCCCCAAACCCAAAAATACAGACTGAGTTTCAAAGTAAATTCGTTTATTATGGACTCGATACAGTACAAACGCTATCCTATGATGTTTCTATAAAAGAAAATCATTTTTTAGTGGAACATAATACAACACTTTTTAACCAAACTTACCTTGTACCATTAAGATTAAGTTGAGAGGTCTTTTTAGAAAGATCATCATCATACTGCGCAAAGATATTTCGACTTTCAGATTTGGGTTTACGAGTAACAGGAGGAGTAGATTCATTACTAGTAGTAGGACGAGTACCTTCATCATGAGCCAAGGTAAAGGAAGAACCTAGACGATTGGGATTATGAGCGACTAAAGGTTTTGCTTTTGGAGGTTCATAGGAAAAGATGTTTCGATTGGGAGCATTTTCATCTGGTTTTCGGATAGAGTGACGTACTTGATCATCAGGATGAACGGGACCAAAGATTCTACCAGGTACTAAGTATTATTATAAAAAAAAGAAATAAGATATAATAATATATGATTTTATTTCTTTTCTTACCAAACGCATTTTGACCAGGATTAAACTATGAAATAAAAAAATAAAATAAAATGAATGATTGTTAAATAGTAGTGATTCATATTTACCTTTGCTGGTAGTTCTGTTGAAGGAGTAGGAGAGGTAGGATTAGAACCAGTAACACGTAATGCATTGACTTGTTCAGCACCAATGACAGGCCATTTATTTCGTTGAGAAATGACATTTAATTGTTTCAAAACGGATGCTTGATCCCAGTAAATCCTAATTCTTGCAATCAAATCATTTTCAAATTGAGCGGAGATGACCTATAAAAGGAAACAATAGAGTGTGAATCAAACAAAAAGGAACAATAGATTATATATATATATATATTTACCACAGGAATCTTGATAGTAGAATTCACCTAACCAATATTATAATACATTCATTTATCAATTAAAAAAAAAATCAATATAATAATAAAATAAATGTTTTTAACTTACATAATAATGTTCATCGAGATTAGGGAGTAACCAGTTACATTCCATTTGTTTAAAAGTGACAACCCAATCTACTTCTTCCATAATCTTGTTTCCAGAGATGACTTGATTATGAACCTGTTCGGCAATAGTAGTTGACTTTGATAAATAAAACTTTCGAAGTTCAGTATTAGATTGAATAGTGACACCAGTAGGAACATGAGTTACTGTTGCGTCAGTTGTATATAAAGCAATATTATCAGGTTTCTCTTTGTATTGACTCCAAGTATTTTCCATAATAATAATGATAATAGAATAGATAAAAAAAAAAATAATGAGAAAGGAAAAAAAAAAAAAAGAAAGAAAGAAAGGAAGTAAAAAAAAAAAAAAAAGGTTAAAGTGATACAAATTAGGGAAATTTAAATGAACGACTGATACAATAGGAGATACGTGTAACAATGAACGCCACCTTCAAAAATAAGCATCAATGATTTATATACAGATCAAATAAGGAGAAAATAATTGTAGGGGAATAATCAATTTATTATTATTTCATTTTATTAGTGCTAAAGACAAAAAAGAAATATAAGAAGAAAAAAAAAGAAGTATAAAAATAATACACTAAGCACAAAAGATATATATTTATGAAACCAAAAAAAAAAAAATATAATCATCATGATTTGTATCTAATGATTATTCACTTTTGATGAAGACGTTTGTTGTGATCGTTTGATAGGTTGTTCTGCATTTAAATCATGTAAGGAGACTTTACGACGAAGACCATTTGGGGAACCTAACAAAAAAAAAAAAACAAGTTTTTATTAGCCAATCATTTTGTTTATCTTTCACATTTTCACTCTTACTTGGTACACTAGATAAATCTCTTTGAGCAATCACACGTCGTACAGTGGGTAAAGGTTTATTGGCAACTTTTGGTAATAATCTACCATCATTATTGGAAAGTGATCGAACATGACCAGTACGGCCTACTAAAGGACGTTGTTGAATATTGGATAAGATAGGAGGAGATGATGATTTTCTTAATCGGACACGTAAACCATCAGATGATTGTGATACCAAAGGAGGACGGATAACGAAAAGAGGAGATGAAGGTGGAGAAGAAGACATGGAAGCCATTGGACGAGGTTGATGATAACGATGTGTAGTAGCAGATTGAGACCGTTGAGGTGTTGGTACAGTAGCAATAGAAAGATCTTCAACAGATAATACATCATCATCTTCTTCTGTAATAGTTCGTTCATCTGAATGTTCTGAATGTTGAATAAAAGCCATTTCTTGATCCACTTGAAGTGCACGAGCCACGTTGTCCACAACCAATAATCCAAATAATAATCCCCATCTTATAGGTACTTGAACCACATTTTGAATACCTTTATTATGTACCTTGAGTTTACTGATGACTTGAATCATTGAAGCTTGTACTTGTAATAACACGATAGTAGTGACTGAAGGTGCATTAACGGGTGTATCTTGCATTTTATTATCGTGATAATCTTGATTTGGTGATGATGTTCCACTTGAGAAAACATCCCTTTTAGCTTGATCATATAACATATTGAGGTGTTATCCAAAAAAAAAAAAAAAAAAAATAGTAAAAAGAGAAGAAAAAAAATGAGTGAGAAAGAGTTTTTTCTCTTTGTCTTTGGGTTGGCGGATAATGAAAAAATGGGGATCAACAACTTCTTCTTTCAGCTGATAGCGCCTTCAGGTGTGACAAACAACTGTACATAAAAAAGGACTGGGTAACTTTTTTATAATATTTCATATGCTAACTAACCCACAATTGCTTTATTATAGAAATTTCTCCATTTACTTACTACTTATTTATTTTTATTCACTGAAATTAAAAAAGATTGGATTTGATTCCCTAATATATTCTAATTTTTAAGTGAGAAAGAGCCAAAAAAGAAAAAATGGTCTGTGCAATGTCACCTTTTTTTTTTGTAATCCTAATTTCCAACCTTTTTTTTTTATATATATATAAAAATATATGAATATTATATTTTATTCACAAAAGAATCGGGTTGTCTCCGAGATGTGACTGAAAGAAAAAATGTCGCACTGAAAAAAAAAGACGTGTGAGAGTCTTGCGGATATCATGTACCACAAAAGAAGCTAACTGCTCTTATCTTTTCTTTTTTTTGTCACTTGCCGCCCAACTTTCAATGCAGAAACAACCAAATAAATAAATAAATAAAAACCTGAATGATACATCAACCCCACTTTAGAATTACCTTGTTTTGCATAAGTCAGTAATCGTCATAATAAGGGAAGGATGATAACGGAAAGACTCTTATTTGTTACTTCATTTCGACTATATATGTATATCATCATTCTACATCATATTCCCACACTTTTGTTTTGCCTCCAAAAAAAAATATCATCTCCAATATCTTGCATCTATGTTATTGTTTTTTATCCATCACCAATAATGATCCATTATCTACCTATCGTCACCCATCTATTGTCATCCACTCATCATTCATAATCTATCATCATCCATCATCCATCCATCACATATCATCCGTCCATCATATATCATCCGTCCATCATATATCATCCTTCCATCATATATCATCCTTCCATCATATATCATCCTTCCATCATATATCATCCTTCCATCATATATCATCCTTCCATCATATATCATCCTTCCATCATATATCATCCTTCCATCATATACCATCTCATGATCCCATCATCAGTCAATAAAATAAAAAACGGAAGAAAGAGCGGATGTTTATTATTGTGTAATATACTTGGGCCAGCCAATGAGTGGGGAGAGTAATAAATAAAAAAAAAATATGTATGTGTACTAAAGTAGATAAAAAAACAATCAGGGGGGAGAATGAAGTATAATACAAAGGTATCACCAAATCGCCGATGCATCTATTTTTTTTTTTTTTTCATACAACCCAATCAGTCATCAAGAGCGAATCATCAAAGATATCAAAAGGAAATGATCCCATTTGTTGTTCAAAAGAAAGCATGGTGGAAGATGGTTCAGTGGTATTTAACAAATCTTGAAAAGAAATATCTTGACATGTCATTGTTGTTGTTGTTGTTGTTGTTGTTGTTGTTGGCGTTGAAGGTATAGATGGATCCAACCAGTCGAAAAACGATGATGATGTTATAGGGTCCAACCAAGTAGGCATCAGAGTGGTTGTTGTTGGAATAAAAGGTGTTGTTGGTAGAAGTGAAAATGTATCATCCAAGATCGAAGTAATGCTAGTATTATCGCTATTATTATTATTATTATTATTATTATTGTCGTACAGGTGACCATCATATAAACACGGTGTGGATTTTGCCTTTTTGAGTAATGGTTTGCTTGTTTTTTCCTTGGATGTTGTATATTCTTGGCCTACATCGATCCCACTATCACAATCAGAATCATGATCGTCGTCCATTAGTTGGTGTAACTCTGGCATGGATCGTTTCCGTTTGGTTGATGTTGATGGTGTCATTCGAAAAGTGGTGAATAAAGGAGAATTATTCATTGTTTTGTTATTCTTTGAGGATGATGATCGATGGTGATATAAAGTACGAGGTAATGTCACTGGTTGTTTACGAATAGGACCACGTCGTTTGATCAGATTGTCAATAAAACCTTGTTCTTGCCCTGTACGAATAGTCCAATAACTTCCTTTTCCTGAATTTGATGATCGTTGTATACGAATAAAAGCTTTGTTTAATGATAAATTATGTCGAATAGAATTCTATAGATAATAACAATCAGTAAAAAAAAAAAAAAAAAAAAAAAAGGTTGTAATATATAATTTAATTTTATCTTACCTGCCAACCATGTTCAGTCATAGAATAAAAAGGGTAATGTTGAGTAATCCATTGATAAATATCACTAAGAGTTAATCTTCGATGATCACTTGAAAGAATAGCATGAGCAATCAAAGTAGCATAAGAATAAGGAGGCTTATCATTTGCATCTAAAGGTTGCCAAGAAGGAACTATATGTAAAGGACCAGGAGGAACTACTTTTGTTGTTGTTTGATAATCCATTCGTTTTTGTTCAATAGGTATTGTTGATTTATCTTTTGAAGGTCCATCTACTACAAAAGTATAAGAAGGAATAATACTAGTGGCATAAGATTGATTTTCTGTCATGATTCAAAAAAAAAAAAAAGTGGAAGAAAGAAAAGAAAAAGAAAAAAAAAGAAGAAAATAGGAATCGATTTAAATACAGAATCTATCTTCAATAGGTTACACTGACTTTTTTTTTTACCTTTGCACAAAAATGTGGAAAACGGCGTGACAAAAGATCCTTGTTGCATTAACCTCCTCCTCTTGATTATTCTTGACTTTGAAATAGCTTGCTTTTTTTTTTCTGAAGAAAAAGGTTATACTATTTTGTCTTTATAATAAATAATTCATCAATATAAAATAAATCTGGCTTTTTTATTATATAAGAAAAAAAAAAAGGAAAGAGAGAGAAAGAAAGAAAGAAAGAAATAAAAAAAAAAGAGTGAGGATGATTCGCATGGAAGACAAAAATGTTGAAAACCGCGTGGAGATAGAACAACTTTCAGTTACAGAGAAAATCCGCTTTCGGGTCATACATCCGAACTTGAAACCCTTCTGCTTACTTGATGGTTGTACTACCTTTAACCAAATATAGGTCATACAATAGATCTATAGAATCTCATTTTACCTGTGCATATACCATAGATTGGCTCTCCGTTCTTTTTTTATGCCTGTTTTTATAGAATCAACCGATCAAAAAATATCTGTACTTTTTTTTTAAGTTTTTTTCTACTACCTCATTGCTTATCATCGTCATCATCATCATCCTCATGATGTAATGACATCATGGTTGCCTATGATTGTATTCTTTTTTTTTATTATTAACTAACTATTTCATCGTATAAATCCATATTTGTACATGTTTCAAAACTACCAGACTTGACATCCTCCTCCTATAAAGAAATGAGTTTGAATTCAAAGACCTACGAGCCAATAAAAACATGTGAGTCCTTGACATGACACCTTTTCCTTTATTACTTTTGATAATGAATAATCAAACTGTGTAAGTAAACAACGATCCGAAAAAGGAGATATATATTCATACGATAACTTATATTAGTAAAAAAAAGAATAAACTGTAAAGAGCAGTATGTTAAAGAGATGCTCAAATCAAAGATTCATATTCCGCAGTGACAAACCTGTGAGTGACTACGAACAAGAGGAGGGGGAGAAAAGAAAAAAAATGGCTGAATCGAATCTTTTTTTTTTTTTTTTTTTTTTTTTTTTTTTACATAGACTTTACTACCTTTTCTTTTTTTTTTTTTTTTTGGTCACCATGGATAATCTCAATCACTATGGCTCTAGTGATGAAGAAGATATTAATACCGCACCTTCAGTTCAGTCTAACTCAACGGCAATGGTGATAAATACAGCTCCTGATACTGGATTTGAGGTAAGTAAAAAAAAAAAAAAAAAAAAAAGGATGTATGATTTTCCTCTCTTTTTTTTTTTTTAAATGAATGATGAATAATTTTGGTTCTTTTTCTTATTTTTCTAATAGCAAATACAACCTGATCGACTTTACACAGCACCAACCGCGACAGAACTAACTGTTAATGTGACTTATGATGATATGAATCAACCTATTGTAGGACCAAAGAACCCTTTCGCAGAACGACGATTAGCAACGCAAAACATTGTAACGGGACATGTAGAACAACAAGCGATCTCTGAATCTGACTTTCGAACACAAATGCGAACTTTTGAATCGTATGGATATGCACGCGATCCTTCAGCGAACACGGCCAATTTAACAGGACACATTGGACAAGGTGTGAATGGAACTGGATTTGTAGGCAATCTAAGGGCAGCAGCAGATATGAATGGAGCCACCATTTTTGACCGAGCACCTAAAGCTTATAGACACAATCAAGATCAAAAGAAGAAACGAGCGAAAAGGGGTGATCCAGGTGTATTGGAAGGTGAACATGCTTATAAAGGACCTTGGGCTGGATATGAAGATGATGGATATGAAGATCGTGGACCTCAACGTGAAGAAGAAGAAATCAAGGAAGAACAACCAATTGAACAAGCAGTAACATCACGATTTGAACAAGATGAAATGGCTCCTGAAGAAGTACATGATGATGCAACACAACAAGACAGAAATTCACAACCCACTGGACATGAAACTACAACATTCCATGGTGCTCAAGAATATGATTATCTCGGTAGGACTTATATGGCTGTACCTCAAGATTTGGATATCAATCTTAATGGTGAACCTGGTACTCAACAATGTTTTATTCCCAAGAAACTCATTCATACCTGGGATGGACACAAGAAAGGAACTTCAGCTATTCGATTCTTCCCTGGATCTGGTCATTTATTGTTAAGTGCGGGTATGGATAATAAAGTTAAGGTAAGAAGACCAAAAAAAAAAAAAAAAAGAACATGTTACTTTCATTTATTTATTTATTTATCTGGTAAAAATTTAGATTTGGGATGTATATCATGACCGAAGTTTATTAAGATCATATATGGGACACAGCAAAGCAGTACGTGATATAGCGTTCGACAATGATGGACGAAGGTTTTTAAGTGCAGGTTACGATCGATGTGTGAAATTATGGGATACTGAAACTGGCAGATGTATTCGATCTTTCTCCACTGGCAAGATTCCTTACTGTGTGACTTTCAATCCGGCTCCTGATAAACAAAACATCTTCCTCGCTGGTTATTCTGATAAAAAAATCATTCAATTCGATTGCAATTCTGGGAAAATCACTCAAGAATATGATCAACATTTGGGGGCTGTCAATACCATCACTTTTGTGGATGACAATAGACGTTTTATTTCCACTTCGGATGATAAGACCATGCGGGCTTGGGAATATGATATTCCTGTTGTGATCAAATATATTGCCGAACCTGATATGCATTCTATGCCATCTGTTACGTTACATCCTAATAGTAAGTGTCTTTTTTTATATATATATACAATATTTTGAAAAAAAACACGTATGTTGTTATGGGATAGGTGCTGATTTTTTTTTTTTGATTCCTCTAGAGAAATGGATTGCGTGCCAATCATTGGATAATCAAATCTATGTCTATGGTGCCCGTGATCGATTCAAGGTAAACCGCAAGAAACACTTTTCTGGACATTTGGTGGCTGGTTACGCATGTAAACCAGGTTTCTCTCCTGATGGTAAATTCCTCAGTAGTGGTGATTCAAATGGTAATGTCTGGGTATGGGATTGGAAATCATGTAAATTACTCAAAAAATTCAAGGCTCACAACAAAGTGGTGGTCAATACCGAATGGCATCCTCATGAAACATCAAAAATGGCAACTTGTTCTTGGGATGGGGTAAGTTGGTTAAAAGAAAAAAAAAGATCAAAGACAATAATTAACTTCTTTTTTTTTTTTGGGAAATAGTACATTCACTACTGGGATTGATCTGGACAGTTTTGTTATTTACTCTTATTATCATGATTGTTATTTGAATACGGTTCTTTATTATTCAATAAATAACTCTGGTGATTCACTGGAGATTTTGAAATCAATATTGTATATTTGTGTGTATGTGTGGTAGCTTGATTTTATTGGAAGATTGGCTTTCGACTTGGATTTCTCTTTCATACCCAATTTGACTTGATTTTTGTTTTTTCTTTTTATTTATTGAACTATAAACAATGGAGGAGAGATGGCAAAAGGATATAAGGGAATAATAAAGAAAAAAAAAAAAAAAACAGAGAAAGACTATCAAACCGAAGATAATGCTAATATAACAAAAAAAAAAATCTATAGTGACCATCCAGGAGAGAAGTAAGTATGTTGTTCAATCTGAGGTGTACTTGGAACAGTAGATGATGATGATGGTGTGTCTTTAGGTCCTTTCAACCAGTTCGATTTATGTCCGGCGGCATAGATACCTTCTAACACTTGACCAAATGTACCCTTGTCCCTATATTCTAAGTATTTTTTGTACAACACCAGCGCCTATGGAATAATAATAACAATAATAATAAAAGTAAGCACATCGTATTTATGATGGATAACAATATATATATATATTTCATTGGATCTATTTTACCGTTTTGGCATCAACAATACTGTCATGTCCTTCCGATTGGATTTCTTGATCTAACAAATGCCATGCCAAAAACCTTAATGATATTTTCCTATTATAAAAAGAAAACATATACTATCAATCATCACGTTCTTTATTTATCATCCTTCCATTTACCTGTGTCGGTTCCTAATATGGTAAATATCAACAGTATCAACAATTTGTTCGGGAGGCACAAGAATATCTATTCATACAAGTTAAAACAAAAAAAGATAGTTAAGATTAAATGATTGATGATCATCACCTTTTTCGTTGTCATTTTTTTTTCTTACTGATAATTCTAAAATCCTTCTTGAGACCATGTCCAATAAATACACATCCAAGATCAACCAATAAACGAATCTTCTTGTAAGCAACTTTTAAAGGTACCAATGTTCGTTTACTTCTTGTTGGATCCAAGTCAGCAGCTGGAATGAGAAAAACAAATGATATTAGTTTAGTACAATATATATATAACTTTGAATAATTACATCACTTATTCCTCTACTTACCTTCGATACCACTAAACTCAGTTAAATAATCCACAACAGGTTCACTTGTTACAATATAATCATCTATAAAAGGAACACCTTCTTTCTCGCCATCTTCGCCACGTGTCACACTAAGTCGAGCTAAAGATAATGTACTTGGTCGAATCAATGATTTGGTACCATCACTACGAATTTCTGTTTCTTCTTGTCGTAAGGCCACAAATTCAGAATCTATAGCAATTAGTGTACCAGGAGTAGGCATTTCGTCTTTGGTCAATATTTCATAACTTAAGGTTTCGGATGTATTTCTATAATAAAATTATATAGTGAGTAATAATTTTTTTTTTCAGTTTATCATTTTAATTTTCTTACTCTGAGATTGACATTTTCTTGAAGAGTAATGAGTAATCAATTTCACTTGGTACTGTACTGAGATCCAATAAATTATCGATATCCACTCTTGTATATTGTATCACTGCTGGTGTCTTCCAAGTTCCTTTAAATGAAGTGATTTCTTCTGGTCGTATCCGTTTCACTAAAAAGTCATTAAAGACATACCATGGAGATTTTGCTTTCTCTTCTTCTTCGAGTCCTGTTACTATTCATCATTTGATCACAAGAAAGAAAAAGGATTAAGTTCCAGATCATGAATACCACCTTATTTGGTTACTTACGGCTAGTGTAGGTCACACGTTCGCAATCAGGAACTGTAGAAATAATAATAATAACAATAGTGGTAAAAAAAAAAAAAAAGATTAAGTAACGCACTTGATTATATATATTCATAACTTTACTTTTGATCTGTGCCACAAGATGAGATACTTCTTCTTCAGCTTGTACTTGGAGTATAGTTGACTATAATTGAGGTTCAATAAAATAAGAAGAAAAAAAAAAAGGAGTCAAACGGCTTCATTCGATGATCTTATTATTATTATTATTAATATTCTATGCTTACCGATAGTTCATAAATAGCGCAAGTGTCGGGTGATCCAATGAATTCCGTTGGGACATCTTTTCCTTGAGGTAGAGCTTTGATGGTCAATTCTGATCCATTGATACGAATACCAAATCTATAGGTCAAATAATAACCAAATCCATTAAATCGAGCTCTTTTTTTTTTTTTTTTTTTTTCTTTTCATATCTTTTATATGATATCCTTTACCTTTCTGGTAACCATGAGCTAGATGAATTATCAGAAGGGGAGTCATTATCTTGAGTAGGAGAATCAGTACGTCCTTTAGGACTACTAGGACCGTTTTGACGCCAGATGGAAGCTTCTTCACTTGTAGATGCACCAGAATTTATTAAAAGAACACTTGGAAGTCCTTGAATCGTTTTCTTTGTTGTAGATGACTGGTATTTTTGACATGTGGAGCACCATGCCTTGGTTTGATTTTCACGATACATGCTGGTTTTCAGTAAACTGGTAAAAGACCTTTTCCTAGGCTAAATAAGATAAAATAAAATAAATCAGTTCAACAATTTGATTTGAAATCACCATATTCATATATAAATATAATACGTATACGAACCTTTTTCGGGTACAGTAAATCCACAACAAATGGATAGGTGATGCGAGACATTTCATTATTGCAGCTTCCACATTTGCTTTGAGTCAATGTTTGTAAACCAAATAATTGTTGCATCGTTGAGGGTATTTCCGCTTTAGATTTCGATGATCGTGTTGATTCATCCAGTGCTTTTGTCGTTATCATCGATTGAGTGGATCCTTTTTCTTCCTTTGTTGTTTCTTCTTCTGATGTTGCAGATTTGGTCAACGTTTTCAAGATCAATGGATTATTGGATGGGGTATTTGCTTCCTGATGTAGTTGTTCCAAGATAAATCGTACAAAGTTTTGCATTAACATAGAATAAGATACATTGCGTGTTGGCGATTCCGGTTCGAAAAGTCCAAGAGCAGCAGCTAGTATATAATTATATCGTTCATTTTTAATCAATAAATATCTTTTTTTTTTTTTCTTTTCTTCTCTTTTGAAACTATTTATTTCGTATATATTACCTTGTGGGATCGTACTGAATGCTTTTAAAAAGTTGGTTGCTTGACAATTTTGACCTTTCGAATCTTCAAGCATACGGAATAAAAATCCAAGTTCACATAGCAAACAATTTTCCTTTTCGCATGAGGCACCAATATGACATTTAGCAATTTGACGTAGTGGTAAAATAAAGTAAAGTACTTGTAATAATGAATTGCAATAAGAATTTCGAATGTTGGTTTCCAGTCCACCATAGATTGTTCGGTTGTAGTATCTAATTATCCCATCATAATGAAACAAGTCAGTTTTTCATATGCAAAATAATATCATCCTAAAGTAACTATTTACCCAAAGTCAAAGTCATCCACACCGAATTTACTGTACTGAATTTCAACATGATGATAATGTTTTGGCATCACTAAACCTTGAGGATCTAATAATATATCACCTACAGAAGAAGATCGCCGACCAGAATGCTAAACAATTAAGGAACTATATTAGTATTCAAAAAAAAAATTCTGAATCAGTCTTGATTACCATAAGATCACTCGTTTCATCCAATATAGCAGTTGCTGATAAAAGTTCTCGTTCTTGTTCAGATCTGAATTTTGGAATATCTTTCTTGAGAGTTTGTTTTTTCCTGCGAGGAACTTGATTTCGATGTATATTACCAGGATTAGGTGCATATCCCACAAAGTCAATTGTTTTGATGCCTTTCAATATTTCATCATCGATTGGTGGTGTTGGATATCCTACATCATATACAGCTCCAGATGTCCAAGCCGATAGTAAAGGTTCAGAATAATATGGCATACCAATAGCTGACAAAGGTCTAAAAAAAAAAAAAGAATTTTATGAGTATCATCATCTATATATATATATATCATTATTTTCACTTACGTATCATTATTCACTATAACATTTGGAGGAGGAGTAGTATCAGGAGTTGTCACTGGTAAAGAATAAGGATTTGTCATATAATTTTCACGATCAGCATATTGATGCACAAAACTGTTTCCATCACCAAATACTAATGTTTGACCAGAACTTGAAATATCCATAGACGTAATATAACTTGATGTTTGTACTTGATAAAAATGAGCTGGAGGAGCAAAGGAACCCATGGTCAAACTTGATACATCACACATTTGGAATTGCCCAGTTTGTGATACTACCAAACAAGTTGAACTAAGAGTTGGATGCATCTTCAAAAACATAGGACCACTAGGAAATGGAATAGGTGCTAATGATCGGATAGCCATTCGAATATCATATACTTTAACCAAAGGATCCATAATCAATGAACCTTGCCTACAAAATAAATATATATATATATATATATATATTATTCCAATCTGTTATTATTTTTAAAATAAAAATAATAATTTATTATACCTTTGAGAAAAACCACATGTCAATAATAAGTTACCAGATACATCCAAATCAGATAATGTTGCAGTATGTGCCTGTACTCTTTGTTCCACCTTCATTGTTCTAGTATCCCGTAAAGTAACTTCACCTAACATACTACCACAACAGATTGACCTTGGAAGATTTCGCATAACAACTATATTCGATGCTCCTGGTATTGTTTTTGTCACTGTTCCACGTGCTGCACTAACCATTAACATATCGTCCTGTTGTCCTGCCACTAATAAATCACCATTTGTAAGAGAAGTTGTTGTCATACAATGTAAATCTTTCATTTGTTCCGTGCTATTGTTAAAATTAAATAATTAGTTTAAAATAATATCTTTTTTTTTTTTTTTTTTTTTTTTTTTTTACCTTATATTCCATCGAACTAAACCTTGTCTATCACGCATTTGAATACTTTTAGGACTAAGACTGATGATACCTCTTTCTGTCACTCGAATTTGTCGTATTTGTTGATCAACATGAGCTTTAAATGATGTATAACGTTGTAAGCCTTTACCAAAATAAGAAGAGACACGTCCCTGAATTATATATTTATATAATAGTCAATGGTTGAAAAAAAGAAAGGTTTATTTCTATTCGGAAGTTTATTAAACTTACAGTATCATTTCCAACCCATAATAATTCATGGTAAGGATCCCAACATAAAGCAGAAACAGGTGCTACTTTGTTTGGATTGGTATCACATATATGTTGAACTTCCGTCCAAGCACTTTCCATGACTTTTTCAAAGATAAAAAAAAAAAAAAAAGTTATCAAAAGAAGCCCAAAAAAAAAAAAAAAAAAAAAGAAAGAGATTTTTCTTATTTTCTATTTGTGACCTCCCAATAGGGATCTTTTTTTGTTTTATAGTCCGTTCCGGCTTTCGGATTGAATGTCTTGCCCTTTCCTTTTTTTTTCCCTTTTTCTTTTTTTTTTTTTTTTTTTTCTCTTTTATTTTATTTTATTTTTATTTATTTTTGATAAAATATTAACAGAAAAAACGAACGAACAGTTATGCCAGTACCTTTTTTTTCTGGAACCAAACTTTCTATTAATCTAGCAGAAGATACTGTTCTGTTAAGGGGAATGGCTCAAGATGACGGAACCTTTGTTTTACGAGGTGAAGTCGAACTAGTAGTGACCAAACCTGTCAACGTTTCTTCAGTTGTTATCAAATTGATTGGAAAATCTTTTACTTTATGGATGGAAGGTAAAAAAAAAAAAAAAAAAAAAAAAAAAAGATATTTTTACTTATTATAAATTATTATTAGGTATAGGAAGTGGTCGAGCTACAAGATACTCTTATGAAAAGAAGATTCATGAACAAGATCTTGTTCTTCAAACATGGTTACCTACAACTCCTCCTCCTTTGATTTCTAAATCTTCTTCTGGATCTTCTTTCAAGTCAACATTGGCGAACAATATCAAAGGTGGTTCTTCTTCAACAAGTTTAAAGATAACCAATGATGACAACAATAATGATAATAATAACAGCAATATATCTGGTATCTTATCTCCAGGATTACATCGATGGCCCTTTGAATTCTTCTTATCAAATAAACTTGTAGAAACCATTGAAGATGAAACTGGCAAAGTATTTTATTATCTAACTGCAACTGTTCACCGATCAAGCGGGATGAAAAGTAAAATAAAATGCCGGCGCAACATTCTTGTCCTACGTACACCACATGCTGATGCTATTCTGACTGCCAATAGTTTACCCACGACTTCCATTATATCGGATCGACGTTACCCTGCTTGTGATGCTACTATTTGTGTTGAAAAAAGTATGGCCTCTTCTGGAACTCAATTCCCAATTGATTTGACTCTGGTACCCAATATGAAAAATGTATTTTTGGAATCCATCTCTGTCCTTATATGTGAACGAAGGGTTTATCGTTTACCAGAATTTGATGCTCGACGTGGTGAAATGTACGATTTTAAAATGCCTTTATTATCCATCACCAATCTCAGCGATAGAACGACATGGGCTCTACCTTCAACTGATGATCATGATGATGATGACAACAATGATGAAAATAGAACAAATCAACAGGAAACTACTTTGGATCAGAAAGTACGTTCAGCATTATTTACAAAGAACGCTCATGTACCTTTAAATGGTGATCCATTTCAATTTCGATTTATATTCAACATGCCAAATTGTATCGATTTGAACCATTCATCCACTTTTTCTGAAATCGATATTCGCCATTTTTTGAAACTTTCTATTGACATTCGATCGCCCGAAGGTCCTTTGACAATTCGCTTAGATACCAACATTACTGTATTGGATTGTAGATTGAAGGAAGATTATGCTGCACTACCAACCTACGAAGCTGCTCTCTCTGATGTTACTGTGGATATGGAAGATGATCCCTCAACTATTTCTGGAAATCGTAGTGGTTTTTTTATTTGCCCATGTTATCTTAGTTACAAGAAAAAACGTCAAGTCTCCAGCAAAAAAGAATGGATTATGATGCGACACAACAATCGTTTTATTGGGGATGGTCAACATTATCCAACTAACAATGGTACGGCTCCTCCTTCTTATGACACCATTATCTCTGATTCTACCTCTTCTCAACATCTCAAATCATAGTCTGTATTCTTATTTTTACCTTTATTATTACTATTACTATTATTATTATTATTACTATTGTTATTACTATTATTGTTATTACTATTATTATTATTATTACTATTACTATTATTTTTGCATATTCCTATTTACTTTTATTTAAGAATCATTACTGTAGATATTCATTTGTTCTTTCATTTCTCATCAGCATTCACTATTTGTTTTTTTTTTTTTATTATTATTATTCTCCCTTCAATAAAGACCAAAAACAAAAATCAAATCTTTAAGTTGTTTCTTTCAATTCAGCAAGTCTTCTATTTTTGGGTACCTAGTTTTGGATCAAAAAGTCTGGAACGAATAGAATAGGCTTTTGTGTTTCCATTTGTGGACCGGATTTGTAAAAAGAATGAACAGAAAAGATGGAGTGGGAAAAGCTTCGATACAAGGTTTGGCTAGAGAACATTACACTCTGTAAGGTACAAAATTACAGTATCTATTTTATTATAGTTCATTTGATGATGATGGTGTTAGATGAAATCTGTGCATATCTACCCTAAGAATAGACCTATTTCGATTGTTTACAACAGTCAAAAAGGAACGATTAGAATATGACGTTGCATGATATGATCTTTTACGGTTTATCATTGGGTGATCATGATATAAAGAAAATGATGACAGATGATGTGAAAAAAAAGACTTTTAATACATGCATGAATCGATATTATCAACATAATGTGAATGATAATAACTGCATCTGATGCACACTAGGAAGAGAGAGACACGAATACCAAATTAGGGAAACATATTCAAGCTCCTATCATCCTTGCAAAAAAAAAAAAAAAAAAAAAAAAACCTCACCTTTTTTTTTTTTTACTTTGTCTTTTCTTTCCTCTTTTTCCAACAAAAGTATATCTCCTCTGTTTTACTATGCAACAAGGTAACTTGTATTTTTCTTTATCCTATAATACAGAAAATTAATTACGTTTGTACTTTTACTTGTAGTGGAATGCCCAATCTGTGGAGAAAACGTTAACGCCAACAATATCAATTCTCATTTGGATTCTAATTGTTCAACTCCTGTAATTCAAGTACTGTATCAAATTTGGAACAAGGAAAGACGCGATCACTCATTGAATTGACCTATTTTTCTTTTTATTAGTCAGAAGGTACTGTGGCTTCTTTATTTACCAACCCTAAAGCTCAGAAAACGTCAGAAACAGATTCACAGGTAAAAAAAAAAAAAAAATAAAAAAAAAAGGATCATATTTATAAAAGAAAAAAAAAAAAGAGTAATGACCAGATCCCTTTTAAATCGTTAGCCGAAGAGAATAGCACCATTATTCAAGTCACCAACAAAATCCTCTACTACAGAACAACAATCATCACAGAAGCAACAACAGAAACAATCGCCATCATCATCACCAACAACAACAGCAGTAATGACACGTCAGATAACAGATACTGCGCCAACACCAAGTCGGAAGCGTCAAAAACTTGACGCTGCTTCTGCGTCTATGCCTCTGGCTGCTAAAGGTAGTGAAAAATAGTAATTTTTTTTTTAGAAAACGAAAGGGGGAAGAATAATAAATATGATCTTGTGATAACAGTTACTAAAGCGATGTTATTATAGTACGACCTATCTCTTTGGACGAGTTTGTGGGACAAGATGAATTGGTGGGGAAGGAAGGTATCTTGCGTACATTGATTGAATCGGACCGAATCCCATCCATGATATTTTGGTAAGTATCCAACATATATAAAGGAACTGATAGGAATGAAAAATACTTGCCAATGAGTATTCATTTGATTTGTATTCTAGGGGTGGACCAGGTTGTGGCAAAACAAGTAAGTATTCAATACAAATGAATGAATTAATAGTTAATCTTTATGTTATAGCTTTAGCTAGAATTATATCCAAAACGACTAAATCAAGGTTCGTGGAGCTTAGTGCAACAAGTCACGGTGCAGCCGATGTGAAAAAAGCATTTGATGAAGCCAAAGGGCATCTCTCATTAACAGGACAACGAACAATTGTATTTATAGATGAAATACACCGATTTACCAAAGTACAACAAGACTTATTCTTACCGTATGTAGAACAAGGACAAATTCGATTGATTGGCGCCACCACAGAAAATCCCAGTTTCAAGGTGAATGCTGCTCTTTTATCACGATGCCGTGTTTTTGTACTCAAACAACTGACATCAGATGAAATCACGTCTATTTTGACCAATGCACTACGACGATGGCGATTACCAGATGATATAGAAGAAAATAGTGACATGGAAGAATTGGATGATAAAGATCAAGCCTCAGAAAAGGAAGCCATTTCCTTTTTAGCCAATTTTAGCGATGGTGATGGTAAGTTTGAATTAAATTACTTGATCTTATATATCAAACATTTAAACTTACTTTATTTATATGATACCAGCAAGGAATGCGTTGAATACAATGGAAATCGCGCTATCTTCTCTTCCTTCCAAGAAAACAGTTTTAAAGGTGGAAACAATCAAAGGTAATATATATATATATATAAATAGGTGATGAAAATGAAAATTGATTGAAATGTTATTAATTAATAGGTGCTTTTCAGAAATCACATTTACTATATGATCGAAATGGAGAAGAACACTACAATATCATCAGTGCTTTACATAAAAGTATTCGTGGAAGGTAATTGAAAGAATACAAAGAGAGAGAAAAAAAAAAAAAGGAATTTACTTAATTGCTATACACATATATATATATATATATATATATAGTGATGCAGATGCAGGGTTATATTGGCTTGGACGTATGCTAGAAGCAGGTGAAGATCCATTATACATCGCTCGGCGACTTGTACGGTGTGCTAGTGAAGATATTGGATTAGCAGACAATTCGGCTCTACCATTGGCAGTTGCAGGTTATCAAGCTTGTGAAAGAATTGGACTTCCTGAATGCAATGTGATCTTGGCTCAAGTTGTGGTGTATTTGGCAGAAACAAAGAAAAGTGTCAGGGTATATAAAGCATACAAAAAAGTCAAGGAAGTGATTGCAAGTGAACCGAATCATCCTGTCCCTTTACATATACGAAACGCCCCTACAAAGTTAATGAAGGATATTGGTTATGGTCATGGATACAAATATAATCCCGATTATGATGAACCTGTGGAACAAACATATCTTCCTGATGCTCTTGCGGATCGAAAATTCTTGGAACAGGATTAGTTTTACTTATCGTAGTATAGTATTTTGTTTTGTATTGTATTTTATTAAAATGATTTTTTTTTTTGAATGAATAATAATATGTATATATATGTATATAAGAAAAAAAAAAAACGGGTGGACTAAAACTAAAATCATGATAACTATGCTTGGGGTATACGTTTAATGTCTTCCATTCGTTGTTGTAAAGTAGTCAAAGCATTGGTCCATATTTCGAGTTCTTTTTGTTCACCAGCTACAGAAAGTCTGAATGGTATTGTTTTTGTTGTACTTGGTAAACTTGCTGTTTGTGTTAAGAAATGTACTTGTTGTCTGATAGTAAGTTGAATATCCTACAAAAATAGATATATTATATATATTATATTATATAACATGACTGTGGTTTTTTTTTTTCTATCCTTCTTACGTTGACTAGAGAGAAGTATTTATTAGCTAGATCAGTGAATTCTCCAATACGTTCACGAATAGCTAATTCAGCATCTTCGTCACTTGGACCATCGTCAGTTAACACGGCTAAAGCTTCCCCTGCTGTTTCCACTAGTTGAACCAATTTCTTTAATATAAATAGATTAATATTAATGTTTTATTTTATTATTATTATTATTAAATACTTTTTCTGCTTGATGTAACTCTTGAATCCTAGTGACACTTTCATCAAGTTCACTATTCATATCTCTATAAAGATCTAAGATAATAGTAGAAAAGGGAAAAGAAAACAAAAAAAAAAAAAAAAAAAGAAATAAAAGGAGTGGAAAAAACTGTAGTTTCAACTACCGAAAATGTCATCACTACACATCAAAAGTTTTTTTTTTTTTTTTTTTTTGATATTTGATAAAAAAATCCGCACTAAAAAATATAGTACTAAAATGATTCTCTTAAAACATCACACGGAATCTAGACCTATTGACATATCATTATAATTGAATATGTTTACAATTTCTTCATTTTGAATTTTTTTTTTTTAAAAAAAAAAAAAGCGTATAATGAACTCAGTCCCTGTGTAACATTTTGGGCAAGCGCCCAAAAAAAAAAAAAAAGGAGACAAGAAGGCTGATTCTTTTTTTTTTTTTTTTTCCTTTTCTTTTCTCGTTTTTCTTTCTAATATCATCTCTTGATTATCTTTTCTTCTTCATATACCATTCCCATTCCCAACTCTTGTATTCGAATGATTCAGAGCGCCAATGGCTGGTTCCAATAGCGACGATGACAAGAAGAACACAATAAACAACACTGAAAAGTCAACCAATAGTTCCATACCCACCTTTACAGAAGAATTACAGTTATTTGACTTTAAAGATGAAGCTATTGATACTGCTTTAAGGTAATAAAATAAATAAATAAATAAAGAAAATTAATAATGAATGGTATATTAACTATCTTATTTAGAAAACTTCTCGCCAAAGTACATTTACCCAAAGAAGCACAACAAATAGATAGAGCCATGGAAGACTTTGCTAAACATTATCACCAATGTAATCCCTTATTGACTAATAGTCCAGGTAAGATAATAAAAAATAAAATAAAATGAAATAAAAATACTAAATAATAATAATAATAATAATAATAATAGATCCTATCTATGCTGTGGCCTTTTCTATACTTCTCTTACACACCGATGCTCATAATAAGAATGTGAAACGAAAGATGAATAAGGATACATTTATTATGCGAACCAAATATATTGAAGGTGGTGAAACTGTCTATAGTGAAGTATTAGATGTAAGTAATGAAATGAAATGATAGAAGAAAAAAAAAAAAGAAAAAAAAAAGAATAATGATATTGACGTGTTTTTTTTTTTTCTTTATTAGATCATGTATGATAATATTGTATGTTCCGAATTTACCTATGTACACGAACAACAAGACAAATCATCATCTTGGTTCTCCAAGAAATCTTCTCAGGTATGAAATATTACATATTCATTTTGTTGATGCATGACTTTTTAATCTCACTTTTTTTTTTTTTTTTCTAATAGCCCAACAATGCGTTAGTACACGACCTTTATTCAAAGTTGGAACAACTGATGCCAGCAAATAATACATTTAAATATAAGTCTACACCAAAATCAATCATCGATATCTCCAATATTCATGCCAGTATTGAACAAGCACAATCATTACAATTAGCCGGTGTTCGTAGTCGACATTCACAGTCAGATGGAAATGAAACATATATGGCACGAGTATGCAAGGCAGGGGTTATTGAACGGAAATATGATCTTGCTCATGGTGGAAAACGTGCTCCAGCTCGCGGTTGGCGTCCTTTTGGTATGATACTTAGCGGCAACCAAATCATGTTCTTTGGTGATTTGACCACATTCCAATCTTGGCTTGACAGAACTCAAGACGAACAACAAATCCGTCAATTACAGCAACAACAACAACAACAATATGGTAACCTTCAATCACCAACCTCTTCAAAACATCCTATTCAACATCAATCATCCTATTCGTCTACCGTCAGCACTCCTACTACAGTTAACTCATTGTCAACTATTAGCTCATCTCAATCCAGTGTATCAAATATACCTATTATACCATCCTCTACAACATCTTTAGCTAGTCCGCGATCTTCCACATCTGTTATCAGTACTTCAACTTCATCTTCCACTTTGCACTTACGCCCAGTACAGATTGTTTCACTTTTGGATGCTGTTTGCTTATATGATGAAGCTTATCAGAAATACCCACATGTATTTAGATTGATTGCAGGAGACGGTCAACAATTCTTGATTCGAGGTGAAAGTGCTGAAGATATTGACGATTGGATTCAAAAAATCAACTATGCATCAGCTATGAAAACCACAGGTGTACGATTACGACCCAAAACAACAACAACAACAACGACAACACAGTTACCCAATACACACTATCATCGTCATTATCATCATCTGGACGGCCACTCTTTTCAACATTGGGCAAAAAGAGAAGCAAAAGCGAAACAACGAGTGATATCTTTATCTGAACAACTAGTGGAACAGAATCGACAATTAGCAAAGGACGAACAACTGCGAAATCAAATGATGGTACTGACACCAATGCAAAAGACAACCAAAGATCGAATGATACTTTTTGGAGACACCATTGGAAAACGACTATTGCAACAACGCATTACGATACAGAAATTGGAATGTTATCGTGAATATATTGAACGGGAACTTTTTCTTTATCAATCTTTCAAAGACCAGACAATTGGATTTAATGATGGAAGTAGCAACAGCAACAATATTGGCCGCAAATTAAGTAATGGCAAGAATACAATAGCAAGAAAACTCTCAGCTCCTTTACCTTTTTATTCTGGATTATTACAAGTACGATCAGCTACAGCACCACCTATGCAAAACGTATCTACTTCTGGCCCTCTTTTACGACCTCCTCTTCTTGGATTGTCCATGACATCTACAACTACGCAAGGGAATGATGATAAGACAACAGATATACGCATTCCACATCGTTCCTCCAGTTTATTGGTATCATTATCAGGTGTCGATACTACTTCATCAGCAACAGAAACGACAACAGGAAGAAACAATGAGGATTCTCAACCAATATCTCAGGTAGAATCAACAACGAAGGAACAACGATTATCTAACTTACCACCAATATTGACTGATCAACAAGAACCATTCTTCACTTCTGATGAAATGCCAATATCATCCATCAGTAACGATGATGCCATTTATCATTCAAGATTATCAGAAATGGATCGAATTTCACGCCAACGTAGCCAAAGTAATCCAGTATCACCTGTGCAAGGTATTGGAAAAGAAGAAGAAAGTGATAGTGAAGTGTATCTGTCTTCATTGCAAGTACCTAGGAACAAAAAGAATCGGGATCGTAGTATGTCCGAAGTGACAACAGATGATGAAGATTTTAGTCTAGTGGCTATTCATGGGGATCAAGATAGTTTAGTCAATCATGTAGATCGTGTAGTTGATGATATCTAGTTTTTAATGTCTTTTTTTTTTTATTATTTTTTTCATTTTGTATAATTAAACCTCCGTGCATTGATTTTTTACAATGTGACAGCATTTTTTTTTCTTGGTCCTCATTTTTTTTTCTCTCTTTTCCCTTTTGTCAACTTAAAACTTAATACATAATATACATCATGTACTGTATGCGATATTTTGTCCCTTTATTGTTACTACCCTTCCCTGATGCACCACCTATCTTTGTTATTCTTTTTTTAATATCCTTCTTTCTTCATCAAAAACCATGGTAACCAAAAAAAAAAAAAAAAAACTTTGCCTCCTGACTGACTATTACATTATTGTTATAGTATCTATTGTACTTTATTATTGATTGCCTTATTTTCATCAACATGTTACTGGGGACAAGGACGTTGTTGGATTGATTTGCAACAAGCTCGATTGTTTGATGTAAGGCCTGATTCCAATGCTACTTTTGGACAAGGTGAAGGATGGTGGAACTACAAGTTGACTTTACCCATTGGCACCACTTAAAAAAAAAAGAGATATATATCTTTTTATTTTATTTTATTCTTCTTCATTTATCACATATACATTCATATATGTCATTTATTGTTTATGATACCCTTTCTAACCCACTCCTTTTTTTTCATAGTCTTACCCTCCTATCATATACTTTTATCTTCCGCCCCTGTCATATGATAATAAACTAACTTTGTTCTATATGAGTTTGACTTGATATTACAAATTGTATTTATATATATATTCTTGTGCCATTGTGAACTTTTACAACCCCTTTGATTAGTGTTATCTGGTTATATACGCATATGTCAAATAGTGTATATCGTTACGAGAAGGTGATAAAAGAGGGCATATCGACGATAATTCTAGGACTCTAAGAAACAGAATGATTCTTACTATTTAGATTTTTGTACATTCATGCCTATGATGGACAATATGTACTAATGAATGATGATCTTTTTTTTTTTTTTTTTTTTTTTTGCGACACATCCTTTGGTCAATGATATGATCTAAAATGAATATGAAATTGCTATACTTGGGAGGTAATAAGCCAAAAAGGTTTATTTACACAAACAGATATTTTTATTATATGATCACTAAGCACATGACTTGATCCAATTTAATGATCATATTTCCCAGGATATGGGAAGGAAATCATTGGTAGAATAAAATACATGAGGGCCAAGAAACTGGGAAATTGAATAATCATATCTCTTTTTTTTTTAAAAAAAAAAAAAAAAAAGGAAAAGAAAAGATAATCTAATCGTAAGATAGATGCATGTAGCCGCACGAACCATGTTCAAAAAAAGCGAGAAAGTGATCCATAAAAAGAAAGTTTATAAAGGTTGAATGGGTAGATCAGATTGGCTTCTCTTTTGAAACTCTATTGTTGGGTTACACCCGCATACAGTAATAAATTGAGGGCAATTTTTTCTTAAATCAAGTGGGGTGAATGAGCGGGGTATAAAGGTTTTACAAGTTTTTTTTTTCTTTTTTTTTCACTCTTCTTTTCTTTTCTTTTTTTTTTTTATTGGTATTCTCTTATGGATTCTATTCGAAAACAATTACGTAAACTTCCACCTTCAGCTGTTATCAAGGTGTTGCGTAAAGCGTTTGCAATGCCAGCAGGTGCTGCTAGACTTATTCTCAACGATATCACCAAACCTAGGGCAAGTCATAAACCTTGGATACGAAAAGTTAGTCATCCTGAATGGTCTGGTTGTTGGATTGGAGAACAGGTGTCTACTTTAGATGATGATTCTTTATATGAACGTGTTGAACAAGCTGATGTGTTGATATTCAATGTTCATGGTAATATAATATGATGATCATGTGAGATATCTTCAATTCAAAATTATTTATTCATCTTTTTTTTTTCTAAAACTTCTTCCTATGATGATGATAAAAGGTGGTGGATTTCGAATTGGTAAATGTAAGTACTTCTATATGGTTGGGGATAAATGAGATGCAACAAAGAGCGGCAATAGAAAATCATACTAAACGGGAGGTACAACTCAGAGGATGATCTAAACCTTATTTATATTTTCTTATTTTTTTTTTCATGTTAGGTACCATGTACATGGATACTTATATTGGATGGATTCAACAATTGAAGAAACTATATAATCTCAAAGTGATGATTATGTCAGTGGATTATCGATTGGCACCCGAGTTCCGATATCCTAGTCCTGTAGAAGATATCGTACGTGCTTATGAACATTTGATTCTGGGACTGAATATCGATCCTCACAAAGTGGTTGCTATTGGTGATAGTGCAGGCGCAGCTCTGATTTTGGAAATGTTATTTATTACCCACGATCCAAGTATGTTTGAAATAGTGACTGATGACATGGACAATGGTGAACAAGGTAGTGCGCCAATGATCAGTGAACTTCCTCGACCAGCTGCTACGGTATTGGTATCCCCTTTGGTAACGGATGAAACGACTTCTCAGTCTTGGAAAGAAAATGTCAAGTATGATTACATCTCTCAATACACCGCCAAAGTCATCAAACGTGATTATTTTGAACCAACTAAACCAGATGATGACACTCCTCCATCATCACGCCATAGCAGTAGTGGTAATGAAGATAGTAGCCAACAAGTATTAGGTATCGCCAAATTACAAACAGGTTTTCAAGCATTCTTATCCAACTATGTGCTTATGTATGTTGGTAATTTGGAAGTACTTCGGGATGATGCATTGGATCTAGCAGCAAAAGCAAAGGACGATGGTGTGAAATGGACAACGGTGGCTGAAGATTGTGTACATGATTGGTTCTGTGTACGTGAAGTGGTCAAGGACAAAAAGGTTTTGGAACGAGCTGACAAGGTATTTGCGGATTTTGTATACAAGGCAATTGGTGAATATCGACATCATCAAAGTATGCTGGATTTATCAATGCGACGTGCAAGTGAAGGATTACATACGGTGAATGAAGAACATGGAGAATATGAAGACGACGACGACGATGATGATGATGATGAATTTCATGAAGTTATGACTGTGGACGATCTTGGAGCTACATTGGAAGGTATTCGACTAGCTACTTCGGACAAACATAGTAGATCATCCAAATCATCTTCATCCATGCTTTATGTATGAATATATTCCCTTTTTTTTTTCTCTTTAGTTTTAACTCTTTGTATATATATATAGTATTCATTATCATCCTTTTTTATTATTATTATTATTTTACAATTATTTTTGATGGGTATTATTCATTATGCTCTTTTTTTTTTTTACCCCTTAATTTTCTTTTATCTGTTTCTTTTTTGTAGTGTATAAAAACAACAATAAACCGTCGGACTTCCAACATTCCATTTCTATCTCTTTCTTTTCATTGATCCTCTCTTTTTCCTCGACTCCTTTTTCTATATTATCTTTATCCGTTTTTTTTTTTTTTGTTATCTGTTTTCTTCATTTACGAATAGGCAACGACCTTGCATTTAGAAGAATGGATTCAACATGTCGTATGAACAATGTAAAAGAGGGATGTCAATTATTGGACGGGTTTGCACTTGTGGTTCAAGCAACACTTGCACTCACTGTATTATTTTTATTATTATGGAAAAGGAAAAGAGAAAAACCAAAACGACCATTCTTTACTTGGTAAAAAAAAAAAAATGACATATATATATTAACTCACTCTTATTATCGTTATCAATATATGATAGGTCATTAGACGTCAGTAAACAATTTGTTGGGGCGAGTGTTGTCCACTGTCTCAATATCCAAGTCAGTTATCTATCTATCAGTAGCAACAGTGATAACAGCAACAACGATAGTAGCAATATGTGTGTTTGGTATTTGGCATCTATTTTGTATGATACGACGATTGGATTGGCCTTACTTTATACTTGGCTAAGATGCTTGACTTGGACGTTGGCAACATGGTGCGACCTACATATCCCCAATGATTATGGTCAGGCACCTTTCCGTGAACAAATGAAACGATGGTCTCAACAAACCTCGGTATTCGTCATGGCAGAAATTTTGATGAAACTATGTCAATTCTGGTGTTTCCATCACATCCCATGGTTTTTCCTTTTTGGTCAATGGTTATTGGATTGGACTCGAGACAATTATCATCATCAAGTTATTTTGGTCATGTTCATGTAAGTGATATAAAAATCTGTATGATTCGTATGATGTAAGTTGTCACTAAAATTTTTTTACCTTTTTTTTCCCGGTTTTGTTTATATAGATACCCTTTACTAATGAACGCTATTCAATTTTGGATGATCGATACTATGCTCACGTTTCATCGACGGTTTCTCAAATCTTCTTGTGGCCAAACAACAACAGATGCAACAACAACAAAGGAATCGTTACTTCCCTCTTCTTATCCTTATCAAATTTATAGTGATGATGGTTATGATTTCTCCATCCCTTCCTCCTCACCCTTATTACATCACGTGTTAGTTCAAAACGCAACATACCTAGATGAATACACTCCTCTGTTACCTCATTGATACCATTCTCTTTTGTATATATCCCATTCATTTTTCTCTCTCTTTTTTTTTTTTTTTTTTTTGTATTTGTATTGTTTGTTTATTATTATTTTCACGAAACAAAATCTTATTATAAATAAATAGTATCATTTTATTGTTATCAAAAAAAACAAGGTGGCTCTCTTGGCGTTTTCCGAACACACTCTACTTTCTCCTGAAGTTTATTTGTTCCCCTTTTTTTTTCCCCACGTAAAACTATGAATCGAGGCATAATCATACAAGAAGCACTTTACACATTTTATATTTATTCTTTGTTTGGATGACCAGTTTGACAAATAAAAGACTCCTTTTATGGATGATGTATTCCAAATCTCGTAAAAATAACGTTAACGCAAAAATAGGCTATGCAAAGTGGGCTTTTCCTTATTTTGGTATTTCCATTTGCTAGATGGAACGAGTAATATGTGTGTGTATATAGATGATAGGCGATGATAGATGATGATGAATGATAATGGATGACGATAGATGATGAATGATAGGTAATTCGTATAATGATCAAGTGTTGACTATTTTGACGACATGAAAGACAATGATCACGGTAACGATAACAATGATGAAGCAAGGAATACAAAGTTTATTAGAATAATACTATAAAATGTCATGATTAACGTTAACTATTGATAAGAAAGATGTCTTGGGCAAGGTGAGAGTCAACCAAACCAGAAGAGGACCATAAAGAAAAAGCACTGTTGCATAATTGACTTCAAAAAAAAAAAAAAAAAAAGAAAGTGAAAGAAAAACATTTGGGATTTCTATTTGGGATTTCTATTTTCTGTTGTTCCTTTTGGCACCTTTCAGCCAAAGAAAAAACTTTAGACTCCTCAGCTTGAAATAGTTCGAATTTAAGACCCTGAAAAGATTTTGCAAGATGAATCACTTGGAAGAACGACTTTGGTCACTAAAGAAAATGGTTTTTACAACAGTTAGGATAATAAGTAGTGTTAGACCTGATCTGAATGAAACTGATGATACATCACATCCATTCATGGATTTTTTTTTCTTTCAATTGATCAGTCACCATAAAAGGAAAAATGACACGGTTCAATCCCTGGACTCCGTCTCAGAGATAAATTGAAGACGTTGTACAAGCTGTGCAAGATCCATGATTAGTGAAACCAGAACAATCAATCAAAAAAGAGAATTCTATTTTTAAAGCAAAATTTTTTATTTTGGTATTTAAATGATTCGACATCAAATATATATATATATAAGAAGAAGAAGGAATGATATCATCTAGCTAATGGAATCCTGGATATAATCATTGAATCTAAAATAAAAAAAAAATTTCACTAGCTATGTTCGTTTCCATGTCCTCTAATGATGAGTAACTTTGATCAAATCTTGACGAGTCTCAATGACTGCAGGAGTGACCACAACCTTGCCATTGACAACATCCGATAAACCTTCACCAGCATAAGAGACCCAGGGAGAAATTTCCAAATGACAATCATCAGGGATCTGAGAGGCATCAGTGATATGAGAAGGTACGCCTTTAACAGTACCACCGGCAGCTTGAACAAAACGGATATGTTGAGAAATAAGATCACGACGAGATGTTTCTGGACAATCCACACCAGTACCAGGAGCATTTTTCAATGGGGAGAATTCTTCCTTACGATCCACTTCAAGCACAGAGAAATGTTGGGAAAATGGAAACACGTCAAACACAAAACATTCCAACTTCATTCCACTGTTGGAAGTGGGAACCACAGTTTCACCAGTTGATATATCCACATGTTTGATCTTCTTTTTGGCAATATGATATTCAAGTTCACCAGCAAATTCGGGTACACGTTCCAAGAAAGCCGTAGAGAAGAAATGATTGACAATATTGGCAGCTCGTAGCATCAAACCACCATCTTCAGGATCACGTTTTTCAGAAAGTTCTTTGGAGATTTCAGAATATTCCACAACACCATAGCGACCACCACGACGACATACTACACCTACTGGTTCATCTGGTTTTGTTTTGCGAACCACCTTGACACCACAATCAGTTTCCTTAGAGACACAATATCCCACAAATACTGGATCGGCCACCTTTGCAAGACAGTTGTCAACACAATAACAATGTGTATAAAGGATCCCACGACGTTTCAAATCTTCAATCACACCCTTGTTTTGTACTGCTGCGTAAATACCACCATTTCCATCGGGTGCAATGGCTACCTTCCCTTTAGATTCCATAATAATCTTGCCATCCATTGTCAAACAGGGCAAAGTGCCTACCAAAAAAAAAAGACAGTTTTATTTTTTTTTTTCTTTTTCCCTTTTTCAAATCATATTTTTTTTTTTAATTATACCTTGTTCAAAGAAAGTGATATTCTTTTCATCCAAACCGAAAAATTGATGTTGTTTAAAAAAGTCGACAGTAGGTTGATGTGTAGGACCAGAAGTCATGATATACCAAGGGATGATAACCTTTTGTTGTTGTGGTAAAGCATATTGTTGAGCGACTTCTTGAAGACGAAGGATACGTTCAGCTTGTAATTGGAAGAGAGACTTTTTGGAAGGTAAATTGATATCATAACAACCTTTTGGTGCACTAGAACCTAATCTTGTACCTTGACCACCTGCCATTAAGATCACAGCCACTTGGTTCTTTGCAATCAATGATAATCCCAAAGTTTCCCAGTCTTGAATATCCTTGTATTTTCGCTTACGACTATTTGTTGGTTGTTCGTCATCAGTCAATATGGTGTCGAAAACATCTTTAGTCAATGGTTCTACTTGTTCATTATGATGAGAGACAGTACTAGCTTGAATGGCCTTTTGATAAATACTGTTCACACGTTCAACATCAATTTCCAATAACTGTTCCATAAGTCTAGCCTTTTCTTCTACATTGAGTTCATCATAAAACTGAAATACTTGTCCTTGTCCAGCTTGTTCATATTTGGTTTTCAATGTTTCGACTTGAGATAATGTTTCAGTTTGAATAGTCATATTTTACTATTAAAAATAAAAATATAAAATAAAAAAAAAAGATAAAAAAATAAAGTAAAGAAAAGGAGAAACAACAAAAAACAAAAAAAATTAAAGAGAACCGTGTTTTTTAAATGATTTTTTGCATCAAAGGGAGTTCGGTGATTGAATGCATTAAAAAAAAAAAAGGGGGGGAGACAACAAAGTATTTTTAGTTTTTTCTTCAAAAGCGTGGATGGGATCATCGGAGTAGATTTGTATCATCAGCCTAATTTCTATGGTCGTCCATGATTCCATGTTTAAATGCTTCTGTATCACTTTACATCTGCCAATCATATCATTATGGCTAATATTCCCATTTTTTCCGAGGATCCCCCTTTTTCAGTATGTCAAACGGACATTCAATCTAAATGAGACACGTATCAATCATAAATTTATATAATGTAATTTATTAAAAAAGACAATCATTCACTAAAACTATTATGATAAATCTATCTAAACTTGTTGTTCTTGGATCGCCTTGTCCTGCAAAGCTAAAGATTTTTCAATAGAATCACAATAGTTTTGGTATTTAATGATTTCATGAAGAAGATATTGAGTCTTATTTTCAAAATTGGCCATAGCACATACTTGATTGGATGTTTTACGACAAAACTAAAAAAAGATTTCAAGATGAGTAAAATAAATACATATATATATATGTCTAAACCTTTACCTTTTGTTCCATTTTTCTCTTTAAATCCCGATGACGGTCTAATTCTTCATTCAATGTCTTGATATGTTGTACCAAAGCATCTAGTTGGGCCATTTCTCCAAGACTGCTTGCCATAAGAGGAGGGACAGGAGGTTGCCATTGATATACAGTAAAGGATGTTCCAGCATCATTATTCTTATCATCTTCGTCATCATCCATACCTTGTAAACATGCACCCCAACCATATTCTAAATTGCCAACACCACCCATCAACGGCTCCTTGCTTTCACGAGCAGCCCAATAATTGCATGTTGCCACCCATTCCATCACTTGTTCTTCTGATCCAACTTGGAATAAATAAACACCGCCATTGGCTTGTTGAAGAGCAAACGCATGTCGTCGTTGACGGCTATAACCGGATGGTAAAGCATTGGATAATGTATGTTTCAAATCAATTTCTCCTATCAATTGAGCATGAGCCTAAGGTAAATAGATAAAAAAAAAAGGCATAGATGAGTTGACACGATTATACATTTTTATATAAATTATCACCCTTACCATCCAGTCACCACCACCAAGAACCGTATCAGAAGTCATAGAGGATTGATCACAAGAGGAAATAGATTCAGATACTGTAGCTAGACTACTACCCCGACTCACCATATTTTGAAGAGGATGAAGACGAGAAGATGCCGCTGTATTTTTTCTGCGTTGTCCATAGCTTTCTAAACGATACATGCGTATTTCTCCACGATCAACTACCATAAAACATTCCTTCCAATCCCTTTGTCGTGCCTTGTGATTTGCCTGTTCAAGTAAATGCTTCCGAACAATCATGCCTTCTTTGTAATAAGGTGCTGCACTAGTGTAAGACGTTGGTAAATCAGGGTAATGTAGTAAAGATGCGACTGCGTGATAACTAGTTGAATTTATACCATTCCCATTACTAATGTTATTCGTGGTATGGGTATATTGTGAGTGATGAGAATTTCCAGATCGCATAGACGAGATAGATCTTCTCCTTGGAAAGCTACTGGACATGGAAGAGACAGTAGATCTTGGTGTCAGTGGTTGAGAATAATCCAACTAGAAGTATAAAAAATACATGAATATCCCTCCCTTTTTTTTATTGTATTATTATATTATTATTATTTTATTTTTTCTCTAACTGTGTACTTACATCTACAATATTGTTTTCACTAAGAAAGAGACTATCCCTTGCAGCCTTCCACATCATATTGCCAACATTTCGTTTGAACGCACCATACCGATGACCATTGATACTTTTTCTTCTATATCCTTGGACTTCATTACTAGTATCACATTTGGTTGTAGGATGTACGATTTGTCGATGTCGAATAGATGTATACATTTGCTATATAGATACCAATACATGAAGAAAGTAAAATATTTCAATAAAATTATTCCTAACCCTTTCTTTTAATATATATTACCTTTAAAAGAGATTCCATTTCAGATTGCCATAATCGAGAACCAAAAGAAGGAGGCACAGAGGAAAGATCAATCGAAGAAGATAATTTGCTTTGGTATCCACTGTTTTGGCTATAGGCACTTCGGTTACTTGGTGTTCGTTTGAGTTCTTTCCATTCTTGATGATACTTTTGTGATTGCAAGGAGATACAGCTAGCATTTTTTTCATCATCGTCATCGAAGGATAAGTTGCTGAATTGACTAATGTTAGTTTCCAAAGTTGTTGTCATACTGTGTTGATGATGATCTAATTGAGATCGAATAGCGTCCATAGTATTACGAATAAAGGCAGGTCTTGACATTTTCTTTCGTTCACCTTGGGCAATATGAAGGTCAGTGTTGAGAAGTACAATTGAATATACAATAGCATGAATGATATCTAAAAGAAAGTAAGAGATCATATGAGTGAAAACAAAGTATAATTATTTCATTTTTTCAAATATATCATAGTTATTGTTATAATTTTTTAATACCTGCATTGCCAAAGATAGTTTTTGGATTACATTCCCAATAGCGTTTCGAAAATTCTTCTAGTATACGATCAATTTGTTGAGATTCCGCCTTCATCGAAAGTTTTCCACAAAGTAACCTATAAATAGAGTAAATAAGGAGTTTTCATTAATAAAACGTTGTTCACAATCTTTCCCTTCCCCCCAAAAAGGTGGAAAAAATGATGGAGACCACATAAAAAAGGTAATCCTTCCCCCTTTTCTTTTAGTTACACAACATCATCTTTACCTAAAAGCATCTTCCAACCGTTGATTGGAAAAGTCGTAATAAGACATGTAGATTTTGAGAATATGGCGACTTGAAGGTGTACTAGAAATAATAATAAAAAAAAAACAATATGGCGGAAAGGTCATTTCAGAATATATACAAATATAAATACATGTTTTCTTTTCTTTTCTTTCCTTTTTTTTTTTTTTTTTTTTTTTTTTTTTTTTTTTTTTTTACCCATTTCCAATCCACTCTACCACGTGTTCCAAGCTTGAATAAACGGTATCATCTTGTTCCCAAATTCTTCTTGCATAATCTTCGGCCAATGTTTCCATTGTTGATGAATTATCATCATTTTCTTCCATATCAACTAAAGACAAAACAGGTGTATTGCTTGTATCATCGTCACCGTCATTCTTCTTCTTGTTGTCGGTTTCTTTGTCACACCCATTGTCATTATCGCATATTTCATTGTGTCTTTCACTGTCTGGCGTCGTAAGGTTAATAGAATCCGATTTAGTTGTTTCCGTATGACCAATACTAAGATTTCTGATATCTGATCCGTCGCGTTCTTCATGATCTTGTTGTAAATTTGATATTGTCGATTGCTGTATACAGTCATCATCATTCTTGCTGGTAATATCATACTCGTCATGTTGATGGGTTGTTGAAATTTCTGATAATGAGAGTGTGTTGATGATTAGTCCACCAGCAGATCCGAAATGGCCACCACTAAGTCGTTTTGATAAATGATCACCCACCAAATGATGATCATCATCTAAATCGCTATCCACAGAATCATCGTCACCTTCGTCATCGATATTGTCGTCATTCTTGTTATACTTTCTGTCATTTGTTGTTGTCATTGTTGCTGATGCTGTTACCACTGTTGTTGTTGTCGTTGTTGTTGTTGTCGTTGTCGTTGTTGTTGTTGTTTTCAAGAATGTGTCATTTGGTGATGAGGACGAGAAACGAGCTGCCAAATCACATTGTTGTTGTTGATCAAATTGAGAACCGCTCGGAGAAAAGAACCGCAAAGGAGGAGGATCTTGTGTCTGTCGTGGTCGACTAATATCAAAGGAGGTGGATCTTGGCATTAAGGGAGCATAAGTGACCATATCATTGGCGTGATGGTATTTCAAATGTATGTCATCTTTACTGGATTGCAAATGACCAAGTTGTTGAAGTTGCTGAGATTCTGCTGATCTAAAGTTGGCTGTCGTCATTATAGTATCTTGATGATGATTGATCCGTTTTGGTAAGTGCTCAGTAACTAATTAATGGTAATTATGAAGGAGAAAGTGAGTAAGGAAAAAAAAACAACATATCCTTGTTATCGTCATCATTTTACCGTTATTGCTTTTACTCTGCACATGTGGTTCCTGCATCGGTACAAGAGATTTCCTATTATTATTGTTATTGTCCTTGTTATTTTTAATGATGCCGATACTGTTGCTGTTATTACTGTCATTTTCCTTATTGACTTGGGATGAGTTTGACATTATATTGTTGCCGTCATTATCCTTGGTGTCGCTCATAGCCAATAGCATGTTATTTTCAGACGTTGTTGTATTCTATCATCAAATCAAATTGAACAAAGAAATACTAATTAAGAATCAATTATTTCTTTTCTTTTCTTTTCTTTTTATGTTGTTTTTACCTTGCTCAGTTTCTTTAGGAATCGACCAAAACCTTTCCCCTTCTATAAAGTATCAGGAACATGAAGAAAAAAAGAAATCGTTAGAATAATTGGAATCTCTAGTAGAAATATTTACCTTTCGTTTTGTATCGTGATCTAGTTTCTTCAATAAAGGCGTGGATAACATAGTTTGTTGTAATGTTGGTGCAATGGGAGGTTGGACCTGAGTAAAAGAGGATATATCATCTTTGCAAGATGAGTCAAACATAATACCATTAGCGGTTGATGTTCCTGTTGTTCTTTTCTGAATGAATTTGGTCAAGAAGCTTGGTTTATAACTTTTTGTATCTTGATGTGTATCTTGTTGTTGTCGTAATTGTTGCTGTTGTTGTTGTTGATAGTACTGATAACCAGACCATGACCCAGAACGAGGACGAATGTTGAAAGAAGTAGAAGGTCGCGTATCCAATAAAATAGAATTCTCGCTCATTTCTTCTATATAGAAAGATACGAGTAAATGATACTATGTAGTTAAAATTCAGTAAGGAATGGAAATATGAAGATAAAAGGGAAGAAAAGAACGAAAGGAAAAAAAAAAGAAAAAGAAAAAGAAAATCTCTTTGAAGGCTAACAATGGAAAAAAAAGGAGACCCAATGTGTCGGAAATTGAATGCGTATGAATGTGTGTGTTTGTTTGCGTGTTAAAAAGAGAGAGAGACCGCGCGATAAGCATTCATTTTAGCGCGGAGACCCTGTGAATAGACTTGAATTTAGTGTGAATGGTTGAAATAGAACCAGTTTTTAACCTTGACATCAAATACGATAGTTTCTCCTATTGTTATTAAAATTTGTTCTCGACTCCTTGAAAGGTTTAGTTGTTTGTAAACATTACTGTTGATAGGTTACACATAAAGCATAGACCTGTCTCCATAATCAACTATAATTTCCATTTTTTGAATACTGAAAGGGAGTTGTACTACAATAAAAGAATAAAATGAAAAGATATTTATTATCTAAAGGAAAAAAAAAAAATAAAGTACAAAGAAAATAGAAAAAAAAAGACAAAGGGTCCAGCCTAAGAAATAAAATACAAAGAAAAGACAAGGGGGAGGGAGAGAGTGAAAGTATGAAAGAGATGATTGGATAGATCTATCTAAATATATATAATATGTATATGTGAATGTATGTGTTTGTGTGTGATTTAACAAAAATGGTAACAATAATAATAATAATAATAGTGATGGCAATAAAAAAAAAATAATGATGACAATGAAACTGAAATAAATAGGTGATGATGTATGATAGTAGTGATGATCTATGACTAGTATAAACAAAATAATAAAAAAAAAAAAATAAAAAAACCAACAGTGGTCCTTCATTTTTGCGATGCGGTATCATTGGTTGGTAACGAAGAGGATTCTATTTTGTCATCTACAGATTGTAACCAAGCATCATCCACATACCAAAAGTTGTCTTCTTTTAACTTGTTTTTCTTGTCTTCACCGACCTACAAAAAAAAAAAAAGAGAGAATGAGTATCTATTATTATTTATTATTATTTTTAATTTTTTGTTATATCTTACCAAATAATTCGCATGAACAATATAAGGATCAATACCCAAATTTTTAGTCATATGAGTAGAAAAGTAAATCCAACCATTAGGCCATTGAAGTACATCCAAAAGAATAACATCAGAAGTTGTAAGTCGTAAATCCAAATAACCTAAAGCCATGTTAAGAGCACCTTGCTGAGTCAATTGAGAATTTTGATCACCAAAATAAATAGTAGCTGCTAATAATCGTTTCATTTTTTCGGAGGGGCGCATGATGTAAAAGCCAGAATTGATATTCTTTTGATCTGAGCCTTCTTGTTGAAATACCACGTGAGTTTCAGCACGCATATCCAGGTACATATACAATTGTTCACGTATACGAGGTTTCAGCCAAATAATATCCACATCAGAGAAGAGTACATTGATATCAAGATAAAGTAATTGTTGTACCACTAAAGTCTTAGCGTGAGTGATAATACGGTATTTTTGAGTATAATATTCTTCAAATCCAGCTTCAATTTTTTGGTGAAGCCAAGTATCGGGTATAGTTGCGGCATGTTGTTCGTATCCAGTTTCCACGAGGTGAGTGAATAGTTTATCGTCCAGACAGAGAATGAGAAATTTTTCTTCATTAGTACGTTTGAGAGATTCAATCCAGTTGTATACGTGGTCACGCATTCCATAGTTTGCAGCTGCCACAATCAGTACTCGGTTATCTTGAAGATTATCATTAATCTTTTGAAGCATATCTTCTGGTGGTTGAGTAAAAGTATCAGGTACAATAGAAGGACCTAAATCATTATCTTGAGTGATTGGAGATTCTTTATCCGAGTAACAAGAACAATACCATGGATCCTTTTCCGAGTTTTGTTGAAATGGTAGTTGTTGTTCTTCCATATAATCAGATGAGATATGAGTTTTTGTTGTGGTATATTGTCGTTGAGAGAAAAGAATGGAATAATTAAGTAAAATAAAGACTAACCCCACAGTCACAGCAATAAAGACTATGAGAGTTTTTCTATAGATGAATTTTTGTATCATATAGGAAAAAAAAAAAAAGAGAGAGAAAGAGAGTAAATAAGAAGTTGTATAAAAGGAGTGTAATAGGATATAAAGAAAAAGAGAAAAATAGAATAGAAAGAAATAATATTTTTGGGTTTTTAGGTCTTACTTAAAATAGGCGGTGTTTGATTTTAGCTCGAGATTTAAAGTTTGGCTGTAGACAAAAAAGGGGCCCATTCACGACTTTATCATATAAATCGTCTGTTGATTTATACCCAAACCAAGAAAAACCAACATAATGAATTCGAAGTATTATTCTATGTGTGGCTCATTTTATTATTATTGTATAAGTCAAATGATTTTATTCTATAACTAAGATTATTTCTGTAAAACGAGAAAACAGAAAAAAAAAAAGAACTATACTATTACTTATTCAATATAGAAAAAAAAGAAAATAATTCATAAATTTATAGCTTAATTTTATATCCGACAAACTTACCTTTGTATTGGCCCTGAATTTTTTTCTTACTTTTCTTTCACTTTTTTATTTTTTTTTTAATTGGATAGTTATAATAAGAAGAATGATGATCATTCATATATATATTATATATAATCATTGTGCCATTTTGTAATGTCATGATTTTCAATTTTATCTATGTAAAAAAAAAAAAGAAGGAATACACTAAAAAAAAAAAAAAAAGAATTAAACTCTCCATGTGATTGGCTATTCTATATATATACAACTTGTTACCCGGAGTTCATTTTTAGAACAATACTCTTCTTTTTCTTTTTTTCCTTCTTGTTCTTCTTGTCTTTCTTCAATTGATTTTATATTTACAAAGATAAATTTTCCAAACTAGTTAAAATCTTTTTATCTAATTTTTTATGTCATTACTTAATGTTTTCATACTTAAATCCCCCATTCCATTTTTTGATATCATCCAAAAAAAAAAAAATCTAATTCATTCTCCGTTCTTTTTTTCTTTCTTTCTCTTTTACACATTATGTGTGGCTTGTTGAGCCAATGATATTGCGTAAATATTTTTTTGAAGCATATTCCGCACTTAATACATGCTCTCTAGAAGAACGCGTCTTTTTTTTCTTGTTTCTTCTTCACTTCCTTTCTTCTTTTCCTCTCCTTTTTTTTTTTTTTATTCATCAATCCTTCATATCATGGCAACTGAAGATATAAAGTCTGATCTATCACCTTCATTACCTCCTTCTATTGAAAATAATGATAAAGACAACAACTCCACTTCTTTTGATCTTCCGCAGCAAACCGATGGTACTTCCTCACCTAGACGTATAAACGACAAAAAGAAGAAAAACCAGACAAAGAAAAAGAAGAAACCTTATAAACCTGCTTATCTTGATGCTATTCAACAAGAAATCGATGATCTTAAGCAAGAAGCTGTAAGTTCAACTCTTTATATATATATATATACATATGTTCTTTCCTTTAATCACAAATACTTATTATATATTTATATGTATTCATCTAGCGTTCTACTTATGAACAACAAGCTCGTCAAAATGCTGAAGGTGAGATCGCTGAAAACGAAAATGAACTTTTGGAGAAACGACTTGCCACATCTGCTACTATTGACAAATTGGAAGCTCTCAAACTTAAACTCGTAAGTTTTAGTTATTTTATATCAAAACAAAAAAAAAAAAAAAAAAAAAAAACTGGAAATATCAACGTTTAACTTTTTAATATTATATAGTCCACTCCAGAAATGCTTCAGCGATCTTCTCAAGAAAATGGTATTTATTCTGCTACTATACGACAGGAATCCGCAAAACAAAACAGCAATATGACAACTCGATTTCAACAAGAAACTTTGACTCTGTTACATTTCTTTTATATTGTACGTTTAGCTCAACAAGGTTTCTTCACCATCATTTCTCAAAGTTATCCCAATATTGAACCCAATGCGCTAATCCATTTATGTGACAAACTCGTTGGTGGCTCCCTTTTTGTGGTCAAGGATCCTTCAGAACATGTACGACAATCTAAAAATAATGAAGTCTTCCATCTATTAAAACAACTACATGACGGTTCAACTCAACCTATTGATACTGGATTCTCAACTACATTTGAACAAATTCGCCATTTAATCTATGACTTCATCGAATCAACAACAACTATGACATCTCCACCTTCTTCTCATCAGAAGCAACAAACTCTATCTGAACAAAAAGGGAATATTTTAGATCATACTGAATCACAACCTTCTCGTTTACCATTACCGACATCACTTTCTACTAGTTCAACACAACAACAACAACAACAACAACAACAACAACAACCTGTATGGCTAGTAGTACCTTTCCATGGTATGATCAATGAACTACCTTTAATGGATTCATCAACTGATCAACAATGTAAATGGAAAATAATTTATCAGAAACAAAAATATGAAACATAGTTTTTTAATAATTTTATCTTTTTTTTTTTTTTTTTTTTGTAGCTGCACAAACGACAAAGATCAAGCCTGGAATATCTGTTCAAGATTCTCGGAAAAGGGATAACAAGAAAACAACCACTGCTACAGATGTTAGGAAAGGACATGGATCTGGTTTTGACCAAAATGGTATATCCTCCTCTACAGCAGCCAACTTGAATATATTGGAATCACAAGAAAATGGATCAACAACACAACCATTGGATCAAGTGGATGAAAGTATATCGACAACAGTAAAGACGATCGAGGTACAGTCAGATATTCCCGTTGCTTCTACTTCTCCCCCTACTGATACCCCGTTGGCAATCGATACAACAAAAGATGTGAGCACTACTGATACTGTTGAAACGACATCATCTGTTTCGGAGACGACGGATGCTACGAAAGACGACAACAAAGAAAATGATATCAACAAAACACAAGTGGAAATGGAAACATCAGCAACAGGATTCACCAGCAATGGCGACAAAAATAGTAATACCAATAAAGTTGGCGAAGATACGTCGTCATCAGGCTGGGGAAGTGTACCAACTACAATATCATCATATACAACTGGTAAACCAGATCAAGAGAATGAACAACCTGAAGAAGATAATGGATGGGGAACTCGTGACCTGAGTACCAATGAACCACCTGTATGGGAAGGAAAATTACCTGACGATCTAGTAGGACCTGGAGATGAAACAATCACTGGCGATGTAGCAAACAGTCAATGGCGAACAACAGACACTTTTGGTGGTCAACGACGAATGGATGGTCGTGGTGGCCGCATGTCCTCTTATCGTGGTCGAGGTGGATCTGCGCCTAGGGGTTCTGGAGGATATCGTCCTTATGGTCGAGGTGGTGATTTCCGAGGTGGTCGTGGTGCAAGCCATATGCGGAGAGGCTCAAGTGGACACAGTGGTGGTGCCAGTGGTAAGTCTTGCATTTAAAAGAGAAAAAAAAATAAACTGAAGCGACTTTTTACTAAGTTTTCTTTTTTTTTTTTCTTGTTATCTTTTGTTAGATTGGAACAAATCAAGATCTCCTCGCTCTGAATGATACTATTTTTTTTTTTTTTTTTTTTTTTTTTACGCGCAACTTTTTTTATATACATATTTACAACCACTGGGCATTTCCATACAAAAGTAGTAGTAGTATTTTTCTTATTTTTTTTTTTTTTTTTTTTTTTTAGTTAGTTAGTTAGTTAGTTAGTTAGTTAGTAGTATTGGCATTTTTTTTTCTTTATTAAATATTATGAATCTACGAAATAAAAAACTCATTCCATTCCCTTTTTCACATATACACATAAACTCACATATTTATGATAGTTTGACTTCGTGCTGGATGATGGAATAATACCGTATTAAATCATGAATGTTTATCTACTATCATAGGACAACAGTAGGTAATAAGAATTGTTTTCCATTTTATAGTATGAGAGTTGACAGAAAAAGAAATTCACTTCCCAAAGCTACTGTATTTAAAGTCAAAAATCGAATTATAAGATATTTACAATCATATTGATTGTAAATGATATAGGACTGTGCAGTTTTCTTTTTTTCTCGGTTATGGTAGAATTTGCCGCCTTAACGTAATTGTTGCATACTCAACGTATATATAGATATCTGGACAAGATCAAACCAATTGACAATAACAGAATAATAATAATAATAATAATAATAATAATAATAATAATAATAATAATAATAATAATAATAATAATAATAATAATAATAATAATAATAATAATAATAATAATAATAATAATAAAAAGTGATTGCTTTGAATCAGATAACAAGCTTTATTAATTTGAAGAAATGAATAGATAAAAAAAAAAAAAAAAAAAAAAAAAACAAGAGATGGATATAAAACTATAGGAAGGAGACGTTTTCTATGCTATAGATACCATTTTCGCCAAGCCATCAAATCATCATCGTCTCCTTCAAATACAAAGTTGATTTTCTTGATTTCTGCAAAACCTTCATCCAGTGTTGGTTCTTGAAATCTTGATTTGTACGTTCGGAAAACAATCTCGCTAAGAAGATCACGGCTTTCCTTTTGTCGAATATGCCGATAGTAATTGTTGTGCCGACATAAGTGTTCATCTGCTACAAAATAAAAACATCGAGCTGGTAAATCATGTTTTCTTGCTAAATTGAGATATTCTGCCCGAACATCACTAGTACCATTGGTATTGTCTATCATCGTCATCAATAGAAAAAAAAAAAAGACAACAGGTTAGATACACTTTTACGAAGAGAGATTTAGAATGTAATCTTTATTGTTATTATTGTTATTATTATTACCGATCACTACTGATTTGTTTTGCTGAATGGCTTCTTCACAGGCTTTTAAACATTTTGCTTTTGTTTTCAAAGTATCCTAGAAAAGCAAAGACAAAGACAATTTAGATTTTTTTTTATAGAATAAAAAAATGCAAGATGGAATAGTTACTTACTTGATTGATATATTCATATCCATGAGGAATCAAATGTTTTTTGGCAAAACTTGATTTTCCACTTGCTGGACTTCCAACGAATATAATCATCTCTTTGGAATCATCATGACTTTGAGGTATTAAAGGACTACAAGTAGGTGTGAATAATGGAACTAGTCCAACAATAAATATCTATCAATATCCTTTTGATAAAAAAAAAAAGATTTAAATTTATCCTACTTACTGGCCATAGAATATGAATGTGGATTAAAATCACCCCAACTAAAATCGACTTCCTTTTCATTGTGAAAGAAAACTTCGGGCGTATAGAATTTGATACCAATGTTGTGAGCGAATTTTCTACAAGTATATATACAATTACGGAAGAGATAAAAAAATATACACTTTTTTCTTTAATAATCATTTCTTTTTACCTGTCCGCGCAAGAATGATCTCTTTTCATTTTATGTTTCCAACCATCAAGTCTACCAGCAGCATCTCCAACATAAAAAGATTGTTTTAAGTCTATAAATGTAAATACAAGTAGAGATGAATTTAATAAAAAAAAAAAAAAAACCAAACATTATATATATTACCAATAGTCACATCATCATCTTTGTATTCTTTTATCATATCTTCCCACATCCCAGTCATTGGTTTCCGATATTGATCTTTCTTCATAGCAGCATATAAAAGTACGGGCATTGATAACTATTGAAAAATAAAATAAAATCATAGATGAATTAATGATGATGATTATATGGTTTTCATTACCTGTCCAAGTATAGTATCTAACTTTATTTTAAAATCCCTGATTCGTTTTTCACTATTCAATCCATTTTGATTTGAAAATATAACAATTTTATAACCTTGAGAATAAAGATCCATCAATCGTTCAGGAATATTTGTATGCCACCACTTCCAATCATCACTATTACTAGCAAAAGTTTTTCCAGATTTGGTGGTAATCAATCTATTTTGTATTAAAAAAAAAAAAAAAAAAGAAAGGTCAATGTTGGCAAACATCGTTTTTTCTTCTATGGTTCTTCCTTTTTCTTACGTGCTATCTAGATCAAATGCTGCCACTTTTGCTTTTGCTCGATCTAAACCTTTCGAAACACAGATCAAGACAGACGGAAGTCTTGAATGCCACTTGATCTTCATTCTTGAATCGTTTTGTGAATTGTTACTAAAGAATGGATGTACTGCAGAAAGAGAAGAAAAAAAAAAAGAAGATAAAAGTGTTATATCAATAGTAACTAAAATAAAAAATAAAATAAAAAAAATGAAACTTTACTTTGTTTCGTTTTTTTATTGTTTTCTTCGTTTAAGGTTGACTTGCTGCGCTTCATATCATAAATGGAAAAGAAAACAGAAAGGGAAAAAAAGAGAAAAATGATAGAATTGTTCAGAAAAAAAAAGAGGTCGGGGTGTGAATGAGCAAGATCAAAGTAAGAGGTGCCTTGATTTTCATTTTTTTGTATGGATAGGATTGAGAAAATATGCATAAAAGTAAACTAGCATATTTTTGAACTGCATAGATAGATTCTTCCATTTCCAACTTTTTTTTTAGTGTGGGTTTTTTTTTCTCTCTCTTTCTAATGATGATGATGGCGTAAATTGATAGAAAGTTATCCAGTTTTGTTTGTTATTTGTTTACTTGCTCTACAGTCTTAATGAATCAACTTACCTGCCAAGTAGGAGAGGGGCCAAGAAAAAGAAGAGCCAAGAACCATGATTTTTATAAAGTCAGCTCTTTTTTTTTTTTTTTTTTGTCTATTTCTTCTTTCTTATCATTCTTTTTTATTTTATTTACTGGAGATTATGGCTGAAAGAGACAATCCAAAAACTTATTATAACCAAGCAGGTAAAATATATATATATATATAATTGATATCCTTTTAATTAACTATTGTATTTTCTTATATCTACACGTAGAATACACTGGAGCAGCCAAAACGTCCAAACCTGACGATACCTCTTATCCTCCTCCACCACCTTATTCAAATACTCAACCTGGCGCTCCTTCTTCTTCTTCTTCAGCTTACTCACCATCCGCTCCACCTTCAACATATGCGTCTGCACAAGAATATCCAAGCTATGGTTCTCTTGACCCAAACAGACCTGGTTTATTGGATTCTCGAACTAATCCTTATTCTTCGCCTTTACCACGAACATCTCCTCAACAACATTATCCTTATCCTGGTATTCCTGATGTCAACTCAACTACTTCCACACCTACTACTCATTACAATCCTCGTATGTTGAAAAAAAAATGTATACAGATATATATATATATATATATATATACTAGTAATTTCTAACAAATATGGTAATGAACAATATTCTCTTACACTCCTTTTTTTTTTTTTTTCTCATTAGATATTCCTCGTGATTGGATACCAGACGGAGGTTATAACAAGTCTTCATCAACACCGCAACAACAATCATATCCTGACGCCAATCCATCCTCTCCTAGATCTCGTATCAATATACCTGAATATGCACGACAAGCAATGGATAACAGTGATCCTGGATGCTGCAAGAAATGGTGCAAATACATCCTTGTTGCACTTTTAATTTGGTTAGTGATTCTCAAGTACAGTGGTACCTTCCAATTTGACACTGGTCATCACAACAATTCTGGTCAAGGTGCTTATTGGGAATGCAAGGGCAAATCATTAGTATCTTGGACGGATTTGCCAAACAAAATCAATGTGGAACAAGATCTCTTTGTGATAATAAAAGGCCCTGTAACGGTATCCAATAGTTATGTCAACATTCATCCTGCAAGTGATCGTGATGTTGGTTGGATAGAATCTCATATTATGATTTCACCACCTTCTTTGGTCAACGATGACGAACTGTATTACCAACTAGAACAACAAGATGATGAAACACGACTTGTCCTTCATTTGCCTCCTTGGGATGGACAACATCATGGACATGAACGGCCCTGTGTTCAAGTCAAAATGGATATTTACTTACCTGACAAGATCAAATCATTACGTGTCAATGTCAACAATATGCCCATAAAAGTAACCCGTGGTGGAGATACATTCGACGATAATATCGTAAAGTTGGAAACTGATCGTGTAGAGCTTTCTACGACAAATAGCGCCATTCTATTCGACACAGCATACTGGGAAGGTGATACCATGTCATTGACAACCACAAACGGTCCCATCACAATCTCTGGTAATATGGAAGCCGATGAATGGATACATGTACAATCTTCCAATGGTCATTTGGTCTCTGCAGGCACAATGACAGCTAAAGACAAGATCGAACTTACGTCCACCAACAGCAAAATCAGCACTCAATCTCTTATTGTAAAGGATATTTTACAAGTCTCCACTACCAACGGTGCCGTTCAACTTGGATCTCGGATCTCTGGTGATCATCTTCTTATCCGTTCTACCAATGGTGCCTTGACCCTACCAGAGCTAGTTGCTGAATCTTCCTTGACTGCTACCACCACCAACGCAGCTATTGTAGCTCATGTTATTGCTGAAAAGGATCCAAAAATACGATTCTCCACTACAAATGCGCATGTCTCTGTGAAAATGGTAATATCAAATAATAATAATAATAATAAAAAAAAAAAAAAAAAGGAAAAACATGTATAGACTGATTTTTTATTATTCTTGTTGTTATTCGTAGACAAATGAATTCGAAGGTCGTGTGGTTGCCCAGACATCCCCATCAGACAAGGTAGTCATTGACGATGATCATATTGCCTATGATATCAACTTACGCCATTATAAACAAGGTCAACGACTCAAAGGGGATGGTGATTTGTCTATCGATACCTCCAATGACGATATCCGCCTATCTTTTGTATGATTGTGTTAATTATCATTTTAGTTAGTTGATTATTTATTCCCCTTTTAGTTTGATCAAGTCAATAAAAAAAAATATTATATATATATATCCAATTTTTATATTTGAATGCAATATCTCTATCTTCTTCCATACCATTATTCCATCATCATCAACTTCGTTTATTCGATCATCGTCTTAGAAACCATTCGAAGATCTTTTTTAAGATAAAATCAAAATAAAGAATAATACTGTGAAGAAATTGGACAAACATTTTTTTTTTTTTATTTTTATTTATTTATGTGTTCTGGTAAGAGATAAATCATTAATGATACTATAAAAATACAATCATAGATAAGGGGAGGGATGGAAAAAAAAACGAGAGTAATAAAGAGACAGGGAGTGTGTATATGTGCTGGACAAGAAGAGAGGGAAAGAATAAAATAATAATACTAAAGAAAAAAAAAAATATAGAAAAAGGATGTATTAAATATAGAAAAAAAAAAGTTAAGATAATAGACAATAATAGAATGTAAAAGGAAGAATATAGAAATAGAAAGAATAAAAAGAGAGAGAGAAAATGGGCTACAAAATGAAGGGTTGGAGTTTTGAATAATAAACGTATATATAAATATTTTTTTTTTAAAAAAAAGAAGGGACATTGATGGTAAGTATCTAGTCACTAGCACCCAATTCATCGATCTCTTCATCCGTGTCGTTCTCCACTGTTGAAGGTTTGTTGGTCAGACTGGTCGTATTCATGATCATACTTGGTTGGTCGTCTTCTTCATCCATTTCGTCAATTTCATCCTCATTATCGTCTTCCTCTTCTTCCATATCTACTATTTCATCGTCATCATCGTCTGCAGTTGGAGTGATAATGCTAGTATGGGCGTCATTTGTTGTTGAAGTAGCTGTTTCTGATACATCATCGTCGTCCATCTCCTGATCTCCAATTAAGCTACTGTCCCCATTTTCTGCTGATGTTGATGCTGTCTTTGCTTTTGCTGCCTTTGCTGCTGCTGCCTTTGCTGCTGCGCTCCGTCGATTCGCATTTCCCATTTGTTCCAAATTGCCTCGTTTCTTTTCAGCTGCTGCCATAACACCCTTTGCTGCTCTTGGTTCCATTTCTTCAAAAGGTTGCCAGACATAGTGTTGTAATTCCTTTGCTCCAGGCAAATCTTGGATCATCTTGGCAATGGTAGGATGCTTGAACCCATAATAATCAGGACCTGAAGCCGAGTTGGAATGATCACGTTGGCGAATTTCATTTGATTTTCGTACAACCACTGTCCATGCGCCAGTGGCAGAGTTGGCTATGATAGGTTGGCCTGGCATATCGGCTGCCTCCACATGAAATCTTGGTCCATCACCTCCATCTAGAATCGTTGATGTAATCACCGTGTTTGTTGTTGGATCCACCATACTAGGATAAGTTCTTTCATAAAATAAAAATAAAAACAACATAAATCTCTATAAATCCTTTTGATCTCAATTTTTTTTTTTTTGATTTACCTGCTAACTGTATAACCTATTGGGAAAATATAACGTTCATTATGGAAAGTTTCGCGACGAGATTCAATAGTGCCAAGTTTCAAAACAGTCAAAACACCAATTTGCTGAGGAAGGACAGGATTACCGGATTCATCACGTTCGATAGGTTGAACGCGGCGCGTTTTTGCTGGTACTTTTGACATCTTGGATCGTTTTGGAGGAGCTGATGCTACTGTAGCTTGATCACGAGAAGAAGTAGATATGATTTTTTCCTTTTTGACTCGCCTACGCACCTTGGGTTGCTGTTTTATATTGGATGATTTGATTGTTGGTTTGACTATAATATAAAAAGAATATAAAAATGATTAATTCAAGTGGTAAGGAGTATCTCTTTGTTTATGTTTTGATTTTTTTTGATTGCTTTTTTCTGTGTATGCGTGTATATATCTATTTTTTTTTTTTTTTTTTTTTTACCATCACTATCATCACCAGAGTCAGACAAGTCACTTGGAAGGTCACTACTATTATCGTCGGATGATACCATATGTTCCATACGAGCGATATTATCTAATAAGAGACTAAAATAAAAAAAAGATATATCAGTATATATATATGTCATTTATATTATTATTATTATTCTATTTTATTTTTCTATTGATCCCGGTTATTTTCCCCATTTCAAACTTATTTACTTACTTTCTTTCATATGTTAAAGACTTGATTTTCTTTCTTGTTTGTGCATATTCTTTTAACATGGCATCATTGGTCTATATATAAAACCATCAATTAATAATTCACTTTTTTTTTCGTTTTATTTTCAAAGTGTTCATTACCCCCATGATTTCGCGTAATTTTCTTTTCAATTTTTTGTACTTATCCTCGTTGATCGAGACGTGGATCGATGTAGTTATAGTTGTAGGTTGTGGTGAAGTTGTATTTGGAGAAGCAGACATGACGAAGAACTTTTATGTGTGAGTATACAAGATAAATATGCTTATATGTAATATATATATATATTATATATGGATTATATATCAAACGAAGGACTAGGTGAAGAGACACAGTAAATTGAATAAAGATAAAAAAAAAAAAGAAAGAAAACGGAAAAAAGTAAAACGAAGAAGAGTAAGAAAGAAAACAATTGGGCGGGTGGATATACTTTTTTTTTTTGTTTTGAACTCAAATTTTTTTCCCGCACAACTGGTAGAATAAAGTAAAAAAAAAAAGCTCCCTATAAAAACATATCCAAAAGTTTATAACTCATTTATCAATTATACTGGTAAAAATAACAAGAAAAAAGTAGAAAAGATGAGTTTAACGGAGATATAACGTTTTATCGATTTGAAATTTAAAGAAGTCTATTTCTTCAGTCATGTTAGTATTACCTTCTACTCCTCTTCCTCCTTAAAAAAAAAAAAATAGATATCCCACATTTATTATATATATATATATATATAATAAGATTCATCAATATAAAAGACAACAAGAAAAGTCAATTTTTTTTTATTTGTTTGATATTCAAAATAATGTAACATCTTCTTCAATATACAAATCAAAAAAAAAAAAAAAAACTACACTAAGCTAACTAAAAATCCAAAATTATCTATTCTTCTTCCGTCACACGTTCAAATTCAATCATCAATTCACAAGGTTCACTATGAGGGAAAAGATCTACAGAAATAGCCCTTTTAGGTTTGAAAGGCAATCCAGTAAAACGATTTGATTGAGGTCGACATAATCTAATATATCATAAAAAAAAAAAAAAAACCATCAATATCAACTTTCTTCGCTTTTTTTTTTCTTTATAACTTACGATAAGAAATTGGGTGTTGCTTGTTTTGCATCACAACTGATATAAATCACTTTGTCAATATGTTTGGCATCACGGATAGCTCGGATCACACTAGCATGAACACCAGCTCTATATAAATAGAATTCAAGTTATAACTACTTCTTTTTCATATCCAACCTTTTTTTTTTTATTACCTTGGTGGATCTAATACAGCTATGATTTGTTCATCACCTTGACGTTGAAATACATTCAATTTTTCTTCTACCTTGTTTGCATAATAAGTAACATTGGTGACACCTTAAAAAAACGAAAATATTAGTATCATTCAAAAGAAATAAAAGATTTCTTACCATTTCGTTCCGCATTTTCCTTTGCATCTACAATAGCTTCTGGTACCATTTCCACCCCAATCACCTTGTCTACGTTCTTTGCCATAGTTATACCAATTGTTCCAGTACCACAACATAAATCTAATAATGTTGTCTTCTTCCTCTTGCTGTCTTTTTTATCTAGATTACACCATTCAGCACATTTGGCATATAGTAGTTCGGCAGCTGGTGTATTGACTTGGAAGAAAGCACTACTTGACAATCGGAATCGACAACCCAATAACTCTTCATAGATGTATCCATCACCATATAATGTTTGTACAGGCACTCGATCAGTAATCCCATTTGAAGCACCATCCCATTCTTGAAAGAGTAAAGTGGTCACATGGATGTTTTGTTTCTTGACACGTTCCGTCCAATAATTCACCAAGTCATCTTTCATTGCTTGTATTTCATTAGATGAGAGACTTTCTGTACTAGCTTGTACCAATATCATCACTATACATTTTCCAAATAAAGAAAAGTAAAAAAAAAAAGAAGTTCTCTTTTTTTTTCAGTTCCTGTGTGATTTTTTTTTTCATTTATTTATTTTTCTTACCATCTCCAGTACGTTGAGTTTTAGTCATCAAAGTTCTCCAAACACCTTCCTTTTCCGTTCGATTATAGATTGGATAGTTGGATGAACGAATATAATCCTATAAAAAAGTAAGTTTCATTAGTATCTTGATATAAATATAAATACTTTCTTTTATGCTCTACCTGCATAGCTGAAGCTATTGATTTTGCGGTATCAGGTATATGGATCTGTTTTTCAGCATTCAATACACTAGTAATGCCTTCAGCATATCTTCCCAGTAAAAATCCCACAGTAGGTCTTCCATCCAAATCTGAACCAATAGTAAATTCACACTTGGTACGGTAGCCATTGATTTCAGGTGAAGCAATGATATCTACTTGTTCCATAGGAAGACCAGATCTAAAAGATGAAAATAAGATAATAATGAGAAATATCTTGATATTTCTTGACTACTTACTTAGTAATCCAACTGATTTGTTTCTTGTTTTCTTCACTTAAAGGTAACTTAAGTAACTGTTTTTTCAGATTAAAGATATGATTGACACCCACTTTGCGCTTTTTCTCCAACTGTTCATCATATGGTAACCTAAACAAGTATATAAGAATTAAAAAAAAAAAGTCAAGTCAGTGTTTTGAGTATAGTAATAAATATCGTCCCTCTTTTTTTTTTTTTTTTGTCTCCTGATCATCATCAACTTTACTTGAATAAGGGAGTAACTTGATAGGCCAATCGTTCGTGAGGATCAAGGTCAGGTCCTAAGTCTTCCCACATTTTTGCCTTTTGCTTGTTTTTCTTCTTGCCAGTAACCTTAGCTTGTCTATGTTCTTGAGGTGATATGGCTTCCCACTTTATATCCAATGCTTTACCTTTGTATTGTTGATTTTGTAACTGGTTGGCGGCAGCTTCAGCTTCTTCCTTGGTCTACGATAGAAAAGATATAAATAAAGACTATATATATCTATTTTATTACTTACATCAGCAAAACAATGAGCATAAGTCCATTCAGGAGCTTTCTTGATACGTTTAAGACCAGCATCGTTCAAAAGTTTCTTGATTCCTCCTATTTCATATACAGGAAGATTGGATACCGTTACCCTGTATAAAGACTTTTGATTTTCATCAGTTTTCAATTTCTTGCTTGATTGATCATGGTTGGACGTATCATCATCATTTTCTATTGTTCTTTTGCGTCCTAGTACCGAATTCAAAAGTGATCGTGTAAACTTGAGCATTTCTCTGTTTAAGAAAAAGGAAAAGACCAATGAAAAGTTTTACCCTCTTCACACTTTAATTTACTTTCTTGATTGGATGAAAAGCCACGGCGCGTTTTCATACTCCGTTCCTGCTTCTGCAGCTGCAAAAAGGGCATGGAAGTATTTCAAGCTCGCGTCCATCCCCTTTCATCTAGTCCACTGCTTTTTTTTTTGATGACTTTTCTGATCTCTCTTTGGATTGTTCATCAAAAAGTCTAATCATTTTTTTTTTTTTTTGCGCTGCAACATCATATGGAAGTGGATATGTATATCTTTCTACTTTTATAATTCATTCAAAAATCATCATCATCCTATCAAATTTGAACTGAACATACATGAAATCATTCTCTTTCAATAATCTTAATAATAGTTTACACCTTACCTCCCAATTTATAGAGTAAATTAAAAAATAAGAATCAATTCAGTCATCCCTCATCCAATAATGATCATCATTCAATAAAATGACCACCATTGGATTCCTCTCGAAAAAGTAATTTAATACCATCTAATACTATTTTATCTCTTACATTGCTACCTAATGTGCAATAAACACTAAAAGATTTCATCGATTTTTTGAAAAATTGCCTGATGACACCCTGATGATTTAGTTTTACAGCCAAAGTTTGGCTGAGGAATTTGAAAATTTTGGCTGTAAAATGCAAAATCGATCCCAATTTTTTTTCTTTTTTTTTTTTTTTTACTTCTCTTTCTCCTGACAATTTCCTTTATTCTTATTATTCCACTTGCATAGACATCTCTATCATTGTTTTTGTAAGTATGTAGTCAATTTGAATTCATCGTTTTATGCTATATCAATGGGGAAAACTTGAAGGAATGTTTTTTATATGGCCTTTTTTTTTTCTTTTCTTTATTTTCCATAGTTGTTATGGGAATTGTGAACTATTCTTCATTCTTAGTCAACCAGATGCACTGGGAACCAACTCGATATCATTAACAGATGTATAAGAACTTGGAACAAGAAAGTAGTGTCCACCATTAGTATAACTACATAGATAGACGACACAATAAGGCGGGATATACAATAGGATGAGTCATACGATAGGTTAGGCATACGACAAGTGTAGCACAGGATAGAATGAGGTATACAAATAGGATCGCATGTAGCGCACGATGGAATATAGGGTAGATCTCCTTTTTAGTTTAGGTATGTTATTTATAGTACTAACACTTGCTATGAAAATAAAATATACATACTTTTTTTTTGTCTATTTTTACTATTGACCTCTCTTTTTTTTAAAAAGTAACATTATAAATTATTAGAAAGACAATTTTTTTTTTTTTTGGTTGTTTTGAAGAGTAAAAACAAAAAAAAAAGATTATTGAGACATAACGGATCGTTTATTTCTGGTTTATAGAGGGTGATGAATAAATACACTAGGGGTAACTATAGGCGTCTTAAAGTTGAATCAACAATTTGCCAGATGTTTTTCTGCTTGCAAGATCGATATGAGCTTGAGCAACATCTTCCAATGTATATTTTTTGTGGATATGTGGACGAATATGACCTTTTCCAATAATAGTAAAGAATTCATCTAACCATAATTCACGTCTTTCTTCCTCCTGATCTTGGAAAAGAACATATGCACTTGGAGCAACATATTTGATATTTTTTTGACAGAGTTCAACAAAGTTGACCTAAAAAAAAACATGTCAATAAAAAAAAAACATGTCAATAAGAAAAAAACATGTCAATAAAAAAAAAAAAAGATACTTACAGAAGGAGGCAAACCGGATGAATAACCATAAATTACAAAAGTGCCGAAATTACGTACAGCTGCCATTGATGTTTCCCAAGAATCTTTTCCAACACTATCAAGAACGACTTCACATCCTCTATTATGTGTTATATCGTTCACCTTATCAAGTACCTTTTTATAATCATCCTTTGTTTTTACTACAACAACGTGATCGATGCCATGTTCATGGAGTATTTCTGCCTTTTCTTCAGTACTGACCACACCAATGACATTAGCACCAATATATTTCAATAACTGAACAAGAATAATTCCAGTACCACCGGCTGCAGCATGGACAAGGACATGATCTACAAAAAAAAAAAAAAAAAAAAATGAGACACATCAGGCAATGGATGATCCATCATTATTCATTTACCTCCTTTTTGGACTTGAGCAATACGAATCAACATCCATGCTGTGATACCAGCAACACCAACTGTCACAGCGAGTTCGTCCGAAATACCATCAGGTATTTTAATCACCAGATTGGTTGCTTGACTGGCCAAAGTATATTCACAATGTGATCCACTTCCAACAGAAATGACCCGATCGCCTTCTTTGTACTTGGTCACTCCCTTGCCTACCTGATACACTTTACCAACACTACCATCAATGATTGATTGTTAATGATATATCTATATATAACGCATATTATTTTGAATTTTTACCTTTCATTACCAACAATATAAGGAAGAGAGGTAGGAGCAGTACCTTCTCTTTGGTAAATATCCTATCATCAAACAAATATGAATGGATTTAATATGATCATCACCTCTTTTTTTTTTTTTTTTTTTTTTTTTTTTTTTTTTTTTTTTTTTTTTTTTTTTTTTTTTTTTTTTTTTTACCATAAAATTGACGGCTGATATATGATTTTTGATAACAACTTCATTTTCTTTTGCTTGTGGCAAAGGCCAATCCTTGAGTAATAAGTTTTCAGGGCCACCATTGGCTTCCACAACAACAGCTTTCATCATACTAGTCATTATTTTAATTCTACTTGTAAAATAGTAATAATAATAATGAAAGAATCTAATTTCATTTCTCATTTTTTTTTATAGCAGCAGGATGAAACATGATCAAAGTTGGACGATGATTAATCACGGTAAACTTTTAACCGATGATGATTGAAATGCCCAGGCTAACGGAACACTCCTTTGAATGAGTAAAAAAAGGAAATGAATAGAAGATGAGCGTGAACGTCATCTTTCGACTAAAACAGTAACATCATTCGTCACGGTAACACCAATCTGTTTGGTTCATCTAATTGCGCGCACTGACCTTTGACTAAGAGAGAGTGAAAGAGTGAGACGATCTTCTATTCAAGTGATTATAAAAGAAAGAAGGATGAATCTTGTCAATTAGCTTGATTCGCTTTTGAAACAACGGAGTGGTGAGATCCCACTCGTCGGATGTGATCTTTTTCAAAAAAAAAAAAAAAAAAAAAAAAAAAAGTTTCCTAAAATAGAATCCATATTCCCATCATTTTCTGATGTCATAATGAAATCGATAATAGTAATCCATACATACACAAACGCGCATATATATTCTCTTTTCCTTTGATTTATGCATTACTGAAATGATAAATAGTAATGATGAATAAACTAGTGAGATAAAATAGACCCTTGTTTTGTCAATGACTCCTTTTCTCCTTTATACTTTTCGGAAGAAAGGGTAATCTATCATTGAATTTTTTTTTTTTTTTACCGTCTCATTATGTTTGTACGGATACAGTGATAGACACCATTCTTCATCAATGTACAGACATAAAAAAAAAAAAAGCAGAAACAAGAACAAAATGAAAACAATGCATCTATAGTGTACTTATTGCAGGAAAACAAAACAACATGACAACAAAACTAAAGATTACCTTCATTAAACTGCGTAAGGTCATATGATATCTTTATTTGTAAAATCAAAAAAAAAAAAAAAAAAGATGGTGCCACACTAAAAAGCTGGACTATGTAAGATTGAATGAGAAGAGAATATACAAAAAAAAAAAAAAAAGACATCCCTCAAACTATAAGAAGAAATGGGTATATTGTCGACTTTGAGGATGCACTTGCATTTCGTTGAGTTTGTATTCATTGAGTTCTTGTTTGATTTGTAAGGCCAAAGTAGGAGTCAATCGTTGACAAGTAGCTTGAGTATCACAACGTCTATCATAATCCTGCGATCCAAATGTATCGTGTACTTGTACTGTTGTCCTAAATCGTACCTTTGAACCCTTGTTGCCGGTTGATACTGTCTTTGTTGTACTGGAATTTATCCTTTTACCATATGGACCGGATAATGATAATGTCATCATACCTGATTTGTTGTTATCATTCGCCAAAGTGGAGACAGAGTCAGTCATACATAATGAAAGATCATCATCATCAGTGGATACCAATGATGAATTGCTACTTTGCCTGATATTGGATGATGGTCGTAAGACAGGTGATCCATGTTGAAGAAAAGTAGTAGCTGGATGCAATCGAGAGGAAGGTGGAACACCAAAATATTCTTGTTGCTGATTTGTGAGATCTGATTTTGGTGATGATCGTACATGCTTATTGCTGACATGATGATGGTGATGATTCGGACTGGACACAGAAAAAGCAGATAATAAAGATGATGGAGGCGTTGATGAAGAATCAGATGTTGTCGATGATAATGCAGGTGAAGGAAGATCTGTATAATAATATTTGGTTGGTTTTGGTGATGCGTTACGAGATAATGGATTGCCAACTAATCAAAAAAAAAAAAAAAATAAAAAAAAAAAGGTATGCTGTAAGAATTCGGAGTACTTTTTTTTTTTTGTACATATACACATGCAAAGAGGTATTTTTTTTTGTTTACTTTTTCTACCATTACGGGGATCCACATGCATTGTTATGTCTTTTTGATTCGTTGAAGAGGCTATTGTTGTTGTTGTTGAAAGTTCGTCCAATCCAGAGGAGACTGATACGGATTTGGATGTTTTCCTGAATAGATTTGTCCATGATGATCTAAAAGATGAAGTATCTCCAGGTAGGGTACGAGTTGTTGATACAGAAGAAGCGCAAGAGGCCAATGATGGAGATCTTCTCAAGGACGATGTTTCATGTTGGGGTTTATTGTTTGATGTACCAGTAAATACGCCACGGATTCGTTTGGATAATGAAGGTTTATTGGTTTTGGACATTGAAGATACAGAAGAAGAGGATGAAGAAAGAGGTGCATTTGTAAAACTTGTTGTATCGGAAACAGTCTTGACAGAAGAAGTATGAGAATAAATGGATGACCTCCAAGTTCCAGAGTCATCTGCCAAGGACGGACAAGGGGAGTTGGAGCGGCGCTGATCCAAGGATGTAAGATTTGGATGTGATTGAGAAGAAGATGGTTGTAAATTGTGATATGATTGGCGATAGGATTGTTTTGAAGTATTTTCAGTCGTTGAAGATGAAGTACTATTCAAAGTGGAAGAGCGTACACGACGATGAGGAGTGGTTGATTTTGGTATTGGTGTTGAAGATATCCTGGAGTCAAAATGTGTGTTATTCATCGGAGCTGACCTTGATTTACGAGATGATTGATGATTGGTTCTTGAAGAATGAGGATGATGTTGTTTGCGTGATTGTCCACTATATTCGGTATACTGCTGCTGTTGTTGTTGTTGTTGTTGAAGATGATGATGGTATGAGACATTTTGACCGTAATAATTGATGTTATTAAATATTGGCGTCGTACAATTAGGATCACCATATTTCCAAGGGTCTTGTTGTAATGTGATAAGATTAGGTGATATCCAATTGTTCATCATTGCCATCTACATATCAAATAAATATAAAGAATGAACATTTTAACAGAAGGGATACGCGGAGTATGAAATCAACGCATGGATAGAAATAGGGAGACAAAACAAAAGAGATGGGGGGTGGAAGAGAGGCAAGTATATACTATGAATGGTAAAAGGAAAAAGAAGTGTCTTTTTTTTTTTAAAGAAAAAAATACCTGTTGATTGACTTGTAATTTGCGAGACATAAAGTTGGCTAAGGAGATATCATCATCATCATCATTACTTTTATCACACCTATTTTCTTGTTGTTCAAAAAGTATATGATTCATACCATTTGTTGTTGTTGTTGTTTCTGATAGTGGTGACGAGGTTGTTGTAAAAGTTGTTGATGTTGTAGAAGGTGTAATAGTAATAGTGGCCATTTGTTACAAAAAAAAAAAGAAGTTATCGAATATATTGGGAAAGAGAGAGAGAGAAAAAAATAAGAATAAAAGATAAAATAAAAAAAAAATAATGAAAAGAAAATAAAGAAGACCGGCGTTTGTACAAAAATAGGGGATATGATACAGGTAAAATACTAATAATAATAATAATAATAATAGTAATAGTAAAGATAATAATGAGGGTATACAAATAAAAAAAAAAAAAATAAGAAAAACACTAAGCCAAAAGGTAAATCAAAATGTTTTATTTTATTTATTTTTTTTTTTCGTCTTTTCAATATAAAAAGGAAAGAGAAAAGAGAAAAAGAAATAAAAAGAAAAAAATGTATAAGATTCTTTTTTTTTTTATTTGATTCTATTCAAAATCCGCTTCTTGATATGTATGATCTTTTTATTTATTATAAACATATACTATAAAACTAATCCTAAATCATCCATCGTATTCTATCGTATCGTCAGGTTCCTATAATAAAACGTGAAAAACATGTTAATACAAGTTTAGATTTTTTCATGAAACTAATCCATCTATGTATTGGAATAAAACTAAAAATATCTTTTATATAAATATATATATATAATATACCTTGGGTTCTAAATCTTCTCCGTATTGCATCGCGTGATCTACACTTGATAGTACGTATTCGATAGAATCTTCATCCGTAATATTCAATGGTATAAAGCTAACCATACTGTAATCGTCAATCTACCAAATAATATAATAAGAAATCATTTATTATTACCTCCCTAATTCTTTCTTTCTTCTACCCTCCCTTCCTCCTTTTATTTACCAATTGTACAATAGCTTGATTCAATTCTCGGAATTTCGCCATCCGTCCTGTTTCTTCTTCTTGAGATGCCACCTGGCCAGCTTCTTCAGCCAATAACAATGGGTCCGGATCCAGATATCGGTCCAATTCTCTATCAGTCATTGCTTGTTCCATCTTCAATTGTTGTTGTCGTCTTCGATACTTTCTAGATCGTTTCTTTTTCTTTTCCGTATCTTCATCTTCTTGATCTTCTTGTTTATTACCATAATCACCTTGAATTAAATCCATCTTGGTCATCACATTAATATGTGGAATTTCAAGATTTACCATAGCACTCATGGCACTAAGTACACCAGAAAAATATTTACTTTTATCTTCAATAAATTGAGATTCCAAACAGTAAACACCACATATATTCAGATTCCATCGTGATAATTGTTCGCATAGTCGTCGCATAATAGGGAAATGTGTATAAAGTTCGATTTGTCCAGGACAGTCAATAATCAAATAATCATCATCATATGTTCCTATTTCTTCTTCAAGCCAATCAATATTGTTTAATAAGAATCTAAAAAAAAAAGGTATTTTGTAAAATTTTGTTGGTCGCATTAGTCATCCTTCTTTTTTTTTTTTTTTTTGATATCCTTACTCTAAACAATAAATAAGACCACCATTAGGTCCATAATCCAATTCTTCCATAACATCTTCTAAAGTAATTAGATCTCGAATATCTATAAACAATGATAACTTTATTAGACCTTACTTACCATATTATTTTTTTTTTTTTTTTTTTTTTTTACCTACCAATAGTGGGTTCATATTCGAAATGTTCAGCAGCAGGATCAAGATTGACAAGATGAACACGACGATTAGTAGTTTGACAATGGGTCATCATTGTAGCGCAAAAAGTAGACTACAGATAAATATATATATATAAGAATAAAAGCATGAGATTAATAAAAGCATGAGATTGCTATGAATCGTCTTCTTTCTTTTTCCATTTTTTTTTTTTTTTTTTTTTACCTTGCCACTTCCAGCAGGTCCCATAACCAGTTGACAGTGTCTTCCCCTATATTAATATTAGAAAAGAATATCAATATTTGATAAATATCCAACAATATCATAAAGGATACTTTGAATACCTACATTGTATTTTAAAAGAAAGTTAAAAGAAAGAAAAAGGTTATGTCGAAAATTTTCCCCCATATTCTTCTTGTCCATAGACGGTGATTCAATTTAAATAAGCCACGTCCAGGCCGCATAAAAAAAAAATTGAAGGATGTTCTCCAGATTGGTATATGAAATTCAATAGGTACATAGAATGATTAATCATCCAATGAAATACAGTGTTTTCAAGGTTTTTTGTCGGGTCACAAGAAAATGCTTTTCGTGATGTTATCAAATAAAATATCGTACTTTCCCAAAATGAATGGCGCATTACCACTTTTTCAGATATCGCTCCAGAGATGGCGGTAGAGTACATTAAAAACACATAACATATTGATGATAACTTGTTTATTAAAAATAAAAGACACAAAATAAAAGTAACATGGACTTATCATATTTTTAGCAGCTTTGGGTGTTGTCTATTCTTTTTTAGGTATCAATTGATTGATGATTCATGATCGATGATTCATGATTGATGATATGTGATAACGGATGATTGTATATTGGATGATTACAGGATGGATGATGGATGACTGTATGATGGATGATATGTGATAATGGATGATTATATGTTGGATGATTGTACGATTGTATGATGGATGATGAAACATTGTCGTCAGTCACTGTACAAATTTCTGATAAAATACAAAATACTTCATTCTAGTTACCTTCTGACAGAACAACATTTTCTTTTTCTTTTCTTTTTTTCTTTGAAAAATGTCAAAACACTCTTTTATCAGCCAACATGATAAATCAATATAATAATGATGATTCATCACATCAATGGAAATTAAAAAATACAATAATAAATGTGCTGTACACAATCATACTACCATTTAAAATAGAACAACTAAAAAAAAAAAAAAAAATCTAGTCATTAAACTAAAACACGGCAAAAACAAGTCAGTACCATGTATCACTTAGTACATAAATATTGTAATAATAGAATTTAATGTAGAACATCTATGTAATTAACTTTATTATAAAGAGAGAAATGTTGCTAACACTAAAAAAAATGATGATGAATTAGATACGATATAAAGATAGAAATGTTGCTAATATTTAAAAAAAATGATAAAACTCGCTTACATCTTGTCTCATCATTTTATCTACTAAAATTAGCTCATAATTGCAAGGGTGATTCATTTTCTTATAAAGGGATCCCTTTGATTTAACTTTTTTTTTTTTTTATTTCTTTACATTATATTCATCTTTTTGGCCTACCTGCTTACTTTTTGATCTGCCTTCTTTTTTTTGCCTATCTTTTTCCTTACAAGCATCCTTTAATAACTCAACCACCTCTGTCTGTCTCTCCATTGATCTACCTCTTTTTTGTTTCTGGGCTTGACCGTGGTCGCTAATGCGCATTTGCGTGGTTACGGTCAGCCTTTTCTTTTTTTTTATTCAACAATTCCGGGATGGTTATCGCCATCCTACTTTCGCTACGGCGATCTCGTTACACTTAAATGGTAAGCTAGTGAAATATTTTTATCTGGATAAGTATTACTCATTTTTTATTTTTATTTTTTTTTTTTATATGTTAACTTGGTGAACTTAATTGGTGGATCTCTTCTTTTTTTTTTTTTATTGATTACTCTTTTTTTTTCATGATATCTATTTTCTTATATTCTCTATTTGATTATGCGACAATTATATTTTTTTTCTTCTGTCATTTATTTTCTATCCTTACGATATTTTATTTCCTATTTTTGCGCCATCTTATTCTTTGAATTCCGTCATTTATTATTGAATAAAGTGTACAAAGACCTGTATACAAAACAAAATAACAATAATAATACTTAATATTGAAAAAAAAATAGGTTTTTTATTTTCAAAAATAAAAGAAAAAGAGAGTTCTAACTATATATATTTATATAATATGATGATGATAATGATAATGGTGATGATGATGATCAAATATGCCCTTTCAGATATATTATACTAGACTTTTCAAGCCCGTCCTTTTTTTGATACTTGTTTCTTTTTTGATGCATAGTTTTTTTTTGATTCTTGATTTGAGTGTAAACGTACAGCTTTTTTGACATCCACCTTGGCATCTTTTCCGACCACTCGTTTAAGAATATCCAGAGATGAATTCTTTTCAGCCTTAGAATCACCAATAGTGGCAGAGAACTATCAAAACAATAATAATAATAATAAAATAGATAAATTAGCATATCATTCTTTATGATTATTTAAAATTTATTTACCTGATGTGTCACACCCTTGACTCGTTGTTCATTTCGTAATTCCTTGTCAAATTTACCCAAACTAGCAGTTGCAGTACGAGAGGCAGCAATAGCTTGTTGTAATTCATCCTTCTTAAAGTCACGTACATCCTTCTTACCAGCCATGGTAGCAGCAGCACCTTCTTCTTCATTTCGTTTTTGTCGTTTTCTGTTCTTTTCCACTCGTTCCTTCTTTTCTTCCTTGTTCTTTTGATACATATCAGTCATAGGATCCACATTATTGGGTACTTCAATCAACCAATCACTAGTAACATCCTTGGCACCACCTTTATAACCCCAACGAGGAACATATTCTTGACGATCTTCATCCCACACCATCCGTTCGCGCTTGGTATTTTGTATACCTTTGACTTTGGCAAACTTTTCCCACCGAGTCAATGGTTTATCCTTGGGCAATGGCTTTTCACGAGGAAGAATAGTACTACGTTCTGGTAACATAGCCAATACTCCACTATCTCCACTCTTCACTTGTAAATCAAAGATACCATTCACTACTAATTGTGTATTGTCCCGAGTCAATTCCTTTAAATATGCTTCCTTGTCTTGCCTAAATATATATTTATAAAACAATGAGTTATATTTTTTCTTTCTGTAATTCGATCTATTTATTATCTTTAACTACATTCTTTTTCATCATTCATACTTTAGTCGTTTTTCATCAAGAGCATTGGTATCAAAGCCAGACAATAGATTCAGATCAAAATCAAGAGGTACTAATTTTTCCACAGTAATAGGTTTGCTATAGAAAGAAACAAAAAAAAAAATCCATGAGATAAAATAAAATTAAAACAGGTGAGGTGTTACTTACAATTGTGCTTTATGAGCATCTAAAATTTCAGTGACATCCATGACTTGATCGTTAAGAGTGTTAAAAAAAAAAGAATGTTGAAAAAAAAAAAAAAAAAAAAGAGTACCGAAAGTTTTTTTTCTTTTTTTAATTCGTAGAAAATCCGGTGTTTCAATGACTCAGTGGCTTGACCTTGGATCAATGCATTATTCCCTTTTTGGGTCTCCGGTCAATCAGAACATTTGTTTATTACCAAGTGATAGTCAATTGACTAAAGTGTATAATAAATAAGAGGGAATATAATTTACATAAAAAAAAAAAGGTCATCTAACTAAAAGAATATGCTTTCTATACTATTCTTCTTTTTATAAATCGGTAGCATCTTCCATAGCAGTCCATAAATCATTGACAATGGGGAAAACGGCTTGAATGTGATAGGGTACAGGCACAAAATTACTAGTAAGATCAGAGATTGTCTTGACAGTTGTTGACACAATTTCTCTAATCAAAAAAAAAAAAAAATTAATCTTGATTTCCTACATACATTCACCTTTTTTGATATTTTACCTAAATTCAAATATCATCTTTTCCTTTTGTTGTTGATCACAGCACCCAATCATAGCATTTAAAAGTAACCAACCTTCCATATTTTCTAATCGAATCGTTTCCTTCAAAATAGCAGATGCCTTGATTGTCTTTGTAAAGTAATCTTGATATACTTTTTGCCATTGTTCAATATCTTTTTCCGAGAGAGGTGGACTTTGCTGTTGTTGTTGTTGTTGCTTTCCTTTTGCATGGAATAGTAATGAACCTAAAAAGCGCTGACCAGTCTGTAAAATATAACAAAAATATGTTATCATTTTAATACAATTTTTTTCTAAAAAATGAATACCATTACCTTTGTACCAATAAGTGATTGAAAATCGGGATGATTAGATGCTACTGATAGAATTTGACTAATATAAGACAGAGAACACCAATATAAGGAATTTTCCAAACAAGCTGTCACAGATGGATGTATGTAATCGATGTTCTGTCGTTGTTGCTGCTGATATTGGGAGATACGAGGATTAGTGGAATTTAATGGTGGAATAATATCAACAAAATGATAGGCAATGGTGGTCATCAAGATATGTCGCTGATGATCATTCAGATGAGGTAATATACGGCCTATCAAGGACATACCCTTGTTCACAGATAGAATTGAAATAATAGTAGGAATCCTAACCATATAATAAAATCATGATTAAATGAATTTCTTTTTTTTTCTTTTTCTGTAACTTACTTTTGTTTTGTTGTCAGTGTATCCCATATTTTTTGAATAGTATCTTGTCGTGTTGATGATGATGGTGATGATGTGGCATTTTGCGTGTTACCCGGTACTCCAGTTGCATTTCCATCTCTTTCTCGATAGGACTGTTCCACTTGTAATACCAGAAAATAAATCGATTCAATTGTTTTTAGTAAATGGTGATGATCCTTTTTTAAGTACGTCTTCTTTTCTTGAATTGATTCATGCTCATCTGTTGCGTTGTTCGATTGTTCCTTATCTTGATCGGCAGTAGCAGTGGTACTAGTGGTAGTAGTAGTAGAATCGCCTAGAAGGAGGAAATAGGAATTACATTAACGATAAATGTTTTCATTCAATTTCCATATTTCAGTCTTACCATCCATATGTTCTCGATCATACTTAACATCCTCCAGGATCTTGTCTAAATTCGCGCGTATCTCGGTAGGTGATTGAGTTTGTTGTTCTGGGTCATTATTGTTATTCATCATCATGATAGGATAATGTCCATTGACGACTGGTGGCATGTGAGGTTGATTTCCATTGGGTGTCATATACATTTGATAGTAAAAGTCACTAGAAGGCTGCTGATTAGCTGCTAGTAGTTGGGATTGTTGGATTTGATCGATGAATCTTAAATCCTTTGCATTCATTAGGCCATTGTAACCATTCTAATATTAAATAATAATGATAATAGAAGAAAAAAAAAAAAGACATTGTCAGCATTTTTCATATGTAACTTTAAGTATCTATTTTTTCTTTTTTTGTCTCACTCAGTCTTACTTTGGCATCATCCTCTTCTTTTTGCTCAATTTCTTGCTCCACTGTCTGGTTAGGTTTTTGAACTATAGGGTTACGTTGATGAGGTGGGACATTTGCTTGATGATTTTGGAAAAAGGATTCAATATCAAAAGGTTTCTGATTCACTGGTGGAGGTGGAGTAGACTGTGGTTGTTGAGAGAGTCCTGGAAGAAGTTGATGAAGTAGATTCCGATTGGAAGATTGCATTTGATCCTTTCTACCTTCAATATCAGATAAATTGTAAACAACAGGATGAGACTGTCCAGTAGTAATATCTGAGCGTTGTCGAATGTTTGCTTCAAGTTCTTGTAATGTAGTAGTTGTATGAGGTTGATTTGTCGAATTGATTTCATTGATTTTTGTACTGGTGGTAGAAGGAATAGTGCTAGTAGTGCCAATGATAGTGTTGTCTTGGATATCTTTATTGGACGTATTATCATCATTCTTGTCTTGAGTTTCAGGTATTTTTCCAGATAAGGCAGATACAAACGAAATACCTAATTGAAAACCACAGGCAAATAAATGAACAAAAGGATCATATTAGCTTGCTAATGCATCATTCTATACATTATATAGCACTATATAGATTTCGTTACCTGAAGAGACTTGGCGACCGCTTGATGGTGCATGTTCTTTATTCTTCGAATGACTGGCAATAGTTGACTATAAAAAGAAAAATATATACAAATTGTGAGGAAACAGCCTTAATAAAATGGGAATGGTATGCTTGTGAGTGCATGGAGGAAGATATAGGAGGTTACCTTTGATGTTTTCGGATCCAAATATTGAGTAGCAAATGGATTTTTCTTCAGAATATTCGATTGCTGTTGCTTGGTACCAGTACCTATTTAAAATTTATATCAATACATAAGGCCATGGAGATATCATAAATCGTGTGTAAGAATCATAAACTGGTGTTACCTAATTTGGATTGTAACTGTGTTGGTTTTCTCACTGCAAAGGCTTCTTCTTCAAAAGTACTTGAAGATACCTTCTCCGCGCTGGTAGAAAAGGCAATATCTAAAGCAAGGAAAAAAAAAAAGAAATAAGTACATAACGGCATTGGAATAAAAAGTAGCATTTACCAAGAGCTTTTCCAGTGTGTTCGAAAGTAACAGGGAAATCAGATTCATCGTCTTGAAAATCGTTGTCGTCAGCAAGTTCATCTCGCAAAGATGAGAATTCATATACTTCAATATCTTCGGTATCATGAAGTAATTGGCCTGTCACTGTTGTGTTGGTGGTTGTTTGTATCATGTTATTTTTCATGCGATGAGTCATTTTCCTTGAACTACTTCCGAGTTGAGATACAAAATAAAATAGTGAGTATACGCGTTAAAGATGATTACAAGTATTAATGAAACAGATCAACTTACTAGATGATAAAGCTGTAAAAGGCTGATGAACTAGATGAGAAGTATATAAATAAAGTATGAAACAAGTAAAAATAATAATAATAATAATAATAAGGAAACCAGAAGACAAAGAAAAGAGAAGAAAACAGTCCAATGACATTTACCTGGCTGTGTTTCAAAAAATGCGAGCACCAAAGAAAGCAACAAAATGTAAAATCATTGGTCATGGACAAAAAAAAAAAAGAACGGTATGATAACAACGAAATGTTTATTAAAAAAAAAAAAAAAAAAAAAAAAAAAAAAGAGAATAAAGAAAGGTAGTCATGAATGAGATAAACTAGGATTGTTATTCATATGTTGGTAACGTTTGATAAATGGATGTTCTAAAACTTCACGTAAAGGTATCCTATGAGCAGCCTTATATTGTAAAAGCTATAATAATAATAATAATAATAATAATAATAATAATAATAATAATAATAATAACAATAATCAGTTCATTTATTTACTTCATTCTTTTTTTTCTTCTTCTTCTTCTTTTGATCATTTATCTACCTTTTGAATAAGATCCCTTGCTTCTTTACTAACAAAATCTGGGTAGGAGATATCCACTTGTATTATCCGTTGATAGGTTTCCTTATCACCTTCAGTATCTTCAAATGGAGGTTTCCCACAAATCATTTCATAAAGTAATACACCAAGAGACCATATATCAGCATTGACATCATGATTCTTCCCTTCCACCATTTCCGGTGGTAAGTAATCCAATGTACCGCATAAAGTGCTTCTTCGAGAGCTTCGTGTAACAAAAAAAAATTATCAATGATTTATTTCTTTTTATTTATTATTTTGTATACTTACTCTTGAACATCAGTTTTCACAGACCAACCAAAATCACCAATCTTTAATTCTCCATTGAGGCCAAGTAAAAGATTTTCAGGTTTAATATCCCGGTGAATAACCCGCTTGTGATGTAAATATAATAATGCATTCGCTAATTGTGCAACATACTAATCCAAAAAGAGCAAGTCAAAGGGAATTAGTAAACCTAGTCAAAGACTTTTTTTATTTTTATTTACTTACTTTTGCGGCAACCGATTCCATAAATCGTTTCTTGATCTGTAATTCCTTGTATAGTTCGCCTTTTGAGGCAAACTCTAAAATCAAGAATACCCTAGTCTCATCATGAAAGTAACCATAGAGTCGTATAATATTCGGATGTCTATTTATTAAAAAAAAAAAAAAGAGAAAAAAAGAAGTTAGTCTTTCAATAAAAGAAATTAAATTGAAAAAAAAAGTAAAATTACCTTAAGGATCCTTGTATTTCCACTTCTCGCCTTAATTGTCGTTCAACACCAAGGGACATGATTTCCTTCTTATATAATACTTTTAGAGCAACAATGTATCCACTTTGTTTTTCCCGTGCAAGATAAACATGTCCAAAATTACCCTGACCTAATTCACGACCAATTTCGAAATCACGTAATGTCCAATGTTTGTATGGTTGCCTATATTAAACAAAAAAAAAAGAGTGACAAAGAAAAAGTTTAATAAAATATGATAAATCAGATAGAATAATAGTGTTTGATATTTTTTTTTTATCTTATCTTACCTAGTATTACGAGCTGCATCTTCTAGAGGCCTTTTTCTTGTGGTAGGTTTTACTTGTTGATGACCTTGTTCCTGTACAGATTTCCCAGATTGAAGTTTTGATGTCCTCAAGGTTTCTTTATTAGAACTAATGGTATTTTTCATTGATGAGGAATTTCGACTAGTTCTAGTTGTATTCATAAGTAGATAAAATGGGTAATAGTATGTAACATAAAGAAGAAAGTGAGAGAGAGAAAGGCGCAAGGAGAAAAAAAAAAGAAAGTGGCAAAGGAGTGAAAAAAAAAAATAGGTGAGGTGGGATTAAACCTCCGTCCGACTGTTCTGATTTTTACGCGATCAATTATTATGCTCTTAATAAAACTACATGTCCTCTCTTACAAGTAGCTTTTTATTTTATTTTATGAGATATGAATTTCAATCAATACTTAGATAATCATAATAAACCCTATCAATTTTAAATATAAATAATAAGAAAAAAAAAAACAAGATAATACATTTATTATGAATGATGAATTAACAAAAAAAAAATAATAATGATGAAAATATGTATATGAGTGTGCAGAAAAATTGAATAAGAAGTGGACAAGGTTACAAAAAGTATCAACTGAAAAAGAGGGGATTCTAAATTCTAATTGAGGGAATAATCCTTGATGTTAAAAAGTAATACACGACCTCGTTTTGTGCCTACTGTAAAGTATTCACTACTAGGAGAGAAATCCATGGCTGATACACGATTCAGAGGTGTTCTTTCTGTTGGCCAATTTACCACTACACGACCAGTTGGTGGATGTACCAATTTCAAAGCGTCCTTCTTGTCCGAGCTGGCAATAGCTAATAATTGTGAATCATAGTTGAATTTCATATTTGTAATGCGTGTTGTAAGATTGCCGATTGATTTATAAGGAGTTGGTCGTGTTATTTCCCTTGAAAGTGCTGATTCATCATATATATTGACAATTCCAGAAGTGGATCTATCATAATATGAAACCAAAAAAAAAAAAAGTTTAAATCAACCGATTCTATCATATTCAAGTTTCCTTTTTTTTTTTTAATTTACCCTGCGGCATAATATTTTTCATTAGGACTGACAGCAAGAGTTGTTGTTCCAAGAGATCCATCATCCACCCATTTATGAACACATTCACGTTGTGCAACATCCCATTGATATATTTCACCTTGAACACCCGAACTATATAAGTATTTACTATCGGCAGACCAAGAGACACAAGAGACTTGACCATTCATTCTAAAGTTTGCGATCCATTGCATTGTAAGATAACTGACCAGAACAATATTACCATTGGTACCAAGGAATGCGATATATTGACCACAAGGACTGAAGGAGAACTTCTCCCAACTTGTTTCTTCTCTACCCCAAATACCAGGTGATTTGTTGATAGAACCAGATTGGACATCATAGATATAAATAAAAGGTCGACGACCAGTAACAATGATATTATCACCTCCAGGATGGAATTGTGCACCATAAATAGGAGTATCCTTGAAATGTACTGATTGAATCTTGTGATTGACTTTACCATCAATTTGGAATAGTCGTAATGCTCGATCTAATCCTGCTGTCAATAATACTTGAGCATTTGGATGGAATTGGAGGGCAGTGATTTGTTTCTATTGATTCAATATATATATAGATATATTAATATTCATTGCCTGACTAGTTGTCTTTTTTTTTTTTTGTCTTTTTTACCGAACTTGGGGCCATAATGTTTGCATCTTTCATGCGAACAATGGATACATGATCAGGTGATAAGATGGTAGACGATTTGCGTGTTTCCAAAATCCCAAGGGTACTTTTCAATAAATCCAAACGTTCTTCTTCATCCAACTTAGATCCTTCATCCATCGAGTAGTCATCTTCAGAGTCACTTTCCATACCTTTACGTTTCTTTGATTGCAATTTCTTTTCGGAAGGAAGTTGAGCCCATTCCGGAGGTGGATACATTTTATTGAATCTAATGATAAAAAAAAAAGTTTATGTAAGCTATATTCAATTCTTTAACTTGATCAATATATCAAATCACTTACTGTGTTCGAAGCCTACGTTCATATTCTTTACCAGAGATCACATCTTCTTCTTCATTTTTGCGTAGTTTCCTTAAACGATTGGTACCTTTCAAAGAAATTTCCAAGAGATTGTCATCTTCGTCTTGCCATGCGGCCTTGCCTTGATATATTACTTGATCATCGTCATCCAATTCTTCTTCACTATTTTCACTACTACTGCCTTCATTATCACTTTTATCAGAAGCCTCGTAGTCTATTTCGTCATTCATCGTTGTTGATTCGTTATTGTCATTATCGAAGCCAGGTCCTGCATCAAAAAAGAAGGCCTATAACAATATGTGAATGAATAATTAAGTTTTCCATCTTCGTCCTTTAAATCAAACAATGTATTTCTATATATATATACCTCCTCCTGATCGTCACTTGCGTCACCGTCTAAATTAGTTGTCTCGTCGTCGTTGTTGTCTTCCATAGGTAATTCCAATTCTCGTCCGGTAGCGTTCCATAATTCTTCTGATCCACCAAATAATAAGGATTCCAATTTCTTCTCTTCATCATCCTTGATTGGTTTCTTGTCGTGGTCACGATCGTTCTTTTGTCGTTTTGGTTGTGGTGCCATTGATATAATCTACAGAGGAAAGGAAGATCTAAAGAACCAAAAAAAAAAAAAAAAAAAAAAAAAAAAAAAAAAAAGAAACGAAGTTGTAGGTGAAGGAAAAAAAGATGCAAGCCACCAGCGCGGATATTGAATCCCGAACGATTTTGCCTGCATTTGCATCAACAAGAAGATGAGAAAAAAAAAAAAAAAAAAAAAAAAAAGAGTAAAATGGGTAATTTTTTATTACAAAATGATATCATAAAACAAAACAAAAGGGGGTGGGAGCTATAAATATATATATAATATGAATAATGAGAAAATAAGATGGAAGCTAAATAAGATAGGTACTTGATAAAATATCAAAAAGGAAAAAAAAAATATCATGTTCCAAAAGCATCTTTTCGAATATCAAACAACCTTCCCATATCTTTACCATCTCTGATTAACCGAATACTTTTGAAAGCATTTCCATTCGGACGTTTATCTCTTGATACCTTGCCATGATGATCCAAAATCTTGGTTTCTAAAGCAGTTGGTGTTTCAAAATCTTCATAAATTTGATCATCTAATGTAATAGATAAACCCAATGTACCATCAGCCTTGACTACCTAGAAATCAAAAATAGATTAATAAATATTCATCTTTTTATTTTTTTATTTTATTCTTTTTACCTCCATTGATTTTGAGACAATCACTTTACATGCACTGAAGTTTCGTTTGTATACAATGACATCATTTTCTCGAATCAATCCTTTGCGACACATATCTTTCAATGTAATGCTTTTTGAATCACTATATAAAAATAAAATCATTTAATTAGTTTTGTATGATGAAGATGATTCTATTTTAACTAACCCAGCAACATTATGTAGTTTTTCTCGATCAGATAATTCGCCCCAGTACATTTCAAATGCTTCATCCTATTTCAAAAAAAAAAAAAAATGAAATGAAATTAGCAAAACAGGAAGAAAAATATATTTTCTAATCACTAACTTTGAATGGAGTATTTCCTACGGAGGACTGTATTTGTTGAGATCCATCAGTTTCTTTTTGATTCATCAGATCACCTGCAACAAGCATAGATTGCCAATCATCCAGTGCATTCCAAAAAACAGGATTTTTATTTCGAGAGAAAAAAGAAGGATGAAGATGAGTTGTTGTTGTGGTTAATGATTCGTCCAAAGGTAAAGAAGTAGAAGAAGTAGAAGCAGAAGAAGGACAAGAAGGAAGATATGCCATATGATCAATAGTTGTAATAGTATCAGGTGTTGGTAATAATTTTGCCAATTCGTCTTGTTTTTCTGGTGGTAATAGTTGAAAATTGGTCAAGTTGAATATCGACTAGATAAAAAAAAATAAAAAAAAAAAATAAAAATGAGTTGATATATATATATATATATGTAGGATTATTATTATTATTATTATTATTATTATTATTTACATCAAGATCAACTTGAGCCAAAGGACTAGAAGCATGAGTAGAAAGATAGTCAACAGTACATTCTTCTTGTTGTTTGAGTCGTTTGAATGGGAATGAGTTAGGTTGAGAATGGAAACATTCTATTTCAGGTGAGCGTATCAAAAGTCGCTTTGTTTCTGCAGTGACGTCTTCTTCAGGATGCATGTCAGTGTATTCCCTTTTACATAATGGTGAATATGATAAATTTTCGTTGAAGGGTTCATACATTGCTAATAACAATAATAATAATAATAATAGTAAATACAAACTATATATATATATTATAATATATATTTATATATGTCAATATATATATATAGATATAGATATATAAAAAAATATATATATTTTATATTATATGATATGGAGGGGGGTATAATAAGAAGACAAGAAAAAAAAAAAAGGAAAAAGAAAGAACGAAACAAGGGGGGAGAAAGAAGAAGAAGAAAAGAAAAAAATTGAGTTATTTAGAAAATTGGGGGCCATTGAGGGGAGGAAAAAATAAAAAGAAAGAGAGGAGAATAGAAAACTCAAATAGTGTACATGTGATCATCATTTCAATTGTTTATCTTGTAAATCTAGACTATGAGTTTTATATATCTTGTAAATAAAAACAAAAGGAATAATAATATACAAATAAATTATCGATCTATACAATCATCACTAAACTATATCATTATGAAGATAATTTTTACTTTATTTTCTATTTTTTATATATTGATGATATTTTTTATTGTTTGTAATAATCATTTTTAATATATATATATATATATATTTAATAATAATAATAATAAATAACTACTTCTCTTTGATTATATAACGTTTGATGATGCATTAGTGTAACAAAGTTAAAAGGCATTGTTTGGATTCACAGTCGGAGTAAAATCAAAGATGCATGACACTGAACAAAAAAAAAAAAAAAAAAAGGTCAGATAAGCAGAGTCAATTTTATTTGATGATTTTTTAGAAATAAATGTTATTTTTATGATTGAATTATTTTTTAACATATATATATATATATATATTGATTGATAGATTGATTGATTTAAATACATAGATACTTGTTACTATCATTTGTAGGTTGTTATGGATATGATTCTCATGGAAGTGGCGTTTTCCTTTTAAGGGGACGGGGCTTCAAATAGCAAAAAAAGTCTTTCATTTTTTTTTTTTTTTGTTATCTCTTTTCTTTTTTTTTTTATACCTTTCATGTCAAATTCACTCATTGACAACAGTATCAAAGCTGGCACTCTTGATCTTTTGCTCAATAAAACTACTATTCATGAAAATGACTCTTCAACTCTTGATTGGATTCCCTTCAATTACAATCATTGGGACTTTGCTGATATTGACAAGCGCAAGGCAAATATGATACGACAATTACAAGGAAACCATATAATACAACCAACTTGTTACCATAGATCTGGGACCTCTTTTATAAGAGTACGAATATATGTTATTTTGGTATCAACTGAATTTATTCAACAGGACTTTTATGGACTCAATTATCGTGGATCTACCTTTTTGGAATTGATGCTTTTACTAGACAGACGCTCACATTTTTTCTCAAGCAATCCAATCACAACAATCATAAAGAAACCTGTCTTATCACCTTTTAATCAAGAGGTAAGAATAATTTAATATGAATTTTTGGAATATATGTTAAATACTTTATATATATATATATATAGAAACATCAATCGTTATTGAACATGTTTATTCATATGCCCTCACCAAAAAGATTCGAATTACCTGATGATGTGGAGCCAGCAATACAACAATTTTTGAATAAGATCGATGATATGGCATGTCCATCTGGTATGAAGACAAACTTATATCATTATCAGAAGGTAAAAAAAAAAAAAAAGATTATCATAGTAAAATAAAAATATTCAACCTTTTTTATTTATTTATTTATTTATTAGGCATCATTATGGAAAATATTACAACGGGAATTAGCTCCATTACAAGTACCTCGTCCAGATGTAGTGGAACTTATATCAGTAGATGGAATCAAATATTACTATCATCAATTGGGTGGCGTAGCAACTTTGACTCAAGGATTACAAAAGGATGTACCAGGGGGGATTATATGCGAAGATATGGTAAAAAAAAAAAAAAAAAAAAAAAAATTCAATAGGATCTTATATATCTATCTACAATTTTTTTTAATTTGATAATGATTAGGGAACTGGAAAAACATGTATATGTTTAGCAGCTATTATGGCTACTAAACAAGTATTACCATCACTTCAAGATGTTATCATTAAAACCGATTTTTTGGAATTTTACAACAATCCACAAGACAATTATGGATTCAAGTCCTTGCGAACTCTAGCTGGCATACAAACAATGTTACACAGTGCTGATTGGAGATCGTACCGTTCACAATTACCCTTTGAAATCGCTTCCGCATTTGAAAACAGCGCACCTTACTATGAATGGACACCAATACAACATCATGCATTGATTGATCGCCCTCATCGTCGTCATGTAGAAGTGCCAGTATTGAAAGTATACTTATCAGCGGCTACTTTGGTTGTTGGTAAAGAATATTTATATAATACTGTATTTTATCACATTCATTCATTCAATCATTTTTCAATTTTAGTTCCTGACAATTTGGTGGCTCAGTGGACTGGCGAAATTTACAAAGTAATATATTAATTCCTTTTTTTTTAATGCTCATTCATTTCTAACCTTTCTTATCATTACTATTATTATTATTATTATTATTATTATTATTATTATTATTGGTAGCATATTCATGATGGTCAATTGGACTTTCTTGTGTTGGACAACAAAAAACATCCTATACCTGAACCTCTCCGACTTGTGCAATTAGATATGGTATTGATCAGTCAAAGCAGATTCTCTCATGAAAACTCAACAGGAGGTTTTGATTTCCAAGGTAATTTTAAATTTGAACTGCATCAAATAGATCAGTGTGATCATTGACTTTTTTTTTTTTTTTTTTTTTTTTTACTTTGCTGTTTTTAGGGATACCTAGGGAATGTAACTGTCCCTACATTGGGTCAACGCGTACTAGAAATTGCACCTGTCCTGTTATCATAGACAAACCAACATACACATCGCCTTTACTTCAAATACACTGGAAAAGAGTCATTGTAGGTATGTTGTCATTACAATCCAAAAAAAAAAATCAATATTAGGATAAAAGATTAGTAACTAATATGTTCCTTGGTTTTTAATATTATTATTGTCATTATTGTTATTAATATTCAAACAGACGAAGGACATAGTCTCTCAGCTAGAAACAGTCGGCAAAGTAACCTATCAGCAAAATTATTCGCCTGTTGGAACTGGATCTGTACTGGTACTCCAACTCAAAATTTGACTGAAGTAGCCATATTACGAACACGTCAAGAAGGTATTGCTGATGATTTAGCAAGGTAAGAAGCAAAAAAAAAAAAAAAAAAAAAAAAAAAAAAAAAAAAAAAAAGAGAGAGAGTAATCTGAAACTCTGATGATGCATACTCTTTTTTTTTTTTCTCTGGATGGTATATATTGTATGTAGATTGGGAATTTTATTAGGTGATATATTGAAATTAAAGCCGTATGCATCCAGCAAGAAATTATGGCCTCAATTTGTTGTCAAACCATTTATCTTGGGGAAACCATGGGCAACCAACAATGTCAACAACATCATGTGCAGAACAATGATTCGGAACCAACGAAGTACAATCGAACACGAAGTGATACTACCTCCATTACATTGCAAGACGGTAGAATTGGAATTTGACTACTATCAATGGCTGGTAATTTTTTAAAAGAAACTTTGAGCGTTTTTGTGATGATTCACTGATTAACCTTATTCTTTTGACTTTCATTATGTGTAGGCTCACAATTGTCAAATCTCCATGATTAATTTGAATGCTATTTTATCGAAACGAGAAGGCCCAGATTATTTATTTAGCAAGAACAATCAAAAGGCTCTTCGTGAAACTGTATCTAATTTAAGACAAAGTTGTACATGGCATTCTATTGATATACAATCTTTACGATCTTCTTACGCAAATTGTATGGAAAAATTGAAACAGGTAGATGAAGGTACTGAACATTATGGAGCTGATGAACCTGGATTACGACAATTGAAACAACTATTTGAATTGGCACTTGGCGATCCAGTCTTTATGGATATGATGACAAAACATGAAATTTCATTCGTTGTGCAAGGTCTTCCAAACTTGATGAAGGAAACTTGGGGGTGGCATAAAGGAGCCCGTGGTGCTTATATGCCTGTCAGTGCGAATATATGGGATGATCATTGTATCGTCAGTGGAGATATTATTGTGGACCTGATGCATGATGTGACCAATCTCAAGAATGCAAACAAAAATATCTATGTGTATAACAGCAATACGAAAATTTTGGAAAGCACGGAAGTGTACGAAAGACGAAAGAAGATGCAACAAAAAATGGCAACGATGAACGATCAGCGGAAAACTAAAAGGAAGAAGAACAATCAGCAAACAATAGCGATAAAACCAAAAAACAACAACGGCAACAGACAAACTTATCAACAAGACAAGTCGAATGGAAAGCAATTGTCATCAAATGCGTCATCAATAATAGGGATAACAAATGATTATCATCAATTAGATACCTCTGATACCTCTGGATTATCACCCAAAACTATGGAACTTAACAATGACAGTAATATAGAACAAGACGACTCGACAGCATTGACATTCTATACTCGAAGTGTATTTACCGATGTTCGCGTCCTTTGTAGCACCAGTAGCAAAATCAATTACTTAGTGGATCAGATTCTCTCTCATCATACAAAAGAAAAGTGTTTGATCTTCTCCCAATATTATAACGAAATGCAAGAAATATATTTAGCGTTACAACTAGTAAAAGTCCGTGTTCTGATGTATCTCGATACATCTATGGTAAGGGAAAAAAAAAAAAGAACAGAAAGAAAATTTATCTAATTCATTTCTTTCACATATTCTAGTCTAGTGTCAAACGATCACAAACAATCATGACTTTCAATACGTCTGATAATGCCAATGTGATGATTATGGCTGTGCAAAAAGCTGCTTATGGAATTGATCTATCATCTGCATCACGTGTGTACTTCGTTAGTCCAGTTTGGCAAGCTGCTATGGAACAACAAGCTATTAAACGTGCTCATCGTATTGGACAAACAAAGCCAGTTTATGTAGAAACCTTGGTCATTCGAAATTCTATTGAAGATGCATTATTAAAACGAAGAAATGTGATTGCAGCTGGTAAGGGTCTATTATACCAGGATTATTTTATATTTTTGTTCAACTCACTTCTGTTTTTTTTTTTTCTTAAAAAAAAAAAAAGCTCATCAAGATCAATCAAAAACTGACTTTTACAGCGACAAAAGATTACAAAATATATTGAATCATGCCAATATTGTTCCTAGGCCAGATCATATACAACTCTCAAGTGACGGAATATCATTTCATCAACCTATGTCTTTTTTGAATAAACCAATCTGGCTTACACCTCCTGTACCAACACCTCCCTCAAGTCCAATATCTACTACAAAAACAAAATCTTCACCAAATCTATATGCTGTATCAAAACTAAAGGAAGAAATGGATTTAGATGTTACCTCTGGCACTGATTCACCAAGAAAACGTCAAAAAGTAGTTAGTTTTACTCTATCTTAATCTTTTTTAGTTTAATTATCATTATTCTATAAGAGAAATAAAAAAAATATGTCATATCTATCTAAAAACGTAAATTGTTATATTGAAATAGTGTGTCTTTTTCTTTTGTCCATGAAATATTATTTATAGATTGTCTTATAGAACTTCATACATCAGTAATAGAAACGCAGCACCATACGAACCGGGATAAAGTCGTCATATTCAAGTCAATTGGAAAATAGAATATTCTTTTCTTTAAGTTTGAAATCCACCAGCACAACGGTTATTGTAAAAAAAAAAAAAAAAAAAAAAAAAAAATTAAAAGAATGTATATCTACGATATTACTACAAGATACATCCATCTGTTTGCGTGAATCACGGTATAAACTTTTCTCTGTTTAGGTAACAAAAAAAATTTGGGCTGTGTTCGGAATATGAATTTCTCAAAAATGGGATACGGAAAAGGGCAGCATTGGTACAACTAATATTACACTTCCTTTTCTTTTTATCTCATCAACTCATTATGGTAAAACTTATCCATCCATCCATCCATCCATCTAATATGTAACTCATCCATCAACCGATCCATATATCGTTACATTTCTTTATCGACTATGGAACAAATTCGGAAAGTAATACTTTATTTGACCTTTTTACGTATACGAATAACGAACATTTGCTCTTCAATGAACAACAATGTGGAATGAAGAATTCGATAATTGGTTACTGATCGTTATTTTGGAATGGAAAGGGTTCAAATGGAGTACTACTTTGATGGAATGGGCAAGCATTCGATCACTCTTTTATTTAGTTTTTTTTTTTTTTTTTTTGCTAATGATTTTGTTTTATATTCAATAGACTTGCAAGAGAAGAAACAACGGACGTAACAAGCACGGTCGTGGTCACAACAAGTTCATTCGTTGCATCAACTGTTATCGTTGCTGCCCCAAGGTAAGCCCCTTTTGATAGTATCATTATGCCAAATGTACTTACTCTATTTTTGACTATTTAAAATTAGGACAAGGCCATCAAGCGATTCACTATCCGCAACATGGTCGAAGCTGCTGCTGTCCGTGATCTTCAAGAAGCATCCATCTACGAAGAATATGCTATCCCTAAATTGTATGTCAAGTTGCACTATTGTATCTCTTGCGCCATTCACGCTCGTGTCGTTCGTGTTCGATCTGTTGTCAACCGTCGCAACCGTGCTCCTCCTCCACGATTCCGATTCCAAAAGTCCAACTAGATTAATTAGTGATATCTTGACCTACGTATTTTGATATATGCGTATTTATCTTATGGTTACTCCCCCTTTTTTTTTTTTGTTATTATTATTCTTGGTCATCGAGCCTTTTTTTGGAATAAAAATAAAAAATTTTCAACTGTATACTTTATTAAACATTATATGTTATATGTTGTCCCTTTTCTTCATCTATCTTTCTTCTTTACAAAAATAGATGGTTTGAATATTTTTTTTTTTTTTATGATTCAAGTGATCAAGTATGAAAAAGTACGTGAACTGTTTCAAATAGATGTTTTTATGTCATGGATTGACAGTTTTTTCTCGACAATCTAAAATAGCGAATCAAAAACTAAAGTTTAACTCAAAGTTTTCGGAAACATAATCCGATTGGTTCATTATTGGAACACAGATGTTGAGTGATTTGAGGATGGCGATTTTTTTATTTTTCTGGTTTGTGCCACCGTCGGCGCTACAGTATTGGGAAATGGGATGTTCAAGGTATTTGGTTCAAAACAAGTGCCGAGTGACCTGAGTATCTTGTTCCTTGAAGGGAAAATAAAAAAAAAAGGTACTGACGAATTATTCATGGTCCGTGTTTCTGAGGCGGAAGTAAGACCCCGCAGACTGCAGACAACTTAAGACATGCTACTGAACCTTGCTTTTCCTTTTTGTACAGTATAAACGTTGAATGAAGATGGTAAAGTATCATCATCAAAGCGATGAATAACCCAATTGTTGTCGCCTAACTGGCGCGGTATTTTAATATTTCGTGTTCATAAAAAAAATAAAAGATCAAAGCGCGTGCGCCCTTTCTCGTGTTTTTTTTTTTTTTTCTTTCCACTAGTTCTTTTTTTTTTTTATCTTTTTTTTCCCAGTTCTTATTACATTCGTCTCATATAGAGATATCATTGTCTTTCCCTATCTATTCTTTAACAATTACCTATGACAACAACTGATGGATCTACTCATTTAGTCAACACCGAAACTAACAACACTTATTTACCCACAACACCAAAACGTAAATTGAACAATAGCGATAATAGTAGCGAAGATGAGGACGATATACCACTTGTACTGCGGAAAGCATATATTGAAAGCCCAAAACGACCAAACAATCTATCAAAACAATCAGAAAAGCGACAAAAGCAAACGGATGTGAAACGAAGGATTTTAGCTGATCTTTATCCACGTGCAGCAACTGATAGACGTAGTCCCTCTAGATCACCAACTCCTACACCCCGAAAACGCCAACTTTTTATACAAGTTGACAGTGACGAAGAACAATCTACCAATGAGTCGATGGATGGAAACTTGGCAAACTCAATGGATGTCAGTGATCATGGTGTTAAGGAATACGAAACGGATATGAGATCTCCCAGCAAGGTCACAGCTCCTGTTGATCAACGGACAGATAATGATAGGCTTTCCCATTTGGAAGTGACTGAAAGCAAAGGTAATGTGTAGATATATTAGAGTATTGATAAAGAGTCAGCATGTATTGTGGCAAAAGTCTTCTGTTGAACCATTGACTCATCTATATATATATATATATATATTAATAGGTGCTATTAACCAACTACAAGAAATCATGGATGAAATATGTCAAACTTTTCTGGAACCGGACAATGATGATGATGTTGAATTGCCCATGATCAAGCCAACTTTACCCTACCGCCTACAACTATGTCTCCGGTTTATGACACTTTTATCAAAACTGACAACCACAGAGAAAACTCTCTCTTTCTTGGATTCATCACAACTGGGAAGCGTCACAAAAGCAATCGAACAAACGGTACATGCCATTATAGAGTTAGATCCTATCGCAGTTTATGTCACTACTGTACGAAGCCTGGAAGTTTCTTCGACGACTACATCCTCTCCTTCTTCAACGTCAAACGAAGCTCAACGACAATTCTTGGAAATTCTGACTTGTATTTGTGATGGTCTTGATATTGTTTCAAAATTATTTGGTTTGATATCTACTGGTGTTCTAGAAACAAAGGTAAACAAAAAAAAAAAAAAAAAAGAGAGAGAGTTTTGCGATGCAATAATTGTCAACAAATATCATTTTCGTCTTTTTTCTTTTTTTATTGTATAGATGATCTATGAAGATTTGATACTGACCTGTCTACAAATGATAAAAAATCAACTCGACAATACTATATACCCGTTGATTGAGGTGAACGATTGTACGGATGAAATAACAGGCGGTAAGCATATATATATATATATATATATTTAACCAAGGAATTAGACAAATATTGATTGATTAACATATTTCTCTTTTCCGATATAATAGCGATCGGTGATGCTCAATTACTTTTATCTTTTGCCAATTCAAATTCCAAAGCCAAACATATCATGTCTCGTTTCCTACCTTTGATTTCTCGGATTATACGACGAACGCATTGTTTGGTTCAAAAAGACGACACGGATGAGCATGCAGTGATTGTTCTCGCTTATATCAGTATGGGATCATTCTTCCACGATTACAACAGTGCTCACACTAACCAACAGTTTTATTGCCCTCTTATTACACCTATCAATGACAACAAAGCTGATAGCTTGAAAGATAAAGTAACAACAATCACAACAACTTCTGAACCTATTTATACCAACATCACATACTATATGTCTGCACTCAATACGTATGAACATCTCAAATTGGTGTCGTTGGATATGTTACGCAACGTATTTGGTCACTTTCCTCGACATCGACGTTGGATTCTCGAAGAAATTCTTACAAGTATTGGATCACTGACCACCGTTGATTATCGAGATAACAAACGATACAGGTTATTACGAAATAAGTCATCTCACAACACCGGCGATAACAACAACGATAATAGTGGCAACGACAAGATTCATATTCTTAGTGCGTTATTTATGCAACTCATTCAATGTTGTGATTATAGTCTAGATGGTTCTATACAAGTTCAACGCACTTGGTTGAAGAAATGGGAACTCAAGGTTCAAAAGGTTGAGAAAGATATTGTCAAACGCAAGGAATTGGATCAAGCATTGACAAATAGGGCCGCTGGTGTTTGGAAAAAGGGGATTGAAAGTGCGGTACAAAATACAACCTACTTTTTAGAATTTTTGATGAGCAAGTAAGTTCGATATGGATGATGATGATTATATTGAATACTACTAAAACCATTTCTATCTCAATAGATGCAAAGCAAGAAAGAAAGACAGCTACTCATTTATGGAATATCGTACTATCTTGGAATGTACATTGGAAGATATTGTTACAGTACTGAATGATCCAGACTGGCCCGCAGCGGAACTCATCTTGCAAGTGTTTTCAAAGATTTTGGTAAATATCCAACTATATTCTATCTTGAAAAAAAGACATATTGATGATTACTTTTTTTTCCATCTTAGGTGGCGTGTATTGATAGTGACACTGGTGACAGCTATCTTCGGATGATGGCTATTGAATGGCTAGGAATCATTGTGGATCGAATTAAAACTGGATATAGCCATGTTGCTGGCGTTCAAGGCTCTTATACCCCTGAATGGTTATATCAATTGAACAAACTTATACCGCATCAGGTAACTACGTCAATATATATATATATATATATATATATATATATATATATATATATATATATGCTTATTCAGATGTCTATACTCAATTATTTATTCATATTCTTTTTGGTGGATATCAATAGCTCGACGAACAAGGCAAAGCAGGTTATCACTTAATGGACTGTTGTAGAATGAAACTTTATCAAGCCCTACTGGAAGAATCATCAGACAAGAACATAGCACAGGTAAAAAAAAAAAAAAAAAAAAAAAAAAAAAAAAAAAAAAAAAAAAAAGCTTGATTCGTAATCAGATATTTCTACATATACTTACGAATATTTTAATATACATCAATAGTTTTACCTTATGTCATGGGGTTATTCAACTACAAGTATTTGGAGGACATTCCAAGAAAGATTATTAGATGATTCCGAAAAAAACGACAATCAAAACGATACGGGTATATCTTCAGATCTTGCTGCTTTCTTACAATCATCATGCCACAGATATTGGTTTCTTGGACTGGATGTGGATTGCGCTATGCCTGATATGACAAGGTATATATAAGATTGAATAAGGGAAAAAAAATATATGATTTTGATAAACTGCGTTCCTATTAAATATTCTTTTTTTATTCTATTTTATTAGATATGATTTTCCTGAACTCAACCGTGATGATTTACAAATGATTGCTGAACTCCTGGCCACTCGTCAGAGTCTTTTTCAAAACTTGAACTTTTTTTTACTAAAGATAATTGGTTGCTTGGATAAAGAAGTGATTACATTCCGGGTGATGGCTCTTCGTGCCCTTGGTCAAATCGCTGCCAATTCTCCTGAAATTTGGGAAGAGGTAAAGAATAACAATAAAATGGCAACAATTAACAATGAATTTACTCACAATTTTTTGTCTAACAAGGTACATCTACACAAGGCTGTAATACAACGAATATATGATGTTTCTCCAAAAGTACGTGATGCCGCTGTGGAACTTACTGCAAGTTATCTTGCCAATCAACAAGTTATATCAAGAAACTTGTACGAAATCCTTAGTTCAAGAATCATGGTAAAGAACAATATTTTAATTTTCGCTTGGTAGTTTTGGATACATATGACCAGATATAACTTTTCTTTTTTTTTATATATATATTTATTTATGGATCTTATAGGATACAGCACCAAATGTTCGAAAGCGTATAGTGAAACTTTTGCCTGATTTATATTACAAATGCGACGATGAAGATATTAAAATTGATATTGCAGCCAAACTGCTACAACGGATGGATGATAACGAAGCTCCTATACGAAAATTGGCTCTCAAATTGACCCAACAAGTACTTTTACTTCCTTTCCATCAATTCGATCAGGATGATTCGGGGAATCCATTCAACAACTCGACAAAAATCCGAAAGCAAAAAGTGACTGATTGGACGAATCTTATTACAAGTACTGTAGCCAAATTGGGTGGATCTGCTTCTGGTCGAAATATGGTTTTGACTCGTTTTGTTCAGGAGGTAAGGTATTTGGAGGGAATATCATGGTTTTGATGGGAAGAAAGAGAGAGCGTGTGGATATGTAAATATATATATATATATATATATTGATTTAATCTTTCAATATAGACTCTGGATATAGCGGATGATAAGCAAAGGCAAAGGTACGAACGGATATTTCAATGGATCGTGGATTGTCTTTTTGAAAAGATGTTGACATTTGATGAAACTGGCAAGAACCGAGAATTCATCCACTGCATGGCAACCATTCACGCCTTTGTCAAAGCTTGCCCTTCTCTCTTGAATGATACTCAAATTTATACGCTACTCCCATATCTTAGTGTTAGTGAATCAGTAAGTAATTATTAAAGAAAAGGAAGCGAAATGATATTTGTTGATCATTAACGTGATAGAAACTGACTGATTTTTGTTATATTCTTTTTTTTTTTTAACTCATAGGATGATTGGACTATTGGAAAATATGTCATGGTTCTCTACCGTGATGTACTCCCTCGAATTAAATATCGTGATCTTGATTTTGCTCGTATGGTGGAAGGTGTTCTTTTACAAGCGCTTGCTCGATGTCCCAATTATGTCATTGAAGATGCCGCATCCTGTCTGTGTGCAGTTGTAGCAAATATCTCTCATCGATATCAAATCTTGATTAAAATGCTCGGTTCCTGTCTCGGTAAGAAAAAAAGAAAAAAAGTACATTATATGTTGAATCATACACCGGACAACGGCATTGACCTCTTTTTGTCTTAAAAACCTCACAGCAAGTCTTGGCCAAGATCAACAACACATCATCAATCACAGAACTATCCAAAGACCGACCAAAACAGCCAAAGCTCTTATGATCTGTGGATTATTATGCCAACATTTCGACTTTGATGAGAAACGTCTAAATGAAGGAAACAAAATGGGACAATTAGACGCTATTTACAAGGTAACATTGGAAGTAGATAAAAAGAAGAGTAGGACGGTGTAGGATAAAGAAAATGGTCTTGAAATTGTAAACTGACTAGACTTGATACCTTTATATAGGGAAAAATCAACTCATATGTATTTGCAAAACTACAGTATTTTACTGGCGATATTCTAGACAACAAAATCATCAACAAACAGATCAAATTGGCAGCTATCAAGGCACTAGGTAATGATTAGAGAAACATGAGGGAAGATATATCTTGACGACGTGTTAATATGTTCACCTGTTATAATGTATAGGCTCTTTATATTCTTCTCATCCTACGTTTATGATGACTTCTCAGAGCACCGATCTGTTGGACTCCATATTTGTACAAGATGATATTGATATGAAAGTCCAAATATTGAATGTTTTTCAAGGATTCCTCACTACTGAAGAGACAAGAATGCAAAAACGATCAGAAGGTATATACATATACGGCATGATTTTTCTAACGAACAAACAAACAAACAAACAAACAAAAAACAAAAAAAAAAAAAAAAAAAAAAGGAACCCAAGCTGATTCTCTTTTTATCTTATCCTTTTACTACTAGCTTCTGGTGCTACCCTTTACAACAAAGTTATTGATGTGGAAACTCTATTAGGCAATACTGAAGAATTTGCTGAATTAGGGTAATAAAGTAGAATGTTTTCGCGGTTGAATTTCACTTATATTCACTATTGTATTTAGGGCAAATGGATCACTGATGCAACGTTACTTACCATCTATATTGAAATGCACTCTTGGGTCTACCAATCAACTCCGGCTATCCGCTTTTGATGTTATAGAAACAGTTATCAATCAAGGTCTTGCTCATCCTATGATGGTAAAAAAAAAAAAAAAAATTCACTTATATCCGACATGATTGTTACACATAATCATGATTTATATTCTCTTTTTCATTTCTTAGTGTATGCCTGCAATTGTGTCTGCTGAAACTAGTTCGGATCTACCTCTTCGCAATAAGGCTTATTATCTCCATATCTATATCCATAACAAATTTGGAAGTATTCTTTATTCTCAGATGGATGCTAATCTGAAAGCGGCTTTCCGTTATCAAGAATTACTATGTGGGAAATATAATGTCAAAGGTAAGTCATAACAGATAAAAGTAAAAAAAAAAAGGTCGGTGATCTATCGAAACTGATACTTGTTGTTAGGCTATGGAAGACGAACTGGGGAAAACAACTCAGAAGACGCATTACTGGCAGTAACCTATGGAGTACTCAAGGAGAAAAAGAATGCACGTATGGATTTTTTGAATAATATGGTGAAACCATTTAATATTGATATGAAAGAAGCAAAACAATCAGATATATTGGATATCAACTATTTGAAGTTTTTGGCCGACAATCTACTGACATTACCGTTAACGACATCGGATGAACTTTTATTTGTATTACATTGCATGGATCGGATCATCGTCACCGCAGGTGGATATACTTTGTCACTTGTTCAACAATTCAAAAAGGAAGGTGTGATCTCGACGCTTTCATATATGGACGATGACGATGACGACGATGACAATGGATTGGATCAAGACTACGCCATCACTGCCAAAGCTGCTATTGCGATGAACATACTGATACTGACCAAGGATAAGTTGGTATCACTTTACAACATAGATGAACAGTAAGTCCCATCTCTTCACATTTCCAAAAAAAAAAAAAAAAAAAGAGGAATTCCATGTCCTGAAACTTTAATTTTTTTTTCCTTTCTTTTTTTGCCTTTCTATGTTATATTAGACAAATTCAAAGTTATGTACTCTATGGAAAGAATAAGAGTTACGATATCATCAAGGATACGGAAGAAAATGGACTTGTGGATTGGACAGAACTGGCCTTTTTTAGATTGAACAAATTGACTTCATTTACAGCATCAGATGCTTGTCTATCATTGGAAAAACGAATGGATGAATGCGATACTTCTAGTCTCATTGGTTAGAAAAGTTTGTCATCTTTATTTTATGTTATCTTTGTAGTCTATATTTCATTTATCCATATAGAATAGTCATCATTCTTTTTTTTTTCGTCATTGTACATAGCCTTTTACAATTAATTAGTTAATTAATCAATAAAAACCCTCATTCTTGTATTTGTTTCCCTCTAGTTATAGATTAACATAGATATTGCATATATATATATATATATGTGTGTGTGTGCGTGATTAGTAATTTTATATTTCCACCTTTTATACAAATCACGGATATCAATCATAGGAAAAAAAAAAAATACCAAAAGAACCATTGATCAACGTTCGTTATAATGTCATCATTATTTATTTCAAATCGATAATAAATCATATATAGACTAAAGACAATATCACCACAAAAAATAACTAAGTAGATGTACCGGGGCAAGACAAATTCCATGGACTAACAGATATGTGACCTTATGATTTCACCAGCTTCATGTTTCAATTTTTCAGGATGGGCAGCGGCTTTGTGATGACTGGAAGATTTATGAGAGAATTTGATCACATTTTCACTAGATTTAAAAAAAAAAAAAAAAAAAGGAGAGAGAGATCAGTAAAATCATCTCTTTTCTTTTTTGAGATATTTTTTTTTCTTTCCTTACCGTCGGTTTTGGATCATCTTTTCATCAAAAGTATCGAGGGCTTCCAAACTAGCATTTATATCTCGTAAAAGAATATCCGCACGATTTCGAGACATATCTTCACGCACCACAATACGCAGTAATTTCATATGATCCAAGCTAGGTGCCATTGTATAAGCAGGTATGATCCATCCACGTTCTCGCATCTTACTTGCAAGGTCAAACTACAAAAAGATGAATCATCATCATACAAAAATGAAAGGTTATGTATCATTCTTTATTATTATTATTATTTCTTACCTCATCATAAGTTTGTTTATGTTTGAGATGAAAAGCTACCAAAGGCAAACCACGACCTTCGGTTTCACTGAGTAATATGAATCGACCAGTATCGACAAGTTTGTTTGCTATATAATCCGAGATAGTGATCAAATTGCTGATGATACGTCGGTAGCCTGCTTCACCCAGTCGTAAAAGCATGTAGTATTGGGCAACTATAGGTGATGCGCTTTTGCTGAAATTCATTGTAAGGGAAGCTTGATCGGTACCAAGGTAATTCACATAGAAGATGATGCTTTTAGGTATAACAGAGCTATTCCTCCATATACACCAGCCAACACCTGTATAATACCAAAGTTAGCAATAATTAAGATAACTTCACTATTCTTTTACCTGGATAGACCATGCCCTGAATAATAATAAACGATAGAGAAAAAAAAAATTGAGTACATGAAACTGACAAATACCTTTGTCTTTCTTACATATTTATGACCAGAAACATTGATAGACATAACACGTTTTAATCTGAAATCCCTAGAAAATTAAAAATAGAAAAGATGATTAAAACTGTAATCTATGATAAACTTGCCGTCATACTAATATACTTGCCATTCTAGATTTGGTTTGATAAAAGGAGCTACAAAACCACCACTATATATATATATATATTAAAAAAAAATTCATTGATACGAACACTAGTTTCGATAACTCCTCCAAAGCAATCCATTCCTTACCTAGCAGCATCCACATGAATACCAATATCCAAGTTCTTTTCCCTACAAATTTGATCAAGTAGTTTGTCCAAAGTCTTGACATCTTCATAATGACCAGTATACTGTAAAAAGAAGATAAAAAGGTAACACATTATCAAATGTGTTTGTCACAGCTGATTATTTTATATTAAAAATATAGATATAGGTATAGATATATTACCGTAGAGCCAAGAATAGCAGCTACACCAATTGTATTTTCGTCGACTTCATCCACCGCTTTAGCAGGATCCATACATAAGCATTCATTTGAAACACTGATTTCCCTTGGTTCAATTTCTAGATATAACAAAGCTTTCTTCCAACATACTTGACAGTTAGCACCAAGTACCAAGTTTGGTTTTTCAATAGATAATCCTTTTGCTCGTCGACGTTCTTGCCATGAACGTTTCATAGCTAATACTGCCAAAATGACTGCTTCACTTGAACCAATAGTTGATGTACCAATAGCTTGTCCACTTTCGTCATCATTGGGTGAATGGAAAAGATTAGCCAACATATTCACACAACGTCCCTATATTGAAATAATAATAATAATAAGTAACTTTATTTTTCTATTTATATGTATATATATTTACTGATATTGCTGCAGATTGAGGATACATTTCAACATCGATAATATTGACAGCTGCTGTATCTTGAATCAATTGATTGGCTTCAGCATCCATATACGTTGTCACGAAACTTGCCAAGTTGAGTGCAGGATTGCCATCGAGCTATGATATTAAAAAAAAAAAAAAAAAGAAAGAAAGAAAGAATCGTCCATTAAAACAAACAAGTTAGGAAAGAAACTAAATACTTTCACTTACAGCAAGTTCGTCCTTTATCATGCGATAACAGACATCTGTTCGAATGAGGAAAAAAAAAATGAGAAAGGCGAAAAAAAGAAAAAAAAAAGAGTTTCAAACATTCTTACGAGGCGGCATTTCAACCTACGCATAAAACTATATTAGTTATGTAAAAGTCATGATGATCAATGAATAATATAACCAGTATTCATGCAAACTTACCTTTGGAATACGATACTTTGGAAGATCCTCCGCACTCCAGTGACTACCATAAATGGGAACAGCATTGGAGTATTCAAATCGTTCACCTTGACTCATAGATTCACTTTCACTAGGAGCAGGCGATTCATCATCTATCAAGAAGACATGTGATTAGACTGTAGTTCAACTGATTTATCTTCGTATTACCTTTATGTACTTGAAAGGAAAGAAGGACCATTGTTCGTTATCGTTTTTAGTTTATACCAATACAAAAAAAAAGAAAAGAAAAAAAAAAAAAGAAAAGAAAAAAAAAAAAAAAGAAAAAGAAAAAGAAAATACAAAACGTAAAAAGAATAATTTAAATTTTTTATTTGCTCGGACAGTTTGACATGTTAAAACCACTATGTTTCAACGTCATATCACGCGATTGGTATTTCGTATAAGATTGTTCAAATACAATCTAGCAAAAATAAATGTTTCTTTAAAAGAGATATTTCAATAATCGATCATTGATATGAAATTTATGAGTTGAAATAATATGATTTCTCTGTATTTATAAATTATATTTTTAAATACATTTTGAATTACCTTTTTTAGATATTCGCTTTTTTATACAGTGTAGTCTATTTAACTGTGACTTTTTAGAGCTGCGATCTTTTTTTTTTTTTTTTTTTTTTTTTTTTTTTTTTTTTTTTTTTTTACTCCTTTTTGTTCCCCCTATATCCCTTTTCTTGAACTCCTTTTAATATATATATATATATATCTATTACTTATCTTTTTTCTATACCACTACTACTACTTTATATAGAGATACTCTTACTGATCTGGAATGGAATTGACTCTGGAGAATCTCCAGACGTTACTGGCTGACTTATCATCCATTATTCAGGTCTTCCTCTTTCTTCTTGGCGTCTTACTTATCGCTGTTCCTTTGGTTGTGACATTTCCCATTTATCATGGAAAAACTTTAATCTCTTCAACGAGACAATGGTCGAGACAACTTGGACTTCATCATCTTTATAAACGTGTCTGGCATTATTTTCATCTTTGGGTTCTCATGGCCTTGGAAGAATTGGGTCTTTTCGGTTTATTTGATACGATATCTTACTGGTTTTCCTTATCTGACGACAACTGTGACAACAATAGTAACCCGTCCATAACAGCTACTTCCATCTTTTCCGATTCAACAACAATAGAAACTTCTTCTCGTCAACCCTTCCACAATACACTCAACTACCAACTCGCCAACGTATGCATTAGTTCTCCCAAACAACAAGATTCCTCTTTGATTGTATCTGGTTTAGTGAATACTGGAAATACTTGCTACCTTAATTCTGTTCTTCAGGTAATTCATTGGATTCCTGCAATCAACGGTGACTAAGATATATATATGTATTTTATCTTTTTGTAACTTTAGGCACTTTCTTCATTACCTCGTCTCCAACTTTATCTGGATCAAATGAATAAAAACTATACGAATCAATCCCTTCCCGTCACAAGATCATTATTCAAGACGCTTCGATTATTATCACGGCCTTTGGATGAACAATATACCAATAAATTATCTTTTCGACCTATCGATATTGTAGCAGCCATCAATACCGTCAACCATCGTGTCATCAATCGTGAACAACAAGACGCCCATGAACTATTTCAACTTTTATGTGGTGCCATGGATAATGAAAGAACAAATGCTGTGAATAATAGCCAAGTGGGAGGAGGATTAAAGGATTTGCTCATGTTATCATCATCACCTGCTCGAGACGATATTTTCAATACTCGTCGGACAACTGATCTTATTACTGAAGAAAAGTGCCAACGACAACATGACAACCCATTCACTGGTCTTCTTGCCAATCGATTATCTTGTATTCAATGTGGATATACTGTAAGTAACATGATCAAATTTTACTGATGTACTTCATCCAAAAAAAAAAAGCACTTATCCATTATTTTCTATTAATAGGAAGCCATTCGTCATTTTTCTTTCAACAATATCCAACTTACTTTGCCACAAACAGTAAGTCTCTCAGAAAATAGTAAGAACATAAAATATATTCATTTACTTATTATTATTTTTTTTTTCAACCTAGTCATTTACAACGTTACATGAGTGCTTGGAACAAATGACAGAAATGGAACATTTGGATGATGCCTCATGTCGTCGATGTTCGATGGTAGATTTTGTTAGAAGATTGAGTACAGAATCAGAATTACTGAAACAAAATGCTAAACAATGCAAGGATCCAACTATCAAGCGGGAAACATTATCTAAAATGGTACAGATTGAAATTCAACGACGTGAACTGGATCATCGCCTCAAGTTGGGCTGTTTTGAAGATGATGAATATGTGAAGGGTAAACAACAACTTGTACCTTATCGACTGATCTATGGTAAATCAACCAAACAAGCCATGTTTGCCAAGCCTCCCAAAGTTTTATGTCTTCATATCTCTCGGTCTGCTTTCCATCCATCTGGTGTAATCTACAAGAATAAGTGTCAGCTCGAATTCCCTGAATATTTAGACATGGATCAATTTTGTACGAATGGAACCCTAAACACTGTACCCAAAATGCCGATTTCTCGTATGGACAACAAGAAACAACAAGTCAAATACAAACTGATGAGTGTCATTGTACACTATGGAAGTCACAACTATGGTCACTTCATTGCTTACAAACGTCGTGTGGTATCGGAAGGATGTGGATGTCATCAGTGTAGATCTAATCCTGAAGATTGTATTTTATATGGAAAAGAAACTTGGTATCGGATCTCGGACGAAAATGTAGACATATGTACAATAGATGAAGTCTTGTCAGCGAATCCTTACATGCTTCTATACGAATCAATTCAACCTCCAATCATCGAACCTTCATCATCAACAACAAGTCTATCATCATTAACATTGCATACATCGACGAACAGAATATCGACACATCCGTCAACATTGGTAGCAGGTATGACAGTAAACGAAAAAACCAATATGACAACAATGACAACCTTACAAAATCGATTTGATGGTCGTATTTCAACATTTGGATCCATGACACCGCCTATTTCACCGTCATCATCTTTATCATCGGCATCATCATCACCTTCCATATCTCCCTCAACATCCTCAAATACGAATGAGCTGCTGGCAGCATCATCAACATCATCAACTGTTTGTGTTCAACAACAACAACAACAATCAAAACTTGGATCAAGTCGACTCGTACATCGAAACGCAGGCAGAAGGAAAATGAGTTGGGAAGAACAATCAGTACCTCCATTAGCTATATATTAGATGTTATTTACCATAGTTTAGCTTAGTTAGTTGACGAACCTAATAAATATGATCTTTTTTTTTTATATATTGTTGTTTTATTACAATTTTTTTTTATATGATATATTGTGATGAAAAAAAAAAATACATTAAAATAGATAGGTAGATGTATATATTTTGGGGCTTTAAATAGTATAAAGTACAATAATAATAGTAACAGTAAAAAAAAAAAAACAAAGACTCTAAACAGGTTGTTGTACAGAGGACATGGAAGGTTCTTCAGGATGCACATGTTGAGGTAAAGCGAAATATTCCATGCTACGAGGACTGATGGTTTGTTTAGGAGCACGATTTGTCTTTTGAGCAATCCAATCACGTAAATCATGTATACCGATCATGACGAAGAACACAATCATAAAGAAGGTACCAACACATACATAGATCAAGGCAGCACTTAGTCCACGACTCCAATCTAAAAATCCATACACCCACACACCAGTACTATATAAAAAAGGAGTGAACATCACATGGTACTTTCAGTTGGAGTTTGAATTCTATCTCACTTACATTGCATGGACAAGGAAAGCCAAACACATATAAATCACAACATGAAGGATGATCAAGATAATCATGTTTGTATAGACTTTCATACGATTGAAGATCACATCAATCAACATTAAACCTAAAGAGACACCATGCACAGACACATTGACCCACATGACTTCAGGAGAAGGTTTTGCTCCAGCATCGTTCAATACTGCCCAATAGACAACTGGTGTAACAATACTATATTATGATGATAAAAATGGAATGAATGAATAAATAAACAAATAAAAAAAAAAAAGATGCATATATATATAAATTTGGACTTACTTGAATGTAATAATGGTATGATATAAATAAACATAAAGATAATTAAGAGCAGTAGGTTGTTTAAAGAAGGAATCCAATTGACCTGACCATATGTAACGAACATGATGATAAACGGATGTCTAATAATATTAAGGATAATAATAATAAAAAAAAAAGATTGAATGCCCGTTCAGTTATTTATTTTTATTTTTATTACCACCAAATAAGCATGAAGACCCACAAATGTCAATGTAGTGAAATAACCAAAATAAATATTGAAAGTATGAGCAATGGCAGAACCAGCAACACTAGCCCACATGATGATGGTAGAATACAAAACGGTTAAGATCCGGATGCCAAGAAACACCTTACTTGATACCCAATACGAAGTCACTGCTCGTTCTGGTTCAAATTGATCAAATCCAAACCATCGAAAAAATTCATATCGTGACCTGTTTAATCGTACATCCGTATATTGATTCATTGGTTGAATTAAAAAAAATAAGGAACGGAATGGATGAAATAGTAATAAAGAAGATCTATATAAAGAAGGAGTGAATGAGGAAAAAAAGAAAGAAGGAAGGAAGGAAAAAAAAAGTTTTTCTTTTTTGTATTCTATTGCAACAAAAAAAAAAAAAAAAAAAAAGGCGCCGATTATTACAATTATAGTTTTGCGGAGGTCAAAAAAAACAAAAAAGAAGACAATAATAACAAAAAAGGAAACGAAAAGGTACATAAAAAAAAAGATTTCTTTATTATTCAAAAAGTACAATTCCCTCCGCCAAAAAAAACAAAGAGTATAAAAAAAAATACAAAGAACTGTACTAAAGTAAAAGAAAAAAAAATAAACATCATCATTCAATGTCGTCGTTTCCTATTCTTAGCACGTGGACTACGATTGAAGGGTGTTGATGATGCTGAACTTCCACTACTACAACTAGTACTAAGTCTATAATCCAATTCCACTACATGACAATCTTGTTGATGATCTTTTCCTTCTTCTTGATGATCCATTATAGAAGATGATTTAAGAGGTCCTTTTGCACATCCTTCACAACCTTCTAAACCATTGGCCATCCAATAGAGTTGATTTTTTGAACGATCAGAGAGCGAGCATAATGAAGTGCCTAAAGTCATACCCACAAATAATAACCAAAGTACTAGAATGTTTTGTATCAATGTTGGCCATATGCCACCATAAAATGATGCCAATGCTACCAATTCAGACATACGCCATAACCAATAAATAATTTCCAAAGCCTTGAACCAGGGTGATTCCACTATTGACCGTTGATGATAGTAATGTTCTGATGATAAAGTACGATTGGCTTTGAATTGACCACATATCAATAAATCTGAGGGGACGGTATGTAAAATAAAGAGAATAAAAAATACACCGACATCCAAACATACTTGTTCCGCAGCGTACATCCATGTATCAGCAATAGGTACCCATTCATTTCCAAAAAGCATACCAAACAAATAAAATGTCCCGAACCTTTCAGAAGCTGTTTCACCAGACGGGATAAATTCAGCCCGAAACCAAGGTAATGTCACTAGAGCCAAAAGGAAACAAAAAGTGCCATACCATACAGAAGGTTGCACATTCACAAGTTGAAGACATCGTAAAGCACCCACTAATATTTGTCGTTGAATTGCTTTGAATCCACTCACTGGTCCTTGATGATCCAATAAATGTATACGTAATAATAATCGACGACTTGTTTCTTGATCAGGATAGAATCGGGGAATCAATAATAATATCAGCATAGTTACAATTGACAATAGAGTAATACATTGTAACTAGAATAAAAATAAAAAAAAAAAAAAGATAAATATATAGAAAACATTGAAATATATTCAAATATAAACTTACCACAGTTGACATATGAGTAGATATGATCCATTCACCAGCACCACCACCAATTTTGATACGACGACCATCGGTTCTAAAGATGACTTTGGATTCACCAACCAATCCATGAGTAGTGTTGACTTGAATGGAAAGTATATGAGTACCATTTTGATAGGCCATAGGATTCCAAGGGAGGGTCCAAAGAGGATGTTGGTCATTACCCATGTAATGAGGAGCGTGATCATCATTTGAGCCAATCACTGGTTGACCATCTACTAGAATCAGGAATGACAATTGGTCAGGAGTTTGATCAGTAAACACCAAAAATCGAATGTGGCTACTTGATTGGATACGAGACAATGGTTCCTTATTGTCTAAAATAAAACGAGCATCTTTTGGATTGGTGATCAAGATCACAGGAGCCATAGGTAATTTACCAGGCCATTCCACCTTATCACTTGCCGTCAATGGAATCAAAGAAGATCTTTTGGTTTGTGTTGAAGGTACCATGGGAAGACGAGCATCCACAAAAGAAATGATATCATGATCCACTGCAACTATACGATACATGCCATGATCTTTCATATCACCTAATTCCAATTCAAGTGTCTTTGTCATAGGATCATATGATTGAAGCACATCACCCAAACCTAAAAAAAAAAAAAAAAAGTAAATCTATAGTTATCTATATTTTTTTTTTATTATTATTATTTTTATTATTACCAGCAATCAGACGATGAAGATGACCACAAAAGTAAATACTATAATTCTTTGCCAATTCTCGGAATGTATAGCCTTGTCTCGAAACACCAAATACCATAGTAGTTGTCGGATAATGTGAAAACTATATCGGGTTCATCCGATTAAACATTTGAAACAATTGGAAGATCAAACAAGGAAGGATGTCAGTGAGTTTATTTTTTTTTTTTTTTGTATGATATCGAAACATATATATATATATATTACCACAAAAGTATGATTTGATGGTTTTGATAAAGCATGCGCCAAACGATCCATAGTATTTGAAGTCAGATAACCAAAAAAGTTGAATGGTCTTGAAGGACCTCGTTTAGGACTAAAATAAACAAAAAATATATTTCTTTCTGTCAATCAAAGTTTCATCTCTCTTTTTTTTATTTATTTATTTTATCTTACCAAGCATCAATGGCAACAAATTGATAATCACCAAATGAAGGAGAATGTTGCCAAGTATATATTCCTTTTCCATGTTCCACACGATCCGCACTTTGTCCATAAGTTCTATATAAATTCATTCTTGATTGCCATGAAGGAAGATCAAAACAATCATGATTGCCTCTCATATCATACCAGGTAGTGTTTGTCCAAGGTTGTTGATCAATAGCCATTTTATAAGTTTTCCATTCTTCAATATATTGTTGAGAAGTAATACGACGGTGATCTTTAGCATCAGTCAAATCCCCAGTAACAACTACGAATTCAGGTCTAATAATAAAGAAGAAGAAATTTGTTCATTTATATATTATTTTCATTTTTCACTTTTATTTATATTTACCTGATAATAGGAAGTACTGATTGAATGAACTGTAAAAAGTGTAAAGTATGACCTTTGGCTCGATATTTTGATATATGTAAATCGGATATCTAATAACCCAAAACATCATACCGCAATGCATATATATATATATGTGTGTGTGTGTGTAAGGGAAAAAAAAAAAGGAATTTGTTTGTCAATAACAAATAATGAAACAAAAAAAAAAAAGCCTTCCACTTTATTTTTTTTTCTTATTTTCTTTTTTTTTTTAGCCTATCATTTTTCCCCCTTTATTTTTTCAAATTTCTTACCTGAGTAAAATAGAATAGATTATCAGGTTTATCGTCCATAATATGAGATTGGTTTATAAAAGATTGAGTTGTAGATAATGAAAATGATTGTTCAAAATCAGTTTTGTTGATCTTGTTATATCGAAATGGCCATAATGGACCTTGAACCGATCGAAATTCCTTTGTTGATGACCAATAAAGATGACACGCACGAAGAGAACACAAGAATGTTATCACTAGACACGTCCATCCTACAATTTTAGATTTCATATCTCTTGAATAAAAATAATAAAATAAAATAAAAAAAAAAAAAGTTAAAAAGTAATAAAAACCGGGATAAAAAAAAAGAAGTAGATAAGGAGAATAAAGAAGATAAAAAGAAGAAAATAAAATCAAAAAAAAAAAGACGTCAAAATAAAAATAATAAACCCCCCAAAGTATAAATAAAGTAAACAAAAAAAAAAAAAAGGATTACCTGCCATTAACTTGTTTCAGCTCTTCCGTTCACCACGTGCTTTCTTCTTGTCTTTTCCTATCATTTTGTCAACATTTGGTATTCTACAAAAATATAATAAAATGATTCGTATATCATATGAAAAGAAAAAAAGGTTGTTAGTTGTTTTGTTCTTTTATCATAAACATTTATTTATCATCCTTACTTGTTTTGGATAAGACTGTCTAACTATGCGTTTCTTTTTACTTCCAACTGTTTTGCCATTGAAATAAGAATGTGTGAGAGAGTATTCATGTTAAAAAAAAAAAAAAAGAGAATATATAGGTTGATTGTAAATAAGTTCATATATGAATAAAATAAGAAGATAAAAAGAAGAAGTATATAAATACAGAATTACATTCTTGAGAAAGAAAGAAAGAAAGAGAGAGAGAGACACAATTTTTTTTTTCGATCAGGCGGAACTTATATTTTACTCCATTTAGCATTATGGATATCAAGAGGCATTGTAATGAGGATGGATGTATTTTATGAATGATGATGATGATGATGATGATTGAATAATAATTAGGATAATATAAGTTAGATACACTTTAATCAATAGTGTTTTTCCCTTTATTTGTAATAATGCATCAAAAGAAAAATAAGTGAATACAAAAACAAAAAGATGTTCAAAAAAAAAATGACAAGGATATAACTAAAAAAAGATTAAGTGCAGATATATATATATATATAACTGGGTAAACTAATCAAACTAGAATAGATTAATGAGGAGCATAAGGTTTTACAGTATTTGGATCAGTGTTATCGTTCATGGTTAAATCAGGTTTGGGTTGTAAACCTTGAGAGGGATAAGTAGATACTGAGTTCACAAAAGTAGATGTAGGGGAGGTGACTAAGGGTGACATTGATGTATAGGTTGGAGCTGTGGATGTTGACATTTCATCAGGATGATATGAACGTTCTTCTCTCTGATAATTTTGTTGATTGTAGATTGGAGTAGGAGTAACTGCTTGGGTCAAATTCGTTACACTACCGCCAGATTGCATAAAGTTTTGTGCCGTTGGTGAGAAATATTTTTGTTCCGGAGAATCATGGTATTCTTGATCTATCACAAAGTCGTCCTGTGGTTTGGCTTCATGATTAGATGATGGTGATGATCTTGGTACTGATGTTGATGTTGCTTTTCGATTGCGTCGACCTAAAAAGAAGAGACCAGCACCTGCTATCCCCAGCTATACGTATTGAAAAAAAAAATATCAGTACTGATTTTCTATTTTTTTTTTTTTAAAAAAAAAAAAAAGATAAAAACTTACGAAAGCTATGATGCCAATCACAATACCAGCAATTGCTCCACCATTAAGGGAATCTTTAGTTGTATTAGCCGTGTTATTGCCACCACCATTTCCATTGGAAGTACCATTGGTTTCATTAGTATTGCCACTAGCGCTGAAATTGTCCAACCATATCCAAGATTGAACATCCAAGAGATGGAAATCATTCAAGCTCATTGTAATTTGATCCGCACCGAAGATGATAAATAGGTATTGATCCATGTAAAGTACAGCAGAGTGGCCAAATCGAGATCCAGATCCAATTTGTCCTACGCTATGTATAGTCCATGATTTTGTTGTAGGGTCAAAGGTATAACATATGTCATTAATACTTCCAGGAGTTTCTATGAAAAGGAATAAAAAGGATCAATACATTATTTTCTTTTTATAATTTGCTCAATATATTACCGCTACTAGGGCTAGGTTTTCCACCAAACAGGACGAATTGATTAACCTTGGGCACTGAAGTTAAATGATGATTGAGTGATGATAATGATAACGGTAGTAATGATGACGAACGACGATTGATAGTGTATAATAAAAGAGGATGATCAGTCAGTGAAAGAAGCAGATATACGCATGTGTAAAAAAAAAAAAAAAAAAAAAAAAAGAAAGGAAGTGGCTACTCACTATAAGTAAAGGTATGTTGATTTCGAGGACTAGGAGAGGTTCCAACAATAGAAATAGAACCCCATGTTTGTTTTGCTGTATCGTATGTAGTAATCGAGGTCATAGGTACATTTGAACCCCAGGTATACGTGCTTCCACTTGGTGAAGCCATTCGACCTCCAACGTAATAGATGATTCCTTGATTATCGATATCAGAAGCATGATCAGCTCTAAAAGTAGTGCCAGTACCAAGAACAGCCCCAACCCATTGTTCACTCTATTCTCCCCATCCCCGGAAAAAAAAAGAAAAAAAGAAAAAGCAGGAGAAAAAAAAAGGAATCAGTCAGTCTAGATATAAGAAGAGATTTTTGTTGTTGTTTTTATATACATTTATATTGAGATTCATAAAGTTGAGATTTGGAGAAACATTGGTATAGGCGCTAAAAAAAAAAAAAAAAAAAGGATCAGATAAAAATCGAACACACAAAGAAATAAATATTTCATTTTACATGACACCACCAAAGACACGGGCATCGCCATTCTGATCAATATTGACGGTGGCTCCAATACTAAATAGAAAAAAAAAAGTAAGAAAACAAGTTACTATAAATCCTTCTTCTTTAATTGAACTTACGATTGATTTGCAGCTGTATTAATAGATTCCCATCGGTTTGTATCAGAATGATAAACAATAGTTTTGTTCTTGAGATAAGTATGTCCATCATTGTATCCAGCTCCGCTTGTGATGAGATAACTTGTATTACTGATAGGAGTATAGGCGAAAGCATAGTTTGGTTCCAAAACGAAATTGGATGGATCAGGTAATTTTATCCATGCACTTTGAGCATCCTTTAGGGCAAAATCTTGGGATAAATCAAGAGTAAGATGATCATTGAGTACACTGTTATAATTGACAGCACCAGATACATATTGACCTCCACCATAACAATATATTTTTTGCTGTAATACAACACATCCTATTATGGAAAAATAGTGTGAACATCAGAAAATATATATGTATACATATACTTTACCTTGTCTAAATCGAACGGAAGGTAATGAAGCCGATATTAATTCAAAACTACTTGAAGCAAGTAGTAAGAATAATGTCGTTTTCATATCAAATGTTTGATTTTTTTTTTAAATACTTCTGATCAATGATTCAATTAGAAAAAAAAAAAAAAGGGAAAAGAAAAACAAAAAATGGGAATCAGTAAGAGTTATCATATTTGTGCGGAATTAAGAACCACCGTACAACCATTAAACTTTCTGAGTGTTAAATCCAACAAACCCTTTAGTAGTAATTGTTGATATTCTTATTAATATTCTTACTATTATTTTAAGGAATATTATTGTTCTTTTTTTTATTAGTATTATTATTCACTTTAGAGAATAAGTATACCATAAATGTTTTATACAATGATGATGATCAATCCCTCAGATGCCCTTCAAATAATAATAATAAAAAAAAAAAAACGTGGTTGCACCAACACTCGGATACTGTTATCCATATTTCTCTATAAAGTAATACACCCACCACCCTTTTGTACCGGGGAACTTACTAGTCTAGTCTTTTGAAGAAAAATAAATACCAGATGAGCCACAAATTGTATGACATTGCTAAATTCCATAATTCTACAATCATCTTTTTTTTTTTTGTCATTTTCTACCATGTTTTTTCTTTTTTTTTTTTGTTCTTTTATTTATATTCATCTATCTATCTATCTAACTATCTATCCATCTATTTAAAACTATCCACATAAATGATGATTGTCGCTATTAACTAACTAATTAACTTACTACATATCATCCGACATTTTTGTTGTCGCATTAAAGTTCTTGCTCGCATTGGCCATCTATACAAAGAACAGGTTTTATCTATCCTTTTGAGTTTCCTAATAGCTCCTTTCCAATAATCATCCCAATATCCTTCCCCCAATTCAAATAAAACCCAACTTTCCATAGCTACGTTCCTCCTTTTTTTTTTGTTACCTTCAATAAGACCAAAATATAAAAAGAATACCTATTTCAAAAGAGCCACTTACTGTGTTGAGAAAGAATAACCAAATTTTGACGCCAAACAAATGTTGTTGTAGACTTTTCATTTTTTATTAGGATTATTTCACACATAAAAAGATCAGTAAAAATGTAATATAATAATAAAAATAATAATAATAATAATAAAAATAATAGTAATAATAATAAAAGTAAAAAAAAATAGTTGGATGATGGTATTAGAAAACAAGAATCGAGAAGGTAATAATAATAATAATAATAATAGTAGTAGTAGTAGTAAAGGAGAAATGGAAATAAAAAAAGAGACACAGGAAAAAAAATCAGGGGAGAGAAATTCATGCGGGGATGAAACTAAATTTTCACTGGGAGGGAACAGATGAGGGGGAGGAAGGGAGAGAATTTTGAGAACAAGATAAAGTACTAGTAACCATAGAAGAAAACGCCGATATCATCAAAGGAGGAGTCGAGATAGTTGAAGTAGGTGGTAAATGATTAGACTTGCTGTTCAAATATAAAATAGTAGATGGAGGTCTTGGGTTCATACGTCGAGCCATATCCAAAGATACTGTAGGAATCGTACTTGAACTAACCACAGGCGCAGTAAAATCACGCGCTATTGTTGCCTTGATTAATGCTTGAATCCATGCCTTCATACTAAGATCAGTATCTGCGTAAAAGTAAAATGTTCTTTCTTTTTCATGTTGTGCCTTGAATGAATAATGTCCTACACTGATAGTTTCATCACAAATGATTCGATATCCACGTAAATTGATAATACCTTTCATTCGTACATCCTATTTCATAAAAAAAAAAGTAAATAAACATTAGAATGCAAACTTTTTTTTTTTTTTTTTTTTTTACCTTTGGACTTTTAAAATAAAATAGATTAGACCCTTTCAAAACGAACCAGCGTTTATTCCATGTCTTATATTTATCGCCTTGCTTAAAAAGCCATCCTTCCATATCTGGAGCTACTTGATCATCATTTTCATTAGATTGTTGAAGATGTCGTTGATGATGATAATCATAAGAAGAAGATGGATTTACTGATAGAATACCATGAGGTTTGCCATTATCCATGATAGGGTAAGTCATCATATCCAAAGGATAATAAGGTGAATGATCCAATGTATCATAACTACCTCTACTATCGCTACTATTGGTTCTGGTGGTAATTTCATTTGTTGTATAATCAGTTGTCACTGTTCCTTCTGATGAAGAAGATGATTTCTGAAGAGAATATTTTTGAGGTGGGTTGCCTTGTCCAGTGATCATCCAATGGTAATCCTATATAGATAGATATAATTAATATTAATATATATATATAAAAAAAGTAATTCTATATGATTACCTCTGTTGTACTGAGACATGATTTAGATGGATGTAAATAAAAAGGATCTTGACGAAATATTTCTTCACGTAAAGCAAGAATGGCACTATGAATCTTGAATCGTTTACCAAATGTACTAATATTTAGTTCCTTTAAAGACTGTAAAGAAAGTTCCAATAAAATATCACCAGTAATCTCTTGTTCTATAAGAATAAGATGGAGGAAAAGATATATAAATAAAATGATAAAAAGAAAAAGAAGAAAAAAGAAAAAAGAAAAAAGAAAAAAGAAAAAAGAAAAAAGATTTTTTTTTTTTTTTTTTTTTACCAATGAATTGATTAACAACTCCACCAAACCCTAACTGAGTCAACCAATCAGCGACGTGCTCAGTTTCCCATTGTTCCGGAGGAATAGGACTTAGCTTTGGAGATAATAAAGTGGCACGGACAGCTTTTTGGAGATTTTTAGATACAAAAGTGATGTTAGGTGACAAAATAGGAGGATTCATCTTGTTACTAGCACAATCACCATCATCACTATCTTCTTGACCATCGATTGTTAATCTACCATTTGTACTTGCTACTAGTGAGTAAAATGATGCATCGGATGTATTAAAATGATGATGTGTGGATGGTGTTGCTGTAGAGATTGAAGGTGTAGAGATGGAATTTGATAATGAAGAACACTGACTACTACTAGATAAGGAATGAATATCATCATCATCATCATCATCATCATCATCATCATCATCATCATCATCATCATCATCATCATCATTGTTGTCATAATCGTCATCTGTTGATTGTGATGTAGTAGGAGGATCAACTGAAGTATAATTCACCGGGAATAATCCTTGTTGACCTTCTTTATTCCTTCCCTAAAAAAAAAGAAAAAGAAAAAAAATTAAAATAAACTCTATCAACCGGATTTTCTTATATAGGTAGACTTTTTTTTTTTGTACCTGCCACCAACCGTCTTCATAGCCATCATCCCTTTCCAAGACGATGACAGGATCGCCAATGCATAAACTGATTTCGTCTTCGTTTTCAGCATCGAAAGGATGAACTACATAAACTATATCCATATTGTTTTAAATATATCAGAAAAAAAGAAAAGAGAAAAAAAAGGGAAAAAAAAGAAGAAGAAAAAAAAAGAAGTAAAGAACATTCATATATATATGATATTTCTACTTAGTCTCTCATCATCATCATCATCATCATCATCATTACTGAAAAAGGAGACAACTAGGAGACACTTTCAAAGTAAAGTAAAAAGGAGGTAAAAAAAAAAAAAGGTAAAAAGAAAAAGGATAAAAAAAAAGGATGAACTTTAAAAAAAATATATAAGATGATACACTGACAGGTTCACAAAGGAGTGAGTAATTCACTAAAATAGTTCTTATATATTGGATATTCATTATATATCACAGAACTTGAATCAAAAAGTTTGTTTTAAAGTAGCAGAGATAAAGATGCTAAACTGATCGGATATTTGTTTGATTCACCCTTTTTTTATGGCTCCTTTTACAGCGGATACCATGTAATGTATATGCACTGAATCTCTCTAAATATGCCATGTTCTTCTTTAACTATCTTTTTCTTTTGTTTTCTTTTCTTTTCTTTTCTTTTTCTTTTTTGTACTTTATATTGATCGAAACACTAGTTTATGTTAAACGTATAAACTGGTATCATCCATATAAAGTGTCCCTGAATTTAATTTTAAATAATCCCCGCCCTCATTTTACATACCTTCTTTTTTTCTTTGTTACAATTTCTCCTTCCATTTCTGTTATAGACACAATCATCTTTTCTTTTGGTTTCCAGTCATTCTTCTTGCCTTTTTCTATCTCTCTATACTGTCGATGATATCGAATAAAGGAGTATTTTAGATTTGTTTCCCAAAAGTCATCATCACTATCATTATATAATTGGCTGTTATAAGAAAACAAATAAAGAGATCATCGTCATTATCAGTACCACCACCATCATGATTACCATCATCACTTTGGACAAAAAAAAAAAGCTGGTTTTCATTTTTTTTCTTTTTTTTTTTTTCTCCTCGTTCTCTCCTACTCTGTTTATCATTCTCTCTCCTGGTTTTAATTGATCAACTTTACTATTTATCAAGCCAACTGTTGTTTATTGAGTTATATTATTTTTGTACCTCTTGATTGGATTCTTGACACTCCATATCGGAACCAGATCAATACTTTTTTTTCATTTCATTGTTCTTGACATCCTATTTTATGAAAAAGACACGAGATCATTTTACAAAATAATTGTCCAATTAGTGGAAGTTTAGTTACCATGACATGATGACAAACATTCATAATAATAATAATAACAAAATCGTAATAATAGATATCTTTGTATACTACACATGTTGTGGGTTACTTCTTACATAAACAGAACGAATACCTATGTTTTTTCCTTTGACTAACAGTACATAATCCACTTATTTCCACATTCTCTGATAAGCCAAAAAGTAATATTACATCATCCATCGAAAACCTTATCTATCAGCCACCATCATCAACAATACATTCATCTTCCAATCACCATACCAATCCAAAAATCATATATGTATATATAAATAAGATACAAAAGTATTTTATTAAAAAGAAAAACAGCTGTCCACTGGGTGTATCATATCCTAAAGGCCAATTTTCATCTTTGTAACATTCGTTTTTGTAAGAACAATCTATAATTGTTGTATGCTGATGAGTATTCCACCATATTATTGAATCCAGTAATTCATTATATCCAGGGATATGCTTTTTTTTTTTCTTCTTGACCCTATTATTCAAATATTTTGTTCAACGTGTGCTGTCCATGTGTTGTCTTGAATTGTGTGCCACTTACCAGCTCGTGCCAGATGTATATATATATGCAATTCCAATCCCACCCATTAATACTGAGTAAATCTATAAAGTGAATTAAAAAACCAAATTAATCCCCTCTAATCTTTGATAATAGAAGATAACAACTTAGTCGTATATAACATATATCATTAGATTTACCGACACATCTCTTCAACCACGGCCAAGAGGGGAACTATATATATAAAAGGAAAAGTAAGAGGGGTAAGTATGTATATAAAAAAAAAAAAAAAGGAGAAAGAAGAAGGAAAGAAGGAAAGAAGAGGAAAGTGTTTTTTTTTTTAAAAAAAAAAAAAAAAAAAAAAAAAATGGAGGGAAGAGCGGGAAGTTAGCTAGTTTCCTTTTTTGAGAAGATGAACTGAATGAAACCAACCGGTGAGTAAACCTTTCACTTTTTAAAATAAAAAAAAATGAACGAGGTTTGTTTCTCTCAAAAGAAGAGAAATAAATAAATTTTATTTTTGTTTATTTAGATAATCATCTTTGTTTTCTAATTTACTAATAAACAAAAAACTTGGATACCTATAAAATTGATGAAAAGGGCATAATGACATTTCAACAACAACAACAAAAATTGTATCATCCACATCAGGAGGAAAAAATCGAACAAGTTGAAAGAAAAAAAAGTGATTCTAAACGTTTTAGTTGTGGTTTAAAGATTATTGCTTTGATAGTCTTTATCATCCTTGGTGTGCTTGCCGCTCTTTTACCATTCTTAATTAGAAATCATTTGTTGGATGATAATAATGATGACACAGGTTGGCATGGTAATCATCATGATGATCCACACAATAACAACAACTCTTTGACCAATTATAAAAAGGATCCTCGTCTCTCACGATCCTTTTGGGGTATAGATTACACACCACTTGGTGCTCAAATGGAATTTGGTTGTAGTGTGACTCAAGAAGATGTCATTGAAGATCTTAAGCTGTTACATCAATTGACTCCTCGTCTTCGATTGTATGGTCTTGATTGTAATCAAGCTTATTATGTCATGAATGGTATGAAAATGATGAATATAGATATGGGTATCATTTTGACTATTTGGGTCGATGGCAATTCTACTACCTATGATCGTCAATACAATGCTTTCTGGACTCTTTTAGATAAATTTGGTGCAGATCATATTACTGGTGTCTCTGTAGGCAATGAAGGTATCCGAAAATAAAAAAAATAAAAATAAAAAAATAAAAATAAAAAAATAAAAATAAAAAAAAAAAATAAAAAAAAAAAATAAAAAAAAAAATAAAAAAAAAACAATTTCCTAATCTGATATATCTTAATCTGATTTCCTTTTTTTTTTTTTTTTATTCTCCAGCACTTTTTAGACAAGAAATCGATCCGGATGAATTGATTCAACGTATTCGAGATGTCAAATCAAAATTACAAGAACGCGGATATGGGCATATTCCAGTATATACAACAGACATCCGATCGTTATCAGAGATTATGCCAGAAGAAGACCAAGTATTAGATAATGTGCATCCTTTTTTTGCTGGTGTTCAAGTAGAACAAGCAACAACATGGACATGGAAATATTTCAAAGATGTAGTAATCATTCCAACCATCCGACTGGCCAAATCAAATGGACATCATCAAACTAAACCTGCGTTGATCTCTGAAGTTGGATGGCCTACGGAACCTGAATCACGTTCAGAACAAGCTGCTATCCCATCTTTATCCAATTTGGAAACATTACTGTTCTCATTTGTTTGTCAATCCAATGAAAAAGGTGTACCATATTATTGGTTCGAGTTCAAGGATGCACCTTGGAAAAACATAACGTCCAATGAACCTAGAGAGGCCTTTTGGGGTCTTTTTGATCAACATCGACAACTCAAAGTAAGCCGATTGCCCCATTGCCCTTTGCCTTCGTACCAAAAACAGGACGTACATGTTCCATTGCCCAAATTTGATTACTGATATATTAGTTAGCTATCAAGAAATAAAATAAAAAAAAAAGATCGACTTGTCGCTATGCATATTGATTTAGAGACCGATGTAACCTTTTTTTTTTTTTATTGAGAGCACGCAGGAAGATTGATTAGTATCATTGGTGGTGAAGGTGGTGTGACCATCAATAAGTTAAAACCTATCATTGATCAATACCTTTTGACTTTATCATTAGAACATAAATCAGGATCAGAAGATGATGATGGTTCGGGGGGATGAAGGGAACAAAAATAAAACTAAGGGGGTTACAGTTCTTTTTATTGCTGCTTGTTGTTGTTGATATCAAGGTACATAGTGGAAGTTGAAATTCCTGCTTACTTTAAATTTTTTTACAACTTTTTTTTTTTTTTTCTTTCTTCCTTTCTTTATTTCTTTTCTTTCCTTTCCTTCTCACCTTTTCCGTTTACTTTATTATATTATTATTGTTATTATTATCGTCTTTATTATCTTATTCTCATTCTATATATATATATTCTCTTCTCTCATCGTGTCCTTTAAAGAAAGAACATGAAATTCTCCCATCAGATTCAATTCAATGCTGTACCAGACTGGGCCGAATACTATTTACCGTAAGTTACTTGTTGTGTTTGTGCAAAAAAAAAAAAAAAAAAAAGAAAACAAACAAACAAATAAACAAAACTCAAGTGGTGTCTTGTCTTTCTAATAAACCAATCATTTTTCTTTTCTTTTCTTTTCTTTTTTTTTTATTATTAGTTATTCTAATTTGAAGAAGCTAATTTATATTATTGAAAAAGATCAAATTGCTTCTCAACAACATGGTCAAGGTGATTTGGAATATGGTCCTAGTGAACGTACTGCTCTTATAGACAGTACTTTTGAAGTTGATAGTAGTGAAGCTATTGAAAAAGTCAACCGTCGTTTTATAGATGCTTTGAACAAGGCTTTGGACAAGATTGTCAAGTTTTATGCCAAGAAAGAAACAGAACTCTATGACGAAATGGATCATTTACTTTTTGATTATGAACATTTGGATCAACAACCTCCTAGTCCTACTACTTTGACTTCTCGACATGAAGGTATGACCGGTTCTCATTCTGAAGAATTTCCTCGTCGTGAATCTTTGGTGGATGTTGAATCCTATACATTACCACCTGCTATTTTATCTCAAAACACTAGTGATATGGATTTCGAACACGACAATGAAAATAGACCACCAGAAGAAGATACAAGATATCGCCGTCTCAGTGACAATAACAAGGGAACCGGGAAATCATGGCATGGTATGGAACTTAAGAAACGTACAGTGGACCTCTTTGTCTTATTATCTGAATTGAAATCATTTGTGGCTCTAAATATGACGGCATTTTCCAAGATTCTCAAAAAATATGACAAGATCACTAACAACAACCTGAAACGATATTATCTCTCTACCTATGTGAATCAAGCTTATCCATTCCAGTCAGCTGCAAAATCCAGACTCAATGAACGTATTCAAGAAACAGAACGGGGATATGCTTTCTTGGTTACTGAAGATAACAATCTCGATCTTGCTATTGATGAACTTAAAACTCATCTTAGGGAACATATTGTATGGGAACGAAATACCGTATGGCGGGATATGGTCGGTCAAGAACGCAAAACACAAAGTGTGGGAATCAGTGAAATCAAACCTACTGTATTACGAACGCCTTGGGGTCGCTATATTATTGATCGTGATCAATTAATACATATTTTCTTTTTGGTTGCTTCCTTGATCGTATTTGCTGGATTACTCTCTGCGGATATCTTTGGTCATGTGGAACAAAACCGATGTTTTGCCATCTTAGTGTTTGCAAGTATGTTATGGGCTGGCGAGGTAAGTGGTGATTAGAAGAAGATGGGGAATATTGAAAGAATAAGGAAAGTTCCATTTCATCTTTGATGGATTCACTGATTGTTTGATCTTTTTTTTTTATTATTATTATTATTATTTATTTTTAACTTTTATAGGTGATGCCATTGTTTGTTACAGCGTTATTAGTGCCCCTGTTGATTGTGACATTAAGAGTGATGCGGTCTGATGATGGTCAATATACACGCTTGGATGCTCCAGCTGCGACAAAACGTGTCTTTGCTGCCATGTTTTCTCCTGTTATTATGTTGTTATTAGGTGGATTCGCTATTGCTGGTGCTTTGAGCAAGTTTGGTATTGCAAAATCATTGGCAACATTTGTCTTATCCAAGGCGGGAACTCGACCAAATCGTGTGTTGTTAGTGAATATGTTGGTAGCTACGGTAGCAAGTATGTGGATTAGTAATGTGGCAGCTCCTGTTCTATGCTTTTCTTTGATTCAAGTATGCTTTGAAGGAAAAAAAAAGAAAAGGATATCACAATTATATTCATCTCACTCTTTTTTTTTTTTTTTTTTTTTTTTTTTTTTTTTTGGTAGCCTATTTTACGTACATTACCAGTGGATTCACGATTTGCACCATGCTTGATCATTGGTATTGCTTTAGCTTCAAATCTTGGTGGAATGGCATCACCTATCTCATCACCACAAAACATTATTGCTATTCAAAATATGTCACCAGCACCATCTTGGGGTGAATGGTTTATCGTATCTATTCCTTTATGTTTGGTTGGCAACGGAATTATTTGGTTATGGCTATTATGGAATTACACACCGGAAAAGCAAATTACTCATATCCATCCGATCAGGGCGTCTTCATCTACCGAAATCATCAGCTGGACACAAATGTATGTAGGTTTGGTGACATTGGTGACGATCATCATGTGGTGTTTGGCACATTCATACGAAGATATTTTTGGTGATATGGGAGTGATTGCGATTATACCCGTGATTGCCTTCTTTGGTACTGGTTTACTGACAAAGGATGATTTCAACAACTTTTTATGGAACGTGATCATGTTAGCCATGGGAGGCATTGCTCTTGGAAAGGCAGTGGAAAGCTCCGGATTATTACATACCATTGCCCAACATATTGAACAAGCTGTGACAGGATTCTCTGCATTCCAAGTATTGGCAGTCTTTAGTTTCTTGGTCTTAATTATTGCCACTTTTATCAGTCATACCGTGGCTGCTTTGATTGTTTTACCTATTGTGGCCGAAGTGGGTACTCGTTTAGATCATCCTGAACCTAGAATGTTGGTCATGGTAAAGGAAAAAAAAAAAGGAGAAAGTTATGGAATGCTCAATTTTTTTTTTTTTTTTTTTTGTTATTTTATAGGGTACTGCATTTGTATGTAGTTGTGCGATGGGTTTACCAGTATCGGGCTTCCCCAACATGAATGCAATTGCACAAGAAAACGAACTAGGTAAATCTTATCTCTCAACCAAGGACTTTTTGCGCAATGGTGTTCCTGGAAGTATTTATGCAACTGTATGTGTCACCACCCTAGGTTATATACTGATGAAAATAATAGGATTTTAGATATTGTCTTCCTTTTTCATCATCATCATCATCTTCATCATCATCTTCATCATCATCTTTATCATTATTATTACCGTTATTTTTATTATTTTTATTATTATTCTTTTTGTCTATGCTTTCCATTGAAATAAAATCTGAATACAAATGTTGCCAAATTAAGTCTCCTCATCTATCCCTACTTTTTTTTTTCATCCCCTGCTTCATCTATATTCAATCGTACATATCTATCTACATTTTATCTTTTAGATCTCTTCCATCTTTTTTTTTTTAACTATAGAATTCTATCCCCTCCTCTTATATATATATATATATATCTATCTAATTGTTTACCAACATCCGATCGTATTGAAAGATAAACTAGTATTTTAACATTTTTTTTTATGTATGCGTTTTTTACAGAAATCTGTTAAAGAATGTGAATATTATCATTGTGCATCTTCTTCTATCAATCAAGATGATCGTCAATCATTCTGCAAGAATCATTGAAAATCCATCATGATGATAGAAAGATCAGAATTCTCATTTCTATCATAATAATTAAACAACATTCTAAAGTAAATCATGCTTCACCTCCAGTCATCAATATAGAGACTATCATCTATTCATTTTCCAATAACAAAAAAAAAAAAAAAAAAAAAAAAAAAGGATTCAAAAGAAAAGGCAGTTTTATTTTTTGTTTTTTATATATTCAAAAAAGTGAGGAGAAGCTATATACAATAAAAAAAAAAAAAGGAAAGGAAGGGGATGTCAACAGTAGAATCAATCAAAGGAGAATAGCAGGTTGTTGTTGTTCTTCATCATCGGAGGCAGAATAAATGCTTGAGGCAGTAGAGGAAGGACAAGTAGAAGATAATCCACGATAAGGATCCATCATAGGATCACCAACCAAGAAATTGCCAGGATGGACCAGACAGCCTGGACAAGTACATTGGTTACCACAATAACATGTCACGATCCTTGTACGTACTTGTTCTGATCCTTGTAATGCATTGTTTGTTGTTGCTGATAATGGTGCAATGGTGATCACTACTGATTCCCCTTGTTGTTCACTTGATTGTGAGAAATGGCCCCCACAACATCCTACTTGATCAAATGATTGTCCCAGACCCAAATCATTTGCTGTAGACATCATATTATTCGGTAAATAAAACGATGAAGTAGGTGATGATGATGTCGAAGTCAGTTCATGTTGTTGAGAAGGATACTGTTGTTGTTGTTGTTGTTGTTTTGGAAAAGGATGAGGTGGAGTTCCAGGTGAAGAAGATGTGGTGGAGCTACAACTAGGAGGATACATTAATTTAGTTGAATTCTGTGTCAATTCCAAATCGGCCAGTTCTTGATTCATTTCATCTTCTTCTGAGAATTGTTGCATAGGTTTCAAGACGTTGTTCAAAATCATTGATAATTCCGTTGTCAAAGAACCATTTGTATCCGAACAAGATGATGATGATGAAGGTAGATCCAAATCCACAGGTAACATAAAATCCTGTTGTTGTTGTTGAGTACAAGAAGAAGAAGAAGGAATCATACTGACTATTCCATTATTTGTAGTATTAGTCAAACCAGATGATTGAATACCATTACCGGCATGAGGAGAAGGAGCACGTTGTATAGAATGTCTTTTCATACTCTTCTTTCTTGGAGGACGAGGTTGACCTTCTAGGAATCGTTGACTGGAGGACTTGTGAAAGATAAAACCAAGATTGATAGGATCATCCGTTGGATTAGTAAACAAAGATTCTTGATGAGGAGTTACTACAGCCCAAGAGAAACTATTATCCACCATAGTAGAAGCAGGAGAAGAAGAAGAAGGAACAAAAGTAGGAACCAATCCTGAAGTAGTAGAGTTGTTGTTGTTGTTGTTCAAGAGAGAGGGATGTTGTTGAGATACCAAACCATTAGAATCATTTTGAGATAAAGGATGATGATGATGATGATGATTCAAATCAGAACAAGTACACTTTTCATGTCCATCTATTTCCATTGAAGTAGTAGAAGTCATTTCATCATTTTGATAAATCAAGATAGGTTGTTGATCTAAGGATAAGAGGAAAAAGGAAAAAAAAATAAGAATATTTTTTTTTTATTTTTTTTATTTTTATTTTTTTTTTTACCTTTAGCTGATTTATGAGTACATGCACATTTGATATGAACTTGTTTGGTTTTACGTAAATCTCTACAGAAGGAGCATTGAGTGACAGGACGGCCTTTTTTCCGGATTTCAAATAGAGGACGTTCTACATGGTTGCAATTGGAAGAACGATGGCCCTAAGAATAGAAAAAACGACGATCAGTTGACTGAACTTGTAATAATTGATTCTAATAAGCCAATAAAAATATACTAACCTTAATGCATGTAGCACAAGCATACTTGACGCCTTTGTATATCATAGTTGTTGTTGTTTTTGATTGACTTGAAACCAGATAGTGATATTGTGTTGTTGAATGTTGTGTTGTGTATACAAGTGAAGAATATAAATAATAATAATAAGTGCGTATATATAACAAATAAGTAAATAACAATAATAAGAAGAAGAGAGGGGGGGGGAAAAAAGATTAGATAACAGCTTGATTGAACAAGCTAGAAGAAAACAAAAACAAATCAAGAATGATACTACTCCTATAATTACACTGTTGAATATGCAAACTAATCATAACCAATTGAATAAAGAATAAAAAAAAAAGGGAATATATAACAAAAATAACAATAATAATAATAATAATAAAAAATATACAAGGAAAAAAGGAAAAAAAAAAAAGAGAATGAGAAGAAGAAAAAGAAAGTAGATTCTTTAAAGGATATCCAGTAGAATCTCTTTTGTAAAAGAAAAAAAAGTATAAAAGAAAAGAAGGGGGGAGAGAAAAAAAAAGGAAGAAGTAAAAAAAGAAAAAAAAAAAAGAAAAAAAGAAAAGGGAAAAAAAAGGGCAAAAACACGATTTCAGTCTTTTTGATTTATATCCATCAATTTTTTTTTTTTTTTTACTCCAGTCCTTATGCTGTTCCTTCTCTCTTACCCCTAAAAAAAAAAAAAAAAAAAAAATTTTTCCTAGTTTGGCTCCCCTTTTTTTTTTTTATTTTATTCTTACCACTCCGTTCATCCAGTTGTCTCTCCCTGAATTTTATCAGTCCCAATTCACACACAAAAAAAAAAAGTACACTTAAATTCCAATAGCCAATTTTTGAGCCACAGTCTTTGCGTTATTTTTGCCAAAGGAGAAAAATCAACGTCGATTGTTTAAAATCCTCTCAATGGCGATTTCAGCGCAGTATCACATAAAATAGATCTCTTTCTCTCTCTCTCTCTCTATGTCTGTGTCTGTCCCACTCCCTTTATTGGACTGACTTATAAAAATCTTATCTTACATATATTATTATTTTATATATTTACATATATTACTAACTAAACAATATATACACACACATATATATATATTTCTTTCAAAAAAAAAAAAAAAAAGGGCAAATATTAAACTTCCGCTGACTCGGCATCTTATTTTGACTTTTTATTGTCGATCCACATGATAATCCTCTTATGTGGGCCATTTTACAAGCAATAAAATTATATTAACTTTACTATAATGACTATTGTGTCATAATGTTCTTGTGGTATTCCATTTCTTTTGAGCTGATGACTATGCTTCATCATCACCCTCTCTTATAACAAATCATCATACATCATCATCATCACCATCGTCATAATGGTACTATTCAATTATTGTCATATTTATTCTTTCATCATGTAAAAAAAAAAAAAAATCCATCATCCAAGATCAGACCGGGGATTCAACACAGTCAGGGCTCACAGTGATACTCTTTTTTTTTTTTTTTTTTGTATCACTTTCATTTGCTTGATTCAGCAATTTTTCTTTTTTATTTTTATTCAAGAGCAGTCCTTTGTACCTATTTTCCGCTCTCTCATTGCTCTAATCATCAAATTTTCTTAGCATATGTCTGTCATCGGGAAATTCATTCTGTGGATGATGAACGGATATTGAATGAAAGGGGAAATCAAAAAAAAAAAAAAAAAAGGTCGCACAAAAGCAATGAAGAAGTGCCAAGCAATTTAACCAACAATCATGATTATTCAAGCAGAAAAACGAGAAAAGTGATACATTATAGAATTTATCAAGGTTAGGATTATTCTAAATATGGATATTTTCTGAGCTATGACGTGATGTTTCCTTGTTCTTCTTTGTATACAATTACATTTTATTTATGTTTGGGCTTCTTGAATAGAGGTAACGTGGTTATATATATATATATATATATATATGCAAATATTGTAAAACGGATGACGATGATGATGATGATTGGTATCCTCTTTCTTTGAAACCTCGCGGGAATTCAATGATCCTCCACCTTTTTTTTTTTTTATTGAGGCTTTTTTTTCCCAAGAGGACCCTGCCTTGGTAAAGTCAAGGACTGGATCCTTTCTTTCTTTCTCAGCCCAATAACAACAAATCTCATTTCTGTTCTTTTTCTTCTTTATTTGGAGACACAAGATAAAGGATAAAAAAAAAATATCATCATCTATAAATTTGGTTCTACAATCAAAATAATAATAGAATAGAAATATTTTTTTTTCACTTCTGTACTTTCCTCCTCTTATTTTTTAATATTAATGATCAATGTCCACCCACAAGTTGAGATCTAGAAGATGAATAAAGTAAGTTTGTGTCGGCGATATATACTTTTGAATTCCTTACAGTGACTGGTATCTTTTTATATATAATTGGAATCATCATCATCATCCTGATGCTTCTATTCAAAAGGAAGGCCTTAGAGGAAACACTTTTTAGACACGAAGAGATTCGCTAACGGCGATAAAGCTCAGTAAAAGGGGCTCATGGTCGCAGTTTGATAGTAACTCTATCGATATTTTTAAATTCTCGATTATAAAATGAAAATACACATGAAATCATGCATTCCTTTCATTTCGAGTTTCACTTATTTTCCATAAGCGTCCAATGACATAGAGATATACACATATAAAAAAAAAAGTTTCAAATCCAAATAGGAACAGTTTATTCTTGAGCACAACAGATAAAACCAAAAAAAAAAAAGAAGTATATATACAAGTAGCAAGAAAAAAATATGGGAAGAAGAAGGAAGAAGGGAGGGGGGGGAATCTATAGGTTGCATGATAAAAGTAAATAAAGGAAGTAACTAACAAAAATGAAACTAAACTACATTGATAATTTGTCACGATTTGATGTTTTGTCATTCGCCTTTTTTGAGAGTTGTAATTCTTGTTGTACTAATTCGTATTGTTGCTGTAATCTTTCTATCGCAGTATGTTCCGGCATCTTGCAATGAGCTGTATAAGTAATATATAGATATAGAAAAGAATGAATAAAAACAAAAAGTTTCCAAATAAAAAGTAGTATCATCCTATATTTGATCATCAACTTACCTAATACCACGCAATTAACTTCATCAGCAAGTTGACGTCGACGATCTTGAGAGAGTAAATGAGCTTGATTGGATTTTTCAGGATCAGCATAAGCAATTAATGAAGCCACTTCAGTAATCATATCCTGGTATTCTTTGTGCATTGGTCGTAAATATTGTTGTGCATATCGAATGGCTTCCACTTCAGTAGATGATCGGACAATTTCAATAAACTGCTGACACCGTAATTTGAATAATACTCGTCCTATCCTTTCAGTTTCTTGATCCTCCAGTTTCGATATCACTCCATTAGCATTCATGTCATTGCTATCATCGTTGTTGTTGTTGCTGGCCAATGGATTGTTTCGTAATAACCCCGGAAATCGTTGTTGTATTAAATCAAACGCTTTTGGAATATCCCCCCTTTCAATGGCATCATAAAGATCTATCCAATACAAAATAAAATAAAATAAAAATATAGTTACAAAAAAAAAAATCTTACCTTTTCTTGCATCGAGTAGATTCCAAGCTTGTTCATCTTTTATCAAAATAGTATCTTGAAAGGAAAAACGTCCGAATAATAATAATAAAAAGAAAAAGAAAAGAGTTTGAGTATAAAAAGTAAGTTTGCTACGCCATTCTTTTTTCAATTACCATTATTCAAATTGAAGTCAACTTGATCTATATCCATTTCGTCTTGAAAAAAAAAGAAGTGAATAATAATAATAATAATAATAATAATAAAGGAGTTCAAAGTAAATAGAACATAGATTTACCTGGTTTGTGAGAAGACAATGGTAACAAAAGATGACTGTATTGAGATTGTTTCTTGTATTCGTTTTGAAAGGCTTTAGCGGTATTTTTATAACAGCTGTGCATAAGATATTCCATGATAATATCACGACATGATGTATCGTCTGAAGGATCCATTGATAATGTATAATAAAACAATGATAAATAAAAAGAAGAGTAATGAAGTATAGAGAAAAAGAAAAAGAAAAAAGAAATAAGAAAAATAAAAAAAACGAAATAAAAAAAGAAAGAGAGCAAGTCGCTAATTAAAATCAATACAACCAGTGATGAAGTGGATTAGATGATGATCATCACGTGGCGTTAACTTACTCACTTTTTACATGAATAATGGAAAAGTAAGAAGAAGAAGAAGAAGAAGAAGAAAAAGAAAAAAAAAGGTGATTAATGATTTTAAAAGGCCATCTACTTTCTTCTATATCTACTTTTATGCAAAACTGAGGTTTATGTAAAAAAGGAATCCAACATACAAGGAAGAACCATGTGGTGACATGTGATGAACTCTCTCTCTTTTCTTTTTTTTTTTTTTTAATATTATTATTGATTTTCTTATAAATCACCATATAAACATATCTAATTTAATATATATAAATATATAGATTGAAAACAATCATACATAAATTGAATAAAGTGTAAAAACTGTATAAGTTTTAAAGCTTTGTTTTCAATTTCCGCTGTTGGTGTTCCCTTTCTGGTGTTCCCTTTAAAAAAAAATAATTTTTTTACTTTTTCTTTTTCTCTTTTTCTCTTTTTCTCTTTTTCTCTTTTTCTTTTTTCTTTTTTCTTTTTCAATATTTATATATCTTTATATATATATGTATATATATATCCATCGATTCTGAATTATCATGTCAAAACCAGGTAATAATATTTTATATTGATTGATGCTTTTGATCTAATTTTCTTTATTTATAATAAAATGGTTTAGTAACTGAATATAATCAAATCAATAGCAACAAAAATAATAAGAAATGGATCATTATTGACGACAAATTATATGATGTGTCTGAATTTTACAAGGAACATCCTGGAGGTCCTACAGTACTTTTGACACATATTGGAAAAGATGCTTCAGGTAAATAAATAACAAATAATAATGATAATAACTATTAATCAACGCAAATCTTTATTTAGATGTATTTCATGCAATGCATCCTGAATCAGCTTATGAAATATTAGCCAATTATTATATCGGTGATTTGAATGACAATACGTTAACTATCCATCCAAAAAGTGAAGCATTTGCTAATGACATACGACAGCTTCGAGATCAACTTGAACAACAAGGTTATTTTGAAGCAAGCAAACTTTTTTATCTTTATAAGATGGTCTCTACACTTGGACTTTGTTTTGTATCTATGATAATCTTGTATCTTTATGGTCGACAATCTTCATTAGCTATTGTAATTTCTGCTTTTCTTTTGGGTGTCTTTTGGCAACAATGTGGATGGTTATCTCATGATTTTGGTCATCATCAAGTATTTACTCAACGTGTATGGAATGATATGGTTCTTATCTTCTTGGGAAACTTTTGTCAAGGATTTGCTTTATCATGGTAATAAATTTAAAATATATTAATTTTTTTTTTTTTTTACTTATATATTTATATGATGAGTTTCTGATAGGTGGAAAAACAAACATAATACACATCATGCAAGTACTAATATCAGTGGTCATGATCCTGATATTGACACTGCTCCAATATTATTATGGGATGAATACGCATCGGCCAATTACTATGAAGCACTTGGAGGCAAACAAGAAAAAGGTTCGGGTGGTATGATCAATCGATTTTTCGCAGAGAATGTGCTCCCACATCAAACCCGGTACTTTTTTTTTGTCCTTGGTTTTGCACGTGCTTCTTGGGCTCTTCAATCACTACTTCATATCTTCCGTCTTGGTGCCATCAATAAATCTACTTCTCTACGAATATATGAAACTGTCTGCTTGATACTTCATTGGGGTCTGTTTATTTTGGTCACTATACAATGGATTGATTCTCTACGTAATAGGATATTATTCTTTGTCCTGAGTCAATCCATCAGTGGATATATGTTAGCCATCGTCTTTGCATTGAATCACAATGGTATGCCAGTCATCAGTCAAGAACAAGCGGAATCCTTGGCATTTTTTGAAATTCAAGTCATCACAGGTCGAGATGTCAAAATGGGTTGTCTGGGTGATTGGTTTATGGGTGGATTGAACTATCAAATTGAACATCATGTAAGTAATGATACGATTCAATGGAATGGTTGCTCAAAAAGGAAACTCGACATTTTCTTATTTATTTATTTATTTGTTTACCTATTTATTTATTTTGAGATAGGTGTTTCCTACTTTACCTCGACATCGTTTAGCAGATATCCAGCCCAAGGTAGAAGCGATCAGTAGAAAACATGGTATTCAATATCATACAACAACATTTATGCAAGGATCTTTGGAGGTACTGAAGGCTTTGGATATAGCTCAAAAAATGTCAAGAAATCTCATCAAGAAATCAATGTAGTAGTTTAGTTTCAGTTATTATAGTTATTTTTGACCAATAAAACTTGTTCTAATTGAATGATATATTTTTGACCAAAAAAAAAAAATGTATAGCCTTGTTTTCTTTTGCTTGGTACATTTATCACATGTAGTTGCCACGTAAGTTGATTTATTTACTTTTGTTCGTTTCATCGCCATTCAAGGTAAGTTTAGACTAATGGATGAGTGACATATATATTATATAAAAGAAATGATTTCCTTTTTTTTTTTTTTAATTCATTCATTCTGATTTATCATCATTCTTGTATATTGTATCTCTCAAAATGACAGGACTCATTTCAAAGTTCTTTTCATTTTTCTATTTGAACGATATCTGCGTAAATAAAAATGATTATGATCAATGCCTAGAAAATAATTGGATTAGCAACAACAACAACAATAATAATAAAAGCAATAATAGTAACAATAATATTATATCGTTATTCGAGCAAACGTATATCTCGTTCCCTGATTATGAAGATTTCCCCTAGCATAATTCAAGACTATGAACACTATAACCTGTATTACAACTTATCATACCTCTTTATCCCCATCCTCCCTTTTTTTTTTATATGTATTTATACCCATATCATACCTCCTTCCCCCCCTCCTCCTTCGTAATCATAAATGAAATAAAAAATATATAGATATGTATATGTATGTGTATATGAATATGAATAAAGTTCTTTATTAGATAAAAAAAAAAAAAAAAGAGTATAAATAGTTATATAATATATAAAAGTGTCAAAACGAGATCCACTTTCTAAGTGATAAAGTAACAAAGTAACTAAGAAAACAATATCATGATGATCATCCTTGTAATGACCGGAAATAATTTGAAGGTATGATACCGATTCTTCCGTCAGCCTTTCGTGCCTGCCACCAGTTGCCTTTTCGATCGACAATTTCCACTATTTCCCCCTTCTCAAAATCAAGCTCATTTGCATCTTGAGGATTGGCTTGGTCTATTGATGAATCAAAAAAAAAAAGAGTTTAGTAGATTGTCATTATAGCGATGAATGGATTGGTTGACAACTTACATGAATGAATGGCTTCTACTCGTTCTTTGAAGTCTACATCATGTATGATATGTGAAGGAGGAGTAGGTGTTGATGATGATGGTGATGTAGATAATGATGTTGCCATCGATTGCGATTGTAAGTGTTGTTGTTGCTGCTGCTGCTGTTGTTGTTGTTGCTGTTGCTGTTGTTGATCCTGTTGATCCTGTTGATGTTGTTGTTGTTGTTGTTGTTGTTGTTGTTGTTGTTGTTGTTGTTGCTGTTGCTGATGTTGTTGGTGATGATGATGAATGTGTTGTTGATTAACAGGAGTGGTAATAGCATGAGGAACAAAAACTTGAGAAAAATCTTGAATTGATTCAGCAGCATGAAGATTAGCACCATCTTGAATATTGGATGAATTAATGTGTTGTTTTTCAGAATAGAATTGGGGTTCAACAATACTACTGGCCATAGAACGATCATCTTGAGCCAATTGACCCAAATAGCTTTTAGGTTCACTTCCCAAGACAAGAACCCATGTATATTGTATGATGACTAAACCAATGTAACCTGCTGCATAAGCATTAGCTGCTGTTCTGTTGAGTTGAGCTGGTTTGGAATATTGCAAGATATAATCAATTTGAATGGTTAATAAAGGAATACTGACAGCTAACATTGTCAACATCTATTTATACATATTTATATTATAAAAGAAAAGAATAATGAATAATAATAATAATAATAATATATATATATATATATATATAATTGACTTACAGCAAGTCGATAATGAGACAACACACCACGCATAAAGATCAAAGCATGACCCAAAACAATAATAACTTGATAAACCACAACCCACCAAGCACCTTGTAATACCTTTAATGCAAAAGCACCAGCCAATGATACAAGTAAAGAACACTAAATAAAATAAATAAATAAACAAATAAATAAATAAATAAAAGGGGGATTAAATTTCCTAATCCTTTGTTGTTGTTTTTTTGGAACTTACTACAGCAATGATGGTAGTAGCTAAAAGGAAAGGATTATGCGATAATTTACTTTTATCAGTAGAAGGCATGATAAAAAGGAAAAATGAATGTAACTAACTATTAAAAGAAAAAGAAAAAGAAAAAGAAAAAGAGTGTAATGGGTTATAAAGGAAGGAAGGGGAACGTAACAAAAGAAAAAAAAAGTGATAAAGAGGAAGAAGAGAAGAAAGACATTCTTGACTTTGAACACAAAAATCTTCTATCCTTTTTTGTATTCCGCCAGCTTTTTCTCCCTCTTTTTTTTTTTTTTTTTTTTTTTCACTCTTCCTCCTTTTTTTTTTTCTTAGTATAAATGTCTGTTCTCCCTCTTAGTCAAGATTTACTTAGAAAATGGTTACAACAAGGTATTGAAAAAGGATACATTACTAATTGTATTCCTACTTTAAACGGTGAAAACTATTTATCAGCATATTATATTCAACAACAAGTAATTCATTATATCAACCAAGACAACGGTAAAATATTAACGACCTGCTTCTTCTCCTATTATAACTCATTCATTCCACGTGTGCTATCCTTTCACTTTTTATACTAGGGAGAACCACTTTAACGCGTTTAGCTGAACGCCTCAATATCGCTAGGGACTCTTTGGAACCTTACTTGACCAACAGTTTACTTGAAGAACAAGAATGGATTTTGATAGACGATACCATTTTAACAAAGTAAAGTGACATACCTCTTATATTATGTCACTAATATTAACTTTTTTTTTTTGTTTTTTTTTTTTTTAGTTCTTATTTAATTGAACTCAAACAAGTGTGTTTTGATCAAATACATGAACAAGGTTATATTTCTTTGGTTGCACAAACACAAAGATCAAGTCTACCTTATCAATTCATACAAAAGGTAATTAATCAAAGAAGAAAAGGATATACATTGATATATATTTATAGATATTGGATACAGATATTACTTCACCTTATATAAACTATTCTGAATTATCTGATTTGGTGTTTACTAAATTATACGTGGAACAACAAAAGAATAGAATCATCGAAACTTTACAATCTGCCTTAGAGTAAGTATAGAAGAAAATAAAATGAAATAAAAATACAAAGTAAAATCTTTTTATTTTTATTTATAGACCTTTATCTATGAATAAACTTCAACAAAATCTGGCATTACAAGACCAAATATTCTATCGTAAGTGACGAAGTTTATACCTATCTATCTCATAAAGAATTTAATTCTTTATGATAAAAAAAAAGAAAAAAAAAAGGAAACGTCAAACCGGGGAGAGAGTTTCGATAGGGGTTGATCAATTCGATAGGGATAACAACAAAAGATTTAATTCTTCATTTTTTATTTCTCTATATATAGTCTTTTTAGATCAAATTATCAAAGATCACACATTACAAGGTACTTTCCGTGGTCGATATGAACGCGCACTTTTTATTCCTTATATATATCGTGATACTCAGTTAGATATGATTCACTCCTTGTTGAAGGCAGGGTATTATATTGGTAAGTAGAATATGTAATTTAATATTGTTTATTGAAAATTCACCTTTTTCTTTTTTCTTTTTTTTTTTTTATAGAATACAGCACTATTGAACAACTCTATTCTTATGCCTCTCCCAAAGACTTGCTTTTGAAACTGGATCCTGATATCATTCTATTGGATTCTTGTGCTGTCACTCCTGCAATTATCTCCTCCTTTCAAGCTACCCTTCTTTCATCGAATCTTACTTGGTTAGATGCCTCTAAACACCTTCCTTCTGTCATGTCTTTATCTGATATCGTCACTCTTGTAGAAATGATATTGGCTTCTTTGAACAACAACAATAACAAGAAAAAGAAGAAATCTCTTTCATATGATGATAATCAACAGCGCGATATTTTTATACTTTTGGGAAAGTTTGTCACAACTCAACGATATTTGGAAACCATTGTTCAGAATGCTCAATCTTATCTCAATCAACGTGCAACCATGGAAATGACCAAGAATCAAAAGTTTTTACACAGTACCAGCAAAGGGAAAAGGAAGAAAGAACTGGCCCTTACTTTGACCAATGAAGAGGTATTATTCATTGAATACTTTTTTTTTTAAAAGAAAAATACATACGGTTTGGTTCATCTACTTTTATTTTCTGTTTTCCATAGATTCTAGAACACCTTGTGAACCAACAGCAGTTGGACTCTGATTTTGCTCAATTAGTCACTATGAAAATCAAACGACCAATGATTGAAGAGCTTAACCGTGCTACGGAAAGTATCTATGTTCGTCCCTCTCTTATATCGAACGATGATGACAATGGATCATGGGTTGAACTGCAATTACAACATCTTCTTTCATTTGGACAACAACTTGGTAAACTTTTGTACTATAATATCCGAGCAGTGACTCTCTTTGAAGGTAACCATATAATCATTATTACCAATGTCTATAGTATGATTGACTTGTATTATTCCTTATAGATGATTCTTCGAAGAAAAGTATGAGAAAACATTTGGTGCGTCAACTATGTTTGGATTTTATGTTTTACTTGATGTTGATCATCGCTTTATGGCAATCAAAAGATCAACACGATATGACAACAACAACAGGTTTACGATCTGATGATATCGAACATCCAGACCAGGTCGGCGAAACTCAAAAGAAGCAAGTTATTGCTGCTCTAGTGTCAAGCGATTCGACTTTTCAGGATGAACTCTTACCTTTATATCAAGCACTTCAAAGTGGCAAGGTATATTGAAGTAGAATTACAAAAAAAAAAAAACACTTTATAACCATTGCTTTTATATAGAGAATTGATGAATTCAAACGGTTTCTATCGTCATCATCATCACCACTGCGAAGCCGACTCAATATGGAAAACATGCAAAGCGAATCTAGTCAAAGGTAAGTGAGTATAAAAAGAAAAAGGGTGGAGACACATTATCCATGATATTGTGTATATTCCTTTTAACACTCGTCTTTTTTTTTTTTTTTTTTTTTTTCTGTAGACAAGCCAATGATCATTTCCGAAAAACGATATACCAACAATTGGAATCCACGCCAGTATCACCAACCACCTCGGCTTCTCTCTTACATTTGACAAGTTTGGCTTGTTTTCAAACAGTTCATCAGCTACCACTCAGCGTTTCTGGAAAATTTGTCCCGATCATTCTTAAACATATCTCCATTCTTGTGAACTCTACTGATCTTAACAGCGATATCAGTCATTCAACTGCTTTTGCCGGTCTTACTGTCGATGGGAAACAACTTTTACAACTATTAGAAACAGCTCAAACCATGATTCTATCAAGTCTAAGCACTACTAATCAATCACCAACACCGTTGATCGACCTAGATCTCATGCGACAAATACGTCAATTCGGTTTGGATTTGTCTCGACCTACTTCTGTATAGTACCCATATTTTAGATGTATTTTAGTTAATTAGCATTTGTATATTATGAATAAAGAATTAAAAAGAAAATGGATGTATTGTTGTTTACCGATTATTCACTATAGAGTAGATATCAGACTTTCTTCATTTTTATGAAGACGATGGATTCAACTTCATGCCGTTAGCGGCTAGTCCAGCACTTGCTTCTGAACTGTTTTGTTATTCATTGACCTTTATATAGAGTCCATCGTCGTTTATCTAGTGTGTATTACATATTGGTTTTGTCATGAAGAAAATCAAGTCTACTCTTTCAAGCGACCCTTTGTTAAAATAATCATCTGTCAAGACTTCACATAGACAAGAGAACAAATGATATCGATTTATCGGTTACAATTTGTAGAGAGAATATTATCAATTTTTTTATTGAATTTATTGAAAACGATAATAGGACATACAATCTATGGCATAATGGGATTGTGAAGTATAAACATGTATATGTACATAATCTTATAGCTATCAGAGGGTAAATGAACAAAAAAAAAAAAAAAAAAAAAAAAAAAAGAGTGGGGAACAAATCATGGTAAAGAGATCATTCATCCAATTTCTGCCTTTTCCTACTTGATTCGACTGTTTCTTGACCAGCAATAGTGTCGTCTTTTGTATTCGTAGTTGTTTCGGTATCAGTTCTTCTTGGTGATATTGACGAAGATGAAGATGATGACATAGGTTGAATAGTATCCATTCCCATGACATTTGTGGTTGGATTCTTCATTGTTGTTGTTATTGTTGAGGCTGATGATGATGGTATTGGCAATGTTGATGATGATGATGATGAAATAAAAGGAGGAGGTGTTGGTAATGGTAATCCTTTCATTGCACAGCACTCCCGACAGTACCAAGGATCGATATCCATTTCAAAAGCAGCAATAGGTGGTTGTTCACAAAGTTGATGCACGCCTTGATTGCAATGATCACAAAAGAAAATGGTATTGATATCATCGATTGATTCCGGAATGCCGCAATACTTGCATGGGTCCATATCCAATTCATCATGCTCTTGTTCGTATTCCATCATATATCCATTTGCTTCATCATTGTTAATAGTTTCATGTTTTGATTCTAGTCCATTCATCGATACTGTTGATTTCCCAGATTCAAGACACTGTTCAGATAATCGAGAGATCATGTCATTATTGCAATAAAAAAGATAGACAGGTCGATAGTCATTGGAAGTTGGTGATGGTTTGCACATGACACCTTGTGTATTTTGAACGCTTGAACCACGAATATCAGCTAATACTTGATGTGAAGATATCTAATAGTACAAGAAAAATCATCTGCCAAGTTAATAAATATATCACAGTTATCATTTTTATTTATTTATTTGATTTACCCTCATTTCTATGTCTTGATCACCAGCATGTAAAACGCGCCAAATAGATCCTGTCACATCGTCCATATAATCACGTAAATATAGATACCAAGCATTCTCCATCATTCCATTCATTTGAATGGCATCGTATTTGACCATAAGTGCACCCATCATCACAAAATCACTGGTAGGTTGAACGGAACGACTTTGTTCATATTCTTCTCGATCCTTTGCCAATTGTTCTAATCGTTTGTTCATTGCTGCCTTGATATTTGATGAAGTATCTGATGATAATTCTCCATGTTGTGAAATATATTGTAAAGTTCCATTCAAAACATCCTCTATAGGAATATATCGTCCCTATATCAATGTTGATTCATTTGATTAATTACAAAGATTAGATAATTCATCATCACTTTTTTTTTTCCACAAATATTTACCTCGTGTTTGTAGGCAAATCGTTCATCATGTAATGCAGCCATTGTTTTTCCATAACGTATTAGGTCAATTTTGGATCGCACCTATTTCAATTATGTTATCCTATATTAGTTTTCATTCTATAAGATAATCATTTCATTTATTACCGTTTCTGAAGCAATCTGGAGTCTCAAACCAACCGGCTCCACAGAAGCAATAGATCCGTTTGAATTGTTTTCTAGATTTGTATCAATAGTATCCCATTCATCCGGATGGTAAAGAGTTTGATCGCGCCATTGCCAGTCAGTTTGAGCCAGTGGTTTAGAGTTTTCAGGCATTGTCATATAAAGGAAAGACTGTTGAGCACAAAAAGATAAAAAACCATCTAAATCACCGCCGTCACCATAGTTTTGAAGACCAAGGATTACCACAGAAAGTAAATTGAAGTGAGGTGAATGAATCAATGATTGAGGAATGATATTCAGCTGTACAAGTATACGAGCTAAAAGTACCTGAGGAATACTTTTTACCATTAGCCCATCCATTAGAAATAAATAATTACTCTATGGGCGGTATATAACAAGTTTAATCAATTGGGAAAGAAAAGAAAAATTAACAATGAAAGAAAAAGCAACCAAATTTTGATATGAGTGTGTGGAGTTTCAATTGGTGGTTTTTTTTTTTTTTTTTTGACATTGATAAATAAGTTTATGATAGTTTTTGGATATAGGTTTTTTTTTTTTTTTTTTGTCATTTGAAATATTTTATCTCTCTTCTTTTGATAGATCATTAGCCGATAAAATTACTTTCTTTCAGTTTTTGGCTAAAAAAAAAAATGGAGTAATTTATCTTATTTTTTCATCCTGCATTCAAACGGAAAAAAGCAGACTTCGACTTTTCATTTTTCAATCCATCATCGTACCAAATTTAGATCGAACATACAGTAGATGAAATTATTCTCTTTCGCTTGGATTAATAACAATTTATGTCTTACCTCCCAATTTATAAAATAATTTAAAAAGATAGAAAAATAATGTTTGGCAATTTTGACGTTGTTGTAAGCCATATATGGAAAATACAAAAGAGCAGAATGATTCGTGTGACAAAAACTAAACACTGACTACACTTCATTCCCACATTATGAATCCATCAGTATTAAGCATCATCATGATGCATAAATACAAGATCAAAGACAATAGTTTATTCATATAATATAAATATCTATCGGTACGTGAATACATCCTGAATTAAAAAAAAAAAAATCTATTTCATTTCTGATGAGGGGAAAAATTGCGTAAAATCATGGAATCCGAGAGAATGACATAATGCCAACCAGCAACTTGAGCTCTTGATCCAGGAGAGGAAGGTGCAATTAAAAACACACGGTCAAAAGATACTTCTCCACTTGCTATAATAAATAAATAAATAAATCAACCACTGTTATTATTACCAAAAAAAAAAAAAAAGTTCCAAGATTCATTTACCTTCCCGGAATGAACCATGGACAGTAAGATATAATAAAACCGGATGAGTAGATGAACCAGAAGTTTGCCATGCATCAGTAACAAAATTTTCAGCATGAGATAAATCGTGAATCGTAGGAGGGAACATGGAAAATCGTTTCGAAATGTTTTCGTTCCCCATCGTCATTCGTTGTCCTGTTGTTACAGAAAAAAAAAAGAACCATTAAGATGACACTTTCAAAATGATTCTTGATATTTTTTTTTTCTTTTGTCTTACCTTGACCCCATGTATTTCTTGCATAACATGCTGTACTAACGTTAATGGAAAAAGTGGATTGACTATCGTATAAATCGGCCAGAGCAGAACGATTTGAATCAAATAATGGGAAGAATCTAAATCATCAAGTCCAAAAAAAAAAGGTCAATTTTTCATCATTTTAATATAGTTTGTTTTTTTTACTTTGATAGTAGATCTTGAGATGCCTGTCTTGAACTATCTTGATCGAAAAAGTTTTCTTTGATTGGTAATGGTAACGATGAATTGTTTCCAGCAGGAGAAGGTGATCCAAGAAGAGCACCAGTGCCAGTTGATAAAGGTTGGAAATCTAATTGAGATATGGATGGGAACCGACGAGCGATTTCACTATTGGAAAGATGATTACAATATCAACGATTAAAAAAAAAAAAGAAAAAAGGAAAAAAGAAATAATAACATCGTATTACATACCTAGTATATATTTCTGGACTTGTTTCCAATTGAATAGGATTGCCAAGTAACACCAATTCGTTAAGTCGTGGTAATTTGTTATTTGATATTTGATCCAAACGTCGAAATTCGCGAATGTCATTTTCTTGTAATGAAAGATTTTGAAGACCAGGGAAAAGTTCGGTCAATTTGTTGATAGGTTGAACTGAAAAGAGTTTATTTCTTGCAAATGACATTGTGACAACCTAAAAAAAAAAAAAGAGAGAGATTAATAAACCATATTATTTAAATAATAGTAGAAAAAATTACAGCATTTCCATAGATTCTTTGAGCTTCATTCAATAACCTTCCAATGACAACCGAGATAGAATGTGATGTTGGTGGTAAGTCATCCAAATTTAAAAAGCCATTTTGAGGGTCCCATCTTTCCTGTAAAAATTCAGCGAGTGCATTGGATCTATTGCCTCGTTGTTGTTGATTGTTCCTTGGTTGACGAGATGAAGTTATTGAAATTGCATTGGTAGATCCATCAGCCATAGCAATAGATAACTATAAATAAAAATTGAATTAGTAACAAATTTATCTGATGGTCATATATTTTCTTACTGTTGAGCCATGGAAAGTAAAACCATTTTTTCGAAGTAATGCATCTGCAGACGTAGGACTATCAACTGTAATATAAGTAACTCCATTTTGATGTTGCACCTATTCAATCAACTATATATTAGTTCCATTTCACACTATTATTTATATTCCTTTCACTTACATTCAATTCTTCCCATTCTACTTTGGATTTTCGATGTAAAAAGTTGAGAAGGTCTCGTTCAGAGCCTTGAGGATATCCAGATACCTAAATATATAATATATAAGATTTTTTTTTATTAGTGCATAAATCTCATTCTTTTTTTTTTTTTGATAGATTTACCATAATCACAGGAGCGCCATCAGGTCTAATATATATGTATATATATATATATATATTTATAAATAAGTATCTGTAAACTATGTTTACCTTTTCTTTTAAACTTACATATCTTGCATATTGATGTCTTCATCTACAAAGTCTCGTGTGAATTGAGTTTTACCACCACGATAATTACCACCACCTCGACCACGACCTCTGGAAGAAAAGGTTTGATTGCGTCCTCCTCTTGGTGAATATGATTGATTGTCCATGTTGTTTTGATAATCGCTACCTGAAGAAGACTGATAATTGCTATAATCACCACCTCGACTTCCACCACCTCGATTTCCACCACGTCCACTACCACCACGATAACCATCGTCATTGTATCCACCTCGTCCTCGACTTTGTTGCTGGGAATTGTTGTAAGAATACTGATCATTGAATGCAAAGTTACCACCACCAGGCATAGGACCTAATCTTGAAGCAATATTACTACTGCTACCACCATCATTGTATTGGTTTTGTCGATCATTGTTGTAGTCGCCTCGTCCTCTTCCTCGATTTCCACGTCCTCGTCCACCACCGCCACCTCTAGTCCAAGTATCCATAATGTTGGTTTTATGTATATATATTATACCAGTTGTCACTAATGAATTTTGTTGTAGATATAGAATAAACACCAGATAAGTATGACTAGAAAGATCAAAAACAAGACAAAATATGAACTTTACGTTTCCTTGTGTCGATGCGTACAAGTTAAAAAAAAAAAAAAAGAAAAAAAGAAAAAAAGTGAAAAAAAAGAGAAGTCTTCTATACCTTACTCCAGTGCGCTGTTTTAAAAACGATGCGCGAGAAGAAGAACTTGCGCGACAGTCACTTTAACCCGAAACGAAATGTCTTTCCATGCACAGCCTTTCAAAATAATCAGATTTGCATTTGACAGAAAAGCAAAATAAAATTCTTTTTTTTTTTTTTTGGTACAATGATCAATATTACATATGTAATTTTTTTATTTTTGTTACCGATGTTCCAATGATTTTTTGAATCTCCAAGTTGGAAAATTTGAATGATTAAAATGATATTCCTTATAAAAAACGTTCAAAACGAGGATGATATTTATATGGATAATAACGGATATTGAAAAAAAAAATGGATCGACAGACAACGTTAAAAAAATTTCATTCTTGATCTAAATACTATATACAGGAATCAATAAGAAGATATAATGTCTATTTGTTAATATAATACCGATAATAATAATAATAATAGTAACAATAATATAAAATTCAAAAAAGGAGAAAGAACACAACTATGATCATCCCCAAAGGAGAGAGAAAGGGAGGAAGATCAGTGAGGCAAAATTCATCTACCGCTTAGACTAGTTTTCGATTTCAAACATGATCATTGGTCAACCAAGAATAGATAAATTCTGCAACCTGAACTAAAAAAAAAAAAAAAAAAAAAAAAAAAAGATTTCCTTTTTCTTCTTTCTTTTCAAGTCTCATCATGATAAAAGCCATTACAACAAGACAACTATTACTTTTGGTCTTATTAATACCTGCTAGTTTATCATTGTTGTACCTTTTGACATCAGTTCAACGACCTTCAAGTCGAGCTTCCACAACGAAAGCTATGGCTCAACAACAAGGTTTCATCTCCAACACAGCATCCAGTTTGACAGCCTCACATTCTGAATGGGAACAATGCTTAGATCCCGGTCAAGAACCTTCAGTTTACCTCTCCATTGTCATTGTCACTCGAATGGATGACTATGCTGGGTAAGTGGGAAAAAAAAAGTGGTTTTAAAGGTAGTATTGATTGATTATATGAACTTCTTTTTATAAGTGATCAACATCATCGACTTCAAAACTTTATAGATAGCGCTTTTGTTTTGGCTGAAAGGACAAAGGAAAATATGGAATTACTTATTATTGAATGGAATCCTCCCAAAGATCGACGACAAGTGATTGATGCTTTTGTACGTCTCCTCTTTTTATTATTCATTGATTATCATTAACAACTTTATTATTATTGTTAGAGATACCGTCGATCTGATTATTTGACTTATCGGATCATCACTATTCCCAAAGATATTCATGATATATTGCCTAATCGTGGTAATGCCCCTTTGCATGAATTTGAAGGGAAGAATGTGGGTATCCGGTTTGCTCGTGGTGAATACGTCGTTTGTACGAATCAAGGTAAAATAATAATAATAATAATAATATTATATGTTTATTGATTTTTTTGATTTTTTTTTTTTTAGATGATATTTGGTCTCACAATTTCCACAATGCTATTCAATCTCATGCATTCAAGAAAGGTATCATTTATTTGCAACATCAAGATCCTCATAATATGTAAGTAACTGAAAAAAAAAAGAACAAAAATAGAAAAATGATTATTTGATCTCTGTAACTTTTCATAGTCATGACCCTTTACCTCCTTCCATCGTACGATTACCACCTTTTGCAAATGATAATACTTTGTACAACTCATGTCAACTTGGTGAACAAGAATGGGGCAAGTTTGTCCTACCAGAGCCAATAAAAGTCAACATGGATAACATTTTGAAAATTGGTGATCAAGCAGGTGATTTTACTTTGGCGCATCGCGATACATGGAAGATTCCAAAAGGTTATCGTGAAGAAGGTGGTGTTGCCTGGTAATAGAATACAGAAAAGAAAAAAAAAAGAAATCAAATGACTGATCAATTGTTGATTTTATTATAGGATGGATATCGAATTTATTTGTACAGCCACTTGGACCTTTGACTTACCTGTCGTTTATAGCAAAAAAGGTTTCACTTGTCATCAAGACCATCAAAATATTTGGGAATTCAACAAGGAACAACATACCGACAACAAGGATATTCATATGGAGGATATTCGAGACAAGAAGAAAATATATATCAACAAAGATGGCCAATGGGCTTTACAACAATTAGATATTTGGAACTTAGGTTTAGGTTGCGTAGAATTTAGTGGGGGTCTCTCTCAATAAAGTTTCTTTTTTTTATGTATAGAATAAATATTTGTTGAAGCCTTTTTGTTTGTTTGTTGTAGTGGGTTTTCAATACAAAAAAAAAAAAAAAAAGTACTAAATGAAACAGAAAAATGATCAAGAGCTTATATACATACTGCTTTCAACCTTGATGTACCACTTTATCTGGAGAAATTATTTATACATACGTATAAAAAGGAAGAATTGGAATAACATGATGACGCCTATATGAAAAATCGTGTATCTTTTTTTTTTTTTTTTCAAATATTGGAATATGTGGTTCTTTATTTTTTGGGGAGGGTAAATTAGGAAGACAATGAGGGGAATAAAAACAAAGCACGATAAATAAATGGAAAATAAACTAATGAAATGAATGTAATAAAGAAAATATGGAATAAAATCATAAGAAGTATTCGATTTGAGTTTCCTAAATAAAAGATGAAGAAATAAATATGACTTTATAAACCATCCGTTTCGTTTTATTTTTTTTTTCTTACTTTTAGTATTCCAGCAGGTGAATCATGTTCATTTTCAGGAGCAGCATCAAAGACATTAAAGAAACGTTCACCATTGACACCAACTTCAAGAATAGATGCCAAATTACCACATCGATAACAGTAGTTGGGTGCTGACCATACTGTTGAAAGCTTGTCATCAAATAATACCTAAATAAATTAGTATAACAAAATGAAAATTAATTATAAATATACTTATAATATCTATATCGATGTATCCCCTTAATGTCTCTCTCTCTTTTCTTTTCTTTTTTTTTTTCAATTGACACTTACTTGATATCCGGCATTACACAGTTGATGTGCTCGTAGAATATGTGACATGTTGTTCATTTGTAGAAATCGATCTACCACTAGTCCACCAAATGTATACCCCGCTCCTCTAGAAAAAAAAAAAAAAAAAAAGAAAAAGAAATTTGTTTCAATAAACCCTTAATACAACTCTTCTTTTTACCTTGCAGATATTGAGAATTCATCCTTATCAGGATCAGGATCCGACCAAACTAAATCAGCCATGGCGCCTTCATGTGGGATCTCTATATATATATTATATACAAACATAAAAATAAAATTCTTAATCAGTTTGTTCCTTTTTTTTTTTTTTTAAATACATAAATTCAAACTGACCCCTAAATCTATCAATGATTTTCACTTGATCCAAGATATGTATTGTCGGCGATAAACCTATGAAAGTACAAGATCATCTTGGTTAACCAATCAAATTGTTCCATCATGCCCTTCATTTCCAATAAACTAATTGTAGAACTTTACCTCCGTGAACACAAAAAATACTATTATCAATAACAACTGATAATGTCAAAAAGTCAAACATATCCGTAAAGTATTGCCATACAAGTTGCGATCCATATTTCCTCGTACATTCAGTATAAAAACCATATGTCTAAATAAAACAATAAATAAGCAAACAATAATGATAATAATAATGATAATAATAATAAAAAAACGATTTAGTCAATGGTTGATTGGGTCATTTTGTCAGAATTACCTGTGTCACTGCTCTTGATTCATGATTACCACGTACAAGTTGAACGCGGTCAGGATACCTTAGCTTCAAGCAAGTCAGTAATGAAATAGTTTCTACACTATATAAACCACGATCAACATAGTCGCCAAGGAATAAGTAATTTGTATCTGGACAGTTACCACCAATTCGAAATATTTCAATAAGATCGTAATATTGTCTAAGAGAAAAAAAAAAAAGATAATTAAATAAACCTCATTGAAAAGAATATACTTTGGACTCTTTACCCATGAATATCACCAACTACAGTAACAGGAGCTTGAATATGTACAACGTTACTTTCACGTATCAAAAGTTCTTTTGTCTTTTCACAGATTTCCTTCAGGACACATTCGGCTAAGAGTCTCTTTTTATACAAGTGTTCCAGACAAGCATCTAAATCCAGTGGCATTTTTTTTTTCTACAGTTTTCTATAGAATATTGAAGTCGAGTAAAACGAGTGATGATGGAGGTATAAATTAAAAAGAAAAATAGGGAGAAAGAAAAGTTACTATCGACAGAAAAAAAAAAAAGCCAAAAAATACCAAGAAAAACGTAGTACTATTGATTCAAATTCCGAGTCGCGCCTATCGTTTGCAGGTTTGTCATAGTTTTTATATCTGTGGGGTATTTTTTTTTTTTTTCCTTCGTTTCTTTTTTTCTTTTTCTCTTTTGATTGACAGTTACAATAACCATGGCAGAAGATAATAATCAGTCCTCAGATACACAAGAAAGACAAAAACAAGATATCAAAAGACTTTTATCTGGTCAAACAAGCAACAATCATCAAGATAAGGAGATACCAACAGCCACTTCTTCTCCTGCTGTTACTCCACTTCGTGAAGATAAGTTGAAACTGGCTGTTTCCTTTTTATCCTCTCCTAATGTGCGTTCGGCAGAAAAATCAAAGAAGATAGCTTTTTTGAAACAAAAGGGTCTCACCATGCCTGAAATAGATGAAGCTTTCAAACGAGCAGATATGACACCTCAACAACCACAACCACAAGAACAACAACAATCTACTCAGGTAATATTCATTTATTAATTGTTTTCTTCTGTCTTTTCCATTAATAATGATATTATATATATATATATATATATATATATTTGTTAGACTTCTGTCCCTTCACCAATTCCTGTATCCAGAACCCAAGCATCTTCCTTGCCACCTGTTGTACCTACAAGACCACCTATGCCTCGACCTACTCACATTGTCTATTATTCAACACCAGAACCAGAAAGACTGACGGGAAAACGTATGACTGCACTTGCTTTGATTTTTGGTGTTGGGGCTGTAGGACTCACTGCTGGTCTAGTGAGCGTTGTCAAGGTAAATAGAGAACATTGCATGATAGGATTTTTCTTTTTTTTTTTTTTTTTTTTGTACTCATTCCTGTTTTTGATGATAAATAGGCTTTCATCTCACCCATTTTCAACTCGATTATTGAATACCAACGAAATCGATACAATGACCGGTATGAGAAGCTTGGACGTTTGAATGATACATTACGACAACAACTGGGCGAATTACCAATACCAACGATACTCGATGACAAGGATAATGTAGAAATACAAAAATCTGGATACTGGACTCCATTGATCAATGAACAAAAAACACTGATGGATAGTTTGGAACGATTAGTGACATTGTCTCAACAACGAACAAATGACAAAGACACTTATAGTAGCTTTAAGACCACCTTGCTAGATCTCAAAACAATACTTCAACGACCCGAATATAGCTTTTCATCTTATACACCCTTCTCCATGTATGGTTCTGCCTACGCCAACCGAAGCAATACTGGATTTGATGATGCGGCCGTTCAAAGTGTCAAGAGTGAAATACGTAGTTTCAAAGGTATGTTATTAAGTCGACGCAATTTCCCCACTGCACAAATCAGACCTTCTTCTACAACAACAGTGGCAACATCAACACCATCATCCGCAACACCTATCGTTGATGACGGTATGACTCCTACTGAAAATACAACATCTACATCATCCACTGCTTCTCATCAATCGTATCACCCTCGGCAACGTCAATCCTATCGATCCGAATTACGTGCTCAAACGCTTGCAGCGACTACCACTACTGAAAAAACCGATACACCACCCAACACTGACAAACAAGGTATTAAAGGAAACACAACAGCCATCGAAGATATCACCGACAAGAATGACGCCCAATAGAGTTTAGATATAGTTAGATTTGGAACCTTAGTTAGTTGATGTATTTATAATAATATTATGGTATACAGTTTATTTATTATGTGATTTTTGTATCAAATCAATAATAATAATAAAAAAAAAGAATGTTGAAAATTGATATAGAATAATATTAATAAAAAAAGGTAGTCTATATATACAATCATAGTGATAGGGAGGGAAAGACAAAATAAAATAAGAGCCAAAAAGGGGAAAAAAAAGAGATTCTAACTAAAAATACAGTAGGAGTACTACTACCAGGTTTGGTTCTAATGAATGACACAGTTTTTACTATCCTTGTTATTTTTTTGTTCCAATGATAATAATGTTGCAAGTTGTATTTGTTCTTGTTCAGTCAAAGTCTAAATTAAAAAAAAAAAATGTCATCAACATCCATTGATATAGTTCCCATAATAAAAAAAAAGATTTCTTACCGTTCGATTGGCTTTTGTTTGAAGTTGTTGTATCTTTTGTTTGTTGAGAGAAGATTGTTGATTTTGTCTGGAAGAAACAATGATGGGGTTAAGTCAAAACATCCATATTGATTATTTTTTTTTTTATTTTTTGTATGAACTTACTTATGATCATTGTTGGTTTGTTTTGTTCCAGCACGTTTCATGGCTGCCAAAGCAGATAGTTTTTGATGAGCAGGACGAGCTTGTGAGGAGGAGACTTGTTTTTTACCCGGACATTGATGATCTTGTTCTAATCGATGTTTGACACAATAAGCTTGACCGCAGGCACCGCAGTTCATGGGTACCAATAATCTAGCTTTACATCCCTTAAGACGACAGAGATTGGAAGGAGTTTCGTCATCAGCACAGTTTCTTTGAATATGACGATTCACTCGTATATTGGGATCTTCATTCCTGGATCCTGGAATAGGTTTGTTGCAAATAGGACAAGTAGGTACACTGATTTTAATCATAATAAAAAAAAAAAAGATGGGTTTATATCGAATCTTTGATAATAATCAATTTCATATCGTTCATTTTAATCTATTATTATCTTACCGAATGTCTAGGCTTGGATCTTGTCGACTAGGGCACTTATGATCGTCTAGCTTAAAGTGTTCCTGGCTATATTGTAAATTCATAACAAGAACTTTAGTTTATCATTTCCATAGAGATAAATAGATTTGTTATATTCTTACCAGTATATTTTTTTGCAGTGATAACAAGTATATGGTAAAAAGTCTATATATAAAAAGAAAACAGTGAATCAAAGGTTGGAAATATTTGGAATTATTGTTTGGTTACGTACCTAATTGGGAACAATCATCAAAAGTACAGTGTTTTCCAAGATCAGGGAATTCCATGATATCAATGAAAAAAAAAAAAAAAGAATTGAACTAAAAAAAAAAAAAAGAATATATAAGAAAGAATATATGTGTATGAATAAATAGAATAGAAGAGAAAGAAAGAATGGAAAGAAGAGTCCAGAAAATAGAATTTCCTCCTTTTTTGCTCTTTATACTTTTCGATTTCCGCTGAGAGGCCTTATTTTACTTTGCCTCATAATATATATATATATCTTGGCGAAGGATTATTTATTACGTATCTATTACGTAGTTGATAGAAATATTTCTTTCCATATATCAGGATGACATTCCTAATATCTTTGTTAGTAAGCCCTCTTTCTTTATTAGCCTATGGAAAAAAAAACGGGGTCTGAAAAAGAGACAATTCATCAAAAAAAAAAAAAAAAAAATGGGAGTGCAAAAGTCTGTTTTTTTTTTTTCTTTTTTGTCTTTCTTTCTTGTTCCAAAAAACTTGTTTTGTCATCCCTTTCTCCTTCCATCTTTACATAATGTCAGCCATATCCGATGATGCTATTCGTAATGTAAGTTCACGTAACTCTTTATCTTAGTATATTAGTTACTTAGTTTGATGACCATTCCAACTTTTATAGATCTTTGTAGAACTTCAAGCCAAGTACATCTCTAGTCAACAACAAGTTAACACAGTTAAAGCTCAAATCCAAAACAAACAACGTGAACGTAAAATGGCAGAATTGACTCGACAAGAACTTGATACCCTTGATTCAAACACTCATACGTATAAACCTGTTGGAAAGATGCAAGTGACGAAAAAGAACGACTAGTTTCCTTTTTTTTTTCACTGTGGACTGATCTTTTTTTTTCTTTTCTTTTCTTTTTTTTTTTATTCTGTTCTTTAGGTTTATTCAATCACCATTGTCTGAAATGAAAAAGGAATATGTGAAAGGTATTGAAAAGGCTGATGAACAAATCCAACAATTAGAGAAATCACAAAAATATTGGGAACGATCTGCAGCAGAAGCACAAGGCAACCTGAAGGATTTATTGAACGGACCTCGATCCATGTAGTTTAGTTTACTATAGTTATTTTTTTTAATAGTTTTAGTTTAGTGAATAGAATCTATTTCAATTTATCAAATAAAAGAAATAAAAAAAGATAACGGTATGTATATATATATAGATGGATGGTTTTGTATAAAAAAAAAAAAAAAAAAACTTTTATTATTGAATATGATAATCTACAGCATGAGTTCTTCCAATTTGTTTTTTACCGATGATGCCGTTCCACTGATAAAACTTTGATTATTTAAACTGTTGACACTTTCTTGACTATAACTAGTTCCACTATTAGCAGAGTACCCACTACTATTAAGACTAATGCTGGATGAATGGCTAACAAAAGAAGTACCTATACCGGAAGAGGAACTAATTGATGATGATGATGTTGCTGTTTTCTCCATTTCCTTGACAGTTTTCGCCCCGGCTTTCCGTAGATAATCCACAATACGACGTAATCCACCTGATTTGGCGAGATCCAAAGGAGTTTGCACCTTTTTGAGCACATAGGGATTGAGATAAGCTGCAAGTTCGCCCACTAATGTTGCCACAGCTTTGGCTTGTCGATTTCGAATAGCATAATGAAGAGGAGTTTCACCTTTGTAATCCACGACATCGGGTGATTGGCCATATTCACGTACCAAGAACATCAATATCCTTGTCTTTCCAAACATAGATGCATAATGAACAGCCGTCGCACCTAAAGAAATACAAAAATAAAATAAAATTAAAAATCGAATAAGTATATGAATATAAAATGATGGATGAAATATTTCTATATAAGATTTACCAAAAACATCTGCTTGATCCAATAATTGACGAGATAAACGTAAGAGATAAGCAACAATTTCAAAAGCATCTGCTTGAATTGCTGCCAAAAGTGCATTTTCTTGACGAGGACCTTTACTTGCCAACACATTAACATGAGCACGTTCAATCAACAATCGTATTCCATTCATATAACCAAGTTGAGCCGCAAGTACCAAAGGGGAAATCTTGTCCTTTTCATCTGTCACCAGAGGTAAAGCATGAGGATTGACACCGGCTTCAATGATCCGTTGTAGGGCTGACGTGTTCCGGACGATAATCAATGCGTGAATCAATCCATATCCTTCCTTGACTGACTTGATTGTTCCTGAATTGTTGGCCACATTGGCTTTTCCTCCTCTTTTCAAATATCTTCTATAAAAAAAAAAAAAAAAAAAAAAAAAAGAGAATAATGAGAAATATAATATATATATATATATATATATATGTATGTATATGTATATAACACTTACTTGACAAGTAAATCCACTTCTTCTTTTTTGGATTTACCTGTAGCAATCGTACTCCAGAATCCATCTCCACATGCGAACTTAAGTTCTTCCGTCGTTACATGATTAATGGCTGTAGAATCTGATGCATCAATAGATGTGGGTATAGATCGATAGTATTGTTCCGCTGACTTTGGAGCTATATCGTTTTCTCTGTCGTCTACTTTTGACGGTTCTGATGTTGGATATTGTGACGAATAGGACGGCGATGGCGATGATGGTGATAGCTCTGTATGTGGTGAGGCTGTAGGTGATGGTGATAGTCGTGAAGAATAAGATGGCGGTAATGATGATGGTGATTCTGATGATGCTGATGATGCTGATGATGGTGATACTATTGGTGATTCTGTTGATGGTGATGATGACTTTGAGCGGATGGTATCTTGTGTTTCCTCAGGTATAGAAGGTGTTATCGTAGGTAGCGGTGGTAAAGGAGTGTCACTTGCTGGAGGTGGTTTTGCTGCAGGAATGGTATTAGAATAGGAGAACTCGAGTATGGACAACATATCAAACTTGTCATCTTCTTGTCCTGTATTCGCTATTTCCTTGTTGCTCATATTGTTGCTGGTGAATAATGGAAGAGGCGGTAAAGATGATGAATAGGATGACGGTTGAGAAGGAATATAATGTCCATCATCTGTAGGAGCGTTGTAAAAACTTACTTTGCTGGAACAAGAGTAATCACTTGTCGTTGAAGAATTGGTACCAGCTGTCGATCGTCCACTACTATCCGTACTAAGATAAGATGATCGATCATGTTGACGATGATGTTGTTGCGAGAAAGGTGCTTGTACTGGTGATACGATTGGTGATGAAGGTGATGATGATGATATAAGATTATAATTGATTGGTTGTTGTTGTTGTTCTTGTTGTTGTTGAATATGACAATGACAATGATGATGATGATGATGAGAACCAGTTGCTTCATACTTGGATTTATAATAATGGAGGCTTCGAAGAGCTTTGTTGTACATGGCAAGTCTAACTTGAGCTTCCTGTTGCAAGGAGATATTTGATTGATCTAGTTGATTGATTGTACTAATCATATCATCATGTCGTTGTGTCCAAATAGTAGTGATGGTATCCATAGCTTCATGAATTCGTTTTTGTATTTGATCATCTTTCACCATGCTTGCAGCTGCATAGAATTCTTTGATAGCTGTGGTATCGGATATAAGGGTAATAGAAGGATTCTTGACGCGAGGTAACGTAGAAGATAAAGGATCCATCTTTTAATAGAATACAACAAAAAAAAAAGAAGGATATATTAATAGTAATTATCAAAATCGTAAGGAAAATAGACAAAAAGGAAAAAGAGGAAAAAGAAAAGAATGAAAATGAGAACAATGAACTATATATTTATATTTAATACCCGCTACGCGCATAAAACTTTTTCTTTTTTCATATTGCAGGAAAAGGATTGCCCAAAGGTTACCATATTTGATTTTTTCATCAGGTGAATTCAAGAAACTCATAGGAGACAAAGGAAAAGCTGCATAATGACATTTGGTAAAAAAAAAAAAAAAAAAAAAGAATAAGTTCAAACCTGATGACCTCTGTACCTCAACAAAAAGCAAACTAAGTAAATAAATAAATAAATAAAAAAACAATAACCAGGATAAAAAATTGCTTTTTCATTGTTCTTTCACTTCTCACTATAGTTGCCAAATATTCTCCTTTTTACGCGCGCATATCCTTTATGCAAATCACGTTCTTTATACACGCTATATACATTATCATCATCAAATTATCATCCATTATACTATTTATTTCTTTTTCCAGGATAAAATAATAATAAAATAATAAAAAGGTATATCTAAACTAATAACAATCCATAATCTACGTTTCTGTCATTTCCATTCCTTGATATCCTTTATGTTTCCTTCGTACTCTGTCCGTTATATCTATTTGACCACAAAATAAGACCATTTATCAGTGTATTTTCTTATTTTTTTTTTCTTTTATAGGATGATTTACCTATCCAGAAAGAGATTAGAGTTGCTCTGTATTTGATATTTACAAGGTATATGGGGATAGCCAAGAGAAGAAATCCAAGAGCTGACAGACTTTCATAAGGAGCTTCCAGAAATGGTGTAGTAAATAAAAATAGAGCAATCATACAAAACAGGATAGGCGTTGGTAACCAAACTTTGAAAGGTCGTTTGAGTTCAGGTTCTCTATATCTGAATACCAATAAGGAGAACACACCTAAAAAGTGGAACCTACGAAAAAAAAAAGTTAATTTATATATACATTAACGTTTTTTTTTTTTTTTTTTTTCAACTTACAACCAGGCGCATACAGAATAAAACTTGATCAAAGCTCGGAAACTTCCCACCCAGATGAAAATTGTCGTCAATGCAAGTTGAAGAGCAACAGCTGTCACTGGTGTTTGTCGATTTCCATTCAATTTGCCAAGAAATGCTGGTAAATGTCCTTGTTTCGCTGATACATAGATAATACGAGATCCAGTGAAGATACTTGCATTGGCTGACTATAATGATTTGCAAGAAAAAAAAAAAAGTAAGAATATGTTCAATAATGATACCTTTCAATATCCTATTTTTATTATTGACTTACACCAAAGCAACTTAATGCAACACTAGCTGCAAAAAGTATACCACCAATTTGTCCAAATACTTTTTTACCAAAATCCATTGCCACAGTGTTTGTATGCATCACCACTTCTGGTCGAAGGACACCAAGATACGCCACATTAGCTAGTAGATAACAAATAATCACCAGGGGAATACCAAAGAAAAGCACACGAGGTAAATCACGATGAGGATCTTTCATTTCTCCTGATATATAGTTAAGACTATTCCATCCATCATAAGCCCATAATCCTTGAAGAAAAAAAGAAGTAAAATAAGTCTTTTTTTTCTTTGTATCATATTTTTCCTATATTTATTTTACCAGAGTAAAATGCCATTGTATATTGTCCAAAACCAATCGAATCAATACCAGCAAAGAGAGGTTCCGTTTGAAAACTATTACCTTGCATAGTCCCTTGGGCTAATAGTACCACACCCGTTACTGATATTATCACAGCCGTCAAGACTTTCAGTACAGTCAATATATCTTGAACGTGAATACCTGCTCGTGTGGAAAGAGTATTAATAAGACCAAGTAGGATAAGGGACACTGTTGCCACCAATTTGGGTAAAAAGTCAGGGATCACGGAGTCTGCCAATTCCACAGCTGCATCAGAATCATGAGGGATATTAAAAAAGTAAGTATGATAGGCAATTCTTGATATATATTCTCCAAGTACAGTGCATACAATCGCGACACTACCAGGCTAAAAAGAAGAAGAAAAAAAATTAGTATTAAATTTTACATCCTAATTAATTTCATTCATATTTCGCTTGTTTACCTTTTGTACCATAATAGTCACGAATTCAAATACAAATGCCACCATACTACCATATGCTCGTCCCAAGTAAAGAATTTCCCCTCCATTTTCTGTAAAGAGAGTACCCAATTCAGCATAACATAATGCACCAGAAAGAGCCAATAAACCAGCAGCCAACCAAACTAATAAAGCTGTTCCTGTGGCACCTGTAGCTTCCAATACAGGACCTAAATGAATAATAAAAGAAAAAAAAATCAATATATATATATGTATATAGAAGGTCTTTTACCTGGAGAACTAAATAAACCACTTCCTATCATGGATCCAATAACAAGACCAAGACCATTGATAAGAGATACTTTTCTTTGTAATTCTGGAGCACGAGATTGAGTTTGAGTTAATGGTATCATGGGTATGGTTTCAAACGAGAATATAGAAGCAGTTGATCGATTAGAATGACGTGCTGAAGGTAAAAGCGTTTGTTCATCATGATCTGATAATAAAGATAATGCATCGTCATCGTCGTCGTTGTCGTCTTGATCAAGATTATGGGAAGTACGCTTGTGTTGATGTTGGGATAGATGGTGATCCAAACTTGTTCTACTGAAAATAGAATCATCATCGTCTAGTTCGAACGCCGATTCCAATTCATTCTTATCATAGTGATAGCTATATGGGGTCATGACTAAGTAAGGTACATATATATATAAATGTAAATATAGTTTTTCTAAATATTAATTATAAAAAGAAATAGAAGTATATATATATATATATATATAAAAAGAATCAAAAAAAAAAAATCAACTAGTCATATATTCAGAAAAGACAGGAAAAGAAGAAGAAAAAAAAAAAAAAAAAACCAGAATGAAAAAAATGGCCAATGAAATTTCGAGGAAATTGATGGACGGAGTTACAATGGATTAGCCATATGCCTTTTGCTATATTCACCTTTTTGGAATTTTTTTTTTTCCTTCCTCCTCTTCAAAGCATCCTTTGACAAGGTAATTTCAATATTAAATATATTTAAATCTCTTTACGTATCAACGATTACCGATGACAATATACGAAATGAATGAATGGATCAATGGATGGATGAATGGATCAATAGATAAATAGATGGATGGATGGATGGATGGATGAATAAATGGATGGAATACATCATGAACTAAGATCAAAAGTAACGCCAATCAACAATCTTGTTATGTTTCCTTTTATATTTGTCATTCATCTTTTTTTTTTCTATTTGTCATCATTGTTTATATCGGTAGTCGTTGACGAGTCCCTTAAAATGTTGTATTCAATATATTTATTAACGCTAATAAATTTTTTTTTTCTATTTCATATTAGTTCAATATGGTTACTCCTGCCGTGAAGCACACCATCGTGAAGAAGCGTACTGCTACCTTCAAGCGTCATCAATCCAACCGTTTCATGCGTGTCGGTGTAAGTTGAAGAAGATATATTTGAATAGTGTAGATCAAAACAGCAAAAGAAAAAAAAAAGGAAATATATTGATTTTGTTTTTTTTTAATTCAATAATAGGAATCCTGGAGAAAACCCAAGGGTATTGATAGTTGTGTTCGTCGTCGATTCAAGGGTCAAGCTCCTATGCCCAAGATTGGTTACGGTTCCGCCAAGAAGACTCGCCACATGATGCCCAATGGTTTCCGCAAGTTCGCTGTTTCCAATGTTCGTGAACTTGAATTGCTGTTGATGCACAACCGTTCTTATGCTGCCGAAATCGCCCATAACGTGTCTTCCAAGAACCGTATCACCATCCTCGAACGTGCTGCTCAACTCAACGTCAAGGTGATCAATGCCGGTGCTCGTCTTCGATCTCAAGAATAAACATTTTTTATCTCATCTCTCATCAGTAGTAGTGATAGCAGTTTATAGTAGTTAAGTGCTCTCTTTATTATTATTAGTATTATTGATGTAGTTATGAAATAATTATTTATAGATAAAAGATGTATTGTACAAACTATGGCTGATATGTGAAAAAAAAATATTTGTATCATTTGATGGATGAATCAATGATTATTGACTGATGAAAGAAAAATACATAATAATCATCGGTTATGATGATTTGATAATAGATGATGATCATTAGGTATCAAAGAAAGAAATGTTAAGAAACCAATTTGATACAAGTTCTTTTTTTTTCCCACAGGACGTTATTATTATTATTATTATTATTATTATTCTGCGCCCAAGTTTAAAGATGAGTAGACTTTTTTTTTTATGATAATAGTTTCTTTTAATAGGACTTTTTTCTCATCGCATGTATCAAAAGTTTAGTACAGATCATGTGATTAAATGACGGATAGATACCGAGATATTATGATTAAGCTCGAAGCACTCCTTATACTACCATTATTGTTCAAATATGCTACGATTGACGTTGTTGGCTCTTTTTTTTTGTCATACATTCTATTGAAAATTCACAGTAATGGAATTAAACATCCCTGCATTTTTTTTTTAAAAAAAAAAAAAAAACAAAAACAAAAGTAGATCTATAAAAAAAAAAAGTAAAAAAAAAAATATCAGGTACGAAAAAAGGAGATTGACTGAATATGAATAAATTGATTTTTTTTTTTTGAGCATTGATCATCTGTTTAATAATGATGATAAGAATAATCAGAAACATACTTTTTTTTTTTACGCCAATATTGTGAGACAAATATATATATCTTATGAACGAAAACTGGATTGTTTTCAATAAACCATAAAAGGGAATAAGTCTGTCATTTTTAGTTGAGCTTGAATCCTCTCAAAAGGGCATATCTTTATTTGTATAACTAAAAAGAAAAAGTGTGGGATTTCATGGCATTTAAAGAATTATCATCTTACTTTTTTTTTTTTATTCTTCTTTTTCTTTTTTTTTTTTTTTATATTTTTTATTTAACGAATTCATTTTATCTCATATTAAAAGAACTTATTTATTATTATTATTATCTTTCTTCTCCCTTCATTATATTCTGTTCTTATATTTTTTTTTTCTGCTTATAAACAATACCTCTTTTTTAAAGCAGCTGACCTCTTTTTGTTCAATCTTTTTTTTTTTTAAATTCCTCTCCTTTTTTTTTTTTTTTCTGGTGTTTCATCTTTTTTTCCCTTTTCTTTTTATTTTTTATTTTTTTATTTCTATTTTATTATATCTATTTTATCTAATCTCCATTTTTACATTGTGTTATGGGTAATGAAACAAGTCGCCCTGTCTTGGACAATGAATCTTATGATTCTTCTCAAAGAACTTCTTCACGACAAAAGCACTCTAGTAGAAACAATTCAATACGAAAATTAAAAGGAAAATCTTCTAGACCAATTTTGGATCCTTCTATATTACCTTTTGATACAACAGTGCCTCGTCTTATTCAACCAACACCACCTGCGGACACAATGAACACAAACTTCGGATTTCCTCCGCCAACCTGTGCAACAGAACGCGCCACTGTTCAACCTCTTGTACCATCTCCACAAATTTCTTCTGACTCTCCTTTACCTGCAAACCGGATTACTAAACAAAAGAATTCAACTACATCATCATCATCATCCTCTTCTTCTTCTTCTATCGTCAAACGAAAATCAAATCAACCTACTCGTATGATGATGACATCAAATAATATTTCTTCAACATCTTATACAACTCAACGTCGTCATTCTCAACGTGCTATCTCTACTCTTTCAAGTCATACCACAGATAGTAATTGGACATGGACTGGTGACCTTTTTTCTCACATTGATCCGGCAACTTCCTCCACTATTACTGCAATCACTGACTACTCCACCATTTCCAAACATTCCATGTTTTGTCAAGATTGGCCTGCTTGTGATAAACAATTAGTGAAATCTGCTGCGGAAGCAATGGCTATACCTACTATTTCTGTTACCAATGTTCCTGAACCTCCACCTTATACTACTTCCTCAACTAGTCAACCTGAATCACTCTCTACCACAAATGTATCAACATCTGGAACAGAAAACTCATCTATCATTTCAAACAACAACAGCAACAACAATAACAACAATAATAACAGCAATAACAATAACAATCGCAATAACAACAACGATAACAATAACAACATTAATATACCAAGACAATTACAACAATTATTGGAACGTTTACAACTATTGATATCAAAAACGATGACAACAGAATCTTCTTCTTCTTCTTCTTCAACAACAACAACAACTTCACCTAGTTTTAATGCAATTACTACCAGTTTATTGGATGATATATTTTCATTGGCAGCTGCTGTCAAAAAAGAAAAAGATAGACAACATATCTATCAGTTGGCTTTATCTCTATGTCCCAAATCTTTTACCGCTCAAGTATGGACTGCAAGGTGTCAATTGGACGGATGGGGAACTGAATCACAACCACGTCTTGGATTTCAAACACTACAGAACTTGGCTGAATCAGGTTGTTGGGAAGCTTATTATCCTTTGGCATTATGTTATCTTGAAGGTGTACCCAAACATCATCGACAATATAATCAACAATCATCTTCGCTTTCCACTAGTGGTATCGACGACACTATATCAAGTATATCTTCTCCTTCATCAACTCCTGCTAATCGGCGACCATCTTTTTCTGGAACAAGTGCATCAAGCGATTTTAGTAACATCAGTCAACAAAGTAGTATCAGTAGCACTTTTTCTCTTGACTCACTTGAAATACAACCGATCAACAAACAAGAAGCATGGCGATGGCTTCATATGGCTGCTCAACTGGATGGATCAGAAGAATCTGTTACTATAGTCAAAGCTCGTGCTCAATACAGAATTGGAACTATTTACTTTGAAGGTGATGCTTCTATTTTACCTGATCATGATAAGGCTTTACATTGGTTCATGCAAAGTGCTGATAATGGAAACAAGTAAGTTTTTTTTTTTTTTTTTTTTTTTTTTTTTTTTTTTTCAAAAATGAAAGTTGCTAATATTTTTTTCCCCTTTTACATCTTTAGATTTGCTCAATTTATCACTGGTTTCCATTTTGAACAAGGTATTATTGCTGAAAAGAATACATCCATAGCCAAGAAATATTATCTATCAAGTGCAAAACAGGGTTCTTCAGATGCTCAAGCTGCTCTTGGTATACTTCTGGTTGAAGAACAACAAATAGAAGAAGGAATGAAATGGCTAAATGAAGCAGCATCTACGGTAATATAGTTCAAAAAAGAAAGAAAAAAAAAGAATTGGTACTAATAATTATAATAATTTTGTTATATATATAGAAAAATACTAGATCTTTAGTGAAGCTCGGAATTATGTACGAATATGGACAAGGCATTGAAAAGGATGAAGCACAAGCATTGTTATATTACAAGACAGCATGTGAGCAACATGATCCAGCCGCTCACTATCTTTTGGGATTGCATTACCGATTAGGAACGTTGGGATTATCACAGCACTTTATACAAGCTGGAAAACATTTTACAAAATCTGCAAGATCAGGATTTGCTCCAGCTCAACGATTACTTGGTCTCATGTACTTGCAAGGTTTATTAGTAGAGGGTACACGTTCTGATGGTCAACAAGTGAATGAAGAATATATACGACGTAAGAATGACAAGGCTGCTCTTTTATGGTTCCGTCGATCGGCCTCCCAAGGTGATGTTCGTGCTCTTGGACTGGTTGGTGCCTGTTATCAGTATGGTCGTGGTGTAACTACAAATCATGATGTTGCTTTAGAATACTATCGTAAGGCAGCAAGAATGGTTGGTCCTTTCCAGGGTGTGGCTCAGCTTGCTTTGGCTTTACTTTTACATCAAATGTGTAGACATCGTGACGCTATTGAATGGTTTACAAAGGCTTCCGAAGCTGAATCGATTGTCAACAGTCATATCCAGTCTAACGATGGTGATGATGATAATAATAAAAATTTTGGACACGAAGAAGAATCTCCTGCAAAAATGCTATCAAGACGATCTCCATCTCGAACTGCAAGATTGATGTTAGCTCGATATCATTTACATGGTTGGCCTGGTGTTGTAAAGGATGGTCTCAAGGCTTTCAAAATGCTCTCTGCTCTGGCTAATGAATCACAATATGATGCTCATGCTCATTATTGGTTGGCGGCTTGTTACGAAGAAGGTATTGATAATGTTTGTCCCTGTGATTTGAAATTGGCTTTTGATCATTATTTGGTGGCTGCGAATGCTGGTGATACAGATGCTGAATTCCAAGTAAGTGCATTATATTATATCAATATAATAATAATAATAATAATAATAATAAAAAACGATTGACATCATTAATCATTCTCTAGGTGGCTTTGATGCTTTCAAATGGACAAGGGGTTTCTCGAGATCGCAAGTCTGCTTTCCATTGGTACAAAAAGGCTGCTGACAAGAATCACAAAATGGCATTATATAGTTTGGGACTTTACCATGCAAAGGGATTGGAAGGCAAGCCAAAAGATCTACTTTGTGCTCGAATCTGTTTTGAAAAAGCGGCTCGTTTAGGAGTTGCACCTGCAATGACTTCTTTTGCTACTTTATGTCGCGTTGCATCTTTACAATCGGGACCTCAACAACAAGAACAAAGAGAACAAGCTATTTATTGGTATCAACGAGCTGCAACGACAGGTGATGTGGTAGCTCAACGTGAACTTGGTTTAATCTATGATGCTGGTCTTGGTGTACCTCGTAATTACGACACTGCGTTTAGTTATTTCCAACAAGCTGCTTCTCGTCATGATGCTCAAGCTACACTCTTACTTGGAAGTTACTATCAAAATGGAATGTCTGTCGAAAAGGATCTGGAAAAATCAATTGAACTCTATCTCGAAGCTGATAAATTGGGTGCCTCTGTGTAAAAAAAAAAAAAAAAAAAAAAAAAAATATATATATATATTATTAGTCATGATCATCTTTGTATTTACTTTTTTTTTTTTTAATGTTGTTATTGTATATTAGTGCTCCATTTGCTGTCGCTCAAGTTTATCATTCATTGAATCGATTTGAAGATGCATACAAATACTACAAGAAAGCTGCCAATGATCCTCGTTTACTACATAATCGCATTGGTCGAACTTCCAAACTTATGGTTGCTAGGTATATTCTCAGTTATGTACCTCATGAATCAGATAACAGTGTGCAAATCATGGATATCGACAACATGACAAAAGAAATTGCTTTCGAAAAACTCTTTAATCTTGCAGCAAAAGATCATTTTGAACCTTCCTTCTATTGGTTAGGTAGGTATTTATAATTTATATTGAAATCAAACTTGATACTCATCTCATATTTTTTTTTATTAAAAAAAAAAAACAAACTCTTGTATAGCCGAATGTTATCGAACTGGAAATGGTATTGCTATGAATTTGGAAAAATCTTTACCTTGGTATCACAAAGCTGCTGATGAATTGAAGGATACTGAAGCTATGGTGAAGTTAGCATCTGTATATGAACAAATGGGTGGGAATAATGATCGAGCATTCCATTATTATCAATTGGCTGCTAATATGAAACATCCTGAAGGTCAACATCAATTAGGTAATGCACTCAATAGCATTCTTCAAAAAACAGGAAAGAAATTAGAAAAAAAAAAAAAAAAACTGACTCTTTTCTTCTGCTAATAATAGGAATGATTTATTGGCGTGGAAGTCTTGATATTGCTATTAATCTTGGTGACGCAGTTGTCTGGTTCACTCATTCTGCAGCTCAAAAATACGCGGCAAGTCATTGGGCTCTTGGACAAATGGCACTTGAAAATGGAGATCAAGATGTAGCAATTGAATGGTGGAGAAGATCTATTGATCTTGGATATGCACCAGCCATGCGTGCTCTAGCAAGATTACTTTTACAAAATACCCAAGCAATTCAAGGTAACAATGATAGTCCAGATGATTACTCTTATGATCAAGATAACGAAGATTTGGATCGTGCTATGGAACTCTTGGCTGAAGCTGTTGAAAATGGTGATGCGGAATCCCTTGCCTATTTGGGTCAATTACATCAAGTTAAGGCTGTGCACTCCACTAAGAACTCAACCACTCAATCCTCTTCATCATCTACATGTCAAGGATTTACTCGCCACTCAAACAGCCACAACAACAAGAATAATAATCACTCTATTGATACTTCGTCCGATGACCATTCGACTCATCATTGTACTGCTCCTACATCTTCCAATACTACTACAATAATTGAAGACAAAAGTACGACTCATGATCACGACAATGAAGATATGGATGACGAAGAACATGCTGCAGAATTACAATTACAACGTCAATTACAAGAACAAGGACTCGCTACCCGATGTTTTGAACAAGCGGCAAAAATGGGCCACGTGGAATCAATGTTTTTAGCTGCTGAATCATGGCATTCACAGCAACAGTATGCTGCCGCTCTTGAATATTATGATCGTGCTGCCAAGAATGGTCATCTACTCTCTCGTGTGATGCGTGCTCGCTATCGTCTAGCTGGTCTGGGTGGTATGGAATCTGATCCTGTTTTAGGCTACCAGGTAAAAAAAAAAAAAAAAAAAAAAAAAAAAAAAAAAAAAAAAAAAAAAAAAAAAAAAAAAAAAAAAAAAAAGTCAAAGAAAATGAAATATATATATAAAGTCGTCAATCAATATTTCTCATCTATGTATTTTATTTTTAATATTAGGAACTCTTGGAATGTGCCGTTCAAAATCAATGCGCAGATGCTTATAACTCTATTGGGCAATGTAACGAACTAGGACTTGGTACCAAGCAAGATGATCAAGCTGCTATGGATTGGTATTTGCGATCTGCTGATCAAACACAAGATTCAGAAGCCATGTTTCGTATTGGTCAGCTTTATGCACAAGGACGTGTTCCACCATCTCAAGGACGACACAAGGATATCGAAGCACTACAGTGGTACAAACTTGCAAGTGAAACAAGAAATCATAGTCAAGCTCATTACCAAATTGGGATGTATTTCATTCGAGGAATTACAACAACAGTAAAACGAATGGATAGTCAAGTCAACAATGATATCAACAATGAACAAACGAATATTGTGATTCCTATCGATCATGTGGCCGCTAGATCACATTTCCAATCAGCCAGTGAACAAGGTGATGTGAATGCTATGTATGAACTTGGTCAACTGCTTCTTATGGATGACTCCTCTTTATCGACAACAGGCATGTCATTAACAATGGATGATCGACGGGATGGATTAGATTGGCTAGTCAGTGCAGCTCAAATGAATCATCGCGATGCATTACGTGAACTTGGAAAGATGCATCACTCTGGCAAATTATACGATGATGAACTCTTGGTGGAAAAAGATTCGACTCTGGCTTATGATTACTTTATGCGATCTGCCAATCAAGGGGATAAAACAGCTATGCTTTTTATTGGTATTTACTATGAACATGGTATTCATGTTCATCTGGATTTGTTAGCGGCTCGACATTGGTATGAAATGGCAGCTCGAAGTGGATGGTGGCTTGCAGAACTCGCGATGGCACAACTTTTACATCAAGATATGGATAGTCGGGAAGAAGCATACCACTATTTTACATTGGCTCACCAACATGCACCAGGCTTGCAACGACAACCAGCAACCATTATGATAGCAAGATATCATTTACGAGGATGGGGTGGTGTACCCGTACAATTGGAAGAAGCAGCAAAAGAATTGATTACCATCGCTGAAGATCAACAACAAGTCAAGGTGTATCTCGAAGTAGCGCAATGTTATGAATTTGGTATTGGCGTGGAACAAGATTTGACCAAAGCATTTATGTGGTACGAACGAGTGGTTGCCCATCATGATGATGACTCGACCCTGGACGAAGAAGACAGAGAAGATTTGGCTGAAGCGACTTTCCGATTAGCAGAGTTTTATCGACGTGGAAGTGTAGTTTCTCAAGATCAAACCAAAGCAAATCATCTATACTATTTAGCTGTTCAACAAGGTAAGTAGAACAAAAAACAAATATTTTAGGTTTGCATGAATACTTATTTTTTTTTTTTTTTTTTGGGATGGAATAGGATCAAAGGAAGCTCAAGAATATCTCCAAGAACAATCTTCATCAAGCAATGATTGAAATTTATGATTATATCCTTCCACTCATTACTTTCATTCTACAATATTTATTTTATTACCACTATTTATTATTTATATTTATATATCTCATTGATTTACCTATTCTTGATATCCCTTCATTTATTATTACCCTGTCTATTCTATTGTATTTATACCCTCCCCCCAAACACGTACCCACATTTGATTCTTTATGTATTATGTTATTATTATGTTTTTTTCCACTATTCCTTTTTCTTTATTTATGTTTTACGATATATTAATCATCTTATAATATAGAATAGTTTTTTACCCGTACAAGAATAAAAATAGTTACAAACCACCTTAAACCAGTTATATATGTCTTTACGTGTAACCATACAAACTTCGGCGTTTCAAACATCACGAGAAGGATAAATGTCACCATTCTCCCGAATATTCTTCCTTGTTTTAGTTTTTATCATAGTGGTGATTGAGATGATAATGATGCACATCATTTTTATTATTATTATTTTGTGATAAGAGAGGAATGAAGTAAAAAGCAACAACTTATATCAGTACAAGTAGTTGAATGATGATGGTGATAATAGCTCAAAAAAGAAAAAAGATGGGATCATGGTTCATCATTTAAGTACGATGATTTTTTTTTTAAGACAAAAGTAATGACAAAGACAGTAAATAATGAGTTCGTGTTAATGAATCAGCAACAAACATGAAAAAAAAAGACAAGCGGAGGTCCAATCAATAGGCTCGAAATGGTCATCATCCGATCTGACTCTTTTATTGACACTTGCTCTTAGGAGATTCTTTTTTTCCTTTTTTTTTTTTTCCATATCATGGGTATTAAAAGGAAAATAGAGTTTAAAAGTTAATGTGAATCATAACAACTGAGTTTAACAAAAAAAAAAAAAAACAAAAAGGGTGAAAGGAGGATGAAGATAGTAGATGAAAAACAAGATACCAACATGATCTTTACTGAGAGAGGGAAAAACCATGGATAAACTGGGTAATTGGAGTTTCAAAAAAAAAAAAAAAAAAAAAAAAAAAAAAAAAAAAAAAACTTTCGATTACCGAGATCTAATATATTGCGCCAAACAATAAAAAGGACAGAAAATGAAATGAATTTTTTTTTTATTTGTTTTCTTTTTCTTTCAATTTTTTTAATTATGGTCGCAACTATTCGAAATTTATTCTCTTTTCATAAAAAATCACAACAAAAGAAGGATCATCATCGACAATCATCACTTTCACCTTCTGCCTCTATTACTTCTTTGTATAGTCTATCTTCTTCTGGTCCACAAACGCCTACTGACTGCACACAAAAAAATGAACAAGACATTCATGGGATTTTTCGAACATTGGAAGTCTGTTGGTCTATTTACAATGCTACAGAACAATGCTGGGTGCCTCTCGATAGGATGGATGGTCAATTTGTCGAAAATCATTATCAACAAGGAAAAACAAGTGTGTCTCTTGATGCTTGTTCTTTGTTTTCTGGTAATCCTTGTAAAATTCATTTTAAACTACCATCATCAAGCAGACAGGTAGGATTACAACTCTATATGGGCCGTGATATCATTCGAACAGTGGTGCCAGTCTGGTGGTATGAACAAGATCTTGTGGATGGTACCAAAGGAATGTGTCGATTTGAACCTAGGAATCAAGTTCGTTTGGAAGCCTTATCTGAAGATCATACTAGATTGACACTGACAGATGTTGGGTTTTCTGATGCTACTGTGACCGTGATGATGAATCCTCCTTCATTAAATAACCGTCGTCAAGAAGAAGAACAACAAGAAGAAATGCGTGGGTTGCTTTATGTACATTCATCCATGATACAAGTTTTAGGTCAGAAATTGGAACAATTGGAACAGCCTACTATCTTATCTACTGATGATGCCTTCATATTAGATCGTCGATCTTCCATTTAGTTTTATATCATATCTATCTCACTTTTGTTATCCTTTTTGTATATTTTATTTATTTATTCCCCTTTTCATTTATTTTGTATAATTCTAATAAAGAACCTTCTCATTTGTTTATCATCATAAAAAAAAAAAAAGACGAAAAAGATCTTCATCTGTTATGTTGTCAATTTCCCTTTGAAATTATCCATTAGCTTCCTTGCCGAACGGGCCGGTAAGGAGTTTCAATACTGCATAGGTTCTTCCCGAGTTACACATACCATCAACCTTTTTCGGAAACGGGTAAAAAAAAATTACAGTAATTTATTATCATCATCAATCATTTCTTCCTGTCAAACACGTAATTATCTTGTAAAAACATGGAAGGAAATCTTCGTCATCTCCACTCGCTTCCGGAAAAATAAAGAATACCGAAATATTTTGTCATCATGATATCCCAACAAGGATAGCATCTTTATTATTCTTAAAAAAAAAAAAGATGATCATCATCACCCACCTGGAATACTATAATATGATTCTATAACTACATGAGGTATCGCTTGTCACCACGGCGTTTTTCAGATTCTCGGATTTCAAACATCACTTGTACACCAACAAATAAGGTACAAATCACTGAGAACAGATATATCAAGCCTACCGACCAATCAAAAGTATAAGTAAGTATATATGCATATTGGAAATAGGTCTTTCTTTCTTTTTTTTTTTTTTTTATTTATTTACCATCCACAGTCCCAAAGATTTGTACCAACATATCCTTCATGCCATCCAAACCAACACAGAATCCAACAAGATTAGCGATCATCATCATCAAGATATTACCTACAGCACCAATACCACAAACAAAACGATAATACCATTTGTGACCAAACTATCAAAAAAAAAAAGATATAAGAATCCATTTCCACCTTTCTTCTTTATTTTTTTTATTTTTTTTAATTACCTTTTTGTAACTAAAGAGCTGTGATGCGATGATTTCCGGTAATAAGAAAAGACAAATTAACCATCCCCAGGCCAGTAATTTCAATTCAATGTCATGCCATAATGCTACAAAGGTAAACACAATCCACATGTTGAACATAAAGTATTTGGCACCACCCAAGGGAATATATACATATCGAATAAGCCAACGATTGAATGTACGATGCCAACTCTTCCAAAACCTTTGTGCTGAAAAGTTGTTACTCATGCATCGTACCATATTTTCTTCTGTCCAAATACCATCTACCAAAGCCCAAAGTCGGAAGAATCGCCAAAGAATCAAGAGTTTCATCCAAATAATCACCAGATTGAAGTAACCTATCATACTGAGTTCAAGTGGAGTATCACCATCCCATGCCCTTTCTTTACTGATAGCCACAACATAAATATAATGCAAAGTCCATTCCATTACTAAGATAACACCTACTAGTCGTAATCCATAGATGGTCACAAATCTTCGAGTAACATGTGGAGAAGGGATATACAACTATTATTAAAAAAGGACATTAATAACATCCATTTTTTTTTCTTGTTCTGTGTTCACTACCTGAGATATAAAGTCATTGTAAGTAAGAATAGGTCCACACATATAAAGAGGGGTATATAAAACATAGGCTAAAAAGTAGATGTAGTTGTAATCTGAGGAATTGCATGGTATGTCAATTCGATCTCTATCTGAGAGTGCTACAGTTGTCAAATCATCGTCGTTCTTCTAGCAAATAAAAGTAAGATTCGATATATACATCATTCTTTGATAACCCTCTTTTTTTTTTTTTTTTTTTTTTTTTTTTTTTTTTTTTCTACCTTGTATTCCAATCGAGGTTTCTTGATTTGCCAATAGTAATCCATATTATAAGAAATAAGTCGTAACATGACAAAGTTGAATAAGATATGCCATCTAGGTGAGATACCAGGGTATTCATCCTAAGATATCCAAATATATATATATATATAGTCAGCCAAAAAAAAAAAAAAAAAAAAAAGATTGAATTTTTTTTTCTTACCAACCAGTCCAATTGTGAGTGAATACTAGTAAAAGTATAACCATTATGAGCTTCATTTAAAAATAAAATTCCTAAATTAAAGGCCCATGATAAGATTGGATTCAACTTGGAACCACCTGTAAATCTGCCAATTAAATAACTTGTAGAAATGATGATTAAAATCTTGATAGCACTTGTTCCATGAAGACCAACAACAACAATCAATGAAGTAAAGGAGAGTAACTGTAACCGTCCTTTGACTGTTCCTTTGGTAAAAACTGACATTAATCGATTGAAACCAACAAATAAAATAGATAGAAGGAGAAGCTTGGGTAAATTGTCTCGAAAATGAGCGTATTGAGCATCACTATTATCCTAAATAAATAAATAAAAAAAAAAAAAGAGAGAAATACTTTTTTTTGTTAAATATATTTAATCAATAACAGGATGTATATTATATATATATTTACCACTTTTCTTCCAAAGATCCAACCATCAGATAACCTTGACGCGTATTCTGGGTAATGTGGATTGGTTTCTACATTAAAAAATATATATATATATATAAAGTGATTTACTTAATAAATCAAGATGTTGTTTGACTATTTACCTTTGCTCACACTATGAGCTATGTAAAACATGTAAGGTACAATGATAATAAAGCATAGATAATAAAAGTAAAATTCTTTATTCAAAAAAAAAAAAAAAGGTGAATAAAGAAAGGAAAGTAAGTTTATATGAATTTTATTATATTACCTGGTGTATTCCAACGTGGAGGATTAGTAGTTAAATTTGTTTGTGTTTTCGTATTTTGTTTTTCATCTTTTGATGATGGTAAAGAGGAACCAGTCATACTATGATATTGAATAGTATATATGAGAGAAAAAAAGAAAAAAAATTAGACAAGAATCGGGAATCAAAAAAAAAAAAAAGGCACGAGAGAATTTTTGATTTATCCAATCAATTATAATCTAAAAAAAGATTTCTTTTTTGTTCTGTTATTCAATATATATGTTCTATTTTAGTATTGTTTTAATTTTCAATATAAAAGAAAAAAAAAAAACGAAAGAAAAATGCAGGAAAGGTTAATTTCTCTATGAATAATAATATAAAAAGATCAAAATATATTTTATTTTGAATAAAAATAAAAAAAAAAAGAGAAAATAAAATGGATTGGTGTAACTTATTTGTCTGTTTTACTTATTATCATTATCAATAATAATAATAAATCCATTACCTATTATTATTATGTATTATTATTACTATTACTACTTTAAAGGATGGATGATATCAATACAAAACACTTTATTAGTTATGATTTTATATGATAGAACATGAAATCAAAAAGGTAGCGGAGAAGGAAACATGATATTGTTGTGAAACGTCCCCGCCACAAAAATAGCTTGCAATCCAATTTTCTTTTTTTTTTTTTTATTTTTTTTTTTTCTTTTTCTTCTTCTTCTTCTTTTATTATACCATCCGTCAACCCCTTCCCTCTCATTTTTTTTATATATATATATATATAACTAAAGTCTGATATACTGTGCCTAAAATGAAATTTATTTCTCATTTGGCAAGTTTGTCTGCAGCTGCCACTTTGATTTTACAACTTGGTACCTTTGTTGAAGCCAGTCCCTTTTTTACTGAATCCACTACTACTCTTCATTCCAATGACGCTGATACTACACAACAATGTGAAGGTAAAGTTATATTATATTAATAAAATAAAATTTTAAATATATATATATTTGTTATCTTTCTTTTATAGGTTTACGTTTTTCATTCCCTTCTGCTACTGGTAAATTTATTATTATTTATTATTATTACTTTTGATTACTATTGTGGGACAAACAAATTTATTAATGTTTTTTTTTTTCTTAACATCAGGTTTGACTTTTGAAGAACATAGCAAACACGTTGTAGCTTGGCAAGCACCTTCTACCTTGGACAAAATTGTTCTTTCTCTTGTAAAAGATGATGACAACTCGAATTCAATTAACATTGGTACTTTTGGTAAGTTATATCACTTTCTCATTCCCTTTTTTTATTTTCTTTTTCTTTTAACTCTTTTTTTTTTCTCTCTCTCTCTCTCTCTTTTTTTTTTTTATACCAATAAATTAGATGCTAAGGCTGGTGCAACTTCTGAACTTCCTTTGGATCTTCAAGGTCAACAACCTGGTCAATATCATTATCATCTTCAAGCAACAGGTTCAAGTGGTGACTGTACAATTGATTCAGTAGCATTTGCTATCAACCAACAACAACAACAACAACAACAACAACAACAACAACAACAACAACAACAACAACAACAACAACAACAACAACAACAACAGCCTAACACTTCCATCGATCAAACTTCTTCAACCGATGATAAGAGTCTACATTCAAACGACGAAACCTTTGACAAACTCATTCAATCTATCAAGGGTCAATCATCTGATGTTCACTCCAACACTGACACCTTTGATAATCTTATCTCCAACCTTTCAAAGTCAAATACACCTACCAACTCTGACAAGGTACTGGATGGCCTCGTCAATGATCTGAAGCAAACTGAAGCCCAACATTCAAATGATCAAATCTTTGATGGTCTCGTCAATGATCTGAAGGAAACTGGAGCTCAACATTCAAACGATCAAATCTTTGATGGTCTTGTCAACGATCTCGAACACAATCAAACACGACATCCAAATAGTGATGATGCCACTTTTGATAAACTTGTCTCAAATATCAATCAATCCGCTCAAACAACCACTAACGATGATGACAATTTGAATTCTATTGTTCATGATATTCAATCCGCCAATCAATCAATTCAAAAATCAAGTCACCAAGATAACGCTTTGAATGATGATTTGGATACTTTAGCTAACGGTGTCTCCCACAATGATGACAAGTTGGATTCTCTCCTTCACGATATTCAATCTACCAAGCAAACAAATCAAAAATCAAATCCAGATTGGGATGCTATGATCAATGATTTGAAATCTGCTGCTTCTCATCCAAATGAAGATACAAAGAAGACTTCCGGTACAAATGGATTGGATCAAGTCATTGATGAATTGGCTGAATCTATCAAGCAAAGTCAAACAAAGGACACTAAGGATATCAAGACAACCAAGAATGATAAATCTCATGCTGATGCTGATCCTGCTCAATCTACTACTACTACTACTGAATCCTTCAAATCTTTTATTGATGTAAGTCATCTTATATATATATTTCTATTTACATGATACCCGAATCTTTTATTGATATCTCCTCTTTTTTTTTTTTTTTTTTTTTTTTTGTTTATTTATAGAGTTTGGATCAAGATTACAAAAAGTATATTCAAAATAACAAGGATAGCGAAACCAAGCAAGTTAGCCACAAGAATGATGCCAAGCCTGATATTGATCCTGTTCGTTCTGCTACTGTACCTCATTCAAATGAATGGTTCACAAACACTGATCTCCGTACCAAGAAGAATCTTAGACGAGCTTTTGTCAAGCGTGCCACAAATCCTTATTTCACCAATGAGGATCGACGTACTACTCATGCGAATGATGCTTCTTCTGTGGAAAAATCAACTGCTTCTCGACCTATCTGGGCTGTCAATGGTGAATTCTTTACAAATGATGATCAACGTACCAATGTCAATGCTATACACAACGATGCTGAATGGTCAGAAGATTCTACAGAACAAACTACTGGCTCTCCCAAGTGGGCTGTTAATGGACCTTTCTTTACTGAAGATAATCAACGTTCTGATGCCAACCTTTTACATAATGATGCCGAATGGGCCGTAGACGAAACATTGGATTCTCCTACTGAAGATATCGTTTGGCACAAGGATGAAATAGCCGATCTCCCTGAATGGAATGTGAACAGTGATGAGGTTTTATTAGCTCACGAAGATAGTGCATGGGAATCCTTTGAACACAACGATGTACCTACTGCTACCCAAGAAGCACCTATTCACCACCCCAATGATGTTGATTGGAATGTTCAAGATGTGACTCTTCCTGCTACTAAGGAAGCACCTATTCATCACCCCAATGATATCGACTGGAATGTTCAAGATACAAACGCTGTGCCTGTGGATCACTCAAACTTTGTACACTGGGACTCAGAGGTCATTGATGCCGTGAACGAAGATGATGATAATTCTCATATTAACGCTGCTCCCGAAGGTGAATGGCATGATGATGAAATTGTCAATGACGGTGATACTCTGCAATGGGCTCAAGATTCTATCGATTTGGATGATGATGATATCAACTCTGTACACAGCGATGCCGTATGGGAAACTAACGAACACGAAAATGATGAAGGACTTGTGGACGACAACAACCGATGGAGTTTGAATGAAGATCCTCTTGAATGGAACACTAATTCTTTTACTGAAAATGAAGCCGTCCCTCACTCAGTTATTGACTCTCATTCCAACGATGCTACTGCCTCTTCCGAATGGATTTCCAGCGAACATGCCAATGATGATGAACTTGAATTTGATCCTTCCTGGGCAGTGAACGAAGCTCCTACTCGATGGTCTGAAGATTCTATTGAAGACAATGCTACTCCCAATTCAATTGAATCCAAGTCTGCTGATGATCACAATGATGCTACTCTTACTTCTCAATGGGAAACGAGTGAACATGCCAATGATGATGAACTTGAAGTTAATCCTTCCTGGGCAGTGAACGAAGCTCCTACTCGATGGTCTGAAGATTCTACTGAAGACAATGCTATTCCCAATTCAATTGAATCCAAGTCTGCTATTGATCACACTGATGCTCCTCTTACCTCTCAATGGGGAACTAGTGAACATCCTAATGATGACGGTTTTGAAGGTAAATCTGCCTGGACTGTGAATGAAGCTATCTCTGAATGGAATGTCAATGAATCACCCTCTGAATGGACTGAAAACTCTCCTCATAATAATGCTGATCCTATCTCTATTGAATCCAAATCTGCTGATGATCACAACAATGATGCTCCTATTACTTCTCAATGGGGTACTAGCAAAGATGCTAATGATGATGGTCACAACAATGAACTTCCTCTTGTTTCTCAATGGGGTACTAGCGAACATGCCAATGATGATGATCTTACAAACGGCTCTTCCTGGAATGTCAACGAAGCGCCTGCTCAATGGGCTGAAGATTCTACAGAAAACAATGATGCTCCTACTTCAATTGAATCCAAATCTGCTGATGATCACGACAATGAACTTCCCCTTGCTTCTCAATGGGGTACTAGCGAACATCCCAATGATGATGATATTGAGCGTGACTCTTCCTGGACCGTCAATGAAGCACCTTCTAAATGGAATGTCAACGAATCACCCTCTGAATGGAATACTAACTATGTTGAATTAGTAGATAATCACGAAGATGCTGCTAAGTTAACTCCAAAATGGACCACAAGTGAACACGCCAATGACGAACATGAAAATGATGCTACGTGGAACCTGAATTCTGATCCTTTATCTTGGCAAGTCAATGAAGACTGGGCATCCAACGACGTTTCATGGTGATTTTTATCCAAAACAATTGTAGTGTATTAGAAATCCCTTCTTCCTCCATCTCTCCCTATGAATATCCTTATGAATGAAGTGTACCACCAATCTCTTACTTTTCTTATTTGTTTTTTTTTTTTATATCTTTATCCTTCTCTTCGTCTATATCTTGTTGTTTTATTATATTTCTTTTATAAATAAAAAACAATATTATCATATGTAATTTGTTATAGCTTTTGATGCCATTTGAGATTGTCAAACAATTTAGCATCTGATCAATGGATGTACCAATGGAATATCGCGTTTCCTTTCTCTGGTTTTGGAAATCCGCCAATAACGAGTGTTGTGACTTTTCGCCTACAAAAAAAAAAAAAAAAAAAAAAACTACCGCGATTTATTTTTTTTTTCTTTTCTATCTTCGTCTATATCTTTTTTTTTCTTTTCAGTTAAATTCATAGTTTATTGGATTCTTTCAAATATAACAAAAAGGGAAAAAAAAAGTCACCTTATATCTTATATATACCGTAATCTTATATACATTGAAAAAAGGTAAGTAATATGAATAGACCACATACCTGATTATATATATAAATTCTACAACTGGACTTTCTTACACTTCATTTCCTTTCTGTTTCCTGTTTTTTCCTTTTTATGTAGCTGCTTTCATAGAAACTATAATATGGACTCTTCAAATGTACCACCACCTGGAAGTAGACCTATCAAAGAACCAAAACGACGCTTGAATCGAGGATCTTCAGGTTTAGGATCTTCCTCAAGTGTGTTTGGAAGCACTGGTTCTGGTTCACAAGCAACACCAGGCGCTATGCAAGCTTTTGGTCAACAACAACAACAACAACAAGCTTCCTCGCCTACCTCTTTTGGATTTGCGTTCAATCAACAACCTGCAAACTCTCCTCCAACTCAACAAACTTCTCAATCGTTTTCCTTTGGTGCTACTCCCATGGCTACTCAACCATCAGCAACAGCATCTCCTTCATTTTCTTTTGGAGGTCAAAGTCCGATGGCCAACACAGGTAGTCAACAAGTAACTAATACAACTGGAGCATTTGGTTCACCATCGTCACAATTGTCGTTTGGAGGATCATCATCTTTCGGAAATCAACAATCATTGTCATCTATGGATACACAAATGAAACCAACTTCAACATTCACTTTCGGTAGTCCTAGTTCTCAATCAGTAACAACTGCAACAACTACAACTACTGCAGCGCCTGCACCTGTTTTCGGTGGTCAAGTTTCGATGGGTGGTTTTGGCGATCAAGGAAAAGCGACTCCTACATTTACTTTTGGTAGTGCACCTCAACCTGCAACAATGACAGCATCAACATCATCAGCCTTTGGTGGTCAACCTTCTTCTTCTGAAACTCAACAAAAGCAATCAACTTCAGCATTTTTTGGAGGGGCAAGTGAACCTATGAAGTCGGTCGCTTCGACCACGTCATTCTCATTTGGTGGATCTGCATTCTCTCCAACTCCTTCAACCAATACAGCATCTTCAACTCTATCTGGCAGTCAATCTCAACCGGATGCATCAAAACAATCCACACCGACGTTCTCATTTGGTAGTTCCACTACGACATCTGTGCCACCAGTATCTTCAGCATCAACTTCGACACCAACATTTAGTTTTGGAAGTACAACTCAAAAAAGTGAATCAACAACAAATACAAACTCTTCTGTTACTAGTACTCCTACCTTTGGTTCCACACAGTCAAAAGGTAAATATATACCTATAGTGGAAGAATAAGATCGAAATCAATTCAGTTACTGATGTTTTTTTTTTTTTTTTATTTAGATGAAGGCGAAAAGAAAAGTCAACCCAAATTTAGCTTTGGCTCGACACCAACATTCTCATTTGGTAGTTCCACCACAACATCAGTTCCACCAGTAACTTCAACATCAACTTCAACAACTGCAACACCATCGTTTAATTTTGGAAGTGCAACTCAAACAAGTGAATCAGCAACAAATATAAGTTCTTTTGGTACTACTACTTCTGCCTTTGGTTCCACGCAATCTAAAGGTAATATATACATAAATTTATACATATGATCAGTTACTGATGTTCCACTTTTTTATATTTAGATGAAGGCGAAAAACAAAATCAACCTAAATTCAGCTTTGGTTCGGCAGCGAGTAAGTCATAGAATTAGACAAAAAAAAAAAAAAAGGGATGAAATCTCTCTGATTCTAATAGAACTGAATTAAACTTTTTCTACTTTCTTAGATGACACGAAACCAACTCAACAAGTTGCACCCACCTTGACTTTTGGGTCTTCTACTGGTAAAGAAAAAGAAAGGAAATTATATGATAGCGTGGGATCAATATTGACTAACATTTTTTTTTATAACCATCTACTGAATCTTGTTTAGAAACAGGTCAGAAACGAAAAGATACTAGTACTGAATCCAATGAACCAAACAAATCACGACCATTCCAATTTTCTTCTTCGGCATCTTCAGACACAGTGGAAAAGCCTCAATTCACCTTTGGTACCATTCCCAGCAGTAGTCAAGTGGATAAAGATACAACCAAAGATAGCAAAGATGATCAAGATACTTCAGATAAAAAAGCATCAGCAACAACGACATCAAAAGGTGATACTGCAACAGCACCCGCGTTTTCATTTGGTCAGTCATCTACTACACAGTCCACTGAAAAATCATCAACGGAAAAGGGCACAGAAAGCGACAAGACTAAAACAACATCTTCAGTTCCTTCTTTTTCTTTTGGCAGCACTACTACTCCATCATCTTCCAAAGATAATCAATCTTCAACCTTCTCTTTTGGAAAGCCAACCGCTCAAGCCTCTACGACTGACAGTTCTGCAGCAAAACCAATGCCAACATTCTCTTTTGGAAAGGGTACTCAACCTCCTACTTCTGACAAGACACCCTCATTTTCTTTTGGTAAACCTCATGGTGAAACTACTGGTAGTTCCACAGATTCTACAAAAAAGACGCCGTCATTTTCTTTTGGTGGACAAGATCAAGCAACTTCGGATGGCAGTTCTGCAGACAAGGCTCCAACACCAACGTTCTCTTTTGGAAAACCAGCTCAAGAAACCACAACCGATAGTTCTTCAGACAAGACACCTACCTTCACATTTGGCAAGGCAGCTCCTATTGATAGCTCTTCTGACAAACCTCCTACATTCTCTTTTGGCAAACCATCATCCACAGATAGCACTTCTGAAAAGACACCTACCTTTTCATTCGGCAAGACAGAGAAGTCTACATCAACAATACCATTCGGCCAATCTACTAAGACAGGTGACGAGAGTACAGTAGAGAAAGCAAAAACAACGACTTCTACAGCTCCAACCTTCTCATTTGGTATGACGTCAACGGATAGTTCGCAACCAACATCAAAGGCAACAGCTATAGGCGACTCATCATTTGGGACACCAACTGGGGTATTTAGTTTTGGATCGAAAAAAGGTAAATTAGAAAAAAACAAGAGAACAACAAGCGAGTGGATCACAACTGACAATGAATTTCATAATCTATCAGATGAAGGTACTGACAAGGACAAATCTCAAGCTGCTACAACAAAATCATTCTCCTTTGGAACTGCTACTGGTAAGAAAACTGAAAGGAATGTGTGAAAATGGGTAAAGCTAATCAAAGAAAATATTTTATGTAATATAATAGGTGCTTCCAAAGAATTAAACAAGCCTGCAACTGTGTTTTCCTTTGGAAAACCTCCATCTACTGGTAAAATCAAAAAAAAAAAAAAGATACAAATCAGAGAAATGAGTGACAAGTAATTAACAATAAAAAAAATACGTTTATAGAGGATAAATCAGCATCTGAAGATACCAAAGAATCGACACTCAAGCGAAAGGGATCTCTTACCGAAACGAATCAACCAAATAAAATGCCAACATTCAATTTCAAGCCCACAACTACTTTTGGAACCGTGAGTCGTGAAGAACCGAAGAGTGTAACAGAAACAGCTACAGCAACAACAGTGACTGGTGAACAGCCATCAATCAAGAAAGTGACAGGTGACACTGAAAAGGAAAAGACTAGTCCATTTACTTTACCGAAGACTACTCAACAAGCAACAGCTGTTTCATCTAAAGAAAGTGATAAGGCTAGTAAATTCAGTGTGTCCACGACCGTAACACCTTCTGCGTCCAAAACAACAACGCCAGCCACTACTACAACAATGCCGACACCAGCTCAAAAAACAACACCAAAAGATACATTCAAACCATTGGTCAGCAAAGAGACACCACCAATCACAATCTCTTCTGCTGGCACTCCAACCAAGAGCATTTTGAAATCATCATCGACATCAAAAGATACATTTGGACCAGCAAAAACAACGACACCGTCTACAGTACAAACAACAATACAATCCAACATCACCAGTATAGACCAAATCAAAGAATCAACACGATTTGCCCAATTACCCACAGATGCTCAATCAGTACTTCTAGAGGCCGAACAATTTATTAACAATCAGCAACTACTTTCACGCAATATTCGAACACGTATGGATGCATTTGGAGGTGAAGATATCATCCATGTCAATACCCAAGTCTCTGAACTCTTAAATGTAAGTCCCAAAAAAAAAAAAAAAAAAAAAAAAAGCGAAGAAGGGTGACTGATGTTTTATTATTATTATTATTAGAATGCTAGTGCATTGAAAGAACAATTACAAGCACAATTACAAATGATTACACGACTTGGGACTGAAATGAAACAACAATTGGATGCAACGACGATCAGCAAAGTGATAGCCGATCGTGGTCATGTCAAACGAATTTCCATGTCATCAGCAGATCACCATAGTTACTTTACAGCATTATATGAAAGATTACGTGGACAGTTGATCGAATTTGAATCGGCCGTGGGACAAATTGAACAAAGACTACAACAAGAAATGGCATCTGGTAAATCTCCTCAAGATTTGGGAATGTTGATCTCCTCTCAAAATCAACTGTTCTTATCTCTCTCGGGCAAGGCCAGCGAACTACATCAACGGGTGCAAAGTCTTTTACTTATACCTTGAACATTTTGTAAATGTATAGTTTTCTCCATTCTCTTTTCTTCTTCTTCTTATTAATTTTATCAATAAACGAAAATATATATCTATTTTTCTTTGGTGATGATGTGTCCTTCATATTGATGATGATGAATAATGAGAGTATTTTGTACATTCTTTCATATATCCATGTATACTCGGATGATGCTATAGGTCTGATTATTATTATCATTATTATTATTATTATTGATTATTTTTATTGTGAATAGGAAATTCAATAAAATGTTGATAGTCACTTTCTAGTTTTTGTTGGCTCCTTTCCTCTTTGGAGGTTATATTGGTAGGTATCATTTGTCTTTTTTAATAAAATTCTATTCATTCGTACAACATCCATCATCACTATCTTCATTATCATTTTTGTCACGTTCATGATCCATCATCACATATCATCCATTTTATCTATCCTTTGACATTCATATCTCAAAAATGCTATATCTTCATGCAATATATTCTCATGTCATTAACCCAACATCATCATCATCATCATAATAATAAATATATTTTTTTTATTCAAATATAAACTAACTACTACTAGACACTATTTCTTCTACCCCGTTTTCCTTTGACTTCCTTTCCTAACCATCGTCCTTGATCATCATCTTCAGCTAAGCGTCCAGTAGCATAGCCAGCACTTAGCCATCTGCCAACGACTGTTTTTCCAACTTGATAGCCCAGATTCTTGATATCATTAAACTTGCTGAATTCCAATGTACCCCATTGTTGGACGGGTAATTTGACGTAGAGAGTACCATTGATCAATTTGGCTTCTTCCAGTTTAGCAACACTACTGACGTAGGTCAATCGACTTTGAATCTCGGCAATACTAGGGATATTGTATGTTCGGAAAGGATTGTAACTGTGTAATATAGCCCACCAGCCACTGATGGAATCACCATAGTTGACAGGACTTGTATCATCATCGGAGGCCACATCTACTGCAATCACAATATCTGCACCCATGTTCTTCGCCACCGTCACAGGTAAGTTGTCCATATAACCCCCATCTACAAGCATATTGCCATTATCACAAATCGGAGGCATATAACCAGATAAAGACATTGATGCTCGAATGTATCGCCATGCGTAACCCGTGGTATGTACTTCCATACGTGAAAATGTAATGTTGGTCGTCACTGCAAAGTATGGTAGCCAAAAATCTTCTACCAGACTGTCACCAAGACATTTCCAAATGGCCCGGTTGAATTCGTGTCCAGTAAACCATGCCGTCACAGGATATGTCAAATCCATCACTTGTCGCCAAATACTTGAAACCCGACCTGCAAATAGCTTGCTTCGTGCAATCGTTGATACTAGATCCATATCGCGAGCGTATAGTCCACCAACAAAACTACCAATACTTGTACCACCAATGATGTCAATAGGAATACCAGCTTCTTCTAATGCTTGAATCACACCAATATGACTGATTCCACGTGCACCACCACCACCAAGAACAAGTGCTACTGATCTTCCACATAACCGTCGTGCCAATCTATCAAAAAAAAAAAAAAATATTAGTCCTAGTGCTGTTATTCTTTTTTTTTTTTTTTTTTTCATAAAATACCTTGCAAAATCATTCCTTGATAAAGTATCCACACTAGTTAAAGTTGTTCCACGTTTCTTGTTCATCACCAAAAGTCGCCCAAAAGTAGGTACTGCTGAATAATACTTTTCCAATTGATCTTTCACATTGTTCAACATATTGATGGATCCTTCTGTCATCTTCCGACCTTGAGTTGTCAACCATGGAGGTCGAACACGATCAGTTGACAATGTTGCATGCTGTTTCATAGCCATAAAGATATGATGATGCGCTTGAATCCAGAGACGATTCTACTCAATTTAAAAAAAAAAAAGGAATATGATTCTGTCAGTAATAGATTCCATTTACTTTTTTTTTTCTTTCTTCTTCTTCTTCTCACCTTTAGCCAATTTTGAGTTGAACCTGGTATACAAGAACGTTCACGATGTAATAACACCAGTTCCTTTCGAGCAGTCGTTTTCATATTGATCATATATCGTTCATATTCACCCACTGATGGATCCTCATCACCAAGACCGACCAATAAAATGCAATCTGCTTGTCGAATACAGGTACGAGTCCATTGGGAATTGACACCACTATCCGCCAAATAAAGTACAATTCTTGCCTTTTCTTCTTGTTCTGCCAACCATGATGCTATTTTGAGTTTGCCCATCCTTGAGAAAGCATGTTTACCCATAACAGCTGTCACAGTAGCACTGTTGAGTAAGATACAAGAAGCCCCGACATCATGTATCAATGCACTTTTCAAATTGGCTGCGAATTCCGTCAGAGGTACCATTGAATTGACAGGTAAAATACCAATTGTCTTGAGATTAACATTGTTACGTCCATAAAGCTCAGTGTTGGGAGCTGACGAAGATATTTCCTTGCTTGAAGATGCTGTTCCTGAAGAGATGGCGTTTTGTAGATGGAAAGATACATTTTTGTCTTGACCTGGAATCGATTTGTTCATAACCAATTGTAATGAGCGGTAAGCAACCATACGTGAAATTTGAAGAGTGACCTCAGGATGACGTTGTGCAAGAGCATTGAATAATGTCTTTGGCATTCGTGCAAGTTCAGAGTCACGAATAGCATGGAGTGTAGAAGTAGTAGGAGTTCCAGCTAAATGAGAGTAGCAGAAGAAGAAAAAAAAAAGAAAAGAAAAAAGTTAAGACATTTATTTCTTATTTCAATTTTTTTTTTTTTTTTTTGAAGAGGTAAGACAAGAACTTACTTAAGACTTCCAGTTCACCAACACTTTCACCATGACCGAATTCACCAAGGATTTCCAAACCACCTTCCTTCTTTTCTTTGATTGTTCGTAAACGTCCATGTAGAACCATATAAATAGATTCGCTTGGTTGACCTTCACGACATATAATTTGTCCAGCATTTACTTGCATCCATTCCAAAGATAAATCAATATGTAACACTAAAAAGAAAAGAAGAATATAGGTGAGTATTCTTATTTTTTTTTTCTTTGTCAATATTTCTACCCCTTCCCCTCTCAATCTCATGACTTACATAAAGGGCTTAATGAATCCACCAATTGTTTTGCCAGTTTCATCATCACATTTGGGTTTCGATCAACAATACGATCCAGAGATTTCTTTGGTAAGTAGCCCACATAAGTGTTTTGTTTCGCTCGAATATCAACAAAACTAGGATGACCAGTCAAAGCATCTAAATAACCTGCTAATCCACCAGGATGTATACGGAAGGCCGGTTTCTTGATTTGTTTCTTGTTGAATTTTTTCTGCTTGTCACTAGGTAATCGTCCTGCTGGTGCTTCAGAGGCCACTACTTCATTTTGTCGATTTTGTAATTGTTGTTGATGTTTGTTGCTGTCAACAGATGGGAATAAAGAGATTGTTGAGAATTTTTGTTCTTCTTCTTCTTCTTCGTCATCATTATCATCATGCTCGTAGTGATAGTTTTGACGCTGATGATGATGGTGATGGACACTTGATTTACTTCCGCTGCTGGTTGACATCCTTTTCGTCAAATTTGATTTTCGTCGTACTGGTCGAATAGATGATTGTTCGTTGTTACTTTGTAAAATAGGTGTATTTCCTTCTTCACCTTCAGTGGGTGTCATTGTCGCTTCCAAAAGTCCATCAATAACAAAAAAGAGTCCTCCAAAGTGTTCCCTTTCACGTACTAATACTGCACCTTCTGGGTAATACATGATCATAATTTCATCAGGTGAGATAAAGTTTGATAAATGGTGTTGATGTCGATCACCTCCATGAGAATCTGTACCAGAGTGTACAGACGAAATAGTAGAAAGATTGTCCAATTCGTCATCGTAAGGATAGTTGAGAGCATCAAGTGTAGGTGATGGGTTTGAATCTACTGTACCTGCTTGCGAGAAAAGATCCATTGGATAGACATGCCTAGAACGTAACTGTTCAGGTGAATCAAAGTAGTTATTACGACGTGGTTCTCGAGGTGATCCATGACTATAAAGTAAAGAAGGCAATTTGTTGTTCGATGTCGATGAGTTACTGTCAGGTGCCGTTTTAATACCAAGAGACTTTGAAAGACATTTGACCACTGATGTTCGAAGATGTTCATCATCTTCCATACTGTAATCATCGTCACCGGTAACTTTGGAATTGTAATGCAATTGTCGCTTATGTCGTTGTCGTAAATCAGTTGAAGTCGATCCAGATAATCCAGTAGGAGAAGGACTTGCTCTTTTTCCAGCGTTGATTTGCTTCAATGCTTCATTTGCAGGACTAAGAAGTGCAGGTGTTGATGTGTTCATAATATCAATAGCTTGTATAAGACCAGGAGTTCCGATTCTATCTGCATCCACAGGTGAGAAAGTAGTAGGAGTGTTGCGTGGATAATCCTTGCTAGTACTATTTCTACCATTGCTATTGACGGCAACGCTGTTGATACCGCTACCTTTGCTAGTTCCTGTTGTTGATGTCGGAGTCGTTGGGCTAGTAACATCTCCATCTTTATTTTCAGTTGCAAATTTCTTTCGGAGTCGATCCATAGCACTAGGAAGAAAAAAGTCACCAGGAGAGTTCCAGAAAGGTCCATGTTCACTAACGGAGTCATTCGTTAACTTTTCGAGTCGTAAAAGTTCAGTTGTCAATCCAAGATATCGATGGCTCGTCATCAATGTTACTCTTTGGAATCTTGTCACAATCACTTGAACGATATGAGCAGCAGCTTTGGGGAATTTTTGAGTTAATTTATGGAAGGCTTCTTCAGGAATCACGGCTAGAGTTGTATCTACAGTTGCTCTTGCAATGATGTTGGGATGGACTGATCGATATTGTCTTCGGTAAAAAGAGGTTGATTGAGATGCTGCCTTGCGAGGATGAATTTGTGGATTGACAAAACCAGCACCAAGAGAAGTATCGATAATATCATCTTGATCTAGTAAGGAATATATAATATATAAATGAGTAAAAAGAAAAAAAAATCATATTGGCAGGTTCACTTTTTTTTTTTTTTTTTTTTTTTTTACCTTGTGGATGAATTGCTGTCATTGGTGGAGTATATGCATTCTTGTTGATTCGATGTGATCCATTGTTTCCCATACTGCCAAACGAAGATAATCGATGTTGGCGACTGGTATTTGGAGAAATATCCGGAGCTGCTACAGAAGAATTACTTGAGACTGGTAAACTTGGGTCACTTGTTTGGTTTTCCAAATTGGGGAAGACTTGGCGCCACTCATCAGAAGAAGTATCACGTCGCATTTCTAGCACTGGAGGAGGTAAGCTTGTAGAACCCTGACGAGAGGAAGAATCTTGTTGTTGACCTGATCTTGAAGCAATTTGTTGACGCATGGATTTATGTCTTGTTTTTTCTTTGAGTTCAGTACGGTTGAAACTTTCCCTAAAGATCGAGAGAATTGTAAACAGACTAGAGAGGGTACCACCTTGACCTACTTCGTTGATAAGAGTATAATCCTTGAATTTGTCATACCGTCGTTTCTTTCCTTTTTTCATCCAATTGTCCAAAAGAACATCATCATCATTATCATCGCTATTGATACTGCTAGTACTAGTAAAGGAATTGTTGCTACTACTAGTACCTGAATCTTCAGAATCAGATAATGTAAATGTGGCACCATGATCATCATCAGAATTTTTATCGCTGTAGGTATCATCGCTGTTGTCGTTGTTGTTGTCATTATCAGGCTTCACAAACATTTGCACGTGTCCATCTACAACGATATAAAACGAACGTTCTTGTTCAGGATTTCGAAACAAAGTGTCACCTGCCAGTAATTTCTTTGTTTGTAAATGTCGTGCTAATTCGTGAAACACGGGTTGTTCGAGGTATCCAAATATCTTGATACTAGACAAAAAGGCCGATAAGAATTCATCAGGGTAATTCTTGATATTGGGTTTGGAATAACCAGAATCTTCACCAGAATCGGGATGTAAATCAAAGGAGGAAGCAGCCTTTTGAGGATTTACAGGTTTAAGACGAGAGTACTTTGTCAAAAAGCGGTATCTGATAATGTAATAACCAACAAGACCAATCAAAGCAATCAACATGGCCAAAGAAGAAAAGTTCAGGTGTAAAGTAAACGACCAAGTAAGAATCCGATAAAAGAAGAGTGGAATAGTAATCGTTGTAAAACCAGCTATTCGAAACAGAACTGAAGGCACAAAACCGACTATTCGAGTAAGCATAGAGGAAGAAGAGGTAACAATACCGGTAGAATCAATAGAAGATGAGATGTCACTTAAATTGTTCAAGTCTTGTGCTATTTTTGTAGTACATTGTTGTGCTTGTATTGAATCCATGAAAAGATGGGTATAAAAGAATAAAGAGAAAGAAAAAAAAGAAAGATAGAAAATGGGTATTTTGAGCTTTTTTTTTTTAATCAAAACTCCGTCATGTCACTACTTGGTTTGGCAGTAGTTCATTCTGTTCAAAACGTGAACTCCGTTAACGTTAAAGCTATTAGAGAAAGAATCGGATTCTTTCTTTTCTGTACAACAATAGTTTAAGATTTGATAATAGGACTTTAGTTTTGTCAGTATCGATATTCTTTGTAAAAAGTGGCTACCATATCAGGCAGAGAAGCTCAAAAAAAGACTTGACATGATTCAACAACCGCTTATTTTTCTTAACTTCTCTCTTCTTTCCTTTATTATTTGACAACACTCTAATGGATGTAAATAATCCATTTACTCTTACTGGTCGCAAGGCCTCAGGAAGAAATAGGAATGGCATGTATCCAATTGCTAGACAACAACAACAACAACAACAGAAAGAACAATATGGGTTTCCTGAATTACAAGGTAACGTGTTTATTATGCTATAAAGCAAATGACTTTTTCATAAATATTCGACCTGTAACTCATTCTTTATATATATATGTATATATTTTATAGCTGTTATGGAAGATATTCACAATGGTTGGGAATTTATGTTGGATGAAGATGTAAATCAATCAACTATCTTTTTTTTGTTTTCTGCTTCAATATTCACTTTTTCATCTCTTTTTTTTTTTTTTTTTTTGGTAGTTCGATCCTGTGACATTGGCTTTGGCTTTGATGGATGATAGCTCTGTTGGAAAAGGACGAGATTATGACACTTTTCAACGTATTTATTATGATCTTGATGATGCTCTACATATCATTGTTGATGGTAAGAAAAAAAAAATACTCTATTCTTTTCTTTTTTTTTTTTTAATATTCTAGCTGACCTGATTCTCCTAATCTCTTTTTTTTTTTTTGAATATAGACTATTATAAAGGTTTCAACAATTCCATTGGCACTTTTGGGGGTGTTTTGCAACATATCAATGGTAAGCTATAAGTTAAATAAACTGCCAAAAATAATTATCTGATCGATTTGATGTATATAAGATTCAAGGAATCGCGTGACGCAAATGAAGGCAAATTTGAAAAAATGTAAAGCTGAATTATTGGAAAAGCATACAGATCTTTTGAATATGTGGTCAAAAACACAAGAACACAAGGAAATGCTTTCTTTATTGGAAACTATGTAAGTGTCAAAAAAGGGAAAGTTTGAAGATAGTGTTTTAACATGTGCTTTTCTTTTTATTATTTATTTATTTATTTATTTAGAGAAGATATTCGATCCACACCGGAAAAACTGGATAACATGACAAGTAATAAACATGTTCTTTCGGCAGCTACTCTATTAGTTAATTCCTTGAAGACTATCAACAGCAAAGAAATGATGGAAATTGGTGCCCTTGATGATCTTCGAAGCACACTGAATACTGAAAAGAATGTAAATATAAATCTGTGCACAGATAGGAAAATGAAATTAATATATACTTTTGAATAGGATTTATATGATATGCTTCTTGAAGAACTTCACAACAATCTATATCTAAAAAGCTTTTATTGTGTCAACTTATGGTGTGATTATATTACTGGACAACAAACATGTAAATATTATATATTATAAATTAGGAAGAAAACGTTTCATATATACTCATTTTACATCTTTTCTATTGTTATAAATAGTACCAGAATTAACTATCAAGCCAAGAAAGTAAGTCCTAAATGTCAACAAATACTAATACAATGTCATTCATCTCCCCCCTTTTTTTTGGTTAGTTTTTCAGAAAAGGAAAAAGTTAAAGAACAGGACATGTTTTCCGTGGATGAAAATGAGATTGTACGTACAAAAAAAAAAAAAAAAAAAAAAAAAAGAGTGATACTTTCGACAAATGATCAAACTCAACAATGACAATTTACAAATATTTATTACTAGCTGGCAGAAGACCTGGATAAGAATCCTGAAACGGACCCTTATTATTATATGGAAATCATTATGGAAGCTTTGGCTGTATTAGGAGAAATACCGGCTGCTTTACAGGTAATACACCTTCTTAAATAAATATTTTCACATGCTCATTTATTTTAATGTATAATAGACACTTCAAGATAGACTTCCCTTGGAAATACATACACTATTTGATTCGACTATCAAACAAGTAGAGTCAAGGTAAATTAAAAAAAAAAATCCAGTTAGAATCCAATTGATATCTTAATGTTTTTATATTGTTTCTATAGGCACTCTGTTCAACCTCAGCAAACAAATCGTGATCAGAACAAAATGGATGAAGAATCTGATATTTATTGTTTGGACAAAGCAAATACGGATGCTCGGAATGAAATTTTGAAGGATTTACTTTGGACATTGTATTCAAAAATTGAAGCTGTACTCCGTGGTCATCGATTTATTGAAAATTGTGCTCATAGAAGCAAAAAGGTAACATTAAGGAAAAGAATATGATGACGAGGAATTTTAACAGATCTTTTTGTTCCACACGTAGCGTCTTGCTGGTTCTTCCAATGGTAATTTTCGTATATATCACTTTCATGAAATCTGGCGGCCAATACAAGCTGAAGTAAGGTCAATGGATGAAACATCGACATATGATGACTGATTTACTTTCTTTTCGGTAGATCCGATCACTATTACAAGATTATCTGACAACACAAGAACGAAGAGCAGCAGCGGCAGCACAATCGAATTCCTTTTTATTAAAGGACGATTCATCTAACAATGAATCAACAAAGTCTCGTACCAAATCAAAAACTCTCTTCAAGTTTACTGATGCTTCTGAAAGTGCAGTGGTGGCGGCTGAATATCAGCCGGTACAAGATCTCCTTTACTTCCGATATCGAAAGATGATTCCTGAGCTTGCATCCTCTGAAGAAATATTATCTGGCTCTATGATGAACTCCAACATTGTAGACCGTTTCTCAACAAACATGATGGCTCGTGGTGGTCACAAGTTACTGGTTAATCCTGATGCTTACAATGTCAGTGTTTTGTTGAAACCTACTATGGCATTTTTACAACGTCTTCGAGAAGTATTTCCCAATTAGTAAGTAGCAAAATGAAAAAAAAAGAATCAATTACATAATTAATATACTAATCATATCTCATTTTTACTCTTATTATTATTAATTTCCAATAAAAAAAATAGTGATGATCAAAGTGAAGAAGGTTTTGGAAGCTTTTTGGATGACTTTGCGGTTAATGTCTTTTTACCTCAGATAGAAGAAAAGGTTATGCAACTGATCCATTTGGCAACATCAGGTAAGATTCTTATAGAAATAAAATCATTATAGCATGACTTGTATACTTAATACACATATATATATAGGCCTGGACGCCTTTCAAGATGCAAGACATTACAAAAATTTTTCCAAATATCCCATTGCCAAGGTATTAAAACAAAAAAAAAAAAAAAAAAAAAGAGTTAGAAAAGAGGAAAAAAAACGATACTGAATTATGTTTAAATTTTTTATATTATAGAGTGCCGTGGCGTTGATTTCTGTTGTACAAAGTTTATGCCGGACCATGCACACTATGCCATTTCACACTGAAGAATACATTCGTATGGCTGAAGTAGTATTATTGAAATACTATGAAAAATGCTATCAACGATTTTATTGTAAAGTGATACATTATGTTAAGAAAAAATGACTAACGTCCTTGATTTGATTATTAGATATTGTCGCTCGTGGAAATACATATACAACTCGTAGCAACAAGGATCAAAGCACAGCTGATACCAATATCAGTGCAAGTGGTGATTGGGCACAAGATGAAAGTCTTGTTGGTCTACTGGCACAGAATCCCTACTTCAACGACGATACCGTAAGTTCTATTATTATTAGTAGTAAATAGCATATTCAATTATACCATCTTGTAATCAAAACATAGTATCTAATTCACTTTTTTTTTAATTCCTTTCTCTTAGAAAGCTGACGACGAGTTTGTCAAGGCTCTCAATCAAGCGGTAAGAATTTGATTCATCCAGACTGAAAAAAAAAGAAAGGAATTTCACAGGTCTGATACTGATCTTCTATTTTTCTTTTCTTTAATAGGAAATCACAATGGAATTCAAACTGAAAAACGAGACCGAACCTAATCGTCAAATTGAAGCAGATGAACTTATCTTTGATCAAAACAAGCTTATTTTCCTCGGACGACTGTATCATAGTTTAGTAAGTATCATTATTCAAGGTAAATGACAGTGCAATCAATATTCACCATTCCCCTTCCATTTTATCTTTATTTTTCCTAGAAATGGTTTGTTCGTGAAATTTGGGAACTTCGTACCGCTCATGAAACTTCCAATATGCCTTTTGGATCTCCAGATGGTGAATCTTATGAGGTAATATAAAAAGAAAAAAAAATATTTGAATGATAAAACATAAGGGATTCTATGATTTTTTTTTGTCACTTTTATTAGGCTGCCAATTCGAGAAGATGGTCATCCAGCGAAAAACGCTTGTCTTCTATAGAACATACTGGAGCAGCCTTACTTCCTTTACGTGGTGAAGCAGCAAGGTACGTGTTGTGTGAAAAAGGAAAGAAGAGAGAAGCATAGCTTTATATACTGATAATTCTAATTTTTCTTGACAGACGTTTCGATACCCTTCTGACAACTTATCAACAACTAGCCGAAACATGTCTTTTCACTCTTCGTCTGGAAATTCGTTGTCACACTCTGTATTATTTACAAATGGTGATACGTGATGTAAGTGAAAGGAAAAGAAAAAAAAACCAGTCAAAAAGGTCCCACAGTTAACCTGAGTATTTCATTTTTTTCTTTTTTTTTTTTTTTTTTTTGGGAAACATAGGGAAACTACTATCTTGAAGATGAATCCTTTGAACCCGATCCATATGTGATTACATTGAATTCTGATTTGATGGATATTGATGATTCGATCAATGTGTCTTTACCAAGAAAGGATGAAATGTAAGTAGGGATAGAATGAAAAAAGAGAACTTTTACTTAATTAACGATAATTTATACTTCAAGGTTTTGTTTTGACGGGTTACCAGCATTGATGGTTCATATTCTTATTTCAGAAGCTGGTTATATCAAACGTATGAATCATCATGGTGCTCAAAAAATGATCCGCAATATCCTTGCTCTTCAACAAAACTTAACCAACTTTGTGGCTCCCAATCAAAGTGCAGTCATGGAACGTGCCCGTGCCTACTACCAACTTTATGACTATGGAACTGAAAACCTGATCAAGAGTATCCGTGACAATGGACCTTCATTTACTTTTGATGAATATTGTGTGATTCTATCTTTGATTAATGATGCCAATGATGACAGCGATACCCAAGAAGAAGATGGGTCAAAGAGAAAGGCAAGCGACGCTCCTTCGGATTGGTTGATGAAGTTGGATGAAGTGATGGTAGAATATGACACCTAGAGCGTAATATTTTTATTTTATCAATACCTTACTTTTCTTCTTTTTTTAACTATTATTATTTAATAAAACAAACTACTTTATTGATGTCTTATTTATACATATCTTCATATACTAGATTTTATTATAATTGATGTAAAATTAGTCATCGTGATCAATGTGTATGTACCATCCATCTATGCTGCATTGTTTATATGTTTCAAAGAAGGTTCAATAACAATAATAATGACTAATGTTAAAAATGTCTTTTATTTAATAAAACGGGATAACTATACATAAACATGCGTGTATTTTTTTTTCCTTTTTGATATAATGGGATGATGATAATAAAAATGAATCCATGATAAGAATACACTAAAAATGGGAGGGATATCTAACTAATATACTGTATATAAAGGAGGAGAAGAGTCTATTCTACATCGGAATCACCTTTCACACTATTGTTACTACTATGAGTAGGGGTATTTTTGCCTGATAAGAGCCGACCTTTGTATAAAAGTTTTTCCTAGAAAAAAAAGGAAAAAGAAAAAGAAAAAAAAAAAGAGAATAGTTTGGTAAGATTAATAAAGAAGGATGATTGTTCCTCTATTTCTATTCTTACCACCATAGTTTCAGCACCAAATCTTCCAGCAAATCCCATGATAAGGTGATGATTTTGATTTTCCCAACTATCAAGATGATCCAAAATCATATTAGTGATTTGTTTTCGAAGATCATCAATGGATTTCTTTGTTTTGATTTCCTTTTCCTGAAAATAAAAGATAAAAAAAAACAAAATCAGCGAATGATGAATCACAAACCACATGCGTTTACTTTTTTTTTTTTTTTTACCTTGAAGAAAGATATATTGAGTTCTTTTGCACTGACTCCTCGTTCCAAATTTCGACGTAGATAAGAGTCATAATCACGAACAATCCTTGTGATTAAATCAGAAGTGGAGATACCATCTGTCCTTTGAGTTGGTAAAAACTTGCCTTGAGCCTTGACAAAAGAGTATACATCACCAGATTCAGAGGATCCATAAGGTTCGGCATCATGTGCAACATAGTCAATTTGATGTCTGTCGATGAATTCTTGAGTGACCACCCATGGTGCATCTTCAATCACTTCATCCACCCACTTGATATGTCGTAAAGCTTCATATCGTTCCACATCTTTCATCACTGTCTTGCCTTTACGTTTGTGTGTTTCGATATCGCCGCATACTATACTTGTATAAATGAGTTCAGTTCATTCTATTCTATATCTAATTAAATATAGATCATTTTTACTTACCTCCAACAAGTAGGTATACATTATCAAATGCTTTCTTGGCTTGTTCCAGTGCTTTGGCATGACCAAAATGGCAAAGATCATAAATCCCATCTGCATATATACGAATAGGTCTACCTGTTGGTGGCTATCCAAGTGCATATATAATCAATATCATCATAAACAAAGAGGAAAAAAAGGAAGGAGAAGAAAACAAGTCAGAATTCTTTGTATATTTGATTCTCTTTTTCGTATCATTATCATACAAATATTCTTGACTTACTTTGTTCACCTTAAAATCGAATCCTTCACCAAGAGAGAATGCTGGTGGTGGTACATGCGATGCTTCCAATCCATCAACTTTATCGACTTTGGTAGGTGTAGGCGAAATGCTTGGACTGGGCATGTACGTTGTATCTTAATAAATGAATAAATAAAACGTGAATGAATTAGTTACCAAGAAAAAAAGAATAGGTATTTGTATTTTTCTGTTTTTTTTTTTAATATTAGGAATTAAGACTTACCCATGCTGTATCGATACTTTTTTTTTTTTTGTAATGAAACAAGAGAAGGAAGAAGAAGAAAAAGAAAATAAGGTGAGCCCTTTTTATCTAAACCGGGATTCAAAATCAGACCTGTTTTAGGAAATGGGTGCCCCTGGAAATAGGTAAGTCTAAATTCAACCTAAAGCTGAACATCTTCATCATCATCTATCATCATCCGGTTCATTCAAGTTATAGGTCATCCTTCTATCTCCAAATCATTTCTCCAAATCTCTTTTTCTTACTTTGGAATATTCATCACTCATAAAGTGATTAATTTTTTTTTATCATCTCAACATCAGTTGTGTGACGCCTAGTTCTATAAAAAAAATAGGGACCGAACTAGCCTGAGTTGATGAGTATCTCCATTTTGAAATATATCAGATTTAACTAAGAATTGAGAACACGTGATAGCTAAAATCCACTAGTGAATGGGGTAGAAACCCACATAATTCAACAATAAAAAAAAAAAGATGTATATGCATACTATTTATTGGATGGATCATCCCTACCCGTCTCCTAGATGATCAATGCTTTCTTTCGAGACCAGAAATAAGGATAAAGAGGGATGGAAAAAGTACGTCATGTCGGAAATATAGAGGAGAGAGTAAAAGAGTGAGAATGAAGTAGATAGGGGGAAAGAGTGGGGAATATACTATCAGCAAAAAAAAAAAAAAAAAATCGAAAGGGAGAAAGAGATCCTTTTTTTTATTATTTGGATACTAATTTGTGTCGATGGAAATGATGATGATGATGGTGATGATGATGATGTTGTCGTTGTTGCTGTTGTTGTTGATGAACGGTAGAATATCTTTTTTGTAATAAATATTCTTCAATACCACAAGGAGGATTTATAACAACGGAAGGCTTCCTTGAAGTAGCCATACTAGTGGGGATATGATGATACATAGTTTTCATCCGTTCCTGATCTTGTTGATCCATCGACATATGTGGATATAATCGGGTAGTTCTTGGTAAAGAGGGTGATGGCGATGGGGAAATAATGTTAGATGACATCACTGATGGATAATGGTAATGTGGAGATTGATATTGTTGACAATCCTTATTGCTGGTTATACTGGGACGACGGTATGAACTTTGAGTAGATATGGGTACAACTCCAGTATGATTTGAATTCCGTGAAATATTATTAGTTCTAGACAATGAAAGACGGTTGATGATTCGTCGACTAACAGAAGGTTTAGGTACTGGAGATGGCATTGATGATGAGGAGGATGAAGATGAGGACGAAACAGTAATGGAGCGAGTTGGTTGGACGTCGTTTGATTTTCTTGTTTTCGCAGAATAAAAATCATGAGAATAAGTAGATGATGATTCACTTGATAGTGACGATAAAGAATGTTGCCATGATGAAGAAGAACGTTGGTAACCTGCATATTAGAAAAAAAAAAAAAAAAAGGTCAAGTTACTGGTTTCCTTTTTTAGGTTTTTTTTTTTTTTATGTACCTTGTATTAAAGGTTGAGGTAAGCCTTTCTCATCCATTCTTCTTTTCCACGATGATAATTTGGAATCCATTTGAATACACTTTTGAAAGGCTCGATCATAAGCTGCAATACGATCATAGATATTAGGAGCATGACGAGGACCAACTTTGGGATGATTTAATCGGGCCTTTTTATTGGATGAAACCCGAGATGAGAATTTGGAATTAATCTTTGTAGAATATGAAACTGTAGGGAATACCATTATGAATAAAAATGAAACAATTCAAAACAAAAAAAAAAAAAAGAGGATAATCTAAAAAAACATGCTTCTTTTTAAAGGTTTTATGCACTGATGATCTCCTTTTTTCCTTTTATGTAGGGATTTGCCATGATGATAATGGAGGTTGCAATGACCAATAACAATAGTAAAAATAAAACAAAAAAAAAAAAAGATCAGTATACTTCGATAAAGTCAAAACTTGCTAATTCTAATTAAGGAGCACTCTTTTTTTGATGATAATGATGACGATGATGATTGGAAATTAAAGGTCAAAATATAAGATAGAATATATCATCACGGTAATGAGTGATTCTAGTTTAATTCCAAAAGTAGATATATTGTCAACTTTCTTTCTTTCTCTTTCTCATTGTCCACAACTCGTCGGATCAGATATAAAAAAAAGTAAATGATGCAAAAAAAAAAAAAAAAAAAAAACCTGTATCTACCTTTTTTTCATTTCCTTTTGTTCTCATTTTCCCGTACCCCCTACCTGCGGCAGCCATGAGCCAACTATATGCACGAACGCTTACATTGACCAAGTTAAAAAAAAACACTGGATTCCGACCGATAATCAGGTTTGAAGAATGGATTCCAAACCGTATGTTCTTTCATACTATTTATAGCTTATTATTATATGTAGAAGGATGATAATAAAGGAAACTTATATATACATATGGTATGTATGGACTGAGGTGGAAAAAAAAAGAATAAATAATATATAACAGGTTTATTTTCCAGAAGAAGCAAAATGAGAAAGAAAAGAAAGAGGGACCAAAAACAAGCCAAGTGTCGTTCTTTTATAGGATGAATCATCTAAACTGAAAAAAAAAAAAGAATAGTAACAATCAGGCACATGTAAAATGATAGAATAAAAAAAAAAAAGAATCGAGAATCAATATATTATTAAAAACAAAGGAGGTATACCGAAGATCATCAAACTAACTAGAATAATAAAAGGAGGGGAAAGGGTTCAGAACATATAGATGATAAATAATAGGACAAAAACGTGTGTCAATGCGTAAATAAAAAAAGAAAAGGAGAAGTGGAGATCATCTAACACCAAAAGGAATAACCAAAATGCCGAGTCCGTGAATCCGGGGAGGGGAGGTCTGTAGAAATTAAGGGATCATGTTTCATCCTATCGTCATTCTATATACTATCATTGTTGCTGCTGTTGTTATTATTGTTGTTGCATGTTCCATATTTCTGTCTTGCCCGTCGAGCACTTCTAGCCTTTTGTTTGGCGATTTTATTTGATTTTTTGGCATTTTTGCTAAGTGATCCATTCCAAAGGTCATCCAATTTCTCTTTGAGTAGTTTTCGAGCTATACCACGATTTTCTTGCAATGATCTTGTTTGTTGGCACTACCCAAAAAAAAAAAAAAAAAGGTTAACTAAAACAACCAAATACTGAATCCTTTCCTTTCTCCCCCTTCTCTTCTTTCCTCTTCTTCCCCCCTTAAAAACCCAAAGTTACCGCCCCACATAACGCACGAACCCTCCCCTTAGATATTAACACAAAAGTGATCCCATTCAAGAATGCCTTTTTGTTTTTTGGGTGACTTACTTGCACACGGATTCCTGTTGGAATATGTTTTAAATCCACACAGCTTGATCTTTTGTTGATACATTGACCCCCTGGTCCAGATCCTTTGACAAACTTTTCTACCAAGTCTTCATCTCGTAATATAATCTTTTTTCGTTCTGGTTTTCGTAAGCTGGAGGTCGTACTCGTTAAATTTGTGGTCGTAGTTGGAGTAGTTGAGGATATAGTAGACATGAATCTATTGAATGGCTTAGGATAAATAGAAGGAATAGTTGTTTTTAATGGTGAATAAAGACGAGAAAGAATGCACAGCATGGTATTGCAACAGGAAAGAAAAAAAGTATAAATAAAAGTGTTATAGAGGAAAATAGAAAATACAAAGAGATAAAAGACAACGAGAAAAAAAAAAAAATAAAACCCCCGCCTTCCTTTTTTTTTTTTCTTTTTTTTTTTTTTTTTTTGTTGTTGCTGCTAATAATTATTTAAATATTGATCAACTATTATTATCATGGACTCTTTCTTCAAAAAGGAAGTCGAACAAAGGTTTTCAACACTTCCTACTGATCAAAACTATCATATTTACAACTTGAATAAAAAGCAAGAAAAGTGCGCCTCCTTGATACCCACCAAACCTCCTTCTTTTATACATGTTATTCATCGATTAATCTTAGTGACAGCAACAATGCAATCAACTAAACAAATTTTAGTGAGCGGCATGGAAGTATACGAATATATATCAAACGATGAACACACAACTATTTATATCGGCAAGATAGATACAACAGGCTCGACGTTAGCAAGAGGTGTAACGCGACGATTGGTACAAGCGTATATAGCGACATTGAAGTATCTCAACTGTCCATGTAACATTCATGTCTTTGCTCGTGCACAACCTCAATATCTATTTCCACTTTCTGCAAACGATACATTCAAACGTGTTTTAACGGATCGACAACTGGTAGCTTGGTGGCGAACAACTTTAGGTGATAGGGATCTTTATGGCCAAAGACAAATGAAATCATTTTGGATTGTGCCTGGGACTGATGAACAAGACGCTCTATATGATATTGGACATAAGCAACGAAGTACAACCATTCATTGGCAATATGGTTATCCTTATGAATCATCTGCTTTGGCAAAAGATGTGATACCTCGATTTGAAGATGATGGAAAGGCCCGATACCTTGGTACGTTGATGAACTCTGGTAGCGATGATGACCCTTTATCGGTGGATGACTTTTGGACTTTGTTTGGATATAGTGAAGAATGTGGTGCTGGAAAATTGACTGGCGTATTTGTAGTGAAGATTCTTGACGACAATGACGAAATCAACAACAACAACAACAACAACAACAACAACAACAACAACAACAACAACAACAACAACAACAATAATAATAATAATAATTTGGCTTTGGAAGATGATGATTATACAACATTATGGAATGATCTAATGGGATTAGATTTTCATGACGATGAATCAAATTTAAAATCAACACAGCATTTTCTTTCCACTTGGAAATCTGTACTGTTACCTCGCCAATTTGACATCACAACAACTAACAATCATACAAACTCATCAGTATTACCGGATGTTGAGAAGCAAGAAAGTCCTGTTCAAACATTATCTGTGAAACGAAAGAATGATATACAAAAGATTGACTCAAATACCAATACTACATCGGTGAATCAAACACAATCTATGGAAGCAACATCTGTGAACGTATTAGTTCCAAAAAGACGGAAAAAAATGGAATAGATAGATGGATTTTAGAATAGTTTAGATTTGATTACAAAGAACAATAAAAAAAAATATTTTATCAAAATGAAAAATGAAAATGAAACTTGAAAACGATTGTTTTTTTTTTTTTTTTTTTTTTTTTAATTGAAGGGAGGGGTAAATGTATGTTTTCAGTATATCTATTCTGAAAGGATGATGGGGTAAGATTAATTCGCCAGTGTAGCGATAGCCATTTTTTGGGTGATGGTAGTAGCAACAGTAGGAACATTAAGGACTCTTGTAAAGACAGGGACATTAACAGTCATGAGGGCAATGTTTCCTAGAATGGAAGTGATCAAGTTAATAGGAATACTGATTGTTTTAGTGGCGAATGGTATGGTTGTGATGGTAGTATGGATAAAATCCTGTACCACAGTAGTAGTTGTGCAGTGAGGATCAAATACAGTGGTGTATTCATCAAACATGACAGTTTTCTTATTCTCTGGAATGGCATCATTTTGATATCGTTGGTTGTATTCATTTTCATATTTATAATCATCCTCCTCATCACCGTAGTTTTCCATTGCATGGCGACCATACTCGTCATCATAATCTTCATAATCATCTTTCCAAATAATGTATTTCCAATCATCATCTGGTTGAAGATCATTATCATTATCTTTATGGTGTTCTTCATTTGGATGATGATGATATTCATGATCATCATCATCATCGTCTTCATGATCGTCTTTATGATGATGATGATGTTCATGTTCTCTTTGATCTTCTTTTATTCTTTCCCTAAAATAATGATACTGCGATTTCTTGACCTTCAATATAGGACCTATTTGAGCTATTTGTCTTTTCCGTAATTGATGTTTGGATCCATTGTTTTCAAGTGCTCGATCAAAATAACAAGACACAGTAATCACCAATAATAAAAGAAATAAGAAAAAAAGTTTCAATTGAATCATTACAATTAATTTTCTCTTGGAAGGTGAATGAAATCAACCTTGTTTATTGTTATCTTGAATGGAAATTTATAATCCTCTCATGTATTAGTTTCATTCTGAATTTATTTAAAGAATTTTTTGATCATCAACATCATCATCATTGGATAAGGTGAAATACTCGGAAGATTTGAAACTGATGATATGAAAAATCACGATTCCATCACACTTTATACAACGATCAAACATAAAACGTTTGAACTCCCGTCATAAAAAAAAAAAAAATTCTATGATCCAGTAATAAAGATCGAGTATTTTTCCAAAAGCTCTTTGCCCTGATTGGATGTAAATTCTCAAACCTAAAAAAGGAATATGATTCAAGAATAGTTTTGAATAGGTTTTTCTTGAATGTGAGAGGCGCCTATTTTGGTAGTCACTTTTTTTTTTCTGACCTCCGAAGGCTAAGGAAAAAAAAAAAAAAAAAAGTTAGTTTTCTGTACCTCAACCTTTTTTTCTTCTCCAGTACTATTGGTTTTTACTTTTTTTTTAAGAAAAAGAAAAACAATATATTTTTATAATCATGTGTAAGTAGGATATATATATATATAAAAAAACATATGAAAAAAAGAAACGAAAGGAACTTTTTATATATAAGAGTAGAATTAACCTTTTTCTTTTATTCTCCATTAGCTGGCAAAAAGAAAACTCAAAAACAAAAGATGTCTCTGTCCGACTTTTTGGCCGATGAATGTTAGTATCAAAGAAAGTTTATAATGACTTTATTTATTCAACTTTTTATTTTATTATCTAATATAGCTAGTGGATCATGGGCTGATGAAATGTCGGATCTTCCTTCTGCTCGTATGTATATACTTGATTGATCTTTCTTTCTTATAACTCAATTCTTTTTTTTTTTTTTTTAATATCATGTTATATATTCTCAACTACTGCGGTAAACTTGAATTATCAATTTAAATAGCTTCAGGTAATAAACGTATATATATATATGTAAGGAATTGATGACACTCACCCCTTTCTTTAATGCATTTCTATTTTTACCTTTAACTAGTAACTAGAGACGAAGGTGGTGCTTTTGGTGGTAGTGGTGGACGTTTTGGTAAGTAAACAGTTATACTTCTATGTTAAGAGAAAAAAAAAAAGAAAGGAAAGGATATTTTATGGAATAGTCTCAAAAGTCAATATATGAATTCTATTATGAATGAACTTATATTTATTACATTGTGTAGATGATTTACCTCGTGGCCCTGCTCGCAACAATGGTGGTGATCGCTTTGCTCGTGAAGATAGACATGAAGGTGGTTTCCGTGAACGTGAAGGTGGTTTCCGTGAACGTGAAGGTGGTTTCCGTGAACGTGAAGGCGGTTTCCGTGAACGTGAACGTTCTTTCCCTCCTCGTGCTCCTGCTGTTTTACCTACTGATCCTCCTTTCACTGCCCATATTGCTAACTTATCGTTTGATGTCACTGAAGATGATTTGGCTGACTTCTTCTCCAATATGAAGGTAATAGAACTTTTTTTTTTTTGGATAATGAAGATGATAATATTGACCATCTCCCCTATCTTTTTTTTTGTTATTATTTTTGGTAATATAGATTGTCCACCTTCGTATCTTACGTGACCGTGAAAGTGATCGATCCAAGGGTTATGGTTATATTGAATTTGAAGATCTTGATTCTTTGAAGGCTGCTTTGGAATTATCTGGTGAAGTAAGTAAGAAGAGATGAAAGAGATGATGAATGATAATTGACTGGTTTATATTAATTGTATTTAGTCTCTTCAAAACCGAGCTGTTCGTGTCAATGTTGCTGATCCTCGTAAGTGAAATTTACTATCAAATGGATATAAAATTAGTTACAGAAAGAAAAAGAAATATACATTGACCTTTTTTTTTTTTTTTTTTTTTTTAGCCAAAGAACGTCCCGAACGCCCTGAACGTCAAGATCGCACCAATGTAGGTTCGTGGCGCCGTGAAGGACCTGTTGTTCTTCCTGAACGTCAAGAACGACCTGAACGATCTGAACGCCATGGTGGATTCCGTGATCGTCATGAACGTCCTGAACGTACTTTTGTTGACCGTCGATCTGATACTTCTTGGAGTGGTGGTGCTTTCAACAAGGATGGTAACCGTCGCCGTGATCCCCCAGCTGAACGCCCTCGTTTGAACCTCTTACCTCGTACAATCAATGCTAACAAGTCGGAAGATAAGTCATCATCAACTAAAGCAAGTCCTTTTGGTCTCGCTAAACCTGTCGACACAAGCAAGGTTTTGGAACGTGTAGAAGACAAAATTCAACATTTGAAGGTCGATGATGGCAAGAAGGAAGAATAGAATAGTACATCTTATTATTATTTTACTCCATTTTTATTTTATTTAGTGTCCCATACCACTACCCCCCCAACTCTTCCCTTTTTGATAAAAACACATATACATATTATTTATATGTATGCACACGCAAATCTCTCACTTCCTTATCTTTTTCATCTACATCACTGTTTTTGTTCCATGTTTTTAGTTATAATATAGTTTATTATTATTATTATTGTTTCTTTGTTCCAAAAAGTGTTATATAACTGATTGGTACATTCATTCTATCTTATACACATCTACAAATAAAAAAAAAAGACATTTTCATTCTCTATACATTTTACGATGGGTGATGATGATCACAAATGATATGAAAGAAAGCAGTTTTTTATTATTTTTATGAACACTTTTAATATGGAAAGAACCTTCATTATTATCTAAGATGATGATACCATCTCTTTATATTCTTCTTCGATAAACTCATTCTCATGTCCACCACTATCATCATGATTTTTATTTCGATGGTTTTTCTTGTCATAATTTTTAAATTTGTCACCTATCATGATCATTCATATTATCAAGTACAACCATCACACATATAACTATCATCAACCATTTTTTTCCTATCCTAACTAATAAAATCAATCTGTCAATTAAGCCCAACGAGAAATATATATCATATAAAAAAAATAAAGTTCTAGTTTTTGGAAAAAGTCCCTGGAGAATCAGTTTGCTTTTTTTTTTTTCTTTTTTTTTTTTTATTATTATTAGGAATCTATATAAGTACATAATTGTATATCCATTTTGTAGGTAGATCATGAAGAGTTTTTTTTGGGGGGGATGATAAAAAGGGGAAATTCACAACGTGCTAAGAGTATAAAAATGGATAATGGGGTATGATGATGCGATGCAAATAACAAATGAAGAATACAATTTTTTTTTTTAAAAAAAAAAAGGTGAAATATACTAAACTACGAGTTCATGATGTGATAAATAAGATAAGAGGGAAGACCATATACACCAAAACCCATTGCTTTGGCCATTTTTGCAAAACCTTCTGTTTCTACTTGATGTTGGAAAGCATAAGGAGGGAAATTAGCACCTTCACGATGAACTTGAGCTTTAACCAAAGTAAATGTAGCACCCTAAATAGAATGAACAATCGAATGAGAAATTCCATTTTAATGTAAAAGGAATACCAATATAACTTACCACACCATCCAATGGTACTTTGTCCAACTTTCCTAAATGAGTAGGCATATCTACCATCAAATATCGACCAGTCAAGAATTCATAATAACCTAATCAAATGTAAATAAGAAACCAAACAATCAATCACCACATTCTTTTTTTTTTTTTGGATTTTTACCTTCAAGCAAGACATAATCCTATTTAATTAGATCAATAATAAAATGATATCAGTTAGTGTGTCTATTTTGGTATCTAGTTAAATTCCAATTCCCGTCCACTTTTTTTTTTATTATTATTATTATCCTTCCTCTCTCTCTCTCTCTCTCTCTCTCTATTCAGAGATAAATCCATATATTATATATCACTTACAGGATCTAAATCTTTTTGCATTTCCAAAGAGTGTTTTGTTTCTTGCCAATTGTTCTTATCATAACCCCAAAAAGAATTGTCTTCAGTTTCACGAAGACAATTAGGCACCACCACATCTACATTAACACTTTGTAAATCCTCCAAGATAGTAGGTGGGTATTCAACTACATCGACATCCAACCAAAGTACCCAAGCATGTTCATCCTTCAAAGCTGCAGATAACAAGTAATTGCGAGAACGAGCCATAAAAGATCGTCGAAGAGGTTGCATTTCAAATTCATGACGTCGATCTTCAGGTAAAACAAAATCAAAATTCTTTTCAAAAATGGAGATACTATGATATCGTTCTTGTTGAGGATCATTGTTGTTTCCAGTGAATTGTTCAGCTTTTTCCTTGAGTATAGCTACTGTATCATCAGTTGTATCCGAAACCAAAAATGCCAATGAGATTAAATGTTTTGGGTAAGACATTCTATCTACTAATTCAAAATAACGAGGCAAGTAGGATGCTGCATTTTTCAAAGGTGTCAATATCAATACATGTTCTTCATTATCTTTGGCTTGTCCTGTTGCTTGTAAACCATTCAAGTCAATAAACCTAGCTCGAGTATCATCTGAAGAAGAAGTAAAGGAAGAAGAAGTAAAAGCCATAGCTTCATTGAGAGTACGTAATCCACCACTAGTTCGACAATGATTGATACCCCATTGCCTTGAGAAAGTTAAAAGGAATAAACCTAAAACTGATAAGGTGCCTAATACCAACATTGTCAATCGTTTATTGCCTCGAAGTAATACAGAAGAAGTAGGATTGTCTTTTTGAAGCATTGTATAGTCGTTTGTTTGATTGTATATATATAAAAGAGAAAATGTAAATATAAAGAGAGAGAAAGAAAAAAAAAAAAAAGAAAAGGGAAAAGAAGAAAGAAAAAAAAGTATGAAAAAGAAAGAAAAAGGAGTTTCTATTTTATTTTTATTTTATTTTTTCTTTAAAAGAAAAAAAAAAAAAAAAAAAACGAAGATCCCATATTGTGTAAAATTTATTTTTGGCAGCAACCAATCATATAATAGTATTTTCTTGGTGGCACAGGAGTAGGGCGATCTTGTTTTTCCCTTTTTTTTTTTTCTTTCTTTCTTATCAGTGGTCACTTAATTCTGATTCCCTTTTTTTTTGTTAAATGACTTGGCATGATTTTGATTTTTTTTAGTTCCAAATCTTTCTTTTAGTTTATCAAGTTTGATTCTGTATATCATCATTTATGCCAAGAATCATTGGTAAAAAAAAAAAAAAAAAAAGAAAAGAAAAAGTAAAACCTTTAGGCTGAAGCCCAGTTGATGCGCCGCTAACCTAGTTTGGTCTGGACCATTTTTTTTTAGGAACCTTACTGCGTCTAAAGAGTTAGGTCAGATAAGTAAATATAAATCAAAGCCTTCCTTAATAACATAATTGACATCATATTTATATAGACCACATATTTATTATATAAATAAAAAGAATTTTTTTTTACATAAAACTATACATCGGTTGTTGTTTTCTTTTTTTTTTCCACCACAAATACACGAGATGATTTGCCCTTTGCCTTATAACTTTCTTTTATCATTTCACATGCCGCTGTTAATTATCACAGCATATCATTTGATTGTTTTTGGTAAAGATGAAAAAAAAAATATCGATTTAAGAATGAATGATTGGCTGTCAAAATGTCATTGAACTATATTTGTAAACTTGTTCAAGGGAGAATCTGACGCGGAGATGAAAAAGGAGAGGGGTAATGGAATAAGACTACAAAAAAAAAAAAAAGATCCCATATTCTTGAATGAAAGTAGGAGGATGATTAGTTTTTGATTTTTACAGAAAAAGAAGGCAGAAATCAGCCTAATCTTTATCATTGTTTTTGATTACTACTTTTATCAATTATACCAAAAAAAAAAAAAAATCGGGTACCCCCCCTATTCTTTAGATTTGGCTTGTACTAAAAAAAAAAAAAAGTCGATCACTTGATATCATTAAAGACACTATGTATATTAATGACGATAAGACGATCTTTTGATATAAAAATAGACTAAATACAAAACATCAAACATAAAAATAGAACACCATATATAAAAACAAATGCTAAACTTTATTATCGTACTAGCATTGACACTTGTTATTGCTCCTATTCATGGTCAATTATTTCGCTCATACTAGATAAACCTGCTTTCATCCTTGATTTTTCGCATTACAAGTGGGTTATCTGTCATTACTTGTTGAATGAAAGAACAAGATATATCAGAAATAATCATGATGGCTTTAATGCATTCCCGTTGTTTCCTATGATGATCATTGAAAATATCCATTGTTATCCTATCATCATCATTACATATCATCCAATCATATTAAAGTATTCTGCAATTGTATAAAAAATGAAAAATACATCCAAAAAAAAAAGTATATTATGAGAAATATAATAAGAAAAAAGAATCGGTTACATTGACATGTTGTTAGAATAAATATATATATAAAAAAAATAACTAATTGATATACTAAAACTTTAAAGTCAATATAAAGAAAAGAAAGAAGAGAAAAGAAAGAAGTTACCCACATATCAAAAAAAAAAAAAAAAAAAAAAGCGGGTTTCGAAAATAATTATGTTCATTTTGCCTGTGGAGAATGTTAGCCTATCTTGCACTCATGCAGAAGAGCAATCCTTTCGTTTCTCAGAAAGTCATCATCATCGTACCAAATTCGGTCTGAGCATAGAAGAAATCATTCTGTTTCTCTTGCCTTAATAATAATTTATATATTACCTCTCAGTTTATAGAATAAATTAAAAAAACGAAGGTCAATATCATCATTTCTCGTCCAATAATGATCATCATGCAATAAAGTTGCCACCATTAGATTCCTCTCAAAAAAGTAGCTTAATATCATCTAATTTTATTTTATCGCTTACCTTACTACCTATTATGCAAGCAGCGTCAAAAGGATTTTATTTCATCGATTTTTCCAAAAATCGCCTGGCAACCCCCTGACGATGGAAGTTTACAGCTAAAATTTGGCTGAGGAATTTGAAAATTTTAGCTGTGAAATCCAAAAATTTTCAAAAAAAAAAAAAAAAAAAAAAGCTCTAACCACCCTTCAAATCCCATTTTTAAGCTGAAATTTATCACCATACTGTATAAGCATCATTAACAAAAGGTGTGTATATTATCTATGATTACCTTTTTTGTTAGTGGGTTAAAAACACAGCGTGTCGATAATGCATAGAAAATCGCAGAAAAAAGTCATCTGAGCATTTAATTTCATTCTAAAAAAGGAATCTTCAAATCCCATTTTTTTTTTTTTTTGATTTAAACTTCTAATCATATCATAAAGTTATTATTAATAAAACATGTGTATACCATTTATCTTTTTTATTAATGTATCAAAGCACATTTACCATTAAAAATGTCGAGTTAAACTATAAAATTTAAAAGAAAAAAAAGATATTATCAGGGATCGGGTAAATTCTTAATTGACAAAGGGCTTGGGATGAATGAAAAATTGTAATCCACTTTCCCACCAAAACCAAAGCGGAGAAATGAACTCAATATGGGGTATTTCTCTCTCTTTTTTTTTTTTTTTTCTTTCTTCTTCCAATTCCTTGTCTCTTTTTTTTTTTTTCTTTCTTTCTTTTCTTATTATTGTTATTATTCAACCATAACATTATACAAAACATGCAAGCTTACGTTGTAGACTCATGGTTGAAAGGTCCCGAAGAATTAGTCATCAAGAAAACTGCCGTGGTAGAACCTAAACAAGGCGAAGTTCAAGTCCAAGTGAAAGCTGTTGGTTTGAACTTTTTCGATACTTTAATGGTAAAACTAGATTTCATTATTGTATTCTTCATTTTTTTTTTTTTTGCAAGTTATTAATAATATATAATTGATCTAGATTCAAGGAAGATATCAAGTCAAACCTCCTTTTCCTTTTGTACCTGGTGGAGAGCTCAGTGGGGTCGTTATCAAGTCAACTGTACCTCAATTCAAAGTAGGTGATCGTGTGTTTGGATCAGGCAGTGCCTTTGCTGAAATTGCAAACGTAGAAGCAAGCAAATTATTACCTATGCCTAAGAATTTTACATTTGAACAAGCATCAGGACTTTTTATCACATATCCTACAAGTTATTCTGCTTTGGTCTTACGTGCTCAATTAAAACCTGGTGAATATTGTTTGGTACATGCTGCTGCTGGTGGTGTAGGGATCGCTGCTGTTCAAATCGCTAAAGCTTTAGGTGCCATTGTTATTGCTACCGCTGGTTCAGATGAAAAATTACAAGTGGCCAAAAGATTTGGTGCAGATCATGTCATTAATTATCGGGATAAAAATTGGACAGAACAAGTCAAGAAAATCACAAAAGGTCATGGTGCTGATGTTGTCTATGATCCTGTTGGTTTAGTGGAACAAAGGTAAAAAAAAAAAAAAAAATAGAGAGTGTAATATTGATCTTTCTTTTTTTTTTTTTCTTAATACCTAGTACTAAGTGCACTGCATGGAATGGACGTATTTTGATCATTGGATTTGCTCAAGGTACCATTGAAAAGATTCCTGCCAATCGATTACTTTTGAAGAATATCTCAGCTGTGTAAGTGCTATTTTTTTTTTCTTTTAATATTGGCATGATGATCATACTAAACTTTATTTCATTCTTTAAATATGCATATATGTGTATGGATGGTCTTGATTTATAGTGGACTGCATTGGGGAGCGTAAGTATAATACAAAAAAAAAAAAAGTAAATATTGATGTTATTGTTATTAATAGTTATACCAAGAATGAACCTGAACGAATTCCTGAAGTTTGGAAGGCATTATTTGAACTATTCGAATCTGGCAAAGTTCAACCTGCTTTGTATGACAAGATTTACAACTTTTCTGAAATTCCCAAAGGGCTCAAGGCTATCAATGATCGAACTTCTTATGCAAAGGTGGTGGCCACTGTGGGCAAAAAAGATAGTAAAATCTGATGATTAGATTAGACTTTTATAATGAATTGGAATAAAAGAAAAAGAAGAAAAAAAAAACTTTGAAAAGTTTGTAATTGACCATTACCTTATAAGTCAGGTACTCACATGAATGTTGGAAATGTTGTTGAAGAGATCTGATATGAAAAAATTGGGTTGATGTTGCACTGACTTATTCGGAGCTATGCTACAAGTTTACCTTATTTTATTTATTTTTTTGACTTTTGGCTTCTCAGTCTTCTTTTTTTTTTTTTTTGTGACTGAAAAGAAAAAAAAAAGGCTAACTTTACCTTTTTATCTTCCCCTTTTTACTTTTCTCTTTTTCCGCTATTTTTTTTTTTTTTTGTATATACCATCTGTCTTATTTGGCATGAACTGTTACCGTCATGAGGATGCCGTGACAAACTTTTCAGTATTGAATCCCATGCTTCACTCTCATACTTCCTCGACACCAACAACAGCAACACCAACAACAGTCAATGATAGTAGTCATAGTAGCCACGACAACAGCAATAACAACAACAGTAGTAGTAGTAACAACAACAATAAACCTGCTTATACAAATACTTTTGTCCATAAACTCTTCAAGTATGAACAAAAAAAAAAAAAAAAGGCAAACAGTTAATCAATAGGTTGACTTTCTTTTTTTTTTTCTTTTTTGAAAAAAAACAGCATGGTAATAGATGAACAGTATCAACATCTGATCAGTTGGAGTTACACCAGCACATCATTTATTGTATGCAACATTATGGAGTTCTCAAAAGACGTCTTACCGAAACATTTCAAGCATAGCAATTTCTCCAGTTTTGTTCGGCAACTCAATATGTAAATGAAGATTATATTATATGTTTATTGTCTGATCATTGTTATTAATTATGTAGGTATGGTTTTCACAAAGTCAACAAGTCGCCACGAGGGCACCGAACGTTAGCAGAAAATCAAATTTGGGAATTCTCACATTCAAAATTCATACGTAATCGACCAGATCTCTTGGAAGAAATCAAAAGGAAGGCAATGGAAACTGACACTCGAAATCAAGGGGATTTTCAAGCTCACCTCACTATGCTGCAAATGTCTCAATCTGACATGATTCAACAGATCAATCGTTTATTCGATAATTTTCACCAGGTGGTCAACGAATTGTCAGATGCTAAAAGGAAACAAGATTCTCAATCCCTTGTCATCAAACAAATATTACGTTATATATCACAACAGAATGGAGGCAAGTCATTATCATTATGATTATGCAGTGTTACAGCTACTTATTATATCTTTTTAATTTAGGTCATTTACCCCTAGAACTTGATGGATTATCATTGGATATAAAAGACAGCATTAGCAGTAAAATCACACCATCTATATATATCACTTCGCATGAATCTCTTACTACATCCACAAACAACAATGATAACAATAACAACATTTCCAACATTCCATCTCAACAATCATTTCATCAACATCAACATCAAAACTTGCCTTCTTCGCCATTAACCGTTCGTACTCAAAACTTATCATCTCATTCTTCTCCTTCTCATCATCACCGTCCACAACAACAATATCATCAATACAATCATACCCATTCACCTGTTGGAGGTCTTAATCCTCTATCCGCCACATTCGCTACCTCGATTTCTTCTACACCAACAACATTGATAGCTTCTGATGATGATACCTCTCTTTATTCACCACATACACCAAGAGATTCTTCAAATCATAGTGGCACTGGACATACACAACAGGAAATAATGCTCCTTCATGATAGCAAGTGATCTTTATCCAACAAGTGTTTAATTAGTTAATAGTTTGGTAGTTTTATTTTTATCGATCTTTTTTTTTTTTTTATTACATGTATTTATATGCATAGATTGATGTATGTGTATGTATCTCGACAATAAAGATCCTATTTTGTCAAGCATATTTTTTTTTTTTTTTTAGCTTTTTTATTCCTTGGTGTTGCCATTTTTATTCAGATCTGCAATCTACTATTAAGTTGATCTGACCAATAAATAGCCAGTGATTTTTGGGGCATTGTACTTCATTGACTGCTTTTCCCGCACGTTTTCTTTTTTTCCGCCTTTTTTTTTTTCTTTTTTCTGCTTTTAATTTTTTTTTTTTTTCAAATTTCCCTTTCCTTTCCTTTTTCCATTTGATTATTATTAAATATCCCCTTTTTTTTTTTACGTGTACATATATCTTGATATTTATCTATTTATATATTACTTGGTGTATCCTTCTTGATACTCTATGATTGCTCAAGATCGTCATACGCCTTCTTCTTATCCTACCAAGGAATCCTTTCACCCTGATGGACTCAACAATAATAGGCCCGTGAGTCATTTCTTGAAGGAAGCCGTACAAATACTGATCCAAGCCAGTCGCACTGTTAGTATCAATGATCGCGATGTCAGGAAAACTGTGTCTACGCCTTCTTTATCTAACCATACCGAGTTTGATGCCGATACCCACTCGCTTTTATACACCTCACCACCTACAACAACACGACAACAAACGGATGAAAATGATCAAGTTTGGAATGAGAATGCGACGGTGACTTGGAAACTTAATTTATCAGCAACTATGATTACATTGGACACTAAAGTACAAACGATTGCTGGTTTGGAACAAGTACTGGAACAACTATTCGCCAATTTAGAACCACATCCTTCACTTGAAAAACCTTTCTCGTCGTCTTTATTACCGTCTTCTACTGTGTCGTCAGAACATTATCAAATGACAGGTCTTACTCATGCCATTGGCGAAACTTTACGACTCTCTCAAGTATTGGTTGTACCTCAAATCGACATTTTTCAACAATTCAACACAATTCAATTGATCAAACAATGCGTGCAATGGTTTATTATGTGCGACGGGGCTTTGTTTATGGAGGTATCTGATCTATTGGCAAGGACAGATCGAGTATTATCTTCACCTACACCATTCAACAACGATGAACATTCTTTGGATGTCTTATTGTTACTCAGTATTAGTTGCATGATGATTCGTCATGTTATGATTCATCGACGTGGAAATACGGCGGTATCTGCAGGTTTGGCACATGCTTATTATTCCCAGGCTCGGACGCGATTACAAGATTTCTTTGATGTTCCTCATATCACGGTGCTACAATCTATGTTTATTCTGTCTCTCTTCCCTCATGGTCATATTGATCTCTTTTCCACTTCACGACTCTGTTCTACCTTTTTGACAAGCGCGACAAGAATGGCTTTGGCAATGAAACTCAATCAGCTGGACAAGAAGAACAATAATAATGATACAACAAAAGAATATCGACGACGCTTGGCTTGGATGATACTTTGTGCTGATCATTTTTCTAGTGTGAATCGAACTGGGCAAGCAGGATGGATTGATGTGAATGATTGGCATGTGGATTTCCCTCAACCTTTGGTGGACGAGAACCCAACAACAACTCGACGTGTACAAGTACTCTCTCATTACTGTCGGACCGTGATGATACGAAAGATGCAACTTTTCCGATCGGCATATATGGTTGTTTCTCAATCAAACAAGGCTCTGGCATCTTCGATGGATCAAAACCTCTTTGAAACCTACACAAGCACTCCTGATTATTTGCGACTTCCTCTGAATCTATTAGAAACGGATGATCATTTGAAGCGACAATGGACAAGGGATGATGTAGCGCCTTTACTACTAGAAGCTCTTCATTGCAATACTCTGATCATGGCTTTGGTCCCTTTTTTACCACGACGATATCTAGCCACTTTTGAACAAGGCCATCTGACGAGGGAAGCAGAAATCAAAAATGTATATCATTTTATTCAACAACAAGCAGCTTTATCCAATTTTTCTGTTACACCTTTACCGCCCTCCACTCCATTACAACCTCAAGATCATCAACAAACATTGAACAACATGAATGATGAGGATACAATGAAGAATTTGGAAATGCATACGGTGGTGGGATGTTTGACAGCAGCGAATCGATGGACATATATATTGGAAATTCTAAGCATGGTGGATCCTTTACAATGTGATCATCGACCGACACATGCGACTGTTGTGCTGACCTACGTGTACGATCTTCTCCAAACCCACTGTCAAAACTCAAATGTAGCAATGATTTGCCGCCTGAATCTGATCCGTACTCTACGTGTGGTGCAAGTGACAAGACGCACTGATCCTGACTTGACTTTGATTTATTTGGATCGTATCCTGAATTCGTATATCACCTCTTCTACTGATGAATCTTCCGTTGATTTGGAACGTACTACTGCCACTCTTTTGTCCATGTTACGAACAGCTTGGTATCAACGCAACAACTCATCATCTTCTTCTTCTTTGGATGGCAAGATCAAGACTGAACCTCTTTGAATGTTATCTTCCCTTTATTATTGATACCCCTCTCCTTTTCATTTCCTCACCCTCTTTTTGTTACATATTCTTTAGTATTATCCATATTTTTATAGTAGTTTATATTCATATGTATTTTTTTTTTATTATTATTTGTTTTTATTTCGCCATCATTCTATCATTTGTATACACATTCAAAAAAACACTTTTTTTTTCTACAATAAATCCAAAAACAGAAAATGAGTACTTTTTATTACAATTGTGATGAATACAAATTTTAAATGATGATACTACACTTAAATAATCTATCTATCTACTTTTTCTTATTTCTACTTGTCTTGATTTTTCGTTTCTTTTCAGCTTTGGGTAACTTGTGTTTGCGTTTTTCCCGTGCTTCTTCCTTGGCCTTTTGCTTACGTTCTTTCTTGCTCTCCTTGTCTTCGTTTTTCTTGCCCTTGAGCACCTTGGTTCGACCTTTTCCATCATCATCATCAGTACCATCATCATCATCGTCATCGTCGTCATCGTCGTCACTATCATCATCATTATCACTTTTATCTTGTTGCGTATTATCCAATTTATCTTTTTGATCATTGTCGAGTTCATTGATATCTTGTTGTGATGGTTCCGTGATAGTCACTTTGTCTATAGATGATGTGATGGATGCTACCTTTTCAATTTGATCAGTGAAGTTGGATTGTCCCAATAGATTTGAATAGACAAGCTAGACGTTATCAAAAAAAAAAAAAAAAAAATCAATCGCCATTCAGTATTTTTTTTTTCCTTTTCTAACTTACATCCTTTCCTTCACCTTCGGCAATAAGAAGAGTATCACGTTCAACGTCAATGACTTCATTCAAAGTTTGAGGTATATAGGACTTCATAAAAATGTCTTCTTCCATCGTGTTTCGATCCTTTTCTGGATTGGCATTTAATTTCATTTGAATCTAAAGAAGAAAGGATGTTAGTTCTTTTCCAACGTCATTCTTTTTTTTTTTTTTTTTTTTTTTTTTTTTACTTTTTCCAGAGCTTCATCCACAACATGTTCTTCATTTCCAAACGAGATATCCGTAACAAATTGGAATAAATCCATCAGACTCATCACACGTACACCTTTTTTTGCAAAATAGTCAGTGACATTGGACAGATCTTTTCGTAAGAATTCAGACGCATGTGGGTGATCATGTTCAACAGATTGTGATACATCAATGATATATAAAGTACGAGAATGATACCTAAATATATATACATAAAAAGAAAAATATAATTGAGTATATCCTATCATCATCTTGATTTATACTTACAAGATGTTATATTCTGATAAATCAGCATGGACCAATTTACAAACTTGATACATTGTACGGATATTCTTGATCAATTGATAGTATAATTTGGGGTACCGGGAAGTTTCAATTTGAGCATCTTTTAGTCTTGGATAAGCCCTATACAAAATCATGATCAGATTATTATTATTATTATTTGTGATTATTATCAATATATTACCATCCATTCTTGTCACCTAAAAACTCCATAACCAAAACATGCATACGTAAAACCAGAGCTTCAGGAGAAGGAATTCCAGCTTGATGAAGTCGACGCAAGTTACGCATTTCTTTTTCTGCCCAAACCTTGACCATCTTTCTTGGATTGGATTTGCTGTAACCATGACGGAAACGATATTCACCTGTCACATATCGATCACGATCTTTAAATGTCAAAATAGAAGTTTTATATACTTTGATGGCTCGATGTTGTCCATCTTCTGTTGATGCATGATATACGTTTGCCTAACCAAAAAAAAAAAAAAAAATTAATCAAATGTAACAAAAAAGGTATATCTATCAGTCATACCTCTTTTCCAGTACTAATACAACCATTGATTTCATAAAAGATACCACGATTCAACATTTTGAAGAGAATAATACGAGTACGAGGATCCAATACTTGTTCTACTGTAGCACGATCCGCCTTGTCTTTTTGTGTGGTTCTAAAATAAAGAAATAAATCAATTGAGTGATTGATAAATAAAAAAAAAAAGCACACTTACTTATCGCCACTGGCTTTCTTGCTACTAAGTTTGATATCACTGGCAACTGAGGCAGAGATACGAGGAGGTACATATTGATCAACATGAATTCGACTAGCAAAACGACCCAAAGTTTCCATTTGAGAATCTAACATTTTCTTTTTAGTTTCAAGTTCTTCATTTGTAATGGTAGGTTTAATAGTCATTTTTTTGGTATTTGCAGCAGGAGTAGGTTGAGTTGTATTGTTTGTAGGTGTCATTTGTTGTTTAAGTTTATTGTATTGTTTGGTGAAATCTAAACAAAAAAAATTATTATATTAGTTTATGATACAAAAAAAATTATAGTCAAATAAAATTACCTCCAGTAGCTGTATCCCACATATCAGCATCGTTCAATTCATCTTCAAGATAATCATCATAATCATCATAGTTTTCATCAAAGTCACTAAATTCCTCTTGAGTGATATCCAAAGACATTGTATTAAAAATTAAAAAAAAAATAAGTTAAGAAAGGAAAGGAAAAAAAAATGTGGCCCTCTTTTTTTTTTTTAATCGACGGCCTTAAAAAAAAAAATTGGCTCAGCCACTAGGTAACTTTGCATAAACCATACAAGATAGTTTAGTGGTAGTAGACATCAATGATATTTTTATTAATAAAAAGTAATATGTTAAGATATTATGTATAAGGTATTCTTCGACATATGACAAGTGGGACTATGTATAAGAGGATGAAGGAGGGAAATGGTTGAACATACAAAAAAAAAAGTATATAGTATATATATATATAATAAGAAAGGGAAGAACATTGTGGTATGAAAAAACAATAATAAAGACAAAAAAGATTAAGCACCATTGGATTGTATAACAGTTTGAGTAACAGCAGTTTCAGTAGGTATATGAGATTGTACAGATTGAATCAAGTTGAGACGTTCAAGAATCAATCGAGTAGACCGTTCCAAATTAAAAGTATAGAAATGTACACCTTTAATACCAGCATCTAACATGGTACGAATGAATCGGATAGTCAATTCAATTCCATATTCCTTGACAGCAGCATCATCTTCCTTGATAGCTTCGAGATCATTCCAAATAGATTCAGGTACATAATTATTATTAAAAGAAATCACACGCTTGAGACCTTGATAATTTTGAATAGGGAAAACACCAGGTAAAATGGGACATGTGATACCAATAGCGCGACATTTCTTCACAAAGTCTAAAAACATATCAACATCATAAAATAGTTGAGTAACAATCAAGTCAGCACCTGCATCCACCTTGGCTTTCAAATGTTGTAAATCATCTTCTTTAGAAGGATTATCAATATGACCTTCAGGGTGACCTAAATAAAAAAAAAAAAAAAATGAGATAAGAAGGTTTTCTTTTTTTTTTTTTTTTTTTTTTTTTTTTTTTTTTTTTTTTTACCTGCAACGGCAATCCCAAAGTAATCACCATATTTGAGACGAATGTATTTCACCAAATCAATAGCATTGTTGAAACCGCCTTCACAGGATTCCCATTTATCTTGACCATGAGGAGGATCACCACGTAAGGCCAAGATATTTTGACAACCACAGGCTTTGGCAGCTTCCAATGCCTTATCGACTTCTTCTGCAGGCATATTGGTACAAGTAAGATGCATCATGGTTTCCACTTTGGATACAGTTTGTGCTGTTTTGACAATTTCAGTCGTTAATTTTGAAGTCGTACCACCAGCACCCCAGGTCACATCGATGAATTCAGGTCCATATCGTTTCATACGTTCAATACGATCGTATAAGTTTTGAATCCCCTAATATCATCAAATAATTAAATAAATAAATAAAAAGTTCATAAATTCATCGTCTTTTTTTTTTTTTTTTTTTACCTGTTCTGTTTTAGGAGGAAAGTATTCAAAAGACCAATAAACTCGTCCTTCTTGTTCAGCTTTGTTGATTTTATCAATAACCTTCATGATGATGTATAAATATAAAGTAGAAATATAAGGATAATGAGGATCAAGAACAAAAAAAAAAGACAGAAAGAAAGAAAGAAAGAAATTGGGTTAATGATTTTCCTCATTCCTTTTTTATACTGCCTAGAAAAAAAAAGAAGATCTAAATGTAAAATGTATTTGATTCGCTGTAGAGCATATCAAACGTTAATTTTATCCAATCAAATTGCAAATGACTTGAATAACCTCATCTTTCATCTCTTTTTTTTTTTTTCTTCTTTATTTGCATGAATACAGATCCCACTTTTCAGGTTTTCCTTTATCACATCATAATCATCTATCAACAACGACAAATTCAAAAGTTATCAACAACAAAAAATAAAAAAAAATCATTAATGAGAATAAAAAAAAAGTGTATTTGTTTATTTCAATATCCATAAAAACTAATAACTACAATAAACTTTTTGTAACTAACTAGAATAAAGATGGAGATTAGCCAATGATATCTTTTTATTTTCTACAATCACGCAAATACGTTCAGCTCCGACGCCTGATAAAAAAACTTGTTTCTCTAATCATCATTCACCATCATGATCATTTGCCCCTATTTGCGTTGCTGCTTGCCCTTTGATTTGCTAGAACAATTGTCACAATACCATTTTCCTTTGGGGACCGTTTTCAAGTCTACACATGCCAAATGGAACCATTCAATATCACACTAAATAATTAACAATAAAAAATAAATCATTATTTTGGATTCAATAATATTTTTTTTTTCTTTTGAAGCCTTACATCAGCATTATCACAAGCTACCATTTCACCAAAAGAAACTTGTTGGCAATAACAATAAAGGGGTTCATTTGGATCGATATTCATATCACTATTGGATGATCTATATAAATGAAGAGTAAGATAATAATAAAAAAAAGGTGTTAATAAAAATTTAACTTACGTTTTTTTGGATTTGCCTAATAAAAAAGGTGAAATCAATTAAAATCTAAGATCCTTATTCCCTATTTTTTTCTTTTTTTTTTTTTTTTTTTTTTTTTTTTACCAGTACTGAATGGCCTTGTTTTATCCTGGGATTTCGGAGTTCTTTGGTCTTTTGCATTTTGTGATGTTCGAATGAGATTTCCAGGTGGTGGTGTTCCAGGATTACCATCCTTGATTTTTCGTTCTATTTTTTTTTTTTTAAAAAAAAAAATGAAGTCAATCATCCAATCTAACTATATATTTGTATGACTTACTTTTGGCTAGAGATGGATAATATTTGTACAAAAAAAAAAAAAAGATGAGTATAATTTCTTGATCCGATATGATGGACTTACTTTTCTTCTCCGGCTTCATTTCTTTGCGTTCACGTTCCAATCGTTTCAAGGATTTTTCTCTAAATTCCATACTTTCACGTAAATTTCTTGACGATGGTTCCAAACCAGGATAACTTGTAATACGAAGATTACCCACTGGATGATCTTCTTCTAATTTCACCAAATTGGCATCTAATCGATTACAATGCCGATCCACCTACAAAAAAAAAAAATGCAATATAGATGAATCCTATATTTTTTTGACTCGATATCTTTCTTTATTTATTAATTTTACCGCGTCAAATGTCGACTTTGCAAGTGCTACTTTTTCTTCACCACGTTTCAATGTTTCTGTTAATACCACATCCAAAAGTTTTAACTTTTCAATACGTCGTTTGTTATCCATTTCCTTGATATTGTCAATCAAGTCGATCGCCTGACTTGCCGCTGTATCCATGAGTTCTATTCAAACAAACAAAAAAAAAAACATTTGAAATACTATTCGACATTGTTTAATTATTTACCTTGCGCGTAACCGTCTAGTTCTCTCATCAATGTAAAGTTACGTTGTAGTTCCAATGGAAGTGCTTCAATAGCTAACATATATATATATATATAAGAAAGAAAGAATGAGATTACTTCAAACTAAACTAAACTTGACTTACTATCAATATAGTCATCCAAATAAGATAATTGATCTAAATGTTTAGAAACTGTAGGAGGTCTCATGATGATAAAAGATGGTTCTAATATAATAAAGGTGATAAGATTGAAAGAAAAGAAATAAAAAAAAAAAAAAAGGAATCAATTTATGCGCCGAAAAAAACAAGAGGTGGTTGCCATCTGTCTCGTATGAAAAAATACGATTTCACTTTCCGAAATCATTTTATATTTTTTTCTTTTCCACTCTTATTTACTTCAATATGCAGTATGGTATCACATTTGTATTGATATCATGTTGTTTTTTATCTTATACTTTTGCTTCAAGAGGCAATGAACAATCCATATTTTTACAGTGTGTTGACCATTGTAATCAAACTCAATGTCCTGCTCAACTTCCTTTACCTTTGACTCTTTTATTTTGGTCATGGTAATATTCTTTTTCTTTCTTTTTTTTTTTTTTTTGACCCTAATTATAAGTTTGTTTTTTTTTTTTCTTTTCTTTTCTAGTAAAGAAAACTGTCAATATAATTGTATGCAAACTATCACGGACAAGGCACTTGAACATGGTGAACAAGTTTTCCAATACTTTGGGAAATGGTAATATAAAAATAAAAAAAAAAAGGAATACCTTGTTTTCTCACTCAACTCAACTTTTTTTTTTTTAATCTATGGTAGGCCATTCTATCGGTGGATGGGTATTCAAGAACCCGCATCTGTCTTATTTTCCATTGGCAATGGTTGGGTACATTATCATTACTATCATATTCTGAAGAAAAAGATTCCTTCGAATTACTACTTGAAGAATGCCATGTTAGTGTATGCTTTGTTTGGAATGAATGCGTGGATATGGAGTACTGTGTTTCATGCACGCGATACAGCTATCACGGAAAAATTGGATTATTTCAGTGCCGGTCTTTTGATTCTTTACTCATTATACTATGCTCTACGACGTTTGTTTTATATTCAACATCCTCCATGGTGGATGACTCTGGTGTTTGTTAGTTGTTATGGTATACATGTAGGTTATTTATCATTGATTCGATTTGATTATGGTTATAATATGCTTGCATCCGTGGTGGTGGGTTTGATTCAATTATCTCTTTGGGTGGGTTGGTCTATTCAGCAATATACAGTTGATGACAAACGTCGATCTTTTGCCTATATGGCCTTGATCTCAGTAGTAGGTGTCGCTCTGGCCATGTCTCTTGAATTACTTGATTTCCCTCCTCTTCTTCGTATATTGGATGCTCATAGTCTTTGGCATTTATCTACTATTCCTCTCATGGCTATTTGGTATCAATTTGTCTTGAAGGATACAACTCATGAAATGAAATACCATAAATCAACTGTCACCACTACTTTACCTATACCAAAATGAAGATGATGTCTATGGGGTATCTTTTATTTAGAATTTTATAGAATCCTTTCTTCTTCTTCCTTTTTTTTTTTTAATAAAGCATGATTCTTCTATTATTATTATTATTATTTTGGATGACATTTTTATTGGCTATATATATATATTTTAAAAAAAGATCTCATCTTTTTTCTTGAGATTGACGCAAGGCCTAGGATTCGTGCGGCTACTGAAACCGAAAAAGATATAATATCTCTTTTTTTTTTTTTTCTCTTTCTTTCTTTTCTTTTTCTGTTTATATTTATCTCACCTTTTTTTTATATATCCATCTTATTCAAGGCCATGCGATTTATATGTTTTCTGAAAATATAACCAGTTCCTCTCCTTCATCATGTCATGATACTCGACATATCAAAAAAGGGTTCCAACAACTCCCAGCAGAACTCTTGGTACGTATTTTCATTCTTGCCCAGAATCCCGAACTTCGCCTGGTGATGAAGACAATGTATGGTATTTCAAAATCAACACTTGTACGAGCGCAATTCCTTATTGAACGGTTTGGTCGATCGGCTGCTCTTGGTGAACGCGGTATGAAAAGTTTCCGAATGGCATCGACAGTGTCAGTGGTTGATCATTTACTCAAGTTTCGGTGCGATCCTCGATCCGATGGTGATTATCTTGTATGGCAGGCATGTGAGCAAAACAATGTACCTCTGTTTATTTTGGTGGTAGATGCTATTCGACCAGACTCGGCGACATTGGATCGATATCTGAATAGGGTAGCAATGATGTCAGAAGGAATGCGTATGGTGGATATTCTTGTCAAACGGTATGGTGCGTCAATACATCATGGCGATGATACTATGATGATGCTAGCATGTGCTCATCATAATATCAACATGGTTCAACATTTGATTTCTCGGTATGGCTGTGACCCGCATTTCCAACGTGAACGTTATCTTCGTCGTGCTTGTCTTTCTGGTTCTGAAGCTCTGGTGACTCTTTTATTACCTGGTGCGGATATCCATTGTTTCAACGATGCTGCTCTACAAAACGCTGCTTTTAAACAACACTCTACCATTGTCGATCTCTTACTCAAGGCCGGTGCTGATCCTCATGCCAATCGAAACGCAAGTCTTCTATGTGCTGTCCAAAACAATGATCTTACCACCATCCAACTCTTACTCGCCGCTGGTGCCGATCCTCGTTGTCGACAAGATGAACCTTTACGTCTGGCTTGTCGTCATGGAGATGTAACGACTGTGGATTGTTTGATTCATGCCACCGATAGGGTACAAGATATGGTCAATTGTGGAAATGGAATGCCTTTATATGAAGCTTTGGTAGCTGGTCATGCAACGGTGACGATGTCCTTATTATCCAAAGGTGCTGATGCAAATTCTCCTCTTGCCTTGCATGGTCTGCAACAAGCAATACTACTCAATCATCTTACATGCGTCCAAATCATGGCCAATGCTGGTGCCATGCCTGTTGATCCTTCCTCTTTATTCGACAAACCAAGATTATCCGATTCTATGCGCTCCTTGATTCAATCCTATTTTATGTAACATATTTGTTTGTATTATGAAGTCTATTTGAAATAAATCATATTGTTTTTTTTTTTTTTTTTTTTGAAAATCATGTTTATTACAAAAGATACAAAGAGAAGAGGGGGAGATGTATACATAAATATAGCTGTAAAGATATATGTGTGACAATAAATTGATGGATGGTGTGCAAAAGGAAATATATACAAAGAAGAAAAAAATAAGAGGGTTGTATGTTTGGAAAATTGATAAAAAATAATAATAAAAAAAAAGTTAAGTGAATGGATAATAGAGAAGGGGAAGATAGAAAAATTCAAGATAATAATAATAATAATAAATATATATACTATATATAAAGATTAGAGGGGGGAATGAAGATAAAAGGGTAGGGGGAATTTTTTTTTTTTTTTGGAGATGAAGAGAGACTAATGTTGGAGAGATAAACGGGAACTTGATTCATGAGCTAAAGCCAAATGTTGTCGAAAAGAATTGACTTGACTGCCACCGATGCACATAAAAGTGGTTCTTGATGATGATGATGATGATGATGATGATGATGGACGTTGAGACGAATATAATCGAGAAATACCTTGTAAAGCTTCAAATTCATTCAAAGTCAAAGGAAGGATACCATTTACACCTAGACCATGAGTCACAGAGAGATCTTGTATAGGCAAAGCCAATTCCACTGTAGACAAATTTCGAGTCAAAGGACGACAATCAAAAGATGATATCGATGGCGAAGGTAGACTGATGGTTGACCAAGAATCATGACTACTTATACTTTGATCGCATTCCGCAGGTGGAGGAGTCAATGGCGCGTTATCATGGAGTCCGAGTTCTTTAGGTGATGGCAAAAAAGTCAGAGAAGGAGAAAAGTAACCCATGGAAGTTGGTCGATAATCACTGATAGATGGGAGCCGTTGAGAATAAGATATTGCATCTGGTTCTGCTGAAGGTGATACAGGTAAGGAGATATGTGATTGGATTGTTGGTGATAGGAGAGGAGCCAAAAGTTTGGGAGGTTGTTTTTTTGTTCTTTCCATTATTTTTGTTGTTGTTGTTGTTTTATCTTGTTGCTTGTTTTGTACCCGTTTTTTGTCATGAGTTTTATTATGAGTCGAGGTATGTTGAATCATGTTGTCGAAACGGCTAAAAGTACGTTCACAACCAGGTACCACACATTTGAATGGTTTCTATTATTAAAAAAAAAATTGGTAAATATGAAATATTGAAGAAGAAATAGATATAGAACTTACTTCGCCAGTATGCTTTCGTGCATGTCTTGCCAAGTGTTCACTACGTGTAAATACCATATTACAATCACCATAACCAGTACATTGAAAGAGTTTTGGTTCAGAATGGCAATGATGGTGTCGTTTTTTCATAACAGGCATAGTCCACAATAAAAATAGATATTTTAAGAAAGGAAAAAAGGATAAAAAGAAAGAAAAGGAACGAAGAAACAGGGGTTGTGGAGCAAATAGTTTATATAAAGGGAAGAAAATTTCATTCGCCGAACTTGGAGGAGCCAGGGCGAACAAAAAGTCTTTCGATCAGCATGAATAAATGGTTTCACTGACATAAGTAAACGGTTCTTAAAAATCGAAAAATAGAAAGATGGAAGTTTTTTTTTTATTTTTACTAAAGGGTATTAAAAAAAATAAATAAATAAAAAAAAAAAAACTACACAATAAACTATACTAATGTTTGATACAAATGGATGGCTCCAGAGAATCTATGAATAATAATAGGTCATTAGCTTTATTTGGTAGTTTTCTTTTCTTTCTCTTTTGGATTCTAACCTACCTTGCACTATGACTATCGTGCTGGGAAGTAATACATATAACATCCGTTCCTACATTGATTACCCGAGATCCAAACCGTGCCTAAAATATAAGAAAATAATAATAATAATAATCAAAGTTAGAAACAAAAAAAAAAGACAGGGTACATTTTTTTTAAGAAAATCCAATCACATAATAAGTCTGGACCTATCTATCATTACCATAGTAGCATGGTTTTCCAAGCAATCAAGACGTTCTTTGTTCACTATCCAACGATATAATCTTCCTTTTTCTATCATAAAAGTTTGGATAAGATTCTTTATTCTTGTTGAATGTGTCTTCTTACCTTTTGAACCCATAGGTTCGCCAATCCAAAGTCCAACATTATCATCTTTATCTTGAAAGAAAACTACGCTGGCACCAAAATGGCCTGACACTTGTTGTCCCTTGATTTTCTTGACCAATCCATACTCGGTTGCTAGTGATTTCTGCCCCCGATCCAATACACGCCAATCATAAAGTCGGACACTACCTCCTTGCCAATACTTACGTACACCTGAATATGTATCCTATCAAAAAAAAAAAATGATAATAAGTACTCTTTTCTCTCTCTCTTTAGAAGAAGAGAGAAGTATTACCTCTGTAGGACTTGATATCACCAACATGTCATTTTTCCATCCTTGAAGTACACTAAAGTTGTATACGTAAAAATAAAAGAGAAACTAAAAAAAGTCAGTCATCCAAAAAAAAAAAAATTTTGTGTCATCAGGTTTTTCCTTTGTGTGAATTTTTTTCTATTACGTTCCAAATTGTTCAAATTTTCTTTTTCCAGGCATCATCCATTGTAATTTTGATGAGATATCGTTCAATACAATAAATCCATAGACCTTGCCAACTTGAGGAACATTGTTTATTTTAGCACTTGGAGCCCCAACCAAAAGTGTACCATAATTTGTCAAAGAAGAGAAGAATGTCATAGACCAACCAAAATGTTCATATGACATAGGTGTATTGCTTTGGAATATTTGATCTGGTATTATTTCTTGTCTTCTATCATCATTATTACCATAAATAGATTTGGATAAAAACATTTCAACTGATCCTGCCTTTTGTTTTATAAGTTAGTAAAAAAAAAAAAAAAAATTGTCTGTTTCCTTTTTTGTTTTTTTTTTTTTCTGTACCTGAGGTATGTTCATGGTCGTACAATAAGGACAACCCACCAGAAGATCACGATACCCATCTTGATTGATATCGAACCCCGCCAAAATATACCCCCAACCTTCTGTTGTAGCTGCGGATAGAAGGGTCCTATTCGGTTCAGACGCCAATCCATGATCAAGACTACCAAAAAAAATGTCCACTTTTCCTTGAAGACCATTAGCAAAAGGAGATGCCACGGCAAGATCATCTATACCATCTCTATTCATATCTATTACAGCAAGAGCCCATCCAAATCGTCCATCAGAATCTTTCCCCAATAAAACTTGTTTCGATTCATTTCTTGCATCATCCATTTGCTGCTGTCGTATCATTGGTTGTTTTTGTCCATCCAAAATGAAAACAGCCCCAGCCATTGTGAGACTAGAAGATATCACACCACCATCGTTGTTATCAATACTGTAATAAGGTGCGGATATGGCTAGATCAATATGGCCATCTCCATCAAAATCACCAATCACGGTTGCATGTCCAAAACTTGCCAAAGAAGATGGAATAGATAATGCTGAGATGCTATCCTCTTTTCTACTAGAAACTTGTTCCAAAGGGCGACAGTGATTATGAAAAGGTTCCTCCAATAGATGTTGTACAGACAAATCAACAGTTGCTGAGGATGTATTGATGATAACTTGTTGAAACTTGTCATTATAATGTTGATGAGATCCATCATTTTGTTGTTGAAGTAAATGATGATATTGCTCGTTAAATGTTGATTGGTTGAGTGTCAAAGTAAGAATTCCGTTTTTGGTGTCCCAATCATCTATGATGCCGTATTTCCGTTGTAATTGTTCTATATCATCATCATCAATCCATCTATGACGAAAAGTAGGTCGTTGTACTTTTGTATGATATTCAAATCTAACAGAGTTGTTCTTACTGTGTAAGCCGTTGTCAAAATAGTCATCACAAAGTATGTCAGGTACACCACTTTCAAAAGCATGAATCATATCTTTGTAACAATAACTGACACTTGCTGCAAGATCTTGTAATCCTATTAAAAAAAAAGAAAGGTAAGTTGATGAATAAAAAAAAAAAAAGAATAGTAAGGTGGAACTTGCCTCCTTTGTAATAATCATTCAGTTGATCTACCAAAAATGGACTCTTGGCACCATAATAATCAAACATCCATTGTCCAAATTTTAAATCCAACTTGACCCCTGCGAATGCCGCCACCATGCAGTAACGAAGATGATCTTTCAAAGGTATCATTGGTCGAAAAGGATTTGTCAAATGTTGTTGTTGTTGTTGTTGATATATATTATCATTACTATAATACAGTTCATAAATATTGACTAAATCTTGAAGAGGTACTTGCCAAGTTTCATTTAAATATCCCACTCGTGCAGCATGTTGTAAAGTGAATTCAGCCCCCGTATCAGCTACTGTATGTGCTTTTTGATAATCACCATCAAAATCCAATTGTGACATTGCTTGTATAAAATAATTTTCCAATCCATTTAAAGAATGCCATTTGACATCTGCTACATCATGTGACATGATAGCGAAAATAAATACGATAAGACCCTAAAAAAAAGAAAATATTAATTCATTCATTTCATTTTCTTGATTGATTATCTATCTATTTACTTGAATATGAGGATCTGTCCATGGTTGAGGATAAGTATCACGAACATAATTAATAGCTGTTTTGATAAAAGGAGCCCAATGTGCTATTATCCAAAAAAAAAAAAAAGATAAATTTCAAAGTAAAATAGTTTATGATTGATATTACCATCTTCAGATTGTTGATTGTAACCTAAACATTGATATCCCCTAAATATATATATAATCTTTTAATTTTAGAAAAGAAAAATAAAATCAAACAAAAAAAAAAATTACCAATCAGGAAAAAATGAACCAGATTGCATAAAACCAGGAAAAGATGTCAAAAGTTGCTTATATTTTGATTCCATACTATTTCTAGGACTAAAAAGTTCTATTGACCTATACGATATTTCATTATGAACAACACTAACAAAAAAAAAAAAATCATATAGTGAGCGATTAGCATACGTTTTGTGTTACAATTGATAAAAAAAAAAGTTCTATCTTTTCTTTCCTTACATCCCACATGCATTTGTCAATGTCGTAATAGAAAAAAGAATACATAAAAAAAATAAAATATTTATTGATTGTAATATATTGATTAAATAAAAAGGGTCCATATATATAAAGGTAATAATGAAATGACAAAAAGGAAAAAGGGGAAAAGGAGAGAGAGAAGGGAAAAAAAAAAAAAAAAAGAAATGAAAAAGAAAAAGTTCGAAGAAAAGAAAAAAAATGAAAAAAAATTCATCCAATGATTTCTACATTCTGTATGTAGTTCAATCCCAGATTGGGTAATTCCAAATGATCTTCTTTTATTATTTTCATATCATAAAGAATGACTAAACTAAATCTAATCTAAAAATATATATGTATATATTCAAACATTTCTTTAACTAATTATAATTCTTGATAATTGATGTTCCTTGAACCATCTTCTTATAGTTTCTAAACTTATTTCATTGTTGTTGTTGTTGTTCGTCAGACATAAAGTATTCAATTCCCTTAAATCCCGTCCCCAATCGATCACAGAAGTCAGTAGATCCGGTTGTAACCAGTCATAATAACCAAGATCCCAAAATTTTAATTTGCGTAAACCACGAGAGAATATCATCATAGCTGGTGGTCCTTGTATCATATCAAAACATCCTGCTGAATAAAGCCATAATAAATTTGGTACTGTTGTTGCCACAAGATAAGCCAATGTGATCCATGGTGTCTTATTCGTCAAATGCATAAATGAAATATTTAATGATACCAATGTACGACCTAAGAATGGTGTTGATAAAGTATATGATACTCTTGGTGTATAGATCACATTTTCGATCTCTGGTCGTAGTACTTTCATCACTTGATATAAATGTAACCATTGTCCAGTTTCTTCTTGCTGATTTAAATCCAATATAAACTGAGGAATATCATCATTGCTATCGCCTTTTCTTTCATTTCCCGTCTTTTCGTCATCTAATAACAGATCTTCCCAATCATCCACTGGTTCCTCTTGTTTCGTCGTTATTGATGTTGTTGTCATTGGTATCATATCTACCTTCCAAAATGCCTGAATCAATCGTTCCAATGAAATACAACTACCTTCCAACCACAATTCTTCGTATTCAGTCTTTTGAAACATAGTCAACGTATTGTCAGTCAGTAAAGATCTATCACCATCGTTTCCAAGAAAGGACCATTCATAAAGTAAGATTTGTTTGACATGACTGGGTATACATTTGAATTGTTGAGCCAATTGAGAAGTATAAGAAGAAGAAGAAGAAGAGAGAGTATCAGCGAGTTGACAACAACAAAGTGACATTAAACTCTGAACAGAAAAAGAAAGTTCACTACCATGTTTCAGTTGTAATCGTCGTTGTTGTTTAATTCTTGAAGAAATAGAGGTAGTAGAGTTAGTAGACGCATGAGTTCTTCTACTAGCAGCAGTCCAAGATGGTGGTGGTGGTGGACCTGCAGCTGGTCTAGTATAAGGTGGTGTCACTGTTGGTGGATTATCATTGTTTGGTAATGTCATTGCAGGAGGTCGAGGTTGCATCCAATAAGACATTGGGTCCATCATGGTTATTTGTTGTTGCCGTTGTTGTTGTTGTTGTTGAATAGTACCTGTTAAAGTAGAATCATATCGTCGTCTTCGTTCTCGATTTGCTTCTGCTCTTGCTTGTTCCAATCGTAATGTTGCTAACTTCTCCGTCACCGAACTTGTTGGTTCAGAACCGTTATTCTTGATGTTGTGACCATTATGCAATGATGAATATTGATGTTTATATTTGTATTTTCTTCCACTAGGCATAATCGAACATGGTATATAAGTTAAAGAAAGAAAAGAAAAAAAAAATTAAGAAAAAAAAAGGAATACTGCGGGATAATGCTGTTTCAACTTGTTTCTGATCAAAAAAAAAAAAAATAAGCGGTATTTGAAAGTGCGATTTGGGCAAAACTTGAAATTTTCAGAGTGGCATTGAATAGACCCTCCTCTTTTACAACTTACAGCAGCATCATGGTAAAGAAGAAGACGATACGATATGAACTAGATATAGGAAAAGAAAAAGGATATAGAACATATAGAGTGAACGGATGGATAATTATGGATTTAAAAAAAAATAGAAAAAAAAGAAAATGGATGGATGGATGGATGGATGGATACATTTAGAGTTTTTGGTGTAGATATAAAGAATGAGACGAATGTAGTATGACTTACCCTTTTCTTTTTTTTTTTTTTATAGTCTCTCGTTGTGCCCGAACGAAACCAATTCCAACACATTATTCGTCTTCTCAACACCAACGTCGACGGTAAGGACAAGATCACCATTGCTTTGACCTCTGTCAAGGGTGTGGGTCGTCGTTTCGCTAACGTTGCTTGCAAGAAGGCTGATGTCGATTTGAACAAGCGTGCCGGTGAATTGACCAACGAAGAATTGGAACGTATTGTCACCATCTTGCAAAACCCTGCTCAATACAAGATCCCTAACTGGTTCCTCAACAGACAAAAGGATATCATTGATGGCAAGTACTCTCAAGTTATTTCTAACGTATTGGATACCAAGATGCGTGAAGATTTGGAACGTATGAAGAAGATTCGTGTCCACCGTGGTCTTCGTCACTACTGGGGTCTCCGTGTCCGTGGTCAACACACCAAGACTACTGGTCGTCGTGGTAGAACCGTCGGTGTGTCCAAGAAGAAATAAACTCGTAAGCTCTTCTTTTTTTTTTTATTATTATTATTACTTTTATGACTAGGATGATGATGAATATACAAAAAAAAAAACTCTTATCTACATTATCTGAGGATACTTGAAGAGAAAATTTTGTTTTCTGAAGACTAGTCATGATCATTATTTTTAATTACTTCGGTCATATTGATATTAACCAGTTTCTTTCTACTTGTATATAGGCTGATTGGATTGTTGTCTTTGCTTTACAATTGTGGATATGAAAATGTTTGAATTTGTTGTTTGAATAAAATTATTATATTAAACTATGATCATTTGACTGCATACGCAACATGTATGATAACTTTTCTTCCTTTTTTTTTTAGATGATGGATACTGGATTGGTGGATAGAATGAATGATTATGGATTTTGTGTGTGTGTGTGTTCGAGAATATTATATGATGATGAAACAGTTCAATGATACTTGTTCAACGATGTTGAATGATGATGATGATGATTCGCACTGATGATTCAATCATGATGATATTGATATTTTTTTGAAATTGCTTCTGCGTGCATGATGATACATAGATATAACGAAGATAAGTTACATAAAATGTGATTTTTATTACGATGTATACAATAGAAAATAATACAAACATGATACATATAAAAAAAAAAAAAAGAAATGACCGGCAGAGATGATAAAAATATATATATATATAATCTATGTCAAGTTGAAGCCTTGTTCCCGCGCCCACTCTTTTGCCAATGCTGTAATGATAGCTGCTTGATCATTGGAGATATCACAAAGTACCATTCTTTCGAGGATGTCTAAGCGAGCATTTTCATATTCCACTGTGAATATTTTGTTGCGTCCATACAATTCATGATCTGATGTATCCATTGCTAATCGTTCATACCATAAAAGTAGTTCAGGATCTTCCACATTGTCATTCTTATCTATCATCGATCGGAACGTCACTGGAATTTCAATGGCAAAAGGAATCAGACCAGTCCGTGTTTCGTTGGCTTTGACAGGAGGTGATGCTTTATAAAATTCATATAATAAAAAAGTTTGACACCAAAGAGGGATGTTGCCACGAATCATCATGTCCACCTTTTCGTTTCCAATATTGCTGTATCGTACTCCAAGTGTGTAACTATAGGGAATGAATGATGATGATGCTGATGTCGTCATTGTTGAATTGTTTGAGATCAATCCAGGCATATCATTGTAATTAAAGGTGAATATCGATGATGAAATATCTAAATTCGGTCCCGAGAATAAAAAAGAAAGATTATTAATTGAAGTTTCAATTCAAATATGCACAAGAAGAAGGTTATCATTACCTTCAATGTATGGTGATAGAGAAGACGCGTCGTTCAAAAATGAGTCAATTCTTTCAGACAGTTGCTGCTTTTGTTGTTGTTGTTCTCGAGCCATTGGATGATGTTGTTGTGATTCTGTTTGTTGAAGAACAAAGACACCATCACTAATCCGTAAGAAGTTTGTTTCCCGAAGGTCGAGCATATGGATCAGTCGAAACACCAGATGGTTGGAACGCTGCCGACGATAATTAAAAGCATCTATAGGACCAAAAGGATCAGAATTGAATTTAAAACTTGAGGCATAACTTTTGCAGTAATCACATCGTTCACGAGAAGGATTGTAGTGTTCATAGAGATAATCACTTGGAGATGGTACAGCTATACTTGTGGACGAAAACATTTCTTTCTTGACTTGTTCTACAGCATACTTCCAAATGTCGGCTTCTTGAGATCCATGTGACTCTTTCCTGTTGTCGCAAGTACAACGTGCTTTTTGATAGAATTCAACAGTTGGTGACGAGTCGTCCATATTCATTCAATTGTTGTTGCAGAGAAAAGAAAGAGAAAGGAAGTCGGGAGATCCCTTTTTTTTTTTTTTTTTTTTTTTTTTTTACTGCAGTGTTCGGCATTTCCAACTTTAAAAATAGATCGACTGGATATGATTTTTTTGGCAGCTTACTACAAGGGTAACCAAGTTGAATTTTTTATTATTATTATTAATATTATTATTCAAAAACTATACAAAATAATCTATTCTATCTAAACTAAACTGTTGACCGTTTTCAAAGATTCATCGGCACAGATTCATCATATTTCCATATTTTCACTGTTTGATCATCACTACAACTTGCAAGCATACCTTGTTTGGAATTCCAATTCGCTTCATACGCCACACCATTGTGTCCACGAAGTTTTTGCAATACTTCACCAGTTTCTTGATCCCATATATAAACAATACCATCATCCGATCCACCCACGATAAGATTGTTGTCTGCAAAATTAGATCGTATAAAATTCTTGGATGTATTTTGATGACCTTTCAGTTTTCGTAAAGGTTTAACCTATCATACATAAAATTCATTTAACTTTCATTTCATCAATGTTTCTTCTTTTCTTTCTTACCATTCGCACATCCCATAAACGATTAGAATTATCCTTGGAGCTACTGAGTAACAACGTGCCACTTGAATTCATTTCAACTGATGTCACTTCACCCAAATGAGAAGAGATCGTTCGAATACATAATCCAGATACAATATCCCAAAACTTGATAGTGTTATCTTTGGAGCCGCTAATAACTAAGTTACCTAATGGATTGAATATTGTTTTTGTAACTGCTAATTGATGTCCTTGGAAAGTCTTGACAATAGCACCAGTATTCACATCAAACATACGAACTGTTTTATCATAACCACCAGAAACAACATGATCCTAAATAGAAATAAAAGATGAATACCTATTACAACATATTTATTCAATAACTTTTTTCTTTATTTATTTATTTACCTCATTCGGATGATATTTGACAGAGTATACATCACCACTATGACCGTGTAAAGTATTTGTACAAGATGCCTTTGTATCTTTTAAACTCCAGATCTAATATAAACAATGTCAATCACTTCTTTTTGAATTCATCCTCCATTATTCTTTCTTTTTTACCTTGACTAATCCATCACCACTAGCACTTGCAATATAATCACCATGTTGTGTTGCTGAAACATCCCATATTCTTGATTGATGACCTTCCAAAACGTCTAGACATTCTGCTGATTCAACATCCCAAATACGAAGTGTATTGTCACTATTTTTTCAATAAAAAGAAGAAAAAGATTTTTAATAATAATAATAATAATAATAATATATAAATATATTTCCTAGTTTAAATTTACCTTGACCCTGACACTGCTGTTCGTCCTTCATCTCCAATAAATTCAACACATTTGACATTTCCTTTGTGACCTGATAAAGTAGCACCAACAGCATTGGGAATAACAAAACTGGTATAATCTTCTAATAAAGAGTTGACAGCAGGAGCAATTTTGGGATGGTAACGAGAAAATTCAATTTGATAAGCAACAGATTGTCGTAATAAAGTCAATAATCGATGAGGTGGAATATATCGGCTACCTATATGTTGTATATAAAAGAAAAACAAATAGATGAACAATTCTAATATCAATAAATAAATTTCTTACCATTTCGATCCGCTGTTTCGAAATCAAGCATATTTTGAAGTTGATCCACCAAGTTTTCCCTAAGAAATAAAAAGTTAAGTATTTATCTTTATCCTTGCACAAACATTTGATACTCTCTGAAATTACCTTGCTGACATAATACCTTCCCAGTTTCGGAAACTTTGTACTTCAGGAATAGATTTCGTTGTCAATAGGTAGCACATATCCTTGAATTCATTTGGTTTTGTTTGTAAATGTTCCAATGGCTTTAATCGTTTGTTAAGAAATGTAAATGCCTAAATCCCATAAATCCTCCAAAATTTAGAAAGGTTTTTCACACATTTTCCCAATACATTAACCTACCTTTTGAATTTCTCGGCGATCAATATATTCTAAATATTGTTGTTTGTAAACAGAATATAAGAACGAGCGGTGGTTTTTCACTAGTGGTTTCGTACATAGCTTTTCCGCTTCTTGCCAGTCACCATCTAATATAACAAAAAAAAAAAGAGAGAGAAAGAACAATAATATTAGTAAAGACTATTATTATTATTATTATTATTATTATTATTATTATTATTATTATTATTATTATTATTATTATTATTATTATTATTATTATTATGTTTTCGTAACTAGTGATCTCACTGTATATATATATATGTATATCTTACCTAAGATTGCTTTTCTTAGTCTTTTCACTTCTATGGTTCTTTCTTCACGTTCTTTCCATTTGACATTGGCTTCATCGTATAGTACTGATTGTGATGCATGGTAACCTTCGTCAGATAAGTACTGCATAATAATAGCCAAGATATCATCTTTTAATTGTGGGTCGTTAGCATTGAATATATCTTCTGTTGGTCGAATAACGGAAGTGTGTACTCCAACATTTTGATTGTAAGTTGCTAGGCTATATGAAGAGATAAAGAAAAGAAAAACAAACAAAAAAAAACAAATAGACAAGTTAGTAACTGGTCGTTTGATTTTATTTCTTTTTTTTTTTCTATAGTGTTTTAAGTTTTTTACCTTCGCCGTCGTCTAGCTGATACACTATCTGAAATACCACCTCTATTCCAAAGTCTAGAGTCATTATCTGGTTTTGTTGGTAAATCATCGGTTGTAATCGTAGTTTTATTTGACATTATAATATGGAGCGAAGAAAAGGAAAAAAAAAAATGAAAAAAGAAAAATAAAAATAGAACAAGAAAAAAGAACAAGAAAAAATATCTAAAGACAGGAAGGAATGGTGTTCAAAGATTTCAAAATTGAACTACCGATGACATATAAAAAATCAAAATGGCTGTAATAAAGTGTATCAATCATTTCCAATTTTATGCTCCTTGTTGAATTTCCTTCAATTCTTGTAATCTTGCTTCCAATTTAGGAATATCCAAAAGTTTAGCTTCAATCTATATATACATATATAATAAGAATCAATACAAAATATAAAAAAAAACATCGACTTTATTTTTATCACTTACTGCAGTCTTTTCTTCTTGTAATTTCAATCGCTTTTGAGCATCCAATTTCGTAAAAACATAACCACCTTGACCATCATATTGAAGGATATAATTATGATATTTCCATAGAGAAGGTCGATGAGATACAGTCAAAAGAGAGATTCCAAGAGCTGAATCAGAATATTATTAGTACTTTTAAGGATGATAATAATATGAAATAAATATTACCTGTAGCATGCGTATACATGATCTTTTCAATATCCATACTGACTGCACTTGTACCTTTTTTTTAAGATATAAATATAAAAAATGAGTTCAGATATTCAATTTACGTTCCTTCTATACAATCAGGTTACTTACATTCATCTAAAATAGCATATCTTGGAGAGTGATAGAATAGACGAGCCATTGCAATCTAAGTATATAAATGTACAAGATGAGTCAACAACAAAAACTATTGAACTATCTATCATTCTTCACTTACTCGTTGTTTGTCACCACCAGATAGAGCAAGAGTCCATTCTTTTTCAGCATCCCAGCCACCTTCACGTTCTACAATATGTCCAATTTGAACCACATGAAGAATTTCTAGCAAATCATTGTCAGTAATACCACGTTCTTGCATATCTTCAATTGTATCAGGGTATAGAACTCTGAATATATGTATAATTTTATTAGTCATTTGGATAATTATTTATTATTTCTTTTTAATATTCTTTTGATTGATTACTTACTGATCACGTAAAGTACCAAGAGATAAATATGGACGTTGTGGAATATAAAAAATATCACGATGACTAGGTTTGTTTACAGATCCGCCATACACTGGCCAAAGACCACCAAGAATACGGAAAAGACTTGATTTACCACATCCATTAGGACCAACAATAAGTAAATGCATCTATAATAATAAATCTTATTTTAGTATCCTACAACAAGTATGGATGAGTGATATATGAAACTTACTCCAGGTTTGACATGGAAAGATAACTTTGGTACTAATACATCACCATTGGGACTAACAATTGGTACATCAATAAATTCAATGTTTTCACTTTCTTTCACTAGACCACGACCTTGAAGAGTTTTAGCATTGGATTCGGTAGATACTGAAGATACTAGACGTTTTTGATATCGACCAGCTTTCACATCTTCAAAGACATCAAGTAAGTCAACGACCTAGATATAAAAAACCAAATGTAAAGATTAAATATATAAAGTTGATAAAACTTCCTTTTTTTTTTTTTCTTTCTTCACTTACCCGACTAGTATAGCCTGCCAGTTCTGTAATTTCTTTATAAGCATACATGATACGACCAACAGCATCAGATGAACTCATCAATAAACGACGATTGGTAACAAATCCTTATCAAAAAAAAAAAACAAGATTAATCTAAGTTTATTTGAATGATTCATTTTATATGTTTATAATATTTACCTTCAGTTCTTGATCCAACAGAGCCCATATCCATACCTTCAATCTTGAAAAACACGGGAACCGAACAGAGTAAAAGACCACAAGCACCCCAAAAGTATTTGATAACAAAGTCCTCCAACATGCCATGAGGTACACGAATACGGAAGATTTTGTTGACATGACGAATCAAAGCATAGTAACTTTTATCGAGAATTGTTTTTTCAATATGTTGACCTTCAAATAGAGCTATTTCTTCTGAATTTTCAATGATACGTGAATGACGGAAACGGAATTCACCTTCCAAACGTTGTTCTTCAGCCACCATTTTACCAAAGGAAGGAGTATACTTGCGCATGACCATAGAAGAGAGACGAATAATGAAACTCGCAGCAAAAACACCTTCGAAACCCACATTTCGACTAAGTTGATAGTTGTAAATGAAGACATCCAAGATAGGTTTAGCCAAATTTGAGTAGAGTTCTGATAATGAATTACTGAATTTCATTGTGTCAACAGTGATACATTGATCAGCATTCTTAATACGATCATCCAAATTCCCCAAAGTATAAAATGTCATATCAGTAAGATATTGTTGATGTATATGAGTTGTTAATCTTGTACGAAATTGAATAGCCAATTTACTTTGCATATAAGTTAACTAAAATTTCAAATAAAAAAAAATTCGTTAATAATAATAAATAAATAAATAAATAAATAGTTTTACCATGCTATTTGTATATGTTGCAGGAATTGCCACTGTCATCCACCAAATAATTCCAAGAATAAAATCCTTCACTTTTCCTTGAACCTAAAATAATAATAATAATCGGTAATCATAAAGGTAAATCATTTTTTTTAGTGTTCACTTTCATACTATTCTTTTTTTTTTTTTTTTTTGTTCCAAATATTTACCAATGCACTAACAATCCGACCATCTAAAGATGCTATATAAACTGATAAAATAGTTCTAAAAACTATACAAAAAAAGTAAATATATGTTATTATCTATTATCTATTATTTCCATTATTTAATTCTTTCTTACCAAGAAAACCAGAATGAACTACCAACATGCCAAATTCTTTTGAACGTAAACCAGGCATCACAATCTTCAATAAACGTTGTATTTGTCTTATAAAAGCCATATCCACATCCACTTTTTTGTTCTTGTGATCAAGTGATTTCTTCGTTTTTGGTTTCAATTGTTCTTTTTTGAATTGTTTCATTGTTTGATATACTGATAAAAGTCCACGTAAAATAAATAGAAGGAATAAAGACCGTCTAATGGTGATTCTATGACGAGTATAAGTTTGAATACTTCGTAGCACAAAAGGTGCTAAGGACTGTAAAGTTGAAGACGACGCCAGTTTGGAGATAATATTTGTCATCTCTCTAGAAAAACACAAATAAAATAAAATAAAAAAAAAAAGTGATTGACGTGTCTATTTCTAAAGATTGAATTTAAAAAGATGACAAAAGAAAAAAAAACAGATAAGAAAATAAAAGAAAAGAAACAAAATAAAAAAAAAAAAAAAAAGAAAAATGACTTATACAATCACCGTGTAACATTTAGTTTTTACACACGTGAAAATTTGCGGGGAGGACTTTTTTTTAAAAAAAAAAAATCTTTTTCCAGCAAAAATTGGGACACATGTTGCTCAACACTTGTAGACAAGCATCCCATGTGACCAAAAAAAAAAACAAAATCACCCTTTTTCCCTAAAAGGTTTTTCTAGGTACAAGAAAGTCGGAATCTCAACAGTAAACGTCATTATACTTAGATGATCATAAATCATCATCTATAAAAATATATATACGCTTAAGAAAAAAAAAAAAAAAAAAAAGGAACTCTAAAACTGACTTTGAATTTCATTCATGCCTTGATCATCTATGCTAGATGAAGCATGAGGAAACAAAAAAGAAAGAAAAAAAATTGTAATCAAGGAGTATAATAAGGATAGTAAGTTTGGTGTTTGTATTATTGATGTAATAATAAAAAGGTACAATTTCTCACTGACAAAAAAAAATCAGTTCTCTTTTCTTTTTCTTTTTCTTTTTGAGAATTACTTTTTCCCACCCACATTATATCCTTGTTTCTTTTTCTTTTTTTTTTTTTTTTGATGACTACTTCTACAACTCAGATACAAAACGATACACCATTGGTATCATCATCCATTTCTTCTCAACATCTATTAGCCATAGAACGCTATATTGCTGGTATTAAACTAGAACAACAAGGAAGTGTTTCTGAAGGTAGGTAAAATATTAAAACAACAAGTACATCGTGTTCCCACGCGCAATAAAAAAAAAACGACATTTATGTGTAATGAGCTGATTTTTTTTATTTATTTGTTTATTTTTCTATTAATCGTGTGCATTCCTAGCTTTAACTTGTTTTCAACAAGCATTCAAATTAAACCCTGATGTTGACGTTGCTTATTCTTATAAAGAAAGAAAGTTATCATCATCATCTATTTTCTCAACTGCAGAAGATGTTGAAAATCATCAAGATCACGTTACCAGTATCGTTTCATCTACTTTTGCTTCAATTGAAGATTTTATTGAACATATTTGCCAAGAGGGTGAATTAACGTATAATCCTTTAAAGAAGACGAAACCGATATGGATCATCAAACTTCCAGGTATAGCATTCCTTTTAAAAAGACTCATAGTCCATAATTTACTTTCATTTATCCCATCACCCAGTCGCCCAATAAAAAAAAAAAAAAAAAAAAGAACGAGTAGTGAGGAATCATCCCATCACATATCATCCATCCATCACATACCGTCCCATCATCATATCATCACTCGCCCTAAATCAAATACTAACGTGTAATTGTTTTTTTATTTTTATTTTATTACTTTATAATAGGTGAAATCATTGTCCATATCCTTTGTCATTTAATACTTCAATCATTAGGTAGTATTGCTCAGTTTGGTTTAGTATGTAAACCATTCTTTTTACTTTCTCGCTCTCCTACCCTATGGAGATTCGCAAGTGAACACCTTTTTAAACAATCTTATATGTCTTTTGAACAATCACGTCAAACCCAACTTTCTTTGGTGGATCAGTATCAAGGGAATTGGATGCGTATGCTGAAAGAGAGACCACGTATTCGTTATGACGGTGTATATATTTCTACTTGTCAATATGTTAGGTATGTCAATAGTATATTAATAACCATACTCTAAAGAATGATATTCATTTTTTTTTCTTTTTTTTTTTTAAAAAAAAAAAAAGGCCCGGTGTATCAGAAACAGCTTGGACGAGACCTGTACATCTTGTAACGTATTATCGATATTTACGATTCTTTCCAGATGGACGTGTTATGAACTTTATTTCAAATGATGCTCCAGTGCAAGTGGTCAAGCTTTTAGTGCCATCATTCAGCAAACGACAATTATTCAGAGGTAGATTTGAATGGGATGGTGAAAGAAAAGTGATCATCCATATGAAGGAAGATGGAAGACCTAATGAACAGTTTATAATGAATTTAAATATTAAGCACCCATATCAGGAAAAAAGAAGAAAACGTGGTGTTTATAAATTAACATGGGAATCCTATGTCAGCCATAAAGTTGATGATGATAGTTTTATTAACCCGTATAATTTAAAATTGATGAAACCATTTATTTTTAGTGCAGTGACTAGTTATCATGTTGATTTCTCGATCAATGAAAAATAAAACGTACTATATTGGATATTGTGGAGAAAAAAAGAGTGATTCCATTGGTTGAACCGATTTTGATGACCGATCCCTATTTTCTTAAGAAAATTTTTGTTTGTTTTCTTTTTTTTTTTTTTTTTTTTTTCCTTTTTCTCCTTTAGTTCTTTTTTATTATTATTATTGTTATTCGTCATCAGTATCCTTGACAAACCAATTACTTTTTACTCTATCATATTAGATATTAGTAACGTGCTTATATATATATATAAATATATACAAAAAGAAAACAATCTTCAATTTTATCAAAAACATCAAAAAAGGCTGAACAAAACTCTTTTTTTTTTCTTTTTTTTATTCCTATACATATCTTCAACAATGTCTACTTCTAGTCTCGATGATTACTTGAATAGAAAACCTGATACTGAAGAAGGCGAAATCAGTGAAGATACACCAACTACTTCAACCCCTTTGGCTGGTATATCCAATAACCACTCTCAACAACAAGATAATGGCTATCGATCTAAACAACAACGTCATAGTTCCCCCGACAAAAGCGAATCTAGACATTACAAAAAGAGTCGACAGGATGATTTTGATGATTATGAACATCGGAAGTCTCGACGTCCTAATTCCCGTGATAGGTTAACTAGTCAACAACGCAACTCCAGCTATTCTCGTCAAAGTAGAGATCATCAAGGCAAGGACTCGCAACGCCGTCATCGCCATTACGAAACATCTTCTACTCGTCACTCTCGAGATCATTATCGTCAACGAAGTAGTAGTAGACATCGTTCAAGTCGTTCACCACCTTTAAAACGACATTCTGACAGCATTTCCAAATCAAGTCAACAAGAACAATCTAATGGAATTAGGTAAAAAAAAAAAAAAAAAAAATTATATAACAAAAACGGTGAAATATAAGGAGACCTTAAATATTTACCTGCCATTTTTTTTTTCATTATTTCCATTATAGTGCATCTTTGGATAATAGTAACCAAGAACCACCAACAGAAGAAGAAACCATGATGGATTATGATCTCAAAGATGAAGATGAACAAAAATTAGAGGAAGAACGCTTGATTGAAGAACGACGAAAACGCCGGCAAGCCATTTTGGACAAGTACAAATCTAGCTCTACATCGTCTCCAACATCTTTTAGCAATGAATCTCCTCCAAATACCCAACGTAAGTGAAAATACGAATATAAAATTCTTTTTATGAAGAATAAATAAATTAAATTCAACTTTCCATCTTCTTTTTTTTTCTTTTCTGCATTTAGAACTGTCTTTATCAAATACACCGATTCATATATCCAAGCAAGCGAATGGTAGTGATACGGCATCATCTGTAATTGGTGTTGTTAGTCCAAAAGTACATATGGGGAAGGGGGGCAAAGAAAAGGACAATGACTCACATGATATTGTTGTCTCTGCTGCAGATCAGGATTCTTCTAGTAGTTCGATGATTGATGATAGACAACAAACGCCACAACTTGAATTATCTCCTACAGCCAAGCAAAATCTTTTACGGGAAAAGGATCACCAAGAACACCTGATAGTACAAGATGGTAGGGAAAATCAACATGATATGAATGCAACTGACTATACAGAACAACTACAACAACAACCAACCACTCAGCACAAAAAATCAACTGTTGGTGATGAAGAATTCGATATGTTTTCAACTGATGTAGACATTTTTGCTGAAGCCATGGAAGCTGAATCATCTCCTGCTTCTGATATACCAATACTCCCATCAACGAATACATTTGTAGATACAAATCCTACTTTGAATGATAACTGGGATGATCCCGAAGGTTATTATAGTAAGTGAAAATAAATATATTCATAATGACATATCAATTGACATCCCTTTTTATTTTAGTTGTGCGTATTGGTGAAATCCTACATGGTCGATATCAAACTATATCTCATTTAGGTAAAGGTGTCTTTAGTTCTGTAGTTAAGGCAAAAGATTTAACGTCTGGTGAAGAAGTTGCAATCAAGATGATTCGGAATAATGAAACAATGTAAGACAAAAAAAAAAGATGAAGTAGGCTTTTGATAAAGGGAAGATTGTAGTGGAACTAAATATTTATCTTGTATTTTTGTTTGTGTTATCGATATAAAGGTATAAAGCTGGACAAAAAGAACTTAGTTTACTGAAGAAGCTTATGGAGGCGGATCCTGACAACAAGAAACATGTCATTCGATTATTACGACACTTTGAACATCGAAATCATTTATGTCTGGTCTTTGAAAGTCTCAGGTAAATTTATTAAAAAAAAAATCATACTCCTATCTTTATATCCATGTTACTTATTGGTTTATTTCAATCTATAGTATGAATCTTCGTGATGTTTTGAAGAAATATGGGAAGGATGTTGGCATCAGTATCAAGGCAGTTCGGGTATATGCACAACAACTTTTCCTCAGTTTGTCTCTCTTAAAACGGTGTAGCCTACTTCATGCAGATATCAAACCCGACAATATCTTAGTGACTGAATCGAAAAATGTGTTAAAACTTTGTGATTTGGGATCTGCTTCTGATGCAAGTGACAATGAAATTACTCCATACTTGGTATCAAGATTTTATCGGGCACCTGAAATTAGTAAGTGGAAAAAAAAAAAAAAAAAAAAAAAAAAAAACTGACCTATCCAATATCTATTCTAGTTTTGGGACTCCATTATGATTATGCATTGGATGTATGGTCAGCAGCATGTACTCTTTATGAACTTTTTACTGGCAAAATATTATTTCCTGGACGTAGCAACAATCAAATGCTGAAATACATGATGGAAGTGAAAGGACGATTTCCAAACAAGATGCTGCGTAAAGCTCAATTTGCTAATCAACATTTTGATGATAACTTTATCTTTATGTCAATGGAACAAGATAAACTATCTGGAAAGAATGTGGTCAAGAAAATGCCTGTGGTTAAACCATCTAAAGATATCAAGGCAAGAATTATGTCTGCTGGTTCTGCTCTCAATCATGGTGTGACAGAAGAAGAAGGTCGATTGCTGCTTGCTTTTGTTGACTTTCTGGATAAATGTTTGGTACTTTCTCCTGATCGACGTATGACTGCCAAGGAAGCTTTGGTTCATCCATTTATCACTGGAAAGGTATAGTCTTTTTATATCATCTTAGTTTCAATCTTTAGCTAGCTGTTTTTTTTTTTTTTTACTATATATCTTCTTGAATAAATAATCATTTCGGCATTATACTTGAATATACTTCTTTGTATTTTTATCATGATTAGGATTATGAATGCCCCATGCAATATACTGATTGGAACTACTTGTTTCCATGGGATAAATCGTTTATTTACAGGATCATTTTTTGTTATAAACTGTGAAAGACAATAAAAAAGAAAAGGCATATTTTGTACAAAGCATCATGATAGTTTTCAGTATCATTCAAAAACATGATAAACAAATGTATTTAGATAAAGAGTATATTGTATAAGTTTTTATTATTGACTATTGTATCTGGGTTCGAGAGAATAAATGAAAAAAGTTGGTGTATAGAATCTTTGGTGGTAAAAATAAAAATATTGGTTATTCAACATAAAAGATACAAAAAAAAAAGTATATATGATTGGGATCTAAAGTAAAATCAGAATAGAAAAAGAAGAAAGAGACTTACTAAATAGATGATACTATGTGATGTAAGATAGGTAAAACAGAACAAGAAAGAAGAAGAAGAAGGAAAAAAAAAAAAGTGGAATAAGGTGTAAGTACTTTGAGATTGTATACATCTACATGTGCGTTCTTTTTTTTTTTTTTTTTTTTTTTGTGTATATGAGCGTTTGTGAAATACAGAAGAAGAAAAAAAAAAAAAGGAAGAGAAGATGATCATGCCCAAATCTAGAAAGAAAGAGATAAGTTAATATACAAAGGTTTCCTTTTTGCTTTTCATTTAATGATTTGTCTTACCTTGAGGAAACTATCCCAACTACCAGTAGCCACTGCATACCCATCACTCGATACACCAAGACAAGATACACGATTCTCGTGACCGTTCAACACACCAACGCGTTCACCCTTGAGAGAATCCCAGACATGACAACTGAAATCATCATAACCTGCAAATAGCAAACGACCAGATATGGAGAAGCCCACAGAAGTGATACCATGTAAAATATTTTCATTTTGATATACATTCATTTCACGATCAGCACGCAAATCAAATAATCGACAACTAGCATCATCTGAACCAGTTCCAACAGCCATACCATTAGGGAAAAATCTAATGACAATATAAAAAGATGAGTGGTTCATTCTACATTCATTACTATAGAAAACTTACTGAACAGAATTAATATCAGATTCATGACCAACAAAGGTTTGTACACATTTTTGAGTTCGCATATCCCAAATTTTGGCAGTAGAATCACAAGCAGCAGAAACAAAAATGTTGGGATCATTGGGGGACATGGAGACACTCATGACATCACCAGTATGATCAGCAAATTCTTGAATTTTGACACCAGCGTCTACATCCCATAATAAACAAGTCATATCACCAGAACTAGTCAAGATACGACGATCATCCAAAAAGCGACAACAACTGAGGTAACCAGTATGAGCAGATAATTCTCTGGCAGGACGGACGGGACCTTCTCTTGATGTCAAGTTGTAGACTGAGCACACGTTATCCAAACCGCCACAAGCAGCAAAATTTCCAGAAGGAGAATAGGCACAGGTCATTACCCAAGCAGATCGTAAAGGGACAGCATGTAATTTGTTGGTAGTGTAGGCGTTCCATACAATCAATTTTCCATCCTGTGAAGCTGATACTAAATGTTGTCCGTCATTAGCCCAGTGCATTGCATAAATCTTGGCAAGATGTCCACGTAAATTACGTCGAATCTTCATCACCAATCGTGGAAGTGGTTCTACACCTTTAGCCATCTTTGGAACTATAAAATAAAATTGAGTTGGGGTGATGAGAATATATATATATATTGTTCCTGAAAAAAAAAAAAAAACTTACGAGTGGTATCACTAAGAGCTTCACGTCTTTGTTTAATTCTTTCTTTCAATAATTCAGCTTCACGTCGAGCAGCTGCAATACGTTCAGTAGTAGCATCTTGCTTGTTCATTGTAATGTTGATAATATGATACAGTCGATTTTATAAAATAAAATAAAAAAAAAGAAAGAGGTATAGTCGTTTATTCTTCGTTTCAATCGTTTTTCGTCAAGGTAAGTAGGTGGTGATACAGTCGAAAAAAAAAAAAAGAAAACGGGAATGAGTAATAAGGGTAAAGACGTGAAAGCCGTTTCGTTATTAAAGGTGATGATAAAATAAAAAAAAATAATAAAAAGGAATAAATAATTAAAAGAAAGATGACTCTGGTAGAAATAGAAAGTAAAAATTTCTAATGACTATCAGAATACCAATATACAAAGAATGATAGAAGGGGTAATAAAAGAAAATTAAAAAAAAAAAAAAAGAAAGAAAGAAAGAAGAAAAGACAAAAAAAAAAAGGAAAGAAAAGAAAAAAAAAGACCTTGTTTCGTTTGTGTGCCTAACCAAAATGGCGGAGTGTAATCATAGTGAACTTTGTGTTTTTTACTTTTTTTTTTTCCTTGCGTGTTTGATCTATTGTTTTTCTTACTAAAAAATGAAAATATATAGTCTTTTCCATCTTTTGATAATATTAAATTAAAACCTTATTCGGTTATTAAAAAAAAAAGACCAAATGTAGTTCTTTTCTATCTCGGTATATGAAGCATGCAATTGATTTTTTTTTTTTTTTTGGCTCGTAAAAAGGGGGAAAGTTGGTACTTTTTTTTTATTTTGGTGATTTACACATTTATATATTAAAAAACCTATAATATCAACAACTGAGATTGAACTTGACCCTATTATTACGAAACACCACGTTTTTTTTTTTGTTTTCTTTTATCATACTCCAATCAGATAAAAAAAGATAATCTCATATAGTTTATATTTCTTGATAAAAATATAAATATTTATCAAACAATTATCATCATAATAATAAAAATATCCAAATAAAATAGATCATCTTTTCTCATTTTGAATTCTATTTCTCTCCAGGCAGGATAGCAAATCATTCACTACATCCTTCCAACTATTTCTTGTAACACATCAATCAAAATCAAATAAAACACCGCCCTCTTGACCCCATCATCATCATCATTACTGATTATAAAAGAAATCATTTATTTTTTTTTTATTCTTCAAATCAATTTAACCAACAAAGAACTTGCTAAACTATGGAGATAAAGTAGATGATTGAGATCCTTTCCTCTCGTTGTTTACTGGAATTGTTTTTTCATCTCGTCATTAGATATCAAAGCTTGATGATTTCTGTCTTGTCGCCATCGAGGACCATATTTCATTTCCACAAGAAGAAATAACCGAGAACCAAATAAAATACCTGATACCATTGTATAAGTCCATCCATAACCTAATATCCTTGTTGTTGGATCTATCATCAATGTTGCAGAAGCACCAATAAAACATCGAAATATGTTGTTACATGCATTGATAGAGGCAGTTCTTTGTGGAAATAGATCAATCAGTAATGTTTGAATTGAATTGAATACACTTTGTGATGTGAATCCCACTATTCATAAAAGAAAAAAATCATTCGTTAATATCATCCTATGTGACACTAATCCCTCTTCCTTTTAAATTTGCATGTGAATTAAAAAAAAAAAAAAAAAAAAAAAAAGACTTACTGATCACTTGTGCTGTCAAAAGGAAAGGAAGAGGCGTACGAACATCGACACACCAACCGTAGACTACCAAAACAACGTTGAATATCAGTGCGTTCGGCCACACCCAATGTAATCTTGCACGCTCTAAAAATGGATAGGATGTTTCTGTTACTGTTTCTGGTAAGGAATTTGGTGAGATGGGCAGTGATGAAGTATTGGTTTTGTTGTATCGATAATAGTCATAATTCAATATGTAGCCTTGTAATATGGATCCAATGAGACACCCACATCCGTTCGCTAGATAAGTCAACCCAATGGTCCATGTATCGAGGTTGTATCCATTGTCGCTAAGTATTGGTGGAATCATCGTGATCACTGTATAGTTCGCTGCGTACTGAAGTGCATAAAAGAACACAAGCATTAGCACATCGTTGTATTTGATGTAAGATAACGGTTCAAAGAATATATCCAGGCATCTTTTCCATAAGGGTCTTGAGAAAGTATCACTATCATCCATCCTGTCGAAGAATAATGTACACGTCCCTGTCACTGTATCCTTTTTCTTATCCATATCCAATTCCACCTTGACCTCTTGTTGATAGCGTTCCTGTTTCTGTCGACGATATCGCCACCACTGTACTGGTGTGGGATTTGCATAACCAGATCCATCGCCAACACGTGTACGTAATGTTTCAGGTAAAAAGAAAACCAGTAATAACCAATGAAGCATGCAACTAATGCTCAAAGACCAGAAGATACAACGCCAACCAAGATACCTTGAAATCAATCCACCCATTGCAGGTCCAATTGCAGGTCCAAGAGTGAAACCAAGAGAATACCAACCTTGATAACTTCCACGTTCTTCAGGAGTAGTGATATCCGCTAAATATATATAAAATATAAAACAAAGAGAGAAAGAGTAAACATTAGTTTGATATTGAATTGTCCTCTTTTCCTCCACATACCCACATAAGTATATACATAAACATACCAATCGTACCAGCACCTATACCAATCACGGAACTTGCTCCAAAAGCTTGTAGAATACGGAAACAAAGAAGCATGGCGTAACTATCTGCTTTTGCTAGACCAATATTGGAGAGAATGTAAAGAAGTAGAGTAATAAGGTATACGGGACGACGACCATGACTATCGGCCCAATGACTCCAAAACGAAGGTGCAATGGCTTGAAAGATCATGTACACCGTAATAGTGAAATACCTATAGCGTGGATCATGTTAAGTTTAAAAAAAAAAAAAAAAAAAAAAGGAGAGAGAGAGAGAAAGAAAAAGAAAAAAATTAACACCAGGAAAAAATAAAGAAGAAGCGGGTATCCAAAAATCCTAAATACTAGCTTCCTTACATTTGCTGTGAAGAGATATGGAGATCTTTTTCAATCAAGATCATAGCAGGAAAATAGCTACTGATTGAAAAGGGAGAGAAGAAGGATGCAACAGTGACTAAAATTGTAATCATCTTCTTTTGTCGTTGTGTGAATATAGTATAAGGTGATTCATGAGTCCTGTCAATAAGTGTGGTGGCCCGACTAAGATTTTTATGCTTTTCCGCAATGATGATATTAGTAGCGTCATAGACAATTGTTGGATCATCATCAATTGTGTCAACTATAATATTATCTTCAAGTGCAATCTGTCCAGATGAAGAATCCATCGATTAGAAATCTCTTTTAATGGTTGATAATGAAAGTAAGAGAAAAAGGTGAAGAGAAGGTAATTTTTTTTTTTTTTGTTAAGTATCAAATGAGGGGGGAAATCAGGATCTTAGACAAAAGCAGACTGAAACATTTTCTTTTTTTTTTTGCGTTTCTTCATTCTTGAGCCTCTTAAATCATGCAAAGAAGAAGTGATTAAATAGTTTATTTCAAGTAGATGATAAATAATCATGATTTCTCTATAAATGTTTGTTGTCCATCAACTTAACAGATCAAATGGAAAGTTATATGAAAACATTAAAAGTCAGCATTGTACCACCTTACCCCCTGATTTTTACAAATAAAGAGAACAAAAGGACCTTGATCTTATATATACCCGGAAGGAAAAGATGATGGAAAAAATAATATATCAGTATGAAAGTGGAAAATAACCTATTTATTGTTTCTGGTGGGTATGTATTTGTTGTCATCCATCACATCATCCCCATTCATCTTCAAATTTCTTTTAGAGCAAGTGGTTTAGGAAGACAAACAGTTTGCTCACTGGTGAACAAAGGAGCTTATGTTGGAGTAAGTATAAGTGTAACCTACATTTTTGCATCTTATTCATTTTTCTACAGATCATCGATATTAATGCTGAAGCATCATTAGCTTTAGTTGAACAATTAGATGAGAAATACGTCCATTTTCCGGGATCAGTAGATGTTACCTCAGAAGTATTAAAAAAAAAAAAAAAAAGAGAGAGAGAGAGATGGATGGTTATAAAATCTCAAACATCATGTATCCTTTCTTTTAGGAGCAAGTTGAACAGGCTATACAGGAAATCAAAATCAAGTTTCAAATCATCCCGTTGGTTGGTGCTGTATTGTGTAGTGGCGTACTGATGCCACCATCTCATATAGAAGGGTATGGCCCAAAGTCCCAACTTACTAGTTATCAACAATTCAAGCATATTGTTGACATTAATTTATTGGGTACCTACAATGTGATACAAAAGATCTCGAACATACTTATCCAAAATCAGCCCTTGAACGAAGATGGTAGCATTAAAAAAAAAAAAAGCAATTGATATTCCATTTCTCATTTTAGACATTATTTTTATTAGGTGAAAGAGGAGTGATCATCACTGTATCATCAATTACTGGATTAGATGGTTCACTTGTTGGTTACGGTACATCAAAAGGCAAGATAAAAAAAAAGAAAAAAGAAAAAAATTCAATGTTGTCAACTAAACAATTTGAATAAAGCTGGTATAGCTGGATTAACCTTACCTCTAGCGCGTGAGTTGGCAATATTTGGTATTCGCTCCATGTGTATCGCTCCAGGTCCATTTGGTAAGCACTCTACCTACTTTATACATATATATATAATATATTCTTATTACTAACTCTTATGTTGGACCAAAAAAAAAAAAAATTAGAAACACCTATCTCGACTACTGCTGGTGATATGAAAGCACCCCCTTGCCTCTTCCCTTCTAGACATGGTCATCCTACAGAATTTGCCGATACTGTCATTCATTTGATTACTAGTTCGATGTTGAATGGTTCGATTATTCGACTAGATGGTGGACTACGTATATAGTGACTTGCATTCGATAGATCACGAAGAAGAATGATAATAAATGAGTTCAGAATCGATAGATATGTTTTTAATTTATGAGCATTTATTGACGTTATCAAAAAGTAAAATGGTGATATACAAGAGGGATAAATGTTAATGGATAAACTAACTAAAAGGCAACTAGGAATATTCGGCTTCCAAAAAGCTTTCAATGGTAGCGTTGATGAATCCTTTTTTAATAGTCAAGTCTACACCGAACAATTGAGATAACTGATCGCGTACTAATACCCAAAAAAAAAAAAAAAAAAAAAAAAAAAAAAAAAAGAGATGAGCATACCCTTTAGTTACCTTATTATTAATATTGTTACCTTGTTTCTTTGTCAAATGCATCAGATTTGTTGTAGTCAAAATCTTTTTGATTTCACGTTCAATATCGTCGTCTTCCGGTAATACAACCAAAGGTTCCATTGAATGAGCCATACCATCACCATCATTATCTTCCAGTGTATGTGATCCAGTAATACAATCATCCGTCATATTGTTCTTTTCATTCGGGAGAATCGTGGAAAAATCGCCTAAAGAGAATGGGTTATCACCTTGTACAGAGAAATCCATGATCAGAGGTTGTAGTAGCCAGTTCTTGTCGTTGTTGTCATTGTCATTGTCATATGTACTGCTGTTCCTTTTACGTGATGAACAAATAGATGATTTCATTGATCGTGCTCTAGATGCCGCTGCTGCTGCTGCTGCTGCTTTTTGTTCCCAAAGCCATTGTTCATGTTGTGCCCATTTTTTGAGAGGAATCATCTTTTCATCAAACTTCTCGCCATCCGTCACAATGATTTGTTTCTTTTTGTTGTCCCCTACCACTACTCGTGTGTTGCCCCATGAAAAATCATCAAAGTGCCAGAATGCATAGATTGGTATAAAGAAGCTAAAGATTGGAATAGCCAAAACGTAAATCACCATCCATCCGATATGTTGCCATTCCCGCTTGATAATAAAGATAAGCGCTTGAAGTCCATATGCACCTGCTAGCATACCAAGAGCAATCACCGGTAATGGACCTGTTCCAGAGATAGATTCGTAAATCAGATAGATAAGATATACCACAGATGAAGGAAGGGTAATAGTACCAATAAGATCAGTCATCACCACAAAGCGCATGGATAAACAACAAAAACCACATAGTTCTTGAAGCATCACTAGTTCCAAAAGGTTGTGAATAGTAGAATTGATCCATCGTCGTCGTTGTGATAGTAATACACGCCATTCATCAGGAGCCACTGTCCGACATTTCGCATATGGAGTAAACATCATTTTGTATTGCGGGAAGTTTTTCATCACCAAAGTAGTAAGATAACGATCTTCACCTAGATGTAATAGATTCTTTTTGTGCAATGTGTCCACTTGGTTGTCTGAATAACCATGAATCACTTGAGGTGATACAATCAAAGGAAGTCGTTTATGTGGTGTTCGAATACGATACATACAGAAACAACCAGGTAAACAGGTAACAGAACCAAAGAGAGATTCGAATGCCTTGACCAGATGATGAGAAATATAATATTCATAGACTTGAATACGAGTTGCCCATGATCTATCTTCGTTGCAAAGTTCAGTTTCTCCACAAAGACCAATGATTCGACTATCATGAAGCATACAAGCAATCATACGAGTAAGAGCATCCGGATAAACCTCAGTATCAGAGTCCACCATAAGAATATATTCATAGAGAGCAGGATCAATTCCAATAATATGACGAATGTGTCGATACATTTCCAATTCCAACGGATTCATAGGCGCATCGAAATGTACTTTATTGAGAAAATTCATACAGATGATTTGTGAATCACGCTTGCCACGATTTCCTGGTTTAGTCCGTTCAGAGCTTTTGCCAACTTTGACAACAACCACATATGGTACCACATGTCCTTCATGTTGATAGAGTCCAGAGTACACCTTGCCATAGTTGAGCTGTTGTGATCCTTCACCAATAGACTTGAACATGAATGGTTCAGTTGTATCATCGTCAGTATAGGAATGATGGTCATTGTCATCATCAACATCATCACCATCACCATAGCGATCACGAACATGATTGTGTCCCAGAATGTCCAATAGAATACAAGGAGTAGGTTTTTCATTACCACTTCCAATAATCATACCATCAGCAATCAGTAGTAGTAATTTTCGTCTGTCATCATATTGCATCACTGTAATGGATTCAATGGTTTTGCGTAATGATTCTTCATCTTCGGTATAACATGGTACTTGACAAATCACGAATTTATCTTGTTCTTCAGGATTGGGTGCTCCACCAAATTGTAAGGCGGCTAAAAACTTGACCAAAATCACCACAGACATCACCACTGCAAAACTGAGTAGAAGATAATTGACAAAAGTACATCGTGTTGTTTCTCGATAATCTAGTTTCCCTACATAAAATGAGTTGTCCAAACAATCCAGATTCTTTTGTCGCAAAGTAGAGTCCATCGTCATCTGATCCCACGCCTGAGTAGCATCACTTCCAGCAAAAGTAGTGAATAATCGTTCAATGGATGGATGCAAAAAATGGTAATTGGGAATAGATCCTTGAGGATATCGCCGAGCCGAGTTCATATAATCAGTCAAATCGTACACTTTTTCATGAATAGAAACAGCCAATCGACCATAGCTTTGAAAATCTTCATGTAGTTGTTTCATGGGTATCACCAGATCTCCTTTTTTATATTTCTCCAGCAACGGTTGAAATCGATGTTGTAACCATAACGGATCTTGTAGTGCTTTGAGATCTTTATCAGGTTGTTGAGGACCAGAAAAGTGGACAAAGGGACCAAGAACAATAGTTTCATTAGGAACAATATTGATAGAGTTGTCTGTAACTAACCCAGAACATGCAGTTGTAAGGGATACCGGAAAAGTATACGATAGATCACGCCCAGCCAAAGGTTCCATGGTAGACCTAGTTGCCATATATGTCGAAGTACCATGATCATTAGCAACAAATTTTGTGAGATCATACACTTGACCATGCGCACTAACCCAATAATCATTGATAGTTTGATGTGCCGAGACGTCATTTGCCGAAAAGATATATTTTGTTCCTGGACATATGATTTGATTCAGACCCACGATGACAAAGATAATACTACCAGAGAATAAGAAGATCAAAAGACACAACGTTACTTTTTCTCGCCAGGCCATTTGGACATCTTGACGTTGCATCTTGCCAATCCATCGTAGAGTAAATGAAGGTATACACCAAGTAGCAAACCAAACAAATCTTGACCACCATTGACGAGTACTTGATATAGGAACTTCTTCAATCAATTCTTCATGATAAACTTGATAATCTTCCACCATTTGACTCATATCCATATTGGGACCAAAACTAAGATGAAATAAAAAAAAAAAAAAAAAAAGTTAAGACGGATCTTATATATATATATATATATATAGATGAAAAACTTACGCTTCAGCTAAACCTTTGGCATCATCGTCTTCACCCCATTCACTCTTGTCGTGAGCAGTATGATCATCACTAGACCAATTGGAATGACAATCATCAGCAAAAGGATTTGAATGAGACCAACGATCTGTTCCATGCGATCCACGTCTAGCCATTGTTGCCATATCAGGTATTGTTTCTGCGTTTGCCAAAGTTAATTCGGATTCTGCTTGTGCCAGAGCTTCTGCTTCCAATTCTGCTTGTCGTCGTTGTGCTTCCAGTTCTTCTTGTTCGGCTTTTCGTTCCATTTCCAATTGTGCTTGTCGTTCCTTTTCACGTTGTCGTGCTTCCTTCTCTAATAACCGAAGTTGATTTTCAAGATCGTGCCATACATCAAATCGTAACCAAATCTTTTCACGTCCTAAAATACATTGAGAATCAGTCCATTGCATCACATCACGTAGCATTTCGATTTGTTGTTCAGGTAGCACTGTTGTCGTTTCAGATGGTAGGATTGTTGGAGATGAAGTAAGAGTAGAGATAACATATTGATAACGTTGTGTAAATTCATCATGTGTATAGTCGTATATCGTTTCGCACCATCGCTGCCTTTGGGTATAATCTGCCACTTTGTAAGCTTCTAATTGATGCATGATCCAGGCTTCGTCAAAGAGTCCAGGTTGTTGAGCAGGGTTGGGTTGTATGTGGATAACTTCATAGAGGTTGGGTGTTTCATCAAAAACTCGTAATAATTGTTGCATACTATGCACCATTTGATGAGCCACAGTACTGATATAGGATAACGCCTTATCGTTTTCTTGTTGATCCATTGTAGTTTTGCTTTCGCCACCATCAACAATCGTATCATCCTTGGTATCATTCGCCATAGAGTTGATGGGTACACCAAGCCATCCTTTGGGAGGTTGCGTAGGCAGTTGTGCTTTGATGATTGTTCGATCATCTCTAGGATGACATTCCGTCAATAGTACACGAGGTTGATTGCGTTGTTCCGATTCATGTTGGAGTTGATAATTATGTATGCTGGTTTTATCGTGTAGATATCCATCCATATCGTCATCATCATCAAGGGAGGTCTGTTTCTTTTCGAACACTTGTTGTTGTTGATTGTGTTGTTGTTCGTTGCCTAGAAATAGATCACGTACAAAGGAATTGGTACAATTGTATCGGAAAAGATGAATAAAATCGGGTGAGAAGGCATCGACATTGGCTTCCAGAAATCCTTCGACAGAATATTCCACAGTGGTGCAAAAATGTTGTATCGCAAAACTCGCACTTGGAGATTTCGGTGATTGTAATGCTGTAAATGGTCCATTGATGTTATCCCCTTGTCGTTTCTTTTTCTGGAATAAGGCTACAAGCCAATTGGTATCAGTGGCGTCCAGTGCATAGGCTTGGAATCGCTGGCAGTCACGATTCAATGATGGTACCATAACAAACTTGTTGGATCCAGACCATAAAGGTATAGAAGATTGGAAAAAATCTGGAGAAGGAGAAGGAGAGGTAGAGAGACCGTCTTGCCATTTTGATATGTTGCGAGGACTGTCGGCATCAAAATCTTGATAGAGTACCCATTGATGAATCTGTTCGGTCGCGAAATGAGTACACAAATCGTGAAAATTTCCATGTCGTTGGCATTGTTGAAGTTGATGTTGATTTCCATTGGAGTTATTTTCGTCAATAATCCCACCCATCTGCGCCATAAAATCCACTACAGTAATCCGATTTGCATAAGAGGTAGATGAGAGTTTGTTGTTGATATACTGAACAATCCAATGAAAGAGAAGACTATATAGACTTTGCGCTAAACTGTCTCGTTGTACCATAGCAGCATCCACAGTCAAAAAGGCTGAGCAGAATTCTTTGCCAATCAATTTGAGTTTATGAGTAAGAGTATTTTCCAGTTTCGTCGTGGCAACACCAAGAGCAGCAGCGACCAGAGCCATCGTATCCTTATTTTTCACACGGCAAGATTCTTGTCCAGAAGATGAAGTACTTTGAGATGTCAAAACAGAAAGAGGACCACGACCATCGATGAATTGAACATTACCCAAATGTAGGATGGCACCTAGTAATTGACAAATTTGAGCGATCAACTTTGCTTTAAGTCCAAGTATTTTGAGAGCTTCCTTGACCTTGATGAACTTGTTTTGATCACTGTTTTCTCCATCAGAATCTTCAGATGTGTCTTTGTATCGGGTAGTATGCTTAAGGTAAACAAAGTGGCCCATAGAGTAGTTGATATGTAATGCTGCTTTTTCTTCTGGTGATGTACCGGCTAAGAGTTGATAAAAAATATGATAATTTGATGTTGTATTGGACCGAGTCAAATGATATTTGTCAAAGAGAGAAGTTGCAAAGTAAGATCCAACAATATGACCACGTTCATTGAATTGGAGTGAATGACATAAATTGAACCGATTGTTACTATGTTGTATTTGAGTTGAAGTTGTTGCATGTATGGATCCAAATGCTTCTAAAACAGTCATCGCACTAGTAATTTGTCGTTGTAATTTGTCTTCACGTCTTGTATGTGTTGATAGGTTGAGGATTGCCTTGGAAAGTTGTTGGTGACTTGTAGATTTTCCAGAACCAGATATTCCACTAAAAGAAAATGAAAAACTCTTTAGTATATATAAAATAATTTGATGATTTCATATTTTATTTTGTTTTCCTTTTTTTTTTTTTTTTTTTTTTTTTTTTTTTTTTTTTTTTTTTTTTTTTTTTTTTTTTTTTTTTTTTACCTCAATAGTACCAATTGGTCATCCATCCTTCGTCGCATAATAAAATAAATTCGAGTAGCTAGATCATAGATATGTGGTTCCGTATTATAATTATATCCATTGTTTGTTATAGTCAAATCTTTATAACCATGGTTGATATAATATTGAAGTGTGTCGTCATTGTTGGATAAAGGCATTGGTTTACATGGATTGAGTATGACCATTCGTTCATGTCCAATATAAGTATAGATCTTGTCATTGTCGAACCGAAGATGCAAATGTCGGCAAACGGCGTCTATACGGTCATCTGGTAATTGAGTCAAATCGGCCAAATCGGATGTTGTAGGCATATTTCTACATAAAACGAAAAATAAGATAAATGAAAATCAGTCAAAGTAATAATAATAACAAAAATAAAGAGGAAAGAAAAAGAAAAAGAAAAAGAAAAAAAGACGTAATATAAGTTTTAAGGAGTTTTGAGTTGGGAAGAAAGGGAGAACGTGTAATATTTGAATGAGTGTTTGTATAAGTAGCGGGAAATAGTATCAAAGGAGGTAAAAAGAGTTAAAAAAAAAATAGGAGATAGGGGATTGGGGAAGGTAAGATAACTAATTCATATGGTTATTTGATATACAACATATCTATTCTTTCCTATATATATATAAATATACATACCTCTCATCTATTTCACCACGTTTTGAATGCCATCCTTGTAAAAGTCAAACCAAGTCATTGTTCACAATAAATAATATTGATGTTTTTATCTTATTAGGTATAAAATATATAGTTCAGGAGAAGAAGAAGAAGAAGAAGAAAAAGAAAAAGAAAAAGAAAATAAAAAAAAAAAAAACAGAAGATAACATCACCCAAAAGAAAAGGATCTCGAATGATTCAATCCCAGATTTCCATTTATGGACTTACCTTTTTTTTTTGAAAACATTTATTTACATGTTATACATATTACATGATTCTTCCATTTTTGTGAAACGACTGTAATGCAAGATCAGCTAATTCTACATGGGGTACATGTACGAACTATTCCTTACGATAACTTTTAATTCTACTGCAGAATCATTTTTTACAATGTCACTAAAATTATGCTGAAAGTTCATCCAACTGCATTCCTCCCTGCCAAATCTATTTAAGGAAATGGGTCCAAGTGTATTCAAATACCGAGGGAAATCAACAACCCAAACTTCTCCCATGATTTACCTACACCTCTTTTTTTTTTTTTTTTTTTTTAGGTGGTCACAAAAAAAAAAATTTCTTCCCTTGTTTTTTTTATATATATATAAATTTAATCTTCTCGTTTTTTACTTTTTCTTTTTCTTTTTCGTTGATTCTTTTATTTGTCAATAATATGAAACTTTAGTTAAGGTAAATAATAACTTCTAAAAGATGTTATAGATGGAGGGAAAAGGATGAAAAAAAGTGCAACAAGAAAATATAGGAAGAGCCGACTTAGAGTTATTGATCGACAGAAAAATACATTTCGGGTCAATGGCTAGTGCTGATATCTTGTTCAAAATATACAAAACTGAAATACTCCAAAAGAAACAAGTGATATAGGGAAAAAAAGGGGAAAAACAGATGATTAGAACAAACGTTCACTAATATATCATTCTTCTTTTACTCTTATTCTAGATATTGGTATGAATTACTGTAGACTGCAAGTTATTAGCAGATAGATAGTATTTAGTTATTTAGTTAGTTTAGATATTTCTAAAATACAAATTAAAAATTAAAAAAATAAGATTGACAATAAAGTGTAATATGAATACTTGATAAAGGATGATATAGATGAGAATTTTTTTTTCTTTTTCTTTATTGTGTATTGAAAATATTAATAAAAAAAAATGACGGTACAAATAACATGATAAACATTAAAAAAAAAATGTATGATGAAGGTAATAAAGGTAACTATATAGAAACTAAGAGTCTGCTATAAAATCTAATATTCATCGTCGTTTTCCATTTCAGAATCACCAAGGGAATCAGCAGCCACCTCTTCATAATCCTTTTCAAGAGCGGCCAAATCTTCACGAGCTTCAGAAAATTCACCTTCTTCCATACCTTCACCAACGTACCAATGGACAAAGGCACGCTTGGCATACATCAAATCAAATTTGTGATCTAATCGACTCCAAGCTTCAGCAATAGAGGTTGTGTTAGACAACATGCATCTAAAATAAGAATAGGAAAAAAGAAATGATGATTAATAAAAAGAATATATATATATATATATGGATTACTTACACCTATCATGAAAACAAGAAAATAAAGAAATTGAGAAATAAAAAATAAAATAAAATAAAAAAAGAATATTAGTATATAGTCCATAGTGAAGGTGTAAAGGCAACAAGGTTTTTGAGAAACTTACAGCTAAATGGTATAAAAAAGAAAGAGAAGATAAAAAAAAAAAAAAAAAAAAAAAAAAAAAAAAAAAAGGAATAAGTAACATGTATATTTCTATAAAGTGATGAGAGAAATCTACCTCTTTGAACTTGAGCAACGTCACCACCAGGAACCACAGTAGGAGCTTGATCATTAATAGCAACCTATTCATCGAAAGAAAGAAAGAAAGAAAGAAAGAAAGAAAAATATCATCAATTTATCCAAGAAATGATATTGCTACATATCACAAATATCATCCACCCAACCTAAATTACCTTGAAACCAGTAGGACACCTATTTAAAGAAAAAAAAAAAAAAAAGAGGAACATCAGTTATTCCAGTCTTCGAAATGTATATCCCTTTTTCTTTTTATTATTATTATTATTATTACCAGTCGACGAATTGAATAGTACGCTTTGTCTTGATGGCAGAAATAGCAGCATTGGTATCATTGGGAACAACATCACCACGATATAACAAACAACAAGCCATGTATTTACCTTGACGAGGATCACATTTGACCATTTGATTGTTGGGTTCAAAACAAGCACTTGTAATTTCAGCCACTGACATTTGTTCATGATAAGCCTTGGCAGCAGAGATAATAGGAGCATAAGTAACCAAAGGGAAATGAATACGAGGATAAGGTACCAAATTAGTTTGGAATTCGTTCAAATCAGCATTCAAGGAACCATTGAAACGAAGAGAAGCAGTGATAGATGAGACAACTTGAGCAATTAATCTATTTAAGTTAGAATAAGTAGGACGTTCGATATCCAAGTTTCGACGACAAATATCATAAATAGCTTCATTGTCGACCATGAAAGAGACATCAGAATGTTCTAAAGTAGTATGAGTAGTCAAGATAGAGTTATAAGGTTCAACAACAGAGGTAGATACTTGAGGAGCAGGATAAACAGAGAATTCAAGTTTTGATTTTTTGCCATAATCCATAGATAAACGTTCCATCAAGAGAGAACCAAAACCAGAACCAGTACCACCACCAAAAGAGTGGAAAACAAGAAAACCTTGAAGACCAGTACAATTATCAGCCAATTTTCGGATACGATCCAAAACAGAATCCACCATTTCTTTTCCAACAGTATAGTGACCACGAGCATAATTATTAGCAGCATCTTCTTTACCAGAAATCAATTGTTCTAATAATAATAAAGAAAGGTTAGTTTTATATATAATATATTTATTTATATATATTTATTTATCTTACCAGGATGGAATAATTGACGATAAGCACCGGTACGAACTTCATCGACCACAGAAGGTTCCAAATCTACCATAACAGTACGAGGAACATATTTACCATTACCAGTTTCAGAAAAGAAAGTTTCAAAACTAGACAAAAAAAAATATAAAATGTTATATTTATATATATCTATCTGTCTATATATATTACTTACGAGTGATCAGCAATGGCACTACCTTCAGGTAAACGACCATCAGGTTGAATACCATGTTCAGCACAGTACTATATATATATACGAAAGAGATTAATTATCAAGTTGTAGAATATGATCCTATTTTCTTACCAATTCCCAACAAGCGTTACCAATTTGGACACCAGCTTGACCTATTATAATAAATAATCAAACTTTTTGAATATAATCTATTAAAAATAAAATAATATTAAAAAAAAAGATTTACCAACGTGAACAGAAATGATTTCTCTCATATTGTATTTTTTTTGTGTTTGGTTTTTTGAAAAGAAAGAAGAAAAGAAGAAAGAAAAAAAAAACCACCTTTTTTTTTTTTTTTTTTTTTTTTTTTTTTTTTACTCGAGTTCAATCAACGAACTTTTTTTTTTCGTGTCACATTGTTTTATATATATATATAAAAACATGTTTACCTGTTCTAATAATCACTTCAATTTTGATTATTTGGTATTGATGAATACTTTGTCAAACTAAACTTGGATGTGTCAAATATTATTATTCAATCTATCATATATTCTCATTTATATATTGTCATTCATTTCACTCTATCTCTCAAACGCGCTGACTTCAAAATAGAAAAGATGCATCCAATGAAAATGGAAAATCGCGTGCCTTTTTGTCAAAAGAACGAGGTACACCAAAAGAGGAATGACATTTTTCTACAGTTCAAAAAAAAAAAAAAAAAAAAAGAAAAGTTTATTATACAATGCTATTCTAAATCAATAAATAAATATATATATAAAAAGACAGAGAGAGAGAGAGAGAGAAAGGTAAAAAAAAAAAAAAGAAGGGGGGAAATAATAATACTAATAATAATAATAATATAACTAAGCAGATGATTCAGTTCTATTTGCTGCAAGTCCCATGGTCACCAAAAATGAAGCAGCCTTTTCATATTCTTCTACTTGACGAGCTTTGTCCCACTTGAGTTCTTCAGACATGATTTCAATAACACGAGGTAAAGATTGGAGAGCTGCTTCGGCATTCAAAAAGGCCAAACGAGTACGACGAGCCAATACATCTACAGCAGTACATGCATATTCTTGACGGACAGCATACCGGACTTCAGATTCCACATAAGGATAGTTGGGTGCAATACGGTTGCCATAAGTGGGCCAACTAACAGTCGTTGGATCTGCAATAGATCCTACAACCCAAGCACGGCTACCATAAGAATTACCCAAATGATGTGCCACTTCTGTATCCATACCAAATTCTTGTACCAATCGGATGAACATCGTACTACTGTATCCCTTGCTACCCAAAAGCATCACCTTATCAGTATGACACACATCAGTAGGTTTCAGATCAAATACTTCAATAGCCTTGTCTACTGTTTCCATAGCCATCGCACGATATGTTGTCCATTTTCCACCAGCAATGGTAATCAACTTGTTTTCAGATACATTGATCATATGATTGCGAACCAAAGATTGTGTATTCTTGGCATGAGGATCACGAACCAAAGGACGAATACCTGACCAAGCTGCAAGTACATCACTTCGACGAACCTTTACATCCGCGCTGAGATAATGTGACACTTCTTCCAAAATCCATTGTACTTCATCTTCCTTGGGTAATGGATTTTGAGTGACTTCAGTAGGTGAATCTATTTTAATAAATAAATACAAAAAAAAACATGAGTTCTCTTTTTTAATATATTATTATTATTATTATTATTATTATTATTTACCAGTGGTACCAGCAATGGTATTTCCTTGCCAAGGTAAAAAGAAGATAACACGACCATCAGATGTAGCAGGATCCAATAAACCCATATTTCTAGGACTGTAATAATTGGGCAAAATGATATGAACACCAGATGAAGGAGCGACAATTTCGGCATTAGTCTTGTCATCCATCTTTCGAAGACCATCAGTGAATGGGCCAGTTGCATTGATAACACCCTAAATCATAAATCATAATATTAAAAAAAAAAGGATTAATTTCGATTTTGATCATTCGTTCTTGTTATTGTTATTATTATTTTACCTTAGCCTTGACAGTCCATTGATCACCTGTTAAAGTATCCTTCAAAACAGCACCATCAACATGACCTTGTTCATTCTTTGTCAAATCCAAAACTTCACAGTGATTGGCCACAGTAGCACCATGATATGCAGCAGTGATAGCAAGAGCAACGTTCATTCGAGCATCATTGTGTTGACCTAAGTGGAGATTGAATATATTAATAAATAATAATAATCTTCTTTTTCTTTTCAGTTACCATCATAATAAACCAAAGCACCAACCAATTCATCCTTCTTTAACATAGGAAAAGCTTCCAGAGCCTTTGATCGTGTCAAAAAGTAACTACTTTCCAAAGCTTCACGACCAGCAAACAAATCGTACATCTTACATCCAACCCAATAATAAGGAATTTGCCACCATCTACAAAAAAAAAAAAAAATTAGTTATTTTCTTTTCTTTGTCGGCGAACCAATGTGACCCCAGTATCTACACCCATATGCTTTTTTTCACCAAACCACCAAAAACGGTAATATGGGTGACAAAAACTATTTTGTTTCCTTTCCGCCCTTCCCCCCCCCCTCTCTTTTTGTTCATATTCCCCGTCGTTCCGATTTTACATCCGATATAAACTTACTTATAAACAGGAAGCATGATGGGTAATTGACTTGAAAGATAAGGAGCAATATCCAAAAATACCTTGCGTTCGTGAAGAGCTTCCACCACTAACTTGTATTGTTCATAATCCAATTCCATGATTGCCTTTTGTAAATAACGGACACCTCCATGTACGAGTTTAGTTGATCTAGATGAAGTACCTATTAAGATAATCCAGTGATCAATATGACTAATAAGCTTCTTTCCACACATCTTTTTTTTTCTTTTTTTTTTTTACCTGAAGCAAAATCATCACGTTCTACTAAAGCAACATTTAAACCACGTGTAGCAGCATCCAAAGCTGTACCAGTACCGGTAGCGCCTCCACCTACAATCAAAAGATCATATTGTTTACCAGCCTTTAGTCTATTTAACATTTCTTCACGAGAAGGAGCTTGCCATGTATCTTCCTTATCAAGTTGTTGTTGTTGTTGTATAGCTTCTGCAAAAGCAACACTACGAGGCATTAGTTTTTGAATAGTTGAAAGAGATCCCATAGCTTTTTCTTGGTGTTTCAGAGCAGATAAGTAGACATTGCGAGGATGACTTTGTTCATAAGCATAATAAGCAGTACCAACACCACCTGCTAAAGTAGCAGTAGCCAGCATCTTCTTAGAACGTGAAAGGTGTCTCCACATGTTATTGTTTGCTATTTGAGAATATAGGTGAGATGGATAATTTGACTAATCTTTCTATATTAGAAAAGATTCAGGTATGAAACGACTATATAAAAGATAATGTAAAGAAAGAAAAGAAAAAGAAGAAAAAAAGAAAAAAAAAACCGATCATCTAAGAAAAAAAAAAAAGTCCTCGAGTGTCACTGTCGGGATTTACAAATTGATGGTAGTAAAATTTCTCTTTGTAAAAAAAAAGCAGAAATCACACTAAAAAAAAAAAAGAAGTATAGAAAGTATTATAGAGAATAACCTTGTTTTATTGGCCCGTGTCATTAACATCCTCAACTTTTCGGTGATTTCATTTGTCAATTTCAAGAACTTCCTTTCCCCCAGTATTTAGACTCTTTTTTTTTTTTGTCGATCTAACTGTTTACCATTAGAGGAGAAAACAGTGCGTATTATAAAATAATAATAATCAAAATGAAATAAAAACAAATAAGTTAAAATAGAATCATCAATATCAAAGTAATCAATAAATATTATGTTGTTAAAAAAAGATACAATTATATTCAAATAGAGCAAGGCAATATTATTGGTACTGTACCATTTTCAAGATCTGCCATATATGCCATAGTGTATTTTTTTTTTTTTTTTTTTTTTTTTTTTACTTCCATGGATAATCCAACGAAATGTCGGTTATTAACAAAAAGCGGACTCCTCTTCTTTTCTAAACCAATCAAGCACCGATACTCTTTCCGCCTATTGTTTTTTTTTTTTTTTGAACCTTTGAGACATAAAAAAAAAAAATAAGGGTCCCATTGAAACAAAATATATCAACGGAAACTGAAATCATTCATTATAAGAATAAAGAAAGAAAAAAAAATCATTAAGACCAAATAATCGATCTGATTTGAGAATATCACCTTTTTTTTTTTTTTTTTTTTTTTGCTTGCAGCTACTAAAAATACAAGCAGGCGTATTTTGTTTACCCCTCCCTTCCACATCTTCCCCCAGTCGGCTATCAAACTTCTTTCCGTGGATTCCCTTTAAAGGTAAAGTTCAACGTACCTGTTGCATTGACTTTTCCATATTTTTTTTTTTTATTATTTTCTGTAAATTCAATCATCACGAGTTAACTATACTCAAATGGATGCGCTAGTATACCTTTTGTTCATCAAATCAAAATTGATTAGATATCTTGTTAGTATGATGATCCTTCCTGCCATCAATATACGTATAACGTGACCGTGTGAAGATGCACACGATATTAAGCCTGGAACATTATAATCATCATTATTATCTGATATCTATAGTTTAAACTTTATCGTAACTACATGATTAAGGTTCGTTTGGGTATCTTTCCTTTTGTCCCCAACCATGTTGCTCATATAATCCTTTCTTATTTTGTCTCATCATCAGTCATCAGGCATATTAAAAAAAATCAAAGGAATATTCTATGTGTAGAGCGAAAAACTTGATTGATTGCCATGATCTCATTACTGATACATTGTAAATTTGATGGCATGTTTTTTTTTTTTTTAAAAAAAAAATACTGTATCCTAAGATGATGATGGATGATGGATGGCGAACATTGATGCCAGTGATGATCTTCGTGTCACCTGAACAATTTAGATGAAGCGTTACCTTGTGATTGATTAAAGGCACTTTAATGCTTAGCATCATCTGTAATTGAAACAAACTCTTTTTAATATATAAGTAAAGAAAAAAAAAAGATAAATTATAGACTTCAAAATGACTCACAAATTGTAATCAACCTAAACAAGACTTGAATTTTAGAGGAGGTCGACGATATCAAATTATTGACGATTAGGTAGAAGAATGGCGACATTGATGCTCACTTTTTCTTTTTTTTTCTAAAACAAAAAAAAAAAAACTTAGTCTATAGATTGGGAGGTAAGAAGTAAATTTTATGAATGCAATTGAAAGAGAATGATTTCATGTATCTTAACTCCAAATTTAATGTAATGATGATGATTTTTGAGTGAGTTACAAAAGTATAAAGAGGTATATGTCTACATGAACAAATATTTTTAGTATAAATGACCTCCTTTCTCTTCAAGAAATGATAAATGATTGTCAATTTTTTACTATATATATATATATATTGTCAATCAATAAGAATAATAATAATTACATGATGCTGGTAAGTCTCTGTAGTTCACTCGCAACCTATCATCATTGTATCAAATTTGGACTGAAGATGCGCGATGACATTCTCTTTCAGCTGTATTAATAGCAATATACACCTTGCCTCCCAATTTATAAGGTAAACCAAGAACGAAAAGTCAATTCAGTCATCTCTCAATCAATTAATAATGATTGTCATCATCAAAAAAAAAAAAAAAGAGCCATGGAAGTGTATTGTTGTGTATCACAAAAAGTAATATAATTTTATTTCAAAAAAAAAAAAAATCCACATACTGACTAAGTAAAACTATCACTACTTGTATCTATTATAGTACCAACCAGAAGCCTTCGTCCACCACCGAGTTCCTAACAAGAAGCTGCCCTTCCTAACCAAAAGAAGCTTGTTATCCAGTCACTTTTTCGTTCACATTATTAGTAAAATAAAACCAGGTCAAGTAATTCACATTCTATTATAAAATATTTTTGCCATTACCTGTACTAAATCCTACATCCAAAATGAAAGGGTTTCCCCATGTATTTTGTAAATCCCTTTTTCAAAACCCTCCAAATCCAATAAAATCTACCTTGACAAGATCGCACAGACAAAGAGGACACCCAATGTGAAAAAAAAAGTGGATGGAGAAAAGAAAAAGAAAGAGAAAAATTAAAAAAAAAGCAAAACGCGTACAAAGGGGTGGGTTTTTGAAGCCCGTCCACTGACGACAATTTGACATGATTTTTTGATTTTTTGATTTTTTTTTTTTTTCGCTCCAACCCCAACCTTGCAAATTGATTTTTTTCTTTTCCTATAGTCGATAAATTTCATCAAAACCTTTATATTCAGTCATCATCCATCGCCCATCATCCATTACCCATTACCAATATATTACATATTTCGTAAAAAAGAAAAAGAGTTCTTTATGCGTCCTGGTAAGACTATCCAAACTGACATGCATGACTTTAAACAGCCACAATTTTATGATTATTTCAGATATCAAACAAGTTTTTATTTTAAATGAAAGGTAAGAAGTGTAATATTTTTTTTATCATAATAGTTCAAGAGAAGTAGAATAGTAAATGACAAAGCAATCACCCATCATCCATCATCCATCAACCATCGTCCATCATATATCATCCATCATCCATCACCAACTGGAATCAATAAAAGACTGGAACAAATATAACAACGTTTTATTTCAGATAAATTAAAGAAATAAAATAATAATAGTATAAAATATATACTATGTGCATTTTTTTTTTTAAAAAAAAAAGGTATTTCGTGTCAGAGGAACTAATTTGTGAATGTTGTTTGAGATGCCTATAGTCGTCTTTGGCTTGTAGAATTATTTTGGCGGGTTACCTAGGACAGCAGGAAAAAGGTGATTTTATTGACTATTTTTTACCCTGGGAGGTGAGAATAACAAAATGAGGGGGGTGAAAATAAGAATTCCCTAAAAACAATGAATTTGCGTTGTCTTATTTTTAAATTTGCACCTGGATAGTCGGAATTCCTGCAAAATAAGTAAAAAGTTTATGCTATCTTTATTTCAATAAAAAAAAAAAAGATCTACAGGTTCTTTTCTTCAGCCAAACAACGATCAAAAGAAAAAAGAAAAAAAAAGCAAGGAAGCACGGATGGGGTGAGTAAGGAGGAATAGATAACAAGGGAAGGTGCACAACCCTCAGCTTTTAAATTTACTGGTTTTTTCCATGTGAAGTGTGTTTATTTTTTATTTTTCTGCGTTGTGATTAGAGACTTGTTTGCATTGGAGTTATGAATATATTTGCGGTGATCCTTTTTTTTCATATGATTGATGATTGATGATTGATGATTGATGATTGATGATTGATGATTGATGATTGATGATTGATGATTGATGATATCAATAGAAGCTTTCTTCTTCTTTATTATAGTCTTCTTAATGATCATAGCTAAATCAATAATTTGATTGTTCTCAACAGCAAAGCCTGTTCTTTTTTTCTTGCATTGTTTGTCATCACTCTTTTTTCTATAATCAATGCAAAACAATCATTACCCGATGACTGATAAAAAAAAATAATAATTTATATCTCTTTCTATTCTTAGCATCCCTATGAAAAAGGACCAAACTATTGTAGAAAAAGTAAGCTTCTTTTTTCATTGTTTTTCTTTTCTATCATCAATAAAAAACAATCATCATTATCCGATGACTGATAAAAAAAAAAAAGAAAGAAAGAATTAACCACCCTTTTTTATTCTTAGTAACCTCAGCAAAAAATTTATCATTTTCTATAAAATACTCTTCCTTGATTTTTCTTTATTTTATTTTTTTCTTTTTCTTTATCCTTTTGTTATTTGACATTCATATACTGTCTTGATATATTATTTGATCATCTATCGTACAAATCATATTATGGTAAGTTCCTTTTTGTGAAATTGGTGTAGATGTTGATAATAATGTATATAAAAAATAAAAAAAGGAGACAAGAACAAGTCTGTGAGATTTCTTTTTATTTCAAAGATGATTAAAAAAGAGACGATGTATCTACACAAAAAGTTTTGTTGGTCTTATATATAAGTACGTAGTGAGTGATACGTAATATTGGTATCATTACAGCATATTTAAGATTGATGACCAAATTTTATTTATTTTCTTTTTTATTTTAGTTTGTCATACTGTTATACAGTGCGTATGATTTTATTAGTATTTCATTTTTCATTGATGTGATGAATCATCATATGTGTAGTGATTCATTATATTAGTTGCCCTGAAGCGTTTATACATTGATATATATCTTTCTTGATAGTATCAAAAAGATCATGAGCATAATAACTTTCAAAGTCCGTACTTTTATTTTTTATTTTTTATTTTTTAGATATGCGATAATTTTTATTTTCTTTTTATTTCTTTCCTTTCTTTATAACAATTTTAGTTAGTTATAGTATATCAATTAGTGATCTATAGTAGTCATACTTTTATTTAATAAAACTTTTATTTTTATTCCAACTACTTTGTTACACGTCAATATAATTGATTCCATCTTACAATGTATTTTTTTTTATTCTTTATTTGTGAATGCATTCTTTAGTTTTATTTTACGCATACGGTTACGAAATACGCTGATACGACATAAATGATTTTTCTTTCTTCTTATATCAAATAATTTAGTATAAATACCCTTCTTTTTTCCTTTTTCCTTTTCTTTTCTTCAGTAATATAATTATCTTTTTTTTAATAAAAAAAAAAAAACATCCTTTTCATTTTCATCCTAACTTAATTATATTGTGGATTATTCTCTCTGATTGGCTCAACACCCTTTTTTTTTGAAGTCAGACTAACAACTTCTATTCTCTTACCTTCCAAATTTGGAACAAGACTTTATTTTTCTTTACTTTTCTTTTCTTTTTTATTTTATCTCTTTTCTTATACGTGTGCTTGCGTAATCAAGTACTGGTGCTCACTATTTATCTTATTCTCTTTCAATCATCCGAATTACTTTTCTTATTTTGAACCTAACAACCAAAAAAATCGCTTAACACTTAACACTAGTAAGAATGTGACATCCTCCTACCAACACATATCATTGGATAATTCTTTAACCGGATGATCGATGTAAAAAGCAAAAAGAAGTGCTGGGACTGAGAATCGAACTCAGGTCAGTGCGGCCACAACGCAATGTACTGCCACTATACTATCCCAGCTTTGTTTTTTTTCGATCAAGAAGTACGTTATAAAGCGAAACGTCGGAGAATGAAAAAAGTTCATTCAAATTTGTTTCATTTTAGGGCTAAGGAGTGTTTTTGTTTGTTCATTTTTCTTACAAGCATTAGATTTGAAGTGAGAAGCAATATGATTGGATAATAAATAGCCGTATTTATTTGCCGTCTTTTTTTTTTTTTTTTTTTTTTTTTTTTTTTTTTTTTTTTTTCTCTTTCATTATTTTATGCTAAGCGTGTGATCCACATGAATACTACGGAATCGGATACTATTACAGCACAAAGTCATGATATATACGAATATAATGAACATGCCGACATTCTTGATAATTTAACTGATTCAGACAACGATGCCATTACTTTAAAACAAACTTGGAAGGACAAGGTACACTATATTACTATTGTTATTATTTACAAGGCATACATATTCTCCTTTCACGTCCTCATTATTATATTTGTCTTTCTATTAAATAGGTCTCACAAAAAAATAGTCATGAAACGCCTTCTTCAGATACCTATATCATACTCGATTCTGACGATGACAATGACACGAAAAATGCTCAAGATCTCAATGACAGTAGCGTACGCGACACGCTTGATATTACGGGCAATTCAATCACAAGGTAATAAGGAATGGACAGTGGACAAAAGAATATATAGTATAACAAAAGAGGTCAATTAATCATATAATTAATACATATATATATTATCTTCTTACGTTTTAGGTCATGTTTATTGGATGGTTCACCTCCTTCACCACAGATTTATCAAGACGACTGGGCGCCAAAAAAATCTGTATCTCCAGTACATATTCTTTCTTCACCATCTTCTCTGGCAATTCAGCTGGATTCGGATCAACTCTCTCCATTGAAAGTCGATTGCTTATCACCACTTTCACCTATACAGTATGATGATGCAACTTTTTCCATTTTGCAAAATGATATTTCACCAACACAAACTACTTCAAGGTCGATGTCTCCCTTTCCTCAGATTTGTACTGGAAAAGAATCACTATTGTCGCCATTAGAATCAGACAGGTTCACAATGAATACAGATATACTCATCAGCAGTGACAATGATTCGGACGACTCCTTACCTTCACCTAGTCGTCTACTATCTCAAATAAGTGCAGGGCATATCAATAGACGTCGAAAATGGAGTCAGGACGATGAAAGCAATACCATGTCAGCAAAACGGAAAGGCAAGCAAAAAGCAACAACCCATACAACGAATAACAATTCAACAGGAGAACTTTTGGAATCTGAACACCTTTGGGAATGGAATGATGAAGGTGATATACCACAAACAGATAACTTTACCATGAGAAGTGAAAAAAGGAGATCGATCTCTTCAAACAAGGTAAACCAGAAAATAATAATAATAATAATAATGCTTATTCATCAAAATACAATCTCATAACCTTCATTATTGTCGAAACGACAGGAAACCAAAAAGGCCCAAAAGAAAAGGGAACAAGAAGCAAGACAACTAGCCAAAGCAGAAGCCTCACGATTAAAGGAACAAGCAAAAGCCGAAGCTATACGACGCAAGGAACAGACCAAACTATTACAACAAGTGAACAGACAACGGAAGGATAGGAATGAACTCATCAAAGAAATGATTGTTGTGGTACACGATCCATCGTTCATTGATACGGAACAAGGCAAACTTTTACAAATGACACTAACTGAAAAGGGAACGACAATCATGAATAACACATTAAGAACGCCATCCACACCATCATCATCATCATCATCATCATCTCCAGCGTTATCAACTTCATTTCCTATATCATCATCTATACCAGCAATGTATACTCTGACATGGCAACGGCGATGTAGGGCTGAATGGAATGAAAAGGAGCAACAATTTATTCCTTTTGACAATGGACAAATCCGAATACAAGATGAATCAAGTGCTCTGATATTTATAAAGGCAGAGTCATTGATTGAAATCATTCACCAGGGTTACGTGGACAATTGGATAGATACAATACAACAGACGGTACCAGACAAACAATTATTTTTGATGATCGAAGGATTAGAAGCCCATTACAAAAAGAAACTCAACTGGCAACGACGGCAATTTGCTTCAGCAGTGATGGAAAACTTGACTGAAGACAACAGCGGTTGTGATGATGAAGAAAGCAGCCAACAACGATCATCTTCAACAACAGGAGGAAATGGAAGAAGACGGAATCAACGAAATACAGCAACAAATTTATTGGTGTGTGGTCCTTCTCGCAGTGAAATAGAGGAACAATTGACGTATTTACAGGTGATCAAGGACGTTATGTTAATTCAAACAACAAATGAAGAAGATTCTGTTGATTGGTTGGTGGCGCTCACAACTGATTTGGCAAAAGCTCCGTATTAGTAAGTTAACTGACGATAAATGATGAAAGAACGATACAACTTATTTGAAATTCTTTTTTTTTATTTTTTTTTATCTTTGATATAGTAATGTAAATGAGCGTGGATTATTCAAAGGACAAGGTCCAGCAAAATCTGGCGTGGATGCAGATGATACTTGGTCAAGAATGCTACAAGAAATACAGCATTGCACTCCAGCAGTGGCGAAAAGCATCATGCAAGAATACCCAAATCCGATGGCTTTATATCAACGATACTCTCAGCTTGATTCAACTGCGTGTGACAATCTATTGGCCAATCTAGAGGTATAAAAAAAAAAAAGATCCATATATTATTTGAAAAATACAATGATCATTTACAAAGACGTTTTTTTTTTTTTTTTTTTTTTCCTTTTTCTTGGATAGGTTGAAAGAAGTGTATTGGTCAGCAGGGATAGAACGGTCAACAAATCAATGTCTAGGAAAATTCACAAAATCTTTATGTCTGATGACCCTACTGATACTATAGCATAACATATCCCTCAGTTTCCATCATTAGATGCCCATGCATACATATACACATCTGTACATAATAATTATTATTCCTGTATTTTACCCTCCATTTTAGAATATATTATCTCAAATAAAAAAGCATGTGATGATTCATAAAATTTATACGGAAAACGAAATTGGTGGCAGTTGTCAGTGAAACGAACTACACTTCTTTTCTCAGTAAATACCAATTCCTATTATTCTGTTTTATTCAAAGACATCTTTTGTAATCATCATATTATGATTCTTTTTTTTATTATCATTATTTTTATTATGATCTTATTTTTCAAATATCCCATTTTCCGAAAATCACTTTATATAGGTTTGAGTATCAAGAAGGAATAAAGAAAAAAAAAACAAACTATAATATGTATATGTGTATCATTTTATTGGAATTTGATAAAAACAAAAAGGTAAAATAATAGTAATAATAATAATAATATCTACAAGGCAAAGTACAATAGGGAAAATGAATACTAAACTACAAATACACTAATCGCACAACACCAAGTTTTGATCATCCAATATTTTCATGAGTGAAGACACACCAAGGAGCAAAGGGTGGTTTCCATATCGGGGTTGAACGTCGAGAAGAAGGAGGAAATGAGGGAGAAGTAGATTCGTATGATGATGGTGATGATGATAGTAATGATGGTGACTGTATGGATGATGTTGTTCTTGAGGTTTCCGCTTCTGTATATAATACACTTATATCTTTAGCATCAAAAATCAAATTCGGATCGAAAGACATCCAGATTTCTACGATCACATTGCACTGCTAGATCTTCTCGTTTCATCCTATCAAAAAAAAAAAAAAAATTAACACATCTGATCCAGTTTTTTTTTTTTTTTTTCAAAAGATTCTATACTTACATAAACATAACCATACGGAGACTATCCCAGACATTTTCACTCATACCTCCAGGTACAGAAATAGGTTGACCATTCGAGTCCAATAATGGAGCAGACGTTGAAGCAGATGCATGTCCCATATCATCTTGTTGTTGTAATGCCAAAGCTGTTAGTAAATGTTCAGCGGCTTCTTTGTGTTGATTCAAATTGATACAGCTGATAGCCAAGTTGTAACGAGCACGAACATAAGAAGGATTGATTTCCAAAGCATTAAAATAAGCATCGATGGCACCAGCACTATCCTTGGAATTAGCTAGAGTGGCTCCCAATTTATTCCATAAGAGATAATCTTGAGGTCGAGTAGCTACCGCAGCCTTGAAACAGTCAATCGCCTTTTCATATTCTTCAGAAACATTGAATAGCACACCAAGACCAACTTGAACATTGGCATCCATTTCAGCACCGGGCGATGATCGTGCAGCTTCTAAAAATAAGTTGGTGATATATCCATGACGATCTTGATCTTGATTTTTGCTAGCATTGTTTTTTGTGACCAAATGTTGATAAGTAGGGTTAAAGGTAATCCACTGTTCCAAGCAATCATAAGCATCTGCACGACAGTTTTCATTGGTGTAAGATACTGCTAGAGCAAGCCAACATTCCAAAAGTTCCGGTTTGATATGAACAGCCTTACGAAGTGCTGCAATGGCGGCCGCATCCCGTTCGTTTTCTTGTTGTCGTAAACCCAAAGCTTGCCATGCTTCCGCATTGTTGGTTTCCAATTGCGCCTTTGCTTCCAAAGCCAAAATTGAATCCGTCAAAGTGGTGTGTTGTGTACCATCGATAGCAGAATGATCGAGCAAATAAGGATTGCCTGTGGTGAAATTGTATGTTTCATAATCAGGATTTACTGCACGGTAACCATTTCCTTGATCATCTTTGAATCGATCCCAATCCTTCTGCATATCATCCCATTCAGAATCCTTCGCTTCCTTGAGATGAGCAATGTTGCGTTGATATTGTTGAATCCAGTCATCCATTTCAGTTCCACGACCATAAACACGTTGCATTTCTTCTTCTGACATGTCCGCATTTTGTTGCTGTTGTTGGAAGCGTTCACTCCAATTTTCTTGTTGCGATGATGATGATGATGCTTCGCGCCATTGACGTTCTAGTTTGCTGGCAAATTCAGGAGTCCACATATTACCACTGCCTTGTTCAGCCACGTTGGGAATAAAGTCATCTATCCAGTCCTTTGTGGTATCAGTAGATTGTTGTTGTTGTTGTTGTTGTTGTTGTTGTTGTTGTTGTTGTTGTTGCGATTTTCCTTTGAATTCAGATGACCAGTCACCTTCCTTTCCAGAGGTTTCCACCATCTTGTCACCTTCTACATGTACCGTTCGATCACGAAGTTTTTGCATGAGACTCATAAATTGGGAGTTCTTGAATTTTGGGTTATCATTCACATCCACCGAGTCAAGTAGCATGGCTGCAGTTTGTGCTAGAGCATCATTACTTGTATTATCTTGAGTCATTCCTTCCTTTTCCGCAAATTCAGATGCCCAATCTTCTTGTGCAGCAAATTCCTTTTCCCAATCCACTTGAGTATCTGTTATTAATAATGATCACAATGAATAAAAAAAAAACGTTAGTTATTTTCAAATCCATTCATCATACTCTAGATATTGTCAAATAATCGTACCTTGTTTAGCAGCATCAAAAGCACGTTCAAATGCCACACTCTCTTGATCCGTCACACCAATTTGTCTAGGATGATGAAGCATGGGGCTAAAACCTTGATGAATCCAATTTTGTTGAGGAATATATCGTTGATGAGAAAGATGATGGTGTTGTTGGGACACAGCGAGTGATTGTTCTTGTTGATGTTGTTGAATTGAAGGACCAGTCATCGATTGAGATTGTTGAAAAGCACTTTCAAAATGTTCGAACTCACCGTCTTGTGGAGCACCATGTACCATTTGATGTTTCATGAAATCACCAGACCAATCTGCAGCATGTGGAGGAGGTTGATGTTGTTGTAAAGGAGGACCATTTTGAATAGAGTTCAGTTCACGTTCAAGTCCATTGAATTCAAACATACTACTAGGATGATCACGAACCATTTCATCTTTCATAAAGTCATCAGCAAACTATAAAAGAGAATAATAAGATGAGTTCAAGATAATAACAGAATACGTTGAAAGTTTATTTACTTGTCTATCAGCGATTGAATTATGTTGATTTTGACCAGAACGGAAGACAGCCTATCATTAAAAACTTGAATTAATAAAGGGTTTAGCTTTTTTCCCACTATTTCATTACCTTTGAACTTTCAGCATGTTGGTCACTTGTAAATCTTTCCTATTAATCAAGATAAAATAAAGCAAAAAACTTTTGATTAAAAATAACCACGTTAAAAAAAAAAATAACAAACTATTTATTACCTGTTGTAATGATCTATCCTGTTGAAACTGCTTCATAAGGCCAGCCATAGGATTGACAGGGCCACAGTCAGCAGAAGGACCACCACCCATTGGGAAAGCCATGTTTAGATAAAGTGAGGATGACTAGAATATAATGTATCAAAAGAAAATACAAAAAAGTAGAAAAATAAAAGAAAAAAAAAGTTTAAAAAGAAGAAAAAAAAAAGTCGGATTGGTTATTTATGACAAATGGATTTATTTCGAGGCCCTAAGCTTGTGTGTGTGGGGTTAACTAAACCCCGATATTCTAGCAACAACCAATAGGAACCGACAAATACATTCAACATGTGAATTAAAAAAAAGAAGTATCTCCTTTATTTAAAGGTATGTATTGTAACGTTTGATGAAATAGATATCATGTATAAATAAAAAAAAAAATGAATAGATTCTTATGCTTTTTCGGTTTTTTCTCCGGTAATAACTCCTGTCTGGATGCCAATAAGTGTTACATCAAACCCATTCTCTTCTAAATATACTTTAAAAGCAGCATCTTCTTCCTCTAATCCTTCAGGTCCAATCTCGGGATTTCCAAAGAATACAAAAATACTAGTGGCAATTGCAAGTGCACTTCCAAATAAAAATGGTCCTCGAATTCCTCCCATACTTTCTTGCATTTGAGCATACACTAAGCTTCCAACTACCGCACCTACCTTTCCAATAGCTTTTTTTTTTGTTTATAATAAAATAAAATGAAATAAATCATCATATCAGTACTACCATCAAGTTTTTTTTTTTTTTTTTTTTTTTTTTTTTTTTTTTTTAACTTACCAGCAGCAATAGAGTAACAAGTACCTCTAACAGCAGTAGGGAAGAATTCAGTTGAGTTCAACCCTGTGACACCACCAGCCACTTCACCTGTTGCCATGAAGATACCATAAAGGATGACAAACATAGGAAAACAGTTGGTTGAAATTGGGCCATAGACGCCGCCCAATATCAATCCAATAGCTCCTTGTGCCAAAAAACCAATCGACATCGTCTTACGGCGACCTATTCTATCAACAATTGAAGCGCCAAGGACGCATCCAGGAAGATAAAATGCATACAACAAGATGTTCCATGCCACAACAATAATAAGTGAAGAATTACCAGCAACTGAATCCAAAATAATGGATGAAAATGCACTACAAGGATATGAAATAAAATCATATACAAACCACTGGGAGCTAGCAAGGAACAGGCGGAACCAATACCGTTTCATGATCAGCATATAGGGCACTCGTTTACGAATTGCTCGAGATCTATACTGCTCAGAATCAGCCATCCGTAACCGGACTATATAAATATGAGTTAGTTTTTTTCTGTATTGAAGACGGATGATGGATGATGTGATGATAGGACGATGTGATAATGATATGTTGTCTCTTTTTTTTTTTTTTTTTTTTTTTTTTTTACTTGGATGAATGATGGATGAAGAGTGATGATGTGATAATGATACGCTACTCTTTTTTTTTTTTTTTTTTTTTTTTTTTTTACTTGAATGAATAATGGATGATGTGTGACGGTGGATGATTTGATGATGGCATGATAATAATGATAATCACTTACAATATAAAACAGACAAGGGTGGAATACAACCAAGGGCTAAACAGAGTCGCCACGTAGGTTCCAGGCTATCTTTGAAAATGGCTAACAAAATCAATGGTACAATGGCAGCTACAACATATCCCAAATCAATTACGAATTGTGTTACCTATAATAATCATCGTCCATATTAGGCTTTAGCTTCCATCACTTTGTGCTTTTTCTCTTCTTAGCTCCTTTACCAGAGTAAATAGGGCACCTCGTTTGCTAGGCTTCAATGTATCAGATGCTTCGCCTGCGGACACTGAACTACAAGGAAATTCCCCACCGACACCAACACCCTAAAGAAATAAGGGAAAAAAAAAAGGGTTCAACAGAATTAGCTCCAATAGGACAATCAAACACCGCTACTTAGGTCCCTTAACATACCAATAAACCTCGAGTAACAACCATCATCCAAAGAAGTCCAGTTGGTGTTGCTCCAGATGATGCTGCAGATAAGGCAGCCCCGAGAATAACAAGAATTGTAGTACTGATCAAACCTATCTTTCTACCAATGCGATCAATCACTAATCCAAAAACTATTTTATGGGTAAAAAAAAAAAAAAAAAAAAAAAAAAAAAGGTTACTTTTTTTTTTATCTGTAGCGAACAAGGATGTTGTTGATGATGATGATGATGATGATGATGATGATGATGATGATGATGATGATGATGATGATGATGATGATGATGATGATGATGATGATGATGATGATGATGATGATGATGATGATGATGATGATGATGATGATGATGATGATGATGATGATGATGATGATGATGATGATGATGATGATGGAATAAGGATGATGGGTGATGATTACTTACAAAGTTGACCAACAATTTCTCCAACAAAAAGTGAATATGTGAGTCGAGAGGCCATGGTTGAATCAAACACACCAGTACCATAAATTTGTTTTAAAAAGAGGTTAACAAAACTGATGACACCTGATTGATAACCATCCGATAACAAGGCGAATCCACTAAAGAGCACATTAAAAAAGGAAGCAGGGCGACCAAAACCTACAGCGGCTGATGTCTTTTTACGGTTGTCTACAGAAATAGATGAACAAGTAGACACATTATCCATTGATGGCAATATACCGTCATCGTTGTGTTGTGTCTTTCCAACATCCACTTTTTCTTTTATATCAGCCATGTTGTGAGGTATATTTGAGGTGAAAAGGTGAGACAATTTCACCTGAAAACAGAAAAGTCGATTTAAATGAACTTTTCTGCCTTTTTCTTTACTTTCCGATGGCCAATCATACCCCTGAATCTCTTCAATGGACTGTTACTTTCATCTCTCTTCTGGAAAATTCCTGAAACGGAGGTTCAATGCGAATAATTGACAAATGGTAAACATCATGATTAAAAAAAAAAAGGGTCCTTGATCAATGTTAATTTTTTTTTTTTTTTTTGATCTCCCGTATCGATCATCGTATTTTTTTTTTTTCTCTTTGTATAATTCAATTGAGTTAGAGGATGTTTGAAAATGATTATCATTTTTATCCAATGGATAGAAAGAATAGACTATTAATGGTGTCACATGTTTGTCTATTTAATAATCCGCCTCTTCTTGAACTTTAAACTATATATATATATATATAGAATGAGATGTACTGGGTTGATTAAAGTTAAGAGATTATTTAAGTTACAATTAAACTTTATGATTATTGGATATGATCATTTGTTATCACCAAGCTGATCAATCTTAAAGGGAGTTTGAGGTATTGAGATGATTTGTTGCCGACAACATATCTTTAATCCAACTACGACTATCGTGATCGGATCAGTTACAATGAAATAAATCATCGAGATGTATTTTGGGTTGAATCCTAAATATTGGTAGTAAAGCTATCTATCCTTTTGCTCCATGTCTCTTTGCTAAATGTTCATATCCCCTTGGATGTTGTAATCAGATGATCATTCAACACTTTAAAGAAATATAGTATGCATCACCCGAGCAATATGAAAGATTAATGTAAATACACCCCTTCAAGTATGACACGTGAAAAGGACGCACGATTCATCTATCCATGATCCAATATCCATCCATTCGTCGTCGTATATCATCGTCAATCAAAATATAGTAAATAAACCATTTTTATTTCCAACTATTCAAATAAATCACTATACTAAACTAAGAGACTAAAAGCTAAAGAAATCACCATTCACCTTCAAGTGGTTCCATAGGAATATCCTTTGTACGAAGATGTAGTTGATCCAAGATCCTCTTATTCGATTTTGTTTCTGTATCTTGATCTTCTTCCTCTGAAAGTTCGGATAATGCATCCACAGTATCTTCACCTAATTCGTCCTTATCAATAGAATGTCTTGCACCGATCAAGATTACCTGTGTAGAAGGATAATTCAAAAATAAAGTAGTTTCAGTCATACCAATAAATCGTTTATCATTGAATTCTTCTTGAAGCCATGAAGGAAAATTTGGTTGTTTTTGGTCACTTGTCTGTGTTGCTGTTTCTGAAGTAGAGGTCTTGGGCGGTTTGGTTGGATTCTTGATAGTGAAGATCATGGAAGCTTCTTTTTCCAAATGGAATGCATTTTGGACTTGAGTAGGTTCATCAGGTGTTTTAAGTATGTATGCCAAGTAAGAATTTCGACCTCGTTTTGAAATAGAATATACTCCTTCGCCCTTTGTTCAAAAAAAAAAAAAAGAAAGAAAGAAAGAAAGAAATGAGAAATCATACAAAAGTAAATAAATAAATAATATTTTTTAAAATGGCGATATTCCAAAAAAAAAAAAAAAAAAAAAAAGAATTGACTTACCAAAATACGAGCAGCAGGAACTGTTCTTTCACCTCGAGTTTTCGTATAATGAGTAGATTCTTTGAAATCATTCACCAATCCATTCATATCTTTGGAAGAAGCAGCAACAAATCCCCAATATCGATCATGACGTTTTGCTGAAGGTAATTTTTTGGCACCGACAATGATCATTGTTGGTTGACGTTTCTCTGGATGTTTCGTCGCTTTTGTAAAACTAGGTTTCAAAATAATGTATGTATGTTGAACATCTTGAATAGATTCGGGATCTTCAACATCAATCTATTTTTAAAATATTGATATATATTAAATAAAAAAAAAGAATCATCTATATTTTTTTTTTTTTTACCTTTGGACGGAATAAAAAGTAAATATGACCATTCTCCATATCACTATTTTCTTCATTAGGATAATCATAAACTGATTTTTTCTCTTCTTCTTGAATATTTGATTTGTTAGATGTATCATCATTAATATCTTCCTTGGTTTTTTCTCGTTTAGTAGGAGGTTCTTCTTTAACATCATCACCAGTCAAAGAAGAAGATGAAGGTTGATCATCAATTGATCTCTTTCTTTTTTCTTGAGCTCTAGTTTCTACTCCCATTTCTTTTTTTTTTAATAGTAAATATAAGCAAAAAGAGAAGTGAAAAAAAAAAAATTGGATCATCCTCCTAAGTATATAATTTTTTTTTTTTTTTAAACTATACCCATGCATTGACTAAATTTGGAAGTATGAGGCTCTAGAATTTCCCACTCCGGAATACTCTCATTCATGCAAGCAAAAAGAAAAGAGAAGTGTCATATGTATTTCTGCTTTAATTTTTTTTTGTTGTTTAATTTTAACTAATAAAAATGAAGACTTATTCAAAAATCAGCTAAACATATATATATATGTCTTTGAAAAAAAAAAGAAAACCTTTGACTTGTGGTGATGATTGATATTTTTTTTTTTTCCTTGTGTGCCATGATGAGAACTCGGGGTTACAATTAGCCCAGAGAAAAAAAAAAGGTATGGTGACTGCATGTTGTTTTGAAAAAGAAAAAAGAGAAGTGGGGGAAACAAAAATAAAACTTTCACCTTTTTTTTCTCTTTCTTCTCTTTCTTCTTTTTCTTCTTTTTCTTCCTTTTCTCTCTCTCTCTTTTTGCTTTTTTTTTTTGTCCTTATCCTCTCATATCTTACTTTTTCCAATCATGTCTCAAAGAATATTCATTGGTAACCTTTCCCGATCAGCTGAAAAAAAAGATTTGGATAGAATGTTCTCTCCTTTTGGCCCCATTTTGGATTTGACTGTAAAGTCTGGTTTTGGTTTTGTGGAGTTCGAGTCTTCAAGGGACGCTGCTGCTGCTGTTGAAGAATGCAATGGTGCCAAGATTCATGATAGACGGTAAGTTACAATAAAGCCCATTATAAATTAGTATGAACCTAAACACTATATTTTTTTATTTTATTTTATTTCTTATAATAGTATTATTGTAGAAATAGCTGCTAGACGACGTGATCGTCGTGAACCTTATCGTAGGTAAAGTCAAAAAAAAAAAAAAATAAAAATAAAAATAAAAATAAAAAAAATTTAATGAATAACAATAACTTTTTTTCTTTTTCATTTTTTAGAGAATCTGAATCCTACAGATTGATTGTTAAAGACATACCACCCAATACTACTTGGCAGGTAATATACCTTTTTGTTTCTTTTTTTTTTCTGGTTACACATGGTTCTCTCTCTCTCTTCTTCTGTGTCTCTCTTTACTCTTCTTTTATCATTATTATGATATATGGAAAGTAGAATGAATTGGGCTGGTGTCTACTTTTGTACCTGGTTTCCTTTTGACTCTTTTTTTTTTTTTTTTAATGGTTGGCTGTGATAACTAGGGAAGAAACTGATTACCTTTCCTTTATCTTTATTCCTTCCCTTCTTTCTTTTTTTTTTAGTTTTATTACCATTTTTTTTTATTTTTTATTTTTTATTTTATATTTTTGTCATGTGTATCCTTTTCTTGATTTTATCATATTACTAATTCTACTTTTCTTTTCAACCTATACATATAGGATCTCAAGGATTTGATGAAAAAAGCTGGCCGTGTTACCTTTGCTGATATTCTTAAAAATACTGATGAAGGGTAAAGAAAAATAGAAAAAAGGATTCTTATATGATATTCATTTTTTTTTTTGACATAGGATTGTGGAATTTGCTCATCGTAGTGATATGCAGTACGCTTTACGAAAACTTGACAATTCAAGACTAAATGGACAACGTATTACTCTCGAAGAACCTGTAAGTATATATATATAAAAGATGTACTTTATCAAAAAAAAAGAAAATTAACTTTTATACTTTTTCAGAGTCGCCGTCGTCGAAGATCATCAAGAGATCGATCTATTTCTCGCTCTCCATCTCGTTCTCGCTCTCCTCGCCGTGGTAGAAGTTATAGATCTCGTAGCCGTAGTAGTAGTAGTCGTTATCGTTCTGCTTCTGATTCCTCCCGTCGATCTCGTAGCCGTAGTGTTAGCAGTGGCCGTCATCGTTCTGCATCTCCTCGTCGTTCTGTCTCTCCTGCTCGTTCGAACAGAAGCCAATCACCTGATCCTGTTGATGCTGAATAAATTCAAGACTGATGTCCAATCTGATCAATAATACTGAATGAATGGAAGGAAATGCAATAGGTAAAAAAAAGGAAACAGGATAGAAAAAAATATAGGATCTTTTTTAGAGTAGTGATTGTGTGATATATACATTTTTACCAATAAAAAAAAAGTTGATTACCATATCCCCCTTGGCCATTTTTTATTATTTTGATTATTGGTTGTGTTTCTTTTTGATGTGTGACAGGATTTGTATATGTGGTTAATGCAAAAACTTTAACCGCTTTTTTATAGGTCGGAAGTCTGGGCCCCTTAGAAAACTGAAGTAGCTGCACCTGAATCAAAATTGGTAAATTATTACAAACTTATTGTTTTTTGTTACCTTCTTACCTTTCTTTCTCTTTCTTTTCTCTTTTTTTTTTTTTTTTTTTCTGGGTATTTAGCCTTATCACTTTTTTGTCTCTCTATTTATGAACTAGATGAATAATCTTTGGCTACTTATCAGGTCTACATGGCTTTTAGTCCTGCTTCTCTGTTTGTCGGCTGTCAACATCAATCAGCGGTCTTACTTCTATGTGAATGCTGATTTATCATTGGACAGAATTTTGGTAAGAAAAAAAAAAAAGACAAAAATAGAGAAGGGATGCACAAATATCTAATCTTTTTTTTTTTATTATGATTATTATTATTATTTTCTGTGTGATGTAGTCATCTTCTACGACTGATACAATTGATCCAACCGAAATTGGCAGCCAGCATCATCATCAATCTCATGTCTCTTTGACTAGCAGTCTTCATCCTTCCGCCACTACAACAAGTGAATCAACGTTTGAATCTTCCCATACCACGTCCATTAGAAGAACAACAACATCAACCATATCCAGTAAAATTAGTACTGCTATATCAAGTCATCATACAACAACAACAACAACAACAACAACATCATCATCATCTTCTTCTTCTTCCAATGTTATATCGCCCACTACTTCTTCAATAATTACCCATCATTCTGACACTAGTTCCACCCAGCAACGTTCTTCAGAGGATTCGGCATCGACTGTTCATTCTGAGACAACATTATCTTCTACGGCGAAACCACATACATCAACGCATCTTACAGCAACATCAACAGTCCCTAAGACTACTTCTATCTCCTCAACTTCAACAAGAACATCATCAACATCGTCCTTGTCATCATCATCATCATCATCATCAAGTCATGATTGTGAAAGGGGATTATTGGGGCTAGGTGGATGCCTTCCTTCATCAACAACTAGAAAAACAACTACTACTTCAACAGCTACCTTCTCTCTGTCCTCTACAACTACGCCAAGTTCAACTACGACCTCATCATCATTTTCATCGTCGACATCAGTATCAAGCGATGATTGTGAAAGGGGACTACTAGGTTTAGGTGGATGTATTCCTTCGACAACAACAACAACAACAACAACTAGAAAAACAGCTACTACTTCAACGGCAACTTCCTCAGTGACTTCCACAAGTATATCAAGCTCATCTGTGACCTCATTACCATCATCACCGTCGTCATCAATATCAAGCGATGACTGTAAAAGGGGACTACTAGGTTTAGGTGGATGCATTCCTTCAACAACAACAACAACAACAGGAAAAACAGCTACTACTTCAACGGCAACTTCCTCAGTGACTTCCACAAGTATATCAAGCTCACCTATGACCTCATCACCGTCATCATCGTCGTCATCAATATCAAGCGATGACTGTAAAAGGGGACTACTAGGTTTAGGTGGATGCCTTCCTTCAACAACAACTGGAAAAACTACTATTACTTCAACGGCAACTTCCTTACTGACTTCCACAAGTACGCCTAGTTCATCCATAACATCTACGCTTAGTTCATCTATAACGTCATCGTTATCACCATCGTTATCATCATTAATGTCATCAACAGCAACCTCATCATCAAGTGACAATTGTGACAGGGAATTACTAGGTCTAGGCGGATGCCTTCCTTCAACAACGACTGGAAAAGCAACTATTACTTCAACAGCTACCTTCTCATTGACTTCCATAAGTACATCAACCCCATCTACGACATCATCATCATTATCATCATCATCATTATCGTCATCCAGCGACAATTGTGACAATGGATTATTAGGTCTAGGTGGATGCCAATCTTCAACAACAACTAGAAAGCCTACCATGACTTCAACTGGTACATTCTCACTGACTTCCACATATGCGCCAAGCTCATCTATGACTTCATCATCATTATCATCGTCATTCAGATGTGGTGATTCATCATGGAACGATTGCACAACGGCACCAACACAATCATCAACAACTACAACAACAATAAATGCGACAGGGACGACATCTACAACCTTGAATGGCTCAACTGCAACATCATCAACAGTTGATGCAACAACGACGACGTCAATATGGATCACAACAAGCACTTCTGTCTATGACAGTATGGGTACTCAGACAATAACAGGAAGTTTATCATCAGCGATGTCGACAACCTCCTCGAATGGAACGGATCATGTAACCCAAACATCAACTTTTTCGCCAACTGGAACTGGAACAGCAAGTCAAACTTTAACAGCAACTACTAGCTTCATGCCTCACAATGTAACCGATGGAGTTACTGGATCAACTGCAACTTCAACAGATAGTACCACTTCACTGTCGACGACTGATTCCGTATTGTCCTCTACCATCATCACAGAATCTCCCGCAACGACCTCTGAAATCCCAACAACTACAACAGAACAGCCAACTACTACTAATACCCCTGATAGGACAACCTCTTCCTACCGCTATGAATCGCTTAGTTGGTTAACTCAATCTTTTACTTTTGCAATTACCACTGCACCATCTTCATCCACAACTACTGCTGTTTCATCTACAACAATGATATCTTCAGTATCATCATCATCATCATCGGCACCAACAACAACAACAACAACAACAGTAACAACTTCTTCCACACCAACGACATCACCTACACCAAGTAATCTTCCTCAATATATTGCACCAAATCCCAATGCTGCTATTCCAAGTAATTCTCTTTCAAATACCAAAAAAAAAAAAAAAAAAAAAAAAAAAAAAAAAAAAAAAAAAAAAAAAAAAAACTTCTATATATATGATGAAATTAACATTTAAATTTTTTGCCATCTTTAGGTACCAGTGATATTGTGCATTTGAAGTTCAATTATCTATCCTATGTTCGTATGGTGGAAGATTACATGTTGACAGCCCAATTTGTTCAAGCATTACCTCCTCTATTTAGCAAGGCACTTGATATCAGCGTAAATGACGTAATTGTAGTCACTATCACAAGCGCATCATCATCATCATCATCAGGCCAAGGTCGCAAAAGAGATCAAGTCAATACTCAACAACAAAAAGACATATCAGATACTGGTGTTTTAGTGGCTATCGCTGTACCAAATCAATCTGTTACTCCATTGGCTCAACTTGTACAAAATCGGTCTAGTTCACTTTATGATTCTAGCAATGGTCAAATCGCTACATTGATAGATAGCCAATATCCTGTCTCAAGCTCAGGTAAAGATGATGGACTACTTGTATCTCTAAAAATGTTTTCTCAACTTTTTTTTTTTTTTTTTTTTTTTTTTTTTTTTAGATTCCCAAGGAATGAACGATCCCAACGGAACACAATCATCTTCAAATTCAGGAAATACGAATGGCGGGGGATCCAACACTGCAGGTCAGTCATCATCCGATTCTTCACTTTCTCGTGGAGCCATCATTGGAATAGCGGTATCTGTGGGTGTGGTGGTTTATGCAGCGGCTACCATGGGAGCTGTGACAATGTACCGTCGTCATCGTCGTCATCAACAAGAACAAGAGGAACAACGTCGTCGTAATGCTATTCAAGAAATCTCTGCTCCTATCATTCTCGACCATTCTTTCAGGGGCTCCTTGGTACATCGGGATCAATTCTATCATGCAAGATCAAGTTAAAGCAACTTTAGATAAAAATAGTTTAGATTTATAGTTGTATTTATAGTTTATTATTGTTATCCCACCTTTTTTTATTTATTTATTATTGATTATTTGAATAAAAAAAAAATGATCCTTTCTATTTTGCCCATGATCTTCTCCCTTTATGAAATGCATGGGTCTTTTTTTTTTTTTTTGGAAATCAGAGATGGCAAAAGTCAATTGGTGGATGATTCATCGGGAAATAGGAAGATTCCTTTAATTTCCTTAAATATCGTTTTCAGTGTAGCATACCATTTTCTTTTTTTTTTTTTTTATCCTTTTTTTTTTTATATACATATGACGACTTGCGGTATTCCCGTTTGGTTGGATTGTGATCCAGGTACAATTATTTGATTTTTATAGAGAGACAAATAAATTCAGTAATCTAATGAAATATTTGACGATCAATTCCTCTTCCCCCTTTTTTTCCCATCCCTTCCATTTAGGCCATGATGATGCTATGGCAATGATTCTTGCAGGCAAGTGATCATTCTTTCATTCTTCTTATTTCTTATTCATCTATCCTATTTTTTTTCCATTAATAGGCTACAATCCAAAATTGAGGTTACTAGGCATCTCTACTGTAAGAATAAATATATATGTAAAAAAAAAAAGGAAGCTTTTCTAATTATAGTTTATATGTTGTGATACGTTCATTCATATAGTGTCATGGTAATCAAGTTCATGAAAGTACAACTCGCAATGCTGCTCTAATTTTGAAGGCAGCAGGTATGGATCATTTAAAAGTGATTCCTGGTCAGTCAAAGGTAACACCATAACCAAAAAAAAAAAAAAGAGAGGATTAGATGGCAGCAAAACTTTAGCGAGATCATCACATTGTCACCCATACATTGATGATAATGATGTTCGCTGAAGATACCCTCAAATCTGGACGTAATCATCAGGATCAGAGTCTGATCTGCAAAAGAGCAACTATCATCCCATTGTCCCATCATCATCCATCATCCTTGTCATCTATTATCAGTACATCGAATTCTTGTTGCCTAATTCCCTGCGTCAGTGATGAGAATACATAAAACATACTCACTCTACTCTTTTTTTTTTTTTTTTTTTTGAATAGCCATTGATGCGTGCATCTATAATTAGTCCGGAGATTCATGGAGAAAGTGGTTTGGACGGCACATTTGTATTTCCAGCGTATGATCCATCGTTAGTGCAAAGTGATGAAAAAGCTGTGCTTTACTTGGCAAGGTTAATTCAAGGAATGGATGAACCGATCACATTGATAGCTACTGGTCCATTAACGAACTATGCTTTGTTGTTGACACTTTATCCTGAATTACATTCGAAAATCAAACAAATTCTTTTTATGGGTGGAGCCATTTCTTCAGGCAATCGAACGCCATGTAGTGAATTTAATGTTCTGGTAGAAATCATCATCAAAAAAAAAAAAAAATAAGAAGGAGATTGTTTAATTTTTTTTTTTTGTTAGGCTGATCCAGAGTCCACATGGATAGTTGTGCAATCAGACATTCCAGTGACAATGGTACCATTAGAAGTCACTCATAAAGCCCTCTTAACAGATCAAATCATTGGAGAGTTATGTGATCGATTACATCGATCAAAATTTTGTCAATTGGTGTTGGAGTTATTATTATTTTTCAAACAGACCTATGAAAAAGTGTTTGCCTTTCATGATGGTCCACCACTCCATGACCCATGTGCGGTGGCTATCCTGATTGATCCATCTCTGTTTACTATAAAGTCGATGGGAGTCAAAGTCATCACTGATGATGGACCCTGTTTAGGTCAAACCGTGTGTGATATCTACAATACAACTGATTATCCCAAAATTAATGTTGCCATGGATATCAACCCGCCTGCTTTTATGAGTCTCCTTCTTGATGCTTTAGAAAAAGCTAATGTTCAATCCCCTATGAATATCTCCCAATGACATTTATCAATAAAACTGTTTTTTATCATCATCTACTCGTCTTCTTTATTTATATAATGGATGTATCTGATACTATAAATGAATGGTACGATTTGTCCCTGAAAATTCATTTACAACAAATCATCTCAGTATTGAGTCCACTTTAAGCCTGGGAGTTTGAATTTTTTTTTTAAAAAAATCAAAAAAAAAAAATAATCTTTATTTACGTTTCTCTTTCACTTTCCTCTCTTCTCTCTCTCTCTCTCTTTTTTTTTTTTTTTTTTTTTCTCTTTCACTTGGTTTCTCCTTATGGTTTCGATACATCTGCGTTATTACTGACCATACTCCATCCCTTGTCACCTCCATACTTTTATACCAGTTATTCTTGTATCTCGGTTACATCTCCATACATGACTCTTTCCTTCCCATTCTCCGTCCTGACCTTTCATCAAGTCCTTCTCATTTCCTCGGTCTTCTTTTCCACGCCTTCGATATGCCACCGGTTTTCTTTGGATTAGATCGGTCTCTCACCCGCCACAATGCTTATTCTACCACCCAAACTAATGTTTACCTCTGTTTCCACTGATCATTGGAGTAATCATAGCCGACATCGACATCTTCAAGCATCGACTTTCTTTTGTTATGATCCACAGGATCGACAGCTTCGCCTCAAAGCCGCCATTGAATACCATTACTATCCGCATCTTTGTCGCTGCCTCCTTAATCAAGTTTTCAATAAAATTATCCACACTCAGTCTCATGATGCGTCCCTCTACATCCATCAGCAAGACCTAGTTGATATCGTACTCTTTCCTTCCAGCATGTCTTGTCATCGCCATCAAATCCCAACTTCATATTATCCACGGAAGATGTCTTATTCCATTGCTTGTCAAGAATTTGGAGTATCACCTTTTGCGTTGACTGATTGTGGCTCAAAAGGACTCGTCATTTTGTCGAAATATTGAACAAGACACGATGGATTACCACAGAGAAAATATTCCTTCAACAAGAACTAGTTCGGTAGATGAATCAATATGACAACAATTTGATGATCACGGAATTGCAGTGGCTTTCGAATAAAAGAAACTCCAACAGAAAAAAAAATATCAGGTTCAAGAAAGAGAATTATCAGTGGTTTTACATGCTCTGTTTCATCGATGGTCGACAATTTGTTATTCGTACTGATCTCAACCCTGTGAAGTATATAAGAACATAGACAGAATCAATTCATCCCTATGTTCAATCATCGCGAAGCTAGAAACAAGTTAGCAGAATTGAAACAACGAACAACAGTGGCCAAACTTTTCGAAGACCTACAAGAAATATGTATGCACATTCCTGAAATCACCGAGGACGAAAAAATGGATAAGGCTATTCGAGCGTTGCAACCCCACATTTGTGAACACGTCTTGGCTTGTGAACCTACGACAATGCAAGAGGTACAAAGATTAGCTTTGGCAAAGGATGGAGCCCGTGCGAGCATCAACTCTAGACTTTCCTTACCTCGAGGTGCTTTTTCAACAACAACGGACCTACACCCATGGATCTTTTCCCATATTCCTCGATTAAGGCTACTAGTGATGACATTAATCAAATCAACAACTTTATGACTGATTTTATGGATCATTTGACCATCAAGCTCAATTGGACAGACGATTGGATCTGGAAAGTCTTCGTTTACAGGATGGTTATCATCGGTTGAAATGACATGGTCTTTTTTTTTTTTTTTTTTTTTTTTTTTTTTTTTTAGTTTAGACTTTATTTTATTTTATTTTTACTACGGATTTTTTTTAGATATCTGTTGATACATGGAATTCTTTTATATTTTCCTTCAATAAAATCATATCTATGTCATGATTATCTATCTTGTTGTCTGGACTACTCTTAATTTGTTATCATCATAAGTAATCTTAGGCAACTGTCATATCCATCCATGATGCCAATCATACTATGATCAATCATCCATCCTCTTTCATGTTAATAAGTCAAATGAGATTTCATACCTACACTGCATAAAGACGAAATAATCATCAAATAAAGGAATCGATTCAAAACCTTTTGATTTCGAAAGAGTAGAATATCAGAAGATTTATTGTATATATATATAAGTATATGGAATTGTATATGTGTCTGTTGTTACCAAAAAAAAAAAAAGAAAAAGAGGGAGATTATATAAATGAGGGGGGAACTAAATAACAGGGGAGGAAGGGGAAGAAGAAGGGGGTCGAGAGGGAGAAGAAGGAGAATGTTGCCAAGCCAATTCAAGTTGTTTCAATTCTTGAGAAAAACCAGGACTAGGAAGAGAAGCTGTATGCCAATCGGTTTCCATAAAACTGCTAACACGACCATGGACTTGATTTTCCAATTTCATCAGTTCAGCAATAAAACCAATGTTGGGTGACATGTTGGGTCGAGCTTTGATCACATGACGATACGATTGCTTCAATGTCCATCGTTCACAACTAACTAAATATGCCAAAATAACAGTAACTGATCTTGATTTTCCTGCCTTGCAATGCACATAAATAGGTTCATGATGTCGTTTGGCTTCCTCTATTCATTTCAAGTAAAAAAAAAAAGTTAATTTCTTTCTTTTTTTTTTTTTTTTTTTTTTTTTTTTTTTTTTTGCTTACCAATGAATCCTACACCTTCCATCATAACATGATCAATGTTTCGCATTTCCACCGTGTCCCGCGCGGCGATTTTTCTATAGACCAAGTTGTTATGATGTTGAAGCAAAGGTCGATCGTGACATTCCTCCGCCATATTCAAGACTCTTCGGATAGGTCGAGCCAATAACTGATCTGCATGGTCTGTTGTTTCAATTTCAGGTCCAACATATAAGAATCCAGGAATGATTTCAGAGATTGTAAATTCAAAATCAGTTTCAGTACGTGGTGAGATATCAGCCGTCATTTGTCCAAGTATATCGTCGTCCTCTTCTTCCATGACTCTGGCTAGAGAAGGTACATTAAGACCACCGGTAGAATTGTTGAGTGATGTTGACGTTCCAGTTACAGGAGTTCCTGCTGAAGATGTTGATGACGATGATGAAGAATTGATTGAAAGTGATGGTGATACAGATGATGATAATGATGATGATGAAGATACAGTTGTTCCAGATGATGATGATGGTATAGACAGTAAAGATGTATTGCTGTTGATGTGTATGTTTTGGTGATGATTCAAATGATGTTTACTAATATCATGATCCCCGTTGATGCTGCTATTATGGTTGTTGATACGTTTCGAAGAAATGATTGTGGTTTGATTTTTGTTGTTCATTGCACCATCATTGAGAAAACTGTTGTCACTATTGTTGGTATAATCTTTGCCATTGTTCATTCCTGATGAGTGTTGATTGGTCAGTTGTAATTGTTGTAAATGTTGAGATCTTCGACTAGCCCGTCTGGCAAGAGCGTTGGCGTTGTTTTCCCTGGCTGCCTGAGTATCCAAACTGAATAAACTTGTCTGTTGTTGTATCTTTGATCCATCTCCAATGGTATAACTAAGAGACCGTCGTGGTGATACTTTGTTGCGTAGTTTTTGTTGCAAACTAGGTGTGCCTGAAGATGTAGATGTTGATAAGCCAGGTCGTCCCTTACTGTCATTTTGATGTAAATTATTGTCATGATCCACAAAAACCATCATCATATCATCACCGGTTCCTTCTATCCATTGTTGACTATGGGTGCTATTGATAAATTCAGAGAAACCGCCAAGTAAATAGAGTACTTTGTCATTTGTATCGCTGGTAGCTTTGCTTAGTACATTGAGTAGAGTCCAGGCTTGAGTTGACTTGCATTGTTCATTCATATCATCGTCGTAAACTACCCATGTTGTACTGCTATCGTCTTGATCTGTGATAGTCTTTTCCTTTGTCATGTTATCCCCATTTGTTGTTGTCAGTGAAACAGAAGAAGAATCTGGTGTCAAAGGTGATGATGAGATAGACGAAGGAGAGGATGATAATGACGAAGTAATGAGCTCTGAAGGCGTTGTTGTAGTTGATGTTGTTGATGATAATGAAGAAGATGATGATGCATTGGAATTAGTAGACGTATGTCGTTGATTGAGGTATTGTTCTCGACCTTCAGCAGTAGTGATAAAGTTTTCCAGATGAAAGTTTGATACAGTTCCACGTTGATATCTTTTGATGAGCAGAGAAGGCAAATTCACATTGAGAGAACCACGGATACGTTGTTTTTGATAATCGACAAGATTACGTACATCAACTAACATAATATTATGTTGATGATGTTTCCGAGCTTCCAACATCTTCCGTAAAGTTGAAGAATCCAAAGGTGAATGATGATATTGAGTGGTATCTTCTTGTTGATGAATAGATGAAGATGATGTAGAATGAGCACGAATCAAAAGTTTTTTTGGAGGTGACAACAGTTGATGACTGGTAGATCGTTGTGGTACAATAAGAGTAGGAGTTATTGTGGATAATGTTGAAGTTGCAGGAGGAGAATGAGGTTGACGTTTAGCCAAAAAGAGATCCAATTTTTTTTCTTGAGATGGGTCCAATACAAGGTCTTTCAAAGATAAATTTTCAGTTGTTGTTTTCTGTTTTCTTGAATTTCCAAATGTATAGGAATGCCTTTGTCTGTTGGTAGAATGGTCGTTGATAATATTGGAAAGTCGATCAAGTCCAGGTTCTATTGAGTGTCTTTTTTGTATCATACTTTTATTATTGAATGATAATGAATGACGTCTATTTGTTGTTTTTGTTGTAGTTGTTGTTTTTGTTGGTGTTGAAGGTAAAGTTGAAGTCGAAGAAGAAGGCAATCCAATAGCCAATATACGAGGAGAAGAAGGAGAAGGTTTATCAATAACAATATTTGGTAAAGAAGTAGAATGACGAGGCATTGATATAAGGTCAGTCGATAACAAAGAAGTTTTAGATCTAGTACGTTTGGTAAAAGGTAGTTTACGAAAGAAAGCATCGGCTAAACTTGACTTTTTTGTAGGAACATCTTCCAACTTTTTTGGTTTACGGTAACGAGTAAAGAGCATTTAATGAAGGAATAAATGAAAAAGGGAATAATAATAATAATAAAAAGGAGTGAATGGGGGGAAGAGTAATGGTAAATAAGAATAGGATAAAGAAAAAAGAGAAAAAAGAAAAAAGATATAAAAAGAGATTCAAATTATATTATAATAATAATAATAATAATAAAAATAAAAATAACAAAAAAAAAAAAAAAAAACCCAGTCTATCTCTAACTCAATAAAGTAATTTCAGTAACACACACATAAAAATTTAATAAATAATCTATAGAAAAGAATGAAAGATTTTTTGTTGTTAAATTATTGTCAATCCCTTTTTTTTTTTTTTTTTATTCATTTTCATTTTTTAATCAGAAAAAAAAAAAACCTATCTTACTAAAGGAACCAAATAAACAAAAAAAAAAAGATATACTTTTGCTTGAAGTTAAAGAAATATGAATACTATAAATACTTTACACTTTGTTACACCAATAGATGACGCAGTTTCAAAATAGAATGTCGACAAAATAGGAAATAATATATCGTAAGTATAAAAAAAAAAAAGAATGGATGATGGGATGAAGAGTTGGATGGATGACAGGGAGAAACAGGAATGAAGTTATCATAAAAAGAAAAGAAAAAAAAAATAGTTAGTTCTATGTATGAAACATCCAAATTTTCAATAATCGATGCTTACCAAAATAACAATAATAGAATAGTAATCAATAAGACAAGTCAAAGATGAAGAAGTAGTAGTAGTAGATATAAATATATATATAAAAAGGATAAAATAATTATGAACTAAAACTTTTTTTTTTTTTGACTATCTACCTATAATATATATGTTATATATTTATATATAAAAAGTTAATCATAATGACAAAATAAATAAATAAGTTGATTTATTTCTTTGAAAACACTGTATAACTATGAATATTCAACAGCCAACATCAGCTCTCTTTCGAATAATTGCACCATCATTTTCTTCCTTTTCTGTTGGTAATAGTTTATATGGATTGAGAATACCATTTGGATCAAATACATCCTTGATTTGTCGCATACTTGATATAGAACTTCTTGATTTCGTATAAGATAAGTAACTTCGTTTCATCAATCCAATGCCATGTTCAGCTGAGATACTTCCATTGTATTGACTTGTCCAACCATATACAAAATCATCCACTGTCTTGCGTAGTTCTTCATCAACACGTAATGCTGGTATGCTCAAATGCATATTTCCATCACCCACATGTCCATAACCAAAAATAGCATGAATATCCTTGCCAATCATGTCATTTTCCCTTGCCCATGCCCTTGTATCCGTCACCAATTGATATAATAAAGGAAGTGGTAACGAGATGTCAAAATGAATAGAAGATGGTCCTTGTTGCACTATCGCTCGTGGTAGCATGGTTCGCCAAGACCAGAAACTTGTTGCCTAATCAATTAATAAAATAAAATAGAATAAAATAAAAAAAAATGAATGATCATAATCATCATTATGCTTGTTACATTTTTACCTCTGCTTCATCTTTTGCTACAATACCATTTAAGGCAATCCCTTCCTTCAATAAATCTTCAGTAAATTTGATAGCTTTCTATTAAAAATAAAAAATAAAAATAAAAAAATAAAATAAAAGATCGTATTAGAATATTATATTATCTATGTATTTATTATTTATTACCTTGTTTTCATATTCAGGATCAGTACCCGCTGTTTCCATTATAACATATAGATTGTGCTGTGTAGAGATAGGGAATACTGCATTGGAAGGTTGTTGATAACCCAGTTGAGCGACACATTCAATCGATTCTCGATCCAATACTTCAAATGCTGATATTGTCTCTGGAAGACATTTTTTTGCCTTGGAGAATGCTTGTACCACCTGTTCAAATGTAGCGAAACCAAAAACAAAAACGTTGATTCCTTGTCGTAATCTAGCTGTTGTAATAGCTATCTTGGTAACAATAGCCAGTGTTCCTTCAGATCCAATAAACAAATTCTTCAAATGATATCCAGTATTATCTTTACGTAATGTCGTCAAAGTGTTGATGATAGTACCTTCACCTGTAACTACTTCCAATCCAGTCACATTACCTATACATAATATTATCAGTTTTATATATCGTAATAATATCAATATGATTTATTTACCATGAAGATTTCCAAATCGCATTTGTCGTATTCCTCCAGCATTAGTAGATATATTGCCTCCTATTTGACACAAATGACGTGAAGGTAGATCCAAAGGGAACTTGATCATTATATATATATATATATATATATATATATGAAAAGGTGAGCACTTTTTCAAAGAATTATTTCATATAGTTATATATTTCTTACTTGATAACCAAAAGATAATAGGTATTCATCCACATCTTCTAGCACGCAACCAGCATCGCATATCAGGTCACCTGTGTAACATAATAAGAATAAGTTAGAGAAAACACCATGATGATGGATTTTGTACTTTCCTTTTAATTCATCAAAGGAATGAATCTTATTCATTTTCTTCAAACTAATAATAATTTCATCAAATACAGGCACTGATCCTATATAGAAGAAATGAAGTTACTTTACTATTATATATTATCATATTTTTCTTACCACCACTAGCACTTGTGTTTCCACTTTGAGGTACCACTGCAATATGTTGTTTGTTACAGTATGTTAATAGTTGAGATACTTGTTCAGTTGTTTCTGGAAAGAGTACAGCAGACGGAGAGCCACGGAATAAGTTGTACCAATCAGTTGAATGTTTGAGAAGTTCGTCATTGTTTCCGAGTTCATTATAGGCCACTAGTATGTTGTCTCGAGGAAGAATAGCATAAAAGTAATCCAGGTCTTCCTTAGTAAGCTATATATATATAATAATAATAATAATAATATTATTAATAATAAATTAAAACAAGTTTCTTCTTTACGTAATTCTTCTTTTCCCGGTACCTTTTTGAAGCTTGGTGATCTTGTCAAGTGTTTCGCCTTATTTGCAGTCAATTCAGTGACACTGAAGCCATGTTTTGATTTAGTCATAGAAAAAGAAGAAGAGATGGTAACAAATAGACTGAATAATAATAATAATAATAATAGTAAAAAACAACAGAAAGAAAAGGAAAGAAACGAAAAAAAAAAAAAAAAAACTGCATTAAAATATCGTTATTTGAAAAAATAGATGGTACAAAAAAAAAAATGAAAAATAAAGTTTTATTAAAAAGGAAAGACTATATACAACCTATCTAATTCTATTCCTAATCATTCTTCGTTCAAAGCTTTCTTTGCGAATTGAGGCAAAACAAAGGCAGCCTTGTGAATTTCAGAATTGTAGTAACGCAACATATTATTTTCTTGTTCAGGAGTAAACTTGCGAAGAGGTTCACGGAAGTTGGTTTCAGCATTCTTGGAACAAAGGACATGACCAATTTGACCACTAGGATAAGTAGGAATACAAGTGTAAGCATATTCAACCTTAGGATAAAGACCCTTGCAGAATTTGAGAACCTTTTTGATCAAAGGCAAATGAAGCCACATGCATTCACCTTGAGTAGAGAATACACCATTCTCAGTCAAAGCATTCTTTAAGAGTTCAAAAAATTCAGCACCAAAAAGACCTTCAGCAGGACCTACCAAAAAAAAAAAAAAGATTAATATCAAATAGTAAAGTATATATATAAATTTCTCACCATCAGGGTCCGAAGAATCGGTGATAATCACATCATATTGATTGACCTTATCCTTCAAGAATTCCACGCCATCACCAATATGAACCTTGACATTAGGATGTTCAAAACCAATAGCCATGTTAGGAAGATACTTTTTAGAAACACGAGGGACAGCTTCATCAATATCAACAAGGACAGCTTCTTCAACAGATTCATGCTTGATCACTTCACGAAGAACACCACCATCACCACCACCAATAACGAGAACCTAAAACCAAAAAAAGAAAAAAAAATCTCTTAGTCACATCATCATAAAATCATTTCTATTTAATATATATATATATACATATATATTACCTTCTTGGGGTTGGGGTGAGAGTTCATAGCAAGATGAGTGATCATTTCTTGGTAACTAAAAAAACAAAAAACAAAAACATAATGGATATTTAACTACTTTTATATATATTTTAAGGTTAAACTTACGAGAATTCATCGCGTTCAGTAGCTTGAATAACACCATCAAGAACCAAAACATTACCGTAATCAGAAGATTGGAATACAAGAACGTCTTGGAACTTGGACTTTTCAACATGAAGAATTTCTTCAACCTTGAGAGCCATTGCTAAAAAAATAAAATAAAATAAAAATAAGAATGGCTAATAAAAATAAATACTTCTTTTTTTTTTTTTAATGTTTACCTTGACCAGGCCACATAGTGGACTTTTCCATGAACCAACCGTCTTGGATGCTAGGGTGAGTAAGAGGAGCTGCCATGTTTAACAATGATTGTTGAAGAAGTAAAGTAAAAAAAGAAAAGAAAAAAGAAAAAGAAGAAATGTTAGAGTTCAAACAACAAAAAATTTTTTTTTTACTGCAAGGCGGAGTCAGAATCATGAACAAGGTAATCTCTTCTACAAAATGTACGTTGACAAAGTGTAGTCAAATAGTTCAAGTTTAGAACAAGAATGATGATTGTTCTTATTAATTATTATTCATCATGGTTTATTTATTCATTGCTACATCAGTAGTCATTCCATACATTTACTGGTTTTTTCCATGCGAAACGCGTTCATTTTTTTTCTTTTTCTACGTTATGGTTAGAGATCTGTTTGCATTGGGGTTTGAACATATTTGCGGTGATTCTTTTTTTTTTTTTTTTTTTGCTACGGAAATGGATGATTAATGATATCAATAGAAACTTTCTTATTCTTTATTATAGTCTCTTCTTAATGATCATAGCTAAATCGTTAACTTGATGGAAGCTTGGCTATCAAGAATGATTCAATGAATAATTCCAATGAATAAAAAGAAAGTTGAGGACGATTATGGCGAATCATCTAGCATTTTATTCCATTTCTTTCTATGCCTGAATTATATGCTTAATTCAAGTAACAAAAACCCTACGACGTTTTGGTTGTAAGTATCAAAAAAAAAAAAAAAAGACTTTACTTACCGTATTTCTCTTTCTATTCTTTTTTTTTTTTTATATTCTCTTTTTGATACAATCAATACAATGCAACTCACCTTTTTTTTTTTTTTTTTTTTTTTTTTTTTTTTTTTTTTTTTTTACCTGCAAATCATATAATTTACAGTAACTGTCTATTTCTCCATTAATTCTCATAAAAAAAAACAGTATTGATGGCATTGATTACACAAATTAAATATGTTAATTCCCTAGAAAAGATATCCTTTAACTCACATGATCTCCTTTTTTTGTGTTGTGATTATTCTGTGAGACAAAAACAAATGACTCGGGAAGTATTTTGATTTTCCAATTTTTTTGATTGATCTGATGGTTGTTGTACGATAATATGACCAATCATCCATCTTTTTAATACTTTTCATTATTCTATTATAAAAAAAAAAAATAGAAAATATTTCAAAGTAACACTATTTTTGACATTTTATTTTGATATCAAATGATTAGAAACCAATCAAAAAAAATGTAGTCAAATAATAATAATAAAAAAGAAAGAAATCAAGTTATTTTTTTTTTTTTTTTTATTTACTCTGTCAATGATGAGTGATTTATTGCCAAAAAAAAATATGACTTCATGTATCTTGTGATTTATATTTTTGCTTTGACAATGATGATGATAATGATATTGAATGTTCACTTACAAAATGAAAAATATTAAAAAAGAACAATATGAAAAATATATTCATATATATCTTAATGATGAGAACCCGAATAATATCTTTTTTTTTTTTTTTTAAAAAAAAAAAATCAATCTAGTTTATTATGCCATTTAAGGTTTGGCCATATATATATTTTGCTTTTCTTTTGGGCGTCTTTCCATATTTAGAACCACTTTTCTTTTTCTTTCTTTTTTTTTTTTTTTTGGTTCAATACGTCATAGTTGGAGAGAAAGAGAGAGAGTCATTCATTTTCTGCAAAATAAAATAAAAGTCTTTTCCTTTTTTCTTTCTTTCCTTTTTTTTTTTTTTTTTTTTTTGAAAGTAACCTTTTCTCCTTTATACCGCTTATTATTTATACATATCTTTTTTTTTTTCTTTTTTGTCTTACCTTTGTTCTCTTCCTCTTATTTTATTCATGGTCAGCTATTTTAGTTCCAATAGGATAAAATCAAAGTTAAACCAGAATGGAAGTACCTGAATCACAAAGTGATCATCACCAACCTCATTTACCTTCCAAGACATCGCAATATCATGCTCAACTTTATTCTGAACAAAAACGACTACAAAATCAAATGTTACAACAAACTTCCACAATAAATGAAACTACAACACAACGACAGATCACTTTACCCACACTTACCTTTGAAACTCCCAATTTATATCGAACTTCCCTCAAACTATCCAAAGAAATCAATATTCATGGTTGGTGGGCGACAATTGTTGAACTCTTTATAACTGGTTCATTCCATGCTTCCCGTGTCACACTATGCATTCCACAAGATTCAAGTGATCCATTCAATGGACCATGGGGTCTCAAAGCAGTTTATGATAGCAATAATATCAACCTTACTACTAATATCAACAAAAATTTATATTCTCAATACACAACTAGTAATAACGACAATGATATTTCACCGAAACAATCACAAACAACAACAACAACAACAACAACACAGAAATGCTTTGATCATCTTCAACCTTTAGATGCCGATCCTGTACCTCTTATCAACAACTCTAGTATACATCAAATACTTGAACGAAATGATATTGTCGTTCTCTCCCGGGAATATCGACCTCAATCCAGTATGTCACCTTATCCTCCTTTACGCTTATTGAAAAAACCTTTGGATGAAAATCAAGATATGATCAAACGAGCTTTATTGGAAAAAAGATCCTCTTTACGTCAATCAGTCAATTCAAAATTATCTTTGGTAGATCAAAACAAATCGGATATCAATTCAAATGCAATACGGAATGAAAATGATCATGGTACACAAATAGAAAAAAAAAAAAGAAAAAAAGAAAAAAGGATTTCATTATTACTTTATTAATTAGTATTTTTTGTCTCTCTGTCTTAGTATCCTCTTTTATCACTGATTATGATGAATATGAACAACAACAACCTTCTCCTTGGTCACACTCACCAGCACCTTCACCAGCTTTAATGGATCCAGATGTTAATCCATTTTTTCAATCAACTCCTGATATCGATGACGACGCATTTAATCCTGATACTTCGGAATCAATTTGTAATCATGAATCTGTTCCTTTTCCACCTCCAGCCTCAAATGCTCATTCTCTTGTACATATTCCTATCGTTCACCCTCCTGATTTAGAAGACAAACATATTTCTTCTTCTTCTTCTTCTTCGACAGATTCTTCTAGATGTTATGCGACTCCTATTGCCATCTTATCTTTTCTATCTCCTGTTGTACCATATCCTGCTGCATTATTACAATGTCTGCGATCCTTACAAGCTTTTATTGCAACAAGTCTATCCAATGCTTTGGCCTATTCCCGATTAGTACAAAATAGATTCAATACTGATATGGATAATGGAGGAAATGCTAGAAAACCTTTACTTCGACGACACTCTCACAAAATAAAACGATGGCCTAGTCAAACTTTCGGTGGATCATCAACAATGCAAAAAAAATCATCGACAAAGTCAATGGAATTAGGTGATGATGACAATAAGAATAACAACAACAATATCACTGCCAACGCGATCAACAACAACAACAACAACAACAACAACAACAATGAAAATGATGCTTGTGTTTATACCGGCAAAAGTGACAATATTGATGAATCATGTGCAACCAATTGGAATCATGAGACAAGTAATACCAGTAACGCTTCTCACTTGAGAAATTCTGTACCAATGAACGAACTATCATTAACAATGGACAACAATACCCCACTGCCATCAACAATTACACAACATGAAATGCAACAAGTTAAACAACAAGGAATAGAATCATCTTCTGCACAGCTTCTCAAACCACTAGAGGCTATACAATCTCGTGATCCACAGATCTCCATCACAAATGACGATGAATCTCAATCGCTTTATATGTCTACTTCATCATCTGATTCATCCGGTATAAATTCACCTTCAACAAAACCACCGATTCAATCAAGCCTCCACTATGATCATCATACGACCAAAAAACAAGGAAATGGCAAGAAACAATATGGATTCAAAAAACGACGTAGTTCCACTGTTGCTACGTTTATGCGACCACGTCAACGATTATCATCATTATCAACGTTAGATGATCATGAACGGCTCTATTCTACTATGCGACGTACAAGATCAAGAGAAAATATTGATAAACATTTAGAATCCCCAAGGTCAAGTTTATTACGACTTGTTATTGACGGTATCCCAATTCATGTTTTGTAAGCAGTCGGTTTTAAATCCAAAAAAAAAAAAAAATAGAAGATGATACTCACGGTCTTACATTGATTCTATATATAGTACATGTTCTACGACTACTGGACAAGTCACTTGGGTTAATAATCGTATATTACAGTACACAGGAAGATCACTCCAAGATCATCTAGGACCAGGTTGGTTATCACATATGCATCCTGATGATCAAACTGATTGTCGTAAAGCTTGGGAAAAAGCATTTGCACAAGGAAATGGATTTGCTGGTGAATATCGACTCCGAAGATTCGATGGTGTTTATCGTGGATTTCTTTGGCGTATTGTACCTTTACGTGATATCAAGGGGAAAATCATCCATTGGTTTGGAACTTGGTATAAAAAAAAAAACATGGGATTGGCTGTTATAATAGGAAAAAAAAAAGGGGGGGGGGAGTGGAAGGCACATGATGTTTCATTGATTTGTATTGATTTCAAACTTATTTTATTGTTAGTACTGATGTCCACGATCAACAATTAGCCAAAGAAAGTAATTTACGACAAATGGAAATTGAAAGCAACGAACGGAAATATCGACTCTTAGCCGAAGCTATACCACAAATAGTGTTTACTTTCTCTCCTGGTATTGGTCTGACGTACGCTAACGGAAAATGGGAAAATTATTCTGCTCAACCATTTGAACGTACCAAGGGTCTTGGATTCATGTCACAAGTACATCCCGATGATAGACACAAGTTACAATTACCTGACCTTAGTCCTCCAAGAACTGCAGGCGTATCTTGGCATACTGAAATTCGTTTATTGGGTGGCGATAGTTGTTATCGTTGGTTTCTTGTCAAATGTATTTCAGTGGATGAATTAGATACTGGTGAAGTGCGATGGTTTGGTACATGGTAAGTTTAAATTACATTCAAATATATATATATATATATAAATATTCATCAATTAAGCATACTATGTTGTTTTGTAGTACTGATATCAATGATCACAAATTATTGGAACACAAACTGAAAGAAGCTCATAATGCTGCTCAAAGATCTACAGAAAGCAAGACTCGTTTCTTATCCAATATGTCTCATGGTAAACTGAATAAGAAAACAAAAAAAAAAAAAAAAAAGAAAGCTTAACAATAAGCTAATGAAGCCTGTTTTTTATTTTATCTAAACTTAGAAATACGAACTCCTTTGATTGGTATTACTGGCATGCTTAACTTTTTATTGGATACTGACTTGACTGCCGAACAAATGGATTATGCTCACACCATTCAACAATCAGCCGAATCATTACTAGTGGTGATCAATGATATACTGGATCTCAGTAAAGTGGAAGCAGGAATGATGAAATTGGAATGGGAACCTTTTAGCCTTGTAACAATGATTGAAGACGCCAATGAACTACTTTCGACTCTTGCTATTCAAAAGGGATTAGAACTTAGTTTTTGGGTGGATGATGATGTACCTTCTGTCGTTATGGGTGATCGAGTGCGTTTACGACAAGTCTTATTGAATCTTATTGGAGTAAGTTAAAATAAATATTCTTATTGTATAGCATATTAATTATCTTTCTCTTATTTTCTACTTTAAAGAATGCCATCAAATTTACCACTTATGGGGAAGTCTATACTCGTTGTACCATTCAAGAGAATGCAGATGTCAAGAAGAATCAATTGATGCTTTTATTTGAAGTGATGGATACTGGAACTGGATTTGATTCTGATGGAGAGGCTGTGATGTTCAAACCATTCTCTCAAGTAGACAGTTCGGTAAAAAAAAAAAAAAAAAAAAAAAAAGGAATATAAGTGAATAAATAAAATCATTCATTTACTCATTGTAAATTCATCTAATGTTTATAGAGCACTCGGAAGCATGGTGGTAGTGGACTTGGACTTGTTATCTCTAGACAATTGATTGAATTACATGGTGGCGAAATGAAATGTTCAGGCAAGAAAGGTATAGGATCCATATTCTCATTCACAGCAAAATTCGATATTCCAACATCCGAGACGATCCCTTTACCGCAAACACCTCAAAACGAAAACATCGACCCATTCTTCCGCACTGAAGCATATAAAGTAGTTCATGATCAAACATATCGACAAGAACTTCTTCAACAACAACAAAAACAGCAGCAGCAGCAGCAGCAGCAGCAGCAACAACAACAACAAATGATCAACAAACAAAATGAAATATCATTGACTTCGTCCGTCGAAAAATCTATTGGGGAAGGCATCACTATCAAAGCAGCATTCTCTCCTTCACCACTGGCTCATTCAAAAAAACATTCTCAATCTAATGAAGTGTTATCGTCAACTGAACAATTTCAAGATGTGCTGATCAATAAACCTGTTAGCATGCAGCTGAAACCACCACCAAAGCGAAGATCACAAGCAAAACAATCAAGTTCATCTTTATCTTCTACTTCGTCATCATCATCATCAACAACAACAACAACAACAAAAGCATTAGCAGCAACAACAACGTCATCAGCATCCTCACCAGCAAAAGAACATACCCCGTTGCCATCTATGGTTAGCGCTCCTACACTTACCTTGGACGATGCAGTAGGATCAACACCATCCACTACTGCCTTCAATACACCTGTACTATCTAGAACATTTTCCATTACTTCATCATCATCCCCTGATCTGATATCAACAAACACAACAGTTATCTTACCACCACGAACACCGACTCGACAAGCACCTCTACGCGCCTTGATTGTATGCGAATGGGAACATTCAAGAAGCACAATGGAGCAACATGTACGAAAAATTGTCAGTGGGCTCTGCTCACATCAAGATTACATTTTGGATATCGCCAACAGTATCACCGAAGCTCAATCTTATCTTTCTGATCTATCATCGGGAAGTTACGACTATATCCTGGTGAATCTTCGATCTGAACAAGACATCTTGAATCTGACAAGTTCTGTGTGTGAATCACCTATACACCGTGATGCTAACATATTGATAGTGACAACACCTATCCAACGATCTTTGATTATGGAATATGCAGCATCAGGATATTATGGTCACAAAGATACCATCCCTCGAAGTTGTGGATTTGTTTTCAAACCTCTCAAACGGAGCAAACTGAATTGGTATTTTGGTATACGTGGAAGTCACTCTCAAAAGGAAAATCATCTATGCGGCACAAAAGGAACATACTCTGGCCCTGATTCATCTCATCGTAGCGCCAATACACAAAAGGAAGTATTCCGGAAAATGGAAGCTGATGTTGGTGGTAGAGGATTCCGTATATTGCTAGTGGAAGGTAATTCAATGCTTTGATTTTTGTATCACCTTCTTTTTTTTAACGAACCTCGACAACTTTTTTTTTTATAGACAACTTGGTCAATCAAAAAGTTCTCACAAGATATCTCGTACGTGTGGGTCTACTTGTGGATGTGGCAAACGATGGTGAAGAATGCGTGAAAAACTTTCTGGAAAAGCCTTACGGATATTATTCTTTGATATTATGTGATTTGTTTATGCCAGTCAAAGGTAAAAAAGAAAAAAAAAAAAAGGAAAAAAAGGAAGAAATGTTACTCATATCTCTCTTTTTTAAAGATGGATATGAAGCTACTAAGGAAATACGTCAATGGGAAGAAAAACATATTGATGGTACTGATCAACAACGGATACCTATTGTAGCTCTATCAGCCAATGTGATGAGCAATGTTGCCAGTAAATGTCTCGAATGCGGTTTCTCGACCTATATTTCCAAACCTGTCAACTTTGCTATACTTAGTGATGTGATTCGTAGTTATTTACTGCCAGAATCTCATCTGTACCTTAGTTGATCCTTCTTTTTAGTCTATTTTATCGTATATATATATTTCTTACCTTATGTTTACATCATCATGCCTTATTCCAAATAAATAGATAATGAAACTTGATATTTCCTTGTATGATTCAGTCATTTTAACACCGCATGCCTTTTTTTTTTGTTGTCAGTTCGCATTCCTTTTTTTTTTTTTTTTTCGTTTTCTTCACCTTTTTCTTTCTTTTTTTTTTCTTCTTCTTTTCTTCTTTTTCTTTTTTTTTTTTCTCTTTACTTTGTTTGTTTATAATCATATACCATGCCAGGCAAGGCACTTAATCTGACAACTGATGATTTGGATACAGATGAAGCTGTTAATGTGGCACCCGACGTCGTTGAAAATACCATGAACGAAGGGCTTGATCAGGCCTACTTGGCAAATTATATTGATGTGGAATTTTTGAATATGACTCCTGATATATTGGCTCTGACGGCTGACCAACTGGAACTAGAACGAAAGGAAAAACTGGATAGAGATGAACTCGAGTTGGAATTACAAGGAAATGAAGAAGAAAACACCAATGTGATCCTCTCTCCCAGAGAATATCAATATGAACTCTACAACCGAGCTATAAACGAAAATGTTATCGCTGTGTTACATACGGGTAGTGGAAAGACTTTGATTGCTGTCATGTTAATCAAATATATGGCTTTACAGGAAAAGCATGACCGTTTGACTCGACGAAAGGTAATTATGAAAACGTAGACATATATGATATTGATTCTTTTTTTTTTTTTTCTCTCTTGTTGATAAAACTAGACAAAATTGACATTCTTTTTGGTGGATCGTGTACCTTTGGTATTTCAACAAGCAGCTGTTATCAGTGCCAACTGTGATGTTGAGGTTGATAAAATGTGTGGACAAATGGATGTGGACAATTGGTCTGAAAAGAAGTGGAAGACTATATTTGAAGAAAAAGATGTATGTGTGATGACGGCTCAAATCTTTTTGGATACTCTTCGACATGGATATGTTCATATGGATAAGGTAAGTGAATATATAAACAATGTGCAGGAATATAATAGCAAAAAAAAAAAAAAAAAAAAAGAAACTGATGATATTTATTATTGACATATAGGTGAATCTATTGATTTTTGATGAATGTCATCATGGAACCAAAAAACATCCTTACAACGTGATTATGCGTGAATTTTATGATACATGTCCAGAAAATGAACGTCCTCGCATTTTTGGTATGACAGCTTCTCCCATGAACTCAGAATCAGGCGTACAATACAGTGCAACGTAAAGTATAGCAAAATAATAATAATTATAATAGTAGTCGTGGTATTATGTTCTTTTTTATTTAATATTTCTTTCCTTTTTTCTTGTCTAGTCAATTGGAAAAAAATCTTTGTAGTCGAATTTATACAGCAACCAACCTTGATACTCTGGCGACTTTTCTCAATCCACCTAAAGAAGTACAAGTTGAATACGCTGGCTCACCTTCCTATCCTGAAACTCCTTTGACATTGGCTATTCGAGATAAACTGGGATATATTGAACGATATGACCACTGTTTTAGGCGTGTAACTCATACTTTACATGATTTGGGACCATGGTGTTCTGACAGATTATGGAAATATTTATTGACGGATTTGGAAAGAAGACTCAAGGTACAATCTCAGGACATGGATGCCGAGAGTCTATTGGCCGAAGATAAAGCCTTACAAGAATGTGCTGATATGGTAGACAACAACTCTGTACCTGAACGTCCTCCCTTCACAATCCAATGGTTTAGTCCCAAGATGATTCGACTCTTTGAGATCTTGCTTATCTATCGGCAATGGGCTTTCAATCAAGAATTTTGTGGCATCATCTTTGTGACAACTCGGCATACGGCCAAAGCAATCCAGTTGGCTATTGAATCGCATCCCGATCTTGAACCTTTCAAATGTGGTGTACTCATTGGACATGGTGGACGTGAAGAAGGTGATATACACATGGGATTCCGAGATCAAAATCGCATCATTACTCAATTCAGAAAGGGGAAACTCAACTTACTCATTGCCACCAATGTAGCTGAAGAAGGTTTAGATATACAACCATGCAACGTAGTGATCAGGTAATATTATATATTTTATTTTATGTTATTTTATTTTACATACTAACCAACAAGGTGTTTGATTAGATTTGACTTTATGAGTTCTCCTATCGGGTATATTCAATCTCGTGGTCGGGCAAGAAAGAAAGGCTCCAGGTTTATCATCATGATGGAAACAAAGGACGGAACACTGATCAGAAAACTGGATGATTATCGTCGTATGGAAGATGGTATGCGTGAATTCTGTCAAACATTACCGGCAAATAGAAATGTAGCTCTCAAATTTGCAAATAACGATGTATATGATCGACCTTATGATCCAGAGGAAGATGATGATGAAGAATATATGGAAGATGCTTATATGGTGAAAGAAACTCAAGCTATGGTAACGAAACAATCTGCTGTGCCTCTACTATACCGTTATTGTGGCTCCTTACCTTCTGACAGGTTTACTGCTTTGACACCCAGCTTTGAAATCATCTCATCCACTGCTGAAGGTCATGTTTGTACTGTACGATTACCTTCCAATGCGGCAGTGCGCCAAGTGACGTCCAAAGCATGTCGAACTAAGATACAAGCAAAAAAAGTGGCAGCGGTCAATTGTTGCAAGGAACTCCATCTCAAAAAGGCTCTTACTGATCATCTACTTCCAATCAATTACAAACACGAAATGTTGGGCAATATGGAGGTGGTATTAGATGAAAATGGGATGGTGGTGGGTAGTCGTCGACGTCGGGCAATCTACGAAAAACGTATTCCTCGCTTTTGGAATCGACCTTCTGATCAAGTGGTAGAAGAAGAAACAAATGTGGATCAAGAAACGGAAATTGATTTGATTGCAGCAAGAGTTACAGCATCAACGGCTTTGGTGGAAAATACAATGATAGCCAGCAATACAATCGACTCGGTACGGATACCAAATATGGATATAATTGATAAAGTGAATGACAACAATGGTACTGCATCACCAGCAACATCGGAGGTAACCGGATCACCCCCAATTTCAACAGCAACAACAATAACACCAACAACAGAAGTTGATCAAATACCTGAAAAAATTCCTTTGGATGATATGGATGGTCCTTTTCAACTGTGGCTATCGGTAATCAAGTTTGACATTCCACAAGGAGAATTAGATGGTGTTTCTCTTCGACGTCTTTGTCTTATGACTTGGCAACAATTTCCTGCGATACCCGAATTGAAACTATTTGCTCGTGGAGATCCTTTTACGGTACAAGTCCAATCTTTTACAAGCCCTATTTCAGTGACTAAGGATGACATCATGGTACTCAAGGAATTCAATCTTATTATGGCTTCAGCAATTACCAACAGAGACTTCTCATGTACACTTGATGATTTTCCTTACTTTTTTGTGCCATTGATAATCAATGATACAGCTAAGATATCCTCAGAATCTATCTATGATCTATTTGATTGGGAAGAAATGCGGTATGCTATTGGAAAAACATTTACACCCTTGGACTTGGAAAATCAACAAACTTTGGAGAATGCCATCTTGGTGGATTATGCCGATAAAAACCGACGTTACTTTGTGAACCGTGTATGCAACGAAATGACGCCTCTATCACCTTTGACTTCGCTCCCAGAAGCCGTTCGTGAAATTGGATTCGATCATTTGGGTCAATACTATGAAGAAAAATTCAAGGTGACAGTGACTAAGTGGGATCAACCTTTGATTCATGTACGTAAGATATCCAAGGTGATGAACTATCTTTCCCCTATGATCATGGTGGAACCCCAACTACGCAAATCGACGGCTTCTTACCTGATTCCTGAATTCTGTCAAAAGTACTATGTCAATGCTAGTGTATTCCAATCTTGGATGATAATCCCTTCTATAACGACTCGTTTGGACGCCATTCTCTCTGCGCAAGAAGCTAGACAAAGATACCAACTCTGGATTGATGATGATTATATGTTGGAAGCCTATACAACGCCATCAGCCAATATGGAAATGGATTATGAACGTTTAGAAACTTTGGGTGGTAAGTCAACAAGTTTTGTCTGTGAATGATAGAATTGATTTTTTTTTTTTTTTTTTTTTTTTTTTTTTTTTTTTTTTTTTTACTATTCCTTAGATTCATTTTTGAAATTTGTGGCTACCATTCGATTATATACCAATTTTCCATTTTCTGATGAAGGAGAACTCCATTGCTTACGTATTCGAGTGGTTTGTAACAGAGCTTTGTATCGTGCAGCCAAACGACTCAAGATCTTCCGATATGTCAGCAGTCATACATTCAATCGAAAACACTGGCGACCTCATCGATTTATTGCAGCAACTGATACTGAAGATACATTGAAAGATGCAAAAAGTCATATGCTATCGGACAAGACATTGGCAGATATTGTGGAAGCTTCTTTAGGTGCAGCTTATATTAGTGGTGGATTGGAATCAGGATTACGATGTGCAATTGCAATGCAAATTCCATTTGATGATATTCAAACATGGTCTGACTTCTGGCCTACATATCTCGCTTCTCGTGAAAAGTTACCTCCTCGTGCAGAAATCGCAGCTTTACGAACGGTAGATCTTCTCAAGGTACAGGAAGTGTGTCAATATGAATTCAAGAATCCTTTGCTAGTGGTAGAGGCTTTGACACATGCCAGTCTTCCCAACTCTACGGCGCCGTGTTATCAACGATTGGAATTCTTGGGTGATGCTGTTTTGGATTTCTTGGTGATTCGCTACTTATACAACAAATACCCTGAAGCGGATCCTGGCTTGATTACTGATCTGAAGGATGCTTGTGTTAACAATCATGTACTAGGGATTGTCTGTTTTGAAAACTTACTTCACCGGCATATTATTCACTATTCTGGCATCTTGCTTCGAGCGATTGAAGAATCCTTGAAAGAAATCACTGAAATCAAAGAATCTGGGAACGATGTAGGTGAATACTGGTTATCTTTGAATATTCCAAAGGTATTGTCTGATGTGGTGGAAAGTATGTTGGGTGCTGTCTTTGTGGATAGTCAATTTGATTTGGATCCTGTTCAAAAACTCTTCGAAGTTTGGTTAGTGCCATTACTGGATATTCATGTTACACCTGCATTAATTCAAGTCCATCCTGTCAATCGAATGATCACGAAACTACAACGCTTGGGATGTGATGCATTTTTGCTTCGGTAAATAATGTATATATATATATATATATATATATATATATTGAATTCTATTTGTGTATTAATCTACTTTTTATATTTATTTATTTAGAAATGTTACTACCTCTTCAGCGGATAATGCAATACAAAAATGTGTCATCTTTTTACATGATAAACCTTTCGCAACTGGGGCCTCTGAAAATATCAAGGTGGCAAGACGACAAGCAGCTGAACGAGCATTACAACGATTGGAAGATGAACCAGATATTTTGGACCGTGTATGTAATTGTGGTATCATTCGACAACGTAAAGAACAAAATATGGCCCTTGAAGAAGAAGATCATTATTTTTAGTGCGGATAGTTAGTATGTTTAATTTTTTTATTGTTACCCTTGAACATTGTTATCCCATCCTATCTCCTTATTTGTATATACACTCTCACACGCAAGGATATAGATCATTTTACACAATAAAAGAACAATGACAGTTTATTATCAATATATTTTCATCGGATCACCAATATAAATAATAATAATAATAAAGTACAAAACAATAAGAAAAAATATACTACAAATCTAAAGCATGCCCTTGAAGTTGATAGGATTATGTACCATGGCTGGATAAGCAACGTAATTGGGATTCATCCAGTGACCCCCTATCAAAAAAAAAGTCAGTATTAGAAGTTATCATGATTTGTACCATTATTTACCATCTACAACAAGAGTAACGCCATTGATATAACTTGCACCTTCAGAAAGCAAAAATACAGTTGATTGTTCAATATCCTTGACATCACCAATTCGACCCATTGGAACAGTTTCTTCTTCAAAACCAACACCTAGCTTATCCATACCTTCCGTTCCACCCTAAAAAAATATCAACTAGATTTCAGTTCCAAAATCTAGTTGTTCTATTCTATGACTTACAATTGGTCCAGGAGCAATACCATTCACACCTATCAATGGATGATTGAAAGAAGGAAAAAAAAAAAAAAAAAGAAAAAAAGAAAGAGAATTAGTTCACAAATCATCATCGTCTTACTCTCTTTTCAACTTACGAACACCATGAGGACCTAATTCGACAGCCCAATGTTTTGTCAAAGCATCAATAGCAGCCTTTGCGGATCCAGCATGTTGTTGATAAGGAGTTCCAGTATAGTACAGTGTAGCAGAGATATTCAAAATGGCCCCTTTTGTTTGCTTGATATATTCCATAGCTGCCTTTGTGGTGTTGAATGTGCCGAGTAGATCAATTTCAATGACGGTACGGAATGCATTGTAAGATAAGTGTTGCATGGGTGAAAGGAAATTACCAGCCGCACCATTGATCAAGTAATCCAAACGTCCAAATTTTTCAATAGTTGTTTTGACAGCATTTTCCATATCTTGTGGTTTTCGTACATCACCAGATACTGCACTAATATATATATAGAGAGACAAAAAGTGTTAATACCATTTTTTTTTTTTTTTTGAAGAATCTACTTGCAAAATATCACCACCAGTGGAATTACGCATTTCTTGTGCTGCCTTTTCAAGTTTGTCTTTACTATAATAATAAGGATTAGCTTTATCTAAATGAGGTTTTATGGTAACTTACTTTCTACTAACAATAACCGCCTTCGCACCATGTCGAACAACAGCTTCTGTTAATCCTTTACAAATCCCACTTCCTCCTCCAGTACATAAAAGCACTTTGTCTTTGAAAATATCGTCTTTGAATATTTTTGACGTTGATACAGCTGCCATTTTTATGAGAAGAAGATAAAATAAAGAAATAAAAAAAAAAGAAAAGAAAAGAAAAGAAAGTATTTATAATTTCGGAAATTGACTTTTTTTTGTGGGGTTGAAGAAATGGACACGTGAAGGCGATTCGGTCATTGGAATATCTACTTTTTTGAACACAAAAATCTTGAGTCAGTCAAAATCATTCGCGTCAGACTGTGTCCTCTTTTACACTTTATTCAATAAAAAATGACGGAATTCAAAGAATAAGATGTCGCAAAAATAGGAAATAAAATATTATTTAGCCAACATATCCATTTTTTTATATATATTTATTTTAACTTACCTGTAGGGAAGCATTAAATACGTCCTCCGAAGAGGCGATAACATATTTTTATATGTTGCTGTACAGTTAGATATTCACTTTGAACACCAAGAGAGATTTCAAAAAGAAAAAAAAAAAAAAAAAAGAGAAAAAAGAAACAGAAAAAAAAAGAAAAATAAAAAATATCACTTTTTTATATCTCTCACTTGATCAAGGAATAAAATAAACCCTAGTAAAAAAAAAAAAAAAGAACTATTATGCAAATTTACATTCGTTATCGATCGATCGAATGTCTCAGTTAATGAAAATAAACAAAGAAGACCCCAGTAAATGATTTTTTTTTTAAAAAAAAGAAAGGAACTATTATGCAAATTCACATCAACATCACAAGATATGAATATTACATTAATATACCCCTGTCTTAACTGTGAATATTATGATGATACAATATAAAAAATATAGTTCTTTTTTTTTCCAAATATGGCCTGTTGAAAAGAATCAGCTAACAATCAGTCATCAATCATCAATCATCAATCAATGATATACTCTACCGACATCTCTAAAGCGATATCTAAAAAAGTGGTAATGCGACATTCACTTTGGGAAATTACGATTTTTTATTTTATAACATCACGAAAAGCATTTTCTTGTGACCCGACAAAAAACTTCGAAAACACTGTATTTTTTTTTTCCACCATCCATTGATCCTTGTGATCTGATAGGGCTGACTTTGAATGACTTGCAATCTAACGTTCCAAACTAAAAACTAAAAACGCATCAGATAGGATGAATCATGATGAAAAAAAAAAAGGATAATTGATCTATTCATCAGTATAAATAAATAAATAAATAAATAAAAAATCAAGTCAATATGTTGAAACTTTATTGTAGGATATCCTCTCAAATCAGATCGAGGGGCATATCAGTTCCAACACCGCCTGTAGTATTTTTTTTGTTTTTTTTCGTTTTATCAGATTTTTTCCTCCCGTTCTTTTCCTTTTTCTCTTTTCTTACTTTTCTTCTTTTTCTTATACCTTTTTTTTTTTCTTTTTATTATTTTTTTTATCGATAAAAAAATACTGTAATTTATAATAATACATGACATCTGGAACTCATATTTTTCAACCTTGTATAGATGATGAAATTCATTTGAATCCAAGGTTTGTATTCGCTATTATCATCCTATTTGATTTCTCAAACAATTTATATATATATATATAAATGAATTTTAGGGAATATTCATTGATGATGCTCCAACAACCAAGCCGTGTGCGGATTAGTACTCATAAAGAAAAAGGTAACTTGTCATGTGGTACTTCCAAATAAATAAATAAACAAAAAAAAAAAAATAACGCTCACCTTTTTTTTTTTTCTTTTTTCTTTTAATAGGACGAAAGACTTTAGATCCTCCTCCCATTGTACAGATTCATTTACCATGTTTGACAGAAGAAGCCTACTTGTAATATATAAAAAATATGAATAAAATAGAATAGAACTAATAATAAAAATTGATAGGAACCAATTACAAAGTCCTTGTTTATTTATGTGCGCCAATTTAACTCATCCTGAAAACGACAATGATATTTATACTCCCAACCATAACGCTCTCTCTGGTCAAATCGTTTCTTCTCTATATAAGCTAAGAAATGATCAAAATCAAGGCAAGTGATTAATTTTACTGTAAAAATATTGGATGACTTATCTTGTGTTACTATCTAATAGTTGGTGGTTACTTTTTATTTGGTGACATATCTGTCAAGGTTAGTGGTATTTTTCGTTTAAAAATGTCACTTTTTGAACTTACTAGGTAAAATTATCATCATCATTTTGATTTTTTTTTTTGATATATTTTATTTTATTAGTCAAGGAGCTGTTTATCTATCATCCTTATTTTCCAAACCATTTACTGTGTATTCTGCAAAAGAATATCCTGGTATATTGGAACCTACTGCATTATCCAGATTATTTTATTCACAAGGTGCAAAATTACGTCTACCAAAGGATTATACTCATCAAAGGTATATTCATAATAGTCAAACAGATGATAATATGTATCACATTATATTTTTATTGACTCATTTATTCATCTATTTTGATTTTTTACTTTTATAGCAACAATACTCGAAAACGTAAACTGAATAATGATGATGATGTTGATGATGAATGTGATGATACAAGAATCATAAAACATCGTACACCATTAGATATACCATCGTGCAACATAGATCATCATACAACAATTAATATCGGAATGGAAAGACGCCAAAGTATGACCAGCACTGAAAATAGCGGAAGTCCTCAATCAATGTATACTCCACTATCACCATTACAGGAATTATTACCTTTTTCAACAAAATCAAATCCCATGATTATATTACCACCCATTAAATTTGAATTATTCGGTAGCGTATCATCATGGCAACAGGATAACGACAGAAACGATGATTCGATACTTTTACCACCTCTTCATTCACTTCATTCTTCCAATTCTTCATTATTGTAGTTTTATTCATTGTTACATATACTTTATTATTTTTTTTCTTTATATATTTGGCATTAGTTTGATTTATTATTCTTTACACTTGTTATATATTCCCCCCCTTCTCTCGTTTTTTTTTTACGTTAATAAAAATAAAAAATAAAGTCTTTTTTTTTGTGAACCATTGAATTTACTCTCCGTTTTTCTAACTAAATTTTTAAGGGCTGCATTGTTTTATATTTTGGAGTATTTATTTTCCCCCTTTGTTTCTTTCTTTCTTTTTTTTTTCTTCTTCTTTACATTACTTATCTTTTTTTTTTTTTTTTTACAAATACAAGTTTTAAATAATGACTTTTGGAAAAAAGCAAGAAACTACTCGTTGGCTTCCTTTGATATCAAGTTTTTGTGTTGGTATGATCTTCATGATCGTCATTCAAAGCTGTTTGATTACTCGAACGGATTCCACAGTACGTCAACTATTACGACAAAAGCGTGGTTTGAATGGTGTAGAAAAAGGCAAGTTGGCATCGACTATACTTCAATTTGGTGACCCTGGTACAGCTCGTGATTTTTTTGAACGAGAAGAATATGTTATCTCTTATGATCGTCGGGATCGCGTTGCCTCTTGGGTAGGTGAACATTTGACAGCAGCTTCTTTGGTGCCTGGTGAAGGTGTCAACAGAGATCATTCCAAATTTCAAGAAGATCCAGATGTTCTCCCAATATTTAGATCCACTTTGGCGGATTACTCCGGTAGTGGTTACGATAGGGGTCATATGGCGCCAGCAGGTGATGCTGTTTTCAACCAAACGGCAATGGATCAAACATTTTATTTATCAAACATGTCTCCTCAAGTCGGCATTGGATTCAATCGGCACTGTAAGTTTGAATATGAAACCGTAAACTTTTTATTCATCCTTTTATTATTATCTTTGATAGATTGGGCATACTTTGAGTCCTTTGCAAGAAATTTGACTCAATCGTTTTCTGATGTTTATGTATTAACTGGACCTCTCTTTTTACCTCAACCTTCAGACAAAGATAGCAAGAAATATACAATGACTTATCCTGTACTCAATGGTAATGTTGCTGTACCTACTCACTTTTACAAGGTCATCCTGGTCCCTGATGGCAAGAAAAAGGATTCCTATGCATTTGGTGCTTTTGTTTTACCCAATCAAAGTATTCCTAGTGATACTGACTTGACAAAATTCAAAGTTACCTTGGATGTTGTGGAAAAGGCTTCGGGATTGATCTTTTTTGACAAGTTGGATGCAAAATCTCTTGGTGATCTTTGTAGTATTACCACGTGTTCGGTCAAACCATTTCACGGTAGTTAAGTTATAGTTTGTTTGCATCATCATGATGATATTATTATTATTATTCGAAATAAAGTTTTTTTTTTTGATTCATTTCAACTTTTTCTAGTTTGATTGAAATCCTCCGGAAAATCAAAGGATTTTTTTTTTATAAATTATAGTTGTTGTATAATATGTTATCATCTTAGTTCAAAGCTCAAGTCCGTGTGGTCCTTGATTACCTTTTTGGTAATTTTATGGGTGAAGTTTGGTTTTCAATATTCGTTTGCTTTCGCCATTGTATTACCGAATGTCAGATTCGGAAATCACGTCCTATTCATATAGATTTGAGAATATATATAAAAAGGTTTTTTTTTTTTTTATAAAATCCAAAATTCTTCTTTTTTTTTTTTTATTATTCTTTCATTCAATTATCAAACTCTAGTAGTAAAAATAATAAAAAAAAAAGATGTCCACTGACTTGATGACAAACACTGGTAAAAATATGTTGACTTGGGTAACCAAACTTATCAAATCAAGACCATTACATCTCGGTCGAATCAGTTTGGCAGTAGTACTTCTTTATGGTCTTTACGAAAAATATGGCAAACCTCCTCAAGAATTACGCCATCTACCTTATATTGGTCTTTTTGAATATACTTGGAGAATGTTTACGAATGTTCCTATACGCATCATCTCTCGAGATCTTTCTCTTCCTTTGATGAAAAATCCTCAATGTCATATGTATGTTCGTTATGAAAGATCAGGATGGACTGTCCATATGGTTACCCCTGAAGCTGCAAAAACTGTCTTCAATGCGACAAGTAAAGTTTTGCATTGAATCACCGCTCATCCTCTTATACTCATTTTTTTTTTTTTTTTTTTTTTTTTTTTTTTTTTTTTTTACTTTTCTTCTCTTTTTAGGAACATTCCCTAAACTTATCGATGAAAGTGTTTCAGAAACATTGATAAACAAGATCTTGGATTCTCCTAATGTTATGAACTTGAATGTACCTCGTTGGAAGGACCACCGTTCGGTAAGAACTTAAACCATTATAAACCATATATATATATTTTACTAACAAAAAAAAAATGCCTTCTTGAAATAATAGGTAGTAAATCCAGCTTTTAATCGTGCTCTTCCTATTCAACTTTTTGGTGAAACAACACAAAAACTTTTCCGTTTATTGGATATTGATACTGAACAATGTGGAACTCATACTCCTTTCAAAGTGGACGTGGCTGATGTGATATTCCGATGGTCACTTGATGTGATGGGACTTGCTAGTTTTGGTTTTAACTTTGAAGGTTTAAGCAAGAAGGAAAACCCCTGGGCAAAGGTATACAAACAATTCGATAAAGATGTCAAGGTCTCTTTCTTCTCGTTATACCCCATTTTGGATCAACAGCTTCGATGGCTCTTTAGAACTCGACAAGCAGCTCATGAAAACTTGGAAAGATACCGTGGTATGGTTTCTAACGTGGTTCAGGAAAAACGACGTTATCTCAATGAAAAGAAATTGAAAGCAGAAGCTGAAGGAATCGAGAATGATAGTGATGATGACCACAAGAACGATGTTGAAAAGGATTTACTGACCTTGATGATTGAAAGTGAATTACGTGGTGAAGGTGCTGTATTATCCAATCAAGAACTTGTCAATAATCTTTGTATTTTCTTTGCTGGTAAGCTGTGATATATATATATATATATATATATATATATATATATATATATAGATTGGATTATTCATTATTATTGTTATTTTTATTATTACTTACCTAGCTGGTCTGGATACTACGGCAAACGCATTATCTTTTGCTTTGTTCTATCTAGCCAAAAACCCTGATATTCAAGAAAAAGCAAGACAAGAAGTTATCCGTGTCCTATGTCCTGACGGTAAAGAACCCACTGAAGATGTACTACCGACGGCTCAACAGACAAAGGAATTACAATATATTCTTCAAGTTGTCAAGGAAACTCTACGTTTTAATGGTTCCGTTGCTTGGCTGGTCACTCCACGCGTAGTTGCTCAAGATGATACCGTACTTATGGGTCAACATATACCAAAAGGAACCTCCGTATCTGTCAACATTTATGATCTTCATCATAATCCTAATGTATGGAAGGATCCTGAAGTTTTCAATCCTGATCGATTTGCTCCTGGTGGAGAAGCCGATAATCATCCTAATGGCACTGCAGCTTGGTATGGAAACAAAAAAAAAAAAAAAAAAAAAAAAAAAAAAAGAGAATAATGATGATTCTATTTTTCTCTGATTAATGACTTATATTGATTCTTATTATATTATAGGATTCCATTTGGTTTTGGTAGTAGAAAGTAAGTGGCCATTTTGAAAATAAGAAAAAAAAAAAAGGGAAGGGGAATATGTCTTCTAACTATTTTTTTTTTCATTTTCAATGTATGTTTAGATGCATCGGCTACAGATTTAGCATGGGTGAACAAGTTGTTTTACTATCCATGCTATGTAAGTATCACTAGAGTTGGCAATTTTTTTTTCTATGTACTCATTATATTCATTTCATTCCTAGTGCGGAAATACATTGTTACATTGCCAAGTGACACCATCCACAAGGAACACATCATCACTAATAACGTGCAAGTCATCAACCCTGTTAGTATGGAAGTCCTCTTCAAACGACGATATTAGTGATTAGTAGTTATTTTTGGTGTGTTGTAGTTATCGGTAGACCATTATCCGTTGGTTATTATTATTATTACTATTTTTATTGTTATTTTTATTCTGTTCTTATTATACAATATATGTTTTTATTACCATTTTGAAATAAACTGTCCTCTGTAACTTTATATTACTGGATGTGTTTTGTTATATATAGTTTTGACTGTAAATACACTTTATGGTGACATATGATCACTTTTTTTTTTTGGATACAAAGTTTTAAAAACTAAAGACCATTGTTCTGTTTAAAACTTTACAAATATTAATATATACCCATTTCAGGAGACAAATAAAAAAAAAAAAAGACAATAGACATTGACTTGCAATCGCAGTAATCGATTGAAAATAATGAATTGGAGTTGCCAAGTCTTCTTTCCTCTTATTCCATATACTGTAGAGATTGATCAGAAATCCCATTGTTATCTCATAGTATAATATTCCTATTTTGGATGATCCTGAAGTAGCCGATATCTTATCCGATCCATCAGAGATGATGCCCATCATCCCATTTAAAAAAAAAAAAAAAAAAAAAAAAAAAGAGCTCATATAGAGTCATGTATTCGGAAATGATCTTCCTATTTATACCTCTACATAAATAAGGCATATGACCAAGAAAGAAAGTTGCATGATGCTTCTGTCAAGATATGTAGGTATGCATATGAATGGCTGTTCTTTTATTTTGTTTTCATCCTTCGTCATACCTTATCCATCATTTGTTATGAACATCATATATGTTCTTCTTTTATTTGAATTCCGAGTCTTATTATATCACTTCTTCATTCTTCTTCTATAAACTTCATATATTTATTCTCGCCATCACTAATGTATATACAATATATTGTCAATCACCACTATCCAACTCATTCGACAAATGGTAATCCGCCATTTTTAATTTCATACAATAATTTCACCTTCTTTGTTTGAGAGAAGTTGATGGAAGATCGACTGACGCTCATACAAAAAAAAAAAAAAAAAAACAAAAAAAAAAAAAAAAAAAAACTCGCTAAAAATAATCATCATCCTATCAAATTTGGACTGAACATAGATGAAATCATTCTCTTTCTCTTGTCTTAATAACAGTTTATACTTTATCTTCCAATTTATAGAGTAACTTAAAAAAATAAAGGTCATTATCGTCATCCTTCATTCAATAATGATCATCATCCAATAAAATTATCACCACTGGATTCCTCTTGAAAAATTAGCCTAATATCATCTAATCTCATTTTATCACTTATCTTGCCACCTATTGTGCGATAAACAGCAAAAAGAGTTTCATCGATTTTTCGAAGAATTGCCTGATGACCCCCTTACGATTTGATTTTTACAGCTAAAATTTGGCTGAGGAATTTGAAATTTTAGCTATGAAATCCAAAAAAAAAAATAAAAAATCATAGTGTCGTTATAAAGACCTCCCTGTAGCATCACCCTCATTACCATCAACAATCAGTATTATTTATCATTGCGTCATAACATGTACATCAATAAGAATTAAAAGAGAGGAAAAAGAATATTGAAAACAAGAGTTTATTTGAGTTTGTATAAAATCGTCATTTGAGTAAAACAAAATACACTATATCTATTCTACTATTTTCTAAACTAAAAGGAAAGGAAGGTGACAGCTCGTTTAGTGTTACCACAGGAGTCACCACGAGAAGGTATAATTATATTAATCCACAATATTTTTTTTTTACTAACCTTTTATATTCCTTGCCAACCATACGACTTGGTATCATCAAGCACAGAGAACTACTCTAGAATATATATATATATATATAAAGAGAATGATTTTTAGTAATAACTACCATGTGCTCTATTCATTGTATAATATTCTTTGTATATTACCTTCCACCCCATCGCGCACACGGATATGATTCACAGACTACTTGAATCCATTTGATATCTTAGTTGAACTTACCTTTGAAAGCTGGCTTAACCTCAAGTCAACTTTGATACTTATGATTTGCTGTTCGAGAGGGTTTGATCAAGACCTAATTCCAAGAGAAAATCATAAAATATCAAATTGGTTCAACATGAAGTCAGTTCAAACGTCAAGTCTAATCAAGATATATCAAATAGATTCAAATATCTATTAAACCATCAAGAACTAAAAAAAAAAAAAAAAAAAAGGAAAGGAAATGAGAGGATGAGTAAATTATTCATAATGTACAATATGGTAAAAATGAGACAAAACACTTACATATTTCTTGCTTTCTTTGCTTACGGCAACTACAAAGGAAGAGTAAAGAAGGAACACAATGAAGCATGTACACCCATTACTTTCTTTTTATCTTACCTTTACTTGTTCCTTGTATATATGCCTTGTTTATCCCCATCAGCCAATCATAAAACATTGACAAGACAAAGAGGTTGCTACAATCAGAGTTCATATGGCATCGATCATACCTAGTATAAAAATAGAAAGAGATAGTTGTATTAAAAAAAAAAAGATGATTTATGATGAATTTCATTCATAATATTACCTTTCTTTAGTATCTACCATCATCCTTATATATAGAGTTTCTTGTTTTCGCCAGTAAAAAAAGAAATATTCCATCATATCACTATTTTTCGAAAACTCCTGTTAATCCGGTATTCTAATAAAAAAAAAAATAACAATGATTTCAGTAACTGTCCATTCTTGTTATCATAGTATATTATTTATGCGATATAAACTTATGGTGATAAATATCATTGGGAGCCATACAGAATTCTCTTTTAAGATCTATAGAACATAAGAAGAATTAGATTAGCTTGGTAAAGAAAATATTTTTTTTTATTACTCACCCATTCGAAGATGTAAACAAGTGAAGATAAAAAAAAAAAAAGGTGTGGCTATATAACAACTTGGTATATTCATTTAAGTACTTACAAAAACTTTCCAGCAAGAGATGATTGTTGAACGAGGTGGTCATCAAGGGAAAAGCAAAATACAGGAAAGACTTAAACAATTGGAAGAGTAACATGTGTTTAGTAAACTTGGTTTAAAAGTTGGAAAAAGTAGAAAGAAAGAAAAAAAAAAGTAAAAAATCTTTGCTCTTAACATCGTGATTTTCACGCGTTTCAAACTCCACATGACCTGTTTTATCTAATCGTCTTCTTTTTTTTTTTTTTATAGTAATAGTGGTATACATATATCATTTCTTTACAAAGAGAAAAAAAAAAGGTGTATTGATACTTAATGTCATGATGAGAAAAGGACATCGATATTTTTTATGCAGTTAGGACATGTACTACACTAAAATTGATCCACACATTTTAATATGTCAGGTTTGACTGGTTTAGAAATCCAAGCAAGCTCTACAAGGGACATTTTAAAATAATTCAGGGACAATAAAAAAGTAAATGGATGATGATGATGATGATGATTATATTCTTACAATCAAGATAACTCTATATGATGATCATGAATCCTAAATGGGTTAGGGACTTTCACCTTCTCTTTTTTTTTATTATTATTCTTTATAGGTCTCTTTATGATGATGTTATTATGTTTGATTTAGTTTATTATTTATTTATTTATTATGCTTTGAATAAAATCATCTTTATTTTATATCATCCTATCTCTATTGTTTCTATTCTAGTTGTTCGTTAGTGTTAGTAGTTACATACGTATTAGTTAATTTATATTCTTCTTCTTTTAATAAAGTACAAATCATTATTATTATTATTGTTATTATTGTTTTATATCATCATACTGTATTATCATATTTTATGAATTTGATAAAAAAGAGAGAAAGGGTAACTTGTCATCAAAAGTATATATTATAATACTATAGTTAATATTCATCTTATTATGAATTATAAAATCATCATTTCATATTATTATTATTATTATTATTATTATTATTATTATTATTATCTTTTATTAATAATTCAATCTAAATCATCTTATTATTATTATTATTATTATTTATTCATCTAATTCTACTTTTATTAAAATCATAAGTGTTTTCCATAAATGGTATACATTCAAAGTCCGGTCTCAATGTGGGGGTGTGTTGGATCAAAAAAAAAAAAAAAAAAAGGATCTGGAGGTCGAGATCAAAAGAAATCTTGAGATTGAAAAAAAAAAAAAATTGTTGGAGACAATGGAAAAAAGTTGGACCAAGCTCTGACAAAAAAAAATTTGGCGCGCTCTTACTTTTTTTTTTTTTTTTTTTTACTTTTCCTTTTACTTTTTTTTAACCAATGAGTCTCTGAACATTTGTAAGTTACCATTATACATTATTTTACTAATCTATATTATATATTTAAAAGTCACTCTTTATAAATTATACTTACTCTATACTTATTCTTTCTTTTTTTTTTTCTTTCTTCTTCTTCCTTAGTCTTTCATATTATGAACTAATCTATTTTTTTTTTTTTTTTTTTTTTTTTTTTTACTTTTTCTGTGAACATATAGTAGATAAGATATATGAAGGAATATACAATAGGATTAACTAGATATTGGATAAAAGAATAGCAAGTTAGGGAAAAAGTATCCAACTCTTTATCATGGAAATTACTTTATTTAATAGTTTAGTCGTTTAGGTATAGATATTATATTCTCATTTAAATAAAATCATATTTTTATTATCATTTGTTTATTATATTGTCATTTCACCTGTTATCATACCATCGCATAACTACTGATTCGTCCATTGTCCATCACCATCGATAAGCATGTATTATGAATTCTTTCTGATATTAGTAGGACTTCTCTTCTTCCATCAGTATACATGTAGTAAATATACAAAAATTTCATCATCAAGTTCTTTAGTTTACCTTCTTCCAAGTCGTTGTACATACATAAGTTACCTCTCTGTAAGCATGATTAGTAATGATTCGTTTTTTTTTCTTTTTTTTTTTTTAAAAAAAAAGTGCTTTTTATATAAGCCTCTATTAATCAGAGTTGGTATTAATATTAATGATGGGTAATGGATAGTATGTGATGATGTGTGATATACAGTGTTTTCAAAGTTTTTTGTCGTGTCACAAGAAAATGCTTTTCGTGATGTTATAAAATAAAATATCGTACTTTCCCAAAATGAATGTCGCATTATCACTTTTTCAGATATCGCTCTAGAGATGTCGGTAGAGTACATTAAAAACACACAACACATTGATGATAACTTGTTTATTATTAATATATGAAAAAAAATATGAAAAACTAATGATTAGCAAATAACTTTTTGACTATTTTTGGTCTTCTGTCCTACCTATCAACCTTCCACTCCACCCAATAAAAAATCTACTTTTTTACTCCTTCCAAAAAAAAAATAATCTATAGTCTACATCTTCATGTCAAATCTATTGTCCACATCTTTTCAACAAAAATAATCATCCATCCAAAAAAATAAAATCTGTAGTCCACACCTTCATGTCAAGTCTATTGTTCACATCTTTTCAACAAAAACAATCATCTACACGAAAAAGAGTGCTTATGTTCACACCACACAAAAAAAAAATTATAGTCGTCTGAGATTATTTGGCCTGAGCTTTTTTTTTTTCTTCCCTCTTTTTTTTTTTTTTCCTCTCCTTTTCCTTTTTTTTTTTTTTTTTTTTTTTTTTTTTAGCTTTTCTCTTTTTCGTATATCCTTTCATATTCCTTGAATGAACAGATCAATTCGTCATTGTAGGTGCGGATCTACCACTCATCTTCGAACAAGCCATTATGAATGTCCACTCAATCAAAACAAACGGCCAACTGCGCATAACAGTATCGTCAATTTATGCAGGTGCGGATCTGACACTCATTCTCGAACAACCCATTATGACTGTCCTTTGAACAGAAATACTCGGCGAAGATATGAAGATTCTCAACCACAACAAGGCTCTCATCAACATCAAAGTTCTCATCAGCTACATGGAGATTCTAACCAGCGCGTCAACTTTTCTCTCATTTGCTCTCGCTGTGGTCGTAGAGGTCATTCAAGTGCACATAACAGGTCATGTCCTTTCAACAAATTAAACATCATCAACGAGCGTCTAGGCGCACAGTACAATCAAGCTGCTTCTTCTATCTCATTTGTCCAAGAATCTGTCTTTGGTTCCTATGTTTGCGACGATCAAGGTCCCAACTATGACCGGCATCTACTATCTCCATTTGAAACTATCTGTTCAACATGCGGAGCGCTAATGTGTATCGAGGAACGACTTCAATCAGCAACATCAACCCGTCTGCAATTCAGCTTATGTTGTTCAAATGGTAAAATCAACCTCCCACTTCCAACACCACCTCCAGAAGAAATGCTTTCCATGTTACTTGGTGACAGAACCACAAATGAAACGATTGCGGATTTCCACACCAACATTCGATCATATAATACTTTGTTTGCCTTTGCGTCCACCGTGGCAAATGTAGATCAAAGTCTTCTTTGGCAAGGTAGCAACAGACCAACAACATTCAGAATTAACGGAACCATTTACCACTGTATTGGTGCTTTACGATCAAACAACTATCAACAATCCAATTTTTCTCAGGCAAGTATATAAATTTAATATTTTTAAATCAAATCATCATCCACTAACCTCTTTTTTTTTTTTTTTTTTTTTTTTTTTTTTTTTCTCTACGATAGATTTACTTCCATGACACCTTTGAACAATTGCAACGACGAACGAATTTGATCTCTCATTTGAAGCCTGAAACCGTCCAACTTCTTCAAAAAATCGTCCATGACAACAACCATTACGCCATTAAATTCATGACAGCAGTAGATCAAGATCGTGACGAACCGATTGGGAATCTTCAAGTGGTTATCAGCGGAGCAAAAGAGCTTGGAAGGCGACAATTCCCTGTACGACCAGCATTTGCAATGACCATCCACAAGAGTCAAGGACAATCACTGGACTATGTAGGTGTGTATCTGAAAGATCAAGTGTTTGCCCATGGACAACTGTATGTAGCTCTCTCACGATCAAGAGATCCGTCAAATCTTCGAGTGGCAACCCCACAACCACTTCGCAATTCTCAACCACAAACTGCCAATATTGTATACCGCGACGTCCTTCTATAGTTTTTTTTTTTATAATATATATATTCAATATTCAATAAAACAATAAATTATTTTCTCCTCCTCTTGACGATGTTAGTGATGATGATTGATGATTAATGAAAACATCCTCTAAAAAGATAATCTGTAGTCCACATCTTTGCATCAAATCAATAGTTCACACCTTCCTAAAAACAAAAAAAAAATCCACACCTTTCCATCAGACCAATAATCAACATCTTCCAATCAAATGTATAATCCACATCTTTTCGTCAAATCAGTAATCCATACTTTTTCAAGAAAAAAAAAATATATAATCCACACCTTCCAATCAATTCAATAATCCACACTTTCCAAACAAATCTATAGTCCACACCTTCCAAAGAAAATCTAGAGTCCACACCAATCTTTGATTTCGAAAAGCTCCAGCGGAGCGCCAGAGCGTTTATTAATAATAAAAGACAGAAAAGAAAAGTAACATAGGCTTTTCATATTTTTAGCAGCTTTGGGTGTTGTCCATTCTTTTTTAGGTATCAATTGATTGATGATTCATGATCGATGATTCATGATTGATAATATGTGATAACGGATGATTGTATATTGGATGATTACAGGATGGATGATGGATGACTGTATGATGGATGATATGTGATAATGAATGATTGTATGTTGGATGATTGTATGATTGTATGATGGATGATGAAACATTGTCGTCAATCGCTGTACAAATTACTGATAAAATACAAAATACTTCATTCTGGTTACCTTCTGACAGAACAACATTTTCTTTTTCTTTTCCTTTTTTCTTTGAAAAATGTCAAAACACTCTTTTATCAGCCAACATGATAAATCAATATAATAATAATGATGATCACCTATGGAAATTAAAAAATGGCAATAATAAGTATCCTGTGCACAATCATACTATCATTTAAAATAGAACACTAGAAAAAAAAAAAAGAAATCTAGTCATTAAACTAAAACACGGCAAAAACAAGTCAGTACCATGTATCACTTAGTACATAAATATTGTAATAATAGAATTTAATGTAGAACATCTATGTAATTAACTTTATTATTAAGAGAGAAATGTTGCTAACACTAAAAAAAAGAAAAAAAACGATGAAGTAGATACTAAAAATAATAAAGTAGATACTAAAAAAGACAAATGATAAATTAAATACAATAGAAAGAGAGAAATGTTGTTAATACTAAAAAAAAAAATGATGATGAATTAGATACGATATAAAGATAGAAATGTTGCTAATATTTAAAAAAAATGATAAAACTCGCTTACATCTTGTCTCATCATTTTATCAACTAAAATTAGCTCATAATTGCAAGGGTGATTCATTTTCTTATAAAGGGATCCCTTTGATTTAACTTTTTTTTTTTTATTTCTTTACATTATATTCATCTTTTTGGCCTACCTGCTTACTTTTTGATCTGCCTTCTTTTTTTTGCCTATCTTTTTCCTTACAAGCATCCTTTAATAACTCAACCACCTCTGTCTGTCTCTCAATTGATCTACTTCTTTTTTGTTTTTGGGCTTGACCGTGGTCGCTAATGCGCATTTGCGTGGTTACGGTCAGCCTTTTTTTTTTTTTATTCAATACAAATTCCGGGATGGTTATCGCCATCCTACTTTCGCTACGGCGATCTCGTTACACTTAAATGGTAAGCTAGTGAAATATTTTTATCTGGATAAGTATTACTCATTTTTTATTTTTATTTTTTTTATATATATGTTAACTTGGTGAACTCAATTGGTGGATTTCCTTTCTTTTTTTTTTTTGATTTGCTTTTTTTTTCATGATATCTATTTTCTTATATTCTCTATTTGATTATGCGACAATTATATTTTTTTTCTTCTGTCATTTATTTTCTATCCTTACGATATTTTATTTCCTATTTTTGCGCCATCTTATTCTTTGAATTCCGTCATTTATTATTGAATAAAGTGTATAACTTATATATAACAAAAGTTGTTGTTACTGATATTTCCATATTTCTTATGATTCTTGCGCCACCCTGATTTCATGTGGTTTATTGTTTGGTTTTACCTTATGATTATAAATCCCATGCAAAGCCATCCTGATCAAACTTATTATTATCCGCTTCCATGTAGGGAATTGAGTTTCACAGAAATCGGATAGATTATTCAACCAGATCCGAGTGTACATGCGTCGTTAACAGTATCTTAGCATCTTGGTAAAAAAAAAAAAAAATCTAGCGATTTGGTGTTCTCATCCTTTTCAGTAAATGAAGGATACAATATATATTTGAAAAAAGGAAGGTTTAGATTGTGAAATTGATACAGAGAATTATGATTAAATATAAACTTTGTTATTAGAATATTGAACGCATTGCTCTTTATCGCAACTTTCGCATAAGTGAATCTAAATCAAGTACCTGGAGTATTGGCATTATTCAGTCACCGACTCGTTAGCATTGATTCATCACTTTTCATGCATGGTACGACCCTGGCTCCATAATGAAAAATAAGGTATTGAACTCAAATAAATTTTAACGCTCAGGGCATTGCCAGTACAATAAGTTCGCTTTAACCTTTTTTTTTTTTTTTTTTTTTTTTTTTTTTTTTTTTTTTTTTTTTTTTTTGCTCATAACGTGATTTAAAAACAATCACGGAATTATGGTGAATCTCTTCTCGGTCACGGCAAAATTGCGGAAAGTGAAATTGACCGCATATAAAACGCCAATGGCTTCATGCTCGCTTCTTTCTTCCTTCCTTTTTTTTTTTATTATCATAAACACTTTTTATACAATGTTACAACTTTTCCAATCTCTAGATTTGGACAACAAATTACAAATTTTGTTGACCTGGTACAATCAATATTTGTCACAATATACCAATACAAGAGGCAAACGTATTACTATTGGTGTCGCCGCAGTTGGTCTTCTCCTTTGGCACAAGATCTATCAAATCACTACTCCTCCCAAGAATCTACGACACATTCCTCACATTAGTTTCCTCGACTTTGTCAGGTCGTTTGTAATCAATAAACTTTCTATCAGCGACAACTTTCAACAACTACATTTATCATTAGTACGCGATAACAACGGGATCTATGCACATTTCGATAGATTTGGTTGGGTGGTATCCGTTGCTAATCCTGAAGCTGTGAAGCAAATACTTATGAAGTCAGGTACATGTGAAAAATATAAGATACCTTTAATTTACATTCTAACCTTTTTTTTTTTTTTTTTTTTTTTTTTTGATCCTTCGACTTTACTACAGACATGTTTCCAAAGATTGAAAAAAAGTTTAATGGCAGCTTTATAACTCGATTTTTCGGTCATTCCAACATTTTACAAGTAAATGGTCAAGAATGGAAGAAGCATCGAAAGGTAATAATAAAATGGATGGATGTTATCATTAGTTGAACATCATGTGTGAAAAAGTTACTTATTAGATTTCAAATCACATATTTTTAATTTTATATTTTAGCTTGCGAACCCTGCTTTCCATAGATCAATGCCTGTGAAATTTTTTGGTGAAAAGTCACAAGAACTCTTTAACTATTTGAACAAGGAAAATCCTGGTGATAGCTTTATAGTGGATGTTGGGAATATCATGGAACGCGTGACATTGGATGTGATCGGAATGGCAGGTTTCGGCTTCAACTTCAACTCTGTCCTGGACAAGAATAGTGAATGGAAGCAAATTTATGATGATGTTTCTCTCGGTGTTCGTGACCCTCTGTATCTTCTTTTCCCTTTTTTGGAACAAAAATTGTTATGGTTTTTCCCCAAACGTCAACAAGTTCACAAGACATTGGACAAGTTTTTGGGTATGCTCAATGGAATCGTGGAACATAAACGACGAGTTCTTCGTGAAAATGTCGACAATGGCGTGGAAGAAGCTGAAAAGGATCTATTAACTCTGATGATTGAAAGTGAACTTCGTGGTGAAGGTGTTTTGACCAATGATGAACTTATGGGTGATTTGGCCATTTTCTTTGCTGGTAAGTAGAAGGAATAGTTAGATGATCAAATGTATTAAATATACCACCATTTTGTACTTACCATCTTTATTATTTTAACTAATCATATTAGCTGGTCATGATACTACTTCATTTGCATTATCAGCTGCTGTTTACTACATGGCAAAACATCCCGATATCCAAGAAAAAGCTCGTCAAGAAGTCAATAACGTTCTTTGTCCTGATGGTGAACCCAAAGAAGATATTTTGATAACTGCCGAACAAACCAAAGAACTAGTGTATCTGAACCAAGTTATCAAGGAAACGTTACGCATTGCTGGCTCTGTTGTTAGGCTTGTACATCCTAGAGTTGTAACTGAAGACATCGTTTTATCCGGAGTACCGATCCCCAAAAATTCCCTTGTTAACGTTAGCATATATGATTTACATCATAATCCTTCTGTCTGGGACAACCCTGAGGCCTTTGATCCTGAACGTTTTGCTCCTGGTGGTGAATCTGATCGAAAATCTGGCAATGGATTCTCATGGTAAAAAAAAAAAAAAAAAAGTGAATGGTGATGACAAATACTAATCTCTTCCATACTATTTCCCATTTCTATTTCGTTGTAGGACACCTTTCTCAAAGTAAGTATCAAAGCAAATACACCTCTGTTACGAAAGGCAGTCTCTTGTTCATCAATATTTTTTTTTGTTTTGTTTTGGTTTTGAACAATTTTAGTGGATCAAGAGTTTGTATTGGTCAAAACTTCAGTCTGATGGAACAACGTGTAATCTTGGCTGGTTTACGTACGCTTATCATTTTCGATTATTTCCTGTGGATTAAGACCTGATCTTTATTTCTTTTTTTTTTTTTTTTTTTTTTTGGAATATAGTGAGACGATATACTTGGAAGCTCCCAAACAATTCACCACATACTGACAAGCTCATCACTGGCAATAATATCATCATGACCATCAAGAATCTCAATATTGAATTCCACAAGCGATTCTGATGATCAATAGATTCTCTCACCAAATACAAGTACAGAACATTCTATTATTAGACAGTTAGTTAGTCTTCAATTTTTAGTTATATATTTTTATCCTTTCTTTCGTTACAGCCTTTACTATCTCTTTTTTAAATATAAATAAAAAGATAAATAGTTGTTTATCATGATTAGCATTGACACTTTCTATTTTTATTTTTTTTATTTTTATTTTGAACCACTCCATATATATATTCTCTTATTTGGATCAGGGTTAATGTAAAGATTGTTGATGACAATACCTGGTACATTTTTTGATAATTTGGAAGCTTAAAAAGAGTTGTTTTGTGACATTTTATTTATACTTTTTTATTAAATACACTGATCTCGATCCGACCAAGCAACGTGTACCTTTCATTTAATTGATGCAGCAGGGCAGTATATATTGCACAAAGACCAGGGACAATCAAGGCCAAAGCATACAGGTTCAGTGAAGAAGCAAAAAGTGGGCTTAGTTGAGCATACTTTTTGGGTTTAGTATTGACAATCAGCAAGATCCGAGTATTATTAGAATTGAGTCAAAATGCTATGATCATGAGGTTTCCATTTTCAGTCTTTCGGATATCGGTAAAACCAAATATTGTAAAAGAACCTTAATTATAGTGGAGAGTTGGCGGCAAATGAACTTTCCAGATATATATAAATGAGGGGCAATTTTTTATTTTTTTTTTTTTTCGTATCTTTTACTCCAATTCTTTACTTTTCCGCCATGTCTCGACTTGTTCAAACACTTGGCTTGGACAAAAACCTACAAAGCGTGTTGACTTGGTATACTACTTACATGTCAAAGTACACTAACACAAGAGGCAAACGTATCACTATTGCTGTCGCCATTGCTCTCCTTCTCCTTTGTCAAAAGGTTTACCGTAGGACAACTCCTCCCAAGAATCTACGACATATTCCTCATATCAAGTTCATCGATTCTATCATGTCCTTTATGATCAACAAACTTCCTACCAGTGACAACTTCAAACGATTGAATGCACCTATGATCCGTAACAACAATGGTGTTTATGTTCGATGGGATAGAAATGGTTGGGTGGTCTCCGTTGCTAATCCTGAAGCTGTGAAGCAGTTATTTATGAAGTCAGGTAAAATACAAAAAAAAAAAAAAAAAAAAAAGAATGTTGTTACCATGTTTTATATTTATATTCCTAATTTTTTTGTATTATTTCATAGATATTTTCCCTAAAATCGATATGAATGGTTTTGATGGTACTCTCTTCAATCGGTTCGTTGGAACCTCCAATATTTTATTAGTCAATGGTCAAGATTGGAAAAAACATCGAAAGGTATAATGAATGATATAGAGTTGCTCATTGGTTTTTATTAGATAACCGTATATTGATTACTTTTGATTTTTCTTCTTGGTGTTTTGTTACGCATTAGCTTGCCAATCCAGCTTTCCATAGATCTATGCCTGTGAAACTTTTTGGTGAAGCCGCTCATAATCTTTTTACCTATTTGAACAAGGAATATCCCAGTGATAGCTTCTCAGTGGATTTTGGATATCTTATGGAATGCCTAACATTGGATATCATTGGTTTAGCAGGATTTGGTTTTAGTTTCAATGCCGTTACCGACAAGGACAGCGAATGGAAAAAAGTATATGATGAAAACACTCGCAATCTTCGTGATCCTATGTATGCACTTTTTCCTATCCTGGAACAAAAATTTTTATGGCTTTTCCCCAAACGTCAACAAGCTCACAAGACACTGGACAAGTTTTTGGGTATGCTCAGTGGAATCGTGGAACATAAACGACGAGTTCTTCGTGAAAATGTCGACAATGGCGTGGAAGAAGCTGAAAAGGATTTATTAACTCTGATGCTTGAAAGTGAACTTCGTGGTGAAGGTGTTCTGACCAATGATGAACTTATGGGTGATTTGGGTATTTTCTTTGTTGGTAAGGAAAAGGAATAATTAGATGGATGAAGATCAAGGGCATTAAACCTATCTCAATTTTATACTTTTATTTATTAATCATATTAGCTGGTCACGATACTACTGCTTTTGCATTAACAGCTGCTGTTTACTACTTGGCCAAACATCCTGATATCCAAGAAAAGGCTCGTCAAGAAGTCAATAACGTTCTTTGTCCTGATGGTGAACCCAAAGAGGATATTTTGGTGACCGCCGAACAAACCAAGGAATTTGTGTATCTGAACCAAATTATCAAGGAAGTCTTGCGTTTAAATGGATCTGTTGTTACTCTTGTTACTCCTAGACGAGCAACGGAAGATGTTATTATCTCTGGTGTGATGATACCCAAGAATACGCTGGTCAACGTCAATATATATGATTTACATCACAATCCTGATGTGTGGACTAATCCGGAAATGTTCAATCCTGATCGTTTTGCTCCTGGTGCTGAAGCAGATCAAAAGATTGGTGCTGGACTATCATGGTAAGCAAAAGAAAAAATAAAATAATAGGAAGAAAAAAAATGGCACATCGATGATGAAGTTGATTACTAACACAATTGTTCTGTATTATTTTTCATAGGGTTCCTTTCGCAAAGTAAATACTAAAAAAATATTTATAAAACAATAAGCTTTTATTGACTTGAACTTCTTTTTTTCATTCTTTGAACGACATTAGTGGATCAAGAGTTTGCATTGGTCAAAACTTCAGTCTTATGGAACAACGTGTGATTTTGGCTGGTTTACGTAAGTCCATGGATTGGAAGAGTTCTTGGAATCAATGATTATACTGAATGAGGTACTAATCTTTATTTCTTTCTTTTTTTTTTTTTTTTTTTTTTTTGTATCTAGTGAGAAGGTACACCTGGAACCTCCCAAGCAACTCACCTCATGCTGACAAAATCATCACTGGCAACAGTCTTATCATGAGCGCAAAGAAACTCAATATCGAATTCCACAAGCGGTTTTGAAGATAGAATATTCTCTTTTTACAATTACTCTCAAATACATTTAGTCCTCTATCGTTATGTAGTTAGTTGGTGTCATTATAGTTGTATATTTTATTCCCATTTTATCTAGAATAGTGTACTTTTTTATTCTGTTATAAAATAATAATAATAATAAAAAAAAAGATAGATTGTTGATCGTCAAATATAGTTGGTTTTGACTCTTCTATTTTTGAACTAATGATACTAGGAAAGCAAGAAAAACCTGTTGTACCCGTTTTATTACAAATGATCGTTACTATTTCTGATTTTTTGTATCAAGCTCGTCTTTTGTTCCAAACTATCACGTGTGATCCAAGACAAAATGCACGTTACACGGGATCATGGATCTGTTAAAGTGGAGCGGTTCAATGATTCAGCCTAAAAAGAAAAATAGATGTCCCCTTTACAATCAATTGTACATTTGTATTGCTTTATTTACATGTACTACCATTATTATCAACGCCGTTTTGTTGGATTCTAACCAAAATAGTACGTGATCATAAGAGCATTCAAGCCAAGTGAGATGGGAGTGTCGGCGAATGAATTCATCCAAGGTTATAAAAAGTAGCAATTTGAGGAACACTTTTTCTTTTTTCTTTTCCTTTTCTCTTGAATCACATTATTATTTTGTCATGTCCTCATTTGTCCAGGCACTTGGCTTAGACAAAAATTTACATAGTATGCTGGGTTTTTCCAACCAATATTTGTCGAAATATACCAACACAAGGAGCAAACGCATTACTATCGTTGTTGCCATTGCTCTCTTCCTCGTTTGCCGAAAGCTCTACCATATGACCACTCCTCCCAAGAATCTTCGACATATTCCTCATATCAAGGCCTTAGACTCTATCAAGTCTCTTGTAATCAACAAGCTCTCCACTAGCGACAATTTCAAGCAGTTCAACTCGTCCTTAATCCGTGATCACAATGGTATTTATATTCGATGGGATAGGTTCGGTTGGGTGGTATCCGTTGCCAATCCTGAAGCAGCGAAACAAGTTTTTATGAAGTCAGGTAAAATAATAAAAGCAAACAAACAAGCAAACTGATATTGTTATTATGTTCTTTCTATTTATGTCCTTAATTTTTTTTTTTTTTGTCATCTTATAGATATTTTCCCTAAAGTGGATGTAACAAGAATTAGGGGCACTCTCAATAGTCGATTTGTTGGAGCCTCCAATATTTTACTAGTCAATGGTCAAGAGTGGAAGAAGCATCGAAAGGTATAAATATTACCATATATTTTCTCATTGATATTTGTTTCACCATAAAAAGGCTCTTACTTATCTCTTTTTATTGTTACACATTAGCTTGCCAACCCTGCTTTCCATAGATCTATGCCTGTGAAACTTTTTGGTGAAGCCGCTCATAATCTTTTTACTTATTTGAACAAGGAATATCCCAGTGATAGCTTCTCAGTGGATTTTGGATATCTTATGGAATGCCTAACATTGGATATCATTGGTTTAGCAGGATTTGACTTTAGCTTCAATGCCGTTACCGACAAGAATAGTGAATGGAAAAAAGTATATGATGATGTTACTCGCAATCTTCGTGATCCTCTATACACACTTTTCCCTTTTTTGGATCAAAAGTTATTATGGTTTCTCCCGAAGCGTCAACAAGCTCACAAGACATTGGATAAGTTTTTGGGTATGCTCAATGGAATCGTGGAACACAAGCGACAAGTACTCAAGAATAATATTGACAATAACGTGGAAGAAGCTGAAAAGGATTTATTAACTCTGATGATTGAAAGTGAACTTCGTGGTGAAGGTGTTCTGACCAACGATGAACTTATGGGTGATTTGGGTATTTTCTTTGTTGGTAAGGAAAAGGAATAATTAGATGGATGAAGATCAAGTGCATTAAACCTGTCTCAATTTTATACTTTTATTTATTAATCATATTAGCTGGTCATGATACTACTGCTTTTGCATTAACAGCTGCTGTTTATTACTTGGCCAAACATCCTGATATCCAAGAAAAGGCTCGTCAAGAAGTCAATAACGTTCTTTGCCCTGATGGTGAACCCAAAGAGGATATTTTGGTGACCGCCGAACAAACCAAGGAATTTGTGTATCTGAACCAAATTATCAAGGAAGTCTTGCGTCTAAATGGATCTGTTGTTACTCTTGTTACTCCTAGACGAGCAACGGAAGATGTTATTATCTCTGGTGTGATGATACCCAAGAATACGCTGGTCAACGTCAATATATACGATTTACATCACAATCCTGATGTGTGGACTAATCCGGAAATGTTCAATCCTGATCGTTTTGCTCCTGGTGCTGAAGCAGATCAAAAGATTGGTGCTGGATTATCATGGTAAGCAAAAAAAAAAAAAAAAAAATGGCACATCGATGATGAAGTTCATTACTAACACAATTGTTCTGTATTATCAACGTTTATTGTTTTTGATAGGGTTCCTTTCGCAAAGTAAGTACCCAAAATAAATAAATAAACAAATAAATAAATGAATAAATAGATAAAAACAATAGCCGTTTACTGACGTGATCGTTTTTTTTTTTTTTTTTTTTGAACGATATTAGTGGATCAAGAGTTTGCATTGGTCAAAACTTCAGTCTTATGGAACAACGTGTGATTCTGGCTGGTTTACGTAAGTCCATGGATTGGAAGAGTTCTTGGAATCAATGATTATACTGAATGAGGTACTAATCCTTATTTTTTTTTCTTTCTATCTAGTAAGAAGGTACACCTGGAATCTCCCAAGCAACTCACCTCATGCTGACAAAATCATCACTGGCAACAGTCATATCATGAGCGCAAAGAAACTCAATATCGAATTCCATAAACGATTCTGAAGATTGGATATCTCTTCTTTGCACTCAGTACTCATATATCCATTTATACATACACATATGACCACCCCGTATATCATCTAGTTTTTTATATCTGTACAATTTCAGTCGTATATTTTATTACCTTTATTTGTTCATTTATTCTTTTTTTTTTTATATGCCAAATAAACGCTTTTCGAAGTCTTCTAACGCTTTTCGAAGTCTTCTGTTTGGATGGATGTTATTTTTGTTGAAGAGATGTGCACTATAGACTTTTTGAGAAGATACTATACCGTCTACATCTTTTTTTTTTTTTTTTTTTTTTTTTCGTTGGATGAAGTGGCACTTTTTCATCCATCAACACGGACATTATCAATCAAAAAGTATGATCTTTATTATATATGTAACAACTAAACTAGACATGATATATCAATATAAAAAAAAAACCACTAATATCTTCTTTTGAATACAATCTTGAGGTCTTTGGGAGACAAGATACCAACAGTTCCAGTAATCACGTTTTCCTTGTGAATCGAGTCTTCAGGCAACCACCATTCATATTTTCTCACTAAAGTGGAAGAAAAAAAGGAAGATGAGTGATCAAGTTGATTATGATGAGGTTAATCTATCTAGCTATGACTTTCTTACATAAATTAGGAAGCATGACTTTTTGTTCATTGATACTAAAGTTCATTCCAATGCACATGCGTTGACCAGAGTAGAAAGGAATCCAAGCCATACCACCACGTACATGTTGTTCAGCTTCTCCACCAGGTGCAAACCGATCAGCATCGAAACGTTCAGGATCCTTCCAAACATGAGGATTATGATGGGTATCGTAAATGTTGACCACCACAGGTGTTCCTTTGGGTAAAAAATGTCCACCTAATTCTGTATCTTCAGCCACCCTACGAGGCAAACCACCAGTTGCTGGTCCATGAAGACGTAAATTTTCTTTCATGATTTGACTGATAAAGTCGAATTTCTTGATATCATCCAAAGTCGGGTAAACGTCTTCAGGGGCATCACCAAGTACAGCAATGGCTTCGTCTCTTGCACGTTGTTGTAAAGCAGGATCACGAGCCAAAGCATGGATGGCGAAAGATAATGCATTTGCTGTTGTGTCATGTCCAGCTATATACAAAAAAAAATAGGAGTTACTATCATCATCAAAAAAAAAAAAAAAATTATATAGATCACTCTTACCTAAGAAAAACACATTCAGATCACTTTTAAGTTCTTCGTCTGTGAGAATGCCTTCACCAGAAAGTTCGCTTTCCAACATCAAAGTCAACAAGTCCTTTTCAGCATCATCATCCAATCCTTGTCCATTATTCTGTTGATATTGTCGTTTCAAGGTGAGTCGTTTCTTTGTGATGATTCCTTCCAACATTTTATGATATTTCTGCATTTGTTTATGTTGTTCTCGTCGACCAGGAAATAACCATAAAAAGTTCTTTTCAAGCCAAGGGAAGAGGAAGAAAACAGGTTGACTGAGACCATACTTTATCTGGGCATAGTTGTCGACCCATTCACTGTTTCGATCAAGTATAGAATTGAAGTCAAAACTAGGAAAGTAAGACAAAATAGTGATAAAAAGGTTAGAATGTTTTTTTTTTTTTTTTTTTTTTTTTTTTTTTTTTTTAATCTACGTACTCAAAGCCAGCTAAACCGATCGCATCCAAAGTGAAACGTTCCATCATATCAGTGATAAGAATAGGCTGTTCAATTTTTTCATCGATCACCTTAAACACTTTGTGAGATAGTTGAGCGAACAACTTGACAGGCATTGAACGATGGAAAGCAGGATTGGCCAACTATTGAAAAAAAAATTAGTACATGAATATGTCTAAAGTATCATAGAATATCATTTACCTTTCTATGCTTCATCCATTCGGTTTTGCTGTTCGCAAAAAGAATATTTCCATCACCAAGAAAATCATGGAAAAGTGTACCAGATTGATGTGTGAAACTTGCTTTCGGGTATAGATCTACAAAAAAAAAAAAAAAAAAAGTGAACGCATTAATACTACAATATACATGAAATAAATTGAAATCATACCTGTTTTCAAGAAGAAAGTTTTTGCAGCTTCTGGATTAGCAATGTTGACAGTCCAGCCTAATCGGTCCCTCTTCAAATACATTTCACCAGTTTTGGGATCCAACAATGGCACAGTGAGTTCTCGAGAGATTTGACCCAATGGCTTCTTTTGAACCATGCGCAAAAGGTAACTGAGAAAGTTGACATGACGGATATGACGTAGATTTTTTGGTGGTTTGGCTATTTTGTCGTAAGCAGAATAGAGAATCACCAAGGAAACAGCAGTACCAATAGAGAGGATAGTGTTTCTTGACTTTGATTCAAGTATTCGAGACTGTATTTTTGTAATGATTATATTTAAATGATCCATTGTTAATTCCATAATAAAAAAAAAAAGGAATAAGAAAAAGGAATGCACAAAGAAAAAAAAAATGATTTTTTTTCAGGCTTTTTATGCAAAGTGGATGATTTTTTTATCCAATCAAAATACAAGGATTTAACGGAATTTGCTTTTTCCGCTGATCTTGAATATCTTTTGCAACATCATCTCTCCTTTCTGACTCAAACAATCAAGTTCTCATGAAAAACAAATGAAGGAACATCCTTTTTTTTTTAAGAAAAAAAAATAAAAAGGGTAAGCCTACTTCGTCGGTTAAATTGATTGGCCAAGACGGTTTTTCTTTTCTCCTTTAACCGACAACCAATAGATCAATCACGATCATCATCATTACCATTGCCACTACCAAACAATATGACCATTGCCATTACCATCATTATTAATATCATTACTTTTATCATCATAAGAAACGCTGTTGAAATAAATTTTTTTTTAAAAAAAAACATCATGATCATAAGAGGATGATTTTTACGATGATTATCCTTTCTTTTTCCTTCTTTCACTTGGAAATCATCAATTTTCCCGTTTTACCCCGTGATGGGAGTATATATATATATTTTCTTTGTTGACGTTTATTTCCTTACTTGTTTAGACTTTATTGCTTTGATGAAATTTTAGCAATTTCATTATCTGGATGACTATTCGTCACTTGTTTTATTCATGATAAGAACCAGAATTGAAAAATCATAAAAGATTGATCCAGTAACGCTTGTGGCATTCGTTCCACACACGGTTGTACCTCCGATTTCATATTATTAGTAGGATAGACGATCTAAATCGTTGAGCCAAGAAAGTGGGGAACTTAAATTCAAATAAACTGTAATATCACAAACATATAAATAATTTTTATTTTCACACGGATCTCTTGTTCAATAATAAAAAAAATAACAAAATAAAAAAAAAATAGAAGGAATGGTGTGTTTTATTTCATTGGATAATACAAATGGGTAAAAAGTAATAATTATAACAATACTATATTGGATGGATGTAAATAACAGCAAACGAGACCATAGAATCATTTAAAATCGTTTGTGGAATTCGATATCGAGTTTCTTCGCACTCATAATAAAGGAGTTGCCAGTGATGAGCTCTTCTTTGTGTAGTGAGCCATTTGGAAGGTTCCAGTGATATCGTCTCACTATATTCAAAAATAAAACAAGTGTTAGAATTGAAAATAATAATAATAATAAAAAATAGGAAAGTATATCATCTTTTATACTTACACAAACCAGAGAGAATCACACGTTGTTCCATAAGACTAAAGTTTTGACCGATGCAAACTCTTGATCCACTGTAATAAAAAAAAAAAAAATACAAATGAATGAATATTATTATCTTGTAGAGATTTTTTTCCTCTTTCTTTCCTGTCTTTACTTACTTTGCGAATGGAACCCTAGCAATTAAGTAGTTATTAATGACAAAAAAAAAAAAAAGAAAGAAAAGAAAAAGAAATGGAGAATATTAGTAATGAATCATCATCCATCATTATATCCTTGTGTTACTCACCATGCTAATCCAGTACCAACCTTTTGATCTGCTTCAGCACCCGGAGAAAAGCGGTCAGGATCGAAAGTTTCTGGGTTTGTCCACACATCGGGATTGTGATGCAAATCATATATATTGACACTGACCAGGGTGTTCTTAGGAATCAGAGTACCAGATAACATGACATCTTCCGTTGTACGTCTAGGAACAGCAAGCATGACAACAGATCCAGCAATACGTAAAGTTTCTTTGATAACTTGATTCAAATAGATAAATTGTTTGGTTTGTTCGGCAGTCACTAATATATCTTCCTTGGGTTCACCATCAGGACAGAGAACATTGTTGATTTCTTGACGAGCCTTTTCTTGGATATCAGGATATTTAGCCAAATAATAAATAACAGCTGATAATGCAAACGAAGTAGTATCATGGCCAGCTATATCAAAATAATAAAAATGGTAAATACATACATACATATATATATATATATATATATATATTACTTTTCACTTACCAACAAAGAAAACACCAAGATCAGCCATAAGTTCTTCATTGGTCAAAACACCTTCACCACGAAGTTCACTTTCAATCATCAGAGTTAATAAATCCTTTTCAGCTTCTTCCACGTTATTGTCAATATTATTCTTGAGTACTTGTCGCTTATGTTCCACGATTCCATTGAGCATACCCAAAAACTTGTCCAATGTCTTGTGAGCTTGTTGACGCTTTGGGAAAAGCCATAAAAACTTTTGTTCCAAAAAAGGGAAAAGCGCATACATAGGATCCATAACATTGCGATTAACATCATCATAAATTTGCTTCCATTCACTATTCTTATCCAGGAGAGAGCTGAAATTGAAGCCAAATCCAGCCATTCCGATCACATCCAATGTCACGCGTTCCATGATATTCCCAACATCCACTATAAAGCTATCACCAGGATTTTCCTTGTTCAAATAGTTAAAGAGTTCTTGCGACTTTTCACCAAAAAATTTCACAGGCATTGATCTATGGAAAGCAGGATTCGCAAGCTAAAATATAAAATTAAAAAGATATGATTTGAAATCTGATAAGTAACTTTTTTACACATGATGTTCAACTAATGATAGCATTCATCCATTTTATTATTACCTTTCGATGCTTCTTCCATTCTTGACCATTTACTTGTAAAATGTTCGAGCTGCTGATGAATCGACTACCTAGACTACCAGGGAAATTGTCTACATCCAATTTTGGGAAGATATCTAGAGTGAAAAAAAAAAGGTAAAAGAATAAGATAAAATATAATAACTTTTTTTTTTTTTGATGTACCTGACTTCATAAACACCTGCTTTACAGCTTCAGGATTGGCGACAGTAACCATCCAGCCTTCTCTATCCCAACTAACGTAAATTCCATTACTGTCGCGTACTATTGATGAATTTATTTGTTTAAAATTGTCGCTGGTAGAAAGCTTGTTGATAGCAAACGATTTGACAGTGTCAATAAACTTGATATGAGGGATGTGTCGTAGATTCTTGGGAGGGACAGTGATATGGTACACTTTACGACAAAGGAGAAGGATAGCAATGCTGAAACCAATAGTAATACGTTTGACTCTTGTATCAGTATACTTTGACAAGTATTTATTATACCAAACCAACAGTGTTTGTAAGTTCTTGCCCAAATCCAATGATTGAAGAAGTTGTGACATTATATATAGTGAAAGGAGTATGGTAAGAAAGAAAGAAAAAAAAAAAAAGAAAGGAGCAGGAAACCTTTGGCGTTTTATAGCCAGGAAAAAAAAATACGATTCACTCACCGACCAGATCCCATTGGTTGGCAGGAGTGGTAAGGCATTAAAGTGATGCTGTGAAAAATGGTACCGGAGGGGATATGATTCAACTATTATTAAAAAAGTATATGAATTCCTAAGCTGAGCTACTTGTTTTGATAAATCAACGGCGCTATTACCGATGGCGATCTTACCGGTGTGAGGTAGTGCAATTATTTATTTGAAAAGTTTTAGATCTATTGTATCACTACCTTCCCCTCCCAAAGAAAAAAAAAAGGAAGTCTTATTATAAACAAAGAAAAGGAAAACAACATCATTATGTTCTTTGTAAAAGAATAAACTGAGAAAAATGAAAAACATTAATGTTCTAAGGTTTAATAGCTTGTATCAATATTAATTTAGAGAAAGTGATTGTTCACAAATGTAAACTATTGATAATAAGTAGTTATCAATAATGATTAGTATGAATAACTATCATCATCAGCTAAAAGCATCAATCAATCATTATTCTGTCATCAATATCAATCAATCAACCATTATCAGCTGTACATCAATGTAATAATAATTATCGTTATCATTAACATAGACTTCTTTAGAAGTATCATCGAGGTCATCTGTTGTTTCGGCGATGTTGTCCGCATTCTGTCACGTTGTTGATGAAGTGAAAAGTCAGCTATATTATTTGCCTTGGCAATTGTATAGTATTTGATTGAATAAAGTGTAAAAAGTAGAACAAGCCCACATTTATATGTAAATAGCATACGTTGAAATCAGAGATGCATAAAAAAAGAAAAACGGTATAACAAAAACAGAGTAGACAAAAATAATATATATATATATATATATATATGACAAGTAAACTTTTATTCAGTAATTAAGAATAATCATGTCTTCACGAGCTATCAATAATCTATCTACAATTCCATTCATTCTGGTCACATTTTGTTCAAGTTCTTTTTGCATAAGATCCATCTAAGAGTGAAGAATAAAATTTGGTAAGATATTTTTTTTTTTTTTTTTGGATTCATTCATTATTTTATTTACTTGAGATTGAAGTTGATGGATCCTTTCTGCACATAAAGTTTGTTCCTGTTGAGTGGCTGCTACTTCCTGATTAACTTCTTCATGTTCAGCTTCATGTTTCAATAAATGTAGTTGCATCGTTTTTCTTTTTTTCTGTTGTTGTTCATATAACTTGGCCAATGCTACTTCCAATTCCCTATACTTTTTCCGAATTTCCTACAGTAATAAACAAAAGAAAAATCAATTTTGTTTCTCAATGCCTATTTTTTTTTTTTTAAGTTACGTTGCCATAATCCACAGAATCCTTGACATTTGGATCATCACCATCTATTTTTCGTTCAAGTTCCTTGATATTTGAATTTAATTGGTCTTTCTTTATGGATTGATATAGTACATCTTTTTGTAAATCATTCCCTTTTGTGATTCTGTCTAAAACTTGTAGTTGTTTTTCTGACATTTTTTCGAATGATCTGAGTGCCTGACTTGTTGTTTCAATAGATGTCTTGTTCTGTTGGAAGGTCTCCTGAGCTTTTTTCAGATTCTATTCATATCCATATGTAATATTAATAACATAAAACACAATTTTTTATTATTTATTTATTTTTTCATACATACCATTGAAGCTTGGGCAGGATCGTATTCAGCTCTCGCTACAAGTTTTTTCGTTTCATCCATCATTGTCGAAAACGCCTGATGAGATTCTTGCTATAAAAGAAGAAGATCATTAATATGACTACACTGATTTTTTTTTCTTATATATGTCTTACAAATTTTTCCTTCAGAGAATGTCTCTTGATTTTCAGTAAACTGATATCTGATTGATATTTTTCTACTAATCCTTCTAATTGCCGAATAGTCTGATCCGCTTCGTCTACTTGTGATTTCATTTCATTCATTTCTGGCTCCATACTGTTTAACTTGGTTCTATCAAATAATAATAATAATAATAATAATAATAATAAAAAAGTAGATAAAATTAATAATGATCACTGATTCCTGAATAGACACTAATGAGTTAGCCTATTCCTTCTATTGTTTGTCACTTACTGGGTTTCCGAGTTTTGTTTTTGTAAATCATCGATTTCACCAAGTAACTTTTGTATTTCCAGTAAGGTATCTTCCTATAGTAAAATAGTATCAATATCTTTGTTTCTGAAAATAAATGTCATTGGCTTTTTTTTTTTTTTTTTTGAGAAAAATTACCTCATGTGTCGCCAGAGCTTCAAAACCTTGCCAATTGGCATCGCGTGATTTGATATAGTTGATGATAACACTAAGAACTTTTGCTAACCGTGAAGGGGATGGATTTTCAATGTCGCCTAAAAAAAAATCATGATAACCGATTTTACTGAGAAGGAGCTTGCTATATATATATAAAAAAAACGATTAGAAGAAGTATTGAAATATACCCTGTAAGAACGTACAAATAATGGTAAAGAGATATATGATCGTTAATAGATTGATATACGTCCTAAGAAAAATACAGAGTTCAATATATAAGTAAAAAGCAAACTGATAATCTAGGGAAATAGAAAAGATCTCTTACTGAATCATTGGGATTTTGTAAACGCCTTTTATGTCGTTCATTTTCAAGAGCTTTTGTTTGCCATGGCATGAGCAGTTGTAATAATATTTTGTATAATAAGTAAACGCGTTGTTTAGTTGGGTGTAATAAATCTTGTTGTGTGATCTGTATGTTCACTTCGTGTAAACATTGAAGTATTTGAGATGTTGACAGAGTTGGTACTTCATAAAAGGTATTGTGATCGTTTAAAAGATGACTGGAAAATCGCCTTGTGGTCGAACTGATTCGTGAGTGATTCATTATAATAATGATAAAGAGAGGAAAGAAGTGTGTAAGGCATCATTTTTTTTTTTTTTTTTTTTTAGTTACACTCTGATTATTTTTCAAAGACCGCTACTTCAAGAATCCACTTGAGTTCATCAAACAAATGGTATATGAGTAAAAGGTAATTTGCATTAGGGATTGAACTTTGAATTAATTTCCATTTTAGGGATTATTATTGGTCATCATGAAAACTTTGTAACAATAATAATATGTATTCAGTCAGTTTATATGTTACCCAAATATTGATGTCATAAGTATGTATCAAAATGAAAGGAGTTCTTTTATTTTGTTTCAATTAAATGAATGTATACAAAGAGGATATATATAAAAGATATATTGAATAACAAATAATAAGAATAAAAATAAAGATAAATAAAAATCTAAAAACTAGTAGAAAGAAAGAAAATCAGAGACACTAATTGCCAACTGTTCAATAACAAAGTAACCACAAGTAAAAGTAGACTGCCAAGGAGATACCATATACCTGGAATAACCCATTGGTAGTTGTTTTAAATAATTCATTGATATAGGAGGTCTTGGTGGAAATCCGTATCGAGTGGTTGTCATAAAAAGTGATTGATGATTGCTGTCCTGACCTCCGGTTTCATCTTGTCCCTTTTCACACATTAATACACAGCATCCATCGAGAATAATAGCTTGTAATTGATCTTTTTTTCCATTCCAACTGGTAGTATCTATCCGGTCAACCATTTGAGTTTTCATAGTATCTTGTCCATAAGAAGAAGTGTCGATTGTGATCGGTATTTGTATTCTATTTTTACCAAATTGTTCCTGTGATGAATTGTTATCCATACTTATACCAGAAAAATCACCAGTGCGAGAGGATGGAAATTTGCTTCGAATATCCCATAAAGAATCCAATACTTTATTACATCCTCCTTGTCGTAAAATCAACTTGCCATGTGATACATAAAAATCCTTAACTTCAAAATAATATTGTGTTGAATTGATATCAGGGGCTAACCAAATAATTCGATTCTCCATATCCATATATTTAAAGAAGAGTGATATTGATGATTCATTGGTCGTTTTTTCTTGATATAACTGGTATATACTAGACGATAAATATTGTTGAGGTGGAGCCATGAGTTCATGAAGATTAGTAGATACAAGTTCCATAAGGGTTTTTCTTTGTTCACCATATTGTCGTCTGATTTTGAGAAGTAATGCTGTATCAATTACTTGTTCTGGTAGAGCCAGATAAAGGCTTTGGAAGGTGGCAAAAGGGACATATACTAGTATTTGATATAAAACCTCTAAAGGTAATTGATCCAGCATTGGTAATAGCCAATGTAATACAAAATAAAAAGAAATATAGAAAAAAAAAAAGAGAGAAAGAGAGAGATTTATATTGTTTCTATTCAGTGTTGATAAAGTATGTAAAAAGAAGAAAAGAAGAAGCCAAAACCTGGGTTACATTCAACAACTGCGAAAAGCATTACGCGCTGTTTTAATCTGATCTAGTCACCTGATTTCAAATTTTGGCAGAGGAAAGAAAACCAGTCTCTCAATTTTTTTTTTTTTGATTTTTTTTTTCTCGTCCTTTCTTCTTTCTTTTAAAGAAAGCCATATATTGATATAATGGGAAAACGAAAGCACTCGGAAACTGAAGGCAAATCTGACAAAAAACTAACCACCATCTCCTTGGCCAATGTTTCAAAAGAAAGTGAAACTCCCATTCTAGGTATTCAAGAAAATAAAAAAAAATTCAAAACAATATAACAGTTTAATTAACTAATTCCTTTTTTTTTTTTTTAGCAACTTTCCCTGGTACTGTTCCTCCCGCCGAAACTCCTTTCACTCCTTATAAACGCAATTATCAAACCAGTACTGAAAAAGCAAATGAAAGAGTCTTGATTGGTGAAACTGAAAAGGTTATTTTTACTGGTTCCAACTTTGGTGAAGATAGTCCTCGTGATCTTCATTGCAAGTAAGTAAATCTATTATTATATATCTATTTAAGCCAACTTATCTTACTTACCTATATATATATGTATATTCTAGTTATTATATTGGTGTATACTCAAAAAAGAATCAAGAAGTAACTGTGACTCCTGCCAAAGTATTATCTATGCGACGCAAGGTGAAAGCACTAGCAAGTCATGATGCTGACGTTATTCATAACAAGAGTTTCAAGTTACAACGTGCTGATTTGGGTATGACATTTGGTACAGCTAAAGCCAAACAACAATTACGTGATGAAGAACGAAATATGGTCAAAACTGAAACAATGTTGGATGAATTGGCAGACGTACAACGAGAAGTGGGTATTGCTACAGCATCTTTACCTACTCAATCATCTTTACGTCAACAAGTCAAAAGCAGTTTACCATTACCCAGCTTCAATATGGATGCGGATTCCCCTGAAACAGCATATGATCTTGATAGTATTGTGACTCAAGATGAACTCAATTCAATCGATATTAAGGATTTACTCAAACAAGATACTTTGGAAAGTGTTCAAAACTGGTTACCATATAGTCGATCCAACATTATCAACACTAAAATCATGCAAATTATCAATTCTACTGGAAAAAAGGATCGTCACCGAGCTCGTCTTTTAGTATATTTATCGTACCTTATGGCATACAATTCGAAAGTCAAAAGAAATGATTTGTTAAACCGTGAACGTTTGCAAGATGCTCTCAAGAATCCTCCTTCTATCATCCTTCAAGGTTTGACTGATCGTTACACTGAAAATTCACTGTAAGTTACTAGAAAAAAAATATATACAAATATCAACAAAGATAATTTATTATATATTTTTTAATATTTTTTTATAGTCGTACTCCTATCATGGCTGATAAGATTTTGTTTTATATTTTGGTATTATCTCTTATGGTATCAGATTATACTGTGTACCCTGATATTATTGCAAATGAACTCTCCCTCAAATCTTCCAAGGCACAAACCTTATTACGAAACCTAGGATGTAAGATTGAAAGAACTACAGTGGAAGATGCAAAGATGGCTGGTTTGGATCCCAAAACTGCTAACAAGAAGGCTGTTCTGGTGGTTCCTCTTACTTTTCCCGAATTATCAAAAGGTGGCAAACGTAAATAGATATTTATTTATCATTTCTTAGAATAGAATTTAGACTATATTGTTTTTATTTTGATTTATTTATTCATTGTTACTATTATTCCATTTACTGCATTTTTCTCCTTCTTCTTCTTTTTTTTTTTTAAATCATATATATATATTCATTTGAATAAAAATTGTACCTTTTTTTTTACATAACATTTTTTTTTACATTTGGTTGCTTGTTGGGTACATCAATGTTTTTAAGAAGTCAGCTAAGATTGTCACATGTCAGATTTGCTCTTGTAATTATTTCTTTTTTTTTTTTTTTCCTTTCCTTTCCTTCCTTTTTTTTTTTTTTTTTTCTTTCGTCTTTTTTTTTTTTTCATATATAACGACAAAATAGGAATGCCTTTGACTAATCAAGAAAAGTCAATGGCTGTTCCTAACCATGATACTGGTTTTTCATCACCATATAGTGTATACACTCTTGAAAATATTCCTCCACCCATTCTGAAACTGCTTCTCTCTTTGGGACCTTTACTCAACTTAATTCGACAAGCAATAGACATTATTCAATGGCAAAGTAGTTCACCACGACAATCAATATTGGCACTTCTTATTTGGAATAGTATCTGTCTTTGGACATGGACTTTTCTTGGACTCGGCATACCGACCTTGGTAATTGTCAAGTTAGCAGGAGATTGGCTTCGTGTACGCACCTTACGAACAAGACGGGACCGTTTGGAACGTGCTAGACTTGATCAACTCGAAAAACAAATGTTGAAACATCAAGACAATGATCATGATGACGATGAACGACTTTTATCTCAACGATTACAGCAACAACGGGAAGCTGAAGAAGAAGAACTCATCTCTCGAAAAATCCAACCACAAGGTCAAGTGTCGCTGGACGATACCTTACAGAATATCATGGTCATCAACCTTTTTGTCGATCGTCTTCTTGGGGATGTCAATCATTTTATATACAATTATTTGGATGGTTCTCGCCCCGAAATACTTGTAGCTGTTCTAGGTGCTTTGATCTACTTGATTCCAGCCTGGTTCCTTTTGGTCTTTTTCTTGGATTCTCATGGTATCTTTGCTTTGGTGGGCTCCCTTGCTTTATTAAGGTACTCTCCATGGTTCAATGTCATCCTTTCGGCTGTGGCTCGGCATACTGTTTTACGTTATGTTGTCTCGGTTTTCTGGGCATACGCTGTGGCCTTCATCACTTCTTGGAGGGCGTTTGATTTTCTGGGCATGCTAACACCGACCAAGCCGTCTCTTTCTCCTCGTACCAATCCATTCAAACAATGGTTTTCTTATGTACGGAAACGCGTTGGCAAGGAAAAATCATCCATGTTGACTACTCTTCAAGAACAACGTGACAAGGATGATCAACAAAACAAGAAAATCACGAAGAATGAAATGGTATTCCAATTTGAAGTCTATGAAAACCAGGTAAAAATCAAAAAATAAATAGATGATAATATAACTGGAAAAAAAAAAGAAGATACTGATGTTTTCTGGAATGATTTTTTTTTTTTTTTTTACATCTTTTATTATAGCGTTGGTGGTTAGGTGCCAACTGGACGACTAACATGCTCAGTAATGAACGTGGACCTTGGTAAAAGCCAAAAAAAAAAAAAAAAAAAAAAAAAAGAAAAGAAAAAAATTAGTTAAGTGTTTATGATTTTTTTTTTTTTCGTTGATGACTTATAGGACGGATTCCCAATTGGTTTCAATTACATCTAAAGAAGAATTCAAGTTACCCGAAACAACTGAAAGTACGATCGTAGTGGATCATGATCAGGATATTAAACAAGTGATACAAAAGACATGGTATTGGGCGGATGCAGATTGGTGGGTCGACATGACTGGTGAATTGGATGGACGTGTGGATCACAACGGTTGGGAATATGGAAACAATGCTTGGCACCATTTGACCGGTATGCCAACCATGCAAACTTTTACAAGACGAAGACGATGGTGTCGTCGAGCTCGATTGGTTGAAAGTAAACATCAAATAAACGATATTAGTACAACAGCAGCAGCATCGTCTCAACCAAAATTGACCGGAGGGGATTTACGAAAACGTAGTTAGTGTTAGATTTTTTTTTATGGTATCATGTTTAGCGAATCTATCAATAAAAGCGTAGTCTTTTTTTTTTTTTTTTTAAAAAATTATTATTATAATATTTGATCACTCGGACTTTCTGTGGCGTCGGATGATGATGAATGATGATATATGATGATAAATGATGTTGATGAACGACGGGAAAGATAGATACACTGAATGTGAATGTGTGGATAAATCTTAAATGAGAAATGGGATTGTTAATAAGTTTTGTACGATGGATCTGATCGAAACCCTTAAAATAATCAACAGATCAATTAATTATGTAGGTATTATACGTGTTGTACCATACCTATGAAAAACTCTGCTGGTTAACACGTGAGCAATATCTATGTTTCGCAAATAAATCAAGGAATCCATAAATGCGGGATTGAATTGAACTCGACTCCACTTTATAGTTGCTAACAAACATAATTGAACCAATCAAAAGAGGAATCCTGTGTTCATGCGGAAATGGTCAACAGGTGAATCCAACAAGTCAAATGAGTTTTTTTTTTTAAAGATGAAGAAAATTTTTTTATTGTTTTGAAATCAATAAGGGATATAAAAGTTGAATGAATAAAAATGAAGACTAGATACTAGTGATGAATATATGAGGAAAAGAAGAAGAGGAAAAAAAAAAGTGTATACAAAATGGAAATAATATGATGAGGGATATGAACAAAAAAAAAAAAAAATCAATAAGAAGAATAGAGGATTAGGAAGAAGGAAAAGAATCCGTGGGAAGATGATTGCTAAAAAGGAAGTAGGGGTAAAAAGCATATGATCGTTCATGCACTGTAGTTGTAAAGTTGTTTGACTAAAGGAGAATCTAGTCTACCAAAATATGATCCAGTTCATCATCATCAGCTACCAATTCAGCAACACTAGACATTAGGTTGGCAACATCAGCATCAGAACGTAACCAACAAAAAGAACGTACACGTTCCAAACGTTGAAGAGCAAGACCATTCGTTGTTGTTGTTGTTGTTGTTGTTGTTGTTGTTGTTGTTGTTGTGTCTTGTTGATTAAGTTTTGTTTTATCGAATAATACTTCCTCCTTTGCTTCCATGATTAAACGCTGTAAATGAATAGGTAAGGCGTATACGTCGTCAGTGATACTTGCTTCTGTCAAATAAGTGGCCATATTTGGGGTACAGAATAAGTTAAGCAAGTAATTATATTTGAAAGGTTGATCTTGTTGTTGAATATATGCATTGTATTGTTCATTGTAATAGTCATAACTGTCATCCAATTTAGTATTATTATCATGAGGGCAAAAGTCGCAAGTTTGATGGTAATGAAAAGAATGAGAATCGTAATAGGTTGGAATAGAAGGCAATTTCAATTCTTGTGTTTTCTCCAAGTTCATGGTAGTTGTATGTGAGGATAAAAGAAGATTCATTATAAACAAACAAGGAGGTGGGAACAAAGAGAAAAAAAAAAAAAAAAAAAAAAAAAAAAAAAAAAAAAAAAAAAAAAAAAAAAAAAAAAAAAAACGGAAAAAAAAAATTGTCTGATGATTTCCAGAGAGACTGACCCAAAATAGGGAACGACAAAGACCAGGCGGTAAAATATTTGCCAGAGAATCCAGTGATTGGGCAGACCTCCTTTTTTCATTTCCCGTTTTCCTTTTCAACAAAAATTAGAAAAATAGGTTGTACAAAAGGATATCAAATGGTGCAACCATGATAATAGCTATCTAGTCAATATGCGGCGTGGCCATAATCTTTGGTCCTCAATTATCTATTCATAATTTACACAAACTAATCCATTCCAAACACTTATTCCTTTTTTAAGAGTAATTTGATGGGTGTACATACGAACATATTGATCAAGAATGTCATTATAGTATAATCAATATCATCACTCAAAAATATACTGTTTAATAAGCTATAAAAAGGATCATCTTTCTTTTTTTTTTCTTTTTCTTTTTTTTTTTTTTATTCTTTCAATTTATTCAAATATGAAGGTATCTTTCATTTCTCTTTCTACTTTGGCCATTGCTTCTATTGCAAGTGCTTTACCTACTTCTTTGACCGCAAGAGCAGCTGATTCATGTCCTGGTAATTAAAAAAATGATGATGATCATCAAATTCATTTACTTAATATCATTTTTTTTTTTTTTACTTTCATTTTGATATCAATAGCTAATGCATTATCATGCAGTAGTACTGCTGGTGGTTCTTGCTGTTCCCCCACAAATGGTTTACTTATTTTAGTTCAACAATGGGTTCAAGGTTTTGGTCCTTCTACTTCTTTTACCATGCATGGTCTTTGGTAAGTAATTAAACTCAATTTAAACCTTGATTTTTAATTCATATTTTTTTTTTTATTTTAATCTTTTTGATTAGGCCTGATACCTGCTCTGGAGGTCAAACTGGTAATAATGGATGCGATCCTTCTCGTCAATATACCAATTTGGATAGCATCCTTCAAGGAAATTCATCCTTGTATAATGATATGGAAACCTATTGGCCAAGTTACAAGGGAGCATCCAATAACGGTGATTTTTGGACTCATGAGTGGGGCAAGCATGGTAAGTAAAACTGATTATATATATACGTAAAAGATAAATAATGATTCACTTTTATTATTATTATTATTATTATTATTTTAAAAAGGTACATGTGTTAGTACTTTGGCACCTCAATGTTATACAAGCTATACTAAATATGAAGATGTTTATGATTACTTTGGAACTGCCCTTGAACTTCGTCAAAAATATGATTTATACTCTATCTTGAAAGGTGCCAATATTACCCCTGGTGGATCCTACTCTGCTAATGATTTTGAATCTGCCATTCAATCATCAGTTGGTGTCAAACCTAAAGTCACTTGCAGTGGATCTGATTTGGAAGAAGTTTGGATTTATTTCAACGTCAAGAATACCAATCAATATGTTCCTGTCGATAGTGTAGACTCTTCAACATGTTCTGGAGATATAAATTATCCTACTAAATAAAATGAATAAGAAGATGTTGATTGTCTTCGATATATGTGATAGTTTTACAACTCCGTTTCTTTTCTTTTAAAAATACAATGCGCGAATCTTCCACGTTTTTCTTTCTCTCTCTTTTTTTTTTTTTTTTTTTTATTTATTTATTTATTTATTTATTTACTTCGTTTTCAATCTGAATCACTTTATCATTCCATGTGTCCTATTCTTGCTCTGGATAGACATACAATCAGTAGCATTCATTCTGGACAAGTCATAACAAGTATCGAATCAATAGTCAAGGAATTGCTAGAGTAAGTCAAAAAAAAAATATTTCTATGTATATAATAATAAACTGTTGCCCAGGTCACTAACCCAAATCTCCTTTTATTATTAGAAACTCATTGGATGCCAAAGCCAACAATATTGATATACGACTAGTGGACGATGGTTTAGACACGGTAGAGGTAATGACAAATATATATAACTGGAAGTTTAAACTTACTATCATTACTTGAAATTGACAGATTCGAGACGATGGTTCGGGGATCACAAAGACTGACTGTTGCAATATGGCTAGACGACATCATACTTCAAAACTAACGACTTTTTCTGACTTGGACAATATTTCAACTTATGGATTCAGAGGTGAAGCTCTTAGTTCTATCTGTGAATTAGCTGAAGAAGTATATATTACAACTAAGACTGAACAAGACAAAGTGGCTACGTGTTACAAACTCGATCGGAAAGGTGGCATAAAAAGGTATATATATATAAAAAAGGAATCTATGTATAAATAGTGATATGGTAAAATACAATGCTAATGATATCTTCACACTGTAGCGAAAACACTGCTGGAACAATGTATCGTTCTGGAACCATGGTATCAATTCACCGACCATTTGTCAATTTACCAGTACGACGACAGGTAAATTTCATCCCATCATTCTGTATTATATATGAATTTTTGATGTGTGTTATTTAATAGGTTGCAGAAAAAGCTAGAACAATCTCTATTAAGCGGATTCAAGAATTAGCAATTAAATATGGTTTATCTCACCCTTTCCTTCGGTTATCACTACATCAACTACATAGTACTCTTGGTCAACTACGGAAACAACCAACTTGGGTTAAACCTAGTACATCTAGTCTACTTGAAGGTGTCCGCATCATATATGATTCTACCTTGGCTTCAATGGTGGAAGAATGCTCCTTGGAAGAAAGTTTTGATCAACAACTGGAACCTGATGTAACATCATCACCGCAACCGATACGATTACATTGTCTTTTACCTTCAAAATTATCAGGTAATTAAAAAGAAAGATATAGAGTTTTCCATAATATTGATTTTCTTTCTTTCTTTCTTTTTTTTTTTTTTTTTTTTTGATTGAAATAGATCCTTCATATATCTTCAAAGGCGATCGTGTATTTATATATGTTAATAAACGTCCTATCAATTATGCCAAATCTGATCTAAAGGAAATGGTGGCTATGGTTCGTCGACGGTACAAACGAACCCTCGATCTTGATGGTAAGATATAAACATGGATATGATTCTATTTCTCATAACTTTACTAACAAACTTCTTTTTTTCCTTTAGATGATGTCAGAAAAGTTCCATTTATGTACATTGATGTCCAAACTGGTTTTGGTGACTATGATGGTAAGATAATTGTATCTATTTTGTAACAAAAGCTAACGTTTTATCCTTGTTTTGACATATAGTGAATATTGAACCTGACAAAAGCGTTGTGATGCTTCTCCACAAAGATCGTATTTTGACTTTGTTTGAAGATCTCCTTGATAGAATCTATGGCTCCTTTTTCTCCCAAAATCGTCAAAACGAAGTTCTTGAAAAGTAAGGAATGAAAAGACAGTCCAATATTGTATATTAATTATATATTTGATTCATACTTGTAATACTATAGTACCTCCTATCGCGATGACAATACGTATCAAGAAGTGCCTTCCCAATCTCCTAGAGTCATTGATTTTGATCATGCTCAATCACCAACTCCTCACCATATACAGTCGTCAACAGGATTTGAAAATCAATATAAAGGAGATTATATTGATGTTATTCCCCCAGCAACCCACGCCTTGATCAGCAACGATGATAGATTACAAGAATCAGATGAATATGATGAATTGGTGGAATCAGATAACGAATTGGATCGATCTTTACATACAACTAATACTACTGGAAATCCACTTTCTCTCAATGGATGGCTAGACGGAGAGATACACAATAATATAGAAATACCATCATATACCTCGAATTTATCTCCTACGAAGACAGCTCGACCAGAACCTCAAAACGCACACTCATCAGTAGGATCAGGGACTGATATGAACTGGCAAATTGACAACAGATCGGATCACAGTACAACCGTAGTGCGGCATAATTTACAACAGGATATTGATCAGAATCCAACACCACTGTCCAACTGGTTTGCACAATATCGACGAAAAAGTACCAACAAATTCAACAATTCAAAACGATCATCATCAGTAAAAGATTATGATAGTTTATCTTCAAATGTAGCACAAGCCAAACGTCCACGGGTTCAACTTGAATTACCTTTTGACTTTGAACGAACTTCCTCTTCTGTATCACCATCTACAGTATTACCAACAACTGTAGCACATACCAATTCGAACAATAGAATCCTACTAGCACCATCATCCTTGCAATCACTATCGACTGACACGACAATTGGTAGATTTGACGAAACATCTATGGAAACCTCTACAACACGGCAAAATACTGACATTTTCGGCAGTCCTTCTAACAGTAGCAACAGACGACGTGATATTGCAGCGTTATTTGCAAAATCACTATCATCGCCATCATCATCAGCACAGAATCTGCAAATAGACACTGGACTCTCTCATACATTGAATGAAATTATTACATTTGACTTAGCATCATCATCTATGGAAGATATCCGGAAGAATTATTCCTTTCATAGAGAACGCCATACACAGTTCCATAGAAGGTCTATCGCAGAATACTGTCAGCAAACTACATCAGCCATAGATCAGCAGGAACCGACCTTACAGTCTCTCTACTTGGAAAATAAGATGAAGATAATTTTTTGTGCTCAGCGTGTTCGTACCGATTTGGGTTGGGTGATGAAGAAATTGGAAGCAATCGATATGACACAGTAAAGTTAATATGGAGATAAAAATGAAAAAGGCACACCATTTACTTTTTTTTTTATTTATTTAGATTGAAACAAAGATACAGATTTCAACGTCTTATGAGCGATTACGAGCTTAAATGTGGAAAAGCATTGGACAAACCTGTACAAATTAATGTTAGGTGAGGATACATCATAATTACCTAAGATCTGACGACTTACTTTTGCTTTATTTTAGCGATAGTGATCCACTACATAGTACGATACTTTCTTTGGACAAACGGGAGCAACAAATAGTGAATGATGGACACGATACTGTCGAATACACCTATTCCATTGTGACTGACCGAAGAATCATAGCCAACGGGTTTCGAGTACGATGGCGAAAAGGTAAATGAAAGAAAGATAAAGGCGAATGCAAATAACGAACATCACTTTTCTTTTTTTTTTTTTTTTGATAGAGCTTTATTCTCATGATTTGGTGATTCAATTTACATCAATTTCTGATTTAAATGGTTTTGGTCCATCTGATTTTCTCGAGGTACTGGGACTTATTCAGCAACAAATGGAACGACAGCAGCGAGACAGTGATAACAATTGGATTCTGAATAAAGTGCGACCAACCAAGCTTATTGACTATTTTAAAATATTAGCAAAAAACGAGATGCCGACCTTTGACCCTCCTCCTTCAAATGATTGGCGACATATGATGGCATCGCTGGATCAAGAAATTCAAGATCGATTCATCACCAAGGCAGGCAAACCATTGACTTATTCCTTAATTTAGTGCCTATTTGTATATATGTATATAGTTCTTTTTTTTTTGCATTCTCCCTGTTGAACATCAATAAAGTTTTTTTTTTTTTTTTTTTTTTTTTTTTTTTTTTTGATACATATTACATATCGGATGTATCCGTTTTTATTCATGATATTCACTAATCACTTCCATTTAAAAGGACCATTCTAAGGGTCATATATCTCCACAGTCTACAGTCCATTCAATAATCACTACATCAATATAAAAATAGTTTTATTCTATTTCAAAAAAAATAATAAAAACAAAAATTCGATCTATACTAATATCCAAGATGATGATTCAAGTAAGTCGATTGATAAATATTTTGCCCATCTTTCGAATCCAGTTATGATGCCTTGTTAGAGAGCGTTGAATTAATGGCCAAAAGGAGGATGATGTGGACAGACGAAGAAGACGTTGTTGCTTCGAGACAAGTGAATGCGGATCCTGTTCCAAAAGTAACGTCAGATGTTGAAGATCATGAGTAATGTCATGCCAGTCATGCTGAATCAAGGAACGTGCTTGATCAAGTTCATCCAAAGAAATCACAGTTCGTAGCTTTTTGTAAGTAAAGCGATCATGGACAAGGTAATGAAGCATGGCAACCCTTCGATACTTGACTGCTTGAAGTACTAAACTGGCTTGTTTGATAACATACCGTTCCTTGCCGGAGATGAATTGGAAATCACCACGTAGTTGAATATTGGCCTTGGCTGTTTCCACCATCCATCGTAAACAATCCAAATAATCACCATTGGCTATCAGACTAAACAGACAAGACTTGCCATCCGTATCATCTTTTGCTTGTATATCCGCCCCTTCTGCCACCAATCTTTGTACCACCTTGTCGGGAGGTTGGCAGAATCGCGCCGCATAATGTAAAGGTGTCCATCCATCACCATCTCGAGCATTGATATCGGCTCCATGATCCAGTAAAACAGCAAGGAATGGTAACGACATCCTAGGAATATAAAGACCAACCATATGGATCGCTTGTACATTGTATACATTACTTGCCGATGCACTGGCTCCATGTTCTAAAAGTAACGTCACCAATTGTAATCGTTGTTCTATTGCTTGGTCCATTGTTGTTGTTGTAGGAGAGCAAGTCATGGGTGTATGTGTGATGGCGAGATGTAAAAGTGTAGCATCTGTAGAAGGTTCCCGTGAATTCACTAAAGCTGTACGATCTTGTTTCGATGATAGGTTATCAATGTATTGTCGTACCAGATCCAAATGGCCATGTTCTGCTGCTTCCCATATCGTCATTGTTAGCTTTGTCTGTAAGGTCAATTGTGTCTGTTTCTGCTGCTGCTGTTGTTGTTGTTGGTGCACCTCTTGCTGCATTTGAGACCCTTGATTGTTTTCCTTATTGAGATATGTGTTTTCTACCACCTGGTTCCTACTTGGAGATGCGGTGTCGTCCCATAATGATATATCCTTAGATGAAACAAGAATATCAAATTGCTTGTTTATAAACGTTGGCATAGCTGTGTTTTCAGAAAGAAAAAGAAAGAAAAAAAAGGAAAAAGAGTTAGTCTCATAAGAACATTATTATATTCGGAACCTTCTTACCATTATTTTAGTCTGAACCAACTTAAGAGTAGAGTTTATCTTCGGGAGAGCGTAGGAAAGAAAGAGAGGAGCGGAAACCAAACTGACCATTATTCCACAGATAGCCCGTTCAGTACGATATAGTCGATGAAAAAAAAAAAAAAAAAAAAAAAAAAAAAGAAAAAGAAAAAAAAGAGGTTGATACAGATTTCTTCGACTTTTTTTTGTAGCGGACTGTGAATTCATTGATCACCTCTTTACATTTTGTTTTTCTTTTCCTTTTTTTTATTATTCCTCTCTTCTTCTGTATACACTTTTTTTTTTGTTACAATGGCACAAAAAGGAACTGGTAAAACTCTTGAAAAGTTAAAGAGTTCTGTCAATGATGGAAAATATTATGAAGCTCATCAAATGTATCGAACTGTTGCAAGAAGGTAAGTGATGAAGTATTTTTTTTAAATAAAAAGAAGTGACTGACACCTTACTGTAGATATAACAAGCAAGAAAAATATAGCCAATCTATCAAGTTACTTCATGATGGTGCTGTCTCTTTGATGCAACATAAGCAAAGTGCTTCTGGCTCTGATTTGGCGAACTATATGATGGAGACTTACATGTTGGCTAACTTACCAGTGGACGAAAAATCTTTGGGTATATTTTTTTTTCTTTAAAAAAAAAAAGACATTCATCATGTTATTGATACTTATTCTCATCCTTCTCATTTTATTTAGATCGTGTAATTGATATTCTTGAGCTCTATCCCTCTACTGAAGTTGGACGCAAAGCTTTTCTCTCGAAAACATTCAGGTAAGATGCAACTAATATTTTTTTTTTTTTTTTTGTGAAGATAGTTTTATTGACCATTGATATCTTTATAGTTGGACACAAAAGAATGGTGATTATTCGGAAGGTGACCCTGAACTACATGATTATGTTGGCACTATGTTTTATCAAGGTAAAATAATAACATTAATTTACAGTGATATCTTTTTATATATTCATCCATTTTTTTTGCTATTTTGTGTTTTTGTAGAGGGTCAATATTCTTTGGCTGAAGAACATTTATTAGTTGGAACTGATCATAGTGCTGAATTATTGGGAGAATTGTCATATACCTGGGCTCAACAAGATGCCAATAATGGAAATGGCATTTATCTTGCTCGTGTTGTACTTCAGTAAGTGCGTGTGTGTATACTTTGTAAATGATAGCAAATATTGATGGGTTCATCTTTTTTTGAATGTAGGTATCTCGCCATGAAAAGTATTCGCCATGCCACGATGACATTCAATAGCTTTATTAAGGCTGCCAATTTATCTACGTCTCAAGCTGACTTCCGATACTCTCCTGCTGGTGAAACTGTCAAGGTACCAACATTTGATGATTCCTGGTTAAACTTTACACAACTAGTATTATTGACGGTGCAACGTGATGGTTCAGCCTTATTCACGCAATTGAAATCAACTTATGGGCCTATGTATCATCAACAAAAAGGTTTTGATGATTTGATCGATGATATTGGTGCGGCCTTCTTCAACATTCAGAAACCACGAAAACAAGGCAACATTATGCAAGATTTGATGAATAGTTTATTTACTGGTGGCCCTTCCACCAATGCTTCTCGACAAGTAACTGGTTCTCCTTCCTTGGGTTTGGATTGAAAAAGAGGATACATACCTTTCCCCCCTTTTTTTTTATCCCTTTCATTCTTCCATATCTATATTTGATCATTTAGTTTTAGCTTTTGTCACCTTTTTATTATTATTACCTACTTTATTTTGTTTGACCCATATATGTGCTGCGTGTGTGTAATTTTATTGATTTCTTTATCGTTATAATAAAACAATGATCCTTTTTTTTTTTTTTTGTCCTTTTTCTGGCGTTATTTCTCTTAATAGCTATATGGTGATAATAAAAATGCGCATTTTCTTTTTTCCTCTAAACGCCTCAGTGTATGCAGAAATGTGTCTCCGTATGTGTGTACCTATGTATCAATTGTGAGTTGTTTGATGACAGGGGAGACCATTGGATCAATGCACTTTGAAATAATGTGGATGATATACAAATGAAAAAAAGGACAGGAGTAAGGTCAAATGTATAAATTTCTAATGCCAATGAGTGCACGGTGCATGTTCAAGAATGTTCAAGGGGAATAATTTATAAACAAAAATATGGATATTCTTTTTTATTGAATAACAAACAATCAAGAAGATTATAAACTAAACTACGTGATTGATTTTATTGCCAAATCTTGTGTTCCAATCCCATTTCGTTGTTAGGAGCAAGACCAACGCAAGCACGGAAGATGTTTTCAATGGCAGAACGTTGTCTACCCAAGGCATTGACAACAGGAGTACCACGAGATACCATAGGGGCTTTGAGCATATCTAATATAAAAAAAAATAAAAAAAAAATAAAGGTCAAACATGATTTTTTCCCCCCTTGAATATAGACAAATAATAATAATAATAAAAAGGTTACTTACAACTAAGAAGAGACAAAACACTATGGAAAGAACTGAATTTTGTCATTTCACCTGTCTTGTATTGAATACGTGTCATAAGTTCAGCCATCACCACCAAATCGATAATAAGAGGAGAAGCCAACAAAGAATCTTCACAAACATTATAAACAGAGATAGATTGACGACCGCCCATGAAGATGTCACATTCGTATTCATCTAAAGCACGTTTGGAATCACCAACAGAAGGTACATACTTGATGACAACAGTATGATCAGGATGTTCTCCAGGCTTGTACAAGATATCATTGGCAGCCACCATATCATCAACCACAGTAGACTTGGAGATTTCCTTGGAACGGAATTGCTTGTGAGAAGACAAGTTCTTACCATCGTTGTTACCCAAGTGATTATAAGAAGTAATGGCAACAGGTTTGATACCGGCATTTACCAAAAAGTCGACAATAGCAGATTTGAATTTAGTTTGTCCAGATTTGAAGTCATCACCACCAATAAAAGCACGTTCACGTTCAGCCAATTCGATAAGACCAGGAACAAAGGTATTTTGAGGAGAACCGTTGATAAAAGGCACACCTTCTTCAATACAAGCCAAAGCAAAAATGGAGGATGGAGCTATTTCATCATGAGAAGAAGCAACAGAAGCCAAAAAGTTGTCAGCAGTATCATTGACACCATCGATTAATTCAGCATAACGTTCAGTATTGGCAGTCCAGACAACAACCACTTTATCCAAACCATTGGTAGCCTTGAATTCACGAATATCGTTGCGAATGTGGTCTACATGAGCACGCTTGTTGTCACCAGGAATCAAATTATCAGCACGATCAGATTGATTGGCAGCAATAAAGTCAGGATAATAAATAGAGGGTAAGGGTTTGATCTTGGCTAATTCATCATAAACTTGACGTTGGAGATCATATTCGAGAACTTGAGCACGTTCCATAGATTCGGCCAAATTCTTACTAGAGATATCCCAACCACCAATAACCAAATCAGAAGGATTCAACATAGGCATCATTTCAGATAAAGGAACGTAAACATCGTTACCATCACCATCAACACCAAGACGAACAGTAGAAGCTTGAGTAATGGAACCCCAGTAGTTTGGTTCATGAACACCTGATTTGGTACGCCAGTTCAACTTTTTCTTGTTGGCATAAATAGAAGCAGTCAAAGTAGTACCATTGTTACCACCAAGTCCAACCATCATCAAACTAGAACAAAAAAAAAAAAAAAAAAAGATAAGTATTTTTATTTCTTTATAACAAAAAAAAAAAAAAAGGACTTACCCAACACGAGGGACAGTACGTTCAGTCTTAAAATGATAAACTTGTTCAACAGGTTCAACAATCATAGATCCATCAGATTGTTTGTTGACCACAGTATTGGAGTAAATGTATTTGGATAAGATATGAGAATTTGTATATTCCACATTAGGAGAGTTGACCTTGAACAGAGGAGTCACGGGAACAGCAGCAGAAGAAGAGTCCATTGGAGTAGTAGAAGAATAATCAGTAGCGTGAGGAGGAGCCATTGAGAGAGAGGAAGATAAAAGTATAAAAGATTGAATAGATAAAAGTTTAGAACTCTTTTTTAGGTCGATCACTGCACCGTTTGAATCCTCTGTGTGGGTTGTGATTCGATGAAAGTAGATTCGCGAACTATCAAAAAAAAAAAAAAAAAAAAAGGTAAGTTTAGTATAAAGAAAGCTAAATAAATAGTGTTTCATAAATTACCGTTTTTTGTAGTCGATCAAATATTAGGAGCGTTCTATAAAAGATGCGCGCCTAAATAATAATTTGAAAGGGTTGATAAAAAATAAAGAGAGAAAAAAAAAAGAAAAGAAAAAAAAAAAGGAGACAACCCTACAACAAGGTGCTATTTAAAAGCGGGGGAATCTGAGTACTTTTCTCCTATTGGTTAAGGCGTTCAAACTTTAAAAAAATTTCTGTATCATGGTCCGCCTCTTTTTTTTGATGAATGAGCCCAACAAAAAAAGAAGGACAATTTGGACAGCTGTCATATGAAAAATTAAAAGCTTAAATAAGTGATGATGATTTTATTTTATTTTTGTTTGTTTATTTGTAAAGAGAAATAAAGTAAAAAGATAATAAAGGGATAATATGCATTGGAATGAATAAATATAAATGAATAAATAGAATAAAAAAAGAAATGAATATAATATATATATAATATATAAAATATATATAAAGGAAGAAAAAAAAAAAAAAGAGATGTAAAGACTATTGTTGTATGCTAAAGTACATCAAGAGAATGAAGGATCAAAAGATAAACTATCACGATAATATGGTATATTATGTTGAAATAATCCATTATTTGTATTGCATCCAGTATTGCTGATAGAATTTTGACGTACACCCTATTTGAAAAGAATGTAATAATAATAAGATCTTTAGGTTAGATTCTTTCAGTATCCGCTGTAACCCCAACCCCACTTTTTTTTTTTTAATCTAAACTTACCAAAGGATTCTTGCTAAAAGATAATCGGATACCCCCTTTGACAGAATTACTAAGAGGATTACCATAAAGGTCTTGTAATGCTTGAGACGCACAATAGACATCATCGAATTCTACAAAACACATTGGTCCATTTGCCTTTTGTCGGAAGGATAATCGTTTATAACCAACACATTTAGAAAATAATTGTCGAAGTTCATCTTCATCAGTATTGGGTGGTAGATTACCAACATAGAGTGTATTGCATGGTGGATTTTGATCAGCTGGATTGGTACTGGGCATCATCATCATCATAGATGCAAAACTACGATAACCATTGGGGGACAAAATACCAGGTGAAGGTAACCCACCATTAGATACAATTGTACTAGGTGTTGAGGCTAATGATGTATTGTTAGTAGTCGAATTGAGATGTGTCGTATTGATAGTTAATCCACTAAATGCTCTACCTAATTGTTGGTCTTCCTCTTTGAATCGATTGTTATTATTGTTGTTATCGATAAGGGATGGAGGTGATGATGAAAAATGCAAATGTTGATGTTGAGATGCTTGTGTTTTGATTAATGTTGATGAAGATGAAGATGATGATGATGTTGTTGTTGTTGTTGTTTTTGTATTTGTTTCGTTATTGGATGATGAAGGAGTGACTTGAGATGCTAATGATGGTTCTACTTGTTCGTACAAAATAGAGGAACCAACATTAAAGAAGGATCCAGTTGATGATTTGTTATCTGTTGTTTGAGATAAATCAAAGATGCTATTGGTGGAGAAACGATGAGAAGAGTTAAATGTATTGGGAAGTCTTGTTGTATTGTTGGATGATGCTGAAGTTGTTTTGATAGGAATAAAAAGATCGGAGTACATATCAGCAGAAGTTGAAGTCAAATCAGTAGCAGGTACGGAATGGAAAGCTTCATAGACAGAAGATGGGTGAGGACCAGTAAATCTTTTTGATGTAAAAGAAGATGATTGTTGTTCTTGTTGTTGAGATGGATGTATTTGTTGTAAAAGTGATGATGGATGAAGTGATTGTTCTTGAGATGCTAACAATGCTGAATGTTGACTGAGTTGGAATGGTTCGTTAGACGAAAGACCACGTTTTGTATGCAAGTTCTTCTTGGCCATTTCTGCTTTAAGTACTGATCCTTTTTCGGCGTCCACTTTTCGTCCACTAATAGTGTCCTTGGCTTCTAAAGCTTCCATACGACTACGAAATTTTGCAAATCCAATCTAGAAAAAAAAGGTAAAAAAAAAAAAAGATGTATTTATTAGTATATTAAATAGATATATTATTATTATTATTAGTATTAGTATTATTAATAACTTACTATTTGTTTTTTGGTATGAGGATTGTTACCCAAAGCAGAGACTGTTGAATCTTCTTCACCATCCTTGGAAGGAATCTTAAGAGTGGCAGCTTCAAAACCAGGAGAGAAGATGAACATATTTTGAAATTCACGTTCTTGCATGTCTTCAGGAAACCCGACTACAAATATGGTGGATATTTCTTCTCCATAATTAAATCCATTGTTGTACAGTGATATTTGTTGTGTCATAGTTGAAGTTGGTTGAGGTTGTAATGGTGGTGGTGGTGGAGGAGGAGGAGGAGGAGTTGGTGTTACTAGTTGAGAAGGTAATAAAGTAAAGTTGGGTGGAATGGTAGTGAGTATTCGTTCATATAATCCTTCGTGAGGTGGAGGAATAGAACCCACTGAAGACATGTGTTGCTTTTCTTTTCTTTTTTTTTGATATCAGTGTTTTGACAATAATACAAAAAAAGAAAAAGAACGGAGAGTAAACGTCAACACAATAATACAATAAATAAGAGTTGTAAAAAAAATAAAATAAAAAAAAAATGAAATAAAAAGAAAAAAATAAAATAAAAAAAAAGGAGGCAAAAGTAGTTGTAAAAAAAATTATCAAAAAAGAAAAAAAAGCTTATATGAAAAATATACGTCACTAATGGATAAAAGAAAAAAAAAAAAGTGAAGTTGTTACACACGCATAACAATACGCACGCTTTGCCCTCCTTCCCCTTTCTTTTCCTCTATCACCTGCCATACTCATTCACACGTCTTTTGATTGGATAAACTCAAACAATGCGATTTCTCCCGACTACGATATCAACAATTTACTGATCATTTTTGCCTTTTAGTAACGGAGAGATTCTAGGGAGGCTACTCTACTATTTTCTACTCCTTGATAACAAATATTTTAAAAAAAAAAAATCATTTTATAGAAATATATCTATCATTCAAAATTTATCTTTTTTAAAATTATTCACTATATATATATATATAATTGACAGAGTGTAAACAAATTTAAAGATAGAAAAATAAAAGACCTCCTTGTTTCATCAAAGACTTGATCCAATCACTAGAGAAATCTTTACATTATACTTTTTCTATAATATTAAATTTAAGTATTAAAAGAACATAACATTATAAGAAAAAACATTGTTTTTTTATTAATGTCAGTAAATCATTATAAATGATCAATAAGAGTAATATAAATGATAGGAAGACTAACTAGTACTAACGTAATGGATAAAATAAATTGATGCCATGTCAGCATTTTCAAAGTATTATTGAATAGTAACGGATTTCTTTCTTTATCACGGGAAGTTATGAATAAAGGCATAAACACAACTCCCGGTAATAAAAATCCTATAGAAATAAATACATCAATATAATGGATAATAGATGATGAATAAAATGATAATGATAATGATTTGAAAATTCACTTACCAAGTACCATCGTAGAGAATCCACCAATAATATCGAATACACTTCCCAATGAAGTCAAAGTCGCACCAAAATAAAGTATAGGACTGAATATTAGACAGGTTATCAAAATATGTTCATTGTCAGAGGGTATCCTTCCATCAGCATTTCTGTTTAGTAAAGTTTGTACAGCATCACGACAAGGATGGATGGCCAACCTAAGCATAAACATAAATAATAAACCATAAAAAAAAATATAGAGTAACCCAAACTAGTAAAAAAAAAAAAGATGACTTTTGTACTTACGGAATAGTAAGAACCATAAACAACCCCAAGATGAGTCGAACTACATTGATAGCCAAATCATCATCAGGAAAGTTCAGTAAAACATTTGCTTGAACATCCTTCCCAAAACAAATATAACCCATAATGGCGAATGTAAAGTTGAGAAGATAGCTGATAGCTGTACCAAAACCACTGATATGTAACCAGGTTGATGATCGTTGATCTTTTGTGCTGAGATAAATACCAAATATATTTTGAGAACAGCCAAAAGATAGAGCCATAATTGCAATTCCTTTGAACATAGAAAAAGATGGTGACACCACTTCCAAGACAATATCCTTCATAGGTGGAGCATAAACAGGTACACGAAATATAATACCAAGTAACATCAAAGGTAAAAGCATTACTGAGAGTGTAGACCATTTTGCTATCTTTGCTGGTGATCGAGAGAGACTGAGTGGTAAGCTCTATAGGTTGTTGGTTTTTTTTTTTAAAAAAAAAAAAAAAAAAAAGAAAAGATATAATGAGTCATCCTTTCTAAAAACAAATAACCATTTTCATCTTGATCATCACGTCAAAAACCTTCACTTACAATGCATAATCCAAAGGCCACTACCACCAATTGTCTATTGCTAAGCCAAATAAGCTGTGGTAAGTAATGATGAAAAAGAGCTGGTAAGGTATCGCCCAACACTACCCATTGTTAAAAAAAAAAAAAAAAAAAAAGAGTGAGAGATCGATATAAAAAAAATGATGAACTTTTTTTTTTTTTTTATACTTACTGATATAATATGAGACAGTAGTAGTTGCTGTATGAAAGAAGATAATAAAATTGCAAAGTTTTTCACCAGTTGTACCTAAAAGTTGGCTACAAAGTCCAGACAAACTATATCGATTTGTTTGAATACCACATTGAACAGTAAGATGCATAGCCAAGCATGTAATAATAGCAACAAAAATGGAACAAACCAAACCAAACCAGAAACCACATAAATGGAGAGCCAATGGAAGTCCAATGATACCACTTCCCATCATAGCATTTGTAAGGTTCATAACGGATGCACCAATACTTGAAGTTCCATAACCAGGTAAAATAGATTGTAATGATTCAACATTTTTGATATTATTGATTGGATTTTCTTGCTCCTGAGTAGATGTGGCACAACAAGTACTAGAGTTTGTGATTGTGCCTTCGATAAAGAAAGAAGAAGATAATGAACTTGTTTCCAAAAGATCTTGTAATTCTGAGGTTTTTATTATATAATCATCCATAAGGTTTTATTTTTTTTATTGGTCAGAAAAATAAAAAATAAAAAAAGAAAGAAGGAAAGAACGATAAAAAAAAAAAAAATTAACGTTTATAAAATCAAGATCAAAAACTTCTGGATCATGTCGGAATGTCAAAGATGTCGCCATTCAAGGTAACTGTAAAAGGTGTTTGCATTTTTTTTTTATGAGATACTGAACTGTTTACACAACAAAAACACACTGAGAAAAAAAAAAGGTTGAAATTTATATATGTATTTATCATCATCAATGATCTAGTGAACCATCTACTTTATTAGATAAGATGAAAGGGGGATAAACTACTAAGTTTCATTCATTGTCTATTTTTTCAAAGGAATGATTCCTATTAATATCAATAGGAATATCAATATGAAAAAGGATGAAACGACTGATTGTCATCTACGAAGAAAAAAAAAAAACAAACAAACAAACAAAAAAAAAAAAAAAAGATCTATATCCGAAAATGGTGGGAAAAATGAAATAATGCGATCAAAAATCTCTCAAGAACGGAAATTATGATCTCCAATGCCTTTTTCTTTTTTTTTAAGGTACTGTACAAGGTCACTCACTGGCTGTAAGGCGGTGTTAGAATCCTTTTTTTTCTTTTCTTTTCTTTATTTATTTTATTTTTTTTCTTTTTCTATTTCTTTTCCTTTTTTTTTTTTTTTTTTTTTTTTGTCTACCTTACATCTATGAATTCGGGGCAATTGTTTCGTCAAGCCATAGCGAAACAATTAGCTCAAAAAACCTCATGTTCAGAAACTTTAGCTTTACGACTACTGGGTACCCCTAAAGCAACCAAACGACAACAATTCGGAATACCTATACCAAAACTTTTACCACAAGCAAAGAACCCTACTCAAATATGTCAAGATATTGCTCAAAGGGTATTATTTACATATCAATAACAAAAAGTTTACACTCATAGTACCTTTTTTTTTATATATAGTTTGAACCTGATTCATGGATTGAAAAAGCAACCGCAAAAGGACCTTTCTTACAGTTTGACCTATCTTTACCTAAATATATTCGACATACTTTGAACCAAGTTTATCAACAAGGTGACACTTATGGAATACAACTTTCACCAAAGAATCCAAAGACGATACTTGTCGATTATAGCTCTCCCAATATTGCCAAGCCTTTCCATGCAGGTCATCTACGCAGTACAATTTTGGGTAACTTTATCAAACGTTCTCATGAGGCAATGGGACACCGTGTTATTGGGATTAACTATCTTGGTGATTGGGGAAAACAATATGGTAATGGACGGTTTTTTTTTTTTGAAAAAGGATTTAATAGATATAAAAACTCACTCTTATTGTTTCTAAAAAAAAATAAAAGGTCTTCTCGCTGTAGGATATGAAAAATATGGTGATGAAAAAGAATTACTCAAGGATCCAATCCAGCACCTTTACAATGTTTATGTGGCTATCAACAAGGATGCAATGGAAAATATGGACGTTGATCAAAAAGCAAACGATTATTTCAAGCGAATGGAACAAGGCTCTCAACGTGAACTTTCACAATGGCAACGTTTTCGGGATATCAGTATCGAATTTTACCGCACCATTTATCAACGACTAAATATCGAATTTGATCAATATTCTGGTGAATCACAAACTGAAGGATATATCAATCAAGTGTACGATTTACTAGAGAAAAAGAAATTATTGACAGAAACAGATGATGGTGGTATTTGTGTGGATCTAGAACATTACAGCTTAGGCAAACCTATCATTAGGCGATCAGATGGTACTACATTATATATGACCCGTGATTTGGCCAGTTTATTGATGCGCTCTGAACTTTATTCCTTTGATAAGGCGATCTATGTGGTTGGAACAGAACAATCATTATATCTACAACAACTTTTCAAAATATGGGATCTTATGAAGAATGGTGTCGATCAACAACAAGAATTATGTCATGCTAATTTTGGTCGTATTCAAGGTATGTCTACACGTAAAGGAACAGTCGTCTTTCTTCAAGATATTTTGGATACTGCTAAAGAAAAGATGATGGAAAATATGCAACAAAGTGACAACAAGTATATAGAATTGATGACAGATGGAATACAAATGGAAGATAAATCATCAACAATGGTTTTGAAAGGACAGGCAGCAGTAGATTATGTAGCTGATCGATTAGGAACATCTGCTGTGATTATACAAGATATGGTGGCCAAACGAATTAAAAATTATACATTTTCATGGGATCGAATGACGGCCGCACGAGGTTATACCGGTGTCTACCTACAGTTTACATATGCAAGACTCTGTGGCATTGAAAGGAAATCTCAAGTGGCTATCAAATCTGATTGTGATACTTCTCTTCTGTTAGAATCAGATTGTGCTATAGATCTTGTTTTGACAATATCACAGTATCCAGATATTGTTCATCAATCCTGTCTATCAATGGAACCCTCTACCCTGGTGCAATATCTTTTCAAATTGTGTCATAGTATTAGTCAATCAACTGCTAATCTACGGGTCAAGGATGTGAATGACATGAAATTAGCTGAAGCAAGGATGCTCTTATTTTGGTCAGCAAAGGTAACTCTAGCAAATGGGTTAAGAATCTTGGGAATGAATCCACTTGAACGTATCTAGGTTGTAGAGCATGAATGAAGTTTTGGGAAAATCTAATTTGGTCTCCGCTGCGGTTTCTTTTTTTTTTTTTTTTTTTTAAATTTGTACATATCTTATTCATTTTATCATACTCCACTTTAGTCATATACATCTATATTTATATAATGTCCAATAAAAACACTTACTCTATAGACAATACTGAATATTCAAAGGTATTTAACCTAATACATTTCTATAATTATAGTTTCCATAACGTTACTTCAATTAACCTGATATTGTTTTTCAATGTAGCATACTTCAACTCGACCACAAAACTTTACTATGGTCAACAAAAAAACACCTTTTCAACGACACAAAGAGGAGACAGAACTTAAGAAAAAGGTACAATTATAGTAACAGTTATTAAAAATATATTACAAGACTATATTTATAGGATTAATACCTTTTTCTCCACTTTTTTTTTTGTTTTTGTTTTGATTGTGTAGAAAGAAAATGAAGAAGCGGCCAAGATATATGAAGATTTTGTAGCATCCTTTGAAAATTCAACATATGATCAAGGCACATCAGGGTTTGTTCGAGCTTCCAAAGGTAAACAAGAAACGGAAAAGAAAATGTCTTATGTTAGTGTTGATCTAACCTTTACAATGAATTTGACTTGTTTCCTTTATACTTGTTTATAATAAATAGATCAGACGAATAGGACATTATCTAGTTCAGCCTCTGACAATTATAAACCAATGTCTTTTGTAAAAGCCGGTGAATCAAAAGCGACTACTGCAATGACGAACAACTCCAGCCATAAACGCACTCACCGACAATCAGAAAAGGATATGGATGATGACGATGACAATGATGTAGGTGTAAAGAATTACAGAAAACATTTACCCGTTATATTATATGTGAATCTCTGATTGGGGTCATGTTCTCTCTACCTTTTTCGGGTATATAGGTTTTAGCACAAATGAAGCAGGCCAAATCAACGAAAAAGCGTCATATGGATTCCTTCCTGGAAGAAATCAAAAAGTATAGAAGGATTATGGGATATTGAAAGAGGAAAATGGGAATATATGGGAATAGTGAAACTGATGACAAGTCTTTTCTTTTAGAGAACAGCAAAATCGGGCAAAAGGACAAGATACAACATCATCAATATCATCAGGTATGATTAGGAATATTGAGGGATGATTTATATTGTTTTAACTAATATGGTTGTGCTTAACCTTATCTATAGGACACGACAATAGTTCTGGTTCTCACGATAATGGTGATCCTCATACAACCAATCTTTTCCTGTCAGATCTTAATCCTGCAGTAAGTGACGAAAAAACAAGAAGAAGAAAAAAAAGTCAAATAGATGAAAGAGAAGAAAACAGTGTACTTGATATGAAAAAAAAATACTGACTTGATACTTGTTTTATCAAAGGTGAACGAGAATATACTATGCGCAGAATTTGGAAAATATGGACCAATAGCTTCAGTCAAGGTTATGTGGCCTCGTACTGATGAAGAAATCGAACGACAAAGAAATTGTGGATTTGTTAGCTTTATGACCAGAAAAGATGCTGCTGCTGCGTTGGATGGAATGAATGGCAAAGTTGTACTTGGACATACAATGAAAGTTGGATGGGGCAAGCCTGTACCATTACCTGCTCAACCTATATTCGGTAAGTCAAGAAGAACAAGAAGGTGGAAGAAAGATATTGTTGATACTTTCATATATAAAAAAAACAGGACAACTTACCTTATTTATTTATGTACAGTATTAGACAAGCGAGACGAACAAAAGAAGCTTCCATTCAACGCCAAAGTGGTGGATCGGGAATCTGTAAGAAAAAAAAAAAAAAAAAAGAGTAGCGTGATAATAGTAGGGAACTAACAATGTCATTTTCTGAATCATAGATTGGAAAACGGACAGAAGTTGTTGTTATTCCTCCTTCAGATATTAACACTATCAAGATTATTCATCGAACTATAGAACGTGTTATCAAATATGGTCCTTTGTTTGAAGTATGTTTTATATCTGTTTATTTGATGGAGTATATTAACTTTTTTTTTACATATTTTTTTTTCTCTTAGGAATTGATTATGGAAAAGGAAGCTAGTAACCCTCAATTTGTATTCTTGTTTGACAGTACAGTAAGTTGAAAATAATGGAACCTTTGATATAAGATTATCACTCATTTCATTATTTTTCCTTTCATCCTATGTTTAGCATCCAGATCATATTTACTACCGTTGGAGACTCTATTCAATCCTACAAGGTGATACTATGTCCAACTGGCGAACTGATCCTTTTCAAATGTTTGATGATGGAGAATGGTGGATCCCTCCAGATGTTCCTGATGTACCGTTTGATGAAAATGTACGTAAAATAGGGGGATAAAAAGCAAGAGAAAGAATAACCTCTTTTTTTACATGAGTATTAAATATTCTAATTTAACTAGGAAACAACGGAACAATATCTTGATACGGATGATGAAGCAAACGAAAGAACGCAACAACGGCTACCAAAGGGACAACTAGGCAAGATTGGACGACGACGATATGAAACGATGCTACGACAAGTAACATATCAACGTGGAACTATTGCAAAACCAATGGCTTTTGCTATTGAACATGCTGATGCTTATGAAGATGTAAGGATCTATCAAAAAAAAAAAAAGAAATACATGAATGAAGGATGATGTATGTGTTATTTTATTAATTTTTGATATTCTACAAAATGTTTTACAGATCGTCGAAATTACATTCAAATCAATCATCGGGCCTAATGCTACTATCACATCCAAAATTGCGCGACTCTTTCTGGTATCAGATATTCTTCACAACAGTAGTGTACATGTTACCAATGCTTGGCGATATCGTGATGGATTTCAACGTCGATTACCTGATATATTCAAACATCTCAATGATATTTACAGATCTATTACAGCAAGATTAAAAGCAGAACAATTCAGAGTAGGATAAAAGAAAAAAGGAAACAATTTATAATGATATGTTATTAAACTCATCTATCTTCTTATAGCGATATATTATTACTGTTTTAGGAGCATGGGAAAATTGGATGGTGTTTCCAAAACACTTTATTGAAAAATTGGACTCAATATTCATGAAGAAATCCGATCAGATATTGGATGATATATCAATCAACAACAAGAATGATGAAGAACACTCGATTACAGGTGTAGACTCCAATAACGAAAAGAATGACAGCAATGATCAAACGATACCACTTGCCTCAAACAACTCAATTGACCAATCTGCTGGAAATCCCGATGGTGAAGCCTTGGACGATATTGATGGTGAAGCTTTGGATGATATTGATGGTGAAGCTTTGGGTGATATTGACGGAGAGGCCTTGGATGATATTGATGGAGAAGCATTTGACGATAATGAACATTTATAGCTTTAATTTTTTTTTTTTTTTTTTTTTTGATCATTTGTATCGGAAATTCAATAAACTCCAACGATTTTAACCTTTCTTTTTTTGATTTTTTTTTCTTTTCTCTGTAAAGCTCATTATACCAGACGACTGTCTTCTCACAAAGCAATATTGTAAAATGGATAATGCACAACTGGAAAAGGCACTTTTGGAAATGCCTATTGAAACATTATTGACGGAAATTCCAGAAATACAAAACTCAATGGTGCACTTGATTCAGTCCAACAAAGATATGAAAGAATATGACCCGAATGGCGAGGATACAGATTTGACCACAGCGATTGAAGAAAACAATGATCTGATTCAACGACAGAATAAACGTATAGATCTGACACTTCATATTATTCGACGACGTGTGAATGAAGCAGCTGCAAACGCGATTGAAAGCACGGTGGAAACATTTAGAAAACGCTATCTCACCAATGACGATAGCCACAAAGAGACAGTAGAGAACGACAAAGACGATAATATGAATAGTGATGGCGTGTTTCTATGATAGCAATTGATTTTTTTTTTTATTATTTTTAGTATAGCTTTAGTTTTATTTTACATGTTTTTTTTTTTTTTTTTTATGTGAAATAAATAAAATGGGTGAATGTTGGAAAAAAGGGAGACCTTGTATATTATGAATTGAAATATATTTCTTTTGGTTAGGATTAATATGAATCGGTTCATCTATGTGAACAAGATGATACTGAGTTGAATTTATTTATTTGTATATATATATATATATATATATATAAAAGTCAAGTAAAATCAAGGTAGTGACGATAAATCATACGATATCTGTAGGGTGATAATAATAATAATAAAAGGGATATGATGGTAAACAAGATAATGAATGAAGATCTAGATTTGACATAGTAAAGGAAGATGATGGATCAAATACATACATATAAATGATAGCAAGTCAGAAGTAACCTACATATAAAAATGGGAGGATATTTCTATACTACTATGGAGACAAGGAGAGCATGAATGTATTACCTAAAAATATGTTAAAGAGAATTGTACTAATGTAATCCTGGACATTATACACCCATCCTGTTCAAATCGATGCGGTCACAACTGATATCGTCATTCCATATCATGAAGCTGTTGTAGTTGAAAAATAGGTATGAAGAGTATCTACTTTAGTCGAATCATCAATATAAACTAGAAGTTCATACGGATATATGGTCATAGGACTATACGTAGTCTGTTTGGTCGAGGAGTTGTCACCAGTTTCCTGCATTAAAAATCGGTTAAAATAATACCTTTTTTTTTTTTTTTTTTTTTTTACCCTTAATAGCATGGATTGATGTTTTTGGTTCCATTTGAAGTAATAAGTAAGATGAAATTCTCCAGCTATATATATATATAATATATAAAAGAGAATAAGTAATATATCTATATATATTCAAATAAAAGGAATGTAGACTTGATTAACACTTTACGGTAGTTCTTCGAATGTGATGCTTCTAGTTCTGGTCTTTTTTTCGTTACTAACTTGCCACTTTCTACAGTTAAGTGCTTGAGTATATCGTCGTGTACAATTGTCAATACTTTTGAATGAAGATCAGCATCGTAATTAATTTTGTTGGTGGTTTTAAAGATAATTAATTGTAAAACCTGTAGAAATAGATGATACAGATTAACAAAGATTAATTAATTTTTGAATATTTTCCTTTTCTTTTATTTTTATTTCTTTATTGTCTACTTGCAGTTGAAGGGGTAATACGTAGATAAGTCACCTTCCTTGATGTATCGTTTTGCATTGTTGCATTTAAATACAATGAAAAAAAATTGGAATGAAAAAGTCTGGCTCAATTTTTCATTTACAATTTTTGACGGCTGTTGAATTTACCAATGGTGCCTTTGTCAAAAATAACCACCCCTTTTTAAATACTCTTTTCTTCTTTTTCTTTCTCTTCTATCATTGTTTTATAATACATGACATACCGATTATGACGTCTCACAGCAATTTATCCTTATCACAAAGATCCAGAAAAGGAATAATAGAAAATGGTACTATACACTATCAGAAGAATTCATTAGAAAAGGATCGATTTCTATTACTCGAAGAATCTAGACTTGGTAACAGTAATAATGAACTCAAACCACCAAAATCAACATATTACAAACGACAATGTCCACTTCATTGGGTAAAGATGAATAAAAAAAAAACAAACATTTATATATTATTATTTATAACTTTTATTATTATTTTATAGAACTCAAGTACTTTACGGTTCATATTTATTGGATTAGTCCTCGGAATCTTGATATTATTATTCAAGATCTTCACTTTTACTACTTATTTCTCTTTTGTAACAAAACCTCCTCGGATTAGTGCACCAGATCGAACGTATTATAATGGAACACATTATTATGGTCCTACTGTGATATTGATATCTTTGGATGGGCTTAGACATGATTACTTGGATCGGGGTGTCACTCCTCACCTTACAGAATTTGGTAAGATATATATATATATATATATATAAAATGAAGAAATTATATATCAACTTACATGATCATTTTTTGTATGATATAGGATCTAAAGGAATGAAGGCCGAATATATGCTTCCATCATTCCCGGTAAAGAAAATCAAAATCCTTTTTTTATCATACATATTATCCTGACTGATAAATCGAATGATAACAATTTTATCTTCTTTATAGTCTATCACCTTTCCTAATCATTGGACTTTGGTTACAGGCTTATACCCCGAAGCACATGGTATTGTTGGCAATGAATTCTATGATCCAAATTTACAAGAAACATTTATTCACAAGAAACCTATCATTAGTACACAACCAAAATGGTGGAGTGGTGAACCGGTAGAATGATTTTTCAATGTAAATAATCGAACGAAGTAACTGATTGTATCCTTTTTTTTTTTTTTTTTTTTTTTACTAGATTTGGAAAACTGCAAGTTCTCAAAACAAGCTTTCTGGTGTAGTAATGTGGCCTGGATCTGGCATTCCAACTATGAAACCAGATTATTTTCTCGATTATGATAGGAATTATTCTGCCAAAATGAAAATGGATACTGTATTAGATTGGCTGGATTTACCAATTGAAGAACGACCTCAAATGATATCTGTCTATATACCACAAATTGATCAAAAAGGACATGGTGGTGGACCTGATGGACCTCAGGTAATTCTTATCCTTTTAATGATTATCCAACGTAATATATTTATATATTTTCTATAGATGAATATGGTACTGAAGAATATGGATGATGCTATCGGGCATTTACTTACTGGGTTGGAAGCTCGAAATTTGAATTCTCATGTTCATGTAGTGATTGTAATTGATAAATATAAAAATATTCTCTCTCAATATCAACTTTTTAATTATTACTATTATTATTTTATTTTCTATTAGGTAAGTGATCATGGTATGGCAGCAACACATAAATCTCGAGTGATTTATTATGATGATATTCTCTCAGAACAATCTTTATCTTATTTAATGGAACGTGAAGCATGGCCCTTATTGAACCTTCGACCCAAATACGATGCACCATTACATGCTGTTGAACAAATATATAATGAACTTTACAACTATACTCAACAACACGAAGCACATTATCGTGTATTTTTACGACAAGATGTACCAAATCAATATCATTACAGCAATAATGATCGAATTGCGCCTATAGTTGTTATTCCCGATGTTGGATATTCTTTTCAACTTCACAAAGAATTTAATAATACTATTGATGGTGATTATAGGCCTCGTGGAATTCATGGTTATGATAATCAAGCAATAGAAATGAGGGCAATCTTTATGGCACGTGGACCTAGGGTGGAAAGAAAATTTGGTCGTGGTGCAGTAGTCAAGGCATTCCAAAATACTGAAGTATATGAATTTGTAGCAGGATTATTGAATTTGAATACTAGTCCAAATAATTGTACTTTATGTAATGATTTTGAACCACTGTAATTATTTTTATCTTGGTCTTTTTTTTTTTTTTTTTTTTTTTGGAAATAAAAAAAATCGGATCTCCGTTCTTTTTGCCTCTCTTCTTTTTTTTTTTTTACTTTTTTACTTTTTTACTTTTTTTTTTTATCTCCTTTTTATTCCGCGTATACTTTCCTTTTTGTTTCTTTTTCTTTTGTCAATGCAAGTCAAAAGAGCTCCTACCATACCGAAGAAACCAGAATATTTGTCTACAAATGACCATCATGATGTCAATATCAATACTCCAACCTTAGCGAACAAACATTATTCTACAATCTCAACTACACAGCAACAAGGTTTACACAACCAACAGAATACACAGGGCCACACTCCTTTTCATAGCAAACAAGTCCACTCATCGGAACCAAGCAAATCTTTTCAACGGAAACAAAGACCTACACCTACCCTTTCCATTCACCATCTCTACCTTTATTCTTCATCCTCACCAGTCAACTTATTAGGAACCCACAATCATGCTTCCTTTTCACCATCTTTTGTTCCAACTGGAAATAGACAGAGATCATCATCAAACCTACAAACACCAACTACTCAAGTGAAACCAAAATCTGAAGCACCACCCAAGCATCCTAGGTAACATTCAATTATCCTACTTTTGATACACCTAGCATATTCACTGATTCTTTTTTTTTTTTTTTTTCATAGACGACCAAGTGCCCCACCAATGGCGAGCCCTAATGGGTACTTTAAATCTTCACATACAGATCAATGGGATTTCGATTTGCTAAAAACACCTTCATCACAGCAACAGCAACAACGAAATGCCTTCAAGGACAAATTCAACAGTGCCAAGAGGACTGGGTCTGATTCTTTTGAAAGCAAGCCAATGCCTATGGATAATCATTCAAATCCTACTTCAACCACAACCAAAACAACTCCCCTATCTGATTATCAATATGTAGGTTTCTTGATGATTCTTTTTTTTTTTTTTCTTTGTATACTAATTTGACATTTGTTTTTTTTTATTATTATTATTTATAGTCCCCTCATACTACAGGATCATCAAATCACAAGGCTAGCAGCGGGAAATATGATAGTATAATTGCTCACCTTGTTGACATGGGATTTAATACCTCTGATGCAAGACAAGCGGTGGAATCTAGCAGTGATCATACTCTTCAAAGCTCATTGGACATCTTGGTACAAAATGGATCGAAAAATGATGGGCGAACCTCAGAACAACAGGGTGTGAATTTTCAACGAAAAAAGGCTGTATTTGAACAAACTACAACAACAAAACCACCAGCTCCACCTCCATCATCATCGCATTCAACTTCTCGACATAAGAGTGGTTATAGCAAACCTCAGCTATATCAGTCACACAATATTGATGATGAAGATAGCTCTTCTGACGAGGATGAAAGTTTCGTGAATGATCAAGAATGGCAGCGACAACAGGAAGCTAGACGACGTGACTATTTGAATTCATTGAAACAACAACAACAGCAGCAGCAGCAACAACAACAAAAGAAATATGCATCCAAATCTACTCAATCATCATCAACGGCGTCAAGTTCCCCTTTGTATAGTAACAAACCAATTCCAACTGAATCACCATCAAAATCTTACACGTCACAAATACCAAGTAATCAATCAACAACAGCTCAACATCCTCCAACCACACGCACATCATCATCAACATCATCAACAACAAAATTCTCTACATCACATCCAACATCCACTCCCAACATACCGACATCACAATCCGTAGGACCCGATATTATCAAGAAAGCAGTCAAAGCGAGAGCCCGTGGAAATGATTTATTCAAACTGGGTTATTATGGTGAGGCTGAAAAATCATACAATCAAGCATTGGCTCTACTTCCAGAAAAGAATGATGTAGCAGTGGTGATCAGCAACAATCGAGCAGCAGCACGTTTGAAGAAAGGGCAATACCGTCAATGTATCATGGACTGTACTTTTGTGATTGAATGGGCTCGAATGAAAAGTCAAAACGAATCGAAATCAACGATCACCTTATTGGAAGGGGATATTAGCATCCGATGGCATGATCAACTTGGCAAAGCATTACATCGAAAAGCGGAAGCGTTGGAAAAAATGGTACGGATATCAGAAGCATTACAGGTGTATGAAGAATTGATCAGAATGGATGCTGGTGATATGAAAGCAATCAATGGGATACAGCGATGTCAAAGTAAGGAAGTACCTCAACCACCTCCACGACCAACTCCAGCCAAATCTTCAACAACAACGGATACGAACTCCTCAGCGTTCCCTGGATTGGATTATAGTATCTTTGAAATCAAACAAGTGTCAAATAATGAGCCACCTCCAAGCAAAGCAGTAGCAGCCATGCGGGCAAGGCAAGCGGAACTAGCCAAGGAAGAAAGCGAACGGCAAGAAAAGGCTGATATAGTGAATGCAAGGATTGATACTTGGAAACGTGGACGCGAGAAGAACATTCGTGCACTTTTATCTTCTTTGGATACTCTTATGTGGCCTGGGGCTCAATGGCGTGGTGCTCCCATCAATGAATTGTTAGAACCCAAAAAAGTCAAGATCTGTTATATGAAAGCCATTGCAAAAGTACATCCTGATAAGGTAAGAATAAATAAATCAATGGATTATATGACCCAAATGAAGAAAGAAATATATATATCTGATTTTTTTTTTTTTTTTTTTTTTTTTTTTTTTTTTGCGATTTAGTTACCATCATCAACCACTGTGGAACAACGTCTTTTGGCAAGTGGGATTTTCTCCGTATTGAATCAAGCTTGGGATGATTTTAGATCGAACAACAAAATATAGGATAGATAGGATAGATATATTATGTACATATACATATTTACCTCTCATTATTTTTATTTTATTTATTTATGTTGATGGTTATGAATAAATAAATCTATTGATACTCTATTAGAGTTTTTTTTCTATCGTGTAAAAGGAAATCCTTGATGAAATACTTTCGAAGAGTGATCCAAAAAAAAAAAAAAAAAAAAAAAAGAGATACAAAGGTAATTCTTCTTTATTAATACAAATGGAATGGTCAAATACATAATACAATGACATCAAATGATAAAGTAAAAGTAATGATAAATAAGAATATAAAAGAGAGTTTTCTACTTTGTCCTTCCCAATCCAGAAGTCGATCGATTCAAATCGACTGCATGATCCATCCAGGCACTAAGTCGTCTTGAAAACCAACTAGGAGTCCGTTCATGTCGATTAAAGTTGTGATCGTCCGTTGTATATTTATCGCTACAAGTGCTTCTACTACTATGGCTACTTCGACTATCTAGCTGGCTACCTTCATTCTGTGAGTCGATCATCAACGTTGTCGGCATTCTTTTGTTGTCAGTAGGGAGTGTTGTTTGTGGATCTCTTTCATTTTCTTGAACTGTGATGATGGTGGATGATAAGGATGTTGAAGTCGACTTGAGATGTTGTTGACATGATGATGTCTCCGTATAATCAGCTAGTGCTGCTGTTGGCGACGCCTTTTTCATTTGAGTATCTGTACACTTTACTGGTTCTTCCTCATTTGGTCTATTTTCGCAAGGCTGAGACAGAAAATGGGGTTGTTGCTCTTCCTGATGATGATACTTGGAACGATGATGATGATGTTGACGCTGATGATGGTTCCATATACGTCGAAAGAGTGCACCCAACTTGATCAGTAACCGAGCACGTTCTCTCTTTGGCGAAGACTGTTTACGGGTTAGTGATGATGGCAAAGACGGTTCTAGGTGCTCCTTGGTGATATTGTCGATTTGTTTAGCGTTTTCGGGAGGTGGTTGCGAATTGGGTAATGATGAGCGAGATAAGGAACTTGGTATTGAAGAAGTAAAAGATGGCGATAGTGATATCGATTCTGACATGACGGTGGAGACTAAAGATGAGGTTGAAACCAAAGAAGAAGAGGAAGATATATGTCGATGATGATGTCGATGCAATCGAGCTGATCTTGTTCTTGTTTTTCCAGTATATAGATGTGATATTTCCTTGCTTTTAGCTTGATGAATGACGGAATGACCCTGTCGTTGACTCTGACGCTTATGATGTTGATGTTGATGATGCAAGTCTGAAGAATCGATATGGTTATGGTTGGTTTCTTTTTTGTTAACAGATAACTCAGATGACGATGAAGAATGCCCATTGTTTTGATGATGACTACGTTGATTAGGTTGTTGAGTGGTTGTTGAATATTTGGGATCAATATTGGGTGTGTTTTCTGAAACTACTTCAGTATCTGATTTTTTGCTGGAAGTCGTTGTCATAGTCTTTCTTGATGACATTTTCAATCGATCCATACGTTCGCGAGTAAGATAGTAAACAGATAGAAGAGGATGATATGCTGCTGGAACTGTTTGTGGGTCGTTGTAGTTTCCCCATATAAAATGACTTGTTGCTTCTGATGTTGTATTATCAAGAGTATGATCAGATGAGGATGTGATGGCGGTCAATTTGACATCACGATCAGCAAAGGAGGCGGCTTGAATTTCAGAGACATGAGTGGCAGAGATGCGATAGACTGATGATTGTAAAATAAGTTCCATTTTCATTCGGATATCTTCCACTGTACCCAAATTAAATCCATATGTCATCCGTTCCAGTACTTCATTGTCCAATGGTAAGCTGAGTGGTTCTCGGAATGGAAGATGATTTCGAATATAACCATTTCGACCTTGATTTAACCATGTGTGTCGAATGATGTCGGCTAAGGTGATACGTTGTTGAGGTTCAGAGACAAAGATATGAGATAATAGATGATGACATTGAGTAGACATATGAGCAGGATAAGCAACTTGAGCACGTTTGATTTTTTCGTGTAAACCAGGTAAGGATTTATCATCAAAAGGAACAGAACCAGTGACCATCACATACAAAACTACACCAAGACTCCATACATCAATTTCAGGACCACGATATGGACGACCATTGAGCAATTCTGGGGCGGCAAAATAAAGAGAACCACAATAAGTTGTTAATTGACGTTCGGGGCAAAAAAGATTGGAAAGACCAAAGTCAATAATTTTGATATTTCGACCAGAACGATCCACCAAGATGTTTTCAATTTTGAGATCACGATGAACAATAGAATTTCGATGCATATAATCCAGCGCGCTGACGATTTGACGACAAAAATGACGAGCATGTCTTTCTGATAGATGATCCCGTTTGACAATATAATGTAAAAGTTGACCTCCACTAACATAATCCATCAAAAAATAATAGTAATGGCTGCCAGCAACCATATCACGAAGATGTACGATATGTGGATGATTGAGTAACATCATGAGATGACCTTCACGAATAGCACGTAATTCTCTTGATAATTCTTTTGGTGTCAATTTTCGATTTCGAGTTGCACGGGGTACAATCTTGATCGCAGCCTAAATGGAGAATATCAAAAAAAAAAAAAAAAAAAAAAAAAAAAAAAAAAAAAAAAAAAAAAAATTAGTCGGATCAAAAAGACTGAACGCATAAAAAAAAAAAAAACTTTACTTTATCACCAGTAACAATATGAACACCAAGTTTAACTTTGCCCATAGAACCTTTACCAAGAGTTTGTTTGAGAATATGATTTCCAACAGCCTTAACAACACTATGTTCGTCCATAGTTACAATATCAGCTTCACGCTGCCATTCTTCAAGTAAATATGGAATCACCATGGTGAGTGATTAAGTATTGACTGTTTTGATATTATATAATATTTATATATTATACAATAATAATATTAATAGTAACAGTAATAATAATAGTAATAATAATAATAATAAAAAAGAAAAAAACTATATAAAAGAAAAATAAAAATAAAGAAAGAAAAAAAAAATTGGGAAAATTAAAATAAAAAAGTACCCTCCCAATTCGGGGATTTTCAAAAGGAAGTAGACCGGAGAAACAAAAAGTGTATAAACTCTCTTTTTCTCATTTCTATAATTCTTAGTTTCTCTTTTTCTCACCCCCCTCACCTTTTTTTTTTTTTCTTTACCCCCGTTCTTTCTTCAAATGACCGGTTTTGGAAGAGCTTTACGTACTGAATTCCTTTTAGAAGATGGTTATACTCCTTTAAATCATGGTTCTTTTGGTGTTTGTCCCAAGAGTATACGACAATATTTACAACATTATCAGTTACTATCAGAACTGAATCCTGACAAGTTCTTACGCCTTGAAATGTTTCCTCTTCTTCAAAAAAATAAGAACCGTCTGGCTGAATTACTTCAATGTGATCCTAATGAATTAGTTTTTGTTATAAATGCAAGTTCTGGTATCAATGCTGTTGTTAGAAGTCTCATGCTTCGTCCAAACGAAAAGTTATTATGCGTAAGTAAATATATATATATATATATATAGATATATCATCTTTTTCTAATCTTTTTATTTATTTATTTATTTATTTATTTACTTTATTTTGAATATATAGTTCAGTACCGCATATGATGCCGTGGAGAAGACTTTACACTATGTACAAGATGCCCATCAAGCCGAACTGATTCCAATCCAACTAAATTATCCTATGAGTGATGATACTATTTTGGAAATTATTCAACAAACTATTGTACAACATCATCTTCCTTCATCACCCATCAAACTATGTGTAATGGATGCTATTACTTCAGTACCTGGTGTACGTTTCCCTTTTGAACGCGTTGTCAAGTTACTTAAAGAATATGATATTTTATCCTTGGTGGATGGTGCTCACGCTATTGGTCAAATACCTTTGGATCTACATCAAATTGACCCTGATTTTTTTGTCACTAATTGTCACAAATGGCTCTTTACTCCTCGTGGTGCTGCTATTCTCTATGTTCCTCGAAGAAACCAGTATATGATTCATCCTACTATTATCAATGCCGCTTATCAAAATCATCCTGATTCTCAACGTAATGATGATGTATCAACCGCTTTCCAACTGGAATTTTCTTGGCCTGGTACTATGGATTTCAGCTCCTTTATGTGTATTGAACATGGTTAGTAGGGAATTAAAAAAAAAAAAAAAAAAGATACTTACTCTTTTTGTTATTAGCTTTGGACTTCCGTGAAACTCTAGGTGGTGAAGAAAAGATTCAACAATACTGTCATCAATTAGCTGTGGATGGAGGAAGATTGGTTTCTGAGATACTTGGAACGAATGTAATGGAAAATGAAGAGAACTCACTAACAGTTGCCATGGTGAATGTACGACTCCCACTCAATCCTCATGAACGTTACTCCGGTCAGGAAGTTGTCCAGGCCATTATATCCAAATTACTTTATGAACACAACTGTATGGGATCACCTTTCCTCCATAACAACACATGGTATGTCCGACTTTCTGCTCAAGTATACACCGATATGGAGGACTTTGAAGTCATTGGAAAAGCTTTGCTCAAGGTATGTCAGGAATTGGAACAATGATTTATAGCTATTATCCATTAGTGTATTTTATTAGTCTACAATTTCACTAGTTTAGTACATGTATTATTTATTTATTCTATCTACCAATCAAATAAAATGGTTTCAATCATTTGCGATATTCGAAATATATGTATTGAGAGCAAGGGTCCATAAAGTATTGATTTAGAATCCATTGTATCAGGTTTGATTTAGTTGTCTGAGTGTAAGGAATAGAAGAATGTAAATCATCCAGTTCAGGATCATCGACCCAAATTTTCCGATAGAAATTCTCTTGGAAAGTAACACGGCAACGATATGAGTCAAAAAGAAAAAAAGCGTCTCGGAACCATAAAAGGAAATAATATACGTAACAGTATTTTTTTTTTTTTTATTATTATTGATGACTTGAAATATGATACTAAGAGAAGGGTGTGATGATGATAGTAATAAATATATATGATAAATAAATACAATAATAAAACAAGTTGGTATGATGGTAATATGAGAAGAGAATTAAATATTCTATAATAATGGGTGTACAAAAAAAAAAAAAAAAGAATACTAGTTGTCCTAGACCCTCTTTGATGAAGCAACAGTAGAAACAGAAGTACCACCCAGTAGCCGAGGAGCATATTTAGCCCAACCCCAAGCTTGAATCTTGCGTACAACAGCAGGAGTGATCGCAGTTGTAATGGCCAATCGAACAGGTAATAGTAAAGTCTTGTGAATTCCATAAGCTAATAAAAAGATAGATGTCAAGGAAGCTTGTTCGTCATCAGTTGAATCCATCTTATTGTTGTTGTTGTTGTTGTTGTTGTTGCTGACATCGTTAGTCTCTACATGTTGTTCCGTCTTATTTACAGTAGTTGTGGTTGTTTTGAAACCGAAACGTTCCTTTGTTTCCTGGTATGTATCCTTGATTCCCTTTTCTAAAAGTTTCACCTTGTCAGATCCAAGTAATTGAATAGCTGCAAAAGTGAATCCGAGGTCAACAGCACCAATACCGAGATAAACAAGAACACCTGCAGGTCCATATTTTTTGGCCAATTGCTTCAGTTTTCCTTCTGCAACAGGTTTCGTTGTAGTTTCTGCTACTTGTTGTTGTCCTGACAAGGTAGGTTTTGAGTAATAACGGAATGCTTGTTGTCTGGAGAGAGTGGTATTGAATGACGAAGATAAAACAAACCGATTTCTATATAAGGGAACTCTAAAAAATGGCTTTATAATATTTCGTAGTGACATTGTTTTAAAAAAAGACAGAGAGAGAGAGAAGAAATAGAAAAAGAATAAAAAAAAAAAAAAAAAAGGACCAGGGGAGATTACACTCAAAAAAGTGACAGTCGGAGATTCCCAGCTTTTTTTTTTCTTCTGAAAGGGGAAGGCGTGACTGTAAAAGACAAAGGTCAAAGAGAGTTTTCTACCTTAGATGTCCTGAAACTAGTTCTCTCTTTTTTCTTTAGTTTGCTTCTCACAAAGAGAAATCACATTACGTATATTTCGCCATCGCGATGACAAGCAATCGGGAACTTCCACCTAAAGAAAGTGCTGTCTTTAGGAATTTGTTGGTAAGTCTTTTTAATTGACAACATGATGGGTGGACCCAGATCAAAAGGCAAAACACGAAATTATTTAATTTATATACTTACTTTATTCTATTTAAATACTTAGAAAAACTATGAACTTCGACAATATAAAAAAGGTCTCAAGATGGCTGATTCTATTCTGAAGAAATATCCTAACCATGGTGGTAATGTCTTTTTCAAATTTATACACATCTGAACCAATTTTTTTTTTTTTTTTTTTTTTGGAAGGACGTGAATAACATTCTATTCTTTTTTTTTTTTAATAGAAACTCTTGCCATGAAAGGCATCTTCTTGAATAACTTGGAAAAGAAAACGGAAGGTTATGAATATGTTAAACAAGGTGTACGTAACGACTTAACTTCTCATATTTGTAAGTATCACTTTAATCAATTTACTACATTTAAGATGAACTCATCATTACTTTGTTTCATTTTATTTATATAGGCTGGCACGTTTATGGATTGATGCATCGTGCTGATAAGAATTATGCTGAAGCCGCAAAGTGTTATACGCAAGCTTTGAAATACAATAAAAACGATGTCAACATTCTCCGAGATTTTGCTTTACTACAAACGCAACTTCGTCAATACGATGCTGCTGTGGTAAGTTGTGGCTCGCGTATGTATGTCAATGTATTCACATCTTTTATATTTTGATTGTAAACAGGAAGCTCGTGCTCAACTTTTGCAGCACAGACCTACAAACCCTCCATTCTGGATTGGATTAGCAGTATCATACCAAATGGCTGGCAAACCTGAAAAGGCTCTGGCTGTTTTGAAATCCCAAGAAGAAGCTATCAAGGTAAGTTTTTCGAGAAAATGAAAACAAATAAAGAAAAAAAAATGAGAACTCATGATGGCAACTACAATAGGATACTCCTGTCAACTATGAACAATCGGAATTACGTATGTATCACAACTGGTTACTTGAAGAAACTGGTGATTATGAAGGGGCTTTGGAACATCTAAAATCAATTGAAACCAAGGTTATGGACAAACGTAGTATCAAGGAAAAGCGTGCTCATTATCTTACCAAACTTGGCAAGGTCGAAGAAGCGGAATCTGCATACCGATTATTGATTAGTGAAAACCCTTATGATGGTCGTTATATCTCTAGACTTTTGGAATTGAAAGGCTTTGATAAAGGTAATCCATTATTTGAAGGATGAAAGGTCATTGTTCATTGCTAATTTTTTTTTTTTTGTAATTAGATGACAAAAAATCAGAAGCAAACCAACTTTTAGCTGATTTACTTGCACAATATCCCAAATCAAAGGCAATCGAAGATTTATCACTTCATTATGCAGAAGATGATTCATTCAAGATTAAGGCTCAAGCTTCTATTCAAAATGCTCTCCGTAAAGGTGTCCCATCCTTGTTTGCATCTATGAAAAAGTACTATGCAGATGAAAAGAAACAAAAGGTGATTGCTGATTTGGTGGAATCCTATAGTGTCTCTTTGGAAAAATTTGAATCGTTTGAAGAAAAAGGTATTTAAAAAAAATTAATTAAAATGCGAGACAGGAAACTAACATACCCTTTTTTTATATTGCTAGGCGCCAAAGAGCCTCCTACAGCTCTATTATGGTGCCTTTACTACCTTGCACAACACTATGATTATCATCGTCAATTGGACAAGGCTCTTTCGATCATTAACAAAGCTATTGAACATTCACCTACTGTGGTTGAACTCTATATGACCAAAGGACGTATATTGAAGGTAATATTTCAAGGAACAAGAAAAAGTATTCAGAGGACTCATGTTTTTTTTTTTTTTTTTTTTTTTTTTTTGTTATCAGCATTCTGGAAAACCTCAGGAAGCAGCAGATGTGATGAATGATGCTCGTGAACTTGATTTACAGGATCGATTTATTAACTCCAAGTGTGCCAAATATATGTTGCGTGCTGATCGAGTGGAAGAAGCTGAAAAGACCATCGGCTTGTTTACAAGAGTAAGTACTAATAAAGAAAATCCATTTTTTTTTATACTGACTCGTATTCTGGAATTTAGCGTGAAGTGGATCCTATTCAAGACATGACTGATATGCAATGCCAATGGTTTATGACAGAAGAAGGTTACTCGTTTATGCGACAAAAGAAGTATGGCAAGGCATTGAAACGGTTCCAAGCTGTGGTCAAGTTTTATGATGATTATTTTGAAGATCAATTTGATTTCCATGCTTACTGTCTTGGCAAGTCAACTTTACGTGCTTATGTCGATATGTTGCGATCTTCAGATCGAATGCGTGGACATCCATACTATGTCAAGGCAGCCAAAGGTGCAGTAGCGGTATATATGATCTTGGCTGATATTCCAAAAGAAATCTCATCTCTGGATGAAGCCAACATGACTGAAGCAGAAAAGAAGAAAGCAAAGAGTAAGGCTCGCAAGGCGGAATTAAAGGCCAGCAAGGAAAACAAGGAAAATCAAGACCCTACAACGGCCACAGTAATCGAAAGCACCACAGCAGACGACAAGGATCAACACACCAAAGAAGAACAACATACCAAGAAGGAAAGCAAAAAGAAAGTGGATACTGATCCTGAAGGAGAAACTTACTTGAAATCAACAACCCCTCTGGATGATGCCTATAAATTAGTGGAACCTTTACTGCAACTGAATCCTGAAGACGCAGACATCCAACTTTTAGTATATGATATCTATATTCGACAAGAAAAGTGGTTGTTGGCTATCAAGACTTTGAACAATGTTGTCAAATTAAACAAGAAACATCCTGACCTCAAATCCAAGATTGAACAATGCAAAAAGGCTGGTAAGTCCAACCAAGGAAATGAAGGAGATGGAAAGTAGAAAGACTCACTTTTTTTTTTTTTTTTTTTTTTTTTTTGGTAGTTGCTTCTCCTGTGACTCCTATAGATCCAAGACTTCAAACTTTGATCGATAGCCAACTTAACAAGCTTGTAGTTTAGACCTTTGTATTAGTTTTTAGTCCGCGTAGCATTTACACTCCCATATCTTTTTTTTTTTTTTTTTTTGAAAAAATAAAATAGACCTTTCATTTTTTGATCTTCAAAACTAAGTGTCACCTTATAGCCGTCCTTAATTTATTTTTGGCGCATGATTCTCAAAAAAAAAAAAAAAAAAAAAAAAAAAAAGAAACACATATAAAAGTTTTATTCCCGTGATAAAGGTATATAATATATACATAACAAAGATATATATATATTAAAAAAAAAAAAAAGAATACAAACAATATCTACTCTATCTAATCTATAAAAAAAAAAAATCACACATCTAGGCCCACTAAAAAAAAAAAAAAAAAAAAAAAAAAAAAAAAAAAAAGATTGAGGATTCATTCTTGATTCATTTGAAAGTACACTTACCAAGTCACGAAGGTATTTTCCAGTTGTCATCCATTCCATTAGTTTCTTGTTCGCAGCCAAAGCATCCATCTGTTCATATTGACCAAGGATATCCACCAAGCAATCATTGACACCCTTTGCCATTCCCTTTGCATCACCACAGACATAGATTGCTGCATCCTTGTTCACAATAAGATCATAGAGAAACGCACCATCTTGCTTCATCAAGTCTTGTACATACATTTTGTTACTGATATCTTGAGGTCGGCTGATGGCCAATTTCACTGAAGTAGCTGTTCCATCCTTGACAAACGCATCCCATTCTTCTTCAAACAGATAGTCCTTGGAGCGATCCCTGCAACCATCATAAACATGAATAGAGCCAAATTCCTTTAGAATATCTCGGTTGGGATGTGAACCAACACCACCCATCTTTTGTCGAATCAATCGTTGAGCTTGTCGATGTTGAACAAAACCACGCAGAGGTGCAATACCAGTACCAGGGCCGACAAGGATGAGAGGTCGAGTTGTATCTTTGGGTAAGACAAAGGCATTGTTGGGACGAGTAAAGATTGGGATCTTGACAGAATCGAGAACTTTATTATTATTATTATCGGTAACTTGGTTCTTGAAGGGTACTTTGCCGGAAAGTATATCTAACCATGGAGTCGCTACACCTTGACGTTGTACACCTTTTTCTGTTGTATATTCCACTACATTAAACACAAATTGCAGCTTTCCTCGATGTTTCAAAGGTGAACTGGCCATAGAGTAATAGCGAGGTTGATGAGGTGGTAACAAATCCAATAAACGAGACACAGGAGGTTGACAAGAAGGGAATGTCGTCAAAATGTCCAAAAGTGTTGGTGTTTGATCACGCACTGCATTGAATTGACTGAGTCCTTGTTTGCTACAAATATACATCAATCGTGTTTTTTCATCCACATCTGTCGTGTGATCGGCTAACATGCGTAATAAGGCTTTACGAGGACTACTAGTGAGATCCACACCGTATCGTAGAATATCCGCCATTGTCACTGATTTTGCTTTTTGTAAATGACTAGGTAAATCTAATACAAAAAAAAAAAAAAAAAATTGAATACATTTTACTTTTATAGGTTGATATTGATAAAACTTACTTTCACCATTGACATCATGTAAAGTTTCATACCCATCAGTTATAGAGGGAGCCAATCTAGCAATCAATGCATGAACCAATTCTTCATCATTAGGAGCAATCACACCAAAAGCATCACCAGGTTCAAAGTTAAGTTCTTCGTCATCGATTTGGAGTTCCATTAATAAAGTTCGTTTCACTGCATCATCTGTCGTCAAGCATTTCACAGAAGATATAGGAGCATATACCAGAGGAGTAGGCGTGACAACAAATTCAGGTACCTGACCTGGAACCAACGGAGAAGAAATAGTTTGAGCCAAAGAAGTCCATTGTGCAGTAGGAGCAGTTGCCTTGGGTAAATTTGTCAATTTGATACCAGGAACTAGACCAGAATAATCCAGTTCCAATGCCTTTCCAGTCTTAACTTGCTTGATTGTCTTTTTTTCAACGAGAGAATTGGGTAAATCCAAATACTTTTCCACACCATTAGGTAAGGTTGTTTTGCGACCCTTCATAGAATATGGATCAACTGGCTGATCAGGGGTGGTAGAATTAGAAATGGTTGTCGTCTTGAGAGTTTCAGTCACTTTATCAATGGATGTTTCAGCAGGAGCGCCAGAAGATTCCAAAACCTTTGGTAAAGCATCCCATAATTTTTCAATCCAAGGATCTACTACATTTTCCAAACTGATATATAAAAATAGATAGAAATGAGTCATAATATATAATTATGATAATGGTTATTATTACTTACCCTTCAGCATCATCAGCAAGACCCTTTTCATAAAAGATAGTAGCACCTAGTTCTTTACACTTCTTTTCAATACGTTTAACAGTATTGTTAAAATTGCTGTAATTAGTATCACCTAGTCCCAGCAAAGTAATTTGACGATCGGCAAAATAGTTCTTGTCCTTATTCCTTCTTAAGAAGCGCCAAAATTTGAGTGCATTGTCAGGAGGATCACCATCACCAGTATTGGAGGAGACAAAGATAATAACACCAGCAGTATCAATAGTACTCTATTTTTATTATTATTATTGGTTTTCAAAAAAAAAAAGATTTTAGTTTTGAATGAAAAAAAAGTATAATAAATTGATATTTACCTTTTCATAGTCATCCATAAGTACACAAGTACCTTTATAACCACGTTGAGCTGCTTCTGAATGAATGTTTTTGGCAATCCATTCAGCACTTCCAGTTTGAGATGCCCATAATATCAAGTACGATTCGGCCAGCATGAGAATTGTATATTTGGAAAAAAAAAAAAAAAAAAAAAAAAAAAAAGAAAGAAAATGAAATATCTCTTTGATCCTGATTTTTCATTGGGATGATTTAAATCTCAGATGGAAGTCGAAAAAAAAAGAACTTTGGGTGACTGTCCAGGATATTCTATCTTTTTTTTTCTTTCTTTCTTTCTTTCTTTCTTTGACTCTTCTTCTTTGTATTTTAAACTTATGGATTTCAATTCTTCTTTAGACGATATTATAAAACGAAGAAATAAACCAACAAGAAACGAATATCGACAACATTCTAATTCCTCATCACGTGGCTATTCTACATCATATAATAAATCAACTTCTGCTTCAACAAGGTACGACAGCCGCCAAAATGGTTTACAAAGTAAGACAGATCTTCGGTCACGTATAGGACGTACTAGAACAAGTGAACGTACGATAGACAGAACAGATTTACGAGGAAGGATAGGTAAACGCAGTGCTCTGTCTATTTCCAGCTTACCCAACCGCCAACAACGATACCAATCTCGAAGCAGTAGTCATCGCTACAGCAACAATAGTGATGACGATAACAAACAACAACAACATGACACCCATTCGATCATTATTACAAAACCAGTCTATCACCCTAATAGCCATAAATCAACAATAACTACTTCAACTATATCAACACCTATCGGTTTCGGCATTCAAAAGAATACTGATGTGGACCCGGCTTCGATTGTCATTACAAAGACCTTGAGCAAATCAGATCAATCATTATCGTCATCAACGAATATGCAGAACCAAGAAAAGGAGGAGCTGCAGAAGCAACGACAAGAACAGCAGCACGAACAGATAAATAGAGCGGAACAGTCATTGCAACAATATTTAAAACAGCAACAGGAACTTCAGGAAAGACAACAACGTGATCAACAAGTGCAACAACAACTTCAGAACCAACAAGAACAAATTGAACAATTAAAACGACAATTAGAAATATCTCGACAATCTTTGACGCAACAACATACCATGCCACATGTCAATAGTGGTAATTTTTCTTTTATGCCCATCTCAGGTCGTCCTCCTTCTAACACGGTTATTCTTAGTAATCTGGATCCTGCTGCAACGGTCAATGATGTACAGGTAAAAGATGAAATGACTCCTTTGCTTTTAACATTCACTGACCTTTTTTTTTTTTTTTTTTTGGTTCTATAATCAAATGAATTGAAGGTTGCATGTGGTACGTTTGGACCTGTCGTCAGATGTGAATTAGTTAGGGATCATCTAGGTCGATCTTGTGGTGAAGCCGAAATAGAATTCTTAGATCATCGATCAGCATTGGATTGTATAGCAAGATATGACAATGAAAAAGTCGATCATCGGATCATCAGAGCAACTCTTCGACATCCACCTGCATACCCTACTGTACGTTCAACTATTGCACCTACTCGATCAGGATATAGAACTACGTAAGCAATGATTTATCTTTTTTTTCTTTTTGAATCTAACTCTTTCGTTTTACTAGATCACAAGTCCTTTATACAAAGAAGCAATCATGATCTATATTGAAGTATAGCGTTTGACTGTTCCCATCCTGTTTTATTTCTTAGAAATAGTAGTAATAGCAGTAGTAATAGTAGTGTTGACCCTTCTTTTATGTTATTACTTTTGTTTGTTAATCAGTATATGTGCATGTGTATGTTGATTTTCCTCTTACTGATGTGTCCATCTTGATTCTTTTTTTTTTTTTTTTGATTAGAAAAAAATAAACATGATACCTATTCTTTTTACTTTATCCATATATATATATCCATGCCAAGTTGTCGTTTATTGATTCAAAAAAAAAAAAATGCTTGCTATACATATATAAATATATACTTCATAATATAAAAACAAGAATAATAAAAAAAAAAAAAAAAGAGGAGTATTATATAAAAAAGATAATAAAGGTCAGTATGTACAGAATGGGACACAAAAAAAAATAGACGTTGATACTATTCACTATATATATATAAAAGATATACTAATCTGAATTATTCATCAAGTCAGCCATAGGGAAGGAAGGATCATCCATAGGAGGTAACCGGAAACGATAAGTAGCCATAGCATCAGGGGTAGACAAAGGTCGAGATTGTTGATATGAAAGCCTTGCAGGAGAAGAAAGAGATGCTGTAGGGGAAACGGGTGGTCTGAGACTATCATCCACGGATGGTTTGAGACTATCATCCATATTATTATTATTATCATTATTGTTGTTGAAGAAAAATGGATCATGATCTCGTGATGGAGCTGATGAACGTCGTGGATAAGTCAATGATGATGGTGCCAAAGTAGAAAAAGCTTGATTCGTATTGCCACTACTGCTGTTGTTACCATAGGAAGTTGCTGTATATTTTGTGATGATCTTCTTGAGAGCATAAGGTAATGCTTTCCATGGAAATACCTTGAGATCCTTTTCAATATTTCTTGGTTTGGGATTGGGGAATGACATGATCAATTTGAAGAAATCAGCACTTTCTGCTTTGCATTTGCTGACGGTCACGGGACGAAATCCTTCCAAATTGCGACGTACACGATTTTTTTCTTCCACCGAAAATCGAGAATCCATGAGATGCTCCAATAGTTGAATACAATCCACAGAAGTAATAAACCAATCATTTCGTTCTTGCCAGTAAATACATGAGACTATAGTAGCTGGATCTTGTACTGATTGTGTTGCATTCTTATCATTATTGTTGTTCCCATCCTTATCATCGTTATCATCATCGTCATCTTTGAGGAAGGTATCAGCTATTGTTGCCGGAATAGATATTGTATTATTGATTTTGTTGTTGTTGTTGTCGGTAGGTGGTATTTTTTCAAACATACATCGAATATCATGATTCGTTCTTGTTCCATAGAATCGCACTAGACGTCTTTTGTTTCGCCATTCTTCGGGAGACCAATCATCGATGATGGAATCCATATTACCAATGATATGAAGATTGGTACGACATGTAAGCGAAGGATAAGGTTGATAGTTGGCCAAAGATGTTGTTGGTACATGAGAATTTGTCTTGTATGATATATGAGAATGAGCGCGTGTATGATGATTAAAGTGTGAGGATGATTGAATAGTGTTAGGTTGCATATAAGGGTATTGTAACACATTGGCACGTGGAGTATCCATGGTCTCATTGGAAGAGGTAATTGTTGGATAGAAATTTCCTGTCAAGACGTTTGTGAAACCCGAGTTTGTAGGGAAGATATTGTTAGTTGCGATAGTAGTGGGAATAATATTATTATTATTATTGTTGTTGTTGTAAGAGAGATCATTCATAGGTGACATCTTAGGTCGAAATGCATATTCTATTTAATACAAAAAAAAAAAAAAAGGAATGAATGATATGATGCTTTTTTGTATTTGATAATAAAAACTTACTTCCATATAAAGAAGGGGATAATTCTTGTTGATTTGATAAACCAGAATAATTAGTGACAGCTGATGTTGGAGATGATGATTGATAAAATGGATTATAGATACAAGATCGATCGTCAAGGGTTGTTGATTTTTGATCTATATTTTCCATTTTGTTAGAATCAAAAGTAAATTCAGCTAGAGGCCATGTCACAATAATATTATCTTTATCCAATAAACATAAATAGATAGGAATGATTGAACCAGTTGCACCAGTTTCTTCAGGAGTTGGTACAGTAGCGACAAGAGTAGTTACACCTTGAGATTGAACCATTTTTGTATCAACTATCAAAGTATTAAAAGCAAGTCTTGGAGTAAATTGACCAGTAAAAAGATATTGTACCCAAACAGTTAAAACAGTTCCAGCCATTCCATTTGAAGGTGACATCTTGATTAATTCTGGGATACGTTGTTGTAATAAAAGTATTTTTTCATTTTCCGGTTGAGACCAATCTTGTTCATTTTTAATCGATCGAAGTAACACTATAATAATAATAAATAAACTTGATCATTTTACTAACAATATTATTTACCTGGATTTGATAATGTTGGTGATGATTGATGAATCATTTTTTATTCACTTGTAATAGAAAAAGATGGTTTCCAAAGAACTGGTCAAAAAGTTGATAATTAGATATATAAAAAAAAAAAGAAAGTAAAAGAACAAAAAGGAAAAAAGGAAAAGTTAGCTTCTTTTTTTTTTTTTTTTCTTTTTACTTTTGACTTTTTCTCATTCCAACCAATCGAGTTAAATCACTGTATTCACTGTCCGATCCTTTTTTAGTAATGTTGTCTATAAACTCCTGGGACTCTTTTTTTTTTTATTATTTTTTATTCATGCATCACATAAAGATCATCTTACGGTTTTTTTTATTGTTATTGATCATTGTTTCAAAATATCATTTTCACATGTAACTTTATTTAAATTAGAGAATCATGTCATTATTTCACTATCCTTTTTCTTTTTTTGACAGCTATTTGCACTTCAAAAAAAAAAAAAAAGAACGCTAGTCAGATGATGATGGTCTAGATAGGCGCAGGAAATCATTTCAGTCTCCGTCATAGAATCGCATGGAATCTACCAAGTAAATGATTTGCTACAACGTGTACAAAAGCATGATTTCCCAATGTCAAAAATAAAAAAATAAAAAAAAGTATATACTTATGATGATACATAAACACATGTTACAACAACTGTCATCGATCAAAAAATTTATTTGATATATAGTATAGTCTTTATTCATCAAAAAAAAAAAAAAAATTCAAACTATTCTATTTTCTAAATATAGCTGATCGATTGATAAAGCTGAAATGGTGAGGTAACCAGCACAAGGAGGATCCCGTCCAAATTTTCCATGACGTTGCATTTGTCGTAAAGCATGTAATTCAATGGGTGGCGTCATTTGAATTTGTCGTCCAAAATGGTTGGTGTTGATTTTGACAATACAATGTTGTTTGATGGCGTGTACAGGAAACTTGTAACGACAACTATGCACTGGTGTATATGACAAAAAAGTAGCATGATGACTGAGATAATACCAATATTCTTTTTTTATTCGTTCTTTTCCTATTTCATAAACCCCTATACTTTTCACACGTAATGAAGGATTAGACGAAAATCGAAATCCACAGAGTTTGACCTGTTGAAACCGCTGATAAGGAAATAAAAGTCGACCATGATTTCGTCCAAATGTATATGTCGTATAATTATCATCCATCATGTCATTCTCTTGTTGTCGGTTATCATCCATTAAAACACAGTCCAATAAATCTAATTCTTCTAGATCTCGGCATCGAAAAGACAAAGAGTCCATCATAAACGTCGTCAACTTGATTTCTTCCATAAAAAGACGCTTCAAAGGATGTTGATGTCGTTGTATTGTCGTTTGTGTTACCTGTTCTAACGTGCCGAAATCAAGTCGTAAACTTTCCAACTGAAGACAGGTGTCCAGAATAAGGTGTATATCGAATGATCCATACCAGAGGCGTCCAGATAAGTGAAGATCCAAAAGTTGAGTAGGAAGATGTGATACGTATTCTAGAGGTTCATGAGGACTGTTCCACCATACAGATAATGAGATAAGATCTTGACCACATATATGAAGATCCAAATTGTCATTCATTCCAATCTCTTGAACAATTCTTGATTTTGGCAACCAGCGATTAGAGGTCTCCAACTTGTTTCTTGATAGTAAATTTTGATAGAACATCGAGTCAATTACCACATTGAAGAACCTAACCGAGTATAGATGAATACATTGAGTCACTAGAAGATTTGTCATGGAGATATGGAAATGAGGAGGGAAACCAGAGATGTGAGATGATTTATGCCACCATTCTAATTTTTCCATATGTGGGTATTTCGTAACGATATATGAAAGCCATGCTGTTGAATCATCGATATCATCTAAAAAGGACACTTCTTGTAACTTAAATTCATGTAGTGATAGCGATGGCAATGATGATGATGATGATGATGATGAAAGCTTGGTATCGTATAAATCGTGATGCTGTTGAGTATTAAGTAAAATTGTATGGACAAGTCGAAGGGATTCTAGATCAGGACATGATTGGTGAATGATATCGATATGATTGGTGGAGCATTGAAATTCATCAAGAGAAAGGTAAAGCAATAGTGGTGTTGCTGATAGAGCTTCCAATACCTGTAGAGTCAGTGTTACATCAAACATACAACGTAGAGTGAGGTGTGTCAGCTTCGGTGCATGCTTCATCAAAATGGGTGTAATGTTGGTAGCTAAAATAGATCCTCGTTTCAAACATGGCCACCAGTTTTCTGTTCCAAGTCGTTCTTTGGTATTTGAAGTTGAATGCCAATGAGCGCGTCCGTCGATAATGAGTTGTTCTAATTTTGGGCACATACTGGGTAAGAGATTCAATTGTTTTTGACTAATGTTTCCATCCTGTATTGACAAAGACCGGATCCAAACTTGTCTATTCATAGTCCATGGTGTTGAAGTAGTAAGTCGTAAACAATCATAAAAGAGTTGGAAACTAGGCGGACCAAGGATAACAATATCCTGGTAGAGAAGCGGCATAAAGCGTGGTAACCATGTTGTAGAAACTACAGAGCATTCAACAAGATCCTGTCTTTTTGAAATAAGGGACCAACATATCAGTTGAAATATTTCATATGGAAGAACTTCTAAGGTCATTTTGAATAAGAATGTAAAAAAAAAAAAAAAAAAAAAAAGAAAAAGAAACAAAAAAAAAAAGGAGATCTATGCGTAATGAATTTGATTCGTGTGCGAACCTTTCCCACTCCGCATGGTCATTATGAATTTGTGATAAGATTTCAAACTCGCGTTCATCCCTCTTTTTGCATTTATTCATCTAGTCACTGCTTTTTTTTTTTTTTTTGTCTTTTGAATGATTCTCCCTTTTGGTTTATTCATTAAACATTCGAACCACTGTCCTTGCACTGTAATATCACATGGAGTAGTATGTAGCTCTTTATAATTTTATAATTCACTCCAAATTTAGATCGAATATAGATGAAATCATTCTCTTTCAATTATATTAATAACAATTTATATGTTACCTCCTAATTATATAGAGTAAAATAAAAAAAAATAAAAATAAAAATCAATAATCATCATTTCTCATCTAATAATGATCATCATCCAATAAAATAACCACCATTAAATTCCTCTCTCTCTCAAAGAAAAAAAAAGTAATCTAATACCATCTACAGTAATACTACTTTACTGCTTATTCTTGTCATCTAATGTGCAATGATGAACATCAAAAGATTTCATTCGATTTTTCGAAAATTTGCTTGATGACCCTCTGATAATTCGTTTTTTTACAGCTAAAAATTTGGCTGTAGAATCCAAAAACTGATCCCATTTTTTTCATCCTGCAAAACTTCGTTTTTTCTTTTCTCGTTCAGAAATCACCATCATCATCACCATACCAAATTTGGAAGTAACATAAAAATAAATCATTGATCTTTTCACTTTACCAAAAAAAAAAAAAATTATCAAGTTTCTGATTGGCTACTATTTTATCCCAGGTAAAAACTCAGGAATAAGAGTGGGAATTTTTTTTTTTTTGGTACCTTTTTCTCTTACTTTCGTATTCTATTCTGTTACTATAATATTTATAGGTAAAATAATGATATTATTATAATGAACTTTTTTTTTTAATACTCACTACTTTTTTTTTTTTTTTATAAATCAAGAATGTCAACCCCGACAACTACGATAACGCCACCACCAAAATTGACTTGTACCAATATGGATTTGGATAGTCTTCTTGCTCAAGAGATTGAAGAATTGAATAGAGATTCACCTGAAGACCGTAAAGTTCGTGAAGCTGTAATACTAGACCGACCTGATCCAAATGGGTTTGACGATGACTCTAGTTCTTCTGATGATGATGGTGGCGGTCGAGGAAGAAGACTCAACTTTTTACGCCTTCGACGTTCAACCTCTCCTCATCACCATCGTGGTCCATATTATCGATCTTATGCTCCTGGAAGCGACGACTATGAAGACGATCTATCCATTCGAGATCCACAACTATTTGAAATCACAGAAAAGAATCGTATAATTGAATATCAAGACACCTCTTCTTCGACAACCACTGACAAAGATGAAGACGTCAACATACAGAAAAAGGATCGATCTTCTTTGTCTCGACGACGACCTGCTGAACTCTGTTTTTCGGATATACCTGTTACCACCACGGATCCTGATCGTATTATGGTTCAATTTGATTATGGTGCTTCTTCAACACATGTTACCAAAAAGAAATCAAGAAAATATCTAATGGCTTGTGATTTTGGCGAACAAAGTTTGTATGCAATGGAATGGGCCATGGGATCCTTATTACGTAGTGGGGATATCATTCATGTAGTCAGTGTCATCAGTATGGACGAAGATTTAGAAGATATGGATGATGATGAAAAGTATCGTTTATGGCAAGAGGTAATAATGATATATTAAAAAAAAATGTAAATACTCATCTTATTTTCTATAGTTGGATCGAAATTCAAAAACATTGATCTCCAAAGTGAAATCTATTTTGGAACAACAATTACTTTACAATATCAAGATCAATATTTATTCTATGGCTGGCCACACACGTGAATGTCTTATGAACTTGATCAAGTCTATTCCTTTGACAATGGTTGTTTGTGGATCAAGCGGCAGAAGGGCACTAAAGGGGTAATATCATTATGTCAATCATACTTCTTTTTTTTTGACGCTCATTTTTTTTAATTCTCTATGTAGTATGTTTATGGGTGGTGTTTCAACTTATTTGGTACAAAAATCGCCTATCCCAGTATCCGTGGTTCGACCTCAAAAGAAGAAAAAGAAGAATACCAAGAAATTGACAGCAGCTCAAAAACTAAGTCAAAGTGTACGTGATGGACAATTGAAGGTGGATGAAATGGAAGAACCAAGGATTCCTAGTATCAATAGTCATGATGATTATTAATTTTGTAGTTTTATATACCGTTTTATTATTTAATACTATTTATTATATTTACAAAATAAACTTAATATATATATATTATATGTACATGGATGTATTTTCTTTTATTTTTTTTTCTTTTTGATTGAAAATTGGGAAAAATAAAGGTAAGTATGATTAAGACTAAGAGAATATAATGGCTACTATGACTAAACTAAGAATCATCAGGAATAATCTTGACATGAATGCATTTTGTTGAGTTTGAGTTTGGAAATCATTGGAAGCGCCACCAATGGGAAAATTCTATTAAAATACCACAAAAGTTTAATTACGATTAATTTCTTTCAATCATAATCCACATCAATCTACTTACAAAACTGATACCAAAAGGGAAAAAGCCAATACCACCAGTAAATGTCACATTACGGGAATTGTATGTGCCACCTCTTGCATTTTGCCCAAAGAAAGATGTCGTAGGTCGATTGGGATCTCGTAGTGGAGGAGGTCTTTGACCAGCAGGTCGTGTAGGTATGGATGGATCAGTTCTATTATCATATAAGAAGTTCTATAATCAATATCATCATGATCCTCCCTTTTTTTTTTTTAAGTGTTCATTACCTTGGATCCTTTTCTTCTCTTCCTCGTCCATAAATCGGAATCACCTTGTCTTTTCCACACCCAGCTTTACACACAGGACAAGTGGGATTACGTGATTGAGCATTCAACCATTGTGCCAAACAAGACCAACTACATCAATGAGAATCATACAATGCAATATAAATAAGAACTTCTTTTTTTTTTTCACCAACTCGTTCCTTCTACTTACCAAAATAAATGTCCACAAAGAGTCAAAACAGGATGAGTAGCGGTATCAAAACTATAGACAATAAAAGAAGAGAATATGAATGATTTTGTTCTGTCTATTTATGTTCCTCCAAAAAAAAAAAAAAAAAAGAATATATTACCATATATTACATTCGTAAAATCCATCACCATTAGATGACCCATGTTGTAAAGGAGTCGTACCAGACGACAAGGTGTTAGATTTTACGTTTGATGACGAGGTTGCTGTTCTTCGTCGAAGTTCATTGGCATCATAAGAGAAGTGCTGTCGTTTTCGTTCCATAAAAAGAGGTGGTTCTGTTGAAGACTCTGAAGATGTTCCAACTGCCCTTTCTTCTTGTTGATGTGGTTGCTGAATTGTTGACGGTATTTGTTCTGCTTCTTCCTCTTCCTCTTCAACTATTTCTGTTATTGTCGTCCTTCTATGTGAATGATTAACTTGATGTTCGTCATAAGAGTTTTCCACGGATGACTCCATATTTCAATGATAATCTAATGATATATTTATAAAGAATTGAGTTTACTCCAGTATATATGATTGTTAAAGAAAATAATAATAATAATAATAATAATAATAATAATAATAATAATAATAATAATAAGGATATGAGTTTTGTGAGTAAAATGGGAACTACAAGGGAAAAAGGAAAAAAAAAAAAAAGGAAAAAGCGAGAAAAATAAGTTGGTTTTTGAAACACCGGATAGAATTTCCTATTATTACTACTTTTTTTTTTTTTTTTTGAGAGCAGGATTTTTGTTTAAGTTCATCCATCACTAAAAAGAAAAAAAAAAGGTATCTCTTTTATGACATATAAGTCTATTAAAGAGAAACAGTTATCTTGAAAGAATACTCAAAAATGATGTAAATATTCTCTTTGATACGTCAAATCACACTATATTTATGCACTCTCCGACAAACTTTTTTCTGGTCTCGCGCACAAATATCTTTTCTTTTTTTTTTTCTCACCTTTATTTCCATTTTTTTCTTTTCTTTTTTCTTTCTTTTTGTTTCTTGCTACTGAACCTTCCTCTATTGAATACGTTAAGTGGTCATGTCTTCTTGGTGGTCTTTTGGCGCTGTAAAGAAGGTAAAAAGAAAGAAAGAAAGGAAGAATTATTATATAGTACACTAAGTTGTATTTGTTTCATCTAAAAAATTTACCCTTTCCTTTAGGAACAAACCTCTCCAACACCAACCACTAATCATGCTTCTCCAACACAACCTTTCAAAACCATGAGCACTGCTTTTCGTAGAGGTGTACAATACAACAGTAAGCGCGTTTAGTCCATTTGCAATACATCTTCTAACTTACACTTTTTTTTTTATCTCCAGTGAAAATAGTTATTCGTGGTGATGTCATGACAGGGAAATCTACGCTTTGTAAGTCTTATATGATAAGAAGAAAGTATTACGGTACGTATAATTCTTGGAACTAATATATATTTTTTTTTTCTGAATATTATAGTCAATCGCTTACAAGGGTCTGAATTCGAAGAAGAAACATATCAATCAACACCACAAATACAAGTCGCCAACATCCCTTGGCATTACAAAGGTACTAGACAAGTTGAAAAGAGAATTAAAAAAAAAATAAGGAACTCACATTCATTTGTATCTTTATATTTTTTTTTTTGTATTGTAGACTCCAATGATATAGTCAAAATTGAAGTATGGGATGTAGTAGATAAGGCTCACAATAACAACACGAAAAAGGATACGGGTATCAAATTGGAACATGCCTCTACTAGTAACACTACTACATCAACAACAACGGATCAAGCTACCTCTACGCCTTCACCATCAACAGATTTGGCTCTAGATGCATCGACTGTAGATGTATATCGAAATGCCCATGCTGCTTTATTTATATTTGATATCACCAAACAATGGACTTTTGATTATGTCAACAAGGCACTTGATTCTGTACCAGAAAATGTGGCCGTGCTTGTATTGGTAAGTGTAAATTAGAAAGAAATAAAGGTATTACTTAGTGATGCACCTCATCTTATTTTTTCTTTTTTTTTTTTTGGATATCAACTATCTATCAGGGGAACTTTATGGATAAAGAGTATGATTTTTTTTAAAAAAAAAAAAAAAAAAAATTCGGGAAATGAAGTTCTAGGACTGATCATGTGTTTTTTTTTATCAATTAGGCGGGTGGTCAGTGTGGATGAAATACATGCAACTTTATATGAACACAACAAACGACGTATAGAAAAGGGGACCATCAAACCCAACTTGATCCGATATGTTGAAATCAGCTTGAAAACAGGTCTTGGGTTAAAATTTATCTATGATTATCTAGGTGTACCCTTTTTGCAACTTATGGTAAAAGTCATGAGGAAGAAAGAGATCATTCTTGTTTAACGCTACTATTTATAGATGGAAACCCTTCGAAAACAACTTGAACTGAAAGCTACAGATATTCTCGATTTATTAGAAACATTGGATAAGGATGACGATGTACCGGAACATATGCAAAGGCGGCGAGGACAAGATAATTTTGATCAACGTAAGTTAATTTCAATTGACACATAATCTTGATATCTGATATCTTTAATGATAGCTTCGGAACCACATTTGGCAAGGCAACATGATGCAATGAAAATGGCATGGGATGAGGAACTGCAAGAGATTGCTGCTGATCGTAAGTCATATTCTCTATTTGGAATTACGGGATTACTCATTCTGTGTCTTCTTTCTTTTTCTTAGATGAACCTACGGCAATAGATAATGAATTGGGACATGAGCGATCTAATCCAACTCCTCCTCCACCAACAGCTCCTGTGAAAATGAAAAAAAGGCACGGATCACTTGTTTCACCAGATATCCAACCTCCTGCGGTGGATCAGTTTGATGCTGGATCTATAGAAGATGATTGGTTTGGTGATGATTCGGTAACTCAATCAACAACCATGCAAATCCCTCAGCAACAAGATCAGGACAACAAGAATGAAAATGACGATGATGATGATGACAACATACCCGGTAATCCTATGGTGACAAGAGATGAAGATGTGGCCTCTGTGGAATATTACCAAGAGAAACAGCAAGAGCAACAAATAAAGTCTACCACAACACATACATCGATATCACCACTGGCGCAGCAACGCAGATCGAGCCAAGAATCAACGACAGTTATGGTGATGGTACCTGAAGAAGATATAGATGATGAAGATACAAACGATGGTTCAAATGACAATAGGAATAACCTTGGTGGCATGATGGCATATCATATGTACCAATCGCCTGTTTTCAAAAGTGAATTGAATGATGTGTGGGCAGCTCATGGAACTATTGGCGGTAGCATGAAAACCAGTGGCGGCGGTGGAATCAACGTGATACAATCTGACAGTGAAGATGAGGACAACATGATACGACAACCTATGAATACGACACCTTCCGACTTTGATGATTATCAACATCGATTCGACTCCTCTTCTTCTTTTACAGGCATAGATGGTAGTGGTGGATATGAAGAAATAGGTGGCGCAAGTCATGACAACCCTTGGTCTCAACCTACTTATGAAAACTTTGATGCTAATGATAAAGATCCGATTCGCTACGTGGAACAACAGGAAGAAATGACTGATTACGGAGCTCCAGCCGATGTACCAGACAAGGTAGACAAAATAATAATAATAAATAAATAAAAAAAAATATATAAGTCTGACTCCTCTTCTTTTTTTTTTTTGGATGGTAGACTTCCAGTACAGACAAAAAGGCCAAGAAGAAGAAGAAGAAGAAAAGCAAATCAGCGAAGATAAGTACAAAATCATAGTGGATCGTGATTAGTTAGTTTGAAATACATAACGTAGATGGGTTGAATATATAGTTTTATTTTTATTTTATTTTATTTTATTTTGTTGTAATAAAGAAAACATATAGTTAAATCACAATGAAACTAAAAGATAATATATACTAATAAGAATAAACACAAAAAGGTAAAAAAAAAAAAAAAAAAAAAAAAAAAGGAAGTGCAGATCGATAAACGGTGGGATCAAAAAAAAAGTGTCATGATGATGATTTGGGAGTCCCAAAAAGGTGTTGGCTTGGCACAGGAAGGTAGGAGACCAATAAGAGATTTTTTTTTTTAAAAAAAAAAGGAAAAAAGAAAAAAGAAAAACCACTATACAACTAAATAAGATAAATAATAATGATAATAAAAAGAAGTAGGTTCCTTGTTTCCAAGTGGGCATCAATGACAAAAGTGGGAAGGCCAGTATCTTCTTTTCCAAATCATCAGCGCAGACCAAAGGAGCCATATCAAAGAGAGTGAGAGAAATTTCAAATATAAATAATAAAAATAATAAAAAAAAGTCAAACAAAATGTACAATGGTATATATATATAAAAAAGAGAGGAGGTCATAGAGGAGGGAATAATAATATAGGGGACATAGGTGGAGAAGTAGGATCTTGAGGAAGTAAAACAAAATCATTGGTATCAAAAGTAAAATCATCGGGCATATCATTGTCAGATGCCAAGAAAAGTAAAGGAGAGGACTGTATTTGTGGAGCTGCCAGATCAGGTATATCAATGGGAATAGTAGTAGTAGTAATGGTATTAGTAAAAGATGCTGAGGTGCCACCAGTGACTACCGCGCTATTTGAGTAGGATACAAAGTGTTCGAGATCGTCCAATACAATATGATCCTTGTCAGGTTCTTGTCCAACATTGTCCATAGACGAAGAAGTAGCAGTAGAGGAGGTAGGTGGTGGGAAAGGTGGTGGTCGAACAAGCCATGAGTGCGGTTCCACTTTAGAAACTGGTGGTGAAGGTAATGACCAAGACTGCCGCTGTTCTGTTGTTAAAGGTGTTTGTTCTAAAGTTGGTGAAGTTGAATTGCTAGTGTTGGTTGGTATCATGGTGGTTTATTGTTTATCACCTTCAAGAGGCTACAGTATAGACAATGTTGTGGTAAGTGTAATGGTAAAAAGAATTGTAATAACAACAAGAAGTACAAGGTAATGATAATGACAATGGCTGTATACGACTCCACTTTTAAAAAGAAAAAAAAATACTGTTTTTTTTATTTTTTCAAAACAAAAAAAAAAAAAGGAAATGGATCCAAATAAAAAAGAAGAAAAAAAGTGAAAAGAAAAGGAAAGAAAAAGAACAGACGTGTTGGAACACGTTGACGACCCTTTATATTTTGAGTCTCATTGACTTTACTTCATTTTGGGTCTCCGTGCGTAAGTTGCAAAATAAAAAAAAGGCGCAGCATAGCTCTTGCACATTACCATGGCAACCATTATCCATTCAAAGGAAAAACTTCAAGTGTAACCTTTCTCAAGTCAAAGCTCCGATGAACCTCCAATTCAGGGGGGGTCAATTCCTCTTTAGGGCGTAGATATAAAAAGGTTTGGTTTCATCTTTTCGTTTTCTCTTTCTCTCCTCTTTTTTCATCTTTTTTTTTTCTTTCTTGTTTTCTTTCTTTTTATTTATCATCCTTTTAATTATTTGATCACAGAGATGGTCTCTTCTTCATCCGTCAGGTAATATCGAATAATAAATAAATTTTGAACTACTCATTGATCATCATCTATCTCTATAGAGTTGCTGTTCGAGTTCGACCAATGACAAGTAAAGAAAAAGAGGTTTATCAAGATCGTAAAGATTTCATTGATTATATAGCAAACGAACCACAAATCGTTGTTGGTCAAAAGGAATCATTTACATTTGATCATGTTTATTCACCTATGGATAATCAAGAAACAGTTTATACCACATGTGTTCTACCTTTAGTTTACAAATTTTTAGAAGGGTAATAATAAAAATATAAAATAGATGAAAAAAAAATAACAATGCCTTTTTTGTACACGGACAAAAACATGATACACTAAAAGACCGATTTGAATTCTAAACTCTTTTTCTTTTTCTTTTTTTTTTAAAAAAAAAAATATGATTCTTTATCCATATTGCCCTGCTTCTCGAATGATCATCTTTTTTTTTTTTTTATTCATCAAGGTACAACGCCACTGTTTTCGCATATGGGTAAGATGACATGTTTTTTTAATCAAGACAGAAAAATAGTTTACACGTTTTCATTATTTTCGCTCCTTACCTGTCCCCCCCATTTTGCATAAAGCGGTGTTCTAATTTTATATTACCTTTTTTTTTTTTTATTATAGTCAAACAGGTGCGGGTAAATCATTTAGCATGGGGATTGGATTGGATTCATTTATACACAAAGATGATGAAGGTATTGTTCCTCGATTCATCACCACTATGTTTAATCAGTTGGATCAAAAACATACTGATGGTAATTATCAAGTTCGTGTCTCCTTTCTTGAGCTGCATAACGAGGATCTTGTGGATCTATTATCACCAAGTAGTCATACTCTGAAAAAGGAAAATCAACCCATGGTCGTTATCCGGGAAGATGCAAATGGCGCTATATGTTGGAGTGGTATTAGGGAAGAATCAGTCAATCATCCTCATCAATTACTCAGTCTACTTGAAAAAGGATCAGTTGCTCGCACCACAGCATCCACTGATATGAATATATCATCATCACGCTCTCATGCCATCTTTTCCATTCAACTTTATCAAACAATCATGGATGATCAAGGAATCACTCGTACTATTACATCCAAATTTCATTTTGTAGATCTCGCTGGCTCTGAAAGGGTAAAAAAAAAAAAAAAAAAAGGTCAATGTTATCCTCATGTTCCTGAGTTTTTTTTTTTTTTTTTTTTTTTTTTTTTTTTTTTTTTTGGTCACTCCTATTTGATGTTTAGTTAAAAAGAACAAATGCAGTTGGTAATCGAGCAAAAGAAGGTATCTCCATTAATAGTGGTTTATTAGCTTTGGGTAATGTTATCTCTGCTCTTGGTGATACTTCTAAAAAGGTGTCTCATATTCCTTACCGTGATTCAAAATTGACAAGACTACTACAAGATTCCCTAGGCGGTAATAGTCAAACATTAATGTTGGCTTGTGTATCACCCTCATGGTCAAATCACAAAGAAACATTAAATACATTAAAGTATGCCAATCGTGCACGCAACATACGAAACAGAGTGATGATCAATCAAGATGTACATCTTCAAGGGGGAGACAACAGTGATTATGTCAAAAAATTAAAGTCGCAACTCCTTTGTCTCCGTCAAGAACTCAAGGGGAATGATGAATTTTTGCTTGCTGTCAATCAAGAAATGGATGGTTTAAAAATTCAAGTAGAATCATTAAATCAAACCATCGCCACATTAGTACAACAATTAGCTGAAGCAAAATATCAAAATGATTGTCAATCATCCATGGAAGCAAATCATCATCATCATCATCAACAACAACAAGAAGGTATATCTAATAATCTGGCACATGAGTATGCGCGTACTATTGAAGAACTAAAGGTAGAATTGTCTCTAATACAAAAACAACAACATCAACAACAACAACAACAACAACAACAACAGCAGCAGCAGCAGCAGCAGTTGATTAGCAAGCAAATACAATCTGTTCATCCATCCATCACATCTCATACAGGATCTAAAAAGGAATCATCTATATCCGATCGTAAGAAAAAGAAACATAGTTATCGATTTGGAAGTAAAAAATACCAACGATCATTCAGCAGTATAAAAAAGAGACAACCTCTATATAGTAATCCCTCGCCATCACCAGTCAAAGGCATACAACAAAAAGGAAATTGGATGATGATGATCGAGAAACAAAAAGATATCATTGATCAAGAATTAAACTATGTCAATTCTATGAAGGTACTATATATATATTAAAAAAAAAGGGGGAAAAGTTTAATTCTTACATAGAAAGTTGTTTCTCATTTTTGCCTAGTCTTCCATTTTGAGCCACCCAAATTGGGAACCCGACACTGTGCATGGAAATTTTCAAGATATCATGCTTTTTTCTTCCAACTTCACTCTTGAACCCACTCTTCCCGTTTCTGGATCCAAAGTAAGATTTTTTTTTTATTTTTATTTGAAAAGTTGAATGACTCAATCAATTATGTTTTGAAAACTAGAACTTTACCAATGGACGTGCCTCCCAATCTCCTTCTCATAATGATACTGTTGTCGTTTTGCAACGATTTGGTGATTCACTTCAACAGCAACAACAGTTTATTGAATCCATATCTAGTGCAAGATATACACCATCTCCTCTTCAGCAAAGTAGAAATGAAACAAATAAACAACAACAGCAGCACAAGAAGGAATTGGATGAAGTGAAACGACAATACGAACAACAAACGAAGAAACAACAACATGAACATCAAGCCTTGAAACGACAATATCAACAAATGATTATCAGTAATGAAAAAGCAAGAACTCAACACAATGCAACTATTCTGACACTCAAACAAAAATTGGATACAATGACCCGTGATAAAAAAAAGGTGATCAAGAAAAGTAAGCAAGATGCTGACCGAGCTCGCGACCGTATCCGTCAATTGGAAAAACAAGTAAAACAATTGGAACGACAAGACATCAAATCAACTCATCTGAAGAAGCGATTGGAACGTGATCTACATACTCAGAAACAAGCCAACAAACATGCCAAGGAAGATATCGCTACTCTTGGTGCACAACTGACATCAGTAGCCGTGATGATACAAAAAGTAATACAAGCATACAAGGCAACATCCAAAAAAAAATCTTCTTTGACTTCCTCAGATCGGACTCTGCTTGCCAAAGCTGTCGCCTGCGCTCGTGTTCGTGGCTATTTGGTCGCCCAAAAACATGGTCTCAATAACAATAGACGTGGAATTAAGGTCGCATCGCTACAACAACGGATGGTAGAAAAGAAGCAATTAATTCGCAGGTAAAAAGGATATAATATATATATATGTGTGTATTATAATGGATAACTAACGGAGAGATACATCTTTTGTTCAATAAAAAAAAAACTTATTAGAGCTATCCATTTATACGTCCAAGCTTATGTACCTATGCATCTTCATGAACAGCTGGAACAGAAGGTATGATGGAGAAAAATCGTAAAAAAAAAAAAAAAAAAAAAAAGAGAGAGAGAGAAAATAACGATATTCATGAGCTTATTAATTTTTTATTATTAGCGTGACCGATTACAACTTGAACAGCATACAATATTGGCTGAACATGATGCTTTGATACAAGGCATTAATAATATGTCTTTACAAGATATGGATGACCGAATGAATGCAGTTGCATTAGAATATCATCAAGTATGCAATCAAATTCAACAATTACAACAAGAACAACAATTACAACAAGAACGACAATTACGACTGCAATCCAATAAACATCATATCAACAAGAAGAACAACTGCAGCGAGGATGATGACAATAGAGATATTAATGATGATAGCAGCAGTGATGATACTTGGATGGACGATATACCTTTTTGGAATACAGAAGATGCTGAAGTGGCCTATGAAAATGTATTGACATTAGTGCGTACACTTGAACCCGAAGAAACAAGATTGGTATTGGAAACCATGGTACATGATGTGATCCGATTAGAAACCGAGACACAACAGCAACGTTACTTGATGGCCAGTTCAGAGACTGCTTTGCGATCGCTACAGAAACAAGTCGAATGGAAACACAATATTATTCAGGATCCATTGGTTATGACGCCTACTTCAACCACCTCTTCTTTGGATAGCAAATCCACTCTGATACCTCGTCCTTCTGTTAGTTCGGCTTTACGACCATCTGGTTTACCTAGGCGTAGTAGTTGCAAGTAGTAATTATTATTCATTTTTAATAAAAAAAAAAATCAAATGTCTTTATCTATATACAATTATATGTTTTTGTTTTGTTTTTAATCAAATAGCATGATCTCATCTTTCATTTCATTAACCATCATCATACAAAATAACTAAAATCTTTTTCAATGTCAAAATAAAACTTTTTTTTATTAATTATATACAATATACATTTCATGATCTACTCTAAAAACTAATCTAATCCGTCCATCGATGTCCACAAACACGGCTTCCACATACATAAAACAAGGTCATCTTGGCTTCCACACGCCTGGAGGAGGACTGAAAGAATACAGCTTCAGGATAGGAACATCTTGGGCAAGGTATATTCGCTCGTGGCTATATATATATATAAGCATCAGTATCAACCATAAAAATAATTATCTTTCTTTGTTCTTTTTTTTTTTTTCCTTTACCAGAGTAGGATCCGCACTTAAATCAGTCAACACCATGGTTTGTTCACTAGATTGCGTATATAGATGAGCATAATAATGATATCGATCAAAATCCATTGATTCTAAATGTCAACTTACGAAGGTGCATGGATGATTTCATGACGATATACACGCATATTGTCAGCTTTTTCTTGAAATTGACAGTTTCGACAGGAAAACATCAGTTGTCGAGATGCTTTATCTTCTCGTGGGTATAAAAGATTGTTGCTAATTATTCAGTCAAGTCAAAAAAAAAAAAAAAGAATCAATTGAGTACAAAAAGGAATATTTCATTAAAAAAAAATACTAAACTACAATAAAGTATTACCATTCAATACAATATTTGAAGGTGGCCATAATGTGTATCTATATAAATGTGTAAAATGTATATAATAAGGAAAAAAAAAAAAAAAAAAAAAAGAGAGAATTGATAAAGAGGAAAAAAAAAAAATAAAATAACAACAAGAAGACTAGATTCTATCCCCGCCAGTTTTCAACCAATAGAATCACGAGTAGCCCACACATTTTGAGGAGGATGCCTTGATGATCATAGGTTGAAGCCATTGTTTCTTTGCTAGAGTATCAAAGAGGAAAGCAGATATAGAAAGATACATCATATCTTGCCAGTTCCCTATTTGCCAATAGTTCATCTTGTTCTTTTGCTCCAGACAATAAAATGACAAGCCACCAAAGACATCTTGTGCAAGTAAAGGTTCAAATTCGATATCCACATAACCGTATTGTTTCAGATAGGCACCATAGTTTTCTTGTGTTTCCATATTTGCCAAAGGTAGATGAAGAACAGTGGAAATATAATTCCATACATCTCTTTTCCAGCCACTGGGTAGAGTTGCCTTTTCATGTAATACTATATCATAGAGCCCTAAAGTACCACCTGGTTTCAAATGTTGGAAAGCTTGACGCAAAAAGTCCCATCTAGTATTGAAATGATATGCCGAGTCAATCGAAACAATATGATCAAACTCTAAATCAGTTTTCCCATCCTTTCCAAGTACTTTGTCCAATTCTGTCGCTGATCCTTCAAAAAGCTTGATCCTCTCTTGTTGTTTTCTTGATAGTTGTTCAGTTCGATCTTTTGACAACTTCCATTGAGCATATTCATTCGTAATCCCCTATTTGATCCAAAAAAGAAAAAAAAAATTGAGTGATAATATGATTTTTTTTTTTTTTTTTACGTTTTATTGACTTACAGTCACTTGACAATCAAATCGATCTAGCCAAAAAAAAAAAAAAAAAAAAAAAAGCCCACATCACAATAGAGAAAATAGGTTGCATGAATCATCAAATCAATAATAGATTACGTTTATATTCTTTACCTGCGAGAAATAAACAAGAATCCCCACAACCATAGCCAACATCTAAATATAAATAGAAATGTTAAAACAGTCCTTTGAACTAGATTTTACATAATTGTAACGTATAGTCGTTGTTTTTTGTACCTAGAATTGAATCCTTTGGCTTGATATTGAGTTTATCAACTACCATCAAAACTAAACGTTCACAAGCTTCAGAATAATGATTGACATGTTCAGACCAATAACCCATGTTGCACCATAACGTTTTTGGAGGTATTTCCAAGTTAAGCCATAGATGTCGTAGACCATACATGTCACTCGAAGTGGATTTGGAATGACACCAACTAGTGAGCCCAATGGCATGGAGGTATAAAAGAAAGTCTCTTAGCCAACCATTTGTGTAATAATATATCATAAATAATAAGAATCCTGTAAGAAGCAGAAGAAGCATGATTGGTTCGAGAAAAAAAAAAAAGGAAGTAAAGATAAAGAAAAGGGAAAAAAAAAGGGGCAGCCAACCTCTTTTTTTTTCCATATCCCCATCCGAAACGTCATTTGGCTGCGGGGACTGAACTCCTTTTTTTTTTTTTGTTTTTTGCCTTTTTATCAGTTTGACTTTGCTCTCACTCTCTCTTTTCTTTTCTTTCTTTGTTTATATATATATACAAAATCAATGGCCCTTTCCAAGCGTATTGTCAAGGTAAATAATGTATATTTTTTGATATTATTATTATTATTATTATATATAAATATTATAAGATGAATATGGAAGTCTATATAATTCTCTCTTTTTTTTTTTTTTTTGATGGATAGGAAACCGAACGACTTCTCAAAGATCCTGTACCAGGTATAAGTGCCACACCACATGAAGATAACTTGCGTTATTTTGATGTTATAATTAGTGGACCCGACCAATCTCCATTTGAAGGTAAGAAAAAAAAAAAAAAAAAGAAAAAAAAGAAATATACTCAATTATACTTTTTCTCTATTTTTTACTTTCCAGGTGGTGTATTTCGACTAGAATTGTTTTTGCCTGAAGATTACCCCATGGCAGCTCCTAAAGTTCGCTTCTTGACAAAGATTTACCATCCCAATATTGACAAACTTGGTCGTATCTGTCTTGATATTTTGAAAGGTAAAATATATATTGATAATATGAATAGATTGAATGGATGGACTAATGGAATGCATACATATATATATCTATATGTGTATATGTTTGCTTGATTGGTTTATATTTATATATATAGACAAATGGAGTCCTGCATTGCAAATACGTACTGTTTTATTATCTATCCAGGCTCTTTTATCTGCACCAAATCCTGATGACCCATTGGCCAATGATGTTGCTCAACACTGGAAGGAAAACGAAAAGGAAGCCATCGCTACTGGTAAAAATCATAGGACAAAAAAAAAAAGATATCTAAGGTATTAGAAAATGTCGCTTACCAGATGATTTTTTTTTTTTGATATTAGCACATCAATGGACACTCCAATATGCCTCGAATAGTTGATTACTTTTATCTTAGCCACAAATTATATTTATATGTTGTTATGGGAATGGCGATTTTTGATGGATTTTTTTTTTGTTTTGAAATAAACTAGGATTGATTTCTTATTGTATTTATAAATTATTACTTTTTTATGTTGAATGTGGTGATGTTACAGATGCTGTAGTTCTATTCTTTTTTGGTCTACCTCTTCTAGGGGCAGTATATTTATCGATCATTGGTGTCGACTGGAAAGGATCTTTTCCATGCATTATCTTTCGTGTATGATGATGATATGGTTGTTGTTGTTTTAATGTATCTTTAGAACGGCGTGGTAGTTGATGACCCACTTGTTTACTCTTTTCAAAATAGTCATGATCCTTTGCTACCACTTCATAAAGAGAAGGTGGATAAGCATTAGGTTGATGATGATTATAGATGGGCGTATGAGGTGGTGATACCCGGTAATAAGCAGGAAAAAAATGATGAGGAGATGCAGGAGACTCCCTTTCAGAAGATAACAGCATAATCGTACGAGCAGCAGCAGCTTCTTGTTCACCATGTTCATCTTTTGGTATAGAAGAAGGAGTGGGAGGATGAAGATTATCTTGGACCATCATTGCTTCTTCTACTTGTTGAAGATTCTTATTTGTCATTCCACTAGAGACTTTCAGTCGTGCATATTGTAATCGCGCTTTCAGTGCTGTAGCAAGCTATAGAATTTTGCATAAATGCATGAATCATTCATGTAATCTTTCTCTTTTTTTTTTTTCTTTCTTTATGATTTTTTTTTTACTTTTAAAACATATGTATGTTCTTCTTTTTCTTGAGAGTGATCATCATCTGAAGTTGATGGCGAATGACTTATAGTAGTAGTATTATGAATGGGATCATTCATTGTAATCAAAGAAAAATTTTATATATATATATATACACATCTACGTGTGCTTATTTTGAAAAAAAAAAAGAAAGACGTCAAGAGGAAAAAAGTACATGAAAAAAAAAATTTTTTAAAAAAAAATTCAAATGAACAGGTTTCACTATAAAAGAGAAGGGAAGGATAGCAACGGAATCATAAACCCGAGTTCTGGTGGGTTTCAATTTGGCCATGTCAATATGGCATCTGTCCAACTAAGATTAATCTTCATAATAAATCATGTGATTTTTTCTATATGTAGACTAAAACTCAATAATAATATATATATTTTATATAGCATATATAAAGATGTTTAAAATAAAAAAATAAAAAAAATCCTGTACCTTAAGTTTAAAAAAAAAAAAAAAAAAGATCTACGGTCACTGTGTTTAAAATCATAACAGCCAATGAAATGTCTCTGTGTAACGCATGAAAGGTGGGATGGCACGTTTTTGAACTCTCTTCGTTGATTTGATTATTTTTTATATTTCCTTTCCTTTTCGCTATAGTTCCTCTCTATTTTATTTTATTGATAATGCCCCCACTGTCTCCTCTAAGACTCCTTCTCTCTTTCTTTCTTCTACTTCCTCTTTCTCCTAGTCTTATGATCTTCTTTATACTTTGAATTCTCTATAGTATACTTCTTATTTCTTAGTTTTTCCCTTTTTTTTTTTCTTTCTCTTTCTTTCTGTCTTTTTTGAATCAAGATTGCTTTTACCATGGATTTGGCCGACTTCCAGATCGACATGGATATGATTCGATCTATGACTACAAATCAACAACAACACCAAAACCAACAACAACAACAACAACAACAACAGCAACAGCAACAACAACAGTCTCAACAGACTCAATCTGTACCTGTCTTTGAAAGAATGAATATGATTTTTCAAGACGAGAATCAACAAGATATGCCTTTTATGAACACGAATTATGCATCAACATCCAAACCTCCTATCTCTCAAACTTCTACTCCAGTTTATCATACACAGCAAAATGATTATTTTGATCAAGATGTAAAGTGAATAATACTATCTATATAGGATGATCACTGATCCCTTTTTATTATCATTATTATTAGGATATTCTGACACCTTTGATCTCACCTGCCATAACACCTTCATTCTCTTATCAACAAAAACTTCACAATGGAAATATTAGTAATGATCTCGACTTTTCTCCTTTGTCTTCTCCTGCTATGATGCCACAACAAGATCAAGATTATGCCAATCATCATCATCATCGAACTCATCATCATCAACAACAACAACAACAACAACAACATCAACATCAACTTCAACAGCGGTATCAAAATTCTTCGACATCAAATTATAACTACCCTGAAATGTCCCCTAATCAAATGTGTGAACAATATGAACAGTTAGAAAAGGCCAAGATGATGATCACTCGTCGACTTTCGGAACTTCAAAAGCAACAAATGTCTCAGGGCAACAAGATGACACCCAATCAAACAAGCAAATTGGCAAGAAACTCACCCTCTTATTTGACTGGATTGACTGATGGTATGTATTCAAAAATGGGAGTTAATCCAAAGTAGGAAATTGTTTTTTGATTTTTTTTTTTTTTTAGATACCATGAACAATCAAGATGTCATGTTCAGACAACCTGCGCAATTGGAACCCGTTACTCCAGCTTCATTGATGAACATGAGACAACGACAAGATTCCGCTGATCGACAAAAAGCCAAAATGACATACCCTCAAGTCACCGCCAAAGCAGCTTTGAATGAGCTGGACTTATCGGATAATTTGGAAACTATATCTCAACCACCACCGTCTATGCAGAACAATGACTATACAACTCCTCCATTCAATCCCAAGTCCAATGTTATCGCATCCACAACATCATCATCACTACCTTCATCATCAGCATCGTCATCTTCTTCTTCTTCTTCTTCCAATACGCCTAGTACTGGAAGAGGCAAAAGGAAAGCAAAGCATTCAGCCGAAACAGCCAATAATAATAACAACAGTGGTAGTAAACCAACAAGGAAAACAAGACGTGCAAATTCTTATAGTGGCAAAGCAGATGGGAAATCTCATTCATCTGGATCAAGTACGAATGGCTCCTATGGTCAGCATCAACATCATGCCTCACCTCGTGCTCTCAAACCACTATTGATCAGCCCAAGCTTGACACCAGATCGTCATCATCCTCATCTTACTCCTCATGTTGGTAGTAATGGCTCTTCTTCTACAGTATTAGATGCTGAACACATCTTAGCCACGAGATCTAACTATCAAAATCTTATGGAAGGCAAAGCAGCGGCTCTTGGTATTGCATTTTCATCTCAAATCAAAAGTGGTCTAGAAGTTCGACGTACAGCACACAAGGCTGCTGAACAAAAACGACGAGATTCTCTCAAGGAATGGTTCGATCGATTACGACGCGAAGTGGAGGAAGGTTATGTCAAGAAAAAATCAGGTTTAACTTCCAAGGTGATTCGTGAACAACAACGAGAAAAGGCTTCCTCATCTGATCATCAACAACAACAACAACGACAACAAGATGGTGATGATGACAACAATGAAGATATTGGAACTCTCAAACCTCTTTCCAAAGTACTTTTGTTACGATACGCCTATGAATACATTGCTCATCTTAAGGATACTTTGGCTGAACGTGATCAAGTCATCGATAATTTGAAGCACTCTCAACAAAATGATAACAACAATAGTGATAGTGGTGATCAAGATGAAAACGACATGGAAGATGAAGGTGATGGAAATGTTGGTGACGATGATGATGATGATGATGATATGGAAGACGCTCAAGCAACAAACAGCAACAAACATACCGAATAGTAACCAGTACAACCCCCTTCCTTTCTTTTATTATTTTTTTTTTATTATTATTATTATTACTTATGATGTGTATATGCATTTTATGGTTATGTCTTGTATTTTCTTTTTTTTTTTTTTTATCATATATCTTTTATTTTTTTATTTTATCCTTTCTTCATTTACATAGATTAGTTATTTGTATTCCAATCTTCCTGTCGTTTTTCCATTATTCTCTTTTTTTTTCCTCTCTTTTTTATATAGTATTTTTGCCTGTTTTTCTTTTTCTTTCCTTTTTTTTTTTTTTTTTTGTATATAATCTATTATCATATGGATTCTATAGTATAGTTTATGCCCATTTTTTATTATCATCATATGAATAAAGTTTATAGTAGTTGACATTTCGAAGGCGGATGTACTTTTTTAGAAAAAGAACTCTGATTGGATGTAGTGGCGCAAGTACTAAAATATGAAACCCAGTAAAGGTTTTTTTTCTCTCTCTTTTTTTTTTTTTTTTTTTTTTTTTTTTTTTTTTTTTTTTTCCTGTTAATCTATTAGATTACCTGAAAAGATATATACATAATTTATAAAATGCAAGATTCTATAGTAAGCAAACATTGCAAAAATAGAGGAGATATAGTTTACTTATTCATATTTTTTTTCTTATATAGGATCATACCTTGGATAGCGATGATGATTATGTTCCATATGTACCAGTCAAACAAAGGCGATTAGAAAAGATCCATAAATATGCTACACAACGTCGTTCGGCAGCACCAACACTAATGGATGAACAGGACGATGAAGACGCGGCAGCACAAGCTCGATCTAACATGAGTTTGTTGGATCAAATTGTTGAACAAAAAAAGCAGAATCTTATACCGGGTATGATTAGACAGTATACTTTTTTTTTTTTTCTCTCTCTTAAGATATTAATTTTTTTTTTGTTTTATTATAATAATAGAAAAAACTGAAGAAGAAAAACGTATAGAAGAGGAAAGACAGATTGAAGAGGCTCAAGCACGACACAAAGCATTAGTATCAGTTCAGGAAGCTGCTACAGGTGTACACTATACAGAACCAATGAAAACAAGGTAAATAGAAACAAACTTAGTGGATCGCTTATTTCATTTATTTTTAAAACTTATTTCTTTCATTTTATTGGAAATATTTAGTTGGTCTCCTCCTACTTATATTTTAGAAAAAGGTGAAGAACGTCATGAAGCTATTAGGAAGAAATACCACATAATCACTGAAGGGGATAATCTTGTTCCTCCATTGACCAATTTTGCTGTAAGTTCAACTGTTTTTTAATATCAAATCTATACTGAATTGTTATATTTCTTATTGATTAGGATATGCGCTTACCGAATGCTATACTGGATTACTTGGAAGAAAAGAATATCATGAAACCTACTCCTATTCAAATTCAAGGATTACCTGTAGCGTAAGTGAAATAGTATAGATCAGATGTATTATAATATATACTCATAATATTTGATTCCTTTTTTTTTTTTTTAAAAAAAAAAAAATAGATTGGCCGGACGTGATATGATTGGGATTGCATTTACTGGATCTGGAAAAACTCTAACATTCTCTTTACCTTTACTCATGTTTGCATTGGAGGCCGAAGTACGCTTACCTTTAGGGAAAGGAGAAGGTCCCATTGGTATGATTCTCTGTCCATCTGTAAGCATAATCTTTTTTTTTTTTATTAGGAAAGGATTTGGGATTAAGAATGTTCTAACTTCTAGCTTGAATTTTTCTATTGATAGCGCGAATTGGCAAAACAAACACATGAAAATATTTGCAATATGGCAGTAGCACTATACAAATATGGTTATCCAGAATTACGTTCTTTACTCTGTATGGGCGGTATCGATATGAAGAAACAAGAAAATGTATTCCAAAGGTAAGTTGTAGATATATATATATATAGAGAGAGAGAGAGAAAGAGTAATTGAACTTAGTACTCACTATATTTGTCTTCAGTGGGTTTCATATGGTTGTGGCAACTCCAGGGCGATTGATGGATTTACTCACCAAGAAAAAATTCAACCTTGATAACTGCAAATACTTGTGTATGGATGAAGCTGATCGAATGATTGATATGGGTTTTGAAGATGATGTTCGTACCATCATGTCATTTTTCAAGGTTTGAATAACAATTGATATATACTCTATACAAATGTCTTACTTTTTTTTTTTTTTTGAATAGAGTCAACGACAAACTCTTTTATTTTCTGCCACAATGCCCAAAAAAATTCAAGATTTTGCTTTGTCTGCTTTGGTACAACCTGTAGTAGTCAATGTAGGTCGTGCTGGTGCTGCTAGTTTGGATGTCATTCAAGAAGTAGAATATGTTAAACAAGAAGCTAAAATGGTGTATTTATTGGAATGTTTACAAAAAACACCACCACCAGTAAGTAATTAATGATGGTGACGACTTTTATTTCTTCCTTATTGATCTTTTTTTTTTTTTTTTTTTTTTTTTGATAGGTATTGATCTTTGCTGAAAATAAGAATGATGTGGATGATATTCATGAATATCTCTTATTGAAAGGTGTTGAAGGTGTTGCTATTCATGGTGGCAAAAGTAAGTGATCAACTAAACTGGTATGTATATATACTGATTGATTTCATTTTATTAGCTCAAGACGAACGTGAATATGCTATCAAATCTTTCAAGGAATACAAAAAGGATGTTTTGATTGCTACTGATGTTGCCTCGAAAGGTCTTGATTTTGCAGCGATTCAACATGTGATCAATTACGATATGCCCAAAGAAATCGAAGATTATGTTCATCGTATTGGTCGTACTGGTCGTAGTGGGAAAACAGGGGTAGCTACTACGTTTATCAATCAACATTGTTCAGAACAAATCCGATTAGATCTCAAGTTACTTTTACGTGAAGCAAAACAGCGTGTTCCACCATTCTTGGCAGCTCTAGAAGATCCTACGGAAAAGTATGGTTTACTGGGTGGTAAGTTGTCAAAAGAAAAGAAAAAAAAAGAGTAGAATTAATGAACTTATTATTATTATTATATATAATAAATAATAGGATGTACTTTTTGTGGTGGTCTGGGTCATCGTATCAACAACTGTCCAAAATTGGAACAACAACGTAGATTACAAATGAATGCTATCATGGGTGGTCGTCATGAAGGCGCTGGTGGTGGAGCAGACTTTTAGTTAGCTTTTTTTTTTTATTTTTTTTTATTTGTTTTGAAATAAAAATGATTGTGTGAAATATATATTGTATTTATGGAAAGAATGGATTTGATTTGTGGATAGATGAAATCAAAGATTTTTTGCATTTAAAATCACATGTATTTTTATCTCGTTTTTGACATGATGTGATGTAAGAATAAGTGGAGAAAGGAATTATAAAGTCAGTCAATGACAAAGCATCATAATTTTGATCAGGTACAGACAGATGAAGCTTAATCATGGTTCGGCTTGTATCACCTTGAGCAAATCATACAACAATGTGTACAAGTTGACCCCGCTTTTCAGTATATAAATATATATTATCCTTTGTTTTTTTTCATCTTTTAAATCATTCATTTTATTATTGTTATTGTTATTATTATTATTTGATTCAGTGATTAAGTGATCTTCTTTTCTTCTTTATCTACATTATTAACTTGACAGTCCAATGATCATGTGGCTATAAGGGCAGACATGTGAAAAAAAGAAAAAAAAAATTAAGGAAGCGGTGATACAAAAAGATTTCCTTATATAAATGACCCCGCAAAAAAATAAGTGAGCTCTCTTTCTTTCTTTTTTATTATTTCTTTCTTTTTTTTTTTCTTTACAAAGTCTCGTTTTTTTTTCTTCCTTTTACTATGTCTCCTATTCAACAAACATTATCAGCAAAAGAAAAATATGCAAAGGCTGTAGAGTAAGTTTATGACATGTTCACTCATTCATACACTAACATTGTTATCTATTATAGTCCCGTGGCTAGTATGAACGAAGAACGTGCCAAAGCATCCTTCAACATTCGTGATATGACTTATCTTTTAGATGGTGGTGAAAAGGCTACTGCATTAAAAGAAAGATTTATGATGGAATTAGAACGAGATCCTTTATTCAAAATGGACGATTTCCATGACCTGTCAAAATCTGAACTTCGTGAACGTACAATGGAAAAGGTACAATATTAAACTCAAACCTTTTTTTTTTTATATATATTTATTTTTAATCCTAATGATTATATAGTTCCGTAGTTTACTTCATCATTTACAAAACGAATCTGTGGAAATTTTTAGAAAACGTATGGAAGTCATTAGTATGATCGATCCTGGTTTCTGGACTCGTTTTGGTGTACACTGTAAGTCTAAATTCAAAATCCGTCATTCTTTTTTCCTTTTCTCATCTTTTTTTTTTTTTTTTATTCATCTATCTTCAAAAAAAAAAAGATGGTCTTTTTGTTGGTGCATTACAAAGTAACGCTACTTCTGGACAATTTGCCTATTGGTTGGAAAAAGGTGCCTTATCTCTTAATGGTATGGTGGGATGTTTTGCTATGACTGAAATTGGTCATGGATCCAATGTGCCTGGATTGGAAACAACTGCTACTTTTGATGAAGCTGCTGATCAATTCGTTATCCATACTCCTACTTTGACTGCAACCAAATGGTGGATTGGTGGTGCTGCTCACTCTGCTACTCATGCTTCTGTCTTCGCTCAATTGATCGTTAAAGGCAAATGTTATGGTACAAAATGCTTTATTGTTCCTCTACGTGATCCCAAAACTTATAATACTCTTCCTGGTATCAATATTGGTGATATTGGAAAAAAAATGGTATGTTTATTTTAAATTGTATTCTTTATAAGTGGTACTTATATAATTCTATTTCTTTTTTTTTTTTTCGTTTAGGGTCGTGATGGTATTGATAATGGTTATATTCAATTCACCAATGTTCGTATTCCTCGTGGTTATATGCTTCAAAAACATACTAAAGTATCTCGTACTGGTGAAGTCAAAGAACCAAAATTACAACAATTGACTTATGGTGCCTTATTACAAGGACGTGTGGCCATGGTAGTAGACAGTGGAAATGTATCAAAGAAAGCTCTCTCTATTGCCATCCGTTATGCTGCTGTACGTCGTCAATTTGCTAATTCCAAATCTGGTGGTGTAGAAACCAAGTTACTCGATTATCCTATTCATCAACGTCGATTGATGCCTCTTCTTGCTCAAACATTTGCCATGTTATTCACTGGATCGGAAATGAGTGAAATGTATATCAAGATGATGGGACGTTTGGAATCAGCCAAGGAAGGTGACAAGGATTTAGATGAAGTGATTGAAATGCTTAAGGAAACTCATTCTACAAGTGCTGGGCTCAAAGCATTCTGTACCTGGAATTGTTTGAATACCATCGAACAATGTCGTCAAGCCTGTGGTGGTCATGGTTATTCCGCTTACACCGGATTGGCTGGTATGTACCAAGACTTTGCTGTGCAATGTACATGGGAAGGGGACAATACTATCTTGACCTTACAAGCTGGTCGATTCTTGATCTCATCTTATCGCGAAGCTATGAAGGGTAAAAAATTGTCTCCTGGTGTTGGTTATCTTAACAAGTTGGATGCTTTGATTGGTAAGAAATGTCATGTACCTTCTTTGGATGCTATTTTGGATCCCAAGGTGATCATCGAAGGTTGGCAAGTCGTTTGTGCTAATGTGGTCAAGAATGCTGCTTTGGAATTTGAAGCTTGTGTCAAACGAGGACTTGATGTGGATGATGCTTATGAAGAATGCTGTAAGTTTTATCATACAATCTAATATTTTCTTATTTATTTATATTATTTTATTATATTTTATATAGCTCAATCTCGTCTCTATGCTGCCAAGTTACATTCTTATGGATACTTATTCAATCGATTTGCTGATGCTATTAGAAAAGTGGAAGGCAATCTTCAAAAGGTATTGCTTGATGTTTGTATGTTATATGGTCTTTACACAATTGAAGAAAATGCAGGTGCTTTCCTACAATATGAATACTTTACTCCTCAACAAATGGAATTCATTCGTGCCAAGGTGAACTTTTATTGCAAAGCTGTACGTGATCAAGCCATTCCTTTGGTGGATGCATTCAATTTGTCAGATTATATGATTAATAGTCCATTGGGTTGTGCTGATGGAAATGTTTATGTCAAGTATTTTGCTCAAGTCCAACGACAAAATCCTCAAGGTGAACATCCTTACTTTGACCGTTTGATCAAGCCTTTGATTCATCGTAATTTGGATAATAATGATGATGATTTTGAAGATGAACAAGCTGGCTTAGAAGATGAAGATGAAGATGATGAATAGACTGAATATTATTGGATCTCCCCTCCTTTTTTTTTTTTAGACACATGAAAAGATAGACCTTCTCTTTATTATATTCCCCTTCCTTTTTTTTTTTGTTTATTATTACTTTTTATTATGATTATATTTTGATGTTTATTGTTGTATAGTATAAATAAAAAAGAGTTTTCTTTTTTTTACAAAATGTCATTTTATACTAAGGTTATTTTTGGTGCATTGCAATTTTCGGAGTGATTCCGAAAATGGGAATAAAATGTACAATTTTCTATTTCATCAACATAACATTTCCTATTTATATATATTATATAGCTTTGTATTGAATGTAGATATCTGTCAATGACATAATAGAATATGATCACTTTACTTTTGACAACGATGTAACATAACGGTATTTGAAAATTAAATTCTTTCCTTAGCCAAGTATGGTTGCACGACATTTTTTTTTTCTTATATATCAATTACCCTTTTTTTTTTTTCTTCTTCTTCTTCTTCTTTCTATCTTTTGTTTCTTTATTTATTACTTTTACCATGACTATTGAAGAATTTCCTCTCGGTTACTTTTATATTGTTAGCCAATTGAATGGGTTGGTCCTTGACGTACATGAAGATGATAAGGGCCAGGTAAAAAAAAAAAAAAAAAAAGAAAGAATTATTTGACTCTTATATTCTTTCTAAGATGAAAGACTAACAGCATCTATTTATCCTTGTTACTTTACTCGCTTTTATATATATATAATAAATATATACGCGTATGGATAAACTTAGGCTATTATCGTCACTTCTGTCAAGCTAGAAAAGTCTCCTGAACGCGATAGTCAACTTTGGATGCACCAAGATGGTAAAAGTGGATAGAAAAATAATAAGTGATTAGAATCCCTTTTTTTTTTCTTTTTTTGTTCACAATTATTTTCTAGGTTTCTTGACAAACAAAGCTGCAGGTTTAGTGCTCGATATCGGTCGTGCAGGTACTTTTAAAGGTAAGAAAACGAATGGATAAAAAAAAAAGGAAATATGTGACTTATATCGGATGCGTTTTATCTTTTTCTTTTTTTTATTTTTTTGTTTGTAGCTATTTTTACTGCTGAAGAACGACTCTTTTTGGATCAAATGAAAGAAGCCGAAGAAGTAAGTAGAGATTCTTAAAATTCTGTTTGGCACTAATCCTTGTTTATGTGTAACCATGATGTTTGCGGGTGTAGGCTCATGATCAACGATTTGGATATGATGGACAATACATCTATAATCTCAATGATTCTAATGTGGTGATTGATATTCGCAAATCTGATACCGAGGCCGGAGCTCGGGTGATTGTATACAAACGAAAGGAAGGTGATGAAAATCTTAATCAACGATGGACTATTGAACTTGGTGACCCTCCCAAGGCGGTTGATCCTGAAGAAGAAGAAGATGGTAAGGCTGAACGTTTACAAGCATGGTTTGGTAACTGGTTCGGATGGGGTGATAAGAAGAAACATATTCTCAAGGAAGAAGAATTGGATCATGCTCACAAAAAGGTATATCATGAAAAGAAATCTCATGCTAGTCATCAACTGTTGGCTGGTGCCGTCGCTTATCAAGCTGTCAAGATCTGGGAAAAGCAACAAGAAGAAAAAGGTGAAGAAGTCAGTCATGGTACTCTCAAGAAAGTGGTTGCTTCCATTGCTGCTGCTGAAGTAAGTGTATATAAGAAGCAAATTGAATGATGATGATTGACATTTGTCTTTTCTTTTATTATTAGTTGGTCAAACTGATTGAAGAACGTGGTGGACAAGATGATGAAGAAGATGATGATGAAGACAAGAAACAACAAAAGAAGGGCATGATGGAATCTATGGCAACAAGTGCAGCTATGAATTTGATCGAATCCAAATATGGAATGAAATAATTTAGTTTTTCATATTTTTTTTTTTTCATACATTGAATAAAATCTTGTCAATTTATGATCAATGCGAAAAAATGATTAGCCTTTAGTAGCGCTGTTTGTATTTTTTTTTTTTTTTTTTTTTTTGATAGGTTCCCAAAGTGGCTGATGGAAATATGTGCAATTTTTTTTTTCTTTTCTTTTCTTTCTCCTCTTCTATCTCATATCTCTCTGTCTTCTACTTTCAAATTATCAATAAAACAGAAAAAACCACTCATACCATATATTCTTCATTCATCTTCATTATCATTCTGCATAACAACTTATAGAAAGACATGTCCAATCCACCAGATAACACAAGCTCTACAGTGAAAAAACAAACGCGACGATTTGCACCTACTATTCGAGGTCGAGGACGAGGAACTAGTCGTAGTAGTGAATCAACACCGAGTTCTTCTGAACCCACTCCAGAATCATCTACAACAAAACCAATGGATTCCGAACCTACCACACAGATTGGTCATATGCGACCAGAAGCTTCCTCTGAAGGTCGACTTTCTAGTGTTCATGGACAAAAGACAAGAGGTGGTGCAGCAAAGGTAAACTTTCAACAATAATAATGAATCTGATATGAACTGCGATTGATCCTCTTTTTTCTTTTTCATTGGGATACTTTTATTCTAGATGAAATTCAAACCAACAATTCCAACCAAACGAAACAAAAAAGAAGTGTAAGAGAGATATGGGATGGGACGATCGATGATACTAATATTAACCACCTCTTTTCCTTTTTTTTTTCTTTTTTTTTTTTTTTATCTATAGATCAGCTATAGATGAACCAACCAAGACCGAATTAGAAACTCGGGATAGCTTCCGTGGTCAACGTGGTGGAAGAGGCGATGGACGTGGACGTGGTAGAGGAGGTCGTGGTCGAGGTCGTGGTCGAGGACGTGGTTTGATTGTGGAAGAAGTGACGGCATCTGGCATCTTTTCTTTAGGTCCTTCTGCAATGTGTAAGTTTCATCAAAATAGAAAAGATATAATAGACTCAATTTTTTTTTTTTTTTTTTTTTTTGGTATGGTAGCAACTCGTGCTCGATCTGGTATGACTGGAAGTAGTGGGGCTTTTGCAACTTATGGTGGTGATTCTTCAAGACAAGAACAGGATAATGGCGCAGAAACTGATATGAGTATTCTTTTTGCAAATGCACACGACGGTTATACTCCTGTTGTTTTTCCACATGTCCCAAGATTGGCTGGTGAATTGGACCCTGCTGATCTAACTAATCCCAAAGGCAAGATACCCTGGTTGACAACCACAACAAAGTCCGAGGACAAGGAATCAACAGACACAAAGGAAGAAAAAAAAGAGGATGATCAAGCTACAAAAGGTAATTATTAAAAAAAAAAAAAAGTAAAAGGATAAGGTTAATTATATAGTTACTTATTGAAAATATATTGATAGTAAAACTTGAACCAACTACAGAAGAAGATGCTATGAAGATTGATTCACCACTTGAACAACATGAAGGAAAAGAAGAGACAAAGGTGGAACAACAACCAATTGTTCAAGAATCAACAGCAACAACAACAACACAGGAAAAGTGGATGATGGATGATGATGCACCTGCTCAAAATATTTTTGCTGTCAATGAAAAGGTAAGCGAATGGATTAAAATAATGGATTGATTTAACATTTTTTTTTTTTTTTGAATAGAGCCAAGTGGTATCAGTAGCTGATGATGAACTGTTATTCTTCCAACTTCCTGGTATTGTACCATCATTTACTCTACCTTTAGAAGATGAACAAATGACAGATATTAAGACGGATGATGACAAACCGAACAAGGGTAAGGAAAAGGAACAATTACCAGTGGCTGCACAAATGGCAACATTAAAGGAAAAAATGGCCAATATGGATTTAGCGGATATGCCTGATGGACAAATTGGTAAACTCATGGTATATAAGAGTGGCAAGATGAAACTTAAAATTGGAAACATTCTCTTGGATGTGGATCAAGGTATGCGGTCATCCTTTTTGGAAAACTTGATGTCAGTTAACACGGAAAACAAAAAGGCAGTGGAACTTGGTCATATTGTACAGAAATTCACTTGTATTCCCAACATGGATGCGTTATTAGAAGGCGAAGAAAATAAATAGATGATGTATTGTTAGTATAATTGATTTGTATTCTTGTCATTCGTTTTTTTTTTTTTCCTCACTTTGGGCGGCATTTGAATAAAAGATTTATCTTTCTTTTTCATATACATTATCTACTTTTTTCCCTTTCATTCTTTCGTTCTTTTTTTTTTTTTTTTTATAAAACCAACCATGATTACCCTCTTTCTTAGTACTTTATTTATCACTGTCTTCTTTACCTATAGCTATTATATTCTTGCTCAATATCAACGACCAATACCTTTGAAATCAAGCAATCTATTATTATTGACAGCTCATCCTGATGATGAATGTATGTTCTTTGGTCCAACCTTGACTTATTTACGTACTTTTAGTAGGAAGACTCGTATTCACGTGCTTTGTTTATCAACTGGTAAATATTAGATAGATACGTGGGAATATAATGAAAATATTATTGGATAATTTATTATTATTATTATTATATAGGCAATGCGGATGGATTAGGTAATATCCGAAAGAAAGAACTTGTTCATAGCTGTCAAAAATTGGATATACCTGCTAGTCAAGTCAAATCATTAGATCACAGGTTAAAAAAAAAAATACTATATTTCCATCCCAAGGGAAAATTGAACAAGTGATATTTTTTTTTTCTTTAGTGAACTACAAGATGGTATGAACAATAAATGGTCAAGTTCGGTAATTGCTAATGACGTGTTGACAGATTATATCAAAAAACATAAGATTGATACGGTAGGTTAATGTTGATTAAAAATCTTTATTGAGAATAACCTGTTTTATATATAAATATTAGATTGTCACATTTGATGATCAAGGTGTTTCAGGTCATCCAAATCATGCGGCTGCTTTTATGGGTGCCAACGAATATATTCAACAACATCATGACAATATTCAATTATACAAACTAAAAACGATTTCTTTACCAAGGAAATATGTTGCCACACTGGATTTGCTTGTGATGACTTTTCAACATTGGATCCAAAAATCATCGAACCAGATTGTCCTGATTTCTCCACCAGTGGCGTATCTTCAAACTCACAAGGCTATGCGACAACATGAATCTCAATTAGTTTGGTTCCGTTGGCTCTATGTTACTTTTTCGCGATATATGTATATCAATGAATTAGAAAAAGTAGAATATTTATAATTATAGTTTTTTTTTTAACTTGCCAAAATAAATCATTCTGTCAAACTGACCTTCAAAAAACTTTTGACCTCTTTTTTTTTTTTCCGACTTCAGTAGGTTCTGTATGACTTTCCAAAAAAAAAAACTCTTTTTCGCTCTTTCTCCCCCAATTTGTTTTTTTTTTTTGTTTTTTTTTTTCTTGGTTTTTTTTTTTTTTTTTTTTTTGTCTTTATTCTCTTTTCTTCATCTCCCGTTCGCTCCCTTTCCTTTCTCCTTCTTCGCCACTTGGTCTTAATAAACTTACATCATGAGCTCTCACGATGGTAAAAAAAAAAAAAAAAAAAAAAAAAACTTAGAACTAGCTTTATTTCTTTCGACCTCATCTAATCTATACCGTTTTTTGACCTTCATTAGCTGATGCCTCTATTGTCAAGAAATATGAACAACTCAAGAAACGTGTATATGAAATGGAGCAGGTAAAAAAAAAAAGTTGGTTTGATTTCAAATATTTTCACTAACTGGTCTTTGTATAGGATAACAACGATATACATTCAAAGTTAGTAAGGGCACAGAAACATGTCAAAAGGTTACGGATGGAACGCCTGTAAGTAAAATCATATCATGTATAAAGAAAAAAAAAGGATGACTGATTTCTTTATCTTAGTATATTATTGGAACAACTTGACGAATATTATACTTCTCACAAAGGTCATATGGAAACTAGTGATAGTGATGTCTCTGATGCTTCTGGTGTTGAATCTCTTCTGGTAAAAAAAAAAAAAAAAAAAAAAAAAAAAAAAAAAAAAGGTTATCTCGATATCAACTTGAATTTGATATATTTTTTACTAATATATTTATTTGTTTCTTATGATAGTCGGATACACGAATTAAACATCATAAGAAGAAACGTGGTCGTCATAGTGATAAAGGTCATAAAAAAGGATTTGGTAAATCTCATGATACACCTACGCCAGCTCGCAAGAAAAAGGATCCAAATGCTCCTAAAGGTCCAGGTAATGTCTTCTTTTTATATTGTCGTATGGAACGTGAAAATTTCAAGGATGAATTACCAACCGAAAACCTGGGTGAAGTGACCCGCTTACTGGGCCAAAAATGGAAAGCAATGACAGATGATGAAAAAAAGGTAACGTCGAATAGGAAAGAAAAGAAAAGAAAATTAACCTTTTTATTTATTTATATATGGAATTAGAAATATTACGATATTTATGACAGAGAACAAGAAGAATATCGAAAAGCCATGAAATCATACAAGGAAGCTGGTGGTGGTGATGCAGGACGTATTGCTGTTTCTGAAATGAACAATACAGCCAAGACCGAAGATTACGAAGTGGATATGATGCAAGATGGACAAAACGACGATGATATTGATGATGATGATGATGGTGACGAAGAAGACGAAGACGAAGACGATGATGATGATGATGATGACGATGATGATGATGATGACGATGTAGAAGATGGCGGCTCATTTATGGATGATGTTAGTGTGGCCACTACAAATGTATCAACAATAAACGACCCTTCCACAACACACAATGGATCTACTGTTCCTGTTACTTCTGTTACAGCTCCTCCTCCTACTTCATCTGTACCTTCCCATGCTACTACTTCATCCCAACTTCCGGATATATCAATGACTAGCACCTCTGCCGCTTCAAATAGCTCACCTCTTTAGTTTGTATCCTTTATCTTAGATATATGACTCTTTTTTTTTGATATATTGTTTTTCCTTCCTCCTACTACCCTTTTTTTTCGTTTTCTCTCTCTCTCTTTTTTTTTTTTTATGTGTTCTCATCTATTTGTACATATTTGTCTCGAAAACAATAAAAAAAAAAGTACTTTGCAATGATAAACGGAATTGATGATGTATGACTGAACGGATTATGGAGTGAAGATGATGAAAACAAAACAATTAAATAACTCTGTAAGGAAACCAGATGAAAAATGAATATCAATTTTATCCATTTTAAAGAAAGAAAAATACCTTTTCAACGTTTTCATGCTGTATAAATCAGCCATCGTGTGTAAAAGAGAGTGAGAAAAAAGATGTTCAACATAAATTCTCTTGGATATAACCATCATATGTATGGTTATCATATTTTACTGAGGAGCTATCAACATCATTACTGTATCATCGAGAAACATCATCATTGAATATCAAAAAAAACAAAAGGTAAATAAAATGAGAAGTTTTATTGTTTTATGGAACCTATTCTATTTGGTAAAAAAAAAAAAAAAAAAATACTACTACATATCATTATATAGCATTTTTTTGAATGATCTTGTTGATATACTGAGAGACTGTGATAATAAAATCCTGAGATTTTATCATATCATAATGATCACCATTGACTGAAGTTGTATCCAGAGTAACATCCATGTTCAAAGATTGTAGATGATGAAAAATAGAGTTTGCTTGGGCAACATCGACCAATTGATCATCCATACTATGTATAATCAAAGTGGGCACCAGGAGAGAAGAAGGAGAAGACAAAAGAGGAGTTTTGCTGATAGGAGATGCTTGAAAATAAGTGGTAGAATCGGGACCAAATGCTTGACTTACGAAATCTAAATACGTGGGGAAAGTGCGTAACAATAAAGGAAGATCATAGATCCCATCGGCCCCTACGATACCACGAATAAAAGATAAGCTATACAATTGAGGATCCAATATTAACATAGTAGCAATATGAGCTCCAGCTGAGTGTCCCACAAGAAATACGTTTTCTTTGTCATACGTAAGAGTAGGTGGAGTGTTGTATAAAAATGTTAATGCTTCAAATGTATCTTGTATATGATTTGGATGTTGTACTTTAGGTTGTTGTTCTGGAGTTTCCCGTAAACTAAGACTATTGAATTTAAATAATAGTTTAGTTAAAGTCTTTTTTTACATAGAGTAGTTTATTACCGATAGTTTGTGACAGCAACTGTAAAACCTTGGTTTACAAAGTCTAAAGCAAGTTGTCGATGATCTTGTTTATCTTCAGAACGCCAGGCACCACCATGAATAAAGACTAATAAAGGAGTTTTGGTATTTGCTTGAGGAGAAGAATAAAGGTCAAGTTGACCATAGTTTTCAAAAGAGGGGTTAAAAGAAAAAGTCAAGGAAGAAGTCATGAAAGTAAAAGAAAAGAAAAAAAAAAAAAAGCGCGAGAAAATAGTATTTGCACTTTGGTCACCTACAATGTGGTACGATGCTCTGCTTTTCAATATCCGATGTAATTTTGTCTCCTTTTTTTTTATTTTATAGCTATTTCCCTTTTTCACTTTTTTTTTCCTCTCTTTTTCTCGTTTTTTTTTTTTTCACTTGTCCGAAAAAAAAACAAGGTGGATCTTCTTTCAAAAAGGAGGTTTAGTCTCTTCCTCTCTCTCTCTCTCTATTTATCTATTAATTTTATTCGTACTTCCTTTTTTTATTATTATATCTGTTATTTTTTTTTTTTTTACCAACCAATCAAAATGACTAGCAGTATTCAATCTTCCATTGCTGATCTGACGACAGAAACTAGATCTACTACTGGTGAAATCCCTCCACCGCTGGTCGGTGCCTCAACAACCATTGTAGGCAATTATATGTATGTATTTGGTGGAAGACTAGTAGCTTCACGAGAAATGACCAACCATCTTTATATGCTCAATCTGACAACTTTAGTATGGGAAAGACATATTGGTCCTCCAGATTCCGCTCCTCCTCCTCAACCTCGTTACTTTCATTCTGCCAACATTTACAACAAATCATTGGTCATATTTGGTGGTATGAGTCATGCACATCGAAACTCTGCTACTCAAGGCTTGTGTGCGCTGGACGACCTTTGCCTCTTCGACTTGGAAACTCTTTCCTGGATTTATCCTGAAGTGAGTCCTAGTATCTTTACTCCTCAAGCAAGATACGCTCATTTGGCTGAATGTGCAAACGATCGACTCATGGTGATTGGTGGTCAAGACATGTCAAATCAATATATCAATGAAATCAACGTATTCGATTTGAAATCATCTGCTTGGATACAAGGTGGACCTGTCGATCAACAATATGGTGCTTATCGAGCCGTGGCTTTCTGTCCTCTACCTATCAACAAAGGCAATTCTCCATTATGGCCTCAAAGTGACAACAATACTGACATTCCTTTATGTGTTTACTCCAATTACAACTTTGCTGATGTTACTAGAGACTTACAAAGCTGTCGACCACTTCATGATCATCCTGTTTCTTTCAAAGATCATTCAGATGATATGTCAGGTACTCTTCTTCCTCCTGGACTCCGTTTTCCTTCTGGACATTTACTTGGCCACCATATGATCATGACTGGTACCTATCTTACACCCACTCATCGATCCTTTCATTTATGGGCATTGAATTTGGCAAATCTTGTTTGGGTACGTGTTGACACTGGTTCTATCTTATCTACTGGTTCCTGGAATCGCGGTGTACTTCATCATGATCAACAAAAGTTCTATGTTGTCGGCAATCGGGATAGAGACCTATTGGAAGATTATAATCATCGACAAATTAATTTTGATCACGTGTCTATTGTGGATTTGGAAGCTTTTGGAATCTACACTCATCCTGAATCAACATGTGCACCTATTGCTCAAGAACTAGGTCTTAGTATGCTGAACGAACCAAGTATGGCTGACATGGAAATCATATCGACTGATCGAAAATCAATTCCAATCAATTCAACCGTTTTGGCCCAAAGATGGAAATATTTTGCTCAACTTGTGGAAAAGGATGGAAAACATCATCATGGAAAACGACTACAGTTCACGGAATCATATGCTGTCACCTTGGCCTTTTTACAATATCTTTATACCGATCATCTGATGACTGCTCAACAACATCAACCCAATATCCTTTCTCGACTTTTGATTCTTGCTCATATGTTTGACATGCCTCGACTGATTCAACTTACCACTCATGCTCTTCACCAGATACTCACCATTTCTACTGCAAGTATGGTATATGAAACCGCTGCATTGACATGTCGGACAGCTTTACAAATTCGTGCTCTACGGGTGATGATCAATACAAGGAAAATGCTTCAACAACAACAACAATTGAATGTGACTCCATCCAAATCAACCTCACCACTATTACCGATGATGAATTCTCACGCAAATGTAGCAAATGGCATGGTCGAAGATCATCATGCAGGATTACATACACCAGTTTCTTTAGTTCCTTCTACTTCACAACACCATCAACCTAGGTCACCCGTCAGTTACCAGAGCTCTTTATCAAATGAATCACATCCTCATCAAAATTTACGACGTATGGCTCAATCAAAATCAAATCAACAGTATGATCCACAAGAATTGATGAGACAATCACCTATACCAACTTCAACGAAATCAGGCACCATCGGTCAATACAACAACAATTCTTTTTTGACAAGACAACGACAGGGTAGCTTTGCTCATGGTCAACCTCTACCTCCCAATATGGATCGCCCCAACATTGGTATTCGGTTTTGAATATGTAAGTCAAACAATAACAACAATAATGTAGTATTTGTAATGGCTCATCAGTTCACTTTTTTTTTTTTTTTTTTTTGTAGCATAGGTTTGGAATATTAGTTTAGTACCACTTATTTTTTTTTTTATCAATGTGGATGATACTATTTTATTTATATAATTTCCTCTTCGTTTTTATTTTAATATCTTTGTCATAGATAAATAAAGGACTCAGAATTATTATTATTATTATTTTATCATTTATGGCAATGGTGATGATTGGTTGATGTATTTTGATTTATAGGGTGAATGAAGAAATAGATAGAATGGCTGATGATGATGGATATGGTGTTGATATTAAAAAAAAATTGATGATGTCGATGTGAAAATACTCAATACTAATCCTAAAGATCCATTCTTTGTCGGCATGTGGAGGCAAAACTTGGGTTTTAGGGTTAGTCAGTCATGGCTGTTGAAGATAGCATACCGGTTAAGATGATGGCAATAGAAGATTGTCTTTTTTAATTGACTCTAGAACTACAGTAATGATAACCTATGAATGACACTAGTATAGCAAAAAAAAAAAAAAAAAAAAAAGTTGTTTTATACTGTGTTCAAGTTTGGATTGATGATGATCCATTTTGAGCGAGAAAGGTAAGGTAAAAGTTTGCTCCCAAGCTTGGATGCAGGTTGAAAAAATGGAATGGATTTTTGGATTTCACAGCCAAAAATTTCGAACTCCTCAGCCAAAGTTTGGCTGTAAAAATGAATCGTCGAGGGGTTGTCAGGCGATTTTTCGAAAAATTGATGAAATCTTTTTGGTGATCATTGCACACTAGTTGGCAGGATAAGTGATAAAATAGTATTAGATGATATTTGACTACTTTTTTGAAAGGAATTCAATGGTGGTAATTATATGGGATGATGATCATTATTGAATGAGGGATGACAATATTGGCATTTATTTTTTAATTTACTCCATAAATTGGAAGACAAAGATATAAATTGCTATTAAGATTATTGAAAGAGAATGTCTTCATCTATGTTCAGTCCAAATTTGGTGCAGTGATGACGACTTTTGAGTGAACTACAAAAGGAGAAACAGCTACATATCTATCTTATGCGAAGTTATAGTGCAAGGACAGTGATTCTGATTTTTAATGAATAAGCCAAAGGGAGATCCATCAAGTTACCAAAAGAAAAAAAATAAAGTAGATCTAGAGAATGGGCGCGACTTGGAAATCCTCCACAAAGTGTAGCACCCTGAAGTCTATTGCAGTGTGGAGAAGGTCGGAGTCAATATATGGAACTTTTTTTGATCATCCTTAAAATTTGACTCACATTCATTCTTGTATCTCTTTTTCTTTCTTCCTTTTTTTTGAAACTCTTTTTATATTCTTCTTGATGTTACGCACTTCAGCTACTCATTTATTCAAGTCAAGTAAGTTAATCTTTAAAGTTATTTTACAATAGTAAACTAACCATGATACTCGTGACCATCTTGTAGGGAAAATGACGACTTTGCGCCCATTCTCAAGTCTGATAAGTACACAAGAACTCGCTTCATCTTTGGATAACAAAAAGCAACATCGAAATGATATCAAAGTATTAGATGCTTCATGGCATATGCCGAATGCAAACCGGGATCCATATCAAGAATTTCTAGCCAAACGTATTCCTGGAGCCCAATTCTTTGGTATCGATACAATCAAGGATACCAGTGTTGATCTACCTCATATGTTACCAAGCGTCAATGTATTTGCCGAAGCTGTAGGTAAAACTCCCAATAGATAAAAAAAAAAAAAAAAAAAAAGGAAATAAACTCAATAGGTTTTTGATATTTTTATTTACTTAGGGGATTTGGGTATCAGCAATAAAGATCATGTCGTAGTGTATGATTCTGTTGGTGCATTTTCTGCTGCTCGTGTTTACTGGACTTTCAAGGCGTTTGGGCATGATCAAGTATCTATTTTGAATGGTGGATTACCAGAATGGATTCGTCAAGGATACACACTTGCCACAGGTACACCGGATACCCCAACCAAAGAACAGTATACCGCTAAATTTGATCAACGTCTTGTGCGTGATTATGCTACTATACTTGACCATTGTCGACAATATCAACAAGGAAAGGATGTACCTCAAATCCTCGATGCTCGTGCTCTTCCTCGATTCACTGGTGAAGCTCCTGAACCTCGTCCTGGACTCTCTAGTGGGCATATGCCTGGATCTATCTGTATTCCTTTTCAATTAGTGGCCGATGATTCTGGGTTGTATAAGGATGATCAAGCTTTACGTAAAATGTTTGAATCTCATGGTGTAGATCTTGATAAACCTATCATTACTAGCTGTGGTAAAAAGATAAAAAATAATAATAATAATAATAATAATAAAAAGAACTTGAACTAATCATTTATTACTTTTATCTCAAAATAGGTAGCGGCATCACAGCCAGTGTATTATATTTTGCTTTGGAACGTGCTGGAGCTAAAGATATTGCTGTGTATGATGGAAGCTGGACTGAATACGCAGACAAGAAGGATAGCATCATCATCAAAGATTAGTTATTATTATTATTATCAAATAAAAGGAGGTATTTTGTAGCATGATGATCAGCTTTTTTTTATTTTATTTTTTTGTCTTATGGTTGAATTCAAAAACCGCTCTTTTTTTTTTGTGACAAGCCCCTGCTTGTCGTTATTTTTTTTTTTTTTTCTTTTTCTCTTTTTTTTTTTTTTTTTTTGTGTTTGTGAAGTCTATATTTACTTCTTATATTCCCCACTCTTTCTTTTTGTTCTTTTTTATATATACATTCTTTAACAAACATCGACAGTCATGGAAAAGACATTTGCCGGATTATTACGCCATTCTCGACTTGCTTCATATGATCGTACACTTCCTCAAGTATATACAACACCAAAGAAGGCGAAAAAGGTCGGCAATTGGGGATTTAAACGAGGGCTTCCTACTGTGGTACGAACACGATATGTAACTGTAGGTGATCTTGATACAGCTGAACATCAAACACCATGGCAATCAGGGGAAAGTCAAGTACTTTTTGTTAAACGATGGAAAGAGAATTTCCCCAATTCCAAGGCACCAGCACCTCGACGAGAACAAGTACAACACAATGTAGCGGCCATGACCCCTCGACAATTTAAACAATTTTTGAAACAAGCCAGTCAACAAGCACCTGCTTTCCAACAAGCATTGAAGAACAAGGAATTAGTACCGGAACAAGTATACGACTATTTATCATGTCATTTCAATAAGGATTTGGTGAATGATCAACAACAAGATGGTGGTATAGTGGGACCTACTTATAGTGATCATCAAGTGGAATGGAACTATCCTGTTTTGGGTCGTATTTTGAACGTTGATACAGATGGTTATGCAGTGGGTATTAGTGGTGTGGTAGCCAAATTACCTCGTCGTCATTCTTCTGGTTTGCGTAACAGTGGTGATCGCCGTGTACGTGAATTCTATGTAGTGGATGCTCAATTGAATCAACAAGGTCGACCTGAAGTCACAGTCAATCTTCAAGCTTATCCTTCATCCATGAATTCTATTTTGACCAGCTCATACTACCCAACAAAGAAGATGAATGAACCAGCTTTGGAAGATATGTTTTCTGGACGACGATCATCAAGATTCCAAGATTTACGTAATGATTCCGACAATATTCAACCTAATCCCAATCATCAAGAACTTATGACCCGCATCTCTGGTTTATTGGATACTTCTACCAACAAAAAGAAATAAATCTACATTCATCTGTTTCCTCTCTTTCTCTCTCATCGTTATATAGTCCCCATTTTTTTTTTATCTCCATCCTCCACCTTTTTTTTTTATCATTATAGATGACATAACATATATATTGGATACATAATAATAATAAAAAGAAACATTCTACTAAAATTTGATGGGCACCGGCGGGGTGCAAATTCCCGAATTCAAACATAAAGAAGGTTTCTAAAACTGCCGCATGATACTTTTTCACTTTTGTCTGAGACATTTTCTCTCTTTTTTTTCCCTTTTAATTCACTCTTTTCATCACTTTTTATCTATTCGTTTCTTTGTCTTTATATAAAAACACACTTCATCATTATGCCAGCAGTAGTTGGAATTGCTTGGACAGTTTATGGCATAGTCGCTGCGGTAAAGGATGCTTTTGAAAGTTTTTTTTTATATATGTTTGATGAATAGAATAGTATGCTTTAAACTCACTTTTTATTATTATTATTCTATTCATTCAATAGATCTTTTTTCTATTCAGTATTGGTTTTACACGTTATTATCAAGATAAACATGAACGAGATACATTTGCCACCATTGTCACTATATTAGCACTAGGTTTGGTATTATCCTGTTTAGCTTTACTACCAGTAGATATCTTTTTGGTATCTTCTACTGTTGATCAATGGACTGGGTTAAAGAAACCATGGGCTACTCCGGATACTATTGAAAATATGAAATTTGTTGTCCAATGGGTATATTATGGTAATAAAAAAAAAAAAAAAAAGAAAGAAAGGAAAGAAAAAACGCGTTGATTAGTATTGACACTTTTGGATATCAATAGGTTGTTATGGTATGATTGGATTCTTCTGTTTCTTTTTGATTCCTTTTGCCTATTTCTATTATGAAGAAGAAGATGTGGATCAAGCTCGTAGAGACAGAATCAAAGGTGCGTTCAAATATACTTCATTCTTTGTCGCCATCTCCATCTTTTTATTCTTGTTTGCCTTATTTCTCAAACCTAATCGACCTCCTCCAAAACTGGATCTGGATTGGTTTAAACATATATTATTGGAATCAAGTAAGTGTATTGGAGATGGATAAATGATATACTGACATATGTTTTATTTTGATTAGATGGTGAAAAGACAATTGCATTTGTGATTGCTTGTTTGGCTTTATTGGGAATGCTTATTTTGATTGGATATACGGTAATCATGATAGAGAAATGAGTGAATGTAATATTTATATAAATTATACATGGTAGGCACCTGGATTATCACTTTTCCCTATGGGCTTGATCAAAGGTAAAAAAGCTTTAGATGTGGAAAATGAAGATGTTGGAAATCAATTGGTGGCTGTACGTGAACGACAACGTGCCCTTCAAGCAAAATATACTGGAAACAACAAAGTGATGACAGCTCATGATTACCGGTCTATGGAAAATTTGGAAGATGAAGAAAGGTATATAAAAGATAAATATTAAAAGTAAACTCATCTCTATTGTTTTTTTTTTATTCAAATTAGAATCTTAGTTCGACGATTAAGGGGTATTGAAGAAGACAAGAAAAGTGTTTGGCAAAAGATCTTTACCTTCCTACGTCCATTTGAGGTAAAAATGAAAAAAAAAGAAAGATGATGATGTTCATATGAGTTGATTTACCCTTATATATGTATTATTTTATCTTTTTAGTTGATTATTGGTATCCTTTCCTTTATGTTGACTTGGGTGATTATGATATCTATGTTTTTGACAATGGAAGTATTTTCCCTAACATTTAAGAATAGTATCTTCCGAAAATGGCAATCGACCTTACTGACTTTCTTTTTTCTTCTTTTCTTCTAAAACAACAGAGTGGACAAGATCGCATCTTCTATTTGTGGCCGACAATGTGGATACATTATTAGTCACCCTACACTTTTCAATCCAATCAACTTTATCTTTGTCAATCTATCCAAAGTAAGAAATGTGATTGATTTTAGGGAGTGAAGGGAAAAAGAAAAAAGAGAGAGAGACTAGTAATTGAAAGGGGGAGAAAGACAAAGCATGATGATACTAATTTTTATTACTATTATTATTTCATGAACATTATTCTATAGTGGTTTCCATTGGATTACGTATTCATGATAATTTTGATCCTTTACTACTTTATGGCAACTTTATCAGGTCTTGTAACAATGGGTATTCGCTTTTTATGGATGAATCTTTATCATATTCGGAAAAATGGAACTGCTCCTCAAGGGCTTTTGGTGACAGCTGTGCTTTTGACCCTGAGTCTACTGGCTTTGAATTACACGGTGACTACGACGGTTGCGCCTGGTTACGCCCATTTTGGTAGTCAAGTTTATGTAGGTTCATATGGGAAGACTTTTTTATTAAAGTGACAAAAATGAAAAAGAAGGGATATAAAAAAGGAAAAAGACAAAGGGGAAAAAAAAAAGTGATGGTCCGGAACTCAAGTCTTGCTAATGTGATATTCTTTATTTTTTTTTTTTTAATAGTGTAACTATACAATAGGGGACAAACGTGATTGTAGTGATCGAAATGAATACATTATCCCTTGTGATTTGAAAGCACCTACTGGTAAGGAACATCAACTCCCTTCTTCGAAACAGTGAAAAAATAAACAATAATATTAGAATGACTCATTGAGTTTTATTATTATTATTTTTATGTTTTAGAAATATGTACACCTACTACATCATCAATATTGATTGATCGCGTTCTTGTGGATACACCTTTCCTTGGATTCATCTTTTATTGGTGTCAATGGGCATTCCTTGGAATGTTTTTGATTGGAAGTGTAGTGGCTATTTTCTGGCGACCTCGCAACAATGTGGGAAGTGGTGATGATGATTATCTGGATGACGAAGAACAACAGGGGTTATTATCATCAGGATCACAACAACAGCAACAACAACCTTCTTATCATTAGTTATATATCTAGTTATTTGGTTATTTAGTTCGTTAGTTAGTTAGTATACTTTTGGTTTCATTATTCTCATGATTTTTGATGCGTTCCTTTTTTTTTGAAATAAAGCAAGTGTTGTTTTGAATGATAGGCAATGAACGTGCAAGGTGAACCTTCTTTTTTTCTTTAACATAAATCAAAGTTTACATTTATGCAAACTATTGGCGATGATCTTTTGTTGAAGAAACATGAGGCAAATGCACTACAGCATGGATCAAACAGTAAAAAAGGTCTGTGTCCACGTTGTATGTAGACGAATATGGGATTATACAAAGAATAAATCATTGCTTTGATCAATCATCGTTTGAATCCAAGTTTTTTTTTTTTTTTTTTTTTTTTTTTTTTTTTTTTTTTTTTTTTTTTTTTTTTAGACCAAACTCCTCTCAATTCAAAAAAAAAAATGCATAAAGTGCATCAGGGGGGAGATTAGTGAAAATAAATGAATACCAATTGAAAAAAAAAAAAGGAGAATCAACAAGGTAGAAGAGTTGTAAATGATTGAATGCGTGGATTTCTATAACCAAGAGAAAAACAAGTCTAGCAAAAAAAAAAATGATGGATCAACCAATCACTCTCAATACGACAAATGAGATGATGATGAAAAAAAAAAACCTCTCTTACAATACCATTGTATTATCATACACATATTATCATTTATATCATTACATATTATCATCATGATGGGAGTTATCATCATTTATCATTTATAATCACGATTTTCACAATTTAGAAATAAAAGAATCACTCCTATTATTTTGATTCTTATTAGGAAACTGTCATTTTGACTATTGATAATCATTTGGATTTCTTTTTTGATGATACTACAATTCAAACGATAGTACCTCCTTGGGTGATTACTGTGTGTGTGTGCTTGAGAGAGAGATAGAGAGAGAGAAAGCTGGGATTTAAACCTAAAATGGCAAGCGGATGAAAGCTGATTGCATATACGACATATTTTCATGAATGGAAAAAAGAACTAAAGAAAGTCAAAATAAGAGTCATTACCCCTGAATATATATATATATATATATAAAAATATCATCGATATAAATAAATAGAAATCTTGTTATGTTGATTGGTCATTATAAGAAAAAGGCTTAATTATCCACTAATGACACAGAGAGAGAGAACAAAGAAAAATGAAAAAAATGTGTTTTTATTTGAAGGTGTCAACTAAACATTACTTGATTGTTGTTGTTGCTCAACAGGGTTCAAACTCGTCAATGGCTCATGTGAACTTTATTTGTCTAACCTGACGTTTTTGATTGAGTGATTGATTGATTGATTGAAATGAAAAAAAAAAGGTAAGAATGGAAGATCATTTGAATTTATGTTAGTTAAGAAAAAAAAAGTGAGAATAAATCTAAAATCACCAAAGTATTAAGCAGTCGATCTTTTTTTTTTTTGTTTCCTCAAAACAACATTGATATATATGGTAAAAGAAGGCGAGTTTTTACTTTTCTTGGATGAAAAGAAAAAAATTCCAAGTATAGACTTAGGGAGAACTCCTTAATTGATGAAACTTGGTCTCTTGATTGCTTCAAGTAAAAATATCCAATCCCCCCCTTTTTTTTTTATATAATCTTATTGGCGATGATAATCCGGATAGGATGATCCGGTCTTTTTATAATTAACATCTATAATTACTTTTTTAGTCTTTGACCCGTGCTTACTTACCATGATGATGAATTTTGATGGAATCATTCTATCATTTATGCAAAAAAAAAAAAAAGTTGAATTAGTAACACATAGAAATCCAAGCTCGATGTGCGGAATATAAAATATTAACTTGGAACCTTTCACTTTGATATAAATTTAAAAAAGTCAAGTTTGAATTCTTTCTTTTCTCTTTTCATTTAACTTTCTTTTTTTTCATTTACTTTTTTTTTCATTCATTCACCTTCTTTTTGCCCTTTTACTCTCCTTCGGCATCATTCGTTGATAATACCACTTTACATTCTCTTTTCATTACAATTCCTTTTTTGATTTCCTACTTGTTTGTTCATCTCTTTTTATAAACAAGTTCATTCTCCATATATTCTTCTTCTTCTTTATTTATTACATTTTAATCTTTTCTTTTTGATAAAGAAAAGTGTTTTATATATTCATACTAAAAAAAAAATTTACTTTTTATCTCTCAAAGGTAAAGTTCTATTTCTCATTGATGATTTTTTTTTGACCAATCATACTTCTTGATTATTATTATTATTATTTGATAGATGTATTCACCTATTAATGAAATGCAAACTCCTACCTTTGAAACCACTGCTGCTGCTGCTGCTGCTACTACTCCTACTACGGATGGACTTGGTAACAACCTGGAACTCTCTTCTGGAATGGATTATATGCGTCGTTTTAGCTATGCTGATTTGTTATCCAATCATAGCGAATCCAGTCTCTCGGATTACGAACAACAAACTCCTTCTCCTTCCAATGATTATGAAGATTATATATTCCATCAACAGCAACAACAACAACAATTTCAATTACATCACCCTTTGGATGAACAAAAGCGTCGGATGAGTATGATTGAACAAGCTACTAGTTATTATCAACAACAGCAACGTTCTTCTTACATGTTACCTACTGATTACCTCCATTCTACCAACAATACAACTAATTCAATGTTATCTCCTTCTACTTTGGGTTATTCTCCTGCTGTTACTGCTGTTTCTAATCAGTATTCTCATCATCAGTATGCTCAGCAAAGATCAATGTCTTATTCAGCTGGTGATGTCATGTCTACTTTGGTGCCTTCCATTTTTGAATACAATCCCACTTGTCCTTCCTCCCCCATGACATTGGATACTACTTCTATGGTGAACTTTAATGAGTCTAATACCTCTGGATCAATGATATCTCGTGATCGATTGGATTCTTTATCATCTCTTTCATCTGATTCCATGGCTTCTCCTCCTCATCAACAGCAACAACAACAAACCAAGCTTACAAAGTCAGGAAAAGTGAAACAATGTAGATCAAGAGGTCGTCGCGTATCTAGTAATCCTACTATTGGTGCAAAAATGTTTACTTGTAAACATGATGATTGTGGAAAAATATTCAAGAGATCTGAACATTTGAAACGACATATTAGATCTATTCACACCTTGGAAAAACGTAAGTCCTTTATTATGAATCCTTTTTTTTTTTTTTTGATACTCATTATTTTATATTATAGCCTTTGAATGTCCATATCAATCATGCTCCAAACGATTCTCTCGATCGGATAATTTGAATCAACATATTCGTATTCATCGCCATACCACCAAGGAAAAGGCATCAAGTAACAATGGATCCTCTACTTCTTCATCATCATCATCAACAAGTCCAGCATCATCAGTATCATCATCGGTATCATCTCGTCATTCATCTTCATTCAGCAACTGTATGCCTTCCTATGTGTAGAATCCGTCATCTTCCCAATTCATCAACAAACGTACAAGTGTGAATTACTATTACTATGGTCCCTTTTTCTCTTATATCTCCCTTGTCCCTTCCCCCCTTGTTTTTTCTTCTTCTTATATTAGTCACACTACACGTTTTTACAAACACACGTATCTACACAAAACATCACCTTTCCCCTTTTTTATATTTGTCTGCATTTTTTTTTTCTATAAGGTTTTTTTATATCAGTTTTTTAGGCTCTTCTTTTTTTTTTTTTTATCATCCACTCTTTCTGCATACCTCTTTTTTTTTTATTATTCTTTTTTTTTTTTCCTTTTAAACTGCATGCGTTTTTTTTTTATTTATTTATTCTTCTTCTTCTTTTTTTTTTTTTAGTTTTATAGTACTAGTGTTTTTTAATCTCTACCTTACCTCTTTCCTGTTACAAATGAATGATAGAACTGTGTATGTATACTTTTCTCATCCGTTTGTTATGGATTGACTACTTTTTAATTATATCCCTTCTTCAATAAAGAAATCTTTTCCTTATGATCACTATACTTTTTTTCTTTATATGATGTGTATACAGTAGTTAAATAATATTATTATGATCAATAAGATCTTACAATAAAACAAAAAAATAAAAAGCAAGTCATGGGATATCAAATGGATCGACATATCTAGTCTCCTAAAAAAAAAAAATCAATGATTTGTACCCATGATATCTTTGTGTACTGATCCTAATATAGATTAGGAAATAACAAGTATGACCGTTGCACTCATGTCTCCATATTGAGTAGACAAAAACAGATATGGTTCAAATGAGTGAGTGACCATTTCCATAATAAAGGCACATCCGTATGTGTGTGTGTGAAAAGTTGTAAAATATTCAATCACCGCCTACGTTCAGGGGGTGGAACCTTGGAAAAACACTTCTCACTCAAATGCATAAATCCATTGGCTCGAGCGTTCGGTTTGAGTTGAAGAACCCGACTCTTGTTCTTTTTTTTTTTTTTTTTTTTTTTGTAACTTATTTTACTCGCATTCTTTTTTGGCTTGATAACGAAGTGAATGTAGTACAAGTATATATTTTTTTTCGGCTTCTCTTCTTTAGGTTACTCCGTTTATTGATGATGGTTCAAAATAATGATCTTCACTTGACTTTTTTTTTTAATAGTAATAATAATAAATAAAAAGAAGTATAATTATATATGAAATATATCTTAAAGCTTAAAAAAAGAAATGTTATCAAAATAAGAAGTGAGTAGATTTATTTATGAGAAGATGAGATGGTGTGATGAAAAAAAAAAAAAAAGAAATGCCCCGTGATCTTGTGTTGCCACCCTCTGAAATAAAAGAAATTCATTGTCCTCCCTGATTTTTTTTTTCTTCTTCTTTTTCTTCTTTTTTTTTTTTTTTAAAAAAAAAGAATTGTTAATTCATCTTCTTTACAAATAAAAAAATACGAAAAAGAAAAAATGGAATCTTTTTCTTCTTTATCAACAGCTACTCATCCATCCTCTTATTATGCCCCAACTACTTCTGCTTCACAACAACAATTATTTGATCTTCAATTCGCTTCTGAAGTTTCTACAACTGATAACCAACAATTTCATCAAATGTTACAACATCATCAAGCTATTATACTTCAACAACAACAACAGCAACAGCAACAGCAACAACAACAACAACAACAACAACAACAACAACAACAACAACAACAACAACAACAACAACAACAAAGTAATAAAAAAAGGATATCTTTTTTTTTTTGTGTAGCTAAAAATATATTTTTCACCTAGTGATGTATGACCATCGACGTGACTCCACATCTTCTTCCGGACCCAACAACCGAAGGTAAATATAATAATAATAATAATAATAATAATAATAATAGTAATAATAATAATAATATATACCCGCATCACTTATATTCTTTATTGATTTTAGAGTCCAATCTAAAGCAGAAAAAAGAGCAGAACATAATGCTATTGAACGTGCAAGAAGAGAGGGTCTCAATACAAGGTTTCAACAGTTGGCTCATCTATTACCGAATCTTCAACATGATACTCGACCTTCAAAAGGAACTATCATTGAAAGAACTCTGGAATTTGGTAAGAAGGGGCGTTTTTTTTTTTTGATCTTCTATATATATATATGTGTGTGTGTGTGTTGTGTGTGAAAAAAAAAAAAAAGGAAACTTAGTCGGAACCTAATTTTTTTTTCTCTTTGTTTTCTCCTTTTCTTCTATTTTCAACATATTCTAACCTATAGTGAAAGACGCCATTCAAAAAGAAGAACGTTATCGTTATGAAATCAAGGATCTTCGCCACACAAATCGCCAACTTTTAAAACAACTTACTCATTTGACAACAGGACAAGATGCTAATAGCGAAGTCATGGATTCTGATGATCAACTAAGCTATAGGTCAGCTTCTCCTACCGTGGATCCTATCGTCACTACGCCCCCACCTATTGATCATTCTTCTTCACCATCTCTTCAACATAATCGTCCTTCCTCTCCTTCTTCTTTATTCTCAACTGCTTCCTTTCCTTCAGCTACTTTACCAACTCAACAATTACAAAACAAAATGGAAAACCATCCATCATGGACATCAACTCAACAATTACAAAACAAAATGGAAAACCATCCATCATGGACACCAACTTACAATTCAAATCTAGGCTTTCTCTCTATTAGGTGAATTTTTCTTTTTTTCATTATTAAAAACTATGTTGGTCATGATGACCTTTTTTATATGTCTTTTTACTGAATTGAATAAAATATATGATCTCTCATGCGTTTATAATAAATTCGATGTCCGGTTTCCAGAAAGAAGTCGATTTGAGAACAATGAAAAAAAAAAAAGGTTGGTGCTGCCGTTTTCTTCTTTCTTTCTTTTTCTTTTTTTTTTTTTCTTTACTTCTTTCTTTTGACCAATGACTATTTGAACATTGTAAGTTACAACCATACATAACTATTAATTTACTTTATATACTTAAAGTCGCTCTTTACATAACTACACATACTTTTATACTTACTATATACTTATTCTTCCTTACTTTTCTTGTTTTCTTCTTTTAGTCCCTCATACTATGAACTAAACTGTTTTATAGTTTTTTTTTTCTTTTACTGTTTCTGTGAAACTACAGTTGATGGATAATACGACAGGATATACAATAAGATCAACTGGATATACAACAAGTTCTCTATTAGACAAAGAATGGCAAATCAGGAAAAAGTATCTCCCTTGTTCTTCTTCTCTTTTATCCGATTCTTTCTCAAAACTGCAGGTGTCCAAGGCATCAAACCAACGTAAGTGTTGTCTTCTCTTTTTTTTTTTTTTTATGATTTATTTATCACTGATATACGTATATTTTGATATATCAGTCCTCATGCTAGTATTGGACCTGGATTACAACATCTCTTACACTTCCTCATGGTACTTCGTTCACAACAACACCTAGTCATTATATTCAAGTATCTGGTCACCTAACTCGATGATACAACCACAACAACGACGTCCTTGACAACTAACAAAACCCAATACTCTTACTACTAAACCTACTCCGACTACTACGGTCCCTCCTTCCTTAAGACACACTGCTTCTTTGACCTCATTTCCTTCTGAAGTATGGCATCAACCAACAAATAGTCTTTGGTCTCAACAAACTAGTTTAGCTCATCCACCAACATTGACATTTCAATCCTCCACTACTCTTTCTTTAGACATCATATCTTTAGTCCCTCCGGTGGAATAACCTTCATTACGCCCAGAAATAGATTTCGACAAAATTATCTGGTGTACATTGATGGGTGGACTACTCTTATCTTTTTTTTACCTTCGTCAACAAACATTTTATAAAAATAAAAAAATCAATTTGTTTAAAATCATTCAAAGAAGATGTGAATATGTCATTATGTGATGTTAACAATCGTAAGTTAATTAGAGATGCATAAAGGAAGAAAGAATGGATGTTTAACTTTTTTATTATACCATTCTACCTGTCATGATCAAGGAAGATCCTCATTCACAACATTCTTTACAACAACAACAAAATTTATATTTGGCGCAACAACAAACAATGATGGCTTTAATAATACTACTCAGGCTACAACACGATTGACCAGTCGACCTTCTGTCTCTTCTCTTCATCCATTCCGATGAATGGTTTTTTCTTTTTTTGATTCTCTTGTATATATATATATATCTTATTCTTTTTTCCTCTTTTTTTTTCATATTCATCCATACATGTTCATCCTTCTATCATTCATTCTTTTTTTTTTTTTTTGTAATTTCCTTTTCACCTCTCTTCCAACAACAACGAAAAAAAAGAAATACCCATCACTATTTTATTTTATATATTTCTGCATGTCCATCTATATGCCCCTAGTTTTTATAGTTTATACACTATCTATTCTATCTTTATTTTTTATTTTTTTTTTGATATTCATTATTCTCATTTATCATATCATTTCATCATATATCCCAAGTAACAAAAAATAAACATCGTTTTTTTTTTTATTGTATGACTAGATCCATCAAAAAAATAATAATGTCATGAGTGAAAAATGATATCATCATGCAAAGTGATGAAAAGATAAAATGCCCTACTGCGAAATAATCAAACGCACGGGCATGAATGCATTCACTGGTAATAAACGCCCACTTGCTATTGTTTTGTTGTTTATTTGGTTCATATGATTGAATTCCCGCGTTTTATTTTTTGCCTTCATTTGGTATAATAAAAAAAAAAAGTAATGATACTAATCATACAAAGAATTGTGTCATAAGATAATAATCAAATCTATGCTGACTAACTAAAAACAAATGATTCCATTTAGTCTCTTCCATTGCTTCCAAATGTGTTTTGCTTTTCCATCTCCTTGTCGTGTCGTTTGTTGCGATATGTAGGGCCAATATGAAGAAATATTAGGTACAATGCATGAGTCACCAGTAGAATGATTCCCACAATCTAAACAACAAATAATTAATCATCTTTTTTTTTTCTGGGTAATTGTTATTGTTTTCCACTTACTGTAAAAAACCATCCAACGCCAACACCTTGAATGCCAGGATCAATACATACTGTGATAACAGCACTATTCACAACAATCAAAAAAAAAAAAATCAATTTCTCATGTGCTTTCATTTTGAAGTTCCATTTACCCAAGAATACAACGAACCAAATTGTTGGATGCTGTAATGGATGCGCCTCGACCAGGAAAAAGGTCCACCAATAATGTTTGCATAGCATTCATAGATCCTACCATACAAAATGCAACTAGAAGATTCCCAAAAAAAAAAAAAATACATCGGATGTTATACAAAAAAAAAATCCTGTCTTCTGGGTTTTTGTTGTTTTACCTATGAATTGAAGGATAATAGGCACAGCCAAATGAACACTGTTTTGAAGTGCCCAACCATAACCAAGAGTAACAATTTGAATAGCAACAGCATAGATCCAACTAATTCGAAAACGAGCATGATAAATAGGGAAGTCTAAAGGAATCTTGCCACGATCAATAATGGCACCAGGATGATCTTGTTTGTATTTGTTCAATACCGATGTAAATTCGCGATCCATTATCTTTCCTGAGATATAAGAGCTAATAACACATGCAACACCTAGATGAAAGTAGAACCAGATTCAGTTGAGCTTTTTTTCAAAAAAAAAAAAAATTACCTTGAGGAATAAAACATAAGCCAATTTGGATTGCGTTCAAACCATAAATTTTATCGTAAAGATTGGTGGTAGATACAAGATAGCAGTAATAACAACTGTAAAGAATAGCAACGTAGATTAATCCTATCAGCACATCCAGTTGAAAAAGGTATAAAAATGGCGCAAGAAAGTTGGGTTGTTGTAAGAAGCGTGATTTGGTGGTATTTATTGTTTCTGCGTTGGCAGGGTTCAGTTTCTTTTCTCGCCGATGTCGAATCCATTGAGATGGTGTCGGATTGGCATATCCACTTCCATTTCCCACCAAAGATCGAAGAGTTTCAGGTACAAAGAAAAGCGTGAGAAAGAAACAGATGCTGGCAAAAACTAATAAGATCCAAAAAATCCATCTATTGAAGACTATTGTATGAATTACATTTTTTTTTAAATCTTATCATTGTCCTTATTTTTAACTTACCTCCATCCAATAGTACCAGCAAGTACACCTTTTTTTTTTTGAATGATAATAAACCCAAACGAGGATAAAATTAAAAAAAAAGTGAGTCAACTTTATTCATATTGAATCAATTTTTGCTTTTATTTTCAACTTACCTCCAACAATAGGACCTGGAGTAAAGTGACAAATGGAAATAAAAATAAAAGAAAAAAAAATAAAGGTTAGTACAAAAAAAAAAATATAGTGAATCATGGATGTCTGTATATATCTACATATATATGTATATGTATATATATATATGTGTGTAACATACCAATAACAGGTCCTAGGGAAGAATGAAAAGTATAACGCGTCAGAAACGAATTCTTCATTGTATAGCCATTATATATATTACCTATCAGTTGTCCCATACTGTAACTCCCATAAAAACTTCCACGTCTAATATGAAATTAAAAAAAAAAAGTCAACATGCTATTTTCTTTTTTTTAAAAAAAAAAAAAAAACGTACTTTGCAGGTTCGGCAATGTCACCAACAACTCCAGCACCAACGGCAATGAGTGAGCTTGCACCAAAAGCTTGTAACATACGAAAAAAGAGTAATAAACCGTATACATGACTCAAAGCAAGGCCAATGCACGATAAACAGTAAACAAAGACAGTAAGAAGGTATACAGGTCGTCGTCCCCAGAGATCAGCCAAAGAACCCCAGAAAGCAGGCGATAGTCCTTGAAAAATCATATAAACTGTCACTGTCAAATTGATCAGTTCACTTGTTGTCCCAATGTCCTAAATGAATGTTCATAATGAAATAGAAGAAGGGCGAAGGTAAAAAAGAAAAGGAAAATTAAAAAAAGATATATTCCGCGAAATTTACCCAAAACAGATCATTTCTTAACTGTCCCACGATATAGATAAGGCGCAGTTGAATTTTTTTTTTTTTTTTTTTTTTTTTTTACCTGTTGAATATTATTCAGGGCTGGGATGTAGATATTAGCACTGAGAGGAGATAACATACCACTAGCAGCAGAAATAGTCAATACTAAAATGAGTTTTTTATTGGATAGAATACAATAAGGCTCATCATCAGTGATTGATATATCTTGTTCCTTTTTTTCTTCTTGTGATTCAGGGGACGAAATCGTTGATCGATCATTTTGTTCAGTGGTATTGATTTGATCCATCATATATCTTTGTATGTTTTATCCACTTTCTCTCTCTCTCTTCACCTTATTCCAAAATAATCCTTTGCAATAAAATGAAAAAAAAGAAGTGTTAATGACTATAAGAGATGATCTCAAAGAAGAAAAGACAAAAAAACAATGAAAACTAGATTCTGAATTTATATGATGCCATTGGGTGAAAGATATCCCTTTTTCAATTTCAGCACATCGGTTATTACCGATCGGTTCTCTGATAAAAATCTTCTTTATAATCATGATTTAATCATTTGATAACTTTATTGTTCTTTATTGACTGATGATGATTCTTCATATGCATAACTACCCGTCATTACAAGATGCTTTCATGTAAAATAAAATGATGATAAAAGAAAAAAAAATTGATAAGTCACTAACTAAAAAAAAAATAAATAAATAAAATCCATTCCATCCAAATCAAGCAGTTCTCAATATCAAGTGTACACCGCTATCGGTCCATATAGGTTGACTGAGTTCTCCTACTTGTAATGCAAATGCTGTATCTTCAAAAGGCTTTTGCATTTGTCCATGTTCAAAATATCCAAGATCACCACCACGTTTAGCACTAGAACAATCAGAATAATTGGTTGCCAAAGCACTAAGTGTTTCCACTCCATCTTCAATTTGTTTCTGATAACCTTTCAAAATCGCCAAAGCTTCTTCTTTCGTACGAGTGATGTTTTCCTAATAAAGACAAAGAATATAAGTTAATCCATTCATAACATATCAACGAATACAATTTAAAAATAAAAGAAAAAAAAAAGAGTGAGGCGCAATTTTTTTTTATTGTTTTACTTTACCTCTCTCCAAGAACTAGGTCGTCTCGATTCAGCATGTTTCACTAATAGATGACTTGCTCGTACACGCTCAATATCTTGAGTAGGTGGTGCATCCCAACGCGATTCTTTCGTCACTGTGTTAAAGTAATAGTCTTTGTTATATGTTCGAGAATGTCGAATAACCCAAGGCGCAGGTAAATCCTAACATGAAACAAATAGAGAGAAAAAGAGAATTAGTTATAATTCAATAGGTAAGTAATGGTATCTTTGTTTTTTCTTTTCATCGTAACAAGTTATCCAAAGAAATAATATATATATATATTTCTGTTATTCTTATTACCATGATCAATGACGCAAGTAACCCAGAAAAGAAAGACAGATGAGAGACAAGAGAAAAGAGGGGAAAGAAAAAAAAAAAAAAGAAAAGAAAAGAAAAAAGTAATGTGTCTACGTTCTCATTTTTTTTTTTGCGGATTTTGAATTACCCAATGAACGAACAGAAACATTGAATGTAGCATGCATATCATTAACTGTATATGATACAAACTCGCTTACACTCATATTGATATGTTATAAAGGTCCTATTTGTTATCTTTAATGAATAGTACAATAATTAACTTGATCAATATACTTGGATTTATCACTTTTTGTTTTTTCTTGGGCTTTCATTTTAGATATTGGTTTGTTATTGAAAGTCAGGTTTTTTTTTTTGATTTTCTTTTCTTTCTATTTTTTTTTTTTTTTTATTTGCAGGAAACTTTTCAAGTAATCATGTCGGTTCCTCAGATGAAACGACGCAAAATACAACATGACTATTACAAAGATTCTGTAGTTTGTAACAAGAATACTAGGACCACTATTACTACTACCAGGTTGGCTTTTGATTTTACGTCTCCTCATACGCCTCTTATTTTATCAAGGTAACCAAAGCAACATCTCTCCAACAATGACTCTATCATCTTATACTTTTTTTTTTTTTTGGTATTTCAACAATATATATATAGTTACGCAGGCTTGATATTTTATACCATTTTGATTGGATCCTTACTGGTGCTTCTATATCTTGGACTCACATCAGTACAACAGGAAATACATGAACGTATAGCTGAACACAGTCGAGGTAAGACGATCCAAAAAAAAAAAAAGGTGTTTTCTTTATGTAAAAAAGGAGATCGTACTAACTCTTTTTATATATATATCCCATAGAGTTGGAATATAGTGTTGCCCAATGTCGGCAAAAGTATCAAGGTAATCATTGTCAAGACAAAGTCAAGTTTCCTTTCTTGGTGACTTATTGTAATGCCTGGCTCAAATATCCTTTTTTTTCTTTCTTTAAATCATCATTCATATGATCCTCTATTACTTCCTTAACCTTCTTTTTTTTTTTTTTTCTAGTACGTGTATGCAGCAAAATACTCGGGTTGTTAAAAGAGCCGATATAGGTGCTCGTGTATTCGGCGAACTTATCAATTCATTTTTTGATGCATTGACTTTGAAAACGATGGTATGATATTGGAAATTGTGTCATCTTTAATATTTACTCACTTTTTTTTTTCTGTAGGTTGCTTTATCGTTATTGATGTTTGGTCCCATTCTCTTCTTATACATTTTATAGACCATTATACCTTTTTTTATATATACACATTATTTGTATTATACCTTTATCATCCCATTTTGGTACTTCATTTTTAGCATCATCATCACCATTCCACCCTATCCGATCGTTGTCAGCATCATCATCATCATAGATACGCGTCATGTACTATCATCATCCCGTTTTTTTTTTTTTTATTGTCTTCTAACAGAAATTGATTATTTATTTTGAAGAAACAATAATAAACTGAAAAAAGCTAAACTAAAATTTAAAGTCTTTTTTCTTGTCAATATTTCTAATTTCTAACTGTCTTTTTTTCTTGGCTTGTCGCTTAGCATGATCAGTATACATGACCTTGAGTTCTTGATCTCCCACACCTTGAGGCATATGTTCCTGCTGTGCTTGTTGGTATTTTTCCTGTAAGGTTGCCTTGTCCAGTCCTCCATGATTATCGGTCAACTCACTTGGATCCAATGAAATGATTACATCTTCCGTCTTGCTCCATGATGTTTGTCCAATATACTTTTTGGGTTGCGATGTCGTTACTGCTGAGGAAGGTATATCATAGACATGTTGTGATCCCATCATCAGTGTAGAAATCTCCGTTGTCGGTCGTGAGGGTATAATATCGTAAAGTTTTAATAAACTGCCGTTATTGGATTTAATAGAAGATAAAGCTTTCTGTTTGCCAGTTTTCAATTCCGCACCTACATCCATGTCAATAGGTGCCACTATGGCCGTATCCATGGTTTCAATGGGCTGATCTGCAATTGCTGGTACGTCATTATCGTTGTTATCTTCTTCAGATTCTTCACTTTCTATTTCTTCTTCTTCTTCTTCTTCTTCCAGAGCACCCCAAAGAGTTCTATCCACATCCACTTGCACGTCCTATATCATTATTTATTATTTAGAAAGAGAATGAGATAAATGTACTAAACCGATTTTGGTGGATATATAATTTACCTTTGTAGTTTTTTCAGTAAATGAATTGTCTGTGTTAAATACATCACCATAAAGTGGGCGATTAAACTATAGAATGAAAGCCGTACATTAGTAAGTGTGAGAGATCTTTTTTTTTTTTTTTTGTACTTACAGCATCTACAGGAACCAGTCCCCAACCATTCTTTTGTAGACCCCATTGAGCACCTTCAGGAATAGGAGTATTCAACCCAGGTATTTTCAAGTAAGGATAACTTGGAGGAGGACCATATCGCTGCATTTGTAAAAGCCAAGGTGGTGGTATCGTAGGAGAAGATGACATACCTAGAGCTTCCTTCAGTTCATCAGATAACTGACCTGGTTTCTTGTTTTGAAATGCTGATTTAATTTCTTTCCTTTCAAAGTACCTACAGTGAAAAAAAAAAAAAAATTGGATACAGATCAAACGAAAAAAAAAAGAAGAAGGAATTTGTATCATACTTACAGATCACCATGAAGAGTCAAATGTGGTTTGGTCTGAAATCTAAAGAAGGCATCATGAAGAGCCTGATATTCCAAATCCATTTTGCCTAGTTTGGGTCTTCGTTGTTCTCGTTTTTTTGTCTTTTGTCGCTTCTTCTGCTCTTGTTTCTTCAAATTATCGCGTACTTCCATGATGCCAGTGTCTTTGATAAACTCTATTTAAAGAAAAAAATTACATTAGTTAATTACAATCTAGATCACCTTTTTTTTTTTTTTGATGCTTACCTGGCAGTTCAAATGGAGGCTTGTCTTCAGAGAGATCTTGATAAAGATACTTTTGCTTTTGTCGCCAATGACCAGGAACAGGTACAGTATTACGATATGATTTCAAGTCCACCAATAATAAAGGATCTGGTGCCGTAGTATCCCAGATCTATGCAAAAAAATAGAATAGTTGACAAAATGAGAGATGAGTTACATAGTTATTCTATAGGTTGTTTGACCATGCTTACCTCTACCACTTTAGGAACTGTTGCCAACATTTTTAATTCGTCCAAAGTATACTGTTGTGCTTTTTTCCGTTTCTTTTTGCTGGAAGTAGAGGTGTCGTTTTCAGAAACATAATCCTTGTCACAGCTGACGTGAATTTCCTCCACTGGTTCTTCATAATGCTTGTTATTGCTAGGTAGTTCAAAACGCTTGATAATATTAGAAAATTGATCAACTGTATTTTGTCCAAACTTCGCCATAGGTGTAAGATCTATTTCTGGTATAATGTAGTCAATCTGATCTTGAAGAGGATCTTTATTTTGATTATGCTTTCCTTCGTTCTCTAGAGGTAGTTGATGTTCATTTTGATCGTTCAATAATTGTCCGTCTGTTGTAGTACACTATAATATAAAAGAAATTAGTTAAAGGAAGAAAAGGAAAAAAAAAAAAAAAACCTTTTTTATATATATTATCTTTTACTTACATTCATGATCTTTTTATGGATAGACAACTTGTCACGTTGTTTTCGTAACTTTTTCTTGATACGTTTGCGTACCTTCATGGCTCGTCGTCGTTCCTCCATGGATAGTACTTTCGATTGTTTCGTTTGATTCATATTGCCTTCTTCTTCTTCTTTTCCTTCTTGTTCTATGATCATGGACCATTGAGTGGTTTATATAAAATAAAATAAGCAAAAGAAAAGAAGCAAAAAATTTTGGATTTTTGCTCGGTGATTGAAATCCAGGTCGCAGGATGATCTTCCCAAAAATAAAAAAAAAAAATTCAATTTAAAGTTTTCTTTTTTTTTTTTTTTAACCTTTTTTTTTTTTTTTTTTTTTTGGTTATTGCCATTATATTGAAAAGAGAATGAGCGACATTAGTCCTTCTTCTAGTACAGCAGAAACTATGAAGCGCCTATCTTCTGGAGTTAACATATCTGAACAAATATCTTCCAATGTTGTTCAGCCAGATGACAAAGTATTAAAGATGGCAACCTTCTCCCTTCAAAAGTATCTCAAGGTAAATATTATAAATATATATATAAAAGTGAAATAATATTTCTAAATAAAATTCAACTAGGAACCTGATTTTGCAGCCGAATTTCTTGAACGTGGTGGTTTGGAATCCTTATGTGAAATTATTAAAAAGGCTAGTGGAAACACATTGGCGTATGCGTTGAATTCATTTGCTTCACTCATGGAACACAACACAGGTTGGGATTCCTTGTCGGAAGATTTCGTGGTAGAAATCGCTCACATTGTTGTCAATGAAACTTTGGTGACTATTGGACGACCTGCTACTGCTATTCTCATCAAGATTGTCACAGCAAACAACCACACAGATGACGAAATGGGTCGTCCATCAACTACTGTTACTACCGATCTGAACTCGAAAGCGACAACAGGTGGAGAAAAAGTGTCATCAGATCCTACTACTGAATCCTCTGAATCTGGAAAGAAGAAAACTGCGTTTGGCTACCCTACTCTACAAAAGGCTATCGAGCATGAACCACAACTATTATCCACTTTGATTCAACGTCTACAAAGTCAAGACTATACATTGTGTCTGAACAGTTTGGCTTTATTGACAGCAATGTTGAAGACAGTTACTGAAGAACATCAAAGTGAACTACCAGAAAGATTAGGTCAACTCAACATTGGGAAATACATTGTGGTAAGTTATTATAGTAAAAAAAAAAAAAAAAAAAAAAAAAAATCATAGTTAAACTAATGACTTTTTTTTGGTGGGGGATATTGTGGAAATAGCGTCTTATGAATAGTCATCCATCTGACGAACTACGGAAACATCTATTGGAATATCAAACGGCAATGATTAGAAATGTTATTCAACGAAGAAGAACACCGGTTTCTTTACATAATTCCAAGGATATGAAAATGTTGAATGAAATATGGGATGCTGCAAAGGTAGCCAACATTCAAGTACCAGGTGCACGTAAATGGAAAAAGATTGGGTTTTCTGTAAGTATATCTATTATGCTTTAAAGTTACTTACTTTCATATTATTCTATCTAGTCGGAATCTCCTCAACGCGAATTCACTAGAACAGGGAAATTTGGTTTACAAAGAATGCATGCCTTTGTTGTTGGAAATCAAGATTTATTTGCAAAAGTAAAAAAAAAAAAAAAAAAATCTTCTTTTTCATATTGAATTTAAATGATTCATTTTTATTTTATTTTCTTAGATGCTCTTAGAAGAGATTCATAGACCTGAAAATAAACGATGTCTATTTGCCAGAACAAGTTGTGAAAGCACCGAACTATTGTTTAGTCAGTGGGATATCTCATCTGGATGTATGAAGAAAGCATAGTTTTATCGATCTTTTTTTTTTTTAATTCCTTCTGATCACTTTTTTTTTTTTTGTAGATATTGCTGCAGAATTGGATCCAATATTGATGTATTTTGACCGTGTACAAGCAAGCACTATTCGACTCTTTTTCCGACTGTTTCAAGATATGAAAGCTACGAATGCTGATTTCTCCAAAGTATCTGCCCTAGTCCGTAGTCAATTGAGGGCTGTTTTCCGAAGTGACACAGTCAAGGATATAGGCGAATTTGAAAGAGTGATTGATGGAACTCCGTATCAAGTCATCCGTGATAGAAGATTAAAGGAATTGGAATGGGCTGATGATCTACTTGGACGCGAAGCAATTAGGTAAATTATATATTCATTCAAATCTAAGATCATATAAATTCATTTCTTTTTTTTTTTATATAGGAATCTACGTAGTCGACTGAACAAGCAATCTTATGATTTTATCAAGCAACAAAGGATCAGCTGTTTATTACAAGGAGCATGGTTTCCAAATTCATTACAACGCTCTGGTTCTACCTCAACACCAAGTGGTACCATGGCAACAAACGAACTCATTGGTAATGTAGGAAGTAGTGGTGGTGGGTCTTCTGGCAAACGTTGGAGATACTACAAGCTTAGTCCATCAAAAAAGGCATTACAATTTGGTGATTTTTCTGAAAGGGTGGCACCTATCATCAAGGATTACGACAAACTTCCCAATAAGATCGATCTCAGTCAAGTTTTTGAAATTCGTACTATTCGAAAACGTTCCAATGCTGGTGCAATGGCTCTGTTTCCTTTACCTCCAAGTTCGACACCCATGTCTCCGACTTCACCTGTTGGTTTTGGATCTCATCCTTTTGCTTCCAGTAGCAGCGGTAGCAATTACCTTCAGCATGATACAGCATCATCGACATCCGCATTGGCATTTGCATTATATAACGAAAATCATACATCTCTGGCAGAATTCATATGTGCAACTTCAGAGCAGGCTTCGGAATGGAAAGACGGATTCAGCATGCTTTTGGACAAGGGGATCACAAGTAAGGAAACAGCAGAATACCTACATTCATTGACAGAAATTGGTGTTAAGGTCAAATTGCTTCAGATTGCTGGCGATCGTGTGGAAGTCCCTCATGGATCTTTGGAAGTTCCTCCTATACCTTATGGATCAGCTTCTCGGTTTTATTATGATGTTTGAATAATATGATAGTGACAGCTAGTGTTATTCATAGAATTTCTATAACTATTATTATTACTTATTTACTAGTTTGTATACAACTTAATAAATACATACCCTTCTTATTTGTATCAGCAAACATGTAATGATTTAGATGATATGGGTTAATGATGAATGATATATATATGATAAGATAATATAGGATATGTGATGATAGATGTTATGATGATAATGGATGAATCAAATTCCCTTATTCGAAAGTCGACTTGTAAACCGTCTTAACACTTATCATATTCATTCATTGAATGAGTAGATGGATGACTGACTATTTTTGATACACACACTGTTTATTAATATGATATTTTTTTTTTTTTTTGATTTTGTTAAAAGTATACTAAAGGACACACACTATATATAAAAATTGATGATACTAATGATAACAAAAGAAAAAAAAAATATCTAAGATTGGGAGAGGGGAAAGTAAACAAGTAAAAAAAAAGAAAAGGGGGGATACATATGAAGAAATGGATGATGATGATAATAATAATAATAATAATTCGGCGGATAAGGATGAAGAGAAGATATAAAAAGTAAAGGAAAAAAAAATAAAGATAAAAAAAATAAGAAATAAAATAAAGGAATACAAAGATCTATTGAGCCAATGCAACAGCCACACTATAAGCACCACTATGACTAATAGAAACGTTGATTTCGTTGATTCCAGCCGCATCAGCTAGAGACTTCGCTTTGCCAGCTAATTGTACTTGAGGAGCACCAGTAGTATCGTTGACAGTAATTTCAATTTCATTCAAAGGAGCAGCAGCACCATCGGAAGGAATATCACCAAAAGAGGAAATGGCCTTGAATACAGCTTCCTTTGCAGACCAACGACCAGTGAAACTTGCTTGAGGATCAGGACGTGTAGAACAATAAGTGATTTCAGCAGGAGTAAAGTTGCGTTCTACAAATGTACTATTGTCGATATTCACAGAGGATGTCAATTCCACATCAACACCTACACCCTTTTTTCCAGCTTGTTGTTCTGTCAGAGATAATAACACTTGCTTGGTGGCTTCGGCATCACCTATAGATTCAGCTGTAGCATTGGCAGATTTAGCATCAAAGGTCCATGTCTTCTTTTCCTTGGAGTATTGAGCACGAGCATTGGGATTAAGGTAAACAGTATGTTCCAATTCTTCACTATAAGGAGGAGCATCCTTCACTTGAATAAAGTCACTAACACCAGTTAAAGAATCATGGAGATAACGGTAAGCCTTGGCATATCTCTGAGCGTTACGGGCCTTGTATGCATTGTATTCAGATTCTTCCAAAGCAGCTAAGACATAATCAGGATGAATAATAAGAATTTCACCACCAGCTTGACCAAAACCAAAGGACTTGAGTAAACCAGCCTTAAGACCATCTGTTTGAATGGAACGAGAGGGGTACACAATATAGTCGAATTCCTTGAGCACTTCATCCACATTGTCAGCATTTCGATTTCCGGGAATAAGACCACTGAGTAAACATTGGATCATACCATTAGCCATCCAGGAAGCTGCAGGACCCTTAGGATGACCAGTCAAATATTTTTGAGTAATAGCAAGAAGGGCATTTCCTCGTGATCGTCCAAGATGTTTGAGTTGTGAGTTGAGTACACGAGATTCGTTCTTATCATTGGCCTTTGTGGAAGTACCATGGAAAGAGGCAACGTTGATGTCATCTATAGTCAAGCCATACACAGCCAAGGCACCACGGAGAGGAGCAATGGAAGAGTCTTGTTGGAAGAAGTTATGACTCCAAGTAGAGTAAGCTTCCTTTTCTTGACGTTTGGCTTCCTTGTTAATAAAGTCACTTCGTTCTTGTAACCAAGCTTGTTCATCAGATGCATTCAATTCACCAGAGTTCTTGAGATCTTGTAATTCTTCTCGCAAGTTTTCATATTCAGCTTCCAACCAAGACTTGATTTGAGCACGACGAGACTTGAGTTGGCGAGCACGATACTTGAAGTCCAGTAGAGGAGAAGCACGCTTATCAGTAGTTTCACGAGCAGTTGTCAAGATACCAGCACCAGGAGCAGGAACAGATCGACCTTCCTTATCAGTTGCAGTGTTGGTTAAAGCAATGATACCGTAAATAGGAGCACCAATTTCAATAGCGGTTGCAGCAGTCATCAAAATATGGTTAGCAGCACCATGAGCTTCCATAAAACCGTTTCTTGTCGTGGTAGCAGGACGAGACATTTCAGAGGGTGTACGACCATGTTCAAGTTCATCCACAGCATTAGAAGTGGCCTTCATATTGGCGAATTCATAACTTGATTCTTCAGTAATATCTTCAGTAGCACCGGCAATCATGATCTTGGCCTTTCCAGTAAGGATACTATCAACAGCCAATTCCACAGATACAGCAGAGGTTGCACAAGCGTTAACAGGAGTACGAATAGGACCAGAAGCAGACAAGAGAAGTAAATTAATCCAAGCAGGCATAGTATTGATAAATGATTCTTGCAAGATATCCTTTTGCACAGGTTTATCAAGAAGTCGATCACGGAAGAGACCACGTTGAGCCAATTGACCACCTACACCAGAACCAGTAGTGTTACCAATTTCGGAAACATGGACATACTTGAAGAATTCATAAGGATCAGTAATACCACAAGACACAAAGGCTTCAACAGTAGAAACAATGTTGAACAAAGATACAGGATCCACTTGATCAATAATATCCTTGGGTACACCATAACGAGAAGCATCCCATCCAGTAGGGATTTGACCAGCAACCAAACGATCAAATCGGAGTGCCTTGGGAACATATAAAGTAGCACCCTTTTTCAAAACAACAACCCATTCTTCAGGAGCAGTTTCATAAACGTCAGCCTTATCACCTTGTTCCATCTTGAAATGTTGAGCTTCTTCTTGAGAACAGGAGAAGGGTTCCAAATCATGATCAACAACAATTTCTTGCATGAGCATCTTTTTGTTGGGATCATAACCATTCATAACAGAAGGATCTAATATATATTAATAAAATCATGCTTAGTAACCTTCATAATACTCCCTCTTTTTTTTTTTTTTTTTTTTACCAACAAAACGGATACCACTGTGTTCCAAAATTTGTTTTTCATATTTGGATTTGATATCCTTGTCTTCCACAGGTTCATTTGTCTTGGCGTCAACCCATCCAGAGTAAGGAGTTCCATTCTTGAGGTTACCATGATGATGTTTGATATAACCCATAATCCAAGACATTTCAATGCAACCTTCCAAAGAGAATTCACCAGTAGATTCCATTTCCCATCGAGTTCGAGCATTACCCCAAGGAGACACTTCACCAAAACCAGCCACAACAACCACCTTTTCAAGATCCAACATACCCTTAAGATGAGACAAGTTCTTGTAGTGATCATAAGATTTCAATTCAGGGAAATCAAATTTCATATTGGCACGAGGAGTCACCTTGTGAGGCTTGTACTTGCGTTCAGCTTCATCACCATTGACAATCTTGAAGTCAAGAGCGTTATCGGCAGCAACAGCACTACGGATTTCAGCGGTTTCACGAATTTCTTGACGTAATCGGCTAATCACTTCTTGAAGATTGGGAATGTATTGGAAACCACCATTGAGATCAGCCCATACAGGTTCATTTTGACAAAGTTCCACAATGCTAGGATGCATAAGACCAAGAATGTTGAATGACATTTCAGTAGAAGAGAAAGTACGAATACCAAGAGCTTCAACACCTTCAGCAACAATATTGTTAGGGCTCATTAATCCAGTACCACGAGTCCAACTATATGTATTAAAAAAAATGAATATAAACTGATTTTCTCTCCTCTTTCTCTTTTTTTTTTTTTTTTTGTATTACCCAATAACAGCACCAGTGATAAGTAAGTAACTTGACCAATCTTCAGAATACCATCGAGAGAATAGAGTTTCAAGAGAGATCTTGGATTCACTGTATAAACCATCAGAACCAAATGTACCATGATTAGGAGACAAAGGTAAAATAACTTGAGCAGGACGAGTATCAGAACCAATACTTTGTTTATGAGTCTTGATGCTACCCAATAAACGGATCAAATTAGTCAACATCATACGGTGAGCCAATTCAGACTTGGAATCAATATCATCAATTTGTCGACCATTTTCAGGCATAGCAGCAAAAGGTACTACATAGTCCAAATCCCAACCTAATCCCTTGGGATCATAAATATAGTTGACAAGAGCTTCCACATCTCGCTTGGAACCTTGATTGAAAGGAACCACTACCAATTCAGAACCACGAGAACCAAATGTTTGATAGATAGATTGGAAGTATTCGGTAACAGACTTACTGAAGCGAGAAGTAGTAACAATCACCTTGGCACCACCAGCAACAAGACCCTTGAGAATTTCAGAACCAATAGAGCCCTTACCAGCACCAGTAAGTAAAACATATTTGTGAGCAAAAGAAATACCATTAGTAGCCACTTCGTTAAGTACATCCAAATAAGTAGCAGTAAGACGTTGACTGAATTCCCATCCAGTAGGATCATTGGCATTCTTTCTCTTGAGATGGAGGAAAGGAATAGTTTCAGACTTGGCAGATCGTTCGGCAACACGTTTACGTTCAGCAGTGCGACCAGTGGAGGAGAGACGACGTTGACGAGCACGGTTTTCCTTGACAATAGTGTTAGACATGGACATGGCACGTAAAACATCGCTATACAGATCACGAATAGCCAATTTGGTAGTTTTCTTCATCTTGTTTTGGTTGCGAATAATCTTGTAAAGACGACCGAGATTTTGTTGCACCTTGAGACGGTTAGAATATTCAGAAATCTTGGAACCAGCAGCCATATCCTTGACATAATCAGAGAACTTGCGACAACCAGGTCTAGGTACTTCATTGTATTTAATGTCACCCTTTTCAGTAATAGATGTGCTTGGTCCAGTAGGGAAGTTGACTTTTAATTATTATTATTATTATTTTTTTTTAAAAAAAAAAAAAAAAAAAAAAAAAGAAAAAAGAAAGAAAGAAAAAGAGATCAATTAATATTCCCGCTAAATTATATATAAACAAAAAAAACCTTACCATCTTTGTACACAGGATTTTCAGCAAGAACTTCAACACAGTTTTCAATCAAAGCTTGACCAAATTCTTTTGCCAATCGATAAGTTTCACCCTTGTCACCAGCACAATTTTCCACATTGTAACGCATATAGTCGATAAGTTGAGGATAAGCACGATTCATGATACGTAAACATTGAGCAGTAACTTCACGATCTACAATAGCCAACTTGCCAAAGATAATAGCATACCACATTTCAAGTGCATCTTGGCGGACCCAATTCCAGTAAGAATCATAACGACGAGCTTTAAGAGGAGAGAAGGAAGGAGTGATACCTTCAGCATAGACATCACCATGTTCAGCGAGCCATTGATCCAATTCGGCTTGTAATTTAAGAGTAGTGGTCTTTTCTTGTTCATAAAGCTTATGTCCATCACGTAAATCTTTTTGCAAGTATTGAGCATACAAGTTGAGTTGTTGATAAATCAATGCATCTTGTTTAGCCTTCAAAGCATCGAATTCTTCACTGTTGATCATGGCAACAGCTCCACCAGCTCCACCAGCGGCTCCACCAGCGGCTCCACCAGCAGAAAGAGTAACACCAGCCTTTTTAGCGTAAGCTTGAGCAGTATTATCCAACCATGCCTTAGCTTCAGATTCGGCTCCGAGACGAGATGCAGGTTCCATAGTAAGACCCATCAATAATACACCTTCCACACGACCAGTACCTAAACCATAAGTAGTTGAGAGGTAAGACTTGGCATTAGCTAGAGTGAAACCACCAGGCATTTTGGATCCGATCATCTTGGCCACCAAAGTACTAGTATGTTTTCCAAGAGTACCAGAGAAGCTACCATCCAAAGAAGCACCAAGTTCATCCAAAGGAGTTTCTTCGGCCTTTTCGGGCACAGCATTGTTGAATTCCTTTTGAAGATCACCGAGAATTTCATTTTGCAGGGTTGACTTGCCTCCCACTAAATCCTTAATAGCCTTAGACAAAGGAACTTCATCTACAGACTTCTTGAGTTTTTGGGCAATCACTGTATGAATCACTTCCGTAGCGGTCACAGGTACATCACTACACAAAAAAAAAAAAAAAAAAAAAAAAAAAAAAAAAAAAAGATCAATATCAATATCTCAATATCTTCTCTCTCTCCACAACGATTAAATTCTTACCTAACAGGAGCAGCAGGACCAGCAGTAGCCACTGGAGCAGCAACTGGAGCGGCAGCAGCAGCTGGAACAGGAGCAGCAGTAGCAGCAGGAGCACTTGATGTAGCAGTAGTAGCAGCAGGAGTAGGTTCAGGTTCTTCAGCATTTTCAAATTCATAATAAATTTCTTGGGAGTTCTTGGCAATACACAAGTTTTGACGACGATTACTCAAGGCATCATCATATGCTTGATACTTGAGATTCAATGTACGAGTAGCCATGCCACTGAGAGTAGGAGAAGGACCGATTTCAATAAGACGTTCAATTTGGAAGTGCTTGAAGAGTTGATCTTGAGTTTCAATCCAACGAACAGGAGAAGCAAATTGATAAGCAAGTAATTCCACCAAAATGATATAACCAAGACGTTGTTGTTGAGCAGGGGTGACATATTTATCATCAGACCAATTCTTAAGTACCTTGGCCAAACGAGGACTGGAAGTAAGGTTGTATACATTTTCAATATAGCTCTTCTTGGTGCTGAAAGGTTGAGCTGTCAAATTGGGAATATACTTGGAAGATAACTGAGCAACATCAATATCAGAGGGATTGAATTTCTTGGCCAAATAACTACGGAAAGGTGCCACACCACTAAGCAAGAAGGAGGAGTGGAAAGGAACATCAATACCAGGAAGAGGAACAGTTGCATGACCACGTTCAAGTTTGATATGACCTTGAGCAGCTTCCTTAGCACGGGTCTTTTCCAAAACACCATCGATGATTTCAGATAAATGTTTCTTGACATCTTCGAGAGGCATAGTTTCCATTAATTTCTTGAGATCAATATCAGATACCTTGATGTAGTTCAAAACGTTGGTAAGCACATCTAAATTAGGAAGAGAACCAGCAGCTACATATTGCCAATTTTCAACATTGAAGTTCACAATTTCCAAAACATCACCACTAATACGAGCGATGGAATCCACAACATAACGCAAGGCAGTATCGTTGAATGATTTGGAAACACGAGCAGGATTAACAGCAGCCATACCATAATTGGAACGCCCTTGTTCATCACGTTGCACAGCAGATTGCATTGTCATACCTCGGTAAAATACAACATCCACAAGAGATTCTAATGGAAGTACATCACCAACAGAAGCCAAAGCAGCATATTCACCAAGAGAGTGACCAGCGAAGGCACAGTTACTTTGAATCAATTCCTTGGATCGCATATCTTCAAAAGCAGCCTTTTCCAATAATGTAAGAGCAGGTTGAGTGAATTGAGTAGCAGACAAGAGACCATTGGGAGCTTGGAATGTATAGAATGAAGTACGTTCATTGATAGTAGGGAACAAAGGTAATGTCTTGATTGTACCGTCGGATTCCACAACATCATAAGTCATGCTCATGTAACTTTGACGAATCTTGTTACCACGAGGACCACCAAAGTAAACAGTCTTTTCCTTGGGGTTGGAGCGAACAATTTCCAAGATAGAGAAGCCATAGTTTTCCATAAAATGTCTATCGGCACGATCCCATATTTCCTTGGCAACAGGTGATGAATTATAAAGAGACATACCCATACCTTGTTCTTGAGAACCTTGACCAGTGAATACATAAGCAGTAACAGGTTGTTCTACTTCAGCAGTTCCAACTACTACCTTTTCATTGTTTTGATTGATTGTTTCCACTTGAATGATCTTGCGTCCGTTCTTCATACCAGTGTGAGAGAGCTTAGTTTCCAATTGATCAGAAGGTAACACCATGCCCATGAATTGAACATTGTAAGCAACAACACGACGAGGGACATTGTCTGCAGCAAAGATTTCCACAAACTTACGAGTAGAAGCACTAGTCCACATACCGTGAGTGATGGTACCTGGCAACACGGCAAGATCAGCAAAATAAGGATTGACATGAATAGGATTGTAATCACCAGATACATTAGCATAAGGTTCGTTGGAAGCAGGTGCATGAACCACAGAGGAATAAATGGATTCAGCAGGCATAACAGAGTAACCACCATTTTCAAAGAAGTGAGCTTGTTCAATTTCTTGACCATTACGCTTCAAATATTCAATCACAGGATTTCCATGACTTTCACCAGCTTCATAATTGACATTAGCTACCTTGACGAATTCTTTAGTAGACACCTTCATATCGACAGTACCACTAGTCTTGACGCTAGCAAATACACGCTTGTTCAAGTAACGAAGTTCGGTGGTGAGACGGAAAACAAGAGAAGATCCAGGAGATAATTCATAGTTGTCCAATTCTTCAGTCCAATCAATCCATTCCTTTGATTTAAGAACAGCGATATCCTTAACAGATTGAATGTTGAGATTCATAGGAGTTTCCACCTTACGTTCAAAAGTATGTTCATAGTCGGTAAACACACCACGATACAAGAATTGACTTGTCACTTCCATCACGGCCTTGCCTTCACGAACAATCACACCCTTGACTTCGATCAGTTTTCCAGAGTCATTATTGATAATCGCATTGATCTTGGCATAAGTGTCGACAACGTCACCAACAGAGAGTAAATCACCACCTTCAAGCATACGGAATCCATTGGATAAGTGAACTAATTTCAAAAGATCACCATCGATTTCCTTGGGGAAGATAGCCTTGATAATTGCCTTCCATCCAACAACAATAGCAAAATCCATAGGAGCATAGATCATTTTTTGTCCACGATCAACATAAACTTCAGCTTGATTGCCCACAGCTTGACAGAATTCCTTGATTTCAGTGGATTTGACAGTTTCACCCATACCAATAAGCTTTTCAGTTACAGGGATAGACAAAAAGTCATCAGTAGCATTGATACCAAACCAAAGTTTCCAATAGAATTCCTTGATACGGTCATTTCGACCCTAAGAAAATAACAAAAAAAAAAATTAATTTTCTATTTGACAAAAACCGTCATCATCATCAAAGATGAGAAGAATTCATCATATATAATAATAATAATAATAATAATAATAAAAAAAACTTACTTCCATCACTTCATGAATAGGAGCATAACCAAATTCGGGCTTGTAGAGGAAATGTAATTTCAAAGGAACAAAGTCATCACCACGTTTTTCATACAAAGTGACATCAATATCAGTCCCGGTACAAGCAGCTTCAACAGAAGTAACATAATCCTTGGTTTTTCCAGAAGCACTCCAGAGACGTTTGTCTTGCAGCTTGAGAGAAATCACACGATTTTGAATATCTGACTTCACTATGACCTTTTGGCCAGCACGAGGACGTAAAATACGAGCCAAAGGATTGTCAGAGAATTTCTTGTTTTGGACCACAAATGGTGAGGTAATCAAGGCACGTAACCAGTTGTAAGAAGGACCAGAGATAGTTTGGAACCATTCATCTTCTTCAGGTAAAGTAGCATCACTATCACCAGTAAAGTAAACCTTTTCATTGCTAGCGGAAGAAGAAAAAACAGAGATAGAGGACTTGTTGGAGACAGGAGCACCACCCAAGTATTCAATTTCAGGGATAGAAGCTTCATCATTGTTGTAGTATTTTTCCTTCAAACTGTTGATATGACTGGCATAAATATCACCCAAGATTTCCCCAACAGGTTGATCAACACGAGTAGCATATTTAGCAGCAACAGGACCATGAAGAATACAAGTACGTTGAACATCTTGGTCCACAACAGCAGCAAGATCTTCAGATTGCCATAAAGAGTCTTTCTTGAACCATACATCAAAGTCCTTATCCATAACGGGAATAAAAGGTACAGGCTTTTGTCCACGACGTTGACAGAGAGTAACAAAATGAAGAACATCTTCAGAAGTCAAAAGTTGAGAATCAGCTTGAGGGAATTGGCTCAAGAATTCAATAACAAATTCATGAGGATGGTCCAATTGAGAATAAGATTGCAAGATAGAGGTAGTTTCCACCTTTGAGAATCGTTCTTCAATACGTCGTAAAAAGTCACCAAGAAGATTGCGAAGAGTAATGTCAATCCATCGACGTTCATGTTTGATGTATAATAATTCCACCATACGATCCACTACTTCAGTATAAGTCATTTCTTGAAGATCAACCACATCTCCATTCTTCTTTTTGCCAAACCAAACCTTTTGGAAATCAGCATTAAGACGTTTGATGATGTAATCCTTCTTGGCAAGTAGTGCAGGTAAACGCTTTTCTCGAGGTAAGTTGAAAATACTTTCATCTAATTCCTTCCAAAGACGGACACCACGAGTAGCCACCTTGTGAATAGGTTCTCCAAGTTCAGATCTAACAGTCATGATACCACCGGCAGGACCCTTGTAAGTTTTTTCCCAATCACTGTCATCCACACCAGGAGCATCAACCATAGCTTGTTTGGCAGCTTCAGAGGCAAGACCTTCCTTGGAAACCATCATACGAGAACCAAACATAACACCATCGAAAGGCATAGGAGGATAATCAAATTTGGTAGACCATTCACCAGTGATGTAAGGTAAAGTATCATCAGCACCACCAAAACCGGATCCAGCTACAAGTACAATGTTATCTTGACGACGAATAGAAGCATAAGTTTCAAGAATAGGTTGATGAACATCTTCAAAACTATGATGACCTCCAGCGCGACCACCAGTCCATTGCATAATGACAGGCATGGTAGGATTAGCAGCAGCAATAGACACAACCTAAAATAGAAATGAAAAATCAATGTTATTGATCTGATTTCTATTACCATTTATCCCATTATTGTTTTTTTTTTTTTTTGTATTTACCTGACGAATAGTTTCTACACTTCCGGGTTTGAATGCAACATGACGAATTCCAGCAGCCTTCAAATTTCCAATGACTTCGTTGGCAACATCCAAAGAGGGAACACCAGCAGCAATACAAATACCTTCCATAGGTAAACCTTCTCTGCGCATAACTTGAACCAAAGGATATTGGAAACCCCACTGACGTACATTCAAGAATAAAATATTCAAAGTAATACCTTCACCAGCACGAGTCAAGTTAATGATTTTATCTACTTTTCCACGAAGTGCCTTTTCGTTGTAATGACCACCACCAGCAAGTTCGACATGATAACCAGCATTCATCACAGCAGATACGAATTTTTCACTGACAGTAGAAGGAGTCATACCAGCAACCATCAATGGAGGTTTACCCAATAAACGAGACATACGAGTATCCACGTGAATTCGACCATTGCTATACAATTTTAAAAAAAAAAAAAAAAAAGTTAAAGTAACGATGCGGTAGTTTAAATAAAAAGGGGAAAAAAAAGGAGGCCTGAGCGTTTCTTTTTTTTTTTTTTTTTTGTATATACTAACCTTGTAGTTCTAACTAGTTTGGGTTGGAAGACCTTGGCCCAATTTTGAGAATAAGTAACAGCACGCAAGTCAGCATCAAATAAATCGGCTTTATAAGATAAATCACGATTGGCACCTTCCAAAGCACCAGCCAATAACACTTGAGCGCCAGTTCCTTCCTTGTTTCGGTAAGTCAATCCACCAATACCTGAAGTTCCACCAGGACCAAAATCAATAATATGAGTCAAATCCTTTGTAGCAATAGCTTTTTCCCAATGCACATGACGAGAATAAACTAAAGATACCAAATCAGATGTCAAAGTAGTTGATGATCGAAGATCCACACCTAGAAAAAGTAAAAAGAAGAGTAAAGAAGTTGGTGAATTTTGAATCTCCACAACCCCAACGTCCCCAATGAAAAAAAAAAAATGTATATATTGTTTCTCTCCCCAATAAAATGACCCAGAAAAAAAAAACTTACCAGAATCGGTAGCATAAACAGGAATCTTGAGATCCTTTGCATTTTGTTGTAATTGATATCGTTCAATATCTCCCAACAAAGTGTTAATAGCAGGTTGTAAATAAGAGCTATGGAAAGGAGCAGTAATAGGTAAGAATCTTGAAGAGAACTTGATCTTTCGTTGAGAATAAGGTACACGAGATTGATCTAAACCAGTAGGAGCCTTGAGTTTTCGTAAACTGAGATTTAAACCATAGAGAGATTGAGGAGGACCAGTGCAAACAAAAGAACGAGGACCATTATTAAGAGTGATTTCAATTTGTCGATCAGGAGCTAAATGAGCATTGGTAGCTTCTAAATGCTTGATAACTTGAGATTCACGTAAACCAGTGACAGCCAACATAGGAGTAGGAGTACCTTCATTGTTATTAAGAGAATCTTCCAAAATGGTTGGATTCAAAGTTGTAGGAGGAAAAGTTTGTTGAGCGCGAGTACCCATCCAGAACAAAAGTCCCAAAGCCTTTTCAGTATTAACCAAGAATTCTTCATATGTAGTGGAAGAAGCAATGACTACAGAACTAATAATACCTTGACTATGACCAGTAGTACCTGAATCCCCCCCCAAAAAAAAAAAAAAAAAAAAAGATGAATATATTTTATTTTTATTTTTATTTTTTTCTTTTCACAATTCCTTTTTATTATTATTATTATTATTATTATTATTATTTACCTGCAATCAATTCTCTAATATCACCAGGAGTACGATCCATTACACGAAGCATGACATAATAATGAAGTAATTGAGTAAGACCAATCAAAGGAAAACTAACAGGAGCAGAGACCAAATATTGAAGATCAGGACGAACTTCAGGATTTTTTAACCAACGTAAGATATCCAAACCTTTTGAATGGAAAACACTAGCTTCAGAACTACGAGCATATTCGGCCAAAACAATAGCCATTCTTTCAATAAAAGGTTGTACCAAACCATCATAAGTTTCCCAAATATCCACCAATTCATCAAAGTATTCTTCTATATTGCCTTGACCACCAAAAATAGCAAATATTTTTGTTTCACCACGTCGAGCAGCAGCAAATAAAGCAGATTGAGCAGGTTTTGCTTCTTGATCAGTAATAACATTATGTTGTTTGAGGACAACCAAAGCAGCAAAATAAGCTTGTAATACTACTTTTTTGGATTCAGAAGAAAGTGATCGAGTAATAGCATGTACTTCATTATTCTTGAGATATTGGACACCAAAATCTACAAAAATAGTTCTTGCCACAGGAAGGAATTGAGCTTCTTTAGATGCACGTTGAGCAGCAAAGTGAAGGAATCGCGCAGACAATTCAATATCAGGTACTTGTTCATCTACTTGATCAGTTTGTATAGGGAATTCTTCTTTCAATTGTTCGGCTGATACCCAAATATCAGCAGGTACCAAAACAGAAACTTCAGTCTTATTTTGTTTTACAGATAAAGGTCGAAGTGCTTGTGGTTTATGATCCATGATATATTATTTGTTGTATAATGTTGAAGGAAGAAAAAACAATTAAAAAAAAAAGAATTTATGTATCAAAAGGAGGTAATCTAACAAAGTAAAAAAAAAAACAGTTCAGTTTTCAAATGGAGTGTTAGTTCAGTTTTTGTTGGTTGGGGTACACAAAAGATATGCTTTGACATGTAAAAAAAAAAAGTCAGAATTACCTTTTTGGCGTCAAGTAAAGTATATGTGTGTGTGTGTGTGTATATAGTGTGTGTATATCAAACTTTACGCTTCAAAAGAATCACTATTTTTTTGATAAAAAAAAAAAAAGATTGTTTCCTTCCCAACAAGATAATTAAAAGAAAAAGAGAAAAAAAAAAAAAAAAAGAAAAAAAAAGAGAGACCATATAAAAATTTCTTTTAATGTCAAAAAAGATCCCCCCCATCAAAAAAAATTCACCCAATATTATTCCCCCCCCTCCTACTTCAGTGGGCGGAATATCAATTTTTATGTATAATTTGTATTATAACCATACTTTTTTTTTGGGTGCCTTCCAACCCCAAAAAGAAGACCTTTTTTTTTTTTGTTGGTTTTTTTTTTTTTATCTATCCGGCATAGTTTTTATACTTTACTAATAAAATTGATACCTTTTTTCTTTTTCTCAATCAATCACCTGTTATCATCCCCAAAATTTAATCTTCCTTCTCCCCTCTTTTGATTCGATTTATATTATTTTATTCATCCACGTATTTTTTTATTGATCATGTCGCTCTTTTAAATTTAAACATTGAAACAATACAGAAGGACCCTTTTCTTTTTTAAGATCATCATTGGGGTCAAGGCCACCCTCACGTCAAAATAAAATAATCAATTACATTTTTTTTTTTTTACTATTAAATATAATAAATAATAAAAAAAATAAAAATAAAAAAATATATAATTTAATAAATAAGATCAAATATTATTTATAATAGAATAATCAAATCATTTAAACCCATGGCATGAAATATCCAAAAAAAAATAAGATGCGATTGGCTAAGAAGCGTGAGTATAAAAAAAAAAAAGAGTCTTTGTGTAACCATTTCCTTTTTTCCCTAATCTCTTTTTTTTTTTTTTTAATATCTAAATGTTATTTTATCTTAAGTATGAAATAATTCAAATAGTATGCTTAATACTATTATTACACACCATTGTAAAAGCACAATCAGCTACAAACCCTGCATTTTGGCAAGTACCCATTCAATTTAATATATCTCATCCTATTGGTAATTTGATACAACATCAATCTCGACTTGCTGTTTCGCAGGACTTTCAGTTAGTTTATAGTCAACATGACGAAGAAACTTATAAAAAGGTAAAAATAAACTATTTATTAATTATTTTATATGAAAAAAAAAAACTCAACTCTTTATTATTTATTATGAAGAGGATTTTGATTGATATGTCCATTGCTTGTACCAACAATACCAATTTATCAACAATACAAGAATGGAATGCTCAACAACTGACAATTATTCAAACTTTACCTAAAATGGCCTTGGTAGAAAGAGGAGGTTGTTTATGGAATAAAAAATTATCAACAGTTATTCAATTATCATCACTTTATGAATTGAATATTGAAGCTATGATGATTTATGATAATGATACCCATGGATCCAATGTTTCATTTGAATTACAAAGTACAATATTGGATAATAATAATAATGAACAACCTCTACCTTCTGGAACAACTTTACCAACAAATCGAAATATATCTTATATGAAGGATAATGATTTACAACAACAACAACAACAAAATAACAATAATATTCCCATCTATTTCGTCACAAACGATTATGGTCTTTATTTGAAAAATCTCAATCATTCTACAACCTCTGGTCTATATCAATTTTATCAAATAGTTCCATTTTTCTCTATGACATACTTGGAAAAAGATAATAACAAAACTGGAAATGATGGTAATCAATATGGTAATGATGGTGGAGAATATCCTGGTGTATTACAATCAAGTAGAGGTTACCTATCTTATATTATTGCTCTCGTGGCTATCTTTCTCTTAGGTAATCCAAAAAAAAAAAAAAAAAAGACTATATATTAATATTGATTTTATATATTATTATTTATTATTATTATTATTTATATAGGTATGATATTTTTAAGATGGTGGCGACTTCGTAGAATGCGAACACAAGTTTCCGCTCAAAATGAACAAGTCATCGATCCAAATTATATACTACATACAAGAGTAGATCAAGTAGATCCTTTACCAGTACCCATTGTCAACTCTCTTCCTATTATCTATTATTCTGTGGACAGAGTTAAGAATGCAAACTGTGCTATTTGTTTGGATGATTATATAGAAAATAAAACTGAACTTCGAATGTTACCTTGTGGTCATGGCTTTTGTGTTTTATGTATAGGTAAAATTTTTAAAAAAAAAAAAAAAAAAAAAATTGAAAAAAAAACTTTTTGAAATTGATTCTTTCTTTTATGATTTTAGATCCATGGCTTACTCAAAAATCTACTTTATGTCCTATATGCAAATATGATTGTTTACCATCCAATTTACGAGAAGAACGAAATAGACGACAACTTGGTCTTAGTTTTGGTCGACATCGTCTGTCTGCTCCACCTACTTCAACTACTACTACTACTTCATCATTACAACCTCAGCAACAATCAATTGATCACAATCAACAAGAAAATGGAAATATAGAATCATCTACTACAGAACATCATTCATCATCAGAACATACCTTGGATATTACTGATTATTATCAGCAATCTTCTTCTTCTTCAAGGAATTGAACTCTCCTTTTTATATATATAGTTACCTTTCTCTACTTATTCTTTCGCTATTATCTTATTTGTATTTGTACTTGTATATATGAATCCCAAAATTAAATTTAGCCATTAACCCATTTTTTTCAACAATAATAAAACACTTCTTTTATGTGTATCTTTAATTTTAGTGATCTAAAATGATGGTTTTAATACCCCGATCCTGATCTTTTTTTTTTTTTTTTACTTTGTTTTCCTTTTTTTTTTCGTCTCTCTTTTTGTTCGTAACTAACGTTCTTCCATGACAGAGCCAGTGCGTTGTTTGGAATTTTTCTCTGGTATTGGTGGACTAGTATGTACAAATAGAAAAGTAATATGTTTCATTAACTCTTCCTTCTTTTTTTTGAATCTTATTAGCACTATGGTCTTAATATTGCAGGGATCAATGCTCAAGTGGTTGCTTCTTTTGACGTGAATGAAATTGCCAATAAAGTTTATACTCACAACTTTAAGAAAGAACCTTCCAAGGTATTTTTTTATAATTCAATAATGTCCTTGATTACTACTATATCGATTATTTTTTATATTCTTTGACTTTTTGATAGAAAACAATTGATCGGCTCACCAAAAAGGATATTGAAAGGTAAACCAAAAGAATAAACTTTATACGTAAAATTGATCAAGACCTTTTTTTAATGGTAGATACCAAGCTGATTGTTGGCTTTTAAGTCCACCATGTCAACCGTATACTCAAGGAGGTAAAATGAAAGATATCGATGATCCCAGGGCGAAACCACTTTTACATCTTATTCGATTACTTCCAACACTTGATAAGAGACCAACCTATCTATTTCTTGAGAATGTCAAAAACTTTGAGGTGAAAAAAAAAAAAAAAAAAAAAACAAAGATATACATATATATGAATTTGACAACAACGATTTTATGCGTTTTAGATATCTCAATCTCGACGTCAATTGATTGATCAATTAGTGTCATTGGATTATGAAATCAATGAATGTCTTTTATCACCTATCCAATTCGGTATCCCAAATCACAGATTACGATATTATCTTACAGCACGTTATCAATCAAAAAAAGATAATCAGAATGATGACATTAATTCATTACAAAAGAATTATGATAGACCTATTCATACCACTTGGCCATTTGACAAGAAAGAACAATCATTTGATATCCCTGAACTAGAATGTTTTTTGGAACAACATGTTGATGATTCATTCACTGTCCCTTCCCGATATATCTTGCGTTTAAATAAATTTCGACTAGGTAAAAGAAAAAGAAAATAATAACAAAATAGATTAATTTCTCTCTCTATATATATATATATCAATAGATATTGTCTTACCTTCTAGTACAAAAACATCATGTGTAACCAAGGTAACAATAAAAAAAAAAAAAGATAATCTTAAACTGATGATTTCTTATTTATTCAAACCAATGATTTAGGCATATGGATCTCATCACATTATGACGAGTGGCTCCTTACTTCAAACCAAGAAATTAGAAGTATGTAATTATATATTTAGAAAGAAAGAAGATTAAAAAAAAAAAAAAAAGACGAAAATGGCAAATGGAGATATGATTCGAAAAGGGAATATTGATCATTTTATTTTTAGACAACGGAGTACAATTGGGAAGATACAGCATCCTTACTAGAATTTGGACTTCGATTTTTGACACCTACAGAAATAGCACGATTACATGCATTCCCTATGGCACAACAGTATTCATCAAAATTGATTCAACGAGAAAATGATTCAACTTGTTCAAATCCACGACCCTTCTTTTCTCCCTGTGGCTCACCTTGTTTGACTTTTCCGGATGATATCACCAATCAACAACGATATAGGCTGTTAGGTAACAGTCTGAACTGTTGGGTAGTGGCAGAACTCTTACGATGTGTTTTATTTAGCTGATTGATATTAGTATAATAAAAGATCATACATTGATTATTTTTGGTTATAATTATTGAGGATGAATAAAATTACTTTTTTTTTTCTTTATCATGAAATAATTTGGTGATATCTAATATGTATATATATGAGTATGTATGTGTGGCGCAAACAAGAGCACTCGCCTCTCCCAAAAACGTCATCGGTAACTTTATTGATAGGTCGGTGGTATTGATTGCCTAAATGGTACTTCGTGTGTACACCCAACAGACACCAAATTCTAAAGTGAGGTGAGTGTACAAACACCCAATGAAATTTCTTCCGGGGATTGAATTGCCTAGCTATTTTTTTTTTTTTTTCATCACCTCACTCATACTTTCTCCCTCTCTCTCTCTCTTACATACACCCGCGCACACAGCGACGAAAAGAAAACTTGTTTTCCTTTCTCTCTTTTTTTTTTTCATCTCGAACTCTTTTTCATCTATTTTCTTTTTCTTTCTTTTTACTTTTTTCTTTATCTCATTTTCCCTTTCTCTTTTTTCCAATTGATTCAATTAAACAATGGCCGAAATTAGAAAGAAACTGGTTATTGTTGGTGATGGTGCTTGCGGAAGTAAGTATAAAAATATATAATAATAATAATAATAATAATAATAAGCAATAATACGTGTATATATCAATTGTATTTATTCATCTTCTTTTTTTTTTTTCTTTTTTTTTTTGTATTTAGAGTATGATTTTTATTATATTTATAATAGACATTACAATAAGTTTATAAACAGACCACTAACAAAAAAAAAAAACTTACTCTTTTTTTTTGCACACTATTTATTACTTTATCATTATGGTTATTTAGAGTAAGACTTATAAAATATATATATATTCACTTGATTGAAATGTTAACATTATCTTTTATTACCAATAGACTTGTTTATTGATCGTCTTTTCTAAGGGTACCTTCCCTGAGGTAAGTTATCTTTCTCCCTGTTTTTCAATTTTGTTTTCTTAGTCTTGATATGACTGTACTGACAGTGAAACCTTTTACTTTTCTTTTTTTTTTTTTCTCTTAGTTCTATGTCCCCACTGTTTTTGAAAACTATGTTGCTGATGTTGAAGTGGATGGAAAACATGTAGAATTGGCTCTTTGGGATACTGCTGGTAAGATATAAAAACTACTTTTCAACTTTCATATGATAAAGAACACAAAAAAAAAAAAAGTAGATTGATTTTCTCAATCTTTTTTAGGCCAGGAAGATTATGATCGACTCCGTCCATTGTCATACCCTGATTCCAATGTTATCTTGATTTGTTTTGCTGTGGATTCGCCTGATTCACTGGACAACGTTCAAGAAAAGGTATTCTTTTCAAAAAAAAAAAAAAAAAAAAAAAAAAAAATAGGGATTTTATGATATACTAACGTTTTTGATATAACGGATATATATAAAAATAGTGGATTTCTGAAGTCCTTCATTTCTGTCAAGGTTTACCTACTTTATTGGTTGGTTGTAAGAAAGATTTACGAAATGACCCTGGTACCATTGAAGAACTTCGACGAAACTCACAAAGACCTGTTGCCTATGAAGAAGTAAGTTTAAATAGGAAATTACAAATTGAAAACTAAAAAAAAAAAATTATTATTATTTTTAATAGGGAACTGCTGTTGCTCAAAGAATTGAAGCTTACAAGTATTTGGTAAATATAAAAGAATATCAGGGGGGATGTATATTACATATGAATCACTTATTATTATATTGAAATAGGAATGTTCTGCCAAGACTGGTGAAGGTGTACGTGAGGTCTTTGAACATGCTACAAGAGCTGCTTTGATGGTCACTAAGAAGAAGAAAGCCCGATGTTCTATTTTGTAGATAGATTCTTTTTTTTATTATCATTATGTTTTGTCCATCCCCCTCCTTTTTTTTTTTGCCATTCAGTTCATTCCCCTTCTTGATCCTTTTATTTTATGCAAGGCACGTTAAAGTCTCCTTCATCTTTTTCTCTATTTAGTTGTTACTGTTTTTCTTTCACACTTTCTATACTCTCTCTCTCTTTTTCTTTTTCTTTTTTTATCCACTTATTTTTAATAAAACCCATTTATTCAAATGACGCTTTTTTTTTATTTATTTATTTAGAAACAAAAGTTTATAAATGTTTATTTGACATCAAACATCTCTAATGATTTTATATATGTCCTTATTGAGCATTTTGGTTTCATGCACACTCACACACACACAATAAAAAAAACTCCCGGCACTCGTGATTGTAGCAATAGAATATTTTTTCTCAAAAAAGTTTTTTCTCTTTTTTTGCCTCCTTTTTCTTGTTTTCTCCTTCTCTTTCTTTCTCTTCTAAAAGTCTTGACCATGGTAACAAATGACAGTAAGTAAAATATAAATATATGTGTATTGTAGAGAACAAAGTTCTTACTTTTTGTCTTTCCTCCTTGTCTTCCTTAGACCTGGTTGCTACCACCACAGCCAACGCTGTAAGTAGTTATATATGTATATATATATGTAGTTGCGCGTATACATATCATTTTTTTTCTTACTTTCTTTATTATTTTATTATATATTATTATTATTATTATTTTATTTGATAGGCTTTGGAAAAACATGCAAAATTTTGGGATCCTAAAAACAAAGGATATATTACTCCAGTAGACGCGATGTTTGGTAAAAAAAATAAAAAAATAAAAAACAAAAAAGTGATAATCGATGATCATAGATATTAATATTACTTTATTAGGTTTTATTCATCTTGGTTATGGCGTTCTTTTTAGTGTGACTGTAGGCACTTTTCTTAGTGCTATCTTTTCCTATGCTACTCAAGACTCATGGATGCCTGATCCTCTTCTTCGAACGCGAACGAACAAGTTTCAAAAGGTAAACTACTACTTTACAAATTTATTTAAATATATCTTGATTTTTTTTTTTTTTTTGATTTGATAGGATACATATAGTGCTCCCTACAATGAAGATGGACAATTGGATTTGGATGCTTTTGATCAACTTTTTTCCAAATATGCTAAATCTGATATTAGTGGTAAAACAATCACGTTGAAGGAACTATTGGAATGGAACGATGCAAGCCTACGAGACCCTTGGGCATGGTAAAAAAAAAAAAAAAAAAAAAAAAAAATTGATCTAATTTCATTTTTCTATCTCTTTATAGGTCTACAAACACTATCCAATGGTTGGCGACTTATCTTCTTGTAGGACAACATGGTATTGTGAAAAGGGAAGATATCCAAGCAGCTTATGATGTAAGTGAAATAAATAAACAATATTTAATCAAACCTTTATAAATATATATATATATATATATATATATATATATGTAAACAAATAAACAAACAATAATTACTAATTGCATGACTTTTTTTTTTATACTAAAACAAATGTATATTATTTTGATCTATAGGGTACTTTATTTTATCGATTACGTGAACAAAACAAACTTCATCGTAGTATCCAAGGAGGAAATCACACATTCTCTTCATCATCCAATTTAAATGTATCTGGTGTCATGGTGCCCAAAAGCTATATTCGTCAATTGGAATCTCAATTGAACAATATGGTCAACGTTCTACCTCGCTCAACAGTTTTCACGTTAGAAACAAGATTACGTAACTGGTTATCTTATGTACAACAACAGAAAAAGGTTCATCAACCCATATTGAAAGGTGTCGCCACTCCAGCTACTCCTCGTCGTCATCCACTTTTTACTTCTTCTGTTACCAACCTTCATGATTTATCTATGGATGAAGTCAATGATCACCAAGAAATGAAATCATCTGTTTCTTCTTCTTCTTTATTTGAAGGTGGACTAACTGGTGTTATGGCTATCAACTTATTGGATCGACCCATGTCATTAACTGGTGTACAAGGATATCATAACGATGATAATGATGATCGCTCTCTTGGTGATAATCTCTATGACCCAACCTCGACTTCTGATGTATACAATGAAAAGGAGGATATTGGTATCTCTGGTGTTGTCAAGGAATCACCCAATCATGACACTACGGAGGAATATGACATTACAGGTGTACGACCAGAAGGGGAAGATTATTATCGAGATACACCTCGTAAGGATTGGCTTGGTTCGGAACAATTGACAGGCGTGTCACCATCACCATCAACATCGTACAGTTTCAACGATCAATTGAACAACCTCCTCCAACAACAAAGCAAGGTGGAAGAAGATGATCAAGTTGTGAAAGCTGATGATCAAGTTATGACAGGTGTTCAACCATCGGACGATCGTCCCAAGGAAAGTAAGAAATCCAAGAAAAAGAAAAAGGCTGCTGAAAAGGAAAACACAAAACCTCTTCCAACACCGTCCACAGAAGAAGAACAAACCGTACAACAAGCTGAACAGGATGATACTCGTCGTCGATCTTCCGCCACTCCTCCTTTTACGACTAATGCTAATCATGATGAGGAAGAAGAAGAGGAAGAAGATATACCGGTGTCTCCAACTGATAATAGTAACAACAACAATGAAGAATCTATCAAAGGTGCTTATTCTCGTCCTTCCTTTCCACCTCTACCTGAAGTTGTCCCTAGTGAAGATTAATGAATCATTTTGTTTTTATCTCAATATAGTAGTTTAGTCCCTTGATTTTATTATATTTTATTATTATTATCCCATGATTGTTATCTATTTCAATAAAAGAGAAAATTAAAAAAAATCATGAAAGAATCAAATGATTCACATCCATCATTCGGAAAAACATGATAAAAACATAAATGTTTTGAACTTTGTTTGCTCATCAATAATAATGAGTTAAAAAAAATATTATTTTTTTTTACAGTATTCAGAAGTGTTCCGTGTCATATAATATATATATAGTTTATGTATTTATAAAAATATAAATAGAAAGAGTGTTGTGTTCAAACAAACAAACAATAAAAAAAAAAACATAATATACAAGTTGAAAAATAAAAATAGTATAATAAGAATAAAAAAAAAAAAGATGTGAGAGAGAAATAGAAATAGAATAAATCAAATCAAAATCTGTAAACAAAACCATCCCAATCCATCCAGGTCCCCTCTTAGTGTGCGTTGATTAATCTTGAGTAGTTTCATGCAATTCAGAGAGCTTCTTTTCAGTATTCGGCAATTCATCTATAAAGAAAAAAAAAGATGTTTAATTTACTATATTTTTTTTTTTTGGATAAAATCCCTTTACCTTCCACAATTTCATTGGGCTCCTTTTTTTCAAAAGGAACTATATCCGAATTGATGACAAAACTGGAGGCCATAGCGTCGTACCACTCTTGTTTCGATTTACCATGCAATAAAGCAACAATGATCACCGTCATATTATCACATCCGTAGCCACCAACATCCGTTTCATCTGCTAAACAGTGATCCATCATTGTTTCACAAATCTCGGCCAGAGTTTGTTTCTTGCTCAATCCTGCACGTACAAAGTTCACAGCTTCTTGATTCGTCATACAATCCCAAATACCTATATAAATGAAGGATGAGACAATGATGTATATTATATTTGTATTATCTTACCATCGCAAGCAATAATAAGAAAGTCGTCCTTTTCTGTGATCTTGTGTTCGGTAATGTCAGGATCAGCTAAAGATAAGGTTGATTAGTTACACTTTCTATGTTAAACACCAATATATTTGGTAATAATATTATCACTATCATTCTTCTTTTCATACCTGTCACTGCTTGTTCTTCTGGTGAAAGATCATCCCTTTGTTTGAATTCAAAATCACCAAGAGCCCTTGATAAAGCAAGATTGCCTATATATTTGTATTTTAAAAAAAAAACCATGTCAGTCCATTTTCCACTCTACCCCCCCTTCTTTATTTATTACCATTGACACGACCGAACTCGACATGGCCACCTGCATCTTTGATACGTTGTGTTTCTTTTTCATTTGTAGGTTTATGATCTTGAGATAAAGCAATGGCATGTCCATCCACACAAAGTACTGCTCTAGAGTCGCCAGCATTCGCCTATGAAATAAAAATCAGTCAACCCATTTCTTCCTCTTTTTTTTTTTGACTGACTATTATTTACCACATATAAAACATAATCCTTGGTAATCAATGCCGATACTGCCGTACAACCGGATGGTACATGTTCAAATAAAGGATCTATATTAAAAAAAAAAAAAAGATAAGTATTTGATCATAGAGATGTAAACATAATGTCTTGTTTTTTTTCTCATACCAGCACGCAAGTCCACGTCAATACCAAGATATCCTTGTTTCAAAGCTTCCCGCATATTATTTTCACCAAATGCATCAGTATTGAAGATTCTATGATGAAGATGTTCTCCACTATATTTTGCCACTTCAGAACCTATACATTTATAAAAGACAAATATGTTAAAAAAAAAAAAAAAAAAAAGAGGAAGGATGAAACAAGATGCAAAAGTTAATATTGTCTGTATATATCCACGATTTTCCAAATGTCATATCTATAACTACTTTCATTCCTTTTTCTATATTTTTGATTTACCTCCATGCCCATCAAAAACAGCAAAGAAACTAGCTTTTGTGTCCTTGTATGCAGGAATAGTTGTATGAGCATCTTCCATGGCTAAATAAAGAATATTAGACAATATAAAGAGAAAGAAGAATATAGTTTATTATACTTACTGATTCGCCATCCTTGCATTCCAGAGGCTGCATACAATACACGATGATCTTGACCTTCAGTTGTATGCTTTTCAGTGACAGGCTCGGAAAGTGTTTGACCCATGATATAAAGAGAATAAATTTAATAAAAGAAAGAAAGAGAAAAAAAAAGTCCAATGATTGGATGGTTATGAGGTAGGATGTGAAAAACAGATAAAGAATAAAAAGAAAAGAGAGAAAAGAAAAAAAAAAAAAAGAATCAAGGTATTTTCATATGCTGGGGAGAAGCAAGAGAGAAAGAAAAAGGCGGGAATAGAATTTTTCTTGGATGAATGGGGCTGGACCCTTTTTCTTCACAGGAAAAGGAAAATCCCTAGTAAAAAGGTGTTTTTTATTAAGGCTATGTCACATGATCTCAAGTGGGGAGTGGGGGAAGAATGACAATTCATCTTCATGAAAGGGATTATATTTTTCTACTTCATTGATCAGTTTCATATTCACCATCATTTCTCAAAAGAGTTTTCTCTTTCTTTTGCAGGGAATTTGTTAAACTTTTTTTTTGTTTGTTTTTTTTTTTTGATAAGAGGAACTTTTATTGACAACTTTTTGAATAATAGTCAAAATGATTCATTTCAATTTACATATTGAATTCTCTCTTTTTGTATGTCGATCTTACAAAGTTCCTTGAACTTCACTCTGGAGTTGTAATGACAATATAATGATCTTTAAGCAAAGGAAAAAAAATATGATTTTTCAATCCCAGTTAGTTTTTCCATAATAAAAAAAAAAAGTCGTATGTTTATTTTCTTTTTTTTTCTCTTTTTTTCTTTTTCTTTTTTTTTTTTTTTTATTATTTTTTATTAACATGATGGTCAAACGCTGGTTGATAGCTCGAATACCAGCAAAAACCTATATTTTTCAGCAAAGTCAACGACGATCATTATCACTGATACCAAGATATGGAAGTTACCATTGGAAAGGAAGTCATATTTGGATAAAAGAAGAACGATCTGTCGTTGTACCTGGTTTGACAGCACACAGCAATGTATTGGCCTATCCTTTATTGACAACAATGGGTAGACGAGATTATACAACAACAAAACAAAAAGTGGCTGATCAACCTCGATATATTACCATGGCATTTTACAAGTTTCATGACATTCCAGCATCTACTTTACCAGAGTTACGATCAACACTCTTACAGGATTTGGGAGCACTTGGTGTGGTAGGTCGGATCTATATTTCCACTGAAGGTATCAACGCTCAAATGTCATGTCCTGATCATGGTGTGGAAGCACTTCGAGATTATTGTACCTCTTCTATTGCACCTCTCTTGGGCGGCGAACTGATGGATTTGAATATAGCAACACAAGGTGATAGTGCTGCTTTTCGTGCACTACATGTACGTATCCGAAAACAATTGGTAGCAGATGGTTTGGACCCTACAACCTATGATTTGAAGAATACTCCCTCACATCTTTCTCCCAAGGATTGGCATGAAAAATTGGTCAATTACAAGGAAATACATGGTAAGGAGCCAGTGTTGATTGATATGCGAAATCATTATGAAAGGTAAAATGCATTAATTACAAACAAATTGGAATTTTTTTTTAATTTTTTTTTTTTATTTTTATTATTATTACTACTTTGGTTTAGTAATATTGGATTCTTTGAAGGCGCTATTCGACCGGATGCTGATACTTTCAGGGACAGTATCACAGCCATGAATGAAATATGTAAGGACCTACCACGAGATCAAGAAATATTTATGTATTGTACAGGAGGAATTCGATGCTCAAAAGCTGGTGCTATTCTTCAATCACAATCTGGATTTGACAAGGTACATCTGGTGGAAGGTGGAATCACAGCATATGGACGATGGATTCAAGATCAAGAACACTTACAATCGATTTTCCGAGGCAAAAATTTTACATTTGATGGACGCATGGGGGAAACGATTACGGATGAAATCACTGGTACCCAATGTCATATTTGTGGCCAACCTTGCAATCGATATCAAAACTGTGCTCATGCTCAATGCAATTTATTGATGCTCTGCTGCTCCAATTGTGCAACTCGATTCTTGAATACCTGTGCTCGGCTTGATTGTTTTGATACCGTACAACAGTTTTTGGAAAAGAACAATGACAAGAATACTACATCAACTCAACGACAATACTACGATGCGGCAGGTCCAGTTTTGGTTGATGGTGTACGTGCTTATGTGAAGGAAGGACATACATTGGAGGAAAGCAAACGACATGATCGTGTGGTGATTGGTACTAGTGGCAAAGCTTGTGAACATGAATATCATCGTCGAACTCGCGCTATCGAGGTTCTTGGGCAACCTGGTCAAGTATTACAAGAATGGGCCAAGGCTGGAAGACAATTACCCCCTTCTCCCACTACGTCGTCATAACCCTCATCATCATTCATCTTTTATATAGACTTTTCTTTTCTTTTACATAAACCCTCATACACACTTTTGTTTTTTGTTTTTTTGTTTTTTTTTTTTTTTTTGTCTTTTTTTTAAAAAAAAAAAAAAAAGATTTGTATATTATCATTCCCCTTCTTTTTTTTAAAAAAAAAAAAGATTCATGAATAAATGCCAGGACTTTGTCCAAAGTCAGAAAAAAAATTGTTATTTTGTTTGTTTAGTGTGAAGGATTTGATATTTTTGTTGAATATGAAGTGACAGGCCCGTATGACAGGGTAAGTTTTGAGAACCAACAGAACCAAAAGGAAGATCATCCGATGTCCAATGAATAAAGCTTGATATGCTTTTTTTTTTTTTTTTTTTTTTTTTGCCAATGATCAATATTTAATTTTTTCTATTATATATAAGTAAATCCGTTGTACAATGTTTGAACATATCTAACTACAAAGAGCACATATGTCAGAATAAAACAATACAAAAATGGAAAATATTTATTAAAAGTAGAAAAAAAGATAAATAATAAAATGTGTCAGGTATGACTAAGGGTGGAGATAATGATGGTTAAAAAGAAAATAAGAAAAAAAAAAAGGATGGAGGATTAATCAAATGAATCAGGATCATCGGGCATCATAGTTTCAAGTTCTCGTTGTAAAGTTTGCCATTGGTATTGTTGCTCTTTTGCCATTGTATGTTGTTGTCGAACCATATCTTGATACATGAGGGATATAAACACTTGTTGTCGATGGAGATAACTTAGTTCCGATGCAAGACAGTATTGAATAAATAACATGCGGTGTTGATGTAATGATTCTCGAATATGATCCTAGTATAACAAATAAACAAAATAAATCATCAATAAAACATATATCCAATAAACATTCATCAGTCCACTGTCTTGCTTTCTTACTGATTGAAGTATTGTATCTATTTGTTGGTTTGTTAATCGTCGTTCTTGATGATGTTGGTATACTGAGATTGGAAATACTGGTGAAGAAGGAGATGTGTTGCTATTTGTAAGGACCATCTGTGCAGCGATTGCTTTCGGAATGACCTGTCGCTGTTGAGATATTGCATGAATCAATTCGTCTTTTCGTTCCAACATATCCTTGAATGAAATAAATAAATCACGTTGATAGTTGAGATGTTCCAAGAATGTGTTAAACATAGATGATGCTTTGCCATCTAATAGCCCAGCTATGGCCTGCATAGAGTGTGCTACCTTTTCTTGTCCATGAGATATTTGCTCACATGATTCACATATGTGTTGATGATGAGTTGATTGCTGTTCCATTTCATTCATGGCACTTGAAAATAAAGAAAGAAAAAAAAAATAAGTATAACGACAATGTTTTCTGAACGCCTTGACTTACTTGAGAGTAATACTATATCGAATCAAATCATTTGCATCTGCTTGATTGTTGGACGCTAGTCGCTGTACTTCGATAATCATCTTGTCATATTGTTGAATGGCAGGTACTATCCGTCGTTCTATCCGTTTTAATCGATCGGTTATATCATGAGGAATATTGGACAGTAAAGAATCAAACATGGGCATTGTTCGGATAAATTCATCCTCCATACTTGGTTGATATTGTTGCCACCAGTCTTGAATATCCTAATCATTTCATATTGAAAATATCATAAATAACCATAATCTTAATCATTCTAATCATTTCTTGTATTACATTTTCTTCCAAAAAAGCCTTGACTAATTCATCTTGAGCCAATATAGGATGCCTTACTAAAGCATTCATAAATCTAAATAATCCATGACGTCTGTTTTCTAAAAAGACATTACTGCCTTGTAAAAACATGGAGAAGAAATAGAAAAAAAGGTCAGTTATGTAAAGATTAGTATAATAATCGTTTTGTGGTCGATTACCTTTAATTTTTTTAGGGGGAAGTTTTGGAACTGACCGTAGTGGATACCGTTTCAATAAACTTTCCCATAATAAATAGAAATCGTTAAACCGACGGGTCACTGCCAATGTACCATGTTGACTTGATACTAAGTAGTTGACATGCTTGAATAAACGGCCTTCCTTTTCAGGCAATTGTGTCACTGTCACTAGATCCAGATCCAAAAACCATTGATAATCTTTGACTGTTTCTTTTCTATTCTTGCCATCAACATGGATTGCTTTTCGATCATGACCTGTATCGATAGTATCATGAATGTCATTATCATTGTCGTTGTGTTGATGTGATAACTGTGCAATAGTTGGCGAGTCTAATGTCAGACCAGTAGATACAAATGATGAATTCGAGGTGGATGGTACTTTTGAATATGTTGTCGTCGTCATCAAAGTAGTGAATACATCTTCATTTAGCTTGGGAATTGGCAAGTCTAAAAAAAAAAAAAAAAAAAAAAAAAAAAAAAAAAAAAGAATCACGTAATGATGAGCTGATATTCATCATGTTCAACCACAGATTTTCCTCTTATTCTATGCTAGTTACCAAATCTTCGATGATAAACGGTTTCCAAAGAGATATCTAATGAATGAATAAATATCAAAAGTTGATTCCTCGTTCGAATAGATTTTGTGTGATATTGTAGAATACATACCGAGTCCATTTTGACTACAAGCCAATAAAGCAATGGCCAGATTAAATTGTTGTCTAGTGATGGTGGATAAAGGTGCAGGAGAGGAGGAAGAAGGAAAAAAGGAAGAAGTAGAAGTAGTAGGATGTATCAAAGTGATTATCTACAAAAGGAAACATAAACAAAGTCAGTCAACTAGTTTGCATAATAAATTATTATTAATTATTATTATTATTATTATTATTATTATTATCAATAATAATAATAATTACCTTCTCAGATAATGTTGAGTCTAGTCCCGCATGTTGTAAAATGAATTCCAATGTCGTTGTAGTAACAAGGTATTGAGCATGTTGATTGGATAAACGTGTGTAGTAATCATTGTATATAGCTGGGAGATCCACATCATCTATGAAAATAAAAAAAAAATACAAAGACGACAAAAGGTCATATCATTGTTCTCGAAAACCAAAAAAAAAAAAAAAAAAAAAAAAAAAAAAAAAAAACTTAAACTCACGTTTTCTCTACCTACTTAGTATAATATCTGGAGTCAAAGAAAACTTCCACGGATCTTGTTGTTCTTCAGCAACACATTCTAATGAATGATGAGTTAATGATGAAAACTGGTTTTGCACATAGTCAAAGTCATTATCATTAAAAGTTGCCATTGTCAGCGGAAAGAAAACGAAAAAAAGGAAGAAATTATACCATCTTTCTTTTTCCTGCTCCTTTTTGACGCCGACTCAAAAGAAGGCAGTGACGTTTTTTCAATCAGGCGCGAAAGTCTTCAAATTTTTTTTTTAATCGAACGCGTTTCCTTTTCGTTTCTCTTTTTCTCTTTTCAACCATTTAACTACTCTTTTCTTTTTTTTTTTTTATGTAAGTATGACTTTTTAATATTATTCTTCTTTTTGACTATATATATATATATATATATATATATAATTGTCTGACCCAATTAAACTAATAATATCATCCTTTTCTTTTTTTTTTTTCTTGTTAGCCATATATCAATATGCTTGAAGCTCGTCTTAATGAAGCCAAATTACTCAAGGCTGTTTTGGAAGCTATCAAAGAACTAGTATCTGAATGTAACTTTGATTGTAATGACTCTGGTATTGCCTTACAAGCTATGGATAACTCTCATGTTGCTCTTGTGGCTATGATGTTACGATCTGACGGTTTTGATCCTTACCGCTGTGACCGTAACTTACCTTTGGGTGTAAACTTGACAAGTTTGAACAAGATCTTGAAGTGTGCTCGTCCTACTGATATTACTACTCTCAAAGCAAACGATAACGGTGATGTTTTGAGCTTAGTGTTTGAAAGCAAAGGTACTTTTTTTTTTACGCGCTTTATTTTATCGCTGTTTATTTATGTTGGCTAAATATATATTCTTCTTTTATATATATATATATATATATATAGATAGTGACAAGATCAGTGAATATGATTTAAAACTCATGGATATTGATAGCGAACATTTGGGTATTCCTGATACAAATTATGATGCTGTGGTACATATGTCCTCTGTGCGATTCCAAGAAACTGTTCGTGATTTGCAACAAATCAGTGATTCTGGTAAGATATATACATATTCTTTTTTTTTTTGGTACTGATTGCTTTCTTTTTGTAATCTATATTTTGTGAATAGTTGTTATTGAATGTACCAAGGAAGGTATCAAATTCTCTTGTGAAGGTGAAGTCGGTAAAGGTGGTATTACATTGAAGGCCGGTGGAAATGTTGACAACGTAAGGAACATGTAAAAGGAAAATATTAAAGGAAAATAAACTAATCAACCTTTTATCTGTACATATATGTTTATATCTTGGACGGTTATAGGAAGATGATGCTACTGTTATCGAACTCCAAACCAGTGTGACCATGACCTTTTCTATCAAATACCTCGTCAACTTTACCAAGGCTACTCCTCTCTCTAGTCGTGTCAGTCTAAACCTTTCCAATGAAGTGCCTTTGTTGGTGGAATACAAGCTTGGTGACTTAGGTCATGTTCGCTACTATTTGGTAAGTACAATTAGAAAAAAAAAAAAAAAAAAAAAAAGGAACAAATGAATTAGGTTACTCACATGTATTCTTACTGTACCTTTTCTTCAAAATAGGCTCCCAAGATTGGCGAAGAATAGTTGAATTCTCTTTAATCATGTATGTATCTTACTTCCTTTTACCTCCTCAGTTATTCAATTCTTCTTCCCTATCGTTTACTTAACTTTGTTCTTTTTATCCCCATTACTTAGTTTATACAATACTTGCCGGATATTATATCATCATATTACAATAAAACACAATTGCACTCAATACACTTAAAAAGAAACTATTATGTGAATAAGATAATTAGTCTACTGTAAGAATGAGAATAATAAAGTAAAAAAAAAAAAAAAAAAAAAAAATAACAATGACAATAATAAAAGAGTTGGGCTATTCAAAAATCGACTGCGAATAAGAGGTTCCAAAGTCGTTTATTGATAAAAAGAGCGTTTTTCCAAGATAATGCTAATAAAAAAAAAAAGATCCAGTCGTGTTCGTTGTTGAAAAGAATGAATGTCCAATATATATGTAATATTAAGAATAGATATCGTTCATCCTAAAAAAAATATCGTAATAAACTAATATAGTAGACTAATAACTATCCAATAAAATAAAACTATATAAATGTACTAATTATTACATGATAGAAGTAAAAGTGGTGAAATAAAAGATAAGAAAAAGAAAGAGAAATAAAAAGAAGAGTAAGATACATATTTCCACTGAATGGTTTTGGCCAATCATCTTGCGAGAATCGTTGGGTGGAAAATATAATCCAGTATACGGCTTGTCAACGATGTTAGGGCACTCAGGGTAGAAGTGAATGAATTGAGTTGAAGACGGAAGAAAAGTCGTTTTTCCAAAAAAAAAAAAAAAAAAAAGAAATGAATGTAATGTCGAATACAAAAAAAGAATGAATGTAATGTTGAATACAAAAAAAAAAGATATAACCAGACTGAACGACCACAAATATAAGTTTATTGTTGATAATAAAGATAATAATATATAAAAATATAATAAAAATAAAAAGAATATAGATCAAGATAAGAGTGTAGAAAAAAGAATGTAAGTGAGAGAAGAAAAAAAAAAAAGGAGCCCAAAAAAAAAAAAAAGCATGACTAAATCCCAAAATCAAGGTGTCACCAAGATCCAGATTCTGAACGCTGATTGGCTGAAATTTAGTTTGAGGTTCATAATGGACATCCAGAATTTGCAGCGAAAATTGGCTCCGTAGCGAAATGGATATCGCATCAGACTTCGGATCTGGGGGTTGTGGGTTCGAGTCCCATCGGAGTCGTTTCTTTTGCTAAAGATGTGCACTAACTATCACGTGTTGTACGGGTAAACTTTTGTGTCAAGTGATTTTTTGGTTTATAGGTTTGTTGTGTGATTTGTTAAGTAATTATTTGGTTTATTGGTTCAAAATTGAAAAAGTAAAACGGATGATTGAAAGTTAATAATGTTTATAGTGAGCACCAGTACTTGATTACGCAAGCACACGTATAAGAATAGAGATAAAATAAAAAAGAAAAGTAAAGTAAAGAAAAATAAAGTCTTGTTCCAAATTTGGAAAGTAGAAGTAGAGTAAAATTGTTCTGAGTTAGAATATAGAACAAAGTGAGCCAATCAAAATAGATAATCCACAATATAATCAAGTAGGGATGTAAAGATGTTTTTATTTAAAAAAGTATATAAAATATTGACTGATTGAACTGATAAAAAAAAGAAGGAAAAGAAGGGGTATTTATACTATTTGAAATTAAGGTTTAAAAAATAAAATATGAAAAAGAAAATGAAAACGAAAAGAATAAGTGAAATAAAAAAATAGAATGAAAATATAAAACGGAGGTATAAATGAAAATAATTTTTTTTTTTTTTTTTTTTTTAAAAATTTTTTTTTTTTTGTTGTCGTTGACATCCTACGCACCTAGAAAAGATGGGCCTCCATCTTATTCGTTTACCAACCACTCGTCATTTCTCTTTATTTTTGCTAGGAAGTTACGTATTACGCCAGCTGGCATGACATCCCCCAACAGATGCTGTATGTAACGGTTTTGATCTTTCACGTATTGTTGTCGGTCAGCATGGTTACTTGGTTTTTTAAATTTTTTGTGCGCCAAATGAAGGACAAGAGGAATTAGGCTCTCCTTTTCTTCTTTTGCTATCTCTAGTTGTTTCTCTTTGAGGATTGCGACCTTATACAAGTATCCAGGTATATTCATGTGCACTAATTGTTTTATGTCTTCTAATGTGCACAAAAAAGGTTTGGGTTCAAAGAAGGGATTATTATTTACATTTAGTGAACTTTTGGAGGTAGGTCCCCGATTGTCAAGTGGCTGATTATCAACTATCTCACCATCTTCTTTATCGAATAAAGGTTGCGTGTCCACAACTTGTCCACCAACGATAGTAAGCAAGTTAAACGTTTGGGGATCCAGGATGGTGCCAAAATCATTGCTTTCATTGGGATTCATCTTGAACTGGTTTGAAGAGGTATTATTCATATTTTCCTTGATATGATTGATATAATTTTTTTTTTTTTTTTGTATTTTATAGGTTTATATAGTTTTTTTTTTTTTTTTTTTTTTTTTGTGGATTAATGATCTTGGTGTAGGATATGAAAATCAATGATAATCATGGTAAATAAAGATTGTTCCTCTTTTTTTTTTTTGATGGGTGTTGATAGTATTGGTACTGATGATAACGGTGGTACATGTCTCTTCCCTTTTTTTTTTTTTTTTTTTTTTTTTTTTACAAATGATCGCCAAGTGTTCGTTCAAAAGATTGATTCCAAAACACATCAGGTACTTGATACAATTTGAGGCGATTTCCATGCACGCGTCTAAGCTTTGGATCATCAACTCGATATGGTTTTATGAGATAGGTTCCTTTGCCAATTGTTTGGTGTATAATGTAGATCCCATCCCACATGTCTGATATTTTTCCTGCCCATGAATTTGCCTTGATCCCAGTATATAATGTTACAATGTCACCAAGCTTGAAGGGAGGTTTCCATTGACGTACATCATCAATGATTTTTTTATCCATGACCTTATTTTTGATTTTCCTGTGTGGAATTTGGTGTTGGTTGAGTAATAGAAAGATATATATATATATATATATAAAAGGGAGACGAGAACAAGTCTGTGAGATTTCTTTTTTTATTAAAAAAAAATAGTTAAAAAAAGAGATAAAGTATCTATACAAAAAGTTTTGTTGTTCTTATATATAAGTACTTGATGAGTGACACGTAATACTAGTATCATCATATTATATTTAAGTTTGATGATCAAATTTTATTTTTGTTTTTGTTTATTTTTGTTTTGGTTTGTAATACTGTTATACAGGGAGTATAATCTTATTAGTATTTTATTTCTCATTGACGTGATGTTATCATCATATGTGTAATGATTTAATCATGATGGTTGCCCTGGAGTGTTTATTCATTGATATGTATCTTTCCTTGATAGTAATTATGGACCATGTGCATAATGATTTTCAAAGTCCGTATGTATTTATTTTATTAGGTAACTTTTTATTTTCTTTTATTTCTTTCCTTTTCTTTATATAGTATATCAATTAGTGATCTGTAGTAGTTATATTTTTATTTAATAAAGCTTTTATTTTTATTCATATTACTTTATTACACGTCAATGTAATTGATTCCAACTTACAATGTATTTTTTATTCTCTGTTTGTGAATGCCTTCTTTATTTTATGGTTAAGGAATATGCTGATACGACAATAAGAAAAAAAAAGTGACCCAATCAAAAGTAATAATCCACTAATTCAATTAAGATGGGATGAAAAGGATGTTTTTTTATTAAAAAAAGATAATTATATTGACTGAACTGAAAAAAAAAGAAAAGGAAAAAGATGGAGTATTTATACTTTTCTTCTGAATAATGATATCGAGTATAGAGATAAAAGGAATAAGGGTTATAGGTACAAAGAGAATATAAAACACTAACTAAACTATTAAATAAACTAATGATAAAGAGTTGGATACTTTTCCCTAATTTGCTTATTCTTTTATCCAATATCCATTTAATCCTATTGTATATTCCTTCATATATCTATTTACTATATGTTCACAGAAAGAACAAAAAAGAAAAAAAATAAATTAGTTCATAATAGGAGAGGCTAAAAGAAAGAATAAGTATAGTAAAGTATAAAGTAGGTATAATATATATAAAGAGTGAATTTTAAATATATAATATAAATTAATAAAGTAATGTATAATGGTAACTTACAATGTTCAAAGACTCAATTGGTTAAAAAAAAAAAAGTAAAAAAAGGCAAAAGGAAAAAAAAAAAGTGAAGAGCGCCCCAAATTTTTTTTCTTTTGTCTTTTCCATTGTCACTTCCAGAGCAAATTGCATGAGCGATTTCCAAAATCAGTCCACTTTTTTCTTTTTTTTTTCTTTTTTTTTCTTTTTCTTTTTCTTTCTTTTTTTTATTGACTTTTAGTTTTAGTATGTTATTTGATAGTCTTTTGTATTTATATTATGTTTATTCAATAAAGTTTTTTTTTTTTTATCTTTATTTTTTATTTTTATTTCAATTATTTTGTTACATGTCAAAGATTCCTTTCTTTTTTTTTTATGTATATATTTTATAGACACGAATACGTTGATACGATATACTGTATGAGTGATGGATCGTTGGATAATGATTGTTCGCTAATATACTGATGCCTTTTTTTTTTTATTCATGTTTGATTGATATTTATAAAAATGGAAAGCTAACTACTTGGATTAAAGTATGGAAAAAACGGCGGATATATGCAGTACATATATACTTGAATAGACAACATATAGACTAGCAATTATTCAAAAAAAAAAAGGATATTTCAACTGATACTACAAATGATCCAACCACTTCCAAAAGGCATAGAAAGGACAATCATCTGAGAAGTGAACATCAGATGCATGGCAATAATAACAGAATACCTTATTTGCGTGCAAACGTTGGTAAGGAAAGTCATCACCATCATAAGCATCAAGACAAACAGTACCAGCACCATTATCATCAGGGTTTGAAAAAATGGAGAAAGAATCAACACGTCCAGTGACAATGATATAGAAAGTATTGCTTGGAATATGTGATCCTATATGAGTGGCTGGCAAAATACCAAGTAATGAACCATATTGTTGTTGTTGTTGTTGTTGTTGTTGTTGTTGTTGTTGTTGTTGTTGTTGTTGTTGTTGTTGTTGTTGTTGTTGTTGTTGTTCTATTGTTGATGATGTTGATGCTACATCAGATGTAATAGATTGTTTAATCTTGGCAATTGTTGTGTTTAGAGAATCCAGAGGTAAATCTTTCATAATGAAGAGAGTGATTGGTGTAACGCATTGATCCAAAGAGGAGGATAAAGACAAGAGATCTAACTGATGATGAGAATATGCTTCCTTGTAAGTAATTTGTCCAACGGATGGAACGCCTAAATATCGGATACTTCTGAATAAAATACCGCGAGTGATGGCCAATTGACGTGCTTCAGGTGTAGCAAACAAGACTTCCACAATAGTACATTGTGTATGACAGTATTTCGTATTATCCAAAAAACTAGACATGATGATTTGATCGACACCAAACTGATTTTCCAAGAGATGTTCCACAGTAAAAGGAGGAATAGGTATGCGATGAAAATCAAAAATGATTGTGTTTGAACTTTTGGTCACAGGTCTTGGCATAGAACTTGCACTGTCATGATTGATAACGGTTTCTCCCGATGTAGGATGATCATCATAGCTAAAGGAAGGAGATGATGAGGTTGGTAAACCAGTAGTAGTAGAAGACGTATTGTTGTTACGTGATTTTCGAGTCATTGTCCGACGACGCATGTAATTTCTTGAACGGTTACTCATACAATGAAGTAGTATTGAAAGATGGACACACACACAAAAAAAAAAAAAAAAAAAATAGTAGTTAGATCTGGGAAGAAACACACAAAAAAAGTAAAAGTTGACGTCAAAAGTTTTATTTCAATATTGTAAACAATCAGATGATCTCGTTTGCATGAATCATAAAAAAAAAAAAGAAATAATAATAATACTATTATCATATCAGGTTTTCTGAGATTTTTTTTTTTTTTTTTTTTTTTTTTTTTTTGTAAAAAGAATCTATATATGTAGAGGGAATTGTTATTAGTGTCGTATATGATATTGTTGATTAGCAGGTACGATATTTTTTTTTCCTAGACTTCCGTATTTGGAAATACATAGCAAAAAAGGACACTCAACAAAAAAGGGGGTCATTCAAACCACGAATTTTTTCTTTTTTTTCTGCATTCTTCTTTCACGGAAAACTTCTATAGTTCCATGGCCTTTTTTTCTTTTTCTTCTTCTTCTTTTAAATTTAACTATTTTTTTTGGTTTCTTTTACCTTTATTTATTGCTTATTATATTTACCCTTTGATGTCTCCTAATCAACAACAACATTCTTCTTCAAGACAAGTATTACCTACAAATGTCAAACCTTTTCACTATGATATCTGGTTGAAACCTCATCTTGATACCTTTGTTTTTGACGGTCAAGTAAAAGTCAAGTAAAGTATATATATATTCTTTTATATTTTACATAAAAATTCATTATTAACTTTTCTTTTCTTTTTTTTTTTTTTTTTACTTTTGAAGTTTGAATGTGTTAGAACCGACACGCGTCATTACTTTGAATGCATACGAAATTAGTATTACGTCGGCTATTCTTGTTTTTGGTAGTATCAAGTAAATTGGATATTTATAATAATATATATTTTATAGATATTCAATCTTTTTTTTTTTTAGTGTATCCTCTATTGATATTGAATATGACACGAAGAAAACACAAGTCTCTCTTACTTTTCCTGAAGAAGCTCCTGCTAACTCTAAGGCGGTTTTGGATATTAAGTTTAAAGGTATTTTGAATGATCAAATGACTGGATTCTATCGATCATCTTACAAGGATAAACAAGACAATACAAGGTAAGTTACTTTATATATATATATTCAAAGTGGAAGTATTCATATGATTTATTCTACTTCTTTTTTTTTTTTTTTTTTCTTCGTGAATAGATATTTGGCTACCACTCAATTTGAACCTACTGATGCACGCCGATGTTTCCCGAATTGGGATGAGGTAAAAACTTACATATTATATTAAGATTATATATTCTATTTCTAACTATTATTATTATTTTTACTTTTGTTAACAGCCTGCTTTGAAAGCTACTTTTGATGTCACTCTGGTGGTTCCAAATGATTTGACAGCTTTATCCAATATGAATGTTATCAATGAAGAAGAACTAAAAGGATCAGATAATGGATGGAAACAAGTAAAGTTTGCTACTACTCCTAGGATGAGCACTTATCTTCTTGCATTTGTCGTGGGTTCCTTTGAATATATTGAAGCTTATACTTCAGGTAAATACAATGGTCAACCTATTCAAACTCGTGTCTATACTTTACCTGGATCTAGTCAAAATGGTTATCTTGCTCTTAGTGTTGCAACCAAAGCTCTGGAATTCTTTGCTGAACAGTTTGGTGAGCCTTATCCATTACCCAAGATAGACATGGTGGCTATTCCTGATTTTGAAGCTGGTAACATCAAAAAAAAAAAAAAAAATCACTAGAACAAATTGATTTTCTTTTCTTCTAATGAGTATTTTCTCCATTTCCTATTACTTTTTCTTTTGGATATATTAGGTGCTATGGAAAACTGGGGTAAGCAATATTAGGAAATGAAGCTTAGAGTGAACTTGATATCAATACCTTTTAAACCTTCTTTTTTTTTTTCTTTCTTCCTCCTTCATTTAGGCCTTGTCACATACCGCACTATTTATGTAAGTAATATCATTTGTTAAATAATATAATGTAGAAAGAACATACCAATTTACTAAATAGAATTTTTTATATATATAGTTACTTTTTGATGAAAAGGAATCTTCTATCCAATTCAAGAAACATGTTGCTTATACTGTTTGTCATGAACTAGCACATCAATGGTTTGGTAATTTGGTAAGCATGGAAATTCAACTAAAGAAACAGTTCAATGACATTTTATCCTTTATTTATTTTTTAGGTGACGATGCAATGGTGGAACGAACTGTATTTGAATGAATCATTTGCTACATGGGTTGGATGGCTTGCCGTGGATAATATCTTTCCAGATTGGGATATATGGACTAGTTTTGTCAATGATATGTCAGCTGGTCTCAAGTTGGACGCTCTAAGATCATCTCATGCTATCGAAGTGGATGTGGCGGATGCTTCGGAAATTCATCAAATCTTTGATGCGATTTCATATGACAAAGGAGCAAGTGTGATTCGAATGCTAAGTTCTTGGCTTGGTGTGGATACTTTCTTGGGTGGTATACGTCTTTATATTCAACGACACAAATTAGCTAATGCATCATCCAATGATTTATGGCATGCTCTTGGTGAATACGCTGGACTGGATGTTGGCAAATTTATGACCTTGTGGACCAAACATGTTGGCGTAAGTTACTATATTTATTTATTTATTATTATTTTTTTGTCTATATTTATCCATACGCTTTTGATTGATAAGTGTTGCTTTACTAACTGGTCATTAATTATATTACTATATCTATTATTCATTATCAGTATCCTGTATTGACTGTCCAGACTTCAGGTCTCGATTCTATCAATGTGACACAAACGCGTTTCCTTTCTACTGGCGATTTGAATAATCAAGATGAAATGTAAATGGATCATAAAAAGTGAATAGAAGTTCTTTTTTTTTTTTTTTTCTCTTCTCTTATACCGTATTTTTAAATTCAATATAGAACGACTTGGTGGGTCCCACTTCATATGTTATGTTCCAATGGTCAAATAGAACCTTATATCCTCACAGAATCTTCTCAAACTTTCAAAATTCCAGAAGATGGTCTATTCAAACTCAATGCTGGACAAACTGCATTTTATCGTGTGAACTATCCTCAAACTATTATTTTACAACTAGCAGAACAAATCAAGCAACATCCACCAGGCAAGGGATTATTAGCCAGTACAGCGGATCGGGTCGGCTTGATTAGTGATGTCGGTAGTTTGATGGTTAGTGGAGAACAATCGACTATTGCCTTTTTGGAATTGGCTAGAGCATTTGAACATGAAACCGAAACTTTGTAAGTGCAAAAAAAAAAAAAAAAAAAAAAAAAAAAAAAAGATGATAAATATATTTTAATCTTCTATTATTATATACTAGTGTATGGTCCCAATTATCCAGTCATTTGAAATCTTTAATTAGTGCGTTTGATGAACAACCTGAGCAAGTAGTGAATGGGCTTTTATCTGTTCGAAGACAACTATTTGGACCAGTAGTTGACCGTTTAGGTTGGGAAATACGTGAAGGTGATGATGACTTGACGCATATGCTACGTTCCTTAGCTATATCGAATGCAGGTTTATCCAAACATCAAACCATTATTCAAGAAGCCAAAACAAGATTCTGGTCGTTTATACAAGGTAACACTCAATCTCTCCATCCCAATCTTCGTAGTACTGTATTCAAGATTGTGCTGACTGAAACGACCAATAATGACAACAACAATAACGAATTGGCAAGGGCTTGGGAAGCGCTTCTGGCTATGTATCAGGATGAAAATCTACCCAGTGATCAACGCTTGATGATTCTAGTTGCTTTGGGTTGTGTCAAGGATGCTGAATTGATTCAACGATATCTCGCTATGGGTGAAACTCAAGTTCGTTCTCAAGACGTTGTTTATATTTATTCATCGTAAGTGGTGGTGACAATATTGAAAAAGTACAGATAACACTATCTTATATTACAAATCAATCATTCCCTTTCTTTGTTATTCTAGATTGAGCGACAATTCAATGGGACGTGATGCACTGTGGATGCACTTTACTGAACATTACGAGGCGCTGCATACCAGATTTGGTAAAAATATCTCTTTGTTTGGTCGTGTAGTGGAATCCTGCATTCATGGGTACAAATCAATGGACAAATTGAAAGAAATCAAGTTATTTTTTAAGGACAAGGATACCAAGGAATATGATCGACCACTTCAACAAGCATTGGAGGCTGTGCAAGTCCATGCTCAATGGGTAGAACGGGATAGTGAAAACGTGGCCAACTGGATTACGACCCAATTGTAATCTGATTATGTAGTATTTTCTTTATTAGTTTTTTTTTTTTTTTTTTTTTTTTTGAATAAACAGATATTACTTTACATTCTGTGATTCCTTTTTTTTTTTTTTTTTTTTTGTTTTATCTCTTAGGTACTATCGATATATCAAATTGAAATCATAGAGAAAGGGATGGTTAATAGTATTGATAAAAGTTGGATGATGTTTCAATAAAAAGGAAAAAAAAAAGTATGCAATATATTCCCCACACTATTTTAAAGTTCAATTGTGGGGATATGATAATTTAAAAAATAGATGAGGTTTTAACTAATTTGTCATAAAGAAAGGGTGCACAGATAGGAAAATATCAACTAATCGATGATTGCTTCATATATTAGCGGGAATTCTTTTTTTGTTCTTGGTGTGGGAAAGAAGCATGTTTTCGTACCCTTTCTCATTTTAGGTCTACATCATCATCACATCATTCATCGTCATGGATCATCAATCATTATCCATCATTCAATCATCCCGGCATTCAGTCATCATCATGTAATAGTGGTATTTTTTTTTCTTTCTTTCTTTATTCTAAAAAAAAAGGAATTCTATCTAGGAATGTATATATAACAGGAAAATAAAAAAAGATGTTACTGATACTAGCAGTAATGTATATAAAGGGATGGTGCGCGTTTGTTGTTGTTGTTGTTGGACTTGGATGTTTTGTAACGTTTGATATGCATGGGGAATAAACTTTAAATTGTAAACTTGTCATAAAAAAAAAGCATAAGGGAAAGAGAGAAAGAGAGAGAAAACTGCATAAAAACTTGTATATGTAAAAGGAAGATCTAAGTGTGAGGAAAAAAAAAAAAAAAGAGAGAGAGGAAGAGCTTGGCGCCATACTGAAACAAAATATAATAATATATGAATGGTTTGTGTAATAAAACGGAGAGAAAAAGAGGACAAAGAGCAAAAGAAAGGAGGAAGGGGGGAATCATCGGTAAAAAAAAAAAAAAAAAAAAAAAAGTATATACACAGGAATAAAAACAACAACAAAGAAGTACGCCGACACCTATGGATCAGACGATTTACTTGATTTCAATAGGAAACACAGAGCTTGAGTAGGCACAGGTTGGATTATTCAAAGATGATGATGATTGTCGCTGTTTTTGTTGGTGCATAGAATAAGAAGTAGGAGGGAATTGTGGAGCAGGACGATAGATCATAGGAGACACTAAAGGAGGTAATTGTTCTTTTGTTAATCGAGGATGATAAGAAGAAGCATATAATAAAGGTGTAGGAGGACTGAGAGGCGTATCTAGAACAGAATCAACACTATCAGAAGGTGAAGTAGGATGCGTCATACTGGCATTATTGTTGTTGTTGTTGTTGTTGTTGTTGTTGACTGGTTTGGTGCAAACACTAATATAGTATATATAAATAGAAAGTTTCAGTTAATCATTTAATTCAGGTAATCTAATTTTTTTTTTTGTGTCAATGTTACCTAAATGGTTTCCACTGATTTTCATGACAACGTTGATGCCTGGATAATGTTGTTTTCCTTGTAAAGGATTTACCACAATCCATAAAATCACATACATAAGGTCGTTTTCCAGTATGAGTACGTCGATGTCTTGCCAAAGAGGAGGACTAATATATATATATATATATATATATATATATATATATAAAATAGAATGAGTATTATTTTATAAGACAGATCATCCATTCATAAACTTACATCACTAAATGATTTTTCACATGCTTCATATTCGCATACATGAGGTCGTTCACCAGTATGTGTACGGAAATGCACGGTCAGAGCAGAACGTTGAATAAACTGTTTTCCACAATTCGCCCATTCGCATCGATAAGGTCGTTCTCCAGTATGAATACGTCGATGTCTTGATAAATCTGATCGTCGCGAGAATGCCTTGTTGCAATCGTGCCAGTTGCATTCGTATGGTTTTTCGAGGACAGTGTCAATCAAATCATTGTAGTCGAGTACAGGCATCATCATCATTTTATTGGTATTGTTATTATTATTATTATTATTATTGGTGTTCAGTGATTGATCGCAGGTATAATAAGATGACATGGAGGATGTATCGGAATGAGTATCATCACTCTGTTGTTTTTCATGTTGATGATTGTTCAATAAATTTCGGATATCCATAAGAGTACAATACAAGTAATATATAATATAGAAGGGTAGCGATATATATATGTATATAAAAAAAAAAAAAAGAAAGAGAGAAAGAGAAGAAGAAAATAGAAATTATCTCTACCTTTTATATTGGCCATTCCTTTTGCTTTCAGTCGCCGCTGATCACGGGTTTCGAAAACAAGGTTTATATGTAGGCGCTAACTCGTGGCACACATGCCTTGATGTTTAAAAAGAAAGAAATGGGGGGAGAGTAGACAGCTTTGTACCTTGCTTTTTTTTTTTTTTTTTATGTTTTGATGCGACATCAAGTAAAACAGGCGCATGAAGGAATAGCCAAAGATGGGCTGAATGAAGAATAACAGGTTGATGATGATCATGACAACCTTACAGAAAGATAGAATTGTGTGGATCCTTTTTGTTTTTGTCATCAAATTCGCTCACCGCTGTATTCCATCCTCACCCCTTCTTTTTATTCAACTATGATGACAGGTTTGAAATCCATATTATCCTTTTTTTGGTTTGGTTGTGAGTAACCACCCCATTGATTATTTTGAAACAAGGCAAAAGAGAATAGAAGGCGCTTTAAATCGGACACCACTTTTTTTTTATGGATTCTTTTTTTAAACCATTATCATCATCATTTAATCATGATCATTCATCATTATCACCATCATCATCATCATCATCATCATCATCATCATCATCATCTTTGTCGTGGTTGCATTTGTTGGTTTACATAGTAGTAAGATCAATAGCCACTCAAATGAAAAAGATAGGTAGTTATAATCTTCCTCATCAATCATACATTCAAAAGATAAAAGAATGAAATTATGACATTTCATGTGGTTTTTTGTGCGTTTGTTTGTTTGTTTTTTTTTTTTTTTGAGTCTAAGCTTCATGTATGATATCTGTTTTGTGTAATCATGGATTTCAAATTTGCCAAGGGGACGAAAAACGTGGCTCTAGATGTTGTAGCTGTTGCCATTTCGGGCGGAGCCCACGGTTCATGTCAATTAGATCGGGGGAATTGGGTAAAAATGAGTGGCAGAAAAGATAAAGACTAGACAGGCATAAAGAAAAAAATATTTGGTAAAAAAAAAAAAAAAAAAAAAAAGGGATGACAGAGCTGTGGCCACCCTTTTTTTTGTCAGCTGATGAATAGTTGGTATATCACCCTGTTTTTTCGTGTATGTGTATCGGCACGAGCCACGTTGTTTTGCTTTTTTTCTTTTTTCCATTTGTTACAAGTCATGATCTAGTCTTTCTCACACATCTACTTATATAAACAGGCTAAATTTACTTTTTTTTTTTTTTTTTTTACCCGTCAAAGACATGGATTTATCAAAAAAGAAGGGGACGATCCTTAAGCAATGATTGGCACGTCCTTCATTTTGATCACAATATAAGGTAATTTGTGTAACTTGGCCACGTGTTGGACAAAACGAAATCCTTTATTTCTCCTTTGTATCGGTTGGTCAAGGCATGTCAATCTGATGAGGATTCTCATCCATTATATAATCATTATTATTATTATCATAAAAACATCATCATAGGACCATCATCAAAAAAAAAAATTTGTCTATAACCAAATTGGAATTATTGGACGGATGAACAAAGATAAAAAAAAAATCAAATAAAAAATGAATCAATGAACCAATGGAAATGGAAATCATCATCTATTGTTTGAAGCACATGGCAAACACTTAACCCAAAAAATGTTTTAGATGCAACATATATAAAGTGGTACAATGTGCGTAATAGATTCCAAACCACGCATGGGGGGAGTGGGTTCCCCTCCCTTTTTAAATGTATATAAATTTTTGTATCCGTTTTGCTTCACCAATCATATCTTGTATCACACACTTCCGGTCTGTGCCCTCACTTGACTTTCCACACACACACACATATATATATATATATTTAAATATACAGTAAAGATAATCCAGATTTACAATCATCATGGTAAAATAACAATAGGCATGAATTAAAAAAAATCATTATCTCTTTCTTATCATCATCATCATCATCAAAGCATTATTGATAAGCTACTTTATACTATGTTGAAAGATAACTTGAATCAAAGACCAATGATGCTTTGTCCTTTTTAACGGATTTCATCGGAAAAGGAAAAAAAAGAAGTGCTGCAGTTACTTTTATTATTATCATCATCATCATACAAAAAGATCAAACCCAAAAAAAGGGGGGGAAGGAACACATATCACATCACTTTTTTTTTCTCAGTCATCTCTTTTTTTTTTTTTTTTTTCCTTGAGTTCAACCTCATAGTAAAGACTATCTATGTTGTTTTTTATATAGATGCATGGATTCTTGCTTAGTCATTACAAAATAGTTTGTTCCTCTTAAAGTAAAAATAAAAAAAAAGCCATCTTTATTGTTGTGTTATCTATGATCACATTGATGTCATTTGAACAACATGAATTTTTTATTCAAAAGGATTAACAATAGATTATAGGAAGAAAAACGGAGGAAAAGAGACATTTTGCTTGTTTTTGGAAAGAATAAAGTGAGCTAAAAGTAGTAGAAAATGATTTCCTTGGCATGTAATCAAAGTTTGACAGGTGATTCAGGGCAATGAACTTACCTTTTTTCTTTCTTTCTTTTTTTCTATACGATACGTACTTTTTATATGAGCTACGGTGAGAAAAAAAAAAAAAAAAGAAAGAATGATCATTATGGAGTAATGTCTCTCTTGATTGATTGTTTCCCGAACCGACCAGTGATCCATGATTTCATACCGTCCTTCCCACTACCAATCCTCTAAAGGTAATCAATGATTAGTCTAATAAACCAAAACAGGAGATAAATCCCACGATATTTATATAAATATATTTTATTTCAATTTCATTGCTTTGTTCATATACCAACGTATTTACAATACAAATATACATCATCAAACTAAATAACTAATAGTGATATAATAAAAGATCGTCTAAACCTATTCTATGCTATCCTATTCTATTTGCCTTCATCATTCTTGCTACCACCATATTTCGCTTTCCAAACTTGTTCCATCTTTTCATCAATTCTTGTAAACAGGTATTCAGCACCATTGAGCTTGTGACCACCATGAAGATCATAAGAAAAGGTATCAGGGATCGTGCGAAGAGGAGCATTGATTTGTCGAGAGATACTGTCAGAGGTAGCGGGCATGTATGGATAAATCAATGACGAAAGAATATAAATCAAGTTAAGCGCCGTAGTCACTACCGCATTGCATTGAGGACGTTGATCATTGTACAATCCATTGCTCAAATTGGATTCCTGAAGATATTGGTTGCCACGAGCCGAAATTGCCATCGCTGTCGCAAGACCTGCACGTAACTTGACTTGTTCCAATTGATCCACATATTGTGCCAACAATTCATTCACATCCTTCACCAACTTGACTTCAAGTTCGCCATTCAAAGGTGTTTCAGTTGCAGCAGGAAGGACGCCATCATATTTGGCCAACACAAACTTGATAGCACGGTTGACAAAGTTGCCAAGATTGTTGAGTAATTCTGCATTGTTTTTGGTGATAAATTCGTTCCATGTGAACATCGAATCATTAGTTTCAGGTCGACCAGATAACAAGTAATAACGCCATACAGATGGAGGAATGCCAGTTTCTTCTGCGTTGGTACCAAAGACTCCCACGTTTCGTGATTTACTGAATTTTCCTCCTTCGTAATTCAAGTATTCTAAAAAAAAAAAAAAATCAATGTCAATCCATAGTTATTCTAATAAATAAATAATATATCTACCTGTAGTGCTGATATGATGTACCATAGTCCAGTCTTCCTTTGTAGCCAATTGAGTTCCAGGGAAGATAACAGAATGGAAAGGTACATTGTCTTTACCCATGAATTGATAGAGATGAACGTTCTTTGGATTCTTCCACCATTTTTCCCAGTCATCAGTATAATTGGCGGTAATACTTGGGTAACCAATACAAGCATCAAACCATACATAAAATACCTTATTTTCAAAACCTTCCAGTGGTACAGAGGTGCCCCATTTCAAATCACGAGTAATACAACGAGGACGAAGACCTTCCTTCAACCAAGATCCAGTAATATTGATACCGTTAGCAGACCATTTGCCTACATCATCATAATGATAATGATGATGATAATGAAAAAGAAAAGAATTAGTATCTCAATGTGTATCACTTGATATATGGAAAAATGTATTTCTTCCTTACCTTCAACGTTGGATCTGTTGTTGAACTCTTCAATTCCATCTTGCAATTTGCCCAAATCCAAAAACAAATGTCGGGAATCCTTAGTAACAGGAGAATTACCATCCAATTTACAGCGAGGTTGGATTAATTCAGTAGCATTGAGAAGACGACCACAAGCATCACATTGATCACCACGTGCATCTACATATTGACAATTGGGACAGATACCTTCCACATAACGATCAGCCAAAAAGCGTTGACATTGTTCACAGAATAGTTGAGTCATAGAATCTTGAATTACATAGCCATTATCATTCACCTTTTTGAAGATATCTTGAGTAATTTGAGTTTGTTTTTCAGTAGTTGTGCGTCCAAACTTATCAAAAGAAAGATCAAACCATTTGTACACACTAGTATGTACTGCATTGTACTTGTCACAAAGAGCTTGACATGACACACCTTCCTCCAGAGCCTTGGTTTCCGTAGCTGTTCCATATTCGTCAGTACCACAGATATAAAGAGTGTTATAGCCACGTAACCGACAGTATCTTGCATAGACATCTGCACTCAATGTTGATCCTACGATGTTGCCCAAATGAGGAATGTTATTGACATAAGGAAGTGCTGAAGTGATCAAAATGTTTCGTTCGCCTTCAACAGGAGTTCTATATTGACGTAAAAAGAAGAGCAATGAATTCACAGCCATCTTTTTTTTTTTTTTTAAAAAAAAAAAAACTAACCGATCCTACTTACACTTTTTGACCTTCAGGTAAAGGTTTGAACACCACTTGATCATTGAGCTTCTGTGTTGCAGGATTTAAATCCCCCAAAGGAGATACTTCCACAGTCTTCTTTTCAGTAGTTTGATGTTTCCTCTTGGGAGCCTTGGTTTGAATCTAATCCGTAAAAATTATTATCAGAACATTATTCATATATATTTTCTTTTCTTTTTTTTTTTTTTTTGTTTGTTTGTTTCATAGTGGTGATAATTTACCTGTTGACCCAAAATGTCTAAAGCAGCCTTGACAGCAGAGGTTTGAGAAGCGAGATGAGCCCATGCAGCCACCTTTGGATATTTGGCAGCCTCAATATCAGACAAAGTTTCATATAAAGATCCATAATAAATAGCGTCTACCGCAGTCAATTTGTCAGACTAGTATGATACAATTAAAAAAAAAAAGAAGAGCGACATGACGTTAATATAAAGTAATTCACATAAAAAAAAAGAGTAACTTGAATCATTCATTACATGAGTAAAGATATCGTATTGTTCCATAAATTGGTTGATATCCTTGAGAGTACTGTCGTACTTCTTCTTGTTGATCAATGGGCCAAATACAGTAGATTCCTTTTCAATTGCAAAATTGGTTTCAAGATTAAAGGTAGTAGCATCCAAAATATATCTATTTTTAAAACAAAGACAAGTTGAGTGAGTATCGGAAAACAAGTCAAATGAGATATTATACTTTTTCTTCCTTCTCCTCTCTTTTTTTTATCACTATACCTAACCGCTACATTGGGATCATGGATAGTAATGTCGTCAAATAATACGGTCAAGGTATCTCCTGGGATTTGGTTGATTTTGACACTAGCAATTTCAGCAGCAATGAGTAACTTCAAAAAGTTGGCATAATGTCGTTGAGAAGGTACCAGTTTTGGCACTGTCACATTGAGAGGTCGTACCATTATTATTGTTGTCGGTAGAATATGGAAAAAAAAAAGGAGAGTGAAAAGAAAAAAAAAAAAAAAAAGAAAAAAAAGAAGAAAAAAAGGAAGGGGGAAATGTTTTTTTATATTATTTTTTGACTTTTGTAAGCCACCAATCAAATCACTTGAAAATGATCTGCTCATCTGAATTCTTTAACCAAACATCATTTCACTTTCTGACTCATACATAGAGTTGACAAGTTATTATTACTAGAAAAGTAAGAAAGATCATATGATCCAATACGCCACATACGATCACTAATATATTGTTCATGATTAAAAAAAAAACGATATCTACATATATATAATAGAGCTTTATTTGTAAGGGAATGATCTAAAATAACCTATCTGTGAGAGGCAAAAGGATGAAAAAACCAGTAAAGAGTAAAAAAAAGAAGAAAGACTATTCAAAATGTGATACAAAGATGTTCAAAACAAAGCAATCGAGTGTTTTGATATAAACGTAAGGGGTGAAGTATATGTGTATGTGAGAGGTGTATATATATATAATATATATATATATATATATATATATATGTGTGTGTGTGTATCGTCTAAGCAGATTTTACAAGTTGTTCCAAAGCCTTTTCAATTTCTTGGGATGAAGCATTTTGCAACACAACTTTGTGTTCAACACCTTTATCTATAAAATAAAATGTTTCAGCCAATTGACAATCCAAAATATTTCTTGTATTTACCAAAACGAGCAAAGACACGGGCTTCAGCTCCACTAGCTTCTCGAATAAGAATAGGTAATTCAGGATTGACTTGCTTGATGGAGGTATAGTTTTTGGCGATGTATTCCCTGTTAATAATAATAGTTGAGTTAAAAACGAGTTTTCAAACAAGAACGGATGGTAACCTTTGTTTTTTTTTTTTTTTCTTCAATGCTGAATCCTCTTTGTGTCATATTTTTCTTTGCTTACCGAAGACCATTGCTTGAAGGAGAAGTTTGACAGAATTGAACACGTAGTTCCTTCAAACCTTTACTGAGTTGAGACTTGAGAATGGACATGATCACTAATATATTATTAATAAATTGTAAGTGAAGGAAAACAAAAACAAAATGGGAAGGGAAAAAACAAAAAGAGGTGAACCCCTCTCTCCTCTCCCTCTATTTTGAAAAAGTCACACCAATATAATATAAACACCGACTGACATTATGTTGGCACAGTATTAAGTAGGTAAAATAATCCAAAGAGAGGACTATTTTACCTACTCATCGTCTTTTTTATTTATTGATTCATCTACTTTTTACTTCACTGATCTCTCTTTGACTTTTTTATAAGCATTTGAACCATTACACTTTATTCTGGAACATCACGTGGAGTAGTATGTATCTCTTTGTGCTTTCATAACTGACTTAAAACTGATCATCAGTCTATCAAATTTGGACTGAACATAGATGAAGCCATTCTCTTTCAATAATCTTAATAACAATTTATATCTTTGTCTTCCAATTTATGGAGTAAATTAAAAAAATAAATGCCAATATTGTCATCCCTCATCCAATAATGATCATCATCCCATATAATTACCACCATTGAATTCCTCTCAAAAAAGTAGCCTAATATCATCTAATTCCATTTTATCACTTATCCTGCCAGATAATGTGCAATAAATACTAAAATGATTTCATCAATTTTTCCAAAAATCGCCTGACAACCCCTCGACGATTCATTTTTACAGCCAAACTTTGGCTGAGGAGTTCGAAATTTTTGGCTGTAAAGTGAAAAAATCCATTCCATTTTTTCAACCTGCATTACAAGCTTGGGAGCAAACGTTTGTCTTTACCTTTCTCGCTCAAAAGTCATCATCATCGGTAAAATTTGAACAGAACATAAAGCTAATCATTTTCTTGAATTTTAATTGATATCATATATAGTTTTTCTTTTGTATTTATAGATTAAGAAAAAAAAAAAAAAAGAAATGGAGAAATCTTCTTTTTTATTCTAATCATATGATAATAATAAAAATCATAATAAAAATCATAATAATATAAAAATAATAAAACCTATATATTATACGACCAGGAATTGGCCAATAATAACTAATGCTAAAACTATACTATTCAAGCTTTTGACGTGACGAGCAGCACCACTTGCGGATTTGTCCTTCGCGGGTTTTACTCCATCCCTATCTTGGTCCCATTGTTTTCCATCAGTATAAGGTCCAAGAGGAGGTAGATCGTCTTCTTCTGTGAATTGTAATTGTTGTTGTAAAGATGATGATCGGATACGAATCCATTCCAATACCCCAATATTTTGTCCGTCAGTTGCGTTGATGTTGGTTTCAAAATTCCAAGGCGTCCATGTAGTTTGAATACCAGGTGATGATCGGTTCAATCCCAAGTCAAAAATCACATCATCACGTAACATCAGTCTCCATGCTTCTAATCGTGGTTCCAATACACTGACCTTGAACAATCGCTTCACAATCGTACGTAGCATCGTTTCAAATTCGGAAGCCCAATAAGGAGAGTTCAATAAACCTTCCACCAATGGTCGTTGAGTGCCAGGTTGTGTAAAGTTTTGCCAAGGTGTATTGACAAAGTGTGCTGGTGCTCCAAGTCCAAATGTTTCATCAAAGTCATAACTGATCAAAGTCCATTGATTTCGGGTAGGGTCTTGATTCAAATAGTAATTACTTGCTTGATGCCTATTTATATGGAAGATACAAAGTCATGTCAGATATCATCTATATACCTTTTTTTTTTCCCTTCATCATATCTTTTTGTACTTTACCAAACACCATCCCAACTGCCTGATAGAAATGAATAACACAAATGAATCAATGTATGTTTTTCATCCAACAAAGTAGAATAACTTCCTTGATGTTGTGCATCTGTTGCCTGTTCTGGTTGAATTGTACTCAATTGTCGCATAAAGTCCACCAAAGGCTGTTTCTCGTTTGCCTTGTTCAGTTTGGGTTCATAATTACGTCCTTTGTCTTCCAATTTGTAAATAGAATCATCATATAAGTTAAGATCATCTCCTTTATATACCAAATTGCCTTCTTGTTGTACAGTCAGGGCATTGCCTTTATAAGTTGGTCCTGTTTTCGTTGTGTAGTCGCCTGCATGAAGCATATTATTGATAGTGGATGTGGTGGCATCATCAATCATTAAATATAATCCTTGAGGTTCATTGTTGACAAATAAACGAACAAAACTTCCTATGAACAAAAGAAGAAGAAGAAGAAGAAGAAGAAAAAGAATATATGAGGGATGTCATCAATCATTTTTCTTTTCCTCATAAAATATTTTACCTCCCAAAGTAGCAGCTCCAGAAGCACCAAGTAGATCCAACATGAGTTTCTCTCGCCTAAAAAAAAAAAAAAAAAAGTCAAAGAATATCAAGTATTAAAACTGGGAAACAAAAATAAAGAAGAAAAACTTACATAAATGTGACATCTGTTTCATGAGCACGAAGTTTGATAGTAGTTCTTCCATAAAAATATTGAGCATCTGTATCCTTTGGAACAAATTCATTGATACTAAGTTTGTAAGATTGCTTGGCGAATTCTTTTGTTGATTTTCCACTATTCTTGAGACCAGCCATGGAAAACTTGAGAGCAGTATCATGAGAGATATATGATACTGAATCACAACGCGTGGGATCATGTTTATCTTTAGGATTCGCCAATATGGCGGCAAACCCTGTAGAGTTACAAGTCAACAGTAAAGTGGCTATTTCATTGGATTGATTGAAGGGACTAAAGAGAGCTGATAAAAAAAAAAAAAAAAAAAAAAAAAAAAAAAAGAACGAAAGAAAGGAATAAAGAAAAAAAAAAAAAAAAAAAAAAAGGAAAAAGAAAAATTAATCCAGATCCAAAATGTTTATATTATTAAACGCCCGGTTACTTACGAGGATAAATGGGATGATAGACTTGGGGTAAAGGAGGCACATTGTACAACGTTTGAGATCTATTGAAAAATTCATTGCCAGTATTAGTTGTTCCTTGAGCCAAAGTTCTTTGATAATGCTCGATAATATCATTTTCATGTTGATCAGTAAATAGTCCATATTGATAAGTTTGTCCAAATGGTGCTGAGCCTTCAAATAGTTGAGGTTGGTCAGTACTGGATTGTAGAGTGTACCATTGACCATTGATATTGACACCCGCTTTTTGTTCAGAACTTGGAAATGCGATGACAGCATAACGCGTATTACCATTTTCAGCAGCGATGATAGGAGTTACTTGGAATATCAGGTATAAGTACAGAAGATACCTCATATATTTATTGAGCAAAGGATGTTTCATTTGTTATTATTGAAAAGAAAGAGGATAAAAAGGAATCATCATCTGTTTATTTATATATTATTTTCATAGACCATCAAGAAGGAAATCCAAGAACTGACTAAGTACTATTTCGCAGCCAATCAGTGATGAGAATGAGCTTGGGAACCGAATAGAGATTTGTTCTTCGATTTCTTGATATTCCGTAAATGATAAAAGGATATTTCTTTAGGTTCTTTTCATGGTCTTACGCCCAAATCATCACGATGAATAATAATATAATAACAGAAAGGCAAATAATTATACTTTTCGATGATCATCTCAATTTTGACAATGTACATTTTTCAATTTATCAAATATGGCTTAACCCCGCTGTACGACTAATTTAATTCTTTCCCGCCATTTTGGATTCTCATTGATTTTTTTTTTTTTGTCAGGTTTTTTTTTTTACTTCTTTTAATAAATATATATTCATATATTATACATTCATTTATGCAACAACGTCGGTCAAGCTGTTTACCTTGTCGAACGAGAAAAGTAAAATGTGATAAAAAGGAACCTTGTACTCGCTGCGCAAAAACGGACAAAAATAATTGTATATATCCTCTTCAAGGTACATTAGGACGACCTCCCAAGAATGCTGTGTTTCATGGAAAAACAAAATATCGCAATACACATCAACTTGCTATTAGGGAATTCATCTTTGAACATGGTGGTAATAACAAGAAAATCAACAACATGGTTTCGACTTCAACTGTAGCTGCTAGATTCTTTGTTGACAATGAATGGTGGGTATTATCAAAAGAAGCTCTTCAAGAGTATCCATTCCTGCGAACCTACTTTGAATCTCTGCATATGTTTTACATACAACGTGGTCTGGCAATTCGTAAACGATTCTCTCATGTTTCCTATCGTCTACCAGAACGACCTAGGCTGAAATTCAACAGTTTACAATATATTTCGACATGGTGGACAACTTTGGCGGTCAATACTCTACTTAGACGATGCAGTCGGTTACACTTGAAAACTTTTACTGTTCCTTCTCTGGCTCTCTATATGTTCCAAATGACTGATAAGGATTATGGATTTTCCACCACCAATGACTGTGATAACAACGACAACAATAAATCATCATCATCATCGTCATCATCATCATCATCATCATCATCATCATCATCATCATCATCACCGTCATCATCATCATCATCATCATCATTATCTTCATCATCATCATCATCATCATCATCGTTATCTTCAACGTCATCATCAACAAATCAACGACTTCCAAGATTGATTGCAACCCTAGATTTGGCATCACTTTATTCTACTCCTCCCCCACTAATGATACCGACTATTACGCTCTCTGACTCTAATCCTTTGAAATCACTTCCTCCTGAACAAGCCATGAATTTGATCAATGACTTTTACCGTGTATATCCTCTTTCAATTCATATCAACAAAACTCAACTTATCAATGATTACTGGTCTGATACTGCCAATCCTCTCCTTTTGTCCGTTATCTATGGAGTTGCTCAGTCTCTATCAAGGGTGTTACAAGGTGTACCAATGTATCTATGGGAATGCTCTACTCAAACCAACAGAAATCCCTTTTTGACCTATGCATTTACGTTAATAGAAAATTTACCTGCGAAGCCCTCCGCCAGTGATTATCAAGCAACAGGTACTTACAGTATAAATATCACTACCTTCATCATTATAAGTATAACAAATACTTACTTTATTATTATTATTATTTCCCTTAGTTATCCTATCACTATTCGAAGTTATATGGGGATATCCAAAAATTGGTATGAGTTTACTAGCAACCTCTTATTTGATGGGAACTCAACTCGGTTTATGGGATAACACCTTTAAAGCAGCAAATCCAATAGAAAAAGAACTTGTCAACATGTCCTCTTGGTCAGCCTTCCAAGCAACAACTCATGGATGTATGGAAAGTAAGTCATAAAAGAAAGAACAAAAAAAAAAAAAAAAAAAAAAAAGATGGATTAGTAGAGCATTTCCTAATATATTCTTTTTATATAATGTTAGTGGGATCTAGTATAATGGACTCATTAGTTGCAAATAATCGATCATTCCCACCTATGAATATATACGAATCTCAATCATGCCAGCATGACATGCTTCACAACAATATTGATGATCTTGAACGCACGGCTTCTCGCATTGAATGTGCCTACACCAATGCAGTCGTAGTTCATTTTAGTGGTATCTTGTACGCTTGTCTCCCAAAACCTTACTTCAACATATTTGGTCTCAGGACGGAAGAGTCTACCTTTGAAGGCTCGGAATTCTTGACCATTCTACGCTCTATCGACAATGTAGAAACAAGATTACAAACAGTATTAGATGATTTTGATCGATTCATCCAACAACACCGACATCTCTGGACCGACTTGCAACTATATGTGATTGAAACTTCCTATCATCTTTATCGTGTGCATTTTCACTTTCTCCACCCGACATTGACCTGTGGAAAAAGAAAGTATCAAGAAGATTTGATTCCTATGCCGGTTTTAGATGATGATGATGATGATAACGACAATAGCAACAAATCGAAGGATCGATGTTTTATGGTGGACCCTACTGACCCTGCTATTGCTGCTCGATTACAACAAGTACTAGGTGATGTGATTGTCATGGTGGATAATTATGATGCCTTACTAGCCATGAACCATACTACTGCCACTATTATCACCCCTACTATGGATCAAGCATCAACGTCATCTTTACCTCACGAATTGATGGTGACAGTATTTGAAACATGTGCGCAACTCTTGATACTTTCTTTTCAAGCACATCCTGCTCAACAGATACGTGAATGTATGATCAAATTACTGACGGCATCAAAGAAGCACGACATTTATCATCCACCTACGGCATCGTTGAAAAATGTACGACAGCAACTCAAACTCTTTTTAAAAAATCATCATCCAACAACAGTACCTTCAAAATCAAAATATATTCTTTCTCGTCAACCACATCAGCAACTGCAACGTCAACAACAACATCACCGTCATCATCATGGTGATAGCATGCAGCGTACGTTCAACACAGATGTACCTGGACTATTATTTTTACAACCACCTGATGTGATACAACAACAACAACGAAGTCATTTAGAAGAACTGCCAACAGGATCGTTGTATTTACCTATAGGATCATCCTCTAATATCAGTCCTTCAACAACATCAGAAAATCATCAATTGGAAGGTTGCGACAATGCTTGTGCTCTTACGGTGGCAGCAACACCAGGATCATCCTATTTACCATCAACAATACGACAAGGATCCGGTCAGCAAGGGCATGGACCAGGTTATGGATTATTAGGATGGGAAGATACAGTTTACTTTTGGAATGAAATGCTGAATGATCCATTATATCAATCTGGAGATACATTTACGTTTTTGGAACAACAACAATAACAATAACAGTAGCAGCAATCGAATCCAGATCCAATCAGGAGTTCATTCATCCATTTAGACAACCTAGTTAGTCTTGACTACAATATATTTTATCTTTTTTTTTTTTTTTTTATGTATTTTTTTATCGAGGTACTGGATACCTTCTTTATGTTTGATTACAAATTTGTTTAGTGTACTTTATGATGTATCATCTTTATTATATATCTTGTGAATAATAAAACCCATTTTATTCTTTCTTTCTTTTCCTTTTTTTTTTTTTTTTTTTTTTTTTTTTGGTCCCCAACAATATAAGCAGAAGTTCAAGTCCGATATTTTCCCGTTTTCATCATACAAAGTTTTGACTTTATTGAATTTGACTATAGATAAGGTTGTGTGTATGTGTGTGTTTGTGTGGAAATAAAATAGAATGTAGTAAAGAGATAAAAAAAAAAAAAGAGAGATATATGTATGTGTGCGCGTGGAAGTACAAACCAAAGAAGAAATGGACAAAGAATATCTACAGAGCAAGTTTTTCCTTCAAGAGAGATTCCAATTTGACACCATCCTTTGCAAAGTTTCGGATACCTTCGGACAACTTTTCGGTGGCCATAGCATCTTGGTTCATTTCCCAACGGAAGGCCTTTTCATCGTTAAAGTAACTAACCTTTTCCAAAGAAACGGCATTGTCAGGAGAGAGCTTGCGTTCCAAAGTCTTGTTATCCTTTTGCAATTCAGCCAAGAGAGCAGGAGAGATAGTCAAGTAATCACAACCAGCCAATTGTTCGATTTCACCAGTATTACGGAAAGAAGCACCCATCACAATAGTCTTGTAACCATATTGCTTGTAGTAGTTGTAGATCTTGGTTACTGATACAACACCGGGATCGGAGGCAGCATCATAAGTTTCACCAGTGGCCTTCTTGTACCAATCCAAAATACGACCAACGAAAGGAGAAATCTATATAATGATAATGATGATAATGATCAGTCAAAATAAACTTCTCTCTTTTTTTTAAAAAAAAAAGTACCCTTTTTGTGTCTCCCCTCTTTTTTTTTTTTTTTTTCCTGCTTACCAAAGTGACGTTGGCTTCAGCACAAGCAACAGCTTGAGGAAATCCGAACAACAAGGTCAAGTTACAATGGATACCATGTTCCTTTTCCAAAACAGAGGCAGCTTGAATACCTTCCCAAGTAGAAGCGATCTTGATCAAAACTCTTTCCTTGTCAATACCTTCAGACTTGTATAATTCGATCAAAGATAAGGCCTTAGCAATAGTAGCTTCTTTGTTAAAAGACAAACGGGCATCCACTTCGGTAGAAACACGACCAGGCACAATCTTGAGGATTTCCTTACCAAAGTTTACCAACAACTTATCAGTAGCAGCATCAAGTTGGGCTTCGGCTGATCCACCTTTGGCCTTGGCATAAGCAACAGCTTCATCAATCAAAGCAGAATATTGAGGCTTTTGAGAAGCAGCCAAAATCAATGAAGGATTCGTAGTGGCATCTTGAGGTTTGTATTGAGCAATGGCTATATCAAGAAATATAAAGTGAGTCAGTAATAATACAATAATGTTTTTCTCATCCACCTTCATTGTTACTTAAAACACGTCTTTTTTTTTTTTTTTTTTTTTGCAAAGCAACCCTCTCAAATATGTATATACTTACTTTCAAAGTCACCAGAGTCAGCAACAATAGTAGTGAATTGCTTAATTTGATCGAGAACAGACATGATAGAAGAACGAAACAGTTTTAGATATAAACTAGAAGAAGAAGAAAAGAAAAAAAAAGGAAAAAAAAAAAAGAAAAAAAAGAGGAACCCAACAATTTTTATAGTCAAGGGGGGAGATTTTGTCCCAGACGGTTTATTTACATCATTGGGGTTACAAATCCTTTCAATGATTCGCTGATTTAACTCCGGAATACGAGATTTTTTATCGATGGCACTAATAATCTTGCTTAAAGTATATGACGTAAAAGTTCATTGATGAATGCTACCTTATTTCTTCTATAAAAATTAGGAATGGTGAATCAAGAATTGATTTATACACTATATTATTTGAGTTTATTTTTTTTTCCTTTTTTTTTTTTTTTTTTAATAAAGTTAAAAAAGACAGACTGTTACTAAGAGGGTATCATAAAACACTGTAAAGAGGTATATCAAAGGTTAACGATAATAATATACGCAAAACACCTAAAAAGATATGGATGGATGATCATGATCATGATTATATATCGCTTAGTCAAGCGAGACATTGTGCAAAATAAAACGCGAATGCTTACCAATATCATATCTTCCAATGAACTGTCTGAAACAAATCATGAACCTTTTCATTCACAGCCGATAAAAGTCCACCCATTTACACTGATTGATGGATAGAAAAATTTAGTTGAACAGTATATGCAAATGTTCAATTTTAAATATTCATCGTAACCATATTGTATTACTGGTAGTATCGATGACAACTATGAAATGTATCATTTCTTCTTCTTTAATAAAATCATTTATTGTCTTCGTTTTCATCAACTCCCATATCCTCAATATTTTCCATAGTCGTCGATAATCATTCCATCAAATCATAGTCATCATCATGCAATCAAATATGATCATACAATCAAATATATACAACTCATCATTATTCAATCAAATCATATAATCAAATCATCATTATTCAATCAAATATAATCATGCTCTCATTGTCACATTATTATCATCAACTTACTATCACTTATGATCATTTTACTATCATCAATTTAACAATTAATATCTTATTGGGACTACGCCCAAAAGGTTGCCTGTGCGGAATATGAATATTTGAAATAAAAAAACAATGAGTCCAAAAAATGAATTTCTTAAATTTCTTTCCTTTTTTTTTTTTGTTTACTTCTTTCTATTTCCCTTATCTCTTTTTAAATACCATGCCTACATCATATTTCCCAGCTGCAAAGTCATTTGATGATCAACGTCAACATCAGGATTTACTGAGACAAAGCGACTATGAAGGTTTCTCGAAAAAAATGATCAATACTATTGATGTACAAGAAGTCGATGTCAATCTCTACATGTCAAAAGAACTCTGGCAACCAGTTGGAAGTCGTGGAGTGTTTGGAGGTTGTGTATGTTAATATCACTTGAATGATGATGATAATGACGATTAATTTTATGCTTAATTTTATTTTATAGATTGTTGCTCAAGCCCTTCGTGCTGCCTGGTATACCGTCCCTGACAACTTTCACATTCATGTAAGTATTATTTGGTTTTCTCTGTATGACTAAGATCAAATACCATATATGGAATATCAAAGTAGCTTGTTGTTATTTGTTGATATTGAAATTCTTCTATCCTTTCTTTTTTTTTTTTCTTTTAGTCTCTCCATAGTTATTTTATCTTGGCTGGTGATGTTGATATTCCTGTTATATACAATGGTAAAAAAAAAAAAAAAAAAAAAAAAAGGAAAATTCATTTAGCTCATGATCGTTATTTTTTTTTATTATTACCCCTTCTTTCTTTTTATTGGTTATGATATTTCTAGTTCAGCGACTTCGTGAAGGCCGATCCTTTTCAACAAGATTTGTTACAGCCACTCAACGAGGAAAACCCATCTTTGTTTGTAGTTGTAGTTTCTCGACCATTAGTAATGCTGTCAATGCCCAACATTTTGTAAGTATTAGAATTTTCCTTTTTGTTCTAAAGACAATGAAAATCATGGGTTAAGCTATTTATTGTGTGTTCATTTTTAAAGAAATCCATTTACTTCGGTATTCTAATTCTTGATTGTTTCTTTTTCTTTAGACCCCAATGCCAAATGATGTCCCTGACCCTGAATCTTTATTGAGGTAAATTCATTTATATCTCTTTGTTTTTTTAAAAAAAAATACCTATTGTTTTATTGACTTTATTCTATTTACATATCATAGTGAAGATGAACGCACACGACGATTTTTAACTCAAGTAAAGGATATACCACCAGTTGTCAAAGATATGATGGAAAAACGTCTGGCGGAAGTAAGTCTATCATCATCATCGTCATCATCATCGTAAAAAACTAAACAACCAATTCTTTTTTTTTTTTTTTTTGGTGTATTCATAGACGCAAGCTGTACTTTATAAGGATACAATATATGAAGATGATCCTGTAGATATGATTCGTGGTGATGTAGAACCCAGATCAAATTCTCAAAGATGGTTCAAAACTCGAGAATTAGTAGAAAGTGATGATCCAAAAGTTCATGCTGGTATTATTGCTTATGCATCAGATGCTGGTATTTTGGCTACAGCAGTTTATGCAAATGGTCTTGGCATTAGTAATATCGGTATGATGGCTTCATTAGATCATTCTATTTGGTTCCATCATCCTTGTAGAGCAGATGAATGGTAAGATAAATAATCACATATATAGGAAGTGTAATGGATCATTCAATTTATTTTATTTATTTATTTGTTTATTGTAAAGGTTGTTACATGATATGCATAGTCCTTGTTCTTCAGAAGGTCGTGGTACATCTTTTGGTCGTATTTATACTCGTGATGGAATATTGGTTGCTACGACTGCACAAGAAGGAATCATTCGCCTGTCAAAGAAGGAACAACGTCGACGACTTCAACAAAGTAAATCGGATTTGGATATATCAACTGGTGTTTCCGAGAATGCCAGCAAACTTTAGATTTTCCCTCACTTTTTATACTCTACATAGATTTTTTTTTTATTAATATATACGCAATTATAGACCTTTTTATTCATTTTATCTAATAAAGCAACTCTTTTTTTTTTTTTTTGAATTAATACTTAATAGTTTGACTTAATTCTTCAGGCAACCTTCCGCTCGCTGTCCATATTTGGCATAGGGCTTCATTTTTTTTTTTTTTTTTAGTTGGAGGCCAGATTTTTCTTTTTTCGTCTTCCCTTTCTCCTATCGTTTTTTTTTTCCTTCCCTTCGTTCTTTACTCCATTCTTTTTTTTTTTTTTCTTCTTCTTCTTTTTTTTTATTATTATTATTGTTGTTTACTGAACTTATTACCTTCATCGCTTATTGTTGGTTATATTCTACTCGTGTAACGACACCTTGTATTCCATTACATTTATTTCTTATTTTTTCTTTTCGAAGGTTTAATTTTTATTCCCCCAACCCGTAATTACTCTCAACATATAATGAAGTACATCACCATCTGCAAGGCGCTATACGATTATGAGCCACAATCGGATGAAGAACTTACTTTTAAAGAAGACGATATCCTTTATATTCTCGAAAACGATGATCCTGACTGGTGGAAAGCTCAATTGAAAACTGCTACTTTGGATCAAATTGGTTCTATTGGTCTTATTCCCTCCAATTATATTGATGAGGTACTATCACCTTTTTTCTTTCTTTTTTTTTTTTTTTTTTTTTTAGAAAAAAAAAGCTTACATTTTCATTACATTATTTCTTATAGGCTGAACCCATTGGTACTGTAAAAGCCATGTTCGACTACCAAGCTCAACAAGAAGAAGAACTTACATTCCATGAAGATGATATTATGGTGCTTTATGAGAACGATGATCCTGACTGGTTTTTGGTGAAATCAAGGGAAGGTCAGATTGGTTTGGCTCCTAGTAACTACATTGAAACGGTAAAAAAAAAAATAAGGAGAAACTATTGAATTGGAAGGAATTCTTTATTGACAAAGGTTGATATAATAGATATCAGCTGAACAAGAAACAAAAGCCAACAACACAACACATAGTTATGATGAAAGGACACCTACTGTTTCTGTATTTTCTGCTTTATCGGTAAGTAAGGAATATAAAGTGGAATAAATGGTCAGGATACATTTGTGCTGCAAGCTTACCTTCTTTTTTTTTTTTTTTTTTTTTTTTTTAGAACAAGTCTGACGTACAACACTCTCTCAATACCAATGATGAGGCCGTCTCTTGGTCAGTTCACGAATATGATGTAGATAAGAAAAAGAAGAAGAAAAACAAAGGAAATCTTCTTATTGGAAACGGCATGTTTTGCTATGGAAGTGAAACGGACAAAACATCTCCAGTACGACAATTCTCAATTTTGGATATTACTGACTATACACAAGATGGCAAGAATGTACATGTTGAACTTTGTGACTCTTCCAACTCTATCTTTGATTTTCAAGCTTCTTCAAAATCGGAGGCAAAATCTATCCTGGCCAAACTAGACGACTCAAGATCAATTGCTAACCGTAGTCAAGCATCATCATCATCATCATCAATACCGATTCCAGCTCCTTCTCCTATACCAGCAATTGTTGAACCAACTGTGAAACCAGAACCTGAACCAGAGTTAGAACCCGAACAACCAGTATGTGAACCACGGTGGGCCATTGTGTTGTATGATTTCGATGCTCAAGGTGAAGAGGAATTGACAGTCAAGGAACAAGAACAGGTGCTGATTGTGGATTATGTTAGCAGCAATGAATGGTGGACGGTTGAACATCAAGATGGTCGCATTGGTATTGTACCTACTACCTATGTTAAATTCCAAGAAGACTATGAAGCTGACTTGGCAAAGGAAGAAAATGAATCTCGACGACAACAAGAACTAGTCGAACAACAACAGCAAAGGGAACGTGAAGCGGAGGCAGCACGTCAACGACGATTAGAAGAAGATGCTCAACGGGAAAAAGAACGATTGGAAAAGGAACAATTATTACAACAGCAAAAGCAACAACAAGAACAACTTGAAAAGGAACGAGCACGGCAAGCTGAAGCAGAACGGCGACGCAAAATGCAAGAAGAAGCCAAACAGCGAGAACTAGATGCAAAACGCGCAGCAGCTCGTGCAGCAGCAGCAGCAAACTCACCTCAAATTACAGCAGCTTCTTCTCCCAGACGAAGTCAAATTCCAGCACCTCTTCCTCCTACAGCAAAGTTACCAGTAGCAAAAACATTACCTACAGAACAAGCAGTCAATTCAATCTCTGTCCCCGCCAATCGCTCTTTACCTGATCGACCTAAACAAGCTCATGATACTGGCAAACCTGATCCTTCCAAAGTACGAACATGGACTGATCGCACTGGTGCATTCAAAGTTGAAGCTCAATTTTTGGCGTGCAACAATGGCAAAATTCGACTTCATAAAATCAACGGTGTCAAAATTGATGTACCTGTCCAGAAAATGTGTACGGAAGATTTGCACTACATTGAACAAGAAACTGGTGCTCGATTACTGGAAGACAAAAGCGATAATATCCCTCTGGCCCATTTAACAAGCAACAAGACGGACAATGACAATGGATTCAATTGGTTCGACTATTTTACAAAAATCAATATTCCATCGAAAAGTGCACTTCGATATGCAGCAACATTTCAACAGGATGGTTTGGGAGAAAAGGATATCGACAATTTGACTCATCGCAAAATGAAATTGCTTGGTATGACGGAAAAACATGTACAACGATTACAACGTTATCTGGAAACGCAAGTAGCTGAGCCTCCTTCAGATGACGAACAAGGTGGAATCAACGTGAGTAAAAAGGGCAAAAAGACAGTGACTTTTGGATCAACAAGCTTTATACAAGATGATGACGATGATGTAGATGAAACTGACCCTGAAATACAACGGCAACGCCAAATCGAAGAGGATGAACGATTTGCAAGACAACTTCAATTACAAGAAAATGACACCACAAGAACACATTTACATCGACGTGGTAACATCAAAATAAAAACAGGAAGAAGACAAAAAAAAAAAAAAAAAAAAAAAAAAGAGGACACTAATTGCCATTTTTTTTTTCATTGACATGCATTTTTAGGAACTGGTCGACCAACACCAAGTACTTCTGCACCTAAGGATATGAACGCGCAAATCATGGATAAGATCAAGAACCAGCTCCGAACAGAACCATTGATACCATCTCCTGTATCTCCATCCACTCAGAATACCAGTGCAGCAACGGTGAGTGTACCTATAACCACTTCTTCTACAGGGTTCCAAGATGATGCTTGGGCAAATCGACCTTCGGCACCAACAACAACAAATACAACGGTACCAACTCAGGTCTCTGGATCATGGACTAGCCGTACTAACAGCAATTCGACGCCTGTAATGACAACACCTCCTCGATCTTCTGCACAAACAATTCAACCAACAGTAGTACAATCGCCTGCTTCACTTTCCCAACAACAACTACAGCAGCAACAGTTACAGCAACAACAATTACAACAACAACAATTACAACAACAGCAGTTACAACAACAACAACTGCAACAACAACAACTGCAACAACAACAACTGCAACAACAACAACTGCAACAACAACAACTGCAACAACAGCAGCTACAGCAACAACAGCAATCAATTCAATACACTCCTCAGCAAAACCAACCTACTGTTCCTCTTCCCCCTCGACAACGTCCAACTCCTCAGTTATCACAAACGAATCAAGTAGATCCTAACTTACTATCTCAGTGGACCAGTAATAATCCAACGCCTTCACCACAACAACAGCGCCCTGTTCCCCAGCCAATCCAACAACAACAATCATTCACTCAAATACAACCTACCACCAATGTTGTACATGTTCAGCCTGCTTTGCCTCATCGCTCTCCCGGTACGTTCAACCAGCAACAACAACAATCTCAACAGTTTAACCCTCAACCGCTGTATGGACAAAACCAACCTCAACAACAGCAGCAACAACCATTCTTATCATCCAATGTCCAACCTCAAATGGCTATGAATGTACCTGTATCATCTGTTCTTCCACCTCCCCTAGTACCTACAAGTAGTCCTATGTCGACTTTGAAACCGCAACCCACTGGTAGAAATTGGACAAGTTCTAGTAAGCTCTTTTTTTTTTTTTTTTTTTTTTTTTTTTTTGCAAAAATATAAAGGACAATACGAAAATGGAAATAAGAAATCGCGAAACGTAATCGTTATATGTTTTTTTTCTTTTAGCACCTGACAATCCTTTTGGTAACGGTCCATCTCAACAACAATCTCCACAACATTCAGCCATGGGAGTTGGACAACTCCCTCATCAAGGATCATCGGGAAGTTTCAACCAATCGCTTCAACCTGCTCAAGTTTTTGCATCGATGACAGGAAATCAAAACATGACCCCCCAACAACAAACCAGTAAGTTGATCAATCGAAGAGAATATTAGCTATATACATATATCTCACCTTTTTTTTTTTTTTTTTTTTTTTTTTTTTTTACCTTTGATTATGTTAGACGCTAATGATCCTTATGCTGTCTTCAAAAATATGAACCCTCAAGGCCCAAGTGTATTCAACCCACAACAACCTCAACAAACTGGATTCGTACAGCAGCAATCGTTTTACAATGGTGGATGGCAATAGAAATTTTTAATCTTCTCCTCTTTCCTTTCCCTTTTTTCACTTGAATATGGATTGTATTTTAGATATTAGTCTTGTTCTTGTCTTTATTGAATCTCACTTCTTGTTTCACATGATCCACGTATCATTCCATTCCTTACTACCTACATTGACTATTTAATCATCTATTAAATAAAATACCTCTATCATGAAATAGACTTTATTATATGTATACTAGAAAACAAGAATAAGACAAAATACACATAATTCACATGAATAAGAATGAGGCAAAAGCTTGAACAATCAGGAGTTTATATTATATAAACAAAAAAAAAAAATTATAAAGCTCTAATTATCAAAGATGGTGGATGATTTAAACAGATAAGATTTTATTATAAAAAAAAAAGGTGAAGTTCTAGCTACTAAAAAGTACCAGTAGGATGATTTACTTCAACAAGGTGTGAATAGTGGCACCGGTGGTATAAAGCAAGGTAAGCAAACCGATGTAACCAAAGACACCACGGACTCGTTTCTTAGGTTCACCAGTCTTATAACCCGAAGAATAGGCAGCACGACCAACAAGATAGATGGCACCAGCACCAGCAGAGACTTCAGGATGACTAATACCACCAATTAATAATAAGGTACTAAACACGGGGAAGGATTCTAAGATAAAGAAAAAGAGGTCAGTCGCTATTTATTATTATTATTATTTTATCTCACCTAAACTGTTTTGATGTACACGCTGAGCACAGTTGAAAAGATGTTTGGCTTGATCCTTTTCAGCTTCGCTTTTTTCGGCATAGACTATAAAAAAGAAAAAATGTTAGCCGATGAAAGACGTATCCTTTTGCCGTTTGTTTTCATAACCATTCTTTTCAGCTTTTGTTATTGGTAAAATCACTTACGATATGGATAAGGAACACCAGCTGCCTTTCTAGCAGTATTAACGCCATGAGCGAACCAAAATAATTGTAAAGCACTGGCTGTCGCCACAGCAAGAACCTAAACATGAAAAAGAAGAAGAAAATGGTTATCAGGCTGCATTTGTATGTCACTTGTTCCATCTTAGTAATGTTGACAAAAAGTACTTACGTAACCATATTCAGAAGGAACAACGATAGCCATTATGTATGTATATATAATAAAGAATGAATAATACAAAAAAAAGAAAAAAAAAAAAAAAGAAAAGAAAAAAAAAAATGGAAATCTGCTTTATAACAAATGTTCATGAAACAAAGTTCAGTTTCCGCTATCCTCCAGGGTTTTCTTTGTAAAGGCCAAAAAAAAAAAAAGAAATGGAGAGCCCCAATGAATGTTTCCTCAAAGATGATCAATGTACTGTCGTCATCTTATGCTATTATTATCACCTTCTCTCTTAGTGATAAAGTGACAAGAAAAAGGATGTCAATAGCATGGTGTCTCAAAAAGGAAAGCCCGATGACGCGTTTGAACAGATTAAGAAATCGTACAATAATGATGTGGCATGACATATAGGGAAGTGCGACAGAATCCAATGGAAAATCAAATAAAAGACAATTGAAAAGAAAACTTTTTCGTTCTCGGCATAATCATCGTTATTTATTGTTCAATGGATGATCATAAAAAAAAAAAAAGATATCAAAAGAAAAAAGCGTATAACTTGAAATCAAGTGAAATGAATGTATAGACGGAACGGAGAATTTAGATCATCCGGACGGCACAGTATGACAACGTAGATGTTTTCTTAGAGATCGAGCATGGAAGTAAGCTTTGGTGCAATCAGGTACTTTGCATTGGAAGGGTCGGATGTTGGAATGAACCTTTTTATGTGTTACGAGTGAATCCAGTCGAGAAAACCGTCTTTGACAACCTATAAGTCATATATATATATTTAATAAAATATCGCTTTCATCATTAATGATAATATCATGATGACTTGGATGATGATTATAATACCATAGGATGGATGATCTTTTTTTTTTTGATTACCTTCATCATCGCATTGGAATGGTTTTTCTCCAGTATGAGTCCTATAATAAAAAAAAAAAACAATCCATGATGAACATCAGGCATTTGCGGAAACAAAAAAAAAAAAAAAAAAAGTAATGACTTTACCTGAAATGATTATACATTTTATGTCGTTTGATAAATGGTTTTTGATTTCGACGACAATTTTTCCAGCGACACACATAAAATTTCTATGGGATCAAAACAAAAAAAAAAGGATTATATAAACGAACTCATGTTACTTCTCCGGGTTTTTTTTCATTATTATTATTATTTACCTTTCCTTGCGCAACATGGTCATTGCGAACGTGAGTTATCAAAGCTTCCAAAGTTGTCCATTCCTGTTCACAGTTTTCCCAAAGACAAAGAAACATGTTCGATTTTTTCATTTGTTCATCCTTTTCAGGCGTAGCAATAGGCGCGATTTCTTCCTTGATTTTTTCCTGTGATGGTGGAAAAGGATCTACTTTTTTTTTTAAAAAAAAAAAAGGGGGGGGGAATACAATGAATGTTAGTCAATTTGGTAGTTGAATCACTGCCAGATTTGGCTAGAGATATAAAAAAAAAAAAAATAAAAAAAAAAAGAGAGAGCCATTAATTAAATACCACTTGCCTAAATTGTCATTTCCGAATGAATCCAAAACCACACTGTTTATTGTTGCTGCATTCGCTATCATGTCAGCTGGATGGATTTTCACTGGTGTAAAAGTAGACGATGAGACTGTATGTCGACGGGAAGATGGACGATGAGAATGATATTGTGAAGAAGGGGATAATGGAAGGACGGTATTGAGTGAGATGGATCGTTGACGACGCTGTGAAGAATCAAGCACAGGTTTGGGTGTCAAGTTCAATTCTAATTGCTGTTGATAATATTGTTGAGATGACAACGACGTCGTTGATAATGATGATGATGATGAGATAGTGGTGAAGGGCTCATTGTAATGATGATGATTCAAGAACGAAGCTTGGGTCCTGACTACTGGAGTAGTTAATGTCGTACCAATTGGCAATGTTCTCCATTGAGATGGTATCACAGGCTGAATACATTCTCCTTCTTTTAAACTTGATTCAATTGTTCTTTTGGTAGATGGTATGTTAAGTTGTGAAGGGACAATTTTTTGAATCATGAACTAATTAATGAATAATAATAACAAATAAAGATAGATAGGTTTAAGTCGATAATCTCTTTTTTTTTTATATATGACGTTAATAGTTTATTTTTCTTACGCTATCACTGGACATTGTTTCTAGCGGCCTTGTTGTTGTTGTTGGTGGTGTGAAAGGAAAACTAGCGAAAGATAGATGCATGATCTAATGAGCATAGTTATGACAAATTGATCAAAAAAAAAAAAAAAAAAGGAGAAAATAAAATGAAGATAAAAAAAATAAGCAAATTTATAAGGAATTCCACATTTGATTTTTTTTTTTGGTAGATCACGTTACTTGTAACACAATTATTTGGTAAGTTGTCAATTGTAAAATTCAATTTCTTTATTTTTTTTTAATTTTTTTATTTAATAATAGATCTATCATCATCATTATCCAATAAGGATAATAGTAATGAAGGAAGAAGGGAAAGGAATAAGACACAAATATAGAACTGGATGTAACGGAAAAAAAAAAAAAAGAATGGAAGTCTACAATAAAGATGATGATTGACGAATCGAAGGGACATATATAAAAAGAAAAAAAAAAGATGCTATAAACTAATGTTGATAATCAAAATCATGTAATTCTATCGCTGTATGAAAGGAGGATGCTGCCTCCCGATGAGTTGATCTCCGTTGTATAACCACTACAGCCTTGGTTGCATGACATTCCAATTTCCATACGGTACGACCAGGTTGAGTAAATGAGCGCACCAGTTGTCCTGAATGAAGATCCCATAACTTGACACTACCATCACTTCCACCACTAAGTACACGTTTACCTTCCACCTGAAGACTTGTCACCGAGCTATCATGTGCCGAAATTCGATGTTTGCATTCATAAGTCATCAAATCCCAAAATCTTAAACAACCATCCGATCCACCACTGACCAACATATCTGGTAAAAGTTGTAAATGTCCTACTAGTGTCGTGTGTCCATGTAAAGTTGCCAAACATTTTCCACCACTATTGTCATCTTCTGTAGATAAAGACCATACTCGAATGGTTGAATCCAATGAACCTGTGACTATTCTTGTATTATCAATGGCAACGGCGTAAATTTGAGATTGATGTCCACGACAAACAAATAAACATTCACCGGTGTCTATATCCCATAATCGTGCTGTTGCATCGTAAGATCCAGATACTACATACTTGTCACGAATATCCAAACATCTTACACTGAGTTGATGCCCAAGACAAAGATGTTTCAGTCGACCATGTTCAATATCCCAAATACGTAATGAAGCATCCCGAGAACCTGTCACTGCTATTTTACTATCGCGAATTTTGAGACATCGAATAGTTGATGAATGTCCTTGTAATGTATGGTATAATTTTCCAGTGCGTAAATTCCATACTCTTGCATCACTATATATTCCATAAATAGAGAAAGTAGTGTCATTCAATCAGTATCAATCAATCAATCAATCAAAAAAAAAGGGGGGGATAAAAAATAAATAAATAAATAAAAATGTATGGTGTATAATATAAAAGGAGTATAGATATAAATGGAAAAACAAAGAAAGATGATGAGAAGGAGAATGAAGAAGGAGAGAGAACAAAGGATATTTTTATATTACCGATCACATCCACCCGAGACCAAAATACATTGAGAATCAGTTTTGATAAATTGTAAAGCCCAAACACCACCATGATGTCCACGTAAAGTTCTTATGAATTGACCAGTAGTAGCTTGAAATACTTCAATTCGATTGTTATCACATCCAACCACAATAAATTCATCATCCATTTGTAAACTTGTTACTAAAGCGTTTCCAATATCATTGGGACATGAAGTAATATGTGCACCACCATTATTCCAAGCTTTTTCTATTTGATATTGTCTACGGAAAAAGTATTTGAATGAAGAAGGAGTTGATCTAATCATTAAAGATTTTGATTTTTTTCTAGTACGATTATGTTTATGATTTGTTGTTGTTGTTGTTGTTGTTTGAGGTACATATTGATGATGATAACATAAATCTTTCCAAATAGATTCATTCAATAAAACAGAATACCAAATAGTTGACACCCGAGAAGCCTGTACCAGAGTGTATGGATCATCAATATAAGATAAAATATGTAATGAGATTTCAGTAGGTAATAATCGAAAAAAATCAATTTTGAGTTTAGGAGCCACTAAGGTATTGATAAAGACTAATAAACTGTTGTCACAGCATCCAATAAGTTCAGTAAGAAACATTTGTTTTTGATGAACAGTTAAATGCCGAAATATTTTTTTAACATTGCCCAACATATCAAAAGTAAGAGTTGTAGGAGGATCAGTGGTAGACTTGTTTTTCTTTTTTTGAGTTGTTGGTGATAATAAATCATTTGTAGTGATTAAAGAGAGTGGTTGTTGACTACATATAGTGGTAGTACTACTAGTACTTGTACTTGTACTAGGTGGAGTTGTAGGAGGTGATACATCGTCAATAGTAAGATAACATTCCATGATCAAAATAACTAATAAGGAAAAAGAATCCAAAATGTAATAAAAAAAGAAAGTAAACGTAATCAGTATTGACAAACAAAAAGAAGGAAAGAATAAAAAGGAAGGAATGGGGGAGAATAATGAAGAAAGGGTATATGAATAAGAAAAAAAGAAAAAGAAAAAGAAAAAGAAATAATAAAAATAATAATAATAATAAAAATATATATATATAAAAAAAAGGGGGGAATAGAAATTTGGTCAATTCACAAGGTCGTTGGAAGTCAGACAAAAGGGGTAAACATTATGCATATACAAGATGACGTTTTTAAGAAGTATCATATAAAAACTATACATATAACAATAATATATATATATATATAGATTGCTACTTTTTATAATAAATGAAGAAAAAACATAAACCATTATATATATATATATATATATATATATATATATATATATCAATTGTAAAACTGTAAAGCGCTTGATCATTTGGATTACCGCCTTTGCATAAATTGGGCGTACTTATTTTTTTTTTTTCTTTCTCTCCCTTTTTCTTTTTTGTTTGTTTTTTCTTTTTCATGACTCAATCAATCAATAACCATTCTTTTCATACAAGTAAGATATATATATATATATATATTAATATTAATATATAATAAAATATTTACCTTTATTTGAATTATTTAGCCTATCAAATTCTTCATTATGATAGTGATAGTGAATATGATACTACACAAGAAGACCAACCATCAGAAACTCAAGCTTTATTAGGTTTATCTAATCAAACTGATCATACTCGTTATATGGCAGCTTCACCAAGTAAATTAAAATAACATTGTTATTAATAATATTCATTAATCAATTTTATTTTATTATTTTAGTTCAACCTCAAGATGACTTTGAACCAAGAGATACCTGGACTTTATTCAAAGTACGATCTAAATATTATCTTCCTATACTTCAATGGTTACCAATGTATAATTGCAATCTCTTTTTTGGTGATTTATTTGCTGGATTAACAATTTCTTGTTTGATGATTCCTCTTGGTCTTTCTTATGCTACTGCTTTATGTAAATTGGAAGCTATTCATGGTCTTTATGGTATTGCCTTTCCTGCTATTACTTATGCTATATTTGGAACATCAAGGTGAATCAAATAAAAAAGTGTATTTTATTTTATTAACTTTTTTTTTTCTTTTTTATCTTTTATATATAGACAAATGTCAGTTGGTCCAGAAGCACCCCTTGCACTCCTAGTTGGCTCTTCAATTGCACAACAACAACATATGAAAGATTATCAAATAGATCCTCTTGCATGGGCATGTCTGATGACTTTCTTTATTGGACTTTTTACCTTCCTTTTGGGTATTTTCCGTTTGGGTTTTTTGGATAGTTTAATGAGTCGCGCACTTTTACGAGGCTTTATCACTGGTGTGGCTATTGTCGTGATGGTACAACAATCTATTATGTTACTTGGACTCGTAGAACAAAGCAACAAGATGGGATTAACAGAAGCATCTACTTCTTTGGAACGTTTGGTCTTTTTATTCAATAACATTCAATACGCTCATCCTTTATCATCTATGGTATCCATTATTTCCATTCTCTTTTTATTATGTGTACGTACTATCAAATCCAAATGGTATCAATCAAGTCGTTGGATGCAACTATTACCTGAAGTGCTTTTTATGGTCATCACAGCTATCTTATTGACATGGTACTTTCGTTGGGATCTTGAAGGTTTACAAATTTTGGGTCATATCAAGAATTCTGGGATTCCTATACCTTCTATCCCTTCCTTTCCTCCAAGTAAACATATGAAGGATATGTTAGTGACAGCCGCTATGATCGCTATCATTGGATTTGTGGAATCTATCGTCATTGCCAAAACTTATTCAAGCCGTCATAACTATTCAGTCAGTGCCAATAGGGAACTGGTTGCTCTTGGAATGGCAAATATTGCATCTGGATTATTTCAAGGGATTCCTGCTTATGGTTCAGTAAGTGAATAAAAAAAAAATTATATAAGATCATACTTATTAATATATTACTTATTTAGGTAGCTAGAAGCAAAATCAATGATCGAGCAGGTGCAAGTACTCAAATGGCGGGACTTATCAGTGGATTAGTAGCAGTAATGGCGATATTATTTCTATTGCCATATTTTTACTATTTACCAAGAACAGTACTATCATCCATCATCTTTGTAGCAGTATTATCCTTATTATCGGAGCTACCAGAAGACTTACATTTTATCTTCAAGATCGGGGCTTGGCGTGATCTGGCTTTACTTTTGGTGACCTTTACTGCAACCATGATTATCTCTTTAGAATTTGGCACCTTACTAGCTGTGACATTGTCTTTAATTTTGACCATTCGGGAAACAAGTTATCCAAGAATATCTATGATGGTATGTCTACTATTTATGTGATTTATTTTTATTCATTCTTACTTTCCCTTTTTTTTTCTTTAGGGTCGAGTAAAAGGAACAAGAAACAAATTTAAACCTATTCAAGGGGATTCCTCTATTGAACATTTAGAAGATGTATTGATTATCCGAATTGAAGAACCTCTCTTTTTTGCCAATACAGGTAAAGTAATATAATAAAAAAAAAAAAAAAGATCAGCACACCTGTCAAATGAATTCGTTAGTTAAACTGAAACAAAAATATATTAATATTCCGCTTTTTTTTTTTTTTTTTTTTTTGATTAGGTCAATTGAAGGAAAGGTTAAGAAGATTGGAGATTTTTGGTGATATGTCAATACATCCTTCTGAAAGTCCTCGATTAAATGAATCATCATTTACTATATTTGATGTTGGAAGTATGCCTTATATTGATGCTAGGTAATAAAAAAAAAAAAAAAAAGGAACCACAAATAGATATATGTTAATTTCTTTTTTTTTTATTATTATTATTATTTTCTTAGTGCTGTTCAAATCTTGATGGAAATTGTATTGGCATATCATGCTCGGCAAGTTAGTGTTTTCTTTGTTAAACTACGATCAAGACCTATGGCTACTTTTGAAAAATCTGGATTATTAGACTTAGTGGGAAAGGATCATATTTTTAGCAAGGTATCGGATGCCATAGAAGCCATTGAAAAGGAAATTACCGTATGATTATGTCATATGATAGTTAATTATTATTATATAGTACAGATTTATATAGTTATCAACAACCTTTTATATACACATATATTCAATAGAAACAAAAAATCATCCTCATTGATTATTTCAATAAATGCATTGTATTAAAAAAAAAAAAAAAGAAAGATTTGAATAGATCTCTTTCGAATCATAATCTTTTCTGATTGGTTGTACTGAAATCTCTCCCATGCTTCCTTCCGAACATCTCATCTCAGCCACCCCGCCTTGGTTTTAAAATTCATAAAGCAAAGGGATTTTTTTTTTTCTATTTCTCTTTTTTCTTCTTTTTCTTTATTTTGAAATATAAAAAAAAAGCCCACTAACTATGTCTGTTAAGCCTACTGATCCCTGGAACACTTGTCTCAATACCACTCTCAAGGAAGAAGACAGTGAAGTTTATAGCATTGTTGAAAATGAAAAACTTCGCCAATGGTCTGGCTTGGAACTCATTGCCTCTGAAGTAAGCACTTTTTTATGCGTAAAAAGAATATCTTCATGTTATTGACACGTTTTTTTTTTTTTATTATTTATTTTATTTTAAATAGAATTTTACCTCTCAAGCAGTGATTGAAGCCAATGGTACTGCCTTGACTAACAAGTATTCTGAAGGTCTTCCTGGTGCTCGTTACTATGGTGGTAATGAATTTATTGATGAACTTGAAATTCTTTGTCAAAAGCGTGCTTTGGCTGCTTTTGGTTTGAATCCTGAACAATGGGGTGTGAATGTCCAACCTTATTCTGGTAGTACTGCCAATTTTGCTGCCTTGACTGCTTTAATTCAACCTCAAGATCGTTTGATGGGTCTCGATTTACCTTCTGGTGGCCATTTGACTCACGGTTATCAAACCAACAAGAAGAAGATTTCTTCATCCTCTATCTACTTCCAATCCATGCCTTATCAAGTGGATGCTTCTACTGGTTTGATTGATTACAAACGTTTGGAAGAAAATGCTGCTCTTTTCCGACCCAAATTGTTGATCTGTGGTGCTTCTGCTTATCCTGCTGAATGGGAATATGATACTATGCGTAAGGTGGCTGATCAACATGGTGCTTACTTGATGTGCGATATGGCCCACATTTCTGGTTTGATTGCTGGTAAGGAAGCTCTTTCTCCCTTTGATTATTGTGATATTGTGACTACCACTACCCACAAGACTTTACGTGGTCCCCGTGCTGGTTTGATCTTCTTCCGTCGTGATAAGGGTGATGGTCTTGAATCTCGTGTCAATCAAGCCGTGTTCCCCTCTTGCCAAGGTGGTCCTCACAATAATACTATTGCTGCCATTGCTGTTGCCTTGAAGCAAGCTGGTTCTCCTGAATTCAAACAATATGCTCGTCAAGTCCGTGCCAACGCCAAAAAACTTGCTGAAACTTTGACTGGTTATGGTTACCGTTTGTCTACTGGTAGCACTGTCAATCATTTAATCTTGTGGGATTTGAAACCTGTTGGTTTAACTGGTTCCAAGGTTGAACGTATCTGTGATATGGTTCAGATTACTATTAACAAGAACTCTATTGCTGGTGACAAATCTGCTGGTAAGTAAGATGATGATGGATGGATAAGAGCGGTGTATGTCAGTCACTGGGCGGTAGATGAAAAAAAAGAAAACCAGAAATGAATGACTCATATTTCTTTTTTTTTTTTTTTTTTTTTTTTTGAACAGTGACCCCTGGTGGTGTTCGTCTTGGTAGCTCAGCTCTTACATCTCGATCATTGAAAGAAGAAGATTTCGTCAAGGTAGGTGAATTCCTTCATCGTACTGTGGAAATTGCTCAAAAGGTTCAAGCTGCTTGTGGTTCCAAATTGATGAAGGACTTTGTTGCTGCTTTGGATGGTAACCAAGATATTGTCCAACTCAAGAAGGAAGTTGTTGAATTCGCTCGTAGCTTCCCTATGCCTGGTTTTGATCCCTCTACCATTCAAGCTACCGTCACTATCTAATTATTTTTTTTAGTTAGTTTTATTCCATTTTTATTTTGATAAATGTCATCTTTTTACTCCAATTTCCTCAATTTTATATACATATATATATATTCATTCTATGCTATTTTCATTCTTTGTCCCTCTTTTTTTTTTCTTTTTTTATCAAACACCTTCATCTCAACAATAAAAAAAAAGCAAATTTCTTTTGTATTATAATAAACTCATTTTTTGATCACTCACAATTATAGGATATATGGATATGGTAATGAATGGATGGTATATGATGGGTGATGATGATTAAGTGAAAACAATGCTTGATTAGATAACTTTGATAATCATCCATTGGGTCGTTAGTAATAATCAAGGTTCTGCTTGATAATAATGATCAAAGATCATGATGATTGGTAATAAGACAAGAAATGGTTCCTGAAAAAACGATAGCTTAAAATGGAAAGATCGGGTTCCATACATATAAAGTGATGCATGCGAAAAAAAAAGTCAAGATGAATTACCTAGAAAGTTTTAAGTACATGTGTGTTCTAGAGTCATAGTATGTGATTTTTTTTTTTTTTTTTTTTTTTTTTGCTGCATGTTATGATCGATCAAGATAGAAATGATTCCCTTTCGCTCCGATTCTCCGGTTTGCCACAACTTGCCTTTTTGGTTTCTTGCATAAATTTCAAGTTATGTTGTCTTTTCTTTTTTTTTTTTTTTTTTCTCAGACCATCTTCAGTGTACAACATCAGAACATTTTTTTTTTTGACTCGGCGACAAGGAAAAGTATCAGTGACAAGATTCAATCATATCTTTTTTTCATATTTTTTATTAATATTATTATTATTATTAAACCAAAAGTAAACGATGAAAAGTCTATAAGGGAAAAGATCGGTAATCCAGCCGTGTCTTTAGGATTAGGACGAAAGAGGAAGACAGCATAAAAAGGGTAAATATTTGATTTTGGTAAGAAATTGATAAAGTCGTGAAGATGAATATTGATGATGTAGGGAATCATGATTGGAGGCAACGGTATCATTAGTATGACGATGATGATCATGTTGAATGGTAGGCAACAAGGATGATTCATACGCAGGAGTAGGTGATGGAGGTGGAGGAGAAGGAGATGGTGTAGGTGGTTTTGAAGGCGGACGTGGATTGTTGGGTCGTGGTTTCCGTAATTGCCATGATTTGACAGACATGCAGAAAAAAAAAAAAAAGATAATCAGTCAATTTGTGGGGATTGGGGAGGAAGGTTGCAAATAATGTACGTCAAAAAAAAAAAAAAGTGATCGGCAAAAGGAATTGCTTTTCTGGATTTCTTTTTTATGAAAAAGTCGTGATGTTTGGCATTCCCCTCTTTGAACTTTACTGAAATAGTCAAATAAGGAAATCGCAGAGAAAAAAAAAAGAGAGAGAGAGAGAGAAAGAAAGAGAAAGAGAGAAAAGAAAGAAAAAACATACTTCGTTTTATGACCTGAAGATGAATAAATGGTGTGCTCTAGTGACGATATCAAATGATGGATGATTCAAAAATTGAAACTAACATATTTGACGCAAATCATCACTGAGATTTTTGTCCTACTGAGGTTGTATCCGGATTTGAGGTTTTTCTTCATCATTTTTTTATTCCACTTTTGATACGTATTTCATGGAAACATGATATCTCTTCTTACTACCTATTTTTTTTTGAAGGGCAAACGGATGATCTGTTTTTTAGGTTGACATAATAACGTTTCAAGGAAAGAAAGAAAGTAAAGTTTGAAGTTTGGACTTTGTTTGACAAAAAAAAAAGTTAATATTAAAAGGCAAAGAGACATGCCTTAGAAAAATTTCTATAAAGTGAAACAAAATTGAAGAAAACCGTAAATAGAAATGTAAACTTGTCATCTGATGAATATCATTTCTTGCCATCATCATGAATATAAGGATCATTACTGGAGCAATCATCATCATCTTGGAAAGCGATCATCATTTCTCAAAAACAAGCCATCATCACCACATATACTAATGTGGGAGATTTCGCATGGCTCTCTCTCTTTTTTTTTTTTTTTTTTTTTTGTACGATGAAAGCGATATGAGATAATAATGACATTAATGAAAAGAGGGAGGACGAGAGAAAAGAAAGATCATCATTATCGATTTTATCATTTTCTTTTATTTATTAGTATTTACCCGATAGAATAGATTCTATTCTATTTGCATTAATAAAAGTAAGCATCAGCTTTCCATCAGACTTCTAGTTTCTTTTTTTTTTTTTATAAGATACAAGGAAAGACTACAATTGATGTACTTTTTTTTTTTTTTGATTCCTTATGGATCCAATCCTCATTTTGGGTAAATTCAGGGGGGTATACTCACCGGACCGATTCTGTGTCACTGATCATGATAAAGTGAGACCACTTTGTAGCATCACCACTATCATCCATCTCATCAACATCATATAAGATCATTCATCATCATGATCGTCATGATAAAAATCCATATGATTTAAAAAAAAAAAAAAAAGGTATATCAATTACATATGATATTCATCTTTCTCATGGCAAAACATTTTTCTTCTTTAGCACGTTTACTCCAACAAGAAAAAAAAAAAAAGGTTGGTACTACTCTCTTATTTTGGGGTTTCTCTCTTCGAAAGACGAAAAAGTAAAGTATGGATCACGTTCTCTTGTTCCATGAGTATTCCAAAAAAAGAAACAGAGTCTCCTAACATTCAAGCTAGCTCTCTCTGCACGTTGTCGTACTTGGATTGTAAAATTGAGCGGCGCCGATAATATTAGAGTAACAGTCAGTGCATTCAAATTTGATTTCCATAAATAAAAAGTCATTGATCGTATAAAGAAGATCGATCTTTATTTTCAAAAAAAAAAAAAAAAAAAAAAAGAGATGGTGTTTTCAATGTGCATGAATGTAATAAATACAAGAAGTGAATAGAATGAAGGATGATGATTAAAGAGGGGAATCCACTATTTTTCTATACCTGAATGAGTATGTATGTGTGTGCGAAAGAGAGAAGAGGAGAATGAAATCATAAAAAAAAAAAATAAGACTAGAATATGTCTAAACTATCTATCGAAATATCATCTCGTCCACACTTTTACCTTTTTTTTTAGTTCTTGTCAGCGTTTTCCGGACGTAATTGGCGCAGAGTTTGATCAGCTCACCAGATTTCAGATTCACGAATTTCACGGAGTTCTTCTTCCAATTTTTCACGATAATCAGGTCGACAATTACGATCTAAAGAACGGGCTGTTTCGGAACCATCACGTACAGATCGATGAAGTTGTTCAAACACCGGCTTGGAGGCATTATGAAAAGGTCGCCACCAGTCCAAAGCATCGCGTTGAGCAATAGTTGAGCAGTTAGAATATATCCAGCCCATACCACGTTCACCAATCAAGGGATAAATTGATTTATCTTCTTCTACAGTTTCATTGAATGCTTCAGAGGGAGAATAACCATTAGCACGAAAAACTTCATATTGAGCTTGGAAAAGTCCTTGAATAGCACCCGTCAATATACTACGTTCACCAAACAAATCAGGGTATATTTCCTTTTCAAAAGTAGCTTCATACAAATATCCTGCACCAACACAAGAGCAATAGTACGTTCCTTAGCCTTACCACTAGCATCTTGATAAACAGTAAAAGACCTATTGATACAATGACCTTCTTGGAAAAGACGACTGACAGTTGAATCCAGATCCCTTGAGAGCAACAAACACAACATCGATATCTAATAAAGAAAAAAAATAATAAAGTTATTTCATTTTTTTTTATCCTTATTTACCTTTGGGAGGGATGATATATTGGTTTGATCCTTATATACAATAGAGAAGTAAAGAGGAGTCAACAAAGGTTTCATTTCCAGTCAGATTTCCCTTTGATAAGCATCAGACAACAAGTTCATAACGATAGTACCACGATCAACAGCTTCCAAAAGAGGAAACAAGTTTTTTCCAGGAATCCAATCTTCTTCAATGGCTTGCTTTACCTTCACGTTGTCCAAGGAAAACATTTACACCATTATTACGCGAGTTGAGAGCTTGACCACGATTCTTAAGGACCATAACCAAGAACAGCAATAGTGTCATCCTTGAAAGTTTCCAACAGTTTCTCCTTGGATACATCAGATCGTTCGTAAACCACTTCTTCAGTACCTATCTTCATTACGCGGGAATGGTGAGCATAACTTATTTGACATGTACAAGTTAATGAATTCACCATGTAAAAGAAGAATAAAAAAAAAGATAACAAAGTGTTTAGTTGCCTGTTCTATATACAATAACTCTTCATATCTATGTATCTCTTTTTTTTTTTTTGTTTTTTTTCCTCAAAAAGAAGGGAACTTACAGTAGCTTTGACAGCAAATTGTTTCAAAACAGTAAACATCATGGGTCTAGCCATCAGGGGACGGGATGTGCGAGTAATAGTACGAAGAGTAGTTGTAAAGTTACGTGAAACCATAATAAAAGAATATAGATTGAATATAGAAAAAAAGAAAAGTAAAAAGAAAAAAGAAAGTAAAAAAAAAAAAAATTATCCAAAATAGGCCCACAAAAAAAAAAATGAATAAACTGTAGAATCAGCCAATCAAAAATTGTGCTTTACATCTTATCTGGAGTATCCCCGCCATCCATCCCTTTTTTTTTATTATTATTATTCACTTTTGATCATTTCTTAACAATGGATTTTTATATCAAAACTCTGTCTGATCAGCTTTTAACCGTAAAAATGGAGTAAATCTATCCTATTTGTTCATCCTGCATTCAAGTGGGAGAGCAAACTTTGTCTTTTCATTTCTCACTCAAACGTCATCATCATTTCACCATATTTGAGCACAACATACATAAAGATATTCTCTTTCACTTACCTTTGACAATTTATACCTTACCTCTCAGTTTGTAGAGTAAATTAAAAAATAAGATATCAATTCAGTCATCCCTCATCCAATAATGATCATCATCCAATATAATGACCACCATTGAATTCCTCTCCAAAAATTAGCTTAATACCATCTAATATCATTTTATCGCTTACCTTGTTACCTAATCTACAAAAACATTTCATCTATTTTTCCAAAAATTGCCTGATGACCCCTCGACGATTCCTTTTTACAGCCAAAATTTAGCTGAGGAATTCGAATTTTTTGGCTGTAAAATCCAAAATTTTCAAAAAAAAAAAAAAAAAAAAAAAAAAGATTCCACAGTTGTAAATATTTCTAATTAGCTTTCAAATGAATTTTTAAGCTTAAATCTATCATCATACCGTATAGCCATTAATAAAGCATGTGAATATACGAGTCAAGCGTAAAATGAATCATCAGTATTAAAAAAAAGCAAGACTATTCTATGCGTCTTAAACGATCTACTGCGTCGCTCCAACAAGTATGCTTATGTCTTCGTCACAACGAACATGAAAAAAAAAAAAAAAATTGATTTCCAAGGTCTATTTAATTTCAAGTCATATATTCACATTACAAATCATTATTTAAACATTATTTTTCTAAAGAGGAAGATGAAAACATTTTTTTGTGTCATACGGTTTATTAATATCACTAAAAAAAAAATTATGCTACAGTATGTGTCTTTGTCACTACCATCATATCCACTTCATGCCTAATTCGTTCCATCGCGATTGCATCTTCTGTAGCTGTTTGTCCACCATATATGATATCCATTTCTTCCAAAGATTTCCCTTTTGTTTCTATTTTAAATGGGTATAAAGTAATAATAAGTAAAAATTATGTACTGAATGCATTCAATATATAACAGGTCGATCCACTTTGATGAACATGATTACCTGGTATCAGAAACCATACAAAGGCAATGGATAAAATACAAAAGGCACTGAACATATAATAAGTTGATGGTACACTTGCAGCTAATAAAGGAGGAGTAATAAATCCAACTATAAAATTGTTCATCTAACGAAAGGAAGAAGAAAAAGAAGAAGAAAAAAAAAAGGTCTATAAGGAGCATATATCCATATTGTATATTTTTTTTTTTTTTTACCCAATGACTTGAACTAGTAATCCCCATTGCCTTAGCACGGACACGTAAAGGAAACAATTCGCTTGATACCACCCAAGGTACCGGACCCCATGAAAAGGCAAAAAAACCCATAAAGATATAAATCATGATGACGGCAAGCCAAGCTTCGTTTGAATGATGAACCCAATCATGCTGAAAAGCAACAGTGAGACTGCCTACAGTGAGCATACATATAGCCATACCAACAGAACCCACCAGCAATAAGATTCTTCTGCCCACTTTGTCCAAATACAAGACGGTCGGAATACAACAGCAAACCATAATGACACCAATGACACCAGTTGCCAATAACTTGACTGAATTCCCTGTAAGACCCACTGAGTTGATGATAAAAGGAGCATAATAAACAATAGCATTTACCCCTGTGAGTTGTTGAAAAAATAACAAGGTACTACCAATCAACACACGTTTCCACATGCCTTGTCTTAGGACTTGAGTATTACTGATCCATTTCCTCTTGATCCAAAGTTGCCATCTATTTATAACGCCATCACTAGTAATATCATATTTCAATTGATTATCTCTTTGTTCATCCAAATATCGGTCAAACATAACAATAACCTTGATATCTTTCCATTCTGCCTCAACCATAGGATCAATTACATCGCGTTGTCGTAACCTTGCCAATATATGTAAAGCTTCTTGTTCTCTTCCAACTTTCATTAACCAACGAGGACTAAAAGGAAGAAAGAAAACGCCCACAAGTAGAATTAGACCAAATACCATCTGTAAAAGTAAAGGAAGACGCCATGACCATTGATCAAGTGTAAAAGATGTTCCATAGTCAATCCAAAAAGAAATGGCTACACCCAAAGTAATAGAAAGTTGATAAAGTGAGACAACACTGCCACGTAATTGAGGAGACGATAACTCTGATTGATATCTTTGTAGAAAAGAAAAGAAAAGAAAAGAAAAAAAAAAAAGAAAAAAAAAAGAAAAAGAAAAGAAAAGAAAAAAAAAAAAAGGTCAAAATAACGTATCAGGTTTCAATCACCGTCAATAAAACGCCCCTTTTTTTTTATGCAGAAGTTTACAATGGACCAAGAGTACTAAGAGATCCAACACCAAGACCAGCTACAAATCTTCCAATCATAAGATGTATCAATTTTTGTGCTCCAGATTGCTACAAGAAAAGAAAAAAAAAATACAATCCTATTAAAAGGATGATTCCTCTCTTTTTTTTTTTTTTTCCTTACCAAAGCACTCCCTATTAGAAATACACAGGTAGCCATAGCAATTGAATATTTACGAGAGATCTTATCAGCCATATATGGAATGATCAATGCTAACAAAAGAGTAATTTGAATCAAAGGTATCGATATTGAGACTCTTTTATATATATATATATATATACTTCCTAGCCAGGCACCAAATTCTAAAATAGACACGATCAATCCATTTTCCACTGGATTTACAGGAAATCTTTTTTTAAAGTTCTTTGTCAAAAATTTTAGATAGGTTGATCGATGATTTTCTTTTTATATAAAATATTTACCTCCATATCTTGAATACCGGAAATTACACCCTGATCATCTATTAGTTTAATAGAATTAGATGGATCATTTCATTTATAAAGTCTAACTTACAACCAAACAATAATCCGCCAAGGGAAGAAAATATTGCAATACCAAAAAGATATGGATTTTGGATGAAACCTTGAAGACCTGAAAGATCCGTAGTTATGACTTTTGTTTGCTCTTTCAAAGTATCATCATGATTTAATTTTTCATCCATGATATATGGATCCTTCATCTATGAATAATTTTCTTTTCTTTTTTTTTTTTTTTTTTAAAAAAAAAAAAAACTAAAAGGGAATAAAAAAAAAAATGCTCTGTAAAGAAAGATGAATTTTTGCATCGACTCTTTTTGAACACTTTCTTCTCTTTTCCCTTGGCGACGTTGCTTTATCAATCAAATATCCAAATTTGGAATATCCCTTTTTATTGAGAGGTACTTTTTATTTTCATTTATCGATCATGAAAATAAGAAAAAAAAAATTGGGCTTTTATAAAATGAACGACTTAATATAGCGAAGAAGGATAGATCCAAAAAAAGGAAAAGGGGCTAAAAAAAAAAAGGATATTTGGGGAGAAGAACATATGTATCACCCTTGGTTAAATAGATCAAGAAACTAAAAACATACACACTAACAACATTCTCTTATTCTTGTTATTAGAATTCTAGACTCTTCATCAAAGAAAAAAAAAAGAGCACTAATATGCTGACTGAGAAGGCTATAAATCTTTTTTTTTTTTTTTTTTACAACATTGGTTTTTAATGATAATATACAAACTATAAAAAAAGAAAAGAGAGAGAAATACACCTACATTATAAGGAGAAGAGACAGAGGGAAGAGAGGGAATTCTATAACATCTAATATTGTTTCTTGTGCATCACCGCCAGAGCCACCGAGCCTAAAGTTTGTCTCATATACTCACGATCCACATCATGACCTATAAAAGAAAGAGAAGAAAAAGAATGTTATCAAGATCCAAACTTTTTTTCTTTCTTTTTTTTTTTTTTTTTTAAAAAAAAAAATGCTACTTACTATCTTCGACTTCACCCCAACGTTCCATTTGAGAATTCATTTCCACTTGAGCAGCTTGAGAGGCATGTTCAACAGAGATGGCATGTTTGACCAAAGCAAGGCCTATCAAGAAACTTTTTGATGTCAAAACAGCACGTTCAAATGCAGCCAATTCATGATGATCCATTTCTTCCACAATAGCACGTAATTTATCCTTTGTTTCTTGAGGTTGTTGTACAGCGAATATATCGGTAGTTGTATTAATGTCAACATTGTAATGATTGGATGCCCATTCGATGATTGGTTTCCAGTAGGTATCTTGCAATTGTGTTAGAATCTCTGGATACTCTTCATGATAACATGTCGCATCCGTATCAAAGTAACACATCAATTTATCAATCACTGCTGGTCGTACCTTAGGATCTTCACAATTTTCAGGATGTAAGCCATCGATAGCTCTAGATATAATTGAAGTCTATAAAACAATATTAGTTGCATTTTTTTTTTTTTTGATTTTCTGTTTGATTTTACCAAAGGTAATGTATGCGCCTTCAATACTTTAGTTTGTGCATCCCATTCTGCAGCTGTCAATAAAGCCAAGTTGCGTTGACTAGTTTCCAATTGAATCACATTTTTGCTAGGTGTACGAAGATTTCGATGGTCGAGCATGACAGTGACTCCATCTATCAAAAAAAAAAAAAAAAATCAATTGAATCTTATTTCCTTATAACTGGATATTGCTCTCCTTATATATATATATATATATATATATATATATATACTTACTTTGGTCTTCCGTGATGCCAGCTCTTTTCCAGAAACGTTGCATGGTTCTTTCAGCCCCTATAAAACAATAACAAAAATATATTTATAAATAAATGTGTCAGAAAGGACTGGGATTACGTTTGCTTTTCGTATTTCTTACGTTGAGTGTCTGCCTCCTTGCGTAAAGAAGAACATGATGTAAAGGACCGTTTGTTGAGAAATGGAGTAGTTGATCGTATTCCAGATCGTAAAAAGATCATGATAAAATTAATAAATAAGAAAGGAAAAAAAAAAAAAAAAAAAAAAAGAAAAAGAAAAGGTGGAAAAATAAAAGGGAAAAACCTGGGTTTCAATATTGAGTTGACAAGCTTACCCCTCGAGGATTGGTTGAAAGTGGCTGGTGGACTTTTTCTAATGATATAAAAAAATGAAGATATATATAAAAATGATGAAATAAAAACGTTTTTATTAATGATTGGTATAAGAAGATAACTAATAACTAAAAAATAGATGATTTGCGTCGGGCAGATAAGCGACCCAAAATATCAGACATTGTCACTACACCAACTACTTTTTTTTCATCTAAAATCCAAACTCGATGTGTATCATGATTCACCATAATATCGATGATATCTTTCAAACTTGTATTCCGATCTGCCGTTGAAGGTTCATGATGAGACAATTTCTATTTATAAATAAAAAAAAAATATATCGTATGTTAGATTTTTTTTTTTTTTTTTTTTTTTTTTAGTCACCTTCAAATAGTCTACACTTTTCAAATCCAAAAGGTCAATCATATCCAAATTAGCACCAGGAAGATCTTCAAGACATAAATCACCAGCAAATTGACCTTGTTCATCTAGAATTGGAATCCCACTTAATTTTTCCTTGGCCATCAAACGGTAACCATGGAGTGCAGATTGTTGTCTTCCTTGTATTGTTATCAATTTTCGATCCTTATCCACGAATCCTAATTCTTGTATAGATTTATTGATATCAATCAATTCACTAATGCATTCAGGATGATGAACAATATGTCGCATGATATCTGATTGTGATAATAACCAAGGATGCTTGCTTTCGTCTGTTTCATCTACCACTAAAGCGCGATGACCACCACTTGCGAACACGCGGAAAGTCTAATAAATAAATAAAATAAAATAAAATAAAATGGAAATCATAATTATATATACTTACTTCCAAGAGTTTGTCATGTTGGTCAGTCTTATACATTCGATAACTTTCACGGTCAGCATCCAAACCAAGTACATTTTCAACAGGATCACCCAACGGAAACTTGTCCTTTTGTACAGTAGTCAAATCGCCCATCAAATAAAGAAGAATATCAAAAAGATTGACAATACTAACTACCTTTGTACAATCGTGGGAGAAGATGGGCAAGGAAGTAAATCGGTGACTATTCATTAGTGTTAAGGCTGTTTGAATGCTTACAGTTGGACTAACTGCAATCAAAGATGGTTTAGTTTCCCTCAAACTAAGGTCAATAGGTCGTAATTGTGTAATATCCATAATTCAATAGAAGATAAAATATATAAATAAATGTGGAACAATTCAATAAAAGAAAAAAGAAAAAGAAGAGAAACAAAAAAAAAAAAAAAAAAAAAAAATGCGGGTAACCTCTTTTTCTTTTATATTTTTGTCTCTCCGCTTAACCAAACTTGTTTATTTATTTATGCCTATGTAAAATAATCTCCTTGTTTCATCCATTCTAGCTAATCAACTAGCTTTTTTATTATATATTTGATTAAAATATTTTTAAATAAAGACTACAAACACCGTGTAAACGGATCATGAATGAAAGCATCCTTAGTACATTTCATTTTTCTTTCCTTTTCTGGTATAATAGTACCTTCTGATAATTTCATTTCATATCTCATCATCAACACTCCTTTTTATTACCATTATTCAATCACTATAGCATCATCTACCAATAAACTTCAATCATCATCTAAAATGAAAAAGTTTGAATGATTGTATCATTAAAGTCTTTTTTGTGGATAGAGAGAAGATTGTAAAAAAAAAAAAAAAAAAAAAAAAAAATATATACCAAAGATACAGAGTTTTCCATCACCTATTACATGTTCGCCAATTTTCTTTTAAGAAAAAAAAAAAAACAACCATATCAATAAAACTTAATATTTGACCCTATAAACATATAATTCAAAAACTACATGAGATAAGAATCTTCTCATTTTATTTGAATAAATAAATACATTATAATCTACAAACATTTACTTAACAAATGACTAATAATATTAAAGGTAATGCGAAAGAAGGGAAACGTTTATCATCATCAACAATCATGATGGTTAAAAAAGAAAGGTAAAAAAAAAAAAAAGAAAAAAAAAAAAAAAAAAAAAAAGGATTAACAATTACAACCAGAAAATCAGCAAATCTGATTGGCTTATATATTAAACATTAAATTTGGGGGAAACGGCAAAAATATTTTCCCACACGGGGAATTGAACCCCGGCCACGGCGGTGAAAGCGCCGGATCCTAGCCACTAGACCATATGGGATAATACGAAAATTGGACTGAAAACTACATTATAAATCTCATATTAATTTCAGCCAATCAGAACGAAGTATTTACAATTCCAACAAGAATGAAGACATTGTAACACTAAATTACCAATGCTTCGTTCTGATTGGCTGAAATTAATATGAGATTTATAATGTAGTTTTCAGTCCAATTTTCGTATTATCCCATATGGTCTAGTGGCTAGGATCCGGCGCTTTCACCGCCGTGGCCGGGGTTCAATTCCCCGTGTGGGAAAATATTTTTGCCGTTTCCCCCAAATTTAATGTTTAATATATAAGCCAATCAGATTTGCTGATTTTCTGGTTGTAATTGTTAATCCTTTTTTTTTTTTTTTTTTTTTTTTCTTTTTTTTTTTTTTACCTTTCTTTTTTAACCATCATGATTGTTGATGATGATAAACGTTTCCCTTCTTTCGCATTACCTTTAATATTATTAGTCATTTGTTAAGTAAATGTTTGTAGATTATAATGTATTTATTTATTCAAATAAAATGAGAAGATTCTTATCTCATGTAGTTTTTGAATTATATGTTTATAGGGTCAAATATTAAGTTTTATTGATATGGTTGTTTTTTTTTTTTTCTTAAAAGAAAATTGGCGAACATGTAATAGGTGATGGAAAACTCTGTATCTTTGGTATATTTTTTTTTTTTTTTTTTTTTTTTTTTTTATTATTTTTTTTTTTTTTTTATTATTTTTTTTTTTATTTTTACATTACATTACTTTTCTTTTCTTTTTTTTTTTTTTTTAAAGAACATTATTATTATGTTCTTAACAGATACAGATACATAATGTATCTGTAAGTTTATCTTTTGATCGATTGTTTTATTCTTTTTCTCTTTTTGTGTTTCAACCTTTTTTTTTTTTTCTCTTTCTGTTGTAGTTTACATTGTCTCTCTATTACCATAACTTTCTTGCTTCAGGTAATTCTTTTCTTATTTAACTTCATTTATTTGTTTTGACTTTTTTTTTTCCTTCCATTCATTCCTTCTTTTTTTTTTTTTTTTTTTTTTTTTTTTTTTTCGTCATGTACCTTCTTCCAAAGTTATTCCTCAATCCCCTCTCTGCGTGTCATAAATTATCAATCTCCTCCTTCTCATCACCTTCGTTTTCGTTGTTATTCTTAATTAGTCTGCATTGACCTTTTCTTTCTTTCTTTTTTTTTCTTTTTTTTTTTTTTTTTTTTTTTTTTATAGGACATACTGTGACAAGAATTAGACTAGGCGAATATACCATATTGTCAACTGGATGGATACATACAACAACTTGAATTTAGGTGGATATGCAATTGGATCAACTGGATGAGTATCTGAATGAATCAATAGAATGGGGTTGCAACAGGATATCGACTGGATATCTTTTATCTGGCCTTTATCGTAGTGATTCGGTTACTGATTAATTAGTTTTAGTATGTATCTATGTTGTGTATTTTTTCTTTTTTTTTAAATTCTTCTTTAATAAAGCCATATTAATTATTGTCATTATTGTTAAGGTCATCATCATCATATATACAGTATTATCATCATACTGTAGAATACAGAAAGATTCATATAGAGAACAAAGGTAATGAATGAAGTAGTTGACTGGATCTACCTTATGAAAATAAACCAACTGAAATAAAAATTATATTGATCCGTCCTTTTTTTTTTTTTTTTTTTTTTTTTTTTTTTATTTCTTTGGATTAGGGATTCTGTGAAAATCCAATCATGCGCTCGAGTTGATCGATCTTCTAAAAGTCTACCTATCCCTCTCACTCCAACTTTTTTGCCCATTTTAACCGAACATCCGTTTCATATATTCCATTTTATCCCGGTCCTACTTTATGCCTTTTTTTCCATCTAGTTTTTTTTTTTTTTTTTTTTTTTTTTTTTTTTTTTTTTTTGTCCCCAACTTTCTCATCCCCCAACTATTATTCATTACACCAATGACCTTTTAGATTAAAATAGATGAATGTACCATGTCCAATAAAAGAAAATATATTACAACATTTTTTTTTTCCCTATCGTTGACCGATATTAAATCTTAGAGAAATATGACACTGGTACAGCCTTTTGTCACCTGACCAAAACAAAACCGAGATGAGGTTTCATTGCTTGGCAAATCATGCATCAGAAGAACCCCCCCCCCCAAAAAAAAAGGCAGATGATCACAAAAGTAAAATATATGATATTTTTTTTATTATTTGATATGATGATAAAAATAACAAGACGGAATACATAGAACGACAGGATGGTCATAACAAACTAGACTAATAATAAATGATTGACGCAGGATAACAACGATGATAATAATACTGCTCTAATCTTTTTTTTTTTTTTTTTTTTACGCCAAGGTTGCATGTATTGGAACTGGATGTGACACGGATAATCGACACTGATGATGTTGTTCTGACATTTTTTCCATCGAGTTGTTGCCATTAATGATATTGTTACCCTGATGAGTGAGATTCATTTGTTGTTGTTGCCTTTCATCCATAGTCATAGATTCCTCTGTCGTTGGTAACACTCCTGCCCGGTTAGATCCTAACATATGGAGACGAGAAGGTTGATATGATTGATTGGTGATATGATTGGTAGTATCCAGTACTACAGTGGGTGATGCTGTTTCATTTTGTTGCTGTTGTTGTTGTTGTTGTTGTTGTTGCTGTTCGCCGTGGTATGCTGAGTCTACAGGTGATGGTGGTAAAATATCTTCTTCCTCACCAGGAGAAAGATCAATCGTATCAGGATTTTGTTGCTGTTGTTGCTGTTGTTGTTGTTGTTGAGAGGATGATGAGACAATGATTTCTTGGCGCAGACAAGAATGACTACGAGATCTTGACATCAAATTGCCGCTACTCTTGGATGGTGATAAAAAGTGAACAAATCGTTTTGTGATAGAAGTTGAAGAGTTTGACCGTGGTCTAGTTGAACGAAGAAATCGCTGTTGCTGGTTTGAAGATAATGATGATGATGATGATGATGGTGATAATGCTAAAATTGGGGTTGATGCTGGTGAAGCCGATCTTGATGATGATGGTGTGGAGACAGAGGATGAAGCACTTGCATTGTTGGAAGAGTTCACACTTGGTAAAGGAGGTAACGACGGAATAAATCGATAAGATGATGATGATGATAAGGTGCTTGAGTTGCTTCCAGATCGTTTTCGAGAACCTAATGCCACAATATTAGAAGTTGATGATGATTCTGACATAGACACATTCGATGGAGCCATAGCCGTTCTTGTTGTTGTAATAGTAGTTGCTGATGGTGAAGATACCGGTAATGAGCATGGAGTAGAAAACAGATTCAATAAACGATCTTGATCATCATCCCAATGTGCACGACATAGACGATACTCTAAAGCAATGGGTTGTCGAGTCACACGTTCAATAAACCGAGTCCTACGAACAAATGATTCAAAGTAAGGTCCATGACAGTAAGAGCATTCTTGATGAGTGGAGAGATAATCCTTGATATGATCAGCGATATAGGATGGAAGAGGAATTTGATGCTGTACGATGGCACGAGCACATTGTTCAAATAAAGAAGGTGGATCATGCTGACGTTTGTGTATAAATTCAGTTTGAAAGTCGCATCCATCCGCAATGAGTTTTCGTAGTGATTTGATATTGGCGATTTCAGCAGGAAGATACTGAAGAGGATTGTTGCTGATGTTGAAAGAGATCATGTCTTGCAACTTGGAGATTTCAGGAGGAACATATTTGATGTGGTTGTCGTTGGCAATGATGATGATCAATTCAGGTAAGGAACCCAAAGATGGAGTAAGACCAGTCAATTTGTTATGACTAATATTGATAGCTTTCAATTTTGTCAAGTATATCATGGTATCAGGCAAAGATTCAATTTGATTGTTAGATGTATTGAGGACCGTGAGATTATTGAGATAACCGATGGACTTGGGTAGACTTGATAATTGATTACCCGATCTGTTAACCAAAAAAAAAAAAAAAAAAAAAAAAAAAAAAGAAAAGATGCAGATGATTTCGATAAATTAGTCATTGTCCTAAAGAAGTAACCATAATAATAATAATAAAAATAATAAAAATAATAGTAACAATAAGCACTTACAGATTGAGTTTGGTCAAATTACTAAGGTATCCAATGCTAGAACTTAATTTCACCAAAGAACGACCGGATAAATCCAATGTAAAAGAGGTTGATTGAGAGGAGATTCTTGTACCCATAGAAGTAGATGAGTCACCTCGAGTTTCAGCACCACCACCACCTGTCGAAGTTGTATTCCGCATTGCTTGAGATGTCACTTCACCTACAGTGATTTTGGCCCAGTTTTCATTGATATCATCATCATCATCATCATCATCGTTGGTATTATTATTATTGTGAATGGTAACAGTATTTGATAAGAAAGAAGATGGATTGATTTGTTGTTGTTGGTTCGTTGATTGATCCATTCTATTCGTTGATATATGTCCGTCTCTGTTGTTCTCATAGTGGTTGATACCAGAATAGTAAGTTTCATCAATATATTCAAGGTCTTTAGCGAGATGGTGACGAACAAGAGACATGCGCTTATTTTGTCTACAAGTACGACATTCCTGTTGATGAGTAGCCACAATCCATTCTTCGTTAGTATTGATAGATGTACCTTGTTTTGTTGTTTTTCGTTCATTTGTACATTGACACATCAGTTCCAGTTTATATAGTTCAGGATGGTTCAACACATAATCGGGTATCAAGTTGTTGGGGTTTGTTGGACCTGGAGCATTGTTAGACTCGGTATCATCTTGTGAAGACTGAGTATTATTAACATATCCAAAAGTAAGAGGCGCGTGATGTTTACTAGTATGTTGTCCCATCACTAAAGGTAATAAAAGAAAGAGAAAAAAAAAAAAAAAAAGAAAGGAGGTAAAAAAAAAAAAAAAAAAAAAAAATTAAAAAAAAAAAAAGACGGGAAGAGATGTAAAAAAAGTAAAATTGTAATTCGAAGCTACTTTTTTAGCGCAAACAATTTAGCTTTGTTGCCCTGGAACTCCACCAGTAACCATCCCCGCTGTGTAACCCTCTTCTTTTTTCGCTATATTTTATATCAATCTGAAACCATACAATGCATAAAATCAAAAATACTAATCATTATCATAAACATAAAAAAGAGAGAGAATAATATTTTATTCATATATAAATTGAATCATTCATAATAGTGATCGAAATTCTGTTGTAATTCTTTGTAATTGTCGATTTTGAGCTATAGAAAAAGAGAAAATCATTAGCCATCGGAGCTCAAGTATCACTTTAACCACTTGACTTTTTTAGCTACGGCCAATCATTTATTACCTAATACTGGGAGAAGTTCTTTCAGTAGATCGTGCTTGGGTATCGATTTCTATAGAGAAAGAGAGAGGAGAAAAAGAAGAAAAAAAAAAAAACAGGTTCAATCCGGTTTTTATTTTTTTTGGTCAGGGAATTTAATTTTCAGTATATATATGTCATATTTTTTTTCTTGTTATTCCTTACCAATATAGTAGATTCCCATTCACCATTTGTCGATTGTCTAAAAAAGAAATAAATAAGGGTGAGCCTATGATGTTAAATCCATTTCTTCTTTTATAAAGAAAAGAACTTACACAAAAGGTGGTCCCATAAGCCATTGGCATAATTCTTCCACTTTTTTTTGAGCATTTTCTTTTGATAGTCGCCTCGCATAGTATATCATCCACTCTTTGTATTCTTTTGCCGATTCTAGAATAAGAGCAGCAGCCAATTGATTCTATTTATTGAAAATAAGATTTTTTTTAGGAGACCGGATATAATGTCAAATATCTTTTTTCTTTTCCCTTACTTCAATATGGCTAATGGTAATTGTACTTGCCGCATCAGAATCAAGTTTTGCCAGAGCCATAAGAGATTCATTTGTTGGATCTGCTGTTCCTGTCATAGTCAACGCAGTAGATAACCATCCAAGAGGGTGATTTTCCACGGAAGATGATCCAGATCCCCAAAATTCAGATATAATAAACCACGCATCACTGATTCGTAACCAAGTGTTCATACCTGTATGATAGGTGAATGCTTGATGATAGCTAGTAATGATAAGTGGAAGTCCATTTTTTTGAATCCGTATATCTTTGAGACTTGGTGCTACATGAGGTTCTTCTGATGCCAGTGTTTGAGCCACTCGTAGTAATGGTGATATAGAGACTGATGTAAATTGACTTTTTTGTTGAACGATATCCCTGAATACAGAAAAAAAAAAAAAGGTATAAGGAACCCAAAATATATAGTCAGTTCTCCCGTTTTTTTATTGATTACCATGTATATAAAAGACCAGTTGCTGTCAAACATAAAAGCCAACAATCATTGCAAGTTATCACAACAGGTGTGCTTTCAAGTACAATCGGTGGTAGAAGTCTAACATAAACCAGATAGTTAATAATCATAATAATAATAATAACAATAATAATAATAACAATAATAATAATAAAAAAAAAGAGTAACATTAAAATCGGGTTCAAATGAGAATAGAAAAGAATAGCTACATTACCTTCGCCCAGCCGGCGAATAAACAAGAATACTAGCATCTTCACATCCAACTGCAGAAAAGTGTTCATTTCCAGTCATTAGTAATATCGCACTTGCAAGATAATCGGTCCATAAGATTGTTCCATGTCGACTTGTAAGTAACTTTGTATTTTCCGAGCCTAATGAATGAATATCAAATGTGTTTTTTTTTATTAGTTATCATCATCATCATCATCATCTCATTTTTTCATATTTCCATTCAAATTACCTTGTTTTCCAGTTGGGTTATGACATTCCATCACGGTAACTTGATTATCTTGTGATATCCTATTAATCATTGTTGATTTCACTTTTGGTAAACCGAGTTTGACTTGACTTTGACTAACTATAGGGGGAATAATAGCTGCATCGATCCAAGCTGGTTTTTGCCGTAAAGGTTCATTGTCTTTTGTTGTTTGTTGCATTGTGATTCCATTAGTTGTTTGATTGTTGTCCACGTTGTCTGGGTGTGCTTTGCGTTTGTTGCCAACTACCGTGCTACCAATTCCATTTTTGCCGAGATTCATTACTGGTAAATCATAATCCACGGATTCCAACGGTGGTTGTGATATATGTGAGATAATCTATTATCAAGAAAAAAAAAAAGAAAGACAGAATAAAGGAGTTAGAGAATATTTTTTCAGTATTGCTGAAGACATAGTTTATCACCTGTCGTTGTGTAGATGGTGTTGATGGAGTGGTTGTAGATAATCCTGTGTTCCTTGATAGTGCAATAGGTTGAATACGTCGTTTTCCACTTTTTGTTATAGTCACTTTTTGCTCAGTGATAGTAGCTACACCACTAGAGGAGGATGTAAATTTGTCATCGTTTTTCTTCTGTATTACAGTTGCATCCGTCATTTCGTTTTTGTTGTTCTTTGCATTTTCAGATCGAGTGTCCAAATCGATTGCTGTTCCGTTCATCCCACCATTCATAATGTTGGCAATACGATTTGAAGTTGATGGTGTTGTCGTTGTTGCTAGAGCAGTCGTTGTGGATTGAGATGCATTGGGCTTGTTTTCCGCTTCTAGATCCAGCTGAGAAGGGGTTTCTGGTAATTGTGTATTCTTCCGTCCATATCCATATTGTGTTAATTTTTTTAACTAATGAATGAAAGGAGCAAGAAAGATGTGTCAATATCTTTTTTTTTTTTTTTTTTGTATATACATGATCACTTACCACTTCGTCGTCTGATGCAGGTTCCGCTAATTCTTCTTTCAATTGTAAACATGCTATGGTACCATCCTGAGAACATGCAAATAGAGTTTGACCATCAGGAGTCCTATTACATAAGAGGAAGGAAAGTAGACACAAATACATATATTATATACGTTTGTTCCATTTTTCTATTCGTATCTTACCATGCCAAATCATAAATGTTGTTTTCGAATACATTTCGAGCCACACATAAAGGTCTTGTACGTCTTGTCACCCAAATAGATAATCCACGATCTTGACCACCTAATGCACATACACTTGCCAGAGTATCTTTGCCATCACGATCGTTACTGTCGACTTCCATCTTCGTATCTTCATCATCAGTCTCTCCCTCATCCTCTTCTTCATCGAGTTGAATACCATAAAATAATTTTGGATTAAATGACTATATTTCCACAAAAAAAAAATCAATATAAAGTTCATATTAATATACTATATTGACATTAGGAATAATCATACTTACAGCAACTTCAATAGGTACATCATGACCAACTAAAGAGACATCAGAATCCCAATTATCACGACTGATGATAGCAGCAACACATTGATTGGCATTTACAGCATTTGATGCAGCAATATGAGATCCTTCAGGAGACCAACTAAGACGACGGAAGAATGTTGTACCAGGAGCATTATAAAAAGGGTCTTCGATTTCAGCTTCTTCTTGCCAATCAGATGTTCTCCAGATCTTGACCTTCTTGTCATCCGACTAAAATAAAAGCAAATATCCAAATGTTCTATTTAGTATCCCTGTTTTAACCTTTGTATATTGTATTATTCTATTATTTTACATACCTGGGATGCCAAATATTTCCCTACTGGATCCCATGTAATACCATTCACAAATCCACTATGCTGATCTATTTTATGTATTTGCTCTATAAAGAAAAAGTAAAAAGAATGAGTATACAAATTAATATATATATGTATATATAATATCTATATACCAAACGTTCGAGCATCCCATATAATGATAAAACCATCCACACCACAAGAAGCAAGATATTGATTGTTATTTGACCAAGCCAAATCCTGCACATCTGAATCATGTCCACGTAGATATTTGACAGCACGCCATGTTTCATGATTAACTTCACTACTACCAAATACGGAACCACTACCAGCCTCGCTAGTTACAAAATGACAAGAATTTATATATTGGTCAGTAACAAACTCATCGAGAGATGAGACATGTGTGATTTACAACAATGGTATATATATATATGCATGTTTTGTATATTGTCATTACCTATCCAATTCCCATATAATAATCACATTATCATTATCCGAACTGGAAGCAAGATATCGTCCATCTTTTGACCAACGTACACATAATACTGCCCCTATAAGTGAACATAGAAAGGGAGAAAAGAAAAAAAAACATAGATGAGAAGATATATATATATAAAGGTCAAATCATCTTACCACTATGCAAAGTCATTGTACATAACAACTTATGACATTTCGGATTCTTTTCAGCATTTTCGTCATATATCGGATCAGTATTCCAAATCTTCACTGTGGTATCTATTAATATATATGAAAAAAAAGAAAAAAATAAAGAGAGAAATATTAAAGAGGGTATTTAATTCTTTTTTTGTTCTATACTAAGCTTCTTGGAAATCTTTTCTTTTCTTTGGCATATATACCTAAACTACCAGTTGCTAGTCGTTTGCCATCAGGATGTACATCAATAGAATAAATACATTGTTTCTTGATTTTCGAACCTTCCTGTGACCGATCTATATAAACATATGAATCATTAAAGAAGTATGTTAAAGCAAGAATGTGAGAATAAAAAAGAAAGAATGGATCGAAAAAGGGAATTAGAAGGTAATAAAAGACTTACCACCATGAAAGACCCAGTCTGGTTTAAATATGATCATACTATATATATATAGATATATATATAAACCTGGCTAATATAAAAAAAAGAAAAGAAAAGAAAAGAGACAGAGGTAGAGAGAGAGCGAAAAAAAAAAAAAGATATAAAGAGGAAAAAAAAAAAAAAATTGGTGGGTCGCGCCGCGTGAAATCATATCAAACAATCCCAAAAGATCATTCAGCTAAAAAGTGACTGTAGAATACGCGAACTAATTGATCATGTATTCGTAAAAAGATAGAGAAAAAAAAAAAAAAGTAAAATAGGAATGGAAAATCGATGTAGGTATTAAAAAAAAAGGATCTCCTTTTATAGAAACGAAGAGTAGCAGTAACAGTTACACTAGTTCCTGAGATCAAACATCCATACTTTGTTTTAAAAGGTTGATTGAAAAAAGGTTGATAAAGAAGAATGATTTATTTCAATTTCCTTCAAAAAAATAAATTGCATGTATGTTACATCGTCAACAACATTTAAAGTTCATTTCAAATTTAATTTTTTTTTTTCATAAAGAATATTTCATATGAATGTATACTATTTTTTATTGATCCTAGTTTATCATGAAAATGATCATCTTAAGAACGATGCATGCCATAATCCATCATCCATTTGAAAATGAATTTGACGGTAAAGAAGTCATTCAGAATTATGATCAAAATATTGGAAAGACTACGGAGTTTGAACATTCTACTCTTTCTTTTTTTTTTTTTCACCTGTAATCCATTTCCCTGTATCAATTACCAGTCTTCTATCAACAACTCATTTATATATAATAGAATAAAAACTAGAATTTGAAAGCTTTATTTTTTTTTTAAAAAAAAAGAATCAACTTAATATAGTGAAGGTTACCAATCGCTATATCATCATTCTATCACCAGTTATTCATGGTTAACTAGTCATCCAGTCATACTTTTTAGTTATTCATCACATCATCTGTCCATAACGATTATCCGTTATTCATCATTTGTAATATATCTGTATCATATTAATTAGTATTATTATTACCATCCTCGTATATCATTGATCATCGTATATCATTGATCATCCGTCATTCTATTAATATCATCATCACAATCATCACCATCATCACAATCATCATTATTGTCACATATAATCAAAGATATTACGAATTTGTTTAAAAGTTTGAAAAAAAAAAGAGTGGATAATAATAATGCGTTCAATTGTTGATTATCCAATCAAAACCAAGAAATCAAAGTGGCGGTTATTTAAATACCAATTGGCATCCATATTTTTTTTTTCTTTTCAACACCTTTGTATTTCTATTTACTTTCTTTTTTCCAATCATATATACTATGGTTCATTATAGCCTATCATTGATCATATCTATCTTATTACTATCAACTCCATTGTCAATATGTCAAGCTTCATCCTTTATCCATGAAGATTATCTCGCCTATCCTCGTTACAAGCTAGAACTAACGGAAAAGGGAATACCTGAATCTTCTGTCTTTGGTGGTCAACATGTAATCTCCAAAAAAAAAAAAAAAAAAAAAGAAAGGGAGAAAACAATAAGACTTTTTCTTACAAAAAAAAAAAAAAACATGTACTTATTTTTTGACTTTTTTTTTCTTTGAATAGTTAAAGGATAAACAATTGGGTCGATGGGATACTCACGACTATCAGCATGACGTTGAACGTAACCAAGTCATCATGATGACCGATAAATCTCAACCATTCCTATGCACCATTCCCGATGTTACTGCCCAAGAACGACAACGCACATCAGCAGACAACAAACCATTCTCATCTAGGCAAGAAATACAACGTACTATTGAACGAGGATTGGATCTTTTGAAACCAATGGGAAAAGAATGTCTTCGCTTTTATGTAAGTGTGCTCATCCCTAAAAAAAAAAAAAAAAAGAAAAAAGTAAATCATTTTTGAGTTATATTCATAAACTATTTTTTTTTTTTTTTGATTTTTCTTATTAGACCCATGGTTATTGGACTTATGAATACTGTCATATGCAATATGTTCGACAATTTCATATTGATCCTAGCAAAACGGAAGGCGATAACTATATGTTCAATGAAAAATCATCATATATACTTGGTGTTTACCCGCAACAAAACGAAAACAACAATAGGCACACAAAAGATAGTCAAGATCTTCTTAGCAAAGGAAGTCAGCAACAAGATGAACTCAAGCAATCTTCTTCATTAGATATGACGACTCTTCGAGGTGTAGGGGATAAACGATTACTAGTACAACATTGGGGCCAAGGAACACCGTGCGACATTACAAATCAACCTAGATCCATCGAAATCCAATTCCAATGTGCATTGGGTACTAAGGATGAGATTGAGTTCTTTGAAGAAGTATCCACATGCCATTACCTGATGATTATTTCAACTCCTCGACTATGTGACGATGTTATGTTAGGAGCCAAGAAAGAAACGAAAGCACATGCGATTCAATGCAACCCGATTGTACCTGAACATTTGTTAGATGAAATGGAAGCTCAAGTGACAAAAGAAGCAACACAGGAAGAAGTACCCAAGGAATACCAACAAGAAGAACAAGGAGAAGAAGAAGAACAAGGAGAACAAGAGATACTGGATCAAATGGCAAAAACAGAATTGGTAGACATGATCTCTGACCTGGCCAGGCAAGTCGAACAACTACAAAGATCCATGGATATTGATCATCGATTCCAACATAGTCAAATCTATTTTATGGATCAACATGGACATTTGGTATTGGGATCGGCCAACAATGATCGTCGAGGACAACAACATTCTGCGACAGATGCCGCACAAGCAATTTTCCAGCAACTTCTTTTGGATACTGCTTCAACAAATAAGGATATCATCAATAAAAACCGTATGGACGAATCCGAAACTCAACATCAAAACAAAAAAGCTTATGAAAAAAATTATTATACGTTAGTGTAGATATAATTTACATAAAAAAATAAAAACAATAAAACACTTGAAATCATTGTTATCATTTTCTTTTTATTTTATTTTATTTATTGAAATATGAATATATATGTGAAGTGGGGGGTATTTTGTCTTTCTTTTTTTTTTTTTTTTTTCTTTGAACAATATAATATGACAAAGAAGGGGAATTTAACTCGAAGATATAAATGGAATATGTGTGCATATGAAAAAAAACAACAACAACTAAAAACTACGTTGTCTTTTTCTTGATTTCCAAACCTTGATCATCAGCATAACCTTCATCTTCATTGATAATAGCGTCCATGTCTTGAATCTTGAAAGTAGGTCGATTAAACAAATGTTCTGGAGATTCTACAGCTGTCGTAGTAGATGTTGTTGTTGTGGTTGTATTCAAAGTTGTCATAGATAAACCGGAAGGATCAGAAACCATGGTAAAGCTATTTGATCGGCTACGGAAGGGTGTGCTACTTTCAGACCCACTACGACTCATCAATCTACCCCAAAAGTATCCATCTTCACCAGTTGCTTCCAAAGAATCTTGACTATTATTCTTGCTTGTTTTGTTGCTGCCTCCCCACGTAAAGATATTCTTGTCATCCAACCATTCCATTTTGGTAGCATGTTGAAAAAATCCACTTCGCAGACGAGGTAACTTATTTCGCATGACTGATAAGTTGAAGTTACTAGTACTTTTGCTGGGTGTTGGACTTGGACTTGATGCTGATGAATGAGAGTGATTACTGGGCATTGTACGACTAATATAATCCGCTACAAAATATACATATATAAAATTAGATGATAAATAATAAAAGACTATATAATTTTGATTCAATTCATTACCATCAAAATCATGGAATGCTTGAGGTCCATATTCGTTAATAACATTGGTAATATCACGAGAGAGTTTGCTTCTGTTTTCTCGAAGAACTTGTACACTTTCAGGATCCATTAATGTCACTACTAAAGGTTGTAAAGATCTATATGTAGATATACATATTATAAAAGTGAGATGTAAATCGAATAAAAATGATAGTAATCTTTTTGTAATCTATACCTTGCGATATCTAAACCAATTTCACCAAATTGAATACTTGCATAAGATATAATAGAAATAAAGACAGTAGATGCCAATGGGATCAAGATTTTCCATTTTGTTTCAAGATCTGTTTGTAATAGACTTAAAAACACAAGAAAACCATAAAACGTGTACAAGGTGGGAATCAATACTAAACCAACCAATAACTTCCATGTGGCCAACACATCTCGACCTGCTATTTTGACACTAGAACCTCTCAGAGCAGCTGAATAAATAAATAAATAAATAAATAAATAAATAAAAGAATAATGGAGAATGAGTATTAACAAAAAAAAAATGTTTTTCCTTTTTTTTTTTAACTTTTACCATCTGCTTTCTTTTGACTGATGATTTTGGCAACAATAATGACAGGAAGATTTAAAACAGCTCTATTCAAAAAAAATAAAAAAAAAATAGTTAGAACAGATTCATTTTTTTTTCTTTTTCTTTATATTACCCAGGAAAACCACATAGAGTCAATAAGGTAAGAATCATACATCGTTTTATTAATAAGACAAGAGTATGCTTGCCACCTAGATCAGTTTTGGAGACCTGATGATCACGAATACCATGATATTTGAGTAATTGATTGTAAGCCAATACACGTTGATGTAATTCTTCTACTTGAGGTTCATGTTTGAAGAGTTTGTATCCAATTAAAAAGCGACGATTGAGATCCACTACTTGAGAGATATGAAGTTTTCGATGAGCAGGTTTATAAAGACGACGAGCAGCTTGAATCATCTATAAAGAAAGTTTTGGTCAATCACGAATACAAAGTTTTATCTATTTTCATTATTACCATCAGAGTTTCATAATTTCCAGCATTAACAGTAACACTTTTCAAAGCATCAGAAATGATATCCAATAATTTTCCACAAGCTTCCCGTTTTTCAGTTCCACCCAAGGCATACTTTTCCACCAAATCACTTTGAATCGAAATAGGAGTACCAAATTCTATCACTGCACGAGACCTAAATCGATGAGCATGGAAATAGTTGAGACCTAAAAAAAAAAAAAAGAGTTAAGTAAAAAAGATTATTCAACATGAATGACTTTTTCCTTTTTAATTTGGTTTACCACATGGTACTATCTTGACATCAAGTCCAGGATATTTAGCCATTGCACCTAATGCCATCATTGTTACACCAGCTATATATATATATTTAAAAAAAAGAGGAAAATAAGAAAGAAAAAAAAAAGAAATCAGTATATGGTGTATGAATATAAAAAGATTTTTTTTTTTTACCTTTTAATGGAAGTAATTCAGCACGATCATGACTACCACCTTCAGGGAATATAGTAATACATTGATTTTTGTTCAGTTGATCGTGAACACAACGGTAGACAGCATCTTGATCAACATGAGGAATACATTTGAATGGAGTACCTTCTGATAATAAAGCTAATGCCTTTAGATCTTTGAATTCTTTTTTGATGATAAGTTCAGTATCGGATAAGATTTGGACTACTTCGGCTTGACCAGCTTTGTTGGGTAAAACGATCTGAGAATGAGGTTGTAGTTGTTTAAGGAATTGAGTACCTTCACCAATGATACGTAATGGTTCTAGTTTTCGATCTAATAATTGAATGGTACCAATACCTTTGACAGCCAAATCTTGAGGTCGAATTACAGGAACTATTTAAAAAAAAAAAAAAAAGAAAAAGAAATGAAAAGAATCGATATTTTTAAAGTTAGCGGACCTTTTAATATTTCCCACCCATCCATCCTCGTTCACCCCCTTCGTCACAAAATGAATATTAGAACTTACTAGCATTTAACATTCTAGCAAAAAAACCAATTCCTTTTTGATGCATAGATTTTTCAGCAATAAGAAATGAAACTTGTCGTTTACATTCCCTCATTACCATGATAGGATCAACAAACTAAAAAAAAAAAAAAAAAGAGAGAGAGAGATGATTAGTGTGCACAGACATTTTTTTTTTTTTAAAAAATAAAAACTTACTTGATTTGCATGGGGTCCTACCACAAAGATAACAGGTCCATCAACAGGTATTCTATAAGATCCTCTTGCTCTTATTTCTCTAAAGAATAAATCAGCTAGTATATTTAATACCCATAATGCTATATTATAGGTTAATTTTTTAGTATCAATGATCATATATAAAAAAAAAGTCAAAGAAAAAAAAAAAAGAAGAAGAGAGAAAAAGAGAAAGAAAAGAATAAAATAATAATAATAATAAAATGGAGGGATATATATATATGTTAATCATGAACCCAACAGGAGGTAGATTATTTGTTGAGAAGGTTGCACAATGTTTTTAGATATATATATATATATACTTTTTCTGACACACTCTTTTTTTTCTCTCTCTCTCTTTTTCTCTTTTTCTTTTTTTTTTTTTTTCTTTCTTTTTTAACATATGGATATTTGTGATATCATATTATAATAATATTGTGCTTTGACCAACTTTACTCCGGTTAATGATAAATGATATGACAATCATTCACATGGATTTACAATCTAACCTTCATTTACCATAATTAGATTTAACGGAGTCAGTATTCGAGAAAAGCCACTCTTTTTTTTTTTTGTCTATAAAAAGGGTTCTTCATCTTCTCATTTTCTTATTTCTCTTTTTTTTCTTTTTTTTCTATCATTATTTAGAAAAGATTTGTTATTTTTGTAAATCATCAATAAACTTAACTATTCTTTTTATATCTTAAATTCTCTTTTTTTTTTTTGTTTACTTTTTTTGTTTTATTTTATTTTGTTTAGAAATACCCTACTTCTATCCTGTGTTCTATTCTTTTTACTATGAATAGTTAACCTTCGGGAAAAGTATGGGAAGATAATCGTGGCGTATATCCTTTTCCTTTCATATTTTGGAACATTATCCTTTTTTGATGATTGTGTTTCAGCTGGGAAAGGATAAGCCTATATACTTTTACTATTAATCGGACAATGAAAATAAAACATTATCATATCAAATTATTATTATTATGATGATGATTGATGATACATTAAAACATACATAGAAATAGGCGAGATAAATGATAAGAGACATGTTTGATACACTTTATTCAATAATAAATGACGAAATTCAAAAATATAAGATATCGTAAAAATTGGAAATAAAATATAGTAAGGATAGAAAATAGATGACAGAAGAAAAAAATAAATAAAAGAATTGTCGCATCCCCATTCAATTTCCAAATTGAATACAAGAAAAGGAGTGGCAGTAGTTCCATTGAGTGATTTGAATAATAGAAAATAAAATATATATATTTAGTCAACATATCCATTTTTTTTTTATATTTATTTTAACTTACCTGCATTAAATACATCCTTATGAAGAAGTGATAACATATAAAAATATGTTGCTGTTATAGGTGGATTATTCACTTTGAATTGGAACACCAAGGGAGATTTCAAAAAAAAAAAAAAAAAAAAAAAGAAGAAGAAAAATAGAAAATGACATTTTTTTATATTTCTCACTTGACCAAGGAATAAAATAGACTCGAGTAAATGATTTTCTTTTTTAAAAAAAAGAACTATTATGCAAATTTACATTCATCAGCTATAGAAATAGTGATCGATCGCATGTCTCAGTTAATGAAAATAAATAAAGAAAACCTGAGTTAATGATTTTTTTTTAAAAAAAAAACTACGTTTTTTGTATTACGTAAATTGCTGCTAAAGCTGCTGATAGGATGAAAAGAATTAACTCATCTGCTGAAATAATTAACATCATCATACATGAACATTACATTTAGTATACTCCTGTCTTAAACGGTGAATATGATGATGATGATACCATATAAAAATATAAAAAATATAGTGCCTTTTTTTTTCCAAATATAGCTATTGAAAAGAGTGATCTCATCTGCTGAGGCAATCACTCTCAATCATCAATCAATATGTTTTGGCATATTCTACTGACATCTCTGAAAAAGTGGTAATGCTATATCCATTTCGGAAATGACCGATATTTTATTTTATAAAAACTTTGAAAACATTGTAAAAAAAAAAAAAAAAAAAGTGTAAAATATTTTATTGTAACCATTGATTATACATTTTCAACAAAGTTTTTTGTCCACTTCCTTTCCCACCTTGACCTTCCCTTTCCAAAGCAAATATAGCATCTACTACTGTCACTTTTCTATCTTGATCGTCCTCATTGGTATCTTCCATAAAGTAGTTTTTGTTGATGTCTGTTCTTGATATTGCTCCACTTGGTTTACTTTTAAGTATCCATGCCTTTTTCCTATCTTGTTGTTCAGATACTCTTGTCGACGTCATAGATGATGAAGGTGATGATGATGAATGTTGTCGTCGATCTAACTGTTCCAGTGCCAACAAAGCTTGTTTCGGATCAGCTTTCACCAAAATTTTGTATAGTGGATATTCCGTAGTATTGTCTGTAGCCTTGATAGTAGGAGGAGGTCGTTGAAAAGGAGATCTTCGTTCAATACGATGCTTGGATGCTTTGACCATATCTTCCATTAATCCTCGGAGTCGATCTTGAGTTGCCAATGATAGATAAGCTACTACATCTGGATCCACATGTCTGATTGCCAATGGCCTAGCTAATTTGTTCACCATCTGTTGTAATAATTGTCCATTCATAAAATCTTGACTTTTTGATCGATCTACACCATCCACTGATAAACCACTTGTACCATCTCCACCATCTTTCATAAAATGTTCCACTTCTTCCTTGAGATCCACACCGGCATATCCCATCACATCTGTAATAGCATCATAATCGATTCGATTATCTCCACCACCTGTTGCACCTGATGATGATGACGATGTTACTGTGCTGGTTGACGTTGTTGGTAATGTTGGTGCTGGTACAGTCATGCTACTTGTCGACACTGATGTTGGTGTTGCTATATTAGGAGTACTAGTGGATTGTTTTCTACATATATATATATATATATATATAAAACGAATCAGTTTCGGTATTGAATGATCAATGTAAATAAAAAAAAATACTTACGATAAGGTTGTACTTCGAGGTATTTGTAATCCTTGAGTAGTAGGCGCGGCTGGTTGTTTAAATTCAGGTGTTGCTACTGTTGTTGTTGACGTAGTACTGGATGAACTTGGAAGAGGCGGAGGTGTGGCAATGGCCATATGGGTATTTGATGTTTTCAGACCACCTTTTGGTATACCTGTCATATGTTCAACTTTTGTTCGTTTTGTTTGAGGTGTACTAAATTTCCATAACAAGAAGAAATAGAAATGGATCAGTTCAATGATTTCATAATTCAATATCTATAGAATCATCATGTAACTTACATTAAACCAGGCATTGACCGTTGAGAGTCTTCTTGACGGATTTGAGAACTTGATATATGACGTTTTCGTTGATCTGCAGTAGTTATTGAAGTGGCTGCTGTTGTTGTTGTTGTTGATGATGTTGATGTTGATGACTGACTGATATCTACTGACGATGATGATGATGATGATGATGAAGTATTCGTTATATGATTGGCTGTTGCTGTTGTGGAAGGTGTTTGACTTTTCAAATTTTCCAACATTTGATATCCTCGTTCATCCAATAGGTATTTGGCTTGTGATAAAAAATGTTCGGCCGTAATAGTATTTTTCTATAAATTCATTTCATCAGCCAAAATATTTCTATGTATATATATATAAAAGAAAGAGATTTTTAAAAAGAATCGTACCTGCAGTTGAACAAAAAGTTGATTGAATTTGCCTTTACGTTCAGGTGGAAGTTGGGCCGTGATCGAATCCAATAATGTCATTGATCCTATATAACAATATAATCAGATTAGTGATGAGTCATTGGAGAATCACTATATATTTTAATATATCATATTACCAGTTGTAGAGGAAGATTGCACTGGGGGTGTTGCTACTCTTTGTGGCGATGGTATAGAGTGATGTACGGCAGATAGATGCTGTTGTGGGTACTGTCGTTCGGATACATTCTGCTGTTGCAGTTGGAGTTGTCTTTGCTGTAAAAGTAATGACTGTTGGCTCAAAAAAGATTGTTGTTGTTTCGATATTCCATAAACTTGGTTATGTTGTTGTTGTTGTTGTACTTGATGAGAAAGCTGTGTATGTGTGTTGTTGTTGTTGGTATTAGCAATAGAAGTGTCAGATGCAGGAGTGACCGTACTAGTAGTAGCAGTTGTAGAAGTACCGTTGCTGCTCAGTGATAGATCTTGACGATTATCCTTCCACATTTCAATAAAATCAGTAGTAGTTTGTCCAGGTTGGAAAACACCCGTTTGTGGTTGTGAACTTAATACGTCGTCTGTATCATTATCGAAAAGGTGCTGTAGTTCGGTTGGCATATTAAATTGAGCAGGAGTAGTGTTTTGATCTTCGTTCCGCATCGTTTGGACAAGAGATTGAAAAGAATTGTCATTAGTAAATAAAGTTGAATCATCAAACAAATTCCGAATGTAGAGATCGTCTACTTGTTGAGTATGCTGTCCTTGAGATGTATCTTTATTCTCATCACCATCTGCCATTGTTGTCTTTTTCGTGTTGAGAAGAAAAAAAAAAAAAAAAAAAAGAGTAAGAGAGAGAAAAAAAGAAAGAAAAAGTCACCTTCTTCATCCCCCAAAATATTTCACACTCGAAAAATTGCCAGGCGGTGTTTCGATATTCTATCCAAAAAAAAAAAAGTCAATGACATTAAAAAAGAAGGCATAAACTGTAATTCAAGTTTTATAATAAATAAAACGTCATATTACTAAACATCTTCACCGTAAACCAATACAGAAGGGACTGATTGGAAAATGAAAGGTATTTATTTATTCGGATCATTTTTTAATTGGAGATGTGAAGTTAAAAAATGAATGATGGAAATCTAGTGATGATGGTATGATGGATGATAAAAGAGATATGGGATTATTTTCTTTTTCGGTTTTCACAGCATTTACCTAATTGATCATACTTATATGCATCCAATTTTTAATAATATAGAGTAGATAGTACCATATTCAAGGTGATGAGGAAATAAGAATAAACTTAACAACAAAAAAAAAACTATTATAATTCAGGGCTTCCAAATTGCCAAAGTCAAAAAGGCAACCATGTATAAGAAAGTAAATTGTAATATTTTCTTTCTCTCTATAATATATTTTGAGTTCTTTGATGATCTAATTCAATCTTATAAAAAAAAAAGAAGAAGATCGATTCAGGTAACAACCTTTTACGTCATTTCCGCTGAACAAACCAAAAAATCAATCAGGCTGGGTATGAATATTGTCTGGGGAGAACCAACCATACACATACAAAAAGTTTTTCTTTTCCTTGTTTCTTTTTTTTTTTTTTTTTTTTTTTTTTTTAATCTCGTTTTTTAGAATATCCTATTTAGTTTGACCTCACTTCAATAGCGTTTATACATATATATATTATTTTCCTTTTTATTAAATCAGCAACAAAAATATTATCAATTGTTTATAATTTGCCAAAATCATAACTTTATAAAACAACAACAACAACAACAACAACAACAGTAACAAACAGCAATTTACATTTTTAGATTCTTCACAACATCTGCCTCATGTCCGAAAACGAAGAGCGTTCTGATCCATCCAAAGACCAACATAACTCGTCCAATGTACTTCGCTATACAAAAGAAATTCTTTTATCACTACATGACAGTCCTTTAGTATGCAAACCAGACAATATGCCTCCTTTATCTTCATGGTTCGGGTAAACAGAACAAAATAAATAGAAAAAAAAAGTAATACCATTGTCTTTATGTAGACTCAAACGTTTAAGACCATATCAACTAACTTTTTATTCTTAAAATTGTGAATATAGTGAAGAAGCTGGATCTCCTGCCGTTTCCAAAAACATGTTGAATAGTAGCGTTGTATCGCGGTCTACAGGTATATATTATTATCATTATATTATTATTATCATTATTATTATTATTACTTGTAAGAAATGAATATAACAAAGTATCTAAACTTTTATATTTTCAATTTATTAGATAAAAGTATCATACTTGGTCCTCCAAAAACCAATTTTGCTTCTTCCTTATATGGAGGACTGAAACGTACAACGGATACTAATGGTAGCACGAATTCAACATCCTCAAAACTGTCATCTTCTCCTTCTCGTTCTCGACACGTAAAGCATATACAAACCTTCTTTTACTGCTCACGCATAACTCACTATTTCTGTTTTTATATATTCTTTACAATATAGTCGGAGGATTCTATACGTCAAAACAACAACGGTATGAATAATAGTAACAATAGCAACAATCGAATGTCTAGGGGTCCAGCATACGTAGGCGAAAAAGGATTCCATCACCACCACCATCATCATCATCATAACAATAACCATCACAACAGACAAGATAAATCCGGTTTAGAACGACGATCATCTAATTCTTTTGGCAATCAATCATTACACAACAAACGATATCATCATCAAGATCATCATGGAGAACGCTCAGTAATCAATTCCAGTAGTCGTAGAGACTGTAAGTTTTAAATTGATTATCTTTTCTATATGCATAAGCTGAATCAAAATTCATATATCATCTTTCCTTTTTATAGTTAACCGCGATCAACGCACTGGTCATCGAGCCAACCAATCGAATCACATGGATATGAATGAACGTGGTCAAGAACGGATCCCTGAATGGATGGATTATAGTCCTGATGCCAAAAAGCCAACTGTGGATGATAAAGTGAATGATCATGGAGAATTTGCAAACGATTTGGAAGCATGGAAATCAAGTATGAAGAAGAAGGAAGAATTATCAAATATTGCAGAAAAACCATCACAATCCGAGACTAGTCAAGGTATTTTTCCTTCTTTTTTTTTTAAAAAAAAAAAAAGATGTGAATAATATATATATATATGTATGCTAATCAAAAATGAACTTCATTTTTTTTTTTGTTATTATTATCTTTAATGACAGAATTGCCCCCATCTACTCCAGAACAAATCAACGATAAACAAGCAGATGATGTTATGGACAAAATATTGGGTTTGGGATCGATGGAATTGAGCTCAACCACTTCAGCTTTAGATAAACTTTCTTCTCCAATGTCATCTTTCTTCGATACATCCTCTTCGCCTTCAGCTGATGCGCCAACAAAACGTGGATCTCGATTTGCCAAATTCTTTGCTAAACGGGAAGAGACTGCTCAAGGATCATCATCAAGTCCTCTAGTATCTTCTACTTCCTCTTCTGGAATTACAACTGACACCCAACCTAAATCTATCAGTGTGAACGAATTGTTTCAGAAACCCGTTAGTGGTCCATCTCTACAATCCAATTTGAGACCAGAAACTAGTAGTAACGACAGCACGGATCCATCTCATCATCAAGAAAATACTACCAACGTTCGTATGCTCTCTGAAGAAGATGTCCTTCAATCTCTTGGTGCAAAGAAAACTACCATGTCAAATTCAGAACAATCTCCCCCCGGTGCCAATGCCATCGGATTCAACAAGGTGTTACAAATCCTGTCTCAACCAAAAGTAAGACGAAAAGAAAACAAAGAATTTTGCAGCTTATCATCCATTATTTTATTAAATGACTTTTTTTTTTTTATTACCTTTACATTCTTCTAGCCTACCGTGCCCTTGTCAAATTCTGATACAAAAAGCATTTCTTCGCCAAAGGCAACGAAGAATCAAGTTCAAGAAAATAAAATTGATTCTACTGGATTACCTATAGAGTTAGCTGGGACAACTGTCAATCACTCACCTAATGTCAGCAAGCAATCACCTTTGAAAAACGATATGCCAGGATCACCTTCAATATCAGGTGGACAATCAACTACTCCTGTCAAACCCAAGGTAGTCAGTAATCTTTTCGGTAGCAATCTTCCAACCTCAGTTTTACGACAAATGAGTGCACGATCTGAAGGGCGATCACCATCTCTATCATCTAATAAATCTGGTCACTCTGGACGGTTCAGTCATACGACAAGTGACTCACAAAATGGGTCACCTTTGATTGGAAATGCATCACCATCTTCTATGACAACTTCACAACAATATCATCAACAACAACAACAACAGCAACCTCAATCTCCATCCAATTATGGTTTCAATGGTTATGCAGTTCGCACAACAACTACAAATACACAAATAAACACTGGAACACAGCAACAGCGTGATATCAACAACGAAGGAACAACCAGGATAAATGAAATGATGATGATGAACTCTCAAGTACCTAGAAATCAAACGAACGGATATGATATGATGACACATCAACTGTATGGAAATGGCGACAATACAGGTATGCCACCTCTTCGACCTATGCCACCAAATCTTCCTCATCAAACTGCACCAAATATGAATGGGCCTATGACTCGAATGTTGAATCCTCATTTTGTGCAACAACAACAACAACAGCAGCAACAACAGCAATCACAGCAACAACCACTTGGATCAAATATAGACCAATCATTTATGCCTCCTCATCCACTACCTCCACCTATGATGGGTATTCCTGGTGGTCATCCTATGATGTCTCCTCATTTACCTATGCGTATGCAAGGTCAAACTGCAAATGTGGTACCACCTCCACCATTCATGCAACCACCTATGCCAGGAATGCCTCCCCCACCAATGGGTATGCCACAACAAATGTATCCAAACAAGAACCATGGTTGGACTCCTCAATGAATACAAAAAAAAAATGAAGAATCAAGTCCCTAGTTTAGATCTTATTTGTTATATTTAGCCTAGTTTGAAATTATCTTGTTTCTCCCCGTCTTGATCACCATCTATTTATTAAATTTGATAATAAAATTGGATGATTTTTTTTTAAAAAAAAAAGTTGTCATAGTTTATAAAAATATTGAAGTATGAATTTTATACAAGTAATAAACTGAATCTATAGTAATTTCTAAGATAATGGCGTAGGTAAAGGTTTGAATGCAACTGTACAGATCTTGGAACCAGTATGACCACCAAATGAGAAAGTTGGATACTTGACGTGGGAACTATATTGGAAAACTAAAAAAAAAAAAAAAAAAAAAAAAAAAAAAAAAAAAAAAAAAAAAAAAAAAAAGGTAATACAATTCAATCAGCTTTTTTTTATTGTTATGTAACATGATAAAAATATACTTACAATTTTTAAAATGATCTATCAATTCATCCATTGTCCAATTACAGCTGGTGATCAACAAAAAACCGTTATCTTTGTCCATCAAATGATACACAGAGCTGACATAAGCTTCCCTGGGACCATCAACACCGTTGGCTTTGGCAGATGTTTGATCAGGATGTAGAGATATAGCATCGAAAGTTCCTTTGTCTAACACCAATTGATATGATTCTTGTTTTTTCTTCTTGATTTCCCATGCTTCGTCTCCTTCATCATTCAAAAAATCCACTGTATGATAGTCAATAACTGTAGAACCAAGATCGTGTTCTTTGGCAACTGATGCTGCTAGTGTGATGGCTGAAGGTGAGTAATCGATCCCAGTTAGTTGTGTAAATCCTTCGTCAGCTAGAGCCAGTAACAAGTGACCATTACCACAACCTAGATCCAATACGTTTGTCTGTTTATTGTCAATATGATCCACTACCCAATCTACCATACGTTCCACACTGTCTTCTCCAAACCAAACTTCACCAATATCACCTATTTCTTTAAAGTTGGTGTTTTCACGATCATAAACTGTATCCCAACTAATAATAATAATAATAATAATAAAGTGAATAGAATAGTTATATAATAGTGATATTGCTTACTATGCTTTTGTGCCTAAAGCTGAAGCTTCAAAATCTTGAGGATCAGGTCTTTCCATATCAAATATAGAATATGAAGAAAAAAAAAAAACAGTGAGACAAAAAGAGAACCAAAAAAAACTGAATTTGAAATAACAAGAACTGCAAAAAAAAGGGTTGAATTTTTTTTTTCTTTTTTTCCACACATAGAAAGAATACACAGATAGTTATGAGTTATATGCTTAATCGGGGTAGTAAGAACCTGCGATGTTTCGGTTGTAAGTATCCAAAAAAAAAAAAAAAAAAAGATTTTAATTATCATATTTCTCATTTCTATTCTTTTTTTGTATATTCTCTTTTTAGTACATAACGCAAATCACCTTTTTTTTTTCCACCTGTAAACCATATTATTCAATTACGCAAATTATTTATTCTTATTAAAAACAAAAAAACACAGTAATAAGTATGGTACCTGATACATTCATTTTATATATATTTTAATCATATATTAAGTGTAAACCATGTGGAAGATATATAATAGAACTCAGCCTTTTCTATATATATAAATAAAATCAAAGACTCAATTTATTGGCTGAACATGAAATGTGGGACTCGATTTTACACAGTTTTATTTTTATTTTTATTTTTTTCTGGCAATTACCATACTTTTTTTCTTTTTCTCCTTTTTTTTTTTTTTTTTTTCCTTTCACTCTTAACGTTTTTCAACTGGTGATTTATTCTCCCTCTTTTTTTTTTTTTTTTTTTATTTATTCTCACTTACTTACTTCATGATAAAGGAATCCCCCACTATCACCATTAAAAAGGATCCTGAGGTTCTTCAAGAGGAACAAGAAGATCTTATTTTATCATATTTGAATACTGATTATGTTTCAACGGAAACTACAACAGACGACCCACCTTCACCTCCTTATTCTACTTCTTCAGCTTCAACAGATGCCGCGCCTTCTTCTACAGATATGGACTATACACCTGAACAAACTTCTTCTCTTTATTTACAGGATCCTTTTCTTCTTCATTTACAAACTGCACTCAATGAACAAGGTTTACCACTACCTTGGCCTTCTTCCACTGCCGCTCTTCCCACCGCCCCTTCTCCTTTTGGTGTACAAGATCCTTCCTGCCTAATGAATATTCACCCCTTATTTATTCCAACCACAAACACAACAACACCCCTGCAACCCCTATATCATCCTTCCTTTCTTCAGCCTCAACAAAACGATATAGATCAGTCAAAACAGCCTTTATCACCAAGATCTTCATGTTCATCTACTACTTCCGATACTGAACAATCCAAAAAGAAACGTGGGGGTAGAAAGAAACGAGAAGTATCTATCGTTCCTGCTCCAGTGAAACAGTTGACTCGAATTTTACCTGCTACCGCCAATACCAATAATTCAACAACAACCACTCCAGCAACTACACCTCCGGCAACCACTCCACCACCACCACAAGAAGATGGTCATCACGTGGTCAAATCAGAATCATCTGTCACAACCTCATTGGATCAAATACCTTCACCACCCCATCATACATATCAACGGGCCTCCATTTCATCCACCACTTCAAACAATAGTACTCAATCACCGTCCAATACTACAACTGAAAAGACACCAGCTGAAATTGCTTATGCAAAACGCCAAGAACGTTTAATCAAGAACCGTGCTGCTGCCTTACTATCCAGAAAAAGGAAAAGAGAGCATCTCACTACATTGGAAGAAGAACGACAACAATTGATGACCGAAAATGAAGGCTTAAAATCAAAAGTTTCTACTTTGGAACAACGTGTGGTATCTCTGGAACAGGAAAATATGGAACTGAAACGAAAATTATCTGGTCCTCCTACTATTTCTTTAAACAAACAACAACAACATCATCATCATCATCATTCTCTAGCTACACCTAAACATGCAAAAACAACTGGAATGGTATTTATGGTAAAGCCCCCCCCCCCAAAAAAAAAAAGTAGAAAAGACATGACACACTCATTTTTTTTTTTTTTTTTTTAGATCATACTATTCTCATTTGCTCTATTCACATTGCCTTCATCACATTCTTCGGACCAATTGACAGTGGGTGGAGGAGGAGGCGCGGGTAAACCACATATGCCCTTAATTGGATCAAGTCCTTCAAGGTAAAGGAAATAAAAGCCAAAATAGGAAGGCCGGAGTTCTGATACATTTTTTTTTTTATTTATTATTATTGTCTTCATTAGTGTTCCCGAAATCAGATTAGATACGGTTGATCATAGTACAACAACAGAATCTACTACCACAACAACTAACTCAACGATAGTAACCACTGATTTAATGTTGATGAATCATGTACAACCTGGACAATTACAATCTTGGATCAAAGAACAATTGACTTCACAAAAACAAGAACATCCAGTTCATCAAGAAACTGGACTTGTACAATGGCGGGATTCTTCTTCTTCTTCAGGTCATCTTTATTTATATGCTCAGGAACTATCACAAGTGAAACCAATACAAACTGATCCATTGACAGCCACCACCACTTTTGAACCAACTTTATCTATTCTTTGTCCTCTTAATACTTCCTCAGCTTGTGAACGACCATCGTATCTTCAAATTGATGTCAAGGTGCTGGGCTCACGGATTTTGGATGGCGAACTGAAACAGATGAACATAGAAACAACCACCGACAGACACAACAAGAATGATTCAATGATGTTCGATGTCAAGGGTATGGACAAGCAACAACTTTTCGATCATGATGACGAACGGAGATCACTTCGAAGGAAGAAAATGATGGATGATAAAAGGAAACGATTCTCTAGAGTAGTTTTAGATGATAGTATATAGTATTTTATTTTATTTTGTTTTTGTTTTTGTTTTGATAGTTTTTATTATTCTCTCCCCTCAAAGTGTTATTATATCATGAAATAAAAAAAAAAATAACGGGTTATTTTTTTTTTTTTTTTTTTTTTGATTGGAGCATGGGTTATGGGAGTGATTATCTCCTGGGTATAGGATTTTTTTTTTATGCAGAACAAATTTTCTAAAGGTTTCTTCTTTTTTTAGTCTGGGAATGTCTCAAAAAAGAACAAATCAATGCAGCTCTCTTTTCAAGTCACAATATAAAAAAAAAGTATAAAAAAGCATCCATCCTTTAATATAAAATGTACAATAACGAAATTGATTTTAAAGAAATTGAATTGAAAAATGCGTCGTGATACTCAAGAAAAAATTGGTAAGGAAGAAAGAAAAAAATATAGGTTGATTAATAAAAATTAAACTCACTCTTACTAAAAAAAAAAAAAAAAATGATTTAGCTCAAATGCATGAACAATTGGTTCATATAGCTCAAAGATGTTCACAAACTGCCCATTCTGATTATACGGCTGATGATATTCGTAAATTACAAAATAAGTTAAGTCATATCGATCAAAAGTATCAGGAAGGTATACTTCATGCCCAGTCGCAACAAAACATCTCGGAGGATCCATATGAAATTCCTGGAGAAGCACAAATCGCTAATGAATTGAACATCGTTCATGATGCTATCACTTCCATGCTACAGAACATAGAACAACAATGAATAGTAATGTGATGAAATTGTAAATAAAATATAAAAAAAAAAGCATATGATTCGTTTTTACCAAACATATCAATGGTTATGTTGCAAATGACTGAAACATCATTATCACCCCTTTCATTTCCAAAATTCAACCAATCATTCATCCCTCCATTTTTTTTTTATTTTAAAAAAAAATGTTTGTATTCATTGATGCCGAACAAAAAAAAAAAAAAAAAAAAAAATACAAATTCTACTAACTATTGTACTGGGGAAAGGCAGCAAAAGAAACGATGTGATTGAATAAAGAGAAATAATCATGAAGGACTATAATACTACTAAAGATGTGATGATGATAATAATGAGAGAGTATTTATTTATTTCTTGGCAGCAGGGGCAGGTTTGACGTAAGGAATAAAGGTACGACCATCCATGTAAGGCACCAAAGGAGGAGGAATTTCCAAACCATCTTCTCGTTGCCATGTTTCCAATAAACCACAAATAGCACGTTCAGTAGCACACAATGTAGAATTCAAGCAATGGACATATTTCTTTTCACGATCAGACATCTTCTTAACACCACAGCGAATTTCAAGATTACGAGATTGATAATCAGTACAGTTAGAGCAAGAAACCAATTCCTTGTATTCACCTTGATATGGGAACCAAGCTTCCAAATCATATTTTTTGGCAGCAGCGTTGTTGAGAGCACCAGATACAATAGACACAACACGATAAGAAAGACCCAACGATTTGAAAAATTCTTCAGAGACACCAATCATTTCATAAAACATATCCCAAGATTTTTCAGGATCTGTCAAAACAAATTGTTCAATCTTTTCAAATTGATGTACACGGAAAATACCCCAGGTATCTTTGCCATGAGCACCAGCTTCTTTTCGGAAACAAGTAGAGTAACCAGCATATTTGAGAGGGAGTTGTTCAGAAGGTTTTTCGAACCATTCATTAGCATGGAAAGCAGAGATAGGTTGTTCAGAAGTAGCAATCAAATACTTGTCATCACCTTCACCAGTCACCTTGTAAAGAGCTTCATCAAATTCTGACAATTGAGCAGTCTTGGCCATCATTTCCTTGCGCATAAAGAAAGGTGTCATTAGTTTCTTGTAACCACGTTTACCAAGGAACGCTAATCCATAGTTGATCATGGCCAAATTCAATTCAACACCAACACCCGTCAAAAAGAAACCACGATGTCCTGCCACATTGGCCCCACGTTCTTGATCATAACCATCCAATCGAGTCAATACTTCATGATGAGACAAGATATCCGTTCTCTTGACAGGTTCAACGTCATTATGATTGTAAGTCTTGATCACTTCATTGTTGTCCTAAAAAAAAAAAGGAATAATTAGATATATAATAATTATTATTATTTCAGACTATTCTTACTTACTTCATTCATAGAGGTAGGGACGGAAGCATGTACCATGTTACCCAAAGTAGAGAGTTTGGCTTTCCAAATAGCTTCTTCTTCTTTGGCTTGAACAAGTAAAGCGTCCTTTTCCTTTTGAAGTTCACCTTTCTTTTGAATGAGTTCAGAAGCATCTTCCTTAGCCTTATACTTCTTGCCGATATCCTTTTGTACTGCATTGATTTCCTTGTTTTTTTGGTCACTATTGAATTGTATCTTGACCCATTGTTTATAGATGGAAATGATCTCATCTACAATTTCAACAGAGGCACCACGTCGTCGTTGAGATTCCTTGACAGCTTCAGGATTGCCACCACGATCTTCTAATAATAAATTGATATCAAGCATAGTAAATATTATATATATATATATGTGTGTATATAAAATAAGGAAAAATAAAGAAAAAAAGAAAAAAAAGGGGAAGGAAGAGAAAAAAAAACAAAAAGGAAAAAAAAAAAAAAACTTTTATCAGCCGCTCCCAAGGTCACGAAGTTCATCCCCTTCTTACTGCGGAAATCGAATCAATTTGACTCATGTTGGTGATTATCACAAAATAAGAATAATCATCAAATTTTTATTGTAGATAAAAAAAAAAAGTACAAAAATAGTGTATATGTGTAGAATGTATGTATATATATATAAAAATAAAATAAAAATAAAAATCTATCTAAAATCGACGTTTAGCGGCTCTTCTAGCACTAGCAGCAGCTAATTGACGTTCTCGAAGTACACGATCTTTTTCCTTCTTTTCGTATAACTTTTGTTGATCTCTGAAATTTTCCATAAATCCTTTCGAATCCTTTTGTAATTCCTTGGCAGGTTTGATGAGTTGAGGGATATTCAAAGCACTACGAATTGAAGGATTCTTCAAAGCCAAGATTTGTCCAATAGAGAAAATATTTGATGTGATCCAATAAACAAATACACCCTATATATATATATATATATTAGCTCCCATTATTTATTCTATTCCTTTTTTTTTTTTTTAATACTTACGCTAGGCATCCAGGCAGTGAAAGGTACAGTCAATACAGTAATACCACGCATAAAATTCTTCATTCCTTTTGATTGAGGAGTAGCAGAACCAGCTTCAGTACCAGCTTCTAAAACAGCCAACATACCAGTAGCACTGATTACAGGTAAGATATAATAAGGATCAGGAAGTGCCAAGTTGGAGAACCAAGATAAACCACCTTCAGTCATACCAGGTACAGGAAGTTCAGCCATTGCACGAAGAGCCATAAAGAAAGAAATCATCACAGGCATTTGAATCAAAGGTAATCCCAAAGATTTCATAGGATGACATTGATTCTTCTTGAAAAGATCACTGATTTCATGAGAGTATTTCCCTGTAGCCACAGCATCCCCATCAGCTTGTGCAGTCTTGAGATTATTCATAATTCTAGTGACTTCAGGGTTGATATTCATCAAACGAGCATTGTTGCGTTGTAACTTGACAATCAAAGGTAAAAGAGCAGTACGAACAACCAATGTAGCTACTGCAATCGATCCCCACCATGGTAATCCCATCGTTACATGTACAGCTTCCAACATAGCTTCCAAACCACCCACTGGCGTAAAGTTACAAAGTCCCATACTCTTGAAATCTCCAATTTGAGCTGCTGCTCCTACAATGGCATCGGCTGTAGGTGTTTGTGATAAAGTATCCAGTACAGTGGTATCTTGTACGGCAGGAGGAGCAGTGTGGTTCATCGTCGTAAGATCTTGAGTCGTTGTGGTCGTTTTATCATCCTCGGATCCGCTGGTTGTATAATGACGCATGTTGTATTGATGTAAAAAGATAGATCCTGTTGATCGTTGGGTTGTCTTTAATAAAAGATTGGAGGTAGAAATAACCATAGATCGATTAGAAACAGGGAGGCCAGACTATAATAAAGTAAAGAAGAATAAATTTAGACTATTTTTTTTTTATTTATTCTTTTTCATGGGATAACAATAGAGTTCCTCTTTTTTTTTTTTTTTTCTTACCAAGCGTGAAGCATTTTTTAATGAGGGCAAGGTACTATTGAAAGGTAAGGAAAAAGCTTAAGTTAGTATATAAAAGCATATATATTGCAACTTTTTTTCGATATTGATGTTTTCAAACAGTTTAAACTCTATACTTACGCCTTCGTCACTAAACGTCCATAGGCACCAAGCATAGTCAAATATATATTAAGAGAAAAGAAAAATAAAAAGAAATAAAAAAAAAATCAACAATAAAAATTGTCCATAAATTCCCTTTTAAAAAAAAAGAAAAAGAGAGCATTTACACTCCGCATTGGCTCATTGACAGGCTTCAACCACCCCTTGAAAGAAAAAAGCCACAAAGAAAAAGATCACCACTCCTTTTTATGGAAATGTCAAAATCACATTCCGATTTTTTCTTTTTTCTTCTTTTTATTATAATAATGAACTTTTATAAACTACGTTTTTCATTCTTACAAACCGTCTCTAAAACAAAACGTATTCATATCGCACAATCAGTTCGCCATGCTCATGTAGTTGGTTTACCACCATCTTTATTTTTTACCCGTAGTGAACAAGGTATCTGAAGAAGAATATAGATTCTTCTTTGCTTAACTCACTTTCTGTTTCTGTGGTTCCTTTTTATCTATTAGACCGTATCCGTGATATTGCCAAACAAGCCAATCGATTCAAAATTGACTATGAACTCAAATATGCTGACAAGATTAGACAAAAGGCTAAAAGGTATATATAAACAAAAAAAAAAAAAAAAGGATACTACATTTAGGAATGAACTTTGAAGTTTTATCTGTATGATAGAAAGGGCATTTCAGTACAACAATTAAAACAACAAGCAAAACAAACGACGAAACAACATCAACAACCAATATCAATACCAAAGCAAACACCTTCAAGCACGTCCTCAGTATATACTTCAAATTCAACCACCTCAGTTCCTGTAAGAAAAGATAATTATATTAAAATAGTACTTTTTTCACTAAGAGTTGGTTTTTTTTTTTATGGAAAGAGACTGAATGATATTGTGAAACTAGATATATTTGGGAAAGTATCAAAAGAGAATATCATCAAACTATGGCACGAATATCACAAGGATAAGAAAAATACCATCAATGCAGTGATTCCATCATCTATTTATCAAACGATACATGAACGCAGACAACGCTATCCTATGTTTATTTTTCCATTACCGCGCGACAATGGCCTGGAATTTTATCTACTTCAATTTCATGATCGACAATGTTACTTCACTTCATTGGCAGAATACAAACTCAAGCAAGATCAAGCAAGACCGTTTCTATCGCTGACACATTATGATGAACTTGAAGATACCAAAGAAATTGTTTTGATGCATGGTCATATTCACCAACCCAAGATCGTTGATGTGCAAGACGCTCAATTCCTGGCTTTTTGTGTCCAACATTTTTATGGTGATCATCACAATAATCAACAGTTATTTAAATTAGTAAGGCAATTTCATGAACATCCGGATGATTTTGATTACCTTGCCTTGATCGCTGCCATGGAAAAACTGACCTATTAGATTAGTAGTTTTTATTTTATTACTTATTGTTTATTTTCTTCTCAATAAAGAAAAAAAAAAGAAATATCAGCACAAACAATATATTTCATTGATTAAGAAATCATCCCTTTTATTTTGTACGCATCTATCAAATTACTTTTTGATACTAATTATCTTAGTAAATCTTAAAGAAATAGTCATCCTAATTTTTTTATCTTAATATTTTTATTTTTCAAGCAATCATCCAGTTTGTTAGTCAAGTTTAACATTATACTTTCGATCATCATCAAGAGTGATCATATTGATGACATCCATTTCCATTTCTGAATTATATATTTGAAGATATTCTCTTTTTTTTTTAATATCTAACTGGAACTTATCCTGACTCTTATTTAATCATCATCGATATTATTATTTTAGTAATATCATCAAGCCTTTTACAAATCATCATCATGTTAAAAAAAAAAAAAAAAAAAAAAAAAAAAACCATCTCTACTTAACTATATTGCAGATCAATCATTTTGATTGGTCCAACCCCTTTTTTTGAAGTCAGACTAAGAACTTTTATTTTCTTACTTTACCAAATAATTGACCTTTTATTTTTACTACTTTACTTTTCTTTTTCATTTTATCTCTTTTCTTATACATGTGCTTGCGTAATCAAGTACCGGTGCTCACTATAAACCTTTTAAACAATCAAACATCCCATTTATTTTTTTTTTATTTTGCACCTAACAACCAAAAAAAAAAAAAAAAGAAATCCACTTAACACTAAACCAAAAAATTTCCCAATAACACATATCTTTTAACCATGGTAAAGTTTTACCCGATGATAAAATTAAAAAAAGCAAAAAGAGATGGTAACTGGGTGATTCGAACACCCGCCTCTTACGAGACCGCAACTTGAGTGCGGCGCCTTAGACCAACTCGGCCAAATTACCTAATACGAAACTCGAATTGATTTGTTCTATAAGAATCAAATCGACGGAATTTCAAAATAAAAAACTCATTTTTCTCAATAACTGTCTTTATAACTAGAAAAATGTATTAACAAAAAAGATAGATAAAAAAATAAACTATATTTTTTATTAAGAGGGTAAAAGTGAAAAATCATTTTCTGGCGAACTGGAGCAAATTTTAGTGATTTACATCAAAGAATGACAACATTGGATTGGTGGATAAATTGTCACTCCGTAACTTGAAAAATTAGGGAGGTTCCTTTTTTTTTTTTTTTTTTTTTTTTTTTTTTTTTTTTTTTTTTTTTTTACTGCTTTTACTACTTTCAGATTTTAATCCGCATTTTCTACTTTTACAATAATTTCCCAATTGAAAAATATATCATTATTTTGAATAGGTAAGAATAGTAGCTGTCAGTAAAGTAAAGATGGACTCATGTTTTTTTTTTTTTTTAAATAGAAAGTTAGATGTTTTGTTGTGTGACAATATGATATAGTGGGTGATTCTGATGATATATTTCAAAGATCTTTTATGAATGGAAATATACGACGTACTATAACAGTAGATTGACTGAAAATGACAGCAACGATATATTATATAATTTATCGACAGTATCAACAATAGGATGTTACAAATTTATTACTATAGTTGATCGTCTATTGTGGATACTATATTGGGAACATCATATTTTGGAATTAAGCTTGGAATTAGTCAAGAAACGATGTATATGAATTGAGCCACTGATGAATGCGAATAACCCTTGATATTATTGTTGGATATTATTGATTTTGAACAAGATGAATTGGGTATGTAAGAATAGTATGTTCATATAGACTGGTCGTTAATTGATTATTTTCTATTTTTAATTTTATCTTTCTAGTTTTAAAAAACGAATTAGATCAAAGATTGATATAGGAAATACAAGTATATGGATTTATAGATTTATAATAATAAACAATGAACCATTTTTTATATTATTTATTATTAATTGTTGTTATATCATCCATTTTTAAAAAGATCAAAAAAAAAGTATGCATAAAAAAAGGAAATTCATTGGATGATAAGTTTTTATAACAAAATGGTTTTCAATATTTATTTGATATTGTTATACAAAGTAAGTAAAAAAAAAAAAAAAAAAGGGTTAAAGAAGAAGATATCGAATTTATATGAGTTTCACCTAAGAATGCTCACAGTTTCATCTATTCGGGACGTCATATATAAAATGAGTAGCTTCTTCTTTTGGTTACACAGCTAGGTTTTTTTTATTTTTTTATTTGTGTGTGCCAGTATATATATATATATATATTTTTTCTAATCAATTTTTTTTTTCTACTTCCCTCCGCCTTATTCTTTTCTTTTCTTTTCCTTTTTTTTTTTTTTTTCTTCTTTTTCTTTATTTTTTTATTTTTGGTATAAATTTGTATTAAATCTCTTTCCTGATGACAACAGAAACTCATTTACATGAAGAACCATATGAAGATGATGCTTTTGCTGCAAGTTTATCACTTGAAGAAGAACTTTTAGGAAAAGGTTATGCCATGGCTGCTCCTTTGGGTTCATCACTTGCTGCTGAACTTCATTCTGCTACCAATCCTCCTTTGGAACCATTATCTCCTACACCAAGTAATAGTAAACTTGCTAGTTTAGCTATGGATCGTAGTCTTTCAAGTCCACTTCGACGTGCAAATGATTCTACTTCTCAGATGGACTTATTCAACAGCAACAACAACAACAATAATAATAATATATTTTTAGGTTCAACTAGTACTAACCGTATAACCAACAATACTATTCCAACGGAAAACGACGTACACAATGACAATACAGAAACTAACATTGACCAAAGCAACAATAGTACAAGTAGCAATAGTAGTACAAGTAGTAAACACAATGACAATACATTACAAAGTTCTGGTCATATCAATAATGGTGTATCAATGGATATTTATACTCAAGAAAATTTCTCTGATCAAACAAGTCCTGTTATGTCTCCTTTACAATGGTCTACCTTTGGTCGTAGTCGACGTAGTTCTTTCTCTTCTACTTGGTCATCTTTGGAACCTGAAGTGGATGATGATCCTTTTGAAGTATTGAAACGACAATTAGAAGAATTGAATTCTGTAGTATGGGAAACCAAAACTTTACATAAACGACTTAGTCATACCTTGGCATCAGCAGATGAACGATCTATATTATCATCTTCTTATTTACAACAACAACAACAACAACGAGATGGTGGAAAAAAGACATCATTGATGGATGGAGGAAAACCGTTGGAATTGATCATGACATCTGTAGCTACTTTGGTGGAAAGCAAATCACGCGATCGGGAACGTCAAACTAATTCTTTACGCAATTTGGAAAGTGCTCTTCGTAAGGAAGCTAATTGGATGCCTTTGGATGCTTTACGTGAATTAGAACATTTGGTAGGCCAGATGAAAGTGACTCTCTATGACAAGGCTTATCTTTATGAAAATCCTTTACCACTTTTACGACATTTGACAATGGAAACCTCTGGTATGACCGATACATTGGAAGAACTCAAAGAACTAATGTATGTGAACAAACGACAAGTGACTGAACTGAATCAACGCTTACGATCTATTGCCAAAACTGTCCATGAAGTACGAAAAGATATCCGACGAATAAACAAGTATTTGGAGGAAAAGGATGATGATGATGCGTTGGTACTCGAAAAAGGTGAAGTGCAAGAAAGAGTCAAGGAAATCATGTGGGGTCTGGACGATTTGGATGTCTCATCAAGTAGAAAAATCAAACAAATGCAACTCTTTTGGGAAGAACAAATTATCGCCTCGGTTGCCTCTTGAATTCACTCATTTATATAGTATATCCGTCTTTTTTTTTTTTTTTTTTTTTTGTTATCATTATTATTATTTACCTTTTATTTCTTTTTGACATTTATATACATTCTTGGATCGATTGATTCATACACTTATACACTTGATGATTTCTCTCTCTCTCTCTCTATATATATATATATAGTATTTATGCACATCTTTTTATAGTCTATAGTATTTCTTTTTATTTATAAACGATGTCTTTACCTATTGAAAATAAACAAAAACCTACATTATACAGTCTCTATTCAATGGTATTTATTTACAACTCCAAAAAAGGGTATGTAAAAGTTCCAGGATATCCGTTGTTATGCAGAAAAAAAAAAAAAATAGGCTCTGTTTCAGGCACACACGTCATATTTGATGAACGTATACATAGGATGATCTATATGTACTCTCTCTCTATATATATATATTTATGTTGAGCAAGCGAATGGTCAGTTTAATGATATCAAATGTCATCATTTTTTTTTTTTTTTTTTTTTTTTTTGCATTGACTCCTAACGATTTTATAAGGATGTAGCTGTATCCATTCATCATATCATTATCACATATTACCATCATCACTATATTATTTTATCATCACATATCATCAAACCGTCAAATCATGATTCATCAAATTTAGAGAGCTTTATATAGCCCATCGAAATTCCATACAAGCATGATTCACATCAATAGATAAAGGTAAGAGGAACGCTCTTTGGAATGTAATCTTGAAATACTGGTATTTAAATTGCGTCTTTTTCAAATAGTCGTCATATTTCCACAATACTTCTAATCAAGCAATCATCGCCGATCTCATGAGATGGATTTTTTTTTTTAAAAAAAAAAGAATAATAATAATAATAATAATGATTATCCCCAGAAAGGAGGTAGTTACACAGAAAATAAAAAAAGGGGGAACCAATAACATACCGCAAACTATAAGACAATGATGTTCAGTCTCAGACACATTGGGTAGCTCGTTCCTGAATGGTTAGAAGCAAAAGAATAATCACTAGTCATAGAATATGTGAAGGAAAAAAATAAAAAATAAAAAATAAAAAGGATAAAAGGGCCTATCTTCTTTTTTTTACTTAAATATATATATATATATATTACAATTTAACTTGACCACGTGTGAAAAGTAAATGAATCGTTACCAGCAAATATGTTTATTTACTTTTTTTCGTTTTTGTTCCATCTTGATAAACAACTTTTTATCATTCATGATTTTGTATCTTTGTTTCCTAACATGACGACAATCAAATGAATAAGAGATGAAAAAAGATGCTAATTATACAAATATGTAATTGAATACAAAAAAAAAAAAAAAAAGTAATAACAATATCTAAATCCTCCAAGTTTATTTTCCTTAACTATCATATAAACAGAAGAATAAAGAATAATAACAATAATAATAATGATAATAATAGTATAAGCAATAAAAATAAAAAAAAAAATCCTAATCTAATATATACTAACTAATATCCATCACACATTCCAGTTTGAGTAACAGGTAAGCAACCTTCTAAACCAATATATTGAATCGCATGACCTTGCTGTTGGCGCAACCTTCGGATGAGCTGTTCCGTTAAACAAGTCCAATGGGAAAAATCCACTGCTTTCAATCGAGGTAGATGCTTCATCATCAATTCCACTGTATGTTGAGAAACTTCATCTGTGTCATGTTGTATTGGTAAAGGTTCTTGATGATGTCGAACACTGTTGATGGTATAACTGCTGTTGTTATGGTTATATTGCCAAATAGGCTGACTAAGATGACGAGACCTGTGAACGCGTTGTTGTTGTTGTTGTTGTTGAGGAGTTGATTCTGAGGTTGGTTCCGTTGGGTTCACATTGTACTGTCGAAGCATATCAAGAAGAGAATCCAAAGCATTTGGTTTGGTATATGTAGAAGTAGATCGTGATAACTGCCGTTGTTGAAGAAGAGAAGCAGAAAGAGAGCTTGAAAATGGTTTTGGTCCTGATGATGATGATGATATTGATGGTGACGATGATAAGGATAATGTTGAGGATACTGATGATATTGATGATACTGATGATGCTGATGACGATGAAGAAGATGATCGACTATGTGTATTGATTTTCTTTGTTCTGTAATTGCTAGAGGAAGATGTAGAAGAAAATGGCATAACCCATGGTTCTTGCTGTTGTTCATCTCGTATACGTTGTTGTAATTGGCAGACTAATTGCGATTTGTTTCTACCTACATAAAGTTGTTCCAGGCGAGGACAATGTTGAACTAATACCTTGATATCAGAGTGCAGAATTGAGCATATCCTAGTAGCATCCACACCTAATAATCGAGGACCACATAATATTGCTAGATCTTGTAAAATACGACCAGATACCCTAATACAATCCTTCATATTGATATATTGTAGAGATTGTCGAGATGCTGCCACCAATGAACGTACACCAGTTTGAGTGATTCGATGACAACCTACCAGTTGAAGAGTTTCCAAAGAATCACATCGCATAGACAAAGAAATCAAAGTAGCATCAGTCAGGTGAGGGCAAAAAGATAATATCAGTTGATTAAGAGAAGTTGCACACTGTGATCGAGCCAGATGTTGAAATCCAGTTGAAGTAATATGTTGAGCATAAGAAAGGTCCAAAGAGATCAGATTGGGGCAATGCTTGGTGATAAAAAGCAGGAGGTCATCAGTCAGATGATCAGATAGGGATGTCAAGCGTAATGAATGAATAGCATGGCCATATTTTGGGGTTCGAAGAGAAAGAATCACCATAGGAAGAGTGGTACCAGAAGAAACATGTCGATGATGACCCTTCTTGAAACCATCACGACAACTTAAATTTGTTATTGAAGGTTTACGTCGATATCGAGCAGAAAGAGTTGATTCACGAGTTGAATAGCTATTGATAACATCGGATAATGATGGCGGAAGGATCGGGTCTTTCCATAATATTGGGGTCACAAGACGATGCCACCTTTGACATACCATAGTACAATGAAATAAATCTTTTTTAGTTGAATTTGTGAATACAAGTTGTAGAACTTCATTGGGTAAATGCTGTTGTGAATGGTTTGTGAGTGATGAGATTGAATAAGATCGTGTTGAAGATGGTGATAATGATGACCTTCTTCCAGATTGAGTTGTATTCAGAGATCTTCGTTGTCGGGGTACCGGAGATCGAGCAACATAAAGTACAGCGTCAAAAGCAGCTTTGATACGAATATAAATACGAACAAAATAATCTGTCCATACTACTAAAAAAGATATGATTGAATAAAGAGGTGAATTGTCCAGTGAAGAGGTCATTTTGAGTATAAAAAAAAAAAAAAAAAAGTGAGAAAAAGAGGAAAGAAAAGGAAAACAAACAACTGGGCTTCAATTGACCTATTTTATGTACTTTTTTTTTTTTTTTTTCCATCTTTACCAGTTTTGGCATCGATTCTTGTCAAACAACAATCAAAATCAATTTTCTCTCACTTATCAAATAAAAAGTTAAGTAAGATATGACATGATTATAGGTATCAAAGATTTGATTATTATATTTAATCTATTTTTTTTTTCTTTTCCTTTTTTTTTTTTAACTGGTTAGATGAGGATGGCTTCTTTTTTTATTATTATTATTTATCATATGAGTTTTGTTCTACCATGATCCATCAAAAGAATGAACACAAGGTAATTAGTCTCAATAGGTTTGGTGGGTACAAAAAAATGATAGGATTTTGTTCAACACATACAAAATATAAGAAAGCGGAGCCAAATATCAATCAAAGCTTCTTTTTTTTTTTTTCCACTTCCTAACCAACCCAGGCATTTTTGTCTCTCTTTCTTTCTTTTTCTTTATATATATATATATATGTATATCTTTGGAAATGAGTTTACCAAGTACAATAGCACAACATCTTATTGATATAGATAATCAAGAATATGTAACTTCCATGTTAAAAGATCAAGAAGAATGGTAATTATATATATATATATATATATACATTAATGGAAATACAAATTATTATTATCTTTTTTCTTCTTGTTAGTTTTGATATATACCAAACAAGTCAACGGAACCTTGAAGCTTTCAATAACTTTAGTAAATCTCGTTATCAACAAGTACATGGTCATTTCGAATCTCATACAAAGTTATTACGGGAAGTTAAGTCAGATCTTGATAATGTCTTTATGAAACTAAGGTAAAAAAAAAAAAAAAGGCTCATATCCTGTGCGTCATTTGCATAATTGATACTTTTTTATTATGATTATTATTTATAGAAAGATCAAAAATCAATTAGAATTGAAATATCCTGATGAAATGAAACTGGCATTGGAAAAGTATCCTCCTTTAGTGATAGAAGATGATTAATTAGTTTTATACCTTTAGTTAGTGTACATATTAAATAAAAATAATAAAAAAAAAAAAAAACTGGCATTCATATATATATATATATATATATATATATATATATATATATATGTATTACATTTGTTACCATTTTTTTTTTTTTTTTTTTTTGTTTTGTTTTGTTTTGTCTTTTAACAATCTACAGCATCTTTGTTTATGTCTTCTTGGGGATAAGGTTAACAAAAATATAGTACCATTACTAGTATAATCATCATCATCACTTTATTCAAAGACAGAATATCAGCCCTTTCCTTAATGCAGATGGATGACAAATCTGTCAAGAATAATCCCATAGCTTTGGTAAATGTTTGAAACTAAATACGCCAAAGTTTCAAACTTCCTAATTAATGCGATGCAAAACTTCAGCATTGTCTCCTATTACTTGCATCAAACGTATACACATCCTTTTCAAATAAGCCTAAACTGATGATCAGCACTGCAAACTATGTCTACCATATACGTATAACGTTAGATATGATATTTAAACTGTCTTTTTCCTTGTAGCATCGTTTTTCCCTATGTCATTTGTGCAGTGTTTCTCTCCTAGTCATATTACCATCTAACTTTTTCAAGTTCAGTAAATGTTTAATTTCATCGCATACGCATCGGCATGGATTAATGATCAACTTTATCTAACAACATCTCTTCACTACTTCTAAAAAGAAATATTCATTTGTCTCTCCACCCTCCTATATTAGGAAAAATCCACAAGTATAGTCTCTATCTACCAATCATATATGTTTGCTTTTTAACTCTATAGAATTGATAATAAGTGATAAACGATAGTAAATGGCAAAGAGAAAAAAAAAAGATGAGTTTATTGAGGAAGAATATAAATAAATAATGTACTATATATAAAAACAAAACCAATAGTTTCCATAGAGTAGTCATCATAGTAGGAGCCAAATAGAAAAAAAAAAAACAAGGATTACCAAAACCGAAGAAGATCATAAAGTAGATATTTATATTGATTTTCTGTACCTGATACAAGCCCTCCATTCTGTTGTCCTATCGCATATCTATCCAGCTGATTCAAGCGCATGTCCAATTGATCCAATCTTTTTTCATCAAGCTGTATTTGTTGTAATCTATCGACCTCCTCTGGTTGCGCATCCATCCAATGGGTACTTGTGTATAGGAGTAAGAAGACAGGCTAGAAGAGAAAAAGAAGAAAGAAATCAATCAAAAACCAAATCATGTAGATATAAGAAATAAATGGGTGACTTACCAAGAAGAAGAAAAAAAAAACAGTGACCAAGACCAATAGCGACAAAATAGAATACTATCGACTCATTTTCTTTTTCACTATAGAACTGAAAAATCTTCATTAACCAGAAGGATTAAAAAAAAAAAAAAGAGATTAGTAACCGAACTTTGTTAATATATTATTTTTTCGTTTTCTTTTGACATCCCTTACCTTTTTCTTTGCACCACTAGTGATATTGAATATTCAGCATAAAAATATACGACCATTCAATAAGTGAAGGAAACGATGTAAAAAGTTGAAAAAGAGAGAAGGAAAAAAAAAAAAGATAAAAGTAAAAGGAAGGTTACAAAAAATCCGTAAGTAAGCTGACTTTGAAATCACATTTTTTTTACCTTTCACTTCCCCACTTTGCGATTTTTATAGCTTTTTCCTTGCCAATTCAATCATCATTAACACTACATTCAAAAAAAACATTGATTATCATCAAAAATTAACAATATCACATTTTTGACATGATAAAAAGTAAAAAATCAATGATGAGAGTGGGATTCGAACCCACGCCTCCGATAGAGATCACGGCCTTAACGTGACGCCTTAGACCAACTCGGCCATCTCACCATAACTAAATTTTTTTTTCAAAAATATATTATATTCCTAAACGTCGGAATTTGAATGTAACTACATTTTTGGAAGATTGTACGACTTTGTCACCATCTACCGGATCTGAACCTCGTATATCTGGAAGAAAAAACACCTGTGATCTGGATCATAGTTTAAATTTTTACCCGATGGTTTTTTTTTTTTATTTGGTTAAAGGAATTCTATAACTATACTTGTATATTATACTACAAAAGATAATAAATCTATTTTAAATAACTATTTATATACATATAAACCTATAGAAGAAATAAATAAAAAAAAGTCAGAGAGAGAATACATGGAATGAGTTAAAAATTTTGTTTTAGGTACCTATAACGTAGAGACTTTGTAATAAATCTAATTGTCGAGTATGTTTTTCATTAAGTGGATGACATTGAAACCATAGTGAATGAGCATTCATGTAGTCGTTTCTAGTAATGTATTCTTTTTTTTTTTTTAATTTGAGTTAGATCCTACTAGATGATATATATATATGAATAAGTCCATTGGTTTTTTTTTTTATGAGAATCATTGTGTCATTGTATTTACTTTCCTTTTTTTATTATTTATTTACTAAATATCCAAGGTAGTATGCATAATGATTTGTTTGAGAAAGAAGTATTAATGGTTATGTGAAAGAAAAAGAAAGAAATAAAAAAAAAAAATATCATGAGCTCCATATACCCAGCATTTGGGTCAAGTAGCGGAATTAAAAAAATCGTCCCCTTTCTACCTATCCTTTTTTCTTTTTTCTTTCTTTCTGTTTTCTTCTTCTTTTCTTTCAATACCAAAACTTAAAATAAAAAGAAGATGATCAATACTACATTCCTTATTGTAAATATTCACTTTATATTTGAATACCATTAAAATGATAGTACTTTATTAATGATTCTTTCTTTCTTTTTTATTATTATTATTACAATAATAGCATAGTTTATTAGAAGGTGGATTTGCTTTACAATTGATACTTTATCCTCACACTATCTCGTTTTTATCATTGTCTGATGATTATGCTTCGTTTGTAGCTCGATCGTATGGTGCAGCTTTATTAGGATCAGCTGTTACTGGTTTCTTTAGTTACAGCTTACCCAATATGCTTCCTGGTAAACGAGTAGCAGGTAATATATATTAGAAAAATGAAATGAATGATACTTTTGATTTTTTAACTGGTATTATATAGCTATTGGATTTATGATCTATCATGCTCTAGTTGCCTTATTTTGTTTTCAATCAAGGATGGATGGACCATTAACTCCAACAGTATCATGGGCTTTGACAGGTCTTCATCTCTTTATGTTATCTTGCTTTTATATTTGGTATAAGATTACTGCTGATCAAGTTGCTCAATTCGTTAAACAATCTAGAAAACAAGGTTCTTCCTCTTCCAAGTCTCACTAGTTTAGTTTAGTTGTAATATTAGTATTAGAATGTCAATTTTACAAATAAAATGAACAAAAGAGGTTTATTTCTTTGATATAGATACTAAATTAAAAGCATCCGTCTAAAATAACATTTTAGATTTGCCATTGGGAATAAAAGTCCAGATCACTGTTTTGTATATAAAAAAAAGAGTCAGATGAAAAGATAATGTATATATAATATATGATTTTTACCTTGCATCACCACAGCACAAGTAAACCAAGCAAGAGGCATATAAATGATTCCAACAAAACCTGAAAGAAATAATAGAATAAATAGGATTAGTTCTATCATCTATACCTTTTTTTTTTTTATCTTGCCAGCAATCTGTCCAGCCAAAAAGGGAAAGAAGGCTGCTCCACCAGCACCAAATCTAAAAGTAGAATAAAGATGTTGATTAGAAATAATCCACCATGTGATGTAACTAATTTTTTTTTTTTTTTTTTGGAATAACGATAATAATAAAAAACTTACGCAGACATAAACCCAATGGCAGTAGGATGCATATTTCGAGGAAGGACTTTGGAAGCCAAAGAAACACAAGATGGGAACATGGGACCAATAAAGAAACCAACAAGAATCATGAAAAGAGAATCCAACCATATATCAGGTACAAGAAATATTAACAAGAGAAGACTTGCTGCGGTAATAGTAAAGATAGAGATCATGCGTTTCTCACCATATGTACCAGTAAACCATCCAAGAATCAATCTACCCACGGCGAGCCCTGCCCAGTACCCGGAAATCACATAGCCCATATCAATTTCATTGCCATTCATCCCTTGTGTCAAATAGGAGTAACCCCATCCTCCTACACATACTTCTACGCCAGCGTAAGTAAGGATATAAAGTGCACCAAGTAATGTCATACGATTGAAAATGGCGAGTCGTCGTACAGATTTATCATCTTGTTGTTCATCAGTGGAAGTTGTTGTCGTTTGTGATGTTTTGCCTTCCAAATCCACATTTCGAAATCCAATGGTGATCAGCACAATATTCACTAGAGCCACAAATAATAAAAATACATAGATGCCTTTCCAAGATATATTATGAGCAAGTAGCGCAGTAGATATTGATGGCGTGATCATCGCACCTACACCATAAATAGCTAATGTAAAAAAAAAAAAAAAAATAAAGAATGAGTGAATCAAAGTAAAAAAAGAAAAAAAATTATTCTTTCTTACCATGGAGAATATTCAACATCAATGTAGCCATAGGAATGTTTGCTACAAAGACATTCACAGCACCATCCATTAAACCTACACCCCCTCCTTGAATCATCATACAGAAGCACATGATAGGAAAAGCCAGACCCTGGACCAGAATTAAGTAAGCACCAGTGATTGCACCTGCACCCAAAAAGATTGTATTCAATTGACCAAATTTGTGTACAAGATACCCATTGCAACCAGCCGCCATAAAAAATCCAAGAGCATTACATAAAAATAGAATAGACACCGTTGCATCGGATATATCGTAATATATTTTAAGACGAGGGATAATCTATATAAATATGAAATTTCAATTAATATTAACAACAACAACAAAAAAAAAAAAAAAGTAAATTGTTTGATATAAAATAATAAATGTATGAGTTACTTACGATACCCAAGTTGCCATCATTGAGACCTGCTATGAGAGCAATAAAGTTGGAGGCAATCAAAGGACGAATATAGGGATGAAGATCTTTCCAACATGGTTTCGTTTGTTTCACAGGAGATGCTTCCAATAGAGCAGTTCGCTCATCAGATACAGCTCTAGTATGATCACTGACCATAAGAATGAATATACAACACTAGAAAAAAAAAAAAAAAAAAAGAAAGAAAAGAAAAGAAAAGAGAGAGAAAAGAACTACTTATCCCCCTTTTTTTTTTATTGAGTTGCATTTGAGTTTGAAAACAAGGTTTGTCCCTCCATAGTTTCCCAATGAACTAAGCAAGATAATCATTTCAAAAAATTTTATATACAAGTTGGTATTTTCTTTTATTATTATTGTTATATAATCTAAACTATTCTTCTACATATTCATAAATGGGTAAACTAGTAGAATCGGCAGTCTTGATAAAAAGAGATCGAAGGTTTTCAACTCCACCAGGTAATGCGGCTACTATGCTGTCTATAGCGTTCATGATGTTTTCATAAGCTTGTTGACTAGTATGGCTTGTTAATGCAATCTTTATTGAACTAGTGATTATAAATTATAATAATAATAATAAAAAGAAAAAATGTGAGATTATATATGTATAACTTAATATATATATATAAACTTACTGGCAATCCCCTTTTCGGAAATTCATATAGGTTGAATGAATAGATCGAATCACTTCTTTTTGAATATCAGTTCCTTCCATATTAAGTAACAATGGCGTACTAAAGATAAAAAAGAAAAGAGTTCAATATATATATATATTCAATTTGTTTATAATTTCTCTCTATTTACATTTGTTTGAATAATTGCTTGCCTAAAACACGAGGCAATCGATCCCAAAGTCCTTTATCGGTCACTAAAAAGATATCGTATTGATCCAGCAATTGTTGTCGTCCTTCTTTGGAACCGTGTTGTTTTTTGAATTTGGAGATACTAATGACTTTGTGTATACCTTTGACCTTTTGAGATATCAGTAGATCTTTATATTTTTGTTGAGGATCTCTTGAGAAAAGACAACGTCGAGTGCCTGCTTTTTGTAACGAGTGTTTCAAAGGACTATTGTTTTTTTTTTAAAAAAAAAAAAGGAGAATTAGTTTTGATCATAGTAAATAGTTCTATTTGTTATACATACATCATAGCAACTTTTTCTCTTGACGTAAGGATGGTATTCATTGTAGTAATAATCAACCAAACTACTTGGTCTTCATTGGAAGGATTCTTTTTGATATGATTATAGAGTATCTTGATGGAGTTTCTTGCCTATGATATATTATATGAGTCAATATTATTTTTTTTATATTTGATAAAACTTACTTTGGTTTGATCAATATTTATACTAGTAACACCCATGATTATTATTATGATAGAGAAGACTATGCAGAAAAAAAAAAAAATAAAAGGAGTGAAAGAAAGAAAAAGAAAGAGTGGCTGAGTTGACTTTTTTATTTTTTTCCACTGCTTCTCTTTTTTTGCGCCCAGTGGTTAATTTTTTTTTTTTCTCTTCCTCTTTTTTCTCTTCTTCTTTTTTTTTTTTTTTTTTCTAAGGCAAACGGTACCCATCACATAGAACTCTTTGTCTCTCTATATATATTATGGCTGAAAATAACATTTTATTCCAAGATATTTTTGATATCAAAGATATTGATCCCAATGGCAAGCGTTTTGATAGAGGTAAAGAATAGAATATTTCATTTATAAACTTGTATTGTAAACATTATTATCTTTTTTTTTTTAATAGTGTCTCGTGTGATTGCTCGATCTGAAAACTATGAAATGGACTTGACTTTGGACGTGAATTCTGAACTTTATCCTTTGGACATTGCTGAAAAGTTCTCCTTGATGCTTGCCTCATCTTTAGCATTGGATGGATCAACTGGTACTGATACTAGAGAAAGTTGGAGAGAACGTGCTCCTGGAGAACGTGACTTGAGTGATGAATATGAATATGTTATGTTTGGGAAGGTTTACCGTTATGATGATTCTACAAGTGGAAGTGGTGCTACCAATGTATCTGCTGGTCAAAGAGTGTAAGTATGATCCATATTAAATCTATAGATTAAACTAACCGATTGTTTTATATATATATATATATATAGTTCTGTTTATGTGTCGTTTGGTGGTTTATTGATGTGTTTAGAAGGTGACTATAGACATTTGCAAAAGATCACTGTAGGTGAAAATGTTTATTTATTGATGCGAAAGTAGACATAGATAAAATGTATTAGTTGTTATTCTTTTTTTTTATTACTATTATCATCAGTTATTGTATATATTCATATATCTTTTTCCTTTCTTTTATCATCATTTTATTATCAATAAAAAAAAAAGACATGATCATGGAACATTATTGTCTTAACAGGGATTATCTTCGGGTATACACAAAACGTATTGACATCTGGATACAATTGTTTTTATAGGAAACACAACAACATGAAAGCCTTTTTTATTTTATTTTTTTTATTGGATTGGATATTGGTGAAAGGTACGGATTGGATGATCCTTTACTTTTGGACTCTTCGGTGGTCTTTGTTTTGTAATGACACTTTTTTGGCATAGAATCGATATAGAATTAGAAATAAAGACAAACCTTTTTTATCATGATAGCATATGATTATTGATTTTTGGTGTGAATATTACTTGTATTCAAATGATAAAGTAAGATTTGGATACCATTGAAATATGGCGATGTCATAAAAAGACTGTGTGACGATTAGATGATCTGGAGTTTTATACAAAAATGTTCTAACTGATCGTCGTGGATCTCATGTTGATGATGATGATGAATCAAGTCTTTTTTTTTCTACCATTCTCTCTCCTTTTTTTTTTTTTTTTCATCATACTTGAAGATGTCGTATTTTGAAATAATTTTGATCTACCTGCAACCTATCGTTATTCACACAATGCATGATGATGACAAAGAGACTGTGTTTGAAGAGAAATGATATGAGAATCAACTAGATCATTCTATTTTTTTCTTTGTACATTGTCTGTTCAGTACTGATGACCTATTTTCATGAGATAGTCAATATTTAGGTGAAGGGTTGCTATGAATGAGGGGAGAGATGGAGAAGAAGTAAAAAAAAAAAAAAAAAAAATCCATATATAGTAACTCGATCTCAATCTCTTTTTATAGTGACATGAAAATACAACTTTTTTTTATGCACACTTAACTTATCTTTATGCATGAGAATCATATTATCCTCTTTACTGGGTCATCGATAAAAAAAAACACTTTTATGGGTTCAAATTCATATGATATGATAACATGAACTTTCTTTTCTAGCTCGCGTTTCTTGGCTTGGCAAAACGAGGGAAAGAGGAACCCGGAGTTTTTCACTCCTGCGCTAAATCGCTCGAACTTGAATAAAGTTAAGCTTTTTTTTTTCTAATCGATGAACTAAGTGTTAGTTTTTTTTACACTAGTACATTTCTTACTCCACATGAAATACCAATGTTAGAAGGCGTGTACTTAGAGATCATCTGTCATGTGAACTGTGCACCCTCATACAAAAAGTAAAAATATCAACTTTTTTTTTTTTTTTTTTTTTTTTTTTTTTTTGCTTGCTTGTACCCAGGTCTGACGGACGGACATGATCGAAGACGGTTTCCATGAAAAAATGTCTTACACTCTGCTCTTTTTTTTTTTTTTTAATATGTATATACATATATAAGTGATATAAAAGAATATTATACTTAGATAGTTCCATATATCTATATTTATAGAAAGTAAGGATTCGCTATAAATGAAAACAGATCCTTTTATTTATAGAAACGAAAAGGTAGAAGTGAATAAAATAGTAATGATTACCCAAGTTAGGCCATCAGACTTCTTTTGATATAAAAAAAAAAAGACAATATACATATGCATGGGTAAAGAGCATATCACGGGAGAATGACAAGTGAACGACAAAAAAAATATTATCGTGATGTTCTATTTGCTTTGAAAAAGGTAAAAAGAGATCATCATAAATAGACAGGGTTATACAAAACAAAAGTAAAAAAAAAAATGGTAAGGACGCGTGAAAGTTTGCCAATTTCTGATTAGTTTTCCTTGCGTTGTGAAGGAGCTCTTTAACATCATCATCATTATCACTGTTGTCATTGTTGTCAACAAAATCAATCTCATCATCATCAGCAATCATTATCATCGTCCAAACTATCATCATTCGATCAACGTTTATCTTCACTCATCAGTCAATCAATCATCATCATCACCATCAAAAGACCTATAGCAAAAAAAAAAAAAAAGGTAATAATAATTATACACCATTAACACAAAGTATAGGAAAGAGGTAACCTTTTGTATTTGTACCAAATTGATGCCAGTTAGGGTAAGATTGACAAAAAAAGGCGATCTGGGTCCGGCTACGCAAACAGCAGTAAAAAAAGAAAAAAAAAATGAGAAGAGAAAAAAAAAAAGGTTATTGTTGTTTAGGTAACCATGAAGACCCCATCATGGGACGGTGTACATAAAATTCGACTGGTACTACCTCTGGGAAAAAATATTCGGAGCCGTTTCTTTTTTTTTTTTTTTTCTCTGTCTCTCCTAAAACAGAAAAATATGCCTATGTGTAGTATGGTTGTTCTTGATGATGATGATTGTTGGTAATGGATGGATGGATGATAAATAATAAAATTTGATGACAATGTTAACCATAACGATAGTAATGATGGCTGATTCATTTTTTTTTCTTATGATGAATGATGGTTTATTAGATGATGATGATGATGATGATGATGATGATGATGGCAAAGATGGTGATTTCTTAGGATAATGAGAATCAGCAGTTATCACACGCTATAATTGATTAGTCTAACAACAAAAAAAGAAATAGACTCTTTTCATAGTTTTTCCATCATTTACCACAATGATGGAAATAGAGGATGATAGAAAAAAAAAAGAGTGATACAGAGTTGAAAAGAAAAAAAATCGTTTAGTGATATTTATGTATATGTTGTCATTACAGTAAATGAGATCCATAGAAAAACATTACCTTAACAACAACAAAAAGGAACTGTACGCTCGAGCCATTTTTCTTCTTTTTTTTTTGACCCCTGATTTTTTCATATAAATATGATTCATGCAAATCATCTCCTATGAACTTTATAATCTATATATGTGTGTATACTGATCATCTTGATGAAATAACTAAATGAACTGATTATTTTGTTTCCAATATAATCCTACTAGTTCCTTTCATTTTTAATCCAAATTTTCTTTATTCTCTTCTTTCTTTTCTAGGTAGTTATTTTGGGGGGGATGGATTCCAATTAAATGATGACGGACGATACACAAGTGCGATATCGCGATGTAACCCAAAATAAGGTCATGGGGACGACGGAGGATATAATTGGGGGTGGGGGAACAGAAAAAGATTGATTTATAAAGTGATGATGAAGAAGAAAGAAAAAAAAAAGCTAACTACATCCTTTTTTTTTTTTTTTTGGATAGGTCCTTCCTCGGAGAGAGAATGAGAAAAATCAAAGAAAGAGTGAATGAAAAAAAAAAAAAAAGAACACAAAGTGACAGAGAATAAAAATGGAATTGAATACAAAGAAAAAAAAGTATAATGATGCCCATGATCATCAAACCCTTTTTTAACACAAACAGACTCGTGATTCTTACTTTTGCAGGTGATGATATGATCTGATTGCAATAAAGAGTTCTTTTCCATTGCATGAGAACGATCCACAAGAAAAAAAATTTGGGTGTGACAACATTGTATTCCCTCGTTCACAATGTCCAGGTATTTTTAAGCCACTGGATGGATAAAAGCATTATATATATATATATATATAAAGGTTACTTTTTTTTTTTATTATTCTTCTTCTTTTTCTTTTCAATCTATTTTCATTTTCGATCTTTTTTTTTTTTTTTTATTTTACTTACTTGATACCCACCCATCATCATTCTCATTTTCATCATCATTTTTTTTTTTTTAAAAAAAAGCATTATTATACTTACGTCAATATCATGGGTTCATCATTTACTTCAACCAACACCAACGAACAAGTCAATCATCCTAACTCTACCATGTCATTGCCAGTATGTCAAGGCCGTGGCAAAAACTATTGTTTGATTCATCGTCGATACTTTGAAACTAGCTGGTGTCCTGATTGTCGATCTCGTGCGCCAACTCGACCTCAATATTAATATTGATTATTTTGTTCATGCGTCTTTTGTTGTTGCAGTAGTATTTTCAAAGCAAACATATGATGATGACCGATCTTAGCCGGTGTTTTAAATATACATCTTGTAATGAATTTTCTCTCTATAAAAAAAAAAAAAGAAGACCAAAAGAAAAAAAAGAAAAAACAAAATGATTATCTCCTCCCTTCTCTCATTACATTAGTATTATACTTTTTTTTTTTTTTTCATTCATATATACACATTTCCATTTTTTTTTTTACTCATGTCAATTTAATAAAAATATACATATACACTGTTTTGATTCCCCACCATTCATCTTCGTTCTATCTTTTTTGTTTGATATTGATGATGGATGAGAACTATCTTTATAAACATTTGATCAAAATCACAGATGATCTTTTTCTCTCATGAGCTTTTTTTTTTTTTTTTTTTTTTTTTTTTTAGTTCCGAGAATATAGATTTTGATAGATGGATGATTAGGGTAAATTATTTCTGTATTAGATAAGATCAGGGGAGGACAGATGATATAAAGATGGATGTGAAAATCAATCATTAATTAAAAAGATGATAACTGTCATGTTAAATGATGTATGACGGAAAAATATGAGAGTCATGTGTAAAGTATTAACCTGATGATAGCTGTATAAAAGATTGAGTGAATGATTTGTATGACATCAATGATATTTCATTGCAAAGTATAACATACAAAGTGGATCAAAAACATCTGATCATCAGGATTTATATTATTTAATGATGACAATTTCCTTTCTCTTTTATTCCGTTCTGCATATAAGCTCAATCTCCTTGTGAATGAGGATCAAGAAGATGGATGATATTATCGGGTAACCTTTTTTCCCTTTCAGGAGCTGGCAATTCTTTTTTTTTACTTGTCCGATAGCATGATTTTTATAGTTGTTTTCAAAAGTTTCTTGTCAGCTAACAAGAAAATAGTTTCGTGATGTTATAAAACAAAAATATCGCTCTTTCCCAAAATGGATGTATCATTACCCACTTTTTCAGATATCGCTCCACAGTATGTCAAAACACATTGATTGATGATTGATGATGATACAGTATATTAATCATTTTCTTTTTTTTTTTTTTTTTTTGAAATCTCCTTTGGTGTTTCCAATTCAAAGTGATTATCAAACTGTATACAGTAACATATAAAAATATGTTATCACTTCTTCATGAGGATGTATTTAATACAGGTAAGTTGAAACAAATATATAAAAAAACAATGGATATGTTGATTAAATATATATATTTTATTTTCTATTATTCAAATCACTCAATGGAACTACTACCACTCCTTTTCTTCTTCTTGTATTCAATTTGGATTATGCGTCAACTCTTTATTTTTTTTTCTTCTATCATCCATTTTCTATCCTTACTATATTTTATTTCCTAGTTTTACGATATCTTATATTTTTGAATCCCGTCATTTATATATTGAATAAAGTGTATATGTTGACTTCCTGCAGTAGAAAACAGTTGTTTGTCTAAGACGTAGTGGAGAAGAATCCATTTTAACCTCATCATCCAATCAAAATAAAAAAAACTATCTTGTAACAAAATGACTCCCCACCAATGTTGAACTGAGTCAAGCTTGAGATCGTCCAATCAAATCTTTGGGATGCATTATTACTCAAATGTCAGTGTGGGATTAAAAAAAAAAAATGAAAAAAAGAAAAAAAGAAAAAAAAAAAAAGGGTGCATTTCTTTTTTTTTATTTCTTTCTCTTTCTCCTTGTTTCTCTTTCCTTACATTTTTTTTTTATTTTTTATTTATTTTATTTTCCCCTCTCTCTTTATATCAAATAATGGCTCAAACTTTATTCGATAAAGTCTGGAAAGACCATGTAGTAGATCAACAAGAAGATGGTACTTGTATTCTTTATATTGATCGTCATTTGGTTCATGAAGTCACCAGTCCTCAAGCTTTCGAAGGTCTTCGTAATGCTGGTCGTCCTGTTCGTCGTCCTGATTGTACTTTAGCTACTGTAGATCATAACATTCCTACTACTTCCCGTAAAAACTTCAAAAGCATTACTACTTTTATTGAAGAAGCTGACTCTCGTACTCAATGTGAAACTTTGGAAGAAAATATTCAATCTTTTGGTTTAACTTATTTTGGTATGGAAGATGATCGTCAAGGTATTGTACATGTTATTGGACCTGAACAAGGTTTTACTCTTCCTGGTACAACAGTTGTTTGTGGTGATTCTCATACTTCTACTCATGGTGCTTTTGGTGCTCTTGCATTTGGTATTGGTACTTCTGAAGTTGAACACGTCTTGGCTACTCAAACTATTTTACAAAAAAAGTCAAAGAACATGCGAATTACTGTAGAAGGTACTTTGGCTCCAGGTGTGACTGGAAAGGATATTGTGTTGCATATTATCGGTGTTATCGGTACTGCTGGTGGTACTGGCTGTGTTATTGAATTCTCTGGTTCGGCTATTCGTGAACAATCTATGGAAAGTCGTATGTCTATTTGTAATATGGCTATCGAAGCTGGTGCTCGTGCAGGTATGATTGCTCCTGATCAAAAAACATATGATTATCTCAAGGGTCGACCTTTGGCTCCTACTGGTGCGGAATGGGACAAGGCTGTAGCTTACTGGAACACCTTACGTGCTGATGATGATGCTGTTTATGATATTAACGTTGAAATCGATGCTGCTGATATTGCTCCTACTGTTTCATGGGGTACAAGTCCTCAAGATGTTGTTCCTATTACTGGAAAAGTACCTGATCCTTCTCAAGAATCTGATCCTACTCGTCGTTTGGCTATTCAACGTGCTTTGGATTATATTGGTTTGGAACCAAACACACCTATGGAACAAGTCAAAATTGATAAGGTCTTTATTGGAAGTTGTACAAACTCGCGTATTGAAGATTTGCGAGCTGCTGCTAATATTGTCAAGGGTCGTAAGGTGGCTGATTGGGTCTATGCTATGGTTGTTCCTGGTTCTGGTCTTATCAAATTACAAGCTGAAAAGGAAGGTTTGGATGTCATCTTCAAGGAAGCTGGTTTTGATTGGCGTGAAGCTGGTTGTTCCATGTGCCTCGGTATGAATCCTGATCAACTTAAACCTAAGGAACGTTGTGCTTCTACTAGTAATCGAAACTTTGAAGGTCGTCAAGGTGCTGGAAGCCGTACTCATTTATGTAGTCCTGCTATGGCTGCTGCTGCTGGTATTAAGGGGTAAGTAATATATATATATATGTATAGAAAGAGGAAAAAAAAAAAAGAAAAGGATTGAGATGATGAGAATAAAGAATAAAGAAGCAAAAAAAAAAAAAAAGATAAAAAAAAGGAAATAGAATAATAAACTCATCGTCTTTTTATATAATTTTAGGTATTTGACAGATGTTCGTGAAATGTTACCTACTGAACAAGTTCTCAATACTACTAGTCGACAACCAGTGGAAATTGAAAGTCCCAAACAAACTCTTGAATCTGATAATAATAACAATAACTCAACACAGTCCATCAGTACCAATAAAACAGTCAGCAAGTCAATTGGATCAGAATCAGCATCTGGTATGCCTACTTTTACAACATTGAAAGGGATTGCAGCTCCTTTGGATATCGCCAATGTTGATACGGATATGATCATTCCTAAACAATTCCTCAAAACCATCAAGCGAACTGGATTGGGCAGCGCATTATTCTATGCTTTAAGATTTGATCCTACTACGAAGGAAGAAAATCCCAACTTTGTACTGAATAAGGAGCCTTTCCGTCAAGCCAAAATTCTGGTATGTACTGGTCCCAACTTTGGATGTGGAAGTTCTCGTGAACATGCTCCTTGGGCTTTCAATGATTTTGGTATCCGTTGTATCATTGCCACCAGCTTTGCTGATATCTTTTTCAACAATTGCTTCAAAAATGGTATGTTGCCTTTGGTTTTATCTCAAGAACAAGTGGATGAATTAGCAGCAGATGCAAAGGAAGGATTGGAAGTGGAAGTGGATTTGGTGAATCAAGTGGTCAAATCTCCTCATCATGAATTTAAGTTTGATGTTGAACCTTTCCGTAAACATTGTTTGGTCAATGGTTTGGATGATATTGGTTTGACTATGCAAAAGGATGACAAGATTGCTGCATTTGAAACACGTCGTACTGCTACTTGGCCTTGGTTGGATGGTAAGAATTATACTGGACAAGCTACTAAGATCAACGTACATGAAGCCAAGAAACAAAAATTGGATTGGTAGATTATCATTGGTTTAGATTATATATTAGTTTTTTAATTTATTATTTATCCTTTGATCATATACAATAAATAATAAAAATTAGGAAAGATCAATATTTAAAGTTTTTAGATATTGAAAAATGGATGAAACGAAATAACCTGGTAATTTTTGATCCTTGTTATATATAATATGTAAGATCTAATTGTCTCCTTTCTGTCAGATCCGGTGACTGTCAGACAAGAAAAAAAACTATCCTTTTTGGCGCCAACATTTTTTTTTTTTGGAGGATCGTTATTATGCAGTGCAAAAGTTTTATTTCTTTCCTTTTTTTTTTCTTTTTTTTTTTTTTCCCTTCTTTTTCTTTTTTTTTTTCTATCTTTTTTTTTTTTTTTATTTTTCATTTCCCCCCTTCTATTCCTTTTACTTTTCTTTCTTTTTCTTGATACCAATCTTATTTACTTGACCTATACGTTTTGGTTATCATCCTCTTTTTTATATTTTCTTTTTTTTTTTCATCATATACATACACACCAATAAAGATGCATTCTTCTTGGACCTCCAATTTGGAAGCAAAAGTGGTAATTCTTGGTAGTCAAGGCAAGCAAAAAAAAAAAAAAAAAAAAAAAAGAAAAAAAAAAGGTTGAAACAAGGAAGGAGCAGAATATTACTTGAAGTGTGGTTATGAAGGTCTGATAATAACAACATGATTCAGCTTGGCATACATTGTAAGATGTATGTGTATGTGTGTGTGTGTGTGCGTGGGAGGAAAAAGGAAATACTTGTACTGTTATACTCATATCTCTCGTTCTTTCTTTTTTTTTTCTTCTCTCTTTATTATGTTGCTTTACCAATGTGGAACTCTTAGGTGTAGGGAAGACTTCACTTGTAGTACGTTACATCTCCAAAACGTTTGCACCTAATTCTACTTCTACTATAGGTGCTTCCTTTATGACTAAGAAACTGTAAGTTAAAAAAAAAAGATATCATACTTCCAATAAATAGAATAAACTGAGGACCTTCTATATAGTACTGTGGACAATTGCAAAGTACATCTTCAAATATGGGATACTGCTGGGCAAGGTAATAATGGATAATTTTTATATTACACATATATATAATATTCACACACTCATATTTTTGTCCTTTTATATTTATTTATCTATTAGAACGTTTTCGAGCCATGTCAAAACTTTATTATAGAGGTGCACAGGCGGCTTTACTAGTATATGATATCACATCTCAAGAAAGTTTTCAAGAATTACACTCTTGGATAGAAGGTAAAAGAAAAAGAATGAACGACAAAATAGAATAATGATCGATTTATTTGTTATGTTAATAGAACTCAAAAGAAATATGAGTGATGAATTGGTGATGGTTGTCGTAGCAAATAAAATAGATTTGGCATCACGTCGAGAAGTAACACTGGAACAAGCACGAGAATATGTCACGCGCGTTCTTGGTCCGGATACATTATTATATGAAGTCTCCGCCAAAGAAGATGATGGTAAATTATTTGAAATAACTTGATTAGATTTATTGATTAGATCATTTGTTTTATTTATTCTAGGTGCAATTGATGATATTTTTTTGAACTTGACAAGAAACCTGGTGGATAGAAAACAATACCTTCCTCGTGATAAAAGACGACCCCCTCCTATGAATATCATTGAAGCTGATCCACCTAGCAAACCTTCCTCTTGTTGCGGCATCTTTTAGATATATACAAATTCATTATACCTTTTTTTTTTTTATATTATTGTTCACTTTTACTATTGTGCAACCCTTTTATCTATCTTTTGAATAAAAATAGTTTGTTAGATTTTATCACTCATCATGATTAACTTGAACCGGGCTTTTAAATAGAGTATAAACTCGTCGTCACGGCAACTGTGCTTTGAAAGGGTTTTCATACATGTTGCTGGTTCAACCAATAAAAGTAGCGGGAAGTAAAAAAAAAAAAATCACCAGTGAAAAAAACAAAACAAAAACAAAACTGTTGGACGCCGCCAGGGTGAAATTTTTTTGTTGTCTTTTTGTTTTTTCTCTCCTTTCATTCTTTTTTTCCTTAACACCCTTCTCATCTATTTTTTTTTTCTTATATTACATATTCACCATGTTCGCTCTTCGTCGTGCCGCTATCCGTGCCGCTCCTATGGCCACTCGTCCTACTGTTCGATCTTTCTCTGTTTTTGGTGCTCGTCTATGTAAATATATATTTTATTGTGTTTATTGACAGTCGGGGGAAATTCAATGTACTCTGACGAAAAAAAAAAAGATTGAACCTATGAGGTTTATTTTGTTATTTTCTATCATATAGTACATATAGAGAGAGGGATATTGGAATTTTCCGTCATATTATGAAGTTTAAGACTAATGCATTCCCTTTTTTTTTTTTTTTAAATAGCAAACTCTGTATCTTCTGAATTGGCTGACAAGAGTTTCGGTCCTGGAGCCAGTACTGGTGCTGTACCCACTGATCTCGAACAAGCTACTGGTTTGGAACGTGAAGAATTGCTTGCCAAGATTGAAGGTCGTGAACTCTTTGATCTTGCACCTCTCAACATGACTCACTTGGGTACTGTCAAGAACCCTATTATTGTTGAATCTCATGATCCTATTCGTTTTGTTGGTTGCACTGGTAAGAATTATATAATAAAAAAAAAATAGAAAAGAAATAGATATTGATCATTTATGCTTTTAGGTTTTCCTGCCGAATCTCACGACACTATTTGGATTAACTTGGACAAGTCTCATGAACACGATCGATGCCCCGAATGTGGCTCCGTTTACAAAATGTCTTTTGTCGGTTCCGAAGATGCTCACCATCACTAAATAATATTATCAACATCATCCACAACGATATATTTTATCAAGACCATTGAAAACATTCAAGGAAATGGGAGTTTTTTTTTTTTATATAGATTGATCTACTTTACGACCTTTGATGTTTTGTATTTGACATTTTCTTTACCAACTTATTGAACTCCATTTTTCTATATATATATACATAAAAATAAAAAAATCTATTTTGTTATCGTTTAATGATTGTTTTTATGATTTGTGATGTTGAATATATATCTAATAAAGGGATGAATATATTGATTGGGGATAAAGATGAATGATGATTATTCTATAAAGGTTAGAGTGTTATGTTATTACTTGAAAATAGTAGATTCATAGAAATAGTATAAAAAGGATAGTGTGAACTTGTTTTTTATGATCCTCGTGTAAGACAATGGATGTCTTTTAATCTCAGTTTTTATCTTTTCTTATATGTATAATTACTTTTATTTTAATACTCTTTTATTATTATTATTACTATAATAAAGATAAATATAATTTTATAGTCTTTTTTTTTTTTTGAATAAAATAAAATAATGATGATGATTGAACGATGATATTTTAATTCTAGTAAAGAAAAACAGGATTGAATAATGTTTCGTAATGTCACACCAAAAAAAAAAAAGTAGTTGAATTCCCGGTGGTGCCTTTTTTTATTTGATTTCATTTTTTTTTCCTTTTTTTTTTTTTTTTTTTAATTACTTCTTTTCTTTCTCAACTCCTTTCCTTCCTCAACCTTTCCCCTTTCCTTTCTTTTTATATATATATTAATGCATCTTATTTGATGCTTCACACTTACCGATCCTTATTCCTAGTGGTCGTCGTTATCCTACTTCAAATTTCCTTTTGTTTGGGTAAATAATTATCTCTTTCTTTTTCTTTTGACACGTCCATTCATCTTTTCTTTTCTTTTAGGTCACGGCGACGCACATCATACCATTACAACTTCTCACTTGATTCATCACACTACTCCTACTCCTACTACTACTACTACTACTACTACTATTAGTTCGACTTCGACTTCTGTCCGTCATACTCCTACTCATCACAAAAAGCATCGTCATCATAAACAACGTCAAACCAAAACTCTTTGTTCTACCAAAACTTGGAAGCCTACCTCTACTCTTACTACTATTCATGGTCACCCTACTCATGTTTTGAAACCTCATACTACTGTTCGTTGTTCAACTAAAGTAGTCTGGATTTATCCAACCCCTCGACACCATCATCACAGCAAATCGATTTCAAAGAAGGGTAAGGATCATAAACAAACAACATCAAGACATACAACAACTCATCGTCCAAAATCTACCACCACCACCACCACCACAACAACAAGAACAACAACAAGAACAACTCATCATAGTCAACCATCATCTGCTGGAAAACACAATAATGAACAAAATGGAGTGAATGCCTTTTCTGAAGCTAATCCTACTCCTACTGATACTACTACTATTCAAGATCCAAATCAAATCAATTCACCAAATACTCCTAAAGCATCATCATCTCCTGTTGCTGCTGCTGCTGCTGCTGCTGCCTCTCCTTCGTCTAATGGTGGAAATAGTGATCCTAATGATAGTTATACTGAAACTCAAGCTGTCAATAATGATGGAAGTACGAATACTAGTCTTGGTCTAGGATTAGGTCTTGGTGTAGGTTGTGTAGCTGCTCTTGGACTTGCTGGACTTTTGGTACATAATAGACGTCGACATCAAGAACAAAAAGATCAATTCAATCATGATGATATGCAAGACTTTTCACAACAACCACCATCACAAGAACAAAATACACGATGGCGTCCTCAAAGCTTTATGGGAGTAGTTGCTTCTGTAGTTGCTAAATTACCTAGATCTCCTTCTCAAAGATCTCAAGAAAGTGCATCAAGTCGTGTTAGTCATGGTATGGCTGTAGGTTCTGGTTCTGGTGCTGTAGAATTGGCTCGACATCCATCTGATGGTTCCATGCGATCTATCACTTCTCAACCTCCAGCTTTGGCAAGAGTAGATGAAGAATCTCATCATCATCATCAACACTATCAATATTAGTTTTTATTACTGTAGATTCCTTCTCATTATTTTATTTTTTTTAGTTTGTGTTTGATTACCCTTAGTGATGTTATTACTTGATATTAGTTTTTTGAAGCTTTTGTATTAGTTATTCAATAAAATCAACTTTTTTTTTTAGTGTTTGTTGTCTTAATGAATAAAGTTTACTATTAATTTAGAGAAAACAACGTGGAAAATGTCTTTTAAAAGAGAAAGTGTAATACATACTATCTCATTCTTTTTTAAATTTCTTTTTATTATTTTTATTCATTTCAAAGATATAAAAGTTTTGTTATTTTTATTATCTTTTTTTTTATAAGGAAATTAAGAATATAACAATAGAAATAAAAATGATACATCTTTCTTTTTTGGAATTGTTTGACTTTTGATCCTGTTTTCTTTTTTTTCTCTTTTTGGCGGATTCTCAATGTTTATTTTTGGGTTCAGGGGCATTTCCAAAAAAAAAAAAAAAGAAAATGCAACAAAGAAAAAAAAAAAAAAAGGCAGTAGTAAGACCATTGATTCTATTATTCTATATCTAAACATCACCTGAGATAATATATGTCTTGTCAGTAATCAACTACTCTTTTTATTGTTATTATTCAAATCTTTTCATTTTAATATCATTTTTTTATTATAGAGTATAATAGAATCCTTTGTTTTGATTGGCTGAGTAATCTATTTTTATCTTGAGAAAATCATCCCATAAAATTATATTTTTGTTAATAAAACTGAACTCCTCTTTTTTTTTTTTTTTTTTTTTTTTTTTTTTTGTTATCATTCTTTACTAGTAATGAAAATATCACCATTCCTTGGTTTGGCCTTTTTGGCTAACCTTTATTTCTCACAAGCTCAAGATTCTCCTTTTGCATGGATGTCATCCTCTCAACAAGTGATCTCTCCTTTTGCAAAGGCTGGTAAAATGGAACAAAGAGGACGAACAGGAGTAGCTGCAATGCATGCTGTACTTTTGAAGTAAGTATTTTTATTTCTCAATGTTTCTTTTTTTTTTTTAATTCAATTATCTTTTTTATATATATACTTTAGTGAAAAGAAGATTTTAGTGATCGACAAAGGTAATATAAAAAAAAATACCTTTTTTTTTTTCGTCTCAATTGATATATATATATATATATATTATATAAATAGCTGAATGGAATGAGGCTCAGTTTGATTCTGGACAAAGTGCGTTCTCAGTGGAATATGATTTAACAACAGATACATATCGTACTTTACCTTTGGAAACAAATACATTTTGTTCAGCTGGTGGTTTCTTGGGAAATGGTTCATTTGTTAGTACAGGTGGTGGTGAACGACGTGGACGAACATGGAAAGCTGAACCAGGCTGGCAATCTATTCGACATTATACTCCTTGCATGGATAACTTATGTGAATGGTCTGAATATAAAACTGGTCATATGACAAATAATCGATGGTATCCAACTGTAGAACAATTACCTGAAGGAGATATCTTTATTATTGGTGGTTCCACTAAAGGTGCTGCTGTCAATCGTGATGAAATCAATGTACCTTCCTATGAATTCTGGCCTCCTCGTGGTGATGGGCGTGAAATCCATATGCCTTTTTTGAATGAAACAATGCCCTTCAATTTGTAAAATACATAAGATATAAAAACAGTCGTGATGATATATTTATGGTTCTTTTTTTTTTTTTTTTTTTTTTTAATAGATATCCTTTTGTATTTGCCTTACCTGATGGAAATTTATTTATATTTGCCAATCGACAATCAATGATCTTTGACTATAACAATAATCGTGTGGTTAAGAGACTTCCTGATATTCCTGGTATGGTACGATCATATCCATTAACTGGAGGTGCAGTCATGCTTCCTCTGGATCCTGCAAATGATTATAATGTAGAAATCCTAGTGTGTGGTGGATCAGAAAATATGAAGAAAAATGCCAAAGCTGATGCTACTTGTGGAAGAATCAATTTGGGTGATGAAGAACCTAAATGGGAAATGGATACCTTTGTTTACCCTCGATTGATGCCTGATGGTGTGATTTTGGCTGATGGTTCCATTCTCTGGGTCAATGGTTGTCAACGTGGATGGGCTGGCTACAATGGACGCAATCATGATCCCACTTTTGATCCTATTATTTACGACTCAAAGAAACCTCATGGTGATCGTTGGACAACTGGATTAGCAAATACCGATATCGCTCGTATGTATCATTCTGTTGCATTGACTCTACCCAATGGTCAAGTCTGGATTGCTGGATCAAACAACGTCGACCCTCCTAACATTGATGCTGAATATCCTACCGAATTCCGTGTGGAATATTACTCACCTCCTTATCTTTTCAAATCAGCTACTCGACCTTTGGTTTCCCATGTACCTCGTGTTGTGGTTTATGATCAATCGTTCGATATTCTTCTTAATATTGGTGGTGATCTTGTTGCTGCCGCAAACGGTGCTAAAGAAGTCAAAGTGGCTCTGTTACGTCCTGGTTTTAGTACTCATTCCATGCATATGTCACAACGCTATGTTTATCTTACCCATCAACTATCCGATGATATGCAATCTTTAAAAATTCAAGCTCCTCCTCGTCCATCTGTTTTCCCTCCTGGTGCTGGTTTCTTGATCGTGCTTTATAATGGTGTTCCTTCTGAAGGAGTAGAAATATTTGTTGAAAACGATATCAATGACTTGGCCATTTAGCTTTCTGTACAATTATTCCATTTTTAGTTTATTTATTCCTTCCTCTCATCATTTGTTTTATATTCTATCTCATTCATCTTCGTAACTAAATAAATCTTTTTTTTTTTAATCCTATCTGGATATTCTTTTTGAATTTGATTCTTTCCAATAACTAACTTTGAAGTGAAGATATCATCATCCTCTTCATCATCATCATGAGGTCATGCTGATATTTGTAAAAAAAAAAAAGTTTATTTGAATGGAGGGGAATCAAAGAAATAAAATAATAATAAAAATGAAACTAATCATAACAATCAATGCCTATAGGTTATACACAAAATCCAAAGCTTCGTCACCATCAAGTGTAAGATCATCCAAGGTCGTAGCTACCATTCTTTGTTCTTCTACCTTGCCTAGTTTACGTTTATTGACACGGATCAACAACGATCTTTGAATCATTGCCAAGATAACAAAGACACAGAGAAAAACGAGATTGATGGTGTGACCAAATACTAATGATAATAATAATATATATGTTTAGGAATAAAAAAAAGTAAGTTGATGTCATATACTGAAAAATATACTTTGCATTGTCTACATTTTTTTTTTTTACCATAACGAGGAGAATCAGATGATCGATAAATATTGGAACCCACCAAACCAGCTGCATTGTTGGCACTGACCGCCATAGCTGTTGCCACACTCTTTTTCATATCAGGAGCAATATTACTTGTCAACCAGGCATTAACCACAGGGTTAATCACAAAGATCCCAGATACTGCAATACAAGCACCTGCATAAAGATAAGATCGAGTCACTAGTGTCACCAAAAGGATATATCCCACCAAACATATAAGAGCACCTGCTACGGCATGATAAGCACGATCATTGAATCGATCGGAGGAGTATGCGAAGGCAATCATCTATACAAGAAAGAAAGAAAATGTAAGATCACAATTTTTTTTTTTTTTTGAAGAAGGTTTATCCTGATTTGATAGATGACTCAATCTTACCACAGCAACAGCACATAGGTAAGGTGGCGCTAGAAAAAAAAAAGAAGATAGGAAGATTGATCATTATTATGAAGTGTCAAACAAACCTTATTTCATTTTATGAATAATTATTACCTGACATTAAATTAGCTGAAAGTTTGTCATCATAACCCATCCCCTTGACAATCGATGGAAGAAAGCTTGATTCAAGAAAAAAAAAATAATATGATTAGCGGTGGATCAAGTAGCATATAAAATCTTTACTTTGATATACTTGTGTTTGGAACACTTCCACAAAAGAACATGATCATCCACGTCCACACTTTCCAATCTGTTAGGGCCTTGCAAGCTTGTTTCTTGTTGGAAGCATCTAGATCGCCTAATGTTGTATGAGGTTGACTTGCTTCCAGTCTTCGTACCGCCACTATTTGTTCTTCTTCTGTCAACATATTCCAAGTATCAGGAGATGCAGGTAGATAAAATCTAATAATAACAATAATTAGTGTTTGATCCTCCTTTTTTTTTTTTCTTATCTATTATTTACGCTGCAATAATAGCTATCACCATAGTCGGAATACCTTCAATCAGGAAGAGCCACTATGATCACCAGATGAAATAGATAGAGGCAAGATTAATTGAATTTTCAAAACATGATTCTTGTCTATACTTACTTGCCAACCGGAGAGACCTCCTGAACCACGTAATTGTAGAATCCCATAAGCTAAAACACCGGCTACAAAAAAAATAAATAAATAATCAATAAATAAGGATGTTTACTAATGATGATCCATACCAAAAGCATGAGCAGCTACTGTTGATCCCCAAAACAGAGCAATTCTTGTCGCCTAAAAAAGAAAAAAGTGATTTTATATGAATACAAGTAGGATGAAAATGGATATCTTACCATTTCATTTTTCTTGTAAAATAAAGTTAAAAAGTAGATTACACCTAATATATATATATATATATATATATCAATAGAATAGTTTCATGAATGATTTATTCTAAGGAATAATATATATATATCTATTATATTACCTGGAAAAAATCCTGCTTCAAATAAACCCAAAAAGAAGCGCATTGCCATCAATTGACCAAAACTAGAAACTGTTGCATGAAGAGTTGCTATGGCACCCCATACAAACATCAAAAAAGGTAACCTATTATGAAAGATTAGATTAGAAAAATAAAAAAGTCATTTTTTTTTCTCATTATTACCATTTCTTTGCAGTGAATCGTTTCAAAAGAATATTACTTGGAATTTGGAATAATAGAAATCCAGCCTGAGAAATATAAAAAGATGGATCAGAGAAGTGTTATGATAAATATTCAGCTGACTTGCATAAAAAATAGTAACACAAGTATTGAATTGATCAGGTGTGATATGAACATCTTGTTCAAAGTTATCCAAGACAGCATTTCCTATAAACAAAAGTTAAAAAAAATAAGATAAAAACTTTTATCTATTATTACCTAAGCTTGAGCGATCCAATGAGGAAAAGAGGTACATTAAACTAAGAAAAGGTAATAATCTAGTATCCAACTTTTTAACTAGTTTTGGTTCCAATTGAAGTTCATTGTTCAAAGGAGGATCTTTTGGGTACGAAGAAGAAGAAGAAAAAGAAGTATCCATCAAGTACAGAAATATATATAAAAGTGAAAAAAAAAGAAAAAGAAATCTATTTTTTAAAAAATACCTGTTGGTATACTATGATAAGTTCGGCGGAAATCCATATGCTAGTGCAAATAAAAATAATAAAATAAAAAAATATAAAGAAAAGAAAGAGAGAAAAAAATAAAAAGGAAAAGAGAGTGCTCTCATGCACTGAGTTTCTGAAACTGAATGATCACGTTTCATTGGTCTGCGCCAAATGTAATACTAAAGACGCGACTTTTTTTTTCATTCTTCTTTTTTTTTTTTTTTTTTTTTTTTAATTGGTATTCATGGAACGATTGATTCAACAGTGGAATATTCAAGATGCTTTGGAAAAAAGTAAATAGAATTATTTCTCATCTTCTTCTTAACTAATCTTATTTTTTTTTTAAAAAAAAGATAATATAGAAGATGCACAAACTCTTTTATCTCTATTACCTTTAGACGCTTCACGTATGCTGAGAATCACACCAACTCAAACAAACGAACTTTATAATGCAGCCTCACATGAACTATATTGTGCTAAACAACAATATACTAATATGCTCTCTCTTCAAGACTCTTATGTGACTACACAAGATCCACACATTGATGATATTGTTGGTAAAGGAATACCTATTGGATCTATCACTGAAGTTGTTGGCGAAAGGTAAAAAAAAAAATCATTCTATTTTATTTTATTTAATTGACTTTCTTCTTTTTTTTATGAAACCCAACTACATAAAAAAAAGTTCTTCTGGAAAAACTCAATTATGTCTTCAACTCTGTTTTACTGTACAACAACCTATTCATCTTGGTGGATTAGGCAGTGGTAAGAAAAAAGAAAAGAATAAAAAAAACGAACATGATTTTTTTTTAATATCAAAATGTATTATATTTCTTGTCATTTTTTTAGAGGCAGTGTATATTCACAATGAAGGAAAATTCTCATCTAATCGATGTCATCAACTAGCGACATGGTTTGGGAAACAATACAACTTATTACCGAGCAAGATGACTGAAGCCATACATACCATGTATGTACCAACAACCGAGGCATTTTTTCGTAGCATTGCTTATCAATTACCTGTGTTATTAGAAAGACAAAAAAAGATTCGTTTGGTGGTGATAGATTCTCTTGGATCAGCTTATCGTGGATGTGGTACGGAACAACAACGGATGGATCAATTTGATACTTTACAAGAAATATGTGAATTAGGATGGCGATTGAAGAAATTGGCTCATGAATATCAAATAGCTATTGTGGTTGTCAATCAAGTATCTGATATTATCATAGATGACAGGGAAAGAAAACAAAATAGTGATGGATATTTACCTTCAAGTATGAAAGATTGGTTGGATATTACCTTGGAAGGCGATCATATGACCAGAATAGGAATGTTTATTCAATCATTAGCAAAGAAACCTATCTTGGGTATGACTTGGTCTAACTCGGTGACAACAAGAATTCGAATGGCAAGGTCATTGATGATGGATGGTCAACCTACTAGAAGGGCTCTCTTGGTGGAATTTTCTTCTTTGGTACCAAGGCGTGGATGTGAAATTACTATAGATGAACGAGGTATTCGATCAAAAATAGAATTAGATCATTTAGAACAATAGTTTATATATAATATTTCTTGAATAATAATAAAATACCCCTCCATCATATTATCATTGTCAATGCAATATTTAAACTTAGGATCATATACTTAACTAATAATAAGAAAAAAAGAACCATCTGCTCATTTTATTTCACAAATCATTTATCTTTATATATAATCAAATCAAGAAAGAAATAAAAAGGTGTGTGACAATTAAAATCCATTAAAATGGGTTTGTTGTTTTCAGTTTGAATGAAAAAGGTAATACCGGTTTTGATCACAAATAGATACATAAACAATTGATTTCCTTTCTCCGTTTTTTTTTTTTTCTGTTTCTGTTTCTCTTTCTTTTTTTTTTTTTTTTTTTTTTTTTTTTTTTTTCTTTTACAGTGTCATGGCTTTATCCAAGATCTTTCGAACGAAACAAAAATTACGTAGAAAAGATGCTCAACGAATGTCAACCACGGATCTTGATACTTCTGGTATATTAGCACAGCCATTCCCACCCATGTTCTCTCGTGCCAAGTCACCTTGTGATATTTTGGATTTTGTTGGTTACCCTCGAGTTCGACCTATGGAACAACCACCTTCTCCTATTAGACAGCAACCCACCTTCATCGATGCTCCATTGACGATTAGAAATAAAACTCCAAGTACCGCAGCAAATAATAGTGGTGATTCGTTTCCTTCATCAACAACCCATGACTTCTCTTGCCTTCATATGCCAACACCCAAAAAGGCAATGGCTCCTACTTGGCGTATCTTGAATGCTGATCGGACTGAAAAAACTCTGGTGATGGATCATCATCAAGACAATAAGGATCATGGTAAAATAGTAAAACATAAGTTTGATCATGAAAAAAAAAAAGGGTAGATTCATTTTTTTTTTTTTTTAGCTCATGTTTTACAACAACAGTTGAAGGAAATTCGTCGTGAACGTGAAGCATGGGCTCTCAGAGAAGAACAACGACGTCAATTAGAAGATCAAATGTTACGAACCATTGAAGCAAATCAAGCAAAAATCAACCAATTATCTGCATCCTGTCCAGATACCTCCTTTAGTAACAAACGATCTTCCAATGGATCCTACACATCTTATCAACGGTCAACACCATCTTATATCCAAGACGATGACAATGAAGATGATGATGACAACGACAATGATGATGATGATGACGATGATGATGATGACGATGATGATGATGATGTTTATTTGGATCAATGCAACAACCATTCAATGAATCATCCATACGATAACTCAAGCATGCATCAGTATCATCCATCCTTCTTGTTTGCACCTGTTCATCCAAGTCAGCGACAGCAACAATATGATGACGATTCACAAGATTCATCTTATTTAGAGCAAGATGATGATGATGATGATGATGATGAAGAAGAAGAAGAAGAGGAGGAGGATGAAGCCCCATACCGACATATGCGATACTCACCGATATATTATAAAAGTCGATCTACTTTGTCCTCCAAGAGACAGCCATCAAGATGTTTACGTCCATATGCGCCTCCCATGATGATATCAAGGCCTCGTGTACTTCCCATGAATTACTATCATCGACCGACCTCCACTCATTTGATACAAGATCCTTTTTTACAAAAACCACTTCGGCGACATCGTAGTTTTGGAGATGATCCTGCCTGTATATATTATTAATTTATAAAATCATATATATTTTATTGGTGTTTCCTTTTTTTTTTTTTTTTTTTTTTTTACAATATGGAAAGTGAAGAAATAAACTTATTTTTAATCAGTATAAAAATGAATGATTTATGATGATGGAGTATAAATTATTCTTTGATGAATCAATGCGTCTCTATTTAAAATGTCCTGTCAATTCATTCATTCATGATATGATATGATTTTTTTTTTTCATTCACATGGAGAATCTTTAGTGTAGCACATTGAAAATTTCGGTGGGAAAAAAGTATGAATAGAGTACCCCCTTAATCTTTTTTTTTTTGAAGCTTGCACCCCCTTTTTCTTTTTGTTTTTTTTTTCTTTCCTCTTTTCTTTTTTTTTTTTCTTTTTCTTTCTTTCACTTTTTACTATCTTTCTTCTTATATCATGGCAGCTCTAGTGACTGGACCCAATCAACAAGTACAAGTAGAAAAGAAACCTGTATCCTATACTAATTTGGCCATTGGTGCAAGTAAAGCAATTCTATAAATATATATTATACGCCATCTTTACTCTTTTTTTTTTTTTTTTTTTTTTTTTTTTTTTTGGTCATAATATATAGGTTTGAACTTGTTTGAAGTCTCTACACTAGGTCAGCCTTTTGAAGTGGTGAAAACGCAATTAGCAGCTAATCGAGGACAATCACTAGTACAAGCTCTATCTACGGTCTATAGTCGAGGTGGTATTTTTGGATTTTATCAAGGCTTGATTCCTTGGGCTTGGATTGAAGGAGCTACTAAAGGTGCTGTTTTACTCTTCACTGCCTCTGAATTCGAATATCGTGCTCTTGTTGCTGGTGCTTCTCCTTTCATGGTAAAAAAAAATCATCATAGGGTGTGAAAAATAAATAAATATGTAGATTTTTCTTACCTTTTTTTTTTTTTTTTTTTTTTTTTTTAAATAGGCTGGTATTATTGGTGGTATGGCAGGAGGGATAGCTCAAGCATATTCAACCATGGGATTTTGTACGTTTATGAAAACAGTGGAAGTAACACGACATAAATCAGCAGTGAAGGAATCCACTTTCAAGATTGCAGCTGATATCTTCAAACGTGAAGGCATTGCTGGGATCAACAAGGGTGTGAACGCTGTGGCATTACGTCAATGTACCAATTGGGCTTCACGATTTGGAATTACGCGATTCACACAAGAAGCGATTGCTAAAGCTCGATATGGTGATGTTTCGGAAGCAACCAAGAAACTTACGGCTACTGATAAAGCTCTGGCATCCATGGTGGGTGGTGCATTATCCTGTTGGAATCAACCTATTGAAGTCATCCGTGTTGAAATGCAAAGTCAAGTTAAAACAGCTGGTCGTCCTGAAAAAATGACCATCATCAAGGCTGCTCAATGGATTCATCAAAACAATGGTATCAAAGGTTTCTATCGTGGTGCTTTGCCTCGTATTGGTCTCGGTATGTGGCAAACTCTTTGTATGGTCGCTTTAGGTAATGAACAGATATATATTTTAGATGAGATGATTGAATTTAATTTATTGTTTCATTTTTTTTTTTTTTATAGGTGATTATTTCCGTGCCTTGTTTGGAACCAATTAAGTTTATATAGTTTATTTACTGAAATTGAAAAAGTGATGATGTTGATGTGGATATGTGGGAGAGAGGGGTTGTGGTATTAGAGAATGATTCCAGATACCCTTTTTTTTATATATATATTCTTTTGTACTTTGATTGTTTAATAAATATACATATATTTGATTGTTTGTTCCTTGATGATATGAAAGCTATCAGCCTTTTCTGTTGCATAGGGAATCATGAGGTATAGTTCGAAAAAGTCCGCTGACTGTTTTGGGAAAGTCACTACAACAACACTAGAAGTTTTTTTTTTTTTTTTTTTTTTTTTTTTTTTTTTTTTTTTTTTTTCCTTTCTTTCATTTTGTAAATCACAATATGTTATCTATTTTTACTCGAAGTTTACTTCAAACAGGATTCAAGACGTCTTCCATGACCGCTACTGGTTTGAATACCATTCGTGAAGCATCTACAAAGGCCAATAAAACAGCGAAACTCAAAGGACAACTCAAGGTAAATCAATCAGTGTCACCATTATAAAACCGTATTTGTTTCATGTCGTTATTATTATCAATGTATTCATCTTTTTTTTTTATTGGAAAATAGGCAAAGCAAAAGAAGAGACGTGCTCGTGTATCTAAGGCGTAGAGAGAAGTGCTTGAAGATAGTCAACAACAACGACAACAATGATTACCATCGACGGACGAGTGTGAACAAGCTTTTCGCTATACAATATACAAACATAAAATTTATTGGTTGGAAATGACTGACTAGTTATAGATATTAGACATAAATATTTCGAATAAAACAATACAAAAAAACAAAACACATTGAATCTTCGTTTTCTTTGGAAAAATGGAATAGGTAGGATCAGCAAGGACAGTTTTCGGATGTATGGGGACCAAGGCAATAGACGCACTTTTTAGCCTTCTTTTTCTTGTTTTTATCGTTGGCGGAAGGAGGTTCAACAGATGCAGTGGTGAACAAGGTATAATGTAAAGTAGGATTGAGATTAGGTCGAGGAAAGGAGCCAAGCACAGTGCTTTCCGTCACCTGTTCATAGTAATAGTAGTTATCTTGGTCATGAGTCTTTGTCTTTGTATAGTGATGTACCCGTTGTTGATTGCTGGTGGAGAAGAAATGACGAGGGGCTTTAGTGATGATGGATATTGATGGCAGAAATGCACGTTCCAATACATGATGGCTGGTCGGTACTGCTAAAAGAGATCGGGTGAATGGAAATAATCGAGGCATATAAAAAATGAAAATAAAAAGGAAAGGAGAGAGAGAGACAGTATGTGTGGGTTTAAATCAAGAAATATTAAAAAGAAAAAGCTAAATCAAACCACCTGATTCACAGCCTCATGCTTTTTCATATAACAGACCTGGTCTTCGGAGTTCACCCTCCCTGTTCCTGAAAAAAAAAAAAGAAAAAAAAGAATTGCGCAGCATGACTTTTTATTTTTAATTATAAAAATGGATAAAAATGGCAGATATAATATATATATATATATTATAAAGATAGGTAATACATAAAAATACACACTAAACTAAGTGTACAATTCAAGAGTGAGAGTAAGTGCATCGGCCTTGAGATCTTCTTCTTCCAAAAAGTGAGTAGGGAATTCCACTAAATGACCCTTTATGTTGGCAAGATGTGATCGAATTTCGTCTGTGGTCATTTGAGGATTCCATACATGGCCAATATTGATCAATGAAGGTTCGGGATAAAATGCTTTGTATTGTTCAAAATTACGTACTACTCAAAATAAATAAATAAATAAATAAATAAATAATCTCTATCATCCTATTCTATCCTTACCATTATCATCAGGCACACAATGGAATACATGACGGAAAGCTTCGGTATTGATTCGAGCCGTGTTGATCCATAGTCTAAGTGTATCTTCATGTAAGGGATCCATCACCATACAATCTTTTTCCGTTCCAGTTTCATCTAACTGTGGTACAGGTAATGGCAACATAGCGGCTGTCACTTCCGTCAAGTGTTGATGTGGAAGTAGTCCTAAATGTTCTTTCCAGAGTTGTCGTCTTAATGTAGCAGCAAATCGTGATGCTTGGTACTATTAAAAAAATAAAATAAATAAATAAATATCATTTCTTCAATTTTTTTTTTTTTGTTCTTACGGGATGTCCATTCATTTGAGAGGGAATATGATCTTGATCTTCGACCAGTAAAGCAATTTCACTATCACGATCACCACATTGAGAACGATCATTGATATTGGCTGATCCCATAATCACAAGCCGATCTGTCATTAAAAAAAAAGAAAAAAGGGTCAGACATCTCATCTTTTTTTTTCTTTTATTGTTTCATTTGTTTATACACTTACCATCAGCAATCAAAAGCTTGGCATGAACATAAAGTTCTTCAGACACATAAGAAGATGCTTCCTCATTATCCGTGGATTTGTTACGATGAGATGTAAATCGAGTATCAGATAACCAAGGTTCTTGATGGATATCACCTCCTTTCATAGCATGGTAGGCAATAGAGTCAGATGCAATATCGAATGAATGTTCAGCATGTTGTTCAGTTGTACCAGGTATATGAGTACTATCCACGTCGGCTTCCATCAAACTTGATAATGACGCAGAATATCCAGCAGCACGGGCCATCATTTCTTCCAACTTTTTTCGATGAATTCGGTCATAACTTCGTAAACTGTAGAATCGAATATAGTCTTCTGGTTCCACACCGGCTCGTCGTAATTTTTCAAAGATACTTTTGTTACCTCTACTGATAGAAGTGTACTGGTAATGCATCACAGCCCTAAAACAATTAGTGAAAGAAAAAAAAACCATCATTAACATGCCATAACATTCAATAAATTCACTTACTTTGCATCTCGTGCAGCCTTGGTGGCCAAATCAGCAGGGAAGGCAGGTATACATGGTATAACAATGAATATCTTGAACTTTTCATTTTCTTCATGGGCTCGAATGATACGATTGACAATGGCAGTTCCAAGTTGATTCTTGATGATATAATTAGGGTCATCTTCAGTAGTTGTAACTGTGTATGACAGAAGAAACCAAAAAAAAAGAAGTGAGTCAAAAAGATATCTTTTGATTATTTACTTACTAAAGAATTGATTTTCAATGTATACATAATGGCGAGCTTCAGAAATGGCAGAAATATAAGCAGATTGAATGGAGCGCTATTTTAATGAGAATGATAATAATAATAATAATAAATAAAAAACAAGACAGACATGAGATGCACTTTATTTTTCCATATATGATTAATGTTACCTCCAAGGGAATACCAGAACTCCAGTTGGCACTACTACGAAGCACTTGAGCACGACATGTACCACGAACACCACGAGTAGCATGACGGAAACGAGTAGATCTTGATCGTAAAAGCCCTTCAGAGATGGGTGATTTGAATGTTTGCCGTTGACTGAATCCACCTACAGGAGGTTGCAAGAAGGGAACTTTTGATTTGTCAAATGCTTTCACACTTTTGACGAAATTCCATCGATCACAGAAATGTCGTGCCACGTCTAATACAGGTTCACCAATCTATAATAATAGATAAAATTTCATTTTAGTAATAGACATCTCTTTTTTTTTTCTTTTCTGTAATCATATTTCTTATATTACCACACATAGAGACATATCATGCCAAGGCATACGAGGTATAGTTGTTTTGTCAATTAACATCCTATCCCAATTTTTCACTATATATAAAAGAGTAAGTTCACAAGTTTCAACATTGAGTTAATGGTCTTTTTTATTACCATCTTCAAAATCCCGTACACGAGCATCACTGTAGTCTTGACCAGGGAACATTTCTAAACCAGTGATACCTCCATGAGTATCTGCAAGTGGATGAGTATGAGTGTCCCAACGACCATAACAAAGATCGATACCACCTAAAAATGCGATATGATTGTCTATAACCACAAACTTTTCATGATGAGACCAAAAGAAGGTGCCACCGACTTCATGATCTGGATGTCGGAGAACTAGTAGAAAAATAAGTGAGATATAGAACAAATAAAGATCCAATATATATATTACCAACAATGTTTTCGTGTTGTCCTTGTAATGCATCCTTAGTATATCGACTATCCAAAGTCATTGCTTGTTTCACCTCCTAATTAAAAAAAAAAAAAAGAGAAATGGAGATGAATAATGATTCTATTTTTTTAAGATATATAAAATAAACTTACCTTGTAGACAACGATAAAGATCTTAACACCTTGTTCAGCCTTACGTTTCAAAAGAGCATCTAGACGATATTCTGGATATGTGGAAGGAGGTCTACGCAAATACTAATACGTTTAATAAATAGTAAGTATTTTGGAACTACTGTGTTCAAAATAAAAAAAAAAAAATGGTTATTACCAATTCTGGTGACTATCCAAAAAAAAAAAAAAAAAAAGGTAAGAGAAAGGCTAGTCGGTAAACATTTATATTCTATTGCCCAAATACCATATACTTTTTTTTTTTTTTTTTTTTTTGCTAGGTTACTTACCAACCACCAATCTTCAATAAAAATAGATTCCCTTGCATGTTCAATAGCTTCAGAAACAGCCCTACAGAAAAAAAAAAGAGTGAGAAAAACACGTGAAATAAGGAACGAACTCACCAGATAAAGGATAAAAAAAAAACAAAAACTTACCAACAATAGTCATGTCCATCCACAAAATATTTCACTTTGGCATCATGACGAACAGGAGCAAACGAAGCATGACGATGACTTTTAGCAAGTCTGGCAATTTCATTTTCTTCTTCTTCTGGTGTACTTTCTTCTAAAAGTTGACCAGTAAGTTCGTGTACACTACTAATGATTTTATTTTTAAGACGGTGGGTCATAGAATGTAGACTATGCATGTTAAATAATAGTAATAATGAAAAAAGAAAAAAAGAAAGATAAAGAAGGAAAAAAAAAAAAGGAACGGTTTCAAAAAGGCGCTTTTTTTTTTTAATTTGTAGCGAACTGAAGTTCAAATTTTTCACCTTAGCCCATTTTTCGCGCCAAAAAAAGCCCTTCGTGATTCGTTTGATAAACGCAATTCATTCTGTAACACCCGATTTAGCCTCATGCACTCAAAGCAGTAAATCTTGAATGTAAAATAAAAAAAAAATATGAAATTTTATTGGGATATGCAGAAATTCAATGCAGTAAAATAATAATAATAATAATAATAAAACAAATAAACGTATGAATGTAAATATCTATCTATGTAATTATTCCTCTTCGCTTTCAATATTGGAATCCATCTATTTATAAAACAAGAGATTATTAGTTCATCCATTATATATATATATATATATATAAATTTAAAAATAATAAATAAACTATACCTGTAAAGCGTCATCATCAGAATCATCCAAATCTTCACTAAGTTCCATATCATCCATTGAATCATCGTCATCATCTTGATCCATTTGTTCAGCTTCATCATCCGATACTTGTTCCACATACACAGTGCTAGGCTTTTCATCTCTATTGGTATGTTGACTAAGAGATCCAAGCTTATGAGTTCGAGAATCAATTTGTGAATTGACAATGTCTAATCGACCATTCAAAGCCATCAATTTGGGAAGTACGCTGAGTCGGGTATCAATGGCTTGGTAGAAATTGGATAACTTGCCCACGAGATCAGGCACTGTCATCAAATAAGCTGTGTGAATTTGTAACACTGGTTGAATCCAACATAAAACATCTTGTGCTCGGCTAGGTTTTCCTTGGAATCGTTCAATCAATCGTCTTAACAATGGTATGACATAGGAAGTTGGCAATCTTCGTACTGTGGTGGCAATAATATCGGGATTCCTATAACTGAGACATCCTTCCAATAAAGTGTTGTCATTTGAATGAAGAGCTTGTACAAGAGCATTTTGAAGTGATTGTACTGATGGTACTTTAAGTGGCAAAGTTTGTTTTTGTTGTGTTTTCCTGGACTTGTCGAGTTTGATTTTATTATTTCCTGTATCATCATCATCATCGTTTTCTTTAGCCATTTCCATTGCTTCCAGTTTTTGTTCGATCGTAAGTTCTGCTGGAGATGTCTCATTGTTGTCCGCCATACTTGGATTTTGAATGGTATAATCCGTGTTACCTACGACATTGACCTTGGATTCATCATATGACTTGCTGGTTTTTTTCTAAAAAAAAAAAAAAAGGAATCTTATAAATAAACTGTCATATCATCTATATGTTTTATATGATTTACCAAGTTTCTAATAGCTAACGAAGAATCATCAATCAAGTAATTGGTGATAAGTTGTCTTGAAAGAGTAATGTTCTCCAAAATAGCACCAGATTCTTCATTGATATAAGGCTAAATAGAGAGTAAAAAAAAAAAAAAAAAATCAATCATGAATCAAAAAAAAAAAAAAAAAAAAAAAAAAAGAGGAAAAAGACTCTATCCAATCCACTTACCACCACTTCAAACATAGGTTTAATAGAGGAACCACGAGCAATCATAACAGATCGACCATTATAATCACTCACAAATCTTGCAGAAAAAATAGGAATTTTTGTTTGATCATCTTGACTAGCTAATACTGAGATAGTAGTATCAGCAGGTCGAGTCATGGCACCACGCATTATCTTTCGTCGAGGAGGTCCATTACGTACAGAAAGAGTAGCAGAAGCATTTTGCCATATTCCACAAGTTCCATCTTCCGATACCACCAAAAGAGAAGGTTCCACACTTGAAAAATGCACATGAGTAGCATTGTCTTCCAAAGTCAAAGCGGTGATGTTGCTGGTATTATTGTTGTTGGCCTGTGCATCCCATACATTGATATATCGATCATCTTCAGCAATAGATACTAATACATCATCCTGTTGAGAGAAAGCCAAATTCAATACAGCACTTGCATGGCCAGTATATTTCTAAAAATAAAATAAAATAAAATAAAATAAAATAAAAAAGATATGAATCATTGGTGTTCAATTACTTTATAAAATATTCAGGACGTCTACCCTACCTTGATCACTTTTCGTTCAGTAACATCCCAAAGACTGATCGTATGTCCGGCAGTAGCAAGCTTGGTTTCACTATGACTGAGTTTGAGACGACGTACATTTTTAGCATCAGCTTTCCATTTCCTAAATAAAAGTAAGATAAAAAAAAAAATTGAGATATCTTTATTCTAAATACAGTGTCAAATTTCTTACATAATTTCATGTCCTTCTTCAATATTCCATTCCACAATATAATTGTCTTCACCAATAGAATACCCTTTGGTACCAGCCTTATTCAAGGTAAAATCCGTTACAGGTTGTGTGTGTACGTTTTCCAAGCGTTTGACAATATCACCATGTGCCAAAGAATACATGAGAATAGATCCTGATTGAGTACCCAAGATCACTACTTTTGTCAATGTTGAAGATTGTTTGGTTGTAGACGATGATTTTCGTTTTCGTAATGAACTATTCAACTTTAGAAAAAAAAAAAAAAAAGAGGTCAAGTAAGGTTCTTTTCTTTTTTTTTTTTGGTATGATCTTTACCTGACCGAGTTCCCCATCGTCATGAATACTTCCCCAAGATAAACAAGTAAAACGTTCTTTCTCTTCTGCAGTATAATCATTGTTGACAGTGCCAGATCGTACATTGAAAATGCGAAGACGATGTCGATCTAACCCATGTGTCACCAAGGCAAAGTGTTCTGCTCCTTGACTATTGTCGAATCCAGATAATAATATTCCAGAGGCTGTACTTGCTGAGGTAATGGCCGCTGATGTTTCAGGATTAGGTGCAAAGGTCGTTTTCCCCATAATTCTATGAATAACTACAACAAAGGAGAAAGAAAGAAAAAAAAAAAAATTGTGTCAGGAAAAGTTTGCAGAAGAGCGAAAAAAAACATGTTGAGAGAATTTTGAATATCAGCCATCCACGAGTCACACCAATGTCTGCTTCTGGAAATCGATCCAATCAAACAAGAAATAGACTAGAGTTATGATATCGAATATTCAGGTACAGTAAAGGAAATGTAGTAAATGATCATCACCATCTTTTTTATATATTATTTATTGAAGTAAAGTGTAGATAAGACAATGGTAAATATCATTATAATTGACAAGAATTCATCATCTATTATAGACATTTCTATTAGATCACGCATCTATTTTTTTAAAAAAAAAAAAGAAGGTAAGAAAAGAATAAAAAGATTTATTGAAAGAATAAAATAGAAAAGAAAACAATGCTAGTTGAATGACAAAGAAGAGAAAAAAAAGGGGGATAATTTGTATAATAAAATATGAGTGTGAGAAGTAAGAATGAATGCGGTTTGAATAATCTACATATATAATTAAACTACAAATAAAGGGAGGCAGCGAAGATGATATCACGATGAATTCGATTAATACCTAAGAGAAAAACAAAAACGTTAATAATAGATACATATTCTTTCATTTCTTTATCTTTTTAATTTTTTTTTTTTTTACCTTCAGAGAACTTGTTTTCTAATTCTGTGTTACCAATACTCTTTGCAGCTGAAGCCATTTGTCGTAAAAGTTCCTCCAATCGCCTAAAGATACGAATAAGAGACCCTTCATAGACATCTGTCATTTTGCATATTTGTGAGAATTTGGCACCTTGACACCATGCATATACCACATCCATCAATTCAGGTTTGAATTTAGTCACATATTCATCTTCATCTAGATTCATCTTGCATTCAATCGAGACTTTGGCGATCTTTCGAGCCATTTCTTGCATCAGTCGTAAAGGCGTAGCTAATTCATCTTGTAATTTGGCTTTGAGTTCCACCTTTTCATCAAACACGAAACAACTAAGAAGTGCCACGCATTGATCCACCTTCAAATCGTTAAATACACCTTGGAACATCATTTCCGTCAACAATAATTCGTCGCCTGTACTGATTTCACAAGCAACACGACCTTTCATTTCCACAACGTCTGCTGAGGTAGTAAATCCAAGTCTATAAAGTTTTTTTTTTTTTTTTTTTTTTTTTTTTTTTTTTTAAAGAAAAAGTCAATACAGCATCATTTCTCTCTCTCTCTCTCTCTCTCTCTCTCTCTCTCTCTCTCTCTCTCTCTCTCTCTCTCTCTCTCTCTCTCTCTCTCTCTTTTCTTTTCCTTTTTTCTTTCTTTCTAATGTTACCTTCGCATTACACGTTTTCGACTCTTGAGTTCATCTAACTGGACAATCGCTTGAGCGTCGGTGATCTTTCTCTTCGTGTTCTTGATATCGTTAACGATCTTCATTTTGGATACATAAGATTCATACATCTTGGGTAATTCTTCAGATTCAGATAAAGGATGACTTGTTAATTGTTTTTCCAGGATGACAATTTTCTATTACGTTGAAAAAAAAAGAATGTATAAAAAATTAAAAAAAAGTTTACTATTTTCTTTTTTCCCCATTTTTCTTTCTGCTTTCTTACCTTGACAAGTTTCTTAAATACAGGATCATTGATACCCATGTTTTGAATAGGATCTAGGAGTGGTAAATCATCCTTGAAGCGCTTATGAACTTCCTTGATAGATTTTTGGACAGAAGCTCGACCATCACGACTCTTGATATCATTTGGTAACTTCAAACGGATATGACTGATACCATGAATAGTATTGAGTAAAACAGGAACGACAATCATCATACTACCTTTGACAGTGGGATCTTGAGGATGGATACCAACTGATCGACCTTGAGCATCCTTGGAAAGAGAACTATCTACAGTACAGCTGAGTAAAACATCCAATATATAGTATGTTGCAGTTGGGTCATCTTTTGGTTTTCCTTTGTTGATAGCACGATTATATGTGACCACAGCACCCCATCCAAAATCGAGATTGTTGTGTTTAATGTGAACTAGTCGCCCAGGTTGCATGAATGGCAAACAATATGTTGGATGGTTGATCACTTCACGAATATTTTCCGTAAATGTATCGATTTGATGTCGGATTTCATAATAGGACTTGATTTCTTCTTCATTTTCAAATTTGATGGCATTCTTTTGTTGTTCTAATTGCATCAGTTCTAAATAAACAAAAAAAAAAGGTTAGTCTTAACTTATAAAGAGTTGTTTTCATCCACTTGCCTTGTTCATATTTTGGAATGTTTGCGTCGTTTTGAAAGGTATAGAAACATCTTTCCAACATAAATTCAGGACTAATGCCTTCCACACGAAGAAGATTAAGGACCATGTTGTAACTGAGATGGAATGCCGAGTTCATACGATCTGATTCACCCTAATAAATAATAATAAATCATAAGATAAAGATGAGCCTTATCTATTTTTTTTTTATTCTATCCTTCCTATAGAATTACCTTGACCATTCCTTTAGCAACTGCCGGTTCCATTTTAGAGTCAATCATCATAATGACAACACCACGTTCATCAAGACCACGACGACCTGCACGACCTGACATTTGAATATATTCACCGGAAGTAACCTACAAATTCATCCAAAAATACAATGATAAGAATAAATATAAAAAATTATATCATGATGACTTACCCATCGTGTTGCCTTCCCATCAAATTTCTGGACACTTGTAAATACTACAGTTTTTGCAGGCATGTTCAATCCAATAGAGAAGGTTTCCGTAGCAAACAACACCTTTAACAAATTTTCTTGGAAAAGTACTTCAATAGTTTCTTTCATAATTGGAAGAAGACCACCATGATGGACACCAATACCACGTTTGAGTAAAGGAAGTAGCTGTTGAATTTGAGGAAGTTGACGATCATCTTCACTAAGGGATGAAATGGCATTGTTGAATACTTGTGATACCATTGCACTTTCATTTTCTATCCAAAAAAAAAAAAAATTGAGATAAAATCATGAATTATTTATTTCTTTTGTTTTCTTACCATCATTAAAATCAAGTTTGGATAATTGAAGAGCATTGGCTTCACATTCCTTTTTCGAGAAACTGAACACAATGACAGGGTGATAATTCTTCATCATGATCATCTTGATAATTCGGTAAATATCAGATGGAGCATCATTCGCACCACCTTTCGCTGTTTTAGGACCTTTCTTGCCACGTCCACCACGACCAGCAATACCACTTGGATCATCCGCTTGGTTTTCACTAATAGCACCAATGGCCCGCATAAAATTGTCTTCACGGAATACACTTTTTTCATCTACAACTAAATGAATACCTTCGCCACCCGCTGGGAATAAATAATGTTGTAGAGGAGTAGGTCGAAAATCGGTGTACACAATATGACAAGGTTGTTCGTGAATCTTGCAAATCCATTCAGCAAATTCCATAGCATTGGGAATGGTTGCAGATAAAAACACATATCGGACAGCATGAGGTAACAGGATAATAGATTCTTCCCATACCACACCACGTTCTAATATTTTTATCCAAAAAATAAAACCAAAAAAAAAAATATGAATAATGAAATGATCCAATGATTTTTTTTTATTGATTTTCTTACCTGAATCACGCATATAATGAATTTCATCATAAACAACCCAGGCTACTTCACGAATGATTTCAGAACCACGGTATAACATTGATCGTAAAATTTCAGTAGTCATGACCAAACAAGATGCTTCAGGATTAATAGTAACATCACCAGTCATCAATCCTACATCACCAAAGTCTTCAGTGAATTCACGAAACTTTTGATTGGACAAAGCCTAAAAGTGAAGAAAGATGATTTAGTTTTTTTTTTTTTTTTTTTTTTTTTTTATCTATTGTATAATAATATTACCTTGATAGGAGATGTGTAAATCACACGTTGTTTGTTTTTCAAGCATTGAGCGATCGCATATTCCGCCACTACTGTCTTCCCGGCAGATGTATGAGCAGATACCAAGACAGATTCGTTTCGTTCAATAGAAGAGACAGCAACACGTTGAAAAGGATCGAGAGTAAAAGGATAACTACGAGCAGGATCTTCAGGTGGAACATGTTCAGAGATAGGTTTATAGTCATAGTTTAAAGGAAGAGCGACTTGATGACGGACCTAAATAAATATCTTTTTAAGTAAAAATATATATAAAAGAATATTTTTTAATTTTTCTTTGTTCTTACTTGGTGATTAAGAACGAGTTGAGCATCTTGGGTAGCAGTTGTTCCTTGTAAACCAGCAACATTGGTGACTTGTCTTGAAGTTTCTTGTTCAAAAGCATCGGCGACAATAGGTTGAGCATGAGTAGCGTCTTCAGCACGAAGACGTTTGATTTCAGTTTCTTCTTGAGCATCAGTAACAGGTGAAGGATCTCTTGGACGTTTGTGGTCATTCACTGGAGTAGATTGTTCGGTATCAGATTCTTCAAAATCACTAAATTGATCGTCCACTGGTTTCCCTGAAAAGACATCAAAAAGAGAGTCTGTGTTTTCATCAAACATGGTTTGACAATATGGATAAGAAAGGCTAAAGAAAAGACAAAAAGAAGTGGAGTGCCAAAAAAAAAAAATTTGACCCATTTTCTTTTTTTGCAAACATCGTCACGTTTTTTTTTCTGATGCATTACGAAACTTTAAAAAAGCGCTCAATATGCTTTCTTTTTCTATTTTCTGTTCAGTTTTACAATGTTTTCAAAGTTTTTTGTCGGGTCATAAGAAAATGTTTTTCGTGATATTATAAAATAAAATATTGGTCTTTCCCAAAACGCATGTCGCATTACTACATTTTTAGATATCACTCCAGAGATCTCGGTAGAATATGCCAAAACACATTGATGATGGATGATGGATGATGGATGATATCAATAGAAGCTTTCTTCTTCTTTATTATAGTCTTCTTAATGATCATAGCTAAATCAATAATTTGATTGTTCTCAACAGCAAAACCTGTTCTTTTTTTTTACATTATTTGTCATCACTTTTTTTTTTGTAGAAAATGTAAGGTCCTTTTTTTCATTGTTTCTTTTTTCTATCGTCAATAAAAAACAATCATCATTATCCGATGACTGATAAAAAAAAAGAAAGAATTAACAACCCGTTTTTATTCTTAGCATCCTCAGCAAAAAATTTATCGTTTTCTATAAAATATTCTTCCTTGATTTTTCTTTTGTTTTATTTCTTTGTCTTTTTCTTTATCCTTTTCTTATTTAACATTCATATATATATATCATTTGATCATCTATCGTACAAATCATATTATGGTAAGTTCCTTTTTTTATTATTTGGTCAACAAGAAGCATGATACTAACTCCTTATATATACATTTACATCAGTGATTCTATGATCCAAAATCGTCTTTTTATTTTTCTTTTTCAAGCAAGAAAAATAAAAAGACGACGATTTTGGATCATATTCGGTGGCTAGAAAGATTTGGAAGCTTGGTTATCAAGAGTGATTCGAAACTGCGTGTCATCCCATTAATTCTAAAACGTTGAGGACGATGATTCCATTTCTTTCTATGCCTGAGTTATATGCTTAATTCAAGTAGCAAAAACCCTACGACGTTTCGGTTGTAAGTATCAAAAAAAAAAAAAGAAGACTTTAATTATCATATTTCTCTTTCTATTCATTTTTGAATATTCTCTTTTTGGCATAACCAATACAATACAAATCATCCCTTTTTTCACCTGCAAAAACATATTATTCAATCACGCAAATTATCTATTCCTCTCTGCCAATTCATATGAAAAAAAAACAGTAGACAAAGTGAAAACATATATCAAGACAATGACAAACGCCATACATCACCAATTTCAGCCAATCGGAATCAAGCATTGGAACTTCGGTAGTCTCTGTTTGCATGGATTTCCTTTTTGAACCAGTTTGTATTTCGTTTACTTGTAGATTTTTTTTTATATATCTGGGACCATCTTTTGCTTTATTATTTATATTGTTACGTTTTTATTTTATATCTTTCTTTTCCTTTTATTTTTGTTTTTACATACTTTTTTTTTTTTTTGAATAAATTATACATTCGACTCATTTGAGCAGACTATCAACAATCATAAGATGAAAATAATATTCTTTATTATTATATCTATTCTCATTATTATAAGACAAAGTACTGTATTAATAAAAAAAAAAGAATATCTTATTATTGTAAAAAAACTAAAGAGATTCATCTTTTTTTTTTATTGACAAATATATTTTCTATTTATTCATTTTCATTGGATAATCAGTGATAAGATGAATTAAGATGGACAAGTTGAAAATAAAGATAAGAAGAAGAGTCTATTTTAGTATATACATATAAAATGAAAGGAGAGAGAGAGAGAGAGAAAGAACAGTAATATAAAAAAAAGGAAAAAAAAATTATTTATATTGAAAGATCATCCTGAATTCCAAAGATAGTAAATTCAGGTAGGTATTACGCGTAAAATATTGAAAGAAGGGGGGGGGGAGGATTCCTCGGAACGGATAAAAAAAAAAAAGAAAAAGAAAAGAGAGTAGTTATTTCTTTAACAGTATGAGTCATCAAAATAAAATGAAATAAAATGAAATAAAATGAAATAAAATGAAATAAAATAAAATAAAATAAAATATAAAATATTATGATCATTAAGAATTGAATATAAAATAAAATAAAAAAAAAATATATAAAATATAATATAATATAATATTTTAGGCATAAAGTTATGTGAACCAATCAGAATGAAGTATTCATATTTTCCAATTCAAAAATATGCATATTCTTCCCCGATAACAACTACTAGCATGGATTTTTATTTCTTCTTTTTTTTTTTATTCTCCTTCTTTTTTTTTATTTTTTTTTTTTATTCTTTTTCTTCTTTCTTTTATTTTTTTATTTTTATTTTCTATCTTAAATGCAATCTACAATACATATTGCATCTGATCAACAAGTAGATGTTCATGCACCTCCTGGAACATATTATACTACTGGTTATAATTCTGGTGGTGTTGTCAGTAGATTGAAAACTTATAATGTAAGTAAATATATATATATAATTCTTTTATTATTATTATTATTAACTTTTATTATTATTATTATTTAGGATAATGGTTCAAAATATGATACTATTTCTCGTAGAAGAAGAGCTTCTCATGGTAAATATATTATACTAATAATAACTAAATAAAAATTTGTTACTAATTTCATCTATTTTATTTATTATTTGTTATTATTATTATTATTATTGTATTTTTTTTTTTTAGATGATAAAAACAAAGCACGGAAATTCCTAATTGACGTGAAGGAAACACAACGTATCCTTGTGGAACAAGAAGATACTGATGGTGATTTTCAGATTACTGTCAATGATTTAGGTCCAAAGTCTTTTGCTGTTGGAACTGCTGACTCTGGTGGTTTTCGAAAATTTGAAATCCGCGGAACGTAAAAAACAAAAAAAAAAAAATCATACATTTTATATATATATATATTTTATTTATTTATTTTATATATATATTTTATTTTATTTATAGATATATGTTATCCAATTTATTACAAGAATTGGCTTTGGCTGATGATTATGGAAGAAAACATATTGTATTAGATGAAGCTCGTTTGAATGAAAATCCTGTAGATCGATTATCTCGTATGATTAAACATAGTTTTTGGGATGGATTGACTAGACGCATTGATGCTGAAGGTTTGGAAATTATTTGTATGGATCCAAAGAATAGACAAGCTGATCACAATCCTCGTATCTATATTCCTTGGGAAGAAGAAGAAGTATATCAATATTACAAGAATGTGGCTGAAACAAGAAAACATCTCAACTTACAAGTCGAAAGATTACCTCAACATATCACTCCACAATATGTCAAATCTATTAATGATAGACCTGGTATTCTTACTTTGGCTATGGAAAAACAACATACTTCTTCTAATACTACTATTCTAAGTGGTGTTCCATTTGTTGTACCTGGTGGTCGATTTAATGAAATGTATGGTTGGGATTCTTACTTTATTGCTCTTGGTTTATTGGTGGATGGTCGTATTCAATTAGCAAAAAATATGGTGGACAACTTTGTATATCAAATCAAGTACTATGGAAAAATACTCAATGCAAATCGGTCTTATTATTTATCACGTTCTCAACCTCCTTTTTTGACTGACATGGCTTTACGAGTTTATGAAAGGTTACCTCCAGATACTGAACATGATAACAAACTTTGGCTTCGTACAACTCTTCAAGCTGCTATCAAAGAATATCATACTGTTTGGATGAGTGCTCCTAGGTTGGACGCTAAAACTCAATTATCTCGTTTTCGACCCGATGGTATTGGTATTCCACCAGAAACGGAAGCTTCTCATTTTGATCATGTGATTGAACCCTATGCTATCAAGGCTGGATTAACCATATTGGAATATATGCAACAATATAACGATGGTACCATCATTGAACCTAAATTGGATGATTACTTTTTACATGATCGGGCTGTACGAGAATCTGGACATGATACAACTTACCGCTACGAAAAAAGATGTGCAAATCTGGCAACTATCGATCTGAATTCTTTATTGTACAAGTATGAAACTGATATTGCTGAAGCGATTGAAGATATTCTTGATGGTGATTTATTGGATTACAATGATGTGAAACAATATGCAGTCGAATGGCGATTACGTGCACAACGACGACAACAAAACATCGATCGCTATTTATGGAATAAGGAAAAAGGCACTTACTATGATTACGACACTGTCAAAGAAGAACAAAGTACTTACGATACAGTAACAGCATTTTGGGCAATGTGGGCAAAGTGTGCAAGTCAAGAACAAGCTGAAGCAATGACAACACATGGATTACCGAAATTTGAAGTGTTGGGTGGTTTGGTATCTGGTACAGAAGAATCTCGTGGTTTGACCTCATTGGATCGACCTAATCGTCAATGGGATTTTCCTTTTGGTTGGGCTCCTCATCAAATCATGGCATGGCGTGGATTTGAAAATTATGGTAAAGTGGATGTGGCCCGTCGTTTGGCTTATCGATGGTTATTCACGTAAGTATAATATACATTATATATATATATATATATATATTTATTGATTATTTATCTGTTTTTTTCTTCATAGTATTACGAAATCATTTGTCGATTTTAATGGAGTGGTTCCTGAAAAATACGATGTGGTCAGTCTATCTCATCAAGTAAAAGTAGAATATGGAAATGTAGGGATCGACTTCAAATATGTTCCGCGGGAGGGCTTTGGATGGATGAATGCTGCATATCAAATTGGACTAAACCTTATCACAACACAAATGCGACGTGCTTTGGGAACCTGTACGAATCCTGATCTCTTTTTTGAAAAAACAATGCAACGCGACAAACTGTATGAAACCAATCTTCGGCGCCGTAAATCTTCTGAAGCTGCTGCAAAAGCTATCACCAGAAATGGTTCTATCACAGCTGCCATCACTCGTATTGGTTCCTCAAATCATCATCATCATCATCTTCAACAACAACGACAACAATCTCAATCTAATTTTACCTTTTTGGAACTCACAGAACCTCATACCGACTTGGTCTAGTTAATTAGTTAGTTGATTTATGATATCTCATTGTCTGTTTTATTTTTTCCTTATGATCATTCTGTATTTGATGATTTTATATCTTATCAATTTACCACCCTTCTTTTAGTTTTACTAGCATACTCCTATGTTATATATATACATATATATATACTACTTTTTATTGTTTGTTTCTTTTTTAATTTCTTTTTTTGTTTGATTTATACCAAAAGTGGCTAATAAAAATTAGAAAATGTTGAATTGGAAAAAAAAAAAAAAAGATGGACAGGAAATGACCTATGCTGAATGATAGTTGAATTGTATGATGATAATATTACAAATTTGTAATGAATAAAAAAGAGAAGTGTGCCATAACGGGAGTAGTTGGTTTTCTAGGGAAAAATAGTATTTCCCCTCTTCAAGGTCGAATCTCCTATTTCCATGCTCGTTTTTGAACCATAAATAAGAAAAGAACTATCCATTCAAAAAGGAAGTTGAAATGTATAACATTATTAGACAGGATTATTGTTTTTATTTTTGTTCATTGAAAATGATAATAATAATAACGATTAAAAATATATACCTATTCTATGTAGTTCAAAAAAAAAAAATCCGAGGAAAAAGACAAGTAAAAATAATCAATAAACTGTATAAAGAAAGGACAGTAAAAGAATCAAAAAAAAAAAAGATACAAAAGAAGATACTAACTATGCGCAAAAAAAAAGAGGATGATAATAATGATAATATGTAAGTAGAAAAGTCGATAGACAAAGAAAAAAAAAACTACGAGTTGTGGATGTTGTAGACATTGTTGTTATATTTGTCGTCCTTCTTGGGATTGTTCATTGCCAAACCGTTACTGTTGAGATCCAATAGTCGATTTCCACTTTCTCTATGTGATCCACTAGCATCATCATTATACATAAACGCATCCTCATCTTCAGATATGTCATTTCCACGAGTCATTCCTCCAGTACGATGATGATCCAAAGGAGTAGAGTTTGAAATAGGCAAAAGACCATTATCTTGATGGAACCGTACAGCAAAAGGTTTGTGGCAACTGGCATGACCTAAAGCGGGATGATATTGACGATAAGCAAAGAAAGCACAAGCAGCACCAAGAAGAGCACCAATAGTCACATCTTGCCAGTGGTGACGATAATCTCTTGTTCTTGTGATTGCCACCAATAAAGCACCGATGACAGGGAACACAAAAGTGAAGCCCTTATAAGTATGCTAACCAAAAAGGAAAATGAGTATTCCAAATGCCAAGAGACATAAATATTTCATTTTAGTTCCTTACCCCGCGTTCATCAAACAATCGAAGTTTTCCTGCAAAATAAAGTGCCAAGTATCCAAGACCAGCAAAAGAGACTATTTACAGAAAAGTGAAATGAATCAATTTTTTTTTTTTTTTTTTTTTTAGTATTTGATGATCAATATTATTAATCTCGTTTTCTCATAACTTACACGAGGAATGACCACTTGGGAAAGATTTGAATCCATCTTTCATCAAAGGAGAATCAATAGAAGTGGTACAAATAGTATAATTAGAAAGACCTAAAGGAGGATCAGTCACATTCAAAGCAGGTTGACATCGCGATAAAAAATCAGGTCTAGGACGTCCCACAGTAACTTTGATAGCTTGAGTAAATACAACACTGAGACTGAGAGCCAAACATAGTCCAAGAACACCACTATGAAAATCATGAAGATTTCTCTTAGCTCCAAGTGATATAATTCCAATAATCACAAAAGGAGCAACAAAACAAATAACCTAAATATGAGTTTAAAAAGAAAAAAAAATTAAATAAAGAACAGTAATAGCTACCTTTTTTTTTTTCTTCTTTTTTCTTCTAAATCTTACTCCAAGTGCCCAAACAGGTACTTCTTCATGTTCAGTGTATGGAAACATAATAGTTTTGTCAGTAACAGAGAAATTTCTGTGGTAAGGAGCGGCCTTGTCAAGAGTAAAGAAAGCAGCAGTCATAATAATCACAAGAAGCCAATCATTCAAATATGAAAATATTAGTCGTTTTGTATGAGGTTGTTGCCAATCGATTGCCATCATCTTCTCTATAAAAAGTAAAGAAAAAGAAGAAGAAGAGGAGAATAAAAAGTAGAAGAGTGGTGCTGAAAAAAGAAGTAAGGAAACGGAAAAAAGGCCACTAGGGATAAAAGGAGCTTTTTTTAAAAATAAATGATATTTTTAAGATCAGCCGTTTGCAGAGAAAAGAAGGGCCAAGACAATTTATTCCAAAACAGGTAATAGTGATCGACTGCTTGATCAGTATAAGACAAAACAAAAAAAAAAAATTGGAAAATGATGATAATATCCTTTTTCATTATTATTATTCATGTATATATATAAAATAAAATTACTAAACTAAATAATCAAATAAAAACGGTATAAATGTTCATTTGGTTAATAGTTCACGTAGCTGGGGATCTATATAAAGTTTCTTGAGAGCTGCTTGAATTTCATTTCTTTCTTTTTCATTGTTCCAAACACTACGCTGTTGAAGTTTTTCTTGAAGTTTAGCTTGTTTTTTATCCATGGCCTTGATTCTTCGTTCAAATTGGTAAAATAGTACTTCAGCTGTTTCTAATGTCTTGTTCAATGATATGTTGCCAGTCAATTGATTAATATACTATACAAAAAAAAAATGTATATATATAAAATGAACCCAATGAAACAACCAATCAACCAATAGATCTATCATCCGTTGCTTACCTTTAATAATTCATCAAATTGTCCAAGTTCCGTTAAAATGGTTTGTCGATGTTGATGCAGGACAGAAAGAGCAACAAAAAGAAGAAATTGTTTGCTTAAATGATCAGTCCATAATACTTCCCAAAGTCGGATGACATCTTCCCAATCAAATTCACGTTTGAACCATACAAGTAACCATCGAAAACAAAAGAATAAATTGGTAGTTTCAGTTTCTTCAAAATGTTTGTAAAGATCAGGATCCATAAATCGTAGTAGAGCATCCAGAGATTTCAATTGTCGATGCATTCCTGATTGATCAGTAAAAAAGTTGGATTGCTAAATGAAATCATGAATGAGTCATTTTTATCTACTTATATTAAATCAAAATCACTTACCACACGATCCATAAATTTCACAAAACCCCAAAATGCCATGGCTTCATCTCCCATACCAACAAACATAGGCGCACACAAATCAGACATGCCTTGAACGTAGCCCAGTGTTGTATTGTGGAAGTTATAAGTCACCAAGATATCTTTCATGATTTCCAAATTGGCATTGGTACCCACTGCCATCTGAGGATCTGGATTAGGTAAGTCTTCACCGGCAAAAAAGTCAATGTTGCGATCCGTGCGATGTACATCCTTGTCAATACGATGTTTCTCATCCAGAAACTGTTTACTATTTCTTGTTTCCATATCGTTGAACCATTTAGCCTTGATATCAAAGTATTCTTCACTATATAAATAGAAAATTATTCAGATTCATAGACAATAAAATTATTTTACTTTAATTATTACTTACGCTTTGCTTCGTCGAATGGCTTCCCTTTCATCAAATGTACTTTGCCATGGATAAATACCTAATAAGAATTTCCAAGCTTCAATTCGAACGTCCGCATGTAATCCACCTTGAAAAATTAGCTTGTGAACATGTGAAAGAGATACACAAAGAACACCATCTTGATCAAAAAAGTCAATCCATTCTTCAGGAGAAATTGGTTCACGTCGACTATGATTGGGTAATGGCTACATAGAGAGAAAAAAAGTTAGTTCTAAAAGAGTTTTCTTTTTTTTTTTTTTTTTTTTTTTTTTTTTTTTTTGAGGAGAGAGGAGACAACTTACTTGTTGCATTTCTGGTATATCAGATAACAAACCATCAGCATATCGTTCATCATCAGACAATGGATCTAATGAAGCCTCAGCAGCCCTAATAAATAACAAAAAAAAAAAAAAGGATGATATAAGTATATAAAGAGTAAGAAAAATCAAACTTTATTCTTTCCTACCATTGAGTTAGGTAATAGCTTGCTACATTGTAGTCCCTCATGGTTTCTTGTACAGTTCCATTTCGACCAAGAGCTTGAATTGAGGTAGGTAATAATGGAACAATAGGTTGGGCCACTGGATGATCTAATATATGAGCTAAACATAAAAATAAAGTGAAAAGTGTGAGCCTGATATATATATATATATATATAGTATGCTTTTCTTTTATAAGAATTACCTGCCGTTTCCCTTGATGCCTTTGTAATTCTTGAAAATCTTTCTAATATAGTCCATCTTGCTTCCCTTAGACTGCTATATGGAGTTTCAGTTATTGAAGATGAAGAGGAGGATGGTGATATAAGAGGATGAGAAGAAGAGATAGGATCAGCTGTATGATAATCGGTTACTGTTGTTGTTGTTGTTGTTGCCGTCGTGGCGTTCTGTTCTGTAGTCAAGTTTGGTAATAAAATATATACATATTCATCATCAGTTGCCCTAAGAGATTATCAATAAAAAGCAATACCAGTCAATATTTTTCATTCAAACGTCAGCTGTAGATCATGTTACATACTTTTCTATTTCAACAAAGGCACCAAGAATATCGATGATGTTGTAACCAGGCCAAGAAGCATCAAATGGATTTGTTGGTTGATACCAAAGTGGTCGTAGAACATCGCCTTCGGTTGTTGTAATGACAATAGAACCTTGCAAGTCAGTTGTAGGAGGACGTACATAGAGTGAATGAATATTGGAAAGTGCAATCACTGTCGTTTCGCCATATCCCATATGTAGCTGAATAGTGGGAAATCCTATATAAATAGATAGAAGGATAATTGTATATTTGAGATAAAAAGAAAATATGCTATGCTGTCTATATATATATATATATATATATATGTATATATATTTACCTTGATCAGAGGGCAGTGCACTATCTAGAGTCAAAAATTTGTGCCAGTCTATGGGGTCAATCAAATGTTGAGGTATCCAGGCGATATATAAAAGAAGATTGTCCTCAGTTAGACTGTTTGATATAATAGTAAAATAACCATGAGTAGGTGGTCGATTACGTTCTTTTAGATAAAATGCTGATTTTGTATAAACAAGTCGTACTGTTTGAGGTTGGGGTTGACGTCGAGATTGAGTTGGAAGAGATGACAACTGTTGTTGTTGTTGTTGTTGTTGTTGTTGTTGTAGAGGTAAAGGTGCTGGTGAAGGAGTGAATGGTTGTTGAATTGTATAAGCATAAGGAACCGGTGGAAGCGGGGGAGGTACCTGACTTTTTGAAGATCTTGGATGTATCTGAACAAAAAAAAAGAATATGATATATATATATAATAGATAAATATAATAATATAAAATAAAATAAATAAAGTGGCTATGTATTGAGTTACCTGCATGTCGTTGAAGGCTGTGTTTATTGACGTAGTAGGAGTAGTAGAAGTAGTAGCAGTCGAAGCAGTAAGAGGAATACTGATTGTCGAAGTAGTAGTAGGTACAGATGAAAAAGGATTATAATACACTGGAGGAGAATGAGATGCACCGCCACCCATAGTCTTTTAGTAAAAAAGAAAAAAAAAATAAAGTGAATTAAACAAAGAAGAAAAAGAAAAGAATATGTAAATATTCTGAAAACTTGGCGACTTCTTTCTCTCTCTCTTTTTTAAATAGGAATTCAACATCCGCCCTTTTAGAAAATCATAAAAACCTTGGCAAATTCATGCCAGCAATTTGTCTCTCCTCTTGGCCTACATAAAGTGTACAAGTATCTCTTGACATGATGATAAACAAACATGTTACTTGATAAATAATTCAAATGTATATATTTATACCATTCTCTTTATTCTCAATCAATATTGTCTTATTTCTTTTCAAGTTTATCAACTTGGGAATCGTCATTGAGTTCCTTTTTTTTTTTTTGTTTAATTCTTCTGAATCCATCATATTAATACAATATTCTTTTGAAACCTATCATCATAGGCAACGTCATTAAATGTATCATCAATATCATCATTTTATTCTCATCATATATCATTACAGGAATCATGGACAAAGATACTACAGGTTTATCACTATAGTCTCTCCTGAAGATGTAATCTTGTTGTAATATTTAATAATAAATATTGGTATCGTGCATATTAGACTAAAAATTGACACAGTTAACACTTTGTGCACCTGAACTATAGGCGTTGTTCAGTGCATACAACATTAACATTGTCGTTTTTCAAATACCGATCCACTTTTTTTGGGCGTCTCCCTCTTTTGGGAGGTGTCATTGTTTCGTTCATTTTGTGGCTCAACAAAATTCAAGATTATTTACTTTTTTTTTCTCTCTTCTTTTCTCTTTCTCTCTCTTTATTTCCTCTTTTTTTTTGTTTTTTTTTTCTTTATTTATTATAAAACGATCCACTTTATTATTATTGTTATTATTATTTATTCTTTATTCTTTACAATAAAGTCATGGGATCTGGTTTTTCTCGTTTACAAAAGAAAAACAACATTTCACAACATTTTGCTGACAGAACAAATGGAAGCGACACTATGGATGGAGCTTCTTCTTTTACTTCATATTCGGCAAAATCGTCTGAATTCAAGTGTTCTTCTATAGAAAATACGAGTTATTGGTTACCAAAGTCTTATGAAGAACAAGATCGTTTGATGGGTGTAAGTATCATTATGGAATATTAATATGGATATACTAACTTCCACTTCATTTTTTTTTTTATCGAGTTTAGCAACACTTTGCTCTGAAAGAATCATTTGGAGGGTAATTAAAAAAAAAAAAAAAGGAGAAAAGGATTCTAGGGGAAAGGAGAAAAGACAAGAACAAAAGTTGTTGAGGGAGAGTGTGAATAATAAGAAAGGGGAAAGGGAGTCTAGTATACTTACTTACTTTTTTGGTTGTGCGGAACTCATATTTTCTTTTTTTCTTTCTTTCTTGATGATGACTATATAGGAATGTGTTACAAAATGCAAAAAAGGTCACACCACTGGAAGAAGGTGCACATATATTGGACGTAAGTGACCAACCGGAATAATATGGAATAATTTCCTATTCTTTCTGAAACAGCCGGATCACTTAAAATCTATCTCTCTCTTTCTTTTTTTTTTTTTTTTTTTTTTTAGATTGGTTGTGGTCCAGGATCATGGTGTTTGGTAATTGATGAAAAAAAGGGATGTTTTATTATAGCTAACTTATAATAAAAATATATAGGAAATGGCAACGGATTATCCCAATTGTGAGGTCTATGGAATCGATATTTATGCAGTTTATCCACAAACCATTCGACCTCCCAATTCTACTTTTATGTTGGCTGATGCACTTGAAGGACTACCCTTTCATGATGAAATGTTTGATCTTGTACAAATTCGATTAATGGTAGCTGCAATCAAAGTAAACGAATGGCCAAAATTAATCAAAGAAGCTATGCGTGTATTGAAACCTGGTGGTATTTTACAAATGATTGAACCTGATTACCGAGTATGTGATAAATATAATTATTGGGGTGAATAGAAATAATCAACTTTTTTTTTTTTTTTTTTTTGTTTAGGATTCTGGAGGTGGTGCTTCCCAACTTTTAGTACGAACTGGTAAGGAACAAAATTGATATCAAAAGGATAATGACATATATATAATGAATGATTTTTTTTTAAATTTTTTATCTTTGTTAGTCATCCGATTATGTGAAGAAAGAGGACAAGACCCTCATGTTGGTAGTCGACTAGAAGATCTTATGAGGAATGCAGGATTAGTAATTTTGGATTCTATCTCGTCTGTTTTGGATCACTCTGATGGAGGTAAATTGGTATCAGAATGGACATATGATTGGAAAGTATTCGCAACCGTTTCAAGACCTATTCTGGAAGTTGCTACTGGTTTATCTGGTGACAAATACTCATATTTCTTGAAGCAAATCGAACCATCTATGAAGCAATTCCATTTCAAGACATATGGTAATGCTGTCTCTGGTCAAAAATCATCTATATAGTTTCTTCATTCCTTTCTACACATTGTTGTATTTATAGTCTATTTATTTTTTTTACTTTGGAACTGTTTTATGATTATAGTCTAAAAAAACAAAAACAAAACAAAAACAAACCTATCTTTTATTATTTTTTTTTTTTATACCCAATTCAATAAACAAATTGATTATTTTATCCCACACGCTTTCTTTATTGATGTTTCTATACATTCTAACAAACTATACAAATATGACTAAAACTATTCTAATATAAAATTATATCTAAGATAACACCTTTTTGACAGCATCGCTAACCATTTTTCGGTCAGCAGTAGCAGGATCCACCGTCCAAGCTTTCATCACTTTGCCCATATCCTTCATTGATGAGGCACCAAGTTGTTCCACAAGAGCACGTACCTTTTCTTCAATAACTTCAGCAGACATTTGTTCAGGTAGATAACGTTGAAGAACCTTCAATTCTTGTTCTTCATTAGCAGCTAATTCGGGTCTACCTCCACTAGTATATTGAGCAATAGAGTCTTGACGTTTCTTTATGGATTTTTGTAATACGGACAAAACCATGGCATCTTCACTATGATCAGTAGGTGCATTAGGTGATTTGATGTAATAAGTATAATCGCTAAGAATGCCCTTGACAACATTCAGATCGGGTTGTTGTTTGGAACGCATATATGTTTTTCTATCTTCTTTGAGTCGACCCAATAGATTAACTAGAAGAAAAAAAAAGAATTAGTTCGATAATCTAAATCTGTTATATTTCTTTTATACCTGAAGATTCAGTTGTATAGAAGCGATAAATGGAGGGTCTAGTTACATTGAATAGAGACAAGGAATGTCGAAGAGGAAAAGTCATATTGATTATGATCAATAATAACTAATAATAAAAAAAATAATAACAAAAGAAGAAAAGAGAGTCAAGAAAGTGAGTGAGAGTTTTGACAGGGTGGAAAGAAATCAGGTGAGTTTCAAAAGCCGCAAGTTATCATCCATCCTGGTTCTTTGAAAGAGAAAAGAAGGAGATACGGTTTGAATGAATTAATCATTAAACACTATCATCATCATTATCTCTTGGAATGGATCCCTTTATTTTAACGTAGTATTGGATGATTGTAAATCATTTCATCTTGGAATGGTATACACATGTGAAAAAAAAGTCTTTATTTCTTCGGACTCTGAACCAATAGACTTCGACCAACGGACCAAGCTTTTTCTTGTCTAAAACTCTTTTGTGTTCTTCCTTTTTCATCTCTCTTTCTTTTCTTTATCTCTTTCAACTGACAACTAAAGATATGACCATTTATTATACTTTGACTTTTGGTATTCTCGTTACCGAGGTAATGTAAAAAAAAGAAAAATAGTCGCGTTGTTTACTATAAGGTATAAATTTAAAAAGCACTAATACATTTCTCTCCCTTGTTTTAGATGTTTATGTTTGGTATCCTCGTGGTAAGTAGAAGATAAATGAATAGAAGATATATATATATATACTGACTTGATATTTAGTTACCTTTGCCTTCTCATTGGCGTAGAGCAATGTTGAAGTTTGTTTCCACTTCCCCTCTTGTAAGTAAACAAAGATAATATCAAATATGTTTTTTTTTTCTTCTATTATTAGGAAAAGATTCATTTATATTTCTGGTTTTAGGTGGCCAAGGCTCTTTATGTTTTGAAGATTGTGTTTGGGTAAGTAGGTGTGAAGATTGATAAAAAAAAGAGAAAATGATCTAAAGTACTTCTTTTTTTTTTTTGTTACATAGATTCATCTTTGTTCTTTTCATTGGTAAAGTGAAAAAAAAAGAATGCTTATTTTTTTTTTTTTTTTTTTTTTTTATTCATAGACTCTATTTTTTTTTCTATTTTTAAATTACAGATACCATTAATCGTTTACAACGCATTGATAGTATTAGTGAAGAAGAACAACGTGTTAGTCATGATTACAGTTATGAAGCCAACATGAAGGCCAAGAAATTCTATGCTCAGCGCAACTTGTATCTGACTGGATTCACTCTCTTTTTATCTTTGTAAGCGATATTGAGGAATATAGTGAATAGATGACTCATATATGTATGTTTTATTTTTAGGATTTTGGAACGAACTAGCACATTAGTGATTCAAATGTTGAAGCGTGAAGAAGAACTTGAAAATGCCAAAAAGGAAGTAAGTAATAATCATCCAACCTCATGAATGAGAAATGGCTTAATGATTTTTTTTTGTTTTGTAGAACGTTTCTGTTGGTAAAGATCAACAACGTTTGATTGATATGGAAGCTGATTACAAAAAACAAATTGAAAACTTGAAGAAGGAAGTTAAGGAATTGAAACAAGAACAACGTGATTTTGATACCCTCAAGAAACAAGTCGGACAACAAGCTGAAGAATATAATCGTTTGGCTGATGAACGAAATGCTTTGGAACGTGCTGTCAATGGACAAACAAATGAACCCAAGAAAAACATTTAAATTATGAACATACCTTCATCTCATATAGTCTTTTTTTTCTCTTTTTCTTATTGTTATCCCCTGTTTCTTTTTCCCCCTTTCTTTTATCTTTATATCATCTCTCCATTCTTTCTGAATAAAATAAAATAAAATAAAAATAAAACTTTCTCTTTTTTTACAATGATTCTTTCATAAAATATGCTTCAACTTGTTGCATTATTAGAAATGGTTGTGCAATGAAATCTTGTCTTGATCAGGGTACGCTGCAATTTGAACCCCAGATATCATTATTTTTTTCTTTTTTACCCAATTCCTTTTTCTTTTTTTCTTTTCCGTACCTTGTCCTTTTCCTTTGCCCATCATGTCAAAATACGCCACTTTACCCGATATTGTAAGTTTCTCAACCTCACTTTATATATATATATATATTTATCTTGATTTCAAATATCCTTCCTCTTATTATTATGTCTTTCTTCTTCCGTTAACTTAAGGATGACCAACCTGATGTGTATGAAACGACAGGCGTTACTGAACAAGGAGAACAACTTTTCGACAACGATGATGACCAGGTAAGATAATGATAATAATAAAAAAAAAAAGAGAAATAAAAATTAGTAAGCGTCATATTTTACAAATTAACATCCTTTCGTTTTTACTTTGTATAGTCAAGTGAAGATGATAACGAAAACGTTATTAGAGCGCGCGTTTCTCACCAAGAAGCTAGCAATCGATTCAAAAACAGTGTGGTAGACTCGACGAATATTGGTAAAAAAACGAATAGAAAAAGATGATATGAAAAAAAAATATTTACAATTTCTTTTGTCTTTGTTTTATTTTGACATTTGCTTTTATAGATTTCTCTGAACGATTGACTCGAAGAAAGAAAGCCATGTATCGTACATTTGTACGCCGCCCTCCTGGATTGGAAACGGATGAATACGAAATTCTACCTAAAGAACTGGCTTTAGAAGAAACACCATTACAGAAATATCGCCGTCTTATGTTTGAAGTACAAGAACTCAGCAATACTTTGGAAAATGAAGAGAAGGTAAATAATATTTCCTTTTGGCTCCTAAAACAATAACTTATCATTTATTCTTTGATTTTTAGGAAGAGAAAGCTTCTTCAGCAAATGGTGATATCTCTCAAATTGAGTTAACGGCACAAATCACCTATTTGCAAAAAGATTTGGCGCGGCTTTATCGACACTTTACAACCGATGATCAACAACAACATGATACTGGTATCAATAGTGGAGAAATATCTACAACAGCAACCTATGGGAAACGTGTGGATGAAGCCAAGTCATTGATCAAACAATTAGAGGCGTACAAGGCATTAGCAGTTAGCTCTCCCTCTTCTTCTGAACCTGCTGATGGAAAAGAGGATGTGGAGAAAAACAAAAACGCAAATGATGATGTAAGTACTTGATGAAGAAAAATGATCTTGATAGTATTGCTTTCGAATGATTCTAATTATTTCTTTCTCTCTCATTGTTATCATTGATATAGACTATTACCTATGAACTCTATTATACCCCAGAAGCAGCCAAAGCTCAACAACAAGGCAAAGTGGTGGACGTGGATGAACGCATTGCAAGGATAGAAAAACTTGTGGGAACTTGTTCTGGTCAAGGCTTTGATACTATTGTAAGCATTTTTTTTCTTTCTCTTCTTCTTTTTCGATATCTAATCATCTTGAATCTTTCTTCTAGCCAGCCAACTTCGCAACAACTTCTCTTATACACTCATTATCAAAACTTGAACAACAAATCACTTTACTTGCTCAGCCACGTCATTTGGATACTGTGATGCGAAGAATCAAGGTATTGAATAGCGAATTGGATCGATCTCAAGAATTGAAGTCAGGAGGACGAAAGGATCATGTTTATGGCGGTTTAGCTGGTCTATCCACTACTAGCTCAAATGTATCAGTAACTGGACTTGGCAACAACGGTAACAATAGCTTGGCTAGTAAGGAAGATCAAAGCGGTGGACTTTCCAACGATGCTGAAGAAAAAGTCAATCATCTATTTGCGACTATGGAAAAGGTGGACCCATTATTAAACCTGACCCCAGCATTATTGACACGTCTGAAAGCTTTACAAGGTTTACATACTGAGGCAGCTACTTTTGGTCGATCTATCAAGGTCATATCGGAAGAACAAACACGAATGACCGAAGAAATCAAAAGTTTGGATTCCACATGTGCATTGGTAAAATAGAATAGATTAAAAATTGGTAGTTATGTTTGCTAATTTATTTATTTATTTCTTTTGTAGCTGACTAAAAGTTTGAAGGATAATGAAGAATTGATCAATAAGAATGTTAGCGTCATTGATACTCGTATGACGGATCTGGTCCGACGGATTGAAGCTCTTTCCTCTTCTGATTCATAGTTTATCTTTCTTTCTTTATTTTAAATATTATTCTTTTATATCTCCCTTTATTTTATTCCAATATTATGATTACAATAAAAACAAAAAAAAAAAAACAAATGATCTTTCATTCCTTTTAAAAACCATGAATATTAATTAATAGTGTATCAAGAGTGACAGTGTATGCCATATGGATATCTTTTCTCCTTTTTTTTTTTTTTTTTTTTTTTTTTTTTTTTTTTTTTTGCAGGGTTATGATCATGAAAAAAAAAGTATCATAGAGAACAGGTCAATCATAAAGTCTCTATCTTTGAATATAGGGCAGACAATATTGTTTTATTTTACACAATGTATATATAATAAAATAGGGATAACAAAAAAAAAAAAATAACTACAAGATTACACTATAGGAATAACAGAGAGTGACTTTTTGTTCGGAGAGCAGGGTGGTGATGGTAATTCTGTCAAAAGGTCTTCCACTTGTTGTTGCTGTTGTTGATAAACTATGGATGATGAACTTTTTGTGGTAGCTGATATTGATTTCATGACGGCGTTCACTTTATCCATATAATGCCTAATATCCATATCGATATCTGCTTCTAAGTATTGAATCGCGTTCAAAAGCTTTTGATTGGAGAGAATAGATTTTTGTTGCAAACCTATACATGACAGCCTCACTTGAAGAAGCAAATAATAATAATCATAAAAATAAAAACGTTAAGAGTCATATGGCATCCTAATAATTTTAGAAAATATGATTCTTTCCCTTTTTTTTTTTTTTTTTTTTTTTACCTTTTCCAAACAAAGTTGAAAGACAACGAGAGGTAGCAATACGAACATTGATTACACTATCATTTGCAAGAGGAAGTAACAGATCCAAAAGATAGGTTGTAAAGGCTTCGAAGGACAATCCATTAGAAAGTAAGATATGACCAATATTGGCAAATCTATAGAAAGATGTTATTATATTTACCATTAGATTTTATCTTTTTTGTAAACATAAAACGTTTTTTTTAACTTACAATAGCCGCTGGCGGTAACCTGATGATTCTGATAGTATGGAGAGACTATTGACAAGTTGATTCACAGGAATGGAAAAGCCATGAGAGTTCTGTTTCAATAGTTCAAGTATTGCTGGAAACTAGAATAATGAAGAATAATGATTGCAATAATAATGTGAATTTTCTTTTCTTTTCGTTTCTTTTACGTCTCTTACTGTGTTGACAGCAGTATCCCTAATGATTGCTATTTCATCTTGACAAGCGCGTATCACCAATGGTAGAACATGTTCAATGACTTGATCCAAAGTACATAGTGGGATTATGAATATCAATTGAGACACCAAAGTTTCTCGAAGATATCGATTAATAGCCACCCCTTCCCAGATTTCCATCAAGACAGGTAGATATTCACACCGACACTTTGTTGACAATGCTTCCAAAAATGCTGCCAAGTGTTCCATAATACCCGATTTCACTTCATCGACATCCATCAGATATAAAGCAAAAATACGTACCAAATCACGATCTGTCCGCTCAGGTCCAATGATTTTTGCTATCGCATGAAGAGAATGAGCAAAACTTGATCTTGTTTTCACTTGATGATCTTTCGCCAAACGCATATATTTTCCTTTGAAATGAGATTCCCAATAGATAGCACCAGCAGTCAGTAACACGGCAGGAAAGTTATGAGCGCATACTAAAGTACAATTATTTTCAATAGGATCTTGAGTGGGTTGATGATGTGTGTTTTCGCCAAGTGATAAAAAAAAGTAGATAACCATTTCAGGTACCTAGATCATATTCAAATACAACAATATTAATAAAAAGATTTTTTTTTTTTTTTTTTTTTTTTTTTTTTTTTTGCTCTAAGCTTAATACTTACATTCCCAGGTTTTCCGGTGGTTTCCCAATCATATGGAAGAAACTTTGATATAACTTCACCAATCATTTCAGCCAAAGTGAAGCGTACAGTATGTGATGGATCGTTCATAAATATACTGACACTATTTACAACCAATTGGGATTTTTCTTCATGAGGGAGAACTTCACATAACGTTGGTAATGCCAATATACAAGAATTTCGAACGTGCCAAGTATTGTCACCAGCAAGAATCTGATATAGTGGTACCTATGTTCAAAAAAAAAAAAAAATCCATTGACATCAAATAATCAATCAGAAGAACCTTTTTTTTTTTCTTTTTCTTACTAGACGATTGATCACCACAGTTGGATCCACATAATGAGCAATGTTTCCAATAGCATGAATAGCTTCCTTCCGTACATAAAATAAACCATCTTGTGTCAAGCTTTCGATAATAGATAAACATAGACTCGTACAATGATCATATCCAAGGAACTGCGCCAGCGCAGATATCAACTAGATGACAAGAAGTAAATTTAAGAAATGTTCCATTTTTTTTTTCAATATATATATATATATATATATATATATATATATATATATATATATGTAATGACTTACCGAGAGACATGCCATTTTTGATAGTTGTAATTCACCATGATCAATATAGCGTTCAGAATTTGTCAGATTATTTATCAAAGTAAATGTTCGTTTGTGTACATTTCGCCATTTTCGTCCTTCCGCAATCGCATAGAGTTCAATAAGGACGCCTTGTACAATTTCTTGATCCAATAGTGCCAACCATTGTTCTTCATTATCACCATCCAAAGCATTTGAAACCAGTGCTTTTGTCACATTCACAATACCTTGTTGACCGAGTGAGGATATTATTGTGTTTTGATCCAATAACAATTCGGTAAGTAGAAAACAAAAGTGTTGTGGTTGTATGGCAGGGCTTATCGATGTATCCAATGGTGATGATGAGTTTGTTTTTGGTGGAGAATATTTATAAAAATACAATATGATTCTGTCTATATTGCTTGCAATAATTTCTCGAACATCAGGATCAGTATCAGTTGCTACCTTGTCAATGATTGGTAAAACGTATTGAATAGCTTCTTCTATATCAGTGAGAGACTCCAGAGTGGGCAATATTTCCCTTGCTACTTGTATCCTATAATGGCCAATTGTTGTTAATAAAAATTTCCACAATTTTTTCTTTTAACATATACCTATGCTGTATCCGACTACTATTGCTATACATTTGAAGTTTTTCTTGTGGTGTCATTATTGAGTTTGTCGCGTAAAGACTATTATGTTCCCAAGCTTCCACTAGTATTATAAATAATAATAGATAAATATTCATAATTAGCAAATATATCATTACTTGTCCTTTTTTTTTTCTTTTACCTTGATATATGGTTTGTGGTTTTTCAGTCACCCAGTCCATTTCACTTGAATAATCGACTTTTTCATCCAATAAAGCAGTATCGAAAATTGGTGGTGTATTTTCAAAATGATCATTGTTTTCTTCGATGGCGTCCTGAGGAAAAGAAATAATAATATTCTGTGAATCATCAAGGAATGCGTCCCTCCAGTTCTCAGGTTGATCTCCTAATGTACTGCTAGGAAGGTCAAGAGAAGATTCTATTAGATAGAAATAAATATAAGTAGGTATCGTTTTGATTTATTTATATTGTTACAAACCTAGCATAAGCGTAATATTTGTTTATAGGCGAAAATGATGTATATCTATGTGATAATAAAAAAAAAGAAAAAAAGAAAAGAAAACAAAAGAAAGAGACCGGAAAGAAAGAATAAAGAACAAAATGTTAAAAGGGAAAAAGAGAAAAGGGAATCCCATCTTTCTGGAATGCGAACATTGATATTGGTTGAATCAAATGACCAGATTTGAATAACCGCTTGATTTTTTTTTTCTTCCATTTCAAATATGGACAATTGATGATCCATTGGCATTCAACTGTAAATCTTTCCTTTTTCTTATCACTGCTGTATGATGATCAATCGTTTATATTTGTCAAAAAATTATTAACAAATGTTACCAATAACACAATCAATAAATAATATGTCATACCATCATCATATCACTTTGTATCACGTCAATGCATTCTGACCTTGATTTTTTTTTTCTATTTCTTTTTTTTATTTTTGGGAATGTACAACAGAAAAATAAAAACTATAATGATAACACTTTCTCTTTTTTTTTTTTTAAAAAAAAAAAAACTAATGTGATGTAACTATAAAACTATGAAAGGATAGGATAGGATTGAAGGGGAAAAATGAATGACAATGATAATAAAGGAAAAAAAAATCTAATCTTGAACCTTGGTAACGACACCAGTACCAACAGTCTTGCCACCTTCACGGATAGTGAAACGTTGGCCTTCTTCAAGAGCAACATCATGGACTAATTCACATTGCATTTCAACATTATCACCAGGCATGATAAGTTTATCTTCAGGATCTTCAGTACCTTCAGGATGGGTCAAACTGACAGTGACATCAGTGGTTCGAACAAACATTTGAGGACGGTAGTTGTTAACAAAGGGAGTATGACGACCACCTTCATCCTTGGTCAAAATATAAAGTTGAGCCATGAATTTCTTGTGAGATTTAACAGTACCAGGAGCACACAAAACTTGACCACGACGAATTTGTTCACGCTTGATACCACGTAATAAAGCACCCATGTTATCACCAGCTTCACCACGATCCAATTCCTTACGGAACATTTCCACACCAGTCAAAGTGGTCTTAATGGTAGGACCCATACCAACAATTTCGACTTCGGAACCCTTATTGATACAACCACGTTCCACACGACCAGTAGCAACAGTACCACGACCAGAAATAGAGAATACATCTACAAATAAATAAATAAATAAATATAAAAAATAATTTAGTATTCATTTTTCTTATATTCTTATATAATATATACCTTCAATAGGCATCAAGAAAGGCTTATCAAGATCTCGGACAGGAGTAGGAACATGAGCATCAACAGCAGCCATCAATTCAAGAATACGTTTTTCACCAATTTCAGGATCACGACCTTCGAGAGCAGCCAAAGCAGAACCCTTGATGATTGGAGTAGCTTCACCATCATAACCATATTCAGAAAGAAGTTCACGCATTTCCATTTCTACAAGTTCTAACATTTCTTCATCATCTACAGCATCAACCTTGTTGATGAATACCACCAAGTTTTGAACACCAACCTGACGAGATAACAATAAATGTTCACGAGTTTGAGGCATTTGACCATCAGTAGCAGATACCACAATAATAGCACCATCCATTTGAGCAGCACCAGTAATCATGTTCTTGATATAATCAGCGTGACCAGGACAATCAACGTGGGCATAATGACGATTTTCAGTTTCGTATTCAACGTGAGCAGTAGAAATGGTGATACCACGAGCCTTTTCTTCAGGAGCCTTATCAATTTGATTGTAATCCATAAATTCAGCACCTCCACTGGTAGCCAATGTCTTAGTAATAGCAGCTGTCAAAGTAGTCTTACCGTGATCGACGTGACCAATAGTACCAATGTTGACATGAGGCTTACCACGGCTGAATTTACCACCAGTTTCAGTAGCAAAAGTACGACGACCTATAATATAAAAATAATAAATTAGATCTATCCTCTTTCTCTTTCCCTCTCTCTCTTTTTTTTCAATACATGTATATTTAAATCAACTTACCAAAATTCAAAAATCGAGAAGGAGCGGAGGAAACATATGCTTGCTTGACCAAATTAGATGTCTAAAAAAAAAAAAAAAAAAAAAAAAAAATCCAGATCTTATATAAGTAATGACGTTATCGAAAATAAGAGTCAATCTTAAACTTACCAATTGGTTGCCATGAGCCAAAGCAGTACGAGCAGAAACAAAAGCTATCGAAGAAGAAAGTATAAATATATAAATATATATATATATATAAACATGCCAATTCTTTCACTTACCAGTTCTGGAAGATACAGTGGATGCACAACGACGAGAAGCGATACGAGTAGCAGGGAGAATGGCTTTGTTGGTGGCAGTCTTCAAGGCAAACATGTTGCTAAGGTAGGAAATAAATTGAACAAATGTCAAAAGAAGAAAAAAAGAGGGGGAAAAAAAGAAAAAGGAAAAAAAAAATTTGAACCAGGGTAAGCACAGTCACCCAGAGAGAGAGAGAGATTTCTTCCTCTTCCGATTTGGTAGGTGACAGTTCACATTTTGTAAAATTGGCGGATTTCAAAATTAAAGAAAATGATTTCTCAAAATGATTGGAATGGTTTTGATTTCATTGTACCTATTCTTTTCATAGTCTCGATCGATTTGATAGGTCATCCTACTACAACAATTTCTCCATTGAAACAATCTTTTTTTTTTTTTTTGATTTCAAAATCTCAAGCAGATGTGCCAGAGAGTTTTATAAAATAAAATAAAATAATAAAAAAAAAAAACAAATATTTCCATTTCAAAAAATGGTCATCCTCTAATAAAAGCATTATCGTTCCATTTCTATCAAAGAAAGCTTTTTACTGTCGTCTAATAGAACTTTACCGGTCATCTTTATATTTCTAGAGGGTGATGGAATTTGAGTAATGATCAATGCGCTAAAGGATACTTAGTATCACGTCACATGATCTTTTTATACTTTTGTAATTCGCTCAAAAGTTATCATCACTGCACCAAATTTGCATTAAACATACATGAAGATATTCTCTTTCATTTGACTTACTAAAAACTTATACCTTATCTCCCAAATTTTTAGAGTAAATTAAAAAATAAAGGTCAATATTATCATATCTCATCTAATAATGATCATCATTCAACACAACTACCACCATTAGATTACTTTTAAAAAAGTAGTCTAAATCATCTAATACTATTGTATTGCTTATCTTATCACCTAACGTGCAATGATCACCAAGCTATTTTATCCATTTTTCGAAGAATCGCCTGATGACCCCCTGGCGATCGATTTTTACAGCCAAAATTTTGCTGAGGAGTTCGAAATTTTTGGCTGTAAAATTAAAAAAACTGATCCCATTTTTCATCCTGCATGCAAGCGCGCGAATAAACCTTTGCCTTTCCCTTTCTCAATCAAAAGTCATCATCATCGCGTCAGATTGGAGCACAACATAAAACGAGGTATTTTGTTGATCTTTACCTAATTTATTTTATATTTTACTGTTACATTTATAGCGTAAATTAAAAAATAAGATTTAACAGGGATCTCTGAGCCACAATAATGATCATCATCGTACCAAATCTGCAGGAAATGTAAAGTAAATCATACTCTTAAAGTTTACTTAAGACTACCCCTCCAATTTACAGTCAAATTAAAAAAAAAAAAGGCTCGTCACGAGAATACTTTACACCAAAATGAAACAAAAAAAAAAAATGAAATCACACATCATATCGTATCTCCAGGTCATCTCTTACCATAAACAATCATGCATCAAAAGAAAAAGATTCCATGGATATGTAACAAAGTACTTGAAAATAAAAAAATTATTGAAGAATAGTAGATAGTATTGATGATGATGTGATGGATGATGTGTACCTTGTAAATTTGCACGAAAGGACTTTATATAAGTAAATCGTAACGTCAACGATGATGATGATGATGATGATGATGATGATGATGATGATGATGATGATGATGATGATGATGATGATGATGATGATGATGATGATGATGATGATAATACCGGGTGTGTTCAAAAGGAGAAAAAAGAAAAAAGGAAAATGAATATCATACGTCGTGGAATGTTACTCAAGATTTACGTTTCATCAATTGTAACATCCATTCATCAATTGTAATATCCATTACCTATTTATTTATCTATCGAAATTGATTTTCTTTCTTTCTTTCTTTCTTTTTTTTTTTTTTATTATTATTATTCAATTTGAAATGGCGTTGTTTAATTTAAAAAGTCAAATCTATCTTCCTAATCGATATCAAAACGCAGTTGCTGCTCTGAAGGTTGCTTTGGGTCAACGGGTTATGGTTTTGAATATTTGGAATGGTCGATACAATCGTGAAGCTCGTTTAGGTGAACTCTTATATTACTTGAAGAAATATAATATTGTTGTCTGTTATCGTAAAGATAACCATGTCTATTTGGGTGAAGATCTTCTAGAAAAGGTGGAAATCGAGGAATACGTTCCTTTCTCAGGTGGCAAAAAAAAGAAGAAGTTGATCGATAAGACTTATATCGTATTGACTGACAACAATCCTTGGTCTCTTAAAGAAGAATATCATGGCGTTTTTATTTTTCTGGATTTTATTCATTTAAATGATGAAGTAGAAATCAATAAGGAAAAGGTTGAAGAATTTTTATATCACTCTGAAGACAAACCAGTGACTGTTAGCTATAATGATCATGATTTTGATGATCACGATTATAAATGGGAAGACAATCTGGACCCTAAGGCTGCTGTGAATGCTCTCCTAAATATCAAGAATTACGTTAAGGATAAAGGATTGGATACTACTCAAGTGGATAATATTATCCCCTATTATCAAGAACAAGATCCGAAATGGGTTTCACCAATGAAACTAGCTAGTAGATTGTCTAGCCTTATCTCATACTATGAACTGTCTATTAACGTTCTTATTCAAGATGGTCAATATTTGCTGAAAACGGGCTACAATCAAGGTTCTGATAAATTCTGTATTCGCCTTTCTTCGTCTGATACTATCACTGGAGGAAGAAATTATCCTATTAGGGATTCATCAGCTCCATTTAACTGGTAGTGATTAGTTTTAAGAGAGTACATTTGATTTAAAAGGAATAAAAAAATATTAATCAATTATTTTAAATATAAACGTAATCTATTATTGATCCATCCATACATCATATATCATCAAATTATCATCCATCATCATGTCGTCCATCATCATATCATCCATCATCATTCAGCATCTAAACACTGAAAGGATAAGTTTTCTTCAAAAAAAAAAAAAAAAGAGAAAGTCTCATAGTAAATCGATTAATATCAACCACAATCCCGAAATAGACAAAAAGTTTTCCTCTCTTTTGACCTCGTTCTCATAAAGTGCTATTTCAATTTCAAATGAAAAAAAAAAAAAAAAACCTTTGGGAATCCCTGGAGCTCCGCACTTAATCCAATTTTTTGCTTTTTCGTTGCCCCATTTCTTTTTTTTTTCCTTTCTTTCTTCCTTTTTTTTTTTTTTTTCTTTCAGTCATCCTTTCTATTTGATCTGTTTGAGAACCCCTTTGTCAAGAACTGAATGGACAATTGCAAGGCATTTAAGGATAGAGACTTGATTGGTATCTGTCGTCATTTGCTGCACTATTGTGAAACCTATATCAATACAACTCCCTCTATTACCACCGAACACGCTGCTGCTTTTCATTCTTTTTTACCTTCTTTACTCACCTATATCTTTGGATCACCTACTATCAGGTAAGAAAAAAAAAAAGAGGAGAAATAATATTATAAACTATTTACTTATAAACTATTTTTTTTCTGAACTTGCTAGGGGATGGTTACAGACAGATACGCGTCCTGATCAAGATGATGCTATTCGACAACTACTTGATCCAAAAAGTTCCTTTGTGGTAGCACTTATCAAACTTGGAACTCGCTCTGAATATTGTTACGATATGGCTACCGAGAAGTTTCCTGTGAGTTAATTATATATAATAGGTTTTCTCTGCTAACTTTTTTTTTTTTTTTTCCTGCTAGGATGACATTCGCAAAGCTCTGACAGCTGGTGCCATTCAATACTTACCCCGGGTTTATGAAAATTGTGCTTTTCTGGATGTATCAAAAGTAACGAAATCTGTGGATCTACGAGCAGCAGCAACAAGACAATCCTCCATTTTCCCGCGACCATCTATAGGCGAATTTCGTATCAGACTTAATATGATTCAGTTTTATCTTTTCTATATGGTAACTGTACCCACATGGCCACCGCTAACTCCTCCTCCAACTCTTTCGACTACAACTACAACAATAAAGTCTCCTTATGCTTCGACAAATAGTTCTTCTTATTCAAGACCAATTGGAATATCAGCACCTGCCACAACTACAGCAAATACAACTTTGGACACAAGAAACGATCTACCCTATCTACTTCCTGGCCGTTTGCGTCCTCTTGTAGCAAGTGTTTATGGTGAACTGATTCAAAAATATATGTCGGTTTATATACCTTGTGTGACCAATGATACAACAGCATATCCAACAGGTGTAGGTACATTTTTCTTGGACTGTTTGATTGAACTATGGATTCGGACGATCTGGATATCCCCTTCTCAGAAACTTTCCATCGATTATATACAGTATTTGGCCACATTCTTGAAATATATTGTAAGTGGCGATTTACGACGATGTGCAACCTATCGAAGGAACAACAAGATTAAAACAGCTTATGACGATATCTATTATGTAATCAAGGATGAATTATATCTGCTTCTCTCTCGTCTATCACTTAACTGGAGAAAACAAGATGATTACATTTGGGTTTTAAATCTATGGACAATATGGGCTGCTCCTTGGCGATTTGGAAAAGACTCTGTGACAACGACAACTAAGGAACAACTTTACACTGATGGATCACCAAGTACGAAAACAACGTCGACCCTACAATCTTCAACAACTGCAACATCTTCACCAATACCATCTTCTTCATCATCACCATTGAATGAAGGTTGGTCGTTCTTTATACTGGAAAATGCATGGTATTATTTTACACTAGTGGATCAATTTTTACAACGCACATCAACATTTACCTATCCCGATAAAGCACGCCCATCATCATCATCATCATCATCATCATCATCATCATCACTTGCAAAAGGACCTTCTACATTTATGAATACGGGTTCAACACCTTTAGCACGTCCTCCTATATATCCGACAAGTATGACATCAACAACAGTACCAACAATAACTGCAACAACGACAACTGGGTCATCAACAAGACCAAATCAACCTCTGGAAGGAAGCACTATATATGGAGAACTAGATATTGTGTTACAGTTGATCAACATGTGGAAAACGAAGGATATCGTCAAACTGTTAGGACTTATTGAGGATGGATTGGAAATAGTGGCATATGAATCAACATCATCAGTATCATCATCATCACCATACCGTTCGCAACTCTCATCCCTTTTAAATACGACAAAAAGTAAATTCAACAATGCGGTCTCTTCTACTATATATAACCAACAACAACAACAAACAGATGATGATATATTGACTGCTCTTGCTACAATATGCTGCGATGGCAATGGATCGACCATGGAAACTATCAAACAGCATTTAAGAACTATACGTGATCGGATACTGTCCTTATCATCCACAAATGACCAACTTTGGCGACCAAGCAACATTTATTCCTTACGCAGGCAACCACGATTGGACAGTTTGACAAAGACAATGACCAGTATTGCCAAGGCTATTGATACTCGTCAGCATACGACTCAAAAGGGACATATCAGCGGGCCATCATCATGGACAACTTCAATGCTTGGTACAACAAAAGCATCAACACCTCCAACTCATGAAATTCGGGCATTGACGAATACAGTGATTGACTTGTCTAATTTATTACAGGTGAGAATGATATATATATATATATATATATATATATATATGTGTGTGTGTGTATGCTAATGATGCTGTATTAATACTATTCTCTCCTGATTTGGGCTATTCTTTCTAGTTACCTTTGCCTGATTCCAGTTCATCACTGACAAAATCATCAATAACTTCAACAAGAATGACTGATGGTACTACCTTGGAGAAGACTGGATCGTCATTATTGTCATCATCAACAATCGATCGACATGTAGGACTCACACCAACTGTTACACTGCCACCGCCACCGCCAACGACAACATTACCAAAGGATCAAGAACAAGCCCAATCTGCACGTTATCATCGGCTACGACCACTTTTACCAGCACTTGGTATTCGTGCTGAAGAGCTTGTGCGTTCATACGAAAACATCTATTTGGTACGGCAAGTGGTTCCTATGGAAAGATGCATTAATTCTTTGGTAAGCGAAAGATAGTGAAAATTAAAAAAAAAAAAGGTAGATAAATGAACTAACTCATGCTTTGTTTTTTTTATAGTATCATCACTGGGTATATAGATGGCTTCCAATTCTTCCGGATCGTATATATCTTCGATGGCTTGCTGCTCCTGTCAACTTGGTTTATTTTATTTCCCTTTTATATATATTGTATGTCATATTCTAGTTGATTACTTTTTATACACACATTCCTCCAGTACATTTAATAGAACCACATCATCTCATTTTCTTTCTCTCTCTTTTGTATATATATCTTTTCTGTAATTCATTTGAAATTTTTTAATAAAAAAAAAAAAACTTGTACCACAACATTGATGTTTCTCTAAAGATGCTCCAAAACATGTTATGTCAAATTGGTACTGACCTTTTATTTCTTTTTTAACAACAAGAACGACAAGATAACCATATAAAAAAAAAAAAGATCACAAGACTTGATAACAGTTAATAGTAAAAAGAGATATAAAGTAATTTGTTTCATTGAGAAGAATGTATACAAAATGATGATACTATGACATGGTTCTAGAATACAAAGAGAAAGGGGAGAAGTCAAAATTAAATTTTCTATCGTTGTTGTGAAATGACTATATAAGATTGTTGTAAAGAGGAAGGAGGACCTTGATTCACATTATCATCATCATCATCACGTGGATAAGCTTCAGATAAACTAATATCGGCATGAACCAAAAGACGAGCAACATAAATAGGTGCTTGTGGAACATCGATCACCAGATCTTCGTATCCATTCAGAAATATTTGAAACGCTTTGACCATGGTTTCCTTATCCAGTAATCGCGCCTTGTAAAGTTGAGGAATCAAGTTTTCTGCTGCTTCTACTTGTTTTTCCTTCTTCTCTATTACGTCCAGTAACTGTGTTGCTAGTACCATTGTCTTTTCGGTATGATCCAATTCTTTAGTACTGGCGAATAATTCCTAGGGATATATGGTTAGAAACAAACTTTAGTAAAAATAAAAGTGTGAACTTTGTTGGCATACTTTTAGGTCATTCAATTCATAATATTCATCCAATGTATTTTTGATTCGTCTCTTGAGTTGTGTGATATCTAGATTCGCCTTCTTATCGCTAGTTTCTACGGCGACTGCCTTTGATTTGCCGGATTCCACATTGGCATTCATAAAACTTGGTATATGCGATTTTGATCCTTTAGGTAGTAGTGTAAGTTTCTTCCGTTCCGTTGAATGATCTTCATAATGTTCATTGCTTAATGCGCTAAAAAAAAAAAAAAAAAAAAAGAAAAGAAAAGGAAAAAAGAAAAAAAAAGTCATATTAATATAATAATAATTTTTGTCAAGTTACATACCTAAACATATTGTTTGTTGTAGATATTGACGTTGTATTGGATCCATCATTGTCAGAATTAGTACTTTTTTTCTTGTCCAAAGGTCTTGTCGTTCGAAGTCCACCAGTCGACCGGTTCAAGCTTGCAAATGGACTATAGGAAGGTCCTAGTACATTATTTCTGGATCGTCCACGTTCTGCCCTGCCGAAATTTGAATAATCGGAAACTTCGTTTCGACCATTTGAAGTGCTGCTTTTGTTGAAAGTACTGACGGTACTCCATCTATCATTCGTTACAGTTGTCGCAGTGTTGGTTGCCGATACTGAAGTCATTCCTGATAAAGTCATGTCGTTTTTCTTTGTGTGTTTGCTGCCATTCCAATATGATCCTTGTCGAGATGTATTGTAGGATGATGTTGTTGCTGTTTGTCCACGAGTTGCAGCTAGTCGTTTGTTCATGGCTTCCTTTTCTAAAAGTTTCGCATTTTCGGCCTAACAAGGTATCGTATACATAAAAAAAAAAAAATCAGTCACTATACACCACCATTTTTCCCGAGTTTAATCTGTTACTTACCTCTTCATGTATTTCAGCAATCGTTTTGGGTCCATCTTGCTTGCCTTTTCGGGGTATCCAATTGTTTTTACGTAAATCGAACACATCCTACCATCCAAAGTTGATAGAGATTATGAGTGTCGAGGCTATAAACCTTTTTTTTTCCTTTCTTTTTTTTTTCTTTTCTTTTCTTTTTGGTAAACTTACGAGAATCATAAATTTGACACGAGATGACAGATGTGGACTATTGTACATTTCATTTTTCATTCGTTTGAAGAAGACATCGATCCAAGTAGCAGTTTGAGAACCGCGATCAATATCAGCCCCAATTGTTGTAAGTAATTTACATAAAGATTCCACTTCTTCTTCTTGAGCCTGAGCACCATCATCACATAATTGTTTGAGGCATTGATACATGATGCGTTGTGATAGCATTTCACGTCGATAGAGTTCACCGATAAACTGGACCAATCCAAGACCTTGACGTTTAATTTTCACAGCTTTGTAGTATTCTTCCGTCATCATGATATCACCCAAAGTGGCACCTTTTTTATTTGTTGAGGAATCATCATCGCCATTTTCATCAGTAGCTGTTGTTGTTGTAATAGAGGTCGATTTCCAGCCCTTTTCAAATTCTTGCTGACATCTGTTGAGAAGATATTTGCAATACAAAGGGTTCCCACAAATAGGTTTGCCGTTCTTATCTTTGATATTAACATCTTTGATTTCAGGAGGCACCCATTCATATAGTTTTCGACACAATTGAGCCCACATAGCCGCAAATGGTGCTTCATCACAGGCCTTTTCAAATATAAGTTGGATTACCGTCCGTAAAGATTGACCATCATCTTCGTTAATAGATTGTTTTGCATATCCAATGATCTTGTCGGAAATACTATCAAATCTTTCTAGAGTCAATTTGTTGAGGAGAGCCTTCACTTTGCGAGTAATTTCATCTTGAGATAACAGACCTTGATCAGAAGTTGTTGTTGTGCCACCTGCAGCTTCAGCAATAGCAGTGGTGATTGTTGAAGGAACCCATCTGTTGGCGCTTTTTTCCAATGGTGCCACTTGATCGTAAGGAATAGTAGGAGCACCAGGTAATTCATGATGTGGATGTCGATGCTTGTTGTGATTTCCACCATTACGTCCAAGAGATGATAGGGATGATGAATGACCGCTAGTGTATCCACTGCTACGAGTTCTACCGTTACCACCACCATTAAAAGAACTTTCCCGTTGCATTGATAAGTCGTTTCCAGATACGTTGATATTCATGTTGTTCTGATTGTTGTTGTGGTTGGTGTTGTTTAAATTGCTTCCAATAGTGCTATTCCTCGTCGTCAGTGTCCTTCCACCTATAAATTTACCCATGGTTTCCATCCTATCGCGTGACCGATGTTGTTGTGTCAAAGATATATCTCCATGAAAGGTACCATTTCCTCCAGGTGCCGAATTAGAATAACCACTATGATTGTTGTTTCCGTTGAGTTGGAATAGATGTCGATCCATAGTATCGTTTTGCCTTTTGTCATTGTTGTTTCTATTGTGACGTTCCATATTGCCGTTGTTTCCATTATCACTAGCATTCCGGAAGAAAGACAAATCCTCGTTTGATTCCAAGCAGAGAGGCATAAATTGCATCAAAAAAGCAGGATCGTATTGAATAATCGTTGACTCTTGGATTGCCATATCGAGTTTGCCATCGTCAGGAATTTCAAGGGAGTTTTCACTTGGTGCTATAGATTGAGTTTGTCCTTCAAATGGTCGAGGGATGGCATGTTGAGATTCAGGTTGAGATTTTGTTTCTGATTCTTGACAAGATACTTCCTTTGTCGTTGATATACAGTCACTATTGATCTCAGATGGCAGTGAAATTGATCTTGTTTCCTCTGTCATCTTTTCACTATTGTTTTCCAATGGATCATTCTTTGTTTTTTCCCCGTCGATTATAATACAACTATTAATCTTGTCGTCTGCCGTTTCATTTGGTTCAGAATCATGCTGCTTCACTTGATTTGATATTTCTTGGTGATCATCACTTTTTTGTTGTTCTTCAAGTTCCTGTTGTTCACGTTCTTCTTGTTCCTTAATAGCAGGGTCTATAAATTGTAAAGGATTTGATGTCACTGGTAATATTGGCTCCTTTTGTCGATTTTGGGATTTGTCTTCCATCATTTCATTGGTTGAATTATTACTGGATGCATCAATGTAAACAGACTTGGTATCCGCATGAACAGGAGTCATAGTATTGGGATTGATGATTGGAATTGCTTTGCTTCCGCGAGGAGTGATCAATGGCGGCGTCTGATGGGGTTGTTGACTTCGATGGTTATACAATGGACTAGTTGTATTGTGGTGGATTGATGGTGAAGTTGGTGATGCACGTTGACGGTATGGATGAGGTTGATGTGGTGAAAGTGATTGATTTGGAAGACTGGCATAGACTGATGGATGTTGTGGTGATGTTTGATACTGAGTATAATATTGTTGATATTGTAATTGTTGAGATTCAAATCCTGGACTTGGTACGGCATACTATATAGATACATATATATATATATATATAAAAGTAATGAATATACTGCATTTTCTTTTCTCTTTTTTTTTTTTTTTTTTTTCTTGTTAAACATACATAATGAGGAACATTAGGATTTGTCCAATTTTGAGGAATAGGTATAGGTATTGGAGCAGATGGTGCTGATAGTGTTGGAGACAAGTGAGGTTGAACAGATCCAGGAGATGTTGATTTGGTTATATGATGATGTTGATAGTGACCATGATGAGATGATGAAGCATATGATACATTATGTGGATAAGTATACGTGGATCCAGGTGAATGACCAACAATGGAAAGAACAGGGCTTGTATGGTAGCTGATATCTGATGCATTATAAAATTGTTGTTGCCGACCAGTAGGAGATGCATATTGCCGATGAAATTGTGGTACAAATGGTTGTGTGAACAATTTGGTTTTGTGGCTGTTCTGTGAATGTTGTTTCTGATGAGATGTCATCGTCTTTGAATCCAATGTGTCAAATTTCTTGCCCTAAATATATAAATTTTAAACTGTAAACATTGTGTGTTTTTTTTTATAATGGTAGAACCAAAGTAATGTTAAAAGATATACCGATTGATTTGGATTTCCACGTGTATCTTTGATATGCGGTTTGAGAATGGGAGACTTTTTACTATCATAACCTACTAAATAATCAAGAGCATTAGCATTTATTTTTCTTCAGGACACCATTACCTATATACTTCATACCATCCTTTTCATTTTACCGTTGTCATTTTCATTCAGTGATTTTGAAGTAAGAAGTGAGATTTCTCTTGACACCTTGCCTTCGAGTCTAAAATTGTATATGCATATAAAACGGTGAAGATTTAAGTATTTGACTATATATATATATAATCAAGTATATAATATATAAAACTTACGTTTCATATCCATTTTGAGTATTCGGGTTGCTATTGAAGGTAGGAAGACTAGGTTGAAGACCAGACGTCTCCGATAGTTGTTTCGTAGATTCCAAATCACTATAACCGTACTTCGTCCTTGTTGACTTGAGTCTTGTATTTTTGTTCGAATTCAACGGTCTGCTCATTTAGTTTGTCTACTGTTGGTAGGTAGAAGCAAAACTCCCTCTTGAGCAAAGAAAAAAAAAAGAAAGAAAGAAGAAGAAAAATAATATAAGAATGAAAGATTGGTATATAACTAATTGGAAAAAAAGAAAAGGATAAATAAATAAGGTTGGTTGAATTTCATGAAGTATGCTTACTTTTTAGATAAAGAATCCTGTTAAAAAAAAAAGGAAGGAAAAGAAAAATAAAAAAAAGGTCGAAAGAATCACACGGTAAAAGGGCACTACGTCTTTTTCCCGCCATGAAGATAAATTTTGAAGACCGAAAAAGAAATAATGCCGGATTTGATCCATTGTCTATTTTCTGCGTAAAATTCGTTTGAGTGCTTGATCAAAAATATGATTGAAAAAACATCATTCATAATATATTGTTTATTAAAAAAAAAAAAAGAGAGAAAATGAAGCATATAGGTTTGGACTGATGATTAAATATGATAGTTTGAACTCTCATTCTATTTGTAAATATCGTTCGAGCTTTTTGTACTCCGTTAAGCTTTGAAAAAAAAAACCACCACTTTTCTCTACTGGAGAAGCCAGGAACAACACGTGAGCCATTGTCTATGTTTCAAGACGTGATCATACTCACGACTTATATATATATATATATATATATAAAGATTGAAAACATTTACACCAAAAATAGGTGATGAAAAGGAACTGACAAGAAAAGTAAAAATCAAATTTTGAGAATATATTTTTTCTTTTTTTTTTAAAAAAAAAAAATATCTGCGCCGCGACTCTTTATTTCTTACCCTTCTTTTTCCCACTTTTTTCTTCTCCTCCTCTTTTCCACGTAACCTGACATTATAAAACAGCTTGGTAATAAAAATAAGACTACGTATAAAGTATCATATACTGAAAAAAGAGAATACTTTTACAGTCGGTTATATTACTGGTTATATTATTTTTATACTAAACTTGAACTTCTTATTTCACGTATTAGGTAATACCATCTAATTGTATTTCAATAGTATGGATTCCTTTGGCAATTCTTCGCAGGGATCTGTTCCAATTAATCCAATGATGGCAATGATACAACGTCAACAGCAAGAGCAACAGCAATATGAAGCTTTGTCTGCAGGTACAACAATGGGTATTAATTCTGGAATATCATCTTCCACCACTACCAGTATCACTCAGAATACTGCTATGATGACTTCACAACAATCGATACCTTCATCTGGAAACAATAATAACAGCGTTCCATATAGTCCTCAGACTATAGCCTATTCTCAAGAACAACGTCAACAAGAAACACCGGTAATGACTCAACAGCGTCCTCTCCATCAATCTAATGAAAGTATGAAAATAGGATCTCACTCATTTCTTTTTTTACCTGAAATGGTCTTATTGTACTTATCTTTTTTTATTTTTTATTTTTATGGTTTTATTGTTACTATTTCAGTGTTCAACACGAATCGACAAAATAGGCCACCCTATTATGACACGCAAAACGCGCCATACTATCCTACATTCATACCTCAACAACAATTGTTCAATATGGGTAAGTCATGTGTGTTTGTTAGATATACTTGGAAAACATAAAATTTACAACTTTTTTTTTTCTTTATGTATTAGGTCATTCATCGCCAAGTAGATCTCCAGCTCCAAACCATACCCAATTCTATTCCAATGTCGATTTTCAGTCTCCCTATTATTCTGGTAAAGTTTTTGATTTATATAATTACTGTTGTCATTGAACGAACATTAATGTGTTTCCTTTTTTTTTATTTTTTTGGAGTATATAGATCCTTCTATATTAAACCAGCAAGCATTTTACATGGTAAAATAAGAGACAATGAGGAACGATGGATTAATGTGAACAATATACTGATTTTTTTTTTCTTTTCTCATCCTCGCTCGAAAGAATACCATCTCATCTTCCAACATACCACTGTCAGACAATAACACCTCATCATATCTTGGATTACAACAACAAATGCCAGTACCTTTTATGAATAACCCATATTTGCCGTTGTCTTATTCTCCTGTTCCACAAATATTTATGGCGTCCACACCTGTTGAATCCCTTAGCAATGGTGATCACATACCCGGAAATATGTCAATGACGAAAATGGGTTATCCTGATCCAGCAATGACAAGCAATTTGACTTCGATGCCTGTACAAGCGACAGTTATGGCTACAAACAATCTTACTGACAATCCACCAACTTCGATACAACAAGAAACAGGATCAATATCTTCACCATCTACACCCATGCATCAGCCTATCACCGATTCTAAGTCCACCAAAGAATCATCATCAATGTCCAATTCGACAAATCAATCTCCAGTACAATCCGCAATACCGACCAAAGTGATATATCATCCCAAAACAAGACAAGTAGAAACCCATGGTGGTGTTGATCTCAAATATTTTGACAAATTCGAGATTCGTCCAGCTATTCCGTATATTGAAGAACTAGGTAATAAAAAAATAAGAGCAGAATGTGTGATAGTAAGTGGGCCAAGAAGCAATTGAGAGTAAATGACTGATTTTTCTTTTCGGTTAGGCACTGTTGATATCACTGCATTGACAATGTCACTTAAATCAGGCATGAAAATGGAAGTGACGACAGCATTGAATACAATTACTACTTTATCACTACTACCAAGAGTACTACTGCTGGTACACTGTGAAGATCTGTTGGATTGTCTACTTGATCATCTGGAAACATGTTTGTTTGAATCGAATTTACGTGACTATCTCAAGGAAAATGAAAATGATTCGCCTGATGTTACAATTAAATCATCTATGTATACTTATGCTGATTTATTTGAAGCAGCCTTGTTAGAAATGAAATCTTTGATACCTGCTTTGGAACCAACTTGCTCGGATGAATGGATACCATTACGTGATCGTTGTCTATGTATTTTCAATCTTTTACGCAACCTCTCTTTTATGGAAGAAAATGCCGAATATCTCGCTACTCATCCCCGATTGACACACCTTTTGATGCGAATTATTTTATCATCTGAAAATCATCATACCTTAACCACGACTGGCAACTCAACGAACAACGATACTGTATCATCACCATCATCACCATCAGTAGCAGTAGAAAATATCAGCAAAATACGATCTATGGATCTTCTTGACTTTCGGAAAAGTATCTTGGTGATATATTCAAATATTGCACTTGCCATGAAGAAGTTGACAATTCATCCTGAAGCAACTGTATCTGTGGTTCATCTTATATACGAATTTTTAGTCAACGATTCAGAGACGTATTATTCATTACTGGCTATGGAAACCTGGAACAAATTTGCTGTCCATGAGGAACACAGGCAACTACTGGGCTCTCTTTTACAAACAGAAAGCGACAACGGAATTTGTAGCGATCATGACAACAAGGATGATGATGAAAACAACAAAGAACATGAAGCGAATAAAAGCGATGGCTGCGACAATGACAATATGTTCAACGACGACAACAAGAACTACAGTAAAGGAAACAGAAACAACAAAAGCAGTGATGATAAGGACATTGTACATATTCCCATGTCGCAATATATTCAAGGTATTTGGATTTCACTTATCGGAATGCTACGACGACACTTTTATTTAATTGAAATGGGCATGACCGTTACCTCAAATAACACACAATTAGCAATATTGGAAATGATAGTCATGGGGCTCTACCACGTGGTGGCTATAGCAGATACAAATTTTTGTGACAAGCTGATACAAGCAGATCGGGGGATAGCTATGACAATTCTTCGTATTTGTATGACATTGGCGGAAGCTGACAATGTACATTATCGTGTTGTGGCTCAACGAGGTATGGAAATGGTATATGTGCTTATCTTAGGTGGCGGCTGCAAAGTGACAGAACTTGTAAGACAAAAACGACAATATGGGAGATTCCAACAACAACAACAACAACAGCAACAACAAAAACATCATAATCACTATCAACAGCAACAACAACAACAATACCAAAAACAACATTCAATGTTTCCAATCACCAATGATGACCTTGGAGATGAAGAATCAAGTTATAAAATAGGGGTGACACTAAGGGCAAGAATATTACTCAACCATAATGTACTACAAGAAAAATTGATGATGGCCATGCTAAAACCAATTTCTGACAACTTTATTCTCACTGGATTGGATGATCTTTTGAATTTGATGGATGAAATGACCCTTTATGATTGATTTGTTACTTATAAATATTTACCTTGAAATAAAAGTATATTTGGTTACCATCTTCTTATCTATTTAATTGTAGATTTTATACCTTATTATTTTTTTTATTTTTTTTATGCTTATATCATTATCTACGTTTTTTTTTTATCCAATTTTGTAATTGAATATGGATCAGAAAAGTTGTCTTGTGCCTTGAACCCTCCTAATATTTTGAACACCGCGATCAACTAATGGAAGTGGCTGCTTTTTTTTTTCTTTGAAATTTCCCATTCTTTTTCCTTTCTCTTATCCTTCTTTTTTTTTTTTTATTTCTTTACACCATTTTATATAATGTCAAATTCTATCAGTCTTGCCAATTGTTCCAAAAAAAGAGTTTCCTATTTTTACGATCGTAAGTGTCAATATTATCATTATCATTATTATTTTCTTTTTTATCATAGACTAGAGTCATCCTCAGTTGCGATGATCCATCTCTTGCCTTGTACATATAACTCTCCAACACTATTAACTTTATTACTATTATTCCTCTTTCTTTTTTTGGTTTTGGCTTTATTCTTCTTAGACGATGTTGGTAACTTCAACTATGGACCTGGTAATAATAATAATAATAATAAAAGAATGCTTTATGGATGTCAAGCAAGAAGGAACAAGAATAAGTATATTCATGGTGACTAATTCCTACTATGTTCTCTTACGATAGGTCATTATATGAAACCAAAACGTATGCACATGGTACATAATATGGTTGTGAATTATGGTCTTTATAAGAAGTTGGATATTGTGGTAAGAATGATTTCCCTTGAGAGAAAAAGAACCAATCATTGTATATTAAAAGAGGGACATGTTTATTTTTCCTTTTCATGACTTGTAGAAACCTGATAGAACAACAGCCTACCAAATGACACGATTCCATTCCGATGAATACATTAATTTTTTACAAAGTGTGACTCCAGATAACTTGGAAGCATTAGCAATGCAACATGGTGGTTTAGAACAAGGCATTGCTCGTTGTAAGTTATCATTTTATTCTCATTCCTTTTAAAGTTGGTGATATTCTGAGCTTATAAAATTCTTTCCACTATTTTTTTTTTTTTTTCTGTATCATGGATACAGTCAACGTAGGAGAAGATTGTCCAGTGTTTGAAGGTCTATTTGAATTTTGTTCTATTTCAGCAGGTGGATCAATAGGTAAGAATCAACCCGAACAAATGGTTTACAGTTTTGTTACTTGCAAAATGATCACTCAGATGCTATTTTATTTTACGTATTTTTTTTTTTTTTTTTTTGTTAGGCGCCGCCAATAAACTTTTGAATGGTGAAGCTGATATTGCTATCAATTGGGCGGGTGGATTACATCATGCAAAGAAAACTGAAGCATCTGGTTTTTGTTATGTTAACGATATCGTTTTGGGTATTCTTGAATTATTACGGTAATATAAAGAAAGATCATAAAAGAATCAAAAGCTTAACAATCTTTCACTTCTTTTTTTTTTTTTTTTTGTAGGTACCATCAACGAGTTTTATATGTGGATATTGATGTTCATCATGGGGATGGCGTGGAGGAAGCCTTTTATACAACAGATCGGGTCATGACATGCTCTTTCCACAAATTTGGTGAGTTTTTCCCTGGCACTGGCGATATCAAGGTACGTATGAAAGGAAAAAAAAAAGAAAAAGAAAGAGAATGGAGATTAGTGAATATGCTGTTATGTTAACTTGAAGATTATATTAATATAGGATACTGGTTTAGGGAAAGGAAAACGATATGCTGTGAATGTACCGTTACGAGATGGAATAGATGATGAAGCTTACAAAAGCGTCTTCAAACCAGTAAGGAACAATATCATGATAAGGATGAAGATTGAAGTGTTTGTTTTCCTTCGTTAACATTCTATTTTTTTCAAATGATTATAGATCATACAACGAATTATGGATTGGTATCGACCGGGAGCTATTGTATTGCAACTTGGAGGGGATTCACTTGCTGGTGATCGACTTGGATGCTTCAACTTATCTATGAGAGGTCATGCATCTTGTGTCGAATTTATCAAGTCATTCAATATACCAATGATCATGGTGGGAGGTGGTGGTTATACTATCCGGAATGTAGCTAGGACATGGACATTTGAAACTGGACTTGCTGTGGGGGAAGACCTGACCCAATGTAATTCTTTTTTTTTTTTTTTTTTTTTTTTTTTTTTATGAATCTAACCTTTTTTTTTTTTTTTTTTTAATATTTATGTATGACTTAGGTGAATTACCATACAACAACTACTTTGAATATTTTGGTCCTGAATACAAACTTGATGTACCTTCCAATAATATGGTGAATCACAATACACGCGAATATCTTGAAAGAACAATGTAGGTGGTATACAAATATGATTTGCAGAAGATTGAATAGACATGTATTTACAGTTTTATTATTATTTATTATTTATTTTTAGAGCTAAGATCATCGACAATCTTCGACATATGCCATTTGCCCCATCAGTAGGAATGCAAGAAGTACCAAGGGATTTCAAGGCGGATGACTATATTGATGGTGAAGACAGTGAATATGATGAATCTGATTTCCGGGCGACTCGTAAGTTCTATACTTTATCCACTTTAGATATTTCTATAGTTTAATATTCTATTTTCTCCTTTTATGATAGACAAACGAAAGCTTCAAACAATGGGCGTCCTGTAGATGGTTAATCAAGATACAAAGATAAGCAGAGTAGATTATTGGTTTATCTTTACTGATTTTCTTTATATATTCGTACACTCGTCTCTTTTTTTTTTTTTTTTTTAATTGTGTTTATATTAAATAAAGATCACATTTTTACTTTTAAAGACCATTACTTCCAGCGAAGTCAGTTCTTTAAAACCGAAATCATTTATCTAATCACAATGTATCAAAAATATATAGTCTATTGTAGTTGTTTATTTCATTGTAAAAAAAAAAAAAGTCTATCTAACTAGGAATAACACTAAACTAAGATTTTCGAATGTTGAAATTGGAAGTGTTTCTGATTTCATCGACTTGTTTTCTATGTAGCATGAAGGAAGGAGTAATCCATCGACCACAGGAGCATTGTTCACCACTCCAATTGTAAGCACCTAATTTGGAACAGCATTTTGGACAATCGATCCGACCTAGAATTTCACCTGAATCCTGTAATCTTCCCATCCATTCCATAGGTTCGATAAAATACGAGGAACATGATTGATTGGAAGTTGCCAAAGCTGCTAGAAGCGGATTTAATGCCTTATTCACTTGAGTACTTGATACACTTGCTTCGGTAGATGGTTGTGCTGCTACATCGGTCACATTCAATTCACTTGTACGCTTGAAATAGGAGAATGATTGTTGTCCTTTGCCAGGTTTATGTTCAATCACATGTTCCGCATGAACCAATGTACGTCTTTGTTCCAAATAAATAATAATAATAATAATAAAAGAGAATGAGATTAAAGTGGCAAGTAATCATACTTTTTTTTTTTTTTTTTTTTTTTGAAAAGTTGATTTACCTGCATTTCTTACACCGTAATGAGACAAAAGGTAATTGAGAAGGGGCACTAGGTGGTGTATATTCTGGATCGGCAGCCAGTGTATAATTTTCCATTTCATTATAAACTTTGTGAACAATATATATATATAATATTGATTAGTATTCATTCATGTTTCAAAATCATATCACTTACTGTTATATTCATCCATATTAGCCAACATAAATTGTCTATAAGCAGCATGCTTTGGATCGACTTCATAGTTCAAGCTTTCATACAGTTCCAGCTGAGCCAAAAACCCCTCGTTGGGAGCTACCATGGTACGTCTTATCTTGATCATAGTTAATGCTTGTTCATATCCAATATTTCCTTTTCTCATCATATATGCGGCTGCTACAGTAGCACTTCGAGATATGCCAGCTTGACAATGAATTAGAACACCCGTCCCTATACTGCGAGCTTCTTCAATAAAATCAAAAGTGTCGTTAAAATGTTGTATGATCATTTCCTTCGGTAAATCTTCAATATGAATATTCTAAATTGTAAAAAGTAGCAAGTTTAAATCTTAGCTTTTTGATTGTCCTTTTTTTTTTTTGTAATACTTACTTTGTATATGATCCCAGCATGATTATAATCGAAACCTCCTAAGGAAACAATATGTGATATTTTATTTTCCTTCAATTCAGATAGATCTTGCGCCGATATACAATCACCAACATAAAGACGAGGTATAATGAGGTGAGAGTGAGTCATGTTGGATATTAATGTAAAAGGAAGGAATCAAAAAAAAAAAAAAAAAAATTCGAACAAAAGCGACAAGCGGATTATCAAAATAGAATTTTTCTTTTTTCTTTTTCTTTTCTCAAATACGCATAACCAAAGGTACACAGTAAGTTTTATTATTAGTTTATAAAAGCCCACGACAACTAAATCTAAAAATACAAGTAATCTATCTATATGAGAGAACGGATATATGTATAAAGTGTTCTAATAAAAGTCAATCTATACTAATATTGTCGTCAAAGATCGTTTCAATGGACCATTCACACGAATCATAGCTAGACTTCCAATAATCACTGCTATTAGTAGATAGATCATAGGCCAACGCATATTGAAATCACTATCCGTATTTTCAGTCCATCCCATAAATGCAACTAAAATAACACCCCCAATATTGCCGATCAAGAATAAATAACCAGTAGGAATGATCTCATTAACAGGATAGAATAGTTCTCCACAGTATTGAAAGATTGCAGGAGCTATAGCTGAATAAAACAAATAAATAATATATATATAAAGAATAAAAATGAGATGATCGATGATTACTTTTCTATTTTTTTTTCTCCCTTTTCTTTCAAAGACTTACAGTAGGATGATGCTCCAAATCCAATACTAAAAGAAGAAAAGAAAAAAAAAGGTAACTAATGTCATTGACAATATCTGCATATTTTGAACTTACCATGAGAATGCAACACCCCAAAACGATTTCCATTCAATAGAAATATATAATACAATCATACTGAAGCTGGTCAAGATAGATAATGTACCACACACGAGACGATATTTCTTGGTGTTGTCCAGATAATGACCAACCAGGATACTACCGAGTACACCAACAAATAAGGTCACACAAGAGAGAATACCAACATCGTTTTCAACAATAATTCCAGTAAAAGGAGGAAGCAAGATTTGATCAATCAAAGTAATAATGGCACATTGAGCACCTATTGATAAAGATAATTCATAACAGTAAATATATCTATAATAAAACCCTATACCTTTCAGTTACCAAATATAACACCATAAGAAAGTAATAGAAGGATAAAATTCTTTTCCTTGAAAAGTCTTTGAGTAGTAGAATCAACATTTGAATTTGAAATGTCCACACTATAAAAAGACATGTGAGTATTGTTACCAAAAAAAAAAAAAAAAGTCATTTGGCTATCCAACTTAAGTTACCTTGTCTGAGTATAACATGGAGGTTGCTTTTGAAATGCTACTGTAATGATAAGAATAACCAAAGTACACATGATGAATTGTAAAAGTAATAAATGAGGTATGTCATCCAACATAGTGTCGAGATGGATTGCCCAAGGAGACCATAGGCAGCCTATCGCAATGCCCAAATTGTTTGCAGATACTGCGATCGATGTTGCCACATTGATTTCGGATTCCGGAAACCAAGCTACGGCCAGCTGTGGAGGAATAGCCAGCATGAACACCTGAGCTATAAATAATAAATAAAGTTAAATCATTTTTGGAAATGATTATACGATCTGTTAAATGGCATCCCTATTTTTTTTTTTTTGTTCTCCTCTTTTTATTACCTAGAGCAGCAATAGATTGTCCAATAAATAAGAATAAAAAACCGTAGAGTGAAGGTATTGCACCAAACCAACGCATACCAGATCCAATCACATTTAGAACAGCACCAATCAAGATACCCCGACGAAGACCACTTCCAGGGACAGTAGAATGAGAAGGAACTTGATCATTTTTGAATGATATATCATCAAAAACACCAAAAGTAAAATACACAACAAGAGGGTATAGTAACATATATATAGAAGAGAGAGAATGAATAGCATTGATAGTAAAAGTGCTTACATGGTGGAAGTAATAATCAACAAAGATATAAAGACAAGGAGCGAAGGTAACCCACATTAGTGCATTGGAGAAGGAGAATAAAGAAAAAGACAATAAAATAAACCATCGCCAAGGTATTCTATATATCGAATTAGTATGTACTAATGTAGTTGTTTCATTGACTTCAACCATGAAAAAGGGGGGGTATATGGTATAAAAAAGAGAACAGAAAGAAGAAAAAAAAAAAAAAAAAAAAGAACAGACAAAGTCTATATTAGGGTCACTTCAATCTCAGACAAGGAAATTGGTTCGATCCAATCAAATTCAACATTGTCTTTTATCAAACCAAAAAAATTTTCTCTTTAATTCTTTTGTGCTCTCCTTTTTTTTTTTTCCTTTTTACTTTTTTTTCTTTCTTTCATCACAAATAATAAAGAAAAAACAATGTCTTCATATACTTCTTCCTATTCTTCAAGTAGACACCATAGTGAATCTAGTCGTCGTGACCATGATAGCCGTGATCGACATAGTAGCAGTCGTGATTATAGTAGCCGTGATCGACATAGTAGCAGCCGTGATTATAACAGCCGTGATCGACGTAGTAGAAGCCGTGATCGCAGCAGTCGTGATCGTCATAGCAGCAGAAGCTATAGAGACAATCGTGAAACTTCTCCAAGAAGATCAAGTCGCCAGTAAGTACTCATTTTTTTTATTATTATTATTGTTATTATTGTTATTGTTATTATTATTATTATTTATTTATTTATTTATTTATATCATACTCAATTATCCTTTTGATTTTAAATATCTAGTTATGAATCTTCAAGCACAAGTAAAACCAATGATCGTGGATATAGTTCTTATCGTTCCAATAGCTCTTTTGGGGGAAATGCTCCGTCTAGTAATGGTAGTAGTTATGGACAAAGCAATTATGGTGGTAGCGGATATTCTTCTTATAACAATGGTGTTAACTTCCAAGGCGGTGATCGTATGTCTCAATTGGGTAACACTTTGAAGAATACTCAATGGGATATGAATTCATTACCAAAATTCGAAAAAAATTTTTATGTTGAACATCCTGATGTCACAGCAAGAACCTTGGAAGAAGCAAATCAAATTCGAGCAGCAGCTGGTATGACGGTAACAGGTATCGATGTTCCAAAACCTCTCAAAACTTTTGCTGAAGCCAATTTCCCTGGATATGTGATGAGTGAACTTGAAAAGCTTGGTTTCCCTTCTCCTACTCCTATTCAGTGTCAAGGATGGCCTATGGCATTGAAAGGTGATGACGTTGTGGGTGTGGCTGAAACTGGTTCTGGAAAAACTTTGGCCTATATTCTCCCTGCTATTGTTCATATCAATGCTCAACCACTTCTTCAACCTGGTGATGGTCCTATTGTTTTAGTTTTGGCTCCTACTAGAGAGTTAGCCGTACAAATTCAACAAGAATGTGTCAAATTTGGTCAATCTTCAAGAATCAAGAATACTTGTCTTTATGGTGGTACTCCTCGGGGACCCCAAATTAGAGATTTATCTAGAGGTAATAAAAAAAAAAAAAACTATATAAATGTTCAATTATCCTTACTTTTCTTTTTGAAAATGTTGTTAGGTGTGGAAATTTGTATCGCCACTCCTGGTCGTTTGATTGATATGTTGGAATCCGGTCGAACCAATCTTCGTCGTGTCACCTACCTTGTTCTTGATGAAGCTGATCGTATGTTGGATATGGGTTTTGAACCTCAAATTCGTAAGATTGTCAATCAAATTCGTCCTGATCGTCAAACCCTTATGTGGAGTGCTACTTGGCCTAAATCTGTACAACAATTGGCCGAAAGTTATCTCAAATCTTATATTCAAGTTACTGTTGGATCTTTATCATTAAGTGCCTCACAAAATGTGACTCAGACTGTGGAAGTTTGTGATGAAACTCAAAAACGTGGAAAGTAAGTAGTAGTGTATCAATTAAAAAGGTGAAATCCTAATTCTTTATTATTATTATCATTATTTCATAGATTGATTGTACATTTAGAACGTATCATGGATGAACCTGAAAATGAACGAAAAACTATTATCTTTACAAGTACAAAACGAACTGCTGATGATATTACACGATTCTTACGACAAGATGGATTCCCTGCTTTGGCTATTCATGGTGATAAAGCACAAAATGAACGTGACTGGGTATTGAATCAATTCCGTACTGGTGGTCATCCTATTATGGTTGCTACTGATGTTGCCTCTCGTGGTATAGGTAAAAAAAATCAAAATAATAATTAAAAAACAAGGAGAGGAGGGGGAACATGATGGAAAGAAAAGAAGGGGGGGACAAGTAACATATGAAATGGAGCATTTTTTTGATGAATTAAGATCGAAAAAATCATGATTTCTTATATGTTTTTTATCTCTCCTTTTTTCTTTTTCTTTTATGTATTGTTATCGTTGGAATCATAATGATGGACTGGCTAAAGAGGGGGGAATACTCGAAACAACAACAATATGAAAGAAAGACCAATAGATCTACCATTCAAGCTCTTTTTGTTATTGTTTTTGGAAACTCTCTCTCTTTTCCTTTATATCGTTTGAAGAAAAAAAAAAAGAAAAGAAAATGAGGGAAAAAAGGTCTTTTTATTTATTGTATTTTTTTTTAAAATAGATGTCAAGGATGTCAAATTTGTACTCAATTATGATTTCCCTACTAACATTGAAGATTATGTACATCGTGTGGGTCGTACTGGTCGTGGTGGTCGCACTGGTTCCTCAATCACATTCTTTACTACTGACAATGCTCGTCAAGCTCGGGAACTAATCAATATCCTTCAAGAAACCAACCAGGAAATTGATCCTCGATTACAAGCTATGGCTGCTGCTGGAAGAGGTAGTGGCGGTGGACGAGGTGCACGAGGTGGTCGAGGAAGAGGTCGTGGTGGTTATGGACGGGGAAGTTATGGAGGTGCTTCTTATGGTAAGTTATAAAGATATTATTCAAATTAGTGTCTCACTCTTTTTTTTTTTTTTTTTTTTTAAATAGGTGGTGGTGGTTATGGTTATGGTTATGGTGGTGGTGTATCATATGATGCTAGTGGCTATCAAGGTGGCTACCAAGGTGATTATCAAGGTGGATATGGTGGATACTAGATAGTTTGGAATTATCCTTTTTTATTCTCATTTCTCTCTCTTTTTTTTTTTTTTTTTTTTTTTTTTTTTTGCTGCTCTTCTATATTTTACTTTGATCATCTATCTCCTTGATTACTTTTCATATGTCCTACATTTTAGCTTAGAAATATATATACTTCATAGTTTTCATTTTATATTCAATAAACAAAAGTACTTTACAATTTTATTTTATTTTTTTTTTCTTAAAGAAGAAGAAAAGACTGATGAATATCTAGATAATAATTGACTGATGGATGATAATACATGAAAAGGCAGGTAGAGTTTGCAGGATTTATGATATTGAAAAAGAAAATAAAAGGTTGATGATGATTGATTGGCAACATTCAACTACCTGTAACATTATACTATAGAAAGAATAGGAACGGTATTATGGCATGACAATATTACCATCGAAACTATAAAAGTACTAACACTAATCATCATTATGATGTAATACTCCATACCACGTATTTTCCATTTTATTTCTATTTTCTTTATTCTCTCTCTTTGATATTGTCAGTGGATGCCTAAATTTATATGATGCTTTAATAAGGTCATACTCAATGGTCTCCACATCATGATGATTATCATCATTAGTCATTACCTTAGGAAGTACATAGAATTATTTATATGAATATTTATACAAACCAACTCATTCATTTATCTATCATCATCATTTATCATCAAAGAACGCCATAGCAATCCATCCATTTTTTTTTTTTTATTTTGTCTAACACATTGAAATCCCGAGGAACCAAGTAAATTTATGCGCAAGTGTCCTCTTTGGTAGTCAACTTATGTGTAACATTTGATAAAGAAAAACAATACTGTAATATAAATGAAAGACATAAGGGATGTTTATTGAAAATGATTGATAAAAGTAATACAAGCAAAATAATAAAAATAAAAATAAACAAATCAATAAAACTAAGAATAAATATATAATAAAAAGGAAGTAACACTTTCAAAGACAAAGAAAAGATAAACTATAATAACTAAGGACAATCTATTCATGCTTTTCGTCTGACCTTGATGAGTTGACAGAAGATTGAGCAGGTTGGTTTTGGGATTGAGTTTCGGACATGGAGTGGTGAGATGTATATGAATGTTGCTGTTGTTGCTGTTGTTGCTGCTGTTGTTGATGTTGTTGCTGTTGTTGCTGTTGTTGTTGTTGCTGTTGCTGCTGTTGGGCAGCAAATTGTTGTAATTGTAATTGGTATTGCTGTACTTGTTCCGGAGTCAACTATATAAAATAGAATAACATACGAATAATGTATATGAGTAATGGTTAGTATCGTATTAATTTTATTTTACCTGAGACAATGGTGGATAGTAAGCAGCATCCATTTGTTGTTGTTGAGGAACCTAAACATTAGTTTTTTTTTTTTTTTTAAAATAAAAAAAGATATCAGTTCTATTCTGTGATTATTGATCGCTCAGTTGATATTTAATATAGAGCGAAATCTGGTTCATTTCGTCTAAGTTCATTCATACGTACCTGTCCAGGTGGATAAGATGGAAGGTTTGGTGGTTGTTGATAATAGCTGGCATAACTTTGTTGCTGATCATATACAGCAGAACTTGGTGCCTATTTAAAATATAGAAACAGAAATAATTAAAAGTGAGAATATAGAACTTTTCATATTTTTCTGTTTATATACTTTTGATGCTTCTTCACGGGGTACAATATCAATCAAAAAGTCGCACATATCCGTTTTTGATATAGCTGTAGCAATATCTGATCGTTGAAGTGTTCGTCGTTTGTTTTCTTCAGCGTGAACCCTATGTATATATAAATAGTAAAAGGAAGTAAAGATAAACATATATTGTCCACTTCTTTTCATTGATATCATTATTTTCTACTTACCAAGCGCGCTTTGTGAGTTCAGTGATGAAGATTTCACAACCTTTAGCAAATAAAATAGGAGCCTATATAAGAATAAAATAAAAATGAGAATTGGGAACATATAAAGAAAAAAAAAAAGTATTATTCAAGAACTATTATTTTTAAATATTCATACCTCGGCACTGATCATCTAGAGGAAATAAAAAAATAAAGGATGACACGTAAGTAAAAAGAAAATTATCTGACTATAGTCCTTCTTTTTCATTTTACCTTGACATCTTGATCTGTTTTCATAACCTTTTTGATACGGGCCAATGGTAAAGGATGGTTTTTAAAGTCGGGTTCACTGGCATCAGCAATTCCCATTTGTTCGTGCCAAAACTTTGGAAGATCGAAAACAGGATGACCTCCAGGCGCGGTAGCACTACCTGAAACAGCGGCGGCAGCAGCAGCGGCAGCAGCAGCAGCAGCTGTAGCAATAGCAGCATTACTAGGTTGTTGATGATGGTAATGTGGATCGTTGTTAGATGCCATGTTGTAATCACTATGAGTGTGTGTTCGTGGAAGTTAAAGAAAAAAAAAAAAAAAGAAAAAAGAAAAAGAAAGACGAGACGAAAAAAAAAAAAAAATTACACATTGAGATCTTTTACACGTCACATACGATTGGATGAGTTCCGCTGGGGATTCAAGAATATCCATGGCTGAAAATGAAAAAATCTGATACTTGATGATGGGCATGAAAGACCCCCACCAATCAATAAGAGTTCCGATGAAATGTTAGAATTAAATGTTAGTTCAAATCAAATATATACAACACAAATTTTTATTTTCAAATAGGGGGGATGATCAATTCTATTCTACAGAATATAACAAATCTACAACACTAATACTAATAATCCATTCACATCTTTGGTTGTTAATATCACGACAGATCATCTTCATCTGTTTCCCAAATATCATCCGTTGTAATTGGAAATTCATCAAATTCACCATCTGCAGGGACTACATTATAACAATCTTTAATATTGATATATCGTAATTGCTTACATTGTTGTGCCAAAAACCTAATGCCTTCTTCCGATATTTGTTCACACCCGGATATGTCCAATTCTTCCAAAGATATACAATGTTGTGATATGGTGTATATTGAATCATCGGTAATCGAGCTATAGGATATATCTAGTCCAATAAGACTTGGATGATCCCGTACAAAGTTTTCCACAACTTCGTCAGTGACGTTTCGAACAGCTTTCAATGATAAATACCGTAAAGATGAGCAATTTGAGATTGATGAGATTACTCTTCGAGGATCCCTATTTCATAAAAAAAAAAAGTGTATGAGAAGAAGAAGTAATTATAGTATGACTTTAGAATAATTACAAGTTGCAAAAACCAACATCAAGGTTCTCAAGGTGGATAGTACGTAAAAGTAATGTATTTAAAACGGATCCAATATCTTGCTGCCAACGATCAGGTATACCTTGCAAGTCGATGATCTTGATCAATTCAGAATATCTTGGAGTCAATCGTTGTATGAATAGTGTGAGTTGATGGAAGGATAATATAGATGGTGCACGGTAAAGATAAGGAATGGCGACTTGATGAAAAGTTCTAGAGACAAAACTAAGTTGAACTAAAGTTTGTTGGTCATCACGAAGAAGATTAGTAATTACATTGAGTATTTCCGAAGCGAGAGAATTCATGTATTTATGCAATAAGAAAAGAAGGTAAAAGAAAGTTAGAAAAATGATTACCTGTGGTTGAATTCAGTCACATCATTTTTTGCAAACACCCGTGGACTAGGTTCCCACCCAGAAAAAAAAAATGAAACGGGCGTTTAAAAAAAAAAGAATTGATGAGTGATCACTATAAGATATATATCTTATATATGAAGTATGTACTTACAATTAAAAATTTCCTTCTAGATCATGGGCTAACGATTGCTGCATTCGACCAATCCAGGATGTACAGCCTCGAAGTAAGTAGACATTTTGTTGTTGTTACTATCTTCATCAATCAAAGTGCAAGAGGGTCGGAAGCCAATTGTTCAATATCAATCATAATCCTGTTGGTGGCTGTATTCAAATCACGGCTACGATCCACGAATCCATACTTTCGACAAAAACAATCAGGATTATCACATGTAACGGCACCATAGTTTGGCGATACCTTTCCTTTAATATTTTTCTTAGGATGATGAATAGGTTGGTGACACAAGGAACACAACTTTGTTGATCGAAATTCATCAGTATGACAGACGATAGAGTTTTGACTGATGTTGTTGATGAGTTTGTTTTGCGATTTGTCCTTTTTGTCGTTCTTGTTGCTGGTATTGCTACATCTCTGACGGTGGAGGTTTGCTTCCAAAGAATATGCTTTTCGATTCAATATTGGTTGATTTCGTTTTGCGCGTTGATCAGCATTGTTGTAAGAATAAAATGAAGACAATCGTTGTTGGTATGACTTGATTGTCTACGTTTTAATAATAATAATAAAAAAAAAAAGAAGTTAGACCAAGCTTTATCTGGTACAGGTATTACTTACAGCATGATTTTCTTTGACCTTTGTTGTATCAGTCGAAATATGGGATGATAATTCTGATTCCAACTCTGAAATACTTTTTCGACCTTCCATGGCTACCTATTTATATGAAAAAGAAGAAATAAAAAGTGAGAAAAAAAAGTAAGCAAATTTTCTTTGCCTTTTTTTTTTCTGCTTACCTTCTTTTGCTCCAAAGCTTTTTTCTTCGTTCGAGTACTTTACTTTATTTCTTGATATGAGCATTCGAATGGATTTACTTCAAGCTAATGGTTAATTTCTGAGCCTTCAGCATATTAAATCGGAAGTCCTGATCGTTTTTTTGCTTCTTCAGCCAAAGGCGCCAATGCTTCAAATTTGTTTGATAGAGCTAAGCGGAATCCAACCTGACTGGCCGTTATATCACAGTAGTGAGAAAGGTAACCATACCAGGATCACAACCAATGTAATTGATAGATTTGTTTGATTATTCCTTTTCCATGAGTTTGACTAGCGATATATCTTCAGGATGAACAACACCTTTGAAATTGTTCATTGTTGGTTCCAAGTTCGATTATTTTAATTCATTGCCAGCATCATCTTGATATAATTGTCGATATAAAGCAGCCATAGAGCTTCGGTATCAGATTTATATCATTTCAGACACCGGATTCCAGTTGGTTCGTACTTTTTGTTAGTTTGGAAGGTTTGCTTGACTTGCATACTTGTTGGTTGTTTGTTGCAATTATTGGCTATAATCTCATTCAATTGTTTTGTCAATCGTGTCTCAAAAGTTCTTTTGATATATCTTGTTACTTCTTGCTTGTCAAGTTGGATTTTTTAATTGAGTTCGACGCGGTTGTTGTTGTAAACATGTTTTGGGATATAAGTTTTGATTGTAAACGTTGGGTTGAAGTTTCTTTCTTGCCATCAAATTAGGTATAGATAGAAATGAGAATAAAGAAGAATATAATGTAAGGCATTAGAATATAAGAAGATAAAAATGAAAAGTAAAAAAAAAAATAAAAAGAAGAAAAACAAAGAGAAGGGAAGGAACAGTAACTTTTTTTTTTTCTCAAACCACTTTTTCTTCGAGATATCGGAATCTAAATTTATGGCATTTAGCATGGATTACATAAATGCTGGTGAGGATACAATTACAAAGCTTTACTGAATAATAAAAAAAAATATGAATACAATTAACTTTATTAAAGAAGAAGAATGATATAATAAGACGAATGAAACTATATCTTAATAAAAAAAATCAATAAAAGAACCAAATGAGAAAAAGACAAACCGAGATAGTCGTATTATGTGGCATACAAAAAGAGTGAAGACAATATCAATGTTCCATGTACAAAATAATGAAGAAACAAAAAGAGCAGGATTAATTTATTTTCTACAACGTACTTTTTTTTTTTTTTTTTTTTTTTTTTTACCATTTTGAATACCATCCAACAATAAACGAGCCATTATTATGTATAACATATAGGATAATATAATTCTTGATTATTCAAATACTCCATTCACACTAGTATTGATCAACAGTATGTTTTCTAGATTGGAGAAGATATGCTTTGTGAATTTGGCCTTGCAAATCAATTTTTGTAGGTGACTTTTAGCGACATGTTATTTTTGAATTCCGTCATTTATTATTGAACAAAAGTCCTAAATAATCCTCTCCTCCTCTTCCTTTTTTTTTTTTTTTTTTATTAAAGTCATATTTTGTTACTTTTTCCCTCCAATCTTCAATCAATATGGTTAGTAGAAAAAAAAAATAAGAATAAAAAATTACATATTCATCTATCTTTTTGGATACATATTAATGAAACTTTACTTTGTTTTCATGTTAGCTTCTTCGAATTCGTTCCAAAGAAGGTATGGCTCGCGTACAAGTGGAACCTCAAGAAACGTTTGGTTCTTTGGCAGCTAAGGTATTTTATATCATTTGTTTTTTATAAATGTCTTATGTGAAGTTTTTATATTTGATTAGATTGCTCAGTTACATAATGTGGATGCATCTACTATAGCGATCAGCAACAAACAAAATACAGCGGACGCTACACCTATTGGGCAACTTCAAAATAACAGTCTTTCTTCTGCAAACCTTAAGTAAGAAAAAGCGAAGAAAGAAAGATGGAAACTGAAATTAATTTACCTTTGATTTTTATTTTTATCTTTATTTTAATTTATTTCGTTTTATTTTTGGAAAACACACAGACATGGAGATATTGTGTATGTGACGTATACAGATCCTGAAGACAACAAACCGGCAGATATCCAACCACCTGTACCTGATATAAATGGAAATATATCTATGGATAAACTCGCCCATACTAAACAAGACCCTGTCGATGACTTTTTAGAAAAACAACGTGGACTGATTAAGAGATCTAAGGATCCAAAATTGTAAAGAAGAAAGGAAAAATTATGATTTTTTTTTTATCAATAATATGTCTAACTTGGAAGTATTTTTTATTTTATTTTATTTTTATTTTGTTTTTGTTACTGTTGATAGCTGTCGACATGGAGATAATGCAATGTGTGATTATTGTATGCCTCTCGAAGTAAGTAAATGAATAGAAAAAAAAAAGGTTGATCTATAGATTCTTATCTATCTTTTTTTTTTTTTTAGCCATATGATAAAGGATACCTGGAAGAAAATAAGATCAAGCATATGTCATTTCATTCTTATTTACGTCATATTAATTCAGCTCAACAAACCAAAGCGCCATCATCTGCAATCCTTACACAACTGCCTCCCTTAGAAGAACCAAGCTATAAAGTCAAAGTCCCCTGTACAGGAGGTCATGCGTCTTGGCCAGAAGGAATCTGTACTAAATGTCAACCTAGTGCCATTACTTTACAACGACAGGTAATATATACATAAAAAAAAAAAAAAAGAGTGGGATAAATGATATACATAAGGCAATATTAATTTTGGAAATTATAGACCTATCGTGTAGTCGATCATGTAGAATTTTCATCAGCATCATTAATCGACAACTTTTTGAATTATTGGCGACAAACTGGTAATCAAAGGATTGGATACCTATATGGACGATATGAACCTTATCTTGAAGTACCTCTGGGAATCAAAGCTGTGGTTGAAGCAATTTATGAACCTCCTCAAGAAAATCATGTTGATGGACTGAAATTATCTATTCCATGGCAGGAAGAAGTTTTGATCGATGATGTTGCTCACGCTTGTGGATTATCTAAGGTTGGTGTTGTATTTACTGACTTGATAGATGATGGTAGTGGAAGTGGAAAGGTTGTGACAAAGCGACATGTAGACTCTCACTTTTTATCTTCATTGGAATGCTCTTTTGCTGCGGAAATGCAACTTGCTCATCCTAACGTTAGTCGACACGCTGTGACAGGGAAATATGGTTCCAAGTTTGTGACATGTGTAATTTCTGGTGATCTCGAAGGCAACATTGGTGTCAGTGCTTATCAAGTTTCCGATACTATGACAGCCATGCATGATGCTGGAATTGTGGAACCAAGTCGAAATCCATCTGTGGTCCGTGTCAAGGAAAGTATCCCACATCAACGATATGTACCTGAAGTATTTTATAAATTCAAGAATGAATATGGTGTAATGGTTCAAGAATCTGCAAAACCTACTTTTCCTGTGGAATACCTTTTGGTCAACGTAAGATTGATTTTTTTTTTTAAAAATGACTAAATGTTTTTTATTTATTTATTTATTTATTTTTCCTTTTTAGGTGACAAATGGATTTCCTCAAAAACCTTCTCCTCTATTTACTGATAGTAGAGATCTGACAGCAGAAGGGGTGTCTCATCCTGATATTGGTACTCTTGGAAAGCATCTTCTTCGTGGTAAATCAAAGGATGATCTTCAGGCATTACTTTCAGATTTCCATGTTTTATGCGCTATACGATCTATGGACATGCTTTCTCGAGAAGAGTTCAAGATTGTATGTGATATTGCAACCAAAGCTTCGGATATCAATATAGATATTCTAGATCAACTACAAGGATGGCAAACATTATTGATGGTTCTTAAGGAAGCAGGTAAACAAATTAATATATAGAAAGGGAGATAGGATCGTCACATGCTCATTTTTATTTTATTATTATTTTATCCCCTCCTCTTTTTTTTTTTTTTTTTCTTTAGAAGGCAACGCAAGAATCAATACACCATCTATACAATCAAGAAGTGGCTCTGGAACAAATACACCATCTGAAACTATTGTAACTGAAATCTCTTGCAAACACTGTACATTTACTAATCCTGGTAGTAACAACAATTGTGAAATGTGTGGATTACCATTATCTGATTAGTTAGAATACATTATAAAGGATAGAAAGGATGATATTTTTTTGTGAAGAATAAACATATATATTTTTTTTTTGTCTTACCAAGAGTATACATAGTCTTTCATCTTTTTGCATAGAGAACATGTGTGATGTCTCCAATTTAGTTTGCGACTCCATTTTTGGATAGTAAGTTACACCAATCATTTAAGCTGTTCTTTTTTATCTACTAGGGACCAAAAGAAAAAACGCTCTTTCTTCCTCTTTCTTTTTCTTTCTTTTTTTTTTTTTTTTTTTTTTGATATTCCACTTGCCATGTTGCCTAATTCTCGTATTGTTCCTCCTCCAACAACTCTAGAAAAGGAACATTATACCGAACGACCTCCTCTTCCTTCTACTACTTCTTGTAAAACAGACTCAATTAATAAAGAAGGAAAACCTACAAGATATCTCTCTCGTACTGTACCACCACCAAACCCTCCTGCCAAACAACAAGGAACACATCAACAATCATATATAACAACTAACGGTGTACATCATCCTTTACCTTCATTTAGACAACAACAACAACAACAACAAGTAAAAAGAAAACCTTTGATGGAACCTGATCTAATCCCACTCCCTAGTACTACTTCTTACCAACCAACGACTGAACCAATTTTACGACGTCAGGAACTACCTTCTCCACCTTCAAAGTACGACTCTTTTTTGGATTCTTCTTTATTTCAAAGTCAAGATAGATCTTTCAGGACAGATGCACTGACAGCAGACGATGCAAAGAAGGTATAGTGAAATATATAACTTGAAATATGCTAAATATATAAATATGTACAAGACCCCTTAGCTTGATACTCAACTAACAAGTTTTTTTTTTTTTTTTTTTTATCCAATTTAGAAATCCAGTAGCAGCCGGAAAGGTTTTGGCAAATTCTTCAAAAAGCTAGGCAAAGTAAGTTTTATATATTATTTGATATGACTAATACTTATACTACCAATATTAGTCTATAGATGATGATGAAGCTCCACAAGTTCGTTCGGTAGGAAGCGTCGTATCTGTCAAATCATCAAGGTCCTATCATAATATACCACTGGCACCTCCTCCACCACCACCTCCTCCACCATCTAAGCAGCCAGATGATCTCATTTCAAGCATACCTCAAGAATATCGCTCAAGAATCCTCAACAACAAAAGTAATAACAAACAACATACCCACACCTCATCGTCTTATGGATCTGAACAGCCCACTCTTGCTCGAAAATCAACTTTAGATTCATCTAATATACCTTATTATCAAAATCAGCGACAACAGCAACAACAGCAACAACAAAAGCAGCAACAAAAGCAGCAACAACAGGAACAACAACAGGAACAAGAACAGGAACAAGAACAGCAGTCAATTGAACGACGTCCTACTATCACCTCTTCCGTTCCAACACCTCCTGTAGTAATAAACCCTGGAAATAGTAGTCCAACACCAGCACCTCTTTATCACGAACCTTTGAAAGATCATGACCTCATCGATACCAATCGAGCATCACCAAACTCCTCTTCTGTCACACCTACTCCTCCTCGCTGGTCAGTCTCTACCCGGAAATCATCGGTATCCTATTCAATCTATAGTACATTTGGTGGAGACTCTTTTACTTCGCAAGAAGCTTTGGACTGGGCAACAACGGCATCATCCATTTCTTCAAACACCAATCTCAGCAAAGATCAAATTCAACAGGACCCTGATGATGACTTGGCTGTGATAGTAGCGAATAATATGCAACGAAAGAATCAAGCTCGTGTTATCTCTGTTTCTGATCAGAACGATGATATGGATGCTAAGAATCATGAAAACGGATTGCAGTCAAAATCAAATATCAATGGCTACAACAACGCTGGTGAATCGACAAATATCAGCAAAGGTACACCCAACGATGAATTACGACAAGCTATAGCAATCGACAATAGTAATCGTAGTAATGGCAAGATTGATATCAATGAAAACAACAATATTGAAGAAGACGATGACAAGGACGACGATGATGACGATGATGACGATGATGATGATGATGATGATGATGACGATGATGACGAAAACGACGATATATTTGTAGATGCCTCGGGGTATAGTCAAGATGACATGGAACGTGAACGTTTTGATGCACGTTTGTCGAAACGACTTAGTGGAGGTCATTATGGAAGTGCAGGTGGATTATTACTCAGTATTGAAGCTGCTCAACGACGATCAAGACAACAACAAAAGCATCGACAATCAAATGGAATCTCCATAACAGCATCATCGCCACCGACAGTCCAACATACGTCGTTAGTTAATGATGAATTGATACCACCGGTATTGAAGAAGGATACTATGACAACAACAACTAGTACCGAAGCAGCTGATAATGAAAATGATAACAATCAAGCTCTCTCCAAGGAAGACAAAGAAAGAATGCGACAAAAATCTGCTGCTACTTTGACTGGTGATGGCAATAAAATCAATAAAGCCGATCTGACCTCAATACTTCTTGATCAACAAAAAAGTACTTTAGCACAAAGAACGACGGCACAAAACAACATTAATATCAGTAACGATAACACTAGTACCAGCAAAATAAGTAGTGATCATTTGTTTGATGACTCTCCTCTTACTATCTCAAGCTTTTGGAACGAAAACCCAAATCTGGTATTGAACGGCTTTGGACCTGGCCCTTTTTCAACAAGTACATCTACACAATCAACCAAATCTTATGAATCCTCCTCTGCTCAAGTCTCTGATAGCAAGGAAGCAAAGGAAATGGCCGAAATGCTCTGGAACGAGGATGAAACTATAGTCACCAAAAACCACATGGCTGAATGGCTAGGAACAAGGTATACAAAAAAAAAAAAAAAAAAAAAAAAAAAAAAAAAAAAAAAAACTAGTACATAGTGTTCTTACCATATATTTGATATTTTTGTCGTAGAAAACCCTTGAATTCCCGCGTACTGGTATATTATATGAACCATTTTGAATTCTCTACCTTGCGATTGGATAGTGCTTTCAGGTAAACTGAAAATTTACATATAAAGCATATTATCGGTATTCATTCCTTTTTCTTTATATACATATATGTTATATAGAAAACTTTGTGGAAAACTTTATTTCAAGGCTGAAGCTCAACAAATTGATCGTATACTTGATGTGTTCGCAAAACGATATTGGAAATGTAATCCTCAAAGTGTTTTTGGTAGCGCAGGTAATTCAAATAACTAACGATACATATTTGAAAATAACATTCCCTTTTTGCATTATCCTTACTTATTATAATAGATGTGGTTTATGCAGTTGTGTACTCTTTACTGCTTTTGAATACTGATCTTCATGTGGCTCAAGGAAATTATGCACGTATGACCAAACAAGCTTTTGTGAAGAATACTATGTCAACCATTTATGATCAATCTTCTGTCAAAATCACTAAAGTTTGGGAAATCAATATGGAGTCCTATTTGAAGGTAAAAAAAAAAAAAAAAAAAAAAAAAAAGGAAATGTGATGATGTGTTTCTTATAATCTTCTCTTCTTTTCGCTTTTTGATTATGAATCACATAGGATTTATACAATTCTGTTAAACAAAATCAAATTTTACAACCAATGTCTGATAAAAGTAATGACGTCGAATCTGTTACTCTGGAGAAAAGGTCTAGTATTATTGGTGGTCGTCGTGTTTTGGAAATGAAGAAGAATATGGGTGCCATTATCCGGAAATCAATGCTTGAACCCAGTATTGTGTTGGAAGAATCTGATGTAAGGATGAGAACAAATGAAATGATTGGTCTTCCTATATTCATAAGTTTTATATATCTAGCCTATTATTAGTCCTGTCAGATCACCATCATCACCTTTATCCTCTTCTCAACAACGGAAACGGGATTCGATATCATCAATAGGATCTGGTGCATCATCTTTACGCAATCCAACATCTCTTTTATCACCTTCTCCTCACTCACCAGCTGCATCATCATATACGAGCTCTCATGGTTCAGTGTTTATTAATAAAGCTCCTTACTTGAAAGAAGGTGTTGTAGTACGGAAACATTTACTGGAAAATGCAACACAAAAAGCCAAACATCGAGACTGGCGTGAATGTTTATTAGTGGTAGGTGATGGTGAACTGAAAATGTATACAACTCAAGGTGGTTATCAACAAACAAACAACAAGGTATCATCATCTTCTGATACAGATCGACGAAGCGTTTTACGATCTAGTGGTATTGGGTTTGGCGCAATGACGGAATCTTTCGTATCAAAATCGGGACCAGGTAGTGTTTATGAAAGCAATGGAAATAAATGGGGGGTAAGCACTAAAAAAAAAAAAAAAAAAAATAATGACCTTTTCTGTCAGACTCAATTTCTTTAAATTTTTATATCTAGGCATTTTCTCAATTGGTTGGTACTATTTCTCTCAGTCATTCACTCGCTAATGTACTACCACCTCCTGGATATAATCGGCAACGACCTTTTGTATTTGCCATTCAACAATCGCATGGTGGGGTTTATTTGTTTCAAGCTGGATCACAAACGCAAGTCAATGAATGGGCTACAACCTGCAATTATTGGGCGGCAAGACAAAGCAAAGAACCATTACCAGGTGGTGTTAGCAATATGGAATATGGATGGGGTAACTGCTTGCACGACGTGATACTTAATTTGGATGAAGATGATCTACACGGACAAGAACAACCTATTGGAGTGTTTCAACAACAACAACAACAACAACAACAGCATCAACAGCATCAACATCAACAACATCAGCAGCAATTATCACCTGATATTATGATATATGAATGGCGACCTCCTGCTCCACCAATGGTATCTAGTAGTCTCAATGAAAAGGAACAATATGAAGCTTTACAAAAACATTTAAGCATGCTTAATGTTGATATCAATGAACATCGCGATATCAAAAAGAAGATGATGGTCAAGTTTCCAAGCAAACATCCTCAATATACCAAGGTGATGTCTAACTGGGAATCCAAGTCAAAGTATCTTTTACACGAAATTATCAAGTATCAAAATTACTGTGATGTTTTGGAGAAAAGTCTGTCTCACCAAGATCATGATATGTAGTGGATTGTTTTACACTTTTTTTTTTTTGGAAATAATAAAATTTTTGAAATTCCGGATCTCATTTTTCTCACTTTTCTCTCTCATACACATTCACAGTTGTTTATCACCTTTTGTTTTGACATATTTTGCATTATGAATCATAGTATAAGGAACGCATCATACGATACTTACGAGACACAGATATTACCGAATATGTCCACGATTCATTATATACGACAAGCAAGTGCTGCTTTAGATCTGTAAGTGCTGATTGAATATATATACATGAATGTATAAAATATTGACGATCGTTATGATTAGACCCGTACGCACCACTGGCATTGCTTTATGTTACTATCATCGATTTCACCAGTTTATGTCACAACACCAAGGCAAACAACATGTTCGCAACAATCAAACAGTGGATCCGCTTCTACCACTCTATACAAATGAAGAGGTAAAGGAACTGAAACCCTATATCGATATTAATATCACTTCTATGATAGTTGTTGGCTACAACTTGCTTATTTTTAGCCTGCAAAGCAACAGAAGTTCCAAGGAAAGTACGCGACCTGGTCAATGTTGGATATAGGTAATTTTTAAAAAAAAAACTAGACACATTTTGAACATAGATCATTTGTATTTATTTTTGTTTTGTTATTGGGAAGTATAGGTATTATCATCCTGAAGAAGATGTATTACAAGTGGACGAGGTAATATATATATATATATATATATGATGAAAGGGAGGAATGCATTCATTAAAATTTCCTTTGTTTTATCTAGATATACTTTAAAATGCGATCGTCTTTAACAACAAGTGAACTTTTATTGGTACGTGCTCTCGACTGTGACCTTGAAAGGGAACTACCGTTTTCATTCTGTTTGAATGTCTTGCGCAATATGGGCTCCATACCTTTTTTCCAAACACCATCCATACCATCACCTTCAACTTCTCTTTTACATAGTTCCGGAATCACTCTTCAAAAAGAAGTATGGAAACAGATGGAAAACGGTAAATAAGAAAAAAAAAAAAAACTTACTTCGTGATTATTATTATTATTGTTTTAATCTTTCATTATCATCATCATTCTATCTTATAGAAATGCCTCTGAATTATAATGTGATTGCAAGAATGGCTTGGATGTTCGTGTGGGATAGGTGAATGAAAAATAGAATGTACTCCCATTACTTTAGAAAAGATATCTAATTGTTTTTTATTTTTTTTTTTCTTTTTTTTTTTTTTTTTCTTTTTTAGTCTTTGCTCTCCCAAGATCACTCTGAAATACTCTGTAGCTGAGGTTGCCCTTGGTTGTCTTTATCTTGCTCTTCGGACATCTTATGCTGATTTACAAATGACGATGACAGAGGTAAGTATGATGATAATGTCAATTTTAGCGTATAAGAAGTAATCTAATTATATCATGGATGATTTTCGTTTATAGTGGGTAGACAAATGGGGAGCTTCTGACAATGTCTCTGTACAAGCAGTTCGTGGTAAGAAAAATCTACTATCATTATTATTATGTATTTTTACTAAATGTGATTTCTTTTTTTTTGTTGTTATATTCATGGTTATAGATGTTGCTTTGGATCTATTGGAACTTTACGAACAATCTTCACTCAGTAGTCATCTCGATAGAAAAAATTTGAATAGTTTACCCACTTCTATAGAAGGATCTCCTCAAAACGATACTGAAGCCCCATCCACTGTATAAAAGATGATTATCTTTTTTCCCGCTTATACACACATATACATATGCAACCTACTCGTTTCCTCTATCTCTCTCTATTATTCCATCTTCCTCATATATATATATATATATATATATATATATATATATATGCCTTTTTGTACATGATTATCTTTTTTTTTTTTTGTTCCATCCATGAAATAAACAATTACTTGTGTATTACATAAGATTATTTTTTTTTTCTTCTTAGTATGTACATGTTTTGATAGGGCGATCTTGACATCCAAATGCCTCTCTTATTCAATATAAAAAACAGTATTGGTAAAATGTGATAATATAACAATTAAACATCAATAGAAATTCTAGACATCATCCCCATATATATATATCACTGTCTATATAGACATTATCATAATCATACTGTAAATAAAAAGGTATATGTAACGAAAAAAAAAAAAATGGATGCTTTTATTTTGATACAAATGCAGAAAGGGAATATGTAGTAGATTAAATAAATATATAAGAATAATCTAGTATTTTTCATGTATACAGACGAATCTAATTAGATAAAATAACAAGTGAGAAAAATAAACTACGAATGTTTTATACCGAGTACTTCGTTATCAAAAATAGATATGGCGACCTTTTAATTTCTTGCTGTATTTGTCACCATCCTTTTGTTTTGTTTTCGTCTTGCCAAGAGGTACAAAGGAAGTATCGCCCACATAATTATCCCATTCAGGTAATCGTTTTCGCTTTTTATTGTTCCTTTCATCACAATCATAATCGTCGTTATCGTTGTAACTATCTCTAGCTTGATCGTTATCATTATTGCGCTTCTGTCGTTTTAATGATCGTAGTTGTCGCCGTTTTTGTCTTTGCTGCATGTTTCGTATTCGTTTTTCTGACTGTGCTTTTTCTAAGGATGCTGAACACAACATGGGTAAAGGTTGTACTTTGTAATTGCGTCCTTCTAATCGTTGAGTACCATCCAATGGTAGTTGTTGTGATACTGGTATAATGCGTTCCAAGATTGAATTGGGTGGCCCATCCTTTTTGTTTTCTAGCAGAGTGTCCAATAAAAATGAAAAGCATTCTTGTACTTCGGCGATCATACTGCAGCTCCTACCAATATTGCTACCTATAAAAGAGGATATTGAGTATAAACTAACATGATGATTTTTCTTAAAAAAAGTATTTTACCTTCAACATCAGGGTCTTGAATTGCCAGTGGAGGTAGATATCCCTATTTATCATAAGAGATAGTTATTTATAAAGACTTGTATAAATTCACTGGATAAAAGAGTTTATCTTACCTTTTCAAAATAAGGGTTTGTAGAGTCAAATTGAATACCAGTTGTAGCGAAGTTGAAATTTGCATAAAAGTCCAAGAATTCCACTAACAAATTCGCATAATAAGTAGGTGATGATTTGATACATCCTAATTTTTCAGCTTCTACCTTTTAATGATAATGGGAATAAAAAAAAAAAAAAGTTAATAAAAAAAAAAAAAAAAAAAAAAAAAAAAAAAAAAAAGAGTATTACTGATAAAAAGTTCACAATCAGACACACCAAAGCGTAACTAGCTAATCCATTTGATTTTGATGACATTGGCATAAAATTTTCTCGAGGATGTTGTACAGATTGAAGAGCATGTTTGAGAACCAGATATAAAGGTTTGAGTTCAGGGTATTGTTTAATCCATAAAGAAGTACGATTAGAACTAGGTGCAATATTATTGACAGTAATATCAATAGCCACTGTATATCTTAAAGAATCAATTGTTAGAACAGGTACCTATTTAACAAATAAATAAATATTATAATTAATTTGATTTGTTTTAATTTTTTTTTACCTTGGCAAAAGGAATATGAACGATTTCATCAAAAGAAAATACACCTTGCTTTAATAGGACTCGTTTGATACGATTAATCACAGATTTTTCTGTACCAATAGAAGAATCACAATGTATTACAATATCTATATCACTAATAAAAAAAAAAGAAGTTAGATCTATAATAGGTTAAACATATATATATATATATTCTTTACCTTGAAGGTAATAGTAAACCAGTTACATGAGAACCAAAACATTCTATCTTGACATCAGGATAAATGGCTTTCACTAAGCGTTCGATCATTTTTTCAGTTGCAAGTCTTCCCTGTAGTTCTTCTTTAGTTGGTGATATATACTTTTCAAATTGTAGTATTTCCTTGGCCAATCTAACAAAAAGAAGAAAAAGAAAAGAAAAGGAAATGATTATTAAAATATACATTAAGAATAAAAAATCAATGATATACCTTTCTTCTTTATTCGGAAGACGTAAAGTATCTTGATCGGACCAAGGTGCCTCTTTCATGTTGATCGTAAAAATTATTTCTTGAAAAAGAAAAAGAGAGCAAAAAAAAAAAAAAAGAAATGAAAGTTTTTTTTTTTTTTTTTGTTACAAATTCAGTCTCCGGAAACACTGATTTTTTTTCATAAAGAATTGGCAGAGAGGAATAGATAATTTGCGTAATTGAATAATATGATTTGCAGGTGATAAAAAAAAAATGGTGATTTGCGTTGTGTACCAGAAAGAGAATATAAAAAAAAAAAAGAATAGAAAGAAAAATATGATAATTAAAATCTTTTTTTTTTTTTTTTGATACTTACAACCAAAACGTCGTAGGGTTTTTGTTACTTGAATTAAGCATATAACTCAGGCATAGAAAGAAATGGAATCATATATGCTAGATGATTCGCCATAATCGTCCTCAACTTTTCTTAATTCATTAGAATTATTCAAGCTTAAAAAATGCCCGACAACACACTGTAGGGAATCAAATCACCTGATATGCTTTTTTAAATTTGTTTGATTTTTTTTTTTTTTTTTTTTAGTTCTTTTCTTTTTTTTTGTTATATATCTTTATTGTAAATTCTTCCTTCTCTTTTCATTATTATTGTATGCATACCTAATTCACATCTTTTTTTGACTATTTGTCAAGTAATTACCCTTCCCATTTTATACTTTTTTATATCAATATTATCTCAGTGAATACTATTTTATATATATTTATATTTATATTTATTACGTACGTGTCCTTTTTCTTTTTCCAATAAAAAAAAAATGCTCAAATTATTATGGATACCCTTGGTCTTATCTCTTATTCAACATTGGTCAGTGATATTACAACAGGTGACTGCAACAGAACTCAATGATGAACCTTTGACTCCTATTCACCAACCAGGTTTTTGTGCTATGCGTGGACAGTGTGATTCTAGTATGTTTTCACGTTTACCTTGTGTTGACAATGGACCAGCAACTTTACCTGAAACGGATAACTTTCGGCAACAACTAGTGGAAACATGTGGTACTGATTATGAACAAGTTCCTGTTTGCTGTGATGAACAACAGTTCAACGATTTAGTAACTCAAGTAAAACGAGCTGAACCCATGATTTCATCCTGTCCTGCCTGTTGGAAAAACTTTATGCAATTCTGGTGTTCTTTTACTTGTTCTCCTAATCAATCTACTTTTGTCAATATCACCAATAGTTATAACAAAAATGGACATGCCATAGTGGATCAAGCGGATTATTGGGTTGGTGAACAGTATGGGGCTCCATTTTTTGATAGTTGCAAGGATGTCAAATTCGGATCAAGCAATGGTTATGCCATGGATTTTATAGGTGGGGGTGCGACTAATTGGCAAGATATGGTCAAATTTATGGGCAAGAAACAACTCCTTGGTAGTCCTTTTCAAATTGATTTTCCTTCTTTAGAGGCAACACCTCGTGATGGTCTGACAAGATATGACGACAAAGGTGAATCTTGTGGTGGTGATGGTCCCTACCGATGTGCATGTGTGGATTGTCAAGATGCATGTCCTATGCTTCCTCCAACCGAACGTGAATCTCCCGAATGTTATGTTGGTTTATTACGATGCTGGACTTTTGCTATGATAACTTCTTATGCTTCTATTCTTATATTGGTTTTTATTTGGTTTTTATCACGACAACGTTGGATGATGACTTGGATTCAACAATACTGGTGGCAAGATGAACATGATGCTGCAAGAGGCGCTTATGAACCTCTTGCTCTCACAGAAGATCAATACAACAACAACAACAACAATAACAATGATGATGATGATGATGATGATGTTGATGACAATCGTGAAGAAAATTTATTGGATCCTGATCATACTCCTCGTCGGTATTGGATGAATACTCGTATTCAAAATTGGTTCTACTATCAAGGTTTATTCTGTGCTCGTTATCCTTGGTTAGTAATTTGTTCTGGTCTGGTATTTATCACTTTATTATCAGCTGGTTGGTCTCGTTTCTCTCTAGAACGGGATCCAGTGAATCTATGGGTCTCTCCTACATCTGAAGCATTGGCTCAAAAGAATCATTTTGATGAACATTTCTCTCCATTTTACCGTACAACTCAACTCTTTTTGGTCAGTGAAGATGAATCTAAACCTTTCTTATCCACCTCTCGATTGGAACATTTGTTTGCCTTACAAGAAGAAATCAAGACAATGAATTCAAATGAACTTGGTATCTCACTTCAAGATGTATGTTTCCATCCTACTGGTGACGCCTGCATTGTACAATCGATTACTGGTTACTGGCAAGATGATATCAACAATTTTGATCCTGATAATTGGCGTGAAGACTTAGAACAATGTATATTTGACCCAACGAGCTGCCTTCCTGAATCTTTGCAACCTCTCAAACCTCAAATGATTCTTGGTGGATACAGTACTGACAAGAACGATATTCATTATATCGACGCCAAGGCTGTTGTGGTGACTTTTGTATTACGAAATTCTTTGGATCCTATTGAAACTGACAAGGCACAAGATTGGGAAGTGTCATTATTATCCAATATCTTATCTAAGGTCAATGATCGTCCAGAATGGGAAGGTGTTCGTATTACCTATTCAACTGAAGTAAGTTACAATTTATTATTATTATTATTTTAATCATGATGAATCAAAATTTACTAACACACTTGTATATACAATATAGAGCTCTTTAGAAATTGAATTGAATCAATCTAGTAATACAGATGGGAAAACGGTGGCTATCAGTTATTTAGTGATGTTTTTGTATGCATCAATAGCACTTGGAAGATTGACAACATGGCAACCTCGTAGACTTATGGTGGAATCCAAATTTAGTCTTGGTATATGTGGGATCTTGATTGTGATCTTCTCGGTCTCAGCGGCGGTAGGATTATTCTCTTTGACTGGACGCAAGACAACATTGATTATTGCTGAAGTGATTCCTTTCTTGGTGCTTGCCGTTGGGGTGGATAATATCTTTATTTTGTGTCATGAATTTGATCGTCGTCGTGGTCTTGTGGAAAAGGAAAATCAACAAATTCAACATGGTGATAATGGTGGTGGTGAATCAATGGAAGAAAGCGCTGCCAAAACACTTGGAAAAATGGGACCTAGTATCTTACTCAGTTCTTTGAGTGAAACTCTTGCCTTTGGTTTAGGAACATTAGTCAGTATGCCTGCTGTCAGTAGTTTCGCTTTTGTTGCTGCTACTGCTGTTTTTGTGGACTTTTTACTTCAGGTGACTTGCTTTGTTTCTTGTATGGTATTAGATGCCAAACGAACTGAGGTAAAAAAAAAAAAAAAAAAAAAAAACGTCAGTATTTTTTTTTTTTTTTTACTCAATGATTTTTATATATTATTAGGCCAACCGAATTGATTGCTTTCCTTGTATTCGACTCAATGTATCAAATAAGAAGACTGAACAAGAAGGATGGTTTGAAACTTGCTGGCGTCGTGGGTTTGTTCCTGTGGTTCTTGATCAGAAGACCCGTATTGTCACCTGTTTGATATTTCTTGGTCTATTTATGTTCAATCTTTCAAGGGTACCACAAGTGGCTTTGGGACTGGATCAACGTTTAGCTTTACCAACTGACTCATATTTGGTACCATATTTCAATGATTTGGATGATTATTTCAATGTGGGTCCACCTGTGTATTTTGTAGTCAGCGGTGCAAATTTGACGGAAAGATCAAGACAAAAACAAATCTGTGGTAGGCTTCCTGGATGTGATGAACGATCTCTAGCAACGATTTTGGAACAAGAAAGAAAACGACCTCAAGTTTCTTATATTGGTGAACCTACAAGTGTTTGGTTGGATGATTACTTTTTATGGATGAACCCCAACTTTGAATGTTGTCAATTAAAGAAACAAAAAAATAATCATCAGTCAAGAGATCGATTTTCAAGAAGATCAACATTACCTTTTGAAGTAGCAAAAACCAAGAAAGATATGGAACTATGTGGGGATTTTGATACGGATTGCCAAGCCTGTTTCCCCGATTGGTCAATAGCGGACATGACAACGTTACCAGAAGGACAAGAATTTTTAGACTTTTTGGATATATGGATCAATATGGCACCAAGTGAAGAATGTCCATTAGGTGGAAAAGCTGGGTATGGGGATGCTATTGTAGTCTCCAAAGGTCAAAATGTGGGTACGATAGAAACATCACATTTCCGTACGTTTCACACACCATTGAAGAATCAAGATGACTTTATTCAAGCGTATGCATCTGCCAAGCGAATTGCCAAGGATATTGGGAACTCGATGGATCTTCAAGTATATGCGTATTCGGTATTTTACATCTTCTTTGAACAATATGAACAAATTACTTCGATGGCAGTGGAACTCTTAGGGTTGGCAATGGTGGCCATTTTTGTGATTACAAGTGCTCTCTTGGGAAGTTTACGATCTGGGACAATAGTGATGGCTGTAGTATCTATGATTCTATTTAATGTGGTTGGTACTATGTCGATCTGGGGGATCAGTCTGAATGCTGTTAGTTTGGTGAATCTTGTGATCTGTGTTGGTATTAGTGTGGAATTCTGTTGTCATATTGCTCGTGCATTTATGGTATCTTCTGGTACAAAGGAAGAAAGAGCCGCAAAAAGTTTGGTGGATGTCGGTAGCTCGGTAAGTTCCCTTTAAAAAAAAAAAAAAAAAAAAAAAAAAAAAAAAAAAAAAGAATATTCTTTGTTGAACTAAATATGATGTATATATGCATTACAGGTATTTTGTGGTATTACTCTAACCAAGTTTGCTGGTATCACTGTATTGGCATTTACAAAATCCAAAATCTTTGAAGTGTATTACTTTAGAATGTGTAAGTTTATTATTAATATTATTGATATACTGGTATTTATTTTATTTATATATTAGATCTTTCTATTGTTGTATATGGAGCAATACATGGATTGATTCTATTACCTATCTTACTCAGCTTATTAGGTGGACAAGGCATGTCAGTATTATCGGAATTCAATGAAGATGGCTTTGTATGGGATTGGAATAGAAACAATGAACATGGATTATTGATAGAAGATCGAGATAGTTTTGATCAAGTATTGGTGACAGATATGCCTTCTTCTCGTGATAGGATCTCAAACGATTTATGATAGTTTATAATAATAATAATAATAATAATAAAACCAACCTGATTTTTCTGTATTTATCGCTCCCCCCCCCCAAAAAAAAAAAAAAAAAAAGGTTGATGACCTTTCCTCCCCCAAATTTGGAAATGATTTCTTTTCTTTTTTATACTAGTTTGGGTCTCCTTTTTTTTTTCTTCTCTTTTTCTTTTTTTTTTTATTTCTTTTTTATTTTATTATTATAATTTTCTTCCCCTTTCTCCTTACTTTTATTATTATTATTATTATTATTTCTTTTTTACTCTGTAGTTTTCTTGTCACTATTATTACTACTATTATTATCACTTTATTATTATCATAATATTACAATCATATGTCTATCTCGTTATCAACTTGTTACAACAATCTTGGATTAGGTCGATGGGAGGAATTGTGTCACGAGTTCTTGTCTTCTGTCTTACCAATGGAGGAGTCTGCAATGTCACTCGATGATTTGTCAAGTTCGACGTGGCGCATCATTTTCCTCAAGGATGATTGTTTCTTGCAATCACCCTCCACTAATAATGCTTATATACCACCTACGAGTACTCCTACAACCACTGTGCCAACTATACCAACATCATCTCCTATCACTCCTACCAATACTCTTACCATTACACCTCCTACTACACCTCCTCCTACTAAGTGTACTTCATCTGTTTCTATAGCAACAGGTCTCATGGATGACACCGATGATGTTCAATCATTCTTCTCAATATCTTCTTCTTCTCCTTCAAGTCCAATTGAACCTCTTTTTGATGGTATTGATTTCAATCATCATCCAGATCATGATGATGATGATGATATTATGCCATCGGAATTTAAAGATACCTCGACAACGACAATAACATCAACAAAAAAATCCTTCCAACAACGAAAAAGGAAAAGACAAGCCAAACCAAGAAACAATCAACAAAAACGACGAAAACACAATAATCAAGATGAACCGACTTGTTTTTTTGATCAACTTTCTTGTGATGGCATTCGATGGTGTCGATACTGTGGTACAACTGAAACAGTAAATTGGCGTCCTGGACCATGGGGCAAACGAACTCTATGCAAGTAAGTTTTTTTTCTTTTTCTTTTTGTTTACCAAAAAAAAAAAATTGACTCACAAAATGATTCCTTTTTATTATTATTTATTATTTATTATTATTATTATTATTCAGTAAACATGGATGCGATTATAAAGGATATGGTGTAGTAGGACGGTCACCAAGATTGGATTTGTCGGCGTATCGGGATGAACTTTTGGAAGATCGGCATCGTCCAGTGATACAAGATTTCTGTGCTCTTTGTCATGAACAGATAGATATCAATAAAAAACAACAATGGATGCGATGTGATGGTGGATGCTCACGTGCTTATCATCATCATTGTTTTCAACTCGAACATGATAATGATGGTTGGTCTATGGATGATACTTCTTTATGGTTTTGTGATGCTACTTGTTATGATAATCGAAGAAAGAAAAGAGTTAGTAAGTAGAGAGTACGACGTGTTTATATTAAACTCATTCTTTTTTTTTTTTTTCTAGTTGTAGATTTGCCCCGAATACAACCCCTGATGCACCCTAAAAAACAAAGAAAAAGTTTATCTTCCCCTTAGTTTACTTACTCCTCGTTTACATTTGTATTAACTTTGTGTGATGAAAGAAAAATAATAAAAATTCAAACTCCTCGATTCATATTTTTTTTTTCTCTCATATTATTTTTTTTTCCTTTGCACTTTGTCTTTGCTTACTTTTTTCTTCCCTTTTTTTTTTTTTTATTATAACCATGGGTAAGTTATTTGTTATTTATGGAAAAAAAAAAGGAATATGATGACATTGATAGATAACTTATTTTTTCTTCATCTTCCCATGTAGCCAATCGAACTATTGCTGGTGCTAATTGGATTCATGGTCGAGATCCACAACACTTGATTGAAAAGATTATCCGTGAACGTATTTACGATTCAATGTATTGGAAAGAAGAATGTTTTGGTCTTACAGGTAAAATACAACAACAATTAAAGGAGAGAGGGACACAAAGAGAATAAAAAATTTTATATAGAATACTAACTTGCCCTTGGTTTTTATATCTTTTATAGCTGTTACTTTGATGGATAAAGCAGTAGAACTTAACTCCATTGGTGGCGAATATGGTAATCATGAACCGACTCATTTTTTGTGCTTAACTTTGAAAATGTTACAATTACAACCTGAACGTGAAATCTTGACTGATCTTATCAAACAAGAAGACTTCAAGTAAAGTTTACTCATTCTTCACCATATTCATTTCACTCACTTTTTCTTATTATTATTCTTATTATTATTTAGATATCTTCGAGCACTTGCTGCATTTTACCTTCGTATTGTTGGTCAATCAAAAGAAATATATCAATACCTGGAACCTCTCTTGAATGATTATAGAAAACTACGTGTCCGAGTAGGAGGTAAGTACAGCTGGTTAGAAAAAAAAAAGAATGGATGATGACGAATTTTTTTTTTTTTTTTTTGGTAGGTGGTTATACACTTTCTTATATGGATGAATTTATTGATCAATTATTACACCAGGAACGTGTTTGCGATGTTATTTTACCACGATTAGTACAACGTCATGTATTGGAAGACAACGATGAATTGGAGCCAAGAGTTAGTGCATTGGAAGATGATTTGGAAAGTGAAGATGGGGAAAACAAGAAAGACGATCGATCACAAAGACACCGTAGTCCAAGCAGTAGTCCTGAAAAAAATGAACGTAGACATCGAAGTCCAAGTAGTAGCCCAGAACGACGTGATGATCATAGACGACGCCATCGAAGCCCAAGTAGTAGTCCGGAACGACGTGATGATCATAGACGACACCATCGAAGCCCAAGTACTGAGAGCAATGATAGTGAATCCGATGGACGATCAAGGCGAAATGGAAGACACAGATCTAGCGGATCATCATCAAGACATCGATCTCGTTACTCCAGTCGAAGTAGAAGTAGAGAACGAAGACATAGATACTAGTTTAGTAGTAGATATATATTTTTGGACAATAAAAAAAATTAGCGGTTTGATTAGGTGATATATAGATGAATATTTTTTTTATTGGTTTGATTTGATGAAGAATGAATAAAAAATACGAACATGTACAATTGATAGGAAGGATATAATATATGTGTTTATACAAAGAATGATATGATTCAATGAAGTAGATAACAAAATAAATAATAAAACAAGAACAAGACGAAAGAGGGTGGATATCTATCTATACTACAAAAAAAAAAAAAAAAAAAAAAAAAAAAAAAAAAAAACTAAATCTATCCAATCCACTCAATATGGTGTTCGGAAAACAATAAGAAACCTTGACTTTGTAAACGATGGCGATCACGTTGACAGAATTCCAAACAAATAGTATCATCTTCCCGATGTTCATAGACAAACACGCAATCGAACCAGTCACCTTTTTTCAAACCACCTTTGCGGACATCTTGCTTGAGTTGGCATTGATATAGAGTTTTCAAAAGGCACGGTCGCCATGCACGATGGTATTTAGTTTTGTACTGATCATAGTAACCCACAGGAGAAGGTCGAAGGCAGCGGTAATCCAAGGTCGTTTTGCCCACTGTCAGTAATTGATCCCATGAACTATCTGTGATGATGCCTTCATCTTCGTACCATAACTTGCCATGATGACAATTCAAATCCTTGTCAAAACCTACCACCTCGTCTGTATCGTGAAATAAGCAAAAGAATGGATCCAATGATGATGATGATGATACCCCTTGAAATGTCACATGGTAATACACGCGTCGAGGAATACCGCCTATTAGTCGGTGGCGATGAGTCGTCATTGCTTTCGCCAAGATAGTCTTGTTCACCAATGTAGGAATGGTCACCTTCATGTTGTTGGCATGTTGATAATAAGTTTGTCGTTGTGTGCGAAAGAATTGTAATAGATACTTTTTGGTGGGAATGTCAGGATAGTCCTTGAAGTTGCAAAAATGAGAGGTAGGAACCAACTCCATGAGGTCAATGGCGTATACAGATGGAAAAGGAATAGATGAAGAAGCCAAAAACCGACAAAGAATGGATCGATAATGTTGTTCTTGGTCGTCGACAATCAGAGTACGAGAGAGAAATGAGTAGCGGCTGTTGAATGAGCGTCCGATACGATAAAGCAGAGGATGAATCATGCATAGTTGATGATAATGTGAAGGATTATCGAAAAATGTCAACAAATGACATAATAATTCAGTAGGTAAATCAAGAAAAAGAACCATCTATTTTCTTTTCAAATTCTTTCTTTTTTTTTTTAATATATTGAAGGGGAAAAGGGATACAAAAATTAATTCCCCCAATTTATATCTTTTTATAGTTCACTACGCCAGGTTACAATGTCCGATGACCTTTTTTTTTTTTTTTTTTTTTGCTATAAAGACATGGTCAAAGCACAGGTTATTTATGTCTTGGCTATGGATCATCATGAAATATGAATGACTTATTAGGAAAAAGATAATGGTCATCCTTTTTTAATAATGACGTTATCTATGGTGATTCTATTTTTCAATGTGGCAAAATCATTCATTGATTTAGTCGAAATGTAGAATAAAAATTATCATCACATCACAAGATATTAGATTTGATGTCATTGGACCCTTTTCCACCCTTTTTTTTTTTTCTGTACTTTGTTAAACGTAAATGATGATAACAAATGATGATGATGAATAGAAAGAAAGAAAAAAAAAAGACATGATTGTACCATCATCTCTCCAAGTTCCCAAAATAATCATCTTGACCGCATTACTTTAATAAAAATGACGAGAGTAAAAAGAAAGAAGTTATCCATATGATTAAGATTTCAATGGCTTCCCACTGAAAGCAATACATCATGAATAGCTCAATCTAAATTGAACTATATATTCACATTGTACTCTTTTTATCTAATCAGCTTCAAATGTTAAATACCTCTCTTTTTTTTTGCATTACCCCATGAGTAAATCATCTTGCATTCATTCTATGTATGTCATCCTGTCCAGAAGATTAGGATGATTGATACTTACTTATGATCAGCTGCAATGATAAAGTCGTACCATCATCAAATTAGCCATTTGGCATATAGCTAAAATACCACATGTTGTACAAAACAAAAAAAAAAGGATCATATAGCCTTACTACCGTTATTTGCATGATACATAATAAATACGTCTTTCTTTTTTTATTATTCGTTTCTTCGATGATGATATGCAAAAAAAAAAGTGTAAAGGTTTCTAAACTACATCAATACTAATACTAATATTGTTTGCCTAACTAATGATATCGATATGTTCCCTATATGCCAAAATAATGATGTCGCATGAATTTGAATGATCCTGATCTATTTATCCCGTTTTCCGAATTCCTCGCTAAAAAAAAAAAAAAAAAAAAAAAAAAAAAATAAGTATATCATTATTATTGATTTATTTTTTTTTCTTTTTTTAAAAAAAAAAACTTACTTGTATTCACGCCAGATCTGTTATAAAAAAGGAAGAAACAAACGGATTAGAAATAATGATACAAATAAAATAAATACGAAAAGATACTTACAACGGGAGCAGATGTACAAGGAATAAGACCAACTTCAGTTACCACCAAAGTAATGAATTTCGAAGGAGTCACATCATACAATAAATTGAGTAATCTAAGGTTAGGTTGTTCACGCCAATTTTCCAAAGCAGATGTAGTAGGGTTTGGATGACCTTGATGATTGGAATTGAAAGTAGCTTTGGTATTGACAAGATCATCAGGATTGCCTAAAGATAAAACATATATATGAACAAATAATGAAGTTTTGAATGATAATAGGTACTTACCAATTTCGTTCATGACAAAGGAATCCACTTGAGTACGATTGACGAATTTATAGGTTTCACAGCAAATCATAACAGGAATCTACGGAATGAAATCATCGATAAAAAAAAAATATATGTACGATGAGTCATCATGACATATATACACACACAAAAGCACAATCTCTTTCCTTCCTACCTGCTTGTCGGTAGCAGCCATTGCTACTAAAGATGTACCAACACGTGAATATGCAGCGCCGTTATTCAGTAAAGCATGAGCACCCATAATCACCTTAGTCACTGATGATAAAGCAACGTAGACACTTGACAATAAATGATAAGAACAGTCGATACCAGCCGCCACAAGTCTTCGTAACAAATGTTTGCCTAAAAAAAAAAAAAAAAAAGAGCACAAGAGTAAATAATGTGAACCATCACTCTAATTTGGTTTATTTTGATATTACCTTCAAATAATGGTCGACTATCAACCACAATCACCTTAAAGTCAATGCCTTTTTTCTTTGTTGCTAACAATAAGCTTTCTACTACAGATGATTTACCAAAGGTCAAGATCACTTCTCCATCATTGATTTTCTGTAATCCATTTTGTACAATCAATTGATCTGCCATGGTGATTCGTTCACGAATAAAATGTTCAATACGTTCCATTAACCGATGTCGTGCATCGTCGTCAGCTAAAGGTGGATCTTCTTCTACAATATCTGCCATTTCTTTCTTAAGCCATCGAATACATTCACGCATACTAAGAGACATAGGTCTTGTTGCCAATAAGTATGCAATATGAGGATCCAAATGTTTTTGAATATGTCTTGAAAATGTAGCATCAGAAGGAGGTCGATGTTCTTCAATCACCTATATAAAATAAAATATATCAAAAAAAAATATCAGTTTATACTATATATTCCAAAGTTATGTATATATAGATACCTTTGAGAACGTTTCCAGCATGGCAACGCATCTCGCATTAGATCCTACAATCTTGTATTCAGAAAAGTATAATGCCAAAGTCTTGACGGCTGGATGTAAATCCTTGTTTGAACCAGCAGTATCAGGGCGTTTGGGAGCATCCAAATGGAGAAGCCAAGGAACTTGATTCTTTTGTGCCTTTTGTGAAGATGGGGTGTTTTTCTTCTTGGGAGTCGAGTCATCACCACCTGTAGAAACGGAGGAAGTTGTTGATCCAGAAGTATGTTGAGTTTTAGAAGTGGATGGTTTACTTGAAGTTGTAGAAGGGCCTTGTTTTTCCAATAATTCTGCAGCCTTTTTCGCATTTTTGGGTAATCCTGCTGCCACACGTTTTTCCTTTTCCAAGCGTTGTTGTTCTTGAAGAGCACGACGTTCAGCTTTGGTCATGTTCTTTTGACTCTTTCGAGCGGGTGCACCACTGTTGTTAGGATGCATATTTTCTTTGTGCGCAGTGCTAGATCCAACTGAGGAAGAATGTTGTGAGTGGATATCATGCTTCTTTGTTTCTTTGCTTGTATCTTTGTTGTCATCCGCCATGCTTTTTCTACGTCCAGAAGTCTTTTTATCGTCACTAAGTAGCCATTGGTTTTCATAAGAAGAACTCATTGGTTGTCCCATACTTGGTGAACCGGTATTGCCGATACCTCTAGAACTTGATTGAGGGATATGAAGAGGCTAATATATGTAAAAAAAAAAAAAAAAAAAAACAATGTTAAATAAATCAATAAAAAGGAATAGAAAAAAAACAACTATAGCCACTAAACTTACCGTTGATTTTTGTGCAGAGTCCATGCAGAAACAATCTAAAAAAGGTCGGTGAAGGAAAAAGTGGAAAGAGATATGACAAAAGAAAGCCAAACGAAGAGGGATAAAAAAAAAAAAGGAAGTTTATACGTGACTCGATATTTCACATTCCGCTTATAGATTTTAGGATTTTACCTGTAATTCTTATTGAACTTGCCATCGTTCATCTTGGTCATGGTTTTGTAAGTTATTTAAATATATATGTATATTCTGTTATTTTTGTTTATGGATTCTGTTTTTAATAACCTTTTTGTTTTATTTTCTTTTTGGGACGTAGGAATGAATGGTTCTGGTTTGGGATTCTTCTTATTGTAGTGGCCTACATATACTTTGATAGAAAAGCTCAAGCATTGGATGATGCCAAGGCTCGTCATTATCAAGAAAAGAAGGCTGCTACTGTCATTACTTCTGCTAATACCGCTCCTACTAATACTAATATGATAAATTGATACTATCAATAGTTTTTATATCTTTTTATTCAATAAAACACGTTTTGCCCACACTCATAGTCTTGATGATCCATAAATGGAAATTGGAAATTTGATTGATTGGCTAACATTTATAGTCCGCTGATTTTTTTTAACCTGTTGTAGTGGCTTTTCTTTTTTTTTTTTTTTGAAGAGCCTTGTTATTTTTTTCTCTCTTTTGTCCTTTTTCCATCGATATAAAAATATATATAATGTTGAATTCAGTATTATCGGTAGCACGTCCTACAACACGACAACTTGTTACCACCAATACCAATCGTTTCTCACCTTTGGCATCACTTGGTCAATGGCTCAACAATACCTTGAATAATAACAACAATAACACATTCCAAGTACCTAGTTGGTTAGGTCCTATTTTATGGGCTGCACCTAAAAAGAAGACTTCTCATTCAAAGAAACGTATGCGGGCAAGTAACAAAGGTTTACAACAAAAGGAAAATATTGTATCATGCCCTGCTTGTGGTCATACCAAGTTATTACACCATGTTTGCAAACAATGTTATGGCGAAATCAAACAAAAAGCAAAGAATCTGGAAATAGCCTGAACACATCTCCCTCTCTCTCTCTTTTTTTTTTTTTCTTTACATCCCCGTCTTTATACTAGTTAGTCTTCATATACATAGACCATCATACATCCTATCTCTCTTATACACCATTTATTCGCATAGTTTATATTAGTTTTACACCAACTTCACGCTTCTCCATTTTGTACAGTAGACAATAAACTCTTCACATATATATCTTTTTATACTTATGGGCTTTATTATTAGTGAACCGACTTGAAGGATTATTTGGAAACAAAGTAGTCCTTTTTTTTATCTCTTATCTTTTTAGTGTTCATACAATGATGAAAATGGGACACTTGACTTGGATGATGGAAAAAAAGGAACACCATATATAGATATATCAGTAAAAAAAAAAAAAAAAAAAAAAAAAAAGCGATTTAGCAGTGTCATCAAGTGTAGATCAAGGAGATGATATTCAGTAACAAAATGTGTGAAAGAGGCAAGTGAAATATGCTTTCAGGGGGAGAGGGAATGGCATAGAAGAAAAAGAAAAACGATGTCGCGTGATTTTGATCGAATATCTCTATGTTCTATTTGTTCATCGTACATGCACTGATTATCATGAAATAACGAATTTGTATGCAATCTAGTTATCATTTTCTTCTTGAACAATGGTATCCAATGAGAACATAGATGATAAAAGATAAAAGTGAATAGGATGATCGATTTTCAATATGCCCAATGTGGAAGTTACACATAAGAGAGATCACGATGATTTCCTGGAATTTTAGAAAAATGACTTTTGACCAAAGAAAGTGGTGCAATTTAAGCACATGGAGTGAACAAAGCAATCAGAAGACATCCTATTCATCATCATCATCGTAAAGGCTGGGTCAAGGTACCCTATTTTTTTCAAAAAAAAAAAAAAAAAAAAAAAGCTGGATTGAATTATATAGGACCAATAGAATTGAATATATATGACCTTCTCTCTCTCTCTCACTCTCTAATGCCTCCTATTTTTTTTATCTCTCACAGAAAAGATCTTTCTTTTTAATGCAAAAAGGTATAAATATCATTCTTGTACTTGCATTAGTATCTTTCTTTCATCTCTTCTTTTATTCTCTCTCTCTCTCCCCTTTTCCAATTTTATTTCAAGTCATCATCACTTCTATCTAAAGTAAAAAACCATCCATTAACATCATAACAAAAAGAAGCCCTCCAAAAAAGGAAATAACTGTACTTTTCTTTTATTCTTATTATTATTATTTAGTTTGTCTCTTAATTCATCTTTTCTCTTTGTATAAAAATAATATATTTCATTTTACATTCTTCAGTAACATTATCATCAGTCACAATTTATCAACTAATGCCATTCATGGAAACCAATAGTCATAATAGATATAGTCAAAGTAAGTCTTACTCAGCTATTGATATCAAATACATATGAAAATGTTTCTTTTCTTTTTTTTTTTTTTTCCAGGTACCACTACTCATCATCACTTACAACCTCGTAGCTATGGCTCTCATCTTAGTAAGGAGAACTAGTTAAAATACTTGATATTACCAAATATATGCATATATCTTTCCTTACCTTTTTCTTTGTAACACAACGTAGATACTTCACATAAATTACCATCATCATTACCAACAAGTCGATCAATGAATATAAGTCCTAATGATGATGATGAAAGTTTGTACCTATTATGGACTCATCAGCTCTTGGTTGAACGAGGGTTTAATCCTACTCCCATTGGATCCAAATATAGTATTGATGATAATAACCATGATGATGATGATGATGATGACGATAGCGCGTCATCTATTTCCAGTATATCTGCTGATAATGATGATAACAATCTTTCCTTACTTTTCTCTACTCCAGCCTCAGTTACTTCTCCCTCATATACACATTCTAGTTCTATGATGTTAATGGATCCTACTACCACTTTGACTACTACTACTACTACTAGTACTACCCCATCACAGTCATATATATCTTCTTTTTTTTCTTGTATCCATTATTGTTTTTCCTAGATGTATAAAAGAAATATATTAAGATTCATCATTGTTCTGTTGATTCACCTTTTATGTTACATGAATGATGAATATTAGGCATGATTGGGTTAATGTTCAAACCCCGTGTACATCTTTCATGTCACATGGGCTCAAACGCCGTGTATTTAAAATTCCCCTCCCTTATCTCGGTCTTTTTTTTTTTCTTTTTCTTTTATTTATTTTTTCCTTATCTTTAAAATACCATCATGGGTGCTGAACAATCAATTCCTCGTCAACAATCTGTTATGAATGAAAAAAACAACAATGACTATACTCAACGACAACAAGATCAACAATTATTGGCATCTTTGAAGAAACTGAATCTCAATGACAGCGGTAGTGCTGACTTGACCAGTGGTACGTTGGACAAGTATACCAATTCATTTTGGAAAGACCATAAGAACGCGTTGGCAATGAATGCTCTTGTTTCAAATGATCCTAGTGATGTCTTCGTCGATCCTGCTGTATCAAAGAAAGATACTCATGTCTTTAACGTCAAATTAGACTTGGAAGGTGCTATTACCAATCAAAAACAATCTGGTCGTTGTTGGTTATTCGCTGGTAAGATAAAACAAAACATAGAGTTAGTTTATTCCATGACATCATTCTTATCATTTATTTCATTTTGTTCTCATGATTTTTTTTTTTTTGTTATTGTTTTAGGTACCAATGTACTCAGATTAGCTGTGATCAACAAATACAAGCTCAAGGATGATTTTGAACTGAGTCAAAGTTACCTCTTCTTTTATGGTAATTTATACCCAAAAGTTTAATAAGATAGGGATGACAAATAGGTGACACTAAGACAAACGTATGACTGATTATTTCATCTTTCTTTTTTTTTAATAGACAAACTAGAAAAGGCCAATTGGTTCCTTGAAAATATGATTGATTTGGCTCACAAGGATATCTCGGATCGTGTTGTACAATATTTACTTTCTTCTCCTGTAGGTGATGGAGGACAATGGGATATGTTTGTCAATGTTGTGTCCAAATATGGTGTGGTACCTAAAAGTGAATATCCTGAAACATTTGCTTCCTCTTCCTCTTCAAGACTTAACTGGTTAGTTACTGTGAAACTTCGGGAATTCGCCACTCAAATTCGAAAAGCTGTAGTCGAAGGTGTCTCTATCAATTCTGTTCGTCTTTTGAAAAAAGATATGTTGGAAGATATTCATCGTATCATGGTCATTTTCTTGGGTGAACCCCCAAAGTCATTTGATTGGGAAGCTACTGATAAGGATGGCAAGTTTGTCTCTGTACGAAATCTTACTCCTCAAAAGTTCTTCAAGGATATCGTTGGGTACAAGGTAAAAAAAAAAAAAAAAGATAAAAATAAAAATAAAAGATCTCTATGAATTGATGATAATCTTTTTTTTTTTTTTTTTTTTTTTTTTTTTTTTTTTTTTTTTTTTTTTTTTTTTTTTTTAGTTGGAGGATACATTATCTTTGATTAACGATCCCCGTAATCATTATTCCAGGTTATACACTGTAGACCGTTTAGGCAATGTGGTTGGAGGAAATCCTATTCGATATATCAACACGGACATCGAACTGATCAAACAATTAGCTATCAAGGTACTCAAGTCTGGCAAGCCTGTTTGGTTTGGATGTGATGTGGGACAATTCAACAGTCGCAAGCATGCCGCCATGGATCTTGACATTCACAGTTATGAACTGGCCTTCAATGTGGATTTCAAATTGTCCAAGAAGGATCGTATTCTCTATGGTGAATCGGCCATGACGCACGCTATGGTCTTTACCGGTGTTCATCTGGATGAAGATGGCAAGTCTGTTCGCTGGCGGGTAGAAAATTCATGGGGTGACAGCTCAGGTGACAAGGGTTATTGGATCATGCAAGATAGTTGGTTCTCTGAATTTGTCTATCAAGTTGTATTGGAAAAGAATGTTATACCTTCTTCTTTAGTAGATTTGCTGAAAACAGAAGCTATTATTCTTCCTGCTTATGATCCCATGGGCGCTTTGTAAGTCTATTGATTTAGAATGGAGTAAAGAGTGTGGATACTTTTTATTGCGGTGGAAAACAATTGACTAATGATACCTTTTTTTTTTTTTATGATGAATTAGGGCTTGATTATTTTGATTTCCATTATTTATGTTTATTTCAAATAAAACTTGTTGATGACAACTTTATATATATATATATATATATATATATATATAGCCTAATATTTACAATCTATGTCACATGTAATTAAAACTAGTCTTGTTGAATGATCGAATGGAGGAAGGATGGAATGATGTATGACTTTGTTTGATTGTAGGAACGATATTTGGTATGATGATGAATGAATTGAAAGGTGATGGGGGGATAATGATGAATTTATTTCATAAAAAAAAAAGAATAAAACAATATACAAAAGACTGAACTAAACTACAATGAGCTTTCAATGATTCTGGATTGACTAAACTTGATCTTCTTGATAACACAAACCGATTTCCTTTCTCCATTGATCCATAGCACGTACTTGACCCAAAGTATCATCCAAAGTCATGTACTTGCATTCAAGCTGATTTCCAAGAAGAGCATCAGCAACGGCGTCAGCTTCCATTGCAAACAAATTGGTTTCTTCCAAAGGGATGTTAATGATTTCCACCGTGGGATTAGAATGAGACTTGTATTCGATTTGCACAGGACCAAGATCAGGACGCCACAGATTAGGGACTTTGAAGGAACCTTCACTACCGATGACTTCCACATAACAATCACTATCCGCAAACACACCTGTGAACAATTGAGCCGTTATACCATGTTCGAATTCCAAAGATGCAATGGCCCATTCATCAACTTGTGTATCAGGTTGAATATATCCAGTTCCTTTCACTTTAGTGGGGTTAGCAAATTCTTTTTGTTGAGCTACACCTGCGATCAATCTGGCAAAAGACATGGGATCTATATATTATTATATAAAAAAAAAAAAAGAATCAATCACCTCCATACTATCATTAATTCTTTTTTTTTTTTTTTTTAGAAAAAAAAATATACTTACATCCTCCAATATCCATAATGGCACCACCACCCAATTCATTTCTCCATAAACGAGAGGAAGGACCCAAGGGACGACCATCAAAAGAAAAATTGGCACGGATCAATTTAACTTGACCAATCTTATCACCAGCACGTATCAAATCGACCAATTGTCTAGTTTGAGGATGACAACGATACATATAGGCTTCCATCAAAAATACATGATGATCACGACAAGCTTGAATGATTTCCTGTACTTGTTGTTCGGTCATGGCCAAGGGTTTTTCCACCAGCATATGTTTCTTGGCTTGAGCTGCTTGTAACGCCATAGCATGATGACAAGGATGAGGGGAACAAATATAAACAATGTCGACATTAGGATCTTGTAATACTGCTTCATAAGAGCCATGACACTGTGATGCATCGAGTCCATACTGTTGTCCAAACGCTACCGCCGAAGCATCGGATCGACTACCTACTGCTACCAGGGATCCCTTCTTTGATACTTGTAAAGCTGTTGCAAATGTCTTGGCAATGTTACCAGTACCTAAAATACCCCAACGTAAAGACATGATGTATAAAAAGAGAAAAGAAAGGAAAAAAAGTATGAATACAAGAAAAAAAAAGAAAAAAAAAGAAAAGAGAGCTACCAATTTTTCTTTTTTTTTTTTTAGTGCCTTCCCATTCCATTGTTTTGGACTCAAAAGTTTTCTTTTCAGATGCAGCAATCATAACACGTAACCCCGCATTGGACGCGTGTAACAATAATACAAAAAAAAAGGGTAAAAACCATCATTTATATTTGGAATATAAAACTAAACTAAAATTACATAATCAATTTTCCAACATGTGCGGCAACATATTCACTATGAATATCCAAGAATAAATCTTGAAGTTCCTTTCTTTTATCCTTAATTTCATCTGCTTTCCATAAAGGGCTTGTAGCATTTTTGGTCTATATGAAAAAAAAAGAGTCAAGTTTTAATTATCTAATTTAGATGTCGATCCTATCATTTTACCAAAAGAATATCAATAAAACTTTGAGGAGAGTTTAGGAATTGATCCACAAAATGAAGTAAAAATACCCCACAATCACAAGAGTTGTCCTGTCTTGGTACAGAAGCATAGTGAAATCGAGGTTTGATAAATTCCGTAGGTTCTACATGTAATCGTGATGCTGCTTCTTGTGCCAAATAGTCGTTGATATTCATAGTACATTTCTTTTGCCGTCCACCCAATGAATCGAGGACAAAGATATGAGGTCTACAGCAAAATAACATATATCGATCAATTTTTTATTCATATCATTGTAATATTTTTTTTTTGTTTTACTTACTCCGTGAGGGATCGATCACCTTCAGAATCACTTGATAAATCCAGTACTTCAGGATCCAAAGCAGTTTGTCCAGGAATACATTTATCTAAATTATATACCAAAACAAGATACCAATGCCAACTATACACGAATTGATTTTTTTTTTAAAAAAAAGATGAGTATATCAAAGTTGAATTCAAATATTTTTTTTTTGTTACTTACTTTTCATTGATGGGGAATATAGCATATTTCTTGCCAAACAAATTAATCTTGGAAGTCCATTTTTTTACATTTTCATAAGAGATCGATTTTCTACAAAAGATAAAAATGAATATCATTTATTTTTCCTTTTATTTATCAAAACTTACTCTGAGCCTTGAATGAGTCGATTATAAAAGAAACTGCTGAATATATGAGTTTGTTCTACAGCCCTTCTATTTCGTCTTTTATTGCGATAATGTTTATTGATACCAGAGTAAGAATCCATCAACCTAGAAGGAGAAATTGAGTTCATTTTGTGTCTACTTTTTTTTTTTTAATTATTTACCATTTCAAATAAAAGTCAATAATGCTGTCATTGAGAAACATAGTAGGTTCTAATCGAGTTTGATCTTCTACTGTAATAGTAATCGATCCCTTGCTACGATCCACTGGATAAGTAAACAATCTATATCATTGATTTATAAATAATAATAATATTTTTTTTTAAAAAAAAAAAAGCGATATAAAAATTAGTCTTAATTCACCTTTACAAGTAAACATGTATTATATGATATTTAACTTACATCGTATCAGACATTTCACCCATTTCTTCATCAGATAGTTCTACAGGTGTTGTATCTAGAGATTCATCACCCATTGTACTATCCCGCAGGTCGCTTGTCTTTTCTATTGTAGATCTTCCTTTCCTGCCAGTAGATCGTTGTTGTCTTTTTGTTGTGAGACTCGAAGGCTGTGTTTTTATTCTATCTTTTGAACCAGGAGTAGTATAATCGTAAAAGTTGTCCTTCAACATCGTCCGAACAGAATAGGAAGGCTCGTCTGTACTATGAGAATGATTTGTGGCTTGAGATTTAGTTGAAGGAGTATTATTATTATTATCATCATTATCATTATCATTGTGATCATCATTATCATTATCATCATCATCATCATCAAATATAATATGTCGAGATACTGGATTGATTTCTGGCTGTGTTCGTTGCGATCTTGTTGTTGTTGGATATGATGGTACAACAGGTGGTGATGTTGAAAGAGATCGGGAGATTTCTTTTGGAGGAGACTTTGGTACATGACGGTGAAGTTGTTCAGTAAAGGGGTTCCGTATAGGAGGAAATAATGGTGCTTTTTGTGAAGAGAATGATCCTGATGCAAATGAAAATGGCCTTCTTGGTGTTGATAGTTGATTAGGTTGATGTCTTTTCTTGTTGAGGAATGGTGGACTAATGGAAGATTGAAGCGCATGTGTAGCTTTTGTTTCATTAAATTCTTGTGGTAATGATCGCCTTTCAATATTCTATTCAGAAAAAAAAAACAAATTGTCAATAATATAAAAAAGAGAATTGTAAACAAAGAATTACCTTTGATCTTCGACTTGAGCCAGAAGCTACAAAGAGAGAGAGGAAGAAAAGAAAAAAAGAAAAAAAAAAAGGACATAATGAGTTCAAGTAAATAAAGAAAAAGAATTGATTGATATTTACAAAATTCATCGTCTTCACTTGATAATATAACAGTTGAGTTTTCAGATTCGTTTTGGGATTCCTGTATTATATTTAGCATAAAATATTAGTCTTTAGTTTTAAACTGTAAAAACTTTATAATAAGGATTGTACCTTTGGAACTTTTCGTTTGGATTCAATAGCACCTTTCATATTTCCTATATAATAATAATAGAAAGTTGTTAATTTATATGTATATATATATTATATATAAAGAGTGTAATCACATACCAACCAAGTTTTTTTGAGGTCTGGGAATATTAAGCTGTTGATTTCTGTTTGAGTAATAAGTATTATACTAAAAATTAAAATAAAATAGAATATTATTAATAAACTATATAAAAAAAAGATATTATTCACATACAGTTATATCAGAGAAAGATGTAGGTTTTCCTTTCATTTTGTTGTTTCGATCTTGATTACTGGGAATCGCAATAGGGTTTCCTTTCCTCTTATTTCTGTTGTAACGTTCCCGTAGAAGGTTGGATGGTTGATTATGATCTTTATATTTTGATAATAAAAGTACTTCGTCATCTTGAGGTGATATATCTTCTTTAAATTTTTTTCGATGCATTAAAAGTGTTTAATAAATGGTGGTATATAAAGATCTATTTTCTGTTTATGATAGAAGAAAGAGGAGTCAAAAGAACAAAGCAAAAAGAATATACATATAAAAAAAAAAAAAATCAGTCGCTGTTTGAAAATGGGGAGAATGCCAAATTTGGAACAAGCAGGTTTCCAGGTGTTTTAAATGTACAAAGGGTATAGTACCATCATGACACATAAAAATTGTTTCTTGTCAGTTATGATATGATATAATGATTCTACTTTTACTAACCATACTGAATTAAGAGAGAGAGAAAGAGTAAGAAAAAAAAAAGATCCTATGATCATTAAAAAAATGGGTCCTGATCATATGATATCAAATCAATCAATTACTCAAAATGTAAGTACTCTGTTATCGATGAAAAAGTGGTGTACAAAGAAAAAAGTTCATTGAATCATGTTCAAAAAAAAAAAAAAAAAAGGTTTTTCTATATACATATATATATATATCACGCACAGGACACGGTGACTGCTGATTGGATCATAGTGAAGCTGAAACGCTCTTCTTCGGAAAAGGTTTGAGAATAAAAATTTATTTAAAAAACCCCGGACTGCACCTCTTTTTTTTTTCTTTTTTATTCTTTCTTTTTCTTTTTCTTCCATCTTCCATTAACTTTTCCTTTTTTTTACAATGGCAAAGGATGATAATAAATCTCTACGACTACTTGTGGTTTCTAACCGTCTTCCCGTTACTGTAACAAAAAATACAACAACAAACAATTATGATTTCAAAATGTCTTCTGGTGGTCTTGTTGCAGCTTTAAGTGGTCTCAAAAAGCAAATGAGTTTTACTTGGATTGGTTGGCCAGGTAAATATATATATATATATATATATATCAATATTTAAAAAAAAAAAAAAAAAAAAAAAAAAAAAAAAAAAAAACTTGACTCTCTATATTTTATATTTATTTATTTGATTTTTTTTTTTTAAAAAAAAACACGTCTCCAATATATATATAAATAATAGGTATCGACGTTCCTATTCCCGAACGCAAAAATTTACAAGAACGCTTATTGGAGGAAACTTCAACATTACCAGTATTTGTTGATGAAGACCTTGCTGAATTACATTATAATGGCTTCTCAAATAGGTAAATATTAAAAAAAAAAATAGAAATTAAGATGAAGTTGTAAGATTAAACTCCTTTTTTTTTTTAATAGTATTCTTTGGCCTTTGTTTCATTATCATCCTGGGGAAATTTCATTCAATGAAGAATGGTGGGAAGCTTATCAAAAAGTCAATCAATTATTTGCTGATGCTATTGATGAAATTGTACAAGATGGTGATTTAGTATGGATTCAAGATTATCATCTCATGTTATTACCTGCTATGTTACGAAATAAGACAAAGAAAGATATTAAGATTGGATGGTTTTTACATACTCCTTTTCCAAGTAGTGAAATTTATAGGTAAAAGAAAAAAAAAGGAACAAATTTATGCAAATCAAACCCCATTCATTCATCTCTTTTTTTTTTTTTTTTTTTTTTTTTTTTTTTTTTTTTTTAGAATTTTACCTGTCCGAAAGGAAATTCTACTCGGTGTCTTGGAAAGTGATTTACTGGGTTTCCACACTTACGACTATGCCCGCCACTTTTTATCATCATGCACGCGTATTCTCGGACTTTCAACTATGCCCAATGGTGTTGAATATGAAGGTCGCTATGTACAAGTTGGTACTTTCCCTATTGGTATTGATCCAGATAAATTTACCGAAGGTCTCAAAGATCAAAAAATTCAAGCACGTATCTCTCAACTAAAAGGTCGTTTTGGTGATTGCAAATTGATTGTTGGTGTTGATCGTTTGGACTATATCAAAGGTGTTCCTCAGAAAATGCATGCCTTAGAAGTCTTTCTTAGTGAACATCCTGAATGGGTTGGTAAAGTGGTATTAGTACAATTGGCTATTCCTTCTCGTGAAGATGTGGAAGAATATCAACAACTACGAAGTACTATTAATGAATTGGTGGGTCGTATCAATGGTCAATATGGTGAGAAATGATTTATATTAATAATAATGATAAAGAAAAAAAAAAAAACTAATTATTCTTTTCTTTTTATAGGTACTGTTGAATTTGTTCCTATTCATTTTATGCATCGATCAATTCCTTTTGAAGAATTAGTGGCTCTTTATGCTGCTGCTGACGTCTGTTTAGTCTCTTCTACTCGTGATGGTATGAACTTGGTTTCTTATGAATATATCTCCTCTCAACAAAACAATCATGGTGTCTTGATTTTATCTGAATTCGCTGGTGCTGCTCAATCTTTGAATGGATCTATCATTGTCAATCCTTGGAATACTGAAGAAATGGCCAATGCTATTTATGAAGCTGTCACTATGCCTGAAGATACTCGTCAATCCAATCATCAAAAGCTTTATAGATATGTTACCAAGTATACTGCTGCTTATTGGGGTGCCAGTTTTGTTAATGAATTACGTGTAATCTTGAGTGTGTTTTATTTTTTTTAAAAAAAAAGAAATGATTACTCACTTCTTGAATTTTACATATATGTATAGCGTGTTAGTGAAGAATTTGGTCAACAAATGGCAATGCCACAACTCAATACGAATCAAGTTTTAGAGAAATACCAAACGTCTAAACAAAAGAAGCTCGTACTACTCGATTATGATGGTACCTTGACGACAACTCATAAACTTCCTGAATTCGCTAAACCATCACCCAAAGTATTGGATCAATTGAAGGCCCTTGCATCTCAACCGGATACATATGTATACATTCTTTCTGGACGTGGACGACAACATTTGGATTCTTGGTTTGAAAGCACTGGTATTGGATTAAGGTAAATGAAATAAGTATAAATTTTGCTATTTGAAATTGTGATTGTATGAGTATTGACTTTTTTTTTTATTTTATTTTATTTATATAGCTCTGAACATGGGTGTTTCTATAAGCATCCAGCAAATATTCGTGATAAGGTCAATCCTGCTGCATCTGCTTCTGAAGGCAAATTGGTCAAGGCTGAAGACGATCATTGGTATTGCTTAGTGGAACAAATCGATCCAAGTTGGAAAGAAACTATTTTACCTCTTTTTGAACATTATACCGAACGTACACCTGGATCCTTTATTGAAGAAAAAGAAATCAATTTGACATGGCATTATCGTAATGCTGATCCTGAATTTGGTAGTTGGCAAGCAACTGAACTCCAGGTGAATTTGGAAAAACTTCTTAGTCATATGGCATTATCAGTAAGCGAATCTTCTAGAGAAAAAAAAAAGTGGATAGAAAAATGATGGATGACTTTTTTTTTTTTTTCAACAATATTAACCTAATCAACTGTTATCTTTTTTTTTTTTTTCTAGATTGTTCTTGGAAACAAAACATTGGAACTACGACCATCCTCTGTGGATAAATCAACGGCAGTACGTGCCATCATCAAAGATCTTGGTTTAGCTTCGGTAGACTTTACTCTTTGTGTGGGTGACGGTAAAACAGATGAAGTTGTCTTTTCTTACTTGAATGAAATTCCTCATTCAATCACAAGTACTGTTGGCAAGAAACAAACTGAAGCTCAATATTATATTCCAACGGTGGATCTTGTCAATAATCTGGTAGAAGAATTAGGTCAAGTCAAGCTATCTTAGATTTAGTTTAGTTTTTTTTTTTTTTTGGGATGATCATACATTGATTACAGACTTGACATTTTTTTTTTATCCTTGTCCCCTTTTTATTTTTCTATTTTTACAGTGTTTTCAAAGAGTTTTTTGTCGGGTTACAAGAAAATAGTTTCGTGATGATATAAAATAAAATTTCGGCCTTTCCCAAAATGGATGTCTCATTACCAGTTTTTCAGATATCGCTCCAGAGTATGTCAAAACACATTGATTGATGATACAGTATATTAAGCATTCTCTTCTTCTTTTTTTGAAATCTCCTTTGGTGTTTCCAATTCAAAGTGATTATCAAACTGTACAGCAACATATAAAAATATGTTATCACCTCTTCATGAGGATGTATTTAATACAGATAAGTTAAAATAAATATTAAAAAAATGGATATGATGACTAAATATATATATATTTCTGTTATTCAAAATACTCAATGGAACTACTGCCACTCCTTTTCTTCTTCTTGTACTCAATTTGGATTATGCGACAATTCTTTTATTTTTTCTTTTGTCATCTATTTTCTATCCTATATTTTGCTTCATTGTACGTAAATATTTGTGTTTTATTTATTAAATAATTATAAAATAGGATTTTTTGGGGGAAAAAAATATAAGAAACTAATGTATATAAAGGAAAGGAAATATAGAATAAATAAAAAAAGAAAGAAAAAGTAATAAGGAAAAAAAAAATGGATAACTATGTGGAACTAATAAATACTAAAGAGGGAGAAGGAAGATCATTTATCTATCTATCTATCTATGAAAAGAATCCAGTTCTATTCAGAACAAATATATATATGAGTTCATTAGAATATGGATGATATACACCTCTTTTTTTTTTTTTTTTTTTTATCCACTTACTTGTTTCTAGCCATAAATGTTTTTGTCAATAGATTGAGAGTTTTGTTGACATGAAGCTTGATATAGTCTAGATCCAATAATTGGACTTGATCTTGTTGCTATATATAATATACGTATATAAACATTGAGTTAGAATAATAATGTCACAAAATAAATGGTATTTATACCTTTTCCAATAGATCATCCAATTTCAGATCAATTTCCAGAATAGGTTTATCCCTTCCACGATAATGTAATTCAATAATAAATGTACCAGGAATAGGAGAGGTGATAGTGACATAAATATTGTTTCGTCGAGCTTCAGGTACTTCTGTTTCAGCAATAATCCCATCACGTTCCAATTGTTGATGAGTAAATTTGAATGGTCCTTGAATATGAGTCTTATTACTGCCAGTTGCTTTCTTTGCTTTTCCTTCGACAACTTCAACACCAAGTCCTACTTGTTTCTTATTGTTTGCCTTGGCTCCACCACCACTTTGAATACGTACATTTTGAAGATAAGCTTTATAACTTTCCAATTGGCTCATAAGGTAATTGTTGTGATCTTGAATAGTCTTGTAAACGCCTTGTAGAGATTGAAGTTCTTCCATCACCTTGACTTTTAAATCACCGAGATGGGCCAGTTCTTGTGTAATTTCTTCCACCAATAACCGATGACCATCCACTTGGTCAATCACTCCAGCCTCTTCCAATTCTCGAATCATTTCTTTTACCTTGATTCCTTTACGCACCAATTGAGCATCCTTCGCGGTACCAGCCGTTTCAGCAATATGGTATAACTTCAAAGGGGGTCGAGATAGTCCCGGTAATGATCGAATGATTTGCACAAATATCGCCTTTGCTTCCATATACAGAATATCGTTTTGTGTAATGTTATTGTCCGACATCAATGTCATTGTTAAATCTATTGTATAAAGAAGTAAGACGAGTGAAGAAAAAAAAAAGTTAGATACACATAATCAGTATCATCATTCTTCTTTCACACACACACACACACACACACGTGTATATATAATCTTTTTTTCTTCTTTCTATGTTTACCTTGAATTGGCATTTCCCATCGACTGAATAAAGGTAATTCGATAGCCTTGTTTTCCTTTCTAGGTACTTGTGCAGGAGCTTGACCTAATTCCAACGTCAAAATTCTCAAGTGATCGGCTGATTTAGGTGCAAGAATATCCAAGTGTTGTTCCAGTAAAGATTGAGTATTGTATATTTCATTTGGGGTAATATTGATCATGATATCCTTTTTTGATAATGCCATGTATTGATCCATTTCAAGTGATTCATAAAAGTCACTCACTTCACACAATTCATTCAAAAATTGATTGGTACGTCGTTTATTCTTTTCTACAAATGGATTTGTTGGGATCATATAGGTTTCTTTGGCATATGTTGGTTTGTTGGCAAGATTTTGTATCATTTTAGCAATCTAGATAATATATATATATATATATATATTAATATGTATAATCCTTTTTATTTTTCGTTATTAGACTTACCAAAGTCAAAGTTGTACGTGGATGGGCACCAGGAACACCATCAACTAGCATATAAGCTTGGGGAGTCACAATAGCAGGATTCACAAAACGTAAAAAGAAGAAACTTCCAATAAGAGTAGAAATGGCTTGATCAGTAGCATCAGGATATTTTCTTTTTGTCAATGATCGAATTTGTTTGCATATCCATCGAATACCATAGGGAACTTGATCCAAAGATTGAATGATGGTAAGTAAAAAGGAATCAGCAATTTCCATTAACGAATTGAGTCGTGGTTCAATAATAGCTTGAACCTGAGGATGACTTGATGCCATTTCAGCTGTAATACTTCTAGGGAAATCAGGAGGAAGTTCATCATGTTCTTTTTCCATTGTTTGTACCACTTCTTCATAAACCTAGAATAGAAAAAAAAAAGTTAACAAAATAATTCAAATGTCTTTTTTATTTATTTATTTGTTTACCTTGAGTGGATTGATTTGTAAATTGAGATCCTTTTGTTCAATCAGATCATTGATCTTGTCAGCCAAAACGGATTTCAAATAAGATTGACCAGGACCACGACGAGTATAGGTGGTCATCATACGAGAGACAGGAGTATTGGCGCGTAAAAGAGAAGTAAATTCCGTAGTAGTTTCGAATTGCCAAGAAAGTACGTTCTATAAAAAAAAAAAAAAAAAAAAAAACAAAAAAATTGTTATTAAGAACATCATAATAATAAAATAACAAAAAGTATCAACTTACTTGAAACATAGTCAATAAAAGATGTTCTTCGCGACTTTCATATTGATTACCATAAAGGGTGAACATGACAGTTTGAAGTAAAGTATCAATTTCAGAAAGGGTAACTAATCGACATAATGTAGCCACATAACGAGGTTCACTTTGTAAGAGATAGAATAAATTACCATATTGTTGCATTTTTCGATCATCCGGATAATGATCATCACTTTCATCGTCTTGTTCTTCCAATCGAGAAGCAACTTCATTTTGCTATTTATGTATTTATTTATTTTATTTTATTTTTTTTAAAAAAAAAGAAAAGTTAGATAGTGTCATATTTATTTTATTTTATTTTCTTCTTTTTAAATAAAGAAATAACTTACTTCATCTAGTGCCATTCGACTTTGAATCAATAAACCAATACGTGAATCAAGAAACCGAACATCACGTTCTCGCATAAAGTTATTTTTTGATTGGGAGGAAATCATTGTTTTCAAAGCACGTAGATCTCGTTGAGCTAACAAAAAAAAAAAAAAAAAAAAAGGTTAGTTAAAGGGACATTACTGTTTGGATATTTTTTTTTTTTTTTACCTTTGGCTAAATCGTCTTCAACTTCTACATCTTGTTCAGCAGCCATAGAATAAAAAGCAGATACGGAATAACGTTTTGAAGTACGACCACCACGACGAGTAGAATGATGATTATTGGCAGCAGCAGCAGCTACAGCACGACTGACAATAGAACCATTTTGTGGATAGCCGAACGATTGAACCATACCACTTCGTCGATCGGCCATAAGTTGTATATAAAAAAAAAGAAAGAAAGAAAGAGAGAGAGAAAAAAAAAAGGAAGGTAGAATTGTAATATATAAATAAAAAAAAAAGTTTGTTTCTTTCTTTTATATAGAAACGTTTTAAAAAAAAAAAAAAAAAAAAAAAAAAAAAGGAAGGAGAGAAAGGGAAAGAAAAGATATGAAAAAGAAAAGAAAAAAAGAAAGGAGGAACAGTGAAAAGGAAAAAAAAAAAAAAAAAAATTAGCGGAATTTTAAAAAAAGAGGGGTGTGGATGGAACAAGGTGACTCCAATGAAGCCAATGTTACACTGAATCGTATAAAAAAGTACCTTAGTTAAACAAATATCGTCATCTTATTGTTTTCAATAATATCTTTTTTTGTTTCAATAGAATTCATAAATAATCATAATTATATAGTTTAAAAAAAGAAAAAAAAAAGTCCTTTTTTTATTATTATTATTATTATTATTATTATTATCATAGAAAAAAAAAAACTAAACTAAATCCGCAAATTGTATTCATATTCCTATACATATAATTTTATTTTTTATTAGTTGAATTCATATATACATATATAATCATTAACGCGTTTTTCTTACCTCTTGAGTTCCTTGAGCAACCCATAGTACTACAGTACTATATAAAAATAATATAAATTAGTTTATCTATTATTCTTTTAATATAATCTATTTTACCTTAGCATAATCAATGAACATTGAACAACACCTGCTACCCCATAATAGATATCTTGTCCATCATGACGTACTATATATTTAATAATCATCACACTCTAATTCAATAATAATAATAATAATCGTTATTACTCTTTTTTTTTTTATTATTATTATTATTATTTTATTTTATGTTTTTATATTTTTTCTTACGCATGATCCAGCAAATCCAAATCCTAACAAAGCAAAGCCCAGAAATAGAAATAACCTAGCTTTCCATACAAGGTCACTTGCTGAATATGTAAATGCTTCTCCTTGTAATCTAGATTTATCAATAAGATTGATTCTATAATATAAAAGTTAGAAACTAAATCTATTTTCTTTTTTTTATCTTTATTTTTTTTTTTTTTGTTCCTTACACTATCATACCAAAAGTTGAGAGAATCCCTGAAAACCAGTCTTCAAACCCCATTCTAATAGAATCCTCTTTTCCTGTTGAAGATTGAACTACAGCATCTAAAAACACCCACCAACCAATGGCAACCTAAAATAATAATAATAATAATCAAAAAAATATAAATAAAAAAGGGATGAAGTTTTCAATCATTTTATTACCAGTCCACCAGCAACATAAGAACCTATTTGTCGTCCTTTGTGACTAAGAAATCTAAAAGGGTTTCTTATAACAAAGATAGATTGTGGTTCTTCTTCATATAACGCATGCATTAAATACTGTAAGTATATATATATTAAGTCAAAAAAAAAAAAAAAAAGAATAAGAGAAAAAAAAAAGAAATGGAAGACTCGGGTCATTTTTTTTTTCTTTTGTGCAAATACACTATTGACCTTTCAAATTCCGTCATAATCCAAATAGAACATGATAACAAAGTTACAATCAATTTGCTACCATCGTCACCACACAAAAAAAAATAAAAAATAAAAAAAAACAAAATATCATATAATCCTTTCAATTTTATTGTAAAAGTCAAAAAGAAAATTTCAAAATACTACATCTATTGACGAGCAGCGACTTCACGAGCAGCAACAGCAGCACGCTTAGCCAAACGAGCATTGGACTTGGGACCGTTGATACCACCACCCCATTGACGACGGTGTTCTTCCCACTTTTCAGTATAGGTAGACTTGACAGCAGAAACCAAGTTAGCCAATTCAGACTTATCAGCATCCTTAACATCAGTGAAAGCCAAAGCAGTAGCATTCTTCTTGTGGATAACAGCACCAAGTCTGGACTTACCCTTGACAACACAGTAAGGAATACCCATCTTACGGCAAAGAGCAGGCAACCAGATAACCAATTCAATAGGATCAACATCATCGGCAATAACAACCAATTGAGCCTTCTTGTTTTCAATCAAAGCAGTGATATGATTGATACCATATTTGATCACAGTAGGCTTTTCGGTCTTGGGCAATTCCTTCTTTTCAGCCTTAGCAGCAGCGGCAGCACGGAGACGATCACGCTTTTCAGCCTTGGTTTCGGGACGGTACTTGTTAGCCAACTTGAACAATTGAGTAGCAGTGTTCTTGTCCAAAACATGAGTGAATTGGTTGATCGCAGGAGGCACCTTAAGACGTTGGTAGATGATCTTCTTTTGACGTTGAAGACGAATGTACTTGGGCCACTTGACGAAGCGAGACAAATCACGCTTAGGTTGAATGTCTTGACCTATATTTATTATATATTATAAAGAGAAATAGAGTCAGCTACACTAAACATATATATATATATATATATTTCTTATTATCATTATTTACCAATGCCAAAGTTCTTGGGGGCCTTTTCGAACAAGGGGTTAGCAGCAGTCTTGGTAGATTGCTTGGCCTTGATGGGGTAAGGAGCAGGGGCGACCTTCTTGCCGGTGGACTTCTTGGTAGGAGCCTATAAAAAAATAATATCAAATCAACCATTGAGTCAAAATGTCGTCTATGCATATCATTTTCCATTTCTTTCAGATCCATCCATCCATCCATCCATCCATCCATCCATCCATCCATCCATCCATCCATCCATCCATCCATTCATTCATCCATTCATCCAATCCATTAAAATAATGAATTCAGTTGATTGATCGAACGTTTGATATAAGTGTACAGGTATGTTGTCTTACCATGTTTTTTATCAAGAGAGAAAGAGAAAGAACTTCTTGACACCCAATGCCCAAAAGTTAAAAAAAAAAAAAAATGAACGGAGTATGAAAACTATCAAAAAATCAGATGTCGACAAAAAAGGAAATCATATCATAAGTATAGTTGTAACAAGAAAAGTAAAAAAAAAAAAAAAAAAAAAAATAGTTCTGTGCATGAATCATCCAATTTTCAATAATAGATACCTACAAATAACAATAATAGTGATCAAGACAAGTCAAGCCAAAGATGAAAGAGTATAGATAAAAGATATATATTGAATAAAGAAAAAAGTGTAATAAACCATGTATGATCATGGACAATATATATATATATATCTAAGGAACTATACACTAAAAAAGAGAACTACAGTAACTAAACATCATCATGAGAAAATTGTGTGCTGATCTTCATAAAACCTGAAGCTACAAGAAGAAGAGTGTGAGAAAATAAAAAAAAAAATCGAAGTCCATTCTGCATAACCCTGAGAACATGAATTTGGGCTTTTTTTTGGACTGTTCAAATACCGAGTATAAATAGTTCATATTCATTGTTATTATCTAAATTACATAATGTGACTGATGTTCCATCAGGACAATAAGAAGTTGTTCAAATTGATTTAACCTATATTTTTGATATTCCTTTTTTTTTTTTTCTTTAATTCTATTTTTACTATGATTATTCAAAGTTCAATGAATGCAAAGGATGTGATAAATAAGTGATAAAGGCACTCGTTCTAGTATATCATCATCATCATCATCATCATCATCATCATCATGTTAATCAATCAATTTTATATAAAAAAGCAACTTAAACCTATGTGATTCCTTATGATTGGTTGATTTGATTTGCAGGATACTTTAAACTGGCTCCGACCAGGTAGACATATATAAAATAAATCTTTTTTCTTTTTTCTTTCTTTCTTTTTCTTTCTCACTTCCTTTTTTTTTTTTTTTTTATTCTTTATTATCAAAAAAACATCATGACTCAAGAACCCGATAGAAATTTGACTCAACTTATTATGCACCCCAATGTTGGCAAAGTTGGTAAACAAGTACTTGTACGAAGCAATTTTTTTGAAATAACAAGTCTTCCAGCCCAAAATATACAACACTTGAATATTCAAATATTACCTGACAGTACTCCTCCTGCTATTCACAGAAAGATGTGGCAATCCTTTCAAGATAGTCCTAAAGGTCAATCTTTCCTCAACAAGGTCAAATCTATCTTTGATGATCGTGCAAATCTCTTTTCTTCAAATCCTCTCAAGTATGGTGATGATAATCTTGGTGTTTCTTTTGAAGTAAGTAAGTAAAAAAAAAAAAAAAAAAAAAAAAAAAAAAAAAAAAGATGTATATTTTATCATATGCTTATTATTTCATCCCCAACATTATTATCTTTTTGATCACTCTTCTTTTTTTATTGGTTCATCTATATTTATCATCTTTATTCTTGTTTATAGGCCAATCTTCAGGAAGGAAACCATCTGAGTGGTGTTTTCAAATCAAATATCAAGCCTATAGGTGTAGTCAATACGAATGAATTACAATTATTCTTGGATGGAAAGTCTGATATTACGAATATTTGTTTTCTACCATGGACTAATGAACTGAATCTGATGCCATCCATGCTGCCTGCGCTTCTTTGGACAAGGCGGACAAGTCTCCTGTTATCTTTGACTGTAAACCTGGTACTGTTGTCAATGATTGTATGTATTAGGGTAGTTTATTGACTTTTACATATTTTTTCCTTAGATTTACAATCACTCGTTGGTCTTCAAGGTGCCATTCATTATCACGTCCTTTATGATGAAAACAAGTTCTCGTCTGATGAACTTCAGCAGCTAACTTACCATTTGTGTTACAACTGCGGAACCAGGACCAATGATCAGTATATTCTCCGTTATATTATGCTGAATTTTTGGCTGCTCGGGCAAGATACCACCAATATGGAAAAAAAAATGGGAAAATACCGATATCACTAGCGAATCCATGAACATTGGTGCTCAAATGGCAAGTTTTGGTAGTGTTAAAAATGATTTACACAAGGTGATGTACTTCTTGTGACCTGATATCTCAGCTCTTTCTATATATTCTTTATTCTTTTTCTTTTTTGTAGTCTTTTATGTGTCCAATAAATCAAAAATTTGTTTCTTCTTTTTGATGATGATGATGTTTCTTTTATAATGATGGGATTAATGGATGATGGGATTAATGGATGATAGGATTAATGGATGATAGGATTAATGGATGATGGGATTAATGGATGATGGGATTAATGGATGATGGGATTAATGGATGATAGGATTAATGGATGATAGGATTAATGGATGATGGGATTAATGGATGATGGGATTAATGGATGATGGGATGATGGATGGTATATAAATAAAAAAAAAAGTATAACAAAAGACAAGTGAACATATTTATAGCAAAATAACAAGGTGAATATATGGCTAAAAAAATGAAAGTCGAAGGAGAGTAATAGGAATGACACCTGTATAATGAATTGAGTGTTACATAAACTATTGATTTATATTTATTACAATACAATCAAATGGAATGACTGAACATTTATCCTCGTCCATTACCATTCACATTTGTGTAGTTGGTATGACGTATCCTCAGGATTAGATTGATCATCATCGTCAGACATCCAACGAGCAAAGCTAAGAAATAAAAAAAAAAAAAAAAAAAGACAAAGGAGAAGATCTATTCTTGAAACTCATATAGGAGGGGGTCACCAAATGAGATAAAAATCAATCAGCATCAAATGGCTAAGCCTTTCTTGAAATCAATAAAAATAAGATAAGCATTCTAATTACAGGAACCATAAACATCGTGACGAGGTCATCACCATCATCATCACCGACATCATTTCCATTGTCTTTATCCGCAAATAGTAAAAATGCCACCTTTATGATCATCGCCATCATCATCATCATTACCGTAAGAAATCATTATCATCAGCCATCATAAATCACATAACCTCATGGTAGCAATTACCATTATCATAGGAGGCATCATCGTCATCACTCATCAACGTTATTGTCATTATCACTATTACAGAAATAATCTTATAATCCCCGCACCAATAACAATGAAAATGAATTGTTTGGCTCCCCTATTTCCCCCCCCCTCTATCCAACTCCCCCCCTCCTTCTTGATCTATGTCTACTAAGTATATGCTTGATTTATAGAGGAGACAGAGAAAAAAAATATCAACTTAAAGACGAGGATAACGCCCCCATCATTATTACTACGCTGATTGTCTCCATTAAGCTAATTTATCTACTTGATGACATGATTAATGCAAATACGAATAAAGAAGAAAAATAGAAGAACAAAAAGGGGAATAGAAAAGGAGATGTAAATCAACATGATCATCATTGACATTTTAACGTTAATGTTTGTATTAACATAAATATTTAGTATTAATATATTATAGACAATCAACGTTATAAAAAGTAGAGAATATATCTACCAATCAATCCGCTTGTTTTTATTTATGCTAGTTAAAAACAAAGTTTATCCCCCATTCAAGGGTAATAAAAAAAAAAAAAAGAAAAACCCTGAAAGCTTCCAGACTACTGTTTCATTGGACAAAATAATCAAAAAGAAAAAAAAAACAAGGGTAATTTTTTATTGGCAGGAGGATCCTTGATTAACGTGATGCATCCAAAAAGAGGATCTACGTTTAAAGAAGATTTGAATTTGACTGAACTTAGGGGGGTACGTATTTAGGACGCGCTGATTCATTACTCTCTTTTTCTCTTACTGCTTATAAAAAAACTATGATTTGCGGTAGTCGAAAATCTTAATCCCAAACCTTTCCTTCCTTATAAAGTCCCCTTTTTGATTTTTTTTTTTGTCAATCATTTTCTTCTCTTTTTTTTTTTTTTTTTTTTTTTACTTTTTCTTATTTCCTTTTTCGTACATACCACTTTTTATTTTTTTTTTATTTTTTATTTTTTTTTTTATTTATACTCACTCCTTCTTTATGAATATTACTGATCTGTTATCGCCTGAACCCAACGTCAAAAATGAACCTATTCATGATGATGATCTTATGTCAGTATGGGAACAGCTTTTATATTCAAGTGGATTTCGACTTAAGACCACCAATGAACGAAATACATTAACCGACGCCATCCTCTCACCTATTCATCATCAACATCCTTATTATCAAGATGAAGTTGAATTTATCAAAGATACGCCTATCCATATCAAGGTCATTGGACGGCATATGAATGGATCCTTTCGATGTCATATTGGTACTGGCAAGGCCTCGAGACCTATTCAATCTCAAGAACTCGGGCAACAAATGCGATTACTAGCTGTCTTCTTTCGTGCAGAAAATAGTAAGAGTCAATTGGTTTCTCCTGATTTTATTTTTTTTCCTACCTGGCTCTTTCATCTATTCAGATATACTCAACATGATACATCCCCTGGTCGTACTGATGTTAGGTTTTTAGAGGATGCTTCCTTGGCCAAAGAAGATCATATATATCGTTTGAATCATGTCCTCAACTCTCTTTTTCGATTCACCTTGCATAACTTCAACATTCGTCAACTGTGGAACTCTGTAGCTTTAGCCAACTTTTTATTCGATCATGTCGGTTTGGATTGTTTCTCTCGGTTACCTCCTCCATCTTTGAATTCCATATCTTGTACTATTGTCCCACCAGCTTTCTATGCAACACTCATCACTTTTCTTCATGCTCCTCGTCCTCTCAAGATAAAACCAATGTGTAGTAATTGTAATACGAAAGTCGCCTCCCGTCGAAAGTTGTGTGTAGCCTGTTATCGTTATCATCTGAAACATGGAGAACCAAGACCTTTACGTTTAATTGTTGCCAATCGACCTGGTCCTCGTCATAATTTACTGGATTCTTACAACAATAATCAAACAATAACCAAAACTAACAACAAGAAATATGGGAATACAACTGGAACAAGATCACGATCAATCATCAACAAACATTGCGCCAATTGTGGTGTACAAGAAACTCACCAATGGTATAGAAATTTATGTGGTCAAGGTCACTGGTGTGAAACCTGTAAGAGTTATTATCTTCGACATAATAAGGTAAGACCTCCAGAATTATTTGTCAAGGCTGCCAAACGCAAAGTGGATGTACGATTTTTAGTTAGTTGGGCATCATGGGCATGCGATCAACATGAAGAACAACAACAAGATCGACAACAACGACGATTATCATCCTCTTCTTCTACTACGACACCTACTTCTGTTACCAGTACAACAATTCATCCTGATGACTTGGGTACTATCACTTCATCACCATCATCATCCTTATCATCATCATCGTTATCATCATCATCGTTATCATCATCATCGTTATCATCATCATCGTTATCATCATCTCCATGGATTCCTTCTGGTTGCCGACCTCATCTTTATCATTCTCGAAATCATTCTAGTAGTGGATGTACAAGTCCAAGCAGTATCTCATCACCAACCACTCCTCCAACCACATCATCTGCTCTTTTATCTGGTCATGATTATACAATAGCTAACGACAAACTCCCTCTTTCTCCTCCACCTTCTTTCCAACGGTCTTTTACAACTTGTCAAGGATACGATCCTACGGTGTTTGATTATCCTTAGTTTTATTTATTTGTTTTTTTTTCTTTTTATTACCATTCACAATCCTTTTTTGTTATTACTCTTGTTTTATACCATTTTATTTACTGTATTACCAGGTATTTAATTTTATGTCTTCGTTTTGTGTGTGTCATTCTCTCTTTCTTTTTTCTCATTTATATACTCTATATATATATATATCATCTATGCAATCACTCTCTCTCTGTCATTCTTTTTTTTTTTTTTACTCATTATATGCCATCTCTTTTATATATTCTTTCCATTTATATCTAGTTCTGCCAACCTGCATCCTATTTTTTTCTTTTATTTTATAGTCCAACCTGCTTTTTCTTTTATCATCCATCATCATCATTATTATTATATCATCAATAAAACAACCTACAGTCAATCATCATCATCATCATCATCATCATTATTATTATTATTATTATTATTATTATTATTATTATTATTTTTATTGTTACTATTATTCTCAATAAACTATCATTGATTTTATATCTAGAAGTATTCTCCCCACTTGTCACCCCTCTCCCCTTTTTTTTCCAAGTCAAAATCCATGTGGTTTGAAAAGGACATGATAATGTTGTCAATTTTTTTTTTAAACCTATCTTCCTAAAATAGGAGTTGACGCATTCAATACCATCCTTCCATCACCACCCTTCTCTCTCTCTCTCTTTTTTTTTTCTTCTCTTTTTTTTTCTTTTGGATTTCATCCATATCCCATGTGTTGTCACCCTTTCTATCAATTTTTTTTTCTCATTTGATTTGCCCCAAGGAGGAAGTTTCCCCCTACAAAGTCGCGCGATACTTTGATTTTAAAATTAGCGTGGAGAAAAGCAAACAAACAAAACTTTAAACAGATTTCGGGATTCATCTAAAGTCACTCGGATGGGAGTTAACAAGACCAGAAAATAGGAAGTCTTTCTTTTTTTTTTTGAAGTCATGTTAGGTTTTTCTCATCTCCCTTCTCATACCCCTCCCCTCTTTTTTTTTTTTTTTTTTTATTCTAAAAAGGGGCAGTGATTCATACAAGGAACGCAAATAGAAAAAACGGAGAACCCTCAGACAATTGTACCTATCATTCAACAAAGCTCCTTGCAACCCCTTCTCTTTTCCGTTTGCCCCATTCCATTCTTTTTTAATCATAATTAGGATAATGAATAATAAAAAAAAAGTTTGCCCCACGTGGCAAATCATCTTAATTCAACATATTTCAGAATTCCTTTATTCAATACAAAATGTCAATGAGATATGATCCATCTAAACTAGGACATAATAATAATAATAATAATACAATCAAATTGAATATGTAATAATGAATAAATATATGTGCATGTGATTATACTAAAAACTAAATACATTGGGTGGTGACATTTTAGGTAACGTTTTCATCAGGTCCATAACAACATCTACTCAAAAAAAAAAAAAAGGTAATCAATATTTGCTTTTTTTTTTTTTTTTTTTTTTTTTTGCTATTCATTCGTATATATGCTTACCTAAAGGAACATCATCACATCGTACAGGATCATCATCCGTCAAGATATTTTCCCAAGGATCCCCATCAGAGTCATCCGCCCGATCCGATGATATCATGGATCCATCATCATCCTCACCTTGCTTTTTTCTACTGTTGGCATTATTACTACGACTTGATTTGATCATGTTATCACCATTGTTGTTGATGGGTGGGAAATAATCGGCAAACTTTTCTCGATCCAGATACATCTTTTTTCGTTGGAACATCATTCTTGATAAGGTTCTCCCTTGCGTTACGGCCATTTCAATTGCATTGTCTATACGTCGAGCTTTGTCCCCCCGAAAAAAAAAATCAATATAGGATTAGATGAATTGCATGTTTGAATAGATCGTATCTCCTTCCCTCTCTCTCTTTTTTTTTTCTACTTTCTCCTTTTTTTTTTTTTTTTTTGGTTACTTACGTCGATGATTTGGCATCAAAAACCAGTAAGTTTGAAAGAAACTAGGAGGCACAAACCAACAATCCGGATTGCCAAGTTCTCCACCCAAAAAAACTGATTGTTTGATCAAAAAGGAAAATAATGCATTGGCATCATAATATCCTTGGAAGACGATCATATGATCACGTATCAAAGGCCCAGGCACATAATCAATTCTAGTATCATGAGGTACCGTGCGTTGAAGTTCAGCTAAACAATAAAAGGGTGATGAGTATATGTCCTCTTTTTTTTTTTTTTATTTTCCATCCACTTACTTGGTGTAAATACAGATCGCGTATATGATCTTTCCCGATTGATACGTCGTAAATAATTGATAGCATCCAAAGCTGACATAGGAGGAAATATATGTTTTGTTGAATCAGATAAAGAAGTCGGTAAGGAGGATCCCAAGTGATGTTGTTGAGCCATGGTGGAATTAAGTTTGGATGTATGAGGCGAGTGAAAGGTATGATTCGTATTGGATGGAGACCAGGAAGACGTTTTTGAAGAAGGGTCATTGAGTAGAGTGAAAAGATCATCCATAGGTTTTGATGATTGTTGTTGTTGTTGTTGTTGAGGTTGCTGAGGTTCCGTGGATGTAGTAATGAAATCCGGTGTTACCACAGCAGGGGAATATGTAGGAGACATAAATGATGATAGATCAGTAGGTGTGGGATAAAAATGGCTACTGGGTGTGGTCATAAATGTATCAGGTATTGTTGTATTAGAAGTGGTGGTAGAGAGAATAGTATTTGTAGGTTGTTGTTGTTGTTGTTGATAAGTGGAAGAAGTTGTTGGTGAATTTCCGGCTGGTACAAATTCTGGTGATTTATTGATAATATGAAGGTTGTTGTCGAGAAAAAATTCCAGATTTTGAGGTATACCTTCAGTTTTCGAGAGACTAAGTATATCAGAGCCAACGTTGTCAGTAGAACCAGTATTCCAAAACTTGGGGACATTGATACCATGGGAGAAACAAGCCAATTTTAAAGTAAGCATCATACCTTTGAGATAATTGTTTTCATATCGAAGTTGTTTGACTGTGCGTTGAAGAGAATTGACTTCGCGTAGAGCTTGATCTCGTTGTTGAATACATTTTTTGATATTAGTCTCTGCGTCATGCATTTCCCTTCGTTTACGTTCCCTAAATGCTCTTTGTGCTGCTCGGTTTTGTGCTTTTCTTTGTGCTGGTGAAGGTGGATTAGGTTTTCTTCCAGGTTTTTTACGAGGTCGAATAGGTCGTCCATTTTCATCCAAAGTACCAAGTTCTACTTGAGGATCAAAGTATTCAAAGTTGATTTCTGTCATTAATACCTAGTGTGAGTTTAGTATGACTGAAGTGATTATGAGATATTTATAAAAGGGGCAAAAAAAAAAAAAAAGACAAAAGGAGGCGAAAGTAAAGAATTTTTTTTAAAAGAAAAAAAGCGGCATTTTAATATGTACAACCTTCTTTTTTTTTTTCTTTTACTTTTTTGCCCTGACTTTTGAAAGGCTATATATGGTTATATCATGACAAAAAATTGCATTTTATCATAAAATGAAAATGATAAGAATGAAAGGAGTTGATGATATATAAGACTCTTATATTTTATTTTTTTTTGATTTCAAATAGTATAAAAGAAAAGATATTTCTTTTTTTTTTTATCATCGTCATCAATTCAAACTTCAATAATAATGGTGAAATTCTTTCTTTTTACTTTAATTTTATCTTTGATTACTGTATCCTATGTGGTAGCTTCTTGTGAATGTGAACCTACAGATCAATCATGTATTGATAGTTGTGGTAATATACTTTTAATCTTTCCAAAATTCTATGATTTCTTTTTTAATTGTTCTTGTTATATATAGTGACAGAAGCCAATTCATGTGTTACTTCTTGTAAAGGAGATACATCATGCTACGAAGAATGCATTGATAATAAATGGTATATATCATCTTTCGATTTCTTTTCATCACTTATTTATATTTTATTATTATTATTATTATTTGGATTAGGCCTTCCGGTCAAATGTTCCACAAACAAGACATGTCATCTGCTTCTGCTGAAAGTACTACTGTCAATAGTAGTCCTTCTGCTACTATGAATCCATCTAATCCTACTCCTTCCATGGGTAAAAAAAAAAAAAAAAAAATGAAATAATAACAAGAGATGAATGTAAATTGATGTTTTATTTAATAGGTTCCAAATCTTCATCGGGATCTAGTACGTTTAGCAACAGTGATGGAATATCTCAAGCAAGTCCAACAGGACAAGCCAATAAGATGAATCAAACTCCTTCTTCTGCAGATGCTGTGAAATCTACCAATATTGTGATCATTTCAACCCTTGTCACTATTCTCGGAGTCTGGATCCATTATTAAGTAACAATCCAATTTATGGTATTGTAGTACTTTTTTTACCTTTTTTTTTTTTTTTTTCTCATCAATATCATTTGCCCTTCAATAAAGGAAAAACTATTCATCATATTGTTATTTGCTTTTCATTCTGCTCTCCGCTTCTTTCTGTTTTCCCTTTCCTGGTTGTTTCATACATTGAACAACCTTGGGGCTCATTTTTATACTCAGCATTTTTTGTTTAAACTTTTTCCGGCTCTTGTTCATTGTTTCGCTTTCCCTTTCCTTTTTTTTTTTTTTTTTTCTCACTCAACGTTTATTGGTTATCATAAAATGGAATCGTATTTGTCCAATATTGACAATTACATACAAGAACAAGGTGAAAGTCAACAACAACAACAACAACAACAGCAACATTTGTTCTATCTTCAACAGCAACAACAACAGCAACAACATAATCAACAAACATTCGATCCATCATCATGGCCTACTTCCTTTCCTACAAATGACACCTTTGGTCAACCTGTAATGTCTATACAACAACAATCCATGTATGTACCAAATATGATGAACTATCCTCCTACTTCTCAACAACAACAACAACAACAACAGCAGCAACAAACTCCAGTACCTGGTTATGACATTCATGGTAATCCTATCAAGATCCGTAAGAAACCTGGCCGAAAACCCAATCCAGCGTCACCGGCTTTAAGAAAGGCTCAAAACCGTGCAGCGCAAAGAGCATTCAGGGAAAGAAAGGAACGTCATTTAAGAGATTTGGAAAACACTATTCGAACATTACGAGAACAACGAAACTCTACTGCCAAGGAACTCAAGAAGACCAAGAATCGACTGGAGACATACAAGACAGAAAATTGGTACCTCAAGGGTGTGATGTTGACTTTACAATTTATGTGTATGCATCATAATATCGATCTACCTCCCCATACACCTTATCTCGCCGAAGAAGTTCTAATTGAAATAGGCAAGACACATCCTCACGCCATCGAAGCCTATGTTAATGCTTATACTCGCAACAATGTCAATCTCAAACCAAATTTATCAGCTCACTTTGCTCATTTATCCAATCCGGATGATCTTACTGACAATAAGGAAAACATCAAGGAAGTCGACAATTCATCAACTACTCCTCATCTTGAACCTTCATTTGATCAACAAGAACAACAACAACAACAACAACAAATTCACCTTTCTTCAACGGACTCAATGGCATCACCACCTCCATTAATACCACCACCAGATGAAATGGATCATATCACTGAAAAAGAGGATCAACATCAATTAGCACGTGAATCAACACCTTCAACCATATCACAATCGACTGCACCAGTATTCGAACATGAAGATGTAGCAAAATGGACGATGGAAGATGCCGAAGATGATGATGATGAAAAAGAAGCTATTCTCGCAGCAACATCCAGTATGGGCGCCATTCAACGTATCCGATTACAACTACGAGTACAATCCACATTATCTTCCATCTCTGGCAGTCATTTACCCTCAGTACGACTTCAACCTACTTTACTTCAACTGGCTATTGCTCATGACCCTCGTATTGACCTGATTCCTGCTCCTCAAATGCGTGATCGTATGATTATCTTTCGGGATCAAATGGATTATGATCGATGTTTTAGTATGTTATTGAATGGTGCGGTATATCATGGTGGTGATCCTACTCTCAGTCAAAGTTGGGAATTACCTCCTTCTTTCCATAGTGAATATTGGTTCCTTAGTTCAAGGTATGATTTGGATACAACAAATCGTTGGCGTCGGATGAAAAACTTACCCGAAATTCCTCCTGGTGGCCCCGATCGACGATGGACCCCGCCTCCTCCTTCTTCTTCATATCATCAACCTTCATCACCACAACAACAACAACAACAACAACAATCTGAACCCATTTCATCTACCTATTCTGATGGTACACCTTCTACTTGGCCAGATACTACGGTATATTCTCCCAATGATCCATCCAATTATCTTATATCCTCTCCACCACCTCAACAATCAACTGCTTCTCCTTCATCATTATCTTCTTCTACACAACAAAAACATCCACTTTATGATAAGGTATTTGCCTCTCCTCCAGAAATGCGCCATCCTGTGACATCGCCAACTTTGGGTAACTACAAAAAAAAGTTTTATTTATCATTTCTGACATCCTCTTCCTTTTTTTTTTTTTTTGATTGTTTATATAGATTTGATGATGAACATGATGAACTCTTTATCTACTGATCAAGCAAATAATATGAACGATTTATAGTATGGTTTGGTCATGTTAGTCAACACAATAGTGTAGTCTTTTTTTTTTTATTTATTTATTTATTTTATTATTATTACTTGTAATGTATGAATAAACAATTTTTTTTTATTAAAAATGTCTGAAGATAAAAAAAAAAAAAAAAAAAAAAAAAAAAAAAAAACACTAATATGAAACAATGTCTTGGTTGGTTTGAGAGGGGGGAAGAAGACGGGAAGGGATGATCTCTATCTATCAATTTGGGTAAATCTATAATATCATCATTTTTGATTGGGTAACGAATGAAAGAAGGGGTAGGAATCATGCAAAAAAAAAAAAGTAATCTAAACCTAATCCTTTGTATTCTCCATGATGTTCAAAGTCACTGTTCCTTTGACAGCTAATTGTTGAGTAGGGCCAAGAATCCAAAGTTCAAAATGACGATTTGATATTTGTTTTCCACAGATAGTCAAAGGTTGATTTACATACAAAGGCGTAAGGCATCGATAATCAAAGGATTGAATGACAGAATCAAGGTCAACATGATATTCGGAAGCAAGATATGTCCTTAGTAAGCTGATCATCCATGTACTACTTAAAGGGCCGTGGACCAAACATGCTTTCCCGATCAAACCCAGAAAAAAAAAAGTCAATTTTTTTTTCCCCATTTTTTGAAAGAATATCAATTTTCTTACCTGGATGATGTTCCATGTTTTTTGTGTAATCTTGATCATAATGAATTCGATGAGCATTGAACGTTAGGGCGGAATATTGAAATAGTTGAATAGAACTTGGGATGATTTGTTTGGATACATCAGGCAATTTCTTCACTATCATCCACACATATCAATCATAATTAAAAAAAAAAAAAAAAAGAATGAGATAAAACCTTTATTATATATATATATATATATTTTGAACTTACTTTTAATAGATTTCATTGAAACTTGATGTGTTTGTTCTGTAGCATAAACCAAACATCGTTGTTCACGTATCATCTTTTGATCACCGCGATAAATATCCTTGTTCAGGTACACAAACACAGCATCCCCAAGTCGACTAGCTGGTCGAAATTCATATCGGTCCATCGAGGTCACCATAGTAACCTCATCGCCTACGGATAAAGGAGTATACCAGGTCAATGTCGCACCGGCCCACATGCGTTGAGTAAAAGGAGCAGGAGGAAAAAAGTCAGTTTCATATCCATCATGAGCCAAGGTCACTGTACGAGGAGGAAAGTAAATATGATGCCACGTCGCTGGTACAATGGTCCCGTCACTGGGCAACTGCTCATACTTGTACGCCACCGTCGGTTCATCCAATGCATTCGCCAGAAGATTTAAAGGTGAAGCTGTTATCGTATCGTGAGTAACTAATTGTTGTGAAGCTACTTTAGATCCCCATTCTTTGATCAACTGATCCATATTATCAGTTGTATATAGTCGATTGTGAACCACCTTCTGCCGTTGATAAAATGCTATATTGATAGTATCATAACTTCTCCCAAATGTGATCAAGTTGAAGGTTACCAATCGCTTATTCAGGAGTTTGAGCATAATAATTTATTATTGAAAGCAAAAAGAAAAGAAAAGTGGAACCGGAAACAAAAAAAAAAAAAAAATACTGAATAAAATATTTACCGCTCAGCTATATCACAAATCTGAATACAGTTAAAAAAATATAAAATGGTAACATGATGTTTCTTGAGGAGGACGTCCCCGTTCACTATTTATTGGTGATGTTCACGTACTAAATATATATATATATATATATATATGTAAAATATCCACTAACTAGACTGGAATCTCACCAAGAATTTAGCCGGCCTTGACACTGAGAAAGAAATACCTTTTTTTTTTTTTTTTTTTTTTTGCTTGATGCGACATTTTTAGTGGTAAATGTACTTTGATATATTAATAAAAAAAATATAGCCATAGATGATATATACATGTTTCAATAATAGTGCTTTTATGATAAGATTGGAGGTTTAAACGTCGAAATAGACTTTTTGACAGTGATCAGAGGAACCTTTCTCAGCTACTGTCTTTTTGATTCAATAACAAAAGAAGTAATCATACATACATATCTTTTATTAATGGTGTTTATACGGTATGATGATAGATTTAAACTTTAAAATGGGATTTGGAAGCTAACTACAGCTATGTCGGCTTGTCTTTTTTTTTTTTTTTTGAATTCTACAGCCAAAAATTTGAATTTCCTCAGCCAAATTTTAGCTGTAAAAATAAATCGTCGAAGGGTTATCAGGCAATTTTTCGAAAAATGGATGAAATCTTTTTGATGTGCATTGCACATAAAGTGGCAAGATAAGTGAGAAAATGGAATTAGATGATATTAAACTACTTTTTGGAGAGGAATCTAATGGTGGTAGTTTTATTAGATGATGATCATTATTGAATGAGGATTGACTGAATTGAATCTTGTTTTTTATTTTATTCTATAGATTGGGAGATAAAGTATAAATGGTTATTAAGCCAAATGAAAGACAATATTTTCATGTATGTCCGGTTCAAATTTGGTGCAATGATGATCGTTTTTGAATGAGAAACGAAAAAACAAAGTTTGTTTTCCATGCGAAATGAACAGCCAGAAACTGCGAATTTTTCTTTATTTTCTTTTTCCTTCTGCCTGTACGACGAGAAAATACAATACTATGGAATTTTTCGAAATGAGACTCAGGGTCAAAATAATAACGTGCTTTTTGATCGTTGACAGATCTCCTCCTATTCTTAGAGCATGATCACAATGAATTAATTATATATCGGCCATGATAATATCAACATTTCATTTGATGATTTCTATGATAAATATAAAGCTTGATTTTATTAACATGTTCAATCCAGTGACACGCATAGATTCTGATAAAAAGAATTACTTCAACAACAACCTCAACAATAAAAAAAAAAAATTAAAACAGGAGTATACAATGGTAAAAAAAAAAAAAAAAAAAAAAAAGAAGACATAGAATGAAAGAATGAGCTAAAAAGGAAAGTGGATGATATAATAAGATCGGGGAAAAGAAAGTATATAAAGAAATGATGACAAAAAAAAAAAAAGATGGATAGATTAGAAGGCATAAATATATGTAAGACAAAAAAAATTAGTAAAAAAAAAAAAATGATAATACTAAACTATAGCATCAAAGTGTTCAGATTTTCATTCAAGATAATATCAGAAACAGCCAGCATAACATGTTTCAACAAGGTGGTATCTGTCGCATCCGTATAATGGGTATAAACACGCTTTTCAGTATTTTGGTTTAGTCGTTGAAATCGTTTCTTGAAGTAAGATCGTGTCTGTTCAAAATTCTGATTATCGCCTATACATTTTAAAAAAAAAAAAAATTACATAGAAGGTTATATATCCTTTTACTTTTTTTTTTTTTTTCCCTGATAACCCTTTTTTTTTTTACCTTTGAAATCTGGGAACCATCGTGATACAGGTGAGACATTGATCTTTTCCTTAAAAATATCGATCTTGTTTAGGAATAGAATCATAGAAGTATTGACAAACCAAGGGGAGTTGCAAATAGTATCGAATAACATCAAGGATTCATGCATCTATTCAAAAAAAAAAAAAAAAAAAAGAAAGCATGATTAGTTGATGAAGTGACTTGGGACTAGATAACTTACTTGATTCTATTATTTTCAAACAAAAGAGAGAAGGAGAAAGAAATAGAAATAAGGGAAATCAGTAAAAATTTAGGTCAATTTCTATAAATGTCGATCGCCCTAAGGGACCATTTCCTTTTCTGCAAAAAGAAAAAGTTTGACACTAGAATCACACACTTACCGAGTCACGATCTTCCACTAAACATTGATCATACCCACTGACAGCAACCACAAATAGAATAGCTGTAACATTTTCAAAGCAATGAATCCTAATATTGAAGGACCAGATGAAGTCAATATATTATAACAAAAAAAAAAGCTAATATTGTTTTACCATTTCTTGCGTTCACTTCGTTGTCCACCCACATCAAACATACGATAAGTTAAAGGTCCAAGATGAAATACAGTTTCTACAATTCCAGTTGTTTTGGCTCGGCACCTAATGATGTCTTGATCAGTTGGTACATAATCCGGTGACCATAATCTATCCAGTTGTGAGAAATAACTAAAAAAAAAAAAAAAGTATCTTGTTAGTTAGTATATCATACACATTAAACCCAAATCCACTTACTATGTAACATTATCATGTAATGCAAAGGTATTTCCTTGACTACAAGCATTTTGTACGCCAGCATCATTCCATAATCTTTTTAAAGGTGACAGATAATCTAGAGGATAAGGTTCTCCTTTCTTGATGGCAGGTGGTGAATCAAATAAAGGTATATATTCCTAATAAAATAAAATAAAAAGGAATGAGATATTCTGATGACTTGAAAACAGACACATATATCTATATAAGTTTACCTCTAATTGCTTATCTTCAAATTTGATATCCAAAGATTCCATAGCTTCCAAAATAGTTTGTACAGTTAAAGTGATATTGGAGAAGACGATATGACGGAAACTCTCCCTTTCAGCAGCATCAAATCCAGCAGCATGGATAAGTCGCATTTGTTTCAACACTGTTGACTTTCCTGATTCACCAGCACCTATAGAGTATATATAACGTTAGAAAAACTGCATTATGTATGTATACTTTAGGCTACCTAATAAAAGAAGTTTGACTTCAGTTTTTAATCGTTTTTCGTCTGCCTTGATTTGTCTATCTATCAATCGACTTGTTGCTGTATCAGGATTGTAAGCACCATTTTTGTTTGAATTGCTAGAACTTGCACAATTGCCCATGACGATGTCGGATATATATTTAAATGTATATCAAAAAGAAGAAGAATATAGTTGGCAAAGGCGTATATATATATGTGTGTGTGAGTATATCAGTTTTTTTTTAAAAAAAACAAAAAAAAAAACTTCAAGTAGAAGTAATAGTATTGTTGTAATTATTGTTTCAGTTGGTGTTGTCGTTCTTGTTGCTTTGTTGTTGCCTTTTTTTTTGGTTTATGGGAAATAGGGAATCAACAAAGTAATGATAGTTTATATACTTTATATATATTAATAATAAGAATAGAGAAAAAAATAAAGTGAATAAACGTAACAAATAGCCAAGTCAAGAAGAAAAAAAAAAAGTAAGAAAAAGGAAAAAAGAAATAAAAGAAAGAAAAAAAAATTATTATTATATGAATGTCTACTACTATTTCAAAAGTACCGGAATTCAGTTTCCGCCAACACACACACAAAAAAAAAAAAAGGTTATGTTATTCTTAAAGAACAATGGCTAGTATAAAAATGATTATCATCTGTTCATGCAGCTTTTAGTTTCATGTGGAGATCATAAAAATGGCCGTGTTCTAGATTTTTTTTTCCTCCATCCTCTTCTTTACGCCTTTTCTTTAACTTACAACTTCATATATATCTTTTTTTTTTTTGCCTACTTGAATGAAGGAACAAAGGGTCAGACGTGTCAATGCGTTGGTGTTACCTGAAACGGAAATTAGGACGCATCTAGTTAAGGTTGGTACCACTTTTTTTTCTTCTTTTCTGGGCAATCTACACCGTGATGAACTGCCTATCAATCAAAACTAACTGTCATTTTTTTTTTTTTGTTTCCTTAGAAAAAGAGAGTGACGATTTCACTGAGTCATAAATACCTTCAATCTCCGTAGCATCTAGTTCTTTTGTTGCATCGGTCAATAGAGCGGCTAATAGTCAATCGATCTGCAAAGTCCAATTTCGCTTCTCAAAATCAAATGCATCTCTTAATGAAAGAAAGAAACGTATCCTTTTTAGAACACATTCATTTATTCAAATAGATTATCTCACCTTACACATAATCAAATTTTTTTTTTTTGTATCAACTGATTATTAACTCGGAATATGAATACCATGTGGTTAAATCAAAAGAATGAAAGACAGCGGAGTACGTTTCCGTGACAACCTGCACCTTGGCTTATCTTACTAACCACCCTTCCCTTTTTTTTTTTTTTTTTATTATTATTATTATAATTTTTTGATGCATTCAGTTGATGAAAAATATCATAAGAATCTAACATCATCATCCATTTATTTTAGCCCATCCATCATTGTAGGGAATGAATCATAGATAGAGAAATGACGAAATCAATATTTTATTGTTTTGAAGACATGCATATTTAATAAAAAAGATAAAAAAAACTCCGGGATTCTCCTTTTTTCCTTTTTAATATGATGAAATTGGGTTCATGTACCGCATGCATGGGTTCATAGATAGGCAGACAATTGTTTTCTTCATCTCCTTATTCCTCATTTTCGGTAAAGTACAACAAAATAAAGCAGTCGAGATCATCTATATATCTCTTTTCCACTCTTGTTCCTTCTAGTCTTTTCTACTTAACTATATCTATACAATAATAGTGCAAGTAACTCCCCTGAATAGATGATTTTTGACTTCAAGGCTTGTCACTAAGGCACGATGGTTCGAACATCTTATCTCTACTACTGTATAAAACTTAACGAAGAGCAGGTAAGTCAATTCGTCTATCTTCATATATCATGCATCCATCTGTCATCCATTATCATCCATCATCCATCACCACATATCGTCCATTATTATCACATCATTCTAATTCACATTTGTTTATACTTTATTTTATTTTTCAACTTGTTTATTAAATATATATATAAGACTAGGTATTATAAATAAAGATAGAAAGTGAAGTAATGATAGTACAGAAAATAATAAAACAAAAAAAAAAGGACAAATAAAATGAATAGGAAATGAAAATGATAAACTAAACGAAAGTAAAAAAAAAAAAAAAAGGGGGGGACTTTGATATATGTGGTTTTACATATCCATCTTGTCAATAGAACCCTTTTCTCGATCAGAGACAACAGGAGTAGTATCAGCACGGAGATCACGGAAAGCCAAGATACCACCACCAAATACTTGATCCATTTCTTCCAAAGAGCGACCCTTGGTTTCAGGGAAGAAAAGGAAGATAGAGACAGTCATGACAAAACAACAACAGCCAAAGAAGATATAGGTACCCCAAGTGATACTAGCCAACATCACAGGACAGATTTCAGAAATGACAAAGTTGAACAACCAATTGGCAGCAGTAGTGATGGAAGTACCCTTTGAACGGACAGACATAGGATAGATTTCAGCAGGATACACCCAACCTTTATAAAAAGAAATAGAAATGGATTAATATCGATATTTGATTCATAAAAAAAAAAAAAAAAAAAAAAAGTACTTACCACAGGGACCCCATGAGGCAGCAAAACCGGCTACAAAGATATAGATCATAACAATACAGAAGTAAGAGGCACTGAGGTTGCCACCCATATAGACTTCATTAACACCAGAGGCTGGGTTGTAAGAGACCTTGCCAGTAGCAGCCATGACAATACCACAAAGCAACATAGCAGTACCCATAACAATAGCACCAATCATCATCACCTTACGACGACCCAATCGATCCAAGAACAAGATAGCAGGAACAGTAGCGAACATGTTAAGGACACCATTGACACCAGATGCAATCAAACTAGCAGAGACACCACTGATACCAGCTTGTTGGAAAATAGTAGGAGCATAGTACATAATGGAGTTGATACCAGTAAATTGTTGGAAGATTTGAACCATGATACCGAGAATGAGACGACGACGTACAGATCCCTTGAATAAACCGACATAACTAGTAACAGCCACTTGCTTTTCCAATTCAATTTCGTTCTTGATTTCTTCAAATTCAGCAACCACAGCAGGATTAGTCTTGTCACCATGAGAACGCAAGTAGGCTAAAACTTCCAAACATTCATCATAACGCCCCTTATTAGCCAACCATCGAGGAGAATAGGGTAAGAATAAGACACCAACCAATAAAATAAGAGCAGGTACAATTTGAATACCAAGAGGAATACGGAAAGCAGCTTGATTATTGAAATGCATTTGAGTACCAGCACCTACCCAGAAGGCTAACATGAGACCAACAGTAATAGTGAATTGTTGGAATGAAATTAAACGACCACGAATTTCCTTGGGAGCTAATTCTGACTATAAAAGAAGAAATCATATTTGTATTAGATTTTATTTATCTTTTTTTTATTATTATTATTATTATTTTTATTATTTTATTTTTACTTACAATGTAGAGGGGTACAATCATAGAAAGTCCACCAATACCTAAACCAGCAATAGCTCTACCCACAACCTATTGATAATTATAAAAGTTAGAATATAATATAAATAAATAAATAAATAAATAAATAAAAAAGTGTAGTTTCTTACCATGGAGGCATAACCATTAGTACCAGTTTGAACAGCAGCACCAATAATAAAAACGATACAAGATAAGAAGATACTTCTCTTACGAGAGAAAGCTTCAGAGCAAGGACCTAATGAAGAAAGAAATAAAAGAAAGATGAATTAGAAAAAGAAAGGAAGAAAAAAAAAAAAGGATTTGAAAAAAAAGGAAGACAAATTTAAATTCCGTGTCCTATTTTGTAAAAAGATACTTACTAGCTAATAAGGAACCCACAAAACAACCAGCCAGTAATAAACCAGTGATGGTACCTTGTTCCAATGGAGAAAGAGAAGTAGTACCATTCATTTCCATTTTAAAAGGATCCATTTGGAGAATACCAGAAATGACACCAGTGTCATAACCCTTTTAGAAGAAAAAAAAAGATTATTTAACATATATCATAATAAATAAATAAAGAAACTTACAAAACAGAATCCACCAATAGCAGAGAACAAGGACACCAGGTACACTTGTTTAGTGGCACCACCAGAACTAAACATCCTTTATATAATATATAATAATAATAAAAAAAAAATGTGATAAAAAAAAAAGAAAAAGGGAAAGAAAAAAGATTTCAAAAAAAAAATCGTTGAAGAAAAAGTATCGTTTATTTATATCAAAGAAGGGAAAAAAATCAATAACTGGTAAGACGGGACGGAGGATGAATTGGGAAGTTGGAAAACCTTAAAACAAAAAAGAAATTCTTTATTGGTAAATCTATCCATTTATTCAATAGTTATTTTACTTTTTTTCTTTTTTTTTGATACAATAAAGGATAGAGTTATTATCATGTATAAAAGATAGAATCATGATAAATAATGTAGTAAATATTAACTGTATGATTGTTATAATATAATGGGTAGTCTCCTTATAATGACAAAAAAGGAAAACCCTTTTCTTATGAATGGTAATGATTGGATGGAGAATGAGGGGATACAAAAGAGACTTTACCTCTTTCCATCAAGGTTATCCCACAGTCTTTTTTTTCCAAGCGGAGTATGATGATGCGGGAAACAAGGAAAAAATGAAAAAGGAAAAAGGAATTGAACCGCCAAAAAAAAGAATCAATGTAGTTGGTATCACAGAATAAAAGAAAACTTGTATATTTTTATACAAGTGTATTTACAACTCAATATATACATATATTGATTTACATATTTACTAAAAAGAAGAAAACGCCAAGTGATCATCAATGATTAGAAAAAGAGAGGGGAAGAAGGGGAAGACTCCACACTGGTTCTGTTTCTCCAGAGTTGCTGGTTTGATTGGGTGAAAACCATTACCCCGCCTTCCCCACATGAGTTCTTTCAATCTCAGGTTAACTCATCATCCCAGGTTCAGTTTTATATGATTGGTCAATAAAAAGAAGGGCCTCTTTTTTCCGCAAGTCCCATCCTATTTGTTCCCCTTCATCTTTTTTTTTTTCTCATCAAAATTCTCTAAAATGGGAATGAAACAAAAAGGCATATCAAATCATTTATAATCATCATATCTGCATTCAGTCATATCCATAAATATTATATCCAAATGTATGTAAATTGTTGCATAAAAGAGGGGGACTTTATTTTATATATAAAGTATAAACTAAAACTATTTATGATGATGAATGTATATAAAAATATGAGTTCATAAAAAAAAAAAAAAAGGTGATCAAAAGCAGTAGTGTTGGCATTAGTCAGTCATCATGAAGAAAATCGATTTCCGATAGGCCAGCAAAGAATTCACCATTCAAAAGAATCCCTGAGGTCTAGATTATCACTTATTGTTTGCATTCTACATGACAATATACATCCTTCTTGTCCTTGACCTTCCTATCTTTCGTTAATAGTTGTCCAATGATCCAAAGGTTAGAATAGCTGAAGATGTCGTGTTTCCCTGTAAGTTTTGTCGATGATTTCATCAAATATAGTGTTGTATTCTTTTACCGAATCTTCCCATCATCAATCACTTCCTACTATTAAGATTGTATTCAGATCCGTCAATAATAGCCGTGGATGATCATACGTTTCTTCTTTTTCCTTGTCATTTGTTGATGTTTATCGACCATATTAAAGTGCTCTTTTTCTTGATATGCTCGTGTCAGAATCAATTATTCGTTTGTTGAATCCTTGCTAATCATATCTTCCACTGATCATCATCCACTTAACTTTCTTGTTGATTTCTTGACTACTTGTTGCTCTCTTCTATCAGAACTCTTTTGACCCTGTTTTAAAGTAGCTTTTTCCCTAAAACAATAGAATGACCAAAATGTTATCACTAGTCGGCGAGTTTCCCGTATACTATGCACTTCTAATCGAGTTTATGATGAAGTCCATTGCTGTCGAATATCCAGTAGCATTATAATAAATAGCGTATATGTATATATAAGTGCTCAATTGTATTTTGCTTGCATCTATTGAACAGGCATGTGGCTGATATTTTGTCCACCAAGGATAACACCATTTCTTCCATTATTAGAATCGTTCACAAGAGTTATGATCACAAGTCTCCCTCAAAACAAAACTAAGTATCATCCAACGCCGTCTCTTTCATTGTATCAAACATTGTTCCTAATAGTGTAAAAATTTATTATGAAGTAAAAGCAAAGGTAATAAGAAAAAAAAAAGAAGAAGAATAAAAAGGAACGACCGAAAAAAAGGGAATTCCTTCCAGATGTCCCACATGTCTCTTACCAGATTTGAATGTCCGTTCTTTTTTTGAGTGTCTTTGGAAAGATACATTCGATCCCTTGACGTTAAATTTAGTAACCAAAGGATGATGTGAAAATGATGATCTATTTTACTCTTTTCATAGGTGAATAAACACTTTTTTTCTTTTTTTTTTTCTAGTTAGATCTCATGATGATGATGATGATGATTTGTCGCTTAGTACACTACCGAAAAAGTCTTTTATTTCAATGACGTTCCCTTTCCTTTTTTTATTTTTTTCCCAGAGTATGCACTCCGCTTGGAGGAAGAAGGAGAAACGGAATATTTAAACCGATAAACTTAGAGTAAGGACCCTTGTTTATCATCCTTCTCACTTTCATGATCCAATCAAACTTATCATTGAACAAGGGTCTTCCATATTTTGAAAAGATGGGAATTTTTTGAAACGATATTTGTATTAGTTACACTATCTGGGAAACTATAATCATAAATAATAGTAAAATGATATTTTATATATTGTATGATTCATCATCTTTTTATTTTGGTTGAAAAAAAAAGGGTGTGATACCTTTTTGGGGAATTCCCATGGAATAAAGCGGCTTAAATTCTACCATTTAAAAAAAAAGTGCACCCTGTTTTCTTTTCAATAGAAGCGGGAAATCAAGAATGGTAGTACGAACTCTCAAATGTATACTCATATGGGAAAAATGGGCAAAGGAGGTAAACCTGAAAAAAACCGATCCCGTTTCGATCAGTCACCTTGATGACATAGGCAAGGGTATAAAAGAAATATTGATTATCATTAAGATACGATGACAGAAGGATATTCAAATGAAAAGAAGAGGAATGATTTGATACGACCAAATATAATAATGTACAATATTTTTTTTTATTAACGTCTTGATCAAAAGAAGATACTGTAAAATGGTCAGATTCCAATCGTTAGTTTCCAAAAAAGGATATCAATAGGAAGAATCATAATATGTATATAAGACTGTGAATAGTAATAATAAGAAAATATATAATTGAATACAAACAGATACAGAAATATAAAAATAGAAGAGAAGTAATGTATGATACTAAAGTTAAGGGTGATAATGAAAGGATAAAGGGAATGATGGTCATTGATAATGATGATAAATATAAACAGAAGAAGAAGAAGAAAAAAAAAATAATATGTATATGTGACCCTAAAGCTGGATCAAAGAAAAATTAAACGAATTCATCCTTGATATTTTCCATCTTGAGATTCCGTTTTCCTATATTATAAGAGTTTAAAACAAAAAAGGAATATTGATTGCTTTTTTTTTTTTTTTGCTCTACTTACCACTTTGACTCGCATTTCGATTCACATATATCACTTGCCGAGGTTCATAACCACCATATACAATGCGTTTCCCAGGTACCGTTCGACTTCTACGAAGTTGAGGTAATGTAGTGCGTGCAGTACATTCATCTTCACCCGGTACTATAGAATCCAGTCCTGTTCCCGAGAATGAGCCTGTTGCTAAGGAATAAATAGTTGATGCACGACGATCATTATCATCATACGATGTCATGCTGCCTTGAGACGATAATTTTCCATTGTTGGTCAGAGTAGAGTTTCGAGATTCATCAAGTCGATTATAACCAGTATTTTTTGTTGGTGTTTTCACTGTTATTTTTTCAAGATTGGTGGATTGAGGCATACTAAAGCTTTCTTGGTGTTCAATTAAAAACTGTAATACTTTTTGCGAATGTTTGTAACTGGATGGATTCAACCGATCATTTGGATGTGACAAAATACCCTAAATTAAAATTTAATACATCAATATAAGTATTACCTTTTTTTTTTTTTTTTTTTTTTTTTTTTTTTTTTTTTTACCGGTACAAATACAGCTGCCAAACAATCAGAAGCCATTTTTGTATATTTTGAAGCTGTAGAAAAGAGAGCCAACAAGTCCAGAAGATATAACAATAAATATTGATGAGGTAAAGGTAATTTTTCAATCAAGGTTTGAAAGGCATCCACTTTTTCGTCTTCAGAAGAGAATGTTTGATCTATACAAATAAACTATGAATTATTATCCTATACTTTATTTTCTTCTTCTTCTTCTATATTTTACCTATTGTTTCTTTGAATGAATAATAATAATCCAAAGTGATAACTGGTTCTGGAAGATGATTGATAAATCGTCGTAAAATACTAGCTGCATCATGAACACTGTATCCACGCCAATCTAATTGAGATCCATAGGTATCAGGTGTATCAAAAATAGTTTGTAACATTCGAAGTCGTCTTGCACTACCTGGTAACCGAAATATACCTTCCGTTGTCATGCCTATTAAAAAAAAAAAGTCAATCATATATGCTTTCATGTCATTCTTGTACTACATACCCTCTTCTTTTAAAAAAGATCCACATTTTGCCACAATGGTAGGAATGATACCATAACATTGAGATCCAGTATGATCGTCAATGTAAGATATACTTGAGTACGCATATTCGAGAGATTGTGTCAGAGGAATACCAAATACACCTTTGTCTATATTGAAATAAGTATAATTATTATAAAGATAAAAATAGTAATAGTTTTTTTTTTTTTTTTTTAACTTTACCAACACTAGGAACTTTCATATCTTTGAAATTCTCTGCTTTAGGATGAGCAGCTGTCACTTTTTTCCACCAACCACGTACCAAAGCTTTTTGACTACGAGTTAATACTCCAGGTATTTCAAAAGAAGACATATATATATTAATAAACTATTGAGAGTTTTGGTAATCAAGAAAAAAAAAAAAAAGGAGAGAAAGAAAGAAAGGAAAAAAAAAAGAAAAGAAAAAGGAAAAAAAAAAGAATGCTGGAATCGAAAAACGTAAACCATTCAATCCATTAAAGAAACATTATTGGTCAATTTCTTACATCAAAGAAAATAATGGTTTTTTTTTTCTTTTTTATCTACCAAAGAGACCAAAAAATAAAAAATTATTCATGTTTTATATGTTTATATTAAACATCAAAACAAAACACATAAAACATAATTTCATTACCTTTTTATTGGGTTATCATGCATTCCCTCATTTATTTATTTATTTAATCTATTGTTTGATTGAATTGAAACTAAAAAAAAAAAAAGAAAAAAAAAGAAATCTAAAACTCTACATAATTGATTGGAAGAATTCATTGTTCTCCGAATCATAATATGGAAGTTGAAGAAGAATATTTTTATTTTAAGTCAGATTAGAAACAAAAAAAAAAAAAGATAGTGAATTTAGCATAAACGAACAAATGATAACATATTATAATATCACGGAACTATTTTCCTTGTGACCCAACAAGAAACTTTGAAATCACTGCAAAAATTAAATATGGGCCAAAAAAAAAAGTGTCTATGCGGCAATTGAAAAATTTGTATCTTCTCTTTGCCAAGATTTGGATTTTCCTTTTTTTCCTTTCTGTTCTTCTAATTTACTATATATTTAATATCATGGCCACTTCACAAATACCACTTATTAGTGTACCGTTCAAACGTACAGATGATATTGATTGGATAAGTCCTTTAAGAAGATATATTGCTCAACATTATCAAGACGATCCTGAAAAATACACGCAAGAAACTTATTCTCTTAACCGCTTACGCCAAGATATTCGTGGTGCAGGAAAAGATATCACTGGACGTGATCTACTTTATCGTTATTTTGGACAATTAGAATTATTGGATTTACGTTTTCCCGTTGATGAAAAACACGTCAAAATTCTTTTTACTTGGTAAACCAAAAGAACAATAAATCACATTATTCTATTTATTTTAACTTTTTTTTTTTTTTTTTTAGGTATGATGCTTTTAGTGGACGAACAACTTCTCAATATTCGCTTGCTTATGAAAAAGCTAGTGTGATATTCAACATTGCAGCAACTTTATCAGCAATAGCATCCATGCAAAATCGAGCAGAACCCGATGGTCGTAAACGAGCTTTCCATTTTCTTCAAGCTTCGGCTGGTATGTTTGAATATATAAATGAAAACTTTTTACATGCTCCTTCCCAAGATCTCAGTCGTGAAACGGTACATTTATTGGCAGAACTCATGTTGGCTCAAGCTCAAGAATGTTTTTTGGAAAATAGTATACGTGAAAAGAAGAAGGATGGTTTGATTGCAAAGTTGGCGAGTCATGTAGTTTGGGTCTATGGTAATTTGGTCGATGATATTCAAGAAGCAACAAATGCACGAAGTGTTACTATCGACAAAGCATGGCTTTTAATGTGTCAGATCAAGCAAAAATACTATCAAGGTTTGGCTCAACAATATAAAGCATCTGCTTGTGAAGCTCAAGGCAATTATGGTGAACAAGTTGCTCGACTAGGTGTGGCTGAACAAGTAGGTAAAGAAGCTGCTGGAAAATTGGCGACATCTCTGGTGCAACAAGTAGCTAGTTCCTCAACAACAACGTCAGCATCAGGATCCCCAACAAGTCATGCAAATGGAACTTTACCTGCGGATAGTGGTATCGTATTACAAGAACTATGCAAGGCATTGGCAGCAACTTGTGGTGAAAAATACACAGCAGCTACTCGTGACAACGATATGATATATCATGAGCATGTCCCACAAGAATCTATTCTTACACCTATTGATCGATTGAAGGCTGTACAACCTATACCAATGGCAGAACTCTATGGTAGTGGTCAAACTGGTTCAGAGCAAATGTCAAAAGTGATTGGTGCGGATATTTTTGCCAAATTGATTCCTCTTAGTGTTCATGAAAGTGCATCTCTTTATTCGGAAGAACAAGCCAAGCTAGTACGTGCTGAAACCGACAAATGTGATGTGGCCAAGGCGGAATTAAAGGCATCCATGGAGTATATGAAGTTACCTCAATCTCTGGACAAATTCAAACATTCTGGTAATCCTTATCAAATTGACAAACAAATGGAAGACTTGATGTTACCTCCATCCAATATCTTGGCTCTGGCGGATGATGTTGCTAAAGAAGAAAATACTGGTCAAGGTGTACGCCAGAACATGGAACAACTAGAAACTTTGAAAACAAAAGCAAGAAACAGTTTGGATCAAGTGGGATTGAGTTTGGATCAAGAAACAAGAGATTGTGAAAGCATGCGGGTTAGTTTTTTTTTTTTTTTTTTTTTTTTTTTTTTTAAAGGAAAAAGAAAAGTTCTTTACTTATTATTTTCCCTCAATTTTTTTTTTCTTAGGTGAAATATGGTGATCTTTGGTTACAGGCACCTTCTGGAAGTTTGACAAGCCATTTCAGACAAGATCTTCGAAATCATCGACAATCTCTTGAATCCGGCACTCAGTCTGACAGCAATCTTTATCGACAATACGATTTGATTAAAAAAGATTTGGACATTTTACGACAAGGAAATCAAAACAGGGCATTGGAACGTATTTTTGTGGAGCAGTTAACATCGGCATTAGATCGTGATAACAGCAATAATAAGAAAGACGTTGGAGAAAATAGTCTATTGGATTTGGACATTGAATCTTCTGATACAACAACGGAAACCAATACATCTATCAAAGTACAACAAGTGGAAAACATCATCGACAAACTATTCAAATTGGAAAAAGATCGAAACGAAACTCTTCAAGACCTGAAAGAAAGAATGCAACAAGATGATATATCCCAACTTCTTATTTTGAACCGAAAAACCAATGCTGAACAACATTTGTTTATGTCAGAATTGGAAAAGTATCGACCTCATCAACAACGTATTACTGCAACTATTCATCAACAACAACAATTGATTCAAGAACTGGGTACAGCATTTAAATCATTGATGGAAGGTGAAGAAGCTAAAAAGTTACAAGCTCAATGGGACAAGGTGGAACGACAAAAACGACTTTTGATGGATCAATTAGTACGAGCAAGAGATTCTTATCTAGATGTGAAAAATGGACTTGGGTAATATATATAAATATTATGAAAACAAATCAACAAGTCGATTAACATCAATAAATTTTGTCTTATAGGAAAGGAATTGAATTCTATACAAATTTGAATGAAGCTATTGATGCTTTGGGAAGAAATACTCAAACATTTATTGAAGATCGTGGACGTGAACGACAACGTATGGCGGATGATTTGGAGACAACACAAAGCAATAGGGAACAAGAGATACTGAAAGAACGACTCAATATGTATACAGCCAGTGCACCTGAAATATCTCAGTTAGTGGATAGAACGAAGCAAATGACCATGAATGGACAGTCATCAACATCACCATCTTATAGTTATCCAAAGACAACCCAACCACCACCGCCACCACCTGTACCTCAACAATATTCTCAATCTTCATCTAATAGTCATCATTTTTCAATTCCTGCTCAAACTTCACATCCTCCTTCTTCTTCTTCCGTATCGCAGAGTTATTACAATTCGAATGGAGTCAATGCACCTCTTCCTCATCATCGACAAGATTATACCTCCACGATGTATATGTCCTCGGTACCTCCTCCATCGATGATCTCGGCTCCTAGTTTGTACCAACAACAACCATCACCACAACATCAACATTATCAGCAATCATATCCACAACAACAGCAGCATCAGCAGCAGCCAATAAGTAGTAGTTATTCATCAGGACCGACTCCTCCACCTATACCTCCATTACCTTACAATATGGCATCTACTGGTTACCAACAACATCAAATGATTTCACCTCAGGGGCAACAACAACAACAACAACAACAGCAGCAGCAACATATTTCCCTTCAGCAATATCCTACCTACCAGTCACAACAACCTCAACAACCAATGTATTCACACCAACAATCACCACCATCTGGTCAACAAAATTATTTTAATGGGTCATTGATGGATTAGCCTTAGTTATATAGTATTATAGTTTATTATTATTATTATTTTTATTATTATGTATTATGTATTATGGATATATGAATAAAAAAGGAAGCTCATTTTAATTTGAAAATGACAAGAAAGAGAAAAAAAAAAGGGGGGGAGGAATACGGTGGTTATCGAGCTTCATGGTGACACAGCATGTTTACAAAATATCTTCTTCTTTGGTACCTTGATGGTTGTTGTCATTACTATGGTTACTATTTTACCGTTTATAATTATTTACAGTATTGATGGATAATGAGAGATAAGAGTAGGACCAAAAAAAAAGGTTCTTTGACTTTCTCCCTTTGTTACTCCCTTCTTTATTTCTAAACTTTATCTTCATAAAAAACGTGAATGAGTATGAATCTTGTTTCCCTCTCCTTTTTATGTTTATTGGTATTTTTTTACTTCAATGGAAAAGAAAATGACTGAAAGGTAAATTACTTGATTAAGAAGCTTGGATTCTCTTTTTTTTTTTTCTCTCTCTCTCTCTCTTATTTTTTTTTTTTTGCTGGCATGATCTTGTAGGCCTATTGAACGCTAGGATCCAAAATAAAAAGTCTAGGTGGTCCCTGCCCTTTTTGTCTTGACTCCTTATTTGGCATGTTGAGATATTTTTTTTTTCTGTTTTACCCCTTGATCTGATCTTTCTTCCATTCTTGTTTCTTTTTGAAATGACATTCAGAAAATTTACCATCATCTTATATAAAAAATAAAAAAAATATTAATAATGTAGAGGTAAGAAAATTAATTGATTACCATATCTTGTGCACATGTAAATATAAAAGCAATAGTTAGACATATATATGTGGGCTTATGTGTGTGTATGACAAGAATCATAAAAAAAAATCAACCTCCCTGTCTTCTATTTTCGCATTGTTGCGCCAATCCCCTAAAAAAAAAATTGGAAGTATGATAAGAGACTGAAGGAAATTAGATGTTCATTTTGTAATGATCAAGATATTAATACAAAATGAGGGTGATGATTCAATAACAATAATAATAAGAAGAAGAAAAAGAAAATGATGAAGAAGATATAAAAATGATGACTTTTATATATATATATGATGACTCCTTAAGATTGGTGATATTTTTATGATACATGATCTTCTTTTTTTTTTTTTGATTTCTCAAATGATGATTATATTAAGATTTTGCATGATCGTATCTTACTGATTAGATAGTTTCCGGGTTAGTGCTCCGCTTACTGACAAAGTAAAAAAAAAAAAAAAAAAAAAAAAAAAAAAATTACAACAATAATAATGACAACACCACCTCAAAAAGAGATCTATAAGTAACATTAATAAATGAGGAGGTAGTGTACGACGAGAAAAAAAAAACTTTTTTTTTTTGTAAACTAGTCAAGATAAAAGAAGTTTAAAGTAAATAGGGGTCGATTATTTGTATCCTGTCTCTTCGGATTTAAATTGATTGGCTAATACTCAATCACCGCCAATCCCATTAAAGAACTCGATTTTTCTAGTTAGACTTTTTCTTGATTTTTTTTTTCTCTTTCTTTCTTTCTTTCTTTCTTTTTTTTTCTTTTCTTTCTTTCTTTACTTTTTTTATTATTATTATTTTCAAACCTTTGATAATACGGTTACCCCCACCTTCATTCTCTCTTTTACAATCTTTTAAAGCAATTTTATTCTTATATTTTTTTTTATTAAGAGTGATTTATTATTTAGGCGTTTGTCTTCTTTTTTTTTTTTAATTTTATTTTTTATTTTTTCCATATTACCATAAATCATTATATCCTTTCCTCTTTTGATTGTCACTGTTATCCATCAATCTGTGGCATCCTTTTTTATTTATTTATTATTTTATTCAATTTTTATAAATCATCAACGGAACTATTAAACTATGGGGTGCTGTCAATCCAATGAATCTCAAGAAGGCAAAGCTCGAAATGAAGAAATCGAAAATCAAATTAAACGTGATAAAATCAACATGCGAAATGAAGTCAAGTTATTATTACTCGGTAAAACAAATCAAAAGAGAAAGTGCGGTTAATAAATTATGCAAAACATGTCACTTGTCAATAACTTTTATTATTTGGATTGGTTCGGAGATACTAATGAAAAATGGTGTTGTGTGTGTGTTTTGCATTTATACTCATTTATTTATTTATTTTTTATTGATTTAGGTGCTGGTGAATCAGGTAAATCAACTATCTTGAAGCAAATGAAATTGATTCATGATGGTGGATATTCTCGTGATGAAAGAGAAGCATTCAAGGAAATCATCTTTTCAAATACTATACAATCTATGCGGGTCATTTTGGAAGCAATGCAACATATGGATGTCAGTCTAGAAGATGATCATCGACATTATGCCACTATCATCATGGAACAACCTCCTCAAATTGAACGTGATTTCTTGCCACCTGAAGTTACTCAAGCCGTTAAAATCTTATGGAAGGATCCTCATTTATTAAGTGTATTTGAAAGAAGTCGGGAATATCAATTGAATGATTCCGCTAAATAGTAAGTCTGTGTCTATTTCTCCTTGTTTCTTTTTCCTCCCTCTTCTCCCCTTAAAAAGGAAATCAATCAAAAGACTCACTCCTTTTTTTTTTTTTTTTAGTTATTTTGATTCTATTGATCGTATTGGTGATGTCAATTATATTCCTACTGATCAAGATGTATTACGTTCTCGTGTCAAGACTACTGGTATTACTGAAACTACATTTGTTATTGGTGATTTAACTTATCGAATGTTTGACGTTGGTGGACAACGATCTGAACGCAAGAAATGGATTCATTGTTTTGAAAATGTCACAGCCATTATTTTCTTGGTAGCTATATCTGAATATGATCAAGTTTTAATTGAAGATGAAACTGTGGTAAAGTATATATATATATATATATATATATATATATATACGCATATGTTATCTTGATGTGAATTAATCACTCCTTTTTTTTTTAAAATATATATATATATTGATCTTTATTTAGAATCGTATGCAAGAAGCTTTGACTTTATTTGACTCTATTTGCAATTCTCGTTGGTTTGTGAAAACATCAGTGATCCTGTTTTTGAACAAGATTGATATTTTCAAGGAAAAATTACCCAAACATCCACTCAAAGAAAGTTTCCCTGATTTCTCTGGTCCAAACACGTATGATGCAGCTGCTGATTATATCTTGAATCGATTTGTGTCCTTGAATCAATCTGACTCTAAACAAATCTATACCCATTTTACTTGTGCTACTGATACGGAACAGATCAAATTTGTTATGGCTGCCGTCAATGATATCATTATTCAAAATAGTTTACGTGATGTTGGTTTATTGTAGACTTGCTCTTCTCTTTTTTTTTTTTATTTTTATTATTCACTTTATTATCTTCACCTTTAGTATAATACCAATGTTTCTTTCTTCTCTTCTCCTTAGTTTATCATTCCATTCTTCTTCTCTCTTGGTCAACAGGAGTACAACAACAACAACGACAACAAAAAAAAATATCATTATGTGTATATCTTCTTTCTTTTATATCAGTCCCTTTTTCTTTTATTTTTATTTCTTTTGATGATTCTTATATTGTATTAGAGAAATAAAAATTGGATTCAATCTTTTTATATATATATATTTATTTTTGTTTCTCCTTAACAACTCTCCTCTTATTAGTGTTCCATATTTGGAAAAAAGGTATATAGTAGTGGCTTGATTACCATCACATGATTTCAAATAATAAATAAACAACAAATAAATGATAAAGATATATCATCATGATAAATGATTGTTAATATATATATATATAATGAAATGATATACCACAACTTTAATATCAGAGAAAAAAGCATTTGTTACCATTATAAGCCCCGTCTTTTTTTTTGATTCTTAAAAATTCAAACGAAGATGCGGACAAGAATTTAGCCAATGATGATTTAATCAGGCCTGTTCCATTTAGATGAACTTGGGTTAGATTTGTTTATTTGCTCTCTCTTGTCGTTCTTTATGATCAATATCATGTTGGGAATTTAAGCCGGATCCGCCTAATTGGAAACTGAAATATTGTGACCTGGAGGATGTGATTGACTTTTTCAACATACATTATTTTATCAAATAATAACAATCAAATATATAAATGAAAATCTTTTTTTTGTGTCACCAAAACAGGAGAGAGGTCGAGAATCTATAGAATATGACACTTGATTGGATAGTTATTTATATTCTCTTTGGCTATTTTTTGATCTTCATAAATGTGAGTAACGGGGATCGAAAATAGAATGGGGTGCTTATTCCCCCCTTTTTTTTTTTTTATTCTCTTCGTTTTCCCTTTTTTTTTTATTCTTTCCTTTTTCTTTTCTTTTTTATTATTATTTTCTATTTACATACCCTTATATATACATATATACATACATAGATAGATAAATATATATATGGTGGATATTACTTTTCAATTCGAAGCATTCAGTTTTAACGGCATTTGTCAAACGGTCGCTTTATCCTTATGTCCACTCATTGGCTCATCAGATGGAATAGAACCAGTTTGTTATTCACGTAATGTCGACTTGGCTGGCAATCTTATATTTCAACCAGGTAAAAAAAAAAAAAAAAAAAAAAAAGAAAAGAAAAAAGTTGTTTATTATTATTATATCATATGTTTAATTTAATCTTCTATATTTTTTTTTTTTATTATTATTATTAGCTACAATGATTATTGATATTGTTGCTATTATTATGGCCGCTATTATGATTTATCATATTCGATCTAAATATACCGCCGTTGGTCGAAAAGAAATTGTTATGTTCTTTTATTTATATATGATCACCATCTTTCTTGAAATGTTACTAGTCACTGGTATTATTCCCACTTCTTCTGCCGTCTATCCAGTAAGTTTTGTTTTTTGATTCATCATTATCATCTTTGTTATCTTCTTATTCATTATTATCATTTCATTATGTACTCACCTTCAACTATTATCATGATCATAACATATGAACTTATCTTTTCTTTTCTTTTCTTCTTTTTTCCCTTTGATAGTGGTTTACTGCAGTTCATATTGGATTAATTAGTGCTACCTTTTGGTGTCTCTTATTGAATGGTTTTGTTGGATTCCAGTTTGCTGAAGATGGTACTCCATTATCTCTTTGGGTAAGAAAAATAATAATAATAAAAAAAATAAATAAATAAATAAATAAACATTTACACTTAGAATCACATATACTAAATTCATCATCATGCTTCTCATGAATACCCTCCTTTTTTCATTTCTCCTTATTTGTTTATCTTTTTTATTTTAGTCAATTCGTATTAGTTCTTTGATCATTTTCCTCATTGTAGGCTTTATCTCTATAGCTACATTCCAAAATTTGGGTCCATTCAAAGCAAATAGTCCTGGTGCATTATGGGCATTTTACTTTATTATCAATGGTGTGGCTTTCATTGTCTATGTTATTTCTCAAATCATTCTTGTTGTCAATACTTTGGATGATCGATGGCCTTTGGGTGATATCCTGTTTGGTACCGCATTCTTCATTGTTGGACAAGTCTTGATGTATATCTTTTCAGTAGTAATTTGTGATCAAGTGAAGCATTACGTTGATGGATTATTCTTTGGTACTATTTGTACGTTATTGGCAGTGATGATGGTTTACAAGTATTGGGATTCTATTACTAAAGAAGATTTGGAATTCTCAGTTGGATCAAAACAAAATGTATGGGAAGTCAAAGAACTTATGGCCGACGATGAATTATCTCAATCTTATCCTCAACAAACCCCTCCTCCTCCTCCTCCTCAACAACAACAACAACAACAACAACAACAACAACAGTATCATCAACAACCACATCATCCTCCTCCTCAACAACAACAGCCTTATGGTCAACAATATCATCAATATCAACAACAACACCCTTTTTAAAATAGTGATGAATTTCTTTTATAGTTTTTGGTTGAATTTTTTTTTTTAATGATTCCCTTCAAATAAATAAACTTTTTTTAGTGTATCTTCTTTTTCTACAATCTGATTTTTGCGGTGATTCAATCCTGATATTTCTCATTTTCTTTTTCGTTTTTTTTTTTTTTTTTTTTTTTTTTTTTTTTTTTTTTTTTTTTTTTTTTTTTTTTTTTTTTTACTGATCCTATTTTTAGTTTTGAACTCTCTTGTCACTCAATGAACACTTCCATTCCTCCTCCAACAAAGGAAGAAACACAGTCTATATTAAAATCACTTGTACAAGGAAACAAATACAATAAGGTAACAACAAGGACAATAAATCCTTTTTTTTTTTTTTTTTTTTTTACTTGTTTTAAAATGAATACAGTTTTCTCATTAATCCTTTCACTTATATATATCACTGATTAGGTATGTTTTGACTGTCATGCTAAAGGTCCTACTTGGGCTTCCATCGATTTCGGTATCTTTATTTGTCAAGATTGTTCGGGTGCTCATCGTAATCTTGGAGTTCATATTACTTTTGTCAAGTACTGTATTAAGATTGGTCACACAAAAGTGAACTATTCACTCATAATATACTTTTTTTTTTCTTTCTTGTAGATCCATCTTGCTTGATTCTTGGACTTGGTTACAACTAGAAAAAATGAAACGTGGAGGCAATCAAGCTGCTATGGATGCTCTAGGAAATAGTGTACATATCAAAGACATTCAATTGAAATACAATAGTCGTCAAGCACAGCACTACAAACGCCAATTGGAAAAGAAAGTCGAACTAGAGCTACCTACTACTACTACTACTGCTACTACCTCCGCTAATGTCTTTACAATTCCATCAACAACAAGAACAACAACAGCAACATCAGCAACAATAGATATGCCACATATCGATTTACTGGATCTTAGTGACAGTCCAAATTTAGTGGATACAAATATCAAGACGGATCTATTGGTAGATATTGATACGGCTCCAGGATTCCATGATATTCCTGTATCTCAAACAAACACAGCATCAGATATGGGAGCAATTCAAGATGATAATGCTTTTTTTACAAAATGGGAAAATCAATCTAATGATGACAATAGCAGCAACAATCACGGCAATGTATCTTCTACTACCGGGACAACGACAAGGACATTTCGAAATAAACCACGACGGCATGCTCAACAATCTCGAATAGGAGCCAAAAAACTGGGACAGAACGTCAAATTCAACTATGATGAATCAAATGCGAATACTTCTACTCATCAACAACATAATACCAGTACACAGTTGTTAGATGAACAAGCCTATACGATACCAATATTAGATAAACCTTCTGTACCGATTTCTTCACGTTTGACATATTCTCCACAGTCACCGAGCAATGACGGTAATGCCAATTCAAAGAATGGAATCAATGGAATACAACAACAAGAGAAAGCAAATGACCGATGGACAGCAAAAAAAATGACTGAAATCGATAGTGATATCAATGACGATGATGATGATGGCAAGGATCGATTAGGGATGGCATCATATCACTGGAACAACAAAGAAAACAACAGATTTTCCACTCACAATACAGCAAAAGATAGCCGAAAAAAAGACGAGGATACCAGTGCTCGAGATCGATTTGGAAATGCAAAATCCATCTCATCAGATCAATACTTTGGACGAAACGATTATGATCCTCATCTTGCAGCAGAACGTTCTACAAAACTATCACAATTCCAAAATGCAACAAGCATTTCATCTGATCAATACTTTAATCGTCAATCAACAGCATCATCAGCATCAAGGGATATGAGTGGTGGATATATTCGTAGTACAGGCACCTATCGATCCAATAGTAACAACAATAATAATAGAAACCCACTCTCCAAGAAATTACTAACAGCTGCTGTGAAAGGGGCTTCCAAATTACATCAGGCTTTATCCGAAATGGAAGTAAGTTATCAAAAAAAAAAAAAAAAGAACCTAATATTGATATATTTTTGGGATATGTCTTTATGATAGCGTCGATAAATTTGAAATCTTTTTATGCTTCTCTCAAAGTCACACATGCGGGACAGGCGGATATCCAAACCATCCACCTTTTTTTTTTCTTCCTCTGTTTTTCTTTTTCCATCTTCCCTTTTTGTACACTACCATTCAATCTTTTTTTTTTATTACCATTCTTATCTATTTCCTATATACATATCATACACTATCATGTCCTCTAGATTAGCGAAACAATCTTTAGATCTTTTAATAAAATCAAACGACAAGCAGAAAAAAGTCGAAAAACCACCCATTCCAACGTTGAAGCGATTACCCAAAACCAAGACTGGATTGAAAAAGATCAAATATGAACTTCGATATGGTCAACACAAACGATTGAAATTAGAAAGACTAGAACAAAAAAAGAAAGAAAATCCTATTGGTAAGATTTACCCACAAGATATGAAATAAGGGGATGTTGGTGTGACCATCAATTGGTATTTACTTTGGTTTCTTTATTAGATGAATTGGCACTAAAAGAAGAGACAGATAAGAAGACATTAGAACGAACAATTTCTTTGTTATCATCAAGGTGGAAAGCATCTAATGTAGAACGATCCATTCATGAACAAGTAAGGACAAAAAAAAAAAAAAACCAGGATGGGTTGATAAAGAAAGACCAGCTTTATATGACTTATATATACATTTTTTTTTTCATCTTGTAGACATTGGCTAAAAAACAAAAAAACAAGCGATAGGATGTACAATATATTTTTTTTTTTTTGATTATATACGACATGATTTTAGGCATAATTTGATGATTTGTTGAACTAGGGTTTAGATATAGTTAGAATGTTTATGTGTGTTTGAATAAAGAATGTGTTTTTTTTTAAAGAAGAAAAAAAATTGTTTGAAATGAATTACCTTTTGATTTGGGACGAGAACGAGGACGAGAATAGGTAACGACGGTCGATGTGGAAGCATAAGTGACTTTACGAGGGGATTGTTTCACTACAGGTTTCGATCCATCATACCAAGAATTCAATACAGGTAAAGTATCATATAAGGATTGATGTGTACAAGTCATGTTTTCCAAAAAGTGAACATAGAATGAAGAAAAAAAAAAAAAAAAAGGAAGAAGAAAAACAAAAAACATAAGAATTAGAATAAATAGTGAATACATACAACAAATTACTGTTACCCCTGAATCTATCTTTGAACCGATGTTAATTCCACCTGACAACTAGATTGTTTCAACTCTTCTTTAGGATAGAATAGAATTCTAAAATGTTCATATTTGATTAGTGAAAATTATGTGGGTATACAAAGCAGATGAATATCATCAATGACAATGTATTGGGTTGGGTTTCCATTTATGGTGTTCCTTTGCAACATGGCAACAAGTTCTCAACATCATATAAATATTTTTCAACCCCGCGTTGATATGTGTTACACATTTGTATAATAATATCTCTCCTGTTCAATAAAAAAGAAGAGAAAGAGGCAAAGATTCACTAGCGACTGAAGCAAAAAAAAAAAAAAAGATTTTCTTTCTTTCCTCTCCCTTTCTTTTCTTCTTTTCACTGTTTCTCACTCCCCTTTCCTTTTCTAGTCCCCTTTCCCCTCATTTTTTTTTTTTTTTACTCTTCTTTGCACACAAGAAGTTAAAGTTGCTCCCTGAACTCCTACTACTTTTTGTTTTCTTTCATCCTTCATCACTTTTCTTTTATTTTTTTTTCTCTTCTTTATTTACTCAATTGTTTAACTCGTTATTATTCCTCTTATCATCATAAACTTTTATTATGACTGGTAAATATTAAAAAAAAAAGATGAAAACCAATAATGTTGTCAGGAACACTCGTTTTCTATTTATTAACTTTTTCTTTTTTCTTTTAATAGACCAACAAGAACAACAACCACAAACCAATGGTACTTCACAAACGGTAATAAACATTCAAGATGAAAAAAAAAAGATTAATTCATTCTTTTACCATCTTGTTATTAGATTAATGTAGTCCGTAAGAAACTTCAAGGTTATGTAGGTTTTGCCAATTTACCTAACCAAGTTCATCGCAAGTCTGTCAAAAAAGGTTTCCAATTCACTGCCATGGTTGTTGGTAAGGTTTCTTCCAAAAAAAGAAAGAAAAAAAAAAGAATGGATAGGAGGTCGTGTTATTGTCATTTTTCTCTTTTTCTTTTTTCTTTTCTTTTTTTTTTTGACTCCCTTTTGAATCAATTCAATCAAGTCTTTATAACCATTCTCCTTCATCATCTGACTCAAATATATCTTTTTTTTTTCAATCATAGGTGAATCGGGTTTGGGAAAATCAACTTTGGTTAATACTCTTTTTAATACTGGATTATATCCTCCTAAAGAAAATGTGGAATTATCTCATGAAAGTCCTCAAACTGTCGAAATCAAGTCTATTACATCTGATATCGAAGAAAATGGTGTCAAATTGCGTTTGACTGTAGTTGATACTCCTGGTTTTGGTGACTTTGTCAATAATGAAGAAAGGTTATATTATTTTCATCTTTTATATATATATATATATTTTATATTGACATTTCTTATTTTTTTTTATTAATATCAGCTGGAAACCTATTTTGGATAATATCGAATCTCGTTATGATACTTATCTTGAACAAGAAAATCGTGTGAATCGTCGTCGTACTGTGGATAATCGCATTCATGCTTGTATTTACTTTATCACTCCTACTGGTCATGCGTAAGTAGCCTTACAAAAAAAAAAAAAAAAAGGAAAACTCAAGAATGTTTTTATTTTATATATTAGATTAAAACCATTAGATATTGAATTTATGCGTCGATTGCATACTCGTGTCAATTTGATTCCTGTGATTGCTAAGGCTGATACATTGACCGAAGAAGAAGTATTAGCTTTCAAGCAACGTATTTTGGCCGATATCAGTTACCACAAGATCCAAATCTATCAAGCTCCTGTGTACGAATATGATGATCAAGAAACTATAGATGAAAATCGTGAAATCATGTCCAAGATTCCTTTTGCTGTTGTTGGATCTGACAAGGAATTTGATGTTGATGGTGGTCGTCGTGTCCGTGGTCGTAAATATCCTTGGGGTGTGATCGAAGTAGACAATGAAGAACATTGTGATTTTGTTAAACTTCGTCAAATGCTTATCAGGTAAAAAAATAAATATAAAATAAAATATTGAATTGACTCTCATTCAATTATAGAACTCATATGGAAGAACTCAAGGAATATACAAATGATGTATTATATGAAAACTACCGTACTGAAAAGCTATCAGCCATGGGTATTCAACAAGATCCTTCTGTATTCAAGGAAGTCAATCCTGTACAAAAGATGGAAGAAGAACGCCTTGCTCACGAACAAAAGTTGGCCAAGATGGAAGCGGAAATGCGTGCAGTATTCCAAGCCAAGGTACAAGAAAAGGAAACCAAATTGAAACAATCTGAAGAGGAACTCTATGCTCGTCACAAGGAAATGAAAGAAGCTCTCGAAAAACAACGTGCCGATTTGGAAGATAAACGTCGTCGCTTGGAATCCGGTAGACCTATGACTCCCGAAAAGGCAAAGAAGAAAGGTTTCTCATTCAATAAGTAATGGTCGTGTCCTCCCAATTTTCTCTCCTTTTTTTTTTATCCTATCCTATATTATATCTTTTTTTTTTCCCTATTACTATTATTATTATTATTATTATTATTATTTTTCCTCTTCCTTTGCTTATCTTTTCTTCTTCTTTTTTTGTTATATCAATGCTTCTAATAAAGACTTCTTTTTTTTTTTAATCATCTTTGATTGTGATGATCCTCTTTTCTTTTTATTCCCCTCATTATAGGTAAGTAGATAAAATTTGTATGATCAAGATTCATGGATAGTGGCATGATGGTGGTATGATGATAGGATGACATAATGAACTGGTTAGTGACAATGGATAGATGATACTAAACTTAGAAATTTAAAGCAATCCAACCTGGATTTTACGTGCCAAAAAAAAAAGGAACGATCATTGATGACATTGCCCATACACAAAGTCATATTCTTACTGTCATTACTCTGATTGTTCCTTCCATGTTGTTATCAGTATTTCTACTATTCTCTGTAATCATTAGTAGGCAATCATAATCTACTGTTTATTATTTTTAATTCATTCCATCATGCATCATCATCTATCACTTGCCACAGTCGTCATTATCAAACGTACCCACATTGATCAATAAAACCAGTCTCCACTATGAATAAAACAAAATAAATAACTCTCCAATGTTTATTTTCTTTTCATAAAAATTGGGGGGGGGGATGTGGTGATAAATTACAATCAATAGCTATGTGTATAAACAAATTATAATATATAAGAAATGATTAACGAAATGAGATTATCCTAATTAAAGTTGATCCAAGTGAATTCGTTTTGATGGTAAGCCTTGACCAGGTACATCTACAAAGAGTTGCTTATATTGCCATTGACCCTTTTCATCCTTGATCATTTCCAGCATTCCTGTACCTTCATTGTTGGGTCCTTCCACATAAAACTTCATAAACAAATGAGGATTGCCTTGATGATCATCCATAATTTGATGTTGAATTCGTCGATTTCTTTTCATACGATTACGACTGGGTGCACCATGACCTTTAATAGGAGTCCCCAAAATATCAACAAGCTACAAAAAAAAAAATACATATTAGATAATTTGTCAAAGTATTTATAAATATCCTTTTTAACCTCTTGATTCTTCCTGGCACGATCCACAGCATCCGAGAAGATATTAGTAGGACTCTTTGAATTGAAGAATTCGGATCCTACACCATATAAAAGTCCAGCGGTGACTAATAAACCAACACCTACAATGGTAAAGTTGAAACTAGCCTTGGAAGCAGCCGCAACTATATTAATAATTGATATAGAAAAAAAAGATAATATGAATCATAACAATAAGATTGTATTGGTTTTGTGTAAAAAAAAAAAAAACTACCTTTTTGAGGAGGAGTTAGGTCTTTCCATTGTTTGACAGTTTGCTGTGAAATCAAGGATTGTCGGTTATGTGTTGCTTTGTTAGACGAAGTGTTTGTGATAGATCGTGTGCACGTTGGTATCGTACGTCGTGGTGTAGGTAGAGATCTAAATAATATAATTGGTTCTAGTAAGTAACTCTGTTTCTTGGCTTTTTTTTTTCTATCTTTCCGTGTTGTATACTAAGGAAGATAGAGAAAACCATCCTCTATTTATATTTATTCATTTACCTTATGGTTCGTAACATTTTCTTTTTTGTCTATAGTATAGTTAAAAAAAAGAAAAATGAGAAAGAAGTAAAAAAAAAAAAAAAAAAAAAAAGCAACCTAATTTTTCACACCCTTTCAAAAAAGCCGCGCGAGTCAACCGCCCACAATGAGAATTGTGAACAAGACAGCAACCTTTTTTTTAAGTGTCCGCATTTAGTTTTCTTTTTCCTTTTTTCTTCTTTTTCTTTTCAACCTCTGCTTATTTTTCGTTGACCATGTCTTGGCGTAGAATTGATATTGACCAATACGATGAAGATGCTTATACTGAAGATGAAATCTTGGCCGATTTTGATACTGGACTATCACCTGAACAAATAGAATCCAATGCTCAAGTACGAAGTTCAGATGTACGCAACTTGATGACGAAGTAAGAATAGATTATTATTCACCATCATCCTCTTTTTTTTTTTTTTAAAAAAAAATTAACTCTATCGTATTTTTTTTTCTTCTCATTCTTACTGATGATAGGGGTGATTTGAATAGTGCTTTGATTCGGTCATTGGAAGATCCTCCTTATGGTCGAAACGTGGATAACGCCAAGGTATGTATTATATATATATATGTGTGTGTAAATATACCATCTATATAGTTATGCAATGTCTATATAGAGGTCTATACATGTATGGATTGGTGAAAATGTGACTCACCTATTTTCTTTAATGTTTTTTTTGTTTGACTGTATATAGTTCAGCAGCACACAAACCGTCGTGGACCTTTTGAATGGATTCCGTGCCACAGATATTCCTGATACTATCAAGAACCTTAGCTCCGATCAACGTGATGTATTGATGAAATATCTTTATGCTGGTATGGCGAAACCTGAAGTCTTCAATTCTAGTGTGTTATTAACTTGGCATGAAAAGGTATAAATTAGTTGTCAAAACTTCTTTTTACTTATTTATTATTCTTGTATCTTATTCTTTAGTTAACTGAAGTGGCTGGGACTGGAAGCATTGTGCGTGTTATGACTGATAAACGTACTTTAGTATAATTATTTAGAACTGATCATCTTGTTCTCTATTTTTTTTCTTTTTTTTATTATTTTATTCTTTCTTCGTATGCATACCTCTGTGTAGTGTCTGTATTTGTACAAATCCCCGACTTATTCCATTTATCAATACAATAAAGAACTTTTGATCATTCAAACTTATCTTTTTATTGTACTATGTTAAAATTTAGATCTATAGAAACTCAGTGTCGATCATTCAATCGTTATTCAGCACACTATATCATTCATCCAAATCACCCACATCTTCCCTTTTCAAAACAATCATCTAATATCATCCATCATCATCATCATCATCATCATCAACGATCATCAAGACTTGATATTATAATATGATGAATCAATGCTAATCATGATTATGTTTTTCGTCCATTCTATAACTATTTCAGATCCGCGAGTGTTAGACAGAGATCAAGGGTAAAACTTTGAATACGAAAAAAAAAGATTTTATGTAATCAATTAAAGTGTACTAGATATAATATATATACGGAAAGCTTACCGAATGAAATTTTTTATTTTGCTTACCATTCAAAAGATTTCAAGTACCGGTTTGACGGGCAAAAGATTTCAAGCTAGAATTGGAATTGGTCATCGCAAAAACTACTAGAGTCACACAGTGATTTCCTTTTCAGCTTTTGTCAGCATTTTTTTCATTCAAAGGTTATTTCTTTTACCCCTTTTTCTTTTTCTTTCTTTTTTTTTTATTTTTTTTTTATTTTTTTTTTCTTTATCAATCTTATCTCTTCCTTTCATTACCTTCATATAACAATGGCCGCCATTACTAAACAAACTCTACCACCTGTAGGTCATGCTATTGCTGGATCAGCTGGTGCTATGTTCGCTTTAGCTCTTGTCTATCCTTTAGATATGTAAGTTTGAAACAAAGTGTGTATTATAAAGTCATAGGATAATATATTAAATGATATATATATATATATGTCTATTTTTTATGAAATAGTATCAAAACCCGTATTCAAGTTCAAGCTAAACACGACAAAGTAGACGACAGTGAACATTACAAGTCGGCATGGGATGGTATCTGTCAAATAGTAGCCAAGGAAGGATTGAGTGGATTATATGCTGGACTGGGTAGTTCGTTGCTTGGTACGGCATCCACTAACTTTACGTATTTCTATTGTTATTCTTTTATCCGGGAACAATATAATCAGAAATTCAACAATGCTCGTGGCGGAACGTTATCGACTGGAATGGAACTATTACTAGGTGCTGCAGCAGGTGCGTTGACCACGTTGATTACTACTCCTGTTTCGGTAGTGACCACTCGACAACAAACACTTCCTGCTGAAGAACGTCAAGATGTGATCCAAACTTGTCAAACAATCATTGCTGAAGAAGGTGTAGCTGGTCTCTGGCGTGGTATTCGACCTTCTCTCGTACTTTGCGTCAATCCTGCCATCACTTATGGTAGCTTTGAAAAAATCAAACAACTGGTACTCCATCTTCTTCAAACTTCTATCATGACCCCTGGTGCTGCTTTTGGTGTCGGTGCCCTCAGCAAAACCTTGGCCACTATCATCACATACCCCTATATCATGGCTAAGGTTCGTATGCAATGGAAACCATCAAAGGAAATGCAAGGAAAGGTTGATGCTTACAAGAGTGCATATGATGTGCTTGCTCGTGTGATCAAACAAGAAGGATTCTTTGGCTGGTACAAGGTAGGAGACAAAAAAAAATAGTGTTTGATTGGTTAGCATGTGATATTGGAACTAATTTTTTTTTTTTTTTTTTTTTTAGGGTATGAGTACACAAATCACAAAAGCTGTCCTGTCTCAAGCTTTATTATTCATGATGAAGGATATCTTTACAAACTATACTATTTTGGCCTATGCTCTTTTAAAGAATGCAAAGAAATGAATTAGATTAGACGTTATATTTGAATAGATCATCTTTCCCCATATATTTCCCTTCCAATTTTGGCCCTTCCTTATGTATAATATCAATAATTAATAAAAAAAAAAAAGGAAATACAATTTGAAATAGATAAAAAAAAAATTGAAATGATGATGATGATGAACAGAAAGAAAAAAAAATAAAAAAAAATCAACTAGTTTGAAGAATGTTGTTTATTGAAGACAAATTTATTACAATGATACTAGTTCTAATTCTATGATAACCTACATGAAGTGGATCCATTCATTTTCATCACACCCGACATGGATAAATAATAGTCAAAAAGTGTTTTCCTCCTAATCCTTTACCCCACACAAATATACAACAAGATTCAAACACCGTAACAATAAAGTAAAAAAAAAAACCACTGATTTGGTAGAATAAACAAAGACAAAAAAAAAAAAAAAGAAGATAGGTTTGAGTAGCTTGTCTTTTTTTTTTTTTTTTAGTTTATTTTCAAATGAACTTATTGAAATTTTACCATATTTCCATCGACAATAATCGAGATAGCCAGCAATCACATACACAAAAAAAAAAAAAGAAATAAAATAAATAAAATAAACATATAAACTATAAGAAGATGAAGAAAGAAAAAGAAAGAGAGAGAAAGAGAGATAAATGAGGAGATATGTTCTTTTTTTTTTTTTTGTCCATCATATAGTTATAAATCAATTTCTTATTTAGAGAAGCGACGATTATATTCATCTTCAACCATATACGATGCACGAATCTAAAGTAAAACGAAAATAACGTAAATACATAATTATTAATAGGATCTTGTTTTTATACTATACCTGTCTTCCACCAAACCATCTTCCATTCAAAGATTGAAAAGCTTTTTGTCCAGCAATCACTGAATCGAACTTGAGAAATACTTCACCCTAAACATATGAATAATGTATAAGTATACAATCATCAATAAAAAAAACAAATACAACAAATATCATTACCAAAGAATCAGGATCAACAAAAATATGTTCAACAGATCCATATTGTTGGCATTCTTCCTTAATATCCACAGATAATTCTTGTACCCAGTCAGGTTCTGTTTCTCTATATGATTATTTAATACATCAGAAATGGACCGTAACAGATATATATATTTACTTACTCTGCGGGGTTGAACATATTGGTCAACATAAGTGTACGAGATGGTGTAACAACAGGAACAGGTCTAATAAATAAAAGAAATCATGATAAACCAACCCAAATCATGACTTTTTTTTTTTTTAACTTACATAACGTTGACAGGAGGTTGTGTAACTTTTTCAGCAGTTGGCATCAATTCTGATTCTCGCGCAGCCAGTTTCTTCATAAGTTCTGCACGAGATAATGAGTTCAGTCCCATGCTACCAGAATCTATATATATAGATAATTGAATGAGTTATTGTTGTCTAAAAAATGGAATTTCTTTTATTACCATCATCCAATGGACCAGAATCCAATCCACCACTACTGTAATTATTACTTTGTGCTCGTTCAGTTACCATACCGACTTTCAACTATAGTGAACAAAAAGAATAACATTAAAATAGATGAATCTAATATATAACATTTTTTCACTTACATTTCGACCAGCTAGTTCGAATCCATTCATTTTTGATAAAGCTTCTTTTGCGTCTTTCACATGTCGAAATCTACAAATAGATAACATCAAAATCAGTATAAATATAAAAAGCAGAAAATCATTTATAATTGCTAACTTACTGGATAAATGCAAATCCTTTTGATCGTCCTGTTAAGTTGTCTATTATTATGTATATATAAAAATAATTATTAGTTTCTTTTTCTTTTTTTCTTTTTTTTTTGAATAAGAATTTAAGTTATACCTTTATGAAGATCAACAAAATCAATGGGACCATAAGGTTCAAATACTTGACGAAGATCATGATCAGTAAGTGTATAATTGACAGAACCTACATATAAGCGTTGATCCATAATATCATGAGTTGGTGGTTTTTGTACTGGTTGGATGGCATTGACAGTACTAACATTAGTTCCATTTTGAGCAGCTTGTTGTCTATAACAAAAAAAAATAATAATAATAAATAATAATAAATAATAATAATACATTATATATATATATTGACTTACTCTTCTAGTTGAGCTTGTAATGCTTGTCTGTTCTTTTCAGCTTCTGTCAACTGAACATTCACAGGAATTCCCAAAAGTTTTTGACCTGACATGGCTAGAGCAGTTGGTACAGATGATTCATCATAAAATTCTACATATCCAACACTATTCGAAATAAATAAAATGTGAGTATATTAAAGAAAAAAAAAATGATGATTACTATGATCCTCTTGATTTACCCTTTTGATCGTCTAGTGTTACGGTCAGATATAATTCTGGCATCACGTACACGTCCAGCTTGAGAGAAGAAGTCGTGAAATTCCCTGTTTTTTAAACGTTGAGCAAGTTGAGTAACAAATACAGTGCGTCTATCCCTTTCTTCTGGTGGTACCGGTGGAGAATAAGACCGATCACGGTGTCCATGACGGCGACTATATCAAAAAAAAAAAAACGAAAAAAAAATGAATAAAAGAAAAAAAAAAGAATATATAAATATTATATATATATATATATATATTTACCTATAACGATCTGGTGTACGACTACGTCTTCTAGGACTTCGACTTCGATGTCGACGACGTTCTCTTGACCTATATCTTCTATCATCCCTATATCTGTCATCTCGGTGAGACCTTGAATGTGAACGATGACGTTCATAGGAAGGACTACGGTGATGGCTTCTATGTCTAGAATAAGATCGATGAGAACGTGATGGTGAGTGACCTCGATGTTCATAATGTGGAGATCTATAAAGCAGAAATAGATAAATATTATATATATATTGTTAGTCAAAAGAAAATAAATTAAAAAAAAAAAAAAAAACTTTACCTTTCTTCATGTCGAGAGTGACTTTCCGTAGGTTCATCGTTTTGCTAAAACAAAGAATAAAAATGAATTAAATATTTTTTTCTTTATTTTAAAAATATTTATTTTACCTTTTCCCTGAAAGGAGCTTCTAACATAGCTTCAACGTCAAGATCCATCGTTTTATTTGAATAAGTAAAGAAAAAAACAAAAAAAAAAAAAAAACGGAGGCAAAGGAAAAAAAAAAAAAAAGAATGAGAGAGAAAACAACAGAAAAAAAAAAAAAAAAATTAAATTGCCGCTCATATCTTTCTATGGGCAATCTTATTGGTTAATTTCTCGGTTTACCATATATACTCTTTCATTATATGTAATAATAAAGAATTATTTAAATGAATGATATAACAACATTCTATCAATAATATTTATACTATTTCTTTATTAAATAAAACATTTACTATTAAGTATTATTTTATGAGTTATTGATGAGAAGTTAGTCATTGTTCTCATAAGGTTACACCAATTGAATAATAGTTGATGGCAAAAACGGGTGAATTTTTGTATCCGAGATTTTTTTTTTTTTTTTTGAATTGCAGCTAAGAGTGAGTGAGAAAAGAAAGAAACACAATGGTGGCCCTATTTTCTTAATTCTTCTTTTCCCTATCTTTTTATCTTTTTATTATTCTTTTCTTGTATATAACTGGAAATATATAACAAGTTCAAACTATTTTTTTTTTGTTTTAAAAAAAGAAAAGAATGGAAGGTATTTAGGACAATAATTATATATATTTGTTATTAAAAAGTATTTAATGTTTCTTTTTTCATTTTAGAACTTTATAAAGTACTTTATGACTATGATGCTCAACGAAATGACGAACTATCTTTGAAAGTTGGTGATATAGTACATATTATTCAATATGATAGTGAAGAATGGTGTGTTGCTGAAAATATGGAAACAAAACAAGAAGGCGCAGTTCCTACTAACGTAAGAATAATACAAATATTCTTCTTCTTCTTTTGGTATTCATTCATTATTTTAATTTTTGTATAGTTTCTTGAAAAACTAAATTCTGGTCAAAATAATACTACTATTGATAATGGCAAGTATTTTACTTTTAAAAAATGAAAATTAACATTTCGCTTATTTTTGATATGAAATTGTTACAGGTCCTATTTTGGCAAAAGTGTTACAAGATTATACTGCTCAAGACCCTGAAGAACTCAGCCTTTGGAAAAACGGTATTATTACTATACTAGATCAATCTATAGCTGATGGTTGGTGGAAAGGCGACTTAAATGGCAAAACTGGTATCTTTCCTTCTAATGTAAGTTTTGATGGTAATATATATATATTTATATATTTATATATTTATCCTTTTCTTTACTTTGGTAGCACGTGAAACTTATCGATGCACATGAACAAAGTATGGATGTAGATGAAAACGACAAGAATAAAAGACAATCCTTCAAATTGGCCGCATATGGAGTGAAACAAGGTGGTATTGGTAGTATCTTGGCTGGTGGATTCAATTTGCGAAAGAAAACATCAAAGAAAGATGCAGTACCCCAAGAAGAAATACCATCATCATCATTGAATCAACAACATCAAATCCCTACTCTATCTGATAATTCATCACAAGAAGAGGCTGATAAACAATCACCTGATATACGTGGTAAAAAAAAAAAACTCAACAAACGTCGCATAATATCCAATAGTTCTTATAGTATTTTATTAACAATATTTTTTTTTAATTTTATTCTCTTAAGAAAAAGCTATGGTAATCAGTTCTTATGATCCTCAAAATCATGGTAATATATCAATGAATATGTTTATATCATATCTAATTTGGCTTCTTTTTTTCTCTTCGTGCTTAGATGAATTACAGTTGGTTCCAGGTGGTTATATTACTATTGTTGATAAACTGGATGATCAAGGATGGTGGAAAGGATTGAATGAGAAGAATGAAGAAGGTGTATTCCCATCTAACTTTGTGCAGATATTACCTCAAGAAGGAACTCCTGTTCGACCAGCTCGTGCTCGCCCACCAACCATCAAAACCGATTCACCAAATACACAACCACAACCATCAGTAACATCACCTACTGGCTTGGCAAAACCTCCTGCAGTCCCCACTGGTACTCGTCCCTCATCTTTATTAACACGTCGTCCTCCCACCACAAGTACTGCTGAACAATCTGCGCCACCTCTACCTCGACCTACTACTTCACCACCTGTACCATCAAGACGTACTAATTCAGTTATAAAGGAACAACATCCTCCTGCATCTCATAAACGTACTCCTTCTATTCCTTTGGTATCTCCTGACCTTCCTCCTATACGTCAAGATTATGCTCATGATCAACATCCTGTCAGACCGTCACGACCTGTTCCTTCACCATCATCTGCTGCTTCAAATATGACAACACCCATAAGTCCTACTTCAGAGGATAAAACTTTTGGATTGGCGAAACCTCCCAAGGTAATGTACAAAAAAAAAAAAAAAAAAAAAAAGGAATATAATATTTAGGAATACTGACAAGGCTGTTTTTTTTTTTTTTTTTCGTGAATATGACAATATTTTGATTGTAGAACTTTGGCAAGCAGCAAGTAGGACGTAAGTGATCGCATCCCTATTATGTACATTATGTATAGTCTCTGAGAAAATATTGACTAGAATTCATCTTTTTTTTTTTTTTTTTTTTTGAACAAAATAGCTATGGCACCACCTCGAACATCTCGACCAAACAGTCAAGCATCATCAGTTCACACTCAAGATACAACATCATTGCAAGGTTTAGCTGAAGAACATAAATCTGAAAACGACGACATTCCTGCACCTTTACCTCCACCACGTGGACCAAAGCGATCCATTCCACCTGTGCCATCTAGACAAAGTATTAGTGAAGAAGAACCCTTGACTGGTCGACATTCCCGTGAAACATCCTACAGTAGCACTGCTAGCAAGAATGAAGATAAACCCGTATCATCACCACCCGTCATCTTACCCACAAGAAGTATAGGCTCATTTCACAGTAGCAACAAGAATGATGATGATATAAGCTCAGTAACATCTTCGTCAATTGATCCTCTGGAAAACAAGATTCGTCAGTGGTTTAAGGAAGAAGTCGAATCCATGCGTCAAGATTTTGAATCTCGGTTAGAAGAAGAACGATCTCAGCGAATCAAGTTGGAACTGGAACTCGAAGCTTTGAAGAAGCAATTACTTTGACATACATATATATATATATATATATGGATGGATGGATTACCTAGGATTTTGTAATTTTAGATCTTATATTTATCGTAATCATGTAGTCAAATTAGTATAGTTGATATATATATATAACACTTCTTCCTTATTTATTTATGCAATCCTCTCTTTTTTTTTTTTTTATCTATTTTATATCTACATTTTTGTAAAACCAAATAATAAATACGAATTTTATATCTGACATTTATTACTTTTTTGATAATGTAAAATAAGTACCTTTTTATACAAATGGAATTTCAATAAGTGATCTAAACTCCCAAAAAAGGGACACATATATCTATGCATGACGATTACTCTTTGTGCATTGACCATAAAATAAATCGTTGCTATCGAAATCATGGTTGTACGAAACTATCGTCATGTAAAAGTGATTATCAAAGGGGGATGAAACGTACCACCACTTGAGCCATTTTCTTTTAGACTATTTTTTAATTGAAGTAAAAAAAAAAAAAAAAAAAAAAAAAAAGGTGAACTAATCAAATATAAAAGTTTATTCACGGTTGAACGACCTGCGTTTTCGATAGTATATAAGAGAATGATGACTAAGTTGAATGACTAAGGTACGGACTAATTCAAAAACAATAATAAATATAATCAACCAAAAGATAAACCATCCAATGACATTGTTTCGAATCGTCAATTGTTCAGGGTGACAAAAAGTGCCTTGGAAGCTATACATGCCCTTGTCATCATTGTAAAACATACCAAAGTAGTCACCTAACCAAGTGAGCGGGATCAATCGATCATAAGATGGTGAATTTTGTGCATAGGCTCGTTCCGGAGTACCAGTTGGATCGAAAAGGAAGGACGTGCGTCTTGCTATAATTTCGTTCATGATGGCTGTCTTATTCATACTGGGACTGTTCACTGTTAGCCACGCATTTGCAGGAACAGCAGGATGATGAATATCTGTACCCACCATTTGAATCAAATTGTGTTGTTGAGCTGCTTGCATTGTTGGATAATCGAATGTCGCTTGGTTGATCACTTCAAAACCATCCACTCCCCATGCTATCAAGTCGGCCACAGATGGATGATTTGGAAGTCGTGGTAATTCATATCCAGTTTCTATATAAAAATAAAAAAAAGAAATGTGTTGAAGGAATAAATGTTTTTTGGGAAGAGCAACACCACTTTTAACAAAAAAAAAAAAAAAAAAAAAAAGGACTTACGAGTAGTATTGCTCCAGGGAATATGATTGACAATGACAATACCACCAAGAGCATGAGTTTTATTAATCACTTGTTGAAGCTCAAAATCAGAAGGTACTGGTGGACCAACAGGAATAGTTTGATTGATACCTATCAAATTCATATGGATACGACAGCAGCTATAAAGGAAAAAGAAAAAAATTGTAAGTATCTACAATATGTAATCATCCCCTGTTTACTTTTTTTTTTTATTACCTATATTCCATACCAGGGATGACAACAATTCTTTCCTTGTAGTATTCATCCTGCAAAGCTAATTTTTCTGCATAAATTCCACCTGCAATAGTATTGTGATCTCTATAAAAAAAAAAAAGCAACAAGATCAGTTGTATTGTATTTTGAATGTATCATTCAAAGATAATCTCTTACTCATAACTTACGTAACCATAACAGCATTATATCCATTTGCTGAGTCGTCCCATTTGTTGATATATACATAAAAAAAGAAGAAGATATAAACATTCCTTATTTGTTTTCTCGTTTTATTTGTTTTTTTTTCCTTTTTTTTTTATTATTTTACCAATATGCCAATCCAAAAGTTGTTTCACATTCATTTTTCCATCACTATAGGTAGAATGAGAATGGCCGTCCAGCAGCACATTGTATTGGAAAGACTGATTGTAGGGTGTTAAATAACTTGAAGGATTCACTTGCCAATTGAATTCGAGCTGAGAAAAGTCTTCAGGTTTCGGCATATCTTCTGTATATCGTAACCCAAGACCAATGGCAATAAGTACAGCCAAAATAATAACAAGAGTGAGAAAACGAGTAAGAAAACCAAGTAGATAAGTTCGGCTGGGTCGAAGCGTGTTGAGTAGAGTGTAATACCATGATCGTCTGTTCTCCGCAGTAAGTAATAAAGGTGAAGCATCTACCATTGTTGACTTCCTTGCTTTCAAACTACTTCCACTAGCTGATTCCTGGTCATCCATCGAGTTGAATAAAATACAATAAAATGAGTGAATTATATATGAAAAAGAAGAAACAAAAAAAAAAAAAAAAAAAAAGTGCGCGAGTGGATTTTTTTTTCCTTCTCGGTCAGGTTCCAAAACTTTATACTCTATCGCGGATTTCAAGCCCCGTACAGTGAACATTGATTGATCCTATACCTGACTTACAAAGGCATTACATCCTTGCTTAATACCTTTTATTACTAGTGTGATCTGATTGTACACAAATAAACAAAAAAAAAAACACTTTATTGATGATGATGATCATCATCATCTAGTCATAAGATATATCAAATTGTTCAGTAGATAAAATTACATAAAGATTCCTCCTCCTTTTTGTATTTTATTGTATTCGTTACCGTCTCTATTGTTATGTTATAAATAAATAAACTGAGAACTAGTCAATTCTTCTTTATCTTTGATGATAGACGAGATATTATGGTGATTTCTCAATTAATGTGGACTAATGATACCCATCATCTATCAGATTGTAGTAATATTTAGGAGTTGTTCTAGAACTGTATACCTTTTTTTATGTGTACTTCGTTTTAGAAAGAAGAAGTGAAATTTTTTTAAAAAAATAAATACAAACCTTAAATATCCGATCTTTTTTTTTTTTTTCAGTTGGATCATCTTTGCCGTTTGACCAATGTACCAAATGGAGATGATTCAAGAAGTAGGTAAAGTACCCAAGAAGAAAAAAGAAGCATCTTAAATCAAAGTTGGAAGTCAGCCAATCCAAAACCGGCCAAAACAAAGAAAATGGTTACTAAGACAATCAGATCAAACTAGAACATATTACCGCCGATTGAATGATACCATCCAGGTGGGTTGGAGCATGAAATATTATTGAATAGATAACATGAATCCTTTTTTTTTTTTTTTTTTTTTTGCAGCATTGTTCCACAGAAAAAAAAAAGGAAGAATGGAAGGAATCACTTTTTCAATTGCTTCCAGCGAATAAGGTTCATTGAGGTTTCGATAAAAAAAGAAAGGACTATTCACTACTGCTATTGCAAGTTGGTTAGTTTGTGTTACCATTGCGTCAATAAAAACAACAAATAAGTTTGTTAGAATAGGATTGAACATGATACTTTTTGATTTTAGCATGTTGTCAGATGTAACTGAGAGTATGAATGAAAACTGTTTCTAAAGAAAAAGGTCTTGGCTTGCATTCTTTTTTTTTTTTAGTTATTATTGTTGTCATAATTGTTTTTATAGATTAAGATAGAATCATAATGAACCTAATATAATAATAAAAAGAAAACCACATGATCATCGATCTTCGTTCATTTCTTAACGTTCATCATCAGAATAAAAAAAAAAAAAACACGCTAGTGTATGTAATTTCGTCAATTTGGAACTCAAAAGGTATAAATTCAGGTAGTTTGATTTCTTTCTTTTTCTTTTTTTTTTTTTCCCTTTTCTTATTTTTCTCAGCTACCCTTTTTCTGTTTTAAAATAAATAATAATATGAAATTCAACACTGCTTTACTCTTTACTCTTGGTTTGACAGCCACCACTGTTTTGGCTCAAGAAGTGAATATTCAAGGTTGTCAATGTGATGCTCAAGATACTAGTTGTATTCGAGATTGTGGTAAGTCATGTTCCTTGATCATGTATTGATTGAACCATGTCAAATGAATAAATAAATGTTGTATTTAATTCTTTTTTTTTTCTATAGTAACTGGTACTAATAGCTGTATCAACCAATGTGGAAACGATACTTCTTGCTATTCCAACTGTATTCAAGCCAGTTGGCCCGGTCAACAAGGTGCTCCAGCAACTGGTGACAATTCTTCTGGTGCTGCCAGTGCTACTGGAGCAAACTCTGCATCAGCTACTGGTGTTCCTACATCTGCTGCTTCTGCTTCCTCTGGTGCATCTGCTTCTTCTGGTGCTTCTGCTTCCTCTGGTGCTTCTGTTTCTTCTGGTGCCTCTGCTTCTGGTGCTTCAACTGCTATCTCCTCTTCTCCAGTATCCTCTGCTGTTTCTTCTCTCTCATCCGCTGTGTCATCTTCTGCATCTAGTTCTGCTGCCATCAGTGGTTCTTCTTCAGCTTCTGGTTCTTCTGCCAGTGCTTCTGCCACTACTACTGCCAATGCTGGTGTTTTGTCCAATGGTACTCCCATGTCCGCTGCTTTATTGGTTGTATCCGGTGTGATGATGGCTCTTTGTGCTTAAAATCATCTTTAAACTATATGATGCCCCTTTAATTTTATAGATTAGGTATATACTAAGGGGGATATCGGATCGGTTACCTTCTTTTTTTTTTAATGTTATTGTATCACATTTACTCTCTTATTAGTTTAGTTTATCTTTTTTTTTTTTTTTACACTTGTAGTTTATCATAGTATCATATCTCTTTCGATTTTTTTTTCTTTATTACTTTATCAATTGGAATTAAAAAAAAAAAAGCAAATAATGTGTTATGCTGTTTATTTTAAATGTGTTATATGGATTATAGTGTAGACTGGTTTGATGTTTGATGATGGTGGGGGTACTTTACGATGACGATCCTCATTGTTGTTTCTTGGCTTCATAAAAATAGAAGGTTTTCCGCGTCTCCGAACAAAAAACGGATTCTTTAATCCGATGGAATTAAAGGAAAAATTTGGTTTGCCACTTTTTTTTCTACTTCTTCTAAAAATGGTTAAAGATTCATGGTGGTTAGGGACCTGAGTTCAAACTTGTTCCTTTTTTTTCTTTTGTCAGGTATCTCTTTGACCTTTTTTTTCTTCATTTTTCATTTTTTTTTTTTTATCCATGTTGATATGAGAACTCAATTACTGGGTTTTTCCTACCAATTTGCGTTGATCCAAATAAAATTTGCGCAACATAAAAAATGAATTTACGCTGTCTTCTTTTTATGTTTGCACCACCGTCCAGTTGGAATTCCTGCAAAACTAAGTAAAAGTTTATGCTATCTTTATTTCAGTAAAAAAAAAAAAAAGATCTACAGGTTCTTTTCTTCAGCCAAACAACAATCAAAAAAAAAAAAAAAACAAGGAAGCACGGATGAGGTGAGTAAAGAGAAATAGATAACAAGAGAAAGTGCATCAGCTTTAAGTTTACTGGTTTTTCCATGTGAAGTGCGTTCATTTTTTTTATTTTTCTGCGTTGTGATTAGAGACTTGTTTGCATTGGGGGTTTGAATATATTTGTGGTGATCCTTTTTTTCATATTATGGATAATAGATGATGGATGATGGATGATGGATGATGAATGATATCAATAGAAGCTTTCTTCTTTATTATAGTCTTCTTAATGATCATAGCTAAATCAATAATTTGATTGTTCTCAACAGCAAAACCTGTTCTTTTTTTTCTTGCATTGTTTGTCATCACTCTTTTTTCTATAATCAATGCAAAACAATCATTACCCGATGACTGATAAAAAAAATAATAATTTATATCTCTTTCTATTCTTAGTATCCCTATGAAAAAGAATCACACTATCTTAGAAAAAGTAAGCTCCTTTTTTTCATTGTTTCTTTTTTCTATCATCAATAAAAAAACAATCATCATTATCCGATGACTGATAAAAAAAAAAGGAAAGAAAGAATTAACCACCCCTTTTTATTCTTAGCATCCTCAGCAAAAACTTTATCATTTTCTATAAAATATTCTTCCTCGATCTTTTTTATTTTATTTCTTTGTCTTTTTCTTTATCCTTTTCTTATTTAACATTCATATATATATATATATCATTTGATCATCTATCGTACAAATCATATTATGATAAGTTCAAAAAAAAAAAAAGCGACTACTTACTTACCTTATTTCTCTTTCTATTCTTTTTTTGTATATTCTCTTTTTGGCATAATCATAACAACGCAAATCACACTTTTTTCACCCGCAAATCATATTATTCAATTACCCAAATTATTTATTCCTCTCTGTCGATTCTTATGAAAAAAAAAAACAGTATAATATTCTCAACTCTTACAAATACATTGTTGATTTGACTGTTACCTTCTTATGCAAGCAAATGTGCAAGGTATGACAAGTGGAATAGGAGAATATCTCAAATGTGCATGAAAATGGTTGGACTCCATTTGGCGTTTTTACTATGACGTGGAATGTGGCAAGAGTTGGATCATCATATGGAATCATCTTAGTTAATCCTCTACGATTCTCTCCCTCCCCCTCTCTCTCTCTGTTTTTTTTCTTCCTATTATTGCCATCATTCATTTCTATAGTACTTTTTTTTTTTTTTTTTTTTTTAACCCTCATCATCTATTTTAAAATAAATTATTTTTTTTTTTACTAGTTATTTTATCATATTATTTGTATGATATTGGGCTCCGCCAATTTTTTGAATTTCTTTTTCTTTCTTTCCCTTATTCTTCCCCTCTTCCTTCTTATGACTACTGAAGACAATGCAACTAACTCTAATAACAATGAACAATATATTTATCGCAATGTAAAAAGTTATCAAGTATTACAACGATCTAGAAAAACTAATACAGCACTTGTAGATTTGAATAATGGACAACCATTATTAGAACTGGGTGTAGGTGGACCATATCAAGTAGGTAACGCTTCTCAAGTAATGGTGGGTGATATTTGGATCCTAGCAGGTCAAAGCAATATGCGCGGTTTTGGGTTCTTTAATAACTACGACAAGCAAGTTCCATGTCATGTATTTCAATCCAATGAATCTTGGGGTCTCGTTTATAACAATCAACCTGTACACCAAATAGCTTCTAGTCCTCGTCAAGTTCATCATATGTACTCTGATCCTACCGTTTCTGATCCTAATTTGGTCTTTTCTCGTGGTGCATCTCTTGCTCCTTTTTTCGCTGAACAATATCAACATCAACTTCATATACCTGTAGGTTTGGTTCCTTGTGCACATGGTGGCGTTGATATTCAGAAATGGATGAAACAACAACAAGATGATGACAACAATACTAGTCAAACAACCCTTTATGGTGCGATGATAGATAAAATAAATTTGGTAGCAGGTGGTCAACCAAAAGGTATATTATGGTATCAAGGGGAATCGGATGCTGTGAATTGGACTTCTGCTCAACAATACTATGATCATTTTACGCTCTGGCTTCAACAATTACAACATGATCTACCCAAAGATACATTATTTATCTATGCACAAATTGGACATACTGCTTATATAGCATCATCACTTGATACAAAGAACAAATTGGATCAAGGTTGGAGTTTGGTACGACAAGCACAAATAGATGTCTTTCAACAACAAGAACAGCGGAAAAACAATACATTATTGACATCCTTAGTATCAACAATAGACACGGAACTGGATGATTTTGTTCACTTGTCAGCAAATGCATCAAGAAAAATTGGATATCGTATGGCAAATGCAGCTATCTCATTGATACAACGACAAGAAGTAGAAAAAGATGATTATGAATCGACAATTATCTATGGAAACAGAGTGACGATGAATCATACACCTTACAATAATGGACGGAATTGGATACACACTCTACGAATTGGATTTTATTTTAATGGTAGCAAACGGCCTAAATGGAGGAGGACAACATCATTAACAAAAGTAACAACTAATGACAACGAAGAGGATGATGATGATGAATTGGATTTAATTCCTATCAATGGATTTACACTTCATGATACCCAACAACCAAATAACCCTTTGGATGGTTTTATTTATTCGGTACGTATCACCAAGGATCACAATGTCGATTTGTATTTGACTGAAGCTGGATATCAAAATATGTTAAAACATGCAGCCCAAGGGAAACAGTATGTGGTATGGTACGGCTATGGACAAAACCCACAGTGCAACTTGATGACTACCTCTAATATTGCTGCGTTGGCTTTTGGTCCTCTACCTGTAAATGTCACTTCTTTGCCTCGTTTATCTCATGGTGGCCAATCAAATATAGAATAGAAATATATTAGATTTTTTTTTTATTTACATAGCTTAGTGAATTGGTTTTTTTTTTATACATTAGAAATAGATTGATTTTTGTATTTTTTTAATAAAGATGATCATCACGATTTAATAAAGTATTGTGGATGGTTTAACCCAAACCTTTTTGATGTTTTTGAACCCAGCAGGTCGAAAGATTTTTGTTTTTCCCTGACTTGTTTTTTTTTCTTCCTTCCCTTTCTCTACTTTTTTTTTTTTTTTTTTTTTTTTTTTAGATAACATGTTACAGTTTATTCAAAGATCGCGAACAATCATACCTCGCTTACGGCAACAACGGTTATATACAACTACAGCAGACAATGGTTCTTTTTTTTACAAATATGGTACACCATTAGTGAAATGTACTGTCCTTGCTTCTTCTACAACGTTAGCTTGGAAACTTTTATGGCAACACTTGGAATATGATGAATATCGTGACGAAGCAGAAGGTGTAATCAAACAATTGGAAGAAAGAATCAAGTCTTTGGAAGATCAACGAACAAATCAACCATCATCTCCGTAGACCTTTTCTTTTTCTTAAATTATTCTCCTCAACCATTCTCTCTCTTCCGTCCTAGTATAGAACAAAAAAAAAAAATAAGAATAATATAAATCATATCAAAATAAATAAAAAATTGATTCATTTTTCAATTTGGTGATGAATTATTGTTACATATAATTTGTCTCAATGGTATGTGTTGTTGTCTAAAATGCAAGACGGAGCTCAACTCAAAAATTGACTGTCCTTCAATTTTCTTGTTCCCTAATAGGTCCTCTCATTCTCCTTTCTTTTCTATCTCTTTTTCTTTTTCCTTCAATTACCAAAAAAAAAAGTCATCTTTTTATATATTCATTTCATTAGATATCTTTTGTTATAGGTAATTATAATTTGAACTATTCAATCTTTCTTATCATGTCGTTCAAAGGTCATTAATTTAACTCATCTTTCTTCATTTTAGATAACTTTGGCAAGTACAGGTGTTCTTTCATTATGCCTGGTTTAATAGAAATAACACGTAAACGTAAGGCATATTTTTATTTTATTTTATTTTTCTTTATTATTCCATTCAATGTGTTTTACAAATATAAGGTTTACTCAGAAAGTATATCACGCTCATCTGTTTGTATTTTACTTGTTATAGGTATTATGGATGCTATTAAAGCTATCCAACCACCTGGAAAATGGAAAATCGTGGTAGTCGATTCAAAAAGTTATGAAATATTGAATGCTTCTTGCAAAATGTATGATATTCTGGAAGAAAATGTAAGTTGTTAAACATAAATTCATTTTTCTCTTTTCTTTTACTAATGCTTTTTTTTATCTATTTATTTAAAGGTAACGTGTAGGTATTTTTTTTTTTTTTGACAAAGGAGGGTGGGGAGAATATCTCATTCATCATTCTTATATGGTAATATTTGATAATTTTAATTTAGTGGTGGAAAATATTGAAAAAGTACGACAACCTTATCCAAGTTTGGCAGCTATTTATTTCTTAACACCATGCCGAGAATCCATTTTACGACTTGTGGACGATTTCTCTGCTCATAAGGAACCTTTATACAATGCTGCTCATATTTATTTTACAAGCGGTAAGAAGAAGAAGAAGAAAAAATATGGATTATATCTTACTTTGATTTATTGATTTTTTTTTTTTATTTTCGATATTTAGGACTAGATGATGATTTGTTCTCTGATCTTAACAAACGATTGAAAAGTACTGGTGCAGCAGAATATGTTCATGGATTGAAGGAAATGTATGTGGACTATAAAGGTAAACTATTTTATTCATCATTATTATCAATGATTAAATAGTATATTTGATTTTCAACTTACATATATTTATATATTTAGTGGTAGAATCTGCAGTCTACACAGTAGATCCAGTATCTAGTTTTTTCTCAGTATTTGGAACTGATGACCGTGCTTACCCAGAAGCTTCCTTGCGACACTCAGCAAAACAATTATTATCATTATGCGTTACATTGGGTGAAGATCCTATCATTCGATATCAAGTCCCACCAGAAAATGATGGTAAGACTCCTCTTTTACCTTATGAAGGAGCAACCAAATCTCTTGCCTTGTCGCTTCAAAAGGAACTGGATCATTTTTGTCGATTGAATCCAAACTTTCCAGTAAGTTGGTTTTTTTTTGTTATCATTATTATTGTAATTATTATTATTCTATTTTATAATTTTTTTTTTTTTTTTTTTTTTTTTTTTTTTAGCCACAACGACAACCACCTCAACCACGAGCAACTATTCTTATTGTGGATAGAACTTTGGATGAATATGCACCTATATTACACGAATTCACTTATCAAGCCATGATCAACGATTTACTACCTGTGAAGCCAACTGAAAATGGAACTGGTATTGTCTATTCTTATGAGTATACACAATCAGATGGATCTATGGGAACAAAAGATGTGATCTTGGACGAAGAAGATGATGTATACAAAAGTATTCGACATTTACATATAGCTGAGTGTACAGATCGTTTGATTGAAAACTTCAACAAGTTCTTAGCCGATAATAAACAAGCTGCAGGAAACAGGCAAGTCAGTGTAGAAATTACATCCGCATCTAACTAATATTTGTTTCTATCTATCTATTTTTTTTTTTTTTTTTTTTTTTTTTTGTAGTGATTCAAATACTCCTCCTACGGATTCTGCAAAAAGTTTGAAGGATATGAAGGATATGCTGACCAAGTTACCTCAATTTCAAGAAATGAAAGCCAAAGTAAATCAAATCTTTTTTTTTTTTTTTTTGAAAACCAAACATCCTCATCTTCCTTTCTTTTCTTTTTTTTTTTTTTTTAATTGGTATATTGATTCATAGTATTCTACTCATTTAAGTATTGCTCAAGAGTTGATGTCCTGTTTTGAAAAACAAAAGCTAAACTCTGTCGGAAATCTTGAACAGGTAAAAGAGAAAAAAAAGAAAATGAAAATTATTCATTCAAATATTCCTTTTTAAATCTATAGAATATTGCTACCGGAGAAACTCCAGACGGCGAAGTACCAAAAACTATTGTATTGGATATGGTACCTTTATTAGATGACCCTTATATCAGGTAATGATTTACTCATTCATCAATGAAAAAAAAAAGAAAAAAAACGATGGTCTTGGATTATTTAATTTGTTCATTTCTTCTTGATACAGTGCTACAGACAAGACGCGCCTATTGATGCTATATATCATTTCCAAGGAGGGTGGCATCTTGGAAGACGACAAACGCAAACTATTGGAACATTCACATCTTTCCCAGGAACATCGTGAAGCAGTTGGTAATTTATCACTTATGGGGGTACAAGTCACCAAGAATCGCCGTGCGCCTGGAGAGAAATCATTACGCAAACGATTAACACGCCGAAGACAGAACAGGGATGATGATCAACCATATGAACTCTCCCGCTACGTACCCGCACTGAAGAAATCCATGGATGTAAGTTAAATGAAGAAGAAAAAGATTTTGACATTTGACTAAACATTATTTTTAATATTTTTCAGTCATTTTTCTCACATCAACTGGATCACCAACAATTTGCTTTTACTCGGGAATCAGATATGGATAAAGTGGACACTACTGGCGGTTCATCTCTTGGACAAGTTCAAGCAGGAACTCATCTCACAAGTGGTGTATCTTTAAGAACTACCAAACCTACATGGAAGAACAAATCTAATGGGGTAAAAAATAAAAAGTTAGAGTCAAATCGGACATTGAACAAAGAAATGAAAAAGAAAGAAAAAAAAAAATAGACTTATCCTACTTTACCTTATTTAGGCTTCTGGACAACGTACATCTCAAGGACCCAAATTGATCGTCTTTGTGATTGGTGGTATGACTTATTCTGAAATTCGAGCAGCTTATGAATCAAGTGAAGCATATCATCGTGATATATTTGTTGGTAAGTATATTTTATTATTCATTTGGATAAAGAAGAATTTGACTAAAGTTTATATATATTTCTAGGAACCACTGAAATCTTACGACCAGCAAAATATGTAGAAAATCTTAGTCAACTTCGAATGCCTGTACCACGAATTAAATCTGTGATTCCACCTTATACAGCACCACCATCTCTAACATCAATACCATCCTCTTTGAAAAGCCACATGCCTCAACTTAGTTTATCAACATCACAAATCAGTCTCGGAAGTCAAACCACCAAAAGTAGTAGTACAACAAACATCAGCCCATCTTTGGATAAATCTGAAGGGGACAAAAAGAAGAAGAAAGGACTCAAAAAACTTTTTGGTTAGATAGATATGTTTTGTTATTATAATAATAATAATTATTATTATTATCAATAAACATGTATACGTTTTTTATATATTTTTTAATTTTGATGATGATTTCTTAAAAGCCTGACCTTTTTTTTTTTTTTAGTTCTCAAGTCGATTCACACCCAGCCTTTTCGACTTGGCATTAGCCTTTATTGTTTTTTTTTTTGTTGGTTTCTGCCGTCCCCCTTTTTTGATTTGTTCAAAATTTATTTTTAGAAAAAGATATATTTTAGATCTTTTTCCTTTTTTTTTTTTTTTTTTTTTTTCTTCTTCTTCTTCTTCCTTTTTTTACTCTTTCTTTTCTTTATTTTTTCTCATTTTACTAGTATAACAATGTATCAAACTGATCCTCACCCAGATCCTTATGCCAATCAATATCCTCCTCCACCTCCCTTAACATCTGAACATCATACTGGTTATGGTTCTCCACCACCAGTTCCTCAAACAACTAACAACACTTATATTCCACCACCTCAACACACATATACACCACCTCTTCAACAACATGGTTATCCTATCGATGGTCAACATCATACATCCACTTCGATACCGCTTGTAGATAGGCAAAGTATTGCTGGAGTAGGTCACCAACCTAGTTACGACAATTATCATTCAGTACCGATGACCAATGATCCTCACGTAGTAAATATGGGTGAATATCAAACGGCAGCACAAGGTGAACATATGTACAATAATCAACATACGATGGCACGACAGGAAGACTATTATGCGGATTATCGAGATGAACCTGATTCTCATACGCCTATGGTTCAACCTTCAGAACAAAAACAATATTCCATTCAACCTGAAGATCAAGAAGGATACAAAAGGCCTATTCAGTCAAACAATAACAAGAATAAGAAATATATGACACCAGGACCAATGATGGCACCAGAAGATGAAGCTGAATCTTATCGACCTAAACAATATCGACATGACGACGATCGACGAGGTGGATGTAATTGTTGCTGCTACAATCCGGCTATGACATGTTGTTCGTGCTTTTGTTTCCTTATCTCTTTGGCGTTCTTGGCAGCTGGGATTGCACTGATGATTGCTGCCAAGGTGATCGGAGACAAGTGTAATACTCAATGTGGTGATGCGGTGGACACAGCTAAATCTTATGGTGTGAATGCTCAGCCTTGTGATGCTATTTGTGGAAAAGTGGTTCATGATGGTATGTTCTATGGTGGTATTGCTGTTGCTGTTCTGGCTGGGATTGCTGCGATTTGGAAGATATTTATGTGGATGTGTGCTGCTGGCTCAAGAAGATGAAGGATTTGAAATGACTTGGTTACTTTTTGGTTGTATATATATATATATATAAAAGAAGAAAGATTCATAAACACAATCGTATTAGTTATTCATTCTATCTCTTCTGTTCTGTATTTTTAGTCATATATCATTTATTTTACTTTTAGTTAGTTTTTCTTATTCTTTCGATCCCCCCCTTTACTTCTCTTATTATATCTGTTTATATCAATAAATAAATCAATCTATAAGATCTTCCTTTCTTTCTTGTAATATACTTTTAAATTCGGATCCATGCCTCTTTGAGCAAAGTCCTAAATCTAGGCAATCAACCTTATTTTCAGTCACCGCTTCTGTTGTTCGTCCTACCACCTCTTTTGTCTTCTCTTTAATTTTTTTTTTTTTGTCTTTTTTTCTGGTTTACCATTATGCGATTACGTATACGTCATTCTCAAGGGGTAATTACCATCGATGAAGTGAATCAAGACCAATCCGTCGGAACATTATGTCAAACAATTGAAAATATGATTTCAACAGATAAATGGGTACAATGTAAGTGAAAAAAAAAAGAATACCTGAGCAACAAAATTCTTTCTAGTTGTTTAACTATTTCTTATTTTATTTTATTTTATTTTATTTTTATATTATTATATGTGGAATCAGTATCTGGTGGCTATCCTCCAAAACCCATTACTGATAGGTCTATTACTCTTCAAGCAGCAGGTATCAAACATGGTGATGCTTTAACCGTGACTTTGATCGAGCCCCAAACACCAACTACTTCTCTCCCTCCTGCTAATACATCACGTTCCTCTACTTCTCATGCTATTGCTGTATTGGATGGTTATTTGGTACAAAGGGTAAGTCATTCAATTCCCAATTAGGTTTTTGTTTTAAATATATATGAATATTTCATGTTCGATTTTTTTTTTTTATATTCTACTGATATTTATATATGTATTCATTTAGGTAATGGATGATGACAACTCTTGCTTATTTCGATCTATTGGGTAAGAAAAAAGGAAGAAAGGAATGAATGGGTATCTATACGAAAGAAAATCAATACTTATCATGACTACTTTGATCTCCATGCGCGTGAATAGATATGTCCTGGAAAAGAATCATACAACGTTTGCTCAGAAATTACGTCAAGGTAACTAACAAAAAAAAAAAAAAGAGTCTTGCCCTGAAAGAAATCCGCATAAAGGTTGATTATTCTCTTTTTTTTTTTTTTTGGGAATGGATGATTAGTGGTTGCTGAAGTTATCACCAACGATCCTGAAACTTACTCCGATGTAACATTAGGGTAGGTATTTATGATACTAAAGAGATAAATTTTACTAAATTGTGTTTTATAGACAACCTAGATGTATGTGAATCTGTCTTTTTCAATAGTCACAATCTTTGGACATTTATTGACATTCTTTTTTTTTTTTATAGACAAGTATATCGAATGGATCAAGAAGGATACATCTTGGGGTGGTGCAATAGGTAGATAGAAAAAAGAATCATTAGCAGAAATAGGGATCTACTTACTGATCTAAGCTTTTTTTTTTTATAGAATTATCCATATTTTCTAAATATTTTAATATAGGTAGGTGAAAGAAAGATTTGCGCAGCCATCGAGTAACACATTATTTATTTATATTGTAGAAATTGTTAGTGTGGATATACAAACTGGTAGGATGGATCGATTTGGGGAAGGCTCTTATGATGAACTAGTATTGATCCTCTATAGTGGAATTCGTAAATGAATTATTATCGAAAAAAAAAAAGACAATTCTTATGATTCCTTTTTTTTTTATTAGATTATGATGCATTGGCTTTATCACCAATGGAAAACTGTGATTCTGAATTTGATGAAACTCGATTTCCAATTTCTAATAGTAAACCTCTTCTTGCAGCAGCTCAGGAACTAGCCTCGTTATTACAAAGGGTAAACGTCAAACATGTTTACCTAAAATGTTTTTTCATTTATCACGTGGTTTGTTATTTATATACTTTCTATTTTTTTTTTTTTTATTCTCTATCTTAGGAACACAAATACACAGATGTTGCCAATTTTACGCTGAAATGTGAGATATGTCAAACTGGATTGATTGGTGAAAAAGGTAAAATTGACTCCAAAAAGTAATATCTGAAACATAAATACACATTTTCAGCTAATACGTTTATCCGGTAACCCATTTTTTTTTTTAATAGACGCTCAGACACATGCTATGGTAAAGATATCAACAAATTCAAGCAATAATCATGTATTTATATAACCTGTGATCCCATCATCTTATTTCAATCTTTTTCTTCTCTCTCTCTTTTTTTTTTCTTCTTCTTCTTTTATATCTAGTCAACTGGTCATACCAATTTCGTGGAATATTCTTAATATTTAGATAGAGTGGTGAGGGTGGAAAACAGGTGGGGCGGAGGTCTCAACCGGAAAACCATGGAAGTAATCGTATTTGTCGTCGGACTTGATTTATCCTTTTTTTTTTTTTTTTTTTTTTAATCAAATAAAAAAGAAAAGTTTCTTTCTTTACTTCTCTTTTCCCGTGTTATTTTTCTTTTCTGTTATTTCACTTGAAATGGAAACTGAGCAACAGCACAAACGGCAACGTGTATCCAAGGCTTGGTAAGTTGATGGAAATTCATAGTTTGATAGTCTATAAAATGATCTTTTTATTCTTATCTCATTCTTTTTCTATTATTACTTTACTAGTGAACAATGTAGAGGCAAGAAAACCAAGTGCGATGGGCAACTTCCTAGTTGTGGAATCTGTAGATCACAAAACATTACATGTACATATAAGGCTATTACAAAGAAGGTAAATTAAGAGAGAAAAAAAATTACAAGAACAAATATTAACATGATACTTATTGATTGACTCACTTTTTCTTTTTGTGCGTATGTATATGTCAATAGCGGGGACCTCCAAAAGGATATATTGAAGCTATTGAAGGACGTCTACATCGTTTGGAAGCATTGATTGGAAGTATTATTCAAGAAGATGATCCTCGGTTCCAAGCGATATTGAATGAATTGAATGCTCCACTACAAACCGTCAATGGTGAGCTGATTCGACCACGAAGAGCAAATGCTGTCACTTCATCCTATGATACCGTTTCTCCAACATCAACAACAGCACCATTATCATCATCAGTAACTGAAGTACAAAATGCAGGTTTATCTCAATATTTAGAATCATCATCATCACTACCTCAACAATCGCGAGAACGGATTCATCAACAATCACAAGTAGACTATAATGAATTGAGTAGTCATGAAAGCGATATCTCACCCACTGTCAAAGTAGAAGAGGATGTAGAAACCAGCGATAATTTAGGCAATCTCTCTGTGGATGAAAGTGGACAACTACGATATTATGGCAAGTCATCTGGATTTTACATGTTACGCAATAGTCAAAACTTTCGAAATGGTGCCTTCCGGTTCAATTCTAGAGGATATCGTGGTGATTCAAAAATGAACCCATTAGAACAACTCATCATTGATCCATTTGAACTACCTCCAGCCGATCTATCAAAAATTCTCTTGGATCTCTATTTTGATCACTTTTATACTCTGCTGCCTATTGTGCACAAGGATTCTTTTCGGCAAGCATATGAAAATACCACAAATCCTCCTTCTCACCTATTACTGAACGCTATTTATGCTGTCGCCTCTCGGATATGCTCTGATGAACGTGTACGAACTACTCCTGATCAACCGGAAACTGCTGGTGATATCTTTTTTGAACGAGCTAGGATTCTTTTGGATTTCGAATATGATGATTTCAAGGTATCTACGGTACAATCTCTTCTTTTGATGAGTAGTCATCAGAACGGCGCTTTGAAAAGTATTCGTGGATGGATATACAGTGGAATGGTAAAAAAAAAAAAAAAAAAAAAAAAAAAAAAAAGTACTGTTTTTTTTGATAGTGATTCTTATTTTCTTTTTTTATTGAATTAGGCTTTCCGAATGAGTCAAAATCTTGGATTACATTGTAACTGTGATTCATGGGACTTGACACATACTGAAAAAGAAGAACGAAAACGAGTGTTTTATTGTTGCTTTGTGATTGATCGTTTATCAAGTGCTATGCATGGACGATCGCCTGTGGTGGATGAACGTGATTGTGATGCTCCTTACCCTCAGGACAATGACAAATGTGATCTAGACAAAAGTGGAATCAAGATTATGGACAACTTTCATGCTTTGATCAAACTATGTGATATCCTAGGTTGTGTTCTACGTGATGTATATTCTGTAAGAGGAAGACAACAATTGAAACGAATGACATCTCCTGATGTTCTTGTGTCGAAACTGGATAAAGCATTAAACAACTGGATGTCGAAATTACCAGTATCAGCACGATATCGACCACCGAACACTCGAATAGCAGAAGAAGCACCAGCACCATCTTTAGCATTATGTCAAATTCATATGCTCTATTACACCACATTGATTTTACTACATCGACCATTTATCCCTGGACCAACACAAACCCAATCCCCATCTGTTTTTCCCTCACGTGAAATATGTACATATGGTGCCAATAAGATCTTGGATATTGTGGTGTCATTGATGAAGGAAAAGCGGCTCAAGAATGTTAACAATTACACACTGTATTTTATGTTTACAGCAGGCATTATCTTTATCAACGATGCATCATCTCCGGATAGTATGGATGCTTTTGAGGCCAAGATTAGTATCAACAAGATTATTCATGCAATGGATACAGTGGAAACAACATGGATTACTTCGGCAAGACATTCCAATATACTTGGTGAATTAGCAGGATTACGTGATATCAATTTGGAAGTGGTGAATGAAAATTTCAAACGAACTATGCAACAACAACAACAAGAACAAGAACAACGAAAAAGACAACAACAACAATCAGCATCTATTGTCATGCCCAATTCGCCTGTTCTCAATACCAATGATTCATTCTCAACTATACAACCACAAAACAATCAAGGATCATCCTTTCAATCTACTTATTCAAATCGAGGTACAGGTAGTACAACACCTAGTATTATGGATAGCTATATAGATGATCGTCTTAGTACCAGTTCTAGATCGCCTTCAACTTCATCCATATTATACGATAAGCCAACACTGGAAGCTAATACTACTCTAGAGAATGATAGACCTTTTGATCCTCTCGGTACTGCCTTCTTTGGTGTTCCCTCCTCTTTTGATGTGAATGAATGGACTTACTATTTGAATAGAATGAATCAACAACAATCTTGATACTCATATTAGTTAGTTCATCCTTTTTTTTTTATGTTATGATTTAATAATATATTCATTATTACTAGTATGGCGTTTCGCCTTTCTCCATTTCAGATTCCGATTTGGTCTATTGAAGGCCCTTGCGTTTTTTCGCCTTCTTTCTTTTTCACTTTTTTTTTTTTGTTTCCTCTTCTTCTGTGTTCTTTTTTTTTTTTTTTCTTTTTTTTTTTTTTTGTGTACGTGTCTGAGTGATACACGACTTTTCACTATTTTTTTTTTACTAATTGACTTTTTGAAACAAAAAAAAAAAAAGGACGATTGAACATTTTTTTTTTTGTTATTGTTTTTATTCTTAACCTTTTTATTCCACACTTTGATTTATCCCCGGCAACTCCTTTCTTTTGCTTCTTCATTGGAGGACACCTTAAACTCTTTGATTTATCTCGTGGTTTATTATTATTATTCACTCACGCTCTCATTGAAGACGAAATCTAGTAAGACTAGAAAAGAAAAAAAGAAGTTGTATTATGATAGTATATTATGTTGACCACTCACTTCCTTTTACTATTATCAGTTTTAGATCTTTATTCACTTTATACAACTTTTATAATTCAAGTATTAATATGCGACGTGATGTACGTATTCTACTCGTAGGCGATGGTAAAGTTTTTATTTTTTTTTTTTTTTTATTTTTTTTTATTTATTTTTGAAGGGTCGTGTTTCTAGTTTCTTTGTTTCATTATATTGGAAACAGACAGAAAGTGGTTATCTTATCATCAACCAATTATATACTAACTATTACGTATTTATATTTATTTACTTATAGAGGGTGTTGGTAAAAGTACTATTATTACATCATTGATCAAAGAAACCTTCATACCCAATGTAAGTATAATGTTGTCTTATTATTTTTTTATTCTTTCTTCCTATGATGAACTTTTTGTTTTATTTTATTTTATAGGTACAACACATGGTCCCTGAAGTTACTATACCACCAGAAGTCACTCCAGAAAACGTTACAATGCATATTATGGATTCTTCTGGTAAATAATAATACAAAATAATAACTGTGAAAGGTTAATTATATCTTTCTACTTTTTTTTTAATTATATAGCTCGGCCAGAACACCGGGAACAACTAGAAGCTGAAATACGAAAGGCGCACGTTATTTGCATTGTTTACGCTATTGATGATCCAAATACGTTCAATCGACTTCCTCTTTATTGGTTACCTTATATTCGATCTCTTGGTGTCAATGTAAGTCAGAATCTATTTTAATAAAATACAATCTAACCTCTATATATATATTATATTCATTTATTATATTAAGGTACCATCCATTCTTGTTGGTAATAAAATCGATTTACGTGGTGATGATGTTACAAATCAAAGTTTAGAAGATGAAGTAATACCTATTATGAATGAATTCAAGGTAAATTCCATTATATATGTAAAAAAAAGAAATCTTTACTATTACTAAGTCATTCTTTTTTTTTTCTGTTATTAGGAAGTAGAAACTTGTGTGGAATGCTCCTCAAAACAATTATTGAACGTATCCGAAGTCTTCTATTTTGCTCAAAAAGCCGTATTACATCCTACTGCACCTTTATACGATTCTAGGGAACATGTACTAAAACCTCAGTGTGTAGATGCCTTGCGACGTATTTTCAAATTGTGTGATTCTGATAAAGACAACGTGCTCAATGATATTGAACTGAATGAATTCCAGGTAAACAATATATATATATATATATAAATCTACTTCATACTAATAATAAGTTTTTCTTTTTTTTTTATTTTATGTAGCGAAAATGTTTTAATACACCTTTACAACAACATGAATTGGATGGTGTAAAAGATGTGGTGCGTGAACATGAACCAGCTGGTGTCAATGAAAATGGATTGACTGAAGTTGGATTTGCCTTTTTACACTCTCTCTTTATTCAAAAAGGTCGGTTGGAAACTACTTGGACTGTCTTACGCAAATTTGGTTATGGCGATGATTTATCCTTACGAGAAGACTTTTTATTACCACCTTTTGAAGTTCCTCCTGAATGTTCTGTTGAACTTAGTCCTCATGGTTACCAATTTTTGACTGAACTTTTCCAAGCATTTGACAAGGTAAAAAAAAAAAAATATTGGATATCGGACCAATATTATATTTTTGACAAAGGAATATCTCATTTTTATTATTCTTATTCTTATTATTATCATTACTTGATTGATTACTTAGGATAAGGATGGCGCTTTGAATATCTCCGAACTAAACGAACTTCTTAGTACATCTCCAGGCAACCCATGGGAAAACACTGCATTTCCTCATACGACAATTACAACAGAAACTGGATCAGTTACATTACAAGGATGGTTAGCTCAATGGAGGTAATTTACAATAAAAGAAAGGATTTTATCTCATTAACTTTTTGTATTTATAGTATGACTACATTATCGAATCATCAAACAGCACTAAAGTATTTGGCTTACCTTGGATATGAAGGAGATACACGAACAGCTCTCAAGGTGACAAGACCAAGAAAAGTGGATCGTAAAAAGGGCAAGATTCAACGCAATGTATTTCTTTGTTACGTCGTTGGTGCTCCTGGATCTGGAAAGGTATAAAACAATAATAATGTTTTATCTTTTGTTTAATCTGTAATCAACTTGATATTAGACATCCTTGATGAAAGCCTTTGTCCAAAAACCATTTTCTGAAGTATACGAACCAACACAAGAACCATTCAATGTTGTCAACTCTGTGGAAATGAAAGGTGTGGAAAAATATCTAGTGGTATGTGATGAAAATAGCAATAATAATATAGGAATCTATGTTTAATATTTCCCACTTTTATATTATAGTTGGAGGAAGTAGGGGCTCAACGTGAAGCAGAAATATTATCAAGCAAAAAGCGACTTGAGGCCTGTGATCTATTATGTTTTGTGTACGATACAAGTGATGTCAATTCTTTCGAATATTTGGCAAACCTAAGGGTAAATTAATTCATTTTTATCATAATTGAAACCAATATATGATTTTTTTTTTTTATTTCGTATTGTGTATGTTAGGAAAAGTACAAATTGGATCATGTTCCTGTTGTGTTTGTAGCAACAAAATGTGAATTGGATTTAGTGACTCAACGATATGAAGTACAGCCGGATATTTATTGTCGTCAATTGAAACTCGCTGTACCATTGAATGTGTCTGTCAAGGAACATCAAATGGCCGATTTGTATCATATTCTTACAGGTGTTGCCATGAATCCGTAAGTTTTTGTTGTATATGATATATATAGATTGATTTTACTTTCTTTTATAGATCTATTGCTACTCCTGGATCTCTTAAACAGAAAAATGAAGAAGCATGGTTACCTCGTCATTATATTACCCTATCCTTGGTAGCTGGTGCGGTTATACTGACAAGTCTTGCTGGATACAAACTACTGAAACAACATACAAATACATTTGGTCCACAACATGTTGCCTCTGCTGCCTCAAAAAAACGGGATTACTTATAATACTCTTTTTTTTTGTAGTTTATGTTTTTTTATTTTATTTTTATTATTTTTTATTCCTTTGTTGGTGTTATGCGGTTGTATTTTTATGTTCTATATATACATATCTTCTTTTTGTCTTATTTCTCCCCTCTTTCTCATTCTTGTTATTACTGTTGATGACATTGTTTAATAAACAGATGACAACGATTTCTACAGTCTTTTTTTTTCTCGATGTATGGTCTGTGACCGTAGATAATATGAGATAGTGGGATGAATAACGAATCAATATATCGATGGATCAATGATGAACACAAGTACTACATTTATTTCATAAATAAGAGAAGATCTACCAACTGTATGTTTCTTATTCTAGCCACATAACAGATGATTCATTTGATGACATAGAATAGTAAGGCATATGTTCATAAATAAATAAATAAATAAATAAAATAACTTAAGGAATCGGTCAGTGTGGAGAATGAAAGGCATCACAAAAAAAAAAAAAAAAAAAGAAAAGGGTAAAAACTAAACAGAAGAGAAGAAAAAAAATGTAAAACATATACTACAATACTGTTTGCCCTTTTGATAACAAACCAATCAAGCAAAAAGTTAAAATGAATAAAAAAAAATATCAAACAAATAAATTACACTAAAGTAAATGAGGAAATCTACATATAATCCAAGGAGGAATTACTCTAGCGACATTGAGGTGGGACATCGAAGCTTTCCTTGCGTTGTTCAATCCATCCTTGTTTCGCCAATTTAGCCTTGACACCCAATCCACGTTTAGCAAAACCAGCATAAATATCACAATAATTGGCACCTCCAGTCAAAGCCTTATCAGCATCCAAAATAGCGTCCCGAGCATCAGTGAAGGAAGGAGAACAAGGTTGAAGTTTCATACCATCCAAGACTAATTGTAAAGCCAATGTGTTACCATGAGAAATAATATGATTCTTTGCATTTTGAATATCTTCATCAGACATGATAGGTATACCACGATTGTTTGTAGTAGTAACAGTGGCAGGAGGGAGCCAATCAGGAGTAAAACCATGCTTGTCGACTAAATTCCAATACACTTCATAAAGCATTTCGGCCCACACTTCACCTTTAGCATGAACGCCCCAATAATCAAATCGGTCCATAATACGGTAAGTACTAGGATTGGTGGATTGACTTGTAGAATACTATATATATATAAAATATGTTAGCAAAAAAAAAAAAAAGATTACATGATTCATTTACCTTGTATTTTCGAATACCTTCACCACCATTGGCCCAATTACCCATACCAAAATCAATATCACGTTTGTATTCAGGCTTCATACGAATAATGGTGGCAACAAAATCACCCCAACCTTCACCCATACCACCAGCTTCACCATAACCAAGACAGTTGCTGTTCTTTGGACCACCAGTCAAACGATTGGAAACACCATGTGTATATTCATGAATCACAATACCGCTTTCAAAATCACCATCACGCATAGGACTTGTTTGGTCCCATACATACATTCGCATCTTGCCATGTTGACCATCTGGAGGAGTAGCAAAATTGGCATTATCTCGACCAGAACCATCTTGAGCATTGGCCACTACAGCGTCACCTTCGCCATCATCTACTTGTTGATCCTTAGCCCGTCCACGACCTAGATTGTCTTGTTGAAAGTTACCTGCCTTTTCATCAAACCCATAACGATGGAACAAATCATGCGCGGTATTACACCAGTAGAATAAATTGGTCACTGCGGCATCTTCGTAAGTTTCAGGTTCATCCACATCAAATCTAGCCTTGTAATCAAATACCAGAGCATCACCAGATTCACCACCAGTATGTCCTTGAGGTCGATAATTGTTTTCCCAGTTGTATCCGCCATCTGGATTAGTATGGGCATAGACATTGTTACCGACTGTCACGTTGAATATTTGATTTTGACCTTTCCCGCTATAACCACCTTGTGAATGCCAACCTTCAGGACTAGCGAATAAATCGTAAGGATTCTTGATTAATTGTTGATCAGAGTCAGAAGGATCATTGGCACCAAATGGAATCACATTGTAATAAGTATCAACAGGACCAGATTCATGAACCCAATCAATAAGACTAACCATAGTACCATCAAAGGCATGGACTTGACCACTATACCAGTTATCTTCCAGTTCCATTTCTACATCCCATACAAGAGCGAGATCACCATTGTTTTGTTGCACATAAGCTCGACGAACACGGACTGGGTTAAGAGAAAAGGGAACACCTTCGAATTGTAGAGTAGGTTCACCATTGCCATCATCATCATGAGGTCGAAGAGAATGCGTAGGCGTTAGATCATCAGGGCGTAATTTTGAGGCGATGCTTGGATCTGGTAATTTTGGTTTCACAAAGTCCAATAGTGCTACCACTGCTTCATTGGGCGAAATCAAGTTGTGACCTTTAACAAAGTTGTATTGTTCTTCCACTTTTGCCGCTTCTTCGGAGAATCGTTGATCACTTTGCTTAAGACTGCGGTTACTACCCAAAATGATTTGTGCCAATCCACTTTGAACTTGCTATCAAAACAAAAAAAAAAGATGTTAGCGTTTTATCCAACTTTTTTTTTGACGTTTCATATATGTTGATCGTTTTTTTTTTTTTTTTTTTTTTTTTTACCTGGAAAAAAGAAGTAGGAGAAAATAATTTTTGAATTTTAATATGAGACTTTGCAAAGGAATCGCCATAAGATAAGATTTGACCATTTGGAAGGACGTTAACATTGATATTTGCGTTCAAAACTTGTAGACCTTTAACAACTTGACGAAGATGGACATGAGTTACACCATTGAGATCTGACTTGTAAGAAGAATGGACAATGAATTCACTTGAAGTAAGACGGGAATGTACAAAGTCCAAAGCAGCTTGTACAGGTTCTATTTGTCCAGTTAACGCGGCTTGATAAGAAGAAGGAATAGTTGTATCTGCAATATATTCCCGATGAATACCATCAGGTCCAAAGTTAGGTACAAGTTCTTGTTGTTCTGAATGTAAAGGAAGACTTGCAGCTATAACTTGACTTATACCAAGAAAAAGTCCAATGGCCGAACTAATAGGATATTTCATAACTAATTGAAAGAGATATATATATAATATATAAATAAATAAATAAAAAATAAAAAAAAAAGAAGTAGAAAAAAAAAAAAGGGGAAGAGGGACAAAAAAAAAAAAAGTTGCCTACTTTTTAAAACAAAGGCGTGCTTTTAAAAATTATTGTCATAGTTCTTGATAACGAAAGAATTCAAATGCATCGGTGATTATGCTAGCCTATAAATACCACATGATCAAATCACTCTTCCGCGTGATGTCCAGTCCTTCCTTCCTTCTTTTTCCTCTTTATAAAAGAAAAAACCAGTCGATCCCTTCTGTCTTTTTTTTTTTTACAGGTCAGCTTATCATTTTTATTTGGGTAATAGTTACCGTAAAAGGTGATTGAAGGAAAAATCAACAATAATGGCGAAATTATGTTATGAGCCAATGATTTGTATTGTAGAAACCAACTTTAGGGGTAAGGGAAAATATTAAGAACCTGTTAATGCCCTATGACGAACGTAAGTTTTTCTTTTTTTTTTCTTTTTTCATTATGATATCCTTTTTTTTTTTCTTCTTTTCTTACAGTAACAAGATGATTTATTTTCTCTTTTTATTCTTTATCAAACCTTTTTTTTTTTTTTTTCAACTTGTACCTACTGTTCATGAGTGTGAGAATATGGATAAGGGGGTTTTTTTTTCATTGAGATCCATTCATTGGACAGTCTGAGTGTGAACTTGTTCCTATATTTTTTTGGCTCAATTCAAAGTATACATATTTTTCTTTTGTCTTTTTCCTATTGTTACGCCTAAACTTTTGTCTACTATTTTTATGAATATGGTGGAACCTACTGCTACTGAAGCTTCCAATACCTTTTATATTGATTTCAAAAAAGGAAAACAAGGTATTTCCAATGTATACGTCTTCTACTCATTGACATCATCTAACTATATATTACTTTCCCCCTCTTTTTTTTTCTTTAGTTATAGAAGACGCGATCGAACAATCCAAACAATTACCCAAAGATCAATTATCAGATCACTTTAGTAGTATACTTCAACAAATCAATCAATTAGATAAGCAGATTACCAAAGCAACAACTTATATACCCTCTTATGATGAACGACAATATGCCTTGGTAAAACTCACAAAGAAAGGAAAACACTGCACATCATATTCACTCAACACCATCACTTTTTTTTTTTCTTTCTTATTTGGATATAGCAAATCCGGGAACTCACAGGTTTACTTGATGCGGTTCGTATGCAATTAACTCCTAAACCCAAATTCTCATTCAAAAGCAAACTCGGCAAATCGAAACCCAAAGATAATACTGTGGCTACTGTTACTACTACTAGTACTCTTACTGCTGGTAATGAAATCATCATTTTATGAATAAAATATTCTCAATATTATTAATGATACTTGTTCTTTTTTTTTTTTTTTAATAACCCACTTACTAAATTAGGTCCTTTGGACAACATTAGCACCTCTTTATTGGAAAATACGATCAATTTCACGAACATGGAAAATCAAGTATTAACATTATCGGAAAAAGGGGAAGAAGTATCAAACGCAGTGGATATATCATTATCATATTTGACAAGATGCGTGATCTGGTTACCAACAAAGACAATTCATATTTCGGCGGTACATATCAAGCAACTTAAAGAATGTATCATTGTATGTGGCAAGGTTGAAGGTTCTATCTTGATGTATGGTCTTGAAGATTCAATTTTGGTGGTAGATTGTCATCAGGTACGTAATAAACAACATAGTCAGGCAAAAAAAAAAGAAACCAGAAAAGGGAACAAATAAGGGTCATCATTTTTTTTTTTTTGTATCTTAAAAGTGAATCTCAACATACTAATATGGCTATTCTTTTTTTTTTCTTTTCTTTTTTTGATGATGACTCTGGATAGTTTCGGATGCATGATGCTCATAATGTGGATGTCTTATTGCATGTCTCAAGCCGACCTATTATGGAAGATTCAAACGATATCCGGGTTGGTGATAAAGAACAAAAGGTAGATAATAAGAAAAACAAAGAATTAGAAAAAAAGGGGTGCAAGATGAGGAAGTAGGGGTCAACCGAGATAACGTGATTTCTAGTTATTTTTACTCACTACAATCTTTTTTTTTTTTTTTTTTTTTTTTTTTTTTTTTTTTTTGCATATATTGTTATTATTTGTCCTAGTCATCCACTAATTATTTTGATCAGATGGATGATTTCAATTGGTTGAAACAACATGCCTCTCCTCATTGGAAGGTGATGGATAATGATAGAAAAGAACAATTAGGTTATTCGACTCGCAGCTTGATAGGATTAGAACAGTTAGATTTGATAACTAAAACGTGAATAAAAAGGGAAAAAATCAATTTTATGATTATCTATTTTTGTCTATTTTGTATGGTATAGTTGAATTTAATTGTGTTGGTTGCACTTGATCCATTTGAAAGGTTTATGATGGTTAGTGTTATCTAGAATATGATTAAGATAATTTGGCTAAAGCAAGATGTTTATTGGTTCAAACTCTACTTTGCCTTGATGATTCACTTCGTCAGACATGCAAAAATTTTCTCACGAGAACTTCTTTTTGTACTCTAAAGCAAAAAAAATACCTATCTACCCCATCCGATGTTCATTTTAGTAACTTTATTAAAAATACATTGGTTTATGTCCCTGGAATAGGATGATGAACCATGATGATACCCCATTTTGATCATTTAATAGTATTGATTCTCTTTTTTTTTTTTTTTAAATTTTGAAAGATATGATATCAATGATTATCGATACCACGTGTCAAACTATCATTGTCATCATTGTCAAGTTATTATTACTTGGAGAATGACCGGTGTCTCATGTTGCCTATCGTGAGAAAAACCAAACCAATGATGGGATAAACCTTACATTGTTTAGAAAATCCTCAACCTATCCCGATCTAAAACACCCACGAGCGAGGGAAAGTTTGGATTATATGCGTGTGCCTCAGTTGGCAAACATGAATTCTAATCTCCGCAAAATCTATAAAAATGAAAGCTCTTTTTTTTTTTCTCTTCTTCTTTTTATTGTTCCTATAACAAATCCAAAACAAGTTAATTTTTTTTAAAAAAAAATGTCTTCTTTCTTTCTCAAACAAAGATCTTATGCAGTGCGGAGTGGCTTCACCCACGTACTTTCTTCCTTTACCGCTGGACAACAACAACGTCAAGCAGTGGCAGGGATGGTACGAAAAGGCTTGCTAGTTCGTTCTTTCTCTGTCTTGACTGAACAAGTCAAAGATACCAAGCTGCCCATGTTTACTGTTGGAACTCCTAATGGTTTTTTACCTCGTCAAGATCCTTTGGTGACTCTTCCTGATGAATTCAAGCGTCTTGAATCCTTGTTGCAACGCATGCCAATTCAATTATTGGATGGTCAGCCTGGTTTGCTGGCCAGTGGTCAATTTGGTGAAGCTGTCAAGGATGAATTGCCTTTGTATGATGTGGATCATATCGAAGATCAACATCTTCTTTCAGGTAAAAAAAAAAAAAAAAAAAAAAAAAAAAAAAAAGGAATTATCCATTTTCTTGTACTGATCCTGTTTATTATTTACTTTTTTTCTAGCTCTTTTCCGTGATTACTCTTTTGCTGCCTCTGCTTATTTGCTGGAACCCTGTGATGTTCTTTATCGTCAACGTAAAGAATATGGTCTTGGCAGAAAGGTATTGCCAATGAACATTGCTGTCCCTTTGGATAAGGTGGCCAAGAAGATTCATAGCAAGCCTTTTATGGAATAGTAAGTACCTAATGATTTTATCAAATAATAATAATAATTTATCTCATTTCTTTTTTTTTTTTTTATCTTTTATAGTGCTTTGAGCTATGCGTAAGTGATTAATGATTGATGATTTGTATGATGATGACATGATATTTTTTTTTTGCTAACATTCTCTCCTTTTTTTTTAATGTAGTTTGTACAATTATAAACGTCTCAATCCTTTGGCTGATTTGACCTACGATAATTTAGCACTTGTACGTGCTTTCGCGGGAAGTGAATCTGAGTAAGTTGAATGCATGATTTTAGAAAAGTATGGACCAATCTCATCATGTTGATTCACATTTTTTTTTTTTAAATATAGAAAAGGATTTGTATTGAATCATGTTACCATGGTGTCTCATTCACCAAAGTTGGTCAAATATGCTGTGGGAGCTTTGGAAGCTGCTGCCAACAAGGATCGTGCTCGCTTTGATCAACAGATGGCTGGATTGAATGAAACCTATGAAACAATCAACAATGAAATGGAAATGATGTGGTCTCGTAGCTTACCTGAAGATTATATTGATTTCAGAACTTTCATCATGGGTACCAAGAATCAAGTAAGATGATACTTAAATAGTTATTCTTTTTTCGATAGCTCAATTTTTTTTTTTTTTGATTTCATCTTAGCCTATGTTCCCTGATGGTGTGATCTATGAAGGTGTGAGCGATCGACCTGTCGTTCACCGTGGTGAAAGTGGTGCCAATGATTCTATGGTACCTTTGGGTGACAATTTGTTGCAAATCACTGAATTGATGCCTGAAAATCCTTTGACGACGGTACTCAGAGACTTCCGGTCTTATCGCCCAACTAACCATCGTGAATTTTTGGAACATGTACAAGATCGTGCCAAGAAGGTGAATTTGAAGGAATTTGCTTTACAAGATCCTAATTCGGCTGGTATGTTATTTATTTTTGAATCATCATTTAAAATTATATAGTTATTGACTTTTTTTTTTTGGTAGCCTTATACCTTTCTAATGTCGATCAAATCCGTGCTTTCCGTCATCGTCATTGGAACTTTACCAAGGAGTATATCATCAAGTATACCGATCATCCTGTAGCCACTGGTGGCTCCCCTATCGTTACTTGGTATGTCAAAAATGAAGGATAAAATTATCATCATGCTTAGTCACTTACTTTTTTTTTTTTTAAATAGGTTGCCTAATCAATTGTCGGCTGTATTGGATTTGTTGAATGAAGTTAGCGCTGGCATTGACCGTGAACAATTGACTGAAGCAAACAAGATCCGTGTCGATGAAATTGGTAAACGTGCTATTGCTCAACAACGTTTCCTTACTCGTGAAGTTGAAAAGCTCAGAACCCGCTTCAAAAATCAAGACAAGACTGAATAAACGGCTATCTTATTCTCTATATGGATAGATTAGTATATGTCTCACTGTTTTTATTTAGCTAGTATCGAGTATTTTTACTTTTCCATTCATATAGATAGTATGATCCCTTTTCTTGATTTGATTCTTCTTATTTACGTCAATAAACAGTTTTATGGAAAGCAGAATGGATGATGGATTATATGTGATGATGGTGTATGGATAAATGTAACTACAATGTGGTTCTCTCTCCTCCTTGATTCTGATGGTGTTAGTTCTTTTATCTGTAGATATGCAAAATGTAATCATCTCTACTTTCTTATTTTAATCAAGCCATATTCATGTTTTATTATTGCTAACATCATTATTTTTTTTTTCTCGCTGTCATCAACTCTATCATTCTCAACCATCTTTAATAAATTTATCATCCACGATCCAAAACCGTCGTCCACTAGCACAAAAAAAAAAAAAAAAAAAAAAAGAAATCCAACAGAGTAAGCAGAACGTCTGTACTGTAGTATTTATTGATAATTCCATTCTAACTAATCCACTGACAATATATTTCTAATATACACTATTCTATTGATAATCTATCGCTAATCTACACTAAAAAAAAAAAAAATTACAAAGAGGAAGGATGTGATTTCAAAGATTCGATAGGCCACCTAGGTAATGTCGTAATGGTATAATCATCCACAAGTCCAGCTTGTAAACGTTCGATGCCAGCCCAAGCAATCATAGCACCATTGTCTGTACAGAGATGAGGAGGAGGACATACAAGAGGAAGATCAAAAGAACGAGCAAGCGTTTCCAATCGAGTTCTAAAGAATTGATTACTTGCCACACCGCCACTAACGACCAAAGCCGTGATAGGTTTACCCAACTTGTTGATTTCGTGATCCATCGCCAAGGAGAGTTTTTGTTCAATATGTCGCATACACACCGTTTGGAAAGCTGCCGCCATATCTGCAATACGTTGAGGATCCGCAAGTACATTGTCTTTTTCGATGAGTCGTATCACCGCCGTCTTCAAGCCCGAGAAACTAAATGCCATTGTCGTCTTGTTGCGTTGAAGCATCGGCATTGGAAGTAAAGGCGCGTATCTGTCGGATGATCCATTCAATGCTGCTCGCTCCAATGCTGCTCCAGGTCCACCACGTCTTCCCTTGATCCATGCTAAATCCAACGCACGTGCAGTTTTGTCAATCGCTTCGCCAACAGCATTATCCAGTGTTGTTGCCAATGCATTATAATCGCCAATGTCATTCACCGTCAATAGTAATGTATGTCCACCAGAAATAAGAAGTGTCATGAATGGAAACGCTGGTGATAGTATATTGTTCTTATCTTCTGTTGTTGTCATACGCGCTGTCAGAGCATGAGCTTCCATATGATGAACGCCAATCAAAGGTTTCCGATGTACAGCAGCTAATGTCTTTGCTGCATTCAATCCTACAGGTAGACATGGAGGTAAACCTGGTCCTCGAGTGACAGCAATCGCATCCAAATCTTCCACAGTAACTTGAGCTTGTTCCAAAGCTTGACAGATCACAAGAGGTAGTTGTTCAGAATGACCTTTGCTAGCCAGTGTTGGTACCACACCACCCATCGGTTCATGAAGATTTTGTTGACCTTTTACCACTTCAGAGAGAATCGTACGATCAGAACGGACAACTGCAGCTGAAGTATCGTCGCAGGAAGTTTCAATGCCAAGTACTGTCAGTAGTGCATCATTATTTCTCTTATTAACACTGGTAGTGATCAATAATCGTCGTTGTGTTAAGGTATAAAAGCATGGTCGTTTTAGTAATTTGAGCCCTTTAATAAACATGATATCGAAAAAAAATAAAAAAAGTAAAAAAAAAAAAAAAAAAAAGTTTTTTATTTTGAGGTGATTTCAACCCCCGGCTACTGCAACAAGAAAGAAAAGAAAAAAAAAATCGTACAGGTCCAAAATTTTTCTTTTTTTTTTTTTTTTTTTGTACAGGCCGTCGATTTATAGAATAAATTAAAAAAAAAAAAGATCAATATCATCATTTAATAAAAGCACCATCACTAGTTTTCTTTTTCAAAGTAGTTTAAGATCATCAAATACCATTTCAATGGACCCAATGCAATGCCACGTGAGGAAAATATGTATCGTTGTATACTTTTGTAACCCACTCAAAAGAGGTCATCATCGTACCAAATTTGGATCGAACGTAGATGAAATCATTCTCTCTTTCATTTACCATAATAATAATAATTTATACATCCCACTTTTATAGAGTAAATTAAAAAATAATATTGTCATTTCTCATCAAATAATCATCCAATAAAATGACCACCATTGGATTCCTTCTTTTATGGTTCATAATATCTCCTTTTTTTTTTTTTTTTTATTTCTTGTCTCAACGAATAAACTGAAGTGATGACTCGTATTCTCCATCACAAGACTATCATCATACATGTATATGCTCTGTGCAGTATGAAAAGTAGACTATACATGCTTGAGTTACTGGAATATACCTTTAAGAGTTCAAAATATATATGTAATATTCTTTGATTGAGATGATCGTCTTCCTTTTTTGTTACATCACTCCTGTTTCAAAATAGTGTAAAATAGAAAAGGTAGGATAACTTCTAGTATGCATAAAGATATTTTATTCAAATGTAAGATGTTGACTGTCCCTTTTCATTAGAAATAAAAAAACAAGTTTATCATGACCTTGTCTACATAAAAATGCATAAAGGAAAAGCTAATCAAGGGTAATTCGTTTTGAGAGTGAAAAAAAAGAGCGGGTTATGATATTTGTCATTGAATGAAGATCATCATCTCATTTATATTATCCCAATTGGTTGGTTACCATTCTTTTCCCCTTAATCTGGTCCCCTTACTCATCTTTCTCTTTTTTTTTTTTTCAAAAGAACATTGCATGAACTAGCATTGGATGAACTGAGAATAAGTAAAAGAAAATAAACATCAAAAGATAAAAAAAAAAAATTAAATGATGATATGGTTTTTATTATTTGTTTGAATAAAATAAAAAAAAAAAGGTTGCGTGATATTAACAAAAAAAAAAAAAAGATATGAAATAAAGATGTTGCATAATGTATGTTTTGACAAAGTATGTAAGATGTAATAATAATAATAAATAATAAACAAAAGAAGAAAGGGTATAATAATAAAAAAAAAAATAAAAAAAAATTGATTCTATATTTGTTGACAATTGTTCATTGCTAAGGCTAAAGCTTTAAGATATTTGAAAGCTCTTTCTAATTCCAAATCATGACCATCTCTGTGTTTCATTAGATCTAAGAATAAAAAAAGATGAATGAGAAAAATTGAAAACATAGCCGCGCGTTCATGTTGTATTACCTTTCACCAATAAACAATATCTTGTAATTCGTTGAATAGGTGCAATCAAATAATCCGATAGTCCCATTCGTCGATTTTCTTTCTTTTGTAGCACCGCCTATAATATTAAAAAAAAAAGAAATTCGGTCAATGGTGATCAAAAAGGCAAAAAAAAAAAAAAAAAAATTGGATATCCGGTTTTCGTTGTTGTACTACTACTTACTTGCATCCATTGTTGATAACTTGGTTTCTGTTCCATTCTTGTAATACATTTTTGTGCCTTGGCAAAATGAACAGCATAATATGTATATACTTTGAATTCATCTTCTAAATCACAAAATGTTTTCCCAATATCATGTCGACTATCCTTAACCATCACTTTGCCATTTGTATAATATGTTTGTTGTTCAAGAGAAACACACCATCGTCGTACCAAAGTAGAAGATAACAGGATTAATTGTGGAATATGACCAAAGATCGTTTGTAAATCCCGGATCATATATCGGTGTTGAAATGCTTGTAAAAATGGATCTATAATCGTCTATAAAAAAAAAAACGGGTTGATCATCAATTAAAAATCTTCACGTTATTTATTTAAATAAAAGAAATAGATTTTTTTTTACCTGTTTGAAAGTTGATAAATGACCAAGGTAAGTTTCTTCTGTGGCCAGTAATTCTGATATGATGCAATATGCCAACCTTGATGAATCGTTTGAATGTCGAGGGGTAGGTATTTCAAATGCAGGATCAAGCAGGTATCCATGCAGAGTTTCTCGCCACATATTCAAAGCCTTGCGTTCTTTTAGTAGTTGATCTGATGTAAAGAGGCGTCTTACACTTGATGTTGATAATGATGGTGATGGTGATAATGTTGGCGATTCTTCCAAAGTAAATCGACGTTTAAGATGTTTTGAAAGTGTTGCTCGTCTTGATAATGTTCTGGGAGGTGCTGATGAAGTTGAGGTGATACTGGTAAATGATTGGGGTGTATTAGATCTTTGTCGTTGCTGTTGATGATGATTGTCTGTGCCAGAATCCGAATGTCCAGATAAGGAGAGATTATCAAACATAGGTGATCCCATAGAATATGTACTTGATCTATATCCGTTATCCTGATCATTGCTAAATGAAGTAGAGGAACATGATGAATAAGATGTAGTTGTGGAAGAAGAAGTGGAGGATGTTGTATGTCGTCTTTGTCGTAGTGAGGATTGAGTGAGTGTAGTATCGATAGTATTGATATGAGGATTAATAGAGGCGGCTGTCATTTCCAATATCGTAGGTGACCCAGAATAGAAGTAAGTGGAGTTGGGTTCAAAAATAGCATTATCAGTATTAATTGGAGCAGGTGGTAAAGGTTTGCTATAAATTTTGCTAGAAGGTTGAATATTGGATGAGTCAGAGAATACATGGTCGACAGTATCAGTTGCCCAAAGACGTGCCTCAATAGTTTCAAAGGAAAGTGATAAATAAGGCGCTGGCATAGTCGTCATTGTTTCTTTTATCCAAAAAAAACGAAAAGAATAAGAATGCTGTGTGTATGTTTATAACCGTACGTATATAATAAAATAGGTATATATGTAATGTACGTCAGTATATGTTCGTAATATATAAATATAAAATAAAGAAGATGGGTATACAAAGAAAGAAAAAAAGAACAAGAGAAAAAGAAAGAAAAAAAAGAAAAAGGGAGAGAACAAAAAAGAAAAAAAAAATGTTGCTAAGTACAGACACGCGATTTAAAAGCCAGCGAAAAGCTTCTTTAAAGGGTCAAGTGGAATAACGGATCAAAATACTTGTTCGGCCTCCGAAGGAGGGTTTGTTCTTAGTTGCTCGTGTTTTGATCACTTGAATAGGCAGGGATTTGGTGAAACATGGAAACAAGCCAAAGATTAACATTCTATCCATCAACAATATATCTCTGATTCTACGCTTATTTCAACAATTGTAAACTAGTTCGTTTTTTTCCATCTCTTTCTCTCTTTTTCAACACTACATTCTATGTACAGTATGAGCGGAGTATGTGTTGCAAGGCACTAGGGAAAATTAAAAAAAAAAAAAGAAGTTGACAAGTGCCACAAAGGATCGTCGTCGTAGAATATAGGTGGTAGCACTCCAATTGAGAATATCAAACTCTTCCCTAGTACAAATTGGTCGGCTATGCTACATAAACAACAAATAGACCAATACTTTTTGGGGAAGATTTCATAAAACCCATCATTATCCTTATTGAGTTGCCATCCCGATCCAATAGTTAGATTTTTTTTTTATTATTTTCAAAGATCTAAATATGGAAAATGAAAGTGTGAACGTATAGTATCATATCATTATTACCCGTTATCATTATTAATGAATGTCATCATTAATCACTATCGCCACTATAAATCAATATAATATTTATGGATTTATTCGTTTGATTATTCATAGATTACCATTAAGCAGTAACATTTTCTTATCTTATGTTATTTCAATTTGTCGATTGTATTTCTCAAAAAAAAAAAAAAAAAGGTCTGTCATCACATTTTTATTCACAATAAGAAAAAGAAAAAAAAGGTCAAATGGTATAAAATGAGAATGTGTATATATCGTTTGTATATGTATGAGTATATGAGAGAGTGTGGGTGTCTATGATAAACGTATGTAAATGTATATATATATATAAGTAATAGTGAAAACTTTAAAAATAAAGGGGGTGGGGTAACCAGGGATATTGTAAAACCAAATTCAAAAATCAGCAAAGAGAGATTTGTAAGGGTCTTCATTGATATCAGATAATACATGTTCGGCCTCCGCAGGATACTTTTCAAAGTTACTCGTGTCTTGATCACTTGAATAGGCAGGAATAAACGGGGCCTGTTTTGGTTCATGGAAAAAAAAAAAAGTAGGTCAGTTTGAAAGAAAGGAAGCATGTGATGATCTTACCCTTGCAGATTTCTTTAGTAATCCAAGCCAATCAGTACCACGAAACCATTTGTGCATCTTAATATCATCAGCACCACCTTTCAAGTTACCGAGTCTTCGAGTTCGATCAATCACCAATAGTCGTTTCAATAAATCCTTTGCCGAAGTTTCCAAATAACCAGGATATTGTACCTTACCACCGAGAATGCGTTCATAAATACCAAAATGATTATCATCATAGAAAGGAGGATAACCTGCTAACATTTCAAAAATCAAGATTCCCAAAGACCACCAATCCACTGCTTTACCATGACCTTTAGATTGAATTACCTCTGGTGCAAGATATTCAGGTGTTCCACACAATGTCCATGTACGATCGGTTACCTTTTTTGCAAATCCAAAATCCGTAATCTTAATATGTCCTTCCCGATCCAATAATAAATTTTCTGGTTTAAGATCCCTATTATGTATATATGAAGTATTAAACTAATTATCATCATCAAATTTTCTCTTATTTTACCTATAAATGATATCTTTTGAATGTAGATATTCAATAGCCAATACGATTTCAGCAGCATAGAATCGAGTAGTATCATTTCCAAAACGACCAGCCCTTCGTAAATGTCTAAATAGTTCACCACCCAATACATATTCTTGAACCATATAAAGGCATTGTTGATCTTGAAATGTACAATGTCTATATATTAAAAAAAACAAAAAGAGTCAACTAATATATCTGATATATATATATATATATATATATATTACTTACAATTGAACAATAAATGGGAAATGTACACGAGATAGGACATATCGTTCAGAATTGATATGTTCTACTTGTTTAAGCCGGACTACGTCTGCCTTTTTCAATACTTTAATTGCATATACCTTGTTTTGAGTTTGTTCTTTTGCAAGATACACACGTCCAAATGTACCAGTACCTAATATATTGGTTATAAACAAAAAAAAAAAAAAGGGATTTTCGTGAGACAATTATAAACTTTGAAAAAAAGCATATATATATATATATTACCTAAAGTATCTAATAGCGTATAATCGTTGACGTTCCTTGTTAAAGGTTCTTTTTCAAAGACAGAAGACTGTTGTTGCCAATAAGAAAGTTGTTCTTGATGTGCTAGCCAGTTTTTAGTATCATGGTTACCAAAAGAAGAGATCGTGGTTGTATCTATATTATCATCTGATTTCTTTGAAGAGAATAAGTTTTGAATGGTAACAGTTGAACTGAAAGTAATTGAGTTTGTTGATGGTGGTTTTTGAGTCGAGTGTGAGTCTATAGGATCTATACAATCGTTAGAGTTGGAACGTCGTAATAAGGACGAAACAAGAGTTGATAGGAATCGTAAAGGCATTTGTATTGAAAATATAAAAGATGAGTTTGGAATAAATAAAAAGGTATTGATATTAATGGTTGAATATACAAATAAGAATAAAATATTACAAAATATAGTTCTATAAAGTAATACACTAATAATAATACTAATAATAATAAGTCTATGTGTGGAAATAAAGAAAAAGAAAAGAAAAAAAAAAAAGAAAGTGAAAAAGATCCCGTTTTCTTCGATACGAAACTGCTGGGATTCAATACAGTTTATTCACTTCATCAATCTACAATACATTTATTTTCTACTCTAGTTCATTAACAAGAAACAAAGAAACATTATCAAAGAGCACATTCAAAAATAGGTAATAGTTTCTCTTCTTAATTCTTTCTCTCTTTTTTTCTATGATCTTTTTTTTTTTTTTAAGCAAATCAATCCTACAAAAAAAAAAAAAGAAAAAAAAGTATTGAGTCTGTGTGTCTATAATGCACGTAGGTCGTATTCTCATAAAATACGGTATACATGATGGAAAAGAATCATCATCTTTACTATCACTATAATTAATCAATTCATTTCATTCAATGATTACTTATAATCCATTCATTATCCTTTTCTTATTCCATTCACGATTATTTGATCCAACGTATTTTATCATGTGATAATAAATGTTTCATCATCCTTTGTAACAAATTACTTTTCTTCAACTTTATTTATTGTAGTCATTTGCATATAAAATAAAAAAATAAAAAAAAGGAGAAATGTTTTATCTAAATTATCGTAATTGTAATCTATCACTATCCTTTGGACAATAAATCGGAGCATCCACTTCAAAAGTTAATACTTGAGGTATTTGACTGGAAGGAGTATACATCATTTGCCTATACAAGAAAAAAAAAAAATAAAAGAAGACATCAGTGTTTCAGTACTAAACCTACCATATGATCCTTTCCATTTTCTACATACCAAAGTTTTTTTGCAAACCATTCATGAGCTAAAGCACTAGGATGAAAACAGTCAACATCACTATAAATAAAAGATATAAAATCAAGTAAATAACAGTTAAAAAAAAAAGTAAAGAATATATAAATACAATTTTGTTTCCATCTTTTTTTTTTTTTTTTTTTTTTTTTTTTTTTTTTTTTTTTTTTTTTTTTTTTTTTTTTTTTTTTTTTTTTACCTAATAGCTTGAATAGGAAAAGTGTTGACATCCACTGGTAAAGGATGATATACCACAGCAAAAGAATCATTTGCATACATAGGAGATTGATAATAAGCTGCCACTTTTTGAAGAGCATCGTTGTATTGAGGAACCAATTGAGCCATGATTGTTCGATTAGTTTCTGAATGAGCACACATACATTCATGATCGTGTAGGACAAAATTGTTGTGAGCAAACGGTTGACAATAAGAGGGATAAGCTTGTGTTGCCGTAAAAATTTCATCCACTCGAATCATTCCCACTAATTGAACCAATACATTTGGAATTGTTAGTCGGATCCTTTCTATTGCTTGTTGTACGTTGATAGTATAAGGTGCTGGTAAGGATGAATTGACAACGCATGCATGACATATATCGTTGGATCCAATAAATATCGTCATTAGTTTCCAATCAGATGAATGTGCTTGATTGTTTTTATATGCTTTATCCAGTTGTTGTAAAAGGTAATCCAATTCGTGATTCAGATTCAAACTTCTTGCACCAGATTGCGCTGCATTTAGTACGTCAATGGATTCCTTGTATTGACCAACAGGACAGAATTGATCCCCTTAAAACATTGATAAAGAAAAATATCTGATTAATTAAAGATAACATAACAATATCATCTTTTCTACTTTTGTTTGTTTTCTTACCAAAACAGACTGTAATAATTTGTTCACCAATAGAAGAGCCATAAAGATCATGTGAATAGTATTGGATCAAGTTTGGTAGTGACACAATTCCTTGATCCTAGATAAAAAATAAAAAAAAAAAAAAAAAAAGATAAAATAAACGAATTAGGAAGGGATATAAAAAAATAAAACTTGACTACTTTCTCTTACCCCACCCATAGCAAAAGACACACCACGAGCTTCTTTGATTGTATTGAGACTAATATAATTCTGATTTATTACACCTTTCGCACCAAATCCAGCCATAACACTACAGTATTATAAAAATAAATAAAGAATAATAAATAAAAAAAAAAGCTGGAAGTCAAAACAATAGTTTATTTTCATATTCTTACCTATCACCAATCCCAATAATCACCTTGATATCATCAGCACGCAAATCAGATATTTTCCTAGCAGGTTGTCGTGGTGTCAAGAGAGGACAATCAATCATCAAAGGAGGACCAGAGTGTGTGTCATTGTTGTTGTTAGTATTGTTGTTGTTGATTAGCCCGTTGCCTAAAGCTTCAGTAGTCGTCTTCATCATCATGGGTGTTAGTAAGAATGTATAAAGATAGGACAGAACGGAGAGCAATATTGAAGCCATCAGTATCGCTGGATATAGAGTCAAAAGCTTCACATTCTTTTCTTGTTCCTTGAGGATTTCTATTGGTTGTATTTCATCACCATCTTGTTCATGTTTGACTGGTATAGTAACAGGTGATGTTGAAGTTGTTGATGATGATGATACTGCTGTTGTTGCATTATTGTTTCGATGATAGTCGGCGAATGACGATAAAACGGATTGTCCAGTAACATAAAACATGGAAGGTAAATATAACAGTATACGAATGGGTAATATCAAATTATAATACATGATGATTTATATAGATATATTCTAATCAGTGTAAAAAGGATATAAAAAGGAGAATTGTAGAAAATAAAATAGAGATAAACAAAAGGAAGATATAAAGGGGAAGTGAACTAGACTATTTTCTATTTGATCACACACATCATTTTATCACCAGAGAATACAAATATCGGTTGTCTATAAGGAAGGAGTCAGTCTATAAAGTTGCACACCAGATTTGAAAGCCAAAGGAGGGACCAAGCAAGCATCTTCATCAGATGGATGTTCATTCAACAAAGTCACATCAAAGTACTGTCGGCACAAATTCCAAAATCGTATTTCTTCATGAGCATCAAATCCGCGTCGTTTGTAACCAATAAATATCTTTCCACCATCATCTTCTTTTTGATTGCATAGATCTACGAATGATTTTATCAGATCTTCAAAAAACTCTGCTTCATAAAGTACATCAGATGCCAAGATCATATCTGCCTTCCCACATGCCTGAGCTTGTTTGTCATCTCCCCATAGTAATTTTCGGACTTGTAGATCGTTACATTTCTTGTTCAGGTAATCGTTCAGTGATATGTTGCTTTTGATCAGATCAACAGCTTCGTCAAGTTCGGTGATGGTGACTTTTGAAGGTTTAGCATTCTTGGCAACTGACAATCCTAATAATCCAGTTCTTCCAAAATAAAATCAAGGTAAGTCAATGATCTATTATATATATATATATATATAATATGTTACTTACCCAGCACTGAGATCCAAAACATGCTTTCCATTGAGATAGTTTGGTTTATATTGAACCATGCGTTCAAGCATTTGCAGCATCACCAAAGCAGAATCCCAAATCTTTCCAGGTATACCACTTTCCCAAGATTCATGGATGGCCACATTAAAAGTAGTAGTAGTAGTAGTATCGTCACTATTGTCAAGTTCATGAGCTGTAGCAGAGGAAAACAGACGGTAAGCAGAATGGACCATGGGTGTATTTTCTGGCCAAGTTTCGACAGTAGCATTTGTGCTGCCATTGTTGTTATCTACACTAGAGTCATTCGATAATTCAATAGGTCCCACTACTAAAGGTAATATCCAATCATCAAGTTTATTATTATTGTTGTTGTCAGCCTCATCTTGTTTTCGATGTTGAGGGAAGTTTTCCACACTTTGACAATAGATTCGAAGATAGCGTGGTCCACATTCATAGACTTTTTCTTGATTCTTCTTTGGTGTAATAGTATATTCAAAAGAACCTTTTCCACTCGCAAAAAAACCGGGAATACTAGTATTGGATAATAAAGTCGTGTCAGTACCAGACCAAGTAGTTGCGCGTATAGTCAAGTTACAAGTAGTATCAAGCTTCAAGGGTGTAAGGGATTCGGATGACGCAGGTACAAGAAGTTCACAACCAAGATAAATACAACCATCTGGTTCGATATCAGCCCTTTTGAATAATCCAATTTCATTAACAAGGAAGACTTCAACGCGATACCATTGATTTACTGTCACTTTCTGAATCAAAGGTGATCGTAAGTTCATTCGATACATGGCGAAATGATTTTCAAGTTTGGCACAAAATTCTTCGTCAGTTAAACTAGTCATGATAAAATAATATAAACAATAATAATAAAAAGAAAAGAAAAAAAAAGAAAAGAAAAGAAAAAATAACAAAAGAAAAAAATGAAAAAGTTGAAAATTGCTTTATTTGAGTTTGAAATCTATTTGCTTATACATATCAAGACACCAACAAGAATCAAAGCCATTCCAAACCAAGTATCTATTACATAGGTATAAGAATCAGACGTGATAAATAAAAAAAAAAAAAAAAAAGGATCCTTCCTATAATAAATCAAGCATTCATTCTATTACCTTTTCCGCCAAGTTCTTCCCCAAGACAAAGTCCAGTAAGTAATGAGAATATAAAGGTAAGTGAATTAGTGATTGGTACAGCTAATGACATGTCTAAATTGATAACAGTAATAAAAAAAAAATTAAAGATACTGTCAATCAGTTATCATTTATATTATCTATTGAAACGTTCTCTTACCGCTCTTGCCAAGGGTATAATAATAAACGACTGAACCACTCAGGTTGAGTGCCAGAGGTAAAACGTACTAAAGAAAAGAAGAAGAAAAAAAAAACGAATAAAAGGTGTGTAAGTTAAAATAATAGTTTATTATTATTATTATATTGGTAGTTTACCTGCCAGCGTGTAAGCAAGTACTTTAATTCGGCCAACCACTTCTTCCATCCACCTTCTGGATATTGACTTGAGACTGTCTCCAATCCTGCGCTTCCAGCTTTAATCAATGGATTCGTAGAGCCCCAACATATAGCCACTAGAAATAAAAAAAAGATGGTGATCAACTATAAAGGGAAAAATAGAAACATGCCCTCGTTTCTTATTGTTTTACCCAAGATGAATCCTGTTAGTTGCTCTATGAATAAATGTAATAATAAAGAATGAATGAGACAAGATTATAAAATTAATTTTGTTAATAATAAACGTACGTAAGACATCAGTGGCGAACATGAGAGAGAATTGGTATTGAAAGTGGGGAAGAGAAAAATGAAAAATGAAAAAGAATTGAAGCTGGAATTTAAAATTGATATCAGTTGAAAATGATACCATTGCAGAAATTCGATGTATTAGTTAGACTTTGTTCATTGATGTTGAAATGTAAAAGTGGATGACATGTGAAATAATACATGAGGTGATGATGATGATTGTTGATTTAATTCTGATGATTGATTATTTTAGATACTAAAGACCTTTTTTTCTTTTTTTTTTTTTAATTGTTTATGGATTTGAATTGTTTCAATTGATGGAATACTTCTGTTTGATCACTTTCCATTCCATCATCCTTTGTCATCATATATCATCCATCAACATTCATTGTAAATCATCATCATCTTTTATTAGATTTCTTTATGAAGTATTTCTAACGAAATAGTTAAAGACTATAGAGATGTTTCTTCTTCTCTTGGCATCCACCCCTCCTTTTCAATCATGGCGGGAATTCAATGTCAACTTACGGGTAAACATACAGATATATATGATTACGATGATGATGATGATGATGATTATATAATTAGATTGAAAGGAGGGAAAAACAAAAGGGATACTATGATACTTTACAGAAATGATATCGTTTAAAGAAAAAAAAAAAGAAAGAAAAGAAGAACACTATTTTAGGATTATGACAAATTTTCGCGGAAGCAGGATATAAAATGTAATCATTGCCAATCTGGCCAGTGAGTTTTCATTGATCTTATCTTCTCTATTTGGTAGTACGATCAGTGTCCCCCCGCTAACGCACCTACTCACCGACAATTGTTATATTCAAGATAATCATTATTCATTATTATTATTATTATTGAATTTAACATAGAATGATTCCTTTCTAATATTTTATCATACTTTCTTTTTATTTTTATTTTATTTTATTTTTTTTTTTAAAAAAAAAGAAACAAAGTCAAAGTAACAAATCAAAAATATAGAAAAGAAATAGGATCAGAAACCTTTCATCATCATGTTCATTTCCCGCTGGTGACTCAAAATTGCCCAAGAATTTTTTATTTTTCTTCATCCAACAAAATATATTTTTGGCAAAAAGAGATGATCTCAGTCGTAGATTGAAATGATTTTACAAATGAATATAAAATTTGCTCACCTTTTCTTTTCTTTCTCTTTCTTTCTTTTTCTTTTTTTTATTTTTATTACTCATTCATAGTTTATATACCAATCTATTTTAATATACATATATATATAAAACAATGGTGAACTCTGAAACCCCTCAACGTACTCGTAGCTCTTCTCTTACTCAAGTTAAACCAAAGGTCCTTCGTCCTTTCAACACAGCTGAAGTTAAAATCCTTTTGTTAGAAAACGTCAATGAAACTGCTGTCAAATCTTTCCAAAAACAAGGATATCAGGTATGCATATTATTTATATTGTTTTTGTATCAAATATATATTATATATATATATATATATAGAAATCTCATTATCATCTTTTTATTATCATTATTATTATTATTATTATTATTATTATTTTTTAATCAATAGGTGGAAACTTATACCAAAGCTTTAGTAGGCGAAGAATTGATCGAAAAAATCCGTGATGTCCATGTTATTGGTATTCGTTCAAAAACCAAATTGACCAAACAAGTATTGGATGAAGCCAAGAATCTTTTAGCTATTGGTTGTTTCTGCATTGGTACTAATCAAGTCGATCTTCATCATGCTGCTTCCAAAGGTATCGCTGTTTTCAATTCACCCTTTAGTAATTCAAGGTCTGTAGCTGAACTTGTTATTGGTGAAATCATTTCTTTGGCTAGACAATTGGGTGATCGCAACACTGAAATGCATCAAGGTGTATGGAATAAGGTATCAAAGAACTGTTTTGAAATCCGTGGCAAGGTTTTGGGTATTGTTGGTTATGGTCATATTGGTGCTCAACTCTCGGTATTGGCTGAAGCAATGGGTTTAACTGTCTACTTTTATGATGTTTTACAAATCATGCCTTTGGGTCAAGCAAAACAAATGGAAACCTTGGAAGAATTATTATCTATATCTGATTTTGTATCCTTACATGTTCCTGAATTGGAAGAAACAAAGAATATGATTGGCGAACGTGAAATCATGGATTACATGAAAAAGGGTGCTTATCTCTTAAATAATGCTCGTGGTACAGTGGTCCAAATTCCTGCTTTGGTCAAAGGTCTTCAATCTGGTCATCTCTCTGGTGCTGCTATTGATGTCTATCCTAAGGAACCTGCCTCTAATGGTCCTCACTTTACTGATTATCCTGATTTGTTGAATTGTCCCAATTTGATCATGACTCCTCATATTGGTGGTTCTACTGAAGAAGCTCAACGTATGATTGGTATCGAAGTCTCCTCCGCTCTTATCAAATTTATCAATGAAGGTGCATCCATTGGCGCTGTCAACTTTCCAGAAATTGACCTAAGAGCTATTCGAGAAGATGACAAGCATACCGTACGCGTTCTCTATACACATCAAAATATTCCTGGTGTCCTCAAGGAAATCAATGAAGTCTTTGCCGATCACAACGTAGAAAAACAGTACTCGGATTCAAAAGGGGATATTGCTTATGTTATGGCCGACATTGCCAACGTCTCTGAAGAACATATTTTGAAGCTTTACAATGCTATCGTCGCTACTCGTGCTAATATTCAAACTCGTCTTCTCTACTAGGTCTCTTTCTTCCTAGGCATTTGTTAGTATAGTTTTTATTATATTTATCATTACTTGATCACCTTTTTTTTTTTTTGTCATTAGTTTATCTTACCATCTTACTGTCATTCATTTTTCATTCTATTTTTTTTTTTTTTTTTTTTTTACCAGCATTCAACATACTCTATTTTTTAGAGCGAGCATTTATTTTCTATTTTTTATATATTTGTCCACTTTATTACATCATCAATTCAACTTGATTAATAAAAATGATGACCGTCTTTGGTCCTTTACATATGTTTCACTCTTATTTTATCTTGATCCTTATCATCATCTTTCTTTTTTTTGTGCCCTCAACCATCATCCGTCATCATCATATATAATCATAAAAAAACAATACTTTTATTGCCCAATCAACACAAATCACCCATCAAAAAAAAAAAAAAAAATGAATAAATAAATAAATGAAAAAAAAAAGAATACAAAACATAGGAATAAATAATCTAGAAAACTAAATCAAATTGCCCTCTCATCTAAAAGTCATCTTCGGTAGCAGTGATGTCCCCATATTCAAACATACCAATCTAATAAACAAAGAAAGAATAAAGTGAGTTCATATACTATAACAGAATCTTTTTTTATCAAATAAAAAAAAATAGCTACAGCAACAAGAAAAAAAAAACAAATACTTACACGTTCCCTTCTTGCAGCATTTTCGGCTTCTTGCAAAGATTTGATGATATCAGGGTAAGCAGCGGCATATCGTACCTTAGGAGTCACAATGGCTTGACCATCACGAACCATTTCCAAATTGATGCTTGCTTCGGCACTTGTAGATTGTACAGGATCATATACTGTAAGACACAAAACCCCATTTTCTCTTGCATCCACATTGGCCACCAATTGTTTCCCAGCTGTCAATTCATGGAAGCGTTCCATACATTCCACGCCATAATCAGCATCCTTGGCAGGACTCTTGACAAATGATAAGACAGCTTCTTGAGCTTGAGGTTTAAGAGATTTGAATTGACTTGCTAATGGTTGAATACGAGATAACGGAAGTGTTTCACTCTAATAAAAAAAAAAAAAGATGAATTAGAAATATAACCAATAAATAGAAAAAGTAATATAAACTTACATTGCCATAATCAATATATAAGACTTCAATACCTTCAGCCGACACACGACGTACCTTGGCACGATACCAGCAATCATCTTCTGTAAATTTAGCACTGACAACATCACCCACTCTAGGACGAGAAGCAGGTTCTGATCGATTTTTGTAATACACAGTAAGATCCTTCATAAGTACTTCTAATTGCTTGATTTCAATAGGATTGATGACTTGTACAAAGAAATGAGATCCGCTAACCATATCAGAGATAACAATGTCGATATATTCATGACGAGGTTGCAATACTGCTTCTTGTGCTTTGCTGATAGTTGCTTGTTGTTCTTGTTGTTCATCTTCAAATTGAGCATTTTCCCATAATCCTTGTCGTGATTCCTTTGCATTTCGTTCAGCGCCAAAGAATTGATTGGCATATCGAGATTCATTTGCTGAGTATTCGTGTACGGTTGCATATCCCTTGTTCAGTAATTCGATGGCAAGGTTGTTACCTCCAATAAAAAGATTACCAATAAAAGCACCAGTCTTGTCCACATTGTCTATTTCTACTTCCACCTTTTCCAAATCAACAATAAATGAAATTGATTCGTTTTTAGTATACATTTCCTATTTTTTTATTTTTTGATTCTTTCACTTACATCATGTTGAAGACATTGTTCTGTCACAAAAGCGAGGGCTTCAGGTCCAAATGGCTCAGATTTTTCACTTGCATTTTTACCAACACGTGGAGCACGGATACCAGCCAACACAAATGACAATCGACAGTTTTCTTTGGGAATCCATAAAAATAAGCGAGATCCATTGGCAACATGATCCACAACCGCGACTTGACGTTGATTACGTTTCAGAGAGGTCAAGAATTGTCTAGCCTTCGTCATATTCTATTCAAACCATAGAATTCCATTATGAGAACATCTTTATATATATATTGTTTTCTTCATTGATTTATTACCTCTGAAGCATCGACAATTCGTACAATAGGTTGTCCTTTTGTACTATGTACACCCTTTTGTTGTTCTTGAGCTCTAAAAAAAAATAATGATGATGGTTAGTCACTTGATCTTGTAAATCTGATTATACATACTTTGTTTCGGCAATCAGTAATTGATCATAATGATGAGATCGATTATCGTCGTCTTTACGATGACGAATAGCCGTGGCAAGACCCTTTTCCAATAATTGTTGTGCGATGTTGCTAATAAAAAGTTACAATATACCATAATAAGTTTCAATACATTATTCCTTTGATTCCTTTCTTAATATTCAATTTTTTTCTCAATTTACTTATTTCCAAGGGTAACTGTAGCACAATCTTTAGCTTCAAATCCATCTTGAGCAGGTTTCTTGTAATCAATAACAACATGTACCTAAGTTTCAAAAAAAAAAAAAAAAAGGAATAACGAGTAATTATAAGAAGGCAGAATATTTAGATATAAATGAATTCTACTCACTTGTTTGCCAATCAATTTCTTGCGTAAGAATTCACGAGCTTCAAACTGATACCCAACTTCCTTGACATCCCGGGACTTCGCACTACCACCTGGAGCTGTGCTACCAGTACCCCTACAGGATACATCGCATTATAAATAGAGTGAGGGATTGTCCACTGTTTACGGCATATACTTTCTTTTTTTTTTCTTTTTTACCTAGGTGCTTGTTTGATACTAGCAAGTTGGAGTTTTCTTTCAGTACCATTCTTCGTTTTGACTACAATAGTATCGCCGGTAACAATCTTGATCACTTGAGCATCGAATTCAGAGTCATTGATCTTTTCCTTTGCAACAAAATCTTTCCAAATACGAAGCTTCTTGTCTTTTGCAACTCTATCATAAAAAAGAGAAATATTGATGTTAATTGAATTGGATAGTGTCATGATCTTTTTTTGTTCTCTACTTATTTATTTATTTTTTTCAAGACTCACTTTTCGGCCTTTCGTAAAGCTAATGGTCCACCTGTAGTCATGGTAATACTCCAATCCACACATTTTGCCATACCATTAGCCAATAATAGTTCCGAGATATTACCAGCAGGATGTTGAATAGAACCCACAAAGTTTTGACTTCCACCTTGACTGATACCTTCCAATATGACCTTGACACCACGTTGAAGGAGACGTACCTCCACAAAATATTTGGCTTCTTCACCAAAAGGTTCACTGGGAGTTGTATCCGTTTGATCAGAAGGTAGATTATCACGTTTGCAGCTAGGAGCCTTGATACCAGATAAAAATAAGGTGATTATTTGTTGAGATTGATCAGGAAGAATCAGTAAAACACGATAGGTAGATGCGTCTCGTACTTGTTCAATAATAGCTAACCAAAAGAATAAAAAAAAAAGTTAGTAAAGCATTTGAATTACTTGGTATCATAAAATAGCTTACCATCCAATGGTTTTCCTTTATAGGTATTCAAAAATGAACGAGCATCTTTTTCCATAGTGTATGACACTTGACGAGAACCCTGCACGAATAAAAAAAAAAAAAAAAAGAGTGATCATTAGAGATAGAGCCATTGTCATATCCAAGCAACCACTTTATTTACTTACATCAATATCCGTATTCCATTGACCACGTTTGGTAAGTTGAGCTTCTTCTTCCAACAATCGTAATTCATTCAATTCTTGTTCATGAGCTTCATCATCTTGATTTGACTTTGACTTGCCTTCTCGAACCTTGAGCCATCCTTGTTGTACACCAAGATGAGCAACATTATCTCCATTTGCTAACAATATAGAGCCATATTCACGAGGAGGGTTGATAGTAGAAATAGTATATTCAGGAACAAATGTCACTTCTTTACCGACTAAGAGTTTACGCAAATATTCTCTGGCACCGAAAGCAAATTGCTATATATATATAAAGAAAGAGAAAGATATCAGTTTCATCATTTGAAAAAAGTAAATGTATTGTATTTATTTACCTCATCATCGCGAGAAGCATTCCCTAATCTTGGAGCTTGAACATTAGACAAGGCAAGTAAACGTTCAGCAGGTGGACCATTGGGTCTCGGTTTACCACGAAGAATGACAGTATCTCCAGATAAAACACTTTTGACCACAGCTTTGTGATGTTGAGCCATAATAATAGTTATTGAAAATGATGAAAAAATAAATAAATAAAATAAAAAAGACAGAGTAAAAAGAAAAAGAAAAGAAAAAAAAAACGCGCCAAAGGGGGAAAGACAAATTTGCAGCGGAGCAAGGATGAAATGCTAACCATCAGCCAACCGATTTGCACCTCGTCAGTTCCAAATGGGGGAGTTATTGTCTCAACCCTATGATCACTGGTTTTTTTTTTTTTTTTTTTACTGCTATTCAATTTATATGAATTCGTTCTTCATAGTATAAATGCTTATTTTCATAAATGTCTATATAAAACCAATTATTATTTTTTTAAAATATAGCCGAGAAAATTGAATGGTTCCACATACCGGAGAAACTGATTTGAGACTCTTGATTCTTCTTTTCCCCTCTAATTATGAAGGAAAATCAAAAAAAAAAAAAAAAGAGGGGACCAGTAAAGATGATGATTCAATTAATTACTTTTCATCGTTAATATTGCATCACTTTTTAATATGATTATGAGAATTAAATACGTTATATTTAGAATAATTGTAAAAAAGTGCTGTAAATATGTAAATACTAGTCCGTAGATTAGTATGAATGAAATGTGTATCACGAAAGGATATGATGTTTAAAATCAATCATTAAACTATTCTGTAAATGAAAAGGGAAAAAAAATAAAAACTTTTTTTTTTCTTCTTCTTTTTCTATCCGGAAATAGGTTTTTTTCTTTATTTGGGGGACCGTTTCATTGTATAGGAAGTTTTGAGACGTTGCCTTTTTGCTGGTGTGATCGGATATCGAATACATGGATTATGTAATACGTTAAGCCAATCAAAATGCGTTGACTGTGGACCCTGGGCTTAAGTAATCGGTCTGTAACAGAAATAAAATATAAACCCTTGACCTTTTTTTTTCCTTTCTCCTTTTTCTCCTCTCTTCTTTTCCCTTTTATACAGTCATACACAAATATATTTCTCTCTATCCATCATGTCTGATAAAATCTATAAAATCATCAACGCCCGATTATTAATCAACCATCAAATTGTAGAAAATGAATATCTTTGGTTTCAACATGGCAAGATTATTCATCCTCAAAGTTTATTCTTTGAAGCTCATCGAGACGCTGATGAAATCATCGATGCAGAAGGTGCATTAGTAGCTCCTGGTTTTATCGATACTCAAATCAATGGTGGTTATGGTATTGACTTTGCTGATTATGAAGCTCCTGTAGAACAAATTCAAAAGGATATTGATACTGTGGCAAAAGGATTACTTCAATACGGCTGTACTGCGTTTTGTCCAACTGTTGTTAGTTCAGAACCCGCTGTTTACGAAAAAGTAAAAAAAAAAAAAAAAAAAAATCGGCTTTGAAAACGGCTTATTCTCATTCTTTTCTTTTCTTCTTCTTCTTCTCTCTCTCTTTTTTTTTTTTTTTTGTTAAGGTCTTACCGTTACTGAATCAACGAAAAGGATCTGCTAAAGGTGGTGCTGAAATTCTTGGCGCTCATATCGAAGGACCATTTATCTCCATTGAAAAGAAAGGTGCTCATAAACAACAAGTCTTTCGTAATGCAAAGAATGGTATTGCCGACTTTGACGAAGCTTATGGTTCTGAATTGAAGAAAGGAAACAAGGCAGTCAGTATTATTACCATGGCTCCTGAAATTGAAGGTGTTACTGATGCTATTCCTGATTTGGTTTCTCGAGGCATCACTGTAGCAATGGGACATACCAATTGTCGAATTGCTGAAGCAGAACTGGCTGTTACCAAAGGTGCTACTAGTATTACTCATTTATTCAACGCTATGCAAGCAGTAAGTATCATAAAAAAAAAGTAAGTTAGTTAGGATGGGAAACTGACGGTAAGTCTTTTTTTTTTTATTAATATATAGTTCCATCATCGTGACCCAGGATTAGTGGGTGTCCTTGGAGCAGCTGACTTACCATTACCGGAAATTGCACAACGTCATCCTGAACCTTCATCTACGTCTCCTTGTCGAAACAAACCTGATCCACGACCTTTCTATGGTATTATTTGTGACGGTGTGCATGTTCATCCTAATTCTATTCGTATTGCGTATTATTCTCATCCACGTGGCGCTGTTCTTGTCACTGTAAGTGAATTATTTCTTTTTTTTATTACATCATGATGTTGATTTTTTCTTTTTTAATTGTGATTAGGATGCTTTATCTGCTATGGGATTACCAAAAGGTATCTATACTTTAGGTGGTCGTGATGTAGAAGTGGATGCAAGTGGAGCGTGTTACATCAAAGGAACAAGAACATTGGCCGGAAGGTAAAATAAATAAATAAATAAATAAACGGATTGTGATATTGGAATAGATATACAAGAGATTCAATATTTTTCTTTTATATTAGTACGGTGACCATAGATGAATGTGTTAGAAATTTCCAAAAATTCACCAATTGTACCATTGTGGAAGCTCTGGAAGCCGCTGCTCTTCATCCTGCTAGACTTCTGGGTATTGATGACCGAAAAGGAACATTGAACGCTGGTGCTGATGCTGATTTTGTATTCTTGGATGATTCTACTGGCGAAGTCTTTGTCAAACAAGTCTATGTTGCTGGTGAACGAGTAGAATTGAAATAATAGACCATCTTTTTTTTTTTATCTTTTATCCTTTATATATTTTATATTCTAGTTATTCTTTTTTTTTATATATTGTCCCATTTATTACTTTTTTTTAATGCCATACATTATCATTAGATTCAGCTCCATATCCACATCTCTTCTTTATTCTTTCTTGTTCATGATTTTCATGTCGTCTAGAATGAATAATCAATATCCATTAAACTGTATCAATAAATCATTTTTCAATTTTTTTTTATTATTATTGATTGTATTCGAGTTACAAATTCCTATCTAACAACAAACAATATAAATCGATCTATCTATCATATATTTATATACATCTATTTCTACAAATGGTAATGCCAGTTTCAAAAGAATATCATCTTGAGATATTGAGATGGACCCTTTGAATTGTTCCACTTGTCGCTTGCTTGTCTTCAGTTGTTGCGCCATACCATCTAATTTTTCTTTGCTAGTCATTTTTTCTTGATTTCATTTCACAGCTGTCATTTCTTGTCGTCGTCTTACTTACAACTGTGTGTTGTATCGTATAATTGACATCCCATACGTGATCCTTCCTATTTTTGAAATCTATTATATCATCCGGTTGTTACTGCTATTGTTGTTATAGTAATGTTTCCCGATCATCGTCTACTTCAAGAGACTATTCCATCAAGCATGGAGAGGCTTTGATCTGGTTGTTGAAGTCCTTCTTTCATTTTGTCTTGCCCCTCTTTTCCATCCAACCTAATCTTTATCTTTGTAGTTGTGCGATCCTTTTTCATAAACTGGTTCCAATTTTTCTTATCCTTATGTATCTAAGCTTGTGTAATAGAAAGAGAGTCAAATTTTGTGATCATATATATATATTATCATATCCTCCCCATTTTTTTTTATTTTTTTATTTACCATAGTCCATTTTCTTCATTATTTCATCAAAATCTTTTATAAACCCTTTGTCGTTTGTCGTTGACAAAATAAGAGGAATATCCAAAAGTACATTCACCACAACGTCTTCATTCATCCCTGTCACTTTTGCAATGATCTACGCGTGTAGTCAAAAACACCAAAAGTATCACTTGATCACCGTTGTTGAACTTTTTTTGTCGCATGTTAGAGAAGATGACCACCTTTTGTTCTTTTTTAAGATTGCTGTTTTTGTTGTGGTAGTGTTGCTGAAGTTGTATCGAGAAGAATGTACACTATATATAGTAGATCTAACTTGATAGTATTACTTGTGGTAAACATACATAAAAAAAAAAGTGGGAAGAGAGAGAAAGAGAGAGAGGGAAAAATGAAGCAAGTAAAAAATTCTGTGTTCAATTTAAGACCAGACGGTCTAACACAGAAATCATGCGTCAGGTCATCAATTCAATAATAAATTTTATTCATAATAACTAAAAAGTAAGGGATGCAGTAAAAAAAATAAAAATAAAAAAAATATACATAATAAATACAGAGCAAAAAGGTAAGTATAAATAATAACAAATCATGGATGTGCATAAAAGTAAAATAAACAGTTTGTAATGGAAAAAGGGAATAAACAAAACTGTTCATAAACTAGATTAGGCCTTGTTCACATCTCTAACACGACGACCGGAACCACAACAACAACTGATAAAGTACCAAACAGAAGATAATAAAAGAGCCACCATAGCACCAAGAGTCATCCAAGTGGAAGGACCTAAATAACCATCGATAGCATTGGAGCTATTTTCCTTCGCCATGCGGATGCCCCAAGCAGATACTACAATGAGAATCACAAATGCAGCCAATATAACAACGAAGGAAATAATACATACAAAAGAGGCACAGACATCACTACTACGACGGAAATGAGAAAAGAGAGTGATGACCAAGGCGAATAAAGTCAGTCCAATGCCAATCCAATAAAGCACAAATGAAGCCATAAATAATCTATCTTGTCCATCAAATCCTTTCAAATAAGATGCTAATTGAGGTACACTTGTCCAAACAAAGGCAGCTTCTGGAGTAGAACATGTAAGATCACCTTTGTTTCCCATACAATAATTCCATAGACCAAAAGTGAAAAAAGTACCATCTGGAAGAATAAGTTTGGCAAAGAAAAGATCACGTAAAAAAGCTCGATTGGCAAGATTACCAATCATAGTGAATATTTCAAGAATCAATGCTGCAAACGTCGTAAAAGTGGCCACAAATGCAAAAAAAGCCATTTTGAATAATTGTTTATTAAAAAAAAAAAAAAAAAAAGATAAATAAATGGAAAGAAGAATAAAAAAAAAAAAAAAGAAGTTTATATAGGGAAAAGAGCCAAGGAACGGAGTATGATTTTGTACTAGTCCTTTTCAGAAGAGCCCTCACACAAAACCAGTAGTAACATGCAGAAAGTAGCGTATCACAGGGCATTCATGATGTCAATCATGCTTTCCTAACAAAGCTTAAATTCTCTTCCATTTGATCTTTTTTTTTTTTTATGTAACGATTAAAGGATGATGATGATGATAATTAAAGAACAATGAATGATAGAATCGATAGATCATCCGATGCGGCTTCAAAGTTGTGGAACACATAGTTTTGCCAAGGTCAAGCAAGTTTTACTATCGGACTTCTGTGTACACCTTTGACACATTAAAAATAGTAGTATCTATTTTCTTTTTTTTTTAATGCCAAGCATGATGACATTCTAAATCTTTTAATAGAAAAGTACCTGATTCAACAACAAAAAAGTAAGGTGAACGATTTATTCAAAACAATAGGTTGTTTGGGCAATGTTTGTTGTAGTTTCAGTAACCTAACATGATACAATTGTAGTACAAACAAAACGATGTATAGTACGATTAGTATGACTTCTATAGGTGAAAGGAAGTTGTATGCATATGATCATTTTGTCAACCAATAGCTATGAAGAAAAAACACACGGGGTTTCAATATTGAAAGAAGTAAATCTTTCCTTTCTTTCATTTCATTTCCTTTCTTCTTCTTTCTTATCTATTTCTATCTCAGTTCCATTCATATTGGTAAGAATAGTTGATGTAAGAAAGAATGGGCATTGGTATACTGTTTGAAAAAAAAAAAAAAAGAATTAGAATGCTTACAAACGACTGATTATTCTAAGTTGAAAAAAAAAAAAAAAAAGAGAGATAGAAAGGGCATGTTATAGAAAAGAGACACTGATATTTTGTTTAATGTATTGTAGGTACATCCGTCACTGGTTTATTGAATTTTACGACAGGATGATATCATCATATCTATCGATATGTTCTTTTTGACTTGTGCTTTTATTATTAGTTTAGTATTTTGAATAGAAATTAATTTAGTATTTGATGATTTGTTACAAATTGGTTTCAATAAATAAAAACATCTTCTTTTTTATTCAATTGATATACTTTGACTATTTATTTTCTTTTATAATTTAATCAAAGGTGATAATTAAATTTATTCTTAAGAATATCAATGAACGCTTCATCGCCAGCGTAAGATTCTCGGAATGAGGGACGTGAGAGTACACCATGAACAAATTGTGCCAAACGTTCATTATCCTTGATAGCTTTAAATTGGAATTCACCGCCAAACAAGGATGTTAAAGCAAAAATACGTGCTAGGAAGGGTGATACAGCGACATCAGCTAAAGAATATTGTTCTCCCAAAAAGTAAGGTCCTGTTTTTGATTGTTCCAATAATAATTCATTCAACTACAATTAAAAAAAAAAAAAATAGGATGAGTACTGTATATTACCATCATCATGATAGGAAAGATAACTTACTCTGGTAAAACCAGCTTCTGATTCTTTGATGAAATCATCTTTTGAGAGTTGACCTCCAGCATGCTTAAAAACATTAGTCCAAATCTTGTTATTGAAGAACTCAATCACGAATCGAGCTTGTGCTTTTTTAATAGGGTCCTTTGGAAGTAAACTATCAAAAAAGGAAATCAGTCATCCATTTACTTTTTTTTTTTTTTATTTGTTTTATTTTTTACTTTTTTTCAGGGAAAAGATCATTCACCAATTCAATCACAACAAGAGATTCAGCGACAGTTGTTCCATTGACATCCAATGCTGGTACTTTTCCTTCAGGATTGACTTTTACTGTGTACCTGTTGATTGATTTATTAGTAAAGAGGGAAAACAATGTATTATTTCGTGATTTGAAATATTACCAATCAGGTTTGTTCTGTAAATCAATCAAGACTTCATTGTAGTCTGCTCCAGATTCTTTGAGTGCAATCGCTGCTCGTTGAGCATATGGGCATATTTCTGCTCGATATAAAGTCAATTCTAAAATAGGATGATAAATAATGAACAAGAGTCAATGAATGTGATCAAAATGTAATGAATACAGTTCACTTACTTGAAGACGCCATCTTTTTTTTTTTTTGATCCAGTAATAATAATAATAAATTGAGAGAAGAGATAAAGGAAAAAAAAAAAAAAAGGAAAAGCTGGGATACTTTTTATAACTAGTTTTTGACAAGGATGAATAATCTGATTATTAAACATGCCTTTGGTATATATGTGAGGACAGATCGAAACATAAATTACTTTCGATTCCGATGGCAACATTTTGACACATGACAAATCATGATAAGGGGGAGATCAAAAAAGCCCATGTTACACTTGACGATTCACCTTTTTTATTCATTCATCCGCCATCAAAAGAAGTTCTCTTTTTGTAGATTTTAATAACGATGACAGATAAATGGATGATGCTTTATTTGAATCATTAAAAAAAAAAAACATATAAATGGGGATTAAAAATATGTATAAAAACAAAATGGAATATATATATAAACATGAACTGGAAAAGATCTACAAAAGATGAAGGTGACAAAAAGATCTAATAATAAAAAAAAAAGAAAAAATAAAAGATAAATAATTTAAATTGATATGGAATAAAACGTAGCGGAATACACACCAAGATAGTATATAAAAAAAAACAGTATAACAAAAAGTGAAGGGAAAGGAGGAAATGTCTAGACTATACATTAGCTTTCATAATTTCAGGGATTGGTACCATATTTCCAGTATTGAAATAATCCTCCAAATACATTTTCAAAACCGAAATAGCACTGACGTTATCTTTGTTTGGATGAATTGGTGTAGTAGGAATGACTTGATCATAAAGAAGACGTAGCACCTTGGGGAATTGACGAGGATAAGCTTGAACCATGCGATTGCCAGCAATTTCCAAAAAAGCATGAATCAAAGTGGGAGTGATTTCGCGTTGCGACATATTCATGATCCGTGCACACCAAGTCCAGCCTAAACCAATGGAGAATGGATTTGCAGGATGACCAGCGCCTGGAACAGTTGTGATCATGGCAGCAAAAAACATCACATAACACCGTTGCTTAGGAGCATATTGTAAAAATGATTGGAATTCCTTTTTATCTTCATCGTATTGATAGTGAAGAAGTTTCTTGATTTCGTCGTGTGATAATGTCTATTTGAAAGGGGAAAAAAAAGAAAAGAAAAGGAATGAGTAATTGATGATTATTCTAAAGAATTAAAAAAAAAGTATATTACCGAATCATAATCAAAGTAGTTGGGAACAAGATAAGGACAGCGTTTCAAAAGTCGTCCATAAAGATAATCCTTGAATTCAGGAATGCTACCAGCAAGTAATACTGCCAACTTTGCCAAAAAGTATGCTGAAAATGGAGCCCCATCCACTTCTTGCCTAACTTGTAACTATGGATAACACAAGGAATAAATAAGATAAAAGAGTTGGTTTTATAAAGAGGTAAATCCTCAAATTAATTTGTATCTTTACCAAAAGTGTTTTTCCTACATGATTCAGTAGGACATGGAAAGCATCGATAGATTGATTTTTGACATTGAGAATATGATCCCGTAAAATTTGATACTATTAAAGATAAAAAAAAAAGAGTTGTTAGATATTTCTCGTTAGATGAGTCTTTTTTTTTATTTCTTCGACTTGCCTTTTCGAGAATAACATTGTGTTTGAATTGAAGTTGGATAATTGTTCTCTTGATAAGTCGTCTGGCTTCAAAGCATTGTTTTCTAAATGCAGGGTCTTCAAGCTTGGGTTTAATGTTCTTCTTGTAGTTCTAAATGGTGAAGAAAAAAAAAAGGATATATTAGGTAAGATATCTTTTGATTTCTAAATATATGACTTACTTCGATAGCAGCCATATGTTTGTTGTATTCTTCCAATCCTGTTGATGAAGCACCACCTTTATTTGAAGACTAGATAAAGGAAAAAATAAGAATAGATTAATAATAGTAATAAAAAGAAGTCAATTATTATCTCTAATAATACTGACCAGTTTTTTTTGTTCCAATTCCAATTGAGCCTTCTTTTCAGCCTGAGCTTTCTTTTTTGCTTCCAAAAGTTGTTTCTTATTCTTTTCATCTTCTTCTTTAGCCTTTTTCTGTTTCATTTCTTCTTCATATTTTCTCACATCGAAAGCAATAGCATCTTCCACCAACTTGTATAATATCACCAACAAAAAAAAAAACAAAAAAAAAAAAGATTAGTATTTAACTTCATCTCTCTCTATAGATATATATATATATATATATATACCTTTTTGTGTTTAGCAGTATCATCATTAAAACGTTGATCCAATTCCTTTTCGTGGTTGGCCCTAATAATATAAAGTAAGTATGCCAATACAATTGAATATATAAATATATTTGATAAACTTACAAAGAGACTTTCATTGAAGAGATCAACTTTTGTAGCTTATCCATTTCATCGCGTTGTTTCTTGCGTTGTTTTTCCAAATAGAGTTGTCGTTGTTGTTCCAATTTTTTCCGATGTTGTATTAAAGGTTCAATATCATAACCTTCTACAGTAGCCTAATCAAAACAGGGAAATAAGAATACGACGCGATTGGTTCACTTGTTTATTCATTGTTTACCGGTTGATACAAACTACCCATTCTTTCTTTATAAAGAATACTATCAGAGAAATATAATTGATCGGCATTGAAGTGTTTAAAAGCTGGATTGTTTTGAATTATTCTACATTGTTAAAAAAAAGAAAAAAAAGAAAAGAAAAAGTAAGTTGTTAAGATATATAAAACTTGTCTTTTTGTCTTTTTCTTTTTTAAGAAGAAAAAAAAAAGAGGTTGTACCTTTGATGACTTGAGAGTTCTTCGTCGTCACTTGAATCAGAGTCAGAAGGAGCTGAATAAACAACAGGATTGGTAATATAAGCTCTTTGTTTGATCATATCAAAAGTCATCATAAGAATATATAAAAAGTAATGATGTAGTGAAGAGGGGAACCAAAAAAAAAAAAAAAAAAAAAAAAAAAAAAAAAAGGAAAAAAAACAAACGATATGGTGATTGAAAAAAAAGAAAAAAAATTGTTTCCCCCAACTCGAAGCGGAAAATAAAATTGACCCACTACTTCCTACTTTACTATATTTATTATTCGTTTGGTTGCATTGATAAAACTTTGAGTAATTTGTTTTATTCAAAAAGATAAATACAAAGTAATAATAGACTAATCTTGATGGGTTGTAGGTAATACACTACCACGAGACATTTGTTTTCGTTTGTTTGATATCATATTGTAAATAATCACACCCAAAAGACAAATCATTCCCATAGTAACATAACTATGAGTTTTCGCTTGATAATAACCATCTTGTAAATGTTGTCCTAACCTTGCTGGTAAAGATAAAGTAGAAATCCCTTTAATTTTACCAGTCACTGCATCATCCAGAGTTTTTAGAATTGTTTGTGATTGTTGTAAATCAAGTAAATTGAGATTGGCATCTCTATTGAAATATTGCTTTTTCTATATACAAATATAAAAAAGAAAAGGTGAATGATTTTTTTTAATATATATATATATATATTATTTACCTTTCCATCCACAATCACAATAGCTGGTACATTTTTTCTTTGAATATTATATGCTTGATGTGCAAAATCGCCATAAGTATCCATATCCAATTGACAAAATATAGCCCGATCTGCCACACGAGATCGACGATCACGATCAGTACCCTTTTCTGCCAGTTTTCGAAATTGATGTATAGCATTTTCATCTGCATGACTAAATAAACCCAAAACTACAATCCTTTGACCTTGAAGTATATCTGCTGCATTGACTGGATTGATTTGAGTGACTACAGGATATTTTTCCAATTCAATCCAATTCGTGAGAGCTTCCATATTGGCTGTCGTTGCAAATTGGTGACCTGGGTATAAAAAGTGATGGCCATCTTTCACAATCATTGCCAAAGGTAAATCTGTTAAAGAGAGTTCATATTGTCGTACTAATTTCTGATCTGTACTCTTGTAAAATGCCAACCCATCAATAAATTGTCTTCCCAATGTCTCTAATAAAGCCTAATATCAAAACAAAATGAATAAATAAAGGAACTCTTATCTTTTTTTTTTCCAATACTTACATCTGCAGAATCCGATTCATCTTTGTGCAAGTAGAGAAAGGCAACTCCATTTGGATCCAAATCTTTCTTGAATTCAGCTTCATTGACAGTCTTGATGGTAGGTCTAGAAAAAAAAAATAATAATAAACAATAGTTAATAAACATATTGTCTATTTCTTCCATTTTATAATAATTATTTACCCAGCCATTTTCTTTGCAAAAGTGAGCAAACTATGTAGGGATCGATCACCGGAATATTCATGTTCTTGACCATTGACAAACCTAATAAATAGAAAACAAAATGAGAAATGAATCCTTGCTTTTCTTTTTATAAGCGTATATCAATTTTCTTATGCGTCAAATACATACAATTTTAAGGTAGGGAATCCATCCACTTGATTTTGTTGGCATAGTTCTAGTAATTATATATATATATATATATATAAATATAAAAGGCATGGTGAGATATCTTCTCTTATAAACCCATTATCAAAGTCTTACCTCGATGAATATCGCAGTTAACTTCACCCACATCCAATTGATTCTTCAGTTCCAAAGCCATTTGATTCCAAATAGGAGCAAGACGTTGACAATGACCACACCAAGGTGCATAGAATTTGATAAAGTAAGGTCGATTTGGTTGTTCTTTTGCCTTCTTTAAGGTATCAGAGTCAAGATCAATAGATTGTCCATTCGGGTTAACTTTGATATTATCTACTGAAGAGTATTCATTGTCGTTACCGTTCGATACAGTTGATTCTATTGTTTCTGTGTCTGTTGTTGTTGTTGCTGTTGTTGCTGTTGTATAATGTTCCATAAGAAATTCCTTCAAAGCTTCCTTTGTACGAGTACCAGTGAAAGAATCAACATATTGACCATCTTGATACAACATAATCATCGGGAATCCAGTAACCTTATGTTCTTTGCAGAGATCACCATTGATCATACAATCCACAGTGCCAAAGTGAATATTACGTGTCGCAGCCCATTTTGCTTCTTCTTCAGTAAACTCCTTCCATGTTGGTGCTACATATATAATATATAAAGAAAGGTGAGTACTGGATGTTTTTTTTTTTTTTTTGTTTCAATTACCAAAAGCAATACAAAAGTGACAATAAGGAGAAAAGTGCTCAACAAGCCTACAAAATAAATAATTAGTTTATAAGATTTTACTTTTTTACTTTTGGATACATTACCAAAATCCTGTAGTTGTCAAAGTATCGAACTTGGGTTTATCCAATTCTATCGATTGTGCCAGAATGGTATGGGATATAATGGAGAAAATAGAAAATATAGATAATAGTAATCGCATGATGATATAAAAAAAAGACGAAGGAGAAAAAGAAATGAAGAAATGGACAGCAAAGGGACAAAATAACATATATATTGAAATACCGCACTTGAAAAATAATTGGTAACTCTGAAGAATAGTTGGCATGTGGATATATATATGTATAAAAACACTACTACAAAATATATTTTATTAACAAGACAAGTTGATATATATATATATATAAATATAACAGAAAGAAAAAAAAAAAAAGACTATCACCATACATCCATTTGATCAGCAAGGTTGATCTGACCAAACTTTTACCCAATCAATAGCCAAGGCTGGTTTGTTTCCAGAACCCCAAGAAGGTAACCATTGATGTCTATGTTGCCAAAACTGAGTTGCAGGATGAAGATCAGAGTTGAGCCAAGGTTTAGAAGGATCATCAGGCCAATAAGATGAAGCACCACCGACAGCCACGTTCAAAATCAGATAAAACTCTTCATCAAAAGGAGCACCTATACCACCTTGTTTCCAAGGATTCATCGACCAATCAGGGAATTCTCCTCGTGTCCAGAAGGTTTGATCAAAATCCACTTGTAATACAGTTATGTTATCGATTGTTGTTCGTAAACCTTCTTCATTCCATTCTAATCCATAGGTATGAAAATCATCTGCAAAACTACCTTCCTCTGCTATCACTTCTGCTTGTGTCAAGTTGTATTGATTCAAATTGAAATTTGGTCCCCAATGTAATGTCGAGCTTACTCTAGATGAATCACCATAAGGATATCCATTTTTATTTCCTCTTGATTCCATCTATATAATATCAATATATATTTATATTAAATAAAAATAATAATAATAATAATAACTTACAATATCAATTTCACCACTAGCAGGCCAAGGACCATAGGTAGAATATTTTGGCATCATCCATATAGCTGGCCATAACCAATCGCCTTGAGGTAATCGTGCACGGACTTCTACCTTACCATATCGAATAGACATGGATTCAAAAGTTCGAATACGAGCTGATTGAATTGGATTGATGATATTACCACCAGATGATACACCTGCAACACGTTCACAACCTACATAAATAATAATAAGTTTAAATAATAAATCTAAACTTAAATCGTTATGCTTACCATAGTTGGAATTATCTATATAAAAATAAATAAATTGAAAAAAAAAGAAAAGGATTTTTAAAGCATTTTGTTGATAATAATTGTAAAATGATGATGATGATTTTTTTTTTTTTTTACCTGTACATTGAATAGAAGGATCGTTCGACCATAAACTAAGGGTACCACCATTCATCATTGCTTGTTCACCCATAAAATCCGTAGTTAAAGTAGGTTTGATATAAAGTATACCGTCTTCAACGAAACTATTGGATCGATTATTGGTATACCTAAAAAAAAAAAAAAAAAAAAAAAAAAAAAAAAAAAAACTATTTTTGTTTAATAGATGTATTATATTTTATTGTCTATTTTTCCATTACCATTGAAATTCCCAATTACCACCTTTCAAAAAAAAAAAAAAAAAAAGAAAGAATTAACAGATCATTTTATTTTTATATTATATATGATATTTCTTTACCACCACTCATTGTGATTTCATGCTTGTAGTTGATTTTTGAGGAAAAAAAAAAAAAAAAAAGTGTTCATCAATTAGATTTCATCACATGATTTATTCATTGAATGACTTACTTGCCAAATCTTCAAGTCAAATCGATTAAAATGATCTTCAAATACAAGGCATTGTTGACCTGATGTTTCATTTTCTAAAAGAATCTCTTCATTAAGTTGAAATGCATACACTGATATCATCCATTCAATATATAATAGAAAAAATATCATCTTAACCCAAAAAAACAAAAAAAAACAAAGGAAAAGAAGAAAAAAAGAAGAAAAAAAGGATAAAGAGAAAATAATAATAATAATAATAATAATATATATTATCACCCTCGTTTAGAATATAATAAAAAGTAAAAGATGTACAAAAAAAGGAATTCGGTGTTTTCAAACACAGTCAAATCTTTTTTCTTCTTTTATTATGGTCGGAAATTTTATAGATTTTTGTAACTCTCCCTTTTTTTTATTTTATTTTATTTTATTATACTTTATCATTTGATCTTACTTAGTTGATATATGAATCACAAAAAACGATCATCTGTTTCTAAACTTCGATTTATAGATTTAGCCCAAGCAGCATTAGAAGAAGCAGATCTAGAAGATGAACGTAAAGGGGTATTGGAAGAAGTGGTAGAAGCTTTGATCAGTACTACCGGTGCACCCATGTTATCCGAAGTCATTAATGCTCAACTGGCAAGTCAAGATGTGATTGAAAGAACAGCAGAACAACACTTTTTACATAATACAGAACGAACAAACAATAATAATAATAATGACTTGGGACCTATCGATTTTAAAGAACATGATGATCCAGCAACTTTATTACCTCCATCACCACCACCTGAACCTTCTTTTTTATCTTCTTCTACTTCTTCACCATCTACTTTATCTCCATCCTCATCCTCTTCTTCCATTGTATCTTCCATTAGTTATTGGCAGTCCACTTATGTTATTGGGAACTATCTTTGGCGAATGTTTAGGATTCTTATTTTAGCTAGTTTAGTTGCTCTTTTTTATCAGTTTTATTTACATCATCATCAACAATATTTTTATTTTATTCTTTGGAACTAGTTTCATCAGCTCCTCTCCTTCTCCTTTATTTTATCTTATACATATTCCATATTCCATATCCTTCTAGGTTAGTGAAAGATGCCTCCATATACTCCTTTTTTTTTTTTTTTTTTTTTTTATCTTGTACATATATTCACTACCCAAATTGTATATTTTTCTCTAATAAAAGAAATAAAAATAAAGACACTTTTATATTCATTATCAAAATAATAATAATAATTTTTCTTCATTTTATTAATAATAATAATATAGTTTAGTATAGAATAATACATAAAATAAATAGTCTATAATAAAAATGGACTAAAATCAAATACAATAGAACGAATAAAATATGAAGGATACATTGAAGAGGGGAAAATACATAAAAAAAAAAAAATAAAAAAGGGATCAATGGGTATCAATAAAAGGGAAAAACTTATCTTTGGTTTATCCTTTGTCGATCGATGGATTATGTATTTATTTCTTGCTTCAATGTTGACTACTTGAAGTCTTGTTGAAATCTCCTTCTTTGTCGTAAAAAGGAGGCTATTTCTTCAGGATCTTCATCACCATGCCAATCATCGGGCTTGTCATCATAAAAGGAAGAAGGACTTGAAAAGGTGTCAGATGAAATTGAAAATCGATACAATGAAGATGTAGGTGACATAGATTCATCCTCTTCCATTTCATCCATACTATTTATTGTACTAAAGTTATCATCGTGTTGTTTTCCCCAAGTTGCATTGATCATGGCGGAAGTGATCGCTTCAACTGCAAATCCACTACATCCCCCAATAATCAAACCACAGATAGATGCTGCACCACAATACATAAGGACTGGATACATGATATACGTCGCATGCATAATCATAGACCATGGTGTCAATACTAAATATCTCCAAAACCAACTAGTTAGCCATAAAATAGGTAAAAAAGGTATCGATGAAATAGTCCATACAGTTTGTACTATAGATATACATTGTTGCCAAAACCAATGAATTCCAGATGACCTTGAAACTTGGTCAATGACTATTCCTTCTTGACAAAAACATGTATTTAATATGAGAAACAGACAAAACATATAACGAGTATCAGATTGCATAGTTTGGATATATTATAGTAAAAAAAAAAAAAAAAAAAGAAAGTAATGGTGATTTCAATGAATTACTTTAAGGTATATTAAAAAAAAAAAAATTTAGAAAAAAAAAGAAGACTATTTTGCACATGAAAACTATACAAAAATTCATTGAAATCAAACACCGACTTTACACATGATTTTCAGACTATATAGAATACATTGTTTTTTTTTTTTTTGAACGCTATTTTGATCTTTCCATTCAATCACTTTTTTTTATGATCACTATAACTAATGAGGATAATCATAATATTAAGGAAGTAATATAGAGGGAGTCAATGCAATCAATGATGATCTATTTTTTTTTTTCAAGGCATTTCCTTTTATAGAACGTGGCGCTAAACAAGCAAAGATAGGCAATTGTATGGATTTCTGGAATTTTTTTTTTTTCATTTCTTTTGTTTTCGGGATCTTCTTGAAAGTTTAGTTAATACCAAAAAGGCATAAAAAGTGGAATGGTTGACCTGTTTGTAGTAACAATAATAAAAAAGAGTGTGCCAAGACACTGTCGTCCAATAGGAATCGAAAGCACTTTTGATTATCCGAAAAAAAAAGGGGTGGGGGAAAAGAATTGAAAACGATAAAAATTGAAAAGACAAAGAAGAAATCATTATTCCATCCTTCAATTAGTATTCAATATCAATTATTTATCATCTAATATTATCTTATTATGATCTTATCCATTCATCACTCATTTATAGTCTTTATTGATTATCTACTTATTGAGGAGAAAAACAAAGTTGAAATGAAAAAGAAAAGTAGGAGTGTAAAATATTTAGAGAGAAACGAGGATTGGGAATCATCAACAATGCTAACATTGACTGAATAAACCACTCCTTTTTTGGTTGTGTTGGCAAAAAAAAAAAAAAAAAAGATCATCGGTTCTTTGACTGAGTTTAACCGTATATGCATATTGAGATGAAACTTTAAACTTGGGAATGAAATGAAAACACAGATCTTGGCATAATCCTTATGAAACTTGGCACATAGACATAATGATTCTTTATATCAACGTACTATTATCGATATCATGTATATATAAGTGTTAATAATGATAATGTTAATAATAATAATGATGATGATGATGATCATTAAAGAAAAAGAAAATTCATTCATGAAAGGAGATCATCAAATCAATTCATTGTGTAACAGTAAAACTTTAAATTTGTTTATATGAATGTTGTCCGATCACATTTGAACAATCTTATATTAATTGACACAACAAACAGTGAGCCATTATCAAAAAGCTCTTTTTTTTTTTTCTGATCCCCTTTTTCTATGTCTGTGATCATCATATAAAGTTGTAGCACTTTTTATTTGGATGATATGATTGGTTAATAAAATTGATCTTTATATGGGAACATGACAAGATAAAAATCATCCATTCATGAAAATGGGAGGGATGAAAGGAGGTCCGATCACATTCATATAAAAAAAAACAAGGAGCAGTATGAAAACAAGGAAGATGATTCGCTAGATAATGAATGGATGATAATAAAAAGTGACATTGTTACGCGTATATGTAAGAGTTTTTTTTTTTTGCCAAGAGGCATGAATCAATGATGATACTTTTACCGAGAGTTTTAAACTCCACCTGATCTTACATTCATCATTGCATTGGCAAAAAAAAAAAAAAAAAATAAGAGGATGGATAATGTAGGGGAAGAATCAACTCAAAAATATTTTTTTTTTTTTTTTGGATTTCAGATGGATCCGTAAATGAAAAATAATCAAAAGATTCCGTTTCAAACCCTGAAAACTTTTGATTATGCTATGAAAGTTAAAAGAAACGAGTATGAAAAGGGTTTATGCACTAATGCTAATTTGGTAAGGGGAAAATCAGGAAGTAAAACTTAAAAAGGAAATTTTCTTTTTTTGCTCAAGAGTAGAATCAACATCGTGTACAATCTGCAAGCAGCCAAAAATGGAATCTGAAAGTGGCGCGAGAGTTTCTGTGTATCATCATTCCTACCCTCCTTTTTTTTTTTCTGTGGCTTTATATAAAAAGGGAAGTTTGTTTTTCTTTTTTTCTTTTTTCTTTCCTTCTTGCAAAACTCAGATCTATTGTTCGATCATTGATCAACTTCATTACACAAAGATAAAAACAAAACATCATCATCATTCCAATCCGTGGCATCTCAAGCATTATATTGATCCGTCATCCTCTTCATTTTTTTTTTCTGTATTATATAAACGCATCCTTTCTTTTTTTTTTTTTTTTTTTTTTTACTCTTGGGGTGAATGACTTATTATATGGAGATCTATCCCAACAATACCACCCTCTTTGACCAATCATTTATCTATCATCATCATCCTTATTATCCTATTGACATTTTGTTTGAGAAACAATTGGAATCTTCTTGTCTATTCATGGATCCATTCTCCACGTTGAATCCTGATCATCATCAATATAATGACAACAATGGAACTAGTAAATCTGTTAATATTCCAATCATTATAGCAACAGAAACATCAACATCAACGTCATCATCATCATCATCTACAACAACATATAATAGCAATATTCCAACAAGTAAACGAAGGCGAACTGACACTTTAACATCTACTAGTAAAAGAAGACATTCACATCATCATCATCATCATCATCAACAACAACAAGAAGAAGTTTTATTGAACTATAACAAAAAGGATATTGGTCAATTTCAAGACACATTGGATTATCTACAAGATGAATGGGCTACCATCGACATTGTGTTACAATCATTGAAATCAGCATTTACGATTCATCCATCAAAAATGAGTACGGAAGAATACTTGGACGAGGTGGATCGCGAATTAAGTATTGCCTACGATGATTTGATGGCTCAGGTACGCAGTTTGGATCGAAACTTGAAGCGATTGGATGTCAAAATCAAATCTTATACCACTTCTAGTGGACCCTTGGCAAGCCGTTATTGAATCTCCGTCTTCCATTCTATTTCTTTTTCTTTTTTTTTTCTTGGTTTTGGTCTCCTCCTACCTCTTTCACTCCTTTCCTTCATTTTTTTTTTTTTTTACTCCCTCGTTTTTTTTCTTCTTCTTTTTATCTCCTTTATATACTATCTTTTTCTTTTTTTATTATGCCTTTCTTTTTTGGCTTCCTACTGTTTTTATATAGTTACATATAGATAACAATTCTTTGGTTTTTTTTTACATAACTTCTTTTCTGTATGATATTCCTCCTCTCTTCTTCCAATTACTCCTTCTTTTTTTTTGGTGTGGATGATGGTGATTACTATTGTATGCCATTGATTTTTTTTATATCTTTCTCTTATGCTTTCTATCTTTATCATCCATATACTATTTTACAATTCCCTTATATATTTTCTTTTTTTTTATTATTATTCTTGATCGTTTACCTTTGTACATTGGAAATAAAAAAAAAAAAAAAAGAAAGAGAAATATTATCATGCCTTTTTGAATAGTGATGTCATTAGAGTGATATGAAGATTGGTATTAGAACGATGTAAAACGTCATACTTAGCAACAAAAAGCTTAAAAAAAAAGAAGAAGAATAGTACCGGTGATTATTTCGGTTTCATGTGTATACTGGTTGAAAGTAAGTGATAAACATGTGGTGTATTATTTATTCAGAAGGTATTTTTAACATAGTGAATAAGTCATGATGATGAATTTTAAACGAACCAATTTGATCCAATATGCGATACTGTCGTCGATTTGTTTGTCGTTCCTTTTTTTTTATAATCTTGACCAACCCTATTCATATTTCCCTTAATTTTTTTTTCTTGTTCTTTCTTCCCTTTTCCCTTTCTTGTTTTTATTTTTTTTTTCTTTCTTTCTTTTTGAATGGCTTCAGATGAATATAATCATGTTTATTTACCCTTTGTTGATGCAACGGCTTCCTCTTCTAGAACGCTGATTGTTCCTAGTCCACTTCCATCTTCAGAAAAAGGGGATGATGATGACGATATCATTGAAAATGATAAAGGAAAAACTGATGATGAAAATAATACTGCAGAAACACATTCATATAAAGACTTGAAACAACAGCCATACTACCATCATCATCATCATCATCACCATCATTATTCGTTTCCTTATTCAGTTCAACAAACAGAATGCCATCAACAACGTCATTACCGTAGAATGACAAATCACCATCCATTAGACAAGATTGATAACCTCAACAAAACATCTACTTCTTTGACAATACCCATTCCATTCTCCTCCACCTTTACCACCATGGATACATCCTCCTATCCTTCCAAATCCCATCCAATGCTTACCCAATCATCATCATCATCGTCATCATCATCATTACCACATCGACAGCATGAACCATCAACTACCATATCAAGATCCACTTCTTCTTGCTCTGCCTTCATCTCCTCACAAAAAAGAGTCAAGCGTTGGATCATAGCCACTTTGATGATCATCGTCGGTCTTTTGATTGCATTGACCTTTATCCTTATTGGTTTGGGGAAAGCTTTCAGCCGTCAACAGCACCAGCCATCCTTACCTTCTTCGTCCTCATCATCATTACGACAACCATCAGTCACTCCCATTACTACCACCATCACTTCTATGACTTCATTCACCTAATAACATGATTAGTTATTTTTTCTTTATCACTTTGTACCAACTATTATTATATACAGCATTCTTTTTTTTTTCTTTTTCTATCATTTCCTCAGGTTACTTTCACATTTACTGAATAAAACTAGGCTATCATGTTATCATCACCATAGAAACCATTCTAAGCATCAGGTTATACTATTTATCTAATAATTTCATCCCACTTGAAATTCAATATAGCTTCCTATCATCTTTCCCCTCGTCTATTTTCCAATGATTCAAAACCCCTCAATGCATGTATCAAAACCCGCTTTTTCTTATTATTTTCTCAGAATTCGCTAACATAATCGTCTTCCTTTGTCACAACACAACCATGTTTTCATCCATGTTTATTCAATAGTCAACCAAGTCATTCAATCCCTATAGACATAAAAAGAAATAATAATAATAATAAAAAAAAAAAGTCGTACACATTTATTGATACTATTTTTCAAACCTAATATATATATATATTTCAAACATATATAAAACATCTAAAATGACTATAAAGAATCTATCCTAGTCCATCGAAACTGCACTACCTAGAAGATCACTTTGAGCTAAAGCTAATAACATGGGGTCATCAAAGTATTTGTTGATACTGACATCTTCAGATAATCCCTAATATACAAAAGAAAAAAAAATGAATTGCCAAGTTAGATATGTAACACGCTAATACCCCCGCATATATACATATATGTACACAAAAAAAAAAAAAATCTCACATGTACATGCATCATATTTTTTTTTTTTTTTTTTTTTTTTTTTTTTTTTTACCTTTCTTCTTCGAGTTTTAACCATAAAGTCCCTAGCCAAGTGTTGCCCAGAGCTTGTTTCCAAAGGTCGTAACACAATAGATTGATCTAAAGGATCACCAGGTACAATTTGCCAATGATCAAAGATTTGTTGACAGAAAGCTTGGCCTTGCGTATGTGTTCGTAGATCTGTTTCAAAACCACAAGAGTCAATCAGAGGAATATAAGCCTTGACAGTATATAATGGGGAACCTGATTTTGGGATATCTTGTGTCACATGACCACGACGTCGTTGTAAAACTGCATATACTGATGACACACAATCTGCTGGTGCTTGAATTTCCACATAATTCACAGGTTCCATCAATCTTGGCGTTGCTGTCAAAAATGATGAATAACATACACGTCGTGCTGTAGGAATGATTTGTCCGCCACCACGATGAATAGGTTCATTGGCTAAAACTGCATCAATGATCTTGAATTTCACACCTCGAATGGCTAAAAAAACAAAACAAAAAAAATTAAATAAGAGCGAATTACATTCCTTTTTTTTTTTAAATATACTTACGTTCATCACATAATGGTCCTTCACGAGTACCCCATTGGAAACCTTGACGAATAGAATCTTTGACAGAATATAATAATTTCTTATCCACTTCTGAAGGTAAAGTATCATCCATTAAGACGTTAGGTCCCATATCATCCGGTCCAAATGCCCATATTGATCTTGCTGCCAAAACATCCCATCCATAGTTCTTTTCCAAATATCCTCCTAATTGTTTGGCTGGCCAACGAAGATTAATTTTGCCCATTTCAATATCTTCTGCTAATCCTTTTTCTAATGGTTCTGAAATAAAAGTGAGTTTGTTCCTATAATAATAATAATAATAATTAAAAAAAAAAGGAATTAAGAGTCAATTTATAATTATATCCTAATGACTTACTTTTTATTAGGAGTTTCAGCAAAACATTTGAGTGCAGAAGTTTCCACCACCGTTTCACAGAATCGAACCACAGGATCAGCCACCTTGAGTTCCACTTCAGCATACATACGTCTTAAATCATGAAGTACACAATCCAAATACATTTCACCTGTACCCAAAATGATATGTTCACCAGATTCTTCTACCTTGGTGGTAACAATAGGATAACTCTTGTTGATTTTTCGAAGTCCATCCAACATCTTGGGTAATTCTGATGGATTCATAGGTTCAATTGCTACTTTCAATGCTGCTGCTGTAGGGAATCGTAAAGGTCGGAAAATGTAATTATCCAATTTTGATTTATGTTCTACAATTGTTGCTGTCTTTGAGATAGAGCTGTCAACACCACCTAATAATACCCATCCACCAGGAGGAACACCATCCACTTCCATGCGATATCTATTAAAGAAAGAATGATTGAAATTAGTCTTGATCATATAAAAAATCATTTGTTATTTTTACCTTGATTCATAAACCCATGTATTAGTCACTCTTTGTACCATCATATCTTCTTCATCTTCAGTAGAATATCCTTCACCAAGTACACGAACCATTTGACCAGATTTCACTGTACCACTAAACACACGACCAAATGCATCAAAATCTGTAGCATCTTCATTATTATATAGTTTGGTAATATAAATCATCAAAGGACCATCAGGATCACACTTGCGCATTGCATCTGCAGTAACATCATCCAATGGACCAGAATATACTTGTTCAATTTTGTGTGCAGCGTTTGCAGAAGGAGAGGGGATATGCTTTACTACGGAATCCACAAATCCAGTGGGAGGACCAAAGAATTGGGCAAGAACCAAACGTAACAAAGGTTTGACATTCAATCCGAACTCCTTTTCCTTCAAATAGATACCAAGTGATCGTAGTGTTCTCTTAAGTTCCTTTTGTTCTTCACCTATCACCTAAAAGAAAGAAAGAAAGAAAAAAAAATCAATAGAAAAAAAAAACAAGTATTAATAAAATAATAATAATAATAAAAATAATAACAAATTCTATTCATTTCAACAATATATTACCTGTGAATAAAGTTTGTATAGAGGTTCCAAAATAAAGTGTACAAAAGTACGTTTACTGTTGATACCTTGAGATTTTCGATGGAAAGTACCTTCTTCATCATTATAATAAATATTTCCCCAAAGACGTTGAGCAAATTGTAAATAATCGATTTCATCCTCTATAATAAGATACAATTAATATCAAGTTATTATTCCTATTATCTAAATTTTACCATAAGAATCAGCATATAATCTTGCAAATGATTTCAAATTAAAGCACCATCCTGTTTGACTTGATGCAAAGCATACATTTCCTAATTCAGGAGATAATCGAATATTTTCGCCACCAGGTGTATTTCTAATTGATATCAATGTATTAATACCTCATTTCTCTTTTACTTTTCTTCTTTTTTTTTTAATACCTGATCACATTATTAACTTCTTCAATAGTATGTCGTAATTTGAAGTAAGCATCATTAGGAGGTAATTTTAATTCCAATATCAAACGATCGACTTTGTTGACAACTAGTGTAATGGCCAATCCATCATGAATACATTGTTTAATGATCTTTTCTGTATTCACCATTACGCCTTCCACTACATCTACTATGAGTACAACACCATCTGCCAAACGAGTAGCTGCCACCACTTCATCAATAAAATCAGTATGACCTATAATATAAAAGTGATATTTTATGAGTATCATATTGTATTCTGTTATTTATTACTTACCAGGAGTATCAATCACATTTAATAAATAAGATTTTTCATTGACATCTTGCATAACTAAAGACATAGGCATACTCTTAATACTAAATCCTCTTTCACGTTCTAATACATGAATATCAGTATATCGTTCCTAATAATAATAATAATAATAAAATATCATTCAATCCATTGATCCGCTTTTTTTTTTTTAAAAAAAAATATTATTATCCCATCCTTACAGGTTGATCTACGTTGATAGGTACGTTATGAGTTTCTGATACAAGCATATCCATGAATGACGTTTTTCCGTGATGAAGATGACCAACAATAGCGATATTTCGTGTAAGTTCAGGAAAATTCATCATATCCATCATAAATCTATTATTATATATAATAGTGAGTTTACGTATAATATATATATTAAAATAAACTTACTCTTTGCTATAACGAGTTTCCGGTAAATTCTTTTCAGATACAATGAATTTACGTATTTCCACAGGTTTAACAATAGGTTCAGATAATGGTTGTGTATCTTCTTCTTGTACTAAGGTTTCAACATCAGTACCATAGACTTCTTCTGCAGAGGGATAATATTTTTTATCTTCGTGTAATACAACTTGATTGGCAGGAATATCTAATTATATTATATATACAAGTTAATAATAATACTAGTAATAATGAAAAGACACAATATATTTATATTTTATATACCTTCTACTCGCATTAAAGCATTTTGTTCTACCATTTCTTCATCTTCATTATCGTTTTGTTGATCATATTCATCAGTTTCCATTGGTTGTTCTTCTTCTTCTATTTGTTCTTCTTCATATTCCAAGTCATCTTCATCCTCAAGTTCAGGTCCAAGATAGTTACCAAATTCGTCATAAAGTGATTCGTCCATTATTGATATTTAATAAAGTGACTTTTTTTAAACCAAACAAAGTAAAAAAAGAAAGAAACACGAATATAGAAAGGGTTAAAGAGCGCTGGAAAAAAAAAAAAAAAATAAAGAAAAAAAAAATAAAAAAAAAATAGCAAGTCATACAGAGAGAAACGGGTTTAGCCAATAAGAAGTGACTCCCCGGAGTTTACATAGAGCGAACAAAATATATATATATATATAATATATAAAGAGTTAATTATATATAGTATATAATATATAATATAGAAGAAATAAATAATAATAATAAAAAAAAGAAACTGATTTGTATTTTACTATTATTCAATTATTTTTTATTCACTATCAATAATAATAATAATAATAATAGTCAATTGTAACTTAATGATGATGATGATGAAGTATTTATTGAAATTGCGCTGTGTAACCACGATACTTTGTAGCCTTTCCTGTCCCCTTTTTTCTTCTTTCCCCGAACAACAAATTGACTAGAAAATTAAGGGGATAAAAAAGAATTTAGTTTTCTTTCCTTCTTTTTCCTTTTTTTTTTTTTTATTTTATTTTTTATATTTTTTTTTTATTTTTTTATTTACCTTTCTTTTTTGAATAAAGGTAAATATAATAGTCATTTTACTTCTTTTTATCATTAACTTGTTATTATTATCTTATCTTTTTTTTTTTTTTTTGTTAGAGACATATATTCCCTCTCTCTCTCACCATCATCTTGTTGAATACCTTTTCTTTTTATTACTTTTTTATTGTTTATTACCCATTCTTTTTAACCGGTTATATCTGGAAGAATGGAACGTATACCAGAACATACCGTTGACGATATAACTTCTTCTTCTTCTTCTCCTCCTCCACCTCCTTTTACCTTTCTTAAACAACCACCATATTCACCTGTACATCATCGACCACCACTTACTCAACAACAACAACAACAACAACAACAACAATTATATACTCAGCAACAACAACAGCAACAATCTATTTATCTTAGTCAACCTCGTCCATCACAAGAATCAAGTCGATATCCAATGAAACAACAAGTATTTCCACCTAACCATCCACTTGCCAATATGCCTGTACCTTTATCTCCTTCTACTCATACCCTTTATCAACAACAACAAAGTCGTTTACAATATTATCATTCACGTGCTCCTGTTTATGTTCAAAAACCCTCCTTTGGATTGACTGATTTTGACCTATTAGATACCTTGGGTAAATATTTATACCGTAACATTGAAAATATATTAAATTGTCCTCTTTTTTTTTTTTTAAGGTACTGGTACATTTGGTAGAGTTTATTTAACAAAATTCAAAACAACCAATAAGTTTTATGCAATGAAAGTACTCAAGAAGTCCGAAGTAGTGCGTTTGAAACAAGTTGAACATCTTTTATCAGAAAAACAAATATTAGCATCAGTACGATTCCCATTTATTGTAGATTTGTAAGTAAAATGGATTATATATATAGTTTATAATATATATATATATATATTAATCTTTTTATATATATATAGATTTTGTACTTTTCAAGATGATGTCAATCTTTATATGTTACTGGAATATGTAGTAGGTGGCGAATTATTTTCTCATTTACGTCGTGCTGGTCGTTTTACAAACGATATGACAAGATTCTATGCATCTGAAATTGTATTAGCTATTGAATATCTACATTCAAAAAATATTATTTACAGGTAAAATATAGAATTGGATCATCATTATTAAACCTTTTACTTATTCTTTTTTTTTTTTATTTTATTTTATAATTCAGAGATCTTAAACCAGAAAATTTATTGATCGATCATCAAGGACATATCAAAATCACTGACTTTGGATTTGCGAAAATAGTAGTGGATAGGTAATAAAATAATAATAATAATAATAATATATTTATGGATTCGAATTATATAATAGAACATGGACTTTATGTGGTACACCAGAATATCTAGCACCTGAAATCATTCAAAGCAAAGGTCATGGAAAAGCAGTGGATTGGTGGGCTCTTGGTATTCTCATCTTTGAAATGTTGGCAGGGTAATAAAGACATATTCATATATATATATATGTCTTTTGATTTAAAAATAAAACTCTTTTTTTTTTTATAGATACCCACCATTCTTTGATGATAATTCTTTCGGTATTTATGAAAAAATCTTGGCTGGCAAAGTTCAATTTCCTGCACATTTTGATCCATTGGCGAAAGATCTTTTAAAACGATTATTGGTAGGTGATAGAAGCAAACGACTTGGTAATCTCAAGGTAAGAAAGAAAAAAAAAAAAAGGAAAGAAAAAGAGAGAGAGAGAAAAAAAGAAAATCTGAATGATTGATCCTTTTTTTTTTTTTATGATCATGTAACTAGGGCGGATCTGAAGATGTGAAACGACATAAATGGTTCCGTGGTGTGGATTGGTTAGGATTATTGGAAAAAAATGTACGAGCACCTATTATACCATCTTATCATCATCCTGGCGATACAAGCAACTTTGAAAAATACCCTGAAACTCCTGATACTGATCGAAATGCTCCTCCTGGCGAAGACCCTTACAAGGATCTATTTATTGACTTTACCTGATGTGTCCTTATTTGTCTTTCTTTTTTTTTTTCTTTACTTTTTTGTGTATTAGATATTATATCATTCTTTTCACCATCCATTAACTCTCTTTTTCACTCACATACACACTCATATATACACACACATTTAGTATACGTCTTTTTTCTCCTGTTTTCATTTTCTCCCTTTTTTTTTTGATTCTCCTTCTTTTTTCTTCTTCTTATAGTCTATATATATTTATATATCTTTCTCCTCCCTTTTCTTTCTCATTCGAAAAATATCTATCTACGTATAGCTTCATATATTTATTACTCTTTTAATGGTTGACAAACATCGATGATGACAACAATAAATCTTATTCTTTTTTTTTTTCTTTGACGATAAATAATGATAATGAGACCTTCTAGGAAAAAAAGGACATCCAGAATTATTTGCCTAGTAATCTTCGTTTTGGAAATGACCGTTGTCAATGCACTCTTAGTAAACCTGGTCCTGGAATTACAGGATATCGACGGTATTTTCCTAAATTTTAACGATGATCACAAGATAAATCCTTACTGTAAAGTAGTTTGTTCGCATAGCAGCATATAATGAGAAAGAAGGAAAAAAAAAATTTGATGGGATACACATTATCATTAATATGAATGATATAAAAGAAACGTGTCTTAGAACTTTTATTACACAAAAAATCAAGATGAGGGGGAGTATAAATATGATTATAATGAATGATGATGATAATAAAGAGATGGTAATAATAAAATAAAATAAAGTGTCTATCATTAACCTATTTAACATGAGATAAACTAAACGCATCCACGGTAGTAGTAATGACAGCAACTACAATTTCCATAGCAATCAACCAGATGACAATCCATTCCAAATGTTCACCTATTGGAAGAAGAATATGTTAATATTTTTTTTTTCTATTACTTTTTTTTTTTTCTTACCATGAGAACTGTTCAAATGATCCTTCAACATATCCAGTAAATCACTAATAACTTCAACACGTTGATTCAGTAATTCTACACGTTGTGATATTTCTAAATAACTACGGATGGCACTATATAATGGTTCTAAAGCAGGCTCAGACCAAAAGATTTCTGGCGTATCCAATATATTTGACACTAAATTCACATTGATTCGCATGATAAAAAGCTGACCAATTTTCTTTGTGATGGCCGTTCTAAAATAGGATAGAAGAAATAAAACTTGAATCAATACGCTTTTTTTATATACATTATTTTTTTTTTTTTGTTATTACCTCGACATATGGATGTTACCATTTTCTGCCATCACTTGAGGAATATACTTGGTGTCATTGATTGTATCGTCAATCAGTCGTTCAAATAATGTCATTTTGACACTTTGTGCTATAGCATGAGCGATTGTCAGTTTGACAAGATAATTGGATGGATGACGAAGAGTAATAATATCATTATAAATTCTGTTTTAAAAAAAAATAAAGGAAGAAGGTTAGTATTATCATCATCCTATATTCTATATCTAATAAATGATATTACCTAGGTTGATAGTTTTCATCATAATAATAATTGAATTCTTCCGTTTCTACATCATCCGATTCTATATAAATATATGTATGAGATCAATTAATATCAAAAATAATAAATGCTATATATTACATACCTAATGTTTCTTCTTCAAAAGGTTTTAATTCCTTCAATATACGCTGTTCTTCAATTAAAGTCATACCCCAGAATACGACAACACCATAATCAAACAAGAACATTTCTGGAAGAAATGATACAGTCAATTCGTTGTTGCGTTGATGATCAGTTCCATTATTCTTTTTTGGAGGTCCGGGAGGATATGATAAAGAATAAGGTGTGTAAACACTATGGAATAGATTTCAAAAAAAAAAAAAGATTAGATATGATATTTCATAGATAATTTTTCTTATCTTTTTGCTATCTTACCATTCATCAAAACGTTTGATCGCTGTACCATTAGTTCTTTTCTTTGATTGCAAATATTTGGCCAAATCATCCATACGATAAGCGCTAATAATAATAAATAATAATAATAATAATGCGGATCAGTATATGTCATTCATTTCCTTTTTTTTTTTTTTTTTTACAAAAAAAAAAAATGATTCTATCCCTTGCTTTCACTTACGATGCTGTACAATAAGCAGTGACTCTAGGTAGGTCATCCCGATTCATCTTACTTAGTCGTTCAGCTTCAACTCTTGCGGTACCATGAGGAATCTGGGCCAGTTGAGTATATACATCAGCAGTCAAGTCTTCAGGCATATAGACAGTTTGATCTTCTTCTTCCGGGAACAGTTTCAGTTTTTGGGAAGTTTTGGTGGTACGATTGGGCTGTTTTGGTTTTGTGCGAGTAGCCATAAGATTGTTGGTTGTAGAAGAAGGATGATGGTAATGAAGTGTAGAAGCTGGAATGGATGTAGTAGGAAGATGAGATCCACCTCCATTGGGTTGCTGAAAAGTGTGGTATACAGGTTGGTGGTGTCCATAATAGTTATTGTGAGCTGTTACTGATACTGGTGTTGATTTACTGGTACTTGGAGACCCTAACAATGGTGCAGTGATATTACTACTAATGCCACTATTATCGTCTTTTTGTGAAGGATATTGGCGTCTAGTCGTACGTTGCGTCATGAAAAAGGTTGAATAGTTATTTGATAAAAAGGAAAATCGGGAAAAAGAAGGCAAAAAAAAAAAGAGAGGGCTTTTTTTTTTATTCTTTTTTTTATACCACAACCGATGATTTCATTCTACGACGATCGGGAGAATGATTTTTCTTGCGTATACTATATCTGAAAGAAAGGTTTAAATTTTCAAGTAAAAATAATGATAATTAAATAAATAACACAGGATATCTTTATTGATAACAAAAAAAAAAAAAACAATAAGGATAACTAATAGATCTACAATTATCATTAATCATCACGCCATGCAATATAAACTTCATCCGTTCTAAATCGTTGTGTACATGTACTCTTTTCCAGAGGTGTAGTAAATCCAGTTCGATAAGCTAGTAATCCTGCATGGGCAATCATGATTCCATTATCAATACAAAATCTATAAGATATAATGATAATAATGTTAATATGAAATTAAATAATAATAATAATAATAATATTAGATATTTACCGTTCATCAGTAGCACAAGTAACAGCATTTCTTTGTGCAGACATTTGTTCCATCATTTCTTGTAAACGCACATTACCTAAAAATAAAAAAAGTATATATATATATAATGTCTAAAACACGCGTGAATACCATCTCTTTTCTACTTACATCCAACACCGCCAACCAATAAAACTTCATTTGACTCCACATGTGCCATTGCCCTTTCAGTGATTTCCACTAACATCGCAAACAATGTTTCTTGTAATGAATAACATAAATCTTCAGGTGTCACCTCACCACTTGGTATTTTTTCCTTTGCCAATGTTTCGATATAAGATAAGATCCCTGAAAATGATACATCCATGCCTTTAACTGTATATGGTAACTGAATAAATTTGGAGCCTCTAGATATATAAAAATTAATAATCAAATATTAGATCTCTCTCTCTTTTTTTTTTTTTTTCCTACACTTACTTTTTGGCACATTGTTCAATATTATAACCAGGATTAGGATCATTGGATAAATTCAATATACGAGCAAATCGATCAAGACAATTTCCAATGGCAATATCCAACGTTTCACCAAAGATGCGATACCGATTTTGAGAATAAGCGATCACTTGAGTATTTCCTCCACTAACATATAATACAACTGGATTACTTGCTTTTGTCACTTGTCGACCCATTTCAATATCTATCAAAAAGAAAAAGAATTAAAAAAAAAAGGTTGCTTAATGCTGTGTTAGAATATAAAAAGAACTTTTGAGTACTTACGTCCAATACAATGGTTGACACCTACCAGAGGTTTGTTCCATAATAATGATAAAGTACGCGCTACAACAGCCACAGAGGTGAGTGGAGCTCCCATACCAGGTCCTAAATAGAAGCATATGAAATTAGGCGACCAAAATTGTATCAAGATCTATGTATAAGTATATATAGAGAGAGAGAGACAAACTAATGCTCTTTTTTCTTTGATTTACCTTTTGTAAAGCAAATAACGTCAATATCGGCTGGTGTCATATTAGCATCCTTTAAAGCTTGTTGTAATACTCTGAGTATACATTCACGATGATGTTCTGCGGTTTCTCTTGGTAAAAAGCCTTGACCAGGAGGAGTGATGTAAGTGTCACGGACATTGGCCAATATATCAACATTATCATTGTCATGTCGTATAATCCCTACGCCAAGTTTGTTTGCTGAACCTTCAAATCCAAGCGCAACCACCATAATATAATATATAAGTATGAATCGAAGAAGAAGAAGAAAAAAAAAAAAAAAGAAAAAAGAAAAAACAGGAAAGAGTGACAATTGATTCCAAGCAAAGAAAAAAAAACAAAAAACAAAATCAATTTGATCCTCCGCGAGGTAACGGTTACTTCGATCTGAAGAAATTATAGTGATGTTGAATGAATTGTTTTGTTTATTATGAAAAGATATTGAAGATAAAAAATAAATGTAAAAGGAAGATAAACTAAATAGTAAAGAAAGACATAAGTTTGTGTAAATCTACATGACGATACGATGATCTATTCAAGTATCTATCGACAGCCGTTCTATATGTAATAAGAGAAGAATGATGTTTGTTGATAAAAGAGGATATTTGCACTATAAAAAAAATTATCCATCAATAACTATGAAATATTTATATTTGTTCTTGAACTTACCACTATGAGGAGATTTCATATATTGTTTTCGTATCAGTTCTGGATCAAAAGAGTGAGAATAGAATAATAGTTGTGTGTATAATTGTTTATCCGTGTACTATATATAAAAAACAAGATATTCAGTTTTTCTATCTCTTCCATGTCCTTCATATGATTTTTTTTTGTCTTATCTATTTTTTACCTCTCGAATCATGGCACCTTGACAACCATCTGCAGAGCACCTTCGCCCAAAGACAGACATCATTCTTGTCCGGTTAAAACATGTGTCATCATCACATATCAGCCATCCTTCATAATATTGACGGATATACTTTCGAATTGCCATAGTCAATTGGGTATGCACACTAGGAGTAGGTAGTACATGGTGACATTGTATACATGATAATCCATATTCCATTGTATCCCCATCGACTAATCTACCAATTCCATCAAAATTTGTTATTTCTTGACATTGTTGGCATCGTAATTGTAGTCGATCACATTCTTTGAATCGTTCTTCATCACTGATTTGAGAGTCTAATGTAACATAAGCATCCCCGTCAGCACCTGATGACATGGACACATGTGTAAATTTGCTTCCATCCAATCCTAGTAAATTCAAAAAAAAAAAAAGGAATCAGTTAAATATATGACTTTTCATTGATTATTTTTTTTTTTTAGCTTTACCGAGACATTCAGCTAATTGAGCTGCATCAGTGCCATTAATAGGGGAACATAGACGGGCAATGGGAGGATGAACTTGTTGATTCAGGTACCATTCAATATCTAAGTAATCAAAACAAGACCATATTATGAAATCAGTTCCAGATTTATCTTTTTTTTCTTTTATTTTTGCATTCTTACCAAGTTGCTTGTCACCATTCTTCACGTCATTCGGATGGAAAGCACGTTCTGCAAAACCTTTTGATCCACTAGGAAGATTCTCCACATGGCATATGACGTAAGGTACAGTATCACCGGCATTGACTGATAAACCTGCTTGACGCATGCGTAAGGCGACTTGGACGTGAGGTTGACTTTTACTATCAGCATATTCTTCTGGACTTTTCGTTAATTGCTAACAAAAAAAAAAAGTAAGAAAGTAGTTGGATTAATGAATAAACATGAAAGAAAACTAACTTTTTTTCAACTTTTTTTTTTATTTACCTTGTTGATGATAAACTTTTCCAAAGACATTTCACCATTTCGAATTTGTTCTCCAACTTGTCGTAAATATTCATGGATTTGTTCCACTACTTCTTCCCGGTCCAGTTTTGACAGAATAAACGATAATACACAACTATATATAAAAGGTTAGCCATCATTACTTATCAATCAAGTTACACAACTTACTTTGACACATCATGTGAAAGGTCGCACCAATCTCTACGTACCAAATCAAGACCTTTGGTTTCTACAGTTTCCACCAGTTCACCATTTGATTTTTCTTCTACTAAGAGAGCAGCGTATTTTTTCTTCTTGAGTAGTAACATATGTTTAAAGAAACCATCAATATCAATTTCTAGCAAGTTGTAAAGTTCATTGACTCGTTTCTTGAGCAAATTTCCCATTTCCTTGACCTTGGCCAATTCGCTTTCATTGGTATAAACCATAATAGAATCCGTATCACCATAGATAACATTGAGATCCATACTGCCTGCCAAATTCACCGTGTTTTGTAAAATTTCTCGCCCTTTGTGAGTAATCAACATGGCTAAAGGTTTAGCATAAAATCTTGAATGAGAAAATCCAAGACATCCGTACATACTATTGGCAGTCAATTTTAAACCCTTTTGTCGAATGTCCAGCTAAACGATTATTATTATTTTTATTTTTTTATTTTTTTTTTTAAAAAAAAGAAAGGGTCAGAATGTGTCATCTCTTCCATACAAATGCTTACCTGCATCATTTCAGCTTCAGTCAGTTTTGGATCCTTCATAAGTTTTTTAACCTGTCGTCGTCGCTCTACTAGAGCCTTGATCAATCTTGGAAGAACACCTTGAGTCATACTGGGATCAGGGATATCAGGTACCTTTTCTTCTGTCATGTCGTCCGGTTCATCATCCTATATCCCAAAACAATCATAATGATAAGTGATTATTTCGCATTCTTCCTCCACATGCATTACCTTGTTGTCAGTTCCTTCTCGTTGAACAGTAGTGAAGCAAATATTATATTCTTGAATAATGGATGGATATAAACTGTTGAAATCAAGGAGGACTACAAATTTATCATAGAAACCTTTCTTCGGTTCCAGCACCAGGCCACCACTATAAGCAGGTTTCCTTCGTCCTTTGGATTTCGTTTTTGTCTTTTCTGCGTCTATTGAAATATATATATATATAATCAATCTATTGATCTCTTTTCTATTCCTTTTGTTATCCCGTCCCCTCTTTTTTCTATTTTTCTTACTTTCATCACCATCGATTTCCAATGCTTCCACAGCAGCTTGAGATTTAAAGTTAAGTGATTTGTCAGGACAAATGTATTTTTGACGATGGAATTCATGAAGCAAAAGAAATTCATTCCGTTCCGCACGAGCACCTGTCATTGTTCTTGCCCTAAAGAGAATAATACGTTAAGTTAACATAGGGAATAAATTAAGATGTATTGTAATGAATCATTCAAAGATTTCTTTTTTTTTTATATATATTTTATATTACCACAAGTTACCAGCCAAGTTCGTCAACTGTTTTGTCAGAGGTAAGATTTGAAGTTTGAACATCAATGCAGAAGATAAAAAGGCGTCAAAGGAACAGTGTTTGACTAAATGGAGCAGATCAGTAGCATTGTTGTAATAACCAGCAAGTTTGTCGAATTCAATATCCTCACGATCAATTTTGAGTTGTGATTTGGCTAGATCACCTAATCGATACGACTTGCTTCGAATCAAATCCTTGGATGCCAAATAAGTATCACATATAAGTCGACCACACATAACCATACGTTCTTGATAGGTTGATTCCCGTGCTCCACCGGCGCCCGCTTGAAGTTTTGGCCAGCTATTAATACAATAATAATGAATAAGGTAACCTTCAGTCGCATTCCTTTTTTTTCTTTTCTTTTTTGAAACTTACTTTTTGCGTTTGAGTCGACCTAATTTGTGCCAATGTTGTGTATTAAGTGCTTTCATTCGATGAAGAAGAACATCCAAATCAAAACCAGAAAAATTATGACCAACAATCACATCTGGGTCACAAGAATGGATTCTTGCGATAAGATAATTGAGAAGAGAAGATTCGGTACGTTCAACTTGAATAGAAGAGTTGCTTTGTTTTCTTTCCTTCGTCACTGCATCCTGAAAACCTGGAGGAAATGGCGTATTGTTGAGTTGTCTTACTGCTGTGAAGCGTATCTTGGCTTGATCTTGAATTGGTGTAGGTTCATCGATTTTCACTGTCAATTAATAAAGGTAATGGTAATGATAATTAAAAAGATGTCTTATTTCGCTGACATTTGTCCTAGTTATCCTTATCTTCCTTACCTTGTTTGCATACGAGAGCACTAGCAGCGACAATTTCATTGGCATTCTTTTGTTTGTTCAAAATAGTGCGAAGACTAAGAGACATGACCACCAGTGGAGGGATAGTGTTTGGTGAATTTCCATCAGCATCACGAAGAGGATTGCATAGTTTCGGATCATTTACAGTATATTCGACTTTGCACCAGGTTTCCTATTTGAAAGTTCAAAAACAAAGCAAAGATGATGAAGATGAGAAAAGGCACCATGCTTCCTTTTTTTTTTTTTTTTTTTTTCCTTTGAATCACCTCTTACCTTGCTTGCACTGACTTTTGCGTCTTTAATTTTTAGCCAACAAGGACCCATAATATCACGTTTGATCAAAAAATGTTCTAATGGACCAGTTTGAATACCAAAAGTATGACTAAAAGTGTTTCCACTGAGGTTTTCAGGTAATGCTGGTTCTAATAAGGACGATAAAGAATAAAAGAAAGTGAGATACTGAAATAAATTTAAATACAATCATTTGCATTGATAACTTACCACTGTAACTGTAGACCATTTTAAGATATTCAGCTTCTTGGGGTACGCCAGGAATTTCGAATGCGTATTTTCTGGTAGTTGCTTTTGATGCCCATTTCTTGATTCGAGTCTTTGTACAAATATCGGAAAGTTCGCCATATACATCTTCTAATCCGACTTCTTGGCCTAGTATAACACCACACAAAGGAAGGTAAATCAGAACAAGTATTCAAAACTTAATCATATTCTTTATCGTAACGATCACTTACCATCCAATGTCTGTGCTCGTGGAAGTATAAATATATTGCGTTCAATATTGTGAATAGCTACACAACAACTGATATAATTGTTGGAACTTTTGTTGAGAACCTTCAAATAACAATTTAAAAAGAAAAAAAAAAAGTGGGTATGTTAACTGAATATTCCATATAAAACTTCCTACACATCTTCGTTGACTTACTTTTCCAAATAAATATACAGAACCCTTATCTCGGTGTTCATAAGCATCATACCACCAAAAATGAAGACTCTTGTCGTCCTCTTGTAATGTCATTGCTGTAGATTCCTCCTTCAAAGTTATTGTATCCATAACATCGCTGGTCATTTTTGCTTCGGCTGCTTCCCAACCTTGTAAATCAGGATCTCTTGTTTCTTCCTTCTTGATATGGACTTTTGGAGCTGTTGTCAATATTGGTTCATCTTGTTCCATTTTGATTTCTACTTCCTTCTTCTTCATAGTAGTTGAATTTAAATCAGCTTCAATGTCATCAAAATCCAGATCCATATCATCAAATCCATAATCAGCATCATCCTCAACGTTGTGATCATTGTTGTGAGTATGATTGTCAGAAGTAACTTCAGCAGTTTCATGGTCGCTATTGATTTGAGTGTTGTTGACGTGATCGTTGACAGTACGTTGTCGTTGTTGTTGTTGTTGTTGTTGTTGTTGTGCTGTTAGCGGTTGTGGTGTTGGAGGTGCAAAACGTTGTCGAGAGGGAAGAGGCGTATTAAGTGCCGTCATTCGCTGAGATCTTTCAATTTTGCGAGATTTTCTTGATACTGAGGAAGCTGTATCTTCTGGAGAAGGTCCTAGATTAGATAATAAATTGGCCATAAAATCGTCATCTTCTGTAATAGACTATCATAATATAAAGATAGTCAATATAACTTTCTAAATAGCATCAATAGATAAAACATTTTTTTTACCGTGTTGGGCTTGGTAGAAGTAGTTTCCAATTTGGTAGACTTTTGGAAAAATTTGTTGAGCATTTGCGAATGACTTGGTAAAGGACTATCGACTTTTTTGTTTTTTTGTTGTTGCTTAGTACTTTTGGACTTGCGTTTGCGTTTTCCTACACATGTAATAAATATTAGTTGGTTAGTTTTATTAATATAATCTTTTTTTATTTATTTATTTTACCAGTATCAGCATCCCCGTCATACTCATCTTCTGAGAATATTTGATCATTGCGACCATCGTCAATATAACCAGCATTATCGTCGTCTTCCACAAACTTATCGTCATCCTGTCGAGCAATATATTCTTCTTCATCTACTTCTTCGTAAAGATCATCAACCACTTTATTCTAAATATTGATTATAAAATGAAAGTTAGTACTCTTGTTCCTTATTATTTTTCGTTTTATGAACTTACATCGTATAAGGCACTACGAGATCGGTTTCGTCTTGCGTCCTTTAACATTTGAAACTTGTCAACCTTTTCAGTACCTTTGACAAGACGTTTTCTTGTACGTCCTGAGGTGGGAGAGGACATTCTATAATTGATATATTGTTATAAAATAGATAAAACAAGAAAGAAAGAAAAAAGGGGGAAAAAAAGGCGACTCGACGCGGTTTTTTTTTTTTTTTTAAGTCTCGCGATTTTTTTTTAATAAGAATTGGTCAAATGCGGTCATTCAAAAGTTCAATGAGGAATGATGCTTCAGGCAAATCCTTATTCTTCAATTCTTTTTTTACTTTTAGATCCATTGATGTGTGGTATCTTGTTCTCTTTGTCTTCTGATCACCATCCCCATGATCAAACAGTATGGAATACTTTAGAAGATTTAAATAGAAAACGAGGTTGGTACTCACTACATAACATAAAAAAAAAGTTACTCTATGATCTTTTTTTTTTAACTTTTTTTTTTTTGACAACATAGGACCTGATTCACAGCAATTACGACAAATTGACTGCCAATCATACACATTACGTTTCTTTTCATCAGTACTACATTTACGAGGACCTGATACTATATCGCAACCTCTTTATAACTCGGTTACTGGAGATATTTTGTGCTGGAACGGTGAAGTGTTCAATGGTCTTGACGTAGGAAGAGAATCAATCGATGTCACCTTATTCTGACTTTTTATTTTTAATGTTTTTATAGGTTCCCTTTGGCGTGAATGATACTCAAGTGGTGATGGAAAACCTACAAAAATGTGATTTGGCTTCTAGTGAACAAGATGCTCAAACCATTGTCTTATCAACCATCTCAAAGATCGAAGGTCCTTTTGCCTTTGTCTTTTGGCATGTAAGTTTAAGTGTTTATATATATAAAAAAAACAAACTCATTTTCTCTATCAATTACTTTAGGCACGATACAGTACGTTATGGTTTTCTCGTGATTGCCTTGGTCGCCGTTCATTATTATGGAATCGATCTGCAAATGGACCATTTATGTTGAGTTCCGTTGGACTGAATAATCAGGATGGATCATCATCATGGGAAGAAGTGCCTGCGAATGGGATTTATGTTCTGAAGCTCGATAATTTAATGAATGGTGCTCTGTTTGATCCTGTTTTGATCCCTTGGAAACATGTCGATGAACAACAGACTGCTGGTGAAAATGATTTAGTAAGAAAAAAAAAAAGGCATTAGAAAGAAAGATGAATCTAAAACTGGTTACTATGTTTCTAACATAATTGTATGATAGATATTACCTTTCCCAAGATTAAACAACCAGTTACCAACTGAAGAACAATTAGCAATGTCCAACACAAATAATGATGATGAAATGCCGCTTGTCTTCGATGATATGGAAAATGCTATTCAAGGATTCACAAATATACTTGGTGAAGCTGTGAAACGAAGGGTAGCTGATGTCCCTTATTTGCAGTAAGTGAGGAAAAAGATAGCAAACATCCAACATATTTGATCATACTTTTATCTCTTTCACATCCTTTTTTTTTTTTTTTTTTTTTGTAGGTCGTCAAAATCATCTCCTAGAATAGCAATTCTCTTCTCTGGAGGATTGGATTGTATTTGTTTGGCTGCCTTGGCTCACCAACACTTACCTATCACTGAATCGATCGATTTGTTGAATGTTGCGTTTGAAAATCCAAGATCCGAAATGGCTAGACAGCAACAACAACAACAACAACAGCAATCACTGAAAAAAACAAATAAGAAGAAACCATTGGTTATAGCAGATGATGTCAAAGAATCTACAAGATCTATGTATGATACCCCAGACCGCCTCACTGGGAAGGCAGGTGTGAAGGAATTAAGGTAAATAAGGAAAAGTATACAGATATCTATATTTATTTATTCTTTTTTATTTCAATTTATTTTGGATAAATTAGATTGATGGCACCTGATCGTACCTGGAATTTTGTTGAAATCAACGTTCCGTTTGAAGAAGCTATGGCGCACAAACAAAGAATTATAGACTTAATGTATCCTTTGGATACGGTGATGGATCTGGTAAATAAGAACAACAAAACACGAAGATATCTGATGCATGAATGTAAAATAATGACCAATGTCTTTCTTTTTTATTTTTATTATTATTATTATTATCATTATTTTAGAGTATTGCTATGGCTCTGTGGTTCGCATCTCGGGGCGAAGGTAAGATAAAACGAAGTAAAGAAAAGTTAATCCTCTCTCTTAATAATGTAATTCTTGGTTTCTTTATTAGGATATATTGATGGTGAGGTAAGGCAGAAGTGTTTTATATGGGAAAATGTTGGAAAACAAGATAGACAGAGTTAGTGATTTATATTATTATTTTTTATGCATACACGTATTTTGTAGAAATATACTAGTGATTCTAGAGTCTTAATATCTGGATTGGGTGCTGATGAACAACTTGGAGGTTATTCTCGACATCGTGATGCATACAAACGTGGTAGCTGGGAAGAATTGATCAAAGAGGTAAAGATAAGAGATCCATGATAGCATTAAATTCATTAATGCTATAGTGTTGGACTGCTTTTATTTATTTATTTTTTTTTGATTCGATGTATAGACGCAAATTGATGTGGATAGAATATCAACCCGAAATCTTGGACGCGATGATAGAATCATGTCTGATCATGGTAAAGAAGTGCGATTCCCTTTCCTTGATACTGATGTGGTCCGATTGTTATGCAAGTTACCCATACATCTCAAGATGGATATGCGATACGAACGTGGTATTGGCGAGAAATTACTATTGCGACATATTGCTCGACGACTGAAACTTCCTCTTGCTAGTCGAAATTGGAAAAGAGCTATTCAATTTGGGGCAAAGACAGCCAAGATGACAGGGGAATCCAGATCACAAAGAGGACAACATAAACTAGAATAGCATAGATGTAGTATAGATACAGAAGAGTCCAAATGTACATAGTTGACTTGTATTATCTCAATAAAATAAAATAAAGATGATTGTATGGGAAATATACTTCTCAGGTTGATTGAGATAATAGTAATACTTATTTTTTTTGGGAAGTGCCACGTCTGGATCAAGTGGAAGGTTGTATTATACATGATCACTTGACTTCTATGATTTACCTGATGGCCAATATAAACATCTATAGAAAACACTTGATATTTTTTTTTTTAAAAAAAAAAAAAACGATTCTAGGATAGAAATTAGGCCTTTATTCATATAATATACAATAATAAGATCTAAATTTAACTGGATGAATTTGGGTATCGTAAGAGGGGTGTAATAGCATTGAAGTATTCAGGAGTAACATATTGTTTGATTTCGGATTCTAAAAGCCAAGCAAAATCAACGATTTCATGATCATCAGGTTGACATTGACCAGATATCCAGTCAGAACGTATAAATTGAACCTAGATTTGAATAATTATAGTAAAAAAAAAAAAAAAAAAAAAAAAAAAAAAAAAAAAAAAAAAAGATCAGTTTCTATCTATAATAAATCATTTTTTTCTTTACCTTTGCTCCAATATAATTCCTTTTGTGTTTGGCAATAAAAGCATCAGGGAACTTGTATTGATAATAAAAGGACGAAGTAGTTTCTACAGGGTTGACCTTGAGATGTTGTCCACATTCTTCTTCTAACTCTCGAAGAGCTCCTTGAAGTACTGTTTCTCCAGGATCAATACCACCTTGAGGTAATTGCCACGCATGGTGTTCTCTATCTTTTTTGACTAACATATAGAGAGATGAAGTGGGATGGCGTGTCAAAGAATGTACATCGTCATTCTTATTCTTTGTATTTATCGAAGAAATGGCAGGACGGCGAACCATGATACTTGCCACTGATCTATATAACTTTTGCGGTGAAGTCATTTGTACGAAGAAAAAGAGAAAAAAAAGGCCAGCAAGAAATGACAGAAAAATAGAATTAAAACTCCTCTTTTTTTTTTTTTTCCTCAAAATTCAAAATTTTCGTATGGTTTTTAGAACATTTTATTCCAGAGTGATATGATCAACTCGACGATAAAGGGTAGCGAATTAGTTTCTCAAGATCCAAGTCAACTTTTTACACAATTTAATCCAACTCTATATTTTGATCAACCTCAACTCGTCACTGATCTGTCTTTAGCAACTGATGTTGATACTACAGCGTCATGGTATACGATTATAGAGCAATTAGTTCCTTCTGATCGAACTACTTTTTGGGAAACCATTGTAAGTGTATATATTTATATATATATAAAGGAAGATCTAAAAATATAAACTATATAAAAAACAAGGCGTAGTATTGAAATAAACTAAATAACTATTTCATATATTTCTATCACTTTACCAATAGAGAAGATGGACAGCTGAACCTCAATTTGTCATACCACCTATCGAAAAAGCAAATATCATATCAACCACCACCAATGATACTAATCATACTGAAGATAATCAAGACAATTTGATAGCTTTTGAAACTGTGGTACGACAATTGATTCCAAAACGCAAATCCAAAGATACGATATTATCAGAAACTATTCGATACTATGAATATACTACAAAAGGTAATAAATAAAGTAGAAAAAATAAAAAAAGGTAAAATAACTAAACTATTTTTATAACTCATAGGCTCAGTATATGAAGGAAGGGTGATCTATGAACCGAGTATGACAAAACCGACAGATATATTACCATTTTACTATCCCAAAGTATAATCACAAAAAATAAAAAATAAAAAGATGATTCATTTTAATAATAATATTAAAAAATACTTATTAATTATATAGGTACGAGCATATAGTTTTACTTATACTTCATCAAACATTGATGGTGACAGGTAAAAAAAAAAAAAAAAAAAAGAGATCGGCAGTAAAGGGATGATTTTCATGGGTGCCTGAGGGATAATCAATCTATTTTTAGTAGTGGTATCCTCCGACTTCAAATCTTACCGATGCAACTCCGGGACGATCCTAAGATAACCGATCTCAAAATGGTAAAATAAGATGATGTCGTTTAGAAATAGATAGTGTAACCTTTTTTCTGTATATCTTTTTTTAGCAAAAGGCCTTACAGGATATTATTCACAAACTCTTCAAATGGTGTATTCAAGCACGGATTGGATATAAGAAAAAAGCTCATCATGATAGTTTGGTATCCAAAGATATATATGTCAATAAATATCAAGAAATCAAGACTAGATATGCCGATGTACTGGTCAGGTAACAGAGAAAAAAAGATAAGAAAAAAAAATAATGATATGTCTAGAACATTATATTTTATAGAGCTTGGACTGAAAAGACCGATCCCAAGAAATTTGTTTATGAAGATATTGCTATTGCAAGTTATTTGATATGCTTATGGTTAGAAGAAGAGAAAAAAACAAAACGGTAATAATAGAGTATGATTTTAATTCCTACGATGATGATTTAGTTTCCTTTTCTTTTATTTTATTATATAGTAAACCAAACTTTGTGGACCTTGGATGTGGAAACGGCTTATTGACATACTTATTAACGAGTGAAGGTTATGATGGATATGGAGTCGATATGGCCAATCGTAGGATATGGGAGAAGTTATCTGATGGAAAACCTGATATGTTGAAAGGTAAGAAATATTAAAAATAGTAATAAAAAAGAATCACTTAACATAATTTGTATACGATTATAGTGGAAGCATTATATCCAGCAACGGTAACATATGAAGCAGATTGGATTATTGGGAATCATGCAGATGAATTAGTACCATGGTAACGTAACAAAGAAAACGAAATAAAACAATGAACAAAAAAAAAAAAGAATTTAATTTGTTCTTTCTATAATAGGATACCAATCATCAGTACGAAATCTGGAAATCATTGCAAGTAAGTCATCCCCCACCCCTTTTTCGTTTTATCAGGAGTATTGATTGATTGATAAAAAAAAAACAACGTGATTTATAGATTTCTTGTGATTCCGTGTTGTATGTATGGATTAGATGGTAGTCGAAAGCTGTCGCTGATGAATGAACCAGGGGGAAAATATCGAGCATATACGAATTATATCAAGTCAATAGCAAATCAATGTGGATTCCATTGTGAAGAAGATTACCTAAGGATACCCAGTACCAAGAATATTGCTCTGATTGGACGACAACGACTACATATGGTGAATCCAAAAGATCTTGAAGCCATTCAAGCACCGGGTATTGGATTCACTCTACGAAGAACTGACCGCGAAAAGGAGGAGTTACGACGATTGGACAGTAAACGGGCTAAAATAGTTCCTAATTAGTTGGTTAGGCTTTTGAGATAATGATGGGTCTTGACTTCTCCATATAGATTTTTTTTTTTTGGTACCTTTGATATTTTTATAATAAAACAGTCCCTTTATTTTTTTTTGATTCTCCTTTTTGATTGTTTTTAAAACATTTCCAATCCTATTTTTTTCAATTTCTTTCTTTTTCTTTCTCCTTCACTTTTTATATATATATATATTTTTTTCCTTCCTTTCCTTTATTTACAATGAAGTGTCACCTTTTGATACTATTTGCTGCTGTGATCTTACTTCAAATATCTACTGTTCAGTCTGATGCTCTTTCTGATCTTATAGGTGGTGGTTCTTCTGCTAGTAGTGGAGGAGGAAACAACAATCCTGCTGCTGGCTCAAGTGATCCTACTCCTTCTGCTTCTTCAGGGGGTCGAGACTCTTCTTCTTCTGCTCCAACTCCAACTTCTTCTGATACAGTACCAAGCTCAAGTGCACCTGTACCTTCTTCAGAATCTTCCATTCCTTCTTCTTCAGCTCCTCCACCTTCGTCATCATCAGCTCCACCGCCTTCTTCTTCTTCAGCTCCTCCACCTTCTTCTTCTTCAGCTCCTCCTCCTTCTTCTTCTTCAGCTCCTTCTTCTTCTTCGTCTCCAACACCCACTTCTTCTTCTCGCTCACATTCTAAATCCTCTTCAGCTTCCAACACTTCTTCCTCCTCAAGTGATACATCCTCTCCTACAGCTACTCCTTCCAACAGCAGTGATGATAATAACACAACAGGTACTATTGCAGGTGCTGTCGTCGGCGGAGTTGGTAAGTGATTTTTTTTTCTATTCATTTTTTTCTTTTTTTCTACCTTACACACTAAAAATTAATTACTTTTTTTTGCATCTATTCCATATTAGTGGGATTGGCTCTTATTGGTGGTCTCTTGACATGGTTGAATCGTCGTGGTGGCTGTGCCAGTCGACGTAACAAACGTACAAATAACGATTTTGAAGATTTTGGTTTGGCAGAAACAGATTTTCCTCATCATCGATCACCTGCTATGGCTGCTGCTGCTACGCTTGGAGCCTCTTCTGTCGCCACTAGCAACAAATCACCTACTATTCCAAGAATGAATGAAGCTACTACTGGATATTATAATGCTGCACCTGGTGGTATGGTTCCTCCTCCTGGTGATTACGATAGTGGACGTCATTATGCACCTTATCAACCTCAATTGGATGATTATGCCATGCAACAACAACAACAACAGCAACAAGGTTACTATTATCCTCAACATCCTGATCAAGGTCAAGGTTATTATGATGATCAATATTATTATGATAATCAACATATGGCTGCGGCCGGACATGAATATGATCCATCTCAAATACAACAGCAACAGCAACAACCACCTCAACAACCTCAACAAGTCTTCTCACCAACCGATCATCACAAACCTGATCAAGTGGATAAACCAAATGAACGATACTAATTGGACCAGCATCATTATTACATCATTTTGCTCTGCATTTTTATGTTATACTTATATCCTGGGATGATGATAAATCAAATTTGGATTCTTCTCATTCATCTCAATTTTTGTATCATTCTTTTTTTTTATGTCATTCATCATTTTTATTGTTTTTTATTTTTATTATTTTATTTTAGTTTTATTCTCTTCATTCAAGATTGTTGATCAACCTCTTCCTTTTTTTTTTTTTTACTTCACTATTGTTATCTCTTTGCCCCTTATTTACTTTATTATTCTTTGTTGCCATTTTGTAGAGACTCTTTAGTAACACTCCTCTCATTTTTCTCCTCCTCCCTTGTACCATTAGAATATTTATCTATCCTTAGTGCTATCCATTCTTACCTTTACATCTTTAGCAATAAAAAAAATCTATTGTACTGATTCATACTCATTATTTATATCACACATAGAATTACAATAAATAAAAAAAAAAAAAAAGAAGAAACTATTGTAGACTATAAATGGGCTTCGTCCGTTTTGTTCGCGTTTATAAAAATGGTAGCCTTTGATTACATTATCCAATCATCCAGCTCGCAGTATCTATATCACATATACATATACAAAATATATATCATCAATATCATTTATTGATTTTGTTTATCGGTAAAAAAAAAAAAGTTGTAAAAATACAAAAGTGTAAGCTTCAAAAACGGGACTAATACTACAACAATAATAAATGAAGAGAATAGAACTAAAAAAAGGAGAGAAATATAGACTAAAAATAAAATGACGCTACACATGAGATTAAAAAAAAAAAAGTAACTAGAGGATAAAAGGTACATTGGCATAACGTGGAGTGCGATAGATTTGTCCCAAGACCTCGTGTATATGTTCTTCATACCATTGCTGTTCAGTGACCTTCATAGCCCATTCGCTTTTCAAGGATGTATGACCAAATTGTTTCTTGCATAACCAAAGGATGGGCCACGCAATAATCCATAGACAAGTGATGAAGAAGAAGAATCGGACGGCTTTGTGATCTGACATTCTTGATAAAGTGGAATTGGTTTTGATAGTGACTTTGTAATTCTTCATTTCATACGAGATATCCACACTATGATAGTATCCATATGCACGAATCGCCGATGTGAATGCTAAATAAATAAAATAAATAAAAAAAAAGGTTAATCCGTCTATCCATCATCAAGATCTTTTTTTTTTTGAAAGAAACAATTGTACCTCGAGTAAGTTGAGCATAATCCCAATCAATCACCTTGGTTAATCGTAATTCCTTGAGGTTATTTGATTCATGAACATAATCATCACATAATTCACGTACAGTTTTAACTTGGCCAGTTTTTGGATCAGGTAATACATAGAGACCACGACATTCTGGAGAGACCATGTTGCTACAATCAATATCAAATTGGAAGTCATCCACTCGTTTCGTCACAGGTTCTCGTTCTTCACGCCAATTCCCTTCTTCATCACGAGTGTTTCTAGTTCGATAATAAGTTTCTTCATGATATCCTATTTGAATAATAATAATAATAATAAAAAAATAATCAGTCAAATCTCAAGAAAAGATAAAAAAAAAAAAAAAAAAAGACGGTGGTACCATGAAATTTGACTTTCATTTCTGGAGCATTATTGTGTTGATGTAAAAATTGTGCCAAGGCTTCACCATCATTGTTCAAGTGGATGTCCCGAGAAAGAATACCAGAAGATTGGATTTCATACTTGGCACGGTACACAGAATAATTTGGAGGAGGAGGACGGCCTTGGAAAGGATCTCGAAGTAAAGGTTGACTATGTTGGTCTTGATATTGCTCTTCATCAAGGTATGGATCGTCATAATCGCCAGTTGTAAGGATAGACCTGGATATAGTATCTGTTGGGATATTGTTGTTAGAAGGTGATGGTAAAGGAAAGGAAGAAGACGTATCTGCTGGAACTGTGGATGATGATGGTGAAGACGGATTAAAAGAAGGAATCGAGTCATCGCGGATAAACCCTTCAAATTCAGGTTTGTTTGCCGGAGGAACACTGAAAGGCATTGTAGAATCCATACTTTGTATGGCCTCATTATAACCAGGTGGGGAAGGCATATCAGAATTACTGGTGACTTCCTCTATTGAAGGTGCTGAAGGTGTTGCTGCTGATGCCTGTGACGAAGAAGGAAATGGGCAAGTGGATGGAGGACTTGTGTAGGAGTAATAATAATCATGCTGTTTTTTCGACATGGGTCATGTAAAGGAAACTTTTAAAGAAAAGGAAATTGGACAAGAAAAGAGGGAAAAAAAAGAAGATCTCTTGGCTTTCGAGTTTCGATTTCCGACTACGAACTTTTTGTTGAACAAACATTTGGTTAAGCATGACCATATTGCTGAGTCCATCCATTACAGTTCTACTCTACTTTCCTGACGATATATATCATAACTTATACTAAAGTAATAAAAACGATCTATCCCATATCTTGTGTTTTTCTTTTTCATAATTACTGTTATTGTTAATGATGAATGAATATAAGGAAAAAAAAAAAAAAAGAATGATAATAAATCTTTATTCAATTTGTTCTCCTTGGTTGGTCCCTACTCGATTGGTCTTTTCAAACTCAATTTTCATTGGTGGACCTTATTTTTGAAAAGGATATAAAATCCAACCCAGTCTCTTTTTTTACCTTTCCTTCTACTTTCCTTAACTCACTTGATCCTGTTTTTTTTTGTGTATATGCTATTGACATTATACAACTTCATATCGTGTTCATTTGGTAAATAATAATAAAATATAGTTTACTTTATTAGTAAAATGCTATATTGATCCTTTTTTTTTTTTTTTTTTTTGAATGTGGTCCGTGTTTTTTTTTTCTGTGTACCAATTCCTTCTAGATACATATATCAAATTCTTTATGATTGTCACTCTTACTTATCTCCTAATCAACTCCCTTTTTCCAAAAGAAAAGTATCACTCTTATATACCATCAACAACAAACGAACCCAATACACAATTCAACAATGATAGAACAAGCAGTACACCTGTCAGTACTAATACTGGTGTCTCTTCAACAATAGCATTCTCTGAACCTTTGGACACACTCTATGAATTACAAGAATCAGTCAACCCATCTACACTTGATACCGATCTCGAGGCAACAAACACCAAATTGGATTTCTCATCAAGAACACCACTCAATATTGCACCATCACCCAAACCGTCAAGCTCAACACCTCCTACTTATCCTCGTCATTGTCCTTCGCGTTCTTCACCTTCAACTGCTCTCGATTATTCTCTCGTCACAGCAGATACTCCACCCTTGACTTTATCACCATCACTGTCCACCACTTCAACTACTTCTTCCATTCAAGATCCTCCTTTGTCAGTCCCTAGTCTGTCTTCTTTTAATTCAAAACGACGCTCATCTCGAGTAGGACTTTTGATACAGCAGTTTGAAATCGGTCGATTAGAAGATTCTTCTTTGTCCTCCTCATTTCTTACACCCACTATTTCGAGATCTACAACGACAACAACAAATCGTACTAGAAGGGGGACTATTGGCGCATGCACGACATCAACAGGAGAAAATGTAAAGGAATGGATCAACATCAATGCAGAACAAAGCAAATATAATAACAAAGACGGTGATGATGCCAACAATGCCAATAAAATCAACAAGAGGAGTAAACCTAGAGATATCAATACGGATCTACCCAAATCAAAGATCTCATCATACAGTAGCAATAATCGATCAACACCATCTTCCATCTATTCACCTGTGGTGTGTCATTCTCCCAGTGGATCTACAACGCCAACCAGCACGCGTTCTGTTGACTATCGCTCTATTGGATTTCGACCTGCATTTACTAGTTGGGAAAAAAGAATTGCTGAGGGAAATTCGTAAGTATCTCTCTTTTCTCTAAAAAGAAATGGAATTCGAACTGATTCTTTTCTTTTTTTTTTTCTTTTTTTTTTTTTTTTTTTTTTTTTGAATAGAGTGCTAGTGCCATTACCTTCTGTATCAACCCCTGTTTGGTCAAGTACTCGTCGTCATCTTCAGTGATCTTTCCAAATTTTTTACTATACCCTAATTTTATAGTTTAAAATACGCTTTTATTTTTTTGATACCGTTTCTTCCATCAAGGCCGGCCTTTTTTCTTCTTTTTTTTTTTTTAGTGTCATCTTCATATTCCATTTCCTTTTTTTTTTTTTTTTTTCTGTCGTTACATTACATTTCATTGTCTTTTATACCATCTATTCCATTCAATAAAGCCATACAACATTTTTATTTTGAAAAAATCAGAAATTTTATTATCAATGGTCATTATCAGTATATATATATATGTGCGTATGTATACAGAAATTAATAAAAAATAAAAAAAAAAAAGGATATTATGTTAAGAGTGAGATCTATGTTAGGGGAATCATATAAGGAAGGGAATAATAATAATAATAATAATAAAAATAAAGGTGAAATTAATTAGTAGGACAGATCAAGCCATTGCCGTCGGAAGGATAGATGGTCATTGTAGGTAGCCATAGATAATGTAACAAATGGAAAGTGATATGAAGAGACAAGTTCAAAGCTGGCGGATTGTTGATCAAGTGAGGACCACAGGCACTATAAAGTTGGGCAAATGTCGGATCGGTCAAGTTACTTGTGGTTGCTACATAATCAATATGAAATAAGGTACGTACCACTTGAGGTTGGCCGTCGGTCCAAAGTGTCATGGCTGGTAAAGTGGACCATGCAAATGGAATGCCCTGTCCGTCGTCATTGATAATACTGTTGTTGGTGTAAGAGGTCATAAAAGAAGGTTCAGTGATATGATTTGTTGTTGTTTTATTTGCATTTATGGTGGAATTGATAGGTATGGTATCAGGATTGGATGAGGCAGAGTTGTTGGAAGGATGAATAAATAGAACTAAATCCATTTGTACAAGATGTAACGGAATAAAATTGGGATGATTGTCCAGAGTCAAGTTAAGTTGCCAGGTCGTTCGGTAGAATGGATGAAGAGGAGGACCCCAATCGGCAGATTCTTGACCAAACGTATCAGCTGTTGGCGCCATGGTCACTATAGGAAGTCGAGGTAAGCAGATAAACAAAAGAACACCTCCTATACATAACATAAAACAGGTCAATATGAAACATACCCAGCGCCAGGAAAGACGGCCTTGACAACAATATAAAAAAAGAGAATGAATGCTTGTGGATGTTTGATGATATTTCTTTTTTCGTATTTCTTCAGAGAGGGACATGGTGGTCATAGTGGACTGAAGAAGAGGATGATGGGTAGCTAAGGTTGATGGTGATCTTGCTGTAGAGGTGATAGTGGTGAGTAAACTATCTTGTCGTTTGTCCAATCCTGTCACTTGCTCCTGTTCTACATGAAATCCATTATCCAAACTACATATTCTTGTCCGTTCTTCTTGTTGATCATATAGTTTTTGTTGTTGAGGTATATAATTTGAATACGGAAGATAAGAATGTATTGATTTCGAAGGACATTGCCAAGTTACCGAATCTTAAAAAAAAAAAAAAAAAAAGAAAAAAAAAGGTGGAAATAAGTAAAAAAAAGCGAGTTTTTGCTTGAAGTGGGGTAGGCGGCATTTCAAACTAAGTTATATATTTCATTACTTTGGGCTGCTGTACGACGACTACGATATGGATCGTTTTGATAAATATCGGTAATTTGATCTGATGAAGGATCATTGGGCATGGAAAGGTTCTCTATATTGTTTTCTTAATGCTCTTTTTATATATATTTATATATATGAGATAATGATTAAAAAAAAAAAAAAAGAAAACTAAAAAAGGGGAAAAGAAAAGAAAAGAAAAGAAAAAAAATAAATAATACAGGAGGTATAAAAAGAAAAAGAAAAAAGTAAAAATGCGGAAAAGTAGGTAGTAAGGGGAAATGCATTAGTATGAATAACTATCATTTTTCTTTTTTATTTTCTTTACATAACTATGATATTGATCTATATCCCCTTACTCCTTGTTTCTTCTTATTTATAATAAAAGGCAAAATCAAGAGTACTTTTATATAGATCAACAAAGGGATAATCAATTCGAAGAAAAAGATTTACTAAACATCATTGTTACTTTTGAAAAAAAAAAAAAATAGATAAATGTTTTCTCCTTGAAAAAAGAAACTCTATCAAGGAACATCCCAAAAATACCTGATCAAAAAAAAGTTTTATTTTTATGTTGTTTGGTCGTTTGATGATATCCCTTTTTGTGCAGGAAAAAAAAAGTTTATAATCTTCTCCTGAATATGCATTTCAAACACCAATTTAAGTAACAAAAAAAAAAAAGTCAATCGTGAACAGCTTTTTATTAAGAATGGTATATAAAAAAAAAAGAGAGAATACAATGAATGATTAATACAATATAAAAAAAAAATATACAGAAAAGATATAAACTAATGCTTAAGATACTGCTATGACTACTATTTTATCGACGAGATTTCATATTTGGTTTTGGCTTGATATCCGATTCACGACAAGAATTAAGCATAATCCGATGAGAATCATTTGATGTTGCAAATTTGTGTCCCTTTGACCAATCATAACTAATAGCATAAGCAAAGATATTTCCAGTTCGATTAAAAGTTGTTGCTGATATTGTACCATTCATATTGGGAAATGTCTTGAGCCTTTGTTTCGAATCCTTATCCCAAAATACAATTGTTCCATCTGATCCACATGTTGAAAATGTACCATAAGTAGGATGAAATGAAATATCATTCACACTGTAAATATTTTTGGAATCATCTCGATGACATTTGAATGAGAAATTGCGTCTATGTTTTTTTTTTTATATAAGAAATATATATATATATAAAAAGAAGTTTTCAATCTTTTTCTTTTTTTTTTTTTTTTAAACAATCACATTTACTTACGCTTGTTCATTATCATCTATATATTGAATTCCAACACGCCCTTCAATAGAACCAATAGCATAACCCGAACCATCAATAAAGCATGCCACTGATCGAGTTTGCCACTTTAAGGGAGAGATCGTTTGCTATAAAAACAAAACAAAAAAAAAAATGTTAGTAAAATCATAAAAAGAATCATCACCAAAAAAAAAAAAATACCTTGAATATAGTGGTAGGATTATTTAAATCGAATAATACCACATGTCGATCAGCAGTTCCAACCACCATCAATTGTTGTCGAGAATCCATAGAATAAACCCGTTCGGGTAAAACCACTGTACCAATAGGTTGAGGAGAACGTAAATCCCAATATTTTACTGTCTTATCCCAACTCCCTGTAGCTAAGATTTGTTGTCCTTGATCTAAGAATAATACACTTTTGATCGCTTCATCATGGCCAGCAATTTGTGTTGTTTGTCCTGTTGCTATATCATACATTCTTCCTGCTTTGTCTGCCCCTCCAGAGACTACCTTAGTACCATCCTAATGTTTTTTTTTATGTTTATCAAATAAATATTCAAATAAATCATGATAAAAATGAACCTATTTTTTTTTTTTTTTTACCTTGCTCCATGTCACGCATAAGACGGGTGCTTCATGAGCATAAGATGCTTTTGGAATAGATTGACCACTTGGTTGTATTTCATAAATGCGTACCTAAAAAAAAAAAAAGAAAGAAAGAAATTAAATATACTTTCTTATTAATTATCAAATAATAATAATAATAATAATAAATAATACTAATAAGTCTTACTTGATTATCCCATGAAGAAGCTGCAAGATAATCAGCTTGAGAAGAAAAGCTCAAACCCGAGATACCGTCCGTAGGAGGCGAAGTGATCTATAACAATAAAACAAGTATTAGAATAAACGTGAATGTTTAACATTTATCTTTATTTCTTTTTTTTTTTACCGCCATATCTTGTATAGTAGCCATATTATTGAAAGATAACCCTACTTGGAAGGGAAAAAAAAAAAAAAAAAAGAAACGAAAAAAATTGACACGCATTCGATTTTTTTTTTTTTTTTTTTTTTTTTTTTTTTTTTTTTGGTAGTCCTCCCCCAGGGTTCAGATTGGGTGAAATTTTTTTTAGATATGAAGTTTCCCACTGACAATGCAAGCAAGGGGCAACTTCTGAAGCCAGTTTATAGCCCGTGACTTATTTTCTTGATCTCCCAAATTGTTACCCAATTTTTTTTTTTTTCTAATTTTACTTTTTTTTCTTTTATATTCCATTATGGCAGGAAAAAGAAAGGTAAGGACAAGTTCAATATATAACCATGAATAAATACTCATCATTATTTTTTCTATATTGATATATAATTGTTAAATAGAGAAAAAACAAGACACACAAGGCACCTACTGAAGAAGATTACCTCAAAGTCCCCAAGAGTTTTGTTATTCGATCAGGCATTGTTGGAAACTCGATCACTGCTTTAGTACGTGATGTTCGTCGAGTCATGGAACCAAATACAGCCAGCCATTTGAAGGTAATGAATAATATAAGCTTATTAATAGCATATTCTCGGATCTAACCAATAAATATTATTTTAAATAGGAACGACGAACCAATAGATTGAAGGATTTTGTCGCAGTAGCAGGTCAATTAGGCGTTACAAACTTTATGATCTTTAGTCGAACAGAAAAGAATACCAACCTCCGTATTTGTCGTGTTCCTCGTGGTCCTACTTTATCTTTTCGTATTCATGAATATTCTTTAGCAAAAGATTGTTTGGCTTTACAAAAGAACCCTCATACAAATGACAGTGATTATCACCATAGTCCTTTATTGGTGCTCAACAATTTTAAACAAGAAGGAAAGGAATTTAAGGTGATGACCGCCATGTTACAAAATATGTTCCCACCTCTGGATGTCCAAACGGTAATTTTTTTTTTTTTTGGAATGTATACATTTTATATTAATGATGATTTTATATATATATAGATGCAATTGAATCAAGTCAAGCGTGTGTTACTGTATAACTATAATGAAGATACCGGAATGATCGACTTTCGTCATTACAGTATTGGTGTGAAAGCCACAGGGATCAGCAAGTCAATCAAACGGGTAGTGACAACACATGTACCAAACTTGGGTGATTTTGAAGATATCTCTGATTATGTATTGAAGGAAGCTGTCATTTCTGAAAGTGATGTAGAAGATGGACCAGAATCTACGGTGACACTTGCTCAAGATTATTCGGGACGTAACAATCGGAAGAATGACCAACGGGCGGTACGACTTCATGAATTAGGACCTCGGATGACATTACAATTGATCAAGGTAGAAAATGGACTTTGTGGTGGTGAAGTATTATATCATCGCTTCATCAAGAAAACACCTGAAGAAATCAAGGAGAATGAACGGAAGCGACAAAAACTATTGGCTGAAAAGGCTCAACGACGGGACATACAAAAGGCCAACGTGGAACGCAAACAGTTGGAAAAGGAAGAACATCGACGACGTACTGGTGCTCCTGATGCTCAATCAAGCAAACAAGATGATAATGGTGATTCATCTGATTCGAATCAATCTGCTGATGAGGATGATGATGATGATGATGAAGAGGAAGATTTGCTTGGACAACAGATGGATCTGGATGACGATGATCAGGATAACGACGATGATGACGACGATGACGACAACTAGTTTAGTTATCTTTTTTTTATATATATATATACTTCTTTCTTTACTGTCATTTTTATTTTCTCATACTCATTTTGTGCATTCTTTTTATTTCATACTCTTTTGTTACCTATACGTTATTTTTATATATTATCGATGCAATAAAGATTTATTTGATTTTACACTATACATTTATTAATGTGATGGGGAATATGTCAAAGGGGGTTGTATGTTGATGAGACTATAATGGCTTATTCAACCTTAGTTGCACACAAGAACAACAACTACAAACAATGATGATTCATAAAAAAAAAAAAAGGAACTGCCTTGGACAAGGTGTTCAAGAAATCACAATACAGCTTGTAAAGGTTTTTATTGGATCAATAGAGAGAGAGAGAGAGAGAGAGAGAGAGAGAGAGAGAGAGAGAGAGAGAGAAGATACAAAGGTGAGATGGTAGGGGAAAGAGGACTTTTTCTTTTCTTGAGAAAGGTGGGATGGCAGTAATAAGAAGAAGGTCATGATTCATAAATAAAAATAAATAGATAAATAAATAGATAAATAGATGGATACTAAAAGATGTATAGTGTGATGAGGAAACTTATCAATACATAGATTCTACTCTATACATTCATCATATACAAAAAAAAAAAAAAAAATCAAACTAAGACTAAAGAAGGGAAAAAAAAAAAGGTACACCAATATATAAAAGCAAATACAGAAAATATTTCAATCCAAAAACACAGATATTTTTAGATCCACTGCATAGTACTGTCTTCCAAAGAATACATCCGAGCCAAAGGTTGAGATAAATGAGTTGGACCAGTTGGTGAATGATGAGAGTTGATATCATGATGATGATGATGAGGATGTTGTTGTTGTTGTTGAGGTAGACCATGAGTATCACCAGATCCATAATAATCAGAAAAAGCTAATGATGACGCTGATACATGTTGTTGTTGTTGTTGTTGTTGATGATGATGATGATGGGATTCGGGATGTTCCGTCGGCGAATCATTCGATAAAAGGGAAGTGATACTAGTATGGTCTTGTCGAGTAAGAGTAGGTAAATTTAGTATACGTCCATGATGTTCGGTTGCCGGCTTTTGTAGTTGTTGTTGTTGTTGTAGACGAGAATAATCAAATGTGTAAGAGGAAGAAGGATGATAAGATAAAGAATTATTATTGTCATTATTCATAGGATCGATACGAGGATGAGTTACAACAGGAGGAACAGAGACCATAGAAGTTGGTAAAGGAGTTTTAGGTGAAGAAGTTGGTGAAGGTAAAGTATATGAAGTGACATTATACATGGGATCAAACACCGGCTTTTGTCGATCGATATCTATACTTTGTCGATGATGAAAATGATCTTGCTGTTCGTGTTGATCGTGTTGTTGACCGTTTTGATTAGAATAAGAAGTTGTATGATTAAATTGAGAGATCGAATTATGTCTTGTATACATTGGATGATGCATATAATCATTAGAAGGAAGTGAAAGACTTCTTGAAGTTGATTTGGCAAGCTGACCAGCGGCTAATAAAATGACAAAAAAAAATATAATAAATAACTAATTTGTAATAATAATAATAATAAATAAATAAATATAGATTACCTGCTGTAAATCCAGAAGAAGAAGAAGAAGAAGTTTGATAGTAAGGTTGTTGAGGGTAATGATCAGGTTCCACCACAGGAGGTATACGGAAGTTTTGTCTCACCAAGAGTTCAGGGGATATTTCCAAATTGACCAATTCAGGTACCGCAGAGGGAGTTCTAAGCTTGCGAGCCAACACATCATCAGGATGATAATATGAGATCAGGTGAAGAGGAGTACCGTCCACAATCAAAGACATTGTTTTCTTGATGAGACCATCTTCTTTATAATTATAAGCTTCTGATAAACTTCCAACTAGTTGTCGTTCTTTATGTCTATCTGATACACTTTGGTCTGCACTATTACTTCGAAGTCGATTTCTTGATGGATCCACTAGAGTTCTTTTACGTTTTGGTATACGTTTATCCAATTCACGATAAATCAAAAAGTTTCCAAGAATACGAGAAGGACTCCAAACTAAACCATCAGTCCAACGTTTGATACCTAAATTATATATATAAAAAAAAAGATCAATCAATTAACTATTTTATTTTTTTTATTTTTTATTTTTATTTTTATTTTTATTTATATATTACCAGAATCTTTTTCATCAAAAACAAAAACAGAACCTGATCGTACCAATTTTCTTTCTTTTTCTTGTAAACGTCTAGATATTTTGGGTAATAAACAACGACGACAAGCTTCTAATACCAAAAGAGAATCTTGAGTTGTTTCAATGTAACCATGAAAGGTTTCTACAATGGACATTATGAATAAATATATTTGTAAATATTGCTTTAATAAGGTTTGACAGCTAAAAGCAATAGAATATAAAATAATAACAAAGAGAAAATAAAAAAAAAAGGAAAAGGAACAAAAAAAGTAAAAAAAAAAAAAAAAAAAAAGTAAAAAAAAGAGGGAAAAAAAAAGAAAGTGAACGTGACTCCAAGAAAGAGGGGGGGGGGGAACTTTTCGTCGAATTTATTTCTATTGCCCTCCGATTCGCCATCCGATTGACTCAGCCTGAGAAATGGGGATCAAAAGTCTTTTTTTTTTATCCCCATATAATTATTATAATACTCACGCTATAAAAAAAAAAAATCAAATAAATAAATTTAAAAAAAAAATCATCATCATCATTCTAAACAGTTTCATCTTTTTAAATATTTAGTTTAAAAAAGATGATCTCACTTTTAATTCAATTCATTCAATTTTTCTATTCTTCATTCTTACCCCTTATTGGTTACACTAATCTATTTCCTTTTTTGGTTGGCTTATCAAAGCAAATTTAACCATGGCAAACTTTTAAACTTTTTTTTTTTTTATCATGGTAAACTTTTAAAAAAAAAAAAGGATGGATGAAAATCATATCGGATTTAAAGTTTCCCTCTTTTTCCCTGCATCTGATTTAATAAAACATTTCTTTTTTTTTTCTTTTTAATTAGGATGTGTTAAAAGAAAGACATAATCCAGGAAAGTGGATTTATAAGTATAATATAAACATTTCTTTTTTATTTCCCACGCTTTCCTTTTTGAAAAAAATACCTTTTTTTTCTCTTTCTTTTTTTTTTTTTTTTTGTTATTCTCATTCATCTAATAATATTCCCTCGCTTTCTTATTGGATGTTGTCTATTTTTTTCAATTTCCGTTTATGTGGGGAGAAGGGAGGACAATCTCTCATGCGCTCCAACCCACACAACACATTTTTGCAGTCACTATCGAAAACGCTGGAAAAACATTATTTGAGTGTCAGACTTCTTGTACTTTCTTTTTTCTTTTCTTTTTTTTTTTTTCTTCTTCTTCTTTTTATTACTCTTTATACATTTTTTTTTATTTTCTTTATTCATTCACCATGGTAATTATATATATATATATTCTCTTATATTTAATTATACTTACTTATTTTTACTCTTTTCTATTTAGTCTGCCGCTAACAAGATCAAGAACATTGTCCCTCTTCTTGACCGTGTGTTGATTCAACGTGTCAAGGCTCAAGAAGTAAGTTGAAAATAGTTTATACTTTTATATATAAAAATTATTTATTAATTTTTTTTTTTTTTTTGGTTTAGAAAACTGCTTCTGGTATCTTCATTCCCGAAAAAGCTCAAGAAACTATGAACGAAGGCATTGTTGTTGCTGTTGGTAAGGGTGCTTTGAACAAGGACGGTAAGCACATTCCTCTTGAACTTGCCACTGGTGATCGTGTTATTCTTCCTCCTTTCGGTGGTAGCACTGTCAAGGTTTCTGGTGAAGTAAGTATTATTATTATTATTTTGGATAATCTTTTTTTTTTTTTTTTGAGGGGTGGAACTATTGTTTGATGATCATTCGACTTATTTTTTTCTTTTCATTTTAATAATAGGATTATCTCTTGTTCCGAGATAGCGAAATCCTTGCCAAGGTTATTGAATAAAAATCAAAACTAGATTATTATTATTATTATTATTTTATTGTTTGCATTTGGTAGTTCAAGTTTAGATATTACATGAAATAAAAAATCATTACTTGTTTGTTGTATTATATTTGACAGGCTTATGTGTTTGATAAACTTTAATGTTTTGACATTGTACAGAAAACTTGAATTTTAGGGTACAAATTCATGAAGATTGAAAATATCATGTCAATTAGAATGACAGAAATGGCGATCATGAGGATCTTTTTTTTTTTTAATTTATTCTATAAATGCAATGATAATCCATAAATTGAATAAGGCAAGGTTCAAGAAAATGGTTTCTTTTGTGTTATGTTGGTGCAACGATGATGATTATTGAGCGAGAAAGAGAAGGGCAAAGTCTCCTCCCAAGCTTATATGCAGGATGAAAAAATGGGATCGATTTTTTTTTTTTTTTTGATTTTATAGCCAAAATTTTCCAATTCCTCAGCCAAATTTTAGCTGTAAAACTCGATGGTCGAAGGATTATCAGGCGATTTTTCGAAAAATGGATCAAAATATTTGATATTAATTGCACATTAGATGACAAGATAAATGATAAAATGGTATTAGATGATGGTAAACTATTTTTCGACAGGAACCTAATTGTGGTAATTTTATTGGATGATGATTATTATTGGATGAGGTATGACTGAATTGACTCTTATTTTTTTTAATTTATAATTAGGAAGGACCGTAAATAAACTATTATTATTAAGACAAGAGAAAAAGAATGACTTGATATACGTTCAATCCAAATTTGGTGCAGTGATGATGACTTTTGAGGGAGCTACAAAAGAAAAAGATATACATTCTATCCCACGTGAAATTAGAGCGCAGTGCACAGAGATGATGATTCAAATGTTTAATGAATAAGAAAGAAAGAAGTGAAATTAAAAATAAAGCAGGCTAGATGAATAAAACCAAAAGAGAAGGAGGATACACGCGACTTCGAAAGACCTTTGTCTCGAGTCGGCATGTGAATTTTTTTTTTTTTCTTTGGAACATTATTTCGCAGTTCTTTTTTTTTAACGCGTTGTTTCTTTCTATCAAGACAGTTTTATCTTTTTTTTTTTCTTTTTTGATCCATCTTGTAATGGCTGGTATAACCAACTTCTTCAAGCCTACTCCAAAATCCACTGGGGAAGAAGTAAGACGTTTTTTTTTTTAGTATACTCTTAGTGGTCCTAATATGTACTTTCATTCTATAGACGAACAAACGGAAGAAACGAATCATTCATGGTAATGCCAATACAGAAAGAAAATATAAATATATATATATATATATATATGGATTGTTAACTCAAATGTATAAAAAAAAAAAATAGTTAGTGATAATGAAGATGAAAACGACAATGACGATGATTTGTAAGTTGATTCACCGTTGTTTTCAAATAGGTCTTATACTTAATAAAAAGTTTTCTTTTTAATTGATTGACACATAGTGTGACACCACCAGCAAAGAAGAAAGTAAAAGAACAAATTGAACCTAGTCAATATTTTGCCAGCAAAAAGTCAACAGCGAAGAAACCAGCTACCAAAGCAACGAAATCAGAAGAAGACAAAGATGTTATCATGACAGAATCTTCGACTTCAAAAGCAGCAAAAGCAACTACTTCAACAAAAGCAACTCCTACCACCAAATCCAAAGCAAAGGTTAAACATGAAGACGATGAGGACTTTATTCCACAAGACAAAACTGAAAAAGTGGAAGAAACTCCTGATACGAAGAAATCTTCAAAAGCTGGGTAGGTTCGATTGAATTTTATATATATATATATAGTGGAGCTATTATATTAACTAGTTCAACCTTTTTTTTTTTTGGATTATAATAATAGATTCTATGCTATGATGCACCGTGCCCCTCCTTCAGCCTTGGGATCTCGACCTAAACCTGTCGGTAGTGATGGATGTTTGACAGATAATGTGTTTGTCCTTTCTGGTGAATTTGATACAATCACGAAAACAGATATTCAGGATATTATCAAGACTTATGGAGGGTAAGCATGTGATAGAAAGACTATTCAAATCGGATACTAATAGGATGAGTGATATTTTGAAATTCTTGTTCATCTTAGACGTGTCACATCAGCTGTTAGTGGAAAAACAACATATCTATTACGAGGACGTGATGCAGGACAAAGCAAATTGGACAAGGCAAAGAAACTCAATACCAAGATTCTGGATGAAGATGGTTTTTATAATCTAATTGAATCTTCTGCTGGACAAAAAAAATCTGAATCGACACCTGTGCAACCTACAACGGTAAAGGAAACCAAAGCAAAGACAATAAAAGCGTCACCTACATCATCACCTGCATTATCTGAAACAACCGCCCCATCAGACAGAACTCCGTGAGTGATAAATGAATGAACTGTTTTAAATATATCTATAGTTCTGCTTTGCTAACCTTTCGTGTTCTGTCTAAAAAAAATAGACTTGATGTTGGTGAAATTCTATGGACTGAAAAATACAAGCCAAAATCGACTAGTCAAATCATAGGAAATAAATCAGTTATTGAACGGCTTTCTACATGGCTTGGCAATTGGTAAAAAAAAAAAAAAAAAAAAAAAAAAAAAAAAAAAAAAAAAAAAAAAGAAACAAACTAAAGTCACCTCATACTGCATTGATTTTATATATTAGGCAAGAGAATCGAAAGAAGAACTTTCCTGAAAAGGATGAGACATCCGGTTTCCGGTCGGTTTTACTCAGTGGACCCCCTGGCGTTGGGAAAACCACAACAGCTCAACTTTTGGCTAAAGAACACGGATACAGCGCTCTGGAACTTAATGCTAGTGATACTAGGAATAAAAGTGTTTTGGAAGAGATGCTTTCGGGAGCAACTGATAATCGATCAATGACGGAATTCTTTTCAGGTGAACTCGGTACTAGTGCAACCAAGGCGAAGGTAAAAAAAAAAAAAAAAAAAAAAAAAAAAAAAAAGTGACAATGTATATCCCATACAAGGATTTTTTCATATATCATTCATTTTTCTCTATTCCCAATTAGCAATTAAACCCTGTTCAAGGAAGAGTATTGTTAATTATGGATGAAGTCGATGGGATGTCTGGTGGTGATCGAGGTGGATCAGCAGAACTTGCACGCTTGATTAGGTCAACAAAGGTATACAATAGGACTATTATTTTTTATATATGGCAATATTTGTCATGACCATCTATTTATTTTGTATAGATTCCTGTTATCTGCATTTGTAACGATTCTCGATCTGAAAAGGTAAAGCCATTATTGAAAGTATGCTATGAAGCCAAGTTCACCCGGTAAGAAAGAAAGAAAGAAAGAAAAAAAAAGGATAATAAGAAAATAGACTAATCATCATCCTTATTGTAATGTAGAACACCTGCTAAAAACATGCGTTCGAAACTTATGAGTATTGCATTTCAGTAAGTTTAAAAAAGAAAAATTCATGTTAAATCACAATGAACTTACGATTGGAATTATAGAGAAAAACTCAAGATTGAACCAAATGCTGTGGATGAATTAGTCAGTCTGACTGGGAACGATATTCGTCAAATCATTAACATTCTATCAACATATCGACTATCCAAGAACGAAATGAAATTCGGTGACGCAAAGATCATGCAAGTCAAATCAAATAAACAGTACTATTTTAGGAAACTAACCTTCGTTTTTTATTATTTTAGTGGCACTCATAATCAAAAATACAGTCAAATCTCCCTTTTCGACATACCCATCCGTCTTCTCGGTAACTCTTCTTGGCAACATCCGAATATCAATCAATTGGCGGATATCTATTTCCACGACTATACGTTATCCAATCTTATGATATTTGTAAGAAAGATCACATTCCTTCATTTTGCAATCTAATTCTTCATTGTTATTCATAGGAAAATTATCCCAAGTCTGCTCCCACCAAGGCTAGAAAATGGAACAAAGATGGAAATCCCAGGGAAACCGAATGTTTGGAAATGGACTTATTAGCCAAGGCGGCGAATGCAATTGCCGAAGGTGATCTTGTGGATCATCGCATGGGGTAAGAAAAAAAAAAGATTGACTACATCATTATTATTATTATTGGCTGATATTTATGTCTTTATTTATTTAGATCAAACCAAGAATACTCTTTGATGCCTGTTCATTCTATTTTCTCATGTGTTCGACCTGCTTATTATATGGAAGGTAGTTTAGCTGGCAACCGTATGAACTTCCCATTGTAAGTTATATGATCTATATCATGCTCCTATTTAGTCTATTCCTAAACCTCTTTTTTTTTTTTTTTTTTTTGTTAGATGGTTGGGTCAAAATTCAAAAACAATGAAAAATAAACGTTTATTGGCCAATGTACAAAACAAATTACGATCCAAGGCAACAGTAGATTTATCCGAAGTCAGACAAAACTATGTACCAGCACTAACATGTAACATATTTACAGACATCACCAATGTAAGTTGAAAGAATAATGAAGTATCATTATATTAACTTTTTTTTTACATTAGGGTCAATATGATAAGGCAATGGATACGATGGATTATTATTACTTGGATCGTGAAAATTTGGAAACTCTTAGCGATCTTTCCCTAACTCCCAAACCAGTCATGAACACTCTTTCAGCGGCTGCCAAGCGAACATTCAATAAAGTGTAAGTTTGCTTTTATCAGTGACGAAAAAGAAAAAAAACCTATCGTATATTTATAACCTATCTATTTTAGATACAAGGCTCGAAGTCATCCTGTGTTGTTCGAACTCAGTGATACGACTCCTCTCAAGAGCAAGACTGTTGCACCAAAGGAAGATTTGGAAGGTGTGATTTTTGAAGTGGAACCTGAAGATGAATTGGAAGAAGATGAATGAAATGGATGATGATTATAGTTTTTAGTCTATTTCAGTTTTATAAGGTTTATATCAATCATCAACAATAATAAAAAAAAAAAAGATCTTTATACAAATTTTTTTTTCTTGATCTTGAACATGTTCATTTGCTCAAAGACAGTCATTTTTTTTTTCATTTTAAGGAAAAACCGCTAAAATAGGGAAATGGTTACCGTCTAAAATATATCATTTGCATATGCATATTTTTTTTTTCCTCGGGAGAAGCATCCAAAAGAATTAGGGTCATGTGTGTGGAGCCGTCATTCTGATGAGAATGATGGTTGTTATGGTGATGACACTCTTTTTTTTTATAGCTCCTATATGGCCTATGACGATGAATAGTCTGGATGAGGAAAATAATATCAAAAGAAGTGTGATAATGAGTTACCAAAGAGCAAGATGATCATAAAGACCATATTGATAGAGAAAAATAAAAGACAAAAAAAAAGAGTTTATTGTCGGGAAGGAAGAAGCGTATTCAATGGGCCTTGTACAAAGATAGATCCAAAGGGGGAGTGACTCTCTGGAATATCAAAAAAAAAAAAAAAAAAAAAAAGATGGAATGTTAAACAAACTACTACTATCAGACTATATTATATAATTAAACTAAACTAAACTAATTACTATCGTCCTAGATACAGATATATAAAAATAGATGGCGCATATTGTAGGGGAGATTTGGATTATGGATAATGTTGCTTTGTTGAGGCTGATTGAACTAGTTTTGTTTTTGGTTTGTCGTAAATATGGCACTATATAAGTAATTAGTATTATTCTTTTTAACAATTTTTTTTTTTTTTTTTTTTTTACCTTGTGGGCATGTCTATACCATAAAACACTATTTTTCCGTTTTGTATTGCAGATGGGAACAAATTGAAGACATTGATGACAAAGTCCTTCCAAAAGATCACTTTCTTTGTTGATGCGTTGTTCCAAAGGGGGAGCAAATGGTTGACCAGAGACAGAAGAAATACCATGGAAGAATTGTTTATGATACCAGTAAGCACTGTTTTTCAATTGAAGCCATTTGCCCATAGGCTGACAACTTTCACAGTAACCTTGCTTGAGCTGACCAGTGTAACGGACCCATCGTGGAGTATACACATCATGTTCATAACGAGGATTTTGACGCCGGGGCATAGCACTTGCATCTCTAGTGGCGGCGTCCAGATCGGCTTCATTGAGTGCTGGATAATCATATTCCATAGAGGAGGCAGAGGTATTGGATGATGGTGACGACGATGAGGAAGAGGAGGCTGAAGACGAAGAAGGAGATGGTGATGCTGTGGATGAATTCAACGTTCTGCGGCTATGCCTGGATGGTGGCGAGAGTAAAGTGGAGGCTGATCTGTTGGTGTCGTTGACATTGTTCCCATTGCTATCATCTATTTCAGTTTCAGTGGAGTGGATACTGCTGACATCGTCGTTGTCATCATTGTCATTGTCACTGTAACGCTGGTTCTTTTTTGCATTTGATGATAATAAATCATCATCCACTGGTTTCAAAGTAGCTGTCGAAGAGATCGTAGATGATGAACAGTCAGTGGATATGGATGATTTGATATTAGACTGCTGGTGTTGGTACAGTGTGCTGAGACTGGAAATATCGTCCACGAAATGATCTGTCAAATCAGATCCTAACATATTATTGGAGAAGGCGATGGTACCTGCAAGAGGATCGGATTCTGATTCCATCGGTTGTTGGAGAGAATGTATCTGTGGAGGATGTTGTTGAATACGAGTTGGATGATATAGAAGAAATTGATCCGGATGATAATCTTGCTGCTTTTGCTGATGTTGTTGTCCTATGATGTTCATTTGATCACCATTAATACTATCCATTGATTTTGTTCGCTTCCTTGTAGATTCATCTAGTGGAGTATGAGGTCGCAAATGCTGATTACTATGCCCAATACTTTGTTTCCAAGTAAGTAATGGGAATGTGTCGTTAGTATTTAAGATGAAAGTATCAGATATATTTTTAAAAGAAGCATTTGTATCAGTGGTTGAGTATATATTGGGTAATGATGCACGATGATAAAATGTTGATGGCGACGGGCGAAGATTTGGTCTTTGATATGAATGAGATGAAGTCCTAAGATATGTAGATACTGGTGTTGAATAAGTGGGAGTCATGATAATCGGTTTCGAATGACGTTGATCCTTTTGTTGTTCTTGATGATCCATCATAATACCTTTGATATATAATAGAAGAAGAGGAAGGGAATAATGTGAGATTAAAAGATGGTGATATAATGATAGCCGTATTTTTTTTATTATTATTATTTATGCACCTTATTTTTTTTTTAATATTACATACCATGAAAACCAAGGATAGATAAAGGTGTATGTTTACTTGCTGGGATAGGCTCATTCAGTGTCGAAGTTGATGAGGAATTTCTTATGGATTGCTGTTGTGGTATGATAGTATCGGTCGTCATACCAGGAGATTCCCAAAATACATGTGCATTGGAATCTGTTGTACTTATTGTCTGTTGAGGAAAATCATAGTGAAGATCGGAAGAGATATAAGAATTCATGATTGACGTTGTAGTGGCTGAATTTGGAGGCGTTGAAGTTGAAGTGGAAAAAAGGTTCATAAAGTCTTGCTCAGCTGAACCGTGCATAAACGTAAATATAAAAAGAGTACACGTGTAAGGAGAGTAGAAGTTAATAAAAAAGAATGTATATAAGAGTACAAGATAATAATAAAAAAAAATGAAGAAGAAGAAGAAGAAGAAAAAAAAAAATAAAAGAAAGAAAGAAAGAAAGAGAAAAAAAAAAAAATAAAAAAATCAACCAAGAGAAAATGAAATATTAGTAGTTTGGGATAGGAGGCGGGGGTGTAAAATATTAACTACCCAATTTCAAATGAACTTCGGGTAAGAAAACGGTCAGAGGGAAATGAAAAGGGGTAGAGGGGATTATATATATGAGAGAGAGAGATATAGAGAAAGGGATGGTTAGGTTATGGGAAATCTTGTCTCCTTTTGTCTTCACTTTGAGATACCAAGGAGAAGTTTTTTATCTTTTCTTCCATTCATCCCCCGGACGGATATTCAAAAAAAAAAAAAAAAAAAAAAAAAAAAAAAAAAAGTCTTCTACACTCCACAACTGGTCTGTGCATATATATATATTGGCTATATTTTTTAATAAGATCAAATAATAATAATAATGGTATGATGTATATAAATCCTATTACTCGGCTGACATTTCAAAAGATATTTTATCTATCCAATATTACATTTTTTTTAACAACTTCTTGAGACATCAAATTCTCCTGAAATGGAAACTACAGTAGATTGAACCCGGTAAGTTTCCCGGTATACAATTGATGGATATTACTACGTATAGAGAAACCGCCTTTTTTCTGATGGATCAACATTAGAAAATCAGTTTCTTTCTTTTCTTTTCTTTTTTTCTTTTTTTATTATTCGAATTATGTATAATCATTGTTGTTATGATAGTTTTGATATAATTAACAAAGTACCGGTAAAAGTATCGGTTAAAAAAAAAAAAGGAAGACTATGAATAAATAAAATTTGTACAAAGAAAAAGGTGATAAGAATAAAAACTATAAAAAGTAAAAGCGTAAATAGAATCTAATCTAATCTTGTATTCAAAAATATTGGGTATCTAATCCTTGAGAGAAGTCCATCACTAATACTCTATGATCTTGACTTGCACTAAATCAATATATAAAAAAATTAAGTCAGTAAGATGAATATTTATATATATACATATTTTATCTATTTACCTCACAATCTTGGTTTTATCAAAATGTACATCAAAGATCCAACTAGTATGACCACTTTGGAAATTCAATAAACAGGCATTCGATCTTATAACAAATATAATAACATCATCGTCATCATCAGTACAAATATATCTATATATCTATTTTTAATTTTTTTTTTTTTTTTTTTTTTTTTTTACCTGATATCCCAGACACGTACGCTCAAATCGTAACTAGCACTAACGATTCGGTCACCATTGAAATGTAATGTTCTAACTAGATCAGTGTGACCTAGAATGAAAAAATTAAAAGTAAGTATAGTAAAGAATATATAAATAATAGATACCTACCTTCAAAGACCATGGTACATTTACCTGTCTATTGAAGAAATAAAAACAAAAACATCAATCTTTTCCATTTTTCATCATCATATATATATTAATAGAGTAATCCCTTACCTCAGCATCCCATACTCGAATGGTTCTATCATTAGATCCACTGATGATTCGTTTACCGTCATATTGTACACAAGCCAACCCACGGGAGTGTCCAGCAAATTCGCGAATACAAGCACCAGTTTTTACATTCCACATTTTAATCAAAGTATCTCCAGAAGCAGAAACGACATTATCGCCATATAATTTGATCGCATTCACAGGTCCATGATGAGCATAAATAGTTCGTAATAGATCGCCATTGTTGATATCCCATATCCTGATAGTTGCATCTTTGGAACAGCTGACAATATATCGATCATCAAATGCCAAGTCTAATACACCCGCAGTATGTCCCTAAATCATCATTATCAATAATAACAAAACATTAGTTTTATATATATATATATATATATATATATATATATGTCTTGCCAACCTGTAGAACTTTGATTGGTTGTAAAGTTTTCATATCCCATATAATTAGCGATTTGTCCGAAGAACCAGAAACCATGATTTTATCATTGAATTGTAAACAAAGTACACTTGCACGATGGCCATGTAATGTATGAGTACATCGATAAGTAGTCATATCCCAGATCTTGAGTGTGCGATCACGACTACCGGTGATGATTTTGTTGTTGTCGAATTGTAAACAATAAACTGAATCACGATGTCCTACTAAATAATGAGTATTCACTTTTCCGTTTGTCCACCTTTGATCTAATTGATATCGTTGTTTATATACATGAAGCCAATCCAATTCCATAGATGGTAATAACTTGGAAAGTGAAAATTGCCATTCTTGTTTCATCACACGTTGACGCCAAACATCCTTGTTTCGATATAAAGAATGATAACCATGTGATACTAAGGAGAGTTGAATTAAAGAGAATATATCCAAGTACGATAATATATGAATCGATAGTTCGTAAGGAAGTTCAAGGAGAAAATCTATAGAAATATATAATCATTCGAGTAAGTTTCATTACATGTATTTCGTACCCCCCCTCCTCCTTTTATTTATATATATATACATATATATATTATTCCTCCTTACCTATTTTCTTGCCATTTGTCAGGGGTTCATTATTCTGTAAGTATCCAAGTCGATTAGAAGAGTGAATTTGTTGAACTTGTTGGCGTTGTTGATGCCGATGTCTTTGAAGGCGAGGAGGAGCAACATAAAAAGCAACTTTTGAAGCTTGTATAGATGCATTTGTTCTATTCAAAGAAGAGGCACCATGATAACGTTGTTTTTTCATACATCTTGTTGGTGTTTTGACACCCATGGAATGACTACCGGAAATACCTCCATGACCAAGTATAAAGCGATGAGAGTGATGAGGCATAGTATGTTGTTGTTGTTGTTGTTGTTGAATAGGTATAGCTTCAGTCATCACCACATCGTGATTAATAGTGGCTACAGGTATTGATAATTGATGAGAACAGATATTGGTTGCTGACTTGCTGTTACCAAAACTACTACCATTTTCTTGCTGATAAACCATGTTGTATAGAAAGGACAAGGTGATTTTCAAAGGATGGTGAATAAGGAAACAAGTAGTAATAGGTAGGAAAAGAAAGGAATAATAATGTATTTCCAAGAAATACAAAAAGAAAAATGAAAAAAAGAAAAGAAGAAGAAAGGAAAAAAGAAAAAGAAAAAAAAAAAGTATATAAAAATCCAAACAAAGCAAGTCAAAACATGTGCAGAACTCAGGGTTGCGCAAAACAAAAAAAAATATACCATATTTAGAAACCTGTTTTCTTTTTTGACGCCCTAAATTTCTTTGTATGGGATATCGTCAAGCTCTTTCATCTTCCGCCTAATACATAATTGTATTGAAAAACATTTACTTAATCTCCAAATCATTACTATTATATATATATAGATCAGATAAAAACTATACATTAAATAAATTCATCCATTGAAATCCTGGTCTTTTTTTTTTTTTTTAACTTGCATGAAGTTTAGTATCATTGGTCTGCATTTCACCGATCAAATGATAAGCCAATAATAAACACGTATTTCGTAAATCATAGAGAGAACAGTGAGTAATATATTCTTTTTTAAGAAAAGACTTTCTTTTTACACATCATCGTCTTCATAATGAATCATAAAAAAGAAATACTATTGCATTTATATATAAAAAAAAAAAGACATCTAATAGAATAGATACCTCTTTGCATTTGCCTTTTTTGGACTTTTTCAAGGGTTGTTTCTCATTGGGGAAGCCATTATCAATATATATTTTTTGTTTCTTCATGATTCAATAATGCATATCTTACCTTCCTTCCCTGCTCCTTATTTCCTAGTATGACAAATTGAAGCTTTTTTTTAAGAGAACATACATTATAGATAATTCCCTCAATGAAAAAAGAAAGTTCATACAATTCAGAGAAGTCCAACTAACATTGAATATTACTACGGATTTGTCGATAGCAAATATAAAGAAGACATAAAACGATCGACATGATATATGAAACAATTTGATTTTACCCATAGAAAAATTTATTGTTTTTCATTGCCAAATAATATACAACTGATCTAATCCAAATCTTGTAAGCTACACTTCTTGTTCTTCTTGTTCTGTCTTTTTCCTCCGGAAATCCCGCTGACACAAAGGACCTAAGTAAACCACATAAAAAAAAAAAAAGTAAATCACATGTCCCGAATTTCTTTTAATATATAAGATCTTACATTTGTAATTCAGGGCCAGCCATTCATGAACACAATCTCTATGGAAATGATGTTTGCATCTAAGTTCAGAATAAAATAAAATATGAAGTCAATGAGAATACATACATATATAAATATAACTTACCGTAATTTACAAATAAAATCATCCGTTTCATAATCAGATAAACAAATAGTACAAGTAGCATCGTTGGGATCCATAGTGAGATCCTCATAGGTGCTTTCTTCATCCTGATCCTGATTTCGTTTTGGTCGAAGAGAGAATAGACGTGGTACAAATCTCTTTTTCATTTTAGTAGAGAAGTGAGGAGTGGATGAGGATGATGGTGAAGATAGAGATGATGATGATACCGATGGTGCTGATGAAGATGAAGATGTTTGTCTTTGATCTATTTCACAATGATCCGTTGTGGGAGATGGTTTATATTTGTAAACAGGTATTTCTTGGATTTCACTTTTATTTGCCCCAACCATTCCAGTAGCATAATCAACGTTCATGGCTCGCATAGCCACTACCAAAAATAATAATAACAAAAAAGAAGTCAGAGATATAAATTAGTACAGACTATATACATGTGTAAATTACCTAGTAAACACGGTAAACAAAATACCACAGTGGCACATAGTAACAATGGAATCAAGACAAGAAAGTAACCCAGTAAGATCCAAGTCAAAGTTGTGTAAAACAAATATCTAGCATCACGATGGCATTGATCAGAAGCTGTGAATATAAGATAGTTGCCAACTACAAACCAAAGTATAGATATAAGATCCAATAAAGACTTGACCCTAATCATAAGTAAAAAAAAAAAAAAAAAAAAAAAAAAAATGAGATATCGATACTACTATTCACTATATTCATTAATTTACCTATCTAGGAAGCTACGAATCATAGTTGGCCGAGTATCCATTGATGTATTTTCTGATCTGTGTTGCTGTTGTTGCTGTTGCTGCTCTTGCTGCTGTTGCGTTGATGCAGCTCTCGATGACTGCCTCCTTGCTGTTTCTTCACATATAATTGAGGACGATGGTGAAGATGAAGATGATGAAGATGATGAAGATGACGGTGATGATTCAATAGCGTTGTTTCTGTTAGAAGGGACCGATGATGAAGTTTGTCTTGAAGGTCTTGTTGTTGTTGCCACAGTAACATCTGCAATTGCTGATGTTGCATTCCTATTTCTTCCTGAAGGTCGTAAATGTTGGTATAATAAAAGTGGAAGTGATAGACCAAGTCGAATCACAAAAACGATCAAATAGATATTCAAGGGTTTGTCACAAGTTTGATTGGAACCGATAGCTAGCATGATAATAGTAATAATTATCTAATCAAAATAATAATAATAAAAAAAAGATAAAATAATAAGATCATTTGTAATCATTTGTTTCATAATAGATAAACAGTTCTATTTTTTTTTTTTTTACTTGTGTGAATCCAATAACGAAGGTTGTACCAAGAATAAGTTTACTTGTACGTGAAATACGTCGCCATGAATCACGTAAGAAACGTATCCAATTAGTTCTCACTGTTCTTGAAGAAACACCATATGCAGAAGAAGGACTTTGACTTGTTGTTGTAGTTGGTATAGGAGGTGTATGCATTTGAATGTTTGGTGAACTAGTTGGAGTTGTATTTGAAGTAGTAGGTAGTGTTTGATCCATTATTCTCTTTCAAATTACAAAAAAAAAAAAAAAGTATGGTGTAAATAAAATAACCTACTATTCTAATAAATAAATATATATATATGAATAAGAATAGTAGTCGTTGTGATAAGAAGAAGAAGGGAGAGAATAAGGGAAAGAGTGTCCGAGAAAATAAAAAAAAAAAAAAGAAAAAGTTCAGCTGATCGCTTCAAGCAAAAAGAGATCAAATTGCAAACTCAGACAAATGCGTGGCAAAACAAGTAAGTTAAATTTATCACTCAAAAAAAACATCTTTAATAAAGAAAGACCGAAAAGAAGACCGATTTCAAGATATTTATTATAACATTTTTTTTTTTGTAAGTGATGTCAATGTTAGAAAGGAACTTTTCCCTTTTGTGGGTTTCTTTCAAGATTATCAATTTCATTGGTCCATTTGGGACCGCCTTAGTCAAGAAAAAACACCGATTTTTCTTTATTTTTCGTTTTAAATTTTTTTTTCTCCTTTTCTTCTCTCTCTCTCTCTTTGTCTTCTTTTTGTTTCTTTATTTTATTTATTTATTTTGTTTCTATACCTTAAAAAAAGTTATTCACTTTCTTTTTATTATATTGTCTAATTCTCTTGGTTTACTTGATGGTAACTTCTTTTTTTTTTTTTAATAAACAAACAAACACTTACAATTATTATTATATATTTATTTATTAGTCCTTGGAATCTCACAATTCACAGTTGAATAAACCAAACCCTTCTCTTGGACATCGACGTCAAGCCTCAATAGGGTTAGGCATTATTACAAACTTAGACAATACAACTTTAGATACAACTACAACAGTCTCAACAAAAAATGCTTCATTTTTTGAAACTTCAGATATTGCAATACCACGTCCTCCTCCTCGACTTTTTTCTATTGAAAAACCTCAACATATAACTCCAACTCCACTTGAAGAAAATACTCCAACTTATGCAAGTCGTTTACGAAATATTATTATTATGAATAACAATAATAATAATAATAATAATCAATTACAGTCAACAAATACTGCTCCAACTCCAACCAATGACATCAAACAACAACAACAATTCTCTGATACTCTTTCAGATCAACAACAAGAATTGGTAACTAAAGTACGACGTGCTCGGTCCTATCGATTTCGACCTCCTTATTACCAAGACGACGACGATGATGATGATCAAATTATGCCATTACCAAGTCCAGTACCGAATACTACAACATCTAGTACGCCTCATAAGCTTCCTTATGAATTACACCATCATCAGCAACAACGATCTGGGTCCATTTCAGTACCAGCATCCAATATACCATCATCAGCTGATCCTTCCTCTTCTGCACTACATATACCAGCATTACCTAATTCTCCTGTGACTCCTCCTTCTCCAACTACATCAACAAGCATACCCATCATTGCCATTTCACCTTCTTTTGTGCATAAGAACGATGTCATTCCACAGTTATCAGATCATCCAATGTTAGGCGATATGGATGATAATCGAATTACATCTTTGAATATCCAAAAATCAACCTTTGATAAAAGAAAAATAGGTGGGATGGTACGTGAAACGACTCAAGCTTCTACTACTCTCAACAATGATGAAGATGAAGATTTAATCGACAAACAATTAGGTGACTTTTATATACGACGATTATTGGGTATGGGCGCTTTTTCCAAAGTTTATCTAGGTGAACGACACAATCATCAAAAGAACAAGGGTCCTGAATTTTTTGCCATTAAAACCATCAACAAATTGGGTATGATGAAAAATCCAAGGGTTCGATCCAGTATTGAACGTGAAGTCGGTGTTTTGAAGGTAATCATAAAATAAATAAATAAATAAAAAAAAGTTTCATCATTTTAACTCATCTTCTATATAGTTTATCGATCATCCACATATTGTTCGAATAGAAGCTACCATGGAAACAGAACATAGTTTATGTATCATTTTGGAATATGCAAAAGGTGTGGAACTTTTTGATTTTGTTCAACAACTACATCAGCGTCTTCATGCTATGGATGAAAAAGTGGATGAAAATTTGGTCAAACAAATCTTTTTACAATTGGTTCATGTGGTAAAATGGATGCACAAGCATAATATTGTTCATCGGGATCTCAAATTGGAAAGTAAATAGATGAAAATAATATAAAAACAATAATGATAAGGATGAATGAACCACTAAAATATATTATTATTTATAGATATTTTGATACATATGAATGAACGACATGAACCTAGTTTGAAGGTGACTGATTTTGGTTTAGCGCGTGTGATTGACCCGGATTCACCCATTCTTACAACACGATGTGGTAGTGAAGATTATGCAGCACCAGAAATTGTACAAAGTAAAGGTTATGATGGAAGACAAACTGATACTTGGGCTCTAGGTATTATATTGTATAGTTTATTAGTGGGATATCTTCCATTCCGATATGACGTATCAAAAGGTGAACGGGTGACACAAATGTTTTATCGAATTGTACGTGCTCAAATCAAATGGCCAAAGACATGGGATCTTCATTGTCATTTAGCTATTAGCTCACAAGCAAAGGACGTGGTGGAACGAATACTTGTACGACAACCTGAACTACGGATATCTTTGGATGATATTGAACGACTACCTTGGTTTCAACAGTAGATGATTATATTATTATTATTATTATTATTTGACATTTTCTTACTATTTATTCCCTTATATTATTTATATTTTATTTAGTTTATTGTATTTTTAGTATACACTTTATTCTGTTTCCCAGTGTTTTCAAATAAAGTTAGCTCCGCCAATTTTTTTCTTTCCCTTCTCTAACTTTTTTTTTTTTTATTTTTTATTAAATACATATAATGTTCAATCAATTCAAAGAACAAGCCTCTAAATTTGGTCAACAAGCTAGTCAAGGTGCTTCCAAACTTGGACAGCAAGCGAGTCAAGGTAAATTGAATAAAGATGTAAATCGGATGGAGATGACCATTGGTATAGATAGATCCTGATAAGCTTTTTTTTTTTTTTTTTTTTGATGTCGTTATGCCATATATTTCAAGGTGCAAGTGCTTTTGGAAAACAAGCAAGTACGTTTGGACAACAAGCAGGACGTAGTGTGAACACTTTTGCAGAAAGCAACAATATCAATACACCTGTTATGGGTACTTTGACTGAAACTTCTGCCAAAGCTTCCCGTATTCTTCAATCCTTTATCGGTAAACCTTTCATATATATATAAAAAAAATCATGTTAACTTTTTATAATATAGAAAAAGAAGAAGTCGAAACAGGTTTTGATAATGTGATTCCTGTCAAAGTGATCCAAGAAGCAAAAGGATTGGCAATTTTTACAGTAGTGAAGGCTGGATTTTTGGTGGCTGGAAAAGCTGGAAATGGTATTGTGGTATCTCGTCTTCCTGATGGTCGTAAGTGGATAATAACATAAAAAAAAAAAAGGAAAAGAAAAGAAAGATAAGGTAGATATTATGAAAATGAGTCATCTGATTATTTTCTTTGTTCATTCTTTAGGTTGGTCTGCTCCTTCTGCCATTGCTACAGGAGGTACCGAAAAAAAAAAAAGAACAAAGTCAAAATCAGATTAATGAAAAAAAAAAATAGGTTAATCGTTCGTATTTTTTTTTTTTTTTTATCTAATAGGTGTTGGTTTTGGTTTCCAAGCAGGTGCCAATATCACTGATATAGTGTTGATTCTAAATAGTGATGAAGCTGTGAACGCTTTCAAAACAAAAGGCAATGTCAGTTTGGGAGGAGATCTTGCAGTAAGTCTTAATTTGATGAAAATAAAATATAATATCTGATCATATTCTTTTTTTTTTTTTAGGTATCTATTGGTCCCTTGGGAAGTGGAGGAAATTATAGTGCTACATCATCTAAAGGCAAGGTAGTTCCCATGTATTCTTATGTCAAGTCCAAAGGATTATTTGCTGGTTTGAGTGTGGAAGGCACAGGTAATCAAGAAGACATTTAGAGACGGCAGAAAAAAATGAACAAAAGACATCATTAATTCACTTCCTTTTTTTTTTTTTTGATAGGCCTATTTGAACTACCCAAGACGAATGCAGAATTTTATGGACGAACTGTCAAGGCGGAAGAATTACTTGAAGGCAAAATCGACCCTCCTCAGGAATGTCAAATATTATATGATACCATCAAGCGCGCAGAAAACCGGGATCCTTATTAGTTATATATTTTATTTTATTTTATTTTAGTCACCTACTATTTATTGAGAAATAAACTCTTATGTTATTTTTATTGATAAGACTGTGATGATATCATTATATAGTGAATAAACTGTATCAGATGATATATAATAATTCGAGAAAGACAGAATGATCCTTATTTTTCTGTACAGGGCATATAAATCAACCTTTTTTTCTTTTATTTTCCTTTTTGTCAAATACACAGAATAGGAATAAAAATATCAAGATAGCTTTTTTTCCTTTTCCAAACTAAACTACTACTATATCGTGTCCATAGGCACCGCATTATTCGATGATGAATGTGTAGCTGAATGATGTTGTCCAGATATTTGTTGTTCTTGTGATCGTTGTTCTTGTTGCTCTTGTTGTTGTTGTTGATTGATCATGGATGTTCCTGGAGGATTGGTTGTGACATTAGTCGTAGAAGTTGCAGGACCGGCAGAACTAGCGGGATTGACGGAAGTGCCAACAACGGAAGAAGCTGGTGTAGTGGTTGGTACCGGAATATTGAAGTAAGTACTGACATTAGCAATCAAAGCGAGTTCACTAAATAAAGTCATGATTTCAGGAGCAGTATAAATGATTTCAGGTATATTGGGATAACTAGTTGGATATGACTATTTCACCACAACAAAGAAGTATAATTAGTTTGTCGTTTTTTTTTTTTTTTTTTTTTTTTTTTTTTTTTTTTTTTTTTTTTTTTTTTTTGGTGATTCAGTTTACCTTTTCATTTTTAAAGGAGGAATGATACCGTAAGATGATTCCACATAAAACAAATCGTATAATAAAAGTCCATAAAAAGTCATCTGTCATAAAGCGTTTGACATTTGTATCTATCATCCAATATGTATATATATATATATATATATATAAAATAAAGGTCAAAAAAAAAAGATAAACATATAAAAATGTTCGGATTTTACCTAAATCAGGATCCTCCAGTAATAATTTTCCAATCATTCGTTCCAGTTGTGTAACCTTGTGTATGCATTCATCCCATTTCGTTTGATCTAAATTACCAATATCTGACACTGAACAAAAACCTAAAAGTGGTGTATGTAAAAATAAAGTAAATAGACTACCAATTTCACTTTTATCTTGTATTGAAGAAGGGTAGACTGTTGGTGAGAGTAAACACATAAGAGGTTGATCAAAGAGGTTGGGAATGGTTTGTTGAAAAGCCGTACTGTTATTACTGTCGATAATCAAGAATAAAGGCTTGCGTGTGAACGGAATCAGATCGGCTGGGTATAAACAAGCTTGTACTGATGGAGAGGATGTCTTCATAATTGAGCTGTTTCCTCCAGTTGTAGACATTCCACTGTTGTTGCCAGCCGTTGTTCCACCGGCCATAGCTGTATTTGATGCGTTGGTATTTTTCATTCCTGAAGAAGCAGAAGATGAAAGAGTAGCAGCAGATGTTCCCGAAACATTTGATGTATTGGTTCCAGTGGCATTGTTGGTGATAGATGTTGCTGTTGATTGATGTGGATCAATACCAGTGGTGTTGGTATTGCTGGCAGATACTGAACTGGTAGTCGCCCCAGGCAATTGTGATGAGCCTGCACCAGTAGAGGTATTGATAATTGTATTCGTCCCATTAGTAGTAGTGTTGATGCCTGGTTTTCGTTGACTTGTCGAAATTCCACCCCCAAAGCCAAATCCGTGTGGTGATTGATTAACACAACCATCAGCCGAGATGTATAATAACATGACTCCATTGTCCCCGGTATCCTTGAATGCTGTTGCTATATACACCAAGAGCTGAGTGAATGTAGGTCGATAAAGTAAATATTTGTGTGGATTTATTCGTTTACTGGTGCCAGAAGGATGTGATTTATCGTGATGTTGTGGTGTAATATTGCTCGTGTGTGATGTTGTGGTGGTGTTGACTGTAGTACTATCATCCTTAATATGTATTGGATCCTTCTTTTCAGACGCAGGAGTGGTATGATCAAGAGGTTGATGATGGTGCTCTCGATAAGCTGTCTTGTTGCTGTGGAGTGTAGGTTCCCGTTCCAAAGATTGTAACATTCGATACATGTCCAGAGTTAGTTCAGAGAATTTAATTTGATTTTGATAGTTTCCAACCAGAATCGCTTCTTGTAATTTGAGTCCTTGTGGCTTGTCGACTTGCATTGCAGGAAGTCTGTGTTGAATGGGTACTTGAGTTCTGTCGGCATTGATCGGTACCAATTTTTTTTCTGCTTCCATGAATGTCGTAATTTCTTGTAATACCATCAGCCATTCCTTCGCATCCAGAGGTTTAAATGTTTTAGTGTATTCGTCAATCAATTGTTCCAGTTCACTAATCAGTAGACGTATGTTTTCATCCTTGTTGAGTAATAGGCATACCACTATAAATCGAGCATAATATCGCATTTTCTTAATCATCAAAGCAGGACTACCAATTATATAATAAATTATATAATAAAAAGTCAGATCACATCACATTGATACCAATAAAAAAAAATTTAATCTTACTTTTTTACTTCCAAAATGTTCTTGAAATATTGTCTATCATGAATTGCTTCGTAAAATACATAAGCTTCGTTCAGATAATTAGTTTCGCTTGTTCGTAAACTATTGAATTAAAAAGATGAAATTAAATAGAAGTTTAATATTTGTAGTGTACCAAACCTAAAAAAAAAGGTAAGATCCATCCCTACAAGTTGAAACTTACTAGTAATGATAATAGAGTTGTCCAATTTTGCTAGCTATTTCGCCTACTTCCCATCGTTTCAATCCGTAATTACTTTTATCTTCCAATAATGGCCTATCAAATAAATCAAAAATTCCTTCGTTTATTCATCATCATATTATGCCAATAGTGAATCATTATTACCTATGAGCTTGTTGAAATTTCCACAACTAAAATATTTGCAAAAAAAAAAAAAAGAAAGAAATCAATAGACTATTTGATGATAGTTGTGATATTTTTTTTAAGTACCTTGGTATATACTTCAAATGTTTTTTCAAAATACTAACATAGAAACGAAAGAAATACATTAATAGTCCATTTACATCATAGTCTTTTGTATTTTTTTTTTTCTTTTCTTACTGGACGCCATTGACGATGACTACCAGTAGGTGGTAAATCCCTAAAACAACGATAAAAACAAGAGATGTCAAGTTATATCCTTTTTTTTTTTCCTAGAAAACACAAACTTGATTATATGAAATGAATTGCTTACCTTAAACCACTGAATAAACTTTGACTTTTTTCCAATAAATATTGAAACTCTTCCACATATTTTTGGTTCTGAAGGGTGGCATTGTCGTCAGTAGGCTGTGTAGGATCAACATTGGTAGAGGTGTTATTTTGTTCTGTTGTTGTAGTTGCTGCTGTGGGTTGAGTTGCTGTAGGTGCTGGTCCTGTTGTAGCTTTATCTATAGTCATTCTAGAGTCTACAGGAGCTTCTGCTACTGAATGGATATCCGTGTTTGCTAATAAGAACAAAGAGATAAAGAACATCAATAAATACACAAAAGTTAAAGATATATATAGGGGTTTTTTTTTTTTTACCAGTAGCAGTAGATAAACTTGGTACGCCAGTAGGTATGAATGGTGAAGGAGTCCCTTGGCTATCACTTTGTTTTTCCATTCTATGAATTGTTTTTTTTTTTTAACAACAAGGAAGTGAAAAGAAGGAAGACGGAAAAAATGTAGAAAATAAAAATGGACACGATCGGATTTTCAATACATTTCCATGAATGAAGTGTTCTTTTTGAAAAAAGGAGATTGGATAAGAAACTTTGATTTTGAGACTTTTTATTTTGAAATAAGCTTAGGATGTAACTATGATGATGAAGTAACTGCATGATGAATTTTATAGATAAAATCAAGAAGGTATCAAACAAATTTTATATATAAAAAAATGTCATTTTTATTACAGTAATATATGAATTTTAAAGTGAACCAAGTCAACATAATAAACTAAATAGAAAATAAATAGATAAATAGATAGAGATTAAAAAGAAAGAAAGAAAGAAAAAAAAACAATACAAAGAGGTTATATATAAAATGCTTATGGAGTATATACAGGGTATGAGGAAGTATCTTCTACCATAATAGGACGAAAATATTTCAAATTGTCAAAAGATACCGTAGAAGATGATAATGAATTGAAAGAGGAAGAAGATAAACTATTAGATGGACGACGACGCATATTAGTAGGACTATATGAAAATGATTGGCGTCGATGATAAGCCATTTCATATGGCGGTGGTGATGAAGATGAAGATGTCGGAGTCAGGGAATGTAGGCTATTGGATCTCATCATCATCACCATAGTTGGATTGGAATGACAATCAGCTATTCCAATGATACCTTGTTGCTTTGATTCTTGATTTCTACATGTACTTGAGCAAAATGAGGATTTCTATATACATATATAAAAAAAATCAGTCCTTCTTCCTTATAAATAAAGAAAAGAAGTGTCATCTTTTTCTTTATTACATCATCAGTAATAGGTTTTTCACAATAGAGGCAAATGTTAAGGTCCATCGTCTTCTTGAAAAAAAAAAAAAGAAAAATCAAATCAAAATCACTAATAACAACAGCAGTAAAAAAAATAAATAAATAAATAACAATAACAGCAACAACAACAACAAAAAAAGAAAAGAAAAGAAAAGAAAAAGATAGAGAACAAAGGAAGAAAAAGAAAGATAAATTATATTGGGTGGGAAGCTTTTCCTTAGATGAGTTTTAAGGTTTCAGGAAAGAGAATGACCTTTACCAAACACAGCTGTGTGACCTCAAGGAAAAAAAAAAAGTAAGGTACAGCCTATAATGATGATGATGGTTGGTAGTCGTAATTGATATCATCCGTATCTTTATTTTAGTAGATCGTTGGATTTTATCGTACACTATAAAACCACGTGTTTACTGTTTTTGTATTGTATTAATCAAACGAAAGAGAGAGAGAGAGAGATTATACTTTTTTTTTCTTCCTTGATGCAAAGAAAAAAAGAAATATTTTGGTTCAAATTCAAAGATGAACTATGTAATAATAGATGGATGTGCCTATGTGCATGACGCTTTTAAGATTCCGGTCTGCTTTGTCGTTTGTGTTCATCCTATTTCTATAAAAGAATTTATATATAAAATTCGTTTATAATAGGAATCATGGGGTATATAATGAAATCAATATATCGATAATGACCAATACATCGGCTACTTTATTAAGGCTTGATTTGAAGATCATAAAAGTAAAGATTGATACATAAAAAGTAAATAGTAATAATAATAATAATAATAATAATAATAATAAAAATGGTGATATAACAGAATAAAACGTAAAAAAAAAAAAAAAAAAAAAGTAATAGGGTGTAAATAATAAATAACTATGGTTTCTATTTGGCTTCTTGACTAATCTTCAACATCAGTAAATCGCCCACTTCACTAATAGTTTCCACAGCACGGTCGATATCTTCTTTGGTATGAGACGCCGATAAACAGAATCTTGCACGTGACGTTATGATAGGAGTTGCCGGATAACCTACAACACAAACAGCGATACCACGCTTCAATAGTTCCCGAGAAAAGGCAGGAATTTTTGCAGGGTTAAACAATAACAATGGTACCACAGGACTGCCATGATCACCATAAACAATAAATCCAAGAGCACGTAATCTAGCCGCAAAATGAAGTGAATTTTCAGCTAGTCTTTTGATACGAAGGCGACCATCATCTGTACCATCTTCACCACTATTAGAAAAATAAAAAAAAAATATAAGTATTTGTTCTATCACATATATATATATATTGATCTATTACCAAATAATCTTCATACTAGTTAATACTTGTTGTGCCACAGGGACAGAGATAGGTTCAGCATAAATATATCCATGATTATTGATACGTAAATGGTCAATAACGGACTTGTCAGCAGCAATGTAACCACCAGCAGCACCAAAAGATTTGGTAAATGTACCCATTAAAATATCAACTTCAACAGGATCCACACCATAAAAGTCACAAACGCCACCACCATTTTCACCAAGGGCACCAATAGAATGAGCTTCATCCACATACAAATAGAACTATAAATAGAAAAAAAAAGAAACATCAAGATAAATGTCTTTTTTTTTTCCTTTTAACTTACCTTGAATTCCTTTTTGAGTTTGATGATTTCAGGAAGATTAACGACGGTACCTTCCATAGAATAAAGACCCTCCACAATGACCAAAATCTTCTTCCAAGGACGGTGAGTACGAGGTTGACCTTGAGAAATGACTTCACGAAGTAATTCTCTCAAATCATCCATGTTATTATGTTTGAATACACGAACAGATGCACCAGAGAGACGAGCACCAAAGACAATAGAAGAATGATTCATTTCATCAGAAATAATCAAACAACCTTTACTAACAAGAGCTGGAATAGTAGTGGAGTTGGTAGCGAAACCCATACTAACAACCATAGAATCTTCTTTTCCAACAAATCGAGCCACCAAACGTTCAAGATCGGCATGCAGTTGTGTTGAACCAGCTTCAGCGCGAGGACTTGGAGAAGGAATACCATTGGTTAAAGTTGCTTGTTCCACTGCATCTGCACAAGGTCCAACTTTCTGTGCAAATCCCAAATAATTGTAAGAAGCAAAGTTGAGATTTTCTGTGACTTTGCCTGTCAATCGAAAAGTATGATTGTAGTCATAACTGACACGTTCCAACAATTTGACTGTTCTAGAGGCAACTCCAGTAATAGGTCGATTCCAACAATCACTATTCATTCACGATGAAAGAAAAAAAAAAGAAAGGTACATATAAATAATATGGTTACACATGTTTTTATTTTTCTTTTTATAATTTTTGTTCATTTTCCATTTTACTTACCGAATACGAAGATAGAGACGCCGTGTATAAAAGGAATCAAAATCAGATACAAGAGGTGCATAACCCTAAAAGAAAAAAAAGAAGTAGGCTTGTTTTAGTATACTTATTTTATATATACTCTATTTTTTTTATTATTTCTTTTATTTTTTACCTGATTCATCCTCAAGTGAGAATAAGCATGAGGTTTAAAGAATTTGCCCATAATATCACGTAAATGACCAAAAAGAATAAGAACGAAATAGTTGAGATATGTTGATACCAATATATATAAAGGGGCAGCTTCTAGTTTATGTTCCAAGTCATCATATCGTTTAGTTTTGCGAGGAGGAGACCAATGAGTAGTGGAAGGAGGAGTCCAAGTATTACTAATATCAGAAGATGTGATGGTGGTAGTTGTACTAGAAGAATTTTTCTGGAGAAAGCTAGGAGGTAACACGCTAAAAGAATGATCACTAGACGATTTGGGCGTTGTCAAATTGATACTTGGAATACTGATAGTGTGAGCGCGCTTTCCTTTCCCCATATTGTTCTATTGAAATGAAGAGGATGATGAAAAATAAAAAAGAAGAAAAGAACGAGGAAAAAAAAAAAAAAACGGAAAGAGGACTAATAAAAGAAGAAGTGAAAGGAAAACTTTTCAGTGTCTCAGCTTTTTTAGAGTGAAGCCCAGTTACTTTTGTCTGAGATCTAATTATAATTGCTTACTATATTCATTCACTATAGTTTTTTTTTTTTATTCTTTACCTCCAACCCCTAAAAACCAAAACCCTTGTAATGCATTTCTAATTCATTTGATCTCCTAGTTGGAGGAGAAAAGGATATAATCATTGCATTTCAAAGGAGGATTATATATTGGATTTGTCGTTCATCTATCATCTCATCAATATGCTGTCTCTCTCCCCGATGGTGTCGTCCTGTCAACAAAATTTTATCAGATGACCCCCCCGGCATAAAAAACATCCAGTAAATGTATTTAGGTACGGAATTCAAAAATAAGATGTCGCAAAAACACGATATTTAAGCATTAGAAACAATACTGTATTTTCAGCCTCTTTTCCCCAAAAAGGAAATATCCATGTTTATCTATCCCTTTCAATGTTAAAAAAAGAAAAAAAAATCAACATGGGTTCCGAATGTATACATTTTTAATCGTTTTATTAAAAAGAAAATAAAGTGTATACAGTATAACTAATAAATCAAACAAAAAAAAAAAAGAGTAACTATGACGATGGGTATGTAGTTTGTTCATGTTGTTGGCGAAGTAATACTGTCTTTTCGAATAAATTCATATCTAATGAGTCTACGTCACGGATAATTCTTGGCTTAAGCACAAGTTGTCCCAATTGCTTTCAAAAGGAAAAAAAAAAAAAGGAGTGAGTAAAAAGTCTCGGTACTAGTTTCAGAATTAGGAATAATATATATATATATATATATATTTTACCTGATCGTATTTCACTTCCCCAATACATTGTACCATGGTTCCTGTATTCATTCCAATATCAATCAATTCAGTATCTAATTGAAGACTACTCTGTTTATATTCAATGATCGCAATATTATTTGCTGGTTGAAAGTTGACTAGTCTATTTAAGTAAAAAAAGATTAATGAATATTAATAGTTGTTTTTTTTAAGAGAAAAAAAAAGAATAAGAAGGAGTACCTTACCTTCCAGTAATACGAATAGAAGTATTGTCATATCGTTGTGGATCCTGTATTAAATCTTGTAGTAACACTAATTTTCCTGGAGAAACTGTTGTCATGAGAAAAGGTAGAACAAAAGGGAAGAAAAGGACAAGATTGAATTTCCGCTGCTCTTTTTTTTTCTTATCTTTTTTTTTTTTTTTTTTCTTTCTTTCAAATAGGAAGAACTCGCTGGTTTAGTTCTTTCTTTTTATTTATACATATATATATAATAATATATACAACCATGTCAAGTCCTCTTGTCATGGCTTCCACTTTGAATGCCAAAATACTTCAAGATCGTGATTCTGACTTTGACCATGACTATGAATTCCCTACTCACCTGTTACCAGAAAAGATGACGGGTAAGTTCTAATTTGGAATAATAATTAAAAAATAAAATAGTATTTGCTCAACTTTTGTTTTTTTTATTTATCTATAATGGACTATTTAGACGATAGTAAAATTCCTTTGGTAGTGGTTGCTTGTGGATCTTATTCTCCCATCACGTATTTACACCTACGCATGTTTGGTAAGTAGCTCAAACTTTATGGTGAGAGGCCTACTGTATCTATTGTTTTATAACCTTCTTTTTTTTTATTATTATTATTATTCTTTTTAATTGGAACATGAACATTAGATATGGCAAGAGATCATTTCAGAGAACGGGATGAATATGAATTATTAGCAGGTTACTATTCGCCAGTGTCAGATGCATATATGAAGGAAGGACTGGCTCCAGCAAAGCATCGGGTAAAAATGTGTCAACTTGCCGTGGAAAGTACATCAGACTGGTTAATGGTCGATTCATTTGAAGCTCGTCAAACAACTTATCAACGGACGGCAGTGGTTTTAGATCATTTTGATTATCAATTGAATCAAATACATGGTGGTATTCGTACTCAAAATGGTAAGAATCAGGTGTATAGGTATATAATGTCATTGTTCTAATATTAATCACTTTTTTACTCATTATTGATCATAGGTGATTACAAAAAGATTCGCATCATGCTATTGGCTGGCGGTGATTTGATCTCTTCATTTGGTCACCCTGGTGTATGGTCTTCCAATGATGTAAGTAAATTTTTCTTTTTTGAATAAAACTAAAAGAATTTGGTTTAATTTATTATTCTTATGCCCACGTTATTTACTATAGTTACATCACATTGTTGGTCACTACGGCTGTGTCATTATTGAACGTACTGGAACTGATGTATATGGCTTTTTACTTTCCCACGATATTCTTTATCAACATAGGGTAAGCAAACAAAAATGAAAAAGGAAATTTGAATTCATCTTTGATATTTTATGTAGATGAACGTCATCGTCATCAAGCAATTGATACATAACGACATTAGCTCAACAAAAATAAGGTATAAACGAGGAAAAACGAGAGGAAGGGAATATTGAACTGAACTAATACGGCGTATTCTCTCTTTTTTATATAAATGCATATACTTTGATGACAGGTTATTTGTTAAACGGGGTATGTCTATCAAATACTTACTACCGGATCCCGTGATTGATTATATTCATAGTCATGGTCTTTATTTGTCCAAGGCTACCTAGATCTGTAGATCTATTTTTATTTATTTATCTTTTATCTTTCTTGTTTGTCGTTGTATTTATCTCTCCTCTTTTGTCATTCAGATTCCTAGTATATTCATATAATCAATATATCAATCAATATTTTTAGATTATACTTTTATTTGATATAATGTATTTTATTGATTTTCTTATTTTTGGGCTTGACGTCTCTAATAATTCATTGTTACAACCACAATAAAAATATCATTTAGAACGAACGTACATTTTGATTTTTTTTTCTTTTTCACTTTTTGACTTTTCATATCTGTACATTAATAGACAAAGTGGCAGAGCTGCTAACATTAAGAGTTGCTGGTATGTCAACTATGGAATCACACATGGACACAAAAGAAAATCATCCTTGTTGTATGTATTTTTTTTAAGTTGATAATTTCGTCATTTTTCATCATCTCGAAGAATATCATATGTGTCTTAAAAAGTCATTATCACCATCGCCATTACCTCCATTCATCATATATCACCCATTGTAGAAAATGTAGACTAAAACAATAAGCACCAAATACAAGGATACATAATATATAAAACTTTATTAATAATCAGCTTTCAACATCACAAAACGCTACCAAATACACGATTATGTCTACAAATACTAGGTCCATATTCATCATATTCTGCCTTGGTGTGGCAATAACCTTGGAATTCGGCCTACATGGAAAAAGAAGAAAAATTAAGTTTTGAGTACTTATCGGGTTACTAGGATGATCCCTTTTTCTTTCTTTTTTTTTTTTTTCTTTTTTTATAAACAAAGAAGATCTTACCGTTGATGCAAGCAAGCTACCACCAAACCATACAGCATGACGTTGCTTCTTGTGAGAGATGACATTAACTTCCATGGGAGTGGCCTAACAAATTACACGCACAGACAAAAAGAGAGAAAGAAAGAAAGAAAGAAAGAGAATCAGTTGGTATATTTTCCCTAATAAAAAAATAATCTTCCTTATTTTTACCTTCATAGCACCACCACTGATTTCTTCGCTAGCACGTATACGTTGATCAACAACTCGTTTGATATCTCTTTGAAGTCTCTTATCGAAACCTTTGAACATTGTGGACCCACCAGAGAGTACGATGTTCTAATCATAAAAAAAAAATAAGGAATCAGTCTTGCATGATAAGGGCACAAAATACGAATTTATCTTACCTTGTAAAGACCTCTACGAACATCAATGGGACTAGTTTGTACAACGTTATCTACCACTTCAGGTAAAGGAGTAAGGAAATCAGAGCTTGCAATTTCAGGATTGAAGAAAATTTCAGGGGCAAGGAATCGTTCAAAACCAACGTCAACAGAATAATTCTAAAAAAAAAAAAAAACACACGAAAAAAAAAATGCATTAATAAGAAGATAGTAATTTTATCATTTTCCTATAAATTTTACTTTATTTTTTTTTTTTTTACTTACTCTACCAGTCACAGTGTGAAGTCCTTCGTATTTCTTGAAATGTTTGTCGGGTTCTTGATCATACTTTTTGAATTCTTTGACTATATCAGGACACACATAAGAGAAATCTTCCTTGATAGCTTCAGCAACACGTAAAGAATCTTCAGGAGGAATGCTTGTTTCACCACGTTCACGTAATAATTGCTGCACAAATGAGGTAATATCGCGTCCAGCAATAGGAATACTTTTGATTGAACTACCAATCACATAACCTTCAGCCTATAAAAATAATAATAAAAATAAAAAAAGGTGAGATATTATAACATTCGTATAAAATCCGAGTTCACTTACCACTGGAATAACATGAGTAACACCATCACCAGAATCAACAACTGTACCAGTCAAGGTTTGTTCACTAACTTTACTGGAAGTCCATGAAGCAGCAAGGGCCAAAACTGCTTGAACACCAATATAAAGGCCCTTCACATTGAAAGATTCAAACATAATTTCAGCTGTCATTTCACGATTTTCAGGAGGATTATGTGGAGGTTCGGTCTTGAAAGCAAAAAAAAAAAAAAAAAAAAAATAAGTACTATATATATATCATGATTTTCTGTATTTACCAATAAAAAGTGATGATCTTCAGGTTCACAACGTAAGTACTTGAAAATAGACTGTTCCCAAAATCTTTCCATATGGTCCCAGTTGTTAATTTGTCCATGACGAATAGGATAATTGAGAGCCATTGTTTTTGCTTGAGCAAGAGCTTCATCACCAATAACAAAGTTCAAGTCTTCCATACCACGTTTTGATGCCAAGTTGCTACTAAGAAAAGAAGGTTTTGAAGGGACACCAGGAGCACCAGATGCCGAAGGACTTTCGTGTGTTGCAATAGCAGTTGGGAAAACAAATGAAGGTTCATTGTTACCACTGAAACCGAGTTTAGAGTACCTATTAAATTAAAATTAAAATAAAAAAAAAAAGTTATTAGTATATTCTTAGTTAATTAACGCGCCAAGTCTTATAAGATGAGATGAAAAAAAAAAAAAAAACGGTTCAGTCACTTACCCAGTACCATTATCCATAACAACTACTGGAAGATTACTCATATTGATATTTTTCTTTTACTTCTTTTTTTTGTCAATCGTTATAACAGCGGTAAATAAAATAGATATAAAAAGATAAAGTTGACCAAAGTTGCCGAAGAATGAAAAACGTATAAAAAGTGATGTATGTAGCTAAAAGGGAAAAAAAAAAAAAAAAGAAAAGGAAAAGAAAGACGGAAACAAAAAATATTGGCCATATTCAATCACCGGCAACTTTCCAACATAAGCGTATTGTTCATGAATAAGAACACTCTTTATCAACAAATTAAGTGATATATCATTTTAACATTGATTATTGTATTTCGAGCATTAGTTTATGTTTATAAAATAATAATCATCTGTAAATTATATATAATATATATATTTTCTATATACAAACTGTTATCCTCTTAACAAAAAAAAGAATTACGGAATTTCAATATTGGTCATGAATTTGATTGGAGCATTCTCATTTTTTTTTCCTTTTGTACATATCTTTTTTTTTTTCCCTCTCATATCCATTTTATTTTATTCTTTTTTCTTTTATTTTCACTTTACCCTCATATACCACTTTCTAATGTCTGGTCATGTTATCTACGCGTGTCCTTGCCTTAATATCAAGATACATTTATCAAGTAAATATTCTTTGAAACATCATGCTACAGAACGACAACAATATTGGTTTCAGGAAGCTCCTATTGCTGGTTGGCATTTTGATCTTGGTATGGGTGCTGTCGTTGTAAGTAACTAAACATATAAATATTGCTATTTATTTATTTATACTTACAGATCCATCTAATTTATTTTTATTTTTTTAATAGGCATATTCAAGTTTGATTCAAACTCGTACAAGTACATCTCATCCTTGGATGACCGTGGGATGTCTCAACTGTGATTTGAAAAACGTATATTCCGTTTATAGCAAAATGTCTAATAGGTCTTCTTCTGGCTCCTTATTGGTTGGTCAATCTGATGAATCTGTTGTTATTCACGAAGGTACTCTAGTAAGTTATATATATTTATATATTCACTGTACATCTAAGTTTATACTCATTCATATATATATATATATATATATATTAGTTTGGTAGTCAATTAGATGATGTTAGAAATGATGATCAATTCTCCACGATTTTCGACATTAAACTCAGCAATTTGATATCACCTGCTACCATTACACATCAAAGTAGGGTTCAAATCATGAATTATATCCATATAATAATCATTGTTATGCACTTTCTCCTTATATATTTATATTTGTATCTCTAGATGAAGTTCCAGAAAAGCTACGTGCTCAACATCAAGAATTGCGTCAAGTATTGGAAAAAGCTTTGGATAAAATGCGACTGGCTTCTGAAGTACGTATTGAACAATGGAAACGGGTTGAAATGGAACGTTTGGAAGAAGATACAAAAAAGGCCAAGGAAGAAAGCAGCAAACTTTGGCAAAAAGTGCTTTCGGTGAACCATGTAGAAACTCAACATCCAGTGAAAGAAAGAAGAATCACCGGTATTGATGTCCCTGAAGAGGCTAATACTCAAGATGAACAAGTATCAACCTTACAACAAACATCAACAATTGGCGAACCTGTTTTGACCTCTCAATCTAATCCTGCAACAAATATCAAAACAACAACCAATGACTCATCTCTCATCTCATCAACATCTGATAGACAATCTGAATCAAAAAGATCTCAATCTCACGTGGTACGTTTCATTGATAATAACAGCGATCCGACAGTATCCAGTTTACCTAGCTCATACCGCCGATCCAGTTTTAGTCTCAATCAAAGTGCTATCACCAACAGCTTAACTCAACAAGATAGTTTATTATTCTCATTATCGAAAGGTAATATAAAAGAAAGAAAGAAAAATAAATTTAGAACGATTCAAAAGCATTAACTCTTTATATATATATATTATTGATTTGACTAGGTGATGTACCACAACCTATAAATGATTCAAGTTCTGATGATGAAGATATGTTTGATTTGGATGAAGAATTACAATCGGATGATGGAATCACAGAAAAGAAAGAGGAAAATAAACTTGACGACAATACTGGTAGCGAAGAAGCAGCAACGACAGGTGATCAATCTGATAAGAATAAGTCTGAATTCGATAGCTATGGAACATCATGGATCAAGAAAAAGAAGTTTACTGGAAAGTACATTGTCGATATTGGAAACGGGTCAGAATTAAATCAAGGGGATGATAATGATATTACGATGGAAACTGATGAAAATGAAGGTAAACATGAACAATTAAAAGAACATAGTGAACTTACCAATTTTTTTTTTTTTTAATATGCAGATCTATCTCAATCTATTTCCAAATACGCTACATCAATGCCAATCAACATCAATTCTGGTATGGGTACTTTTATTCCATCACATGATGATGAAGTTATCCAACCTGCTAAAATGGATCCAACCAATGTATTTTATAAGGCTAGACAAAACGACAATGATGTTTCCTCTCCTTTTGAATCTCATCTTACTAGCCAATCGTTGGCACCGACAACCAAGGTATCTGCAAGCAAATCATTTATTGGTTATGATTTTTCCTTTTCTGATCGTGCATTGTCCAAGCAATTCCCTGATTACAATCCTGGTCGACGAAAATCTGTAGCAACTATACAAGGCAGAAGACAACCTCAGTTAGATGCACTTATTGAAAATTCATCTTTAGACACTAGAACTACAAAGAAATGAATACATATCCTATTTTTTTTGTCTTTTTTTTTTTTGTACATATGTATTGATTACAAATATAATAATAAAAGAATGCCCTATTTGTTACATATACTACATTTCATTATGTATTATTCACGAAAGGACACCCACTTGGCGGAAGATAAAAAAAAAAGTGAAGCTCAAGGGTTGACACTATTTTCTTTTTTTTTTTTTCTTCCTTCTTTTTTTTTTTTTAATTATTCCATTTTCCATTCATATTTCTCCATTCCAACCATCATGCCTAACCAATGTCCTGTTGATCATACCAAAATAAATATTACAGAAAAACCTCCTTCTTCTTCTACACCAGAGGTAATTACAGTAGAATATTCAACTTTGACTCCTGTTGACGATGATTCCAAATGTCCTGTGGATCCTTTAACCTACAAGTCAGCTACCATTACCACTACTGTGGCCAACCCTACCTCTACATCGGCTCAACACTCAAGCTCAACTGTGACTACTGCTCCTAGCGATCTTAGTGACTATACCAAGTTAACTTCTGTGGATGACGAATCAAAATGTCCTGTGGATCCTTCCGCATATAAACATTTTTTACCTAAAAGTGAGGATCAACCACAATGCCCAGTAACCCCAAGTAGTTATCATCATTTTGTACCTAAGCCTGAAGACAAGGTGGTCCCCGAAACAGTACATACTGCGGCCCAAGCAAGTACAGCAAAAGAAGGATGCGACTCGGATGCCATTGATAGTAGTAATTATATGCCTCATATCTCTCAACAACCATTACCAGATCAAAAGGGTCATTTGGGAAAACATCGTGAAATCTCATCTATTCCAAGAGCTAATTCGGATGAAAAACTATGGGTATATCCTTCGGAACAAATGTTCTTCAATGCCATGCGTCGTAAAAATTGGAATCCGGAAGAAGCTGATATGCCTGTGGTTGTTCCTATCCATAATGCTGTCAATGAACAAGCCTGGCAAAAGATTTTGGAGTGGGAACAATTACATGTTACGTAAGTAGGCAAAATATATATCTATATATTTACTTATCATTAAATTCTTTTTTTTTTTTTCTGTTTTATTTTTTGATATAGAGAATGCAATCAACCCAAACTTTTGAAATTTCAAGGCAGACCCAAGGACATTACTCCTAAAGCACGATTCCGTTCTTGGTTAGGGTAAATAGATACCTGAATAAACATAGATGATATTTATCTTTTTTGTATTTTTTTTTTTTATGATTTTTATAGATATAGCTTACCTTTTGATCGACATGATTGGACGGTAGATCGTTGTGGTGAAAAAGTGACATATGTGATTGACTTTTACGCTGGTAAACAAGATCCTCGAAAACCTCAAGGTGTTAGTTTCTACCTGGATGTCCGACCTGCTGTTAGTCCTAGTGGGATTTGGGATCGATTGCGGATGGCGTTTAAGAAGGGTGAATTTATTTAGATTAGACCTTTTTTTTACATTGAATGACAATAAAACATTTTATTATTTGGTTATATGAATATATTTGGAGGGAATATTTTTATTATATTTTTTTTTATTGATTGATTGATAATTCAAGAAGAAGGGAAAAAAAAGGGCATTTAACAACAAATTTTTGATTATCCATATGAACTCTTTTTAAAGAATTATGCATTTTGACGCTGATAAAGTTTCCTGGAAATTTGAGCAGTGGCTTGCGAGACTGTAAAAAAAGGGGGATGTTTTGAATGACCGCTTCTTATATCTTTTTTTTTTTTTGACATATCCTCTTCTTTTTTTTTTTTTTCTTCTTTCTACAATTGATTCCCTTCTTTATCATCATGGCTGACGAGAAACGTTCGAAATCCAAGTCTGACAATAACAAAAAACGCAACAACAAAAAACAAAAGGAAGAAACAAGTGCTCTTTTACACAATAATGAACCAAAAATGGCTGTTCGTGAATATGTCGTTAATGAAGAAAAGTATATCCGTGGCGATGATATCGATTATGAGGTATGGCATCTATACAATGATATTAACTCTTTTTATTCCCACTTTTTGTTTATGTTATATAACCAATTTGATTCTTTTTTTTTTTAAAAAAAAAAAAATAAATAGAAAATCAAAGGTCAAAAACTAAAGGCTCGTATTCGAAAACAACAAGAAAGTGCTCGAGATGCAGCTCAATCAGCAGCTCGTGCTGAAATGTTACTTGGTGAAGAAGCTGGATACTTGGAAGCCGAAGGGATTGAAAAGACATATAACTATAGACAAGATCAATTGGCTGCAGATACTGATATCAATACAGCAAGCAAGGTAGAGTGATTAGTTTGGTGGAAGAGAAAAAAAAAAAGAATACTAATTCAATGCTTTACATATATCATTAGATCTTTTCTTTGGATCTTCCTGACTTTGGTCCCTATGCACTTGATTATACTCGAAATGGACGACATTTACTTTTAGGTGGACGCAAAGGTCATCTTGCTGCTTTTGATTGGCAAAATGGCAAACTACACTTTGAAACTCATGTCAAAGAAACTGTTCGAGACGTCACGTAAGTTTTTTTTATTTTTTTTTTTTTACAATTGTTTTCTAATTTTTTTCTTTTTACTATTATTTATTTATTTAGTTGGCTTCACAATGAAACATTACTTGCTGTGGCTCAAAAGAAATATGTCTTTATTTATGATCAAACTGGTTTAGAAATTCATCGTATGAAGAATCATATTGAAGTCAACAAGATGGAATTTCTACCATACCACTTTTTATTGGCCACCGTGGTAAGTTAACTATCATATATAATTATCTTGTCTCTTCCTTTTATTCATTTTCATCTTCTCTCTCTCTATATCTTTTATGGATTCAAGGGTAATGCTGGTTATTTGAAATATCAAGATACATCTACTGGTAATCTTGTTGGTGAAATTCGAACGAAACTAGGTGGTTGCAAAACTATGACACAAAATCCATATAATGCAGTGATTCATCTAGGTCATACCAATGGCACAGTAACAATGTGGTCTCCTACTATGCATACGCCTCTGGTCAAGATGTTGTGTCACAAAGGTGCTGTTCAAGCTGTGGCTGTAGATAAGGGTGGACATTATATGGCAACTTCAGGATTAGATGGTCAGTTAAAGGTATGGGATATCCGAAATTATGGTGTTCTTCAAGAATATTATACTCCTGCACCTGCTACTTCATTATCAATTTCACAAAGAGGATTATTGGCAGTTGGCTGGAATACACATGTGACGGTAAAAAAAAAAAAAAAAAAAAAAAAAAAGAACAACCATATGTTTTGTTTATTAGTATATTTACTTTATCTATATATATATGTGATAGGTCTGGAAGGACGCATTCCGAACAAAGCAAGAATCACCCTATATGACTCATTTACAAGCAGGATCACCTATTATGGATATCAACTTTTGTCCTTATGAAGATGTATTAGGTATTGGTCATTACAAGGGAATGAGTAGTATTGTAGTACCTGGTTCAGGTGAACCCAACTTTGACTCTCTTGAAGCTAATCCATTCCAAACCAAGAAACAACGACAGGAAGCTGAAGTTCATAGTTTAATGAGCAAGTTACAACCTGATATGATTGTGTTGGATCCCACTGACATTGGCAAGTTGAATCGAACAAGCAAGGCAGAAATGCAAAAACGACAAAGGGAAGATGAAGAAGAACGACGTTTACAAGAAGGCCCAGAGCAAGTCAAGGATAGAAAACGAATGCGAGGACGTAACTCGGCAAAGAAACGATATATGCGAAAGCAAAATCAAAAGAATGTGGTGGATCAAAAGCAATTGGATATAATGGAAATGAAGGCAAATGAAGGCAAAGGCAAATCTACCGACACTCCTTTTACCACTTTGGATATCTTTTAGTTTAGTCCCATTTTTTATCGCTAACCTTTTTATTATTATTATTATTATTATTTATTCTTATCACCATCATCATCATTATCATCATCATTCATCATCCATATTATATTTATTTTTTTTGTATACATTTTTTTTCTTTTGTACTTTTTATTTTATACATTAGATGATCATATTACTTCATGTCCCCTTTTTATTTTACACAGTTCTCTTTTTTTTTTTTCTTTGACTCATATTACATCCACACATACAAAATCAATCAATCATCCAGATACACATATGCACACACACACAGTCTCTCTCATATATACAATATATATATTTATATATATATTCTCTCTCTTTTTTTTTTTTTTCTTCTCTTAATAATTCAATAAAATCATTGAAATCAATATATAAAGAAATCATTTACAGTTTATCAAATCCCGATCGGCGGAGGAAAATCAAGTAGGACCAAAAGATAAAGAGAAAAGAGAATGCTTCCTAATGGAAACCACATGAAAGGGAGAAGATACAGGTCATAAAGAAAACTCGATAAATTTTGATTTCAAATGATATGTAGATGGCAATATAAACAATCAACAAGTTGGGCGATAGACAGGGGGGAAAAAGGGATGCATGCACAAACAGACTGACAAAATGATTTCAAATCCCCTCTTTTTAGTGGTGTGTTACAATGCAGTAAAAAAAAAAAAAAAGTACACTATCAAGACGATACAAATGATAATAATATATTACGGTTTATTTTGGATAATAATAATATAATAAAGATAAAAAATATATATATATAATAAAACATAAAAAAAAAAAACTAGAAAAAAAAAAGAAGAAATAATACAAAAAAACTCAAAAGTAGATCGAACCAACCAAAAAATGTTCAACTACAGATGATGATATGATAGAAAGAGGAAGAGCATAAAGAGAACTAATTAACTAATCAATAGGGTAATAAACATAAGAAATAGTAAAAAATGAATAAGAATCAGAGAGAGAAGGTAGATAAAAACTAAATCAAACTACATCAAGACACATCCACAGCATCCACCACTATCCTTTTCCAATTCATATTGATCACGTTGTCCTGATTTTGATCGACTATTTTCTTGTTCCCTTTTGTTCATTCGACGAATTTCACGAACTACTTCATAAAAACTGTCATCCACATTAATACGTTGTTTGGCAGAGGTTTCCATAAAAGGACATCCAAATTCCTTGGCTAAATCATAACCCTCTAAAAAAAAAAAAAAGATGTATGTATGATGTATGTATGTTAAGTAAATATGTATGTAAAACATGTTATGTGTTGTATTACCTTGAGAGGAGACTTGTCGATCACTTTCTAAATCACATTTATTGCCTACCAAAATCATTGGGAAAAAGTCCTTATCCTTGACACGTCGAATTTGTTGATAAAATGTACTAATTTCTTCAAAAGATAAACGAGAAGTAATAGAATAAACTAGAATAAATCCTTCACCATTACGCATATATTGTTCTCGCATAGCACTACATTTAAAAAAAAAAGGATGAAGTTTAAACTATATCATATATAATAATATATTTTACCTATATTCTTCTTGGCCAGCTGTATCCAAAACATCTAATAAAGCTGTTTCTTGATCTATGATACATTGTTTACGATATGAATCTAATAATAATAATAATAAAAAGAATAGGATTTAAATCAACTTGAGTGTTTAACCATAATAACTATACTAATAATAATTAATAATAATATTATTATTTTATTATTTTACCTTCAATAGTAGGATCATATTCATCAACAAAATGAGATTGAATAAATTGAATTGTAATAGCGGATTTTCCAACACCTATTTAAAAATATTATTGTTATTATAAAAGAACTTCAAAAAAAATAAATTAAATGATGAACTTACCACCACCACCAACAATTACAATCTTATATCTAATAAATAAAAAAATAAAATAAAATAAAATATTAATATAAATGTTAGTGTTTTTATTTTATTCTAGATGAGTTTCTTTTTTTTTTTTTATTTTTTTCATCTTCTAATATCCTAATAATCATTCATCTTTTTTTTTCAAACTTACTCTCTTAAAAATGAAGCAGGCTTTGACATTGTTTGAATAAAAACGGTATATAAATAAGTGATAAAATAAAGATATAAAAAGTCAAATATACACAATAAGAAGAAAAAAAAGTAAATAATAAGGAAGAAAAGGGAGGATTGAATAAAAGACAAAGGAAAAAAAAAAAAAAAAAAGGAAGGAGGTGAGAGAGAGAGAGGGGGATGACAGACAAAATTGAAAAAAAAAAAAAAAGAAAAATTGAATAGGTGATACAAGAAAATTTTATTTGGAAATCAATATGATGAATTTAAGTTTTTTTGCTCCGTTGTACAAAAAAAAAGTTTATTTTGACTCGTTACCTTGATTTTCTTCCTGTTTTTTTTTTATCTATAATAATATTTAATAATAATAATGTTTTATTAATATATATATATAAAATATCCAAAAAAAAATAAAAAATAAAAAATAAAATAAAACTTCTTTTTTTAATCTTTTGTAATCATTGGATCTGATGGTGTATGTAAAAGTTCAAGTTCATCTAATACTAATGTTGATATTCCAGAATATTGTTTTGTAACTGCAGATGGTGATATTGTAATATCTTCCGTAAAACAAGACGAAGGTGATGATGACGGTACAGACGCTGTAGATGAGGTGATATCTGTATAAGATGAAGGAATAAAACAATTAACCTTTGTCAAGTATCGATATTCATCATCTCGTTTTAAACTAGATCGAGATTGTCTAATAATATCAGAATTCGTAAAAGTTGAATCATGAATCATCGGTTGTTGTTGTTGTTGAGACATTTGATTCCATAATTGTGTTGAATATTGTTGTTGTTGTCGATCCAATTCTGTCAATGATGCTATACCAACAATGGATGGTGAAGATGCTATTACTGATGAAGATGAAGATGAAGGTACAGATCCTGATGATGATAATGATGATGATGATGATGATGCGAATGCTGAAGATGAAGATGCTGGTGTTGATGCTGATGATGATAATGGTGATAATGATTGTCGTTGTTGTTGTAATTGAATCATATCCAAAGTGCTAATACCATATAAAAAAGCACTAAAAGGATGAAGAATATCATTGGCAAAAGAGTTATCCACAATCGGTTTTTTTAATAATAATTTTGATCGATTTTGTCCTACTCCTTTGGATATACGATGTTTCTTGTAAAATTCCCAAAGATCACAAAGAGTATCATGCAACATTGATCTTTTATCTTGAAAGATGGATAAAGATTGAAGTACACGATACCCTTTTTCAAATTGAATTTCCGCTTGAGCAACCATAGTAACATCTTGTTGATCTTTTGCAAAGAGTGACCGAAGTACGTGTAACGCCATAACCAATGAATACAGCGTAATTGGGCAAGTGATAAGAGAATCTAATTCATCGGGCATTTCTTTTTCCGCCAGTCGTACAGCACTAGTAGCTGCATAGTAACATATTTCCATAGACGCTGGTCTTGTTCCATGTTTCGATGTATCATCGTCAATATATCGTTGGTGAAGTAACATCAGATTAGCAAAGTAATAAAAATCTTTCAAAGAATCGAGTCGATTGTCATGACATGAATCTGCCTCTACAACTGGAGTTGTTCCTTTCATCTTTTGTCGATTTTCATCTGTCATCTTATTACTATCATTGTTGTTTTGGATTGTTCGTTTCTTTTTAGCCGCATCACATACCAAGTGATCAATAGTGGATAAAAGACCCCGATAATACTAGTACCAAAAAAAAAAAAAAAAAAAAATGAAAATGAGTTGATCGATCACTTGTTTCATTTCTATTTCGGTCCTTACCGAATGATGTTGATCAAGCTTCCTTTGCGGTGAATAATTGAATTTGATAATTCGTCCAGCACTCTTGCAAAAATAAATGGTGGATTTTAGTTGATTAAGCCATCGTTGAATATAAATATCTTCATTCTTGTTACATTGTATATGTTCAGGATGTTTGCTCCGTCGATTTGTCTCATCTACGCAACTATTAGGAAACAAAAAAAAAAAACATATAGATCAGTACATATTTTTTAAGTTAATCTTTTTTTTTTTTTACAACTTACATATCCCCTTCATCAAACGTATATGGTCGACCATGGATTGTCTTAATAGTATAATCAGTGATAAAAGCCATCCAAAAAGTACGTAGCCGAAGTTGGTAGAGAGTCGAATCCATGGTAAGAGGTTCATTTGCATATAATCCCATATTCAGAGCCAGTGTACAAGCTTCTCCAGCCCATTTCCAAGCAATAGGTAGTTGATGTCGAAGTCTATTACATTCCAAATGATTAGCTAGCATCAATAATGCCAACACTGTGCTGCAAGTAGGAGTTGCATCATCCAAATAAGTGTCTCGAACCATATGAGCATAATTGATGAGAGAAGTACTGATGGAACCATATTTGATATTGTTGGAGGCTGTCTTGTTTCGAATTAAATAGGATGCTCGTACGAATAGCGCACAAAAGAAAAGTGTATTCAAGGAAGTACTTGTGGATGATGGTGATGGTGGAGAATAGAGTTGTTGTTTAAGATAATCCAAACTGAACACTGGGTAAAATGTATCAAGATGATTGTAATAAACATCAAGTAAAATAGCTTGATCACATGAGGGTAAACCTTGGTGACACAATGATTCAGAGGGAGAAATCCAGGTGACATTCAGAATGGAGGACGATGTAGTAGACAAGTTTGAGTTCGCGGAAAAGACGGCCGATCTTCCAAAATAACCATAGTCATTGATGCAGGGTTCTTGAATAAAGTAGTGAGGGAAATCGGCATCAGTTTTAGAACTCAGTTCAGGTGGTGCTGGTATGCCATAAACAAACTGTAGAGTTGGTCGAAGGTTAGTAGTTGGGGCCATCACCATAGTTTTAGTATTGTTAATGTTGTTCTTTTGTACTTGAGATTCCAGTTGTTGTTGTTGTTGTTGTTGTTGTCCATCACCATGATGTTTTTTAACACCGTTTGTATAACTACATATTTCCTTCTTTTTATTGCATGTGGAACAAGGGTCGCCACCAGAGCAAGCTTTCTTTTTCCTTCTACATTGATCACACGCGTTAGTTGTTCTAGGCCGTTTTTTGTTATAAAAAAGATGTTTGTCGTTTTTGTTGCCATTGATAGAATCTTGTTCCTGATAATACTGAAAAGTAACTCCAAGACCGTTTTCCTTTTGTCTTTCTGCAACCGCTTGTTGATCTTGATCATAGTTTGAAGTCGACGCTAATAGAATCTTTAACGATGGAAACTGTTGCATCGTCACAGTACGAAGGAGGTAAAGAAGGTTGAGTAGATGAAGGAAGGTAATGAAAAAGGAATGAAGTATTGGTATAAGGTTGTGGGTATAAAAAGCAAATATATAATTTGGGATAGAAAAGAAAAAGACAGAAAGAAAGATGTGGAAAGAATTATCAGAAGCTGAGAAATTGAAGGTGATAATAATGCCAAATGGGTTCAACTCCGGTGATGTCCGGCTTCAAAAAAAAAAAAAAAAAAAAAAGGCACTGATACAATGTAAAGGTGTAACAAATTTTCGTCATAAACATAGGTGATAAAATGGCATAGATGATTTTGTTGTTTTGTAGAAGGGGTTTTTTTTTTATTTACGAGATTTAATAAAGACAATTTTTTTTTACACAACAAAAGATGACATGTGGTAACATCAACACAAAAAAAATACTACTATACTATACTACACTAATCAATGTAACTATACTGTGGTTCGGGTTTGCTTTCCACCAGCAGGGGCATCACCATGAGGAGCAAATTCAACTTGAAGATTAGGAGGTACTTCCAAGAATTCCTTCAACTGTTGACTATTAATTTCCAGCAAATAATAATAATAATAATCATTAGATATCCAATATTTTTCACTCTTATTGTAAATTTACCCAATAGTTTGTACAATTTGTTCATTTTCAGAGCTCTTGATCCACAAGGCAATTCTGAAAAACACCTTTCGGACAGATACAACTGCACCACAGATTTCATCTTCATATGCAAATTGCTCACCAATCATAGCTAAAATCTATATAATAAAAATAATCCATCAGTTTATCACTCTTTCTCTAGTTCCTCTTTTGTTATTTACCGTATGCAACCAATAATTGTTAATAGCTTCACCAGTCCTATTTCTAGGGAATTGAATACTGAATTTTCCACCTTTGGCATTAGCAGGATCTTCCCATTCAGGTCGGACACCCTTTTTGAAAAGATGGTAATTAGAACTAAGATCAAGACGATCGACCTTGACAATATTATTGTAAACACTAACATATACATATATAAACATAAAAAAAAAAGAACAGAAAAGTAAGACCAAAATTTATCTATATGATATATATATATATATATATATATATATAATGTAACTTACCCCCAAAAATCTTCGACAGCATCCATAGACACAATTTCTTTTAGGTTTTGAGACCAAGACTGAGTATTTGCTTTTTTTCCAGGATTATCGAACCACAAAGTCCAAGTATTTTGAAGGGGATGTTTAACGTTATAGTTGATACGATCATGGAATACGGTGGTAACTTGATCGGATGAACTATCGTCGTTATTGGTGTTTGTGGTATCAGTGTTGGTCACGTCGTCAGCATTATTGTTTGTTTTGGTGATATCCACGTTCTCTACTGCAGGAGGTTGTTCCACTACTGTCTGTTCAGCCATATCTAATATATAATGATAAATATGTAACAAAAAAAAAAAAAAAAAAAAAAAAAAAAGACAGGAAAGAAAAAAGAGTATTCTAATTTCTTTCTCTCTTCAAACCTTGCTGTGACGTGGGAGGCTTTGAGAATATCCCCGCTCCCTTTTTGTACATATTTGCCAGGTTTTGAAAATCAGCCAATTAGATAAAACGGTAAGCATGATTCAAAAGTTTTTTTTAAGGTTGCTCTATTTTTTATTATGCTTAAACAACATACATCGAACTTAAAAAAAAAAAAAAAAAAAAAAAAAAAAAAAAAAAAACTGTGAGGCTTATTTAAGGGTTTCATGATTCCTGTCATTATGATGACGATGATTCCTTGATATAACGACGACAACCACTCTATATTGTGATGATTTATGACCTTTTTTTTTTTATGTAAAGATGATGGATGATTGTTGAGAGGTGAATGCATAATAATGGTAGATACGATGATAATGAATGAGGAGAAATGAAGGGATAATGAATGTGGTTGATGATTGGGTGAAATACAACATGATGATGGACGAAAGATGATGGATTAATTTTAAGAAACTATATGTGAGGATGATGGATGTACAAAATGATTTGGTCTATAATGATACCTAAATATTATTATGAATCATCCTCATTATTTGTCACTTTTTCTATTAGCAGATATAGGCATTAATCATTTTTTAAAATATAAAGCAACCTGATAGGTTGAGTTCGTGTAACTATGCTTCCAAAAAAGGAAGATGTTATTGTTCTGCTTTCTTCTTTAATCAAGTAAAAATAAAAATATAGACTTTGCCATAGACAATTTATTTATCTCTTTCTCTTCTTATTTTTTTTTTTTTTTTGTTTCAGATCTCCTACTTTTTATCATTTTTTTGATTTAGATTAGGAATGAAAAGTGATCAACTAGAAGAAAAGGGTTCTACTTATACAAAAGCAGCTGATCTACAACTACTGGAAAAGGTACAAATAAAAAAAAAAAAGATATTCAAATGTATCCATACAAACATTTATTTTTATCATTACACATATAGGAGTTGGATCTCTTAAGAAAAAAAAGGAAGTCTCGATGGCATTCTAAGAACATACCAACACCATCATCTGTATCTACCAACCAATCATCATCATCATCATCATCATCATGTAGAGAAGAAACAGTATGCGGTCCAATTATTGAAATAAAAGACACACAGAGTTTATCGAATCATCTAGATAAATCAACAAAAATAGATGGTTCACCTGTGGAAAATGATACAAATGTGCCAATCAAGTTATCCATTGTCAAATCAAACACATCTATTACATCCGATAATAATGATTCAATGAACAAAAACATCACCACAGAAGCTAAATATGAAAAGATGACATCTAATATAAATTCATCAAAAGAAGAGAAGAAATTGAATACCATCATAAAAGCGGATGATCCATCTCTTACCAGTCGTATGCCCCAACCTGATGCTCAAGAGCACTCTATCTTATTATCCAAATTAAAATCAGCTACTAAAATAGGAGAGCGTAAAATTAATCGTGCAAGAATAGCAAATGACTCTTTATCGGTAATCATAACATTTAGAGATATCTACAACAATTTATCTAATACTACCTTTTTTTTTTAAAAAAAAAAAAAATATGTTGCGTATTCAAGGATGATTATAATACGGAATTGTTACAAACAGCATTCAAAAACTTGTCTACCACTCAATCCACGCCTGTTCCTAGACAAAGACGTTCAGTTCCCGCCCAAGATTTAAATCCCAAAAAAATTTCAATACCAATATCTTCCTCTTCTTCCCAACTTTCCAACTCCAAAAAAGCACCTTACTCATGGAAAAAGCAATCTTCTCTTGCAAAACTACAATCTTCAAAAGGAAAAGTGGTAAGTTATACTCAAAGCTTGATTGTATTTTTAATTCATATTTTTAAAATATTTTTATTATGACTAGTCAACCGCAATCAATGCTTTGGAAAATAATAAGTCAGTCTCTTCCTATCGTCCTCAAAGAGAGAACGTTCTTCCTGGTCCTTTGGCTACATATGAATTACCAATAGTACATCACCATCAATCACCTATCACTGATACGTTTCCTTCACCCATCCTGACAACAGTAAGTAAGACTCGTATCTCCAGAACTGAACAACCATCTTCACCAACATCAGCTAAGGATGAAAATAACAATTGCCCATCTGTACCAGTATCAAAGTCGAAAAAACTCGAGTCTATGGTAGTAACATCGCGCTCAATTGCCGTTCCTACCTGTCTTGAAAATAAGCTAGGCGAAACTCATTCTCAACAACCCAATACTTACTCAAGTCAAACCGACATTACCCAACGACCCTTATCTCTCTACGCACCTCAGTTATCTCTCATGGCTGGTGAATGTTCTCACAACTTGACAAGTCTGTTACCTTCAGTTGAAACATCCGATATTCCACCTGTCACGGAGATTGCGTCAACTCTTGATCATACTTCCAACCATCAATCTTCACCTGCCAACAATATCTCTTCACCACTTGATCGAAAAGATAGTACTATTAATCATCAATCATCTTCTACAACTGATGTTTCATCATCTTGTGAACAACATAGCAATGCAATCCGCTGTCGATCTCCACCAGTTCCACCGCCAAAGCAACAACTATGTTCAGCTATGCCTCCTCCTACAGTTCCGCGTCATCATCATACCGTGTCTTCTTTTGAAAGTAATAAGAACAACAACGACAAGGACAACGACAATAATGATAGACTACTACGCGTGATTAACACTGATGATGATGATGTCAACAACATTGGTGATGTGGAAACTAGCCAATTACAAAATCAGCAACAACAACAACAACAACAACAACAACAACAACAACAACAACAACAACAACAACAACAACAACAACAACAACAACAACAACAACAACAACAACAACAACAACAACAACAATTCAGCGACAATTCACATTCAACAAGTGTCACTATCAACTCCTCAATATCTGATGATGATGAACATGAGAGCACTGACGACTTCAATACTACCACTACCAAGATAGAGCATCTATCATATCCTCAGAAACAACGTAAACGATACAGTGATGGAAGCTATTTTGATCATCGCTATGATCATCATATTACCGCCGCAACAATCGACAACAAAACGACCAGTAATGACGATAACAGCTATCAAACACGGCAGATACGACGTAAACAAGTATCATTTTCCACGGAGGTGACCACCATTCCTACGTTATCGCCATCATTATCAACTTCGGTTCAAGGACATGATTATCCTCAAAATACACGTGGCTTTTGGGAAGTTTTCAGTGCGGAAATGGGTCATCAACAACGACGGGAAATGACATTATTGGATCAATTGGATATCATCAAATCTCATCAAGGGCTCAAATATTTACCGTCTTCAATATCAAGTGGACTTGTGTCAAGACCAAGTAAGATTATTTCACCAAATACATCTCAACAAGAAAAGCTACCTACTCCTCGTACCTCCAGTAAGATGTTCAATCTACATAAATTATTACAGAAGCCAGTCAAGAACGATCAAGACGAAAAAATTTCTTCTTCATGGTGGAAAGGCAGCAACAACATCAAGTCAGAATCAGGTCGTGATACCTCTTTGTGTTTGGACAAAATACCCACATCAGTTTCGCCTCCATTAGAGCATGTAAGTAGTAACTAAAAAATATAATTTTTGAGAGCACTTATAGATTAATACATGAATGATTTTATTTTGAATTAGCCTACCAAGCACAGACCCAGGAAGCCATCCAGCTTTAGGAAAGGATCAAGTTATACCAAACGTGCGATTGTACCAGAACCATCTATACCAGCCGCAACAGCCCAACCTCAATGGAGACAGCGTGTGCCTATATCAAAACATCAACATCATCATATCAGTTCTTGCGTATAGTATTATTTTAGTTTTAGTCTTAGTTTTTTGATCAAAATAGTGATAATAATAAAGAAGTAGTTTATTTTACTCAAAACAAAAAAAAAAAAAAGAAATGGTACAGAAAAGAATATATGTATAAATGTATATATATGTAAAGTCAGAATGGTGAAGAAGGGATGGGTGAAATGAACTATAAATTATAGTATGATGGTTAACATGGATATGAGCTGGTTGCGTATGAGAAAAGAAGATTGGATTATTGTTGTTTGGACTTTTGCTTTTCTTGATAAGTAATATCTTGTACACCAGGAAGTTGACTAGGAAGAGGAACATCACTAAAGTCATCTTGCTTAACAGCAAACATAGAATAGGCATCTAAAAAGTATACATATATAAAAGAAATGAATAGAGTTTATTATATGCCATAGTCACTTACAAATGCTACCAGTAAAAGTCAAAAGAGCACCCAATGTCAAGACATTGCGCATAGCAAAAGGTTGTCTAGTCCTTTTTAAAGCAGGAGAAAATCCATATCCTTTAGATTCAGTATAAAGCCGTTCACGAGCGCCCATTGGTGTAAATAGTTAATAAATATGCAAAAAAAAGGTAGAAAAAAAAAAAAGAAGGAAATAAAAAAAAAAAGAAAGAGGGAAGGGGTTAAGCATGTACAATTGTACCATCTGAGAATCAATCTAGTGGCTTATGAGCTTGATTGGTTCAATGACTTTTAGGCTCACTCACTTTAATCATCACTCACACGCGTCTACTTTTTTTTTTTTTTCCTTTTTCTTTTTCTCAACTTAGAAAAAAGAATTTCTGTCTGTCAGTTTTTTTTTTTTTTTTTTTTAATCCAATCGTCTTCTCCGTTTCCCCTTTCCCTTCTCTTACTACATGTCCTTCTTTGGTCAAACTTCCGCAGCACCAACAGCGACAGGATTTGGATCTACCCCTTCCACTGGCTTCAATACAGCACCCAAACCAGGAGGATTCACTTTTGGTGGAGGAGGAACAACAAGTAGTGCAACAACCACACCATCTCTTTTCGGATCAACTAGTACTACTACACCTTCCTTTGGATTATCTACTGCTACTTCACAACCCCAACAACAAGCAACAACAGGATTCGGTTCAACTAACACTTTTGGTGGATTATCGACACAAACATCAACAGCGCCTACAAGTAGTACCACAACACCATCTCTTTTCGGTGGAGCTAGTACTACCACACCTTCCTTTGGATTATCTACTGCTACTTCACAACCTCAACAACAAGCAACAACAGGATTCGGTTCGACAAATGCTTTTGGAGGATTATCGACACAAACATCGACAGCACCTACAAGTAGTACTACAACGCCATCCTTGTTCGGTAGCACCACATCAACAACTCCTTTTGGAGGTACCAAGAATTTGTTTGGAGGCACACCATCCACCACCGCCACGACAAATACCAGCACCAGTCTTTTTGGTGGCAATACTTCAGCAAATACCTCTTCTGGCCTCTTTGGCAGTACTGCTAATAAACCATCCACCTCCTTTGGGTTTTCTACAGGATCTTTTGGTACTAATCTTCAAGGTAAATTATATATATATATATATATATATATATATATTATTTTACACTTCTACTAATCTCAATTTTCAACAACAATCGTAATAATAAATAAAAATAGGTACGAATAATATGACACCACAACAACGTGATAAGATGATCTACGAATTATTGGTTCAAAAGGAAAGAGAAGACTGGCAACAACGAGGACAACGAGGATTAAGTGATGTGACACCAGAAAACATATGGCAATCTATGGCATTGATGAAATCATGGTGGGATCCTGATTCACCTAACTGTAGATTCAAAACTTACTTTTACAATATGGTGCCTACTCAAGAAGTACATTTATATCAGCGACCTCCAAATCAAGATCAAAAAGCATGGGAAGATGCTCAGAAAAAGAATCCAGATCCTACTTGGTAAGAAAGAAAAAAAATAAAAGTCTCTGATACAAATATATATATATATATATATATCCTAACTATTTTGTTCTCATGTATATATATATATATATATATATATATATATATATTTAGCATGGTTCCAACATTAGCCATTGGTTTTGGTGATATTCAGAAAAGAATGGAAGTTCAAAGTCAACAATCACAAGCACACAAATCAAAATTATTAGAAATTGATGAAAAGATCAAGAAAATGAAAGAATCTACTTTACGAGATAATGCTACGAAACTGATGGAAGCGAAACGACAATACATGGAAATTACACAACGTGTTATCAAGGTATTAAAAAAAAAAAAAAAGGATGATGATAAAAAAAAAGATTAGATTGTTCATATTATTCGACTTCTTTAGTTCCTTAAGCATACCCAGGTTTTACGCCAAAAAGGTTTATCTATTACACCCGAAGAAGAAATGATGCGTACTCGATTCCAATCCATCCAAGATCAATTACAACAATCTGAACAATTTCATGGCACTCTCAGTCAAATGTGGGCTCAATTACAACTTATCAAGGAATCTGGAAGAAAATATGGTAGTATTGGTGGCGTAGATGAATGGGATTCTGTTAGTTCAAGTCACGTAGAAGAAATCACAAAGGTATAGAGATCTCATCCTCCAAATATATATATATATTGGGTATTCACTAAACTCTTTTTTTTTTTTTTTTTTTTTTTTTTTGTATGAAAACAGATTCTCGATGAACAACAGCGTGGTATTCAACACACGATTGAAGTACTTGAATGTGATACCAAGGATGTAAATACATTATTACAACAACAACGTCAACTACAACTTCAAGATAGGTTACAACATTTACGATAAATGATCTAGTATAAGTGCATCACTATTTTATCATTATCATTATCATTATTATTATTGTTATTACCATATCAATAAAAATATCATACACCTTTGAACCACATTATGTTCTTTTTTTTTTTGCATGACTCCATGTAATTTAAATCTACAATTTGAGAAACATCTACAATTCAAAACGCCTTTATTTTTGATATACATTAGAAGGATGAGAAGAGAAAGAGATAAAAGATAAAATTAAAAATAAAAAAAAAAACAGAAGAGATGATACTGTGTCTACAACTACAGGAAAACAAATGATATATTCACAATAAAAAAAAAAGAGTAGGTAAGAACAAGCGTGAAGAATAATATATAAAAAAAAAAGGTAATAATAAAATATGTATCTATCTATCCATCTAACTAATTTATCTATTTGCCCAATCGTTTTCTAAGTGCCCGAGTTCGCTTTCGTAGTTTCTTGTGTTTATGTTTGTTCATCTTTAAACGGCGTTTTCGAAGTGTACTGGTAAGTTGCATGCCTTCCTCCACCAAAGGTGATCGAATAGGTTGTTGTAATGCAGGTGCAGGAGGTGCAGAGAAAGGACGACATGTGGCCAGGTGTTCAGCTACTTTATCACGAACCGTTGTCTTGACTTTAAAGAAAAAAAAGAGTCATAAGTATACTAAAAACAATATATTGGTTTGCTTTTATTACCTTGTGAATGCAAGGGGAATACCAAAGGTTGAATAGGTGAAGTAGTGGAAAGAGAAGCCCATCGTACACTAGTGCAAACACGTGGTTTGATAGAGTTGGCCAATACCAATCGTTGTACACTTCGTGCAAACAACATGATATATATGAAAAAAAGAAATGAAAAAAAGGTAAAGAAAAAAAAGGATGAAGAGAAATAGACATAATGAAGTGACTGGCCCGGTGGCTGGTTTAAGAAAGGGGAGGGGATGAACTTGGGTGAGCGGGCGGTATTTCAAAGCACCCGGTGCGATGGGAGTGGAAGACAGGTGGATTTTTTTTTTTTCGCTATCACCAAAGAATTGTCGATAATGAGAAAAAGAACCATCAGGCGGTAAAACTTGTTTTTTTTTTCTTTCTCTTTTACCGTTCCGATTCAACGTCATGGTAAGGTTCATGACAAAAAAAGAGAAATACTTTCGATTAGATACGAATATATAACAAATAGAATGGATGGATAAATAGATGGATGGACGGATGGATGGATGAATAATATTGGATGGTTCGAAATTATTAACTAACAAGATTCTTCTTTTTTTTTTTTTCAACATTATGAATGTATTCACATATAGTCTCTCGTCGTCCCTGAAAGGAACCAAGTAAGTTTGCATTTGATATACAACAATGAACAACAAAAAAAAAATACACAAGGATACTTATTATACTTTCTCTCTTTTTTTTTTTTATTTTTGAAAAAAAAAGTTCCAACACATTATCCGTCTCCTCAACACCAACGTTGACGGTAAGGACAAGATCACCATTGCTTTGACCTCTGTTAAGGGTGTAGGTCGTCGTTTCGCTAACGTTGCTTGCAAGAAGGCTGATGTCGATTTGAACAAGCGTGCTGGTGAATTGACCAACGAAGAATTGGAACGTATTGTCACCATCTTGCAAAACCCTGCTCAATACAAGATCCCTAACTGGTTCCTCAACAGACAAAAGGATATCATTGATGGCAAGTACTCTCAAGTTATTTCTAACGTATTGGATACCAAGATGCGTGAAGATTTGGAACGTATGAAGAAGATTCGTGTCCATCGTGGTCTTCGTCACTACTGGGGTCTCCGTGTCCGTGGTCAACATACCAAGACTACTGGTCGTCGTGGTAGAACCGTCGGTGTCTCCAAGAAGAAATAAGTAAGTTAGATATTAATGATATTTTATGTTTGATTTTTTTGTTTTTTGGAAAAGGATGAATTAAAAAATATACACTCTTATCTACATTACCTGATACGATATATGAAGTGAACATTTTATTCTGATGAAAAACAAACATTTGAATCGAACAAAAAAAAAAAAAAAAGAGAGAGAATCAAGGATGAATATGGAATATATGATTACTTACTTTGGAATCCTTTTTTTCTTTTTCATATAGATTCATTACAACACCTTACTGGGAAAAAATTCATTCTTTTTTTTTTCACAAATGGGTTCTTGTCGATTTTTTTTATGATAGTATATATACATTTTTATAATAAAGAAAAAGACAACTTTTTACAATTTTTTCTTTTTTTGATGATATGTAACTGGATGATAGAGAATGATTAGGATGATTGATATATATTATTGGAATAATGATTGTTTGTTGGCATCGAGAACAATGTGAGTAAGGTTAACTACAAAAAAAACAGTGAAAGCGGCTTTTGAAATTGTGTATGTGTATTTGAAGAAATGTTTTTTGTTATTCGCTCTTTTCTTTTTTTTTTTCGTTCTTTCTCTATTTGTTTCTTTTTATAAAAAAGTACGTTCAATATGGAAGACGGACCTTCGATCCGAGACTACATACGTAAGTAGAATTCATATTAAAAAAAAAATTCATTTATAGTGATGATGGCACTAACAAGAATAATCCCTCTTTTTTTTATTTGGTTTCGATAGAACAGAGAAAGAAAAATGGGATGACATGGTATGTTATGCTCACTCAATCAATATTGTTGCTGACAAACAATCGTCCTTCTAACTGTTTTTTTTTTTTTTTAACAGGGAAGACTTTAGAAAACTGAAAGAAGAAAAGGAAGGCCCAGGTGTATCAGAAGAAGCCATGAGGAAGTATCGAAAACAACTGGATGCAGAAAGGGAAGCCAAACTAGCTGGTGGAAAAAAGCGATCCAAGTCTGACAAAAAGAAAAAGAAGAAATCCAAACATAAGAAACGACATCGACATGATACTTCTGACGATGAATCAAGCGATGATGACTCAAGGGAACGTTATTCGGTATGTTATAATAGAAAACGAGTGGAAGAGTGACTGATTATTTATTTATTTTGTATTATCATTCTTTAGCGACATAGAAGAAAACGACGACATAATAGTCGATCAATATCACCAAGACGATCTGAAGAACATGAATCAAGAAAGGAAAGAAATAGTCGTGATGAAGATAGGGAAAGATCACCAAGGGTAAATTAAAAAAAAAAAAAAAGAAGTGATGTATATATCCCATTTGATTAACTTATATATTTACTCACTATAATATATAACCTTTTAATTACCATTTATGCAGCGGCATCAAAAGGATAGGACATCAACTACTCGCTCTCGCTCTTCCTCGTTTGATAATAGTTCAACAGAAAAATCCTAGTATAGATCTTATATTTATTATTTGTTTTATTTAATAAATGAATTCATTCCTTTTTTTTTTTTTTTGAAAAAAAAAAATTATGTACTCTAGATAGTTAGATCGTATAATCATATGGGGAAACTGTATGACCAACAAAAATGTGAAAGCACGGCGTTTGAATTATCTCCATATTTTTTTTTTTTTTTGAATCTTAGTTACAACACACTCCTTTCCCACATTAAATCTTTGACCTATGCCTGAATCTGATCATGACAGTTCGATTCAACGGTTTTTTAAACTGAAAGATCACAGTATTTGTGGTATTCTATTGTCTCCTATTGTATTGGGTTTTACTGTCGTTATTTACGTCCTGTCCAAAACTGCCAATGATCTTTTATTCTCTTATGCTATTGCGGTTACTACTATTATTGGTATCCTATATTTCAGCAATTCTCATCCACCTCAACAAGTCTTTAAACAACAAACCTATATATCTCTTTGGAATGATGATGATAATCAAAAGGTAAATAAGTAAAAAGATGAAGGGTCAAGTACCTTGACAAATAAGTACTGACCTTTTCTCTTTTTTTTTTTTTTTTTCTTGACTCATACTATTTTTTTTTTCTATATTGACCACGTTTCTTTATGTGTGTAATATATAGCTTGACCAAGAAGACCAATATATCAAACTTGACTTGTTTTACCCGCCTTTAACGAGAATCGTAGAACAATTATTGGAATTTTTTTATCACGATTTTGTTCAAAGCTGGTGGAATCCTTTACAATCCGGTTATGATGATGAATTCGACAAGACTATCAAGTTACGTCTGAATGCTGCTATTACTAGTGTGGAAAAGACTTTATTAAAGCAAGAACGAAACGATATTGTCATGTCAATAATGTATGGTCTTGCCAATACTCTTATTATTCATATGGTTAGTATATACATACATTCTTATATATATATATATATATTGTTCATAGCAAAAGATACAAACTAATCCCTTTTATATATATATATATATATGATAGAGAGAATGCCGGACATTCGAAACTTCAGAACTGCCAATGGAAGCTTATATCTTGGAAAATCCTCAATCACCTTTTGCACAACTTTTACCTAAAAAAGAACAACATCATCAACTTCGTGGGCTCAGCAACACCATTTTGAAACGTATTCTACCAGTGACCGATGTGAATTCTCGTGTGGTCAACAGTATGCTCAAGGAACTATTAGCCACTCATCTTTTTGGGAATATTCTAACTATATGTAGTGATCCTGATTTTATCAATGGTTGGATCGTCCAATACCTATCTGAACCTTCAACTGGAATCTCCAACAAGACTGATACTGACTCTTCTTCTTCATTGAATGAGGTGGATGGTCTACGAAGCTTAGTTGAAAAAGCAACTGAAGATGCAATGGCAGCAGAACAACAACAACAACAAGATCATAGTCAACAATCTGCTTCTGATTCTTTGAAGACTGATTCTCAACAAAAACAAAACACGACCATCAACAATGGCAACAAAAGAGACGAAATTAGCAGCGATCCGAATGATACAACTTCTTCAAATATAGCACTTCAACAATCTTCACCATCTACTCCTGAACCAAATCGAACTTATTTTTACAGGAACAATACATCATCAACGACAACTGGCAGCCCATTAAGTCCTATAGACGATAGCAAACGGCGTATGACATTATCAAAAGCAGATGAAGCCATGTTACAATACCCAATGATTTACCCTTATGGTACCGTCAGTTTTAGTGTGATGGACATATCACCTTCTCAAGATCCAACAAATGTAGACAAATCTAGATTGATGTATATCATTCAAATTGAACGACCGGCAATGCAGGAATCATCAGGTTCTGAAGGTGGTGGATACGTGATCACAAGAACATACAATGATTTTGATGTCTTCCAACAATTAATGCGGGCCAAACATGGAAAACGGGTAGCACGACTCAACTTGCGATTACCTTTGGATACGACACGATCTTGGCTTCGAAAGAAAAAACCGACAATAGGAGGAACTAGTGGAGGATCTGTCTCGATAACAAGTATGAGCAATGGTATCAACGGAACCGATGGAGAGGGCTCTATATCTCAAGGATTGGAATACTATCTGGACACAGTTGTGGGAGATGCTGAACTTGGACGTGATCCTGTCATATTGGCCTTTTTACGAAAAGAACGAGCAACGGAAAATGGTACAACACAGACAGAACATTCATTTGCAGAGGAATACAGTGATGAAGTACTCGCCTATACAACATCCCCTTCCACATCTCAACCTTCGGATACAAATCAGTCAACATTATCTATGGGAATTCGTGCGAAATCCATCTTCGGTCGATCAAGCTTTTCTAATGGCGGTGGGGGATCAGCAGCAATAACTTCATCATCATCATCATCATCTAATTCTATTCTATCTATATCAACACCAACAGATGAAGAACGTCCTTTTGATGATGTAGAAAGTACCAATAAGAAACGAATGAATGGAAATGTGACACGTGAAAACTCGATCTCAAGCATGAAAAGCAACAGTACAACAAATCAAAGTCAATCAGAGGAAGATATGGAAGAGGATGATAAAGAAAACAGAAATCATTTACTTTTACGACAACCCCCAATTGGCAATACAGAGCGATTACAACAAAAACCACTTTCAGCAATGGATACGGAATTATTGATTGAAACAACGTTTGCATTAATTGTAGAAATCTTTGACTTGACAACAGCAAACAACAAGGCGTGGATGCGACGGTCACTATTGAATGTACTACGTGAAATTGTGCGAAGATCGTATACCGAATTGATATCCAAGCAATACAATGATTATATCCAAGCATATTTATCACCAGATGCATTAGTAGGATGGATGGAATTGATCAAGGATAAATTTTGGCCCAATGGATCTTATCATTCTGACACACAACAACGAACCAAGGAAGAAAAGAAGCAAACAGAACAGCAAGCAAAGGTACTTTTGGTTCAACGTGCCATCCCTGGTGGAGTACGACAATTGATTGGTGATCAAAATTGTACCTTATCTATGGAACGTATTTGGAATCGACTACAAGATGAAGATCTTAACCGTGTCTTAGTTCTTCAAGTGCTTGAACGGGTAATAAGACCACTCTTTGGTTAAAAAGTAGTTTTATTGTTTTGTAGATAAATTTATTTTGAAAATAAAAAACCCTTTTTTTTTTTATTGACGATCGTTTTACGTCTCCATTAGTTTTATCCCAATATAGTGCTTATTAGTAGACATAGGATATATTCACCCCTTTCATTTGCGTTTCATTCTAAGTGTTTTGTTAATGGGTACTCAGGAGAAAGACAAGTCTGTGGGCTGCTAAGTTTATAAATCGGACATCGAATGAATGCATTACACACATACGCATACATACTTTTTTATATCAGATAGGAGATCGGAAATGAGAAGGCTTTAAATATAGATGAAAAAAAAAAAAAGAGGTCTGTGTGCGATACCGAAAAAAGTGATGAGATTTTGAATGGAATGATAAAATAATGATGATGATGATGACGATAATAATGAAGCTTGGCCAAAGCGCTTGGTTTGGAATTCATGTATTATGATTCGTTCATTTTATTTTTAACACGGTAGAACAAGATCCTTGATTGTACTCCCTTGTTTTCTCAAAAGAATAAACATATCCCCTTCTTTTTTTTTTATTATTATTATTCTTAGCAGTCATAGATAATAATAACAGTGGTTACTGATGATGATGTTACCAAAAAAAGAGGATTGATAATCGGTTGGGCACGGTATGAAGCTTTGATGCTCCGATGACCTGGGGATGGTAGCACTGGTAAAGAAAGAAAGATTTGGTGACACCAGCGAAAAGATCACCTGTTGCATTAACTTAATATTGGATGAACGAAAAGTTTTTTTTTTTTTTTTTTTTTTTTTGTGTGAGAAAAATCTTGTCAAAAAAAAAATGGAACAAAGGGTAGATCATATATACTTTATGAGTATAAAAAAAGTTCAAATCAAGGAGGGTAAAAATAAAAAAGAAGGATGTGACTTTGATTATATATATATATATCAATAATTGCAGAAAAAGAAAGACAATGTGCATATTGATTGCATAGTAAAAAAAAAAAAAAAAAAAAAAAAAAAAAAAAGATATTCCATTGAAAATAACACGGAGGTGCATCCGACTACTTGTTGTTGTACTAAAAACCATATCGGGAATGGTTGATTTTCTTAAGGTCTGTCTGTGGGTAGGCTAGAAGTTGTTTGTATACAATTTCAGATAAGGTATACTTTTTTCTTATGTTATTTTATCATGTGGAATATTGATGATGATGATGATGATGAAACAGGTTGCTTTGTATGGTTCTTCCGAGAGAGTTTCTTTCATTATCTCTTTTTGATCACGGGCAAATTTGTTCAACTAATATATAAAGTTTATCATTTTAAATGCCGCTGATTTTGTCCTTTTTAATATTCTTTCCCTACCTTTTTTTTTTTTTTCTTTCTTTCTTTTCCCTTTCTTTTTTTTTTTTTATATACATTATATACATATTTTCTTTCTCTTCTTCTTTGTATTATTCTTTTTTTTTTAACTTATTTTGTTACTATATATACATATTTTTCTTTTATTTATTGAACAAAAAGTAACTTGTACTTATATATACTTATATTAACATGTCAGCTACTGCAGTACGGTATGTTATGATTATATAACATATAACAAATACTTAACTTTTTTTTTAATTATTTTATTTTGATTAGTGTCGCTTTACGAGTTCGTCCTCTTACACAAAAAGAACAATATTCCAGTTGTACAGAATGCATTACTTTTATACCAAATCAACCACAAATACTGATTGGAAAAGATCATTCTTTTACATATGATTATATATTCGATCCAAAATCATCACAAAAATCTATTTATGATTCATCTGTTGTACCTCTTGTTGAAAAGTTTGTTGATGGGTAAGTCAAATTACATATATATACATAATATTGACTATCCAATGAAATATATTTTTTATTTGTTGTTGTTATTTTTTTTTTTTTTTAGGTTCAATGCCACCATTCTTGCCTATGGGTAATATATACAATAATGAATTGTTTGTTTTGATTTTTGTGAACTAACTTCTCTCCTTACTTTTCCATGTTGTATCCAGTCAAACAGGTTCAGGTACAGTAAAAAAAAAAAAAAATACTTTCATTGGTATATACAATGCATCACTAACTTGCTCCATCATTTTCCCTTTTATAGGAAAGACATTTAGTATGGGAACTGCTCTTGATGGAAATTTACATTCTGAACAACAAGGTACTTTATATCAATTCATTGACAATTCACAACTAACTTCTTTTTTTTTTTTTATACAAGGTATTGTTCCAAGGTTCATCAGTGACTTATTTGAACGAATGGAATCCAAACATCAATCATCAGATGATTATCAAGTTTATGTATCCTTCTTAGAATTATATAACGAAGAATTTGTAGACTTATTAAATACTCAAGATACTTCAAATTTTGGCAACAATCGAAGGCGTTCCCAATCTGCCGGTTCCCTTCCAAATACTGCATGTGAAATATCTATACGTGAAGACATACAAGGCAATATATATTGGACTGGTGTTCGTGAAGAACCTTGCTCAGATCCTGATCAGTTACTTTCTCTATTGGCTCGTGGTTCCCTTTGTCGTACTACTGGTTCTACCGATATGAACGCTGTATCATCCCGCTCGCATGCTATCTTTTCTGTCATACTCAAACAACAATTGGATGATGATGATCAACCTGACCAACAAGTTCCCTCCAAAAAAACTATCATTAGCAAATTTCACTTTGTCGATTTGGCTGGATCTGAAAGGGTAAAACAAGAATCAAAAAAAAAAAAAAAATCCCCTGAATACTGACACATTCTCCTTTTTTTTTTTTAATAGTTGAAACGAACTAATGCTCAAGGTGACCGTGCACGTGAAGGTATTGCTATCAATTCTGGTTTACTTGCCCTTGGTAATGTCATCAGTGCACTCGGTGATGAATCTAGAAAATCTGCTCACGTGCCTTACCGTGATTCCAAATTGACTCGATTATTACAAGATTCCCTTGGTGGCAACTCTCAAACATTGATGATGGCTTGTGTCTCTCCTTCGGACTCTAATTTTCCTGAAACTCTTAGTACTCTCAAATATGCCAATCGTGCTCGCAATATCAAAAATAAGGTCTCTATTAATCAAGAATTTGCTGGTACATCCGTAGAGGTCAATCAACTTCGATCATTGGTGGGTCGACTTCGAATGGAACTCAATAATCTACGTAGTGGAAATATGGGTGGTATGAATTCTACATCTACTGGTACTGCTGATATTGGTGCCGTCCGTGCCTTACGTGATGAAGTCAATCGATTACGAGGTCGTATCCAACAAGTGTCTGATGAACTACGTGATACTGCTACCCAAAGGGATACTCTTTTGATTGAACGTGATTTAGGTCAATGGTCATCCAAGGATTGGCCTCGCCTCTGGGAAGAACTTGAACAACTTAGCAACAATCATCAAGATACCAACAAACAATCATCAATACCTTCTTCCATGGAAAAAAAGATGGATTCCTCTTTTGGTGATCATGCTAATCCTACAGCTGCAGTCCAGATGGTTGTTCAATATCAAAGAACCATTCAACAACTTCGCGATGAATTAAGTGATACACAAGATCGATTGGCATTTTTCGAATCAACTCAAGCTCCTATGATGCAAGCAATGGCTATGGCTTCTAACTTGACTCCTTCTGCCTCCCTCTTCTCCAATAATCAAAAACAAAATGGTCGTCAATCACCTTCCGCCATCCATCGTCTAGCACCACAAAAACAATCCTCTTATCGAAGTCGACGTGGAACAGCAAGACGACGTGTGGTACGTCACAGTGGTAGTGCTTCCAATCGTTCTCGTCGCTCAAAGGTACCTGCAACTCTCCATAGACGAGCATCCCCTAATCCTGAAAGCTTCAAAAGTGTAGTACAACAACAACAACAAAAAAAGACAGCTGGATCTGGTGATTCAACCACTCGGTTTCAAGCTCCATTACAACCCACCACTCTGGGTTTTGAAGATGACAATGAAGATATCGAACAATGGCTCAAGGATACCATTGGACCTCTCAGTAATGATACTACCTCCGATATACGTACTGAAGTTCGTGATTCCATTCAAAAAGCAAGATCCGAAATTGAAAAAGGCCTTAAGGTGCTGGAAGATATCAAGGTATACTATATTTAATATACTAAAAAAAAACCATTGTCAAATACACTGAATTTTTTTTTTTTTTTTTGTCTTTATAGCCACGTGAAAATGCTCAATTTGATTGCGATATCTTGAATGATGATGAATTATTTGAAAGATTGAAATCTGATGAAAGTAATCTTTACCTAGGTGATCTTGAACAAGAACTTACTGAAGGAATGGTATGTTGATTGTTCAAAAACAAACTTGTTTCCTTTTTTAAACTGACCATCACACTCTTTTTTTTTTTTTTTTTTTTTTAGTGGAATGATCAAAACTCAAGTTCTCAACTAACCAGTTCTTCAAATGATGATGATCTCAGTATTCGCCATAGCCGTTTATCATCTGTGGAAACTACCCTTAGTTCTGATAGTGCTGTGGATGACAAGGAAATGGAATCATTCTCCATCGACAACCCTCAGTTTGCCCGTATGATGGATCAAATTCAAGCAGATATTCGTGTTAAAGAAGAATTGGTGACTCAACTAGAAAAAAGCGAAGTCGAGTATGGTCAATTACGAAAACGATTCCAGACGAAGTTATATTCATTACATGAGGAAATCATCCATCTCAAACGTGAACGTGATTCGACATATGCAACATTACAACAGCAATTACAACAACAGCAACATCAACTTCAGCAACAAAATCGACGGTCAAGTCTTGGTGGCGCCAATAATAATAATAATAACAATGCTAGGGAACATCATCAACTCCATGAAGTTCGGCATGCTTATGAAGTCAAGATGAAGAATCTTTTGAATCAACTATCTGATCTTCGTCGAAAATATTCTCAAACCTCCAGTGCTATCCAATCCTCTCGAAATCAAAATGAAAGCATGCTCCGTGCTCTTCGTGTCAATGTGGAAAGTCTCAAGTTAGAAAAGCGACGGATGGTGAAACGAATGAAAGATGAAGCTGAACGTGTCAAAGAACAAATGATGGCCCATGAACGAGAAATTCAACAGCTTCGACGAAAGCAAACTCGTCATAATGAATGCAAGCATCGACTAGAACGTGAAACCAAGCAACTACAAAGACTTCTCCAAAAGCGTACTGATGAATCAACTGTCACCAACGAACGTCTCAAGCAGTTGGTCTACATCCTGAAGAAAGCTGTATGTGAAGGTGGTATTCTTGACGAAAAATTGATCACCAAGTGCTCTAGTTTTTTGAACCTTGGACATTTGGCAACATCCTCTTTATCACGACAACAACAACGACGATCAGGTTCAAATAATAAAAAGAAATCAAGCTACAGTAAGATTCCTTTGGAAGTACGTGCATCAAAGAAAAAACATCTTTTAGATCAAGCTCTTTTACAATTCATTCAAGGAAAGCAAGCAATTTTGGAAATGAAGCAACTGATGGTGAAACGAGATGCCCTTGCTGGTGAAAAATCTGAAATCATGTTAGAACGTGCTGATCTTCTTCAAGGAAATACTGAAGCGACGGAAACTTTAGATATTGCTGTACAACAATGCATGGATGAACGATTGGAAACGATTGATGCTGAAATCAATTATATCAACGCTCGCATTTATGGTCTACAAAATGATGCTGCCCATGGTTTACTCCAATATGATGATCCAGCTCATGGTGCTGATGCCGACGAAGATGATGATATGATGATGGCCTTGGAAGAACAATCAATGACAAGTAGTTTGGCTCAACGAATTGAAAAGCGAGTGACTTTTGCTGATGAAGTCATGGGACATACAACAACAACAACAACAACGAATGGCAAAAACTCAAAGACACAACAAGTAGACAACAATAGTGGTTGGCAAGATATTGATCAATTGGAAGAAAAATATTCTCTTCCTCCTGGCACCGATCCTGATACTGCACATGATATGGCTGTTCAACTCTTACAATCCTTAACTAGTGATGAATCCAACAAGATCATGGAAGCTTTGATTGATGATGTTGTATCCCTCCGGTTAGGTGAATATGGTCGACAAACAACAGTAAGGCAATTGGAAAAAACGGTACAAGATCTACGATGTACTCTATTTGTCATGCGAAAAGCTGCTAACACTAGTACGGCTGAAAATGAAAAGAAAATTCGAAAATTGGAACAAGTACGACGTCTCTCTGTATCAAGTTTAGGTGATGGTTCTGTTTCATCCGCCTCATCGGTAATCTTACCTCCAAGACGCATTAGTGTGACCGATCATCATTCGAATAGTGATGATAACGACTCAGCTATCGACCTACGTGTAGAAGATCAGCATTCTGGAACCATATTTGACAAGATTTACAATGATGGTATTCGTGGAGCCATTATGTCGCCTACTTGGAATGAATATCATAGTCGAGAAGGGAAAGATGATGATGACCTCAATTTGGAAACCACGAATCATCAACGCCACAACTCTAATGATAGTATGGACAGCCCTATATTGAAACCTACCGCAACAAGTACTACAACTACCACTACAACAACCAGCGCATCCAATACAGCCGATGGATCAAGCACAGCAGGACCTATGAGACCTTCGGTATCACCATTAACAAAACGACGTGATTCAATGTCATCACCTGAACAATTCCTCCAACAAATGCTGCAGACCAACATGATCAACAACAACAATGTAAAAGACAACACCCCACGTGGACCTGCCGAATTTGTACGTTATCACGCTGAACGTGAATCATCTACTTCGTCCATAAATAGTCGTCATCTACGCCGATCATCACTTCAATCTGACACGTTATCATGGTCATCACATGGTTCATCCCAACATCATCATCCTCCTCCTCCTCCTCAACAGCCACAACATTATCCTACTCCTCTTCAGTCCTATTTTCCTCAACAACAATCATTACAACAACAAACCCCAACTATGGCTTCATCCATCGCCAATCGACGTCGAGCTCATTCTTTACAACTGAATCAATATCCAACCAAAACTGGTAGAAGACGATCTTTATTGCGTGAATTGACTCTTGGTGTGAATATTCGTGAAGCTAACAGCCATGGTCCATCATCAGCAGATGTGATGACTGGTGGATGTCATCAACCATCACCATTGCAACAGCAGTTCCGGTTTTCTACAACCCCTGAAGAACAACAACGTCAACAACAACATCTACAACAACAGCAACAGCAACAACAATCACTTATTCCTGTACCAACTACTCAATTTTCCATACAACAACAATATCAACAACGACCTGCTTCTGCTTTTGCTATGGCACCAAGAAACAAATATCATCATGTATTGGAAGCACAAAAACCTCGATCTCAGACACCTACTGTAGGTGGTGGTATTTTTGATAGGCTGGCATCAACGCATACTCGAGCTTCACAAGCCAAACGATCCCCGTCTGTAACTGGTTATCGACACTCTTCTGGTAGTTTTGAAGAAATTCAACGACGTTGGGAATATGAACAATCTGTACAATAGGTAGTGATAGGAAAATTTTATAGTTTAGTCTTTCTTTTTTTTTTTTTTGTTTATTTACATTCTATACATTTATATTCTTTTGAAATAAAGTCCATCCTTCCATCATATCATCTATAATTTTATTTATGATTAGGTTAAAACAATCATAGGCGGCGACTTAATCCACAGCATGGAGAGATTGCGAGGATCAATCCAAGAAAAGAACTGCATGAATCTAGAGCATTTTTTCTTTCAAGTTCATAAATCAGCCAATGATACAAAGCGTTTTTATTTGAACATCATGTCAAGACGCATACTCAAGAACAAAATCTAGTGAATAAAGGAAAAAAAAATTGAAAACTAATACAAAATGAATAGAAAATAGTTCATTCTCTTCCATATTTATTTATTTTTTCTTTTTTTTTTAAAAAAAAAAGTCAGGACAAACAGATCATCAAAAAAGGAAAATAAAAAAAAAAGGCCCGTAGTCGTGGACTTCTCGACCAAATAAGGGGTCCATGGTTTCAATGAAACTCATCCAAAAAAAAAAGACGGCGAAAAAAAAAAAGTGAAACCTTCTCAGTTCAAAAAAGTTTGCCTTTTTCGTCTACTTTTCCTTTTGGTTATTTTTCATACAAACCTTAGTCATTCAACTTTTATCTTATTTAGGGTGATTTCTAATATCTTATATAGAAGATGAGAATGATAAGATGATCCATCAATGATAAATAATAGTAATGATGATATTGATGATTATAAAAAAAAAAAAAGGATGATCATAATGATGCATTATAAGGACAATGATAATAAAGGTTCGATGATAGGATTCCTTTTTGATGGATGTTTTTTCCCATGTTCCTCCACACGTGCCTGTATTTCACTTAAAAACAATCGAATACGGTTTGCTGGATTCAAGGTCGCATGGAAGTTTTTCAATATCCGATTGACATTTTCTTGCCTTGTCATTGTCTCTGTTCTAAAGAATTGTGTTTTGTGAGGTAATGCTCTCGTCACCTGCAAATATATATATTTTTCTCACAAATGATATTTTATTTCTTTCTTGATTATTTATCTTTCTTTATAGGATGATTCTTTTTTTTAAAAAAAAAAAGTAGAAATGATTATTTAAAAGAGTTGCATGCAAGTTGTAAGGGAAAAAAAAAAAAGGTAAAATAGACTAGTCTATCAATATGTAAAGTTTCTTCAAAGCAAGTGCTGGTCTCACCCCTGGGTTTGAAATTTTCTGTGTCACTAAGGAGGGGGGAAATTTATTTGGGCCCTGATGTCTCACCTAGAAGCTGTATATGAATTAGATCAATGAGACCCACCCTGTTTTTTTTTATTTTAGACCTTTTCTTCCCATTCTGTTTCTCTTTTTTTTTTTTTGTCTTTTCTTTTTCTTTTTCTTTTTTTGTTTTATTATTTTATTTTATTAAATCATCCACTTTATATTATATATTATATTAAATGCCTCCTAGAAAGAAATCAGTAGGACGACGATCTGAACCAAAATTATTTCGTTGTACAGGGTTTGGTGATTGTGATATGGTTTTTACAAGAAGTGAACATTTGGCTCGTCATGCTAGAAAACACACTGGTGAAGTAAGTTTTTTTTTTTTTTAAAAAAAAAAATCATCTACTTTTAAGAAACTTGCTCTTTTATTTATTTATTTCTTTTTTTTTTTTTTTGATCATGATCACTATAGAAACCGTTCAAATGTGTTGTACCAGGATGTGATAGAATGTTCAGTCGATTCGACAATATGATGCAGCATACTCAAACTCACAATCGAAGCAATAAAAAGAAATCATCCAAAGCTGGTGGTGTAGAAGATGGAAGGCATCGACGTAATTCAGCATCAGTGATCCATTTGAATCGGAGGGAAGACGAATATGGAACAGATTATGAAGAATATAAAAGGAATCGATCTCACAGCATTCAACATACATCATCACCATTAACTTCATCTGTACAACAACCAATGTATCAAACAAATTATCCTCCTCCTCCACAGTGGCAACCACGTTCACCTTCACCAGGGTATAATCAATCCATGATCGAAAGTCGTACGTTACCTCCTCCTCGAAGAATGTCATTCAGTCAATCATTTTATCCACCACCTTTATCCAAGTCACCTTCTTTACCTGATTCACCTGAAGAACCCATGTCTGCTACTTTCCGATCATCACCATATTATACAATGCCACCTACAACGCCTGGCATTTTTGACTATCCAACGCGCCGTCCATCTTACCGTCGTGGCTCTTTACAATCCGTGTCTACCACCACATCTACATCATCCACTTCATCGGCTTCATCAGATGCTGCGGCTGCTGCTGCAGTTCTTACTTGTCGTTCATCTGCTGCTGAAACTCCTGGTCGACGTCGTCGTCTTTCCGCGGCTGATTTACAAGCACCCATCTATAGTCTCCAAGAGGAAGAACAAGAAGTCCATCCTTTGACCAAAAGTCCACCGGCGGTAGTAGATATTACATCAGATGAATATGAAGCGTTACAAGGTTTTGGTAAATTCTCACAACAACAAGTCTTACCGGCCATCCAACCCAATCAAAATAATACTGATTCTCCAAGGTTATCTGCTCAAGTGGCTGCTTTTCGTCAAAAACGTATGCCTGTACAAGAATCCTTCCAACGACCGGTGAAAAATAATGCCATGTGAAAAATTTAATTTATTTATCTAGTTTTGTGTATATTTCCCCTCCCCTTAATCTATTATGTTTGTAATAAAAAATAAAAAAAAAAGAATAATAAATGACAAGTTAAAAAAAAATTTTTTTATTGTGATGACGATATATAAATGGATTACACTATCACTATATAAAAAATCCATATACTTCTCGCTTTTCAGTTGTCATTCCTTTGTTGCCATATCGGTTGCTGATGTCAGTTGCCTAGATTGTTGTAGTTTGTGATAGCGTAACTGAATATCACAGAAGGAATAGTCAAACATAGATATCTAACATACGGAGGGAAAAAAAAAAAAAAAGAACACAAGTATTCAGTTGTGTTGCATTTGAATTACTTTATATTTCTTTTTTTTTATTCAACCATCTATCTTTACTAGTACATCGAAGTCCAATAATGATATCTTTTGTTTTTTTTTCCAATCAGTAGTCCAATGTGTGACAGGATAGTGTGACCTATTGAACATATACACCCAAAGTTTAAAACAAAAAGTGAGAAAGAAAATCAGGCAAAAAAAGGAAAAAAAAAGGGCAACTTTTAAAAAAATCTGAATAGACTTAACTCACGAAAGCCAATCAAAAGAGGATGACGATGATAAATTTTATATATAAATAACCAATATATTTATGTCCTTGATCATTTATATTGTATACTCAAAAGTAATAGAATCATCCCGCAATTTATATGAATAGAACAAAAGGAAAACTGACGTTGTTTGAATCTCGGTGTGGTCGGCTTAACTTTTCCCGAGCAGAAAAAAAAAAGAAAAGAAGAGACAGGCAAGGGTGTATTTTTCCCTTTTTCTTTCCTTTTTCTTCTTTTTCTTTTTTGGAACCATTACTCATTTTCCCTCTTTCCTTCTTTTTTTCTTTTCCATCTTCCTACCATTATGACTTCATCAAAGTCACAGACATGTTGTCGATTCATTCCACTTAGTACTGGTAAGTGAAAATGATGTTATTGGTGGATAGTAAAAGAAGAAGGAAAAAAAAAGCTTAATTCTGTCTTTTTCTATATATACAATAGGTGTACTTATTATCACTATCTTCGGTATCGTAAGTGAATTCATTTTTTTTTTCCTTTATTTGAAGTATTTAATCAATTGTTCCCTCTTTTTTTTTTTTCTATGTTTTAGCTCAACAAATTATCTGGTTTTTATGGAATTATATCGTTCGATTTCTCGGATCCTGTAGCATTTGCTGTTTATATCTATTCTTTATTGGCAGTCTTGATTTGTGCTTATGGTCTTTATGGTTTACATACGGTAAATGAAATATATATATATATATATATATATATATAGAAATCATCCTCATTTATTCTCTTTTTTTTTTTCCTTTATATTGGTTTAGATGAACATTGATATAGTGCGTTGGTATACGATATTCTATTGGGTGGATTGTTTTATCAGTACAGCAACTACGATATGGTTTGCCACCAAATGGTATGCGTTTACCGACCATAGTTTACCTGAATTAGCCGATAATCCTATCAAACAGAAAGAACATGATGATGTATTCAGAATGGAAAGCATTGTCAGCATATGCTTATTGGTTGTACTACGATTGATCCATGTAAGTGATACCCAAAAAAGAAAAAGGCTAACTCACCCACACATTCTCTTTTTTTTTATCTCTCTTTATATAGTTTTACTTCGCCATTGTCATTACTAGTTATTATCGTTCTATGGGTCATCGTTATTCTAAGTTATCCATTGATCGTGATTTCGAATAGTTGTTTTCTTTTTTTTTTTAATATAGAATATTTAGTTTTTATTCATAGTATACCATTCTCGCCTTACAAAATACATCTTAATAAAATACATAATATACACCTGGATTCATTTCTAGAATAAATTTTTGATGTAGTAACACAAACCATCATGTGATTCTCCGCATGAGATGCTTTCAAGCGAAAAAAGAAAAAAAAAAGAAAAAAAACCATTCTATAAAGTATAGATGAGATACTGTAGATGAAAAGGGTAACAACAGTTCCCAAAAGTGATTTAGATGATGATAACTTTATCTGATTGAATATATTGTAGAAAAAAGTCGATGATAGAATATTTATTGATCAGGTACAAGTCTAACACCATTGATAAATGGGTATTTGGTCCACGTTGATAGTAAAAATGAATGGGGCTATGAACAGATTCCCTTTTTAAGCCACAGCCATCAAATCAGAGTGGGTAAAGGTGCCCTGATGCTACGTAGTGAGATTTAAAAAACAGATGGAAAGATGAAAATTTTTTTCCTTGGCCAATCAAGTTTACCCAATGGAAAAATTTATAAAGCGGCGCGTCCTTTTTTATTTTATTTTTTTCTTTACTCTTTTCTTTTTTTTCAAAACAACACATTTATATACATCATCATGTCTTACAAGGTTGCTGATATCTCTCTCGCTGCTTTCGGTCGTAAGGAAATCGAAATTGCGTAAGTAGGATTACAAAAAAGAAAAAAATATGTTCGAGGGAAAACTTTTTGTGTTTATGACAATTATAATATGTACCTGTCAAACAAAAGGGTTCTTGGTTTTTTTTTTTTTTTATACTAAATATTTCTTTATTATCATCTAGTGAATCCGAAATGCCTGGTTTGATGGCTATCCGTGAAAAGTATGGTCCTAGCCAACCTTTGAAGGGTGCTCGTATTGCTGGATGTTTGCACATGACCATCCAAACTGCTGTTTTGATTGAAACTCTTACTGCTCTTGGTGCTGAAGTCACTTGGTCTTCTTGCAACATGTAAGTTCATCTTGAAATTATGTTTTGGATCAAATAACTAAAAAAAAAAAATTCATTCTCTTATAGTTTCTCTACTCAAGATCATGCTGCTGCTGCTATTGCTGCCACTGGTGTTCCTGTTTATGCCTGGAAGGGTGAAACTGATGAAGGTATGTAATAGAGATGAGGATTAAATAATGAGATTTTTTTTTTATTGATGCTTAATTATTTTATTCTAATTAGAATTCGTCTGGTGTATCAAGCAAACCTTGTTCTTCCCTGATGGAAAGCCTTTGAACATGATTTTGGATGATGGTGGTGACTTGACCAACATTGTTCACGAAGAATACCCCGAATTGCTTGCTGGTATCAAGGGTCTCTCTGAAGAAACTACTACTGGTGTCCACAATTTGTACAAGATGATGAAGAATGGTACCTTGAAGTTGCCCTCTATCAATGTCAATGACTCTGTTACCAAGTCCAAGTTCGATAACCTTTACGGTTGCCGTGAATCCCTTGTTGATGGTATCAAGCGTGCTACTGATGTCATGATTGCCGGTAAGGTTTCCGTTGTCGCTGGTTACGGTGATGTCGGTAAGGGTTGTGCTGCTGCTCTCCGTGCTTTCGGTTCTCGTGTTCTTGTCACTGAAGTGGATCCCATCAACGCTCTCCAAGCTGCTATGGAAGGTTATGAAGTCACCACTATGGAAGAAGCCGTCAAGGAAGGTCAAATCTATGTCACCACCACTGGTTGTCGTGATATTATCACCGGTGCTCACTTTGAACAAATGAAGGATGATGCTATTGTGTGCAACATTGGTCATTTTGATATTGAAATCGATGTCGCTTGGATCAAGAACAACGCTGCCTCTGTTGTCAACATCAAGCCTCAAGTGGATCGTTTCCTTTTGAAGAATGGTCGTCACATTATCTTGCTTGCCGAAGGTCGTCTTGTCAACTTGGGTTGTGCTACTGGTCATCCTTCTTTCGTCATGTCCAACTCTTTCTCTAACCAAGTTTTGGCCCAAATTGATTTGTGGACTAATCCCGATAAGTGGACTGTTGGTGTTCATGTCTTGCCCAAGAAGTTGGATGAAGAAGTTGCCCGTGCTCACTTGGGTAAACTCGATGTCAAGCTCACTGAATTGTCTGCCGTCCAATCCGAGTACTTGTCTATCCCTGTTGAAGGTCCTTACAAGCCTGATCACTACCGTTACTAAATTTGGTCAGATCTTTTGATTCAAATCTTTCCATTCCTCTTTTTTTTTTTTTTGTAATATAGTAATCTTCATCTTTTGATATTTTGGATTTTTTTTTTTTTGTATCGACTTTTATGTTTCCCTCATACTATTTTATTTTATTTTATTTATCTTATCCCATCCCTCTCTCTTCTCTCCTCTTTTAGTATATCACTTCATTCTCTCTGTTTTTTTTTTTTTTTTTACTCCACATTTTTTCTTTTTTGAAAAGTGGGAATTTTCCTCCTTTTGTTATTCAAATTTATTTAATTCTATACGATGTTTCAACATGTTGTTTAGAGCAAAAAAGGAAAAGAAACAAATGTGTGTGTATATATTGGGAATGATGACTCTTTTTGATGAGAGTTGATACTAGAATACAAAACAAATGGATATTTTTACATTGAATATAAAACAATAAAAAAAACAAATCATTTCAACATGTACTCTCTTATTTTCTCTTTTTGAATGCTTTTTTTTTTAACATGTGTGAAAGTGAATCAATAAATATTTCTTTTATGAAATAGCAGTAATGAAAAGGTAGAAAAAAAACAAGTCTATTCAGGTCAACCTCCTGTTCTATTGTATGATAGTCAGAAAAAAAAAAAAAAAAAAAGAACCAAGTGTTTCTTAGAAGGATGGGAGTTCATATTACATATATGTGCGAACGTCTGAAGCCTCCTTTTTTTTTTAAAAAAAAATCAAAGGTTAGGACCCTTTTGCTCTTACTGCCTTACACCGTATTTAGTATAAAAAGATATGTGATATGAATCATCACCTACCTCGCATGAAAAGAATAAAAAAAGAAAAAGATCGATTGTTGTATTACTTTTTTTTTTTTATTAAACACTAAAACAGAAGTAATAGATTTAACATTCCTTTGAGGATATTAAAATGGTCAAAAAGATTATATTAGATAAAATCATCCCGCAAAGTTGAAATCAGTTATAATTCATTTTTATTTCCCATCATTGCCTCTTTTGGTCATCACCAGAAAAAAGAAGGTGAGGGAGTCATCTTACATAATGAGTATCATCTAAATTTCCTTTGTTATTTTATTATCATCATCTTCGTCAAGAACGACGCTGATCTCCCTCTCTTTATGGTAGTTAAACAGGAGATACCAATATATTTTAGGAGTTCTGTAAAAAAAAAAAAAAAAAAGACCACAGATTTATATCAACAAAGGAGAATTGAACCTTTTTTTCTCCCTTCCTAATGGATTACCCCTGAAACTGTTTATTAGGTGTGGATGATACAAGTTATGAGAGTATATGAGTGTTTTCTTTAGTAGCTCTAATCGCTGATCAATAAACACACTCATCAGTTTATATATTACTGTTGCCCAAATCCACATGTGGATGTTCTCCTAAGATTTTTTTTTAGATTCATTTATAAAAAAAAAAAAAATACAATAAAGATAATATAATCCTTTTTCTTTTTTTTCTTTCTTTTTCTTTCTTTTTCTTATTTTATACCATTATTCATTTCTTGAAATACACCAAGGTGTAACCTTTTTTTTCCACCCAATACATTCCTTTATATTTTTTTTTTTTTTTTTTTTTACAACCCAATACATTCCTTTTACCGTATTCCAATATACATTTTCCAATTCATCTTTTATTTTGTAAATCAAAACAATGAAGGTAAACTATAAACTATACTATCTATATAATCCTAATCCGATTTCATTCAGTCATCATATCTAGGCATTACTACCATATGTCTTCTTTTCGTTACATCAGTTGTTGCTGAGATGGATTATTTTTTGTCACCCGGTCCAAATGCTTCATACAAAGTTGGTGATACTATTTCGTTTCTAGTCGAAGATATGCCTGACGAAGATGATCAAAATGTTGTGGCTAGACTTCATAAAAAAGCAGATGGAAGGTTAGTTGATTTCTCCCTTTTTTTTTTTTTTTTTTTTGTCATTTTCCTCCTTTTTTTTCGTTCCCTAAACAAACTTTTTTTTTTGTTGTTGTTATTTACCTATAGTGTCGTCAAAGATATCCAAACATGGAGTAGTCAAAATGTCGATGAAAGTGGTGAAGAATTCCCATTCGATTGGTTGGTGGATGTAACTGAAGCTGGTGAATATTATGTTGAGATCAGTGTTGGTAACAATATAGATGACATCACACAAAGTTATCCATTCACCATTGAATCTGATGATGAAGCCAGTAATACTGAAGACAAAAACGCTGATGATACCGGTTCCGAACAAGCACCTAGTGAAGAATCATACCAGGAAAAACCAAATAAGCCTGAAGAGGAAGAGCCTACAGAAAAGCCTGAATCATCAGAAAAGCCTGAATCATCAGAAAAGCCTGAATCATCATCATCTAACGACAAAGCAGACAAAAACAAAAAAAAGAAGTTGAGTCTTCACAACACACATTCCAAAGTTGCCCATATTTCATCCCATAATGATATCGACACTGTATCCGAACCATCATCCGCACCCAAAGTTCCCCAACAGGCATATTCTGAAAAGAAATTATCTGATGATGACACCGCTAACAAGAAGTTACCTGCTGTTGATACCGTGAAAGCCGTAGCTGATTCTGTGACATCCAAATTGCCGCTTGGTCAACAAAAAGAAGAAGAAGAACCTTTGATGCCAGAAACAAGTTCATCTGCCAATATGAAAGAATTGATGGCTGCTGATAATATCGCCGTTGAAGAAGAAAAGAAATGGATTGCCCAACAACAACAACAACAACAAAAGGACTCCGTCAAACCATCCAAGGCTGCTGATACACCATCTAAAGCCAAGGTTGCCGATAAACCATCCAAAGCCAAGGTTGCTGATAAACCATCCAAAGCCAAGGTTGCTGATACATCTGCCAAACAAAAGAGTGTCACTAATGACAAAAAAAAAGAATCAGCACCTACTACCAAACATCAAAAAACCGTCAAATTACCTAGTAGCAAAACAGTAGCTGATGATTGGAAATCCAAGGCAAAAGAATACAAAGATAAGATCAAAGCCCAAGCCAAGTCGGTAGTCGATGATACAAAGAAGCAACAACAACAGGAAATCGAACGTCAAAAACTGAGCTTGCAAGAACAAGAAGCATTGGATGATAAGGCGACTAAAAGTATCAAGGCTAGTCAAACTAAGAATGCTGAATCATCTGTCAAGTCCAAGAAAGTCACCAAGCAAAAACGTGAAGCCTATCGACAAGTATTAAGAAACCGTGCCAAGTTTGCTAAACCAGGTCTACAATAGAGTTAGTGAATTTTGTTAGTTTCCTTTTTTTTTTTTTCTGTTTCTCTGTGTGTTTGTTTCTATTTGTTTGTTTGATAGATAATCTTCTTATACTATTTATTCCCATTCCAATCCTTTCTTTTTTTTTTATTATTATTTTATTTTACTTACCTAGTATTATATGAATACCACTTTTCTCTTTTTTTGGCTCTTCATTCTTCAATACAAGAACTAAAAAAAAAGTCAGGATCTTGATAAACACGTGTGTTTTTCATCTTGTTTCTTGATCAATAAACTATTTATAAAATTAATTTTTTTAATCATATAAGAATGAATAATTTTTCATTTGTGTTTACTTACCATGGAGAAGGAAGTATAAAGAAAATAGAAAGAAAAGAAAAAAAATAAATTCAATTCTAAAGAAAAAGGTCCATCGGTATTTTAATCCAATTTTGGACGCAAAGATCAGTGAATACTTTTGTCTTTATGCCTATATAATTAGTATACTGTATTAATCTGTTGAAGGTCAGAAGGGTAAACCAGGAGGACTCCGCTTAATCCCATGAATAAAAAATAGAAGAGAAAAAAAAAATACAAATTTTCCCCTTCAACATTCTCTTCTTTTTTTTTTTTTTTCTTTTTCTTTTTTTTTTTATTTTGACATCATACCATAATTATGATAATCAAACGATTACTTGGACTATATCAAAAGAGTTATGATCGACGACCACTTTTGACGTTATGTTGCACCAACGGTACTCTTGGCATCATAGGTGACGGCTTGGCTCAACGGATTAATTATAAAGATAGCAAGACGCATACTGCCATTCATAATCAATTGCCGCCCAATTTGCAAAATGATGATCTCCCACCACCATCTCCTTCTTTTCACTTGGATTTTGCTCGTAATGCTCGATTTGCTCTTTATAATTTTTCTGTGGCTCCTTTGGCAGGTTCTTGGTATATGTTTCTAGATCGTTTCTTTCCTCTTCCTAATACTACTTCAGTGACTCAACAAAAATCGATCAAACAATCAGCTGGTTTGATAGCACTCAAACGCATGGTAAAATATATATAATTAGTTGTTTTCCTTTTTTTTTATTTTATTTTTTTATTTTTATTTTTATATATAGGCAATGGATCAATCATTATTTGCACCGGCAGGATTAATCTTATTTTTTACTACTATGGGTATAGCAGAAACAGGGACATTAGAAGGAGCCAAAGATAAACTCAAGGATGCATTCTTACCAGCATTGATCACCAATTATAAAATATGGCCACTGGTACAATGGATTAACTTCAATTTCATGCCCCTTCCTTTCCGTTTACCTTTTGTCAGTAGTCTTGGTATTCTATGGAACATCTATCTCAGTTGGCTTAATAATGCTTCCAAACATCATCAAGAAGAAATCCATCACCCTCATCATCATGTTGATTCTTCATAATAGGTACCTATTTTTAGTATTAGATATAGAATATATAGATGTCTTTGATTTTGAAATAAAATTAAAAAAAAAAATTGTAACACATAGTTTTGATATGGATGATTCATCCCAACCGCATGAATCGGAGCTTCTTTTTATCTCTCTCTACCTATCATTCCTTTTTACTTGATTTCAAAATAAACCACTTACAATCAATTATCGTTATTACTACTAGAAAAGCTTGACCTCACATGACGATGATGATGACAACAAAGAAAAAAAATTCACTTGTCAAAAAAAAATACGAGTAAAAAAAAAAAAAAAAAAAAAGATATAGTTCATCTAACTTTATGGATTCTTTGTGTGTGGGAATATTTGTAAAATAAAGATGCAAGAATTATGTCAAAATGGGAAACCCAATCCAGTGTAAAGGGTTTTGGGTTGCACCAACCCACGTTCTGGGGGGAGAACTAAAAAAAAAAAAAAAAAATATTCTATTTGAGCCACCGATTGCCGTCATGATTGCCTAGAACCTAATACTCAGCAAAACAAAACAAAAAAAAACACTTTTGATAAGGATGATTGTATTATTTTATTTTAATGAATGATGATGAGTGATAAAAGTACTACATAGATAATAAAAACTAATTAACAAACTAAACAACTAGATATCATCATGAAGATAAAGCTTCATTAAACCATTGATCTAATCTATTATAGCAATGGCACCGTCGTAATCCGCCTCCATTTGATTGACTTGTTTCTTTTTGTTGTAATAAATTGGAGAGAAGGGAGTTCTTTTTGCCATTAACAAAGGTATCATTATCTTGTTCTTCCTCCAGTGATGGATCAGATGATACACTACTTGAATAACAAGATGAATCCATATCATCGTCATATAGAGAGCTGACTTCATCATCCTCATGATCGATATAAAACTTGGATCGTTTGATCATGCATGTTGACGTTGAAGTAGGAGGTTCTGGTAATGATTTGGGAGATGTCACTTTACAAGTATCGATGATATCATGCTGTTGAGAGAAAGAAGGTAATGAGCGCGTTCGAGTTAATGTTGAACCGTTGGTATAATCATTATCAATGTTGGTATAAGGTTGTTGTTGTTCTGTTGATGATGATAAGATAATGGCGGTCTCTGTATCCAATCTTTTCCGAATCATGACTTCCCGATACCATAATCGCCAAGACATATTTTCAAGTCGAAATCCATCACGTAAATTTCTTTTACATTTGGTAAAGGCTATCATCGTTCATGAAATAAATAAAAATAAAAATAAAAAAAATAAAAAATAAAAAATAAAAAAAAAAAAGAGGGAAAATGAGTTTTTATATATGTTATTGTTTATTGTTTTTTGTTTATTATTATTATTTTATTTTGTACATACCTGCCCATAACGATGACAATTGATCGGTGTTTTTACAAGAAAAGATATTATTCTTTTCATGTAATCCCATAAAAAACAATTGCATGTCAATAACAGAGCTAGACATGGTGAAAGAAGGAATTAAAACAAGAAAAAAAAAAAGAAAGAAAGAAACAAGGAAGGTAAGAAAAAGAAGTTCCCCTTTTTTTTTTCTATTTCTACATCCGCCGAAAAACATTGGGGTGCCCCAAAAAAGGGCTTTTTTTTTTTTTTTTGCTACTACTTGACCACTCATCCGTCTCTTTTAATAATTGACTTGATCATCATTTGATTAAATATATAAAGATAGTTTTTTATTGAATAATAATAAAAATGACATATAATTCTAAAATCAAAATACATACGACTGTTATAACTATACTAGGTAATAACATGACGTTCCATTTCGCAAATTGAAAGTATCCTAAATTCAAGATACCTTTGGTTCTCAATATATGTTCAAACCTATAGGAATATAGATATATATATATATATATATATAAAATAATTGACTCAGTGATTATTTTTTTTTTCAACCCTCTGTCCCTCTTTTCATCATTTGTCATAACATCATCATAACCAATAAAATATCAAACTTACATGATACCAGCTAAACTTCCAACTAACGTCAAACATGCGCCAAGATTACTACCAGCAATCAATCCAAAAAGTATTGCATTCTTCACAATAGGGGACTGTTCCATCTGATTTGTAAATTGTTCCTGTTCAATGATCCGTGTCAATAAAATCGTCGCAGGTAGATTGTTGAGAAGTTGACATAAAATAACGGTCACTATCATCATTCCCACCACCGCCACCATGTAATGTTTGGTCAAGCCCACCAATAATCCGGCAAATGTTCCGGTCCAGCCAACTTGAGATAAAATTTCAACAAGAACAAACATGCCCAAACTGAACGGAAGGATTGTCCACGGCAACCGTCGCCATACCGTTATTGTTACTGATCTTGATTGTTGATGCAGCCACCATAGTTGCATGATTCGAATCTTGTCTTTCCACCTTGACGATATATACTCTTGCTTCTTCATCATACTATCATCATCATCGTTATCATATTCTATGGACTTTTCTTCTTGTTGATTATTTGTACCATCTCCATCCGTTTTCTTGCTACGTATGATCGAAAGTTCATGATCCAATTCACTTGTTGTCAAAACAGTATCCCGATTCACCGTAGAAAGAGACACCATACGATCAGATGAGAAGGATGATCTTGTTGCAGGAGTCGGTATTCTATGCCGGACGTCGTACCATAGATCTCTAAGAAGAGCTATTCCGCCAAAAGGAAGTGTTACCATCCATACTTCTACACCAGACACAAATGATGTACCAATCAACGTCAACAAACAAATCACGAGTAACGCAATACCAAAATATGCCCCAAATCGATCAATCAAGAAAGAAGTAGGATCAATCTCTTCATCTGGAGCAGGAACCTCTTTCGGTAAATAACGTTGATGTCGAAATACAATCCGTAACATAAGGTAAGCCATCATCAGTCCACCTATAGTAGGAAGAAGCATCCATGCCGAATATTGGATAAAACTAATGTTGTACGCCGTAGATACCACTACATTGGTTGGATTCCCAATAAACAAAGCCATTGATGCTGTTATAAGAAATAAAAAAAAAAAGTAGATCAGTAAAAAAAAAAAAAAAAAAAATTCAACTTTTATTACCTATATTGGCAGATATGAATTCACTCATCATGAAAGCAATAGGAAGAATACCAGAGACGCGAGTAAAATAAGCCAAGAATGCTGTACCAGTGAGAATGACCACATCGTTGCTAGTTAAACCACTCATCACACTTGTCAAGATGAAGAAGAGTGTAAAGGCAAGATGACCTCGACTTCCAGCACGTTTAGCTACCCAGAAAGCAAGGAATTGAAAAATACCAGTCATATCTAGAGATACACATATATAGGCCAGAGAGTAAAACAAGATGAGAATCGAATATGGTTGAATTCCTAATGAGCCAATAAGTCCAATCTTGATAGTTGTTATATCCGTTGCTTGACATAGTAATAGAATAAGTACAGCCAAGGGAGGAGCAGTCGCCAAGTTTAGATAAAGATACCAACGTTTTGTTGTTGAAGTTTGTCGTTTTCCAAGTGGTATTTTCACAGGACGTATCACAAATACTATGGCCAATAAAAAGAATGTTAAAGTTACCCAAGAATAAGCATCAAGATTTGTTGATTTGACGCCAGAATCCATTGAATAAAATTCATAGTAAAACTCATGAGAAAGTAAAAAGAAAAAGATTTTTTTTTTTTAATGTGCCTTTTCGTTACCAAAAAAAAAAAAAAAAAAAAAAAAAAAAAAGGCGGTAGTTAAAATGAATTAACTTGCCGCGGTCTCGGGTTGGGGTGTCAAGCTCAATTGGCCATTTTACTTTGATTTGTAGAATCGTTCTCTTTCCCTCACGGTAAATATCATTACAATGTAAAGAACACGGTAGTATATATATATAAAAGCGAATCTGGAATGATCAATCAATTCTATTCATCCAAGGATGTGATAGATGGATAAAAATAGGGAAATATTGAATGGGTGGATGGATGGATGGATGAGATTGGGTCTTTATAGGTTCGTACCTCAATTCAGAAACCAAGTACTGATTCTCTTTTTTTTTTTTTTATTTTTTTTTCTTCTATATATATATATATATATCATTACAACTTTCACTATCAACGACAACGAACAATTATAACTACTACGATTATCTACATTATATAGACCATGGTTTTGAAGCACAACAATCAATTGCCCAACCAACATTTCCGTAAGCAATGGCAACGCCGTGTCAAGACTTGGTTTGACCAAGCTGGTCGCAAGAAGGCCCGTAGAGTTGCTCGTGTCCAAAAGGCTACTCGTGTTGCTCCTCGTCCTGTTGATGGTCTTCTCCGTCCTGCTGTTCGTTGCCCTACTCTTCGTTACAACATGAAGTTACGATCTGGTCGTGGTTTCACTCTCGAAGAAATCAAGGTAATCTATTTTAATAAATTGTCTATTAATACATATACTCATATTTTAAAATAATATATTATAGGAAGCTGGCCTTACTGCCAAGTATGCTCGTACCGTTGGTATTGCTGTTGATCACCGTCGCCGTAACCGATCCCAAGAATCTCTTGAATTGAACGTTCAACGCTTGAAGGCTTACCAAGCTAAGCTTATCATCTTCCCTCGTAAGGCTGGTAGCCCCAAGAAGGGTGATTCTGAAGTAAATAAAAAAAAAAAGGAATAAGAGTGAAGGATGATTGTGTATTAATTTTTTTTCTTTTTTTTTTGAAATGATTAGGCTGCTGAAGTTGCTTCTGCTGTCCAATTCAAGGGTGCTCTCTTCCCCGTTCAACAAGTTGCTGCTGCTCCTGAAGCTCGTGCCATCACTGCTGAAGAAAAGGCTGGTAATGCTTACATGAAGCTCCGTTATGCTCGTTCCGAAAAGCGTACTCTTGGTGCTCGTGAAAAGCGTGCTCGTGACAAGGCTGAAGAAGAAGCTAACAAGGTAAAGTGATATAAAATAGATAGGCATTCTTTTTTTTTTTTTTTAATGAATCATTTTGGATACTAACTCCTTTTTTTTTTTTTTCTATTTAATAGAAGAAATAAATGGATCTCCATTCCCTCCATCTCTGTCTGTCTCTTTCTCTCTTTTGGCTAGTTTTAGAACGTTTTACATGTCGTTTATTTATATATTTTGGATAGCTATCAATAAACTTCATCTCTCTCTCTCTCCTTCTTTTTAATTATTTTATGATCTTCAACTGTTTGATTTAGAATTGTCGCGTTTTTATTTAGAAAAGTCTTATTAATACGGTTTGGAATTGAACTTGGATCAAAGATGAATGAATGGATGATAATCAGGATGATGTATGATGAGTGGATAGAACGATAATAGAATCAACTGGATGTATACGCACCAGAGTAGCGACTGAACTTTTCGGTTCTGTTAGTTTTTATTTCATTCCACTGTAATAGGTCTTTGATCGGTAGTAGATATCATATGTATAAAGTGCCATCATTCTTTTACATTTTTATTTTAGTCATATCATGTTCATGTTTTACCACTACTTTCATCATTATTTTTTTTTTTTTTTTGTCATCAATTCTGCTATTCTCGATCATCTTCAACTATCTATCATCACTGACTGCCTCTATCATCATCAACTCGAGATCTATTAATTTGACCCTCAAATCAGCAATATACAAATTTTTATTTTCAAAACTGTATATAACCAAAATGTTTATTGAATAAAAATAATAATAATAAAGGAATACTACTACTACATCAAAAAAAAAAAAAAAAAAAAAGAGAGAGAGAGGAAGGAAGGACTCATACACACATAGAAAATAATATCTATTTATCCAGAGATCCATCAATATGTTCCAAGTTATACTTCATTCCAAGCAATAGCGACCATCAAACCAAGACCTATCAACATGGCAGTAAATTCTTTGAAAGCTTGATTTTTGTCCTTGTTGACTTTGCCCGTCACTTCCAGTAATTCAGGAATAACACCCACAGTAGCGATATACAAGAAACCACCTGCCGTAAAAGGAATGACCAGATCGCCCCACTGCAGTTGAGTACCTAATAAACCAACGACGGCGTGTTTGTGATCATGAGAAGAACCGAGTTGAGAAGCTTCTTCAATAAAGATACCAATCAGTGTTCCTAGAAAAGCGCCCACAGCAGTAGTGAATTGAGCCATCATAGCACGTTTCTTGGAGAAGCCGGATTGAATCAAGATAGCATAATCACCAACTTCATGAGGGATTTCATGGAAAAATACAGCAACGGCAGTAGTAGCACCAACAGCAGGAGATGCATAAAAGGAAGCAGCCATGGCAAGTCCATCCGTCATATTATGAGTAAAATCAGCTAATAAATTCAAATAAGCACTAAGTTTGATGCTGGCATCTGGTTGTTGTTGCTTGGTATCTACTGTATGATTGTCGTTTTCTTGTTGTTTTTTGGTATCTTTTCGTTGGCGTAAACCTTCAGGTTTGTCATCGATTTTCTTGTCAAGTTGGTGATGATCGTGGCTGTGTGCTGTACCATGATCGTGGCTATGTCCGCTTCCTCCATTCATGACTCTCATCATCTTGTCCATAATAAAAAAGAAAAAGAAGCCACCAAAGATACCTAATCCTACTAATACATTTTGTTTGTTGTCCACTTCCACTAACGCGGTATGACTATGGTCATCGTGTTCACCAAGGAAAGCATGAGGTAACAAGTGTAAAAAGACATCTCCAAGTAAACCACCTAATACAAATAAAAATACATTGGTTTATTTTCTTTTTTTTTCTTTTTTTTTTTTTTTCTTTCTTTACTTACCAACAGCAAAACTAACCAAGGTATTGAGAGAAGCAGTATTGATATCAGGAGGTACAAAATAAAGTAATAAGTTTGGAAAAATGGAAATATAAGCAGTGGCTAATAAGGAATTGACCATAGCATTTCCAGGGAATAAAAAGGAAAATGCCTGAGCTTGAAGTGACATGATATTTGGCACTTTACAAGAAAAGGGAAAAAGAAAAAGAGAGAGAGAGAATAACGAGAGAATACACACCAAAAAAAAAGAAAAAGGTAAATCTTGCCACGTCCAATTCTTTTGATCTTTAAAATACCGACCACGATGGGAGCTTCAGTCACATACGAATATTGCTAATGGTCTAAAAAAAAAAAAAAAAGGAGAGATTCTTTTTCTTTCTTTCTTTCTTTCTTTCTTTCTTTCTTTGTTATTATTTCTTTGTTATTATTTCTTTATATTATTTATATTAGTTATTTTTATCTATTGAAGAAACATAAACTGACACAAATTATTTTATCAAATATGAATATAGAAAAATTCAAATCAAAGATATTAGGTTTGTGATTTTTTTTTTATTTAGTGGAAAAATCTTTGTACTTATTTTATGCATATATACTAGATATCCTTCGAACTTCTGATCTCCATACTATTACCTCAAAGTCAGTACGGAAATTACTTCAACAAGATACTTCTGAACCTTTGGATGCATATAAAAAAGAACTCAATGACTTGATTATGCAATGTTTCCAACTTGTGGAAGAAGAAAAAGAAGAAAAAGAACACGTGAAAAAGGAATCTTCCTCATCACCATCAACACCTTCAACATGGAATTCAACACCAACTACAAATATTATAGAACGAAAACCAAAACCGACCACTTCCTCCAGTAAACCACGTACTAATAAAAAACGAACAACTGAAGTGATTGATTCAGAAGATGAAGATGGAACAACAAAGAAGAAAAAAAGAAAAGTACCAAAGAAACGAAACGTGGATGCTGCTACTTTACAAAAGAATCCTTTTACAAAATCCTGGTTACTTAGTTCTACCTTAACCGATGTCACTGGTGAAAAAGCGGTAAGTGAAAATTTTAGTTGAAATTCATTCATGTGACTCAAACCTCTTTTATGTTAGTTATCAAGGCCTGCTGTGGTCAAAGCATTATGGAAATATATCAAAGAACACTCTCTTCAAGATCCAACTAACAAAACATTCATTGTATGTGATGATAAACTACGACGGGTGTTTGATGGACAAGATAGGATACATTGTTTTACTATGAACAAGTTTATAGGTAAACATCTATCTGATTTACCTGCTGATTACGTGTTAGATAATGAATTGAAAGATGTTTAGATTAGTTTTGATTAGTGTATTCTTTTTTTTTTTTTTGTGATTGAAAAATAAAGCATTGATGATGACACATTTCTATTCGCCTGTCTTTTAAAACCAACTGTTGGTCAGTTTTTGATGCTGAACCCTTTTGTTTTGGTTCTTTTGAAGCAAGATAGTTTTTAAGGACCCCGCGTGATCTCCTTTTTTTTTTTTTTAAGAAATGTTTGTTTACATATTCCCTTTCTTTTTATATACTCTTTTTTTTTTTCTTTTTTCTTTTTTTCTTCCTTCTCTCTTTCCCCTTTCTTTTTTTTTTTTTTTATAAATCAATCTCCATTTCACTCTATATAAATGTCATCCCTTGAAAATCGACCACGTTCTTCATCATACTCTAATAGTAGAAAGGGTCTATTTGCCACACCATCACAACATTATCCATCCCCTACCAGTTCTTTACCTTCTATGTCTGTCACTTCTCCTACTTTCCCTTCTTTCCATCCTCAACAACAACAACAGCCTGATTATCATCAAAGGAACCATCATCCTTCATCTCCTCCTCAACAACAGCAATCACAGGAACATCATCATCATCATCATAAGAATCATCATCATCATCAAGGAAATCGGCGGTATTCTAAACATCGACTTAGTAACGCATCCAGTACAACACTATCATCCTTCAATAGTTATTATTCTACTGTATCTACTACTTCTCGTCCTTTACGAACGTTTGAAATTATGTTTACCAACATCATTGATGCTTTGATTTTCACCTCTGCTATTGCCATTACAGCTTATAATTATTGGATGGGTTATATTGTAGAAACACCCAGACTTTATGGTCAACAACAACAAAGTAGTAAGTCTCAGGACGCATCATTATTGAAACGTTTGGATATCCCATCGCCTCTATCTTCAAACAAATATCATCGCCCTTCATTGGATTCATCCTCTTCTCCTTCTTCACCTTTACCTTGTGCTACAAGAGACCCATGGTTGCTTTTGAAACGTACTGAAATGGAAGCCCCCGAACCTCAAACGCAACAGCAAAATGTATCAGCAAAAAAAGAAATGGTAAGATTAAGATTCATTTTCCTCTCTTTGACACATGCTTTTTAGACGGATTATTTATATATATGTATATATTTATCTATCAACATAAATATTTATCTCTCTCTATTTTTTTTTCCCTTACACTCACAATCTATTTTTTTTTTGGTATTATGATAATTATTATTTATAGATTCATATTGTCAATAAAAATGACGACGATGATGATGATGATGATCATGTCAACGAACAACATGATGATGAACAAGAAGAAGAGGAAGAAGAAGAAGAAGAAGAAGATTGTGTCAACCGTATGGAAGAAACATTACAAGCTCTGATTCGACAAGGCCAAGAAGCTTTAACTTCACCTATTGATTGGCAATAAATATACCATTCTTCATCATCATCATTATTATTATAACATAGCATATCCCACCCCCTTATTTATTTATTTTAGTTATTATGATTAGTTTTTTTTTTTTTTTCTTTATAAATGATATTTCCCATCTCTCCTGTACAAAATACATACTATTTTTATTTTCCTTCTTCTTCTTATGACTTGCCTAAAAAGGAACAGTGCACCTTACCGGAGGTCTAACATTTTCTTTTTTTTTCACATTTCCCTGAACTTGTTCAATTCCTTCTGTGCATAACGATGATTCCTTTTCCATTGGTCTTGCATACACACATACAAATAGATATAGTTTCCCATTTTTATTATGATCAACATTTCAGAAAATAAGAATACTATACTAAATGAATAAAGATATATATATACATTAAAAATTCTATACTACGTTATCACTTGTTTTGTTTCTCCAGTCGATCCTTTTCCGCCTGTCGTAATTTCATCATAGTAATGGCTTCATAATCTTCAAGTGATACATTGGGTGTATTAGAAGAAGGGGTCTACATCAAAAAAAAAGAAAAAGAGTGAATAAAGAAAAAAGAAAAAAAAAGAGACATGCATCATATATATATATTGATTACCATAGGTGAAGGTATCTTGATATTTTTAAAAAAGGAAGATTGTTGTCCAGTCTTAAATAATGGTTTACTTGCAGATGAGGTAGTAGAAGACATTGTTCTTGCATCATTTTCCATCCTCGCCGCTGCCAATTGTTTTCTTCGTTCTTCATCCTTTTTCATTTTGGTGATGATGGCAGGTTCATGTCCTGACGCCCAGTCTATTGTTTCAAATATTGATAAGGAAGGATTGGTATCTTTGCTTGTCATCACCGCATGCTAAAAAAAAAAAAAATCATCATCATTAGTAAAAGCTCTATCCGAATTTTTCATTTGTATATACTTACAGCATCTACCACGGTGTTAAATACTACCATAGTATGTCCTTTTCTCTTTTCGGTTAATGCAGCAACATCAGTGGCTCCCAAAGGTTTCAATAGTTGTTCAAGATCTTGTGTTGATAAAGGGTATTTCTTCTTTTTCCATTTAAACTTCAATGCCAAGTCAATATCTTCTACCACAGGTACTTTTTCTATCATTCAAAATAATAAATAATTATGGTCAATGATAAAAAACTTCTTTCATTCCTTTTTTTTTTTCTACCTTCTTCTTCTCGTCGTTTCTTCTCCCGTTCTGCAAATTCTATATCTTCTTGTTGTTTTCGTTCCCTTTCCGCACGTAATCGAGCCAGTTCTGCTTCACGCTGAGCCACCATTTGTTCTTGTTCCATACGAGCCTTCTTTGCCTTGTTTTCTCGAGCTTCTAATTCTTCTTGTGCCTGCCTTCGTTTGCTATCCATTTCCTGTTGTTTCTTTTTGCGTTCTAATCGTGCTCGATAGAGATTATCATAAGCTGCTCTTTTCTGTACATCCATTAGTATTTCTTGTGCTTGATTCAACTTGTGAAATAAGATGGCTATCAAATATATATATAAAAATATCATTACAATCAATCTATTATTCATTCAAATACAATCTTTATTTTTTTTTATTATTTTTACTATGAATTTACCTGCATCTGGACTTGGATTTTTATCAGGATGAACAGTCAATGCCTTCTTTCGATAGGCTTTCTTGATATCCCCATCAGTAGCTGTGATTTGAATACCCAAGAGTTCATAATAATCTGTATTATCGTCATCAACCATGGTGTACAATGTAAAAAAAAAAAAAAAAAAAAAAAAAAAGTAAAGAAAAAAAAAACTCGGTCTTTCAAAAAAAAAAAAAAAAAAAAAAAAAAAAAAAAAAAAAGAAAATGGAAAGTGACGGAAAGAACATAGATGGAGGAAGTAAAGAAATGACTCTTTTTCATTGGCTGTTATTGACTGTTGGGTAGTGAAAATTTTTTCCTTCAATTTCAAAATAAAAACTGGTGTTTTTTTTCCCCCCATTTTTCATCTTTCCCTTCTTTCTTCGTTTGATTTTTTTATTCGTTCAGTCATATGTAAGTTATTTTTTTTTTATTTTATTTTATTTGGTGTGGTTTTTCTTTTTATTATTACTTTGGTAGTTCAACTACTAGAAGATTGGATATTGGTGATCACAAGTGATGTTTTTTTTACGTCAAACAAACTAGAGTTTCTGATTTGTTAATCAATGCTGTGAACTTTATGTATCCTGATGTTTTTGTCAAAATCCAATCATCTTGTACTGTTGAAACTACAAATAAAAAAGGAAGAGCAAATATGTGGAAATTGGATAGATGAATGAAATACACGATCTAATTTATCATCTCTCTCTTTTCTTTGATATGATTAGATCTTTACTGATATTTTGATGAACAAACTTTTTGTCTATGGATTCTGATACCAAAGGAAAATAAGGTAAAATATTCAATAATGATTTAAAAGAATAAGATGTTGATCAGTGATGAATGACATTATGTTGGAATTACCGTCTGATTAACGCCTGAAGACAATTTTGTGCTGGCTGCAATCCTGAGATCTATCATCTTATTCTATATCATTTTAAATATGATCATTCTTCGATTGACTAATCATATTTTTTCTTATTTATCATTAGATTATATGGAAATATGTCTTGATTTTTTTTTTCGGTTATTGGATTCCTGTATACCAAGTGGATTTGCCAAGTTTGACATCCTTTACAAGGTAAGAATTGATCTTATGATATGAACGAAGGAAATATATTCGTTTTCTTTTGGTTGTGTGTGTGTGTCACTATGTCAAAATGATGATATTTATTTTAGATGACGAGTCAGACGAGTTATTCTATGGTGACAAACCTTTTTTTTTACCATTCATGCAATACTGAATGACATATACACACATACAACCAGAAAACGTTTTATTCTTTTTGTATCATTATAACTGCATGTCCTGAACATTTTTTAACTGATTGTTCTTTTCTTTTTTTTTTAGTATTTTTGGTTGGGACTTGTTTTCTTTCCTTTGATATTTGTTTTGGTGGTTATTTAACTTGGTCATCCTTTTCTTTTTTTTTTGTACAAGGTAAGTAAGAACATGGGAAAAGTGAAGTTTTAAACAAGTTTACCCTGTTTAAGGATATGAAAAACGGATGATCATCACACAAAAAACGACAAGCATATGTCTGATTACTCGTGTAGACACCTTTTGTTCTGATTTTCATTCTTTTATGGGTTATCTTATCATTTGATAATGAAATTGATTTACTGAATATTTATTCTTTTTTTAAATAGATGGCTTGTCAAAGAAAAAGAAAAAAAAACTTGGTTCATATATCTCTATCTGGTGGCTTGGTTGGAAGTGGTAAGTCCCTTTTTTATTTGATATCATAAAGTCGACAAAGATGGAAGTGATGATTTTTTTTATCACGACGGTCTTCCGAAATAGTATGAGGAAACCTGGTTTGACAACCTACTTTATCTGAGATTTCATCTTTGTTGACTTTAGAATATATACATATGTATAATGAACATTGTTGACTTATTTCTTCTCTTTTTTTTTTTTTTTTTGTCATGAAATAGTAGGTGGGTGTATAGATTATAACCTTATTAGTGTGTAGTAGATATGTAGAATAGTTGGCTGTAGTATATTATTTAATTTGTATGTTAGAAATAAACTTTTTAATTTGAACCTTGATTCATTGTGTTGTGATTTGTTATTATTATTATTTGAAAATGATGCTGATCTCAAATATAAACAAGTTGGTGACAACGATAGATGACAATATATTGAATGAATGAATGATGGTTGATCATATATGACATTGGATTAGGGATAAAAGGTAATGATGATACCGATGATACTCTTGATGGCTGATCATTGATGACTATTTACAAGGTAAATGTCTACTCCTAGTATGCGGAGATGGAAATGCAGGCGGGGCGAGTCTCATTTTTTTTTTTTTTGGGAGATTTCAAAAAAGTCCAAGGCGGCTAGTTGGTAGAATCCTCCTCTTTTCCATTATTTGTACTTGGTAAGTCATGATTGAACAAAGAGGGTACAAGGTTACGTTAGATTATCAACACAACAAATATGTACAAATGCAGTTGGAAATAACAAAAAGATGGATGGATGGATGAAAAAAAAAAATATGAATTGCCGAATCGATGGATGGATGGATGAATGAATTATTACTAGCGATGGGGAACGAAAAGGAAATTAACAATGTATCACATGAAGACTAATTCATTTTTCTTTCCTTCTTTTTTTTTTTTTTTATAAATATTTTTTAGCCATGGGTCGTCGTCCTGCTCGTTGCTACCGTTACTGTAAGAACAAGCCTTACCCCAAGTCTCGTTACTGCCGTGGTGTCCCTGATGCCAAGATTAGAATCTACGATTTGGGTCGTAAGAAGGCTCATGTTGACGACTTCCCTCTCTGTATCCACTTGGTGTCCAACGAATACGAACAATTGTCTGCTGAAGCTCTTGAAGCCGGTCGTATCTGTTGTAACAAGTACATTACCAAGACCTCTGGTAAGGATTCCTTCCACATGCGTATCCGTGTCCATCCTTACCATGTGACCCGTATCAACAAAATGTTGTCTTGTGCTGGTGCTGATAGATTGCAAACTGGTATGCGTGGTGCTTTTGGTAAGCCCAATGGTTTGGTTGCTCGTGTTAACATTGGTCAAATCATCTTCTCTGTCCGTACCAAGGATTCCAACAAGGCTACTGTCATTGAAGCTTTGAGACGTTGCAAGTACAAGTTCCCTGGTCAACAAAAGATCATCATCTCCAAGAAGTGGGGTTTCACTCCTCTTTCTCGTGAAGACTATGTTACTGCTCGTGCTGAAGGCAAGCTTCTCCCTGATGGTTGTTATGTCAAGTTCGTTCCTCAAAAGGGTGCTCTTACCAACTATTTCGATATGGCTTCCCGTGTTTAGATGGTTTACCTAGTTTATAGTAATATATCTCCCTCCTTTTTTTTTGAATAAAAAGAAATGAAATCATTACTCTCGTCATATCTAAATTATGTTACTTTTTTATTATCTCGCATGAGCTGCAAGTGATATGCACAACGTATGACTACATGTTGTTTCCTTAATTTGGCACAGCCTTGAGAGTTGATTACACATAAATAAGGTATCAACTTTAAAGGCCGCATATTGCCTTTTTATTATATTTGTTCCTTTTTTTTTTTTTATTATTTCTCACTCTCTCTTTTTTTTTTTTCTCTTACTTTTTTATTTTACTATTTTCTTCAATTCAACCTTTCTCCTCTCCTTCTTTTTTTTTTTTTTTATATATATCTCCATTCTTTTAATATACAACAATATATATATATACATATGGATTCTTCTAGTAATGCTCGATCTCATTCATCACGACCAGGTCGATCTTCTACTACTACTCCTGGCAAAAGAACCAACGTCACCATGACTCAACGCAATGCTGATAGAGAACGTGAATTACAACGACTGAAAAGCCTTGGGGTAGTATCAGTTCTAAACAAGACATTTGATATGCAAGACTCTACATTTCTTTCACCTGCACCTATCCCTTCTCCGTCTTCTTCTACATCATCTACAGCAGTAACAGACCACACCATCTTAAAACCACCATCATCAGAACCCTCAGAATTGTCAGAGGATGACTACAACCGACATATCAATTATTATGACGCGACAAACAAGACTCAAGTTGATAATAACAACAACAGCAACTATACTAATAATAATGATGAAAAGACTCGACATGGTCTACGACAAAAATCAAGCAGCGATCACCATTGGGTAATGACAACTCTTCCACCCGAACAAGATGAGCCTAGACCGTCAACAAATATACACTATGATGGATATGGTAACTTATCGACATCGGAGATCAGTACTTTATTGAAGAACAGCAACGACGATAACAGCAACCACAACAATGATGATGATGCTGACTACGATGATCTAAAACTATACCAAGTTGAAAACCATGCAGCTCTTATTGACGCCTACAAAAGCACTCGACATGTTTTACAACAATTACTCTATCGATTAAAAGAAAGTCAAAAAGGTCAACAACTTATGGAACACTCTACGAAACAAACAATGGAGACTTGGCTGAATGAAAAGGAAATGGAATCCATCAAAGTAAAACAACTATCTGAAGTGGTGTTAAAACAAGATCAAATGATTCATCAATTGGAATTGGCTCTTTCCTCCGTCTTGGCTGATAATGAAGACTTGCGAAAACTCAACAACAATAGTGACAACAGTGACCGAAGCATGACAAAGGACAAATCAAACCATACAAATGACAATAGTGAAAATGAAATAACGAAGAAGGAAAAAACTCGACAAGGATGGTCAGATCTTCGACAAGAATTGCAACAACTTCAATCTCAAAAGGTCGATTATGAAGAAAAAATCGTGTCTCTATACAGTGAACTGGAATCAAGTCAAGACGAAGTACGGCAACTTACTCTTTTATCTGAAAACTTACACCAACAATGTCAGCAACAACAAATTGCTATTGATGAAAAGATGACCCAGCTGACGAAACAATCGATGAACAAGGATATTCTAATACGAAAATACCGACACCTTGAAAGTATGGAACAACTTGGTCGTGCAACACAACAACTATCACAGCAACAAGAACAAATTCAACATCAGCGTACCGATAGTCAAATGGATGATGTTTCTACGATTCATAGTATCTTATCTTCCTCATCATCCAACAGCACAACAACAACAAATGAATTGGATACAACTGCCATGATTTCGACATCTTCTTTGATTTCTAGGCCATTAGGAAAAATTACAAACAAACGATCTTGGAACACTATGCCTCAACGAAAAGGAAAAGCTGCAATGAACGTTCTCTCTTGGCCTGGTGGTTATATTCCTCCTCCTTCTGGACCTCCTCCAAGTGCACCACTTCCTCCTTTACCACCTGTGGATCATGATGAACATGACGATGATGATGATGAGCAGGTAGATCCCGAACTCAATCGTATGACACAAAGACACTCTACACCATCTCATCAGCAACAACAAAAACCAAATGATCCAAGATTCTCATCTTCATTAGAAATGTTGTTATTGCAAGCACCTTCTGGATATATCTTGGATGATGATACAGCAATGGAACAAGCGTACCGTGAATTTACTGAACAACTGTCAAGTCGATTATCGATCTCAAAAGAAATTGATCATCTTGAATTATGGGATCATGAAGCTTTGGAAAGGTTACAGCAACGACATCAACAAGAAAAACGACAACAACAAGCAAGACCAGCATCTTTGGCTCCTACGACAGAAACAAGTACTTCTTCAAAATGGTCCTCTTCAAGTGATTTGGATGAAAAACATCATGGACGTGACAATACTGCATTTTGGAAAGGTATGAAGAAAAAGTTACGGGTATAGTCAAGCAAGAAAAAAAAAAAAAAAAACTGCCGGTCCAGTTTCTTCCTCTACTTTTATAATTTTTTTAGTTTAGTTTCTGTATTTTATAGTCCTTAGTCATTTGTCACTTTTTTGATATCCACTTTTTATATGCAATAAAGCTTTTTTACTTGACATGCGGAATGTCAATTGATTTGTCTTTTTTTTTTTTTTTTTTTTTTTATGGCTTGTTGGGTCCGAATGAGCAAAAACTAAATTGTTCACCGGAGAGTGTCTCAAATCTTTCTCTTCCACCACAGCATCCGTAAGTGAACCCTACATCACCATCCATCCATCCATCCATCCATCCATCCCATTGATTTCTTTTCTTTTTTTTTTTTACAACCATTGTAGGATTCGTTCGAGTTTTGTGATTAAAGGTACCGATACACTCATATAAAAAAAAAAAAAGAAAGATAACACGACTAGAAAAGGATGGATGGATGAACGAATGAATATATCTCATGTCGATCTATTCTTTTTTACACGCATGCATGTTTTGAAGGACTCACACGACTTTTTGTATATTCTTTTATAGACTTTCATCAACAATATGCTTATTCAAAAGGAAAACCGAAAGGCCATTTACGAAACTCTCTTCAAAGGTAAGCTTATAAAAAAAAAGGCTCAAAGTGATAATCTATGTGAATCAAGATTCGCTAATATCATTGTTTTTTTTTTTATTGAAAATAGATGGTGCTTTAGTTGCTGCCAAGGACTTTAACCTTCCCAAGCATCCTGAAATCAATGTTCCCAACTTGGAAGTCATCAAGGCCATGCAATCTTTGACCTCCAAGGGATACGTCAAGACCCAATTCTCGTGGCAATACTATTACTACACCCTCACTGACGAAGGTATCGATTACCTCCGTGAATGTAAGTGATTTTTTTTTTTTTTTTTTTTACTTTTCAACTCATTTTTATCTTTTTGATAGACCTTCACTTGCCCACTGAAATTGTTCCTGCTACTTTGAAGAAGGCTGCTCGTCCTGCTGCTCCTCGTCGTGCTTGTAAGTGATAAGGCATAACAAAAATGATGAATTGTTGTTCATTTTTTTTTTTGATTAGTCGGTGAAGGTCGTGAAGGTGGTCGTGGTTCTCGTGGTGATCGCGATGATTATCGTCGCAAGGAAGGTGCTTCTGGTGACTTTAAGCCTGAATTCCGTGGTGGATTCGGTAAGTTAAAACAATAAATCGTCAATCATCCATACTCATCATATCTGTTTTATATTAGGTCGTGGTCGTCGCGAATAGATTAGTGTCTCTTTCATCTTCCCCTTTTTTTTTCTTTTGTTATTGTTTTCACACATACACACATCAAAATAAAAAAAATATGAATCATCATGCATTTTTTTGTTTGTCTTTTGACTTTTGGTTTTATTGAAATCAAGTTATTCTATTCTATATATATATACATAATATGAGGGGAAAAAAACAAGAATATAATTTCTATTCTGCGGTGGATATATACTAAAGATTTGATAGAGAAAGCCCTTTTCAACTTGGATCTTGTGGTTGGATAATTGGTGGCATCATCATAGGATCCATCTTTTGTGCTTGATCAGTAAGGTACGAATTCCATTCTTGAATATCGAATGAGGACGGGATTTCCCAAAAGGCTGTGGCATTTGGATCAAAAACTCGTTGTGAGACATCTATCGTGTCATCATTATCAAAATGATTCAATCGGATGGTTGTTGCTGATCTACCAGATGGATTGGGTGTTGATAATGGTGAAATGATATGTCCTGTCTCTGCAAACAATTCTTCCTTGAATGTACTGTTCATTTCCTGCTGAGTCGATGTATCATCTTTGAATTGTTCGATGGAGGATGAAAATGATTCAACCGGATGTTGTTCTGGTTCTGGCGAATTGGGTACAGCTATGGATATTTCGTTCTTGACCAATTTCTGCGTTTGTGAATAACTTTCATCCACATTTTCCAAGTTGATATCACGCAATCCAGCTAATGCACCAAGGATGTTACAGTGTCGAGCCGATGTGGACCATGTCTTTTCTAGTTCGTCCATAGCACGCATTGTTTTGTTAGTGCTAATCTTGGCTTCAAAGGCAAACATACTGTCGGAAGATTGAGCATTGTGAATAAAGATGATCCCAGCTGTAAACATAAAATAAAGAGCATAATTGTTGACACCTTTCAAAACACCGTCGGCTAATAGAGATTCAGAAATATCCAGAATCTTGTTGGCTGCAAAAGTACATATAGATGCTGAAGGAAAGACAGATGGGGCTGCCGTTGTCGAAGAATCAGGAATAAAGGGTCGATGAAGAAGAATCAACGTGGTATAAAATAACATGTGCATCTGGCAGAGTTGTAAAGCTGGTGCTGGTTTTCGTTCCGCTAATCGAGTGTTGGGAGGTTTGTATTGCATTGTACTAGGTAGTCTCGCCATCCATTTGTTGAGTCCACGATCTAAATTTGATACCACACTGTCAGGACATGTCATCATCGAAAGCTGTTTTCGTCCTCGTACCATATAAAGATCCCGTAGCACATCTCCAAGGAGTTCGCATAATTTGACCAATTGATGGAATCGTTCAGTGATTTGTAATGATTCTCCATTGGCATCTTTATCTATATATTGGGGATATGGAGTGTCATAATCGCGTTCATCCAATACAGGTGATCGTCCATGCATAGCACAAGAAAGTCGATCAACAACAAAACAACTATAAAAGCATCGTTTTCGTTCTTCCTTTTCCACATCAGTAAGATTCCAATTGTCACAATTTCGATGTAATCCAAGATTCTGAGCCATTCGGAATGCCTAAAAAAAAAAAAAAAAAAAAAAAAAAAAAAAGAGTTAAATATAAATCACGAATAATCAACTATTATTTACCATGCCACTATATAACCAACCACGACTCGTCTTTAATGCCCCATTTTGATGACTACTCATCAACAGTAATGATTGAATAGTATAAACCTTGAAACCATCCCATTCTAAATCCATCAACAATCGAGCCCTTTCAAAAAAGATGTCGCCAGCTGTATCAGGTCTATCAGGATCAGAGCGCACACGAGAATCAGAAGATAAACGGGAAGTGATAGCGTAAATAGCGTTGAGTAAAAGTGCTGGTGGTGGGTTGTCCTTTGAGTTCAGACGTTCGAAAAATGAATCCTTATGAAGGAGTGGAAGCCAAGGATAAAAAGTATTGAAGTATAAGTCCAAAAGATGTTGAGAAAGATCGTCTGGTGGAAGTTCATATGGATCTACTGCTATTTTGCCTTCTCGTGCTGATTTCAAATCGTTGGAATTGAAGTGTATTGATCCATTCTTCAAGTTCTTGTTACTGTGGAGCATGTCAAAGCCAGATGATTTGCCGTAGTATCTCAGCTGTCCCGAGTCGTCAATGGATAAGTTATCAAGTTGATCAGGTCGTTGTTGCGGTGATCGCTGTTCATTGCCTTCGGTATGATACTTTTCAGTATTGTTTTTTTCCATGTGATCAGATCGTATTTGATTATAATTGCTGGAATTGCTATCTTGATCGGATAATGTTTCACTTTTCATATGCATCATTGAGTTGGGCACGCCGTCTAGATCTTGTAGCGAAGTGTGGTGAAGTGGTCGAGGTCGTACAAGTTCACCATAGGCTGTTTCCAAGGGTGTGTTGAGTTCGGCCAGAATAGCTTGAGATCGTGGATCGTCTTCTTGAGTAAAACTGCCCAAAAGTGCTTCCAACCTTTGTAATCGTCCTTCGATAGCTTCAATATATCCTTTTGGTGGACCTCGCTAAAAGAATGAAACAATAAAAAAAAAAAATACATCAACAACTATATTAAGGAAACTGTCTCGTTCATATCTATAGTTTATTTACCTTCTTTGTCGATTCAAGATAATGACATTGTATTCCAAGTGTAATACAGTTATTGCATGTTGGTGGTGAACCTAAACATTTTATCTTCTTGCGACGGCATTGTTCACTTTTATATTAAAAAGAAAGAAAAAAAACGTAAGAAAATAAAACATGGTAAAAGTCAGCATCTAATAAACTTTAAACAAATGTTCATTGCGCAAAACTTACCAAGCACGACTCACACGCTGTCGTTTTCGTTCCCCTTCTTCAGTCATAATAAAAATTATAAAGAAAAAAGAAGTGCCTTTCCTTTTTTTTTTTTTTTTATCTTCAAAAAAGTAAAAAAAAAAAAAAAAAAATTGGAACAGCGGTCCAATAGGGAACTTAGTTTCCTGATAGTGAAATCTGGGGTAAATAAAAACACATCCTGCTTTGTCATCCGCGATTGACATTTGATCTCTTAATATAGTTGTTGATCAGTACTTGCGTATGAATGATACGCCTGCCATTTTTAATAGATTAACAACATCATCAATGAACAACGAATCAGCTTGAAATTGAACTGCTTCCCATTCCTATTCATCCAATCATCATCATCATCCAATCAAACTATTACTAGATTCCTCTCAAAAAACGTAGTTTAATGTCATCTAATTCTATTTTATCACTTAACAAATCCTATTGTGCAATTAATGTCAAAAAAAATTCCATCGATTTTTTTTGAAAAATTGCCTGATGATCCCTCGACGATTGCTTTCTTACAGCTAAAATTTGGCTGAGGACTTTCAAATTTTTGGCTGTAAAATCGAAAATTGATCCCTTTTTTTTTTTTTTTTATCTTTTCATCCCTCATCCAAAAATGATCATCATCGCATGGGATTTAGACTAGAGATAAAAAAAATCATGTTCTTTCAATTGATCTAACGTTTTCTTGATAGGATACTTCCCCATTTCCAGAGTAAATTAAAAAATAAAAATCGTCATCTTTCATCTAAAATGATCAGCATCAAATAAAAATATTATCATTGGATTCCTCATTCTTACTAATGAATGTCAAAACGTTTTTTCTTATAAATCATAATAAATCAATGTACAGATGATGATTTATGATATCGTTCAGTACTTTGCAGGTCGAGTTTCGAACTAAAAAAAAAAAAATAAGTACACAAGATCTGATCATGGAAGAACGAATTTTCATTCTATAGTGTATGATAGTAACTCTATGTTGAGTGAAGGTTTTATGAAAAAGACAGCACGTTATTTTTATGACATTTCTACGCATATAGATTATTTTTTTTTTTTTTTTTTTTTGGTTGATGATAATCGTAGGATGATAAATTGTATGATGGTAATTTGTAAGGAATAACAACGAATACTTTATTCATAAAAATAGGATAATTAAAAGCTATAATAAATATGGTAATAACTATGATGTGGTAAGTGCGTTTCATATATGTGTAAAAGGAAAAAAAAAAAGTCAAGGGAGGTCAGGAAGGGCAAGATCCTCCAACAATCGCGAGCGAGCTCTTTTTCCAAAAGTACGACGACGTTTTCCATCCAACCAATGAATCGTTTCAGCATAAGTATGGGGAAGGACACGGGGAACAGTAACTTGATGATCGAGAGGCGCCATGGTGAAGTAGAATTCGTTGGTGATTTCCTTTGTATTCTTTTCGATATCGATGACAGAGGCGACAACACGGACTTGGAAGGAGCTATGAGGAGAGCCTAAAGAATAAACAATACCAGCCTTCATGGATAATAGGGAGCCCACAAATACCGGTTTGCGAAAGGTGACGCGATCCATCGAAAGAACTACAGCTGAGCTGGAATGTAAAAAAGTTGAAGCAGTGCAGTAAGAGAGTTCTACTGCCATGCGCATAATAAAACCACCAAAGATATTACCATGACTGTTGCGGAACTGAGCATGACAGAAGATTAAATTATCCATACGAGTATCGGCCATCCATACACAATTGCTGGGTAAACGTTGTTTTTCTCCATTTGCTGGGACTATAAAATCATCTCCATTATCGTGTTGCGGGTGCATATACTGAGACGCTTCCAAGTACATTCGATGCATTTCCAGACTTTCCTGTGCAGTCGGCGGTTGTTGGTCGAGCGATTTTTCTGCTTCCAGTTTCTTTCGCATTTTGTTTTTCTTGGCCACTTCGATAAGTCGTTCTTCTTCTGGTGATGTTGCTCGTAATGGGTTAATCTTGATTGGTTTATGTGTTTTTGCATCAATGGCGACCATGGTGAATCGTGTAATTAAGATAGTGTTTGCATCGAGTTTACTATTGTTGGTGACATCAATGTTTTCCTTGTCGGCGATAAGTGCATCTACATCAGCTCCCTCAGGTACAATTTCAGCTTTGATGAGGACTAAATAAAAGAGATCAATGTGAGGAATTAAAAAAAAAAAAGTGATGTTTTTGTTACTAGCTTACTTTCCATAGAACTGCTACCCACATATGTGACATTTCCACTAAGTTTGTAATTTTCTACTACTTTGGGTAAGAAAAGATCTAGTCTATCCATACTTGCTGTCACCATCGTGATAGGACTGGCATTGGGATCAAAATTTTCAGCATGTTTTGAAGCAATGATGTAGGCCAGATTATCCAAATCTAACAAGTTAAAAAAAAAAATAGAATCAAAGTGATAGAGAATTCTATATCCACTTACCTTCCAGTAGTTTCCCAGTACGAATGCCACCATCCACAAAGATATATTGTTCCAATAATTCAGGTGAGCTTTTGAATGGTAAATAGATATCCGTGTAACTATCCCTCATCTACGTAGAAAAAATAAAAGATGATGAATGATACCATTTGATATGGACCAGTACTTACTGTTTTTTCGATTAGCACTCGTTCAGTAGTAGTTTGTATCTTGTCAGCATTCTTCTTTTCTCTTTGTTTTTCTTTTTCAGCAATTTGATCCATCCAGAACGATACGGGCCGGGAAGTATACACTTTGTTGTTTTCATTACTATGTGGCAATACTGTTAATGTATCGAGAATTAAAAAACCTTATTAGTGAATATAAAAGAATCCTTCGTTTGATCTATCACAACTTACCTAGAGGTTCTTGACGTTCTTTCCACAGTATCCTTGTAAACGTTGAAAATGATCTTGATGGATGATGATGATGAAGAGTATGGGTTGAAGTAGGTGGTAAAAATAATAGGTGAATTCTAAATAAAGACGAAGAATGGGATGTAAATTTTTGACAGGCAGTACTAAATCTAGGAAACATGATATATACTAAAGGAGAAGAGGAATAGGAAGAAGAAGAAAAATGTGAAAAAAAAAAATATTTTACGCATGATGGCGGGGTCCAAAATGAGAATAGGTATATGCACAAATCTATCTATCTACTCGATCGAATACCGATACACTTCTATCGACTGATCCAATAAGCCAATCACTAATTCATCCTTTCCATCAGTATTCACATCACCCATAGTCATAGTATGAGGCCAATCCTTGGTCTCTATTTCAGAAACGACCTACACATTGAGAGGAAAAAAAAAAAAAGGAATATATAAAGTTAGACAATCACGAGATAATATGATAGACTTCTACTTACTTGAGCATTTTGGTATATCTTGACTTTATTGGCATGTCCCATGCATATAACAAGATCAGGTTCAGTTTCTGGCATCCCAAATGGTCTAAAACACATAATTTGACAAATGTGAAACCCAACATGAAACCATGGAAAGATCTGAGAATATAAGAAAGGAAAAAAAAAAAAAAGGTTGTGAGTTATTCTATGGTTATCCCTTTTTGGTACTTACCTCAAAGTCAATCATCACATAAACTATCCCATCTTGACCAGCTAATAACACTTGTCGAGAAGAGAGCTTTTCATGAGTTTCCTTGTGATGTATTTTTGAAGGAGTTGTATCCAAGATGCGATTCTTTGTGTGAATTGTCAAAAAGTGACCAGAACATATCTAGAGATAGAAAATTAAAGTTAAATGTAAAAAAATATATCACTTTTTTTTTATTACTATTATTATTTTCTTACTGATTTGATAGTAGTTGATGTCCGCAGAGTTTGAATACATTGTCCTTCATGCATGAAATGTATCATCGGCCAACCATTTGTTACTAAAAGACAAGACATTTGCAAACCAAAAGAATCTGTCAGTTTGGTAGAATGAATGCAACCTATGGTAGCTGATTGTCGATTTATCTAAAACACAAGTAATTTTAAATCAAAGCAATAAGCATTCTATAATAATCATCAGTCATCATAGTAATACTACAAACTTACTGTTCCTTCAGCTGCCATTGTTCTACTCCATTGTTCGAGATTGAATTTCCACAAGGTATCATGTTGTCGAAAACTGCTAATCATACCACTAGTATCTCCAATAATGATTTCATAACTGCCCACTAGTCAAACAGGACAGAAAAAGAAAAAGAGGATCTTAGTTCGGTTATTTCAAGAACAAAAAAAAAAAAAAAAAAAAAAAAAAAAAAAAAAAAAAAAAAAAAAAAAATTACCCAGATTTTCGTGAATATCAATACAACTGATGGGTGCACCTACAGATTGTTTTGTCAAGATTTGTTGATTGGAAAAGGATGTCACCATTCCATCGGAATCACCTACCACTACATCCTTAACGCCGTGACCTGTCAAATGATGCAGATTGAGCGTTTGCACAGCACCACCTTTTGTTTCTAGTAAAACGACTACTGGCTAAAGAATGGTAAAAACTGTAAATCATCTAATCAATTCTATCTATAATCATAAATATACGCTTACCTTTGTCTGATTCAAAGTAAGTACACGTCCTGCTGTTGTACCAATAAGAATGTCGTTTTCTTGACTCATTTCTTCAATAAAGGGTTTGCCCACCGCAATGCATGTTATAGGATCTTTGAGTTGTGTTGACCATATCTTTTCCATGGAAAGTTTCCACTGTCGTTCATCAAAGGCCATAATAAATTATAAATGAGTAAGAAAGAAAAAAAAAAAGAGAATATATGTTTTTGAAATTTTTTTTTATTTTATTTTATTTCGTGTTTTCAGTCACCGACAAAGGATAAAGGGGAAAAAAAAAATCTAAGATGATGATTATGTATTTGGGGATAGATGATGGTACAGTTCTTCAAGAGCAGGGAATTTGTCTTCAAATTCAGAAATAGAGGGTGGTCGAAGGGATGGAGAAGATGGTGTATTACTAGCAGGAGTTGTGTCTGATACAGGAGTCTTCGTACGGAATCTTGCTGGTTTTGGTGGAGGTTTTGGTCGTTGATTTTTGGATTGCGAGAAAGTGGATGATGTTGATTTCATTTCTTTACTTGTACTTGGTAATGGTGGTGTCGGTGTTGGTGTTTCACTAACTTTGAACGATGAAGATGATTCAAAAGTACTAGTAGCAGATGAGGACGTTGTTGCATAAGGAGCTCTTTTCCTTTCCATGAAATCGCGAATGCTTTTGGTGCTTTTGGTGCTAGATGTAATCCCACCATTATTGTTGATACTATTATTACTGTTACTACTACTACTGATGTTGTTATTTTCATTTCCACTGCCAACTGATTGTTGAGGAGACGCTGTTCGGGAGATCGATTGACTTTTTGAGGGAGGTATCGAGATAGGATCCAATGTTTGAGATTCCAATTGCCATGGATAAGATGCATTACCACTATTGTCGCTATCTTCGTCATCATTGTTATTTATGGTTGTATCCTTATTGCTGGAAATCATTTCGCTATCAAATCGATTTTCGAATTCATATTTTGAAGCTGAAGAGAATGATGATTTTTCTCGAGTAGGTTCAACGTTTTGATTACTATATCCCTTGACTTGTGCCGGATCAAATGGATCAAATGATGTGGTGGGTGTAATCTTTTCAGTCGTTGTTGGCGGAGGGGGCGTTCCAGATAGACGATTTTCTTGTCGAGTAGGTCGTCCTCGTCGCATAGGTGTAATGTTAGGTAGTTGTTGAGGAGGACTTGGTAGTTTTTCAAAAATAGATGAAGGACTTTCATTTCTAGAGATCGTTTCTGGTGTTTCATGATTGGAGATGGGACTTGCATAAGCATCTTGATAAATCTATAGATATCATATTAGCCATTTGCCTTTTTTTTTTTTTGACTTTTTGTACTCTACTTACATTTCGAATAGGACATTCCACATGCATCAAATCAGATACAGTTTTCACCACTTGATAAATGTTGGGTCGTTTTTGTTGATCTTCTTGTAACATGGACATGATGAGTCGTCTGAGATTTTCTGAGAAATAAGGTGTTGATGGAATGGAGTAATGAGCATTCAGGATAGCAAGTTGACCTTGTTCTTCAAATGGAGTAGTGTAATAACAAAGTTTGTATAGGAGAACACCTAAAGCCTATAACATGAAAGAAAAAGAAAAATAAATAAATAAATAAAAATGTAATGATAACAATGATACTCTTTCCGTTTTCCTTCATCAAATTTTTTACCCAAATGTCTGCTTTTTCAGTGATTGGTTTCTTTTGGTATATATCAATCATTTCCGGAGCACGATATTGTAGAGTTGTATGTCGTTGTACATCATCTTCCACTTTTTGAATTTCTTGTAAAGTAGTTGGTATGTAAGATCCCTTGGAGAGCGCAGCAGACCCAAAATCACAGAGTTTGTATTGGTCTTGAGAAAGAATCAGAATATTTTCCACCTTGAGATCTCGATGTAACACTGGAGGTTGACAATAATGCATATATGCAAGAGCCTTATCAAAAATGTTAGTATTCATTCACATATTTATTTTCATTGTTCTGATTTATACTTACTTCACAAACATTGCTAAATATTTTCAAGATTTCTGGTTCAGTCAATCGTTGCTGTAATCTACGATTCATCAAATCAATAACACCACCACCTTATGTTTTTTTAATTTAATAGAAAGAAGGGAACAGTATTAGTCATATTTTTGTATCATATAATAAAAATCAAGAAAATAAAACCTACCAGGGCAGTATTCCATCAAAATCAAAGCTTCAAATCCACCAATAGGTAATGGATCTACTCTTGATTCGTAATATCTTACAATATATTTATGATCACCTAGTCGACGCTAATAGTAAATAAAAGAAATCAGAAATAATAACATCATATATATATATATATAACATTTACCATAAATGCGATTTCTTTTTCCACCGTTTTCAAGCGTTCTGCGTCTGGTACTGCGATTCTTTTCAATACGACATAACCAGATTTACCTTCTATCCTTGCAAGATAAACATGAGCAAACCCACCTATATATCCAACCATCCCAAAAAAAAAGAAAAGAAAAGAAAAGAAAAAGAAAAAAATAGAAAAAGAAGAAAAAAAGAATATTAGTTTCATCAGATGTGAGATAAACTTTTCAAACCAATCTTTTTTTTTTTCATCATCATATCATCTGTTTTATGATCATACAATCATTCCCAATAGTTGTCGTTGTTTTATTTTTCTTTATATATTTTTACCTTCAGCGATAAAGTTGTGGATGATAACTTGATATTTCCCTACTTGAAGCCTTGTTCCATTAGGCATAGCACCTGAAGGTAGAGGAGCAGTATGCATAGTATCAATTCCTACAGGTACTGGCGGTAAGATATGACCAATACCTTGTTGTTCAGGTATACGAGACTGGCGTTGTTGAGCGTGCATCCAGTTAATCTATATATGTATATATAAGTAATGTATATCTATGGAAGGAGACTGAAAACGGTGGAAGAAAGCTTAAGAAAGAAAGAAAAATCAAAAGAAGAAAAAAAATCAAAAAAAGTTAGAATAGGCGGATGTTCAATTGATGGTCTCAGCAACAAAAGCTACTATCAATTTGACAATAAGTATCACAAATATACAAAAAAGATTATTTTTTTTTTATTTTATTTTTTTGATAATAAACAGGCATTGGTATAATAAAAAGAAGGATAAAATATATAATAAAAAATCAAGAGGATAGAGTAGGATCTAGAAAAGAACCCAAAAGATCTGTCAACGTAATCACACCTTGAATATATCCAGTTTCTTGATCGATCCACCATAAACGATAAGCCCTACGTAACACCACAGAAGCCATGAGTTGAGATAAAGTAAACCTATGATGACAAGTAAAAGGTTCTATTAAATCCCCATTTCTTGATTTGAGAAACATAAGAACAGGTTTGGCCAAATCTTGAAGTCGAGCTTTATTCAATCCACGCAAATCTTGAGGACTTAGATCGCCCACCAAAGTATCATCATCATCCACAATAGGAAGAGCACTAATATAAGGATCATTGGCCATTTGTTCAAATGCTTTCATCGCTGTTGTTTTGAATGTCACTGATTTGATTTTTTCTTCTTCTTGTTGTTGTTGAATACCAAGTCGTTGTTGTCGTCGGACCAAAGATGCTGTCACTAAACTAGGTACAGTTATATCCAAAATTTTTCCTAAATGATGATTATGTGCTTGAAGATAACGTATCACATCCATTTGTGATAATAATGTAGGTTGTCCACCTTGATTACTATTAACCAATACCCGATGAGCACCATGTTCACTAAAAAGGGAAATCACATCTTCCAAAGAATCTGTGGATTGTACTGTCACAAGTCTTGAACTTTCATTTGTTTGTCCAATAGCCTCTTTAATTTGATGTTGAAAAAAGTTGGTTTCCACTATATCCGTAGTCTATATATATAAAAGGAAGAGAATTTAATGAATCATTTATTTTCCATTATCACCTGGTTCCACTTTTCAAGTCATGCATTATCGTTCCTTTTTTTACCCCCGTTTCTATCCTTTTTTTTTTTCTCACGGGGGCTTTTTTTTTTTTTTCTCGTTTCAGACAAAGATGACTTACATGCTGACTTAGAAGTTTCAATAAGTCAAGAACACCGACAATGGTCACATATACCTTTTTACCGAGATCATCCAATCGATAAACAGGAATAGACAAAATATCTTCCGCTAACAATAAGTCAAATGCTTGTTCAATGGTAGCTGTCACTGGTAAATCCACTAAACGACGAGTAGACGATGTAGGTTTCACTTTTGTCAATACGTTAGCCACAGTTTTGGAAGCAATAAAAGTTTGGTGAGTACTACTACGTCTTCTATTTCCTAATTGTTCATTTGTTGTTTGCTGTACAGTTGCCATCGTTTAATTGTTGTTTAAAAAAAAAAAAAAAAAAGAAAGAAAGAAAGAAAGAAAGGGAAGAAAGGGAATCAAAGAAGCACCCAGTCCCAATTTAATTTTTATAAAAAAAGAAAAAAATTTCATGCGTGCGGGCGTCGATTTTTTTTCTTTTTTTTTTCTGAAGAACCAATAAAAACCATTTGATATTGTACAACTAGACCTCATCCTTGCGTCTACTGATATCATTCAAATATGAGGAATAGTAAAAATAAAAAGATACACATTCTTTATTTGATTTTTTTGGGGATTATAATACAATATATACAAATCTTTTTAAGGAATGATGATATAAACAATAGGGATTATAATAATAAATTGATTGATAATAATAATAATTAATGATATATAAAAATACTAAACTAATTGAAGGGTTGAAAGTAACTAATGAACAGAATAAAGAAGAAAGAAAATATTACAATAGAGCAGAGAATGGGAATGTTGAATACTAATTGATGATGATGATGATCACCAGTCGCTTCACTAACTTTGTTTTTCATGGAATAATGTCGTCGCGTTTCTTTGTATGCTGTACGTGCTCGTTTGATGATATCAAGTTTTACCTGTTGTTGTGTGCTTTCTTGATGATCATCTTGATTTACCCGTTTTCGTTTTCCATGATTGATTTCATCCTGTATCACATCACGATCAGTTGTTATCATTTCAGTTCGCTTTAAGTTGTCTGTCTTCAATTCATAGATCATCACACCCATTGAAGGAAGATGATTCATCTTGTTAATGTTGTCAGTTCTGTGATAATCACTAATGTTGTTATCTTTGACATAATCATTGGTGATAATAGTACAAAGGCGTTTTCGAGGATGCAATAATGAAGTGTCGTATACTTTGGACTGGTTGGATGTAATGAGAGAATCGTTAGCTTGAACAAGTTGAAAAGTACGTTTCATTCCATTAGTATTTTGTTCCATAGAATGCACTAATAAATCATTTTGGCGCAAGTTGGTGATTTTGAATAGACTATCAGACTTGATATCATGGTTGCTATTGGTTCGATCGGCAAGTGGTCTTGAAATAACTAAACGTTCCAAGTTCCTTTCTTTCTTTGGATTTTTTTCTTCTTGACTTTGTTTTGGTTGGTTGTCTTGTTGTTGTTGTTGGTATTGTCGTCTTTTTTCAATCGGCCAAGTGATACCGTGATAAATCAACTCCATACGATTCCATAGTCGATGCTAGACAAATAACAAAAAGTATTAGAATTAGATCAGTCTATTCAGTATTTATTTAGTTATTTATTCCTTGATTATTACTTACTAGAATATTTCTTCTGGTAGGAGGATTAACTTGAAAAGTCCATTCGATATTTACTTCCAAAGGTAATTGTAAGTTAATGATAGTCATTGTATCAGGATCAGTAAGTTGAAAAAGGATATGATCTGTAGCTAAAGCAGCTTGGTATACTTTCATTATAGTAATACAAACAAAGAATTTAAAAGAAATGATAAAACAAAGGAAAAACAAATAAACAATAAAGGAACAGCAATATTTTTTTTTTCTGCAAAAGCGGAGTAAGAAATTCGATCATGCTTTCTACTTTCTCATTGTGCCAAAAAACGAAAAAAAAAGATTTCTTTGATCTTTTTCCCTTTCTTACATTTGGACTTGAAAACTTACTTCAACATGTTTACAAAATGCTTCTTATCACAAGAGAGCAACTACGTGATTAAAAAAAGGAAAATATAGAAATTATTGAACAGGAAAACAGATATATATTCTTATCTCAAGTAGGTTCTCGACATCAATAACAATCAACTCTTTTTTTTTTTATTGTACAATTGGTTATGGAATGGTACAACCTGAAAATATCCAAACTCAATGAAGGGTACTTGCTAGACGACTCGACCGCAATTGCTCAAAATATTTTGAAACAATACAATATGGAGAAGACTTTCCTTTGGATTAGTTACAGTCACTCGACATTACCACATTATTTATCCTTCCCCCAACTGTAGTAGTATATTGCTAGTCTTTTTACCTTCCCAGACCCCTCATTTTTGTCTCTATGTATTTTTTTTCTATTCATATCCTTCCGAATAAACAAAATTGATCATATATATATATATATATGTTGAAAAATATTTTTTTTCTTTGAACAAAAAAACAAAACAAGATTTTTTATTTCGATAGATTTAATCTAAACAGAAAAAATGCCGGTATAGGAAAGAAAAAAAGGAGGAGTTGTGGCTATAATAGTAATAGGATGATACAAGATGGATGAAAATAGGAGGAGAAATTGTCTATCGTTTATCGTCGAAGTTTTTGTCATTGATGATTTAAAGGCGATCACGAGAGTAACTAAAAATAAAAATAAAAAAAAAAGTTAATCTCTAATCAACATTTTTGAAATTCAAGATGACAAGGGGGGATGTTTCCATTTCATTTCCGCTATGATTTTTTTTTTTTTTGTGACGGCGGTGGATATACTTACGTCTTGGAGAACTTTTGGTTGACGGTCATCAACTTGATTTGAGTATCTTGATCAATGTTTCTCCAGGGGAAAGGATTGTTGGTACGATCCCATACAACATCAGGACCACTATAAATAAAAATAAGAAATTCATGCAAAATATTAGTTACAATAAAATGTTTTCATATAATTAAAAAAAAAAAAAAATGGGATGATTTTTTTTTTGAATTCCTTACCGAGCCAATCGGGTCAAATACCAACCAGCAAGACCAACAGCAGCACCCATGGTGACATAGATGGGGATGATTTCGTGTTTATACCAGATAGACCAGAAAGATTTCTTAGCAGTGTTGGCAGCAGCAGCAGACATGTTGTATATAAAAAGAGTAAAAGAAGGAAAAAAAAAAAGATAAAGGAATTTGTTTTCTTTTAGGCCCTGGCGATATTTATAAGTGATTTAAAAAAAAATAGATTCCACTCCGAGAGCAAATTTTTTTCAGGGGAAATCCAATCATTGATCTTAAATCATGATTCCGATCGGCTCCGCTGTCCAATCACTTCTATTATGATTGTCCTGAAAGGTATAAACGAATCGTTGTGAAGCGGTTGTTTGACCCCAGGTGTTAATTGTTTAATGTACTCTTTGGTATTAAAAAGTTAATCCGGATAAGGATGATGATGAATAAACAGAGATGATGGTCATGATGATCATAAATACCTTCTTTTTTTTTTTTCTATTACAGAGATGATGATCATAATGATCATAAATACCTTCTGTTTTTTTTTCTATTTTTACCTCCATAGAAAAGAAAAAAGATAAGAAACAGTCTTCGATATATGATAGAGATAAGTGACGACATTGACTAGTATGAAATGTCGCTTATTCCTTTTGACGCACCCACACAACCGTCAATCAGATCATCATTGGTCAACTCTCACAAACAAAATGTGAATGCTGCGATTAAAATTGTGATCATTATCCACCAATGGAATGTAGTCTCTACTCATGCCCGTTTTTGATGGACTATAAAAAACATATCCACTTGAGAGTAATCGTTTTTTCAGTTTTAAAAAAAAAAAAAAAAAAAAAATAGAAAGTATTGTGCGGAGAAAATGATCAAAGTGATTCATCAGAACCGGCATAAACTGTTTCTACAAATATGAATAATAATAGAAACATGAAGGTTGATCCATCAAAAGTCAAATAATTCAGTGCATCATTCAAATCGCCTTTTTATTTTATTTGAGAGTATGTTGTATTATACTATGACAAAAGAGAAAATGATATGAAAAAAAAAAAGAATGAGGAAAAGGAAGAGAGAAAAGGAGAATGAAGAAAATATCCTAATTTGAGTCAAAAGAAAAGAGAGGATTATGACAAGTAGACAGGGTAAATATGAAGAAATAATAACAATCAAAAAAAAAAAAAAAAGAGAGGGAGAAAAGACATCGAGTATATGAAAGGAATGTATCATGAAGGAGACAAAGAATTTCGTTGTTGTAGATCACCATCCTGATGACGACCTTGTGCTTCCAAACGAGCCTTGAGATCAGCAATCTCATTTTGATATTTTAGATTAGCTTCCCGGTACTGATCCACTTGTTGTCGTAATCCAACCACCTCTTCCACTAGTCCTTGAATATGTTGTACGGCTCGACTCAGAATACGAGACTTATTCTTTTCATTTCCTGGTATCACCTTTCCAAGATCAAGCATGGCTTGGTTGATCGTTTCGCGTCGTTTCCTTTCTACCTTTTTATGGTTTTCCTTTCGAATTTCATACCATTCTACTGACCCAGGTGTTGGTTTGCCGGTACTTCGTTCACTATATCAGTTTCATATTCCAAAATAAATAAAAAGAGAATAAATTATGTAAGTTTGTTATGCTATCCTATTTTTTTTTTTTTATTATTATTATTATTCCTCCACTTACGTCTTTTTTGTTGATGTTTTCATAGCAGGTTCAGTTTGGCCCATATCCATAACAGCACAGTCTACTTGCGAATCCTTGCTGTCCTTGGTATCGTTTGTTGAAACATTTGGCATTGTGGAATAAAAAAAAAAAAAAAAAAAAAAAAAAGAAAGAAACGGGGGGAAGAGGAAAAGGAAAGAAAGAAAGGGGAAGGAGAACGAATTTTTTTTTTTATCCAGTTGCCAATTCTTGTTTTCCACTGAGTACATGTGATCTGCTCAAATCACATGGTTTTTGGTACAAATGGTGTGGTGTAACCGTAAGGTTGGTAAAGTCCATAATATATATATACAAGCATAAAAAAGAAATTGAATATAAATGGATGACCACTGCATTTATAACTCTACTATTATCTCTCATTATAATCACAATTTGAAAATAAATAATATAAAAAAAAACAAAAGAATGAATCATAATTGTAAAACATCTAACGTGCCAAATAAAGAAATCAAGAAAATAATAAAAAAAAAAAAAAAGTTATCCTGACACATGTCTACAACCTATCACCTTAACTGCAACTCCTTTCTTTCTTTTTCACTCTCCCTTCGCCTCATCCCTTTTCTTTTATAGATTTAGATTTATTCAAACTACTTTTCATATAATATTTTTTTTTTCTTCACCTTGATACTCTTTCAATAACTAAAGACAAGGCACGTGTTTCATCAGCAAAAGGAACAATGCTAAAAATACCCCATTGAGAATTCGGATCATCAAATATTCAGAATCAGTATGATACAATAAAAAAAAAAAAAAAAAAAAAAAAAAAAAAAAAAAAAACTACCCATTTAACAAAATCATCATCATATAAATCATCATTTCAATTATCTACTAAAAATATATATATATATATATATATATAATTTTCCAATTTGTTTTATTATGACAATACTATCATTATGTAAATAAGAAAAATCAAGGAAGAAGGCAATAAAAAAGGTATAAGTATAAAATATAAAAAATGAGGAAGACAATGGAATGTTGCTACTACAAATCACACTATTTCTACAACTAGAGATAAATAAAAAGGGAGATATATATCACTGACCATGATGATATATTTTGACAATACCATCTGCACCACCACTGACCATCCAAGGAAATGATCTATGATATTGTATATCCAATACGCCTTCATCGCCTTTTTTCCTGTGAGCTGAAAATTCTTGAATACATGTCTTAGTCATTGCCATATCCCATAATCGAATGGAAGAATCATGTCCACCAGATACAAAAGTCATACCACTAGGATCCATGTCTAAACTAGTCACTGCATCCAAATGGGCTGACATTTTGAAGGTTGATTTACCACTATTGATATCAAAGAATCGAATTTGTCGATCTTCATGTCCAGATACGATGAGTGGCATTGTTGGATGACTGACCACTTTGTTGATTTGTGTTTTGCAAGTTGAATCTATTAAAAGAAAAATCCCCAATAGGTCAATATTTATTATCATATTCCCCTTTCTTTTTTTTACCATAATCATCGTCTGATCCTGTAAAGGTTAAAACAACTTTTCCAGTTTCAATATCAAAGAGACGGATTTTGGCATTGGTATATGAAACTACAAGTTTGTTAACATCTGTACGACAAAAATCAAGGCATGTTGGAGCTACTATAATAAATATATTAATAATAAAAGAAAAAAAAAGGAAGAAATGCACCATTGAGTCATTGGATCCTGTTTTGACATTGTTGTTCTTTTTTTTTATTATTATTATTACCATTTGAATCATCATCACCATAATCTTGTTCATTTTCATCCACATTGGTTCCTTCATATCCCCATGATCGTTTCAATAGTTCAGTAGTGCCTTGAGTATCCCATATCTTGACTTTACCATCTGCAGATGCTGAAGCTAATAAATTCGAATTAGGTGACAACTTGAAATCCCAAATAGCGTCAGTATGTCCAATAAAGGTAGTGATATAAAGTGATGGATCTACAGGAGAAAATGTGCCATGTTGTTCGGATGGTAAGCGCCAAACACGGATGGTAGCATCAAGACTTGAAGAATACACTCTATTTTGTTCACCAGATATAGCTACACCAGTAACAATATTGCTATGTCCTCTATATGTGGCTGTGGCATCCAAATCTTCATGTGATCTATCAAGAAGGAATATGTATATGTTAAACTTCATTGTACAATGATCCGTAGAAGAACTTACTTTTTAAGTGTAGTTCCGTCAGCACCTGTAGATCGTTGTAAGTTGATAATCTTGACTGTACCATCATCAGATCCAGAAGCAACTAACATTTCATTTGGATGAAAAGCAACAGCACGGACCGAATCCAGATGACCCTTGAATATCATTTTAGTTTTCCATAGTTTAGGTGTTTGTGTATCAGACTTTTGATTCTAATTTCCATAAAGAGAAGAAATACGATCTTGTGATGAGTTCCATTCCTTTTATATTCCTCTTTTTTTTTCTCTCTCTCTTTCTTTCTATTACTTTAATATCAGAATCGATGCTGTCAAAATTCAAAGCCATTTCTTGGGGATCAGGAGAGCCAGATCTTGTAGAAGATTCTAATGAATGAACAACAATAATATATTTATTAGTGATAACACATTTCAATGGAAAAATAAGAAAATAAGAAAAAAGATCAATTCACATAGATACTTACTTTTTATCACCTTGCTTGCATTTCTTAACATTTTCTGTACCTTTTCATCAGAAATATTATATTTCTCTTGCATCTTCTTGGACTGTATTGATGATCATTCATAATAATAATAGTAATAATAATAATAAAAAGAAAAGATGAGTAATGAATTACTATCCCAAGATTATATATATAAATTGTCTTTTTTTTACCAGTGTTTCATTATCATCTTCAGTTAACATCACTTGATCACGCGTAATAGGATCGATAGGAGTCATAGAATGGCGGGGACTAGTAGTTGCATTATCAATCATGGCTATTTCATCCACATTATCCATAGTTGAAGTAGAAGTAGAAGTGGAAGTGATGACAGGAGGAGGTGAAGGTGGCGATTGTAATTTCCTATTATCTGATTTATCATCATCTTCATCATCGTCCTCTTCAAGTGAAACAGATTTGCTTTGTTGTTGGTTCTTTTTATCGTTGATCATAGTTGGAGTGATACTTGTGGGATAAGTACGAATTTGTGTTTGTGCAGTTGGAGAAGTTGGAGAATTGTTTTGTTGTATTGGCGTATCATTTTGGGTATTATTATTATTATTATTATTATTATTTGTTGATGATTGTTGTTGTTGTTGTTGTTGTTGTTGTGTTGAATTTCGATTGTTTGGATTGTTTCGTACAGAATTTGCCAAAGTATATGTCAAAGGTAATTTGGTTGGCATGGATGTCAAATAATTGATTTCTTTGAGACACCTAAAATAAATAAATAAACAAATAAATAAATAAATTTTAAGGAGGAAGTGAGAATAATAGTAATTTGATAACATACGCTTTCAGAGTTTGTTGACTTTTTTCTCGCATTTTACTATCAGCGATAGATTCCATTGTAGGTGACATTGATGACAAGTTAGTTGATGTAACATAAGGTAATTGACGTTTTGTTTGAGAAGAAATTCCTACTGTTGCTATTCATAAAAAATAAAAATAAATTAAAATCATAATAATAATAATAATAATAAATAACGTGTTTTATATGATAAAAATCAAATATTCACGTACGTATATCAGTCAAATCCACTTGTACTTTATCATCCAATACATTTTTTGGAGGTTGATCAATAATAGATCCAAGATAACGTTTTCTACAATACATTAAAAAAAAAATCAATTTCCTTTTTCATCTTACTATTTTTTTTTCTATTATTTTTTTTTTTTTTTTACCTTTCCTGCCTCAAAGCATATTCCAACATTTTCACTCTTTTGATCAAATCAGTTTTAAGATTTTCTACACCTCGTCGTTCACCTTCCAGTAATGCTATACGAGCCTATAAATAAATAGAGAGATTAGATATCAATAATAAAATAGTAATATCATCAATACCTTTAATTCAGCTCTTTCTATAGCCCATTCGTTCCTTTCACGTTCAAAGCGTCGCCATTCAGCTTGTAGATAATGAAGTACACCAGGTAAACTGTATTCCAGAGAATCACCCAACATGTATAAATAATATCAAGGTGAATAAAATGAAGATAAATCTAAAAAAAAAAAAAAAAAAAAAAAAGAGAGAGAGAGAGAGAGAGAGAGAGAAAAAAAGGTTAGTTTACCAAAGAAAAGAAAATGACGACTCCTATTTTTTTTTCCCTCTCTAAAATCAAAAGAAAGGTATCTAGAGATGATCACTCCTTTTTCTTTGTATCCATTTTTGAACTTACTTTTTACACACGTATGCAAACACACAAATGTATACAAACTATTTATATTAAAAGAGAAAAACTCTTTTTCTTTTTTTCTGTATAATAAAGAAAAAAGAGAAAGAAAGAAAAAAAAAACCAAAAAAAAAAATGCGGAATTGAAAATATATCAAGGTAATAAGATTGGTTGTACACTTTATTCACTTTTCTATCTATCTTTCTTTCTCTTTTAATAACTTTTAAAACTAAATAAAACTATTTTATTTCATTTTTAAATTATATATTCTTCTTGCATTTATTTTTATTTATAATGAAATGATGAAAAAATAGACTTATAGGACAATAAAAATTGTAGAAAGCGGCATTGAGACATTTCAATATTTTCTCTTTTCTCCTCTCACTCACGTTGACTTGATCTGATTGGCTCAAATCTTTATTCTTTTCAATCACAGCTAGGATAAATTTTTTGAGAAAGAAAAAAAAAAGGTGTTTGTTTCTGGTTGGTTCTTTTACATTTTTCTCTTTTCTTTTTTTTTTTTTCTTTTCTTTTTTTACTCTATCATCCCAAAACTATATATTTTTCAAGATGGGTTCTCCTAGTTTTTTGACTTCTCCTATGTTCAATATTGCTTTCATGCTGGTCACTATGCAAGTTGGTAAGAAGATCGATTGGGAAGATCCATCTACTTTGATGATTGCTCGTATTGGTTATTATGGTGCTCAAGTTTTAGTTCTCCTCTTGGCCTATGCTTTGATGCAATTGGTAAAGAATAAGAATGGTAAGTTAATAATAAATAATAGAGATATACAAGAGAATGATTTAGAATGAAATGAAGAAAGAAATTATTTAATATTTTTATTTTATTTTATTTTATAGATACTACTGTATTAAAGTATACTGAAACCAAGGCTGGTGCTACTCAAGGACAACAAGTAGAAACTACTACCGTTGCTTACGATGTGGCTCAAGTACAACAATTCATTCAATCTACTTTAACTTCAGTAGCTATGATCTCTTTAATGCACTGGCAATTCAAGTTTACTCAACCTCTTCTTCTTCAATCCATTTTACCTTTCAAGAACTTATTGGCTCACAAGATTGCTCTTATCTATCTCTGGGGTGATGCTCCTGAAGGTGCTTTGAAACGTCCTTTCCAAGCTGAAAATCCTTTTGCTGCTTTGATGGGTGGTGCTTCCCCTACTGCTGAACCTGCTGCTGCTGCTGCTGTGGATGATGGTCATGAAAAGAAGGATTAGATAGATTTTTTTTTTTAGTTTTTTTTTTTCATTTTTATTTTTAGACAAATTATAGTATATTCGGTACCATATACATTTATTTAGTATTCTATTTTGTACATAATACATATCAATATTGAAATAAATAAATAAAAAACGAAAACAAGGAAAATCGAGTCTTATTCATATTACATTCACTTCTCTCCCTCTCTCTCTTTCTCTCTCTCTCTCTCTCTCTCTCTCTCTCTCTCTCTCTTTCTCTCAATTTGTATTATTGTTATTGTTGTTACTACTGTTGTTATCGTAGTTTTTGATTCATTGTTCTTCACATACTGTATCATGATTTATTTTATTATTCATGAAAATATTTTACCTTTTTGGTCTTTTTTTTTTCTCTTGTCAGTGTATGATGTTTGCTCAATCTTCCAAGTTTATCTCCTTCAAATTATCAGTTAAGAGTTTATTATTTCATCATGTCGAGCTTGGTTGTATAACAACCATAGACTTTCATCTCTCTTTTATTTTCAGCGCCATTTCAAATCTCGGGCTGCTCTGCTTCTCTCTCAACCTTTTTTCTTGCCCATAATTTTTCTCTTTCCTCTTATTCTTTTTTTTTTTTTTTTTTTGGTGTCATTCATTCAACTAAATTAAAAAAAAAAAATTGATTCGACTATAGAAATGACATATACACCTTATACCTTACAGACTCTATTACCAGCACATATTATAGAAGAAATATTACAATCCAGCTCACCAGATAGTTCCGCTTCAGCATCACCACCTTCTTTATTCACTCGTCGATCCACTACACCCTCATCACCTACAAATAATAATATTATCGCTTCTTCTCCTCCATCGAAACTTAATGCTAGGTTTAATAATCTTATATCGTCTGGAAATACACCTCCAAAATTTACTATTGATTCTGTCGAAGCTTGGGGTAATAAAAAATTATTTATATCATTTATTGAAACTAAATATTATGCTTTATTCAATCCAGGTAATGATCTATATCTTGGTACTTCTGATGGTCAAATTCTACACTTTATATTGGAAGAACAAAGAAATAATTCACAAGTAAGGAAAAAAAAGAAGAAGAAGGTGAAAATAGGCATTCATTATTCATTTACCTGTTGTTTAGTTTACTGGTGTACCTTATGTATCTAAATTACAAAATAAAATCTTTTTGGGATATGGCAAAAAATCAGTGGAACGTATTCTTGTGATTCCTCAGGTGTCCAAAGCAGTTGTTCTATGTGGTAAGTTACTCGAATAAAGAAGAAGAAGAAAAAAAGATATTTACTATTATTTTATAGATTCGACGCTTTCTTTTTACTCTTTACCATTTTTTGATCCTATGCCAGTATCATCCATTGCACCCATTAAAGGTGTATCCAGTTTTACACATGATGCAGCTGAAGAAGGAAGAATCGGTGTAGATGGTACAATTGAATTATGTGTGGTCAAACGTCGCGTGATGCAAATCTACAAGATGGGCGAATTTCTGCAAATGAAAAAGGTAGGAATTCATTATAGTAAAAAAGAATAGCTCATTATTATTATTATTATTATTATAGGAAATCCCAATTCATGATGGTGCTATCTTTGTTATACGCCATAGTCGAAGTCTTTGTTTGGCTGATTATCAACAATACAAACTTATCAACATTGATCCTGTCAATATTATTCCTCTTATTCCTACACCACATGAAGCTGTTTCACCATCCCTATCCTCTGGAATGCTTTCAACTACTCCTCAAATGGTTCCAAAACCTGTTGCAGCAGTGGTCAAAACAGATGAATTCTTGGTAGTCAGCGGAAGTGCCAGTAATCATATCCTTTTTTTTTTTTTTTAGATCAATAGACATATACATCGATAATATTATATTATCCTTCACCTTTGATTTTTTTTTCTTCTTTCTTTCTTTGGACAAATACAAACAATTGGTATATTTTTAGATGCTCTTGGGAACGCTATCCGGGGAACAATGCAATGGTCAAGCTATCCAAAATCTATTTGTGTGGAATACCCTTACACGGCAGCTCTATTGAAAAATAACACTATTGAAATTCACAACCTCAATAATCAACAACTACTACAAGTCATTCATATCGATCCTAATATGGAAGCACGTGGTATGTCATTTGGTCATGGCATTAAAGTACATCTTGATGAGCTTACGAAACGACTACATCGATCACCATATAACACAACACCATTATCATCATCATCATTAAAAGAGAGTAACGATGATGAATTACGATCATTCTTGAAACGTGAAGTAGCTCGCTTATCCACAGTACCAGCTAGAATATTGGTTTATGGAAGTAATTCAGTGTTAGCTCAAATCATTACTCCTTTGGTGATGCAGGTCGACGCATTAATCGATGATAATCATATTGAAGAAGCAATGGAAATGACTGATCAAGCTCGCAATACAATGTCTCCTACTAATAGCATTCATGTAGAAAGAATGGTAATTAAAAAAAGAAAAAAGAAAAAATGTTCAATCAAAGTAGTTTTGCCTCAGGCTGATTATTGCTTTTTTTTTTCTGTGTCCTTTATATATAGAGAAGTGAACTAGATTATATATACCAAAAATGTGGGTTACTGATGTTAAAGGAAACTGTATTTGAAGATGCTTTTACACTCATGTCCAAAGGCAACTTGGATCCAAGACTGGTGATACAACTTTTTGGTGAGCGATTGATATCGCAATCTTCCGATGATTCTCATCCTATATTGTTGTTTGACGGTATCATCGATATACTGGAAAATATGAAAACTATAGATGACATAGGTATGTTATGATCACATTGAATATATTGTGTATAATAATTTGTTATTCTAATGACTCGTTCCCTTCTTTTTTTTTTTTTTCTTTACATATAGTATCCAGCAACATGGCCAAGAACTATCCTGATCAGAAAGAAAATTCATCAAGTACTATCATAGAAATGCGACGCGTATTATTGGAAAACGCAAAAGAGGCAGTGCAGAAATATTTACTTGCTGAACGTGGAAAACGAAGGGATATATTAGGAAAAGGAAATTATATGTGCAAGGTAAGTCAATAAAAATATGATTTTAATAACGGGGGAGGGGAGAAAATAACATACCGTACAAAAGTGAATGATTCATTAATCCCATTCTTTTGACATAGGCGATAGACACTGCCCTATTGAAACTATTTACGACTAACAATGACACTTCTATGCTATACCGTATATTGAAGGAACCCAATGATTGTGATCTTGAAGAATGTCAACAAGCCCTTTTACAGTCCAAGGTAAATTTAAATATATATATATATATATATGACAAAAGGATTTGGCAAATAGTATTTACGTTTCCTTTTTTTTTTTTTTTTTGTGGTAGAGATATTATGCATTGTCCATATTTTATCAATCAAAGAATATGCTTGAAAAATCACTGGATCTCTGGATAGAGTAAGTTGATTATAGCAACAAAAGTTGAAAATGCTGCGTAGAATGGAGATGATGACTCAATATTTTTAATTATTAATATGTTTTAGAATATATGAAGGCAAAAAATTGGATGATGATTTCAAAGAAGGATCTGGAAAAATGAAACAAATATTACTCTCGAACACTGATTTACCTTTACCAGTTTTCATGCGCTACACATGGTGGCTCATGAAAGAAAATTCGACTGATGGTGTGGAAGTGATGATTCGATCTCCATTAGCAGCAGAAATGGATCCAGGCATGATTTTGGAAAAATTGGTTTCTTTCGATACTGGAGCAACAAGGGCATATTTGGAATATCTTGTGATAACTCGACAAAGTGTAGTTCCCGAATATCATACACAACTGGCGTGTACTTATGTAAAGGATGTACAACAAGAAATAGAGAAATCTGGCAATGCATCTGCAGAACTGATAAAATTAGGTAAGTGAGTAACAGTGAAATTATATAGATAGAAATACTGACTTTTTTTTTTTATTATAATTATTGTTATTATTACAAGTCGAGGACTTTAAGAAATCCGTTGATCCATTGAAACCAAATATGGAAAGCGAAACGTTTGTGGGATATCTTGGACGTTTACAACACAATGAATCAAAACTTGTACAAGTACGACTGGCACTACTTCGACTACTTCAACAATCACAACTATACGATGCAAACATTGTTTTGAAAAGTTTATCAGAAGATAGCCCTCTATATATTGAAAAAGCAATTATTTTTGGAAGGGTAATGGATAGTGATGAAAATTGACTTTTTTCTATTACTCATTTTTTTTTTTTTTTTGGAACGATAGCTTGGAAAACATCAACGTGCTTTGGATATACTAATACATGAACTTGGTGACTTTGTTGGTGCTGAAACATACTGTGCAACGAATGGAAAAAGTACTGGTATTATTCCTATTTGATTGTAGATACTTCTTTTTCTCTACTTTTTGAGGTATTCAATAAAATTCATCTTCCGCTTTTTTTTTTATGGTCTCTATTTTATTCTTTTTCTTCCTTTCTTCTTTTCTTTTTTTTTTTTTTCTAATATACTTATTTGGTAGTTTAGATTATATTTCAAATAGATGAATCCTCAGCGAACGTCATCTTTACCCCAACAAAAGGATGAAGAACTATCTCTGTCGTCTTTACAACTGGAAGAAGAGGAAGTATTAGATCCAGAACAACTCGCCGAACGAAGACAGCTCTTTTTTATGTTATTACGAACCTATTTGGCAATTGAAGACAAGTAAGAAATGAAAATATAACTTTCAATAAATTAACATTTCTTTCTTTATTTTTTTTTTTTTTTGTAGGCAATTGATGCTAACAAGAACTTTACACTTATTAAACACACAAGGATATTATTTGGATGCTATCGAAGTAAGAATTTATCACATTGTCGTACCTCATTCTCACCTGACTTCTTTTTTTTTGGAAAAGGTATTGAGTATTATTCCGGATGACTGGCCGTTGGAACGACTAGATAACTTTTTGATACATTCTTTACGGCGATCGCTACACGATTATCGAGAGGGCCAAGTAGTACTTGGGATGAGTCGTGGCGAAAATCTCATGGTAAGTAATGGATTGCGTTGTTACTATTTTCCTACTTTAGGACATTGATAAAAGTTTCTTTTTTTTTTTTTTTTTCTTCCTCCTTATTGTAGGTAGCCAGTGAATTATATGATATCTTTCAACGTGTGGGACCGACCAAGGTAGATTCTACAACCATATGCACGCATTGTCATTATTCTATTGGTGATGCTATTGATTCTATTGTATGTGATCAAGATAATCAAATCTTCCATCTGAATTGTGCAAGAAAACGAAATATATGGCATTTGGACAATGATGTGAGTAGAGACGAGCAAGCAACTAAACCAAAAGCAAATGGAACCCAACGATACGAGAACACCAATATAGTGTAGTTTTCTCTATTTTTATTCTTATTTTTATCCATTTATTCTATTCCCTTGTATATTATATTCCTTTTTATCGATGATGATGATGATGCTAATAGATCACTGTATTATTATAATAAAATTCATTAGAACAATTTATAATCATATCCTTATTTTCCAACAAATAAACATATTACATAATGTATTTATAAAAGTATTTTTGTATGATCTCATGCTAATCAATACTTTATAGTATTCATATTCATTCCATTCATTTCTAATAACTAGAGGATCCTTTTGTAAGTAGATATCAATCTTTATTCAAAATAATTGATTATTGGTACTAAACTACTTGGACTAAACTAAAGCAGTATAAAACTGTAAAGGGATCTAAAGTTTAAGTCAGTTTTCGAATGTATTTGTCCTATCAGCGTATTTCGTACTTACAATGTATGTGTAAAATAAAAATATAAAAAGAATGCATTCAGATACAAAAAAAAAAAAAAAAAAAAAAAAAGTACATGTTGAAGGTGGAATCAATTCTGTTGATAAGTAGCAAAGTAATTGTAATAAAATAAAAGGAACTTTATATGTATTAATGACTACATTGGAAATACTAAAAAAAAAAAAAAAAAAAAAAAAAAAAAAAAATCAATAGAAAGAAAAGAAAGAAAGAATATAAAAATTATCGCGACTTTGAAAATCATTTCTGCTCCCAGTTTCTATTTATCTACACGGCAAATAAACACGGCTATTCATCATCCAATTACATTGCTCCCTACTTCTTCTACTAACAAAAATGAACAAACTTGAATGGACAAAATCCGTATTTAAGCACTAAATGAGCAAACTTGAACAAACTTTTTCATTCCCAGCCGTTTCACTTTATCATGCAGTTTTCGATTCAGAAAAAACAGAAGCTGGGATAGTATAGTGGCAGTACATTGCGTTGTGGCCGCACTGACCTGAGTTCGATTCTCAGTCCCAGCACTTCCTTTTGTTTTTACATCGATCATCCGGTTAAAGGATTATCCAATGATACGTGTAAGTTTTTTTTTTTTTTTCATATCCATGACGTTTTTGTTAAATTTATCCATTTGTTTTGCATGATTGTAAATTGATGATTATGTATAGTGAGCACTAACTTTGGTAAAGCATTAAAGTCATTTCAAAGAAGTGTAGTAAAAAAAAAAAAAAAAAAGAAAAGGGGCAGGCAAAATGGATGATTCTCCTGTCAACCAATAAAATTTGAGTATTTGATTCTAAGTAATCCATATTAGGAAATAGTGATGAAAAAATAAATGACTTTTACTTTTTTTTTTATTATTATTATTAAGAGAAAACCATACTAAGAAAAATATAAAAAAAAAAAAATATATTGTAAATATCCTCTATTATATTGTAGTAATACAATATATTGTTAGTAGAATGACATTAAAGAGAAGACGAAAAAAAGAGGATGTAAAAAAAAAGTGAATTGCAGTGACATTACAATGTTAATGTCTACAGTATATATTTTTTTTTGTAGCCTTAATTTGATGAAGATTTGTGAAATGATTTGATGATATTATTAAAATAAAAAACATTTTGTGGTGACTGAGCAGTAGTAAGCATCAGTTTTAATTTACAGGAACAAAAAAAAAAAAATGATTTGATACATTGAGTCCAAAAATGGTCTTTGTGAGTTAATCATAATAAAAATAACCAAGATATTGGTTTAATTCTTTTTTTTAAAAAAAATAAAAGGATGTACTATAAGTAGACTGATTGATGATTTCAAAAAAGTAAGCATTATATATAAAAGTGATTACTGTCTTTGGATAGACTGAGTTTGCTGTTAAAGTGTTGGATTTTTTTTTTTTTTTTTTGTGGATATTCTTTCTTTTCGTTTCTTCCTCTTTATTTCATTTATTTTTTTTTTAATAGATCGTATTAGAATGACAAATGAAGGTAATAAAAAAAAAAGTTTTATAATAATCTCGTATGATTTTATTAATGAATACTTTTAGTGACATCTGAGAAACTAGCTCAAGTTTTCAATAGTCTTGAAACTGGAACTCGATTTGCGACAATGGTAAATAAAAAAAAAATAATTTTTCTTTTTATTCATTTTTTTTTTTTTTATAACGAAAAATAGGAAAACACGACTGAAAAAATACGACGAGAACTTGAACAAACTTTTCTTACACCACAAGAAACATTTCCAACATCATGGCTGAATAAGTGTCAAGAGTAAGTACTCTTCTTTTTTTTACTTGACATTGATCAAACAAGAGCTTATTCTATTTTATTCTTATTGATATTATAATTTAGACATTGGGATGAAGAACCAGACTTTTATTCATTTGCTCATGAACAATTGGCCAAACCTAGAACTGATATACAAGTAGTACGTAAAGGATATGACGGTGATATCATTGGTTATCGTGAAGCTTTACAAGATGATCCAAACCTTTTGGCAACCAATTCAACAAGTTTAACTCGCGCTTTTGGTTCCACGAAAGACTTTGTAAGAGGAAAAGCTTCTCAGTTTCCTTTTGCACCTGGTGGTTTGGAAGTTGAAGTTATGGATGAAACAGCATTACATTCGAACCAAAAGGATAATGTCGACGTTATTATTGATCTTACATTTTTGGAAGACTTGGATACTCCAGCCATAGCTCCAGGCATTGACCGTGGATTACGATTTGAAGACGAACAAGAACATTTAGCTCCAGTATCAACAAAAATATTCAGTATTGAAGACATGATCAAGCCTGATGACACTTCTTTTGATTTTCTGGAAGTTAAAACAACTGAAGAAGAACGAAATGAATTGACAACTACTACGGTACAATAATAATATAAAATATCATCACATTTATCTTACTCATTAATTCTCTTTCTCTCTCTCTCTCTCTATATATATATATATATAGGAAAAAGAATCTGGATCGTCTGACGTACAAGACGTCGATTCTTTGCTACCTGCTCAAATACCTCAAGCTCAACCTACTACTGTCCTATCAAAGAAATTGAAATCCGTCAATGAAGCTCACAAGCGACGTGATTGGGCTCACGAAATCAATGTCAATCAACCTTTCGATAACTTTCATGAAATGGTACCAGAAATGGCTCAACATGTAAGTTTTTTATTTTTAACAATCTCATCTTTTTCATTTTACTAACTGATTTTGGTATCTTAAATATAATATAATATAATAGTACCCATTTGAACTTGATACCTTTCAAAAGCATGCTGTCTATCATTTGGAAATGGGTGATTCTGTTTTTATAGCAGCACATACATCAGCTGGCAAAACTGTAGTGGCAGATTATGCAATTGCATTAGCTTCAAAGCATATGACAAAGTAAGTTTTAGAAAAAAAAAATAAAAGAGGGAAGAAAGAATCAAGTGATTTATTTATTTCTATTTCAATGACATAGGGCTATTTATACTTCACCCATCAAAGCTTTATCGAATCAAAAATTCCGTGATTTTAAACATACATTTGGTGATGATGTTGGTATCCTTACTGGTGACGTCCAAATTCGACCTGAAGCTAGCTGTTTGGTGATGACAACGGAAATTCTACGAAGTATGCTGTATCGTGGTGCTGATCTCATTCGGGATGTGGAATTTGTTATCTTTGATGAAGTACATTATGTCAACGACTTGGAGGTATGTGAATATGAAATATATATGATATGGTAGGATCTTTTTTTTTTCTTTTAACCTCTTTTTTTTTTTTTTTTTTTTTTTTTTTTTTTTTTTTTTGCCAGCGTGGTGTGGTATGGGAAGAAGTCATTATTATGTTACCAGCACATGTCAATATTATTTTACTATCTGCTACTGTACCAAATACAAAGGAATTTGCTGATTGGGTTGGGTAAGAAAATCAATTGCATACCGAACGAAGATGATGATTGACTGAAAACAACTTTATCAACGTTTTTATTCTTATAGCCGGACCAAGAAAAAGGATATCTATGTGATCAGTACCCTCAAACGTCCTGTACCCTTGGAACATCATCTATATGCTGGAAAAGAGGTGTTTAAGATTGTTGGAGCCCACGAAACAAAACTCAATGGCATCGAGTAAGTTTGAAATCGTGGATTAGTTATCGAAATTATGATTGATGTGCCCTTTTTTTTTATTTATAGATATAAAAAAGCTAGCGATGCTTTATCGAAACGCAAGGATCAACGAGAATCATCAAATGGTGGTCGTGGAGGAATCGCAGCTGGACGAGGTGGAAGAGGTGGTGGCCGTGGTGGAACTGTGGTACGTACTCCTGTGAAACAAATTGGAAAAAGTTATCAACAAGCATTACAAACGGTAAAATCATAAAAAAAAAAGCGAAGATAATAATCTGTTTTTATAAAAGGGTCCTCATCATTTATCTTCTTTTCTTTTCGTTTTGTTGGAAAATAGGATCGGAATATGTTTGTTCATTTGATTGGCCACTTGAATACCAAGCAATTATTACCTGTGGTCATCTTTACCTTTTCCAAGCGTCGATGTGAAGAATATGCTAGTAGTCTTTCCAAAACTGATTTATGCTCTAGCTTGGAAAAAAGTGAAATACATGTTTTTATTGAACGCAGTCTTGTACGCCTACGTGGTACCGATAAAGAACTTCCTCAAATTCTCAGAATGCGTGATTTGCTCTCTCGAGGTATTGCTGTGCATCATGGTGGTTTATTACCAATCATCAAAGAAGTAAGTATTCTGTTTGGAAAGTCAGGGCGATTCTGATAGAATTGATTATAATACCTTTTTTTTTTTTAAATCTTGTAGATTGTTGAAATCCTATTTGCTCGTGGACTTGTCAAGGTGTTGTTTGCTACCGAAACATTTGCCATGGTAGGATGAAATATATATAGGTGTTCTGGTTTAATCAATTCTGACTCTCCCTCATTTTTTTATGCTTTTTATTATTATTATTATATTATTATTATTGACAGGGAGTCAATATGCCAGCGCGAAGTGTTGTATTTTCTGGATTACGAAAGAACGATGGGCGTGGATTCCGTGATCTTTTACCAGGTGAGACAAAATGAAATCCCTGAGTAAAATGGATAACGGCAGTTAAACAATACTAATATGTTATTTCCTCTTTCTCTCTCGATTAGGCGAATATACTCAAATGTCAGGTCGTGCTGGTCGTCGTGGTCTTGATTCTACTGGTATGGTGATTATTGCTTGTAGTGGTGATGAACCTCCCTCGGTAAGCCATATGTACTTTTTATATACCAATTGGGTGATATATCACTAGTTAAATCATTCCATTGATTTCTTTCATATGATTATTGTATAGGCTGCATCTCTCAATACAATGATTCTAGGAAAACCTACAAAACTTGAATCGCAATTCCGGTTGACATATAACATGATTCTCAACTTGCTTCGGGTAGAGGCGCTCAAGGTAGAAGAAATGATCAAACGAAGTTTCTCTGAAAACAGTAATCAACGACTTTTACCTGATACTCAACGACTTATGGACGAAAATGAACTCAAACGAAGCGCACTCAAACAAGTGGATTGTACAATCTGTAGTCCTGATCTATCAACATTTTACGACATATGTAGTCAAGTGATTCAACTTTCTCGTACCATGATCCAACAATTTATTGTCAATTCAGCAGTAGGCAACCGCGCCCTTTGTACAGGTCGACTTGTGATCATTAATACAAGTGTAAGTAATATATAGATTAAAAAAATAGTATACAAGTATTTATTTTTTCGGTATGTCTTAGATTTATCGCAATGTTCCTGCTGTTATCTTACGATCCCTTCCTGCTGCAGCTGGATCTGCGAATCAACAGAAACAGCTCCGATGTATGGTGTTAGTACCCAAGAATCTAGAACCAAATGTCATGAAAGGTAAAAAAAAAAAAAAAAAAAAAAAAAAAGGATTGGTATTCTTTTTATTATTATTACCATATAATCTTTCGTTATTATGCTAATCGATCTTTTTATATTCACATATTGATATCGACATATAATTAGGGGAAGAAGAAGCACCATTACCAGTGACATCTATTACCGTCGTGAAGGCCGACAATAGTCAAACAGAAATTGTGACCATAGGAGCTGGTGATATTATCTTGGTGACCAAGTCTATACTTAAGGTAAGAAGAAAAAAAATAGATGAAATATTACCTTCTTGGTTGTATTCTTTTGAAACAATGTTCTACAGATGAGACTTAATTCTTCTCTTTCTCTCTCTCTCTTTCTCTCTCTCTCTCTTTCTTTTTTTACCTTCTGATTTTAAATAGACCAATGCGGATGTACTTTTGACTGGACAAAACGATATGGAATTGGCACTTGCTAAACAAGAATTGGAAACATTTGGTGTGATGGCTCGAAAAGGTACAAATAATACAAGATTGATCTTTGTGTTGTTCCTAACCTTTTTTCTTTCCTTTGGATCATATTCATAGGTGACATCTTCGAGTTCGATTGGCAAAAAATCAAAGATATAGAATTCCAAGAAATGCTCAAGACAAAAACAAGCTTAATTCGACGATTACGAACCGAGTTTCAATGTACAAAATGTCCTGATCTTGATGATCATGTAAGTATAGAAAAAAAAAAAAAAAAAAAAAGAAGGATCGGTAATATTTAATGACAGTTTACTCAATTTTTGTAATAGTACGCTTTGATGCATGCTCATAAACATCTCTCTGGTCAAATCGATATGTTGAAACTCACTATTTCTGATCAAAACTTGGAACTACTACCAGATTATCAACAACGAATTCAAGTACTTCAACAATTGAACTATATAGATGATCAAGGAACAGTACAACTAAAGGGTCGTGTGGCATGTGAAATCAACTCTGCAGATGAACTCTTGCTAACTGAACTTGTACTGGATAATGTGTTTGCTGATTTTGAGCCTGCCGAAGTGGTTTCCCTTCTATCTGCGTTTGTCTTCCAAGAACGAAATGCCAGTGAACCAAGATTGACTCCCAAATTGACAAAAGGAAAAGATATCATTTTGACTTATGCCCGCAAGGTGGCTCAAATTCAAGCTGATTGTGGATTACCCATTTCAGTGGAAGATTATGTGAATGGTCTCAAGTTTGGGTTGGTAGAAGTCGTCTATGAATGGGCTCGTGGTTTGGTATGTTTATATATAAATATATGTATATGATTTATTCATCTCCTATCTTATTTTTTTTTTTTTTTTTTAGCCTTTCAAACATATTACTGATTTGACTGATGTCCTAGAAGGTAATCAAAAAAAAAAAAAAAATAGAGGGAAATAGTAATATTGATGAATGATTTTCCCTTTATTTGTATGTATATAATAGGATCCATTGTTCGATGTATTAGTCGTTTGGATGAAACTTGCCGTGAAGTGATGGGAGCTGCTAGAATGGTAGGGGATACAAGTTTATATAAGAAAATGGAACAGGCTGAAGAAGATATCAAACGAGATATTGTTTTTGCGGCTAGTTTGGTAAGTTTTTTATTGTCATCATTCCATAACGGTCTTTGATACTTACTTTTTTTTTGTGTGTTATAGTATTTTTAATCTATACCAAAATGATATAAAATTAGACTTTTTTTGTTTTCATTTTTTTGTATGCGCAGGTTCAGCGGAGTGAAAATGCAGGTTTTATTTTTGGGCATGAATTTTTTTTTTTTTTAAAAAATAAAGGTGTTTTATTGAAGAACAGTGATTTTTATTTCATTTTGAAAGATGGACTAAAAAAACGAATAATACTAGAAAATGATAGAAAAGGTATTGAATATATATAAGATGAAAACAAGGATCAGGCTGTACAAAAAAAAAAAAAAAAAAAGTGGTGTGAGGGAGTGTGGGAAGTGTTTTCGGGTATTGTTCATTGTATGATTTTGAGAAGAGTTTTTTCCAAAATGTATTTGCCTTCCTTGAATTTTTGCCGATCATCACTTGCTTTGACGTATTTCCAACCAAGTAAAGTCAAGCATCGTGTACATGAGATGGTCACAATCGTATGAGTTCCAGAAATCATCATCCTAAGGAAAGAAGAAGGAAATTAAAAAAAAAAATATAATAATAATCAGTAAACAGGTTGTAAGAAAATATCAATCCAATCCTTTCTTTTTACCTTTCTTCTTCTATATCATCCTCATCCACATTGACACTATATCAAATAAAGCTTAGATTATTTCCAGAATATTCGTCAAAAGTCACTTGCTATGACTTACACTTTTTGAAACAAATAAGCAGGTCCATGTTGTCCGTTGAATTCCTAGAACCAAAAAAAAAAAAAAAAAAAGAGACAGAAAGTGAGTAAGCAATGAAACTATTACAGAAAAAAGTATGAGATTCATTCATCTTGTGCTTGTTCACGTATTGTACCTTGGAGACAATTTTATCACTGGTAGCAAGGTGAGAATGACAAGTTGAACACCCAAATAGTTTTTTCCCTTCCTCTTGTTCCAAGTATTCCCGATACTTCAATCCCATGAATAGATTGTTTGATAGCCTAATAACACAAAATAAAATAAAATAAATAAAATAAAAAAGTTAGAAGAAAAGAAAGAAAGAAAAGAAAAGAAGTAAGCGAGACGAAAAATAAAAAAAAAAATCAACAGTAAAAACAAAAAAAATATATATATATATAAATACGGTCGGTATTTTATAAAATACAACCCGTTATAATAGATAAAAAAAAAAGTATATATATAAAAAATATATATGTCTTACCTATAACCAATAATCAACAAGTCATCGCCATCCAACTGATTTTTTTTTTTTTTTTTCACTTGCCATCCAAGTAGGCAGTAAGATCAGGGAACATCAGCTGTGCACGTGTTTAATATTTTGTCCAATAGCATGAGATCTTGTGGTCGAGATAACCGATGATTGCCATCTTGTACCAGATGAAGATGAATGGGTGTACAAGAAGAAGAAGAAGAAGAAGAAGGATGACGTTCTTTCAACCAATATAAAAGGTGATGTACATGTTGTAATGGAACATCTTGATCCAAAGCACCATGAATTAGATGAACCGGATAGGATATACTGCTGATATCATTGTTGGATAGAATCAGTGCATGTTGAGATTTTTCCAAAAATGAAACAGGGATATCATAATAACCATTGGAATCATATTCAGAAGGTCGTCTCCATATCTTGCCGTCATTTAAGAGCACAGATGCTTTTGTTGTTGTCTTCGTATTCATATTGTGTAGTTCTTGTAACCATCTTTCTGTTGTATCTACTGCTCCACCAATTCCAATGATCCCTTGTATGTATATTGTGTTGGTTGTAGAATTTGTAACACCAGGATGTTTGTTGTGAAGCGATAAACTGTGAGCTATTCTGATGGCCAACCACATACCTAGACTTGCTCCCACAAATAATAACCGTTGTTGTTGTGTTGAATTATTAGATAACTGAGATGTGATCATATCTTGTCCTTGTTGACACCAATCCTGAACACTGGTTTCTTCAGGATGATCCCAAGTCAAATAACTAACATTGTGATTTCGACACCAGAGATACAAGTGATCGCTCTTTCGTGATGTTTGGAATGATGACCTGAATCCTGGAATAAAGCATAGTGTAAGAGAAGATGTTGTTTTATGGTGAAAGAAAGGTATATGACCAAGGTATTGTACCAATCGAGGAGGTATGGCCATTGAGTGAAAGAAGAAAAAAAAAAAAAAAGAAAAGAAATAGAAAAGAGAGAAAGGGGAATAAAAATGATCAAAAAGCACTTCTTAAAATTTGATATTCCGGTCAATTAAAACAAGCTGTCCTCATTTATGGAAGGATGGTTCTTTTTCATGAGGATGCTAAATGGTGTGTTCTTTTATCAGTCATCGGATGATGATGATTGATTTTTATTGATGATAGAAAAAAGAAACAGTGGAAAAAAAAAAGCTTGCCTTTTGTATAGAAGAATAGAAAGGGATGTGAATTGTCTTTTTTTTTTTATCAGTCATCGGATGATGATCGTTTTATTTACTAAACAGGAAAAGACACGATGATAAACAATGCAAAAAAAAGAACAGATTTTGCGGTTGAGAATGATTAAAGTATTGATTCAGCTATGATCATTAAGAAGACTATAATAAAGAATAAGAAAGCTTCTATTGATATCATCCATTTCGTAATAAAAAGAATCATCTAATCAAACGGAGAAAATTAACGCGCTTCACTTAAAAAAAAAAAAAAAAAAAAACCAGTAATTTTTTTCTTCTTTTTTTTTTTTCCGTCTATATTATTCACAATGTCCTCTTCAGTCGCTTTAGTTTATCAACCTATTCGTCAAAATAGTGATACACGGGCAAAAAGACAATATGCAGCCAATGTATTACAACAATATTCTTTTCAAGCTCTACATGCTCTTCAAAACAATCAGGTTAGATAGAACACCATGGTATCATACATTTATGAACTAACAAAATGTATTTCTTTTTTTTCTTCAAATAAAGAGTCCTGCAAAGACAAGATTGGATATGATGCGGTAAACCAGAACTCTTTGACTGAAATCATACATTACTAATATCCTTTTTTTTTTTTTTATTTTTATATAGACTCATGACAGATTTGAATAAATCAGTAGAACAAGGTGCTCAATATAGAAAATCTAGTGCAGTCAAACAAGAACGATAATAATTTCTCTCATATACCCACTTTCATTTATTCATTCTACTAATTCATACAAATAAAACATTTTTATCATCATCTATAACAAATGTCTACTATCTTTTTTTTTTTTTGATATAATATAACTATTTTTCTTTATTAAAAAACTATGTACAACTAACTAATTTTCTTTTAGTTAACAAATAAAACTAAATAATCCAAGCCTAATAAAAGAAGCCAAGAATATGTCCACCAAGGTGCTTGCGATGAGCTTCTTCAAAGTCCATGATACCAGCAGAAGTAGATAAGACGAGTTTACCAAATTGACGAGCAGGCAAGAACTTGGATCTATACTTTTCCAATTCAGTAACCTTAATATAGTATCGAGGACATATGGCGCCACATTTGTTCAAACGACCATTGAGTTGAACGATAACCTTGCCAGAACGATGATCATCGACTATGTCCAATTCACCAATATAACCATGTTTTAGCATGACACACAAAAACTTGAAAACGACTTTGGAAGATATTTTGATAAGAACTTGACGTCTTCCACAACGTTCAGCATTATTGATAGCCTTCAAACACGTAGCCAAAACATCCATATTTATGTTAACTATCAATATAACAAAAAAAAAAAAAAAGGTTAGAAAAAAAACAGTGTACTTCATATGAGTGTCCAGGTAGAGTGGATTCATAAAAGTAGCTGTTTGTTCCTCTTGCAAGTGGCTCAAATCATTAAGCTTTGCAAAAGGCCTTCTACACTATGGAATTGTGTATATGGACTATTAAATCATCCTTATGGATGGATGGATGGATGGATGGATGGACTTACAGTGATATAAATTGAGATAGAAAGATGGTAATAATAAAATAAACGAAGGAAGGAAGAAAAAAAAAAGTGTGAAAAAAAGAATTTCCCAAAAGCCACTCAGCGGAGATGATTCTACCACAAAAAAAAAAAAAAAGGTTGCCTTGCTTTTTTTTTTTTTCTTTTCTCTTCTGTACTTTTTATATATATTTTATTTTATTACCATTCATTATGGGTCGCATTCAAAAGAAAGGAGTGAAAGGGGCAGCGTCCAACTTTATTACCAGACAACAAGCTTTGAAGAAACTTCAAATCTCTCTTGCTGATTTTAGGTAAATGGTGGTAGATCACTGGATCTATTTTAGTTACTAATAGATTTATTTCAACTCATTAGACGTATTTGTATTCTCAAAGGGATTTATCCTCGTGAACCAAGAAATAAAAAGAAGGCCAACAAAGGATCAACAGCACCTGTCACTTTTTATTATGTTAAAGATATTCAATATCTTTTGCACGAACCTTTACTTGCCAAATTCAGAGCTTACAAGGCCTTTGCAAAGAAATTGAATACTGTTCTCCACAAAGGTGAAATATCTTCAGCAAAGTCACTTAGTGAAAACAACAGACCTAGCTATACTTTGGATCATATCATCAAAGAAAGGTAAAAAAAAAAAATTCTATTATGTAAATATGATTATTGATCTCTTTTTTTTTAAAAATAAATAAATATAGATACCCTACTTTTGTAGACGCTGTACGTGATATGGATGATGCTATTTCCATGTTATATCTGTTCTCCAAAATGCCCGTGGATAATCGTATCAAAGCCAAAACTGTGAAATCATGTCAAACTTTGATTGCCGAATTTCAAAATTATGTGATGAATGCCAAATGTATACGTAAAGTATTTTTCTCCATCAAAGGGATCTATTATCAAGCTGATATCAAGGGACAAACTGTGACTTGGGTAGTACCTTATCAATTCTCAACAGATGTAAGTTCAACATTATTCATATATAGATTTGTATTAATATATATTTATATATTTTGATAATAGGTTCCTACTGATGTTGATTTTCGTGTAATGACCACCTTTTTGGATTTTTACATTACATTGATGGGCTTTGTGAACTATCGCTTGTACAACGAACTCAACATCTCGTATCCTCCCAAATTGGATAGCAACGATTACTTCAAGTTGGATAAGAATGTAACAGGTGGCAAGAAACGGGTGGATGTAGGTGAAGATGATGATGAAACAACTGCATTGGACGATTTTAAATCCACTTCCAAATCAAACAATAATAATGATGATGATGATGAAAGTGCTACAGTGACATTGCAACAAATCCAAGATGCTTCCAATGAAGTCCAATCTTTACAACAATTATTCAAGGATCATACTTTCTTCTTGTCCCGTGAAACTCCTCGATATGCATTGGAATTTATGATCCGTAGCTGTGGTGGTCAAGTCAGTTGGGATGCATCTGTAGGTGGTGAACCTCCTTTCCCTGAATCCGATGAACGTATTACCATTCAAGTGTGCGATCGTCCCAAGGTAAACAATCGTGTTCTTTCTCGTGCCTATGTCCAACCTCAATGGATCGCTGATAGCATCAACGCTCGTAAATTGATCAAGACATCTCTATATGAACCTGGTGAACTCTTACCTCCTCATCTTAGTCCATTTGTTGAAGCCAAGGAAGGTGATTATGTTCCTTCATCTGGTTTGGAAGAACAAGAAGAAGAAGAAGAGGAAGAAGAAGAAGAATCTGAAACTGAAGAATTGAACGCCACAACTGCTGCTGCTGCTGCCTCAGCTGCTGAATTGGATGATTATGAAAAGGAACTCAAGGCAGAAGCAGCTGGTGTGAGCTTCTCTGATTACAAGGATGCTGATGATGATAAGAAGAAGAAAAAGAAGGCCAACAAGAAGAAGCGAACTGCTGAAGAACTTGAACGAGAAGAACAAAAGGAAATGGCCACTGTGATGATGTCCAACAAACAACGCAAACTCTATAATCGTATGCAAGAAAGCAATCAAAAGAAATCCGATCTCGCTACCAAGTTGGAACAAAAGAAGAAGGCTCTTAAAGCCAAAAAATAGATTCTCTTCATTATTGTATTTTTTTTTTCTTTTTATATAGTTTAGTATTATTGTATTCATCATCATTCACTTTTTTTTTCCCTCTCTCATATTTGATTTTTTTTTTTATAATTTTATTTTTATTATTCTTTGTTTATCTATTTAGATGTAGTCTTCTTAAATCAATAAAATAGCATTTCAAATCTCAATTTGTCTAGTACAATAAATAATGTTGGTTATCAAGATATCAATATTTTATTAAAAATGGTATATACAATTCATGAAATAAACAAACTAAAATAAAAGGATAATAATAATAAAACTAAACTATAGTAACAAGAGGGAAAAGTTGGTATTCAGTGCAAAAAAGAGTCCAAATATTGGCCACAGGCGAGATAAAGTGAAAACACCAAAAGAAGTTGCCAGTTTCCATGTCCAAGGTACATTGGTAGGGTTGATCCTTCTTGGTTAGTGTTTGTAGTGTTGGCAACACTAAGTGATTGTATCAATTCAGCTTCCATATCATCCAGCTTTTTTTGTACTTCGTCTATCTTCTTTTTGTATATAATATCACGTCGATCCTTTTCTTTTTCCATGTCGTTCCTTTGTTCTTGTAGTTTCCGTTCGTATTCTGCCTCAGTATCTTCCAGTTGTTTTTTCAAATTGATCACTATTTGATTGAGTACATCATGGTCGGTAGATGTATCTTTCTCATTGTCGTTATTATTGTCATGCAAGTCTTCCTCTGGTTCGTCTTCAGCCATCGATTGTACCATACCTAGTAATCTTTCATCTTGTATCTTCTGTTCCAAAGCCATTTTGCATTCCTCCAGCTCTTGTCGTAGTATATCATTTGCATGTTCATCTGCTTTACGCCTTGCTTCCAACATCAGTGCCTTACTTTCAGAAACCACCAATTGTTCCTTGTAGTCACTAATGAATGATTCCAATTCAGTCCATCGTTTGCTGAGTTCAGCTGTGTCGTTGCGATACTTGTCTAGTTGAGCTTGTCGTTCTTCCGTTATCCTTTGATAATCTTGTACAGCTACTTGAAGTTCTTCGATTACAATCGATTTTTCATCCAAACTTTGTTGATTTTGAGCAAGTCTATCCTTTAGTTGTTGTATATCCTGATCTTTCCTTCGAATTTCATCCTGATGCTTTTGGATAGTTGCTGACAGATGTTGTTCGCATTCGTGAACCACGTCTTCAATACTTCCGTGTAACCAAACATCACTACCCGCTGTGGCTTCATGTTTATTTTTCTAAAGAGTGATCATTACAATAGTTTAGTTAGAAATATAAATTGAAGTTTTTTTTTCTTTTTTTGTCTTTCTTACCGCAATATCATTGGCTTTTGAGCTTGTTAAAATAAGACCAAGTAAATGGGATAATCTATTAGTAAAAAAAAAAAAAAAAGAAAAAAAGGGAACAATGAAAGAATCATACAAGTTAATATCGGGAAATTCTTTTATATTTCAATAAAGTACCTTTCTTTAGTATCGGCTTCTTGCTGTAAATGCAATGATGGAGTAGCAGTGATGGCAATAGTCGAATTGTCAACAGTCATAAGTCACCAGAAAAAAAAAAAAAAAAAGGAGGAAAAGGAAAAGAAAAATAGAGAGGGGTAAGAACAAGGAGAGTAAGGAAGTGTGTGAGATTTTTTTTTTTTTTTTTTTTTTTGTATATTTACCTCCGTCTTTTTTTGCATTTGAATTTCAAGTTCCACAATTTGTTCCTTGTAATTTTGAAGTTTTGAATGTCGTGTAGTCTATAATAATAATAATAAAAAAAAAGAAAGAGAGTCAGTTTTATCCATCATCCAGTCATATGTTTTTTTTTATTACCTGAGTAATTTTTGGATTAATTCGAACTTTCTTGACTCCTTGTGCAAAACGTAAAGTATTGGTGGATTCATCTTTGGATTTCCAAGATGGATTGATAGTACAGATAACAGCCACGCGATCATTTCCAGATAAAGAGGTACTCAAGATTCTTGTAAGCTTTGAATCACGATATGGTATATGTTTTGCACTAAATCAAGTAAATAAGTAAACAAATAATAACAAAAAATTTAATTATCTTACCCTTCATTCAATTGAGTGATGACTTTGCCTAATGTTAGTAAACTTTTATAATAAAGAAAAAAAAATTAATATATTATTTAAACAAATCTATTATTCTATCTTCACCTTTTATTGATGAAAGCTCCTTCTTGACGTCGTTCAGTATTAATGGCTGCTTTTTCGGAACCTGCTAAATCAATCAAATTCTATAACAAAAATGCTTAGTTAAATAGATCAAATATGCATTATATAAAATATATTACCAAACGAGAAGTTCGTACAGAAGCCAAAGAAGAAGACCTAGGTTTGCTTTCAATAATCTAAATATATCATGATTTATTATTATTCACTAGATCTATGTGCTTCTTCTTCTTTTTCTTCTCCTTCTTCTTCTTACCAGTTGGAAGATAGTATGGGATCGACTGCTACTTTCATTGAAATCTGTTTCACTTGTATGACGTCGAGCTAATAAAGGTAGAAAAAAAAGTTAGTTTGTCATCATATGTGTTCTTTTATCGTTTTTATACCTTCACCCAATTTGATATAATTCATCACCTCTTCAGGAGTTGTAACAGGAACAATGTTGAGACCATCGACTGAATCCTGTAATCAAAAGATTCATGTCAGGAAATAAAGTAAACAAATAAATAAATAACATATCTTCTGTTTACCTGTCCATTCACCGTTCTTATTATTAAGCCAGTTGCAGGTTGTTCTGAACCCAACAAGTCGTTGATTTTTTCCTTGTAGATTTCCATATATGCCACTTGTAATAAAAATTCTCGATCCACAGCCTATTATTATGATTACATTAGTATATAAAATGATAATAATAATAATAATAATAATAATAATAAAAAAAAAACAAATTATATTTTTTTTTGGATATTTGTTTACCTCTTCTTCTATATAAGCAAACACATCGTTCACCGCTTTTGGTATCATTCCCGGTTCCTCCTGGGTACCTATAAAGAAAGAAAAAAGAGAATTCGTAAGAGGATCATAGGACAATTTATTTTTCTTGTGAAATTACCTGTCTAATGAAATAAGAGAAAGTAAAGATATGATAAACCAATTAGTCAATAACTGTATTCGAATTCCATATTTGTTTTCCTGTTACCATTGTCTATATAAATATAAAAATAGAATTGTATGTCAATATATAATATATGCTAAGAAATAAATGAAAAAATGAATCTTACATAAGTTTTTCCACTAGCCGTTTGTCCATATGCAAATACAGTACCTAAATAATATAGGGATAATAACAAATTAGAAAATGATGAAGATTGACAAAATAAAGTGAGACAATATGCTTTGATTGTTTATGTTTACCATTATAGCCTTCCATTGTAGATCTATCGTAATAATAACATATAATAGTAAAATTAGTTTTTCTTCTTCTTAAAAAAGGACAACCATTATGCCATTTACAAAAAAAAAAAAAAAAAAAGAGTTTCAGTGTTACCTGACTAATTTTTGTATACCGGATTCGTATATTTCAGCGTTGTCTGTACCTTTGAATACCTTGTCTATTCCAAAAAAAGAAAGAAGGTTGAGTATGTACTAAGTACGTTTCAAACATACGTCGTCACTATTTATCTTTTTTTTTTTTTTTTTTTTTGGGTGCGTACCATATTCAAACACTGTAGTATGAGAGTCATCCAATTTGATAGTACCTTTTTCAGAACCAAGTATCCAGCAATCATCTTCTTCTTGAGTTTCAACTGTAGTATCAAAAGGTGGACGACAACGAACCATAACCTGAATATTTTCACTGGCAAGACAAGTCGATTTAGAATATCGTGGCCGGAGACTTTTAGTAGAATAAGACGGGATTGATGAGTATGAAGAGGAAGGTGAAGGAGAAGAAGAAGGAGAAATTGGATCCGATGGGTAATAAACAGGTGTTGCTGGAGGTGACGCAGGAGGTTGGTTGTTGGACATAGTTGTTGTTGTTACTGTTGCTGGTGATGTCGTAGCAGGACTAAAGAAAGAAAAAGGTGCAGGTGATAATACAGATTCTTGATCATTCAAACAAGGTATTTTGGTGTTTTGCATTGCCCACTCTTCAGTAATGCTGATATAAGGTCAGTAACGTGAACAACGTAGGACAACTGTCAAAAAAAAAAAAAGGATATTGTAACAGTAGAAAAAGTGTATGAGAGAGAGAGAGGAAAAAAAAAAAGCGAAAGAGAGAGTAAAAAAAAAAAAAGGCACATGAAAACTAAGCTGCCGTTTAAATAATGAGTGTCTGCACTTGTCCAAAGGCGGAAATTTACTTTGTGTGCCTAGGCGTTTGTGTGCCTGTTCACGCATAATCAATCAGTTTAAAATGTTAGGATTCGATCCGTTTTAGGAAAGTTACCATAAACTATTCATCATTCATTGTTGAGGAGCAATTAGACCATTATTCACAAGGAGATGTGTTTTTATTTCTTTTTTACTTTTTATTATTCCATCATGTACACGTACGTATAAATTACTCGTGACAAAGAACAAACTTGTCTACCAAAGTTTAATAAGTGTCATTCCCCCTTTTTTTTGTTCAAGAAAAGAAATGTTCTACACTAATATAAATCGATCAACGTAGGAAGTCTGCGTATACATATATAAATACATAAAAGTTTATTTTGATTTGTTTTTTTCTAACTAACTAATGGACTAACTAATTAACTATACTACACTAAAAAAAAAAAAAAAACCTAGGGTTGTGGTACTATAGGTATCCGATTTGATATTTCTTCAATGTTGGAATATATTTGTTCAGTGACATTCTCACCAGCATTTGATACTATTCTTAATAAATCCAACTATCGTAACAAAAATATTAATATCATTTCACGATAAAAAAAAAAGTCTTTTCTTTTGTTTGTTACCGTCATTTCCCAGTTGCCAAGTATATCTACATGATCACCAGCCTTGTTTCCGCCCCGAACATTGACAATACCATCAGATTCTTCATGCATGTATTCCTTGAGTTTGACAGGACTATGCCCAGGATTATATAGATCACGATATTTCGTCCAAGCACCATTGGAAGGAGAGCACATGAAGCCTAGAGATAGTAATGGTACGGTACCATCACTGATAAATAAAAATAATACAAAGAAAATGAATATCCTATTCCTTTTTTTTTTTTTCATTGATTTAATTACTGACCCATCACTAAAACGAACACCATCATTTTCAGAGTTGTCAATATACTGACCCAAAAAAAAAAGAATAGAAAAACAGTTTGATTAATAATATATATCTTTTTTTTTCAACATTTATTACCATCAGACGTGGTGGTTTGATACCACCTTCTTCATCTTTAGCTTGTCCATTAGATGAGTAAGGTGACGATCCAGGAGAAGTCAAACATAGAGAAACATCATCTTGACTTTCCAAACCAGAATTTTCACAACTTGTATTGGAAACAGAAGAGGAACTTTGATCATGATTGACGTAAGCATAATGATAACTTCGTTCAGTTGGTAAGCCAACTCCATATAAGCAGTATATCTTCATATTTGGTGCTAGATAAAGGAAAAAAAAAAAAAAAACAAGTTAAATTTGGAAATGGGCTATTCGTATTATCTATATTATTTATATGTTTATTGTTTCCTCTTACCATTAGGTAGCTGAGTTTCCAAGGGATTGGCCCACTTTGTATGGTTATAAGCATTTTTTTGTAGTTGTTGTTTTGAAAAAGTAAATCCATTCGAGTAGTTATTCTTGACCATAATAGAATAGTCCTTGGATGCCGTTGCAAACAATAATTCCAAGGCTTCATTCATCGAATAGTAATGATATTTATCTTTCATCGATGTGTTGTTATTGTTGTCATTGTTTTCCTCATCCAAGTTCAATGTGATGTTGTTGTCTTCAATACCTTCCAGGGATCGTTTCTTTAAAAACGTCAATAACTTTCCGTGTGTATGAATATAGTGACTTTCATTGCTTAATATTTCTTTGTCCATATCGTCCTTTTGTTTCGTTGTTGAAATTTTGCTATCATCAGGTGCAGCATCGTAATTTCCCCAAAAGTGATTTCCTCCCTTTGGTAGCATGGATGACCCACCAGCCCAAGTTCTTAGTAAAGATGCACGTTCATTTCGAGAGAAGAATTTTTCCAAGAGATAAGCACCGAAACTTCCTAAAGATATAGTATCACGAGTTTCACCTATAATAACAGAGATAAAGAAGAAAAAAAAGATTATCACCATGTTTTTCAATATTCCATCCTTTTCCTTTTTTATACTTACCGGATAACAAAGCTGTCATAGCTTTAGGTACCCCAAGCATGGGTCCTCCAATATTAACAAAAGATTCGACATAATCATTAACCCATTGATCACCACCATTACCACCTTCAGGAGATTCAACCCACTTGAAAAAGTAATACAAAACATTGGATCCTAATAGAAAAAAAAAAGTTATCAGACGTTTGATGATTAGAGTCAGAATAATAAAAAAAAGATCGGAAATCATACCCATTGAATGTGCCAAAAAGACGGTTTTCTTGCCATGAACCAGTTTTGAAGTTTCCAAATGAGCTTTCAGCTTTGTAAAGTATTTGTCACGAACCTCCAAATTAGAAAAAGCCAAACGCCAATCATAACTTGCCAACATCATATTGTTACTATCATATCCAATGGCTGCCAAATTTTCAATGATTTTACCCCAAATCCAATATCCTGTCACAAAGTAATCAGCAGCATCTAATCCTTGTGCTGCCCGAATTTTGGCTCCAGGAGGATCCAAACCTGTCACAGGATCAAGTCGTACATGATGTATCCAACTTTCCTTGTCCAAGATCACGGCGCGAAACATGGTAGCTGTCCCCCACATTCTTTTTCGAAAGTATTTTCTTGCTTTTTCATCGGTAGACCAAGATTCTAAGCCTGATGAGATCACACCTGGAACAATGACTACAGGAAAATGAGGTTTCAAATCCATAGTATCCCTAATAATATATATAAGGAAGATTAAACAATCTTTAGTTTGAAACACTTTTTTTTTTTTCCCTTACTTTGCACCCCAAGCAGGCATAAATGTTTCTTCAGTGATGGTAGGCGTGTTGGCAGGATTGAAAAAACTTGTAAAGTTACCAAGAAGATCATCAACAAGTACACCAGTAGGAAGCATGAGTGAAGGAAAGTCCATTTCTGCCAATTGCATAGAGAGATAAGACTGGAAATCATTTGCTGTGGGAGTAGTGGAAGCACCATATGTTGCCAAGAGTCCTACTGTCACACCAACAATGAAATGAAACCGTTTTCTTTTCCAAAAAGGAGGTCGAGCAGGTTGGAAGATGGAACAATCACCAAGAATATCTTCTGGTTGCATTGTAGAGTTTCTTTCAGAAGCTGGAAGTCGAGGAGGCTTTGTACTTGATCGTCTTCGTTGATGTTTTTCCAAATTGACCTCAGGTGTGGCTGACGACGTTGATTCATCTTCGTGTAAAGATGATTTTTTACCCTTTCGATGGCGCATTGTAACAAAATAATGTTATATAAATGACCCTTTTTTTTTTTTCAAATAGAGAAATGGGAAAAGCCGGGACGAAAGAAAAAAAAAAAAAAGAAAGAAAGGGAAACAATAACAAAAAAATGTTCATGCGCTATTATTTTTTATTTCTTTCTTAAAACTGATACGTTTTATCTCCGCTGATCGATCATCACAACAAGATGACTTATTTTTTACTTTTTTTTTTTAAAAAAAGTTCAAGATATGAGTGTAAGAGAAAGACAAGGAAAGATGCAAGTTTTTACTTTTTTATTTTTCAATGATGACTAAAGGTAAAGTGAGGAGAAGGAGAAATATGTATAAAATGATGTATTCTGGTGAGATGATAACAATAATAACAACAATAATAAAATAAAATAATAAATAAATAAATAAATAAAAATAATCTAATCTATTTGGTTTTGAAAGGAACAGAGAAGCCAGACAGTAAAAGACGACCATCAGTATTTGTATAAGCAGTAGTGTTGAATGTCACATCAAATCCAGTCATTTTGGGATATACATCAAAAGAACCTTCGATTTCAGGGAAAAGAGCTAAAGCAGAAGGAGGGAACCCAATAGCAACATTTCCATTACCATCACCAGCTGTCATTGACATACCAGGCCATTCTTTCAATCGAGGTAATACAATTTCTACTAATTTATCCATAAATTGATACATTTCTTCTCCACGTAAAGTCACTTTGACACCAATAGGCATACCTTCACTATTATTATCCAAAAAAAAAAAAAAATCATTAGATTCAATTTTGTTTTCTTTTTTTTTTTTTTTCTTTTCTTTACCGAAGTTTCCAATTGGCAACAGAAGTTCGAGCATAAACTACTTCAGGACGAGTACCAGTAATACTTTGGAAAGCCATAAAAGCAGATAATAAATTACTCTTATTTCCAATAGCATCCTTGATCATGGCATGTAAAGTGATTTTATCCAGTTTAGGAATAGCATTGGCGCTTTTCAAAGGAGCAATGGGTTTGACAGGTTTGCCACCTTTACGAGTACGAGCCACATAGGGAGTTTCTTGTTTCTTTTGTTGTTCTTCACCAGTAGATTGTAATGCACGATCGATCTGGACTTCCAAGTCAGGGTATTTGGTTGTGGGTGGTGCTACACGTGAGTGGTCGTAACCAAGAATCATGAGGTCTTCAGCCAAAGTACTGTCATAATATTCTTTCAACCGTAATAAGCCATGTGACGAATTAGCCATTTGACTTGTACTTAAACATCGTGTGGTATTATATACTGTAGGTCGTGTACCAACTAATTGTCTAGACAAGGATCGTAACATTGACAATATATTATATATATAAATAGAAAAAAAAAATAGAAAGGAAGAAAGAAAAAAAAAAGTGGTTCCTCTTTTTTTTTTTTTTTTTTGTTTACCCTGGGTGTAGAGTAACACTTGACCTCGTCTCCAAATTGAATCACCGAATGTCAAAAAATTGTCACATAGAAAAAAAAGCCATAATGAACAAGCATTGAAATATATATGGATGATTTTTTTTTTCTAAATAAGTTTTATTTTGTAAGATAATGAAATGAAAAAAATAAAATAAAAAAATAAGAATGAGAATAGAAGAGTCGGTTGTACTATACATCTAAGGGAAGAAATGAAAAGAATGGAAGAAGAGGGATAAAGTTACTATTACAAGGCAGCACCATTGGCAATAGCAATACCAGGACCACGAGTAGAAGATAGAGATACATTTTGAATGAATGCTAAAAGAAGAAAAAAAAAGTAATAAGAAAACAAGAATCATTTATCATCCTTTTGTTATCATCTTATTTACCTTTGAGGTTGTTGGCCTTTCCAAATAATCGTAATTCTTCAAGTATAGCCTTCAAATTGTTTTCAATATCATTGGATTCAAATTCAACCTTTCCAATACCTAATTAAAAAAAAATAAAAAAAAAAAAAATAAAAACATGAGGATCCTATCCATTAGTTCCATTTATATGATTACCTGTATGCAACACACCAAATTTGTCACCCTTAAAATCAAAGGAACTCTTTGATTTTCTTACAATATCAGATACATCATCCGTCACAGTACCTATTAATATAAATCCAAATGTTAGAGTTAAAAGAAAAAAAGTCGGGTTTGAGTTGATAAGGAAGGGAAAAAAAAAGGTAGATTTGATAAAAATTGATTGTATAAAGTGGTCTTACCTTTCTTGACAGTGGGCATCAAACCTTTTGGACCAAGTACACGAGCAATCTTTGTAACAGCCGGGAACATTTGAGGAGTAGAAATACACTTGTCAAATTTGATTTCACCTTTTTGTACTTGTTCAATAAGTTCTTCACCACCAACATATTGTGCACCAGCAGCACGAGCTTCTTCAGCCTTCTTACCAGTGGCAAAAACTACAATGGTAGCTTCTTGTTTGATACTTTTGGGTAAAACAAGAGAACCGCGAATCAAAGGTGTGGACTTTTCAATCTTGCATTGGATATGAGCTTCGATTTGGTGAGAAGGGTGACCCACTTCCATAGCTTTCAATACCTTTAAGGCTTGATGAACGTCGACTGCATCAGGATTGACTTTGGCTGTGGATTTCTTTGTTGCGTAATAACATTGTTGAATGGCAACTCGTTGTGTAGAGGATCGTGCTACTCGGTGTAAACAAGTTGAAAGCATCTTATCAAATGGTATTAAAAAAAAAAAGAAGGTGAAAGAAAACAAAAAAAAAAAAGTAAAAATAAAAATAAAAAAACACCTCTCATCCACAAAAGACTTGTCTGAGTTGTAAACTCCCCATCATTGGCTATTCTTTGCAGTCACCTCACACAAAAACTTTGGCCCTGATGAAATCAAATAAAGGTACAGTTTTTTTTTTTATTTCAATCGTATACAACGTAAAAAGTTTATCACTAAATCAAGATGGCACACTAATAGGAAAGAATATATTCCATAAATTTCTAAAAAATCCATGATCATAAATATTATCCACTTCCTCTAAACTTTTGACTTGATGTTCTTGAATGATGCCAGTACTTGATGATATCGTTCGTTTCTGTATAAATTGTCGTTTCCCTTTATCATTGTCGTTAATGAATCCATTTTTCTTTTTTGAACCTTTTGATTTTTTTGATTTTTTTGGTTTGATTGGTTTTTCTTCCTCTTCTTCAATGATCCATATATCCCCACGGTCGATAGCATCTTCCAACATTTCCCATTTGAATGCTTCATTTGTAGTAATCCCGCGGCCAGCAAGATATAACCTAATAAAATCAATATTTTTTTTTAGTATATAAATTCATCAAAACAATATATATAACTTACTGATACACCATAAAAATGAATACGACAATACCCATCACAAAGGACAAAATACCAATGGAGCCAATAACTCGATCTTTTTGCAAAACATGCTATACCAAAAAAAAAGAACATTTCATACATTTGACAATAAAAGACGTTTTTTCCATTTACACTTACAATCATTGCCTTTCTGAAAGTCAGTGGAATTTGTTGTCCAGTTCTCCGATCATGAAGATAAGCGCGATCCAAACCCCATTCAATCACCATACCACGGTACACCTGGAAACAGAGATAAAAGCCATAGGTACAAAACTGGGTCAAATAGAATAAAAACATAAAAAAGTATCGGTGGTTGTTGTAACCCACACATCGATTCAACCAAGCACAATGATGATCCATCTGGCTAACACAAGTCTTGCATAAAGAACAATGTTTGGATCTTGCTGGCCTATAAATAAATAACAATAAAAAAAAAAAAAAAAAAACAGAGAAAGTATCATTAAAATATTCTAGGATCAGAAATTTAAATCATCTTACTTTGGAAGGTGACAGGTCGGACAAACTTTGGGAGTATAAAGTAATCCATCATAAGGAAAAAGATCCATGTAGAATTGAACATTCTTTTCAGTAACAGTACCAGGATCAGAAGTGCATGCTATATAGTAGCTAATATACAGGCAAATGATTTGAAATGGGATAATATACCTTAATATGTATATATAAAACAAAGAAAAAAAGATGAGATTGTTATTTCTTTATGATTTTCTTTTTTTTGAACTTACAAATGAATGGGATGGAGATAAATACCAGGAATATGTGGTAAGGCATGCTTCAAGAAGCCACCAATGGATACTGACGTTAACAAAATAAAAAATATCTATATAATACGTTAAAAAAAGTAAAGTTTCATTGTAGACCTATATATTTTCGTTTGCTTACTTGTAAAAATGGATTTCGAGACTCGCAGCAGTAAGACCAGCAACTGCCGAGTCGTTTCATATTGGTAGGACCAATGGTTTTACGAAGAACAAAGCTAGAAACCAGTCAATAATAGAAAAAAGAGAGAGAGAGAGAGAGAGGAAAAAAAAAAAAGGTAAAATAAATGGTTGTTTCTGGTTATTAGTTTATGCTAAATACCATCCTTTTTTTTTTTTTTTTTTTTTTTTTTTTTTTTTTTTTTTTTTTTTTTTTTTTTTTTTACCTGACGGTCTTGGGTAAAGTACTTGTCAAAAGAGAATGAGCCTTGCCAATAATACCATGCCTATATAATATTGCCAAAAGTGAATAGATACGAATAAAATAATACCATGATTAACCAAATGAGCAATCGTTCATTACCTTAACCGAGGATTCTCGCCAAATAGGAGGATGAATAGAGCTGCACATATAAGTACAAGTAACAACAGCAAGGTACCCAGTAGTCCCTACCAATAAAAAGATCATTAGTTATGAAGGAAGTATAAGAAATAAAAAAAAAAGGATGGTACAAATATAAAGTCATTGTATTGGTCTTTACCATTGCCTGTTGTCACTATGGAAACAAAAGAAAAAGCTCAAGAGGAAAAAAAGAAAAAAAAAAGAAAAAGAAAAAAAAATGGCAGTTTTGGGACACTGACTCTACACTTTATTCAATAATAAATGTCGGAAATTCAAAATATCGTAAGGATAGAAAATAGATGACAAGAAGAAAATAAAAATATTATTGTCGCATAATCCAAATTGAGTACAAGAAGAAGAAAAAGAAGAGTGGCAGTAGTTCCATTGAGTACAAGAGATTTTGAATAACAGAAAAAAGACAGATATACATTTAGTCAACATATCCATTTTTTTTTTATATATTTATTTTATAATATCACGAAGCTATTTTCTTGTGACAACAAACCTTGAAAACACTGTAAAATTATCTAGGCACTTTGTGTATGGAACAGTTCTCGGCGAAAAACATTCTTTTACCACAAGGATACGTATGTAATTTCAAATGACATGATAAATCAATGTAAAGACACAATATATTGTTGGTTGTAAAATAAATCTTTTATTATATACAAAATAATAGGGGTATCGATCCATCATGATGATACTAAACTAAAATCGTGTCATTCTACGTGATCCAGTTGATCGAATTCGGATATCAGAAAAGTCTTCTTCAATATGATTTGATATAGGTCTTGTTTGAAAAGTGGTCGAATCTAATATATATAAAATAAAACCAACATTAAAGAAAATAGTGATAATTCCTCTTTATTCCTTTTTTTTTTCATATACCTCTTGGATTTGAATGTACTTCAGTAGACATGCTTATAAAGTAAAGAGGATCCGCTGGGATAGGGTGTGAAGCCTAATACATATATAAAAGAAGAATATAATTAAGCAACCTTTATTTATTTTTTTTTTTTTGATCTTTTACCTTTTTGAATCTTTTGTAATTGATTTGATTGGGACTCTGCTGTCGTGTTGCCTGTACCGTCCTTTGAGGCTCATTTGAAACAACCATGCTAATATAATTGACCTTGGTATATTGCTTTCCAGAGATAATTTCGGTATTTTCATTTTCGAGCTCGGGAAGAGTATATGGTGTTCGAATAGTTGTCGATGTTGTAGATGATGATTTCGATGGCCTAGATTGTTTATTACTTTGTGGGATGTCACGGCTCAAGTCACTGTTACTGAAAGTATTGTTCATGTCGGTGCTGCTATTGTTGTTGTTATCATCTGCATCAGTCCCTTCTACAATTTGGAGTAACCTCTCTTTCCCCTTGATTAATGATTCCGCTGGGTCCCTATGTTGATTTGTTTTTTGTCGCTTGCTTGTAGATGATGCCACCGTTTGATGGGAATTGTCGAGAGGGGAATCAGATCTTCTACGTCTCAATACTGTTGTAGAATCAACGCTTATACCATCAGTAGCTATATTGGAGGACGAATGGTTTGCTGGTGTTGCTGCTGCTGATGCTGATGATGACGAAAGTGGGGTTGAGGGTTGATCATCTTGCCGTTGAGGAGCCATCGGACTAAATTTCTTGTGATGATTGCCAGCGGTTGATGCTTCATTGATATTTGAATTGTTTGTGATAGGAGGAGGAAGAGGAGGATCATCTCCAATAAGATCATCAAAAAGATCATCTAAATCCATCGTCTTCTACAATAAAAATGACATAATTTTAGTTTTCGCATCATATATAGAATGTCATAATACCTTTGCTTTTCTATCGGTTGCTTGTGTTATTATAGACTGATCTCTTTTCATTGATGCTGATAAGTTTGATGTAGAAGTGGATGGTGGTATTGGCGTTTGGTAAATGATCGGTGAAGAAGACTTTGCTGTTACTACTGAGCCATTATGTGTTGCCCTTGATGATGATTGTGCCCTGGCTGAGGTTGAACGAGATGCATTTTTGATAGAGGATATTGCTGCCACTGCAGATGCGTCAGTTCTTGCGTTACAATGTGTATCAATTGAACAATAAGCAATTGCCCAACATATTTCCATTTGATCCACAGGTCGTCTTTGACTAAAGAAGTTAAAGATGTTGAAAGTAAATATATATATATGTATATATATAAGTTAGAAGAGTAATGAATATCTATATTGACTTCGAAGAGACACACTTACACAGAATCTAAAGCAAATACAATATTTTGACCACCATGAGTATCCGACAAACATTCCGAATCAACAACAATAACATCATCAGCGTTCAAGTTGTCTTCAAACGGATCAGCTGTCTTCGTATTGAGTAGTTCACTTGTACCTTTACAAGCATTAACCAATGGTGACATGGACTGGTACTATCAACAGATAAAAAGAAACAAAAAAAAATCAAGCTTCAGTATGACTATCTACCATCAAGTTTCTTGCATTACCTGTTTCTCTTCAAAGAAGATGAATCGTTTATTAGTAAATAAAGTTGAGCGACGGGGATTTGGCCTAAAATCAGGGATTCCAAGGGGACCACGACAGGAATCATCCGTTGGAGGCATATAATCATCAGTAGAAGGAAACTTGAAATCCACATCGGGTAGAGCAACCAAAGCATCCAACCATTCTTGAGATACAATAGGTTTCACATCAGCCAAACAGCGAGCCACTTTGAAGCTCATTTGAATTGTTGTTACCAAAACATGTGTATATGAGGATCGGACAGATTGAGTAATCTTTGCACCTAAAAAAAAAAAAAAAGAAAGAAGGATCAGATAACAATGGCCCAACTTCTTTTTTTCCTTCCCTATTCTTACCTATTTTTTGAGCTGCTTCGTACAACTTTTGTTTGTCCATTTGAGTCATTGTTTGACGACTAATTATCAAAGGTTCCCAACAAAGTCTAAATAAAAGAATATATTAAGAAAATGGATGTGTAAATCAACAAATGTATACAATATATATATATTTTTTACCGAAATTGACATGATCTAGTGCCCATTTTGAGAATATCACCATCTTTCATATAAATTCCTTGATCCAATGCATCCCCTTCAACTCGGATAGAATTCACATAAGATCCAAATTTTGATCCTAAATCATGGAACCATACATAAGGTCGATAGTTAATATCAATCTATGATCAAAAAAAAAAGAGAAAAAATTGATCAATACACCTAAAATTTGAATGATCGAATGACCGCATAGTTAGTTTGGGAAAGACTTACCATATGTTGAGCATTGATAGGCTCTATTTTCAAAGTCGCATGTCGTCGACTGATTGACTTTTCCGCAATCAAAGGCATAATATCAGCACCTACAGCATTATAATAAAAAGAAAAGATCAATAAGATTAATAAATATATTTTTGATACAATTACCTTTACGTCCTATGGAATATAGTAGTCCTGGACGAAGAAGTATTCTTTGTGCGTCTAACAAAAAAATGAAATAAAATAAAATAAAAATAAATAAAACTCGTAGTCAGATAAAGAAACCGCCTTGTTTTAGTATATCTATCACGTCCGAGATTAAAATACCTTGACCATTCTGAAGAGCATACAAAAACCACATTCTAGAAAGAACGTGTATATCACGAAGCAAAAAAAAAAAGTAAGAGGTGAAAAAAGTGCTTTTTTATAATGACAGGAAGAAAAAAAAAATGGCGGAAGTTGAAAAATGTGAGAAGCACAAAAAAGCTGTAAGGATTCCTCGTTTGTTTCCTTTCTCCCTTTTTTTTTTCTCAGTATATATAAAATGGATTCACAAGTAGAAGGACATCGACGAAAACAATTAGAGAAAGCACGACAAAGAATTTATGATGAATCTGAAAAGGAAAAACAACGAATTGCAAAGGTATAACCAGCAAATCGGACCAATAATAATAATAATAACCTCAGTAAGCATGGATCTACTTTTACTTACCTTTTTTTTTTTTTTTTTTTTAATATGATCAGCTGAATGAAGTGCGTGTTGGTTCCGATAAATTTGCAGCAGCTACAACAGATATTGAATCCCAATTAAAGACAAGTACTATTGGTCTTACGGAACTCTCTGATTACAGAAAGATTCGTGAAAATTTGGAAGAAAAACAAAAACGAGAAGCAGCAAAGACAGCGCCACTTGGGTAAGTGAAAGAAATATAATAGGATACTTGACATAATTTTTATTAATATTATTAATATTATTATTATTAGAGAAGAAAAGAAGAAGAAACGAAAAAAGAAACAAGTCATGAAGCTTTCTTTTGCTGATGACGATGAACATGAGGATCAAGAACAATTAGATATCAAGTCAGATGTACCAAAGAAAAGGAAAATGGCCAAAGATCCTTCTGTTGACACAAGTTTTTTACCTGATCGGGAAAGAGAATATGCGGAACGATTGGAAAGGGAAAACTTGCGAAAAGAATGGTTGGAAAAACAAGAAATGTTAAAAAGTAAGTTATATAAAAGTAATGACAATTGTCTAATACTGTTATATATTTATTTGTTAATCTAGATGAAAAAATTGATATCACATATTCATATTGGGATGGAACTGGTCATCGAAAATCTGTCGAGGTAAAGATAATCATATATTATTCTATCAGTATTAACTTGTTGTTTTATTTTAATAGTGCAAGAAAGGTGATACTATTGCTCAATTCCTGGATAATTGTAGAAAACAATTTCCTCAGCTTCGTGGTGTCAATGTGGATAATTTGATCTATGTTAAGGAAGATTTGATCATTCCTCATGTAAGTTTAAAAAAAAATAGAAATCAAATAAGATTTCTGACAATGTTGAATTAAAAAATGATCACCTCTCTCTCTCTCTTTTATATATATAGCATTATACTTTTTATGATTTCATCATCAATAAGGTTCGTGGCAAGTCTGGTCCTTTATTTAGTTTTGATGTACATGATGATGTCCGTTTAGTCAATGATGCTACAGTGGAAAAGGAAGAGGTATGATATTGAAAAAATCTAATGAATAACAAATATTAATTATGTTCCGTTTTGTATATAGTCTCATGCTGGTAAAGTGGTCGAACGAAGTTGGTATGAACGTAATAAGCACATTTTTCCAGCAAGTCGATGGGAAACTTATGAACATTCCAAGGATGTGAGTTTAAAAGATAATATGAAATATCTAGTGTGGATAATTAGTAGGAAACATTGACGAATACGTTCTTTTTTTTTTTTTTTTTTTTCTAGTATGGTGCCTATAGAATCAAAGACAGTCGATAATTATCGTTTTGATTCATTAGATTATTGAGTTATGATTTAGACTATTTTTTTTTTTTTTTTTTTTTGTGAATAAAGGAAAGAAATATATCATCATGAATGACTTTATTATTTTTTTTTTTTTTTTTTTTTTTTTAGTATTACATGATGCATGACGGAAAAGATGGATAGGATTCTTTGTCAGCATATACTTTTAATGCTCATTTTTAGATTTGGATCGTTCACTAGTATTTCGATGACCGACAATCCTTTTATGGTACACAAGTGATAAGATGGTTTAGATACGATTCAAAGCAGTCGTATATCAAAGGAAGAGTAACCTTATCTCATTGGAGGAAAAAAGGGAATAGGAGGGAAATAGTGTGATATCATCTTTGTTTTCTATTATGATATGGATGATTGAATTGAAATTCATCATTAAATAGTTATGTCTTTTTGATGATGATGATGTTTTGGTTTGTAAATATCACATGATGCGCTCCGATTCGTTTAAAACTTTTGGCGTTTTGCATTCTACGTTGTATCTCCCCTTTTTTTCTTTTTTCTTTTTTTCTTTTTTTTTTTTAACTTCTTTCCCTTTCTCTATATCATAGACATATCATAACGAATATGAGTTTTTTAACGACAAAAGCTGGTCCTTCTCACTTGAATAACTCACTTCATCACGACCGTACATTAGCTACTGCAAGTCAATATAATACTTCTTCACAACGACAGTCAGATTTATTTCGCAGTGGGGAGGATAAAGTACATGATCATAATCAAGAATTTGATGTATTCACAGGGCAATCATCATCATCATCATCCAGTAAAGGTTTAGTTTCTTCTCGATTATCAAATGAAATTGGTCTACATGAACAATATGAACAACTTTTATTATCATCCATGTCACCTATGGATGGATCAGAAGTAGTAGCTTTTTTAAATGGACCAACAGGACTCTATGATGATGAAGTATATGGTGACGATTTAGATCCAGGCTCCATGTCATATCAGAGTTATCAACACAAAGTCGATCATCAACATAGTCTTGCTGAGATGGAAAGCCAACGCCAACGGAAGATGGAAGAATGGATATTGACGGATGATATTATTGCCTATATCGAGAAATATGATAGTACGTATGTAGATGATATTTATGGTTTACCACCCATAATAGAAAAATTGATCAAAGAAGCAAAGGAAGAATTGAAACAAAATAGTAATGATGGACAACAGACAGCAGTGAATCGACTTCAAATGATTCGGAATCATCTTATTGGTCAATCTCAAGGAAATCGTACATTGGCAGTTCAACAAGGGTTACAAATGAAGACTGAAGACTGGGCATCTTTATTTTAATTCATCATATATATTTTTAAACTTAATTTAGACATATATATATATATATATATATATATATTCATAGTTTTGTCAATAAAAAAATGTACAAACAAATACAAAATATCGGAACTCAATTCCTACGTCTTTTTTTTTCTAAAAAGGTTATGTACCCCCTTTTTTTTTTTCTGTGCTGCGGCAATGGCCATCTTAATGCATGGATATTTTTATATATGTCTTTCACCATCCAAAGAATCAATACCGAGAGTGATGATTTTTTTGATTTGATTGGATTTCTCTGCTTTTATCTCATAAAAAATGGCCTCATGAGTCACTCATTCACTGCTTCTCCGCTGATTCGGGGTTAAAATCAGTCCCTTAAAAACTTTTTCTTTTCCTTTTTCTCCTTTTTCCTTGTTCTTTCTTTCTTTTTTTTTTTTTCTTATCAACAACTGTTTATACCATACTAAAAAGAATATTCAAATAGAAAGACTATACATATATATATATATATCAATAAACAACTTTATGGATAACTCAATTACAAGACGCTCGTCCATTGATTCTGCTACTGAACGAACTCCTCTTGTCAATGCTACTGGGAAGTTTGTTCAAGATCAAGATCCTTCTTCATGGTCCAAGGAATTCAAATGGCTTTTGAAGAATTGTATTCCTGTCATTGGTACTTACATGTTACAAAATTCATTACAAATGGCTTCTGTATTCACACTTGGTCGACTGGGTGCTACTCAACTTGCTGCCGCAGCTCTTGGTTCAATGTTTGCTTCTGTTAGTGCGTGGAGTATAGCTCATGGTATGACTACAGGTATGAATCCATTTTTTTTTTAAAAAAAAGAGACAATAGTTTAATCCATTTTATTCACTTTTATATTGTTTCTTTTTTTTTTTAATTTTATTTTATAGCATTAGATACTTTATGTAGTCAAGCATGGACAGGGGCAAAGGACAAAACATTGGTGGGCGTACATTTACAACGAGCTTTAGTTATCTTGGGTCTCATGTTTTTACCTATTGCTGGTATTTGGTGGAATGGTGAACGTATTTTATTGGCTTTGAATCAAGAACCTGAATTGGCGGAACATGCAGGTACGTTGATGAAATGAATAATAAAGTTCAATTAGAAATCGTCCTATTGATGCAACTTATCACTTAAACTTTAATATCATTATAGGAATGTTTTTACGATATCTTATGTTTGGAGCTCCAGCTTATATTGCTTTTGAAGCTGTCAAGAAATATCTACAAGCCCAAGGAATAATGCAGGCTTCTACTTATGCATTAATTATTGCTTCACCGATCAACTTGATGTTGAATTATTCCTTGGTCTTTTTAGAACCTTTCAAACTTGGATTTATCGGTGCTCCTCTGGCTACAAGTATCAGTTACTGGATAATGTTAACACTATTATTACTTTATATTCAATTTGTCGATGGTCTTGCTGCTTGGGGTGGATGGACTCGCGAATGTTTATCTGATTGGGGTCCTTTCTTACGTCTTGGTTTACCTGGTGTTATCGCTATATCTGTAGAATGGTGGAGTTTCGAACTTAGTGCTTTGGCAGCTTCTTATCTCAGTACTGTGGATCTTGCCGCTCAATCTATCTTGTTGACATCTGGTGCTGCCACTTATACTATTCCATATGGTATCGCTGTTACCATCTCTAATCGTGTGGGAAATGCTCTTGGTGAAGGTGCTGCTATCAAGGCTACTCGTGCATCCTCTATGGCCCTTATTTTTGCCGTTGTTTTTGGTACTCTCAATTCACTTTTCTTCATTCTCACTCGATCTTGGTTTGGTTACTTGTTTACCTCTGAAGAAGATGTTGTTCAACGAGTCAGTGTCATCTTACCTATTTGTGCTCTTTTCCAAATTAGTGATGGTGTTGCCGGTGTAGCTAGGTAAAAAAAAAAAAAAAAAAAAAAGGTTATATACGTATAGTGCTTTGATATCAAGGACAAATTAATCAACCATTTTCTTTTTATTTTGTTTTAGTGGTATCATCCGTGGTTTGGGTAGACAAAAAGTAGCTGCTTATTTGAATGTGTTCGCTTATTATGCTGTGGCTGCTCCTATTGGGTACGTACTCACCTTCAAATTGGGAATGGCATTGACTGGTTTATGGACTGGTTTGACAATCGCTCTCTTTCTCAGCGCTGGTTCGCAAGTTATCTTTTTATGGATTATTGATTGGCATGCTGAAGCAAAGAAGATTCATCATCGTATTCAAATTGCTGAGCAAAAACTCCACCATGAAGATATAGATTCCATTGATTCCACCGAACCATTGTTGAATGCATAAATCAAACTCGACATCCAAGACATGATCATCCATTTATTTCAATTTGTTTATTATCACATATATTTACCTGTTGCACTGTCCGACAATACATTTGAACATATGAACTCTTCATTTTTATATATACACAGTGAATTTCCCTCTATTTTTTAGTTTATTGCCTTTTTACAATAGTATTCCCTCTCTTAGTTGACTTATTTATTAGCATGGTACGGATATTTGTTTATATATATATATATATATATGTAATAAATAAATAAATAAATGACTGTTTGAATATTCTATCTGTCTTGTATAATAGTTTGTTTTTATTTATTTATTGTAGAATTGTAATGATGCTATGGTAACAAAAAACATCAGTGTACCTAGAAATATAAAAATAAATTAAAAATGAAATGTCAATATTGTCATCCCTCAAACCAATAGTCATCATCATCCAATAAAACTATCATCATTGTATTCCTATCAAAAAACTTGTCTAATATCATCTAATCTCAGTTTACCATTTGCCATCTAATGTGCAATGAACATCAAAAGATTTCATCGATTTTTCGAAAAATTGCCTGATTACCCCCTTGACGATTGGTTTTTTACAACCAAATTTGGCTGAGGAGTTGGAAAATTTTGGCTGTAAAAATCAAAAAAAAAAAAAAAAAAAAAATGAATCCACATAAAAAGCTCTAGTCATTTTTCAAATCCCCATTTTTAAGCTTAAAACCATCATCATACCATATAAGCACCATTAACGAAAGATGTGTATATTATCTATGATTATTTCTTTTGTTATTGGATCAAAAAGACAGCTTGTCCATAATGCGTAGAAAATAGCAAAAAAAAAAAAAATATCACATAAATATCTACTCTAGAAGGAAATCTCCATTTTTCAGTTTAAAACCTCCAGTCATACCATAGTAAAATGTGTGTATATGGGCTATGGCTGAAATTCTTTTTGTTAAAGATGATTGAGATACCGGAATTTGAACTTGCTATATCACATGAGACATTGGAGATCATTGGATGGCTCATTTACGATGATATTGAGATTCATTAAGATGAAATGTGACAGATTACTAATAAGATGATTGAATGATAATTGTATAATAGTATGATGAGATGGTAGGATTGTATGATGAGATGGTAGGATTGTATGATGAGATGGTAGGATTGTATGATGAGATGGTAGGATTGTATGATGAGATGGTAGGATTGTATGATGAGATGGTAGGATTGTATGATGAGATGGTAGGATTGTATGATGAGATGGTAGGATTGTATGATGAGATGGTAGGATTGTATGATTAAATGATGAATAATAATATAAGAAAAATTCCAAAAATACGACCTATATATGACCATATCAGGATATCATAATGTATCTTAACATATTTTTCGATTTCATTCCGTTATCCGAAATAAAGAAAAAAAAATACTCTTCCGTATATATAAAAAAATAAAAAAAAGGAACTAAAGGAGGATCATCAATCATTTTAATCATATTAAAAAAAAATAATGATAATCAACATCTACACAAATCGAAGATTGAAAAAAAGATTCAATGGACATATTGCCAATAAAAAGGGAAGCGTATTTTGCATAATGTCATTTTTGAGCTTGGAAAATAATCAGCCAGTCGACGTCGATATGTATCCATCCTGTGTTTAACTGATGGACGCACCTGGGGAAAAAAAGGAAAAAAAGGAAAAGAAAAAAAGAAAAAAAAACCCATCATGTGGCATCGTACGACATAACACCCTTTCCTTCTATCAAAAAAAGAACATTATATACAAAAAAGGAAGACTGTCGCCGTCATTTTAGTGTGGGATTATCCCAAAAAAGGACATCAAATAAAGTCAAAAAAAAGTTTATTTGATTATTGTCTGTGTTTACAGTAAAAAGATAACGGTATAAAATATTACTTTTCAAAATGATGAAGGTAGAAATAGAAAAAAAAATAGTTTTGCTTTAATAAAGAAGTACAAATAAATAGTAAATAATAAGTGAATCACTTGAAGTAAAATAATATATATGTATATAAATAACAAAAAAAAAAAAAATACAAGGGATCAATCAATCAATGATTCATCACACTCTTGAATAAAACACTAATAACAATATATTAAACACCACCCTTTTCAGCTTCATATTCAATGATGGCAGACTTGTGCTTTCCATAAGCTTCAGCTTGATCATCATTTCGTCCAATAGCATCTTCTTCAACATCACTAGCGTCATTCTTTCCATGAATAATGTAGATGAGGACGGCACATACAAACGCAGCACAGGCAACACCAGTATACATCCAGTGAAGTTTGGGATCGACGGTAACAGATACAAGAGCGAAGGCCAAAATGGATGCGAAACAATTGGTGAATAAGAACAAAGCCATAACAATGGACTTCATGGATTGAGGAGCCTTCTTGTAAGCATATTCAAGACCAGTGATGGATGCAAAGATTTCAGACAAAGCGATAAACACATAAGAGGGGATTTGATAACCAGCAGAAATCCAGTTTTGTCCTGTTTCACCTTCAGAGGGGTAGTTATAATAAGGAGGAGTATTGTAAATCATCGATTGGATACCAGCAGTATAACCCATAGCAATAGCACCGAAAAGAAAACCAAGTGTAATACGGAAAATAGGTCGCATAGGAATACCGAATTTACGAAGAGCAGGATAAACGATACGGTCCATGATGGGGATCGTAATGATTAGTACTAAAGGATCAATATTTTGCATAATATCGTTTGGCACATTGCCCGTCAACATCGTACCTATGGAGAGTAAAAGGATAATAATAATGGGTTCATTCACATCATCATCATCATCATCAGACTTTTTTTTTTTTTTTTTGGTGACTTACCAGCTTGAGAGATCAAATTGTTGGTAATTTGAGAATAACACAACCAATAGATAGGGTACCAACAGAATACAATACATGCCTTCAATGTACGTTTCAATTCATCAACAAAGATATCATCCCAGGTAGCTTTGGCAGCGAGTTCAGGATGACTAATTTGAAGTAAAGAGGGCTTGCATGCTTCCAAACCACCAGTGACCTTTCGACTGAACATGAAGAGTTTACCAGCTTCCACAAAGACAGAACCACGAGGAGGGTTTTGAACGTATTGATTACGACCAAGAAGTACAACAATGATACAAGGGACAAACATACAGGTAGGTAAGAGATAAGCGGCCCAGAAACCAACGTTCTTTTCCAATTCAGTAGTGGCGATGGCAGATAAGGAACCAACATTGATACCCCAGTAAAACATGTTGAAAATTTTTTGATAAGTAGCCTGAGGAGTGACGATAACCCGTTTACCATTGGTCAAAGTCTTGACATAGGCATTCCTTGATCGATATTGTTCGGCAACAAGTGGTGATACATTGGCCTTGATACCCCCAGTACCTAGACCGATGACGATAAGGGAAACGATGAAACCGGGGAAAGTAGCACCATTGGAGATGGCAGCAGGACTAGCAGTACAGGTCAAAATAATCAAACCAACCATATATATGAGAGCGAAAAGTACAATGGTCTTGTATTTGCCAAGGAATTGATCAGCAATTATGGCACTATATAATCATGTCAACAAAAAAAAAATGAGTTTCATCATCATACATCATCAATCATCCCTTTATAAACTTACCCAATGATGGGTGTAACTACAATAATCAGAGTGAGAAAAAAAAAAAAAAGAAAAGAAATTTAGTGCCCCTTCAATTTGTAAAAAAAAAAAAAAAAAAAAAAGTTGATTGTTTAGCTATAAACTTACTGTAACACCAGAATTGGAAGAAAGTAGTGAGAGCTGTAGCAGTTTGTTGACCTCGACCCCTAAAAAAATAGATTTCAAAAAAAAAAAAAAATTGAGAAAAAAAACAATCAATAGTTTGAAAATGATTCTTCTTTTTTTTTTCACTTACATAGCACCAGGATGATCAGCTGGAAAATGATCAGAAGCAGGATTTTGAACATAATTTTGGAAGGGACCAGATAAACCATAGTAAGTGAAACGTTCACAAAATTCAATCAAGATAACAAGATAGGCAGATTTGGGAATACTATCTGCGACTTCAGGTAAAGTTTTCCATTCTTCTTCAGTAGGTTCAGGGTGTTCTTCTTGATGATGATCATGGATTTGAGTTTCTGTTTCGCGTTTTTCTTGAATTTCATATTCGTAAGAAGTCTGTTGAACAGAGACTACTTCTTGTTTTTCCGACATGATTCAAAAGAACAAAAAAAAAAAAAAAAGTGAAAAAAAAGAAGAAAAGGAAAGTAAATAGATCAAAGAAAAAAAAATAAACATTTTATATTGGATAGGACGATTTTCAATTACCGCTTCGAGTGTCCCATCTTTTTTTTTTTTTTTTATTATATATCAGCAGATGGAAAAAAAGAAAGTATAACGAGTATGGATCAACAATGAATTTTTTTTTTTTCAACCTATTGTTTTTTTTTTTTTTGGAATACAAGATCAAATAATTTCTATCGTCTAACGATTATTATCCCACGGTCATGATTCAAAAGGATAAAGACCTACTTTCAATGAAATGAACTAAACATCTGTTTAAAGAAAACTTTAGTTGGTGCGGATGAAGAAAGAACTCTTTTAGGAAATTTAAAAAAGAGCACATGAGATAGAATTTTTTTTTTCACACACATTAAAGTTAATCCTGGGAAACTTGTTCATCCGCTTCTTTTATTGACGAACCGGATGTCAAGACCATCATCAATGAAGAAACCTAGATAAGGGAGTTTTAAAATGGATAGGATGATGATGGTGATTTTCTTTTGGAACTCTTTTCTTGTCAAACCATTCCCCTGATACCTTAAATAGCAATAATGACCAAATATATCAATGATTCTTTTTTTTTCTTTATAAAAAAAAAAAACCTTTATAGTTGATGATGATTATTCTTCAAATAGGGATGATATTTACTTGGAAGAACTGGGATATATTTTTTTACCAAACAGTTGGTTTTTTTTTTCTTATCAAACAATAAAGAAGTCCAATTAAAATACAATGATAACAAAAAAGGAAAAATTAAGTAGAATCAATCTACAAAATAAATATGATTGGATAATATTTTACCTCCGCTATTATGATCATTCGATCAAAGACTTTAGATGGTCTCACACAAATTTGGAAAGTCGACAGAGTGATGGCACGTGCATTTACACAAAGCATAAATAAAAATGATAAATAAACTAATCATCATCATAAATTGAATATTCAAATATATCTATTAATACAAAAGAAATAGTATTATATTCTCGAACCCTTTTTTTTTTTCTGACTGAATTTAAATCCATGTTCAAAAGAGGTAGTCGTTTTAGATCGAGTAGATCTTTTTAGGTTTTTTTTGAATCTTAAATGATCTGAATCGTGTTTAAAGTTGTAATCTCAAGTTCAATTTGTCCCACCCTTTTTGATTTTATTGAAATTCATACAACAAACTTCCAATCAAATGACAGCGGTATGTCAAAAGTTGATCATAGAAAATATGGAACCATTCGGGTTATGGAAAAACCGTGATCACCCAATCAGTCATCTAAAAAAGGTATAGGGAAAAGATAATACTCAAAATACATTTTCTCGGATGATACCTTGGGTATATAGTGATGTTGCTGTCTCTCTCTCTCTTTTTTTTTTTTTTTTTTTTTTTTCCTCCAACCCTTATGGAGAATGGAGTAAGGGATCGTGAGAAAATAAAACAATCATCTTTTCATTCTTGTTTGATTTGTTAGTGATCCTAAATAAAGCTAATGACGAAACATATCGATTTCATATCAAATTAGCGACTATTTTACGTAAGCTTTTATCCTTGGAAGGAGATTTCTTCATGTTACAAATCACACCATATTCTCTTTTTCTTTCTTATCATTCTCTTTTCGATATCATCATCACCATCTACTTTTCCCTTTTTTTTTATCTCTATACCTTGCAGCATTCTCATTCTATAGAATCGAGATAAATTGTGCAAGACAATCCTTCATATTCTTCATGCACGAGTGAAAACATTCATCCATTCATATTGGATCTATGTTGTACAGTGGAAGGTTGCTGATGACAGTGATAGTAACATTAGTCACATTACAAAGCTTCTTTTTTTTTTTTTTGAGTCGATGTTGAATGGGAAAGTTCATTCCAAATAAGGAGTGTGAGAGATATAAATATACCTTTTCTTTCTTCTTTTCATATGGGATGGATGTTATATGACGATGATACAGAAATAAAGGAAGGACATGATGAATCGCATCCAATTTGATAAAAGGACGATTCAAACCATCTTCGACACTTTCTAAACCCTTCTCATATGGGCTCTTGGCTTGATCGAGGCAGACCTACAAGATGATCTTATATAAATCAATCCAACTAGCCAATGAACCCAATCTTTAGTACAAATCAACAAAATTAAGTTTTCTACATCAAACAAACAAAGATAAACGCACAGTCATTGATTTTCAGAACAACATTTATTAATGTTTATTTCACTAACAAGGTAAGCTAAGTAATCATAATATATGTTCAAGCTATATAACAGGATCGGGACATTTACCGGGCAAAGTAAGACGACAAGGAACGTTGGGTCGGATACAATTATTTGGACATGCACTTGGGCTAAAATATAAAGAAGGAGGACACACCAAAAAAAAAAAAAATACTGTCAATACCATAGATTGTACATACGCAGACAAGCACTCACCTCCCCCTTTTTTTTTTGTGTATGTGTATTGACTTACCAAGGGACATAGACTGCTAGACAGACATGATTACCTGTCGTTGATATTCCATTAGGAGATATGGGCCGTGTTATTACTGATGGTCGAGGGAGATTATCCGGCATGGTGGTGGATCTATCGTATAAAGTATCTTGGTGTTCCTTCCTTTTCCTAATCAAAGTCGTTTTACTTCTTCCATGCAGGACGCGCTGTTCAAACTTGTTGGCGATACTATCTCCATCATCCATGATTATTTGTTGCTTTTTTCCTTCTGCATCGTTATTCATCGAAGGACATGTCGGTTTATGTTGTCGTGGGTATTTAGCATCTTTTGGATATTCACACGTATCAGGGCATTCATCTGGACTAGAAAAAAAAAAAAAAAAAAGGTAAGTAATAATCCTTGGTATGTCAAACATATTGTCCCAATAATGCTTTTTTTTTTTTTTTTTTTTTTTTACTTTACCAATCGATATTTAGATCTTCACAATTATTCAGTTCCTTTTTGTTTGGTTGATCAGTTGCCAAAGTAGATTCAACAGTCGAAAGTATTGGTATAGTTGAACTTGAGTTGTTCAAAATACGATGAGCACGCTTCGTGAGTCGAGTTTGCTTGAGTGATCCTAGTTGTTCGGATTGTGAGTGACATATAGGCTGACCACTTCTTGGGCAGCAGTGATCGGCATCTGGATAGAAACAATTGTCAGGACAGTCATTAGGACAAGGTGTCACGGTACAGGCTTTGAGTGTATCGCATGGAGGAGCACATGTGGGTTCACCAAGGAATGGACAACATGGTGGACCTTTGTATTCACAAGAAAAAGGACATTCTTTTGGACTTTTTTTTTTTCGGAAAAGAAGAAAAAAAAAAAGGAAGAAAGAAAGAAAGAAAGAAAGAAAGTTGAATGTAGATTTAATCCAAAATTGGTTTTTTTATAGCGGGGAGTAAATTTTTTTCTAATTACCATGGTAAAGCCTTTGTCAGACACGTTATGCCAAAGCATGCACTTTGACAAACAGGAACGCCACTTCCTTCACAACCTTGATGATTAGGATAAGTACAAAATTGACCTTCTTCACAGTCTGGACATTTAAGACTGTAATTGGGACACAAATCTAAAAAGTCACAAAAAAAAAGGGGGTAGTGGAGAAGAGGGGATAGGTTAGGAATAAGGGGGGATCAATGATGATAATACTATACCATGAGTTTCTAGTTTAGCATCAATAAGGATGAAATGAAATATAAAGGTAAATATGATCCATAGATAAGATTTAGACCACATATTTTCTTTGGTATAAACGAACGACGATGAAGTGAAGGCAAGGAAAAACATTTTTCAATGATTTGAAAAGGAAATAATTGATCAAGAATGTATATATAAATATATAAATCAGTGACAAAAGGAAAAAAAGAAAAAAAAAAAAGAAACAGTAAAAATATGTAGATAATTTTATTCATTAAATAATCATAAAAAAAAAGATATAAAGAGTGAGTAGGGATATGCAGAAAAGTTGGGAGGACTAAGGAGTAAATAATAAGCTAGATAAGTGTTTTGTTGACAAAGTTAGATAATTGTTGAGCATTAGAAGTTTTCAATAGACCTTGTTCGACATGAAGATCCAATTCCTAAACAAAATAATAATAATAATTAAACAATGAATGAAAATAAAAATAAAAAATAATATCATCAAAAGTATTTTATGATTCTTACCATCATGACATCCTTTGCACTTGGTCTATTATCTGGGTTTTCCTCCAGTAACCAGGCAACCAATCCAGTACAATAAATGGTAGGATAACTATAATTGAATGTGGGACTTGGTTCATCCAGAATCTTTTGAAATACTTCTTCATCTTGCTTGGTTGAATAATGAGGTGGAACGCGATCCATCATTTCTATCAATGTAATACCAAGTGACCATAAGTCCACTTTTTCATTATAAGAGTGTTCTTGTATCACTTCAGGAGCCATCCACTACCATTTTTAAAAACATGGGGTAAGGGTTAATATTTATATTTAGAAATCTTTTACTTTTCTTTCCTTTTTTTTTTTATTTGTCTGTCTCCTTTTGATTTTTTTTTCTTTTTTACCTTTGCTGTACCAAGTCTTTCTTGATTCACATGTTTCATACTAGTAGCCAAACCGAAATCAGCTATTATAGATTATAATAATAATAAAAGTGAAATGTTAAGATTCATTTTTTTTTTTATTCTCCCTTGTAATCCAATATTTTTTACCTAGTTTAATTTCACCATGATGACTGATCAATAAGTTTTCGCATTTCACATCTCTGTGAATAAATCCTTTGGTATGTAGATACGATAAAGCGTTTAGAGTCTAGATCAATAAATAAAAACGATAAAAATAATAAGAATGGGATAGAATAATGAGATTTATAATTTACTTCTCTTGCAATATAGACAGCATATTCTTCAGGTAATCCACGGCAACACAATACAGCAAAAACACTACAACGCATCAAGTCCATAGCGATCCACACTTCGTTCTTGTATACAGCAGCTTCTTTGAGTTTGATCAAGTTATTGTGACCAGTAGCCATGATTCGTAATTCACGTACAATAGCAGCACGATATTCTCTATCATAATCCAGTTTACATCGTTTCAAAGCCAATCGAGTATTTGAACCACGTACAATGACTTGAATCACTGAACCATTGACACTAAACAGAAAAAAAAAAGAAATGAGGATCATTCTTTTCAAGATATGATGATGATGATTTTCATACCCAGTGCCAATTTCTTTTGATCCAATAAAACGTGATTTGGGTGAAGAGATGAGTGAAATAGAAGGAACGGCTTTTCGTAATCGTTTTTCGAAGAGAGTTTCATCAGGTTTAACAGGAGGAGGAGGAGAAGGTGACCAATTACTACCACAAGCAGGATACCATGGGGGCTATAAAGCAAGGATGGTCAATAAAACTATTTTTGTGATATGATACATATTTGGTAGTTGAACAATGTGATGATTCTATTTTTTTTTTTACCCTTATAATTGCAGGAGGTTCTTGTTTTTTAACGGCAGGTTTTGGTGGAGGTTGAGTTGGTAAGAGATAGGCATTTCCCAAGATATCTGGTATTTCACAATAACCAGGTGAACGCCAAACTAAAGGCTAAAATAATAAAGAATTGGTGAGTCTTTTTTTTTTTTTTTTTTATTATTTTTGGTTCTCACCTTATCAGTAGAAGAAGGTTGATGTTTAGTGTTAGTAGGAGATTTGAGAGAGCCTAAAGAACGACGTTTGACAGAAGTAATAGTAGTTGTTTTTGGTACAGCAGTGGTATCCGAACAAGATTTTCGCATTTTACTTTGTTGTTGCATGTTATTTAAAAGATAATAAAAATTTCAACGAAGGGAAAGGGAAAGAATCGTAGAATGAAGAATGATAAAAGAAGGAAAAAAAGAAAAAGAAAAGGAAACGACTTGAAGGAATGATGGTCGTTTTTATAAAAGGATGAAAGTAAAAAAAAAAAAAAAGGCAGGAGAAGAAGTGTATAGGAAAAGAAAGAAAAGAGAAAAGGAATGAAAAAGAGGGAAAAAAAGGGGGATTTTTTTAAAAAAAAAAAAAAAAAGAAAAAAAGAAAAAAAGAAAAAATAATAAAAAATTTGAAGGAGGGTCACACACACACACACACAATATACACATACATATACACATACAAATTGGGAACTTTTTTTTTTTTGTCAGTCTACTTCTACTAGAACAGAATTATTTATATAAAAAAAGGGGGGAGGGAGGGAATTCCATCTATCTATGATGAAACTCTTCTTTTATGTTCCCCTTATATATTATACATATATCTTTTTTTTTATTTCATTTTATTTCATCATTAGTATAAGTTTAAACCGTGCATCATCTGCATTAATATACAATCATGTATTTAACAATCTTCTTTATTCGTTCCTGCAATCTGTTGGCTGACTTTGAAAGTTCTTTCGTAGCACCTTAGAAGAAAGAGTAAGGGATTAGAAAAAAGGTGAATGATATTCTCTGTTTCATTGGAACTTTTGGTTTGTTTGTTTTATCATAATCCAACTTACTGGTTCCTCAAGAAAAGAAAAGAAAAAAAAGACTAGACGTAATATACAATTACATTCTTACTTGAAATGATTTCATTTATATACAAAAAAAAAAGAAGACTTTTTTTTTTTATTTGGAAAGGAGAAGATGAAACTATTCTAATGAGCACATTGGCAACCATCAGAGTTGGTCTCCTGACTAGCACACTGACAAGTATCACCACATTGACATCCTTCAGATTGACTAATTTTCAAATAAAATATTTTTATATCCGATATTATATATCAATTTTCTTTCTATAACTTACGTATTACATTGACATCCATCTGATTTAGTATTGCAGCATTTGGCATCACTTTGACTACAGGCACACGCATTTGCATCACAAGCACAATCACCTCCACAGCAACTAGGATTTCCAGTATCAACCATTCCAGAAAAAAAAAAAGGTAGATTAAAGAAAGAAAAAAAAATAATAAAAGGATTAAGAAGAAAAATGGCTTTATTTATACCAAGTACAAAAGTAAACAATAAACAACTAAACTAAACCAAACATTAGACTAAAAGTAAATAGTGTTTCAAAAAAAAAATCGTGTTTCATGGTTTTTGTCCAACTGCTTGACGACATGGAGCGGGAATAGGAGTACTGGGATCAATAGGTGGGTGAATCACAGTGCCAATTTTGTGGTATTTATGGTGATTTGCGTAGAACGATTTCCAATGATCAACGCCTTTCAATTGTGCCGGTGACAATCCTCGAAGATCATGAGTCAAATGGTCTTCAAAGCATCCAGTAACATAAGCTCTAGCAGCATCTTTTCCAGAAAAATGACCATAAGATCCGCCCTAATTGTATAGAAAGAATTAGTAAATGCCTTTCTCCTATTGTTGACCCATCCTTCTCATTTTTTTGTTTTTCTTTTATACCCCTCTTATTTATGATATTCGATTTTTTATTTTTATTTTTATTTTTTACTTACGTGTCCATACCAACCACGTCCTTCAGTCACATCAAATACATCACCACTGTAAAGAAAATAATAATAATAATAAAAGAAGATATCAGCACCCAAGAAAGGAAATGATCGCCTTTTTCCTTTTATAACTTACTCAATAGCCAAATAGATAGGAAGATTTGGGTTACTACCATCATATTGTAATAGCTCTTTTTCAGTAAATACTTGTTGTTTTGCCTATTAAAAAAAAAAAGAATATCAAGTCAATTAAAACCAAAGGATGATAATAGTTTATTGTGTACTTACAGGAAAATAAGTACGAGGATTAGTCCATTTGCCTCTATATCCCCAAGTCCAACTTTCGGTCAACAAGTAAGAAGCAAGAAAGAAGAAAGTCAAGGACCAAATTATAATTGTTAATCCTGTTTTCATTATCTTTCCAATAGTCAATGGTTGTGTAGTTTCATTTTTTGTTGTTGTATTATTTTGTTGATGTTCAGTATGATCGTCTTTTTGTGGTTTACGTCTTTGTACAGTAGCCATTGTTAAGAGAAAGCAGAATAAAAAAAAAAAAAAGGGACAGTAGTATAGGTTTTTTTTTTTTACTTCAAAAGATTGGAAAATTCAGAAACCGTCGCAACTCATTTCCGAAGGGACCTTGATTTTTCATTTGTTCTGTTCTTTTTTTTTTTTCCTTTTCTTTTTTTTTTTTTTTTCTTTTTTTTTTTTTCTTTATTTTATTTTACTTTTCCGTTCCTTTTTTATATAATTTTATTCAAACCTTTTATTTTGGACATTCTTCAATACTATGTATATGACTATGATCCAAACTGTAGTGACAACGATAAGCACTGCATTTTATTCCATTCACAATGATCCTTGGGCTGATGAAATTCTTGCTTTATGGGTACCTCTTGCAGCATACTGGATCTATAGTATGATGTATCACTTTTTGATGTTGGCTGAAATACCTTATTTTGAACAATATCGTATTCATTCTTCTGAAGATATCTCTAAGCGCAACCGAGTTACTATCAAACGAGTATTGATTATGGTCACTTTACAACAACTTATTCAAGTCATCTTAGGTGCTCTCATATTACATCCTATCCATCCTCAAGTCATGATAGCTCAACAAGAACAAACTTTGGCTCGACTAGTATCTTATTCATTAAAATTTTTGAATATCTTTTGTTATCCATGGATAGTCTCGAAAGAACAGGCTATTCAGCTTGCTTTCTTTATCGCCAATAGTCTTTATTGGATGGTAATTCCTAGTATTCAATTTTTTGCCGCTATGTAAGTGACAAAAAAAAAAAAAAAAATTATGATCCAATTATAGGCCAAGATATACTTCATATTATTATGTGTGTTATGTTTCCATATATGTCTTAATTATTGAATTTTTTTTTTTTTTTTCTTTTAGGGTGATTCTGGATACTCATCAATACTTCCTTCATCGTTTGTTCCACTTGAACAAATTCCTTTACAAACATTTTCATTCTCACCATCATCGATTATATGTCCCTTATGCATTTGGTGCTTTATACAATCATCCAGTTGAAGGATTTCTTTTGGATAGTGTCGGTGCTGCTTTGGCCTGCGAATTGACTCGAATGACTCCTCGTATGAGTATGATCTTTTTTACATTCTCAACTTTGAAAACTGGTAAGCAAAAATCCTAAAAAAAAAAAAGGTATTCATTGCTGATCGTTTTACTTTTATATGTAGTTGATGATCATTGTGGTTATTACTTTCCATGGAATCCATTACAATTCTTATTTGGGAATAATGTGAAATAGTAAGTATCATTATCTAGTCAGGAGAGAAGAAAAGTTTTATGTGTGTATATGTATATGTGTTTATATGTACGCATGTGTATGTATCTCATGTTCTTGTGTTTACTCTTTCTTTTGTTTTATCATATATAGTCACGACATTCATCATCAAGCATATGGCATTAAAACCAACTTTTCTCAACCTTTCTTCACCTTTTGGGACAAGCTTTTGGGAACTGAAATGACAAATAATCCTCGTGATACCAAGAAACAATCTGATAAGGCCAACTGAAATGATTATGTTTTACTTTTTTTTACACTCCCTCCCCGACTTTAGTATTATACTTTTTATTTATATATATATATTTTTTACATGTCAACCTCTTCTTCATATCGCTTTACTAGTTTATTATTTTCATTTCTCTCTCTCTCTCTCTCTTTTTTTTTTTTTTATTATTATTATTCTTGTTGATATCATTTCCACTAATTTGTCCACCCCCACTCTTTACTGTTAGCTTTTATCCGTTTCATTTATATATTCCATAATAATAATCTCTTCCTTTCTCCCAACTCTACAATGTTTACCAATAGGGATAATCCATCATACTTTCATAGAATTCTTTTTTTTTTTTTTTAATATAAATAAATATATGTATAAATTTTATTAGTATTTTAGTAATAAAGTAACTGTTAATGATATATACAAACAAAATAATAATAATAATAATAAACGTAAATAATACAAGACTAAACTATACACGATCCAAAGTCCATTGAATGATATTGAGTAGCAAGGTCAGTTGTTGGTCCTTGGCAACGTTATTGAATACCTTGAGCTTGCGGATCAGATCTTGCTTGTTTTGAACCACAACAAAGTCACTACCACATTTGTCACATTGCCGCAGTAGATTTTCTCGTTTGACCCAGTGACATCGTTGACACATCAGATCTTGAAGTTGATACATCATCATCCATCGATTCACTTGTGCAATCATACTATCTTCAATCAATCCCTTGTCATAAACCACCTTACATCCACGACATCGCCATACTGATGATTTTTTACCCATTTGTTGTTGTTGTCCAAATAAATGATGATCACGACAAATGTCCAAATCTTCTGTATAGCCACAATAAGTACATACCACTTCATTCAATTTGAGAAATTCACAAGGATTCTGGAATTGGGCCTCGTTACTGAATTCACTTATAGAACCAACCACTTCCAAAGCATTTCGTTTCAACAATCGTACATCGTCTTCCAGTTGATGATCTAGAGAAAGTACGACTGTTAAAGATTTCACAAATTCAAGAGCAGGATTCGTTAGTGTGAGATGAGAGCCAGCCAATTGAGGGAATACCATATCTGGATTATCATCTTGTCCAAGCGCTTGTTCTTGTCGTTTGATCAGTTTAGGTAACCATTGTAACACCTCTCGCGTTAATGTTTGTCGAATATATAGTCTTTTCTTCTCAGCTCTTGGATCTGGTAAGTCTTCATCTTGTTGCTGTTTTTGTTGCATGATGTGATGTTTGATATCGCGTGGATACCGTTGCTTGATAATGTAAAGTTGTTGAATAAATTGTGCCACATTGATTTTGAATTGATCCTGAATAGCTGATGCAAGATAATCACATATATTCCATTTCATGGTCACCGTATGCGTTTGTTGAGAGATTGTTTCTAAAGTTTGTTGTGTTCCATCCGCCAAGAATCCACCATAATTCATTTCATCCATCCATACTAATACTTGCCAATAGTTCACCAGTTTTAATTCCATCACCTCAAGTACTTGTTTCCGTTGGATAGATCGACTGAGATATTGCCAATAAGCGATAGCACCTTCCATGGATTCCTTCGCTGTCGCAATGATGATTCTTCGAAAATTGGCAAATACAATTTTGGCTCCCAACCTCCTGAATTCCGCCACAAGTTGCATAAACACCTTCTTCATCATGCTGTGTACCAATCCATGGAGACAGGGATCATACATATTCGAACTTGGACTGAGCAACCATCGTAACAACGTATCTTGAAGCATCACGCTCATAGTATTGTTGTCCACCATCGCTTCTTGGAACCACTGTTGTACTGTTGTTCGTAGGACACCAAATGTTTTGCTGGAGATTGTCGCATCACCGAATGTCGAAATATATTTTACTGCACCTTTAGTGTATTCATCCATGGTATGCATCGTTTGATCAAATCCAATAGTAGCCACAGTACCTTCTACTTCATTAATCACAGGGGCCATAATCACCGTGTTAAGACAAAGTCGTAAAACATCCATTTCCACGCATACCGTTTCATAAGCACCAGGATGGTTCATTTCATTGCTGACAAGATCATTGGCGACAGAAATATTTTCATCGTTTTCCCTTCCACCGAGATCTGGTTTGGGTGCAGAAGACCACCATAATACCATGTCGTTGTTCATCAATTGCTTTGCAAATAAGATATCGGCCATAAACAAATAGGGATCGTTGGGTATGTTGCAGAAGGGAACGTTGACATAACGGGCTTGATCAAATCGTTCATCTAGCCATGGTCCAAGATGCATATAATGAGCCAACATTTGCTTGCACACAGGATTAAGCCAATTAAGAGCATCAAATTGATTGTTTTGCTGAAGAGATGGTACTGTCACATATGGGAAGAAGTTGATTGCAGGTACTTTTTGTGTCAAATAACTGGCTTGTCGTGGGGAATTGATGGCGAGAATGGTAGGTCCTTGCTTGATATCGTCTATTTGAGTCAATACCCTGTTGATCGCTTTGAATGCATCTCGTTCTGTTGCATGATAGGTTGTTTCAAAATCCATCGAATCCTTCACTTGTACTGCGCGGCTGCTATTGTTGGGCATGATTTGTTGATATTTATCCAAATAAAGTTTGTTGACGTTCGGCATTTGTCTTGAACGGGCATCCACACCCACCAAAAAAACATGAGATTGAAGTAGAGAAGCACCAACCAAAGCAAAGAAATGTCTTCTTTCAGAAGTAACATGATAAAAATATACAAAATGGAATCGTTCAGGATGTTCAAAATAACCCGATGTAAGATCCAGTCTTGGTTTCAAGGAATCTAAACTAAACACATCTTCTAATCGAGTATGAGCATCAATCTTGAGTTTATCCACTTGACAAACGGATCCAAGTTGTAACATGGCACGGATAGAGAGAGGTACTTGAGTTTCATAAACACCTTCAGTGGATGGATGGTTGAAGATCGTTGAGAATTTCTTGAGTTCGTCTTGAAAGATAGTTTCCGACATGGTCATTTGGAAGAGATTGAGACATCGATGAGAACGAGGTAAAGTTCGAACACATTTGTCGATGATGCAGGATGGATTTTGATTGATGATGGTTTGGGGTGCTTCTTCATAGCTGTTGACATAGAATACACGTGGAACTGATAATCGAATACTACGGAGTTGTTGTTGAATAAGGACCCACATTTTAAAATCTCCAGGTGTATCTGTTTCCGCAATTTGGATGATTTGCCAAGGACACATCAATAATGACCCAGTTTGTCGTCTGAAAAGGCTGCTGAGATTACCATCTGTTGTACTTGGTCGATCGCTGAGTTGTTGCCGTCGTATTTCTCTGTTTTGTCGTTGTCGCTTCCATTTGCGCTTTTGATAGGCCAACCATCCTTGATAGTCTTCAAACATGTCCGGCATATTTTCTGGTAGATCTTCTTCGGCCAAATTGTTAGGATCAGAGTCAATATCCATCTTATCATTGTTGTCTCCACGTTGACCACTATGTTTTCTCTTGGTAACTTTGGCGGTTTTCGGTAAAAAGTGATTGTTGACAATAGATCCACTTCCAATATTGAGTTCTTCAATATCACCCATCTCCACATCATCATCCCCATCTATAATATCCATCGGGTCATTTTCGTCTTCCATAGAAGGTAACCGTGTTGTAAACATATCAGTAATGCGGTGTTGTTTCATCTTGTCATCTTTAGCAGAGATACGTTTGAATAACCAATCAGGATGAGCCACACGAGGAACAGGATTTCGTACTTTTTGCATAGCAGCAGGGATGGTGATTAATTTTTGAATGACAGAACCAAATCGTTCCAAATAATATTGCCAATCCAAAATATCACGGATGTCGAATGTCATAAGAGAATCATCTTTCAACCATTTTCGTAAATAATGCTTCTTGACACTAAGCTCAGCAGAGAAGATGGCTACAGGAATTGCACGTTCAGATACTGGTAAATCGTAAGGCCGAGCAGAAATGACAAATTTACACGCTAAACCTTTATCCTTGACCATTTGATCACCCAAGAATTCAGCTAATCGTTTGGCAGTACTGATAGATGTTGATTTTTGAGAGCCATATTCATCAAGTGTTTTCGACATACTTCTATTTTCTGAAATCAGTTCAAAAAGTTCATCGTCCTGTAATTCAATACCCTTGCTATAAAGAATATCCAACCATTGATTTGCCACCTTTGCCACAGCTTGATAACATTCTTCCAAAGAGTTACCATCTAGAAACACCTTGAAAAGATCCGATTGGAAAATTTTGATAAGTTTCAATTCACCACGACGTTTGACTTCGAACCCTTTGAGTTCAGCTAGTGATCCATCCTTGTTGAATACTGCATATCGTTTCTTGAGTAATTTGTCTTCCATAGTTGATGAAGGTAGAATCATTGCACGATAAGGACCATCAATTTCAAAGAAAATCGAATTTTCACTGTGAGTCTTGTATTCCATAGTTTCACTATTGACTAATGTTTGATATTGGTGATTTGTGAATTGAGCATGAACCAAATGATTTAACATCGTACAGGGATAATCGATTCGAAATTTCTTGCCATTGTGGAGAGTAAATGTAAATGTTTCCGGGAAGCTTTCGGGTAGAATACACCAGATACCATCCGTATCCAATTCCAGAGGTCGACCAATACGTTCTACTAGTTGCCTAGCCATTTGAATAATCTTGGAGCCAGTAAGACATACGATACCCGCCATTTCTAAGGAGTGCCATCGTGCCCCTTTTCGCATTACGTAGCCATAAAAAGAATTCAGAATACACTTGTGAGCCAATTGTAGAGAATCATATAAAACAATCATATTCTTTGCTTCTGCCACCTTGGTAATAGATCCTTCAGCATTTGCTTTGTCAAGATTTTGTTTCCACACCTTATGTAAACCTTTGTATTCATATCGTCGATCACGGAATGCACGTACAGTTTCAATGTAGAATGGATTTTCCCTTTGACAAATGATGGATTCTCGTTCTTCAGTCTTGGTTTCCCGTACCTTTTTATAAACCTTCTTTGCATATTCGTTCAGTCGTTTGTTGATCAATGACTGTCGTTCGGTATCAGTCAGAGAGTGCCATGTTCTAGGAGCACCGTTGGGTATTTTTGGTGGAAAAGTTTCGATGCTAAGTTGATGCTCAATCATTCTATATTCATTTCGTTTCGCTGGTGAGTATTCGCCACGCCAGGTCCATGTCATTCGTCGATCACATTGTTTTCCAGGTACATTGAATTCACAGGTAGCACACATAGATTCATCAATCATGGCATCAGGTTGAAGTCGGTTGGTGAGAATAATGTTGGGATACATTGCTGCAACATCCAAGTGATAAATAAGAGGTGGTTCTTTTCGAATAGGAGAGTCCCGTAATTGTTCTAGTTGTTGCTTGATTTCATTGTACACTTCATCGTAATTTGCCACGTCTGTTAACTTTTTCTTTTCTTCGACTTGAATAGTGAATTTAAGAGCATCATCCAATTGATCGATTAACTAATTAAGTAAAACAGTAAAAGAGTTTAGATATATTCCTCTATATGATCCATTATTTTCTCTTTTTCTTACTTGTTGAGCAGCAGAAGGATCCATTTTGAAATCAGTTGCAATATCACTTCTAAATACGCCAGCTTCTAAGGCTTCTACATGACCACCAACATAAGTTTGATTTTCCACCTTGTGACCTTCATAAAATTGATCTGTTTCTTCAACATGTTTGTTTGGCATGATCACATTGACCTTATAAGCTTCAACCTATTTGACAAAAATATGAATAAATAAATAAATTCAAGTCTTTTTTTTTTTTTTTCTATTATTATTATTATTAAGTTTTATCTTACCATTAGTAGTAATTCACATAATGTACCAGAACCCTTTCGAAGCACTTCATCGGGAACAAGAGGAATAATATTACATAAAGAGAAGATGAATGGATGTACATATTTCATATAAAGATAAAATGTAGCCACAGCATCGGAGACAGAGTATTGAGCCAAAGTTTGAGGATGTTCGGAAGCAAATCTATTCAAACAAAAAAAAAAAAAAAAGAGATAAGTTTTGATTGTTGATTCTTTTTTTTTTGGTAGATCTACTTATTTTACCTTGTCATATCTTCAGGATCCAATTCCATGGGATTGTATCCAAGTTTTGCAGTAGTGACAGCTTTAAGGCCTTGACTTCCTTGCGGTAAATAAGAATCACGTTTCACCCATCGAAAGGCGTCCATATGAGAGGCATGTTTACATTTGTATTCATCTTCTTCATCCTTGTATACCCCAATTTCCTAATATAAAAAAAAATGACAAGATAATATTCATTAAAATGATTATTGATAACCATCCTACATTGCTCTTTTTTTTTCTATATTTACCTGGTACATGTCCATTCCATGTACTTTTGCTCTAGCTTCCACAAATGGCCAATCAAAGAAATCACCGTTATAAGTCACAAAGATGGTTGGTTTTGCTTCTTGAATATGTTCAAAAAATCGTCGTAATACTGCAGGCTATAGAAAGGAAGAAAAAAACAAAAGTATATAAAACTGAGTTAATGATATCAAAAATTGAAATTATAGTCTTACCTCATCGGCTTCATTGAAGATCGTAAAAGGTCCTTCAAATTCTGGTTTTGGTGTATATTCAAAATCTTCGATATCTTGACTGACGATTTCTCGATTAGTGATAAGATAACCCTAATATATTAAATTAATTAAATTAGTCTTCAATTTATATAGTATCATTTATTGATTACCCGTCCTTCGATCATATAAGATATCATCATGATAGAATCAATAGTCGCATCTGGAAATTTGAGTGGAAGTTTTGTTGTTTCAATATCAAAGGCAAAGACGACAGGATCAGGTCGATGTACAAGATCCTCTCTTCGTTTGAGAGTAGCTGATCCATCAGAATAGACTTTTGCAGTATACCAAAGGCCCACTCGAATATCCAAATCAATAGCCACACGTACATAATAAGGTATATCAAATTCGCGAATATCAATAATATTGTCTAAAGCTTCTTGTGGATTCTTCCGTGATGACATGGCAGATGAATATTCTGGTTCATAGGATACATTGTTGGTTTCACTAAAGTAGAAAAAAAATAAGGTATAATGTTAATTCATCCATCATTTGTTCTCATTTTCACTTACTTGACAACATCTGCATATGTATCGACGGCTTCTAATTTTCGTTGATTCTTTTTGGCTATAGGGAGCAAGACCTTCCGTACAGATAATAGATCAGAAACATTGCGGAAACTTAGTTTGATCAACATTCGTGTATTGCCAATAAGATGATTTTGCTATAAAATAGAAAATAAATAAATAAATGAATAAATTAGAAACAAATAGAAAACATATTTTTATATTCTACTTGATTTTATTTACCATTTTAAGATCATCCTTCTCTAATCTTGTCATCTTTTCAATTGTATCTTCGAATCGTCGGCGTAAATAGTCTTCTACTTCAGTTTCAGTCCCATTCTATAGAATAATCATATACTGGTTAGTTTATATAAATTATAAATATCTCTATGCATTATCTTTTTTTTTTTGTTACCTTGCATCCAATATAAAAGTATGGACTATATCGTAGTGTTGTTTTGAAGGTTTGTCCATTTTCAGCAATGAAGTAATAATTCACCCCAGCATATCCACCACTCCAATTGTCATCCATAATGAGTGTCTATTTGTTAATTAAATATTATAATAAAATATAGAAAGGTTCAAGTCAATAAGATAATATATATATATAATAAAAACGTTTTCCATTGTTTTGTTGTAATAATATTGCTTACAGTATGCATATTAATGAGCCAACCAAGTCTTTCAGGTCCACCTTCGTATCGATCAAAACCAAACTTGCTTTCCAGGTCATCAAGTGCTTGAATATCTTCGAATCGTTGATCTATATTGGTAGGAGCATCAGTTGACTGTGAAGGAAGTCCATATTGTTTGAGTGAAGTATTATTGGCATGAGTAGATCCAAGACGATGTCCCTTTTGTTGTCCTTTTGATGAGAATCTTGAAGAAGATACCCCGAACTCTGGACGTGAAGTCATGATTGGATATATATATATATATAAAGATAATAAAAAAAAAAAAAAAAAAAAAAAAAGAAAAAAGAAAAAAAGAAATAAAATTGAACCTTTATTTTTTTTTTTTTTTAGTATTTTATTTGTCCCGTCTACAGCTTTGTTCGCGTCGCGTATTGCTGGACTTTAATATTGCACACGGAAGAAAAACCATACCAGTCCCACAAAAATCACGGGTATTTAGGTCCCGCTACGTGTGCCTAAAAAAATAAAATAAAAAAAAATGAAAAATGTCATATTTCTTTTTTCTTTCTTTTTCTCTTTCTCTCCATTTTCATATTTCTTTTCCTTTTTTATATCTCTTTCTCTTACTTTCCTCCATTGCAAACGACTCACCATTAGTAAGTATGTCTAACATTTATTAACTGATGCTTTCTTCTCCTTTCCTCTTTTTTATCATTAGACAAGTATATCAAGATAAACTTTAGGTAACAAGGTTACTTTTTTTTTATTTTTTTTTTTATATAAAGTGAAAACAATGCAGCTGATACTTTCTTTTTTACATATTATAGTAATTACTCAATCTATTCAACTTCTACTTATTCTGCATTAGACAAGGCGATATCAAGATAAACTTTAGGTAACAAGGTTACTCTTTTTTTTATTTTTTTTTTTTTATAAAGTGAAAACAATGCAACTGATACTTTTTTATTTTATAGAAATCAACGAAGCGTTGGATATGGATGGATTATGCATATTAGATAGCTTGGAATAACGACAGTAGTGATGGTAGTGATGATTTTTTGTATGAATTGAATAAAACTGAATGGATGAATGGATGATACGAAGACTATTTTATTATACAATTATTACAAATATCTAGTGTATTCGTTCCAGTGGCCATATGTTTGGCGGGTGGTCCTTGCATTTCGAAACGTTAGCACTTGATGGAGATATTCATCACGATCCTCTGCGCTTTGAAATACCCGTGATTGTACCAGAGGTAACCGAGAAGAGTATTCTGTTGCCAACACTTCCTCTCTTTCTTGATCTTCTTGGACTTGCCGCATCAGCTCCTCTATTTGTCGTTGCTTCTCTTGGCGACTTCGACGAATGCGTTGCAGCTCTAGTTCAGCTTGTCGATAGTATACTTCTTCATCAACTGCAATACGAGGCTCCAGGGAAATTGGGGATTCATCATCACTTATGACAACAACATCATGTCGGATGATCGGTGAATTGGAGGGCGAAAAGGTCAATGGCGATTGAGATATATAGGACGACAGAGTGAAAGACGTAGAATTGGATGGAGACAGGAGATTGATTCGTCCAGGATGAAAAATAGCGTGGGCGGCAATCTACAGTATAGTTAGTTTTAGTTGTTTATGTCAAATATTGAAATAAAGTACCCTTTTTTTTGCCATCCTTCCTTTATACGTATATATATATTTATATCTTTTTTTTTATTATAGTACTGTACTTACGGCGCGATCAATGATGATGTTTGTCAATGCCTCTGGGACTAGGACAAAGGGAGGACAAACGTTATGAAGGCGAAGCATAGGAGGCTCTATGCGACGTTCGATAAAAAATTGACCAGAGCGAATACGGCCTACACCACTTTGGTTTACGAGATGCTTACAAAGTAAGAATCTGCTCTCTACGAAAACAGGACAGCCACAAACCCAAAGATTCAAATTTGTATCATAGTCAGCGCGAGGAGCATCTGCCTGTTGGATGCATTGATTCCATGTTGATACAAACTGTCGTTCCCAGCTAAACCTGTCACGTCTTTCGATGACCTTTTGGTTATACAAGTCCAAGAGATCTCGACAATGCCGTCTGATGATGATGTACACTAGAAAATCGAGCCTAGGTCGATTGTGATGATATAGATGATTGCGCTTTAGCACCCGCCAGTGAGATTCTACCAGCATGGTGGACTTGCCATTGGGGATTAAATGAGGCTGGCTTGATCTTGCCCACAGGATCCACTTGTTGTACGTATACCAGTTTCTATATAGGTATGCCCATACATTAGGGATGTTGTTGTTGACGCAAAACGTGTATGCTTCAAAGGTTGATTGACGGTGGATAAGAGCAGAGTTGATGACTACGTTCCCTAAAAAAAAAAAAAAAAAAAAAAAAAAAAAAAAAAAAAAAAAAAAAAAAAAAAAAAAAAAAAAAAAACACACACACACACACAAACGTGTTATTCCAAAAAAGGTAATATGTATGTTGCCTTTGTCCTTAGGCTTTTTTTTTTTTTTTTTTTTTTTTTACCTTGAGGTATGAGAGGATGCAGACAATAATGTCTAGTCATCATACGCTTGATTTGTTTTCGCTTTTCTTTGTTGCATAGGTTAGCGTTCCCTTGAGGTGCCTGAGGAGCGAAGGTCAAATCAATAAAATCGAACTCGTCTTGTGGATTTAATGACTCATATACTGGTGGAAGAACTGTTCTCTGTGGTCTTGATAAAAATTGCTCTACTGCTCGACTAATGTGCCAAAGACAAAGCTGAACCTTCCTTTCACTCCATGTTTCACTGATTGCTGCAATTTCCGCACTATCTTTATCACAAAACATAAAAACTGGTTGGATACCATTATCGCGGATTACTTCCAGGAATTTCTTCAGGGTAGCAACCTTCCATCCATGATGATCATCATTAACGTCGGTTTCATCATCATCATTACGTATATGCTTGCAAAGCATGTATGCGATAGGAAATCCAGCGCCGTTGATGTTTGCAATCACCGCAAATAGTTCACAATCATTACGATTCGTCTTGAAAGTGGAGTCAATATGATATTCGGTAACGTATCGGGATGAATTGGCACAAATGTTAAAGAACTGTGTCTTGAAACCAAAACCTTGCCAGTTATTTTCAATAGCCCAAAACCTTGAAAATAAAAAAAAAAAAAAGATTATTCACCAATATAAAAGGTAAGAAAATAAAAAAAAAAGATTATTCACCAATATAAAAGGTAAGAAAATAAAAAAAAAAGATTATTCACCAATATAAAAGGTAAATCATATATAAAATATATCCTTTCTTTTTAGCTACCTCTTCAAAGCCGTTGTTGTTGTTTTGCTGGATCAAAATACGAGCGGAAATAAATTGATCATCGTGATGTTCATAATGCTGTCGAAGATAATGATGATACCACTTGTAGACTTGAGCCTGCGTTATCATAGGCGCTCCACCAAACTCTTGACGTATGTTCCGGAAAAGATGGGCAGAATCCAAGTTGAGAGCATGTCGTTCGATGTATTCCCTAATTGCCAACGGTGTCTCGTTTCTTTCAGTAAAAACAGAGCACTGATGCTGAAGACGATGATTGTACGTCACATGAACCCATAACTGCTCCCTATCGAAAAATCCAGTAACTTTCCCTTTGCAGTTATATGTGTTCATCCGGCAGGTTAAACGCTGTTGGAGTTCTTCTGGTAATTGCCGTTGTATTGTCTGGTCTTGGACACAGTATGCGTGAAAAGAAATGGATTGCCGCAGGACAGGATCACCAGTCTTCTTTAAAGCAAAATGATACCCTGAAATTTCTTCAAACCGATGTATCACCTCCTCAATGATCTGATCATCCGTATAATTTTCTATAACTTCTTCACTCATTGCAATATCCCAATCGAACTTTACTGGTCCGTTATTGCTAATGTGCTCTGTAGCATAATGTATATCCAAGCTATCCATGGATATCATCGAGTCCATAGAAGGCGCAAGGCGAGGAGGAGTCTGTCTATATCGGCAGCAGGTACAGGTGTTGTATGTTTGAGTTCTACCAACGTAGTCTTGTCTGTGCCTGTACGAGCCGCAACCAGAGCATTGAATAAAAGCAGATATATCCATATTGTAAGTAAATAAAAAGTGTATATAGTTGTTATAATAACAGTGAAAAAAAAGAAGAGTATATTGACAAGATAAGAATCGTTTTATTGATAAGTAGCTTGATATTTATACTAATGTTTCTATATAGTGATAAGGAAGGTAAATATAATAATAATAAAGGGGTAAATATATTAAAGGGATATATATACTAATAACTACCAATTGTTAAGATCTAATGTATAAGAAAGGAAAGAAGAAAAGGGAGAAAGGAAAAAGAAGGAAAGAGTCTCAAATAAAAATTCAGTGTGTCGCCAGCTCCCGAAATTCAGATCAGTCACACCAGGCATATCACATTTGAAAAATCGTCCAACTTGGATATGTATAAAAATCTAATATTAGCATGATGAAGCAGTTTAAAGAGGTGCAGAAGCCTTTTGTATGTTACAAATCCCTTCTCGTTATGTATCCATTCCTTCTATCATCCACTCATCCATTCAGTTTTATTCAATTCATACAAAAAATCATCACTACCATCACTACTGTCGTTATTCCAAGCTATCTAATATGCATAATCCATCCATATCCAACGCTTCGTTGATTTCTATAAAATAGAAAAGTATCAGTTGCATTGTTTTCACTTTATAAAAAAAAAAAATAAAAAAAAAGAGTAACCTTGTTACCTAAAGTTTATCTTGATATCGCCTTGTCTAATGCAGAATAAGTAGAAGTTGAATAGATTGAGTAATTACTATAATATGTAAAAAAGAAAGTATCAGCTGCATTGTTTTCACTTTATATAAAAAAAAAATAAAAAAAAAGTAACCTTGTTACCTAAAGTTTATTTTGATATACTTGTCTAATGATAAAAAAGAGGAAAGGAGAAGAAAGCATCAGTTAATAAATGTTAGACATACTTACTAATGGTGAGTCGTTTGCAATGGAGGAAAGTAAGAGAAAGAGATATAAAAAAGGAAAAGAAATATGAAAATGGAGAGAAAGAGAAAAAGAAAGAGAAAAAAGAAATATGACATTTTTCATTTTTTTTTTTATTTTATTTTTTTAGGTACACGTAGCGGGATCTAAATACCCGTGATTTTTGTGGGACTGGTATGGTTTTTACACGGAAGAAAGAAAAGTCCTGCGAAGTTATCATCATCATCATTATCATCACTCTGTATGGAAATACTTGTAAATTATCCACAAAAGAATTCAAATATATGTATCGAAAATGTATTATTATTATTATTACTATTGAATCATATAATATTATCTATATTAACCTTGAAAATAAAACTAGTGAACACTAACTAGCAAGAACAATATATTCAATAATTTTTTTTTTAAATAAAAAATTAAGTCATTAGATATCTTTGTAATAACTACATAAGTGAAGAATCAACATCTAATGTTTTATTGTACATATGAAATTAATATAAATCTATACTATTTCTATTTTTTTTTTTTTGACTATCTAATCATTAGCCTTGCCAAGCGCACATGATACCATCCTCACCACCTGTCAAAATGCTTTGGGTAGTATGATTCCAATAAATCGATCGTACAACATCAGTATGGCCACCAGGAGCATGTAATGTTTGACATAATTGTAATTCATCAATATTCACATGGAATATAAGTGATGATCCGCTATATATGTAATAGAAAAAAAAAGTAATCATATGAATTATCAATCATGCAAGTCTTTTTTTTTTATTTCTTTCTGTCTTGGTAATTGTTCTTACTTGTTATTGCCAGTTTCCAAATAAAGACGCTGAGAGATTGGGTCATAGTTGCAATCAATAGCATAATCCACTCCATCTAATTGCTTCAATTGTCCATAGTCACACATCAAATCACCCTATAAAATATAGAAAGTCAAAAAATAATGAAACTATATGAATATCACTATTTAATAAAGGGTTTACTTGTTTTGTTTCTTACCTCAATGGTATGTATAGAGAAGGTTTCCAAGTGAGTAAGACAATACAAATATTCCGCATTTGGACCAAAGTAGCCTGCCTTATTCACAGAAGATCCAGAATTCACTACTGCCAAAAGAGCCTCTTCTTCATCAAATTCAGATACATCATAGCTGTTGATCAAACCATCTGTAGAACTTGATATCAATTGTGAAGGGATTGTAGGATGACATTGAATCTAAATAAAAAAAAATCATTAAGTTTTACATATAAAAAAAAGGAAGAAAAATCATTCTTTACTTCAGTAACGTCATCCCCATGTGATTCTTCAAATTTATGGATCAATTGTGTTTGTCTTGTATCAAAGAATCCCAGTTCGGCGGCTTGTACCACATCTTCATTCAGAGTACCAACAACAGCCATGGTATCGTTGCAGTTCACATCAAATGCTGATAATGGTCTAGGATCTATATCATAGAATAAGCTTATCACATGAGTTGTATTCTTAATAAGATTATATTATTCAATCAACTTACAATGAAATATTTGTACAGGCGTGGTGGTAGATGCACGTAAATCCCAACGAGCCAATTTACCATCCTCTGAAGCAGAGAAAAGATATTGATCATTGAAGAGTTTAATTTTGGAAATGCGTTGTTGGTGTAAATTCAAACTGGCAGCAGGTTGAAGCGTAGATAGATCATAGAGTCGAATCATATTATCAGAAGCTGATGCAATGGCGTATTGACTATTTGCTGTAACGTCGAACACGTATTGGTCCTCCCAACCAAAATTCATACTACGTACTAGTTGATATGTTGGAAGAAGTTGAGTATTTATTTGAACAGACACCATTTGTATAAATGTAAGTTATTAGTGTGGTATAGAATATGGTGAAAGGTGGAAAAAAAAAAAAAAATAAAAATGTGTGGAACTTTTTTTTTTTTTTTTGTAGCGGAATCTCAATCCTCGATCTCTTCTGTCCATGCTCAAAAATTGAACCTTTTTTTCTCTTTTTCTTTTTCTTTTTTTGTTCTCCTACTATTTTTTTTTTTTTCCTCCTTCTCATTATTTTCAATATTCAACTCCTTGGTCATGAAATTAGAGCCACATCAAAAGGCATCACTGGTGTTTTATGTCCTTAGTGTCTTTATATCGTTTATCTATTCTGATCTATTTACACCTCCACATACCTATTTCAGTACCAAAGGCAACATTTTTAATGTCTTTTTCATCAAAAAAGGTTGGTTTTGGGTAACAGTTGTCTATGGATTATATGTTTACTTTGTACTATCCAAACGGTGGACCACTCAACAAATTACAAAGTCTTTATATCGTTTTGCATTCGTATCTATCTACTGGTATGTGATGACGCAATGGTGTTTTGGCCCAAGTTTCATCGATCGTGTATATGTTGCTACAGGTGGTAGCTGTGTACCTATCTCACAACAATCCAGTATCCTAAGTGGTGCTGATAATAATGACGGTGATGATTTGAATTTGACAATACAACAACAACAACAACATACACTTCTCTTATCGCAAACATTCCGGCAAGCTACTTGTCGTCAGCTGGGTGGTCAATGGTCTGGTGGTCATGATGTTTCTGGTCATTGTGTTATGCTTATCCATGCTAGTCTCTTTCTTTGGGAAGAACTCTCTTGGGTATTCTATTCAATTCCTGCTGCTACTCAACTCAAAAGATCTCAACCTACTGCTTGGCGCGCTCTTTTGGCTGTTTTGACTCTATTAGGTTTATGGTGGTGGATGTTGGTCATGACCGCTATTTACTTCCATGGACATTACGAGCTGGTTTCTGGTACTTTCTTTGGTGTATTTGGATGGGCAATTTTGGTATGTAAATAGGAAGTAGGAAGGGATGATAAAATAATATGATTGTTTTGTGATATCACTCTAATCTACCTTTTTTTTTTTTTTTTTTGTAAACATTTATAGTATCTTGGTCTTTTCCCAAAACTGACTACCATTGGTTTACCTTCACAATCGCTTTAGAATATATGTACGATAGACTTTTTCTTTTTCTTTTCATTTACTAACTTTTATATTTCCTCTTTATTGAATAATAAAAAATAATAATAAAATGATTTCAAAAAAAAAGATCAACTATAAACTATTCTTGATGTGTATATGTGTAAGTGCTTGTTTTCTTGTGCCTTATTATTCTTCTTCTCCCACTTTCTTCAAATCACCCATATTAGTAGACTAGATATAAGGAAGAAGAAGAAATAAAAAAAGAAAGTCAATATCAATACTATGTATGTCATTTCAATAATATTTCATCTTGAACTTACTTCGACAGTTGATCTATTGAATATATATATCATGTGAGATGTAAAAAAAAAGAGTTTCGAATTAGCAGGATGATCAACAAAATTGACACGTGTTTCTTTATATTTTCTATTTTTCATTACCCGATAAAAATAAGTTGTTGAATGGCAGTAGTTTCTTCATCTTCTTGATTATCAACCACAAATAACTATAAGATTTTCATCAAAATTGATCTTCATGAGTCATTATTCTCTAATTAATTTTTTTTTTTTTGTTACTTACAGTAATGTTCACAATGTGTTGGAATTTTACAAATCGCAAATTTATAATAGCATCTTCTTCAAAATCCTTGGGTTCTAATACAATAGTTTGAGTTTCCTTGATTGAGTCTGCATCTTCGAAACCAATATTTTGTCGATTGGCAAAGACCTTGATAGTCTTTGGAGCTTTAGCTATTGATTGAAAAAAAGGGTGAGAGAGCAAAGAGAAACTTAAATGTTAGTATCCATTTTTTGAAACCAAATCAGCCATTAGTAATTTTTATCCACTTGCCAATTTCAGGTACTTTGAATTTCAAAGAGTGAAGTTTAACAGCTACCAAAAAAAAAAAAAGTAATATATGTCAATTAATTCAATTCTTCTTATCTGTAATCGAGCTCTTTCTGTCTTTTTCTTTCCATAATCTAACTTACGTTGATTGAATGGTACACTGATGATGAGTTGTTCATCTACATCACTTTCCAAAAATGAGTCATCTCCTTTGAAAATATTTTTGACATTATGATCTTCTTGTTGATTCAAAGCATCCATTTGGTTTGGAGTGATGACATCAGTCAGATCGTTCTAGATAAAAAAAAAAAAAGGATCATCCACGTCAACAAATGAAAACAGGTCAATCCTCTTCTTATTTTCTATTCTATTCTCTCAAATTTTGACTTACATGACCAGGAGCACCAGCAAAGGCATGATTGTTACCACCTGTAGCACTAGAAGAAGAAGAGGAAACATCTTGTGTACCTTGGTATTGTTTGACATACTGTTCAAGTTGAGTTGGATTTGCGCCCTTCAATTCAGCAATCTTCTTTCCACCTTTATAAAATTGGAACGTAGGCCTATTCATACCCCGCATGTTCAAACAAAAGTACGTCATGTCAATACCACTTTTCAGTCGATTATTTGGATAACTTACATGGCACTGACTTTGCACTGAGCAGCAACATCCTAAATTTGATCAAGAAAGAAGAAAATATAACGTTAGTATATTTTATCGAATAGTGACAAACATTCTCATATACTAAATAATGTCCCTTCAACTTTTTCTTGCTTTCTACGAAAAGGTTTTCATATGATTATGTACTTACATTCACTTTATCTACATCAATCTAGTTTTATATATAAGATAAAAAGAAGATCAATTTATCGCTGGTTAATAAGGCGTTTACGTAATGCCTTTTGTTCCTTACCTTTGCAAACTGGACATGACGATATCGACTAGTCAATTGGGCGACAAAAGGAGCTATCATCTTACAGGGTCCACTATATATATATATATATATATATATATGTATATGTATTAACAAAGGGAAAGAAAGATAAAGGTATAAGTAAAGAAAAAAAAAGACATATAATAATAAGAAAATAAAGATTGATCTTAGTATTTCTTTTTAGATTACCACCACGTAGCATAAAAGTCAATGACAACGAGTTTATCGGCAGGAACAGAAGTGATAAGTTGCTGAAAAACAGTGGCATTGCCAATTTCTTTGATAGTTGCCATAACGCGTATATATGAGTGAATTGGTGTGTATATAAGTGAGAGAAAAGAAAGAAAAAGAAAAAAAGAAAGAAAGCGCAATAAATTCAAGAAAAAAAAAAAATAGGGATTATAAGCCCAGCTTTTTCTCAACTTTTTCGGATCCCCCTTTTGTTTCTTCTTTCTTTCCCCACTTTATACTAAAAACCATGGTCAAGTACGCTGTTATCTGTGCAAGTAATCAGAATAGATCAATGGAAGCTCATAATGTACTTAGGTAACAAACTTGACTATCTCTTTTTCATTTATTTTCTTTTCATCAACCTTCTTTTCCCATCTCTCATATGATATTCATTTTTTTTTTTTTCATTATTTCATATAGGAAAAATGGATTCGATGTATCTTCTTATGGTACAGGTACAATGGTCAGACTTCCAGGTCCTGCAATTGATAAACCCAATATTTATCCTTTTGGTACACCTTACGATCAAGTTTATCAAGAACTGAAAGAACGCGATCCTGTATTGTAAGTTTACTTTATCTCTAACAACGAACGTTTTAATGTGTTCTTTTTTTTTATTGTAGATACACAAAGAATGGATTATTAAACATGTTAGATCGAAATCGAAATGTCAAGGAAGCACCTCAACGTTGGTATGATGCGAAAGATATATATGATGTCATTATTACTTGTGAAGAAAGATGCTTTGATGCTGTGATAGAAGGTGAATTATTGCTTTGTATTCTGAAAAGATGTTTTGACAAGACTGACTTTTTTTTTATATATAGATCTCTCCAATCGAGGACAAATATATAGCACAAGCACGCATGTGATCAACGTAGAAATCAAGGATAATCATGAAGATGCTTCTTCTGGAGGACAAGCAATACTTGATCTGGCCAAGATGGTAGAAGAATCCAAAGATGTGGATACTGATATTAGTGATATTCTTCAACGATTTACAGATACCTATCCTTCCTTCCCTATTCTTCATACTGTAACCTATTTCTGAATTTACAACTTCTTTATGGTCATTACCTTTTCATTTGTAACATATGTCTATTTCTCTATCCATACATTTCGCTTTTACCTTTTTCACTTTACATTTTTATCCAATTCCAAAATATCTTCTTATCATCATCATTCTCTATTAATAAAAATTATTTCATTGTAAAATATTTCAATTATCCGATAAAGTCAGTCACTATCATTATTTTACAAACAAGGAATATCATCATCTAGGCATCTTCCTTCACCTGTCACACTCAACTGATATTATATCACATCCATACCATCGATCCACCATCATCATCGACTGCTACTGTATCATCATGTCATCACAATTTTGTCAAAGAAATCACAAGAAGCATCATAGATAATTATCAAAATGGGAGGGTAACAGTTTTATATACATATTAGAATAAAAAAAATGGGAAGGAGGACAATAATCACTATACAACAAGATTGATGCTACTATGACTATGATTACTACCACCACTACTGCTACCACTTGTACCACTATTACTATTACTATTTTCATTCTTCTTCTGGATCCTGGCGTTCTTCAATGCCCTTCTTTCTCTATTCTTCAGTAACCTAATAGGAAATCAAAAAAAAAAAGTAAAACGAAAATAAAAATAAATTAGAATATCCTATTCATTTATTTCATGCTCTTATTTTTTTTTTTTTTTTTTTTTTTTTTTTTTTACCTTTCGGCGGTGGACATAAAATCAAGCTTGAAGGATGTTTGCGGTAATAAATGAAGCTTTTTGTTGTGAATAATGACATCGAGTGCTTCACGTCTAGTCTGATCATTTTGCTGTTTCCCTTTGTTATCCATTTGTTTTGTATCTATGGTATCTTCGACGTTCCATGTCTTCGTCGGAGGGTTAGTGGTGATGACTTCAGATTCATTTTCATTTTGTTGAGTATTTTCGCATGTTGTAGGATTGTGTTGTACGATGGGACTATCTAGAATGTGGCTGTAGCTATCAGTAGAAGTTGAACTGCTATCCATTGTTGTTATTGTTTGTTCTTGTCGTGGTATGCGATATCGTATCTATTTTCACACATCAAAAAAAAAAAAAAAAAAAAAAAAGAAAAAAGACAGTAAGTATTCATCTTTTCCATTCATCAACAACATATTATTTTAATCTTACTTGTTGTTGCGGATGGCATGGGCATTTCCATTTTTTGGCAATATTGGGTGGAATCGTCAATGGCGGATTGAGACAATCAAGATGCCAATACAGGGAGCAAAAGTCACATGGAATTATTGGTTTTCTGAGACCAGTTTTCTGACACCAATAACAATAAATATAATTGTTGTTCTTGTCTTTTAGTCGATGATAGTCTTGTTCCTCTGGTCGGCCGTTCCTATTAAAAAAATGATGAGAAACAAAATAAAATAAAAAAAAAAGGGGAGTTCGCATAAAGTAATACCTGTATTTAACTGACTTGACAGTAGTAGCATCAATATAAGCACCGTTAGGTCCAGTAGATACTAAAAATAAGACAAAATGAATATCAACGTTTGATATTGATTTTTTTTGTTTTTTGAAAATGGGAAGTAGAAACGGTCTTACCACCATCAAAATAATTCCGTATATTTTCAGGTAAAGAGAAGGCTACAGGATTTTGCGTCTCCAGATCTTGAGCCATAACTTCGAAAAAGGTCATCTGATTCCTGTTTTTCCGTCGTCCTCGAGTGGATGATTTGGTCTATTTATGAAAAAACAAGATCATATATGCAATAATAAAATTTAGAAATATATCATTGACACTAAAAATAAGTAATAGAAAAGGTTTACCTTTGAATGTTGTTTCTGCCATGCACATTTTTTACAAAACCATGGACCTTCCAATTCTTCAACTTCACTAACTTCCATTGGGGGATCCACACAGGCAAAATGAAAGACATTGGGGCAAGCTTCACAACATAGGAATTGACCGGGACCATTACATGCATCGCATAAATCGTGATTCTATATATATATATATAAAAAGAAACTAGTTAAAATTTTTTTCCATAATACTTCCATATCAGTCTTCATCAGTAATTCTTTATTTTTTATTTTTATTTTTTATTTCTCTTTTTTTTTTTTTTTTTTTTTTTTTTTTTTTTTTTACCCTTGAATCCAAATTTTCTTTAGTTGCTACAGTTTTTGGTTTTGCTGGTGTCCTTTTCGTTGCTTTTCTACAATAAATCCAAAGAATGAGAAATAATTCCTTCGACAATAATTGCAACTTACTTGGTTCCATTATTTATCCTTTGAGATTTTCTTTTTCTTTCCATATCTGGTGGTGAATTGGATCGAGAAAGGGAGGTATACCTTGGCGAAGAGGTTCTTGTGGAACGTACTCTCTTGTCAAGCATTTTGTGGCTAATATCCAAACAAAAAAAAAAAAAAAAAAAAAAAAAGAAATTCATTGATTAGCTGACCACAACAACATCTACCCTATCGATCCTCTCTATTTGATACACCAAATCCAAATTTTCTTCCTCTTAATTACCTTTTAATCCTATTTGGAACCAGTTCTAATAAAGAGGGAGGTTGATTTCTTGGTATAAAATATAGACAAACAGAGGGATTATCCAGTCTTTCTAATCGATCAGGCAAGTTCAAATAGAAGGAAAACAATACTACCTGAAAAATTAGAAGCCATAAAAGAATAGGAGGTTATATCAGACATAGTCTCTCATTTTTTATTTCCTTTCTCGTTCTCAGTTACTTACTACAAACAAGATATTGTCTTAACATAATAAAAGAAACCAAAAAAGTCGGACAAAAAAGGAGTACAAGATCCATCGTGTTCATAAAAAAAAAAGTAAGTTTGAATGAGGAAAACGACACAAAATAGATAGTTTGTTCATCTTTATCTTATTGATACTTACATGAATATCAGTATTAATATTGTTGTTTTCTACAAGAAAGAAACAAACTGACAAAGTGGCGATGCCAAAATAGAATCAAGTATTGGAAAAAAAAAGGTAAGAAAGAAAAGGAAGAAAGAAAGAAAAGGGTCAGAATTCAAGAACAGCTGGTCAAACCTTTTTGGACCGAATTTTTTTTTTCGTCTTCCCTCCCTCTCTCTTGCTAGTTCCCATTGTTCTTCTGGGTCCATTGGGCGGACCTGCCTGATCCCACCAGCCATTTGTGATTTACCCTCACAGAACAAGAGCATCCGCCATGCTTGATAATCTACCATCAAATTAAAAATAAATTGAACGACAATATGATTCCTATTTGAATTGGGTATTATTAACAACAACAACAACAATAATAATAATAATAAAAAGAAATCGAGTTTTATTTTATTTGTCATTATGTATAAAAGGATGATAATAATATATATAAAGAAAAAAACAGTAAATATGTTCAATGAAATGAGACTAATGTAAAGATAACTAACTACAACTAAAATGACTATATACATAATGAAGTACAATTGAGAGAATATAATTTTTTTTTTTTTTTTTTTTTTGGTGGGGAAGGATAGGGGGAAAGCAATCACCTTGTTGATGTCTTCAATTTCTTTGATGTCGTAGATTTCAACGTAGTCAATTTGGCCGGTTGTCGATTACTTGTTGTTGGTTTTCGGGAAGGAGGAGAGTTTGAGAAGCTGTTTGTAAGATCAACCACATCGTCATTGCCAAAATATTTACTAAAACTTGAACGACCCATAACAGTATCAATATTACCACCATTGCCATCTTCATCATCCAAATGAAATGATTGTTCACCATACCAGATTCTAAGTCGATCTTCACGCCCCACAATCGTCTTTGGTAATTTTGCCGGATCCAAATAAGGAAGAACAGAGCCTATATCACCAATGTTACCATTCACAGCATTATCATCATCATCGTTGTCGCTATCATTTTTGTTGTTGTCCTTTTGTGAAGATGACTGGCCATTTGTTGTATACTTGCGAAGCATCGTTTGTCGTGTTCCTATATGCATATACATGTCGATTATTTCTTGCAAATTATTGATTTTCGAAGTTTCCATTTTGCTTTCATTCATTTCCGTTGACGTTGCTGATGGTGATGAATAACAACGACTAGGATAAGATGTCTTAGGTCGATCTGGAGATACAGTTCGTGATGTATTATCATGTGGTCGTTTCTGCGATTGTGTTGATGATAACTGAAGGAGGGAATATGGCAAACTATTTTCATCGTCATCATCATTGCGTCTTGTGTTATTGTCGGTATTGTTGTAAAGGTAGTCATCAAAGTCGTCAGCTTTGACCGTAACAGTAGATCTAGGATGATCGTCGTTGCATTGATTGTTGATGATATTGTCATCGTCATAATTATGATAATTGTCGGTATGGTTGTTATCGGTATAATTGCTCGTGGTATGACCATTGTCGGTATGATTGTCATTGTTGCTGTTGTTATCAGATTGCCTAGATTCAGTGAGATGATAGTAATCAGTCAATCGTTTATCTTGCAGTCCATGGTCGTCGGTATCATCATCCATTTCAGTTTCTATAATACCAAACTCGTCCGGACTCAATCCAAAAGGGTTTTCCATTTGTTCCATTGCGTCTGAATAGCTTGCGGATGTGAGTGTTGGTGTTCGAGGATCAGAATACATGTTATAAGGGAAAAAGCATTCAGGCATACGTTCCTTCTTGTCAAAACAGGTAATTAGCCAAACAGGACTCACTACGAGCATCTTCTTTTCCAATGATTTGGTAATAATGTGTGGTGTACGTATATCTTTGTTTCTTCCCGTTGTTTGTTTTGTTGAAGAGGATGATCGTTGAGCATTCGAATTGCGTGAGACGATGCCATGGATGAGATGAGTTGCTGTTGTGTTCCAATTTTCCAAAACCTTGGCGGCAAGTGAGCGAGCTATTCTTGTAAGTCGTTCTTTGTTAACCACTGACTTGTCGATATAGATTGTCACACCATCTAGCACCCTGCATGGTTCCAAAGGTATGTTTTCATCTTCTTCAGTTTGTCGTTGTTTCCGTTGTTGTCGTTGTTGTTGTTGTTTTTGTTGTTGTTGCTGTTGCCGAATGCTTACTTTTGATGCTTTTGGCCATTTTGCTTTGGTTGGTTGTCGTTTCTGTTGATCTGTTTTGCTGTAACGATAAAGTTGAGGGCCAATGTCGAATGATTCAGGTGTTACTATTACCCGGTGTGGAGGAGCATTCGTTAATGAGCTTCTGTTTGTCATCATATGAAGAGAAGGAATGATGAATTAATAAACAGTAAAAGAAAAGAAAAAAAAAAAAAAAAGAGTGTCGGTGTTTGTGTGTGTGTGTGTGCGAGTGTGAGAGAAGAGAGAAAAAAAAAATACGCTCTCCCAAGATTTTTTTTTTACGGATGTCCGACCTTTTTACCTGAAGCGCGTCAAGAAAAACATATACGCGTTTCTGGAAACGCGTCCAAAAAAAAAGAAATATTCGGATATTCAATCCCAAACTTGGAAATTCCAATTTAAAGAAAAAGCACTGATCAAGAAGGTAAGAACGGATTTGGATATCATTATGGAAGAAAGGAAGAACTTTGATTTTTTGTATAAATGATAAAATCAGGGATAGCAATAATAAAAAAAAAATCATCACTCTATAATCATGGATCAGGGGGGGAAGGAAAAGGATCACTCAAAAAAAAAAAAAAAATGAAGAGGTAATTTGACATCATTTGAAAATCTATTCAGTATCAGAAATCATCTATTATCATGTGCATATGTAACAAGAACTAATATTCATTAGAGAGAAAATGCGGATTGCCTTAAAGTGGTAGTGGAGTCCAACTAATAATGATTTTTTGCATAATCAAAGAGAAATATCATAATATCCAATGAGGGATGGAAATCATTATTGGTTCATCATATAAAGATATTATTGTAAAGGAAACTAAATAAAGCATTTAATGTACCTGATGAAAAAGGTTTGTGCTCCCATAACAAATAAACAAATAAATAATCGACAAAAAAAAAGGCACAATCAAGATGAAACAACATTGTTTCTTTTTTTAATTAAATAAATCATCATCATCATCGTCATCATCATGGGACAGGCATACAATCCTGAGACTTTTTTTTTTTTTTTTACAGTTTTGATTGAAAACAGTCAATATGTTTTATTTAATATCACCAAACGAAGCATAATTTCTCATTATCAAGTTGGAATCCCGATGATGCTTTTTTAAAGTGTATATGCGTAGATATTCCCCCCTTGCACCCCCCAAACTTCTAAGATACCTATGTCTAAATATATATATATATAAAAAGAGCGGCAAAAAAAAGGGACGTATAAAAAACCATTCACTCGGATTTTTTTTTTTTAATTTTATCACTCCTTCTATTTTCATACTTACTACTTTCTCTAAATGAAACAAGAGCTTGAAAAACCAATGTCACTTTCTTATGTGATGACTTCACCTCTATATGGGACTAAGGATAGTAATGATAATCATAGTCATCTATCAACGGATGGCCATCATCATCATTCAAAGAATCAATATCGCCCTTATCCTATCACTCCAGATCAATCACCTATGGATCAACCTCTTGTTCCAACCTCTCCTCAATCCATGACTTCATCAAATTTGGTTTCTACCATACGAAAACAACCACAACATCATCATCATCATCATCACCATCAACGACATACTACTGTGACCAGTGATGAGGAGATAGATGATATGCTTTTTAATCATGGTGGTGGATTATCCTTACAGGAACGACGTCAACGAAACAAGACAGCATCTGCCAAATACAGACAAAAGAAAAACAGACAACAGACGGAAATGAAACGAATGATTGATCATTTAAAAGAACAAGATGCTTTACTGAAACGCCAGATGATGGAATTACGTTTGGAGAACCAACAATTGAAATCTATCAATGATCATCTGCGTGGCAAGATCATGGCGAAGAAAATGTTGGATCAATATTTTGAACGCCATCCTGATATTCGACTTCCTACTATGAATGATCAAACTGCTTCTTCTCCTTGTGTCAATAATGATGATGTAGAAAGTGTTGATTCTTTTTGAATTTTATTATTATTATTCCTCTGGTTTTTCATTGGAGCGCACAGACATTTTTGTATCATTTATCTTTTACACTTTTTTTATTATTATTATTTGTTTGTATACCAAATACTTTTCCATGCTTAGTTCATGTTATGATGATATGTATGAATCATCATCTAATATATATTTATATATATTAATAAAAAATCATTGTTTTTTTGGGTGATCATCTCGTCACGAAAGCTGTCGTCATGACAACAAGACATCGTTTAATGAATGGAACACACTCCTATGACTTTTTGCTTTTTTGTTTGTTTGTTTGTCTGATCATTAATTATATAATTAAACTAAAATTCAAAATGGAGGCACAAACCCTCATTCATGGTCATCATCGCATCATCACAAAAGTCATACATAGGAGTCATCAACTACGTGGTTCAATTTGAAACGCATTTCGATTTCAACTACAGATGTCTTTTTTTTTTTTTTTTTTTTTGTCTGTGTGTCAGTGAGCACGTTTGTGCGTTTATTAATAATATACAAAAAGTGAATACAGGAAGAAATAAAGATCATAATAGATATAGGAGAAGAAAAGACGTATATAAGACTATAAAGTGAAAAAAAAAGTATAGAATGGAATACTAATATGAATGTAATCTAAAAAATAACCTTGGAAGTACTATATTTCAGAAGGTCCCATGTCAAAACCCATTTCCAGTCCAGCAACACGAAAGCATTCACGGATCAGTTCCACCACCGCATGATCTTCACACGTCAACATACGACAAAGTGAAGGATATAGATAAAACAAATGTGCCCGTGGACAAGATAAAAGTAACCCTTTGATGGTACCTATCAAAATTTATTGTAGTGAATATAAATCCATACATAATTCTGTTCATTTCTCTTTACCATCTTTTTCATTCAAGATATCTTGTTGTAACTGTAATTGAATAGATTGTCGAAGGAAAAAGAGCATTTCTTCTTTTCTAACCCTAATAAGAAAATAATAATGATCATTATCAGTCATATATTTATTTCTATCCATAATATCATCCTTTGGCTTTTTGGAAAAAACCTCACCCCATAAGATACCTTGGGAATGGACATCTTCCGAGTAATGGTTCATCACTGGTATAATTTCGTAAGATGGTTTCACAGCGTTCGAGCAAGATAGGAATGGTGGCTTGAGCAATTCGTTTTCGTACATCTTGATGATCTATCCAAAAAAAAAAAAAAAATCAATCATCCGACTTTTATAATGATCATCATCATTACTTACCTTTTTTTTCTGCTGAACATAATCCAAACATCAACTTGAATGCTGCATATGCAAATGATTCCTTCATCACAGGTACAATGGTGCCAGTGGTGCTCATGAGATCACTTGTACGACCACCTTTCGAAACATTGCCATCATTCACACTGTGTGCTGTTGTTTTGTTGAAGTCTACTTGATGTCGATGACTTGGTTCATGTTCATCCACATAATACAATCTTGAGCTTTCCCGGATAACATGTACAAATTTTTGAATGATTTCCGTTGGAACACGTTTGTCACCTAAATAAATCACAATATCGTTTTGTATCATACTGAGGATTGAAATATCAAAATGTTCATCTACATCGAGTTCTTCAATCGTCAAAGTGGAAGGTGGCGTACTTTTTTTTTTTTTTTTTTTTTAAAAAAAAAAAAAAACAATTCAGTAAGAAATTTTCGGTTATCCTTTTTTTTTTCTCTTATATTATACCTTGGAGAAAGCAAGTTGCCTTCAAAAATATCTACCAATGTGCGCCATACACCAATAAATCGATCTTGCGGTACTTCTACAGATCAAAAAAAAAAAAGTAAATACATAAATAAACAATGAGAAAGTTAAACAATATATGTCAGCTATATATATATCTAGTTTTACCTTCACCAAATTCTTGCATTGCTTCCAATCCAATGCATATGACTTCCAAAAACCCATTGCTACCCATTTTCCATAAGGGAATCTTGTCATCACCATGTTTGTAAGAAGGAGGACAATCATATTTCAGCTTCATAGGGACTCCATAGGAGCTCAATACCCGCTCAAATACACCATCCGTATACATGGAAAGATCTTTGACATGAGTCTTGAATAAATTGGCTACCATGGAACAACACTTCTTGTTCAATGCAATATAGGTCACCATTGAGAATTTGGATTGATTCGATAGTACTTTAGATTCAACAGTATCAGCAGATGTTCCACGTTGTTCCTGAGGACTCATAAAAGCAAGCGTCATATATTCACATAAGTCCATCAGCACTAAAGGAGCCACACCAGCCACATTCATATCCAGCGTTTGTACAGCGTTCAATACAGCTTCTTGTAAGGGCGATAGATGATCCACATCCGGTCGATATTGTGGACTTGTCGAATACACCAGAACATTGCGAAGAATAGCCAACAATTGTTTCACATCATCCAATGAAAATTCCTTTGAGATCACTTTGTATAAATCAATAAACATAAGGACATATGTTGTAAAAGTATCCTGGGTCATATCTGTTGAAACTGGTCCTAGATGCGAAGACGATACAACTGATTCTGTTTCGATAGTATCCTTGTCACTTGTCAATGTCATTTGTAGTGATGTCGTACCAATCCGAATCCAAGCATCCCAACAAAGTCTCCAGAGTTCCATAATGCGCTTGTTGTTATCTTCATTCACATCTTGGGTCAAATTTACCATATTTCGCAAGCTTTTCATTGCAGCCAGAGCTACCTCTTGACTAGATCGAAGGCAATAGTTTTCCAAATGTGATAGCAGTAAGATCCAGGCTCGGTCAAATGTCGAAAGATGGAAGAGTTTCAATAAAAATTCTCGATAACTATTGGCGATTCCAGTCAACACAAGTACTTTTGTTTCATCCCACTGCTTGTCCACCGTATCACGAGAATGGTGAAGCATGAAGCCCGATGAAGAATCACGTTCGCTTGCTGTAGATGGTGACATGGTTGACTTCCCATCCTCTGTTGTTTGCAATGATGAAGAAGAAGCTGCCAATGCTTTTGCAGATGTCAATTTGATAGCATCCAATAAGGGAAACAACACTTTCCAGATACATGCTTGCCATAAATGGGGTCCAAGGATATTACCATTCATCATAATGGTACGGAACAATGTTTGAATGGCACCATTACGTACTTCGGGTCTTGCATCAACACAAATTTGTGATAATTGAAGTAAAAGGAGAGTCCAGAGAATATTCAACACCTGTGGAGTTTCATTGTCTTGAATAGGTCGATCAATCATCAAAACATCCTTGTCCACTAGTACATCATCGTTATCCATAGTATCTGTCATCCCCATACTTTCCAATATTGTCAATCGTTTCGTCTGGATAAAATCAGAGAGATTCCATAATAACCCTACTGCTGTGAGACTAATGTTGAGATCTTCGTACTGTGCTCCAAAGGACCCCAAAGTTGCAATACATTGTCGTAGACAATCTGGTGATAATGTTGATAGAAAGTCGGTACATATCAATTGAAGACTTGAGAAGGCTACTTTGACCAATCCACCGTGAGCTTTGTTGGTTGACATAGGAGTGGAGGTGCTTATCGAAGGAGCATTCAACGCATGGATAGAAGAGGTTGTGGTGTCAATGCTGGATCGATCTCGTGCATCACTAATGTCCCTGTCCGTATAGTCACCTGTAGTGTTGTTGATGGTATCGGTCACTGTTGATACATTAATGTTGCTGTTATTACTACTGTTATTATTATTATTATTATTATTGTTGTTGTTGTTGTTGGCAGTAGTGTAAATCGTTACATGGTGAAGCATATCAAATATCAAACCCCACCCACAAGTAAAAGAATGTCCAGATGTTTGAAGCAGGTTGTGTAAAGTTTCCAATCCCATTTTTTGCACTTGTACGAACGTTCCAAATACAGCCGAGTTTTTGTCATTACTATCGATTCCATTGATACATTCGTTGAGAGCTTTGAGTAATCGATTCTGCGTTGTTTCATCAGCATCTTTCTTTTCTGTCAATGTATAATTCATAGCAGTAATGATAATTTCTGAAATGGTGTCACAGCTTTGAGCACGAATAGATCCTGGTGTATTGACATAATTGGCGGTGGCAATCAGATGAGACATGACGAGATCCCAAGCTTTGTATTGAGATGTAGTATTCAGTAGTCTTCCAACATTCATCAATGAAACTTCATGCAATTTTTCCATGGCAAACGACTTGTTGTTGAATATTTTCTATAAATAATAAATATTGAGCTATTGTTCCTTGCTTTTTCCCCCTAGTTTTCTATATTCTTTTTTTTTCTTCTTTTTTACTTACAGCACGTGAGGACTTGTTGACAGATTCCAATTCATCATCCTTGAAAGGTACTCCACTATATTGAGCACTGAGACGACAAAGAGCAGTAATAAAATCCATAAAAGCATGATCATCCAAATAATTGCAGTTCTTGAATAGACGGTTTAATGTTGTATATATAATAGAGACATGATCAGCATCCATCATTTGAGATAAAGTAGGTTGATCTAACAGTAAAATAAAGAATGAAGAATAAGAAGATCGTTTTAACTTCGGTCTTTTTTTTTTCTTCTACTTTTTTTTTTTTTTTTTATCTTACTTTGAGGTGGTAAGGTAGTAGAGGATCCAATATATGATGACGATGATGATGATGATGTTGAAGTTGATGTGACTGTACGACGAAGATTTGGTGCTGACACATTACCCTTTGGTGTAGGTCGATTGTATAGCAAAAAATCCGCTTGCTGTAATGTTTCCAATACCAAATACCATGATGAACCCAGAACACTACCTAACATCATGGTAATGTTTAATAAAACACGAAGACTGTATAGATTTCTGTCGGTGAGAGTGATATTTGAAAGGAGTTGCTGTTGTTGTACCGTCAAATCTGAGAATGCCACCCCAGCTGTGGATACCGAATTTTTGCCAGTGAAATAACCAGAAGTCAATGCAGGAATAGAAGGGATGGCATTTTTACATAAGTTGGTGAGAAACGCATCGCGAGGTACCACTAGTCCAAGTATACCACAAACATTGGTAAAGTTTTGATAGGAACGCATGGTGCTTTGAAATAGATCCTCATCCAAATTGGCAGTAATATAAAACGACATTGCTGCGAGTAGACCAGGCCATGCAACATTTGCCATACTGGTGACCAATTTCAAATCTTCCTTATCACTGTTGTCCACATTCAATTTGTCAGTTGATTTTTCATCTTCATTTTCATCAGTTGGATATTGTTGTTGTTGTTGCTGTAGTTGTCGAGCTGTTCCTTTGTCGTTCATGGAGAATCGAGGTAATGTAAAGCCAGCCAAACCGTCAGCAATGGAGTTTAAACATAAAAGAGATAAGTAAAAAATGTAGGTATCAGGAATAACAGGAGGATCTGCCTTGTCAAGTTGATCAATACTGTAAGTAAATAATAAGATAAATTAAGTTTAATTCATTATGATGAAAAAAAAAGATAATCTGAAATCTCTTTTCATGATTTTTTCCCACTCTTCCTTACCATTGGATACGTATAGTTGAACCAACGCTACTAAGTGCATGAGTACCATCTGTTCCTGTCGTGTTGATAGTATTGCTTCCATGATGTAAAGCCATAGAACTTTGACCATGATCCATACTGTCTCGTCCACCCTGAGTAGCTCCAAGAAGTTGAGGTCTTTCCGTTGCCAACCGACCAAAAGCAGTAATCATATCCCGGAACACATTTGTTGAGTTTGCTTGACAATCATACCAATCATAAATAGAACATAATAATACAGGGTTGCCACATACACCTCGAAAGATTTCCATTGCCAAGACTCGTTGCCAAAGTGGATTTTCAGGTTCCAAGATTTTGACAAACATGGATAAAAAGATTTCACATTCAGTGACCTTAAAAAAAAAGAGAGAGATGTGAGTAATCCATCAGCACAACAAATATAACACTTCTTGCTACTTTTTCTGTATATACATATATATATATAGGCTTACCAGAATCTCGTTGAACTGTTTAATAAGAATATATACCACTCTAGTAAGTCGCATTGTTTGAGGGAATTCATGCTTTTCTGAGAAAGTCTTGATGATCATAGCGCAAACACGTTCACGTAATAACGCACTGAGTTCCTTGTGCTATAAAAAAAGAATAAAAAAAAAAGGTCAATTGGATCATGATCAATTACAAACTTATATTGTTAATTTAAGCCTGAGTTACTTTTACCTTTTTAAATAGTGTGTAATGATTGGTAAGAACACTTTCAATCAGTTCAAGTCCAAATGTATCAGAAAGGCGGCCAAGGCGAAGATATTCCGGTGATTCATTATTTGTCAAGAGACAGAGATCTTGGAAGAGATAGTAGGCATCTTTTGCACATGGTCGTAAAGATAGAGAAGTATCATCAGCTAGTCGAATAGCTAACGTTTCCATAAACAAAGAAAAATTGGTTAGTTGGAGTGATCCATGATCTTTTTTCTTTTTATGTAACTTACTGTGTATAGTATCGTTATCTTTTGAATCTTTTTTGGTTTCCTCTTTGTCTTCTTCAACCACTTTGTCAAATACATATATAACCAATTGTCGTAAAGTCGCTGCTGCTGTATTGTTGACTACTACAATTTTGGAGTCTTGTAAACGAAAACAGATCAAAAGAGCCTATCAGAGAAAGAAACGTGTTCAACCATGAACAAGTCAGGTTCCATAAAAATAGAAATAAACATTTTATATCATTACCTCAGCAAGAATATCATCGTGTACATTGTTGTAATTTGTAAGTAATGGTAAAACTGTTTGAAGTATCTTGAGTTGAATATCAACACCATGAATACTGATATCGGTCAACGTCCGTAAGACAGTTCTAACTGAAGTCTAAATAGAATAACAAAGAAGAAAAAAAAAAAAAAGGGAAGTTAGCTTTTTTTTAAAATTATTATTTCATTCATGATATCTATTTATATTTTGTATAAGATTTACTTCTGGTATTGCGTGAAAGGATATAAGTCTCTGTATACATCCAATAGCTATGGTGACTAATTTGACTTGTTTGGTTTCACATGCCAGTACAAAAGGACGAAGAGCATCCTCTGATTTCGAGAGTTCTATGTAATAAAAGATATTCAGATTGAGTTTTTCGACATAAGATACATACTGTTTATATATATATATATATATATATATGTATATATATTTCCTTACCATTGGATATACTGTAACCTGGTCTTTCTTTGAAACTTCGCAAGATGGCACTTAATCGTTCGGCAGCCTAAACAACATGATTAAAAAAAAAAGAAGACAAGTTAGATGACGATAAAAAGATGATACGAAGTACTTACTTCTTTGATTTCAGGGTGCTTTCTTCGCGCTTCGCTTGACAATGAGAGAAGTTCAGTTTGCAGAAACGCAGTTAAACCACTCATGGAGACGGTTGTTGAAGAGTAATATATTGAATTTAGAAACACGAAGGCGAGTTATTAGATGACAAATATATAAAGACAAATGAAGTCAAATAATACTAATAATAATAATAAATAAAAAAAAAAAGATTGTGATGAAACGACAAAAGAAGAAGACAAAAAAGAAATTGAACAACGCAGGAACGTGCGCTCTTTTTTTTATATATAATGATGTATTTCAGTCACAGCCATACCAATGACTATTGGCTACCAAAAAAAAAAAAAAAAAAAAAAAAGATCAAAAGAATAAATATTTATTATATTATAATGATGATGATGATGATGATAAATGAGACAATTTCAAACTATACAATAGACTACAACTAATAAAATCATTCTTCTTCGTTTCCAAATCGTTTCCAAACAGCATCCTTATCATCATCTTCGTCCACCACAGTAGTCACCTTTTCAAATTGTGTCGCATCCACAGATACATCCCCTTCATCCATATACTTGGCATCGGATGATGCAAGAGTTTTATCTTGTTCAAATAATTGTCGACCTACATACATATATATATTATCCATGATCATATCAGTATTGAATAATAATAATAATAATAATAATAATAATAATAATAATAATAATAACTGGGATTATACCTGTAAGTTTATTCTTGAGTTCCTTTGCCCGTGCCAGTTTAGCTTGATCTTCTAAGGCTTCCAATTCCTTGTCAAAACCTTTTTTCCATGCCAAAAACCTTTCAATAGTAACTTTGGTACCATTGAATTTTGCCATTTCTACTTCCTCCAGTTTGCGTTGTCGTTCTTCTTCAGCTTCTTCACGAATACGTTGTGCGTTACTGACCATCTCATTCAACTGTTCCTTTAATAAAGAAGCCATTGTGAAGATCATGGCCATACCCAAGGATTCTTCACCCTATTTCAACCCAAAAAACCATAGTTAGAAATAAAATAAAAAAAAAAAAGAAACAAAATATATTAAATCTTACCGCAGTCCTTAAGTCATCCATCATTTTATTTTTCAGTGAATCTGATAAACTACCATCAATAACTTCGATATCAAATTCTGGTAATTCATCTGGATAATTGGGCGTGTAGGTAACATGAAGAGACACTCCACCTATATAAAGAAGGAAAAAAAAAAAGAGTATTATGGTGTCATTATAGATTCTTTTCTTCCTTCTTTCCTTTTTACTTACACCATACTTCTTCGTCTTCTTCATCAGGGTAAATAGAAATACGAAATTCATTTTCACCAATGGCTATATCAATAAAATAAACTTAGTTCCTTTATGAAGTTTTAAATTATAGTTTACCTTCATATTCGTCTGGATAGATAGACTCTAGAGCCTCCAGTTCCATTTGGCGTTCTTCAATGTAGTCTAATAAAATATCATATTAGTGTTTAAGTTTAAATGATAAATCAATATGAGTTCTATTTTTCATACCTGTCATTATATAAGTTTCTATTAAGGGGAACGAGTAACAAAAAGGAAGGAAGAAAAAAAAAAAACATTTACCCACCGGACACACAAAAAAAAAAAAAAAAAAGAAAAGCTGCGGACATCCAAATGCAAATGTGTGAACAAAGAAGAATGCCATAAAAAAAAACGCCAATGCATTGATTCCTTTTCTTTTTTTTTCTCTTTCTCTCTTTTTTGTTCTATTTATTTATTTACAACTAATCATGAATTATATATCATCACCTAATATTGTTTCCTCTAGTCTTCAATGGGTATCTCGTATGGATGTCAACATTGAACCTTCGAAAACTAGGAAGTCTAGTATTATTGGAACTATTGGTAAAAGGGGTTAACATATATATAGTTTATCTTTTAATTATAAACATCCATTCTACATTACTAGGACCGAAATCAAATAGTGTGGAAATTATTACTCAACTCAGGAATGCAGGTCTCAATGTTGTCCGTATGAACTTTTCTCATGGTTCATATGAAGTAAGTAAAAAAAAAAAATAGATATAGAAATAATATATATAGGGCACGGGTTACGCTTTTTTTTTTTTAATATGAAAACGTGAGTGGCAGCTGCTAATATGACCTATTTTATCATTTATTTGGTAGTATCATCAATCCGTTATAGATAATACAAGAAAAAGTATTCAATGTAAGTAATAAAAAGTAATATATGAAAATTGATTACATTTCCTTTATTATAGTGTATCCTGGTAGACCAGTAGCTATTGCTCTTGATAACAAAGGTCCAGAAATTCGTACTGGTAATATGAAGGATGGCTTGGAAGTAAGTTATTTACCATAACCTGTTATTACTATTATTATTATTATTGTTACTATTATTGTATCGTTACCATATATATATATATTTGACTTATTATTATTATTACTATTATTTAGATTCCTATTAAAAAAGGACATGAAATGGTGTTTAGTGTCAATGACACATTCAAGGATATTTCTGATGATAAAACCATGTACATCGATTACAAGAATCTTCCCAAAGTGATCAGTGTTGGCAAGAAAATCTATGTGGATGATGGAGTACTCTCATTTGAAGTACTTGCAGTGACTAGTGATGAAAGTCTTTCAGTACGCGCTTGCAATAATGGTATTCTCAGCTCTCATAAAGGCGTCAACTTACCTGGTACTGATGTGGATTTACCTGCTCTTTCAGAAAAGGACAAGGCAGATTTACTATTTGGTGTGAAAAATAAAGTGGACTTGATATTTGCTTCCTTTATTCGTACTGGTCAAGATATCAAAGATATTCGTCAAGTCTTGGGACATGAAGGTCGAAACATCAAGATTATCGCCAAAATCGAAAATCATCAAGGTGTCAATAACTTTGAAGAAATATTGCAAGAAACAGATGGAGTCATGGTGGCTCGTGGGGTAATATTTTATTGTATAAAAAAAATAAAGTTTTATATTAACAGGATTATTTTTTTTCTTCTTTTTAGGATATGGGTATTGAAATTCCATTGGAACGAGTATTTGTGGTTCAAAAGAAAATGATCGCTCAATGCAATCTTGTTGGAAAACCTGTGATCTGGTAAGTAGAAAAAGGAAAAAAGAATTCATATGATGTACATTAGTATGACCATATATATATATATATTAGTGCTACGCAAATGCTTGAATCTATGACGGTAAGATAAAGAATAGAGAGAGAGAATCAAATGATTAATTAATAAAGAAAAAGGATTATTTATTTATTTATTTATTTTTATAGACAAATCCTCGACCTACACGTGCTGAAGTATCGGATGTGGCCAATGCGATTCTTGATGGTGCAGATTGTGTGATGCTTTCTGGTGAAACAGCAAAAGGAAACTATCCAGTGGAAGCGGTACGTACGATGCATGATGTTTGTCAGCTTGCAGAATCAGTGATCTGCTATCCGGCAGTTTTCAACGAACTACGATCTTTGACAGCATTACCTACTCAAACGACTGAAACGATTGCCTGCGCTGCTGTGAGTGCTGCCCATGAACAAGATGCTGGTGCTATTGTCGTGTTGACAACTTCTGGAAATTCTGCTCGCTTGATCTCAAAGTATCGACCCTATGCACCTATTATTGTTGTAACAAGAAATCCCATGGCGGCTCGTCAAGTTCATTTATACCGGGGATGTTTTCCATTTATTTATCCGAAACCGGCTACTGGGGATGCTAGTAGTACTCCTGAACATTTAGTTGCAGATTCTCCTGGTAGTGCTTCTGTAGCTCATTTGACTCCTATTGAATATGCTCCTTGGCAAGAAGATGTGGATGCTCGTATCATGTGGGGTAAGAGAAATCTTTTATTTTTATGAATTGAATATAAGGTTGATTGATTTTATTTTTATTTTTATATAAACAGGAATGGAACAAGGGATCAAATATGGGTAAGAATTCATCTTTTGTATTAATATTTGAAATGATACTGATCGGATCTTTTCATTTCCATATATAGACTTTTAGATCATGGAAAACCAGTGATTGCTGTTCAAGGTAAAGAATATAAGAAACTACGATATAATGGAACTTACTTTTTTTTTTTTTTTATCATTCAAAAAAAAAAAGGATGGAGAATGGGTTATGGACACACAAATACAATCAGAATTATCTCATCTCCCTGATATAGGTTTTTTTTTATTATTATTATCAAATAAAAAGTTGATGCGGACTTAAAAAATGGTGTCATAATGATTGATTGATCAAATGGGTCTTCTCATTCAATTGAGTCACAATTCAGAGATAAAAAAAAAAAAAAAAAAAAATCTGGGACTATATACTTTTTTTTTCATTTTTTTATTCTTTTTTTTTTTTTATCTCTATCTTTTTTTTTTTTGATTTACTTTTTTCACAATACATAATGTCAACGCCATACGTACTCAACTTTGGTGCTGGTCCTGCCAAAATGTAAGTATGAAATAAACAGGTATAATACTATTTATAACACTTAGATATTTACCCACCTTTTTTTTTTTCTTTAGTCCTAAATCGGTATTGGAACGCGCTCAGTCGGAAATGCTTAACTATGACAACAGTGGTATGTCAGTGATGGAACTCTCACATCGATCCAAGACATTTAGCAAGATTTTGGAAGGTACAAAAAGCAAATTGAAGAGTCTAATGGAAATCCCAGACAACTATGACATATTGTTTATGCAAGGTGGAGCAACGACACAGTTTGCAGCCGTGTTTTACAATTTGGTGGCAGCAAAGCAAAGCAAGAATGGCAATACAGACGATGAAGTGATTGTAGATTATATTGTCAGTGGTGCATGGTCTAATAAAGCTGTTCAAGAAGCAGAACGACTAGCAAAGAATGAACGTAGTAAGATCACTGTTCATCGGGTGACAGATAGCAAGAAACAATTTGGAAAGTATGGTTCGTTGGCAGCACAAGATACATGGCAACTTTCTGATCCTAACAAGACAGCATATGTTTATTACTGTGATAATGAAACTGTACATGGTGTTGAATTCCCAACCATTCCTGAGGTGGATCCTAGTGTACCTTTGGTGGCTGATGTGTCTTCTAATTTCTTATCTCGGCGATTGGATGTCAGTAAATTTGGCGTGATCTATGGTGGTGCGCAAAAAAATCTTGGTCCTGCTGGTGTGTCGATTGTCATTATTCGCAAGGATTTGTTGGTTGATCTGAATATTGGTCCCGTTCGTCCTTTGATGTTGGACTTCTCGACAATGGCTAATAACGATTCCATGTACAACACTCCTCCTACGTTTGCTATTTATATGGTTGGTTTGGTATTGGAATGGATTATGGAACAAGGTGGATTACCTGCTATTGAAGAACGTAACAAACGCAAGGCCGACAAGTTATATAAAGTCATTGATCAAAGCAAACTCTATCGTTCTCCTGTGGATGTCAATTGTCGTAGCCGTATGAACGTCGTATTCCGTTTGGCTTCCGAAGAATTGGAACAAGCTTTCTTAACTGGTGTCGCTGAACGGAACATGGTTCAGCTCAAGGGACATCGTTCCGTTGGTGGAATCCGTGCCTCCATTTACAACTCCATGCCTGAACAAGATGTGGATCTACTCATTGCATATATGATTGAATTTGAAAAGACGCATACGGCAAACGAATAAGGGGGATGGATTATTTAGTTAGATGTCATTAATTAGTTATATTATATATAGATAAATAGATATTTTATATGTTTGGGATAATAACAATAATAATAATAAAGGGGGGAATGAATGGATTTTCGTTCTAGTTGTATCGTATGCATGTCTTTAATGGGCTTCTTGTAGGTTAAGATGATGTAGTTTAATGTTTCTTTCTATATATTTGTACGATTTATCTTTTTTGTATGATTTTTTTTTCTTTGTCTGTCATGATCATTTTCTACGTTCGTGCAACATCTATTTTAAGTTTTTTTTTTTTATGATGTTATGTTGTAAATGATTCCAACAATAATCATTTTTATAATGATGACTTCGTTTTTAACGACACGAATTGTGTTTTCTTGTGTTCTAATGACAAGTACGGATGTTTTTACCTTTCGAAAATAATATAATTAACGTACATCAATCCTACACCAATGAACGCGTCTTTGAGGAGATGCATTGCAGAAAGAGATCCTCTGATTTCAAGGACCCTGTTTCTTCCTTTTTTTTTTTTTTTTTTTTTTTTTTTTTTTGTCATCGTGATGATGATGAAAGCATGTTGAAAACTGTGGAAACGATCAAGAGGATGTTAGTATGTGCATACAACGCATAAGTCTCAAGATAAAAAAAGAAGGATGGGAAATAACTTTATTGAATAGTACAATACACAAAAAAAAAAAATTAATATACAATGTATGAATAAGAATGGTAATAATAAAATCAACACTATATTATGAATACTATGTACAATTATTATCCAAGTTTGTGGCCTTTCCATGAATGATGGTACAAACTTCCAATTTTGGTTTCAGTTGTTGGCATTCCTTGGTCAGTGGTGGAGTTTGATTCATATAGAGCAAGACATCTTGAGCCAATTTCAAAACAGAAGGATGGATTGTTGCGGAGACGGTCAGCTTGGATTGTAATTTTTCAACTAGCTCGATGGCATGACTATTATCTGTCATAGACGATTTGGTTGTCATTTTTGATGATGATGATAATTCATGCGATGAAAATGTACTTGCTGATGATGATGATGATGATGACGATGGTGCTGATGATGATGATGATGATGATGATGATGATGATGATGGTGATGATGATGGTGTTGATGATTTCTCTTTTGATTTGATTGGTAATGAAGAATCAACAAAATAGGTGAGTGTATCTTGAGCTAATTGTTCCAAAGCTGTTGATTGTCTTGATAAAAGTTTACTGTTTATATGATTCAATGATGACCTTGAGGTATTGCCTTCCATGGATGAATGACGATGTCGACCAGGAGATCTACGTTGAGTTGGTAAGGGTCGATCCATAAAATAATTATTTCTTGCTGGAAGAACTTGGATATTCGTCGTTAAAGAATTAATGGGATTATCACAAGGGGACAAAGTAGGTGACGGTGGTAATTGTTGTTTTTTTGTTTGTTGTTTTGATATAGTAGAATTCCAAGAAGAAGTAGAGGAAGAAGGTGATGGAATAATAAAACCAGAATCATTATCATCCGTAAACCCAATCGAAGTAAAACCTGATGATTCTGGTGAAGATAAACTACCTGGACAAGAAAGTACTGAAACTTGATCTGAAGCTTGTCGATCATTTTTCATCATCATACATTTAGCATGATTAGAAAACCGTGATATCCATGAGGTGGGTTTTTGATAAATAGAATAATCTGAACCAGTCATCAATAATAATAATAATAACAATAATAATGTAAAAAGGATAAGTATAGTTAAACTAGATAACAATAATAATAAAAAAGTAAAAAAGAAAAAGAAATGAAAAAAAAAGAAGAAATCCTCCTTGTTTTATACCTCCTCGTCGGACTCCAAATGATCTCTTCATATACACACACATTCTCTCTTTTCTCTTCTCTCTCCTTACTTACCATTATCAATTTCAACATTGTGTGGCAATATAACTGTATGATTCATTTCTTTTTTTTTTTTTTTTTTTTGGTTGTTTTGTTATAGTATATAATATTTTATTTTAAATCTTATTTTAGTATGATAAAAGATAGGATACTTCCCTGAATTGTATCCAAATTTCCCTCCTTTTTTGTCAATTTATCAATCACATTTTTGTTTTTTATGAAGAAGAGACTCGTGGATCCCTGCTACAAACAGTCATTTTTGATTTTAGGGAGAAATGACTTAATTCCAGGGAGAATGATCACACACACTTTTAGATCTAAAAAGAATAGTAAAAAATAAAAAATAAAAATAAAAAAAAAGGAACGTTCTTTTTGCATGAATTCATGATCAATTTGCTTGTCACAATTTTTTTAGGCTCGTGGGGAAAGTTTGAACTGCGATATAGTTTTTTTGTATATGTACTATTTTTTTTTTTTATCTCATGTTTTTTTTTTTCTTTTTTCTTTTTCTGTACTTTTCTCACTCTTTTATTATATAGAGTTATAACTCTTTTTTATTACTTGATGTAAAGAAGAAAGAAAAAAAAAAAAAGAAATTATCACTATTATTATTAGTATTATTCTTTTTTATTTATATTTTTATTTTTTTTTATCATTATTAGACCGAGTTTACTATTATATGTTTTAAAAAAAAAAATCCCCAACAACTTGATTATTAAAAGATTAACTTTTATGAAAGAAAAGAGATCTGGTAAAGTATAGAATATATAATATAGAATATATATATATATATATATATATATATCTAATAATAATTTTTATATTTGGAAAATTAGGTATTAACGACTTGGAAACAAACCCGAATATCAATTTGAACTGCTTTATTGAACGGTATGTCTTTTTTTTTTCTACGTTAAAAATATAGAATAAAGTATTATTAAAAATTTAGTTTGACATTTAACTTTTTTTTTTTTTCTCTTTTTTAAGTTCGATGAAAGACGAAATAGAAAACCTTACTCTCGCTCCGGATGGGTTGATTCGTTTACGGGAACAGTCTAGTATATCCACCACTTTATTACCAAACACAACTTGTATCAAAGACATATCATCTTATACAAATCAAACTACACCAATTATAGAACGATCTTTATCTTCTCAACCTAGTTCTTCAACAACTAAAACTCATCAATCTGATATCGCAAAATTTCCTCAAGATTCTCTTCATAGTTTTCGGTTTTCTTCGACAACTTCAACTGACTTGGTAGCCTTAAGAAATCGCGTTATGACTCGTTCTATTGACTTTATCAAACATTCGAATCAAGGTGGTTGGAAAGCTCCGGAAACTCTTCCTGGTCATTACTCTCCTACTGCGTTACTGGCTTCTATGGAAAAAAGAAGAAATAAAGCGAGAAGTTTGGGATACACTAAACCAACACAAACATATGATGCAGAGTATCTTACTACTAGTGGCTCAGCAACAACAACAACAACAACAACAACAACAATTATTTCTTCAACGTCATCAAATTCACAACAACAACAACAACAACAACAAAATAAAATACGACGTGGATCCTTACCTTGTATTGGTGAAGATATTTGTCAACCAATGTCTCCGTCTACTCGTACTTTATCATCTTCATCATCATCATCTACTTCAACTTTAGATACTTCAAAATCTTTTACAACTAATGATACCAATCCATCCAAATCTGCCAACAATGACGATGATTTGAACCATCACCTACCTTCTTTGGCCCTGTTTCCTCATCCTGCGTTACACAATCCTACAAGGTTTCTTCCACAAAATCAAGCTATCTTGACGACGTATGACGATTGGAAGATTATCTTGTCTAACAATATTGCTTCTTTTGTTCTGGTGGGTGGTAGCAGTGGTACTAACGGCTATGTCCGTCCTTCTTCTTTGGTGGGTAAATCGGTCTTGGACTACATCGACGTTTCTTTTCGTTCAAGGCTACAAGCAATGATTAAGAAACGACGACAAGAACTAGTACACTTGGAAGATTCGGCTGGTGGTATGGTACTTGTTTGTGGCAATGTGGTATGTTTATCAAATGCGAATAATAATAATAATAATAATCATGCATCTTTTTATTTACTGATTTCTATTTATTTTTATCTAGTTACCAATTGTGAAAGAAGATGGTACAAAATCTGCCGCTTCACTTTGGCTCAAGGAAAAAAGAAATGATACTGGATCTTCTGTATATATTTGGATTTTTGAAGAAGTCTTTGAAACCGTCACTCATGTGTCCATTGATACAAAGGTAAAAAGAAAAAAAAAAAAAGAAAAGGGATCTGTACTGTATCACCTAAATAAAACTGCTGAACTGATTTTTATATCATTTTCTAACTTTCTTTCTCCGTTTTTTTCTTTTTTCTTCTTCTTCTTTTTTTTTTTCTTTTTCTTTTTTTTTAATTTTCAGGGACTGATTTGTTACGTTGATCAAGGTATACAAGAATTATTGGATTATGAACCTGAATCTTTGATGGGAAAACCTATCGACATTTTGATTCCGTCCTTAGCATTGGACAACAATGACAACAATCACCACAGTTTCCCATGGATCGATATCAATCATTATAAATATTTCGGTTGTCGAACTCGACTAGGCGCGCATTTACCTATCATCACCAAAGTATTTGATGGTACCACCAATGAACCACTCTCAACAAATTTATATTCTCAACAACAACAAAGTTCCAAGTGTTATACTATCCGTATTACATCTATTCCAATGATTGCTGGTTTGGTGACTATACGACAAGATGGAATCATTGAAGGATGTAATGATGTTTTCGTCAAATATATGTTTGGTTATTCACAAGAAGAATTGGTTACTGGTCGAAAGTCTATTACCGATTTAATGCCACAATTCCCAGGATTACTACAAAGTCTTCGGCGTGACGATCTATTACAACACGGGATTATTATCAACAATCTTATTTGTAGAAAGCTAGTTGCTGATCTTGCAGACTCATCATCATGCAAAACAACCACAATTACAACTGGATCAGATACCCCTACTTTTGGTGGAAAACGACTCACACAAACTCCTCACGGTCAACCACTTCCTGTCTTGATTGCTGTTCATCGTGATGGCACCAAATTTGAAATACAGCTGCAACTGAAGTTGGTGGAAGAATCCGACGATGGTATCTGCGCCTTATGGATTACTTTTGATCGGGACTCGACATTTTCTCGTTTTGGACACAAAATGGATGGACCTGCATTAGAAATAACTCAGCATAATGGACTTGGTTTACCTACAGCAAAACGTGATGAACGCATTATTGATGAAGAGGATGACGATGATGATGATGTTGATGACGACGATAATAATGAACATATCAACTCTCTTACATCTTCAACATCCACTTACAACAACAGTATGACTGTTGACAACTCCGGCATTAATACCAAATCTATATTGGACAACGATACAGGAACAGAACAAATTCACAACAGAACTGAACCTATTCTGGTACCTCAAAAGAATAATATCAATTCTCATTATTCACCAAGCACTATAGCAGCACATGACACTCCAGAATTGGTAGGCGATAGCAGTGGCGGATCGCTGTTGGTCAGCCGTCCACCGGGTGATACAGATTCTCCTCGCGTGATTACCTCATTTTCACGACCTACGTTCTCGACTTTTAATTCACAACAACAACAACAACATCAAGATGAACAATCTTCGCCTACATCACCATACACTCCATATTCTCCTGCATCTGTGACTTACAATCGTCCGCGGGCCTTTTCCACGGCTTCTGTTACCATGCCAGAGTACTCTGCTCAAACTTTAGCTTCTTGTATCGATGACTATGAAATCTTGGATGAAATTGGACAAGGTGCTTATGGTTTGGTCAAATTGGCTGTTCATAAACAAGATGAAACTCGGGTAAATATATATATATATATATATAGGATGGAAAGTGGAAAAAAAAGGGTCCCTGTGAAACAAAACAAAAAAGGGAAGAATGCATATTTTTTTTTTGTTTTGTTTTTGATGTTGTGATGATGGGTGATCCAAAGCATAAAATGAATTGATGTGACTGATCATATATTTTCTTTAGAAAAAAGTGGTGATCAAATATGTAATCAAGTCTCGTATTTTGGTTGATTGCTGGACAAGAGACCGAAAATTGGGAATGGTACCTGCTGAAATCCATATTTTACACACGTTACGAAAAATTCCTCATGATAATTGTGGGGATATGAGTAAGTGCAACTCAAATCTATTATTTTGACCTATTTTAACATACTCCTCTTTTTTTTTATCATTACGTTTTATGGTAATAGTGGACTATTTTGAAGATGATGATTATTATTATATAGTGATGGAACTTCATGGAGCAGGAATGGATCTTTTTGACTACATTGAACTAAAGGATACTATGCATGAATCCGAAATTCGATCGATCTTTAAACAGATTGCCTTGGCAGTACAACATCTTCACATTCACAAAATAGTACATCGCGATATCAAGGATGAAAATGTAGTATTAGATCAAAATGGCGGTATTCGACTGATTGATTTTGGTAGTGCAGCTTACATTCGACCTGGTCGACGATATGAAACATTTGTTGGAACTCTTGACTATGCAGCTCCTGAAATTTTACGTGGTCAAACTTATGAAGGACCTCCTCAAGATGTATGGGCATTAGGGATTCTATTATATACCCTGGTTTATCGTGAAAATCCATTTTATGATATTGATGAAATCATGGCAAGAGAATTACGAGTCCCTTTTATCTTTTCGGATGGTAATTAAAAAAAAAAAAAGGATGAGATCATTCATACTCAATTTCAACCTATTCTCTTACTTTGTATTCAGGACAATCTGTTGATCTTATCAAGAAGATGTTGGAACGCGACGTATCAAAACGACTCACAGTTCATCAAGTGCTAGAACATCCTTGGCTATTATAGTGTATCTTACCCAATTTTTTTTTTTTTTTCAAAAAATACTTTTTACATTTCGATATCCTATTACTGTTATTTGATTTATTTCCACTCTTATCCATTTTACATCATACACACTCACATATATATATATATATATTTATATATCGATACAAGCAATGTTCTCACACTTTTTTTTACATTCTGTTATATACATATATTGTTTTTTTCTATTTAGTTTTAACGTAACATCATCTTGCTCTTCATTCGTTTTATTGTAGATTATTCCTTTTCATCCTTTTTTTTTTTTCTAATTCCTATACATATACACGGTCATTTTATAATATATATGAACAATAAAGTTACTCCTGCCTTGATACTATATTTAAATGATTTAATAATGCTGTTATTGCGAAGTCATCTGCCATATACAAATAAACGCAGAAGAATGGTGATAAACTATGTCAATCCGATCGTCATGTGAAACAAAAATGAACATAGTCTTTTTAATAACAGATTGGAAATCATAGAAAGCAATCATGAATCAAGTCCTGGATGTAGATCTTTTATCAGGCAGAATCAAAGCAAACTTTTCCAAATATAGGCAACACCATGCTCATTCGTTCTTGTTGAATGGAAAATATGCATCTTTTTTTTTTTTTTTTCTCTCTCTCTTTGTGGATGATGGATGATCTTCCTATCCTCAACAAGCTTTAGATATTCATGTAGTCATCTATACTTACGCATTCATCATCAGATCACCTACCATCCGTCATCAATATATAGTTCAACCATCATCCGACGATCCATGAATATGGACATCCTTTGTTCGGGCATATGAACCCTAAGATGAAAACAAGTATTGTACAACTTTTAACCAACGTGTGATTGGATTCTTTGCCACGATAAAATGATCATCCTGTTGGATTCCCAAAACTCCCCTTAAAAAAGGGTTTGATGAGGGACAAATGATTCCAGGAAAGAAATAACACCTCCCCAAAAAAGGAGATATCCTACTGTTAATAGCTAATGATTTGAATACGATAAAGAGTTTATTCATGGAGTTTATTTAAAATGGATATATATATATAAAACTAAGGATGAGTTGTCTATATATTAAACCTTTTCATCAAAAAGATAATCGCTTGTTTTGTATTTTTACATACACAATATATATGTATAAAAGTGAATGGGAGGAAGAAAAGAAGAATGATTAACAAAAAAAAAATGGTGATTGTTATATAAATATATATTATATATATAGGAGAAATAAGAGAGGATACTAATGAGTAGTTGTAATGTTGTTGGCCAAATTAACACCAGTATCCAAGTCATTTGCAGCAGCATCAGGATAATAAAAGAAGGAGATGGCGATGATCAAGTAAACACTACATAACATGAGTCCTTCCAACCAATTGCTTCGACCGTCCTTCAAAAAAAAAAAAAAAAAAAAAAAAGAGGATAGGTGAACTTGTTCTTTTTTATTATTATTTAGTCTCCTTTCTTACCATGATAAGATAGTTGACCATAACCACAGCAACAAACATGATAGCGGTTTCATACATATTGAAGTATAAACTCATATTGACTTGAATGCCCCAACCGATGATAACCATGATAGGAGTTACCAAAAGAGCAATTTGCATACTACTTCCGACGGCAACGCCTAAAGCTAAATCCATCTAAAAATAAAGATAACAACAAGAAATGATCAACAAAAAAAAAAAAAAAATAGAAACAATCTCTCTTTTCCAAAAAAAAAAAGTTTACCTTATTCTTCCAAGCAACAGTAACAGCAGTGACATGTTCGGCAGCACTATATAAATAAAGATGAGTTCATATTCCCAGATTAATATAATTGTTGATGAACTTACTCTGATTTATATCAAATGACAAGAATAACACCAGAAAGATAAAATAAAATAATAAAAAAAGGAAAGAGGTGTCAATATAAAATATGATGGTAAACAATGATTGTCAAAGTTTGGCACTTACTCTATTTAAAGAGAAAAAAAAAAAAAAGGGATGAGTCTCTAATTTGGATGATGGCGTCTTCAATGATGATGATCCTTTTTTTTTAAGTCAACTTACTCCAATAATAGGTAACAAGATGAGACCAACAAAAGTTTCACTTATGTTCCATTGTTGTACAACATCTTCAATGGCGGAAACAAGGAACTCAGCGCAGATAGCCACAAATACAGTGATGATAAATAGCCTATATGTCATATATATATATTTATATATGAGATGATTTCAAAAAATATATATCTATATATATAACTTACATGAAACCAGCCAATAAACCAGGCATAATGGGCTGTTCTTCTTCTTCATCATCTTCTTGCTGAGTCAATGTACTGCTTCTTTCTGCATCATTCAAACGACTTCTTGAGTTTCGACGAGAAAAGTGGAATGCTTCGGGAGGTGGCGCGAGGAACTAAGAAAAAAAAAGTCCAATAGAGATGATTAAAGTTTGATCCTTATGCATGATCATGATAAATGAATAATTTTTGTTCTCCTTACCAATTGTTTGTGTGTTCTGAGCTAAAGTACCGATGATAAGCAGGAAAGAAAAAAAAAAAGTCAAATCCAAATCGCATCATATATATATATATCATGTTAGTAAAAAATAAAAAAAAAAAATAAAAATAAAAAAGAGTTAGTAAATATCTACTATAAAAAAAAAAGGAAAAAGAGAGGGGAAAAAGGGTAGAAACTAGAGAAAAGGGATGCAGTAGAAAAAAGAAATACTCCAATAGGAGAAGTAAGGGAGAAATATTCAGCGAAACAAAAAAAAAAAAAAAGGGGTGAACGAAGGGAATTATCTACTGTAGATATACAACACACATATATATATGATTTTCTCTCTTTTTTTTTTTTTTTGTTACCTGGAAAAAGAGATATGAGGCATAGATAATCAATAATAAAACAGAAGTAGCACGAGAGATGGCCAATATATCATGAACTTCAGCAGCAGATGAGACAGATTGTAAAGTAGAACCATAAAAGGCAGCAGGCATCAACAAGGAAGCAGTGGCAATAAATAAAAGACCAGCCGATGTTTGAGCCACAGTGACGTTGAACACTTGTTCTTTATAACGATATCCACCTAACCAAAAACACATGCCTAAGACCAATAACAAGTTGGATAAGATTGACCCAAGCATGGAGCTTTGTACAATCACCACTAAATTTTGACTAAGTGCAATCACTGAAACAATCAATTCAACAGCATTACCAAAAGTCGCGTTCAATAAACCACCCACTACCTAAAATGAGATTTATATATATATATAAAGAAAAAGAAAAGAGAAGAAGAAAGCGGAGGTTCAAAAGGAAGGATGGATTAACGAAAAAAAAAAAAAAGGAGTTTAGTACATGATGGATGATAATAAAAAGAATAATAAGGATAATAAGTCATCATGGTAATCAAATAAAATAATAATAATCAAAATGTTTTTTTTTTTTTACCTCTCCTGTTCTTAATGCAATATCTTCGGTTACATCTCCCAATAATTTGGCCAAAGGGATGATAGCAATAAAGTTCAATACAAATGTCGCGGTAGAACCCCAAAAGAATTTAGATACAATACCAAAAGGTATGAAGATCAATAATACATTCAAGTAAGATCCTGTGATAATAGCAATAAATCCTTCTTTGTATGTTGGATTTTTTCGATGATCATCATCTTGTTGTTGTTGTTGTTCTGCGGTTTTAGTAGAACTAGCATCACGAGCAGTACCTTGAGATTCAATACCATCATTTGTTGGTAAAGCTATCATGGATGAATCCAATGCACTATCACCTTGTTGAACCTTTTCTTCATACATTTCTGTTTTGACAGTAACCATGTCACCAATGATATGACTTTGTCGTTGAGTAGAAGTGAGTGACGCTGTATCTGAACGAGATTCCATTATATATATATATATTTAAGAGATTGATAATAAGGGTATAATATATATATAATATGTATACTGATTTTCCTTTATATCAATCAGCAAAAAAAAAAAAAAAAAAAAAGAAAGAAAGAAAAAAAAAAAGAAAGAGAAGAAAGAAAGAAAAAGAAAGAAAGAAAGAAAAAACAAAAGAGAAAAAAAAAAGGGAGGCAAGTAAAGATAGATCAAAAAGAAGTCGAAGAACAAAAACAAAAGGGTGATTTTAAGAGAGAGAGAGAGAGTGATGATGATAATGTGTGTCTGAGAGATGAAAAACAGGGAGAAGGTCAAAAGATGGCTAAGGGGTTGATAACAATGATGACCTAAATAAGTGTTAAGACGAAAAAAAGGTTTTTCAATAGAAAAAGGGAAAAAAAATAAAATAAATAAATGATGGGTGATGATTTGTAAAATAATAATAAGAATAATGATAAGAATAATCATCAAATACGTAGTTTTTATTGAATACTATTTGAAACTAATACCTATAACTAACTAATAAAGTAAATGAGAGATCATTTATCTCCCTCCCCCCCGCATAATGGGCATAAGACTGGTTCCTTTTCAGATGTGCACTAAAAAAAGAAAAAAATGTCAATAGAACGCCTTTTTTAAAGTTTACAAAAAATAAGTATGTCAACAAAACTACTTACTTTCTTGGTCCGCTTCCACAAAATCTACATAATCTTTGGTTTCCATTACACTGTATTGATCATCAGGTAAAGAAACAATAAATGCTTTATTACCCGTCTTAATTTCGTAAAGTATCTTGCCCCCTACTGATTTAATATCCGATATTGCTTGATCGACTTGATCAGTATCCACTTGTTTCTTCAAGGCCACAATATATGTACTATCTATTTGTTTGATAAACAATATGTGTTAGTACTTGCATATTTGAAAGATCATTCATAAATAAATCATAAACAACATAAACCTGTAAATCTCTGATCAATTTCTACCCCCCATCAACCCACTTTTTTTTTTTTTTCTGTAGTGTATTTTATATATATATATATAAATTTCTTTTCTTTTGTTGGGTCATTCTTACCAGCAGATATCAAGGAAATAAAAGAGAAAATGAATATTGATAATAAGAATAAATGTTTCATCCTAAAATATGTAATGATGTATTTAACAATATCGAATGAAAAAGAAAGAAAAAGAAAGAAAAAGAAAAAAAGAGAAAAAAAAAACCCCCACGTATTCCCCTCTCAGTGTGAACTATGCCTCAAGTCAGAAGACCGATTTCCTATTTAACCAATCACATTTCAATTTCAGAGTACAAAAAAAAAAAAATACTTTATTTTTGATATAATGGCCCTAATATAATACATTCTACTATGTCATCTTTCTTTAACATTGATAAATCATCCGTCTTGATAGGTAATTGTAATAAACCATTTGCTGCAACCATACTGATCATCCGACTGCTTTGTTGATTTTGTCCAGTAGACAAAGCTTCCAAATGTCCTTTTTCTGCATTCATATATACCCGAACTCGATGATATTCTGGTCGACTATCCAAATAAATATCATGTAATATCTATATAGAAAATAAAAATAAAAATAAAAAAATCATTCCTTTTTTTTTGATGATCTATTTCCTTACTTTGACTGGTAATATCACATTCTTTGGTTGATGAATGGCACACATTTGTCGTAAAGCAGGTAACACAAATAGATAAAAAGTAACAACAGCAGATACAGGATTTCCAGGTAAAGCAAATACTATTCGCTGCTTTGTTGATGATGTGGTTGGTATAGTGGCAAAAGTCGTAGGTTTTCCAGGTTTCATATGCACACGACCAAAGTGTAAAGTAGCATTGAATCGTTGTTCCAACAATGGTTTCATATAATCAGCTTCACCCATTGAGACGCCACCTGTTGATATAATCACATCTAAATCCAATAGAGCTTGTTGTAAACATTGTTCCATGGCATCCACATTGTCAGGCACAATCCCTAAATCCACAGGTTCCATATTAGCTTGTCGTATGGCCGCCAATAGAGTCAATCGATTCGAATCCCGTATTTCGCCAGGCACTAAAGGTCTTGATGTCATCGTAATGTCTTGTACTTCGTTGCCAGATGAGAGTACACCAACTCTTGGTTTGCGATACACCAATACAGAGGTTACTCCAACAGATGCAAGAAGTCCCAATTCTCCACCCACCGTCGAAATGACCGTGCCTTTACTACACACTAAATCGCCTTGTTGACAATCGCTTCCAACTGATCGAATCATTGAATTGGCTTGTGTTGATATCATTATTTCTACCATGGCTTCTTCTTGGTTATCTAATGCTCTTTCCACCAGTCGAGTATCTTCTACCATCACCACTGCATTCGCGCCATCAGGTACCATACCTCCTGTAGCAACACGTGAGATCTGTCCTCGCTTCAATTGAAATGGTGTATGTACTGTCATGCTGTCATCATTCTCCTTGGGTTCTTGATAATGACTTGTTGCAAGAGATACATGACATACTGGATAAATCCCTGGTCCATCTTCAGCTGTTATTGCAAGGAATTAAATTCCCAAAAAAAAAAAAAAAGAAAAAAAGTATTAGTTTCACAGCATCATCCAAACTCCCACACATTTTTTTTTTTTTTGTGATTTACCATGTACAGCATAACCATCGACAATAGACGCACGATAACCAGGGACAGGTTCTTTTGCATACACATCCTCGGCTAAAACGTATCCAATCAAATCTTCTGATACTTTCATATCCACTGTTTCTAAAGGTTGCGCATAACGACTGATGATAGATTGAGCTTCTTCCACAGATATCATAGGGTATGGCGATACACGAGCTCGTTGGGATACTAGTAAGAAATGAAAATAAATGAGTATGTTAGTAAGATGTTTGTTTGTTGTTATTTCATGTGTTTTGCTTCATGCATATGGCCTATCAATGCATTTTTAATTTAATTTTACCTGGTGTGTTTAAATCTAAAGTATGTGCACTGTGCTTCTGAACCTGCTGCTGCTGCTGCTGATGATGATGTACACAAGTATGTTGTTGTTGTTGTTGTTGATTAGTGGTGGATCCAGTAGAAGCGATATGAGAATGAGTATGACGTATAGCACCATGTTGTCCACGCACTAAATCAAGAGCATGGGGTAGAATAGGAAAAAGACTATCCATATTCTCACGGCAGGCCTTTGGGCTTCCAGGCAAAGTGATACATAATGTTTTGTTGCGGAAACCAGATATGGGTCGTGAGAGAGCTGCAAATGGTGTTTTTGTCAATGAGGTTGAAATCAAAAGATGAGTGATACCAGGGGTAAGTCGCGTCAATAGTGGTTCAATGCTATCAGGCGTGATATCACGTTCGGCAAATCCAGTTCCTCCCGTTAGTAAAATGAGATCCAGTCGTTCTGTGTCAGCCCATTCTTGAACTACTCTTGTAATGTCAATAGCCTCATCTGGAACAACCGTGGTATGTAGTACTTGATAATCAGATGAAGCCTCCGTCAGTAACTGTTGTAATAAAGGTCCACTCTTGTCTTTTGTTCGATCAGCTGCGGAAGTGTCACTCACTATCAATAAACAAATTTAATAAAAAAAAAGTTAACTCTATATATCATTTTTGGAATTCAAAATATATTTACATATGATTACCTGTAATAATTCCAACTTTATAGGGATTCATCCTTATCAAAAAAAAAAAAAAAATCGAGTTTGAGAAGAAGAAACAAAAAAAGAAAGAAAAATCAAAAATTGGCTCGGTTTTTGAGGTACCGCCAGGCAAACAAGTGCAAGACTTTAATGATGATACTAATTCGTGGAATTTTCAAAGTCTTTGGTTTATTCATCTAACCACCACCTTTTTTTTTTTTTTTTTTTTTTTTTTTAGCAATGTTACTAATTCATTTCTTATTCATGAAACATTCGAATCATTGTCTTCTACACTATAACATCAAATGGAGTGGATATGCACCTTTATATACTTTTGTAGATCACTCAAAAGCGATCATCATTGCATCAAATTTGGATCGAAGATACATGAAGATATTCTCTTTTATTTGTTTTAATAGAATTTATACCATGCCTCTCAATTAGTAGAGCACATAAAAAAAAAAAAACAAAAATAAAAATGCCCATCCCCCATCCAATGGTGACCATCATCCAATAAAATTACAACCACTGGATTCCTCTCAAAAAAAGTGATCTAACACCATCTAATTCCATTTTATCGCTTACTTTGCAATCTGATGTGTAATAAATACCAAAAAGATTTCATCGAGTTTTTCCAAAAATTGACTGATGATCCCTCGACGATTTATTTTTACAGCTAAAATTAAGCTGAGGAGTTTGAAAGTTTTGGCTGTAAAATCCAAAAAATCCATCCCATTTTTTCATTCTGCTTACAATAACTTCGCATTTCCCTTTCTCACTCAATAATCATCATCATATCACCAAAGTTTGAACAGAACATAAAACAAACCATTTTCTTTCATTTTACTTTGTACATATTATCACTATAGAGTGTAAATTTAAAAAAATCATGTATATCGCCATCCCCAACATCCTAATCGGCGTGATGCTTTCAACTTTCATGAATGAGTTTCCTTAATTTCGAAGTTTTGACAAGGAAGCCTCTGTCAACCACTGAATATGATAAATAGAGATTTTTATTTTATTGATAATGATATTGATTAATACTATAAAACAGAATATCGCTAACTAAATGCTCCAATGTAAGCTACTAAAGAACAAAATGGATCATCTATCAAAATGATCATCCATCAAGTTGGTTCATTGATGTCGAAAGCTTGGGTTTTGTACCTTCATATTTATATATATAAAAAGAGTTGACAGAGAAAGAAAGGGAAGAGCCATGCGTTTTCAAAATTTATACGATTCCATGCTTCACTGACCAAGGACAAGAATAAACAAGATAATTCATCAAGTGATGTCAAATAAAAATAGTATATGTCACTTTATTTCAAAATAACAAAACAAAACAGAAAACTATCTACTAAATTATGGCAAAAGAAAAATGTATATGGAATCATTCAGTTGGTCTTTTGGTATTCAAGATTGACACCTTTTTCTTTCAATGACTTTTCAGCTTCTTTGGTAGCCCAAGTAACAACACTAGATAAATAAAAAAACAAAGGGATAAGTTGTTTTTGAACAAATCATATATCCTATTATTATTATTTCTTCTTACCTAGTATCAGGCTTGTAGTAGAGAGCAACAGAGATCATAAAGAATCCACCACCCATACCCCAGTAATAGATATCTTCCCATCCTTCCTTAACAGGAGTCTATATAGAATTCAAAAAAAAAAAAAGAAAAAAAAAAGGAATTAGTATTGATTGATAATAATGTATTTTGATCACAAAGAAATAATATTCCTCAAATCTCTTCGTCTGTCTCTAAATTGCAAATCACATCCAAAAAGAAGAATAATGTTGTTTCTTTGTAAACCCTTTTGTTTTCTCGTCTTCGTCGTTGTTGCTTTTGTCGTTCCTTTGTCAAATGTAATCATTGTTTCTTTTTTAATTACCTTTTCATTGAAGAGATAACCTCCAGGTTCGTTGATAGGCATACCACCGCCACCACCACGGCGCATCATATTAGGACGTGCAAGTCTGGCAGATCGAGTAAAAGCTCTGGCAAACATGTTATATAGATAATGTAAGAAGAGTTTTTTTTTTTTTTTAAAAAAAAAAAATCCCTTTTTGTTTTTTTTATTTTTATTTTTTTTTTTTTCCCTCCAGCCTGTTCATGGTCCAACCAATAAAATATTTCAAATCCCCGATCCAATCTCACAACGACAAATTGTCCTTAAAACATTTATGCCTTTCTCTTTCTTTTCTTTATTCTTTATTTTTGAATCCACACATATATTTATTATTGAAGCAAAAGCAGACTTAAGTAAGTGAATACTTTAGAAACAAGAAATATCATCTATTATCGAAAGGGGGGAATCAGAAACATTTAATTGTCTTGGATTCCTATCCATGTCTTCTGAGAGTGAATTAACTTTTTTTTTTAAAACTCTTTTACTAGATGTCGTTGGTCTTTTCGTAATCTATTGGAACTATTCAAAAAGAATGGTATTTGATGTGCTAGAATATTACAATCATTCCTTGAACGAAGAAAAGGTAAGAGAATGAAGAAAAAAAAAAGTATAAGTTGTGTTGACTCTTTTGTATATAGGAGCCATCTGTAGCCATGATTCGATCTTTGACAGAATTCGTACGCCAAAGTACAGGTAAAGAAGAAGAAGAAGAAGAAGAAGAAGAAAAAAATAGAACTAAATAGCATCTGGTACTTATATATTGATTTCATCATAGCTCCTACAATGTCTGAATTTATGATCAATATGTCTCAAGTCAAAGATACTTTACAACAACACTTACAGAAATCTGTAGGTATGCTTGCTGGACACGATCTTTTTATGGCTTTTTTTACTCATTGTGCTCAAGAATTTGGAGTAAGTGATTATTAGTATTATTATTTTATAAGTATTCATTTTTAATTTTATATATTTCTATCAAAGGGAAAGGATCAAAAACGAAACTTCCGACACTTCAAGGATCATGTATTGGATCAAACAAAACTTATTTTAGAACGCATTGATCGATCACAATTAGATGCAGCACATGTGGGTGCACGATTTATCAATGATAATAGTATTCTTTTGATTCCAGAACCATGTCCAGTGATTATGCAAATGTTAGAATATGCTGTCAATGTACAACACAAAAGATTCAAGGTATTAATAGCAGAAGGTGGAATTGAAGGTCGAGGGTAATTGAAAAAAAAAATAAGTTTGACATATACTGAACTTTTAAAAGTCGTCAAGTAGTTGAAAAATTACAAACAGTAGGAATTCCTTGTCGAATTATCTTGGATGCAGCAATCGGTTATATGATGGATAAGGTAGATATGATATTTGTAGGTGCTGAAGGTGTTGTGGAAAATGGAGGAGTTATCAATCAAATAGGTACTTATCAAATGGCTTTGGTGGCAAAGACTCTTGGAAAACCTGTCTATGTGGTAACAGAAAGGTAAAAAAAATATATATATATAATAATAATAATAATTTGATAGTATGTTTTAATCGTTTTTATAATATAGTTACAAGTTTGTCCGCGTGTATCCATTGAATCAATATGATTTACCTTCTATTACCCCTGAAATAGTCAAGTTTACTTCAAGAAGAAAAGATTATATTATAGAAGTAGATGATATAGTTAATTCCAACCCCTCTGTAGATTATACTCCTCCTCAATACTTGACATTATTATTGACAGATTTAGGTGAATTAACTCCAAGTGGTGTTAGTGATGAATTGATTAAATTATATTTATGAAATAATTCTTTTTTTTTTTTTGGAAAGTTTATATTATTTATAGGGGGGTGTTTTCTATTATATTAATACTTCCTTTAGTATATGTGTTGTTGAACATGTATTTGGAAAATCAAATGATTACGTCAAAAATAAAGAACCAATAATATATATTTATAATATATATTATATATTTAGAGTGGCCTGTGCGGATGATCAAAACTATATGAATGATGAATATGAAAAAAATGAATAATATATTGTTATTATATATAAATCAATCGATATTAATGAAGCTGACTTCCAACCAGTTATTTCCTTTTTTTATTTTGTTCTTTTTTTTTTGAATAGATATGAAATATAGGTAAATAGTATTGATAATAAACTAGAGGATTAAATAGTATAATGATGATGATCATTTGTTGTTAACTGATTACTCCTTTTATAAAAAGAAAGCTTGAATACAAAAAAAAAAAAAAAAAGAAAAACTGTATATAGAGTTGGGAGAGCCACGCGCTTTTTTTGTGTAACTTTATATGATATTGAACCTCCTCAAATTGAGTATTTTTTTTTTCCCTTGATTCTCCCCTTCCCCTTTTTTTTTCTCTCTCTCTCTTTTTTTTTTTTTTTTTTCTTTTTTCTATTATTTATTATATTATCACTATATGTTCACTATATTGTTATTCTATTGAAGAAAATAACCGTTCTTATTCTCATATTCAGCATTCTATCTTTATCTCCATTGTAAATAATAAAAAAAATAAAAAAAAAAGGTATGAAAAGTAACTAATCAAATTTACTATATATATTAATATAGTTATAGCTTCTTATAGCTATTCAATCCTCTTCATCATATTTCAACAAAATAAAAAAAACTCATCATTTATATATGAACAACAACAACTATGAAATGGACGGTCATAATAATCCTTGGTCAAACTTGGATACATTGGATACCATTGAAAAGGATATGAACGACCTTTTGAATCAACCACAACAATTATCATATAATACTCTTTTGCATATGTTTGAAGGCATTCGATCTCAGCTAGTTCAATGGATGGAAAAAGCACATTTGGCAATATTCACTTTAGAACAACAAATGAAAGATGGTACAATCAAGACAAACATATTACCTTTACAATCAAAAGTGACCAAAATGGAATCCTTAATGACACGTTTACCTGATATCAGTGACATGATAGATGATAAAATCGACAGAACAATAGAAAATGACGACAAATCAACACAACAAATACAATTCAACATGACAATCACAAAATTACAATCGGAATGGTCTGGTTTACATCATTTTATGTTATCTGTCACAAAACAATTTGAAGCAGCAAATGAAAAACGGGAACTTTTGGTGATCATGGAAGATATTTTATTGAATATCGACTCATTAACATCCACTATCTTTCAATATCAAGAAAAACGACATTTGGCCATGGTGACAACCGACAATGATGATTCAACAACCTCAAATACTCTCAAGGATGAATCCCTCTTATCTGATATAGATCAACGTGTCGATCCAGTATTTCTTAATGTTGAAAAAGTTTATGCTCGAATGACATCCTCTCGACCACCTCTGGATGAATCTGGTATTTTGGTTCGCAAGCATCGATTAGTACAAGAAAAATGGGAATGTCTTCGGATTGAAATTGATGAACTCAAGGATGAACTCAAAGAAGATAAATGGTTGTTTGTTTTCCGTCAAGTGGCTGATCAAGTAGATACTATGATTAATGGATTGGATAAAACAGTACAACAATGCTATAATACTATTCAACAAATTATGGATTGGCATGAACAAGTACAACAACAACAACAACAATTATCGAGCCCTCATTCACCAAGTACATTTGACAAATTATCAAAAACTTTTTTACGATCAACAAGAAATCACAATTCTTCAGCTTCTGTCAGTTCTACAACTTCTTCAACAGTATCTATTGTACCACCCTTGGATCGCGAAAAATTCAAAGCCGTTGAAAAGAATTTTGAAGCCAAATACAAGTATTACACACCCTCTATTGACCGTATGCTGACCATGTTAGGAAATGGAATTGCATCAAGAGTGACAAAGGATAGCTCGACTTGCAAACGACAATCAGCTATGTTATCAAGGTGGCAACAACTCAAAACAGCGATGGATGATTTGAGGACGCGCGATTTAATGGATGCCGAACGATATCTTGTAGAAACACCTCTCAGTCCTGCCAACTCTGTACAAAGCGATCGTAGTCATCATGGTATGTGGAGAAGTATACGACGACGACCGTCCGAACAAGAATACTCTACAACTGATTTTAATCCAAAGGTCAGAGCAACTTCAACTATCAGTGGTTTACCTAGATTGAATCCATCCACCTCTCAACATGAAGATCATCGTCGTGTTCGCAGTGTCACTCCTAGTTGTGGATCTCATCATCAACATCATGACAATAATTATTATCGGTCAAGTAGTAATGTATATAGTCGACAACAACGAACAACAAGTCCTCTCCATTTTTCCGTTCAGTCATCAACATCATCACACAATAATAGATTATTACGACCAAGTACATCGGAAACATCTTCTGTAGATTCGCAATCATATCGACCAAATGTCACTGGCCGTAAATCACTGACTCCTCATCGACCAGCATGGAATACAAGTACCAAACCTGATAAACCTGAATTCTCAACATTGGAACCATTATGGAAAGGTGAAAGCCGCGCCAATGCTGGACAGATCAATGACGACTCTCCTCGACAACAACATCATCAACAAGGTAGAAAAAGTCACGTACCAAGACCTCCATCACAACAACGTCATACCAAGGAAGCATCATTTATGAAACCCACAAAAAGTACCATGTTACGGACACGATCTCAAAGTGTGGAACCACCAGAAATCATTCGACCAAAAACACCAACTCGCACCAAACCAACAGGAAACACCAATGGCGGACGACGAACGAAAACACCCGGAACAACAACTACAACCAATTCTTCAGCACATTTGCAATACCATCTTCCACCAAGACCTAAAAGCAGCCTTGCTCGTCAAGAAACGTATGATATGTTACCTTATGTTGATCGTGAACGTCAGAATGGTACCAAATCACCTATCCGACGGACTGGTACTCCCTCTTTGATTCCTAGACCCAAAACTCCTTCTGGCCAAAAAGAATTGATGATTCGCTCCGCCTCTCCAAGTATGATTCCTCGTCCAAGATCTTCCATGAAACAATATCAAGATGGTCAAGTTATTCCACCGGTTCCTCCTCTTCCAAGCAATATTGAAAGGCCATCCATTCATCTATTGAAAGTAGGGATTTTGAACAAAGAGGATGTGTGCAATGATGATGATGGTAGTGGTGGTGGTGGTGATGATGATAACTCTTTACCTTCATCATCATACGTATTCCCAGGCTCATTTTTATCTGTTCCCTCTATTTTTGATAGCGATGAATCTGCTCCATTATACCAACAAGAAAATTATGCTCAACAACGTCAAAAAAATAGTACTATTCATTCCAACAACAATACCATTAATACGAACAACGATTTAGATAAACAACAAAGAAGAAGGGAACTTTTGAAGAAACGATCCATGCCAGCCTTAGCCATGCAACGATCTGGTTCTCCTTTTCGATCACCAGCAACAATCAAATCAACACAACAGAAACAACCTAGTCATTCAGTTCAACCAACAAACACAGTATCAAGACGACGAAGACGTTCAGGGTACTATTCGGAAGATGAAGATGGATCAGAATTAGATGGGATGTTATCACCTCATGGCTTTGCATTCCAAGAGCACCCGATCTATACTGGTGACCCTCGTGATCCATTGGATATGGAAGTAGCCACCATCCTGAATTCAAGTCCTATAGCCATGCAATGTCAAAGAAGTCCTCAAGGTGGTGGGAAATATTACTTTGGGAATGAATTGAATCCGACGTTGGGTGGAGGCAAGAAACTTTATACATGCAAATTGATCAATTATAGTGGTCGTTCATCACGGAGAACTCACAATAATGGTGATCATGTATCTATGGTTACAAGGAACAAGGTCTTGGTGAGAGTAGGTGGAGGTAAAAAAAAAAAAAAAAAAAAAAAAAAAAAAAAAAAAAAAGGATGATCTATCTACTTTTTTTTTTGTTTGTTTACATTTTTCTTTTTTATATAGGTTGGACAGAACTTCCTCAATTTCTATTGGATCATGCATTGTCTTTGGGGAATAGTACTGGTCTTGTGATTCGCCATCCCGTGGATCAAGGTGCTCATCAAGATACAACCGTGTCCTCATCATCATCATCCTCTTATCAAGATCCTTCTTTACACCGATTTAGATCAAAACGCTCACCTTCCATGTCCTCTTCCAACACTGATAATACTTCTGGATTCTTGTTAGATGCTCACTCATCTTTTTGAATATACCTCAGTGTAGTGTAGTATATATATATTCCTTTTTTTTTTAGCCTTTTATTTACATCTTTGTACATGTCTTAATCTTCTTTTTTTTTTTTTTTCTTTAAGAAAATATGGTTGAATTGAATAAAATGATCCTTTCCTCTTTCTTTTTTTTTCAATTTGTCTTATTATTATCCTCATTCTTTAACTTTCAAACAGAAATACAAAAGATGATTTGACATTGACCAAATTCCTTTTTTTTTTTCACTAAACCATCAGCATGCTGTTGGAGTATTGTCTATTTCCATGATAATGCATACGGAAATAATAAAATTGATTTCCATGACGGATTATAGTCAAAGAGTTGTCCATATTCTTTAGAATCCTGGATGATCGTGTAAAAAAGGACTATCTACACTTAGTCATGATTATGTCATGTGTTATTTGATTATTTTCTAGATAACTTTTTTTTTTCTTTATTTTTATATTTTTAATGATAATCAAATGAAATGGGTAAATACAGTAGATAGATTTTATTGATAAAAAAAAAAAGATGAAATATAGATAGGCAAAATGATATAGTAACAATGACGATGACAATAATAATAACAGATGATATATATTTGATATTGGTAAATAATGAATGATGTTTGATGATGATATATTTGATTGTTGATAAATGATAATGGTGGATGATGATGCATCTATGAAGGTAAATACAAAAAGACCTGTTCTTCTTGTCGTACACGATGATGAGCTTTTCGAGCTTCCAGTTGCCAATGGACACGGTATAGACAGAAAGATTGACCAAGAGCACATAAGAATAAAGCAATAGATAGACCACCCCATAAGCCCATTAAGCCAAAATGTAATGGGAAGGTCAAGTAAAAGCCCAAGGGAAGAGCGATACAGTAATAAGCTACCAGGTTGATATTGGCCGCTATCTGTTGCTTGGCAAGCCCTCGCATGATACCTCCACACACAGAAGCCAAACTGTCAGCGATCTGGAAAAAAGCTAATAACGGCAAGACCTTAGCCACCAATGTCACCACATCCTTATCTGGAGAAAACCAATATCCAATAGAATGTCGAAGAAATAACAAGACGGAAGAATTCATGCACGCCAATCCAATCGCAAATCCTAATGCTGTCATTGATGCATGATGTGCCTTTTGTCCATTTGCTTCACCAAGAGAGTTGCCAACACGATTCGCCACTGCCACCCCTAAGCCATATGGGATAGTGTAAGTACATGAAGAGATCGACATCACTATAGATTGTGATGCCAGTGCATTTGTACCCAAATAGGAAGATGCTAAAGAAGCCAGTTCAAATGCCCACCATTCTGACATGACCACCAGCATGCCCGGGATAGCCAATCGAAGGAACGAACCCCAATTTTTTCTACATTCTTTCCAGTTCCATCCACCCCATCCTTCCTTGCCATGACCGGAAATATTGATATAACATAGTAAGAGAAGTAGCATTAACCAATAACTACAACTTGTCGCCAAAGGTGCACCAATGAATCCAAGACCAAATGTATTTACAAATAGGTAATTCAGTCCAACATTGATAGGAGAAGCAATAAGAAGACAATATGTTGAAGCGTACATGATTCCTATTTTTTTTTTTAAAAAAAAAATAAATAAATAAAATATATCAATATATAAGTATGTTTATTTATTTATTTATTTATTTATTTATTTTTTACCTTGAGCTTGTAAATATTTTTTAACTGCTTCAAATGCAATATAGGCAGGAGCACCAATTAATAAATACCGCATGAACAAACCTAAAAAAGGAAATGACAGTATGGAGAAAAGAAAGAAAAAAAAAGGTTAATAAATTAAAAATAAGGTAATCAACAATAGATTTACCAGTATAAATGGCAATATCTTCTTCTTGATTCAATTTCAAGAGAATCCAAGTTGCGTTCCACCAAATCATCGAGATAGGGATAAACATCAAAGCCAAAATCACTAGAGCTCTTTGCAGATGAATACCAAGTAAAGTTTTGACAGTAGTACTACCACTAAAAGCTTGAGAGAGGGTTGTATCCAATGCAGTAGCACATCCTAAGGCAGTACTCCAGGCAGTCACACTTGCAAACATACTACCCAAAGCGGCAGCACCTAATTCAATAGGACCCTGTGGATGATTATATAAGATCAGTTTTTAAGTTTATATAGAAAAAAAAAAAACTTACAAGATGACCTAAGACAAAGATACTGGCTACTTGAAATGATGTTTGTAGTAAATAAGTGATGATGATTGGTAAACTGTTAATAAATAACCAATAGATTTCTTGTTTGTAAGTAGTATCTTGGGTATGAATTGTTTTGTAAGGTAGTAACTGACTATGTTCCGTAATATTAGAAACAGTAGAAGATGATGATGAAGAAGAAGAAAAGGATGATCTATCATGATCTTCTTGTCTATCATAATGATGATATTGCATTTATTTATAAAAAGAAATACAAAAGTAGAAAAGAAGAAAGAAAAGTAAAAAAAAAAAAATAGAAAAAAAAAAACAAAAAATTTACTATTGACGGAGATGGAAATTCAAAGACATTAAAAAACTTCTTCATTGACAATGAAGATACGAAACAGATGTTGAAAAGAGATTTTCTTTTTTATTATATATAATAATTCTTTTTTTTTATTATTTGTCTGTCTCAGAAGTTTTTATTGTTATTTGAGAAAAACTCTAATCAGCAAAAAAAAAAAAAAAAAGTATCTTATGACAATAATGTGTCACACCATACTTTGATACTTTATGTTGGTTCATATGAAAACTCCGTCTCTTTTCATTTTTATACACTCTTTTTCTTTCCGTTCTTCCCACCGTTTCTTTTCTTTTCTTTTTTTTTCTATTACTTCTTTTTATCATTTCAATTATGATTGGTGATTGTTGTCTTATTTTGATTATCTTATTGTTACCTCCTTTGGGTGTATTCTTTATGAAAGGATGCAAAGCTGACTTTTGGATCAACTTGTAATAATAAAAAAAAAGAAAAGGGATAATTATCAACTTTTATCTAAAATATATAATTATACCTTGTTTATCATTAGATGTTTAACTATTCTCGGTTATATTCCAGGTAATAATAATAATAATAATAATAAAAGGGGCATGCGTGATAGAATGAATAGGTTGAATAATCATGATTATTTTTTTATCAGGCCACATCCATGCTTTCTACGTGTTGGTCAAAGAACGTGAAAGACGTCAACACGTTACTTATACAGTCGTCAACAATCCTCCACCAGGTCAATATGGTGCGGTACCTCCTGCTTAGTTAGATTTATGATGATCCATATATTTATTTATATATATATATCCTCTTTTTGTATTCTCATAATTGAAATAAATGAAAACGTGTTTATCCTTTGAACGTTTTTTTTTTTTATTGGGGCTAGGAAGGGAGCTAAGGATAAAAGGAATGAGTTGTTTATATTGTCCAATTAGATTTAATGTAGTAACACGATGAGTGTTGTAACACATGAAAAGAAAATGTGTGCTTTTTTCTAAAAAAAAAAAATCATCATTTTCAAGAGTACGTGCGCATGTGGGATTGCATGAATCGATACAAAAAAAAAAAAATTAAGCTATGAGGAGGTTTACCATCCTTTTTCTTTTCTTTTCTTTTCTTTTTTTTCTAAAAAGGAACATTATTCATGTCAATCAAGAAGGTTATCTATATATAATAAATAAAAAAAAGGGGGATGAGGCAAGTTTCTTTTGACAATAAAGTGAGAATACCCTTCGTCAATCAAATTCATTCCATTCAGTCAATGCGCCAAGAAACCTGTTTGTTGGCTCTATTACTTTTTTCTCCACAATCCTTTTCTAAAAAGAATAAAATGGTATCTTTTAGACTGTAATATTGCATGAGGAGGTGGGGTAAAAAAAAAAAAGTTTGATATTTCTTTGATATCATAAAGGAGTTTATACAAAGTCTCTTTTCTTCCTCAAGAAATTATAAATAATATATATATATATATATGTAAAACGTTTATTGGTAAATATGTACAACATAGCAAATAGAGAATTTCAATAAATTAATAAAAAAAAAAGAAAGGATGATCATGTAAAGTGTGTTATATGTTCAATTCAATCAATCACTTGTCCAATTCTATCCAAAAAGAATATATATATATTATGTATATCTATACTAAAAAAGGGAGAAAAGTAATGGAGAAAGGAAACAAAATAGAAAGGGGGGATGATTTACAAATGAATGATAGGTTGAGATTTGGTAAAGATAGCACGAATTTCATCGTCGGACACGTTCTTCTTTTGATCACAAAGAGTCTTGAAATCTTCAAATACTCGTTGAAAAGCAGTTTCATCCAAATTGAATCCCATTTCAGCACCACGACTACGAAGAGCATTTCGACCAGAATGTTTTCCTAATACCAAAGCAATATCAGTAACACCAACACTTTCAGGAGTGATAATTTCATATGTTTGACGATTCTTGAGTACACCATCTTGATGGATACCAGATTCATGTAAGAAAGCATTTCTACCAACAATAGCCTTATTGGGTTGAACCACCATACCAGATAATTCGGATACCATACGAGAAGTAGGGAAAAAGAGAGGAGTATTGATTGTATGATAAACAGGGAAAAGAGTAGGATGAGTATGTACAGCCATAACCACTTCTTCCATTGCAGTATTGCCTGCGCGTTCACCAATGCCATTGATAGTTACTTCTACTTGTCGTGCACCATTTTGAATACCAGCCAATGTATTTGCTGTTGCCAAACCAAGATCATTATGACAATGAGTAGAGAAGATCACTTTTTCTGCTCCAGGTACATTTTCTTTTAGATGCTTGATCAAAGAACCATATTCAGAAGGTAGATTATAACCTACAGTATCAGGAATATTGAGAGTAGTTGCACCAGCTTCGATCACTTTTCCTAGAACATGACATAAAAATTCACGATCTGATCTACCAGCATCTTCGGGAGAGAATTCCACATCATCCACCAAGGATTTTGCCAAAGTAACAGCAGCCACAGCCCTTTTAACACATTCATCACGATCAATCTTTAATTTGTATTTGAGATGAAGATCTGAAGTAGCCAAAAAACAATGAATTCTTCTTCGTGGTGCATCTTTAATAGCTTCAGCACATCGTTGAATATCAGCTGGTGTTGATCGAGCAAGTCCACAAATAGTCTATATATAAATAAAACAGTAGAATGAGTATTATATATATATAACGTTAAGACCTCTTTTTCTTTTTCTTTTTTTTCCCCCTTTGATCCTTTTCCTCCTTTCCCCCTCCTCCTCCTTTCTTCTTCTTCTTTCTATCTTCCCCCATAAATAAGTCTTTTTTCTTTTTCTTTTTTTTTTTTTTTTTTGCTCCCTATTTTCTTTCTTTCTCCACAACTTTTTAACTTACCATTGGTTGTCCGATTTTTTCGCGCCCTTCCATCAAAGGACCAGCTTCTCTTGCAATTCTTTGTACAGCTTCAAAGTCACCAATAGAGGCAATGGGGAAACCAGCTTCCAAAACATCTACACCAAGACGAGACATTTGTTTTGCAATTTCAATTTTTTCTTCAGTATTTAAAGTAACACCAGGTGACTAAGAATATATATATAATGTTAGTTATAAAAAAAGAATGGGGGGGTGATATAATGAATTGAATGAATGAGGAGATTCCCCAATATAGTATAATGAACTTACTTGTTCACCATCACGAAGACTTGTATCAAATATAATAAGTTTTTCCTTGTTATTTTCAATTGAAGACATTGTGTATATATGCTTTTATATATATATATATATTTGTATGAATGAATAAAATATTATATGACAGAATAAAAAAAAAGAAAGAAAGACGGGGGCAAAGGGAGGTTTTTTATATATAAAAAAGTAAAAATTTGAGTTTTGGCGGCGAATCAATATGTCCATGATTTCTGCAGATATTAACCAATGAAATGTTAAGATCTTCGAGTCTACAATTGTAGTCATTCATATTTGATTCAATCACAATCAAACTGAACTTTTTGTATGACAAATTATTCCCTTTTTACTCTGTTAAGCTTAGGATAGATACATAAATAGTCATATTTCTCTGTTTTTATCTATTTTTACTGCTTCATAATAATAATTTTGATTGAGGAGAAAAGAAATGTAAACCTCCTTATTTTCACTCTTCCCGATTTCTTTTTTCTTAAAGCGGGCGATGATGTTAACAAAAAAACATTGTTCACGTATTTCTCCTTTTTTGAATTTTTACAGTCGAAATCCTCCTTTTGAATCCAAAAATATTCACCCTTATTAATCGTTTTGTTTTTTTTTTCTTGTTTCTTTTATCTTTCTTTCTCATTTTTCAACTTTTTTTCTTCTTTTTCTTCTTTTTCTTCTTTTTTTTTTTTTTATTTACTAACATTCCCTTTCCTTTCCTTTCATTTCTTCAATACAATTATACACTTCTTTTTGTAAATATTATTTTATTATATATATACACACACACACTTTGTTGATTTCCCAAAAGGTGAAAAGAAAAAAAGAAAATCATCATCTTCTTTTGTCTTTTTAAAATTCAAAATTCATGCTAAAAAAAAAAACTTATGTAACTTTTTTTATATATTTTAGACACTTTTTCATATAATTCAAATGCCGACATTTCTTTCTTCTTCTTCTTCTTCTCCTTCTCCACGTCCATCTTTATCAGAATCAGCTTTACCTTCACGAAGAGTTTTATTACGTACTACAAACAACAATAATCAAGTTACTTCATCTACTAATGGCATTCGTCCTGCAAGATTCCTTAAACCTTCAACATCTTCTACTATTCAAAACGACAACAATAACAATGTGACTCCTAATATGGATCAGTTTCTTAATTTATTTGATGTTTATTCTCAAAAGGTTTATATGGAAGGTTATTTAATGCAACAAGGAAAAAAATACTTTGTAGAACTTTGTGGATGTACTTTATCTTTATGGGATACTGATCGACCTGGTACTATTGTCACTCCTGACTACATTCCCATCATGGTTGATACCAAAGCAAACCCTACTCTTCGTCAACAATTTACTTTAGACCTCTCTCACAAGAAAAAATCAATGTTATTTGATACTTTGGATCCTGACTCTTTGACTAAATGGATATGTGCCTTACGCTTGGCATGCTTTGAACGTCAATTATTACATCAATTCTTCACCCTGCACCTCTTTTCACATTCCGATTTGACTTGCACTTCTTCATCTTCGGCTGGTCATCTTCAAGTCCTTTTACCAAATAGTAAGAAAGAATGGAAAAAATTATGGGTCATCATCACAGATAACAATAATACAACAAACACTAATGCTACAACAAAGAAATCAAAGATTCTCGGTAAACAAGACACTGCCAATTCTTTCTCCTTATCTACTACTTCCGGCCCTCGTCTCGTGATATTGGATTCCAAAAAATCAAAAACTCCTTTATTATGCCTTACTAGAATTAATCATGCCTATGCTGTTTATCCTGAAGTACCCTCCTTGATTGCCCAATCTACTTTGATTCGTTTAGAAGGTGTTCAACAGGATGATCAACCTATAGATCTTCTTTTGATGGCGGATTCAAGTAAACATATGACTCTTTGGTTATCTACTTTATATAATGCATTCAATTTATATGGACGACCTCAATCCTTAATACAAGATCCAACTGATCCAATGGCTTTGAATTTTGGTGAACCTACCTTCAATGATAGCAACGCTGGATTTGATGTTAATCATCCTTGGTGGTTGAATACAGATGATGTGGTGCAAGATATGGATGTTTTTGCCTCTATGACCAGACTTGAAATTTATCATCGTTTGGTCAAAACTCTTCAACGAAAGCAATCAACTTCAACTTCTTTTCAACATGACAACAATGACAACAATAATCTTTCCTATCCTCAACAACGTGCCAATAGTTTACCTCTTATTACTGTCGAATCCTCTGATACACCAAGACAACGATCTACTTCTGATGCTGGCATTTTGGATGAACCTGCCCTTAAATCTGCTTTACATTCACAGGTACGTTTCTTTTTTTTTTTTAATTTGTATCATGACTAATTACTTTTTTTTTATTTTTATTTGTTTCGGAAAAAAAAAAGGTAGCAGATTCTAGTGATGAAAGTGACGATAATGCGGATGATGATGATGATGATGATGAATTGGATGATGAACCTGATAGTGACGATGAGCCTATTGGAAAAAACAAACCAACCAAACCAACCTCCTCTACCAATGCGTTTTCATCTCTCCTTATTCCTGATTTTGATTTTGGAAATGGTTTTGATACTGATAGACGTGCAAGTTCAAGTAGTAGCTCCTTTTTATTATCTGGTATCTCCTCCCCTACTTCATCAAGTACTGGAACTAGACCTTCATCTCGTCAACAAAAACGACAACAGCAACAACAGCATAGTAGTAGTGGTAGTGGAAGTAGTGGTAGTAGTACAACAAGTAGCAGTGGAAACAGCATTACTCTCAACAAAAAGTCTTCTCTTTTACCAACACCACCACAACCATCACCCACTTCATCCTCTTTATTTGGTGATTTTAGTCTTACCACCGATTTCAACAAATATTTGGACCCAGCTCTCAATAGTCCTTCTGCTGCTGATCGAAAATATTCTTTACCTTCCAAGTTATACAGTATGAACCATCCGAGTGGATTTGATCGAAGGCGTTCTTCTTGGGAAAATCAACACGATTTGATGTCAGGGAACCACTATGGATGGGACAACCGATCTCCACGATCTCGTTATTTGGATGAAGATTACCTATACCATGATGGAGATGATGAAGGCAAGAATGGTGATGATGATGATGAAGAAGACGAGGATGATGATGGTGAAACGGATGATTACGACCGAGATGGACCTTTGATTCCAGCATTGAATGATCACTTTGCCCCAAGAAATAGTTTATTGGATAATCATGCTGGTGAACAACTTTCAGCCAAGGAACAAATCGAATATGCTCGTGCTACTGGACAACCGTTGATTCAAGTACCTTCAAAACCAAAACCTCCCAAAGGTGGTCTTGTTGGTGTCATTTCGCAGCGTGAACAGAATAGACGTCAAGGCAACGGGACACGTGTCGCAGAACGTGTGCATCAACATCATGCTGATCGTTTTGAACGTGAAAAAGAACGGAGAATCTTAGAACAAAGACATCAACAATATATGAAGCATCAGGTAAAATGTTTATAAAAGGAAAAATGAAATAAGCAAGGGGAGGATATTTCTAATATTTTATTTATTTATTTATTTATTTATTTATTTATAGATCATGATGTATGCTGCCAATGGTTATGTTCATCCAATGATGATGCATCCATATATGACAACTCCTCCACCAATGATGGGTTCACCTCTTACACCCATGATGCCCCCCGGATCACCTTATTCAAGTACGAGTAGTCCAGTGACACCTACAAGTCCTATGCCTCCTATCAATGGATATCCAAGCAATGGTTATTTAGATACTCGACCTTATTCTCCTTCAGGTACTTATGTCAACCCCATGATGCGTCCTTCCAGTCCCTCTAGTCCATATCAAACTAGTGCAAGTTATAGTGGTAGTAGTGCTAGTACTGGTCGTCGTCATTCAAGACCTTTGCTTTCCGAAGATGAAGATGAACCTTTGTATTCTCCTCAAATGGCCCATCGTACCATGTCTCCACAATTCCATCGAAAAATGCAACCTGCTCCATCCTCCTCTTGTAATTCAAGTATTGGCCTGTAGACCTCATCTCTTCCCATTATACTATTCTTTTTTATTACTATCATTCTTATTACTATTATTATTACAAACAAAGATATTACCCATCATCTTCATTTTTATTACTACTATTATTATTATTATTCCACATTCTCATATCACATAGTCTCATCTTTTTTTTTTTATTCCCTCCCTTGTCCTTCTACGTGTTCAAGTAGCGTTTTTTATTTTTTCTCCTTTATATCCCCCCCTTTTTTTTTTAGTCACATACACACACACTCTTTCTCTTTTTTTTTTTTTTTATTCTCCCAATATCATTCATAGTACGATCATCCCCTCCCTATTCTAGTCTATATTAGTTTCTCTTATATATATATATTATATATATAAAATATATACACAAACATTCCCTTCCTAGTTCCTGCTGTTTCTAGACTTACATCAATAGGATATAAAACTCTCTCCCCTTTTTTTTTCAATAAAACTATATTTGTGACATATACCATTCATCTATCTCCAAAAAAAAAAAAAAAGGTAATGATTTTTATTTTCAAAATAATAAAAAAAAAAAATTAATAACCATATCACTGACTAAAAGGGGGAGGGGGTATTTCTAAATAAGATGCACACAATGTTGTTTAAGGATATCATAAAGTTTGTAATGGTCAAAAGGTTTCGGTAACAAATCAGACATGCCACTACCAATGTATTTATCAATATCCTTGTCCGAGTAATTTGCAGTCATGGAGACCACAGGTGTATGTTGATCGTATTGTCGAAGTCGTCGGGTAGCCGCCATACCATCTAGTTTCGGGATACTGATATCCATCAAGATCAGATCGTATTTGGTTGTCTTCATGCATGCCACTGCTTCCAATCCATCACAGGCCAAGTCAAACGCACATCCTAATCTCTGAAGACACCGCATGCTAATCCGTCGATACATCACATTGTCCTCTACTACAAGTACCTTGGGTTGTTGTCGCCATTGTGCACAACTAGGTTCCTCTGTTGGAATAGGTGGTGTGAGCAATTCGGCTTTAATCAATGGAAGATTGGGTGATGATGTTGGTATGGCTGCTGAGAAAGATGATAGTGTCGGTAAAGAGGATGAGGCTGGTACAGATGATGAAATCGCGGGTAATGATGATTCCAATATGGGATGATCGTGAGGATAACATGGTGTTAATGATGATGATGATGATGAAGTAGGGTAACTCTGATGATGTTCTGGTATGATATCCACTTCCTTTTTTGCCGTTGTTGTCAATGCAGTTGGTGATGATGAATCCAATGGCGTATTCATTGCCGTCAAAGGTGGAGTTGTTGAAGTAGTTTGTGATTGGTGTAGATGATGATGATGATGATGCTGTTGTATGGGCGGGGATATTAATGAAGGTGGTGATGATGATGATGTTGATGATGATGTTGGTGTTGTAGTATTGGGATGCAGCCATGGATATAATTTTAAACTTGGAGATTGAGGTGATGGTATAGGAGAGTCATCCATTGTTGTCGTTTCTTTAACTGGAAGTGATTTGTCTAAAAAAAAAAAAAAAAAAAAAAAAAAAAAAAAAAAAAAACAAGAAAAGAAAAAAAAAGAGGAATGATTAAATAGATCATGTTTAATCTATATCAACTTACTTTGTTGTAGTGGGTAAAGAGAATGTTGCTTTGATTGATTGAGTGCAGCATTTAATAGGTAATCCTTTTCTTCCAATTTCCGTTTCATTGTATTCATTTCTTCCAGTAAAAGGGTATCAGTGGATAATAATTGAGTCAATGTTGATTCCATGTTTCGTTGAGTTGTACAAAGTTGATCAATCTGAGCTTGAAGAGAATTCTGGATATCATGCAAATGTTGCATGGTAATAGTAGGTGATGATGATGTAGAAAAGGAAGCCACTGTCATGGCTGCATCAGATTCACTGCCTTGACTTGTGCCGCGTTGTTGATCAGTAGATGATGATGATTGTGACGTTTTGTTGATGGTAGATTGTCGCTGTTTTATTTGATGTGCACGACTAGAATTGACCTTTCGATGAATTTGTGCCAATAGATGTTTGCGATCTCGTCTAAAGAGCGGATGTTGAAACTCCCATGCCTAGTTGTGGGAATGATTTTTATACAAAAAAAAAAAAAAAAAAAAAAGGGTTATTGATAAAAAGTTCAAAGGTATTAAAAAAAAAAAAAAAGAATCATGACTTACTTGTTGATGTGTTGGAGACAATAGTTTATGATTATCGGTAAATCTAATCTTGTGAAAATCATACTTGTTGAGTTGTCGAACAAAACTAGAGAAGTTGCCATGTTTGAATCGTCTAATTTAAATTAAAAATCATCATCAGTAACAAAGGGATTACACTTCCCCCCTTCTTTTTCTTATGTTGGTTACCTTGGTAATATTGTTTTTGCAAATTCATTTGTATCATCAATAACAAAAGTTGTACCTTGTCTTCCCCAATGATAACAACTTGTTTCGTCAGTAGTTTCAAGCATACTATAATAATGATAATAATAATAAAAGATCCACAAAGAGTAAACAAAATGAGCAGATGATGTGAATTTTTTTTTATTCTAGCCTTTCCTTTTATAGTACTTTCTACTCTTTTTTTTTTTCGTTTCTATCTCTTTTTCAGTATTACTTACTTGAATAATTTCTGTATAAAATCGGGTACTACACCATCGTTTCTTGACCTTTGTGATGAATTATCATTTCCAGATATATTATAATTGTCTGTATTTTCAGTTTCTTTATATAAATGATCCATTTGGGTAAATCAAATCCACATATGTATAAGTTTGTAGTTTCAAAAAAGAACAAATATAAAATACATATATAAAAAGAAAAGAGAAAAAAAAAAAGGAAAAGAAAGAGAAGAAAAAAAAGAATATTTCAGATTTTTTTATTTTAAAATCATTTCTGATTTCAATATCCGCCAACTTTTTTTTTGTTGGGTCTTCAAATGAATTTTGTCGACGTGTTTATTACACTTTTCAATTTTTATTATTTTGTTATTATACCATGAACAATGTTACAACTGCCTTTCATAAATTCTTTTCAGCATATAAAAAGGATACGAACATTAGTTTGAAACTTATTGATGTTTATCTTATTTACATCATGTTATCTGGTATCCTTCAATTTGTTTATATGATGATCGCTGGTACTTTTCCTTATAACGCTTTCTTGGCTGGTTTCATCTCTACTGTAGGTAGTTTTGTATTAGCAGGTAATGTTCCCCCATTTATCAGTCTTTTATTGAATACTTACTCCTCATCTTATATATATAAATATAGTTAACCTTCGTATTCAAACCAACTCCCAAAATAAGGACACTTTTAAGACAGTATCTCCAGAACGGTAAGAAAACCAATAAAATAAAAATAAATAATAATATATATCTAACACGTCTATCTACTTTTTTTAGTGCTTTTGCCGATTTCGCCTTTTGTTCTCTCCTACTTCACTTCTTTTGTATTAACTTTTTAGGCTGAAAATAGAATATAGTTCTTTTTATTTTTTTAATCTATCCTTTAGTATTATATATATTCTTCAATAAAGTGATCATATTCTTACTTATAATTATTCTCTATATTATATATATACTTAATACATAAAAATCTAATAAATTCCATGCCAAAACCAAACCAAAATCTTCTCATCCAGTCATTTTCAAAGTCAGTTAGTTCATTGCTTCGGCTTCAATTGTTTTTTCTTTTTTGGTTTCTTGATTTTTTTTTTTCTTTTCCCACTTTCTCTTTCTTTCTTTCTTTTTATATACAAAAATACACATTATATATCATGTCTACTGAAAATGATAACCAAAACGTTGATGCTCTCTTTGAAGAAGATCCTGGTTCTCTTGCTGGTTTGGATGACGACGAAGACCTAGAAGATCTTGACTTGAAAAATTTAGATACAAAGATCTGGCTAGTTAAAGCAAGTATTACACCCACTGGTGAAATAGAATGATTTACTCATATTTTCTTTTTATTTAGGTACCAAAGTTTCTTGCAGCAAAATGGAATTCGATTGATGAAGAAAATGCAAACTTGGGAAGTGTACGGATATACAGTCAGTAAGTTGAAATAATTTCTTTTCTTTTTTTTTTTTTCACTCTCTCAAACAAATAGATAAACTTTTAATTTTTAATTCACTTTAGAACGCCACCAGGACGATCAAGTGCGGTATGAACCAAAAAAGAAAGAAAGGGAAAAAAAAAAGTATCCTTATACTGACTTTACAAATCTCTATTGTTTGTTACATTAGATCTCTTTGATATTACCTGAAGGTACAGAGGACATTCCAAGCGAATACACCATCAAGATATCACCAGATGAAGTACAGAACAGATATGTTTTTACACAAACCGAACATGGAGGTATAATAGAAGAAAAAAAATGGGAATTTTGTATAATGTATTGAAATCAATTTTTATATTCATTATTTATTTTAGGACGATATATGCGTGGCAAGATTCATCATGATTGTACAGCAACACCATCACAATTTGGAGCATATAGGAATATTATGAGAAAACGAGTACATGAAGCAGGCATGCCACAACGAACAGTACAAGTACTTGGACAAGATAATCAACCAGTATTTGCACCTGGAGCAAGTAGTACTATGCAAAGTACTGGATTCTCTGATTTTATTGTAGGTATTTATATTATTCAATATTACTTGTACTAATGAATGATGATTTTAGACTGCCAAACGACCAAAGACAGAAAAGGAAAAAGCAACTCGTATGCCTCACAACGAATTAATGGATGTTTTATTTGCAGCTTTCGAAAGATATCCCTATTGGTCATTCAAGGGCATAGTAGAGCATACACGACAACCAGCACAATATTTGAAAGAAGTCTTGACAGAAATCTGTATTTTGAACAAACGTGGACCTTATGCAGGAAATTATCAATTGAAACCGGAATTCAAACATAGGGAATCTCAAGCTGAAAAAGAAGGAACAGAAAAAGCTAAATTACAACAAGCATTGGTGGAAAGTGATGATGAAGATGATGAAGAAGATGAAGAAGAAATGGAAGAAATCAAATATTAATAGTTTAGATCTTTTATATATATATATATAATTGTCATCTATCAATAAATATTATTTATTTATATGATTTTTTTTTCACTTCTTTATCAACATATTATTTGTGTCTTTGAGGAATAGAAACTAAATTATATGTAAGCCAGGGCATGATTCTATAAAAGATTATTTTTAAGGTTCGAAGCACCGATGAATCTCATCCAATCAATAGAGTGATTTCCCCTTGCTCCTACTGAATTTCAAACAAACATTCAAAAGAGTGATATAATAAATTCCTTTTCCTGTCTTTACTTATTTTCCCTTATTTCCTTTTTTTTTTTTTTTCTTTTACGTTTCTATATATATATATATATTGATATATATTGGTTGTTAATATCATCTACTTGTCATCTCTAAATTCTTTTTTTAAAATCATATTGATGACGCGTATTCAATGAAGATCCTTCAATTATTACTTGGATATTACTCAAATCGTACTCCTTTTTATTTATATCAAATACCTGACTCGACCATCTTGTTATTCAAACTTAAAGATATTACAACCTTATTCAATGTCGCCGATCTTGCTTGTCATCCATCTTTAAATCAAGTTCCTCATGGTGAATGTTATACCAGTAACTCACAGCAACAAGAAGAAGACAATACTAACAATACAACTCAACACTACTATATCAGTGCTCAAGTTCTTGCTCGAACAGCTGTTGCTCTCAATCGTTACCGTCTGGCCGAATTGTGCAAACTGAAACCGAACGATTATGCTGCTGGACTTGCTGATAGTATTTTAAAGAATATCCCATCCTTTGAACGTACTCAAAATGAAACCTTTCAACTAATGGATATGCCAATGTCTCCTGTCATCTCTCCTGTCCCATCTCCCTTACAACAACGCTCAATTCAACACTCTACAACTTCCCTAACTACTACTACCACTATTACTTCATCTTCTTCAACAAATACCAATAGCACAACAAATGGTATCCAACAAAACCTCACCTTATCACCTCAAGTCAATCCCGTAAAATCGGAACCTTTATCACCACCTCCATTACGACTTTCTCAACCAAAAGAAAACAAAGATGACCAACGCCCTGTCAATCCAATGGCTTTGGGAAAAGTATTATGGTCAAAAGGTACTGACAGTCGATCTCCTTCTACTCGACCAAATACTGAGTAAGTTAATACAAAAAAAAAAAAAAAAAAAAAAAAAAAAAGGTATGATCAGTTATTGTTTACTTATTTTATTTTATAATAGTGATGATACATCCGCAAGTAATAAAAGGCAACGAACTGAACGCAAAGTCTTACCAAAACCAACTCATACTGTTAGTTCTCAACACTCATATCCAAACGTCATGAACAATCTTTCCAATGGTCAAGGACAAACATTATTAGCAAAACGACAAGGAAAAAACTCTAGACATTTGACCATTTTTGCCCCATCGTATGCTGATCCATTATCTGTGTCCATTCGTTCTGCCCCATTGAATTCCAACTTTCCCCAAGGTCAAGCAGGACAACCATCTGGAGCTCCAGGTACCTCTCATCCTCAGCAACAGCATCATCTACAGCAACAACAACAAATTCATCATCAACAACAACACCAACAGCTCTCTCATCAACAGCAACATCATCATCAACAACAAGTACAACATCAATCACATGGTGGATCTTCTTCTTCGTTACATCCAAACTATTCATCACAGCAATCTACTCGTCAGCCACCAAAAACTGCTAACATGTTGCATCCTGGTCATACTTTAGCTCCATTATTATCACCTCGTGCTGCACCTGTACTTTCAACTCATCAACATCATCAACATCATCATCATCATCATCAAGAACCTAAAACAACTGGCGGTACATTTGGGAAACAAGAATTTGCCATTCCACCCATTGTTCCTTCTCAACAACAACCACCTCACACGGCCCATCCTCATCACAGTACGGGTAATGGAAATCATGGTTATGCGTCTTCTCCGTCGTTATTTGGTCGACCTACTTCATCATCACATCACGCCTATTCAAAATCATCCCGTTTGGAACCATCAGCACCACACACAACAACCAATGGAACCAACGCTACCACAACATCGGCAGCAGCAGCAGCAGCGGCGGCGGCGGCGGCAGCGACAGCGGCAGCAGTTGGATCTGGTACCAACAATGGAGGTAGTTCATTACCTTTGACAGCAGCAGCAGCACCCATGCCACCACAAACACCTACGACTTACTCATTTGCAGCTTTACAACGACAACAATTCTTACAACCTTTCGAACATTTATTTGATACCATTGAAACAACGAGGACATTGAAAAGCACTTTAGATGATCAAATTCGACGATCATCGACATTACTGCAGACATTACAAGCATCATCAACTACAGTGGAAGGATTGATAAGAAGTCAAATCAGAGAAATGCAAAAAGAAATGACAGGAAGACTGGATGAAATTTTGGAGTCGATGATGAAACGTATTGGTCAATTGGAATCAAAATTGGATGTCACAGCAACTACAGAATCATCTATTACCAATGGAATGACAACAGCACCACTAAGGTCACCTACAACCATTGTCAGATCTCAAAATGATATTGGACCAAGTGAATATCAATCCATGTTAAATACTTTACTTGAACGTATAGATCGATTGGAAAGTCAATTGGACAAATGATCTCTTTTTTTTTTTTCTTATTCCTCTAGTTATATGCCCGTTTTCCTTCCCTTGATTTTTTTTTTACCCTTACTATTTATTGTTTCTCTCTCTTTTTTCTTTTTTTTTCTTAGTTTAGTTTGATTCATTTTTCTTTTTCTCTCTTTTTCTTATATTATATTACCATAATAAAAAACGTTCAATATCGGGGAAATCCCTTTTTTTTTTCCCACTTGTCCCACGCTTTAAGCATTAAAAAAAAAGGTTTCACTATTTCTTTTTTTTTCTCACACAACACAACGTTGCATAAAAAAAAAAATCTATGCAATTATTACAAGGCTTTTTTTTTTTTTGTTTCTTTTTTTCTTTTCTATTTTATTATACAAAAAAATGAATACTAGAAAATACTCTGTTACTATTGAAGATTGGCCTGAAGAAGAACAACCACAAAATAACAATTCTGAAGAAGTCTATGATCCTCATATGTTTCAATTTGGTGAATCTACCGTGTTTGATCATAGTCCTTCTCAAGACCAACAAAATGAAAAGAAGGGTTGGGTAAATCATTGATTTTATTACTATTATTATTATTCATTCGTATTATTTTTTTAGGATGAAATGAATACTATGGAAAATCTAGCAAGACAAGAGAAATTACAAGATGCTCCTTTGGCCATGAAAAATGCAAATAAAGTCGCTCATCTAGTGGAAGAAGATGTATTACAGAAAAATGAACCATCTTGAATCCCCCCTCTTGTGGCAAATATCATTCATCACATCAACCTATTTTCACACACATACATATACTTATATAATATCTTCTTCCAAACGGTTGAATAAATATAATAAAACTTTTGTATTGGGTTTTTATTGTTGTAATGAAAATCGATATACTATCTATCTATGATAATAATATAAATAATAAATGTCCATGGATGGATTTTTACCTGCTTTATCATCATCCAATCCAATTGTTCATCCATCCTAATACATCCTGTCGTCCCATAAGTATCATCCCCATCAAAATAATATTGTTCATCATATCGTTTCCCATCCTGCTGTAAATAAAGCATGGTATCCTATTTCCCGCCAATGGTTAGTACCGTAATAATAATAACTCCTTACCAAAAACTATATCCATTGTTTGATTCATTTGCTACAAACCAACTTTGGAAGTCTATGGTGACGAATGGCTGGTTGGAAAAAAAAAAAAAAAAAAAAAAAAAAAAAAAAAAAACTTGTTCTTTCTTCATATTTATAAGGAGATCCTTCAGTAGTCTATCCAAACACACTAAGTAGTTCATTCTGGTAGTTTGATATGACAAAAAAAAAATTGGTAGATGTTAGTAAAATAATAACATTTCTTTATTTTAGCAGTTAAGTAACTAACTATGTATGACTTGGTTCCCAATTCAGCGTAAAATAAGAAGGAAAAGCAACAAATAGAATGGACGCGCGTTGTCAATGAACCCTGTTTGTGTAATGTCTTGAAGTTCATGAGTAAATATATATATATTATCCTGGAGTTGTATTTTTCAAAGGAGGTGATGGAGAAGAAAGAATAAAGTTTTTTGTTAGTTTTTTTTTTCTAGAACTCTTTGTCCAGCTTTCACATTTGGTCCCATTTCATATTCCGCGCTAATGCAAAAAAAAAAGAGTGTACAATGAGAACATGATTCCCCTTTACCATCCACTTTTTTATTCCATCTCCTTTCATCTGTTGTTTCCAGACCTTTTTTTTCCCTCCTCCTTTTACTGAGTGAACAAGGAGTCCATGCAATTCATTTGAAAAAACGTGCTTTTCTCGTTACAAAAAGGAAAATGGGTTCCACTTCTATAAACGATCTTGTTGTCCGTGATGATTGTTGTTTTGATATCGACACGCACAGGTTCTCCTTTTATTAGGTTATTTTCTTTATAGGATCTCCTCGAAATAGAACATTAAGCAAAAGGATCATGATATTTAAATGATATGGTTGATCATCCATTGCTCATATCAATGCATCTATAATGAATGTATTTATTTATTTATTTATTTTAATCATCATCTTATTACATGATTTAACAACAGTATAAGTAAATAAATAAGATTGTCAAAATTCATGATTTGAAACCTTGCCCTTACAGCTTTTAGTGACACTTCAATGTTTATAAAATTGAAATCTCGACCCATTTCGGTATTTTATAAACCAATCATATACTAGTATCTTGTCCATCCTGGGTTTCGTCTCCCTTTTTTGATCCCTTCGCACCCTCTTTTTCTTTTTCTTTTTTTTATGTCACGTCTCCGAGATAGAACAATTGTTTTTTTTTTTTTTTTTTTTTTTTTTTTTTTTTTTGAGAAAGGATAGTAATCAATCGATAAAGATATCAATCAATCAAAACATTGTCCTCGGTATGAAAATGATATCAATCAAAAATAAGGACTAAATTGAAAGCCAAGAGATGATCATTTTGATTTATTTGATTACCTTTCTTAAATGATTACTGCAATGGGTAATATCCGAGACCATTTCAAAGATCACCCCTATAATTTTTTTTTTACTATGTCGAAGGTGGAGTTTCTATGACAACCTCGAATTCATGCATGATAATCAAGACCCAATCATCACAGGTGCCATGTTTCCCAATCCAGTTAATCTACTATGTTCCTAGATTCTTTCTAATCATTGATTCCCCCCTTTTCTTTTCTCTCCCTTTTTTTTTTTCTTAAAGCAAAGGAGCAATTCCCCAGAATAATCTAAGCCATTCTTATATTAGTGATGATTCAAGGAGAATCCTATTGTCAAAGAACAAGGAGACATGAATTATCATTAACGAGTTGCTCCTCTTCAATCAAAAAAAAAAAAAAAAAATGAATATAAAAAGGATGAATCTTTTTAAAAAAAAAAAATATTCAATACAACAAACATTTCTTTCATTTTCTTAGAATCTTCTTCACTAAACTCTTAATTTAATCATGAAGTTCGCTTTTGTTATTGCTGCTCTTTTCGCTGCCTCTGCTATTGCTGCTCCTTGTGGCAAGCGCTCTGATGATGTCAGTGTACCTGACACTACCTCTACTGATAACTACGCTCCTGCCACCTCTGGTCCTTCTGATGCTAACCTCGAAGATGAAAGAAAGACCTCTGACATTGGAGATGATAATGGCGACAATGGCGACAACGGTGATAATGGTGATAACGGTGATAACGGTGACGATGGTAGCAACTCCCAAACTGCCGTCATTGATGCCAAGCAACCTGGCAAGGGTGGTCTTGTAAACGTCGATGTAAGTTTTCCAGTCGTCCATCATCTATCATTCAACTCATTCTTTTTTTTTTATTTTTATTTTATAGGCAAGCGATCTCCTTGGTGCAGGTGTTCTTAGCCATCAATCAAAGACCATTAACCAAAAGAATGGAGAATAACTTATTATTTTCTTTTCTTGATATTATTCATTCTTGTTGATTTAGTCTATTCATCATTGCTTCTTTCATTTGTTGGTAGTCCCCTTTTTTTCTCTCTCCTCCCTTTTCTCTTTATTTAACTTTTCTATAAAAAGATTCTCTTTTGTTTCAATTTTTCCCTTCAATAAACATCATCATCTAAATCATAAAGCGTAATATCATTCTATCCCATTTATTTGATATAATATACTAGTAGATAAATGTACTAACTACAATTCCATTTCTTCATCCTCCGAATCTTGCTAATCGTTTCCGTCGCATATCATCCATTTGCTGTTGCCTTGAATCTTGTAAGCTTGCTTCGATAGCTTGAGCTAATTGCCGTTGTTCATCATCATTGTCATGGTATCCATTGCTTGTTTCCGATTCACTCACTGTATCTGTCAGTCGATATGCTTTTCCAGAGAATGGTATACATGCCTTATTTTTTTCTTGGACACTGGGTCGTGGTAGATAAGCTGCTTTTTCATCTGCAATACATTTGGGTAATATGCCACGCACCACAAAGATAGAATAACCTAAACATAAAAGATGATGATTAAAAATGATGATAGTAATAAAATAAATAAAAAAAAGATAAACGTAGGTAAGCGTCGTTTACCTTGCTCTTACCTTCATTTTGGATTTGTTGTAATAATAGACCAAGATACGTTTCACTTAAATAAGATGGTGCATTTTGTGTGCTGTTTAAGTTGTACCATCGCCAAGGCACTGCAAATTTTCGTAACGTGAACCTGCATATAATAAAAGGTCGATGTACGAGATAGATTAAGTTCCGATAATCTTCACAGTGTATTTTTTTTCTTACTTACCAATGTTGATGTAAATGACAGATATAAGCTAATTCGTTTCTAGTCAATAATAATAATAAAAAAAAAAGGACATCGAATTGATTACTTCCTATTTATCCATTCATATCTTATTTCAATTACTCTGGTGTGGTTCTTGCTTGTACTGCTTGTTCAGAAGCCCAAGGAATCAATTCCAAATCCCATACTGATAATGCTTGTTGGATCACCTAAAATACAACAACATTATTTTAGGATTTTTCTTTTTTTTTTTTTTTTTTTTTTTTTATCTTGGATCATTTCTTTTCGTTACCTGAATTGAAAAGTAACCAGAATCATCATAGTTTTCCCCTGAGACTGAGTGGCCACGGACCATACTTTCTTTGAGATCTAGTTCCCGTCCAAGTTGAGCCAAATCAACAGCCGTAAAGTAGTTCCCTATAGAAAAAAAAAAAAAAAAAAAAGGTAATCAAATGTGAGGAAATGGGTTATGTTGATAATTCGTATGATCATCGATTCGCTCATACGCACACAGAGAGAGAGTTAATCCTTTTTGGCTTTTCGCGTCCTACCTTGAAGCAAAGCACTATCATTTCACATATAAAAGAAGAAAAAGAAGAGGGAATCAGTATACAATCGTAGGATTGTTCCTGTTTTTCTTCTTCTTTATAAATCAAGTTTTTGAATATTACTTTAAAGCGTGTTGTGCGCACAAATTGCCTTCTTGCTAAGACAAAAATAAAGAGGTGGTTAGTTTGTTTTGTTTTTGTTGTCTGACAGTATCTAGTATTTACATATAATATGGTTACTTACTTTTTCAAACACTATATCAGGAATAAGATCCATGGGCGGTGAGAGAATAAAGAAAAGAAAAGAATCAAAAATGAACAAGTATCCACAACTATATTTTCTCTGCAAAAGTGAAAAAAGTGAAGTTGCGCAGTTTGAAATTGAAAACAAAGGATATCATCCATTAAATATCACCAATGTATTATCCATTAACTCTGATCACTATCAATCATCATCATCATACATTAGTGATATGAAATTCAGTGATGACTGGATTACTGTATTCAGTCTCTAGAAAAAACTCCTGCTAGGTTCTAAACCATATAACGATCATCTAACTGTTGTCATCGATCAAGAACTGCCATGACAATTGTCACCATGGTAATCATCAAACACAAATGATAAAAAGCATCTATACAATCATTGTCACTGGAATCGTCATAGATATTATCCTAATGGAAGAGTTCAATCCTATTCAATTTCTTGCAAGCGATGATATATTGACTTTGATAATCGCCGTCTATAGCGACAACTTAACTTGTTGAATTTTGACAAGGTAAAATCATTTGATCAAGTTCAGGGTCATTCATAAAGTAATGTTTGATTGATTTTTTTTATTTTTATTCAAGTATGTAAAAAGAAGGAACTTATCTAACGGTGTATAAAGAAAATTGAATATGAAGCATATAAACTAACTATGAAAACAGCCTAATAAAATAATAATAATAATAATAATAATAATAAAGAGAAGAAAAAGTATTTATTGATTGGCTTGTCTAAGAATAGCATGATAGTTCTCCGAGTTTCTTTGAAGGATATCCATGACAGGACCAAGTAACCGAGTAAATGCCTTTTTTCCTAAAGTAACGCATTTCAGTTTTCCATCAGCAACGACAGTGGCAGCACGAGGTTTATCATTCAATAAGGCCAATTCTATAACCAAAAAAAAAAAAAAAAAAAAAGTTAAAACTATAATATACCACCATCCTTAAAAAAAAAGAAATCATAAACAATTACTTACCACCAAAGTAATCACCATTTGATAATCGATTGACTTCTTGCTGAGTACCATCAGGAGCAGTTTTGTAAAAGATAGCATTTCCACTCTCAATCAAATAAAAGTTTTCACCAACATCGTTTTCCTTGATAACGACTTGACCATTTTCGAATTGAAGAGGTTCTAACGCATCAGCAATCTTATGACGTTCATAGGGTTCCAAGGACTTGAAGATAGGAACTTCGGACAAAAATTGATCATACATACGACGTTTTCGAGCCGTGTTTTCCATCAAGATCATTCGGAAGGCCACACGATCCAGAGCCCAGAGTACACAGTCAGAAGTGGCCACAATGGTAGCAGCACGTGGAGCATTATACATGAGCGCCAGTTCACCAAAACTACCCCCAGCGGTATATTCCGTCACTTTTTCACCATTGATCAGACAGTCCAATGTACCCGATTCTACAATGTAAAAATAGTCGCCCACTCCACCTTGTTCAATCACCTTGCATCCAGTATTCACCAGTTTTTCCACCATGGCATTCACCACATCTACATACTGTTCTTCATCTAAATTCTTGAATAAGAAATTGTTGCCAATGGCTGTACGGATACGTTCGCGTTGTTCATCTGTCTTTGGTACCACTGTCTTGACAAAATCATGTGTTGTTGTAGGTTGAAGTGACTCAGCGCTCACTGAAGTACGTCGTCCACGACCACTTAGTGTCGACATGGCAATAGTATGAAGATCACTAATACCGTCTCTAGATTCGTCTTCTTCAAACATGGATTCATCTATTAGAAAAAAAAAAAAAAAAAGAAATATATAACTATAATTATATATAATTATTTTTTTTTTTTTTTTTACCTTGATGACCAAATGGACTATTTACAGAAGAGATACCAATACCACGATGTTGAGCACGTTCATTTTCTAGTTTTCTTAGAAAGAAAGAGGAGCAAAACTGTAACAAATCATCAGGTTGTTTTTGTCGTACTTGTTGGTTAAGTTCGTTTAGTAAACCTTCGTATTCGTTCAAATTGAAATGATGACGTTGTTCAGTTGGAACAGCAAAAGGATGTATATCTTGTTCGTGTGACATTATCAAATAGTGAAAAAATAAAACAACCTATATAGAAATAAATATATGAAAAAAAAAGAAATAAAAAAGAAAATTGGGTGGGAAAAAGAGAAAAAAAAAATTGATCAATAATGCGCTGGTGTAGGGAGGTCGACGGATATTCAAAATTATTTTTTTGTCTCACTATTAAACGCGGATCAAAAAAAAAATATGTAAGTATTCATAAAACGGGGGTATACATATTTTTATATATATATAAAAACAAGTCAAACAAGTCAAACATGACCAAAAAAAAATTTATTTACAAAAAAAAAAAAAAAAACCGGGGGCTTGATCATATACGTGAAGAAAATAAGGTGCCCAAAAGAATACTACAAACTATAACAAATCCAACTAAATAACTAATCATTTTAACTAAAATCATATGAATTCCAGTCATTGTACGTGTGGTGTTCAAACTTCGTTGAAAAATCAAAGCCAAAAATTGATGAGAAGCAAAATCACCATCCAATTTGAAAGCAGGTAATATATTCAATAAAGCCAAAGCCAAAGTAAAGGAGGATATATATCTATATAATAAAAATATATTCAAATTAACTCCTATTTATGTTTATATATAATATACCTTAACATAAGTTCTGATCTATGAGGTAATGATGCTGGTAAAAACCAATATTTCGGTTGTAATATACCTACTTTCACTATAATATATAAAAGATCAAAATTAGAATTCCCTTTTCTTCTTTTTTTTTTTTTTTTTAAAAAAAAAAAGATACTTTACCACTTTCCCAAATATCTACCAATTCGCCTTCAAATACAAATACTTTATCTTGATCATCAGATTGATCCGTCCAATCTGGCATACGAGCATATACACGAACAACTTGACCACTTTGAGAAGGTGTATAAGGAGTTACACATCGCATGTTCTGTCCAGAACATTCATCATCATTTTCGCATCTTTCCGGATGTCTTGGTCCTAATACTTGAATAGTAGGTAAACATGAAAGATGTTCAGGTGTCTAATTGAAAAAAGAAATATAAATATATATATAAGTATATAGTTATAAATCCAATTTTTTTTTTTTACTTTGTCTAACATGCTTGAGGTAAAATCTTGAAAACATGAAATAGATGCATTCAAGGCTTTTCCAAATGGATATTCATCATCTATTTCACAACATGCCAAAGTGGATGGAAGTTTTTTACCATCATCATCATCATCATCATCATCATTGATCACAGCACAAAATCCAGGATGAGGTTTTTCACGACCTTGAGGATCCAATAAAAAATGATTCCAGTCCAAAATATTATGTTCCAATTCACGATCATCAAGTTGATATATCACAGAAGAGACAGGTAAATGAGGAGCCATAGGAGATTGAGATCGAACTTGTACAACACTAACACCACCATTACCTTCTAATGTTTGCCAACCACTAGTTTCTAATATTGATTTGAGTCCACCACCAAGTAATATCAAAGTAAATAGGTATAATACAACGTTATGCCAAACACCAGCACAGATGATTTTGAGTTGTCGAAAAGGAGAGAGTAAAAGTAGATATTGATCAGGTATATTAACAAATGCACCAGGGTAAATATAAGAGATAAAAAGTCCAGAGCTTTGAATAGGTACACGTTCCCTATAAGATTTCATTTTACAACAAAAGAATAAGATATATATATATATATATATAACTATATATCAAAACTTACGAGAAAGATGCAATCGCGTGGCCTGCCTCGTGAAATACACCACATATCAAAAGAGCCGTGAGATAGTAACCAATATGTGACATTGGTAAGGTAACACCTGGTATCTAATAATCCAAAAGAAGTAGAGTAAAAAAAAAAAAAAAAATTAGATAATTTCATTTGATTTTTAATGATTTTTTATTATTATTATTATTAATATTGTTATCTTACCATGGGTAAAAAGAGTTGGTCATTTTGTTCTTCTACTTGTTCAGGTTCTATATCTCGTTTCACCCATCGTTGATAATTATTATTATTGTTGTTGTTATTTGTTGTAGATAAGGTGGTAAATAAAGCTTGAGCAATGACATTTAATATTTGGAAAGCAGCTATGATCATGATCAATATACCACTTATCATGGCAATAGCACCTACTATTACACCTAGTGAGAACCACCATTTCCAAAAAGTAGGACATAAACGAGCCCATCGTCCAAAGAGAGAATTCAAACGTTGAGTTGTAAAACGTATTTGAAAAAGTTGAATATGCCATTCGTCCAAATGAATAATATCTTCTTCAGGTTGTCCTTCTTCTAATTCTGAATCTTCTGCATGAGTAGGTAATATATTAGGAGTGGTGGTTGAAACTTTGCGTCGTGGTGACTATTATATAGTTATTTTAGTTTCAAAAATATATATTTATATATATTTACTTACTATTGTTTTGGAATAAAACTTTGCAATAAAAACAAGAATATATATTCCACTCCATAAACATATAAATTGCCATAAAATGGAAAACAAATCCATGACAAATAAAAAAAAAAAGAAAAAAAAGAAAAGGAAAAGACTTTGGAAAAGACGAGAAAGAAAAAAAGGAAAAAAAAAAAAAAAAAAAAAAGAAATCGAGATTCAAACTCATCTTGTTCCTCTCCCCCCTTGGTTTCTTAAAGAATGAGCTTTTACGTATTTCTTAATCACATCAATTCATCTTCTTTCTTATCATCATTATAATAATATATCTCTTTATCAAATAAATATATATAAAAATAAAAAAACTTATAAGTGAATCATTTCTTTCAATGTGTTTTTTTGACCTTACAATAATAATACTAATATATATAATCATTTATGTTGTCTACTATCTGTTGATTCAAATAATATGTTGTGATCCTAATAAAGAGTCTTTTTACAATCTATCTTTTTTTATATGATCATCAAAAAGGATTAAAGTAGTTCCAAATTGAGTTTTAAAACTATGGGACAAAATTCCTTTTTAAAAAAAAAAAAAAAAAAATAATTTCAATCTTTTTCTTTCTCTTTTTTTTTTTTTTTTTTTTTTCTTCTTCGCTTTTTTCGAACATGGCAGATTCATCAAAAGCAACCTCTGAAATAGCAAAGTCAATTCATTCTACAGAAATTACAATAGGTAAACTTATTATGATTTAAACAAAACTAGTTAACTCATTTTTTTAAATAATAGACGATCGTCCTCCACCTTCTTTTGCCGAAAGTGAATTTCAACATATTCGACATCGCCAGATCGATCGCATCAATCCTTCTGTACTAAAATATTCCTCTGCTCCTTCAAAATATCCAAATTTAAGTAATGATTGGGAATTCGCTGGGTAAATAGTAATAATAATAATAATAATAATAATAATAAGACTAATCTCTTGTTCTTTATTTAGATGGGGAAATACTTATTATGTGGAACTAGAAGATAATACTATCGAATACAACAAACAACAAAAAAAACACGCTACATCATTACTTGGAGCATTTCGTGCCACTTCTATTTCTGGGAATGATCTTGTAGCATCAGTACTTTATTCTGTAGGTCCATGTATTATTCAAGCAGGGAAATATGCACCTATTTCAATGCTTCTCGTTAGTGTGATGATGTATCCTATCAAACAACTCATGACTGAAGTTATTACTGCTTTACCATTGAATGGAGGTACTTACAATGCTATGCTACATACAACTGCTAAATGGTTCGCTGCTGTGGCTGCATGCTTCTCTATTCTTGATTACTTGGCTACTTGTGGTGTTTCTGCTTCTACTGCTGCTGCTTATCTTGCTAATCAAGTCACTCTTCCTTCTGGTTTATCTACTTTGATCTTATCTGTGGTTATCCTTATCTTCTTTTCTTTGATCTGTCTATTGGGTATTCGTGAATCATCTTCTGTTTCTCTCGCTATCTTTATTCTTCATTTACTTACCATGACTGTATTGATCATCGCAAGTCTTATTCAATGGGCTCGTACTGGAAATGCTGTCCTTGTCGCCAACTGGCAAACACCTGATCCTATCGGCATGAATCCCGTTCACATGATCTTCAATGGTTTTTGTATTGGACTTCTTGGTGTCACTGGTATAGAGGTAATGATATATAAATAATCAAATGAACGATTGCTCATCTCTATTTATTTTTATTTTATATTTTTAGGCTGCTGAAAATTATATTCAAGATTTGAAACCAAATACTTTCCCCAAGGTGATGAACAATATGTATGGATTCTTATTTGTTTTGAATGCTCCTGTCACGTTTCTGATTACTGTGTTGGTACCTGTTTCGGTTGTACAACAAAATGCTGCAAGTACAATCTCTTTACTGGCTGAATATGCTACCCCTGGACAACAATGGTTACGCATGTGGGTAATGATAGATGCTGTTATTGTTTTATGTGCTGGAGTTTTAACTGGTATGATTGGCGCTATTGGACTTGTATCAAGATTGGCAAGGTAAAAAAAAAAAAAAAAAAAAAAAAAAAAAAAAAGATGGAAAGTGAACTCCTTTTTTTTTTATTATTATTATTATTATTACTATTTTTATTAATCTATTTTACATGTATATAGTGATCGTATTTTGTCATCCTTCTTTTTGATTCGAAATCGATGGACTGGATCATATCAATATAGTATTATTATCTTCCTTGTATTGAACGTAATCTTATGTCTTATTGTGAATGGTGATGCTACCTCTTTATCTGGTGTATTTGCTGTTGCATTTCTAGGTGTTCTTACCATGTATGCTCTTGCCAATGTGATGATGAAGTACAAACGTGGTCGTCTTCCTCGTATCGTAGATGTCAATCTCTCCACTGCTATATTCAGTCTTCTCATGTTGATTACGGCTCTTATTTCCAACATTGTGATTAATCCTTTGATTGCAGCATACTTTGTGATCTATTTTGCAGTTGTGGTTGTGATCATGATGGTGATGTTCAAGAGTGGGCTCTTATTGAAGATTAGTTATTGGTTATTTGATCGTATTGGAACCATTGGATATCTATCTGGTGTATCTCAAAGGTCTGGTCTATGGCTTGTCAAGAAAATCAAAGCACTTCGAAAACAACCCACTTTATTTTTCGTCAAGACGGATGAACCTCATATACTTAACAAGGCTATTATGTATGTCCAAGCAAATGAAGAATCAAGTCATATCAAGTTGGTACATATTTATGATCGATTACAAGATATTCCTGAACAATTAGAAGCAAATCATCGAATATTGGATGAAGTGTACCCCAAGATTCAATTGGATCTCGTATTTATTCAGGGCAAATTTGATCCTCCTACCGTTGATGCCATATCTCAACAAATGAATATCCCCAAAACTTTTATGTTCATCAGTTGTCCTGGTCCTAGCTTCAAATACAGTTTAGCCGATTTAGATGGTGTTCGTATTATTATGCTTTGATACCCCCCCCCATGTTGTTACATATATTATTCCCCCCCCCTTTTCTTTTACATCATTTAGTTTTGCTTGTTTTTTTTTTTTCTTTATCTTGTATAGAATATATCTCATATCAATATAAACTTCATCGATGAATGATTTCCTCAATAAATCAATATTTATATATGTGTTATATGTTTATATGTGTGTGGTTTGATTTAATAGCTAATAGAAAAACGACGATCATTACCTTTTACTATAATCACTAGCGACTCAATGACTGAAACGCAACCAAGAATAATCATCCAGCAAACAATTACATAAATCCATATGGAGTTTTCAGAGAAAAACTAATGAAGGTCAAAGGAACGGATCATCATCAATATTCCCCAAAGGACTTTAACAGCCCAATATATATATATATCATTCAAACAATAGAAATTTTATTCCAATTCAGGTAAGAGATAACAGCATAGTAATAAACAGAAAAGAATGAATCTATCTATCTAATCTATTTTAGTTGATCTTGAGAAGTTCAACATCTATTAATAAGATCATCAAGAGAGAAAAGTAATAAAAAAAAAAATTTAGTCAATATACTATGGCCCTACCAAAACACTTTTCTTTTTTTCTTTTCTATTTTCAAATCAATACTTACCGAAAATAAGAGTAGCAGCAGGAGGGATGACACCAGGAATACCTCTAGGACCATACTAGAAAATAGAGAATATATATTACAGGTTAATGTATACTGATCAATCATGGAAAGACAGAGAATACGAGACTTACAGCATAGTCAGGAGTACAAGTCAACTTGGCCTTTTCACCAACAGAGAGCTTTTGAACACCTTCATCCCAACCCTTGATGACTTGACCAACACCAATCTTGCATTGGAAAGGTTGTCCACGATCACGGGAAGAATCAAACTTGGTACCATTTTCAAGAGTACCTTTGCAGAGGGAAAAAAAAAAAAAGAAATTCAGCATTGTTATTCAAAAAAATACACCTTCTTTTCTAAAAACATACCAGTATAGTGGATAGTGACACTGTCACCAGCCTTGGGGAAGTTTACACCATCACCAGCTTGATAAGATTCAACACTATAGTTTGTAGTAATAATAAAGATGAGGAAAAGTTTATAGAATATAAAGTTAACTTACGTAACACCCATGATAGACAGAAAAAAATAAGTTTTGTTAGAAAAGAAAAAGAAAAAGAAAGAAAATTTTACAAACGCGTATTTTTGTTGAGAAGGGGGGTCTTTTTTTTTCAGATCCGCTTTCTGATCCCGGCGACCTATGAAGTCATTTATGAAGGGGGTTGGGCGCAAGCCTCCTCATTACTATTGGCTTGGATTCCTTGATACAGTTTTCATGCGAATTGAAACAATCTCATGATGTCATTTTATGTGTATATAAATGCAAATAAAAAAAAAAAAAAACTTACTTTACGTTTACAAAACAAATAAACAAAAGAGTGAAAAATAATGACTTCTCATTCTATTCGCATCATTACTGATAAATCACCCACTGCTCATCGTCATGCAGATTTATTGGCTCAAGGGATTAAAAGTAGTAGTACAAGTGTCACCGTTACCATAGCGGATTTAGCTCGCTCTCCCGATGGTAATGTCAACCTAATTAGATCAAATCATTCCATTGTTCATTCATCACTCATACAGAGAAATTGATACATCATCTATTTTTTCTTTTCTAGATGCTGCCAATGATCAAACTTCACTTGAAGATATCCGATTAAATCGATCTGATGTTTTATTGTTCTCATCCATGTAAAAAAAAAAAAAAAAAAAAAAAATGGATATACATTCTCATTCATATATATTAGGGGTGCCTTGTCACTTTTTGAAAAACATTTCCATGATGAAGAAGGTCATCATCCATTACATCAAAAGATCATTGGTATAGTGTTATTCTCTCATTCCACCTTTGATGGTCCACACAATCAAACGATTCCTTCCCATAAAACCGATAAACAGTAAATTTGATAAAGCTGCTTACTAAAATAGGATATCCTCACCATTTTCTCTTTTTTTTTTTAAAAAAAAAAAAAATAGTTTAATTGATGCTTTAAATGAATATGGATTGGAACAAGATGCTATTTTACTCAAAGTTACCAATGATCAAGATGAAGATGAATTAGTGGATTTAGGTAGAAAGTTTGTTGAACAATTATAATGGTAATAAATTTTTTTTTTTTTTTGATTTTTCTTTTGTTCACACGGCCTGTGTTATGTTTGAATGTCAGCAATCTCTTCCGTTTTTTGTTCCTTTCTCCCCACACTTTTTTTTTTTTACTTTTCTTCTTGTTTCTTTTTTTCTTTCTTTGACTTCCTTCATATATATATACATTTTTATTTTACTTTTTTTTCTTTTTTTTTTTTTTTTTTTTACTCACTATCTATCATAGACATAATGACTTCTACTACCACTCCTTCAGAACGAAAATCAACAACATCACCACCATTGCCGTCTTCACCTTCAGATACATCCAATAAAACTCATTTACAACAAAAACGATCATTACAGGAAGAACCACCAGTGAAGGAACGAAAAAGCAGAAAGGCACCTCATGAATTATTGACTGATGCTGAAAAGAAAGCTAATCATATTGCGTCTGAACAAAAACGTCGACAGAATATTCGACTAGGATTTGATCAACTGATTGAAATTGTACCTGCTCTCAATACTGGAAATAGGAGTGAAGCTCTTATATTACAAAAATGTAGGTAGTATATATTTCATCATATATAAATTGTTGATAACATGTATTTTTTTTTTTTTAGCGGTAGATCATATCAAACAATTGATATCTGTGAAAAATGATCTCAAGGAACAAATACGTGATCTTCAGGCCCTTTTAGGTGAATCGTAAGTGGGAACTATTATCAAAAAAAAATTGCATGTGATTATGCAAAAACAAATACAATGGATGATCATTCATTATTATTATTTTTTTTTTTTGGTAGACCTTACGATGAAGATGTAAGTAGCTTTCTCGTTTTATTGTTCTGATACTTATGGATGATTTCTTTTTTTTTTTTTTTTTTTTTTTGTTCTAGTCCTCTGAAGATGATTTGGCATATTCTGCGTACTGATGGGTTTTTTTTCTTCTTTCTTTCACACACACACACACACATATTTTGTTATCTTTTTTATATTATATAGATACACCATATTCTTCCCTCCCTCTCTTTTTTTTTATATTTTTTTACTGGTATCCTTCGAACTCTCCATGCCAATTATCATCATACTTGATTGATACTTTTGTTTTTAGTTATGTCCATTCGTTGTTATTCCTTTTTGTTTATTCATTTCAAATAAAAATCACATATTTTTTTTTAGGAAGTTTGGATACTTTATTTCTCAATGTCATATAAAACATGAATAAAATAATAGTATAGGAGAAAATGCTGAACAAAGGAAGGGGAACAATTTGTACTATACTAAGGGGAAAAAAAAATCTACAAAATTGAAAGAACAATAAAGGGACGTGGGGGGTATGGAATGAAAAAAAAAAATGAAAGGAGAAGAAACTAACTAAAATCATAATGAGGAGGATGATAAAGTATACATGCTTCTAAATCGTTTGTTGCGATAATTAATATAACCAGAGAAGGTACTTTTGGGAGTTGGGACAAAAAAGGAAGCTTGAGAAGCGACTTCTGCATCAATCAAGGGTAAAAAGATATCGCCTTTGGTGGTGGGAGGTGTTTTTGTCGAGTGATTATTATGATGTTGATGTTGATGATCCAATAACGTTGGTCGAAGAGCCAAAGTCGCATCCACAATATCCTTGAAATCATCCAATGTAAATAGACAAACAAATTCTTCAAATAAATGTGGTAAAGATTGATGAGGAGAAGGAGCATCTGTTGTCATGTAAATCAAACGTAACCGAGAATGCAAGTTAGCTTGATGTTGTAATTGTAAGCAAGCAGTCAATCGTTGTTCAGGTTGGGATGCAAGAGATTGTATCATGTCCAGGGTGGTTTGGTTGATTTCATGAAGATTATCTTGTTGAATCAATTGTTGTCGTACCCGTTCCATAGTTTCATCCATCATTTTCCTGAATATACCATCACCCATTCGAATATGTACACTCATATAGGCTCCTTGTCCACCAAGACGTCCAATGATGTCCAAACTGCTGTTCAAGACCCAAGGTTGTCGCACTCCAATTTCTTGTCGTAAAAAATCTCGAGTACGAGTCCACTGTGCCGACCGTAGAGCCAATCGATCAGATCCAAACAATGAATTGAAAATTAAAAACGTTTCCTGATGTTGTTCCAGTTGTTGCAATGTATACTGTTCCATAAATTTGCTACTGCCGTTCATTGAAACATCATCATCATCCACTATTTGATACGAGTAACGTGAATGATCCCATACTTGATACACCAAGGTTCTATTGCGTTCATCGTTAGGTACACCCCAATAGCGTTCAAAATAATTCAATTTCATATCTCGTCGTTGAATCGTCTTGACTCCTAACTGTTGTTGTGCTGCCGTTAAATCAAAGATACTATCCACTGCCATAGGTAAATAATTGCGATAATCAAAACAATTAGGACTCCACCAGGGTGTGCCATCCTCGTTCTTATGTTTTGTTGTCCATAGTTTATCTCCACATTCGTCCAGGCGATAAGGTAAATGTTCAGACGGTCGCCAATAAGTTGCTGTGCCCAGATTCAGTTCTGGCATAATCAAGGTTCGATTCAAAGCTTTGGCCAAGATGATACTATTGATAAGAGCTATCCGTTGATTGTGTAAACCTGAATGAGGCAGATAGGTCAAAAACTTTTCTTCATCTCGTCGTATATCATAATGTTTTGTAGGTCGTACGTCTTCAAGTCGTCGTTCCAAAAATATATGTATCAAAAATAACGCCAATAATATCAATGTACCATAGACAGTTATATTTTTAGTTAGTCTTATCATTTGAAATAAGTAAGACTATATATATAATAAAGAAGAGGGGGAGAAGGAAAAAATAAGAAAAAAAAAAAAAAAAAAAAAAAAGACTATCATGGTCCTATCATCTTTAATGGCTATTTGAGCGCCATTTAAACTATTTTGGACGATCATCCCCCTATTTCAAAAAAGGGAAAGCATGGAGTCCTTAAAAAAGAAACTAGATTGTCCTACTTATTTGTTATATATTATCATCATTAAACCTAGACTAGACTATAAGAATCCCAAAATGTATAAAATAATCAATTTTTCTTTATTTTGTCATCATCAATAACTAAAATACTAAACTAAATATCAAAAAAAAAAAAAAAAACTATTGTTCTATATCAATTTCCATTCGATTGTCCAATTTGATATCTTCCACTTTCATTGGTTGAGGTGACACTGTTGAAGGTAATGGAGATGATAATACTTCCACTGGGGCTGAGGTAATGGTAGGACTAGTTTGGCTTGGTGATACTATAGAATCCGATGTTGACGATGATGATGATGATGATGTGTTGGTTGTTGAACAAGCAGCCGGTATGGAAGGTGGTATGGGTGTTGATGATAACATTGATTGAGATGATTCTCCTTTTTCTTGTTGTTTAGCAGATACCATAGCTGAAATCACTGCTGCCGTTAATCCATTAGAGCCAGAAGTCTCTGATGATGGTTCTACTTCTGTTGTTGATGATGATGGTAATGTTGACGTTATTGGTGTTGATTCCATTTTTGATGATACTGAAGTCGATGATGTCAAATGTCCCATTCCTAATTTGGCGTTCAATTCCTCCACTTCTTTCATTAATCGATAACTTTCGGATCCTTGCATTGTTGAGAGTGCTAATTTATTGTTCGCCGCATCTAATTGTTTCTTGAGTAAAGCATTTTCTTCTTCCAAACGAGCAATTTTATCTTCCATATCTTGAATATATTGTTTCTTCTTCTTTCGACATTCCTTGGCTGCCACTCTATTGCGTAAAAGTCGTCGTTGTCGTCGTTCATCATTAGACATATTCCTTGCAGCAGCTGCAGCGGCAGCGGCAGCAGCAGCAGCATTAACGGCGGCTTGAGATGCGGTATCTGTTGTAGCAGAAGATGGAGTGGATGATGATGGTGATGATGAAGTTGCCGTAGTTGAACTGGTTGCCGTATTTGTTGTACTAGTCTCATCATTAGCACTGTTGGCATTATTGGTGTTTGGACTGAGAGTCGATATCGATTGTTTTCTGTCGCCATCGGTGGTATGTTGCTGAACACTTTCGAGAGGAGGATGTTGAAGTGAGGGAGCATTTTGATGATGATGATGATTTGGTAATCCAAGTTCACTAGGTGGACCAGGTAAAGCAGTGATGACATTCCCAGCTTGTAATTGTTGAAGCAAGTTGAAACCTGGTACTGAAATAGGAGATACCATAGCTTGAGCTAAAGAAGAAGCCGTAAGATGAGCAAGATCCTGTCCACTAGCCTGAGCATATGTCTGTAAAAATTGTTGTTGTTGTTGATCAGTCAAAAGAGAAGAAAGGACAGCTGCTGTAGCTGCACCATGAGGATGACCACGCAACACATTTTCATCCGGAATATTTGAAGATGTATTTGTAGTTGATGTGCTGCTGTCATTGTTGCCATTGTTGTTGGTAGAGATATTGGAATTGGTAACAGGAATAGTAGTTGTAGTTGTATCGTTGTCTTGGTCGTTCTTTTCATCAGAATTCAAAAGAGTAGTTGTTGTAATATTGTTGGTATCAAGAGAGGGTTCAGTTTTTATTAAAGGTACAGAATCATAACCACCTTGTTCTACACTAGTACGTCGAACTTTCACATCCTTGTCGTTTCCCACTTCATCCGTAGCTATCCGTTTGTTGTTGCTTGTTGTACTGCTATTATTGTCATCGTTATTGTTATTGTCGTTATTATTTGTTGAGCTGCTGTCGTTATCATTGTTGCCATTGTTGCTATCAATTGTGTTGACAGGGAGTTTTGTATTATCAGATGTATTATCAGGATGAGAAGAAGGAGGAGGAGGTGATGAAGAAGAAGAAGAAGAAAGAATTATTTCTGATGAATCCGTCATTTTCTTTTAAAGACCCCAAAAAACAGAGAGAGATGAAAATATTAAAAAAAAAAAAAAGGAGTGACGTAGCAGGGGAAGTTGTATAGAAAGGAACAAAAAGAAAAGAGAAAAGAAGAAAAAAAAAAAAGGAAAAAACATTTTTGAGAGAAGACTCCGAGTATACCAAAAAAAAAAAAAAAATCATTCCCACCAAGGTCAAAAAAAAATTTTAAGCGACCTTATAGAACATCCATAGTTTTATATACAAAGTATAATTTATGCTGTTCCTGATTCATGAATTTTTTTTTTTGGAACTTGAAAGGAAAAGTGGGATGCGCTGAGCGGAAGCACAACTTTTCAAAGTGATGACGAAGGACGATATCATCAAACAACTAGCAAAAGAAGTGGATGACGACAAACAATGTTCCTTGCTTTGGACTGTGTAAACCAACTGTGTGAGTACCAGATGGGACGTCTCTATTTTTATCCTCCGATAAATCATTTCATTTGATAGATTTCATTGGCTTTCTTTTCGGAAAATCATTTCTGCGTTATCATAGTCTGTTTGCTAATGGCACCAAATGGCAATGTTCGCTGGTTCTTTTTCTTTATTATTATTATTATTATTATTGTGGAGATAGTAGCAATGATGATGATGGTTGATGATGATGATTGATGATGATGATGATGATGATTGATGATGATGATGATGATGATTGATGATGATGATGATGATTGATGATGATGATGATTGATTGATATATGATGATTGATTGATATATGATGATTGATTGATATATGATGATGATTGATGATGATGAATATTGCATCATTTTCCATGATGATAACTATAACAAGGACTTATTTGAAGGTGGTGATGAAGGCTCTATTATTGGGTTATATATACAGTAATAGTGATTAACGTGTAAACAATGAAAAAGAATTGTCGATCTCGTATGATAGAAAAAGGTTTTTCTGCATAGAGTAGGCAGATGATCTGCGAGTGCAAAAGCTGAAATCGCATTCCACAATGGATCATCCATTTGTTTTGATATCTTGTCATCACTCAACCTTCAAAATAAATGGACGTGAACTCTGTCATTGTGATATAATGAAATAGATCTCCCTCTTTTTTTTTTTTTTTTTTTTTCCTTGCTTCCATAGACATATTGATAATCGCAATTTAAAAATCAAAAACCTTTTCCTTTTCCAGATGCATTTATGCATTCCGTTGGTGTAGGAACACTCCTATAAAAAAAAAAAAGAAAGATCAAAGGTAAATCTATCTTGAAAAGCAACCCTTTGTTGTATAATGAATTCCTTGTAAACGGATAAAAATGAAAAAGTAAAGAAATATACCATAAAAGTTCAAATGTAAGATTATCTACAGCATTTACCTTGAAAATGTGAATGCATGTCATGATGATATAATACGTTTTACGTGTTAAGTGTGATAATATTGAAAGCGATAACTACCTTTTGTTTTTTTTGTTTTTTTTTTTTTTATTCCAGGGGGGAAACTTTATTCATCCCTTTCTCTTCTCTTTTTCTTTCTTTTTTTTTTTTTTTTTTTTTGGTACTTTTGATTTTTTTTTTCCTCTTTTTCTTTTCTCTTGTTTATCCTGTTGATATCATCTATTATTATAATCTATTCGACAGATATTTCTAAATTCCATCATTGTACATGTCATTTAGTCATAATAAACATAAACATCATATCACCACTATGTCATCATATGATCATCACTTCAATAGTAAAGGAGATGTACCTATCAGCGCGGGTTATATCCCATTTAAACACGAAAAGCCAACACCATCATCATCACTAATATTTAGTACCATTATTTTACCTACAACTACACCTATCATACATCCATCTATTCATTTCTCATCATCTATATCTTCACCATCACCATCATCATCAATATTATTACCCGTATCATCACCATCATCTACAGTTGATATACCTACATCTTTCCCTGAATCATCATCATCATCACCTGCAACAACCAAAGTTGTAGGAGGTATTATTGGCGGTGTGTTATTGATCATTTTCTCCTTTTTATTTTATGCACTTTATAAACGACAAAAAAAGAAGAGAAGACGAGCACTTGATCCTAGTCGATATGGTAAAGATGGTGGTTGGAACGTTACATGTAGTTGGTCAACATTGAGTTCCTCCACAGGAAGCACAGTGATTGAAACTCCACCACCCACATACTATTATTCCACTTCTTCGATAAGTAAACATAAACGATGGACACAAGATTCATCTATTAGCAAACAAGCCTCTATTGTCAAACAATATAGCCCACAATTAGCCTATAGTCCTAGTGATCATTCTATACTACACATGGAAGGAGGAGGAGTATCACCTAGTCATACGTTAGTGGATGGATGGCAACAAAAGGACGATATGACGGATGACCAACAACAACAACGACGATCCATTCAACCTTATCAAGCTCAACTGGATTTCTCTTCCCCTTTTTCTGATGCATTGGTAACCCCTGGTCCCTATGAAAGTGGCATGTTACTCCATACAGAAGAATTCAATCATCATCATCATCATCCTTCCTCTAACTCTTGAAAGTACCACATCTTTTTTTTCATCTTCCCTTCACCCTTGCCTCCTCATCGTATTCACTTCCTCCCTTTTTTTTTTTTCTCTCGCCGCCATCACCATCATAGCAACTCCTCTTTTTTTTTTTTTTTTTTTTTTGGCTCATCATATACTTCTTGTTATTTCCCAATCTTACTCCTTTTGGAACCTTCCTAAATGACGAATCAACACAAATAACAAATTCCAATGATCATATAAATATATATATATTTACAACAGTTGTTTTTTTTTTTTTTTTACAAAAGAGAAAAATCAAAGATTATAACAAACTAATCATAATAAAAAAAAAAAAAAAACTATTCTATTTCTATGGTATCTAATTTATTCTATGAGCCTATAATATCCAATCCTTTACTTGTTGTATTGTTAATGGTAAATTTTCCCTATCCAATGGTTGATAATATAATCGTCTAATTCTTGCAGCAGCAGTCTTGATATCGTTTTCCTTCACATCAAATAAAAGCCACCATTCATGACCTGGATCAATAGGTAACTTGATATGTTCATCTCGGCATGATAACCATATAGAGGTTACAGCAATGACTTGAGGAGTATACGCCACATGAAGTATTGTTCGCAAACTATATATAAAAAAAAGGAGGGAAAGAAATCATGTGGTTAAGCTTGGTTTTTTTTTTCTATGCCGTTTTACCTATCATTCAAGTAATTCCAAGCTCGAGTTGGTACGGATTCGTGATCTTCTAAACCCAAAATACGTAGATAATTGATCATCAAACTATAAGGGAGTTGTACTTGTACATTGAATCCAAGTTGTTTAAGTATATACATTTCAGCAGTGATTGTCTTTGCTTTCAAGTCGTATGCTCTCTACAATTTTTTTTTTAAAGAAAAAGAAAAAAAAAAGAATTAGGGAGAAAGAGTGAGTTGATAATAAAATTATCTAGTAGTTTCTTACTTACTTGAGAAAAAGCATCTAAAGGAGATGAAGTCGATCGTTTTTGGGCTAGTCGAATAAGATGATCGTATACTGTGATTAAGTGAGTCATACGGATAGTTGATTCTTCTACTTTTGAAGCCAAAAATAAAGCGCCCATTCCTATTTCCTAACAAATCAATGAGTGAGCAATGGATATTATTATTATTGTATTTTTTTTTTTTTAATAGTCTTACTATAATATCAAAGTTTTTCAAACTTGCCATAAAAAAGAATCTTTGGAATAAGACTTGAGCAGTAGCCATAGCTACTTGTGGTCTTTTTTTTTTAAAAAAAAAAAAAAAAAAAAAAAAAAGTGAATAATATGCTTATTATTATTATTTTTGAGTTTTACAATTTTAAAAGGATACCAGCACTTTGAATTAATTCAGCACCAAAGTTTCTTAAATCGTCTTCCAGTTGTTCGGGGATATTGTCATGTTGAGATGGAGTACAAGTGAGTTGATCAAGTGAAGCCAAAGGATTTTCTAAAACGCGTGACATTTTTATTTTATTTTGTCCGGAAAGAGGGAGGAAAAGAGGAAAAAAAAAGAAATGTAATGAATTGGGAAAAAAAAAAGGTCATTTCGATTTCCGACTGGTAACAACCTCGCCCTGCCGTAAGGATTCTCTTGATTTTTGCATGATTCCACCATATGGATTATTGTTTTTTATCGAAAGATGAAATAGAATTACTATTTAAAAAAGAAATGAATAAAGTATTACCGGAATCATAAAAAGAATGTTTTATTGTTAAAAAAAAAAGAATAACAAAAACAAAACATGAGCGGGCAAAACATCACACCACTTTTTTTTTTCTCGTTTGTTCCTAGTCAGAAGAATATGACCCAGCTTAAAGCGGCAGAAAAAAAAAAAAATCGAAAGGTTCTTGAATCCAATCAAAACCAAGAAAAATCCTGCAAAATCGATTTCTTTTTTTTTTCCTAGAAAGAAATAAAAAGTTTCTCTTTTTTTTTATTTATTTATTTATCCTTTTTTTTTTCTTTTTTTCTTTTCTTTACCTTTTTATTTTATTTTCTAATTATCAATATGAATGTCAACTCTTACTTTGATGATCGTCATTATCAACAACTTTTACATGACGAAAACGACTATATGATGCCTTGGTTTCAAAATACTTCTATTCCTCATACACCAGCCTTGTCCCATTCGTCACATTCACCTCATGATTGTTATGCTTCCAATGACCTTTTATTCAATTCCATATCTCCTCAAGCCTCTTTCTCTGATATGTATGAAGTCGGTTCTATTCTCATTCCCTCTGACGACATTTCTCCTGTCATCACCACAAGCACTGCAAGTACCTCTAGTACGTCGTCCTCAAGCAATGCAAGTACTTCTCCTACTAGTATTTTACTTTCACCACCTACTCCACCTACCAGCAATAGTGATGATAACAGCAATGTATCACCATTACCTTTTAAAAAAGTTGCACACAATGCCATTGAACGTAGATATCGCAACAACATTAATGATCGTATTCGTGAATTACAACAAGTAGTTCCAGCATTATGTAGAGAAGAAGATCATGATCAACGCCGAGGTAGTCATCGACATGATGATGATGATACTGAAGAATTGGAAGAAGAAGAAGAGGATGGTGTTCCTGTAGCGAAGAAACTCAACAAGGCGACCATTTTACAAAAGGCAACCGAATATATTCAATATCTGAAATACTCACAACGTTTATTGATCCAAGAAAACGATATGCTTCAACACATGATGCAAACTCTACCGGGTGGTGAACCTCTTTTGAAACAATTCCTAATAGACAAAGAACGATTTGATCAAGCAGAAAAAGAACGACGCGCCAAGGAACGCAAGCTGGCTTTACAACAACAACGCATTAATCATCAACGTATGCTCAAGGAACGAGCTGCTCAACGTGCCGCCCTTATGTCTCCTGAAGAAAGACAAAGACGAAGACGTCGCTCATCACAACAACAAAAGAAGAAACAACAATCCATATCTCCTCCCATGTCTTCTTCTTCCTCTCCTCCTCGACTTTTATCTGTATTTTTAGGAATCACTTTATTTGCCGTACCTTCAACAAATCCTTCTAATTTGGTTTGGAAACAACATCGTTCATCCAAATTTATGTCTCAATCCATGATGACTACGCGTTCTTGGTCTGATTATTGGTAAAAAAAAAAAAAAAAAAAAAAAAAAATCAGGCAATTCAAAGCACTGACCTTGAACCTTATTGACTTTCTAGGCCTATGGTCCGATTCTTATTGTATTGTTTCTTTATTACCTATTTATTCATTTTACCCTTCTTATCCAAAGTCCATATCCGACGTACACACATCAAGAAACGTATCTATTAGTTCTCTTTTTTTCTATCTATATCCTTCCTATTAGTTAATTATTCGCCTATTCTTTCTATTTTACTTCTTCTACATGAATTTATATATAGTATACATTTTATCTCTTCCCCTCCACATACTATTTTTTTTACCTCAAAGTGACTGTATCATCCTTCCCTTCATATATTGCATTATAAATAAAGACAAAAGAATAGAATACAATTTTTTTTTATTTAGGTATATCATTTTTTTATTATTACATTATTTTAAATAAACTATATGTACAGCTAAGTAACCTACATTTGAACTATTAATAAAATTAATATTTCGATCGTTTTCTTGTCATGCCAAGTCCATATCCCCGTTTTCTTCCGCTGGATGATGTTGAATGGAGGTCAAATGGTTTTTCACTACGGCTTGAGTCAGTTGGATGGTTATTCATTCGGGAAACACTGTTATAAAGGCGATGTTGTTGTTGTTGTGATGACTCATCTGTGCCACTATTGTTTGTATCATCGTCACTACTGAAAATCGTCATCGGATTAGAATGCTGTTGAGATGGTTGGTCCTTTTTGCGTGATTGCTCGCTATTTGTTTGATCCAAAAATCGGGTGAAGGCTGCATAGTCCATAGGCTGTGCACGTTTGTTGCTTGGCTCAATCAATTGTTCATCATCATTGTCCGAAAGATTCATGCCTTCATCATCACCATCCGTTCCAGTTTGATCATCATTGTTGTTGTCGTTTGGTATATCATCATCTTCAGTATCGCTGGGAGGCACTTGACTTGGTGTTCGATATGTAGGTGGATTTGTTGTTATTGTTGTTGCTGATTTGGGTTTGGATTTCTTTTTATTCTTGATGATCTTGCTTGACTGTGGTTCACCAACGGATGATTCAGCTTCTGAGTCACTAGAGATTTCCTTGGGAACCTGCCAAAAAGAAAAAGAGAGATATCAAAGTCAGATGTCGGTACAACATGCAGCCTCATTTCTTCCTTGTAAACAAATGATGTTCACTTACCTGAGAAGAAACTTGAGCACCAGTAATATCACGATGTTTCAAAGCACCTATTTTTTTTTTGTTTATTTTATTTTGAAAGGGTTAGCGTTAGAAGACATCATTCATCCTTTCTTTACCTAAGAAGAATACATCAGAAGGAGCATTGTTTTCTGTTAACAACATTTTCACCTGGAAAATAACAAATTCAAGGGCCTTCTTCAATGGTGGTACATAAGTTGCTAATTTGGTATCCTTGATCACCTTGACATGTGAGCATATAATCTATCGAAAAAACAAAAAAAAAAAAAAAAAAAAAAAGACAAACCAAAAAAAATGAGCTGATGTTTTTTTTGTTCACATTTTCTAATACATTAAAGAATTCTCATTTTATCCCACGCTAGTCATCCGTTTTAAATATTACCTGTAATAATCGAGTGGCAATTTGAAATTGTTTGAATATTCCCACAATTTCATCCTTGTGATCCTTGAATACCCGAGTGAAGAATGGCATAGAGTGCTTGGTAAATTGTTCAATAAACGCTCGACTTGTTTTCAATAGAACACCAAATAATTCCCGTTGTTCCTTCAGTTTCACATAATTGGTAATCCGTTCAAATAGATTCACTACTTGAGATGTCTGGACAAGTACAATGTTCACATCTTGATCGGTCTTTTCCAATAGGTCGAATGATTTGATCGTTTGATGAATGATAGCCTATAAATGACATATAATAAAAGTTAAATATTTCCTTGATCTCGCTACAGCTTTTGTTTTTCTATTTTTGTGGCTGTACCTGGTAAAATGACACTTCAGTTTCCGATTTTAACAAAGGGTAGGATTCAAGTTGTTCTTCCCTTTCAAATGTAGGTAACACCTCGTTCACATAATGAATCAAAAGCCTAAGAGGGTCTTCATGGAGTTCAATCGCCTTTTCAACCAAAAACGGAATATCTTTCTATATATATATATGAATGTGACAAAGGATCAGAAACAATATTCATCATGTATAATACTATTTATTACCTTTGCTTCGCGCCAATCGAACCAATCCTGAGATAAAATGTTGGAAGCCACACGATAAGCATCGTTTTGTAATATATCGCTATCGCAAGATAATATCATAATATGTTCCAATAACTTGAACATGGTCACAGCTGTTTGGAATTGAGGAATATTGCCCTGGAATCCAGTCAGGTATCGGAATGCTCCTTTAAATCGGTCACTAATACTACGTCGTTGTGACACATCGGAAGTGATTTGTTCCGCTAATGTGTTGATCAAACCCTGAATTAAAAAAAAAAAGTAAAAGATCAATATAACGTCCATGATGTACATTGCCTTTTTCACCATGCTTACCAATAAAAGATCTTGATTCTCCGAGTTTTCAATATCAGGCCATGTAAACAATTTGTAAAGAATATCAACTATCAATGAGATACATAATGCCTTGTCTTTGGCTCCCTGTCATAATAATATTCATAAGTGTTACATCGCGATCAATTGTTTCTTTTCACTTACTTCCGCAATCCGACCATGCTGGGTATCATCACTTTGCATATCTTCGTTCACCGCCTCTAACATTTGTAATATTTTGGGTAGATATCTTATCATCTAGAAAGTGAGATAGATATAAGGTTAGCTACTATACATATTTTTTTTCCCTTTCACTAAAATAACTTACTTCTTGTACCAATTGTCGGTTTGTGAGTTGAAACAAAGGATTTTGACTGGTATAGTCATTCATATCATCCTTTGTTTGAGACTTTTTCTTGCCAACACCAATAACTGGAGGAATAAGTTTGGTATCGAGTTTTCCATTGATATCTTGTAGAATATAATTGCAAAAGCCATACTATCGGTCAATCAAACAAAACAAAAAAAGAAAAAAGAATGAATCTCAATAACAAAACTTGATATATTGGCTTCCTTTTTTCGTCATATATATTGAAATTCCAGTGACTTACATTGAATTCAATTTGATCATCTTGATTTGGAGCCTTCAATACAGCAAGGGATTGGATCTGATGATGTAAAAAATAAAAATAAAAAAAAAGTTCAATCATGGTACACTATTGTCAATATAACAAACTATATATAAAATTACCTTCAAAGGACGCAAATGGGGTCGTAGACTTTCCATAGTATCGAATTTGGAAGCAGGTTTGTTCTGTTGTTTTTCAGAATCCGAATCATCTTTGTGTGAATGAAATGTCAGAGCTTGAGATTGAGATTTATGTATGCTATTGCTTTCACCATGAATGGACTTGATTGACTGCAAATGGAGAGGCGTGAAACTAGACACTTTAGGCAAAAGTTTTTCCATGACTAATTCCAATTGTAGTATATCCTTGAGTCGACATATAAGTTTCATATGAATTTCTTCATCTTCAGCAACAGAAGAAAAGCAGTTTAACATTTCACGACACCTACAAATAAAATTAGTAAAGATTATATATATATATAAAAATATTGATGGATCTAGAGGATGTCATTACTTACCAATCAATGGCAGCAAATAGTAAATGGCATGCATTTTCAACTTCGTCCGTTTGCCATTCAGGAAGAAGAGTCTATAAAAAGAAAGAAAGAGGGATCAGTAAGCAAACGAGCAACCAAGTAATTCTTTTTCTTACCTCTACTTGATCCAAATCAAATAATATTAGACCACAACCCAAAAGAGCATCAACACCTTCCAAGGAACCTTCATTAACCTTTTCGCAGCTTTGAAGCAGATTAAACATGGCACAAAGAGGAACAAGTTGTTTTTTTCTTTGTTTTTCATTGATACAATGAAGCAGGGAATAGAATGCCATACAGATGACCGATGTCTAAAACAGAAAAAAAAAAAAAAAAAAAAAAAAAAAGAAAGATTCAGGTTGATCCTGTTTTCTATTATCAATAGGTTTTCTTCTTATTACCTCTCCATTGTGATCCATCACCATTTTCGGTTTCATTGAAGTACTGATATCCCTAGCTGCATTTGATTCCATGATGTTGTAAACTTCTTCTTCTATCACATAATCATCTGGGAAGGCTGCTGCCATATTTTCTGCTATCCAAGCACATAATCGTTGGTCTAATTTTGTTGTTTCAAGCATAAGTGCAATCTCGTCATAGACCATACACATACATGTCTATATTTAAAAAAAAAATGGAGATCAGATGATATAATCTATACATGATCCTTTCTTTTTTTTTTTTTTTTTATTGTTTACCGGGTATATAGCACAACTTCTAATAACCATTTCCAATAAATTAACTGCTTGTTGAAGTAAAGGGTGCCTTGATATAGATTCTGTTGATATATTACCTATTTATACAAATGTATATAAATATATAGATAATGGGTTGTCATAATATATATAATATCTTACTCTGAGTACTTGATTCAGCAGCATCGTTACACAGGTCAAGATCACCAAGGATTTTGACAGCAGATACAGAGCCAATGATACCGATTACCTTGTACTTTACACGAGGATTGGACAGTTGTTTTCGGAGAACAATTTGAATGTCGGACCACAGACTTGAGTCATTTGCATAATGATCGTCCTATAATCAAATAAAAATATTAGCTATTTCTCTTTTTGTCAATTTCTTTTTTTTTTTTTTTTTTACCTTGAGAGCCAATATACTGAAAATATCAAATAAAGTTCGGGTTTGAGAAATGGTGAGATTGTCTAAATAATCCAGAATACCCTTAATGAATACATTGTATACAGCTACTGCCGTTACATCGGTTTTTGCCAGGTCATAAAGTACTTCCAGAGCTACATCCATTTCCGATGTTGATCCACTTCCAATATGTGTGACTAGAGCTCCAATGATTTCCTATATTTTTTTTTATAATTAACATATAAAAAATGATTCCTTTGTTGTTATTTTTTTCTACATATATATATACTTACTTGACGATGGTAAGCATCACATACTCGGAATGCATTTGTATAAAGAGCTTTAGAACAAGATGCCAAAAAGTTTTGTTGATGAGAGAATCGTAGTAAGTTTTCAGCCAATACCAATATCGTATTCCAATATCTATAAAACGAATAAATATCAAGATTGTGAGTTATATTCATCATGACAGAAAATGAGCATTTCTTTACCCAGATAATCCATCAGCATGGTGAAGTATAGTTTCCTTGATAAGATTTGCAGTAATGAGACTAGATTGAATCTTTTTCTGAAAGATTTTTTCAGCCTTTTTCTTTGTAGATGTCATTGAATAGAGTATAAAGAGGACAAGAATGTCAATCACTTTGTGTGCACGCTATTGAATAAATAGAATTAAAAAAAAAATCAATATTAGTTAAGATATCCAATTTCCTAATACCACTAATTCTTACCTGTGTTTCCAATGCCATAATAGATTTCACCCAAGCATCACAAACAAATTTGTGAAATTGTAAACCAAGTTTCATCGAATCTAGCACAACATAAATAATATCAGATAATCATTCTTTCTCTCTTTTTTTATTACCTAAAATCAGTGCTTCCGGGGATTCTCTTTTATGACGAGAACGTAGTTGACTTGTTTCCTGTTGTGATAACTGAACTTTTTCTAATGCACGCAGATCAAGTTTTTGTCGTAATTCTAAAATTGTCTATAAAGAAAAGTGTGTGTGTGTGTGTTTTTTATTAGGAATGAGACATCATCGTAATCTCTCTTTTTTTTTTTTTAGTTTACCATATCAATGGTATGAGGTGTCACTGTTTGTAGAAGGAATTTGACCATCACAGCCAAATCATCGATTTCTGCTGATTGTAAACGTTCTAATACAGTTTCTCGTACATCTTCCTATAATAAAATAGCAAAAAGAAAATAACGCATTAATGAATGTATTCGCACAACAATAAATTCACTTTACTAGATATTCTGAATGAAGAGTCAAATTTGAGAGTGCATCCAATATCGGAACAGCCAAATCAGGATGTTGTTGCATCCATTCTTTCAAGAAGACTACAATGGGTTTATGTTCGGCATCATTAAGCATATCTGGTAGAGTAGTGATAATTTCATGTTGAATAACGTTTGGTGTGATTTGAATAAGCTAATGAATGAATAAATAAAAGTGAGATGGATGATTTTTGTCTTTTTTTTTTTTCTTATTCCATTTTCTTACTTCTATCAGTGTATTTGTCAATTCCTGAGGTTGTACCACATAATCAAGCCATCTCAATTGATGAAGAATAAGTCGAGCAGTACATGAGCTTGATTGACTATATTAATAAGAATCAATATAAAAAAAAAAAATATTTAATATGATGATTATATACAAGTATGAATATTATTATTTTTTTTGTTATGCTTACTCTCGTTCCAATTCGTCATAAAATTCAGGTAATCGTTCCAGCAAATTTGTAATAATAATAGGTTGAAGAATATCAATGGCAAGTAAGGTCTTTGTAAGACTATCCACTGACGAAGATCTATCACGTCGAAAGAGAAAAAAAAAAAGGTCAATAATACTATCCAGTAATAATAGTTATATTTTGTTACATGTACCTGTTTGTTCTAGGTACAGTATCAGAAAGCGCAGCAGATAATAAGCACTGTCGTAAGGATTGAATATCGTTAGTGTATTCTTGCATATCTTGAAGAAAGATAGATATATTATCAGGATAATTTGGATCACTTCTTAATGTCAGAGTCAATTGTCGACGAAAGACTGACGGTTCAACAGCTAAATAAAGGAAAATATAAAGAGGATAAGTTAACCAGCTTCATTACTGTTATCAACTTTGAAACTTACTGAATAGAAAAGAATTGGCATGATGGTTATATTCACATCCTGAAGAAGCCACAATGTCAAGAAAACTATTTGTCATGTTATTTTTCCTTTTTTTTTTTTTTTTGTTCAAATAAAAAAGAAAAAATAAAAAAAAGGAACGGTTGTCGCGAAAAACAAAAAATAGTTTTTGGTGTCAAATTGGAAAAAAAAAAAAAAAAAAAGAAAACCGCGAACGCTCTTCTTCTCATTGACTGGGCTCGAATATTGGATAAGTTTAACAATGAAAGAAGCACTTGATAAATTGAAATATTATGCACATGGGTTTGTATGAAACAGTGATATGCTCCCTCGCTGAAATTCCCCATATAAAAAAACAGTATATTTTTAACATCAAAACGTTTTTTCTTTTTTTATTCATTAAAACAAAAATGGAGTCAAGGAAACAAAAAATTGAACAAATGATTGAACACTATGTTGCAAAGGCAGAAATGGTAATTAACACTTTTTTTTTCACAATATTACAAAATAACTGATGATCACCTTAATTTATATATAGACTTCCGATGTGTCTCAACGTCAACATTGTAATGATGATGCTAATCAAATTCATGAACAAGCAACTGGTCATCCCATGACATTCGATAAGGAAGGACACCTTGATATGTCTTCACCCGATGCTAAAAAATGCCCAGCACTTCAACGTCAATAAATATATATATATATGTATATGTAAATAATAAAACCTGTTTGTCTATTCAACATTTATTATAAATTTATTTCAATTCGTAAGGAATTGTCTTGTTTTCTAAAACTGCTAACACATTATCAACCATCATATCACTCATTGTTGATCGAGTATCCCAAGTTGCACTTCCAATATGTGGTAATACGACACAATTATCCAAGGATTGTAATGGATCATCCAAAGGCAAAGGTTCAGGAGTTGTCACATCTAGACCAGCGCCAGCAATTAATTTTTCTTTTAGAGCTTGAGCGAGATCAGCTTGTTTCACCACACCACCACGAGAGATATTAACAAAAATCTATTTCATAAAAAAGATATTGAGTATAAGATCTATATAGTTTTTTTTTTTTATTATTATTATTATTATTCCAAAACTTACAGCATTCTTCTTCATTTTCTTGAAAGCATCATAATCAAACATTTCTTTGGTATCTGATGTCAAAGAACAGCATACAACAATAAAGTCAGCTTCCTTGAGTAGTTGATCCAATGGTACTAATTCCCCATCTACACCTTCTTTCTTTGTTCGACCAGAATAGATCAACCGATTGATACCAAATGCGCCTAGTCGTTTAGCAACTGCTTGTCCAATACGTCCTAGACCCACTACACCAAGAGTCTTGTTTGTAAATTGATATCCACATAGCCATGCTGCTCTCCAATCTTGCCACTACAACCATTTGAAATAAAATAGACATTAGAATGAGTCTTCATTTTTTTTTAATTACTTACACCTCCATTTTGAACAGCATCAATCCCTTGTTTCATATTTCGAGCAGCCGCCAAGGTCAACAATGCTGCCAAATCAGCAGTGGCATCTGTCAAAACATCAGGCTAAACATATACATATAAAAAAAAAAAAAAAAAAGGTGTGAGTTAAGACGTCAGATGATTTCATCCCAATAATCATCCTTATATATTGTTGTCCCTTTGATTCTTTTAGTTCTTACAGTGTAACCAATCTTTATCTTCTTTTCCCGAGCAGTTTTCAAATCAATATGGTCATGACCAACACTTAAAGTTGTCACTAGCTTTAGTTGAGGACCAGCAGCATCAAAGACCTGTTTGTCAATCTTATCTGATAACATACAGATCAAAGCATCAGCACCTAAAGAAACAGGTAAAAAAAAAAAAAAAAAAAGGTAAGAGAGGAGTAAGATGAACTTTGTATAACTTACCTTTAACACTTTCCAAAAGTTGTTCCCGAGGCATAGTGTGTTCGCCTTGCCATTGTACCAGTTCAATGTTCTTGAGTCGTTCAAGTCGCGCCTGACTGTCAGGAAGAAGACGACGTGTGGCAACCACTTTGGGCAACATGACGGAAACCGTGGAATGAAAACTGGAACATTGAATCTTTATTGTTGGTCGTGGGTAACAGAATAATAGAGATCTTCTTAGTGAGTTCATATTGTAAGGAAGGTACAAAGGAAAGAATAACGAATGAGAAAACAATAAATCCAAAAAATTTAAAAGGTACGGACGAACTCCGCATTCAATAAAAAATCGTAAAGATTACCATATCGGATTTATAGATGTTACAAGAAGACATTTCTTTTATTGATAATAATCTAATAAGAAATAGAATAGAACACAGTTGTTGTTGTTGTTTTTTTTTTTTTTTTGAAGGGAAATAGAAGTGTAGATGGAGCCACAACAAAAAATAAAAAAAGAAGAAAAGAAGAGTATTTACAGACAATCTAAGGAGAATGATAAACTAAGAGCAAATGCGTTTGTAGAAATGACAAAACATAAAATAAATAAAAAAAACAAGAGGATTTACTTGTTTCGGACATAACGACCAACCACCACAGCATGATCTCTTTCATAAGGTTCCAAAGTCAATTGTTCTTGAGGTTTGACACGTTCTTCTTGGAGTTTCTTAACTTCACGAGCAAATACAGTAGCAGCATCTACAGTAGAATCAATACAAGAAGCCTTGATGGAAATGACAATATGACCGTTGTTCTTCAAGAAGTGATGAGCATTGAGAGCTATATTAAAAAAAAATAAATATTAATGAATGTTCCTTCTCAAAACATACAATATTTGATGAAAACTTACTGATAATACGAGCTTGATCAGGTTGAGCAACATCAGCAAAGATAACATCCACCATAGGAACGAGCATACGATATTTGTGAGGGTGACGAGCATCTTCAATAATAGGTACAACATTAGTGCGTTTCTTGGCCATGTTGATCAAATCACGACCGGAACGATGAGAGAATTCAACACCATAAACAGCACCAGTAGGACCAACCACATCAGCAACATGGGAAACGGAAGTACCAGAAGCAGCACCCAAATATAAAACCTTCTTTCCAGGAGCAATATGCAAATGATCAATACCACCCAAAACAGCAGCAGCAATCTTGGAACGGAAAGGATTCCATACACGATATTCAATCTTGGTGTTTTCAGGACCATCCACAGAAATACGTTTTTCACCATATACAGATTCACCAGGAACCAAGTTCTTGGTTACCAACAAATCTTCCTTTCCGCGAGCAATGAAGATACCTTCGTGACGATGAGGTTCGATGATAACCTTGGATCCACCAGCAGCACCTCCACGAGCGCCTCCACGGCCACCACGAGCACCACCTCGACCACCACGGGCACCACCTCGACCGCCTATTCATGTACATATACATAAAAAAAAAAATTATAAATACCATATACCCGTATGTCCATCTTTTTTTTTTCTTCTTTTATTATATTACCACGAGCACCTCCACGGCCACCGCGATCACCACCGAAACCACCTCGGCCACCACCTAAATGAAATATCAAAGTTTTTTTTTTTTGTAAGTCATTGGAAGTACAACATTGTACAACAAGTATACCAATTTATGTATCAAGTTCCTTACCTCGACCACCACGAGCACCACCTCGGCCGCCACGATCGCCACCAAAACCACCTCGGCCACCACCTAGTAGTCATATCAATAGAATAATAATAATAATAATAATTAGATTAGTTTCATCTATACTTCTAACTTTTATTATTATTATCATTATATACCTCGGCCACCTATTAAATAGAGAGAGAGAGAAAAAAAAATAGTTAGTTGTAAAGTTTAAATATGATTATTTAGATTCTAATAAAAACATACCTCGACCACCACGAGAAGCTCCACCACGACCTCCACCACGTCCTTCAAAAGCCATTGTTTATAATAAAGATAAAAGTGGAAAAAAGGAAAAGAAAAGAAATGTCTTAAGAAAGATCAAAGAAAAACGAAAAAAAAAAAAAAGAAAAAAAATTCTCTTTTCAATTTTTTTTTTTGCTTCCCAGTTTTTTTTTTTTTTTTCTTTGTTTGGAACTGTCAAATAGGAGGCTTGTATCCATCGAAAGATCTTCAATCACCGCTTCTGGCTATTTTTTTTTTTTTTTTTTGTTCTTTTTCTTTTACTAATTGTTATCATGGCTCAAGGATCTTTAAAGAAAATCACCAAACCTACTAAAAAGAATGCTCGACAAAAGCAAGTCAAAATGAAAAAAGGATGTAAGAAGAAGTTATATTTTGAAATCGTTATCATTCAACTCAATTTCTTTTATATATTAGCACGAACGATCGCACCTAAACAACATGCTCTTGTCAAACAAAAATCCCTTGAGAAGGTATATAATAATAACAATCTACTTTTATATTTAATTGAATTGTTTTTATTTTTATTTTATTTTATAGAAACTGACGGCTGCCATCAATAAAAATATTGAAAAACAAATGTCTGTGAAAGCCAACGCTATTGGGAAACTCACTATTATGAAGAAGACGGCTGAAGCTTCAGCATTAGAAATGAAAGAAAAGAAAAAGAAATAGATTTTTATTCAATATAGTTATTACCCTTTTCCATATTTCTTTTATTATTATTATTATTCAATCATTCATCATCATCATCTTATAATCAATTTGTCCCATACCTTTTTACTCATGCTTCTTTTACAGCGGAGATGAAAATCACTTTCCTTATCGCTTCCCTTTTGTGGTTGGAAACTAATTTTCTATTTCTTCCCTTTTTTTTTTTTTCCTTTTTGTTTCATCGATATTACTTGATCAATAAATAAGTAAATAAAATTATATATTAGTTTGATGTAAAAAAAAAAAAAAAAAAAAAAAAAAAAAAAAAAGAGAAAAATAATGGGAATGAATGACATGAACTAACTTTTTATTTTATTTGGTTACATTATCTTGTTCTTTTAGTCATACTCCCACGGTCATGAAAAGTATTATCAAGTATTCACCATTGTCCTATGAATGCACTGACCAATCTAACCAGCAACAACAAAAGTCAACAACTAAACGAGTCCGGTTAAAGAGAAGAGTTCGTATTATGTTTGAAGACGACGACAGCGACAGTGCCACATTAATCTCTGACGATGAAGAAGAATTTGACGAGGATAATAGCAACAACAAGGACGACATTGATATTGAGATTGAAGACGATGACGAAGAGGAAGAAGAAGAAGAAGAAAGTGATGATGACGACGATGACGATGAAATGGATACTGACTATATTGATACTAATGACGAGGAAGGAAATAGTGACATACATGACAATAATGACAACACTGACGATGACGACGACGACGACGACGAAATGGACATTGGTGCCTTATTTAGTGACGATTTTGGTCCTTTACAGTTTAGGGATCCAAACGACAAACGATTTTTATTGGGATTTGAATTACGACACTTTGAATTGGATTCAGAACTTGGTCTTGATAACATCAATCTAAGAGCCGAAGAAACAACCCCTGAAGATGTCTCATTGAAGTAAATAAAAAAAAATCATCTTGATCTATGTGAACCTTTAAGAAAAAAAAAAAAAGGTAATGTAAACTGACATTTTCTTTCTCGTGTAGTGACAACTTGGCTGAAGGCTTGGTCAATGCTTTACTGAATAGTTCTTCTCCTGATGATAAAAAAAAAGGAAATGCAATGTTACGTAGGTTATTGAATGAATAGAATCGAATGTGTAAAATGAAATCATTCACACCCGTTCTTTTTGTAGGGAAACTCAAAGGTATGGAGCCTAAACCATTTAATCAAACCATCAAGAAAGAGATGAAGAAAAATAAATCAACAAATAAACAAAGCACATCAAAAAGCAACATTGGCAATATCAAAAAGAAATATGTTAGACCAACTCGACAGAGACAAAAAGGAAAATCACACTTGCTTCAAATGGATTCTGGTGAATAGGATAGTCTGGATACATTTAGCACTTCTTTTTTTTTTTTTCATTATATCCCAATACTCTCTATCAATTCTACCTTCTTCCGATCCTATATATACAATCAATACCAATAGATTAGCATCGTTTAGCATTCTTACTCTTCAATAAAAATAAAAACATAAAAGATCGTGTTTTATTGAATATGATTTTTCTCTTGTTCTATACCGATTATTAACTATTCTAAGACTATACAATTATATTTATATATACAAACAGCTGAAAAGAGAGAGAGGATTGCTTCATCAACACAATTGACCCTTGGCAAAAGAGCGGGAACCTACATAACCAAGAAAAGCAATATATTGTAAATCGAGACTTGCGGATTCATGTTCTGCAGGGAAGAATTTGATTAAAATGTATCGTCCAGATCTATAGAAATAAATAGAAAAAATGAGAAGTTTTCTTTTTTTTTTTTTTCGTTTGTTACTCTCAAGAGGATCCAAATATGACATAATATCTTTTTACCCAATTCTATACACATATATGTTTACCTTTCTCCTAAATTGACGATAACAGGCTGATCATCTGTAATCCGGAACCAGGCAGCTATTTGATCATCATCACCACCATATGACCCATCATACAATTCATCGGTATTTGTTTCTTGGTATCTTTCATAATCAGCCTTAGTAAAGTGATCTAATCGTCTCGTATCTATTAAAACGTTGACCATTTAACCACAGTTAATAATAATAAACTTGCAAATCAACTATTCCACCACCACCCAAAAAAAAAAAAGTCGTCCTTTCTTTGCATACCTTGTTCGTTAAATGGATGATGGGAAATCAAGACCATACCATCACGACCTATTTTGATTTTTAATAAAAAAAAAAAAAAAAAAGACATTGAGAATAAGAAGAATTACATGGAAAACCGATGACTTACAAGGCGGAGAGTAGCTAAAACCAAAAAAAAAAAAAAAAAAAAGGAAGGACGGGAGATTAGATCACAATGGTTCATGCATCCCTTTTTTTTTTTTTTATTTTTTCCCTTACCCTGTTTGAGGTGATCGAAGGATGATCTGTGATACAACACAACAATGCTTGTGTCCGACATATTCTAGTGCCATATCAACCGTATTTTGACTATCAAAAATTCTATAACAAAAAAAAAAAAAAAGAAAATCATTGGACACGGTTAAAAATCGATTTTTTTTTTTTTTGATTCCTCTGATTTCCTTATCTACCTATAAACAGCACCATGATGATATGAGATAAAGTTTTCCACACTAAATGGTGATCTATACAAAGAGAAGTTGTTATTTTTACATGTGAAATAAAATAAACTTTTTCCTTACGCTGTTGGATGGATCTTTGGTAGCTTCAATCGAAAATCCAGATAATCATAACTATTTTCATGCTGTTTCGTCAAGGATGAATAGTCGCAGGTATTGCCAAATAAGGCACTTAGATCGACAGGATCTAAACAATGTTCATGTGGTGGTGATGAAGGTAAACGTTGTCGTCGTCGTCGTTGTTGGGCGGCAGCTGTAGTGGTGATGGCAGAACTGATACTCATATGTTGTAGATAAGGAATAGATACTCTTTCATTATCTTGTTCGTCTTCTTCAGTTGCTTCTGTGGCGACAAGAGGTCGTCGAAGTCTAGGGATTCTTGGTATTTGTCGAATACTACCAGACCGTATATTTGATGTGTTTGTTGATGTTGTGAATGTTGTTACTGCTGCTGTTGCTGCTGCACGTTCTCTTGCCATCTGTAGAGTCATTCTTTCTTGTTCTTCTGGTTGTGGTGGCGGAGGAGATGTAGCACGTTGATAGGAAGGCTCATTGTAAAAAGATGAAATAGTAGCCATTGTAAGGTGATAAGGACGACCATTGAGGGTAGGCATTGTTATGACTTGTATAATATATATATAAAAAAAAAAAAAAAAAAAAAAGAAAGAAAGAAAGAAAAAGACGTGGTTTTAAAAAAAAAAAATGAAACAAATTGAGCGAGGAAAGGTGTCAAACTTTATTCAAGGAAATTTATATATAAAAAAAAAAAAAAAAAGATAAAAGATAAATGTGTATTCATTGTAAAAAAGATATAAACTAGAGGATAAACACTATCAAGGATATTCTAACATGTTCTATTCAATGGAAGTAAGATCATCATCTTTTGCCTTTTGTCCACGTTCGATCAAATAATCCACTTCCACCTCCTTTGTCAATGGAATCACCCATCGTTCATATAATTCCACCACCACTTGTACCGGGATCCGTAAATGAGTACTTGTGCCTTCTTCTGCTTGATCAAGTGTTTGTCCATATACCAAAGCTTTTCGTCGAAGCCTTTCCAAGAGCTTCTTTTCCACTTGACGATTGGTCAATAATTCGTAAATAGCATCCCGATCGTTATTCATCGCAAGTCGTTTATATTCTTTTGGATTATCCCGGAATTTGGATTCTGCAATGAATTTACCTATATTAAATTGTTAATAAAGCTTTCCCTATTTTTTTTTTTTTTTGATCTTACCATAATGAATACGTCTACTAAGTGCTTGTAAACATTCAATATCTTTTGTAGCAGAACTACCATAATTGTTGTCATCATGATCATCACAAATACCAGTGACAATAGACTTCACATAAATATCCATGATTTTATCATTGACATTGATATCATTTTTTGCTAAAAATCGCTTGAATTTGACAGGTGGAAGAATAGGTTCAGGAAGAGGTGAAGTAAAAGCATATTCATCAGGACTAAAAAGAAGTATATAAAAAATTGAGTTTATTCCAAGCCTAAACCTTTTTTTTTTTTTTTTGTCTTACCTGGTATATCGGCGTACACGAGCTAAATAAAATGAAAAAAAGAATTTTAATATATTGTTCCTATAGTCCCCTTTTAAAGAATTTTACCATGTACTTTTTCAGTTTCCCATAAAAAGTACTCTAAGAAACTTTTATCGCCAGTAGTGTCCTTGAATTCCAAAAAACCAGGATGATAAATACATTTATTCAAAGCAAATTGAGCACGTTCGATAAGAGCTATAATAATAAAGGTACAGATCAGTTGTTGTCAAAGAATATAAAATGGATGAAATAGTTTACCAAAGATAATAGTATCTTCTAATCTCACCAAAGTACTTCGTAATCTATCCAAGGTGAAAGGATCGTCGATATCGGTAAAATTACTCATATTCCAAAGGTTTGAAACGTAAAGAGAAGAGTTGCTTTCAGCCACCATCATTAGGGGGTTTTTATTTTGATTTGGAGGTACCGTTTTTTTTTTTTTTTTTGGGTTTGAATTTGAAAGTCCGTGTGATTTACCAAGTTAGCAACAAATCTTTATAGATAAAGTAAAAAGGAAAGGGATGATAAAATATATTTGCGTTCCTTGATCGCTCCTTTTTATACATAGATTACCCTCAAACAGAAAAAAAAAAAAAATAGGTGTGACACATACGCTATAATATCTTACTTTGTCTTTTTTCCTTCCCGATTCATTTTGAAACCCTTTTTTTTTTTTTTTAGTTATCCGCCAAAGTTTGATTTGACAAGCATCATCACCCTATTGAGAGAAAGAATTGATTTTTCCGATTCATCTTAATCATTTGCAATATCTCAAGTTATCATCTAGAAAAATTAGTTCCGGATCATAAAAAAAAAAAAAAAAAAAAAAAAGAATATCAAGGAAACGGATGGTCAAAACCTTAAAAGAAAAAAAAAGAGAGCATTGCATGCTCTAACTTCCATCTCGCTTATCCGGTTTTAAGATAGTTTTGAAGCGGCGCGCATACATGATTCCATCTTCACTTTCCCTTTTCTAGTTGTCTAGCATTGATCATTCTATCTGCAGAGAATAAAATACAATTTATGTATAATGGCTAAGCTTATTGTTGTGATGATCTTACCTTTTCGTTTGTTAGTTTTTTTTTTTTTTTTGCATGAATCTCCAAAACAACTCCGCTGGCTTGCCATCTGTAATACTTTTAAGGTACTAGTTGATGAGGTTTTTCAAAGTCGCGTCCCAACGTCCTCTCTTTACTCCATTTTTTTTTTTTTATTCCTCCAAATCTCCAAGTCATTCTCTTTTGCACTATAATACCAAATGGGATAGACATGTACCTGTTTATACTTTTGGTAATTCACTCAAGAATGATCATCATCGCATCAAATTTGAAAACAACATGAAACAAATCGTTTTTTTTTTTAAGTTTTATCTAATAATAAAATTTTATAGCTTACTATTGATAGAATAAATCAAAAAAGGAGAGCAATAATATCGTCTTTTTTTCTACCTGATCATCATAGTTGGCGTGATATTCTCAACCTCCACGAATTAGTATCCTGCAATTCAAAGATTTCCTACCATCTGTCTTGATGTATACTTGTCGATGAATCATAATTTCAAACTAATGCACTAAAAAAAAAAAAAAAAAAAAAAAAAAAAAAAAAAAAAGGAAACTTTTCTTGTTGGTAATGATACGATGATGATGAATGATGATTGGTGGATGATGGATCAGCCGAACTTTCCATGATTGTCAGCATCGCCAATCCGTATAATGAAAAATGCAAATTGAACTATGTCTATAAATCATAAGGATCATCTACTTCAATTCTCATGGAAGGCAATATCATCAATCCATTCATCCAACTTTTTTTCTCTTTTAATTCGACAGAGTCAATCCTTATAGAATCATCAGAAGATAGGTGCTGCGGGATGGTGGACGCGTACGTGTTGATCATCTTATGTCATACAAGTTCCTTCTTGTTACCACATCAGCCAACCTTAATTTTTTCTTATTTTAATGTAAATCCATATAATAACGTAAGACATCATTATAAAACAATAACTACCCAAAACTACCAACATATAATCATCCAAAAAAAAAAGAGATTAATTCTTTATTTCCATTCAGTAATATCAACTAATCAAACCAAACTAAGCTATCTTAAATGCCATCACTATGAATATGACATGATTGTCATGGAGTGCCTTTTTTTTTTTTTTACTTGATGTTCATCGTTTTGTGAATCCTGAATATCTTTTTTGCACCTTGATTATTGTTGATTGTTGATTATAAATCATAAAGTATAATGTCATATCAATATACTATTCCATCCGTCCAATAAACTGGCCCTAGTTATCTTCCTGTTGACCAATCAAAACAATATATTGAATTAAGAGAGAAAAAAAAAGAGAGAGAGAGAGAAGTAATGAGGGGTTAGTGAGATCATGGACCAGAACATTGTAAGACACGAGATAATAGACATCCACTAACACTTCCTTGGTTTGATAATATGTTTGTTTTTCTTACCTGAAGAGAGTATAGTGAAGACCATGTTTCTACAGAGAATCTATCAAAGAGATTAGTTTCATGGTAAAGTAAAAAAAAAAAAAAAAAAAAAAAAAAAAAAAGAGTTAGAAAACTATTTTAGTTGGTGTCAGAACTTAAAAAAAAAAAAAGAGAGAGAGATAAATAAGAGAAGTCTATGTTGAGAATGTGATATTGGATGAGAATGCTGGGTCAATAAGAAAAAGTCGTGGAAGAAAAGAAAAATAAATTGGAAAGTCCAACATCACCTTCGCATCCCACCTTCATCGGGATTTGAATACTGGTTTATCAGGAACAAAAAGGCGCATCGATCATGCTTTTGTCATGATATTCAGAATAATAATTCAGAATAATAATAATAATAATAATAATAATAATAAGACTAGTAAATTATAACAAGTATAATTGTACAAATGTGGTTGATTTATTTTAAAGAAAAAAATTTTTTTGATAGGTGGTTAGTGCATGATTGTAAAAGTAATCAATGGGAAAAGTCCTTAAATGGATGAATAGGTTGGATTTCTTTTTTTTTTTCCTTTCAAATCAATTGATATGATCATGGGGTTCATCTATTTGACGGACAGATGAATGACTTATAAAGTATGACAAAAAAAAAAAAAAAGAGGTGTCAAGTGATGACAATGTTTTCTTGTAAAACCACTTTCCAAGTTGAAAGATAGACGAAAAGGATATTCGGGACAAGTAACCATTCTCTTCATTCGGCCGGGTGATACGGGATAATCAATTGGGGGTGATTGGGGGCTCCTGTTCTCGGTGTAACTTTAATTAAGTTTTACGTTGGTTTTTTTTTTTTTTTTTTTTTGTACTTGGGACTACTGAGAGAGAGGTGACAACGACAGAGGAATGGATCTATTTTGTTCCCATGATTGATTACTTGGTTTTTATTTGTTTTCTTTTATTATTATTATTATTATTCTAGCAAAGGTGAATGAAGAGTGAAAAGGGAAAGATATGGAAAATAGGAAATGATGATGATTCTCATCTTATACATTCTCGGTGATCTAATTAGTGCATTAAATATATGTATATATATATATATAAGACAATGAGGATGAAAAAAGAAATATCAGTATCAACCAAATGATAAAAAAAAAAAAAAGTGACCCTGTTTGGTCTGGGTATGGTTACTTTTTGACTGTGAAAACAATCGCCATTGTTGGAAGGGGAGGAGGTATCACCCTCATGACTTTATTTGATGAAAGGTATCGACACCGATGATATACATAAGTCTATCATTTGGCGCTAGTTGATCTTTTGGATAAAAATGGAAAATCCTGGGTTAGGTGTAGAATTGTTATGTTGGACAAAAAGTCAATCATCCAAGTAAAAAAAATATATATATATATATGTTATTTTGTGTATATAACAAATATGCATCTCCCTTTTTTCCATAAAGTTTATCTTCTGTTGTGATACACTTTTTATTTATTTTTTAGAAAGATTTGGAGAAATAGGGGTTAACATCGTCATTCATTCAATCATAGAATAGAATATCCTTATTGGGATAATCCGATATCAATATGTCATATGGTCAGTGCGCTATTCTCTTTTTTATTTTATTATATGATGCCTATATATATATATATATATATATATATGTATGATGATTGATGATTGATGATGGTAATAATAATAATATATCTTTTCTTGTTTAAGTCACTTGTCAAGAACTTGTTCAACTATTAATCTATCAAATTAGTAGGTAGTACCCGACCTTTACTACCGATCTCTCCTAATCCATTCTCTACTATACTTCTTTTTCAAATCAGAACGAATCACAAGACTTTTTTGAGAGCTGTTGAACAAAGAACACATGATATCTAAAAAAAATTGAGTAACCTAACCTTTGGTTTTCCTACGCTTTTCATATCTCCCGTGATTGCCAACCTATTTGACATAACGTCCCCTTTTTTTTTCTTGGGTAAGTAACACATACACACCAAAAAAGATTGGACGACGGACATTGAATTGTTGGCTTAAAAACGAGTGTGAGGGTTCAATTCTATTTTCTCTTTCTTTCTTTCGCTTTTTTTTTTTGTCTTTTTTTTTTCTTGTCTTCTTTTTATATATGTTTACATGGTACAAATGACGCATTATTTATCACCATCATCATCTCCTGTACGTATTTTTATTAAAAAAAAGAAAAAAAGAAATTAGTATACTTATATTCATTCTCATTTTTATTCGTACACTACTAGTCAACCTCATCATCAACATCTAAAACCAAAACAAGACGATTTAAACCATTAATATTGTACGATCAACAACAATGGAGATCATCGGATACAAAATCAACAGACAATGGATTAAATCATCATCTCACAAGGATCAATGATATGTTGGAACAAAATGCGCAGTGGTGGGCTGAACGTGAAGGCATTCATCACACAATGGCCAAAGCTCAAAAAGGTAAAGAATCAAACATGTATCTCTGTTCTCTCACTAATTAGTGGATTATATTTTTATTTTTATTTTTACTATTATATTATTATATAAACATAGAAAACGTCAATACCGTTACTCGTAAAAAAGGATTCGAACGTGTGGAACAAAATGATGAAACAGAGACAGAAGATGAAGTTAACAGAATTGATATGTTACCAAGCACTAGTACTAGTTCCACATCAAGTGACAGCAGTAATGATTCAAACGATAGTATCTCAACTATCACTACCACTACAGCAGCTCCTTATACAGCGTCATCTGTCATGTCCATGTCCACTATGGCGTTGCCAATGCCTTTGTCTTTGTCGCCAACCATTACTCCTTTAGAACCAAAAACGGATATGCCTCCTCCTCCATTATATCAATCAAATCAACCATCAGGGAATCCTCGTCTACACCATCGCCACTCCATTGGAGGAATGTATTATCACCAGCAAAGAGAACGGCCAATCACCGCGACAGTCATGTCTCCACCAATATCACCTACCACCACATTGCCTCCATTTATTTCTTCATCTGAATCTGTTTCATCATCTTCATCCCATCCTTCTTACTTTGTTCCACCCACTGAAATGATCGATGACTTGCATGATTTTTATAATGGAGCATCGCCAACAACAGCAGCAATACCATCATCATCTTCATCAACAACAAATCATATGACCTCTACAGGACTCAAGAAAAGACGTCGTGGAAATCTACCCAAGCATGTTACTGAATTCTTGAAATGCTGGTTAATTCAACATAAAAAGCATCCTTATCCTACCGAAAGACAGAAACTGGAATTGGCCCAACGTACTGGTTTGGCGGTCAATCAGATTAGTAATTGGTTTATCAATGCAAGACGTAGAATATTACAACCCATGTTGGAAACCGAACAAATGATGATGCAACAACAACATTCTTATTATTGTCATCCTGCTTTACAACAACAGAATTATCATCCGCCTGGTTTTTCATCATCGTCATCAGCATCATCTTCTTCATCATCACCAACATCAGCATCATCCAACTTATCCATGATGGAAGAAAAGAAACGACGACAATTAGATATCTATGCTTACCATGGCTTCACTGGTAAATACATTGAATATATATATATATATATATTTGTTAAACTTTAGATCTTTTTTTTTTAAAAAATAATAGAAACCACAGAGCATGATACAAAACGATGGACAATACGACGAACCAAGTTACCAAATATTGAAATTCCAGAAAAAGATCAACATATATTTGCGTCCGTACCATGATGAAGATAATATTTATTTCACTTATGTATATGCTCTCCCATTCATTATGTATTCCTCTTTTCACTCTTTTTTCATTTCCCCATCATCTTATTCAATTTTGATACCCCCCTTCTCAGTTAGTTTACCCCACCCCCCTTCTTTCGTTTATACTATTAGTTCTTATTATTTATACAAATATGATGCCATTTTATGATCCTTCCTTTTATTTTTTTTTCTATTTTGTTATAAATATACAAATATATAGTACCTATATAGTATAGTCATTTTTCCCCCTTCCTCCTGCCTTATAATAAATAGTCTTTATCATCTTTTTTTTTTGTCTATATATTTATGTGATCAGACACATATATGGTCTAGAATGTAAAATGCATAAAATATACATATATCTTCTTATTTTACCCATTCATCACGATTTTCGTGTAAGAAAGCAAAGGTAACACGGCAGATTTTCTGTCTGGTAGGAAAAAAGGAGTAAAATAGCATGTGGAAAAAAAAAAAAAAAAAGATCACAAGCCTGTTGTCTGTTAGAAGGGTTTAGTGTTTGCTATGTTTTAAGGAGACAACACAAAGGGGTATTGAAAAAAAAAAAAAAAGATGTATGTATGAAGATCTAATATCTTTATTTTTTATTTGTTTAAAAAAAAAAAAAAGGTCTATCGATAACATATATCTGTACACCCCCCAAAGTTGTTAAGACAAGTTGTTCTTATTATTGTTGATGATGGCCTTCTTATTATTAATAGAAGGGTGGTACGACGCATGCTTCAATCCCTCTTGTGTATATATGTGATACAGATCCAATTGTCATCCTTCCCTCCGACTGTTTATTCATCTAACCTTTTCCATCTTGGGAATCATCTCTTTTTTTTTTTTTTTGAAGGATGATGAGACAGAATCATAAACAACAACAACAACAACAACAAAAAGTAAAGATTGAATTGAAAAAAAAGAAGGTTCTTTTTTAGTATAAACTGTTAGAAAAAAAAATCATAACAAAAAAAAAAAAAAAAGAGTCAAAGGAGAAGAGAGTCAGTCCATAAATAGTAAGTACCATCATCATCTATCATAGGAAAATAATCTTTAGGAGTCCTATTGCCATTAAAGTATCAATGGTATAAAAAGTCAAAAAGAAAAGAGTTCAACGTAATGACAATGGGGTTCTTCAAAAAGGTCTGTGCGTTATTCTGACAAAAGGTAACAAGATGAGGTTATACCGATCAATTTTTAGACTTGATCAACATGTGTATGTGATCGTTTTCTATCGTCACTATATTCTTTATTAGATCAAAACAAAACAAACACGGACATAACAATCTGACTTGGTAACTAAACTAAATCGTAAAGGGGGGGAGGTCATAACAATAATCAATATACTAAATGATGATAAGAAGAAGAAAAGAAGGAGGAATAAAGAAAAAAAAAGGGGGGAATAATCATGATACCAGTTCAGAATAACTTCATTTTCGTCAAACCGCCAAGCCCAATTAGATAGTTCCACATGTCCGCCATGATCAATATACCTGTTGTTGGTGCTGTTGTTGTTGTTGTTGTTGATAATGATGTTGTTGGCGATGTTGTATCAGTTTTCGATGATGTCCTGTAATCATTTTCCGCATATAAGAAAGTCGACGATTGGTTTTGTCAGTCAAAGTGGATTCAGTCGTCAAACAGGATTCTCTAAGTGCTGAAGAAGTTGTTATTGTTCTTTTATCTTTGATTGAATGTAAACCTGTCTTCTATAAAAACGAATAATAATACATATAAAAAAAAAAGGATTGATGTGAGCTTCGGTTCTCACCCCCTTCCTTTTTTTCTTTTTGTTCTATTTTCTTCTTTTTTTTTTTTACCGTCGTTAGTAAAGTATCTTGACTTAGACCACTTTCTCTTGTATTCAATGTGGTATCGATGGAATCAGTATATATATGACGTTGTTGTTGTTGTGAAGATTTTGTTTTTTTAAGAGGAGAGAAGGATTGGTTGAGCTTGGATAAAGATCGAAAAAGAGATTTTTCATTGGATGACCGTTTTGGTTGATGTTGTTGTTGATATTGAGTAAACCATTCTTGAACGTCATCAAATGCATGACATAATGAATAAGATACTTGTTCTGTCATTATTGAAGATGATGATGTTGAAACCATTTTAGTTGTTGAATCGCTTGTTGTTGAAGGTGGCTGTTGATTGACATTGGCAAGAATTCTGAATAAAACAGGTGATGCATAGGATAATTCACATGTTGGATCATTGGGAAATGCAGTGTCAAAAATTGAATGGTAAGGTTTTTCGGGAGGATCGGGAGGATAACCATATAACAAGGAGCGTAAACCAATATCTTCATCATTTTCCAATATCCAAGTTTGTTCTCTTTGTCGACGTCGAAGCATTCGATCGTATGATTTCGCTTTTGCCTTTGTTGCTTCTGTTTTGATTGCTTCTGTTGTTAATGATTGTTGATGTCGTCGTCGCTTTTGTTGTTTGGATTGTTCAATGATCATTCGCATCAAAAAATGACCTGCCTTCTCTGCCAAGACAGGATCACAATCACTAGGTCCTAATGTCACTTTTCCCATTGTATCCCCTAGTTGATAAGCATCCATTAGATTATCCTTCTTGTGTTTCATCACCAATACCAAAAAGTCAGTAATATCCGTCAATAGTCGATGACTTTCTTTAGGTATAATGGTCGCTAAATAGTCAAGAGTACATGCTGATACAAAAATAAAAAGATAAAAGAAGGTTTAGTCTAATAACGATATATTCATTTATACTTTACTTTCATAGTTGATGAGTCGCCAGGTCTTTCGAGAAAGAATCCGTTCACTACAACTCCATAAAGCATCTTGTAAAAGAGTGGCAACAGAGTGTACACTAAACTGTTCAAGATCTTCTGAAGTAATAACTTGATGATATAAGGCTTTTAATAACAATACATTGTTGGGTACTAGAAAAAGGAAAGAAAAAAAAAAGAAGAAAAAGAAAATATGAAAAAAAAGAGCATTGATAGACCGCTGACTTTCAACGTAGGTACCTGATTTACGCAAAATCTTTCGTTCATGTAGACCTTGATAGATACATTTTTGTTTATATCAATAGTGAATTAGCAAAACGTTCTATTTGATTCTTAGTTTACCTTTTTTATTATTATTATTATTATTTTGGGAGAGATTTACCTCGCTTGATGATATCTGCCATACATAATCGAACGACATAAGCAGTAAAAGCAAATGAAGAAAACATCACTAAAAAAATTAAAAAAAAAAATTACTATATTAAAGGATTATCTTTTTATATTACTCAGTTTTACCTTTTGACTATAATAAAAAGAGAAACAATTGAAAAAAAGAAAGAAAGAAAGAAAGAAAGAAAGGAAGAGAAGAATTGAAAAAAAAGGAAAAATTGGGATCTTTCAGAAAAGGATGTCGTCCCCCCCCCTTGCTTAGCCAAAGGAGAAAAATACGCAGGCAAACATTGTACCATACATCCACGCATATATTATAAATAAATCATTATCATCAGAAAAGTAACTTGACCAATTATTTTTTTTTTTTTCAATACAGCTATGTATTCTCTTTGAATGTTGCATGCATAGTATTGGTGAGAGTTTGCCACATAGAAACAAATACAGTAATAATAAAATATGGATTATTCTACCTTTCATTTTTTTTTTCATTCATTATTGATGAATATGAGACATATATACCTATTTCTTTTTTTTTTTTTTTTTTTGTGATGAGGGAACTGAACAAGGTCAAATCATCATCTTCAATACCTTATTATCCTCACTTTCCAAATTAGGGATTTAACCTTTTTTTTTTGGCGCATTTTCCATCTCTTCCCCTGCTTATAACAAACTATGAAAGGGATATTCATTATATATAATCAATCAGGTAAATTCTATATATATGAATGATATATGTAGGTAATTCTTGATTAGAAACAACCTGAAAACCCATTGTTCCTTCTTTTGTCCTCTATAATTAGGTGACTAAAAAAAAAAAAATTCAAGGTAGCAGGGGAAAAAAAAATTTTCTATGTTCGGGAGGTATTTGCTCTCCGCCTCAATTTAATGGTTGCTGCGTGGTTGTTGTTTTTCTTAGTTCTTTTTCTTCATTTCAATCTTTTTTCTTGGTATTGTTTAATCATGTCGAACGGTAAAGACTAACGAAGAAGTGATAAATGTTTATTTGATCGTCTTTTATTATATTACTTGTATTTATTGTTGACGCGAAAATAAGATTGTATGACTCATATACTTTTTCTTTTTCAACTTGTTCCTTTTGATTCTTGTTAGATATTAATCAAGTCACTGTCAAAATGAGTGATCTTTTATCACAAAAAGGTAAAGGACTTGGAAACATACTAGTAATCGTTTACATATTTATTTATACATCTTCTTTTTCTTTTTAATAGATGTTACTCCAGGTCAAATTAACCAAGAAAAACAAGAAAAACAGGTGGAAGTGGTAAATACAAAAGGTAATAAGTAACTTCCAAATCAAAAAGATATAGTAAAAAAAAAAAAAAAAAAGATCTTTTCCTTTTTTGAACTTATTAACTTGTTTATTCTATTGATAGCTTCCTCAAATGATAATGCGGACGATGAAGATGATGATGAAGCTGTCGGTGCTGCTAATCTAATTCAAAGCACTCAAACTGTTCAAGTCAAGCTAGCTGATCAGCAAGCTGATCCTAATTCTCCTTTGTATTCTGTAAAGTCGTTTGATGATTTGGGTTTGTAAGTAGACATATATCATTTGACTAAAAGGAATAGAACTCAATTGTATTTCTTTCTCTCTCATCTCTCTTTCTTTAGAACACCTGAACTCCTCAAAGGTATTTATGCTATGAAATTCAACAAACCTTCCAAGATTCAAGAAAGGGCCTTACCGTTATTGATTCAAGATCCGTAAGTTATTAAACATTATTATCATCGTAGTCTGGTATCTCACTGGTTGATTTTTTTTTTTTTTGTTGGCTGATGATGATGAATGAAAATATAGACCAAGAAATATGATTGGACAATCTCAAAGTGGCACTGGTAAGAGAGTCAATCGGATCAAAAGGGAAAAAAACAAATGAAAGAACAAATGGATGGGAAGCAAAAGATGATAAAAAAAAAGACTCTTAATTGATTCGTATATTATTGTTGTTATTTTTTTTTCATTCTAGGCAAATCTGCAGCCTTTGTATTGTCAATGTTATATAGAGTCAAGCTGGATATCAAGGCTCCTCAAGTAAGAAAAAAAAAAGGAACTAGTATATATATAGAGAGAGAAAGAGAGAGAGACGGAAAGTTAGAAAAGAGTGATGAGTTAGGATATGAGAAAAGATGCCTTGATAAGCAATTACTCAATGCATTTTCCTTTTTTTTTTTTTTTTTTTTTTTTTTACATGATGTTATATTATGTGTTAGGCTATCTGTTTGGCACCTTCTCGTGAACTTGCTCGCCAAATTTTAGAAGTGGTGGATCAAATGTCCAAATTTACAGGAATCACAACTCAATTGATTGTCAAGGATTCTTATCGCCGAAATCAAGCTATTAATGCTCAAGTCATTGTGGGTACTCCTGGTTCTGTTACTGAAGTCATCCGTCGTCGCATGGTACCTACTAAAGATATTCGTATCTTTGTATTGGACGAAGCTGATAATATGTTGGATCAAGATGGTTTAGGAGATCAAACTCTTCGTATTCAAGCGTAAGTATAAAACGAATGAATTTATCATGATGACTAACGTAATGATTTTGTTATATAGTATGTTGAACCCTAATATCCAAACCGTTCTTTTCTCTGCCACCTTCCCTGATCATGTACGAAGATTTGCTGAACGATTTGCCAAGAATGCCAACGAAATCTCTTTGAAGAGAGAAGAACTCAGTGTAGATAGTATCAAACAATTTTATGTGGACTGTGACTCTGAAGAACATAAGTATGATGTCTTGGTCAATTTATACGATCTTTTGACGGTCAGTCAAAGTATTATTTTCTGCAAGGTAAAAAAAAAGAGAAAAAAAAGAAAAATCAATATATATATATATATCTTCGATTAACACTTCCATTGACTTATAGTTACGAACTACTGCGGATGAAATTGCCAGGCGAATGACTAGTCAAGGCCATGCTGTCGTTGCATTACACGGCAAGATGACACCTGAAGAACGAGATAAGGTGATGGATGACTTCCGAAGAGGTGAATTCAAGGTATTAATTACAACAAATGTGATTGCTCGGGGGATTGATATTTTACAAGTGACCTTGGTTTTGAACTATGATTTACCTATGGACCGTATGAACAATCCTGATTATGAAGCTTATCTCCATCGTATTGGACGAACAGGTCGATTTGGTCGTACTGGTGTCAGTATCAACTTTGTCCACAACCAGGAAACATGGCAAAAGATGGCGATGATTGAGAAACATTTCGAACGCCCTATCGAACTTATACCAACGGACGACTGGGAAGCTGTGGAAAAACAATTGAAGAGTGTCCTTTAGATCGTATCACTCATTTTGGATGGATGACAACAATTGATGTACGTTATGTCTGTGTATATGTTATTTTATATATATATATATATATATCGATTTTTGATCATTTGTTAATTTAGTTCCATTATTATTGTAGTTAGCTTTAGATAAAATTCACTGTTCTTTATCTTCTTTTCCTGTTTTTTTTTTTTTTTTTTTATTATTATTATTCTTATTATTAAATAAAACATCTTTTTTTTTTGTTGGTTTTGATTGTTTGCATAAATGTTAGATGAGAACGAAAAAGAACAATGCTATTTTGTTTATCTTTAACACGTTCTTTCACATGGAAAGAGTCTGATTATTACGGGTGAAGTGAATTACAAGTGTTATTATGGTTCATGTGATCTACTAGAAAATTGTTGTAAAAGTGAATGATTTTTTTTTTTTTTTTTCATGGCATTGCCAAAATTCCGCTTTCCGAGAAGGGTTTATTGTAAGGTTTTTCCAAAAGTTTATAGGTTTTTTTTGGGCCTCTTTCCTTTTTTTTTTCTTTTTCTTTCTTAAATAATCCCTTCTTTTGCTTCTTCTTTTCTTCGCTTCCATTACTTTTCATTTTCAACCTACTACTTACTGTTACTATCAACTAGACCATATTATTAGTTCCTCCTCATGAAAAACGCATCCAGGATCAAACTCATTACTTTTGATGCTTACAATACTCTCTTCAGACCAAAAGGTAGTCTCTCTGCTCAATATGTAAGTTATCATTTTATCACTATTTTTGTTTTGGAATTAAATATTATTTTGGGTTCCCTTGAACAAAAAACCTATTGTTTATTATTTAGGCACACGAAGCTTCAAAAGTGGGAATCCAAGTTTCACCAGAATCAATTACACAACACTTTGGTAAAGCCTATAGAAAACAATTACAAAAGTCACCCTTTTATGGAATTGGTCAAGGAATGACAACTGAACAATGGTGGAAGGAGGTATGGTATACAATATATACATATAGATAGATAACTAGTTAGATGGATAGAGAAATGAACCGAGGTTAGATACTATATACATGTAGTTTAATTTCGGCTGATTTCTAAATATATTACTTAACTTATTTTTTCATTTCTTCTCTATTACAGCTAGTGTATGCGACATTCTTAGAAGCTGGAGTACGGCAAAAAGGCAAGTAAAAGGATGATGATGACATTTTTTTTTTTTTTTATATATTCTAATCGATCATAGACCCTTTTTTTAAAATCTAGATATGGACAGGCATTTTCCAAAATTATTCAAATCATTATATACAAGGTTTAGAACGAAAGAAGGATACAGTATATTCCCAGATGTCATTGGTACCTTGCAAGAATTACAAAATCGTGGGATTAGAATGGGTGTAATCAGCAATTCAGATGAACGATTACGTAAGTAGATACAAAGAAGAACCCAATTACTTGGAAAACTAATTATTTATATATTAACATCTTTTTTTTTATTGTTATTATTATACATATATATATATATAGTGAGTGTCATGGAAAGTTTACAATTAGAAAAGTACTTTGACTTCATCTTGCCAAGTTGTTTAGCTGGTCATGAAAAACCAAGACCTGAAATCTTCCAAAAAGCTCTTCATCTGACCGATCAAGATATACATGTAGATGAAGCTCTTCATGTTGGTGATGATTTAGAAAAGTAAAGTGTTTATTCTTTAATCAATATATCTATATATACTAAATTTCATTTTTGTTTCATAATAGGGACTACTTTGGTATTGAAAAGAAAAATGAATATTACGATTGGACAACATTGACACTTTCTTTTTTTTTTTTGATTATTTATGTAGGTGCTGTCAGTGCTGGTTGGCATGGTGTACTATTGAAACGAAGCAAACTTTCCTATGAAGATTGTAGCCCATCTATATTAGCCCCTATGACCAATCGTCGATCACCAAGAAATATCATGTCATTAAACGATCTCTACCCACTCGCCTGTTACATTCGACCTTTGGATGAACCGGAACAAGTGAATGAACCTCTCCAGGCTTCAGATCATCAATAATAATGAACAGTAATTTATATTTTTAGTTAGTGTGTTTTGTAATATAGTGGTTTTTTCCTTGATAATAAAACTTTATTTTTTCTTTTCTGCGCTGTAATTAGGGATTATCTGCGTTGGGGTTCGAACAGATTTGTAGTGATCCTTTTTTATACTAAGGAGATAAATGACGCTGATGATGGATGATCAAAAAAAAAAAAAAAAAAAAAAAAGAAAAAGGACGTGAATCTCGGATGTTATAGGTTTTACAGATGATTGATCCATATCTCACGGATTCATACCTGCCATCACCATTCGTTTTTTTTTTTTTTCTATTTATTACCTTTAAAATTACGGGAAACCCTCATAGATCATGGAATCATCATAGATGTTATGTTGTCAACGATGTCACTTATAGACCCCTTTTTGTTTTTTCCAAATAAAGAAAAAATAGATCAGAAAAATATAAAAGCTAGTTTTATTTTCTTTCTTTTTTTTTTGAATAAGAAACTATCCTCTCTCTTTTTCTTCTTCTACTGCCAATATCTGCTTCTGTTGTGCGACATTCCCCTCTGTGATCCATTGAAACTACCATTCTTTGTTCTTCACTCCCTTACACGCAAACTTCTCCTTCCAAAACGAACGCAAATAATCTTTTCATCCCATGCAAACTATTTTATTTACTTCCGCATATTATTTATTCTCTAACTATTATGATAAATACAGTAATGGTCGTTCTTTTATACATATATATATATATATATATAATAAACTTCAAAATCTTATCTGTTCTTACAATATTCTATATCATCTATCTAATGCATTCATTTTGTAATAATATAAACTTATTTGATGTTCCCAATCCATGACAACCTGTTTGTAACGCCATTTCATTTCTTGTCATCCATTCAAACATAAAAAAAAATCATCGCTTGCTGACAATCAGCAATGATCTATTATTATTCCTTGATATCCTCTAGTACAAATCCAATCATCATCCATCCGGTATAAAATAGATTATAGAATAAAATCGGTTTATTGAATTATCGTAAATAGTAATGTAAAAAGAAAGACTGGACTATATAATATGTATTCTAACCTATAGACGAGCGAGCTTGGGAGGGTTGAGCACCATTTGGGGGTAGTTGACAGGCGCAGTAGTCATCCAGCATCCACCTTTGCAACAAAAATATACGTGTATATATATCAGTATCATCGTACCAAACTACACTTTTTTCATCCCTTTTCATTTGAAGATATGAATTCTCCTCTTTTTTTTTTTTTTTTTTTTTTTTTTTTTTTTTTTTTTGTAGCCTTACCGTCAACGACCAATGTAACACCAGTGATCCATGAAGCACCTTGAGAGTTCAGGAAAACAGTAGCTTGTGCAATATCCATTGTTTCACCTTGTCGTCCTAAAGGAATAGAGCTATGACCACCATTTTCATCACGTCGGAAAGCTCCAGATAACTTTTTCATACCAACCGTAGATCCCTAGGAAAAAAAAAAAAAGGAAAAAGATCAGTAAATAAGTCATACCAAATCATTCTTGTGTGGTAACTACTTACAATGGGACCAGGGGAGATACCATTAACACCTATAGTCATTATATATGTATATAAGATTTTGAGTCATCATGTCATAACAATAAGCTGATTTTATCACTTACGAACACCATGAGGTCCCAATTCCACTGCCCAATGTTTGGTCAAAGCATCAATAGCGGCTTTAGCAGATCCAGCATGTTGTTGATAAGGAAGGCCAGTGTAATAAAGAGTTGCAGAAACATTGATGATACTTCCTTTTGCTTTTTTAAGATGTTCTGAGGCAGCTTTTGTCAAGTTGAATGTACCCAATAAATCGATTTCAATCACGGTTCGGAATGCATTATATGATAAATCTTGGAAAGGAGCAAGGAAATTACCAGCAGCACCATTGATCAAAAAATCAATTCTTCCAAAAGCTTCAATGGTTTTTTGGACAGCGTTTTCTACAGCTTCAGGTTTGCGTACATCTGCGGCCACAGCACTAATATCAAAAAAAAAAAAAAAAAAAAAGATTCAAGATGGTTAATCAAAAAAAAAAAAAAAGAAAAAAAAAAAGAAAAATATTTCCCTTTGCCATTTCACTTACATGATCTCACCACCAGTAGCTTGACGCATTTCAGCAGCAGCCTTTTCCAGTTTGTCCTTTCTATAAAGTAAAAGAAGCAGTTCATTAAAAAAAAAAGTCCTGATATTCCAGCTGGTTGATAAAGGAGATAACTTACGATCTACTGATAATGACAGCTTTAGCCCCATGTCGTACCATAGCTTCAGTCATACCTCGACAAATACCACTACCCCCACCAGAACACAAAAGAACTTTACCAGCAAAGAGGTTTTCCTTAAAGATTTGAGTGGTATCAACAACACTAGACATGATGTATAATATAAAAACGAAAATAAAAAAAAAAAAAAAGAAAAAAAGAGAGAGAGAAAAAGAAAAAAAGAAAAAAATTCATACATATAATGAAATTTGCGGCAATTGAATCTAACCATGCAGTACGGTACGGCAGTAAAAGTGTACCGTGTACCGTATTCATTGTTTTCTAACTTTTTCTTTATTGACTAAGGTTATTTCATCATAGAATCAATTTTATTTGCTTGATTCAACTATCTATCTTTTTTTTTTTTATTTTGACATTTGATTTTTATATATTTCTCCACAATTATTGACCAGACAATATGATTAGTATTCCGTCTTTGTAAATAACGCTGAGGAACTAACTGATGATTCCCATTGAATAATCACAAATAACTTAAAAAAAGAAGAGTAAAATTACAAGTGACTACATCCTCGCATTAAAGTAGGCTGTTGACATCCGGGGGTTTTTCCGACAATGAACCACCTATCAGCTACTCTTTAAGAAATATAAAAAAAAAAAAAAAAAAAAAAAAAAAGGAAGAGACGCATGCGATCATACACACTTTATTCTTATGGCAGAACCACTTCATTGCATTCTATCTCCATTGTTGATGTTTGTTTGATGGACACACAAACAAAGAGACAAAAAAAAAAAAAAAACACGCGATTTCAAACTCCAATTGGTGCCCCTGTATCGATTAAAGGAGGGTTAAGTTTTTTTTTTCTTTTTTTTTTTTCTTTTTTTTCGCCAGTTGTTTTACAACTTGATACTATTATCATACTTACTTTCTTCAGCCTAAAGATACTCCGTCTATACCAAACCCAAAACGTGCGCGATCATGTTTATGAAATCAATCAACAGAAACTCCTTCCTTGTGGTGCTTCGAATTCTTTTTTCAGAAAGGCGAAGACTGCGCGTGTTATTATTAACTGGGATGGTGAGTATGTTGTTTGAAGGAATAAACCATTAGAACGAACCTCTTTCCTAGTGGTGCTTTGAATTCTACTTGTCTTTTTTTTTTAAAAAAAAAAAAAAAGGAAAGGGGGAAAGGCAAAGACTGCGTTTTGTTTTTTAACGGGGATAGTTAGTATGTTCTTTGGCAATGGTCAAAGGTCTCATGGGCGTTTTATTGTTTATGAGGTGGTTTCTAGGTCGTTTTCTTTTAGCTGCTTTTCCCTGGAAATGAAAAAACTATTGAAATGAAAAGTTGGTCTTATGGGTATCATATATGGTGTTGCCTTCTTTATGGTTCTGAATGAAAGTCTGTAGATCCAAGGGAATGGAAACAATTCAAGAAGGAATCGTAGGCTTGCATATTTTGGGCTTGATTGGTAACCCCAGTCATACTATCACGGTAGGTGCTTGGAATATTGACTCTTCCTTTGGTTTCCTTCTCTAGATCCACAGTTTCAGTACTTTCGAGTGCTGTCTTTTTTTTTTTTTTCCTCCCCCATGCCAGGAGAGGTCTTCGTCCTGGGGAGGACGGATCTTATTTGGGTATTCTTACTCATTTAAGTGAACTAACGTCTTGGCAACAATTTGTAGTTAACTCTCTTTGTAGTTTATAGTATATATATTATCCTTTTTTTTTATTATTATTAATAAAAATCAATTATTTTGTATTATATCTTTTCTAGTTTTCTTTTATTCAATATCATATAAGTTTTCTAATTCTTTCATTCATGACTTTTCTTGTTTGAACAATGGGAGCAACATTGATTCTTTTTCACACCAAGACAAGCTACAAAATGTAATAACAACCATATTTTATTCCTTTTTGACATTGGGCTAGCTAATAATGAAGTGTGTCCAGGTACTATACTGTGTAAATGAGTGGCTATTAGGGATGATAAAAGAGAGAAGGATGTTCTAGCTCGTATCACATATGATTGCTCTAGGAGAATCACCATAAAAAAAAAAAAAAAAAAAAGAGAGACAAGAAAAAACAGAGTTAGTAATACGCCCTACATCTACATGTTCTTTATAGTTTTTTATATATCACATTTACCGAAGGACAATAAATGAATATGTTCTGTGGATCGTGTAGTAGCTGTTGTTGTTCGAGTAGTATGACGTTGGTGCGACGGATGATGATTCAGAATAGAAGATAGAAAGAGAAGATGTCACATCCGCAAAAAAAAAAAAAAAAAAAAAAAAAAAAAAAATGGAGCTTTTCAAAGTTGTTGGCGATGCTGTTCATTTGATGACGATAATTACGATGATGATGATGATGGCAATAATGATGACGATAATGATAAAATCACTTATGATACTTGCTGTTGTTATTGTCCCATTGAATCCTGCTGTCATTAATGATTCCATTGATAATGATGTTGATATCACTTGTAATCTTATTATAATTGTCGTTGGGAACCGTTCGAAAGAAGCTTTCCGCCTTTGTAGTAATATTCACAATGTCACAGTATTATATGATAGAAAAGGATATAGAAAAAAAAAAGATGGAGCATTAGAAATCGGTACGTTCCATCCGTCGTTCTCTTTCTCTTACTATTATTTTATTCACTTGCCTTTGATAATAATAATAAAAGTGTTTGTCTTTTTTCCAAGTGGATAGTCAGGGTAATGATGTTCGCATCCAAGACCAGAATGCTAAAGGTACATCTATTTTAGTGGCCAATTGAATCTGTCGCTTTGAAATAGTCGTTTGAACATTTACTTTATAATTATTGTGTTTTCCGTTGGTGTTGCTGCTTTTATTTTCTGTTGCTGTAGATATCAAAAACGTACTTCCCAACTTTCATTGCCGATTGTGTTTGATAATAGTATACGGAAGAACAGATAAACGATAATGAAAGAGAGAATCATTCAATTCATAAAAGTATGTTGATACCATAAGAATTAGAAAGGTGTAATGTAAAAACAGAAAAAGAGATGGGAATGCATATTGTACATTAGATGAATAAAAAAAAAAAAAAAGAAGAAAGAAAGAAAGAAACACGAAAAAGGGAAGTTGGAAAATTGATACCTTATCTTTTCTTGTCACTATGTAGAATGAACACGGTACTTTTAGTTCAATAAGCAGCGTTCTTTCACTCCGACACGGCTATCAATTGACCAATCATAATGCGTTATTTTAATTTTGGGTTTATAATAAACTTGTCGATTTTTTCGACATCTTCGCTCGCTTAGCTCAGTTGGTTAGAGCGTGGTGCTAATAACGCCAAGGTCACAGGTTCGACCCCTGTAGTGAGCATTCATTTTTTATTTTTTCTCGTAACTGGCCTGATGTTAAAATTATCCAATCAAATGTCACAACGAAGAGCAGATGGAACGCCACAGTCCTAGTGTTAAGGAATTTTTTGGTTTATAGGTTCAAAATTGAAAAAGTAAAACGGATGATTGAAAGAGAATAAGTTGTTTAGTGAGCACCAGTACTTGATTACGCAAGCACACGTATAAGAAAAGAAATAAAATAAAACAAAAAGTAAAGTAAAGAAAAATAAAGTCTTGTTCCAAATTTGGAAAGTAAAAGTAGAGTAAAATTGTTCTGACTTTAAATATAGAACAAAGTGAGCCAATCAAAATAGATGATCCACAATATAATCAAGTAGGGATGTAAAGATGTTTTTATTTAAAAAATATATAAAATATTGACTGATTGAAACTAACTAACAAAAAAAAAAGGAAAAGAAGGGGTATTTATACTATTTGAAATTTAAGGTTAAAAAAATATAATATGAAAAAGAAAATGAATACGAAAAGAATAAGTGAAATAAAAAAATAGAATGAAAATAAAAGGGGAAGTAAAAATGAAAGTAAAAATTGAAAATAAAATTATTTTTTTTTTTATTTTTTTATATTATTTTTTTTTTCTCTTTTTCTCTTTTTTTTTTTTTTTTTTTTTTTTTTTTTTTTTTTTTTTTTTCTCAGCAACATTTCCAATGTTACGGATTTTTTTGTAACTTGGTAGATGATTGATTTGTAGAATTGTTAAGATTTTTTTTTTTGTTACTTGGTTGATGTTTGTTTTATAGAATTTATGGATGATATTATTAATATAATAATATCAATGATGATTGAATGTTGTGAGCACCAGCTCTTTTATAAAGAAAGAACAAAATATAATATATGATGTGTTAAGATTTTTTTTTTTGTTTCTTGAGTGGATGATTGATTTATAGAATAGATGGATGATATTATTAAAATAATAATATCTATGATGATTAGTTTGTAGTGAGCACCAGTTATTTTTATAAAAACAACAGAATAATTTATAAGATAAATTTAAATGTATGTTCCAAATATGGAAATGAATACCTTGATTATATGATCACAGTTGATGATGATCAATAAAATTAAAAGAATTTAAAAATAAAAAGCTTGATTATTGCTTGAAAAGAATAAAACAATAATACATGATGGATAGAATAGTCATCACTAACATATATGTACATCAACATAATAAATCAAATAAAGAATAAAAATACGATCTGTTTTATTGTAAAAAAACAATAATAAAAAAAAAAAAAGGTTTTCTAAAAAGCATATGATAACGAATCAAATCATTCGTATCTTCTATAACTACTCATCAATCCCCACGTAAACCCTTTCGTACAGCTAAAACGGAATCCTAAAAGAAGAAGATAGGAAAAATAAAAACATGATTAGAATAAAAACATATAAATTCTTTATATCGACTTACGACAATGACAGCATCCACACCATATTTCTTTTGAGCTACAGAATTTTGTACTTCATTATTCAGAACACCATAAGTAAACAGCAAAAGACCAGTTTCTTTGACAACAGACACCATTCGGGGAGCTTCTAAAACGGGTTCACTAGCAGCCACAATACCCAATAAATCCGCTTGTTTGGCAAATCGAAGAGCACCTTGAAGAGAATTACATCGGATATCTGCCATTGGTAAAGTACCAGCATCAGTCAAAAAGAATACAGGATAGTTGGGTTGTTTCAAATTGAGAGCGAGACAAATTTCAGGATGAAATGAGGAAAAGATAATACGTCGATTTTCATCTGCATTGTTGTAAACACATTCCAATATGGTATCTACGTAAATGTTGAGTTCCTGGAATTGATGAAGTTCATCATCTTCGGCTTCATCTACCATAGGATATTTAACTTCAATGTTGCAACCAGCTGTTGACGGTACTCTCTAATGATGAAAAATAATTAGATCATCCTATTTTTACTGCATATCCTTTTTTTTTTTTTTTTTTTTTTCCCTCTTATTTACCTTCAGTGTTTCAGCTAAAGTTGTGAATGGAGCTTGAATTGTTTCAGGGCCATTTCCTTTCACTTTTCCAAGTTTGTTTGTACGAGTTAAAGCCAAACGGTCAGAGTGGTCAGAGCGACGTGAAAAAGTAGGAACACCTTTGATAGAGCCAAGTGAATGCGATCGATTGACCCGTTGTTTTGCTGGAGTTGCACTTGATACTATATCATCCATTACAGTTTCAGGTACAGTGTTCACAGTGGGTATGATTTCTCCTTGACCATCATTACTAACACCAGTATGGTATTCCTTGATATGACCAGAAGGACGAAGATTCAAGAATTGTTCAACAGTAATTGCATTCAATGGAATATCGAAGCCAGTTTCAGTCACAGTCCAATCATGATAAATCACAGGTACAAGATCCTTGGTCAGTTGAACATCTTTTTTTAAAAAAAAAAAGACTGTTAAGTTTTTCCTCCTCTCTCTCTTTATCTTTTTCTTTCTTTCTTTCTTTTTTTTTTTTCTCCAAATCATTACCAAATTCCACGTATTCAGCACCAAGAGAAGCAGCTGTGATAAAAGACAAAACTGTATTTTCTCCTACTTGAAGACGCGATCCTTTCTTGTTCATTCCAGATCCACGATGTCCAATCAACTATTAACAAATATCAAGATAAAATCAAAAGTCATAAATATGATTAAAATAAATTTCTATCTTTTTTTTTTTTAATTATTCTTACCTTTGTATCCAATGATTTATAGTAAGTATAACGATCACCAACTGACATTCTTTCATGAGTAAAAGGAGAGATGACAAAGTATTCAAAACCAAGAGAACCAACACAATCTAATGTAGAGGTGCGAACCAATGGAACAGTTTGTTGACCACGTAAAGAAGAATTACCAGTAGCTTGACCCTTAAAACCTTTCGTTTTTGAATAAATATGATCAGTTGCCAAGAGAGAAGTACCACGAGCCAAGACACCATTTTTCTTGCCATCACCACTACCAAAAGTTTCTATGAGATCAAATCGAATCACCACGTCTTCTGGTTTGGAAGAAAATAAGACAATAGGTTCAGGATGAAGTAAATGATGTTGATTGTTGGGAGGAAGATCCAGAATAGGGAATTCACCAGTAGCATTGGTTGCAGAGACAGCAATGGAGAGACGTTGATCTTCAGCCAGAGTTTCAGTCAAAGTCAAAAAACATCGAGATAATTGATTTCGAATATCGTTGGATCCCAGAGTGATGAGGATCATGCTTTGATTTGTTAAATATTTGTGCCCATACAATCGTTCAGGTCTTGCCAAAGATTTTGATTTTCCTGTAGAAGGAGATCGTTCACCTTCTTTTGGGTTTTCAGATCGTTTGACATTGTTACTACTTCCATCCGTCAAAGTCTTGCCAGATTCCAATAATATTTGTTCACTATTTGGTTTTGTTTTACGTCCAATATCAAGATATCCCCGGAAAATCGCATGTTCGTAAGCTGCCCAGCCATTGCAGTCCACTTTGGTTTTGTCTGCACCACCATCCAATAATAATTGTACAATTTCAGTATTACCCTCAATAGCTAAAATGAGAAAGTAATAATAATAATATAAGTTGAAATACATTTAATAATACTTTCTATATATATATATATATATATATATATATATATATATATATATATATATATATTTACCTGCAACCATAAGAGGAGTAACGCCATTGATTTTTTCGGAATGATTGACATTTGCATGACCAGCTTCAATCAGAGCCTTGACACCATCTGAGAAACCATTTCGAATAGCCAATAATAAAGCCGTTTCACCATCTTCATCTGTAATATCTGCTGACGCCCCTTTTTCGATCAATAATTCCAATAGAGCGATGTTTTTAAGTTCTACTGCCATTGCCACTGATGAAGGATGATGAGATGAGAGAGTAAAATCTGGTTCAGTTATAGTTGTTGTTCCATCATGCTTTTGTTTGGCTGATGCAACTATATATATATAGAGAGAGAGAGACAAAGAGAAAAAAAAGAAGAAGTCAAAATAAAAATGATGATTCAATAAAAAAAAAGATCATTGATCCTATTACCTGCAATGATATCATCTACGTTGTTAATGTTTCCTACTTCAATGATTGTCTTTACAGTTTCAGGATGTCCATGGAGAATAGCCAAAAATAATGGGGTATGACCTTCACGATCTTGCCATTGGGAATGAGCGAAACCAATACCGAGAGTATATTCATCATGGTTCATAGAATGTTCCAAAAGTAATTTTGCCATGGTAGAAGACTTGTGTTCAACAGCATAATGAAGAGGACGACGACCAGAGAAATCAGTTTGTGCGGTCAATCCAGGAGCCAATTCCAACAAGACAGTAATACCGGTAATAGCAGCTTCGTTGAGGGTATCAGCATGAATTGCAAGTTTGTGAAGAATATTTCTTTCGTTGATATCATGATAATGTAAAGGATCAAGATCAGCATTAATTAAAAACTTCAAACATTGAATAGAACCTTTCTGTGTTGCTAATTCCAATAGTCCATAACGAGTCTTAAAGAAAAAAAAAAAGGAAGATAGTGAATAAAACAAGATTTCAATAATAAATATATAGATATATATTACCATATTCATATCATGAGTAGATATATTTCCCATAGTATCAGAGGAAGAAAGAAGATTATCCAGTTTTTCGGTATCATCATGATCAATAGCATTCGCAAATTCTTGATTCTGAGTATCGGTAAGTAGGTTGTGCCGACTAATCTTGGAAGGTAAGGAAAGTTTTGCTGTGGGGTGTTGATGAGCGGATTCCAAATTCGGTGTAACTTTGTTTTTGTCATCACCATTGACAGTTGATAAAGAGGAGATCCATTGAGCCAATTTGTCCATTTCAGATCGCATCAAACCATGATTTGCAAAAGGAAGTACTGAAACCTATTTTATATATAAAATAAATAAATAACATTTTATCCATTTTTTTTTCTTTTGAAATACTTTTGTTTCCCAGTAAACAGTTTGAGTGTCTAGACCTAGTTTCTTGTCCAACCTAAAGTAGGGAGCATTGTTCATGTGAGAGAGAGGTGGATAAAACAAAAAAAAAATAACAACCGAATAATAATAATAATAATAAAACCACCCTGGACAAATACTAAAATAACCAGCCAGATACCAACAGGTAAAAAAAAAAAAAGGGAATTCCTACTTACTTTTTGAGAATCTTTCGGAATCCTTTTGTATTCAATTCAGCAAAACGCATCAATTTGTTCAATTGAGTTCTTGTTTCTTGAAGAGCACTTGCTAATTCATCAGTAATATCAGTACAAGAAGAACCAGATGTACTTGCATCATCAGCTATACTATTGTTATTATTATTGATAGTATTGACATCTTTGTGTTGTTGATACTTTTCAGATAAAATCCAGAGACGCCTATCTATTTGAGCTTGTTTATATGTATAAAAAGTATTCACCTTTTCAACTTCTCTATCCAATTGAAAGAAGATAGCTAAAAATAATATGCATATAATAATGAGTAATAGGTATATTTAATATTGTATTATTGTACCTGTGGTAGTTTCTGAAGAAGGTGGCAAGTCATGAGTAGCTTCATTAATAGATTTCTTTAGAGCCTTGTAAGATAAATAATTCTTGGACCATTCTGGTAACTGATTATTCAGTAATGCTTTCCCAAACTTCATTAGTGTTTTAAATAAGAGAAAAAAAAAAAGGTAAGAAAAAAAAAAAAAAGGAAAGAAAAAAAACGTAAAATATGATCTAAAGAAAAAAAAAAAAAGGCTTCCAATACATCCAATCATGAATTACGGTGTTTCAATAATTCCTTACCAGCATACACGTGGAGAAGACCACTCGCAAAGAGATGGCTACAGGTTCCAAATAAATCACAGTTCTCTTGAAAATTTGGCATTGTTCATTTTTACATCCGATTTAAAGTTGGAACTAAATAAAACCACACATATCATATTATTTACGATAGAGAGAAATTTTTGATCATGTATCTTTTCTCCTCCCCCTTTGAAAAAGACCAGACGGAGAATGAAAATCACAGAGTGTCTGTGTGTGTGTGTGTGTGTGTGTGTGTGAGAGAGAGAGGGGAAGAACGAGAAGTGAAAGGAAAAAAAAAAAATTTGAACCAACGCGCTCTTTTCTTTTTTTCTTTTTTTCTTTTTTTTTTCTTCTCTTTGTCTTGCAGTAGTTTTGTATCGGTGTATTTTTACCTTTTCCCTTTTATCATGATCAACTCTGCAAAAACTCATGAACAGATCAAACATAATATGAACAAAAACGAACCTCATGTCAAGGCAGGAAAACTTTTAACTCAATTGATTGAAAAAGATCAAAAACAACTTGACTTGGCTGACTTATTAAAAGGTAATAATAATAATAATAATAATAATAATAATAATAATAATAATAATAATAATAATAATATATAACAAACCTTGACTTAATTCTTCATTATATATATATAGGTTCAACATCTCAACAGTATACACAACCACTTATTAGACATACTGATCATTTCATCAAAACTGGTTCGATACGAATGCCTGATATCTTGGACGAAGCTTATGATCGTAAAATCTTATTTTTTTTTTGTTTCCTTTTTTTATGATATTCACTTCTTTCTTTTTGTTTTATACAGGTACGGAAGATTACAATACATTCGCAGGGATTTTACCAGAAATTGGTCGTGCTTGGATTGCTGTAGATAATATTTTGTACTTATGGGATTATATCAGTGGGTAAAATATATATTACTTTTTTATAAATGAACTAGTTTTTGATCTTATTCTTATAAACCTTCTTTTACTTAGAACCGATGTTTACCGTTATGACGATCAAGATCAAATCATTAGAGATGTTGGACTTGTTAAACCGAAACCAGGTAAGAGTTAATTTTCCACTTTTTGAATCAAGAAAGGAATATATAGTGTTATCATAAGAGAAAAATAAAAATGAGTAACTGATTGACTGAACCTCTTTTTTTTTTTTTTTTTTTTTTTTTTTTTTTTTACTTTGATATTGTGATTAGGTGTATTTGGAAATCATATTCAATATGTTCTTGTTGTTACTACTCCTCTTGAGGTCATTCTTCTTGGTGTTGGTATTGTGCCATCTACAACTCAAGGCAATACTATGGATCTTTTTGCTACAGATATGTCTGTACCTTGCGATGATATTCAAATGAGCTCTATTCAAGGAACTGGAAACGGACGTATTATTATGTGTGGATCAAATGGTCATATTTATGAATTGGATTACTATGTAAGTTTTGATGAAAACAAATATAAATATAATAAGAATCTTATATCTCTTTCTCCTGATGCTTTATTATTATTATTACCATTCATTATTATTATAATCATTTAGCATCCAGATTTATGGTATTCTCATTGTCGACTTAGATGTTTGACTGCCAGTAGTATGATAAATTATCTTCCAAGGTTACCTTTTATCCCCCAAACTAGTCGTAAGTCATCAATATGAGCTCACTATTTTATGAACAAAGATCGATCATATTAAAAAAAAATAATAATCTTTTTCGTTTGTTAGCTAAATTCAAGTATATCGCCATTGATGATGAAAGGAATGTCCTGTATGCATTTTCTGGAGAATCTACAATTGAAGTAAGAGATGGCGAGATGAAAAAGAAAAACACTGTTAGATTAACGACTATTTTTTATTTATTTCATCTCAAGGTATTTTATCTCGGATCCACCAAAAATGAATTTACCAGTGTTGCAAAGAAGACAGATATCACTAATTCGGCGATTAGTATGTGCCGCCAAAACTCAATGATTGCCTCAGCTCCTGATTTTAATATTGAATATCTTCATGTTGTATCCACCACTGAATCCAGTAAGATCCATCTTGTAGCTGTTACCGAGAGTGGATTTCGACTTTATTTCAGCCATCAACGTGATGCCCTACGAACTGCTTATACGTATCCTTCTAATATTCAAATGATACCAAATGCTCTCGAACTTTTACATGTACGTTTACCGCCACGACCTACCACAGTAAACCAAACTATCCAACCTTATCCAAAGATCTTTTGCTCCTATTATGACTGTGGTGTACTTCTCGACTTTCAGAAATTTGATGATCATAATGATGTGGTATATATGACCTCTGCTACTGTTGGTGACTCGATACAATCTACAACTTGTTCTACCAATGGATATGTAAGTTTGAATAAGAAAAAGAGTGGATAATTCAAAAAAAAAAGAAACTTACTTTTTTGTTATTTAGATCTCTCAGCGACCTTCACTCACAGAAACTGTTACGGAATTGGAACGAAATGGCAAGGTATGGGCAATATCAGAAGCTTCTACACCTCGGAAAGGCAAATACGCTCTTAACGATATTGGTAGTCAATTGACAGATCAACCTCGAAAATTTTTGGTGTTTACCGATCGTGGATTGACTTTTTTCAACAAAGAACGTCCTGTTGATACTCTCTATCATCTATTATCAGAATCCAAACTCAATCCTGAAAATTCACAGCGTGATCTATTGACCTTTTTTGATATGTTTGGCCAAACTCAAGCTTGTGCTATGTGTCTTAGTATTGTATGTGCAAGTTATGTTTCTAGTTCTCCTGAACAAGGTAAAAAAAAAAAAAAAAGAAAACAAACAAACAATCAAGCAATTGATTATATATCATTGACTCTTCACTATCCTTTTTTTTTTTTTTGTAGATGATATTGGAAGATGGGCAAAACAACTCTTTTTCGATTTTGGTGGTCATCCTTCTGCAGCAGGTCCTTCACCTATGATTGGAAACTATCTTGGTCAGGCAGTTGGTCAGACTGGAGTTATATATAGCAGTAAACATGATGGTTTAGCTTTGTATTTTGCTCGCCTGATATCCGATATCTGGAAAACAAAGGTGTTCGAAATTAGGTACACATTTGTTCTATTTTTTATCTTTTTTTTTTATTTTTGTTTATTCTTTTAACTAAATGAAAGTTTATTGTTTTGATAGTTCGGGAACGAATCAAGCTGACTTGTCTAGTCGAATTCAATCAAATTTATTCAATGTACAAAACAATCTTTCAAGACTCAAACATTTTATGGACCAGTAAGTGATTTCTTTTAATGGTGTATAGATAGTGTGGCATTTACTGATCATCCATTTTTCAAATTTTACTTAGAAATCCCGATTTCCATAACATGGCCGCTATAACCAATGACAGATTCCAATCCAATGATCATAATGCACTTCAATTACTATTAGTAAGATTTGAAACTAAAATGAAGCAACTCCAATATATAACTAACTATGGGTCTCTCTCATCTTTTCTTTTGTAGACGGAACAACAATCAGTACATGACCTTTATGAATTGTTGAAACAATGTATTGAAGCGATATCATTTATAGATTTTGTCATTGATGCTAATGTCAAGGATGTTTTACAATGGTAATAAAAAAAAGATGAAAAGATGTGGAAGCCATATAAGTATAGAAATGATATCATACTAACAGGTATATTTTTTTTATTAGTGTGCCTGAATCAAGCAAGAACGAAATAGTGAATATGACATTGGAATCTATGTTGTCTTCTCCTCAAGGTGTGGCACTTAAACGTGAATTAGTAATTGCGGCTATTTATAGGTATGGATCTACTCATATTCATGCGGGCTATGATGTGGTCAGTGATTTTCTTCAACGAAAATGTCCCTCCTTTTTTGGTGCAAGTGACATGGCTTTTTACAAGGTAAAAAAAAAAAAAAAAATAAGATAAAAATAAGATGACATATTATTGTACATGAAAATAAGAAAAGTATGTAATCATTATTGAGCTATGTATTTTTCTTCTATAAATAGGGTGTAGAAAACCTTACCTGTGCCCATAAAGCTGACGTGGACTATGAACGAAATATTGCTTTGGATGAATCACTCAAATATTTCAAAGACGCGGCGGATAGTATTACGGATGACAAGATGACAGAAATATGTGCAGAATATCGGTATCAAGGTTATTATAGGGGTGTGGTCAAACTTGCATTGGAACGAGCTAGGAGGCTGGACCCTCAAGAACAAGGATTGGCGTACATGGAATCAATCAGTAAAATACCATTAATAACAACGACAGCAGACGATCCTAGAGTACAGTTCTACGACCTTCGTTTACGATGTTACGAACAAATCTTCCAATCACTTGCAGAAGTTAGGCAGTTACAACATGGTATCAAAGTGATGGTAAAAGGGCGACAAATTCAGGTCAATCATCCTGATGCACTGGCCAACGAAGTACTATCAACAGCATTATCATGTGATGATAAACTATTCCACTATACACTATATCAACGACTTTTGGCGGAATCTAACAATGACAGCAGTATGTTGACAGAATTGTTATCAGTAGACACTAAGTATATTGTACCTTTCCTAAAAGAATATGTCAATGCTTTTGATGGAATGAACTTCTTATGGCAATATTACCGACGAAGGGAACAATATTACGAAGCTGCTTTATATCTGGAAGCACTTGCTATGGAAACACCTGATCTCTCTATCAATAAACGATTGGAATATCTTGGTCTGGCAATAGTAAATGCTCGCTCACGGGACCCTAAACATTTGGAATTACAAGAATCAACACAACTATTACAACGACTGGAACAACAAATGGAACAAGTACGAACAATGTCACTTTAGAATATCAAAAATCTTTTTTAAACAGAAAATAGAAATAAAATCAAAGTCGATGATGGGTTTAGTGGTTTTTGATAGGATGGTCTTTATTTAATTATTGTGTTTGTCTATTGAGTGCATGTGACATGCTTGATTTTTTCTACTGTTGATGACGGGAGATTGATGATTGATGGTTCGAATTGGATAATCATTGTGATCTTCAAAAAAAAAAAAATGGTAGAGGACTCTCTGGTTGTTCTCAGTCCGCTTGCCAACCATGGGGATTTGAATTTTTTTTCTTCTTTTTTCAATTTCACTCTCTTTTACTGAAACAAAATTTTTGGCATATGGTGTGGTAATGTCATACAATGCTCCTGTAAGTAATGGATCTCAAACAATGATGAGACTATGAAACTAGAAATAGTATGGTTGAAAAGAAAAAGAAAAAGAACTCATATAAATGTCTTTTTTCTTTTGTGATATAGATCTTTGTTTTACCAAACTCTTCACCAGTATCGAGTCAAAGTTCTTTCAATAGATTAGGCAATCATTCTATAAATTCCTCTACCATCGAAGACTCTAAAACATCTAGTAAGAAACCATTCAAATAGACCATTCAATGTCATTATATATTAATATATATATCTTCTGTTAGCACTATGGACCGAAAAATATACCCCCTTGACTGAAGTACGATCTATTCTCTGTTCCAATTTATGGCAAACTTGATGATTAACTTTTTCGTTTTATTATGTTGACGACTAGGATGAACTTGCAGTTAGGACTCAAAAATTGACAAAAATCAAGAATTTTATAGACGCTTCGGCTATCTCCAAACGGAAAGGACCTTACAAGGTAAGCATGCAAATTGAGATCAGTAGGATTTAGTTACATTCTTTTTTTCTCGCACATAAGTACAGACACATACTCACTCACCTTTTTATTCTTCTTGTTGGCGATGACGGATTTCTGTATTGATATTGTACAGATATTAGCATTGACAGGACCAGCCGGTGTAGGAAAAAGTACTTCCATTCGAATATTAGCGAAATCCATAGGCTATGACATTATTGAATGGAGAAATTATGAACAGCAAAAATATGATCCGGATGGGTATTTTGATCCTGGTAAGAACTAGTTTGTATACTATATATTAAGACAAATTGGTGTAATGAAAGATATTCCTACATTTAGATTATGAACCGACAATGAAACGATTCAGCGAATTCTTGCGTTTATCAATTCAAACAGGCAGTCTCAATACTGATCATCAGCAACAAAGACGAAAAATCATATTATTAGACGATCTACCGGATTTAACCACATCATATATCAAACACGAATTTCAACAACTACTGAAGAATTACGTTGAAAGTGATTATGCTTTCCTCATAGTGATCGTACATAGCTATGCTCATATGGTGACAGGACCTGGCAGATATCGACAATCCAGCATGGAGTCACAACTGATTGAACTTCAAGATATTATTCCTAATGATATACTTGTTACTGGACGATGTGGGATTGTTGAGTATGGAATTGATTTACATTACCTTTTTTTATATTTTCGTGGCACTGACACTTTTTATATTATATTGTATAGATTCAATCCTATTGTCAAAAAGACATTAAAATTGGTACTATCTCGAATCTTGAAATGTGAAACTAGAATATCAAGACCCAATATTAATCAACAACAACTAGATGAAATCATTGAATCTTGTCATGGTGATATTCGCTGTTCTATATTGACAATGCAATTTTACGCTACGAAACCATCCCATCGTCTTCCGCAAAAACGAAAAGCAGGCATAAACAATGAAGAACCTTCAAGGTAAAAAAAAAAAAAAAAAAAAAAAAAAAGGAATCTCATTAGATCAAGTTTACTCAGTTTTATATTTATGTGATAGTATCTTCGGTCGAGATGATCGTTTAGATTTCTTTCATGCTGTTGGTAAAGTACTTTATGCTAAACGTAAGTGATCAAAACTCAATAAAAATATGTATATATTTGAGCAATTGTTTTGTCAAATAAAAAGGAAAGAGGATTATTCATCATAGTCAAATAGAAAAATACTAATCATCACTCTTTTTTTTAAATATATATATATATAGGAACACCATCCGGAGCACTGGAATCCAAACCAATTGTAAGTATTATTTTCAGATGCAATAGTTTGAATATGTCATTTCTTTCTCACTTTTTTTTTTTTTGTTCTCTGATAGGATATTCTCAATAATTTTGATACGGACACTGATAAATATCTTGGGTATTTATTCACAAATCATTATCATATGACCAACAATATAGATGAAATTACTACAACTATGAATCATCTTTGTGATGCAGATATGATTAGTGGAATGGGTGATTGGCTGGTAAGAAGATGATTTCGATTCTACTTTTTCATTATACTGATATATTATATTATATTTTAGGATACTACACCATTGGAATATCAATTACTAATCTCGATGCATGGAATAATGTCATTCAAACGAAATAATAGTCATATATCAAGAAAAACTGAATTTGTTGCACCTGGCGAAGGTTATTATAGAAACTGGATCTCAAAGGGTAAGATAGAAAAATGATTGGATGATATTGCATGAAAAGTTACACCAACCTTCGTTCCCTTTTTTTTTTTTTTTTTGACATAGAATCTCCGAGGATAGTGACACCTATTGTAACCAGAACTCAAGATATAATTTCAACCAATTCAAATGATATGATGGATGATATAGATGAACCTATTGAAAACAACAGTGATGATGAATTTGATGCAATCTATGGGAATGTGGACGACAGTAGTATCTTTGACACATTAGATGGTACAGTCAAACAACACAATAGCGACGATGAATTTGATCAGATATATGGTGATGGTGATGATCTAGTTTTGATTTAGTATATATATATATGATTTTGTATATGATCTATTATTATTGTTATATTTTTTTTTAATTTTCAATAAAAAAAAGGGGAGTAGTCGGTATTTGAAAAGCAACAAGCCACTTTCTTCTTTTAGGTGGGGAGAAAGGGAAAGTTGGAAAAAAAAATTCTTTTTTTTTTTGTCTCTTCTTCTTTTTATTCTTTAGTTTCTACGTTTGATCGTTATTCTTATTGTTTGACTCCTCCTTTTTTTTTTAACACTTACGATCTACTAGAACTATGTCTCTTTATAACTTTAAAAAGATCGAGCCGGTACCTACGTCTTCGGACTTCATCGACATTATCTTGTCCAAGACTCAACGCAAAACTCCTACTGTGATCCACAAGAACTACAATATTGGTCGTATTCGTCAATTCTATATGCGAAAGGTCAAGTTTACTCAAGAAAGTTTCGAAGAAAAATTCAAGAATATTTTAGATGAATTCCCCAAACTTGAAGTAAGTCATCAATATAGATAAATGGTATATATATATATATATATATTTGTTATTCACACTAATATATATATATATATATAGGATATTCACCCCTTCTATGCCGATTTAATGAACGTACTTTACGATCGTGATCATTATAAACTTGCTCTCGGACAAATCAACACTGCTCGTCATTTGATTGATCAAGTTGCCAAGGATTATGTTCGTTTATTGAAGTTTGGTGATTCCCTTTATCGTTGCAAACAATTGAAGAAGGCTGCTTTGGGAAGGTAAAAAAAAATTTTTTTTTTGTATAAATGTTATTGAAAAAGGAGATAAGTATTCACATCATTATAATATCCTTTTTTTTTTTTTAGAATGGCTACTATTATGAAACGTCAAAAAGATAGTTTGGCTTACTTGGAACAAGTCCGTCAACATTTGTCTCGTTTACCATCCATTGATCCTAATACTCGTACACTTTTAATCTGTGGTTATCCTAATGTGGGCAAATCTAGTTTTATCAACAAAATCACTCGTGCTGATGTGGATGTACAACCTTATGCTTTCACCACCAAGTCTCTCTTTGTTGGTCATATGGATTACAAGTATATGAGATGGCAAGTGATCGATACCCCTGGTATTCTAGATCATCCTTTGGAAGAACGCAACACCATTGAAATGCAATCTATTACTGCTATGGCTCATTTACGATCATGTATCATGTACTTTATGGATTTATCTGAACAATGTGGTTATAGTGTTGAAGATCAAGTCAAATTATTCCACAGTATCAAACCTCTATTTGCCAATAAGCCTATTGTACTAGTCATTAACAAGATTGATCAAGTCAAACCTGAAGATTTACCTGCTGAACAACGTGCCTGGATCGAAGAAATTGCCAATGATCAAAATGCGACAGTTTTGACCATGTCCTGTTATAATGATACCGGTGTCATGGATGTTCGTAACAATGCCTGTGATCGTCTCTTAGCTGCTCGTGTGGAAATGAAATTAAAATCAACCAAAATCAACGATATTATCAACAAGATCCATTTGGCTCAACCTGCTGCTCGTGATAATATTATTCGTATGCCCAATATTCCTGAAGGTGCCAAGGATAGAATGAAATACGATGCCAATGATCCTAATAGACCCAAGACTGAAAAAGATTTGGAAGTTGAAAATGGTGGTGCTGGTGTTTATAATGTTGATCTCAAGAAGAAATACCTCCTTGCTGATGATGATTGGAAATACGATGTCATTCCTGAATTCATGGATGGTCACAACGTTGCTGACTTTATCGATCCTGAAATTGAAGAAAAACTTGAAGCTTTGGAACGTGAAGAAGAACGTTTGGAACAAGAAGGTTTCTATAATGAAGAAGAAGAAATGGTAAAAAAAAAAAAAAAAAAAAAAAAACTTGAACCTTTCTAACTTTTTATATATTTATAGGTCGATTCTGATGAAGAATTCCGCAAATCTACAGCTGATGCTATTCGTGAACAAAAGAAACTCATCCTTCAAGCTCATCGTACAAAGAATGCAAGAAATTATCCTACTTTACCCAAGAAGGTTACAAACAAGGTAAAAAAAGAAAAAAAAAGGAAATGATATGGATACTGATGTCTTTTATTTAGACTGTCACTGTGGATGATATGGGTAGACATTTGAGTAAGATTGGTCTTGACGCTGAAGCCGCTGTAAGCCGAACAAAGGCAGCTGGACAAAAACGATCAAGAAATGACATTATCCCTGATGAAGCTGTACGTGAAGCTGGAGCGGATTCTCGTAGCGAAGTGGCTGATGCTGAAGTCAATGCACAAGGGTTCCGAAATGTACGACAAAAGATGGAAGCTGACAAGCAAAAGAAATTGGTGCAAACTCAATCCAACAAGATGGGTAAACGTGGTGAATCCGATCGTGGTATTCAAACCAAGATGCCAAAACATTTATTCAGCAAGAAGACCTCTATGGGTACTCGAGATTGGCGATAGATTCTTTATTGATTTATTTTTTCTTTCATTGTACACTACTTTTTATTCACCATTATTATTATTATCATCATTTCCTCTCTTTTTCATTTTTTTTTTTCATATTTTTTATCCTTGTTATAGTTTTATTATTTTATTTTGCATCTTTATGGTTTTTAGAATTCTTCTTTTACTATCATTACATATCAATAAAGAAAACTACTACCACTTCTTTAGAAATGACTTTACAACACAATCTTTTTTTTTCTTTCCTTTTTTTCCTTTGCTATCCTCAGTATGATAAATGTATAACTGATGGATGGTTACCAAAAGACAAAAAAAAAAAAAGTAGACAAACAAATATGAATAATTCAATCATGATGATTTCATCATTAGTCAATGACCAATCATTCGAATCTCTGTGCAAAATAGTAATGGAGAAAAAAAAAACAAGATCTTTATTGATGTATATATATAAAAGTTGTGTACATTATGGAAGAATGTGTGATTGAAAGGACAAAAGAGGGAATAAAGTTGTTTTTTTTTTTTTCTAGAACCAAGAGGATTCTTCTTGTTCCTAATCAATCGCATAATATATTAGTTCTTCATTTTTCTCTTTTCAACATTGATCTAATTTTTTTTTTCAACTTACTTCATATTCTTCTTGACGATCATCTTGCCATTCTAAAAAAAAAAAAAAAATGAAATAAAACATCAGATTAATCATTATATATATATAAATAGATAAATAGATTACCTTGTTGTCGATCCAATTGACGTTGTTCTTCATCCAAACGACGTTGTTCTTCATCCAATTCACGTTGACGATATTCATCATAACCACCTTCATCCAAACGACGTTGTTCTTCATCCAAGCGACGTTGTTCCTCATCCTTTTCACGTTGTTCTTGATCCAAACGACGTTGTTCTTCATCCAAACGACGTTGTTCATCATCATCACCATATCCACTACTAATGCCACGATCACCATAACCACCGTAACCACCATAGCCACCATAACCACCACCACCAGAATGTTCCAATTGATGAATTTCTTGTTCCTGGCGTCTATTTTCTTGTTCCAAATGATCCAAACGAGCTTGTTGTTCTTCTTCACGTTCTTCATGTTCCTTATATTCATGAATACCATAGGCCAAAGCACCACCCATAGCAAGACCACCAAGAGCACCAGCAGCCATCTTCATACCATTGGACATTTTACCAAGAGGATTTTTCTTAGCTGGAGGAGTAGGACCAGAAGGATATCCACCTTCTTGTTGAGGAGGAGGAGGTTGTTGAGGATTACCACCATATGAACCACGTTCACCTTCATCTTGATGAGGTGGGTACTGAGAAGGTGGTTGACCATAAGGTTGTTGTTGAGGTGGAGGAGGATATTGAGAAGGAGGTTGACCATAAGGTTGTTGTTGAGGAGGATATTGAGAGGGAGGTTGACCATAAGGCTGTTGTTGTTGTGGAGGATATTGAGGTTGGCCATAAGGTTGTTGTTGTTGAGGAGGATAACCATAAGGTTGTTGTTGTTGTTGAGGAGGATATCCATAAGGTTGTTGTTGTTGTTGTTGTTGAGGAGAAGGATAGTTACCATAAGAAGGAGGACCAGGAGGGTATTGACTCTTTTGTCGAGGGTCTTCCCAAGTGGTAGTTTGAGTAGCATGATTGATGAAATAACTAGAATGAAATAAATAATAAGGTTTATTATTTCCTTAGTTTGTATTTTTGACCGGGTTCTATTGTTGGGGAACTTACGGACGGTTATCAGGAGCGTAACGCATTTCCCAGCCTATTTAAGTCAATAAAGAAATAATATCACATAAAAAAGCGTGTATCAGAAAGTCAATAATAAGAAAGACTTTATTATTTTTTTTTTACCTTGAGGTAAAGGTTCAGCCATGTTGTTGATAAATGATGAGAACTAAAAAGGGAGATGGAGAGAGAGAGGGAGAGAGAAAGAAAAAAAAAATATATAAAAATATCTCCAATTCCCGGAGTCCGTAGTAGGTAACACAAGCTATAGTTTATTGAGGTAAATGGATAAAAGGAAAGTAGCAATGTGGATATAAAGTTTTCTACGTAAACTTTTCGTTTGATACTAATACTAAAAGTCTTTGTACATGAGGAAGATCCAACTATTAATAAAAAAAATGATTATTATTATTTTTTTTTTTTTAGTAGATGATCATTTTAAATTTATCCTTCTTTTTTTTTTTTTTTTTTTTTACTTACCTTGAGATCTACATTTACCAATGAATGACGAACAACAGTCCGAGGTTGCGGTAATTCAAAGATCGTTTGATCAGTAGTAGCATCTAATAGTAATTGTTTGTTGTCATGACTTGTTGCCTTGGCTGACACAACTCGGAGTATCTCGTGGCTAATAGGTTCCTGTTTTAAACAAAATAAAAAAAAAAAAATCAGTTAACAGGTCCATGTGTTCTCCGCTCCTACTTTCTATTTCCTTACCTCGTATTCAGCAACATGGTAATTTTGCATCAATTTTTGAATTTGAGTAGGCGATAATGTCCAACATACATCATAAATTATTTGTATATCATCCAAACTATTCTTTTTGAGTTGTAATAATTTTGTGGTTTGTGTTAAATATTCTAATTCCAAAGTAGCATCTGACATGTTTTGAGCTTGACACCATTCTTCTAATCGGACCAAATTATATTGTACTTGCATCGCTAATAAATAATAATCAGTCAGTGAGTTGTACAAAAAAAAAAAACAAATATCATTTCTATAATACCTCGTTTCCATGAATTATAATTACGTCGCATCACCATATCATTGAAACAAGTGACACCTACATATTTGATCATTTCATTCACTATTTGTTCCTTGGTAGAGATTTCCAATTGATAATGTTCGATCAATTTGATAACATGGTCAAAATAACGAATCAAATCATCCATCGTAAATGCCGCCGCTTGATTATTGTTAAATAGACGCCCAGTATCGTTTGCCAAGAATCCGGGAAGACATTGACTTTCAATCACAGCTGCCACCGCCATCTTGTTCAACTTGATATGAATCTCCTTCATTACTTGTCCAAACAAATCCATTTGTAATCGTTGTAATTCATATTTGACTTTGTTGACAACCTTGTCCACAGCATGTTGATGAGTTGATGTTTTTAATGGTTCCATAATAAATACCAATGATAAAAGTTCATGTGCATTCGTTAACCAATACAAATAAACAGCCAAAACATCATCGCCATGTTGTTCCTATTTAAGAAAAAGAATTTTTTAGCCACATTTCATTATCATTCTATTTACTATTTGATTTTTTTTTTTTTTTTTTTTACCTGACAATGTTTTCGAATCACGTCAATAGTTGAAAAGATAAATTGTTCAGATTCAACCAAATCACCTAATTTCCACATAAGAACGAGACACAAGTCTATGATATGAGCAGGGAAAAGGATGTTGGTAGAGATGGAGTCATCAGTAGTAACCTGTTTTTCTGATTTGGCATCACAACCATTATCACCATTAATATCACGTGTCGTAGGATCTGTGATAGATAATCGGATAAGTGATTCATAGATTTCTTTATGTAGCGTTTGTTCATCCAACAGTAATGTATGCAAATCTTGAGACACTTGGGTATCGATATCAAAGAGTTCATTACTGGAAATTTCATCCTTGTTGTTTTCAGGTTGTTGATGTAATGCGGTTGTACCGTTGTGAGTCGATGGTTGCTTGATGGTACGATGAGGTTGACGATTCAAGGTATGAGATAATTGACTTTTCAAAGCTGCGATTTGAGACTTGAGTTCACTAACATTGGGGATATCAGCAAGTGATTGAACGGCCTTTTGAGAAGTATCACGTAGCTTTGTCATTTCATTCTTTTGTTTGGTCAATTCATCCCGAAGACGTTCAATTTCTTTATCTTGATGTTTAATCTTGTTCAATGAAGTGAAATATTCTTGTTCCAAGCCTTGACGTTCTTGATGCCATTGATGCCATTTATTGCTATTATCAGTTGTTGTTGTTGATGAAGTCTTCTCATCTTCTGTTGTTGGGTCGAGTTGTTTTGCACGTTGATCTAATTGGTCATACTTTTCGATCCAGTTTCGTACTTGTTCTTCCAATTCAGTTGCCTTTTCCTTCAGATGCCCCTTTTCTTCTTTTTGTCGTGTCAAACTTTGTGTCAATTCCACCACTCTAGTTTCCAACTTGTAGGATACCTCCTTAAAGTGAGATACAGAACGTGCTTCTGCCTTGATTACCACCAGTTGTTTGCGAGCTTGACGTCGTCGGACACATGATTGAATTCGAATAACAAATTGCCGTTTGGTTTGGTACAAACGACGAACCATCCATCCACGCACCAAACTCTGAATTTGTGTTGCTGCATTGTGTTTTCGTACCATTGAGAAGTGTTTCTTTGCCATCACAGATCGTACTGCTGTTTGAAGTTTGATGATGAATGCCCGTCGTTCAAGGAATGCTTTTCGTACAACATACATACGCCAATAGGATTGAATGACTGTTGCTGCCTTGTCTTGTCGTAATTGATGAAGAAGTGCTCGACCATGTTTCTTTCGAGCCACTTGTTGTAACTTGAGAATAAAACCTAGAGTCTGTTTGTACTTTAAACGTGCCATATATCGTCGCATATTCTTTTGGAGGAGAATTGCCACTTCGCTCCATCGATCAGTTCGTAATTTTTCCATATAAGCCAACTATGGTAATGTTATCAATTATAATATATATATATATATACATATATATAAATAAAATAGGGTTAATAAAATTATTTTCATGATATTAGGGATCAACTTCATTTACCTGTCCAGCTCGGAAGAAGATTTTAGTTAAACCAATTTGATATCTATCAGGACTAGTAACATGAGTATCTAAAATAGCACCACATAGTTTTCTTTCATCTGCCTTGTTCCTTGGACGCCATTGATCAGAAGGAACCAACACGTAGTAGCGATCAACAAAATCACTAAATGTCCACCGAGTAGGATAACCGGAGCAACTAATACGGATTGTTTCTAATACACCACATGCGCGTAATTGAGCAAGTACCATATTGGGTTCAAATTGCCATGCTGCTTTGGCTTCGTTTGGTTTGATACATCTAATATAATGCACATTGGTTTGACCGATAGTATCCATCAAACTGATCAACGATAACTATGGAAATAGTATATATGAAATTGAGTGAGTATGAAGATGTAAAAGATTTCTTGCCATTTTTTTTTTCATTACCTTGAAAATGGAACCAAGTGTTGGTTTCTTCACCAAGCTAAGACGTTTTGGACTATTTGTCTATAAAAAATAAAAATAAAAATAAATATGAGTGATTAAGGTTAAATGCTATAAGAAATGATCATTACCGGAGAGTCAGATCCACTATTGCTTGAGTTATTTTCTTGAAGCATATCCACCAAAAAGTTAAATTCAGCACCTTGTAACAAAGCCAAATGTTCATCAGGTACGGTATCCTTGTTCTTGTCCATAAATCCTTCAGCTTCGTATTGTACATCATGAGCATAATGAACGACGGTGAATGAACTGTTGGAAAACCGAGGTTTCTTGAAATAGTCTTGATAAGGTGGTGATGCAAATGTTTGATAAAGCTTGTTACAGAAGGCTTGATCAGTTCCAGAGGGTAAACGAGATTCCTAATATCAAAAAAAAAAAAAAGAAGAAGAGTGAGACAAATGTTAATATAATATGATATATTAATTTACTTCATCCAGAAGTGAAAGAATACCCATTTTAGCTTCAATCATTTCAATACATTTCTGATTATCACTGAATTCGATAAACTTCCAATTGATTTCTTCCCGAACGTATTCTTCTTGTTCCAGTTTGAATACATGTTGATTAAACTATGATTATATCAATAGAAAGAGATAAATAAATGAGTTTCTATATCTACTATATATATATAAACTTACTTGTTGCTGTAATTTTTCATTGGCATAATTGATACAAAATTGTTCAAACGAATTCTTCTTGAAATGTTCAAAACCATAAATATCCAACACACCTATAAAAGTAGCTACACTTTCAGGAGAAGAACTTGAGAGAGTATCATTCACAATGTCGACCAACCAATCGAATAGGTGAGCATAAATATGTTTGGCAACTGAATCACGAACAACTTGAGCTTGAGTAGGACTGAGATTAGTGACGATCTTTTCAGATCTGGTAGTAATTTGTCGACGTACAATCCATTTTCTAAAATCTGAAGTCTTGATACCGAGTAACTTGGTTGTCATGAGTAAACTTGGATCATCTTCAGCAATCATAGCATCACCACGTCCAGTAATATCAATGTTGCCCATATGTAAAAGTGCTGCCAGTAATTGGAAGAGATAAGTTTGAATGTCTTTTGATATACCAACTTTGATCAATGATTGTTGAGTCAATTCAAATTCTTCAGCATCATCTACACCAGGAATAGTACCAGCACCACTTTGATTGAGATAATGATAATCTGACCAATTTTTTAAGCCCAATTGTTGTTTTTCTTTGGATGGAAGACCACTACATAACTAAATTTCATTAAAGTAAAAATTAGTAATATGTTGTGAAATAAACAAAACTTACTTGATAAAAAATATGATAATTGCGTTCAGTTTCAGGTTGATAAATAAGTCGGGATCGTTCCAATAAATAAGTTTTAATTTTGGCACCAATGATATTGCATTCTTTATCAAATTGAATCTAACAAAATAAAGATTTTTTAGTTATAATATATATATATTATGATCATTTACTTCAATGTATTTCCCAAATCTAGAACTATTATCATTTCTTGTTGTTTTTGCATTTCCAAATGCTTCCATGATAGGATTGGTAGCTAAAAAAGAAGAAGAAAAAAAAAAAAGGAATAAAAAAGTGAGTCATGATTTATTTGATTCTAAAAGATGTGTTATTTTTTTACCTAAAATTTGTTCTTCTACTTCAGTCATTCCTTGATTATTCTTTGCTAATTTCCCAGTAGCTTCTTTATCATCAGCAGTAGCAAAATAACGCATGATATATTTGGCACTAACTGTTTTTCCAGCACCACTTATATAAAAAAAAAAAGTGATTAATTTCATTTTATATTATTATTATTATCATTTACCTTTCACCAGATACAATGATGGTTTGATTTTGTTGTTGACGAATCATACAACGATAAGCATCTTCAGCAATAGCAAATAAATGAGGATCCAAATCACCACGACGACTTCCAGAATATTTTTGAATAATATCAGGTTCATAAAGGGATACTCGATCAAAAGGATTGGTAGCAATCAAGACAATACCAGAATAAGTATAAATGATTTTTTGATCATATCTTTTACGAATGGTGTGGAGTACTAAAGTAATAAAAAAAAGAAGTGAATTATTATTTATTATATGTCAGATAATGATTATATTTTTTTTGTCCTACCTGAAGGTTCATTCAAATAACTAAGACTTGTCAAGTCGTCTGTTGATTCTAGTTTATTAGGATTACGAAGTGGTGGTAATGTTGATCCATTATTCTTTTCAAGTTCCTTATATGTTGCTTCGAATATATGTTCCTAATAATAATAATAATAACATCCATTAATATAATAATATATAATAATATATATATATATTTACCTTTGAATTGTCTATATCGTTTTGAAACAATAAAGTCACCTTGTCATCGATGTGTTTTGATATACAAGTAGCTGAAACCCAACCTTCTTTATCATCAGCAAACCATACTTTAGTATCTTTTGAATAGAGATCCAATTGTTGAGAGAGTGGAGGTGTTACCATATCAATGAATAATAAATAAAAAAGAAAAGAAAAAGAAAAAGAAAAGGAGAGATGAAAGAAAATAAAAAAGAGTGAAAGGAGATGAAGTAGTTCGAAGAATAATATGTAGGATTAACAAAGAGAAAAAGAATAAAAAAACGAGTTTTTATATAAAAAGAAAGGGTCAACTTATTCGTACCCGTATGTAAGGGTGAATAGAATAAGTATAATAATGATAAATGGGTAATAAAAAAAAGAAAAAAAGAAAAAAGAAAAAGAATAAAAAAAAGGGGAGAAAGAAAGGGGTGAATCAAAGGAAAAAGAAAAAAAAAAGGTGTTCTTTTTAAATCTCAGTTCAGTATCGTATCAAATTGACATTTGTTCTTTTATATAATAGTTTGTAAAAGGAGATATAATATTTGATTTATTGTGATATATATATAGCTACAAGTGAAGGATAATTTTCTTTTTCTTTTTTTTTTTTCTTTCTATTTTTCTATATAATTCTATACTAAAAAGAAAAAAAAAATAATCTTAAGATTTATTTTATCGAAACATACGAAGATAAGCCAAAAAGAGAGCACCACCACCAGTCATTGTACCAATAAAGTATTGTAAAATTTGAAACTTGATTGCTTCCATTTGAGTCCTTAAACCAGCCAATTCACTTTCAATTCTTGTATCAGTTTCCTTGATCTTAATTTCTTGGGCACTTGTTTCATCCCTAATCCTTCCTTTTTCCAGATTCAGTTCTAGTCGTACATTGGCCTGTGTTCGTGTAATTTCTTCTCTTAACTTTTGTCGTAATTTATCCAATTCATTTTGTAGTCGTTCATTTTCCGCACGCATCACAACAAATTCATTCTTTTCTAATAATTGTAATTCTGATTTGACCTGAGCAAAATCCACTTTGTAAGTATAAACTGCCTAAAAACATATATATATATGTATAAAGAATTATTCATTGTTAAGTATATATGTTTATATATTTATATATATAATCAATTTACTTTTTCTTGTTCTGCTTTAGTCACCACACTATTGGTCAATTGTTTCATACTAAAGAAGAAATATATATATAAAATATATAAAAGATATATCATAAAAGGAAGCATATTTTTACCTATCCGAGATGACTTCTTGTAACGAACCCATGATAGCTTGACTTTGTAGTCGACTGAACCCCTCATGTTCTAATCTTTGTACAAATTTAAAAGTATCAAAATGAAATTGTGTACGTTGTTTAAGAATTGTACTTGTATGCAAGGATCGTACTTTGGTGAATGAAGATGGTACTAAACTTTTTAGCACTATAAAAACAATCGTAAACAAAAAAAAAAAAAAATAAAATAAAATGTTTTAGTATTATATTATTTTTTATAATTCAATGTTTTTATTCTAATTTTTTTTTTTTACCTAATAAAGATGAATTATTCATATTTATGCCAAGTATTTGTTTATAAAAGAATGAAATAATTGGTTTTTGAGAAAAGAAAAAAAAGAAAAAAAGAAAAAAAGGTTGGTTCCTCGTTTGAGTGCGGTTGATCAAATTAATTTTGTCTTTTATCACTTTTTGAATTGCGGATAATCCGGAGGTAATATTTCCGAAAAAGAGAGAGAGGATCTTTTTTACTTTTTTTTAAAAATGATCAGTTACTTCTTTCTATTTAAACATGATCAAGGTTAATACATTCGTTGATAGAAGATCAATCTTTTTTTTTTCTTTTTTTTTTTTTTTAAAAAAAACAAAACATTTATCATATTAAATTTGATCAAATGGGTCATCTCAATGCACTTGGAATGCCTTTGTAGGTAGCAGGCGGAGGTAGAAAAGTTTTTATGATTTTGGTACAAAAAAACAATTATTTTTTTCTTCGGGGTGTTACCTCTTTTTTTTCTCCCTCTCTTTGTTTCCTTTTTCATATATTCATGGTGTCATGATGAACGAAGACCACGAATATGATTATGAATCACTTGGAGCCAATTCAACTATGACTCAGAATGCTATTGCTGGAGCTCTTGCCGGTATTGGTGAACATTGTTTAATGTTTCCTGTAGACAGCATCAAGGTAATCAAGAGTAAAAAAAAAAAAAAAAAAAAAAAAAAAGAAAAGAACCAACACACCTTATTTTTTTTTTCTTTATGTGGGTAAATACTAAATATGTATATATAGACACGTATACAAGTGGGACAATCTTTAGGCAGTATGGCGGTTTCTTCAATAGACTGGTTTCGATCTCAACACCTTTGGCGTGGGGTATATTCTGTAGTCATGGGGGCTGGACCAGCTCATGCTCTTCATTTCGCTACCTATGAATTCTGTAAGGTGCGCTTTTATCGACTTATACAACAACATGGATCTTGGACTAAGGACGAAAATCTTCAACAACTTATCGCAACAAGTTCCGCGGGTGCATGTGCTACTTTGGCTCACGATGGTATGATGACTCCATTTGACGGTAAGAATAATAAAAAGCATAAATAGAAGAGATATATTTAAAGTGAAAAAGGGTCATGGTGGTAGAAAGAAAGGAATGAAGATTAAAGGAATGCTGAATATATATATTTAATTTTATGATTTAGTGATCAAACAACGTATGCAGTTAAAGGATTCAGTATATAGATCAGTTCGTGAATGTGCTCGGCAAGTATACGCGAAAGAAGGGATTACGGCATTTTATATATCTTTACCGACAACACTCTCTATGTCTATTCCATTTCAATCTATTCAATTCTCAACTTATGAACGATGTTTATCCCTTTTAAATCCGGGCGGTATTTATGATCCAAAATCACATGTTGTAGCAGGTGCTGTAGCAGGAATCATAGCCTCATCAGTGACTGTAAGTTGAACCCGAAAAAAAATATATATATTGTTTGTGTTAATAAACTTCTTATTTATTCTAGACACCATTGGATGTTATTAAGACTTTATTACAAACAAGAGGATCATCTATGGATCCAAGGATACGACATTGTAGTGGATTCTGGGAAGCTGGCAAACTGATATATGAACATTATGGATATAGAGGATTTTTTAGAGGATTTAAACCAAGAATACTGACTCATATGCCTGCTACTGCCATCAGTTGGAGTGTTTATGAATATTTCAAATGGTTTTTATCAAGAAACAATTGAATCAAGGTTATTATCATTATTATTATTAGAAAGATCTCATTTGTTTTGGCGTTAGGATTGATTTGGATAGATGGATGGATTGCAACATATTCTCTTTATACATATACATAGATTTTAGTTCTCCTTTCATTTTTTTTATTATTATTATTCTTATTTTGTTGTCACTATCATTACTAATTATTATCATTACTAGTACTACATTTACATTCTTTTTTTTTTTTATACGTATACTCTTTTGGGAATACCGTATATACCAACGTTGTTTGATGGTACCATCTCTCTCTTTCTTTTTTTTTTTTTTTTTATTGATTACTATTACATTCCCCCAATTCTCATCATCACTTGTTACTTTATTGTTTCTACTTTACTTGTGTACTATAGATCATCATTTTAATAAAGAAAAAAAAAACATTCTGTCTTTATACATTACAAAAAAAATACAATTGGTTTTGATACAAAAACTATACAACACTTTATTTGTCATTTTGATTTTGGATCAACATAAAGAAAAAAAGGAGGGGGGAGGATGGGAGTAAAGAAGGTATATATATATATATATATATATATATATATGTTTATTAAAAAGAGATAATATATAATTCATAGATATATATTTGGAAGAAGGAAGGTATCAAGGAGAAGGGTTCAACCAATGCGATTTTGCTAATTTCTCTACACCAAGATTGGATTGGATTTCTGTCAAAGTAGATACGGTGGATAACATGGCTACTTTTCTATATAAATACAAAAACAACAAGTCAGGAGTACATATTCTTCAAATATTCATTTATGACTTACTGATTCAAGAGTAGATCTAAAGTTTTACTTGTCTTTTCAAGGGCTTGAAGTGTATGTTTGGCATGACCATCAACTTGAGTAAATTGTTTAGCTATCTTCATAGTATGTTCATGGCTATTGGATTGTATACTCTATTTTCCCAATAAGAATGATAGCAATCATACTTTGAATATTGACCTTTTTGCTTTTATGTTTCTTCTTTACCTTCAAACACGCAGTCCAATCGTCTATTGCAACATCGGCTTGATGATGACATTCTTCCCTTGCCATCCAAATATCATCTGTATTATAACTTTTGATACTTTTGAAACTACGATTACTATGTGATGGTGTAGGTGTCAAGAATCGAGACATGTGTGAGGGAAAAAAAAAAAGAAAGAGATGAGAGAAAAAAAATGCCGCCCAAAATCAAAAAAAAAAAAATAAAAAAATATGACAGGTTGTAAATACGCTTTATTGATAACAAGAAGGAAATAGTCCTATTTATTTATTTTTTAAAAAAAAGTGATACTATGAAATGGGATATACTAGGAAAAGGAAGAAGTGCTTATAGGCATCAATTGTTCAATTTACACAAAGAATCAGTAACAAAAATGTCGAGAGATTGTCAGAGGGATATCTCTTCCACAATACTCTGTTCATAATAAGGAAGATAAAGACTTAGAATCGGCATTATTGAATAGAATTTCATTTTCGAATGATGATTAGCGATTGAATCTTAAAGAGTTGACCAATCCATCCAGACCTATGTGACATTAAAAAGGAAAATAAAGTAAGTTATTGATCATACTTGTGAGTATATGATTTACGCCGTAAATCAAAACAAAAAAAAATTTCAATGGAAACGAATCACAAGAAATATGTATCACCGTTGTTACCTTTTTTTTTCCCAGACAGAGTACTGATCATCATCTAACTTTTTTTACATTCATGCACGAACCCATTGTATCTGTTCAGACGTAAAAATCATCCATCAGTAATCGTATTCAAATTTTCACGAAATACCCTGTATCAAAGGATCCTATGGATAGTAGAAAAAAAAAAAAAAAGAACATGATTATTAGTTATTCTTAGTGCCTTGAGAGAGAGATAACCACCGGATTCTATCTTTCTAGTAACTTATCTAAATCTTACCGTTTGGTCAGTTGAGAGATACCTACAGTAGGTTTTTACTGGGTTATTGTGTAAGCTTTTTAGTGACACTTGTTGTTATCGTTATATTGGATGTATAGTGTTAGACCAAAGAAAAAAGAAGCATAAAGTCAACATGAAGAGGAGAATGATAAAGGTATGGTGATCGGTAATGGCTTGTTGAATAGTATTGATGGAAAGGTAAAAAATGGATATAGTCAAGGAGTACAAAGGCCAAACGTGGAAAGGGTTAACATTGTTGAAAAGGGATGGAAAAAGAGGAAAGAAAAGTGGAACAAATAAGGAGAGAAGGTGGGGAACTCAATTTTTTATGATCTAGAAAGGAAAGTCCCGGCTGTTACGCATATAGGTAACCAATCTGATGGATCATCAACAAATATGAAAAGAAAAAAAAAGTTAAGAGGATACATACAAATATTCTCTGTAAAATCACAAATCCTAACTATTCTGTAAATTAACTATAGTTGATTCACTCGAGTCAGTTATCATGATATGTCTTATTTTTCAAAATAAAAAAAAAAAAAAAGGGAGGGAATGAAGCTGTCAATAAATTGTAATAAAAATTACCATTTTAGGTCATCTCTATATTAATACAATTTGGTTACTCCAATCCATTATTTTCAATTATGGTAGTTTGATCTTCATCATCAAAAAAAAAAAAAAATAATCATTATCTAGATAGGAAAAAAAAAAAAAACAAGTGATCGGCATGTTGTAGAATGTTGTACCAGAAATGATTGATTAGGACCCAACAATCTAGCCTTCAAAGTGTAGAACTACAGTATATCAACATATGCATCACATGTTCTTCACTAATCATCATAAAAATTGATAAATAGACAAACTTTTCACCAATCAATTGAAAGATCGACCGATCCATGGTGAAGAGAAACTTATGATTCCCACATTCATTCATATACGTGTTGATTCCATTAAAGAAAAAAAGATGATCTCATTAAAGGGATATTACTTTTGTCGTCTTCGTTCAGTTTCAAATATTCTATACTAAAACAGGCTATGATAAATCTTTTCATAATCATTATTTAAAACAAATCAACTGTTTTTTTTTTTATTGTCCATAAAATAAAAGATGGGGAGGGTATCATGACTAAATCTAATAAGTAGTAATAATAATAAATTTTATATAAATAGATAATAAACTATATACAAAAGTAAAGATATATATATATAAATATGTATAAATAATATGTATAAGAATAATCACACCATAGATCCATCGACTTCATAAGTTGCAATGATTTTCCGATCAGCAGTTCTACAACGGACCATCCAATTACCATTGGGTAATTTGAGATAAAAGATAGAATAACCTTGATCCGCCTTTCCAAATACATGAGCTGGAGGATGATTTTCAGGTGATGAAGTAGTTGTGGAATTTGTTGTATCAGAATGATCAGACATTTGAATAAAAGAAGATGATGAATCAGAATAAGTTGTATTTAATGATGAACAAGAACTTGAACTGAGTGATAATTCCGAATTTGTCATGGATTCTTTTCGTTGACGTCGTAAAGAGAAGAGTTTCCGATGATTTGTAAAAATTGATAATCGTTTAATGGATTTACGACAAGGAGTATGAAATGAATAAGTAGAATGATGATTGTCCATAGATGATGATAAAAACATATTTATTTTTCTTAACAAAAAAAAAAAAAAAAGAAAAGAAAGAGATAAAAAAAAAAAAAGATCAGGTTCTTTTATGTGGAATTCGGACTTTTTTTTTGATGTACCCTGTTTTCTCGGCGTCTCTTCCTCAACCCCCTTGTTTGCTTAGCCAAAAAAGCAAAAAAAAAAAAAAAAAAGCTTTGAAGAAAAATTTCGGTAACCTCCGCAGCAAATCCGCAGAGATATCCAACTTGGCAGTAATAGAATGATTAGCGATCTTAATATTGAATCATAGTTAATCAATCAATTTAACTGCGGATCCATTCTTCTTCTCCTTTTGATGCATTATTAAATAAATATAAAAAATAAAATAAAATACAAATGTTTTAGAATGATAAAATATATTATTATTAATCTGATGTTTATTTATCATTTACCAAAGAAAAAACCGGCCCGAATCTCCTCGATCGGATAAAAATGACACATCCTTTTGTTGTATGTGTAACCAAAAGCATCATTTCATTGGCGCCAAGTCGTCATCATTTTCAAACAATAGGGGTAAATAAAGGAGAATAAAGACTTTTCTTTTTATTATTATTATTCAATAAGGGTATATACGAGAATAAAAGGATGTATCAAATAAAATAAATAAAAAAAGATGTAGGAGTGAAAGTGACAACTAACTATTTTTTTTTTTTTAAAAAAAAGAGAATGTGTATATATATATAAAAATGACTGTGTGTAAATAATGTACAAAAGATAAGTGATCAATAATAATAATAAAAAATTATATACTAGTAAATGAAAGATAATAGTAATAAAAAAAAAAAAAGGGAGGGGGAGGGAAGGAAAAAATTAAAGGGAAAAGGGCTATTTACACTTGAATGGTGACTGATTTCTTCTTTTCCGGATGAATTGAAGCCGAAGATATAGCATAACTGTTGGTTGATAAGCTGCTTGTTTCATTTAATCCAAGATCATTCCCAAATTGGGCATCCACATCATCATTGTCTATATTAATTTCGTCATCATCATCAATATCATCATCGTGGCTGTCAAAATGAAAATGATGTTGTTGATTATTATCGTTATCATCATCATCTTCTTCGTCATCATCATCATCTACCCATTCAACAAATTTGCGTGTCACATTTCGTAATTGGTCGGCTACAAGGTCAAGTTGTAATAAATCATGATCATTATTGTTTTCAAAAGTTGCTGGTGAAGGTAAAGTATGCCACCAAGTTGTCACTGCATCACCATCAACGATATCATATTTGTAAAGCATCACGAGTAAACGATGGAAATTTTGTACAATATATTGTGATTCCTGATAGGTTTGATCAGGTTGTGTTCCTTGATGAAGAAGTCGTAATAATATGCGTTCAGCTTGATGTAAGAATTGATATTGATCTTCGTCGTTGTGTACATATCGTTCTAAAATGGCTTTCCAAAAATGTATAAACACGTCTTGAATTTGAGTAGTCATTAACCTAGCAACACTTAGAGATCTGTCTTGATCAAGTTCGGTGTCATTATCAATAGAAGAAGATGTAGGAGTTGAGGTGTGTATGGTATCACGAATCCAGCCTAGAAAAGCATCAGCCAAAGTTTTCAATACCCTATCAGGTGATGGATCATATTTCAGCATCAAGTCGTCGAATTCCAGATTGGCACGTGCGCTAGTCAAGTTGGAAACCAAAGCTTGTCGTAAGTAAGAAATGGCCAAATCTTCAAATTCTTCTTCAATAGCCGAAGGATCATCCTCTTCATCGTCCTCTTCATCGTGATTATTTTGATCATGGTTGATTTCATCATAACATTTTCGTTCGTTATTGCAGTCCATATCTTCACAACCCCATAAAGGACACACTTCATCATCCAAAGAAGAAGATAAATTGTTGTAATAACTGGTGATAGAAGTATTTGTATTGATATGATTATTCTTGACTAATTGGTTTCGAAGAGCTGTCAGTTGATCTTGTTGATCTAATATTTCAAGTTCTAATTGGGTATGTTTGTTGATAGAATCGTCGAAATATTTCTTATGTACTTGTTCAGCGATTTGTCGAGATTCTCTTTCATGGCGTAAATCTTCTTTGAGAATATTGACACTATTGCGTAAACCGGCATTTTCAGAGCGTAAACGACGTATTTCACGTAATAATCGATTATAAGAGTGTTTCTTTGTTTTGCCAGTAATATTGTGATCAATAGGTGGTGATACATCGGAAATAGAAGAATTAGTTGAATCAAAAGAAGTAGATGAATATTGATCTTCAATTGGAAGTGAAGAAGGATGATTCAATTCGTGAGGATAATATTGATGTCTAATCATATCTGCTGCCGACATTCGGTAAAATGTAATTTCAAGAGGTGATTGTCGTATAACTGATTCTAATAAAAAAAATAAAAATAATAAAATAAATAAATAAATAAATAAATATAAAATAAAATAAAAAATGAAATATAAAGTAATTCTTAATATTATATATATATATTCTTTTACCTAATTTGTTTGCATTCATTCGACACATTGCTGCGGGTGTTCCAATAAGATGATGATGATGTTTTGATAATAAAGTTGGTTGGTCAATAGTTGGTTTAAGAGTTGTTATCATATTTCCAGAAATGTCATAAATAGGAAGAGGTGTTGGCATTTTTCAATTGTTTTTTTTTTAATAGTAAGAAAAAGAGAGAGAGAGAGGGGCTATATAAAAAGTTTAACTATTAGTTTTTGTTTTAGTTTTAGTTTTAAATTGGAGAATATTAATAATAAAAAACTTACTGTAAAAAAAAAAAAGAATGAAAGATAAAAAATGCTTCAAAGCAAAAAAGAAAAAAAAAAAGAAAAAGATTGTAAATGAATAAATTCAAATCGCTTTAACGTTTTGTTGTATAGAAATAATGAAAATTGTATTATTTTTAAGAACAAAAGAAAGATGTATTTAGAAATAGGGAGAAAAAAAGAATAGAAAAAAAAAAAGTATTGCGGGGAATGAAAAAAGTTTTTTCTTTTTTCCTCTTAACCGTACTCATTTTTTAATGTGGTGGTTTCAGAACCTTAGCTAAGAAATGAGTCATACATTCTGCCACCGATCATCACATTATTATTATTTTTATTATTATTTTTTATTTTTTAATATAAAACCTCAATTTGGATGATTTATATTTGTTTTCTTTTTTTTGATATTTATGACGTCCTTGTACAACTTGATATATCAAAGTACTGTATTGCGTTATTTTCATATATATATATATTCTCTTACCTAATCTAATTTTGATGATTCCAGCTTATTCGATGAACTCCGTTGAAAGGAATTCTAAATGAAAAAGTGGCGATAATTTCTTCCTTTTTTTTTCATTCATTCATTCATTATCCCCTTTTTCAATTATGGTGGCAACTCAAAATAATGTTGATAATGCTAGTGAGCTCGATCACATGCTTTCATCCTTGCATAAGTTATTGATAGATTGTAAGTCAAAAAAAAAAAAAAATCAAAGCGCCCAATCAATTTTTTTTTTTTTTGAAATGATAGTTGTTCCTAATTTTTTTTCTCCTTTTCTTTTTCCCTATTTCACCCTTTCACTTCTTTTTTAATTTAGATGTCAAAGAAGGACAAAATTCTGATAATGCTGTGGTAGATTATTATTCACCTAAAGAACTTTACAAACAAATGGATTTTACTTTACCAGACAATGGGGCAGGTATTGAAGGTAAATTTTTTTAAATGTTTTTTTTTTCTTTTTAAAGATAAGGAAAGTCTATTAACATATTGATATATAAAGATACTTTTGAACTTATCAAGGATACTCTCAAATTCAGTGTGAACACATGGAATCCTCGCTTTATGGATAAACTTTACGCAGGAACCAATCCTATTGGTGTTATCTCAGAGATAATACTTGCAGTTTTGAATAGCAATTCTCATGTCTATCATTGCTCTCCTGTACTCAGTCTCATGGAAGTAGAAGTGACTCGTGCAACTGCTCGTTTATTGAATATGGGAAAAGTAAGTAATATATATAACATATATATTGTATAACTCATATATATATGTATTTTTTTTTTTAATTTAGGATGCTGGTGGTTTACTATGTCCTGGTGGTTCAGCATCTAATCTATTGGCAATGGTGACAGCTCGAAATAGACTTTATCCAAGTATCAAAACCAAAGGTTATTTACCTAGACCCTATGTTCCAAATGCAGAATATGGTGTACTCAAAGTATTTACATCTACTGACAGTCATTACAGTATTGAAAAGGCAGCTCAAGTTTTGGGATTGGGTATGGAAAGTGTGATCAAGGTACCAACAGATGAATATGGACGAATGCGGATGGATGAATTAGGCAAGTATATATATATTTATAAAAAAGAAGAAAGTCTCTTGACTTTTTTTTTTTATGAAATCCATTCATTTATCATTATTTTTTTTTTCTATTAGAACGATTGTTACAAGAATCTCTGAATCGTAATGAAACTCCTTTCTTTATCAATGCAACATCTGGTACAACAGTGATGGTAAAAGAAAAAAAGAATTGCTTAAAAAATAACTAGATCATCATGAGATTCAACCTTTTCTATTTATATAGGGAGCCTTTGATCCTTTAGATAAGATAGCGATCTTGGCAAAAAAATACAATTGTTGGTGTCATGCTGATGGTTCTTTCGGTGGTTCTGCTGTTTTTTCTGATCAAGTGATCAAGACAAAGGATTGGTTTCATGGTTCTGAATTGGTAAAAAAAAAAAAAAAAAAAAAAAGAAAATGAAGATTATGAGAAATTTAGGGGTTTGACTAAAAAGGAAACTAACAAAAAAGTTAAATTACTTTTCAATAGGTGGATTCCTTCACAATGAACCCACACAAGTTATTAGGGGTTCCTTTACAATGTTCCATGTTATTAACACCTCACAATGGTCATTTATTATTTGCTCAAGCGAATTCACTCAAAGCTGATTATTTATTCCATGGTAATTCTTATGATCTCGGTGCAGGTACTATTGGATGTGGAAGAAGACCAGATGCTCTCAAAGTGTTTTTGGCTTGGAAATTTTATGGAAAGAATGGATTAGGAAAACGTGTTGATAGAGCTTTATCATCGGCTTCTGAATTTATGGATATGGTTAGACAACGACCTGGGTTCGTTTTGGTTAAGGATCCTTGTCCCTTTGTACAAGTTTGTTTTTGGTATATTCCTTCCTCGATCAAGAACAAATTGGATGAATGGAAATTGAATGGTCTCTATCAAGAAAAGGTGGCGGTGGTAACTAAATTAATTCAACAACGTATCAATCATTCTGGTAGTTTTCTAGTTGATCATGCTCCTTTGAATGATTTACCAGATTTCTTCCGTATTGTCATTAATGCTCCTACTGTCAGTGTACAACGTGATTTATCAGTATTATTAGATAGAATAGAATTAGAGGCAAATAGTATAGAATGGAATAATATAGTATAAAAATATTCTTTCAATAAGAAAAAACACTTTATCTATTTCATCTGTATAGAAATGTGATTGTTCTTTTTGTGATTGGCAGAAAACATCTTCATGTGGGGCAAATGATGCACGAGCCTAGCAAGTTTTGAAACACAGCTTCTCCAAAAAAAAAAAAAAAAAAATCAGACAGGTTATTTTTTTTTTTTCCTTTGTTCCCATACACCTGACTCCTTTCTATCATATATCTTTTATTTTTTCCTTCTTCCTCCATTCTTTCTCCTATTTTTAATTAATTCTTTTTTATTCTCTTTCATTTAAAAGGCATTACCATGGCAGCTGAATTGAAGCTGTTGTGCCGTGCAAAAGCTCTCTATCCTTATACTGCGAACGATGGTTCTTCTGTAAGCTTTGACAAAGGGGATATTATCGATGTTCTTGCTCAACTTCCTTCTGGTTGGTGGGATGGTTTGTAAGTGTCAATCCCTTTTTCTTTGTCCTCTTTTTTTTTTTTTCTTTCTTCTAAATTCTTTTTCTTTCTTTTATTTTATATTTGTTGGTAGATGTAATGGTGTTCGTGGCTGGTTTCCTAGCAATTATGTTGAAATCATTGAAGTTTATACCGATAGTGCCTTAGTATCCAAAGGTGCTAGTCAACCTACCGGTGCAACCATGGTATGTGCGGAGAAAGATATCTTTATTTTTCTATATCTATATTACTCACTTCTCTTTCTTCCTTTCTTTTTCTTTCTTTTTTTTTTTTCTTTTGTGTGTGTGTCTCTAAAAGCAACATTCAGTGATCTCCGATACTGATATTCAAGGTGGCGATTCCTTTCGACCTTCTTCTCAACAAAGTCGTACTACTCTACTTTTTGACGATCAATTAGAACAAAGTACAACAGACACATCAGCACCTTCCTCCTCTTCAAACTGGACAGTGGAGAAAATGAAAGACGGATCGTCATCTTACTATTACAATCAACGTACAGGCGAAATGCTTCCTATTAATTCTACCGATCCTATTTTATTGGAAGAAAACGATACCCTGTCAGATTTAGAAACCAATGACGATGTTCTCTCTTTTGTTGATTCACCTAGTGGTTCTGACGATAATAATGGTCCATCTTATTCTATGGATTCTTCTTCTATGGAAAACTCTCCTGGTGATAATTACAATAATAGTGGCTGGATGGGTATTGATGAAAATTCACCTCAGGTAATAATATAATACATTATACATTATACTTTTAATTTGAAATAACATGGTACAACGTGTAACATGTTTTCTTTTCTTTTTCTTTTTTTTTTCTTTTACTAATATATGAAATTCTTTTTTTTTTTTTTTTTTTTTTTTTTTTTTGTTACTAGTTACCTTCTCCATGGATCAAACGTCCTGTACCTCAGGGTGGTCATTGTTATTATAACACGGCTACACAAGAAGTGGTTTGGGATATCAATGATATTACGGATCATACAAATGAAATTACAGTAAGTTTGAGTTTATCTTTTACTGAAAGCAAATATATTGATCAAGTTACACAAATATACTTTTATTAGGCACAGAATGGATCACCAAGGCAAAACAGAAGAAATTTAGAATTACCAAAACCACAACCAAGATCTCCAGCACGCAAGATGACTATCAGACGTGGATCCGTTATTTCTCCCAATGAACCTTTAACTTGGAAAAAACTTTCTATACATATCGCTTTGGCTATTCACAATCTCAATATTGCAGTACGAAATTCCAACATTCAATCATTCGAACCTTATACATCCTCTATTGTAGACGCTATTCGATTCATGCTATTAGCTTCCGGGACTGTGGACAAAGACGCTGTCTATCTTCGAACCAATGCTGTACTTAGGGCTCACCACCGTACTATGATGGCTTCTCTTTCAAAGCTTATTCTATCCTCTCACGCTTGTGTTCACAATCCTACCGACAATATTTCCAGAATGCTTTCCGATAGCAATGATTTATTATTGGCCACACGTAATTTTGTCAGCACTAGCGAATCTATACCTGTTCCTGTACAACATATCGAGCCTCAGTTACAAAAACAACGACGATCATCTACAGCAATTAATAACATGAATGTATGGACGGAAACATCAACTGGATATAAATCAAAATACACTCTTGATGCAGATCTAGCAGAAAGCGTTGAAGCTTATGGAAACAATATGCAGGAATCTATTGATGGGATGATCAACAGTATTGTAACATATAAACAACAATTGCAAGCTTCATCCAAACAAACTACTATCGCATTGGATTCACCACGATCATCACTCTCTGCACTTTTATTCTCACAATTTCGAAATTTCAGCAATCAAACTGGGCAATTCTTGGATATATTCGACGAAATTGACTTTACAGAATTTCAATCACCTGAACTGATTGAATTGGGTGAATTACGACAAAAGTTATACCGTGGAATAGGTGATCTCTTTTGCAAGCTCCAGGTTTTAACGGATGAGAGTGTACCTTTGAATGGAACAGCGGAAGTATCAGAACAAGATGGTATGGAAACAAAGAAAACTATTCAAGATATCTGCGACTGTGTTGACAAATTGGTGTTTGATCCCAGCATTCGACAACGGAATCTCAACAACGATTTGCCCGATTCAGCACTATTTGGCGTGGAAGATACATCACATACTGATTACAATAATGAAGAAGATGAAATGGATAACGATAGCTATTATACGGATGCAGTGGCTTCTGGTAGTTTTGGTAGCGCCCCTGGAACTGGACAACTTACAACAAAGACACCAACTACAGACAATGGTAGTCCAGTTCATTCACCAACTAAACTTGACAAAACCGACAACAGCAATGCTACTGGATTATTATTAGAATCACTACCTGGTCTAACTGATGCAACATCATCATCTGCTCGACCTTCATCAACTGGAGCATTAGCATCTACCAGTTCTCCCGTCGTCACTAGTGGTACTTCAGTCTCACCTACATCCGTCCAAGACAATATATCTACATCATTACAACGAAAACCATCTACTTCTCCTGAATATCCTCGACAATCCAGTGCAAAACTCAAGAAATTCTTTGGTGATGATGTACCAGAACAAATTTCACATACTCCCCCTTCTGTTATGGATCAAAACCCAACTGTAGCAGGTGGACCTCCCAATGTCTCGATGGATAGTGGAGGTAGTGGTAATGGTGGTGATGCAACAAAGGAAGAAGAACGACCTTGGTACCTACAGTATGACTACAAACCCAATGAAATTGTGTTCAACATGGAAGGCTCGGTGAAAGGAGGGACTCTGATGGCGTTAGTTGTACGACTCACTTTACATGATTATTTGGATATGAACTTTATCAATACATTCTTATTGACATATCGATCCTTTTGTTCATCCATGGAATTACTCAAATTACTGGAAAAACGATACACAGGTACACCTCCTGAGGGATTGACGGAACAAGAACTAGAAATCTGGAGGAATAAGAAACTGAAATTAATACGACTACGGGTGTTCAATGTATTGAAGAATTGGCTGGAACAGTATTACAACGAAGATGATCATATGATTTTGGATGAATTACTGGAATTCACAACGACAACCATCCGAAGCACTTTACGATTCTCAGCAGAACAATTGGAACGACTTATCAAGAAACGAAAAGAAGCTACTGGGGATGGATTGAAGAAAATGGTGTTGACTTTACCTACAGCCCCACCAGTACCGATCTTACCGCGTAATCGTAAAAAATTCCGTTTGATGGATATTGATGCTCTGGAACTTGCCCGACAAATGACAATTATGGATTTCAAATTATACAGTTCTATTCGACCGGTTGAATGTTTGAACAAGGCATGGTCCAAGGATGCTGCTGAAGATCAAGCACATGTAGCGGTGAATATCCGTGCATCGATTGAATATTGTAATCAAGTGACATCTTGGGTATCAGATGCAATCCTAAGTCAATCTGAAGTCAAGAAAAGGGTGACACTGATCAAGCATTGGGTGCAAATTGCTGAACGATGTCGACAACTCAACAACTTCAACACATGTATGGCCATCCTCTCTGCGTTTGACAATAGTGCGGTGGGACGATTGAAACGAACATGGGAAATGGTAGGTGCTCGTACGAACCAAGTATTATCACAGATACGTCGATTGATGGGTGCCAATCGCAACTTTACTGAATACCGTGCCATCATCCATTCCATCAATCCACCCTGTATTCCTTTCTTGGGTATCTATTTGCAAGATCTGACTTTTATTGAAGATGGGAACGCTGATTATCTCAAGACATCCAAGGATATGATCAACTTTGCCAAACGTGCCAAAACAGCAGAAGTCATTCGTGAAATTCAACAATATCAATCTACCTATTATCAACTCACTCCTGTCGATGAAATTCAAGCATTTATTCAAACCAATCTTCAAAGTACCCGTGATGAAGAACAACTTTACAATGAAAGTTTGAAATTAGAACCAAGGTAAAAAAAAAAAAAAAAAAAAAAAAAGGAAATAGAATGATGATGAAGAAAGATACTCACTTTTTTTTTTTTTTTTTTTTTTTTTTTATTGAAGGGAACGGGAAGATGAAAAGATTACTCGATTATTACAAGAATCAGGTTTCTTATGATCGCATATGCATTCTACCGCCTACCCACGTTTTTCATTTTCATTTTTTTTTTATTTACTACCATTAGTTTATTATTACATTTCATTTTCCCATCTTTTTATTCATGATACTGCTCTCTCTTTCTCTTTTTGTAATTAGTGTCCTCCTCCAATCTTTTACTTTTTAATATAACGTATAATTTCCCCTCTTAATTTATTTTTACATACCACTCTTTATTTTTTTTTTTTGTCACATGTGATTTCTCATTTTTTTTTATTATTATTATTTTATTCTATACAATCATTCAATAAACAAGATTATATACAAGAAATATAATGATGTTGGAACTTTCGATCATAATAAATGGACGGATCTGGTTTTTATTGATCAAGAGATAATAAAAAATGTACAAAAATGCAAAGGAAGTATACATATAATGGAATGAGTAAAAAAAAAAAAAGATGATCTAGACTAGGTAAAATAAAGAAGAGAAACTAAGTTTTGACCAAACCATGCCAAACACGACCCCATAAAGAAGTGACCCAAGGTGAATGATGATTGGAAGACGATGGTGATGATGTAGTTGCTGATGGTAAAGAAAGACGTTGATTCAGAGAATGATCTAATCTTTTCAAATGGGTTCTGTGGATGAATTGACGTTGTTCGGCATGAGGGCATTGATCTGATCCAATACGCATGGCTGATGAGGGTGATACTATTGGTGATGATAAAGTATACGATGGATGATCTGTCGCTGATGATGGTGACGATGGTGATGGTGGTGGTGGTGGTTGTAGTGTTGGAGTTGTTGGTGATAAGGAGAAAGAAGTAGTTTTTGTTACTGGTGATGATAATAATGTTGGCATAGAATGAATTTCTTGCTTGTTTGTCAAACACCTGATAAGACTATTTAACATTGGTCGTTGATATTGATTGATGGTACAATATTCATTTTCCACATGTTGATAAAGCGTGTCATCGGTATTGCTTGTATTGTCCGTTTGTATAAAACGAGATATTAGGCGATGATGATGATGCTGTTGTTGTTGTTGTTGCTGTTGTTGTTGTTGTTGTTGAGTTGATGATTGCTGAGTTGATTTGGAAAATAGTGAAGGACCAGGTGATGAAGATGTAGATGAGATTTGAAGAGCACGAGAATAAGTATTGGTCAATTCCAACTTGGCATTGGAAGAAGATGGAGATACAGCATTGGCATGAATGATATGTTCCACAGGTTTAGCGCATTCAGTTGTAGTAGAAACAAGAAAAGGAGGTGTACTTACTCTTGATGATGATATCGAGGATGATTTCCTTTGTTTACTAGTGTTGGATGATATAGATGACGATGACGATGATGACGATAGTGTTACAGTTGGTATTGGACATAGAGGTTGTATTGCTTGTTGTGATAACGACCGGCGCGTAGATTTGGTATCTTCCATAGATGGTGAACGTTTTATAAACTTGATACCAGTTGTTCTTCTTTTTACTGTATGATGATTAGTTCGTTTGTTTGTATGATTGCTATTGATTGTAGTTGTTTCTAATACATGTGGAGGTGAAGGAGGTGATGTTGTTGTTATGAGAAGTGGTTGTGATTCATGTCGTTTATAATTAGAAGGTGGAGATGGTGGATACGATTTTGAATTTTCACCTAACACGAACTTTTTATTTTCCATATATTATAAGAATAATGCAATAAAAAAGAAAAAGAATGAAAAAAAAACCCATTTCCCGTTCACTTTTTGTTTCAAAAGCATTTCTGTCGGAAAATGAAAAATAACATATATTCCCTTGCTCAAGAATTATCATATATTGTCAACTTTTTTTTTTTTTTTTTTTTTTTCTGAAGCTCTTCAATTTATATGCCAATTTACGATAGAATCTATTATTTTCATTTATTTCTAAAGGAATGTATCTTAATGGTCTTATTTTCATGCGCGCATAACACCTTATTTCACCTCCGAAAAAAAATCATTATCCATTGTTTTCTTCTGATTGTAAAGTGATGGATTGATAAGAAAATGAATCTGATTGGCTGTCACTTGCGAAATCTGTCATCAAGAAAGATTGACCAAGTTAGGGTCTTTTTTTTTTCCTTTTCTTTTTTTTTATTCTTTCTTTCTTTATTCCCTTCCCCCCCCTTTTTTTTTTACCTATATTAACCAAATATGCCCGAACAAATAGGTAAAAACCCATAAGTAATATTATTATTTGTATTTGACTAATATATTAACTTTTATCATTAAGATGTATTTGCTTACTTGGAAGAAACACTTGGAAAGAGAATCATGTTCCTTGATGGTGCAATGGGGACTATGGTACAACGTCTCAAGTTACAAGAATCTGATTTTCGAGGCGAGTTGGTATCAAAAAAAAAAAAAAAAAAGGATATAGTGTCTTTGGGGAAAAATAAATATTAATACTTTTCTCTTTTATAGGTGAAGAATTTGCTCACTGGGCCAAAGACCTTCGTGGTAACAATGATCTCTTAACTCTAACCAAAGCTGATGCTATTTACAACATTCATCGACAATATTTGGAAGCTGGATCAGATATGGTGGAAACAAATACTTTTAGTTCAACATCTATTGCTCAATTGGATTATGCTTTGGAGGATTATGCTTATCGTTTGAATAAAGAAGGGGCTGCTCTAGCGAAAAGGGCTTGTCTTGACGTAAATACTTTAAGAAACTTTATCTAACATAGACTCATATATGTAATTTTTTTTTATGTATGTGATTTTATAGGTATGGGAAGAAACTGGTATTCCAAGATTTGTTTGTGGTGCCATTGGTCCAACTAATAGAACAGCATCCATCTCTCCCTCTGTTGAAAATCCCGCGTATCGTAACGTGACATTTGATGAACTGGTTGAAGCTTATGCTGAACAAACTCGTGGTTTACTTGACGGTGGGGCCGATATTCTTTTGGTGGAAACTATTTTCGATACATTGAACGCGAAAGCCGCTATTTACGCTATTGATGTTGTCCTTGAAGAAGATAAGTAAGTTTTGATCGTTGCCAAAAAAACAACATATAATGATACTAATATTTTGTTATAGACGACCCAAGGTACCTGTCTTTATTTCTGGTACCATTGTAGATCAAAGTGGTCGTACTTTATCCGGTCAAACTGGTGAAGCTTTTGTTACCTCTCTTCGTCATGCCGAACCTATGGCCTTTGGTCTCAATTGTGCTCTTGGTGCTCCTCAAATGAAACCTTTTATTCAAAATATTAGTAGATTCACTGATGCTCATATTATTTGTTATCCTAATGCTGTAAGTTTTTAGATACCTTTTCAACTCATATGTTCTTATCTTTTTTATTATTATTATTATTATTTGATATACAGGGTTTACCAAATGCGATGGGTGAATATGATGAAAGTCCTGCCCAAATGGCAATCAATGTTGAACCTTTTGCCAAAGAAGGTTTAGTGACTATTGTAGGTGGATGTTGTGGTACTACTCCTGAGCATATCAAGGTAAAAAAAAAAAAAAAAAAAAAAAAAAGAAGGAAAATATATCCAGTTTTATAACAAATGAAATTCCATTACGATAAACTCTTTTTTTTTTTTTTTTTTTTTTTTTTTTTTTTTTTTGTGTGTGTCTATAGGCTGTTGCTGATGTCTGTCGAAAATACTCTCCTCGACCGAAACCTAAGAAAAATAGTGATGTCATGGTCCTCTCTGGTCTGGAAGTACTGACAGTAAATGAAACCACTGGATTTGTCAATGTTGGTGAACGATGTAATGTGGCTGGTTCAAGAAAATTTTGTCGACATATTCTCAAAGGTGAATATGAAGAAGCTCTTGCCATTGCTCGTGCTCAAGTCGAAAATGGTGCACAAGTGGTGGATTGCAATTTTGATGAAGGTCTTTTGGATGGTAAAGCGGCAATGACTCGATTCTTGAATTTACTTGCTTCAGATCCAGATTGTGCTCGTGTACCTTTGATGATTGATTCTTCCAATTTTGCCGTTATTGAAGCTGGTTTGAAATGTGCTCAAGGGAAATGTATTGTCAACTCAATCTCATTGAAGGAAGGTGAAGATGATTTTGTTAGAAAGGCAAAATTGATCAAACGATTTGGTGCTGCTGTTGTTGTTATGGCTGTAAGCGATATTTATATCTTTTTTTTTTCAATATGATTCTTATTTTTTTTTTTTTTGATTAGTTTGATGAAATTGGTCAAGCCGCTGAAGCTGATCGAAAACTTGAAATTTGTACCCGATCTTACAATATCTTGGTGGACAAAGTGGGGTAGGAAAGAAAGAAAAAAAAAAAAAGAAGAGAAATATAAAATGACTAATCTTATTATTCAGTTTCAATCCATATGATATTATTTTTGATCCCAATATTTTGACAATCGCTACTGGCATGGGTAATAGAAAAAGGAAAAAAAAATTGATTTTCATTTAATTCATTCTTTTTTAATTTGTGCAACGTAGAGGAACATAATAATTACGCTGTGGAATTCATCAATGCATGTTATGGAATCAAAAAAAATCTCCCAGGAGCCAAGATCAGTGGTGGTGTATCCAATTTATCATTTGCGTTCCGTGGTATGGACAAGGTGCGTGAAGCAATGCATTCTGTATTTCTATTTCACACAGTCAAGGCTGGTATGGATATGGGCATTGTGAACGCCGGGTTTTTGACAGTTTATGATGATATTCCCAAGGATTTGTTGACACTTTGTGAAGATGCTGTATGGAATCGTGATCCTGAAGTGACAGAAAAATTATTGGAATATGCCAAAGCCCACTCCAAGGATGCCAAGAAAGATGAAGATTTAGAAGAATGGAGAACATGGCCTGTGACGGATCGTATTACACATGCTTTGGTCAAAGGGATTATGAAGTTTATTTTGGAAGATACTGAAGAAGCTCGTCAAGATAAGGAAAAATATCCTCGTGCTCTCAATGTGATTGAAGGTCCACTTATGGCTGGTATGAATGTTGTTGGTGATCTCTTTGGAAAAGGAAAAATGTTCTTACCTCAAGTTATTCGATCTGCTCGGTAAATATCAAAAATAAATAAATAAATGGAGAACGAATTGATTTACCTTTTTTTTTTTCTTTAGTGTGATGAAAAAAGCTGTTGCTCATTTGGTGGAATATATCAAAATTGAAAAAGAACAAGATATGGAAGCTAATGGCAATACTGAAGTGAAAGGAAATGGAACGATTGTGATGGCTACTGTCAAGGGAGATGTACATGATATTGGCAAGAACATTTGTGGAGTTGTACTTGGATGCAACAACTACCGTGTGATTGATATGGGAGTGATGGTACCATGTGATAAAATTATTCAAACAGCAATAGAAGAAAAGGCAGATATTGTTGGTTTATCTGGATTGATTACACCTTCATTGGAAGAAATGGTGATTGTGGCTAAAGAATTCCAAAAGGCTGGTCTCAAGATTCCAATTCTTATCGGTGGAGCTACGACAAGTAAGATGCATACGGCAGTCAAGATTGCTCCTCAATATTCAAGTCCAGTGGTATATGTGTTGGATGCATCTCGTAGTGTACCAGTGGCAGCCAGTTTGTTGAACGATGATCTCAAGGAAGATTTTGCTGATGATATTCGAGAAGAATATGATGAACTCCGTGAAGAATACTATGAAGGATTGGAAGAAAAACGATTATTGACTTTGGCGGCAGCTCGTGAGAAGAAACTACAAATCGATTGGACAGCATCACCTCCTGTGGGCAAACCTACATTCTTGGGTACTAAGGTATATGATGATTATCCATTGACAAGACTGCTGGATCGAATTGATTGGAATCCCTTCTTCCAAGTGTTCCAATTACGTGGTCGATATCCCAACCGAGGTTATCCCAAGATCTTTGATGATGAGGCAGTTGGACCTGAAGCTCGACGATTATTTGATGATGCTCAAGTGATGTTACGTAATATTGTGGACAAGAAGCTACTCCGTGCTCGTGGTATTGTTGGATTTTATCCTGCGAACGCTGTGGATGATGATATTGAAATCTATCAAGATGAATCAAGAGAAACAGTTCTGACTAAATTTTATGGGTTACGACAACAATCCGAAAAAGAAACAGATGAACCCTATTACTGTTTATCCGACTTTGTGGCTCCTAAATCAACTGGATTAGCTGATTATGTGGGTATGTTTGCGGTGAGCACTGGATTTGGATGTGATGAAATGGTACAACAATATGAAGATGATCAAGATGATTATTCTTCCATTATGGTCAAAGCATTGGCGGATCGATTGGCAGAAGCATTTGCGGAATTATTACACGAAGATGTACGAAAACAAGAATGGGGTTATGCTACGGATGAACAATTATCTTCAGCAGATTTGTTTGCCATTCGATATCAAGGTATTCGACCAGCACCAGGATATCCTTTACAACCTGATCATACAGAAAAGAAGACGATGTGGGAATTGGGCAACATTGCTGAACAAACAGATATTACTTTGACAGATTCTTTGGCCATGAATCCTCCAGCCAGTGTTAGTGGATTATACTTTGCTCATGAAAAGAGTACATACTTTGCTGTAGGCAAGATTGACAAAGATCAAGTACAAGATTATGCTGCTAGAAAAGGAATGGAAGTGCCTGATGTAGAAAAATGGTTGAATACCATCCTCGCATATGATGTTTAATATATATTGTTATTATAGTTTATAATAATAAAAAATCCACCTATATTTATTTACAAACGAATGGATGATACTCTTCTTTTAGTCACATTCTTATCTGAAAACAAAAAAAAAAAAAAAAAAGAATTTGGTTTCATTTTGAAATAAGTAAAAAAGAAAAAAAAATTGGCTTGATTTGGTATTACCCATTCATAGTTTTTCTTATGTTTTCTCAACAGTATGATCTCTATTGGTTCAATTCACTTTCCGAACATAGTTTGAAAATAATTGTATGAGACGAAATCTGGACTCAGCGACTGCTGGGTTGTACCATAATGCGCTTTGGTGGAAAATAAAGCAACTTTTCGGTTTTCTCTTACATGCTAACCACCTGATAAGAAGTGGAAATTTACTGGTTGCCCCAAAATTTAAAATCTTTTTTTTTTTTCTCTCCTCGTTCGTTTCTTTTTTTTTTTTCTTTTCATATATATATATTTTTCTTTTTACATATTCGTCGCCTATCCCTTTTTTTTATATATCTTGTTTTTCTATTATCCTCCTTTTTTTTTTTTTTCTTATTGGGTTGCTCCATACATTCGTCTTTGTTCTTCTTCTGTTAGTCAATGACTTTTTGTCTCTATTATCTATCATTTACTGTCAAACCAAAGTGATTATCTGATATAGCTCAAGAAGAATAATAACTCCAAACGTAAGATAAAAATATAATAATAATGAAAAAAAATGAAACGATATCTCATCAATGAACTTAACTTCATTCTAGTCCTAAGAACACAGACGGATATATCCAACAACAAAAAAGCAACCGCTAATTCTACTCTTATTTACTATTACTATTATTCTCTATTCTCTATTCTTTATTCTTTATTCTTTATTCTTTATTCTCATTCGTTCTAGAAAAAAAACAAACGCTTCCCACTTATATCACTTTCTCATACATACATACATACAAAACACACCAGACAAACTCAACAGACAAAACATTCTACTCATCAACAAGCTATGGGACTCAAATATCGAACTTATCTGAACAGTACTATTATTTATGGTTGCAATCATTGTAAGACACACTTATCAACAGGGGATGCTCTCATATCAAGGGTAAGTTAATCATCAAACAAGCGATCCAATCTCTTTTAAATATCTAATTTTTTTTTTTTTTACGATATAATGGTGATGATAGCGATTTCAAGGTCAACATGGTCAGGCGTTTCTATTCAATTTTGTGTAAGTTTTACAAAAAAAAAAAAAAAAAAATGAGACATTTTGTTTTGGATGGATGACTAAACACATGTTTTTTTGTAACATTCTTTGTATTTAGGGTGAACATCATTGCTGGAGAAGCCGAAGAACGAAGCATGACGACGGGTGTTCATGTAGTACAAGATATTTCATGTTGTCAATGTAAAACGGTACTTGGTTGGACCTATGTAAGTTTTCAAAAAAAAAAAAAGGATTTATAACAAAAAGTACTTAATCACTTTCTTTATGATTTCCCCCCTTCCCCCTTTATAAAAAGGTCAAGGCGTATGATGATGAAAACAAGTACAAGGAAGGAAAATTCATATTAGAAAAGAAATTATTAACGGACGTACATTAGATAAGTAGATTTTTTTTATTATATATGATAGTATTGTGTGCTTCCTTTTTTTATATTTTATCTTCTCTCTCTCTCTTTTTTTTTTTTTTAACATTACCTATAATGCATTTTCTCCCCTTTTCACGATTGTTTATTTTTTCCTGCTTTTTATTCCCTTTGTACCTTTTCACTTCTTTTTTTTTGTTGTTGCTATTCAAGAATGATTATGCAATCATAGGATATTCCCCTTCTCTTCCTTCCACCCTACTCTTCTAGTTGTAGTCATAGTCATTTCCCATGATTGTTTCCCCTTTTTTATTTTACATTGAACACTTTTTATCACATCTGCACATTATTTACAATCTTATTGTTTTGTTTTTTCCCTTCTTCTTCTCAAATGAATTCTTTATTAGATTCAAACAATAAATATAAAACCCTATATAAACAACATCATCCTCATCAAAATAATAATAATAATAAAAAATAGTTCAAAATATCTTATTTTTATTTCTTATCTACAGTAAAAAAAAAAGGATGGATTCTATTCAAATAAATATAGTGATATGTCTTAGTATTCTAGATGAAGTACGTTACATGATAGAGAGTATATATGTGTTTGTCGAAAGGGAGGGATGTCAAAAATTATGTATAATAAGGTTCATTTGATAGATGAATGGAAGGAAGGTTTCAATAGAAATGTTGTTGTTGATGAATCGAGCTTGATGATATGTTTGGCATGATTTTTTTGTGATTTCTTTTTACCAAGAATTGGCTTGATCGATTTCTTCCAATTTCTTTGCATGTTTGTTGACAGTTTGCATAAGAGTATCAATATTCATTTGGTCTGCCTTGACTGAGAGTTTGTTGCCATCACCTATATATATATATATATAAAATAGAGTCAAATCAAAATTATTCATAAAGTTAGAAATAATAATAATAATAAAATTTTACTTACGATATACGATATCAACTTGAGAAGGAGCCTTGGGATCATTTAATACTGTGGTCACAATCTTGATGGTAGGATTGGCTTTCTTAGCTTCATTAGTATTCACTCGACTTAATAACAATCTATTAACAGAATGGAAGACCATAAAAAAAAAATAGGTGAGATAAATGAGACTTACTACCAAGTCGAATACAAATGGAATACCGTTCAATTGTTTCAATTGTGTTTACCTTGATGATTTCGATAAGGAGTTGAATGGAGACATGGCAATCTTGACTTCGTTGATATGTCGCATAAACATGGTATCAGTTAATATAGAAAAGAAAAGAAAAAAAAAATAACAAGGAATGAAAGGAACAACAACAAGCTTTTTGTTCCAAATAAAAAAAATAGGCATGGAAAACCCCGACGATAGCAGTCAACGGGCGTACTTAATAGTTTCTCATTTTTTCCATTTCCATTTCTCTTTTTTCTTTAAATATATATTTAATAGAAATGAATGCTCAACGATCTGTAAGTCAAACTTATATCATTTTTAGCTATTTATTTATTTTCTTCCATCTTCTTTTATAGGCACGTTTACCTCCCGATGTCAATCGTGTCCTTTTCGTTAGGTAAATGAAATTCTAACAAGTTGATCTAATTGTTAAAACATAAAACTAACTCAATTGTATTATGAATAGAAATCTACCTTTTAAAATCACAACAGAAGAAATGTACGAAGTATTTGGAAAATATGGAGCCATTCGACAGATTCGAGTGTAAGTATAAAAGTATACTATTTAAGAAAAACCAAACACTTATTCCATCTTTTTATAGTGGTAATGCTCAAGATACACGAGGAACAGCATTTGTGATATATGAAGATATCTTTGATGCAAAGAATGCTTGTGAACATTTACAAGGTTTCAACATTCTTGGACGCTATCTCATTGTATTATATTATCAACAAAACAAGATCACAAAGAAATTGAATCTACAAAAGAAAGAAGAAGAACTCAAGGAAATGAAAGCGTAAGTACAGAATTATTCTGATAAATATATATATATATATATTCATCTTTTTTTTTTTTTTTTTTTTAATAGACGATATGGTGTGGACGACGAATGATACTTCCTTCTCCTTTTTTGAATTTCTCCAATGTAATCTGTAAATACTCTTTTCTCTCTTTTTTACCTTATATTACCAGTGCAATAAAAAACTTTCCTATGTCTGGATTTCAAATCTTCTTTTAACTTGTCTTTTTTTTTTTTTTTGCTCCTTCCTCTTCCTATGTCTTCCAAATAAGATGAAGCCAACTACTAGACATTATCTTATTTTTTCTTTTTATTTACTTTTATGTTCTTTGATACAATATACTCAAGCTTATCTCAATGAACCTCATGCTCCATTTTCTATCCTCTCACCTCCTGAAGGTACAACAATAAAACAGGGTGAACATGTCAATATTACTTGGTAAAAAAAAATAAAAAAAAAAAAATAAAAATAAAAAAATAAAAAATAAAAATGAACCTCTTTTCTCTACTTTTATAGGCAACTGACAGCTGGTACTGAGTTTCCAATATATGGTTATGCTGCAGCAAGTACTTCACAAACAATTAGTAAGTCATTTCTCATAGTGATAGATAATAAATACTTATTTATGTATTTATTTCATTATAGTTGGTCTTTTACCACCGGAATCACGTCGAGATGAACGATATGTACACAAAATTGATAGTAATGTCAAACTCACGGATCTCAGTTATATATGGACTGTGGATGAACAGATACCTCCAGGTGCTTATCGTATTGGTATTGGATTTTATTATCACGAAACATCCCCTCTTATTCATATAGTTTAGATATTGTGAAAAGAAAAGTTATTATTTTTGTAGATATCATTACAGTTTATTAGATAATTTTTTTTTTTTTTTGAAATCCTCATTTTGTATATAAAATCATATATTGTACTTTTTTTTTTATTTTGTCTCTCACTCATGAAATTTCATCACGTAGGAATATCTTAGTATTATACACTCTCCCTTTCTTCTTTTTCTTTTTAACTTACATAATATGATAGGCCATAAAAAGCTGTGCCTAGGTAAGATCAAATGACCATCAAAACATTTATTGGAATAGAGAGAGGCTGAGGGGGGAACATCACGTCTTGAATGATATCCATCAGGGGATCCATTTTGTCTTGATGAAAAAAAAAAAAAAGGATCGAGTACGTCTAGTCATTATACAAATAACGGGACCTCATCTTTTTGCAGTATATGATTTTTCTTTTTTTTATGGAATAGGATTGAACCAATCATAGATCGATCAAAATGAAAAACAAGAATGGAGGATCACGTTATTCTGTATTACCATTAAAGAGAAATTGTATATTTATGACTGCTTAATACAAGTGTCGTAATAGATAGGATCAATTCAATTGATTGGATAAATTATATGTTATATTTGTTTTAAATCATCTATACTAGATATATTTATTCTATATATAAATCATCACCCTATTAAGCTAGGAAAAAAAAAAAAGAGATAAACTGATAGGCGACACAGATCTAAAAAAGGAGAGCAAGCAGAAAAAAAAAAAAAAAAGAAACTAATGTGGGAGGGAAGATCCTAGCGGGGCATGAATCCAAAGTTCCACAAAGCATCCAATAAGAAAGCGAGTTTAAAGATTTCCATTTATATTAAGATTCTTTTCATTTCTCTTTCTCTCTTTCTCTTTTATTTTTCATTCTTTTTTTTTTTTTCTATTGTCTCCCCACTCTCTCTCTCTATCGTAACTTTACTTATTGATCATTATGTTAAAACGTAAACCAAGTCATTTAGCCTTATCATTTATTATGGCTTTATTGGTAGCCAGTGTGTCTGGTCCACAATATATCTTTCCAACCTATGGTACTTCTTTAGCCACCAAGTTTCACTGGACAGCATTAGAAAATAGTTTGGTCAGTACCGCTTGTTTTTTAGGTGTTTCCTTTTCTGGTCCATTGTGTTCATGGATGATTGAAAGATTAGGTTCTTCAAGGTAAGTCTATTCTTTATATTGAAAAAAAAAATAATTTTTTTTTTTTGATAGTACTTTACGAGTAGCAGCTTGTTTTGGATTCTTTGGCAACTTTTTATTGGCACAAACTTATATTGGTCGATTACCTTCTCATTTTCAGCTATGCGCTATTTACTTGGTATTGACAGGATTCGCTAGTGCTGCCGCATATATTTGTGCATTAGAGAATCAGGTATAAAAAAGGAGTGGAAGATATGGAAAACTGAGAAAGTAGATGTTATTTGAGAGAGGGGGTCAACTAGATGATTCTAACTCCTATCTTTTTTTTTTTTTTTTTCCTTCTAGTCTTATAACTTCCGACATCATCGTGGTATGGCTATGGGATTTACTAGTGCTGTCTTGGGTCTATGTGGTTTAATCTTTTCTCAAATCAATGATCATTTCTTTAAAAACAATCCAAATGGTGGTGGTGATGAAAATACTTATGAATTCCTTATGTTTTTATCGGTGGTGACAGCAGCTGGTATGCTGATCCCTTCTTTTATACTTGGTCCACTCTCTGATGACAAGAAATATGATGATGAAGATGTGATTTATCGCCCTATTTATCCTTCTGATATGGATCTAGATGATGATGGATGTTCAAGCCATCCAACCTTAGTTGATGATGATAGTCATGATGATGATGATGATGATGAATTTGCCGACACTCCTTTATTGGCCAACAATATCAATTACAATAATCACAACATTAAAAAGCCTATCAATTATGCTCATGATACTGTGGAAGTGATGAATGAACAACAAAAAGAAGAAGAAGAATCGATTTCTGGTCTTGCTCTTTTTACTCATCCTGTAAGTCTTACTTTGTTTGTGGCCTTATTTGTTGTATTGGGAATTGGTTATGTTTATTTGGCAAGCATTGGACAGATCTTATTATCTCTTACTGATGATAATGAAAATCCTCAACATGTACGCAACATCCATGTTTCTCTCTTTAGTATCTCTAATTGTACTGCTCGCGCTGTATTCGGAACTCTCAGTGATATATTGAAGAATCGATATGGTATTCATCGATTATGGGTCTATTGGATGGGGATTGTGGGTTTGATTCTTTCTCAACTATACCTGGTGACCTTAGTTTCATCCTCTGATACATTGATTCCTTGTACTGTGACTATGGCTTTGGTGTATGGTTTGGCTTTTGGTATTGCTCCAGCTGCTGCAGCTGAATTTGGTACCAATGTAAGTACATTCTATACAAATACAAACAAAATTCAATATTTATATTATATGTAGGTATTTGCACGCAATTGGGGTATTCTTTTATTTGCACCTGCTTTAGGAAGTCAAGTGTTCAATGTATTGTTTGGCGCATTGTATGATCAACAAGCTGAAAAACAAGGTGTCCATATTTGTCAAGGAACTGTGTGCTTCCGGAACACTTATTTGATTGGTATAATGGCTGCATTACTTTGTTTAATCATGATGACTTGGACTATGATCAAATGTGGTTTATACAAACGAACTATCTGATTCCCTACCTTTTTTTTTTTTTTTTTAGTATTTAGTATTTTATACATTACATATATAAATACATATATATATATTTCCAATCCATTCTTTTATTTATTTATTTATGATAGATTCCCCTCCTTTTCTACCTTTTTATACTTTGTACATCCATTTAACTATATAATTTTTAATAAATTGACATATACCATCTCTTTTTGTATTTTTTTTATCAACAACCGGAACAACTGATCCGATATCGGAACAACCTCCTTGAAGATGAAATGATAGCCTATTGAGTAATAATATCTTTTTCCTATTGTTTTCAGAGAATAATGAGGTTTATCAATATATAGAAGATTATGTTTTATTATTTTTGGCCATTAACAAATAACATAATGGTCCCAGCGAATCAAGAACCTTTGAAGGACTCTCGGAAAACCATTAGAGTCAAACTGATCAATTTCCGTCCGCATAACTCTTTCCCCGCCTTTTTTTTTCTCACGCCTTATTTTTTAAAAAAAAAGTTGGTTTTTAATTTTTCTTTTGTTTCTTTCTCTCTTCTTTTTCTTTTTGACTATTTTCAAACTAATTTACATTCTTCTACTATATTATTCAACATGAATCGAAATGACGATGCTATTTTAGAACGTATCTTTAACCCAGGTAAGACAATAACATGATATTCTTTTTTTTTTTTTTGGTAACCTTATATTCTGTCTTTTATAGAAGTACAAGGACTCCCTCTTGATTCCGTATCACAGACTGTAGAGGATAATCCAGGTAAAAAAAAAAAAAAAAAGAAAAAGAAGAAAACGAGTTGTTGAGAAAGGATAACAAAAAAGATGGAGAGGCATATACTATCTCGATATCGGTATTGACTTTTTTTTTAATATATTTCTTAGTCAAGGTGATTGAACCAGAGTTGCTCAACAAGCTTAAATCCATGGAAAGACAAGCAGTAGATTTGGCAGAAAAGGATGATTTAGAAGGTGCATTGGAAATATTAAATCAATGTCTTGCTCTTGAAAAGGATTATGCATCTGCTTACAACAATAGGTAAAAAAAAAAAAAAAAAAAAATGGCATCATACATATAAGGAAAAAGAGGAGACACACACTCATCTTTGTTGATTATAACTTAGGGCTCAAATTTATCGATTAAGAAAAGATGATGATAAGGCATTGGAAGATCTCAGTAAAGTCATTGAATTAGGTCAAGGTCAGCCCAAAGTGTTACGTCAAGCTTATACACAACGTGCTATCATCAAACGACAACATGGGGATATGCAAGGTTCTCGAGCCGATTTTGAAATGGGTAATTTTAAAAAAAAAAATATGTAAAAATTCAGAAAACTAATCTTCCTTTTTTTTTTTTTTAAATGGATAGGTGCCAAACTTGGAAATCCTATTGCACGCAATATTGCTGTCAATGAAAACCCTTACGCCAAAATGTGTAATCAAGTCATGATGGAAATGATGGGTCGTGAAATGAAAGGAACTTCGGATCATGTTGAAAAATAAATAGATTCTTCTCCTTACCTTTTTATATTTATTACCATCTGTACAAAGTATATTCCCTTCTCCTCCTTCCCTACTTTTATCTTTTGTTTACCAAATAATAATAATAAAAAAAATACACACATTTAAATGAAATAAACATATAAAATAAAAAATGAATGCTTTATTATATAATACAATGAATATAAATGAATGACTATACTACAAACTACGATGTGCCTTTGCCCGATATGCCTTACATATTTTCAGTAACGGTTGTCCATAGGTTTCATATATTTGATCAGAGATCTCAGTTAGTTGAAGGAATTCCATAATACTGTTGGGTAATCGATTGGCCTAACACAATAAAAAAAAAATGAGTTGCATAAGAAACAAATTGATTTTTTTTTTTTTTTACCAGAGTATGTAATGTTGAATCATCTAATTTCGAATTGGGACCATGTTTCCTTGTTAACTATACAAATAGATTAGAAAAGATAAATTTCGCATATTTTGCTCTTACCTTTGTTCTTTCTACTTGTAAAGCTTGATAACAATCTCTTTTAATTATTTGTAAAACTGTGGATGACGTTGTTCTTGTTGTGGATGTAGGTGATGAAGCCGATGGTGCTGACGATGAAGCTGTTTCAGAGGATGCTGCTGTTGTTGATCTTACTTTTTCCTTTGTTTCAATATCGATCGTCACACTATTCCGAATGTTGGACAGTGATATATGGGGCCCAATCTATGTTCAAGAATAAAGAGAATAATAGGAGTCATCAATAAAACTATCCTTCTATTTCTTTTTCTTTTTAGAAAAAAAAGACGATGGTAACTTACAGAGATATATATTCTGGCAAACTTGTTTGATAATTTCGTCTTTTCCACTAGAATACCATCCAAAATCAGATAAATAAGAAGTCGTTCCACCGCAACTTTGTCCCGACCTGCTAGTTGTCCGTAACCATTGCATTGAGTATATCCTTTTTCCACAAGCGGCTTTGCCTGTGATCCCCGGCACATGTCTACAAGCTGTAATAATGTGACCTTGTCTCTACCCAATTGCTGTAAAAGAGTGATCACTGATTTGATTTCGTCTGGACTGAATGTGATTGAAGTAATTGTGGCAGTTGTTTCACAGCAGTGATCACACTGTTTTCGACAGAGTGCTTGGTCAAATGGTTCGTTAAAATGGGCCAGTAACAAAGAACGTCGACATTCAGTTTGATTTTCACAGTAACGTATCATGGCATTCAATTGTTCGTTTTCTCGTCGGTCAGATTGTCCTGATAGTTTCGTTCGATGAATCATCACGCGATGTGCTTGTGCATCGGAATACGTATAATACAAACGACAAATAGCTGGTTGTCCATCTCGGCCACCACGTCCTGTTTCTTGGTAATAGCCTTCGATGGTTGATGATAATGAATCATGAATCACATAACGAACATCGGCCTTGTCAATTCCCATACCAAATGCTATTGTTGCCACCATGACTTGAAATTTCCCACTTTGCCAATCTTGCTGTAACTTGAGCTTCATTGCACTTGAAACCGTAGAGTGATAATAATTGCTTTTGATACCGTGATCACAAAGTTCTTTCGCCAGTATCTCACATTGAGATTTGGTGTGACAGTACACGATTCCCGTAGCCGTTGGTCCAAATGATTTGATAAAGTCTCGCATGTCTTGACGATATTCTTTTGTACTTGTTTTTCGAATCACTTGGTAACTGAGATAGTAACATTATAATAGATGTAAGTATCATTCTTTTCTTTTTTTTTTTTTTTTTTTTTTGGTCGTAGTATTTACTTACATCAAGTTCGTTCGGTGAAAACTTTGTTTCAATACTTGACATCTTTCCATACATAAAGATTGGATAATATCCTTTTGCACTCGAGCAGTAGCTGTAGCTGTCAGGGCCATCCAGGGTACATCGGGAAACTTGGGCCTCAAGGAGCCAAGGAGAGAATATTCTGGACGAAAATCATGACCCCATTGTGAGACACAGTGAGCTTCATCCACCACGATTCTAGCCAAAAGGTTTCGTTGAGCCAAGGACGAGAGGGCTGATTGTAATTGGTAAGAATTTTGTATTTGTTCAGGTGTCGTATATAAAAGATGCATGGTGAGAGTCTGAGCTTCTAATTCATCAAAGATCCATTGTCGTCGAGCTGCTGGGACATCACTGTTCAAAAAGGTGGCTGCAATGCCCCGGCTTTTCACTAGTTGTACCACTTGATCATGCATCAAAGATAATAAAGGAGATATCACTACTGTCAAACCACGTCGGTTATGTCGTTGAATAATCGCAGGTAGCTGATAACATAAACTTTTTCCTCCACCAGTCGGCATTAATACAAACACGTCTTTTCCTGCCAAGGTAGCATTGATGGCTTCAAGTTGATTAGGTCGAAACGTCGTCAGTCGAAAACTTTGTTGAAGTGCCTTCAAAACGTCTCGTGACCACGGATAATTGCCTTGACTTTCTTTGCTTGCTGTTCTTGTCTGACTTGTTATGAGATGAGGACGTTTGGAAGATGGAGTTTCTCCAGTAGCATCATTCGTCCGTCGATAGGATGCTAGATTGGTGCTAGTTGTTGGTATTGATATTAAAGATTCTGCAGTGGCTATCCTTACTTGAAGTTGTTCCATTTTATCTAGGCACTTTGTTCTACAAAAAAAAAAAAAAAAAGTTAGCCATTGGACGTTGAATGCTTTTGTGCCTATGTCTATGCTTTTACCTCTTATCTGCCAATCTTCGCTTTTCTGCTGCGATACCAGTTTGTAATATATCGTTGTCAATGGTACACAATTCATCTTTAAGGTTTTGATACTGAACGTGGAGATCTTGAAGCTAAATAAGAACATATAGAAGAGTTAGTAAGTGCATAAACAAAGTCCAAGCTTTCAAAGGAAAACTTACTTCTGAATTCTGGTGGCTGGACCTTGATTTTCGTTTGGATGAACGTGTTTCTGTAGAATTGATAACCTCAGTTTCAGGTTCAGTAAGATCAATGACAGCAAATTGTTCCCTCCATGGAGTCATTAAAAAAAAAAAGACACGGAACAAGAAAAAAGAAAGGCACGATCGCGGGTTGGTGGGAAGAAAAGGGAAAAAAAAAAGGCGGGATACGAAAACTAGATATGAGAGTTTTTGGATAGTTTGTTCTTGACCATAAGTTCATAATAGATCAATTGATGACAATGAAAAAATTTTATTCAAATTTGATTCCAAATATTTTAGAATTATCATAAAAAAAAGAGAAATCTATTCTTGTAGAGAGAAAGAGAGAGAGAGAAAGTATAGTTGAATTGAATCAATTTGTTGCTGAGACTAAAATTGTAGTAAGGAGGATGGTTCTGGCCCAAATTGACTACAATTTATTTTATTCTTTTTTTTTTTATTTTATTTTTTGTTACTTTTATTCTTTCTATATATATTTCTTATTTGGTGCAACTTTGACTACCTCCTTCCGCCCCCTTGCAGCAGAAAGGGAAAACAAAACAACCAAAAATATATGTCTGACACCATTTCACCTCCTCGACCTCATCATTCTAGGTCATCTTCCATCTCCAAAAACACTCGAGCCCATTCTCATCAAAGGAAACCATCTACTAACTCTGCAACAACTAGTCATCTTTATCCTATTCAAGAAACACAATCTACTATGGGTGCTTATTCACCATCACTATCTTCTTCCTCTAAAAAACCAACATCCTCACGTATTACATCCTGGCGACATTATATCAACCTGATTCATATTAAAGTTAATAATATATTTGACCCATCACCTTCATTATCCTCTGGACCTCTTTTACCTCAAGATAAACATACAGCAGCATTTGGTGGTCCTGCAAAATCAACATCATCATCTGGTTGGATAGGTTCATTAGCAAGATCAACTCTTGTTCGATTCTTGATTCTATTATATGTCATCTTCTCCATCTTTTTATCTCTTCATCATCTTTGGTCTTGGTTTACTACTGAAAAACTTGATGCTCGTTTCAACGATAACTGGATCCCACAAAGAACTTATGATCAAGATAAACCATATTCTATGATGGATGATATGACACATGGTTTAAAGATGTCCAAACTCTTTGCAAAGGCAAATTATCAGTCGGCTGAATCTATCAAACCTTTTTGGCTCAAGGCTTCGGAAATACCACTCCACGATGATATCACCTTAATCACTGTGATTACTCCTGATACTTGGACTGAATTAGAGCGATTAGTTGATTATTGGAAAGGTAAAAAAAAAAAAAAAAAGAAAGATCATTTCATCAAAAAAAAAAAAAAACATTTGGCATAATGATAATAATGTTTTTATTATTATTTATGAATGGATAGGTCCTATTTCGGCAACATTACATACGAATAAGGATGAAAACACCATGACGACATTACGTGAAAAATATAACAACCATGCAGAATTACTAAAAAGAGTCGACATTCATCTATCAGAATCACCACAAGCTGGAATTTCTGTTCTTGTACCTCGCAATGCTGAACGCAATGTGGCTCGTCTATTCGCTCAAACGGAATATGTGATGGAAATGCCATCCAATATGGTACCTGCCACTGATCTTCGTCGTACATTGAATACCAACAAAGGAATGTTCGAAAATCTATTACGTGATGGTGATGTACTTGTGGTGCCTACATTTGGATTCCCTGAACAAGAAAGCACTGTATACAAACTTCCCTTCAGTAAATCTCGACTATTGGAACTCGTGGATGATGATAATATGTTCTTATTGGACAAACACTGGAAACCTAATACTGGTCCAACTGACTTGGATCTTTGGAAGACGGCTACTACTTTATATCCTGTGAGTCGTTATGATTTTCATTATGAACCTATAGTGATTGAAAGTAAAACTATTCAACCATGGTAAGTCAATTATAAAAAAAGAAAAGAACACTTTTTTTTTTTTTTTTACTTATACTAATCATCTATCCCTTTTTATTTGTAGGTGCGCTGAACGCTTTCTAGATAGTAGACCAGCTTGTCTTTTCTCAACGTACTTGAGTGGTGGTGATTTCTGGGTATTACCGGATGATTATGTCGTAGAATTACCTGAAACTGAAAAAAACAATCTCTCTGACTTTGATGTAAGTAGGATAATGAAAAAAGGAGAAACTATGTATCATTAGGGATGATGGCAGATGACTGATGATCTATTTTTTATTTATTTATTTATTTATTTTTTTTTTTGATAGCATGTCATTGAAAATCGGTTGTACGCTAAATTCTATTGGGAACAATGCGTTCATCATGCAAGACAATTGGATGCTCTTGGTCTCTGGAAAGGCAAACGATCTGAACATATCCGTACACAGTGTTCTCGTGTCATTCAAAATTGGGGTAAAGGGTTAATAGGAAAACCAGAATAGAAATAAGGTAGTTAGTTTATTGTCTTTTTCTTTCATCTACATATTTTATACGTATACACTATTTTTTTTTTTTATAAATAAAAAGTCAACTTTGTCATTGATGATTTCATCCATACTTGTTATTATTGTATTTACGGGAAGATCTAATACTTTATTGTTGAAATGACATATGAAAAAAAAAGATAAATTTGAGAATGAGTAACAATGATCAAGATTCATGCTCGATTTCTTCAGGTACAAGTAGTACCAGGTATGTGAGATTACCAGTCGCAGCAGTGAGTCAAACCACCTCAGTTACCCAATATGTGTGGCTTGGACAACAATCAGGGAAGAAAGTCGAACCTTTTTTAAGCTCCCTCCTTTTTTTTCCCTTCCTTTTTTTTTTTTTTTTTTTTATTTTTCTCCACTCTATTTTTTTTTTTCTATTATTATTATTATTATTCCCTTATAATGTCAGCATCTGTTGAACAAAAGATGGTCGATTTGAATATTAACGATAAGAAGCCTGCCGTTCCTAAAACTGAAAAGAAAGCCAAAAAGTCAAAAGGCGTTGAAGCAGAACATCCCTTGGAAGTAAGCATGATAAAAACACAATAATATATAAACGCATCTTTTTTTTGATGATTAAAATATTAATATATATATTTTTTCTTTTGTTTTAGATTTCTCCTGCTCCCGAATACTTACAACACCGCATTGACATGTTCGACCGTTTGAAGGCTGAATATGATGAATCCATCAAAAGTAAGTGATTGACTATTTGACAACTCTCTCTATGAGTTTGGTTCTAATTTTATTTATTTATTTATTTTTATTTTTGCCAGACAAACCTCGCGTCCCTATCAACATCACTTTACCTGATGGTACTGTCAAGGAAGGTATTTCTTGGGAAACCTCACCCATGTCTATTGCTCTCGGTATCTCCAAATCTCTTGCTGAACGTACTGTAATTGCCAAGGTGAATGGTGAAGTATGGGATTTGGAACGACCTTTTGAAGATTCTTGCCAAATGGAACTTTTGGACTTTGAACATCCTGAAGGAAAACGTGTATTCTGGCATTCTAGTGCTCATATGTTGGGTGAAGCTTGTGAACGTCATTATGGTTGTCATCTTTGTATTGGTCCCCCTCTTGAAGAAGGTTTCTATTACGAAATGGGTCTTAAGGATCGGTAAAGATATATATATATATTATATATGTTGCATTTATACTAATATATAAATATTATGAATAGTGTCGTTTCTCAAAATGATTATGCCAGTCTTGAAAAGTTGGTTGGTATGATCACCAAAGAAAAACAACCATTCGAACGATTGGAAATGTCAAAGGAAAATCTCTTGGAAATGTTCAAGCACAATCCTTACAAGGTTCATATCATCAATGACAAGATTCCCGATGGTACTTCTACCACTGTTTATCGTTGTGGTCCTTTGATTGATTTATGTAAGGGTCCTCATGTTCCTCATACTGGTCGTGTCAAGGCAATGTCTGTCACCAAGGTAAAAATATATATATAAGAAAAGGGTTTTGAAGAGGAAATGAAATTTAATGATTATTATTATATTATCCCTAGAATTCTGCCTCTTACTTTTTGGGTGATGCTAAAAACGATTCTCTTCAACGTTTGTATGGTATCTCTTTCCCTGATAAGAAGCAATTGACCGAATACAAAAAATTCATTGAAGAAGCTTCCAAGCGTGATCATCGTAAAATTGGTCGTGTAAGTGAATACAGAGAAAAAAAATTGGTTATATGGAATCTAATTCTATAGATGTTTATAGGAACAAGAACTTTTCTTCTTCCATGAATTATCTCCTGGTTCTGCTTTCATGCTTCCTCATGGTGCCCGTATCTACAATGCTCTTATGGATATGATCAAGGAACAATACCGTGTCCGTGGATTCACCGAAGTCATGACTCCAAATATGTTTAACCTCAAATTATGGAAACAATCTGGTCATGCTGCCAAGTATCAAGAAAATATGTTCTGTTTGGAAGTTGATAAGGAAGAATTTGCTTTGAAGCCCATGAACTGTCCTAGTCATTGTTTGATGTTCGGTCACAAGGAACGTAGTTATCGTGATTTGCCTGTACGTTTTGCTGATTTTGGTGTACTTCATCGTAATGAATTCTCAGGCGCTCTTTCTGGTTTGACTCGTGTCCGTCGTTTCCAACAAGATGATGCTCATATTTTCTGTCGTCAAGATCAGGTATACATATATATATATAATGAATGGAATGAATGTTTTAAACGATATTTTTTTATTTTTATTTTTTTTTTTTGTTCAGATCGATGAAGAAATGACGAACTGTTTTGAATTCATGAGTCATGTTTATGGTGTATTTGGATTTGAATTCCATTTGAAGCTCTCTACTCGTCCAGATAACTTTATTGGTGAAATTTCTGTGTGGGACAATGCTGAAAAGGTAAAAAAGAAACAAACGAAATAAAAAAAAAAATATGTGAAGTGTGACATTTGTTTTTGATATATATAAAAAAAAAATAGACTTTGGAAGCTGCACTTGTCCGATTTGCTGAAGAAAAAGGATTCACCTGGGAATTGAATGCTGGTGATGGTGCTTTCTATGGTCCCAAGATTGATATTGTGATCTCTGATGCTTTACGCCGCAAACATCAATGTGCCACCATCCAACTTGATTTCCAATTACCTGAGCGCTTTGAATTGGAATATCGTACTGAAAGCACCACCGATGATAAGAAATTGAGTCGACCTGTAATCATCCACCGTGCCATTCTAGGATCCGTTGAACGTATGATGGGTATCTTAATTGAACACTTTGGTGGTAAATTCCCCTTCTGGTTATCTCCTCGCCAAATCAGTGTGATCCCTGTGGCTGCTCCTTACTTTGATTATGCTGAAGAAATCGTTACTCGATTGACTGCTCTTGGTCTCTATGCCGATGCCGATCTTTCTGACAGCACCCTCAATAAGAAGATTAGAAACAGTGAAGTGTCTCATTACAACTTTATCTTTGTCGTTGGTGAAGAAGAACAAACTACCAAATCAGTCAATGTTCGCAACCGAGATGATGTTGGATCCAAACATAAGGGCAAGACCATTCCTTTGGAAGAAGTAATTGCTAGCGTTCTTGCTTTGAAGGAAAGCAAGAATTTGGAAAACAAACTCTAAAGTGTATGTGTGTGTGTATGTGTAGATTTATTAATCCGTTGTTGTTTTAGTTTAGTGTATATGATCTCTTTTTTTTTTTTAGTATAGTATTCGTATTTTTAGAAAATATGTGTTTGAAGTAAAGTATATTGACTTTATATATAAAAATTGGTTTTTCTGGATCTTCTCGAAATTCAATCATGATGTTGTATTTTTTTTTTTCTTACTGTTCATCATTCAAAGCATTATCACAAAATCATCACCATAAAATCATCATGCAATCATCCTTTACCATAAAGTATCCAGTTAACTACCATCCATTATTTTTACTCAGTCAACATAACATCTTTTCTTTAATTCTATCCCTTGCTATATGAATTCCCAATTTTACATCTTTCTGCGATCTTTCCATATCTGACCCACTTCATTTTCAAACCGGATCATTGCTTTAGCAGCCTGGTTATTCGGGTCCTGAAATATTGGAAAACAAGTCAAAATGGAACCAGCCAAAAGTCCTTTTCCCGATATTCTCCTGGACCTTTCTTTTTTTTTTTTTTTTTTTTTTTTTTTTTTTTTTTTTTTTTTGTGCTTTCCTTTCGTCCCTTTCTTTTTCTCCCTTTTGTCCGTTTTCATGTCATCTCGTCTTTTACAAACAACGACCCGTCAGGGACGTAATGTTTTTTCCTCTCTTACTAGAAACAATGGGTTTCCATCTTTATTGAAACGAACTGAAGCAACTATCAATTACAATCCAAAGGTATATCCAAAAACACACACATATCCTTGGTTTTTTTTTTATGACATATTTATTTATTTTATTTTATTTGGTTGAATAGGATTTGAATACATTACCAACTAAGACTCAAGAATATTCAAAAGCATCTACTGGACTTTGTAAAATCACCACTTTACCTAATGGTGTTCGTGTCGCATCGGAAAACACTCCAGGTCATTTTAGCGCAGTGGGTGTTTATGTGGATGCTGGTAGTCGATATGAAACAGCTGCTACTCGTGGTGTTAGTCATATTTTGGATCGTTTAGCTTTCAAGGTAATAAGTTAAGATCATGAATAATTAAAGTACTAATAGTCATGTATTTTTTTTTTTTTTTTTTTTTTTTGTCTATAGAGCACAGAACATCGAACAGCAGATCAAGTAGTGGGTGAATTGGAATCTTTAGGAGGCAATATCATGTGTTCCTCATCTCGCGAATCCATCATGTATCAATCAGCTATCTTTTCTCAAGACCTGGGTCGTGTATTGTCATTACTCTCCGATGTCATTTGTCATCCCAACATTGATCCTGCAGAAGTGGAAGAACAACGCATGACGGCATTATATGAAATTGAAGAAATCTGGTCCAAACCTGAAATGATTTTACCGGAAATCTTACATACTGTGGCATATCAAGGTAATACATTGGGCAATCCTTTACTCTGCCCACCTGAAAACTTGGCAGCAATGACTCCAGACTTGATCAAATCTTACATGAACACATGGTATCGACCCGAACGTATGGTGATTGCAGCTTGTGGTGCTCAACATGATCAAGTGGTGGATTTGGCTCTCAAATATTTTGGTGATATCCCAGTATCTTCTAAAGATGATATGCTTGATTCTGTGGTTACTCATGCTGAAGCTTTGAAACGACAACGTGTCATGGCCTCATCCAACAAACCTTCTTTGGTCTCATCTCTATTTGGTAACAAAGCAACGGATGCATCTACTCCTTACGATATTGCTACTCAACCTGCAAGATATACTGGTGGTACACAATTCTTGGAAACCGGACCTGAATCTCCATTGACGCAGGTGTATGTGGCATTTGAAGGTCTCTCGATTGATGATCAAGATATTTATGCATTGGCTACACTTCAAATTTTACTTGGTGGTGGTGGTTCCTTCTCGGCAGGTGGACCAGGAAAAGGAATGTATTCTCGTTTGTTCACCAATGTTCTGAATCAATATTACTGGGTGGAATCATGTCAATCATTCAATCATTGCTACACAGATTCTGGACTCTTTGGTATTGCAGGCTCATGTCCTCCTCAATATACCAACGCGATGGTGGAAGTGATTTGCCGGGAATTGGATCTAGTGGCACGAAGTGATGCCGGTCATTTCTCTGTTTCTGATGTAGAACTGAATCGGGCCAAGAATCAACTCAAGAGCTCTCTTTTAATGAATTTAGAAAGTCGTATGGTACAATTGGAAGATCTAGGAAGGCAAGTACAAGTCCATGGCAAGAAGACCGGTATTGACACCATGTTGGAAAATATCGATCGTGTCAATCTAGATGAACTTCGTCGTGTGGCAAGTCGTGTGGTTCGCGGTGCTGTCAGTGTTTCCAGTGGTGGTAGTGGCAAACCTACTTTTGTTCTTCAAGGCCATTTGACGGGTGTTGCTGATGTTTCCAAGGTGGCTGAAAAGTATGGCCTTGGTGCTTAAATCACCTCTCTCTCTCTCTTTTTCTTTCTTTTTACATAACTTCTTTTTTTTTTATTGATGACACACATCCCTCTCTTTACCTTTATAGTCTTTCTTTTATAGTTGTTTTTTTTTTTTTTGTAGTTTAGATTTTATAAATATCTTCATTTAGACATATTGTTTTGTTTTTGATTTTTTTTTAGGGCTCCTCTTTGTGTATAGCTTTTTATTAATATTACTTCTTTTTATTATCACCCTCATCAAAATGAAATAAAACTTCACAATCATTCTCTCATCTTTTTTTGATCATGTACTAGATGTATTTTTTTTTAGGGGAATCCATCAACATGGAAGAAAGAAAACCCGCCTACGATGTGTTTGTTCATGTATCATCCATTATTGCTTGTCAATCATTTTCTAATTAGATGATCTCTTCATATCTCACACGTCATTCATTCATACGTCCATTCATCCACATATCAACGTATCCTGTTGGCTATTTATAGTAATTAGCGAATCCAAACTACAGTGGTTGATTAAGTAAAAGGGTTGAATGGCTGCGTATGGATATTCTTATTTCCCTATTTTTTTTCTTTTTATGGGTCATTAAAAAAAATATTTGAAACCTTTGTGCTACTATGTCATCGAACTGAAAAAAAAAAAAAAGGAGATTGCCCCTATTATGAAATATTTTCTTTTTTTTTTTTTTTTGAGGTGATTAACCTATTATTGTATGTCGTCCTTTGACATTCCGGTAATAGGTAATAAAGAGGTTCAAATCTTTTGTAGTAAAGAGAAGTGTTTATTTTGTAAAGTCAAATAAAGTGTAATTAGATCTTACAAGTATAAATAATATAATATATAAAGTCTAAACTAAAATAAAAATAAATAGTAATCTGTACAAGAAAAGGAAAACCTAATCAGAAAAAAAAATTTTGGTTAGTGATCAGCGGGCATCATCTAAAAAGTTGAATTTTTTTTTTTTTCGTGTTCCATACCATCGGTTCTCTTAAAGGGGAATGTTTCACCCAATGTATCCACATGTTCGTTGCCATCGCCAAGACCTTCCCATGTGATTCAATTTTCATGGTTGTTGATGATGATTGCCATACCCTAGTAAGTAACTTTGAGCAGGATTGTTAGATAGTGGAAGTGATGACATTGAAGATGTTGTATTGCCTAATATGTCCATTTCCTTTTTAGCAATCGTTGATGATGATGATGATGACGATGATGTTGAAGATGGTGTTAAAGTGGTTGATGAAGATAGAGATGCTAAATGATGATGTTGTTGTTGTTGAGTAAATAAAGTGGATGGTGATGATGATGGAGTGTAAAAAGAAGGTACATGAGAGGAGGTGATATCATAAGAAGAAAGCAATGTCGCATGCTCTAAAGGTCTTGTTCCAGGTTGTAACGATGTGGGTGTAGAGACTCCTTGTGCAAAATATTGATTCCATTCTTCCGCATCCAAAGATGTTGGTACACCCCAGAAAGCTGTACCAAAAGGATCAAATTTTGCCGGTTGTTGTTGTTGTTGTTGTTGCTGTGTTGATTGTTCAGGTATGATTACACTACCAGGTGCAGCAAATGGATCCATATTCGATGTTGCTGTCATGGCTGACATGAACGTTTGTTGTTGGTTGTCATTGGGTGTGAGATAATTCGTCTCCATCTTGTCATTATCATTATCATTATCGCTTTTATAGTGAAGATCATTTGAATTTGATGATGATGATGATGATGACGATGATTGTGTGGTTGCTGGTATATCATTGTAAGATTCTATTGAAAGTTGTTCAGTCGTATTTGTACGTTCTTCTAACATAGTTGGTTCTGGAGAATTGGGAACCGCAATCGCAGGAGGTGGGCTTGCTGCTTTACTAAGTCGTCTAGGTACGTATTCATCACATTCCAAATTGATATCCCGTAATCCAGCTAGTTCACCAAGAATATTGCAACATCGGCTGGCATTCATCCATGTATGTTCCATTTCATCCAAAGCACGCATGATTTTGTTGACATTCACTTTGGCATCAAAAGCTGTATTGAATTCATCAGAGGAGGATGCCATTTTGATAAATATAATTCCAGCAGTAAAGGCAAAATAAACCGAGTAATTTACCACATACCGTATATGTTTTTCCCCTAGCATAATGTTAATGATGTTGAGAATAGATCTAGCACCGGACACACAAAGATCGTAGGAAGGAAGAGATAATTGAGATTCAACAGCCTGAGAAGGTCCAGGAATAAATGATCGATGAAGTAAGATCATGGTAGTATAATAGATCATATGAAGTTGTCCAATAGCGAGAGGAGGATCAGGTACAGTTTCACCTATTTCAGTATCCGGAAGTTTGTATTGTAAAGACGTTGGTAGATGAGAAAGCCATTCTGTTAGTTGTCGATGAAGTGTTTTGAGTACATGATCCACATGTTGACCAGATGTATGATGTCGAGCTTTTGCGTAGTAAATATTTTTCAAAACATGACCCAGTATATCACATAGTTTGATACAATGAATGAATGTGTCCAATATCCTAGGTCCAGGTTGATTCGTTTCTGTTTGTATTGGCTCATCATCATCCACAGATGGAAAAGGTACATCGATATCCCGTTCTTCAAAGCAAAGTGCACGTCCATAAATAGCAGTAGTCAATCGATCCACAATAAAACAACACCAAAAGACTCGTTTTCTTCTTTCTCGTTCTTCAGGAGGGATATTCCAATGTTCCGAATTTCGATGTAATCCAAGATCAAGAGCCATTCGAAAAGCCTAATTTAAAAAAAAAAAGAAAGAATATTAGTATTAAAGAAATACAATAGAAAATATTTCAAACCTTACCATTCCACAATAAAGCCATGCACGAGCAGATTTCATTGCACCTTGTTGATGACTTGACAATAAAAGAAGAGCTTGAACAGTTGATATTCGGGGTACATCGTAGTAATCATCCAGTAAACATTTTGCACGTTCAAAAAAAATATCACCTGCGGTGTCTTGTGAATTAGGATCAGATCGCACACGGACATCAGAAGAAAGACGGGAGGCAACAGCATAGATAGCATTCAGTAACAAGGGAGATAATGATTCATCCATATCATTAGAAGAGACTAATTGACGTTTGTAAAATAACGGGAGCAATGGATAAAAATGCTCAAAATAAAGTCGCACCAAATGTTCAGACAAGTCTTTGGGAGGTAATGCAAGGGGGTCAACATGATGATTAGATTTATCAGCGGAGGAAGAAAGTTTGTGCCCATAACCAGAAAAGTGGAAGACGCCATTTTGATAAGTACGACTGTTTTGAAGTAAATAGAATCCAGATGATCTTCCTAAATATCGTACATGACCACTTTCATCCATAGATAGTTGACCGTTACTATCACTGATAGAATCTGGACTGCTTGGAGAATCAAGTAAATCAGCTTGACTCTGTGTTGGACTATCACAAAGAGTAGTTGGTGATTTTCGTGGTGAATCTTCTATTTTATTGTCGTTATTGTTTACTGATGAATGATGTTGATAATTAGTAATAGTTGAGGATGGTGATGATGATAAATTGAATGAAGAATTGTCATTTTGGTCAGCTGCTGACATCGAATCTTGTTTCCGTCTTGTCGGTCTCGTTTTGATAATATCACCATTGGCTGTTTCTAAAGGAGAATTGAGTTCATCTAATAATTGCTTTGACCTAGGATCATCTTTAGCCAAGTTTCCCAATAAGGATTCTAACTTGTGTAATCTTGTTTCAATAGCTTCAATATAACCTTTAGGTGGACCACGCTATAGATCAGATAAAACAAAAAAAAAAAGATCATCAATAATCAGTAATTAGAATTATAAATATAAATATAATCAATAATGACTCACCTTTTTTGTTGCATCCTTGTAACTACATTCTAGGTTAAATGCTGTACAATTTCTACACATAGGAATGTGACCATCACACTTTATCTTTTTGCGTCGACAAAGGTCACTATAATATAAGGATATACAAACAAATATAATTTAGTCAAAACGTTATCTTCTTTTTCTTTCTTTTTTGGGAACATACCAAGCTCTACTGACTCTTTGACGTTTGCTAAGGTTAGACTCATCACCACTGTTGGGCATAGTGTGAATCAATGAAAGAGAAGTGCGAAGATAATGGATAAAGAGGAATGAGAACCAACCGTGTGTAAAGTATAAAAGAGCAGAATGTTGTACAATTGAAGCCTGTGATAAAGAGAAAGAGAGAGAGAGAATAAAAAAAAAAAAAGATTACAATAAAAAAAAAAGCAAAATTTATATGAAAAGACGGAGATTTAAAGTACTCCATTTTGTAACTTACTATTTCTATTCATTGCCAAACTGTAAACCCCCTTGATTCTCTCCTCATCCTATGACTATATCATTATATAAGATGAGACTTTAAAAAAAATACTTTGAATAGAAAGAATCATTCGTTTTATTAGATATTTCATCTTATTCTCCTTTTTTGGAAAGAGTAGAAATTCAAAGTTGCCCTTTACCCGAGGTCAACCAAGTGGCGCTGTGGTTTTCAACCCAGACGTGACTCGACAAAAGTTTTTGTTTTCTCACTTTGGGCGTAGTACATTCAAAACTTGAAATCCAAAAAAACTTATTTCCTTTTTTTTTTTTTTAACTGTTTCTTTTTTTTTTCTTTTCTTTCTTTCTTTTGTTATCTTTTTAATAACAATGTCTCGTTTCTTCCGGTCCACCTCTGATACCGAATCCGAAACTGATTCCTCTGATAACGAATCCTTCTACGATGAAGTCACTTCTGAAGAAGAAGAATCTGATGTTGAAGTTGAAGAAGAAGATCAACAAACTTCAAAAAAGTCACGGTTTTTGAAGGGTGGAGATTCTGAATCTGATATGGATAGTGATGAAGAATTTGGTCGAAAACGTCAAGTCAAGTCTCAAAAAGATAAACGTCTTGAAGATATGCATAGTGCTGCCAAGGCTATTGATAATGGTCGTAAAAATAACGATTGGACTCTCATCTCAAGTGGTATGGTTTATGATTTTGTTTTTTTTTTTTTTGTCGTGGTAATCAACTAACTTCCTTTATTTTCTTCTTATTATTTAGAATTCGATAAACTTTCAACTAGCATTAGCAAAGCCACGACTGGTTTCGATAAGATTGCTTTCCCCAAATTTTACATCAAAGTATTGGTCGAACTCGACGAACTCATTCAAGAAACCACTCAAAAAGACAAGGCCTCTAAGAAGAAGGTTAATCCTGCTAATGGTAAAGCAATGAATGCCACCAAGCTCAAGGTCAAAAAGATTAGCAAGCAATATGAAAGCATGATTGAACAATACAAGAAGGTATTAAAAAGGAAAAGCAAGACAATTTTTTAAAAGGACTTGTCATCAATATACTAATTATTCTACTATGTGTTATTATTTTATTCTATGTTCTAATAGGATCCTGAAGAATTCATGAAAGAAGATGAAGAACCATCCACTCCTGAACCTATCAAATCTGTCAAGAATGAAAGAAAACCTGTTATCAACGATATCTCTGCTGCTTCTTCTGCTGTTGTAGAGGATGGTTTTACTTCTGTTGGAAAAGGTGGTAAAGCAACTGCTGAAATTGATGATAAACCTGTTCTACTTCGTCTTCGTGAAGTTTTGGAAAGCAGAGGCAAAAAGGTAAATAATAGCAATGAGAAATATAAAATATTAAAACGAATGATCATTGATTTCTTCTTTTTTTTAATAGAACACTGATCGTGAAGAACAAACAAATATCTTGGAAGGTTTACTAGCTAGATCAAAATCATCTTTCCAAAAGATCTCTGTATTGTTGGCTTTGATTGCTTCTCGATTCGATCTTACTATTGGATCTACCTCTCATATGGATATCAAGACTTGGAAAGCAGTGGAAAAGGAAGTCAATTTGATTCTCAATATTATGGAATCTGAACCATCATTCATTGTATGCGAAGATGCTGAAGATTTAGATAATGATGATAAGGATGTGGTACCCGCCGCCGGTGAAATTATCAAACTTCGTGGATCTATTATTGGTTATATTGAACGTTTGGACGATGAATTTATCAAGACATTACAAGCAACTGATCCTCATACTCCTGATTATATTGATCGCCTTCGTGATGAACCTTCTTTGTATGCACTTTTGACTCGTTCCCAAGCCTACTTTGAAAAGCACAATTTGAATGAAAGTATTTCTCGTGTGATTGTTCGTCGCTTGGATCATTTGTATTACAAGGTATGTTTGTTTTATTTATAATGGGTTATATATATATATGTATATGTGTGTGTGTGCGTGTGTTCATCTTTTTTTTTTTATTTTTTTACATTATTTATAGCCCGAACAAGTGATTCGATCCATTGAAAAAGTGTCCAAGGATATGCTTCCTGCTGGAGTGGAATCCAAACTTATTGTTGCTGATGAGCCTTCTCAATTGATTCATGAATTGTGTGCTTATCTTTATAAACAATCTGCCTCGATGTTACGTACTCGTGCCATGCTTTGTCATGTTTTCCATTTTGCTCTACACAATCAATTCCACAAGGCTCGTGATATGTTACTCATGTCTCATCTTCAAGAATCTATTCATCAAGCTGATGTTGCTACTCAAATTCTTTACAATCGTGCTGTCGTTCAAATTGGTTTATCTGCATTCCGTCAAGGTCTCATCAAGGAAGCACATGCTTGTTTACAAGAAATTCAAGGTACTGGTCGTGCCAAGGAACTTCTTGCTCAAGGTATTCAACAAAATCGATATGGTCAACAACAACCTTCTCCTGAATTGGAACAACTTGAACGACAAAGACAATTACCTTTCCATATGCATATCAATTTGGAATTACTCGAATGTGTGTTTTTGACATGTTCTATGTTATTGGAAATTCCTGGACAAGCTCAAGCTGGACCCAACAATAAGAAATTCATCTCTCGACCTTTCCGCCGATTATTGGACTTTAATGAACGTCAAGCCTTTGCTGGTCCTCCTGAAAACACCAGGGATCATATCATGAGTGCTGCCAAAGCACTTGCTTCAGGTGAATGGGAACGTGCTAGAGATTATATTTTGGCCATCAAGGTCTGGGACTTGTTACCTGATACCGAATCCATCAAGGCTATGTTGGTACGCAAGATTCAAGAAGAAGGTTTACGTACTTTCCTTTTCACTTATGCTTCCTATTATTCCACCTTGGGTATGGCTCAATTATCTTCCATGTTTGATTTGCCAACTCAAACTATTGCTTCTATTATTGCCAAATTGATCTGGAATGAAGAACTTGCTGCTTCGTTGGATCAAGTTTCTCAATGTGTTGTGTTGCATCAAGTGGAATTATCTCGACTTCAAGAACTAGCTTTACAATTCTCAGAAAAGGCAGCTAACTTGGTGGATCAAAATGAACGATTAGCTACTCCTCCCAATCGAAATGAAAACCAACAACAAAAGGTCCAAAACTAGGTCATATCCTTTGTCATATATACACACACTTTTTCTTTTGTATTCAACCTTCTTTTGAAATATTTTTTTTTATACATACATTTATTTTGGGGCTAGCATCTCTATATTTTTGTTTCAATTTCACTCTTTTTTTTTATTATTATTTTATTTTTATTTTTATTTTTATTATATTCTCTCTCTCTCTCTCTCTCTCTCTCTTTGACAGAAAAGCATCCATCAAAAATCAATAAAAATATCATGTTTGCATGTTCACTTTTTTTTTTTTATCTTTTTCCCTATAAAAAAAAAAAACTTATCTTTTTAAAACTCCACCTCTTTTTCCCTTTCTTTTTCCTGTTCTTCTTTATTATATTATCATCATCACTAACAATGTCTATAGTCACTTCTTCTCCTTCCAATGATGATAATACTGGTTTATTACAACTACTTACTGAAGATTGGGATGATACCAAACGAACTCTGGTGAATGATTCAAAATGGACCAAGGATTATTTGACACGGTTGACATCTTTATCTCTTGAAGAACTTATACAAGAACCCTCTCTTTTACGATCGAATCAACAACAGTTACAACAAGAAGCACAACAACTAGCATTCACAGAATATCCTTCTTTTTTACATGCCGAATCTTGTCGACGAGGATTTGGCTCGACTTTGGATGATGTAGACCAACATTTGAATGAATTATTATCAGAAGCAGCGCCAGCTTTGCAGCAAGCTTGTGAAGCTTTTACAAGTCAGGCTAAAGATATTGTACAAGAACGCGCCAAAATGACAAGAGTATTGGAACATCAACTTGTACTGATGGATTTGATTGAACTACCACAACTGATGGATACATGTGTATGGAATGAATATTATGCTGAAGCCATGGATCTAGCTGCCCATGTACGTCTCCTTCAAGTTAGATATCCTTTACCGGTGATTCGTACCATACAAGAACAAGTACAACAATCATCTGACCTCATGTTGATTCAACTCGTGTCTCACTTACGTCAACCTATCAAACTTGCCGCTGCTATGAATGTGATTGGCTATCTACGACGTATGGATGCTTTCAACTCGGAAAATGAACTACGTGTGGTATTTTTACGGTGTCGTCATAGTTACTTGGAACAACGTTTGGAAAGAATCAAAAAGCCATTAGCAGATAATCCTACTACTATTGTCTCTTTATCATCACCTACAACAACAACAACAACAACAACAACAAGAACCACCTCAACTAATAGTCAGGAAACGTTTGATTATTTGAAACGTTATGTGGATGTGATGCGCGAACAGATGTTTGAAATGGCCACTCAATATATGTCTGTGTTCTCCAGCAAAGAAAATGATACACTTTTTGTTGATTATATGACTCATCTTGTTACACGAATGGAACACACATTAAAGGAGCATCTTGGTTATATCGACGATACTTCGGCGCTGGCGTCGTTACTGACTCAATTACAATACTGTGGAATGTCTTTGGGTCGTGTTGGATTGGATTTTCGACAATTATTTGTGGGTTTATTTGAAAAAGCGATGCAACCTTTGGTATTACGATTGACGGATCAAGCCACAACTTTACTATCAACTGACACTTTACAAGCATCTACTGAAGATCAAGTCCTTCCTAGTACTTGGCTCAATACAAATCATGGTGATGACCGCAGTTCAATGGAAAAGGATAATCACTCTCGACAGCAACATCCTTATCAACCTCCTCTTTTACTTGTCGATTATCCTTGTCTTGCTATTTTCACCAATGGGATTTTGACTGCCTTGAACGCTCTACGTCTTTTACCAGCTATTGGATCATTTTCTATCATGACACAACATTTAGATGCTTGTTTATTGGAAGTTGCTGGTGCTTTGAAACAGTATGCTGATCAAGTCACTGCTCAAGCTGGACATGAAGAAATCACTTTTGTGGAAATGTTTACTGCTGCCTATGTTCGTTGCTGTGTACCATTCTTACAGCGTTGCCTGATTGAAGGGATTTATGGTCGCTCCGTAGAAGACATGAACACTGCTACACAAGACATTCAACGACTATTACACAACTATCTTGTCACAACAACTGAGGATAAGAACAACGACCGTGGTGATGATGATGATGATGATGTAAAAAGGAATGGCGATGACACCAATAAAGATGAACAACAACAACATACGAACAACAATGATGATCTATTGACAGACACAGCGAAATTCCAAAATGAAGACAACCAAGCACTTGATGATGGGGAAACAAATGCGGAAAGTAAGGGAGAAAACGCCGAACAAAATGATCACAACGACAATGAACAACCATTAGAAAACGCGGATTCTTCTTCACTAGTTGAAGATCAACAACAAGAATTACCGAGCGACAATGGAATGGCATCACAAGAGCGATATAAACAAGATCGTAATGATGATAGCAAGAAGGAGGACATCGGTACCATGGATGATCAAATGAAACCACAACTTTGTAGCATCGATGATGCTTTCAAAAAGGATGACAACCATGAATCTAAGGACACACAACCGGTACTAGACGATTCTATCGAGGATGAGCCAAGCAATGATACACCATCAATACAATGACTGGCATTCTGGATCTCAAGACAAAACCTGTATATAATATTAGATTACCCCTCTCCCCATTTTTAGTTTAGTCTTTATCTTATTAGATCTGATTTAGAAATAATAAAAAGAAAAAAAGGAAATAAGAATGTTAGTGATATTTTTATCTAGTGTTGTTAGAAACAAATGAAGAAAATTGTTTTCTCTTTTCATAAAAGAGACAATGAATACTTGCTTTTTTTTTTTTTTTTTTTTTTTGTTCAGTGTGGTAAACCATCCATTACTACCAATATCCATTATCCATCATCTATAATCCATTCATCATCCATCGATACGCTACCAATAAAATAAAAATTTATTGTAAATCTATAAAGTTGGGAAGGAATGAAGCTACAGTAGAGTGACAAAAAGATGATATCTATAAATACATAAATATATATATATATGAAGAGAGGGATGATCCAAAGATGTACAAAAAGAAATGAGGAAGACCAAAAAGAGAAGGAGAATAAAAAAAAAATACTACTGTTGTTGTAATTTCTGATATACCCATTGTTGAATGGTAGCGACTTGTTGATCAATAGAAAGAAAACTTGTATCCAATTCGACAGCATCGATTGCCTTTTTAAGAGGGGAGATGGAACGAGTACGATCGGCTAGATCTCTTGCTTCAATGTCACGCATGATCTGATCCAGACTTTCTTTTTGTTGTTCTTGATACCGCCGTTGGGCACGGGCTTGAAGATCAGCGATCAAGAAGACCTTGAGTTCGGCTTGAGGTAAGACCACGGTACCAATATCACGACCATCCATCACCACACCTTGCACCGTACGACCTTCAAATGGAAACCCAGGATACCTTGCATCCACACTCGACGCCATGTGTTGTTGTTGTTGTTTCAATGCCTGACGGACCAAAGGATTAGACGCCACTGGACTAATGAGTCGTGTCACCGATGCTTGTCGCACTTGGCTTGTCACATCCTTGCCATTCACACTCACTTGTCCCAACGATGGAAACTCGATCGCTAACGATTGCGCTAATTGCCCTACTTTAGCCTGATCTTGCACATCCACTTGTTCTTCCATACAATGTACCGTCACTGCTCGAAACATGGCTCCTGAATCAATGTATCGAAACTTGAATAACTTTGCGAGTTGTTTGGCCGTCGTACCTATAAGAAAAAAAGAAAGAAAGAAAAAAAAGAAGACAATGGATGAGACCTATGTTAATGTTTCTTATACCTTTCTTTTTTCTTTTTTTTTTGAGATCCATTTACTTTTCCCAGAAGCAGCTGGTCCATCAATGGCAATACGGAATAATTGTGACATTTACAGGAAAAAAAAAAAGAAAAGAAAAGAAAAGAAACGAAAAAAGAAGCGGAAGATGAAATGGAGAAACCAAGACAAGAGTTTATTGAAGATTGTTGTATACACAAGGAAAAGAACAAAAAAAAAAAAAAAGATTTTTTTTTCCAAATAAAATACGATAATATCAACCAAAAGATTGGTGATAAATAAAAATAAATAACTAGAAGAAGAAGAAGAAGAAAATTGGGGAATATATATGTATATATAATGGGGAGAAAACAATTTGTTATATAAGGCAGATAGATATATAAAAGGGGTAGTAATAAAAATAATATAAAAAAATCAAAAAAAAAACAAAGTAATAATAATAATAATAATAAAAAATATCTTCTACTTAACGACCATTTATAAATCCAGGAATCCAAGAAGATCGTTTATCACGTTTGTCAGTGGGAGAAGTAGGTATATCATTGCCATTTTCAACTGCAGCTCCACCACGTAAAGGTTTGGCAATACGACCAAAGTTCAAAGCAGCCATTGAATTTTGAGATTTTTGAGTTCGAGCTTGTTCCAATCTTTCTCTTACTGCTTGAATTTGTGCTTCGAATTTTTGATTTTGACTGATCAATTTTTCTTGAGCATCTTGTAATAAGGTTTCCAGACTTTGAATACGTTCATTTCGAGCAATCAATTTACGTTCTGCTACTGCCACTTCTTTCTTGAGGGATGCATTTTGTTCAACCAACTACATCATAAATATATATATATATATATATATATTAGTTTTTGTTTTTATACAGATATGCTTTTTTTTTATATCATCATCATCATTGATTACCTGCTTTTGAACATTAGTTAATTGTTCCAAATTACGTTCCAAGAAAGCCATCTTCTTTTGTTGAGCCTTATTGTTGCTTGCACGTAATACACTGTTATATTGTTCCCGAGTTTCATCCAAAGACATTTCCAAATCCACCACCTTTTCACATCGTTGTTGAAGATCACGCATCAGTGCTTTCTTCATCACTTCAAATTCAGCTAATTGATTGGCCATGGTCTTGCGCATACGTTCCAAGTCCTTTTCACGTTCGGAAAGATCATTTTGAGCTTCATTGGGTTGTTCAGATAAAGCAGCCTAATCATCCAAAAAAAAAAAAAAAAAAAAATGAATCATTCATCATTCTATCTCTATTTTTATATATATATACCTGGAGTTGATCATTGGCTGTTTTGAGATCAGCTAATGCACTACTAAGTTTTTGATGACTTTCAGTCTTTCGATCCAATTCCTTCTTGAGTTCATCAATTTCTTTTTGTTGCATTTCACGTTTGGCATTATATTGAGTTTCAAGTTTGCCCTGTAGATAAAACTGTCAATCTTTTTTTTTTCTCTCTTTTTTTTTTTTATTTTTTATTTTACCTTGAGAGTTGAAATTGTTTCAGCAATATCTACATTCTTTTGTACTTGAGCTTCTTCTTCAGCAATCGTCTTGTCCAAAAGTTCTTCGTATTCGACTTCAAGACTTCCCAAACGAGCTTCCAAATCAGATTTCTTCTTATCCAAAGCATCCTTTTCATATGTCAAGTCTTCAATAGATTTGGAGTGTTGATCTAATAATACTTTGGATTCGGCAAGTTCTCGTCTTAAAGAAACCAATTCTTCAATAGTAAGAGATCCATTGGTATCACCATCCAGTTTGTTAAGTGCATCCCTAATTTGTCGTTCCTTTTCATTGATTTCACCCTATGTATGAAGAAAAGATTAAAAAAAATTTATCATTTAAATTCATAAAAAAAAAAAAACTTACAGAGGGATCAAAACCAGACATCATTTGAGCCATTTTTTCAGCCTTCTTCTTTTCTTTTTCATCATCAGTGGCATCTTTGTGAGAAAGACGCATTTCAGAAAGATTTCGCTTGAGTTCTTCTAATTCTGCCATAAGATCTTGATTGGATTCCTTCAAAGAGTCGACAGTGATGGCATTTTCTTTACTTTCGTAAGAGATCTTTTGTAATTGAAGTCGTAATTCGGTGAGTTCTGTTGTCATTTGTTGATTTTCCTTGGTCACCAATTGTTCTTGATCTTTATAATAAGTCATTTCTTCCTTGAGAGATTCTAATAATTTTTCACGATTTGCCAATTCAGTTTCCTATAATAATAAATAGAATGAGAAAATGATATGAATAGATGTATTTTTTTTTTTACCTTTTCAGCAATTTGATCCATAAGTTCATTTTCACGTTTGAGTAGTTCATCTCGTTCATCTTTTTCCAAAACAATAGCAGGAGTGGTTGGTCTTGAAGTATCATCAGAGATAGGACTCTTGAAACCAGGAGCAGGAGGAAGAGCATTAAAGTCACCTTTTGTCACTTTATCCATTGTCACCCATTTTTCTTCAGGAACAGTACCACCACTACGCCAAACATTGACTTCGCCTTCCAATGCTGAGATATAAGTTTGAAAAGTGATGGTTTCAGATTTGACACGTTTCAATAAAGCCTTAAGTTCAGCAGGAGATAGATCAGCATTAACTTTAGCCTTGTTGGTGATGGTCTTGGCACGCATACCGAATCGTAAAGTAGAAAGAGTTTCTTGTTCATTGTAAGAAGAAGGTGAACAATTGATGATTAAAGTAGTACGAGAGTTACCACCCAAAGATTCTTGTAAGATACGAGTTAATTTGGAATCACGATAGGGCACATGGCTTGACTAGAAATAATAAAGTAAATCAAAAAAAAAAGAGAATATATATATAGAGAGATATGATGTTTTACCTTTCCATCAGTTAAAGAATAAATGACCATTCCCAAAGCTGTTAAAGACTTGTTAATTTTCTTTGCTTCTTCTAAAGTTTGACCAGTAGCACCAGTTTTGCCAACCTAATCATGAAGATAATAAATAAATTTGTTTCAAGTTTATATATATATTACCTTTTCAGAACCAGCAAGATCCACTAAGTAAAGTTTCCCACTTTTAGCAGCACCAGTATCAACATTCTTTTGAGTAATAGTAATGACAACAATAGAATGAGAACGAGAACTTTCAGCATTCATATCTAATAAAAAGAAGATAATATATATATTAGTAATAATAATTTAAAAAAATCAATTTTAGATGAGACACACAACTGATCAAAACATATAATAAATAATGTCACGACTTACTTGTACTTGCAACCACACGATTATTACTACCACGTCGCATGACTTCATATACTTCTTCAGATGAACCAACATAGATTTCCAATAAATCCTTAACGTAAACACCTTTTGTTTTATCTTCATGAATAGCCAAATTATCATTACTTGCTATAAATTTATTTTTATTTTATTTAAAGAAGAGAGATTAGTTATTTAATAAATAATATTTATTATTTTTGATTTACTTACGATTCAAAAGATCTCTCACTTTTTCCATATAGATTTCCATATAAGAAGCTTTGACTGTAAATTCCATATTGCTAGGTGCCGCCATAATACTATCAAAGATTTGTGTAATAATACGAGGAATAATACCTTTGGTTTTTTCATCTCCAATATCTGCACCCTAAAAAGAAAATTATTTTATTTTTTAGTAAATGATAGATAAATCTTTTTTTTTTTTTTTTTTTTTTTTTTTTTACCATCATGGTGAAAGTTTTCCCTGAACCAGTTTGACCATAAGCAAAAACAGTACCATTATAACCAGCAACCACATCTAAAAAGAAAAAGAAAAAAAAAACATATCATCAATTTAATAACGCGATATTTTATTATTTTCTATTTTTTTTTTTTTATTTATTTTACCATCAACAATGGATTTAATAGAATAATCAAATACATCCTTTTGGGGGGTTTCCATTCCAAATACTTTATCAAAAGCAAAACTTCCAGTAAATTCACCCTATATTGAAATATAATAAAAAAGTAATTAGTATATATAATATAATATTGATAAGGTATTTCTTCTTGTTTCTTACCTTGATACCAACTTGAGTACCTTCTTCATTAATATCAATGATAGGTTGACCACCTTCTCTTATTTCAAGAGAGTTTTGTGGTCTAAAACGACACACAACCTTTATATTATTTCCAGACATTTAATACAAAAAACAAAAGTTGTATGGATATATTACGTAGATGTAAAGGTAAAGAGAGAAAAAAAAAAAAAAAAAAAGGAAAAAAAAAAAGAGGGGGTGAAGGAGGAAGAGTGACAAAAAAAAAAAAAGGTTCTTGTGCCACGAAGATAGGCTCCGTCATTGAGACTCAAATCGCGCTTCTTTTTTTTTTTTGTATCTATTATCACTATACATATACTGAATAGTCAACTTGTAAAAATATTTTTAAATATAACTAGATGATTGATGAATGATTTTCGTTTGTTTTATATCATATTAATAAGTAATAATGAAAAAAAACATAACATAAAAAATAAAAAAAAAACCATATCATGTGAACCAAGTCAAAAAAGTCCGACTTCAAGGCACCATAAAGAAAAAAAAAATGTCATATGAGTATAATATCAAAAGATTTTTTCTTTTTTTTTTTATTTTTCAAAAATAATCAATATAAAATAATTCTATATATAAAAGGGAATCAATGGCGAATACATCCACCAGGTAATAAATAATTAAACTTCTTTCCATTTGATAATACATAATCAGGTAATCCACCACCAGTCAAAAGTTTTGGTACATTTCCCATTTTATTGATTAAATCCTTGTAAGTGTAAGCTTCAGGCGGATATCCAAATATGTCACCTCCATCACAAATCACTTTTTGAATACGATCCAATTCTAAAAGTGATGGATCCCTGACTCGGTCCGCATGAGAATAACTTTGCATTTTGAATTGGAAATCCGTCAATTCTTTAAAACAAAAAGAGCAATGCCATCCTAAAAAATAATAATCAATAATCAATAAGTTTTATATATATATATATATATATATATATATATTATATATTACCTGCATCAGCTAACATAAGAGGAGTAATTTGATAATGTCCATATTGAGTACTATCTGGATCATATCTTTCAATATGAGCACGCCAAGAACCATAATCCACAAAAAATTCAAAAGAATATAAATAATTTCGTAATTGAAGATGAAGTGCTCTTGGTACACCTTGACATTGTGTAATTAATTGAAGAGTTTTTCCACGAATAATTTCATCCACATCTGACATAATCACCCAATCATCCTTTGCTACACCTAAATCTTTAAATACTTGATTCATTTCATGTCGCATAGCATTTTCATTATAAAAAGGTGTTTCTCCATCCGGTAGAGTACCCTGTTGATAAATAACTTTGTGATAAATCTTGTCCTTAGCAAAAAGAAATCGTTCTTGATTTTCTAAAAATGTCAATGGTTTAGTGGCACCAGTAAAAGTAGAGTTTGATTCCAAAATGATGAAGTGATCTACTACATCCCATAATTCATGAAGTCGTATTTCTAAAAGGTCGAGTTCTACACTAAATATAACAGCATCATATACTTTTGGTTTTGGTTGATTTTTATCTTCAATAAACGTCCATCCATTCAATTCACATAATTCCTTCATAGGTACTTCATTCGCATAAAAATGACGTTGATAATCAAAACTTTGACTTTCTTTATCCCAAATAGGTCGAGTATAATAACCAAGGTCTGTTACTAATCCAGGTGAACGATAAAGTATGCCTAAAGTAGACAATGCAAAGAATAAAAGTGTAAATAATATACAATATCTTTGTTTTTGATTCATAACAAAAGTAGAAACAAAGAAGAAAAAAAAAATTATACTAAAAAAAAAAAAAATTGATGAACTTAACAGTTTTAAGAACCGAAAAACAAGACTTAGTATCACTAAATGAAGGGGAAAAAAAAAAAGGTGAAACGACACTCTAAAATTCAACGTGATTCATATACCGAAGGTGGCACACCGTGAAAAAGATAAAAATAAATTCGAAATGTCGATCTTGTCATTGGCTTAAATTATCTGGCTTAAATTACTTCTCTATTTTCTTTTTTCTATTTTCTTTCTTTCTTTCTCTTATTTTTTTTTTATTTTTTTTTATTTTTTTTTATACGTATATATATGGCCTATTATTCAGCTCATGACAATGACTTTCGACAAGGTCCTTCTAACCATTATGCACCACCACCACCATTACCTCAACATTATGATACATATGCCATGAACGATGTTCATTCACATCAAGAAAAAGACTACTATGAACCTGACCAAATGTACTCAGCCTATCAAAATAAAACACCTATGACGCAACCACAAGGTTATCAATATCTGGATGATCCTTATCATCAACCTGATCCTTATGACTATGATGAAAAGAAAAGACGATCATGTTGTGATATTCTCTGTTGTGGATGTTGTACTTGTTGTCCTCGCTGGGCTAGATATTGTTCTTGTGTTTTCTTATTATTGATCATTGCTCTTGGGATTGTTATTGGTGTCTTGGCTGCTATTTTCAAGAAACCATCTATTGACTTTGGTGGTATTCAAGGTGAACCTCAATTCAATTTAACTGGAACAACTGCAAATATCGCTTTCAATGTCAATTTTACTGTGAATAATCCAAATATCGAAAGTGTTACTTTTAAAAATATTGAAGCAAAGGTAAATAATAATAATAATAATAATAATAATAATAATTAGGATTATTCATCTACTATCTTCTTCTTTTTTTAAAATATATATATATATATATATAAATAGGTTTATTATCCAAATGTAAATGGTTTGGACTTATCTCATTACTCTATTGGGGGTGGCAATAAATCAGATGTTCATATCAGTTCCAATGCGAATACAACCATTATGTTTCCGTTATCCCTTCAACTTGATGCAGCTAGTGAAAATACTCGAGCCATCCTTAGCGATATTACTCAAAAGTGTGGTATTGGTGGTGGTACTCCTCAAGATATTACTATCAATTATGATATTATTCCAAACATCAATATTATTGGTATTCCAATTACATTTACTGTTTCTAGTCATAGTTCATTTGCTTGTCCTTCGGTAAGAAAAAGAAAAAGAAAAAAAAATCTTCTCTATTTTTTTTAATCCATTTCTTCTTTTTTTCTTTTATATATTGTAGAGTATTGCCAATGGTATGAACGGGATTCTCGGAACTTTGGGTAGTTTACTTGGATCTGGTACTTTACCTTCTGGTGGTTTAAATAGTCTGACATCTTTACTTGGTTCAAATGGTATACCACTTCCTACTGGTCTTTAGTTTATTAGTATATAGATTATTGTATTTTTAGATTTATTTTTTTTTTTTTTTGTGTATAAATAAAAATATGTCATAGTCAGGGGAAGAAACAAAAAAGGAAACACCGGGAATTGAAATAAAAACCAGTATGAAGAAGTTTGGTTGGGTCAAACCCCTATCATTTTTTTTTTTTTTTTGTTTCTCTTTCTTTTTTTTTTTTAATAGACGCGACCCAAATGAAACCACTTTATTCTTTTTCTCTATTATCTTCTACTTTTATAAAACGTACGCCATTCTTTTATTCAACAACGCGTACAATGTCAACACATACTCATTTGACTGATGAATGTGTCTTTTGCAAGATCATCAAGTAAGACTTTTCATACTATATCCCTTTATATATATTAACCTTTCTATTGTTTTTTTTTTTTTTTCATAAGAGGTGACATTCCTTCTTTCAAACTAGTGGAAACAGATAAATGGTAAATATCGATATATAATTTTTATCAAATGTCCTTATTAAAGAACAACTTACACTTTTTTTTTTAGTTATTCATTTATTGATATTGAACCTTTAAGTGATGGGCATTCGGTAAATACTTTATATGTTCATAAAGAAACAAGAAACTAACATATATATTATTTAAATCAAAAAAATATTATTCAAGCTGGTGATTCCAAAATGTAAGTTAGTTCCTCTCTCCATTCATGCGACTCTTGACTAAAACCTTTTTTTAAAAAATAGATCATGCTGAATTTATGCATCAACTTCCTGATGAATATTTGACTGATATTCTTCCAATTGCCAAACAAATAGCAAAAGCCGCCAAATTTGAACAATATAACGTACTTCAGGTAAAACAACAATCAAAAAAAAAAAAAAAATTATATAAAATTTATATATTTTTCAATCTTATAGAATAATGGAAAACGGGCAAATCAGGTAAAACCATAACTGAAACAGAATATTCTTATTACTTACTATATATATATTATTATTATTATTAGGCTGTTCCTCATGTTCATTTTCATGTCATCAATAAACCGAATGCAACTACTGGTGTGGGACTTACTTGGAAACCTATCAATACCAGTATGGATTCTATCAAAGCTCATTACGAAGAAATCAAAAAGAACTTGTAATCAATTAATATGTATCGTTTTTTAAAGTTTCAGATTGTTCATGCTTGTCGGGGGTTTGATTTATTTGAAATAAAAAAGTTTTCTTTTTTTTTTATCATCATTATTTATTATTTATCCTTTACCAAAATGTTGTTTTTACAAAAATTTCGTTTACCATTAAAGAATGTTTATTCACAATTAAATAGATATCATTTAATTTCTTCTCGACAACATATCATCCATTCATCACGTCCTCTTTATCGAATACCTAAAACAACTAACATCATCAAATCATCAATTCAACAAAAACGTACATTTGTTTGGTGGCGAATTCCAGTAGCATTGATGATGGCCAGTCCAAAACAAAGAAAATTTGCATTGATTAGCACGATTGTTGGTACTTCATTTCTTGGATTTCTTTTTGGACCCATGTCATTCTTGGTCATCAGCGGATTATTGGGTGGAGTAGCATGGCGAATTTGGCGACAAACAACAGAATGGTGGAAATACCTTCCTTCTAATTTGATGAACAATCATTCATTGTATTCGATGATCCGATCTCAAGTAGGACAACATCGTGCTGAAGATCAAGTACGTGATCAAACTATTCAACGTATCAGAGAATGGGGAAAAACAGATCAAGGAAGACGGATTCTTTTGGATGATTTTAATGTGGATCATATAGATCAATTGATTTTTTTACCCACTCATTCACATGCCACCTATACCTTGGTTGAATCCATCAATGCCAATCAATTTACACAAAAACAAGTGGATATTCAATTCTTAATAGAAGAATCACAAGATATGGGTGGATGTATGGTCAGTGCCAAAGCATGGATTGATAGTGATACTGGTAAAGTGACTTTAAAAGATATTAAATTATCTTCTCCTGATTGGTCTTTGGATAAACATGTACCATTAAAACAAAATAATAATAATAATGATAGAGTGATTGAAGGTGAATTTAAAGATATTTTTTAAATAATAAAGGTCTTCATTTCCTTTTTCGTCCATAGAGTTGAGTTTTGTGGCTTATGGTACAAATTGATCTTTGTGGAACCCATTTGATTGGGCGAAATTTTTTTTTTTTCTCTCTCTTTCTTTTTGCCCTTCTGGACCTTTCTTTTTATATATCTCGGGTCTGTTTTCCCTTTTTCCACCTTTTTCTCTTTTTTTCTTTTTTTTTTTTTTTAATACTCCCTCCAAATAAAATAAAAAAAAAAAGACCATGTTCCCTTCATTCCTCTAATTCTATCACACACACACAAGACATATACACACTTTTATACATTATTTTCCTTTTAGTTACTATTTTATAGAACTCACTTTTTTTATTTTATACAAACTTATTTTGAAAACAGGCGTTTTTTGTACATATACACTCCTCTTTTCTTCTTTTTCTTTTTTTATATCATTCTTTTTTTCTCATCTTTTTTTTTTTTCTTATCACTTTTTTTTTCGTTATGGAGTCTATCGATAAACGTGTAAAACACCACCAAAAAAAATCAATACATTCTACTCCTATTTCACCACCACCTTCACCACTTGACACGACTCGCGGCAAAAATGTTACTATTGACGATGAAGGTTTCATTAGTGTTACAAACGATAAACGACGTTGGACTGACTCTAAACGAAAAACTAGTAAAACATCTGATGATCCTTTTGCTGGTATGAAAACTTGTATCAACTATCAACAAGAAATTGAACGACTCAAGGCTTTAGTACCCAAAGTGGATGTGAAAAAACGTTCTTCTCAACGACCTACATCTATAACAACCATATCACCACGTCTTATTCCTACTTCTTCTGTCAACATTTCTTCTTCTTCATCACATACCTCTTCATCATCATCTGCATCCTCTTGTGTTTCACTCTCATCAGCATCATCTGCAACCAATTCACCACCTCCTATCAATAATACTCTTTCGAATTCATCGTCATTATCAGATCATGATACTTATTGGCAATCTTCACCATTGGAAAAAGATTCTAATATCATTGATCGTACAACATCTTCTCTTCATAAACCTTCATTGGACAAACAATCCGTCATCACTGATGAAGAAAAAGCAAGATTCTTGGAATTTATGCGTAATTGGACTGGTGGTTTGAATGGATGGAATGATCATGTTACCGAAAAGAATGCTTTGTGGCGACAACGACGTACTACACCATTATCTACTAGATCTGAACCTTCTTCACCTCGTCATGAGTCTCTGCATCAACCATATCACCCATTTGTTTCTTATCATTTACAACAATCTCATTATTTACCTACTATATCACGACAACAACATTTGTATCCTACTATGCATCAACAATATCATTTATCACATCAACCATCTATGGAATGTATGACCCCTTCTTCTTCTGTTGGTACTATTGGGGATCGTCATTATTCTTTTCAAGGTCGGGTGGGCTCTGATCAGGTGTTACGTTCAAGATCCTCCAATCCTTTTGGTGTCTCCGTCATGTGAATGTCACTTTTTCTATAGTCCTCATCCTCTTTTATTTACTTCTCCTCCTCAATAACTTCTTTTACTTATTTACTATTTATATATTTCATATTATCATTTTTTTTTTTTTTTACTTTATACATCCTTTTACTTTTTATTCCGAAATGTACACACTCATATTTTTTTTATTTTATTTTTTTTTTTTGGTTAGCAAACTCTATATTTTTGTTTCTCATTCCCCCTCTCTACTTCCCCCTTCTACTGTTTTACCTTATTCTTTTATCATTCATTCTTTGTTTCTTCATACAAAGGTGATTTTTAGTAGTTGATACTTTTTTTTATATATATATAAACCCAAAGAAATAAAGATTCTACATATATCAAGCTTTTTTTTTTTTGTGTGCCTCTTTCTTTATGATCAACTGAACAGTCTATATATATATAAAAAAAAAAATGAATATCCATTTATAAAATTATTAAAAAAAAAGTTTAATTGATTATATATAATTGTAAAAAAACTAGATTATTTCTATATGTTATTTTCCTCTATCCTAAAGATCCTCTGTAAAATTAGCAGGAAAGCTTCCAGTTCTTGATCCAATTTGTCCATGCCACCAGCTATTACGATCTTCTGTAGAAAGGATCACCGTGATATGTTCGCCTTTTTGGAATGCCAGATCCCCTTGTTCCTGTCCGTTGAAATCATATTTTGCTACCACAACGCACGTCTTGTTAGTATATTTGTGATGATTGCTGGGTAATGGCGGTAATTCTGTTGGTGATGATGGTGTCAATGTTTGTCGAAATGGATTAGATGACGATTGATTGATTTGATCTCCAGTGGTGATCGTCAGTGAGGGTTGTGAATTTCTATGGGTGACCATACTTGATTCATACGAAGGAGGAGATGGATGTGTATATTTAGGTGGCATTGAATCTGCATCAGGGATTCTGGTATGTGGAGGTTCATATCTTCGTGGTTCTGGACGAGTGAGGCGTATGGATGGTGATTGATGCAGAGCTGATCGATGATACGATTGTTTTTCAAGAGGGTATCCATTGGGTGTCATGCCAGATTCTTGAGCTGAATAAAACAAGGCACCAGGGTCCGATTGTGGTGATGATGGTGGTGTAGACATTAATGAATGATCTATTATCGATTTGATAGGACCAAAAGTAATTCCAGGTTGAGGTCCAGTAGCACCAATGGAGTGTAAGATGTTGTAAATACCAGAAGCCATTTGAGGAGGAGGAACTGTACCGGTCAGAATTTCTCGTGCGCTAACAAATCGTCCATAAAAATTTGCATTTGTTTTGACCCTTTCAGAGATCTTGGATCCTTCAAAGGAATAACCTAAAAACAATGATAATCAGTCTCTCTGTAATAAAAAAAAAAAAAAAAAGATTTCTTATGTGTTTGAAATATACCTGCAAATAAACCTTTTGATGAACTATATAGTAGTAAACAAAGAGAGTGACCGAAAAAAAAAAAAAAAAAAGAGTGAATAACAAGGAAAATAAGATAAACCTTTTTTTGAAATAATATGTTTACCTATAAGAATAACTGGCAGCGAAATGATTCATGGTAGAGGTTGATGCAGCAATATCAGCAGATCTACCCAAGGGTCCAGCAGCTACAGACATATTGAGTCCTACTTGTAACTGTCCACCGGCGTCAAAGAAAGCTTTCACAGCACTACGGTAATTCAAGACTAGAATAGAATCAATGACTTCCCCACCAGCTTGATGACCAATTCCCTAATCATTCGAAAAAAAAAAAATCATCAGCATCATATTGAAACCTTTTTTTTTATGATCGACCATCTACTTACAACCGAAGTCATGGATACTCCAGATGGTGCAGACCAACCTAAAAAGAATGAAGATATATATATATATGTCAAACATTGAGGATAATCACTTTTATCTATTTAACTTACTTCCATCAGGTAATCTAATGTTTGATCAAAAAAAAAAAAAAAAAAAAAGAATATAAAAATCTATTTATTTGAAAGATGACTCACCTTGCAATAATAATACCCTTTCCACTTTTGTGAGAAAACATCAAACCTACACGATAAATTCGAATAAGTACAATTCCATGTGCTCTTGCTAAAACAGAAGGTGGAATCAATTTCTTGATATCTTGGCCTTTTCCAGGTTCTATAATACAAAAAAAAAAAAAAAGAATGAGATATTTTGTGCCTGTCACGATACTCTTTTTTTTTTTTCTTACCAGTGAAAGACGATAGAATATTTTCAGCTCTAAGTACATCCTCTAGAATGAAATCAGTAATAATGAGTAATGACTATAAGAAAAAAAAAAAAAAAGAGATAATAGGAACTTACTTTCTAAATCAGTTGTTCCGTGTGAGGGCATGTTTCTTAGACGTATGTTCTGTAAAAAAAAAAAGTGAAAGAAGAAAGCAAATGATAAAAAGTGAACATCAAAATTTGCAGGATTTTTTTAAAAAAAAAAATCAATGCTGAGTTTGTACTCTATTGCCAAGGCGACTAGGTCGTTCATGACATCTTCTAACAGAAAGTCTCACACGCTTGTACAAATAAAGCGATAACGGTCCGGAAAACATGCGCTTTCCTTTTGTAGTATGCAGTAGAGTGATTAAAAAAAAAGTTGGTCAACGCAGATCAGCCAATCATATGGACTCTTCCCTACTACCATTGAAAAAAAAAAAAAAAAAAAAAAAAAAAAAAAAAAAAACCTTTTAAACAGATCACATATAAATACTTTTGTAATCATTGATTCTTGAAATCACGTTCATCAACAACAAAAAAAAAAAAAAAAAAAAATAGGGGGATGTCAGCCAAGAGTTTTAGTATTAACGTAGAATACGCTAATGGCTTTCCTTTTTTGGCGAATGTCTATTCAATAAGCCTCATTTTCTCTACATTTCATCATAAAAATTAAGAAATAATATCATGAAATGTTTTATTTGTTAATAAATATAAAGTAAGAGATGATATATAAGCTACAAATAATAAGACTATAACATGAAGTACAATACTAATACAACACAGATTTTTGCTGTCATAAATAATACTAAAGGTTATCAGTATAATTCGCTGGGAAATGTCCTGTTCGTGATCCTATTTGTCCATGCCACCAACTTTGTCTGTCTTCTGTCCATTGAAGTACCGTGATATGGTCCCCTGCCTTGAATGCCAAGTCCCCTTGTTCTTGTCCATTGAAATCATATTTTGCAACCACAACAAATGCACCTTTTTTGTTGCTTTTATCGGTAGGCGAAGGTACATGATGTTGTGTATTAATCGCTGTATTTGATGATGATCCTGTGATGATTGGTGATGTAGGTGATAACGATACCGGTGATGATACTGCTCCTTCCATCAATGGTCGGTGTTGTCCAAATGGCTGCGGATGAAATTGTTGTTGCAGATGTGGTTGACTAGATGTTGAAACTAACGTGTTGATAGGTGGTTTATGGTCACTCATACCAGGAACTAATGCGACGGATGATGAAGATGGTAGATGTTGATGATTGTTCTCCACAGTATTGCCAACATTGCTGACACTTGGTACAACGCTGCTGGTACTTGGTTCATATGGAGGAGGAGGCTCCGCGTATTCGGACGATGAAGCTGCAGCATCAGGAATTCTTGTATGTGATGGTTGCCGATTGTAGTACTGACTGACGTCACTTTCACTATGACGAGGATTTGATTGTGGTGGATGACGGATCGATAATGACGGTTGTAAAGAGCAATGGCGATAAGGTGAATTCGAGTTTAGATGTTGTTGTTTTTCAATAGGGTATCCATTGGGAGTAGTGGACATGACTGGCGATGAAGCTGATGGTTCATGATCTGAATAGAATGAGCCACCAGAAGTCGAATGAGGCGACAGTGGTATTGATGATGTTGGCGGAATAAACGCAGGTTGCTTCTGTTGTTCTTTCTGCTGCTGCTGTTGTTGTTGTTGTTGTTGTTGTTGATGTTGTTGTTGCTGATGTATTACTGCTGATGATGGTGGTCTATATGGACTAAGAGCGGATGATTTGACAGGACCAAAGTTGATACCAGGTTGAGGACCAGCAGCACCAATTGAGTATAATATATCATAAAGACCAGAAGCCATTCGAGGAGGAGGAATTGCCCCTGTAAGGATTTCCTGTGCACTGATCTGTCGCCCATAAAAGCTAGCATTGGTTTTGGATCGTTCAGAGATCTTAGATCCTTCAAAAGAATAACCTAATAATAATAGTGATAATATAATATGGTAATCAGCCAATCATCCTGATTTATAAATAAATAAGTTTATATATACCTGCAAATAATCCTTTTGACGAACTATAATAAATAAAAAGAGAAAGAAAAAAAAAAAGAAGTATTATCAGATAAAGCAGGATGAAAGAATATATGCATTACCTATAAGCATAGGTAGCAGCGATATGTTTGAAACTGGAGGCAGAGGCAGCAAGATCAGCAGATCTACCCAAAGGCCCAGCAGCTACGGACATATTGATTCCCAATTGTATTTGTCCACCAGCATCAAAGAAGGCTTTCACAGCACCACGATAATTCAAAACGAGAATAGAATCAATGACTTCCCCACCAGCTTGATGACCAAATCCCTATAAAAAAAAAAAAAAGGTATTAATAACTAGCATTCGGTCTTTTACAATTATTTACGTACAACTGAAGTCATGGATACTCCAGACGGTGCTGACCAACCTAAAGAGGAGAAGTAAGAAAAATGTCAACAAAAGGATTGATTAGTCAGATACCCGAAGATAATAACATTCTAGACTTACTTCCATCAGGTAATCTAAAAACAAAAAGTCAAAAGTAAGTGTAATTAATATATATGTATAGATAGATAGATAGACACTATTCTTTTTTTTTTTTTTTTTTGTACCTTGCAATAATAATACCGTTTCCTCCTTTGGCAGAGATCAATAAACCCACACGATAAAGTCGAATAAATACAATTCCATGAGCACTTGCTAATATACTTGGTGGAATCAATTTCTTGATATCTTGACCTTTTCCTGGATCTATTGTATAAATATATTTATAAAATGAAAGGTTAAATCAGAGAATAGAATGAGTTAGTGTAGATTATCATATTTTACCAGTAAAAAAACTAAGAATGGATTCAGCTCTATGGACATCCTCTAATCAATAGGACAAAATAATGAGTCATAGGTGCAAAGAAAAAGTGATAAATAGATCAAACTTACTTTCCAAATCAGAAGTACCATAAAAAGACATACTTCAGCTAAAAAAGAAAAATGGAATAAGAACGAAAAAAAAAAAAAAAGAAAAGAAAAGAAAAAAAGGCGAAGGAAAGGAAAAGAGAAAGAAGAAAAAAAAAAAATAACCAACGCAGGATTCTTATACATCAGATGGGAGACGCTGAGTTTATTTATAAATATTGGTTCAAAGTGTACCCGCTGTGTTCTCCCTTCCATTTGATGTACCACATACGCATGTGTTATATATTTATTGTATACATATAAACATTGATAGAATAAAAATTTATTTTCTTATCAGCTTGAAATGATCATTTATTGTTAAGTGATCTATTACTTTTTATATATAAAGTGTGAAGTGATAGCTTTTTTTTTTTTTTTTTTTTTTTGATTTGATCAAATACTTTTGCTGTTTCATACTCTTTTCTTTGAATCTTCTTGGCATAGCTGTGGCTAGGGAATTCACCTTATTTGGTAACCCAGTAGATCCCCTCTCTCTCTCTCTCTCCCTCTCTCTCTTGTCTCTTTTTTTTTTTTTTACTCATTTTACCGATAATTTACCTCATTATGAAAATTAAAAGAACCATCCTCTCTATTATTAACTAAACTAAAGATTTTTTTTTCTGTATCATTGCAAACCATTGTGTAGTTGTTAGTAATGATCCTCAATCAATAAGGTGGATCTTTGTGATTCGGAGATTGAAGTCAGTAACATTCACAGAGTCTTGTTCCTTTTGATTTTTTTTTTATTATTTTTTATTCTTTCTTTATCTATCTTTCTTTCTCAAACTTATTACAAATATGGACGTTTGGAATAAGCTATGTATGCAAGCATTTGATGGAGATCAACAAGCTGATGAATTCATATTATTAATTCAACAATGTGGAAAGACGAGCTTGGAAGACCTGAGTTTCCAAGTGAAGATCGAAAGTTGCAATGAAAAGCAAGAACAACTGCTATTATCCCTTGGTTTTACTCCCATTGATGAACAAATTTATTCAATCACTGGCGAACAATGGAAAGCATTTGGTGAAGCAAAACGATTACAACGTAAGAAATGGCATGAAGCATTACAAAAACGGCTTGAGCAACATCTTCGGGAAGCCCTCGACCGAATTCAACAACCTTTGACTCTGACACATGTACAACGATTGGTCCTCGTACGCGAATTTTCCCGTAACCATATCAAGGATCCTGGGTCAGTTCCTTTCCTACGTGGTTTAGTGGGTTGTTTACGTGCACAATTGTATAAACGTAAACTGGTGGATTGGCAAGTGACAGAATATGTGATGACTCAAAATGGTGAAGAACCAATGATGGATTATATTCGATTGATAAGAGGTGTGTTAGGGATGAAACTGGTATTCAGAAAGCATGGCTCTCAAATTGATGATAGTTTGGAACATTTAGAGAAGATTCCTAGAAATGGTATGGTGACTTTGGATATGACAGCTACTTCTCATTTTGAACCAAGTCATACAACTGCTCCTGTTATTACTGCTGCTGCTGCTGCTACAGATGATGATAATTATATGATCTGGCGAATGAATCCTGATTTATCCGATGAACAACTGGCTGATATTTTGGAAAGTTTACCTCGACAGCAATGCAATCAAAATTACCCATTATCTCAAGTTACCCGTTCTACTTCTGCTCTCTTACCTTCAAGTCCTATATTACGATGGTTAACAAAGGTAATCCGAAGGTGTTTATCCATCTTTAGTATGTTTTAGTTAGTTTTCTTATATCATATTATATATATTGCGTGTGTATACCTATATCCATCTTTTAATCAGTTTTCTTATTATTATTATTATTATTTACTATGATCATTATATCTATTGAAAATAAATACTATTTTATTTTGTTTATACAATTATTTCCATAATCGTTATCATGTAAGTCCTTAAGTGTCCAAAATGGCCAAGGCTTACTGGTTGGTTTGACTTTTTTCTCTCATTAGGAATTTTGATCCCCGTCTCTTGCTCTCTTTTTTGTTGAGACCCGAGAAAAATCTATTTTTTTTTCTCTCTCTCTTTTTTTCTTTTTCTCTCCCTCTTTCACTCACTCTTCTTTCCTGTTTTATTTTATATACAAATATATATATTTACTTATTTCCCTTTACACCACATTATTGGAATTACAAAACAAAGGTCATCAACCGTCTCCATCTTTTGTTTTTAGTACATCCAAACCATTCTTTTTTTTTTTTACAAGGTACTTTCATCTTTTTTTTAATAATTCTTTTTCTTTGGCTTTTTAATCTAATTCTTTAATTTCTTATTATTGTTGTCTTTTTTTTTTATATATAGACGCCACTACATAACATATATATACATATAATACACACTACAATACAACATGAGTTACAGTAAACGGGACGAGGACTCAGGTAAACTATAATATATACGTGGCAAAATAGGATTGGCTTTGTCAGATGGAAATGAAAAGGATATCTCAAGACAAAGATTGAATATACGCGTGTGATAAATAGATTTGAAATTGCTAGTCAAGATGAAAAACTAAACATTATCTTCTTCATCTTTTTTTTTTTATTATTATTTCTTGTAGGCGAAATTGGACTTTTTTATCATCTCGACAAAACCGCCGTATTGCAGGAAGCTCGTGTATTTAACAATTCTCCCATCAACGCTAGAAAATGTCGTATTCTATTGACCAAGATTATCTATTTATTGTACCTCGGTGAACCTTTTGCTTCCAAAGAAGCTACTGATCTCTTCTTCAATGTCATCAAACTCTTCCAATCCAAAGACGTGAGTTTCCTGAAAAAAGAAAAAAAAATATATATATATATATACTCAAGATAGAAATATATTAAACTAAAAATCATTTCTTTTTCTTTTCTTTTTTTTTTATTAGACCTCTTTACGACAAATGATGTATCTAGTTATCAAGGAATTATCAGGCATTGCAGAAGATGTTATTATGGTGACTCAATCTTTGATTAAGGATATTCAATCAAAACAAGAAACTATTTATCGTGCCAATGCCATCCGTGCTCTCTGTTTGATCACTGACGTAGGTTTATATATATAATGAATATCATTAATTTGACTAATATATATATTTTTTTTCTATAGCCATCCATGATTCAAGGTATCGAACGTATTCTCAAAGCATCTATTGTGGACAAGAATCCTTCAGTTTCCTCTGCAGCTTTGGTATCATCCTATCATTTATTTGATGTAGCCAAAGATATTGTACGTCGTTGGTCAAATGAAGTACAAGAAGCCGTTCATGCCAAATCGACCAGCTCTGGATTGGCTTCTGCTGCTTCTTATATGTCTAGTTTTGGTGGTCAACCTAACAATGCTCCCGTGGTTATTTCCAGTAGTAATATTACTCAATATCATGCCCTTGGTTTACTCTATGCTATCCGTCAACATGATCGTATGGCTGTGACCAAATTAGTTCAAACATTCTCTGGTTCTCGTAGTAGTGGTTTTCTCGGTGGTGGTGGTGGTAGTACTCTAAAAAATCCTGCTGCTGTTTGTCTCTTGATTCGTTATGCTTGTAAAGTTATGGAAGAAGACCCTGGGTAAGGAAAAAGAGAAAAGGGAAAAGAAAAAAAAAGAAATATAGATACTCATATTATTATTATTATTATTATTTGTTAGATCTACTGTACGCATTTACGAATTATTGGAAGGATATTTACGACACAAGAGTGATATGGTAAATTTGGAAGCTGCTCGTGCTATTTGTGAAATGCCTGATGTCTCCATTAAAGAGCTCCATCCAGCTATTTCTGGTAAGTATCATTAATTTATATGAAAAGAGAAAGTGAGAATGACATGATTTTTTATTTATTTCTTCTTTAACTAACCCTACTTTTCAATAGTATTACAACTATTTTTGTCATCACCAAAACCTACTCTCCGTTTTGCCGCTATCCGTATTCTCAACAAGTTATCACTCTCCAACCCTGCTGCTGTGTCGCCTTGCAATTTGGATATGGAAAATCTCATCACTGATCAAAACCGCAGTGTGGCTACTTTTGCTATTACAACTTTATTGAAAACCGGTAACGAAGCGTCTGTGGATAGATTAATGAAACAAATCTCTGGATTTATGAGTGAAATCTCGGATGAATTCAAAGTTATTGTCGTGGAAGCTATTCGATCGTTGTGTCTCAAATTCCCTGCCAAGCAAGTCATTATGCTCAACTTCCTTAGTGGTGTCTTACGTGATGAAGGTGGATATGACTTTAAAAAGGCTGTGGTAGAAGCTATTTTTGATATGGTCAAGTTTATTACCGATTCTAAGGATGCTGGTAATAAAAAAATTAAAAAGAAAAAAAAAAGGACTATCTATAACTTACGTTTTTAATTTGAATTTTATAGCTCTTTCTCATTTGTGCGAATTTATTGAAGATTGTGAATTCACTAAACTCTCTGTACGTATTCTTCATGTTCTTGGTGTGGAAGGACCCAAAACTGCAACTCCTACCAAATATATCCGTTATATCTATAATCGTGTTATTCTAGAAAACTCTATTGTACGTGCTGCTGCTGTAAGTGCTCTTGCCAAGTTTGGTGTCAATGTACAAGATGCTTTAGTCAAGAAAAGTGTCAAGGTGTTACTGACAAGGTATAGTGGTGTTGTAGTCTTTATTATACATATATGAAGTTACTAATCAATCTTTTCTCATTTTTATGGATATAGATGTTTGGATGATGTTGATGATGAAGTTCGTGACAGAGCCACTTTATATTTGACATTTATGGAACATGATGACATTGCCAAAGATTATGTACAAGATGGTAAGCCAAAACAAAAAAAAAAAAAAAAAGATTGAAGAGTTTGATTATTTGAATATAATATTCATTCATTAACATATATTATAGATGCCACATTTGCACTACCTACTTTGGAACGTCAGCTTGTTGAATATGTAAATAGTCCACTTGCTAATGATAAGGAATTCGATCTTGGTGGAGTACCCGTTATTAGCAAGGCTCAAGAAGAAGAAGAACGTCGTCGTCTCCGTACTCAGGATATTATCTCTCCTTCAGCTACACCTTCTTTGTCTGGAACAACATTTGCAGGTGTAGAAGGTACTAATGGTTCAGTAGCCCCTACTGTTTCTACAGCCCATCAACAATTTGGAGTCAGTAGTCTGGATCAACAAGCGGTGTATGCAGAACAATTGGCTCAAATTCCTGCGTTACAAACCTTTGGTACTCTCTTCAATAGTTCTAGCAAGCCTGTGCCATTGACGGAAAGTGAAACTGAATATGTAGTCCATTGTGTTAAACATACCTTTGCTCGTCATGTCGTGTTCCAATTCAACTGTACCAATACACTTAATGATCAACTATTGGAAAACGTGCGTATGGTGATGCAACCTTTGGATGATGCTCCTTTGGTTCAAGTGGCCGAGATCCCTGCACCAAAATTGGAATATAATGTACCTGGTTATATCTATGTGGCTTTCGAACAAGAAGATCCTGAAGATCTTGCTGTTGGTAAGTAATGATTAGAAAGGAATTAATAGGTAGAGGAGAGAATTCATTATTTTTATTTATATTATATATATATATATATATATATATATTATTTAGGTACTTTCTCCAATACATTGAAATTTGATGTGAAGGATTGTGATCCTACTACTGGAGAACCTGATCCTGAAGGTTATGATGATGAATACCAAGTGGAAGATATTGAAGTTACCATCAATGATTACATTCGACCTAACTATGTATCTCAATTTGCACAAGAATGGGAAACCCTTGAACATGAACTGGTAGAAACATTTGCGCTGGATAAGGATAAAGCACCAAGTTTGAAAGGTAAATTATTATTATTTTTTTAAAAAAAAAAAAAGAGAGAGAGAGAGAAATAGTTATTCTAATATATTATTTGTTGTTGTCGTTGTTTTTTTTATAGTGGCATGTGGCTCAATTCTTGATTTACTTGGAATGCAAGCTTTGGAAGATAGTGCATTACCCAAGAGTGCTAGTGTACATACATTGTTATTGGCAGGTACTTTCTTGGGTGGAAACAAAGTATTGGCTCGTTGTCGTATGACATTCAGTAACGCTACTGGAGTGGCATTTGAATTAGCTGTCCGAAGTCAAGATGATTTCACCTCTCAAATGGTCCTTTCTGCTATTGCTTAGAATTTTTTTTTTATCATTTTCTTATTATTATCTTATTATTATCATTCTTTCTCTCTCTCTCTCTCCTTTGTGTCATCATCCTATTTACCTTTTGTCTCTCTTTCCTGACTTTTTTTTTCTATTATTTTCACTTTACAATTTACTTTATCCCCTCCCTGCTTTTTATATATTTCAAATAAAAAAAAAAAAGTGATTTCAGTTCTTTTTTTATAGTATTTTCAAAGTTTTTTTTGTTGGATCACAAGAAAATAGTTTCGTGATATTATAAAATAGGTTATCACCTTTTTTGGGGATGTATTTAATGTTTATAAAAAAAAATGGATATGTTAACAATAGATATATATATATATATATATTTATTATTCAAAATCTCTTATAAATCAATGGAACTACTGCCACTCCTTCTTCTTGTTCTTCTTCTTCTTGTATTCAATTTGAATTATGCGACAATAATATTTTTTTTTCTCTTCTGTCATCTATTGATCTTATTTTTGAATTCAGACATTTATTATTGAATAACGATGATCTCTCTCTCTTCAGGGAAAGGCACATGTTGCCTGCAATCGGAGTAGAAAAAAGGAATGAAAAAAGTCGAATATTCCGTGTTTCTTTTTTATTTTTCCCTTGTTTCTTCTTACTATTCCTTTTTTTTTTTTGAAGTATATGTATTAGAATTCCTTTTCAAAAACAATCATTCATCATGTCAGTACTAGCATATGGTCAGGGCGACAATACATTAGTGATTGGTCAAGTATCTCATTATCATTTTTATCAAACTATGAATCATACCTCTTCTCGACCATCTCGTTCATATCAACCTACTAGACAAATTATACCTTCTGTTCCACGACACCGCAGGTAAAAAATAAATAGAAATAAAAAAAAAATATATAAGGATTTATTTTTTTTTTTTTGTTTCCTTCATTTTTTTTTTTTTTATTTTTGGTATAATAGTAAAGCACCCGCCAATTCCCCTTTATCCTTCATCCGACAACAAAAATTACCTTCTCAACATGCAACAACCCAAGAGACATTGATTCCACCACACCAATCATCATCCACAGATTTATGGAAAAACATCCCCAAAAGACCACTTCCTGGACGACATCGAAAAGTTAGTTTTGATGAAAAGGTAATGGTGATTTGTACTCGATTTGATGATGATGATGATGATGATGATGATGATGCTGGCATCAACAATGATTATCATGGTCGACGACATTCTACTGGACAACAAATCACACATCAACAACAGAAACGCTGGGTTTCATTTGTGAACTCTTTGAGACATTGGAAATCTTCTTCTGATCCATCAATGTCTTAGTATATACCCTTTGGTTGATTACTTTGTTAGTTAGTTTTTGTTATTTAGCTAGTCCTAGAAATAAAATACATTTACAAAATTGGTTGCTTCAATGTGATGATATCTTGTGACGCTCGTGACTTATGATGATGATTCTTATAATGCACTTCTATAGTTGACCAATGATGATGGCACCTAACAATGCTGATGATATATAAAAGTGATGACAGCGTTTAGTGATGATGATGTTGATCTATAAAGGTTACCTTTCGTTGATAAAAAAAAAACAGCTACAATGGTAAACTAGATGTAGATCAAATAACTGTTTCAAAGTATATCATTGTCAAAATCTGATAGATTGTTTCATCCTGTAAATAAACCAGGAGGTGGTGACATCTTAAAGCCAAACGGAATGTGGGATAAATTTAGATGATTGTTTTTGATCAAACGTTCACCTTTCTTCCTTCCATTTTTGACTTGTGCTACTATGGCTGAAGCAAAACTAGAAAACAAAGTTATTTTTATCCCTTTTTTTTGCACATTAAGACTCCGGGAAAGTTTTTTTTTTTTTACTATTTTGGTCAGAGAATATAAAAAGGAAGAGAAAACAATGTTTTGGCTTTTTTTTTTTTTTGTTTATAATAAAAAAAACACCTTTTTCTTATTACACCAACAATTATAAAATGCATCGTTTTATCGTATTATTTACTTGTTTAATGATGATGGTGCAAGCCGCGCCTGTGCCCCAAGTATGGATGGACGAACAAGGAGATGTTTTTGCCATTGCATTGGACGCAACCTTTCAAAAAGACGCCACTATCCCTCCCTCAACTCAATTGCTACTGGAAAGCATGAATGATATTGGCTTGGATGAGGATGAAGATAATATGTATACCATCAGCTCAACTGCGTTGGTAATGACTCCTGATCCATCTGTTAAAGATAAAATCATCAATTATGTTAATACTATGTTCACTATCTCTTCTTAATCTCCCTATATTCATTTCTTTCATTCAATTCATTGTCCTATATATCATTCATTATAATCAATATCTTTGTATATAATATCATCATTTAATTGTTTTTGATTCAAAATAAACTATCATTTTTTATTTCTAAAAAAAAAAATTGTAAATATATATATACATATATATATGATATATAATAAAAAATATCTAACTATAATGGATCCAATCATTGTTTTTCAGTTGCTAATTCTGTTTTTGTTGTGGCTGCCGCTGATGATGATAATGATGTAGGTGTTTCCTGTTCGACTTGATGTTTTTCATCAGATGATACTGTAGGTTCCTTAGTTTCTACCTTGTTTTCTTCTGGTTTGTTTTGTCTTTCTTGAGAAGTAGAGGCCGAAGTTGGTACCGGTAGTGTATAAGAAGCTTTGATTTCATCACCCTTTGCAATAGCCTTGGTAGCAATGACGGTCAATTGATGATTGTTATCTTGGAATACCACCTTTGAATTGGCTTCGCTTTCAGATTGTCCAAGGTAAGTTGCTAGTTTGTAAAGCCCAGCGCCCACACTCTTCTTTCCCGAGGAGGTAGCACGAGTATGTTCTTGAGATGCCTATATTAAGAAGTAACAAATATCCATACAAAAAAAAAAAAAAAAAGATAAGTATTTCAAAGCCTCTTTCCTTTTTCTCTTTTTCCTAGATTGTATCAACTTACAGGAATATCCAAAGAGTTATCCGCAGTTTCAATAGCATAAGCATTGTACAAAAGTTTACCCTTCAACATTAAATAAATTTGATTTGATAAAAATTCAGAGATGCCAGCCACCTTAGGATCTAATAATTTTGTTAGCAAGTTAATTTCTTGATTGGTAGCTTCAGTAGGTTGAGTATCTAGGTAACGGAAACGATCAACATGATCCCATGAAGTGAATGTCTTGTTATTTTCGGCTTCTCCACGTTTAGTTCTTTCAGTTTCTTCAGTCACCATGGCAGATAAGAATTCAGCAATCATCAAAGGATACATTTGATTGTGTTCACGTGCATAGTCCCGGAAAGCCACAACAGTTGCATCAGTTTCGTTTTCATCTGTTGGCACTTGTTGATCTTCAGGTTCACCAATAGCAGCTTGTTCTTCTTCAGTCTTATCTTCCTTTTTCTTCAAGTTCTTGCCACAGAGATACTTGTGATATCCTTGTGCTTGTTGTTGACATTCCTTGCTACAGTAAATCACAAAGTCACAATCATCACATCCTGTTTTGTTTTGTTCATCCACAAACTTTAAACAATGATGACAGTATACACCCTATAAAATAACCAATCAAAAAAAAAAAAAAATGAGTCGATAAAATTTTTTTTAAAAAAAAAAAAAAAAAGATTATGGATGAATTTTTACCTCCAAATTAGGGTACAAGGCAGAAACCAAGGGAACTTCAGTAAAGAGAACATCACCTTCAGCAAATTCCTTTTCAGCCATCAAGCCACGACGTATGATAGTCTTTCCTTCTGGATTCTTGCCCACAGGAATTTCACCTAAAGTTAATCCAGATTCAGCACCAGGGAATTGTTCATAAAAGGCATTGACACGATTGTTTTGTTCTTTAGCCATGATGGTCACCAAAATTTGGAAGACAGGTTCAGGAATAGTCTTTTGATAGATCATGATCAATTCCAAAGGAGTAGGATACACCTTTAATGCCAAAAGGAATGGAAGTACTGCTGCTTGATAATAATTAGGACCTATTATAAAGAATAAAAAATCATTGAATATTTCCCTCTTTTTTTTTTTAGATGATGATTGTTTTTTTTTTTTTTTTTACCTTGTGTACAAAGAGCTTCACCCTTAGCAACTTGAGTCATGAAATATTTTTCCTTTTCTTCAGGTGAGGTAGGAAGAGTTTCAGCATTAGCCATAGCCACAACTTGATCGATCAATTCCTTAATGCCTTGTTCAGCTTGTTCCTTTTCTACCTTTTCTTTCTTAGCCAACTTCTTGCGTTCCTTTTCTATTGGAAAAAAAAAAACACGAATATGAACAAAATATAGTTCAAATAGTTTTCAATTCAAACTTACTGAGTTGTTTACGGAAATTGGGATCACTTCTACGTTTTTGATCAAAATAAATCAAATATCCTACACCAGCAGTAACAGCCACACCGGCAGCTATATAGGCAACATGCTTCGATTGTAAAGGCATAATAAAATAAAACAAAAGAGAGTATCCTTGTCAAAATAAAGAAAAGACAAAAAAATAAAAAATAAAAAAAATAATAATAATAAACAAAACGGTGCTTGAAAAGTGTTTTTTTTTTTTTTTTAGTGTCGAAAAAGTCGGATAAAAGAGAAAAAATGCATACATTTGTGTCATTTGTCTTTCCGAGATTCTCCCCACTTTTTTGTTTCTACCTGAACAGCTGAATGACAACAAAAAAAAAAAAAAAAAGGTTTTTATTTCTATCTTTCCCAATTGGTATATACAAACATAAAATAATAAGAATAAGAAATAATCTATCTACAAGTAAGGGAAATCAATAAAGAAATTAAAAACAATCATTGAGTTGATGAAGTACTCATAGTTGTAGTTGGTTGAGGAGTCGTTTCTTGTGGTACTGTTGAAGAAGTAAGAGTAGTAGATGAATTCATAGGTGTTGTTGTTGCTGATTCAGAAGATGCCTTGATATGACTTGTTTGATTATTCTTGTCATCATTTTGTTTCAATTCTTTTAAAAGAGATCCAACATCCACATCACCAAATTCAGTCGTCACTAATATTGATTCATCATCATGATTACCATCCACATCAATATCATCATCCATCATCACCTTGTCCATATTGTTGATCACACTTGTCATCACATCCCAACCACCAAGTGTAATATGACGAGAGATAAGTGTCGCTTTGTCATCAAGTCCAAGATCACCCATGAATTGCCATACACTTTTCAAATACGCTTCACCTCCATCATCACCATATAACGGATATACATACTGAGCATCTTGAGGTCGATAAAACATCGCTGGTGTACTGTTGCCCAATGTTGTAAAGGGAAATGGTCCATAATCACAAAATACGGCAGGTTGAATAAAATGCTTATGGCTGGCCCAATCATCATGAATAGATCGGTTTGGTTGATAGAATGCTGAAGGTAATGCTTGTGGATTAACTGTTGTGAGGTAAGGTGGATCAGAGAATGCATGTTTTGAAGGTACCAAGGAACGAAGATCATAAACTATATATATATATATATATATAAAAGAGAGAGACATGGATTGAGTGATGAGGATGAAAAAGTTATATAAATTAACTCTTGAATATTTACCTCCGCCAATAGCATGAATAGATCCATCAGGACCATAAATCACACCAGAATCAGTCATCTTCTTCTTCTTTTTCTTTTTTGCTTGTTGTTGTTGTTGTTGTCGTAAAGGTGTCGCTGCTCTTGATTGTGTATCCAAACTAGGTTCCCTTGTCGTCCTTTCTGAATCAACACGACTTGCTTTTCTTGCTGGTCCATCCAATCCCAAGATATCCACCTCTTCTTCCTTGATAGCAGTAGATTCCTTTCGCGACGCTACAGCCTTTTGTTCCTGTTGCCAAGAATATTGTCGATTACCCAAATAAGTCGAGAAAGACCCAGATGCTTGATGTGGGGTTGTGGATGGTTCATGTATAAGTTTTTCTGCACGTTCAATAGCCTTGACACCATAGTTTTCCAATTTATCTGCACTTTTCCAATATATCGTATCTGGTGCATTATATAATTTGGCATTCTGAACAATCAGTAAGAAATCCTTTCGAAAATCATCCATAGTCTTATATTTGTCGTTTTCTATCTTTTGTCGCAGTGTTGAGAAATCCATAGGTCGTTTGATCACAGAGAGATAATCTCGAACAATTTTGGTGTTGACAGGTTCCAGAAAGAATCCATAAGCATCGCGCCTTTCAATAAGAAAAATATTAATTCATCGATCAATAAAAATAAGTAAAAAAAAAAAAAAAAAAAGTATGTTCATGAAGATATACTTACTTTGATAAAGTTTCCCATAATTTCAAGCAAGTGGATTTCAAATCCTTTTTATGATCCTTGCTGCCTGTCTGAGTACCATGATAATGATGCTGTTGTTGTGTTGATAAAGCTGGTGCATTTGAAGATAAAGATGCTGCTCTTGCTTGTGCTTTCTTGGTAGGTCGACCACGTTTCTTTGATGGTTTTACTGTCTTTGTATCCTTTGTTGATCGTTTCCCTGTTTTTGACTTGGTTTTTGACTTTGCTGTTTTTGACGACTTTGTTGATGCTGGTTTACTGCTGGTTCGATTAGATTTGCTTTTCTTGGCTGCTGTTGTGACATCGGTAGGATGATAAGTATCCAATTCATCTACTGACGTTGTCATTGTTGTATCATTCTCTTCTCGCTCTTCGTCATCATCATCGTCGTCATCATCATCGTCGTCGTCGTCATCATCTTCTGTGTAGACCCGATCATCATATGTGGATGGTTGATATGTATGGCTGTTATCATCGTCAAAGTTGTCGTCGTAATCTTCTTCACCTTCGTCTTCATCCATGTTATCATCACCTTGTGTATATGATTGTTGTTGTTGAAGCATAGCAAAAGGTCGTTTTCCACCTACTGGCATATGTTGATATTCGGCATATTTGTCATCTAAAGAGCGAGAACTATCTAAAGTGGTTTCCTCCTCCGTATTGTGATAGTCTTCATCTTCGTCATCATCATCATTATCGTTATGTTGATCATCAATATCAAGTAGTTCACTTTGGCGACGTTGTTGATTTTCCCCTTCAGAGTGCTTGTGTTTATGTTTCTTGTGAGATCGTTTCTTTTTCCTTTTGTGTTTCCTTGTAGTATTTTCATCCTGGTCAAAGTCGGATGGAGAAGGTATAGGATTCAAACGTATTTTGAGTTTGATGCGAGGTACAGAAGGTGTTGAATGCTCATTATCTGATAACTCTGAAAGATTTTGGTCAAAAGGCGACGTTTCCGGAGAGGCTGACATTTATTTTATTGTGCGCATACACAATGACAATAATAAAAAAAAAAAAAAAAGAGGGAGGAGAGATGGAAAAATTGAAAAATGGGGGCGCGATTGGAGGGAAAAAAAAAAAAAACACACATACACAGACATGGATTCAAACTCAGGATAGTGGCTTGGTCTAGTCTTTACATGTCCTTCATTAGTATAAACCCTTTGATTATAATCAAAAACATGGTAATAAAAGAAAATCAACTAGATATATGATGATAACTTATTTTTTTTTTGATTTTATTTATATGGATTTGATATTGAAGTATAATTCTTACTATTAGGAAAAGAAAGGAAAAAAAAAATTTTATATGGACTGCCTTCGGTTTCCAATCAGGCGCTGAATGAAAAATCTTGGACGTTAAAAAAAATTTTCACTTCTGAATTCCTTTTACACTTTCTTTCTCTCACTTTTCAAAAACAATCTAATCAATATGGGTCGTATGGTAATAAACATATTATTATTATTATTATTATTATTATTATTATTAATATAATATAATATATTAATCACATTTTATTATTATTATTATTATAGCACACTCCTGGTAAGGGTATCTCTAGCAGTGCCCTCCCTTATCGCCGCACTCCTCCTTCTTGGGTCAAGACTTCCCCCGAAGAAGTTGTCGATATGATCTGCAAGAACGCTAAGAAGGGTCTCTCCCCTGCCCAAATTGGTGTTGTTCTCCGTGATTCTCATGGTATTCCTCAAGTCAAGGGTGTCACTGGTAACAAGATCCTTCGTATCCTCAAGTCCAACGGTCTTGCTCCTGAAATCCCTGAAGATTTGTACCATTTGATCAAGAAGGCTGTCTCCATTCGCAAGCATATGGAACGCAACCGCAAGGACAAGGGTTCCAAGTACCGTTTGATTCTCATTGAATCTCGTATTCACCGTCTCGCTCGTTACTACAAGACTTCTGGCCAATTGCCTCCCAACTGGAAATAGTATCCTTTTTTATTTGATTATATATAGTGATGATGATATTATTATTGTTTATACTATATTGACATTATGTCTAGAGTTTGATCGTTATGATCTTGCTCGGTAATTGTCTGTATTCCTTGACCCATTTTTTCTTTTTTTTTTCTAATAGTGAATCCGCTACTGCCTCCACTATGGTTGCTTAAGCAAAATATTTGCTTTCCTTTGGCTTATTGGTTTTTGTCTTCCCTTCCTTTGTGCTATGATTCTCTTTCTTTTTTACTGGATTAGTATTGTCGAATGGTGTTATGGTCACAATAAAAGGAACCTACTTTTTTTTTACAACCGTTGTCATATTTTGTCTTTTGTTTTTATTTTATTTTATTTTTTTCTATTTTATGTTTTTTTTTTTTTTTTTTTTTTGAAGGTTGATATATGGATATTAGGTTTCAGGTGTGCGCTAGTTATTTGAAGAATCTTATTCTTTTATCTCTTATCCTGTGATGACTCTATATCTCTCCTCGAAACTGTTTATGTGAGGTTTGTATTCACACTGTCTGAGGATAACAAGAAGTAAAAGAAATCAAGAATCTTTTCCTTGACTAGTTTTTTATATTAGTTGGTTAATTAGTCTCTTAGTTCTATTATTTAGTTTTAATCAAATAAATAAAAAAAAAAAAATTATCTTGTCATTCTACGGTATATCTATTAATTTTTATTGTGATCACAAATAATTATCATCCATCATAGTAATTATTCCATCATCATTGTTCATAATCATATCTCCTGATACCACTGTATACGTTTTCTTCACAATTCCATACATGGTATAAATAACAACTACACTTTATTGATATACAGTATATACAGTGTACACATACAAACAAAAAGTATAAAAATAAAAAAAAAGAATACACTACTGTATATATTATACACACTAAAGGAAGGTACAAACATTCTCTATAAAGTTAAAATGATAATTACAATAAGTACATTAGTGGAAAGAAGACACATGAAGTTTGCTTTTTTTTTTTTTATTTTATTATTTTTTAACAAACCTTGTACACACGGAAGATTCATTTAGCTTGATGACAAAAAAATCTTGTAAATAACGAAGGCAAAGTAGAATATCAATTAGAGAAAAATATTATATAAGAATTAGGTAGAAGAACATAAACTAACCATTGCATTTCGTGGCATCATTTTCAATGGAAAGTCGATGACAAGAAAAAAAAAAAAAAAAAAAAAAAGAGTACCTTAAAATATAGATGAAAAAAAAAAAAAAAAAAGAAAAAATGCACGAAAATTGAATGTCAGAATACCAATCAAAACAAACCGGCTATTTTCGACAATTGTCATCCAATCGGTTAAATAATAGCCGTATCTCCGAGTTTGAGATTGATATATTACTTGTCAGTTTCCGGGAAACAATCGCTTGTTTGGCTCAGTTGGTAGAGCGTCAGTCTCATAATCTGAAGGTCAGCAGTTCGATCCTGCTAGCGAGCATTTATTTTTTTTTTGCTGATCATATATAAGTACGTAGTGACTCACTACGTGATGAGTGATACGTAATATAATATCATCATACTATATTTAAGGTAGGTGACCAAGTTTTTTTTATTTTTTTATTTTGGTTCGCAATACTGTTATTATACAGGGCGTATAATCTTATTAGTATTTTATTTCTTATTGATGTGATATTATCATCATATGTGTAATGATTTAATTATGATAGCTGCCCTGGAGTGTTTTTACATTGATATGTATCTTCCTTGGTAGTGATTATGGACCATGAGCATAATGATTTTCAAAGTCCGTATTTTTTTTTTATTTTTTAGATATGCTGTAATTTTTTACTCTTTTTTTTTTATTTCTTTCCTTTCTTTATAACAATTTTAGTTATAGTATATCAATTAGTAGTCTTTAGTAGTTATATTTTTATTTAATAAAACTTTTATTTTTATTCCTACTACTTTATTACACGTCAATGTAATTGATTCCATCTTACGATGTATTTTTTTATTCTTTATTTGTGAATGCATTCTTTAATTTTATTTTACGCATATCGTTACAAAATACGCTGATACGACTGATAAAAACTATGATGGACGAGATATTTGCTGAACGACAGTTAGGTGGGTCCTGGAGTTCGATGAACGAAAATTCATGAAGTGATGGTGGTTGTGATGCAGGATAAAATGAACAATGGATAAAGTTTCTATTTTTTTTTTTATTTAACATAAGTTTTTTTTTTTTTTTTTTTTTTTTTTTTTTTTGTAATCTTAAGTGGACGATAATTTGGAAGATGAGTGATTGATACTTTGATGATAATAATATCAATGATGATTTGTTGTAGTGAGCACCAGTTCTTTTATAAAAAAGAACAAAAATAATATAGCTGAAAAAAAGCTTGAAGAATAAACTTGATGACCGAATAATAATTTGGATGATTGATAGAGATAAAACCTCAGATGATGATTTTACTGTAAGAGAGTGACCAAGATGATTAGGTTTAATGACATCTTTTTATTGGTATAAACTAAAATAGTGCTATGTTGATAGAAGGAAAGAATCAGTGATGGTGATCATCTAATGCTGCATCTTGATGATTGAATAAAATGATGCTAATAAAATAATGCTAATCAAGTGATGATGATTAGATAACGATGTTCAAGTAATGATTACTGAATCATGGAAAATTGAATGATGGCGATTGAGTGATTGATTATGATTTCATGTTCTCATAGTACTAATTTATGTTGACATTAATATTGTATCAAAAGATAATATTGTTCTCCCTTTATTATCTTATTTCATTTGTTGTTCTTTATGATTTCATCAAATAACAAAGAATAAAGAAAGGAAATAACACACTTTATGATCCAGATACTGTAATCCTAAGAACATTTTCGAAAAACTAGACAAAAGTGACGTTTCCTTTTTCGGTTAATGAGATTCCACTATTTATTTCAAAATGCTGAAATCATACATCCGTTAGCAATACTACATCTGAGCCTCACTGTACAGACATATACAGTAGAGTACACATATAAAAAAAAAAAAAAAAAAAAAAAAGAAAAAAGAAAAAAAAAAAAGTTCAATTATTATCCAGTAAGTGTAATCTTTTACGATAAATAGACGGTAAGTGTAATTAAACTCATGAATGATATCCTTTTAGGGTTTGATTTTGACATTGTTCTGTAAATAGGTACGATTAGATTGCATAAATTACACTTTTTTCTTAGATTTGGCTAAAACGTTTTTTTTTTTTTTCCAGTATTCATTCAAATCGTAGATATCACACCTTTTTTTTTTTTGTACTTCCTATTGATTGAATAGCTAAAAAAAAAAAAAAAAAAAAAAGTAGTACTGAAATGATCATCAGATAGTTCCTTGCGTGTCACGCAAAAAAATCCAGTTTGTACTACTAAAATAATAATCTGTGAGAATCAGTCCATTTTGTGAGCGCATTGTCATGAAAAAGGAGCGAAAAGTGGGGTAGGAGTTCTAAAACGCTCTCAAATGTATCGAAAGCCCTATAAAGAAAAGAGAACGTGAACGAACCTTTTTTTTCCATTTTCTTCTATTCCCCCTTTCCTAATAAAATTTTAAAGAAATAACTCAATAAACTACCATCGCTACAATTATGGATAATAATGATGACTTTAATTTACTCGATTTACTTGAACGTAGTTACCACCAATTCGATGATCAAAATAACAACGATCCTTGTAAGTTTATTTTTAATAGAATTCAAGTATATAAGATATCATGAAACTAACTAATATTCATTCTTTAATTAGCCTCAATAGGGATAAAGCATAAATATGCATCATCAGTGTCAACACAATCTACTACTCAATCTAGACGACCACCAGCACCAAAGAAACGACGTGAACAACATCAGCAACAACAACAGCAACAACTACAACAACTACAACAACAACAAGAACAACAGCAACAACATACACCTCTACTCAACGACGATAACGTATCGCTTAGTGCTTTTAATCCTGATCATAACCCTGGTGGCTATGATATTCAACCACAAGAACAACCTGAAAATGCTGGTCTAACTTTTTCTCCATCTAGTTTCCAAGACTCAGGAGTTTCATCTCCTGATGATATCAACGAGTGGCTACGACATGACGATGAAGGTAGACAATATGAAAATTAATTGATATTATATTCAGACCAATTATATGCTGATGTTATTTTATTATAGAAAATATACTGAAACTCATGACACTTCAACGACAACTAACGGACCTTCAACAAGTATTATTGGAAAAGGAACAAGAATTAGAACTTTATCGACAATATATGCATTTCCCTATTCAATTTGTCAAGGAACGTGCAAGGCAGACATACGATCAAGAAAAAGAAAAAGGAAACGAAATCGATAACTTATCGATAGACATCATTTTGGTAATCTTATCATTAACAATCGCAATCAGCTGACAGTATAATGAAACTGATTATTTATTTATGCACCTTGATGCACCATAGTCTTCCCTATTGCGTTCACCATCAAAACCAACTGAAAATGTATCTTTACCTTTTGCCGTCAAGCTTTTTCAGCAAGAATGGGTCAAGAAATCTGGAAAGGTAAATTCATCTAATAGTGTATAATGATGATTATTTATATTATCTTTTTGTATATATTAGAAATCATCTCATAATACCAACAACAACAACAACAAAAAAGAAATCAAGCCAACAGAAAAGCTTGCTCTTCAACAAGTAAACACAGAAAACCAATCTGAAAGGTAAACGGTGATGTTATCTCTTCTCCCCCTTTTTTCTCTCTCCCTCCCTCTCTCTCTCTCTCTCTCTCTCTCTATGATGTAGGACCAATGTTTAATTAATTCTTTTTTTTTTTTAGTCATCAAGATACTCCGTCTATTGTTACTTGGGGTAAACATTCAAGCAATGGTAGTGGTAAAGAAAGAAAAAAAAAAGGGGGGAGTTATTTCCTTTTCTTTTTTGTTTCAAAACACACATTTTTGATATGCTTTTCTATCTCTCTTTCTAATGTAGCCATTTATATCAGTGCCGCATCAACCACCACCTCATCTAGTCGATCTTTTATGGCTATGTCTGCAACTACAGGTTCCCGTATACATATGATTGCTGGTACTTTGAATGAAAAAGTGGACACAGGTATATCAACACCATTATTTATATACATACGCTTCTATCTAAATTCATCCATTTTTTTAATACATCATTCTTTTTTAGATGCTCGACAAAGTCTTTTTGATCAATACATCAACGGTACTATATCCCAACAATCATCACCGTCTATTACATCACTTGCGAATTCTCCCAACAACAATACTAGTAACAACAACAACTCAAATAGCGTTGAAGATAATATCACATCATCAGATACCAAGCTAACCGAAGTGGAAATTCTGGCTGTGAAGGAAGCCGCAAAACAATGCTTTATGTCATTTGACGGGAAAATGATTATTGAAAGTGAAAGCGATCGATTGGTATGTTTGATTATGAGAAATATGTTTGCATTTACCAACATTTATTTTTAATTACTATTAGGAATATTTACAAGAACACTGTCATGGTCTCAGTCCATCCTCTCTTAGTATTGCAGCGGATTATTTCAAACAAGAATTGGAAAAAGTGCGCAATAAAACCAAAAAACAGGTAAGATTCATGCATATGGATATTGTATTCAAAAAAGGAATGATTTCAAACTCTCTTTTTTTTTTTTTTTTTTTTTTTTTTTTTTTTTTTTTTTTTACTATTTTTCCGTCCAAAAAAATGATTTTTATTTATTGTATTAGTTACTTCGATTCCAAAACTACAACACAGAGAAATGGGATCAACCAATTGGAAGGGTGTGCTACTTGATATTAGGAAAAAGTCGATGGGAAAAGCTATCTGATAGAGAAAAGATACTGATCACTGGAAAATATGCTTTTTTACGCAAACATTTAGAGGATCTGAAAAAACGAAACGCTAAAATCAAATGGGATAAGCTTCAGGATCAATTTGAACGTACTGTCAATGCTCATGGACCTGACAACTGGGACTTGTTTTGCGGTTACTGGCTTTCCTTGGATCAAGAAAGGTATGAACGAAGAAAAGAATGGGAATCATCGTCTTCTAAAGCCCCAGCACCTGCCACTGTATCAAATCCTCCAATCTATTCCTCTTCATCTCTTCCTGTTGGAGATATCAATGCTGATCCGACTTCTACAGCTCTACTAGACTATAACGATCTCCAATTCCTCAATCATCATCATCATCATCAACAACAGCAACAACAAATTCATCATCTTATTTAGTTTTAGTTTATTGATCTATTTATTCATTTATCTATTATATCATTTTGTTTTTTAGTGCATATGTGATTATTCATTTGTCCTCAAATAATAAAAAAAATATACCTCTTTTTATTTTTACTTCTATGAGTACATTTAGCTCCAGTTAATATTTTTTTTTTCCCTTCTGTTACAATGGTTTTTGGTCATCAAAAATTCCATGAGTAATAATTGCCATGATGACAATGGAAGAATGGTAATGGTAGATACAATGCAAAATAACAATCATAGTCAAGATAAAAGACCAACTAGTTGATGATTTGACAGGCATGCTTTAGAGTTAAATTTCCTTTTATAGCGAACAACACAACTTTTTTTTTTTTTTTTTTTTTAAAAAAAAAGTTTAATGCACTAATACCAGCCATTGGTCAGATATCTTAAAATCAATGTATAATATATATTTTGTAGAAAAAGAAAAGATTCATATATTTCATAATCAAATACAAAGGTTCACTTTTTATTTCAAAAAAAAAAAAAAGAAAATAAGAATAATCATACTATACAGTAATCACCAAAAAAAAAAAAAAAAAACTAACATACTGTATTAAACTATAAAGAAAGGCATTATTTATTCACAATCATGCGTTGTATAAATTCAGTCCATTGATCCAAAGTACGATTCCATTCAGAAGTATCTTGTACAAAAGGAGGTCCCAACAATGTACTAAGATGTACTTGACCAGGGGACTGTAGCAAAGTGACATCCAATCCACCTGATTCCCTGATTTTCTTGACCAACCATGCAGCATCATCCAGTAACACTTCTTTCCCGCCCACAGTCACCAGTATTTTGGATGGTAAATATTTGGCGAAATTGTCATCAATAGTATCAAGATATCCTAATGGCTTTATCTTATTTATAGATGGTCTTGGTAGATCATCATCATCATCGTCAAATGTCCGGTAATTGATATCTTTGTCATATTCAGGGAAATAAGCCTGTTCCATTCTGTTGACAGCACCCTCCGTAATCAAGTCTAATCCATTGTTTTCTTGCCATGACTTGCCTCCAGCATCCAATCCAATATAAGGTGAAGAAAGTAGTAATCCATGTGGTAATTGAGTTGTTTCTATCTTGTAGTAAAGGGTATCTAATACAATAACCGCACCCGCATCATCAGCACCTAGAGAAAGATAAGCAAAAAAGGAGAATCATCATTAGTTACCTCAAACATATCAATTATACGAGATTGGCATTTTTTTTTTTTTTTTAGTCCTCTTTCAATTATCGTACCCCAGATCAGCTTGTTTCTTGGTACATTCAAATCATTTAAAAGATAGTGTTGAATAGAAGAAAGATCCTCCAAGGCGGCAGGGAATGGATATTCGGGACAATGACCTATAAATAAGAATTCAACAAAATACAAGTGTTTAGAAAGAAGAATTATACAAATAAGAATAACTTACGATAGGAAGATAGAAGAATGGTACAGTTGATATTCTTTGCGTTCATTTTCTTGAGCCAATGAATAAAAGTAGCATGGTATAATCCTCCAAGATCAAAACGAAATCCACCACCTCAAAAAAAAAAAAAAAAGAATGTCAGTGAAGTAAAAAGGAATATATAGCATTTCTCCAATTAAGATGTCTTTTACCTGGGATCCATAGTAGAACAACATCACTTTTAGCCAGTCGATCAGTTAAAGATTCTTTCTTGTCAGAAGAGATACCATTACCAATCCAAAGCCCTCTAGATTTATCAGGTAGTAACCAAGTATTGTCCACCCCTTCAACGACAAAAGAGAGAAAGTAGATAAGGAATCGACTGTAAATGGGTCTTCTAGAAACGAAGATGAGTTTCAGTAAAAAGTTGATAAGCCAATGACGAAAAGACTCTAACGACATTCAAAGTGTAGCATATAGAATTGAGTGAATGATAAAAGAAAAAGGGGATACAAAAATAAAAAAAAACAAGAGAAAAAACCAATTTTTTTTTTTTTATTTTTCAAAAGAAGTGTCTATAATTTCAAATTCCGTACCGACGATGATATTGTTGATCACCAATCAGTAGAGTTTCCTCTTCCTGCGCCTTGCGATAAACAATATAATGTTGAGTCAAAAATATCATTCCATAAAATATAGCAATTATACCCATGCCCCTAATAAGAAAAAAAAAAAAAAAGGAAATAAAAAAAAAAAACATAATATTATATTTCACTTACAATTTAACTAAATCGCCTGAGATACCACTCCAATCTTTTGCAATATATGCATCCACTACAAGTTGAATGATCGAACAAATACCACCCAGTGTATCCTAAACAACAAAAGGATTAGCAAATATTCTAAGTTATAATAAGAAAATAGATTACTAGTAAAATCAGGTGTACACTCCAGCCTAAAGTTGATTTTCGTTTATAATTAAGCCATATCTATTAAGGAAGAAAAAAAAATATATCATCAATTCTTGGCATCATCATTGATATTTGATATTATTACCTGAGGTAAGAATTTCAAGGCATCAGAACCGAGTTTGACAAAACTGAGATAATACATCAAATGAATCCATTCACTATTTCCATAATGAACAGCAAACCATAATAATAAACCGCCCATACATGTCAACCATGTCACCATTGCTGTAATGGAGGAGAGATGTCGTTTGTTTCCCTTGAAGATGTATGTTTGGTATAGTAATAATAGTGACATAGTTAAACCATGGATAGCAAAGGCTACATCGTTGAATTGAACAAGATTCTCCGAGTTATGCCTTTTATAATCTATAAGAATAAAAACATTATTAATAGAGTATAAAAATGAAATATAACTATTATTAATTACATTCATCTTGAATTTCTTGATTAAAGTAAAACGCCAGAGTGAATACCGTATAACTTAAGAATCCAAGGATACTGTAACAAAGGTAATCAAGTGACAATCCACGGACACTGAATAATAAAAAAAAAGACGATATCAGGTGAGTACAATGATGTTTTGTACTTTTAAGTTTATTAACTTTAATACCTTTTTCTTTGCCAATTCAGATATAACTGAGGGTAGGAACTGAAAGACCAAGCTATAAAATAACTCTGAAATAAATAAAATAAAAAAAAAAGGTCAATAAATGTATGTCTCTCTCTGTATATAAATGAATATAATATGAGAGATAATTCTATATATATAGTGTTACTTACCCATCCCAGTAGTTCAGATAACAAGTCCCATGCATTCATATAAATTGTTGTGGACAATAAGAAAGAAAGGTAGAGAAAGCGAGAACAAAAAGGAAATATGCGACCCTTTTTTAACAGAAGTGACGGAGTATAAAATACTGTTATTTTTTTCCATAAGAATTGGTGATAGACATATGGTTTGCAGGTGAAAAAAGGGCACCAAAAAAATAGAATATACAGAAATGAGTAAAAAAGAGAAATATGGTAACTAAGGTTCTTTTTTTTTTTTTGTGATACCTACAGATAGATCATATATTCTATTACACACATGAGCATTTTTATCAAGTCATCATAACAACAGATAGTACTACTATATGAGCCGAAACGTATCTTACTCAAATAAATGAAGTAAGAATGTAATGAAGGAATGTAACAATCAAAAGGAATAATATAAGAGTCAGACAAAGACAAAAATAAGTGCATATTGAAGATAAAGAAAAATATAGTAAAAAAGGTATAAAAGTATATATAAAAAATCAAAGTAAAAAGAGATAAAAAAAAAAAAAGAGAGAGAATAAAGAAAAGGGAAAAAGGGGAGAAGGGGTAAAAAAAAAAAAAAAAAAAAAAAAAAAAAAAAAAAAAAAAAAAAAAAAAAAGACCCGCAGGCATAATCGTCATCGAAACGCGTGATTGAACTCCAACAGGAATTTTGATGTAGCACCAGATCACGAATACTCGACGCTGATTGGCTGAAATTAGGATAGGATATATAATGTTGTTTCTTTAAAAAATTTCAACTTCGCCTCCATGGCGCAATTGGCTAGCGCGTCTGACTGTTAATCAGGAGGTTGGTAGTTCGAGCCTACCTGGGGGCGATTCTTTTTTGTAAACTATAAAAGCAAAATTGGAAGTCAGTTTTTTTTTGTTTCATTTCTTTCCTTTATTTTATTTTTTTTTTTTTTTGAATAGATGCCAAACATGAAAGATGTTATTACTGCAGTCGATTTTCTTGATGAACAACAACAATTAGAACGCGATGCTCAAGAAACCTTACCTGGAAAGTTTGAAAAGTGTACATTTGATTTGGGTTATATACGACAACCTCTTTTTGCCTGCAAAACATGTTCAGCCCATAGTAATGACAACGACGACAATGACGCGAAAGATCTAGTAACAAAAACGACTACAAGGTCAGATACATTTACCCAAGGTAAAAAAAAAAAAAAAAAAAAAAAAAGAAAGACATATGATTTGAATTCTTATTTTTTTTTATTTTATAATTTCTTTTTTCTTTTTTACTTCCATTCAAGTAGGTGGTATGTGTTATAGTTGCTCCATTGCTTGCCACGCGGATCATGATCTATATGAATTATTCCCAAAACGACACTTTCGATGTGATTGTGGTGTGAACAACAAGTTTGGTCAACATGCATGTGAACTCTCTTCTCCAACCAAAAATGAATCTGTCAACGACGAAAATCAATATAATCATAATTTTGTTGGTCGCTATTGCAGGTATTATTAAATAAAATATGGAGTGTAATAATGATAATACTAATATAGATTCTATTATTTATAGGTGTGATCAATTATATGATCCTTCAGTGGAGGAAGAAACTATGTATCAAGTAATGTTGCAGTCGATATGTAAATGTTGATGACGGTAATTTTTTTTTTAACATACGATCTTTTTTTTATTATTTGCTTCTCCTTATATAGTGTGCTCTATGTGAAGATTGGTTTCATGAACGATGTATTGGAAACGTAAGTAGTTGAATCTCCATATTGATACGGATTAGTTATTAAAGTCACATTTTTATTAGATTCCAGAAGACATTGAAGATTTTGAAAGCTATATTTGTCGTGAATGTGTCACCAAGCACCCATTTCTTGCCAACGTGGATCGAAGATTCAGTATTGGAGTATGTACTCCTGATAAGCCTGTTCATCGATGGATCCGACCGACAACTACTGTTTCAGCAACTCCTCAAAGTAAAAATGATCAAAACACGAATAAACTTATCAACACCAATGATTCAACAAATAGCGATGCATCTCTGGAGACTACCGATATCTTAACAAGTAGCAACACCATCAAACGGAATTGGAATGATGCATTTGATCAACAAATAACACCAGAAGATGATAATCAAGTGGATATAAAGAAACCGAAATGTGATGATTGCAAAAATGGTAGGAACATCGAAGAAAGAAACAGCATAACATATTTGTCTTTTATTCAACCTCCTCCTTTTTTTTTTTTCTTCTTCTTCTTCTTCTTCTTCTACTGCTTCTTTTCTATTGTACTAGTGTGTGATATATTGACAGGTGACGAAATGATGGAACTTTTCCTGGCAGATGGATGGCGTGAAGGATTATGCCACTGTCCAAAGGTAATACTTTTTTTTTTTTTTTTTAGAGAAATCGTATATTCATCCTCTCTTCTCAATGAATTAGTGTAGCGAACGATACAAGCAAGATAAGATTGAATTTATCTTAAAAGAAGAAAAGACGTTTGAACCAGAAGATGATGAAGATGCAGGCAAATCATTATTACAAATTGGTATGGAACAACTAGGACGAATGAATCGGGTGGAAGCATTGGATGGATTGCGACTCTATCAAAACCTTTCGGATCAACTCATGCCTTTCCTTCGACGATTTCAAGAATCAGGTCAAGTAGTGACTGAACAGGATATACGGAACTTTTTTGATGAAAAAAGACGGGAGCGTGAAGAAGAAAGGATACGACAATTGACTAGATAGATCTATTGTTGTTATATATATATATATATATTTATTATCTATTATTATTGTTTTTATACACTTTGTACAAATAAATGCTATTAAAGTAAATGATGATTGATGGTTGCCTACTAGATATTGAATGGAATTTATCAAATGATAGATGATGAATAACGGATGACACCTTCTATATAATATTTCAAGCTTTTCTATTTTACTGCACTTGATTTTGATCTATCATAGTTTATATACGGAGACCAAAAAATCGTTTGGTTCCTTTTTGGATCTTTTTTTTTTTTTTTTTTTTTTTCATGAACAATACTCAAAAACTTCAACATTTTAAACTCCCTCCCAAACCTTATTGGCTCAAACGCTGTAAGCCACATGTTTTCTTTAATATGGGCAAAGACGAACTGAAAGAATTTTTTCTTCTTTTCCTTTTTCTTTCTCTTCTTTTCCCTGTAACATTATCATGTCGACTTTTGAAAAGGTACGGACGATATATACGATACATAAACCGTCTTCCTTTTTTTCTATCTATCTATCGCTACGACATTATCTGGTTTCGATATATTGTATTTTATTCGTGCAACTCGTTTTCTTCAACCATGTCGAGTCCATTACAAGTAGAGGTTATATCTCTACGGATATTCAGTCATTCAAAACCATAACGAACAATAGATGGATAGAAAAAGAAAAGGAAATATACAAGACGAATTGAAACTGACCATGACATTTGTTTTTTATTTTATGATAGGTTGTTGTCATTGATGGCAAGGGTCATCTTCTCGGTCGTCTCGCCTCCATTATCGCCAAGCAAGCTCTCAATGGCCAAAAGGTTGTTGTTGTTCGTTGTGAAGCCCTCAATGTTTCTGGTGAATTCTTCCGTAACAAGTGTAAGGATAAGAAAGGATGGAACTAAAAAAAAAAAAAATAGAAGGGACAGAAAAGGATCATATAGAAAATTAATTTTTTTTTATTATTATTATTATATAGTGAAGTACCATGCTTACCTCAACAAGCGTTGTATTGTGAATCCCAACCGTGGTGCCTTCCATTTCCGTGCTCCTTCTCGTATCTTGTACAAGGCTATCCGTGGTATGGTTCCTCACAAGACTGCCCGTGGTGCTGCTGCCTTGGATCGTATCAAGTTGTTTGAAGGTGTTCCTCCTCCTTATGATCGTGTTAAGCGTGTTGTTGTGCCCGATGCTCTTCGTGTCTTGAAGCTTAAGCCTGGACGCAAGTACACCACCATTGGTCGTATCTCTCATGAAGTTGGCTGGAAGTACCAAGATGTTGTTGCCAAGCTCGAAGACAAACGCAAGGCCAAGTCTGCCGCTTATTATCAACGCAAGCAAGCTTTGGTTGCTATCCAAAAGAAGGCTGTCGAATCCAAGGCCGATGCTATCAAGGAAATCAACTCTTCTCTTGCCACTTTGGGTTATTAGTTTGTTTTTTTGATTTTTTTTCTCGTTTTTAGTTTAGAATCAAAGCTTATTTGGGAAAATAAAACAAAATAAGAAAATAAACGGCCTCATTCTCTATTGTCATTTAATGGGATCCTATTTATGTATTGTGTAGGAAGGGAGAGAAATTTGGAGGATGGATTGAAATCATTTACTGGTTTTTTTCCATGTGAAGCGTGTTTATTTTTTTCTTTTTATGCGTTATGGTTAGAGAGTTGTTTGCATTAGGGTTTGACTATATTTGCGGTAATCAGTATTGTATGTATTCTTTATAATGTTTTTATTATTGTTACTATATAGTTATTTGTCTCTATTTTTTTTTTTTTTTTTTTTTGTAAAAATACCTTTTGTCTGAATAAAATATTTTGTTGTCTAAGCTATTTTATTATGATGTTTTGTATGTATACGTTAGTACTACCTATCATCATGATGACTTGATAGATAATGATCATCCGATGACAAATGAGTATTGACAGCTTTTTTTTTTTTTTAGAACTAGATAATCATATAACGGGATGTATTTATATTAATGAATTGGTCGTTTCCAAGAACAAGACCTATTTTTTTTTTTTTTATTTCTCTTCATAAATGAACCAATCATCATCGGATCACTACGAATCTAGTATTGGCAACTTCTTACTCCTGGACACAAAAAACCTATTTTCTTATAAATAAGCTTTTTTGGTCTTTACATTTTCTTCTCTTTCTTTATACTTTTTTCTTTTATTTTATATTACTTCACTATCATGACATATCATTTGAAAAAAAAAAAGATTCTGGCTCATATTTGGTGGCTAGAAAGGTTTGGAAACTTGGCTATCAAGAGTGATTCAAAACTGCGTGTCAACCCAATGAATAAAAAGATGGAGGACGATTATGGCGAATCATCTAGCATCATTCCATTTCTTTCTATGCCTGAGCTATATGCTTAATCCGGGTAGCAAAAACCTGCGATGTTTAAACTTCAGTTGTAAGTACATATTAAAAAAAAAAAAAATAGAAAGACCTTACTTACCATACTTCTCTTTCCATTCATTTCTATGTATTCTCTTTTTGGTATGATATGACACAATTCAAATCACACTTTTTTTCACCGGCAAACCATATTATTCATTAGCAAACTATCTATTCCTCTCTGCCAATTCTTATGAGAAAAAAAAAACAGTAGCATGAGGATTCCTAATTTGGAAGGTGGAAAGAAGAAGATAAAATAATAGTAGTGACACGATGATCATTCGAAAGTATTCTGTAAGACTTGAATCTTCCTTTTTTATTATATTATTATTATAGTCTATGGAAATATATGTATATATAAAGATAAAAAAGAAAAAGGTGACGAGAATAATAAAACTACCAACTAGTGGTTCATAAAAATGGGAGGAATGATAAATAAATAAGGATAAAAAGGAGATGATAATCTATGATGAAGAAGGGATCTTCTCAGAAAGATCAATCAGTCGTTTGAGTCCTAATAACCAAGAGCCATGACGTTCATATTCGGTAGTCATCAATTGACGATGAAGAGTCAATGCTTTTTCCCAGTCCTTTTCTTCTAAACCTACATAAAGGTATATTTAAATAATAATTATAGTGAATAATAAAGTCATCATAGGGAAAATGTGTCATAAAAAAAGGAGAAGTATGATTTGAAGGAGAGAGGAAGATTTGATAGAAACTTACCTCGGCAAAGTTCATTGATCGATATAATCACATTATTGGTCACCTTTTCATCATCTATTTCCTTTAACATGACTTGAACTCGTTTGGAAGTATCATCAACGATTCGTTTATTGGGTCCAGTCTATTCATATTAAAAGTATAAATAATAATGGTAATACACCATAAAAAAAAAAAAAAAAAAAAAAAAAAACTGTCAGCGTTTTCAATTTCTTTTTTCCATTCTTTTTGTGTATTACAGTAAAAGCAGTACGACAGGTTTCAACAAGGATCGTTAATCGAGTTTTCAATTCTTCTTTATCGAGACCATCGTCATCCTGATGGTTTGTCTTGTGGAAGATCTATTATCAGTAAGAGAATTACAAAGTGAATTTGATGAATACAGATATATAGTTTCTTTCTTACCTTTTTTGGAGGATCATTCTAAAGAATATATATTTTTATCAAGTAAAGATAGCAGGTGAGTAACAAAACTTTGACCATCTTGACTAATAATTTGTAACTTTTTTTTTTTTACCCAGTGATTTTCAATAGTGGCATTTCTAAAGTCTGAACGAGGACTAGAATTTAGGGATTCTGGTGATGGGAATGTAGATGTTTCCAAAGTAGATTGTGTATTGGCATTCATAATAATAAAATAGACAATGGATGTTTATGTATAGTACAAGGAAAAAATATGAGAAAAAAAAAAAAAAAAGAGAAGAAAGAGAGACAGAGAAATGACGAGAATGGAAAACCCAATTTTTGAAAAGGGGCAAACTGGGTTCCAATTTGTTGGAGTGAATATGGATTGAACTGAAGTCAAAGGAACATGAAAACAAATACATTTCAAAAGAAAAGAGGGTTTATTGAGTGAATGATAAAAAAAATAATAATAATAGTGGTAATGAATAATGAATAATAAAAAGTAAAATAGAGCAATGAAAGGGCTGTATACAAAAGGCGATGATAATGACTGTATATATATATAATAAAAAGGTGATATCTATGTAAAGCTATATAAAATCGTTGATGGATGCTGGAGGAGAAAAAAAAAAGGGGGATAAATGATGTAAATGAAGAATAGAACAATCAAATCATGATTTTCCAAAATTATGAATAATGGCTTCGTAACAGAAAAACATGATAGCAGCATTTGGTACCACACGCATAAGATGAGCAGACATACCACCATAAAGAGCTACAAATCCTTCTTCTTTCCATACTAATTTGAAGCATTGCCATAATCCGGTATATTTGATCACACCATTTTCCGCAGGTTGTCTTAATCGAGTACGTACCACTTCATGAGGATATGATATACATGCTGCTACAAATTTCGAAATTGCTGCTGCACCAAGATTTCCCATCCATTCTAATATAAAATATATTAATCAGTACTTTTTGTTTTTCAACCATTCTTTTTATTTACCTTGTGCACTTTTTCCTCCAATAGTATTTGTTGATAAATTCTTTGGTGTAGCCCATTTCCGTTTCAAATGTTCATAAGTAACCCATTGAATTGTACCTTCCGCAACGCCTAAATATATATATAACAAATCAGTCAGACTTATTGATCAAATTTTAATATTAAGTTCCTTACCTAAATAAGAAGCACTCATGCCTTTATATAATCCACGAACACCTTCTTCACGTATTATATGCAAGACACAATCCAAGCTGTTTTTATATCGTCGATTTTGTCCTTGAAGTTGTAATCTTGTTTTTACTACCCAAATAGGATTAGTTGCTGTTGAAGTCACTAAACCTGCTGTTGCTGCTGATAATAAGTGTACAATAGGAGTTTCTTTGCCATTGTTGAGTTCTGTATATAGCTTTTTACCATTGCCGTAGGTATAAAAATTGATAGATCTAAAAAAAAAAAATAGTTCTATTAATTTCTTTTTAAAGTAGATATATATATATATATATATATTTTACCTTGCTGGAATCACTCCTACCAAGTTAGGTCCAAGTCCTTTGAAATAACCTCGTAAACCTTCCACTTGTTTGATTCTGATTAACAATCGTCCAGTTTCTACAAAGTGACCCCATAAAAGATTGGTATGTACACTAGTGGCTTTTGGCATTTGTTGATAAAATGTAGACTGAATGAAGAAATATGTCAATGATCAAGTGGCGGCTGTCAAAACTATTCTTTTTTTTAAACTTACTTGTAATCGAGTCTTCACAACGTCCAAAGGAGAAGTACAAACAGCACCTACTAACCCTCCCACACTAATAAAATAAAAAAAAAAATAAAAAGATCGTTGCAGTTTAGTAAATAGAATATAAGAAAAAAAAATGACATACGGAGGGTTTTTTTTTTTATACTTACCCTCCTGCGATAAAGTGAACATAAGAACGAGAATCTTTCTTGAGTTGTACAATGGGTTGTTTAGTCGCAGCAGTGGATTGGTTATGTTCCAAGGCCATGTAGGTATTTGATTGGATCGTCGTTGTCATAGAGGGAAAAGTGGAAGGGAAGAATAAAGAAAAAAAAAAAAAAAAAAAAAGAAAAAAAAGTTTTTTGTTTAGGATGTTTTGTCCTTTTCTTTTTAGGGGACAATTCAGACACCGCCTGAGTGATTTTGATTTGGCATTTTTTTTTTTTCCTATCCAATCCAATTGACAAGCCTCTTGCCCTGGTCATTCCCCAGGAACAAACCTAAAATAACATCCAGATTCATCGTCTTTTCAAATAATATGATGATGTTTCTCTCTCTCTTTCTCTGTTTGTGTTGTGTATAAATAAAAATACTATTCATATTCATCCATTTTGTTATCTTTCTTTTCTCTTATGTTGATAATTTTACCATTTAGATGAAAGACAAACTTCCTTTGTGTCACTTGCCTTTCAAGGAAAGCATACATTCTTCAGTAGAGGGAAAAAGATTTGATATCAAAAGAATACCATTATTTATTCACAAAAAAAAAAAAGACACAAAATCTAATATTAAAAAATAAAAATAAAAATAAAAATAAAAATAAAAAATAACACTAAAAATACAATAAAAATAATACTATATACTATATGAACCATCCAACCAAAACGAGATAGACAAAGAATCATCTAATTTTTCCAATCCTTTTCAATTTCAGATACAAATTCGTTTGCACCTTCAAAACCATTTTGACCTCTTTCATAATCAGCAAAAGCTTGATAGATTTCTTCTTTTGTATTCATGACAAATGGACCATATTGTACGATAGGTTCGTTGAGAGGTCGACCAGCAATAATAACAAAGTGACAGTTGTCAGAGAGTGCTTCTACAGGAATAGTGGTACCTTCATCACTGAGTACAAGAGTATGATGAGCATCAGCAACATGTTTGGAACCTCCAAAAGAAGCCTTTCCTTCTAATGTATAGATAAAACCTCGGAAATCGGCAGGAATGGATTGTTCCATAGTGAGTCCTTTCTTGGCCATCTTGACATCAATAAACATAGTAGGTGTACGAGTAAAGACTGGACTTTTGGTACCATAAGATTCACCTGCAATAACTTTGATATCCAAACCTGGTGTTGGTGAGACACTTACAACTTTGTCAGCAGGAAATTCTTGATAACTTGGTTCAATCATCTTGTCTTTGCTTGCCAAATTCACCCATAGTTGTAATCCATGTGCCCTTTCGGTTTGACCCTTCACTGGTAATTCTGCATGAACAATGCCTCGTCCAGCTGTCTATATTCCGATGAATAGATACAAAAAAAAAAAAAAAAAAAAAAAAAACGAATAGTATGGGTGAGTTGATCGTAAAATCTATACTATTCTCCTTTTCTATTCACTTACCATCCATTGTAAACAACCTGGTGTAAGAAGTCCACGATGTCCTTTAAAATCTTCATGCTGGAATTTCCCATCCAATAGGTAAGTAACAGTTTCAAATCCTCTGTGAGGGTGTAAAGGGAACCCTATTGTTTTAAAACAATATTATGTTAATATATATGTGGTTATATATGCTTTTTTTTTTTATTTGTAATGTACTTTACCTGCAGGAGGTTCAACATCGAATTCATCCAACATTAAGAAAGGATCCAAATTGCGTAGAGCTTGGGTACCAATAGAACGATAAACTAAAACAAATACAAAAAAAAATAGTTGATTAAAATTAAAATATATAATGACAATATAATTTCTTATTTACCTCTTGCACCAACACCGTCCATTTGTTCACGAGAGAGGACTGATTTAACAATAGATCTTGTAACAGAAGCCATGATAAGAAAGAATAGGTATAATAATAAGTTTGAAAGTAGTTTTTTTTTAAAACTGGGAAAAACGAACCGAAGAATGGGAAAACCCCATTTTATATCTTTTCCTTCAATTTCAGTTTCCGATAATTGTAAGCACTTAGTCAAAAACTCGTTCCACTACTAATGTGCAGGATTTGTAATTCTCCACTCCTATTGGTTAGTTTTCTTCACTCCTGAATCATCATTAGTATTTTATTACATTGCTTTTGAAAGGGTCATTCAATAGTCCATTTTAAATATTATCAGGTGATCTTGATTATAAGTGTGACCCTGCAATCATTACAAATTCCCTATGGGTCAAATCACAGAAGGGATCTTACCCCCCTTTTTTTATTTTTCTTTGTTTTTTAATTGACGAATCGGAAGTCGTTCCCGATGCTGGAAAGATCAGTGTCTATGTAACTTTTTTTTTTTTTTTTTTTTGTTACTGTTAATGCTACAAGTACTGATTTGAGTATTACTATCTTCACAGTCATCAATCATCATCCATCCTCTATCATCGTCACATCATCCATCATCTGTCAAAACTATAATGATAGGCTTCATCATCAAACATATTAGTCACATCCGCACAAATGGTTTTTCAAAACAAGTCCAAAAAGTTTATTCACCAATAATAATAACTATGATAATAAAAAAATGTGATTCTAATTTTACAAATGAGGGATATACTAAAAATACAGTAAACTAACTATCGACCATCCATCTAGGCACAATATAGACAAAAAAAAAAAAAAAAAAAAAGAAAAAAAAAAAAGAGAGACCAGGCCGTCAACTTAATATTTCCAATTTTTCTTGATCTCAGATACAAATTCATTTGCACCTTCAAAACCGTTTTCACCTCTTTCATAATCAGCAAAAGCTTGATAGATTTCTTCTTTTGTATTCATGACAAATGGACCATATTGTATAATAGGTTCGTTGAGAGGTTGACCAGCAATAATAACAAAGTGACAGTTGTCAGAGAGTGCTTCTACAGGAATAGTGGTACCTTCATCACTGAGTACAAGAGTATGATGAGCATCAGCAACATGTTTGGAACCTCCAAAAGAAGCCTTTCCTTCTAATGTATAGATAAAACCTCGGAAATCGGCAGGAATGGATTGTTCCATAGTGAGTCCTTTCTTGGCCATCTTGACATCAATAAACATAGTAGGTGTACGAGTAAAGACTGGACTTTTGGTACCATAAGATTCACCTGCAATAACTTTGATATCCAAACCTGGTGTTGGTGAGACACTTACAACTTTGTCAGCAGGAAATTCTTGATAACTTGGTTCAATCATCTTGTCTTTGCTTGCCAAATTCACCCATAGCTGTAATCCATGAATTCTTCCCGTATAACCGTTCGCTGGCGCTTCCGCATGAATAATACCTCGTCCTGCCGTCTAATACCAATTCAAAAAAAAAAAAAATGAGATGAATCATCTTAAATCATATGTCATCCTTTTTCTACTTACCATCCATTGCAAACAACCTGGTCCAAGTTGTCCTTTATGTCCTTTAAAATCTTCGTGCTGACATTCACCCTCTAACAAATAAGTAACAGTTTCGAATCCACGATGAGGATGATCTGCAAAGAAAGAATGAAGATCTGTATCAAATTCATCCAACATTAAGAAGGGATCCAGATTGCGAAGAGCTTCGGTACCAATAGAGCGGCGAACTGATAAAAAAAAAAAAAGAATACATTATTGGAAAGAAAAGTCTTTTTTTTTTTTTAAATATATATTACCTCTTGCGCCTACGCCTTCCATTTGTTCTCTGGAAAGAATAGATTTGATAATAGATCGTGCAATAATAGCCATGATAAAAAAAATAGTTTATTTTTTAATCGATTGGGATAAAAAAAAAAAAAGAAAGAAAGAAAAGAAAAAGGGAAAAGCGAGAACTTAAAAAAAGCGAGAAAAATATTTATAAATCCATGACAAATTTCATTTGAATCCCCGTCCTGCTGAATAATTTGTTTTTTGCAGGAATTTCCTTTCTTTCGCTCTTTCATGTCATCAACAAACCATGAATCATCATAGAGAGCGTGAATGTACTATCAATATTCCTTTGAAAAAGTCTAATACAACAAATTCAAATGACCATGATGATTTATTACCATTACAACAAATACAAATTCAATGTATACAATGGATTGATTATGTTAGATTAGAACATCGATTTGATCCTTTTTTACTCAACGAATTGGAAATCATTCTTGATGCTGGAAATATTGATGTTTACATATCCTTTTTTTTTGATATATATATATATGATTATTACAGAGGATTATTTTTTTATTTTATCTTTAACTCTTTTTTTTTTTTCTAATTTACTGTAAATGTAGAATCAATGGAATCGATTATTCTGTCTCACCTATTTTATTACAAAAATCACTTATTAAGGTAAAAATGAACTCGTACATGCATTTATTGATTCTTTTTTTTTTTTTTTGATATAATAGGTTATGTCTGAACAATGTGGATTCAAGTTTCGATCTGTTCGTCTTCCTGATCGATATACCACCACTTATGAAGATGTTGATCTCAGTATGCAATATGGAAAAAAAAAGGAAATGCATATTTTATTTCTTTAACATATATTTTAGATTGTCAATTTTATATGCAGAAATCATTCATGACAACCCCCTTGGCATATATGATAGGTCAACAAACACCTCATGGTCGGTTACAATCACTATGGATCAAGATTGACTTGGAAACAAAAAATATCCTTTTTTTTTTTAAAAAAAAAAGAACAATGGCTTATTTGCTAATGGATAGAAATGATTCTCCTTAACTGATTATTATTATTATTATTACATGCTGACGATATTATCAAGACTTTTGAAGTAGAAAAGGATCAGCTGGGTTCAGTCATTCTGTCCGAGGCCAATCAACAACTATGCGCTAACTTGGAACGTGCTTATTCCATTTTATTTTGTCATCATCTTGGGCAAAAATATCCATTGATTTTTTCTCAAGGTTATGTGGAAGTAAGTATTGTAATTTGACATACAATCATTAATATATTCATTGAATAGAAACTGACAGGAACCACCAAACGTATACCTACCATGGCACGCTCTCTTCAACGTATATTAGAAACAGCCAAGACAGCATCAAAGACTCATTTTCAACAAAAAGCATTGGATTACTTGCAGGTAAGATACAAACGAAAAGAAGAAATCATGTGGATTTAGTCTCTCATATATATATATCTATAAATCTATGTATAGATGACACGACAAAAGAACAGAATACTTCAATCGCATCATCGACAACAGCAAGAAGGATTTGGCGAATTGGAATTCAATAGTATCTACGGTGATCTTGTCATGGGTCTCTATCATTCTACAAAAAACACAGAATCTTTACGACAACATCGCGTCATGATCAAAGTAATACATAAAAGAGTATGGTGACAAGGTGGACTGATGGATGACCTTTTTTTTTTTTTTTTTTTTTTTTTTTTGTGCTGACAAGGGCAAACCTACTTTATCCATCGTATCATCATCTGCAAGTAGGGACAGACATGAAGATTCTCTCCAAGCACCTAATGCTGATCAAGCCATTCAAGATCTATGGGCCACTCTATGAATGATTTATACCGATCTCCTTGTTTTTACATATTCTTTTTTTTCTCTTATGCATGATTTCACTAATCCATATTCCCCCATTCGCTTGTATCTCCCCCATTCCTATTATTTGATAATATATACAAAAAAAAATAATGTTGGCAATTAAAAAAAAAAAAAAGTACTTTATTATTTCAGATAACGTGATCACCAAACAGTATAATATCTTTTTCTGTGTGTGTGTGTGTATATGAATGTGTATATGTGAATGTGTAAATGGTGAGTGTGTATATGTATTCTGTCGATATGTACAAAAGGGACGGGGTAACCAGAAAAAAGGAGTCAACTTTTTGATACTATGTAAAAAAAAAAAAAAAGAAGAGGGGGAATCTAAGTAAAGGGGGGGAGTCCAAAATATTGCCACACGGGAAAAATAACATTGAATCAGACATCTTGAAACAAAGCCGTCAGTTCCTTGTCACTACATTCATCATCACTTGTCAAAAATCCTTCCTCAGATAATTCATCATCAGAAGATAGAGATAAAGGTGAAAGCGTAGATGGTGTAGAAGTTGTTGTTACTTCTGCTGTTTCTAATTTTTGTACTGTTGTCGTTGGTGTTGTCCCTTGAGCTGATTCCTTTGTCCCTAATCGTCTCTTCTTCTTTGTAGTGGGTTGTCCATCAAGTTTCCTTTTGGTATCTGAAGAGGGTTTTGATCGATGATTTGGTAACTTCGGTATCTAATGAAGAATAAATAACAATAAATCAATCACAATGTTTGTATTTCTTCTTCAATGTTTTCTTTACCCTGAAATAGTATTGAGTGTCTTTTAGTACACACTTCCTTGCACCTCGTCTTGATTGAGAAAGGGAATGACGTCTTTCATCATCGGCATCCAGTTCCGGCTTGTAATAATAAAGATTTTCCTTGGGCATTCCATCTGCTGTGTTTCCAGTTCTTTCAATACATCCAATACATGCTGTCGTTTGAATCAAATTCATCAAATCCTGCCTTTTCCTATTCAATTGCCGTTCGATTTCTGGAATGGTCATGGATGATTTTCGTGAGTTCGCTGGACGTAAAAAATAGTCATTCCAAAAAAGAGAAAAAAAAAGTTTGTTCAGCCCCATATTTATATTTTTTCTAATTCTTTTTGTACCTAGTATTCGAATAAGAGTATCCAAAAAGTCCAATGAGGTTGAAAGTTGATCAGGTATATATTTTTGATTTAAATCCATTCGTGTTGAAGTAGGGGTTGTAGTACAAGTTGTTGTTGATTCGTCACTGTTTGTCATTGATGTCGTTGTTGTCTTTGTAGATAATTCTTCTTGTGATGTGTTATGTTGTTCGGGTTCCTTCTTTATGCTTGTTGGTATAGTGGCTAAAAGTTGATTTTCCTTTTGTTGTTCTTGTTCTTCCTGTTGTTGTTCCTGTTGTTCTTGTTCCCCAGCAAATACAAGTTTTGTTCCTAATACTTCAATGGTAGAGCCTTTGACCAGAGGAATATTTTCACCAGCAGTGAACATGATACGATCGACTAATACACCATTTGGAGATTGAACAGTGAGTGTGAAACCAGTATGAGGTTTGTGTTCAATAACAAAATGTTGACGTGACATTCTCGGATTGTGCCTTCCGACTTGTACTTCACTATCGTGACCTCGGCCAATGGTCAGTTTGGTTGCTTTAGATCCATGAAGAATAATGGTGGCTACATGAGGTGAGGCAGTATGACATTGTGTTGCTAGTCGAGGATCATGTTGAAAGTAAGCTGTTTGTGCTGCAAAGTAACTACTCCGTTTGTCTATATACAGTGTAAAAGAAAAAAAAAAAAGAAGGAATTAGAATAGATATACCTATGTATTTTGTTCTTATACTGTTCCTTTTCATTACCGTGGGAAGGTTTCTTTTTCTTTTTCTTTTTTTCTTGTTGCTTACCAGAACTAGGCATGGAGTGATAGATAATAGAAAAAAAAAAAAAAAAGAGAAAGAAAAAGAGAAAGAAAAAGAGAAAGAGAAAGAGAATAAAAAAAAAAAATTCCTTTTTCATGTCATAGACATACGTATGGCGGAGTTGAATCTTGTGAGGGTACATTTCAAAATGTAAAAACGGGATTCAGGAGGACGGTTTCGGTATACAGTTTTTGTTCTTTTTTTATTTATTATTACTATACTTTAATGATCAATTTCATCTACACGACCATTTGTTTTATGATAGAAATCAGCAAAATTACCAACATCTCGGTTAATAGATGATGATAATGATGGATGAAACATTGTGTGGTTACTTTTATTGGTGCTTTTAGGAGCATGCTGAGTTTTTTCTGTTCCGTTGTATATTATGGATGGTGCGTTGAGATTTTGGTAAGGTGTAAAGGTAGTAGCTTTTGAAGGATTGGTATTATGAATTTCTTGAATTGGATTACCGAAGCGTAAGGAGAATTTATCGTCATCCATAATAGGATCTCTTGATTGCGAAGGAAGATGAGAAGAAGACATCTCAACAATATATAAACAAGAATCAAATAAAAAGAAAAGTTCAATTTTTTTTTATTGTGAATCAATATAAATATAAATATATATATGTAACTACACAAAAATATTAAAACTAAAACCAGCGGACAATTATTAAATGTCTTACCGAGGGCCCCACATTTTTTTTTCCACACCGTATTTTCTGATTTATCGGAGATCATCTTCATCATCATCGTCATGTTGTGGAAAAGCAGGAGGAGGAGGAGTATGTCCTTGATTATGTTTTGGTGGTTGATATGGTGAAGGATTTGTATTCAATCGAGCAAATTCTTCGTCTAAATCAATATCTGTCACTGGTGGATGTTGTTTTTCTGATGGATATCCTTGTTGTTTTTCTGGTGGGTAACCTTGTTGTGGTCCAGAGTATTGAGGTGGTGGGGGTAATGACGAGGGTGGTGCTGAAGATGGATGATTTGGTGAATGTCGATCATATGGATCAGATGTAATTCCATAAACTGCAGATGATGATGATGGAGGAGGTTTGTTATTGTATTGATAAGCTTGATGATTTGAAGAAGGTGGGCCACGATAAGAAGTTGGAGGTTGAGTAGAGAGACTTTCACCAGGAACAGTTAGAGTTCTAGAAAGTTTGGCAACTTCATTATCCAAAAATGTCACTTGTTGTCGTCGAACAGTTTTTTCCAACAGTGGTTGATCCAATTCGTCATATGCTTGTAACAAACTTTGCCCAATATCCGCTTCTTCACTTTGAGCAAATCCTGCATCACTAGAATATCCAATGTTTAGTTATTATATATTTATGTAGTTATTAATATACTTACTTTCCACACATAGCATTGAATTGTTTTCCAGCTTCCACTTCATCACCAAGAGCAAACAAGATAATCAAAAGACTAAGATTGGCTTTGTAAAGATGAGTCCGACTTGCTAATTTTTGAAGCACAGTAGATTGACGATGGATAAGTTCAATAGCTTTGGCATATCTAAAGACAACAACAATAATAATAAATATATGTAAGACTAACTTATATCATCAAATCTTTTTTTTTTTTTTTTTGATAATTACTTTCTGCTTCTGACGGACAAGGAAATAGCCTTTTTGAAGATTTCTTGAGCAAACCGACCACGGTCTTCTTGTTCAAAAAGTGAACAAGCAGCACTATAAAGTTCAATAGCCGCATTCACATCAATGTTTTCCATAGATCTAATTACAAATAAAAAAATGAATAAAGATCGTTAGCTCTATTTTCACTTATATCCCTTTCTATTGTTTCATTACCTTGCTGCCTTTTCTAATTGTTCAGCTGCTCGGTCCATTTTCCCGTCTGCCATAAATAGATCACTTGCTTGTTTGTATGCTTCAGCTGCTCGTTGGGGCTGGTTCAAGTTTTGTGCCAAGAGGAACCCAGCATTCTCCATAGCTTTACCTGCAAGATGAATACTATCATATATACATAACTAGTGTTAGATTGCTGTTTCATATACGTACTGGAATCTCTCTCTCTTTTTTTTTTTTTTCTTTTTTTTTTTTTTTTACCCATCAGCTTTGAAATATGCTTCAGATGTTTTGGTAAATGCTTGAACAGCTTGATCGTATGAACGTGCAATCTTGAAAGAAGTGGCTATATAATAAAATAAGGTTATTAGTTCCTTGGTTTCCCTTCATCTAATATTTCTTTACCTGCTCGTTCAAAACAACTTGCAGCGAGATCCCAATCTGGTTTTCTAAAAAGTCCTTTGGTTGACCTGAAAACAACAACCAAGAACAAAAAAGAATTATATATATTTTAAAAAAAAAGAAAAGACCAAAGGCAAAAAAAAATCATGTATATATGACTTACGCTTTTTCTCCTTCTTGCATCAATTTCACACCTTCACGAATACGTTCAGCTTCCATAAGTTAAATAATAAATATAATGGATATTTGAGAAAATATATAGATACACGGCAAAGATAAACGAACGAAGAAAAAGGAAAAAAAAGTGAGAGGGAAAAAAGGCTATCGTAATAATTGAAATTCCGTGCCATCCAAGTCCAATCATGTATCAGCACAAAACAATGCTCTTTGATGCTTGAGGGATTGCTATTTGAAGGAAACGATATCCTGTACAAGCTATTTAAAATATAATTTTACTTGCTACTTATAGTTTATTCATCTATCTAGATGACTCGCAATCATGATCTTTCTAATTTTTACTCTTTGAGTCAAATTTGTATAGTTGAAATTTAAGATTCTTAGACCAAAAATTAACCAATTCATTTGATATTGTTACCCTCTATCAATTACTGTATTTAATCATCGTTATCAGTAGTAGTTCACCATATCATCATCAATGCATCATCATTCTTACCAAATACACAGGGTACCGGAGATTCAAATCTACATGGTCAAAAAGATCCAACTACAACATCATGATTGGCTCTTTCTGATGACATTCTTTTTTTTTTTTTTTTTTTTTTTTAGAAGGAGAAACGCACAGAAAATCAAAAATCGTATTTTTTTATTCTTCTTCTTCTTTTTCTTTTTCTTCTTTACAACAACATCAATACCCACTTTTAATATATGTGTCGTCTCTTAGTATATAAAGGCAAAAAGTCCATTCTCCTTGGTCATTTGATTACATACCCAAGTCATTCCATTGTCAAGTAAGTTATTGTGTCTACTGAACGGAACCCAATACTTAACTTGATTCTTTCTTGTTTTATAAAGTCAATCTTTTGATTCCAAGCTTAGGTTAGATCATCGTAGACCTTTGAATGGTAAGAAAAGAAAAGAAAAGAAAAAAAAAAGGAATGGAATAGAAAGATTTATTTTGGTATCAAAAAACTTATTTTTTTTTTCTCCTTGTTTTTCTTTCTTTCTTATATTCAACTTATTAGGGGATGGATTTGGCGTAGGATGGTATGACAATGAAATGGATAAAGAAAGTCGAATTACACCGTGCATTTTTACATCGGTCACACCAGCATGGAACAACACCAATCTAGTACGATTAGCAGAAAAGATCAAGAGTCCATTAGTATTTGCACATGTACGAGCGAGTACTTCTGGAGCAGTGACTGAAGCTAATTGTCATCCTTGGAAGTAAGTACTATCATCATTGAAAAAGAAGATATATTTAACTCACCTTTTTTTTTTTTGTCTTATATTACCAGTTATGGAAGGATCATGTGGATGCATAATGGTGGCATTGCCCAATTTGACAAGGTAATTACCATTCAAAAAAAGAAGGGAAGATAAAAAAAAAAAAAAAAAAAAAAAAAAAAGAAAGCATATACTAATATTGATATTCTAGTTGAAACGCAAACTAGTGAATGTATTACCAGAAAAACTATTTTTATTTGTACAAGGAAGTGCTGATTCTGAATGGGCGTTTGCATTATTCCTCAGCTTTGTAAGTGAAAGAAAAAAAAAAAAAAGAAGAAATGATGCCATTTTTTACTTATATTATACCTTTTGATAGTTGACAAATCCTGATGCTGAACGATTTGAATATCAAGAATTAAAAGATGCTATGATCAAGACAATTACTCAACTGAATACGTGGGCTGAAGAATTGAATATTACAGAGGTAAAAAATAAAAATAAAAATAAAATAAAATGAATTAACATTTTAAAATGTGATACTAATATATATATATATTGTTAGCCATCATTATTGAATTTTGCAGTAACAGATGGTGCTAGTGTAGTATGTGTTCGATATATTAGTAGCAAAACAGAAGAAGCAGCATCATTATATTTTTCATCAGGTACAAGATTTGAATGTTATCGACCAGGACATTATCGGATGATTAAAGCTGATCGACGGGAAGATATGGTAGTGATTGCTAGCGGTAAATAGAAAAAAAAAAAAGAATGGGACTAGAATGTATGATCTTTGTGATACTAAAATAAATATCTTTGTAGAACCATTAACATTTGAAAAAGCAGATTGGCTTACAATTCCCACCAATAATGTAATGGTGATTACTCCAAAATTGAATGTATTATTACAACCAATCAAGGATAAATATTATTCTATAGATAGAGGATTAGATATTAAAATGGGTGAAGAAGAAGTTAGGATACCAGAACCTATGGCACAATTATTCAAGGTACAAACTGAAGATCAATTACTGCATCATAATGGTGGCAAGACAACATCAATAGTGAATTAGATTTGAATGTTTTTTTTTTTATTTTACCCTCCTCTTTATATATATATATATGGACGTTCTTATTGATTTTTAAATAAATAAAAAAAAAAAAAAGATCTTCAATGTCTTTTGATATTCCCAATGTTGTTGTACATACAAAAAAAAAAAAAACCAAAACTTTATTTATATATATACTGTTTGAACTCCCGATATTCTTTTTTTGTTTCTACTTCTTTATTGTTTCCTTCCCCTTCCCCCTTTTCTTCTCCTTCACTTTCTTACTTTCCTTTTTACCTTCTCCTCCTTTTTTTTTTTTTTGTTCCCTCCTTGCCCTTTTTTCTCCTTCTCTCTCTCTTTATTTTTTTATTCTTTTTTTTTTTATTCTACCTTCATTCATGATCTCTCTTATTATAATTACTCTATAATACTTACCATAATAATAATAATAATAATACTAATACTTTGATACATTCCTTTTTATTCCCTTACAAAACAACTAACAATGATGAAAGGCTTCTCTAATACCGAAAAACCAAGTATACAAACTATTCGCAATAATAAAAGGTTACTATATGCGTCCCTTGTCACTTTTTTCCTTCTTTCCTTGGTTTTACTTATGGGTAACACTAGATTCACTACTCATTCACCACAGCAACAACATGAAGAATATCATAGCGGGGATTCAACATGGCTGCGACAAACCATATCTAGTTATTTGATCAAAGATGAATCTAATCAACATGATCATGTTTTAATTTTGACACCATTGAAAAATGCAGCTGCTTATCTACCTACGTATTTTGATCTTGTAGATCAATTAGATTATCCGAAATCAAAACTCTCCTTGGCCTTTCTTGTTTCTGATACCACAGACGATACCGTGACTCTATTACGTACACAACAACGAAGTTGGCAACACCGATATCATTCTGTGCATATCTATGAAAAAGATTTCCATTTTGATTTACCTGAAGATCAACGCCATCAATTCCAACTTCAACCTTTACGTCGTTCTTATATGGCTAGATCTCGTAATTATCTATTATCTGCTGCTCTTCGTCCTGAACATCAATGGGTGCTTTGGTTAGATGTCGATGTTGTCAAGTATCCTACCAGTATACTTCAAGATTTGATCTCTGTCAATGAAGATGTTGTCGTACCTAATTGCCTGCGTTTGACTGAGGATGGTTCTTTTTGGGGTTATGATAAGAACAATTGGCAAGAAACTGAAGCTTCTTTAACTTTACAAAAGGAATTAGATCCCGTAAGTTTTTAATCTATCTTTTATCTTCATTATCACTAACAAAAAAAAATATGTACTAACTCATCTTTTTATCTTTTATTTTATAGGATTATGTTTTATTGGAAGGTATTTTTTTTTAATTATAATAATAGTTTTCTAACATATTCATTTATATTATTCTCTTTATTACTGATAGGATACTATGAATTTTTGACAAATCGATATTTGATGGTGGATATGCCTACTCATTTGGGTCGATTCAATAAAGTACCTTTAGATGGCGTGGTAAGAATTATTATTATTATATAAAGGAAAAGAAAATATTTGTATTCATATTTATTGATCTACCTCCTTTTTTTCTTTTATTCTTATCTATTGATTCTCTAGGGGGCTACATTTACTTTGGTCAAGGCGGATGTTCATCGTGAAGGCGCCAATTTTCCATCTTATGCTTTCCAACATCAAGTAGAAACAGAAGGTTTTGCAAAAATGGCAAAAGCAATGGGTTTTGGTGTATACGGTCTTCCTGGTTATATCATTTATCATGCCATGAACGCTTAGTCTAATCCTATTTCTTGTTTAGATAGATCATTTTGCACATCATTTCCCACGTCCTCCCCCTTCTTACTCCTCTTCCCCCCCTTATCCCTTCTCCTTTCTTCATCATCTTCACTCTCACTTTTTGTTATTTTTTTTCTTTGTTTAATTTTTTTATCCTCATTCTATCTTTGTATCATCAATATTCCTTTATTGTTTCTCTAATCATGATAATAAAAGTTTATCATTTTGAAAAATGAATCATCTATGAGTATCTCAAACTTAATATTATTAATTACAATAGATGGAGACATGCATTTGCTAGTGTTGTGTCTGCAGCCTTGGTTTTTTTTTATTGATTCGGACAATATTTAGCCGACTAGTTGTTTTAAATCTCATACCCCTTTTGCTCTCCTACTGCACGATGAATGATTGAATGGCCATAGGATAATTCAAGAGCTTGAGAGAAAGTTTTACATTGATGATGTAAACAAAGAGATATTTCCGCTACTCGCAATGGATGGTGTGTTGTTTTGGCCCACAATAGCAGCAAAATTGACTTTACGCATTATCATCCAACTTCTCTATTTTACTAGACCATGTGTTGCTTTCAAATATCAAAGGAATAATAAATAATGATTTTTTTTATTGACATCTAACAGTGATAATGGATAAGCCATAAAAAGAAAACTAAAAAAGAAAAGGGGATAAATAAATACAAATATTATGCTAATGCAGGTGATATGACGATAACGGTAATAAAACAAAAGAGGATGATGACAATAATATTAACAAAACTAATATGAGAAAGAGGGAGACAAATGGATAAAAACCTAAGCACGAAGACGATCTTCGATTTCCTTGCGTTTTTGATCTATAGATAAGAAGTAATTGAATGATTAATATATATATCTTTAATAATATCCTCTTTTTTATTCGATTTACCTTTCAAAGCCTTAGCATCCTCTTGAGTAGCGTTATATGCCAAAATATTTGCTTGATTAAATGGATTTTCAGGTGATTTTTGGAATGCCTTATACATCAAATCCTTCAATTGACTGAGACGAAGACCTGGATTTTCTTGTTTGAAACGAGGTAATTCCCTATGAAAGTTTTAATTATTATTATTATAATAATAAATAATAAAAAGGTCAATTATTTTCTTCTCGTCTAGTCCATTTGTTTATTTTTTGTTACCTTTCTTCATAAGCAGCCAAAGCAGCCTTGAATCGTCGTTCAGGATGTTTTTCAATATCCTTTGCCTTGACACCACCACTTTCATTCAACGACAATAGATCGAGAGCATCATCAATATTACTGGCAGAGAATTCGGGAATAGTACGACGAGCAGCAGACGCTTGATCCACTTTGGCAGATTTCTTTGCAGCACTCTTGGCAGCTCCACTAAGTTTGGGTTTTGATTTGGCCAATTCCTTTTCTTCTTCAGCCTAGTTGAAAAAATAATCATATTTTGAGTTCATTCATCTGTTCAGCCTTCTCTTTGTTTTTTTTTTTTAAATCTTACCAATAACTTGGCAGCTTCTGCTTTCTTTGCAGCGGCAGCAGCCTAATAAAAGGAAAAGAGAAGAGAAGAGTTTCATTAGTTTGTCTTCAAGTATATATTCAAGTACGCGTCATATATTTTACCTTCTTTTCAGCTTCAGATTCTTTCTTTGCATTCTTCTTTGCACCTTGAGACCATTTTGCTGCTTCAGCTTCTTCTTCTTTAGCTTTATTAGCACGTTCTTTTTCCATCTTGTTAGCATTCTTCTTTTCTTTGGCCGCTTCGGCTTTACTGTTTCCACCTTTCTTCGCCATCGGTTAAATTGAATAGAGTTCAAAAAAAAACAAAAAAAGAAAACAAAAAAAAATAAACGGATAAATTGTTGTCATCAACTCAAAACTGAGATCCAAAAATTGTTATGTTTGATCGATCATAGGCCGTGACTTGGTGGCGAATCAAATCGAGAGGAGACTCGGGAACAAAAGATTCACTTTTGAAATTCGCATTTTTTTTTTTTATTCTTTTCTTTTTTCTTTTTTCTTTTTCTTTACATTTCTTTTTCTTCCATTTCTCATATATACGTTATATCGTTTCTTTTTATTTTGAAAAATGGAAGAATCTGGTCAATGGCTCTTTATGAGTTCTGCGAAAGATTCTGATACTGTTCCATGGAATGACAATCTCTGTCCAAATAGTGAAGGATGGGTAAAAATTAAAAAAAAAAAAAAAACTCGCTGCTTAAAAAGTCGATTTGTAATCCATGGCTGACGTTTTTCTTATTTCTTTTTTAGGGTCCATTTTCCTCTGTACGTGTACCAGATTTTACGCCATGTTTTGAAGAAAGGTAGTTTTTATTTTATTTTTGTTATAATAATATATATTGAATACAATACTAATATAGATTGATATTAGTGTTGTTTTATTGGTACCTGCTGCCTATTTGATTCTCTTTGGTATGGCTCGTATATGGATTTTATCAAAACGCGAGAACCTTTCTTCTGATATGACTAGAAACTGGTTGTATTTTGCTAAACTGGTATGTTATTATATTATTTGTAGATACACTTCTTTAAAACACCGTTGAACCAATCTGTCAATTTTTTTTTTAACTTTATTCTTTAGATTACTCTGATATCTTTACTTTTGACAACTGTGGCCAGTGTTTGGATTACTGCAAGTCAAACAGACTCTTGGATTGATAATGCTCCTCTTCTTGCAAAATTCTTCAATGTTTTTGTTTTGGTAAGTTATTATAAAAGATTCAAGTTTAAAAGAAACATTAATCTTCTTTTTTTGGTATTAGATATTCGCCATAGGATTACATCATTTAGAGTATTTTCGTAATCAAATCTCGTCAGCAGTTCTTTTGTTTTATTGGCTCTTCGTATTGATCGTTGATGGCATCAAATTACGCACTTTGTTATTGTTACAACAACAAACTTCTGACTCTGTCCAATTCAGTTTATTCGTCATCAGCTTCGCCTTATCTTTATTGATGTTTGTTTTGGAATGTACTGTCCGACCAAAGAGTCAATATGTATTATTGGAAGAAGATGCGGTAAGTAAATGACGACTTTGTGATAAACGGATGTTTCCTTTCCGTTGTGTTACCAATCATTGGGCTAAACTGATTTCACCTTTTTTCTTTCTTTTCTTTTTTAGCTTGAATGTCCTGAAGGAACTTCAAATATCTTTGGCCGACTTACTTTTGAATGGATGACTCCTTTGATGCGACTTGGTTATGAAAAACCTTTGACAATGGATGATTTATGGGATCTTCAGCATGATGACCAATCTGCTGTGGTGGGTCAAAAATTCGAAAAGTACTGGAGTATGGAAATGAAAAAGGAACAGTAAGTGTAACCATCCAAAATCAAACAACAACAAAAAAAAAAAAAAAAAGGAAGAGATAGAGTGAGACTCATTTATTCCTGATGCATCTTTTTTTTTTCTTTCTAGTCCATCTTTGCTACGTGCTCTCGTGTATAGTCTTGGTGGTCCTTTCTTTTTGGCAGCTGTAAGTAGATGACCGCAGCGGTTCAGTAAACGACTGCGGAACCGACAAAATGGGTTAAAACTACGCTCAAAAGAGGATAATACTGATGATGATGATTTATTACTATTATCTAGTTATTCAAAGCACTTCAAGATGTTCTTCAATTTACTCAACCTTTGTTACTTCGGGAATTGATGTTATGGGTGGCAAGTTACGCAAGTGATGCACCACAACCTGCTTATCGTGGGACCTTGATCGCAGGTAAAGAAAGAAGGGACAAGTCTTTTATTTATTTTGGGGTAGCCAATACCATCATGTGCTTTTGTGGGTGTGGGAGAGGAAAGAATGTTAATTCGATTTTTCCATTTTTATAGTCGGAATGTTTATTACTGCTGTCTGTCAAACCATGTTCTTACATCAGTATTTCCAACGTTGTTTCTTGACTGGTATGCGGCTTCGTGCAGCTTTGGTGACCGCCATTTATCGCAAGACTTTATTACTCAGCAATGCAAGTCGTCAGCAATCCACTGTTGGTGAGGTATGAATGTCTAAAAAAAAAAAAGAAAGTTAACAAAAAACTGATCATCTCTTTATTCATATTTCTATATCTTGATTATGTGATAGATTGTCAATCATATGTCTGTTGATGCTCAAAGATTGATGGACCTTTGTACTTATCTTCATATCGGTAAGTTTTCTTTACAGATTCATCTCACCTAATAATAATCAACATGTTTTTAACCTTTTTTTTTTTTTTTTTTTTTTTTTTTTTTTTTTAAAAAAAAAAAAGTGTGGAGTGGACCTCTTCAAATTGTGATTGCTTTAGTACTCTTATATGGAACCATGGGACCTAGTATTTGGGCTGGTGTCGCTGTTCTGATTTTGACTATTCCTCTCAACACTTATCTTGCCAAGAAGATGCGTGCTTATCAAAAGGTGCAAATGGGCAACAAGGATGCAAGAGTTAAATTGATGGTAATATTTTGTTTTATGTACTGGGTCAAATGATATATTTGTATGGTATTCTAACTTATTGACTTTTTCCTTTCTTGATATTAGAATGAAATTCTGAATGGTATCCGAGTTATCAAACTTTATGCTTGGGAATCCGCCTTCTTTGAAAAGGTATGAAAATATATTGAATATATATATTAACTTTCTTGATCTTTGTATTCTGACATTCTTTTTTTTTTTATCGACATATAGATCAGCTTTATTAGAAATGATCTCGAATTGGCCATGCTTAAAAAGATTGGTGTTCTTTCAGCTGTACAAAACTTTACCTGGACTTCTATTCCTTTCTTGGTATCTCTTTCATCTTTTGCCTTGTTTGTGATGACCGCTGATCGACCTTTAACTAGTGAAATTGCATTTGTGGCCATTTCCTTGTTCTCTCTCCTCCAATTCCCTTTGGCAGTATTCCCTAATGTGATCACCTCGACTATCGAAGCATCCGTATCTCTTTTCCGTATTGAAGGTTATTTATCATCTGAGGAATTGGATCCCAATGCGGTAACTCGTGAAGATTATCGAACTCAAGATGATTGGACTCTTGATACTCCTTTACTTGAAATCAATAATGGTACCTTCAAATGGGCCAAAGAAGATGCTCAACCTGTTTTGGAAAATATCAATATTGGAGTGAAAAAAGGCGATGTTATGGCTGTAGTGGGTCGTGTTGGCAGTGGTAAGTCCTCTTTGATGAGTGCTATTCTTGGTGACACTGTCAAGGTGAATGGTCAAGTCATTGTTCGTGGTTCTTTGGCCTATGTACCTCAACAACCCTGGGTTATGAATGCTACTGTTCGGGAGAACATCACCTTTGGTCATCGTTTTGATCCTGAATTCTACGATCGTGTCTTGGAAGCTTGTTCTTTGAAAACTGATATCCAAATCTTATCTGCTGGTGATCAAACTGAAATTGGGGAACGTGGTATCAATCTTTCAGGTAAATAAATATATAGTAAATAATAAATATAGGATCTAAATTTACAAAAATTCATTAGGTGGTCAAAAGGCTCGTGTCTCTTTAGCTCGTGCCATTTATGCTCGTGCAGATATTTATCTGTTGGATGATCCTCTCAGTGCTGTCGATGCTCATGTAGGTCGCCATATCTTCGATCATGTGATTGGCCCTGATGGTATTTTGAAGAATAAGACTCGACTTTTGGTAACACATGGTATCTCGTATCTTCCCAAAGTGGACAAAGTGGTAATGCTTCGTGATGGTCAAATTGCATTGAATGGTGCTTATGATGATTTGATGGATCAACGTACTGAACTTTATGCTCTCATGACTGATTTTGGTAACCAAGTGAATAACAAGAACCACAGTGATGATGATGATGATCAGGATACGGATGAAACGTTGGAAAATAGTGGCCTTTTGGATGAACATGCTACTGCTATTGGGCAAAATGAAGAAGAAGCTTCTCTCAACAAGGATACGGAATTAATGCGACGTGAAAGACTCAACAGTGTCAGTAGTATGATGAGTGTGCAAACCTTACGTCGAGCATCTGTGATGTCTCTCAACAAGAAGAACAAGAAGATATTACAACAAGATAAAGAACGTTTGATGACCATCGAAGAAGCTGCCAAGGGTAGTGTCGATAGCAATGTATACAAGCAATATGCCAAATCCTGTTCAGCCATTGGTGTGGCTGTGGTCTTGATCTTCCAAATTTTGGCACAAGTCGCTCAAGTTGGTTCTAATCTATGGTTAAAGGAATGGAGTAACAGCAATCAACAACATCAAGAAAATAATCGTGTTTGGATGTATCTCGGTATCTATGCTCTTATTGGTTGGTCATCTACCATCTTTTCTGTCATTCAAACTTTGACTCTATGGGTTACTTGTGCTATTCGATCTGCCAAGGTACTTCATTCTGAAATGTTGGATACTGTTATTAGGTAAAGTATATATAAAAGACAATACGGAGAAATTTATTGTTATTTACCCATGTCCTTTTTTATTTATTTCTATCTATATTAGATCACCTATGTCTTTCTTTGATACTACACCCTTGGGACGTATTTTGAATCGATTCAGCAAAGATCAACATACTGTGGATGAAGTCTTACCTCGTGCCTTTGGTGCTTACTTCCGGTAAAGAAAAAAAAATCTGATTTTTCTTTTCTACGTACTAATAATTGTATTTCTTCTCTCATTTCCTAATAAATAGAGTCTTATTCTCTGTTGTTGCGACAATTGGTATCATTGCCTTTTCTACTCCGTTTTTCTTGGTATTGATCATTCCTCTAGGTAAGCAAAAAAATAAAAAAATAAAAAAAGATAAGAATACATATAATGGATTCTGAACTTTTTTTTTTATTTCTATATTGAAAGGTTTCATCTATTTGTATGTTCAACGATACTACCTTGCTACATCCCGTGAACTCAAGCGTTTGGATTCCATTGGGAAGAGTCCTGTGTATTCTCACTTCCAAGAAACAATTTCTGGGGTATCCACCATCCGTGCTTATGAACAACAAAATCGGTTTACTTATGAAAATGAAGTCAAGTTGGATGACAATCAACGTGCCTATTTCCCTTCAATTTCCTGCAACCGATGGTTGGCTGTACGTCTTGAATTCCTTGGTTCTATTATTATTTTCGGTGCGGCCATCTTTGCAGTGATTGGTGTATTGTATGGAAGTCAGTCTTATATTGATCCTGGTCTTGTTGGTTTGAGTGTCTCATATGCCCTTAGTGTCACCCAAGCCTTGAACTGGGTTATTCGTGCTTTTTGTGAAATTGAAGTAAGTTTGTAACATGCTTTAGTCTATAGCAATGCTGACTCATCATCATCTTTCCTTTTCCTCTCTCTCTCTCTCTCTTTTTTTTTTTTTTTTTAATAGACAAATGTTGTTTCTGTTGAACGTATCAAGGAAGTAAGTACACATATTATACGTACTCGTTTATTACATGCAAAGATAGAATAATACATACTAACTTCAATTTTTTTTTAATAGTATATTGATCTTCCACGTGAAAAGTATGATTCCATTCGAGGTGTTAGTCCCATGTGGCCAGAAAAAGGTGAAATTGAATTCAACGGCTATGCTACTCGATATCGTGCTGGTTTGGATCTTGCTCTCAAAGATGTTTCTTTCAAGATTGCTCCCAAGGAAAAAATTGGTGTTTGTGGAAGAACTGGTTCTGGTAAAACAAGTTTAACTCTCAGTTTATTCCGTATCATTGAAGCTGCTCAAGGCAATATCACAATTGATGGCATTGATATTTCGACGTTACGTTTGTTTGATCTTCGGTAAGAAAATGAGAAGGATGAAGGAAGTAAAGAGTTAGAAATTGACATTTTTTTTTTGTTTCTAGGTCTCGATTAACCATCATTCCTCAAGATCCTGTCTTGTTTGCTGGAAATGTTCGCGAAAATTTGGATCCTTTTGGTACCTGTGAAGATGCGGAAATCTGGCAAGCGTTACAACATGCACATCTTAGTGATCATATTTCAAAGATGGACGGAAAATTAAACGCTACTGTTTTGGAAGGTAATTATCTTCATAGGATAGGATGAATGAGGTTGATGAGAGAAATTATATTGACATGAATATTTTTTTCTTTTTTTTTTTTTTTTTTTTTTTTAGGTGGTGAAAACTTCTCGGTGGGTCAAAGACAACTTATTTGTTTGGCACGAGCTCTTCTCCGTCGTACTTCGATTCTTGTTTTGGACGAAGCAACTGCAGCTGTAAGTAAATTCAATGTTGATTTCCTTATATATATATACAGATGTATATATGACAGTGATTGATCATTCCGTTTTTTTTTTTTTTTTTTTTTTATAATAATGTATATGATAGATTGATGTTGAAACAGATGCCATCATTCAAACCACTATTCGAGAACAATTCAAGAATTGTACGATCATCACCATTGCCCATAGAATCAACACTGTGATTGATTCTGACAGGTAAATTTAAAAATATATACATGTATTAAAGGAAATAATATATCTAATTGATCTTTAATCTATGATTTAGAATTCTTGTACTCGAAAAGGGCTCTATTCTTGAATTTGACTCTCCTCAAGTATTACTTGCCAACAAAGAATCTTCCTTCTATTCCATGTCAAAGGAAGCTGGTCTTGTCGAATAGACGTATATTTTGTTTTTATTATATTTATTAGTCGTAGTAGTAGTCTATTTATTGTTATTGCTAGTTTATTGTTATTTATTATGTTATGCTTATATAGACTCTCTTTTTTTGGAATAAAAAAAAAGATCCGTGTGTAGTTAGTTATTTCTATCATTTATTATTGTTAAAAAATGAATTCGAGTTATCAGATTTGTACTTGTTATAAATTGACACAAAAATAATAAAATGAAGCAATCCCCAAACAATAAATTGAGAATGATTCTATATAAAAAAAAGAGCGTCTTTATTGAATACAATTTATATAAACAAGATGATGATAATAAAAACAAAAAGATGGATGGAATAGTGGATGAATATGTATATAAAGAAAAAAAATAACAAAGGGAGGAGGATGAATGATAATAATCGTAAACAGTAATAAGTAGGTGAGATGGGAGGGGGATCTATCTAAAGAAGTCTACTATTTGTTTCTAGCGTAATATTCGTAGGCCAAAGAATGAATTTCAGGAGGGAAAGGAGAAGGAATTTCGGATCGACCAGGTCTTGAGATGGGGGATCGTAAAAAGACAGTTTGACAGGTGTTATAGTTGACTTCGAGGTATTCAGGCACGAACAAGAATGGTTGTGAGAATGGTTTGAGTTCGAATGATAATTCGGTTCCCTTTTCGCCCTTGAGCATTTGAATTGCTTGAGGATCTACTGTGATCATATCGCCGTCTTTGAGTTTATGTGAAGGATATGTGAGCTATACACAAAAATAAATAAATAAATAAATAAATAAATGAAAAAATAATTCATCAATAAAGAAATAATATATTACCTTTTTGCCATTGACTAACACTTTGCCATGAACACAAAGTTGACGAGCAGCATAGATGGAGGAGCAAAAGTTGGATCGGAACACCACAAAATCCAATCGTCTTTCTAATTCGGCAAATGTCAATACAGATACAGGAGGATGAGGCACTGATTGTGAGGCAGCATTGACAGTAGGTAATTTGGCATCGAAGAATTTGGTCTTGAATTGTTTTTCAGTGAGTTCATCGCCATGATAGGCCCGTGTTTCGCGCTTAGCTAGCCATTTTTGCTGGAAGAGTGTCTTTTGATGTAAATTGGGAAGTTCTTTGCTGGCCATGTTAAACAAATTGTACTTGTTCCATGACATGCGTACTAATTTACGAGATAATGAATACACTGGTTTCCGCATGGTTGTAGATATATAGAATAAATAAGAAAAAAAAGAAAGGAAAGAGGGGAAAAAAATGTCAAAAAATAGAGGGTTCCCTGGCGGTTAAGGAAAACAAAAAAAAAAAAATCAGCAAAAAAGTCACAGGCTGGCACAAGATGTCTTGTGTCAGGAACATAAAAAAAAAAAAAGATCGGAGCATGAACATAAAATCATATAAAATCACTAATAAGAAACGTGTTCAAAGCATAATATAACATATTGGATGTATCGACATTTGAAAATGATCATATTGCTGTCGTACTACTGATTTTTTCCTTGTGGATTGTGTTTATCTACTTCTTTTCTGCGCTATGATTAGAGCCTTGTTTTCATCAGTGCTCGAGTAGATTTGCGATGATCCTTTTTTTTGTATCGTGGAAATGGATTATGAGAAAAATGACAAATGCATGATGGATGATTTATCGTTTCCGAAAAGAAAAGTTACAGTGTACAACTTTCCAAAAAAAAAAAAAAGAAATCTCGTTTGATTCAATCCATGGAAATTCCCTTGGATTGCTCCCTTATTTATTCCACCAATAACATCACATTTCATCCTTTTTGCATTGGTTTATCTATTCATTGATTCATTACTACTATCTTCAAAAAAGGGAGAACTAAGAAAAAAAAATATGAAGCAAAACAAAGAAAATGTTGTCCATTTCAGTTGATTTAGTAAAAAAAAAGAAGGACGATTGTGATTTATCCTTTTTCCTTTCAAGTACATCTCTCTTTCTCTTTCTCTCTCTTTTTTTTTAAATGATGATGATACACTAATACTGATATATACTTTTTTATTTTCTAAATATGTTATTTCTTGGAATACCAAGTAGATAGTAATGAGGTTAAATCGAGGGATGATGATTTCAAGTGAAATGAGGAGGGTCAAAACATGAGAGTGTTCTCTTGCATGAATGTCAAAAAGCCACAGCGGTGTTTAAACCATACCTTTTTGCAACACCTTTTTCTTTTTTCGACTTCTCTTTTGCTCTCCCCTTTCACTTCTTTTTTTTTTATTTATTTTCTTTCTTTTAGATCAAATCGACATGGTCAAACCTTCCTCTAACCATCCTTCCACAAAAGCCAATAGTACACAAAATGGATTTTCACATAGAAAAAAGAATACAACCAAAGCACCAGCATTACCGGAATCATGTGGGAAAATCAACAAACGTATCCGCGATCTGAAACGAACTCTTTCAAAGGTATAAAGGAATAACCATTTTGAAACTTATCAAGAAAAAAAAGAAAGGTAGAGCTTTTATTAATATATTTATATAATGTGTAGGCGAATGTATCACCCAAAGCTAGAGTGGAATCTGAACGACGTCTTATACAACTCAAATATCTTTATGGTGAACGAAAGATTGATGAAAAAGAAAAAGAAATGGCCACCAAATACCACGCTATCAAGCATTTTGGTAAAATAATTGGAAAAATAAAAAGATATATATATATAAATCTAACCAACAATTTTAAAATGATAGAACGTAAGAAGGTTCAACGGAAATTGAAAACTGTACGAAAACAGATTGATGAGACCACAGATAAGGAAAGTTTGGAGAAATTGGAAAATAAATTACAGGAAATACTTTTAGACGAAATGTACATTAATGTAAGTTAAAACATGAAATAAAAAAAAAAAAAAAAACTCATTATCTAATGACCCTTTTGTTTTTTTTCTTGGATGAATCATATTTAGCATTTCCCTAAAACCATTCCTTACGCATCACTTTATGCAACCACAGAAGATGATAGTAGATCAAGCAAAAAACAAGAAATTAGACAACAAATCAAACAAGTAATGGAAAAAGGAACTGGATTCGATGATTTCCAAGCTACTTATCGACAACAATGGAGGGCAACTTTGATTAAACAAGGTATTATTGAAGATGCAACACCGGTGATGGATGAACTTATTGAAACGACTGAAGATACCAATACTGCTACTGAATCTGATCTTAAGGATGATTTCTTTGAAACATAGTAGTATAGTTTAGTTTAAAAATGACGTGATTAGATAGTTTATGAATAATAATAAATTTTTTTTCTTTTTCAATCAAATACCATGACCCCAACTCCTGGATTATTAATTTTTTTTTTGTTACTAGAAAATCCGCGCTTAGTGACACGTTTTTTGCCTGAATTATTCAGCAAACTACTGCATATAAATCATATAAAAAGAGACAGATTTGGATTTTTCTTTTATTCTTTTATTCTTTACTTTTTCAACCAAAACAAACAAACTTTTATACCATGTCTCTTCCTATTGCTGCTCAAAACAAGAACTTACCTGCTGGTACTCCTTTAGATGATGCTGACAAGAATAAATCTCTTTTATTCTCTCCCATTACTACCAAGGTAACAATGAAATGAAAACTTTCAACTTTTGTATCATACTAACCTTCTCATGTCAAAAATAGTCTGTCACTGCTCATAATCGTATTGTTGTTGCTCCCATGTGTATGTACAGTGCTGAAAATGGTTACATGAATGACTTTCACTTTGCTCATCTTGGAGCTTTTGCTTTGAAAGGTGCTGGTAGTGTCATTATTGAAGCTACAGCGGTGGAACCTCGAGGTCGTATTTCTCCTCATGATCTCGGTCTTTGGGAAGATGGTCAAATTGTACCTTTGAAGAGAACTGTGGAATTTATCAAGGCTCAAGGATCTGTACCTGGTATTCAATTGGCGCATGCTGGACGTAAGGCATCCATGGGTTCTCCATTTGCTGGCTATCGTTTGTTAACTGAAGAAGAAGGTGGATGGCCTCAAGATGTCGTGGCCGCTTCTGATATTCCTTTTGATGATAAACATGCTCAACCTCGTGCCCTCACTCTTGTTGAAATGAATGATATCAAACAAAAATGGGTCGATGCTGCTATTCGTGCTGATAAAGCTGGTATTGAACTACTACAAATCCATAGTGCTCATGGGTAAAAAAAAAAAAAAAAAAAAAAGAATATATGAAAATGATAGTTCTAAATGATTCCTTTATTGTTCATTTATTTAGTTATCTCTTGCATAACTTTTTGTCTGGTAATTCCAATCAACGTACTGATCAATATGGTGGATCTCTTGAAAATCGTCTTCGTTTCCCTCTTGAAGTCATCAAGGCCATACGTGATGTCTGGCCAGCCGAAAAACCATTCTGGGTACGTCTCTCCTCCACTGATAACAAGTATGCAGATTCTTTTGCCAAGGATGAAAATGGATGGGATATCTATCAAGCTATCGAATATTCAAAGGAACTCAAAAAAATTGGTGTAGATGTTATTGATTGCTCTTCTGGTGGTATTTTGGCCAATGCCAATGTAAGAAAAAAAAAAAAAACGATCAATGTATAAAAGGATTTAGCAAGAGAGAGCAAGTATCGCTAACCTATTTTTTTTTTTTTTAAATATATAATATAGTATTCCGGTGCTGGACCATGCTGGCAAGTTCCCTTTTCGGAAATCATCAAGAAAGAAGCAGGTATCCAAACTGGTGCTGTTGGTATTATTACTAAAGGTTCTGAAGGTGAATCCATTTTACAAGAAAACAAAGCTGATTTCATCGGTGTAGCAAGAGAATTTTTGCGCAACAGTGGTTTTGTATTAACAGCTGCTCGCGAACTCGGTATACCTGTCAAATGGGCCAATCAATATGAACGTGCTGATCGAGAAAGACATATCCCCAAATCCAAAGTTTAAATTTGGTTATTCATAGAATAGATTTATAGATTAGACACACCTTGTTATTTATTATTATTACTGTTATTAGAAATAAAACAATTTGTATGATGATTTGTAAGATATATATGTGTAGAGAGAGACATGGTCAAAATTTTTATTATTCACTCTTCTCTTGTCATCCATCACCCAACAAAGACCTATTCCACTTCTTTCACGTCGCCTTTGAATATGCATACATATTTTTTTGGAATTGGTTCATCTTTGAAACACCGTCGTTCACCTGATGCAGCACACACAGAAAAAAAAAAAAAGCCGAAAAAGGATAAGACGGTTCATTCCCCACTTCTTTTTCTTTTTTTTTCTCTCTTTCTTTATCGATTTTTACTTCTCCTTGAATGCTACCATTATATTTTGTTACTTTGTTACTTTTATTCAAATTTGGTATACAAGCAGAGTATCAACATTCCTTTCAGAAACCAGAAACCCAACCAGTGACTTTAACCCTCAAAACTATATACCATCATTCTTCACCCAATGGTCCAATACCTCGACTTTTTAGAAGACTTGATATCAATCAACAATATCAACAACAGTACCATCAGCATTTAAGACCTTCCTCCTTAAACGTCTCACCCATAGTAGGACAGTATGAAAAACTCTCTCAACCTGCTAAGAATTTTTTGATACAACGGTCTACCACCTTATCAACCAGCAGTTATCAACCAAAAAGGATACGATGGAAACACTTGACGTCATTAACACCATTTAATAATGATCTTCTTAAGGAACCAACTTGGGGTCTTATTCCTGACGTGACACATAGACCTACTATTCTTACTTTGGGTTTAATGACAAATAATGCCTATTTTGAAGCGGATAATAGAACGGATTGGTTTGATCTTGGTGCGCCATGGCGATTGGTAAGACATATATGTATATATAAATAAATAAAATGAATAACTTGATATACCTTATTTTATAGAATTCTTCTTTTGGATGGGAATCAGATGGTGTACGTGGACATGTGTTTGGAAATCAAGATGATTCTTTACTTGTGATCAGTTTCAAGGGAACTAGCGTAGGTGTATTGAAGAATGAACCTACAGGTGAAAAGGACAGAATCAATGTAATTTGAAAAAAATATATATAATGGAATGAATAGTATGATGATTTGATTCTAACGTTTCTTTTTCTTTTTATTTAATAATAATAATAAAAAAAAAAGGATAATATGCTTTTCTCATGTTGCTGCGCACGTATTAGTCGAGCTTGGTCTCCTGTTTGTGATTGTTATCAAGGAAATGAATATATATGTGAATCCGAGTGCTTGGAAAAGAACATTTTGAAAACAGAATTTTATTATGATCATGCTATGGTATGAATTCCTCTTTTTTTTTTTTTTTTAAATAATAATAATGATAATAATATTAATTTGTATCTCTGATATTCTTTTCTCTCTCTTTCTTTTTTTTTTTTTTTTTTTTTTGGTAGGCAATATACCTAGAAGTAGCAAATCAATACCCGGATGCAACTATATGGTTGACAGGTCATTCTCTTGGTGGATCATTAGCCAGTTTAGTAGGACAAACATTTGGTATACCTACCATTTCATTTGAAGCTCCAGGTGATCAACTTGCTTCCAATAGATTACATTTACCACATTACAAAAATATGCCTCTATGGCATTTTGGTCATACTGCAGATCCTATTTTTGTGGGTGTTTGTACCGGTCCTAGTAGTAGTTGTTGGTAAGAGAATCAAAAAAAAATAAAAATAAAGATTCTTTAATGCTTATGTTTCCATTTTAGGTATGGAGGATTTGCTATGGAATCAAGATGTCACACTGGAAAGGTAAAAGGAAAAAAAAAAAAGAAGGATAAAAATGGAAATGAAAGTCAACTTATTCCTTTATTATAGATGTGCGTATGGGATACAATACATGATAATGGATGGCGACTTGATTCTCGAACACATAGAATTTTGGATGTAATTGAAAATATTTTGAACAAAACAGAGGAATTCCCATTACCAAATTGTAAGAAAGAAGTGGATTGTGCGGACTGTGGACTTTGGCACTACGACGATAGAAGGGATGGAAATCATACAATTACTCCTACAGCAACATCTACTCAAACAGCCACTGAACCTCCTGATGATCCTTGGGCCTTTATTACTTGATTACTTTTAAGTTTGAAATAGTTAGATAGTTAGATATTCTTTTTTTTTTTTTTCAATAAAGCATTCTTTTGGGTATTTTTTTTTTTTTTGGGATATGATTCCTTTTTTAGATTTCCTGCAGCTCAATCGTTCTATTTATGAATAATAATAATAAAAAAAAAAAACTTGTTTTTCTTTCTTTTCTTTTTCTTTATTTACCCAATTTTATCTATTACCCCCTATTTCTCCTTACCCTTTTCACTCTTTTTTTTTTTTTTTACTTGTATCACTGGCATGACAACACCTTCTCCAGAGTCATCATATGAATCTTGTGGTGAAGTAAGCAGGTCTTCTCTTTCCGACGATCAATATTGTTTCTCTGATTATGATTTGAATATGGTTCAAGACGCTTTACGAAATCCTCATGCTTCTGAATTTCAAGATCGCTTTGATTATACAACACAATTGAAAACAGACGAAGAACAGGACGATGATACTAGTGATAATGACAATAACGACTCCAGTCAAGTTTGTTTGGCAACAGAACATAGTGAAAAACCTCCTTCTGTTCTACCTTCTACTTCTTTATCTTCTTCATCGTCTTCAACTATTGACGAAGACGACGATGATGACGATACTGATATTGATACAGCTATTACCAGTCCAACAGCATCAAAACATCATCACTTATCTTTATCATCAGTTGTCTCCGAAGGATTAAATAGAAAGCCAGTTTTAACCCAACTATCACCTCAACCCATCCTTACAACAAATATCAAGAATCAACGAAAACGATCTTCTACTCTCTCAGCTTTATCTTCTTCTACAATAAAGACACATCCTTACCGTCGTCGTGCAACATCAATACTTATCTCTAGCCCTATTACCCACACGGACGATATCCATTTGACTTCTCTGACGCTTGACGATATGTGCAACCAATATCCCAATGCCGAAGGTGTTTGTCCAACCACATTGTCATCCAAAGACCAACATCCTCATAACTCCGATCGTAAGGTATCACCATCCACTGACCATCGTATTTCTGTAGAACGACCTTCGGATGTATTTCGGAATAGACAAAGCAAACGTATCTATGCATACCAACATGGTGGATCAAAATCTGGATCAACAAACTCACCCACTGAACCAATTCAACATGATAACGATTCAGCACAACAATTAGCACTCAAAGAAGAAGTGACAAACAATTTGACTCAACTAAAGGAAACATCATCTACAGATATGTATGACTGGGGTAAGTTTTAAGTCGTTTTTATCCATTGTCATCTTATTCATTTTTTTTTATTATTAGAATTTTGGGCTACGGTAATTCATCAATTCGATACGGTAAATCAACAGCAACATCAAATATTACGAGATCATATATGTATTGGTATGCCTCCATCACTTCGGGGAATGCTCTGGCAAATCTTTTCAAAATCACGACATAACAGCGATACCATTGAATTGGAATACCGGGAATTACTCAAACGCGTCAGTCCACATGAAAAAATCATTCAGAGAGATTTGGCTCGAACGTTTCCTACACATGCCTTCTTTCGAAAACGGGATGGTGGTGGACAAGAGATGTTATTCAATGTCATCAAGGCCTATAGTTTGTTTGATCCTCAAGTAGGATATTGTCAAGGATTACCATTTGTTGTTGGATGTTTATTATTACATGCAAGTATAAAAAAAAGTTACTATTATAATATTCATAATTAGAAATCAACCTTTGGCTAACTTAATTTATCATCCAATTAGATGCCTGATGAAGCTGCTTTTTGTGTTCTTACTAATCTGATGAACGATTACAAGATGCGTGCCTTTTTCACTCCTAAGATGGAACTCCTTCATGAACGTATGTTTCAATTCGATGAACTTTTATTAACCCATCTTCCTCAAGTTCATCGTCATCTCGAAGCTCAAGGGGTCCGACCTACAATGTACGCATCACAATGGTTTATGACACTCTTTGCCTATCGATGTCCTTTGGAATTGGTATTTCGTATCCTTGATATGGTTTTTATTGAAGGCACTTGTATCATTCTGAATGTGGCTTTGGCTTTGATGAAGAAGAATCAGTCTACTTTGCTCAGTTTGGAATTTGAAGGTTTATTGGGTTTTTTGGGTAGTAATGTGTTTGATGTTTATCAGGTAATTATATATCTTTCAACTGTTTTTAATTCAAGCGTTCACTTTTTTTTTTCTCTTCTACTTCTCTTGTTAGGATGATGCGTCTGAACTTGTAAAGGATTCTTATCAATTCAACATTTTACCACGCGAATTGGCGAAACTATCCAAGCGACATACAATCAAGGCAGCACAAGAAGCAAAAGTACAAGATAAAGAAGATCATCTACGACAAGAGAATTACGAACTATCACAACGAGCCAAGAAACTGGAGAAATCGTATAAATCTTTAGAGAAGGAACATGAAGAATTGGCAAGACAAGTGATTGAATCTAAAATGGCCATGGCAAGTGCAAATGATGAAAATCAGCGATTACGACATGAGGTAACTCTATTGGATCAACGGATACGTCAAACAAAACATGAAGGCGAACTTTGCAAACAAGACGAATTCAATAGACTGGCCAATGAAAATACCCAATTAGTACAAAAGAATGCTCAACTGGAAGATCATTTGGCTGAAGTGGAATCTACATTGATCGAATTCAAAATGAAGTATGCTCAAAGTGAAAATGAGTATGAACAAATGAAGAAAACCTTAAGTCAAATCAAGAAAATCAGCAGTTAGTTAGTTATTTAGTTAGTTATTCCTTTTTTTTTTTTTTTTTTTAGACTACCATCCGTGATATCCTTTTCAATATACAGAAAATAAAGTTTTTGTCTTCCCTTTTTACATTTTTATCATGTTGTCAAAGCGTTTTCCCTTTTTGAAATCCAGCATGATAGTTTTTGTTTTCAGCCACTTTTTTTTTTTTTTTTTAGTTCTTTTTCTTTTCTTTTCTTTCTTTCTATTTTTCTTTTTTTTTTTTTTTTTTTTGCAAGCGAGTTCAAAACCATATATACACAACAAACATGGCGATAGACGAGATAACTGATATGAATGATCTATCTTTGGATGATAAATGGGCTCCTCAATTGGGTTATGCTGAAGATCCAGAAACACCATTGACGGCAGATACCTTTCCTAGCAAATCAGGTGGTAAACCTGTAAGTATGATCTTTTACTCTTCTTATTTTATATAGATCTAATCCTTTTTTTTTATATCAATGTTATAGGCATGGTTGAATCCTGAACATGTTTTGAATGTGGATCAAGTAACTTGTACTAATTGTGATCAACCCATGGTATTATTGGTGCAGGTAAAAAACATATCAATAATATATTCCAAGTACGATCTTTATATTCATATAAACCCTTTCTTCAATAGCTATATACTCCTGAAGATCATCCACCTCAAGCTTTCCATCGTACTGTATATGTCTTTTGTTGCAAGAATGGTGCTTGTGTCAAACAAGATTGGACAAAATGGTAAGCCTTTTAAACATAAAAATACATGGTAGAAAGGAATACGAGAGTAAAAAAAAAAAAAGAAGAAGATACCTAGCTCACATGGATTATCTATTCATCACTCTTTTAGCTTCAAAGTATTCCGTAGTCAATTACCTCGCGAAAACCCTTATTATCCACCACCACCCAACGAAGACGGTGAGGACGATGAAGAGATGAGTTTTGTGGCAAAGGAATTCAAGGCACCCAAACTCTGTGTTATTTGTGGTATGGCTGGACCAAAGGCATGTGGACAATGTCAATTAGTCAATTATTGTTCTCGAGAACATCAAATGGTGGATTGGAATATGTGTCAACATAAACAACATTGTAAATCGTCGTCATCATTAACACAACAGCAACAACAACGTATTGATCAATTACGGAAAACTCGGGTTTTTGCTGAAAAGGAAATTGCTAGTGAACCTGAAGGAAAGGGGGAAGATGGGGAAGAAGAAGAAGCTCAGGCTGCATTTAGTCAAGCGAACCAGGATACATCATCAACGACAACAACGGCATTGGTACCAGCTGGTGAAGAAACTGCTGAAGATTCCAAAGTGACAGTGGATGATTGCTTTTTACGCTTCCAACTTAAATTACAACTGTATCCGGATCAAGTCTTGCGATATGATCGTGTGGAATATGACATGCCGGATCGTGAACCTTTGTGGGTACAAGAACATCAAAGGCCGACAAATATCCCTCCCTGTGTCAAATGTGGTGGTCCTCGTACATTTGAATTCCAAATCTTATCTACCTTACTCAACTTTTTGGATGTGTCTCATCTTGCTACTGATTCTCTGGATTGGGGTTCTTTATATATTTATTCTTGTAAACATAATTGTGATGTTGGTGATCAGGTATTTGTACCTGAATTCATTTGGAAACAAGACTTTTCTACAGATAGTATGAACTTTGGCGGTCCTGCTTGATCATGGTCTTGGTTTTTAGATAGACTTTTTTTTTTTTTGTACTTTAGATTAGGGAATAGTTTAGTTGAGTGGATTGACTCTCTTGTTTTGGATTTAATAAAATGAATCATCATTTTGATACTATGATTATTATTATTATTATTATTCTGAAAAAAAAAGGTGATATATCTTTTGAAGTTTTATCTTTTATGAAAATAAAAAAAAATCAATGTTATTCTATGAAGATATCTGTTTCTTTGAGTTCACTCGATCAGGCCTGTCACATTTGTTAGTTGACAAGTTGTCTCTGAATGGATCTGCTTCCAATTTTCTCTTTTTTTTTTTTTTTTTTTTTTTTTTTGGTTTCATACCCATCTTTTAACTAGATGATGATAAACTATCATCCTTCCTTTTTTGATACAGTACATGTAAAGAAGAGATCATCCAATGTGTCCTGTAATACAGACAAAAAAAAAGTCCATGTTAAGCAAGAACTAAACAACTTTTGAAGAACTTGTGAAAATAAGACAGGGGAGAAGCAAAAGGCGTCTGATATACGCTTAATCGTACTCGGAAGCAGTTGTGTTCAAAATACAAAAAAAAAAAAAAAAAAAAGAGAGAGCATGCTTGATTTCTGTTGTAATAGACAGATGATCACAATGTAAATTTTTCAAACTGTATGAATACGACAGGTGATAACATCGCCAATGTATTATAAAATAGTCACCATGACTGATGCCCTCGATTTAGCAACGAATATTCATAGAAGTAAAAAGAAAGTTTCAGTCATGTGATGTATTCACTAAGAGAACATCTTTACTCTCCCTCACTTTTTCTATCAGTTTACTTGATCTCTCTCACGCACACACACATATCAGTCTAAAAGATGCCATTTATTTGATTCTACTATACGGAAAGTTGATCCATGCTTTTTTTTTAATTGAATTACTGCGGTATTTGAAACCATGGATCGTAAATGCTTCGTCCCCACTTTTTTTCATTTTCTTTTTCGAATTTTTTTGTTACTGGTATACATCTTATTCTATTCATATATCAAGATCAAATAGATAGCATGAACTCGTCATCACATGGGGATTCATCGTCACGACCATCTTCAGAGTCACTGCCATTAAGGAAATCAACTCGGGACTGGAGTAAACCGGTAAAAACTAGTGTACAAGATCTATCTTTGATTAGTCGAACATCTCACGGTGCTAATAATACGCCCAGGTAATAAAATAATAATAATAATAAAAAAAGATACGAAAATGAAACCACGATCATTCATATTTTTATATTATGATACCTGATAGTTTGAAAGACGTGAACTTGCAAATAGAACTCTGGAATGACATTTGTAAAAAGGTTTGTAGATCTTGATGGAAAGAAGAATGGACTAATACTTTTTTTTTTTGTGGATAACTTTAATATAGACAATGGAGATAAAGGATCCAACAGATATGAAACAATGGACAATGTTGGTGGGATTATTACGTAAATTACGTGAAGGTATATGGGCTACTAGATGGAGTAAAGGCAATTATCCCTTTGCCATTAAAGGTAAGTGATCGTTTTTTTGAATGAATGCATAATATTGATGCTTCCTTTTTTTTTTTTTTGATTATAGTTTATGAAGAATCTGTCCATACTAGGTAAGGTTTGATTTGGTTGCCAAGGACAGAATGATTGGATAAAAATAAGTATGACACATTTAACCATTAAATGTTGACTTTTTTGTATGACAGTTTGCGTGCAAAAGAATTTGGTGAATACAGAAAAGCGATTCGTGGATTGGTAGATGATCTGTACCATTTGCATAAGGTAAAAAAAAAGAAAACAAAAAAAAAAAAAACAAAAGGAAATATTCCAAACTGAAAAAAAAAGACACTAACCTATGTTTTTATATATATATATATATATATATATATTTATGCTTAGGGCATTAACGGACATTATTTGGCCTTGGATCTTATTTATCAATCTTGTCATTTACAACAACCTCAAGAAGCCATGCAATCATTGTATTTGATTGAACCATCAAGTATAACTCAAAAAGCTGAAGAAATCGTTTATGCAAAACAAGTCATCCATGCCTTGACAACCCACAATTGGATACAATTCTTCCGTTTGTATCAACATCCTCCTCATCCTGCATTCTCTGTTGTTTTGGAAGCAAGTATCGAACCATTACGGCGATATGCGCTCAAGGTCATGCAAAAGGCTTATTACTCTGTACCTATTCCTTGGGTGGCCCATTCTTTAGGTTTGATGCAACCATCTGATCACATTATTCCTCTTCTCCATAGTATATATCCCCTTAGAATAGATAGGATAGCAAATGATACCATTTATTTCTCAAAACGAAAATAAAAAAGAAAAATCACTCTTATTTAAAACGTAAATCAACTATGCATGTGTGTGAAGATCATGGGAAAGGGTGGGAAGAAAATGTGAAAGCATTGGACGATCTAAATAAATATACTGAATTTGGAAATATAAAAATGGTCGACTTTTGCTTTTTTTTTTCTTTATTTGGTTCTCTACTTTTTCTTTTCTTTTCTTTTCTCTCTTAATGCCAGCAACCACAACCAGTTTATTCTCATGGGGTGCTACACTTGGAGCAGCTGCTAGTGCAGCCTATGTGAATCGAAGGCAAAGTCAAGATGACTTGGACAACAAAGTAAGAAATTAAAATAAAATAACAAAAAAAAACGTTCTTTGCTTAACTTTGTCTTTTTGTAGACGAATCATAGACCACGGCATCAACAGCCACCTTCTATCAAATTCAATCCACATCGTCATGCAACTAGAAATAATGACATTCATATTTTGACTTTTGTGTTGGTCAAAGACTGACTTCTTGATACCCTCCCTTGTTAATTTATCAATAAAAAAAATATTTTTTTTTCTTCCAATTCTATTTACTTTTAAGTTATGCATCAAGAAGAACATTTTTATTTTGTAAAGTTCAAAAGAATAACATAAAAACAAATGAATCACTATATACTAGGGAGACACGGACATGACGGGATTACAAGTAGACGATCGTTTCATTTTTTGATTTGGAAAAGGCGATAAGGCTTCCACGGCAACTTGCACCTATCCGTTCAATAAACCAATCAATTAATATTCATTCTAACTTAGATTATCTTTTTTTTTTTTTTTTTTTTTTTTTTTTTTTTTTTTTTTTTTTTTTTTTACCCTTTTTGCCAGACGAGCAACAGTATTGTCAGCCAAGACGACTTCCCAAGCAAATTCAACACCATAAGTCAATTTGATCACATCCACAATATGCCTTGCTTCCATTTCACCTAATCCAATAAATGCATCAGCAGGAGACACTGGGATGGTTTCAGGATTATTGTCCAAAGCGTTCTGTACAAGTCGTAAAAGATGATGTTGCATACTATTGATGTCATTCGGATCCTTTGGTGTTGGTGCCAAAATATCAAATGGAGCACTGACTGCCATCACATTATGTTTGCCATCATGATGATACCGTAGTTCGTAAGTACCTTGTTCCCATGGAAGTTGATTGCCACCAAATGTCACCGTCCCGCGTTCTTGATCCGATGGTTGTTTTGCATGGATCATGCTAACAAGATGCTCCGCATCATTGGCCGATGAAAGGTCGATGGTTGTAGGTGAATCTTGATCATTGTTCTTTTTCTTCTTATGGATGGCCTTGGTTTTCATGCCGGTATCATCCAAAAGATCCGCGGCCCATTTCCATAATCCACGAGAACTGATATTGGTGACTTGTTTATTCTTGTTACTTCCTACCTTGTAAATACCAATCCAATCGCGCTCACCATGGTAACTAGGTGCTTCCCACACTGCTGAGATGGCTTGACCCAATTCATAGTTTGCATGATTACGTTTAACAGAGTACCTTGATAAATCATACATTTCAATATTCACCACTTGAGGAATCAATCTTGCACGTTGTGATTTGATCAATGATCTAGTTTCAGTCAGCATTTCTTGTAGCCTTGGTCGAGCTGTCGATATATATATATATAAAATAGGTAAGAGGAGTCATGTCTGATTATTTTTTTTTTTTTTTGTTTTTGTATTAACTTACCGGCATCCATTAATTCACCAACTACACCTTTTGTTTCTTCCATAGCCTTTTCAACCTTTTCAACAGTTTCTTTGACCATACGTTCAACACTTTTGGTGGTGTTCATAGCAGCTCGAAGTTCATGCTTTTCACGGATCAATTTAGCCACTTCTTGTTGTAACTTGTCAGGAATATTCTTGGGGATAGCAATGGCTGCAGATTTTAACGTTTTAGTCAAACCAGCTTCCTTTCGAATTTGATCACCATAAAGTTTGCGCATATGAGGACTAGTACATAAAAAAAAATTAAGATCAAAGTATAATTTTTTTAGAAGAATTTCTTATACTTACGCTTCAATGTAATGCAAGAACAAAAAGTTGGAGATTTGTGAAAATAAAGCCAAACCAAAGATAGTCCAACTATTGGCCATTAAAGTAAAACCCCAAAAAGCAGCATGACCCATAATTTTTTCTGGATTATTCAAGAAACGATAAATACCAGTGTACAATAATTCAGAAGGATGATCATCAAGGAAGAAATCACCATAGAACCAACCAAAATCTCCAAGTACTTCAAAGATAGACGCAGAAGTCCAAACATGAAGAGCAATAAAGGTCTACAAAAAAAAAAAAAAAAACAGTAATGTTAGAATAGAATGTTCCCTTTTATAATGATTCTTACCAAACCAAGAGTATGTCGTAATAAAGTAGTACCATAAGTCCAATCTTCAGGTAAAGAGTACATTTTCCAAGCAGCAACAATGAAGCTGATATACGTCATACATAAAGATAAATTGTAAATACTATATATATAGAAATAATAATAATAATAATAATAATGAAAGGTTAGTGTTGAATAGACGATTGGTCTATATCATTTTATTTACCTCTTCCAGTTGTGAAATGCTTCTTGAACACCACCACCCCATTTGACAAAGTGACGAGTAAAGAACTTATCTTGAGATTGAGCACGTAAGAGAGCACCAAGTCCATAAGAATGAATAATACGCCAGAAGAAAGCTTGTCCAACAGCAAAGATGATACCAATACGAGAAGGTAGCAATAAGGGCAAAAGAATAGCATAAGTCATGACCATAAAGGACACCAAATCGGTAGAGCGGAAAAAGTCAAAATTCTTGAACACAATCAAATCACGACGGAAGTAGGAAGTTGTCAGGTCATTTTGAGGATCTCCTTGGTCTTTGTTGGATTGATCATCATCATCTCCAGATTTCACCTTGGAAGGAGTCTGACGTTTAGGAACAGTAGGAGGATTATATGTTTTATCAATATCTTTAAAAAAATAAGAATAAAGTTAGTATTACTTTGATCAATAAACCAATAACTTACGAGGATTTTCAACAAAGACCAAGAACACAAACTGAAGAGCATGAGCTGCCATACTGACATAAAGGACTGTATAGCTTGCACACATCAAAGAAACACCATAGTAACCAAAATATCCAACAGAATACATAGGATGAGGAGCCATTTCAAATACACCATCAAAAGTTAAAGATTGTTCGATCAAGAAGAAAAAGTCACCCCAGTCTACAATTTTTTTTTTTAAAAAAAAGGAAAAAAAAGAAGAGAAAAGGGATTAATGATGTACTCATAATTTTTTTTTTTGAAAAAAAAAGGTTACTTACACCAGGCAAAATCTTTCACTACACGTTGGGCATCAATTTTGACCCAAATATTAAAAACCACCAGGAACAAACCACCACACCAACGTAAAGCGTCACCCATAATGAAAGATGATTGAGGAGAAGTATTGAACCAAGACAATGCAAAACACATATAGGTAGTAAAATCGTTCATCAGGATCACATCAACCAATTGACGATAAAGAAGCCAAGTATTGTATTCGATAGGAGCCGTCTAAAAATCATACACTATGAGTTAACCACAAAAAAAAAAAAAAAAAAAAAAAAAAAACTTACAGCATAGTCATAATCATCACCCATCTTGACAGACAATTCCCTTTTCAACCAATGATACGTTTTCGATTGAGGATCAAACAACTTGTACTTTTTCGCCATACGCACCAATCCACGACTATCACTTTGAAATTTGAGTAAAGCACCAAGACCCACATTGTAAGCCAATCGCCAAAAGGAAAACAGAGCCAGAAATAAGAATTGTTTTGTTCGGGTAGGCAATAAAAAGAACAAACTTATTTGGACCGCCATGATACCAAGTGTCAAAATATCAAAGAAACCTTTTTTCTGTTGAGGATCCAATAGAGTGGAGACCATTTCATGAGTGACTGGTACACGGAAACCTAAATGAATGAATATAGAATAAGGTTATATGTAACGCGTTTATTTCTTTTTTCTTTTATCTTATTTACCTTTTCCATCAGGAGTTTTGCCATAAGAAGAACGAACGGTCTTGTCTTTTTTCATGTCAATATCGTCATCCCGGAAAGAGGGTTCTACTGCTTGTTTATCTTGTTTGGAAGAAGAAGGATTGCGTTGACGCAATTCCGTATCGACCGTCATCCTATCTGTCTATCTTCTTTTTAAAGGAAATAAGGAAAAAGGAAGAGAGAGAGTGTGTGAGTAAGGAAAAAAAGAAAAGAAAAAAAAAAGAAAGAAGTAACTGGAAGGAAAAAAAAAAGGGGTCCTCTCCATATAGATATGATTGATGGCGTACAAACCCCGCTGATGGTTCAGAACCCGTTCATCTCTTTTTTTCTTATAATCACATGAGATCGAATGGGCCATCCAAAAAAAGTTTAAATGTTGGGGCATCACAATTTAAAAGACATGTAAAAAAAAATATCAATAAAAAAAAAAAACTAGCTTTCTTTATTTGCCATTGAAGATTTTCTACCATAAGCCCAATGAAAATTAACATAAGTTTTATATTCTACACATTCATCAAATGCACTATCTAAAAATTTGTTATAAATCATTTCATCATAATCTCCTTCTAATTCTAAACATGGCCATAAAACTTCTCCAAGTTGGCCCACGACACAGACAATAGACTATACAAAAAAAAAAAAGAAGTTAACTATATCAAAAAAGAATCTATCATAAATATAATACCTCGTAAAGCATTTTGCCTACATATCCACCCCAGCATATTGGTATAGAAATATAATCCCCTTGTACATCTTCTAAGCCAGCATCCAATAAGCATTGCTTGATCACGGGTCCATGGTATAATGATTTTTTATTTGACGTGATCATATCAGACACTTGTATAACAAAAAAAAAAAAAAAAAAATGGTGAGTGAAAAAAAAATATCCTTTCTATTATTATTTTACCAGCACTAGCTAAACGAGAATATTTTGGACCAACTTGTCTGGGTATCATATCAGGTTCAATCAATTCAATATATCCACCAGGTTTCAATAAATCGACCAATTCTAGGAATTTAGATTGCCTAAAAGCATCCATTCTATAGACGTTAAACATGAATCGTTGGTAAATATGATCAAAAGAAGCAAGTGGTAATCCAATATCCAGTAATACATCGATTCTTTTGAATTGACAATTGCTTGGTAGTTGTCCTGGTAAGGCGGATGGTGGAGATATTGGATTTGCTACTGGATTTACTTCTTGTATATCAATTCCTGTGAAATTTGCATTTGGGAATTCAGCCGCCATATCTATTTTTTTTTTTTTTTTTTAAAAAAAAAAAGAAGAATCAATGAGTTTTATCGTTATTATCTATATAGATGTATATTTTTTTTTTACCTATCAACCAAGTTGCAGTAGGACCACATCCAATATCAAGACATTGTGCTCCAGGCACGTTCAATACATTTTCCACAGGGGCGATCAAGTTGCGTTGAAAGACATGTTTGAAAAGATAATGAAGTTCTAGAAGTTGTTCAGCATTGTATTGTGATTGGTTAAAATAGTGGTCTGATTGACTTGACGACTTTGTTTGGTCACTAAAGGATGACCGAGAAGTATCTGTAATAGACACAGCACCTCTTTTCATTCGTTTTCGTTTTTTTGATATTTGATTTCCCATGTTATACGTTTTGTCACCCAAAAAAAAAAAAAAAAAAGAAAGGAAAAAAAGAATATTTAGTTTTCTTTCTGAAGGTTTTTTTTTTTTTTTGTTACACGATGAAGAGCGGTTTAAGAAAAAATAAAGAGACGACTATTGAAATTTGCTATTCGCCTATACCATTCGCTTTTATGCATGATTTTTCAAATATTATATAAATAAATCTATTAATCTATAGTTCAACTATAATAAGAAAAAAAAAATAAGAAGAACAATAAAAAAAAAAAAGAAGAAGAACGTGAAGAAAAAAAAGAGAGACATGATATCAAGTTCAGTTGTGTAACAACCTAAAAAAGGAGTCATGATTTTTTTTTTTATTTTGTCAAGAGAGCTATTGTACAAAAGAACAAAGAGAATAACTAATTATAGAGAAGGGAATACTACAGCAGAAGCAGACGAAGGAGAAATAAGAGATCTGGTTGACGTTTTGGCTAAACTAAGTAAAGGATCCTTGTATTCAATAAATCCAGTTCCATTGGTAGGTGTTGATCGAGAAGGATAAAATACAATAGGTTGTGATGGAAGTTTTTTTGGCGGAGGTGATGGCGATGATGATGATTCATAAAGGGTGTATGTAGGTTGAATAGGCACAGGCGGCACAGAAGGAGCAACAATATTTTGATCGATTGACGTTGTCACTCTGTGCGGATGATAAGTCATGCATGATCCACGTCCAAAATAAGATGGTAATGAATGATGAAGATGATTGACTGATTCCCTATTATCCAAAGAGGCTGATACCGGTCGAGAAGTCTGTTGACGTGTTGATTGTAATATATCAATTTGTTTATATACATCATTGGGCGTTTCCACTTTGGATAATACATGTAATGGAGAATGATTGTCGAAAGGAGGAGTTGGTAAATGTGGTACTGATAGTGGTGTCAATGAACGTTGATTATCGTGAATGATTTGAACATTTTTCCCTCGAATGGATCGATGATAATGAAGTAATGGTGATGACTGTCCATTTGTGTTATTGATACTATTGTAATGAGTTGACGTGTCATTGGCGGGATCTGTTGTTGTGGCGTCTTGGAAATATTGGATATCGTAACCTAAAAATTTCATTTCTCTTTGTTTGAGACATAATAACAAAAAAAAAAAAAAGAATATTATTACGATTTTACCTTGATGATCTTGTTGATTGCCTGATATCCAATTTTTCACTTCTTCTGAACGTTTTTTCTTGATGGGGGAATATCGATCAGTAAGTGGTATTGTCATGGATGCTGGACGTTGTCGAATTTGATGGTCGGTTGGAGAATCTGGATTAGTGACTTCGTGATCATTGAACACAATAGGAGTCGAGTGGCGAGTCTTGTGACACATAGGAGAAGGCATGGCCATTGATCGTAAAGATTCCCTCCATTCATCAATCCACTTTTCCTTTTCAGCTGATAGTACTGGAGTTGTATAAGCTGCCTCATATTCTTGACTATTCTGTTCTTGTTCTTGTTTTTGTTCTTGTTCTTGCTGTACTGGATGTTCAAGTGATGAAGGTCGACTTTGGTGAGGTGGAGGTGTAGGAGGATGAATGGCGTTACTATGAGTTACCAATGGTGGTGGTCTTAAAATTTGTTTCTGTTGTTGCGTCTGTTGTTGTTGTTCTTGTTGTTGCTGGTGTGTCTGTTGTTGTTGTTGTTGTAGTTGTTGTTGTTGTTGTTGCTGTTGAGACCATTTCCAAGCTTTTGTCAAGATAAATAACCAACGGTCTAAATCTTTGTGTTTACGAACTTTCAAAAAGTAACACCGTTTATCTTCAGTACGAATACAAAAACAATTGCGTTGTTGTTTTTCATTAGCAGCCAAAATAGAGATAGAAGTGACTTGTAAGAGATTAATGGACCATATAGGTAATTGATAGTGACTTGCCATTACTATATTTTCTTCAGTATAAGGTTGTTTTGGAGTAGCCAAAAGAGGAGAAGTAGGAGAAGGAGTATTGGAATTATCTTCAGAGTCTTGTTCTATTGGAGTATTACAAGGAAGTTTGACCTTACGAGTTGAGAGACAAATAAAAGAATATCCGTCGAAACGAAAGAGATGCCATTTCCACTTTTGTTTATCAGTATACCAATAGAGATAACCTTCATAAATAGGAACAGTAGCAGGTACTTCTTCAATATTTTTAAAAATATCATCTTGTTTTTGAAAAGATGAAAACATTGTAAGAATAGTTCTAACAAGAAGAAGTATATTCTTATGTAAATAAATAAATAATAAAAATAAAGGCAGAAAAAAAGTTAGGAGGCAAAGAAAAAAAGTGAAAAAAAAGGTCCTCTTAGTAACTTTTTTTTTTGTAACTTGTTTCTGCATTATGAATGAAACTCAGCGGTATGCTTTTTTTGCTTAATTTCATGAATATGACACTTATTATAAATGTGAAGGAATCATCATCATTAATAAGTAAACTTTTAGTTTGATCATTTTTCAAATTCCATGTTTTAGGTACAATCCCTTTTTTTTTTTTTTTTGTATTCCTTGTTCTCTTTTGTTGTATCACATATCTTTTTTATCTCCTCCAGCTGAAATTTATTTTGTAAATACACAAATCGACCTAAACAATTTTTTTTTTCTTTTTTATTTTTTTCTTTCTCTTTCTTTCGTTTTCTTTTCTTTTCTTTTCACTATTTTAAATAAAAAAAAAAGTCACCTCATTTTTTATTATCATTATTATTATATAGCTGTGTCAGTAATAGTTGATATTATTATTTGTTACAATGATGACCCATTCAAGTTCTTTGGCAACTGAAACTAATCTTGCCATACAAGCCAACAATCCTGATACTTACGTTGTTTCTGCTGTTGGTGCAGTAGGTACAGGTAAATCTAGTTTACTAAATGCTATTGCTGGATCTCAAATATTTGCTACTGGTAGTTCAACAGTATGTAGACCATTCTTTCTTTTTTTTTTTTCTTTTCTTTTTTATCGTCTCTATTCATACCTTTTTTTTTTTCTTTTTTTAAATAGGCTACTACACAAACTGTACGCGGTGAAGTACGTCCTTGGGCTTTTGTTCCTGGAAAACGATATGTTCATTTGATTGATACACCTGGATTATGTGATTCTAATGCTCAAGATAGACAAACCGTATCAGAAATGGTTCGTTATTTCAAATCATTGGCAAATGGTGTTAGTGCTTTTTTGTTGGTCTTCAATATCAATGATATCCGGTAAGTCCCCTTTTTTTTAGTTTCTATTTACTTTGGCTTGACTATAGATCACACATCGAACGCAGCGGAATCTAAACCTTATTACATTTTTTTTTTCTATATAGATTGGACGCTTATACTCAAACCATGTTACGACTCTTTGAAGCATTACTGGGAAGACATTTTTGGAATTTCGTGGTTATTGTATTTACACATGTGGATGAAGAAAATCGAGATGAATTAGAAGAACATATGGAAGCTGTGAATGATCCTCAAGGTAAAACAACTAAAAGAAGAATAAATGATTGTCTTTTTCATATGGCAGATTCATTTTAATTCTTTTTTTTTTTTTTTAATAGAGGGTTTTATTGCTGAAATTCGTCGAATTCACAACTTGCCAGCTCGTACTTTTGTCCCTAGTGTGATCTTTACTTCAACTCAAAATGTTCGAATGAGTTCTTATACTCAAAAACATATGAAAGATATTTACAATGCTGTGGTATTATGCGAAACTAGAAATAATCATCGACGATTCACTTGTACTTGGCTCCGACGTATCTTGACCATCCCTAATGAAGAAGAAAAATCGACTTTTATCAGTAATAGTATCAAGGAAGCTTGGGCCTCAATGACATCCTCTGTCTGTTCTACTCAATGATCAATCATATGTATCTCTCTCTCTCTCTTTTATTTTTTATTTTGCTTTGTTTTGGTCAAGTCATGCATTATGGGTGGCTCGTATTCTGAATTAACCAATTCCTAGGATTGTATATATATATGAATGGGTGTTCTTTTTTTGGTCTTTTTTTTATGGAATAAATATGTTGTATTGTCTATTTTATTTATCTGAAGTACGTGTATGTTGTATATGTGTGTCATGAACAATCTGTTTATGATAACTCTTATGATGTGTTACTAATATTGATATTATTACGATGTCTATGATGAATGATTGTACAATTGAAGGATGGATGATGATTCCTATGAACCTATTTATAAATATATGATAATATTTTAGGGTATTCATTCGTCGAGGTTGGAAGATGTCATATCAATTAGGATGATAGAGACGGCGACACTGCTGATCATTGTTTAATTTACTCTATAATGCGATTGCTAAACTATAAATTCAATAAGGTAAAGTGAAAGAAGATGGTTTATTCCATATTATGTTGAAATTTGGTGATATGACGATGATGACTTTTAAGCGAGAAAGGGAAAGGTAAAGTTTCTTCAAACTTGTATCCAGCATGAAAAAATGAGATGGATTTTTTGATTTCACAGCCAAAATTTTCAAACTCCTCAGCCAAACTTTGGCTGTAAAAATAAATTGTCAGGGGATCATCAGGCGATTTTTGGAAAAATCGATGAAATTGTTTGGTGATCATTTACACATTGGATGGAAAGATAAGCGATAAAAAGGAATTATATGACATTTGACTACTTTTTTAAGAGGAATACAATGGTGGTCATTTTATTGAATGATGATCATTATTGGATGAGAGACATTGATATTGACGTTTCATTTTTTAATTTACTTTATATGTCTGAAGGTAAGCTACAAGTTGTTATTAAGGCAAATAAAATAGATTATCGTCATTTATGTTTGGTCCAAACTTGATGCAATGATGATGATTTTTGAGTGAATTACAAAAGTATAAATAGGTACATGTCTATCCCATGTTACAATACAAAAAGAGAATGATTCGCATTTCTGATGAATAAGCCAAAAGAGAGAGAGAGAGAGATGGACATGACTTTAAAAAACCTCCACGAATCAGTACCCAAAGTTTCAAGTTTTTGCGAATAACGTTTGTAATTGAAAGTACATAATTTTTATCTGTTCGGTTAAATATGTCTCCGACTTCCATGGCTCAAAAAAAAAAAAAAAAATGACGCCCTGGACTTTATTTTTTGTCTTTTCTTTCTCTATCCTTCATTCTCCTCTTCCTTCCTTTCGCCGCACAGCAATGTTACGAACTATTTCGCAACATTGTAACGTATCCTCCACGTCAAGGCATTTTGCTAATGGCAACATGTCAAGGCCTCGGATACTATCATCCACTGTCAAGTCTTTTAGGTACCAATCTCAGTCTTATTTCACACAGTCTTCGTTACGATTACCACATTTACCAAGATTGAAAGCACGATTATTTTCAACAAGTCCTAAACGACAGGCTCTTCAGCAAGACACACACAATGTGGCCAAGACAACACAACAACAAAGCATGACGGCGGAGGCAGCAACAACCGTCAATGAAAAAGCAGTAAAGAAGTCAACAAGCAGTAGTTTTGCGGATGCAAAGCGATTATTCCTTTTGGCCAAACCAGAAGCAAAGAGCATTTCAGGTAAGTGATGAGTGGCTATATGATGTATGGAATGATAGAAACGGAAACAAACTGACTCCTTTTTATTTATTTATTCTTTGATTTCTTGACTCAAATAAGCTGCTATTGGATTATTGGTGATCTCATCTAGCATTACAATGTCAGTACCATTCTCGATGGGGAAAATCATTGATATCGTGACACATCCAGAAACTGCACAAGATACTGCTTTTGGTTTGACATTACCGGAATTCTTTGGTGTTCTTTCATTGGTTTTCACTGTGGGTGCTACAGCAAATATGGGTCGAGTCATGCTCTTTCGATTATCAGGGGAACGTATTATCCAACGACTTCGTAATGATTTATTCAAGAATATTCTTCGTCAAGAAATGACCTTCTTTGATCGCAATCGAACAGGTGAATTGATTTCTCGTTTGTCTACTGACACTGCCATTGTGGGCAAAAGTATTACCAACAACGTCAGTGATGGTTTACGGTAAATAGATGGAAATGAAAACAAGTTTACATAGATAGAAACTCATACCCTTTTTTTTTTATCTCCTTCTCTCTCTTTTTTTTTTTTTTTGTCTTTTATGCGGTGATGATTTAGAGCTTTGGCAACAGCTAGTGTTGGTTCCACCATGATGTTATATGTTAGGTAATGATCGTCAAAAAAAAAAAAAAAAAGGAATGAATTTCATTAAAACTCAATTTTCTTCTTCTTCTTCTTCTTCTTCTTCTTCTTCACTCATGGATAGTCCGAAATTAACTGGGATTATGATGCTTATTATTCCTCCTGTGGCTGTGTTTGGTATTGTCTATGGTCGATACGTTAAAACTTTATCACGCAAAACACAAACAGCTGTAGGTGAAATCACCAAGGTGGCAGAAGAAAAGATCAGCGCAATTAGGACAGTACAAGCATTTGCTAAGGAAAAGAAAGAAGCTGGAAGATATGAAGCACGAGTTAAGGATTTATATCAATTGGCTCGGAAGGAAGCTTTGGCTAGTGGTGCTTTCTTCGGTGGTGCAGGACTTTCTGGAAATCTTGCTGTTCTTGCAGTATTATGGCATGGTGGATCTATGGTCATGAACGATATTATTACTATTGGTGAATTGGCATCATTTATGCTCTACACTGCCTATGTTGGCACTTCTTTACAAGGTAAGTGATTCAATAATGTGGTTGCTATGTTTGACTTATCATTGATTATTACTGTAGGCTTGACATCGTTTTATTCAGAAATCATGAAAGGGGTTGGAGCTTCTGATCGATTATTTGAATTACTTCAAAGAAAAAGTCAAATTGATGTTGATAGTAAGTCAAGTCAAGTCATGATTATTATTATTATTGGTTTGTATACGGATGTATTTATCTTTTTTTTTTTGTATTTATTTGACTAGATGGTAAAATATTAGACAAGGTCAAAGGTAAAATTGAATTCGACAAGGTATCATTCGTCTATCCAACACGTGATAAGAGTCCAATCTTCAAGGATTTATCGTTAAGCATTGAACCTGGAACTGGTAAGAGAGAGAATGAACATAAATGGGAAGCCTTTTACATATGTTTTTAACTTTTTTTTTTCTTTTATGGGATATAGTTGTAGCTGTAGTGGGACCATCAGGAAGCGGTAAAAGTAGTTTGGGATCATTACTACTTCGATACTATGATCCAGATCATGGTAATATATACGTGGATGGTACAAACATTAAGGATCTCAACATGCATTGGTGGCGTGAACAAATTGGTGTGGTATCTCAAGAACCAGTACTTTTCCAAGGAACCATTGCTGAAAATATTGCTTATGGATGTGAAAATGCAACGATAGATGAAATCAAGGCAGCAGCGAAAAGGGCTAACTGTGCCAATTTTATTGAATCATTCCATGATAAGTATGATACCTTGGTTGGTGAACGATCTGTGGCACTTAGTGGTGGACAAAAACAAAGAATTGCTATTGCAAGAGCATTATTGAAGAATCCTTCTGTTTTGATATTAGATGAAGCAACAAGTGCATTAGGTAAAAAAAAAAAAAAAAATGAACAAATAGAAAAAAAAAAGATCGATCTGATAATAATTACATATATATATGTAGATTCTGAAAGTGAATTACTTGTACAAGATGCTTTAAATGAATTGATGCGTGGACGAACAGTATTTACTATCGCACATCGTATGTCAAGTATTCGATCAGCCGATCTTGTGGCATGTATCAACAATGGACATATAGCAGAACTTGGAACATACAATGAACTCTTGAATATTGAAGGTGGTGTTTTCCGTAGATTGGTGGAATTACAAACTTTGAACTCTTCAGATCATTCTCATTAGATTTTCTCGTCTTTTTTTTTTTTTTTTTTATCTCCCTCCTCCTCTTTATCTTTTTTTTTTATATATTATTCTATCGTACATATTTTTATTATCAGTATTATGATTTGCTACTATTATTACAACTTAGATCTTTTTTTTTTTTTTTTTTATAAAAATAAAAGTGTACCTTTACCCCTCTCTCTCTTTTTCTTTTGAATAATATAGATTTAGTATTTCCATTTTTAGAATAATGTCAGTGTAACAAAATACAGATCATATAAGATCTATATATACTTTATTATTTTTTGTTAAAAAAAGAATCAATTTGATGCTTCTTCCTTTTATTACCAACAAGGGGATCAAAGGGGGGTTTGACCGTCACTGAAAGCCGGAGTGAGTGAACCAACCAATGAAACGGAAAATTTTTTCATCGAATGGGGGGGAAGGAGATCTTTGGGTTTAGTATGGGACTTGCGGGATTTTTTTTTTGATCGGCTTATAGTCTGTTGTGTGTGTGTGTTTTTTTTTCTTCTTTTTCTTTTTTTTTTCCTTCTTATTTCTCTCTCTACTCCTTGTCGCTGCTATAGGATTTTTTTCAATTAAGAAAAAGAAGATCGTTTGCAGCTATACATGAATTCTACCCAATCTCAGGCAACAAATACCCCCAAACCAACTTTGCATGGTGTCAAAATAAAACAACGAAAAGTAATAATCATCATAATAAAAAAAAGAGAAAGAGAGAGAAAAAAAAGTCATCTTGTTTACTCATATATATTGTTTATTTTCTTTAGGGCGTTCAGAAAGCGCAGGCGAAACACGAACCTGAAAGTAAGTTATATTGATTTCTATTAAAAAACAATTAAATAACATCTTTTTCATTTTTTATTATAGTTTTCCGTGACAATTTATTATCTCAACTAGCTCTTGCAAAGCCAGGAGACCTCGAAGACATTTCCTCTATTCTTGATAAAACTGGTAATACTCTCGAATATCGCAAATACGGTGAATCTTTATTTGAAATCCTTATTACTGGTGGCATTTTACGTAAGTGTGTGGCTTCGATTTTAAAACAATATTATGACGTTATATTAATATATATATATATATATAGAACCTGGTGGTATTATTCTTGATGATGTTGAACGTAGTCCTTTCAGTATCTTTGGTGCTGAAGATGAATCAACCTCGATTAAGAAACATGTGGATGTTTTCAACAAGTTGATCCGTAGATATAAGTATTTACAACGACCTTTTGAAGAAACTCTTAAGAATATTTTGCAGTTTATCAACAAATGGCAAGTCGATGAAAACAGCAAGTTGGCCAAGGCTACTGGTTATTTTATTACCACTCAATTAGCCAATCCTATTGTATTCAAGGTACTTTTGAAGGATTATCTCGTTAAGGATGGTAAGAAATGATGATGATGATGATGATAATTTTATTCATTTTTTTTTCTCTTTTTCTTATTAGGTCATTCTCTTGTATTTGCAACTGCTGTGTTCCGTACTATTCTCACTGAACAAAATATTGATCAACTCGGTAAATATTTGGTTCTTTCTGGTATGGATACTCGTCTTTTGGAATTATTCCCTCCCAATAAACGTGAAGAAGAATGTCTTTCTCGTCACTTTGAAGCCGAAGATATGAAACAATTGGTTGGATTCCATCAACGTAATCAAAAGAACTCCATGAAAGGTGATCTCTTATCCAATTTGAAGCATTTGTTATCTGAAGAAACTCCCGTTGAAGAAGTAAGTATATTTCTCTATTTATATATTTATGATTAATTAACCATTTTCTCTTCAAATAAAAAGGTTCTTACTGTTATCAAAGAAGCAAAAAAAGATGCTGGACTTGATGAATCTGATGTAATCCCAATTATTTGGACTGCTATTATTGATAGTGTGGATTTGATGAACACTCGTCCTGATCAAGTGGAATCTTCAGTACTTCGTGGATTGAATCAATGGTCCAGGCTTTTGGAAAACTATACCGCATCTCCCAAGACCGAAATCTTACTTCTTCAACGAGTTCAAATCACCTGTTACGAAGATGCTAAGGTCACCAAGGTATTCCGTCAAATCATTCAACTCTTATACAAGAATGATGTGTTATCAGATAATGCTATCTTGTACTGGGCAGACAAGGCTCATAAACCTCAAGGCAAAACCGTCTTTTTGAAGCAAATGGCTCCTTTTGTGCAATGGCTCCGTGATAATGAAGATAGCTCTGAAGAAGAAGACTAAAACTAGCCCTTTTTTTTATATATATATTTTGTTACTTTTTTTTTATTTTATTTTTGTGGTTGGATTGAATTGGATTCTTCATTCTTTTTATTATTATTATTATTATTTTGATTATTTCTTCAATAAATTATTATTTGATGAATTGAATTCTCTTTTTGTGTGCATGTATGGAAATCCTCAAGTTTTACTTTGGATGACTTTCATGATATTGAAGCAGAGACACTTCCTTTTTAGCGCAATGACAAAAAAGAAAAGCCTCAAAATGTCACATATCTTTATAGAAAAGAATCCAGCATGCGCTACATTTTACTAATATAAGTAAAAAAAAAAAAAAAAAAAAAAAAAAAAAAAAAAAAAAAAAAAAAAAAAAAAAAAAGAGGATTTCATTTATTTATTATGTATATCATATTGTGTATAAGTAGAGTAGACTAGTGTAAAAGTGAATAAAATAATAAACATCAATGCAAAAAAAAAAAGAGAAAATAAAATCTAACGGAATAAAAAAAGGGGAAGAGATACAGTAATAAAAACTAAAAGAGATAAAACGAAAATGAAATAAACTAAACTACATTTTGACTGCTACGTCGACTTGCCATGGTACGAATAGTTGGATGCATGCGTAAACCTTGGATAGTAGGATTCCAACGAATAGGTTGTATTTTGTTGAAAATGTACATGCGTAAACAAGCATACAAGATGATGACCCAACCAAATCCAAAGGGAATCAACCACCATAAAGGTAATGTATGATATTCGGATCCAAAAGCAATGTTGAAAGGAGGACAATATACAATCAAGGTACCCAAACTTGCACCACCAAAAATACCAAGGAAAGAGTATTTGTTGGAGAAGGCGTAACGACCTAAAGGAAGTGTATATCTTGTCTTGGAAGCGAACAGATTGAACATTTGCATAATCATGATGCCAAAGTATACCATAGATTGAGCTTGTGCAAGGGCTCGATGTTGTTGTTCCGCATTCAATGTAAATCCACGAGCTGTCACAAAATCTTGAGCATATAATGGCCCGTTCGAGAAGTAATAAGTAGGACCAGACACTCCACGTTGCATTGTTGTAATATCCACTGGATCGATATGATTGTACCACATTACCACAAAGTAGGTAGTCATTGCGCCAATCGCTTCAATCACACCAATTTCCAAGTAGGCCCATGAAAGTAAAGGCAAATCCACCAAAATTTCATCTTCACTTTTACCGAGTTTTTCTTTCCAAAAGGCTGGTGACAAAAAGGCATGAGTTGTGTTTCGAACACGACGGAACCAAGAGGGTTGGATGACTTCACCTTCATCATCATATTGTTCATATTGTCGAAGTCTGGCTGTTCTACGTCGATATCGTTCAATAGAATCCAAGGTTACTGGCTTTCGTGGAGATTGTAACATCAAACCTTCAGGTGTTTCAGGTAAATCCCAAGCAAATGATAGAGCCATAAACAATTCAAAACCAAGATCAATTACCAAAATCAAAATAGCAGACAATGGTAATGCTAAATGAAATAAAAATAAAATATAAAAAGATAATCACAATCAATTTCCATCTTCCTTTTTTTTTTTTTTTTCTTGAGATTTACCTAATGGTACAATAATATACAATAAACAAGGAATGACTTCAGGAATAGAATGAGATACCGTATATTGAATAGATTTCTTAAGATTTGTAAAAATAAGTCGACCTTCTTCAATACCATGAACCACAGAAGCAAAGTTGTCGTCCAGTAAAACCATAGCAGCAGCATCTTTAGATACGTCCGAACCAGAGATATTCATAGCAATTCCCAAATCGGCCTTTTTAAGAGCAGGAGCATCGTTAACACCATCACCAGTAACACCAACAATATGACCCATGGATTGAGCATGCTTCACGATTTCAAGTTTGTGCTTTGGCGAAGTTCGAGCGAAAATAATTTCATCTTTGGTGAAGATAGCATCCCATTGAGCATCAGTTAGAGTGTCGATATGATCACCATGAATGACGATAGCATTATATTCATGTTCTTGTACTTGAGAAACATCCTTTCCAGTGCGCTTGGCCACCATTTCCTTTGTATCCCCAAGCATCAGATTGATTTTGCGTCCAATAGCTTCAGCAGTCAATGGATGATCACCAGTTACCATCATTACCTTAATACCTGCACGACGACATTTACCAATTGCTTCACGAACACCATGTTTGGGAGGATCTTCCAGAGCAGCTAGACCAACAAAGCAGAGATTTTCCATAGGACAGTTCTTTTTGTCAAATATAAAATCAGAAGGATAGCTTTCCTTGGGTAATAAACATTGAGCAAACGCCAGTACACGGTTTCCTTGCCCAGCCATTGATTGATATGCTTCTTGGAAAGCATCTTCATGTTGTTGAGTAAGAGGAAGAGGTTCATCATTGTCAGTCAGGATAGTAGTGCAGAGACGTAACACACGTTCAGGAGCACCTTTCACGTAGAGAGTCAAATCACCATTGTTATGAGATTTTCGATGGATAGACAGAGCATATTTGTTTTCAGAATTGAAAGGGATTTCAAACACCTTGGGATAACGACCAACCAGTTCATCAAAATCTTCTGCTTGGGCAGCAAATCGCGTTAATCCAGTTTCAGTAGCATCACCTAGAATTTGTCGTTCAGCAATAGGGACATCAGTACGATCAAACTTGGCACGAGAATTCAATGCAGATATCATGGCAATTTCCTTGATACCAACAGCAGATTTAATTCCCTTCGCATCTAATCCGGTAGTAAAAGTTGTAAGATTGGTCCATATACTAGTTAATGTCATTTGGTTTCTTGTAAGAGTTCCAGTTTTGTCAGTGGCAAGAAGAGTAATTGCACCCAGGGTTTCTACACCTTGAAGATCCTTCACAAGTACATTTCGATTGGCCATACGTTTTGCTGCAATAGTAAGTAAAATGGTCACGGTCATTGGTACCCCTTGAGGCACCCAACCAATAAATACTGATACCGCAAAGTTGATAGTGAGAGAGACATTGTAGCTGTTCACAGGTAAGCCGATACCGAAAAAGATGACTGCTGTCGTAAAAGCAATGGTGGCAATGATTTTAACAAAGTTACTGATCTATATAACATTTGTTCACAAGTGATTAAAAAAAAAAGTAAAAGGGAGAAGGGAAAAAAAAAGTGAGAAAGTAAGAAACAAAAATATAAAAAGGGAAGACCGGAGATTCAAACACTTACTTCAACAGATAATGGAGAAGGAGCCTTATGTTCATCACCAGCAAGACCAGCAATTTGACCAAGGACAGTATGATCACCAGTACGTACAACGATACCGTAACATTCACCATTAACAGCCAAAGTACCACTATAAGCCATATTTTCAGCTTCCAAAGGATTCTTTTGAGAGTTAGTAGGACCTCTTTCTTGGGGATCACTTTCACCAGTTAAGGAACTGTTGTCAACCTAATAATAATAAAAATAAAAAAATAAAAAAAAAAAATTAAATCATTCTTCCTTATTTTATCTTTTTTTTTTTTTTATCAGTTTTTGAATTACCTTGATTTCACCAGCAAAAATAAATACATCAGCAGGAACTTTATCACCCATGCGAATCAAAACCACATCACCAACAACCAATTGAGAGGCATCAATTTGAACCATTTTCCCATCACGAATACAAGTAGATTTACTTGCCAACATATTCATAAATTGTTCCATCATATTACTTGATTTATATTCTTGATAAAATTCAATAAAAGCATTTAATAAGGCAACCCCAATATAGATGGCACCAAGATAAGTCTATCAAAAAAAAAAAAAAGATCAATATATATATATTTTTTATTATCATTTTTTCTTCTTCTTTTATTTACATTTTGAAAATTCCCTTGAAAATCAATGGCCAATAAGATATAATTCAATATACCAGCAAAAACCAAAAGAAGATTGAAAAGATTCAGTAGACAATCAAAGTATTTCAAAATAGGATGTCTTTTCTTGGGAGGAGATAAAATATTCAGACCAGTTTCAGATGCAATAGCAGTAGCTGCAGCAGTTGTTAAACCTTGTGAGCTTGCAGGTTTTTCCACATTGATCAGAGTATTGTACTTGGCTGCACACTCTTCATGAGATAAAAGATGTTCAGTCTATATAAAAAATAAATAAATAAATAATCCTTCACTATTATATTATCATTCACTTACAAGATCCACATTTTTCTTTTTCTTTGATTCAATATTTTCTGTAGTTGTTGCACTGTATCCTTCCTTTTCCAAATCTATTGTTTCTACTTCATGTGTAGTGGTAGGAACTCGTTCCGGTTTGATCACCTCTGCAAATTGAATCTTATTATCCATCAATCTATTATAATATGATGATATAAATAATATCAAAAAAAAGGATAAAGAAGAAGAAGAAGAAGAAAAAAAAAAAAGAAAATGAAAAAGAAAAAGAAAAAAGAAAACATTTTTATTATTTTATATTTACCTTCAACTGTGAAGATCGACACCCACGCCTTTTTTTTTGGACCTCCGAAGTTCCAAAAGTAGTAATGAAGAGACATCAGGTACTTTGTTTCCTTTCACTTTTTTCTAGTCTGAAGATCAAAAAAGAAAGAGTTTATTACATATCCTGGTGAATAGAAAATCATCCAAAAAGGATGAAAATCCCTCACTTTTTTATTTCTTTTATCCAATAGCTAATTACCCTCATTGTCCAACCGATAATAAAAATTCTGATCTGTGTAACCTGCGGTATTAGGAAATCTTTTTTTTTTTTTTTTGTATGATCCATTTATTGCGAGGTAAAAATCATGGATGAATCATGTCAAATGAAAATTAATCATATTATATATGTAGTTTTCCATGCCTGCATATCGGAAGAGGTCAAATAAGGTAGTAAATGACAATAGTCAATAAAGAAAAAGAAAAAAAAAGGAGGGAAAAGTACATATAAAGATAATCATTTTTCTCCTTACATTTACTTTCAATTTTTGCTGATGATGAAATAGTGTGTATGATATACATTGTTTTCTGCTATATTATAATTCATTTGTCCCCCCAAAAAAGGATGGATTTGTTTGATCGAAGCAAATCTTTTTTTTTTTTTTTTTTTTTGGTTAGCGGCGATCTAAAGTTTGTTTTGGACTTCTCTCTCTCTCTAACACATACTTTCCATCATTGACAGATCACGATGTATGACGATGATGATGATGGAAAAAAAAAAAAAAGATGTTTCCACGTTGTGTATTTGAGAGAAATCAATCTGAATTCCAAATTTCTCTTTCTTTTGTGTTCCTCAAACTTTTTATTTTGCAGGATTTCTCGTCAGGAACATGTTTTTTATGACTGAAACATTCGGTAAAGGGCAATAGATTCTCTGTTCTCATGACCTTTTTTTTTTTCTTCTTCATAAAGTGCCATTATATCATCAGAATTTTCTTTTTAGATCTGTTGTCATTATTGTTTACTATATATGACCTCACTTTTTTTTCTGGTAAAAAAAAACAGCAACTTTATACTATCATCATCGGATAGAAAGAGAGTATGTACATTTTACAAGTATTATCTTATCGGGTCAAAAGATATATAAAACAAAAAATTGTGATGTTTCAAAACAAACAAAAAATAATTTTTTTATTGAAAAGATCATGATTCACATTACAACAATAAAAAGAAAAAGAGGTGAAGTTTGTCATCAAAAAAAAAAGATATTATTCATCTAATTCTACTTCTTCAATACTAAAGCTTTGAGCCAATCCAATATCGTTTGCCATACCACTAACAAGTTGATAACCTTCACTTTGTTGAATAGCATTTTTGTTACTTTCTGCTGTTGATTCCAATTCTTGTTCTACTATTTCTTCATCCAATTCTTGTTTATCTTCCATTGGTTTTTCATTCTTGAGGATCCTTGTTTCCAAAAATTCACGAATAGCAGCAAAATAGCCACTTTGCATACAAGTGTCATTATGAGTACCATTTTCAAATTCTACCCAATCCTTGTTTTCACGAGTTCCACAAAGTTCAAATAACTTGGTCATATGAGAAGGAGGTACTAATTCATCTTTTGCTCCTGATAAGAATAATACAGGCGACTTGACAATACGTTGAATATTGATTTCCGATGGCCATTGTTGATGACAAAGCACAGTAAAATATCGAAGCATAGGGAACACACTAGGAATCAATTTTGGCTATTATCATAAAAAAAAAAAGATCAGGAAATGTAAATAAACATAAAGATCATATCTCTTTTTTAATTGATTTGTCACTTACTATACTTAAAAAGGTGTTTTCGACCATCAAGCCAGAAAATGCATCTTCATTTCTAGAGACAAGATCAATAGCCACAGCTCCACCGATAGATTGACCGTAAGCAACAAATTTTGTATTTTTGAGAATAGGATGTTCCTTCACAAAGTCCAAAAGAGTCTATAAGGAAAATAAAGATTGACATGAGACCCTTCCAATTTCCTTTTTAATTATATTGACACATGTTTTCCCTCCTTCTCTTTACCTGGGAGTCTACTTGAAGACCTTTTTCATTGGCTTTTCCTTCACTGAATCCATATCTATATAAAAGGAGAGAATTAATATATTAAACAATGATTTGATTTCTATTCTTACCCTCTATATGATAGCATCACTACATTGGTCCTGAATTTTTGATTAAAGATCTTAGCAACTGGCAAACGATGACCCTATAGTAAACATATGAAAAGTTTCAAGTCAGTTTCTTCTGGCATAAACACTGAGAAAATAGCTTGCGTCACATACCATGTTTCCAGCGTTCGCCTATAGAAAAGATGAAATATAAATAAAATAATAGTTAATACTTTTTTGATTATTATATTAAACACACTTACATGGAAATAAAGAATAGTAGGTGCTCTTTTGGCTTCGTCAACATCTTCAAGAGTAATAACATAACATCGTAACTTGACTTTGTCCTTAGTAATTAAAGTTTCTTCGGTATATGACATTCCAAAATCTGAAGGTTTAGCAACCTATAACATAATATATATATATATGTATTGTCAGTAATTGACATAAGAAATATCTTTATTATTATTATTATTATTACTATTATTTTTACCTCTGTTCTAGATCCATCAGGGAAACTGCTGGGATAAATTAGTTCACATTGATATAAATATAAAAGGAAGGCACCAGCTACACTAGCAATCCCAGTAATCGATAAAATGTAAGATAACCAAGGTGGCAAACTAAACTTTAACATATAGTTTGTCATGATGAAAATAAAAAAGAAGAAAAAAAAAAATAAATAAATAAAGAGAAGAAGAAAAAAAAATGGAAGAAAAGAAAAATATACAAAAGGGGTGACCGGAGTGAAATTGAAAAGGTGAAATGAGAACGTTTCACTGCAGCAATCAAGTCAGCCAACAAAAAAGAAAAAAAAAATGTCAACTTTGAGAATAACAATAAAACAAAAAGAAATGTGCACTTTATTGAATCAAAAAGAAAATATACTAATCTAAATCTTGATGATACTAACTGTCAATTCACTAGGTTGTCCACTACCACCATCATCATAACTATCTGTGCTACTACTTGTCAATCCTTCCAACTTTTGATATACGAATTGTAACACTGCTTGTTCATCTGCTTCTGGTCGAATTTGTACTTCCAAGGTGCCAACGCATCGACCATAAGTATTTTGCCAAAAATGGACACGTTCTACAGATACAATATTTGGATCTTGTCGGATTTCACGTAACCGAGTTTCCACACCATTCCGTACAGTATTTGGCGTCGTTTGAAGAAGAAGATTTGATAACGCTTTTGCTGTAGGGTATCCCAAATAAAACATCACCACAGATTCAGCCAACGCCAATAGCTTATCCATAGATGATGTCGTCAATCCAAACATATTGAAGAATAATACCATCAAGCCACTACTGACAATTGAGAATGAATATACATTCGATAATATCACATGAATAGGATTTCCCCGTGCACGATTGATGACATTATATGAAAATCCATGGACCGTCGGTGGTGTACGTCGTAAAACTGATAAAAAATAGAAAAAAAAAAAAGATAAGTAATAGCTTATAACTTAATCTCTAACAAACTTACATCGAACAAAGTTGTCATGGTTTCGAAGAGCTACACTGGCTAGACAGCACGTACCAATAGCACAAATCATTGCCAAAAACATGCCAAATTCAAATGATGTTTCATGATGTTCTCCACCACCATGATGTCCTTCCAATAAGAAATGTTCCAATGATTCCTTCGTGTTATGCATTGTGGCAAATAAAAGGTACACAGTCGTTGCCATAGCAAATACAATTTCATATCGATGAGCACTAGAGAAAATAAAAAAGTATATAATCGTATGATGAATTCTTTTTCCTTTTTTTTTTTTTTTCTTGTTTGTTTGTTACCCAAATGGACGTTTGGTGTTTGAGGTACCATAGGCAGGACTGGTTCGAATGATACTTGAGACAAAAGAATTGAGAACACCAAGTGCATCAAAAATCACCAAATATGAAAAGCCAACCACTGCAAGATTCTCATTCGCTGTACCAACGCAATAAACCCAAATACCAATAGAGGAATGAATCATAAACCAAGTGAAAACCGTTTTCTGAGCAGGCGAAAGTGTCGAGAATAATTCACTCCATGATGGGAGAGGAGGCGTAAATACAGGAGGATAAGAATGATGATGATGATGATGGTCATGATCGTGATCGTGATGTGAATGATCGTGATGTGAGTGATCGTGGTGAGAGTGATCGTGATGTGAATGATCGTGATGTGAGTGATCATGGTGGGAGTGATCATGGTGAGAGTGATCATTATGGGAATGAACAAGGTGAGAATGATCATGATGAGAGTGGTCATGGTGAGAATGATCATGGTGAGAATGGCCTTGATGAGAATGATCGTGAATGTTTTCTTGATAAAGTTCTTCATGTTGTTGATGTTCCTGTTGTCGACGTTTCTCGTCGTACTGTTGAAGATGTTCTACTTGATAAGGCTGTTGCTGAGGTTGTTCTACATGATAATGGTTGTGCCCAGAATGATACACTCCATGGGTATGGTTATGGATATCAGCGGCAGGTTCGTGATTGGTCTGATAAGGTAAAGATTGATTAGTATAACAATATTATAATCAGTAAGACAATAAATGAATAAAAGCAACAACAGCAACAGTAATAATAATAATAATAATAATAATAATAATAATAATAATAATAATAAATATTACCTGAGAGTAGAATTCATTCACTGAAGGTCGATGAGTATAATCGCGAAAGGCATTACTTTGTTCGATCGGTTGGGCAGTTGGATGATGAGATTGATGATGCAAAGGAGTCGATGACTGAATGTGTATGTGACCTTTATTTCCAAGAGAGGTAGTCTTCTCTGTTGCCACTGGTAAGGAAGTCACCGAGATAGGCTGTCGTTTGTTCACCCTCATGGTTGACTGCATCAGTGCGAATAAGCAACAGATTAGATAGAAAAAGGAGAGATAAAAGAATAAAAAAAAAAAATAGAAAGAGGAGAGAATATTAACAAAAAGAGATTGATAACTGGGTTTAAATATTGTGGTGCCTCTGTGCTGTGCGTGTATGACATTGGACAAAGCAGCAATACACTTTATTATTTATTATTGGTCACTCTTATTCATTCACTAGATCATTCAGTTTAATCAATCCAATTTATAATGATTAGATTATGATACATATTGATATTTATATTTATTCTAATTTTTTGTTTTCTTCGGCCACCAACAGAGAAAGGTAATCTTGAGTTTGATAAAAATAGAAATTTGGCGGTGACCAAAATAGCCATGCAAGGAAAAAAAAAAACCATAGTGAGATTCTAATAGAAATACCATCAAGTAGATGATTGTAAGAGTGACCAAGATGATCTGATTTATAAATAAATCTTTTATTGTTGATAAAATAAGATAAAATTGACAAAAGTAAAAAAATATAAACCATGGGCATATTTCTATAAAAACTAAAACATTTCATTTGATAAATGATAGCTGTCAAACTTGTCTTAAATGCAATTCCTTGCAACCTAGAATATGTATACAAAAATAAATTAGTCTTTTGTCATCCTTTACATAGTTTATAGTGAAAGACTTACTTGTTCGTCTTTTTGTTTTCTTGTCGATATTCGGGTAGTTGCACCAAGCGATCATAGTCACCTTGTATAAACCAATGAGGGATCCAAAGGCTCATCAGTAAAGACAGTGTTGGAATTTTGATACAATCCAATCTTGGCAGGACATCGTAAACGATTTTCGGCGTAGGTTCCATATTAAAGTATCAGCAGCAAGCCTCTTCCCTGGTCGTTTTTATTTCCATGTTAGTGATGCAGCTGGGGCGACTTGAAAAAAAAAAAGTTAATGAAAAAAAAAAAAAACAGGATTATAATAATAATTCTTTTTTTTACCATTTTATTCTGATTCAGCGTAGGTTCCATATTAAAGTATCGGCAGCAAGCCTCTTCTCTGGCTGTCTTGCTATTGACGCAGCTTGGGAGAACTAAAAAAAAAAAAAAAAAAAGTTATTAAAAAAATGGGATAATAATAATAGTTTTTTTTTTTTTTTTTTTTTTTTTTTTTTTTTTTTTTTTTTTTTTTTTTTTTTTTTTTTTTTTTTTTACCATGTTGATCTGCATCAAGGCAATAAAGTAATGTCGCCTTGCCTTCTTCCCTTTTTAATCATCGGTCTTTGATTTTGGTCGTGGCCACTTCCAAATTTATATGGTTTGGTTTCATTCCAAAAGACACCTCCGAGTACGTAGAGCATGCAAGATAGCGAACAGTTCCCTTTCTTGGGCAGGGTAGTTTTTTTTTCAGCTTTGTAAAATTTCTTGGATTCGAATGCAACAGGATATGCCACACCTTGATCATCATCTTGACACAACACAGCACCACATGCGAAATCCGAAGCATCAGTATACACCTTATATGGTTTGTTTGCAACAGGCGGCGACAACAATGGAGTATTCATCAATTCTTTCTTCAGCGTCACAAAAGCTTCTTGGCATAAATCCGTCCACTCGATTGATCGTCTTTTTGGTCCAGTACCTTGTGTCAAGTCAGTCAAAGGCGAAGCTAGATGGGCATAATTCTTGATGAACCGACGATAGTATGATGTAGTCCCCAAAAATTGACGAACCTCTTGAACACTGGTTGGTATTAGCCATTTTTTGAACAGCTTGTACCTTGGATTCATCAGGTAGGATTCCGTCTTGAGTAACATGATAGCCAACAAAGTCCAATTCGTTTACACCAAACTTACATTTGTTTTTGTTTAGGACCAATTGGTGTTCCCTCTCCAACCGAATGTTCTTGTGTACTTTTTTATCAAGTCCAACCAAACGGTAATAGTAGTAGCATTCCTTTCGCTATGATATTTGGGGAGATCGTTTGCCCTGACCAAGACAAGAACCTTCCAAAGTGCAGTTCGAATAGGAATACCCCAGAGAAAGAGGTATCTTGAAGCTAGAGTATGTATACAAAAAATAAATTAGTATTTTGTCATCCTTTATATGGTGCATAGTGAAAGACTTACTTGTTCACCTTCGTGATTTGTGTCGAAATTCGGGTATTTGCACCAAGCGATCATAGTCACATTGCATAAAACATTGAGGGATCCAAAGGCTCATCAGCAAAGACAGTGATACAATCCAAATCTTGGCAGGACATCGCAAATGATGGATTTGGTCTATACTGCTTCGATAATTTGATTTGATTTGTAAATAAAAACCTATTTTTTTTTCTGGATCGTGTGTAAAAAAGAAAAAGATAAAATAGAAACAATAAGTAAATATAACTTATTACGTAGGCATGACTGATAAATAATATATAAATAAAATAAAAAAGTATATGCTTTTTTTTTTTTTTTTTTTTTTTTACCATGTTGCTCGACATTCAAGACTTGACAACAATTTTCCAAAGAGTCTAACAAGGTCAACCTGTAGGTGATCGACATCGTCTTTCAAATAATAACAACAACTATATAATAACTACCCCATGTTGTATGAGCGGCCAATTGGATGCGTACTAGAGAGGATAAAAGACTTGGAAGTTTCAATGCGTAAAACTTTTTAGCTTTATGCGTTCCAAGAAAAATCAAGGCTTTAGTACTGTTTCCTTTTTTTTTTTTTTTTTTTTTTTTTACCATGTCGTTCGACATCAAGGCAACTATGATGACTTTCCTTTCAGGTGACCAGATCTTGCATTCAGTTGTAGCCAGTTTCGACAATGATATAATTGAGTTTTGTAATATATACACTTTAAACATACTAAATGAGATAAAACAGATGAATATAAAAAAGAAAAAGGAAAGGAGTCAATGTCAAAAAGGCAGAATCCAAATTTTTTATTGGCTGACTCAATTTTCTCTTGACTGAGTGCTTTTTTTTTTTTTGGTATCAAGTGGAATCTGACCGCCATTTCTGAGGATCTTTTTTATTTTTTTTCCAACTCCACACAATTCTCAAAAAAGTATTTTTATAACAACCTTTTTTTTATTTTTATTTTTATATATATATATATATCCTCCCCTTTCCTCAACATTTCTCACTTTTTTTTTTATTTATTTATTATCCATATTATTATTATTATTATTACTTCTCCTTGGTGATAAGTTTTGTGTCCATCTTCAATAGTTAGAAGTCTTCCTCTTTCTTAAATTAAAAACTTGACTACTCATGCGAGACCCACTTGATGATCTACCACCAGATCTTCAAAAAGAACTTTCTATTCTTGACCAGGAACTTGAAGATGGTGACATTACTCAAAAAGGTTATGATAAAAAGAAAACTGCTCTATTGAAACCATACTTGGAAAACGTCTTAACAGCAAACAATGATCAAAGTAACCGAAATTCTTCTCTTCCTATTGTGACACGTACTTATCGACCTACCGAAGGGGAATATTACCATCAACAACCCTATAACTTGGATAATACTGAAGATTTAGAAGAATTTACAGATGATATCGTTGAAGACCTTGGACCTGAACCTTCTGCTGCGGATGCTGTTGATTTTTTGGATTTTTTACCTTCACCAACTCACTCTCCTCCTCGGTCTGAATCACCTGAAGCTCTTATGGAAGCAAATCATCAACTTATTACACAAGAACTATCTTTACCATCACAACAACAACAACTACAACGTAGTTCTCCACAATCAATTCACAATCAATCACCTAGACAACAACATCAACAAATTCCTGCTCAACGACCCCCTGCACAGTTACAACAACAACAACCAGTTTATCGACCTCATCCTCCTCAGCATCAACCATGGAATCAATCATATGGAGCTACTAGACCTAGACCATATGATTATCGTATGATGAACCGTCCACAATATCCTATGGGTCCTCCTCTTCCTACACATGGCTTTCCTGGTCAACGTCCTCCTTTACCTCTTCATGGTGGTGGTAATATATATCGTCCTCAAGGTTATCAACCAACTACACGACCTCCTCCTCCTATGTATGGTGGTATCCCATCATCACAAGGTTCATCACCTCGGCCTCCTTATTATAGACCATTACCCCCATCTTCTCAACAATTACCAACACAAACTTCACAAGGATCACCTATGCGACAACCAGCCATCCCAGCACGACATACTAGAACGCCATCAATGGAATCAGGAAGTTTATCAGTGGATAGATCTCAAGGAGTTCATGTGGCTCGTCAAAGCTCTGATTATATAGATGCAATGGAACCTATATCACCTAGTGGTACACGACGTACTGACTCTGATTGGGGTAAATTCTTTTTTTTTTTTTTTTTTTTTTTGTATATCATTTTCTTTTTGGAATGAATGGGTGTGACGAAATTCTGCTAGTGCAATTTGAATTTTAATTTTACTTACTTTTTATTACTAGAAACGGCATCTGGCAATGGTGGATGGCGACCTGCACCTGGTAGAGACCCTTCAATTATGTCATCTTCAACGAAGAAAGGAACGATAAATTCTTTGACAGCACCTACTCGACGATTAGAACATAAAAACCGCGGACGTAGTAGATATGGTGATAGTTATATGGCAACTTCCTTCAAAGCAATTGAACCTGCACCTATATCTTTATTACGACTAGATGATCCTTATGAACAGATGCTCTTGGCGGACTTGGCTGGGCGTCAAATGCGACCATTACAACCTCGATCTATTCCTTTCCCGGTCATAGATGGAAATGGTAAAAATCAACAAAACTTGGCAAATTTCGACAATCTTGCAGCTATTCTTCGATATCGTGCTACCAATGACAATCATCAACTTGCTTCAGCATTTACGGTGGTGGATGCGAAAGGAAAGGAACCAGTCTCTATCTCTTGGGAAAAACTGAATGCAAGAGCAGAAAAAATCGCCATGACCATTCGAAATAAGGCTGGATTACAAATGGGCGATCGTGTGGCGTTGATCTATCGAAAATCGGAAGTATTGGACTTTATTGTGGCTCTGTTTGGTTGCTTCTTGGCTGGAATGGTAGCTGTACCTATCAATGCTGCTGATGATCTCTCTGAACTTTCTTTTATTTTGAATTTGACAAGTGCCAACCTGATTTTGACAACGGACTTCAATCATCGGGCTTTCATCAAGGATATGCAAACTCGATCCATGGAAATACCTGCGAACGTAGAATGGTGGAAAACAAACGATTTTGGAACATGGTATCCGACAAAGAAGGTGAAGGATCATCCTCCTATCAAGGTTCCTGAATTGGCTTATATTGAATATGCAAAAGCAGTGAATGGAGAACTCAAAGGTGTTACCATTACACATCAAGCTATCATGGCGGAAGGACGGATGTACAAAGCGTCAGTGACAGAAACAGAAGTATCTATTAATGACTCTGACAATACTTTAAAGGTGACTCCAAAACAAAATAACTATGGTGGATTTGATACAGTTGTCAGTTATTTGGAACCAAGGCAGCAAATAGGTATGGTGTTATCAGTCTTATGTTCAGTTTATTGTGGAAATCATACTATATTCACAAGTGGCAGCATTATTGACACGCCAGCAGTTTGGATCTATGTTTTATCCAAATACAAAGGTAAAAAAAAAAAATTCTATCAGCTTGTTTTTCTTTTAACTGAACTTTATGAAATCATAATTCTTATTTCATCTTTTTTTTTTTTTTGTAGCAACCATCGCCTTGTCGGATTATTCAGCTTTGAACAGGATTACAAAATATTATCAAGACAACGCGAAAGAAGTACATAATCATAGCAAGAAAGTTGCACCTGATTTATCATCTTTACGTTATCTCTTTATCGACAGTTGTGTATCCAAACCTGACTTAAACCAGCTTGTTGCGGAAAAGTTATTACGACCTTTGGGAAACAATGATGATCCTATGAGCGTTGTTTGTCCTGTAGCATCCTTGGCTGAACATGGTGGTATGATTCTCAGTATGCGTGACAATGTAGGACCAGCTCAATTGGAAGGATTTGAAAATGGACATGATAGACAATCTGTGATCGCGGAAGGACAGTCTAGTGATGTATGGGAATGTTTATTGGATGCTGAAGCTTTGAAGATGAACAAAGTAGTTGTGGTTGCTGCTGGTGCTGGTGCTCGCAGGGCGCGTACTGACTGTCATGAAGTACTTGTCAGCTCCTTTGGATTTGTCATTCCAGAAGGTAAAAAAAAAAAAAAGTGATAGAACGAAAAGGAAAAAAAAAGATTCTCATTTCTCCTTCTTGTTTATGATTGTTTAGCTACTGTGGCTATTGTTGATCCTGATACATTGACGTTATGTCCTCCTGATACTACTGGTGAAGTATGGATTGATGCTCCTTCTATTTCAGGCGGATTTTGGGCTCTACCTCGTCATAGTGAAGCTATTTTCCATGCCAAACCTACCATTGTTTCTCCTGATACAATGTACCCTGAAATTTATAATCAAGAATTTCTTCGCACAGGTTTGGTTGGTACTCTTATTGGTGGTCGTCTTGTAATCTTTGGCAATTATGAAGATCGTATCCGTCAACAACGATTTGGTGAAACTCATGGATTGGAAGAGATTTATTTCTCAAATGATGTGGTTGATATTATTGAAAGTCGAACCTTGAATGACAAATGGTATGATGGAAAAAAAAATAACTAGATGGAACGAATATTGATTATTTTTTTTTATATTTATATCTTCCAATAGTGTTGTATTTGATATTACTGTGAATGATCAACATCTGCCTGTGGTGGCCTGTGAATCAAGTGTAGCAAGAACTGAATTGGCTGGCGTTACTGCAGAAATAGAAGAAAGTCTTTTAGAACTTCTTGGCATTCGATTATTTGCAGTGGTGGTCGTGGCGAATAATGCATTACCAAGGCAACTCAAACATGGAAGAAGACAAATTCATGCACTCATGACTAAGCGTGCTTTTTTGAATGGACAATTGACAATTCGATATATACGCATGGATGTAGATCGAACAGTATTCAATTTAGCAACAAATGATGATCCAGGACAACAATCAATATGGCGATCGGGATTGGCTTATGAACTCGCTATTAGACAACGTGTAATTATGCCTCATCATCAACAGCAACATACTGGAATGGAAACAGTACGATCAGTGATTGATGAAAGAACGGATTTTGATCTTTCAAAATTCTCTAATATTGTTGACGTCTTACAATGGAGAACAGCATTACACCCCGAAGAAACTGCATTCGTTGGACTGAGTCATAATGGATCTGGTGCAGTGGAAACAAAACCATATACTTGGAGGAAAATCAACTATACAATTGCTTCACTGGCTACTTATTTGATTAAAAGAGGACTCAAACGTGGACGCAAGGCTCTCGTTGTAGTGCCATTTAGTGTGGATTGGATTTTGGCCATTTATGCATGTCTAGTGATTGGTGTGACGCCTATACCCGTTGATGTACCTGATCCTCAACAACAACAAGTTCAACGTATCAAGGATGATGTGGAAGTGATATTGACTACGGCAAGGGATCTCAATGTAACATATGTACTGGTGAATGGAGCATCTGAAAGCATTCTCAAGAATAAACCTGTCAACCCAGCTATGCGACAATTACTCACATCAACATTCAAGGATTACAAGTTACCTGAATTTACCAATATCAACAAGGCAGCAAAACATCACAAATTGCTAGGAAAGGAAAGTGGAATGGCTATACAACCTGAATGGCTATCAAGTAGCAATACGACACCTCCATTGATACTTTCACAACTTGGTACGGATGGAAAGAGATATTACCCTGCTTTACGACATGAAACTATTCTTCAACAATGTCGAACACAAAAAACAACTTGTCAAATGAAATGGCAGCGTGGTATTGTGGCCACTGGACTTGGTGCTTGTGATAATTTGGGACTTTTATATAGTACATTCTGTGGTGTCTATGTTGGATGTATTACTGTTATGATACCAACTGAAGACTTTTATTTGAATCCTTTCTCCTTCTTTGAAATGGTCCAACGATACAAAGGTAAAAAAAAAAAAAAGATAATATAAGAAAAAAAAAGAATGATTGACGTTGTTTATTTTTTGATTATTTAGCCAAAGATATATGTGTGACTTTACCATTGATGCAATATGCAATGAATCGAATGAGTCCAAATAATGATCAACGTCGACTAGCATTACATAGTGTACAGAATATCATGATGATGACAGAAGGTCGACCTCGTCCTATCTTTTGTAAGTTATATAAAAAAAAAGGAGGAAATTAAATCAAGACTGATTTTTTTTTTTTTTTTTTGGTACAGATCAACATTTGTCTCGTTTCTTCTCGTTACATCGACTGGAAAAGGAAGCTTTGAATACAACATACAGTCATATTGCCAATCCCATGATAACAACGAGATCATATATGCTTGTGGAACCCATTGTACTTGTTGCTGATCTATATTGGTTACGAAGGGGTATTGTACGGTCATTACCTTTGGAAGAAGAATCTCGTGGTGTTGTATTGAATGATTCTGGTATTGTACCTAGTAATACAATGGTGGCAATTGTAAATCCTGAAACAAATACTCTTTGTCCAAGCAATGTTGTGGGTGAAATCTGGGTTAGCTCTGACTGCAATGTAAAACAATTGTTGACTGGTGGCAAGACAGAAGAAGATTTAGGAGCAAGTGTATTGGAAGTGACATTACCTGGAACGGATCCAAGAACCAAGTATATGCGCACAGGTGATTTAGGTTTCCTTTGGAATGTACAACGACGTGGTAATATGATGGATCCAATGTTGGAAGAAGGTCAATGTTTATATGTATTGGGACCCAAATGTGAAACTCTGGAAAGAAATGGATTGATGCATTTCCCTGGTGATGTAGAAACTTCTATTGAACGATGTCATACAGCAATCCCTGCAAATGGAAGGTAAATTATCACCCATCCTCAAAAATATATATATATATATAGAACAGTTTATTCAATTTGATTTTTTTTTTTTTTTAGTATTGTTGTTCAACATGGCAAGGAAATCGTAGCTATTGTAGCGGTCAAATCCAAAGAATATGCAACATCAGCTACACCTTTGATCGTTAGTGCTGTGTTAGAAAATCATTCCTTTTTGGTGGATACTGTGGTGATTATTCTACCGACCAATTTGCCTAGATCAAGATTTGGGGAAAAGCAAAGAGACAAGGCTTTGACAGCTTATGCTGATAAAAAATTGTAATATAGAAACAGGAATCGCCGCATCAAAAAAAAAAAAATGGAATATACTGACTATATTATTTATACTGTAGGGTCACTATTTATGTCAAACGTATCACCAATCAACATGAACCTTTACATTTGCAATGGGAACAATCACAATTCTCCAACGATAATAATGATGCCATTTCGCTACGTACTTCAACCACACGACCTCTATCTACTCGAGCATCATCGATTGCTGAAACAACACATGATGATATCAAGCATTTATCTTCTGGTAGTGATGATGGATTAGGTCGCTATGATACCATGAGTAGTCGCCAGGGTAGTCAGCATTTGACCACAACAACTTCTTCCCCGGCCTCTTCTTGAAAAGTTTCTTATTGTTCCGTAGTTATTTATACAATACACATTATTCCATTCACTCATTATCGTCACTCTTTTTTTTATTTTTATTATTATTATTATTATTATCATTTGATCCCTCTCCTTTTTAATAGTGTACTTTTCTTTATACATACTTCTCTCTCTCTCTCTCTTTTTGCTTTAATACTATCTATTCTCTTTTTTTTTCAATCATTCTTTTAGACTGTCTTCACATCCATCTATCTTCTTTTCACCTTCCCCCTTTTTTTTACATTTTATCCTTTAATCCTCCAAAAGAAACACAATAAAACAATTACATTTTACTTACTCATCATCCATAGCAACATCACCATAGTTCCCAAGGGCAACTGTAACCCAAATAAGGTTTTTCAGGTTCAGTGAACTATACTGATTATAGGTTCTTGAAGAAGGGGAACTCCGCCTCATGACTAAAAAAGGATCGTTTTCCAATTGAACAAAAGGAATAAGGTCAGATTGTCGCCGATAATATAAAAAAAGAGTATATTTTTCTTTTTCTTTTCTTTTTTTTTTTTTTTTGTCTTCTTCTTCTTGATAAGACTTTGTATTGAAAATAATGAGAGAGGAAGTGGTAGTATCCAGTGTAAATGATAATACTGGCAATTCTGTCACAACTGTGTATGATGTACCAGAAGCATTGGACAGTGTCGAAGCAAGCATTGCATCTAAAGAAGGTCAAATCCGTATGTATTCAAATTCCCAAAACTTTTCAAAAAAAAAAAAATAAAATAAAAACATAGACACATGAACTGATTTCTTCTTTTCTTTTATTATTTTATTTATTTATTTATTTATTTATTATCATCTTATATGATGATGATGGTGATTTTCTATTATAATATTATTTTATTATAGAAAATCCAAAGGATTTAGAAACTACTGACCCATCTCTTCCGCCATTGGATGGTAGTCGAGGGTGGCTGGTGGTGTTGGGGGCCTTCTTTATTCAATTGCTTTGTTTCGGCACAGCCAGTGCTTGGTAAGTTGAACATTGGTACTTGATCGGACATTTGATTAATTCTTTTTTTTTTTTATTTTTTTTTGGATTCAGGGGTGAGTTTTTTTTTTTTTTTTTTTTACTACTATTTTTCATTGGTACCTTTCCCTTTATACCCTGAGAACAGATAGGGAAAGATGATTAACCAATGTTTATATTTTTTCATTATTGATATGTTTATATTTTCATAATGAAGATGTTTGTTGTCACTCACATATTTTTGAACACAAAAAAACAAAACATCGTTATCTTTTGATGTTTTTTTTTCGGGCCATACTACTATGATCACTTTTTTTTTCTTTTTTTTTTTTTTTTTAGGTGTGATGCAAGCTGCTTTTGAAAAAATCTTTCAAGATGTACCTGATGCTCAATTACAATTAAGTTTTGCCGGTACTTTGTTAGAAGTATTTGTCAATATGATGGGACCTGTGGCTCAAATTATTAGAGCAAGATATGGGGTTAAAGTCTTATTAGTAAGTGGTTCCTTATTAGCCATCATTGGTTTGGAAATGGCTGGATTTACTACTCAGGTAAAGAGGATAATAATAATAACAATGATAATCGTTACTAATTTTTTACTTATTAGATTTGGCATTTATATCTATGTCAAGGTGTTGGTAAGTGTGTGTGCTGCTGGGTTTTGAACTTATTTCGTTTGAAATCGATTGGATTTTTTTTTGTTTCATTTCTTTCTCTTTTTTAATATCTCTTCTTTTTTTTTTTTTTTTTTTTTTTTTTGTTCTGTGCTTTACAATGTCATGCCTAAACAGTCTTTGGATCTGGAGCAAGTCTCATGTATTGTTGTGGTAAAATACATATATAAAAAAAAAGAGAACTTTCACTCATAGGAAAACTAAACCTTTTTTTTTTTCTTCTTCTTCTTCTCAATTATAGTGATGAATACAGCCCCTAGATGGTTTGATAAGAAAAGAGGTCTTGCTATGGGACTTGCAAGGTACAAACAAAAAATAAACGAAGAAAATGTAAACTCATATTTATTCTTTATTAATAGTTCTGGATCTGGCTTGGGAGGTCTCATTTTACCATTCATTTTGGATGCTGTCAACAAATCACTTGGAATTGGTTGGACTTATCGAATTCTAGGATTTATTATTCTTATATGCTGTGTATTTGCCTGTGTCCTAGTGAAGGAACGAGTAAAACAACCACGACAGTCAAAGACATTATCAGATTTATTTGATTTTTCTGTCCTCAAGGATATCAATTACGTACTCTGGCTTCTTGGTTCTGTGATCTCTCTCTCTGGTTTCTTTGTACCTTACTTCTTTTTGCCTTGTAAGTAACTTTATAAATAAGAAAGAAATTTACTTATATATATATGTATTTTTTTATTACTATGAGTATAGCATACGCAGATCATATTGGATTATCTTCATCACAAGGTTCAGCATTGGTTGCGGTTATGTCGACTGGAAATTTTTTGGGTCGTATTATTGTGGGCTTTACTGCTGATAAAATTGGTCGTTTGAATGCAGATATCATTTGGACCATTGTTTGTGGTTTAAGCTCTTTCTTGATTTGGATGTTTGCCTATAGCTATGCTGTCCTCATGGGCTTTTGTGTTCTCTTTGGTCTATGCTGTGGATCTTATTTCACTTTATGTAAGTATAATCTTACTGTTTTGAGTATCATCTAAAGAATGTCTAACCTTGTGTTTTTTTTATTATTATATAGTATCTCCTATTACAATGGATATTGTTGGACAAGATCGATTCCCCACTGCTTTATCTTTACTATTGATGGCGAATATTTTCTCTGTTTTTGGTCCTTCGATTGCAAGTGGTATCCAAACCAAAGTCGAAACTCCTTTTTTGGTCTACAAGTATTTTACTGGTTCTTCTTATGTATTGGGTGGTCTCATTTTAGTGGTATTGAAGTTCAAGTTATCCAGAAATATCTTGACAAAGATGTGATATTCCTAGATATAGTTATTACGTAGTTATTATTATCATTTATACATTCTTATTATTCATATATTATCATATCGGCTTTTTTTAATAAAATTCTCTGTTCCTCTATTGGATCTCTTGGAATCAAATATTTATATGAACTTTTTTATTTTGTTTGGTTTGATTAATAAGGTAGTCAATACGGATGAATAGATGAATGATATGATGGTATGATAGGATAATAGTGAATAATAATAATAATAATAAACAAAATGATAAAAATATGATTTTATTTAAACGAGAATGTAAAATAAAAAAAAAGATAATATAAGACACAGTGACTAAAAGATTAAACTATAATAATTTCCATGATATAGATTTGAATTAAGAGATATATGCTTTTTTCCTGACTTGCCATTCCTTGTCCAATAGAAAAACCTATTGTATATATCTAGTTGATCCTATTATATAACAGAAAATATTTATCTATTGTATTTTCACAGAAAGAGTAAAATAAAATAAAATAAAATAAAATAATTTATTTCATAGTATGAGAAAACTAGAGAAGAAGAAGAAGAAAAGATAGTAAAAGTATAATAAGTATAGAATATATAAATATGTAAAGAGTGGCTTTATAATATAGAGTAGTAAAAGTAATGTATAATGGCAACTTACAATTGTTCATTGGTTAAAAAAAGAAAAGTAAAAAAAAAAAGCAAAAGGGAAAAAAAAAAAAAAAAGTAGGGAGCGCGCCAAATTTTTTTTTTTTTTTTTGTCAGAGCTTGGTCCAACTTTTGTCTCCACAACTTTTTTTTTTTTTTTTTTCAATCTCCAGATTTTTTTTTGATCTCGAGGATCAGACCTTTTTTTTTTTTTTTTTTGATCTCGCCAGACATTTTTTTTTTTTCTCTGGATCCAACATTCCACATTGAGACCGGACTTCGAATTTATTCCATTTATGGAAACCCTTTAGATGAATTAAAAAAAAAGTAGAATGATGAATAATAAATAAGATGATGATGATAATTTTTATTGAAACTATTAATAAATAATAATAAATAATAATATGATGATGATTATAATTTTATAACTAGTTGTAAAGATGAATATTAAATATAGTATCATTTCTCTTATAATACTGTATGTACTTTGATGACAAGTACCTTCTTTCCTTTTTTCTTTTTTTTTTTTGTTCATACAGTAATGATGATAATACTTTAATAATAATAATCATAATAAATTTACTTTATTAAAAGAATATAAAATAAATAGTATGTAACTACTAAGACTAGCAAACAACAGAAACAACTACAATAGAATCAGATGGAATAATATAAAATAAAGATGATTTTTATTCAAAGTGTGATAAATAAATAAATAATAAACTAAATCAAATATAACAACAACATCACAAAGAGATCTATAAATAATAATAAAAAAAAGAGCGTTCCGAGTGAAGGATACTAGTCCAACACCCCAACTAAAGGTAAGCGAGAGTGATAAAATAAGAAGGATAAAGGAAAGGGAAAGAAAATAAAAAGAAAAAAGAGCTCTAACTTTAAATGGATTTTAAAAAAAAAATCATGGTTACAAAATTGGTAGAGCCAATCATAGCGCGTCCTTCCTTTATTTATACTTTTTCATATAAAACAAAACAAACTACATTTTCGAATCTATTACTTTTCCCTCACCATAACATTTATCTTTATCGAGACTATCATTCGTATTGCATATATGCATTATACGAGTAGGCGATTAAACCAAAATAGGCTATTTGTTTAAAAATCCGCATTATGCGATAACTTACATTTGTAATATATGATGAAAGAGTTTAGGATTCATGATCATCATATAGAGTTATCTTGATTGTAAGAATATAATCATCATCATCATCATCATCATTCATTTACTTTTTTTATTGTCCCTGAATTAATTAAAGTATCCCTTGTAGGATTTGCTGGGATTTCTAAACCAGTCAAACCTAACATATTAGAATATGCACGTCGATTTAGTGTAGTACATGTCCTAACTGCATAAAAAATATCAATGTCCTTTTCTCATCATGACATTAAGTATGACTGTATTTTTTTCTCCTATAAAGATATGATATATGTATATCACTATTACTGCTATTATTATATATAAAAAAAAAGGATAGAGAACGATACGTGGAGTTTGAAACGCGTAAAAAATTATCTTTTATGAGCAAAGAATTTTTACTTTTTTTTTTCTCTTTCTTTTTCTTCCAACTTTTAAACTAAGTTTACTAACACACATATTACTCTTCCAATTATTTAGGTTATTCCCGTATTATATCTTCTCCTTTGGTGACCACCTCATTCACATCATCTCTTGTTGGAGGATGTTGTTTGGTAAGTAATGAGTGAATATACCAAATACATTATATACTTATACTTCTTTATATTATCTTCATTTGTTTACATCTTTGAATGGGTGAGTAAAAAAAAGAAAAGTTATCTTCATTACCAAACTAAACTAATGTTATTTATATTATATAGACGTTAGAAGAGAACTCTATGTGGCTCCCAACAACAATCTATCACCGTAAGTTTATATTGTATAAATAATAACTATGACAACAAGGATGAATAATTACTAAAGCCATTGTGATGTTTTTATAATATTAGCATCTCGGGTCGAGAGAGAGATTTCCAAAAATGGTGACATAGTAGAAGACTTCTTCTTTTGCTGGCAAAACAAGAATACTCTATGTATGAAGGATGATAGTGATGACGGTGGATCATAAAGAAAGGTAATAGTATCAATGAAATTCTCATAAATCAATCTTTCCTTTTTTAATATAACCATTCCTTGTCTTTTTATACTAGATATAGTCGATACCATATGAAGCTCTGATTGTGGCACCTCTTTGTCTTGTCAATATTCTACGATTGGCTGATAGGGATAAACAAGTGCGGGCAAGACAAAAAAAAAAAAAAAAGAAAAAAAAAAAACTAATGGATGTGGTAGGTTGCTTTTGTGTGTTACTCTTTTCCTCTTCTTTTGTGGCAAGCAAAGAAAGCAAGAACTATGTAAGTATACTCTATCTGTTTTTACCATATCTATATATGAACAATCTACTCATCCTCTCATTTCCTTTCTTTTCTAGTTCTCGATGGTTTAATAGATACTTGAATCCATTTGATACCTTTATTAGACTTTACTTTTGAACTGATTTGATGTTGAACCAATTTGATCTGTTATGATCTTCTCTTGAGGTTAGGTCTTGATCGAACCAGCTTTAACTGCAAATCATAAATATCAAAGTTGAGTTCAGCTAAGCCAGCTCTCAAATGTAAGTCCAATCAAGACATCAAATGTATTCAAGTAGTCTGTGAATCATAATATCTATTCGACGGGTGGAAGGTAATATATAAAGAATATTATACAATGAATACAATATATAGTAGTTATTACTAAATATCACTCTTTCTTTTTTCTTTTCTATATTCTATAGTAGTTCTCTATCCTTGGTGATATCAAGTTGTATGGTTGGCAAGGAATATAAAAGGTTAGTAAAAAAAAAAATATTGGGAGTCAATATAGTTCTACCTCCTCGTGGTGGCTCCTGGGTAACGCTAAATGAACTATTCCTTTTAGTTTGGAAAATAGTATAATGTATTTTATTTTATTCAAATGATGGTTTTATACAAATTCAAATAAACTTTTGTTTTCAATATAATTGTACATCTCTTTTTTTTTTTTTTTTGGTTGGTTTATTTTACGATCGTATGTGCTGTGACACGACGATATATATATATATATATATATATTGACGTTAAAGATGATGATGGTCCTACTATGAAGATCTTGATGATGAAAAAAATTCATAATAAACTGATCTAATAAAAACAATCAACATTATGTTCAACATCTCTTTGATTGAATCGATGAATTGACGGTAATAATAGTATGATTGAATATACAATAGATGATAATAAGAGGTATGATCAATAATGACAAAGTAATAAAGCGATAACATGATCGAATGATTGGATGGTGGCTATTTATAAATATTTATTTATATTACTACAATAATAATAACCTGTTGTACAATGATTACAAGAAGATAATGAAGTATGGATATGGCTTTATTAATGTAAGAATTGTAACAAATTAATATTTTATATACGTAAAACTAATTAAAAGAAAAAGAATCGCCATGATAAGGGCCAAACAAAAAGAGGGAAAGGGAAAGGAAGCGAACCAGGCCAAAAGAAGATCAACAAAAAGATGCATGTGCACAACATCCAGTTGCTTTTCCGGTCCAGTTCATGTTCATCCAGTCCATATCCATATGGGCTATTTCAATCGATTCAGTTGCGCGGTCACTTGGTTGTTCCATTTGAATCCTTCCTGCCGTATATCCGTCCAGTTGATCCAATCTTGCATCCATTCATATATAAACAAATAAAGCCTGGTGACAAAGATGAAAGGAAATAAAGCGTAGATTATCAAGATTTGAATAATAAAAAAAAAAGGATTAAAGAAAGCAAATATCGATCAATAATCAAACTATATACAAACTAAGAGAAGGACAACAATAGGTTGTTAATAAAAAAAAAAAAAAACAGATTAATGATATCATCACTCAATTCATCATCACACTCTCTTGTTGGTATTACCTTTTCCTTTCCTCTTTGGATATATGTAATTGTGTTGATTATCTTCCAGAATCCAAGTGAGTGTCTATTTTATTGAATAAGAAAAAGGAGTTGAGCCAATAAATAATAAAGTTTGTAAGTCGTTTTTTTTTTTGTTTCCTTGAGATTACCTTTTGCTTCCTATTTTGCTACAAGTAGAAAGCCGACCTGTTGTTCAACCCCTTCAATCATAAACAGTGTTCACAGTAATTCTAGTCGAATTCTATTTTTGAAGGTATCCAACTATAGATCAACAGTCATAGTGAAATATCGCCATGTATTGTCTGAATTTCTAGAGTTCATCAATTGCCGTCATATCACCAATAATTTTCACTTGGTTTTCCTGTTTGTAACAAGAAAGACCAAATAAAGGGATTTCCCGAGAGATCCAAAGAAATAGATTCTTGAGATTCACCAAGAATATGGATTCACCATGAATACATAGGAAGAAAGAGAGTCAAAATAAATAGAAATATAAGAAATAAGAAGTATGGAAGCGATCAATAAGAATCAAAAAAATATTCAACAATACTTGTACTTCTATGATACAAAAAAAAAAAAAAAAGATTATCGGTTTTGAGCTAAAAGGGATAGGGGATGAAATTGAACAGGGGACAAAAGAAATAAACTTTTATCATCCACTAAAATGATTGGTTAAGAATTCGAGTTAAAGTTGCTTTCTTTTTTTTTCTTTTTCTTTTCCCCCCTTTCTTTTGTTTTTTTTTCTCACTCACCTTTTTTCTTTATTATTGTATCCTTGTCGTTTTTTTTTATTTTTTTTTTATTTTATCAATATGGACCAAGATAAAGAATTCCTTGATTGGGTAATGCAAAATAATCCAATGGAAGGTGCTACTTCTAATTTTGAACTACCACAACAACAATATCATTCAACACCTCAACAACCTCATTACCCAAATTATCCTCCATATCAACCTACTTACGATAATGAATCGAACCGAAGTTTCTATCAAAATACTCCGTCCATGATGCACGACAAAACTTCTCAACATTTACCATCGAACTACTCTGTTGAAATACAACATCAAATGCATTACTCAGGTCAACATTCTCATCAACAACCGAAAGAATCAAATATAAACAATGGAACAGGTCGCCTATCTGATGAAGATGAAGAAAATTACACAGAAGCACAATTAAAGATGATGACATCCAAAGAACGACGACAATTACGCAATAAAATCTCGGCAAGAAACTTTAGGAATCGTCGCAAAGGTAAAAAAAAAAAAAAAAAAAAAAATGGGGAGGTTTATGTATGAAAGGGAGACTCATCGTTTACAAAATTAAATATTTTTTTTTCCCTTTAGAATACATTGCATCCTTGGAGGGTGAAGTTGCCAAATTCAAGAACGAGAATAGCCAGCTGCGATTGGAAATTAAATGGGTTCGTACAACAATGAACAAGTTACAAAAGGAAAACGATCATCTGCGTGTTGAATTGGCCCTTTGTCATGGTGGCATTAAAACTGGTCCTGATACGACTCCTTCTTCTACAACAACAACAACTCAAATTTCTCAACAACCTCGGTCTTCTTCTCCTACAGTCGTTGCACCTGTCTCCGATTTTTCTCCTCCTACAACATTTAATATGGAACAATCTCATCAAATACTCCCAAATGCTCCAGCCCCAGCACCAGTAGCAACTTCTACTTCAATTCCAGAAGCTAATGCCAATGTTACTCACCAAATCTACAATAACACCTTGGTCCCTCCTACCCAAAATGGTAACTTAACACACAATATTATTACTCCATCAACAACAACATCAATGCCCGTTGGAAATTCACCAACTTTGGAAGGTGTACCACAATCACAACACAAATTGCAGGGACAATCACAACGATCGAAACCGTCAAAACAATTAATACCATCAAAGGAACTTCAACAACAACATCAACAACAACATCAACAACAACATCAACAACAACATCAACAACAACAACAACAACAACAACAACAACAACAACAACAACAACAACAACAACAACAACAACAACAACAACGTCAACAACAGCATCAGCAACAACAACAACATCAACAACAACAACTGCAACAACGTCAACATCAACATCCACAACAGCAACAACAGCAACAACAGCATCATCAACAGCCACCACAACACCAACAACAACATCAACAACAACATCAACAACAACATCCACAACAACATCCACAACAACATCAACAGCATCAACAACAGCATCAACAACAGCATCAACAGCAACAACATAATAGTATGCCTATCAACAATGAAAATGCTATGCCTGTAGTTACAACATCACCCCATCAATCTATTCCTGGAACATTGGACACTACGCATTCTGATTCATCTTCGTCTTTTGCCAGTCAAATGTCACCCCCGAATTTTACTGAATTAGCTGATACTTGGGATCTCGTCGTTCCAAATGAACTGAACTACTGTCCTCCCTCTTCCTCTATTGCTCAACCAGCACCGTCACAATCTGCTCCTTTATTCGATCCAAATTTGGTTTATTCTCAACATCAACCGGTATTGGTACCAGTCAACACCGTATCACCACAGCAACAACAACAACAACAACATTATCCTCATCAATCGCAAGTCATCTACCCACCTCGTTCAGCGGTCATGTATCAGCCACAACAACTGCCACCATCATCATCACAACAGCCATCATATCAACACAACAGTTTTGTATCTTCGGCTTTGGTTCCTAATTTCGACTTTGGAAACATCCTGTGCAAACAACGGAAACAACAAAATGGGTTTGACAACAACCTGTTCCGAGAATATCCATTATTGATACCCGCTTTGATGTCGATCGTGATTGGCCACACGATGTCCATGAGTACCGAAGATCTCCTCTCACATACACGCCTTTTGTCAACACCTACCCCATCTTCCATGGCACGCCCGTCAGCGAATCCTTTTGGCGGCGATCTCTATTTTGGTAACAAAATGACACCTGGATTACGACGTCCATTCCAAGATGGCTCTACATTGTCTAAAAAACAAGTACATGCTATATGGGAAAATCTATTGGATAATATGGTGATGGTCCGATCGAAACAGCAAGTATTATCCACAACGAAGGAAGAAGACGTTGAAGCATCTGTTGTTCAAGAAATGGTAAGAACCAGTATGAAATGGGATCAAGAACATCGTATCAAGAATGAAGATAACAACGACGACGATGATTATTATGATGATGATGATGATGATGAACCTTGGTACGATATGCCGGTGACTGGATTCAAGGCTATTTGTCCTTTGTATTGGATGCAACGTCAATTCTGTCGTTTTGTCATTACTTATGTGGTGGTCAAGTATCCTCATTTGGAAAATTCTTGCAAAACCTATTTACCTATTTGTGAACAGTATAGACGTCGTCTTGTCACTGCTTAGTTTGTAGTTTTTTTTTTTTTCTTTCACTCCTTACCCATTCCCTTGATTTTACAATGATTTTTTCTCCCTTTTTTTTTGTATATAGTTTCTTTTTTTTTTGTGCCATTGTCTCTCTAGTTTATTTTTTTTGTCATGTCTCTCCAATCATTTCCCCCTTCAAGAAAAATGTATGGTTTTTATATTTATGTTTATCAATAAAATGATGATTTGACATCAAATGTCATTCTTTTGTGTGTCTTTTTTTTTTTTATTATTATTTAACGGTGATGTTTACGCGATGGAAGACGATGATTTATTGAAAAGAAGGATTATTCATTTTCGAATAGAATGGTGAATACATAGCATGATGGTGGTTTCAACCGTCAATAATAGTATGATGATTTATTATAAAGTATTTCATTCGATACACTTCATTAAAAAATATATATAAGACATCAAAAAAAAAAAAAAAAAAAAAAAAGGGAAGATATAAATCAATAAGAGGATATATATATATATAATATAAAATAATCTGTCTAAATGGAAATGAGTTATTTTGTATGGGATAAACTAAAACTTGATTGTTGTTCAAACGGATACGTATCCACCACTGCCATGACGACGCGAAGTGACAGATTCCATCAAATGAGAGATCAAATCCTTGATCAAGTAAGGCAAATCCAACCAAAAGTCTAATAATAATAAGCGATATTAGAAGAATGTAAACATATCATGTTGATTGTAACTTACCACGATGAGGGATAAGATCAAGACCTCTAGCATTGAATACCTTGTAATTGTAAATGGCACCTCCGATAAAGTAAACACCCAACGCTATTCCCAACCTATTTATATCAAGTCAAATCAATCAGTCTGTTTTTTTTTTTTTTATGTTCTAGTTTACTTACATAGTAAAGAACCAACCAATAGCTGATTTGCCACCTTCTTGAGGTTGATCTCCATTATTACCACCGTTATTACCTCCATCACCATTGGAAGGAGGTTTTTCACCTACCTTGGTACTATAAAAAAAAGAAAGAAAAGACAGAGTTAAGAAAAAAAAAGATTCTCCTCTATTATGATTTCTGAATCCTAAACGATAAACTTACGCGCAAGCAAAAGGTACTTTCCAGTGAAGTTTCGTGATATAACCATCATCAGATATAAGATTGGGTCCGTTGGGATTTTCCTAATAAATAAATCATAAGAAAGCAATCAGAAGAACAATTCCATTATAAGGATGATGATCTACTTACTCGAGTTTCTGGAAGACCACATTCCAAAGTAATTTCCACTGTTTGTGCCTTGCCCAAAACATTTCCACCATGCAAAGTCAAAGAAAACTGGGTTCCGTCTATATATATGTATAAAATAGATAAAATTACAAGTGATAAAAAAAAAAGTTCAAATCAAATTAATCATGTTCATTTAGATCTATCCTATTTTCATATGTATTTTTTTTTTTTTTTTTGTTACCAGTTGATAAGTCTTGTCCTTCAGATACAACCTTGAATTCAGGTTGAAGTTTAGAACTATGAATATCAAGAAGAATCAAATCAATAAATCAGTTTTGTTTTTGTTTTGTTTTGTTTTTTTTTGGCGCACAGACTTCACATGAACTTACTTTTTATAATCACCTGCCAATTCTTCCACTTCATCCAAACGTTCAGTATCCCCTTTTTTATGGAAGAGACGTAGACATACATACTATAAGAAGAAAGGAACAAAATGTTAGTATTTTTTTTTTTTGAATATAGAATATTCACTTACAGTATTAGGATCACAAAAATCTTCATCATAAGTCATAGGAGGCTTCTTTAAAGGATTGCAGATATTAACATAGGTGCGGGTGATTTTCTGAGATGGTTTGGTGTTTGTCGCGATTTCCATCATGAAATCACTTGTGTCGTCAACAAAAGGATAAATGGAACAAAGAAAGAAAGAAAAAAAAAAGTAATAAAAGATGAGCGAATAAATATTATTTATATTACAAACTTACCGATCCATTGGAGAAAGATCAAGTTCATATTGTCCATCTTGTTGAGGTTTAAAGCCTTTATTGCAGTAATCTTGAATTCCCATCACAGTAGTAGTGATGAAACAAAAAGTAAGGAGAATGGCTAGATACGTCTTCATGATGTATTATAAAAAAAAAAAGCAAAAAAACCTTTCTACCCGTTTCTTTTTATTGACGAAAAAATATATAAAATAGATAACAGAAAAAAAAAAAGAAGGAAAAAAAGAAGACCGGAAAATGACAAAGTGGAAACAAACAAAAACCTTTTCCTTTCGGGTTTGAAGTCCGCCAAAGGTTGTTGATCATGATCAAAGAGATATGGAGTCATCCAGTTTTCTATTTAAAAAAAAAAAAAATAAGTAAATTCAAATGCAAAACAACTATTATTATTATTTACCTTGGTTTGATACAATGTAATAGAGTGAATAATGAGCCCAATAATAGACATAATCCACCAACAGCCATATATGTCAAAGAAAGATAAAAGTTCCTTCCTCCCAAAGGTGATGCTGATGTTAAAACTAACCATTTCTTACCTCCATATCCTAATGTATCAAAATCTAATGAAAAAAAAAAAAAAAAAGAAAAATCAATTCAATAGATAGATTTCTGTCTATTTCAATAATAACGAAAAAAAAAAAAACTTACTGAGATCTATGGTTGCACGCCATCGACCAGCAGGTAGATCTTGATCATCATTTCTTCCCCATGGTTTTCGAAAATCAGGGAAAGCTGCTACTGACATCCAAACCTTTAATTGTTCCATCGTAGTTCCAAGATCAGGAGGAGGATATTGTTCGGTATATTGGCCCTGAGGATATCTAGATGCCCAATTAGGAGGAGGTATGATTTGATCCAGTGAGTAGCCAGTTCTTCCATACTTTTGATATTCAGTTGACCATGTTAATCCATTACGACTCCATCCATACTGTTGTTGTTGTTGTTGTTGTTGTTGTTGTTGTTGTTGTTGTTGTTGTTGTTGTAGAGGTAATGTGATCAAGGTAAGATTGGAGATAGTATCTATTTTGTAAATAAATAAAAAACATTCATCAATATTCAATCTATTTTTTTTTTATTATTAGTTTACCATTAAACATAGAATTGGCAATAAGGCCACAGGGGTATACAATCTTGTTATCATTGGTAGCAACTGGACCACAATTGGAAGTAGCTGTACTGGCATCTACAGGCACACCGCGTAACTGGTCTGTATCAAAGCTCTTGATATATTGTCGATGATTTTGATAAAACTGGGTAAGTCGATAATACATGTATACAGGTGCTTTGATGGTCATTGGTACAGTAAAATCCAGAGTGCATTGTTTGATGGTGAGATTGTTGGGATTATGATATGTTGGATCATTGTCGTTCGATTGAAAACTGGTTGTATTCTTATAATGGAAGACAGGTGGTTCGGTCACAAATAATGAGTTGCTACTATCGGATTTTACTGAGGTATCAAATCGAAACTGATACATACTTGGTGCAAGGTAAATGGGTCGGTCATATTGTTGACAAGTGGAGTAATCGAGCATGATTTCAAATGTCTAATAAAAAGAAGAAATGAAATTTTAACTTTTGTTATCTTCTTTTTTTATTAGTCTTATTAGTTTGAATAAATAAAAAAAAAAAACTGACCTTTCCAGCATTCCAATAAAGTAATCCACCAATCGGTAAAAAAAGAATACCAATGATAAAAAGTATAGGAATTACAGTGGTAGGTCGAAGTACAGGTTGCCAGGCAGGAAGACGTTGTTGACGAAACGCACCATCTAAAAGTCAATATATATATATATATATCTAAGAAAAATAGAAATAAATAAAGTTATTTGAGACATTACCTTTAGGTTTCCAATTCCTTCGAGAGACTCTTTTTTCCATATGGGCTTTAAAAAAAAGAAAAAAGAAAAATTAAAAATTGAATGAAATTAAAGGAAGCGGAGATCCAACTATCAGTTTTATTCACTTTAAATTGAGACAAAAAGTGATCGATCATCCTAGGTTTATTGAGGATAGAGAAAAAACAAAATGACAAACTATACTAATTAACTGATCATAAAAAAAAAAAAAAGAGAGAATATCTTGCTAAATAAAACCATGCTTCACCTTAATCGCCTTGAAGAGCTTGCTGTTGTGAATTTTTCAGTGAGGTTGGATGCTAGTTCTTTTCGAATTCTTTCTTTTCGTGGTGTTCGACGTGGTAGTGCAGGTGTTTGATCATCCTTTTGTATAGTTTCTTGTGGTGATGATCCCCATCGTGATGAAGATGTTGTCGAAGAGCTTGTTTGGGATGATGAATCAGATAGTTTTCTTTTATGACCTGATGAAGGTCTCGTATCTTCAGTATCCTATATAAAATAAAAAGAAATGATAATAATAAAAAAAAAAAACCAGTAAATCAAGTGAATAATATGCATGTATACACTTTTTTTTTTTTGGTGATATTTACCTCTAACATTCCTTGTGATTTCAGACGAATTACTGCACGTCTATAACCAACATGTCTACTATTCCATTTTATTGTCAATAATTTATCTGCCAACCAAGAATCTTTGCATCGAACCAATTGGATATCCACTTTGAGTGTTTCTTCTTCCAAAGCATGTTGAGCATAATGTCGATACTTTTCATCCAGTTGTTTCCAATAACAGTTATACTTTAACCCGAATTTGGCTACCATATCTTCCATCACCATCACCGTTAAATCCTTCGTTTGAATCGCTGCTAATCGTGCACGTTCTGGTCCAACAAGATATCGAATCGCCTGATCACATTGAGGACCATGAACAGGTTGTAGACGTTGATTCCCATTCACTGTTTCCTTCGGTCGTTCAAAGTCGCGTTCAAAATTGTCTATTCTATCATTGTTGTTGAACCTTTCTAACTCCATATGTTGTTGTACGTCCGTTTGATGATCATCATGATTATTGTCTTCCTCTTCATCATCATCATCGTTGTTCCATTCATTCACACTTGTTTGATCTTGATCCATTTGTGGCACTGCTTCATCTAAATCAGGTGATTCGGATTTGATTTCTAGAAAAAAAAATGACAATAGTATTAGAAATAAAAGTAGATATATATTCTCTCTTGCTTCAAGCTGCTTTTCAGATCATTTCTTATATGTATTTTGTTTCCATTTACCGACTTCTGGTTGTTCCTCATAAGCAGTATCGTATAGTGGTCTCCTTGGAGTGGTATTGTCTTGTTCTAATAAGTGGCGAGTATCAATGTGCTGATCTTCAGCTACTGAACGAACTTGATTGGTTACATAATGCTGACAATGCTGTTGCTGACAATTCTGTTGCTGACAATGCTGTTGTTGACAATGCTGTTGTTGACATTGCCGTTGTAATAAGCTTGTAATAATTGTCATTTGTGTTTGCTGCATGGACATGAGCTGATTGATAGTGTTTTGTTGTTGTAAAAGAGCTTGAACGATGGTAAGAAACTGTCGTTCGTGTCGCAGCATCATGCCCTGAAATGATAGTTTTTGTTGTCTTCGTGGATGAGGAAAAGTTTGTTTTTCGATACTGTCCCTGGAATCGGTCATAGCGTTAAGTAAGATGTGTGCGTTGGAAGAAAAAAAAGGGGAGAAAACAAAAGAATTGTCTATTTTCCTCGAAAATACAAGCGGTGATTTAAAGATAGCTTGTACCATGCACCCACCCAAAAAAAAAAAAAAAAGAAAAAAAGGACTATAAGAATGAAATAGATAGAAGCATTTTGGCTGGAGAATGAGTCAATGCATTATTTTTATTTATACAATGATGAGATAGGGGAAAATATATATAGTAAGAAAATAAATAAAAAAAAAATATGAAAATGAAGTGGCTAATGTACGTACAAGAAGTAATAAAAAATAATAATATGTAAAATGTTGAAAATAATATGTATAATGATAATTGAGAGCAAGATATGAATGTAGTATATATGACAATGAGAATAGAAGGCGTCCACAATTAGATAGTCAAACTAATATTCTTCCACGTAACAATTCGAGAAATACCGTCTTCAAACTTGATTCTACTTGATTTACGCTGTACAACATGATCTTCTACTAAACCTTTGTATAATCCACCACCTCTCCATTTGGCATAAACGGGTCTTCCAATATAGAGTGTTGCTGTCATTGTTTTGATGTATTGTTCCTTTTCAAGTTGCTTTTTTTCTTTCAGTTTCTAAATGAAATCAAGAAATAGTTAGTCCACATTATCTATAACAAGTGGAGGAGTTGAAAAAAACTTAACTGGATCATGTAAAGGACAATAGGCATCATAGGCCACAGATGATTGATCAGAAGCTAGTTTATGTTCCATAGTAGCACCAGATTCTTTTGCACAAGATACATGGAAGGATCTACAACATTTTCCAAAGCAACATTGAATACAAGCACCTTTATTTACGTGACAATAAAGACAAGATAATTTCCAACGAGCAGGAGGGATATTTTTGATACCATGGACAATCCATTTTCCATTTGGTAGTTTTTCCAAGTAAGTATCAGGGATATATTCGGCACATAATTGATGTACACGACGTCCTTCTGTTGTTTCCATTTCAGCCGGATATTGGCTTGGGCATAATACGCATGACTAGACAAGAAAAAAAAAAAAGAACATCATAATCAATATAAACAGTCATTTTTATTATCACATTCATTTTTTTTCCATTTTTATTGTAATATTTACCTTATCCTGGGTCAATCGAAGAGATACAGAAGTGGGAGTTTTTCGTTGTTTTTTTGAAGAAGGCAATGGAGGTATCATTGTTGGAGGTGGTGATGATGATGATATTGTTGTTGATACAGATTCATTATTATCTTCTTTAGATGGTGATGCTGATTTCGTAGAATCAAAGATGGTCATATCAATAGTAACACTATCGTTGATACAAGTACATGCTTTTGCTTGTCGTCCAATTTCCAACCATGATGATAAGGCAAAATTAACACTTTCGGCACAGTTGAAACCAAGATTATAACCAGAATGATAACCAAAAGGAAAAGTGATCATAAATTCACCTTCATGTTGAACACATCGATAAACAGGGATACCATTATTTGCTAAAAACTTGGGTGATGCAATATGAGTTTTGTGTCGTAAGAATTCAGGACAAATTTTTGATTGTTGGAAAAAAGTAGCTAGAGAATAGAAAAAAAAGTTTATTCCAGATTTCATAAGGTTGTGTAGCACAAATAAGGGAACTTACTTTGCATAACACTTTCGAACTTTTTGCTGTGTGACCCAGGAATAGAATACCACTGCTTTGGAGCACCGAAATGTAAGTAATTGATAGAATAAAGATCCATATCTTCCACATGCCATGGAAATGTTGCCTTCCACATACCAAAATACAAATAAGGAGTGTTCACACCTGGTAAAGTCACACCAATTTGATTCAAAACATTGTCGAGTTTGTTAACATTCCATGATTTCACTGTAGAATCGAATAATGCTGCAGAAAAAAAAAATTAATCAATGCACAAGATGAATACACCTTTGCTATATATATAGAAACTTACTTCCTGTCATATCAGCACCATACATAGGTTGAGTAAATGTGAGATTTCGCCAATAAACTCGTTCTAATTCTTTACAATAGTCATCCGTATAGATATCTTCATTGTGTCCATGTACATCAAAGGTCACTGGCATAGGTTCATCAGATTGAGCTAAAGCAATTTCATCCGCTTGTATTTCCCGTTTAGTTCGTTTGGAGAGATCTGGTGAAGGAGGAGGTGAATGTAAATGAGTTATTGTTGTAGATCCTTTTGTTTTTGATCGAGTCTATAAGAAATAAATAAGCAAACAATAATATATACATATTTTTTTTCATCACATACGTTTGTAAAAGGAGGAGGATGTGATGATCGTATTTTTGAATCATTCTGTTGTTGTTGTTGTTGCTGTTTTTGTCGGATATGATCAGAATGTTGAGATCGACGTCTTTTTTTATTTAGTGAAATAGGTCTGGAAGCACGATCGGTTGTCAAGTCAGGTGGTTTGTGATCATCTTCTTGGCAAAGGGAATGCCATTGATTGAGTGTATAAGGTCTTCTTTTCTCCACATTTGTTTGTTGATAAATACCTTGACAGCCCATAATATGTTGAATCTATTAAAAAAAAAAGATGAGCTTTTACTGGTGATCACATGGGTTTTAATTTTAACTTACAATTGGATTTCGTACTCGAACATGTTCCAATTTTTTATCAATAGGTGGTAATTTTCGAGTCCTAAAAAGTATATATATATTAAAAGGTTTCTTGTTAGTTTGATATTTTTGCATAAAAAAAAAATGGCTCTTACCATTCTTTGGGAGGAATCACTTTTACAATGCCGGCCTCTTTGCCATAACTGTCAATAGCTTCCATAAAAGCATAAAAGTCTTTGAATTCTTCCATTGTTGGACGAAATACAGGAATCTGTCCTCCATGATCCTAGAATGAAAAAAAAAAAAGAGTAAAAGTACATTCAATGAGCTGTCAAGTAAAATCATAATCGACCGGAGTAAAGAAAAAAAAAATTGTGTATTGTTGTCAAACTATAAGGTTTCGAGTACTTTTTTTTTTTATTCGAAATGATAAACTTTCATTTCATTTTTATTGTAATAAAGACTTACCTGATCATAATATTCACTTGGTTGTATCGTCTTTATAGTCATGACTTCATAAATATCCAAAGATCAAATTTAAATAAAAATGAATTGAGATTTTCAAACAAAGAAAGAAAGAAAAAGAAGAACAGAAAAATAAAAGCCATTGGAGCACAATTCTTTGTTACAACAAACGCACGTGCACTTTTTTTTTTTCACTGTCTGTGACTATTTCATCTCCGCTAAGGGCCAGTTTTTTTTTTTTTCTTGCCTTCTCATTCTTATTGATTTTTTTTTTTCCTCTTTCTCCCTTTCACTCTATAGTTTCCAGTTAATATATATATATTTTGTAATGAAATTATCGTTGTTATTGCTTGGTTTATTTCCTTTTGTATTGGCAACTAAAAATATACCAGAAATAGAAGAAGGTAAGTTGATAAAAATAAATTTGTATATTATATTCTCATCATTTCCATCTTATAGGTTATGAAAAAGTGACTTGTGGTAGTACTATTAAAATTGCCAATAAAGCAACACAATATCGGCTTCATTCTCATGGTGTCTCTTATGGTAGTGGGTCAGGTCAACAGTCAGTCACAGGATTTGTAGAAAGAGATGATCCAAATAGTTTCTGGTTAGTTAGAGCAGCACATAATAGACAATGTATTCGAGGGTAAGGAAAATACATATAAAGAACGCGATAAATTAAAATTGATTCTATGATAGACAAGCCGTACCTTGTGGTGCTATTATCCGATTACGCCATACCAATACCAAAGGATACCTCCATAGTCACTTGCATTCTTCACCTTTATCTGGACAACAAGAAGTCAGCTGTTTTGATGGTAACGATGGTGGAGATGATTGGCAAGTTCAATGTGTAGATTCGACTCAAGAATTCTGGTTACGTGAACAACCTATTCATTTGATTCACGTTGATAGCAATACTTATTTGACTAGTAGTCCTCAATATCAATATGGACAACCTATTCCTGGACAATTGGAAGTAGCTACTGCAAAATCAAGTTCAAAAAATACTCAATGGATCGCTCAGGTAAATAGACAAGTGACCTATTAATGATTTATGATATTAAATATTTGTTGTTGTTTTTTTTTTTTTATTTTATAGGAAGGGATTTATTTTGCATCAACATCATAATGATAGTAAAATAGTATAGAGATGAGTGGATAGTCTTAGTGTAGATGGTTATGAATCGTTTTATATATAAATAAATATATATACAATATTTATATTTTGTATACGATTTTTTTTTATTTGTTTATTTTGTTCAAAATGTACATGATGAATAAGAGAGTCAAAAAAAGAAAATATATATGATGATGATAAAAGTGTCACTGATTCTATACGAATATATATATCTATATATAAAAGGATGATAATAATAATAATAAAAAAAGATCTAAACAATTGCTTCAGTATCACCAAGAACAGGAGGTACATAAGAGTCAACAAGATGAGCATCGGAGGGTAAAATGTAATCCTTTTGTTCCTGAGCATAATGATTCATCAAGGCATCACGGCAAGCACGATGTTCAGCCATTTTCAAAGAACTACCAAATCCTTCACCCAATTTTTTATTACCAGAAAAGACACCAACGACAAAGACAGGAGAGCTTGATTTACGACCAGTTTCTGATAATAAGCGAGATACGGCACGTTCCTTTTTGGATCGATTCAACAAGGCACTAAGACTACGTTTAGCTTCCATCCTCCTGAAAGCGGGAAGAAGATCAATTGTTCGGTTGTTAAGAATATAATCATGTACCATTTTCTTAGCAGCATCAGGACCTTGTTCTTGATATACGGCACCTACTAAAGCATTAATACAACTACACATGGCATAAGCATGACCATCCATTACACTATCTTCAGCTGTCTATACAAATGAACATAATATTAGTTTCATATCATACATATATTATCCAAATATATTCGTACCTGAGGACGTTCCCAACGCATAACATGTTGTAAACCAAGTTGATGACCTAAACTATTTGTTGCTTTGGCAGAGGTGTATGCAGAAGTAGCGTATTTGAAACAATCAACTGGTAAATCAGGATATTTGCAATGAAGATATTCAGTTGTATAATAAAGAATAGCTTGTTTTCCCAAGAAAGAAAGAGCTTGATTATTATGTTCAGCATCAAAAGTGGCATGAGTGACAGCTTGTTGTAAAAGTTGAGGAGATAAATTTTGAAGTCCTAATCGACTACCAAAAGCAAATAAAGCAGCATTATTATTATTATTGTTGTTGTTGTTGTCGTTATTATTAATGGATACGTTAGAAGGATAAGTAGCCGATTGTATAATACGATTAGTGTGAAAAAGTGAAATGGAGGCTGTTCGAGGAACTAAAACAAAACAAAACAAAAAAGTTAATTTCATTATAAATAATAATAATAAAAAAAAAACTTAATCTCTTTTATTATTTATTTACTTTGAATACGAGATACTAAAGGACGACACTTTGATAAAAGCATAATAAAGATATATAAAGTAGTTTGAAAAAAGAAAAAAGAAAAATAAAAAAAAAGGAAAGAAAAAAAAAACATCGAATTTGACAAACTCTTTTTTTTTTTTTTTGTTCACCTTCCTGCCCCCCAGTTGTGAAATGGTGGCTTTTGGTTCAAAATTGTTTTAATCTCAGAAGCTGATTTCCTTTTTAGTCAGAAAGGAGGGGGAAAAAAAGAACTCTCTATGCAAAAAGAACGAATTGGTCATTTTGATCCGACAAGAGACTTTTTTATTATTATTATTATTATTATTATTATTATTATTTATCCCCCCCCCTTTTTTTGTTTTTTTTCTTTTCTTTTCTTTTCTTCTCCTTTCTTTTTTTTTTCTTTTTTTCTTTTTTTTCTTTTTCTTTTTCTTTATTTTTTTTTATTTTCTTTCTTTCTTTTCAACATTTATATTACTTTTTGAATGGCACAACATTCTCCTACATTATTAGAATGTCACGAATGGGTAATGGAACATTGTTCCAATTTATTGAATACTACTTCTGATGATCCTAGTGATTGTCTTATTGCTATCGACAGTACTCGTATCTTTATTAATGCTCTTCAAGCTCCTATTACGGTAACTCTTCCTCTACAAAAGAAATTAGATAAGCTTACTCAAGTTTTACAAACAAACACAAATATCGCTGCTGTGGTAAAAAAAAAAAAAAAAAAAAAATTATAATATTTATTGTTTATTTTTGGATAAAACTAATTATTTTCTTCTTATTTTAGGTGCAGGAAATTCAATCAGTATGTCAAACTTGTAAACCTTGGTTACACTCTATTTCATTTGTAGAATGTAAACCTTTAACTGGTGCTGTTACTTCTATGTATCGTCTCGAATCTCCAAAGGTAATCCCTCATTTATCTGCTCCTGATTATACTGCTATGTGGCCAGACTTTATGAATCGCAATTCTGGTTGGTTTCGACAATATTTTGTTGGCAATCCTTATGTCACTTTAGCAGGTCCTATACAGCGCTATGACATCATCTCTGCATCCTCTTCAAAAACAACAGATACGTCAGAACATCATGATCAACAAGACGATGACAATTCTTATGCTATTGTTACTGTAGTTCAAGAGAAGCTCAAGGCTAAGCATACTTCACCTAATACAAAAAATAATAGAAAGTGTTCGTCAACAACTTGTTCTAGAACAACGACTGGCATTCAATATAGACTCATCATACGTACCAGCAAAGAAACCAAGCGACATACCCTTTTGGAAACAGACGTTAGAAATACTTTGGATTCTCTGGAAACTTGTGGACAAGGCGATCGATTAGAAATATCTTCAATAAATCAACAAAAAGAAAAACAGAAACATCGACCACTTCGCAGTTTTTCATCAGCCATCATTCATCACACCACATCTTCATCTTCTTCTTCACCAGGACAGAGACGATGCAACAATGATGATGACGATAATGATTATAGTCCCATTCGCAACAAAGGTCATTACAAACGTGATTATTTAAATAATACTACTTGTCCATCTTTACAACGACTATTATGTGCAACTCTTTTGTCAATTTATCCACATTTGGATTTACGTCAATTCAAGGCATTATCAGCAGAAGCTACTATCATGGCGGGACTAGAAAAGGAACTGTTACGTTTTGATGAATTAGGGGTAAAAACAATAATAATAATAAATAATCATTAACCAAAAAAAGACTAATAACAATATATTATTGATTAGATTCCAAAAAATTACAAGTTTGGAGTATTGGTAGTACGTGATGGCCAAACATTAGAAGAAAATTGGTTTTCCAATACTGGACTATCAAATGATCTTGAACAGTTTTTAAACATCATTGGACGACGTATCACATTACAAGGCTACAAAGGCTATGCAGCTGGACTGGATACAAAATGTAAGTTGATTTAATTAAAAAAGAAAAAAAAGATCACGTGGATAATAGATTAACGTTTTTTTTTTTTTTTTTTTTTGGTTACCTTTTAGGTGGTGAATCTGGGGAATACTCATATGTGACGAATTGGAAAGAAAATGAAATCATGTTCCATGTTGGACCACTTATGCCATACAATCCTCAAGATAAACAACAAGTTCATAGGAAACGCTACATTGGAAATGGTAAAAATAATAATAAAAATGGATAACCTATGATATTTATCATTCATTCGTTTATTTGTTTTTTTTATTATTATTATTTATTATGATGTATCCCTTTTTTAGATATTGTATGTATCGTCTTTATGGAAACGAATCAACCTTCACTTTTCGATCCTGGTGCTATTCGATCCCAATTCCTACATATATTTATTGTTGTTCATCCAGAAATAGTAGATGACAAGCAAGCCTGGAGGTAAGCTGACTCTACAAAAAAAAAAAAAAAAAAAAAAAAAAAAAAAAAAAGAAAGGATCAGTGGTTAACGGATTTCTATCTTCAGAGTGGAAATTGTATGTAACAAAAATGTGCAAGAATTTGGACCTCCAATACCAAGTCCACCACTGTTTTTTATGGAAAATGAATTACGGGAATATCTTATCTTGAAATGTAAGTAGAAAAAAGAATGATGGATCCACTCTTTAACTTTTTTTTTTTTTTTTAAAAAAAAAAAATTGATGTAGTGGTCAGTGCAGAGAACGCAGCCCTTCAATCTGATAAGTTCGCAATGCCCAACAAGAAAGCAAGACAAGGGATTTTTAAATCGCTAGTGGATAAGGGTCTCACAGCATCAACACATTCTTTGACACAATCAAGCTCTTTCTTACAAACAAAGACTGGATTGGATAGCTACTTGAGTATAATGGGTGGACAACAACGTAACAAGAATGGAAATATTAAAAAGTTTGCCAGCATTCAACGACCACAGTCGGCAGGACCGACAGAAAGGAATCATTCACGATCAAGTATGCGTAGTTTACGGTCCGCTATAGAAAGTCCAGTATCATCAGTAACTGTATCTTCATCACCAATATCAACTTGTTCCTCTTCATCCTTGGTAGTTCCCACTCGTTCCATGACTCCAGATCAAACAACAACAACAACAACAACAACAACAACAACAACAACAACAACAACAACATTATCATCATCTTCATCATCGTCATCATCAATTTTATTCCCTTACACTTCAAAGTCAAACGTGCTACGTGATTTAAAAAGTTTGACTCGACGAAGGCATTCAACAGCATCTACAGCCAATCGATTCACCACACCTTCTTCATTGGATCGACCTGTTCGAACAAACTCACCTATTTATATCCCATCTCATTCACCCACATGTCAGCGTATGTTGGAATCGCCAGTATCTTTTGATCATGATTCTTCATTGAAAACGAATACAACAACAGGGGATCCGTGCTGTTCAGGCTTATCATCTCGGTCTTCTTCTTCGACATCATTGACTACCAATAGTCATTCACAATCCAGTTCTTTTTATTCGCCCCCTTCACCTCCACCTATGGATATGATCAAATCACCTCCTTTGGAAACAACTAGTAGTATTCGGTCTCGTGCTCAACATTTGGTATCGGCAGTCATGCGACGAAAACTGGGCGGTGATCATTCGTCATCATCATCTTCTTCTTCTTCCATCATCTCTCGGATGCCTCGTACAAATTCGTCGTGGGTGAAAGATACTTGAAATCAAACCTTGGGGTTACCTGATTGGGACACGTGTGGAGAGCCTGGAAACCTTTTTTTTTTTTTTTTTTTTTGGTGTACAATTAGTTTGGTTGATTTTCCCCCTTTTTTTTTTTTTTTTTTTTTGTTACCGACATAGGCGTTGATAATCCACTTTGGTATAGAAATCCATTTTATATCAATATATAAGAAATAAAAATAGAAAGACCAAATTGTTTTATTTCTTTGTTTGTTGAGTTTTTTTTTTATTTATTTATTTATTAGGGGTAATGGTAAAGAAAGAAAGAAACAGTACGTAATAACAATGATATTCAGATAGGATTTTAAAAAAAAATGGAGGAACTAGGGAGTGAGAAAAAGAAACATTCTTTTTTGATTTTGTGTGTGTGTGTGTAATAAAAGCTAAAATAATATGGATAAATCTAACTATGAGAGGAAGGAATGATATATATACAAAAAAAAATGCAATTACATCAAACCCACATCACGTAAATTTTCATGCACGACGATAGAATTGATAGCAGACATGACAAAGGTGATTTGTTTTGTATCGGTAGCACAGGTAAAATGGGTATAGACTTGTTTTGTATCGGCGCGTGTGTTGAGAGAAACAAAGCGTTGGAGGAGATATTGACAAGCGGCATCGTAACGTTGACCACCAGTGTAGTCATCAAAATAATTCGACATGGGTGATTTGATGATCTTTTCTGCAAACAAATCAATCTTATTGAGGAAAAGAATGATGGATGTCTTAATAAACCATCGTGAATTACAAATCGAATCAAATAATGTAAGTGATTCCGAAAGTCGATTCTAAACAAAAAAAAAAAAAAATTGAATTTTCTTCTTTTTTTTTTTTTTTTGGTTCATCTAATGAATCAAAACCTTACCACTGTTTCATCTTCAAATAACATTTGATCATATTCAGAGATCGCCACCATAAATAAAACTGCAGTACATGATTCGAAACAATGGATCCTAATCATCAAAGTAAGTATATATGAAAAAAAAAGAAGGGGTATCTTTTTTTTTTTTTTTACCATTTCTTTCTTTCAGAACGTTGTCCACCCACATCTAACATACGATAAGTCAAATCACCAATGACAAAGGTTGTTTCGGTAATCCCAGTAGATTTAACTCTTGAACGTAATACATCTTGATCACTTGGCATATAATTAGGTTGACCAATCCTTAATATAGAATCAAAATAACTAGAAAAAGAAAAATTAAAAAAAAAGCAAAAAAAAAAAAAGAATAAACTTACTATCTTGCCGAATCATTTAATTGAAATTCATTAGATCGATCTACACATGCTTTGACAGCAGGATCAGCCCAAATAGAAGCAATGGCTTCCACCAATTCATGAGCCAAATAATCCACTTGAGGATGAGCCTCCATAATCAATCGTCGATGTCCTTCATTACCAGGATGTTGAAAAGGGATCTTGAGAGTATCCATTGCCTCCAAAGTCACTCGCATCGATTGCATTGTGTTTGAAAAAATCACTTCTTTGAAACTTTCTCGTTCTTCCACCGTAAACCCGCCGTCATGGATCAATTTCATTTGTTTCACAATCGTTGATTTCCCCGATTCCCCTGCCCCTGTAGATCCAAAAAAAAATGAGGTGAGAAAATAGAATATATATATATATATATTGATTATGAATCCATCTTTTTGCATCTTAATATAGATACAAGATGTATATAAAAAAAAAAGAGAAAAACTTTTCGATCTCCGTAGGTCGTTGCTCGTGTTCCAACTTGCCTAAAGTAAATAGACTTACCTAGTAACAACATCTTGATTTCAGACTTGAGATGAGCTCGGTCTCGTTTAATTTGAGTTTCGATTTCTTGGTGTCGTTGTTTTTCCTCCACATGTTCTGTTGATAGACAGCAACCCATGATTAAAAGTTGTTCGTTAAAAAGTACTGAGGTTTTTTTTTTCTTTTTCTTTTTTCGTTTGTCGATAAGGAAATATATGATAAACAAAACGGGTGGGAATATAAATAAAGATATACAGAAAAAAAAGACAGTACAAGCTACAAACACTTGGTCAAAAAAAAAGAAAAGAAAAATCTATGGTATTATTTATTGAGGAGTATATAGTGGGAAGGATATACAAAAAAAAAAGTAATCAAAAAAGAAGAAGAAACAGAAAAAAAAAAAAGAATGGTGGGGTGAGGATAATAATAATAATGAAAAAAAAAAAAAAAGAGACAGGGAAAACACCACCGCCGCGTATCACACACAAAGAGAGAATAACTATGGTTACGCCTGAGTCACCACAAGGAATAATATGCCAACCATGATATACCCCAAAACATCATCGAACCGGTTTTATCACTAAATTGGTAATCATCGGTTTGTTGTACATTCAGTATTCACATTCAACCAAGTTTGAGTTAACCACCGTAATTTCAATTTTTCCATTTTCAATTGTTGACGAGCAAAACTTCGAATAGATTTCAACATATCATCAGGATGTACTCTTTGATAATGAGCCAGTTCATCGGATACCATTTGATGAGATTGATTAATTTGATTTGTACTAGTACTAAGAGTTGAAAGTGTCTATAAAAAAAATATATATATATATTTGAGATCGGCTTTATTTGGTGTTTAGTTTAGTACCTTTGCAATGTTTTCTTTTTCACGTTCCACTTGCTTCGTTTGTTCCATACTAGAGAATAACCCATTCCAAGGCGGATGCTTGCCCTTTTGTAAAGAATCACGTTGTTTTTCCAATTGTTGGACCAATTCTGCTTTTCTTTTCAACAACGTAAAAGGATATTCCAGTGCAATCTAATATAAAAAGTTTATATTTTTAGTCCCAGCTTATTGGTTCTCCCCCTTTTTTTTTTTTTTTCTTTTTTTTTTACCAATACACCGTGGCTTGTATCATTCATTGTTTCCAAACTATCCACCAATGATGTGAAAGGAAAGACATACTATTAATAAATAATAATAATAATAATAAACAGAATAATCATCAAATATGAGTTCCCTTGTTCCCCTTCCAAAATAGAAATCCCTTACCGTTGTGTTACTTGCTAGGTTAGTACAAATTTTGATCGCCTCTTGATGATGATTTCCTATCCATGTCAATTTTTCGTATGCTTGTGTCACTTGATCCAATGTATCTTGAAATCCTAACAAACAATAAATGAATATTACTTAATCCGTTTTTTTTTGTGGATATTTACCTTGTTGACATTGTAGTAAATGTTGAGATTGTTGAACCATATTTGATAATGCATCACGTAAAGGTCGAATCATCCCTTGACTATAAGTTAAAAAATACACTTCATCAAAATCTTCCACTGGTGAATTAGAAGGAAGACTAGCACCCAGTTTTTCAATCATCAAGTTCCGTTTTGAGTAAGATCTATCCTGAATCGCCGCTTTCTACAGAAAATAAACAAGAATCATAAACAATCACCATCATCCTTTTTTTTTTTTTTTTTTACTTACATTCAAATAACTAGTACGTACAAAACCACGAACTTGATCATGTTGTCGTAACGTAGGATGTCGTTGTAAAGTATCCATAAATTGATCCAACTGTCGTACACTTTTCTGTAACAGAGTTAAAGGTGGTGGGGCAAGATCGAAAACACAAGGATCTATCAGCATTCCTTCGTTTAATGTTGGAAGAAAGGATTCAGGAATTTCATGTAATAATTCTTGACGTAAAAATACAAAATCATCCCAAGTTCTTTCCACAGTTGTCATTATCATAGTTTCTGTTGGTTCCACCCACTATGAATAAAAAAGAATAAATTAAAACACGTGAGTCCATCATAACCTTTTTGTTACCTTTCCACTCTTGATAATATAACGAACAGGGTCCATCAAAACACGTGTCACTGCCCATGGTTGATGCATCTTGTTGGTTTCATCAGATAATGCTTTTGGCTTGATCTTCAAACACCACGATTCAAAAATATATAAATATGCTTTATCACATAGATCAATGGGTCGAGCTCCTGCATCATTGATTGCATGTATATCTGCTCCACATTCTAAAAGACTGGTGATAAATACTTGGTATGTCTTGCGTGACGTTCGTTGAGTTGTGTTTTTTGTCGCTAATGATACAAGGTGTAATGCGGTATTGCCCGCTAGTCTGTCACGAACATGAACCAAGTCCCGTAAAGAATAAACTGCATGTTCGATTGTCATAAATTGTTCATCATCCCGTTGTTGTTGTTGTTCGTATAAATGGAGTTGCTCTGCCATATAATGAAGTCCTGATCGCCCTTGATAATCCAACCGAAATTGATCCACTTCATAATGATCCATCAAGGAAAACATAATCTTGAATCTACCCATTGCCGCCCATGTCAACCAAGGAGATCGACCACGACTATCCAAGGTATCCACTAGTTCGTTTTGATATTCTTCTAAAAGATCCTGATCTTGGCAAAGATGAAAGAAGGTCTGACCCATCCTATTTGGTTGTCGTCTAGCTGATGAAGGAAGATGATGTAATAAATAGATCAAGGGTGTTGTTGTCGTAGTGAGATGTGATGGATGCGTCATACACGCTAGATGTAATGGTCCATTTTGTTGTTCGTCTACTATATCACAATTAACTCCAGCTTGTACCAATAGATCAAGAATTTTACTTGCTGAACCATTCTGTTGACATGCTGCTAAATGTAGTGCCGTACGACCAGTTACGCTAGAAGAAGAAGAAGAGTGTACATTCCCAGAGTTCTCTATCCTTGCATTCAGCTTATCAGTAGTCCATTCATATTGTGTCAATAAATATTCCACCAAAGCCATAGATCCAGATATCACCGCCATCATCAAGGTCGTTTCTCCGTTATCGTTGATCGTATCTGTCACAGATTCAAAAGATGCCAAAAAAGGGACATAATCCAGAAGACCCGATCGACATGCCAATAAGAGAGGTGTATTACCTTGAGAGTCCCGAATCACTTTGCCCTGTGTATAATTATTATTAGATGTATGACATCGAGCATAAAGCATTTCCAAATGTTGTCTATCTTGTCCTGCTGATAATAATGTTGTGTTTTTCAAGCACCGCCAAAGTTGCTGGTTATGATATGAGACTGTAGCTAATTGCGATATGGCAGATTCAGAGATATAGACCAATACTCCTTCCAAAGTACTAAGAGAAAATCCATATTTTCCACCAATGACATCACGTTCAAAAGTATATTCTTTCATATAAGTCCAATGAGCGTTCAAATGAGGCACCCGACTTTGTATCACTGTGAGTAAAAGTAAAGGCACCAATGTATCGCTGGTATCCAAAGAATCTGATGTCGTTGTTGTTTCTATTGCTGAAGCAGTTGAAGATGATAATGCACGTATGGTTGAGAGAATACAGTCAAGCTTTTCAAAAGGTGTTCTATAAGTTCCAATGTTCTGAAAGATAACTACAGCACGTTGCACACGTAGTCGAGCATCACCGAGTGCGTTAGAAGGAAGACCTAATTGCGTGACATCAACATGTTTGACTTGTTCAATAACTTCAGATAGATGTAAATCACGCGATAGTACTACTTGAGTAATCTTAAAAAATACTACATCATATGTTTGTTCCATAATATAACTAAAGAAGTAGAAAAATGATTAACAATCAGTGTAGAAAAAAAAAAAAAAAGTTCCTACCTTTCAAATGCCGCATGAATTTGACCTTGCATAATTGTACTGGGAATTGTCATGTTATGTAAGACCTAATGAACAAGTTAATTATTGGGAGGGTTACATAGTTAATCTCTTTCCAAATTTACCTTTAATCCATTTTGTACCAAAGTTTCTATAGTAGCATGAAGAGTATCTAATTGATCAGTATGAATAGCCTCATCAGAAGCATCCTGAACCATTTTTGCCAAAGTTGGAAAAACTTGATCATCCACGCCGTCTAACAATTCTTGAAAACTATGAATACATCAAAGGAAATATATATATATTATCTTCAGTCATTTAAACTACAAGGGAATCTTTTTTTTTTGAACACTTACATTGTTTGCTTCTTGTTGGGTATAAAGTTGGATGCCTATTTATAAAGAGTTATAAATATATATATGTATTGAAATAAGTTTCTATTGATGTTCTTACATGTTTTACCAAGATGGGACGGTCCAGATAAATTAACAATAAAGGCACTATGGCCGCTTCTGTTTTTGTTGTTGAAGATGGGTGGTTGTTTATACGTTGGTGTTGTATGATTGGTGACGAATATGTTCGAATATTACCAAGTTGTATAGTTGTTTGATGAGTTTTTATCATGGTTGCTCTAACAGTAGTTGGAAAACCAATGTCGGTAGTTACTTTGTTGTTACCAGTATATAATATTTTATCGTTGAGAGTTGTAAATTTTTTCTTCTTGATTGTATCATTGGTGACAGTTTGTTGTTGTGCAGGTAGAATATCTGTAGGATGTTGTTGACCGATTAAACTCTGAGATCTTGGTTTAGATGGTAATGCTTTTTGAAATCGATGAGAAGGTTCTATTCTTGGTGAAGTAATTCTTGATAAAACCGATGAAGCAGATAATGAGGAACGAGGTTTTGGCCAATGAATATCAGCCGGAATAATAGGTAAAATATGACTTGCTATAAATAAGAAGTAAGTTAGAGAGAGTATATATTATTATTATTATTATTATTGAATAGATTTACCTAAAAAGTCATTATCTAATTGCTCTTTATCTGGTAAGGAGTCAATGGGTGGTAATAAAAGAATGATGGCAGTAGCTTCTTCAGGAAGAACTATGTAAGGTTCATGATACAAACATTGATAAAGTGGATGAGGGAAAACTGGCATGGAGAAGAAAGGGAGGAGAGAAATAAATTAAGAAAAAGAAAGGAGGTGAAAATGGGAAGAAATCCGTTTTAAGCTGGTCAACGTGCGTAAGCGGTGATTAAATTTAAGGGAGTGAGATATATCAATTCAATTGACCATCGTTCATTACTTTTTTTCTTTTCTTTCTTTCTTTTATTTATTTATTTATTTATTATTCACTTTGATCATTCTATTTCTCTATTACTAAAGAAATTATATGATCAAAGTAAATATATTCATTTAAATTATTCTTATCATTATTATTATTACCTTCTATCGTTGATCTATCTACTATGGGTGTCATATGTTGTAAGGAAGAACCAGTGGATTTGAATAGTGAAAGTAAGTCTTTTTTTTTCTTTATCTATTATCTTATTATTGCTGTTGGTTTGTTTTTTTTTTTCTGTGTCACATTGGGAATAAGGAGGAAGAATCAAGAGGTATGGTTTTGTTTTAAAAAAAGAGGCAAATAAGTTGAGGGATCAAGGGGCATGAATAACAACAAGAGAAGAGGGAAAAAAAAAGGGGGGAGGCAAAAAAAAAAAAAAAATGTAAAAAAGGTTTGGGCAAGTTTAGTGAAAACAGGTCTTGTGAAAAAGTGAAGTTGTTGATATCCTCCTGCTTCCCAATGTTACTAGTAAAAACAATAGTCTATCTTTCTCCTTGTCAAATTTCCCCTCCTCCTCATTGACCTTCTTTTTATTATTATTATTAGTTGATCTGACCCATTTTGCGTTACTACGATCTGTTGGCAAAGGAGCTTTTGGTAAGGTGCGTGTGGTCCAACATAAGGGAACAAAACAACTTTTTGCACTCAAGTATATCAATAAAGCCAAATGTATCCGGATGCATGCTGTTGAAAATATTATTTCTGAAAGACGACTACTGGAACGATTAGACTACAAACTTATTGTCAATTTGCGTTATGCTTTTCAAGATGATGATAATTTATTTATGGTACTTGATCTAATGTTAGGCGGTGATTTACGCTTTCATATGGACAGAATGGGTATTATGACTGAAGAATGTGTTCGTTTTTATGCTGCTGAAATTTCTCTTGGTCTTCATTATTTACATCAACAACATATTGTACATCGGTAAGCTTTTTTTTTTTTTTTTTTTTGATGAACAAAAAAGAAACAGGTTTTTTATACTGATTGTCTTCACCTTTCCTTTTATAGTGATTTGAAACCAGATAATATCCTACTTGATGAATGTGGTCATGCTCATTTAACTGATTTTAACATTGCTGTCCAATTTTCCGAAAACAAACCTTTACTCTCGGTAGCTGGTTCTATGGCTTATATGGCTCCTGAAATACTGAAGAAACGTGGTTATTTTGCTTCTGTCGATTGGTGGTCTTTAGGTATTGTTTGTTATGAAATGTTATTTGGAAAGGTAAAGACAATCAAACATTCATATTGAATATATACTAATATTTATGATTAGAGACCTTTTAAAGCCAAAACAAATGATGCTTTGAAACAGGCCATTTTGAACGAACAACTTGAATTCCCTGATGATCCTCCAGTATCTCCAGAAGCCATTCAAGTCATCAAAGGATTATTAACAAGAGATGTATCTCAACGACTCGGTGTAGGTGATCAAGGTTTCCAGGATTTAAAGTCTCATCCATGGTTCAAGACAATACAATGGCAACGATTAGAAGCGAAACAAGTGGAACCACCGTTTATCCCTGATGTAAGTCTACTGAAAGAATAATATAAGGAAATAACATCACTTTTTTTTTTTTTTTTTTTGCAGGACAAACGTGCCAACTTTGATCCTACACATGAATTAGAAGAAATATTACTGGAAGATAACCCACTCAAGGCAAAGAAAAGAATGGCGAAAAAATGTGGGTCCAATACCGATGTATCAGATAAAAACAATGCATATGATGCCTATAGTGATCCTGAATATCAAGTGATGGAAGATAAGTTTTTGACTTTTGATTACACCAAGCCTGAACAAAATTTACAACAAAAGCAACAACAGCAAAAACGTAGGGAAATGCAACAGCAACAAAACAAAAGAAATGGTATCACCAAGAGTCAACAAGTACGCTCTAAGGTAAAAAAAAAAAAAAAAAAAAAAAAAAAAAAAAAAAAAAAAAGAATTAGATAGTGATCATTTCCATAAAATGAAAATATACTCATCACATTATTGATTATAGTCACGGGGAGATTACAATGTAGAAAGTCCACCAACATCACCACGATTGACAGCAGTATCATCTTATTCCAATCATCGTATACAATTACCTGATGAAGAAGGATCTTCTGCCATGACAAGAATACCCAGTACGTTGGATATGAAAACCACTTCAGCAACAGCAACATCAACAACAACAAATAGCGCTACCACTGTCAATACTACAGCCTTGCCTTCTTTGGACAATGGTGACAAGTCCTCTTCAAAAGCACAAAACTCAATAACAAATTGGCAACTCCCTTCAACCATGCTATCGTAAACAATGGATTAGCATTTTCCCTGCATTTAGTATAACTCTCTTTATTATTATTATTATCATTATTTCTCTTTTGATGTTGTTTCATTAACCAAGCACTGTTTATCTTCTTTTCCTCTTGTTCCCTCTCTCTCTCTCTCTTTCTTCTTTCACATCATCTACTTAGTATTCTTTATCTTTCATCTGTCATTCCACGCTCTTATTTAATACCTTTACTGTTAGCCTCCTCTCATATTCGTGCCTTCTTTTGTATGAAATAAAAAAAAAAAAAGTTCTGCGATTCGCTAGCTCAAATCAAAGGTTGATGTAATAAATGATCAAAGGGCCTAGAAATCAATATTATATATATATATATAAATATATATGATTGTGTAAAAGAGTGATACAAATAGTTCGGAATCCTTACTGATATTTTTAAAACACACTATGACACATATGCCGAAGATATTGACTATAATGGTTGACAGACATTTATAGATGATGATAGAATGATATGATATCGCCGAATGGATGACGAAATTAATGAACCAATGATAAATGATGAAAGATGATAGAAGATCAATAATCATTACTATTTTACTTGCAGAGATGAACTGGATTTCGTGTCATCAATAAAACTTAAAGGTAGAAATAGTTATTTCTCAGAGAAAAAGAAAAAAAAATGAACAATGCGTAAATGGAAGTTCTCCAACTTTTGTTAACCTAAATTGAAACAAAGGAAAAAAAAATATACCCAGTGATATTCCTTCTTTTTTTTTTTTAGATGATGATTTGCACCAATCCCCTTTTTTCATTATATCAATTCATCAGGAATAGAGTTTTACCCCACATATAAGCAAATGTTTAACAAAAGTAAAAAGAAAAAAAATCCCAGACTCTTTTTTTTTTTTGAAAAATTATACTGATGATCCCAATATACAAAAATATACCTTCCCTTTCAATCGGAGTCCTCAGGATAGAAAGAAATGAAAAATAAGGTTTGCATATGTTACAGCCTAGAATGGAAATAGACAGAATGAATGGGATAAAAAAAAAAGATTGTTTATTATGAACATAAATAAAGGTCTAATGACTAATACACTAACATATATACAAAAATAATAATAAAAAGACATAATCATAAAACAGAAGAAGAGAATTGATGTGAAAGGAGATCATTGAGCATCAAATCGGAATCTGGTAACATAAGGGAGGAGGGTAATTCTGGGTCAAAACGGTAAAATTCACATGGAATAAAAAGGGAAGACTGAGGTTTTGCAGTAGAATCATGATGATCCACGTCTTCATCATCCGGTAAAGTCAACATATCATCCAAAGAAGATGACGGTGAAGGTGGTGATAAACAAAAGTAATCCGTTTCACATGGGTCGACCGCCACTGTAATACTACGAGGTAGATTCATCCATTGCAATTGTTGATCCTGTTGTTGATCCATAGGTGAGATGGGTGGTGTTAACTTTTCTTCCAATAAAGTAGGTGAAGAAAGAGAAACAAATTCTGTTTTTTGCTGTTCACTAGTTGATTGATCCTTGTTCCTTGCCTTTTCTTTTCTTGATTTAATTTGATTCCATCGGGTTCGACATTGTCGTTGTGTTCGTCCATAAATCATTCCTGATACTCTAATCCAACAGCATCCAAATCGTGATACTCCAGCACGTAACATATCATCCTCTTCTTTTTTCCATCGTCCTTTTCGTACAGTTGGATCAAGAGCTTCTGTCCATCTTGCTTGACATTGAATACCAGTTCGATTGGGAATGTTTTGTGCAATTCGATTCCATGGTAATACACTTCGATTACTATACTTCTTGACAGCTTCTGTCAATGCTTCATCTTCTTCAGGTGACCATCTTCCTTTGTGTACATTGGGGCTATATATATATATATAATAAAAAAGATTGATTAGAGAAAAAAAAAAGGTTTTTAGATAAGAAATCATTTACTTGAGAGCTCCAAGCCAACGTGTTGAACATTGTACAGGAGTTCGATCAGGGACATGTTGTGCAATCAATGACCATTTGTGGGGACCATATTTCTTGACGGCTGCCATCAATAGTTTATCTTCTTCCGTAGTCCAACGACAATAGAAGGGTGCCGACCGATTAGTATCTTGTTTGAAGACAGAAAATACACCAGTAGGATCGTCAGTAGTGGAGGTCATTTGAGTTAATTAATCAATAAAACAGAAAAGTGAGAGGGTATTTGAATATATAAAAAAAAAAGGTAGGAGGAAAAAAAAACAAGAAGGAAAGAATGTATCATGTTGGTTGGTTTATATAGGTTTCTAGGGTTTTCTTTTTTTTTTTTTTCTGACTCGGTGGAATACTCTTTTGGTAAAGAAACAAGTAGCGAAAAGAAAAAAAGAAAGGAGGAAGGAGGGGGGTAGCGGGCAAAGTCGGAAAATTGTGGAGCTGAAGACATATGACGATGTTGATTGGTCAATTCCTACCTGTGTCCAAAAATGGTACCTTTCAATTTTTTTTTTTTTTTTTTTTTTTTGGCTGATACTTTCAATGATTTTTGTGGGGAAAGTAAAAGAAAAGATTTATTTGGGCTATATTTTCTGACCTTGAATGATTCGTTTTTGATCGCACCTCTAATGGCTCAATAAATAAGGTTAGCCATATTCTTTGTTATTTTGTCTCTCTCTCACGCAAGACGTATATAGATAATCTGACTTCCCTTCTTATCTTCAGTTAATATCAATCATCATCCAAGTCCGTTTCTTCGGATCATCCTTCTATTCCTTCGTTTTGATCAAAAAAAAAAAAAAAAAAACTACTGACAAATAAAAAAAAAAGATAGACTGTTATCGTTTATTAAACTTCATTTCGTAAACAGATGTGAAATCATAACTAGAGAAGCGGTGGTTGAATAGATACACTATAAAAGGTACTCCAACACCTTTTAAATGACAGAGGTGCACGGTCATTTCTTCAAACGCGTTTGGAAATAAGTTGTACATTATCACTAAGTATATCAAAAAAAGAAAATAGGGATTAGATCATGAACTATAATCATCCATTCATCCATGTTGGGAAATATTTCCACTATCTTTTATATTTTTCTTGTTCATTACTTATAAATAGTAATAATAATAAAAGGCCATTTCTCATTCATTATTGAATACTATCCACGTAATCAAACTTCATGATGCAGAATACACTGTCATTCATTCATTATACATCACTACCTATCAATTATCAATCAATCATCATCAATCGATTGGGATTTTTGGCGTTTGAAGTGCATGAAAGTTTGAGTTTCAAACCAGTGATCAAAAGTAGGACGAAAAGGTCCACATCAAGGCTCACCATGCTTCGCGCGATCAATTCAACGTCCGCATGGTTTTTTTTTTTTTTTTTTTTTTTTTTTTTTACTCTCTTCTATTTATTCTTTTCTTTTTCCTTTTTTTTTTTTCTTTTTTTTTAAATTTTTCATTTTTGACATTACTATTTTGTTTATCATATAGTTCTATATGGAAGTATTGAATTTTTTATCTCGAGTCAAAGATACATTTACGACGCAAGAATTCGCCAGTCTTTTACAACAACTCAGTACCGAACGGTTCTCTGTTCCGATCTCACAAGTATCGATACCATTACGAGCAGCGTTTCGAAGTCCATCACGTATTCATCTCAAACCCGAGTTTGATAGTATGATCAATAAAGCGTTGACCGATCCTGTGTATGAATCCATGGTGACCCGTGTTGCTGAACAATTCCATCTCCTCTGTATGGTGCAAGCCCAATTCCCGAGATCTGAATTTGCTCACTTTGTTGACTGTTTCCAATTCGACCAACCCAATACAACAGATGACCAAATCCGCCAACGTCTTGATCAACTACGACAACGTATCTCGCCACGGTTAAGAGAAAGACTCGATAGGATCCTGAACCGACCATGGGTAGACCAAGTGGATACCATGATGGAAAACGATGGTATGGATGACGACATGGTAGAACCACCTGTTCCAACAACTCCTGTCTTGCACCCACAACCTTCTCCTTCTTCTGAAGAAGAAGCAGCATGGAACGCTTTATTGCAACAAGCTTATAATGCCTTGACCAATGATCCACATTTATGCCAACAACTGGATGATATTCTCAATATGGACAAATTGAATGACAATCCATTTTCAACCACTATTACCAATATATATGAATGGATTCAAAATACCAATCCTGCCCTATGGGAACCTCTTAGTACAGTTTTGGAACAAATGCAAACTGTACAAGGTAAAAAAAAAAAATAATAGTAATAAAAAGGAAAAGTTTATTCATCATCTTTTTTTTTCCATTAGAGGCAGAATCAAGTCAATATGAATCATACGAAGACTTTGTACAAAGGAACTTTTTGGATGGTGGTGGACAAGAATATTTGGATGGAGAAATCGAACAAGCCCGTGTACAACATTTATTTAGTAATCTTTCCATGTAGTTTATTGTTTTTTTTTTTTTATTTTTATTGATACCACTCATATCCTATATCAAATATTCATCCAAAATAAAAAAAAAAACCATTTCATAAAAAAAAAAAAAGAAATAAAATAAAATGAATTTTTTTTTTTAAAAAAAATATTGTATCATCATCATCCATTATCATTTATAAGTGTATCAAAAAAGAAAAAAAATAGAATACTAACTATAGGAAAATTATCTAAGGTACATTCTAATACTAGGTTGCTCTTGATAAGAATTGAGTGACTTGACCAGATTCGTCCGGCAAAAGATAGACAATACCATAACTTGCACCAGCAGCTAGAGCACCAATCAATAATGTTTGTATAGCGCCCCATATAGCACCTTTTGGATTCACCAGACGACTCTTGATATAACCAAATACCAATAAAGTCAATGAAGTCACGGCCACAGATACCCATAAAGCCAAGACAGCATCTTCAATAAAAACATAAGGCATCAATGGAATCAATCCACCTAAAAAGTAACTTGTTCCAATGGTCAATGCAGAAATCTATGATAATAATAAAAAAAAAAAAAGGTTAAAATAACTTTTTTTTTTTGGTTATTCATTTACCCAACTACGTCGAGGATCCGGCATTTCCAATCCCAATTCAAATTTCATCATAAAATCCACAAACTTTTGAGGATCCGCCTTGAGTTTCTCAATGATGGGTTGAATAGTATTACGATCCAAGCCATAAGGTTCCAGAATTTCAACAATTTCATCTTCTTCATCTTGAGGACATTCTTCTACTTCTCGTTCTTCACGATGTCGTTCCGTCTTGTAATGTTCTATTTCTGATCTTGCTGCCAAATAACCACCAAGTGCCATACTAATACTTCCACTTTAGGAAATGAAGAAAAAAAAATGTTAGGATATAAATAGATGATATCTCTTTTTTTTTTTTCTTATGTTTTTACCTGACGATTTCTAATAAAAAAAAAAAGTAATAATGATTGGATGATTATTCAGGCCCATGAATAAAATGTATTTTTTTTTTTTGGGTGTTACCTACCAGCTGCACCACCATACACGACAATTTTAGAGTTTCCCAAACTAGATAACCCGGCGGCAAGAGCAAACTAAACGATATATATATATATAAATGAGGTCGTCAACCTATGACCAATCTTCTTTTTTGTTGTCATACTTACAGGTACAGTAAGACCATCTATCATGGATAAGATTCAAAATAAAAAAAAAAGGTAAAGATTATAGTCAGCATTTAACCTTGTTATACGTGTTTCATAGTTTTTTTTTTTTTTTTTTTTTTTTTTTTTTTTTTTTTTTTTTTTTTTTTTACCAGACAAACCGATAATGGTATCTCTAATGATTTCAGCTGATTCAAAATGTTCTTCCATATGTCGAATAGGCGCATATTCATGAGAAGGACGCCGGCGTAATCGGTTTAGAAACGAAGTCATTTTTTGATCAAAAATAGTGTGGAAGTGAAAAAAAAAAAGACAAAAAGGAAAAAAAAAAAGTTGTTTGATATCGAACAACACGACGGAATATTTTGATTGGACGGAATCGTTCTGCATTATGATCTCCGCTGATCTTCTTTTTGCGAGCTTGAAGCAAAAAATGTCTCTAGGATTGGAAGGTAGTACTTTTTTTTTTTATAACACATATATACAATCTATAGATCATCACATTTGATAATTGATACGTTTTTTTTTTTATTATTTTCAAAGAACGAATGTAGGTAGAGCCTAACGATTTTCGTACCAACAATGAAAATGATCTATTCTCTGCTTTTAATAGTGACAACAATCATCGTCATTGACACTTGTGATCATTCATTATACAATTCAACTCGACAAAGAAAAACAAAAACAAAGAAAAATCCAATCTATATGTAAAGCATTGAATGATCCATCAGATACTAATATTCCTCTAGATATGATAGCTTTATTGATAAGAATAGTCAGAGGGGATAAGTGATTGATGATACATAGACTAGGGATGGAAAGGGCAAGTTGAATAATAAAATAAAAAAGAAAGGTATAATTCTAATCCATCAACGATCGATAATAAACAGATTCCATATCATAAATAGCAGCTGTCACGTCCTTCCGTAAATCGATTATTGTCTTTTTGATATCAGCTGTTTGTGTAGTAAGAGCCGTCGAGCGTTGTTCTGTCAAGGTTGTCAAGGTTTTGGTATCATTCAATAATAAAAACTGTTTCAATTCTTTGATCAATCCAAGTAATGATTCGGACGATCTTACCTAAAAATATATAAAATGTTGTCAGTCCTCCATTATTGTTTTCAATAAAAAAAATCGTGTTTTACAATTTGTGCAGCTTGACTTTCTACTTGATAACCTTCTTGAGATACTTTGAACTTATCCTTGTCACTATTCTGTTACAAAAATAATTATAAATAATCTGTAGTTTGTGACATTCACCCTCAACCTTACCTCACCAATCTTGATAATGTCACCAAAACAATCTACTAATTTATTGATATCATCATCAATACGTTTGTTGTATTGATCTTCCATATGAAATAACATGGATCGCGTTGATTGTGTTGTCATATTTGTATACGCAGCCATTGTTCTCTATTAAAAAAAAAAAAAAAATAGGAAGAAAAGGTAAGGAAAAAAAAAAGTAGCTGACGCGGGGACTTTAAAAAAAATATAATCCAATTGGCTTGTTCTTTTTATTATTATTATAAATGTAAATAGTGAATAAAGTAAATAAAAGGGGGGGGGGTTTTACTAAAAAGAATAATCATAATAATTGGAAGAGTATAAATAAAAAAGTAGTTAAAATTATCCAAAGAGAAGAAGATAAGAACCAAGTAGGAGAAGAGAAAGTGGCGGTGGATGTGTTATCATTGAAGCGAAGAGTAGAGTTATCAGCATCCATCCTAGAATACTGCCAAGGAGAAGTCAAACGAGAGATATTGTAACGAGGAGCATAACGATCAGCAATCGATAATCTGACATTGAGATAATCTTGATCTTGATACACAGCATAAGCTTCTTCCAAGAGTCGGACCAGATATTTGGAACCATCAAACCCACCAGTATTGTTAAATTTCCATTTAGATTCATCGATGGCAGCAGGCAAAAGGTAATCTAGAGCACGCCGTATACTTTTTTGATCTGGAGAAGTATAGGAAAACAAATCCACACCTACATGATGGGCCATATGACTGATTTGGAAAAGTCCTCGAAGGTTGTAGATACTGTAAAACCAACTAAAAGGTCGTGCCGTTTCTTGGAATTGTTCTCCATCTGCACGTAGTTGACGGATGATTCGTTTGTCTGCTGCTTCCTTACTGGCTTTTTGTGCAGTTTCAGTTTCATTCAAAAATACATGTAATGCTATTCTTTGTACATCATAATACGTGCCTATAATAATAAATAAAAAAAAAATCCGTTAATAATAATAATAATAATAAATATATATATTATATAGATTACCATGGTTGTTATGTGCTTCACTTTCTTCTTTACCATTGGGACTTGTTGTAAGCCAATTCAAATATTGAGTAAACCAATGTCGTAAGTCTGCACTCATACCTTGTTTCCAGGATGTACTTGGTTGTAAAAGGACAATGCTGTCCAAGACGTCAGGAAGAGGACTAAAGTCAATGATACCTTTGGCACGTCCCTGATCATGTCCACGAATCAAAGATGCATAATGAAGATGAGGATTCATTCTGGTGGCAGGATCAATAAACCATTGTCGAATACGTTGAATAGCCTTCTCAGCATATTTTTCATCATCAAAAAAGAAATAAGCTAAAGATAAATACTGAACTTGCTTTGCCTAATCAAAAAGAAAAAAAAAAAAAAGAATCGGGAATGAATTTTTTTTTTTTATTAACAATTTTTTTTTTTTTTTTTTTTTTTTTTTTTACCATTTCTCGAAAAACTTTATAGTCGGGGGCAGTATTGATTTCAGGATTGACTTTACCATCGATACGCATATAAGGTAAGCCTTGAGGTTTGGAAGGATCTGGCCAAAAATAACGAGCCAATGAAACATAGTTATGCACATCCTTTTCGGGTTTATGGGGCGCCACCACCGTCAAGATCCTGCCATCTTCCACATATCGATTGGCTGCTTTTTTCAAGTACCAAAGTGCATGTTGCATACCACGATCAAAATCATGTACATGTTCTTTATTTTCTGCCAAGACATTCGGATCCAACAGAGTGAATTGGAATGGACCATCCGATATACCGAAAGGGGCCGAGGCTGCTATAGGTAATGCTTGTATCACGCTTTCCAATGGATGAGTAGGTTCTATTGAGATATCTTCCCCAAAGCCATCATCACCATTATCAAAGTCTTCTTCTTCTTCTTCTTCTTCCTCTTCGTATTTTCGTCCATAGATAATATGACATAATGCCAATAAAATCAATATCAGTAATAAAAATCGATGTTGTCTCACCATTAATGTTTGTATGTTTGATCGAAGAATAACAAAGTTGAAAAGAAACAAATAAAAAAAAAAGTAAATTAAGAGAAATAAATAACAGTCTAAAACAAAAAAAAAAATTGTATAATAAAACTAGACTGAGACATGGAGCTTTATTCAATTGTTTTTCAAAATAATGAATCTAATCGTTTCGCCGATACATCAATATCTTTGTGGAAAATGTTGTGTTTCCATATTCAAACTTGCTAAATACTAATTGGAAACAACAAACAAAAAAAAAAAAGTTAGCATAATGTATGTTTAGAATGAACTATTCTAAAACTTTACCATGACAATAGTTTGATCATCACCAATCACGTGCAATGTTTGTTCCAAAAAATCATATCCTCGACGTTCAGAGCTGAAGGATCCAATAGAGGAAGCCGACTTGTCAAATCCCCCACTGTGAAGCTGCTCTTGATTCTGTTTTGTCTTTTCTCCTGCTTGCTGTAGAGATTTGTCATCCTCCGATATTGTTCGCATACCATTCATAATATGTTTCCAGTGTATATCGTTGTAGTCGATAAAGTCATCATCTCCATTGTCATCATTGACATCTCCACTATCAGACAAGGCTGATAAGTAGGTTGTGCTTGCATTGCTTCCGCTGTTCCGCCGTGATGATGTCAAATCCGTACAAGTAGTAATATCACTGAATGCTTCACTTATCCGTCGTCTATCTACTGGAATGCTTGGTCTTGTACACTGTGTATCAAGTACTTTTACTTCTGATGTTGTTGATGGTGATGGCGATGGTGATGTTGTTACAACTGCAAGCGTTGTTGCCTTCGTTGATAAAGGTGGAGGAGTCCAATTCAATTGTGTCACTGATATATATGGCTGGTTTTGTATATTCTCCAATGTTACTGTTGCTTCATTATCTTCAGAATAGTGATCGCTTGGTGTCTCATCTTGAATAGGTACCGATATGGATGATGATTGTGTAGACCGAGAAGACGGCGGATGATGATTTGAATGTTCTTGATTAATTTGATGCTGGTGACGATGCTGATGATATCGTTGTTGTAAATGGTGTTGTTCTTGCGATGCAGATATACTACGTGATGGTATAGGATATTTAGTGTTATTATCGTTGATAATTTCGTCCTCTGATCCGCTTTCCTGTATTGATAAAGGTTCGGTCGCAGGTGTTGGTGGTGGTGGTGGTGGTGGAGGTAGTGGAGATGATGAGGTTGATAATAACGAAGATGTTGATACTCCAGGTGACATAGGATGACAAGAGGATGAAGATGTACGAGGGATTGATGCCACAGACAGTGTTGTGGGTGCTAAATTTGATGATGTATTGGTGGTAGTCATCGATGTTCTTGGTTGTCCAAAATAATCTTCAGGGTCTCCATCCTCTACGCGTTTGAGATAATTCATGATACGACGTACACTCCATTTTTTCCCTAGTGGCTCACGTCGGTCTTCTTCACAAGGTGAACCAGTACATGACGTCGCAGTGCTGATGAAACCTTCTTTGTCGGTATGCAGTGTATCAATAGATGAAGTCGTTGTTAGATACGTCGATGCTGCCTCGCTAGCATGTCCACGATCGTCCTGTTCCAAATATTTGTGATGATAAATATAGGCTCGTAGTGACATGTTCATAAATCTTGTGTGTAGGTATGCAATATAAGATTCATCAGACTAAAAGAAGAAAATATAATGTATATCAGATTAGAGTCCTTTTTTTTTTTTTTTTTTTTTTTTTTTTTTTTTTTGTAGATTTACCGTATAATATGACATTTTTGATAACATTTCATATACCCATTGTCCATCCAGATAAAGTGGGCTTGTAACAAGACTTCCATTGCCATTCTGATGATCCACTTCAAGACAGCTAATATCCAATCGATAAATACTAGGATCAATTTTATCCTTTGTTGTGCCAACCAACTTGATAGATGCCAATGATTCATCATCCAGTTTTTCACCAGTAAACCAGGAAAGGATTTGATGATGTGATTTTGATAGACCAGGAACAAAAATAGATAATGCATCAACAATTTGTTGAATTCGGCTATATAAAAAAAAATGCATATAACTAGTTTATCAATCATTTTTCATCTGCATTCTTCCCTGAAAGTCTTTCTTACCTTTTTGCTTGAGCATTTCCCATAATAACAACAGGTCGCCCAGTCAGGAGTGAATAGATCACATGATGTATATATTGCTGATGTTTTTCAAGGATGTGGAGAAGGTTACCATAGTTTCGTTTCTGTTTAGATTCCCAAAGTTGTGCCGTAGCAAAAAGAGGTGAATAGTGATTTGATTCTTCATTGTTCTCTGAAATCAATCGTTCTTGTCTATCGGTTTCACTACGAATTGTATCAATGTCATTTCTAGCATTCTGTAAAGTATCTACTGTCAGACCAGGTGCCTGTTTTTCCTTCGAAGATTGATGATCAGCCACCTAATAAATAAAGAAAGATAGAGTCAAAAGCCTGAAAATATGGAATATGTATATACATGTCATCCTTACCATTTTGTTACCATATTCAGAATAGAGTGAGTAAGATGAAGTTTCCCGCCTAAAAAAAAAAAAAAAAAAAAAAAGAAAAAATGAATTAGAGAATTTGTATATTAAAAATGTTCGAAGTTTACCTCAGATGGGGATCTTCCAAATTAAGCATAAACACGTGACCAAATGTGATAGCTTGAGAAACAGGTTCTATATAGAAAAAAAAAAAAAAAAAAAAGAAGAATGAGTTCTATTTTTTCCAAATTGTTCTTATCTGTATACCTTTGTGTAATGCGTCTTCTTCTTCTAGATACAACGAAATGCTACTTCGTCCAAGTTCTGCAGTGAGATCGGTCATATACTTGATGGCTTCAGTGTACATATCATGATTGGTGGCATTATCGAATAAACGGCGTTTCGCTCTTTTGGTATGTTTGCGCTGTTTCGGTTCAATGATAGAAACCAAGGGAATAACAGATGTATTATTGTGTAAAGACCGTCGTTGCTGCTGAGTACCATTTTGATCATGTTGGCTTGTTGAGCGCATATCTGGTTCATGACAGAGTTGTGATAATGATCGTAATTTTCGATCAAAATGAGCCACTGGATAGAGTGTATCAATGTATTTGGGCTATATATATATATATATTAAATAGAATATTAGAAGACTATCAATATTATGATTATTTTACATTTACCTTATAATCCTTTGTTGGTTCAATGATTTCCGTTGGATCAATGGTCACTTGTTTTTCATCATCTATAGTAGGTGATACATCATCATCATCTTCATGGTGTGTACGTACCCATTGTGTTGCATAAGTTTCCATTGTGTCAATCATCAAGGTTGTAGCTGCGTGGGCCTGCCGGAGAGCTTCAGTTGATAAACATTCTCCAGGATTGTTAGAATGATTATTGTGTTCTGCAGTCGTTGACGTAGATAATGTTTTTTGATTATCAGTGGTAATGAGATATTCAGTATATTCTAGATCTAATAGTCTACATTTCAAGTCCAAAATAAAGTTTGCATAGTTTCCTTTTTTCATCAATCGAGAAACCTATAATTACATGGAAGAGTAAGAATCATTATTGGGTTTCCCAAACAAATCTGTTGGTTCATTGTCACGTGTGAATGTTTGTCATCACTTACCTGATTAAATCGATTCATAAAGTCTTCAAATCTTGATATAATTTTTTCTGTGTCCCGAGTGATATAAGAGAGCGCCACTGGATGTACATAACCACGAGCGTTGATGTCAAATAATGTCAGATGATGGGTCTAAATGATGACAAAGAAATAGCATAAATATTTTAATATTTTAGCTTTCCCCCACGCAATATATATATATATATTTACTTACAAAAGAGAAGAATTTGAGATCAGAATCCGTAAAATAAACTTGAGTATCGTCAGGAATGAAAAATGTATTTTTGGTGTTGTTAAAGGTTGTATCATTATGTTGTCCAATATCATGATCTTTTGTTTGGTCCAAAAATGCTGATGGTGCAACAGGCGTATTACTATCTAAATTAGTACTGGATTTGCATAGATGACTTTGGCTATAGAAGAGACAGAAGAAAGAAAGAAAGAAAAAAAAAGAAGTTAGAAAAAAAATATTATATGATTCTTAAATAATGTTGGTTCATCCAGTATAATAATAAAAGTATACAAGGAACTTACTCGTAATAATCGGCACTTCGGTCAGTAGATACTACTCTGAGAGCAAAAGCATTAAAGTCAAAGCGTTCCAAACCAAGAGTATGAAGATCGGTAAGCATTTGTTGACGTTGTTCAGAAGAGGATGGAGTTGTATATTCCTTAAGATCTATATATGTTGTTTCACTGACAACTGCCAAGGGAACAGGACCTTCGAGTTCCGAGAATTCACTGACAAGTACAAAGTCTCGATAGGCTTGTTGAGAACCAGGAAAGACTTGATCACTCCACCAACATTTGCCAAAGAAGGTATCGGCCTTGACAGGTAAACTAATAAATTAAGAAAAAGAGTATTAATCTATTAATATACATTACAAAAAAAAAGTTATCCTACTTACGAAAAAGTGGTACGATGGTGAGTGTCCTTGTCACCAGTCATCAAATAGTTCAATAGAATACTAGAACTAATAAAAAGGAAGGGAGTAAAATAAAATAATTCAAAAAGAGTTGAGTCTTAATGGGTAGAGGAAATATGATAAAGACGAAAAAAAAAAAAAAAAAAAAAAAAAAAAAAAAAGAGGGTGAAATTTAACCAAAAAAAAAAAAGTGATGAGTGTCCCCACGCTGTAGATAAAAAATGCATTGAAATCAAAAAAAAAAAAAAAAAAAAAAAAAAAGAATAGTCGTCATTGAACAAAATCTTTTGTAAGTAATATGTTAAATGAAAAAAAAAAAAATTTTTATTTTTAAAATATCACATAGTAACTAGTAATCTTTCTTTTTTTTTTTTTTTTAATCCTTCTTTGGACCAAGAATATCATTTGCGATATTTCCAACCTTGTCTCGAAGTTCATGAGCTTGATGATCAATATCACCTTGAAGTTTAAGCAATTGAGGACGTAAGAATCGACTATATAAGATTTCAGCACCCTAAAATCATCAAAATAAACAAATGAATTAATATTTCTTTATATATATATAATTAACTTACTCTGAATTGAGGTAAAGCCAACCAAAGAATAAGAACAGTCTTGAAAAGATAATAAAAGGGGAACCAGAATAATAAAATATCAGAGAAGTATTCAATCATTTGTACAAAACCAATAACAGTCCAATAAGTTAACCATTGTTTATCATCATCAGTTGCAGGTGTTTCAATGGCTTTGAAGGATGCATAAGCTATAAAGATATATAAATAAATAAAAAAAAAGATTAGTACACACACGTATATATATATAGATATAGATATATACTCTCTCCGCTTAAATGGAAAAAAGAGAAAAAAAAGAAGGAGAGTCATCAAAACACTCCTATTTTTTTTTTCTCTAATCACATATATTTATATAAAACACACGCGTCAAATACCTTTTTTTTTTTTTATTTATTTATTTTTCAACTTACCAGGATAAATCCAAGAGATAGTATTAGTCAAAAGTTGACCAGCAAGATTGAAGAAGATCATAATAGTGAAGATACCTGCTATACCAGCAGCAATATAACTTTTACGTACACCAGTAAGACGTTCCACTTCATTGGCATATTTGTATTGAGACAATTCCACATCTACCTTATTGAATAATTGTTGAGCTCTTTGTTGAATACCTTCAGCACTATATTTTGTGTTAGTAGTAGTCATATTGTTGTTATATATAAAAAAAAAAAAAAAAAGAAAAGAAGGAAAAGAAGAACAAGAAAAAAAAAAAAGGGAGAAGAAGAGGGTTTTTCTTTTTTTTTTTTTTTCTGTCTCCATTTGAATCACAGCAATAAAACAAAGTCAAAGAAACTTAGCATTGTTACACACACAGTCAAAAAAAATACATGTGATATCACTTTATTCTTTATTGTACAAAAACTAAAACTAATAAATTTCATCAAAAGGTCGAGTATCAGCAAAACAACTTTCAAATACACTAGATACTGCTCTTTCAGCCTCTGCTTTATCCTTGCAATTTGGATTCTGAGCTACTGATAAAATGGCTCGTCGTTTTACACATGCTTGATGTTGTTTGGTAAAGGTATAAAATCCACGTTGTATTTCACTTGACCAATTGCAATCCCCGCTTAAACTTGCTGCCCGAATCTATTTTATATATACAAAATAAATAAATAAATCAATATTCTTTATATTTATATAATAGAACTTACTTCACTACAAGCATGATGCCTTAAATTAGACCAATTTACTTTGAATTTGTGATGATCATACATATGTACCATTTCATGTACCATTGTATGTTCCTGTCTTGTTTTCGTTCCCAATCGATTTTGACATAATAGAATACCATCCTCAGGAGAGAAACCACCAGATCGTGTTTCGTCACAAGGCATACATTGAAAATCTTCACTACTCATTTCACGACCAATCTTTTTCAATTCATCCATCATAAACCGTACAGGAGGATCTAGTTCAAAACAAACAAACAAAAAAAAATTTACGTTATCATTCCATATTTTACAATAATAAAAATAAAATGAAAAAAAAAAAACTTTACTATTCTTGATAAGATTTGTTTTCCAACGTTCACATTGTTGACATTGATATTCTGCAAGTTCGATATCTATTTGGTCACGAAAGGCCTTTCTTTCTGTTTCATTCATACCAAGTCCCGTCAAATATTGTAATGACTTTCGCCAGCGTTCAAACTTTTTCATATCCTTTTTGGAAGTATCATCATTGATAGGTGTTGTATTTGATACGTCGGTCATTGATAAGAATATGTGTCTATGTATGGAATAATCTATCTAATCTATATCTGAGCAAAAATATAAAGAGAGAAAAAGGGAAATCTATTGTTTTTTAAAAAAATTCTAGGGGGGAGGACTGTCCAGACCCATTTCACATTGAAACACCGTCTACTTCACATTGGAAATTTGAAATTCCAAAATGTATTTCCCTTTCATCATTCTTTTTTTTTTTTTTTTTGTGATATGCTAAAAAAGTTTTTGACTACTTGGACTAATCGACAACAACAACAATTATACCAACGTTGCTTTCATACCCATTCTTTTTTAAATCAACGATATCATAAACAACATCATTATGATATTCTTCAAGTTCATCGCCAATCTGACAAGAAGACCATCAAAGCACAATATTATCGATTGTCGAAACGATACCATCCAGATCTCAATCCAACAGATAAAGAAGCTCATGCCAAATTTCTTCAAGTGAATGATGCTTATGCTGTATTAGGGAATGAAGCCAGTCGACGACAATATGATGCAGAGCTCGATCGCACCCATCCGTCCTCATCGTCATTTTCTAGTAGTGTCAACCAGGCTTCATCTGTATATTATGGTGCTTCTCGACCTGGTTATTCTGGTCCCTCAGTAGCATGGCGAGCAAAAAGAAAACAAGCCAAGAACACAGGATCGGCAAGTGCCCGTGCACAGGCGGAATATGATCATCGTCGTCAATCACCACACTTCAATCATCATGAACACTATGCAAAACACTATCAAGCAGAAGAACTACGCCGGCGGGAACGGGTAATGAATGCAGCCAAAAGAAGAAAGGACGCGGGAATATTTGATAATGATGATGAGGGTGGCGATTCTAAACAAACAAATGATCGACGGCTTACTGTTTGGTCAAGGCTATGGCGATTAGGGGTACTTTTGATGGGTATCTCATATGTGACTAGGCAATTATTGGATTATGATGAAGATCAAAAAAAGAAACCGAAGAAGAATGGATTTTTGGTTGATTAGAGGCAATATAAATTAGATTAGCATATCTTTATATAAAGATATTTGTATTTAATTGTATTGTCAGTAAACGAATTTGTACAGATACACACATTATTCTTACTTGTCATAATATCATCATAGAAATTATATTCGTTGGGCATTATTATTATCATGAAAAAAAAAAATAAATAATCATCAATAATATCAATCATTCCTTTATTTTATCGGCAACTATAATCAAACGTTATGGAGCATCACCTTGACGAGGTTAACCTGGGTTTTAAATACATAAGGTAGACAAAGTAATGATTGTCGCAGCAATAAAATTATAAAGTGCTGCCTTTTTTTTTTTTTTTTCTTCATTCCCTCTTTTTGTTTCCCTTCTCAACTAGAAAAAGCAATCATATTATGGACAATTGGGCTGTAGACCAATTAAGTGTCTTTTTAGGCTTTGATCCCGAAACATTAAAGTCTCAAGTACTTCCTTATTTATTCAGTTTTGATAATCCTACTTCCTTAAGTGAACACCTTCAGGTAACCCTCAAATCTATATAGATAATAAAAATATACGCGGACGATTAGAAATATAAACTTGTATACTTTATAATAGGAAATGTTAGGAACTAGTAATGATACCCTAGACTTTATTCACAAATTTGTCCAACAACAATTTCCATCCTCACGATCAAACCAATCAACTAACAACAAACCATCCATTAACAAATCGACAAGCACTGAAACAACATATTCAAGTAACCAAAACCAAAACAACACCTCTTCTTCTTCTTCATCATCTCAATTCCCTTCGTTACCACCCAATACGATGGAACCCACTTCCTGGCCAAGCAATATGACAGTATATATGAAAGAATCCAATGTGTAAGTCGTCCTTTTTTTTTTGTTCAACTTAGGACACTTATTAATATTGTTCTTTGATATAGGAAATCGAAAACCAAAAAACAATCAAAGTCTTCCAATGGTAGTTTGGTATCAGATCGATTAGAAAAGAAAAAGAGCAAAAGCAACAATAATATGACATTGGAATCAGCACTCAAGGAATTGGATATCAATGTGAAACAAGGTGGTAAAAGAAAAGTGTGTCAATGTCAAGGTAATACTTCCCAAAAGGAAATCATTCATTTCTCAATTTCTCTTATTTTTTTTATTATTATCATTATTATTATTATTAGCTACCAAACATGATTTATTGACCATCGCACCCAATTGTTTAAACTGTGGAAAAATCATTTGTGTATTAGAAGGTATTGGACCCTGTAGTTTCTGTGGTACACCTGTATTATCAAAAGAACAACAAGTATCATTGATAGCAGAAGCCAAGAAAAAACGATCAGAACAAAAACAAAAGCAACATCAACAATTACAACAACAAAGAAAAGCGGCCAAAGCAACTACTCAAGCTGTAGGTTATGCATCAAAAGTCAGTGGCGATGTAGTATCAAGATTTATATTTGATCAACAAATGGAAGATGAACATCGACAACGTGCGGAATTACACAAGGAAAAGTTACTTGAATTTCAACGAACAAGTGCTCAACGGAGTACAGTTATTGGTAATCTAATAGTATGATTTTATATAAATGAAAAACTTATCATTATTATATTGAATAGATCAAGCAACAGATTTTACCCTTCCAACTGATCAATCTAATCCTTGGTTAACAGCGGAAGAAAGAGCTATGCAATTGAAGAAACAACAAGCCAACATGAAGAAATTGGATGGAAGAATGAATCAAAGAAGAGTACTTACTATTGATATTGGAAAAAGACAAGCTAAAGTAGATAATGTAGTGGACGAATCATCAAGTGATGAGGAACAAATACAAACAAAAACAACAACAACAACTTCATCAGGAACATTTGCTAATAATCCATTACTGAAAGGTATTCAAGGACCTCAATTTCGTGGATCAGGGAAAAAAGGTCAACACAAACAACAAGAAAGAAAATCAAGGATACAATTTGATGATAATAGTATAGAATAAGTATAGATTTATTGAAATAAATAAAACTGTCAAAGATGTCACATGTTGGATTTAGGTGATACAACAAGGGTTGATCTACCTTTTTTTTTTTTTTATGACAAAGAAACAAAAAAAGGGGATGAGTTTTTTTTTCTTTTTTTTTCTTTTGGAATGCAAAGGAGACTTTTTCTTTTTTCGAACGATCCCTTGTTACCCTTTTTTCCCCTTGATTTATGGACATTTTTTTCATATTCATTGATATTCAAACTTTTTTTTTTGTTCTCCTTTTATCATACATAATAGTTTTTTTTTTATATATACATCTTGATTATATGTTAAAATAATACTACAAACAAAACAAACAAATAAAAAAAAAAAGGTAGAAAGGAGTCAAAGTGTCATTATTAAATTTTATTTGTTGTTGTTTATGATAGGTTTGATTTATGGAGTTTGAAAGGGTTTTTCTTTTACTCCTCAATAGAACATAATAATAAATATATATATATATATATATATATAAAACTACTTCTTACATATTCTCCTCTTTCACCTTTTCTCCATATTTCAATCTCAGTGCACTTTTTATTTTTTTTTTTCATTGATTTCTTTCTTTCTTTTCTTTTCTTTTCTTTTTCTTTCTTTTTTTTCTTTCTTTCTTTTATTACTCTCTCTTTTTCATTCTTTCTTCCTCTTTATCTTTATTCATATAATCACTCTTTCTTATTCACTCACTCTCATATACACAGACACTCATTCTTTTTCTTTTTATTTTATTATATCATTCATTTATTATTGATTCAACTGATTTGTATGTATTATGTTAAAATCAAGTCAACCTATTCAAACCACTGGTAATAACCTTGTAGGATTATGGCGACCATCATTTGTTAAAGTGGACCATCGATTATTTGTTTATGGAGGAGGTGGAAACGTCACCAATGATTTACATGTCCTTAATTTATGCGATATGCGTTGGGAAACTATTCAAGTATGACAAAAAAAAAAAAAAAACAACAAGGATGATCACTCCAATTTTTTTCTCCTTTTTTTTATATTTTTATTTTTTATTTTTATTTTTTTTATTTTTATTCCTTTTAGACAGTGAAAGGTGTTGCTCCATGTAAAAGATATGGTCATACTGCTACTCTTTGGAAACATTTTATCATTGTTTTTGGTAAATATATCAAATTACCATTTAAAGAATTACATTTTTTTACTTTCCGCATTCAATTCATTGTCTTTTTTTTTTTTTTATAAACGCGTCAAAATAGGTGGTTGTAACGAATCTCAATCTTATTGCAACGATATTCATATCTTTGATTTGGAAAAATTAACTTGGTGTCAACCTGTTATCAATGGTTCAGTATCTGCTCGATATTTACATAGTGCTGTAGTTTATGATGATAAACTTTTTATTTATGGTGGATTTGCAAAGAATACAGATTGTAAGCTGTTTTTTTTTCTCTTATTATTTATATATTTGAATATTTTTATTAATATATATGTATGTATTTTAGGTACATATGTTTTGGATGAAATTAGTGTATTAGATCTTAATACATTGACTTGGTCTATATTCAATCGAATTCCTCCTAGATATAATCATTCTGCTACTCTGGTTGGTCACAAGATGTATATTTATGCTGGAAAGGATGAACAAGGCAATACAGTATCTGATCTCTTTGTCGTCAATCTCAATACACCTCCTTATACTCCACATCTTATTCTTAGTGGTGCACAGTCAAATGCTAATTCACAAATGGTTTTATTGAAAAGTCAACATTTTTGTGAAGCACTATGTGGAAAATTATTAGTCTTTGGACGTTATATCAATAATAATCACAATGGCAACAATATGAACTCATCTTCAAATGGTGTTTGTACTAATAACAATCGAATCTCTGGGAATCATTCTATCATCAATACCGCCACTAATACAACATCATCAAATACTATTTCCAACAATACCCCTGAATCAATGTATGGATTATGGATGTTGGATTTAGATACTTTGGAATGGGAAAGACAAGATTGTAATGCAAATTTTGAAATTGGTGGATGGAATTACTTTACTGTTATTACTGAAAATTTACAACAATCAAATGGATCAGATGAAAGAAATCAAGTAGCTACGAACAGTTTATTTTTCTTGGGTAACATTGATCCATTCCGACCTCAAGGTTACGATCACTTTAGGTAAGGGGAAAATAATGGGTAGATGGGAATTAAGGAGTTGATGGGTCTCTTTTTCTTTTTTTTTCTTTTTTTTTTTTTTTTTTCTTTTTTTCTTTTTTTAACTATGAATGCAAAATGAAAGGAGGAAACAAAAAAAAAAAAAAGGAGAATCGGGAAAAAAAGAAGCGATATTTTGCATGATCATCATTGATTGATTGATTGATTTTTTTGATTATTATTATTATATAGAGATGCATTGGTGATTAATAGTGAATCTTTTGGTTTATACGATATTCCTCCATTACAATGCTCCAATGAATTTGGTCAACTATTGAATAATCCTGAATTATCGGATTTTGTTATTGTTCCCGCCAATGGACAAGAACTTCATGTACATCAAGTGATTCTTATTACACGGTGGCCTCACTTTCGAAATATGTATCGTTCGGGAATGATGGAAGTTCATCAACGTCGAATGGAAATTTCCGAACCTTATCCTGTCGTTTTGGCTTTCCTCAAGTATCTTTACAGTGATCATCTCAGTATCGATGAACCTTGGCAAGTAGTGTGTGATATTCTAGTGATGGCCAATATGTATTTATTACATCGACTCAAGAAAATTTGCTGTCAAAGGCTCTATAGACAACATTTGACGATTGATAGTTGTACCACCATTTTTGAAAAGGCGATCATGGCAGAAGAAGTCGGTCTCAAATTATTGGCTTTGGATTTTATGTTTAATCATTATGGTGCTGTACTCAAGGCTGATCTTTTACATCAAATGTCAAGTTTTGCACGACAAGAATTCTTGGAATGTGTCCCAGATCAGGCTATCCTTCAAGTGAATCCTTCAAGATTTCAAAATACTATCAAAAATACCGGGTGTTATCCTATGACAACTACCAATACTTCATCCAATATTACAAATGTGCCTTCGCTTACAATGATATCCAATTCGTCATCATCATCAACATCATCAACATCATCATCTGGTTCTTTATCAACAGCCTCCCATTCTTTATTACATTCAAATCATTTTCTTACAAACTCCCAACCATCATCATTCCCATTTCATCCTGTTTCCTCTTCTCACAATAACAACAATCATACATTTATCAATCAGATGCGATCATCTGTTCCTTCCAGTACTGCTGTAACATCAACAGATATCGTCAATACATCATCAACTCATCAACGTTTATCCTCAGCAAATGGAATGGCTGTGGGTGTATGAATCAGTTTACTTTTCTTCTTTCAGTAGTTTAGCTTAATTTGGTTCTAGTTCTCTTCATTTATTTCATTATTTTTATTATTATTACCACAATTATTATTATTTTTTTTCCCACTGCATTGTATCGATAGATTTTTTTTTTTTATTTCATCATTTTTCCCCCATGTATTGACCCGTTCCCTTTTTTTCAAGTCCACACACTTGTTTTAGCGCTCTTCCTTATTTTAGTTAATAATTCTTTCACTTTCATCCGATTAGATCGTTCTTCCTCTCTTTGCCCACATTGAAATAGACAGTCGTCCTTTTTTTCTTTTATTTTTCAATAAAACAACACACTGATTATTGTAAATAAAAACATCATCATTCAAGTAGAAATATCAAATCATTAAAAATCATCAAATGAATTTTATTCTAATGCCAAAAAGAAAAGATTTATATAAAAGGTAAACAAAAATGGGGAATACAATGAGAATTCATGGATAAGAAAAAAAGAGATCGACGTAAATAAAGAATAATATGCATGAGAAAAAAAAAAAAAAGAGAGGTAAATCTAATAATAATAGTAATCCATTTTGTCAATCAAAGTCGCCAAAGTGATTGCAGTCCATTCCATCTGTTGTTGTTCTGTTTCCATTGTCTTGTCCATTGAAAAGAGTTCTTGAGTCAATGTTACCAAATTTATATCGGATTGCTTAATCACTTGATATTGTTGTGCCTTTGTCAGTCTTGAATAAAGAAAGAGATAATCAGCATGGAGAGTGGAAGTTTGTGGTCCAGATAATTGAGTGTACCATTGCTGGAATTGTGAAGAGGATCCAAGTAAAGGCTGTGTAGGACCAAAACGTAGTAAAGCTTGCTGCAATGTGTCAAGTAATGTAAACAACGAGGATGAACATCGATAGGCCATGATCATGCCGCCAGATATGGTGCATCCTACAATTGGCTGTGATTTTCCTAATTCATCCATTGATGTCCACGGTAATAAATGACTGGCCAAAATACCGCGTGTGTATTCAGATGACTGATTGGAATGTAAAGACAAAAGTCGAGGTTTGATGATAATGTCTGGGTAGTGGAAAGCGAATAACGTTTGAAGACTATCTTTTGATGTGTCTGTTGATTCCTGCAATGCAAACATCCCTCCAGAGAGTGACAGGCCAATCACCATATGATTATCAAGAAGTAAAGAATGATGTACGTTCCTTGAGATGGAATCACTATAGCATAATGTCAATTCATATGTTTTTCTTTTCTTTCTTTTTTTTTTTTTTTTAATGTTACCTTTTCAAAAACTTGATCTTTTCGGCTTGACTATCGTAAGAGTAGAAGGATACAGATTCCGTATGACCAGTAACGCATATACAATCGCCAGAAACATGAATGGATGTAATAGGAAAACGTAGAGTTGCCCGTGTATTTTCTACCAAACTAGCCAATAAAAAAAAAAGAGATGAATTCACTTCCTTTCTATTCAACTTCAATATGTTTGTTGCTCTTTCAACTTACTCTCCTTTGTCCATATCCAAGTGGCAAAGATATAATGTTTGTCCAGATGCAAATAGTAAACTACGGATAGAAAAAAGACATAAACAATCAAATAATCCATAATATATATATATGCTTTACCCTGATGGATGGGGACAAATGGTTTGAATTCCACCATGTAGATAATCTTCCTTCCAGACTAGGCGAATTGAATATTGAGTGGTGCCTTGCTTTGATTGTTGTGCTTTTAATCGATACAAATGAAGAGAACCAATAGTAACGGATGCATCAAATACACGAGTTTCCAAACCAACGCATACATAATGGTATAACTTGTTTTTGTTTTGCACTTGCCATTCTATAAAAAAAACAAAATGTCAATAATTTTCTTTCACAAATTTACCATTTTCTATCAGTATCCTTTTTCATTACTTGAAAGGGCTAAGACAGTTTCACCTTTATCGAAGCGATGTTCACAAAGTACTTCTCCATTACTACAGAAAAAAAAAAAAGAAAAAAAAAAAGAAAAAAGAAAAGCAAATTAATAATATTAATTAATCAATCATCAGTTTTTTTTTTTCTTCTTCCAAATTTCTAGCATTCACTGCTCTCGCTAACCCAATCCAAACTTCAGCAATGTACTTACCAATGATCAATAAGTTTCAGATGATGATATACTTTGCCTTTATAGTTAGAGGACGTCACAAGATAGCTGGTTGAATGATCATGTAAGAGATGTTTCCTAGGAGTCTATAGTTGAAATAATAATAACAGTACATGTCAAAAAAAGAAAAAGATACAACTCTTTTCCATCTCCATTTTTTCTTTCTATCTATCTATCTTACCGATGACAAAACCAATTTTCTTGTTACAAGTTGAACCTTTTTTTTTACTTGCAAAACATAAAGTCGTCCATCCGCCACAAGAGCCAGCTTATTACCATTATACTGATCTTGAATGTCACCAATAGAAATTAAGGGAAGGAGAGCCTCGATATTTTTCAAATCATGATTATACACAGCCTCTATCACTAATCTGGCATCTTTATCATCGTAACCAATAAGCCAAATACTGTCACTAGAAGCAAAAACAAGTCCATTTTCTTGAGAAACACAAAGGAGAACAGGACATGACCCTAATGCTTGAATTTGATCTCGGTTGGTGATGAGTATTTGCCAAGATGGTAAACGTTGAAGTTTTGGAGAAAGATCCACAGTCAATAATTTCCCAGTTCTAGTGCCAATAAGTAAACTCATCAGTTGTTCAGAATAGTATATCGTTGCAAAAGAATGAGGTATATCATGACAATCTAAGTTTTGATAAAAGAATAAGAAAAATGGAAGTTTTTTTTTTGCGTTACACTAGACTTACCGATGATTTCCAAAGTGATCAATTGTGATGTTGTCGAATCAAATAATTGAAGTATGACTTTTGAATCATACATGCCTACCACTAAAATATCAAATGTGTTGCCTTCTTGATCTTCCATTGCAAATCGATAAAAACAACTTGGTGCACTTGATAGTACAGTTTGACAGCATAGACATAGTTCTAACGTAGAGGTACTTTTGATACTACGTTAGCCATTAAATTTTTCTCTTCCCAAATAAAACTATAATCCATTTCATCCTTTATTACCTTTTTGATAGTTGACAGGCATATACTTGAACCATATGATCTTCCCCAGTAGACATGCAAACAGAGATATAAGAATGATTTCTTGAATTCCATGCAGTAGCAAATAAAATCTGATACTCTGACTTCGGTTCATGATAAAGTAATCGCTCTATACAGAAAAAAAAAAAGTCAATATGTGTGTACATAGCAAGAGTTATCATCCTTTTTTTTTTTTTTTTTAATACCTCCATCAAGATTTGATAAAAGAATTTGATTTCGCAGGATTTGAATGATAATGAATCCGAGAGTTTCCATCTTGAGTGAGCCAGCAAATATTGTACAAGTGTCCGTTTGGATAGTCATTGAAACGTCATCATTCATATTGTTCTCTATATAAAAGCGTAAGTAAAATGATTAGATATCATGATTCTTATGAGTTATGATTTGTGTCTTACCATTATCCAATGCAATCCATCGAGTGTTGAAAGAAGAACTAGCCACCAAATAAACACAGTTCAGAGTATGACTGAAACACCACATTTTTGTTGTTCTAAAAAGAAAAAAAAATTATGACAAGATATAAGATAAGTACCTGAAAAGAAAAAAGCATTGTTTCATAAGCATACCCATTCCAATTGTTTTCAGAGGTATATAAGATAGAGCTATCGCAATCATAAGAGATAGTGTGTAGTGACCCTTGTTCATCTTGACCAGAGCACGCGATAATCTTGTCAGGTTGTCCTGTTTTCCGGATAGCTTGCCAATCAATAAGAGGAGCTCGATTCATCAAGTTTTGCATTATATAACAAATCGATTGTTCTTGGTTATCGTTCCCTGCTATGATCTTTATATAAAAGTAAACTATAAGTAACTAATCCTATTGAATATATATATATATATATATATTAAAAACTTACAGCTAAAATTTGACCATCGGCACTTTCACCACTATATAATAATACCTCCGCGGTTGGCTCTACGTTTTCGCCCTCTATTCGAATCAATCCAAGCATACACATTTGCTGGCCAATAGCATGCACTTTCTTCACTATTTTCCACTTCATCAAATCCAGATCAGAGATATCGAGTTGGAGTAAATAGCCTTCGGCAGTTCCAAGGCAGAGAATGGGAAGAGTAGGATCCACACAAAATGAATACGATGTAATCAGGATATCTATAGATATATAAGATATAGTCAGTTCATCATATAAAAGGTATTATTATTCCATTGTTCTAGATTACCTTGATAAGGATCAGTATGGTCTATTGCATCACAAATTGGTAGAACAGGGTATAGTACATTGCCACAAGAGATATCGTCAGCAGACAAAACAGAAACTGTAGATTCCTGAGAGAAATTGATAAATACCATCAAAAGATAATCTTAATAAATAATCTATTACCGTAACAATTATAAATGATTCTGGATAGCATGGTAAAGGTATGAGAAGCACTGGTAATGGTGTTTCTACACAAAGAGAGTAAGTTAATTCCAAAATTTTTTGCTCATATTTTAATATACACATACTTCGGTCCAAAGGTAATCGTCCTACAAGTTTGATCGTGGCCAATTCAGGATCACTTCCATCGATACTATATACTATAATTCGACAAATTTTATCCGTATCACTAAAACGATTCAAGTAAAAAAAAAAAAATATATATATATATATAAGTGTTGATACGATATTGAGATATTCACTTTACTTGTATACGATGGCTGCCAGTAAGATATGATCCCATGATGATGTTTCAGAATGTAAAAATTCCATATGCCAAATAATTCCTTCTTCGTAAATCGATCCCATCTAACACCAAAAAAAAAAAAAAAAAAAATAAAGATTAGACAATCCAACAAAGAGTATATCATCACTTATACCCCTGCAGCTGGAGAAAAGTGTGTTCGTGACATTGTATCATTCAAAATCATGATATCCAATCGATCTTGATAGGAAGCAATTGCAATAGCCCGAGACCTAAATCAATTCATTCCCATTAATCTTTGATACCACAAATGAAATTTCATTACTTACCATGGATCAACAGCAAGTTTTTTGTTTACTTTATCAAATTCCAATCCAGGTTTATCCAATGTGATCTAGTTAAAAATAACAACAAATAAAAAAACGCGCAACTGTTAGGTAACTCAGGATAAAAAAAAAAAAATCATGCAAAAGAAAACTTACGTTGGCCACACATTCAAATCGTCCAGTCGAAGAAAGGTCAGGTGGTTGACCAACTAGGGTACAAAAGACAAGTTGTCCATAATCTGTTAAAGCAAGAATGATATCATTTCCTTGAATAGTTGTATGTCCAAATCGTGTTTCTTGTGTGTAAGGTTGTTGATCTTGGTTAGAGGAATTAGAAGTTTCCAATGTTGGTAGTGATTGGTCCTGAAAATCACATGACAAAAGTCTAGCGTCAAGTATAGTTCCAAAAGCTTGTTGTTCAAATATAGGTGTTATCAAGTCATTGTCAGTTTTCCCAGTTGAATGGTTTGTTTGTATTCGTAAGTATTGAAAAGAATAGTTCTAAAAGGGACAATGAGATTTATAATATTAAACAAGTTTCAACTTACTTTGACAAAAACTAGGTCCAAATTGTCTTTTTCAAATATAGATCCGCGTAATATTCTTTGAATAGAAGTTCCATAACAACTTGTACGATAGCATACATTCATTATGCGAAGAATAGAAAAAAAAAGTACAAAGAGAAAAAAAAAAAAAAAAAAAAGCAAGTGAAGAAATGACGCTTTTCATTGGCTTCCATAGGTCTCATCGGAAATTGAAAAGTGGTCACTGAATAACTTTTTTTTTTTTTTTTTGATATACTTCTTCCGTCAACTTTTCTTTTTTTTTTTTTTTTTTTTTACTATTGTGTATTGACGATCTTATTGTTCATATATTTACTCAATGCGTTGTCATAACTGTGGATCTGGAAGGGTTGAAACTGATCCTTCAACCGGAACAACTTTTTGTATTGCTTGTGGTGGGGTAAAGTTAGAAACATAAAATGAATCAAAAAGTTAAAATTAACCCTTTTGTATATTTAATTATTATTAGGTTCTTGAAGAAAACAATATTGTAGCCGAAGTGACTTTTTCTGAATCAGCTGGTGGTAAAACTGTATTACAAGGTGCATTCGCTGGTGAATCAGGTAAAAACTTGTAGATTATTAGTATTAGTTCTCATTATACTAATAAAAATAAATTCTCCTTATTAGGTCGTATATCAAGTGGTGGTCCTTTTGGACATGGTAGAGGAAAAGAAGGTCAAGAACAAGCTATTGATAATGGTATGTATTATTATTATTAATTATTAATTAATTATTCTCATCATATATTTTGTTTTTTCTTTTTTTTTTTTCTCTACAAAAAGGTCGTCAACGAATTGGAAGACTTGCTCATGGTCTCCGACTTCCTGAACGTTTCCGTGAAGCTGCACAACGATACTACAATTTAGCAGTTGTCAATCGATTTACTCGCGGTAGAAGAAGTGATCATGTTGCTGCTGTCTGCCTCTATATTGTTTGCAGAAATGAACAAAGTTCACAAATGTTGATTGATTTCTCAGATCTTCTTCAGGTAACTTTTATAATAATAATAATATAAAATGAAAGGACGACTAACGGTTCATAATTTATATCAAATTTAGACCAATGTATTCGTTCTAGGTTCCACATTCTTGAAACTAGTTCGTACACTCAACTTGAAATTGCCATTGATTGATCCATCCATTTATATCTCTCGATTTGCAGCTGCTTGCGATTTTGGTGATTATACTCATCGTGTTGCTCAAGATGCTGTTCGCTTGACTCAACGTATGGATCGTGATTGGATTAGAACAGGTCGTCGACCAGCTGGTATTTGTGGTGCTTGTTTACTTATTGCTGCTCGTCTCAATGGATTCAAGAGATCTATCAAAGAAATGATTTTTGTGGTCAAAGTTGCTGAACAAACTATTCAAAAACGGTAAAGAAAAAAAAAAGGATTCATAGATTATTTATTTACTTTTTTTTTTTTTTTTTTTACAAATCATTTACTAAATATTTATCATGCATTTTTTTTTTTTTTGTTTAGTTTGAAGGAATTTGGTGACACTGAATCAGCTACATTATCGGTACGAGATTTCCGTGATATCTGGATCGAAACTGAAGCCGATCCTCCAGCATTCACCAAAAATCGAAAAAATCAAAAACAAGAAACAGAAAACGAAGAAAACAATTCAGATACACAAACAACTCACAACAAAGACCTTACAGATACGTCATCAACATTAGTAACGGTAACTAAAATATCACCATCATCACCTGAACACAACGAATTATCAACAACAGTTTCGGTCAGAAAAGCTAGTATCACCATTAAGACAGAACATGAACAACCTGAAAATGATAATGACGAAAACAATGATCTCGAAGGCGCCACTCTTGTTGAATCGCAAAACTTGGAATTATCTCAACAGCCTGATACAGAACCATCAAATACTGATAATGAAGCTACACAAGTGAATGAACTAACACAAGACATGGTGAATCCAGAACTAGATGAACAATCCAAATTACTACAATCAGAAATGGAAGAATTCATGGACAAAGCTGTGAAAGCATCTGAAACATTGGGTAAGTTTTAGTACCAAAAAAAAAAAAAGTAAGAGCATGTTGAAGATTAAACTCTTTTTTTTTTTACTTTATTTTTATTTAGGGGATAAGAATGTATCGGAAGACGAAGATGAAGAAGAAACAAGTCTGTCTGATGTCGATGATGAAGAAATTGAAGCCGTGTTATTAAATCCGGAGGAAGTGGAATTGAAAACGACAATCTGGTACAATGCAAATAAGGAATACTTGGCTGAAATGGAAGCAAAAGCAAGAAAAATTGAAATGGATAAAAAGAATGGCGTTTATACAAGAAAAGCTGTAAGGAATTAAAAAAAAAAAAAGAAAGTCTATTCATCCTGATATTTATTGATTCTTTTTTTTTTTTTTTTTTTTTTATATAGAAAGGAAAGCGAAAAAGGTTACCTACAGCAGCTACACCAGCCGAAGCCGCCAAACAACTTCTCAATACCCGCAAGATATCCCGAAAAATCAATCAAGCTGTATTTGATGATATGTTTGAATCTCCAGAAACAATTGCCAGGATTAAAGCAATGGACCAAAGGAAACAATCCCTAACGAATGGAACGATGGATCAAGAAAGAGAAGTGGTTGAGGAATCTGGTGAAGCTCCTGTACCAAAGAAGAAGAAGAAATTGGATGAAAATGGTAACCCAGTCGATCTTGGACCTGAAGAAGAAGAAGAAGAACATGAACATGAAGATGAAGAAGATGACGAAGACATGGATCTGGATGATATGGCTGAAGATGAAGTATTAATGCGACGTGCTCGTGAACAAATGGGATATCAAATTGGTATGGAAGTCAGCAATGAAGATTATTACGATTACGATGAACATGATTATTAGGATTCGTCTACAATAGTTTATCCATCTAGTGTAATCATATACAGTTAATTAGATCCCATCTTTTCCTTTTTTTTTTTTTTTCTTTAATGCCTTTAAACCATATTCCACCTTTGTACATTAGCTCTTTCCCCTCTATTATTTTTTTTTCTTTCTGTATTGTGAATAAAATTATATAAGTTTTTTCTTGAATGTTTTAGTCTTCCAATGATAAACACGGTATTGATTTTTTTTTTTCAAATCAAACCTTTCTAATGAGATAAACCTACGAAAAATGGATGTATTCAAAGATTTTATTGATTGATAAAAAAAAAAATGAAACTACAAAAATTCTAATATATTAACTTTTTGTCCAGACATCTACAGTTCCATCTGTGTTTCCAAAGTAAACTTTTTTCGCCATATGACAAAATAGACCGACATCCACGACACCTGTAAGTAGTTTGATATCTTGATATATAGAAGGAGCCAGTGAGCCTAATGAACCAAGATGACAGTCAAGTAATAGGTTGCCATTATCAGTCACCACAGGACCTGCTTTGTCAGTTGGAGTGGCCATACGTAATTGTATTGTTGCTTTTGGAAACATCTTTATCAGAATACTTTGAACCGATGTTACTGCCATTGGCACCACTTCAACCGGAATACCACGAAGATACTATTTTCAAGAACAAATGAGAATGAAGTATATCTTTTTTTTTTTCATTTTACCTTGGTTCCCAAGCTTTCGGATTTCTTTCTTTCATCGGCAATAACAATCCATTCTTGAGAAGCTTGAGCCACCAATCTTTCCTGAAATAAACAACCTCCACCGCCCTTAATACAATGGAGATCCCGATCAATTTCATCTGCGCCATCAATGGTTATGTCAATACCATTAGTACATCTAATAAATAATAATAATAATAAAAACTGAGTTCGTGTCCAAATGAGGAAGGTGTTTCCCCGCAATCATCAACCTACATACTCTTCCAAGGTTCCTAGTCGTAATTTGTTTTGAATAATAAGTTGTCGAGTTTGATAACTTGTAGGTATATATATCAAAGAGTGAAGATCAGGACGTGTTGCTATCCGTTGTATGGCGTATTCTATCGTTGATCCAGAACCCAAACCAACAATGTGATGTTTTTCTGGTTGTATTGATTGGTCTATCGCATTCACTGCCGCTAGTTGCTTTCCAAGTGCTGCATTAGTTGTTATGCTTGTAAAAGAACGTAATTTACACGGTCGAAAAGTAGTTCTAGCTAAAGGAAGAATCATATAATCGTATAAGAAAAATAAAAAAAGGTAAACACAAATGAATGAGAAATAAAAAAGTATCTTCTATGCTACAAAAAAAAAAAAAAGTGTCGGTGTTCAAATCATACAGGTACGGTGTGTTGATTCTTTCTTTCTATTGGAGAAAATTTTTTCTTTTTTTTCTCTGTGGAGAAAATAAGGATGAAGAGCCTCTAGTTCCCTTGATCCTTCAATATATAGGCATATTGATAAATGTCATATCAAATTTACATGTTCAGTTTTATTCTATGAAATGACTTTTTTCTTGTTTATCTTTTTCTTTCCTTTTTTTTTTTTTTTACATCCAACAAATTTCATAATTTCATTATGTGTTATTTGGTAATTTCAACTCCGCGGTTTTTGTTGTAACTAAAAAAATGAAAAAAAAAAAATTCCCATCGTTTCCCGCTTTCTTCTTTCATTTGTTACTATTATTATTCTTATTATTTTATATTTTACTTAATTAGCAAGTATAGGACAACTAATTATACATGGCACCTCTTGTACTGAAGATAAAGGGGAGCAAATCCTTTTTATCATTTGTGGACTTGGATTCTGAAGAAGAGTTGTCAAAGACTTGGCAAGTATGCACCAAAGTGAAAGATTCTTTAGAAAACGGATCAAGATTGGAAAATCTTTCTTGGCGACTTTGGTTCCGACAACAACTATCGAAACATCAAAAAACATCTTCCTTATCTGAATGTACAGCAAAACAACTTGATCGACACAATTCTATCAGTGTTGCAGCAAGAGAACGTCGATCCCAACTAAAGAAGAAAACAAAAGAAGTACCATCAGTAACACCTTCAATAACAACAATTAAGGAAAGCTCAAATGACGACAATAACAAGGAATCTCTTGACATTAACCAACCACAACCATCTTTACAGCATCCGGTTTCAACCAATGCAATGACATCAATAGATAGAATGGAAACGGATTCAACACCACCGGTTTCTGATGATGTTCCAATGTACGATATGGATCAGTCTTTTTACAACTTTACTCTCCCTCAGTTCACATCTGACCAAGCTACCGATCAAAGTATTGAATTAGAAAACATTTTTGGTGCGTTGGACAGTGGCAACCTATTCTTCAATAACACCAACACTCAACCATTACCATTGGATCCATTGTCTTCAGCATTACACAATCCTTCATTATTGAAACAACAACAACAACAACAACAATATATCAACTCCTTACCACCTAGTCCAGAACGAATTGCTGATCAAAACAATGCTTTCTATATTGCAGCTCAATTACCTCCAACCTCAACATCATCATCATCATCCATATCTTTGCAACAACACTTGACGAACAACAACAACAACATCCACAACTCCTCCACTACTAATGTAGGTAACAATGATTACATGACCAATACTACTACTACTACTAGTACTAGTACGATGAACTTGACAGCGGCACCTTCTTATATGATGGATTATAATAGTTTGTAAGTTATCTTGTTCTGTTTATATATCTATTATATTTTTTTTTTTTTGTGTGTACTTATTATGATTCTTGATGTTAGAAATATGCGAGCACCTACACAGACTTATTCAAATCCTTCATCAGCTTTTACTACTCCTACACACTCACCACCAGCTACTTATGCCTCTATTCCATATGAACAACCATCCTCTCAACAATCCATGTTTTTACAAGGTCGACTTACCGATAATGCTACCACTCCACCTATCTGTTCCAACTGTGGAGCTCTGAGTACACCATTATGGCGACGATCACCAGATGATCAATTATTATGCAATGCTTGTGGATTATAGTAAGTTCAAATTCAATCATCATATTGAAATCTCATTTTTTTGTTTCTCTTTCCATAGTCAAAAGTTACATAATACACCTAGACCAAAGACATTGAAACCTCATGGTAATAAGAAAGAAGTACCACCAGACGAACCTCAATTAGAATGTAGTAACTGCGGTACAGGGATTACTCCATTATGGCGAAGAGATGACGAAGGATCACCTTTATGCAACGCTTGTGGATTATATTTGAAATTACATCATGAACAGAGACCTTTATCCATGCGAACCAATGTTATCAAGAAACGACAAAGATATGATGGTGTGACTGGAGCGAAAACAATGAAGAAACAAAAGGATGATGATTCTGGAATGGTATCATCTGCAAGTCATTCTCTTAACCCTTCACCTGAAATATCACCTTCGACAGCAACAGCAATGATTCCTCCTCCTTCTTCTAATCAACTCTATTTACCACCGGCAGCTTATCCTTTTGCATCACAATCCACCACTTTTTTTCATCCAACACAACAGTCTCAGCAAGTAGTACAACAACAATCACAGCAACAATCACACAATATTGTCCAACTCATGCAACAACAACAACAACAAAATAAATACTTCACGAATATCAAGATGGAAGATTTCAAAATGTAGATTAGTGATCAATGTTTCTTTATATATGTATCATTTTGTTTTACTTTTATTTATTCATGTATTACCCCTTTCTCATGTATTTATTACTTTTTTTTTTAACTCTTTTGTTTGCATTATCTTTTCATACAAAACTTCCTTGATTCCCCTTGAAATAAATGACTTTTGATCTCTTTTTAATCTATGTTATTATTCTACTTTAGAAAAATTTGGAAAATTCTATAGAAGGAATAATCAAAGTTGGTCGCTGGTGATGAAAAAAAAAAAAAAAAAAAGAAACGCGCTGGCTTTCTCATCTTTTTCCTTTCTATTTTATTAACTAACGGTTGAGATATTCATGGACAAATGGCTTCAGCGTCAACCAAAAAAGCAACCATCAGGCAATAAACGACCATCACCTCAACGACAACATGATTTGACATTAGAAAGTAGAAAGGAACCATTGGAGACTACTTTCTTGAGAGATATGGAACGAGCTAAGGCCATCAGTTTGACCTATTGCAACAATGACTCCTTGGATACTTCTGAAAATACTCAATCTTTGAAAGTACAACGCAAGCCATCAAGCAAACGTGTTCTAGAACCTGCCGATACAACCTGGGATGTGGATACCTTTGTAGACGGTCTACTGACATCAGGTGTACGTGTCAATCCATCATTACAACAGGTATAATAAAAAAAGGGTATACTGTTTTGACCATTTACCATTCCTTTTTCTCTATAGCAAGTCGATCAACCAAGGACAGCAGAGAGGAAGGCTCATGTCACAACGGAGGACAAAGATGAATGGGAACCGACGTATGATCCTGAAACAGATACTGTCTATGAAGTTGCAACAACAGGCCATGATAGCGATGCAGAAGCGTTGTTTTGGGGTCAGTTCCGGCGTGAACGTTGGCATAAGCAAGATATCCAAATGGCCCATGATGCTGCAAAGAAAAAATCCATGGTGACGGCGATCAAGAAAAACAAAAGAATCAAAACTAATTCGTAAGTAACCAAAAAAAAAAAAAAAAAAAAAAAAAATACTGACTTTTGTTTCTATCTTTTTTTGTTGATGATTAGTACCTTTGTACCCAATAATCATTATGTCACTTCGGATGATGTCTTGGAAAATGATTTTGAAGCTTCTGGATTCGGTGATAGTGTGGCTGGTCTTACTTGGGAAGGCATTGGGCAATCTCGGTATGCATAATATTTTGTATGATTAGTTAGTGTGTTGTTGTTCATTATAAAGATTACATCATAATAAAGGATCCGTTGTATTTAATGGTGAAACACAAATGTAGACCGAAAGTAATGTTTGATGACGATCATAGTGCACGAATGCCATACAGATACCATTCAAACTACTCATCATCGTAGCATTATCATTTTTTAAAAAAAAAAAATCATCAAGCTCCTCATCCGACATTCATTCTATCTGCGCACTGATCACATATCAATTTTCATTCAACTCATCATCATGATAAAAAAAAAAAAAAAAAAAGACAAAGATATTATATTAAAAAGTATGTAAAGGGAAGAAAGAATTATATATATAAAATAAATAAATAAGAATAAAATAATAATAAATGAAGAGTAATAGTTTGGATCATTCATCTGGCATAAATATTCTTTCCATAAATTTTTCATAGGACCAATTAGCAATTTTATGTCGTTGAGTGATTGTCTTGACATCCCTGGCACGTTGAGAAAAGACACATCGATGGAAAGAAGAGATACTTGTATGTACACAGGCACGAAACGCACTGATGGCAGTGGCACGCACCAAAGGACCCAATGTAGCACGAGATACCACCATTTCATCAAATAATGGGCCAAAATAAGGGAGTTTGGGATCACGATAGACTTGAATTGAATATAATCCATCTGAAAGAGGTGTCACCACAATTTGCGCATTACCAAAATCACCACCAATAGTACCCACTCTATAATCTCGACTATGTTCATTCCATACTATATGAACATGATCATTACCAATATGTCGTTTCTAAAAATATATAAATGAAAAAAAAAAAAATAATCAGCTCATCCAAAAAAAAAAAAAAAAAAATTACCTTTTTCAATTGTTTCACATCATAAGCATCAGTAGGCATCTTGGTTACATCATGGAACATGATCTCTACTGTGGATGAACAATAATATGTCGCTTTTGTCCCATTTGTCAAATTTCGTTCCAAACCACCTAAATAACCAGTATGTGTTGCTATATCTATTTCCCATCCTAGACTATTGACAAAAGCATCATAACCAGAGCTACCTTGACTATTATGCAAAATACTTTGTTCATCTTCTTGTTCAGGTCCAACATAGACAACACCAATTTTCATCGTTTCTCGTCTAATACCAAAAGAAAAACAAAAATAAATAAGTGATTCTTATTTTTTTTTTAAGAGTTTATAATATGGTTTACCCAGGTTTTCGATCCAATCCACGTAAATCACGATAAAGAGCAGCCGTTTTATTCAACATCTGAAATGATCCATCCTTCAAATGACTATAATTGATAAGTCCTAAATGACTCATCAAAAGCCTACTTTGTTGAAATGGTAAATTGGTCTTTTCAAGTTCATGAGGGAAGGCTGGTGAGAAATCTTTGCGTAAAGAAAAGTTGGCCGTTGATTGTGCATGTGTCGTTTCATTTGTTTGATCTCCTCTTCTACGTAATACATTCAATTTTGAATACCACAGTCGACTATGTTAACCAAAAAATATCAGTGAGTTCAAATCATATATATATATATATATATATATATATTATCTTCACTTACGGATCAGATTCTTTTTGTAAATTGTTGTTTTGTTCATTTGTCAGATAATCATTGAGTTGTTCACCAAGACGACCAACCATACTAGTTTGTAGTGATGATAAAGGAGCAGGTGCATTCAAAGGTACTGAAGATATCACACAATCAGGATGTTGTTCACCAATTCTTTAAGATATACAAAAAAAAAAAAAAATCCGTTGTTAAAACTACTCTTTTCCATTTTGTTTTTAATTACTTACTCTTGCAATAAACTATTTAAAGTATCAGGGGATGACGGGAGACTGGCACTTGTACTTTTATATATATAAAAAAAAATTGAGGTAAATAACGGATGACAAATTGGGAATTAAAAAAAAAAAGACATTGAAGACTTACGATTGTTGAATAGAGGATTCATCCTTTTGAACGGATATAGATGATCGTAATACGTAACCTTGTTCTCTATCTAAAAGATGACTCACAGTATCTGGTGTTCTAATAGGAGCAGGGGACAAATTGGGTGTTACTGGTAATGGTTGATCAAAAGGATCACCTGTAGGAGATTCCAAATGAGCATCCCAGACATATCGGCCAGTCAGATCACGAAGGATCATTCGAGATTCCGCAGGTTTGGTATCAGTGGATGGCAATTCAAGAAAAGCGATAATAGTGGTATCATTGAAAGAGAAGTATTGGTATTGTCGGCATTCGATATCATTCTTATCGTCTGATGATGATGATGATGGTGAGACTCCAGGTCCAACAATGGTGCTGTGAATAGTAGCTGGTCCATATGGCGGTGCAAAGTTATTGAAATGATGGAGTAAATGGAACAAAACCGCTTCTGCAGCTTCCTATAAATAATAATAATAAAAAACGATTAAATATATCAAATTTGATTTTTTTATTTTCTTCATGTTACTTTGACAAAGTCTTGGTCACTTTCAGTTTGATCTGATCCTGTTACTATTTGAGTATGATCTTGATGAACTTGAGGACGTTTTTCAGTCAATAACTTGAATTTGAATGGTATTTCTTTTTTCTTAGATCGACTTGTACTTCGAATCACTGGAGGATGCGGCAACACCTTATCAGAATCATCCTAAATAAATACAAATAAATCTTAAGTAAGCAATTCAATAAAAAAAAAGATTATTTCTTTTCATATTCAATACCGTTGAGACATGAATGGCATATTCTATCACATCAAAGACCAGTTGACATAATTCGGTATCAGTCAATATTTCGGGTTCAATAGTCATCAACCATTCCAATAAACAACTGAAGAGTTTGGATACAATCAACCCTAGAAGTATACGTGAGTATATCGAATGAATATATCTCATTCGTTTATTTTCTCTTTTCTTGTTTTTTTTTTTCTTCTTACCTCGTCCACTCTTTGGATTATTTTCATAAAACTTTAAATGAACATTCATAGCATCAATGATTCTAGTGAGAACTTCTTGGACAATAACCTATGACCAAAAAAGAAAAAAATGAGTAGCCGTCAACAATATAAAAATTCATTCTATATACCCCATCAGGATCCAAACTTTCACGATAGATATGAGCCACCAATACTAAACAATCAGTAACAGTATTGACGATATTGATGTTACACCAATAAAGATGATTCACCATGGCCAAGATACATTCGTGTATGATATCACGTTGTGGGCTACAAAGAAGAAGAAGAAAAAAAAAGAGTTCCCAATCATCAGTATACAAACCTCTCTTCTATTTTGTTCTTGATCCAACTTACTCTTTACAAGAAAGTAGTTCATCCAAAGCATGAGCACAGATGGCACCAAGAAGCATACAATGTACTTCAGCATTTTCATCAGTAAGCGAAGTCGATGTTCCAGTAGTCACCAGACGAATAAGCAAGTCCTTTAACCAAATCTTGACCTAAAAAAGAAATGATTCAATAAGTATTCTCAAATGATACGTTAGGTACTTACGTCAGCAAAGTTGAATTCTTTTTCTTCGCTAGTGGTGTTACTATCAGGTTTGATTTCAATTTTCACATCCGAGAAATGATTTGAGATGGAGGTCAAAGAGCCTAGAATAGAGATACAACTTTTTCTAACTGGAATGGGGACATCCTTGATAATATTTCCATCCAGCAACTACAGACACAAAATAGTTAATGCGTGCTTCGATTTTTTCATTTTCAACTTTACCTGTTTTTCAATAGCATGAAGAAAAGGAGGAACCAAAATGTGGACACCAGGTAAAGAGAAAGCAAATAACCGTTCAGAATTTTGAATAATGGCTTGAATGATCGTATTGTTGTCAGAGGAAAGACCCTAAAAAGAATATTGTTATAATAATAGAGATAACTAGTATTGACCCTACCTTTAAAATTGCTCTATAAAAATGGGCATAAAAGTTGGCAGAAAGTGATTCTTCGGGTTTCCGACATACTAAACGACAAAGACAACCAAAAGCAGCAGCTCTTCCAGTATCAAAGGTGCTATGAACAGATAAAAAAAAAAAAAGTTAGCGGATCAAAATACCATTTCACCTTTACTTTTTTTTTTTTCTAAAAAAAATATACCTTGGTAATTCAGTCGCTTTGAACAACCATGGAGTCACTTCATAAAGAGCAGGAATGGGAACACCGCGATAAGGTTGATTGCTACGGATCTATACAGTATATACCGGAAACAGAAAAAAAAATGAGTCCAATTTAATTTAACGTCACTCATCTTTTTTTTTTTTTTTTATCTTACCCAGACTAAAGTATCCCAAATATCTACTACACATTTGATTGCCATAGAGTGATTTTGAGGAGTCTAGAATCCCATAATGAAAATATATAATAATAGCTGATTAAAGAAATATATGATCTAATGCTATGTGTGTTGGCTCATGTTTTACCTTTATGTCATTGATATCTCCCAGGGAACATAACATGTTTTTCCAAAGTAATAACATGCCTAATCCATCCCATGGTAGATTTTGTAGATTGAGAAATTCAACACTTCTAAAGATACCCAAATCCAAAGGAAGTTTATCATTGACATTGGCAGTAGTCATCTTCATGGTGATCAATTCACTTGGAGCAAGAATAGTTGACGCTGAGGTTCGGTTTGACTAATAAGCAAAAAAAAAAAAAAAAAAAAAAAAGAATGAGCAATCATCATCATATTAATTCTACAATATTTTACCTTGCTTGATACAGTAATATTAGAACTTGCATTGCTTCTACGGTCCCATTCAATCACATTCCTTCCTCTATCATCTCCATCCTTGACAAATAAAGTGCCAGGGGCCAATTTTGACGAAGAAGGTTGTATCATACCAGTATCCAAAGAAGTAGTGTTGTTTGTGGATGTTTCTGATATCACATTCGGTCCGACTGCTAATGTTGGTTCTGTAGATGTCATGCTTTGTAAACCTGCTGCTGCTGTTGATGATGATGTGGTGTGATGGACAAAATTCAATAATTTGCTTCCGGATTCCTGAATCAAATGATCGAATTGATGGATACTGACAGTTCGTTTCCCACGTCGTGAACCTAGAGACGAGGAAGCACTGCCTGTACCTTGATTGTGTTGATGTATATTGCCTGCGCTTATTGATCCTCCTCCACTAGATCTATTATTGTTGATGTTGTAATCATCCTTTTCAATGGTTGGTAATGCACTAGATGATTGTGATGAAGAGAAAGAGGTGGTCGGTATGATATTCTTAATTCCAAATTTTCGACTTGTACTATGACTTCCCGTCAATACTGTTCCTGGTGATGATGGTGACGATGTTGCTTTATCTTCATCGATCGATTCTACAGCCAATCCGGTCCCAGATCGACGATCACTTGCTTTTGGTCTTTCCGTTGTTGATGATGTTGTCGTTGTAGAAGGTACACCCGCTGCTGCTGCTAGAGAAGATGGAGAATATGAAGTCGAGACAGTTGTTGGAATTTCAACGCCTGGAGGAAGTGGGAATCCATCAATAAGTTCGGCCATTGGTCTTTCCGATTTAAATGGTTGTTCTTGTTGTTTGGTTGTCAGACCCATGAGTTGTCCTTCGCTACTACTGCCGACACCACCACTACTATTACCACTACCGCCAATGGAAATAGGTCTAATTGCACCACCAGAATTCCTAGTATTAGTAGCTCCACGTTGTTCATCTTGAATACTAAGATGCCTTGATCGTAATTTTCTTCCACCACTTGTGCCACTGCTAACACCGCTAGTACCTGTTATACCACCATGTAGATATCCTGATAATCGATTGTGAATTGCTCCTGACTTGTCGGAATGAGTTCGATAAGATTCATAATCCACCTTATATAACTTGGAAGAGAGGACTTTTGTCAATCGATGCATGATTTTGACCCATTGTTCAAGAACTTCTGGCCAATCCATAGAAGCAACTTGACGTTTTTTCAAATCTTGCCAATATTCAGTATGTGCTATGCGTGCCCGCGCAAATGCATGGAGGAGAGTCTAGAAGAAGAAGAAGAAGAAAAAAAAAGAGGAAGTTGGTAAGTAAAAATAAAAGACAATAGAGAGTCATTCATCTAATAAACATTACTTCACAAATATAGTCAGCAAAATCATCCGCTAAAGAAGTAACTGGAATTCGAATTGTTCGGTCAGTTGTTTGCATCATCCATTCATGAATATCCAATAAACATCGTAATAGGCTTTCCCTAAATAAAGAAATCAAACAAGTTTTTTGCAAAATGAGAGCTGGCTTTAACAATTTTTTTTTAATAGTACTTACCAGCTTTCCCATTCCATTTCAATTCCACTACGAGTAACTGTCATTGCACGATAGACATTCACAGCATCCTTGTAAAGAGTCACTAACCCATCCCAATCCAATTGTGAATCCAATTCTAATTCTCCAACTTGAGCTGTATTTCCAACTTGTTGTTCTTCCCTAATAAATAGCATTCGAATCATAAAAAAGTATTGTCGTAAAAATACATTTGCTTCTACATAATCGTGATCCGCTGATACCACTGCTGATAAAGATGATATACTGCTGCTGGTATTGAATGGTGCAGAAAGGGTATGAGATACTTGTTGATTGATAGGGGATGTTGGTAGAATCTTTTCCATACTACTAGATGATGTATTGTTCATGTTTTCATGAATGGAATGTTTCGAAGATGCTGCTAAAGATGCATAACTACTTGATCGTGTAATATTATTATTATTGTTGTTGTTGGTATTCATAGTGGTAATAGTATTGGAGCTTGTTGGGCCACCTGTTCGTCGTAAAAAGGAAGGTCGTTCATCTTCACTACCAAGCATCCAAGCCCCCAAGATATGTACTGCTCCACGGATAATATCTCGATAATTTGTGTTGGTTGTTGGAAGTATCATACATTGTCGAAGTACTTCATGGAGCATTTCCCGAGTTTCATGAGAAGATAACACGATTGATTTCAGAATTGGTATTGCTGGTGATGAGTTGGCCGAAGTTGGTAAATTTGGCCAATTGACATGAGAACTACGGTTGTTATCAAGACAGTATCCAATCAAAAACCGTAAAAGAGTACGAAGTACACTTGGTGGACAAGAGGGAAAACCAATGACTATGAATATATATATATATATATGTTAATACGTTTTTTTTTTTTTTTTTTTTTTTTTTTTTTGTGAAGAAAAAAAAATGAAGTCATTGTCCTTACCTATAGATTCACCAGTATTATCCAAGGAAGTTTCCTTTTCTTGTAATGCATTTGAAACATGAGGTAGAAATTTTGTGAGATAATAAGTACGAAAGACACGAAATAAGAATTTGGCACTAGCAGTAGCTGCATCAATGCCTACACCAGTAGCAATTCCATCATCAGCTTCACATTGATCAGGATAATCATAATTATCAGGAGGAGGAGGAGACCCAGAAGCCACATATGCCAAACGGACGAGATTAGTGATAAAAATGTTGAGTAATACGACAGAATCATTATACGTAGGTACAGTAGGATTTGGATATAACGGTGCATGTTCATCGCCTAAGTGTATATATAAAAGAATGAGTTTCATTATTAATATTATTATTATTTATTCTTACCTAATATGATCGTTTGTTGTAATTGAATAGGAGCTTTCTTGATACGTTCATTTCTGACAAGTCCATAACCAACCAGTTTTTCGGAATGACGTTCACCCAATTTCTTGACGAATTGTAATCCACCTCCAGTACCATGTGTATGTGATTTATTGATTCCAATTGATTCGTCATTAGTATGAGATGTATCCAAATCTATATGAGTGTTTGGTGAAGCTATGAGGGTGATATCATCCATAATAAATAGATCCAAAGAGATAGCATTTGCAAATAAATTCATACATTCAGGGTATTCTACCACTTGATCGTTGAGCCATAATAACAATAAATGAAATCCAAGTGATCGTAAGCGTATATGATTACCATGATCGAGAATATGAGATAATATCTTGGCTATAAAATAAAAAAAATAAAAAGAGATGAATTATATGATATTATTAAATTTAATTTTGAAATAATACCTATATTTTTGCGTTGCCATCCATTTCGCATCAATTCTGGAACAAATAAAAAGATTTTTCGAAGTAACAATAAAGTTTTCTGAAGGGAAACTAATTCTTTCGAGTGCCAAGATTGTGGTCGTTCATTACGTTCTATTTTAATGTAATAAAAGGATAAGTTTCTACAACATTTTATTATTATTATTATTATTAAAACTTACGTTTCATTTTTTCAATTTGATGCATACAACTTTCATAGACAACAAGAAAGACTTGTTCAGCATTTTCTTGAAAGAAGCGCGACTGGTCAAAAGTATTGGTGGCATCTATTTATAAATATTAAAAAAAATATATATATATATTAAAATTTATATAAAAAAAAAGTATAAATGACTTACCAATATAACTCCATAAACTTTGTAATCTAGATTTTATTTTTTGTTTTTCATCCATAAAGTTCTTTGTCTTCTTTTTCAATTTTTCAGGACGGTCTTCTTTGTTAAGAGTAAAAGTAGAAGTAGAAGGTAATATAGCATCATCGTTCAAACTAGTAATAGAAGGTCCTGTTGTTAGATGGTTGGAGTTGTCAGTGGAGGTATCAGGTACTGGTGGTAAAGGAGATTCATCGTTTATAGTAGTTGATGTTGTAGGAGTTGTGTCCAAAGCTTCTGGAGTCGAGGAAGAAGGTGAAAAAGTCTTCTTCATTACGGAACTTGCTTTCCGCATGACATCAATACTAGTGATAAAGAGTGAGAGAAGGAAGGAAAAAAAAAAAAAGAAAAAGAAAAAGAGAAAGAAAAAAAAAAAAGTAAGAAATGAAAAAAAAAAAAAATCTAGTAAGACGGGGTATGCAAAAAGAGGGAACTTTTTTTTTTTTTTTTATACTTGTATAGGCGGCATTTGAATGAGTGAGTGTGGATTAAAGAGTTCTTTTTTGTTTATTGTCTTAAGATAATAAGATCAGTTTATTTTAAATATTTGTTTTTTGTAATATCCTATTTCATTATTATTATTATTTATAATTGTTTAAAAAGTTGAACAGCTGATTTAATAGAATCAAGAAACTACTCACAGTAGAAATCCAGAAAAGGAAGCTTGTGTACACACATTTCATATCAAATTATGAAAGAGACAAGAAAAAAAAAAAAAAAACTTTTTTCATATCCCGCCTCTTTTTTTTTTACCTTCTTTTTTTGTTTTTCGCTTGTGTCATTCTTTTTTTTTTTTTTTAATTTTTTTTTTTCTTCTTCTACTCAACTTCCCTTTTTCTTTTTTTTTCTTAAAAAGTTATTTATAATGGATCAATCAACAGGTAAAATAAGAAAATAGAAAATAGATGATCAAATAACTAATTGTGTTTATAATTTAGGTGTCGATATTAAAAATAAAAAATTAGAATCTTTTTCTGCTCCTACTCCTCAAAACACTCCTAGTAATCCTGCTCCCATTACTTCAAACTATCGTCCTAAAGTGACTACTATATCTGAAGATATGGAAACTGTAACTACACCTGGTAAAAAAAAAAAAATAAATAAATAAATAAATAATAGAATATTTATTAATTTTATCTTAATATATAGGTGTAGCTGGAACAGATGCTTCTGCTCTTAGTGGTGCATTTACTAATAACCCTGCTCTCATTAGTATGCTTCAAGGAAAATTGGATACTTTGGTTGGTCGTTCTTCTGGCTATGTTGAATCTCTTCCTCCTTCTGTTCAACGTCGTTTGAATGGTCTCAAGTATTTACAATCTAAACATTCTGAACTTGAAATTCAATTCCAAGAAGAAGTATTAGCTTTGGAAAAGAAATATCTTGAACTTTATCGTCCATTATATGAAAAGCGTACTCAAGTCATTACTGGAAAATATGAACCTACTGATGAAGAAGTAGCTATTGGTGAAAAGGTAGATCAAGATGAAGAAGAAGATCACAAGATGGAAGATGAAGAAAAACCCAAGACTACTGACAATGACGATGTCAAGGGTATTCCTGAATTCTGGCTTACTTTGTTGAAAAACCATCCTCACTTATCTGAAGCTATTACTGATAATGATGAACAAGTCCTTAAACATTTGATCGATATTCGTATGTCTTATTTGGATCAACCTGGATTCAAATTAGAATTTGTCTTTGAAGAAAATGAATTCTTTACCAACTCTATTCTTACCAAGACTTACTATTATCAAGATCATGCTTATGCTGGTGACTTTGTTTATGATCATGCCGAAGGTTGTACTATTGACTGGAAGGAAGGAAAGGATTTGACTACTACCGTGGAATCAAGAAAACAACGTCACAAGGGAACCAACAAGACTCGTGTTGTCAAGCGTACTGTACCCACCGACTCTTTCTTTAACTTCTTCAATCCTCCTGCCTTCCCTGATGAAGATGAAGAATTGGATGAAGAAGAAGCTGAAGGTTTGGATGCCAAATTGGAAGCTGATTATGAAGCTGGTAAGAAAAATCTTCAATCCTCATTTATTAAATAATGTGATGCTCATCATCCTTTTTATATATATACCATATTATATAGGTGAAGAATTTAAGGATAAGATCATTCCTCATGCTGTTGATTACTTTACTGGAAAGGCTCTTGAATATGATGGTTTCGATAATGAAGATGAATTCGATGGTGAATACTTTGATGACGAAGATGATGATGATGTGGACGATGATGATGAAGATGATGATGATGATGATGATGACGATGATGATGATGCTGTAAGTAAAATAGAAAAAAGGATTAGTTGATTAAAGAAAGAGAGATACTTGTGATATTAATTCCCTTCTTTTATATAATGTTAGCAACCCAACAAGAATGAAAATGCTCCTGAATGCAAACAATCTTAAATAGTTTATATAGTACTTTTATCTCCCATTATCATTTTTCATATATACTTCTTACTTTTACTGCTTTTTATTTCATACATCCATTTTTTATTTTTTCATCCTCCCTTCTTTTTTTTTTACATTTCTTTACGTTGTACTTTTTCTTTTATCTTATCATTTTTCATTCCTCCTGCAATGGCTAATGCTATCTTTCCCCCTTTATACTTTTTTTCAATAAAAAAATAAATCAAGATCATATATTGACATTCTAACTTACCGGAAGGTATCACCGATAATGATGAACAATATTCAAATCATTCATTTGGTTGATATTCGTATTGTCTGCTCAGCTGATTCCATCGGATATTGAACATGCACGCCTCAGGTACAATAAGAAAAGAAACGGTTTTCTTTTTTTTTTTTTTTTTTTTTTTGTTTCTTCTTTTTTATCCTTTTTTATCATGTTCCTACCTAGGCGTACTATCCGTTCTTGCTTGAAACAAAAGGTTGGTTTACCACAATTATCTTGGCGTCTAGGTTTATGGATTCTTTTATTTGTACTTATTATTATTCCCTCTTTGTATACTATTGACTTGAATCTTCATGTCAGCTTGAAACCTTGGATACATAGACAACCATCTGTTTCAGTAGATTCTCTTACTTCTTCTTGTTTCCAGTCTCCTTATACAATCAAACAGCTTCAGTCACCTCCTATTACACCTGGTATTCCGTTAAAAAATAGTGACGAATGTCTCGGTTTTGCAAGCTCAATCGGTGATTCCTCTTTACTATCAGCATCTACACAACGCGACAATGTATGGTTTCATACCTATTGGATACCTTCAAATGACAACATGGAAGATCATCGGTTGGGAATAATGTTACGATCTTTTGCTGCAACGCATTCACAAGGTAGTTTGATGATTTGGGTTCAGGATGGTCACGAAAATGCATTGTTACATTCTAATACTTGGCGTCAAGCGAAGCAACATATGAAAGGTCGACTTGAACACAACATATGGACAACGATCATTGATAGGAACAACAAGAGAAAACATATTTCGGATCAAGAGGATACCCGCAGTGAAAAGATGGATTACATTGGGCTGCTGATCCTACAACAATATGGTGGTGTTTGGTTCCATCCATCTATTGTCTTTCTGCGGAGTTGGGCGCCTTTGCTCGGTACAAGGGAATGGATGATACAACAAGATTGCCAAGCGACGCATTCGGGGCAAGAAGCAGCACTTGGTAGCCAGGCGAACAATCATCAACAAACAGTAATGCACTTTTTCGCCAATTCATCCATACTATGTCAATTGGTCGAAACAATGGAAGTCTCTCTCTTTGGAAAATCATCATCATCATCATCATCATCATCATCAACAGGTTTAGTCTATAAGGATGTGTATCATCGTTTGATGAAAGCAAAGATTCGGCCGTGGTTGATACTTCCTTGGTGTTTCATGAATGCAGCGGGTGGGTGTACAGCTAACAACCTTGATCTCTTCAACAAGCCAACTCTTGGGATACCTACTCTACCTCCAGTTTTTGCTCTTCAATACAATGTCAGACAATGGGTGGATGATCCAGATACTCTACTTGGCCTCCTCGATCTCTCACATCAAGCTATTTTGGGCTGGTGATCATGATAATAAATTGGATAGTACAACAACAACAAACAAACAATAGTTTAATTTGGTCAAAACACACTTAGACACTTGTTATATTTATTATGTAGTTTAGTTTTATATAACTCTTTTGACTTGTATATACTATAAAATTAAATAAATTTTTTATTTTGGTTTATTTAGATATTTATCATCATCATCATCATCAACTTTAACCATATTACAGATACAAAACATTTATCATCATGATCATTTCATTCAATTTACTATGAAAGGAATAATAGGAGGTTTATTGATGACCTGTCTAGCAGTTCAGATAAATCATAAAAAGTATATATCTAAGATCTATTTCTTTTGGGTCCAATACAAATCGGTATCATGAGGATAGATAAATTCACCAGTGACAGGATCGGCATCAAATCCATATTCTGGATTATTCAAAACGGCATTGACCTTTTTCTCCAGTTCATCTTGTTCCGATTTGGGCAGAATGGCAATGTAACTCTTGCTAAGAATACGAGGGAAGATACGTTGACGGATGAATGGCATGGGATAATCAAATTGTTTGTGTTGAAGAGGTACATTGAATAGATCACTAGCTTCCTTGGTTGCCCAGACATTTTGCCATTGATTCTTGCGATACTGAGGAGCCGCAGCATCGTAGAACTCATAAAGACTAACAGAAAAGAAAAAAAAAAAAGAAAAATAAAAAAATGTTTAAGTATGTGAGACATAGAAAATAATCATCTTTTTTTTTGGGACTTACTTTCGTAATTCTTCTACCCAACGACAATTCTTTTTCGATTCCATATTCCAAATCAATAACAAATGACCTTCAGGTTTGAGAATACGATGGATTTCTTGTAAACTTTTCAAATCATCAAACCAATGAAAAGCCTAAATAAAACAAATGAGACAATGATAAATCTATTATTATTATTATTATTACCTGAGCAACAATGACAGCATCTTGTGAGTTAGAAGGTAAGGTAGTATTCCAAGAAGTACCATTTACGGCCTTGACACCAGGTACAGCAGCTAACAATTTTTCACGCATCCCTTCTACAGGTTCCACAGCCGTCACTTGATATTGGCACACTTCCACAAGAAACTTGGTCATGATTCCTGTACCTGCTCCAAGATCAACTACTTTACCATTCACAGGAATAATAGTTTTGATAAAATCAATAGATTCCAAAGGATACTTTGGTCTAGATAATTCTATAAAGAAAGAGTTATTGGCAATTGAGTCAGAACATGAATAACTTTTTTTTTACAAAATGGAATTACCATAGTAGGCAGAACCAGATTGGAAACCATTAGATGCAGTTTGATGTGGTTGTTGTTCTAAGGTCATAGTATTAGGTAGATCTGATATGTATGTATGAAAAAGAGGGGGAGAGAGAGAGAGAGAGAGAGAGAGAAAAGAAAAAAAAAAAAGATAAAGATGCTTTCTTTTTTTTTATAGAATTCAATGCCTACAAAAACCCTTCGGCGCTTAAATACGATCGTGGCCCTTTTCATGGCCTACAATGGAAGATAAATTTAATTCTATTGTGTGTGTGATACTCAAAGAAGATAGTGATGGCAAATGCACGTAATATGTTGAAAACTTTTTTCCGGAAATCAAAAACTATAAAGTAAATATTCAACCTAATTTCTGACAAGATGTTTGCAATGACAAAAAAGGAAATATGATAAATAAAAAAGCAATAACTTACAACAATGTTTTGAATAATAGTTTATCGTGACTATTTCTTTTTTTGATATAATACCCTTTTTTTTTTTTTTTAATGTAGAACTAAAAAAATTCATCTCTATAACAACGATAGTATTTATTTTTTTTATTTTTTTATTATGCGATCAAGAAGTTTTGTTTAGTTTCATGTTATGAAGAAATGAGACTCCCCAGGTCGCTTGGATATTTTGGATTTTTTTTTTAATCTCCTCTGTATCAGACGAGGAGGGTCCAGATAAAAAAAAAATTGTATATCTTTTTTTTCTTCTTTCCTTTTTCCTCTTTTTTTTTTTTTTTTTTTTTGCTTTTGAAAATAGATCTTTTTTGTTTCTTTTTTTTTTGAATACTTTAAAGAACAATGACAGAATCAATGTCTCAAACACAACTTGTAGAAGATACTAATCGTTTCGGAAAACATAAAGGTAAAGACAATTCGTTCTCTTTTATTTTATTTTTTTATTTACTCATATATGTATATGTATTATGATATGATGATAGCAACACCTATAAATACGAATAGCAAACATATATCTATTAATACAAATAACAATAATAAAGGTATTCGAACATCATTATCCAGCAATGGTACGTCATCAACACCTATATGTACTGTTATATTTCAACCACACAGTACCCAATTCCCGGTCAAAACTATAGAACTCAAGGATAATGTCAAGTGTCGTATAGGACGTCAATCTAGTGCCAAGACTATTCCAAAACCTTTAAATGGTTATTTTGACTCAAAAGTCTTATCTCGAAACCATGCTCTTTTATGGCTTAGTGAAGGTAAAATCTACATCAAGGATACAAAATCAAGTAATGGTACTTTTTTAAATGGACATCGATTATCTCCCGAACTGGAGGAAAGTGAACCTTTTGAATTAAAAACTGGTGATCAAATTGAATTCGGTATTGATATTACTGGTGAAGATGGTACTGGTAAGTTTGTTTATTTATATATATATATATATGATTTTAAATTACTTTTTTTTTATATATATTTAGTATTATATCACAAAGTAGCTTGTACAATCTCAATTATTCATTTACCAGTGGACCAAATGGATCATGCGACACTAAAAGAATTCAATTTATCTACCAATTATGCTTCCCTCTTCTCTTCGTCGGACATGGAAGTAAGTTAGAACATCGTTGTCAAATCGAAAAAAAAAGAGGGGGTTGAAAAAAAAAAAAAAAAAAACTGATCTTTACATTATAGATGCAACAATCACGGCGAAGCTCAACATCTTCTGTAGCAACTATCTCTTATCATACAGGCAAAAATACCATTACTGATCAATCATCTAATCCATCATTGAATTTAGCAACAAAACGATCCAAGAATTGGGAATTATTAATTGGTAAACTAGAAGTAAGTACTCCTCCTTACCCCTTTCTTTTTATGTATATGGATATATTTCGTTCCAAAAGATCACACGATACCTATTTAACTTTTTATTATTATATTAGAGTGAATTACAAAGATCTCAACAAGTGGAAAAAGAGTTACTGGATATGAAGGAATTTATTGGTGATGTTGATAAAGTAAACAATGAAGATCGATTGAAAAAGATGGTAAGTAAATGAAAAAAAAAAGAGAGAGAATTTTAATATCTGTTTATTATTCTGATAGAATGATCTAAATATCAGTTTACAACATCGACTCAACGAAGCACAACAACAACTTACAGCTTATGCGGAAAAAACTCGTCTACAAGATCTAGCCGTTGCCTCTGCACAAAAACAATTGTTAGAATTACAACAAGTCATTGAAACATCAAGGAAAGCTGGGATGGCGAAACTAAACTATGGACCAGAAATGACAAAATTACGACAGACTTTGGAACAAGTACGATTTGAATTGGATCAAGAGAAAGTGAAACACAATAAAGCATTGATGGCTGAAAAAAAAAGAGCAATGGACTATGAAAAGAAATGTTTGGAATTGGAGAAACATCTTTTATTTTTGGAACGTGATCAACGAGTGAATGGTACAACCAGTGTAACTAGATCTGATGGTGGCGGTTTTTTCTCTGGTCTGATGGATGCACTACAGGTAAAATAGATAAAGGGATTAAGAAAATTGAATTGACACACTTTTTTTTTTTATAGATTCGATCTGTTCAAATTGTATTTGGTGTAATGATGGCTGTGATATCTACTCTTTTATATTTATTACTAATGATATGATACCTTTTTTATTTTTTCTATATACCCACTTTTTGTTTTTCCACTCTTATTTATTTATTTATCTTTATTGATTCCCTTCCCCTCCACACATATTATGCCTTTTTTTGATGACAAATAAAATCAATCTACTAGTAGAATAGGATATATATATTACATAGTTTATTTATTTTTTTTTATTGATTATACATTGAGAATAAATAAGATGTTTTGTATGGGATGACTATGTACAAATTGGATAAAAGAATGGGTGTGCGAGAGAATAATAATAAATAAATAAAAGTGAATATATCATCCAAAGATTTCTTTTTTGTTTGTATCAATAGATTCCATTTCTTTTCCAGACGTTCTTGGTAGAACTAAAATCCCGTTCATAAGGCCAATAACCCATGTCAGGATAATAATACGAACTTCCATAGCGTAATCGATTGTACATATTTCGGAATAGACTTGGTGATCGATAACTATAGTAATTGCTGTTATAAGGATAATAACCAGGTGTACCATAATAATAGGATGGATAATGTCCACGATACATATATGGATGATATCCATTGTAACCACCATACATTGTAGGCATATGATGATAATTATACACTATAAAGAATATATATATTCAATTTTTTACCTATTCTTTTTTTTTTCTTTTTTTTTTTTTACTTACTAGAGTAATATGACATATTTTTGTTTTATTTCGTTCTATGTGATAGGAGATAATATGAAGAAAATAGAAAAAAAATAAAAGTAAAAGAAAAGAGGATGAGAAAAAAAATAGTGTGTTTCCCAATTTAATCACTTTATTATCCGCACATTTGAATAAGTATACAAAAAAAACTGTAATAGAACCAATCATCACATGGGAACTGTGAAAAAAAAAGATCGGTTCGGTGAATGGATTATTATATATTTGTATATAAAAAAAAATAGACAAAGAACGAGAGAAAAAAAAAAGGAGGTCAGGTGGCGTTTGCTTTTGTTTCAATCCGTAGTGCAACCAATAAAAGGTATCAACTGATAGACCATTTTTGTATTATCTTCCTTTCTTTTTTATTATTAGTATTATTATTATTATTATTACTCTCTCTCTCTCTCTCTGTCTTGTTTTTCCTTTCAATGTATTATCATCATCGTCATCTTTTTTTTTCATTCTCTTTCTATAAGTGATTCATTATTATGCTATAGCGGGGTGTCAAAACTACGGTGCCACGTTGCATTCGGAACGAAAGTACCGTCTTTCCTTTCAGGGCAAGGAAGGAGGATCCTGTTCGCACAATCAATCAAGGGAATAAGTTTGTTCTTTCTCACTGTATTAATATCCTACTAGATAGAAAATAAAATAAATTAAATTAAAAAAATGAATCTCTTCCTCATATTTGATGAACAAAAAAAAAAAACATTTATGTATTTCCAATGAGGGGATATCGTGTCATCACACAAAATAAAAAAAAATAGTCGATCTACTTTTTATTTATTTGTTGCGATTGGAGATCACCGTTTAGTCATCTATTTTTAAAATTAATTATCATCCAGTAGCCAAATTGTAATTAGTTACCTGTTCAAAAAAAAAAAAAAAAAGATTATCATCTGATCCACTTTTTTTTGTTTGATAGAATTTGTTTCCCGTTGGACAATGACACTTTCTAAATTCGGCAAGATCGAGAATGAAAGTAGAAAATCATGGATGACTACTGCCACTTTTCTACAAAAAAAAAAAAAAAAATCGCATAAAGTTGATATATCTATCATAACATCCGTAATGGGGAGAATGATGCAATAGAGATTGTGAAAGTAATCAAACAAAAAAAAAAAGAAGTGATAAAATAAGATATGCTTTATGGATGGATTGTGATATTTAATGGGTGAGAAAGGCCATAGTAAAATATAAGTAAAAGAGGAAAACTACTATAAAAAATATATAATAGTTGGAAGAGTAAACAGATCTAAAATGACATACTATTTCAATATCTGGTACCCATAAAAAATCTTGTCATTTATACGCACACTATATATATACCATCTTCATATCCTTTTTCATCAATAGGATACTATGAAACCAACATCATACAAATCAATCCATCCATCATAGAACCATTATCAACGACACCATTCAAGTACAAAATAATAATAATAAAAAAAAAAAATACACACACAAAAAAAAAAAAGAGTTTATTTGGAATGACAAATGCATAATGTGGTAAACAATAAAAAAAAAAAAAAATAAAACACAAAATTGTAAAAGTAAATGATATAGAAAAAAAAAAAGAAAACTAATTGTCAATGGTAGTATCATCTTGTTCGGTACCTTCTTCATCATCATATTCGGCATCCAAATCATCTTCACCAGGGACAGCATAAATACGCAAGATAGGTCTATTGGGATCCTTCATCATGACATAGCGACCATCAGGTAATTGTAAACACATATCCACGACGGCCTTGACAATCCCCCAACCATTGGTCAAGGACAAGTTCATTTGAGCAGCAAAATCACGAGGTTTGTAGGCTTGGGTACCCAAAATGACATGACGAGAATTATCCTTGGGAGTAGCACGAGCAATATAACCCAATTTGAGTTGTTCAGCACCAGCCAACAAAGCTTGGACAGCCCATCGAGCTAACTTGGCAGCATTGTTTCGCATTTCAGTAGCTACCACAGCACCACGTTGAGAATCCAAACTTTTCTTCCATGATAATGCACCACCGGCACCTTGAGCATTTGGATCAAATTCATTCAAAGCACGGATGGTCACCAAAGTGTTCTTGTTACCCGTCTTGACAGCAGCATCGACTTCGGTACGGACAATCATGTTGATGGGTTCCACAGATTCATCTTGATTGGTAGATGCAAGGTTGAATTGACGATAACGGTAACCACAAGAAGCAAGCTTATTAGTGGTGTCAGCAGTAGCAAAAGGATTGGCCTTGTCGAATGTGACAGCAGTGGAAGGTTCAAGCACTTGACGAGCAAAGTTTTGATTAATATAAGTAGCTTCGTTGCAGAGTGCAGACCAAGAATTGATTGTATCCTTATCATTTTCTGCAGGAGGATCCATGGTGTTTTCGTTCACAGTAACAAAGTCAAATACACCGCCAGGTCGCTTATCCAAAATCACCTTGTCATTTTCCTTCTTGACAACAATATCCCAAGGATAAACAGTACGAGTGGCACACATTAACAGAGATAATACAGCATCAGTAGCATATACAGTGGCCTTGTCTTCGTTGATAAATTGTTGAATGACAGGATCTTCAGATGTAGTGGTATCATACTTGACACGATCGATATGTTGAAGAGCCTTTTCGTTGCGAGTATTAACACGATCATAAGATTTGTTGTAATAATTGATAGATCCAAAGGTAGCACTGAAAAAAAAAATAAAATAAAAATGTTTTAGAAATATCATCCAAATAAATAAAAAAAAGTTTAACTTACATATCTTCAGCTTCAGGAATACCAAAAGTCAACTTGCTTAATCGACTGAATTCAATTTCATCCAAAAGATTCCAATCAGCACCAATGTTCACCGAAGCATTGCGAACTCGTTGAGGTTTGTCGTAATCACGATGACCATAACGTTTACGAGCTTGTTGAGTTTGTTGTTTTCCACCAGTAGGACGAGAAGCGACAGTACGATAACCTTGTTGTTGTTGCTGTTGTTGTTGTTGTAATTGTTGTTGTTGTTTATTTTGAGGACGAGCACGAGTATTACCACCAGCAGCCTTAAGAGCCATCTTCTTGACAGTAGCAGATCGATTATCGACCACAGAGAAGGAGGATTCGTCTTCGGTATGAGTGTAAGCAAAGGCAGAAGCAAAAGAAGCACCGTAACTTTGATGTTGATCTAAATAATAAATAAAATCAATTATGAATATTCTGTTTTTTTTTTATTTCTTTTTTTTTTTTCATTGTTTCTTACCACGATTGAAACGATTGAATCCAGTTCTTCCTTGACGACCAGTATTTTCACGGTTGTCTTGTTTTTGACCATCAGGATTAGTCCAATCAGCCACACGACCTAGTTTGTCACCTTTACTATAAGGGGCATAAGGAATATCTCGGAATTGAGAAGGAATAACATTGGCAGGTCCCCATCCATGTTCACTATCATGAATAGGAGGTAAGATAAAAGCAGATTTGTTTTCAGACATACTGTTTTTAAAGATTTAAAAAGAAAAAAAAAAAAAAAGAAGAGAAAGAAGAGACTTTTTTTTTTCGAGGAATAACAAAAAGGGAAGAAAAAAAAAATCCAAGTGTGACTGGAGAGATTGAAAGACCGTCTAGAACTGTGCCAACTGTGGGTTTATCTCTTTTTTGTCCTTTTTTTTTTTTTTCTTTTCTTTCATGGCATCTTCATCACAATCTATAGAACCTCAAAAGGATGACACCTTTTCTCAAGATATCAAAGCACTACTAGGACCTGTCATTATGGATATGGATAAAAATATCATTGCCACACAACAGAGTCAGCATGACTTTGGACAAGAAATTGAACGTCTTATTGCTGGTAAAAAATATTATACGTATGGTGATATATATATATTCTTATTCTTTTTTTTTTTTTTTTTTTGGATAGAACTTGAAGTATTTACAGATATAGCTGATCCTCCAAAATTACAGACTTCTCTTGAAAAATTAGTGGATGCGAAAAAAAAGTTGAATAATTCTATCAAATTATTACATCAAACAAATACCCGCCTCGAACGCATGGAACAATCAATGAATACCTCTATATGATATTAGTTAGTTATCGTATATCTATTGATTATTTGTAAATAAAAGAAAAATACATGATTATCTTATTATACAATCTCTTGTCCCGATTCAAACCATCAACTTCAAAAGTTAGCAAACGTAGTATAACTCAAATTTGTATCAAAGTAGTTATTGTCCTCAATATATGTATATATATATGTATAGTCATAGAGATAGGTATTGTCATAAAAAGCATATAATAATATTGATTTATTTTGTCATATAAAAGAAGAAGAAGAAAAAAAAGGATAAAATGTACAAACAAATTGAGAATGATATATAAAGAAAAGAAAAAAAAAAGATACGCGCTATCATACAAATATCAAATAACTAACAAACTAATTCATGATGGAGGATGATTTAATGATGTTTGTTGTTGAGGAGGGAAGAGTTGTTGAAGAATGGATGTCACATCAGGAGAAGGAGTAGTTGATCCACCTTGTTGACGTTGTTTATTGGCAGCATGATATTGAGCAGCGGAAGCAATCAAAGGAAGGATTTCAGCTGGAAGATTATTCAATTGAATACCAATAGATTCCAAAATACTATAAACTTCATTTCCTGACATTGACCCTGGTGGACGTGATGTTGTTGATGTGTTGTTGGACCATAAACTTGCCAAAGAAGAGTGAGATGAAGAAGAGGATAATAATCCAGGAGGAGATGATGATAGATTAGGATGTGATAAACCATAAGTGTTGTTGGTATACATTTCTACATATCCATTGTTTCCACGGCCTGCATGTTGATAAGGAGAAGGTGAATACATATTGCCATCAGGTACTGAAGTTGAATAAAATCCTGGTGTAGATGGTGGCGATGAGGATGAGGATGGTGATGATGATATATTTGACATGAATGTCGTGCGACGTTGCCTTTTGCTAATAGGTGGGGGTGCAACAATGGTGGTGGCGGTGGTGTTGATTGTGGTGGTGGTTGCAGCAGGTGGTGGTTGCGGTGATGATGATTGTGATGATGATGATGTTGATGTTGATTGTGTCATGGATTCAGTAGTTGAAGAAGATGATAATTGGATAGCTGATGTCGAAGAACTATTAGCAATACTGTTGCGATGTTGAGGTGCGTATGAGTTGTATATGGGCGAAGATAAAGGTTGTCCAGAAGTTGATGATCCTGTTGCTGGTGGTGTTATAGGAGTTGTTTGTTGTTGTTGTTGTTGTGAAGATTGCTTTCCTTTTTTTCCAGTTACATTGGAACGATTTCGTTTCTTGATCACATCTGTTTTCAAACTTAGAGGACGAACCACACCATGAAGTTTCAAAAATAGACCACAAGCATTACATAGAGGTTGGCCTTGAGCATTTCGTCGCCATAATGGAGTAGTTTGAGTGTTGCAATTAGAACATTGTGTTTTTCCTTGAGATGACATTTTCTGATTGACTGTTGGTAACGTAGATTTTGAAGTTGATGATGGCATGTCAGTACTTGTGTTAGAACATACTGATGAAGAAGGAGAACTAGGACTAGAATGATGATCAAAACGATTGATATTCATTGGTGTTGTAGTTGATACTGACATTGGTGGTGGTGTCGTTGTTGTTGTTATATTGTTATTGTTGTTGTTGTTGGAAGGATAATACATAGAGAATAAATCTTCAAAACTAAGACCACCAGCATTCATTGTTTGTTGTTGAGTTGGATCATAGTGAGGAGTAGATGGCATTGTTGATGGTGACATTTGACCAAAGTAATAAGAACCAGCAGGATCATGATTATTGAGAGCAGGAGGGGTATAATGATGTAACAAATTAGGAGACATGTAAGATAAAGAAGGTAATGAATTGTTAATAGGATCCATAACCAAAGGAGAAGCTACTTCTTCATCATATTGTTCTAGTTCATCTTGTGTAGGAATAGTGATACTACCACGTAATTTAGGTGATTCAGCTCTGCGTTTGGTAGGCTAAAAAAATAAAATAAAATAAAATAAAAATTGTATAGATATAAAAAAAAAAAAGGTCAGTGAATCACATGTAAAACGCATGAGAGGAAGTGTTTTTTTTTTTTTCTATCACCAGACTTTTATATATATTTTTATATTACCGTATATTTTTGAATACTATATGAATTCGCGCGACAACTACCAGATATTAGTACATTCTTCTTGTCTTGATCCAAGTTTTCACGTAAATAATCCATCATATAAGGAGGAGCAGAAGAAGATAATAAAGAAGTAGTATCATCAGCAGGTGGAGGTTGATGTTTCATATCAATAGCAGTAGATTCAGTAGGTTTAACAGTTTCAGTGGGTTCAATAGACTTAGTTTGGTCTTCTTCTTCTTCTTTATTTTTCAATGTCATTGCCATCATACGCCAAGTTAAATTTTCTAGTCGAGAACCATTAGGTAAAGTATCCTTTGCCTTTGTATACATTCGCCATACTTGAGTAGAAAGAGGATCAGATTCATTTGTATCTTCTTTGGACTCTTTACTTGGAAATAAAGAATCAGAAAGTAGTTTGTCAGCAAGTTGACTTTTTGGATGCATTGTCGTATATGTATATATAGAAGTATATGTACGTGTATAAATATATATATATATAGGTTATAAGTAGTGTAAGAATATATATGTTAAAAAAAATAAAATAATAATAAAAGAGAAAGAAAATAGGAAATAGAGGAATTGGATAAAAAAAAAAAAGAAAAAAAGGAACATAAAAGGATTTAAAGTTGGCTTTTACAGTTTTTTTTTAGGAAACGAATCGGATTCTTAAGTTTTTTATGTTAAAAAGGTTATTTTATAATAAGAAAAAACCAAAGATCAGCGATCCCCTTCTTTCTAAAGTACTATAGTTCATCCACTTTTTATTGGATAAACAACCTTGGTCAACTTATCATATCCTTTTCGGGTAGACTCGCTGATAATGGAAAATAAATTCCGTTCCGCTTTTTACCAACGTTTTTTTTTTGTCTTTTTCATGAAATTTGTATTTTTTGGAGAGAGAAAAGACTATATATATATATATATATATATGTATTATGTTTTGATTATTATTTTTAAATATATTATAATTAAATTGTTAGATTTATTTATTTATATATGAAAGGTAACAATGATAGATGACTATCCACTGATTATGATAAGATGACTTTTTTTTTTTTTATTTTCGTACATAAAAATAACGCTCTCACATGCGAAGATTTTCTTATCTCCATATTGCCAATTTTGGAATAGAACTTTAAGCAAAATATCTTCTTCTTTCCGAGGCATACTTCACTCTCCGCTTCCCGTTCATCATAAATAATTCTACATTATATGTAACACGGAATTCTATAAAAAGTAATAAGATGCATTCAATTGATAAAAAAGAACACACACACACATATTCTCTATTTTGATGACTGATTAACAAAAATAACTTTATATAATAAAAATATGAATTCTAAACTATTCATTTCCACCTCGTAAGATGAGATTTCGAATAATACGTCGTCTTCCATCACCAGTCACACGGATATCACCTTGACTTTCCATTGCTCGAATAGCTTCATCAAACGACTTGTTGTCAACAGGCTAAAGAGAAAAAAAAAATAATTCATCAATCCTTTCTATTTTTCTTTTTCTTTTTCCATTCTTTTTTTTTTTTTTTGACATACCACACTACTCTGAGAATTAAAGTCATTGAATAATTTTTGATAAGAAACTTGACTTTGTTCTTGATTAGTGATCATAGTACGAAGTTCCCGTATTAAGTCTTCTTGAAGATGTCGTTCATGAGAAGCTGTACCCATCAAAATAAGATCCATATCAATACGTCCAGTTTTCGGATCAGTAGCATAATCTTTGATAGCTGCACGAAGTAATCGGGAGGCTTCCTTGACATCGTCTACTTCTACAAATTCTGATAATCTACATGAAAATAAGAATAAAAATAAATATAAACCCTATTTTCTAACTCTACCTTCTTCCCATTTTTCGGTTTTTTTTTTTTTTTTTTTTTGTGTACCTCATTCGCGCATGAGCTTCAGACATACGAATCATTGATTCCAGTTGTCTGGTTGTTGCTGTTACACGTTTTTCACGGCCACCACGATCTTGCCCTTGTTTACGTAATTCCACATAAAGATCTACTAGATGACGACCAGCTTCTTCAGTAAGGACAGGTTGAATCTTGCTTCGGGCATAACTAATATACTTGGAAAGAGTTTCTACAGGCTAAATATAAAATAAAATAATAATAATTATTATCATATTTAGGTAAATACTAAGAAAGAAATAAACTAGTGTTTATAAATCCTTTACGATGATATCCAAACCAGCAGTTGAAGGTACGTCTTCCATATACAAAGATACCAAATGGTTCGCCAACCTACGATCCGCATCCTCATCCACTTGATCCAAAATAAGGTATAGTAAATCAAATCTACAGAATAGTGAATAGTAAAATAATAATAATAATAAAGTCAGTTAAACTATAAGGACTTTGATCCTTCTTTCTTTATTTTACCTAGACAATAAGGGTGGAGGTAAATCCAAATTCCCAGGAACAGATAAGTTTTTATTCCATCTTGATCCAATAGGATTTGCACAAGCACAAATGGATGTTCGAGCATTCAATGTAGTGATAATACCAGCCTTTGCCACTGAAATAGTTTGTTGTTCCTATAAGATAATGTAAAAATGAATACAAGCTTATCCCTCACCTTTTGTTTTCCTTTTTTTTTTTTTTACCATCACTTCATGAAGTACTGATCTTGTAGCATCAGACATCTTATCAAATTCATCAATACAACATACACCACCATCACTTAATACAAGAGCACCACTATTATAAAAATAAAAAATAAGGTCAAAATAAATGTCTAATGATCGTTTGTTCTATGTATATCTACAGATCATCCTTTTTTTTTTTTTTACTTTACCTTTCCAGTACCAGCTGTCGAGAATCGGGATCACGTGTAATATATGCAGTAAGACCAACAGCAGAAGAACCTTTCCCAGAGGTATAGACACCACGAGGAGAAATTTTGTGGACATATTGAAGTAATTGTGATTTACTGGTACCAGGATCACCGACAAGAAGGACATTGATTTCACCTCTAGATAAAATATATGATGATGAGCTCACAAAATCAAAGGGAAAAAAGAAGTGATCTAAAATTGTTATTTTCATTCATAATACCTAAACCTTGGAGAACCAGACCTTTGGAAGACTTTGTTTGCACCGCCAAATAATTGTAATAAAATACCCTTCTTGACATCATCAAGTTCGAAAATACTTGGAGCTAAAGGTATAATGATAAAGAAAGAGGAAAAACGTGAGATTAATGTATTCATGTTAATACGATTTTTTTTTTCCTTTTTACCTAATGATTGTGAGAGAGTATCATATAAATCAGGTCTTTGGGATAATTCAGTAATGACTTCTTCATCGTCGGCAAAGAAGGTTTCAACATCATCTGTTTCATCGTAGCTATACAAAAAAAAAAATTTAAATCAAATTAAAAATACTGGGTACATCTCTATTCTTCACTACTTACGTTTCTCGAGAGTTTTCAGCTCGAAGTGATTGGTCAACTTGTACTCTTTTCTTGTTTGTTCGCTTGATATGGACTACATCAAGATAGGTTCGGAATAAGGATCGGATAGCTCTTTGGCGAGGATTGACACGTACAGGTACACCACGGAAAATACCAGTGATTTCCAATCTATGGTAGAAACAAAATTATATCATCAGAATACAAGAAGTAATACATGATATATATATATATATATATATCATTTTTCCATTACCTATCACCAGGTTTTGCAACATCCACCAATTCATCATACATACACAATGATACATTTTGAGGAGTTTGGCCATCAGGGACAGAATCTATCAAAGATTTTATTATGAGCATATATATATTATTTACAATTTTCCTTTTTTTTTTTTTTTGCATTACCAGGAGTTTCTTGTAATCTTGCCACTTGTTTGTCAGCAAATCCACAACGGTTATGAATGAGAGACATAGAGTTCACAGCACTACATTGTTCTCTTTCACATGTTGTAGGTTCCACAATTCTTCCACGGTCTACACGGACAGTAACGGTATGTTCACAAACCAGACATCGGAAAAAGGCTTCTTTCATATCAGGAATAACAGGTGAGGCACGAATCATAAGACCTTTGATGGTAATGAGCTGATCCACGTCTACAACAAAATAAAATTCAGTAAGGTTAATCATATGAATTAACGCACGCAATATAAGTAAACACATATGCATCCAGCTAATCTCTCTCTCTCTTTCTCTCTCTTTTCTCTCTTTGTGTTGACACTGAGTATATATCACTTACTCTGAGGATCCAAATCACGCATGTTCACAGATGAAGACAAATTGAAAGGACGTACCTAGGGAAAAATAAAAAAAAAAAAGATTCAATCATACGTTCCATATCGTTTCCCAATTTCGCATCTTACTTTGAGTTGTTGATTATTCAAATCAATATCTTCAAAAAGACCCATATAAAATGTTGTGATAGTATGATCCATCAAGGGAATGATTTCTTGTGGGTACTTGATTAATTGATCATATAACTTGTGAGTATCAGGATAAGCCATTAAATTTCGACAATCCAAATTAACACCATAATTATTTGTATCACGAATCTATATATAAAAAAAAAAAAAAAAAAAAAAAAGAAAATCAGACTTCTACTATCATGATGATCCCTTTCCTCCTTCAAAAAAAAAAAAAATATAAACTTACATGAGATAATAATAAAGGATAGAATGGACGATGATCATCATCATTGATAGTTTCACCAAGTTTTCGTTTTCGATGAGCCAAAGTAAAATTGTTCAAAAAGTTGCGGAAAGAGGTCATAGATTCATGAATGTTGATAGTAGTACCCCAAATAAGGCGAACCGATAAGGAAGGATCGGATTCTTGAGTATCCAATGCAGAAGAAAGACGAGCAGCAGCATGATATCCTGGAGTGTCCGTTGCTTGAGTTTCTGAATTACTAGCGAGTTGAGTATTGAGATGAGGAGTTCTAACATATGTGGTTCGAGGCGTACGAGCAGCGTTTGGTGAACTAAAAGCATGAGAACGCATGGGCGTAGAGGGATAAGCTAAAGGTGAAGTAGCATTCATAATATCGTCACCAAAATACATGGGAGACATTTCACCACGTCCATAAGGGGTGCCACGAGCGCGAGGTGTTCCTGGAGTACGCGATGAACCCAAGTCATTTCGTGGCGAATCAAAGTCTAATTGAGAAGAGAACTGTTGACCATGGTGAGGTGTTTGTGGAGCTGCAAAGGAATCAAACTGATTGGGTGTTTCTGGAGGTTGACTCATTTATGGAATTGTCGTCAAGTTGATATAAGTAAAAAGAAAAGAAAAGAAAAAAAAAACAAACTGATCACGAAAAAATTGTTTTTTTGAATTTGAGAAAGCGCGCCTCTTTTTTTTTTCTCCCTTTAGAAATGGTGAAGTGACGTTGAATCATTTTCATTGGTCGATGCTCTCGCAGCTTATTTTTTGAAATAAAAAGAATCGATTTTTTTTTTATTTCTCTTTTTTAATCTATACAAATACAAAATCAATTACTGATGAGTTTAACTAAAGCAGATATCAACAAACAAGGTTGGGAAGACTCTGTAAGTCAAAGTGAATATAAATATCTTGATGATCACTTACACTAACATAAATTATACTTTCTTTTAGGAATTCCCTATTTTGTGCGAAACTTGCTTAGGCGACAATCCATATGTTCGCATGTCTAAACAACCTTTCGGCAAAGAATGCAAGACATGTAACAGACCTTTTACTGTATTCCGTTGGTTACCAGGATCGAATATGCGACACAAGAAAACCGAAATTTGTCAGAACTGTGCAAAGTTGAAGAATGTGTGTCAAACTTGTATTCTTGATTTACAATATGGTAATTACCAATAGTTGTATTATATATAATGTTTACTTACCTTGTTTTATTTCATTAGGTCTTCCTGTACAAGTTCGAGATACTGCTCTTGGTATAAAACCTGATGCACCTACTACTGATATCAATCGACAATACCATGCTCAGAATCTAGCAAATAAGGTAAGAAAAAAAAAAAAAGGACATATACTACATCTTATAATGAATTTTGTACTAATGAAATTATTTATATAGATCGATGATGATAGTAAAGATCCCTATGGTGGTGGTCAAAATGCTGCAAGCAATCGAGACATTCTCAAAAGTTTAGCAAGAACCGAACCTCATTACAAACGAAATCGTGCTCACATTTGTTCCTTTTTTGTCCGTGGTGAATGTAATCGTGGTGCTTCTTGTCCATATAGGTAAAAATAAAAAATAAAAAATTGGGGAAAAAAAGGAGGGGAATATTGATCATTGTTTCCTTGTTATATAGACATGAAATTCCAGAAGAAAATAAAGAATTATCAAGACAAAACATCAAGGATCGTTACCGGGGTATCAATGATCCTGTGGCAAAAAAGATTCTCAGTAAAACTACCAATATGCGATCCTCATTGGCACCTCCCGAAGATAAATCAGTGGTAAGATGATTAAATATATTTAGTACTGTGGACTTTTTGTACTAATATTTTTTTTTAATAGACTACTCTCTTTATCACAGGTGTGGAACCCAAGATCACTCAAGAAGATATCAAGTAAGATATAATTCCTTTATTTTCCATTTACAAAATTTAACCTTTTTTTTTTCTTTATTCATATTTTTAGGGGATTCTTTTATGCTTTTGGAGAAATCAAATCTATTATTGTTATTCACAAATCAAAATGTGCATTCGTTAATTTTGTTACAAGGACATCAGCAGAACTCGCAGCGGAAAAAATTGCAAGTGTTGGATTAGTATTGTTGGATACACCGTTACGAGTGACATGGGGAAAACCAAAACCTAGAGGACCCAAGACTCCTGAACAACCAGATCTGACCAAGATGAAAGTACCTGCCCCTCCTTCTCTGGATGCTAAGGATAGTAATGTCAAATATCCTAGTCAAGATCCAACTTCTCAAGGTTCAACTGCTTTAGGTTCCAATCCAACATTCTTATCATAATTTAGCATTTATCCTTCCTTTTTTTTTATTTATTTTTATTTCATTTTTATTTACTATCATGATGATGATGATTATTTATTTTATACAAATTATTGTAAATAAATGAAAAAAAAGCTAATATTTGTCATTGATCATTTGTTGAAACCCCGTCTTTCTCTCTCTCTGTGCCATTCTGTCTTTTTTTTTTTTTTCTTTTTTTCTTCTTTATTCTTTTACCTTGTATATAAAATGCCATTTGGACAGGTAAATAAAAACAAATATATTTGATTATACAAATAGATAGATAGATTTCTTTTAATGATTTTATTTTTCTATAGGTTGTAGTTGGACCACCAGGATCTGGCAAGACAACTTATTGTTGGGGTGCATATCAATTCTTGACAGCTTCTGGAAGGTAAAAAGGAACTCAAAAAGGTGAAGCATTATTCTAAAACTTTCTTCTTTTTTCTTTTTTGATAGAAAAGTAGCAGTGGTCAATCTTGATCCTGCTAATGATCATATACCTTATCCTTGTGCTATAAATATTGCAGATCTAATTACTTTGGAAGATACTATGGATGATTTGAAACTAGGACCCAATGGAGGCATCATGTTTTGTGTAGAATATTTGTTGAAAAATATAGACTGGTTATTGGAGAAATTAGATGGATTGAAGGGTAAAAATAAAATATATATTAGATATAGGTTGATTTTTTTTTTTTTTTTTTGCGTAAACACTCATTTTTTTTTTGTATTACTATGTAGATCATTATATCATTTTCGATTTTCCAGGTCAAGTCGAATTATTTACTCATCATCATGCTGTCAAAGATATCTTGAATATTCTAGAAAAACACAATTATAGGGTAAAATAAAAAAAATCATAATATTCGTATAAATGTTGATTCTTATATTTTTTTTTAATTTAGTTGGTGGCTGTTCATTTGGTAGATGCTCATTACTGTACTGATCCTGCAAAATACATCTCTGTCTTATTACTATCTTTAAAAACAATGATTCAATTGGAACTTCCTCATGTGAACATTCTATCCAAGATTGATCTTATTGAATCCTATGGAAAACTACGTAAAAATTGATATGATTTTATTTGGTCATCAAGTAGACACTAACTAATAGTTGAAATGATATATATATATATATCTATATATAGGGTTTAATCTACAATATTATACAGACGTCATGGATTTATCATATCTATTAGAATCACTGAATGAAGACGCTTTTGGATCCAAATTCAAAAAGTTGAATGCAGCATTATGTGAACTTGTAGAAGATTTTGCTTTGGTTGGCTTTTATACTTTATGTGTAGAGGACAAAACATCTATGACCAAAATTCAACAAGTGATCGACAAAGCTGGTGGGTTTATCTTTGGAGGATTGACGGAAGGAAATGAATCTATTATGCTCACTGCCATGCAAGCTGGCTTCCATGAAGATGTTACTGACGTTCAAGAACGATGGATTGAAAACAAGGACCATGATGATGATGACTGATTAGGATAGAAATTAAATTTAGTGTAGCATGGATATTCATATATAAGCATATTGTAAATAAAGATTATATTTATACTGATGATGATGATGATATATGATGAAAGATATTTGATATTATTACTAACTGATCCTTTTTTGATTTATCTCTCTCATGTGTGGGGAGACTCGGACCACCGCCTTGAGCCGCAATGCCGGTCACTCCCCGCTTTTTTTTTTTTTTTTTTGTTTTATAAATCTTTTTTGTTTTAAATTTTATCTTCCCCCTTTTTTTTTTTCTTCTTGTTCTTCTTCTTGGTATTCCTTGTTGATGAAAAAAACATTTCTATATTATTTTATGTGATATATATATATATAACATAGACTATGGAATCAATACGAAAAATGATTTTTGGAGGAGTGGATCCACCATCTGATATGTTTGTTAATGACGATTGCCTTACATGCCAAGACCCATGCGAAGAACATTCAACATATCCATCCTATCTTGATATCAAAACTGATCGCAGCGTTGCAGGCACCACCAAACCTTATAGCCGACATATCCTTATTGCCACTGGTCAATCCGACTGGGCCAAGAAAATCGAACACGACAAGGAAAACACGATTGCCAGTCTATTACTCTCATCGCGACCTGATCGTTCAACCATGATTACCTGTAGTTCCTTGGTATCACTCCATTCCACCGTTCCTGGTTCACAAGATCTATTGGTATTTCCTGATAATTTTATCTTGGCCAACGTTACAGCTGATAATGTACAACAACTTCGGTCGATCCTGAATAATGATGATATTCAACCTACTGATATCCTGATCAAACCTAATCCTTATTCACACCTTTTACTCATCTGTTCTCATAGACGGCGTGATAAACGATGTGGTGTCACAGCACCTATTCTGGCCAGGGAATTTGATCATATTTTACGTAGCAAACAATTGGATGAAGTGGAAATCGTCATGGTCAGCCATATTGGAGGCCATAAGATCGCTGGGAATGTCATCTGCTATACACATCAAGGAAAAAGGGGGATTTGGTATGGATTGGTCAAACCGTGTCATTGCAAGGCCATCGTTGAAGAAACTCTGGAAAAGGGCAAGATCATCCAACCTTTATATCGTGGTGCTATGGGTAATAGTTTTACTACTTTAGAGAAAAAATCCTTATTATCCTGGTAGTTTCTTGGTTCATATTTGATTTATTTATTTAGAATATCTTTTGATTTAATAAAATCTCCTTTTTATATTTTCTTTTTTTTTTTTTTTTTTATGCATGATGGGAGAATATGGTAAGATATACGGGATTCAAGTTCCGTTTGTGCTGTGTCTGCTAAGCCTCTCTTGAAACACCTATTTTTTTTGGAGCCAGGAAGGGGAGAAGAAAAAAAAAATGACTAGCTGGGTGTTCTTTTATTCTATTTTTTTTTTTTTTCCTTTTCCTCTTTCTTCATATTTAATATTTTTTTTTTTTGTTGTTGTTATCATGTCTTGTTTTTTATCACAAAGTTTTCGATCTCTGACTATTGTACGACAACATGTACGACCACTTAGTACAGCCAATGTAGTAGAAACCAAAGTACCCAATGATAGTCTTGTTAGCCAGTTAGTGAATACATTGATGAGAGATGGCAAAAAAGCTCGTGCACAACGGCTTGTCAGTGACAGTATGCGTCATTTGGAAGCCAAGACACAACAGGAACCCTACGGTGTACTTGCCAGCGCCATTGAAGAAGCCTCACCATTGCTCAAACTCACGTCGACCAAGAAAGGATCCAAAGTGGCTCATGTTCCCACTGCTCTACGAGAACGTCAACGTCGTCGTCGTGCCATCACATGGATCATCGATGCATCATCAAAACGAAATGAAAAGACTTTTGAAGAACGTTTTGCTGCCGAACTGTACGATGTCACCCAAGGTACCAGCTCTGTCTTGCAAAAGAAACTTCAACTTCATAAACAAGCTCTCGCTAACCGTGCCAATGCTCAAGTCAGTTATAATACTCAAAATCGATAGATAATTTTTTTTTTTTTTTGGTTTATCATCTCTTATAGATAGAAATAGGACTTTTATATCATCTCCCTTATCCCTTGTCTCTCGTTCCTGCACATAGTTTTTACTTCTTTCCCTGTTATTTTTTTATATACTATTACTTTCTTTTTTTTTTTTTTAGAAATGAATAAAATAATCATGCATAAATATCTTGTTTATTTAATGATGAGGATGTTGTTATTATTATTGATTATTATTGTTGGATGATCGTCAAATGATGATGATAGTGGTGGTTGAACAAAAGTTGGATGAAAGGAGGAATGGACAAGGATAGTCGAACGAGGAGAATGATTTCATAGATAATTGAAGAACATGAATGGATTTATAAATTGTTGATGGAAAATAGTAACATTGATATGATGATGCTACTTCAACAAGTTATGTTTGGAACAGCCATTTTGGACTTTGACATTCTGGGATTGAAATGACGACAGGAAAAAGAAATAAACGGGTTGGTCGTTTCACTTTTGTTTTTTGTTTTTTTTTCTTCACTTACAATATTGATCTTAGTTTGAGTTTATCAACTTTTTTGTCTTTATATTATCTTCATACCATGCACAACCTCTGATATTCAATTAAGAAACGCAGATGCTGCTTATGATGAGATGATACGATTCTTGATGGAGTACGTAGATACCGTTGTAGGACAAGATGATACGATTCTTTTGAATATTAGCTTGTATGTTCTGTATGTATTTGATAATATTCAAGTCAAAAATGATAATAAACAATGATGATAATATGTGTGCAATAGAATGAAATAATCTTTTATTCCACATGTTAGATCGCACACCCAAAAAAATATATATATCTATGATGGGAAATCATATGTTCGCATATGTAGGGAAAATGATGATACTTTCAGGTACTTCTGACTTGCTTAAAAATGGGAATTTTTCTCATTTTTTTTAAGAGGTTGACGAAGGTTATTATTATAGCACACCGAGGATGAATTGATATCTGATTCTTGGAAACTCTCATCTTAGACATTTATTTACTAGTGATAGTTTTTTTTTTTTTTTTTTTTTTTTTTTTTTTTTTTTTTTTTTTTAATAAAATGATCTATTCTCCGTAAGCCAGTATGCTATGATTTTTCAGTAGGTTTCAATTTTCGCCCCAATCTTTTTCTTTATATTTCCTTTTCTTCTTTTTTTTTTTTTTTTCTTTTTTTCCTTCCTTTTTTTTTTTTTTTTATTCATTATATTGATCTCATTGGATGTCAGAAGACAATCCCGGCACTTCTGATAAAGGGGAAGCAGCTTGGTATGCTCGAAGAAAAGAATGGACTCAACATCAAGTACCTTTGCAAAGCAAATCAACACAACCACTTTTTACGTTGACCGATGATCGAAAATCATATATTTACAGATCTCTCATCAAAGAAGGCCGATCTTTCACACACTCTATTCCTCTTAGTATTGTTGTAAGTAAAAAAAAAAAAAAAAAAAATGAAGAGCAATATGTAGACTGATCATGGATACTTGTCATTGCTTCTTCCTTGTTTTTCTTCTTCTCCAGACTGACGTTGTAGTTCATGGTTGGAAACAAGATGGAACTTGGCCACAAGACGAATATAATCCAAAAGTAGAATAGGATATTCATACCCCCCTCATATTACACCACCCATTGCTCATTGCAATCTACTCAATGTGAATACATTTTTTTTTATAATAAACTATATTTTTTTTTATTTCAATTGTTGTCAATGATACTACTACTACTACTATTTGATACGGATAGAATATTTTTTTTTTTTTTTGCTATTACTAGAGTGGGGTAGATTGAACTAAAAAAAAAATGGAAGACTGGTTACCTGAATAAGAATCAAAGCATGGTCTTGATGTTTTCAGCCGAAAAATTGGAGTCACCCAATAAAACAGAATCGCCATGTCCGAGGTATGTTAGTTCTTTATTCACTGTAAAGACTTGACGATAAACACGTTCCAAAGGTGGTATATCGGGTTGATTTTGACAAACTAACGAATGAATAGAATAAAAAGAGGAGAAAATCAATTAGTCTTCTTCAGGGTTGCTATTCTCTCTCTTTTTTTTTCTTTTTTTTTTGAGGACTTGCCTAATATTGCCACATTGACATCACTTGCTAATGTTTCACGATGTACTTTATCCATCAAATGGCCCATGGGACTTGATCTTGGATCAGGATAAGCCAACAAGGAAAATATTTGCTAAATACCAAGAAAAATAGGAAAAAAAAAAAAAAAAAAAAAAAAAAGAGGAAGACTTCATTAGAACATTTTACATCATCATCATCCACTTTTTTTTTTTTTTACCTTTAATTTGTCTTTGATTTTTGCTGAAGGATCTTTACCATATTCGCCTTGTAATTGTTGACCATACATCATAATAGTTTGCATCATTTGTTGTATAGAGGAATCTAGAGATCCATCGTCAGTCATCATGCCATCCATACCTAATAATTCATCTTGTTCCTCTACCATGACATCATGAAGACCTTGAATACCAGACATAATACTACAGGCACTTTGTCCATTGCTACTGCAACTACTCCGTCGAAGAGAAGGTCGTCTTGATGTCCGAAAATGAGTTGTATCGGCGAGATCCATCAAATGTGTATTGTTGTCCGTGTGTGTTGGAGAAGCGGGTGCTGCCACAATGGCTGCCCAACTCGTGCGCCTTCCCGGCGCCGGTGAAGCCGTTGTAATGGGAGGAGATTGACCATAATGCGTATAGGCTGAAATCGATCTGCTGCGACTTGAATTCAAGGGAATCCATGATGATGTGGATTGCATGTGATTGTTGCTGTTTGTATCCATACTACTGAGAGATGGCCATTTGATACATCCTTTCTTTTCATCGTTGATAGTTGTCAATGGATGATAAGAGTGTCGTTGATGATGATGATGATGGTGGATGACGTCGTCCATTTCAGTATTGATGCTGTGTTCACTAATGCCATCGTGACGATCATCAAAATAACCTTGACTACTTGTCTGACTACTGCAACTGAGGATGCTTGTGTGATCATCTTCGGATGAAAATGAAACCATGCTGTCGACTTCACTATATCGGCGTTGATGATTGATTGTTGTTCTTTGACGTCCTTCATATTCTTGGTCACTATGATCACTTATCATTTCAACAAATTTTTGACATTTGAGTTGGAATAGAATGTAATTATCTCCATCTTGATCTTGTAATACGGCCGGGAAATGGGTATTAAGTAGATTTAAAGCATGATCGATATTACCTTGAGTAATTGCAGTCTTGATATCTATTTTTTTTTTTTTTTTTTTGGTAAGAAATGTGAGATTGGATAGTCAAAGACTTTTAATAAGGATTTTTTTTTTACCTAATCGCTGCTGAAGGCCATCATCACCATCATTAACCAAAAGAAGTGTATTTTGTTCTTGATGTTTTGAAGTAGAAGAAGCACCCGTAAGATAAGCCGAATCTCTTGTCAAAGCCTGAGCAGTCCCAGAATAGCCGTGGTGAATGAGGTAGGACAATACCAATTTGTCCATGGACTGAGATATGTTCTTGCCTTTTTCAGTTATTGGTTCGTCTTCCACATTCGGTTTTATCATCATAGGTATATTTGAAGATAAAGAATATGTTCCAATATCTTTCCATAAATACAATTTTTGTTCCTAAAGTATATAGATAAATATGTATATATATAAAAATGATGAGTATTTTAATCCTATTGATCCATATTGGATGATAATGACATCATTACCTGAATGTATTGTACAATATCATAAACAAAAGGTTCTTGACCAAAGTTGACAGTAATATATTCATCAGCAGTTCGCATACCAACACAAGGATACAAAGGTTGGGAAACATCCAAATCTTGGAAAGCAACACCGAGGGAAGAACCATTCTTTGTATAAAATGCAGTTTTGCTTGCAAAGTTGACACCGCAACCAATCACATCGCCAGTCTTGAATTGAGGTCCGTATTTCTTGCCAATGCCGGAACCTTCAAAAGAATGACCATCATCACCGTGATACCCAAATGATTTCTTGTCCCATCCTAAAATAAAAAAAAAAAAAAAAAAAAAAAAGAATGTTCAGATCGGTTGAGTGAAAAAAAAAAAAATAGTAATAAATAAACGTATGATTATGTATATAACTCTTCTTTTTCTTTACCTGGTAAACGTTTCAGTTCATTTTTTGCACTGCAGAATCCAATACCAATGTAACCATCATCCCCTTTTGATTTGACATGCATTTCAAAATAATAAACACCACATTGATTTCGCATAGGGAAATTAGCACGAACAGTACCAGCATGATCTTCACATTTGCCAGGTCCTAATGGTAATAATAAGAAGGATGAGCTGCCTTTTAATTTTGTCTAGCATATTTAGAGTACAAAAAGGAAGTAATAAGAATATAGAATATATATATATACCTATATAAGTGACACCAAGACCATTCTTGTCAATTTCAAGATATCGTGATTTATCAGCAGCATTCCAAAATGAAGGTAATCGCAAGTCCAATTCTGAAAGTATATCGTTATTGGTCATTTGTTCATGTTGTGGGGTATCGTTTACTAATTTCTTTGTATTTTCATATCGTTTCTGTAATAAATATTGATATTGTTCACGAACAAGAGCGGCATATTGAGTATGTTTGAGGTAAGCAGGAGGTTTTGGCGGGCTAAGAGACTGTGAGAAAGTTGAATTAGGTATCGATGGGCGTTTTTTGGAATGAGGTAAAGTAGAATGTGACCACGGTAAAGATTGTAGTGCAGGAAATGCCGAATGATAGTTGGCAACAGGATGAACACAAGCTGGTGAAGTGGTCGTGGACATGTATAATAAACCCTTTTTCCAACTTTATTTCTTTTTTTTTCCAGAAGATGAAAATAGAAAAACAGAAAAAAGAAAAAAAGAAAAGAAAGAAAAGAAAAAGGAAAAAACAACGAAACGAAAAAAAAGGAGAATAAATAAAAAAAGTCGTGAGAGTTCTCAAAAGAAAAAAAAAAAAAAGCAAATAATGCTCACCTCACGTGGTCCCTTAACATCATCATTATCAGGTCATAATTATTTTCTATTTTATATATTTGTTGTTGTTCTTGTTCTTTTATTGAATATAAACTATATACTATATGGATGATAATTATCCGTCTATCTAATTTGTCAATTAGGTTTGGATATCATCACAAAAAAAAAAAAAAGGTAAAAATAATGATCCATATATATTAACTAAACTATCTATTTTTTCAAAGTATCAAATTCAAATCGAGTTGCACGCATACCAATCCCTGAAGGAGCATTCATTGTCAAATATCGTAACCATCGTTCTACAACATCCGGGTGCGTATCCTTAATTTGTAATAATCGTTTGTGTGTTTTTCGTTCAAAGTTTTCTTGTGATTTTTTGTGAACAAAAGGTGATCGAATGACGGTCCATTTAGAAGTTTGTGTTGGTAAAGGCACTGTACCAGAACAAGGCATACCCATATGGAAAGCTGCTCGTCGTGCAAAATCGGCATAAAAATCAAGTTGTTGAGGTAAATAACCACGTAATTGAAGATTACATACAGTAATATTGTGAGTAGGAGCAATTCGTTGAGGCACTATTGAAGTTATTAAGAATGAATAACATATTCATATAATGGTAGAAAAAAAAACTTACCTTCAAAGACTTCACTTGAATCATCAGTTTCATTCACACTAGGCACTTCAATATTCTTAACACTAGTTGACTTTGTAGTGGACCTATTATTCATAATACAAATAAGTCAGCATTCTTATTAAAGTATATTATCCATCATTCAATACTCACACAAAGGTACGAACAGTTGGTACTGATGTAAAACGAGGTACTGTTAAGAATAATTGACGCTATAAAGAAAGAAAAAAGTCAGTATATATTTGAACGACGTATTATTGTATTGACTTATTTACAGTAGAATGCATGTTGTAAGTTCTCTAAAAAAAAAAAAAAAAAAAGCAAAACAAAAAAGGGAAAGAAAAAGAAAAAAAAATATCGAAATGCTTTTTCCACTCATCTCTGAATGTCGCTCCAAAAGCCACCGCTCCTCGTTCAGAAAAAAAAAAAAATCGAAGACCGGGCTTGAAACCGTTTCCCTCAGATCGGGTGAATTAAAAGCCCTGTAGATGAGCAACAATAGAAAAGAAAAAAAAAAGATATGTCAATACTGAACTTTTTCTCACTTATCTCAACTTGGTTACCCAACATCACTTGATTCCCCTTACTTGATAAACCTATATTCTATGAATGAACTATATACATTTTCTTTATAGCCAATCATAATAAATACAAATGTCGTCATTCATGGGATTAGTAACGAACGGTATTTCAATTCACACTGTTTTATGTTCCTCGTCAACCCCACCATTTTTGGGATTTTTTCCTTTTCTTGCTTTTTCTTTCGCATACTCAATTTTTCTTCTTTTTTTTTTTCTATTTTCTCCAAATGGTGACAAATACAAACAGGAGGGAATATACACCATTAGGTAAAAACCAACTATTTATTATTTTATTTATATATATATATATATATATTCTTATATGTATTTATATTTTATTACTATAGATCCTCCTGTTATGCAATCTACTTTTAGCGATCAACCACAATTCACTGTAAGAGTCATTATTGATATCTTTTTTTTTCTTTGACTTGATAGTTCCATTCATGTCAAACTGTATTTATAGTTTCGTGCGGTGGTGGTTGGTCTAGCTATCGGCACCCTTATGTGTTTTTCAAATATGTACTTTGGACTTCAGGTAATAAAAAAATGATGATGATGATACAATTTTACTTAAATCTTTATTTGTTTATATATATTATTAGACAGGTTGGATCTCGATGATGTCTCTACAGTCATCTCTACTTGGTTTTGCACTCTTTAAACCATTCCAATCCATACTTCAAGTCAAATTTTCACCTGTGGAAAATGTTGTTTTACAAACAGTTGCTGTTGCCACAGCCACTATGCCATTAGCAGCAGGTATGTCATAATGATAAAAAAAAAATACAATTTGTATCACCGAAAACCTAATTGTTTTTTTTTATCTCGATAGGCTTTGTTGGTATCATCCCCGCATTAGCATTATTAAACAAATCCGATCATCCGGAGGGTGCCATTGTTTTATCTTTTCAACAATTGGTTCTATGGTCTTTGGGCGTCGCTTTCTTTGGTGTCTTTTTTGCTGTGCCACTTCGAAAGCAAACTATTATTCGTGAAAAATTACGCTTCCCATCAGGAACTGCTACAGCTCAAATGATCAGTTTACTTCATCAACAACCAGATCCTACTATGACCTCTACTTCATCTTCCACCACTATCATGACATTACGACAACGACATAAAAAACATCTCCAGTTGAATAATGACAATGATGATGATCAACAACCTTTATTATCACTCACTTCCGATCCATCCGTTCATTCTTCATCTTCTTCTTCTTCTTATGGATCCCAAGGTGATTTACCCAATCATCTTGATTCAACAAATTTTGAAGAGGCATGGCACTTGAAATTGAAAGCTTTATTGATCTCGTTTTCCATGTCTTCTCTTTATACCCTTCTTTCCTACTTTTTTCCTATTATTACCAACCTTCCTATCTTCAATTGGTTATGCTTCAATCTGGTCGACTTTCGTGCTTGGGATTGGTACTTTGCCCCTAGTCTTAGCTATGTTGGTCAAGGAATCATTATGGTAACATATATAACATGTTTATAAATCAAAACAAAAGCAATAGTGATAACAACTTTTCCTTTCTTTTTTTTTCTTATAGGGTTTACCAACCACACTTTCCATGTTACTTGGTTGTATCGTTGGTTGGGGGATTTTATCACCTATGGCTTACTATTCAGGATGGGCTACTGGACCTGTGGATGATTGGAAAACTGGATCAAAAGGGTAAGTCAACGAAATAAAAAAAAAAAAAAGAGAAAAAAAAGAGTGAGATGGAAGTTAGACTGATTTTCTTTTTTTTTTTTTTGGATAGATGGATTTTATGGGTATCTCTAGGTGTAATGATTTCTGAATCGATTATATCATTGGCTATAGTGACAATTCGAACTATAACAAGGTCAATAGCAAGATCATCCTTAGATACAAAAGCGACAACAGAAACTAGTACAGTTCAACAAGAAGATGACATTGAAACAGTGTTTCAAGAAGGGGAAGAAGAGGATGATGAATATGAAGACGCACCAGCTGATCAACAAGTCTCGAAATGGACAACTATTATTGGATTGATTGTATCGACTTTATTATGTATCTATTTGGTACGACATGTCTTTGGACCTGATATTTTACCAGTATCTTTGACATTATTGGCAGTGGTGGTAGCTATGTTTTTAAGTGTGTTGGCAGTGCGTGCTCTTGGTGAAACGGATCTAAACCCTGTGAGTGGTATAGGTAAAATTAGTCAAGTAATATTCGCTGGTATTCTTCCTGGTAGTATTGCTGCCAATCTGATCGCAGGTGGTATTGCCGAAGCTGGTGCTCAGCAAGCGGGTGATCTAATGCAAGGTAAAAAAAAAAAAAAAAAAAAAAAAAAATTTAAACAAATAAAAAAATTAACTGATTTCTTTTCTTTCATCTAGATCTTAAAACTGGTCATCTTCTTCATGCATCTCCAAAGGCTCAATTTTATGGACAATTGATTGGATCTCTTTTTAGTGTGTTTACAGCATCAGGTAAAATATTTTCTATTTTATAAAATACCTAAAAAGAAAAAAAAAAGTTAATTCCATTTTTTTTTTTTTTTTTGATGATGATAGGTGCCTATTTACTATACCGAAATGTTTATACTATTCCTGGACCTGAATTTCCTGTACCTACAGCACAAGTTTGGTTAGATATGTCAAGATTAGTCAATGGACAACCTTTACCACCTCATGTATCAGAATTTGTGATTGGATTTGCTATCGTATTTGGTATTTTTGTCATTATTCAAGAAACAAGTACAATGCATCAACGATCCATAGGTTGGCAAAGATATATTCCTCAAGGTATGGCATTCTCTATTGGTATGTACAATCCTCCAAGTTTTACTCTGGCTCGTGTGATTGGTGGCTTGATGACTTATTATTGGTATCAATATTGTGAAAAGCATGATGATGATGATGATGATGACACGTGGTGGTTGGACCCTAGATATCGGTACAAAGTGGGCAAAGTACTTATTATCATTATTGGGTCTGGATTTGTTTTGGGTGAAGGCACTTTTGCTTTGGTGAATATGATCATGCACGCATGTCATGTTCCTCATTTATAGATATTCATATATGTATGTACACATGTTATTTATATATTTATATAGTATTATTATTCCTTTTTTTTTTTTTTGTTTGTAGTTAATCTATCCTTTCTCCTTTCTCTCTCTTTTTTTTTTTTTTCTTTTATGTACATTATCTCCTTGATTCATTTTATATACTGCAATAAAACTTTATTTTTCCAATATGGATTCGTAGATGATTGGTTTTTTTTTTTTTTTGTTCTTAATATATAAATATATGTGTGTGTGTATAACAATGTTGGGTTTGGCATGGTGTAACAATTGTTCAAAGTGCGCGTAGTTGTGTGAGTGTTTTGTGTGTGTGTAGGCTCAGAGCAGTTTCTTTTGTTTTTGTCCAACCTTTGGATGTCCGCTGTCAGTATTCTTTTCTTAGAGATAAGATAAATAAAGAAAGATGAATGTTATCATAAATATAAAGAAAAAGAAGAACAGTAAAAAAAAAAAAAAAAAAAAGAGATTGACAGATGATGATACTGAAAAGGAGAGAGAGAAGAAAGCTTAAAAGTAAAATTTCAAATGTCGGAGGAGGGTGTGTGTGTGCCTTATTTATTAGTTAGATGGGGGGTAGGGATTTGATGATATCTTATTGGTGAGACTTGTCTCTAATCATTAGAACTCAGCTTTGTATACGTCAGTTAAAAAAGTGAGAAGAAAAAAAAAAAAAAAAAAAAGGTGCGACACACCAAAGAAAGGGAGAAACAAATAAATTTTTTTTTTCTTTCTATCTTGTTCTTTTCTTTTCTCTTTTGACAACCTTTTTTTTCTCTCTTTAATACATCCTCACAGTCAACATTTATCATTATGTCTTCTGTAAGTAATTTCTTTTTGATTATATTTTTAAACAAAGATGAAATATCAAAACAACATGTTTTTGTTTTGATATTTCTTGTTTGTTTTTTTTTTCTCATCTTGTCGCGTTTGGAAACTTTTCCCATCATGATGATACTTTACCGAGAAATACTAATCTTTATTTTTTTTTTTTATTATTTGTATTTGTATTCTTTTCTTTTTTTTTATTTATTTTATTTTATAGGAACGTGAAAACAATGTGTACATGGCCAAGCTTGCTGAACAAGCTGAACGTTACGATGGCAAGTTATTATTAAAAATAAGAAAGATGGATTAAGAGAAAAACAAGGGAGGAATAATAGATAACTCATCCTTTATATCTTTTTTTTTTCGTTGAATAGAAATGGTCTCCTTTACTAAAGAAGTTGCCAAGGTAAAAATATATATAGAGAGTGATAAAAAAGAAATCCGTATCAATAAATTCACTCATTTATTATTATTATTATTATTATTATTTTAGTTGGGTGTTGAATTGACTGTGGAAGAACGTAACCTTTTGTCCGTTGCCTTCAAGAACGTGATTGGTGCTCGTCGTGCATCCTGGAGAATTGTATCCTCTATTGAACAAAAGGAAGAAACAAAGGGAAACACTAGTCAAGTTGAAAAGATCAAGTCTTATCGTCAACAAATTGAAGCTGAACTCCAAGATGTGTGCAATGATATTTTGGTAGTATTGAAGGATAATCTTATTCCTAATGCTCAAGGTGGTGAATCCAAGGTCTTTTATTACAAGATGTAAGTTTTTATGAATTTATTATAGAGAGAAGGGAATACTTATTATTATAAATTCATATTTTATAGGAAGGGTGATTATCATCGTTATCTTGCTGAATTCTTAACTGGTGAAGATCGCAAAAGCGCCGCTACTGAGGCTCATGAAGCCTACAAGAGTGCTACTGATATTGCTCAAACTGAATTGGCTCCTACACATCCTATTCGCCTTGGTCTTGCCTTGAACTTCTCTGTCTTCTATTATGAAATTTTGAACTCTCCTGACCGTGCCTGTCACTTGGCCAAACAAGCCTTTGATGATGCTATTGCTGAATTGGATACCCTGTCTGAAGAATCTTACAAGGACTCTACTTTGATCATGCAACTGCTGAGAGATAACTTGACCCTCTGGACTTCCGATCTCCAAGAAGGTAAATAAATTAAAAAAAAAAAAAGAGGCATTGATTTGGATTGAAAAATATAATATTCATCATCTTATTTCTTTTATTATAGAAGCTGACAAGGCTGATGAACCCAAGAATGAAGAAACTGAAGAAGCCAAGTAAAAAAAAATAAAGATCCTTTCCATTTTTTATTTTTTATTTTTGTCTTCTTTTTTTTTTTCTTTATTATTCTTTCTTTATCTATTACTCGTTAGTCCTATCACCCCTCGCGTTTTTTCTTTTTTTTTTTTTTTATCTTTTACGTATGCACACTCACTTATTCACATTATACACATCAATTGAAATTGTTTTTTTTTTTTTTTAAAAAAAAAAAACAGTTTCCTTTTTTGTTTTCGTTTGTTATTTTTGATTGCCTTTATGAATAATAAAAAAAAAAAAATAATAAAGCCGAATATTTTTTTTTTATTATATACACATCTCATTGGACTCCTTTTTCCGATTGATCGAATTACCTTCATTTTGACTCCTTACATCACACTTTTTTTTATACCAACTCACCATCATACTTGTACAGAACGAGTTCTCCCTAATGTTTTAGGTTTTAACATGGACCAGCCCCTTGATTCATACTTCCGGTTCAACCATCCCCTTGTTGTCTCATTCACTGGAATCCTTTTTTCTATTTGTAGATAATCATACCATGTGAAGGATGATGATTTCAAAGGCCAATGAAATAAAATGATAATATAATATATAATATTGATTTTTGTATTAAGGAATATACCATCTTATGTATTATAAATATATATATTTGACTAATATATGTATAAAATGTATAACTTAAATAAAAGACATATAAATCAAAAAGGGGTGGTAGTATAAGTAGAAGAATACAGAGGGGTAGAGGGGTGGATCATAGAGGCATGGCGAACAGATGGATGGTACACGTGTCGATCGGAAGCAGGTGACATATAATTAGATGATGATATAGCAGTCGTAGGTGGTGTAGATGGTGGCGGCAATAGTGGCAAATGATCCAAATGATCCTTTTGTGGTTCTAATGGAAGGTGTTGGTATTGTTGATGTTGCTGATGATAATGATCTGATGCATATGGTGTTTGATCCTGTGGATGGAATGGATGATATTGATTTTGTCCAGTATGTGATGATGGTTGATATTCTGTTGTTGGAATATTATTTCGAATATTACTATAAGATGAGCTTGTAGATAGGCTGTCAATCGTAAGAGGCAAAAAAGCCGTTTTCATTTTGGTTTCTTGCTGACCAGAAGGTTGACCTGAGTCATATATCATGTATTCGGATTGTGACATGGCTTGAGTAGTTCCATAGGTGAGTTGATCATGAGGACTTGATAGAGAAGAACTACTTGATCGAACAGATCCATCATCAGTTTGAATCTTTGCAAATTTCCGGGATTGAATTAAATTGATAGAGTTGGGTGAAGAAGAACGTCGACGCCGTTGTCCAATTGCACTAGTAGTAGTAGTAGTATCATCTATCATTAAAAGATAATGAATATATTGATTCTAGTTTTTTTTTTTTTTTTTTTTTTTTTTTTTTTTTTTTTTTTTTTTTTTTTTTTTTTTTTTTTAGACGCACACACTTACAATGAACAGATTTCGTTAATGGATGATAAGAAGAAGGATTCACCAGAGCATTAGGAGATGTAGAGCAAGGAGAAGAGGAAGGTGAAGGTAAAGACTTGACTTGCTGAGTGTCTCTACTAGAAGCATCATTAGTGTTGATAGGATAAATTTGAGATAAAGGTGATTCCAACAAGGGTGATACACGGAAACTTTGACGGTGAATCATGTCAGAGGAGATACGCAAGTGAGCCAGTGAAGCTGTTGTTGATGGAGTAGGTAAAGTATTATTGATGACATCGTTTTTGTTGTAATAACTAATCAAATGTAGATGGTTTCCATTGACGACGATACTCATTGTTTTCTTAATCAATCCACTAGGTTTAAACCGATATGATGTTGTCAAAGATCCAACCAATGCACGTTCACGATATCGATCAGCTTGTTCACAAGAAGGTTGTTGTGACGCATAAGGAGAATAAGGTGGTTGTTGTTTTTGGAATGTCAAATCAAATCCATCCCGGTCAGAAACATCCATGCGTTTTGGTATATTTTCACGACCATCCAATTCACGGTATATCAAAAAGTTGCCTAATATTCTTGAAGGACTCCATATCAAACCATCTGTCCATCGCTTTATACCTTGGAATGGTAAAATAGAAGAAGAAAATAAGTTTTTTTTTTTTTTTTTTTTTTTTTTTTCTTAAAAAAGCAAAATTTCACATTCCGCACTTACCACTTTCCCTCTCATCAAACACAAATATAGTGCCTGAACGAATGGAACTACGTTCCTTTTCTTGTAAACGTCTAGATATTTTTGGTAAGATACCTCGTCTACAAGCTTCAAATATTAATAATGTATCAGTAGTAGTTTCAATATAACCATAAAAGGTTTCTGTAAAGGTCATTGAAAGAGAATAGAGAGAAAGTTAAAAAAAAAAAAAGAAAAGAAAAAAAACTGTATGATGGATAAGCGTTTTTATATCAAAAAGAGAGAAAAAAAATATTTCTCGGGTAAAAATAACCAAAAAACTTAAGGAGACATCATTAGTATCTTATTTATATCTTTTCTGGTGCCACCCCTTCGTTCAACCAAGGCAACGTTACAAAGAAAAGCGTGGCTTTGTCTAAGAAAGAGAGAAGAAAAACGCCCAGATATCCTTTAGTTTGACTTTTTTTTTTTTTTTTGCTCCAGCTTGGGAGTTGGAAAAAAAAAAAGGGGGGGAGAACATCCGGTAAGTGCGTGTGTGTAGAAATGGCCGAAGCGGATTTCCCTTTTCATCCAAAAAAAAAATTATCCGTATTCAAGGGGAAGGGGATCAAAGGAAAAAAAAAAAGCTCTATTCTTTCTCGGCAAATGACACTCATTGTTATGGCGTTTTTTTTTTCCAGTGGCCACTCATTTTTTTTTTCTTTTCGTTAGTGATTGGATGATCGATACAGTCATGCTTTAGAAGCATGATTATTAATATGACCCGACATCAACATGGATGAAAGCAAAAAAAAAAAAGTGACATTTTCTCCACAAAGTTGATCCTTGCTATTACCACGTGTATGTAACTACGACATTTTTTTTTTACTAGATCCTTCAAAGTTTGTTGTAAAGACCATTTTATAGATGTGGTCATATCAAGAATCTGTGCGTCAGCATCGTGATGGATCTCCTGCTTTCGTAAAAGAAGTGAAAAAAAAAGAAAGGAGTTTGATAAAGCGGCAGAGCGATTTTCTTTTACCCCCTGACATTCTTGAATCACCCTTATTTTCTTTGACAATTACCTTCTTGAATTTGGCTCCTTGATAAGCACAAACGTATTCCATTCTATAGGAAAGTTTTTACAATAAAATCATATAAAAAATAAACTTTTTTTTTTGATAGAAGCCTAATTAGTTGTCAATTTCAAATTCTTTTGCATAAACCTTTTCATCCGTTATTGTTTACTAAATGAATCGTTGGTTTTAGTTTACCTTTATGATTAGATGAAGTAAGAAGAATGATTGTCAACGCATATATTGTTTTCAATGGTTTTCAATTTTCCTTTTTGGATCATTTATTATTGTTATTATTATTCAATAAGATACATGATAATAGTGCAAGCAGTAAGATATAAACATAAAATGATAAATAAAAAAGTAAATAGAGGGGTGATTACCAGTTCTGGACAATCGTAATAGTATATAATAAGAAACAAGAATATAGGGGTTGACGATAGATACAAAAAAAAAAAAAAAAATACAGAGAGGAGAGGGGCATGGGACCGGAGATCATTTCAATATAGTCAATCCGTTTGGTTTAGACCTTGAGTGCACCATGACGATCATCCATAACTACGTAATCATACAAAAATCAGTCATTTGTACAATTTTTCTTTTATTTTATTTATTTATTTACCTTCAGCCATTTCAAGTTTGTCATTCATCATAGTATTGTTCATCGTTTGATTGTCAGTTTTACGATCAGCCAAACCAAATGATTTCATGGGCAAGGTAAATAAGAATGTCAAACCAGCTAAAGCCAAGGCAATGATGGACAAGATTCGTTGCACCTCACCATAGGCAGTGACCACACCATCATATTGATCGACAGGTAACGCTTTTACATAGTCGACGCTACCGACGATCTTGGCATAATCATATTCACCAGGAACGTACTTTGCCAATTCACCAGGTAGCATATTATTCCAAATACTTCCAGACATGGTTGATCCAATACTTCCAGCAATAGATCCTCCCACTTGAATCAAGGCAGTTACCAGGGCAAGATCTAATCATCATCAAAGAAATAATAAAAAAAAGAAAATAATCCCAGTTAGTAAATGTTAAATCAATAAATAAAAAAAGGTAGGATTATCTTGACAGTCCTTTTTTTTTTCTTTTTTTTTTTTTTTTAGATTTCTTACCATCATGAGGAACAGAACTTTGGATGGCCACCATTACAGGAATATCTAACATACCAGAACCAGCACCAGCTATTGTTTGAGAAATGACTACAAAGGCATTGGATGAATGAGGAAGGCGAGCAGGAATCATAAGTCCAATACCAAGGATCATTAAACTGATACCAACCCATACGAATGGACGCCAACGTCGAGTACGTTTCATCATGTAACCAGCAAAGACTTGGAAAACCACATAGGCAACATTGTAACCACGATCCAATAACCTGTAATGAATGAATGATGATAGTTGAGTAATGATCAAAAGAGAGAGAGAGAGAAAGAAAAAAAAACCAGATAAACTCCAATTTTTTTTTTATGTTTCCTTTCAAAAAATAACTTACGTTGCTTCACCTGCTTTAATTTTTCGAGAAACTACCAAATATGTGGTAAAGTAAAGCCAATTTGTAGAAGAGATCAAGGTAACGATAGATAAGACAATGACGCCAAGTATAGGAGTACGGTTCTTCCATTTCATCATAGGTAAGACAGGTTTAGTAGCAAACTTCCATTCATAGAATCCAAACAGAATCCAACACACCACACCACCGACGAGACATCCAATGGTACGCGAGTTTTGCCAACCATTCCATGACGTCGTTGCAAGCACCAAGGGTAACAAAATCATACACAAGCCGCCCACAAGCAATAAAGAACCAATGAGATCAACCTCAGCAATGAACCAAAGTACTTTTTCAGATAAAGATTTCTTCTTGAGATTGGCTTCGGTCTTTTGACGTTTGTATTCCAAATAAACTTCAGACCGATTGACGCGAAATTGTAAATGCCATAGTGTAGCAATCAAAGGTACACAACTGACAGCCAATAGAATCGAGTTCATGCCATATGCCCAACGCCAGCGTGGTACACCAAAGGCATCACCAATCAAAGGAGTCACAAAGATATTGATCAATGATGGTACATTGTATAATGCTTGGAATAAACCTCGATTAACAACATCCGTAAGATCTAAAAATGGAATAAAGAAAGAAAAAGAAGTTTATAATTTTTTTTTTCTTTGTTTTCTTTTTTTTTTTTTTTTTTTTTTACCTCCGATAACAATTGGACCCTGTCATCAAGACAATAAGGAACCAGTTAGCTGGATGCTTTTGTTTTGTTTTTGTTTTTTTTTTCTATAACTATGTGGAAGATTCACTCACCAAGATTAAAACACCTAAAGACAAATAATAAAAAAAATACATAAAAAGAAAAAAAGGAAATGTTACATGCTTGCATCATCATACTATTTATATATTGATATCATCATCTTACCACTGTAACCAAAAGAATATAAAGTTTGTCCACCCTAAAAAAAAAAAAAATCAAATTAAATTCAATATCACGTTCGTTGAAACCATTCATCTAGTATATTATTTTTTACCACAAAAGTTGCATAAGTAGGAGCAGCAGCCATGACAATCACAGCAGCAATATAAAGAATCATGGAGGCAGTATACGCATTAGCACGACCCGTCATATCAGATACTTTGGAATAGAAGGGGAAACAAACACATTGAACGATAAAGGCCACAGTACTAAGAATACTTAACATATTGTTGGACTGAAGATCTGTCAGAGCATTGACACTAACTGTAAAACCCATATTTCCTTCCCAATTGATGGCCCATGATAATAAAAGAAGACTAATAATAACAAAAAAAAATGATTTAGTTTGAATAGATAAGGACAGCCTATCTTACCCAGTAAACACAATGATTTTATCACGTTTTGTCCATATTTTAGTAAAGAGTCTGACTCTTTGTACCCCATCTAATGTGGTGTTTTCTACAGGCTGGTCCATAAGTATAATAATAATAAAATAAATAAAAAAAAAAGAAAAAGAAAGAGAAAGAAAAAAAGAATTGTTTTGACTTTCCGTCTTTTTTTTTTTTATCAGATCATCAGATTGAAAAAAAAAAGAAAAGTTGGAACTCCACATAGAATAGAATCGATATTTACAATGATTAAGATATAAACGATAAGGGAGGGTGACTATTTATTAATTAAAGGAAAAGATAATAGATTGAAAATAGGATTGAATAAACATAGTGATGTTAAGAAAGAAAAAAAAAAGGGAACTATACTAAGATGTCGTGAATATGATGATGATAAAGCAAGGGAGAAAGGTCATCTAGTAAGTTTCTATAATTAACCTATAAAATTTAGGTCGAATTGATGGAAGGCGGGAATGGAAAACAACCAAAAAGGACAATGGGAATACCAAATCAGCAAGCACAAGAAGAAGTATCAGTAGATTCACTACCATTGGTCATTCGTAGAGTAGAGGATGTTGTTGTCTTTTTTTGCCATAAACTAGGTGTTTCAATGATCTATCAAATATGCAAATAAAATAAGTAATCGTCCTTCCATTTGTCAGGAATGTGGTAACTAAAGTACTTTTTTTTTACCTTGGTGACCAATTCTTCAAAAGCCTCCTCCACACCGATTTTGGTCTTTGCACTACATTCCACGAACAAAGTCTGTAATCTTCGGGCTAAATCTGCGCCTTCTTGATAGGTCACAACACGGGAAGCTTCCTAGATTTGTTAATGGTTAATGCATCCTCTTGATCAAGATTTCTCCGCTTTTCTTTTATACACAATGAACAACTTACTTTGTCCACTTTGTTGCCTACAATCATCTTGACCACATCCGGACTAGAGCAATATGTATTCACTTCATTCCACCAAGTATTCAAAGCATCAAATGTTTCACGGCTACTAATCATATACTATCATTAAAAAAAAATACATAATTATATTGATACCTAAAACTCAATTGCCTTTCACCTTCTTGTTATCGTAATAAAGTTTGCTTACCTAGGATAACACCCTGAGCTCCTCGATAGTATGAAGATGTTAATGTACGGAATCTTTCTTGACCAGCGGTATCCTATTAAATAAATAATGGTTCATATAAGAAGAGTTCAAATAATCCAAAAAATATTTTTTTTTGATTGTCTTTACCCAAATAGTGAGTTTATATGTTTGACCATCCACTTCCATCATACTAACTTTAAAGTCAACACCTAAAACAAATAGAAAAGAGAAAAAAAAAAGATCAATTAGAGAAGATTTGTAGTATCCTTTGATGATATGTACCAATAGTTGCAGAAACTTCTTCTTGGGGTAAAAAGGTATCATCAGTGAATCGTAGTAATAACGAGCTTTTGCCAACATTGGAGTTCCCAATTAATAAAAGTTTCAATGTAGGAACATCTTGCGCCATTCTCTTTTTTTTTTTTTTTGTTGTTGAAATAAGTAAATCAAGAGAAAAAGGTGAAAAAGGAAAAAAAAAAAAAAAAAGCCAAACGTGGTCTCTTGGTCACTCACTCACTGCATCTGAGATCCAATTAGACTCTTAGCCTTATTGCAATCATGTGTCAATACCAAAAAAAAAAATCCAAATTTGATGAAAAGAAGAAACAATGAATGATAAGTTTATTGAAGTATGCTTATAAAGATAAAGTATATATATAAAAGTCTAAGTTGTCTTTTTGTTATGATTAACATAACCAATCCCCACACAAGTCATAAAAATGGTATTCGTAGATTCATCAGGTTGAATTTTGAAGGACACACCAAAGAAGGACTTGAGATCACGTAGATATTGAATCCTGCAACAACAAAAAAAAAAATATGAGTGCTCCAAATCATCATATGATATCATCCCAAGAAAATATAATATCGCTTACGTAAAAGGAGTTAATTGACCAATTCGGATTTTACCAACATCTTCAGGAGCCAATACCATCAGTAATAAGTTCAACCATTGACTTGTTGTATCCACACATCCACGTAAACGAATTTCATTTAATACTAGTTTTGCTGCCATAATACCTACATCTTCTGGTGTTTGTCCAGCTTCTGCTGCCTTTTCCGCTGATAGTAATACCCCAGCGGTAGATTCTGCAACCAATGATAGAGCAAACCCTGGAGATCTATTTAGAGAAAAAAAAAAAAAAAAAGAAGTGTCAACCATCCAAATTTGTCCTTCATTATAATTGAGATACAAAAAAAAAAAAAACTTACTTTCCACTTTCAGCACCTTTATAAACGTCCGTATAAATATAAACATCAGGGATATAACGATTCAATAAAGATCTAGCTGATTCAACAAGTCGATTGGCAGTTTGTGGTGATACTCGAGTACAATAGGCGATACCACGAATCTTTCGAATTCTTCCTTCATCAGTCAGTTGGATTGGTTTCAATTGTCGTATACTATTACAAGTAAATACTACTTCACCACCACCAAGAGGAGGAGCACCTCGTTTTGTAATCTTCACAAAAAAAAAAAAAAAAAAAAAAAAAAAAAGAGAGAGAGAGAGAAATTAGTTCATCATCATTATCGTTTTGGAGTATTCATAAGATTATTACTTTAAGTTGAACATTGTCTTCAATACCAAATCGAGCCAATTGAGGAATTAAAACTGTTCGAATAATATCAACCTAAGAAAAAGAAAACCAAATAAAACGGTTATATCAAATTTATCCATAGAGAGATTTCTTTTTCTTACCGAAACATCAATGTGATCTGTAGTGATGCCTTCTAATGTAAGAGCAAAAGGTTTCTTGGAAAAGGGCGCTAAAACAAGAAGAGGTTCTAAAAAGTAACTAATACTACGTTCATTTCCACAATCGTGTTCAATTCGACCACCCATGATAGATCCAGGTTTGTAAAGAATAGATGTACCTTGAAGGAAAGAACAAACATATTTAGTTTCAATCTTGATCTTTTCTATGATCTTAATTCTTTCCATATTTTTTTTTTTTTGGTTATTTACCGGTATAACTGATTTCTATCGTAGAACCATTGGTCACCTTTTCCAAAAGTTGTAAGAATTTTGCCTCGTAATCTATTATTTATTTGTATCAACCAGTCAATCTTTTTGTATCGATCTTCTTTTTATTATTATTATATTTACCTCGAATACCAGGATCTTCATCGTCAGAACGAATCTTGTCAATACGTACAATCTTCCCACTTAAAGTTGCTAACACCAATCTCTGTCGAAGATAATTGTGTCCTTCAAACTTGAGCAATTTGCTCATTATATATATGTCAATAAATAAAAAAGGTGGAAAAGTAAAAAAGTAAAGAGGAAAAGAGTTTTTTTTTTTTTTTTTTTTTTTTTTTTTTTTTTGTTCTCTCTTTGACAAGTAAAACTTTCAAATGCCGTTCATCGACCATCAGCCACTTTGTATGAGCATGAACTTTTGATATCCAAAAAAGGATAAACAACAATTTTACAATACAGGAGAGGATGTTTTAAGAGTAAGGACTACTGCAATGAACAATGACTAAACCAAATAGTAGAAATCGATTGTAATCATCATATATAGTAGAGTAAGTAATCACAGCGGGATTCTTCGTAGTACATCACTGTGTACTCAAAAAAAAAAAAAAAAAGACAAAACTACTGAATGATCTCGTAAAGAGCCAAAACGTTTATTTGTATGATATAAAGATAATTTGTTTTCAAAAAAAAAAAAAAAAGAGAGAGAGAAAGAGAATAGTGTGCACAATAATACTAAAACTAAAAAGATATATAAAATTCACTGTTCTATAACTTCGCCTTACCAGCCTTGATACTGTCATATCCTTGAGCATCAAAACGGATATAATTGTCACCACGAAGCCAGTAAATATGTTCATCTTCTGGAATCTTGCTCAAGTCGATACCTTGATTTCTAAAGTTGACTTTTTGCTGTTTAAATGTACCAGTTGTTTCCATGGAGGGCACAATACGGAGGAAAAGAGGAACGGCATAAGAAGGAAGTTTGTTTTTCAAATGGGCTGCCAAACCTTTAAAATCAAAGGTATTTTCATCTTGTACACAAATTGCTGCCATACTAGCTCGACCATCATGACCAGGAACTAAAGTACCATATACATTCGCTTCCAAAATACCAGGGAAAGTACTGACAGCATGAGCAACTTCAGTTGTAGCTACATTTTCAGATTTCCATCGGAAAGTATCACCTATGCGATCCACAAAGTATACAAAGCCTTCACCAGAAAGTCGAAGTAGATCACCAGATCGATAGTAACTACATTAAGATAAAAAAAAAACGTTATAAAACTAATTAGTAAAAAAAAAAAAAAAAGACTTATTATTATATTTTGTACTTACATGTCACCTTTTTTAAATGCATCCTTAATCAGTTTCTTGTTTGTTGCTGCTTTATTATTGTAATAACCATCAAATCGTAATGATATACCAGATTGTGATTCCAATTGTACGATCATTTCACCTTCTTCATCAAAATCAGCCTATTATCATAAAGGTGCCCATTATTATTATTATTATTATTATTATTATAAAAAAAAAAGAGTATGATCATCATTAATTAGTACTATAGAATCAAATCTAATGTTATCAGGAAAATAATTTACCTGAACTAGAAAACCATTGGCATTTCGTACTGGTGTTTCTGTAATAGGATCAACTTTAACAAGCTTGATTTGAGGAGATAATATACGAATTAAAGGACCACGACGACCAATAGCACCAGCACCATATTCGCTAGTATTGTCATTGTAGAAACCACCAGGTCCTTCAGTTGAGGCATAGAACTAAATAAATCAAATGAGAATGAAGATTAGATAAAACAAGATAAAGATCCTAGTGATATATTCAAATCTATTTATAATATATATTTAAACAAGTTACAATTCTTTTTTTTTTTATTTAATAATCCAGGGGAGGTTAAAGATCGGATTATCGGATACTTACTTCAATAATACGAGGGATATTGAATCGTTCTCGGAAGCGACTCCATACATCAGGTCGCATACCATTACCACATATAAATCGGACGTTGTGTAGTTTTTCTTGAGGACAAGGAGGTTGACTAAGCAAATAGCGACACATTTCCCCAATATACTACATCAGTAAAATATAAAAAAAAAAATAATTAAAAGATAATTTATATATCATTCTTAATACATTTTTCTTTCTTTTCGTTTCAACTACTTACGATAAATCCAGTCACCTTGTTATGTATTACTTCATCCCAAAAATGCCTAGCAGAGAATCTTCGACCAAGAATGACAGTCGCACCTCCATAAAGTGGTGCTAATGTTGCGATGATACCTATAGACAAATATAAGTTAGAAAAAAACCGTGAAATCATTTAGTTTCTTTTATTCACTTACTTGCAGAACTATGATATAAAGGTAAAACGGCGTATATACGATCAGAGGGTAGAATATTCATAGTAAGACAAAAAGTAACAGCTCCTAGCATTGCACGTGAATGATTGATGGGAGCAGCCTATACCAAAAAAAAAAAAAAAAAAAAAATTAATTGAGACATTGAAGAACTGTTTCCTCTTCGATTTTTTTTTTTTTTTTCATTGACTTACTTTTGGCATACCAGTAGTACCACTAGGTTTAAGAAAGAAGAAATAAATAGAGTTTAATTTTCTGACATTTCATTATACCTTCTAATCTTTTTTTTTTTTTGTACCTTGTATAAATCAACATGGCTCGATCATTTTCTGTCGTTCGCTTGATATAATCTTCACTAACATCATCATCAGAGTAGTTGGCAAGGACAGAAGGAGTCAAAGAAGGAGCAAAAGAGAAGGAGGGAAATTCATCATATTGAGTTGCTTCACCATAAGTATACATGGATAAGAATGGAGGAACTTTGGATAAAATGGTAGATACTTGAGTTTCATATTTAGGATCAAAAATCAAAATTTTCGCTTCAGCCACCTTGATACAGTGCCATAATGAATCTTCAGTTAAATTGTTGTTGATAAAAGCAGCTACAGCACCAATCTTAAGAATAGCGAACCATAGAATGATAAATGAAGGATGATTTTGTTGCATCATGCAAACATGATCTAAAAAAGGAAAGACAAAGATGTTGTAAGCATTTCTACGGTTAAATTATTTTACCTTTTACTTCCCCACTTTTTTTTTTTCTTTCATTTCCCACCCTTATTGTCGCACTTGACTAATTTTAATTCTGCTTACCTTGATATTGGACATTTTTTTCCAATAACCAATGTGCCTAATGAATAAAAATCAATAGATAATAAATAAATAAATAAATATGAATTTAAAATAATATTTTCATTAAGATAATGTATATTCTTACCAAGCGATTGGAAGCTAACATATAAAATTAAATAATAATAGTATTAATAAATCAATATCAAATCTTCATAAGAATCAAACTTAGTTACCTTTTTCAATATCACGGAATGTATAATTTTTATCTTCAAAGACCAAAAATATATCGTCCGGAGTTGCCTTCGCCTTTTCTTTAAAGTAATAGTATACGTTTGTACGACCTTCTGCAACAATTCGCTCAGTACTATTAAAAAAAAAAAAGAATGACGAGAAGTCAACTAATCTTTTTTTTTAAAAAAAAAATAAAAACATTTTTCTATATAAACTTACGCTCTTCTTGTTTGTAAAGCTTTATGTACAATACCAAGATCTTTGCTAAGATGGAATCGTGCATCCAAATACATGGACCCTAAAACGGATCCAACGCCGATGGCAGCTGCTTTAAGAAGAGAATCTAAAATAAAACAACAATAATAATAAAAAACACATAAGACTTAAGTATACAATATAGACTTGAATGATACACGGAATTCACATTACCAGTTGGCATAGTTTAGAGAAGAGGGGAAAACAAAAAGGGAATAAAAGAAAGGAAAAAAACGATTTGTCAATGAAGAAAAAAAACTTATATAATATTTTTTTTCAATGGAGTTTGAATGTGGGGTTGAAAAAGAGGCGCATGAAAGTTTATTAGTCTACATTTATTTAAAGATCTATAATTCTAATCCAAACTATTTCTAAAATCTATACATCCTTCTTTTCATCATCTTGTTGTTGTCTTCCAAAGCTAAAATACTATTATTCATTGAAGAAAAATAAAAGTTAAAAAAAAAATTAAAAAAAACTTTATCTTCTTTTTCTTTTTACCTTTTCCCTAAATAAGTAATGTCCAAGTGCTTTTGGTGTATCTGCATTTTCTAAGGATGATGATGAAGTAGTATAATGTTTGACCTTTTCCATAGTAATTAATCGTCTTGACCATTGACCAAAGTTTTGTTCACTATTTGATATTAATACCATACAAGGATGCTGAGGTACATCTGTATTTGAATATTCATCCACCACAGTTGGTAACCAGTATACCAATCGACCACCCACATGAAGATGTTTTGCGGAAAATTCCAATAAATCTTTAAGTACTTCTGACATTTCATAAGGTTTAGTAGGAGGATAGTAATCTTCTCGTCTAAATACAATAAAAAAGTAAATAAAATCATCCTATCTTTTCTATTTTTTTGTCTCACTTACAAATGCATAGGTACACCTTCATAGGATCGTTCTTGTAATGGTTTCTTCAGTTCATCCTTTCGACCCAATCTTTTCGCGCCAGCACGAACACCATAAGGAGCTATAAATAAGGATTAAAATAATTAGTACCATTCACCTGTCAGTACCATAGAATTAAAAAATCAAAAGAAGAAGAACTTACGATCTGATCATATGGCAAAAAAAAAAAAAAAAAATAGAAAAAATCAGTTCATCAAAGTTTCTATAGAATAATTTTTTTTCCTCTTTTGTCTAACCTGTAACAATAGCGTCCAACCAATCATCACATCGCCAAGGATTACGAGTAACATCAAATACTAGAGAATCTAAAACACGACCTTGGAGATTGTATTGTTCAATATTGGATTTAACACCTCTATCTTTAGATTTTCCACGTATTTGACGACCATCGATATCCGATCCCAATGTATAAGAACCAAAATGAGCACAGGTAAATAAGAAACTTCCAGTACCAACAAAAGGATCATAGACAAGTTTGCCTGAAGAAGCAAGTGCTTGATTCGCCATCACTAAAGATAATTCAGCATCCATCGATGTTGTACCCAAATAATGTCGTTTCTTGAGATTATATTTTTGTACCAAATCACGACTGCCTGAAGCCACAAGTCGACCCATATACACATACTTCAATGAAGGAGGATTTCCACCTTCAACATGAGTGGTAGTTTGTCCGTAATCTTCTAAAACACCAAATTTCACTTGAGGATTGGTTAGATCAATATCACCTTCAAATCCAAGATAAGAAAAAGAATTGATAATCTTCAACTGTTCTTTTGCTGTCAATGTCCACCCAAATGCTGAGACACTAAATTTAAAAGAGGTATAATGGTAATCTGCCCATTTGTCCTTGTTTGCTTTGACTTGATCGTTTACAGCATCATAAGTTGATCCTTCACCCCATAATTCATAGATTCTCCTATAATAACAAAATAAAAAGAAACCCTTATATTAGTACGTCTAAATGTATTTATTTATTTTTTTTTACTTACTTGATCAGAATGGATCGTTTCACTAGTTTACGAGCATCATCGTCCGATTCCAGTTCAACCTTAAAGTATGGACTCTAGAAGTAAAAATTCAATGTAAGTAAAAAAAAAAAAAAAAATAAAAAAAAAAAAAAGTTCTAATATAGTGATGATATCTTACGTCTAATTTATAACTATCTTTGGCATAGTTGTATTTGACGTTTTCCAAGACAGCAAGAGAATCGAATTCTGGTAACCGAAATTCCTCGTGAGACTAGATCAAGTAGAAAGAAATTAAAAAAAAAGGAAGACAAGTGAATAAGAACATTTTTCTAATTATAATATCATTGGTACTAGTTTATATTCTACTTACTTGAGCAAATTGAATCAGATAGAATGGCATTGCTTTTGTGGAAAAAAAAAAAAAAAAGAGAGAGAGAGAGAGACTATTAGAAAAGGAAAAGAGTTGCCTTCAAAAAAAAAAAAATTGTATCGTTATTCAATGCTCTCAGCCACTAGTTTCAACTACCGCGCAGTGGAAACTGAGATGTGTCCCTGAACAAATTGTAGTTGCTACATAAAAGTAATGATTACATTTATGTAATATAAGATTAGGATCTATAATATTTAAAAAAAACAATTCAATCTTTTAATATGATAAAAAGGCACCATTCATTAGAAAGATGGAAATGCAAATAGAACCAAGAGAGTATGCTCACGTTTGAGAGTAAAAATGATAGGTACAAGCTCGCGAGTCGCGCCTAATCTGCGTTTGAAATAGAGCAAAGAAAAAAAAAAAAGTTGACCCATTTTGTTCATTTCTCCTTTTGTCTTTATTCTTTTTTTTTTCTGCCTGTCTATATATATATTATACCTTGGTAATTTTCATACCTTAAATTTGGATCATATACATTGCTCAACACAATGTCAACACGTTCACCAACTCGTGTGGATTCGCGTGGTGTTCCTATTGTATTACCAACTTATTCACCTCAACAATCACCACGAAGAAGGAAACAACATAATATTGCCAAAAGCTCCTCATTACCTCACCAATCACCAAGAAGGTCAGAACAACGCAATGTAGCAAGAACTCCTTTATCTCGAATTGCTTTAGATATGGACGTTGATGAAGTCAAACTTTGTAAAGTTCGTTCAAAAACCTCCACTCCTAAACGACAAGACAAGTCTCTACTTGACGAACATGACGAATTCACCGATGCTTGCCATAGAAGTCACCTTAACCATATTAGCAAGATGTTTTATCAAGGCTCACCTCAAGGTAGTGGTGGTGGTGCTGGTCATACCTCTCCTGGTTCATGGCAAGATGCTTCCACTGAATTATTACCAACTTCTGCTAGGGGTTCACCTCTTTCTCCATCAACTCAACAACAACAACAACAGCAACAAAGACGCTCTCCTTATGGGTCTCCCTTTCAACGACTTGAAACTGCTCGACAAGCAAGAAACAGACCTCATCCATGGATCTCACCTACTCGCCCTACTTTTGCTGGACACAAGAGGAATTTAGATATATCTCAATCGTTGGGTCCTCTCAGTCTACCTGAATCTACGTCGAAGAATGCCTCTACAAATAAGTATGACAAAATGACGAAAAAACAAAGAACGATGGAATTTCTCTCTCTTGATTTAAATCCAACTGAAAGCTCTTGGACTGGTCACCCTTTGGAAAATCCTCTCTTACAAGACTTTGCTTTGACTCCTTTGACATTACATTCAAGCCAATACCAAGAAACGAAACAAGAACAAAATCAGTTACCCACACCTTTAACTCAGCCAGCACCACATGCTATTGAAAATACTCTATCGAATTCACAGCAGCAGAAACAACAACAACAGCAACAACAGCAACAACAACAACAGCAGCAGCAGCAGCAGCAGCAGCAGCAACAACAGCAACATTCCAGTCGTCATCACGAACAAGTGTCGCCATTCCTTGTGACCTCGCCACATACAGCTCAAGATGAGGACAACGCCATTCTGTCACCAGCCATGGAAGAGAAGACTTTAGAGTTGCAAACACCATTTATTCAACCTGAACATCCGTCAACTCGTCGTGACACTGTATCTACCAACTGCAACGACAAAAAGACGAAGGATCATCAAGACAATGTGCCTGTCAACATGATGGATATTAAACAAGTCATGTCCCTTGAACCAGTGAATGATGATATGGATTGTACCGATGAAATCAAGCAGTCTCATACCCTACCAACAGAAAACAGGCAACAAAATCAATTGCAATTAGTCTACCACCAAGATGAACAGCATGAAAATAATGATCAACTAGAAACACTTCAAGCGCAACAGCAACAGCAAGATGGAAACAATGGAATGAAACTACAGTATTCTGGAGAACAGCGTTCCCAACAAGATGAACAGCAAGATGAACAGCAAGAGAAGCACTGTGTTGTGGACGCGGAATGCCGACAACAACAACAACAACAACAACAACAACAAGAGCGACGAATGGGTGATACGAAAATTGAACAGCCACAACCCCCTGAACAAAAACAAGAAAATGATGGCATGGAATTGGACGATCCTTCACAGCAACAACAGCAAGCAGATGATCATCACGAAACGGAATCCACATGTCCAAAACAACAACACTCCGAAAATCCAGAAAAGGACAATCACGAATTGAAAGAACAAAAGCAACAACCTACACCAGAATCAGCAACAATTGCAACGGATCATCAAGAGCAGACCAAGAAAAAGGATGTGGCAAACAAGTCAACAAATTCAAGTACCAGCTCCACCTCCAAAATCGACAAGACTCCAAGAGTAGATTCTCAACTTTCCAAGAAACAACATATACAACGGGAAATGGATGCGCTTACAAAGTCAGTCAAGGTGTTAAGAACTCATTATCAATTAGTGGACAAGATTGGCAGTGGAACATTCAGTTCGGTATACAAGGCTTTGGATATACGATATGATACGTATGACAACTCATGGTGGGATGTATCAAATCCAAGTTCGGACACAAACTCTGAGAACATGGATGAAACTGGAAATACTCGACGCAATAAAAAAGCTGACAAACAACAACAACGATTTGTAGCCTTAAAACAAATTTATGCCACAAGTAGTCCAAAACGTATGGCTCATGAAATCAAGATTTTGCAAGATCTAAGGTAAAGAAAAAAAAGGGGGGTAGATGATAAAAAGATAATTAGTATTAACTATTTTTATTTTTCATTTTTTTTTTTTTTGACTGAATAGGGGATCTTCTTGTATATCTCAGCTTATTACTGCTTTTCGACACAATGAATTTGTATTTCTGGTGATGCCCTATTTTCAGCACAATGAATTCAAGGTAAATTAATTCTTATCAGAATAGAAAGCTGTATAATCAATGAAATTGACCTCCTTTTCTTTGATTTAGGATTGTTATCGCAATATGACAATGACAGACACCAAATACTATTTAATCTCTTTGCTCACTGCACTCAAGCATCTACATAGTCATCGTATACTACACCGTGATATCAAACCCAACAACTTTTTATACAATATGCGTCTGAAAACTGGAATGCTTATAGATTTTGGATTAGCACAGGTACATTTTCGAATTGAAAAGTGACAGGCTACAATTGTATGACTAACTGTTTTATTTTATTTATTTATTTATTTATTTATTTATTTTTTTTTTTTTGCTTGATGAATAGAGAGAAGAAGAGACTCGACCGCCTGAACCACCGAAATCCAATTCACCAGCTCGGTCAAGTACTATTAGAAAACCAAGTAAAACAGTACAACCATCAACATCATCATCAACACCAACTGCAACATCAGCATCTTCAAAGGCAAGCTTAACGTCCATAAAACAAAAATCATTTTTACCTGCATCATCTTCATCTATTTATAATCAAAATCAATCACAGTCAACGCCACAACTAATCTCATCCAATGCTGGAAAGCCTCCCAAACCTCTGGCCACTAAATCTATGAACAATGGGGATGAGAATAAAACAAGAAAGCCTGGTTATATCAAGAACGATACACGGTAATCATAAAAAGAAAAAAAATCATTAGTTATACGATCATGTTGTGATATCTTGCTGACGATTATTGTTCTTTATACATATGTAGGAAATCTGTCAAAGCAAATCGAGCAGGAACAAGAGGTTTTAGAGCACCAGAAGTATTACTACGTGTCACTCATCAAACTGTTGGTAAGTTGCAATGAAAAAATAAAAAATGGAATATGATCTGAATCACGTACCCTTTTTTTTTATTATTATCATTATTATTCAAATTGATCAAGCTATCGATATCTGGTCCGTTGGTGTGACACTATTGTCCATCCTTTCTGGAAGGTTTCCATTTTTTATTGCACATGATGAAGGGGAATCTTTAATTGAAATAGCAAGTATTTTTGGAATGAAGGAAATGAAGGAGTGTGCTGCTTTACACAGTAAGTTTGATATATATGCTTGATTTTTATAAAAAAAAAAATATGATTTGATCCATAACTTTTTTTTTTGGCTATATAGATCGAACATTTGAAACCAATATTGAAACTATACCAGCAGTACGAAAATCTTTACATAAGCTATGTCAAGTATTAAACACGGAAAAATTCAAATTGTGGACGGAGGATAATAAACAAAATGTACTCAATGCGATGGACCTGATGGAAAAGATGTTGGCTTTAGATTATACAAAACGTATCACCGCCGAAGAAGCTTTGAATCATCCATTTTTATCCGATTCCCCCTTACCACCTTCCCTTTCTTCTACTTCCTCTTCTTTGTAAATAGTCTTTTTTTTTTTTTATCTACTTTATATTATATCAATCATCCATTCCAAATCAAATAAATAAAAAAATAAAAAATAAAAAATAAAAAATAATAAAAAAGATACATAAATTATAACCGCTTATCTCTGCTATTCATCATCCATCCCTCAATCATCTGGTATCATATACATACCACCATCCTTTCCATATTGCTAAAATAGAATCAATACAAAGGAAAGCATTCATTTGCTGTCATTCAATATGTCTCAATATTGATCGAGAATCCACTACTATTGGAACACCAATATGACTTTATTTATTTGTTTATTTATTATCTACACTATTTGAATAAAACTACGATACGAAATAAAAATGACAATGATAATATATAGATGCATAAATGAGAATATATTCTAATCTAAAACGTATAAAAAGAGAAAAATGCAAATCAAAAAATAGATAAAGTAGAATATCATTAGCAACGGACCATATAATGTTGAACTTGCGTATCACCACCATCTATAGCATATTCGATTTCGCATTCCAATTCCCGAGGATTCTCCAATCCCTTGTGGCAGATAAAAGTACCAATGATCTTGTCATTACGCTTGACATGTAAAGGTGTTTCCAAAATAAAGCTGGTTTGTTTCCAATGAGTATCTTCGCCAAAAGGTCCAGTTGTCAAGAATGTTTCCCCTCCTACACGTTGTTCAGCTTGTTCCAAAGGTATAGGGTGACCATCACGAGTAAACCAAGTATCAAACCAGCCACCGAATGCATACACTGTCCCGTCCCGCTTGATTTCCAATTCAAATTTCGTGATGAAATCCAACTTTTGTGTCGTGATCGTTTGCAAATAAAGATCCTTGAGTGTCACCACATTGGACATCACCGTGTTGGGTTTGATAAAGTCTACAACAGCTTCATTGATGACAGGTTCCTTCATCGCTGACATCTTGAATCCATATACATCATTCCAAAAGTTGACTCTGTCGTCCTTGAGATCTTCATCATCCAATGCTGCCATCAGAATACGTGTATGACTTGGCGCCACTATGATAATCAATACTCTATTTAATATCTGATTCATTTATATATCTTAAATAAACTTACTGATACCACCAGGAGCAAGCCAACGATCACGAGCCACCAATACCGAGTCTAACATGGCTTCGAATAATAAAAAGTAACCCATCCATTCAGAAATGATAATATCCACTTGTTTGACAGGAATTTCAATTTCTTCCACCTTTCCACGCACAAGACTATATACAAAATGAATAATCAATCAGTACTCCAAAAATCATATCAATAATGACATACGTAATAATATGATCCAATTCATTTTCCTTGACATTGAGCTTGGCCTTTTCAATAATGGCAGAATTATCAACAGAGATAACTACGTATATAAAATGATAACGGTAAATATCTATCATTATTCATTAAATTAGTCATTACCTTGTTTGGCACCAGCCTTGGCCGCGAACATTGAAAGAATACCTGTACCACAACCAACATCCAATACAACCTAAGAAGGTGGGGGAACAGAGATATGACGAATGAATAAACACAATTCTTAAAAAAAAAAAAAAGATTCACTTCCTTTTCTGTTTTACCTTATTTTTGAAGATATCCTTGTTTTCATATACAAAATCACGATATGCTTCGGTGCGAGCCTTATCCTTTAACATTTGTTCATGAATATCTATTATTAAAATACAGAAACAAGTCTAATCAGTAAGATGCATCATTCTTCCTTTGAATGATCTTTTACCATTGTGAGCATATCCATTGAAATAATAGTTGCCTTCATCATTTAACCCCTTGTTTTGTTCAGTCTTGGGCTCACTATTCAAAAAAGGAAGATCAGAAAGACTAGTCATAAACCAAGTACAATCATATCACATATGCATATTTACCTATTCACATCTACCAAATTATCAAAAAATGTAGTCTTCACCATTGATTTATATTCTTCAAATTGCCCTTCGAGATTTTTGTTCCGGTCCAGAGTTTCTTGTAAGATTTGTAGGAGTTGATTTTCTAAATCAGTATTTGGTTTTAACTTGGTCAAATCCACTATCATCAATAATAATAATAAAAAAAAAAAAAAGGTTTTAAAAAAAAAATTCATAACCATCCTATTTCTGAAACTTACATTGCGCCATTTTGGAGGTGGTAGCAGTAGGTCGATCATGATCATCACATTCATCTTCATCCAGCAGATCAAGTTCCTCAAAAGCTATATAATAAAAATCAACATTAGATTATAATTTAAAAACAAAGCCAATATTGTATTCATACCATGTAAAAGAGCATCTTCTTCTAAAACAGATTGTAATAATGTATCGTCGTTCCAAAAATCTTCTTGACCAGTGAGTGTATATTCCTTAGTTTCTGCTAATTCAGGTTGTTGTTGTACTTGTCGACGAATATGATTGATCATACGAATACACTTGTAAAAGTCGAGGTCTATAAATAAAAGATAAAAAAAAAGTCAATCTTTTCATTTTATCATATTATGTTCATTCAACAATATTTCTTTATATTTTTCTTTACTTACTAAGGGATTTCTTGATTTGTAAAAAGTCAAAACCATGAATAGTTTTACAATGTGCAAAAGCTTCTTCAGGAAGAGGAAAAGTAGAAGGACAAAACAAACATTGGGATTCCATGTCTTCATTTTCCCAGTCTTCCCAGGATTCATCTATATAATCAAAACTATGAATAAACCAACTGTTTAAGTGGAGTATTGAGGATTTTACCTTGGGGATCAAACTCTGAAGGAGCATATTCTGAAGCTGAATATATAGAGTCAGAAGACTGACCTAATCTTATGCTACTTGAAGGAGGTGTAATGGTACGATCCATATTGAAAAAAAAAAAGAAAGGAACAAGACGAAGGGAAAAAAAAATCTGCATTGAATGAAAAAGCCTAAAAAGCCTCCTTACGGACATTGAATTCCTGGAAACAAAAATGATAGGTCCAAAAAAAAAAACTATCCAAAAACGCGCCTTCCTTCTCGCGTTCTTTTTTTTTTCTATTCTTTAATTATGGCTACTATCCCTATCTTAGCTACTACCTTTGAACTTGACCAAAAAGAACATTCACAAGTCCTTCTTGAATGTAAGTAAAACCATATACTTTCATTGTGGGTTATTGACCTTATTTTTTTTTTAAATAGTGGAGTCATTATGTCGTCTTTATTCTCTATCTCCTGAAGATCTAAAGTTCAAATGGGAAGCTTTCTCTTTTAATAAAAAGAATGCACAAGTACCTACTGTTGATCTTGTAAGGCAACTTAAATCGACCATACAACATAAATTCGAACAAACCTTACAACAACAACCTTCTCAATCACAACGTTCCCGACCATCTATGAAACAACAGCAACCCGCACTCAATTTTTCTGAATATATGGACGTGGATGCAGCACAAGATCCAGTGGATGATTTGTAAGAATTGTTTTATGAAAAGAAATTAACAAAAAAGATGGTTATCTAATATTTTTCTATCGTTAGTCTCTCAAAATTGACTAGTGGTGGTGGTACTGACATATACCCCAAGAAGAATGTCCCAGGCACTCGTGGTGATAACAAGAATTTGGCCACTATACCTTCTACTTTGGATATTGAACAGTAAGTATCAAAAAAAAAAAAAAAAAGAGAGAGAGATAATTCAAATCATCATTTCAATCATAGGTCTCAACCAACAACTCGATTTCTGGATCGCTCACAAATGAATACGATAGAATCTCAATATAATCCTCAGTTATCTGTTCGTGATAAAAATGTTTCAGTAGCAAAAGCTACCATTCAATCTGTCCAACCACCCATTCAGAAATATCGATATATGTTTGAAAAGATTAGAAATAGAGCTGAAGGTAAAAAAGAATAGTGATGAAACAAAAAAATACTGAAGACATACATTGCCCTAACAATACTGTTATTATTATTATTTTTTTAATTCACTTGATAGTATTGGATGATCGAATCGATTATATTGCGGGTGTGATTAACGAAGCTTTTGGATTGGAAGATGGATTTGGTAATCCCAGTCGAATGACTCAAGGCACCATTACTGCTGTAGGACGAATTTGTTGTGATGCAGCTGAAGGGAAACTGAATGACAAGTCAATTTTATTGGAAACATCAAGATCATTAGGAATGGGCAAACGAGTAAAGTTGGATATTAGTAAAGTGAATGAATATTCTCTATTCCCAGGACAAGTACGTTTTTTACTACTAGGAAAAAGCATAAATATACTAACGCTGCTATTATTATTATTTTTTTTTTCATTTCTTTCTTCTTAGATTATTGCTGTGGAAGGAAAAAATACAACTGGAAAATCTTTTTCTGTAGACAAGATTTTAATGGTAAAAAGGTTAAAGGAATTAAAAAGGGTGATGGTAACTAATATAATATATGTCTGTTTTTTTAGCCTCCTTTACCGGATAGTATCGAAAAACAAACTTCAACCAACGAAATTACACAAGTCATTGTAGCAGCTGGACCTTATACTCTAGATAGTGATTTCTCCTTTATGCCATTGGATGATCTTCTATCGGTGTGTCAAGAAGAACAAGCAGATGTTGTCATATTGGTAAGAAGAATACATTCAAGAATCCAGTATATAACGTCACCACTCATATTTTTTTTTTTGTGCAGATGGGACCTTTTATTTCGACTGCACATCCTTTGATTGCAAAAGGTCAAGTGGATCAATTACCAGAAGACATTTTCCGAACTCAAATTGCCACCAAGCTCAACCATTTTGCCCAATCCAATCCTGGGACTCAAATACTGATAATGCCTCATGCACATGATATATTTCAAGAATGGCCTCTCTTTCCTCAACCTGGTTTATCACTTTCGTCCCTTCATGTGACAGCTTCCTCTATACAATCCATCAGCAACCCTTCAATCTTTGAAATTAATGGATCTATTTTTGCTATTGGCAATGTGGACATTTTACGAAGTATCGGCATTCAAGAAATCAACAAGAATGTACCCATAGAACGATTGTTGAATTTATCAAGACATGTATTACAACAACAAAAGTAAGTGAAGGATGAAAATGTTTGATATCGAAAATGAAAAAGTATGATCTAATATATTATATATTATATATAGCTTTTATCCATTGTTTCCGGCATCACCAGGAGATTCTATCGACGCAGATCAAATGGCTCATCTTCAATTATCGACAAAACCTGACTTTTTGATTCTACCTTCACATTTACGACAATTTGCAAAGGTAAAGCAGGAAAAAAAAAGTTAGAATGAGATAAAAACAGAGACAATTAGAATGAAAAGAATGAAAACTAAGCATCTCTTTTTTTTTTTTTTTTGTTTGATAGTTACTTGATGATGATGATGTTCTATGTATCAACCCTGGTCATCTTTGTAAAGGTCGTTCTAGTGGTACTTTTGCAAAATTGATTATTCATCCTTCTATGGACGAATCAAAAACATCGGATAGAACAAGAATAGATTTAGTTAGATTATGATATTGTTTGGTTTTTGATGACAATAAAAGAAAATATATAAAGAATTTGTTGATAAAATATGATAGACAGTTTATTATTGGGCAACTATAAAAGAATAAGAGTATGATGATATCAGTTAGATAATAAAAATTTTCATATATAAAAATGAAAGAATAGATGATGATCTGGAATATAATATCAATTGTATGTTGAAAAGAAGATGATGTAGGATAATACATATGTAAAAGTGGATAGATAAGGAAGAAAGAATAAGAGAGGAGGAGACTAATATGATGAAATAGAGGTAGAATCTGGCATGGTAAGATGAACGACCATATCACCTACAGGTTGGACTTGGATTTTCTTGAGAGCTTGTTCGATATCAAGGACAGCCTGATCAAACCATTGTTGTTGTTCTTCTGATAAAGTATGATTGGACCTTGCTGTAGATATCATGGTATCAATGGCAGAGATATCTGCACCTGTCATGTTGGATGTTAGTGATTGACCACCACTATTGTTACTACTGCTACTGCTAGAGTTGTTTTCGATACCATTGCCATATGGTTTCAGGTTGTTTCCATAAGTCTGGGCACTATCTACTTGACCAAGTAAATCATGATATTTATCTGTTCGTTCTTGAATGTCTTGTTCTTGTAGTGGATCAGTTTGAGAACTCGATATATCAATAAGATTCCTAAAATAGAATTATTATTATTTTTTTTTAAAAAAAAAAAGAATGAATATAAACGCGAGGGGAGCATAATAGACGAAGTTTTTTTTTTTTTACTGCGAAAAAATATAGAAAAACTTACTGAGTTGTTCGGTCAACGACATCTTTCCAAAATTCTTGTTCTTGTTTGTGGTCAATATTTTCTTGAGGTGGATAATTCATTCGACTATATTACAATATAAGAATATATATATATTAATATGTCTCAAAAGAATATACATATATTTTATTATATATTACTTGTCATTGGTGACTTCATTGCCAAGTAATGGTACACGAACATCATCCTATTAAAGAGAAAAAAAAGGGGGGGAGAAAGAATTCATTAAAAGAGTTATTATTTTATTTATTTTAATATAATTACTTCGTCATGATCTTCTTTACTAGAACAACAACCCATAATTATTGAAATAGAAACAAGAACAAATATAGAATAAGAAGAAATCGTGCTCAAAAAGGATTGATTAAATCTCCGTTGTTAAAAAAACGTCATGCTCGATGTTGATTGGTTTATAAATTCAAATATGAAATAAAGAAGCAAAAAAAAAAAAAAAAAAAAAAAAGAGCCCCGCCCCTGTTGATTTTCTTTTTCTTTCTCCTTGTCTCTTTTTTTTTTTTTTTTTCTCCCACATATTTATTATATAAATATATATTCACCTATCGTTCTTTGAATACCAGCACTATAGATAACACCCGGGAAGGAAACCGTAGTACTGGACAAAAACATAAAGCCGACGCACGGACAGTAAACAACATACAACAAAAGTAAAGTTTTATTCCAAGCAGTTAGGTACCTTTGATAAAAAAAATTTTTTTTTCTTTTAGTTTTCCTTTTTCTTTTCTTTTCTTCTTTTTTTTTTTCTAATTCATTCCTTTTCTTTATCTTTATTATCATAGTCATACATCTATACTACATCCAACATTTGGCGGTAATACTAGTTAAACTCAGGTTGATGGCTTTGTTGGGAATCATTTTCTAATGAATGACAATATATATATACTTTTTTTTATAGGAACAGGCAACCACTCATTATTGAACATGGTACTCACCCGCCATCAAGCAAAATTAAATATAGAAAACAGCAATCAAGAAAACTCTATTGATGATGCCATGATGGTTATTAATGATCCACCTTTACTGACAATTTCACGATCTCGGCAGGAGTTTGACGACGATGATGACGATAATGAAGATAATGACGACGACGATGATAATAACAATAATAAAGATCGAACGATAAAACTAGGCACATTCTTAGAACGGTTAGATGAGTAAGTGAAAAAAAAAAGAGAGATTTGAGAAATGAAATGAATCTTACCTCCTTTTTTTTTTTTTTTTTTGTTTATATGTGTAGTTTTGAATGTTCAAGTTTGGATGCACTCATGGCAAGATGGCCTTCTATGCATGCTCGTTTAAAGGGTATGAAACCTCATTTACCTCCAAAAAAAGATGACAACCGACCGACTTTGGGTAAAATATCATCTCTACGAATCAATTTATTTGTTCCATTTACTGATTTGCATTTTTTGTTTTTAAATAGTACTTGATCTGGATGAAACTCTTTTACATACTTATCGTGAACCCAAAAGCGATCCGAATGATTATTGGGATGCCGATTATGTAGTTTATGCAAAGGATAGACGGAGCTGTTTGGCTGGAATCCTTAGACCAGGTGTAACAGAATTCCTTGTTTGGGCTTCGGGAATTTTCGAAGTAGTGGTATGGACAGCGGGTCATGATGATTATGCGCAGATGGTATGCAAGTTGTTGGACCCTGAAGGAAATCTCATCAAGTAAGTTTGAGTTTTATATATATATATATATATATATTAAATATGATTACGGTAAAAAGATCAATATCACTGATTCTTATTTATTTTATTATTTTTTTTTTGTTTGGTGATGTTTTTATCACGAACTACTAGTCATATGCTTAGTCGAAGAACATGTATACGAATGCGATCAGCTGCTACTGGCGAAATCATGTATGTAAAAGATCTTTGTGCTCTAGGACGGGATTTAGGAAGAACATTCTTGGTTGATAATACCCCTCATGGTAAGTATATTATATGTACATATATTGATAATTCAATTAATCACTTACTCTTATGGTATTCTATTTTAGCTGCAACCTTGAATCTTAGTAATTTGATTCCTATCGAAACTTTTCTAGGTGGAAGCTCCGACAGAGAATTGAAAGAATTACGACGGTTTTTAGAATCAAATCTTGTACGGCTTACTGATAGAAAGAACGACATGCGGATATTATTACATCGACAACTTAATCTCAAACGACGATTAAGGGAACGTATTGACAACTGGAAAAGCTCACAACAATCTATTCCCCCTTCCTAAAGCACAATTAATTTGTATCCTTCAATCACACCATTGTCATCAATTGTTTATATACATCTTTATACATACTATATATTTTGTTGTAGTTGTTTTTTTTTTTTACATGTCGTATTCTGTAAATATCATTTTATTCATTTATATCTGTTTTATACCAATAAACCCTCCATTCAATTTATACACATATCCTTCATTTGTATTTATTTATTTTTGTATGATTCATAAAATCAACATGATATCTTTATTGACCACAAATAATATATATGCATATATATATATATAAAAGAGTAAGCTAAAACTACATCCAAGCATCGCCAGAAATATACAATCAAATTAAGATTTATTCGGATTTACCAGCGACGAAGGTCTTGACAACACCACCAAAGTTCTTTCCTTGAGTGACAGCAATTTCCTTTTCCTTATCAGAGACCTTACGAGAACCATCACCATTAGCAACAGTACCAGCACCCCAAGCAGAACCACCAACAACTTCACTATTGTCGAACAAGTGAGGGTTGGCGAAACCAAGAGGAACATAGATCATACCATGATGAGCAAGGAAAGTAATAGTGGTGAAAGCTATATATATATATATATAAAAAAAAAAAAAGGTGAATCATTTATGTTCAAAACATCAAATTATATATATCTATTACCAGTTGTTTCTTGACCACCATGTTGACCAGCTGTTGAGAAGAAAAGACCACCAAATTTACCAGCCAACTTACCACCAGCCCAGAGCTATATTATATATATTAAAAAAAAAAAATCAGTCTCCAAGAAATAATAATCAATGTCAAACTTACTTGACCAGTGGAGTCAAGGAAAGCCTTGAATTGAGCAGGCATGGTACCAAAACGAGTACCAAAACCAAAGATAAGACCGTCAGCTTCAGTCAAATCTTCAAGAGTGGCAATAGGAACATCAGGTTTGGGAGGAGCATGCATCTTTGTAAGAATTTCTTCAGAAAGAGTTTCAGGTACTATAAGAAAAAATAAAATACATTAAGTTTTTTTTTTTTTTCTTTATGCTTTTATCGCGTTTTCTTTACCTTGAAGAATCTTGGCGTCAATACCAGCTTCCTTAAGACCTTGTTCAACACTCAAGGCTAAGGTATAAATGTGATGGTACAAGGTGTAGATAATAATATTAACTTTGGGAGCCATGTTTTGTAATAAGAAATAGTTGTTTGTATTATAAGATAAAGAAAAGCAAAAAAAAAAAAAAAAAAAGTAATGTGCTCTTTTTATACTTTCTAAGGGGGTTACAACAAAAAGGGACGGTATCTCAAACTATGTTGTTTTGATTTGTCACACTTTCTGACACATACATACCACTTTGGTGGGCGGTGATTTAATTACTAAATGTTGACAAAAAAAAAATCTACTTTTGTTTTGTCATACATATACAAATAAAGCAGACAAGTGAAATTCCAGATTCCATAATAATTAATTTCTTTTTCATCTAATAGCGTATATACTTTGGATTTATCTATTTGATATCATCCACTTGTTTTTTTTTTCTTTTTCTTCTTCTTTTGAAATATGAAAATAAATGGAATCGAAAAATCATGATGAAACCAAATAATACGATCCAGACTTTTCGATAAAAGAGAAATTTCTATTTTAGTTATTGGTCCTGATTTTGAATTCAGTCTCAAAAAAAATGTATGATTATGTTGATGACAACAAAAAATTATAAATTATATAATCACAATATATGATGATTTCCCCCTCGATGATTCATCATTTAGTCCTATCATATCGATCAGAACACAATTTCAGAGAAATAGTTCTTATAGTAAATAAGAATATAGATATCATCATAGATTCTATTGTTCTATTTTGAAGAATAGTTGATCACAATGGTGTTATCAGCAACAATAGAAGTAAAAAGATTCTAGTAACTTGATTTGACACACAAAATAATCTTTTTTTTTATTATCGTCCCTTTTATTAAAATCAAATCATACATAACCATTGTTGTGGAGTTTCTTTTGATCAATAAACATAAAATTTGAAAAATACATAATATTAAATATCAACTTTGTTCTTTATTTCAATGATTATAAAAAAAAAAAAGTGTTGTAAGGAAAAATAAAATAAGATCAATCATTAATACTACTAAAGTCCTATTTTAGATTTGTATAAATCCACTATCAACCATTCATCATCATCCATCATCAACCATAATATATTTACTATATCCACTTTAGTCTTCAATATCCACTGTCTTGAAGTTCCCTATTTATGTTCATTCGCGAATATCCAGTCCACTGCTTGTTCAAAGTATCCTCGACACGTACCTTTTTCTTTCTTTCTTGTAAATAGCCAACCATAGTTGTATTCCCGCTTTTCATTATTATCTAAGTCTTCATCCGACAACAATGTTTTTCTTCTTTTCACATCCACCTAAAAAAGAAAAGATCGTTCTCTATTCGAAATAAAAAAAAAAAAAGAATCGATCCTATATAATATTTCTTTCCATGATACCAATTTTATCCAAGTTCACCCTTAAGAAATCAGTTCCTCTTATAGTTAGTATACGAAGCTGTTGTTGCCGCTTAAAGATAGTCATCCCACTTGTTATCTTGCCATATAGATATCGCTCTATAAACGTTTACTGCCTGTGAAGAAGAAAGAGCTTAATAGCATTCCCAAAAAGTATAGATCGTCAAGTTTTTTGTAGTGAGATCATGAGAACATTTATATACCTTTTAAACGATTGCCATCATATAGAGAAATACCATTAAAAAAAAAGAGAGATAAATAATTGAGTATATAAAAAGATAACTATCACGTAATACTTTGGATATCTTTATTTTATTTTTTTTTTTTACCTTCAAAAGAATCTAGAAGTTGCCATTGAATGTTATTCATAAATATATTGTTGAAGGAGCGGAACACAAAGATACAAAAAAAAAAAAAAATAGGTGATGAAAGAAACAAAAAAGGTGATTTGTCAACTGCCTTAGTCAAATCTTTGTCAGTGATTGATTATTAAGGTTGATGATTCAAAATCCGCTTGTCCCCCCCTTTTTTGTTTGCATTTTTTTTATTATTTCTTGTCACCATCGTATTTTTTATCTTTCTTTCTTTCTTTCATAACAAAATTTTCTTATCATGTCTTCAAAACCTACAATTTTTATTATCTTTTACTCTATTTATGGTCATGTCTATACTCTTGCCAAAGAAATTCAATCTGGTCTTGAATCAAAAGGAGTGAATGTCAAGTTGTATCAAGTAAGTTAAAAAAAATATATATATATATGTGTCACTCATAAATACTAAACTTTTTTTTTATATCACTTTTTCTTTTTTTTTTTTTTTTCTTAAAGATCCCTGAAACCTTATCTGAAGAAATCCTTCAAAAGATACATGCTCCTCCTAGACGTGATATTCCTGATATTACTGTTGATGAACTTGAAAAGGCTGATGGTATTATCTGGGGTCTTCCTACTAGGTAAAATAATGATGATATTATCCAATCAAAAAAAAAAATCTAACTTTTTACTTATTTACATAAAATAGATTTGGTTTAGCTGATTCATCGACCAAAGCTTTCTTTGATAGTACTGGTGGTCTTTGGGCATCTGGTGCTTTGGCTGGTAAACCTACTTCTGTTTTCTTCTCAACAGCTGGTCAACATGGTGGTCAAGAGGTAAATCATTGATATACCGAAATCTTATCTCCTTTCTAACTTCTTTTTTTTTTAAAAAAAAAATTCTCTATATAGTCTACCGTATTCAATACTATTACTTATTTTGCTCATCATGGTATGATCTATGTCCCTCTTGGATTTGCCAATCCTCATATGTTTGACAACAGTGAAGTAGTAGGATCAAGTGCTTGGGGTGCAGGAACCGTGGCTCATGGAGATGGATCTCGTCAAGTCTCTGATAAGGAAAAGGCTATCGCTAAGACTCAAGCGGAAAACTTTGCCAACTTTGTTCTCACTATGCAAAAAGGAAAAAATCTATTACAACAACAACAACAGCAACAAGAAGAAAAAATTAACAATAACAACAATTCTACCACTACCACTGCTCCTGTCACACCTAGCAAGACACCAACTAAACAAGAAAAGGAAGACAAGCATAAAGGTGTTAGCAAATGTTTCTGCATGTAGATGAAATCGTCATTTGTACTTTTTTTGGGGGATCCTTTATAGGTTTTTGACCTTTTTTTTATTTTTTTTTTTTTTTTATATTTACAATAGTTTTCTACATCATATATTATTATCATTACTTTTAGTTATACTTTTATTTATAGTCATCTTCTTTTATCAATCTACAGCATAATACATAATAAAGATACATCAATTTACATCCATTCAAATTGTCTTTTTTTTTTTTCTGAATACGTTTAGCTTTTCCCAGAACTCTCGCTGAAGGTGATCGACTTTAGATAATGGCTGGTATTGAACCGATTTTATAATAACTGGAGTGATGATAATGATATATTTGCAAAGGATCATAATATAAATGGTATGGTTTTATAAATAAATATAGAGATAATAATTTTCATTGATATTTCTTCCTTTATTATTTTAAATTATGTTATAATCTTCATCGACTATATTATTATCTTTATCTTTATCTTTATCTTCAACTATATCTTTTAATAGATATATATATTTTTGGATGATGTCTACAGCTATTCTTGAAAAGCGATCACATGTATATCCAGAATAATACTCATTATCTATGTAAAGACTTATATTTGCTTTTGCTGTAGTAAGATGTCCATGTATTGTATTGTACATATCATAATTCCATATCCTGATGAAGTTTTCAACGTTCTCCATTTTTATAATTTTGTTGTTGGATTTCTTTTCGCATAAATAACAATTTTGGTCCTTTTTATATGATATAATCCATGATTTTTCGTTGTCAAATATAGCTGCCTCTTTACCATTTTCATATTCTTTGTCATAACGTGATAACTTGATATAATGCTTTTTATCGTTCATTTCTTAAATTTATATAAATTTTCGATATAGATTGGTTTGAAAAAAATAATAACAATAAAAAGAAAAGGTGGTATTAAAGAATCTCCATCAATTTATAATATTCCAACGGTTTGACTGCGTTATCATTCTTATCATTTTCAGAAACTGCCTAGATTTTATAGATAAAGCTCTAATATTTAAAAAATATCCAGTTTTTCCCATTTCTCACGTTTTAATCAATTCTCACCACTTTTCCTCAACCGATCATTTTTTTAACAAGCAATAAAATATTTTATAAATCAAATCATCTTGCCCGTTCTTAAGGAAACAATCGTCCTAAGTTTTATCTTTATTTTGGTCTTTTCAAGCAATCATCAAGCTTATTCTTCAAATTACTTGATTATCTGATCATCGTCAATAGTGATCAAATAATCAAAACATTTATTTCCATCTTTGGGTTACATATTCAAAACATCTTTTTTTTTTTTTGTTCTATTAACTTAAAACTGGTGCTCACTACAACATAATCATCATTGATAATATTATATTAATAGCATCATTCATCCGTCCTATCGATCAGTCATCGCCCAAGTTTCAAAAATACACGTGTTAGCAATGAATAAATGTTCTGAAGATTCTGACTATGAAATCTTTCTTTTTAAACTCTATCCTTTTCCTTTTTACCATTCAATCCCTTGCCACTTCATCTTATTTTTTATTTTATCTATTTTTATTCTCACACAGTTTCATTTGTTTTTATTTTCCCATTGCACTTACCACATAAATTAGTTTCATCTTTTTTTTTTTTATCACTTTTACCACTTTCATCCGTCTTTACTTTCATTGATATTATTATATTAATAATATTATCCATCAAATATATAAGTCAATCATCTACTCAATTACAAAAAAAAAAATCTTAACATATTTTGGTGCTCACTACAGGGGAAGTCATCAAGAACTTATTATCAATCATCAAATCATCAAGCGATATGACAACTGAACATACTGTGTTGGCAAGCAACAATTTCTCTCCCATCTATGGACCCAAATTACAATTGACTACCTTTTCTGGATATGAAGGAGAAGACTTCCGTCATTTTAAACGTACCTTGGAAATTTATTTTGAATTATCAAACATCACTGATGATGCTAGAAAAATCATCATTAACTGTGATTACAAACATCAATCCATTTCCATATTTGGATTACTATATTTTTTTTATCAAGATACATTTTGTTCTTTTTATATAAAAGAACTGGTGCTCACTACAATCAATCATCAATAATATTATTATATTAATAATAATATCCATCAACCATATAAAACAAACATCCATCCTGTTAGCCATGGAACAAGTTATGATCTCGGAATTTGAAATTCATTCTTTTCCAATGTCCCTTTTTCAATCTTTTTTTTTTATGATCCTTCCACTCTTCTTTACATTTATTTTTATTTTTATTTTTATTCTATTCTTATTTTTATTTTTTATTTTTTACTCACAATCGTTTCATCCGTTATGCCAGTTTCATCCGTTATTCTTTCCCAACACACTCCACATAAGCTAGTTTCATCCGTTTTGTCAGTTTCATCCGTTTTTCCTTCCCATCACACATCACATATGCTAGTTTCATCCGTTATTCTTTCCCATCGTCACAACTGGTATCATTATCACACGATTGATGAGTAATCATTGAAAATATTTTTTATATAAATAGGTCGTGATCATTTAGTTAGTTCTCAGTGTCAATATCAACTTATTTTTTTTTAACAAACAAATAAAAAGATTTATTTTATAAATCAAGTCATCTTGGCCACTCTTAAGAAAATAATCAACTTAAGTTTTATCTTTATTTTATTTGAACAATATCTACCATATACAATCAATTATATTACTATATTATTTGATCATCATCAAGTGAGATCAAATAATCAAGAAATCTACTTCCTTATTTGGATTACTTTATTTTTTTTTTTATCAAGATACAATTTGTTCTTTTTCTATAAAAGAACTGGTGCTCACTACAATCAATCATCAACAATATTATTATAATAATAATAATATCCATCAACTACTTAAAACAATCATCCATCAAAAAACAAATAAATACCTAACAATCCAAAAACAAATAAATCCCTAACATTCCAAAAAAAAAAAAAAAAAAAGAAAGCATCAGATACCGTCGTAGAAACAAGACGTTAACCACAACGTCTTTTAAACATCATGTTTGTAAATATGAGTGTTTCTTTGTTCTCATCAATTGCCACAAATCATCTCTCAAACAAGATGTTTTGAACTCCAAACCTGAGATTCTTTGTTCATGATACAGGATGCGTATCCATCCATTTGAGACAAAAAAAATTTTTTTTAATGGTCATTGATAAATCAAATTGGTTTTTTTCGGTGATACGTTATACCGAACCAATCATCATGCTATTTTATTATCCAGTCGTACCTGACTCTGGCTGTGTTTTCATTTCGTGCATTTTTATTCGTGGGGAACTTTAAAAAAAAAGAACTGAGCTTATTGGATGATGTTGCAGAACAGGTCCAGAAGATAGATAGGGGAAGATCATATTTGAAAAAAAAAAAAAAAAAAAAAAAAAATTCCTACAGTATGAACGAAAAAAAAAAAATGGTAGTTTATTGTTCAACAAGTCGATTAAAATAATCTATATTAAAAGTCATAGAAAATACACACACATAACGATACAGATAAAAAAGAAAAATTGGGGGTGATCTACACTATACTAGTAAACTATTGTATGTTTACATCTTTGCAGTCGTTTTGGTATTTCGGCTCCAATCCACTACCAAACATTGATGTCTATTAAAAAAAAAAAGAAAATAGTATTGTCACTTATATATATATATATATAGATAGATGACAAATCTAACACGTTCAAACTTTTTTTTTTTACCTTGTCAAAGCCAATAAATTACCATCACCATCAAAAAGTTCACCATCCAGGTCAAATCGATTATTGATAATATGAGGTACTTTGAAATGGGCTAAGATTTCGGATGTGTTGGAAGGAATTCCCTTGAATTGAATAGATAGTTCCATGGTAGGACACCATATGTTGCCACCCCAAAAAGAAGGACCTAAGAGAAAGGGAGGTGTAAGGAACATATCGGACCAATAGGCTAAAGATTTCATATCGATAGGACGACCATCAGCAAAGGACATGCATTGTGAGAGTTCAGGTTGACCAGCCACAGTTTCGTGGTTATCTTTGGAACTACTTCTTTCGGAAATAAGGTCGCCAGTATCTGCCATTCGAGGAAAGGTTGAAGGATCCACCTTGGCATTAACAAGATCACCCATAATGAAATAGTTTGTTGGAACAAGCTTGTCCCTGGAAGGTGCCTTTGGATTCTTGTGGTAATACGTTCGTCCTTGTTCCGTTTCCATATTGCCCATGGTGAACAGACCATGTACCTTGGTAATAAAGTCTTCCGAGTTGTAGTCATGAATCGAGGTTGGTAATGGTAGAGTGACATCCTAATAAAAAAGAAAAGAGAAAGAAAAAAAAAAAAAAAAAAAGAGGAAGAAAGGTAAATAAGTTCAAAGAATACCTGTTTATTTATTTTTCCTTTTTTTTTATATTGATTACCTTGTATTGTTTCAAACTGGCGCGACAAACACAATAACCTTTTCCACTGGTTTTGAGATCCTCTATTTCAACAATAAAGTTACCAGGTAAAGTCTTGCCAAAGAAGAAACAGTGAAGAGAGATGGGATGCTTTTGGAATCGTTGTTCAAAATGACGAAGAACACTATCAAGAAGTAAACTAACAACATATCCTGTATATACAAGTTCAAAAAAAAAAAAAGAGTCAAAGCAGTTAGTATTTGTCGATGATCCTTTCTTCTTCCTTTTGTAGTTTTCAATATCCTTCCTTCTTACCACCCTATATAAAAAAGATAAAAGATAACATAGCAAGGTGAATATATATTCTCATAAACCAAAAGAAAAAAGATACGAAGTATGCTTTGACACTTACATTTGGTACGCTGCCAACAACCCATTGCTAATCAAGAAAAAAAAAAAAAAAAGATATCAGCGCCTATTTTTTTTTCTTTTTTTTTTTATGCTAGACGCCTTTTTTTTTTGTGCTTACATCGCTTGCTTGACCATGGTAACAAGCGGATCCAGTATTTGTCTGACCAAGAAAAGTAGTTTTTGTCGCTTGGTCAAATTGGAAAGTAGTATTTAAAGAGCTTGCAAGAGACATGAGAGTAATGATAAGAATATAATAGAAAAAAAGAAAGAAAAAGGGAAAAGATAAGATGAAATCCAATATAAATACTTACCCCACATAGCTGACATTTGTATTTGTCATTTTAAATAGTGAAGTGAAGCAACGACTAAGCTTTTTTGTGGGGAGGAAGTCTTATTCACATGCCGATAAATCATCAATCCAATGGTTTTAGCCTCTTGTAAAGAAAAAAAAAAAAAGGTCAACAATGATCATTCTTCGATAAAACACACATCTACGCACACATACGTAAACCTTTGTTTATTAAATAAAGTTCTATATATAATGAAGCGAGATTCTATATATCTAACTACAGAGGATGTAATCGATTCAATGATTCTGACGATGCTGACAATGCTGATGACTTGGGTAATGACACGGATGATGAGGTTGGAAAGGATAAAGTTAAGGATGCTGATGATGATGACGGTGATGATGATGATGATGACAGGGAGGAGGATGCTGACAGTTGATAGGATGAACTAGGATGGCTCACTATAAAGTTATTTTCAACTGGTTGTTGAGGTTGGATAGGTTGATTGTTGGAAGCAGGAGTAGCAGTTGTAGAGGTATTATCTGTTCTTTGTCTTTTCTTGATAAAATCTGTTTTTAAACTGAGAGGGCGTTTTTCATGATGCAATTTCAAACTGAATAGCCAAAAAAAAAAAAGGAAACGTTTGAGACTACTGTTCTTCATCACCCTTCGTTTCTAATATCCCTACTTACTATAATCCACATGCATTACAAAGAGGTCGGCCTTCATCATCTCGTCTCCATAAAGGTGTTGTTTGTGTGCTGCAGTTGAAACATGTAGGCTGAACAGCATCTTGTTCTGCCGATGGATCTTTACCTTTCATCGAATGAGGTTTCAAGTATTTGGGTCGTGCCGTTTTATGTAATTTGAGACTATAAAAGAAAAAAAAAAGGTCAAATCAGAATCAAAACGAACCATTCCTTCTCTAATCTTCTCCTTCTATTTAGAACGAAAAAAAAACTTACTATAAACCACAAGCGTTGCACAATAATTGATCATCCGGTGAACGCCGCCAAAGAGGAGTCGAAGAAATTTGACAATTTGAGCAGATAGCAGGCTTTCCTTCTGATGGCGTACTATTGATGGGACCAGTTCGATGATGTTTTTCTTGTGATGGTGATGCAGGACGAGAAGATGGTAAAGATTTTGTAGGTGGAGGTTGCATCACAGAGCTAACATCCTGAGGAGAATTTGACTGGGGAAATGGCGTACTTGGTGCTGACATGTTCACTTGAGAGAAGGAATTATTTGTTAGGGACTGAGAGTTGGATGAAGTAGATGTTGAGGATGTTTGTTGTTGATACTGTTGTTGAGACTCCATCTGTGATTTTGAGACGCTGGATGGTAATAAGAGTCGTTCAGCTGATGCCAACGTTTGTGCAGGTAACGTTGATAATAATTTGTTTTGTGTTAAAAAAGTAGTAGGTATAGAGGTGTCCAAAAGATCTTGCAAAGCGTTGATGTCGTTGTATATAGGTTGATATAACTGTGGTTGTTGCTGTGGTTGTTGCTGTGGCTGTTGTTGTGGTTGTTGTTGTGGTTGTTGCTGCTGTGATGGTGGTTGCTGTGGCTGTGATTGTTGATGTTGCAGTTGCGGCTGATGCACTGATTGCTGAGAGAGTAATGGAGGTTGAACGATATTTAAATCTGATTGTTTTTGAGCGATCTGTGGATCGTAATAACCAGGTTGTACATCAAATGGAGAAGATAGATTGGGGGTGCTAGGTACTGATGCTGTAGCATAATCGTAAGTAAGTGAACCTCGATCGATATCCATGGCAGAAGAATTTCCTTGATTAGTGATAGTGGAATAGTTATTAGTAGATGAAGACGATGATGGTGGTGGATGATGGATAGAGCCGATATTGGTATTGATAGTGAGAGTGTTATTTTGGTTGTAAGATGATGATGGTGGTGCGGTAACGTTATTACTAGGCATATTCCTTGTTCCTATAAAATCCAAAGTAGTACCCGAATATCCATTGTTGTATATATTATTGTTGTAATTGAAGATGTTGTTGTGATAAGTGTTTTCCAGCTGTACAACCTGATCACATGCTTGATCAGAGGTATATTGGTGAAGGACGAAATTTTCTATCATCTGGCGATTTAAGGTAGGATAAGAAGACTGTGGGACATCATCTAAACTTGATTTGTTGTTGATTTGGTTCTCTTGTTGCTGCTTCTGCTGCTGCTGCTGCTGCTGCTGTGTAAAAGATGGTTGATGTTGAGAATGAGATGATGGATAAACTTGAGTAGATTTCTTTTGTTGCTGCCGTTGAGGTGGTGGTAGCGGTGGTGGTTGTGATGGCTGACATAAACGAGCTTGTTCTAATTGTTGTTGTCGAAGAGTCCGCCTATATTCAAGTTCTGAATCACGAACGGTGGTGATTGATAAAGGTGAAGATGATTTCTTTTGACTGCAAGCAGAAATATGTTTGTTGTCATTTGTGCTAATAGTACTTGATAAAGGTTGTTGTTGTTTGGATGATTTTGAACGTTTTATAGTAGATAAAGAACCTTTTTCCTTATCAAGTTTCATAGCAGTTGATGTCGGTAGGGTTCGGAAAGTAGATGGTGTTTTGGTGTTATCATTGAGTACATTGTGCACAAACCATAAGCGCCAGGAAAGGTTTTCAAGTCGAGAGCCATTTTCCAAAGAGTCTTTTACTTTAGTACATACACGCCAAGTTTTAGATAATTCATCTTCAGAATCAATATGTGAAAAAGGAGAAAAAGACTTATTGCCCTTGATTTTCAATACAATTGGTGCCATAGTTAATCTAACAAAAAAAAAAAAAAAAGGTTTAAGTATAGATAGTTCCACCCCTGAGTTCTTTTTTTTTTATTTTTTAAAAAAAGAAGAATCACTTTTTCTTTATCAGGTAATAGTAGTTTCAAATACCTTTTTCTTTTATATATATATATTGGAAGAAGTACTCCCTTTATAAAGAAGAGAATAAAAAAAAAAAAAAAAACAAAAACAGAAAAAAAAAAAAAAAGGATAAAGAATAGAAAGAAGAGAAAAAAAAGAGGGCAAAAAACAATTATATATATTGGTGAAAACGGCGTTTAAAACTATATGTTACACTTAACATCTATATTTGGTTTAGATGGTTTTTTTTCTAAGCATACTTGCATTTGTTTATGGGATAACAAGAAGTTCTTTATTTCAAAATAACATAATAATAATTAAAGTCATGATACAAACACTTTTTTCAAATCATCCATTGTAAAAGAGTCACCTGTTCTTGGACAATTGATCACACCATTGGATTGACTTGCCATTTCTTTGAGAGCCTAAAAATCATATATTATTATTATTATATAAAAGCTTTTTTTTTTTTTTTGACTTACTTCATAACTATAAACTCTTCCATTTGGTAATAACATAGGAGGATTATCTTCATTCATTATTCTACCACTAATTCGACAAACCACAGTTGAATTGACATGATGACTAAGAGGAAGTTTTTCAGCTAATTGACCAAAAGTATTTTCATCACATACAGGACAATTCACATTTTGATTTTCATGTTGATAACATTGAGTTGTTTTCAAAGCAGATAAACCAGCTTGAAGTGTAATAGATAATAAAGGATGTGAAGTAAGAGAACTAAGAGCATAATTATCAGCACGGAATTGAGTGATTAATTCTTGCCATCGTCTAGGATCATATAAACTCTTGAATGGTTCACACATAGTATCTTTTTTGTAAGCCAATAATCCCATAGCTTCCATAATCTTTTTCGATTCAGTTGCTTGCCAAGGTACCAAGTATTTTTTTGCATAGGCTACTGCTTCCAAACCTTTTCCAGATCGTACAAGTTCAATATGTTCTTGAAGCCTTAAATTGAATTCCAATGTACTCTATATAAAAAAAAAAAGAATTAGATATTATATATATATATATATATATATATATATTTTACCTTCATTTTCTTTAAACTAGACTTGTTTTCTGCACACCATTGTAAACATTCTTTACAACTATGTCTTTGTAATGCTTCTTCCACCTTTTCTGATTGGGCAAATAATTGTATATCCACCATATCCTAATATATAATGAATGAATAAATCTTTTTTTTTGTTATTATCTTTTTGTCTTTACTTGTATTCCATTTTCTTCAGCCATTCTTTTTGCAGTTTCTGTCAATCCTTCTCGTAATAAATAATCCACAATCACTCTATTTAATCGCAGCTGTGTCCATCGTTGGAATTCCGGTGATTTTGGTGAAGTGACATCGGTGATTGTACCAAGATTTTCCAATCTAGCACGAATTCTTCGAATATGTTGAGCTTCTTCTTGTTGATTATTTCGTATCTAATATATTATTATTATTTTAATATCAAATTCTATTTTAACAATGTCTTTTTTTTTTAGTACCCTTTTATTCAATTTTTCTACTTTTTTTGAGAGTTCTTCTAATATGGTAGTTGCTTTATCCAAAGGTAATTCATTTCTTTCCGAGGCACTAATACAACTTTCAATCTTATCATTCAAATCGGTCACTTCTTTATCAATATATTTCGCGGAATGTCGGAAGGATTTCTTGAGTTGCTCATAAGGAACCTATTAAAAGATGAAAGAAGAAAAAAGGTAAGAAGTTTATAAAGAATAAACATCATCTTTATATACTTTTATAAAAGGTTGTTCAAGTTCAATGATTTGGTCTGTTTTGATGGTATTCATGATGAGTAGTATATAATAATAATAATAATAATAATAGAAAAAGTGTGGGTAGTAAGAAAAGAGAAGAAAAAAAAAGAAAAAAGAGTTAAGGCGGTTGCTGAAAATCAAAAGATTATGCCTTTGGAGGTCACAGAAAGAAAAGTACCGCAGCTGAACCATTTCAGGTCTTTTTTTTTTTTTTTTTTTTCTATCTTTCTTCTTTCTTTATTACTTTTGAAATATGGTAGAAAGACGACCAGTACAAAAGGTATATTATTATACTTTTCATATATATTATTTATATTATTTTAGTCTATTAACCAGAACTACTATTTCTGTTTATTAGCCAACAAGTCTTGGTTCTCGACAAGTTCAACTTACTCAACTGGAAAAGCGTTACTCATCCACTTTTAAAAAAGTCAGGTATTATTGAATTATATTATATATAATAATTTAGCTTATTCATATATATATATATATATATATATATATTAGTGACTCTTCCAATGGAACAACTGTACGATTGGCAATGAAACCCACAGATCCTGACTTTCCTTATGATCTGGAATTACTACAATTACAAATGCTTATTCCTACTGATTATCCTTCTCAACCTGCCAGTATCATTGTAATGAATTCAGATATCCCAAAAGGATTTGCCATGTAAGTGATATTAAAAAAAGAAAACAAGTTATGATATTTAATAAGATTGTTTTATTATTACTATTAGAAATTTGGAAAGAGGTTTTGATACATATACAACCACGGCTAATACCACTCTTGTACGACAACTATCTTGGCTTGATAGAAATATGGAACAACTTTTACAACAACAACCTGCTACAACTATGCGATTTGTGTCTCACTCAAAAAAATCAAAGGAGATGGTGGCACCTGCGTTACCAGACCATATTATCAATAATGCCGCAGCAGGTACAACTTCATCCCAATTTCAACAAACGTCATCCTATACATCAAATGTAGATACATCATATATTAAACCTTCTTCTCCTGTGAAACCTATGATTGACTTAATTCCTACTGCTGTTTCCACTACTACTACTACTACTACTACTACTACTACTGCTGCTGCTGCTGCTGCTACTGCCACTACTGCCACTTCTTCTTATTCTGATGCTGATTTGGCTGCCGCATTTGGACGACGTTCAAGAGAAATAGATCAACTCAAAACTAGACTTGGATCATCCTTCCGAGCATCCAAGTAAGTCATCTAGCAACATTATTATTATTATTATGATTGTATAGAATATATTTATTGATTTGATATTCCTTTCATTAGATCTGAACGTACTCTTCTATTTGTATCATTCCATTTGACTGATCCTGATTTTACCCATGACACTGTATTTGATGATGGCATTGTACGGCTTCGATACCATGTACCCTTGCAATATCCTCTTCTTCCATGCTATATTGATATCGATAACAAAAACATTGGAAAATCAACATCAAGGTAAATAAAATGATCAAAGATTTGGTAAAAAAAAAAAAAAAAAGATTGATTCTCATAAATTCTATTCTTTTTACTTTTCTTAGTCTGATTACTCAAGCTTTTAGTTACCACACTAAAGAACATATGGATTATACCCTTTTTGAACATCTAAATTGGCTTAATCGACATATGGAATATATCTTGAACAATCCTGAAACACCAGGTCAAACGGATACTATTACACCTCTTTTACGACCGGTTAGGCCTCAACAAGTGCGACCTCAGCAAGCACGACTTCCAGTAGTGAAATCATCATCAAGTCCTCAACAGAAATCACTATTTGTGGATGATCAGACAAGGAACAAAGTTATTTTGGTGAACGATCCTAGTTTGGCTAAACCTCCTGGTATGACAAGTGATGATGATAACAAAAACCAATATTCATCTGATTCATCTACTGCGTCTGATCATGAAGATTCTAAACAAGAAGAAGAAGAAGGAGAAGAAGCATCCTCATCAACAACAAACGGATTTGAAGTATCATCACAACCAACTCTTCGAAGGGGTACAGAAATACGATTGATTCAACCACAACTAGAAAATGTTTCTCTCTTCCGATGTGTATCTCTACATATTTTGGTGAAATGTAGTCGTTGCAAGAATACAGTTGATTTGGAAAATATACTTCCTGAAGCAAATGAAACGAATGATAAGAAGAATATAAACAAGAAAGAACGATGGACAACATGTCAGACCTGTCATTCCATTATTGGGGTCAAGTTTTTGTCAGAATTGATACATGCTAATGCTTCTTCGATTGGATTATTACAACTAGCAGGATGCACAGCATTTGATGTTTTGGGATCTTCCTTTATGGGTACGTGTGGAAATTGTATGGATGATATGAAACATAGTATAAGATTGGCACCACATGATCGACCTACAACACAAGCATGCTACAACTGTCATACCAAATTGACAATGGCACTGAACGAATATCGGTTTGTTAACATTGGACAAGGTGGAGAAAGATTGGTGGCAGATGAAGCACAAGTAATGAAACTCAAGAACAAGCGTAAACCCAAGGATACATTATTAACAGTTGGACAAGCATTACCAAATGAAGGCACTTGTAGTCATTATCAAAAATCCAAACGATGGTTTCGATTCTCATGTTGTGGTAAACTCTATGCATGTGATACATGTCATGATAAGGAAGAAGATCATGTGTTTGAAATGGCTATTCGACATGTTTGTGGTCTGTGCTCTAAGGAACAAAGTGCAGTGGGCAACAAACCTTGTATTGGATGTGGACATGAATTCGATAAAGCGACTGGCAAAGGGGCATTTTGGGAAGGTGGACATGGAGTTCGAAATCGTAATTTGATGAATAGAAATGATCCTCATAAACACAAGAATCTCAACAAGACAGGATCCAAGAAACAAGATCGAGTTGGATTAACAGGCAAATTGAATCGGGAAAAGGAAAAACAACGACAAAATGATATATAGATTTTTAGGTTTATTATAAAGTTAGAAATAAAAAAAAAAAAATATTCTTTTTTTGTCACAATTTACGAAACTGACTGCTGCTTTTGAAAAATAATGTAACACTCACATTCTCCTAGGTACCTTTTTTTTTTTTTTTTTTGTTTTCCTTAGTTCCCCTCCTTTTTTTCCCTCTTTTTTTTTTTTTTTTTTTTTTTTTTTTTTTTTTTTTTCCACGCACACCCACACACATATATACAACACACACACACACATACATACATACATATATATATTTATATTTATATATTTATATATTTATATATATACACATACTCTCTTTTTTTTTCTTTTCTTTTTTTTTTTGATAATGATGATTAGTGAACCTTCATTTATTCCATATTCTTCATATACGCCAGATGTTCGTGGTGTCCATCCTTTATCATCATCACCAGCCTCTTCTGCTTTTTTTAATACACCTTCCTTCAATTCACCTCCTCTCAATGGTATGCTAACTGAAGAAGTCACTACTATATTTGTGGTTGGGTTTCCTGAAGATATGCAAGAACGAGAATTCCAAAATATGTTCATGTTCTCACCTGGATTTGAAGCTGCTTCTCTTAAATGGCATTGTAAGGATCAAGATGATGACTCAGCTACTAGTTCTTTGAATACTCCTCTCAATGGCAAGAAACAAATGGTAATTAATAAAAATAGAGTATTATTATTATTATATATATATTAAAATATAATATTTTTTTCTTAGATTGGTTTTGCAAGGTTTCGTTCTCGTTTGGAAGCTTTGGAAGCTGTTGATGTTATTAGTGGCAAAAAAGTGGATCAAGATAAAGGACTTATCCTCAAAGCAGAAATGGCAAAGAAAAATCTTCATATCAAGAGAGGTTCTATTGTACCTGGTACTACTGATACTACTCCATCTTCTTCTTCTTCTCCTTTGGAATCTTTACCTTCTTCAACAACTATGAATTTTGGAAATAACAACAACAACAATAATAACATCAATATCATCAACAACCATAGTAAGAACTTGATGTTGGGACACCATGAACCTTTTAGTTTTTCACCATTACCTAGCGATTTATTATCACCCGTGGTTGATTACAAATCCGATCCATTCGCATTGGCTGCGGAACATCAACCATCACAAACTATGACTCCTTCTACACCTGTATTTAACGACAATCTATTTGGATTCAGAACTTATTCAATTGATGGTAGAATCAACAATACTTTGGGAACAGCACCACGAACCAGTATTTCTTCTAATACCAGTTTTACTCATCGTTTATCCATCAAACAACCTCAACATCCTATACCTGAAGATATCTCTTTGGATCCTTTCAATTATCTGTCTAAATCATCCCCTGTCCCTGTTGATCGTATTGGTTCTTATTTCTCGGAAGATACTTCTTTTGGTTCGAACAACAATGGATTCCGTACAGATTTTTCTACTATCACCACACCTGCCCAACGATCCAATAGTTTGATGATGACTTCACCTCCTCAACGACCTACACCTATGTCCATCAACAATAGTTCCAATGGTAGTAGTACCACTGCAACAACAACAACAACAACAACAAGTACTAGTACACAATCAACCAATAATAATAATAATAATAGTAATTTTCTAAACAATATGATGATGATGGCTACACCCAATTTGGCTGATCAAAACCCTCCTTGTAATACTTTATATGTTGGCAACTTACCACCAAATACTAATGAAGATGAATTACGTCAATTATTCTCCAAATGTGCTGGTTACAAACGTATGTATTTCCGTACCAAACCTCAAGGTCCAATGTGTTTTGTGGAATTCGATGATGTGATGTGTGCTACTCAAATTATGACTGAACTTCAAGGTCATACTTTATCCAATTCTATCAAGGGTGGTATCCGATTATCATTTAGCAAGAATCCTTTGTTTACCAAACCAAACAAGAATGACCAACCTCAACGTACCATGATGTCTTCCACTCGTGATTTTGTCTTTGACCCTCAATTGTAGTTTTTTTTTATATCATTCTCCTACCTAGTTCACGTCAACCCGCAACACACACAACTCATATACACACTCTCTCTCACATATATATTATTTCATTTAAGCATTTCTTATTTTTTTTTTTATTTATTATCTCTTATATATTTTATCATCATCATTTATAATGTAGTTTATATACATATCATCCTATTTTTATTTCATGTTGCGTGATCCCTCCCTTTTTTCTTTGTCTTTTCCATATATTACTTTCTATTGCATTATCTAGTCTTATTATCATCAATCATCACTATTCCTGTTTAGATAGAAAACAATAAAGAATCTCCTTATTTACAAATCATCTATTGTCTTTCTTCTGAATTCGTTGTATCATCAAAATAGAATAAGGTTTTGAACTTTATTATAAAAGGCACTCGAACACTCCATCTAATATAAGGCTGAGCTCCATTTAAACTCTTTTTTTTTTTTTTACATGTCAATGAGGGAACGCAAATAGAAATTTGATCATTTTTTTAATTAAAAAAAAATCATGATGTTTGGAATGCAATGAGACATTCTTTCTTTTCAAGCTCTATTTCAACCCTCATCTTCTTAAAATGCTTCGAATTATCATGTCCCATCGTGACTGATATACTGATGGGAAAAAAAAGGGCGAATCACAGATGAATAGACAAAAAAAAAAAAAAAAAAAAAGAGAAATAGAAGAAATCATTTAACCCATCGTCATGGTATATATAACGCAAGAAGACATCAACATTGATATACCATTTTCTCTTTTTCCAATTTACCTTAAAAAAAGAAGAAGATACAAGCACTAGATGAAAGGATACATTATAGTTTCTCATTGCCAAATTATCTGAGTGACAGAGAATGGTTTCCATTACATACATTCATTGCCTTTTTTTTTTCAAATTCATCATGAATGAAATTGAGTAGTTTCATCAATAAAGGATGTATCAAAAAAAAAATCATCACAAGAGTTAGATTCAATCTGTGTCAAAACGGAGAATCCATATATTTATGGCCCACTTTAATAAATTATCCAAATGTTTTATTCAATCATCATCGTAACGAAACTTGATGATAGAAGGAAGAAAAGCCTTGTTGTCGTTAATTCAAATGCAAACCAAGTATACATGAACGAATGATAGTAATACTCTTTAAAGAAAAGAATTTATGCTCCTATAATCTGGAAAATACATGGTGAAGCAATAAAGTGATGATCCAAAATAGAAGTATTACTCTTTGCTTGACGACAGTTGTCAGTATACCATGTTGTCATCTAGAAGCAAGAACTAAAGCATTATTAATAAAGAGATTCCAAGAAAAAAAAAAGGATGAAAGAGTTGTCAATAGCTGTTCCTGAAATAGACAAATAAAAGAAAAAGGTGGTCAATGATCTTTAAAAATTCTATATATAATGGCCAAGTGAGAAGAAAAAAAAAGTAAAAAGAAGCAAAAAAAAAAAGAAGATGATTTCTCAAGATTTACGTTTGTTTGTATTTTATGCTCTGCTACTGTTGATGATTGAAATGGTGACAAGTCTACCTATTGAAACAACGGATGATCCTTTACCTCATCATTTTGAAAAAAGAGATAGTACATGCATGGAAACTATGTCTGGTGGTTATTGTATTACATTTTGAATTTTTTTATAATAAAACTTATTGCATTCGCATTGACTTGATTTGGTATTCCTTTTATGTTTGAATCTTAGGATCGCTTCATGTGATTTTGATTTGAAAGCACGACTTTTTTTTTTTATTTTCTTCATCCTTCTTCTCTTACTTTCCCTTACTCCTTTTCTTACACTTTATTAGTCATGTTATTCCAAACTATACATCGACATGTTGACTCGTCACTTGAAGTAGGTATGATATATCTATAGTGAATATCAAAACTCATTCATTTTTTATTTATGCATAGTTGGTGAGTAAGGATGACTTGAATAAGATGTTACTAGCCGACCTTATAGAATATTGTCAAGAAAGAGGTAATAAAAAAAAAAAAATGAGGTTTGAACTTGTAAACTCACTTTGAAAGAAATAGGTCTTCCAACAGAAGGAACCAAGGCACAACTTGTTGATCTTTTATTATGTTGGGTAAAAAAAAAAAAAAAAAAAAAAGAAAAGAAATTGAATCATTTTCCTATTTTTTATTTATTTTTTATTTTTTTCATTAGAAACAAAATACAAGACCTATACCAGCACCATCGATACCGCAGTTATTTTCTACTGAATTACGACCTATTTCACATATTTCAGCACAAGAATATAGGATGGAATTAACATCAAGGGAATTCTCAGAATTATTTTTGGAAGATGGTCCTGGTTTGGATATTCCTTATCATCATTTACAAGTAGGACAAAAATTAGGTAGTGGTGGATTCAAGGATTGTTTTATTGGTCTTTATAAAGGGGTAAAAGAATCATCCATCAAAAATAACTATTCACATGATTTTTTTTGATAGGAAGCTGTGGCCATTGGAGAATTACGTTTAGCTCAATTTAATAAAATGGATTTAGCAGAAGTGAAAAATGAAATTCGAGTATTAAAGTAAGTGACATAAAAATAGAAAGGATAAATTCACTTACCTATTGATAGACAATTACGACATGAAAATGTAATTCAATTTATTGGTGTATGTACAAATCCTCAACATTTATGTATCATCACTGAATTATGTGCCAAAGGGGATCTTTTTGATGTCATTCGGAAATACAAACGTCCTAGTTTTGCTCAACAGGTCATGTACATGCATGATATCGCTCTTGGTGTTTCTTATTTACATACTCGAAGGTAAAAAAAATATTTTTATTTTATTTTATTATTGTTATACTAATGAATCTTTATTTTTTTTTAGACCATCTATTATACATCGGGTAAATCATATGAAAATGAATCAAAATCATACTCATTCTTTTTTTTTATTATTATTATTAGGATCTCAAATCAATGAATATTTTGGTAAAAAAAACAAAATTCATTTTGTTTTTCATTTCTTAATTCTATTGTTCTGAATAGATTTCTGAAGATGATCGGGCTAAAGTGAATGATTTTGGTTTGGCTCGGATTCGACCTAAAGCATCTGCATTAATGCATACACAATGTGGTACTCCTAATTGGCAAGGTAACAAACAAATAAAAAAAAAATTCTTCTCATTTCCTTTTTTTTTTTTTTTCAGCACCTGAATTCTGGTCATCCAATCCAAGTTATACTGAAAAAGTAGATGTTTATGCATGTGGTTTGATATTCTGGGAAATTCTTACTTGGGGTGCCTATGGTTATCCATTTCAAGGTAAATTATTTATTTAATATTATGATGAAAACCTGATCATTCTTTTTTTTTTTTCTTTCATTAGATTTATCTGAACATGCTCTTTATATTCAAGTGAAAGAACATGATGTTCGTCCTCCCATGACCAAATTGATTCCTGTTTATCCAAAAAGTCTTTTGATCTTGATTACTGAAATGTGGCAAGGTGAATCATTTAGGGTAAGTTCCTTCTCATCATCATCATCTATAGATCACTAACCTTTTTTTTTTTTTTTTTTTTTTTTTTTTTTTTTTTTTTTTTTTTTTTTTTTTTTTTTTTTTTTTTTTTTTTTTTTTACATATAGCGTCCAACAATGTCCCATGTGGTGGATAGATTGGCTGCTTTTTTGACTTGATTCCTCTTGTTGTTCTTGTCTTTGGTTTTTTTTTGTTTTGTTTTGTTATCTATTTTATATATCCATTCCAATAAATATTGTATACCTTTGTACTGATTTACATTAGAAAATGTCCATCTCTATTATTATTCTTGAAATGATCGTCTTTTTTTTTTTTTTAACAAAATAAATAAAAATGGATACACATATCTTTTATTGTTTTCATCTTTATAAATCATCAACTATATGTACAACGGTATAAACTAGACTAAGATGTGTGTGTATGTGTGATAAACAAAATATATAATAATTCAAAGGTAAAAAAACAAAAAAACAAAAAAAAAAAAAATAATAGACCAGTTGATTCAATCAGTACGTTCATTGGGAAAACTACCTAGGATTTGGACATCCAAGCAATACCTATTAAGATCCTTGACAGCTTTTTGTAAATCATCACTTTGTTGAGCATGACCAGAACATTCCACAAAAAACACATAATGCCATGGTCGTAATCCACTGGGCCGAGAATCGATCTTGAATAGATTGAGATCATAATCCTTGAATACCTTGAGTCCATCACATAATGCACCTGATTGTCGATGATCCACGGTGAAACGTAATAATGTATGATCATTGCCTGTCGCTTGGTCGTCACTGGAACTGCCGATGATCAGGAATCTTGTCGTATTTGCCACACCATGTTCAATATCCCGAGCCACAATGTCCAATCCATAGAGTTCACTACATATCTCACTACAAATGGCTGCTGCACCTGTTTCCAATGCTGCTTGTTCTGCTGCTTGTGCTGTAGACTTGACTGCTATGCGTCTTGCTTCTGGAAGATGAGTTGAAAGCCATTCTTGTGTTTGTCCAAGTCCCTAAAAAATAAAAAAATGAGTTCATTTTTGAATAGAAACTTTTATTGGGAAAACTACCTGAGGATGACTATACACTTTGTTGATTTTATCTAGAGGACTATTGGATAATAAGCATTGATGTACCTAGATAAAAAAAAATTCATTATCAAATTCATTATTTTCATAAACTTACTGTCAAATAAGTTTCTGCTCTGACTTTAACATTGCTCTTGACAAAGTAATCTAATGTTTCCACCACACTGCCAAAAGTTGAGTTTTCAAAAGGAACAATACCATAAGTAGTATGTGCTTTTTCCACCGCTTCAAAAACATCTACATATATATATATATGTATAAAGGTTATTATCAATAGATATGTTATTTCTCTGACTTGCCTGTGATTTGTTTTTGAGGAACATAGACAACACTATCACCAAATCTTTGATAGACAGCTTGATGAGAGAATGTACCAGGAGGACCAAGATAAGCAACAGAGACTTCTTTTTGAAGAGCAATCGATGCAGACATAATCTATATATCAATAATTAAAAAAAAAAATCGTAAGCTTCCTTGTTTCAGTTTTTTCTTACGTTCTTTACCTCTCTAAAGATAGCATGTAAAGATTCATCTTTCATAGGACCATGGTTCAATCGTTTCAACTAATAATAGAAAAAGAGTAAGAGTCTTTTTTTTTTAATTCTATTTTCATTGTAAGAAGGATTACCTTTTCATATATTTGCTTTTCACGTCCAGGCATATAAACATGAAGATCATCTGCTGCCTTTTCACTACCAATAAGAATAAGTTAAAGATAATAAAAAAGTCGCGTTTTGCACTTACCCCAATTCCTCTTCATTCTTGCGTTTGGTCGCGCCAATGTCTAAAGCAATCCGAGCACGTTCATTGAGAAGGTCAACAAGAGAACTGTCCAAAAAGTCAATCTTTTTCCGTAAAGAAGGTAAATCTGACATGAGATAGAAATATAAAGAAAGAAAAGAATAAAAAAAGAAAAAAACTGACTCATAGCTCCGGATCTACGTATTTCGCCCGCCATTTCGGTGGTTGAAAAGAAGAAACGGAAAAATGGTTAGTATGATGATCAACAAAAATATTATTTGTATATGTGCACTTACCAAAAAAAAAAAAAAAAAAAAAAAAAAAAAAAAAAAGATCCTCCAGTTCTAAGACACGGTCGCCACGCATCAACCCATCCAGTATGTGCGCGACGCAAAAGTGATAGTATAGATATCATATGGTAAAAAAAAAAGATCCAAGGAACAAGGAAGACAGACAGAAGACGCAAAAGACAGACAACCAAAGGCACGACAAAACCGAAAGAACGACAAGGAAAACGGGGAAACAAGAATCACAAACAAGAATGAGAGTGTTCTGTTGCATTAACCAGGTGAACGGAAAGAAGAAGACACCAACAAGGAAGCAGCCAAAAAGAAGCACATGATTTTTTTTTTTTTTTTGTGTCTTGTAGAAGAAAGAAAAACAAAAGAAAGGAGAAAAAAAAAAGACGTCTTTTATATTTTTTTTTTTTTATCTCCCATCCCATTGAAGCTATCAAATAATGATTAGACTATGCGATCAAGCAAATTCAACTCCGCTTTTCTTTTCTTTTTCTTTTTTTTTGTTGTTTCCATTATATTCTAATTGTATAGTATGTTATTATCTGCTATTGGATAATAGAAGGTTATGTCTTTTGGTCTTTTTGTTATTGATGGTAGTGAAGCAACCTTTTTGTTTGGTAAGTTATCTCGACTTTTCTATGGACTCTGGCTTTTTTTTTTCTAATTTACTATACACATTTATATGCATAGAGAACGATTAAATGGGTACAGATCAAGATCAACTGATTGAATATACTATTGGACCAACATGATTCGTTTGTAGTACGATTTGACTCTATATAAAAGCAATACTAAATGTGCAAAAACACCTCTGGTTGAACTTCGAAAACGACGTGAACTCAGTTTATATTCATCATTTATCAAAACGCTTAGTTTTCTTCTTTTTCCTTTAGAGATTGCAACTAATATTGAAATGATCACTTTCTTGTCGTCCTCTTCGTCAACAATCAAGATATCAGGATGTGAACCAGAAATGGAACAAACTCTCAAGGATGCACCCAATATGCAAGCAATACAATTTCTTGAAGTGCACAAGATACATCAGAGGTTGGAAGAGTACTTCGTTTTATTTTATCTTTATATATGTATATTATTTCAATAAAATGCTGTATAGCAAACTTTTTTATTATTCAATCATTCAATCTACCCATCCATATGTCTATTTATCTGTTATATCCAGTATATAGTATCAGGCAATGGTATGTTACTTGATTTGAAAAAAAAAATCAAAGTATGTATTTTATCTTTTTTATATTTAGATAATGAGCTTTTTTACAATGATACTGGCATTCACCAGTGGACCATGCTGTTTAGCTGATGGACTCGCCGCGAAAACTTTCTTGGATCGTTCTCTTTTTTTTTTTTTTTTCTTCTCTGATGGACATTTCCCAAAGCACACATTAATATATTTATATCATCCCTCTTGATAAACAAGAATACATGAATGATCTTGAATAACAACCCTTTTTGAAGAGGTAGACGAATCGAGTGTAGGGATGAACAAGATGATTAAAAAAAATGACTAGGAGGAGAAAAAAAAAAAAGGAATCAACATGGTCATTAGTTATATAGTTCATTTTGATGAGGATTACAGAATGCTATCGATCTCTACGATTTGGATGATGGCTGACATACAGTTGATCTAATTGTGCTGATCATTCGCTGTCTATCAGGGAAAGAAAAAAAAAATAACGATGGAATTCAAATAAAAGGGGCAATGAATGTAGTAAAGGAGAGATCATCTTGTTGTTACACAGCATTGAGAACAATAACAGAGATACCAAAATGAAAACACTTTTTCAAATATCATTATCCAATATAGAGAACCATCATCAAAAAAAAAAGAGTAAGAATATACACAAATAAAACATCGTTTTTTAATATAAGACAAAGGATAAAACAAAAAATAGACTTTTCAATATAAAAAGATAAAATAAAGTAAAAACTAAGACTGTTTAATGCTTCTTGGACTATTAAAAAAAAAAAAAGGGAATGAGTCATCATGAACAAAAAAAAATTTTGGATATTATTTATTTACCTTGATCTTCTTGACATAGAATTCAAGTTCCTTGCCTTCAAGAATGTAACCATCACAACGACCAGATTGACCAGGGCGAGAAGCGATGATAGCATAGAGACGACCAGCGGCGAATTGATCATCCAAGAGAGGATCGACAGCGGCGGTGGCTTGACGAGCAGCGATCTTCTTTTGGACAGACTTGGACTTCTTGTCAGCAGCATGTTCGACTTCTTCAGTCTTGGCAGCGGCAGCCTTCTTCTTACCCAAGACTTGAGCATAGTGAGCTTCGTACCATTGACGGAAAGGAGTGGCATCGATTTGAATAACGGCACCCTTGACAAGAGTGTTGGTACGCACCAATTCATTGTTGGAGGCATTGTACACCACAGTCAACACACGGGTCTTGCGAGAAATACCTTCGGATCCCCAAGAGAAGTTACCGGCTTCAAGACGGAGAGCTCGGTGCTTGTAGTTACCACCTCGTACACGCACAAGATGAATACGCTTGGCTCCCAACTTGGTGTTGGCAGATTGACGACCCAATTCGAACCTAACATAAAATAAAGCTTAATACTCCTAACCATTCATCATGCATTATCCTTACTTTCTCTTCTTTCTGTATTGAGAACGTCTAGCACCAGTGGCGCTGCGCTTATGACGAGAATCGCGGCTGATACCTAGAATTTTAAAAAAAAAAATCAACATTCAGTTTTCCATCTAGATATGATCTCGATTCACCATTCGTTTTTTTTTTTTTTTTTTTGTATCCATCCATCCATCCATTCTATTCCATCCTTCTGCCCCTCCTTTTTTTTTCTATCTAGAGATTCTTCTTCTTCAAAATAGATTGTTGATTGTTTGCTGAATGATGGTTGTATAATGATGATCGTAGCTATGCCTTACCCATATTATTTCGTAAGAGAAGGAATCAATCAATGTACTAGATCCCACTTTCCTTTTGTTGGCAAAAAAAAAAAAAAGTTGAGGCTCCGCATTCTCCTTTCCGGTAACCGGATTATATCATGCAAAAAAAAAAAAAAAAGACGCTGTATTTGAATATATATATATATATATATTTTATTAATTTGACATACATAAAAATTCTATTTACACTATATCTATTTCATCATGATAATAATGGAGATCTTGATCATTGTCTTTTGGTGGTGTTGGCCAAGTGGTGTTATCGATCTCGGATATCTCCATGTAATCATTAATAGCATTATTTCCATGCAATCGTCCACTGGATCGTGTCGGTCGTCTTGATTCTGTCTTTGTACTATATTCAGAGTCATCATCAAAGTCGAAATCATAGTTTTCATTGTAATTATAACGTGTTGGTTTCCGTCGTTCCCGTCGTGGTAATGATCGAGGCACTTCCAAGGCCAATTGTGCTGCCATGCGTCGTGCTGCTGCTCTATCTCGTAGTTCTTGTATTCTTTGCTTTTCCTCTAATTGTGGGATCAATGTCTGTTTGATTTTTTGTGCAAGATTCTTTTCCTTGTGGCTTTTGCTATTTGATAAACTATCTGCGAATGTATCCAATTCACTTAAATCACGACAAACTACCAAAAAAAAAAATACAAATTTGTCAACCAAAAAGAAATTATTTTCTCTTTTTTTTTTTTTTTTTTTTTTTTTAATACCTATTTCCCATTCACAACCTGTTTTCAAAGTGGTTCGTTCTCGCCATAGATAAGGTGAATCTAATCATTATAGATCATAAAAAAAAATGATGAGTATTGATGATTGTTATTGAACCTTTTTTACCTCCAAATTGCCAATAAGCTCGTTTATAACTGTCATAACCAAAAGGAATAGGGACTAATGGATTTATTTGACCTTTCTTAGTAGCACCAAAGGTTCCATCTATAATAGCTCGAACTGAAGCACTATCTTGAAGTTGCCATTCTACCAAAGCATGCAAGATCTTGAGCTAAAAAAAAAAAAAAGTTTGTTATAAAATGAAAATTTCAACATCTCTTTTACTTTTCTCTTACCTTCATATCGGGTTCCAAACCATTGAATCCTTGTTGTGATGGTAATGGATTATAACCAAGATCAAAATCTTGAGATCGTACTTTGGCATTGATATAATCGTTCAATGGTCGAGTAGAACTACTAGATCTTTTATAAAAAAAAAAGAAAGTGAGTTTGTTTGACAAGTTTCCAACATGCAGATCTTTACTCGATGAGTTTCTTGCGGTTCAATGCATTACTGAGGAAAGCACACATGAGAGGATCGAGAATATCTTGAGAATCATGGAGAATAGCGTCTTCCAATATCTAGATAAAGAAGTAAGATCATGATTCATCCTTTTTTTTTTTTTTTTACCTTTGGTGTGATGAATGGAATAGGATATAATGGTGCAATATCAGAACAATCAAATAAAATGGTGAACGCGTAAATAAAGGCAATTTCCCAATATGAATAAGGTGTCAATGCATTCGTTCCTTCACTATTCATTGGCATAAGAAAAGACAGAGACAGAGAGAGAGAGAGAAGGAAAAGAATTAAAAAAAAAAAAAGACAGCGGGGAAGAAAAAAGTCCAAGAAACAAAGGAGTACGAAAAAAAAAAAAGAAGATTTTATTGCTATTGATTTACAAAAAAAAAAAAAAAAAAAAAAATACTATATAAAACTAAGTTTTTTTCTTTCGTCGAGTCAACCACCATCGTTTCAATCGTTTGGATAAAGAAGGAGGATAAGAAGCCGTCGTTGTATGTCCAGCAGTAGCAGCAACAGCAGTGGAGGGATTGTCAAAATGAATGGGTAAAGAACAAGTGGAAGTGATACGTGACGGTCTTGAATACTGAGGTTTTGGTGTCACATCAATGGAGCATAGAGATTCATTTTTAACTTGTGTCATTCGTTGTCGATCAAATTCCAATAAACGTCCAGTCCAACCTTTTAAGTCCTTATCTTGATAGAATAAAGCCATAGATGTTCGTACACAAGAAGAGTCACCAACAAAACTGATAGCAGAGCCATTGGGTTTTGAAGCCTGGGAGGATGACAGAATAGTTGTAGTACAAAATGAACGTCGTTTTTCCAAATATTTGTTGTTGTTCCGACTAGATAATGAATCATCATCCTTATTTTCTTGATGCCAATAGGAAGCAGGTCGTTTTGTGGAAAGGATAGCAGAATTGATGTTGATGGTATTATCCAATAATTCAGACATGGAAACATGATGATGTGGTTGACGTCGAGGAGGTGGTGATTCTAAAGAGGCAGTGGCGAATTGTAATCCATCTGGATGAAGCGTACGAAACACTTGATATGGATAAAAATCGAAATTGGGTCGTACTGGAAAATCAGGAGTGAGACATAATGGTTTGACAATCACTAGCATTCGTACATGTACCGGCCGAGTCCATCCATGTTGTATTTGTTGTTGACCATATGTAAACATATCTGCAATTGATAATGTCTTTCTCTTGACTGTTTTCTTGACATCAAATGAATCATCATCATCTATATTCAAATCGTTCAACGTTGTCTTGGTAGTTGAATCATCATCATCATCAGTCATAGGAGTAGAATTGCTATCATCATCATCTTCATCATCATCATACATCATACATAGGCTATCTTCTGAAAAAAGATCCTTTAAATGAATTGGCACACCAACCATAGATTGTAGTTCAGCACGTCCTTGTAATAAAGCTTGTTGAAAAGGAGCCAGTTGTCGTTTTGCTTCTAATTGTTGTTGTTGTTGTTGTTCTTGCATTTCCTTGGTTAAAAAATCATAGGTATCCAAATCATTTGACCATTCATTTGCATGATTTTCATCTTTTTGTTCATCATCATCCTTGATATATCTAAGTGTTTGAAGCCATTCCCATTCCACATTACTGATCTGAGTATCGAGTCGTAAAGGTACACAAGGGAGTCGATGTTCATGGTGTTTTTCCAAAAATATCTGTAATCCGCGTTGGCCACTGGGAGGAGACGATTGACAATAAAAGAGTGCCAAGTAAAGACCACGAGGTAAACGAGATGTTTGGGCTCGATAGACTGAGCGAGGTTGACGCCAAAGTTTGGTATTTAATGCAGTCCCTGTCGATTTATGTTGAGGTACTGGTGGCACATGTTCGAGGGACTCGGATGGATGCCATGCGAATAATGGGTTTGAGTTGAGAACAAACAATTGATCTATAGGATACATCATGATAAGAAGTTTGTATGCTGGACGATGAAACTCTAGGATATGTCGATAAAAGGTAGCCTTGTTTTTGTCGCTAGTATTATTATAACCAACAAGTTGCATGAGTTTGGTATGAGTTTGGAGGAACTGGGTCATAAAAGTATGTTGTTGTTGGGATAAGTCTTTAGGAAGTTGTTGTTGTTGTTGTTGTTGTTGTTGTTGAGACCATTGTACAATGGCATGAAAATTGGCACTGTTGAGAGTCAAAGAATGATAAGCTCCACGATCACGAGTAAAAATAGGGAGAGCTGGAAGTTGACGACATTGAGATAATAATACTTGTTGTTCATGATCAAATATAAGAACACCAAGATATACACTATTTGGTTTTGGTTTAAAAGGTGAAAGAAAGCCACCACCATGGGCGGAGTTTGACAGTGGTATTTTTATAGGCATAAGTAATGCATCTAACGATCAAAAGAAAACGACAAAAAAAAAAAAAAATGAAAACAGAAAAAAGAAGTAAAAAAAAAAAAGACAAAATAAGATGAGAGTTAGTAATCATTCCCCCCCCTATTTTATTAAACGAAACATATATATACACACACACACAAAAAGATGATGCTCCTTAAAGAAATATAATGTCAAACTAAAAGTATATTACAGTAAAGATTATATTCAAAGAGGAGGCAAAGAGGAGTGAGGGATAACATCGACAGGGAGATAGAAAGTATAAAAAAAAAAACTTTGATTACCTATGCTCCTCTTACCAAAAAAGTCAAACGTTCATCTTTCTTGATGACATTTCTAAATCAAAGTTTAATGAACAGTTTGTTCCTTTTTTTTAAAAAAAAAAAAATGAATAGATTCAGCCTCCCAATAAAGTGGCCTTTTTTTTTTTTCTTTACCTGATTATTGCATACACTATTGTAATAAAAATATAATCCAAGAATATAAAAATTCAATCATCTTCCGCTTTATATCATGTCAAACATTATAATCATGCAGGATTCATCTAACAAGTATCAACATATCTTGATAGATACGTGATAGATCAATTTCCTAAAAAGAAATAATGTGTATATGTGTGTGTCACAAATGATCCCGCTATGATGATCGTCTACTCCTTTTTTCTTTTTTTATTACTACAGGAGATGATCCTTATAAGAAAAAACCGGTATTGATTTCCGGTCCTTGTCAATTATATTCCCTTTTAATAAGTTTGCTTGGCAACTGTAGTAAATGTCATCATGGGGCCAATGTCACTATGAAATAGGCTTTCCATATATATATATATATACATTACTCTAAATGTTTTCATTGCTCTGATCACTGTTTAGAATTTTAGTTCATCTTAAATGATTTGATTATGAGATGGATCGATCTTTTATACACATATCCTTTCGCCATCATCTTTCCCCTCCCCCTGACGAAGCTGGTAGTTATTGATGATTGTATGATAATGGCTGTATGATAATGATTGAGTGATAACGATTGAATGACAATGATCGTAATGATGATGATTGTGGGCGATGAGGAGAAGGGAAAAGAAAATATCGAACCATTGTCTACTGAGCATCATTCCACATATGAACCATAATTTCAGGGTATGTAACTTGTTTCTATTTGCTTCTATCGCTTCAACATATTCCACAATGTAAAGAAAGACTCAAAAAAAAAAAAAAATAGGATGATCAGATAGGTCGTACATCAATGCAAGAAAAAAAAAAGAGAGAAACAGAGTAAAAGGATAATCACTTTATTGATATAGTCAGTACTTTTAAAAAAAAGAAAAAAAAGAGAGAAAAAAGAAGAAAATAAAGTCAACCGTTGAATATGATTTTTTTTAAAAAAAAAAAAAAAAAAAAAAAAAAAAAAGAGAGAAAAGAGGAGAGAGAGATCAAGAGGGATGCCAAGGAAGCGCCATGACTGGACCAGAGGGCCGGATGATCTTGGTCGTATGATCGGGTGGATATTCATAGACATCAGGAGGTTCGGGTGAAAATCGGACGGACCGTGAGCGTCGTTTAGCCTTGGATCCTCTTAATAGTTGTCGTCGTAGATCTTCCTCTTCATCTGACATGGTATTCAAAGGTGGCATCGGCACACTAGAAGATCGTCGTCGTTGTGGTGTATTGGTTGGCAATTCAATCAAAGGTGTCGGCATCACATCTTCCATTGGTTCATCGATCAAGTCGTTACGATCCGCATTCTCCATCGAGTCAAACAAAAAGTACAATGTAAAGAAAAAAAGAAAAGAAAAGAAAAAAAAATCTAAAACCAAAAAAAAAAAAAAAAAAAAAAAAAAAAAAGACTTTGTATGTCAAACTCAGTCTACTATTATAATAAAGCGTTGTCTATTCTTTTATTTCGATGCTATATATTTCAAAGGTAACTAAATAATAATGAATGGTTTGTAATAAGATAACAAACAACATTGGAGGAAGACAAAGTTAATAATAATAAAAAAAAAGAGGGAAACTAGAAACTATATACAAGAGAGGAAGGGAGAAAGAATAAAATACTAAAAAGAAATTATTTCAACTTATAAAAAAAATAAATGAATCATTCATCATAGTCATCATCATCTTCTTCTTCCATATTATTTGTTGCTGATTGATCATAATGAATTGGGTTCTTGCCACCATATTGATTTGTTAGAGGTTCCAAAGGTGGTAAAACATCACCTGGGCAAAGTCTCGCCAATGTTGCATGTAAGATTTTCTAATAATAATAATACAAATAAATAATTTTTTTTTTCTTTTGACTATTATCCTCATTTTTTTACCTGCATTTCATCAGCATCTTCGTATACAAAGGATCCTTCTTCATTGAATGTTCTTGCATTGTCAAACATAAGATCAAAATCTGCACGGAATTGTTGAATTGTCTTGTAATAGGGTGAATGAATACGTTTGTTGATGATTTTCATTGCAATAGGATTCTTGATCATGGTATAGTAGATGGGATAGTCACGTTTGCTAACCAAATCCATAAACAATTGACTTCGTTGTCGATAGGTACTAAAAAAAAAAAAATAAGTATCATGAAACCTCTTTTTTTTTTTTTTTTTTTTTTTTTTTTTAAAACTTACTGTTCATCTTCAGCTCTTGATTCTTCTACTGCCTTGTAACACTTTTCAAAGATGGCTGTCATTTGTTGTCTGATACGAGGGGGAATGAGATCAGGTCCAGAATAATCTTCACGTTTTGATTTCTTCCGCTTGGATTCCAATTCACCCTTTTTTGGTCGTCCACGTTTCTTGGGTCCACCATCATCTATCATAGATCGACGACCACCACGCTTCGCACCAGAATCACTTTCATCAGAATAATGGCCAGAGTTTCTTTCACCACGACGTCGATCATTTGAAGTCAATTCATCCAAATCAACATCATCATTCTCCAACGCCTATTGAAAAAATATATAAAATGTTAATTCCACTCAAGAAATGATATAAATATACTTACGGCTGTCCATTCTTCCTCAGTCAAACCATCATCATATCGTACATCTTCCCTAGCACGTTGTCCACGACCAAATTCCACTAAAGGACTGACATCTTCAACTACATCATCATTTCGGTACACTTCAGGTAATTCATCATCTTGGATAAGACGTTCCAATTTTTTACCACGACCATTCATACGTTTATGAAGTTCAGATTCAGTACGATTCCGTTCAGCATCGATTTTCTTAAAGATAGCAAGTTCTTGATCGGAACGTTTCAACATTTCGTTGAGTTCTTCATCATCTAGATCTTCTTCTGCATCACTATCAGCATCTTCATCTGTCTTGTCTTCCAATAATGTTCGCTATCAAAAAAAAAAAAAAAAAAATAGTTAGACATACAAGTATATTTTCCTTTTTTTTTTTTTTTTTTAGTAATTACCAAAAATGCTTCACGATCTTCATCCGTACTACGATTATCAAATTTACCAGCTTGAATCACTTTGCCATCAATATCCAATTTATAATTTGCCTTTGCAAGAATGTTTTCTTCAATCGAATTGGCCGATATCAAACGGAAAATACGAACTTCTTTTGTTTGACCAATACGATGTGCCCGATCTTGTGCTTGTAAATCTTGATGAGGATTCCAGTCAGAATCAAAGATGATGACTGTATCAGCCGTTTGCAAATTGAGCCCAAGACCACCAGCACGAGTACTTAGTAAGAAGATAAAGTAAGGTGAATCCGGAGCATTGAAGATTTGTAATAGTTGGGATCGATCATCAGACTATCAAAAAATCAAAATATATATATACGTGTGAGTCAAAATTATCCTATTTTTTTTTCTGTTTCCATTCATACTTTCGTAGACCCATCTAATCGTAAATAAGCAAATCCTCTATAATTCATAAAATCTTCCATAATACTCATGATTTGTGTCATTTGGAAGAAAATCAATACCTATTATTAAATAAATAAATAGATTTAGTTTTACTTATTATATATATATAATACTTACTCTATGTCCAGTTTGTCGTAATTTTGGTAACATTCGATCTAAAAGTTCAAATTTGCCAGCAGTTCGGTAAAGCATATCATTCGATCGTCTACTTGGATTCACTGTATTTTCTACACCTTCGAAAACAAATGGATGGTTGCATATTTTTCGAAGTTGCATAATAGTATTGTTGAGCCCTTTGATACCGGTTTTTCTAATAGAAAAAAAAAAAAAAAAAGAACGAAGGATCAGCATACATTGCTATACTCTAATTATTATTTACCCTTTGTCGCCATTGGAAGTATATAACATGCCATGTTTCTTCAATTGTGAGTAAAGTCTTGATTGTAAAGCTGATAATTTGCATTTGACCACTCTTTCCACCTTATCTGGTAATTCTGATTCCACATCTTTCTTCAATCGTCTTAAAAGGAAAGGACGAAGTACCTTATGAAGACGTTTGATGATCAAAAGTTGTTCTTCTTCATTGAGATCAATCTTGTCTTGTACACCTTGATTGGAGAAAGGAGTATTGAACCATTCTTCAAAACTTTTGACACTTTTGAAGATTTTTGGAAGGGTAAAGTTCAAAAGAGCCCATAATTCTGGCAAGTTGTTCTACACAAAAAAAAAAAAAAAAAAAAAAAAAAAAAAAAAAATTTAGTATTCAATATTATTTTTTTGAGGATACGTTTATACCTGTAATGGAGTCCCGGTCAAAATCAATCGATATCGTGTATTGTAATATGATCGTAAAGTAAGAGTCAATTTGGATTTGGTATTCTTCATACGATGACCTTCATCAATGATCATATGGAGCCATTTGATTTTACTAAGGATAGGTCTATCTTTAATGATATATTCAAAAGTCGTCAACAACACTTGAAAACCACCTTGACGAATATCCATTTGTAAATTGCGTCGGACTTGAGGAGGTCCCTTGTAAACAATCTTGGTTACAGATGGTGCCCATTTATCGAATTCCAGATTCCAATTTGTTAATGTTCTATAATAAAAATAAATCATTAATATCAATGAAATATCTAATCCATATTTCTCAACTTACGATAATGGTACAATAATTAAGTATGGTCCTTGCTGCTTCTTCTTTTCAATAAGGTATGTAATCAAACTGATTGTTTGAATTGTTTTCCCAAGACCCATTTCATCGGCAAGAATCCCATTCAAATGATTGTTGAATAAAGATACCATCCATTGAAGACCTTTGATCTAATACCGTATCAAAAACAAAAAAAAATTAAATTTTGGAAAATCATCATTTTTCTATTTATCTTACCTGATAATCCTTCAGAGTACCACCCACCAGAATTGATGGTTGAGACACTTCTTCTTTGATTCTATGAGTGACCTTGAAATAATCCACCTTTGTCTCAGGATCCTATTCAAAATAAATATCAATGGAATTAGTATTAATAACATTCATATCTCACTATTATTATTATTCTTATTATTTTTTTTTGTTCTTACCACCGCTCCATTTTCATCTTCATCTTCATCAATATCAATGGTGGAAATGTCATTTGCTGAAGAGGTAATACGTTGATCATTTTGTTGAGCTATGACTGCCTGTGAAAGAGATTCCAAAAACGCACCAGTTTGTCGAAGAAGTTGAGTCAATCGGGTATCTTTGGCTTCATCGATTAATTTCATATAAGCCTCTTCATCATCATTTTTCAATGCTTTGATACGCTCCTTGGATAATCGTTCTGCCTTCTTTTGTTCTTCCTTTTCAATATGTTGATGGAATTGTACTACTGCTCGACCCAGTTTGGTTTGTTTTGCTTGCCATACCCGCTGTAATGATACCAAATTTCGTCCATGATCACAAATGCTTTGTAGTTGTTCTAAATGTATTTGCTTTTCACGTTGTTGTCGATCTATACGTTGCTGTCGTTCAATGGCTTCCATGGCTCGTGCTTCCCTTAATGAAAGTTTCTTCATCTTTCGATACGCTAGTCGATCAGCGCTTGTCGCTACAACAGATCCTTTTGCCATCCCATTCACAAATTCATGTCGTAACTAATTAATAATATTAATAATAATAAAAAAAAAAGTTTAATACCATGTATTATACTATAATTTCACTTACTTTTTTCTGTTTTTCCAATAATTTCAATCCTTTCAATTCAATGATAGCTTTGATTTTGTCGGCAATCGTACCAGATTTGATATTGTTTTTCAGATCAGATATCATGCTTTCTTTTGTATCAGATTCCAATTTCGATTGTCGATAAACCATTCTTGTTTGAATCCGTCTTTCCCGTTCGTACGCTAATGCTTGAGAATCCAAACCAGATGGTGTGATGCTGGGTATGAGAAGTCGTTGTTGCCGAGATGCATGAGCAAATGATGATATGGGTTTCTTCATTAGATTGTAAGGAGATGCATACGCATTGTATACAATAGTTTGTTGTTGTTGTTGTTGTTGTGGCGGTGGTGGTGCAGCAGAAGTTGTTGTCATTGTCGTTGAATTCGGTTTTGAAGGCGCAGAAATAGTTGTTGTAGTCATTGATGTAGAATGAACAGTTGTTTCTGTAGTGGCAGGACTTGGAGGCACTAGAGTAGCTGATGTCATATCATGATGACCTGTTGACAAAGGTGTAGAAGGAGATCGTAATGTAGAGCCAGGTTGAGTTGTTGTAATAGGGCTTTGTAACGGAGTATTAGTGTTTTTTGTGGATGATGTGGTTTCTGAAATAGGTGTCAATACTGCTTGCTGTAAATGTGGAGGCAAAGGCATGCCTTTCGATATTAATTTGTAGGACAATATTTGATATCTGAGTGCAGTAAGTTGTTCTGGTGTAAAAACAGAATGAGCTGGTGGAGGAGTCCCTGATTAAAATAAATAAATAAATAAATAAATATATTATCCTAAAGTAGGTATATTGATCTGATTTACCTGTATTTGACATATCGGTCATAGGTTGTTGAAATTGTTGCCTTGGTTGTTGTATTGGATTTGTAGGTTGTTGTAAAGGTTGCTGCTGCTGTTGTTGATGTTGTTGTTGTTGTTGTTGTTGTTGAGGAACAATAGGAAAACCTATACCGCCAACAAACGGTTGTTGTTGTTGTTGCTGTGACATACGTTGATACTGTAATCGTTGTTGGTTTTGTATATGTTTTAAAAATTGCATGATATTGGCAAATTCAGGATGAGTTTCTTCTTTGGCACCTTGAGCTTGCAAAAGCCTTGCGCGCTATTATTAAATAATATATGAGTTAAAACTATTTTTTAATATTTCTTTTTTTTTTCTAATTTTTATACCTGTAACATGGCATTGATCTTGTCTTTTGATATGTTGCCAGGTATCGATGGAGGCAAGGCACCGTTTGACTGTACATTGCTTGTTATTGAACTCATCCTAGTTCACAAGGTCTAAGCTTGGATGATATAGTTGTTGTTGTTTTGTTGTTGTTGTTGTTGTAGTTTATTGAATAAATAGGATCACCAAGTGAGTATAATAATATATATATATATATTCCAAACTATAATAATAAAAAAAAAAACTTAAGATGAGTTCATCATGACAAGAGAGTAAAGGTTAGTTTATTCTCTTTCCACATTATATAAATAATAAAATGGAGAAGAGAACAACACTTAAAAGAAAAACGACTAAGAATATTTTTTATTTTTGTTGTGGTATGGATAGCTTACTTTTTTTTTTTTATTGCAGCAGCAAGAAAAAGACAGCGAGCAGGTGAGAGAAAAAAAAAAAAAAAAAAAGAACGAATAAGGGATTCCTTTTTTTTTTTTTTTTTGTTACAAAAAAAAAAAGTGGGAAATTTTGTATAAGAATACAACACGTCACAATGTCAATTGTTCGGTGATTGAAACCCCACGATAATTTACCCTTCTTCATCTCTTTGGCTTTCGCATTTTTTTTTTTTTCTCTCATTCTTTTTCATTCACTTAGTAAACGGTCTTTTTTTTTTCTTCTTCTTCTCTCTGTCCGTTATTAAGTTTTTTTTTTTTTTATTGAACGTTACAGCGTTTTGACCACTATAGTAAGTAGGGAACAAAAACAATAACCTTTGACTCTTTTTATGGTACTAAACAGCCTTAACTATAACAAAGTTTTAAACGCGTTCCCTTGTATTGATACTCTCTAGTTCCATACATTTATAATACATTTCAACACTATACACAGCAATATATTCATCGATATACAAAATGACTGCTATAAGCTCTGTTGCTGATGTGGACGCTTGGATTTCACAACTTTCAGAATGCAAACAATTATCAGAAAGTGATGTACAAAAACTTTGTGATAAGGTAAATTGAATATTTGAGAGAAATATATTACCCGATGAGAAAGAATATTCCTTAACTCAATTAACAAAGACTAAACTTTGCCTTTTTTGTTATCTCTTCTGTTTGATAGGCTCGTGAAATCCTCATATCTGAAAGCAATGTTCAACCAGTTCGATGTCCAGTTACAGTGTGTGGTAAAGCGAAAAACGAATGACTCTGTAAAAAAATAAAAGAAAAAAGAAAAAGAAAAAAAAAAGAATGTTATTAATGATATATTCTAATGTCTTTTTATTATTATTATTATTATTCCATTAGGTGATATCCATGGGCAATTCCATGATTTGCAGGAATTATTTCGAATTGGAGGGAATTTACCAGATACAAACTATTTATTCATGGGGGATTATGTCGATCGTGGATATTACTCTGTAGAAACGGTATCTTTACTGGTAGCGTTGAAAGTACGATACAAGGATCGAGTCACCATCTTACGAGGAAATCATGAATCTCGTCAAATCACTCAAGTATATGGTTTTTATGATGAATGTTTGCGGAAATATGGAAATGCCAATGTATGGAAAATGTTTACTGATTTGTTTGATTATCTTCCTTTAACAGCCCTGATTGAAAATCAAGTAAGTCTTTATTCAATATCTTGAATGATGAGTGACTGATTTTTTTTTTGATATTAGATCTTTTGTCTCCATGGCGGTTTATCACCATCTATCGATACAATAGATCAAATTCGATCGCAAGATCGTATTCAAGAAGTACCTCATGAAGGTCCAATGTGTGATCTCTTATGGTCAGATCCTGATGATCGTTGTGGATGGGGTATCTCACCTCGTGGTGCTGGTTATACATTTGGTCAAGACATTTCCGAGGCGTTCAATCATACGAATAACTTGACTTTAGTGGCAAGAGCACATCAATTGGTGATGGAAGTAAGAAATTATAATAATAAAGAGAGAATGTCCACTGACTTTTTATTATTATTATTATAGGGATACAATTGGAGTCATGATCGAAATGTCGTCACCATCTTCAGTGCACCCAATTATTGTTATCGTTGTGGAAATCAAGCTGCCATCATGGAAATCGATGAACGTTTGAAATCATCATTGTAAGTGAAAGTTTGATAAAAATCATATACAGATAAATTAACTTACTTTTTATTCTATAGTTTACAATTCGATCCTGCTCCTAGGAAAGGTGAACCTAATGTTACCCGGCGCACCCCTGATTACTTCTTGTAGACATGTAGTTTTAGTTATATTTTTATTTTATTTTGAAAACTGCGTTTTATAGTAGTTATTATCCCTTTTGATTCATATCCTCTTTTTTTTTATTATTATTATACAAAACATTGTATACTTTTTTTTTCTTTTATTTGATGAATAAAAAAAAAAAAGATTCTGTTTTCGTTTTATCTTTTGTTATTCGTATCTCCTGGAGTTAAATTACAAAAAAAAAAAAAATTACAGTGGTGTACAATCATATTTTTTATTATAATATGGACAATAAAAAAGATCTATGCTAATGATTTCCAATGGACCTTGATTTGTAGACTGACCGGCAAAGCAGCATCGGTGACGGTGATAAAATCCCCATTTTCTATAAGATCCCCAATCGCCTTGTCAAGATTTGCTCTTGTCGCTTTTTCTAATACAGGAGGTGCTTGCATATATAATGATGTAGTGGCTGTCCTTAAACTTGGTTTCTTCAATTGTCTATTCATCCAAAAAAAAAAAAAAAAAAAAAAAAAATCATTCAATATATTCTGGTCAATTAAGGTGAGACACTTACGTTTCGGGTTTTTCATTTAACCATTCCATCAAATCCGATAATGTCATTCTTGGATCCAATTCAGCAGACATGGAAGCGTTACCACAGACTGGACATTCAGGTTTTTTTTGATGTTCAAAGGTAAAGGTATAGACACCATCATTGCCGGTATACATCATATAGTTGTTGAGATAAGGAGCAGCGTTGGTTGCGATTTTGAAGGCTTCGTTACAACATGAGGCGGCGATGACAGCATTAGTGGAAGCAATGGCAGGGATGATATTTTTGACTACGCCTTGAGTTAAGGAATATGTAATGCCAGTGATGTTGAATTGTTGTGCACGGATTTGTGCCTTTTCATAAAGCCATTGTATATGTTCAGGATTGTCATTGTCACATTTCGTTTCTCCTAAATAAAAATATATATATATATATAGATTGTTATCTACTCACTATAATTCACATTTTTGTAAACTTACCCCATACTCTAGGCCATTCTAATACAGAAGCCCATTCTATACAATGCTCCGGTAATCGAGGGGTATTGGCAATAGTACAAATCGGATAGGTTGTTCCTTTATTGAGCATATCCAGTGAACATTCATAGCAAGAAGTCATTGTCGGGAGTATCACACGCGCTTGGCCTTTGAATCCTATTAGAATTTTGTTCAGCAAGTGAGAATCAAAATTTGTAATTTTATAACGATGTTATACCTTCTGTACCACCATCAATGAGGGGTTTCCAACTTTCAGGATCATCTTCATCCACCATGTCCACCAATTTTGCATTGATCCAACGACGCGCTTCCACTGAATCCAATCCACATACCACAATTTGAAATTGTCTGTAATAATCATCATCCTTATCTTGAATCTTTCCAAAGTAACTATATTAAATCATTGATCAGTCATGAAAGTCATTCAAAAATAAAAAGTAAAAAAAAAAAAAAATAGCTTACGGCTCTATTTTCACTCCAGGAACGCGATTCATCACAAATTCTGCCGCCACTATTGCCTTTGATTTCCCAATATCCTTTTGCCTATACAAGTTTAGAAAAAAAAAACAATGAAGGTTGAATATAACTAGTAAAAGTTCATATTTACCGAAAGAGAAATTGTCTATTCAAATTGCTAATGTCAATGGTGTCCATATCAATGACATGAATTTGCTTGAAACCAGTAAGAGCTAAATTTTTGAGTATTTCACAACCAAGTCCACCAGCACCAATCACTAAGATTTTGCATTGTTCTAGTATTTGGGTAATCTTTGAAATTTAGAAAATAGTGAGTTTAAATTAAGCATTTTTGAAAATATTCAAAAAAAAAAAAAATACCTGTGGAGAATCTAATGCAGTAATATTCCCGTCGTTTTCAATTTCTTCAGATAATGAATCATCCTTATCGACCTTGTTAGTGTATTCAAGAGACATTTGAGAGCCTACATTTTGGGAATCGTTTTGTGTCATTGTTGTATCTTAAAATAGTATATAAAAAGAGTGAGAGAGAGAAAGAAAAGAAAAAAAAATATATGAAGTTTCCCTTTTTTTTTTTGGTATGTCGTACACGTAACCCTTTTTTTTGCCCCCCTCTCTGGTATTTTGATTGTTGTCCATTCATTTGCCCAATTTAGATAACTTACCTTCAGTATCTAATGTTCGTTGCCGCTTTTCTTGATGTTCAGATAAAACAGTATTCAACTTTTGTTCTCTTTTCAATTTTGATGGGATCATCAAAAAAGTGAACTAATAATATAAAAAAAAAGAGAGAGAAAAAAGGAACGAGAGAAAGAGAGAGAGAAAAGAAAGAGAACAAACAAGAGGGAAAAAAAAATGGTAAAAAAAAAAAAAATGCACACAACTGAAATCCACCATTTTCAAGTCCGAATGTATTTTATTTCTGTTAATTGGGGAATGAAATGCTACATCATGGTAACTATATAAAATCTAATCCTGTTCAATGGGTTCTTTTGGAGTTTCATCGCGAGTTCGAGATGTCACAAGTTCTAATTTATCATCATATCCATCTATTATAATATAATATATATAGTTAGATCATATATTTATAAATTTGTTACTTACGTTTCTTGAAATCATTCAAAGTTTCTTCAGGATCTGATAAAGTTTGGATATGATACATTTCATAAAAACCTCTAAAAGTCAAATTGTTTTCCTTATCTACATCAAATGATTCCGCAATTTCCTACAAAAAAAAAAATCAATCAATCAATATCATCCCTTCATAACGCATAACTATTACTTACTTCAAGAGAAGATTTGTCAAACTAATAATGTTGGAATTTAGAAGGATGACACGTGGAATAATCATACGTACTTTAACAGTAAATACTTACAGGTCGTCCATTAGTGGCTTCAGCAAACGCTTGTAATTCTTTTGTATTCCAAAGATTATCCTTATCCTATCACCATTATAAAAACAAGATTATATATATATATATAAAGAGAGAATAGTTTAGTCTACTATGATCTCGTCATGGAGATAATATCTTACCTCATCAAAATGGTCAAATATATCTTTTAGAATCTAAAAAAAAGGAGAGATGAATCAACTATATTGATCATATTATAATAGTTCTTACCTCTTCAACTCTTGGAAGAAAGTTGTCAGAATCATCAAGTAAAAGAGAAAAGTGATCAATGTCTGACATTATAAAAATAAAAAAAAAAAGTGATAAAGAGAAAAAAGAAGTAAGTTTGTTCGGTCATTCAAAATCTTTCTTTTTTTATTATTATTATTTCAAATCAAATTCAATTTCTTCAATTCAGCATATAAAGTTAAACTACATAATAATTTGGCATCTGGAGATGATTTCCATGCATCCTTGAATGAGACTAATCTAAGTGTAATATTTTCACCTTCTTGTCGTAATCCAGTCAATTTCCCTTCCAAAGCATCAATATCCTGTTGTTTCATCTTTTTATAACAAAGGAAGAGTCTTAAAAATTCATCTATATGTTAAAAATAAATAATAAAAATCATCATTTTCTTTTCTTTTTTTTTTTTTTTTTTGTATCTTTACCAGATCCTCCAGCTGAAGGATATACCCCTTTCCATTGATCACCATATGCTTTTTCCGTCAAATCGATCAATTCAGATTCATGAATAGTCAGTCCTAGTTGATAAATTAAAAAAAAATGGATCAAGAATGAACCATCTATCATTCATTCATCTTTCTTTTTTTTTTTTTTTTTAATTACCAGTTTCTTCATAAATTTCCTTGGAAGCTGCACCTGCAAAATCCCCACTTGCATCCAACATACCAGCAGGAAGTTCAGGAAAATTATAACTTGGAACTGGTATTCTTGGTTGAAGAGTGAGAATAATCTTGTCGTCTTGAGTCTTGTCGTCTTCTGATTGTAGTAATAACATCATTGACACCGCTCCACCTCGCTATATATATAGAGAGAGAGAGTATAAATATTAGGAATAAACCATGAATAATATGGATGTTATTCTTTTTTTCAATAAAGAGTAATTTTACCATAAACACGATACCTGGAGCATTCTGTCCAGTAGCTTTCAACTTGACATTAACCTTGAATTTGACAAATCCAATCTTGCCCGATCCAAATATATCTACGTTTTGAATGTCAATCTCAGTCACGTCCATTTCTTCATGATGATCAATTTGTTCCTTGTCAAAAGTACGCACCCAATCTTGAAATGGTTGAAACGTCATCACTTTATCCAAAGTATCTTGCGAAACAACTTGACTGATTACAGGAATTGTTTGTTTGCCAATGGTAATATGATGATGCATTCTGTATTGAAAAATAGAAAAAGAAAATTGTGATATAAAATGGCCAAGAAATCTTTGACGCATAAATACGGAAAAAGAAAAAAAAAAAAAAGAAAAAGAAATGCTTCGTTTTTTTTTTTTTTTATCCCCGAAAAAAGTACCATTGTACCTGATTGTACCACAAAATAAAAATAGATAAATAAATAGTTTATTATTTGATAAAAGTTAGGGTATGAAAATATAAAAGAATGAGATGATGAAAAATATATGGAGGGGAATTATCTAAGTTGATTTTATCTTGTACCAAAGTTTATAACCTGATAAAGAACCACTAAAGAATCCTGACCAAGCTTGTACAACAGGAGAGAAAGAAGGTTCCCATATATCACAAGCTAAAATAATAATAATGAGTGATCATCCTTTTTTAATATATATATATTTTTAATAATAATAATAATAATCAAAACTTACCACAAAAGATACCATCCATTAATAATTTTGTACAAGAGATTTTAGTCAAAAAGATTTTTTGTTGATCCTCTTCTTTTTGTTGTTGTAACAATTTCTGTAATGTCATGATATTTGATCTAAAATCAATCCAAATTCCAATAAACCAACAATAAATAGAGATCTTTTCTGCCTTTTTGCCTAGAGAAGGACCAAAAACACCCATCTTGTAAAAACAAAATAAATCATCAGCCACTTCATTTCCAAGCGTAATCCATAATGTACACCATTTTGCTAAGAGAGATAAAAAAGATCGATTGGATGATGATAATAAAAGTTGATGCATTTCTTGAATTGTACCGAGCCAGTGACCGACCCGTAAAATTTTACGAGTTTGTGAAAAATGACTGACCATAGTTGTCCATCGTTTTTTATCTACGAGTTGATAATGTAATAAGATCTTGAATGTATATTGAATGATCTTGATCGACTTGTCACGTCCTTCTAAATCAGAAATATATTTTTCAAGTATTGATAATAGTGATGGTTGTTTTTTCTTCTTGTCAATCTTTTGTTTTTTTTCGTCTTTTGGTGTAAGCATGGCATTATATGTATCAAATCCTTTTGTTGGTGAACAAGATCGTGGAGGTGAAGCCATGGGTGAAGGTAATTGAAAAACATTGACATTCGTTGACATTAGTAAGAAAAAGTAATAATAATAATAATAATACAATAAATTATCTATAAACAATAGAGAGAAAAGAGAAAAAAGAAGGAAAAAAAAAATAAAAGGAGACAATTTTTTTTTATTATTATTATTTTGATAAAAAGCGTAATTGAAATATTCTACAAGAAGGGAGGGAGATGATTGTTCCGCGGAAGAAAGATAAATCTATTTTTGGTGATCAGCGGCGTGTGATCCTATCAATCCATCTGTAAAAATAAAAATTAGCCAATGAATAATTCACATTTTTATTTTTATTACCTTGACAGCTGAATATATTCTTCTAATCATCCAATAAGCACTAAAGAATCCAATAGAACCAGTGGATAATCCAGTCAATACACATCCCAATAATAATTGAATCAGATAAATCATTCCACCATAAAATCCATTCATATTTGTTTTTGTCATATAATATATCAATCCATATCTTATTAAATAAAAAAAAAAAAAGATTTTGTTTAATTTTATATTTGAATATTTAAAAAAAAAAAAAAAAAAACTTACATAAACATATACATAGATGAAGAACCACCAATCATAAAAGACATCCACCACCAATGATAATCCTATATAATAAAATATAAATATAAATAAAAATCATTCTCATTCATTTGATTCATTTACCTCATTACAAAGTTGGAAAAATATCAATATCACTGATACTTGAGCTGTTGTTAATGACATCACCATACATGTCAATACAAAATGAGGAATTGCAAAATAGAATTCACCATTGCATCTTGATTTTAATAATTCATTCAGATCTACAAATACAATAGCAAAAGGTATCACTCCTCCTAAAAGAAGACTATAAAACATATAAATTTAATAATTCAATCATTATTATTATTATTATTATTATCACTTACCTCATACTATATTGTTGATACCATCTTTTCTTTGGAATTAATCTTGGCATTTGAGATGTTCGTACAGGATGTTCAATTCTATCACATTTTTCACCAAAGTAAGCTCCAATCAGTGTAAGAGGCATCACCACTAGAATCCATAATAATATCAATGTCACCCAACCACGAAAAGAAATAGCCAAAGATGATTCTGCTGACCAAGCAAAGAAACTTTCAATAAATAGACAAATAAATATAAATCCAGGTAACATAAGAGATGTCTATTTATTCATTCAAAATGAAAATGATATTAGTTTTTCTTTTTCTTTTTTTTTTTTTATAAAATATATAAAAATATAATTTTACCAAGATAGCATTAAACATCCATGATTTTCCACGAAAAGCTTTATGTACCCTAGAACTCCAATAACCAGCAATAGAACTAAAAAATAAAAAAAAAGAAGATGAGTATTCTGTAAAAAGAAAAAAAGGATGATATATATATATATATATATATATACCTTGAAAAAATATAGAATTGAATGAATAAAGATATCAAAGATCCAGGTTTTGCAGGATATGTCCATCCTTTGTAAATTGATCCTATTACATATAGAAGTGAGTCATTCATTCTATTTATTCCCTTTGAACTTACCAATAATAATGGAAATAACAATAAAGACTTGAAGACCAGTTCCAATCATTGGTGCCAGTAATCCACCATAAATAGGACGACGAAAAACATCACGATGTACTAATCTCCATCCAACCACATCTTCAAAATCATCATGTATCTAAAATTAAAAAATGGAGAGTTTTAATATCATCTTTTTTTTTTTTTTTTTTTTTTTTTTTTTTTTTTTTAGTAAAAACTTTGACTTACTTCATCATGTGATACCACTTCTTTTTTGAGAGTTTTCATCATAATCACACCAATTACCAAAGATAATAATAATATCATGATAGCCATATTTATAGTAGCAATAAAATGAGTGTCAACATCAGGAGGAATTAAAAACATATCCCAAGGATTTGGTTGAGGCATTGATTGTATTTGTTTCCATTTGACAGTATATGTAAAAGTAACACTACTACGTCGTTCAGTTACTTGTTGCATAGTATGATCAATCGTTTTACGTTGACAGTCATCCGCTTTCATCCTAATCATCATCATCATCATCAATTGATTGTTTTTATTATTATTATTATTATTATTATTATTATTATTATTAATATGACTTACGATTCAGGATAAACTTCAAATCCAATAATATCTATTTTATTGTTATCTTTGTTTATACCGTAAAGAATATTGAAAGTGACATGATTGTTGATATATACATTCCCATCCTATAATAATAATTTTAGTAATAGAAGATAAATTTAAATTCATATTACTTACAATGATTTGTCCAAGAGGAAAGCCAACACGATAAACACGCGTACTGATTTCATTGGTATAAGAGGCTGTAGCACTTGGGATATCATCTAACCACCTGTCAAAAAAAAAAAAAAAAAAAGAACAATTAGTATCTTTATATATTATATTATATTATTACCATTCTACTTGATAATCATTTTGAATCAATTCTTTAGCTTTCATTGCATCAGCTACTGTCCAACTTTGAGTACAAAGAGTTGAACATTCACTATTTTCTAATGCAATAATCTATTTAAAAAAAAAAAAAAGAAAGAGGTTAGATGATAATAAAAAAAGGTGTTATTATACTTTTTTTTCTTTACCTTGTAATCACTTTTTACAGGACGATCGCCAGATATATCTTGATCCAAAGTTAACCAAGTTCTTTCTAAACTTCTTTCTTGCCATTTTTCTTGTGTATAAGGTGGACAGATGAAAGGTAACGAAGAATATGGGAAAGTAAGTTGTTTTTGATGTGAAAAGATCTTTGTATAAAAAAGAGGAATAGTTTCTCCTTTTTGAAAAGATCTAGCTTGAACTATACATGATAATAATAATAATATAAAAAGAAAGGATAATCGGGTCTCCATGAGAACCAGATATAAATGAATCTATAAAAAAAAAAAAAGAATAAAAAAATTGAAAAAGGAAAGAAAAGGTTCTTTTTTTATTTTTATATATAAAGCGGTAAGTGAATATGAAAAATTTAACAAAAACATAATAAGAAGAATAAATCATTAATTTCTTTTTTTTTTTTTTACATTCTTTTTTTCTTTATTCTTTATTAAAAAAAAAAAGACATTTATTATTATTATTATCTTTGAAAAGGTTAAACATAAGTTTATATAAATATATTTTGGATTTTTATCATCAAGTAACTGCTAACTTTATTTGGTAAGTTTGGTCGTTTTCTTGTTTCAATTACCTCGCTCTTTTTTTCTTTCCTTCTTTTTTCTTTTTTCACTTTTGATACTAATGAAGTATATTTTATATTATCATAGATTTATTTATAGTACCAACAACGTTATCCTTAGGTACCTTTTATTATTTTCATTATCAAACATTTTACTCAATTCTCTTCCTTTTTTTTCATTCTCTTCTCGTTTAACACTTGTTGGCTATCCATACAGTAGGTTGACAGGACGATACAATACATTAGATAGAGTGCGATAGTAGGATACCGATGACGGATTAACATGCCAACAAAGCTTACAGTACATTAGTTACATTGATTCTTTTATTTTATTGTACATTGTAGTTATCAAAATGTTTGACTTTATTTATTATTTTTTTATTTGTTATGTAGTTTTTATACCTTTTTTTTTTATTATATCATGAATAAAACAAAAATGAATCATGATATCATCACTCGTATTCATTAGAACTCATTTTATAATATGGCGTTTTCACTTTTTTTCTAGCTACTTGACATATTTTTCCATATGTTGTCACTCTGGTACCTGGAAGACCCGGCATTAATCTATCCAATCACAACATACAACGGCTCTTTTTCCACCAATCATATTGCTCCATTTTAATATTGGCTATATATTGGATTTACAACTTTAACCTCCGTCCTGGGGCTTCATGGTGTAGTGGTATCATTCACGCTTTGGGTGCGTGAGGTCACGAGTTCGATCCTCGTTGAAGCCCCCACTTCTTTTTTTATTTCATTCTTCCTCGGGTAAATTTTTACGCGGTTGTTGATCCGCTTTTATAGTGAAAAGGATATTTCAATTATCACAATCGTTCGTCTTCCAGTAATCGACTACAAAAAAAGCAAACGCTCAAGGGTACCTTTCGGTTAACAGCCGAACGCGCTAACCAATTACGCCACTAGAGCTTCTTTACGTACACGTAAAGTGATATTTGTTTAGTAATATAGTTAGTATTGGCAATTCCGGCGATATGATTGGCCAATTCTGTACGGCGTAGGGTTTAACCGACGATCATTCGGATTCCCAATTCTTGTCTTCCTACCTCCATCGTGCAGTTCAATTCTCCTTTTTCCTTTTTTTTTTTTTTTTTTATTTTTTTTTTTTTATTTTACTTCCAACATATTACGATAATTCTAGTTATTTTATACATTATTTAGTTTTATTTTTGGATAGTTTAAGTTTGATATATATATCTCATCTTATTTTATATTATGAACTCTTTTTATTATTCATTTATCGGACATCTCTTTATTCTGAATAGATAGAAATAGTCAAAACTTTTTATTACTTGGATTAAGTCTTTGAAAAGGCTGCATAAGGTATTCAAATGGACGACTAGGAAATTTTGTTAGTTGCAATCTCTCATTTACGTGAACGCGCGCTTAGGAACGAAGGTATAGTTACGACATGGACGGATTTTAGGTAAGCATTTGAGGAATTATTAGATCAATATCAATGTATTTACCGATGGGATACAGTATACTTATTCTTCTTACCTTTTATTTAAAAAAAACAATTAGTTTGATGTACCGTATGTACTTCTTGTTGGTATATCTGATTCATTTCGATGGTTGTTATGTAGTAAACATATCAACATAGTTTGTCAATTTAAGTTCTTTTGCTCAGAGGAATATCTCTATTGGTTAGACAAGGAAGCAGGATGATTTTCAATTCCCATTTGGTTCGTGTCAAGATGATTCTTTTTTTTTTTTTTGGATAGTTAGCATTAGTCATTTAGTTTAACTTGTATAAAATACCCTTGTTACACTCTTACATTGATAAATTCGTATTCATACTTCATTATTTTCTTTTAATCATCGTACAACAGGTTATTATTATTGTAGTAATATGAATAAATATTTATAAATAGCTACCATCCAATCATTTGATCATACTATCACTTTATTGCTTTGTCATTACTGATCATACTTCTTGTTATCATCCACAGTACAGGTGTGTATTCAATCATACTATTATTACCGTCAACTCATCGATTCAATCAAAGATGTTGAACATAATGTTGATTGTTTTTATTAGATCAGTTTATTATGAATTTTTTTCATCATCAAGATCTTCATGATAGGACCATCATCATCTTTAACGTCAATATATATATATATATCGTCGTGTCACAGCACATACGATCGTAAAATAAGTCAACCAAAAAAAAAAAAAAAAAAAAAAAAAAAAAAAAAAAACAAGAGATGGACAATTATATTGAAAACAAAAGTTTATTTGAACGTGTATAAAAGCATCATCTGAATAAAATACGTTATATCTATTCCACTATTTTCTAAACTAAAGGCAATAGTTCATTTAGCGTTACCCAGGAGCCACCACGAGGAGGTAGAACTATATTGACTCCCAATATTTTTTTTTTTTTTTACTAACCTTTTATATTCCTTGCCAACCATACAACTTGATATCACCAAGCATAGAGAATTACTATAGAAAAAAAAAAAAGAGTGATCTTTAGTAATAACTACTATATATTGTATTCATTGTATAATATTCTTTATATATTACCTTCCACCCGTCGAATAGATATTATGATTCACAGACTACTTGAATCCATTTGATATCTTGATTGGACTTACAGTTGAGAGCTGGCTTAAGCTGAACTCAACTTTGATATTAATGATTTGCAGTTAAAGCTGGTTTGATCAAGACCTAACCTCAAGAGAAGATCATAACAGATCAAATTGGTTCAACATCAAATCAGTTCAAAAGTAAAGTCTAATAAAGATATCAAATGGATTCAAGTATCTATTAAACCATCGAGAACTAGAAAAGAAAGGAAATGAGAGGATGAGTAGATTGTTCATATATAAATATGCTTAAAAACAGATAGAGTATACTTACATAGTTCTTGCTTTCTTTGCTTGCTACAAAAAAAGAGTAAAAGAGTAACACACAAAAGCAGCCTACCATATCCATTACTTTTTTTTTTTTTTTGTCTTGCCCGTACTTGTTCCTTGTATATATGCCTTGTTTATCCCCATCAGCCAACCGTAGAATATTGACAAGACAAAGAGGTGCTACAATCAGAGCTTCATATGGTTTCGATTATACCTAGTATAAAAAGGAATGGTTATATTAAAAAAGGAAAGATTGATTTATGAGAATTTCATTGATACTATTACCTTTCTTTATGATCCACCATCATCCTTCATACATAGAGTATTCTTGTTTTGCCAGCAAAGTAAGAAGTCTTCTACTATGTCACCATTTTTGGAAAACTCTCTCTCAACCCGAGACGCTAATATTATAAAAACATCACAATGACTTTAGTAATTATTCATCCTTGTTGTCATAGTTATTATTTATACAATATAAACTTACGGCGATAGATTGTTGTTAGGAGCCACATAGAGTTCTCTTCTAACGTCTATATAATATAAATAACATTAGTTTAGTTTGGTAATGTAAGATAACTTTTCTTTTTTTACTCACCCATTCAAAGATGTAAAGAAATGAAGATAATATAAAGAAGTATAAGTATATAATGTACTTGTCTATATTCACTCATTACTTACCAAACAACATCTTCCAACAAGAGATGATGTGAATGAGGTGGTCACCAAAGGAGAAGATATAATAGAGGAATAACCTAAATAATTGGAAGAGTAATATGTGTGTTAGTAAACTTAGTTTAAGAGTTGGAAGAAAAAGAAAGAAAAAAGAAAAAAAAAAGTAAAAATTATCTGCTCATAAGATAATTTTTTATGCGTTTCAAACTCCACGTATCATTCTCTATCCTTTTTTTTTTTTTTTTATAATAATAGCAGTAATAGTGATATATACATATATCATATCTTTACAAGAGAAAAAAAGAGCATTGATACTTAATGTCATGATGAGAAAAGGACATTGATATTTTTTTATGCAGTAGGACATGTACAACACTAAATCGATCTACACATTCTAATATGTTAGGTTTGACTGGTTTAGAAATCCAAGAAAACTAACAAGGGATATTTTAAAATAATTCAGGGACAATAAAAAAGTAAACGGATGATGATGATGATGATGATATCAAGATAACTCTATATGATGATCATGAATCCTAAACTCTTTTCATCATATATTAAAAATATAAGCTATCGCATAATGCGGATTTTTAAAGAAATAGCCTGTTTTGGTTTAATCGCCTACTCGTATAATGCATATATGTAATACGAATGATAGTCTCGAAAAAGATAAATGTTACGATGAAGGAAAAGTAATAGATTAATGGATGCAAAAATGTAGTTTGTTTTTTCATATGAAAAAGTGAATAGAGGAAAGATGCGCTATGATTGGCTCTACCAATTTTGTAACCGTGATTTTTTTTTTTAAATCTATTTAAAGTTAGAGCTCTTTTTTTTTTCTTTTCTTTCCCTTTCCTTTGTCCTTCCGTTTTTTTTCTTATTTTATCTCTCTCGCTTACCTTTAGCTGAGGTGTTGGGCTAGTGTCCTTCACTCGGAACGCTCTTTTTTTTATTATTATTTATAGGTCTCTTTATGATGTTGTTGTTATATTTGATTTAGTTTATTATTTATTTATTTATTACACTTTGAATAAAAATCATCTTTATTTTATATTATTCCATCTGATTCTATTGTAGTTTTTTGTGTTGTTTGTTAGTCTTAGTAGTTTATTATGATTATTACTGTATGAACAAAAAAAAAAAAAAAAAAAAAGAAGGTACTTGTCAGCAAAGTACATATTATAAGAGAAATGATACTACAAGTAATATTCATCTTTACAACTAGTTATAAAATTATAATCATCATCATATTATTATTTATTATTATTTATTAATAGTTTCAATAAAAATTATCATCATCATCATTTATTTATTATTCATCATTCTACTTTTTTTTTAATTCATTCTAAAGGGTTTCCATAAATGGAATAATTTCGAGGTCCGGTCTCAATGTGGAATGTTGGATCAAAAAAAAAAAAAAAAGGTCTGGTCCCTCGAGATCAAAAAAAATTTGGAGATTGAAAAAAAGCTCTGACAAAAAAAAAAAAAGAAATTGGCGCGCTCCCTACCTTTTTTTTTTTTTTCCCTTTTGCTCTTTTTTTTTTTTTTTTTTACTTTTCTTTTCTTAACCAATGAACAATTGTAAGTTACCATTATACATTACTTTTACTAATCTATATTATAAAGTCACTCTTTACTTATTATACATTTACTATCTTTCCTTCTTCTTCTTCTTTAGTTTTCTCATACTATGAAATAAATTGTTTTTTTTAATACTCTTTCTGTGAAAATACAATAGGTTTTTCTATTGGACAAGGAATGGCAAGTCAGGAAAAAAGCATATATCTCTTAATTCAAATCTATATCATGGAAATTATTATAGTTTAATCTTTTAGTCAGTGTGTCTTATATTATCTTTTTTTTTATTTTACATTCTCATTTAAATAAAATCATATTTTTATCATTTTGTTTATTTATTATTATTATTCACTATTATCCTATCGTACAATCATATCAAGGTCACTTTATATTACTTATCTCTTGATCATTATTATTTGCAATATTCATCTATTCATCTTATCACAGTATTAAAAAAAAAAAAAACCAATTATCATCAAAAAGAAGAAACAAATTTTTGATTTATTGGATTATTAATGATAAGAAAGAATGATAAAAAATTGATGTTCATAGAAAATATATAAATAAAAAAAAAAGAGTATATTTATATAAAAAAGATAATCATTTGATAAAAAAAAAATGTCAAACGTATGAGTTTTCATTCATATCATTGTTTGGACATCAACTTGTTCAAATATTTCAACGGGAAGAGATCTTTAAAAAAAAGTTTGTCAAAAAGATTTGTCTTTGATCACTATCGATTGACGAAGCTTACGTAACAATAATTATGTAGTGAGTACCTGTTTCTATTTAGATAAAACAAAAAACGAAAATGTGATGATGATTTGTATGATAACCCAAAATTTGGAAATGAATTTGAAGATGATAGAAAAGAGAAACAATGAGGAAAAAAAAAAGCAAGTTTTGGGGTTGAGAACAATCAAATTATTGATTTAGCTATGGTCATTAAGAAGACTGCAATAAATAAGAAAAGAGTAACTACATCATCAATCATCCATTTCCCGCAATATAAAAAAAGGATCACCATAAATATTAATAAAAACAAATCTCTAATCATAACGCAGAAAAAGAAAGAATAATCACCCCTTCACATAAAAAAAAAAAAACGAGTAAATAAAATAAAATAAAAATAAAGACGAGAGAAAGTCAGAAAAAATTCTAGACACTAGAATATACGTAGAGAGTGATATGTGATGCTAAAGCTTCGTTGCACTATATTTTAGATGGGTGACCAAATTTTATTTTATTTTGTTTCATCCTTTTTTAGTTCGATACTTTTCTTTTCTATTGATTTGATGTGTAATCATAGGTGTATTGATTCATCATGAAGGTTGCCCTGGAATATTTTGACATGTATTTTCGCGCGGCATCGGATACTGAAATGCTACAACACACGGGTAAATTTTATTTACATGATCCTTTTTTTTTTTCTCTCCTTTTCTTCTATCATTATTATTTTAGATCTCATCATTCTTCCAACTATTAGTTATTATCTATTTATCCTTTTTAAGGTAGTTATTCCTCTTTACTTATATATCATTATGGCCTTTTCATTAGTATAAATGTCACAATCCATCCGTAAAACATATCTTAGTTTGCCACTTCTTTTTTGTTTTATTACTTTCACGATCTCCCAACGTTATATCTATGTTATTATTTCCAACTGATCAATATAAATCAATCTCTTCAGCAACCGCGGAACCTATCATTTGGAGTTCGAAACTTTGATTGATTACATAAAGCTGAAACCAAGGATGGTAGAATTGTTCTCAAGACATATCTGGGCAGGTACAGCATAAAGAAAAAAAAAACGTTAGGACTGACATTCTTCTTATTTTTATAGAATGATGACAAAAGGAGAAAAGTGGATTGGAAAGTTTGTCAACAATATGTTACAAAAAGATGAACGCGTAAGTCTTTCACTATATAATCATGTAAAGTATGGTAAAAGATTGATTTTTTTTCTTTTTGTGTGTCTGTATATACTCTAGGTACAAGGAATGGTGTCCTATCATTAGCAGTCTGTTGGAAAGTGTTGAAATATTAAAAGTCCAGAACAGGTTTTGCCCTTCCAGGTGATGGAAATTGCGGATTCAGTTACTACAACCAAATTCAAAGAACCCATAACCCGAAAGGAATGTTGTCATCGCTTGTTGTATCACCTTGATGACGATCAACTTGGTAAAAATAAAGAAAAAAAAAAAGAAAAAAGAAAATAGTAGTATTAAAAGCTCTGACTGTTAACTTCTTAGAACCCGTTCGACCAACCTTGCTGTGCAAGCTGTTATCGCTGCCTTGATTCCTGTACATCGTCAACAACGACAACTTTCAAACGACAATGATACGGACGATGACTATGCTGATGACTTGAACAACGTTGAAGGATCAGATGTTGCTGTAGTAATTACCAAGGTAATATCAATATTTAATGGTAAACTATACATAGCGGATACTGATGCACCGAATACATTCTTGCAAATTATTTAATAGATGCGGGAAAACTGTAGTCATGGTACGCCGATCAGCCTTGTTCTAAGGACGTTTACGTGAAGCATGCGCTAACCATCAAGTCTCTTATATTAAGCCAATCATCGACGTCAGAACTCGTTGGAATAGTACGTACGTAATGCTGCAGATTGCCCTCAGTATGAAAAAAAAAACTTTCTCATCTCTCTCCAATTATGCTAAAGTCGACACAGCTCATTTATTGCCTGAAGAATGGACAATTATTGAAGAATTATGTACCTTGTTTCGAGTAAGTCTAGAAAATGATGTTATAAGAAATAGTGCCACAATATTAACAAAATTCCATTCACTTGTAGTCATTTCAAGAGATCACCACCGTACTCTGTGCCTCCTCGTATCCGACTTTAAATACAGTTATACCATTCTACAATCATTTGTTGGACGTTCTGGAAGAATTTCAAACCAATGATAGGGACATCAACATTGCGATTGGATCCTGTGTTGCCAAACTAAAAGAACATTATCATCTATCGTGCGTGATTACTTTGCAGTACAAGGTAAATGTCTTTTTTTTTTTTTTTTTTTTTTACGATGATACACTAACAGACTTATCTTTTCCTTCAAAACAACAAGTGCCCCATCTGAACGAACTTTTAGTCAATCGCGGAATATGATGCCCTGGAATAGAACTGTTGGATATGGAAATGTTGCTGACCAATGAATTTTTTTCAATCCTTTTTCAAACAATTGAATTTCTACCTTGTGTTTGAAAGATGTCAAACAATGGTTTTTTTTTATTTATATATTTTTTTTTATTATTTTATTATAAATAGTCATCATATTTTAGTTTTCTTTTTTTTGGAATCGTCAATTTTATATATATTTTTTTTATTCAATAAAAGGTTTTTTTAAAACTAAATCACATTGGCCACTCTTAAGGAATAAATCATCCTAAGTTTTATCTTTATTTTATTATTATCAAGCAAACATCAAGTATTTTTACTCAAGTTATCTATTTGATCAACATCATTTGTGATCAAATTATCAAGAAATCTATTACCTTTTTTGGATTACAATTATTTTTTTTTTTTGTTCTTTTTATAAAAAAGAACTGGTGCTCACTATACGAACAATCATCATCAATATCATCATCTTGATATTATCATCTATATTTTTTTTATTCAATCATCCACCCGATAACAAATAAAACCCTAACAGAACAAAAGGCGTTGCATACTTATGAAGAGGTGGTTTGGTGTGGATCCTTACTCAGTGGCCGATACTGGAGTGAATATGCCTTTCAAAGATCAATAGTTATTATTATGAATGAACCGCCCATCTCTACTCCCACTCCAATCGATATTCGTATAGCTGATGATAATGTTCGAGGACGAACAACAGTTTCAAAGGGGGGTGATGTCGCCGATGAACTGGATGATAAAGTGAATGATAAAAAGGTAAAAAGAAAGGGACGTTTTACTCCAATAATAAATAAAAAAAAGACGTATCGTTCTATAAGATTAGGATAGCATAGATATGTTAATACAGATAGTTTAATATATGTTAAAATTTATAAAATAAAGAACAACTTTACAGCATTAAACCAAGGAAACAAATATATCAAATAAATGAGACAAAATATCAAATAAAAAAAATATTTATTTAATAAAAGAACAAAATTTAACTACTAGTACTTGAAATGATTGGGATGATTGCTGGTGATGACTATGATCGACCGTATGGATGCTAATAAAAGTAAGCGGAATGAAAAACTGAAGTGATCATGGGTAAGTCTAACAGCCTTATTTATATATTTAGCTTTTTTTTTTTTTTTTTTTTTTTTTTTACATACATATATATATATATATATATATATATATTATAGCTGTCAATTTTCTTCAAGGTGCCGAAGATGATGATGATGATGATGATGACAGTGATGATAATTGATGTCGATCTTTTGGATATTGTATCTCTTTTATATTTACAGTTTCTTCAATAAAATTTTTATCTTATTCATCTGACGGTGATGACAAATTGACGTTTTGATTTGATGATTTGACGTTGGACAGAAATTACCGGAGTGTGGAATTGCCTGGTGGCTCATTAAAGGAATCTCTTCTAATTTTCTTTTTCTTTCCCTCTTTTTTCCTTTTCATCATCTTTTCTTTCTTATCTCTCTCTCTTTTTTTTTTTTTTCTTTGGTTTCTACTGCAATGTAGGTATAATAGAAAATAAAATTAAAAAAAGGAAACCCTCATTGATTGTTTCCATTTTATTTTGTAGTTAGGAATAGTCCGAATTTCTTTGGTTTGGAAGAAAAAAAAACATACAATTCCTGGTGTACAAGTATGGTCTAATCAAAATCATAGGACAAGATCGGATGATGGTTCAACTGGTGAAAGGTCTAGGAAACGACAAATGGTAGCTGGTCCTCCAAATGTTCAACAAACTAATCAACAAGCAAATCAAGTGAATACTGATAATGTCATTTTGGTGGATGCTGGACAGTCAACTAAAAAAAAAGAAGCGGGCGTCTCCACGGAAAATCGAAGTCATCTTTTGGGTCATGGTCTGGCGAAACAATTGAAAGATCTTTTTGGTTCACCTAATGTCAATGAAATGATTCCGGATAGAAACATCGCTGGTGGCGCATGGAAAAAGTTCCCCTTCTTCCTTGATGGTATCAAGCTCGTTAATGTTGGCGAAGCTATGCTCTCTTCCAGGTGCAATATACCTTTTGACATTTTTGGAGGCAACTGGAACGACATTATTGCAAGAAAAGGACGCGCAATGGATTGGATGGATTTCTTACTTTTTGTGGTGCCAACGCTCATTCTTTCTCATATACTGGATAAAAAGGCTCAAGAGGTTACGCACGATATGTTGTTGGCCTGTCATCTATGTTTGCGGTGGGAAGTTCGACCTTGTGATCTATCCTTCATTAGACGGTAATATAAAAGGGAACTATCTGAAATTGCTTTAATGCATGGTATTAATATAATCATTACTTTTTGTGTTGTAGATCGATGTCCGGCTTCCAGAAATTGTTAATTACAGCTACAAGAGAAAAAACGATCAGCAGAAGGGTGTGGCGTATCACTATTCATTACCTGGGACATATCGCCTATATTATTGAACGTGTTGGTCCAATGAATGTGTACTCATGCAGATCTATGGGGAGGACAATTGGTGCTTATAAAAAAAAATCTGTCATTGGCGTACACTGGAGCTAGTCTTCGTAAGTATTAAGCGGAATTGTTTTTTCTTTATGTGTATAACTTACATACGTTTACTTTATCTTCGGATACCACACAATAGAAATCGCTCTTGAAGATGTATCGTCTTTGAACCACCAGAACAATCTCAAGTTTCTTGCAGCTCCTCGATCTAATGCATCAACGGTATTATTGGGAAAAGCGAAGACCTTGTTGCCACCTCCTCTCACTATCAGCATTAGGAAGACTCTCGGTGACGAACACTCAATTGGACCATTCATTACTACGCCTGCCATCATGAAAACGACCACCAGTTGACACGGGGGGTGTTATTATCAATTTTTACCGAACGATGCAAGTAGGCGACAAAAATTTTTTTAGTGCGTTTTATTTGGACTCGAAACGTAATAGAAACATCCGTGTGGTCGACAATGCCATTGTTCATGATGAATCTGGAAGACAGTAAGTAAAAAAAAAAAAAAAAAAAAAAAAAATAGTACACACAGCTTTTTTTTTTATTATTATTGCCCTGACTTACCATTTTGTTTATTGGTTTGTTTTAGCTTCTACGCCAAGGTTCTCTTCTTTTGCAGTGTTACAATGGCTGGTGTACAACGGGATCTGGTGGCCGTCCAAGCTTTGAATGGTGTTGTTCATGGGGACAATACAAAAGCAAGGATATTCTCCTATTGGGTCTGGGAGCGAGGTGTTTTCCCTGGATTAATTCTTATGGATGCAACGCAAGTTGTAGGTGTGTTTGGTCTGTTGAATGACGTGAAGAACAAGCGCATCAAATATCTCATCACTCCAATGGACTTGATATGGGAAATTCCAATGCTCTCTGATGATATCCACCAACTTCAAGGTACCACAGCTGGTAACTCCGCCTGATGACTCATTTTTTTTTACCTCTCTCTTTTTTTCTCTTTTTTTTCTTTTCTTCTGTTGGTGAAAAACCTTTTTCACCTTTTTAATCAATTTTTTTTATTTATTTCCTTCTTGTCCTTTTTCCCTATCTCACACCTTTTCCCTCTCTCACACTTTTTCCCACTCTCACACCTTTTTCCTGTTACACGTTTCCTTATTGATGATTATAATTTTTTTATAAATAGTGTAGACTTTTAGTTTTTTTTTTTTTAGTCGTCAATCTTTAAAATAAAAAAAGAAAAATATTATTTTATCAAATATAAATCACTTTGGCCACTCTATTGGAAATAATCATCCATTGGTTTTAATTATATTAACAATCATCACACTTATTATTATTATTTTTTTTTATTTATATACCAATTCATCAAGACATTTGGTATCTTTTATTTATTTTCTTTTATCTGATCATCATTTACTGTTATTACAAACATCCATCCATTTCCTTATTTGGATCATTTTATTTTTTTCAAAATACGTTTTGTTACTTTTTTATAAAAGTAACTGGTGCTCACAAATACAAACCATCCTAAATATTATTATATTAATAATAATATCCATCTATCAAGTTAATCAATCATCCATCCATTTACGAAAAAATACTTAACACTTCCTATATTCAAGATATTTTTTTTTGTCAAATTATTATTATATTTTTTATTATCAATAAAAGGTTTTTTTAAAACCATAGTTGTATTGGCCACTCTTAAGAAATCAATCATCTTAGGTTTTAATTTATTATTATTTTATTATAATCAAGCAATCATCAAGTCTTTTTTTTTATATTCAAATAATCAAGACATCTATGTCTATATTTGGAACATATATTTAAATTTACCTTATACTGTTTTGTTCTTTTTTTTATAAAAGATCTGGTGCTCACTACAATTAATCATCAACGATATTATTATTATTATAATAGTATCATCCATCCATCTTACAAAATATAATCCATTCGAGATTACAAAAAAAAAAAAAAAAATCATAACACTCCTTCATTCTGTTGTTTGTTTGGATTTTTTTTTTTCAAACAATAGAACTTTTTACTTGTGTTTGACAATTCCTTTTTTTATTTTTATATTTATTTTTTGCATTGTCATTTTATATCAATCAATAAAAGGTTTTTTTTTTTTTTTTTTACCAAAATCATATTGACCACTCTTAAGGAACAAATCATCCTAAATTTTATTTTTATTTTGTTATTATCAAGCAATCATCAAGCTTTTATTTTCAATTGCTTTTAATTTTATTGATCATCATCAATTGTGATCAAATAATCAAGACATCTATTTCCTTTTTTGTATTACATTTATTTTTTTTTTTTTTTATTTTACTTTCTGTTCTTTTTTTTTTTTTTTTTTTTTTTTTATTTTACTTTCTGTTCTTTTTTTTTTTTTAATAAAAGAACTGGTGCTCACTACTTATCCATCATTTTATAAAACAGTCATCGACTCAGGAAACAAGAAAAATCTTAACAGGATTATATAGCTGGTAGCTCCGCATGATGAGTCATATTTTTTTTTTTTTACCTTTCTTTTTTTTTTTCTTCTCTTTTTTTCTATTTCACTTTTTCATCCTTTTTCCTTTTCATCATCATCATTTTTTTTTTTACATTTTTTTTTTATTAATAAACAAAACACTTGTATTATATACCCACTTCTTTCTGTCCTTCCATTTACATTTGTTTTCACTTCATTTTAATATTACTTTCTAGTGCGTGGCATCCATTCATGAGGAAATACATGTACTCTAGTATTGTATATAGTATATACAGTCTAGTATGTAATGTAGAATGTTGTATTGTATATTGTGTTATAGTAGTGTAGAATAGTATAATAGTACAGTATGTACAATATTATAGTACGTAGTTATGTTGTTTATCCTTCTTTTTTTTTTTTTTTTTTTTTTTTAAAACCAATAAAATTGATATTGATAGGTACATAAAAAGTAGACGGAATGAACGCCATGTTATAGTACACGGCAAGTTAGTTAAATACGGCAATGAACCATCCAATCATATTGCTCACAGGTTTATTCAAATCTCATTCCTCCCTTCTTGAATAATAGTTTGATCACAATACATATTTTAAGCCCTGAAATGAACAAACTTTGAACAAATCAAATTCAATTTCCGACGATTAGCTTTTTGTACTTCTTACTTTCAACAAGATCTCAGATAGTATAGTGGTAAGTATCCCCGCCTGTCACGCGGGAGACCGGGGTTCAATTCCCCGTCTGAGAGATTCTTTTTTGCTATTTTACACTTCGTTTGGAATGGGCCAATCATCATCGAGTATTCTGCTCGTAAACGGTGTAGGTGATGATCTTTTTTTAGCCAATAAAATGTGAGTATTTGAGTCGATGTACGATAAATTGGGTTATTGGTCAAATATTGTGAGGGTATTGTTTGTAATGATGATCACTCTAATGTATATGATAATCAATATATTTTTTTTGATAGTAGTAAGAATCAAATAATAGAACAAAATGAAAATATTTTTATTATAAAAAAAAAGGTGAGTCAGAAAAGAAAAATAGAAGGGTGTTAAGTAATCAGACATGATGATGATCAAATAAAAATAAAAATAATTTGATAATTATTAAATATATAAAATAAAACTAAAGAATGATTATCTCCTTAAGAGCTGCAAAGATGATTAGATCTAGTAATCAGCGTATTTCGTACCTATAACATATTCGTAAAATAAAAATATAAAAAAGGAATGCATTCAAACATAAAAAAAAAAATACATGTTGATGGAATCAATTCTGTTGACATGTAACAAAGTAGTTGTAATAAAACTTTATTGGATAAAATATATACACCCAAACGACTATACTAATGAATATGATAAAATTATATAAAAAAAAAAAAAATCGGTAGAAAGAGAGAAAAAAAAAAAAAAAAAAAAAGAAGAAAGTGAAAGAAAATAAAGAAAAAAAAAAAAGAAAGAGGACTTTGAAAATAATTCTAATGGAAAGAAATGTCAGTATGTTTACCATAATGTCGTGAATCACACGTCATATTAAAAGAAATCATACTGTATACGATGATAAAAATCTTTATTACCTTCAAACAAATATATAAAACCTTTTTTTTTTTTTATTTTTAAAAAAAGACTAAGATATGTTCTGTAGTAATTCGATGATCCTTCGGCTGCTTGTTTTTCTTTTCTTTTTTTTTTTTTCTTTCTTTCTTATATATATATATATATATAGATGAATGAAATGTTTATTAGAATAGGCTAGATTGATTTCAAGCAGGTTGATTTTTATTCAAAAAGAAAAGAACAGCTTTTTTTTCGTATTCATTAGTATCCATCAATGACCACTATATCAACTGTTAATAACCATCACCACTAAAAAACATCTATCATCGATCATATCCATTAATTCTAATAAAATCATCTTATCTATCTCCACTATTTTTTTTTTTTTAAATATATGGTAACAAATCATCATCGTCCCACTACATTAATAATACGTGTTAGGATCTTTTTTCTTACTTTTGAACACAGATGCTATGATTGGCTGAAAGGGGATACCCGTGGGAGATCAAATGTCAATCAAAAACACACGATAACATTCAACATAATCGTTTATTTGGTTTTTTTTTTAAGTACAATTTATTTAACAATGGGGTTTCACATAAAAAAAGGAATTACAAAAAAAAAGTAATAGACTAACCAAGGACGTATTGATCTAACACTATAAAATTTCCACAAAAAACAAAAAGAATACCTCTTTTTTTTTTTTATACTATATACTAAAAAGAAACTAATCTAGTTTTCCAAAGTGAAGGAGACACCAACCTTGTGAGCATTTTCATTGAGACGAGTAGTATCAATGGCAGCACCGAGGTTAACCTTGACACCAGGGCGAAGGGATTGAGTATAGGCAACACCGAGAACACCAGAGTTAGAGATCTTACCCTTAACAAAGGCAGAGCTATCCAACTTGAGCTTGGCACCAACTTCAAGAGCAACAGCATTGGTACCCTTGGAATCCCAGGCAGCCTTACCAGAAGCTTCGAGATCAGAGGTGACACGATGGTAGTAAGAGGCAGCAAAGGTGTTCAAGTTGTTGGTGGCATGGAGAGCAACAGAGTATTCAGCAGTGTTGAAACCAGCAGCAGCATTGTAACGACTGATCTATTTTTTTTTTTTTTTAAAAAAAAAGAGAGAGATGGTTAGTCATTTAGTTATATCCAGGATCTCAGTTTTTTTTTTTTTTTTTTTTAAATTCATTGTCTTTCATCCGTATTACCTTTCCATCGAGAACATTGTAAGCAACTTCACCACCAACGAGGAAACCTTGTTGGCCAACAACGGAGTTGACGCTGAAGTTGGTCTATTTTCCCCAAGAAAAAAAAAATATAAGAGTGAGTGGTTACACAATTCATAACGGATCACAAAAATACCTTGAAGACATCAAGAGTGGCAACAGTGTGGACGTTAGGCTTCTTGTAGATAGCATTGACGGAAGCACGCTTATCATTGGCAGAAGGAAGAAGAGAAGTAACCAATTCAAGCTTGAGACCCTCTTTTTATATACAATAAAAAAAAATAGAGAAGGTTACTCATTTACTCATTATATTCTTTGTTATATTATATAACAACTTACTAGCCAAGTTGTTTTCGAGTTCAATCTTGCCATTAAGGTGGTTGGAGGTAGTCCAGGCTTCAGTGAAGGAAATACCATTGACCTTATCAGCATACTTGGTTTCAAGATCACCAACGATGATACCAGTCTTGTTGTCACGTTGACCGTTAACCTTGAAAGTCTATAGAATAATAATAATAAAAAAAGGTGAATATCCTTATTATTATATATATATATATATATATATAACTTACCACACCGTTAGGAGCAGTGGTCTTGACTTCGAGCTTCACACCACCAATAGGGTAATCCTTGGACAAAAGGTCCTTGGCGGATTTGCCAATATCATTGAAAGCAACTAAAAGAAAGAAAGAAAGAAAGAAAAAAAAAGAGAGTTAAAGACCAACGCGTTTCCCCATCCAGTTTCTTTTTTCATGATATTTTTATTTTTATTTTTATTTTCTTACCTGGGACAGACATCTTTATATTATAAAACAGAAGAGAAGAACAAAAAAAAAAAAAAGAGAAAGATGAATATATATTACGATAAGAAGAAGATTGAAAAAACTTACATTAATAAGAGAATGTGTTTTTTTGTGTTTAAAGAAAAAAAAGTGGTTGGGGAAAAGAGAAAAAAAAAGAATGGGAATGGAAAAAAAAAACAAGAAGTAACAAAAAAAAATTTCGATTATTGGATTCGGAACCTGAAATCCTAAGAGCCTCACAGCCAATCCGAAATGACAGGGGCTCCCCTTCGACTTCATAGTGCAAACAGTCCAGCTCTTGAAGGGGAGGAAACAAGGGTAAATTCTATAAAGATATATCTAAACCATTCATCATGCACGTGATCACATCATTGGTGTAATACATTCCATCATCTCTGTTCTTCATATGATTACATCTATCTATTTATCTATACTTCTATGATGTATGTGTGTTTTTTTATTTTATTTCATATTATTATTATTATTATTAAAAAACAACAACAACAACAACAAGAAGAATGTGTATTGGGTATACAGGGTAAATCAAATATAACTAACTATAAACAAAAAAAAAAAAAAATAAAAAAGAAAGATATATATATATATATATAAAAGGTGCGTATGATCTAATGATTTGGTAATGGTTTCTTGATCTAAACAAATCAATAAGAAAAATAAAAAAGTACTATTAGTATCATTATCATTCATACTTTTCTTTTTATATTTACCTGTTTATTATTGTCAGAGTTGATGGCCATCTGTTCCAATTTCTTCCATAATAATTCTTGTCGATCTTCAGCCTTTGTTTTTCTAAGATAAATTAATAATAAACAGTGAGATCACACTTTTTTATCTAAACATGATTTCAACTTACAATCGTCGATCCTCATTGTATTTATCCGCACATTTGCCAAATAGATCATAATTCATTTCCATATATAACTTTAATGCATTATAGATCAATCCATGTATAGTTCTATATATATATGTGTAAAGAAATAGATCAGTAACCCATCTTTTTTAATATACCGTTGATAATACCTATTCCAATGAGATTTCGAGTTTTCATAGAGTACAGGATACATGATGGGTAAAATAATATCGATATGTTCGTTCATCAAGGTGAGAAAATATTCATTATTCCAAAATAATAATGTTCGTTCGGCCACCTGGAAATGGCTACTACCAACACAGAAAGCCAATCGACGGAAGAGAGGGTCCACAAACTCGCCAAATGTATGAGAATCAGTGAGATCTACGATTTCTTCTACTTCATTCAAAAACATCACTTCTTTTGCACTGTTCACCTTGGGCCAATATTTGAGTAATTGTAAAATCACATCCTTGGTATATGATCCATCCTTTTCCAAAAATTGTACAACGCAATATACTAATTGAGGATAATATGACCCAAGAGAGGATGGTTTGTGTAACGGGATCAACACTTTGAATAAAAAGGTGATATGTTCTTGTTTCAAAGGTAACGCGAATCCATTGATAATACTATCCAAATATATATATAAAGAGAATGAGTATATACTTCTATACAATTATTTATATATTTACCTTCCAAGAATTTCCAATAATTCTGCTACCCCATTAAACTGTTCCGTTTCATAGATGAATTGATAAAAGATATTATTGATGGATTTCCGAATAAAAGCGCGTAATCCTAGGAATTTGCCATAAATACGATGTAAAGTTGTCTTGAGAAAATCTCGTTCTCGTGGATCTTCACTATCAAACAATTCTAATAGCTTTTTTTTTTTTTAAAAAAAATGATACATTAATTCCATTTTATATTTTATATTTTTTTTTTATCTTTTTTATATCCTACCTGAAGGACAAAACGTTCATCAATATAATTCTTTGCAATAGAAACATTGAAATCAGGAGATTCCACAAATCGAAGAAAGAATTCATATACCAATTGTAAATGTGGCCATGCAGATTCAAATACAGGTTCATCTTCATCTTCTTCATAACCTTCAGCAACGGTTGGATTCAATGGTGGAGGAATTGTTCGGAACAAATTGACAGCAAACTACCCAAAAAAAAAGAGATTAGAAAATGATGCCTTTTTTTTTCTTTCTCTTTTTTTTTTCTTAGTTGATTTACCAATCTAATCACTTTAGGATAAATAGATTCTGTAATTACTCCACGATTTGTTGCTACATATTCCAAGATTTCTTGTAAAGCCTGACGTTTGATTTCTTTACCTTTGAGATTGGAATCCACATCACCAAAATCAAATAATACAGTGCATTGAGCCAATTTCCTGATAAATAATTCTTGTCTCTGAGATATCGGTACTTCTTTAAATCATATATTGAAACAAAAAACAAAAACGTAGAGTTATATATAAATATATATATATGTGAATCTTCATTTCCTTACCATTAAAGTGTGGATATTTTTCCAATTCTTGATAAGGTTGAACATCAATATGGAAACGAGAGGATTTCCTTCTTCGGGGAGATTTGCCAATAGGAATGATAGGATCTTTAGGTGTCATAGTAGCTTTGAGTTTGTTCATAGAAGGCATCATGGTAAGTCCAAAGTCATGACGAATGGTATTAGCTATTCCTGGATTCGCTTTGTGTGTTTTGGTCGGTATTACTGCTGAAGCTATAGTAGATGTTGCTGTTCTTGTTGATACAGATGGTGGTGGTGAAATAGGTTGAGAGACCTGAATACGAAGTGTTAGACTTCATTCACCCTTTCTTTTATTTCCTTACCATATTAGCTATAATATCTGTTTGCTTCTGTTCTTGTTGTTTTTGTTGTTCTTGTTTTTCCACTTGTTTCTTTCGCTTTTTAGACTTTCTTGATTTTAGTTTGGTAGTGTTATCTTCCAAGCGGGATGGGTCTGCTTCAGATTGAGTAGGATGAACAGGTTCGGAAGCATGATCTACGTATTTAGGTTTTATTTTTGGTTTGACGAAACGTATGCCTTGATCAGTTGAAGTATCTCCAGAAGAATTCTTCCTACTGAGCTATTGAAACCAAAAAGAACAAGAATAATAAAAAAAAAAAACATCAACCTTTGAAGATAATAATAATAATAATAATAAGTTTGATACTTACAACTCCCTTGATGCCTTTCATCATGATTAAAAGAAAAAAAAAACCAAAGGGATGATAAATGTGTACAATGGAAAAAGGAAGGAAAAAAAAAAAAGAAACAAAAAGGATGTACATGGATTGGGAGAAAAAGGGATTTTTTTTTTTTGGGTACCAGCGGCGCCGTCACAGATTTTTCATGCGAGTGTTGTTCCCATGGAAACGAAGGGGTCAAAGGGAAAAGGGGAATAAGAAAATTATAGTTGATTCATTTTGCATAAAAAATGACTATTAACAATGAATTTGATTGCTTGTACTACCCCTTATAAAGTCACTAATGACATTCTCTGGTTTTTCTTGAACATCGCCACTGTTTATTTTGGCTTGGTTCAGTTTTTAGTTCGCTTTATTTCTGTATAAAGCTGCGGAAGCAAATAACGACGAATTCACTGCGCCATCAATGACTGAAGTGATCGCAGTAGTTTATTTTGGTGATACGGATAATGCGCCATATATAGTAAAGCTTTGAGATCTATAAAAAACGTCATTTAAAAAAATTTTTTTGTTTCTCTTTCTTTCTTTCTTCATACTTTTTATTTCATCATATTTATTTATTTTTTTTTATTAACTGAAGAAAGATGCCTTTACCACTTAGCAAAATCCGATCCATTAAGATGATCAATTTTATTGAAACCATCTTATATATTCTTGAAAATATCACTGAAGAAAAGTTTTGGTTTGGTATCTTTGGGGAACGTCTTACCAAGATTTGTCAACGTTACTTTGGAAATGATTTCATCATGTTGGGTATTCTATTTTATATTGCTCGTAAGTAATTCAAATCATCATCATTATTATTTTATAATTAACCGGCGTATTTCCCTTTCTTTTTTTTTTTTTTTTTTGTGTAGCTATTCTCAAAACCCAATGGCAAACCTTGGTGGATATTTGTATGGACAGAATATCTAAACGATCCAAGACTGTTTCAGTACGTATTTATTATCGAGAGGCTGCATACAATCCTATCAATAGTTTTATCTTGAAGAATACCGAACAACTTCCTGGTTTGTCTGATGCCATTGCTATGTATGAATCGTCAAACTCCGATGATGAAGATGAGCTACCAAAACTTGGAGTTTATCCTCGTAAGTACTTTTTTTTTTCTTTTCCTTTTTCTTTTTCTCATCTTTTCTTTTTTTTTTTTTAAAGGCAATAATACATCCAATGAAATTGAATACAAAGGACACAAACTCACTGTCTCAAACTGCAATGACGATGAAGAAACTACTTGTAGTAACAAACCCTCTTATTGGAACATCTCCATGGAAGCTTCCCCTGGTGAATCCATTGACACGTTGAAACAGTTCTTGCAAGAATGGTGTGATGAATATAATAATTCTGAAGATAACACTGTAAGTTTTATATATTAAATCGTCAATGTTTTACTTGTATATATATATATATATATATATATCCTAAACTCATACCCCTCCTTTTTCTCTTAGATCAAAATCTTGCGTTGGGATGGTTATGAAAGTTGGGTTTACAAGGATAGCATTGAACCTCGTGCCTATGAGTCTGTCAATTTGCCTTATGGTGTCAAAGAAAATGTTTTGGCTGATATGCAAAGGTTCATTAAGCGACGAGACTGGTATCGTAGAAAGGGTATTCCTCATCGACGTGGTTTTCTACTCTATGGTTCTCCAGGCACTGGCAAATCTTCTTTGATTCAAGCACTAGCTGTAAGTCTCATTTATTATTCTTGTTTACGTTGACCAAGAATAAAAAAAAAAGTATACTTAATGATTTTCTTGAATGAACTTTTTAGGGAAAATTACAATTCGATCTTGCTATGATCAAGTTGAGTGAAGTACATTCTGATTCTGATTTTAGTGAAATGATGAGAGTTATTCCCAAGGACACCATCATGGTCCTTGAAGATGTGGATCATTACGATGAAACTGATAAGGGTGAAATGCACGTAACAAAATCTGGTCTATTGAATGGTTTGGATGGTATCAATGGCAATGATGGAGCAAGTATGTATACCTATATATAAAATAAGCAATGTTATATATGAAACTCATCTTTTTTTTTTTTTTTTTTGATAGTGATCTTTATGACTTGCAATGATATCAACAAGTTAACACCTGCTCTGTTACGCCCTGGTAGAATGGATGTCAAACTTGAATTAGGTTATGCTGTACATGAACAAGTAGAAGCCATGTTTTGGAGATTCTTTGGTGATAATGATTATGGCTATGAAGACGACGACAATACTTCATCAACAGCTAATGACTCACTGGCTTTGACAACCAAGAAAACTGATATGGATGAATTACCACCCACTCCTCCCAACGATGACGAACAAGAGCGCAAGATATACCTCGAAAGCTGTTTGAAAAGGTTGTTGACCCTCATTCCTGAAAATCAAGTCACCACAGCCGAATTGCAAAATCTCTTTGTTACCTTGTTCTTAGAAACTCAAACCAACAAAATGGAGGAAAAGGATCTATTGGAAGAGTTATTTGATCGTGTGCCTGCCTTTTTGGAACGTATTCGAGAGGACCGAGAACAAGCTTTGATACACAGTGGCAAGGATATCAAGAAGGATGAAGATTCTGACAAGGATGATGACTCTGACAAGGAGGATGACGACTCTGACAAGAAGGATGACGACTCTGACAACAAGGATGATGACTCTGACAAGAAGGATGATGACTCTGACAAGAAGGATGATGACTCTGACAAGAAGGATGATGATTCTGACAAGAAGGATGATGATTCTGACAAGAAGGATGATGACTCTGACAAGAAGGACAACTGATTTCATACCAATTCTAAAGGAAATTGGCGATTATACATAGCGTAGCATGCACAGTAGGATAGATATATTTATTTTCTTTTTCATTTTTTTTTTTTTTTTTTTTACGATACCCAAACTGCAACTTCATTACTCCTTATATATATATACATATATATATATATTTATCATGATCAATAAAACAAAAAGCACTGACTTTCTTTTACACTTTTATGCTCTTTGTTGATTTTTATCCATTCCTGTGGAAGATGATCCGTAATTGGCAACGGCTTTTTACAATAATTTGTAGAACGAAAAAGGAAAGAGTAACAAGGTAATGGAAAAAAAAATTCTTTTGGCATATTACTGATGCGTGTAAAAGATATTAGGACTATATTGATATGTACAATGATAACTGTATGATAGTGACATTATAAAACATGGTCTCAGTGTGTGCCATGTTCTTGAAGGAGAGATATCATTACAGTGTCTATACTAAAGCGTCCTTTTTTGCTGTTGTTAAGATTTATACTACTTTTGTACTAAGCAGTTTAACTCTAGATGTACGCTGTAAAAGATGAAGAGATAATAGTGTGTGTATTGAAAGGTGCAGGCTAGCTGGGATCAAACTAGTTCATGCAATGACGGAAAAAGAAAGTAGGACGATATGGAAAATAATGTATAATGAATGTACCCTATAATCTGTACACTTTGTTTAAGATTACTTTTCCATAGGTTAAAAAATATATAAATTATTAAAGTTTATTATTATATTTAGAATAGATAGATAGGTTTGATGCTTTCTATCGTTGGTCAGACGATAAACTGAAACGTTATCAAACTATTTATTGAACGTGCGTTCTTTGAAAGTTCAGACCTGGGAAATAAAAAATGCAAGTATCATTTTTTTCTTTCCTTCTTTCTTTCTTTCTCTTTTCCTTGGAATCCCTCCCCTTCTTCAAGTTATTTATTATTTTGCACCATGAACCATATTTCGAAAGAAAACTTAGATTTACTTTTCAAATATGCATTAGAAGGTAAAAACAATATAGAAAGAAAAAATGTTTTTTTTAGTAATGGTTAAACTTGTAATTCTTTTTTTTTTTTTTTTTTTTTCGTTTTGATACATTTAGCAAAGGAAACATCTTATAGTCCTTACTCCAAATTCCGTGTGGGTGCTGCTCTTTTGACAAAAGATGGAACATGGTATAAAGGTAAATAAAAATAATGTTGTGACATGAAAAAGGACAAAGATGATATTAACTTTTGTTCTTCCATATAGGATGCAATGTTGAAAACGCGTCTTATGGTAAACAATTAAAAAAAAAACAAAAAGGGACAGATATATTCGTGGAAGAATGGTTGGACAAGCGTAGAAAATCGTAGGCAAACTCATTTTTTTCCTATTTCTATAGGTGCTGCTATATGTGCTGAACGAACTGCTTATTGTAAAGCTATTGTAGGTCAATCATGCTTTTGGTTGAAGGGTGAAAAAAATAAGAATAAAGATCTCTATGATTGACTAGATTGGTTTTTTTTTATGTGATGGATAGAGTGAAGGACATAGAGAATTCATTGCTTTGGCAGTGTCTACTGATCAAGATGATTTTGTCTCACCTTGTGGTATTTGTCGGTAAGTTCATTACTCTCTTTTTGACAAATCATGATATAGTATTGACCTTTCTTTTTTGTTGCTTTAGTCAATTCATTTCCGAATTTGGTCCAGGCTCATTGCCTGTTTATTTATTGAATACCAAAGGTGAATTCAAATTGATTACGCTGTCCGAACTCTTACCACTATCATTCTCTCTTGAACAAGGCCAAAAGTTTTTGATCAAATAGTTGTTTAGATGTTTGCTTATTTTATTTGATGTATCTATTGGTTTAGTTGATTTGTTGGCAGTTTATCTTTATTTGAAGTCATAGTGAATAAATTTATGGGAAGTATTTATATGAAGGATGACGGGTAAATAATAATAATAATAAATGTAAATCAAGGTAGAGACGATAAAAAAAAAAGGTGGGGCAATTAAGGAAAAACTAATATTTCATTTCATCACACCAGCAGAGCCACTCATCAAGAATCGAGTAAGAAGTGTCGTGAGGATATCCCTTCGTTGATCCAATTCCAATCGTTGAAAAGCAGTATAAACCGAAACACCTAAACATAATGAAAAAAAAGTAAAAATGAGTTCATACCTCCCTTTGACCACTCTTTCCTTCTCTTTCTTTACCTTTGTGATCTCTGATTTGTCCCAATGTTTTGCCAGCCAAAGCACCCTATTTTGAAGAAGTAAGAAAACAGTGATGACATTAATTTTATACATATAAATATATATATCTATGTACATACCACAGCTGCACCACCTACGTTCCCGACAATGAATCCAAGTACAGCACCTAAAAGAAAGAAATCGTTCATGTCATTTTTGAGTACGAGTGTTCCGTGTTTTCGACATATGTGTTTTTTTTTTTTTTTTTTTTTACCAGCACCAGCACCCAAGATACGCCAAGTGTGTCCAGGTCGATCCACTTTTACAAGTAAATAAAAGGTAAATAAAGAAGTAAAATAAGAAGAGAGATATTATCTATGGAATATATAGTTTTTTTTTTTAATTTACCTTCAGGTTTGAGCAAATCCTCAAAGACATTACCAAAGACATGATGAGCCTGAGATGCTGTAGTATGAGGATCGCTAGTGTTTGAAAAGCCTTGTCGGTTTCTTGAAGTATCATAATCCTTTCTTCGTTGTTCGTTACCCAATACATACAAAGCATCAGCGATTTGTTGAAAACGTTTAGTAGCTTCTTCTCGTTCTTTTTTGGAAGCACTAGGTGGAAGTCGGTCAGGGTGGTGTAGTAACGCTTGTTTTTTATAAGCTATTCAAATAATAATATTAATAATAAATAGGATGTTGATAAGAGACCACCTTTTTTGTTTACCTTGACGTATTTCTTCTTGAGTAGCTGTTTCTGGTATTTCCAGAATGTTATAATAATCAGGAAAAGACATACTTGGAAAAAAAAAAGTTCAGAGAATGTTAAAAAAAAAAAAAGGGAAAAAGAAAGAAACTTTTCTTTCTTTTTTTTTTTTTAATTTTACTTGCAAACTGAGTTTTGTGTTACTGCATCAATTGAATGACCCAGAAGATGATCCTATTGCGGATCATTGAATAAATATGGGAGTTTTCATCTCTCTTTGACATATACTAAACTAAAAATTAAAAAAGGACTATATGTTGGGGTAAAAAAAATACTCAAATTCTTGGCAAAATGATAGCAATCATGTACCTGTCTACTTGGCAGTATTTTTCTCCACTTCCAAACTCTTTCTATCTTGGAGCTATCATCGGATCATTTCCATTTATCATCTGATTATTACCACCGTGATGATCATTATCACTGTCATCGTCCAATACGTCCACATCAAAAAAGAGGTAAAGCCTACGCTAATACTGAGGCCAGATCAAATATTTCTTTTCTCAGGAACAACATCTTTTCTTCGTTTTTCCCTATTCCCGTTGTAGTTAGACTGTAGAACATATACACACGTATATATATATATATGATGGAATCGATATATAAAAAGATCATCGTCAGATATTCCAGAAAGGTATAATAGAACCAAAAAAAATAAAAATAAAACAACAAAAGTAAGGGATTCAAACAAGATGAACGAGTTTTATTTTTTTATTTGAAAATGAAGACCATGATAAAACTAGTTTAACGGTACTAATAAGATATAAAAAGAAAAAGATAAGTATAGGCGAAATGATAGGTTTGTAGGTTTACTTACCTTGTGGAAACCGATATCGTTGGCGTATTCACGGAAACATTGACGGCAGATGTTGAGGTTGTACTTGCGGATCAAACCAGCTTGGTGAGCACAGACACGGCTAAGTTTATAATAATAAGAAGAGAAAAGAAAAAGAAGAAGAGAGGATCAGTCACTATTTGCTGGCCTTTGGCATATATCTTCCAAGTAAAATCTATCCTCATCCCATCCCCTTTTTTCGTGTATTATTCATTGTAATGCATAAATGTTGTGGTGATGTCGATATTATCAATATTAATAAAATGTCGTTGTATGGTCATTTGTTGTAATAGAGGAGATATGACGATGTAACATTCGAATTCCAATATATGTTTCCCATTCATCCATTCCTTTTTTTTTTTTTTTTTTGTGCATCGAACTTTACCATTGACGAGAGCCCTTGCCATAGGTCTTGGGGCGAGAGTTCCAAACGTTAGCGTGAGCCATATTGATATAGTTATAATGAGAAAAAAGAAGGAAAGAAAGAAAGAAAAAAAAAAAAAAAAACAAAAAAACACAAATAGGAAAAAGTGATGAGGCAAATGGTGCAAGCCACCAAGAAAGCGGCTCCAAAAATTTTTATTGGAATCCGGAATAACAGATACACTGTTTTCACTATAAGATGTCGTTTAAAAAATAAATCATATCGCGGATATTGAAATAGAATGTCGTGAGATTAGAAAAATGATGACAGAATAAAGGCAATGAAATGTCGTACCAACAGAGATAGGATTGTCGCAATCAAAATGACGCATAAAAGAGAAAGAATAAGGTGAGATCAGTATATTGTTTAAAATGAGTGTATCATCATCCTTACCAATATATATATATATATATATATAATATAATCCAAAGAACCAAGTCAAATCAAATAAAATAGAGGAGATCATATAAAATAAAATAAAATGATAATAGTGAGTATGTATTTTTTTAAAAAAAAAAAAAAAAAAAGACTTACGCAGAAGCTGTTGTCAAACGTCGTAATAACGGAGCCGCCGCCTCACACCACATGGCGTGGACTTTGTTCAGTAAATTGTAATAAACTAGTCAAAACACATTTTGATTGGTAATTTGTCCATAACATCGGAGAGCAATACATGTTGATGATAGAGTGTCTCGTCCAAAAGAGTTTTTACATTGTTTATAAGATTCACAATTTGGGTTCATACAATTTGATGTGCCATTATTTGTTAAAATCTTGCCATTTTTCTTCTTTCTCGGGTGAACTATTCTACCATAACAGAAAGGACAGATCATTGAAGTACGATGTTCATTCGTAACAAGGACAACACCGTGCTGACTACAAAGACGTCTATGCCATTTGCCACCATACTTGAGATGACCTTTGATGCGCGATCCTACCCCAGTCCCGGCGTCTCCAATAGCTCGAATTAAAATATTCTTGCCTGCTAACGTTTGTCGTTCTCGTTTGATCATCTCCTTTAACGTGTACTTCTTTCTCCACAGCATTAATCGTTGTTGGCGTCTGATCCACTTTGAACCGTAAAATTTTCGCAGAATTGAGCCTTGATCACGTATTTTGTCATATCTTTGAATCAAATCGACAGCATCTTTTGCCTTGTACATCGTATTTTCACCCACTATTTTCTCCGCAATTGTAGCTTCTTTACCAGCGTCTGTGCTCTACATCACATCCACAAAAAAAAAAAAAAAATTATCGTCAGTGGCTCATCTCTTTTTTTTTTTTTTTTTTTTTTTTTTTTTTTTGAAATGAGGGATGATCTTACCTTTTTTTTCCGTTCAAGCTTTTTCCGGAAGTGATATCGTCCAGTTTTCCATTCAATGTCCTTTGCCGTCATGGTGGTGGGTCTTTGTAGCTTGACAAATTTGCCGTTTTGTATGGAATCCAGTTGCTCCACCGTATGTCCTACAGTTGTTGCTAAAGTTGCTACACCATAGTCTGTCCCTGTAATGATGCAGTTTTTGATATCGAAATCCAATGTCACATGTTTCGGGCTTTCTTCCATTCTTGATGTTGGCGTAATTTTTGAAGGTGGAGGAGGAGAGGTTTTTTTCGTCTTTGGCCGTTGTTTTCTACGATTCTTTTTTGTTTAAATTAAATCAAGCTAAGTGTCAGTAAAGCCCAGAATATAACTATATCGAGATCAAATTACCTTTTCCAACTGATAGCGTATTTTCCGATTCACTGCCAATTCATCTTGAATTCTATGCACTGCTTGAGTGGCCGCCTGTTTCTGTCGTTTCAATTCCTTTTCTTTGCCCACATCTTCGAAAAGCTTGCTAGTAAAAACGTTGTCGATATTCTCGGTTTCTTTCGCCTGCGCTTTTTCCTCCCGCATCACCTTGCGATGATCATCTAGCTGCTTGGTAAAAGATCGCTTCAGTTTCGCAGCATTGACTTGGTCCTTTTCCAACTTGTTGATATTATTGGTGATCGTATCGAGAGTATGGACCGTCTGGAATTCGTTCGATATAATATCCTCGGAAAACTTGAGTCGTTGTTGATATAATGATTGTTGTCGTGGTTTCGTTGTAATCCCAATCAAGCAGGTGTCGTTAGCAGGGGTAATATCCATGCGATACACAAATTCGAAGCCATTCTTCTTGCAAATGGAGTCAACAACGTTCAAATCAAACAGACAATCAAAGACATCTCGTTTTTTGTGACGTGACAACGCAATGCTTGTGATTCCTTTCTTGGCCATGTCAAGTGTTTTACCAAAAAGTTCATATAAAGATGGTGCATCAAGAGACAAAGAGTAAATAGACGCCGGTGATACGATTGGAGAATAGCGCATGCAAAATTGTTGGTAGCCACAAAGACGCAACACCTCGTTGCCAAAGATAATCATGTTCAGTCTAAAATACTTTGGCTTGTCATCACCAACAATGAAAAGCTTGAGATAACGGTAGATGGTTTGCCTGGCACGAATTTCCTTGTCTAATAAATCCAATCTCTTGGCATGGTCTTTCAACAGTGTTGCATCAAGAGTGCTTGCTTTTTCTGATAAGAGCATATGTACAAGGATGCCTCCCAAAGATCCAATTCTGCGTGCAGAGACGTCATTATTGATTGATGGTAGCTGCAAGTCGTCCAATTCATATCCAGTAGTATCAAGATCATCATGTACGGCAAGGAAATCTAAATCATCATTCAATTCCTAAAGAAAAGAAAAAATCAGATCATCGCATCAACGCATTTCCAATATGCCACACAAAGTACTTACCAAGTTGTCATCATCTTGCTTTTTCTGATCTTCATCGGTGGTGTCCTTTTTTATTTTTTCTTGTTCCAATTTGATACGATCAGCCTTCAGCGCATCCTAAGGGAAAAAATAAATATCAAGTTAAATGTTGATAAAAAAAAAAAAAAAGACGTAGGCATACAACTACGACTTACCATAACACCTCGTAAGTATGTGATTCGATTTTCATAAGCACAACGTTGTTCATCAGTTAATTGATCGCCCATCTTCTTCAACTTCCACTCTTGTCGACGCATAGCATTTCGAGTATGGTTCCAACGGCCTTTCGCGTCCTTCAACGGGTCTTCTTTGGTCTATACAGAGAAAAAATATATTAATATCAAATTTATCCTACCTGTATTGATTGTCAAATATGACGTTAGTATACCTGCTTGACATTCGATGATTTCAAAGCTACAGCCTTTTTCTTCATATCCTGGTGTCTTTGCTCTCTTGTAGGTGCCAACCAAAGTCTTAACAGCAAGCGAACGAGATATCGAAGCATCTTGAAATATGATTGACCATCCCAAATGTTCTTCATAGACGTTTCTAATTTGTTGTTGTATATAGCTCGAAGGTTGCTCGTGACAAGTGCATCAGGAGCAGGGTGATGCCATTCAATATCCAAATCTACCCAAACCGGATGTTTTTCTTTTGTTGATGCGAGAGTATGGCTAAAATGCGAAGAATACAAATATTGTAAATGTTGTAAGCCAAATAGATCACTTGGCATTTCCTTGTTTCTTGGAGGAGGGAGAGTATTGAAGTTGCCGTTGTTCAGTATAGTTCCATTTCTATGAGCATGTTCTGGTACAAGATCCGAAGATTTGATATGATCAGGATTATCTATATAAAAAAGTGTCAGTTACTGCCAACTTTTTTTTTCATTTTTTGACATACCATTGCCAAAGGATACTGTGGCATACTTCAGAATTGTTGCCTGCAAAAGCGCCGCCATATCTTCAGAGTACATTGTTACAGCAATTCTTGCATTTTCTACTGTCTTCAAAATGTTTTCCAGCATGCCCTTTGAACCTTTGATGTTCTGCTTGATGAGCGTGAGAAACGATTTGTGGACTGAACGTATCTCTTCCTTTGTTTTCTGTGTAGATGATGACGTTTGTTGTGTAGATGATGATGATACTTGTGTAGATGACGATTCTTGTGTAGATGATGATGGTTGTTGTGAAGATGATGATGACGGTTGTTGTGTAGATGATGATGATGGTTGTTGTGTAGATGATGATTTGGACGATATAACATTAGATACAATACTATCAAATGATTGTTGCACTGTCTCTTTCCATGTGTCCAGGAAGGAAATTGTATGATGAAACTTGGTAGAGAATGATCCAGTCGGTTTCCCACAACTGTTGTCGATGTTTTGCAACAAACCTCTTGGCAGACGTTTTCTGTTGAGTAGGTCAGATTTCACTTCGGTGTAATTGGAACGACGCGTGACTTCAGAGGTGATGTATCGTTTTATCTCGTCTACGAGAGCTTGTTTGGCTTCTACTGCATTGGCTATTGTTAACAAAGGCTTTTTTACTGATGAATCTTCATCAAACTGCTTGGTACGTTTGTGACCCATTAGAGATCAGGATGATTTGAATAAAAAAGAAAGTTATAACAATAAGAATGGAATAGAAGAGAAGAGAAAATAAGAATAGAAGAGAATAGAAGAGAAGAGAAAGAAAAAGGGAAAGATAGGGGAAACGGTATTTTGAGTTTCAGAAATTTGTGACGGACTTTGTAGGTGCACACAAATTGCATGAACATAGTGCGCCTAACCCCTTTTTTTTTTTTTTTTTTTTTTTTTTTTTTACAGGAAGTGATTATGTAGCACAGACTCAGTATCAATGACCTGACATGCAAAGTCATGACATCCATTTCGAGCAGAGTGATCAAACAAAAAAGATAAACAGTAAAGATTATTTTGATCATCTTTATACAACGACAAAACAAAAGTGAACATCAAGACAAGAGAAACTAAAAAAGACGACTTTCATTTCGATTGCGACAATCCTATCTCTATTGGTACGTCATTTCATCGCCTTTATTCTGTCATCATTTTTCTAATCTCACGACATTCTATTTCAATATCCGCGATAATTTATTTTTTAAACGACTTATAGTGAAAACAGTGTATATGCATCCGTTTGTTTTATTTACAAACCACTAAAATCATCAATCAGCCCCAAAAAGTTGTTTAAAAAATAAAATAAAATCAAACAAAGAGATGCTACAGATAATCATCTTAAATGAAGAATCTTATCAAAATGGTAACTAAGCTAAAAAGAAAAAAAAAAAAAGAAAAAAAAATCTATCTACATAAAAGAAAAAACAAACTATGTTTCCACTACACTATTTCTTGGCTTTGATCCATTTGCCCATTTTCGCAGTTGCGTATCGAGTTGATTTCAGAACTCCAGCTGTAAAGATACCCTTGATACTTTGAGTGAGTGCAGGTCTAGCAATAATAGATCGTAACGCTTAAAGAAAAAAAAAAAAAAGTGAGTGAATAGAATGAAAAAAAGAAAAGTTTATATTCTTACATTGGTCCATATAATTAGGCAAATTGGCAGAAGAGGCTATTTGTTGATACATATCAGATCGATTCAAAGGAATTTCCAAATTATGTCGAGAGGCAAATGTTCGATGTTGATTTACCACATGATCATATAGAGTTTTTGGTAATTTTTGAACCATCAAACCACGAAATTTAGGATTTTGATTTTGCTAGATATGAATGGAAAAAAAAAATTAGGAAATCAACACTACTTTCTTTTTATATATCTATAATACCTGGAATTGACCATTGTTGAGAACAGCGACATTTGGCAAATCATCCAATAAACTATAATACAATCGATTGAAATGGTCCAATTGAGCATGTACAATATTTTTGACCTTGTTTGGATTTTCTCCAACAGCCATCCGGAAATCACCCACATAACTGATGCCTGCAATCTTTTCAAACAATTGTTCTTCATCGAATCTTTCAGGTAAAGTCAATAAGGCCACACGTACAGCTTCAGTCAAGTTGACTTGATTAGCTAAACGAACACGAGCATCATCACGAAGAATCTTGACGGGTTTATGCATTCGACCAGCTAAATACAAAGTTTCCCAATCAATCAAATCTCTACATAATTTGTCAATAGATACCACACCATATTTGACCACCTAAAAAAGGCAAGTGTTAAGAAATAAAATAATAAATAATGATAATTCTAACTTACGATGCCATTAATTTCAACATAGGGATTAAAATAGACACCAGCACCAACATTATCTTGTAATTTGGAGACAGTATTTGAACCTAATAAACGTAAACCAGAATAATGATGTGGATTTTGTTGCATATTCAAAGCATGCCAATGACCAGGATGACTCACTCCAAATATAAAATCCATCATTGGTTTTTTCTAATTAAAAAGAATAAATATTATTATTATTATTGTAATAATAAATTATATTTATTACCTTATCATCATAACCAGCTTGACGGAAAACACCACTTCCATAGGCAAAAGCATATCGAATAGGAGCATGGAATTGAGAAACAATATCTTTTAATTGTTGACGTAATTCTTCATTAATATTCAAATATTGATTGGTACCAAAGTCAGGAGAATCAGGCATATTGGTAGCATGAAAATGATGTTGTCGTAATCGTTCCAAGTGAATTCTAGTTTCATCGTTAAATAGCTGGTCTTGTTTCACTGTTGATGATAAATGTGGTTGTTTAGAAGAAGAAGGAGGTGGTGGTGGTGGAGGAGGAGGACTACTTGTAGTAGTATGAGTGTCTTGAACAGTACTATAATATTGTATACGTTGTAAAAGTTTATAGTTTGTACGAAGACTTGTGTGGGGAATAATCTATATAATATGAAAAAATAAATAAATATGATAATATAATAAATATAATTTATTCATTTACCTTTAACATTGTTTGATAAATTGTAAAATAGAATAAAAAAAGGTACAAAAGAAAATAAAAAGAATGAATAATAATAAAAAGAAAGAAAAAAAAAAAAGAGAAAAAAAAAATATATATTAAGAAATATAATACGGATGAGTCTTTTACTTTTTGCCGTAGAGAAAAAAAAAAAGCCCAAAATAGATTTTTCCAGCTCCTCACCCTCGTCACTTTTGAACAATCATCTCCTTACAATTATCATTTTATATATATCAAACCATGAGACAACCTTGAATTGACCAACCAATGAACAACCTTTATATTCATTTTCCGATGATCTTTTTTTTTTTCTCCGTTGTCTTTTTTTTTTTTTTTTTTTTTTTTTTTGATTCTTTCCATTCACTCCTTTCTTCCCCTATTGAGAGGGCCATAATGATAGATCTTTTCATCACTTGAAATTATATATAAAATAAACTCTAAAAAGACACCCACAACGGTAAATATATATATATATATATATAAAAGGAGAATATGTTTAAATATTTATTTCCTTATATTAACGCAATCCCCTTTTTCTTTTTCTTTTTTTCTTTTTGCCTTTCTTTATTAGATATACCCATGACTAGTATACCGTCAACCATTAACGTGTCAACACCTTCTCCTACAACAACCAGTATTACTAGTTTTTTCAAATCAAAATGGCGTTCTAGTACAAGAGACTTGAAACCATGGAAACCAATTCCAAATACAAGGGATCATATTGAACGATCTTGGGTACAACATAATGCTTTACAAATAGCTTTCGAAGGGTAATATATATATATATATATTTCTATTTTACATTATTCATTCTTTTTTATTCTTATTTTATCAGTGATTATATGGCTCCTATGAAACAAGCTTTATTATCTGGTGGTTGTGAAGTGTTAGACATTGGGTAAAGATGGAGAAAATAATCTCGTACAATAAATAGTACTTACTCGATGGTTTCTTTTCTTTAGTTGTGGTGCTGGATTCTGGTCTATGGTATATATTTTCCTTATCAACCTTTTTTTTTTTTTTCCTATTCTTATTCTCATTCTCTGTCTCTTTTTTTTTTTTTTTTTTTAATTCTTCTTTTATTACAATAGGATATGGCGACTAAATATCCTCTCTCATATTTTATTGGTATTGATGTAGATAAAAATGTATTCCCAAACATGTAAGTAAAACCATGAGATAAAGAACTACATGACTGACCTTTATATATATATAGTACGATGCAAAAGAATTTGATATTTCAACGTGTAGATATCATGACGACACCTTTACCTTATGACAACAATACCTTTGATTATATCTTTATACGATCCATGCTCGATACTTTACCAGATGATGATTGGGATAGAGTTTTACAAGATATAGTTCGGATTATGAAAAAAGGTGCTTATTTAGAATGCATAGAACCTTATACAAACTTATTTGATACTGGTCCTGCTATGTCTACGATTACGAAACGTAAGTAGATACGATTAAAAAAAAAAACAAAATAAACTTATCTATTTATTTTATGATAGTGGTCAATACATCCTCTAGTTTACGACTTTTATCTACTCAATCATCATCAAATATACCAGCTAACATGAATCCATGGCCAAATCGATTAGCTTTTCTGGATACGTTGAAAAACATGCAAATTCATCATACTCATACTCCTATTGGAAAACATGGTGGAGCTCTTGGATCTTTAATGGTACAATATTGGGAACGCATCATCAAAGCTTCAAGACAAGATTGGATACAATCAAAAACCATTTCCGAAAAAGAATTGGAATCTGTGCATCATGAACTATTAGAAGAAGTAGAAACACAACAAACTTATATGGCTTGGTACTCTGTTGTCGCTCAAAAGGTAAAAAAAAAAAAAAAAAAAAAAAAAAAAAAAAAAAAAAAAAAAAAAAAAAAAAAAAAAAAAAAAAAATTAAGAAATAGTAATAGACAGCTCATCATGATGACCTTTTCTCTTTTTATTTATGTTTATAGAAAGGTTACAAAGGACCAGCTATTGTTATCGAAGATTACGACGATCAAACCTCCATCATGCAATGACTCTCTCTCTCTACATTAGATCATTTATTATATACATTATATTTCTTCCCTCTCATACTACTACTATATATAGATTTAAAGAATAAAAAAAAAAAAAAGATACAACCCTTTTGATTTGTTTTTTATTGTCCTTTATTCGTAGAAAATATATCATCATCTATTTATCTATTTTTTTTTTTTTTATAATCCACCAAGACCACTAGCACCTGATTTTGCCATATCAGCCAATCCACGAGAAATAATCAGACGTTGAATTTGAGAGGTACCTTCATAAATTTGGAAGATCTTGGCATCACGCATCAGTTTTTCCACAGGGTATTCAGTATTGAAACCATTGCCTCCAAAGATTTGCACGGCATCAGTAGCGGCTTTGTTGGCGACATCACTTGCTAATGCCTTGGCAATGGATGCATGCCATGTATTCTTGATATTATGATCTCGAAGCCAAGCAGCATTATAAACCATCATTCTTGCACTTTCAATTCCAATTCTATAAAAAAAGTTAGATCAATACAAAAATCATTCAACTTTTTTTTTTTTTTATTACGCCATATCTGCCAACATAAAAGCAACTGCTTGATGATTAAAGATTTCAGTTCCCATGGTTTTACGTTCCAAAGCAAAACGAGTGGCTTCCTCCATAGCACGTCGAGCCAAACCAACAGCAGCAGCACCAATCAAAGGACGAGTGATATCAAAGGCATTCATGGCGATTTTGAAACCTTGACCAGGACTAGCCAACAAATTCTCATGAGGTACCACTACTTCTTCAAACGTCACTCCACGAGTATCCGATGCACGTTGACCCATATTGATTTCCTTGCGTCCAATGTGAATACCAGGTGTATCAGCATCAACAATAAATCCAGAGAATGCCTTACCCGTACTGGCCTCCATATCTGTTCTTGCCAATACAAAGAACCAATTAGCATGTCCACTGTTGGTGATCCACATCTTTTGACCATTCAATACCCATTGATCTCCCTTTTTCACTGCAGTTGTACGTAATCCGGCCACATCCGACCCAGATCCAGGCTCTGTCACTGCATATGATGCCATCAAGGGTGCTTCCGTCATTCGTCCAAGGTACTTGCGTTTTTGTTCATCATTGCCAGCAACAACCAAAGGTGCTTCTGCCAAATTATTAGCTTCAATAGCGGTTTGAATCCCTATGTATTTTAAATTAAAAAAAAAAAAGATGGTTATTTTTATTTTGGGAAAATGAAGGATTTTTTACCAGTACAACCATAAGCCAATTCTTCAGTGATAAGAGCACTATCTAAAACACCTAGTTCCATTCCTCCATAAGTCGATTCAATATGAGTATTGACCAAACCAAGTTCCCAAGCCTTTTTGATCACCTCTTTTTACCAGAAAATAAATTTTTTTTAAAAAAAGTCAATATAATATATTCTTTTTTTTTTTTTTTTTTTTTGTAAAGATAGATTTACCTGTAGGATATTTGCCAGTTTGGTCATGTTCAGCAGCAACAGGAATGATCTCTTCTCGAGCAAATTTTCGAGCAAGTTCTTGCATAGACTTTTGTTCTTCTGTCAAAGCAAATGAAAGTCCAGCAGTTTCGACAGGAGAAGAGAATGACCGAGATGATATTGTCTTGATCAAAGTGGGACGGGTAAGAAGACTACGTAACATGATATTGGAGATGGAAAATAAAAAGAATGAATGAAATTATAAAAAAAGAAAAGAAAAAGACAAAAAAAAAAAAAAAAAGAGGGGAAAAGAAATGTATGCGCTGTTTGAATGCAAGTGGCATTTGTCATTTCATGTGAATTCTTCATAGAGTTGCACCAAGTTTAAAAGGCGGGGAAAAGTTGGAGAAGATAAACTTTTTATTGTTCCATGAGGTATTATGGATGATAGGAGGGGGGATTCAAAGAATGAGGATGATATGCTTGTGGCGGAGAACATAAGGATGAATACATGTTCTTTTTGTCTTCATGATTAAAATCCTTTTGAAAGACTTGAAAGGTTTGTCTAGGCGGGAATCGAATGTTAGATGATGCATCCAATCTAGCTTGTCGTCGTCGTCGTCGTTTGCATTGTATCAAAAGAAAAACTAAAATCAAGCTTGCTCCAGCAATCCCTAGGATAGCAGCTATAATATGAACTATATACGTTGTCTGACTACTGGTATGAGGAAACATCGAATGAACACGTTTGATTAGTGGTGACATCCTCTTTCAAAGAAACAGTAATGGATGATATTAAAAATGGAAGGGATGGATGATGGAAAAATAAAAAAATAATAATCATCAATAAAAAAGAGAAAAATACAATAGATGAGGAAGAAAAAAAAAGGAGTGATGCTTTTTTTTTTTTTTTATTTATGGGCAAAATGGAAATTCAGTAGAATCTAAAAAAGAAATATGGGAAAGTGAAGAAAAATTCTCTTCATTTAAGATCATCTAGTTTTGACTTGGAACCAAGAGAATTCCTATACAACCAAAGTGATTGATTTCTCTTTATTCAACCTACGATTCTTTTTTATTCCCTTTCTTTTCTCTTTCTTACTCTCCTTCTTTGTTTGTGTCGATCCTACCCATGGTTTCACTTCCCGTCTTTTTATTTATTTCAGTTTATTGATAATAAATAATACAATAATAAATAGTACCATTTCATTTTGCATGATGATGATGATGAATTCATATGTCTCTGATCTTCGTACAAGTTTGATCCGAGTCTATTTTCAGATAATTGATTTCAGATAACTTAAGTTTTTCCTACAAAGTTTGATCCTGCACAGCAAATTCTTAGCATTTTCTGGAATTTCATTGACCGATCAAGTTGTTGATGTTGTTATTGATTGCAGGATGAAGGATCCATCCCTATGATCAACAAGTCATCATCATCATGGTCATCTTCATCAGGGCAATCTTCTAGCTAATCTCAAGTAAAAAAGGATCGCCATTTTTTTTTTTTTTTTTTTTTTTTTTTTTGATGTGGACTATTTATGCTAACTTCATGCTGAAACTATATGTACCGCTGCTCAACCTAAAACAACCGTGGTGAAAAATGGCAAGTGGGCAGATAGGTTATTTATTATTTAACGAGACAAAGTATCTATAGTGAAACCTTTTGCATTTATTATGCACCAAATTGGTTTCATCGTATTATAGTTTGGTGAACTACATCTCAAAGTTATTTTTTATTTCTCACGGTACAAATAGACCATCATTGGTACATTGATCCATTCTGGTATTGCCGGATGATGCATGGTATTGACTGATGAATAAAAAAATAAACGAGGCAACGTTCTCTCTCTCTTTTTTTTTTTTATTTCTGACGATTGGGAACTTGATTGACGCTAATCTAAAGACACTAGACTATAAACTAACGCAAAACAATAAAAGCGCTAACTTTTGGTGAAATGTAAACGTAGAAACCGTTCGAGAGAAAAAAAAAAGAAAAAAGAAAGGTAAAAAAAGAAAAGCAAATGCATGAATTTATTCAAATCCAACATCCTTTCTCGATAACATCCCACATAAAAACATCTTTCTACTTGCAATTTCAAGTATGTTTTCACCCTGTATGTTTTAAGTAAATATAAGGCTTCATCTTGCGTATTGACAGCATTTTCTGCTCCAGTGAAGCAAATCGACCGATACATAATCGTTACCATCATACATCAATCATCGCCACCAGTTATTCTCAGCTACCCATCCATGTCATCATCATCATCAAGGCCATCTTCTATCTAATCACAAGCAAACGATTTTCTTTTTTTGTAAGTCGTGAATGACAGTAATTATAGTAATAAAAAAGAAAACAATGTGAACAATTCTATCCTCTTCCATCATCAATGAATGAATTATCCGCCTTCTCATTTAACATACCAATCCAACAAAAAAAAAAAAAAAAAAACAAACAAACAAACTAATAGCGTATGCTATATGTAAAAATAATTTTATTTCAGCAACACTACATAGATATACACATCCTCCATTTCTTGATATGAAATGATTGTTTCTGAACTTGAGGAGCTGAGAAAATTCTGTTGATTGTAGACATTGACACTTGATTGGACGTCGACGATAAAATACGAGGGAGCATGAGGGGGATGTTTGATACATCTGTAATAAGTTTTGACAGGGTATGTTTGTTAATGATCGCCTGTACGTTGTGGTATAAAATTGTGTTTATTTCTTTGAATATCGAACCGCGTTGATGCATGTTGTTGTGTATGACACCAGAACCTTAATTTCTGTCGGCAGTTCCTGCATGTCCTATAACACAGGAGAGCATAAAAGGCGGTTGTTCTTCCAATGATTTTGTAAACCAAGAATTAAATCATTTGACAAGTATAATATCAGTAAACGGACAGACAGAAAAGATGGATGTATAGTGCATGTATGCCGAAACCGACGCTTGATTTCCACTTGATTCATTGTAGTCTAATAAGACTAAGTTCAAGGTGAGTAGACTTTTTTTTTTGGCTTCCAAAGTAACTTCATTTGTCCATCACAAAAAAAAAAGTCGCAATAACGAACATGGGTCTATCTAAGTAACCATTTTGGTGTTTGAAAAGAAGAAAAGGACAATGATTAGTATCATTTATATAGTATTTGTATATGTGGACTTACTAAAAAAAAAAAAAAAAAAGAACCCTCTGACTAGATGTTGTCAACCTATCAACCGATCCAGGATCTAAATGGATGATGCGAGCAAGATAGCGGAAGTCCTATAAAAACGGTAAAGGATTGACCACAAATAAAGAGAAAGAGATGGATGGATCATGCAAAGGACGAACAACCAGACATAAGAAAACGAAAATATCAAGGCGTATGGGGAAAACGAGAAGGCATCAGAGAATGTTCTTTCGGGTCACATCCAAGGAATGGGAAAAAAAGGAAAGCACCAACAAGGAAGCAGTAAGGCAAAAATGTTTTTTCTTTTTTTCTTTTTTCTTTTTTTTTTTTTTGAAGAAGAAAAAAAAAAAAAAGAAAGAGAAAATAAAGCAAAGGTCTTTAAATAATTTTTTTCCCTCCAATCGCATTTTTTTTTTTCAGACCTCATGATCCTTGTATTAATTAATCAATCAACGCTCATCTTCCGTGACTCTTCATGATGATTCATTGTATCATTTATCAATCATCATTTATCATCAAAAGCATTCTCATCTATCCATCATCATGATCATCAAACCATTATCATCATCATAATGATTTTCTAATTGATTTCAATCCACAATATTTTTCAACTTGTTTAACAAAAAGAAAAAAGCAATCTTCCACGCAAAGTAAGCATAAACCAATTCTTTTTTAAAAGAAGTAACATGTTTATTAAATAATGATAATAACAATAATAATGATAATCATAAAAGAAAAAAACATCACAATCGAAGAGATGAGATCAAAACAAATTTTGAGGGGGATATATAATCATACTAGCAGAACAAAGGAAGTCTTTTTTTTTTAAGAGGGAGATGATGGTTGTGTTGAAATATCGGCCAAAGGTTGTAATAGAGGTTGTAAATATCTGAAATAAAAAGCATACAATGTTGGATGAGGACAAGATTGAAGTGCCTAATAAAAAAAAAAAAAAAGGTGAATACCAACTTTTTCTTTTTTATTTATTGATTTTCTCTGTTTTGATTACCTTTGCAATCTTATCAAAACCAGACATCATAATTTCCAATCGTACTTTTTCTCTGTCTCGATCATCATAAGGTCCAGTATAAAATGTCGGTTGAGTAGCCACAATCGTATTGATTAATCGAAGATGTGCAATCTAATTAGAAAAAAAAAGAAGGTATTAGCCTATGACATGAAAATGATGAATAACATTATTACCAAATATTCAGCAACACCATCATCCACCATAACACTCCCTGTGCCTTCTTCTTTTTGTTCTACTGCTTCTTGTTCCAATGCTTGTTCTTCTTGTTCTTTCTGTTGTTGTTGTTGTGGTGTTGGTGGCTTGATACGTAATTGTCGAAAAGCACTTTCAAACTTGTAATCCAATACTTGTGCTAAAAAGGTGATGGGTTCTATTTCCTTTTCCACAGTATATTGTAATTCACGCATCCATGCTGTATATCGAGGTTTAAACGGTTGTCCTTGTGAATAAAAAGGGTCGTTTTCCAAAATCAATTTCATCACAGTTTGAGGATCCTCTTTGAGAGTCATGCGGAAAGGGAAACTATCTTCAGTGGATTGATTACTGGATTGTGATGAAGAAGAAGTGTTGCTTTCCATTGCTGTGCCACCTGTAGTATCCTGTGTTGTTGAAGGACAGTCCAAAAGTAATCGTCGCAATACATCGTATCCATGAATATAAGGTACTGTTTCGGTTTGAGTTGTTTGTAAATTGGCTAACGTACACAATATATTCAAAAAGTGAGCTCGAGTAATGACACTCAAACTGTACAGAGCTCTTTGTTTCTGATTAACTGGTCCAAATAATAGGTCACGGATGTATTCCAAGCCCACGGGATTGGTCAAAACAATGGCAATACCAGCTTGCTAAAAAAAAAAAAAAAGAAATTCTTGTCAGTCATTTGATCTCTTTTTTTTTTTTTTTTTTTTTTCCCTTATTCGTCTTACCTCGTGAGTCATGATTGCTTTGAAACATTTAGCCAAATGTTGAAGAATTTTATCATCATTAGGAGATCTTTTTGGAGCTTGATTCATTTGTCGAAAGAGATTAGAGATAGCCAAGTAACCACCTAACTCCAAAAACTCAGTTGTCCAACTAATAGAAGAAGAAAATATTTAGAATCTTTTTTTTTTATATCTATTTCCTATTTTTAATAATAAAAAAAAATATACCTTGCTTTTACACTACGAAGACATACACGAAGATCTTGCACTTGGGATTCATCCAATTCACGTACATGACAGTCCTTTAATAGATGTATAAAGTATTCAGGAGATAGTCCTTTTTTCATGGTAAGATCGTAACGTTTGGTTGATTTCTTAGTATTGTTGTTATTATCTTGATGGAAAGACATGATAGGGATGCGTTGAGATTTTGCACGCGCAGATGTCGAGTATGCCTTCTTTCTATTGTTGTTGATACTATTTCCACCGTGTCCACGTTTGTTGTTTTTCCTTTCGGTAAGCAGATTGTTGTTATTTGATGTAGTAGATGGATCAAAGAATTGATTTTGTAATACGTCCATTCGATGTTTATCTTTCTTTCCCCAAGTACGCCAAGAAAAGAAGCCATTGGTATTGTTTTGTTGCAAATTGGCCTGACTATTCCGTAATAAAACTTGTTTTGCTTCCGGTGAGAGAGTTTTGGCAACATCTTCAGGGAGTCCATATTCATGCTAGTGTTAAATATAATAATAATAATAAATAATAAAATAAGATTAGTCTATGCAACTGTCTTTTATATATAAAAAAAAAACTCTTAGTATACTTACAGCCATTTTTGCAAAAGCTTCATTGAAACCATCATCCGCAGCACGATTCTTATCATTTGCTAAATCTTCTTTTGTTTCCAATGGAGTATGTGATGATGTTGTTGAAGTTGTTGTTGTTGGTGTTGTAGTAGTGGTAGGTGATGTTGTTTCTTGTAAAGTATCTTCCATACCAATATCATCAATATCATCATAATCATCATCATCATCCTCGTAATAATAATCTTCATAATCATCATCATTGTCATCATCCGGTTGTTCATCATCATCATTGTAAAAAGTAGAATTTCTAGGAGGAGTAGGAGTGATATGCTGAGGAAGAGGGCCACCAGGACGATGAACAATACCACCATCTAAACGAACAGTTCGAATAGGAGGAGGAGTGTTTGGATTAGGACGCATATTGGATTGATTGGATTGAATAGAGGAAAACATAGAGTCCACACGTGAGGCATTATCTTCATCCATACCAGAATAATATGAAGGAGCACCACCATGAATAGAAGAAGTCAACATGGGTGAAGTAGAAGAAGATGTTTCTGGGTATTCTTCTTGTAATAAAGATCTTTGTCTTTTTTGAAATAAAAAGTCGGACATTCTATTGAGAATTTTAGGTTGTTGTTGTTGGTTAGATGACGAAGAAGAAGAAGAGGTTGGTATATCAGAGTTTTGAATCATGACTAGAAATAATGTACAAATAATAAAAAGTTCAAGAAGATAATCCCTTTAAATGGGGAAGAGGGGGGTATTATGGAATAATAATAATAATAATGAATGAGATGAATAATAAAAAAAAAGAAAAAAGAAAAAGAAAAAGAAAGAAAAAGGTCGAAACAAAAAAGAAAACACGCCAAAGAGTAAAAAGTTGTTTTGATGTTTCCTTTTTGGGAATGTCCATCTTTTACAGCTTAAACTTTTCGTTGGGCTTGTTTCAAAATCATTTCATTATATTGCATAAAGTTTTTTTTTTTTTTTTTTACTCCATATAAAAAAAACATCATAATGAAAAAAAAGAAGGTTAATATATGTGTATATATATGCAGTTTAAGGGGGGGAAGGGAAAATAAAATAAGAAAAAAAAAATTAAGGATGTAAATACTTTATTTGGTTTAGATTACTACAATGGAAAAAAAAAGAAATGCGGAAGATGAAATAGATAAGAAAGCAGGAACCATTATTATTATTGAATAATCTCCTGAAATTATGATGATTGATAATATGTATTGGGTATAGGACGAAAATCATGAGTATTCACTTCATCTTTGAAAGCTTGATAACTAGGTACAGGGTCTGATTTTGGCCAAGTTCGTAATAATAAATTATTTAACTCGGTGATGGTATGATGACGATCTTGAAGAATAAAATTGGATGAAGAACTAGGTGGCGTTGGTGATAATTCGTGTTTAATGTTGTCATTTTCTGTTCTTTGTTCTTCTTCTTCTGAAATAGAAAGAAGTAGATCATGATAAAACTTGGCAACATCTATACGTGGTGTTTGTCGTTGATAATTACGAGGCCATATAGATTCTTGTTCTTGTTTAACTGCATAAAGGGTATCCGTATATGATGGAGGTGATATTGATGATTTATAAGAAGGTAACAAATCCATGATAAAAAAAAAAAAATAACAGTAAAACAAAAAAAAAATTGAGAAGAAAAAAGAAGAGGAATAAAATGTTGTTAAATGAGATATTTATATAGCTGTTTGTTACAAGTTATATCATTTTTCCTTCCGAGAACCAGTTTTTTTTTTGTTTGTTCGTTGATAGCAGGTGTTATGACGGGCGATTCATGCGAAGCATAGCTAGCCAATCACTATAATCATGATCTCTGTCATTACTTATTGATTCGTTTCTTTCTTGTTACTAGACTTTCCTATTTCTGTCCTTTTTAAAACCCCGTGTCTTTCTCCTCGTTCCTAATGAAATGGATCATCTTATATTATTTCTTTATAAAAAAAAAAAAGAGAATCCATTAGAGTCGTTTTCAAATTCTTCTTCTTCTTTTTTTTTTTTTTTTTTTTTTTTAACTATGGCTTTTCATTTATAAAGATGTCGCTAATTATCAGCCCAAAAAAAAAGGATGCTATCAATAGAACAAGAACTAAAAACAACAACAACAAAAAAGTCAATGATCGTGATGATAAGATTGATTTAAAAGACCCACGTGGATACATTGAGATGATTTGTATGGATACATGATGAAATCTCATTTAAAGATCTGATAGACAAACATGCGACCATCAACATGACCACTTTCTCAAACCCAAACTGAATGAACAAAAAAAAAAAAAAAGATTTTTTTGAGAATAAATATAATATATATATAGTGCCGTTTATTTTCATGTCAAATTAAAAAAAAAAAAATAAGAAAATCATAAATAATCACTATAGAATTGTTCTATAATATGCTAATCTGTCATTAAACGAGCCTTTTTCACCTTGACCAATAAGGAACCAGCGTTGTCATCGACTTGATCTTCACCATGCACTTGTTTTTTTCGTTTACTAACTTTTGCAGCATCGTCCTCCATCCGTTCAATATGTCGTAGCCATTGTCCTTCGGTCATACCATCATCATACCGTAGTGCCGCGCCATCTTGTCCATGTTTAGCACTACGTTGTTGACCACGACCCAAACTGCTTTCGTTGTCCAAATCATTCAACATGGACATTTCTTGATGATACACGTCAGGTAATTCCCAATCTTGTAATAATCGTTCTGGTGTTTTGTTAATATCTTTACCATATAGTTGTTGCCACCATTCACGATCCAGTTGTTGTCGTTCCTTATCCATTTCACTAAAGAGCACGCCCTCTTCATCTGATCGTTTCAGGATATCATTCAGTTCATCATCATCAAATTCTTCCTGTTCTTCATTATTATCATCGCCCTCTTGTTGCTGTTGTTGCTCATCTGATTTGTCTTCCAGTAACGATCGTAAAAAGGCTTCTCGATCTTCTTCTGTACTTCGATTGTCAAACTTGCCAGCTTGAATCACTTTGCCATCAATATCCAATTTATACTGCGCTCGTGCCAATATACTTTCTTCAATCGAGTTCTCCGTAATCAACCGGAAAATACGTACTTCTTTAGTTTGTCCAATACGATGCGCCCGATCTTGTGCTTGTAAATCTTGATGAGGATTCCAGTCAGAATCAAAGATGATGACTGTATCGGCTGTTTGTAAGTTGAGCCCCAAACCACCAGCACGAGTACTGAGTAAAAATACAAAATATGGAGAATCTTCTGCATTGAAATCTTTCAATTGTTGAGACCGAGTATCTGCCTTGGTTGATCCATCCAATCGCATATGTTTGAGTCCTCGATAAATACAATAATCTTCCATGATATCCATAATTTGAGTCATTTGAAAGAAAATCAATACCTAATAAATAAATAATTAAGTAAATAAAAAGAAAATTCAATAATTATATATTTTTTTTTTTTACTCTATGTCCAGTGGCCTTTAACTTTGGTAAAATCCTGTCTAAAAGTTCAAATTTGCCAGAACTGCGGTATAATAATTCATTGGACATTTTGAATGGATTGATTTGTTGTTCCACTTTTTCAAATACAAAGGGATGATTACATATCTTTCGAAGTTGCATGATCCGATTATTTAATCCCATCACCGTTGTACGACTATGGATAATAATAATAATAAAAAAGAATATCAGTAAGAATTGACATAAAGTATTCCCCTTTATTTTTTTTTTTTTACCCAGTTTTTTCATTGCTTCCAGTAAAAAGCACACCATGTTTCTTCATTTGGATATAGAGTTTGGATTGTAAGGCTGATAATTTACACTTGATGACATGTTCCACCTTATCAGGTAATTCAGATTCCACATCCTTTTTCAATCTTCGTAACAAGAATGGACGAAGTACCTATCATTGAAAACAAGATAAATATGATTAATTATATATATATATATATATAAACTTCATTTATCATCTTTACCTTGTGTAATCTTTTGATAATAAGTAATTGTTCTTCTTCATTCAATTCCACACGATCTTGTACACCTTGATTGGAGAAAGGAGTATTGAACCATTCTTCAAAACTTTTGACACTGTTGAAGATTTTTGGAAGAATAAAATTCAATAGAGCCCATAATTCAGGTAGATTGTTCTATCCCAATAAAAGTGAATGGTTAATAAATTTTTCCTCCCTTTCTTTCCAAATGTAAAAAAGTTTACCTGCAGAGGAGTACCAGTTAAAATCAATCGATACCTTGAAGAGTAATTTTGTCTGATCACAGTGGTCAATTTGGACTGAGTGTTCTTCAACCGATGACCTTCATCAATCACCATATGTAACCATTTGAATTTAGATAGAACAGGTCGATCCTTGATAATGTAGTCGAATGTCGTTAATAATACTTGGAAATTTTGATGTTTCAACTGATTTCGTTGGATTTGTTTTCGTACATCTGGTGGACCTTTGTAGACAACTGTATTTACTGTAGGAGCCCATTTTTCAAATTCCAATGACCAATTCGTTAATGTTCTATTTTCAAAAAAAAAAAAAAAAGTGAGATTAATCTGTTTATCGTTTTTTTACTATTTTTTTATTTTATTTTTAATTACTTACGATAAAGGTACAATGATGAGATAGGGCCCATTTTGTTGTTTCTTTTCAATCAAATAAGTCACTAAACTGATAGTTTGAATAGTTTTCCCAAGCCCCATTTCATCCGCAAGAATTCCATTAAGACGATTGTTGTAAAGAGATACCATCCACTGTAACCCTTTGATTTGATATTCTTTCAATTTGCCTCCCACCATAATATTAGGTTGTCGTACAGATTCTTGTACCTTATGAGCCATTCTAAAGTAATCGGATTGACTACCCGCCTTGTCCTATAATAATAATAAAGAAAAAAAAAAGAGTTTAGTATCTGGAATAAAATATTTATACTTTTTATTTATACCATCAATAATGCTTCTTCATCCATATTTTCATCATCCATCAAATCACTGACTTGTTGTTCATGTACTGGATCATTTTTTTGATCAGCCACCGCCCGCGATAATGATTCCAAGTAAGTGCCTGTCTGTCGTAATAACATTGTCAACCGTGTATCTTTGGCTTCGTCAATCAATTTCATGTATGCTTCTTCATCATCGTTTCGGAGTGCACGGATACGTTCTTTGGAACGTTTGTCATTTCGTTTCTGTTCTTCACGATCAACATACGCATGGAATTGGAGTACAGCTTTGCCTAGTTTGCTCATCTTGGCTTGATGTGTCTTGTGCCAGGTCAACATGTCTCGGCCTTGATTGCATACTTTTTGTAAATAATCAAGATACTTTTGCTTTTGTCGCTTTTCCCGATACAATCGATGTTGTCGTTCCAACTTTTCCGTTTGTTTGGCTTCCCGTAATGTTCGTTTCATAAGTTTACGGTACGATGTTCGGTCTACAGAATTTGCTAATCGATTGGCTTCTTCCATTCCTAAAACCACTTCTTCACGAAGCTACAATATAAATATGAATAATCAATGAGAAATAATGTACGTATAATATAGATATTGATAATTTACCTTTGCTTGCTTTTCACGAAGTTGTAATGCTTTCAACTGTATGATTGATTTCAATTGATCCGAAGTAGCCATCCGTACAGTTTCCGTGTAATATTCTGATAACATGTAACCAAGAGATTGTGATTGTTGAGCCATATTGTCTACTGTAATAGCTTCTAATGCCTCCATCTTTTGTCGTATTCTATTTGGTATAAACTTTTCCCGCTCGAGTAAGATTGTATAGGGGTCTAGTTGGATAGGGATGGTTTTTGGTAACAAAAGTCGTTGCTGTCTTGAGGCATGAGCATGTGAGCGTTGTTGACCATATAACAAGTTTTGTGGGGTGAGTTGATCGTCCATTTGTGTCATTGTATTGGATGTAGTCATCGTTTTCATGGCATCCATCGTTGCTTTATATTCCTTTGCTTGCTTATATATTGTTTCTACTAATGTTTCCATCAAAGACTTGGGCTCTTCCTCTTCTTCATGTGGTACAGGTTGTTCTAATGGCTTGTCACCTTCTAGTTCTTGATTATTCATAGATGAAGTTGATTCTACAGTTGCTGATTTTTGTGTTGCTTGTGAGCTACTATCTTTCACAACAGGAGAATGTGTTGTTGACGATGAAATATTGTTATTATTGTTTGGTGAAACTGATAATGTTGAAGTTTGTGGTGGTATTGGTGTTGGCGCTGAAGTTGCATTAGCCACGTTTTGTGAGGAAGTAGGCGACTGACCCATTGTAGAAGGAGTTGTAGGAGCTTTTGATAATAGGTTGTAAGCCAGCATTTGATATTGTATAGCATTTAGTGCGGCAGCATTTGGTGAGTTGATTGTAGGTGATTGATCTAAGTAAAAAAAAAAAAAAAAAGGAAAAAGATGAGCCGAATTCATGACAGTGGTTTTATTTATGACGACTTACTTGAAGAAGAAGATGCCATTTGTTGCTGTTGAAGATGTTGTTGCAATAATTGCAATTGTAATTGTTGCTGGGCAGGGTCTAACTGTTGTTGCTGTTGTTGTTGTTGTTGTTGTTGTTGTTGTTGTTGTTGTTGTTGTTGTTGTTGCTGTTGCTGTTGTAACAGTTGTTGTTGTAAAGATTGTAAATACTGCTGCTGTAGTTGAGGATCCATTGATGGCTGCTGTTGTTGTTGCAATTGTTGCTGTTGTTGTTGTAACATGATCTGTTGTTGTTGCTTTACCATACGAAGGACATTCATGAGACGAGAATATTCGTTGGAACCGTTTTCTGTTTCACCTTGTTCATGAAGTTGTTTGATCCGCTATTATTAAAAATAAAGGAGTTAATAATAATAATAATTAATAAAGTCATATATTTACTTGAATGACTAGATTGAGTTTCTCCTTTGTGAGGGCATTGTTAAAGTCAATAGGTGTAGCAGGAGAAGAGGTTGTTGAAGTTGGTTGCATGATCTAATAGTTTGTTTCCCTTTTTAAAACCAAGGATCAAGAAGATGATATAAATAAAGTAAGTATGATAGGTTTTCATTAGTATATTGAATTGTATTATTAAAGGATATAAATTGAAAGATAAAAAAGAAAAAAGGAAAAAGAGAGAAATAAAAAAAAGTTTCTATTTTGTTTTTTCACTTTACCGCTTTTCTGCCCACACACAGCAAGAAAATTAGAAAAATGATAAAGGATACAAAAAAAAAAAAATAACTTGCTGTCGGGTCTTTTTTGCTTTTTGCTTTCTCTTTTTTTCACTGTGTAGCATCATCACCAATAGTCACGATGACCTAATTTCAAATACCGCATTTCTTTTGAAAATTCATTGTCTTTGTCTCATTTTTTTTTTTTTGTTCCTTTGTAAACCTCAATGTCACTTTTATATGCTACGACCACTTTACAGTAACCATGCTACAAAGCTTCTGGTAAGAAACTTTTATTTAATAAATAAATAAATTCTTATTTTTCTTTTCTCTATCTGTCTCTTTAGCTTATAGGTCCTCCTTTTAGTGGAAAACGTACCTTGGCAAAACAGTTATTACTCTCTACAACTTTGTTTTATTCCATGTAAATTCTTGTATTAATCAGTGAACTTTTGTTAAACTCCATATATTTTTCTTTTTATAGATCTACATTAGAGGATGCTGATCAAAGTAGTTTTGATATGGTGAAAAATATGGATTATATATTTATCTTTGTGGATATGACCAACTCTACAAGTCTGATATTATTAGAGAAAACTCTTGCCAATATGATACCTGAATACCTTTTATGCAAATGTGCTATTGTTTTTACAAAAGGTAAAAAAAAAAAAGGTATAAAATGAAAAATATCTAAATTATTTATATATTTATAGTGGACATGGTACCAAATTGGATGCTAAGTGAAGATCAAGTACATAATACAATTCAGAATTATGGTAGTCCACTTACATTTTATGTCAATCTTTCGGTAAATAAAAAGAGGAAAATAGATAATATATAGGTTGCTCATATTATATTTATTACAGGATGATCTAATGCGGAAGAAAATCACAGATCAAATGACAAGAGCAATTTCTATTGGGACTTTTCAACAACGAAATGTTCATCCATTAGGGGCTCAATTCTTGGATTCTTATTTACCTTCAATGAATGGGAATGAAAATGAAGATATACGGTGACAGATAATAGTTAGTTGACTAATTTTTTTTTGTTTTTGAAATAAATATTATTACTGCAAATCAACGGGGTTATGTATGGAAAAGGTATCGTTAAGGGGTGGATGCAGTCTTTTTTTTTTTTATGAATATATTATTGATTGAGGCTGAGTAAATTGATGATGACGATGTTGATAATGATGATATTGAAAATGATAATTCCAATGACAGTGATGATATTCTCATTGTCATTCCCACTAACATCATTATGCAAATCATCCATCAAAAAAAAGGAGGGATTTACAAACTAAGAAGGAAAGAATATCTTGAACAAAATTTGGTAAAGAAAGGTTCCTACGTCTTTTTAAGAAAAATGAAATAACTCATCACGTTTTCCCCTCTTTCTATATTTTAAGGAGTAGTGGATGTCTCATTTGATATATATATATATATATGTTTTAATAAATGTTAATACTTGCCCGATTTCGATCAAGTCTTTCCTTTCTTTCCTTTCTTTTCTTTTATCACTGACTTATTAAAGATAGGTATGAATTATCATCCGTATCACTCTATAGACAATACGTTCCCAATAGATTTACCTATCATACCAATACAATCATCACTACCACCATCATCATCATCACTACCATCATCATCATCATCATCATCATTCTGTCACGATGTACATTTTTCAAATTTAGCCAAGGCAGCTACAGAAATGAATACAAACAATAATAATATGATATCGACTTTTTCCCATACTACTCCCTATATCAACCATCGTTCAATGGATCATATTGAATCCCATTTTCCAGGGTGTATATATTAACTCAGCATGCAATTATACAGAAATGTTCAGACGAATTTCTTTTATTGACAGGGTTCTCTTCCATGGAATTGATTGGCAGATCATTTGCAGACTTTCTGCATCATGATGATCCAAATCGTTATTACTTTTCTCCATCATCTACCCTTTATTTTTATAACAAAAATGGAACCATCCTTTGTTTAAAATGTAAACATCATTCGACAAATGAATATCTTTTTGTTCCATGTGATAAGTCGATTTTTGAATCATCATCCTTATTATTATTACCATCTTCTGGAGTACATGATGGTAACACGACGCCAACCGCGGACTTTGGATCTTCTACTTTATGCTGCATGAATACCATGGCAACTCACCTATTTCCACCTGTCACTTCAAATATAACAAATATATATGTAAAACAATGAAAAACATATAAACAATAAGTTTATTTTTATATTTTCTTTTTTTTTTGAACAATAGAGAGGACGTAAGGATATATTGTTACAAAATTATAGTTGTGAAAGGTGTGGTACACGCGTATCACCAGAATGGCGTAGAGGACCGCATGGACCTAAAACGTAAATAAAAAAAAAAATAAAAAAAGAAAAAGTAAATGTCAGAAATATTGAGTTTTTTTTTTTTGACATTCCTTTTAGTCTTTGTAACGCATGTGGTTTACGTTGGGCTAAAAAAAACAAGAAGAAATGATATTTAAATGGCAACTGAAACTCTTCTTCGATTGTATTAGAAACTATATATATTATCCAATCATATCATTATTATAATAATAATAATAAAATCAATGAATAAATGGAATTTATAGAAACTGTTAAAAAAAATATCCTTCATTCCTATTTATTATTCATAGTTTTTTTTTTTGATATATAGAAAAAGTTGATCTTTGTCTTTTTTTGGGAATGATTTTTTTTTTCTCTTTTTCTTTTTTTTCCCGCCTCAATTTTCAAATACCGGTTTCTTAAGGGGGTTCATTTCCCATTTTTGTTTCTTTCCCTTTTTTTTTTTTTTTCTCTTTCTTCTTTTCCTTTTGTTTTTTTATTATTATTATTATTATTATTTTCCCTCCAATTTTTGTTTCTTTTTTTTTTTGTTCTTCTTTTTTGTATTATTTCTCATGCATTATTCTCAACTTGAAAAGTCATGGATGGAATCTCGTATCAGTCATGAACTTGTATCCTTATTAACTCATGAAGTTTCTATGATTGTCACACCAATATTCAATCCGACTTTACATATGACCACCATTCCTTCTTTACATGACTTTATTGATATTCTCGTTCGTAAGTCTCGTACTAGAACTGGTACTTTATTGGTGGCTCTAATCTTATTGAATCGATTATCTTATCGACTTGGTTATGTTACCACTGGTATGGCTTCTGCTCCACAACGTATCTTTTTGGCTTCTCTCATCGTTAGCACTAAACTCATTCATGATACTTCACCAAAGAATAAACATTGGTTAGCTTTTGCAAACGATTACTTTGAATTGGACGAAATCAACTTGATGGAAAAACAATTTTTGACACTCATGGTAAATGAAGGGGAACCAAAAAAAAAAAAAAAAATAGGAGCAACAAAAGGGGAGATTTTGTATGTTTGAATATGTGTGTATGTCTATGTGTTTTATTATGTGTTTTCTTGTATACGTTTATGTATATGTCTATGAAAGAAGGGGAAATATGGGGGAGAAGAGAATAAAAATGTTGATCATACTAATTCTTTATACATATATATATATATTCACTCTTTAGGATTTTAACTTATCAATTTCAAGTCATGATTTCCAACAAGTGGTCGATAGATACAGACAACTTCAGAAAGATGGAAGACGTAACAAGAAGAGGTGGCAAGGAACTCCTGATTGTTTGGTTACCCCTGTTCGAAACGTGGCGTTGGCGGTTGGCAGCAAGAATGCTACAGTCACTAGACCTTTACCTTGTTCTTTATCATCATCTTCTATATCATCCACTCAATCCGCAAATTTGTCATTATCAGCTTCATCCTCATCCTCATGCATACCTGCTTTTGACCCTCTTTCCAACAGTACATCTTCCTCTACTTTACAATCCCACTCTCCAGTGTCTCCTATGGTACCTATTCTTCTTCATGATAATACATGTGATAATGATTCAAATTGGTGCTACTCAACAAGGTATATGTCTCCTGTGTTTTCGGTTTAACAAGGAACTTTACTTTATATTTTCATTATACTATGTCCTTTTTTTTTTTTTTTTTTTTTTTTTTTTTTTTTAGTTTTATGTTATGTATATATCCCCCTTTGGTTTAGTGTATGTATCATTTCTATTTATTATTATTTTCCGTTTTACGTTTTACTGTATATGTTCATCGTTTTATTATATATCTTCATTTGATTTTATTAGTTAGTATATACACATCATCCTATTTTTTTTTTATACCTTTATGCATTCAATACATTTGTCTATTCTAGTCTCTATGATACTCGCCTCCCTTTCTCTTCCCATTTTTGTTAATCGTTCTTCTTGTCATTCTTACATTACTTTTTTCAGAAAATCAATACCAAAAAAAAAGTCTTTCCTTATTTTATAGATCATCTTCATTACCGTTCGTATCAATATCATCACTCAATAAAACAATCCACTATTTCATGTCAATCCTATAGAAAAAAAAAAAGCCTTTTATATGTATTAACTGTTGAAACCCCCCAAAAAAAAGAGTGTTATTGAAATATTCAACCACACTAGATAAAATGTTCCATGATAGAAGTTATGTCATTTATTTTATTACTATTTTATTATTATTATTATTATTATTGATGAGTTTTCTATATACATCTATTCAACCAAGACCATTCAAATAGACTAAACTAAACTAAACTACCATTGAGTACCATGGTTGCCTTCTAGTGGAGTTCCCCAGCTTTGATTCGGATCCACCTGACCCCATGCATCTTGTTCATCTGTCTGTAATCCAAATCGTTTGAGTAGATCATCTTCTGTTTCATCCTCTGCATATGGCATCGTCATATTGCTAGGCGGGATTGTCTTTTTCCATTCATTGTACTTTTTCCATAATGGTTGACCAGGATGACTAGGTGTTGTTGATTGATTCATCGTTGTTGTACTTTATAAGTGGGAACTGGAATATATAGTAAAATAAAAAGTAAGTTTATTGTGAGGTATATAATACAAAGAGAATGAAATGAAAAGAATGAATTAAAGAAAAAGGAGTGAAGAAAAAAAAAAAAAAAAGGCGGAGAAATGATAAAATAAAAATAGAAGTATTCCGCTAACTAGGGTGAAATCTAGAAACTAAAGAAGATAATCAAAAAAAAAAAAAGATTAGGATAATAATTGATCAAGAAGATGCCAAGCATGTTGTTCTGTTGCCACGTGTTCGATTGCTTCCACTTTGATTCTAGTGTAAGGAAATGCCAAGGTGACAGATTCATCTTGATGACTGAGAGTGATCATACGTAACTGTAATGCTTTTAAACTGGAGGATGCCATATCATCATCTGTTGTTGTTGTCCTATATTTTGGATGATAGTATTGCCTGCCATATAAACAGTACCTTCCATACCGTCGTGCCCGTGTACAAATATCGTCCAAAGTCATACCATTCTTCAAAGCAATGGAAGTAATGTCCAATGGTTGTTTCCCAGTTTTAAAGCCATGTATCCATAATCCAGAGGAGAGTGTCCCATGATTCATCGCTGCTTTCTTCAGAGCTTCTTGTTGTGAAGGAAGGAGCATCAATAACCGAAACACTAATGCTTCACCATCAATCATTGCCGTTGCATCCGCCGTCCCATCACTGACTTCTACTTTTGCTTCCGCCTTGAACAAATATCTTGAGTTGTTGTTGCATCCCTTTGAACATTTTTCTTGCGAGACAGCAGAATTGCATTCAGTACACACCCATTGTAGTTGAACCTTGAGAATACGTCGGATAGTCACCACTGCCTTGAATATACCGTTGACTTGACCTTCATCAGCACCAATATCATTCTTTTTGTTGTCACAAGGTAATAGCTTACATAAAGATCGTGTAGGATAACCCATTGTATTTGTAATTGCAAACAACTCCTTGTATCGAATCGGATCAATTTGAGCGTGAGCTTGAATATATGTGCGTCGAGTTCCAGCATAATATACTTTGCCACTCGATATGGCTTGTCGTCGATCCACATTGTATAATGTCACCAAATTTCCAGGAATCACACCAATCGTATATTGAACTTGATGAATACCTTTGCCACCAATATAAACATCCGTTGTTTCCAGTCCATCCACTTGTCGAAGTCGTAAAAAGTATTTCAATCCCCTTCTACCTAATCCAATGCCAAGACGTTCAGCCAGTTGAATGTCCATACTATCTTCACCAAGTCTATCATTGCTTGCATCACTAGAGATCGATGTATCATCAGTAAGGAATCCTTTGAATAAAACAATGCCATGAATGTTGCCTGATCCATCGTATTTTTTTGCTGTTCGAGTGTCTTTTGATATATCGTCCTCTTCTTCCTGTTGTTGTTGTTCATCAGAGGTTTCCATGGGGCGAATGGCATCAGCAATATCAAGAATGGGAATCAATGCTTTTTTCCAAATACTGCCATTCGAGGCGTTGCCAACATGATCATTTGTCATTTCCGAGTCAATTAATACTGGCCGAATATGTAAGATGTGCTGTTGATAATACTGCTTTTGCTGTTGTTGTCGTTGTTGTCGCTGTTGTTGCTGATGGTATAAAAAGTCGATAGGATAAAAACGATGTACGGCACTATCCACAAAGTATGTTGGCTCTTTTGCTTCTGTTGATTCCACTTCTGTTGCTGTCATGTCGTTAGATACAGTAGACGGGGATATCACCTCCATCGTCGTCAAACCAAATAGCGATCCAATTTCCAACTGACTAACATAAGAGAGACTATCCAATCGAGAAGTAAACACCAGTGTAGTCACCAGCGGTTTGTCATTGCCTTGTTGCCCATATGCATCTTGCTTTAATTCAAACTGTATTGTACGTATCCACCTTTCAAGTCCTATTGTTCCATCTGGCCATATCTTCATTGTTGTTGGTTGCATCTCCATAACATAGTGTATAGTAATCCCAAGTTCCAGAATACCACCACCTTTTTCCACAAAGAAAGATGCTAGTCGTATCTTGTCCTTGTCATTGATCGGCTGTGATAAACATAATCTTGTGTTATTGATAACTGAAACAGGTAGAGAGTGAGGAATAGCGGCGATCTGTTTCATATCTTGATAGTTGCACATCATATACTTGTGTTCCAATGTTGTTGACATGCCAGTAAATGAGATCCTTTCCACCACCAATTGAAACCTTTTGATCAAATATATATTCCCCAAAATCACATTTGACATTGTTGATAACCTTGTTGACGCTTGATCATGTCGTCCAGTACCAGTCAATAGAAGTTTTATCTTGTACGTATCGTCCATAAAATATAGTTCGCCATCAGGTAAACAATCCACTACACCAATCACCCAAGCAATGTCCTTTGTCTTTGCATCGTAATAATATCTAGTGACGCCAGGATGAGAAGTAATGAAGGACGGAGGCACTTCGATAAGTGGAGAAATGTTCAGTTTGTAACCCATGTCGTCGATATCGTTGTCAAGTATTGTTGATACCAATTGTTGTAATGAAGGGCATTCATCTAGAACCACTTTGGATGATCCATTTGTCACTTCATCAACCGCAAGGCATGATTGTCCATGTTGAAAAAAGTCACCATACAAATCACCTTGTTGATGCGTACTTCGATTGCCTGTCGTAGAGAATACTGTTTCGATCAGTTGCTTGCCTACCCACATTTGAAGAGATACACCATCGTCATCTGAGCCACTTTGATTCTTGAGGTTGAGTAAATTAGCGAATTTGATTTGGATTGATGCAAATAGTTCCAACTGTCGAATCATTGCCGGAAAGTTGAGATGTCGTCCAATACAATGAGCATAAATCATTCGTCTAAGAGTCGCGCCAAACAAAGAAGATGCAGATAGTTCATCAGGATTATCAGATAATGTCGTATCTTTGCTTTCATCATCCATAGTAGTATCAATGTAGTGATCCAGATGTACAATATTGTTGCTGTCGTCGTCAATAAAACGGTCTATTCGCACATCACTTCGCATACAGGCCACCAATACACACCGAGCAGACAATCGAGTGGATCCATCTTTGTTGTTTTCATCATCAAGGTCTACCTTGGGTATCTTCCATTGCATGTCTAATAATAATGATTTGTCTACATTCGATACAATAGCCAGCCGATGAACATGAGAGATCACCAATCTCGTTCCCACAAGGTAAGGACAAGTTTCAGTGACGCCAATATGATGGAAAAGACATAAAATAACTTGATTGTTGAGTTCATAGATACCAAAAAAATGATCAATCACGCGAGTCACAATGCCAATATAATCAATCAAATTGCTTGAGGCGGTATCCATTGTCGAGAGTGTTGTCAGATGCGTCGTCGTCGTTGTTGTTGTTGTTGTTGTGTCGACATCCATAGGTATGATCCCACTGGTACTGCTACTACAATTCGATAACAAGTGATGATATTGCTGACTGGATAATTCAATAAAGGATGATGCTATTGTATATTTGAGTACATTCTTCTTGATCAACTTTGAAACTACCATTGTCGCAGTATCTAGCCTGTTAAAGAGATAAAACTGTCCAACCTGAAGTTCCATGTAGTATTTGATGAAATTGTCACCTTTGAATATAATAGGCACAGACCAGTTTCCGTGTCTTTCAACAGTAGAAACAGGGTATGAAGAGTTTTGACTTGACACATCCTTGAGTTCAACAAAGAAGAGTGCTTGAGAACCAGACTTGGCGTATAAAACTGATTTGGCACACAGGACTCCGATGACAGAGAGACCTTGTTGTTTTAAACTGATAAGTGAAACGTGATTCAATTGTTGAGGTGTAAAGTACGCAAAGCCAAGTGAAGACGAAGGATCATTCAATTGTTGAAGTAGAAACCGTACAGAGATTTGCTGTTCTTCCCGAAGAGTACCAGTAGAAGGACCAATACGAATGATAGAGTCACCAACAAACTGGATAAAATGTACACCTTTTCCCATGTCAACCAAGGTCCAATGAGGAATAAAAACGATAGTGTCTTGAACGTGATGATACATACGATCTACTTGACAGATAACCGCAGAGTACGTAGCATAAGGATCGGAAAGCAGAATTGTTCCACGTTGATGTTTCTCAGAACTATTAGTGACAATGTGAAGTTGACCATAAAGATAAGTGTGTTCATCGAAACTTGCGCCATGAATCAAATTTCTAACCGATATCATTCATGTATATTGATTGTCGAATTCAAAAAAAAAAAAAAAAAAAAAACTGAAGAAGAGGAACAAAAAGAGGGAAAATCAAAAAACGAGGGAAAAAGTAGCCTGGGTTTTCAACTACCGATTAACCAACACGATCAAATAGGAAATGAAATTGATAAAGATAAACGTTTATTATTTTTAAAAATGATAATATAAAAAAACAAATTAAACACAAGTATAACCACCATCGATGTAAATTTGAGAACCAGTAACATAACTGGAAGCATCAGAAGCCAAATAGATAACAGCACCATTTAATTCATCAGGTCTACCAAGTCGTCCCATTGGTGTATATTCCAACCATTTTTCTTTCACTTCAGGATTATTTCTAAACACATCCTTCAACATTTCAGTTTCCATATAACCAGGACTATAAAGAGAAATCGTAATAATAATAATAAAGTTAGGAATAAATTGAATTGTGGATGATGTTGTACTTACTTGATAGAATTGACCCGAATACCTCTTTGTGCCCATTCTTGTGCCAAACATTTGGACATCATTGTAACAGCACCCTTAGAAGCATTGTACTACAACAAAAATAATTAGAATAATCATTTTATCTTTTTTTTTTTTTTTTAATACTTACACCACAATGAGGTTGAGGTCGGTTAGAAATCAAACCTGACATTGATGAAATAAGGATGATGCTACCTCGTCCCTGTTCCAACATACGCCTAAAATAATCCAATATAAGATAGAATCAATATGATAGTTCCATCATCACCATCATTATTATTACTTACTTTGCAGCAGCTTGAACACTACAGAATACACCATGAACGTTGACGTCAAAGATACGTTTCCAATCATCCATACTAAAAGTCTACAAAAGGAAATGATTGTGATTAAAATGATATATATCTTTATGATTAAAAACTTACTTCGGCAGGACCTTCAATAGCAATACCAGCATTGGCAACGAAGATGTCAATATGACCAAAGTCCTTATAAATTTGATCAATGGCAGCAGTGACTTCTTCAGGCTTTCCCATATCAGCCTTATAAGCCTTACATTGGACATTGAATTCTTTACCCACAGCAGCAGCAGTATCATGAGTCTTATCACTAGATACATACATCATGGCCACATCAGCACCAGCACCAGCCAATGCTTTACTCATTTCTAATCCAAGGCCTCTATTTTTTTTTTTTTTAAAAAAAAAAATACAATCAGGTGAATGTTCCAAATGAGGAATACTGTCATTTTTGAAAAGTAGATAAAAAAAATCATCTTACCGTCCACCACCAGTGACAATAGCCTTCTTGCCTTTAAGAGAAAATAATTGTAATGCACTCATAATAGTAGTTTGTTGTTGGGGAGGAGTATATAAAGAGAAACTAAAAAAGAAGAAAAGAAAGAATACGAAATCTAGGAAATCAAGATATTAATAACATCGCGAGGTGAAACTGCGGTGATTCAAAGTAATAAGATGATGATGATGGATAAGTGATGTTGGGAACAAAAAAAAAAAAAAAGTTATTTAACAGTTCATGCAAATCATTTTTAACGACCGAAGCGTCATATCAAACCTGTCATCAGTATGAAACTTTACCCTTTCTATGATAAGAGGGTTTCTATCGGACATCAGTCATCTTTTTATTTTTTGAATAGATTGCATTTAAAAAAAAATCTTTTTGACTTTTAATCTCCCACCCAACTAATCAATGATAATCATGATTCACGTCTTTTTTTTTGGTTTCCTTTCTAGAAAACTAAAGAGATGTGTTGATCAACTCTGTGTTGGGGGTCGTCAAGGTAGCCGACAGAAAACAAGTCTAAAAAAAAAAATAGTTTGACTGGTGTTGAATTGATCCATTCCTTTTTTTTTTTTTTTTTTTTTTGGCGGGAAAAAAAATTTCTTCTCTTGCTTTCTTTACTTTTTTTTCAACTGTCCTAAAAGGTAAAATATTATCACTAATTGGATCCATCCATCCATCCATCCATCCATCCATTTTATTCATTTAAAAAAAATAATCTTATTGAATAGATCCATTATGGTCAAGAATACTCCTCAAAAGCGTTCTACTCTTGCTGATGTTGTGACCCGTGAATACACCATTCACCTTCACAAGTTGGTCCATGGACGATCCTTCAAGTCCCTTACTCCTCAAGCTATCAAGGCTGTCAAGCAATTCGCTGTCAAACAAATGGGAACTGAAGATGTACGTATTGATCCTTCTTTGAATAAGCAATTGTGGGCTCGTGGTGTTCGCAATGTTCCTCACCGTATCCGTGTGCGTATTGCTCGTAAGCGTAATGATGATGAAGATGCTAAGAACAAACTCTACTCTTATGTCACTTATGTCCCTGTCACCAGCTTTAAAGGTAAGAAAGAAAAAAAAAGGATCATGGTTTTTTTTTGTCTGGAATGGACCGCTGTTTGGTAGTTGTCTTTATGAATGTTGTATTACCCTTTTTTTCACTACAATATATAGAAAGACATGATATTTTTCATGATAAATAATCATGTTCTTTTCTTTTGTTTGTTTTTTATTGAAAAAAAAGGTGGATATACAATTCATAAAGATGATTTCCATCAGTTGAAAGCGCTAGAGGTTGGAGTCTTTTTGTTCTCCTATCTATGACGTGCATTTTTACTAATTTATTCTTTTATGTGTATGTTTTACTTTTGGAAATAGGTTTGGAAACCTCCGTTGTCGATGATGAATAAAGTGTAGTTATTCAAAACTATCATTCCTCTTTAGCATATAGTTTATTTTGTATTATACCTTTATATTAAAAATAAAATGGTGTCCATACCAAATCAACTTTATTGTTTCTGGGATTTTTTTTTTTGTGTTGTCTATTGAACTTTTTATGATCAATATATTTTAGGGCTGAGCAGATAAAAAAAAGGATGATCCTCTATAAGATGGATCGGGAACACGTGTGCAATAAAGGAACGGCGCTAATGCGAGTCAAGGTGACACAAATATCATCAATTTACAGAAGACAGAATTACAAATTTATATAAAAGTTTATTGAATCCTTGTCAAAAATAATAAAAAAAATATGCTTTTTAAAATAATATAACCAATAAAATGTTGGATCATCGACGTAAGGCATCTTTGAATATAGAATAACAACTTAAACCCGGGTCGTAATCTACAATCAATAATAACAATAACAATAATAATAATAATAATAATAAAAAGATAACATTAGTCATTTTCATACCATTCATATAAAACCCACTTACCAAAGTTGTCCGCTGGATTACAAGAGCACTTATCACGATAAATAGGTTCTGTTGGACAATGAGTATATGCTGTATGTCTATAACCGATATCATTGAAGAAATGAAATTCATCCTTTTTTAACATCATGGCTGCTGCTATAGAATGAACTGGTGCATCACCCCATCTTAATAAAAAAAAAAAAAAAAAAGATGAGTCATTCATTTCAAGTATATATTGATGTTTTTATTACCTTTCGTAAAAGAATCCGCCAGCACGATCCAAATAATTGAAATACTTGAGATATTCATTTGATCTCCATAAATCCAAGGAAGCAATTTCAAAGTTGGTCCAAAAATGACAAGAATTGTATGATAAGCCATCGTCACTAGCCACAAAGTTCCAAAGAGAATCTTCAGGGCTTGGTAATTGTTTCATTACCTCAGGATGACTCTTTTTGAAATCCAAGACAGTTTGCCATAAAGTTGGTACAGTTGCTAAGAATTCACGAAAAGCAATATTGAATCCTATAACAAAATGATCATCTCATGAGTATCCTTGTTTTTTTTTTTTTTTTCTAGAATTACCATATTTTTTGCCATTATCCTTCATAAATCTGAATACATCATAATCTATATCACAATGATAATCCACATCGGGTTCAATTCGCCAATAGTAATCGTAAGGATCGAGTAATGGGTGTCTAAAGAAGAATCCACTTTGAAATCTATAGATAAAGATAATTAGTTTATAATCTATTTGATTGTTTTTTTTTCTTATTACCTGCACATATGTCGATAAGATTCACTATCTGCATAAGGAATACCTTGAGTAGCCAGTTCAGCTCGTTGTAAAGCAGCATGTGTTTGATTGATAAAAGAAGGGTATCCCCACATTTGTTGATCTACCTTGCCAAAGTTAACTTGAGCAGTAGTCAGAGCAGTAATTTCTTGAATAAATTGTTCAGTAAAATAATCGTCATTCAAAAACACATATGGATAATGGAATTGCTTATTAAATCGTTGTTCTATTTGGATGACAGTATTTTTGATGCCTTGTAATTCACTATTTCGTACCAAGACTACAAAACAGGCACGCATAGGTTCCGAACTACTTGTTGTTGTTGTTGTTTTTACAGTATCGAGATTGTGTAAGTATTTATTTACTGGTGATATGTACAAGGATGTCAGGACAAACATTAAACCCAAAAGTGTACAACCTATAGATAACCATTTCGACCGTATTGATCGAAGTGAAAGTCCCAACCTTGTAAACATATGTTAGAAGGGAGGAGAGGGGGGAATAAATAAGTAAAAAAGAAAAGAAGAAAAAAAAATTTAGAAAGCGAAAAAAAAGAAAGAGAAGGAATACTGTAAACAGAAAAAGAGACTTTTTTTATTTTAGTGTTTTTTTTTTTAATTTTCTTTTCCAGCTAGGCGGCAAAATACTTGGCATCCTATTTCATGCCCTTTTTTTTTGGTGTATCACCGACTCTAAAAATAAAGTTTGACCTTCGTATAAGATCTTCAGTGAAAAACATACCTCGTTCATTTTTTTCTTTTTCTTTTTTGAATTTAAAAGAATCAGTTGAAAATAATAATCATAATATTTGATTGGAATAGTTTTCAATAAATATTAATATATATAATCATAAATTGAGACAATAATATATATCAATAATTTTTTTTTTTTGGCATATCCATTCAAAGTAACATTCCCAAAAAAGGAAAGTTGGCGATGGATTTCATTGGCCGATACCTTTTCCTTGTTTGCCTTTCCCGTGTGACTACAGATAGTCAAAAGAATTTTTTGCCACTTTTATGGGAACGTAAAGCAATCCCATTTCTTTTCTTTTTTTTTTCTCGAAGGTACCTCCCTTTTCTTTTTATTACAAATATTTACTTTATTTTAAAACTACTCATATATTCATACACTACATATACATTTCAACTATAATATAAAAACAAGTGATATATTTTATATATAGATATATCTGAATTGCCCAATCAAGAAAGATATATTTACATATATATATATATATAGATAGATAGAAGATAGATAGATATATATATGTATACATAAATGACAACTTTACATTCACCATCCTCACAACAACTGCAACGACAGCAACAACAACAGCAGCAGCAGCAACAACAACAACAACAACAACAGCAGCAGCAGCAGCAGCAGCAGCAGCAGCATTGGGGAGTGACAGGTCCTATATCTTCTTCGTTTCCTTCACCTTTGGAATTAGAACAAACTGAAAAATTGGTCAAGACACTTCATGAGAATGGTCTATTTGAATCTGAACAAGAAGCTCAAAAACGGTAATAGTTTTATCATAAGGAAATCATTTCTTTATTTTATACTTATTTATTTATCCATGTAGTATCATTGTATTGGGAAAACTAGACAAACTTGTCAAGGAATTCGTTTACAAAGTGAGCAAATTGAAAGGATTTCCTGATTCTTTAGCAAAAGAAGCTGGTGGCAAGATATTCACTTTTGGAAGTTATCGACTTGGTGTTCATGGTGCTGGTAAGTGATCGTTTTATAATAGTTATTCATTCAATTGATATATTTTTCTTTTTTTTTATCTATCTATTTTAGGTGCTGATATTGATACTCTATGCGTTTTTCCAAAACATGTTGAACGAGAACACTTCTTTACTATTATGCGGGATATGTTACTTGAACGACCAGAAGTCACTGAACTGACGGTAATGAATCAAATTTCTTTATAGTTTTCCCATATAGTGAATATTTTCTTTAATTTTCAATTTCTCTTTTTAGGATGTAGTAGATGCTTTTGTACCAGTGATCAAAATGCATTTCTCTGGAATACCAGTAAGTTTATAATTGTAATTATATATATATGTTGATTAATGATCATTGTATAGATCGATTTTGTATGTGCAAGGCTAGGTGTGGCTCAAGTACCTGATGATTTGGAATTATCAAATAATAACTTACTCAAAGGATTGGATGAACGATGTATACGAAGTGTCAATGGATCACGTGTGACAGATGAAATATTACGACTGGTACCCAATATCCCAACATTTCGAATAGCTTTGCGTGCAATCAAGTTATGGGCAAAACGACGTGCGATTTATTCCAATATCATGGGATTTTTGGGAGGTGTTGCTTGGGCCATGTTAGTGGCTCGGATATGTCAATTTTACCCAAATGCGTGTGCATCCACCATCATCGGTCGATTCTTTCGTATTCTTTATCAATGGAACTGGCCTCAACCTGTACTTTTGAAACCAATGGAAGATGGTCCTCTCCAAGTGCGTGTCTGGAACCCCAAGCTATACCCTGCTGACAAGAGCCACCGGATGCCAATTATTACTCCTGCTTACCCATCTATGTGTGCTACTCATAATGTTACGGATTCTACTAGAGCTATCATGATCACCGAGTTTGAACGCAGTGCAGATTTGGTAGAACATTCCATACTTCAAGGTGACTCTTCTTGGCAGGTCCTTTTTACAAAAAGCAACTTTTTTCAAGATTATAGACATTACTTACAAATTGTTGCTGGGTCACCAACGTCTGATATTCAAGTCAAATGGTAAATACTCTTTATTCATTATTATTATTATTATTATTATTATTATTATTATTATTACTAAACTCATTTCTCTCTTTTTTTTTTTTTTTTTTTTTTTTTTTCTCTTTCGTGATTACGTAGGCACGGTCTAGTGGAATCAAAAATACGTCAATTAGTTTTGAAATTGGAATTAGTAGATATGCTTCAATTGGCACACCCATATATCAAAGGAATAGACAAGTTACATTATATACTCAGTGACAAGGAATTGGAAGATGTCAAGAATGGTGGATCCATTCAAAATCGATCATTTGAAGTGGGTGAAGGCAACATGGATCGAAACTATATTGACTGGATTAAAGAAAAAGGGGAATTATCGGATCAAGATATTAACAAACTGACACCTTATTACACCACTAGTTTTTATATTGGACTTGTTGTCGAACCATCATCACGAAGTGGCGAGAGATCAGGCGAACAAACCAGACGGAAATTGGATATTATATGGCCAACACAAGAATTCTTGAAAATGGTGAAATCTTGGGATGGGTATGATGATACTTGTATGTCTGCTGTGCTAAGGAATGTGAAAGGTTCCATGTTACCGGCGGATTTACTGGGCAAAGATAAGAAACTGAAACGATCTCAAACAAAAGTATATATTTAAAAAAAGGAACTGAAATGTATGTGATATTAAACATTATTTGTTTTCTATTTTTTAGGTGAAGGGGAACAACAACAATAATAATAACAATAACATCAGTAACAACATTATGAATAACAACAATGGCACTCATCATAGTCAAGATCATATTAATACTACTAACAACAACCATCATCTAGTTTCAAAGGTGGATAATCCGAACAAGAAATTCCGGTGCGATGATGAGCCTCCGTCAATAGAGACAGCAACAACAACAAATGGTGATCATCTTTCCGAAACCATGTCATTAGTTAGTTGAAGCCATCTCCTTCCACATATACATATTTTTTGATTATTTCCCATTCCCCATTCTCTTTTTTTTTCATTATTATTATTAGCTAGTTCTTTTTTTTTTTTTCCCTTTCCTCATTATCATTTGTATGAATATGCGCTTCAAAATGTACATAAAAAATTATTTGAATCAATAAAGCTCATCAAATTCTCTTCACGTGCAACCTGATCGGAGTGAAGCACTTGCCATTTTTTTTTTTTTGTAAATCTTTTTTTTTTTTTTTTATTTCATTTCTTGTGTCTATTTGTTTGTTTTGTTTTATGAACTCTTTATAATGACATCTTTACAGGAATTATTAAAAGATGTCCCTAGTGAGCTTCATGCTCATAAAGGTAAAAAAAAAAAAAAATGGTAACGAAAAGAAAACATAATATTTGTTTTATCAATCATATTGACAGCCTGTTTTTTTTTTTTTTTTATTCTTGTTTCTTTTAGTGATGGAATTTCTTCAAGCACCTAATAATATCAATCAACAACCAACATTATTTAATCATGCCATACAATATCTTCGTATCAAAGCAATCAAAGTAAGCATTATAAAACTGTTAATAGTGTGTATAAACTAACAATCTACATATGATTAGGGTGATGTGGAGGCCAAAGTCAAGCTGGGTATCGTGTTAAGTGGACAGTTACGGACAACAGATGAACATTGGCAAACTATTATTGACAAACGTGAAGCAGAACTTTGGGGTCAAAGTCTTTTTGATCGATGGTTATCCTCAGCTATTGTGCCTTGTCTTGGTCTTGTGGAAACCAATCTTCTTCATTGTCAAAAAGGATCTGACAAACCAACAACATTCTTTCGATTGATGGATACTATTTTGTCTTATGCAGATGATACATTGAATGACAGTGATCAACAAAAGTCAAAAACTATCAACAAGATCAAAGGTGATATGAGTTACCTCGTAGGACTAATGCGATTGAAAGGTATAGGACTAGAAAAGGATATTCAACAAGCAACAACCTACTTCCAACGAGCTAGTCAACAGGATCATGATGGTGCTATATATCAACTGGCAATGATGATGGAGGATCAATACACTTATCCAGATCTTTACGACATGAAGCAAAGTGTGACTCTTTATGAAAAAATGGTGATGAATCATCAGAAGAAAAAGAAGAATGGATCAGTTGTATTATCAGGACCTGATGCTCGAGCATTGACGAAATTGGCACGAGTGTATTATGAAGGGGAAGGACAAGCAAAGGATTTGGAAAAGGCATATCAATATGCACGCAAAGTAGCAGAAGGCAATGGAGAAAAATATTGTCAATTCATGGTGGGCGATATTTTATTACAACAAAAGGATATTCAACAATCATTATTTTGGTTGGCTCAATCTGGACAACAAGGCTTTCCATTAGCTATTGAAGCATTGGCGCGGATTTATTTTGAAGGTATTCCTTCTTTGGTCAAGCAAGATTATGATTTGGCACATGAATGGTGTCTCAAGGGGGATGATATTTGGCCATCGGGATTAGGATATTGTCAATCTTGTTTGGGTGATATGTATCGTCAAGGTCTTGGTGTACCAAAAGATCAAATGAAATCTTTTGAATATTATCAAAAAGCGGCAAGTCAACAAGATGCTCCACAAAATTATGCACGATACATGTTGGGTGAAATGTAAATTAAAAACAAAAAAAAAATAGTGTACTAACGACATTTTTTTTTTTTTAACTTTTTCGTTTTTGAAAGGTTTTATCATGGTGATGGTTTGATTCAAAATATACCGGTGGCAAAGGATTATTATCAAATTGCAGCACAAGAACAATATGAACCAGCATGTCAACGACTCAAGGAAATAGAAATATATGAACGACAACAAATGGAAGAAAGTTTGATACCCCAAAAACCTAGTAAGCCTTGGAAAATCATGTCTTTATTTAGTGGTAGAAGAAAAATATCTGCATCTTAGACATATGATAGAATACCCATATACATTTATTTATATGTACATTAATCAATAAAATATAAAAAATCTTCTTTTATATTTAAAATCGGGAACGTGGGAACATTATAAAGTAGCGTCATCGTCGCAATTCATCACGTGGATATCAAGATCGTAATAGGGAATCATCATCTGGTAGTACAATAAAAAAAAAAGAAAATCAATACCCAAAGAAACATATCAAAAACTTCCCACATTTTCTGAAACCAGCCTAACTTTTACAAAATTCGGGAAACAAGAGGTAAAAAAAAAAAAAAAATTCATTTAACCACCGATTCAGTCATGCTGAAAGGAACGCAATTCTAAAAGACCTTTCTTTGTCTCTTTTCTCTTTCTCTTTTTCTTACAAAACAAAACAAAAATATTTATATTTTTTTTTTATTATTATTACTCTACAAATATGTTTCCTTCAATAGAATCTATATCACCTGGTTATACTATTCTTGACATTAGAACTGCGGATAGATCTACAACCAAGTTATTTAACACTACCACTGGACCTAGCAATGCAAGTAATATACGTATGGCACCTCCCTCTCCTCCTGCTTCTACACATCCTTCTTTAGAAGATGCATTCAATAGTGCTGATCTGGTAGACACCATTTTGAATTCTTTGGACCAACCTCCCACTCAAAAATCCATTCCTACCTTTGTACTCTATGATACCTTGGGATTACAATTGTTTGATCAAATTACTCATTTGGATGAATATTATTTGACCAATGCTGAAAGAGCTATATTACAACAACATGCTGATCAACTTGCTGATAGAGTGAAAAATGGTTCTATTATCATTGAATTAGGTGCTGGGTAAGTTTTATAAAATGATAAAATGAAAATCATATTCATCTTTTTTTTTTTTTTTAATTAGTTCACTACGAAAAACAGAATTGATTCTAAAGGCTATGGAAATGAAAAAGAAACGCGTTACTTATTATGCATTGGATTTGGATCAACATGAATTGGAAAAATCTTTGTCTTCCTTGGGAAATCAATTCAATTATGTTCAATTGTATGGTCTTTTGGGTACTTATGAACAAGGTATTCCCTGGCTTAGTCAGCAATATACAAGTCGCAGCACACCAAAAGTAGTTCTCTGGCTTGGAAGTTCTATTGGGAATCAATCACGACAAGAATCTGCTATTTTTTTACGACGTTTGCAAAGAACATGTTTACAACCAGGTGATCTTTGTGTGATAGGATTTGATCGTCGAAATGATCCATCCGTGATTGCCAAAGCCTATGATGATCCTCAAGGGATAACGCGTCAATTTATTATGAATGGATTGGACCATGTCAATGTGATTCTTGGACAAGCACTGTTTAACAAGGATGATTTTGATTATGACTCACGCTATCAATCTCTTCATGGACGACATGTGGCGCATTATCGAGCAAAAAAGGATTTGACGTTGACTTTTTCAAAGAAAAATGGGCAACGTGTTGTTCAAGTTATCAAGGACGAATTGATTCATGTCGAACATTCTTACAAATACAATCTGGCGGAAATCTCTCATATCCTTAATGCTGCGGAATTGGATTTGGTGGAACAATGGATGGATCCCAAGGAATTATATCGTCTGGTTTTAGCCGAATGCCGACCCTTCCATTTTGAACGTGATAATCAAGGCACGGTAGCAACGCTCTTCCCCTATGATTCTCAACAAACGGATGATGAACGACTGAACTGCGCAACGTGTGATACTGGTGCTTCCAAACAACAAGTCCAACAAGCTCAAGATGATCAACAACCTAATTTACCTGGTACTTTGGTCAACATTACTGGAACAAACCGTTGGCCTCAAGCTGTACCTTCTTTGCACGAATGGGAACAATTATGGACTTGTTGGGATGTGGTGACTCGTACGATGATAGACCATAAAACCATGCTGTTTGAACGTCCCATTGCCTTGCGTCATCCCTTTCTTTTTTACCTTGGTCATATTCCTGCATTTTTGGATATCATGCTCTCTCGACATCAAGCTGATCAAGAAATAGCTGACATGGAAGGTACATCCACAGCATTGACTGAACCTAGTTCTTTTGCCGATATTTTTGAACGAGGTATTGATCCTGATATAGACGATCCAACTCAATGTAATCCTCATTCTCAAGTTCCCTCCAACAATCAAGATTGGCCTTCCGTAGAATCTATCTTGGAATATCAACAACGTGTTCGACTTCGACTTCGGCGACTATTATTGCATTGGGAGACTGAAGGTTATAATCATACAGATGATCCTCTGGCTTGGATGATTCCTTCTCGACAACGTGCAGCTCGTGTGGTATGGATGTGTTTTGAACATGAAGCCATGCATGTGGAAACTCTTTTATATATGTTGGTACAAAGTCCTAATATTCATCCTCCTACAGTGGCTCCTCCAGCATGGTGGTATTCCCAACAACAACAACAACAACAACAACAGCAAGAACAGCTTTCGATTTTATCCTCAGCACCATTGATTTCTATCAAGGACAATACTACTGTACAACTTGGACATGATGATGATGAATCCATGGATGGAAAGAAAGTAACATCAGTAGAATTTGGATGGGACAATGAACATCCAAAACGAACAGTACCATCCAATTCTTTTGAAATTCAATCACGACCTGTGACGAATGGTGAATATTGGCAATTTTGGAAAGAAAATGGTGAACCCTCTTTATGGCCAGCCTCATGGATAAAGAAGGATGATGATGATCAGTTACCTCAGATCAAGACCAGTTTTGGAATGTGTGACATGCATGATGCCGTGAATTGGCCTGTACAGGTATCTTGTGTACAAGCCGAAGCCTATGCCAATGCGAACAAGATGCGATTACCCTCTGAAGAAGAATGGATCTTGTTTCGACAACACATGGACAAGACCCCCATCAAGGAATATGACGATGATCAAACATTGGGCCGTGATGTAGCGAATATTGGCTTTCAAGCATGGACGCCCTTAGCTTTGAACAATCAACAAGTACATGTCATTGGCGATGTATGGGAATGGACAAGTACTGTGTGGGACTCATATCAAGGCTATACACCTAGTGAATTGTATCCTGGTTATTCGGCTGACTTTTTGGATGGGAAGCATCATGTGGTACTTGGTGCAAGTTGGGCAACACATCCTAGAATGGCTGAACGGATTTCATTCAAGAATTGGTATCAGGCTGCCTATCCTTATGTTTTTTGTGGGTTTAGACTTTGTCGTTCCTTGTAGTTCTATTCTCTCTCTCTCTCTTTTTTTTTTTTTTTTTTTTAGTATGATTATATATATCTTTTTTTTTTTTTTTTTTTTGAATAAAGCAATCGGTATTGAAATCAGCTGTATAAGTTTTATTTTTTTCTTACTACCTTTGACCTGTTCTTTTTTTTTTTTTTTTTTTTTTGGTACTATACCTTCGAGTTGCTCAACAGACAAATCTTTTACTTTCTGTACACACACATACAGCCTTCTTGAATTGATATCACGATTGGTAGTACGACAGGACAAGATGGCTAAAAAGGTAATCCATTATATGTATATATTATAAGGGATCAACAAGGCACAAGCTTATTCAATCCCTTTTTCATCCAGCTGGCCGGACAATAGGTATTAGCGATTCAAGGCGATAATACAAGTTAATCATCGAAATAGGTCAATGATCTTTCTTTTTTTTTTTTTTTTTTTTTTTTTTTTTTGTCAATGACAAGCATTTAGTATATGGCAGTAGAATGAATTATTCCTTTTATGGCTCGATGGAAAAAAAAGGATGTTTGATAGTTTTGTAATCGTTATGATATTTATTTTGGGTGACTCGGATGATGATTCCATTATGGAAGCAAAGCATTTAACTATGAACTTTATTCAGGTCAAAAGAATAGTTTTTATCTATAGTGATAGGATCAAGTTTGGTTCGATCAATGGATGAGGAAAGGATGGATGATGAAAGGCGATCAACTCCTTTTTTTTTTTTTTTTTAAGAAGATGACACACTAGGGATGATCACTTCAGTTTTGAGTTCTTATGGCGGTTCTAGAACATGATGTGTCTCAACCTATGATTTTGACTTGATTATCCTTCCCAACAGTATATTCATACTCAAGATCTCCTATTGTGTATTTATTTCTACTATTTCTAGATTTTTTTTTTTTATTATTCAAAATTCCTATAATAGACCCGTTTATCCATCTTCCTCTTTAAGAATCCACTCTTTTATTATTATTATTATTATTATTTATTTATTTATTTATAATGTTGTTATTAAGAACCTTTTGTTAATGATATGTCAACACAGCCCAACCCAACATGAGGAGATTACCGTATATGGATAACCTTGGATGGCAGCGCCCAAGTGTAAAAAAAAAAAAAAAAAAAATGTCATAATTGATCATGTTATCATGATGATATTCTCTGATTTCATTAAAAACATCTATTAAAATGGGGATTTCATGTGAATCATCGATGAAACCAAAATAGTTTGTTTTTTCCAACTTTGATTGTCCTCCTATTTTTTTTTTTCTATTTATATAAATGGTAATACACATATTTATTGATTCTAAGATAAGATAATGAGGCATATAAAAACAATAAGAAGATCGAATAAATAAACTATTGTACAAAAATGGATATATATATATAAATTATACTAATAAAAATTGCGTATCTTGTGTGCACAATGATAATGTCGCCAACCATTTGGAAGTTCCCCATCATCACACATTTCTACATTGTTCATCCAATCACAATCCAAAGCTTGGTCCACAGTCCAACGTTGTTTTGGGTCAGGATCCAATAAATGTGCCAAGCAAGAGCGAATTTCCATGGATAATCCCTCATTGTTTGATGTTTCTTGTGATGGTCCAAGCCAAAGGTGACATTGTAAAAGATCTTTTTGTCGTTGATCGAGGTATTGTTGATAACCTTTATCGCCATGATCTTCAGCTTGAGCAGCCACCATGGCTGGTGATCCAGGAACAGCATGTTTCATAGTAGGAGCACGATAGAAACTACATTTGAAAGGAAGAGAATGGAATCGGATACAATAATAAGTCACGGCAGCACTCCAGATATCTAATGCACGACCATCATAAGGGTCTTGGGCACTTGTCAACGTCCACATTTCAGGCGACCAAAAGTTTTCAGAGCCACACCATTCATGACAAAGATGAGCCTCTTTTTCAAAACAGGTCTGTACAACATCCGCCACGCCAAAATCAGCAATCTTCAATGTACCACCTGTTGTCATCACTAGATTTTCAGGTTTGATATCACGGTGTGCAATTCCCAATTTGTGTAAATGTTGTAATCCCAAAAGGAGTTGTTTGAATAAGCATGATTGTTCCATGATAGATAACGTAGGTCTTTCTTCCAATAAACTAAATAAATCACCACCAGCACACTATTATCAATAAATAAATAAGTATAAAAAAAAAAAAAAAACTATTTAGAACTTACATATTCCATCACAGTACACCATCGATTATGTTCATCCAAAACAAGATCCTTTGTTTCCACAACATGAGGATGACCACTTGCTGATTTACTAATACAATATTCATTTTGCATTCGTTTTCTATAAGCACGTTCATCTTCATTCTTATCTTTCTTGATAAATTCCTTGACAGCCAAGATAGGAGAACCATCGCGAGGTTGAACCAGTCGAATCACAGCAGTAGCACCACTTGCCACATTCTTTTTGTTTCCACCAAGATGTTTTTTTTTGTCGATAGGTTTGATATAAGGTCCATATTTAGATTCCAATCGATCTACTTGATCAAAAGTATGGTTGGATCCATTGAAAAGAGGATGACTGTTGGACGGAGAAGTGGGAATCGGATGGTGAAAATGCCGTAGAATACTACCTAGTGATCTACTTAGTTTAGCTCCAGGGCTTTCAATACCCGCAAAGCTATGCATAGAGGATCGACGACTATTATTATTATTGTTGTTGTTGCTGATGTTGTTATCATTTGTATCATGATGTAAATTATGACAAACTTGCGTAGCCATATGTGCAGGTGAACTAGGTGTTGTTGTAGAATGATGGGTTGTTTCCAAATTGCGCATGATAATAGAATGAGAATGAAACAGAGATCCAAGCCGACTGTTTTTACGTCTACTACGAGTTGATTCAGTTAAACTAGGTGTTGGTAGTTTTCCATTGTTGGTATCGATAGACGATAGAGATTTATTATCCAATGGGTCATCCCAATGATGTTTCTCTTCAGGATCAACCAAAGTCGTGGCAGCAGGTGACATATTTTTGTATATAATAAAAAGTTCAAATATATAAATACATGAAATAAAAAGAGTATAGTAAAGAAGAAAAAAGAAAAAAGAAAAAGGGAAAAAAAAAGAAAAGAAAAATGCCCTTTTTTTTTATTTTATTACCATCGGAGGATGAATTCATGATACTTTTCGCTTGATCATTTTCCCATTGATTCAATCTATATACCAAAAATGTTTGTTTCCTCCTTTTTATTTGGTTTTCATGATGTACAAAAAAAAATGTTACTTTTTTTAAATTCTTCATTAGATATTTCATTGATGTAATGACTGTAATATCTTGAAAAAAAAAAAGAAAAACCGAACTAAAATTTCTTTGTTCTCTCTAGTTTGAAATGACGATTTTGTTTTTAGTTACACCATACTCCATGTGCACACTTTCTGTTCTGCTTAGTGATCCTTTCGTTCGGTCCATTTCTTACCCCGCTCGCCACCATTTCAAAAAAAAGGAAAAAAAAAAACAGGGTTCAAAACTTTTCCTCTTTCTCTCTCTCTCTCTCTCAATCTTTAAGGTAAAATTAATATCCATCCATCCATCCATCCATCCATTGATATACAATGATACTTATCTATTATTATTTTTTTTTATTATAATAGATTAAATCATGAAGGATATCTATCAAGACGACGAACTTATCATTCCTCAAGGTGTCAAGGTAGCCATCAAGGCTCGTGATATCACAGTGACAGGTCCTCGAGGTACATTGAACAAGAACTTGCGTCATTTGAACATTGAAATCAAGTTTGCTGGTAAAGACAAGCTCAAGTTTGTAGTGTATCATGGTGGTCGTAAGCATGTCGCTTGTATTCGTACTGTCCGTTCTCTTGTCAACAACATGATCATTGGTGTCACCAAAGGATTCCAATACAAGATGCGTTACGTCTATGCGCATTTCCCTATCAACTGTATTATCAATAATGATGGCAAGGATGTTGAAATTCGTAACTTTTTGGGTCAAAAGGTTGTGTTCCGTGTCAAGATGCGTGAAGGTGTTACTGTTGCTGCTTCTACCAACCAAAAGGATGAATTGACTTTGACTGGTAATGATTTGGAAGCTGTTTCTCAATGTGGTAAAGTATCCATACATAAAAAAAGAAAATTCCTTTCTTTTTTTTTTTTTTTACTAATTAATTTTTTTTTTCTTTTTCTTGTTTATTTAGCTGCTGATATTCAACAATCTTGTCTTGTTAAGAAGAAGGATATTCGAAAGTTTTTGGATGGTATCTATGTTTCTGAACGCAATGTTCTTGAAGAATAGATGAGTGTATGATTTAGTTTATCTTTTTTGTTTTTATTTATTTGACATTTGTTTTGATGCATGATACCTGGCAGATCCTTTCCTTTTTTTAGTTTAGATACTTTATATTTTAATAAAGATACACAACGCTGTCTTCGGGATCGGCTGCAGAGGTCTGTTCCCACCGTCTTTTTCTAGTGTTTGTCAATGATTATATGAAGACTTTATCAATGGAATGTCTTCTCTTCTATGATTTCATTGACTTTACGGTACTTTGTTGTTCAACCTTTTTGATTGTGAAACAAAAGTATAGTGATCTCTGAATGATGATCATGTTAAGAGTCATCATAGAATGAGTTGGCATATCGTGAAATTGAATGTGGATTGAATCTCATTGAAATATGAATGATATTCATGATGATGACTGAATGAAAATGAAAATGAAAATGACTTTATGATAATGAATGATAGCATAATAGAACCATATCTACGAAATGAGTGTAAATTATAAATAGGGAGTAAATAGAGTTTCAAGATTAATATAATATAAAAAAATCGATCTTTTTTTTTTGCTTCCTTTTAATTGAATAAAATTGACAGTTATAGAATTTAGTATAAAAGAAAAGGATATGATAATAAAGATGATGATGATGAAAATAATGATTGATGTAATGTATGTAAAAAAAGAAAAAGGATAATAGAATAAAAAAAAAAAAGAAAAATAAAGGGAAAAGAATGTTGGATTAAAAACATGAATAGGGAGATCAAAAAAAAAAAAAAAGATGTTGCCACTATCTGCGTTTATTGGAAGAAAATTTGAGACCAAAGAATTTCTTTTTTGTTGAGGAAACTCCATTTGAATATCTTGAGTCACTATCATAGAAAGTATTGTCGTCATCGGTTCCACGTTCACTTTTAGGATAAGATCGAGCAGGTGAAGGATAACCATATTCATTTTGCGCTGGTAAAGAAGGAGGTCGAGAGTTGTAAGATGATAAGTTTGAACTTGATCCACTAAAGCCAGCCAATCCACCAGCACCAATACTTGAATCATTATCATCAGGTCTTAATTTCATATTAGAGAGTTGTCCATTGAGATCCAATAAACCACGTTCCAAAGTTTCAAATGCAGAAGTAAAAGTAAACACACGATCCCGAATATGAGCTTCAATCTTGATTTCTGTTTGACCAAAGAACATCTTGATCGTCATAAAAATAGGTTCACCTTTTTGTACTCCATGAAATTTGGGCATCTTGATAGGAAATCGTGCTACTTTGAATACATTGGCATCTGTAGTTAATCTTGGAGTTTCACCTTGACCATCAAAAGCAAATAAGTCTATCAAAAAAAAAAATGTCAGAATCTCCTTTTTTTTTTTTATTGTACATCATCCCTTGTACTCCCTTTTTTTTTTAACTTCTTCTTACCAGTGTCTGTATCATTGGGATAAGCAATCATGAAATTCTTAGAAACACATTCATCTACCTTGATAGCTTGACCTTTTTCCACATAAATACTAAATCGTTGTTTGCAAAACAATCGTCCGTCATCACCTTTGATACATTGTTCAGGAGGATCAGACCGAGCATCAAAGAGCATTCGAGTTTCTACACCATAAGTACGCCGTGAGACCCGTTCAGTAACCATACGAGGATTCAAACCAAAATAAACAGCACCCCTGACAACCGCCAATTCACCACGAGGAGGAACACCAATAAAGCCCACACGACTTTCAAATACTTCTCGTACCCGACGATATAAATAAACAGATTGACCAAATCCACCCACCAAAAAGATAGCATCCAACATAATATGAGATTGATGTAATTGTTCATCAATAAGATAAAGGACTTGATGAATCACGGGTTCAAATACATATTCACGTAATTCTTGAGCTGGTAAATGCAAGTTACCATCTTCAATCCCCGCATCAGGATCATCCATATCTCCTAATCCTAATGAAGCTGGAAGAGGGAGGAATTGATCTTCTTCACCGTCAAATTGAGGCTAAATATGTCAAATACATAACAAAAAAAAAAAAAGGTAAGGAGTTTTTGATTGATCCCCTAGATATATATATATATATATATATATATATAAATTGATTCTTTTACCTTGATAGCTTCCACAAATGTTTCCATCATAGCTTCCATAGCTGTATCACTGACCTTGCCATGATGATAAAATCGATTTTTCAAATAATCTCGCATACGCATATCCAAAAATGTAGATCCACAAGAATCTCCTTGACCTTTAGTGACTTCCTTGAGAGATCGTCGATTACCAGAGTCATCAATTTCAAACACAATCAAATCCACAGTACCACCACCAGCATCACAAATCATAAAACGTTGGGCATGACCAAGATTGAATTGTTCAGATTTCTTTTCACAGTAGAGAGCAGCAGCTTCAGGTTCACTAATTAACATGAGACGATCAGGATGATCCCATCGATTGACAATGCCAGCACGAATAGCAGCTTCACGCATCGTAGCCTTGGCTTTGTCACTCCACATTGCAGGTACGGTCAAACAATATCTGAATTTGGATTGATCATAATTAGAGGCAAAACCACGTTGTAATTCACCAGTGACATGAGTATGAAAAGCTTCCAAATAATCCGTAATACAATCCAAAGCTGTTAATCCATTAGGTAAAGGTGGTAAATCTTCCAAATTTTCATCCAAATGTAATTTGAATCTTGATAATAAATGATCGATATTACTTCGTTTAAATGATAACTTTCGAGCTTCTTGTCCCCATGCTACAAGTTTATTGGATCCATTACGATAAAGTGATAACGTCGGAGTCTTGGGATATACATTCATTTGTTTCGGCCTAAAAAGATACCATCAAAAATAACGACAAAACAGGACAATTGCCTCGCGATTAGTTCATATGCATTTTTCAAATATTTTCCCCCCCTCTTCTTCTTCTTCCTTCCTTCCTTCTTTCTTTCTCCTCTTCCCTTTTATACAGATAAATATTCACTCATTAAACAATAACCAATCCTCTTCTTCTAATATATATATATATATATATATTTTTACCATCTAGTAATATCCACAATTTCGTCTCCTCCGTCTTTAGTAAATGCATAACAGCACCCTGAAAAAGTTGTACCGAAATCTATATAAAAAAAAAAAAAAACAAATAAAAACAAAAAAATAAAAATATATTAGAACTTTTTTTTTTTTATTTATTTGACCACATTTCTGTCAGACTATGTATATATCTTATTTACCAATGCCAATAACATAAGAATAGTCAGATAAGTCAAATGCTGGAGTATCAATAGACATGGTATAAAGAAAAAAAAAAGAATAAGGGAAAGAAAAAAGAAAGAGATAAAAAAGAAAAAGGGAGGTTTGCCAATAAAGTGAAAAAAAAAAAAGAAAAAAGGGAAAAATTTAGAGCGAAAAAAAAGGAGTTTTTAAATATATATATTTTTTTGATAGGTCGATCTTTTTTGGTTGTTCAGGTCAAGGACCAAAAATAAAACGAAAGCCAAGAGATAAAAAAAAACCAAAAGCTCCGCATCAAAATTCTACACTTTTGGTTTTTGTAAAGCAAACTAAAGTGGCTTTCCTTTTTTTTTCTTTTTCTTTTTCTTTTTTTTTTTTTAAAAAAAAAATATTAATAATACAAATCATGTTTTTACGTTCTTCATGGAAATATTCTCCTATTATAAAACGTACTTTTTATTCAACAACTCAATGTCAACAACATATACCCGAAAAAGTCCTTTTTTTAGACGAAAAAGCTTTAGCTGCACTCGAAACTGATCTTACTTCTAATACAGATCTGTAAGTTTCTCGAAAAAAGTTGTTCTCTTTCTACATACTCATATTATTATCTATTTTAGAAATATTCAACTTCAAGAATTACCACAATCGACGCAAGAATACACTCGAGGTTCTATTGAAGCTGATTTTGGTCGAAAACGTATTGGATGTGTCGATCTACCTTTACCTTTGATCCAAGCAATCACCAAACTCATCAATCAACAACCTGATAAACGACTAGTACGAACTGATGCCTTACGATTATATGAAGCTTTACGATCCACTTCTAGATTACCTTCAACAGAAGATTCATCTCGTCATTCATCAAGATCAACAAAGAAACAAGACCCGTCTACTGTTCAACAACAACAACAGACAGATCCTCATATACTTTCTTATGGACCTCGTGAATCTGCTGCTTATGCTGCTGGTGTCTTACCTTCTACTTTTGCTGCTATTACTAATGTTTTGATTGAACTCAAAAATCGACTATCCAACTATTCTCCTACTTCTATGCTTGATTTTGGTACTGGACCTGGAACAGCAATATGGTATTAAATTTCTCAAAAAAAAAAAGAGAAAGGATAACTGACTTGTTAAAAAAACAAATAGGGCGGCTCGAAATGTATTTGATGATTTAGATAAAATCACTGGGGTGGATTTATCTGAAGATATGCTTCGTACAGCTGAATTTATTGAAGGTAAAATGAAAAATGATTCATTCTCTTTAGTTTGGAAATAATGGAATTATATATATATATATATAGATGCAAGTCAGACGAAGAAAAATGTCGAATTTAAACGATACTTGGCTTATGATCCTCGCCAACCAAAAACGGATTTAGTGGTGAGCGCATTCACATTGGGTGATATTTCTTCTTTGGCCTTACAAAAATCGACAGTTCAACAATTATGGGATCAAACAGCAGATGTTTTGGTATTTACTAGAAAAATAAAAAGATGATGAGGAAAAGGATTTCTGTAAAGGATCGATCAACTAAAAAAAAAAATCTACTTTTTTTTTCTTCTTCCTTAGGTATTGATTGAACGTGGAACTCCTGTTGGTTTTTCAAATATTGCACGTGCTCGCCAGGTTATCCTTGATTATGAAAAAGAAAAAGTTCATGTAGTTGCACCTGTAAGTCCTTGTCAACAAAACGAAAAAGGAAGGAAATTGATTGTCCTATTGTTTTTTTTTTTTTTTTTTTTTTTTTTGCTATAGTGTCCACATGATAAACCTTGTCCATTACTCTATTCCCCTCAAGCTAATCCTGACAAATTCTGGTGTCATTTCTCTCAACGTGTACAACGACCTTCCTTCTTGGTAAAAAAAAAAAAAAAAAAAAAAAAATAGAGAGTAAGATGAATACATACTAATATTTTTTTTTCTTTTTTTTTTTTTTTGTAATAGATGAAAACAAAACATTCAAAATTCAATACGGAAGATTCCAAATACTCTTATGTCATACTTCGAAAAGGATCAAGACCAATAAATAATTCAATGGAAGGACAAGCCTATCATTGGCCTCGATTGATTCAACCACCTTTGAAAAAGAACAAACATGTGGTGATGGATCAATGTGCATCCACAGGTAAATTTAAAAAAAAAATCAATAAAAAGAAAAAAAAAAGAAGACTGAATTGGATATTATCTTGTAGGCACAATTCAACGTATGGTGATTCCCAAATCTCAAGGCAAAGTACCATATCGAGACGCAAGAAAATCCGCTTGGGGTGATGCATTTCCTCATGGGTCAAAGAACAAAATCGTGACACGGATCAGTGAAGGGATTCTTGATCAATAGGATAGATGATATGTATATATTTTTATATTGTCACAGTTGTTGTAAATAAAAGAATAGAAGATTTGATGAAAATCAAAAAAAAAAAAAATAGATTGTGTATATATTTTTATTGTCATTGTTGTAAAATAATAGAGTGGTTATGAAATAGAGAATATCTGGAGGAAATAAAAGAATGATAATACAAAAAAAAAAAAATGGGATGACTAAGGTATTGATTCCGGTAATGACTATAAAGAAAAAGGGATGATGAGTATCAATAATAACATAGACTTGATAACTTACGGTAGTACTTCTAAAAATGATCGATTTCAATTCGTCAAATTGAGGATCACTGAGAGGAGAGAATCGGATCATATTGTTATCGGGAAAGTGTTCGAATAAATGAGATGTAGTGATGGATAATTGTGCGCATTGTTGAGAAAGTTTGCTAAATACTGGTCTATCGTTACGGAATCTACCAATAAATATTTAGTATGAGATGCATAACCCCTCCCTCTTTTTCAATCACTTACAATCGATAAGCCTCCTTGTTATAACAATGTTTATCTACTAATTTTTCCAATACATCTTTCTTGAACATATTCTTGATATAATGAAGTACATGGAATAGATAATCCTGATGAGGTCGCCAAGTCGGAAATTGTTGTGATAAAGAAGCATTGCCATGAGGATCAACCAAAGGATGGAATAGATCCGTCATAAATGTCACTGCTGGAGGATGGTCTGGATATGATTCTGGAATAAACATTCGAAACTTGAACACACCTGATCGATAATATCCTTTGTGTACAAACACGACACCATATAAAACTTTGAAGAAATGTTAGTTAGTCTATTGTTAATTTTTTTTTTGTTTTACCATTTAAACTATCAGATGAAGGCATCACATAGACACCTAAAGGACAATGTCTTGGATTACGTAGATTGGTACTATTGTAAATCCATAATAACGAGAAGAACAAAAAAAAAAAAAATGTAAGGCATAACAACATATATCATTATTATTATTTTTTTATACGTACAATTCGGTCAAGAGTTCATAATGTTTGAAATGTTCTGATGTTTGAGGTATATTGGTGGTTTCATCATCATCTTCTTCATAAACAGTGGTTGGAATGGATGCTGTAGGTTTTTGTGGTTGAGGCTGGTATTTTGGTGCTGTGATGGACGGTGACGATCGTAAACCTAGTTTTGCTAATGAGGCGTCTCGCGTACGCGCAAGAATGGAGCTGACACTGCTTCTTCTGATGGAAGATTGAGATGAACTAACACTTGATCTTCGAGGTAGATTGGCAGTTGAATCCATAATTATAAAAAAAAAAAAGAAAAGAGGGGAAGAAAGACAAAATAAAAAAAGGGACAAGATAGTTTTTTTTTTTTTTTTTTTTTTTTTTTTTTTTTTTTTTTTTTATTCATTCAAAATGGCAAAAATTGAGTTTTAAAAAAAGATGAATGTCTTTTTTATTTCACAAATGCAAGAAGGACATATATATATATACATAACTAGACTATGATGATCAATTCAAAGAAAGAGGTTTGATGGTATTTTTAACACGTTGTAAAACTTGGGCTACTCGCTTTTGGAAATCAGCATCTTCGGATTCTACAGTCTATGATATTAAAAAAGAGTATGAGCGATATAATAATGTTCATTATAATGGATACTTACATATTTGATACAATCGACTATAGCTGTTGATCCATCCATTTTAATGGTTGCTTTCTTATCATTGAAATCGCCAACTACATCTCCAAATTGTTCTTCCAAGAATAAAACTATATCTTCATATTCAAGGTCAATTTCCTCTTGAATACGTGAATGATCGCTTTCTGTATGATTGTGCTTGCATGGTTGACTACTTGCTATAAAGACAAAAGTAAAATAATAAAAGAAGATATGAATATCAATATTATCAAGTTTCATTATTTACCTTTAACACTGGCAGGAGAACTATCAACAGAGAGTATAACAGCTAATACAGAATCAGCCACCATATCATTCATTGCATCTCCAACCCATTCTAAAGTCACTTGGTTTGGTTTGTCAGTCAATTGCTTGATATCAATAATGTCCATAATACGTAAAACTGTGCCTTGTTGATTTCCAGAATTATCCCGCTTTGCCAAATCTTCTTCCTGGATAGTACCAAACATCATTTCTAAATGCCACTTGAGAAGTCCAATGCCTGCATTGAAAGGAACTATTTGTCGTTGAGTCACCACTGTTGTCATTAATCCACTGAGTTCCGTCATATCCTCCACTGACATGATGCTGAGCTGATAATCCTTCGATATAATCACTCCATCTAAACGTTGATTTTCTGTTGGATACTTGGCTGCCAGACTACCAATTGTTTTCGCCATCTTTTCACCACGGAAATGAAGTTTCACTGTTTCACAGTTCTTTGGTGTATAAATCTTGATGTTTTCTTCACGTTCCGAATATTTACTTTGAAGTGCTGATTTCAATCTATACATTGCATTTGCTTCACCATGAACAAGGATCTATAATGATCAATTTCTTTTCATTAGATACTTGATTTTTTTTTTTGTGCGTGTCTACTTACAACATGAGGTGCTTTCACATCATCGATGAATTTGGCATTTTGTGTAAAATCAACATGAGCTGAAAAAGAGATATAATCCACAGACATTTTGAGAGGAAGTTTACGTCCATCCATTGCAGTAAAATCATCAGGTTCGTTCATTGCTTGCTATTAAATAAACAGTATTTTAAAATTCATATTTTTTTTTGATTTTATGTATTTATTTTCACTTACTCTAGCCAAAGTATTTTCAACACAATATCCAGTGATCACTAGACCATTTTTCTTGTCAGGAGCCCATCGTTCAAAAAGCTCTCGTGATAAACCATTCTGTAACATGCCTGGACTTGCCATCATAACACAAGGTCCTGAATCTTCAAATTGTTCCACATTCCGTAAATTACTGATATGTTTGAATACAAATGGATTGGAGATGGTAAATTGTTTTCGAATCTTGGCATTCATCATATTGATATAAGTTTGATATACCGCCATACATTTCTTTGCTAAACTGGAAGCGTAATAAATAGGAATACTATCAAGTTCAGGATGAGCTTCCCAATATTCATCTAGAATCAATAGGATTTCTTGAGCACGACCAAGTGCAAATACAGGCATAAGACATCGTCCACCACGTTCTACAATATCGTGTACCAATGCTAATAACCAAAAAAAAAAAAAAGAGAGAATTAGTTGATCCAATGATTAACTTTCCTTTTTTTTTAATAAGAGTACTTACATGTAAATCGAGTTTCCTTTGTAAGACGTGGTTCATGACTTTGAACACCATAAGTACTTTCAGTAATCAAAACATCTACCGCAGCATCAGGTTTTTCAGCAGCCATTAAATGTCGATCTTCTTCACGAGAGTAATCACCAGTATAAAGAACCTTGACACCAGCAATTTCTATTAGAAACATAGCAGCACCTAATACATGGCCAGCATTGTATCCCGTAAATTTGATTCCTTCCACTTCCACTTGTTGATGATAATCCACTGCTTCAATTCGATGAAAGGAGTTGGTAAGGTCTTCTTCGTTATATAGTTGATCTTCGTCACCAATATTACTGACTCTTAAGTAATCGCTAAGTAACCATTTGTAGATAGCCTTTGTAGGATGTGTCATAAATACTCTTCCTTTGAATGAAGTCTATACAACAAGAAAAAAAGTCAAATACAAAAGGTGTGAGTAGATCTTTTTTTTTTTCTAATAATGATAATCATTCAAAAATCCATTGTATTGTTCTTTGTTTTTTTTCTTTTTCTATTATTACCCTTTCCATCAAATATGGAACTGAAGCTGCATGATCAACGTGAAAACTAGATTAATAAAAACAAAACCGAGTGAGTCAAACAATGGCGCTGTGTATTTTCAAACTTACTGAGTGACAAGTAAAACATCAATGCTTTCAGGATCAATTTCATCAAAGAACGGAAGAGAAGCAAGACCATTGTAGGCAGGATGAATACCAGCATCAAGCTAAATTTTATAGAAAAAGAAAGGAGAGAGAGAGGGAAGGATGGATTAGAAAGGTGTCAAGTCTGAATCTATTGAAGCTTACCAAAATAGTTTTGCCTTTGTATTCAAGTAAGAGGGAAGATCGCCCAACTTCATTTCCAGCACCAAGTGGTGTTAATTTCAAAATATCATTTTTGTCGACAATGGGGATTTCATATTCTGCCTTTCGTTTGGAAGTTGACATTGGAAAAACGAATAAAAGAGTTAAAAAAAAAAAGAGAGAATGCGCTTCCAAACAAGCAAAAAAAAAAAAAAAAAGAAAGGATTTGAATTACCGACGATATCCACTCTGCAAAAGCTTGAAGGATAGTGCTACTCATTCTTGGATTTGGTTTATTTATCTTTCTCATCTATTCATCTAACCACTGTTTTTTTTTATTCCTTTGGTAATTTCAGTGATTTCACTTTTGGCTCAGGTCATACATTCGAATCGTTGTATTTGCACTACAATATCACGCGGAGTGAACCTTTATACTTCTGTAATTCGCTCAAAATTCATCATCATCGTATCAGACTCACACTGAACGTAGATTATATCATTCTTTCACTCGACTTAATGATACTTTATACTTTACCTCCTAATTTATAAAGTAAATTAAAAAATAAATGTCAATTTCTTCATCCCTCATCCAATAATGATCATCATCTAATAAAATTTAAATCATTGGATTCCTCTCGAAAAAGTAATCTAATATCGTCTAATCTCATTTTATCGCTTAGCTTGCCACCTAATGTATAATGATCACCAAAAGATTTCATTTATTTTTCGAAAAATTGCGTGATGAACCCCTGGCGATTTATTTTTACAGCCAAAGTTTGGCTGAGGAGTTTGAAATTTTTGGCTGTACATTCGAAAAATCCATCCCATTTTTTTCATCCTGCACGTCAATATAAGAGTAAAACCTTGTCTTTTGATATCTCATTCAAAACGCATCATCATCGCACCAAATTAGAACTGAATATAGAGTAAATAATTCTCTTTCAGTTGGCCTAATGTTATTTCATAGGTTACCTTGCCCATTCCCAGAATAAATTAAATAATAAAAGTCAAACAGCTATTCCTCATCCAATCATCATTAAATCAAAATACCATCATTGAATTCCTTTCAAAAAAGCAGTATAATAATAAATAATAGCCCAGTTACCAATGAATGTCAGCATGTTTTTCCCCACTATAAACCATTCATGTAAATAAATCAACGTACAGATGGCGATCTATGGTATCAATGCAAAAAATAACTTTAAAAGTAAACTTTGTAAATCGCGTTTCAAACTAAAAATAAAAAGTATACAAACAAGATCTGATTGTCAAACTACAATACGGTGAAACCAATTTAGAGTCTCGACTATATTTTTTTTTTTAAAAAAAAAATAAAATCAAAAGGGTTCACCGTCTCTGGCTTGACACATCTGCACTCAATTTCACATGATCTACGAGTTGCAAGAAAGAGAGGTTCATTTTATGTATTTGTTTCCCCGTGCTACCACACCCCATCATATAAAAGGTAGGATCGCAATTTTTTTTATTCTCTTTTTTTTTTTTTTTTTTATATATATCTCTGATTCAATCTTTAATTCAATAAGATTTTACTTTTTTTTTTTTATTTTATTTTCATATTCTCAGCCTAATACAACAGGATTACAATGCAGCAAATATTCAATACAATAGGACAATGGGAAAAGACTCTACTGGGCTCCCCTGATTCCGAAGATGTGCAAAAACAGCTGGAGAAAGAACTAAAAGATGTTGACTTGTCTGGATTCGAACCGATTGATCAATCGCCGGCAGATTATCTCCTGAGAAAAATGACAGAGGATGATGATGATGTCAAGGAAGAACTTAAAAGGTGCGCTATTCAAGTAGCTCTCAAAGGGTTTGAAAATCGCGAAAAGTTCCAAGATATTCAAGATATTTATGACAAATACGCTGATCAATCAGGCTTGGGAGAAGAATTCCCCATCAAAGTACAATTGTTTTTCGCCAAGGACATTAGGCAGTATTTTGAAGAACACACTGAAGAATATCCTGATTTGTGGGAATATCACAGTCCACAAGACAATGATTATCGGTCGATTTGTTTCACAGGAGCAGAAAATGCTGTCAAGACAGAAGACGAAGCCCGATATTTGCTTAAAGCATACGAAGACTTAGGTGAAAACATACCTGAAATTGCAGGGAGAAAAATGTGTGTGCGTGGGATGTTGCCGAGAGAAGATATTGGATTTGAATGAATTCATTTTTTTTTTTTTACGTTTCTTTTTTCTATTTTTTTTTTCTCTTGATGCATATTTATCCGTTTATATTTCATCAATAATTAGGACTTTTTATTGTTTTGGTGGTAGTTTATAGTCTAGTGATTTTAGATAAATATCAATGCAGTTGTTCCCAATCAATAAAAATAATAAAAAAAGAGCATTGCCTCGTTGTTTACTTTATCATCCATCATCAGAATGAATCAATGTACCATTGATGATCTATTCGTACTACGAGAAACAAGAAATAACTTTAAAAAGTATACTTAATACGTTAAAAATAATAAATAAAAGCACAAAAACGAGATCTAATCACCAAATAAAATACGGTGAAACCAAATTGCTGCATAACAAATGTAAAGTTTTCACTGCAGATACTTTGTCTCGTTAAATAAAAGATAATCTCATTTATCTCCTTCTGTATATGATCCATAGGTTACAAGGATGAGGGATTAAACTTGATTATTTGTGTTTCACCTATCTACTCTATGTTTCTCCTTATATCACATGTGATGTTTGTTCGATTTACTTAACCCTTTTTGGCCACGGTTGTTTTAGATTGAGCAGCGATACATATAGTTTCAGCATCAAGTCAGTATAAATGGTACCCAATAAAAAAAAAAAAAAGAGAGAGATTACTTTTATTTCTTTCTTCTTTCTTAAGCGCAATCTCTATCTGACGAAAACAAGATGGTACAACAATACTTTGATAAAGAACAACTGAAAGACCTGGTAGCTATATCAGATTTTAAAGGGTTTCAACCGGTCAGCACCGACAGCTATTCGGATGGTGAGATCCTCAAGACAATCATGGCAAAGGGCGGAATGAAAATACTTCTTTTTTGTGCAATTCAAACTGCCGTCGTCGGATCGGGCAACAAAGTGTTTGGTGAATTCATAATGAACGGCGAAACAATAAATGTGAAGACGATATACAAAGAATTTGACGTAAGAGACGACTTGAGCTTACAATCCAAAATTGATCCAGGTGAATTGACTCCGAGAAGGCTGCAACGTTTTTATCGCGTCCAGATTAACGAGTATCTACTACAAAATCCACATATTGCCCCGTATTTATGGAAAAAATATAGTACATTGAACGAGGAGTTTAGAGCTATCACCTTCCCTGGAGCAGAAAGTCTTGTCGCGAACAAGGAAGAAGGCTTATATTTACTCGAGACATATAAAACATTGGATAATCGACTAGAACTCAATATTGCCGAAAGGATCAGACGGGTGCTATTAGCAAGAGGTATTATCACCATAAAGGACATTGTAGAATAGTGAATTGAATAGTTTAAGAAAGATCTTTGACTATATAATAAAAAAAATGGATTGATTTATACATGATGCTGATGGAAAAGTTACGATATATACGTTATTTTTCTATAAATAAAGATTTATGATGTTTATTTTTATCGAAAAACCAAGGACCATTGATTTGCTGGGAAAGTACTGACTGTAGGTTCAGTAATCAATCGACAATGAAATAGAATTAAAAAGAGTCTAAAAGCCAAAGACGACTACAAGCATCTCAAACAACATTCACAGATTAGTTCCTCTGACACGAAATACCTTTTTTTCTTTTTTTTTTTAAAAAAAATACACATAATATATATTTTATACTATTATTATTTTATTTCTTTAGTTTGTCTGAAATAAAACGTTGTTATATTTGATCCAGTCTTTTATTGATTCTAATTGGTGATGGATGATGGATGATTACTTTGTCATTTACTCTTCTTACTTTTCTTGAACTATTATGATAAAAAAAATATTATACTTCTTACCTTCCATTAAAACAAAAACCTGTTTGATATCTGAAATAATCATAAAATTGTGGCTGTTTAAAGTCATGCACGTCAATTTGGACAGTCTTACCAGGACGCATAAAGAAGTCTTTTTTTTTCTTTACGAAATATGTAATATATTGGTGATGGATAATGGATGATGACTGAATATAAAAGTTTTGCTGAAATTAATCGACTACAGGAAAAAAAAAAAGATCAAAAAATCAAAAAATCATGTCAAATTGTCATCAGTGGACGGACTTGAAAAAATACCTCTTTTGTATGCGTTTTACTTTTTTTTAATTTTTTCCTTTCTTTTTCTTTTCTCCATCCACTTTTTTTCTCCACATTGGGTGTCCTCTTTGTTTGCGCGATCTTTTCATGGTAGATTTTATTGGATTTGGAGCGTTTTGAAAAAGGGATTTACAAAATACATGGGGAAACCTTTTCATTTTGGATGTAGGATTTAGTACAGGTAATGGCAAAAATATTTTACTAGTAATGTGAACGAAAAACTGACTGGATGGCAAGCTTCTTTTGGTTAGGAAGGGTAGCTTGTTGTTAGGATCTCGGTGGTGAACGAAGGCTTCTGGTTGGTACTATAATAGATACATGTAGTGATAGTTTTAGTTAGCCAGTATGTGGTTTTTTTTTTTTTTTTTTTTTTTTTTTTTTTTTTTTTTTTTGGTGATGATAATCATTATTATCCAATAAAATTGCTACCGTTGGATTCCCCTCATAAAAGTAGTATAACATATTTTAACAATTTATCGGCTACCTTGCCCAATGCGAGAAACTCGACGCGTAAGTTCCTTTCATGCTGTAACATCATATGTGCTCTTTACATTTTTGTCTGTAAATTGCTCAACAATCATCATTATCGTACAAAATTTGGATCAAAAGCTCACGAAGATATTCTCTTTCACTTGCTTTGGTAATAATTTATATTAATTCCCAATTTATGGAGTAAATTAAAATATTAGAGTTAATTCCGTCACATCTCGTTCAATAATGATCATCATCAAATAAAGATGCCAGCATTGGATCACTCTCGAAAAAAGTCCAAGTTCACCTAAGAGTAGTTTCTCCATTACCAATGTCAATACTTTTCCCACTACTGTATAGTCATCTTGAAATAAATCAACGTACAGATGATGATGTACGATATCAATGCAAAAATAACTTTAAAGTAAAACTTTGTAAATCGTGTTTCAAACTAAAAAAAAATAAAAAGTATACAAACAAGATCTGATTGTCAAACTACAATATGGTGAAATCAGGCTTTTTTGAAAAATAAAATAAAAAAGGGTTCAGCGTCTCAGACTTGACACATCTGCACTCAATTTCACATGATCTACGAGTTGCAAGAAAGAGATGTTCATTTTTGGGCTTTGTGTATTTGTTTCTCCGTGATACCATACCCCCATCATATAAAAGGTAGGATCGCAATTTTTTTATTCCTTTTTTTTTTTTTTTTTTATCTCTGATTCAATCTTTATTTTACTTTTTTTTTATTTTATTCTCATATTCTCAACCTAATACAATAACATTACAATGCAGCAAATATTCAATACAATCGGACAATGGGAAAAGACTCTGCTGGGCACCCCTGATTCCGAAGATGTACAAAAACAGCTGGAGAAAGAGCTAAAAGATGTCGACTTGTCTGCATTCGAACCGATTGACCAATCGCCGGCGGATTATCTCTTGAGAAAGATGACAGAGGATGATGATGATGTCAAAGAAGAACTTAAAAGGTGCGCTATTCAAGTAGCTATCAAAGGGTTTGAAAATCGCGAAAATTTCCAAGATATTCAAGATATTTATGACAAATACGCTGATCAATCAGGCTTGGGAGAAGAATTCCCCATCAAAGTACAATTGTTTTTCGCCAAGGACATTAGGCAATATTTTGAAGAACACACTGAAGAACATCCTGATTTGTGGGAACATCACAGTCCACAAGACAATGATTATCGATCGATTTGTTTCACAGGAGCAGAAAATGCTGTCAAGACAGAAGACGAAGCTCGATATTTGCTTAAAGCATACGAAGACCTAGGTGAAAACATACCTGAAATTGCAGGGAGAAAAATGTGTGTGCGCGGGATGTTGCCGAGGGAAGATATTGGATTTGAATGAATTCATTTTTTTTTTTTTTACGTTTCTTTTTTCTATTTTTTTTTTTTTTCTCTTGATGCATATTTATCCGTTTATATTTCATCAATAATTAGGACTTTTTATTGTTTTGGTGGTAGTTTATAGTCTAGTGATTTTAGATAAATATCAATGCAGTTGTTCCCAATCAATAAAAATAAATAAATAAAAAAAAAAGAGCATTGCTTCGTTGTTTACTTTTTTTTTATCTACCCATTATCCATCATCAATGGTTCCCACGGCAGCTATCAAAATGAATCAATGTACCAATGATGATCCATGGTACGATGAGAACAAGATTGACTTTTAAAAAGTACACTCGATACAATAGTGCTTCGAACTAAAATTGACAAGTATACAAAACAAGATCTGATCACCAAAATAAAATATGGTGAAACCAATTTAGTGCATATAACAATTGCAAAAGTTTCACTATAGGTATTTTGTCTCGTTCAATAAAAATAATCTCATTGTCTCCTTTATGTGTTTGATGGCTACAACGATGAGGGATTAACCTTTGATTATTTGAGTTTTACCTATCTGCTTTATGTTTCCCCTTATATCGCATGTGATGTTCGATTCACTTACCCTTTTTTGACCACGGCTGTTTTACGTTGTGCAGTGATGCATATAGTTTCAGCATCTAAATTAGTATAAATAGTCAATCAAAAAAAAAAAATGACTCTCTCTTCTTGTTTACTTTTTCTTCTTCCTTGTGCAATCTCTATCCGTCAAAAACAAGATGACAGAACAATACTTAAGTCACCAAAGGTTGAGAGAACTGGTAGCTGTAACTGATTTTACTGGGTTTCAACCGGTCAGCACCGACAGCTATTCTGATCTCGAGATCTACAAGACAATCAGGGCAAAGGGAGGAATGAAACTGCTGCTTTTTTGTGCACTTCAAACTGCCATTATCGGGTCGGGCAACAAAGTGTTTGGTGAATTCGACTTGGAGGGTGAAAAAATAGGTGTGAAAGCAGTCTATAAGGAATATAATGTAAGAGACGACTTGGGCTTGCAATCCAAAATCCAGCCAGGTGAACTGACTCCGAGACGGTTGCAACGTTTTTTCCGCGTCCAAGTTAAGGACTACCTGGAAAAAAATGAAGAAGTCGTGCCGTACTTATGGAAAAAATATAGTGATTTGGACTTGAGGTATCGTAGCGTCACTTTTCCTGGAGCCGAAAGTCTAGTCGAAACTAAAGAAGAAGGCTTGTATCTATTGAAAACATACCAAAGACTGGATCATCTATTGTCTCTCAGTATTAGCGAGAGGATCAAACGGGTATTATTAGCAAGAAAGATTCTCGATATAAGAGACCTTACACACTGAATTTGAATGGCGTAAGAAAGATCTTCGACAGTATAATAAAAAAGAAAATGGATTGATTTATACATGGTACCGATGGAAAAGCTAAGATATATACGTTATTTTTTATAAATAAAGAATTGTGTTGTATATTTTTATTGAAAAGACGTGAGCCACTGATTTGATGGGAAGGTATTAGCCACAGATTCAATCATCAATCATCCATCTCATTTGTCGTCAATTAGTGATAAGCTCTTCAGAGTATTATCGACGGTAAAATAGAATTCGAGAAAATGAAATACATTTCGTGTCTAAAACCACAAAAGAAGAAATGATATAAGTCGATTCGAAGTCAGTCATCAAGATAAAAAGGAAATCCTCTACTTTTTTCTTCGTTTTTCTTTTTTATTCAATTCACTTTTTTTTTTTTTTTTTTTTTTTTTAAATGACAGACCCAAGCCCATCCTGTGCTCCTCATACTCCCGCCAAAACTACCAAGTCTAAGACTGATTGAAGAACATTCTGGATAGCATTGTCGTTTGGAAATGAAAGCAACTAAGAGCAACGGTGGAATCCCTGATTGCAGAAGCGGCAGAAATGGAGGACATCTTGGAACTACAAGGACAACAAGGATAGCAAGGACAGCAAGGACAACAACAACAACAACAACAACAACAACAACAACAATGGGCGACTCATCTTATTTTTTTTTTTTATTTGGTTGTACATTCTTTTTCTCCCTTTCTCGAGTATGACTGTCATTGCGGTAGTGTTTTTGTCAAATATCTTTTCTACACGATTGGTCTTTCTCTCTATCTTATCTTTCTCTTCTCGGCTGACTAGTCTTTCCATTTTATCTGTCTCTCTCATCACGGTGGGCTCTTCAATATTTTTTTTTTCTTGGCTGGACTCTCTCTCTTCCTCTTTATATGTTTCTACCATTGTTAGAGGTCTCTTCGAATACTAGCAGCAACACGTTCTCATTTATCAATCACTTGGATGAAAGGGGCTATGCAGTTTAGTGGATTATCAACAGCATCAATCAAATCCTCTGGACTATTTTTTCGCCAATAAATATGCAACAGAAACGACACGATTCAATGAAATGCTCATTATGAATGCCACTTAACAGGACAAACAGGTAGAAAATGCCATTTGTTAACATGGTCAGCAATGTCGGATGCTACTAGAAGACTCGGTCAGGTTTCTCTGTTGCTGGAGCTTGGATTGTCAACGAGGATCAAGGATTTTACAGCTGGTTCAGATAATTGAAGAAGAAAGGGGACAGGTATCAAGCTTATCAATCCACCAAATCTATCTAGAGTATCCTACTATATGTCGAAAGACGTGCCTTACCGATAGTATTCAAGATCGATCGTATATTCCCCACTATATTCGGAGACCAGTGAAGAGCAACAAGGTGAATGCAAAATCAGTCTTTGATCTTTAGTTTAGTATATTTATTTTGAAATAAAAAACGACACATCTTTGTTATTATTTTTCTGAAACGTTTTTGTTATCGTGCGTATTGTTGTTATTATTACTTTGTATGATAGATATCTTCTTTTTTTCCTGTTCTTGTAGGCATTGTCCACGATCGTTCATCATCATCATCCATCCGTCATTATCTTATCACCATTCGATTTCCCTTACAGTTAAATCAAACTTTCTGTATAGTGCACAGCCGTATAAAGTATCAAAAGAAGGGTTTTCCTTTGTCTATTCGATTCTGAGAATGGTTTCGTCTGTAGATAAAATATAGATATCAAATACACGTTAGACCTTAACATATCAATCGATTGGTATCATCTACGGATGACAATATTTTGAAACCCAGTGCAATATATAATAAAAAAAGTGAACTTCATATATTTTTTCTCTTTTTCTTTAGTTTCTTCATCTCACTTATCACATTCTTCTTTTTTTCTTCACTCTTTTTCTTTCACAATCTCATCTCGTCATATCCATCATTGAAGGATTCTTATAAAACCAAAATGACGGTCAATGAGCCATCGGTGACTACACCATTACTTGGCACGAAACACCCTCGACATGCGACAGTAACAAGAGTACCCACTTTTATGCAAACTTCTGTACCCAATCGACGATCCATTCTTCATGCTTTTGGCAACATCACCTTACATATGTTACTAGAATTGGTTCTACCTATTATTCTGTATTATATCTTCCGAATGTTCCTATCACCACTTCTCTCACTTTTACTTGCTGGTGTTCCAGCTGCTATGATTGTAGCTTTCAAAGGGTAAAAAAAAATATGTATATATATAAAATACATCTATACTCATATTATTCATCATTAGGATTCATGAACACAAAGTAGATATGACAGGTGTATTGACATTAGTTGGCTTCATTGTATCAGCCGTTTTGGCCACAGTGCAGGCGGATCCCAAACTCTATTTGTTACGAGAATCCACGATGACTTTGGCGATGGGCTTCATGCTACTAGTGACACTTTTACCACTTCAAATCAAACATCATCGATTACGACCTTTTATGTTTTACGTGGCACGACAGATTGCAGTATCAGGATCATTGACCTACGACGATCCAAATACTGTACGACAACACTGGGATTGGTTTTGGGACGCATGGCCTACTTTCCGTGATTTCTTTCGAACGTTGACTGGATTATGGGCCATGGGGTTGATCAGTGAATTCATTCTACGTGTTGCTCTGTTACGATCGATGGAGGATGTGGATGATGTTCTCTATTATTCCAACATTTATATGTTTGTGGTCTTGGGCATCTTGGGATCGTTGACTATAGCAAGCACTCTTCTTTTACGACATTTGTACAACAAGGAACAACAAAAGATGAAAGATGATGAACGCCATTCAGAAATCCGACGAATCATTGATGCGGCAGCAAATGAAGATATGGTGGGTGGATCTACTTGATTTTTTTTTTTTTTAGTTATTCTTTTGAATACCCTTTTGAAATAAAATACCATATTTTGATTTTTTGTACACTGTTGTTTGGATCTTGATGATATGTATGAACCTTCTTTTTAGGATGATTACGCCGGCGGCGTTTCAATGGTAAACGCGTGTATTGTAAAGGGAATCGCCTTTTTTTTTTTTTGGTTCCTTTCTTCTTCTTTCTTTCCCCACATCTTTTTTTTTTTTATTTCAATAAAATGACAGCTCAAATTGCTCCTCCACCTAGCCTTGATTTCACCATCAATGCTGAAGATATCCATCGTATCAACCAAGAAATTATGGATGAAGACCTTCTTGTAAATGATGCCATTGCTGCTTTGAAACCTGAAGAACAAACTTATGAAAATATCGTTGTACCTTTAGTCAAGATTGAAAACTCTTTGTCTGGTAAGATATATATAAAAGATATAATCCTGTTGTACTTTAACGTTTTTTTTTATTTATAGGCAAGATCTCTTTACTTGGGTCTCTTAGTCAAATCTCTCCTGATGCTGCAGTTCGTGATGCTTCCGTGGCGGCTGAAAAGAAATATGAAGATTTTAGTATTGAACAAGGAATGCGACATGATTTGTATACTGTGATTCAAGGCTATATTGATCGTACTGACTTGGATAGTTTGGATCATGAAGATGCCCGCATGTTACGCAAGACTGCCCGTGGATTCCGTCGTTCTGGATTACATCTTCCTGAAGATCAACGCAACGAACTCACTGCTTTACGTAAACGTCTTAGTGAAGTGTGTATTGAATATATGCAAAACTGGAGTCGTGAAGATAGCAGTAAGTAAACTAACTTATTTTTTTGGGGGATTATTTCAAATATATTAATTCTATTTTTTTTTTTTCTTTTTCGTCAACATAGCTGTGAAGTTTACCAAGGTAAGTTAGATAATGATCTATCTTCGATTTTTATTTATTTATTTTTTTTTTTTCAACTCACACGTTTCAATAATATTTATAGGAAGAACTAGAAGGCATGGATGATGATTTTCTTAGTGGATTGAAAACAGAAGAAGAAGATGGTATCACCAAATACATCCTTACTATGAAGTAAATTCTATTTTTTTTTTTTCAATCATCTTTTTGTGTTTTAACTATTTCTTTTTCTTTTTTTCTTCTTTTTTTGTTTATAGGTATCCAGGTACGAATATGATGAGATAGTTTTTTTTTTTTTTTTTCTCATACTCACACACACACATTATTTGTTATTATTATGATTTATTCATTTAGATGTCCGCCCTGGTAAGAAAAACAAGTTTTTTATGTTTTTACTTGTAAATACTGATCTTCCTCTTTATTTCTTAGTTCTCAAGTTATGCAAGAATGAAAACACCCGCAAAACACATTTGACTGCATTTGAGTCTCGCAACCGTGAGAACATTGTTTTATTGGAAGAGGTAAGACAAAAGAAAGTGTGATTTTAGACATTAAGAATTTGTTCGTTTTTGTATCACTAGGCTCTCAATCTCCGTCGAAAATGCGCAAAGGTAATAACAATGTCAAGAAAATGATGATTCTAATTGATTTTTTTTTAAAATATGATAGATCCTTGGTTTTGATTCTCATGCTGCTTACGTTCTTGAAGTGAAAATGGCAAAAGATGTTGAAAAAGTGAACAAGGTATCATATATATATATATATATATATATAAGAGAAATGAAGGGTGATCTAATAACTAACGGTTTATATTATAGTTCTTGGATGATCTCAAAGTCAAGCTCCATGATGCTGGTCTTAAAGAAATTGAAACAATGAAGGAACTCAAGAAGGTAAAATACTATTTATATATGTACTATTCCTTACCTTTTTTTGGTTTATAGAAAGAAAAAGAAGAACGTGGTGAACCTTATGATGGTAGCTTCAATGCTTGGGATACCAGTTACTATGAACGTATCTTGTTAGAAAGCCAATATTCTGTTGATCAAGAAGAAATTAAAAAATATTTCAGTTTGGAAACAACCATTGCAAGTAAGTTTAGATGTTTTCCTATCATTGATTTTATTTAATTTGATCTTTTTTTTTTTTTTTTTTTTTTTTTTTTTTGGTAGAAATGTTGGATATTTATGAAAAGGTGTTAGGATTGAAATTTGTTAAGGTTCCTTCCTCCAAAGCAGTGGTATGGCATCCTGATGTGCAATTGTATGAATGCTGGGATAATGTTGAAGACAAACACTTTTCTGGTTATATGTATTTGGATTTGTTCCCTCGCGATTCAAAATGTAAGTATGATATTTATTTTTATTTTTATCTCAATCATATTTTATATTGATAGATCCTCATGCTGCTTGTTTCCCTCTTCATCCTTCTTATTTGGATACCAATGGTGAACGTGTTCCTCCTATTGCTGCCATGGTTGCTAACTTTACTAAACCGTAAGTTGTATTTTCAAAAAAAGAAGAATTTTTTTCTTTTTACATTGTAATTCATTATCTATGTTATAGAACACAAACCAAGCCTTCGTTATTGAAACATGATGAAGTTGTTACTCTTTTCCATGAATTGGTAATTAAAAATCTTATTAAAAAAGAAACATAATGATTTTTATTCTTATTTATTATATAGGGTCACGTTATGCATCATCTATGTAGTCGTACAAAGTATGCTAGATTCCATGGTACTTCTGTTGAAGGTGATTTTGTCGAAGCTCCCTCTCAGGTAAATCCAAAAACAAAGAGAAGAAATAGAATGATAATAATAATAATTTTTTTAAATTAGATGTTGGAAAACTGGTGTTATGATACTAATTCTCTCAAGATTCTCTCATCTCACTTTGAAACAAAGGAACCTATTTCAGATGAAATGATTGATCGTATCATCAAAGCTAAGAATGTCAATGCTGCTGTGATGAATTTGCGTCAATTGTTCTTTGGTATTTTCGATATGACCATCCATACTTCTGAAGGTAATAAATATTATATTATATGTATTCTATATCTTTACTTTTTTTATTATCATTATTTAGATGAACATTTGGATAGTACAAAGGTATATAATGACCTTCGTAAGGAAATTTCTTTGGTCGATGCTCCTGAGGTAAGTAGAGATTTAAAAAAAAGAAAATTAGAAATTAAACCTGATATTTTTCACATATCTTTTAGGGAAGTTGCGGTCAAGCAGCATTTGGGTAAGTAAAAAAAGAGGAAATATATTACATTTTTTTTACATTTATATTTGTTTTCTATAGACATTTGATGGGTGGATATGATGCTGGATATTATGGATATATGTGGTCAAAGGTCTTCTCTAGTGATATGTTCTTTAGCAAATTTGAAAAAGATCCTCTTTCTGGTGAAACTGGCTATGCTTATCGTAAATCTATTTTGGAAAAAGGCAGTAGCATGTAAGTTTTCTTTTTTTTTTTTTTTTTTATCTTTTTATGACTCATTTCCTTTATATATATATATATTTAAAATAATTTAGTGATGGTATGGATATGTTGAAGGATTTCCTTGGTAGAGAACCATCTTCTGATGCATTCATGCGAGAAGATATTGGTGTCCAATAGGATTTAGACTGAATTTAGTATAAATTGAAAAGTTTCGTCCTTTTTGAATAAAAATAAAATAAAAAAAAAGAAATGGTCGTGCAACATTCATATTCCGACTTTTTTTTTTCGTTCTTTTGTCTCCTCTTTTTTTTTTTGTTCTACAATAGATTGGGGCTTCTTTTTTTTTTATTATTTATTTATTTAGTATTTTTACTTTATTTATTTAGAAATGTCTGATGAAGAATATGAAGTAGAAGCTATTAGAGCTGCCAAACGACCCAAAGGCAGAAAGAAAGTAAGTTAGAATGCTAGCTTTGTGTCTTGTTTATTAACGTGTTTTTAAATAGTCATACCAATATTTGATCAAGTGGAAAGGATATGATAGTGATGAAAATACTTGGGAATGGGAACGGAATATGTAAGAATCTACAATATCCTCTTTTTTTTTTTTTTTTTTTATTTATTGGGTATTCATTTTTTTTTTTCTTCTTCTTCATATTATTATTATTATTATTATCCGATCCATTTGAAGAACAGCACCTTTACTTCTTGAACAATTCTGGAAAGAGAACCAACCATCCAAAACCAAAAAACAAAAGAAACCAAGGAAACAACCTCAAGTAGTGATAGCAAGTAGCGATGAAGATGAGACTGTTGAACAGACCTCACCCCCTGATACGCGTCCAGCATCAGAAAGAAGAAACGAAAAAAACGTGATAGGAGATCCTTCTTTTACCGGGACAAGAGCCTATTTTTTGTGTCATGGTGATTTACGAACAATACGGTATGAAGGGAATATATACAAGGTGGATAATGGATTTAGAGCTCATTGGGATTGGAAAAAAAGAATATCAAGTATTGAAAGGGCTATCACGTGGAGGTATCATGGTTTGGATGAAATTTATTTTCTTATTCGTTGGTAAGTATTAAATAAAATAAAAAATAAAAAAAAAATAAAAAAAAAATAATCTGTTTTTTATTTCTGATAGGGATGATGATGTTGTTGCTGCTTATGAATCAGAGGTGGTACGATTCAAATGTCCACAGAAGGTAAAAGAAATTAACATCCTTGGGAATTTTCATGACTAACTTGATATTTTGTATTAGATTATTGATTTTTATGAAGAATGGTTTGTCCTGACCGCTAATTCATGATTATTATTTTTTTGTTTTAATTTCCCTTACAATTATTACCTCTTTTTTTTCCCCCTTTCACTTTTTTTTTTATGATGAACATTGATGAACTATTTAATATCCGAAATAAAGTATGATTTTACTATTCTTTTTACCCTCTATAAGAGAACACAAATAGTCTGATTGTTGATATACTTATTGTTTGTAATTAGGTATGCCTGATCACTGGTGGTGGACGTGGTATTGGATTGATGATAGCAAAGGTTCTTCAAAACAAAGAATAGATTCATCCCATTTAATACTGATTCTCTTTTTTTTCTTTTTTTTTTTTTTTTTTTTTTTTTTTTTTTTGGTTAGGGATTTGTTTCGGCTGGTGCAAAAGTGTATATTTCTAGTCGTAATGGTGATGTTTGTCATCAGGTAAGCTCAAAACAAGATGACGAAAAAGGAAATGCGGGGTGAGAGCTTAATTCTTTTATATAAAGGTAGCCAAAGAACTAACAGAGCAAGGTCCAGGACAATGTTTTGCTATTGCGGCAGATTTACAGAAATTGGAAGATATTCAACATCTAGTAGTCGAACTTGGCAAACGTGAACATCGTAAAGTGATGATATATATATATGTTCCATCTTTAACCACTTTTTATATGATAGATTTGGATGTTTTGATCAACAATTCTGGAGCTAATTGGGCAGCGTAAGTAGTTACAATATGAAATGAAAAAATAGTTATTTATCATTTCAATGCTTTATTATCTTAATAGACCTATTGCAGATTATCCTGATGCTGGCTTCCAAAAGGTAACATCATATAATGAAAAAAAAATGTGATGTATGAATGATTTTTATTCTTTTTTTTTTTTTTTTTTTTTTAGGTTGTCAACTTGAACTTGACTCGTGTGTTCAGTTTAACTCAAGCGTAATAAAAAAAAATGTCCAATAAACATCATCATTTCTTCCTTTGTATTCACACTTTTTTCTTTCATTTTTTTTTTTTTGTTATTTAGATGTCTTCCACTTTTACGTGCCAATCCTACTCTTGAAAATCCAGCACGGATCATCAACATTGGCTCCATTTCTGGAGAAACAGTGTAAGAGATAAAAAACGTATGATGATGCTGTGTACTTATTATTATTTTTTTTTCCTTTCTAATATGTTAGACCGAAATTGGAGATGTATGCTTATAGTGCAAGTAAAGCAGCAGTACATCATTTGACACGACATTTGGCGGCGCGATTAGGATCAGAAGGGATTCTAGTCAACGCTGTTGCTCCAGGTTCTTTTCCTACCAAAATGATGGCAGAAACGTTGAAAAGAGAGGGTGATCACATTTTAAAAACGATTCCGGTTGGTCGATTTGGTCAAGATGAAGATTTGGTTGGTACGTGCATTTATTTGACTTCCAGGGCCGGTGCTTACACCACAGGTGCTGTCATCGTTGTTGATGGTGGTGCTCTTCAATCATCTAGAATGTAGTTCTTTTTTTATTATTTTGAAATAAACTAGTGGTGATGATTTTAGTTTAGTAGTTGTGTTTATAGAGAATATCATGTCTTTATAATAAAAGGTCAATGTTTCTTTCTCATCAACTCCATTTTATAAAGTCATCATTGTATCCATTCATACCGTACAATACTTTATATAACAATCATCCATTCATCATAAAGATAAAACAAACAAAATTTATTAAGAATACAATTATCTAAAGGGGAGGGGTAAATAAAATAAAAGATGGGTATAATGAAATATATATATAAACTAGCTACCGAGAAGAAAGAACCTTTTTTTCCAACTTGTCCAAACGATGCATCAACGTCCGCCATTCCTGAAGCTTGATTTTGTGTTCTACGACCATCAAACGATCCATACAACGATGTAATTGTTCCACATAACCCGTCATCCAGCGCTGGTGCGAGGTATCATGAGCCAACGATTGTAAAGAAACTTGTTTTCTTTGTCCAAATGAAGGTAGTTTACGCATGTGTCGACGTTTTACTGATTGATGATAAGTATGGATAGATAAATGAGGTGCATGATGACCTAGCTTGGGGGCCAATCGACGTTGTAACAATAAAGAAGATGGATTTGTCCTACATCAATATAAAATGTTAGTTTTTTTTTTTGTTACTATATATAGAGTTTTACCTTAATGGCACAGATGGATAACAAGGCTTTAAAAACCATTCTTGACCATCAAGTCGTACAGGCGTAAATTCGTGTTCCACCAATAAAAGTGTCGTTGTCAAAACAGGTAATGGTTGTAATATAAGTTGCAGATCCTCTTGACAAAGATGTTCAGTGATTTGACATAAATCCAATAATATTTTTGATTTCATAAGATGACCTAGTTCAATAAGCACTTGAGTACTCGTATAATGACGACCATCCTGTTTTTTGAAGAATCCTGTAGGGTGTTTTTGATACAAGGTCATCAAGTTGACATGACGACTGATGATCCCAAGTTGCTCCAGATCTTCTAAACAATAATAGTATATGCCTGATGATGAGGTTACTGGTGGTGTCAGTGGTACAGGGAAACGATATAATAGAAAAGGTGTATCGGTATAAAGATCACCTAAATATAATGCTTGTACTTTCATGAGGTTTAAAATGTAAGGAAAGTAAAGAGAAAAAAAAAAAAAAAAAAAAAAAAGAAAGAAAGAAAGAAAAAAAAAAAAAAAAACTTCCATATGTCAAATAATATGGATCGAAAAAAATCAGTGCAACCTTCAGAATTATTATGATTACTTTTTTTATCCTTTTTGTTCAGACCCCGCATTTGATATATTCAAAGAATAAATATTATGTCTCACTTTATTTTAAATATGATATTCATAACATTTACTGTAATTCCATATAGAAAAAGAGAACAAAAGGAATAAATAATTGAATAATGCATTATATCTTCATTGTTAATGACCAATCATATTTTCTAATCAAAATGATTCATCACTCGAAAAGGCATCTCATCATTCTCTTTTCTCTTTTTATAGAATAAATTATTAAAAGAATAAGATCAAAAAATTGACGATCTTTTTATTTCATTTATTAAAAAAAAAAATTAGATCCAAAAAAAAAAAAAAAAACTAAACTAATATAGATTTATACTACAATATCTATCCTATTTATTCTTGTCGTAATCGTAATCCTTTTCTTAATTCATCAGTTAGAGGACCATCGGTTTCACATCGTTCACATTTACAATCAAACATATAAGATTTACTAAGATAGTTTTGCCGGGTTTCCTTGTTCCATCGAGGGTTGACATAGGATTCAAACAGTTGTTCACCTTTTTTGATATCACGGATGGCACGTACCATCAATTTGTATTGAGTTTGCTGACTGGTAGGGTAATCGATAGAGACGTTGGGAGTGCAGTTGTGATTGATATGAGAATGGACGAGATACATGCCACCGTTCTGATTATTGATATTGAATTTGCCCAAATAGTTCAAAAAGGTATCTTCATCGTTGAATAGCTGCTGAGCAAGGTGGTCAGGAAGAGGGAGATTGATTTTGCATTTCTTGGGAGGAGGATGAAGTGCCTTGATCAATTTTGCTCTTGCCTTGGCCCATAATTCTCGTGTAGGGTGTTCCATAAAGATCCATTCCGTTTCCTTGGCTTGTCGTTCCGCCTGGTTCACGGTGGCAAACGCATTGTAGTGCATCAATACCGTATCCAATTCCCCGCGTTGGTGAGCAAGCATCATGTGACAATACATCCGTGCCACTGCCATCGGTGCCTGCCATTGTTCCGCCGCACAAAAGTTCATATAGTCACGCATAGATGGGTTCAATGCTGGGCATTCCAGAGGGTGAAAGGTTTCCAAAGCCGTGGTCTTACATTGCTTGCTACAGTACATGATATCACAATGAATACACCGTACTCCCATTCTTACCGCCCGTGTAAATGGTTTACAACAAAGTCCACAAGCATCGCCCGTTCGTGCCAAGTTGAAGCCTTCCCAGGGTGGAAAATACACTAATGGTGTTTCTGTAAAGAGAATGTCATCTTTCTTAATATCCTTGGCCGCAAATAATCCCTTTCCTGTCACATTATCCACCATTTTTGCCTAAAATAATAATATACAAAAGTGGTGAGTTTTTTTTTTATTATTATTTTGATATACCATTCCACTTTTTTTTTACCTCGACTTTGGTTGATACGGATTGGAAATCAAGTTTGGGATCAATAAAAGATACAGGTACAGAAGGATCATCTTGTACTCCACTTTTCACAATTTCAACCGTGTTGTTGTTGGCTGTCAATCCTTGACTTTGCATAATCTTTTTGACTCGTTTTTCAGACACTTGCCAATCTTGATGCTGTTTCAGAATATGGTTATAGATGGTTTTGATACCAAATTCAGGATGGTCGAGTTTCAATTGTTGAATGCTTTGACATAGCACATCTTCTTCCGGTACAATTCGCTTTTCAACCTCGGTCATAGTATAACAAAATAAGAACAAAAAAAAAAAAAAAAAAAAAAAGGGCAAGTGAAAAAACAGTAATCGATTTCCCAGCGGGGAATGAATCCCAAGCCACCTTATCACCATCTCTCTCTCTTTCTGTCCCTTTTTTTTGCTTTTCTTTCTTTTCACTTTTCAATGACAGTGACTGAAACACTTAACCTATTATACAATGGAAGTAAGGATTTGCATTTGTTGTTGACCACGACATTCTGCATAACTAATCTTATATCTGTCTTTTTTTTTTCTTTATTTCTAGTCTATATTTTTTTTCACTATTACCTTTACTCATACACCATGAAAACAGGAATATGATGATAACATATTGAAGACAACTATATGTTTGTACGATAGTCAAAGCTGTCACCTTACTCTTTTTTTTTTTTTTTTTTTTTTTTTTTTTTGGATGACCGGGAATCAAATCTCACCAAAGCATTGGACACTTACCAAAAACAGGATCTGACAGAAATCTGGGAACCTTCGCAACCAAGATGGAAATAAGACTTTTTATTGCAAATCATAATGGGGGAAATCATGGGTAAGTTTATTTTTTTTTTTTGGGGGGGGGGAATAGATCTTTACTATCATCATACAGAATCTCTTTATACAAATGGATCAACAATGGCATCAATGTTTATTAAAAAAAGTACAGCAAATTTGAACTGGACAAGAATGGTATAGATGGATATGTGATGTGACCCCATGAGGATACTTGAATTGGAAGACACTTGGGCAGGACCGAAGCGACTGTATCACGATGGTCGATTCTACTTATTGTTTATAGGATAGCTCATCATCATTATAGTCATTCGTTTTCTTTTTTTTTTTTTTTTGCCGATTAGCCTAGTCCATGATCGAAAATAAAAAATAGTTATTGATCTATATTTTTTTTTTGTTTTTTTCGTTTTCATGATGAATCATCTATCTGGTTATCTCTATTTGAACGAATAGACATGCATTATTCTATTTTGAGATTGTCATCGATTCTACTATCTAAATTCGGTTGAAAAAAAGCTCAAGCCATTGGAAGTTTCCTCGGAAGAAGCATATGTAAAAATATTTCACCCTTTTTTTCAATTTTTTTTTTTGTATAGAGAGCTCGTGAAATATACTATATATATGGTTATCTCCATAAGGAGAAGGGATAGAATGGAACGGGATGCATGGTAAGAAGGGAAAAACTTGATGTTTCTTTTTCTCACGATTTGATGAATGAAGGAGTTTGATTCTTACCATTGATCCGATGCTACATTGACGCCCCTTTTTTTTTTTTTTTTTTTTGCAAAAATGGGGCAAGAAACCAAATAGAGTATCTTTTCTTATATATAGAAAATGAAAAAGAGAGAGAAAAAAAAAAAAAGAGAGAGAGAGAGAAAGAGAGAGAAAGAGATTGTGCAATACAAGGTGTAAACTTGTTCTTCTCTCCGCCCAAATGATCATTGTTGATAAAGAAAAAAAAAAGATATCTCCTTTTCCTTTTTTTTTTTTTTTATATATACGATTTTTGTTATCGATGCATTGATATAAAATGGAAGAATGGCATGATCCAACAAAGGAAGGATGGAACCGGATAAGAGTATGAAAAACAAAGTTTTTTGAGGATTTAAACTTATCTAATAGGATAGGTGTTTATTATTCAAACATTGAAAATTGTAACCATTCAATGGTAACCATCACCATACGGAGATCGAATGGGGTTTATTTCTGGAAAGGGCAAATCATCATGAATATAAAATATGTTATATACTATTATATAATCTACATGTTTGTGTATTTAAAATAGACTTTCAATTAAAAAAAAAAACATTTGTTACAAATCAACAACCGGTAAGTTCAGTGTTACCTTATTTTCCTTTTTCATCCACTTATACTATTTTGGGGGTATCTATTTGATTCGGGGAATATCTGTTCCCAAAAAAAAAAAAATCCTTGCCACATCTTCCAACCTAAACTCCAATCAATTAAAAAAACAACAAACAATCAATTCTACTGGTTTGAGTAACCATTCACATACACAAAAGTAATAGATACCTTCTCAAAAAAAAAAAAAAAAAAGAGGATGCTTCGCAAGTTCATAGTGACGTTATAAAGTAAAAAGTGAGGATAACCAAAACAACACAGACCCTCTCTTTCTTTTCTTTTGATGATGAAGCTTTATCATATTTGGTAATTTCATCTATTATTCAAAATGAGTTACCTGGATACACAATCATAAACGGAAAATTGAGAGAGTTCTAGCCAATACCAATCAAATATACTTCCACATTTAATGACAAATCAAGTTAAATCACTTGGAAATCAATACACAATGGAAACAATGGATTTGGATTGCGTAATAAATCAAATAGAAGGGGACAAAGATGATATTTCTTTATTTATTTTTGGATGATAAGAAAAAAAAAAACAGATACAAAAAAAAAAAAGATGAGAGAAATGGATGGGGCATATGATGATAAACTAATAAAGTAATAAAATGTTAGTAAGAGTAATAAAAGTAGTTGTAGTTATTCAATATAAAAAAAGGTATTACAAAAGGAAATAAGAAAAACACTAGAAGGAAATATATATATAATATAAAAAGTGAAAACATAATCAAACGAATAATATAAAATATGTATAAAATGACGGAAAGATATAACTAGTACTAAAAGAAAAGATTCCTTTTTGTTTGATTCCCCCCCTAATCAAATCAAAAAAAAAAAAGATGGGATATATATAGATAGAATATCATTGATGATGATGTTGTTGTGAAAACACATTGGTAGGACTTGATAATTGATTAAAATAAGAGTAAACATCAGAAGGAGAAGTTTGAAGTGGAGAAGTATGGAAGATTTGTTGTTTGACCGATTGTTGTTGTTGATGATAAGTCAAGGCTGATGGATGAGGACTTGTAGAGGATATAGGTTGTTGTTGTTGTTGTTGATGATGATGATGATGATGATGTTGCTGTTGTTGTTGTTGTTGTTGTTGTTGGCGAAATAAAGCAGAGTTGAAATCATCCACAACATAAAATCCTTTGTTGTTATTGTTGTTTACCATTTGAGGAGAACAATCCATATAGTTTTGTTGATTGACCAATGTTGTATTGACAGTCAAAGGAGAAGGCCCGGTGATGATGGTATGATCGTCATCAGTCGAGGAGGGGCTGACAGCTTCATCAATACTACTTGGTGACGAATAAGGTAACATATCAACCATTTGTGTTGTGTTACTTGATGATGACGAAGAAGAGGTGGATGATGTCGATGAAGAAGGTGTTGCTGTAAGTCCAGATAAACCACCTATAGCAACATGAGATGATTGTTCTTGCTCTTGTTCTTCTTGTTCTTGTTGTTTTTGTTGTTGTTGTTGCAATTGTTGCTGTTGTTTACTGTGTTTACATTGAAGTTGCATCCATCTTGTTCGGCATTGACGCTATATAATAAAAAGACAATATAAATAAAAAATATCATATTTAGGAAAATAAAGTCAAAAAGGAAAGGGAAGATCGATGGGGGGGACCGTTCCTTTTTTCATATGTCATACCTGAGTTCTTCCTGGAATAGTTTCAGCAATTCGAATCCAGCAGCGACCATGATCCTTGACTCCACTGCGTAGTAAAAGATCTTCATCAGCGCCCCATTTTCCTTTACGGACGTAAGGATCTAAAGCTTCTGTCCACCGAGCTTGACATTGAATACCAGTACGATTGGGAATCCTTTCAGCAATCCGATTCCAAGGAATAGGTTGGATACGACCTTGATTATCCGTCACATTAGCATATTCCATCACTGAATACTTGAGGATGTTATCTTCATAATCTGTCCATCGACCTTTATGAATATTGGGACTAATCAAAAAAAAAAAAAAAGATAAATAAAGGGAAATATAATGGTGATGGATAATGAACTTACTTGAGAGCACCTAACCATCGTGTGGAACATTGCATTGGTGTTCGATTGGGTACATGAGAGGCAATCAAAGACCATTTATGAGGACCATGCATATTGACAGCTTGTTTCAATCTTTCATCTTCTTCCAAAGTCCATCGTGTATAAGTGGATTGACGTAGTTTGTTTCTTTTGATACTATGACTTCTTGTAGTGGTGACGATAGGCGATTGCATGAATGGAGATTGATGATATTGCACCGGTGTTACTGGTAATGATTGAGGTTGTTGTTGTTCATAAGCCTGTTGTTGTTGTTGTTGTTGTTGTTGTTGTTGTTGATATGAATGAATGGATGATGAAGTTGGAGAAGTCCAATAATGAGTAGAAGGAGGAGAAGATGACGTGATACCATTAGTAGGTGAAGAAGTAGTAGTATTGGAAGACATCATCATCATTGGATTCATAGGAGAAGTTGGAGAAGATTGATAAGAATATCTTCGATGTATTGGTTTTTGATATTGATGATCCGACGATGAATCATTGTTAGATAACCAAGAAGAAGGTTGATCAGAAGTAGGAGGTATTCCAGATAAACCACCACATCTTAATTCAGTAGGCTTTTGAAGTTGTTGTTGTTGTTGTTCCATTAACAAATAAGTGTTTGTATCATTCATTGGATGCATCTGATTAAAAAAAATGGTAAAATGATGAATGGATTGGATATAAAAGGAAATTGGTTTGAAAAGAGTAGGAAAGTAAAAAAAAAAAAAAAAAGGTAGAAAAAAAAAAATGAGAAAGAAGGGAAAGAGAAGTAAAGAAAAGCCCGCCCTGATCCTTTTTTTATTTTAAAATACCTAAAAAAAATTGCATAAAGAGTGAGTGATATACTGTTAAATTCTCAACCAATCAAAACTCAGCTACAAAGGAATGTTGTTTTTATGGTTGGTTTTTTCATCCTTTTTAGTTCATTACCTCATGATGTTGTCCGTCATAATACCATTCTTCATTCGTATATAATCCATTCATTGTTGTAACAAAAAAGATACTCAACGGAGGATTATTTTCTATACTTTATAAAAAAAAAAAAAAAAACGAGGAACATCCATTAGCGGACTACCAATATCCAAAGTGGAGAGTAAAGAGAGTTTTCTAAAAAAAGGCACATATACACACACACACACATATAAAACATACTCACACCCACACATTTATATATTATATGTTACTGCTTATTGACATTAAAATATTGCAGGATATACTATCCCCGCAATCTCCCATTCTTCCCATCTGTCATCATCTCTTTTTTTTTTTTTTTTTTTTGTTTTACCAAAGAAAAAAAATTGCAATTGATTTTCTAACAAAAGGAAAACAAAAAGAAAGATATTCTTTTTTTTATATGAGATCAAAAAAAAAGAAAAATGAATGATCGACACCAAAGTCATGCTATGTAGTATTTTTTTCCGCTTGACCTTTTAGTTTTTATTCTTTGTGTAATAATAAAGGATAATATTTCTATTGGAAGATGTGGAGATTGTATGAAAATGATAATAATCCTCTTTGTCTGTGCGCGCATGGAAATAACGTTCAATAACGTATGGGATTCACAAAGTGGTTTTTGTATGTTCCAGTGTTTCTCGTGTATCCCATACTGTCTTCGGCCTTGACCGTTCATTGATCATAAATCAATTGGAAAGACTCGAACGATATGGGTATAACTAACATGCTTCGTGTAACACTCCTTGGAGGTCCGATTTATATGCATTTGGAAAATAGGCTCCTTCAATCAAAGACTATTCACATGGATCAAAGACCTTTTTGTCATACACAAAGTAACGATCACAGTGGTTTCATTTCATGGTCTGGATTCAAAAAAAAAATATTGTATTCAATCAATAAACCAAACAACTGGGAAGTTCCCTATACCTTTTTTGTGATCTTATTTCTATATGTATGAAGTAGATTAAACAATGTTTTAGGAGAATCATGCTCTTTCAGGTTAAGTTTGCTCTTGATCCATGTCAATCCTCCCTCTATCAAATAAAATAAATTTATTGTCGTTTTAGGGCATATACTTCTTATATCATCATTATCATCATCATCATATCATCATCATATCATCATCATCAATATCATCATCACCATCATCGTACAAAACTATAACATAATCGTTTTTATTGGGTTTCCGTTCAACCATCAAAAAAAAAAAAAAAAGAATCCGCAGAATCAAAAAAAGTTTATTTCATATATATATCCTAATTATACTATACTATAGTTCACCACAATCAACAATTGTCACCTTTTTTGATGGTTTTCCATTGGCAGAACCACAAGCTTCCATTTGTCGTACAACATCCATACCAGAAGTGACTTGACCAAATACAACATGTTTTCCATCCAACCAAGAAGTTTTTTCAGTACAGATAAAGAATTGACTACCATTTGTATTAGGTCCAGCATTGGCCATAGATAAGATCCCTGGCCCTGTATGTTTCAAAGTAAAGTTTTCATCGGCAAACTTGCCACCATAAATAGATTTACCACCCGTACCGTCACCTTTGGTCATGTCACCACCTTGACACATAAATTGAGGAATCACACGATGGAATGTACTTTTCTTGTAACCAAATCCCTTTTCACCAGTACATAATGCTCGGAAATTGTTGGCTGTTTTAGGTACCACATCACCTCGTAGATCGATTTCTATACGTCCTGCAAATGAACCACCTATTTGAATATCCAAAAATACTTTGCAACGTCCAGTTTTGATATTTTGTTGTTCTTTTTGTTGTTCTTTTTCTTCTACTTCTTCTTCTTGTTGTTGTATGGTATCCAGTTGTTCATTAGGTGTTGTATGTTCTTTTAAATAAGCATCATCTGCCCAGATCGCCTTGTTGGCACCTGCCATCATACGTGAGGGTTTGGCCGAACTGACCTTGATCACTTTACCATATAATTCAGAAAGATGCATATTGTCCAAAGCCGCCTTGGCATCTTCAGGTTCTTCAAACTCGACAAATCCAAACCCTTTATGTTGTGCTTGAGACCCAGGATCTAATGCCAGTTCCACAGACACAAGTTCACCAAATGGAATAAACGCCGCATGAAGAATAGACTGAGTCACACTTTCATCCAGTCCACCAACATAAAGGATAGTTTTACTGCTGTCCGACATGATGGGCCCAATCTACGTGTAACGGTATGTAGACTTTGTTTTTTTTTTTTCCTTTTTCTGGTTTGGTGATCAAGTAATGATCGATGATCAAAAAAAAAAAAAGGGAAGAGTAAATCAGAAGGAGAGATACAAAAAAAAAAAAAAAAAAAAAAACAACAATCCCTTACCAGATTAGTGTCGGTGATTCAATTGACAAGAACAATGGTAGACATTTACAGAATACACTTAATTATTTGTTAAAAAAGAAAATGATGTTATCAACAACAACAAAAAAAAAAAAGTCATGAAGAAGAAACTTGATCTTAAGACGGTAAAAAAAAAAAAAGAAGAAAACTATACCGAATTCGATTTGACACTTTTTTCTACCCTCATGTTGTCTCATGATAAGCATGCACCCAATCAAGGCATCACGCTATAATACTTTTATTTAAAGTATTGCCGAATAAAGGGATGTACTAAGCGAACTGACTAAAATAATCATCCTTTTATTATAGATGGTTTCATTTCCTATAACATTGTTTTCCCTCAATACCAATGATGATATCGATATAAAGACGATATAAGGCTCTATTGATGATTGATGAATGAATATAGTGGAATGAATGATCTCTGTCTTATTGAATCTTATGATGATATTAAAAAAAAAATACTTGGACGTAGCATAATAATGATAATAATAGTGAGAAGACAAAACAGTGTTTAGCGTAACAATACGATGCATAATTGATCACAAAACAACTTTCTTACAGAAATAATCATTCTCATCATTATTATTATCATCGTCATGGAAATGATCATTATCTCTTAGTGGACTTGGTTTTTTAGTACACGATTGCTTTTAAGTCAAGGTGCATAAGTAGTTAGTCATTGATCACAAAAAGATCCTTAAAGAAATACAATCATCTCTTAACCTCCATTTTAACATATGATTGACACCAAAGCGATGACTATCTTACTTTGATGCAGACTTTTTTTTCTTGAATGCGGAGTTTCATCACGCTGTTTGCACACGTATACTTGACGAGAACCTATCCAAGTCAGTCACTTCAACTTCTAAAACAATTTTTTTTTTTTTTTTTTACTTTTACCATTGTCACCTCTTCTTTTTTTTTTATATATATTATACTTGATTGATAGTCAAGCTGATCCTTGAACATGTGCCATGTGTTTGTGATACAATGTGTATGATGGGTTTAATTTATTGAAAACTACTCTTCTTTGTTTTCTTCTTTTTCTCCAATCATGTTTTTTTTTTTTTTTTTTTGATACAAAAGGCCTATCTGATCTACCTTAAGACTGACGATATGGAAGTGGATTTTGAGACCCTTGGGTCAATGATAGATCAAAAGAAAAAAAAAAAAAGAGAAAAGAAGAAATAATAGTAAGGGATCAATAGATGTAACAATCTACTTTTTGTATTGCAATGCCAAGATCAAGTTGATCCTTGGCAAAATATCAATCAGTATATAGTAATAAAAAAAAAGATGAAGGGAACATTTTTATAGTATCGAATGAGAAAAATAGAGGTCTTGAACGTTCACTGGTTATGTTAAAAAGAATCATCTTTTTTTTTTTTGCAGCCAATGAACATATGTTTGTTTGAACTTGATCTTATTTGACGATACATCCTAATTTAAAAAGAAAATGAAAATACTGGATGGATATTCCTAGGATAGATTGATAGGTTGATTATATATGTAATAAAAGATTGTAGTATTAATGATGATGATGTTATATATGTAATAAAAGATAGTAATTTATTAAAAAAAAAAAAAGAAGATGATAGATAGATTAGTCGCATAAGACGATGATAGATAGATAAAATAGATGGATGGTATTCATTTTATCAAATGAGAGAAGATTAAAAAAAATATAAGATATTAGTATATATACAAAATGTGTCTAATCTATAAGATACCCTATATTTTTTTTTACAAAAAAAAAAAAAGGAATAAAGGTGAGTTCTCTATAAATACTTTCTTTTTTTTTTTTTTTTTTCCTTTTTACCTGAGAATAATATTGAAAAGTATCATAAAGTCGAGTGAATAAATTTCCATAACTATTGACAATCAGTTTATCAACAAAAGCTTCTAATTGAGGTTCGGTCAAATGGAATTGGAATCGTTCTTTGAGTTGAGACAAAACATGATCTGCACCATATTGGAAACAAGGAAGACTGGAATCCTTACTCATCATTTCTACCAATAGGAGAATATTGTCACCATATTTCCGCACAGCCTTGAAAGCTTGTTTCATCAGGATTCGATACTTGTTAAACAACTCACTTTCTGTCCCACCCAATACGTCCACATATTCTTGTGATAACTTGAATGGCGCCATTTCAAACCCTACAGACCCTGGTGAATTGGAGAGTACAAACCCAAAATCAATGTCTATATATCGGTAATATAGCCCGAATAAAAAAAAAAAAAAAGAAGATGAGTCTAGGACCATTCTTTCCTTTCTTGTTGATCTGTGCACTTACGAATAAGATGCCCCTGATCATCGAGAAGTAAGTTGCCATTATGTCTAATCAGGGAAAAAAATAAAATAAAATCAATTCTGAGTAAATCGAAATCCAAAAAAATCGATCACATGCATGATAATGATTTTTTTTTACCTATCTTTGATTTGTAATAAATAGCATGCAATTGAATAACCCACCAAACTTTTCATAAACGCGTCCTGCGCTGCCCGAAAAGTAGATGAAGTAGAAGGTCCCCAACGCTAATTAAAAAAAAAGAAAAAAGGAAAATCAGTCGATTTTGCTTATCAATTAAAGATCTTGTATTACCTGTTCAAAAAAGTCATACAATGTATAAGCATTTGGATGAGTATTGGCATTTTTCTTGATAGAGTGGATCGAAATAGTATTTCGAATAGTTTCAATCAATCCAGAATTGTCAGAAGTTACTAGTACACGATAACTAGAAAAGACAAAAAAAAAAAAATCAATACATACAATGAAATTTCATTGGATGAACTTACTATTGTACCCAAGCATCTACACCAGCATCTTGCCAAATTTTTTGCATTTCACGAATCAATTGAATGGCGAATTGTTCTTGTCGTAAATCCGTACCTTGTTTCACAATGACAGATAAAAGACGCCAGTTGGGTAAATGACCATATGGTGAACTATTGCGAATCCTTTCCTTCTTGTCATGCCAAGCTTCAGAAAACACAGCAGCTAAATAAAATAGAATAGAATATAAAATGAGAATATATCCATAACATAATAATAGAACTTACCACTTGGATCATCCTTGTTCATTATCATTGCCATGGTTTTTTGCCCGTCATTATCATTCATTACCTTGGTGTCATTGCCAAGAGGCTGAGCTACTTGATCCAAGGTGGCTGTGCCTAAACGTTGTTCTTCTAGCGATACCATTTGATCAATCACACGTTGTCGAATAGCTTGTACCATTGCCAAGTTGGGGTCATCATCTTTTTGTTGTAACTGTGCAAGCATCACCGCCGCAGTACGCATTTGTCGCGAAAAATCGGAAGATGGCGGATTCGTTTCTGCTGATGTAAAAGGATCGTCTAAACTTTGATCTGTTGTTGTTGTTGCCATTAATGGTGTTGTTGTCATCGACATATGTTTCTTATCACCAAGTGTACCCAAATCCAAAGTATCATCTTCTTCTTCTTCACCAAAGTCAATTTCAATATCATTAGCCTTGTCAAGAGTAAACACATTTGTATCATAAGCTACCAATGATACATCCATTTCTCTTGATTTTGTTTCCTTTCCTTCTGCTTCCAAACACAGGCCTTCTTCCAATACTTCAATCATCAATAGATAAGGTGCCTACAACAAAAAAAAAAAAATAAGGTTAAATTCATGATCTTTTGAAATGTTCAACCCTTTCATTCTTTTTTTTTTTTTTTTTTTTTTTGCAAAGTTCACTTACTCTTTCGGCAGAATTCAATACTACAGCATCTGAAGGACTGACACGGACAACACGATGATGAAGAGAGCTACAACTTCCAGAACACCAAAGAGGAAGACATATTTCAGCAGGTAGATTATGGTTCAACAATGTCAATTCAGCATGAAGTGCACTGACCCTTGCATGTTTAGGTAACGATACTAAACGTTCTGCGATATCTGAAAGAGCTACCAGAAATTGCATTTGATATTGAAAATAACCAGATCGTGCCCATACCTGATGTCGTTGTTTATGACAACGATGTTGATTAAGGTTTTTCTTGCGATCATGAATAGAATTTGATTCGAATGATGTTCTTGGTGAAAAGCAAGGTGAACTCGGTAAGGAATTTTCTAAATGGCGTGATTGTTGATCTGACATGGTGGGTTGTTGTTGGAAATGTGATGCTGCTGACTGTTGTGGATGAGATATGATAGAAGAAGAGCAAGTTGATATGGAGGAATTTGAAGAAGGGTGTCGTCGCATCATATAATCTTCATTGTAATGAGGTGCAGGTGATGGAGGATTGCCGTCGTTGAGAGGTACAGAGGAAGATCCCATAATTTTCATATTGACATCAAAGTTACCCCTATCATCCATAGAAAGGTTGCCACTGCTTGCTGCACGCTGTATACGGTGAAAAGGTTTATGTGGTGGCCATTTCATGTGACTTGCCAAATATCGAGATAAAGAAAATGCCTTACCCCCATGTAGATCTTCTAATGATACTGAGAACGAGAATGGTCTAGTTGATCGTGGTGATAATAATGGAATCTTGGGAGCATCGATTACATCGGCAGATCGAAGTGATCGTGAACTGGAATGTAAAGGTGAAGGATTTTCATCATGATCGTTGTCCATAGATTTGAAGTCTTGGCTCAACTTGACTCTAGATTCTTGTTGTTCCTGAGTAAGAGTTATGCGTTTCGATGATTCTGTCATGATATTAGTGGTATGTAATTGTTGTGTAGTTGTTGTGATATCTATTTCATTATCATCGTCTTGATATTGAATTTGTTTTGAGGTTTCTATCCATTCGATTGGTAATTGATCGTTCATCAAAGTAGCTTGACATTTATTGAGTACCCGTTCACAAAGTTGATAAGATAAAGAAGTAGGATCAGAAGACCAATCTGACATGTAAGCTTGTAAATACCAAATACTCTGAAAATATCAAAAAAAAATATTATTATTATTATTATTTTTTCATTCTTCTCACTATTAATAAACTTACCATGACAGCAAAGTGAGGAGATTGCTTTCCAAGATCAATTAAGGTATCTTCCAGAGCCACAGATACTGAAGGTTGAGTAACCAATAGATGCCTAATATGTAGATAGTATATTGAGTGGAATTATTATATATATATATATATATTTTACTTACATCAGTTGAGGTAAAAAGAATTCGATCTCTACTGAGGGGAACTTCTTCAAGGATTCGCATAGATAGTTTTGAATACCGATATTATCAGAATATTTGAATAGATAAGACACAGCAATCCAAGCATTGAAGAATTCAGAGTTGAATAGTCGTAATAATAGATCGTTGGCCATGGTGGAATCGAAATAAGGTAATAAAAAAAAAAGTATCTAACACATACAAACACCTGACAAAAAAAAGTCAGAATATAACTGGTGGTTTAAAATAAAGGTACAGTGCTTTTTTTTTATTAGTCTGATCTATTTTACCAGGTTGATGTGAAGAATAGTTTAAATATATATAATAAATAGTAGATATAATAATATATGTATACTAAGATACAAATATAAAGTAAAGTAGATTTGAATTCAACTGATGAAGAAACGAAAAAAAACAAAAAAAAAAAAAAAAATAGAGGGGAAGTCTTTTTGATACATTTGGTTTGTCTACATTCAAACCCAGAGAACTCTAATTTTTTTTCTTTGATTGTCCAATGATCTGGATTCGTGCACAGGCTTCAAATTAATTTTTTTTTTTATTATGAATTTTTGTTTGACAGATATCTCTATAGAGGATTTTTATATAGTTCAATAACAGATTTTGGTCGTTTTTTTGCTGGACGACGATCTCGATGTTGTAATGAAAGATTCTCAAAACCTTGATGAATACTATGTTTTCTTGGTGCAATAGATTGAACATGTGATGTTGGATAGATGGGAGTGATGGCTGCATTGGCTGACAATGGACGTTGAGTTGATGGTGGAGGCATCGGAGCAATGGGTTGTAATGATGATGATGATATTGATGATGATGATGATGGTCGAGTAGGTGGAAGACTAGATGCAAAGGAAGCTCTTCTTGGAGGTGGAGGAGTATATGATATGACAGGTTGACGTTGTTGTTGTTGTTGTATAGCAGGCAGTATAGGTGGTGATGGAGGAAAAGTAGGGAATGATGGACTAGGTTGATCATATCTAATTGTCATATTATTCACGATATGATGATCATTATTATGATTGGCATTCGATATGGCGGCTGCAGCTGCTCTAGCTCGACTTGCTTTAGCTCGACGATTTTGGAACCAAACCTAATCAAGAAATTAAGATTAAATTTAAAAAAAAAGGAATGAACGATGATGATTTTTTTTTTACCTGTACTTCGCGTTTTGTCATATCAAGTTCTTCAGCAAGATGTTCTCTAACTTCTGAACTTGGGGTATCAGTTTGTTGAAAGATGGCCATCAATCGATTAAATTGTTGTGTAGATATTCGTTTTCGTTTTGCTTTTGGTGCATCTTCAGTAAGAAAACCTGGCCAGGTCTTTCTATTTTCTCTTTTTTCTTCAGGTGTCAAACGAGTACTAGTAATAGGATCTACGCTATCATCATTTAATAATGCTGATATTGCTAACGAACTTCTTCTACTATTGCTTGAATCGTATTCGTCAGAATCCATTGATAGGAAAGGATGATGAAAAAGAAAAAGAAAAAAGAAAAAAAAGGAAAAGGATTAATAAGAAGAAGAAGAAAAAAAAAGGGAAGGTATGAAAAGAAAGAAGCCAATAAAACGCTGATGATATTGGAACCCTTGTCACTTTTACCAATAAAATAAATTCTCTATTGACACAGTTTCAGCAAGATTTATATCTGAGTTTGAACTGTCTCCAGTCAAAGATGGAGCATAGGTCCAATTGAAACTTTAAAAGAAGATCCATGAATTTATTTGGGGAGATCTGGAAGGAAATGAGTTGATTCTTTCAATAGAAATTAATCCAAACAAATGAATCATAACGTGACTTTTTGATTATATTATATTTTAAAATCTCTGACGCCGAATCCCCCTTTTTTTTCCCATTCCTTTTTCTTTCTTTTTTTTTTTTTTTAAATGTAACTTTTTTTTTTTTTTACTTTGATGCCTTACGATTTAGAAAGTTATGGATCATTATATAGATATCAATATGATGATGAATTATCACAACAAAGAAATCGACATGTTCTTTTTGTAATACTGGTTGTCGTTTGTATGTTATGTGTCTTTCTAAGCTATCGAGTTTCTTCTGGTTCTGGATCTCCTTGCTCTACTTATATCATTTGGATACCCTCTTGTAATCAAGAAGAATATATATCAATACATTAGTTAGTTAGTTAGTTAGTTAATGATATTATATACAATAGTGATGAATGCTTATGACCCTTATCATTTTTATAATGATTGTACAAATGACTAAATTATGATGATGATGATGATGATTATACAAATGATTATATTATGATGATGACGATGACTGCATGATGATAGTAATAGTAAATATTGAAATTAACCTAATGACGACCATTTGCGTGCATGATATTTTTTTTTTCTTTTTGTGTGCCGGCGGGACGTTAAATCTATTGTTTTCACTGAAGGAACAATAAAAAAAAAAATGAGACGCGCACTAAAAAATGCCTGACTTTCTTCTTTCTTCCCGTCCTTTGTTTTATTTTTATTTTTATTGTATATATTCAGACTCGGCAACTAATCAATGACCTTAAGGAAGCCATTGAATTGCAGAGATATCAATAGGGAATATCATATCAATTCTCCAAACTCATCACAAGGACACAAAGAACACAGCAATCAGCTTACTCCTCCTCCTCCTCTTTTGATTGATAGTCTATTCCAATCCAACAATACCATTCGGCGACATCGTCTTTGCATCAACAACGATCCAACTATACCACCACCTGTTATAAAACAATCAAATAGTAGAATGTCAAGATGGATTCAACCAGAAAATCAACTCGATAATAGATCCATCATCTCAACTCGCCGAACTTCAAAGAAACGAAGAAAGATACAAAAATCCTCAACTTTACTAGATCCTCCAACCAGTCAACAACAACAACAACAACAACAACATGAAGGCGAACAGAAAGAGCAAATACATCACCTACAACAACAACAGCAACAAGAGCAGCAGCAGCAGAAAAACCATGAACAGCAACAATTACCATCAACTCAGCAAACAACTAATAGGATACAATTGTCCCGTCGTCAAAAGCGAAGGAATCGAATCTCAATATCATCATCACTCCAAGGACAACCTGAACAGTCAACAGATATAGAACAAGAACATCAGGAAGACATCAAGCAGGTAGCAACGATCAGACCACGACCGATTATACGTCAAGAAGAGTTACAAACACGAACATCAAATACACAACAAGAACAGTCGTCCTCATCTATCAAGTCACCATCAACTACAAATCAAAAACCATTCATCATGCCTTTACCAACACGATTATTACCACTTGAAAATATATCTGCATCGTCACATATGACCAACCATACTCGATTAAATTTATCTCGAAACTTACGCCGATCACGGTCAACACCACCAACACAAACATCGCCTTTACGTTCATTACTTCCATGTTCCAAGCAAGTCGAGCAATCATTTAATACACTCCCATTATGGCAAATTGAAAAGGAAGCGTTACATATTCGACATCTGTCGCCAATATCTGTTTTAAATGATGACTGTTTGTCCGAGATCTTTCTTTATTGTACTGATACTACTACTCTCTGTCGTATCTCTTCTGTTTGTCAACATTGGCGCCGTGTCTGTTCTCAACCTTATATCGTAAGTAAATCCTGCAAAGTATTCTATTCCATTTCAACTCATACACATTTTTTTTTTATTTTTGTAGTGGAAAACCATAGACTATACATGGAAACAATTTGTGGAACAGATCACTCCATCCAACAAACGGTTGAAATGGACACCTTATCGTCAAGAAAGATCAGCTTACATTCCAGTTATGCCTATATCATTTCTCAATATCAAATATATGACTATCACTGACAATACACCTGAAGATGCACCTCAACCTAAGCTCGTTTGGTCACCCTCTATGTTTTATTTGAATCATATTAAAAAACTTGAACTCAACAATATGTATTTGGACGATATTATGGATTTGATTCAACACACTGGATCTCTATTGGAATTAAACTGTCACAATATCATGTCTCGACCATCGAACGATACCATGATGCTTACGGCATTTGGAAAACTACAACATTTGCGTGTGCTCAGACTTCATTTTATGACCATGTGTGAATTGATCAGTCCAACTTCACTGACAGGTTATGGTCACCGACAACTATTATCAACAAGAAACAATAATAGATTGACCCTTCCAGTTAACCTTCAAATATTGCAAATCACCAATGTCTACGATATAGAAGAAAGTTTGGTTTCAGGAAGATCGGTACTAGTGGCAAGACAACGACAAGCAGTGATGGATCGACTGAGGTATGCATGGAATGAAATGGAAAACACTTTATGCAACAAATACAAGGTACTGAACACATTGGAAAATTTGACGGAACTATCATTGGGACACTGTTCTGCTTATACAGCACGTATTTGGAAAGAATGCATTATGCCTTGTACACACCATTTGACACGATTATCTCTTTGTGGTTGGAGTGGTGATGGTAGTAGAGAAAATCCTGTATCATGGTTAGAACGTCACGCATTGGCAGAAAGAACTCAAGTCTCTATTGAAAATTTTATGGAAGAAGTAGAAAAAGCTTTGGCTGATATGTTGGCTAATCTACATTCACTACAAGTACTCTCGCTATCTCAATTCCATTGTGGCCCTGGTCTTAGACAAGGTGTGGAACGTCTTTCATCTACTCGATCTCAAGCTCCGCTATTGAAAGTTATCAAGGCCAAGTGTGGATCCAAGATGATGCATAACAATATCCATCAGGAATTGGATATTAATGATTTAGCAAATTGGTTATTGGAACAAGTGGAAATTCATTTTACATCATAGTCTTTGTAGGTAGTAAACGAAAAAAAAAAAAAAGTTAGATAGCTTTTTATATTTTGCTCTTTTTGGGGTTGCTCGGATATAATTTTTCCGGTCAACCAATAGTTAGGATAGATATTTAGATTTGAATATGTCTTACTGAAAATCAAAATAAAAAAAAAAATTTATCTCGTCTTTTTATATTGTGTGATTTTAATCAAGCATTACTGTGGATTATTCAGCATTGATAGTCAAAAGTAATTTTTTTTTTTTTGTAGTGGTGACTGTTCCATATACGGCAAGTTGTAGTAAAGTGGTGATCGAAGTGTCACTGAATTTTTTTTTTTTTTTTTACTTTTCTTTTCCGCCTTCTCATACCTTCGCCACGCAATCCCTTTTTTTTCCATATTTTTTTATTTTTTATTTTTATTTTTTTGTTTTTTTTTATTTTTTTCTCTTTTACGTGGTGGAATAATAATATTATTTATATAAAGTCACGGTTTTAGAACACCATGCATTCTGGATCTTTTATACCGAATAACTCAGGACAACCTCCGCAGCAACAAGAACAACAACAACAACAAGATGCAAAAAGAAGACGATTAACACAAGCTTGTGATATGTGTAGAAAAAAGAAGGTAAAAAGGAAAAAATACATATATTTTTTTTTCTTTGTTATTCATAGCATTCATTTACAATAGATAAAATGTGACGGAGGACGACCTACTTGTGGGAATTGTTTAAAACTCAAAAGGGAATGTGCTTATATTCCTAGTAACAAAAAAAGAGGACCACGACAAGGATATATTGAAATGTTGGAAAAACGTTTAGATAAAATGGAAAAACTTTTAAGTCATTCAGCTGATTCTACAGAACAACAACAAACTTCTGATACTGATATATTAACTACCGAACAACAACAACAACAACAACAACAACAACAACAACAACAACAACAACAACAACAAACGAATTTGATTATGCCTCAATCTTCTTTAGGTATTGGATCATCATTAGAAGATATCAAACGTACTCTTCCTTATCCTTCTTCTTCATCTTCAATACAACAGCAACAAAGTCCTATATTACAACGTATCAGTCATGAACGATCAGGTTCTCAATCTGAAGCTTCTCAACCAACACCAACGTCTGCTATTGGTAGTACTAATGATTTGGGTTCTTCGGGTCCTGACTCTCTTTTGCCTCCTAGACCTATTGTGGAACACCTTATCAAACTCTTTTTTGACAAGATCTATCCATCCACTCCAATCTTTGATCCAAGAACATTTATGCGTGATTATCGTGAAAACAAACATTCTGATTTTTTATTACTATGCATTTTATCAGTGGCTGCCAGGTAAAATTATAAAATTTAAAATTTAAAAAACAAAAATTATTAACTTTTTTTTCCTAATTCTTTATGCATAACTAGGTTCTCTGATGATCCAAATGTCAAAGAAGAACCAGCTTGGAATTCCGGTGAAAAATATGCTACCAAAGCACGGGCCTTATTGGTTAATGCTGTGGATGATCCATGTCTATCCAATGTTCAAGCCATTGCACTGCTAGCTTTACATGAATTTGGTTCTGCTCGTGGACCAAGGTACACCTTAAAAAAGAAAGAAAGAAAGAAAGAAAGAAATAGATCTGTATCATCTTGAGAATTAAAAAAAAAATAATTATTGTTTTATAGGAGTTGGATGTATTCTGGTATGGCGATACGAATGGCAATGGAATTGGGACTAAATAAGGAACCTGAATTGGACAAAACTGTGGAACAAAATCAACCTGCGGAAAGATGGATGGAACAAGAAATACGGCGTCGTGTCTTTTGGGTAATCTTCACTGTAGACAAGTAAGTTAAGAAAAAAAATAATAATATTCTTAATAGGATGCTGATCAGTTTTTATTTATATTATTTTATAGGCTGAGTAGCGCATCCACTGGGCGACCATCAGTGATTCAATTGGAAGACTGTGATGTATTACTTCCAAGTGACGAATATGGATGGGTACGTGGACAATTCTATACGGAAACAATGGATGGTAGTCGTGTAGTGCAATTCAATGTAGGTGAACTTCGTGACAGCAGTTTATTAGGTATCTCTAGCTTGGTCAGTCCAGCGCGTCTTACATCATCAGTATCGAAATCATCAGGTGTTCTTTCCTGTCATTCATACCTTCTTCGTGCCGTTGCTTTACTTGGACGTATCGCCACCTTTGTCAATCGTACAACACGTGAACGCACTTTACCGCCATGCAATCCCGATTCTGAATTCGCCAAATTGGATCGAAGTATTGATGAATGGTATGAACAACTTCCTCCCGCCATGAAATATACACAAGAAAATATGGAACGACATCGATTATCACCTAATGTTGACAGTAGTCGATTTGTTTTAGCTCACATCATGCATAACACATTGACCGTTCTTTTGCATCGGCCTTCTTTGGTTCTTTTTGATACGTTAGTATCTGAAGTGGTTCAACCTTCTCTCAAAGAATTCTGCAAGGCTAGCGTGGAAAAATGTCTACATGCTGTGGACACCGTGACTACAATGCTCAAAGCTATCAATAATTGTGTGGATCTCATGCCTCCATTTCTGACCTATCTCTCCTATACTGTAGCCACCATTGTTGTCAATTCTACATTTTCTTCCAATCCAGATGAAGCAAAGAAAGCAAGAGCAGATCTCAATGAACATTTCCTTCTATTACAGGTAAAGTGTAGATATATTGATTGTACATAGATTCTCACTTCTTTTTTTTTATTATTATTATTTTATCTCAATAGTCAATGCGGAAATATTGGGCAATGGCTGATAAATTATATTTCATGATCCGTGATCTGTATGCCATGCATAGCAATACCATTCGACAACATTCTCGATCAAGTAGTTCATCCAATAGCGGCAACAGTAGTATTACAGAAGCAACTTCACCGTATTCTAATGCAACTCCATCCATGCCTTCTCCTACACCATGGAATAGCAATAACAGTAATAACAATGGATCATCCTTAATATCACCAAATTCACAACCACCACCGTCTATGCAACAACAACAACAACAACAGCAACAGCAACAGCAACAGCAACAGCAACAGCAACAGCAACAGCAACAGCAACAGCAACAGCAACAACTTTCGCCTACTGTATGTCAAGTGAATTCAAGTAACAACACCTTAGCAGGTCGCAATATGGACTATCTTCCCAACAATCAATATTTTCCCAACAACAACAATCAAGATAGCAATAACCTGTTGAACCCAACTTTACGGAAAATGTCACTAGCGGAATTGGCGTTATCAACATGTGATGGGGCTTCTTGTACTGATTGGACGGTGGGCGACAATAGAGAAAATGTGGCAGCAGCACTTCAATCCTTGATGGGACGTACAGGTGGAGTCTCAGTGACACAACCTATGTTTGATCTTAACTCAACAGTACCTTCCAATCCTTCTGTTGACGCCCTTGCTTGGAATCTTGGTTACTCTACGCCTGATCAATACAATGCGCCATCTGCTCAATGAAAAACAGACAGCTACAACAAGTCATTTCTTTTTGGAATCTATTAGCAACAATACCTCTCTTTTTTTTATCTCATATTACAACGGCTGTGCCCTTTTATGTATCATATCATGGTTATGCCCGCTTCTATCTTTTTTTTTTTCATCCATATTCATGTCTATGATATACTTATACTCATTTTACAATCAGTCCTACTTCCATTGTATGGTATTTTTATTATTATTCTTATTATTATTGTGTTGATTTTTGCCCTTGTATATTATTTTTTTTATTTATTTTATTTATAATAAACACTCTGGTTGAAGTTTTTTTTCGACATCGAAGATTATATGGGTGGTTATTTTTGTTGAAGTTATAGATTTGGTGACAAGTGGTGGTAACCATGCACCTTGTGGAATTACATCATACGTATAAACTATATTTCTCGTTTACTCGTTTCTATAAAAATTATGCAGTCGTGGAAAGCTGTTCCTTAGTAGAGGTTCTACTCCTTTCACATCTGGTAACAATAGAGATATTGCTTGTACTTATTATTATTACACGATCACCATATGAAGAGCATCATACCTTAGAAAACTTTTTGGTTCAAAGTTTTTATTTGTTGCATTACCCCTAATTCATAAGAAAAAGGATGATCGCTGCGGTGTGATGATCGTTTAAAGTTCTCCTTTCTATAAAATAAAAAAGGACACATATTCCATGTTTCTTTTTTTTTTTTATTATTTTCCAATTAAACAATCATGGTCTTAAAGTCATCCATTGTCCTTGCTGTTCTTGCATGTGCTATCTCAAGCGCATTAGCTAAGAAACAACCTGATACGGACAAGGCTCAAGGTGACAGAGCTAAAGTTCCTGAAGGTGATTATGATACTCTCGGTAGTCTTGGTGGTCTTCTTGGCGGTGATGACTGATTCTCCACTGGAGAGAAGCAGGAAAGCAATAATTGTATGACAACTTCACTCTTCTTGTTACCCATATGATATATCCACTTTTTGGTGCCAAACCCGTTTTTAGTTGTCATCTGTCTGAACTTCCCATTCCCTCCCTCAATATATATAATAAAAAAAAAATCTAGCGCATGACTGGAGTTTTTTAAGATCAAAAGATCTACGTGGATGTCTATTTTGGTTGATCTACAAAGCTTATTTTATTAGATAATGTGTAAAAATGATTTTATCGACATATACGGAAGTATTATTTAATTGATTATTAGAAGATTGTTACTGTTGGTGGAAATCGATTGTGATGATGATTGATAATTCAAGGATGAGTAAATGGTGATGACTTAGGGTAGATCATAATTCTTATTATCTCGACACTATTGATGACTATAGAGCATATGGATGCTGATGACAACGGCAGTAATGACATAGATGGTAATGGAAAAGCATGAATATAATTTTATTAAAGAAGAAACATATAAGCTAACTATCCAGAAAGGAAATCACCACGATAAGAGCAAGATAATGACGAGACCGACAATACCAGAAGTAGTAGTATGTTCATTCTGTTGATACAATTCTGTAATACCTCATTTGATTCAGTCGTCTATCCATTTAATTTGACTGTGCGATACATCCATGCAGGTTGAACTTGCTGTCTATCCATTTGATTTGACACAGTTGTATAGCCATCGAGTCCTATTCTATTTTGCATAGCTTTTCTTTTTTTTTTTTTTTTAAAAAAAAAAAAAAAAACAAAAAAAAAAAAAAGACGGCAAGAAAGAGTAACTTACCAAAAAAAAGAGACAGAAGTAATAGCATACCATTGCTTTTTCCAATAGACCTTCAAAAAAATGAAAAGAAAGAAACAATCATAAAAAAAAAAATAGATAACACCTTTCTTCGGATCAACACTTTCTATTTCTCGTTGACATTACCTTTACACTCTTTAAATACACGAGGCTATTGATAGCTTGCCCAAACTAAAAGAAGAAGTTTAGGATTTCAGTCAAACTAAGCGAGCAAAAAAAGTGATGGAAAATGAAAAGAAAAGAATATAAATAGTAGAGGAAGAGAAGATTTGGTGTTTACATAGAAAAAAGTTCAGACTCCTCAGTTAAATTATTTGACATCTTTCTTTTTTTTATCACCATGGACGTATAATTTTTTTTTGTGGTCAATTGGATCAAAAATAGGATCAAAAGTTGTTAGTTCAATTTACGAACTATTTTCACTAACCTGATCTGCTCTTTTTTTTTTTTTTTTTTTTTTTGTGGTCAATTGGATCAAAATGTAAGGTGGAAAATTCTATTCCTAACTACAATCCCATTTTTTCAAAAGCCAAATACCCTGATCATGACCGTTAGTTTGATTTATTTTCGCCACTTTTGGCTAGTTTTAAAAATGATGACCCAATCAGACTTAAAGGACTCATTTCCCATTTCTAATAAACGATTTGATTTGCACGACTTAACAATGGAGTGGGGCAAGTACCCAAGTCAAAGTTTTGTTTTTCTATAAAATAAAGAAGGATGGACTCTTCAATTTTTTTTTCCTTGCTTATTTTCATCCAATCATCATCATGGTCTTGAAATCATCCATTGTCCTTGCTCTTTTTGTATGTGCTGTCTCAGGTGTATTGACTAAAAAACAACCAGATGATAAAGGGAAGATGGTGGCTCGCCAACTTGTCGGAAGTGTTACTGGTGGTGTTTCTGGTGAACTTGATGGTGTTGATAATATGGTTCACAATGTTGTTGTCGATACTGCTGATTGATCTTTAGGGTCGTAAAGTCACCAACTACTATGATCACTCTTCTTGGTCTTCCTATCTTTTTTTTTTCTTTGGTGTCAAAATGTTGCTATACTATTCTATCTGAACTACTTCCCACCCATCTCAATTTATATATATTTAAAAAAAATAAACGTCCATTTTGTTTGCTTCATAAAGCTCGTTTTAATGGTTATTGTATAGGATGGTTCCACTATTAGATAGGTTACGTAAAAGGTTGTTGTTATTGGCGAGTGCAGACAATTGATGAGAATTGATGAGAATTGAAGAATGAGCGGATGGCGATAATTAAGAACGGGCGATGGTTCCTATAATTTCAGCTATTGATTTCTGTGTATAATGCTGAAGATGATGATATCGACAATAAGGACAACCACGACGGGGGAAAACATAAATATAACTTTATTAAAGAAGAAGAATATATTGCGTAACTAAATTAACACTAACTATCCATAAAAGAGATATCACAATATGGACCAAATAAGAGAGAAAGGTCAATCTAAACCAGAAGATGACCGTCATAAAGTAATTTCTACACAGCTTGATTTGTCTTTTTTTCCCAGGATACTGTAGTATGTTCATTCTATTGATCCAGTCGTATAACCATCTAATTTGACCCTGCGATATATCCATTCAATTGCTTTTGCTGGTTACCCATTTGGTCATGCTGTATATCCATCCAAATTTATCCGGTTGTATAATCATCTAGCCACATTCTATTCACATATATGTGCATAATTAAAAAAAATCGAATCGACTATATAGAATAGACAGGAAAAGAGCGACTTACCAAAAACAGAGATAGAAACAATAGAATATCCTTCCTTTTCTAATACATCTTCAAAGAAATGAAAAGAAACAAACAAACGTAAAACGCATAGTAGTACTTCCATTCACTTCAAACACTTTCCCAGTTCTGATTGGCATTACTTTTGCATCCGTTGAGCACATAAAAGAATGAAGACGTTAATAACATGTCATGCAACTGTCCAAAGAAGAAAGAAGAAGATAAGCGAGATTTCAATCGAATTAGACAAAAAAAAAAAAAAAAAAAAAGAAAAGAAAAAAAAAAGAAAGTAAAGGGAGAAAATGTTTTGGTTTTTATGTCCATAGAGTTCAAACTCCACAGCTTAATCGTAGCCGGTCAACCTTAATAATAAGTAATCGATCAGGTGGACCAGCTCTCCTCGCAAAAGCCTGGCATTACCTAGAAATCACTTTTGATTGAACATCTGCGTGAGTGGTAAAGCCTGAAAATTGACTAAGAATGGCGCATACGAGCTTCTAGTTACCAACTTTTAGTTCATCCATCTGATTTATTTTCGTCGTCGTGGAAGTATAAATCTCTTTTTTTTTTTTTTTTTCCTACGGTACTCTATCCACCCGCACTTTTTACACGGGGTACTATTTGTTAAGATCATGCAGGGGTAAAAATACCTGTTTTTGAAGACATCTTGTAATACAGAAACTATGAACAAAACATGCTTCTTGTTGTATCCATTTTCTGCAAAAGATAAATAAGGCTCTGCAGCTATGGAAAGTACTCGATGCCCATTGGCTATGATAAATTGTACTCCTTTTAAACATGAATCGTATGGACATGATCATACATACCTTGATTTTGATTCTCAAAATTTGTTTTTATTTACTGTACCATTTTCTAGAATAGAAAAACAAGAAAGAGGGAAACTTTGCCAAGTGATCATCACCTCTTTTTTTTTTTTTTCTATAAAATAAAGGATGAGCCCGTTTTCCTATTTTTTTTTGTTTATTTTCATTTAACAAGCAATCTTCGTTATGGTCTTAAAATTGTCCATTATCATCGCTCTTCTGCTATGTGTTATCTCCTGTACGTTGGCTAAGAAACAACCTGATACTGGCGATAAAGGGAAGATAGTGGCCCGTCAGAGTTCCGGAGATACTACTGGTGATTCCTCTGTTACCCATGACGTTGGTGCTACCCTTAATGACCTTACTGGTGATGTCGATAAAATTATTAAGGACGCTTAACTGGCAATGAAGGAAGTCAGTCACTGTACGTTCCTACCATTCACTTCAGCGTCTGTATACATATATATATGTTTCTTTAAAAAAATAAACATCCGTTTTGTTTGCTTCATAAAGACAGTTTTATTGGACAATACGTAAAATGATTCCAATCTCTGTTAGGTTACCGTAAAAAAATTATTGTTATTAGCGAGTGCAGACAATCGATGGTGATTAGTGACAGCTGGAGGATGATGATGGTCATAGTTGAGGATGGACGTTCATTGTTATAATTTCAGCTATTGATTACTGTGGCTGATACTGCAAATGATGATACCGAAAATATTGACAATAATGGAGGAACATAGATGTAGCTTTATTAAAGGAAAAAAAATATAGAGATGAAATATTGGGTAACTAAATTAACACTAACTATCCGTAAAAAAAAGACATCGCTATGTGGGCCAGATGCGGGAGAAGGAGAGAGAGAAGCCTACCCAAATCAAAAGATGATCAACATTAAGCAAAATTCTGCACAGCTGACTTGTCTTTCTTGTCCAGTCGAATCCTGTTGCAAACCTATGTTCCCTGTATATATCTATTCTATTGATCCGGTCGTATATCCATTTAATTTGATGCTGCAGTACATCCATTCATTTGATGTCTATTCGTTTGATACTGTTGTATGTCCAAATTGGTCAAGTTGTATAGTCATCTAGCCATATTCTACTCACATAAAGGTGCATCATTTAAAAAAAAATCAAGTTTAGACTACGTAGAAGAGAAAAGAAGGAGATTACCAAAGGACAAAATAGAAATAATAGCACACCTTACCTTTTCGCAATAGACCTTCAACGGAATGAAAGAAAGAAGTAATCATAAATAAAAAAAAATAGTATCTTCGTTCAATTCAACACTTCTCTGATTCTTGTTGATATTACTTTTCCACCAGTTGAATACCCATTTGACGACATTAGTGATGACATTCCATGTAACTGTTCAAAGAAGATGATGAGCGGGATTTCAATCAAGTTAGGAGAACAAAAAAAGGAATGGAGTAAAAGAAAGCAAAGAAGGGATAGAGAATTTTAGATTTTTAAAAATGCACAGAGTTTAAACTCAACTAAATCTGTAAAATTTCCCTCAAAAGTAATCGATCAACAACGCCCTTCTGCTATGGGCGAAAAAAACTGGTAAACACTATTGATTGAACCTTTGCATGCATAACAAGGCTGAAGGTGACTAAAAATGGCGCAGATGGGCTTTTAGTCTAGTTCATCCATCCATTTTATGTTCGTGGTAATAGAATATGATACCTTTTTTTTTTTTTCCTATGATACACTCCTACACATACCTTTTGGTTAAAATCATGCAGGGGTAAAGAGGTATCTTCTTTCAACACGTCTTATAACACTACGAGCATATTTCTCATTGTATCCATTTTCTGCAAAAATACACCTGCGCTATGGCATACACTCGTTGTACCATTCTACTCCTTTTAAACATGATTTGTGAGATAGCTAAGATAGGAGAACTTCCTTGATTTTCCAAGTTGTTTCTGTTTACTGCATCATCTCCTATCATGGAAAAAAAAGGGGAAAGCACCTTCGCCATGTGATCGTCGTCAAAGATCTTTTTTTTTTTCTATAAAATAAAGAAGAATTGATTTTCCATTTTTCTTCTTTTTTTATTTTCATCCAACTAAACAATCATCATTATGGTCTTAAAGTCATCCATTGTCTTTACTCTTCTTGCATGTGCTGTCTCAAGTGCATTGGCTAAAAAGCAACCTGATGCTGGTGACGTTAAAGGAAAGATGGTGGCTCGCGAAGAACCCATAGATGTTCATGCTGGTGATGTTGTCGAAGTTGGCGTAGACGGTGCCATTGACATCGACGCTCTCGGGAGCAATGTGGTTAATGTTGATGATCCTGCTGCAGGAATTGTTGACGAGGTAGTGGGAGCCCCTAACTGAATAGAAACGCCTTTCTTGTTGGTGTCCATATCTTCTCTTTTTTTTTTTTTTTTTCTCTTTGATATCGCGGTGTCATCGTACCATTCTATCTGAATTATTTCCCATCCATCTCAATATATATATATATATTTAAAAAAAATAAAGATTGTTCTTATTGGCGAGAGCAGACAGTTGATGAAAATTGATGGTAGTTGAAGGATAAATGAAACATGATGACGATAGCTGAAGATGGACGGTAATTCCTATAATTCCGATGTTTTTACTCTTTGTAGTACTCAAGATACTGATATCGAAAATAATGACAACAATGATGGTGGAAAAACATCAGCTATATATTTATTAAAGAAGAATGTAGAAGGATGATATATTGTGCAACTAAACTAATGCTAACTATCCATGAAAGAGACGTCACTATATGACCAGATAAGAAAGGGAGGATAGAGAAGTGAAACCAGAAGATGACCATCATGAAGTAACCTATACACAGCTGATTTATCTTTCTTTTCCAGTCGAATCCTTTTGATATCCATTCTATTGGTCCAATTCTGTCACTTTGCTTGATCTCGTGCATCCACTTAATACATTGTGATACATCCGTTCAGTCGAATTTATTATATATCCGTTTATTTGACCTTGTTGTATATCCTATCAAATCGAGCAAGCTTATAGTCATCTAACTATCCATAAAAGAGACATCGTCCCAGACAATAAAAAAAAAAAAAAAAAAAAAAAGAAAAAGGAAAAAAAAAAAGGAAAAAAAGGAGAGAGATCAATTAGTCAAATCAAAAGAAAACATCCAGTTGATGCAGCTGAATATTCATTGCACTTGATCCAGTTGTAGAATGCCTAGGTTTGTATCCTGTTGTATACCCATTCAGCTGATACAGTTGTATAAATTCCTAGTTGAGTTCTACTTGTATATATATTAAAATTAAAAGAAGGGGAAAGCAGAAGAGACAAAGAAAAGATAACTTACCATAAAGAGAGGACCAGAGGTAATATGGATAAACATGGCACTAAGTATTCATTAGTATTTGAAAAAAAAAATATATAAAGAACCATAACAATACATTAGTACATGACATTGTTTAATACATTACCACCTATTTTTCACTCTTTTTTTTTATTTTACCTTTCCATCCAGAGAGACACAAGAAGGACAGAAACTAAAGAAAAGAATGCAATGAATGCCTCGCAATAGTCACATTAACAACAAATTAAAAAGAAGATGAGTATGATGTTAATTAGGCTAGGAGGGACAAAAGAAGAAGAAAAGAAAGAAAAAAAAGATTTTGGCAGAGCCAACACTTTCAAACTCCTTTTGCAAACATCCCAGAGGATTGTTGTCAAATTGGTTCATTGCCTTAGATCAAACATGCACTATGCATAGCTTTTTTTTTTTTTTCTATTGTCAGTGATGATCGATGTACCTGAATATGATTAGGATAATGATTGTATGATTTATTCAGTATAGAATTCCCGACTTTTCCTCAAAAGAAATAGACTAAAAAAAGGACATTATTAGTATTGGAATGAACTTTTTTATTCATCGTGTCTATCTTCCATTTCCTTTTTTTTTTATTGCATATTAGTCATTCTCTCCGTTATAAACATAAAAACCTTCTTCTTTTGATTTCGATATATGTTTTTTTCCGATGATGATGATAATGATATTTTTTTTTTTTACTTGACATATATCCGCTTATCAACATTATAGAAAAATTCTAAAGAAGCTGACTCAATATTCTGTTCAATTAAACATGGTTGTAACATTGATGAAAAAGATTATGCAAAAAAAAGGGGGGGGGAATCTCGGGATTCGGCCTATTTTGTCTTTTTTTTTTTTTTTTTTTTTGGTGAGGATGATGCCACGTTACTTCAACTCTTCTATTTTATTGGATATTTTACTTTTTCGACAAAGGAGAAAATGAAACATAAAAAAAAAAAAAACGTGTTGGCGTAAAATGAAAAAAATAAATGCTTATTTAAAGATATTACTGAAAAGAAATAGGATATGATAAGCCAATATCCATTCTTTATAATGAAAAATTGGGGGGAACATTCTTTTGATATCATATCTGTCCAATCAAACTCGGCTTCCTAATAAAGCAATTCTCTCTTACTTGATTCCGGGTTCAGTCATCCTTGTTACGATAAAAAAAAAAAAAATAAAAAAAAAAAGACGGATGCTGGGTCGATTTTTTTTAACTACGTATGTCACCAAAAGAGGAATAAGCCCAAAAAAAAAGGGGGGAAAGGTATGACCAGAACATCAAGGATGGACTAATAGGTCCATAGAATGAGTCTAAAGAGGCCTTTTTTTTTCTCTAAAAGGTATACTTATTCAATCATCTTCTCATAATTCTTCAATAAATATATCTCAAATCATTTGACGTCTTCCCACCATCATTATTGACATCATTACAATAAATCATGAGAATCATTTCATCAACAACAATCATTCCTTTGTCAACTTGTTCATTCATTCAATCATCGACTACTACAACTGTTAATAATTGATTTCCATGCATATGTGTGTGTTTGTGAAAGACACAGGGATCATGATTCTTCTGAATCATGAGTTCATTGTAAACAAATCATGTCGTTTTTTTTCTTCTGGATGATTTGCCTGATATCTGATTAAAAAAAAAAAAAATAGGAGACAGAAAAACTTTATTTTTTTTCGACTATCTACACGTAACATAATGGTGCCATCATCCGTTTTTTTTTTTTCTTTCTTTCTAAATTCAACTATATTGTGTGTGCGTGGGTGCATTTGAGAGGGAGAGAGGAGGAGTAACTAAAAAAAAAAAAGTGGGGAAAGGGATAAAGAAGATAGAAAGGGGGAAAACCTTGAATATCTATTGACGAAGGTTACGGAGTTTGGCGGCAGCTTCAGGGAAGTCTTGAGCAAATCTAATAATATAAATTAAAAAGAAAAAAACAGGTTTTTCATGAGTCATCTAAGAATCCTAAAGTTACATTGTGATTCATCATGCATTCATCTTTACCGAATTTGAGTTTTGGTAGCTTCCACATAAGAGATAGCATGTTCCAATTCAGGTTCAGTTCTAGCCAAATCAATTGCCAATTCATAATATTTCAAAGCTTCAATAGGTTCACCACGTTCAAGATGCAATTGTCCCAAAGAAGCAACAGCAGCATCACAAGCAGGATCAGCTAATATATAAATTACCAAAAGTGTTAGTTATATAGATATTTTCTTTTTTTGAGTGGAATACTTTACCTTCTAAAGCCTTCTTACAAAGACTGACAGCTTCATCAGCTTCAGCCATCAATTGGAATTTGAGCATAGCCTTGTTGATATAAGGAAGAGGATTCTTAGGATCTAATTCGATGGCCTTGGAGAACATATCAATAGCTTCAGGGAACTTTTGTTGATCAGCTAGTAATTCACCATAATAATTGTGCACATCAGAGGATTCAGGGAATTGCTTTAGAGTGTTCTTAAAAGTGGTCATGGAAGATGACACAGATCCCATCTTGTATTGTACAACACCTAATTGGACATGAGCATACAAAAATGAATCATCCAATCTGATACTTTCACTGTAATCTTTGGCAGCCAAATCGTAGTTGTTACTGATATAATGGACTAAATAAAAAAATAAAAAATAATAAAAAAAGATGAGTATAATTTCTCTCTTGTCTATTTTACATATATATTTCTCAATCTATTTACTTTGACCACGGTGATAGTAAGCATCAGGATCACTTGGGTTGATAGCAATTGCATCTTCAAATTCCTTGAAAGCAGAAGCAATGTCCTCTAACGAAAAAAAAAACAAGAAAGATAAATCAATATTCATCATCCATAAATATTCTCCCTTTATTTCTTTTCTTAAAAAAAAAGGTACTTACGTTGTTCGATATAAATAGAGGAGCGTTTGATATAACTTTGCACATATTTGGGATCCAATTCAATAGCTTTGTTAAGACATTCAAGTGCACCTTGAGTATCACCCTTCAAAAATACAAAAGTACCTTTCAAATTGAGAGCAGCAGGCAAATAAGCAGCGGAACAACCCAATTCAATGGCCTTTTCACTGGCTTCCAAAGCAGTAGGATAATCCTTAGCAAGAGCAGCACGATATGCCTTTGCAAAATGAAAATCACCAGAGGATTCATCGGTAGTGGTAGGTAATTCAATGTTGGCTACAAGAAAAAGGTATTTATCAGTACTATGTTGTCAACATTATAATTTTTCTCGTTTTTTACCTGGACGGAATGAATCAAGGTAAGCACTGACATAGGTGGTAGAAGGTAAACGATGTTTTTTAGCTTGCATGATTTCCTTGGCACGAGTGGATGCCAATTGCTTTAATAATCGTTCCATAGATTTGGCAGCATTATCGTTCTTGAATCCATCCAAAATACAAACAGAGGTGAAATCTAAAAATAAAAAAAAATAAAAAATATCAACCCAACGAGTCTCTTATAATCACTTTAGCTTACCATAAAGAGCATCATTCAAACGGTTTTCCTTTTCATAAGCTTGAGCACGTCGATTGATTGCCTTGACATATTCAGGATCCAATTTCAAAGCTTCATTGGTGTCTTCAATCACACGATCATGCTGTCCCAAGAAACTATAACAAGCAGCACGGTTGGAATAAAAGATGGGATCGGCCTTGAATCGAATGGCTTCCGTATATGCTTCTACAGCTTGTTCATACTTTTTGGCTCCAAATAACTTGTTTCCTTTTTCCTTGAGAGATTGAGCAGTCTTATTACGTTGCTATAATGTAATTTAAAAATATCAGTTGTTCGTAACAAGTTCCCCCTATACACACACATATATATATATTGTATATATACTTACTTCAGTTGTAAGTTCTGCAATAGCTTCATCCGATAAAGTTGTATAATCAATTGTTTCCGTGGTAGTAGTAGTAGTGGTAGTAGTAGTAGAAGTATTCGAGGTTACTTCGGCTTGTTTAGTCGTCACTTCGGGTTCTTTGAAACAACAATAGTAAACGGTTAGGAAAGTTTTATCAACAATCAAATACATTCCTCTTTTTTTTTTTTACCTTTTTCCGTTGTCTTTTTTGATTTAGATTCCTTTTTGGAAGTACCCTTTTTCTTTGGCGTAGAAGAAGAAGAAGGTCGTGTCAAATAATAAGCACCAGTACCAGCCAAAGTCAAACCAGCAAGAAGAGCACAGTAAAATTTCCAATCTTTATCTTCAAAATACTTTTTAATCTTTTCCGGAGTATTGGAAGAAGGTGTCATTTTGTTGTTCATGGTTTTTTATCGAGTATATATTAATATAATGAAGGGAAAGAGAATAGACACGAACAAGGAAAAATAATAAAAAAAAAAAAGAATAGGAAACAACGAAAAGAAAAAAAAACAAAGCTGACTTTCAACCGTCCCCACCCCACCTCACTCACTTTTTTTCCAATCTCTCTCTTCAGGTTCTAATCCTTTTTTTTTTTTTTTTTTTTGATGGCTTATGTATTCAAAATCCGAATGTGCCAATTAGGATAAAAGGTAATAAGGAAAAGGCTCACTTACCATTGTCATACAAAAAGAACATTGATTATAGATCATTTGGTTGATAATTCTCTTCATCTTTTTACAGAACGTTTATCATTAACAGATCAGCCACATTTACCAACCCAGGTTCTGTTATTGAAATTATCATGACAACGTGATATCGTACTAGTAACCTATATTAGTCTAAATTTTCTTTTTTCAATAAGAGATCACCAAAAAAAATTCTTTAAAAATTTCTGTTTTTCATATTGGTAACAATAAACTTTTTTTTTTAAGACAAAAATAGAAATTGGGTACCGAGTTTTGTTCATCATAATGATTTTTTGATGATAATGAACTAATCATCAAAAAAAAAAGTAGGTGTGAGAAAGAGATGTAAGAATGATATAATCTTAATAGATCAACGGGATTCTTATATATAACAAACAACAACAACAAAAAGAGGGATGCATGTGTGATGTCAAATGAAGGGAAAATACACTTTTATCTAAAAAGGTATGGAAGGTATGGGAAAAAAAAGTTATAATCACATCTCACCCTTGCCAAGGAACTTCTTTACATATCTTTGCTTGTTCATGTAGGGATGTCATCAAGGAGATATTATAATCAATGTAAAAAAAAAAAAATAAGAAGTATGTTCGGATTAGAATGATTGATATGGATCTCTTCTTGTATATGTAAAGAGAAAACTTTATTCTGTTTGTGCATGGATGGGCGATCCCGATTAAAAAAAATAATCAATGATAACAAAGGCGGAGGTCTAACTTTGAGGTGTAATGTTTAAGGAAAGCATTCATACTGGAAAGATTTGCATTGATACATGAAAGGGATGATCCAAACAGTACAATCAACTAATTGCATAAAAACGTGTTCATAGAAAAACAATATGACTCGTTGATATATTTAACTATACAGCAATAATATAAGATTGAAAAAGATAAACAATAACAACACTTTTTTTAGATACAATTGCGACAGAAAGAGTAAAAAAAAAAAAAGATCACTATTAAAAATCATTTAGTAGAAAATGACGAATAATATTATAACTTATTATTTTCGCTTGTAAATTTTTGAAACAATATAGATATTGTTCTAGATTTGATTGCTTTGGTTCCTAGTAAATTTTTTTTTCTATTTTATCTATCTGTTTGACATTTATTGCATTGGACGGAGATGAAAGATGAAAGCAAACTAAAACCACTCAATAAAAATAGAATCAGATCATTAGTTATCCAATCATTAAGCTTGAAAATAGCCCAAACTTCTTTTTTTTTCGAAAGGTTAGGTTCTAGTAGCGGAAAGTAAAAAAAAATGATTATCAACTCTTTTTTTTTTTTTTAAGAAAAAAAAAGATAAGCATGAAAATAAGGAATTTATGTCATGACAGATTGAAAGAATATAAGAATGAATGAATGATTCAATTAGATGATGATGATGATCGTGTGTATGTGTATGGTTAATGGTTAAAAAGACTTTATTATTGTATTACCCAACATAGCAACCACATCTAAATTAAATGATTACATGCGTTTTGTTCGTAGGGTGGGTTCCGAAAGTATAAAAAAAACAAGTGGGAACTAAGAGGATCTACTTAAAGGTAAGCGCCGATTGAATCCATTGGAAATTTTTTCTTTTTTTTACCTTTTCATTCATACTTTTATTATATGATGATACATCACAATGGCAATATCAATTGTATATTATTATATATGATTATTTCTATTTTAATATGATTTGATATATAAAAATAAAAAAACAAGAAATAAAAAGAAAAACATAAAGTTTTTGGATGTTGTGCATTGATATATATATATATTTATTTATTTGGGGGGTTTAAACGGAAAAAAGGGGGGATTGATTCAAAAAAATAAAGGGGGGAGAAAGGGGAAAGAGAAGGGATGAACAATACTAATTAGCAAAAAAAAAAAAAAAAAAATTGAAACTTGGGGCAATTTACTGGTGAGTGAAGGGCTGGGCTAGCTGGTAGATCTGAGACTTTACTCTTTTTGGAAATTTTCAAACCCAATAAATTTATATAAACTCATATGAAAAGGATTGGTCAATCTTTTTTTTTTCTCTTTTTCTTTCTTCTTTCTTTCATTCTTTTTTTTTTGTACATTTTATATTCCCCCTTTCTTTTTTTTTCAAAGCTTCATTGTTTTTATTATTGTTTTTTTTATTTTTTATATACATCATATTTATATTGTACCATTCATTTTATATTGCATACAAACAATCATACAAATTTGGATATTTAAACAACAATGACAACTTCATCATCATCTAGTACACCCAATGAATTAAATCGGTCGATCAGTACATTATCTAATCATTCTAATGGTACAGCATCTACTTGTGTATCTAGATCACCTTCCACAAGTGGTAAAACTGTTTCTAATAACAGTTTTGAATACGTAATGGAATTACTTGATGTTACTTTTCAAGGTTTTTTTTCAAATAACAACAATAACAACAAATTACGACAACCTGAAGAAGCAATGGGAAATTTAGTCAATCGTACATTACAATTTGATTCTTTATTGGATTTTATTACTTCTTCTGATCATCCTGCTATTTTATCACCACCTTCTGTTTCTAGTCCAAATCCTTCTTTTATTACCCACAATCAATTATATTCCTTTATTCAAAAATCATTCAACTTGTCACAGTTTGGTCTTGGACGTGGCTCTCGTGTTGGTGTTTGTTTACCTGATGGTCCTTCTCTTGGTCTTTGTCTTTTATCCGTTATGACTTATTGTACTTGTGCTCCTTCCAATGCAAATCTTACTCCTGAAGAATTACTCAATGATTTCAAGAATATGAGTGTACAAGCTGTCATCATTCCCTTCTCAAAATTACAAAATGAAAATGATCCTTTGGTCAAAACTTTTAGAAATGGTGGTTTACAATTGATTGGTCTTGAACAATCTTCTGAACATGCTATTACCTTCTCTCTCTTTGCTGATGCTTCAAGAAAACATGATTCTTCTCTCTTGGTCGATGTTTCTTCTCCTAATCAACCTGATGATATTGCAATGATTCTTCAAACTTCTGGAACTAGTGGTAAAAAGAAAACTGTACCTTACCGTCTTCGTACTTTGTGTGTTGGTACCACTTGTGTAGCTTTTTCCTGGGGTCTTCGTAGTACCGATACCAATGTCAATATGATGCCTCTTTTCCATGTCGGTGGTATTATTCGAAATCTCTTTGCTCCCATATTTACAGCTGGTACTGTCATCTTGTGCAAGGTAATTTGATTTGTTTAGAAAAAAAAAAAAAAAAAAAAAAAGAGAAACCATGAATTAAAACTCACTCTTAATCTTTTTTTTTTTTTTTTTTTTTTTTTTTTTACTTTTTGCTTGATTATCATTCTTTTTTTTTTTAGGGATTTGATGCTGGTATGTTTTGGGATATTTTAGATTTACAAGAAAATGGACAACAAGTTTGGTATTACGCCGTTCCTACCATGCATCAAGCTATTTTACAAGAAGGAACTGTGCGGAACGTGCCTGATGATAGACGCCGATTCGTCAAGATGATTTGCAACGCCGGCGGTGGACTTTTACCTTTATTGGCCAAAGAATTGAAAAATTACTTTCCTAGTTCAACCGTGTTACCTTCTTACGGTATGACAGAATGCATGCCTATTTCAACTCCTCCTCGAGATTATTGCCTAGATCGTGAAGGTACTTCTGGTTTGATGGTTGGTCCCGAAGTCTCTATTTTCAACAATGGTATCAAAGTCCCAAAAGATGGTATGGTTGGTCATATCATGGTCCGTGGTGCTCCTTGTTTTGATGGTTACGAAGGTATTGACAATGCTGACACTTTTGATGCTGATGGATGGTTTGATACTGGTGACATGGGTTACCTTGATGATGGTTATCTTTATATTACTGGTCGATCAAAAGAAATTATCAATCGTGGCGGTGAAATCATTTCTCCTTTTGAAATTGAAGAAGCTGTTCTTGCTCATCCAAAGGTGGCCCAGACTTTGGCTTTCTCTGTCCCTCATGAAACTTTACAAGAAACTATCGGCGTTGTCATTGTTACACATGGTAAGTCTTTTGTTTTTATATATATATGGAAAATGACATGTGTATTTTGTTTTGCTTTGAAGGATCTACTTGTCTTTCATTTTGTACAACAATGATGATTATTTTTAGTTCTTTGTATTAACTTTTTTTTTTTTTTTTTTTTTTTTTTTGCTTTATAGAACGGCAACACCGGCCTGACTTACGATCACTCCGCACGTTTCTTGGCAAAACCTTACATCAATCGAAACTTCCTCAAGTATTGGTGTATATGGACAACATTCCTAAAAATGCCGTCAACAAACCTTTACGTATCAAACTCAGTGAACGATTGGATATTCCTGAAGTGATGGATTCCGAAAGCAATCTCAATGTATCACAACGTCTCTATGAAGCCGATTGTCCTGTCAAAGGTGCTCCTCTGACTCAGCCTATTCCCAAACGTACGGTTACTTGGTCTATGGATGATGTAATTGCTCGTTTAATGCAATATCCCCAAGTCACTGATTGTGCCGCCTTCCGTAATCCTATTGACAAACAAGTGATTGCTTTTGTCGTCACCAATGGTCCTCCTGGTCAACAACAACATCAACAACAACAAGATGATCAACATGCTCAAGGTTTAGCTAAACAACTTCATCTTTATCTACAAACTCAAGTACATGATTATATGTTACCCAAACGTATTGTCATTGTCGATGAAATCATTCAAAATACTGATGGTACTGTGGATCAAGAAAACCTTCAAAGGCTTGCTGGACAAGAAGACAATGAATCAGTCAATGATCCAATTGCTGTGGTGTTAAGAGATATCTTTGCCTTTGTACTTGGTATTAAGACAGTGGATGATGAAAAGACGCCTGGTGCTCAATTCCCTATGGATGGTGATTTCTTTGAATATGGTGGCAATTCTTTGAAAAGTGGCTTCTTGATTTCTCAAATCCGATCTAAACTTGGTGTGGTACTTCCTGTCACTTGTCTTTATGATGAAGACAAACGTACTCCTGCCGGTCTTGCCAAAGTGTGTCATGAAAAAATTGATAAGGATCATCCTATTTTGACTCAAGGTATTGGTGCCATTGGTGATAGTGGTGATGATGAAACTGATCAAACCCTCAACAGTACTGCTTACAAGGAACGTATGGCTAAACGTGCACCTAGTGGAGCCAAGAATCCCTTTAGTTTCTTTGCCATGATGGTACAATCATCCGCTGTTTACTTATTACGTCCATTACGTATTACGGGTAGTTGGTTTTTATTTGCAAACATGCTCGTTATTTTGGCTTCTCATTGGGACAAGACTCATAATCATTGGAATCGACTTATTCAATTGGTATTGGCTTTAGTGATTGCCCGTACAGCTACTGCTTTTGTATTCCCTTTTATTGCCATCCTTGTGAAATGGGTTGTTATTGGTCGTTATCGTGCTGGTCGATATCCATTGTGGGGTCAATATTATCTACGATGGTGGTTTGTACGTCAAGTGAATCGTATTGCTGGTCGTGGTATATTCAAAATGAATCCTACTTGGTATTGTTGGTATCTTCGTATGATGGGTGCCAAAGTAGGTCGCAATTGTTGGATTGATATTCATGCTGATATTCAAGAATTCGATTTGGTGACCATTGGTGATGGATGTTGTTTTGACAACTGTTCCGTACGTCCATTTTCTTTATCCAAGGGCAATATGAATTTATCTGAAGTGGTTATTGGCAACAATTGTGTAGTTGGTTTGAAATCCATTGTAGCTTCTGGTTCTCATCTTCCTTCTGGTACTGTGATGGGTCCTTTGACTTCATCTCATTCGAATGATGTCAAGACAGGTGGTTCTGCTCATATTGATACTCCCGAAGGCATGGCTTATGCTGATTTGTGTCGTACCAATTTCCCTCAACCTCATCTCTTGTTGCAACTCCTTGTGGGCTGGCCTTTGATCGTAATCATCAACTTTATCGCTTATATTCCTTGGTTTGCTGTTATCTATCTATTGACTGCCGAAGTGTTCTTTGAAAAGCAAACTGCCAATCAATTTACTGAAGTCATCCTTTATTTTGCTGAACCTGAACGTGTGGGTTATCACTTTTTGGCTGTGGTGGTACGTGACAACATTGTTCCCTTCCTCTACTTGTTTGTGGTGATTATCTTTAAACGTTTAGTGATTGGTAAATTCAAGCCAGGTCCTCGTCGTCATGATCAAATCTCATTGATGCGTTTCTGGTTGATGGAAAAACTATTGCCAGGAGGTGATTTCCATGGTGTGACAAAACGATTGGGTACGCATTATGAATTGGTCAGCATCATCTACCGCCTCCTTGGTGCCAATATTGGTAAGCGTGTTTACTGGCCTGGTAGTGGTCTCCGTGTGGTTGAATTTGACTTGTTGAATATTGGTGATGATGTTGTATTTGGTTCTCGTACACATGTTCTTTGCTCTGATGCCGTTGAATCTGCTCCTGTTACTATTGGTAATGGTGCCATGGTGGCTGATCGATGTGTTCTTTTACCTGGTTCTCATATTGGTCGTAAAGCTGTACTTGGATCTGGTGGTTTGTTGAAAAAACATTTCAAGATTTCACCTGGATCTACCTGGGTTGGCTCTCGTGGTGGCAATGCTTACAAATTTAGTGATGGTGATGCTCAAGATGAAAAAAGTTTGGATGATACAGTGACACCTTTTGGTCGTGCCTTTTACCAACGTAAAGCTAATTATTTTGTTGCTCCTCTTTTATTATTGGTGCCTTACAACTTTATTATGCAAGTGATTGGATCTGTCTTTTGGTCTGTACCTGTGACATCTGCTATTCAAGTGGCAGCTATCTCTGAACGTTATCATTATGCCTCTCATGTTGAAGATAAAATGGTATCTCGTTTATTTGAAGGTAATCGTGAAGGGATTACTTTCTGTGTGATTTTGGGTATGGTGATTGTGACAGTGACAGCATTGGCATTCTTGGCTCTCTCCATTGAAGTTGCAATGAAATGGGTACTCTTTGGTCGACGCAAGCAAGGTTCTTATAACTGGGATGAATCCTCTTATTGTCAACGTTGGCAATGTCATATTACCATTCAACAAGCTTTACGTCATGATGTTCTCAATTTGATTACAGGATCTGGATGGTTAGTGATGTTCTTCCGTGGTCTTGGATGTCATATTGGTCGTCGAGTATGTCTTTATCCCAATGGTGGTGATCCTATGATGACTGAAGCTGACTTGGTCACATTGGAAGATGATGTGGCAGTGGATGAAGCATCCTTGGTATGTCACTTGAATTCTCGTGGTCAATTCTCCATCAATCCTTTACGTGTTGGCGCTGGTTCTGTTCTTCGATCAGGTTCTCGTTTATTATCTGGTGCTAGGATGCGTGAAGATACTACTCTATTGGAACATACTTTGATTGTCTCTGGTGAAGTTACAGATAAAAAATCCATTTGGCAAGGTTGGCCTGGTGAAGATATTACTGTTCAACAACGACACAAACGTAATCAATCCAAACGATTCTCTGTACGTAGTTTACGTGCCTTTATAGATTTTTATTAGTTATATATTTCCCTTCATTATCTTTTTTTTTTTATCACCCCCTCCTCAAAAAAAAAAAAAAAAACTTTCTCCTTACATCTTTGTACATATATGCCAATAAATAAATCAATTTACTTTTTTCATACTTTTTGTTTAAACTTGATGTTAAAAAAAAAAAAGCAACTCCCCCCATTGATGATGATGGTACAAAAAGTGAGATGATTGACCTTCTCTTTCTTTGTGTAGCCTTCGGATCTTTCTTTTTGTGACAACCGAAGTTAATCATTTTTTCCTCCTTTGGGTAAATTGACATTATCATTACATCACTAGGTATAAAACGGATGATTCTATCCGATCATCTTCTTTTTTTTTTTTTTTTTTTTCCAGGTATCCCGAAAATGTCACCCGATCTCACTTCATAATATACTCACGGATTAATAGACAAATAAAGGAAATTGGATTCATTTAGTTACATCCATTTTTTTTTTTTTTTTAAATTCCCAGGACACATATTACTGGTCATCATTATATGACATCCATATCAGTTTGATTTGTTTCACTGCATTCTAAAATAAAAGGGAGTCTCAAAAAAAAAAAATCATCAATGATCCCACCTTTTTTTCCCTTTCTTGCTCTCACTTATTTCCGCGTATTAATATATCGAAAAAAGGAATAAACTGTTCATTGAGGAAATTTTCATTATTTCTGAATGCCATATTTATAATAGGGATCCTATTTAATGGTCTTTCCTTTCTTTTCTTTTTTTTTTTTTTTTTTTTTTTTTTTTTTTTTTTTTACATATTCTTTCTCAGGATGATTTGTTTGTAATGATCATTTTACTTTTTTTTTTCCATTCGTCAAAAACCCTTGTTTAATAATAAAAGATAGGCACTACTTTTTTTTGCATTGTAAAGATGACATCGGTTTATGCGGGATTTAAAAGATTAAGGAAACTTCTGGTTACTGCTGGCTCATTCATGTCGATTCTAGCATTGTTAAAAAAAAAGTTTATAAAACCCTGCTTTAATTTTTTTTTCTTTTCTTTTTTTTTTATTATTCTTTTTTCTCACTATATTATATATCCTCACATTATTATTATTTTAATTCATAATGGGTGGCATGGAATTTACTGACAAAGTAGAAAAAGCATTAGGACAAGCACAAAGTTTAGCATTATCTTATGGCAATTCACAACTAATGCCAGCTCATTTGGCATGTACACTTTTTGACGAAACGGATGGACAATCATTATTCAAAACTATTCTGGAAAAAGCCGGTGTAGAACCTCAAACTGTAGAACGTGGTTACAAGAAAAAAGTGGTGCAATTACCAGCTCAAGATCCTCCACCTACTGAAGTCACCATTAGTCCTCAAACTGGCAAGTTATTACAAGCAGCCAAGACACATATGAAAAACCAAAAGGATTCTTATATCGCGGTGGACCATCTTATTCTTGCCTTGGCAGATGACCCAACGACATTTCAACCCATGAAGGATGCAGGTGTGACGAAAAAGTCATTAGAGAATGCAGTGACTCAAGTACGAGGGAATCGACGCGTGGAAAACAAGAATGCCGAAGAAGTATATGATGCTCTCAGCAAGTATGCAGTGGATCTGACAGCTATGGCACAAACTGGCAAGTTGGACCCTGTGATTGGACGTGATGATGAAATTCGACGAGTGATCCGTGTGTTGGCAAGACGTACCAAGAACAACCCTGTCTTGATTGGTGAACCTGGTGTGGGCAAGACAGCCATTGCAGAAGGATTGGCGCGACGGATCGTGGAACGGGATGTACCTCAAACATTACAATGCAAGCTATTTTCGTTGGATATGGGCGCACTGATTGCTGGGGCCAAATACCGTGGTGAATATGAAGAACGACTCAAGGCAGTGCTGAACGAGGTCAAGGAATCCAAAGAAGGCGTGATCTTATTTATTGATGAAATCCATACTGTGCTTGGTGCTGGCAAGAGTGAAGGAAGCATGGATGCTGCCAATTTGCTGAAACCCATGTTGGCTCGTGGTGAACTTCGATGTATTGGTGCAACCACATTGACAGAATATCGACAAATCGAAAAGGATCCTGCATTTGAACGACGTTTCCAAAAGGTGGATGTAGGTGAACCGACAGTATCAGCCACTATCTCGATTTTGCGTGGACTCAAGGAACGTTATGAAAGTTATCATGGTGTCAAGATTACCGATTCAGCCTTGGTATCAGCGGCTCAACTTTCAGATCGTTATATCACAGCACGATTCCTTCCTGATAAAGCCATTGATTTGATTGATGAAGCGGCAGCAAGTCAACGTGTACAATTGGATTCAAAGCCTGAAGAAATCGATATTTTGGAACGCAAACTCTTTCAACTCGAAGTGGAATCGACCGCATTGGCCAAGGAAAAGAACAATAAGGAAGCTCAAGAACGATTGGAAAAGGTCCGTGAACAAATGGCTGCCATTCAAGAAGAATTGAAACCTCTCAAGCTCAGATATGATATGGTCAAGGGACGATTGGATGAAATTCGTGATCTCAAACAAAAACTCGATCAACTCAAACAAAAGGCGGTGGAAGCAAAGAATCAATACGACTTGGCCACTGCTGCTGATATCGAATATTATGCCATTCCAAATACGGAAGAGAAAATCGCTAATTTGACGGCTGAAAAGAAACAAGGTATGGTGGATGCGCCTGATCAAATTGTTAGTGAAGTGGTACGACCAGAACAAATCATGGAAGTGGTAAGTTATAATTTATTGATTTTTTTTTTTTTTTGGAACAAAGTGTTCACATTTTTTTTTTTTTTTTTTTTTTTAGGTATCACGATGGACTGGTATTCCTGTACAAAATTTGGCCAAAAGTGAACGAGAAAAGTTGTTACATATGGAAACTGAAATTCGAAAACATGTGGTTGGTCAAGATCAAGCGATTCGTGCTGTATGTGATGCCATTCGACTGTCCAAGGCAGGATTACAAAACCCTAGTAAACCATTAGCAAGTTTTATGTTTCTGGGACCTACTGGTACTGGCAAGACGCTTTTGTGTAAAACATTGGCTGAATTCCTATTCAATGATGAACGTGCGATGATTCGGATTGACATGAGTGAATTGATGGAACAACATAGTGTGGCTAAATTGATTGGTGCTCCTCCTGGTTATGTTGGACATGAAGAAGGTGGATTGTTTGAACAAGTGCGAAGAAAACCATATGCAGTCGTATTATTGGATGAACTGGAAAAGGCGCATAAGGATGTGGCGAATGTGTTACTGCAAGTACTGGACGAAGGCTTTATTCATGATTCCAAGGGACGCAAGATCGATTTTAGAAACACCATTGTGGTGATGACATCCAACCTTGGTGCTCATCTTCTAGCTGAACAAGCCGACTTGGTCAACATTGCCGACTCGATTGTGCTCAAGGAACAAATCCTGCAAATTGTACGACATCATTTCAGCCCTGAATTCACCAACCGTATCGACGAACTGGTCATCTTCAACCGTCTCACACAAAGCAACATCACCGATATTGTGGATGTACGACTCAAAGAAGTAAGTCAGCGTCTATCTGATCGCAAAATCACCGTGGATGTCTCCCACAAAGCAAAACTCTGGCTGGGTGAACATGGTTATGAACCCGTCTTTGGTGCCCGTCCTCTCAACCGTTTGATTCAACAACAAGTCTTGAATCCATTGGCTCGCTTGATCATCGATGGTGGTGTGCGTAATGGTGAAACCGCTCATGTGGATGTTAATACACACAACGATATCGTCATTGCAAGAAATCATGAAATGGAATCAGATTATGAAGTGGAAGAACCTCTTGACTCGGATAATGAAATGGCTATGGATGAAGATTTAGATTAGGATTGTTTTTTTTTTTATTATTAAAAAAGTATAGTGTTGTATATATTAATTAGTTTACCTTCAATAAAAATGTTATTTGCATCTTTCTGTTTTTGATAAACTGGGATGAATCATTAGGCATGAGTGATGATTATGTCTATTATGCATAAACGCATACACGGTGCCCAAAGAAAAAAAAGGTACATCAATGAATTTAACAGAATGTGTGATGAAATGAAGGTGCTCATGAGCGTTAGGGCTTGAAAAGACTTGTTTCTTTTTTTTGCCGAAAACTGGAATACCCAGGAAGCCATTGAAAACAATGTAATAGTATATGAGAATAATGATATCTTCTTCGTCATTCGCATACCTACAAAATAAAACAAATATCATCAAACAATCATAGCAGGTCATAAAATAAAAAAAAAAAAAAAGAAATGGTATAACAATAATAATTAGATAATGAATAGTTCAATGATTTTTTTATTGACGTAAAAGTGATATTATGGTAAGGAGAGGGGTGGAGTTGAGAGAGATAACTGACAATGTGGATTATTTCAATTAATAAAGCCTACTGCAGGTTTTTGCTTCCTTTTCAAAGATTTTTTGTTTCAATCCACGAAATCATATGGTAGTAGAGGAATTTCCGTTCGTTGCCCATCATGCATTTCGATGTTGTTGTGGAGTACTGATATGCTGTATAGATCATCGATACTTCCAATAATTGTTAAGAAGATCACATTTCTTAGTTGATATCTTGATTGTTGTCATTTCTACATAAGCTAAGATATCATTCTTGGCTATCATACAGTAAAAAGTAACGCTTGATCCTACCAAATAAGCTAATGAATACAAAAAAAAAAGTGAAGTACGGTAAACATCGCAGGAAAAAAAAAAAAAAAACAGAGAGGGGAACAGGTTCACACTTACAGGACTTCAATGGTAAAAATCACATTCCTCTCCAATTTGGTATACTTTTTGGCGAGAGTCAATAGTAAAAATGCGAGTAGTAGATCAATAGCACCATCACGGTAGTCCTATTTCATATAAAAGGAAGTGCAGTCAGTCCAATATATTTGTATATATCAAATAAACAAACCTTAAGAATGTGTATCATTTTTCCAGTCAAATCACTACTACATTTATGTCTAAATGATGATCCAGTTACTAGATATTGGTATATGCTTTTCAAAGCCGGCGGACTGAAGTGATTTGCAGGGATTGTTCCATATTTATTACGCTTTTCGTAACACTAGGATATTCATAACATGTCAGTCTCAATACAAAGGAAGGTGATATCAACTTACAATAGCTGATTGAAGTATTGGTCTACGTTTCGGTACAAGTTCACATTTTGCAGACTTTGAATTCGCGACGAAAGGAAGCTGATACAACTCAATGAACCTATTTTCCAATCTTCAGATTCCACTACTTGTACAGACTTTTCGTTTCCACTTTTACATCAAAAAAAAAGTAAGTAAACATTGGATCAAGAACTAGTGATTCAACTTACAACTTCAAGTGTGTTCCATATATATATGTGTTTTCGAGGAGATTTTGTCGTCAGAAAAAAAGTGAAAGGACAGAATAATTTGAATACAATATCGTGATATTCTTCGGCATTTTCTTTGATGATTTGCGTCTTATTCGTTAAGGCTTGCTTGCTTCGCTTGTTTGGTAAGATAAGACCGTGTGTATCATTGATATGTCGACGTAGATTGGAAGTCTTCATAAAGTAGGAATCCTTTTCACATAATGAACAAATATTTTTATAGAAGAATGTTGCATGTTAAAAGAAAAAAGTGTTCCATACCAATGCAAAAAAGAAAAAAACGAAAAAAAGAAAAGAGAAAAAAAAAGAAAAAAAGAAAAAAAGACGAGAGAATAAGACGAAGGTACACAAGGTGGTTGTCGGAGTGTGATGTGGATGATCTTTGGAAAGCCAGTAAAAAAAAAAAAAAAAAAAAAAGATGGACTGCCAATATAACAGATAAAATGAAAAGGCTTTGCTTGAGCCAGAAAACCGGTTGGTATATGTCAGAAGACCAATTCGCGTGTATCACAATTGATTTGTACGCAGAGTTTTTGTCTTTGCACGTTAAAAACTCGAGGCTTCACCAAGCGAATGGAAAAATCCATACAGTATGTTCGAACCCCAATTAGAAATAGACCTCTAATCACAGCAAAAAAAAAAAAAAAAAAAAATTAGCAAGTATCATGGTTTTCTTTTTAGGAGATGCGTCCCCTCTATGTCTCTTTCTTTGTATATGTAACTTTTTTTTTTAATTCTAAATCACTCCCCAGCTCAACATATTTCGAAAAAACCTTGTATGTACGACAAAGGGTGGATACGGACATTATGTTTACGTAATAATCATGAGGGACAAGTTCTTGATTGAATAATTGACAGTAACTCTCTGTCCCCACCTTTGATTGAGAAGATGATCCTTTTGTTATTTTGATAAAAAAAAAAAAAAAAAACTTTTATTGATAAAAACAATTAATTTACATATATACAAACAACAAAATACAACTATACTATAAACAATATTTAAAAGAAAAGATTATGAATCACCATTTGCAGCACCGACCACAGTTGTCCAACCATAACTTCGTTCTAATGCTGCTTCCCATAACTTGAGCCTGTAATGCCGTTCTATAATACAAAGTTGTCAGAGACTATTATTTTTTATTATTATTATTATTATCTTACCTTGTGTTGTGAACTTGGGTTCAAAAACATCTACATCCAGTCCCTCATTCTTGACTTGAGCCAAATCTTCTGTACCATTCCATATGCCAACTGCACATCCTGCAGCAAAAGCAGCACCCAAAGCTGTAGTTTCCTTCATTTTTGGTCGTTCTATATTAAAAAAAAAAGGAGGATGATTACTCTATCCTATCTCTCTCTCTTTTTTTTCTAATCCTACCAACAGGAAGACCAAGAATATCTGCTTGCATTTGCATACATACATCAGAATTGGACATACCACCATCCGCCTTCAAAACTTTGAGTTGTACATGACTAGATTCCTTCATGGCCTTTAAAATAGCATAAGTAGAGAAACAAACAGCTTCCAAAGTAGCTCGAGCAATATGATACTTGTTTGTATATTGAGTCATACCAACCAAAGTCCCTCGACTATCATCACGCCAATAAGGAGCAAATAAACCAGAAAAGGCAGGTACAAATACAACACCACCTGTATCTTCCACTAAAATAAATAAAAAAATAAATAAATTAAAAATGTAAAGTTTTATATATAAAATATAATATATACCTTGCTTTGCCAATTCATTGATTTCACTTGGATGAGAAATCATGCCCAGATTGTTTTTCATCCAATTCACAGCAGCACCAGCAACAGCGATGGAACCTTCTAAAGCATAGACAGTCTCACATTTACCAAACTTGTAACCAACAGTGGATAACAAACCATTTCTAGCTGGAACAGGGGTTGTACCAACGTTCAATACCATAAAAGCACCAGTACCATAAGTATTCTTAGCCTCACCTTGCTTGAAACATTGTTGTCCTACAAAAGCAGCTTGTTGATCACCAAGACATCCTGCAATAGGCATGCCTTCCAAAGGTCCCCATTTCGCCTCACCATATATATCAGATGATGATACAATTTTTGGTAATACATGAGCTGGAACACCAAAAAATCTATCAAAAAAAAAAAAAAAGATATCAATAAATAAAATAATAATAATAATAAACGCGTAGTTTCTTTTTTTTTTTTTTTTTTTTTTTTTACTCTAATAACTGTTCATCCCATTCACAAGTTTTTAAATTCATAAACATAGTCCGACTAGCATTGGTGACATCTGTAATATGTAAACCACCTTGAATACCACCCGTAAGATTCTATCATAATATATAGATGAATAAACCATATAGATTTCTTTTTTTTTTTATTATTATTATTATTATTATTTTTTACCCAAATCAACCAAGAATCCACTGTACCAAACAAAGCACGTTGATTATCTATAGCCTTTTTGACTTTACTAACGTTTTGCATTAACCATTGAAGTTTGACCGCCGAAAAATAATTATGAATAGATAAACCACAAAGACCTTCAATATCTATTCCCATTTGTTTTTGCTTCTTCTTCATTTTCTCCACCAAACGATCGGTCCGTGCGTCACTCCAGACAATGGCATTGTGTAATGGTTCTCCGGTCAATCGATCCCATACTATGGTTGTTTCTCGTTGATTCGTCACACCAATGGCTATCAATAATAAGAATGTTCAGTCAATAATAAAAAAAATAGTGAATAGTTAAAAAAAAATGTTTTATATACCTTTGACATGGGATAAAGTACGACCCATCATACCGAATTTACGAAATGCTTCGTCTGCACAACGTATAGTTGAATCCAAAAGGTCATAAGGATCATGTTCTATCCAACTATATATATAAAAAAAAGAATGAGTATTGTTATGTTTTTATTAATAATAATTTTTTATTACCCAGGTTTTGGACATATCTGTTCAAATTCCAATTGATGAAAAGTAATAAGTCTACCTTTGTCATTAAAGATAAGAAAACGAGTTGTACTTGTTCCTTGGTCAATGGCACCAATATAAGTATTGTTGGGCATAATAATAATAATAATAAAGACAAAAAAAAAAAATAACAAGAAAAACAAAACGAAAGAAAAAGATGTGGGTTCCATTGAATTTGAATGACCGCAGGCTTCGAAACTTCCAGTCATCAAAGAGAACAATGAAAAAAAAAAATCATGCAGACAAAGCTGATATTAAAAAAAAAAAAATAACCAAGGAAGGAAAGGAGAACTTCACTGTAAAATTGACATATTTTTTTTTTTAAGGGTTGATCCTTTGGATGAGAAAACATCATGATAATCTGGGTTAAAGAAACACAAAAAAGATTTCAACAATGATGTGGAAAACCCACGTGGGTTCAACTTAGCTTGGTATCACCTGGTTCCGATCTAAAAATAACTTATCAATCATTCTCTTTTTCTTTCTCTATATTTCAACCCTCTTTTCTTATCGATGAACTTGTCATATTTTTTTTTGTATTTTCATGATATCCTCCCACCGAAAGATCGGATCGGATTATCTTATCTTTCTATTAGTAAAAGAATACAAAAAAGATGATAACTAACCAAACGAAATTATACATTTTGGTTGAACAAAAAAGAAATCAGATATATTGGTGTAACTTTATTTTGTAAAAACTATAGAAGTCTAAAACGAAAGAGTTTGGGCATGATGATATTATACTAAAAGGATTGGAATGAATAAATAAAAGAAATATGCTGATGATGATGATGATGATGATAAATGAAATTCTATAGTAATAAATGATAAGAAAAAACTTTTTTTTTTGTTGTTGTCTAAATCAAAAGGGGAAAAATGTATGGCATGTCTATGTATTTCAATATAAAGGGTATAGTAAAAAAAAAAGATGAAGCATATATATATAAAAGAAATGGCATATAATCAATCAAAACAAAACAAGAAGAAAGGGGATCATAAAAATAAAATAAAAATAAATAAATAAAATAAAATGGAAATCATTTACATAAAAGGTTGAGAATAAGTAGATGACCAATCATAAGATGGATCCCAATACCAAGGATATTGTTCATTTGATTGCTGATAAAGTTCTTTTGGTGGTTGTTGTTGTATAATAGATGGTTGATATATAGATTGAGTCAAATGAGGAATAAAACTTGTGGTTGTAGGAGAAGAAGTAGACCAAGTTAAAGAAGCAACAGGAGATGATGATGGTGAAATACTTTGTTGAGAAGGGTAAATAGGATCATAAGCAATAGGAACAGACAAATTCATGTCTTCCATAGTAAATAAGGATTGAAGGGTATCTTGAGGTAAAATCATGGTAGATGATGCAGGTGATGTTGATAAAGAAGATGATTGTAATGGTGAAGTATAATGTTCACTCAATGATAAAGGTGAAGTATTATCAAGAAAAGAAGATTGAGTAGGAATAGGTGAAGAATAATATCCATTGGTATCATGACTAAGCATCATCAAATCAGAAGAAGAAGGTTGAATTGGATCCCATACTACAGCAGATTCATATGGTTGTTGAATAGCCTTATTTTCGGTTTGATCCTTGATTCCTATAAAAGTGAGGCATGACCAAAAAAGGATTAGTTCCACCACTTTTTTTTTTTTCTTTATCATGATTAAAATCAAATTACTTACCATTTTGTTGTTTTTGACGTTTCTTATATGGACCACGTTTTACGCCTTTTAACCGTTCCTTTCTAGGAGAATCAACACAAGTATCAGCAATTCCAAGTTTCAAACATCGTTGACATGCTCGACCTTCATCACATTTCTTGCAAGCTTTTTGACAGTTGACTATTATAAAAAAAAAAAAAAGAATTAGGTCATTACTTATAATAATAATAATATAGATTTTACTTACCACAAGCATTTTTGACTTGTTTTCTTTTAGATGTTTTATTTTTTCTTGATGATCGAGCAGTAGTAGTAGTAGTGGATGATGGTTTGGATTCATCGGAGTAAGTTTTTGGTAAAACAGGACATGGTTCACCCATAGCATAAAAAGATTCAGTAGGTACTTGATTTTCCAAGGTATAAAAAGGTGGATTATTAGTAGGTTGCATAATAAAATAAACTTATGATAAGGGTTCTTTGAGATAAATTCAGGGTAAATATAAAAAAAGAGAAAAAAAAAGAAAAGTAAAAAAAAAAAGTTGATTTGAAGAAAAAAAAAAAAAAAGAAAAAAGAGAAGGAGAAAAATAGAGAACAATGAGTTTATATAAAGAATTTTTTTTTTTTTGTTTGTTATGGAAGCTATTTTCAGTACGGATTTTGATTGGTTCAAACTATCGGGATATCCATCACAACCTATTATACTTTTTTCCTTACGGCCTTTTTCCTTTTTCCTTTTTACACATGGCCCTACTTTATTTGGTCAGTAGGATCGTCATAACTGTTTTTTTTTTCTCTCTTTCTTTTTTTTTTTTTTTAACTAGCATCTTCTTGATCCTTCTTTTTCTTTTTACATAATCATACATCCTAAAAAGCAAAAAAAAAAAAAATTTACTCCTAAAAAAAACCTGTTTTCTTAATAGTGACACACATATAATACTAATAATTATACATACATTCATATACATATGAAGCCTTAGCTAGATATAGAGAGAGATTTATATTATCACTATTTTGTTTGTCAACAAAAAGGGAATTCTTTGACGGGGAACGGGTGACACAGTCCATCATCTAAAACAAACGTGCGTTCATCATGATTATAATTTTCAACCCTTTAAAGAATGATCGGATAATTGAAAAAAAAAAAAAAACGCAAAGGGCTTCCAAAATCAGTAATAATTTATTTGGAACTATCATCTAGGCCACGTTGGCGCTGATTCAGCTTTATCCCTTTTTCTACCTTTTTGCGTTACATTTGAATTAAGGTACCTTTCCCATTTCTACTTTGCCACGCGACAGGTCTCATTTTTTGGCGGGTTCACTCTGACTTTGAACCCCTTTTTTGGCATGAACACAATAAAACGTGGTCTATATCTTTAATTTATCTTTATGAATAGAAAAAAGTTTTTTTCTTTTTTTTTTTTTTTCCCTTGTTAACTACATCATTTGTACCAGGCAGGAATGAGTAGTTAAACATGCAATTTTTTTTTCTTTTTTCTTTTCTTTTCTTTCTCTCCCTTGTTTAGTTTTCATCTCCGAGGTTGTACATGGAAAGAATAGAAAAAACTTTCACTACCATATTTAGAGATCTTTTGTCCCTTATTGTTTTCATCAATGGGTTCATCGGAATTAAACTTTTTCGTTATGTGCGTGCACGATAAAGCTAACGATAATAATAATAATAAAATAGGAGGTGGGGTTTATAGATGATCTTTTTTTTTTTTCTTATTATCTTCAAAAAGGAGGCGTAGTGAGAAAGTTTTTTTTTTTCTGTTAGTCATCAAAAGGAATGATATTGTTTCATAGGAGATATCTGATGAAAAAGGGTTGTTTTGACAACAAAGCCCCTTTAGACCCGATTAAAAGTTCTACCGTAATCCAGTCCCTCGTTATTGCGGGGCAAAAAAAAAAAAAGATTCCATTACAACGAAAATAAACTGCCACTTGTCCATTCTCGGAAGACCATCCAATTTTAGTTTGTCTCCCGTTTTTTTTTTTTTTTTTTTTAAACTTGCTGGCATTGAAGAACAACGCTATGACATAATTCATCGACTTTTCTTTTAAAAATTCATGACTCACTTTTTATAAATAAACTAAAAAAAAAAAAAACAAGAGACCATAGACTTTATTTTTCTTTCCCCTCTATATGCTTGTTAATTAACTAGATCATAAAAGGGAAAAAGTCAAAAACGGGAAGGATGCTGATACTTTCCATCCTATAGTCATGCATCAAGTTGGATCTCCGCAGATGAGAACTCTTGGTAGTGATACGTAGTACATATGTCAAATGCTTAATGACAAAAAGTAATAATTATCGGCTTTGGTCTCTTATTTAGGATTGAATAGATCATCATCATGGGAAAGAATGGATCATTTTTTTTTCTTTTTTTAATTATCTGATTCGTCATCTTTTGTTTATGCAGTCCTTATTGTTCTCCGATGGCCCTTATAATACGTTGGACTTAATCTAAGGTTTATAGATGGTAATAATTAGTATAGATAACCTTTTTGATCTGCAATTAATAGATCTTCTTTTTTTTAATAATAATAATAATAATAATCTCATAATGAAACAAAATATGGATTGTTATCTGTCATTGCCCTTTTTTAATGAAACAAGTAAAATATTGTTTTATTTTTCAATTCATATTATATAGTTTATTAGAAAAAATAAAACCATCGTTGCAAATGGTAATGAAAAAGGCTTTTTTTTTTTCCCTCGTATGACCCCTGAAAATGAACAAAGTTCATTTTTACATTGGACACAGTTCATTGGTCGAGATTGAAAGTCCACTTCCCTCCTTTTTTTTTTTTTGTAGATTCTTCCCACCCCCACTAAACTTTTTTTTTTTTTTTTTTTCGTTGGCGTCATTTTACCAATAGAGTGTATTCCTCTTTTTATTATGAATGGTCGTTCTTTATGCATATAAGATTCATCCTGTACAAGAAGTATATCTCGACATCAATAACCTTTTCACTTACATTCTCTCTCTCTTTCTTTCTTTTTTTTTCCGCTATCATTGATAGGCATACGCCATTGGACTGTTATCATTGAATCTACATTCAACCACTTAGCGTGCCATGTATAAACAGACCGAACAAATGAAGAAGGATCAAAGAAGGTATAGTAAAAAAAAAAGAAGTCAAATTAAATTGCCATGGTTCGTTTGCTAATATGACTTTCTCTCTTTATATCAATGTTTGAGGAAACTGTCAGGATGCTATTCAACACCACTAACAAAAAATGAATATTGTAGAACACAAAGAATGGTTATTAAAAGGATGATATATAGGTACAGTGAAATAAAACCAAACAAACGGAGATCTATGTCTTTATCATTAGCTTTTCTAGGATCATCTTTTTTTTTTTTTTGATTTTGACTTTAGGACAACAAGAATTCTGCATCATACCAGTCTACTTTTAGCATAGTTTATTTATTATTAATATAGTTTATGATTATATAGAATAATTAATGAATATTATGAATAATAAAAAAGCAATTGTTAATGGATATTATTATTTACTTTTATTCTATTTTTACCAACTAGAAGGTATACTTCCACGTTGTCGTTATACTAGAAATGTAATAACACAAAGAATTTAAAGAAAGAGAAGAACACGTTGTTGTTTGTGAATGACCTTATTCAACAGATATCCTCCTTATAAGGCAAAACAAGAGAATTTATATATATATGTATGTTTTTCTTTATTGTATATTATATATATATATTGTGTGTGTGTGTGTGTGTATAGGTCATATGATGATTTTATTTATACATGTGGAGAAACACAAAAAAAAAAAATGAAAGGATTCTAACCGAGAATAAACAATATAAAGAAAACGATGAAACTATAATGATCATCATACTATTGATAAGTTAATACTAAAAAAAAAAAATGATGATGAAAGTTATATATTTTATGAAAAGTTTATATAATAGGGAAGTACTAGTAATATATATAAAGAAAAGACAGAGATAGAGAGAAAGAGGGGGGAGCGGAAAGAGTTTACTAATGTAATAACTAAACAAAAAAAAAAAAAAAAAAGGAGGGAGACGATCTATATTATGACTAAGTATGATCCATCCAAGCATCAGGCTGCATGATTCTTGAAAGTCGATATTTGACACCAAGGTAACTAAGATAATTTGTTCTTGGAAAGACCCTGACTCGTTTGACATGAGGAAAATTAGTATCGGCGATATCAACAAAGGTACCACCCAATGATAAAGTTTGTTCCAATTTGACTTGATTTACATTATCGAAAGGTGTCCATCGTTCATCCAAAAAGACAAGCCAAGTGAATGAAGACACGGAAGACATGGAAGAAGGGGTAGAGGAAATCGATGAACTGGGTGATGATCGAGTGTTCGGTGGTGGTTGTTGGTCATAATGTTGTTGCAACATGATTCATTCACCTACGATACAAAAAAAAGATCGTCTTTCTCTTGATTGAACGCTGTTAAGAAGAATAAATAAAAAAAAAAAAAAAAAAAAAAAAAAAAAAAAAAAAAAAAGAAAAGAAAAGAAAGAAAATGGAATTTTTTTTTATTTTCTATGTTCAAGATAATCTCGTACAACGATAAAAAAAAAAAGGCACGCGACCATTGACGGATGAACTGATCAAACAACAAACATTGCCCCACTCTATTATCTTAAAAGCTTGTATGAAAAGGTCATCAAACAAAGACCTAAAATGTTCACTTCCATCATAAATATCATCATTTTTTTTTTAGATCCATAGAACTAGATAAAGCAAGAAGAGAAAATATCAACAAGGAAAAAAAAAAAGAGAGAATGGAAGAAAATACCGTAATAGTCCAAGGATTCTATCATAACGACAAAATAAAAAAATAAACGTTCATATGCCTTTTATTTCAAAAAAAAAATATACACTATAAAAAAAAAACTTCGATGATTTTTTTTTAGAACTATAATACACAATTGTTAACAAAATTCTTGTTTTTCTCATGTTTTCCTTCGTTTCTTGTCCAGAACTTGATTGATCAAATCAGCACCCAAATGAAGTCCTTTTCGTTTCAATAAGTTTGGTTCTTGTTCTTTCACAAATGGATTACCAACTATCACAGATATATAGTTTTAATTTTAGTTTTTTTTATTATTTATATTTTCCTTTTTCTGATTTTACCTTTTCCACGAGGTCGTCCAAAAATGATCAAAGGTAAGTCTTGTAAAACACCATGAGTCATTGTCTGTGAGATATTGGCCAGATTGTTGCAAGTACGATCCACAACATGAATCAATGTATTTTCCTTATTACCATGATCCGTATCCCGTTTTCCATCCTCTTGTTTGCGTTGCTTCATCATGTCGTTTTGTAACATCACCAATCCGTACTGTTCGTGTTTGACATTGTACCGCATAATGAGCAATTTCATCAATGGATCTTCGTGTTCAAAACAATACCGCATCAACCAATCCTCCTCTGTCATGTCCAATTCCATATCTTCCAATGCCGTAATGCTTTTTTCGATATCCAATTTCGTTCCTGCTGTAAAAAATATATCCAAAAAGATAAAGAACCGTTCTTCTTGCTTGAATTCACATTGTTCATCCTTTCGCTATAATAATAATAATAAAATAAATCTCTTATTTTCATTCCTTTTTTTTTTCTCTTACCACCATATTTAATCCGTCTGACATGGATAAATGAGTGACCTTTTCCACTTTTTGACGGTAAACTTCTTTTGGTGTCATAGTGTATTGTCGTACATTCTTCAATCGTTGAGAACTTGAAGGTGCTGGTGATGATGGTGCTGTTAAGAAAAAGGATGTCGTTCCATTTTGTTGCTCCTTGTTTGTTTGTACAAAACTGACATCTTTGTGGGTTTGATCCTTGACATCATTATCGCTGGTATCCAAGTTTACATCTTCCTCGTCAATCTTATCAATTGTTGTTGTTGTTGTTGTCATAATCGGTTCAGCACCATCACTATCTTCATCACTAACTGTTCCTGCTTTCATTTTGGAGATGGAAGATAAAGTATCGATATTTTCAGTGTCAACAGTTGTATTCGTTGTGGGAGTGGTATTGTATTGTTGTTGGATGAGTTCATCATCATTTTGTTCGTTGGTTACCGGTGTACTGCTGTTATCATCAACCAAAGATGCCGGTTGTCGCTGATCCCGGTATTCATCCAATGGAATGACTTCGTCCTTGCTTTCCTTATTATCTCCAGCGGCTGCAATCAAAGTGACGTGATCAATCGAAGGTTCACGTTGTTGATCAAGTTGTCTATCTAATGAAGTTTCGGTATCATCGTTGTTTTGGGTAATCTCTTCAGCTGTTGCAATCAATACGTCTTGATCATCATGGTGTTCATCCAATGGAGTTGTGGTGTCCATATTCTTTTCATCTTTATCTTGAGGAATCCCAACCGTCGTCGTTGTTGTATTTTCATTATCCATGTTGTCTACTTTAGGAATGTTGTACTGTTGCTCCAGATCATGATGAATTTCATCAAGAGGTAAACCTGCGTTTTCAATGTTGGTATTGTCGATAGTAACACTTTCCGCCTTGTCCTCATCCATTGTGCTGCCTACATCTTTGTTGTCATCAATGTGTTCTCCCTGAGGTTCGTAATAGATATCGCTACTGTCATCATCATCATCATCATCATCATGATCACTATTATCATCGATAATTGTTTGAGGTTCGTAAAATATATCGCTGCCGTCATCATCAAAATCGTTGACAATACCCGTTTCTTGTGGAGATGCCTTGTTTTCGTCCTTTACACCCTCATCCTTTACTGCTATGTGTTCATCTTGATCCGGTGAGACTAATGGTGCAAATGGTATACTATCATTGCCACTGTTTTTTTCATATATGATTCCTTCATCAGTATGATCATTGATGTCAGAAGTGTGATCTAATTGTTCATCTTGATCAGGTGGGACCAATGGTGTAAATGGTGCACTATCATCGTCCATTGTTTCCTCGTCGATATGATCCAATGATTCATCTTGATCCATATCTAGCAAAGGCGAAGAAGGAATATCTGTGTCATAATTGAAATCGATGCTTTTACTATCTTCCATATCAGTCAAAGGTGTTGAAGATCGGGTATTTTTCGATAATTGTTCGAGAGGCATTTCAAGATTGAATGGTGGAGTAGAATGTCGAATAATCTTATCGTTGTTCTCTTCTTCCAATAAACCGGTGGTGATGCAGTATTGTCGTTGTAATGTACCAAGCGAGGAGGAACCAGATTCAATCAACTTTTCTTGAGAGAGTAAAATATATTCATCTGTTCCTTTGATAGGCCAAATATCCTAAATAGAACAAAAAACGTTAGAAATGTAACATTCCATCTTTTTCTTTTATATATATAATTACCTGGATGATATTTTGTGGATCAGATTCTATTAATTCTCCAGAAGCTATTAATGTGGCTATACAAGTTTTCACAGACCATACATCTACTTCAACATGTTGTTTATTCTTTGTTGATTGAAAGACAACAGCAAGTCGATAATCCTTTGTGGTGGGTATAATGCGAGTAGCTAGAATGGTATAAGAATCCAATTTTGTTGGGACAAGTCGTTCAGAAAATTTGCGTCTTGAATTTCCAAACCATTCACATACACGAATATGAGGGTTTTCCATTTGATTGTGATCAGATACTTTTTTTTTTGGTAATGGATGATGAGTTTGGACAACGGCAATCACCATTTTTCGTTTGACAGGTGCATGTACAGCTTTGAGATAAGTAATTGGCGCTAGATATATAAAGAGAAAATAAATCAGTATTATTATTATTGCTATAAAAAAATGTTTGAACAAACCTTTATCATCATTGGCAAATTCAGTTAAAGTTTGTGCTGTTACTATATTTACACGTTTGTGAGTTTGCTTTTGTAGGCGAGCAATAAGTCGTAAGATTTGAATATGTCCTTTACTTGTACCAACGAGAATTCTAGGATCACTGAAACCAAATCGGAGGTCATGAGCATTTTGAGGTAATATATGAATGGCAGTAATGTCACCACTCACTTTGGAAGGTAAATGGATTTCAGTCACTTTGCCACGGACATTTTCTTGATCTTCATAAAGTAATGCTGCTTGAACTGATTGGTCACGTTTTCCAAAGACAAGTAAGTGTCGTAAACGTCCTTCCATTAAAATTTCATGAATATCTTCTTTCACCTAAATAGAGTATATATTAATAATAATAATAATAAAAAAAAAAGAATATTTATTTATTTCTTACCAAATTCAATGGAGTACAAGTCATACTAATAAGAGATATATCACCCATAACAGGTAAATCAAATAGAACAGGTCGAGTAGTTTTGGAATTAATATTGTGCCAAAATACGTGAATAGTTGTATTTTGAGATTTTAATGGTATTGAAGTAACAATAACAAGAATAGGTTCATGTCGAAAAGTAGCATCAAGAACATGTTGTATTGTCAACTAAAGAATAATAAAATTAAATAAATATATAAATTTAGTATCTATGTTTTTTTTTTTATTATTATTATTTTCAATAGTTTTTACAGTTTGTTCATCTGATATAGAAAGTAAATCTTCGGTTGTTATTTTACTAATAAGATTGTATTTTTGTAGTCGACTATATACATTAATTGTTTTATGATTGTATTGATAAAATAAATCAGGTTGTTCAGGTGGTTCACCAGTAGAATAATATGTACTAATGAACTTTGTGTGATCAGACATATTGAAATATTAAATAAAATAAAAAAAAGGGAGACTAAACAAAAAAAAAAAAATCTCAAATTTTGCAAAAAAGTCTCTTTTCAAACACCGGCAATTCATCAGCATACTAAGGACCTGTGGTGGGGTATTAAAAACTCATGTATTTCACATGCTTGTCAGCAAAAATTCATTTTTGAAATAGGCTCCTTTTTTTTTTCTTTTAACTTTTTCTTTTTCTTTTCTTTTCTTTTCTTTTTTTTTGTTTAATAGAAAATTATACATAATGGATACCATTACACAATTTATTCTTGATCCCAAGTATCATGATATACTTGCTATTGTCAAAGGTCTTCGTAATGGTATTGTATATGGTGCTAAAGTACGATTCCCTCATGCCTTGGTAATGACCTTTTTATTTAAATCTGGACCGTAAGTTGATAATAATAAAAAAAAAAAGATTAGTTTTTTATTCATACTTCTTTTATTAATAGACTTAAGGATAAAATTCGATACATCTTCAAGGCTACTAAACAACATGCAAAAAATTTGGGTACTTTTGCTACCATTTATAAAACATTGATGTATATTCAAAAGAAATTGAATGGGAATAAAGAAGCCGATTATCATCCTTTTGTTGCTGGTCTTATTGGTGGTTATTATGTTTTTGGTGAAAATAACAATATCAATCAACAGGTAAAAACAGAATATATATATATATTATGATATTTATTTTATCTATTTTATTTTAGATTGTTCTTTATCTCTTCTCTAGAGTAGTCATGGCTTTGGTCAAATTACCAGTTAAACGTGAAATCGTTGATGCTCCTCAACATACATATCCTATTTTTGCTGCTGTTGTATGGGGTGCTGTGATGGTAAAGAATAATAATAACAATATATATTTAAAGCATATTTATCCATTCTTTTTATTATTATTAGTGGTTATTCAACAAGGAAGGTGATACCCTACAACCCTCTCTTAGAGCTTCTATGCAATATATTTATAAGGATTCAAATAATTGGAATTCTTTACGTACATTACTTTGGCACAACAAATAGATTAGTCTAGACAACCTATATATAATGTATTATGATGATGAAATAAAGATGATATAATTTATATGATCAAAATAAGGTTGATCACATAGATACAGAATCCTCCCTTCTTATTTATTTATTTATTTAGATGATAAAAGTATTACCATTAGATCCTTATATATATATTTGTATGTGTGTGTAAGTGCTTGTGTTTGTATGAGTATGGTGGATGCAGAATGATGATATATAATAATTCCATTTTCAGTGAATTCGATAAGGAACGGTTACACATAGGGTCATCTAGGCAAAAAGAGATTGTTTTCTTTTTTGACAAAATGTCATGCGTAGTGCAAGTGCGTTGCAGATGTCAATCCGAGATGATTAACAATTCAATACTAAAACGAATTTGATTAATTAAACAAGTGGTTTTCTTCCATTGGTTCATATCATTTGGTAAAACCACTTTCTTTGGGAGACTCCATTGATGTTTTTCACATGAATTTACAGTGGTTTTCATAGTCTTTTTTTTTCGAGTAACAAGAAAATAGTTTCGTGATGTTATAAAATAAAATATCTTTTCCAAAATGGATGGCACATTACCAACTTTTTCAGATGATTGATGATAGATGATACAGTATATTAATCATTCTCTTCTTTTTTTTTTTTGAAATTTCCAATTCAAATATGAATAATCAACCTGTAGACAGTAACATATTAAAATATGCTGTCACCTCTACATGAGGATGTATTTAATACAGGTAAGTTAAAATAAATAAATATATAAAAAAAATGGATATGTTGACTAAATATATATATATATTTCTTTTTCTGTTATTCAAAAATCTCTTATAGTAAATGGAACTACTGCCACTCCTTTTCTTTCTCTTTTTCTTCTTGTATTCAATTTGGATTATGTGACAACTCTTTGTTTTTTCTCTTCTATGATCTATTTTTCTATCCTTACAATATTTTGAATTCCGTCATTTCTTGCCACCCATTTTTGTACGAAATTCAATTTTTGTATAAATCTTTTACTTCTTTTTTTTTTTCTTTTCTTTTCTTTTTTATTTAATTAAAAAAGACCGATGACTAGTACAAGTACTCAACATCAAAGAAAACAACCTCATGAAGTGAACTTGATGCCAGATCCTAGTGCACCTCCTCTGGTAGTCAGATGGTAATATAACAAAAGAATCACATTACAATAAACTAATTAATAATATATTTCTATAGGTATCATGCTGCTGATGCACCTCTTATCGATCCAGTATCTATTCGTCAAGAAAAAGCAAAAAACACTACTGTTACATCTACTTCTACTTCTACTACAACAACAGCAACAACAACGACAACTACAACAACAGGAACTACACAAGCCAAGACAAAGGTATCACCAAAAAGCTGGGTTCCCTTTTCTGGACGCGATTCTTCTGCTATTGAAAAAGCCTATCAAGTAAGTTCACCAAAAAGGAAAAAAAAGATGGCCTATATTAAGTTATTCGTTATTATTGTAGGATGACATTAAAGGTGCTAAAATTCCCGTGAATGAAGATTATTTATTTGAAGTGGATGTAGAAAAACGAACTATTGCACCGATCTATTGGGAAGGTCCTATTTTCGAAATTCGAAGAGCAACTTGGTTTATACAAGGTGATGGATCAAAATGGATACCTTGTGAAGAAAACTTGGCTGAACAAATTGAAATTGGATACCAGTAAGTTTTGGAAAAAAAAATATATATGAATATATACCATACAAATTCCTTTTCTTTTTTTTATTCTTCTTAGGAAGCGAAAACCATACGAAATTGTACATGAACATCCAGAATCAAATATCGATAACAAAACTAATATCACTTCATCTATTGAATCAACATCCGCTCATGAAGAATCGAAACTGAAAACAGCTCTAGAGTCCCAACCTGTAGAAAAACAATGGAATCTATTAGGCGCCTATCTCGAACAATATGTTGTTTACACTGGAGAAAATACTGCCTGGTTATTATAGTAAGTGATTTATATATTATAAATCAAACATCATAAAATGAACTTTTTTTTTTTTTTTGTTGATAGTGATACGACTGGTAGCAAGATCGCAAAAAGTATCATTACCAAATTAACCAATGCTCAGAATTTAGGTGGGACTCGATTATTACGTGGTTATACGCAAGTGAAAGCAAGTGAAAGTAAAAAATCAACAACAGCAACAACAACAACAAAAATCAAGGATGAACAAAAAGATCAGGATGCCACTAAAAATCTATCCCCAGAAGAAGCCACCGATCGTGAAATGACTCAACAACATACTGATGACTATGAAAATGAAAAAAGTGAAGGGGAATTACGACAAATTGATCATGTGATTTTTGCTATTCATGGGTATGTAAGAAATGATAAAAATGTAGAAGGAAGGATGAATTAACTGTAGATAATAATATTTTTTTTTATCTATTAGAATTGGGCAAAAACTGACTGAAAGATTTGGACAAACATTTGTTCATGGTAATAGAAAAAAAAAAAAGGAAAGAATTATATAGAAATATCTAAATGAGATATTTTTATTTTTAGATTGTAACCTTTTACGGAAAACAATGAAAACATGCTATCCTTTGGTCAATGAAACAACATTGTCTCACAAGGCCAATGGTATTCAGGTATTACCGATCTTATGGAGACAACGTATTACGTTTGGTATGGCAAATGATGAAGAAGACAGGGAGGCTGATATGGGTACACGTGGTGGTGAAGATGGATGCCCTACTTTGGATGAAATCACTTTACAAGGAATCCCTATGTATCGAGTGCTTGTATCCGATGTCTTTTTAGATAGTAAGTAATGGAAAAAAAAAGAAAATTTTTGTATCATTAGATATTTTTATTCAATAACAGTATTTTTAAGTTCCTTTATATATGACTCAAAAATACCGTGACCAAATGACTGCCATTATTACCAATGAAATCAATCGAGTTTATCGTCTCTTTTTGGAACGCAATCCAGATTTTATTAAGAATAATGGCAAAGTATCTATACTTGGACACTCACTTGGAGTAAGTGAAGAAAAAGAAACAATATATAGGATCATATTTGATTGAATTCTATTTTTTTTTTTTTTTTTTTTTTTACAGTCCCTTCTGGCCTTTGATATTCTTAGTACACAACCAATGACACCTATGGAAGAAAAATTCACCAAATCCAAGGATCGATTACCATTACCTTTGGGAAAAAAGACACCAATATTGGATTTCCCGGTTGAAAACTTTTTTGCAGTAGGATCACCATTGGGAATTATTTTATTATTACGTGGATTCAAAATCTCATCAAGACATGCTCTTACACAAGGTGGAATGTCTGAATGGGAACAAAGTAGTGCTTCACTTGTGGATAACAATCAAAGTATACCTATTTCTTATTATTACCCTGCGGTGAAGAATTTGTATAATATATTCCATAATGCAAGTCCAAAAAAAAAAAAAAATAGATATAACTTGATTTGGATGACTTATTTCATTATTTATATAGTCTGATCCTGTGGCATATCGATTAGAGCCTTTGATAGCTCGACATTATGGTGCCAAGGAAAAACCAGTACCTATTCCATATATCAAAGGAGGATTAAAAGGGGTTTTAGATGCTAGTTTCAACATGGGAACAGGTTTGGCCAAAAGTGCTGGTGCATTTTTTGATTCCTTCAAGACCAACTGGACCAATAGTGTAATTATGCGTGGATTTGGATTGAACAAGATAGAAGATACTCATACTGGTACAAATAATGATGATTCTGGGGAAAAGGTAGAAATGGGGAAATTCACAAATGAAAAATCCATGGGTGCAAAGAAATTGGCCATGTTGAATCCAAATACTGGTAGAGTGGATTTTTGTCTTCAAGAAGGCATCCTTGAAAATGCTTATTTTAGTGCTCTTAGTGTTCATATGAATTATTGGCAGGTATATATATATCTATAAAAGGATTCGAAAAGAAACTCATTTTTTTTTTTTGATATATAGGATCTTGATGTGGCAGCCATGTTGGTGCGTGAAGTGTACAAAAATTGATTATTTTTTTTTATATAGTTTGATTAGAATAGTATTATTTGTGTAAATAGATTATATAATAAAAGAATGGGCATTGTGTTTATAAAAGTATGAAATTTATTGATTCAAAATAGTACAAAAAAAACAAAAGATGTCTAATAAAAAAGTTTCTATTGATTGGTAAAGGCTTTGTTGACACGATCGGCGACAGCTTGTTCAGTACCACCAAGAGGTTTCGGTGAATTGGGATCATATTCTTCAGGTAATTGTAAACCTACCAAGTTGGCACTCATTTCGATCTTTTTCTTTTGTTCCAAGACCACACTAGAATATTTTTCTCGAAGTTCCTATTAAAAAAAAAAGAAAAGAAAAGAAAAGAAAAATGTTTAAGAATAATATGTTCATTTATGATGACTATTTTTTTTTTCTACCTTGTGTTGCCGAGATGCTTTCAAAAAGCTGACAACATCAGCAGCAGTCTGATTCATAGAAGTAATGGTAGCAGGATCGGTGATGGATTGGTTTTGTCGATAAATGGATCGTAGTTCATTGGCATACATGTCACTGTTGGCTGCTTTGGTATACTATATAACAAAGAATTCCATATTAGACCCTTTTTTTTTCTTCTTCTTCTTCTTCTTTAATGTAGATGTTACCTGTAAATGAATTTCTTTTAATAACTGACGATAAAGAGAGCGTGTATATGACATAATAAGAGATATAATGTAGGAATAAAAACCTCAAAGGAAAGAATCAACCAAAGAAGACGAAACAAAAAGAGGTTTTTGTCTCCGCTGTCACAACAACAAAAAATTCTTACCTGGCTGGCAACTGTGTGAAAATGATTCTCCGTCCCGTCGAATAGAACCGCTTGCTGTAGTGGTTGAATAATGAGATACAATAGAATGTTGAATAGTTTCTGTTGTTGTTGTTCCAATCCAACTTTGGGATTTCACTAAAGGCTAATATTGACAATATACAGTATTCATTCTTGTCGTTGTTATCGTCCTCTGTAACTCAATCGAATAGTCCATTTTTCTATCATTTATAATAATCAATATTGAAATTTTTCTTATAAACTTGTTTTCAATGTCAATGATTTCCAGTGATGAACAAAACAGATCGAGATATGCTGGATTAAGAAAATCATACAATGATGGGGTGAGCAGCAAAAAAAAAAAGTTTTTGGTTCCTTTAATATTTCAATCTCAGTTGTGTAGCATGTGAAAGTGGGAGAGGGTGTTAGGACCACCTTCCTTTTTGCCTTTTTTTTCTCCTCTTTCCCCAACTATTTTCCCAATTTTTTTTTTCTTTCTTTTCTTTTCTTACTTTTTCTCATACTTTCTTGGCTTTTTTTTTCCCTCTTTCTTTATCGATCTTTTTATTGAATTCTAAATAACAACTCTATTATCATGTCTCAATCACCCATGTCAATCACACAACTTTGTAATAACGACAATGACGAACTACATACAACTGATATCAATGATCCCGAAGTACGATTAGCTGCTGAGGCTTTGGATGATTTAGCAAACTGTAAGTTGAAACTTTTTTTTTTTCAAAAGAATGAATCTCATAGTTTTCTTTTTTTATTTTTTATTTTATATAGCAAAAAGTAATCATTCTACAAAGATTCCACCTATTTTACTTCCACCTATATCTACCATGTCAGCTCCTTCTACTACACCAAGTTCTCCAGCAGTAGCTACACCTTCTGGATCCATACAATCAGCTCGACAATCTTTTTCAAGTGATACTACTGAAGAGAACGACTTGCGTTTATTACGACCATCAAATGAATCACAACATTTTATGCGACGTGTATCCAATCATCCTTTTGTACATTCTGCCTTAAGAGCATATGAATCTTCTAAAGCATCTAGTCCTGTTGTCAAATATGGTGCTGAAATGATGGAATCCATTGCTTCTCCTATCTATGATAAGTTTGGAAGACAACATACCGATGTAAGAACCAAAAAAAAAAAAAAAGCCCCAACAAAAATCCTGAAACACACATTTTTTTTTTTTTGTCTTTGGGTTCTATTTTTGACCATGAAAGATGACTAGTTTTTATCCTAACGATGAAGATCCTACTGTTGCTGCTACAAATGCTTTGGCCAATGCTTCTTTAAATGATCATCAACATCAAGATACTACTACTCATAGGCGTACTAAACATTCTCGGGATGATTCCTTACGTAAGTTTTTTCCATCTCCGTCAAACATGCAAATATGGTAACTCATCCAAAAAAAAAAAAAACGTATATATATATTTTTTTAGATCTGAAGAAATCATCCTCTCGATCTACATCTAGATCCACTTCTCCTCATCGACCTTATACCCTTTCTGCCAAATCTCCTAACACTATTCATCATCATCATCATCGTCCTGCAACTGCTGCCTCTCGTAGTCGATGGAAACAACTTGTGGTACATGCTGGCTCAGCAGCGGGAACAACGGCGGCTATCATTAGTGAAGAAAGCATGAAATGTTTAAAGTATTGTTTGTATTGGTTACAGGTAATTTATAAAATAAATACCATACTTGGTCTTTTAATTTTTTCTTTTTTTTTTTTGTATATAGTATGCAACACAACATATTGAACAACAAATGCATTTATTACGAAATGTTCTTGTGTCCATGGCCACTGGATCCAAGACATCTAGTACAGCAGTCAGTACAGGCAGTCATAATAGTACACTAGCATCGATCAAGAAAGAAGTGATAGAGACTTTACGAAAAGTGGTGGAAGTCATTACCAAGTATGCAGGTACCGGGTTACCAGAACAAGCCAAAGCAAGTGTACGATCCTTTATTCTTGCTCTTCCTAGTCGTTGGGCCTTATTGAACAATAATTCTTCTTCTTCACCTGCTGCATCCCCATCCCTCGCTCCTTCTTCACCTTCTTTACAAGAAACTTCCGTCAAGTTATTAAACTTTGGTAGTGAATCAGTGGAAATGTTACAATCTGTCTCGACCGTGTTTTCTGATACTGTGGATCGTGCTGATCTTTGGTTGGATCGTTTACATGCTGTAGGTGTCACGCGACGTTCAACAACTCGACAAAAATCCGATGATCCTATGGAAACAACAAACTGATTATTGTATTTACCCCCCTTTGTATCTAGTTCCATATCATGCTTTTCTACTGTATTATTATTATCATCATCATCATCAATAAAAACAAACTTGACACAATATACTGCACTTTTTTTTTTTTTTTTATTCACACTATTTTTTTTATCTATTCTATTTGACTAGTTATAAAACATAAACAGGGACACCATAAACAACCGATGCTGCACCTATAAAAAAAAAGTCAATATCTATGATTTTTTCTTTTTCTTTTTTTCCTTTTTTTTTTCTTACCAATAAGATAAGGTAGTTGACATTCTTCACGAGAATTGGTCAAAGCCTGAACCAAGGAAGGATGATTTTCTTCTTGTTGTTGTTGTTGTCCATGTGCATTTTTAAATAATCCCCAACGTTCCATCATTTTCTTACTGACTTGATCAATACTTTTATCAGTAACATCCCATAAATTCGCCACCACAGCTGGACTACCTCCCATAAGATAATGTAATATATAACCATAAGGATCATATTCTCCTTGAGATTGAAGTGCCCCACTACTACAACCCATTAATAGTGTCACAGGACATCGTGGTAATTGTCGAATTATTTGTCCTCGAAGAAATGATTGACCTGCACTATGACCAAAGTACCTATATATATATAAAAGAAACATTTGAGTCCTTTTCTTTTTTTTTTTTAATACTTACATGTATAAATCCTTTTGTTTTAAAATACTTCGACATTCGATTTCACTTGGTTTCCTTTGTGTATGTCCTTCCCAGGTATGCATCCTATCAAATAATGTATGAGTTTTTTTTTTCTAATGTGTTTCTTTTTACCTTTCAAAAATAGGTTCAAACGTGGCTTGGGTATGTTTGAGATCACCACTTGGATTGAGAAGATAATAAGTCCTTGAAGCATCAATAGTGATATCTTTCCAACCATCTAGTTGATCCTGTTGACTGATAGCATACAAAATACGATCGCGTAAAAAGGACATGCACGGTAATCGAGACACGGCTTGACATCGTAACGTAGGCATACTTTCAAGTGGGAACATCTGTGTCTGTTGATCAGGAATCAAGATCAGATGTTCGTTCGGTAAGCATTGTAAAGTGTTGATGCCAGATGCAGAAGCCTTATCATGATAAGCTTTGATGGTATGTCGTATCTGTTGAGTCATTCTTTCCGTGACTGAATAATCGACTTGGATGTGTTGATGTTCATAACAGGCTAATAAGTAAAACACAATATCCTCCACTTCTTGATTGGTTGGATGGCTGCCAAGTTGTAAAATCATGTGAAGCGTTCGATCATCTAATTCCAATCCACGTCGGTTCTGGGTCGTGGCTCCATACACGTTGGTCAATACAATTTGTTGCATCGCTTGTTGGAATTCTACAAAGGCTGTTTCGCATATAGGATGACGACCACATAATAGTCCCTTGATTATCATTAAAATAAAATAGAAAAAAAAAAAGAAAACTCTTTTAGTCATCGAATATATGTATATATATATATTATTTCTTTTTTTTTTTTTTTTTTTTTTTTTGCTTCCTTACTTTGAATCCGCCTATCCATGTCATTTCCATTTGTTCTAATAATTTCTTCAGTCGAGTATCTAGTAAGGATCGAGTCATCCACCAATCTTCCACATCCTTCTTATTCAACGTTGCTTTGCTAGAATGAATGGTCTCGTCACTAAGTTGAATGATATCTTGTAATTCAGTCCTTGCTTGTTTATAGGAAAGACCAGAAGGAGCACCACGAGAGGCACCAGGAGGAGATCGTCGACAATGACGACGACGTTCATCACCACGATGAAAGGGCAGTTTCACCACAAATGGAGGCTCACCAGCACGATAACGGGCCACATACAGATCATTTTCACCATCCAAGAAGAGCGAACATACCGTCCAATGAGGAGGAAGGATATCGATAAAATAGCTTTGGAATTCACCATCTGCCAGATCATGTTCTTGTCGATAGATATCACGTAGATTCATGAGATGCGTGACAGTACGGCTAGACGAAAGTGGCAAAGGACGATTTGCTTGTTCTTGTTTAGATTCTTCTTCTTGGCCAAGATCAACCACAGGTTTGGGCCACACTAAATCACTGGTCATCATTTGAAGAGGCGTACAGAGTTTTTGTTCTAGACAATGTTGCATTTCACGCCGTAAGCCAATACCTTTAGCCATTTCCAGATAATATCCACCAAGTGCTGCATAGTTATTGACTACCATATTTTCTCCAATAGACACTTGGTTTCGTAGAAACATGCCACATCCTGCTTCATAACATAGCCTTCGCACTACCGCTACTTTTTCTGTCCTTGCACATTTTCGATGTGTGGCCACTAATCGTTCCAATGCTTGAGATACCCCATCTTGAGCGAGTCGTAGACTATGAGCTGTTTTATTGCGATGGATGGATGGTTGAATGCCACGTACTGAGGAGATTCGTAATGAGGGTAAAGTCAATACTAAGTCATGATAAAAGAGTAGAATTAAAAAAAAAAAAAAAGAATCATCAGCGATTTGCGAAAGCATCCTTTATTTTGTATTTTTTTTTACCATTGTTTTCCATAAATGTCAAATTGGCATGATTCTTCAATTCATCTTTGACAATCAGTAAGCGAATATGAGCACCAGCAGCTTTCAATAAATCCTAAAGACAAAAAGGAATCAGATGAGTAAATCAGGAAAAAGTTTTTTTTTTTCTTTTTTGCTTGACGTACAGCTTTTGTAGGAACACCTCCATTTTCAAATCTTTCTAATGTTTTTAACCCAATGGAAAGTAAACCTTTTTGTGCCAAAACAAGAGCCTTGTGTATTGCGGTTTCACCTTGACTTGCTTCCAAGGCTTGACATTCATATTGAAGTGATTCTATTTCAAAACAAGTTAGTTTTTTTTTTTTATTCTTTGTTTTTGCTTTATTTCAATACCTTCTAGACCTGCTTCCAATAAATGAGTACCACGAGCAATAGCAAGTTGCCGTTCAAAGTCTTCATCACTATTGAATAATATATATATATATATATGTAAATCAGAGAATGATCTTTGATTTTCTTTTTAATCCATGTTTTACCTTTCTGTGAGTTTTTCCAGTGTAGTGATATAAACAGGATCCATCATTTGTTGTAATAAATCATCCACAGCTGTATAAGATTGAATAGATTCATCCAAAAACTGTTGATTGGCATCAATATTGGCTACGGCCATCTTCATCTGAGCATCTTCCCGAAGATAATTAGGTCCCTAGTATAATACATAAAATTAAGCAAACAGAATAAACTGGAACAAAAAGGTGAAGAAACTTACAGTTGGTTGGATATCATTGGCAGCTTCCAAGCTAGATTTACTCTTGTCAAGTTGTCCAGTTCGTAGATAAGAATCACTGAGTAAGATCAAGAATTGATACACCATCGCATTGGACTTGATGCGTTCGCCAAGTTGTTTGCCTTGTGAAAGATAATACTGTGCATCTCGCCATGTACCCCGGGTCATATGTAAACAGGCCAGTCGTTGGAAGCATAACCCCATTTTCTAATCCACAAAATAAAATAATAAAAAAAAAATATCGTTTGATTTCCTTGTCAATCTTCATAGATATCTTTTTTTTTTTATTATTTCTTGTTACCATCGCTACAGTCCATTGATATTCTTTAAAAATCAAATCATTGGCAGCTATTGAAAGTGGTTCAGGTTCTTTTATTTTCCCAGTCTTCTCTGTTGTCAAAAAGATATTTTCATTGGGGTTGTATTGAGTTTTTTTCTTGATAGACTTCAGGAATTGTGAGAGTACTTGGTAACTAGAAGTAGCATCAGAAATCGCCGTATCCAATGATTCCTATAAAAGAGGATATTAGCTTTGTTGGTGATCTTCATCCTTTTTTTTCCCCTAAGTTTACCTTGTATAGAGATAGAGATGATCGTGTCAAATGACTATCTGATATAAGGAATGTTTTGACTGCTTGTTGTTTCATTAGCCGCATTGAATTGTTGTTGAAAGCTTCGGATTCTCGTATAATCTCCCAAGAAGTACCAGATTTGTTGAAAATAGTTTGACTAGACAAGCAAACAAAAAAAAAAAAAAAAAAAGATGGGGTGTAAGCGTTATTTAATTCTCGTCTCTTTTTTTTTTTTTTTTTCTTAATATCAAAGAATATTTACCTTTCTTCATATTCACCCAAGGTAGACAAGTGTTGGGAGTATTGTACAAAATAATGTAATTCTGCTTGTCCAGAGCAACGATGTTTGGAAAGTATTTTCTTGACCTTTGCAAATTCCAAACCAGCCTTTCCAGAGTAACCAAGTTCCGAATAGATCCGTCCAATGTCAGTAATAATAATTGCAGAATCTATCACAAGGTAAATTAAAAAAAAAAATTAAGCAAATGTGTCAAGATGGAATTATTTTTAGTTTTCTTACCTGAAATATGATCTGCCGTTGCTTCTCGTAAGCCATTGTTGAGTTTGAGTAATAATCGAAGTGTATTGATTTGAAGAGAAGAATGTCCAATAAGGCCAAAGAGATCAACAAGGATACCTACAGTAAAAACATGTCAAGAAAAGAAAGAAAAAAAAAAGATAATGAGCGTTAAACCTATCGGATCATGTCATTGCCTTTCTTAATACATACGTAAATGATCATAAAGACTATCAAGGTCATCCACTTGAAGACATACTTGTTCTAGTTCTTCTTTTGGTGTTGGATCTATAGAACATAAACATATGTTAGATTGAAATATTTTTCTTAAAAAACATTTCACTTACTTGATGTAATAGGATTCACTTTTTTCATCAGTTTTCCCCAGTGGTGAAGAGCCATTACAAATGTCTTTGGTGAGATTTCATTGAGTTCACGTCGCAAAATCCCCAACCATGAACAAGTAAGAGCCAAATAATGTCGTCGATAGGTGAGAAGATCGCTATCAAATCCATAATCCTATATATACATAAAAAAAAAAAAGTGGTAATTTCGGTTCAATATTCACATGGATTGTACATATTGCAATTACTTTACCTTGGATTTGAGTAATTCTTGGGCTTCGAGACAAAATCCTATGGCTGAACGGATCGAATCATCTGTAGCAAGTCCATTGTGATGAAGCATTCGTATCTTGGACAGTAGAATACTAATAAAAGGTGATCCAAAGTGATGTAATACATTATTATTATTATTATTATTGTTTTCTTAGTATATGTGTATGCCACTTACCGTGTTCGTCGGATTGGATAATGTTCTGTAGTATAATGCTGTAATAAAGAGGAAATAAACCAATTTTGTTGCTTCATAAGATTTTGTCGAGATGAAAGTTTGAATAATATTTGAAGTTCACATTCATAAAGCACGCATTGTTGAATAGGAGTAATGAGCGATGTATCCAAGAGCTCTGTTGCCAGCGGTCGTTGTTCATGTTCACCAATAGATGAACGAAGGAATCGATCCATAAGTTTGGGAACTAATGGTTGTTGTTCAATCATCCGAGAAATGGACATGCGTTCAGATCCAGTTGTAAATGTATCCACTGTTGTAGCAGGAACTCGTTTTAATGCCATTCGAAATGCCTTGATAGCAGCCTATATAAAACAAATGAACAATTAGGACTAAATATCAAACAGAACTTCTCTTTTTTTTTTTCCTCTTTCTTTTTCAACTACTTGCCTCGAAATCACCGTTCTTTTGACAACATGTTCCAAATACTTCATAACGTTTTGCCAATTGAAGTTTGCCAGCATCAGAGCTAATACGACCAGGGTCCTTTTCTAGTAGAGTACAAGCTTTGCGTAGAGGATACACAGCACTAGGGATGATAGAAGATGTCACCATGGCTGCACCCAATGTATAATAAGTGGCAGATATCCATCGATAACCTGAAGACAGCCCATGTTCGGAACAGATTTGTTCAGCACTTGCAAGATAATCATAAGCTTGGTAATATGTATTATCATCATTTGCATCAAAATATATTTTGGCCAAAAGAACCATAATATCCACAAAAATAAGTAATATATCACTTGGTGTTACTGCCGACCTTGTTCCCTTATTGATCCAACCCTATCACAATTACATCATAAGATTTAAAAAGTGAGTATTATATTTCTAAAGAATCATCATCCTTATATTACTTTACCTTCTTCTTAATCAAGTCAAGATGTAATAGGATCAATATGCTGCATTGCTGTAGAGTGGATGCCATTGACGAAATAGTTTGATCCCAGGGAGTAGGTGATGAAGAATCCTTGTCAATGGTGTTTTTGGATTGAAGAGACATTTCAAATAATCGATTGCTGCTATGTCGAATAGAGTGTACGCTTTTATTGACTTTGATCATGGCTTGTTCGGTATAGCTATCGTTGGATATGTCATTGTTTTGAATGATATTAGTGAGAGATTGGATACAAGTGTTGATATTAGGAAAAAGTGGTGTGATATCGATATCTACAAATGTAGAAAAAAGAGAAGAAAGAAAGAGAAAAGACACATTTTAGTAAAAAAAAAAAAAAAAATAATCTTTTTTTCCATTTGATTTTAGAAGTACATACGAGTATTATAGTGAATCATGCTATCCATTTGAGCAGCGCAGAGTGATAATTTGGCATGAGTGGCATATGCAACATGATAATAACTGGGTGAAGAAGTCAAGCTGATAATATCGTCCACTAATTGCATCATGGATGTAAACCCATAAATGGCACCAGTATAACTTTTGGCCTAGTATATAAAACAATATGTTCACCGGTATTAGATCTTCGTTTTGTATTATAAACTTTTTTTTTCTCTTTACCTTTCGTGACACATAGGCGTAGTATTCACAGAATACAAAATAGGCTTCCAAGTCAGGTAGTTCTTGAGCTGAGGGTTGAAGGAGTTGTAGAAGATCACTACAGTATTTTTGAAGGCAATCATATTTCACTATCGAAAAAGGTCAATTATTAGTACAAAGTTCAAGAATATCATGTCATTCAGATCTTTATTACCTTCAGGAGTGGCTTTTTCATAACTGATACCCAAACGTACAAAACGATCACATAGAGATCTCAATGGTACCGTATCTGTATAAGCTGATGATCGTAGAGCAAGTACTTGTATAGCCATCGTTTGTAATGGATCATCTATCATATACAAAAAAAAAAAAAAAAAAAAAAAAGAAAAAGAAAAAAAAAGGAGGAAAGAAATTAGATTAAAAATGATAAGATTTTCTTTCTTTAATCATCTATTGCTTACCAAATTTTGCAGATTTGCTTGCTGTTCTGGATAAATGACGTTGAAGTAGATCGAATTGTTTCTTGGCCAATACTTCATCAAACGACATCAAATGTTTACACCAATCGATAAAGTTACCAGGACGGTCCAATAAGATAGCAATATACTATAAAAAAACAAAATGAGTAACTTTTAACTGATTTCCTTATTTTTGTTCCTTACTTTGATCAAAATCCCGTCATTGACATCACACCAAGAACGAATAACATTCATTTGATAGGCCAATACAAGAAGAATCATACTGCGGTCATTGATATTTGTATTCAAAGGAAAAGTGAACAAATCAGCGTACTTTTGGATCATTTCCTCTTCCCAAGAAGACATAGAGGTCGGTTTGCCGCCTACAAACACGAGTTCAGGTGATAATGAACGATTAGGACTAGTTGGTGGCGTTGTTTTCAAACGGTGTTGATGGGTTGATTCCTTCTGATCATCTTTGTTGTTTTCGTCAGAAGATCCAGTCGGACTAGTTGACAAGCTGTATTCTTTTGTATCAAATGTACGTTGTTGTGTCACCGTCAAGGATCCAGTGGTCAAGTTCAAAGTGAGTGTTTTATCGAGTTGAATCCTTTCCATGCTAGCCAAGTGATATCTAAATTTGCGTAATTCTTCCAAAGCACGAGCCCACTATGAAGTTATCGAAATAATAAAAAAAAGAGATAATTATATGAGGAACAAAACATTCAGTCGAATTCTTTTTTTTTTTTTTGTTACCTCGCCAAGATCGACTAATTTACCAATCAAATTGGAAACGGTTTTTTCAATATCCAAAGGCTTCAAAGTTGAATATGGTTTCATATTTTGCAAGGCAGTTGTAGCATAAAAAGAAGTATCGATCAAGCAGTGTTTGATAGTGTTGATAGTTTTGGTGGATTCCGTGCTATTACGTCGCCAATCTTTGAAATGTTTTAGAGAATCGATATTTTGATTGACCACTCGCATGGCCAATGGTGCTAATTGTTTGACTTTTGTTCGAATATCTTGAGGTCGTCCATTACCAAGTAAACCAGGTGGCGCAATAGGTCGTCGTAAGGGTTCTCGTAATGCTGCTGTTGTAGTCATCATCATATCCGATTGAAGAGGTTCAAGAATCGTTCGTTTCACTGCTGCTGATAAATCATCATTGCATTTGTTAAAATCTTTTAACGACGATAAAAGTACAGTGGGTGTAAGTGACATTGATAGAATTTAACACGTTATTACACACACACAAAAAAAAAAAGAAAGTGTAGATTCAGGAAAAAAAAAAAAAAAAAGGAAATGGAAAATAAACACACGCATTGAATTTTTCAACCACTTTTTCCCTTTCAAATATACGCGCGCGCGCCAATTCACACTCAGACAATGTGCCTGAAGAGAAACCACAGTTTATTCACCTTTGAATTGTAACTAATTAAACGAATAGCATTATAAGACTACATGGATAAAAAGTGATATAATATAAAACTAAGAAGGAAGGAGACATAGGCCAAGATAATAATAACTATAATAATAAAAGGAAACTACAATCAACTATTTGCTGTGCCTGATACCGATGTTGTTGCCACTGATGGCAGCCTTTTTCATCCTTGTGACCCATTGCTTTCCTAACTTGATAAAAGAAGCCCGCTTCATTTCTTGTGGATTGGTATGGGATGCCTTTGATACACTTGATCCTTGTTCTTCTTTTAATCCGGTCTCAGGTAATTGTTCAAGCCATTGACGTAACTGTTGAGAATCAGATATTTGTTGTTGTTGTTGTTGTTGTTGTTGTGTATTATCTTGTTGTTTTGATAATTCTATACCACTAAGTAGCATTCCTGCCGTCAAGAAGAAATCATCATCATCATTAAGTTGGATATCTTCATCAATATCGTCATCATCATCTAAATCGCCCAAAAAGGAAGAAGTCATGGTGTCAGCCGATAAAGTAGATTGTTGCAGTTTTTCCAAGAGAACATCCAACTCGGGGCGAGTCAAGTCACCATCAAAAGTAAACGGAGGTTTATACAAACTAGGATTATTGGAACTTCTTGACATATGGTTGTTATTCTTTTCTTCACATAATAGTTCATGATGCCAATCCACAGGAGACGGTGGTTTCTTAGAAGGTGTACTGGATAACTTTGGTGTGGGTGAAGCTGCAGGGAAGAAAATAGGTGATGGCGTATTTGTTGTTGCGGTTGTTGTGGTTGGCCATTCTGTTGATGAATAACCCATTCTATCCATTGATATGATATAAAAGAGAAATAAGAAAGAAAAAAAAAATAGGAAAAAAAGATGCAGATTTTTGTGAATAAAAAAGAAGATTTGTTCATGTGCTTTTTTTTTTTTTTGCATCTATTCGAACCCCGTTTTTTTTTGAGGTGCCTGGACTCTCATGCCGGAGATCAGATGAAGCTTGTTGAATATTTTTTTTCTTCTCTCTTTATTGGTTCCTATTCTTTTATACACAACAAAAAGGGAAGGCAAGAATGGATCCAACAGGAACAATAACTGTAACGGAAGAAAAGATATCCCAGGACAATACCCCCATATCTAGAGAAACATTATATATTGAGAAAGACAATGTTAAAAGTGAGGAAGCACTTTCATATGAAGAACGAAAACGATTATCTCCAGGTATTTTACTTTACTGTATCATTGGGACGTAAGTGACCCCCCCTTTAACAAGCACACTCGACTAAAAATTAAAAAAAAAGTTAAACTGTTTTTTTTTTGAATGTATAGCTTGTGTATGGTTTCCTTTATAGCAGCTTTTGACAATATGACAGTATCCAGCAATACCCCTCTTGTAGCTTCCGGTAAATGAATGATCCTTAAAACAAAATTCATTATTCTGATCATAACTATCTATAGAATTCAATGCCTTTAATCTTTACAGCTGGGTGAACACTGTAAGTTACCATGAATATATACATTTGATAATAATATCTCATATCAACTTTCTCCAAAAACAATAGGCTTTTTTGTTAACTGCTTCTGCTTGCCAACCTATTTATGGAAAATGTGTGGATGCTTTTGGACGACGAATTTGTTTCTTATGTGCAATATTTAGTTATTTGATTGGTAGTATTCTCTGTGGTTCCGCTCAATCCATGTTAATGTTCATTATTGCCCGTGCTTTTTGTGGTATTGGTATTGGTGCTTTTGATAGTCTAATGAAAATCATTGTTGCTGGTAAATATATATATATATATATATATATATGGAGGATATATCTTTTGTTTAACCATTTCTATCTCTATAGATTATATTCCTGTCCGATACATTGGCTATTATCAATCAATGCTTGGTATCTCTTGGGGATTAGGCTATGTTGTGGGTGCATTATGTAAGCTTTATCACTCATTTTGATCATCTCAAAACATATATATATATATATATGCGAAGGTCACATACTGATCAATATCCTTTTTTCTTTTTATCACAATGAAAAAGTGGGTGGATTTGCAGTAGAACGAACAAGTTGGCGAACAGTGTTTTGGATGTCAGCAGGTTTATGCGCAGTAGCTCTGATAATGGTATATGCCTTTGTAGAAGCTCCTCGAAATAAGGTACATTTCTCACAAGAACTCAAAAGGATTGATTTTCAAGGTATTATTCTCTGGGGTGTGGCTGTTGTATGCCTTGTACTTGGGCTTAGTTGGGGTGGAACTACATATGGTAAGTTGATTTATTTTCTTTTTTTTTCATTCTCATCTGTTTTATCTTTTTTTTTTCTTCTTCTCTTCTTCTCTTGGATGAATGTGATTTGAATACTTAGCATGGAATTCTACTGTCATCATCACGTTATTATGTGTTTCAGTGGGTACACTGGTAATCTTCAGTATATGGGAACGACGTTTTGCACCTTATCCAATGATCCCGAAACGTATCTTTGCCAATCGTAGCAGTATCTTGATTCTTGTGGCTGCGTTTTTGTATGGTGGGTGTTTCCAATCCTTGATGACTTATGTACCGATGTATTTGACAGTGATTCGACGTGAAGATGGTATGACCACCAACCTGGAACTCTTATGTTTGGTCTTGTTTGCATGTATTTCCAATGTGATTACAGGTGTAGTGATAGTCAAATCTGGACAATACGTATGGGCCATTCGTATAGCATTGGCAATCTTGACTTTGGCATGCGGCTTGATGCAACTTTTAGGACGAGATTCATCGGTGGGATTGATTGTTGGTTTGATGGTGGTTGCTGGGATTGGATCAGGTGGGATGATCAATTCTGAAATCATTGCGGCTCAAGGCTCCGTGGTTATTGAACAGTAAGTGATTTAGACATAGAAAGATGGAATTTAAGGTTAATACATGTATTGTCCTTTTCTTTTTTTTTTTTCTGATTGTAGTGTACCAGTCATAGTGACATTCATGACCTTTTGTGATCAAGTGGGTGGTATTACTGGGATAACGGTAGCAGGTAGTATCTTATCGAACACACTTGGAGCCAAGATCAGCTCTCTTCCTGGTATCTCTGAAACAACCGTACGTCAATCCTCTGATTATATGTGGCATCTCTCTGATCTAAATATACAAAACAAGGTGGTGGATGGATATATGGATGCTATTCGTGCGTCTTTTTATGGCTCCCTTGCCTTTGTTGCAGCCGGTTTGCTGGTCTCTCTTGGTCTTAAAACATATGTCATGCGCAAACATGTTGCATGAATCATCATTTGAATTTATTAGATTAATTTTACTTTTATTTTGAATAAACGAAGATGTGAACTATTCATTTGATGGAAAGACGTGGACTACAGATTATCTTTTTAGAGGACATTTTCATTAATCATCAATCATCATCATTAACATCGTCAAGACGAGGAGATAAATTATATCTTTTTTTTTATTTCTCTTGTTTAGCTTCCTCTTTACTGTTTTTATACTTTACGTTCAACTCTCTCCATTTGCTTTTCACACCCTAGATCAAAAAAAATTAGCCAATAGAATTGCTTTCAGTCCTCGGCCAAATTTTGGCAGTAAAAACAAAAATATTCATCTCATTCTCAAGTGAGAGAGCAAAGTTCGTCTTTCTCACTGAGAAAATGACCATCATCGCACCAAATTTCGACGCAACATAAAACGACCCATTTTCTTCGACTTTAATTGCAGTAGAAAAACAAATGAAAGGGTGATCTTTTTCGTTTATTAGACAAAAAAAAAAAGGTGTATAAAGAAAGAATAGAAGATTCTAAGATAACTAAATCTAAAAATAATAATACATAGAAAAATGAAGGATTGATATATTGACTATTGAGGATTGACCTTGTACCATTGATTACGAGCCGCCATAGCCGAAGTGATCATACTAAAAGGAAAAAGTTAAAAAAATAGTCAGTTCCAATGAAAATAAAGAGGAGTTCAAAAGGATTGGGGTATAATCATCTATATCATCCTTACCCCGCAATACCAACGATGCCTTCATCAAAACCAATCCAACCTAAACCAGCAGTAGGAATGATAATATCACAACAATCTTGAATAAATTGATAACGAGTATTGAATTGATCCCTATGATTTTAAATTTTTAAATTATTAATCTTTTCTTCATATCATCTTTTTTTTAATCTCTTACTTGGCCAATTTTTTAGCATCAGCTTGATCCACTTTTTCACTAGTAGCTAATTTAGCTTCCTTTGCTGCCAACAATTTGAATTTGTAAAGACCAGAAACCAAAGAAGCAGTCAAAGCAACAAACCAACACTTTTGACCAAATGTAGTGATTTTCTTGATATTATCCACTTTTCTAAAGTTGATCAGATTACCCTATTATTTTAAATAGATTTAGTTCAATTCCATATAATTTTTTTTTGTTTTTTCTTTCTTACCAAGTTGATAGCTTCTGTAGTATAGTAAAGGAACATACCAGCTTGTTTGATAACAGTAGTAGCACGCAAAACGGGATCTTGTAAAGTCAAACCCTTGACACCATTTTGAGCAAATTCAATAGGTTTCAATAATCGGAAGAACTTGCGAGCATTACCAATATGTCCTTTTAATTCAGCCCATCGTTTAATAACATCTTTGGAAGCACCAGCACGGGTTAAATAAAATACATAGAAACGAGAAAAGTATTGTACAAGACGACATAACTTTTCTCTACCAGTAGTAGTGGCAAGGAATTTATTAATAGCGTCTACGTGACTATGGTTAATGTTAGAGATCATATTTTGATAATTAAAAAAAGAAAAAAGAAAAAGAAGAAATAGAGCAATGTAGAAATTTTTTATTCAAATGACTAAAAAAAAGGTCAGACGGAGTTTTGACATTTTCGTTAAGGCCATGTGCTTTTCAATAGATCAGGGTGATTTTTCTTTGTCATAGACTTTCTTGACAGGGGAAAAAAAAATTAGGTCCGCCAATGAAAATTGCATATATTTTTTCTTTTCTTTTCTTTGACTGCACACTTTCAAACAACCATATCGAAACACAGAAAACAATGGTATTTTATATCTGGAAAGATCAAAGCTGATACTTCCTCTTACTTTTATTTTCTCTAAGAACACAAGCATTACTGAACAACGGAAAAACTCAATACTTCACCTAACTTTCATTTGAATTTTGTATTTCCGTCACAACCTTCAAGTATCACTGGAATGTTGTCAAGAAAAATGCTGTAGTAGATAACATAAAAAAAAAAAAAAAAGAAAAGAAAAGGAAAGAATTTTAGCGCGTGCAAGACAGTAAAGGTACAGACAATTGATAATGGTATCCTTATCGAATCTATTGACCGGCATATTTTATTATTTGAGACGACAATCAAATATCCAAGTCTCGATCTAGTTGCATCAAGTGATCAGGATGAACAATCTTTTTTTTTTATTATATTCTAATCCTGTTTATAGTTTAACCTTCATTTGTTTTATATTTGTCTTCCCAATTAGTATTACCACCTTATTCAGTTTGACCAGTACATTATAATAAAGATGCTCGATATTATATACTTTTTTATCTGCCAAGTGTTTCCCTTCCTCTATTTTCTTTATGATTGATTTAAAGATGTTAGATGATTCAATAATATTGACGTTGCCCATAAGATGATTTAAAACAGATTCACTGAGACGAATACAATGTATTCATACATTAATAACGGTTAGTGAAGAGGATGATAATGATGATGGATGATTCAAAATAAATGTAATTTTTATTGGGGTAAGAGTATAAAAAAAAAGATAATATAACTAGCAATACTAACTATCAACATATATAATTCTGATGCGTTCCTATTGCCATCGCGCTATCCTTGAGCTTGTAGAGCCTCCCACATGTTTGCCATTGAGGCGCATCGATTTTCTAGGGTCAAACGTGAGAGTTGTAGTCGTTTTGCCGAATTTTGCAATAAAATCTATTTTGACATTTGGAGAAGAAGACACTAACCGTGTGATGGTGATAACCATAACGTTCAGGTGATGAGAAAAGTTGGCAAGTAGGTGCAGTTCTTGAAATACACCTTCAGTTTCAAATAAGCTGTTGGCCATCAATAATCATCGTATAATTTCTTCCACGTAGATTGAAGGCCGAAAGGTGACAAAATCCTTGAATTGGGAAGTTAAAATCGTCATATGTCCTGTCGTCGTGTGGTGTAAAATCCATAACCAAATAAATCCTCCTTTTGGACAGTGTAGAACTGCAAACCTGTTTGTAGCTGGTATAATCGTCGAGCAAAGTGCTTGATATAGTCCTAATTCTTAAAAGATGATATCAAAAATTGTTAGTTCACAACCAGAATCATAGATTGAAATTTATAGTACTATATGTGATGATCACTTACTCGTTGTAGCACCAATTCTCGTAGTTGTAATGAATATAGATTTGTCATCCATTGTGTCAAGGTCTTCTACTCTAGATCACTATGCAACTACGTCCAATAATGGTATCAGTGAGTTGTCGTTTCGTAGCCGTTTGAAAGTACTTGACGAAATTTTCACCAATTTTATCGTCGTTTGGTGGCGTGAAATTTTGAGCATGTTTGATAACTTCGGAATAAGGAGTTGAGAATTGACTTGAAGGTTACTGATAAATATATAGTTATCTGGTGCCACTTGGAGAAGGTCTATTTTTGATAAAAAAAAAAAAAAAAAATACCTGGATTTTCGTGGGAATTTGCACAGTCAGTCGTTGTTGTTGTATCTAATTTATCTTTCCATTCCAACCTTCTGTTTGGTACAAGTTTGATCACCACAGACCTACAAAAAGCAAAGTAACTATGGGCATGAATATGTATATAGGTATACGCATCTTTGTTGTATCTTGTTGTTTTTTCTTTTGAGTTACTTTGTTGAAAAAATATATTGATATGATAGGTTGCCTTAGTATTTTTGAGTCTTGCCATGCAAGTTTTATGTTCAGTATCTTGTATGACGCGTTCTATTCCATAGGCACAAGCCGCCATATCTCTATACAGTCCAGTAACATTGTTTAAAGGTCGAGGAAGATGCAGTCATACCTTTGAAAGATGTTTTGTAGTGATGAGTTGTAAATTTACATAGAATACGGAAATACGAAATGACTTTGTATTCTTATACAAAAAAAAAAAAAAAAAAAAAAAAAAAAAAAAATTGAAAAGAGAAAAAAAGAAATATTGAACTGACCCGCCTAAAAAAAAGATCTTCCACGCCAACGGTCCGAAAAAGGAAGTGCATGTTGCTGTGCTCTATTTTTTTATGCCATTCTAACATATCAAAATAATTACATGAACAATGAGGGTAGATGATTAAAGACGATATTGGACGCAATGATTATAACAATAACGTAGCTGACGATCATGATGGCACTGTAGAAATACGAAGAGAGTACTATTCATACATCGGCATACATTCATCCATCCATTATGTTTCATCCACTAACTCTATTCCGCCGATCAACCATCAATCATCCATCATATTGTAGTTATTGTATAGGCATACATTTGTTTAATATAGTACTGTAGTTTTATTGGTACTCAGTTAGAACAAGTTAGACATATTTTTGGGGATGCATATGTCAAGCCATATATCATGAAATAAAATGTCATTAGACGAATAACAATCTGAGAGGTCTACTAGACAAAGTCTATTGTTCTTCAATAACTAACTAACATCGTAGGCCGTCACCAGCTCGCCGTATAAATGATATATTCTCCATTTGTCGATGGGATGATCATTTGGATCTGGACAGTACTTGTTCCCACCGTTTGAAATACCCCCATATTTTGCAGCATTCCAGGTTCTCTTTCGTAAAATCCTCCAACTCCAGAGATAGGACTTGATGTTAGCTGACCCCCGTTTTGAACTGGAATGATGTTGCAAATCCGTCTGTCATGAAATGATTTTCAAAGATCCCACACTAGACTCAAGCAAAGCAAATGTAGGTTAGTAAAAGTTTTTTTTTTTCTTTCTTTCTTTCTTTCTTTCTTTCTTTCTTTCTTTCTTTTTTTTTTTTTTTTTTTTTTTTGTACGTACCGTTTTAGTTTGCGGAAATCGATGATCTCGAAGTTCAGATGCTGACGTTTCTATGGGATGGCCATTTTGGACGGATGAGCACGTTTTTTAAGGCCAAAATGCGTCAGAAACTTCGAAGAGTATGATGGTCAATATGGATGTACCTGTGTGTCACCGCTGGAATAGACACAACTGGGAAAAGCTTGCTCTGTTGCTTCATTAAATAGGTACGAGGCAGGAAAAGTATCATCTTGAATTTCTTTATATATCTTGTAAAATTTTAAGTATGTAAATCAAAAAAAAAGAAGACGTTGTCAGTGAGATTCTTTTATATTTTTATGGATAAAGAAGACAAAATATCCCTTGAAATATTTCATGCTTTATATACTGAAGAACACGTAATACAGGATCGGCGTCAATCTATTTTAGTTCAATCATCAGATCATGTTTTGTTTATATTTTTTTTTTTTAGCTTGGAACTTTTGATTCTATAAATTCTTATTGGTACCTTTGGTTTCTCCTTTGATATTATAGATCATCATCATCATTAATTTTTCATGATGCTTGCTATTTTATCTATATTCTCTTAAATCCTTAAATCGCTTCCATACCTTTTGGAATTTCGTGTTAATAATATGATACCTGTACATAAAACAAGCTTTTGCCACAATTTCCATATTTTTTTTTTTGATGTAAACTTTATTTTCTATCCAAGTCCCCTGAAATCTCCCAAAGTTCTGCATTCTGAGAACTCCCTCACAGTAAGTTTAGTTATTTTGAACACAGACCCTACGATAATTGCAATTGTTTGAAGTGAAATCCTCGCATAAATGATATCGTTCACTCTTACATTTGTTGATACTGGTTGATAAAATAAATTATAAACAAGGCCATGCTTTTCAGGAATACGAAAGATACGGAAAAGAGAATGCATTCATTCAATTGATAAAAAAAAAAAAGGCGGATAAAACAAAGGGAAGGTTTTTATTCAATGATAAAAAAAAAAAAAAAAAAAAGATGAAGGATAAACTCAGAAAGGATGTATCCAACTATTCAAAGATCGCTTATCGAAAAGGTAATGGAGTGACAAGTTCAGTTGAATGGATCTTTCTTCAACATAACTGACAGCAGTTTCAACGGTGATATTGTTTTGTTGGATGTAATCACTGTTGGTTTTGATGATTGATCGTCGTCTATTGAAGAGCTCGTTTTTTTTTCCTTTTCATTGTTTCTCCATTTGATTTCCTACTGTCATTCCAAGGAATCCACTGCTCTTTTGCTTTCAGCCTATCTTACCGTTTCATCAATCTTCGGAATTAACCTCTTGCATAAAAATCATTGAAGGATCCAAAGTCGCACGTTAAAGATAAAAACATTAGGATTGTTGTCGATACACTCTTTGATCAGGGTACATCCACTCTGACCATCATCATTCATACTATCCATGCTCTATCTTTCGTTGTTGACCGCCTTGAATAAGTGTTTAATGAAAGATCTTGGATTTTCATGAGAATTCACATCAGCCAGTCGATTGTTGATGATATAGATCCATGATAAAACAGTGTAATAGTTCAATTGACTACGTATCTAATTTCTCTTTTCACACCGTCCTTTCGTTTGGTACGGATTGACAATCATGGGTCTACAAAATCAAAGTAATTGTAAGTGTAAATAATATACACATACGTACCCTGCTTTTTGACTTACTGGCTTACTTTTTGTTGAAGAAAGAGATTGAGATTCCTACTAGTGACAAGGTTGTGGGAAACAGCAGATTCTAGTAAGGTACCATATCGTTCCAGTAACAGTATTTGAAGAAGGCGAGGAAGATGTTTTGTAATGAAGGACTCGATGAGTTGTTGGTTTGACATGGAGTAAAAAAAAAAAAAAATTTAAATGACGTTATACGTTATACAAAAAAAAAAAAAAAAGAAAAAGAAAAAAAGAGATACTGAAAAGGAAAAGGCAAAACCGGTTAATGAGAGAAAAATGGAAAAAAGTCTATTTTTATTTTTATACGCAACTTCCTAAACAGGCAGTCAGGGACACCAATGCGCCACTTTCAACAAGGTCCCTTATTTGGAATAAAGTGATATACCGCTTACAAATAATAATGCTTTTTATCAGAAATGTTGACATTTTTTTGGATGGAATTTCTAATGTTTGCCACTGTCTGATTATCTTCATAAACTGTCTTAAGGATACATCCATATCTCTTTGTAAATAATGACCAAAGAAGACTACCGATGCGTCCTTGCAAGCAAATAGCATCCTCAAGAGATGGAGCGAGTTGCGTCAATTGGACTGTATAGTGATTCTTGACAATACTGATCTGATCTTCGATGGATCTGCCAGCATGTAATGGGTTCGAATGATCTGTCATGTAATTTGATATACTATCTTTTGGGTACGAGAGCAAGTCGTTATCAATACGCGTACCATATGCACCTTCAAACATTTTGTCGTTACTCATATCAGCAAGGATTTCATTGGAATCAAGGCTGATGATATAAAATGGTATCATACTTGTATCAAGGATACAATCCATCACGTCATTTGATTTTTTTCCTTTGCTAGATTCGATGAATGCAACAGCGGTTTCGACCATGTAATTATAATTTTCTTCGTGAACTGCCACCTTTTTGAAATCAGCAAATAATTTGATGATAGCTGAAACAAAAGTACTGGGTTCGTTGACAACGGATGTTTTCAGGTAGTTGTAGAACACAATGAATTCCTGTTCATCAAATGAATCATCCGCCATAACCATCATGATAGCCAACTTTGAAGCGAATAAGAAATGCTCTTCTGTTTTTATGAATGGGCATGCATACAATGTCCATTCTGCATAGTTATATGCTGTTTCATAAGTGGTTATGTCTCGAAAAGTATCCAGGAACCACTCTGTAGCATCATTGAGTATTTTTCTTTTATCCATTAGGGTTGGTTGATACTAAAAAAAGTAAATAAGTAAAAAAATAAAAAAAAAAAAAATAAATGAGAGAAAGAAGATGCAATTTATTATTGGAGATCATCCCTCTTTCTATTCCTGATGACGCGCCGAAACATGAATATATTCATTCTCTAGCCTGTGCAAAAACTGATGAGGTCTCCCAAAAAGGGAAAGCCAAACAAGTAATAATCATGAAGGGTCGATCTTTTTTTTTTTTGACAGATATATAGGGATGATAGTGATACATCACACAGACACAATCATAAAATGCGTGCATCCGATTCAATTTCAGCTTTTTTTTTTCAATAGCCTACTATTGATACACAATTTTCCAAAAAGATTCGGAAAAACGCAAAATCATTCCATCCAATTATGAAAATTGGCCATTCACTCATCCATCCACCCACAACAAAATTAGCCATTCGTCTATCGTCCAAAAAGAAGTAGAAATGGAAACTGAAATGCGATGCGTAATAAATTAAATAAAAATTAAATCAAGTTCACGGACGTTACCCGGGAATAAACACAGTTCCAAGGAGACGTCATATTGGAGAACGTAGTACGATAATAAGAGTCAAGAATACAAAGACAAAGATATAAATAGAATGAGATAATCTTTATTACGGATGATCATCGTTAATAACGAGGTAAATACAATAAAGAATTAAAGCTTTATCCTAAAGTCAGAGAGATTGGGTTCTTGCTTTTTTTTTAAAAAAAAAAAAATCATCATCATCATAGGTTGTGTTGTGTTTTAAGACAAAAAAAAGAAGATTTTTATTTAGATGAAGCAAGAGAAAAAGCTAATGCAATAAAAAACTCTTCAACATCCGTAGATATTGTGTAACCTGAGATGTATCACCCCAGTTTATAAATAATAATGTTTTTTAGCAGAAATGATGACATTCTCATTGATGCAGTTTCTAATGTTTTCTACCGTCTGAGTGTCTTCATACACCGTCTTAAAGATACATCCATATCTCTTTGTAAATAATGACCAAAGAAGACTACCGATGCGTCCTTGCAAGCAAATAGCATCCTCAAGAGATGGAGCGAGTTGCGTCAATTGGGCTGTATAATGATTCTTGACAATACTGATCTGATCTTCGATGGATCTATCAGCGTGTAATGGGTTCGAATGATCTGTCATGTAATTTGATATACTATCTTTTGGGTAAGTGAGCAAGTCGTTATCAATACGCGTACCATATGCACCTTTAAACATCTTGTCGTTACTCGTATCAGCAAGGATTCCATTGGAATCAAGACTGATGATATAAAATGGTACCATACATGTATCAAGGATACAATCCATCACGCCATTTGATTTTTTTCCTTTGCTTGATTCGATGAATGCAACGATGGTTTTGACCATGTAATTATAATTTTCTTCGTGAACTACCAGCTTTTTAAAATCGGCAAATAATTTGATGATAGCTGAAACAAAAGTACTGGGTTCGTTGACAACGGATGTTTTCAGGTAGTTGTAGAACACAATGAATTCCTGTTCATCAAATGAATCATCCCCTACAATCATCATGATGGCCAACTTTGAAGCGAATAAGAAATGCTCTTCTGTTTTTATGAATGGACATGCAAAGAGTGTCCATTCTGCATAGTCATAGGCTGTTTCATAAGTGGTTATGTCTCGAAAAGTATCCAGGAACCACTCTGTAGCATCATTGAGTATTTTTCTTTTATCCATTAGGGTTCGCTGATAGTAATAAAAAAAAAAAAGAAATAAATAAAAAAGAAAAATAAAAAAATAAAAAAATAAAAAAAACAGAAAAGATAAACGACAGAAAAAAGATGTCATTTATTTCTGGAGGTCATCCCTCTTTCTATTGCTGATGACCCGCTGAAACATGAATATGTTCATACACTAGCCCGTCATAAACTGACGAGGTCTCCCAAAAATGGAAAGCCAAACAAGTAATAATCATGAAGGCTGGATCTTTTTTTTTTTTTTTTTTTGACCGATAAACAGGAATGATAGTGATACATCACACAGACACAATCACAAAATGCATGCAATGAAAAAAAAATCATTCCATCCAAATATGAAAATTGGTCATTCACCCATCCATCCACCAAAAACAAAAATAATCATTCGTCTATCGTCCAAAAAGAAGTAGAAATGGAGCGATGCATACTAAATTAAATAAAAATTAAATGAAGTTCACGGACATTACCCCGGAATAAACACAGTTCCAAGGAGACGTGATATTGGAGAACGTAGTACGATAATAAGAGTCAAAAATACAAAGACAAAGATATAAATAGAATGAGATAATCTTTATTACGGATGATCATCGTTAATAACGAGGTAAATACAATAAAGAGTTAAAGCTTTATACTAAAGTCAGAGAGATTGAGTTGTTGCCTTTTCCTTCTCTCTCTCTATATTTTTTTTTTTAAAAAAAAAATAATCATCATCATGGGTTGTGTTGTATTTTAAGACAAAAAAAAAAGAAGATTTTTATTTAGATGAAGTAAGAGAAAAAGCTAATGCAATAAAAATCTTTTGACATCCGTAGATATTGTGTAAATTGAGATGCATCACACCAGCTTACAAAAAATAATGTTTTTTAGCAGAAATGACGACATTCTCATTGATGTCGTTTCTAATGTTTCCTACCGTCTGAGTGTCTTCATATACCGTCTTAAGGATACGACCATATCTCTTTGTAAATAATGACCAAAGAAAAGCGCCATTACGTCCTTGAAAGTAAATGGCATCCTCGAGAGTTGGTTCGAGATACAGCAATTGTGTTACAAAGTCGTTCTTGATGGCGTCCACTTGATCTCCCATGGATATGCCTGCGTAAACTGGGTTGCTATGCTTCGACATGTAATCTGATATATAATCCTTTGGGTACGTAAGCACGTCATTATCGATACGCGTTCCATATGCACTATCAAGCAACTTGTAGTTATTCATGTCGGCGAGGATACGGTTCGAATCAAGACTAGTGATATAAAACGGTATCATGCAAGTATCAATGATACGATCCATCCTGTCATTTGATTTCTTTCCTTTGGTGGATTCGATGAAGGCTACAATGTATTTGACCATATTATTGTAATTTTCTTCATAGATTGACACCGCTTTAAAATCAGCAAATACCCTGATGATAGCTGAAACGAAAGGACTGGGTTCGTTTACAACTGATGTTTTCAAATAGTTTAGTAATACAACGAATTCTTGTTCATTAAATGAATCATCCATCATACCCATCATAATAGCCAACTTTGAAGCGAACAAGAAATGTTCCTCTGTCTTTGTGTAGGGAAGCATATAGAGCGCAATTTCTGCATAATCGTTTGCTGTTTCATAATTAGTTATGACTTGAAAGGTGGCCATGAACCACTCTATAGCTTCATGGAGTAGTTTTCTTTTATCCATTTGTATTTTGCATAAATAATAAAAAAAAATGGAATTTACTTTTGGAGAACATCATTCTCGTTAATTTATACAGTACGAGGACAACCTCATTTTCATTTGTTGGTTGTGCCACATATCCAAACAAACAGGAATATTATTATTCTTGTACGATATAGAACAGGTGACAATTCGAAATTGTTCCCCAAACTGGAAAAAAGAAACGGGGAACACAAGGAAATTGAAGATCAATTTGGGACGGCCAATTTCAGTTTTGGAGGATGGACGAAATATCCTTTTTCAGAGAGGATGGACAAGTATGACAAACGCTTAACATATTACTTGCACACGAAAGGCACACGAAAAGCACACAACTGATTTGCTTTTTTTTTTTTTATGATGCACTACTTGTATACAAATATCTAAAAAGATTAGGCTGATATGAAGGTATTCCATCATCCAAAAGCAAAAATTGATCATCCATTCATTCATCCACCAGAAGTAAAAACAGCTGCTCACGCACCATCAGAAGAGAAGAGGAAACGAGATGAGGCGCATAAATAAAATAAAATAAAAAAAAGGCGAAGCTAGTCTCAATGTTTGTCTTACTAATCGTACGATCGCTTTTTTTTTTTTACGTTCACCGATCATTAATATAGAAATACAATAACAAGAGTCATCATACACTGAATCAATTTAAAATCATTCATCATCAATATCAATATATTCGGATCACTGGTAATCCACACTTCAAGTCAATCATCAAAAAAGTAATCGGACAAGTAGATGATTTATTTGCTTAAAATCAATTGAATTAAATCACAGGCTAATGCTACACAAACATCCGTTATTCACTCATTCATTCGTCTAACATCATCAAAGCTCAGTTCTCTTCCAGTTTCTCTATGAAGGCTTTTTTTTTTTTTTTTAAAGCCGGTCCCAAGTTCGATATATTTTTTTTTTTTAAAAAAAATGTATTGTGCTTTATTTTGAGACAAAAATAAAAGATTTTTTATTTAGATGAAGTGAGAGAAAAAGCTAATACAATAATAAAAAAAAGCCTCCAACATCTGTAGAGCGGATGTTACGCAAACCAGGATGCTGTTTTTATCGTAATAATTTGTGGCAGTGAATAAAATGGTTTGCAGATGATAAAAAAAATGATTCAAGTCGTACGAAGGAAGAGGTTCGCGTGTAAGGGAATAAAAAAAAAGTTAGTTTCCAATTCAAAAAAAAAATCATTCAATGACAATGAATTATGAAATTATATCTTATAAATAATAATGTTTATTATCAGAAATGGGAACATTCTTTTTGATGCAGTTTCTAATGTTTTCCACCGTCTGTTTATCTTCGTATACCGTCTTAAGAATACGGCCATATCTTTTTGAAAATAATGACCATAAGAAACACCCCATTCGCCCTTGCAAGTAAATTGCATCCTCAAGAGATGATTCGAAATGTATTAATTCGTTTGTACAATGATCTTTGACAGTATTGATCTGGTCTTCGATGGACGCACCAGCGAGTAACGGGTTGGTATGATCCAACATATAGGCTGATGCACAATCTTTCGGGTATGTGAGCAAGTCATTATCCACACGCGTACCATATGAAGCCTCCAACATCTTTTTGTTATTCATGTCGGCAATGATTTGGTTCGAATCAAGACTGATGATATAAAACGGTGGCATGCAAGTATCGATGATACGATCCATCCTATCATTTGATTTGTTTCCTTTGGTGGAATCGATATAGGACACAAAGCATTTGATCATGTTAGTATAATTTTCTTCATAGTTCGACACTGATTTAAAATCAGCAAATAATTTGATGATAGCTGAAACAAAAGCACTGGGTTCGTTGACAACGGATGTTTTCAGGTAGTTGTATAACACAATGAATTCCTGTTCATCAAATGAATCATCCACTATAATCATCATGATAGCCAACTTTGAAGCGAACAAGAAATGGTCTTCTGTTTTTATGAACGGGCATGCATACAATGTCCATTCTGCATAGTCATATGCTGTTTCATAAGTGGTTATGTCTCGAAAAGTATCCAGGAACCACTCTGTAGCATCATTGAGTATTTTTCTTTTATCCATTCGAAAAATAAACGAGAGAAAAAATGATGTCATTTATTTTTGGAGAACATCCCTCTTTTTATTGCTGATGACCCTCCGAAATATGAATAATATTCATATTTTAGTACTCATAAACTGACGAGGTCTCCCAAACAGGGAAAGCCAAACAGGTAGTAATCAATCAAGACAGATGAAGGGCAGAAGATTTTTTTTTCGGATACACACAAGGACAACAGTGACACATGACACACAAACACAAACACAAACACAAGTGTGCATCTGATTTAATTTCAGCTTTTTTTTTTTCAATATCGTACTACCGATGTATGAGTGTAGAAAGATATTTAAAATAAGAAAACCCTTTATAGTTTTGTTATTTGAATGAAGAAAAACTAAAAAGATCTACATTTGAGTAGACATGGACTTTTTGGACTTTGGCGAAGTTGGGAGTTGGAACAAAAAAAGAAAGAAAAAAAAAAGCATGTCAAATTGTTGTCAGAGGAGGGGCTTAAAAAAATCACCCTTTTTTGCTTTTTCTAATTTTTTTCCTTTCTTCCTCCACTTTTTTTTTTCCACATTGGGTGCCGTCTTTGTTTTTGCGATCTTGTCATGGTAGATTTTATTGGATTTGGAGTGTTTTGAAAAAGGGATTTACAAAATACAAGGGGAAACCCTTTCATTTTGAATGTAGGATTTATTACAGGTAAATGACAAAAATATTTATATACCTTTTTCTAGTGTTGCTTGGCCTGGATATATTTTATTGGTAATACGAACGAAAGACTGAAGGAACTTTTTTTTGTCTAGGAATGGGCACTTGTTGTTAGGGTTTTTCGGTGATGGACAAACGCTTTTGGTTGGTGCTATAATATAATAGATACTGTAGAATGGATTGCAATAATAGTTTTATTAGTTAGTATGCGATTTTTTTTTTTTTGAAATAAAATTTATATTGTCTTTACGATACCTAAAAATATACTTCCATGGCTTTTGTTTTTTTTTATGATAATCATTATTGGATGAGGGATGACTTTACTTTTAGTTTACTTTATCAATTGGAAGGTGATTGGACGTTACTATCATGAATACATCTAAGATAAACCTCACTTTGTCAAACAGGTTTAGTTGTTGTTGATTCTTTTTTTTTTTTTTAATAGAAAAAAAACATCACCATGTATTGTGTTATATTTTGAGACAAAAATCCAGGAGATTTTTATTTAGACGAGGAGAAAAATCTAGTACAATAAAAAGAAACTCCATCGTCCATAGATATTGCATAAACTGGCATGCATCATGACAGCTTACAAATAATGATTCTTTTTATCAGAAATGGTGATGCTCTTTTTAATGGATTTTCTGATGTTTTCCACTGTCTGATTATCTTCGTATACCGTCTTAAGAATACAACCATATCTCTTTGTAAATAATGACCATACGAAACACCCCATTCGACCTTGCAAGTAAATAGCATCCTCGAGAGTTGGTTCGAGATTCAACAATTGGGCTGTACAATGACTCTTAACGGCATTCAATTGATCACCTATTGATACACCTGCGTATACCGGGTTGGCATGATCCAACATGTAACCTGACATAGTATCCTTGGGATATGTAAGTAAATCGTTGTCGATCCGCGTTGCATATGCACCATCCAGCAGTTTTTCATTATTCATGTCGGCGAGGATATGATTCGAATCAAGGCTGATGATATAAAATGGTAGCATTGCAGAATCAGTGATACGATCCATCTTATCATTTGATTTCATTCCTACGGTGCATTCGAAGAATGCCACAATGGTTTTGACCGTATTATTGTAATTTTCTTCATAGATGGATACCGCTTTATAATCGTCAAAGTATTTGATGATAGCTGAAATAAAAGGACTGGCTTCGTTGGCAACGGATGTTTTCAAGTAGTTGAGCAGCATAACGTATTCATGCTCTTTGAATGAATCATCCCCGATAGCCACTAAAATGATTAGCTTTGCAGCGAACAAAAGATGTTCTTCTGTTTTTATGAAAGGGACTGCATAGAGCGTCCATTCTGCATAACCATACGCTGTTTCATAAGTGGTCAAGCCTGGAAAAGTGGCCAAGAACCATTCTGCAGCTTCATGAAGTATTTTTCTTTTATCCATTCGTAAGGTTGATAGATAGTGAATTAAAGTAAAAAATGAAATAGAAAATAAAAATAATTAAAAAAACCAAAGGGCAGTATTTTTGAAGACACCTTCCTCGTTCATTTTTTTCTTCTTTTTTTTTTTTCTGTATATTCACCGTCATTGGTATCGGAATACAATAATAAGTATCATTAAATCCTATTTTACACGAGTCAATTTTAGGACTATTCATCGTCAGCATTAATCAGTACGTCTTCAAGCCAATCATCAAGGAAATGAAGAGGCAGGGGTATTGAAACAATGGTTTATCTGGACATGTCTGTACAAAATCAATTGAATAAAATCAAAGACTAGCACCTTATTAACGTCCATCATTTACTTGTGCATACTCTTACTATACAATTCTATCCAGTCATTCCTTCATCCATCAAAAAAAAAAAAAAAAAAAAAAAAAAAAAAAAAAAAAACTTCTTGAAGCAGTGATAATCCTTTCTTCTATTTTTTGAATGCCTTATTATTGGAAAACTGTTGCTATGACTACATGGGGTGTAAATCATAGTTTGTCACGTATTTCCTTTTTTAAAAAAAATGATTGTGGATTCACCATTCGAAGAAATCTTTTCCTAAATAAGTTTAGTTTCTTTTTTCTGAACTCATTGAAGCATCGACGTGATTGACTTTTTGGGTTTTTCTGCAATGAAATGAATTACGGGAAATACTAACGGAAAACCGAACTTCCTTTTGCTACATTACAAATCTAGTATAATTTTATTTCATCCATCCAAGTATGCTCTATACTACGTCACTATACTACAACAATAATGATAGTATAGTAAGACAATACAAAACAATAATAACAGACAACTGTACTACAGGCGATAACGTTCATGGGCGCGACTGTGAAGAAAGGAGGTCGTCTTGGCTTGATTGTATGAGTTGCCATCTACAGAGAAAAATCAATAAAGTGGTAATCGATCAATATTATTTCTTTTCTTTTTTCCTGTATACATCTTACCTTAGCTACACCATTGAAAGCTTGTATCACCGTTATTGTATAGACCATAGCCATGCAACCAACAGATAAAATCAATAGAATGAGTAGTAATCCATCCCTATTATTTCTTCTTTATACATATATTACCTTGGTTACCTCATGCAGCGGCTATCAGCTATAAGAAACAAAACCAAAGGGATAACCAAAAAACAAAACGTATAGTGTAAGCGTGACTGAACTTGTCGACCTTTTGTTGAAGATAACGGAGAAACACAAGAAGGTGAGCAACATTCTAAGACCAGAGGAGAGAGGATAATAAGCACAATACCAAGTGGGAAGAGACAGATAAAGGAGAGAGAGAAAGACCACTTACATAGAAAAGAGATTTGACAAAAACATCACCACAATAAGAGCCAGACAGGAGAAATAGAAAAAAAAAAAAAGAGAGTCTAACCAGAATACGAGCCGTTGTCCTTGTTGTTTCAAGATGTTCTTGATTTCTACCACTTCTTCCTTCAGTAATTGCACTAGTTCTCTATAGTTACTTCACTTCTAATCAGTAATGGTATCCAAAGTTTTCTTCATCCAACAATTGACTTGATAATGTTGGTAGGGATATGAGGAGGAACACATTGATGAGCTTGGACCTGATGTTAAAAAAAAAAAAAAAAAAAAAAAAAAGCGAATTAAACAAGAAAGAAAGGCAAAAGAAACAGAAATTTGTATGCTTTCTCTTTTTTGTGCTGAGACTGACTTTGAACCGACTTTAACTATGTATCTTCCCTGGTTCCTGGAAGCCTGAAATTCATTTTCCAACAGTAATTATGTCGTATTTGAGACAAAAAGCAAAGCTCTTTTTTTTTTATTTAGATGAAGAGAAAAAGCGAATGCAATAAAAGAAGACTTTAACTTTTGTTGGACGAACTAGAATACATCACCATACCTTATAAATAATGGTTTTTTTTATCAGAAATGTTGACACACTTTTGGATGGAATTGCTTATGTTTTCCACAGTCTGATTATCTTCATATACAGTCTTAAGAATACGGCCATATCTCTTTGTAAACAGTTGCCATATGAAACAACCCATTCGACCTTGCAAATAAATAGCATCCTCGAGAGTTGGTTCGACACGCGACAATTGGGTTGTACAATGATCCTCGATGGCATTGACTTGATCGCCTATGGATACACCTGCATACACCGGGTTGGTATGATCCAACATGTAGTCTGACATAGTATCCTTGGGATACGAAAGTAGATCATTGTCTATCCGTATTCCATATGAGCTATCAAGCATTTTTTTGTTATTCATGTCGGCAAGGATATGATTCGAATCAAGGCTGATGATATAAAATGGTGGCATGCCAGTATCGATAATACGATCCATCTCGTCATTTGATTTCTTTCCGACGGTGGAATCGAAGAAAGCTACAATGACTTTGATCATATTATGGTAATTTTCCTCATAGATGGATACCGCTTTAAAATCATCGAATAATTTGATGATAGCTGAAATAAAAGGACTGGAATCGTTGACAACGGATGTTTTCAGGTAATCCATCAACACAACATATTCGTGTTCTCTGAATGAATCATCCCCTATAATCACCAAGATAATTAACTTTGCAGCGAACAGGAAATGTTCTTCTGTTTTTATGAAAGGGACTGCATAGAGTGTCCATTCTGCATAACCATACGCTGTTTCATAAGTGGTCAAGTCTTGAAAAGTAGCCAAGAACCACTTTGTAGCTTCATGAAGTATTTTTCTTTTATCCATTCGTAAATTTGATAGGTAATGAAAAAAAAAAAAAAAAAAAGAGATGAACCAGGATGCAATTTGATTTCGGAGGACGCCTACCATTTTTATTCCTGTTGATCCCAGACGAAATAAGAATATTTTAGTGCCGTAGTACAATATGAATTTAAGAGATCTCCATGCGATGCTACAGCAGAGTACAAACATTGTGTCAAATTTCTTGCTATGAGATAAGCTAAACAAGGAAAAGGCTTGATGCATGCTTAGGCCACTTTTTAACAGTAAGCCAATGGCGAAAAAGTGGCTTCGGCGCATATAAAGTTGAAGTGCGGCAGACAGTGGTACGGATTTTTTCAAATGGCTTTTTCTCACTAAGGAGCAAACTAACCAACGCAATGCCAATTTTACAGCAATTCTACAGCGAAATTTTGGCTATGAATTCTTAGAAAAAAAAAAGCAGAATCTGATTCCGCTTTTTTTTTTTTCTAAGGTGCCTTCCTCCTAACTTTTTCTCCTTTTTTTTTTTTTTTTTTCTACACTTGTATATATATATTCTTCATCATGACAAAAGAACCTCTCATACGACGTATACCTAATGCCAGCAATAAAACCAATATTCGCGAGCCATCATCTTCCGATGCATTTATAGAACAAAAAGCAACTGGGTTATTTGAACAAGCCAAGTTACGAGAACAGCAATTAAAACAACAATCCGTCAGTACAGCACAATATATATGGCAAGCCATCTTTTTATCTATACCATTTGGACTATTATTAGCTGCATTTGATGTCACGGTCAAGGTTCAATTTGATGAACCATGGGATTATTATGGATTAGGTTTACGTGCTATCAAAGCAGCTCCAGGTAAAGAAAAAAAAACATAATCTTAATTTTTTATAAAACATAGATCACTCATACCTTTTTTTTTTCTTAAATATATACATGGAAAGCCTTATGTCCCGTCATTTATTTGACCAATAGACATAAAGCGAAAAAATGGACTCAAGTATTGATGACTCTGGGATCTATCACGGTGGGGGCCTTTTTATTGTATACGTTACAACATTCTCCATCTTTGGGACAAATGCTTCGAGCACCTGGTTTGGCCACTATTTGGGTATACTTTATTGTACAATTGGATTTGATCCCTGCTGTCTTTTCCCTTGCCATTGTGGCTGCCTATTGGCATTTTGGTTTACATAGAAAATGATTGCATTTTTTTTTCTTTTGCATATAATAAAAAAGTTACATATAATAAACAACGGTCCTTTTTTTTTCTTTATTGAAATATATATATAAATAAATAAAAAACAACTATAACTACATAAAAAGACAAGATTCACCCTATTTTTCCTTCAAATAATAACGTTTGTATACATGTAAACCCACGGAGATGGCAGTGATGGCAAGTGTGGTACCCATGATCCAACAAGTGATGTTTGAATCGGCAGGTGTAGGACGACGACGTTGTTGTCTTCGTTGTCGATGTTTCTCACTGGGTGAAGATCCATCGGTATAAGTGGTAGTAGTAGTTGTAGTGTAAGTGGTAGTGATTGTATTTCCATCTTGATCCTTTTCTACAGTTGTTTTGGTAAAAGAAGATTTGTTGTCCATAGGAGGTAATTGGTTAGATTCAGACAAGTGTTGAATTTCATCAAAGACAGCAATATTCAACTCAAAAGAACGCACAGCTTCAGATACAATCATATCACGAGTAGTAGCATTGACATGAGCCCCATTCAAACGTTGACGGTAAAAGTCTTTGAATTCAGCTTGATTTCCTAATTGTTCAAAATGATAGAAAGCCAATCCATCTTTGGTATCCCAGGCAACATCGGTTGGTTTCAGACCCAATATCGCGGTCTTGAGACGCTTGGCTAGAATTTGTCCTCCACTAAGATCACCAAGATAGCGAGAGTAACTGTGAGCAATCAATAAAGCAGGTTCTTTAGCACAGGCTTGTTCCATCGCATCCACATATGACTTCACAGCTGGGGTCACGTTCTTGGTATCCGTGACTTGTTTGATTGCACCTTCCTTGCCATAAAAGAACTCCAAATCTTGTAATAATGCTTGCTCTCGGTTTAATTCGGTTGGGAAATGAATAAGTTTAACTGCTGGATGATCCTTGTGTTGTTGCAATAAAGCTTCCATTTTTCTATATTAAAAAAAGAAAAAAGGAATGATCATAATATGAATATGAATATGATAAAATTATAGATACATTGTACACGGGACTTACTGGTAAACAAAGTAAAGAGACAAGATATATCGTCCATATTCTTCTCGAGTAATATCACCTTTCAAGAATCGTCTACAAATGAAAAAAAAAATCAATAAAAAGAAAAACTCTTTCCATTTTTTTTTTTTTTTACCTAGTGAAAACACTGGTTTCTGCAGCACGATGAACCACTTTGGTGCCTTCACGCATTTTTTGAGCCAATTGGGGATCTTCCAAAATTTCCTCTTGTATATCAGATTTCTTTTCATTAAAGAGAGAGTCTAATTGGGACACAGTAAGGAATTGATTCAAGATTTTAACCAAAGCGATGCCTTCTTCACAGGATGGAAGTTCTACAAGGAAAAAAAAAAGAACACTTAGTAATTTGCAGAGAATACCTTTTTTCTTTTTACCATTCATATTCAAAGTAGGATGTTCTTTAGGAATAGTGGCTAAAAGAGTTGAGATTTCTTCTTTTGATTTATTCGAGAAAGGACAACCTACATATACAAAAAAAAAAATATGGAATAAGGATCAAAAACCGACGTTTATTTTTTATTATCGTACCTTTTTGGAAAGCAGGACTAAATATATATAAAAAGAGAGAAAAGAAAGTTAGTTAAAGTTAGTCATTCTTGTATAATAAAAAGATTCATTTACCATTTTGAAAGTTCACCAAAAGATACAGCAAGAGAATCGACTTCATCAATCTTGGCATAAGGACAACCTGTAGCAAAAGCAGGGCACTTGTGTTTTAAACCATCGATATCAACATCTTCAAGTCCAGGATGAGGTAAAGTAGTGTATTGAGGATTAACAGGAAGTTCTTGACTCATTATTGTTTTGGTGTTAGAAAAAAAAAAAAAATAGAAGAAAAAGAAAGAAAAGAAAAAGAAGAATGAGACGACTTTTTTTTTTCTGTTGTTCTCCCTCCTTTTTTTTCTATTCAATCCGCGCACTTTTCTCGCATCCCCTATTTGTCCAATCAAGGCACTGCTGCCTACATATCTCATTATCTCCCACAAGGTAACACAATTTCATCCTAGGTCACCCATGCGAAGACTAAATATCCCAAAAAGGCATTTTTATTGATTTCAATTTGAATAACGTCATTTTCTAATATTCTGTTGAATGAATTGATGTTTTTGTATTTTTTAACATTTATTACTGGATAGGACCAAAAATAAAAGTTGATCTATTTGCCATCATACCATGTACTGTATGGAAAATCAAATTCATGTATGCATCGTGCACTATGATACAGGGGACACCTACAGTCAAGTGGAATAAAAAAAAAGATCAAATGAATTTTTATTTTGAGATGTAAAAAATATATAATAATAGTAATAATAATAATAAATAAATCAATCAACTAAACTAGATTGCTTCTTGTCAACCAATATTGATGATATTTCCTTTTGTTGTATTTAAAGAGGGAATTGAGCTTGAACAGATCGCTTGATACGAAGCATTTCTTTGAAGGTATCCTCATTACCATGTTGGACTTCAAAATCATGCCATGTTTGCCAAAAGTCAGGGAAAGCCTTGGGATCAAAGAATTGAGAAGCAAAACCATAGATTGCTCTTGCACGATCGATTTCACCTAGTTTACGTTCTAAATCAGCATATTTCAAACAAATTACACGTACATCCTTGTCAGGTAATGCTTCAATGGCCTTTTCATAGATTTCACGTGCTGACACAATACCAAAGGATGCTGTAGCTTTTGCAACATAAAATTGGAACATCTAAAGGAAAATTCCAAAAATAAATAAATAAATTTCAATGATGAAGCTTTTCTTTTTTTTTTTTTTTCCTTTTTCTTTATTGGATTCTTACCTCTAATCGATCCTTATCATCCACTGCTGTAGTTGCTCTATCATAAATTCGCATTGCATGTCGAGCTAATCCATAATCTTCTTCTAACTTTCCATACATCAAATAGATGGGTTTAGCATACTTGGGAGGACATTTATCAATAGCTTGTTCAAAAAGATCTCTAGCACGTTCCAATTTGGTACCACCCTAAAATAGTATATGTATATAAAAAAAAAAAATGAAAGAAAAGAACAACTGTCAGCAATATATCTTTATGAAAAAAATAAAATAAAATATAACCACCATATCACTCCTTCTACATTACTTACATAACGATCCATAAATCGAGGTAAATAGATATTCCACAATTCAAACGCAATAGGCCATCCAAACAATTCAATACCACGTTCATATACCTTGAATGCTTCTTCAAAGTATTGGTGTTCTTCCAAAAAGGTAGCGTAGTTCACAACAACTTGAGGATTAGCGATCCGTAATTCCATGACCTTGTTGTAGACTTCTTTGGTAGATTCCACCGAACCAACACTTTCTTCCAAATCAATATAGAAACTCCAGAGCTGCAGACTTTTGAAAACACGTTGTTGTACAGGTAAAGATTCATCGTGGAAGTTGACCAAGTTGGGATTCTTGTTACCACTAGAGATACTTCGAGGTATAGAAGTTGCATGCGCCATCACCTGAAGAGCCCTATCAAATTCATCATGTCGTGTTTCCATTTCTGCATATTCACACCATATTTCTGCCAAATCATTGACAGTACGATAATTCACCTTGACTGCTTTTTCGTATATAGCACGTGCCGCATCCAGGTCACCATTGTCTTCGTAAAATTTAGCAAACTGTGACCATAAGGATTGTAACTTGCCGTGTGATTTCTTGGGATTGATTGTTTGTAATGCTTGTGTATATGTTTCCACCACCTAAATAAAAAGAGAGAAGACAAAAATGTTATTTCCTTTTTTTTTCCATTCCACATTCTTTTTTATTATTATTATTACTTTATCTTTGTGATCACCCCATAAGGAAACTCGCTTTTCCCATTCCATGACATTATTTGGATTTTGTCGTAAAAGTACTTCATTAACCAAGAAAGCTCGTCGATCCATTAAACGTTCAAAACGAGCCAGTCGTAAATCCAAGTCTAAATCATCCTCCAGGCTTTTTTCTCCAGATTCTTCACGTTCGGCCGCCAATTCCATTTTGGTTGTAATCATTTCTTCTTCGAATTCAGCATATGCATCAAAAATAGCAGTAAAGTCGCGTACTGTCGACACTGTGGTAATGCCTTCTTCAAAAATATCACGGGCCTAGCAAAAAAAAAAAAAAAAAAAAAAAAATAGAAAAATAAGTAAAGGAAGAATAAAAAAAAAATTCCAATGTCTCCTACTTTTTCTAATTGACCCATTTTGATCCAATACATGGCTAATCGACAATATAATATTCCCACTTGATCTGTAAATCTTTTGATCCCACTTCTAATGATTGCTTCAACATTGATAGAATGAATATGATCACAATGATCTACTACAAGATCACACAAGTCTTGCCATAATTGATAATTTGATTTACCACGGATAGATTTGAAGTCATGATCGTTGACAACTTGTACTAATTTGATGGCTGCTTCGTCATAATGGTCAATTTTTATCAGTTGATCGATGTAATGTTCTACATGTTGAGGCTCCAACTAATCACAAAAAAAAAAAAAGAATTGTTAGACTATATATCTTTCATGATCTTCGTGTTATTATTATTTTACTTTGAGATATCGTCGAAGGACACGAATGGCAGTTTCAGGACCAGCTGCTTGAGAGAATTCTAAATAAACATCCCAAATGCGAGTATGTTGAGTTACAGGTAAGGCACGTAAGGCTCGATCAAAGGTACGTCTTGTTTGAGTGATGATGGGTTGAGTTGTCAAAAACTGTAAATAATCTAACCATATCCGAGGCATCTATATAAAAAGAAGAAGAAGAAGAAAAAAAGTTAATGGTACTTTCTCATATATTATCATTTTGAACTTACTTTGTTCAAAAGAACAAGAGCTTTTTCATAATATTGATTCATTTCTATATATCGATATTGACAAGATATAGGATGCACACCTTGTAGTCGATTACGTCGCATGTCTAAATATTGTTTCCATAATTTATAAGACCCGGGTAATTCCTTCAAGGCACGATCATACAATTGGCAAACATCTTCAAAGCTGGAAGCACCTTGTTGTTTATGGTCGATATATCGTAACCATGTTCGAAGAGAAAAAGGATAACGTGCTAGTTCCTCTTCGTACGGTCGATCGTATTCATTCTATAGTATAATCCAATCATAATACAAAGTGAATTATAATTTTAAAAAAAGACAAGACATATTTTTTTCTTTAGTACCAAAAAGGAGCATGGGGTTCTATTTTCTAATACTTACAATATTATTAGTTGAATTCTCTTGTTTCATTACAAAAAGGGCGACGTGAAAGTAATTTGAATGGAAAAAAAAAAAAAAAAAAAGGAAAAGAAAAAAGAAACCCGACAGTACCCAAAAAACAAGTTCAAGTGACTGACAAGATATCTTGAGACCGGAGTATCAATGTTTTTCCTTTTTCAGCACATCCCCTGTCAAGAAAATTGGGTTGATTTTCTGGTTTGCTGTGATGGCTCAAGACAGTGATCATCCATCATCGATTCAACCATTCAACCCATTCAACCCATTCAACCCATTCAACCCATTCAATCGTTCAATTATTCAATTATTCTACCCATTCATAAATAATATAGTGTATCACATTGATAACAAAAGATATATATATATTAAAATAATATTTTATTGATAATACATGTAGTAATAGTAAACACAAAAAGCTATTTTCAATTTGATCTAAAATATGGCAGTGTTAGGGATTTTTTTTGTTAGAGGGTGGATGATTGATTTGTAAATAAAAGAAAAAATGATATCAAGGTGATGATATTGATGATGATTGTTCGTATACTGAGCACCAGTTCTTTTATATAAAAAGAACAAAAGTAAAAAAAAAAAAATAAATGTAATCCAAAAAGGTAATAGATTTCTTGATGATTTTGATCACAGTTAACGATGATCAATCAAATAACTTGAATAATATGTTTGATGATTGCTTGTTAATAATAAAATAAAGATAAAACTTAGGATGATTTGTTCCTGAAGAGTGGCCAATGTAATTTAGTTTTTTAAAAAACTTTTTTTATTGAATAAAATATAAAAAAAATTTGACGATTCAAAAAAGAAAACTAAGATATGATGGTTATTTATAATAAAATAAAAGAATAAAAAATAAAAATAAAAAAAAAACCATTGTGTTTGAAAGATGTCAAACATTGAACTTTTGTTCAAATGTTCGACAATTGCCAGACACAAGGTGAAAGATCAAATGTTTGAAAAAGAGTTGAATAATAAAAATTTTCATTGGTCAGGTGTTTTTCTATATCCAACAGCAGTAAAGTGTCTACGTGTTGCATGGATCATGAATGCAAAATACCACAGCATACGGATGTTTTTTGGTTCCTTTCAATACATTCAAGCAATATCATATCAACTTGAAGTGTCATTGCCCACCACCGTAATCGGCCTTGTTTGTTGTCCTTGGATTCTGCTAACCATTGAAGAGAAGCATGATCAGTAAAAACATATGTGAACGAGTACTGAAGATTTTGATCATAAATTCATCGTCACATCGGCTACCGTTGTCAAACTCACTGTCGGCAACGAAATAGTCGTCATGGTCACCTAGAAAGACAAAAAAAAAAAATATCAGTCAAATAAACATTTCCTGTTGTACAATATACATACAAAAGAGTGATTCTACAATCAATTTCTTTATTACCTTTGAGCTGATGCATTTATCCGTTGTCGCTTCGCCAACATTTTGACTGTGGATCGTTCCTATAACAACCTTAGTTGACTCCACTCCGACTCTTAATGTGATAGATGCTCTCAGAACCGCCTGTGATCGTGTTGCTTTTTTTTTTTGACGACAGAAAGAAGTTGTCGAAAACCGTCATCGAACACCACTACTTTTCCACCAAAAGTTATATCTTCCAATGCAGCATCAGTTGTATCCATATTATCCCACAATAACCGATCTAAACAACAGTATAGTTAGTCTATTGAAGTGAATGACATGGCAATCATATCTATTACCTGGAGCAGAGAGGTAGTCCTTAGCAATCCTTGCGAGAGTTGGGAATGTCGATGCCTTCTTCTTCCAATAATTGTAGATGTCACGATCATCTAAAAATGTTTTCGCATGAAGTTGCCAAATAGTTGGTGATTTCGGTTCCTTCCTACAATACTTGATACAAATAACGACTTCATCCCAGTTGATGAGTTTGCTGATTCTTAGCAGGTGAGCAATGAGGACCGTATGTTGTAATTAGACACAAGCCAATGGGATTTTGAATCTACTATGTGCTGTACGTCCACCAGGAAATTCTTGTTCTTGCAAATCGGTTCATGTAGTAGACACACCATGAGCGGGATAAGTACCAACGATATAACGATGGAGACCATCTTTTTGTGGGCCGAGGGATGACCTGTAGATCTGTAATAAATGTGGCAAACTACCAAATTCAGCTAACCGTTGATAACAGATAAACTTGCTCCAGAATCAAAGGTAAAGGAAAAGCATCTTTCACCGTGTTGTTATTTAGCTTCCTATAGTCGATAACCATACGTAGATCACAACCTAACCCGTTGTTTTGTTGATAGTTAATCTTGCATAAGGTACGAAATAAAGTTCCTTGTCACCTTCGAATTTGAATACATTCTTGAATGAATTGCAATCTTCTTCCAACTCAATCCATGTCACTGTTGATACCACTTGCTTATCATATAGGTAATACAAGGTCCAATCACTGGTGTGAACCACAGAAGGTAACATATCTAATGCATACAAATACTCAGGGATCCTTGTTTTCGTTCCGTATATCGTTGGTTTCAGCTTCTTCCACATCCGTATAGACAATCCTTGACAATGCATCCGGCACAACTTGTTCCCTGCCAGATTTATATTGGATACCAGAGTCATATAATTCGACTTCATTGATTCACCTTGTTAGTCGAGCCTCCTAGCTGTTGTAATTTGATGAATCGACGGATAACACGATGTGGTCACCAGAAATTGACTAAGCTCTTGTACAATCACGAACTCATCGGCAGAAGGCAAATGATCTTCGTTTATTTGAAAGATATAAAACGTAACAATAATAAAGATAAAAGTATAAATTAGATAACAGTTAAGATAAAAGGAAAAAGGGAAAGAAATAAAAACAAAACAAAATAATTCAAGGGCATGGTAGGAAACACCGCCCCGCCAGTCCAAAAAGGAAATTCCATAGACATAGTTAAAAAAAAAAAAAAAAAAAAAAGTCGCGTCTTTTTTACTCTTTTTTTTTATCACTTTTTTTTTTTTTTTTACTACAATGATTATTGTTACCAGAGAACAGGCTGTTTGTATGTTCTTTTGTGAAGAATACACTGAATCAAACGTTATCAAATGCTCCAAGAAGATTGATGACAGGGAAGATATTGAAATCTGTTACGCAGAAGACCCTACAGAACCAATACTACTTCACCAATTATGTATCAACGGGAATCCATTCAAGTTCAAAACTTATATCAGCAAGTATGAATTGGAGTCACTTCCAGTGGATGATATGGAATAAAACAATAAAAAATTGTATAAAAAAATAATAATAATATGGCAAAATGGATTCGTAAGTAAGAAAGAACATTTCTTAATTTCATAATCCAAGTGTACTAACATATATATATATATATATTATTTGATAGTAGCTCTACGTTAGTCATATACTATATTCAACTGGGATCAGATATATTTTATGTTTATAGTTTAGCATAATATAATTGCATGTATATATAAATAAAACAAATATTTGTAGATAAGAAATAACACTTCTATTCAAAAGTCATTTATAGTGATTAGCAAGTGTATTTGATAGTAATTCATCATTGTATTCCATTATCATGAATGAATAGATTATCCATTAGAATAATAAAAAAATAGTTTTGATCCATTACTTTTACAATTTGATCACAACTTAAAAAGGTACATATATATATGATCTTCAATCTTTTATTATATGCCTGGTTTTTTTTTTCCTTTGATCTCACGCGTACTTTCACTTTCCGCTAGTACAATTTTACTTTTTTTTTTTTTGTAATTTGAAAAATCTTCCTTTTCCTTCTTATTTTTTTTTATTTTTATCAACCACAATAGCTTGACTGGGATGGAGAAAAGTAACAACAACTTTTCAACAGCTATTCAGTTTTGGAAAGGTGTCAATTTATCAACATTACAACAAGATTTGGATGAACAAGGTCTGGCCATTGTTGGAAACCAAAAAGATGGTTTACTTTCTCGAAAGAAGTTAGCTGAACAAACAAGAGGTATTATGATGATATATATTATATAAACATACTTATTTAATTATATTCAAATAGAGTTTAAAAAGATGTCTGATGAAGAAAAACTACAACAATTAAAAGCATTATTGAAAGGTAATATTAGTGTTATTTATAACAAGAAAAAAAAACAACTCAATTTCTTTTTATAGGATATCAATCTGAAATTGATAGTATCACTCGTCGAACGAAATATGCAGAAAATTCCTTCTTGACTATTTACAAACTATTAGCCGATGCTCCAGATCCAACTCCTTTATTTGAAGCAGCTGTAGAACAAAGTGGCAAGTTAGTTGACCATGAAGCTACACAACAACAAACTTTACAACTACAACGTGAACTCGAAGAAGCAAAACAACAACTTGAACAATATCAAACAGTAGAAAAACAGAATAAAGAATTACGTCAAATCAATACAGAATTAAAGAAATCTATATCCAAATTGGAAACCAAGGTAATAATAGAAAAGAGTAGAAACAAAAAAAGAATATATAACATTTATATATATATATCTAGGTGGAGGAAAAGAAAACTGAAGATTTAGCTCAAAAGGAACAAGAAATGAAAAATCAATACAATGACAAGATTCGATCATATAAAGAAAGAGAACATGATTTACAACTACAATTGAATCAAGCTTTGGATCAATGGACTCAACTCAGGGCAACCCATGATGATACTCAGGCACAACTTATTAGTCATAATCAAAAATATGGTAAATGGATCATCAAAAAAAAAAAAGTAGATATATTACTGACTTTTTTTTTACTTTTTTTGTATATAGATCAAGAAGTGGTTGGGAAATTGGCAGAATTGGATATCATTATGATGGACTTGGAACGAGCAAATGCAAGAATAGTAGAACTTGAGAAAAAGAGTGTAAGCTATTAGAGTTAACTTTGATATATATGTATATATAATCTTACACTGTATCTCTCTTCCTTTATTACCAGGACGATTTGAAAAATGAACTTGTCGCTGCAATCGAAGCTCAACAAGATCAACAAGGGTAATTAAATTCATCATGTTTATATTACCATCTGTTTGCTAATCATACTTTATTAATAGAGGAGCCAGAACTGATATCGATGCCCAACATGAATTAGAAATCAACAAACTCATCAAGGATGTAGAAACTTACAAGGACTTGTTACAAAAATCCGAAGCAAGAAACAGCAAGAAAATCAAGGATTTGAATTCTGAAATCAAATCATTGGTATGCCAGTTGAAAAAAAAAGGGTCATCATTAGCTAAACTTTTTTCTTTTCTCGTCTTTATCCGTTAGACCGATTCAAACGAAGCTCTCAAGGTGAAATTGAAAGGATTTGATGATTATAGTGAAATCAAACGAGAACTAGATATCATGAAAGTATGATTAAAAAAAAAAAGGTCAAAAAAGAATGAGGATACTCATTACTCTCTTTTACACTGAATTATATAGTATGTCGAGTTCTCTACTGGCGGTGATGATGACGACGATAACTTGATCGACTTTAATGCAAAGGATGTTTTGAACAAAGATGTGATACAACATAGCTTGGAAGTGCAACTGATGGAGAAAAACAAAAAATTGGAAAACGATTTTACGCAACTCAAAGTGCGGTTTACTCAATTACAAAAAACATCAACGGAAGATCAGACCAAATTATCAACACTACAACAACAACTTGAAGAACAACAAAAATTGGTACAACGATTGGAAGAGGATTTGCTTCACCAAGTAGGCACAATGATCACAACTGACAAATCGAATACTCGACCCTCTACTGATTTGTCTCAATCATCATCATCAGCTACCATTGGATTAGGTCTGGATTCATCGGGCCAACCATCATCCCCGGATGTTTCTTCATCTTCATCATCATCAACGGCAATGCAAAAAGAGGATACCAATATCAAGGAAGGCAAGACCATTTTACCCATTGTGATCCAGCAACGTGACCGATTCCGTCAACGTAATGCCGAATTAGAACAGAAAAGCCGTAATGTAGAACAACAATTATATGAAATGCGCGCTGAAATGGATCGACTCCAACAAGACAATTTGAAACTTTATGAACGATTGAAATTTGTACATGTTTGGAAAGAAGAACAACAACGTGGTGCCACGGTAAATACAAAAAAAAAAAATATAAAAAAAAATGAACCTAATTTTTTTTTTAATATATTTCAGAATCGAACGACGACCATTCAAATGGGAGATCTCTCATCATCCTCTCGAAGAGAATTCAAGAAATCACCACCAGCATTAGGCAAAAGTAGTCATGGCTTTTTATCTGAAGAGGATGGCACTACTGATAAGTATGGCAAACTTTATGAAGAAAACATGAATCCATTTGCTCAATTCCATCGCAAAGAAGAAAAACGACGATACAATGCTTTGAACCCGGCTGACAAATTAACATTGAAAATGACTCGCATGATGTTCTCTCATCGATGGTCAAGATACTTTTTGATTGGCTATGCCCTTTTATTACATCTTTTGGTTGTCACCACCTTGTACCAACTCTCATTATGGGAATGCCGTCATGATCATGAATCACAATTACCCACTCTACAGAATGATTAGCATTCTATATACATCTAGTCTAGTTTTATACAATGACTTTAAAAATAAAATAAATATTTGTATTTTTTTTTTTAAAAAAAAAATTACTAAGGTTTATGGATCATATCTATAGGTCGACCTTAATGACTATTTCAGACAATCAACATACACACACACACACACAGATATATATATATATGGATACAGTATGTAAAATAAATAAATCTTTATTCTATTTACATATCTATCTATCTAATCTACAAGATCTTCTTTTTCCGTAATTCCATTTCAATAGTATGCAACTTGTCCATGATCATCGGCTTTGTATCGATACCGTATTTCCGAGCAAAACTTGCCAAGGTGTTGAATGTTTTTGCATTAGGTAATGGTTGTCGGCATTTCATCATGTGTTGAACCACGTCGCAGGCCATATTCCAACGTTGTTCATACGATCCACCTCCAGCACGACAAAGAAATTCCACATACGAGTTGTAATTATTGGTATTGAGATTGACATGTCGTCGTTGTAAAGATTGCCAGATCGCATGACCACGCGTCGTTTGACCATGATGACCACATGCATCAAGTACAATCGATACCGTTGTCGCATCCACATCCATCATTGTTGTTGTCATTGTGTCCCAAAGATATAAGACTTGATCGATTTGATCTGTACGATTATAACCATCCATCAATGCATTGTAAATGGTCATATCTGGATCCAGTGCCATGTCCATCTTGATCAATTGATGTATCTGTTCCAATCCATCCGCATCACGTCTTTGTCCACACCAGTGAAGCATAGCTGTATAGATATGTTTTGTGGGTTGAATCCGTAATTGTCGCATATCCATAAATAAGTCCAGTGCTGAATGCAAACCATCATCAGTATCGGTCAATGCTGAGATCACAGAAGTATAAAAGATACTATCTAGTTCAATCACAGGTTTTTGTCGTTGTGTTTGTAGTCCTTGTCGCTTTCGTTCTTGCTGCTTGTCATGTTGATCCCGTAAAACATGGTAGATTTCCATCGCATCGTTGACATGACCACCATGGATGTAGGCCAGTATCAAGCTTGTAAACGTTGCCACATCCGCCACCGCCTTCGTCCCATGTCGAAACACTCGATCATACAATGTTTGAGCCAAATCCGCACGACCATGTTTTGCCAATCCATGCATCAATCCATTATATGCCTTGCTATCCAATGCATACGAATGTTGATCAAGGTAGGTCCATAATTGTTCCATTGTTGCTTCATCATGGTTCCCTTTTGCTGCTACTGTGGCCAGACTGGACATCATCCGATCAAGTTCACCTTCGTCGATGGTTGCTATCGCTTCTTCAAATAACGCCAAAGCACCTGCTAAATTCCCCATCAAAGCTTCTGCATCCATCATGATCCCCAATGTCGTACTATCTGGTACAAGATATCCCTCTGTTTCCATTCGATGATAGAGAGCTGCGGCTTTTCCTGGATTCTGAAGTTGTTTCAATACACCATCTAAAAGAATGTTGCAGGTAATCGTATCCGGTACAAGTCCAGTCATTGTTTTTTGTGTCACCAAGTCGTGATAGAGTTCCAACGCACCATCTACATCGTTCATGACCGATATTTGAAAAGCAAGCATAGCATTGATAGTGGCGATATCCAATAATGGTTTTTGTTGATGACGACGATGATGATGATGATGTTTGCGATGTGTGGGTCGTTTTTCAAACAATGTTGTATATAGAGTGGTTCTTAGTTGATCATATAACATCTTTCCTAATTCTCTATCCTTTATTTCTGTGGCAATATGAAGCATAGTACTCTTCGTATATAAATCCGGTGAAAAAGGCATCGATGTATAAAGTGATATAGCGCGTTCCCATTTTCCAGCATGATCCAGCATAGCCAGCACAGTATTGTAAGAAGCCGTATCCAAGAGTTTTTTCCTATTATTATTATTATTTTCCAATTGTGAGAGAAGAGCCATTGCTTTTTCCACTGCACCCATCCGTTGATAACATCCCAAAAGTGTGTTGTAGGTGAACACAGTAGGAGAAAGATCATGTTGTTCTTTCATAAGAGTCATCACCTGAGCTGCCTTGTCAAGATCACCATGAACGCCATAGCAATACATGAGAGCATGATAGTCGAAATGATCCGGGACAAGTCCATACTGATGTGTCATTGCTTGTTGTTCCACCATGTTCTGTAACCATTCCAAATCTCGTATGTGTCGTCCTTTTCTTGCCAATAACAGTAACGGTCGCCATATCTTGAACCGATCCAAGGTATATTTATTGTTCAATAAGGCAAGTTTTTGCCTTGCTGTATCCAGTCGTCTTTGAAGAATGGCTTGTTGTAATCGGTATAATTCAGGTATTGATTGTTTGGTGAAAGATGATGAAGCATGTCTGATACTTTGTACTGGAAAAAAAGGAGAGTGACGAGAGACTATATTTAAAGGTTCAGGATGAAAAAGTCTTGTTGAAACAAACAAAACCTTTCGCCATGAGATCATTGAAGGTTAATCTTAAAAAAAAAAAAAAAAAAAGAGTTTCAAAGGAAAGAAGGAACAGTTTAAAAAAAAAAAAAAAAAAAAAAAAAAAAAAAAACACAAAACGCGTGGGCGGTGATTGAATGTTCAAGTCAACATGAACAATGAGTCTTAACCAGGATGTGAAAAATGAAATCAACGTGCAATTATTTAATCTTTTGAGAAAATGGTACTATTAATCTTATGTATCCTATTTGAATCACTGTAAAGTTCTGTTACGGCTTTTTTTTTTTTGTAACTGGGGTGATTGTTGTTTAATAGAGTCAATGGAGGATACTCTTATAATATATATATATATAATTTTATTCTTTTTTATTCCAAAATCATCATCCGAAAATTAATTTTGCAGCATACAATCCATTACGTTAGTCGCAAAACAGTATACATACCTGTACCAAAATTCATTTGTTCGTAAACTTTTTTTTTATTTTCACATTAAAAAAAAAAATGCTGTTGTTACCAAGAATGGAAAAATCCAGTACTCTGTCCAAAAAGGAAATGCTCAATCTTCTAGATTCACTCGTAACCATCAAGGAAGTTAACCCTTAAAAATAAAGAGTTGTACAAAAAAAAATAACATAACCCGGGTATTTGCATTCATTTCATATATTTAGTTATTTTGTCATACTCTACTCCATCATTCATCATCATATTGCGCCACAACTATCTTGAAAATAAGAATATACTCTTTTATTTTGTTTCTTTTCTTTTTCTTTCATTTTTCCCTCACTTTTTTTTTTTTTTTACAAAAACAAATTATTTATTTAAAAAGATGAAGTTTTCTTTGATTTTGACTGCTGGATTGGCCTTGGTGATGTCCTCTGGTGTGTTTGCTTGTGATGATGCCTGTAGAGCAACTGGTCAAAGTGCTGGCAAGTGTAACTACAAGTGTACCAATGCTTGTGGTATGGATCCTACTCATCATCGTAATGAATTCTTGGCTGGTCTTCAAAACCGAGGCTACAGTTGCAAATCTACTGGTGCTGCTACCCTTACTTGTAATTCCAGTGGAATGGGTGGTTGTTATGGACACAAGGTAAAAAAAAAAAAAAAAAAAAATAAAAGATATGATTGATATTTTCAACTCAATTCTTCTTGGTTACTTGTACGTTTTTAGTGGACCTGTGGCAGAAACTGTTAAAAGGATTCTATTCATGATCTATTATATGTACTATTATTATGTATTCTTTCTTTTTTTCTCTGTTATCTGAATAAAATTTATCCTATTTACAGAATTTGTGAACTATTTTTTTTTTTTGTTGTCTCTATTGATTTGTTAATATTGTGGTGATGACGGGATGATGATGGATGATGTCGAATGTGCTGTACTTGTATAGATTGGTTTGATATCCTTTTTTTTTCTTTTGTATTTTTTTTACTTGTATCTATTATTATAATAATGCTTTTTCAATTATTCCTGTTTGTGACGATGGTTTCTTTACAGTCAACTCTAATGATTACTTTGTATAAAAAATGCCTTAGTTCTTTATTAGTATTTATGTAATACCATCCAATAACCAAAAATAGGAAAAAGTATCCTATTTAATGTTCTGATTACCTGGTATTCCATCCTACAACATGTTTTCTGCATTTTCCATCATCCATATAGATCCCTGTTTTACTTTCCTGATAAGATAATAGATTCTTGCATAGCCACCTTTGTCACTCCATGCAACCTTTTGTACTATGAATATTCCTCCCCCCAAAAGAAAAAAAAAATAGATCCATACGTGATTTATTTTGAAAGTTTAAAAAAAAAAAAAAAGAGAGAGAGAGAATGAATAAGATGTAGTGTAGGTTGTACAACTGAGGCTGTACCTTCTCTCTTTTTTTTTTTTGATTCTGTGCAATAATGTGTTATGGTTGCATGAGCAACTCAATGAAAAAAAAATCATCTGAATAAAGTCAACTCCGTACACTTGTTTTAATATAAATACATCATGTTTTCGATGCCATCGACCTTTTTTTTCTTCTTTTATTATTATCCTCAACAACTTAACAAATAAATCCAAATCTCAAGAATGAAGTCCTCTATCTCCTTTGTGTTCATGGTCTTGATGGCTTGTATTGCTATGGTTTATGCTTGTGACAATGCTTGCGTTGGTTCTTCTGAACGTAATGGTCGCTGTTACTACTCTTGCACTGAAAACAGATGTAACATGAGCGGGTAATGTATTGATGATCATCATATATATGTACTTTTGCTCACCCATTTTTTTTTTATCTTAGTGCTCATCATCAAGGTCAATTCTTGGGTGCACTTTCCGATAAGGGTTATGATTGCCGTCCTGAAGGTGCTACCTCTTTGTCTTGCAAAAAGACTCCTTCTTTCGGTGGATGCTTCACTCACAAATGGACTTGCGGTCGTGGTTGTTAAGTACATCGATCACTCCTGTAGTTTAGTTAGTTTTCTTTTATATGATGAAATAAAAAAATATAAAAGTTATTTCTTCTATCACTTTGTCCGATAATGTACCTGAATAGTATTCTTTTCATATTTTTTTTTTCTTCTTTTTTGCTTTTTTTTTTGGGGGGGAGATGTTGTTGAAATCGATCAGATTGAGTTTCGGCATATTACCGGCACACAAAAAAGGAAATAAAGTCAATACCAGGGATTCACCAAAAAAAAAAAAAGGAAAAAAGGAAAAAATAAGACAAAATTGGTGATCTATTTCTCTGGAATGAGGTGGCACGATATGGCGTATTATAGTATAAACCGATCTTTCAGGTATCTTATTGAACTCCCGCTGTAGCACGAAACAAACTCTAATAATAAATGGACATAAGGTTGATTGAATAAAATGGGGGAAATTTTCTTCTTTTTCCTTAAAAAAGAGGTTGCGCCAGAAAGCGTCATGTATTCTAAGAATGTTTCAGAAAAGGTAAACCTATGTTAAACTGATTGACTGTGCCTCATTTTTTTTCTTATATATCATCAATTGTGGGAACCTTGTCCCTTCGATCTGTTTCCAGCTTGGTAACAAAAGAGTCACCTTGATGCTGGCTATATTGCTATGCTAGGCTGATTTTTTTTTTTCATGATGTGGAGGTTGATGATGATGGATGATGAGAACGGATGAAGTTATGATATTATGAAAGAATGACAAATGGAGATAAAATGCTATAGGATGAGTACATGGATAATGGATGGTTGAATGATGACTTGCTGTGTTATAAGCAAGGATGGATGATGGTTACAGAAAGATGATGATTTTTACAAAGGGGCTGATGGTAGTACGTTGATGATTACTTATTATCGTTACTTCAATGATAAATCTTTTTTTTTTTTTTTTTACGGAAAGTCTAGAAAGTATACTTTGTAAACTATAAAAAGGACTAGGAATGATTGGACATCCCCATTTATTTAACTTTTTTTTTTCATTAACTAATAATGATGTTAATCAAATCAGTTTCTTTGGCTCTCCTTGTGGTCGTTTCTTCTTCTGTTGCCATGGCATGTGACAATGCTTGTACGTATAGCAGCACTAAGGCTGGTCGTTGCTGGTACACCTGTGCTGATCGATGTTCCTGGACTGGTGGTCATCATCGTGATGAATTCTTGGGTGGATTACAAAATCGCGGCTATTCCTGTCGACCTGAAGGATGGAACACCTTATCATGTTCTACTACTGGTGATTTCGGTTCTTGTAAATCTCACAAGGTAATGATGATAAGAAGTAAAATTTTAGTATCTCTTTTGTGATGATATTCATCTTTTTTTTTTTTTTTTTTTTGATCGTTCTCTAGTGGACTTGTGGAGCAGGCTGTTAAATTAGTATCATTTTGACAAAATAAGACCTTCTAAATAAAAAAAAGAACTACTTCTATTTTTTTTTTTTGTGTCCTGTACATGGTTTTATTTTTTCTTGTATGCTTGCCATTTTTGAAATCAATGCATAAATATGTAACATGATGAAGTGACATTGACCCAGGTTTAAGAAACCACTTTTTTTTTTTACTCAGCTCCACGGAGCTGTTTGTGATCAACTTTAATTATATCAAGAATCTTTGATTTCCATTGAACGATCATAAAACAGCCACAATTGTACTACGTCTTCAAAACGAGAATGGTTCATAAGAAAAAGAATCAATGTCTTCTCATTTTATTACTTTACGCTCAATCATCACAAAAAAAAAAAAAAAAAAAAAAGATGATGAAATCCATTGCTTCCTTGCTTATATTATCTGTTCTTTGTATCATTCTATCGTTGGCGACTCGTGTGTCTGCCTGTGACAATGCATGCTCCTTTGCATCAGATCGGAACAATCGTTGTTACTACACTTGCTGGGAGAACAGATGTAATTTCAGTGGTAGTCATCATCGTGATGAGTTCCTCAATGGTCTTCAATCCAGAGGTTATTCTTGTCGTCCCGAAGGTGCAGTCAATACCTTGTCTTGTGCTAAAACTAATAATTTTGGCGCCTGTACTAGTCATAAGGTAAGTCATCTATGAAAGAATATATACATCATGTTATTTAACTTGTTTTTTTTCTATATATATTACTTGCACTTTTTAGTGGACCTGTGGTAGAAACTGCTAAAGATAATGGTTATAGTAAACTTACGAAAAAGAATCAAAAATCCATATCAATAGCTATTATATCGTTTTATTTATATTATTCTTACTCAAAATAAAGTCAAAATCCATTAAAAAAAAAGAGAGAGAGAGAGAGGGAGATAGAAGGTCTAGGAGCGTGATCTCCGTGATTCATTTGATGATGATGATGATGATCCTTATATGGTATCGTGAATCGTAGCTAAGAAAGATATGACAAACTCAGAGGTTTAGTAGAGTAGCAAAGAAACTTTCCGTTGAGCCTTACTTTCAGTTGAAGGAATACGATTTCTATGCTGCAGTCAGAAACTAATAGTATTAAGCTTGTTCATCTTCAGTTGATTATTTATTATTGTGAATTCAGCAATGAACTTTTTTTGTTTTTTTTAAAAAAAAGAATCGAGTTTATTGGAATAAAAAATAGAATAAAAATCTAGACTAAACATATCCTAGTCTATTCCTGCTGCTAGTATCTTTGTCGCATACCCTTTTTTTTCCAGAAGAAATAGTATCTCTTCTGGTCGCTATTGATAATCTTTCCAACTAAGTGTTTGATGGCTGTCACATCGACCAGATCATATCTTGCTGGCTTGTTTTCAGACCGCATGCAGTACATGGAATTGTCATATGAGTAGTATGTTTGGTAAAACCGACATGCGACCTGCGTGCAAAGGTGAACGTAGAAGCGTCTAGGATAGCATTCTTGGAATAAACCACTAGAGAGCCACTATCTTGGATAATTCCATGAATATCAATACACTCCTTGTCATATAATAAAATGTGGTTGATATCCCTATAAAAAAAATAAAAATAGAAATATAAATTGTGACCAATCTCCAGCATCTTTCGTCTTACCGATTGTTTAAAAAGCAAATGATGCCATACAGGAATGAATTCCGTTGACATACAAAAGTAGTTGGAATAAAAATAAAATAAAAAAAAAACTTTATTGAATAGAAAGTATAACCACTAGTGACCACATATTGATAAAATAAAAATATATAAAAAAAAAGTGAATGGAGAAGAAAGAAAGAGTGAAAAAAAAAGTAAAAAGTTACGCGTACCAAATGATTCAAAGAGAACAAAAAATAGGACTTTGAAAATCATTCTGATAGACAGGAATGTTGTTCCTCTGATCAAAAGAATTGATAAACTATGTCGATACGTTTGTCATAGAAATCACATGTACCAACAAAAAGGATGTATTTAATATACTATTAATGATTCATTATGATAAGACATTCTTTATCATTGTTTCATTTTAAGCTCTTTTGCTCAAGGGAATATTTCTATTGGTTAGACTAGGCGCAGGATGATTGATCTTCAAAGTCCTAACTCTTTTTTATCTTTTCGTTAATTATTTTTGTTTCTCTTTCTCTTTTACTTTCCATTGACTTTTTTTTACTGTTTTAATACATTCAGATCATTAGTCTATACGTACTTTTTGTTCAATAAAGTTTTTTTTTTATTCTTTTTACTTTACGCAATGTGTTGACACGAAAGACGATAGTGGTTGAAAGGTGAATCCTCAACCTTTTTTCATTGATCAGGGAAAATTTTGTATATAAGTATGAGCATCCGTAGGTTCTTTTCCTGTAAACTGTGTTATGTAATAATATTTATATATATGTATATATGTGATTGAACGAATGAGTGAAAGGTTGTACCAAAATATTCTGTCTGAGGTAATGGTCGATCTTCTAAATTCTCATTGTTCAAAAAAGTTCATCCTCAAAGTAAATTGTAACACAAATAAATCCAGGTATTTTCATTCATATCATATATTTGGTTAGTTTCGGTCATGCCCTACATTATCATTCATCATCTTGAGCCACACCCATCTTGAAAATAACAGTACACTCTTTTATTTCTTTTCTTTTTCTTTCGCTTTTCCCTCACTTTTTTTTTTCCTTAAACAAATTATTTATTTGCAAAATGAAGTTTTTTTTGATGTTAACTACTGGATTGGCCTTGATGATATCCTCTAGTGTATTTGCTTGTGATGATGCCTGTATGTCTACTGGTGAAAGTTTTGGCAAGTGTAATTATAGGTGTCTCGATGCTTGTTACACTCCTGCTTTTCATCATCGTAATGAATTTTTGGCTGGTCTTCAAGTCAGAGGTTACAACTGCGTATCAACTGGTTATGATACTCTTTCTTGCGACTCCAATGGAATGGGTGGATGTTATGGACACAAGGTAAAAAAAATAAAAATAAAAGATATGATTGATATTTTCAACTCAATTCTTCTTGGCTATTTGTGCTTTTTAGTGGACCTGTGGCAGAAACTGTTAAAAGAATCAAGCCATATTCTACTCATGATCTATTCTATGTACTATTATTATGTATTCTTTCTGTTTTTTTTTTTTTTTTTCTGTTATACGAATAAAAAAAGTTATTTTATTTACGGAATGATATCTATTGTTCTGTTCTATTGATTTTTTTTTTTACTATTGTCGGGATATCTGGACGATGATGTATAGACTGATATGACCTCTTATCTTTCTTTTTTTTTTTTTTTACTTGCATCTATTATGATGATTTTTCAATTCACTCTGTTTGTAATGATAATCGGCTTGTTGATTAACTATAACAAATTTTCCGTCTTTTCCGTCATCCATGTAGATCAAACCTAGAACATGTTTTCTGTTTTTTACATCATCCCAATAAATGGTTGTTTTTAATTTCCTGGTGTGATAATAAACTTTTGCTTCGCCATCTTTGTAACTCCATGCAACTTTGTTAATATGAATGCCCCAGTCCAAAAAAAAAAAAGAAAGAAAATAGAGAAAGAGAAAAATCGAATAAAATATAGTGCAAGTTGTACAACTGAGGCTGTATCTTTTTTTTTGGATTTCGTGCGATGATGTGTTTATGGTGCATGAACAAGCCAAAAAAGAAAAAAAGAGAGATCATACGGGATGAAGTCAACTCCGTGCACTTGATTTAATATAAATACATCATGTTTTCGATCTTCTCGACTTTTTTTTTTGTATTCATCTTAACAACTTAAAGACAAATCCAAATCTCAAGAATGAAGTCCTCTATCTCCTTTGTGTTCATGGTTTTGATGGCCTGTATTGCTATGGTCTCTGCTTGTACCAATGCTTGTGCTGGTGTTTCCGAACGTGATGGCCGCTGTTACTACTCTTGCATTGAAAACAGTTGCAATTTGAGCGGGTAATACATTGATGATAATCATCATAGATAATATATATTATTTTTTTTTTTTTACTCATCATTCTCATCTTTGTCTTTCTTCTCTTTAGTTCTCATCATCAAGGTCAATTCTTGGGTGCTCTTTCTGATAGGGGTTATGATTGCCGTCCCGAAGGTGCTACGTCTTTGTCTTGTACCAAGACCCCTGATTTCGGTGGATGCTTCACTCACAAGTGGACTTGTGGATTTGGATGTTAATTCATTCTTACTTTTATTGAATATTCCTCTTACTTGTAGTTCTATCTATTTAGTATTTTCTCTTGTTTTCTTTTTTTTTTTCTTATATGATGAAATAAATATATCAGTGGATTCTTTTCCTCTATCGCTTTTTTTAAACATTGTATTTAAAATATGCTCCTTTTGGTTTTTGGGGAAACGTTCAAATCGAATCTAATCAGATTAAGTTTCGGCATATGATTAAAAAAAGTCAGAACCTGGGATTTACAGAAAAAAAAAAAAATAAAGACAAGATGGATCATAACTTTTCCCCTGGAATGATGTGATACGATATGGCGCAATCAGCATACTATGGCATAAATGGTTAGTACAGGCAGAAAAAAAAAGAATCATTCTGAAATATAAATTAAAAAACCAAACATGCGTAAGATTGGCTGAAAATTTTCTGGTTTTTTTTTCTTTTTCCTTAAAAAGAAAAGTGCGATAAAAAAGTATCATGATTTGAGAAATATGACAGAAAAGGTAAATCTATGTTAAACGAATTGGCTTTGCCTCATTTTTTATTAATTCTGGGAACCCCTGTGCCTTGTACTTTTGGTGTGATTCAGAAGCGTAACCTTGATCCAGGTTTTATGTTACTATACGCTGATTTGCACCATCACGTTAGATCTTGGTAACGTATCATACTGGGTGACATATGATCATGAATGAATAAATGATAATAGATGAAATGTGATGATGAACGTATGAAGGTATGAATAACGGATAGATTGAAAGATTGAACGATATGTTGCGAGTGGTTATGGGTGATGATTAAAAGAACATGCTGGTTCTTATAAAGGAGCTGATGGTAGTATGCTGCACACCTCTCAGATGATTACCTCTCATTGCTAGTTCATTGATGAATTACTGTATTTTTTTTTTTTTTTTTTTTTTTTTTTTTTTTTTTTTTTTTACAACAAATCTAGAAAATCTACTTTGTAAAACTATAAAAAGAACTAAGAAGACTGAATAGCCCCTTAACTTTTTTTTTCATTAAATAATAATGATGTTGATCAAATCTGTTTCTTTGGCTCTTCTTGTGGTCGCATCTTCTTCTTCTGTTGTCATGGCATGCGATGATGCTTGTATTTCTAGGGGTGCTACGGGTGGTCGTTGCTGGTATACATGTGCTGATCGATGTTCCAGGACTGGTAGTTATCATCGTGATGAATTTTTGGGTGGATTGCAAAGCCGTGGTTATTCGTGCCAACCTGAAGGATGGAATACCTTATCATGTGCTACTACTGATGGATTCGGTGCTTGTACATCTCACAAGGTAATGATTATCAAAGATGAAATATAAGTATCCCTTTCATGACGGTATTCATCTTGTTTTTTTTTTTTTTTTTTTTTTTGTGATCGTTCTCTAGTGGACTTGTGGAGCAGGCTGTTAAATTAGTATTACTATGATAAAATAAGATTTTCTAAATAAATAAAAAAAAATTGTGTTCTACACTTTGTACACTTGCCATTTTTGAAATCAATGCAGAAAAGTATATTTTTGGCTTGTACTTTTGTGATCAACCTTAATTATATGAAACTTTCGATCATAGAACAGCCATAATTGTACTACTCTCCAAAATGAAAATGACTATCCGTCATAAGTAAAAGAACCAGTTGTTTTGCTACTTTACCCTCAATCATCATTAAAAAAAAAAAAAAAATTCCTTTTTCTGTATCATCATGTGACAATATATCCTTCTTTACATCAGATCGAAATAATCATTGTTACTACACCGATTGGAAAAATAAATGTTGTTTTTATTGATAAATATATATATATATATTTGATAAAACACTAACTAGAGAAGGTAAGCATCACTGGATAATTTCATTTCATTCGTCGTTTGAGTTGCTGGCATTACCTGCTGTTGTTTATCATAGAATTTGAATGATTGAATTAGCGAAACACGATTTGCCAAAGTACACATTTCCGATGTTTGTTGCAAGCACATCCAATAGAGGTATAACTACTTTATAACAGAGCAGCACCAAGAATTATCGTGAGATCCAGATTGTTTCTAAGATTCCTAGTAAGATTCCGAATCTTTTCGTTTTTGTACCTGGTACTTCTTTGAGGTGACATGATGTTACCGCAAAATTCTAAAGCGTCCGATTTCTTGTTTGGTTTTGCCACAATCTTGTTCGGTGTTGCATAAGGGTTTTTCGTACTAATATAATAAAATCATTCGGAAGGCTAATGTTGGCTACCTTGTTTTGCTCCAATCTACAACTGTGTTATTCCATTCATGATTGCAAATCCATAACGCTTCCAATCAGGTCTTATACCATTGTTATATCTTTGGCGTTGATTTTGTCGGGTAAGAGTAGGCGATCGGTTACCGTGAGACATATGGTGATCAATAAGCTTCCACATATTCGCTGCTGCATTTTTGTCTCTGTTATGTATCCGATTACAACCGCCGCAATACATGAGCGTGTATACTTCGTTGTTATCTACAGTGAAGTGTTCCATTCTAATGTCGCAATTCCGTAATCCGTTCCAGATGATAATATAATTATTCATATCCAAATCAGCAGTTATGTGTCTTGGATCGTCTTTCAATTGAGAAGTAGCAAATCTTGATGTGGACTTTTCCTTACTTGGTTTCCCATATCTACATCAAAATCAGAGGATAGTAATGATTTTTGATATCGTTTTCATTCTTTCCCATGTTTCGTAGTGTTTGTAACAAGTTGTCCTTTAAGTAAAAATAGTAGAAAACAATAGTAATATATAAGTAAAATAGTAGAACCAACAATAGCAATATAGTAAAAAAAAAAAAAAAAAAAAAAAAAAAAAAAAGGAGTATATATACCTTGATTTTCTGGTAGTTGAACTTATCATTTGTCACCAAATCATCCTGGATGCCATATGCTGTTGCTTTCCTTGCTTGTTTCCCTAAAGCTTGCCTTGTCAACCAACCTGCATATACCCTTAGAGTACCATTCATTCTTTTCCCATATATTTTGAGAGTAGAATCCTATAGTAGTGTTCGAAGTTTCGCATCATATGGATAACAGATAGAATAACACTTTTGGGAAAACATTGGCAATAGATTCAGAAGACAGAATTCCTGTTTGGTGACAAAGGTGATTGGGCTGCGTTATGTGTATACAATCTTCATTCATTTTGCTTGAGAATCCATTGGTAACTTCCTTATTCCTCCTTGACAATCCAAACTTCAGCGACAAGGAATATTGATTTGTGTCGTAATGTTGTCAGAAAAAAGATAAAAAAAAATGATAAAAAAATAATAAAGAAAAGAAAAGAAAGAGAAAAAGCAGTTTTTCTTTTTATCAGAAAGCGGAAAATCAAAAATAACTGAATAATGCGTACTCTGTCCATACACACCATATAACTACTTTCATATGATAGTCAACAAAAAGATCACAAGACGTCCACAAATTGGGAACACGCAGCAGAGAAGAAAATAAAAAAGAAACGCGATCCACAACAAAACAAACACTGTTACTTTCAACACCATACGAAACATGCGTCACCAAAGTCACTTTAATATCTATGACTTTCGTCAAAACACTTCCCTCTTTCGAGAACACGAAGAAACGCGTTTACGTATCAATATTCAGTCAACGAATGACATGTCGCTCATTTTCAACACAAACAACGATGACACTCCATTGACTAATTTACAAGAGTTGGTATTGGAAACATTCGATGAATCCATTATCATAAACTTTGTAGCATCGGAGGAAGACGGACTCACCAGCAACCAACGACGTTTTCTGGGAAAATTAAAGCGAGTACTGCGGAATAATGATGATAGCAATATCCCAAATAACGAAAGGTATATTAGTGACTTGGCCAGCTTTTTATGTGAACAAGCAAATTTGGACGAAGGACTCAATTTGAAGATGGAACCTTGTCTATTACGATTGGCTGTCGGCGAAGAAAGATTTACTGCGAATGTAGATAAAGTTGGACAACGTGGCGAGCAATTGATTTGGCTGCTTCAAGTAGACGCACATCGAAATAGTACCTCCTATAAACATGGTGATCTACAATTGGCTTGTGCGATGATTGCCGCTATTGAACTCAATTACATTCTTTTCGATAGGATTAGACCCAGCAAACTAGTGGGGATGAAATTCATGGCAGGTACCGTCTATTTTTATAGTATGAAAGCGACAGAAGGATACATCAATGAACTACTTGGGGGTTTGCCACAACATGAACAAATCAATATTCATCGATTTCCTCAACATGGATTTTCTCTCGCCGATCCTACTGAACGAAAGGAGATACTGAAATGTTTGTCACTCTTGTACAGAGAAGCTTTATCCATCGATTAAAGAAAAAAAAACATTATATTGACAAATACGTAGTTTAGTACGATTCATCTCTTTCTTTTTTTTTATTTTATTTTAAAAAAACCAAATAAACACAAATACTTATGATTGCAATGACCTATGATGTGAAAGGATAATTTACTAACATCAGCATAAAAGTAATCGAATTTACATGAGAAAAGAAATTTATATGGATGACAAGATTAAAAAAAAAAAAAAAAAAAGACAACAACTAATATGATATATGTTTAAAAAAGACCGAGAGAAAAAGAAAGAATGATTCAAAACAAATAATCCTTTATTATATATACGTAAAAAAAAAAGGCATAAAAAAGAAGGGAAACAGAAGATGCTATATCATATCTTCATAGATCATGCATGGGTTTTCACCTAAGTAATGTAATGAATATCCATGGCGGGCGCGTCGTTCCTCTGCACGCTCCAGGGCTGTTCTTGTTGATACATTCCTTTCCACAGAGTACTTGTTGATCTGGTCGATAATCCGGCGTCTTCGACTGTAAAACTTTCTTTCCTTGCTGTCCTTCCTCCACTGCGATCCCCCAACGTTTTTCTAAATCGTCCACTGCGTAACCACCGGTAAGCCCAACGTACCATTCTCTCCACAAGTCATCCAGTGATTTTATAGCACGATTCATCCGGTAAAGAGGCGGCACCTGATGATTTGTATTTGGCGTTGACGGTGAGGATGATGTTGAGACATGTTGATGAGCGGATGGCACTGGTGTCGAAGTTGCAACGACAGAGGAATTACCATCATTGAAGTTGATATTTAGACTGAGTGTTGCCCTTCCAGTCACCAACTGTGAGATGTAATCGTTTGTTGTAGATGATGTTGATCGATGTGCTTCCATTTGACGTGATAGATCCTCGTGGATCGTTCGTAACCTTTGTTCAATGATTGGTACACAACGTTGCAATAAGAGTGAGCTTGGATCATCTTCTTGAACAGCGATACCTAGAAGTTAGACTGAAAAGGAAAAGATGAGAAGATCAGTTTATACCGACAATGCACTATCAAATCACAAAAAAAAAAAAGTGTATGTCATTGTCTTATTTCATTGACTTACCAATCATTTGGAAAGATAGCATGGTCTTGTGATGATGTTGAAGGATGCTCTCTTTGCTGAACATCCCCAGTCGAATCAAATCCTTGGCAATGGCATAATTGTTGGAAGATTAAACGAGTGTCACCGGAATTGATGGTAACATTGCTACTGGACACAATGTTGTGGATAACTTTTTTTTTTCTTGTTCGAAGCTGAAGATTGAGGTCACTGTTCCCATCATGTCTTGAATTGCCTCTTTGTGAACTATAAGTAAAAGAAAACACAAAAGGTAAAAATCAGAATTATTATGTAAACTCGTCGTTTATTTTTCAATAAATACATTACCTTTCCCTCTGTCTTCAAGCGCACCACGTAATACCCATTCCAATGTGCAATTTATAGAGGAAGCTGTTCAGTAAGGACTGATATTCCGATAATAAAAGATACGCCTGTTGAAAGTTGAGATGCTTGTGTCGTCGTTGGTCTTTTTCCATACCAGAAAATCCTACAAATGTCAATGAACCATAGTGCTTTCTTCGAGAAAAAGATTTGTAAACGTAGAATCAGTCATTCAAGATACTTTCCACAATAGTTGGCTGCGCAAGTCATTAAAAAAGTGCTTGAGATTATGCAGAGATATGCCCAGAAGAAAGAAAAGAAAAAAAATTCCGTAAGCGAAAGAATTCGTAATGTTGTTCGTGAATAAAATCGACTTTTTTATTTTGGTGACTGTTTCCAAAAAAATCATCATGTTGCTGAAATTAAAAATATGAGACAAGGAGATTTCTTCCTTCTTAACAATTAAACTGTTATGTATTTATTTGTTTTTGGGTGGATGATTGTTTTAAGTAGTTGAGGGATATTATTATTAATATAATAATATTGATGATGGTTGAATGTAGTGAGCACCAGTTCTTTTATATAAAAAGAACAAAATATATCTTGATAAAAAAAAAATATAGTAATCCAAATATGGAAGTAGATGTCTTGATGATGATCACTCTTGATGATGATCAAATAAAATAATAATATATAAAGACTTGAATATAACTTGATAATAAAATAATAAATATAAAACTTAAGATGATTATTTCTTAAGAGTGGCCAAGATGATTTGATTATACAATCTTTTATTTTATAAAATTGATTTGATCTTTGACAAAGAGAAAAAATATATAAACTACTAGACGTATTTATACTAAAACTAAAGATTATTTTTAGATAGAAACAATGATAAAATAAAATGGATGAAACTGATAAATGTGATGAAAAAGTAATAACGGATGAAACTGTGTAAGAATAGTGATTCAGATGAGACCAAAAATATAAAAAAGAAAAGAAGGTCTTGGTCAAAAGTGTGAGAAATGGTTAAAGTGTGTGAATTGGACAAATGTCAAGATTTTGACAGATAGCAAGATAATAAAAAAAAAAAAGACTGATTCATAGTCAGCTTCAAAGGTTGATTTCATCCTAACAAAACAAAAATGTTTGTGGATGTTTGTGGGGACCGTACTCTGCCTTTAGTTTAAGTCATTTTATGTTATTGTTCAATATACTACCTTTTTTTATTTGCACGTTGAAAAAAAATCCAGCCACCCGGCAAGCGAAAGGGAAAAAAAAACCAGTACAGCAATCCTTTTTCCAAAAAGAAAATAGTTTCTAAAATTCAAATTAATTTCTTTGAGTATACAATGTACGATGGCTGCATAAGAATGGAATAGTAACAGGCCTTTTTTTTTTCTTTTTTTGGATCATTTTGATCAGCATCTCCTTTCTCATTCATTTGGACATGATTATTATTCCCTTTATTTCTTCTCTTTCTTTTTTATTTTATACATTTCTTTCATTTCTATACTTGAACGATGAATCATAGATAGTCAATCATCCATTGTGGCGTTGTTCAACATGACATGGCTGAGGGGGAGAAGTTAATCAATGTCAAGTTGGACAAAATAGAAAAAAAGAAATGGGGCGGAGCAAACTATATGAGTGATGGCTTGTTTGAAGAAAAATCGACCTAAATGTAATATTTGTCCACAGATATATATTGATGAGATAGATATTTCTATGATTTGTATAATAGGATGATGATGTTCATAGAAAACAATCAAATAATAAAAATAATAAAAAATAGAGAGAATCATCTTTCTTATTATGATATGTATGATTTATTTCCTATTTTTGATTTTAAAAAGAAGAGGGCAAGCCACTTTTTAACTTTTCCATCTAATTTCCCTATTTAGATATGTTGTGTTACCGGATCAGAAAAATAAAATAAAAAACTGTTACGCAATGTGGCTGTGGGATCAACAACTATATAACTCGCATACTTTTTTTTAAAAAAAAATATCTTTCTTTAGTTTTTCTTTCAAGAAAGAACACAATACAAACACATTTATATATACATATAAACTTTTACTTGTAAGTTGGAAAGAAAAAAAGAGAAATCATACCTTCAAATATTTAATCAACTATATTTTTTTGCATTGTAGAATAACGTAAAACATGAGTGAATATCGAGTTGGCAACTGTATCTTGGATCATCGTCCTATGATCTCCACAGCCTTAGTATCATGTTCTGAAGGCACTTATCTCTGTTACTGTAGAGATTATGGATGGTCCGTCATTGTGGTGATTGTTGTTGTGATCTTGGCTCTCATCCTTTTAATGTTACGATGTTATCGACTAAAGAAACAAGCTCAAATGAATGCTGTTCATTATCCTCTACCAAACCAGGCATAAAGCTCCCTATCATCTTAACAGTTTTCTTTTTGTCATTCCCATATAATGTTATTTATCATCATCATCTTTTACTTTTTAGTTATCATATATATATTCCCTATATCTTTTTCTTTTGTAACTTATAAATAAATCTTACTCCACTCTAATCTCATCGCTTTATATTTAATACTTCCAAAAAAAAAAAAAAAAAACTAAATCCTTTTTGGTAAAAAGGCAGATGGATCAGAATAAAAATTTACATGTTTCTTTTTTATTTTATTTTTATTTTATTTTATTCAAAAACATCAAATAATAAAAAATAATAAAAATATATCTAGACTACAAAGTAATTTCTATCCAACTCACTATTTCCAAATACCACTACCAGTAGGTTGTAAGTGAATAGCATGAGCAGGTTTCACGCGTTCTACAAAGGATACACCATGAGATTCCAATTGATCCAACACAGGGAGATACACTTGAGGTTGAATAGGTCTCAACACACCACGATCAGTGATTTGATTATCCAAGACGAGTTCAGTTACCATGGCTGCTGGTAAACCTACTGTTTTTGCCATTGCTGTTTCATGTTCTTGACCATATTGAATCATGGTGGAAGTGATAGTTTCCTACAAAATAATAATAGATTTTGTTTAAATGACTATTCATCCTTTTTTTTTTTTTTTTTACCTTTTGCCCATTGGCAGCTTCGATACCAAATTCATGATGCATGGCCACCATATCTTTTTCTCCAGGTTGATAAGCCAATTGATGAGTCAAGAGAGAAGAGAATAAATCCAAAGCCTTGTCTTGTTGACTAGGGAAGGGAATTCTATCTAATTTTTGTGTCAAAAAGTCCAAAGCTTCATTCACTTTATCCAACATCACATCTCCAGTGTTCAAACCCAATTTTCGTGCGATGGTATCAGGGTTTCCAAGTACTTGATCAAAGTATTGTTTCTAATAAAGGAAATGTAAGTTCGCTTTTTTTCATCCTTTTCAAAAAAAAAAAAAAAAAAAAAAAAAAAAAAAAAAGAAAAACTTACCCAATTGGTACAGGTTAATGATTGTTTCAAATCAAGGAAACCTAGAGTCTTGAGAGCATAGAGCAAATCAGAATAACCTTGGTATCTCAATGTACCTCTAAACATGGTATCCATTTCATTTAAATCGCCCAATCCATAAATATCTGCATAACCCAAAGAGTTACGATTAGCTAATCCTTCAAATACAAAGCCTTGATAAGCCGTTCGGATCGTAGGGAAATGATATTTGAGTAAATCTTCACCAGCAATAGAATGTTTCTAAAAAAAAAAAAATCCATGAGATCATTCAATAATAAGAATAGATAATGTTACCTTTCCATTAGCCCAATACAAAGCATCATTGCCACTAGCTGTCAATACCCCACGAGGAGACCAACTGAATTTATATCCCAAAGGAACATTGGAGGCTTCAGGAGCAGGAAGACCACCACACCATGAAATGAAGGATCGAATCTTTAACAAAAAAAAAAAAAAAAAAAAGGAATATATTAGTACAGGTATAAACGATTTTAATTTCAATAACTCACCTTTTTGCCTTGACGTTTGGCATCATCAATGATCTTCATGGCAGACATATGATCAATCCCAGGATCCAAACCTACTTCATTCATGATCAAAACATCCGATTGTTGAGCTTGTTGATCCAAAGCTTGCATTTCAGGCGACACATAACTGGCTGTCACCATATGTTTTCGTTGTTCCACACATAATTTGGCAACATTCGCATGTAAAAACGCAGGCACAAAACTAAATCAAATCAAATAAAAAAATAAAATAAAGTCAATCATCTTTTTCTTTTCTTTTTTTTTTTTTTTAATCTATTGATTACCTAACAACTACATCTGCTTTAGAAATCATAGTAGATAATTGAGCTTGATTCGAAATATCTAATGTAACGGCTTGAGCATTTGATTTATTGGCCACCAAAGCTTGAGCTTCTTGAATCATATTGCTTGCTATATATATATATATATATATATATATATAAAAGGTGAGTGGATGGATTATTTCTTAAAATGAGATCACAACTTTACCTACAACCATTTCAACATCGGATCGTTTTGTCAAATGATTCACCAAAGGTCCAGCCACCATGCCTGATCCAAGTAAAAGTACCTTCTTTTTATCCTTATGTTGAACTCCTTTCACCGATGCAAGAGGCGATTTCAGGTCTTGATGTGCTGACGTCAATTCACCATCTTGAGCAATAATGGCATCACGAATACTGGATGACCAATTATCGACTGTTTTTCCAGGGTGAATCTAAAAAAAAAAAAAAAAAAAAAAAAAAAAAAAGGAGGATTGAGTTTTATTTAGTTTTATATTATATATATATATTTACCATTTCTTTCAAATAAGGATATAACTTGGAACTAAAGTGTTGACTACTTTCCACAGGTAATTCAGCAGGAAGAATATCAATTCCCATGATTTGAATACCTTTTCCTTCAGGACTACCAATAACAGAAAAAGAAGAAGAAGTGAGTTATGAAATATGTATTAAAAAAAAAGGGTACTTACTCTTTATGTTCCTTGTTATTAATGGCATCATAATAAAAGAATCCATCATCAATGGTTGTAGTATGAGAAAGACATTCAAAGGCACCCTAAAAGAAAATAGAAAAACGTTCAACTCATTCATTTTTTTTTGAGAATTTTTGTTTATACCTTAACATCACACACAATATCAGCCAAAGCCATCATTTTTCCAGGAGGAATGATTCCTTTTTCTTGTTGTAATTGAATAGATTTCAATTGTTCATTGTTGAGAATACGAGGATAACGTTGATCCCAATAACCACCAGTGATCACTCCATTGACATAAGGTGCAATCTAACAAAAAAAAGTGAATACTTAACTCTCCTATAATATAATAGTTTACCTTGTGATGGAATTCAGAGTGATATTGATCAGGATGTTGTAAATAATGTTCAAAACTAGTCAAACTTTTTCCATTTTTTTCTGAAAGATAATCTTTGGGATGTAAATGAGTAGCATACACCTTGTTCAATCTAGGATCTAATAAATAAAGAAATAAATATATAATAGAATCAGATTTCATTTTTTTTTTCAACTTACTCTTATCATTAACGACTTTGCTTAAATCTTCAGCAGGAATAAATTCATGAGGTAATTCTTTGAATACATCCATAGCACCCTATATAGATAGATAGATGAATCAGTAAAGAAAACTGATTTAAATATTTATCCATCTTTTTTTTTTTATATATTTACATGAGCAACATTGCCATCACCAGTAAATGCATAAATCAAAGGTCCGAATTTCTCAGGAGTACCTTGATCTTCAATTTGAGATCCCACTTGACCCAAAGCCAAACGAGCTGAAGCCAAAGATGAATAACCATGAGCCATATTCAAATACTATATGAAAAAGTTGAGTTTTATGTCAAATATAATTTCAAATCATCTTACCATGAAAGGAGTAGAATAACCCAAACCAAGGAAACGATGACCCATTCCATGTAACATATCAATCATCCCTGCCTTTCCAGCAAATTCACCAAAAGCCACTAATCGTTTTCCATGTTCATCCTTCATCAATTCATAATCCATCAATCGAATATTCTAAATAATAATAATAATAAGGTTATTGATAAGATAAGGTAAAAAAAAAAAAAAAAAAGTATGCTGTATTTTTTTCCCACGATGGATTGGGTTCTTTTTTTTTATCCCGCTTATTTCTATTTTATTTACCTTGTCAAGAATAGATTGTAACATGGGCATATTTCCAAGATTGCCTTTATGAGTATGAGAAAAGAAAACATATGTTTTATCATTCAATAAAGAACTAGAAGGGACTTCTTTAATGCCTAAAATGATATCTGCCTTGGAAAGATCTTCGGTCACAATAGCTCCTGCCTAATTTCAAAAAAAAAAAAAAAGAATTATATATACTTTTAATCTTTCCATTTTTTTTTTTTTTACCTTTTTATAATCAGCATCAGAATAAATACGTTTAGTACTAGGTTGAACATAAACATTGGTACCAGTTTCATGAATAAGTTGTTGAACAGCAGCAGGAGTCAAAGCAGTTCGACGTTCCCAACGACTTTTATCTTCTCTACGTAATCCAAGAGATCGATATCCTGTTGCTTGACTACTATTGGATCGTCGATATACATAATGTTGATGTCTTGTTGATGAAGTATAATATCGTTGACGAATGGAAGTCAAACGTGAAGAAAACATTATCTATAAAACTAAAAGAAAAAAAAAAAGCAAAAAAAAAAAAAAAAAAGAAGAAAAGAAAAGAAAAAGAAAAATATGTGGGGTAGGTTCATAATTAATGAATCAAATAAGCAGGTTCTATTTTTTGTTTTTTCTCACGATCATGCGTTGAATCTCTTATCCCAGGAGAATCGTCCTATCTATATAAAAAAAGAGTGAGAAAGTGAGAGAACCCGTGGAAAAATTGGTGTATGCTATTTTTTTCATTCCCAGCATCACTTTCACACGTATAATAAAGTTTCGGATTTCCCAAAATGGATATCGATTACTTTTTTTTTTTTGTTGCTTGACTCATTCCACTTTTTTGAGTTTTTTTGCTGCTGAGGATGATACTAAGTACAAAAAGATAAAAAAAAAAAAGAAGCGATGATATATAAATATATTCATTTGTTTATTTTTTTAAAGAAAAAAGGATAATATAATCTAATCTACATTCATAACTTCTTGATGACTACCCCTGTAGTGAGCACCAAAATATAGTCCCTCCCATGTCCTTTATGATTTTTTTTGTATACTTGTTACGCATCTCAATATACCAAAAAAATCATAAAATTGGAATTCTATTGATACAGTAACCAATAGACAAAGATCCTTATGATTCACCCTGTATCTTGATGACAATGTTTCTGAATCCATCAGCGCATCCCTTTTAATCGTATACTTCACCTTGGACCAAAACTGTTCGATTGGATTCAATTCAGGCGAGTTTGGCGGAAGATATATATACAACGGTAACCACGTTTGTTGCCTCTATCTCCTTAGATTGGTGTATTGGCGCATTATCCATGATCAAATAGTAACCTTTGGATTCTGGGAGTCGATCCATAGTGTCCATCGTATCACATGAGTTAAAGCCACAAGAAATGCATAAGCTTCAGATGGGAAACATCGGCCTTCTTTAGCAAAAAAAGTGGAAGAGAAACACGTAAGGTAAATCTAAATGTTTTGTTCCGCTGTCTGAATGAAAGGCGTCACCTGCAATATCAGTCCATACTTCGTCAGTGAAGTCCATCTTGCCATCTTGCATTCATTCTTCCCTTTCGGCTGCAGATATAGCACCTAAGATAGTGTGTAATGTTGCCCTAGTGGATTTCTATAAAAACTATTGATTTAATCAAACGATCAAAACATGGAAAGAATACTGTTATTCTTACCTTGAGAATGCAAACTTCCCAATCCTTGTATATTCCCATTGATTTCCCTGGTATTGAGATTGTTCTTTCCAGCAAAATGACACGAATGAATTCATTGTATATGTATGTGTGCTTAAAATAACAAATAGTTGTTTGATGTAGATAATTGATTAGGCCATGTATAGGATTGGTATTCTTACAGTGAATTGTCTTGAATAGAGTCCTCTCGTCAAAGGTTTCTCTTGACCAAAGATAACAGATAATTCGTTATTACTTTGAAATAAATAACGTACTTATATTCTAAAACTAAAAGAAGACATAGCTATCCAAGTTGACTTGAAAAGTAGAAAAAAAGAAGGGAAAGATAATCAAAAAAAAAAAAATCAAATGGAATAAAATTCCAGCCAATAAAAATCTTGAATTTTTTTTTTGACTCATCAACTCCATTTTTCCCTTTTTCTTTAATTCCTTTTTCCCCGCTTTCCCCCCACCTTTTTTCTGCTGTCAATTGTACATATATACCTTCCTCTTTTTTTTTTTTTTTCTTCTCTTTTCATATTATAGAAACATGACTACTTACCCACTTGTTGAAATTAAACCTGCCGCCGTACAAGATGTACCACTTATTCTCAACTTTATTCGTCAATTAGCCCAATATGAAAAGTTAGCACATGAAGTAGTAGCTACTGAAGCACTTTTGGAACAACACTTATTTGGACCACAACCCAAAGCTGAAGTGATCCTTGCCTATTGTCAAAGGACTCAAGACGATGATAAAGTACCTGTTGGTTTTGCTCTCTTCTTCCATAACTTTAGTACATTCTTGGGTCGTCCAGGACTCTATTTGGAAGATCTATTTGTGAATCCTGATTACCGTGGTCTTGGTCTAGGCAAGAAACTATTGATTCAACTAGCTGTTATTGCAAAGGAACGAGACTGTGGAAGATATGAATGGGTAGTGTTGGATTGGAATACTCCATCACGCAAGTTTTATGAAAGTTTAGGTGCTGAAACTCATGCAGAATGGATCATTCATCGTGTTGAAGGTCAGTCTTTAGATAATCTCGCCTCCATGTAATTTGATAATTTTAATTATTATAGTGTAGAATTATTATATTTATTATTGTATAGAAATAAATAAAAAAAAATAACCATTTTATATTAGTTGCCTTGAATCTCTCGTTTTTCACTGTTCCAATAATCATCATTACGAATGATTTCTTCATCTTCTCCAACAATGACTTCTTGACCATCCACCACACGTACAGGACCTTTGAACCATTTACGACCCCAAATCAAAAAGTAACCAGTGGAAAGGATCATTATAAATGCAAAAGGTACGATAGCATAGTTCATGTTATCAGGAGTGACAGGCCATACTGTTGGACAGATAAACAATGCACAAGTGAATAAAATCCATGCACATGAAATAGTACCTATTAATGTACTAAACATGCCCAAATGCCAAGGTCCTTTTTATACATTAAAAAAAAAGAAAAAGATAAGTAAAAAAGAAAAAAATCATGTCTTTTTTTTTTTTTTTTTTTTTTGGTACCTGGAATAAATGTTTTTCTAGAAACGGTAATCCGTAATAAAATAGGTACAAAATAAGACATTTGGGAACCAATGGTATTAACAGAGACAATGGCAGAATATGCAGTACTATTAATCATGTACAAGACACCGACGATACCAGCCACCACGACATTGAACCATACAGCATAAACAGGTGATTTAGTGTTCGGATTAAGTGAATGTAAATAGGATGAGAATGGCATGGCTCCATCACGAGCAAATGCATAGACCATACGAGATGATCCCAAGGTCAATGCGGAACCAGAAAAAAAGATACTGATCATGACAAATACTAAAAACACCATGGTCCATGCTTGACCAACACCATCCAAAAATACTTGAACTATTTGAGGAGAGATGGCACTATCCGATGTGATTTGTTGATCAAAGTTTTTTACCATAAAACTAACAGCAATCAGAAAAACAAGACCAGAAATCGCATTCGAGATCACTGCATTCAAGATACCATAAGGTGAACCTTTTTGTGAGTTTTTGGTTTCTTCACTCATATGTGCTGCACTATCGTAACCTGAAAGTGTATATTGAGATTGTAAGATCACAAGTAAAAAGGCATACCCATTGTTTGAAAATCCAGAACCATTATAGAATTGAGTAAACTATAAGTATGATTGGAAAAAGAAAAAAAAGAAATCAATAAAAAAAAAAAAAGGAAAATGACCAAAAAAAAAAAAAAGATGACTTACCACAAATTCACCACTGGCCAAAGGATAAGTGACAGCAAGTCCAGCAATCACAATGATCAAAAGACCAAGCATATTAGCAAAGACTATCAATCATTATTTTTTTTTTTAAAAAAAAAAAGAAAGAGTCAATCAATCATTTGTACAACATGAGTGTTTTACTTACAAGCTCCTTGATTCATAACACCAGTCCAACTGACGGCAACAGAGTTGATGATACCATGAATCAAAAGAATACCAACATAAAGTCCATATTGCATGTAGACAGAAGTATTGACATCAGGACGCCACACGTTGATGATACTTGCAATGAATTGAGCAAGACCAAGATCAATAGAGGTAATACCAAAACATAATCCAATCCAATTATACCATCCAGTGACCCAACAAGCTAAAGGGACATAATCAGAAGTTGCCAATCGTGATACCCAGAAATAAAGTCCTCCAGTGGTGGGATAAGCAGAACAAATTTCCGCTAAAGAACAAGCAACCAATGTTGTCATGACACCAGTAATCACCCAACCCCAAATAACACCCATGGATCCTGCATTATTCATAGAATCACCCCAGAGCTTCCCAAAAAAAAAAAAAAATGAAATGAGGATCAAAAAAAAAAAAAAAAAAAGGTTTCTTGTTGTTACACTTACAGGTGTCAAACCAGAAAGGACAGAACAACATGAAAAAGCAATAGCAAAATTAGAAAATCCAGAGATAGAACGGCTCAAGTCCTAAAAAAAAAAAAAAAAAAAAAAAAAAAAAAAAAGTGAGTATGAATTATTTTTATATCAAAGATATATATTTACCTGCTTGTAACCTAGTTTATGAAGAAGTTCTTCATCTGCATTCATTGGTGGCTGACCTGCATGTTCGATTTGATTATCGCTTTCTTTCTCCGACGACGATGATGATGGCATGATATTTTTAATTCAAGTAGGTAAATAAGAACAACAAGAATAGATCCTACGACGGATAAAATCTAAGAATAGATGGACGGTAATTTTCGTATATAAAAAAAAATAATAATAATAATAAAAATAGAAAAAGTAAAAAAAAAAAAAAAAAAAAAAAAAAGAAAGAGAGAGAAAAAAAAAGAACAACTCAAAAGACAAATAAAGATGATATTTATATATTATTTATTTTTTTAAGAGAAAAAAAAAAAACTTGATATCTTATCTCTCACGATGAATATCAATGAAAGTTTTGGTTCAATGGGATACGACTCGTGCCACCCAAAAGATACACATTTTTTTTTCCTTTTTCTTTGGCGTTTCCTTTTCTATCTGATTATTTGTCATCTTGCAAGATATGATTGGCTGATCTTGCATTTTCAGATTCCTATTTCCGTTTTTAGAGTGAGTATCGACAAAAACAAAAAGGTAGTCAGATGATCAAAAACTTTCTTTTCCACCTATCTCAAGATAAAAAAAAAAAAACGATACTCTTTTTTTTTTTTATTTCCCCACACTATTTTGTCTATATAGTCATTTTTTTTTTCATTTATAAGATTTCATTCCCTCTTCCATTTAGAGTAATAGAAAAAAAAAAAAAAGAGTATCATTTTTTTTTATTTTTTTTTGATATATATATATATATATGGGTGTACTTTACCAAGTGGTCCTGTTTCTTATTTTTGACTTTTTTTTGATCAAAAAAAAAAAAAAAAGGATGTTGTACATGTAATAGGAAAACACTCTTTCACAAAGACTTTTCTAACCAATCATCCATTTTCTCTCTTATTCTTGTCTCACTAGACATCTTTCAAATTTTTTCTTTTTTTCTGTGGCTGTTCATTAGAGCTTAGAGAGTTGATTAATTATTGATTCTTGATTAATTGATTGATTAATTGATTGATGGAAAATAGGATGATGATGAATGATAGATGTAATGATATATTACACTTTATATACGATACTTCTACATGAATGTTTTTTTTAAACAATACTTAAAAGTGAATGGATTCTTAATATCTTAACATTGAGAAGAAAAAAAAAAAAAGGTATTTTTAGTCAATCAATAGAATCGGTTCATGCCCTGAAATGTTCAACTCCGGGATGATACGATTGATTCGATCATTCTCTCGTGTAACACTCATCCACATTTTCTCTCTCTTTTTTATGTCAAAAGATATTTATGTAGATGGGAGAGGTAGGACAACATTATCGATCAACGTCAAAACAAATTAGAGCAATCATTATCAATCAATCAATGTATCAATGATTTTAATAGAAATCGGATGTACGAATTATAGTGTTTTATGTGGGAACTAACAAATAGAAAAATAAACAAAACATGATCTGATGACTAGACTAATGTAAGGGATGAAACCATTTCAATTTACATATATAAAATTAAAAAAAAAAATTTCTTTGTCTTTTTTTCCTTAATAAAGCAGAAAGGAATCTTATTGATTCTTTCCTTGTCCTAGACATAGTACATATCAAGGGAAATGTCGAACAAAAACATTGATGATTGAAAAGGAAAAACCGACCCAAAAAAACGACAATGTCGATCCCAACTCTCAGTTCTGGATAAGTATGATAGCGTCAATAAATTCGACCGTTCAATAAAGAATCATCTCGATTATCGAAGTGCCCTCTAATACACTTTTTACACACGGAAAGACGACAATATCAGGCCTCGTCAAAGTTTATGTAGAAGCAAAAGGGAACAAGCAAAAGTGATCTTTCAATATGTACAAACCATCTCCAAGCGTCATCGGATTACAAAAGCAATGTGAAAATATTATTGGGAACATCGATCACGTATTGGAGGGATATCCACGAAGACAACAACAGCGTTGGTAGGTTGGTGAAATCTCAAATGTTACCTACCCAAGGTTCTGGGCTCTGCAAACAATTCATCATTGGTAAGTGCAACACATGTCACACTATGCTTGCAAAACAAATACATATGTGACTGAAATCAATTCATCTTCCTCCTTTACCGTTTAATAGAAAATCTAGAAATTTATCTTTGGTCTTCGTTGATGTTAGTACCATGTCTGCTGTGTAATATAGCGAAATTCGCCAGTTCTCAACAGTGGAGTTTTATGCCAAGGCAGGCTATAAGAAGACAAACAGATGGATACCTGTTTGAATTGTATTCTAAAGACAAATGAGGACTGAAAGTCTTAAATTACATCGGCAAGCAAAAAGTCGAACAAGAATATGTCAACATATTTGTGAATGGGGGAAAAAAAGTATGCTTTTAGTCTTAGTATGCGATCTTTAGTAGTTATACTTTTTATTCAATAAAGTTTTATTTTTTTTTTTTATATTCCAGCTACCTTTTACAATGATCCTTTTTACCCTTATAGTACATTCATGATGTACTTTTTAAGCATAATATTTTATAGCAGTAATAATCGGACAGCAGGAATATGAGAGAAACACCCTTCTTCATAAAGGATTATTAACATCATTATTACCACAAGAGAAATTACGAGTCTGTGCCATAGATTCATGATCTTCGTATTGAATTTTTTTATTTTAGCTTTTTTCGACACACAAATGCTTTCAATCTCAGTCATCTCATTATTGAATGTTAACTTTTTTTCCCTCACTTTTCTACTCTTTTTATCTTCTTTTTTTTTTTTCTATCAACATGGATATTCTTGATTCAGTAGAAGCAACGCCTTCATCACCGTTTATATCTTCCACAGCTACATCTTTAGAACTTCCAAATTCACCCATTCCACCTATAGAACCTGAGTCTTTGGGTTCTTCTCCACGACAATCATCCACTCATTCAAGTAGTGCACGACCAACAACTTTATCTTCTTCCACGGCACATTTTCCTCTGGGACAAATACTTACCAGAAATACCTCTTTCTATGATATACCCATAGTAAGTTATATATATATATTCATATCTTTATTGAGTTGATTCTTTCTCAACTCACCACTGTTATTTTTTTCTTTTTTTTTTGGATGCCAAGTAGACAGATGCGTTTACCGAATTACTTGAAAGGTATATACCTCCTGATCAACGACCTGAACGGCAACAACAACAACAACCTCTTATCCATCTAGACGATAAACCTGAAGGCTTGATGACTATGGTGGTAAGTAGCGGAACAAAACTTGATATATAATGTATGATATGAACAAATGGAATCTTAAATAGATGAATAATCATTGGCGAGCAGTAGCAAGATATGCACGACAAAAACTAGTTGAGACATCACCTCAAGATGCTGATACGATTCTTCAAGTAAATAATATTACAAAATTTCCAACAGAATTTATTTACTGACATTTTTTTTTTTTTTAGTTATGGTATGTTCGGTTATTAGCATTATATCAATTACAATTATATCAACTAGCATCGGCTGAATTCGAGAAACTGACGGATTTGCTTCAACAACCAAAAGACGATAAGGTACCTTTTGATATGCGTGTGCTATGGGCCATTTTACCATTTAAACTTCAACATCCTTTGATCACTCTGGAACGCTTATCCACCCTGGCCATTCAATGTCAGCATCAACAATCACCACAACGAGAATATCAAGTCTATCTTATTCTTGCAACAAAGTTGATTCAAATGCAGGATTATCATGCTGCTGCTAATACTTTGAAGGCTGTCTTACGAAAGGTCATGTCCATGGATCCTCTTTCTTCTAGTCGATTGGATCTCTTTTCTAGTCTTGGTCGACTTTATTTACAGGTAAACATTTTTTTTTTTTTTGGTAGTTAAGGTATAGGTGGTTGATCTCTCTCTCCTTTTTTTTTATTTTATTGTAGTTGGGTGATCTTATTACAGCCGAACAAATGTATAAAGAATTGGAACGGATAGAACAACCTAGTAGTTTATTACAAGAAACAATCAAAACAAACAAGTAAGAACGTCCTTTTAATAATACCTCCACTTATTCTCCTGTTTTTATGATATAGAGCATTTTTACATATGGCAAAAGGAGAATGGACTCTTGCAGAGCAAATATTAGATCAAGTGGTACAACAAAATAATGAAAACCTTACGGTAAAGTTAAGAGAAACAAACGATTTGGTATTTTTACTTATATATATACATATTTAGGCGATGAATAATCTGGCGGTGTGTTTGGTGTATACTGGGAAATTATCCAAAGCCATGGCTCTATTGGACGGCATGATTAAACAACATCCAGTATCTGCTGGTACAAGTCCTATTACTTTGATGAATCTATGTACTCTCTATGAACTCCGGTTTGATGGTGCTGGTTTGATTGGGAAAAAAGTGCAACTCACTAAAGACATTTCTCGATGGGTAGGTGATTCCTTCCAACCTCAATGTGTCAAATTACCTTGATTTTATAGTGGACAGTTTATTATTATTATATACATCAAAATAGAAATCAATAAATATATATATATAAAAACTAGGTGGGTTGAAATGTGCTTCCAGTATAGATACCAGCCTCTTGTTCCATTCTTTTCTTGACATGATTCCAGAAGCTTTCAAATACCGCACGATCATCGCCTTTTAACCAACTGAGACGTAGTTGACATTGTGTGTCGCCATGAGCCAGTAATGAACATTCCATCATGAGAGACAGACTAGGCAGATTTGAAGGAGTAGATGTGTTTTCTTGTTGTTGTTCGTGTTTTTGTCGTTTCCGTAATCGTCTTGCTGCACGAGACCAAGTATTTGTTGGAGGAGAGATGCGAAGGGTATTATCCGATGTAGATGATGGAATAGGAATATCCAAATCGGTCAAGATGGCTAGGAGACATTCTTTTGTTCTTGATAATGAGAGAGATAAATTCACGGTAAATTGTGATTTTGGACGATAAGATTCTAAACTTTTTGATTTCACCTACAAAAAAAAAAAAAAAAAAAAAAAAAGATGAATAAATGGATTTCGATTTGTATCTAACATTCACAAATTAAACTTACTATACGAGTGGAAGAAAACGACCAAGCTATTCCCCATCGTTTTGTTCTTCCTTGACAAAATTCCGTGACAACATAATTGGTGATCTACCCATCAAAAAAATGATATAAACCCAAAGAGAAAAGAGTATATGATAACACTACTTACTCCTTGTTGTTTCAATAATTGAGTGATAGGTCGAATAGTTCGTTTTAATCCCATCATGCTTGTATACCATTGGATTCGATATTTATATCGTTTACTTTCTAGAATCATACGTTTGATAAACCCATATTCCCCATCTTCAGTAATCATTTCAGATGTGGTGCCAGTACATATCTAAAAAAAAAAAAGATATAATCTATAAATAAAAAAAAAAAAGTGATTCGTTTTTTTTTTTTTTCTCATAACACACTTACAGCAGAAGGTTCTAATTCTTTATTTTCCAATCCTTGTTGTAATTCTTCCTGAGATGCATAAAATGGCGGGTTACACATACAAAAATCATAGCTGTCAATGCTAGGATCCAATAAAAAGATCTTGTTCTCATCCTTATTCAATACCAAAGAAATCCTATCTTGTAATCCATTCCTATCAACGTTTTTCTTTGCATAATCAAATGATTCTGCATCCAATTCTGGCACATATATATATATATATATATAAAAATGATATTAGATCATATAAATATCGGTTTTTTTTTTATTTCTTTTTTTACCAGTGCCTAAAAATCGCCAATGAGGGTGCATTTGACAACCTAAAAGAGGATAAATACAAGATGCACCTACTCCACTAAAATTATATATGGTCAGTATCAAAAAAAAAAAAAGTACATTTGCTTCCTTACATATCTATGCCCATCACATTTTTCTTATTATCAGATATCGATGATTCTTCAAGTAGATCTTCAATCCATAAGAGATAGTTTAGTCGATTGGGAATAGGAGGACAAAGTCGATTTAAAGGAAAATGTACATCCAAGTCAAAATCATGTTTTAATAAACAGCAAGTCAATTCACTAATGAATAATAATGTTAATTATGGGTTCGTTAGTGATCATGTTGAAGGAACTTACCGTACAGCTTCAGGATTTTTAAAGTCAATATAAGGTCGTGTTCCACCCAATACACTATTATAAAAAAAAAAGAAGTAATAGGTTAGTCTACGCTAAAAAGTCGGGTGATCACTTTACAATGGTCGAAAAGATTCATACTGTTGAGCCAAAGCTGTAAAGTCTGGTGGATTATCTTTGTAAATGTTTCTAGGATGCATCTCACCAACAGAATCCTCCTGTTGTTCATCTTGATCAAACCGTTGTCTTTTCCCCATGAGTTTATGAAAAAAAAAAGAAAGTTTACAAAGGAAAGAAAAAAAAAATGAATGAAGGGTGAAAAAGGAACAAAGCGTGTTTTTGAAGTCAGCACTTGGGTGAAAATTGGTGAGAGAGAGAGGGAACCTTTTCTTTTTTTTTTTTTTTTTGATCATTTAGAAAGCAATGATCCGGTTTGAACATGAAGTGGATCAGATACGAAAAGATCACAAAAAGATGTAAGACTAAGAATAAACAATATTTTAACAGTGTTAATATAATATATACCTTTTACATATCGTAGTTACAACCGTTTGAAATCTATACAAGAAGATGCCTTGTTTGTAGACAAAGTAGCCCATTTATACCCTCATTTGGCTCTCGTTGGTAAATGGAAAAAAATAAAAAATATATATATTAACTCATATAACTGTTTTTTTTTCGAATAAGCTAATGAACGATGTGGTTCTTGGTACATTAATCCAACCAAGGTAAAAATATATAATATGTATACTAATGACTGACAGAAACTTCTTTTTTTTTTTTTTTTGTAGCACAAGGTCCATTCAGTCTACTTCAAATCTACAGATGGACATATGGGTGAATGGGATTTCAATGTACGACGAGGCAATTTCCATATTATTGATATCATTGCTGCTCATCAAGGGTAAAAAAAAATGTTTTTAGATCAAATATAAATAGATCACTAAAGTTTTTTTTTTTTGTTATAGATGTATCATAGTGGATTCAACAAGAAGAGGAAAAAGAATACCGGATGCATTATCAAAAACAATTCCTATATGGTGTTGTGTCATCAATCGTGCTATTCAACGTTATTATCAACAGGAACAACAACAACCTTTATCAAAATGGGATGATCGATTTCATTCTTTACCAACTGCTGTGTTTCGTTCAGAACATGCTCAAATTGAAGCCAGATTGGATGGTTTTGTACAGAAATTATGGGCAAGTACCAAAGAAAAAAAAAAAAGAGAAATGGGTACAAAAGAATAACTAATATTAATATATATATATTATAGGATTTAGGTGTGGATGTGGAACGTCTAGCCAAATTACTCAAGAAACCTTTACGACCTATTTGGTTAACACCTCAGTCTTCTCTTTCTGAAGCCATGGATTATACGGATTGTGAATTTTATCCAGTGATCTGTGTCAGTGCATCTCAATTCATTCAAGATGGAGGTTGTCAAGCTCGACCGGATGGTTATCTTTATGTCCAAGGATCAGCGGATGATCAAGAAGCCTGGAGTATGGTAAAAAAAAAAAAAAAAAAAAAAAAAAAAAAATGAACTCATAAAAAAAATGAACTCACATGGATTTATTTAGGGATTAACATGTTCATTATTCTGGACTCATGATCAAGAGATCCTACGACATCCAAGTACATGTGAAACGACGGTGGAGGAAATAGTGGAACAAGCACGACAAGAACGACATCAACAACTTCAAGCCAATGGACAAGATCTGACTTTGTTACGACTTGAAAATGATATCAAAAACACCATGTTGACCATTGGTAATCGATATACTGGTTTGACATCATCCTTTGACGCTGTGATTCAATGTTGTTGCCTCACTACGAACAAGAAGAAGAAAACCTGGCTTGATTTGGCCATTCCTGAAGGCAAGAAAGGTCAACATGTTTTGGAAAAGGCGATTCCTTTGGCCATCACCTTTGCACGACCATTCTTGGCCAATCATCAGCGTATCTTGGTGTTTAGTGTCGATGGGAAGAATCGTGCTGTTGGTATTGCTCTGGCTCTCTTGGTTCATTACTATGATGAAAATGGTAAGTAAATAAATAATAAACATGTATACCAATATTGATGATTTGGACATAGGCAACCTTGAACTTGATGGTGTGAAACATGGTAAGATGCACATAAAAAAAAAAATTCGAAGTTGATCTAACCATCTATATTGACGAAAATCCTTTTTTTTTTTTTTTTTTTTTTTTTTTTTTTTTTGGTTTTCTTAGTGACCAAGGATTCTATTCGGCAAAAATTGATTCAATTGATTGCAAGTCATCCACAGGTAAAAAAAAAAAAAAAAAAGGTCAATGAATCACTCTTACACATTTGAAATATTGATAGGCTGCTCCATCAAGGGTCACATTACGAAGAGTCAATACACATTTTTTATCCGTAATAGATTGATAGTCATATAGATTTATTGATGGTAATAATAAAGCGATACTTTGGCAAAGACAAAACAAAAACAAATGATTTGAAGAGACTACTTTTTTTTTTTTTTTGTTTTTCTTTACTAATATATTTGTGTATATGGGATGGGCGACAGATTGATTTTTTTTTTGGAGAGGTGATTTTGTAAATATTTTTTTTTGTGCTTTCAACAAGGATTATTAAATATATCATAGCCCAAAAGTAAAAAAAGAATGATTTAAAATAATAATAAACATAAAAGGGGTGATCACTATATATGAAGTCATAGGGGGGTAAGGGGGGAGAAGAGATTTAAAGTAAGGGGGGGATCTATTCTTCCATAGGTTCTTCATCCAAAGGATCAGCTTCATCAAGGTATTCTTCATCAGCATATTCATCATCGGCAGTAGCTTCTTGATATTGTTGATATTCAGATACAAGATCTTGCATATTACTTTCACTTTCAGTGAATTCCATTTCTATCAAAAAAAAAAAAAAAGATGAATTCATTTTTTTTTTCATGACTCATTCTCCATAACTTACCATCCATGCCTTCAGAAGTGAACCAATGTAAGAAAGCCTTACGTCTGAACATGGCAGTGAATTGTTCATTAACACGCTTGAATAAATCTTGAATAGCAGTAGTATTTCCGATAAAAGTACCACTCATCTTCAAACCAACAGGAGGGATATCACAAAGAGAGCACTTGACACTGTTAGGAATCCATTCAACAAAGTAAGAAGAATTCTTTTGTTGGACAGCCAACATTTGGTTTTCGACTTCTTTGGTGGAAAGACGACCACGGAAAATGGTAGCGGCAGTAAGGTAACGACCATGACGAGGATCAGAAGCAGCCATCATATTACGAGCATCAAACATTTGAGCAGTCAATTCAGGTACACTCAAATTACGATATTGTTGAGAACCAAAAGCAGTCAAAGGAGCAACACCGACCATGAAAAAGTGAAGACGAGGGAAAGGAACCATGTTGACACATAATTTACGAAGATCAGAATTCAATTGACCAGGGAAACGTAATGAAGTAGATACACCAGACATGACAGCAGATACCAATTGATTCAAATCACCATAACCAGGATTCGTCAATTTCAAAGTTCTGAAACAAATATCATAAAGAGCTTCATTATCAATACAAAAAGTGGCATCACAATTTTCAACCAATTGATGAACAGATAAAACTGCATTGTAAGGTTCTACCACAGTATCAGATACTTTTGGAGAAGGAACAACGGAATAAGTGGATAAAATACGATCAGGATATTCTTCACGAATCTTGGATAATAACAAGGAACCAAGACCAGAACCAGTACCACCACCAAGAGAATGAGCCAATTGAAAACCTTGTAAACAATCAGTGTTTTCAGCTTCCTTGCGAATAACATCCATAATAGATTCTACCAATTCAGCACCTTCAGTATAATATCCCTATAATAAAAAGGAGAGTTAATGATGGTTATTTATAAATATGATGATGATTTTTTTTTCTTTTTTTTTTTACTTTGGCCCAGGAGTTACCAGCACCAGATTGAGCATTGATGAAATTATCAGGACGGAAAATCCTACCATAAGGACTTGAACGAATAGAATCCATAGTAGCAGGTTCAAGATCAACAAGGACAGCTCTATAAAGTAATAATAGTAATAACAAATAAATAATTTAAATATCTCTTTCTCTATTCATTTTTTTTTATTTATTTATTTTACCTTGGGACATATTTGCCTTGGTAACCTTCATTATAGAATACATTGATACGTTCAAGTTGAAGATCATCTTGACCATTGTAAATACCATCAGAATCAAGACCATGTTCTTGAGAAATGGTTTCCCAGAATTTTTGACCAATCTATATATAAAAAAAAAGTGGGATGAGTTTTAGGGTAATTGCACGTGTTATCTCCCTTAAGAAAAAAAAAAAACTTTTTTTTTTAAAAAAAAAACAAGAAGTGTACATACTTGGTTACCACATTGACCTATTTATAAAAAGAAGATTAGTAAAATTATCATCCTTTTCATTATATAAAAAACTTACCAGCTTGTACGTGAATAATTTCTCTCATGTTGTTATTATTATAAAGGTTATTAAGTGTTCTATATTAAAATAAAAAAAAATATAAGTTTATCATCATCCATATTTTTTTATTTGTCTTTTTTTTTTTTATTATTTTACTTGTATTAATAAAGGAAGGAATAAAATAGTAAGAAGAGGAAAACGTGTCAAAAAAAGAAAAGGGAAAAAAAAAAAAGAAAGAGAAAGAAGAAAAAAAAAAAATGAAAAAAAGAGAGAAGGAAAAAAAAAAAAGACAAAAGGGACAGAGAAATTATTTTTTTTTCTCTTTTGCCCCCCTCAAAATTTCACCATGATGCACGCTTTCAAATCCCGAAGCGCGACCTTTTTTTTTTTGGTTCAATCGCGTTATTGTCTTTTTTTTACTGCATCCCCAAATAAGGCTTACTCCTTGTGTACTTTCCGGAATTCACTTGTTGCACATCTTGAAATCAAATATCCCACGTGAACAAAACAGATATACACATGTCGGGATTGTTTTGATCAGCTCCATCCATTTTGACTTTGTAGAGAGGAAGTTGTATGGTCGAACGATAAGATCCTACCAAAAATAATATATATATTCCCCGTAGTCAACCAATCACATCAAAGGTACACTAAAAAAAAAAAAGGTAAAAGATTTCCGCATACACAGATATAAAATAAAGTATACTAGACAAAAAATCGAAAAGATCTGTTAAAAATGTTTAATATTGAGATATGTAAATGTTTATTTCAAGGGATAAAAAAGAAACTGTTTAAGCAAATCACAAATAATAACTACACCAGAAAGGAGAGGAAGGAAAGAGAAAGCATATATATATAAAAGATGAAATCAATGGCGTTTCAAGGGAGTGAAGAAGACTAAGGGTGAATCAGATGTTCGGTGCATGGCTGGAGGTGTTGTGAAACCAGAATCTTCATCATCAAGTTGTCATGCAGTGATCTATATTTCGAAACTTGAAAATAGAACCTTGAGGGTCGATGAGTTTGAATGAATTTCTGTAGGCAGTGTTAAAGATTTTTTTTGTTAGAGGGTGGATGATTGATTTGTAAATAAAGTAAAAGATAATATCAAGATGATGATATTGATGATGATTGTTCGTATAGTGAGCACCAGTTCTTTTATATAAAAAGAACAAAAGTAAAATAAAAAAAATAAAAGTAATCCAGAAAAAAATAATATGATACCTATTATATGCTTTCTAGCCTAGATAGGAGAAATGCGATCTGCGATGACACTGACACTTTTCCCCTTTCTTTTTTCTTCTTCTTTTCTTTTCTTTATCTCTCTTCTCTTTCTTTTTCTTCTTCTTCACTACTTTAAACACATCAAACATAAACATATTCTATTTATCTTCATCCACCAAAAAAAAGATCTGCTAAAAATGTTGAGACGTGTACAATGTTTATTTCGAAGAAATAAAAATTGGGTAAAATAACAACAAGAAGCTATATCTACACTATAAAAGATAGAAGGGAGGGAATAGGAGAGAGGATATACATATATATAAAAAAATAATAAATCAATGATATTTCAACGGAGTAAAAAAAGATCAAGAGTGATGTTTGGTACAGATATACATATATAAAAAAAAAATAAATCAGTGATGTTTCAACGGAGTAAAAAAGATCAAGGGTGATGTTTGGTACATAGTTGGAGGTGTCGTGAATCCGGATTCGTCTTCGTCTTCATCATCCAGAGCATTACGTCGTCGTTTTCGTAATTGATGTAGTGAACGGTATTTTCTTGTTAGCTTCAATAGGTTATTCTATAAGATAGAAAAAAAGGCATTTGTCATTGAAGATTTTCCTTCATATATATATTGTATAATCTTACCTTTAAACAAAGTAACAGGGAAACGGTTTTCTTCATGGTATCTAGTTCCATTGGATCATCTGGGATAATCAAGTTGCCCACCTTCGCCGCCACCATCACATGGTCAATGTTCAAATCATAATGTACATAGTTCCGTAATTACCTATTTTGGAGTAAAAATTGAATTAGTTTTTTTTTTTTTTTTTTTTTTTTTTTTTTTTTTTTTTTTTTTTTCAATAATCATGCATTCGTTCTTACCACACCAGTCCATGCCATAAATATACAAGTCGTCATCGGGTACAGGTGAAAGTGAATATAAGTGGTGAAAAACACAACTATTGCTCCGAAGGTTCTTGACTTGTTGCTTCAAGAGGGTAGATGATGATACGGAGGTTGGCTTACATTCGCATAAACTAAGTTCCAAGTCATGGTAACAAATGATATCATCAATTTTCCTGCCAAATATACCATTTTTGGGAGCATGGCCAAACAGTTCTTCGTTGTACTTCCTAATTGCCTTTGTGGAGCTGCTTGTTGTGTCACCACTATAATAAACAACAAAAAGTAAGAATCCATTTTTTCTTTTTCTAGTATCATCATTGTTGTATTTACCTTGATATCAACGCCTTGAAAAACCACTTCAAACAAACCACTAAATCGTGCATAATAGTCCGCTTCAGACAGTTTCCCTGGTTTTTTTTCCATATTTCAATCCGAGTCACACTATTGGAGAAATGAATTTGTATGAGGGGTGAAATGTAACGAGACAATAAACAGAAAATTTAGAGCATAAAAGAACCTATAAGTTTATTTGAGCATAAGAATCATAATTATTAAAAACATAAAAAAAACAAAGGAATGTACTTACCGTGATGATACACGGTTCAAATAAAAAATATAAAATAAAATAAATAAAGACTAAAATAAATATAAAGAGAAAGAAAAAGAAAAAGAAAGAAAAGGGCATAAACTAACTAAGGGCATAAATTTAAAATTTCAAAAAAAATAAAAAAGTCATAAATATTGTCCGCCATCAAGGGGTCAAATAATAATAATAATAATTGACAGATAAAGTTACTTAACACGTATTCCAATGCTTCAATGACAATCAAATTAGTGGACTGGGGACGGGACGACAAGAGTTCTTTTTTAACATCACACAAAGCCATCTTAGCAGCAACGATTCCTTCTTCATGGTAAACCTATAAAACAATCCATTAGTTAATAAAAATCAAATCATACCCTCCCTACACCACTTTACTTACATCAATAATACTATCCATGGCTTTTTCAATGTTTTCATCCAGTTTCATATAATCCAAATCAGATTGTTTCAATGCACGAGTAATCAATTCATCAAGACTATTCTTTCCCAAACAGTCTTTCAATCGATGAGACAATGATTTTGACATATTGCTCACAATACGTGACAACAGCAGCCTAAAAAAAATAGTGAATACAACAAACCCATTTATTATTATCAATTTTCTTTTGAGTTACCGTAAAAACAAGATGTCCTCTTTGTCCTTCAATTCAGTGTAACTTTTCAACATTTTCGCAGCTTCTGCATCCATTTTTTCTGCAAAAGTAGTCTGGGGTGAATCAAGCATCTTGTCGATCGTTTCTTTATTGATATCAAGTAATTGGTCCATTTTTTCATAGTCTCCATCTTCAAATCAGTATGCTAGCTTAAAAAGCAATGTTCTTGCGTCTGCTTCTACACAAATCTAAAATATATAAAATTGATTTCAGATGATGAGTCACTATCGTAGTTTCTTTTTTTCAAGTTACCTGGTCATCGTACGCCATACATAAACTTGTCTGATATTTTTCCCTTTCTCAAAGGATGAGTCATCCGTCCAAAGTACTTCATTGTTTCAAAGTCCAATCCTTGTGTTCCTTTGCGAATGTCAACCGTTGTTGTCAGTGTTTGTCGTTCACAAAAGGAGGTTTTTTTTTTTCTTCCCACGCGTGAATGTATACCTAGTTCATTCCATTGACATCGAATAGTGCGATGGGACACATCGACCGCCATTTTTTTTTAAAGTCATCCATGTGTTCCTGCGATTCCCTTTCATAATACGTTCTAGACTTCGAACTTCTCGGTGTTAGCTTTGACTTGCAGCCCAGAACCTTACTTTCGTTGGTGAGAATCATTTTCTTCGAACCTCTGAATCGTCTTGTATAACATCATCCTGCTAATGCCTAAATGATTCGCAATTTTCGTCTCTTTATCAAGCTAGCGTTGTCATAGACTATCCCTTGGGCTTTTTTCTACTGTAGTCAATACCGTAGTATATTAAAAAAAAAAAAAAAGAAAGAAAGAAAGAGGAGCGTGTTTGTCATGAATTGACTCGGAGACCAAAAGTGTACACTCTTTTTTTTATACAGCAAAAGATGCCACGTGCTATTATTTTGTGTTCCCTGAAAGATCCAGGCAATAATGCAATGTCAAAGCAAAAGCTGATAAATTCCCAATTGGTTTGATCGAGCTCAACTACTGCTTGAACGAAATGTGAATATGGTTATTATTGTTGGCACTGATTCCTGTCACTATTATGGTTGCTGATCCTTGTCGTATCAGCGTATTTCTAAAAAATAAAATAAAATCAAAAAATGCATTCACTAATAAAGAATAAAAAAGTACATCAGAAGATGTAACAGAGTAGTAGGATAAAAGCTTTATGAAATAAAAGTATAAATATCATAGATCACTAATTGATATATTAAGATCAAAGTCATTATAAAGAAAAGAAACGTCAATGTCGTTCTTCATCCAATATAACTACAGCCGTTAGATTCCTCCCCCCCCCCAAAAAAAAAAGTCTAATATCATCTAATACCATCTTGCCATCTAATTTACAATGATCACCACCAATTTTTTGAAAAATGATGATTGGTTTTTTCACAGCCAAAACGAATTTAATACGAGACGATATTTTTTATTTTTATTTCATTTCCAAAATATATATATATAAAAACTAAAAAACCAACAATCAATAAGGTCGATAAGAAGATTGATTCCTTGAGGAAGAAGAAGAAGAAGCATGAACAGCACCACCTCCAGAACGATCTTCATAACGATGACGACTACTTGAAGAAGATCTATAATAACGATCATGACTTGAATCACGGTGACGACGATCCCTGCTACCACCACTACTACTAGTAGTACTACTACTACCACCATGATGTCGTCCAGAATCAATGTCATCTTGTTGTTGTTGATATCGATTATTATTATTATTATTATTCATACGTCCATAATAAGCTGCTGCCATGGCTGCCATATTTCCATAAGGATTTGCTTGTTGTTGAAACATACCACCACGACCCATCATCATAGCAGCTCCAGCATATCGAGTATTGGGCATGACGTTTCGTTTAGCTTTAGGCATAGCACGTTTGATTTCCACTTGTCGATCCTTAATCACCAGATCTTTAGCTTCCAAAGCATTATCCACTGATTGAGCATCTTCAAATGTCACAAATCCAAATCCACGAGGTCTTCCTGTTTGTCTATCCACCATTAAAGTCGCTTCTGCAATTGGACCAAATTTTTGAAAGAATTCTTTAAATTCATCTTGATTCACTTCAGGAGAAATCCCACCTACAAAGATTTTTTCACATCGTTCTTGGTCTGTCTTGGGTACTGCTCGTTTAGGATCAATCTTTTTGCCATCCAAATGATGTTCTTCTACCTCCAATACTTTATCCACATCTTCCACATTTTCCATCGTCAAGAAACCAAAGCCACGAGATTGTCCTGTCATAGTATCACGCATTACCATACAACTTGCCACTGGTCCAAATTTCGAAAAATATTCTTTCATACTCTCTATGTATAATAATTGTGAGTCCTTTTTTTTTCTTTCTTTCTTTTTTTTTTTTTTCTTTTCTTTAATTACCATCAGTAGTATCCCAATTTAATCCACCAACAAACAATTTTCTATCATAATATTTTTAAAAAAAGAAAGTATCAGTACGTTCAAAATAGATCACTACATATATACACATTGAGGAATGATAGAGACAAGATGTAATACTTTTTTTTTCAAAAATACTTTTTTTTAATTGACACCATAAAAAGTTTTTCAATAGTAGCTAAAGAAATATATATCTAGTAGACTATGTAATAATAAACAAAATCTATTCTTGGCTAGAAAATATCATCTAACTACCTATAGAAAAACACATCCTCCCCATATATACAACATACACTCTTTTAACCCTCTATATATACCATTCTAATCCCATTTTTCTTTTCTTACCCTTCTGAAGGTTGTTCAGCATCGTTATTTTGATTAGTATTTTGTCGTTGTTGAAAAGGTTGTCTTTGTCCGAATTGTTGTTGTTGACGTTGTAATTGTTGTTGACGAAATTGTTGTTGCATCATTTGATATTGAAGAGGATTGGCCATCATTTGTTGCATTTGTTGTTGGTAAGCCAAAGCCATAGAATAAGGCATAGGAACACCACCCATCATCACAGTTTGTTGTTGTTGTTGTTGATATTGTCGTTGTTGATTATTATATTGTCCTCTATTATATCCTTGTTGTTGTTTATCGTCATTATCAGGATGATCTTGTCCATTTTGACCATCTGAATGATCCATATCTACAGCAGCTGTATCTAAAGCATCAGCAAATTCATCATCATATGTATCCAAGTTATCTCCAGTAGAAGATATTTTATTTTCGTTAGCTGTATTGTAAGCAGTATATAAATCGTCGTCAAAATCGTCCGTCATGGTTTACTATTATAAAACAGAAAGAAACAAATGAGAAAAAAAAAACGTCAGTCTCCGTAAACTTAAGGGAGAGAAAAACAAATTGGCAAATTTTTCCAGGATTCGGATTCCGCATCCAATTGATTGGTCAAATCCTCACTCATACATAGTCAATTGAAAAAAAAAAAAAAAAGTAAAAATCATAACGTTACGTAATAAAATAATTGTTGTATAGGGATTTACCTAGTAGGTACTGAAATGACATCATTCTTTTTTTTTTTGAAAATATTATGATTGAGTATTTCCAATCAAGCCAATAGTGATAATGAGTTGAATCATTCATCAATACCGTGTATACAAAATAAAAAGAATGATATACCACGTGTCCATTTCTATGCTCCCCATCCATCCATTCATAATGCCGCGTCATGCAAAAAATACCAGAGTGACTCATCAGCCCCCCCCCCCTCCGACAAAAGGAAAAGCCAACTTGGAGCATAAAAGAGTAAAAAGGAAAAGGCTCCGGCTAATAATAATAAAAATAGCTCAATAGCTGAGGTAACTCACGAGTTTTTTTAGTGCTCGTTCATTTGATAAGTCAAGGCAGCATTCCCGATTTGCATTATCATCCAACAAACATGATTATAATAAAGCTTATCATTTTAAAAAGGATGTTTCTTTTTTTTTTCTTTCTTTTTTTTCTTTTTTTTTTCTTTTTCATTTTTTTTTTCTTCTTCTTATTCTTTTCCCTTTTTGTACTCTTTTCATGCTTTTTTCTTGGTTATCTTCTTCTACTACTTTATATAATGATGATAACTCACTTAAACAACAACACAATATTATTACTAAAGAACATGATGATGATGGTTGGGTTCAAATCTTAACAAAAGAAGATGATACTACTTTGAAAGAAGACGATCAACAAGTTCCTCACTATCCTTCATCAGCTCCTGAAGAAGACTTGAAGAGTACTATCAGCAAACAAGACCAGGAACAACCGGTAAAAAAGCTATCTAGACAACAACGTCGATATCAAGCACGCTTAGCTCAACAGGCACAAAAAAAGCAAAAAACATTAGTGGGTGAAGAACAATTGAGATCTGCCATGATGAAACAAAAATCAAAACATTTGATCGACAAATTGATCGGCTCTTCTTCTTCTACTACCTCTACTAGTAATTGTTACTTATCTCAAAGATCTCCTATCTCTACCATGGATTGATGTAGTCTACATTATCTCTTATTTTTCCTATAGCTTTTTTTTTTCTTTTTTTTTTCTTTTTTTTTTTTCTTTTTTTCTTTTTTTTTTCTTTTTTTTTCTCTTTTTTTTTTAATGATGTATAACAAGGTGTATGTTTGTTTGTATATTTGCTTTACTCAAATAAAGAACAGAACAACATCATCAAACTCTTCCGTTCAAAACGTAATGTTGTGCCACTTGAATGTAAAAAATTTCTTTCCTATGGATATGCATTCTTTGTTTCAATCAAACACTAAAAATCCGCATTATGATATTGCTCCGGGAATCTAAAATGATTCTATTCACATACATCTATATATATATATATGCTGATGAAGATGAGAATAAAGACTGTGCGTCGATTCTCACACAGCAAACACTATCAGGGGCACATGCACCACAGTCGCACAAAATTTTTCGATTCTCGGAACTTGAATCTATTAGGTAAAGCATAGATAGAGTTTGGATCAATAATGAATCATTTTACCTCTAAAGATATTAAAAATATCATAAAAAAAATAATCAAACACATTCACAAAAAAAAAAAAAGAAAAGAAAAGAGGGTAACATCAACATCTTTATTGACCAAAAAAAAAAAAAAAGAACTATCTATAATAAATCTTCTTCTTTCCACACTACTTCATCCATATATTCTTCTTGTTGATCTGTAGACACCAATGTATTGTCCGTCATCCATGACTTCAGTTGATCTTGTTGATCATCTGCATTTTTGAAGATGACATCGTTATCTTTGACATAGTCATTCCGTATAGCATCTATAGATAAAGGCCGTTCCCATACACGAATGTCTTTGTACCAAGCTGCCAAACTAGGTCGAGTATCCCATGGGTCTTGATATTTTGCAGGTTCTGCCGATCCAAACCAGATACCCCGGATCACCTTGGAGAATTTGTTCACATGTGCCGGAAGTTTCCATGATGACTGACTAGCAAGAACATAACCATCGATGTATAACGCCAATTCAGGAACCAATAATGACCCAGAGGATGTATCCTTATTACTTCGTAACACCAGGGTAAAGTCATGATATTGGTCATCTTCATTGATAGCCACTGTGCCGGTCTCTACACTGAGCTCTTGATCCCGTTCCCAGGCCCAGCCATTGGATGCTACTACCCATGTTTCTACACCCAATGAGATCACATATCCTTCGTTTGTCGTTGTCCTTCCCGTTTTGATATAAATCTTGCATGCGTCTGTTTGAATCATCATCGCCGTGCCTCCTTGTTTATCATCAGATGTTTTCATTTTCCATCGAACTGTTAGGCCTTGATCAGAGTCACCATCCGTGATCTTGTCCGTAGGTAATGTCATTTCCAGTGGCATAGAGAGAAATATATATTCGTCTTTTCCTGATACATACACCCCATCCTGTTGTTTTGTATCCTGTTTGTTGAAATAACCACTTCGGATGATGCCATTCATATCATTCCCAGATTCATCTATTGCAGGTGTGGGATTAATAGATAAAAGAGTCTTGTCTGTAGGTAAAGATAATGGCCAGTACCCGACTTTTTGAGATCAACAAAAAAAAAAAAAAAAGAATGAGACATTTTCTTTTTTTTTTTTTTTTTTTTTTTACTTGGTTTGATTTTCCCCTCTTTTTTTTTCATAATTACCTAATTGATCAGATCGTTCCGAATGAAGTAAAAGACGACATGGTTTAATATCATCATCGGTAAAGAAATAACGTAGTTGACAATACAAACTGTTTTCCACATTCAAGATCACCTCCTTAGTCAGTCCAGCCATCAAATGAGGATTTGCAGCAGATTCCCAAATATGTGTAGCATAGTTCCAAGCAAAGTTGTATGATTTTTCAAGAAACAAAGTGCGTAATCCTTGACTATCCCATAGTGGCCAAAAGAAGGCTGTATGATTTAATACCGTAATTTCATCCACAAACGTCTCTGCCAACTTGCCAGGTAACACCACTGAATGATAATTCCAATCTTTTTGGTCAAATGTACGATAGGTCTCTTGCCATCGTTGTAAAAATCTTGCTTGAGGTCTAGCTAATATCACTGCATTACACAATCCAACTGATCCACCTAAAAAAAAAAAAAAAAAAAAAAAAAAAATTAAAATAATGGTGTTCCAAAGGTTAGGATCATATTTACACTATTTCTTTTTTTTTTTTTTTTTTGAGATTACCAATGCCTTCTTGACCCATGACGAATTCATTTTCCAAAAGATGATCCATAGAAGCCAAAGAAATGACATCCAAATCTAAATAAATTCCACCATATTGATTCAACATGTCCAAACGAATAATATCAGCTTGATGGGCAAAATGAGTCACGGGACGATCACCGAACACAGTTGGGACCAGATCTACCTTGTGTAAAGTTAACATGGGTCGAGCTTGTTCAAACAAAGAGCCGGTTGGAAGGTAATGATAATGAAACATGATCTTGTCAGGCTTCAAACGGTCGTGTGCTGATTTGATGGCAAGATAATGGATTAGATCGAGTTGTGGATCAGGGGCTTTAAGACCATAAACAAAATGAACAATGTTGGGTATACGACTTGCTGTAACAGGTTTGAGATGGTATTGTTTGGCTATGGTTATTTCTGGTATGTCAGATGGATGACTATTGTTTTTGTTCCAATATCGTAAACCGAGATAAAGAATGACACCCAAGATGAATAGTCGATACACCCAGTGTTTCGCCCATCCTACTTTTTGTTGACGATATAATTGTTTCTTATTGGCTTTATAATATTTCGATCGATGATATGGAAGTTGTGTAGACCCTCGCCGAAATGAAGAAGGCATCTTAAACCAAAAAAAAAAAAAAAAAAAAAAAAAAAAAAGAAATGAAGAAAAAGACGAAAACAGATCAAGCGGTACTTTAAAAAATAGATAAGCTAATACTTTATTCCAAATGATATTACAAAAGATGAGGAAACCTGGCATCAAGATCAGCTATTGTGGTGCCAAGTAATCCATTTGCCCAACTAAACCATGGTCGTGTAAATAACTTGGGATTATCTTTGTGAAAGGATTCGACCATCCAACCATGAGTTGATTGACTTGCAAGACGTTTCAATGTATCCAAAATGATCTTAATTTCATCTTCATCTGTGGATGTCTGACTCTGTACAAGAAGACTGATAGGCCAAATCATGCCATAACCAGTATGTGGCCCACCAATGCCTTGACCAAACTTTCCCTTGAAATACCATGGATTGGATGATGATAATAAGAACGAACGTGTGCGTAGGTACAATGGATCCGTACGCTCCATAAATCCAAGTAGAGGCAAAGATAATAATGAGGGTGTGTTAGCATCATCCATAAGAATAAAAGATCCATAACAATCCACTTCGTATGCAAATATTTTTCCATGTACCGGATGATCCACCACTGCATGAGCATAGATCGCTTGATGAATCCTATCTCCAAGTGATTGTGCTTCCACAGCAATATCTGATAATTGTTTTCTATGATGATCGACTTTGTTGCTAATCAAAGCTGTTCGAATGATCTGTGCTAATCGTTTGAGTTGAACTGATATTTGTGCATTGGCAGGAATCTAATATTATAAAAATAAAAAAAAAAAGTTGTGGTATGAGACAAGAGACAACATATGGATCATTATAATCTTATTTTTTTACCAAGTAAGGAAAAGTAGTTGCATCATCACTAGGTCTAAATGCACTTTTCACTAATCCACACCTTTGAGATATTCCACCTAATCCATTTGCTCCTAATGTTTCGGTTGGACGATCACTATATCTTGTGAATCGATAACCTTTATCTAAAGGTAAAGGCATAGGTTCTTCTTGAGAAAATGATGATGATGATGATGATGATGATGAATTCTCATAAATGGGAAAGGGTGGCTTTTTATAGACTCTTGCCCTTGGAAAACGTTCTTCCTCTTCCCATGTTCCTCTTTGTTGATCATGAATCACTTGAAGTACACGATGAACAGCTTGTAGCCAGGTTTTACTTCCTAATACTCTTTCAGTGTCACCTGTGGCGGTCATATATTCATTTCCCAATTCAAAGAAATGACCAAGTGAATCCAATTCATACTAATAAAAAAAAAGGGGGGATGATTAGATCATCTATATAAATAAATTAGATCAAACATCTTTTTACTTTAGATTCCCAGACATATTGACTATCATATTGAGGAATAACTCTATCCTGTACTCGACCATGTGCTGGATTCTTTTTGTCATCAATAGTAGCATACCAAGGACGTAAAAAGGCATTGGCATAAGGATCATAAGTAAGATAATCAGCTTGAGTTTCGATCACTCCTAAAATCAAAGATTGTAACTGAAGATCTTCATTTATAAAAGGTAGATAAGGTAATATTTGATTGGTAGAATCACGTATCCACATGGCAGGAACTTTTTTATCAAAAAAAAAAAAAAATAATAATTCAATTTCAGTTTTAAAAAAGTTTGCGTAACCTGAAACAAAAAACTTACTGTCTCCTGTGATCAAAAAAGTGTGGGGATATTTTAGATCATACCATTCAATGGTGGTATCCAAGGTATTTGGTAGACAATTATTTAATAAAGTGGCCAAATCTTGATCTTGCATGGTTTTTGATTTCAATATAATATAATCATCAATAACCTGACTTTTAAATTTCCGTCGACTAGGAGGAATTCTTTGCTTAGGAACTCCATAATAAGGTGGATGATATGGCTTAGGAAGACTAGGTGGTGGTGGTACTATTGGTGTGACTTTACCATTACGGTTGGAGAACCAAGGCAAGATAATCGTATAAAGGAAATAAATATTCACCACTACTAAACTTCCTAATAGTAGAGATAGGTAAAACGTACGAGAAGACATACTATTTATCCAGTGAAGGAATGACGCTGGTCTAATGGGCATTTCGTTCTACTATAAACAGTCAAACAAGGGAGGAGAAAGAACAAAAAAAAAAAAAAAAAAAAAAAAAAAAAAGGAAAAGAAAGAAAACGATGGTATTGAGTGAGAGAGTGTTCCTCCTAGTCATATGATGTAAGGGGGATCTTGACTTTTTCTTTGGAATGGTTCGCAAAATTAAACTCCGGCGCTTGATGTTCGTATATTGCCTTGGCAGCAGCATTATTCACTCATTATCAACTTCTGTTCTTCTTTCCTTTCCTTTTTTTTTTTTCCTACTCTATAGATACATTTTCTTTCTATTCCAGATGATGGCTGAATCTACCTCTCTACATTCAATGTCTTCTAATGAAAATAAAAACGACCAAACGATTTTAACAAAAGAAGTTAATGCTTCTTCACCTAAAGGAGAGGACACAACATCACCACAGCAACAACAACAAGAACAAGAACAACAGTTGCCTATATCACCTCATCAACAAGCTATTAATACACTCCAAGAAGCCTTTCCTTCAGTAGAACTACAAGTCATTGAAGCCATTTTTGAAAGTCAACACAATAATCTGGATGCTACTTTTGATATCTTGTTGGGGATGTCTGATCCTTCCTATAAGTCCTCAGCACCAACTATCACAAATGACGACGACCGACTTGCTCAGGAACAACAGGAAAAGGATGACGAACTTTTGGCTAGACAATTGGCTCAAGAATATGACCAACAGCAACAACGTCAACAACGACAGCAGCCGCGTTCCGAAAATGAATCCACTTTTAGTAGTATACAAGGTAATGAAAGTAATACCTGGATATAAATGGAGCACTAACCATTTGACTGTTTTTTATGAACCATGTTTTATCAGAGGAACTACCTGTTATTAAAGAACGTGTCATTGAAGCTGGCAATGGTAAGAGCAGTGAAAAGTCAAAGTTGAATGATACCTTACCTTTTTTTTTTTTTTTTTTTTTTTTTTTTGCTTAGTGGCCAAGAAGAAAATTATGGATTTTTACAATTCATTTATGGATCAAAGCTCAAGTAACAATAACGCTAACAATTCTCAACAGCCATATCAACAGCAGCAATATCAAGAAAAGAAATCGTTATCGGACGATATGAGGGGTTTACGTTTATCTACATCACCATCTCAATATTTGGTACAGACTTCTACTAGCGATCAACAAATGGAGGATGATGCAGCGTTTGCCCGAAGGCTAGCAATGGAAGATGCTCATTTGGAAAGACTAGGTAGATCCATCTATATAAAGTGAAGGGAGAATAGTGTTCACTGACTTTTTTTTTTCATGCTCATTATCTCTCAGCTGCTGCTGCCGCGGCTCAACGAAAACAGAAATCCTCTCCTATTGATGATCAACAAAGGAATCAAGAAACTAATCAAGATAAAAATGGTAATGGATAAGAAAAGATTTGAAAAAATGGAACTGATTTTTTTTTCTCTATTTTATAGTTGATACGGACAGTAAATCAAACGAAAATCAAGTTGGATATGTGATTGACGAAGATGAAGATGATGCCGTCTTGATGAGTGTGCCACAAGACAATCCATCTGTTGAAAATGGTAAGCTTTTGATATCGACCTCTATCATCATTGACTTTTTTTCTTATTTTTGATAATAGGGAAACAACCTGCATCCAGTGATCCAAGCAAATAGTTGTAATCATAGATAGTTTGTTTTTTTTGAAAATAAAAAGTCTCTCTCTCTTTAATCTTATAAAAAGAATTCAAGTATATTCTTCTAATAAAATAGCAACTAAAAAGACTCTCCCTTTGTCATTATCGTCTTGCATGGACAAACATGTCTACAAGTATTTCATAATTCCAATTACTTTTTTTTTTAACGCTGATCATGCCTTTTCCGCTCCTGATATTATTTAATATCGTATTTAAAGAGGCTGTGTGGCTTCAACCTTGCTAATACGACTGTTGTTGTCGCTGGATTTAAGAGAATTTTTAAACTTCCAAAAAAATATGGTAGTAAAGTCCTATAAAGTAGAGGAGATGGGAATCCTTTTTTCCTTTTCTTTTTTTTTTATTATTATTATTTGCGTCCTGTAGACTGTTTTTCCTGATTTAAGGGAATTATCCAAAAATAGAGCAGTAAAAGAGTAGAAAGTAGGAGAAAGAGGGATTTTTATTATTAAAAAAAATAATAATCATGGTATCATCTGTTTGGACATAGGCCGCCTTTCTTAACATCAAAACAAGAGCACGCGCCTATTTCAGTACCTTGAGGGATATTCACCACCGTTCCATTAGCATATTTTTTTTCTGTATAGTCACATGCATTGCAATAGTCGTCAGACACCCAGTCATCTCTTGCTTGGCGCGTAGAAGAAACACATATACCTTTGGTATAAGTAAACTCATCACAAGCTGTTTGCTTACGATGATTTATTTCTTCTTTAGTTATAATTTTTTGATCTATACAACCACCGTGCGCAGACCAGTTTAATACCCACCAGTCCGCGCATGTTAAGTCTCTACCTTCGACGAGAGATCGTAACAACGTATTAAAATATATCGGATTACATGGATCCACGCTAGCGACAACTGATGTTATAAAACAGCTCAATATAAAGAATTTCATTGTTTATACAGGAGAGAGAGAGAGAGAAGAAAATTGTTTTTATTGCAAGGAAAAGATAATTAAATATATAAAGTTGGTATTCCGAAAAGTCGGATGGATCCAGTAGAAAGATCTACATGCAAGGGGGAAAGAATCCTTTTTTTTTTTTTTGTAAAAATAATTGGCGTCTTTCCCCTTCCAAACTGTTATGCAGGTTTTGCATGATACCATCGACGTTGAAGTAAAATAATATTCATAAAGAAAAACTTGATGCCGCAAAAATACAGTTGTATCTAGTAAGGGGATCTTCAAAGCAGGGGAAGTAAGAAAAAAAGAAGCTGATCTCTCTCTTCCAAACACTACCTATTTGTTTACATTACGGCACTTCCCAAGTCGCTACGATAAAAGTCATTATGCTCACTAGAAAGTACTTTGTATGACTCTCTTGAAATGATATCAATAAAACAGTGCGTGAAAAAAAATTGATGTCCCAAAAATACAAGTGGACCTAATGTGGAGCTCTAGAAAGCAAGGAAAAAGAAAAGTTTCTGTAAAAAAAAAAAAAAAAAAAAAAAAATTTTTCTCCCTACTAGGCAACTTGTATTGAAATGATGCTAATTTTTCCAACAGGAAATGAAACTGAACTTTTTTTTATTACTACTCCATACTGGCGAGTTAAACAAACCAAAGGAAAATCATGGTGATGATGATGGTGCTGTCCTGATGAGTGTATCACAGGACAATCCATCTGTTGAACATAGTAAGCTTTGGCATCTCCGTTGTATCATCAATGACGCCCTCTTTTTTATTTTCGGCAATAAGGATATAACCTGCATCCATCAAGACAAGCAAATAGTTGTAGTCATAGATATTTTTTTTTTTGAAAATAAAAATCTTCTTCCTTTATTTTTATAAAAAACACTCAAAACATTTTCTTCTAATAAAACAACTAGAAAGAATCTCATTTACTAGATATCGCCTTACATTCTATGACATCCTCCGGAACCACATGAGTCGACAGTCGGGTCTAATGCCAGAAACTTGTCGCATTTTTCTTTCTTACTGGCGTCGCAGTCCACCGAAGTGCCATTTGGAGAGATGAAAGTACACTTGTCTCTGCTACAAACATCCAACGCTAATGCCTTGGTTATAACTTCACAAGTTCGGTACAGATAATCAGGACAACCACCAGGTCTTTGTTCTTTATAGGTACCAGCAGGTCTTTTACACCAGAGACCTTTGTATCCTTTCCAGCATCCTGAACCATAAGCACCACAACAGTTACCGGGTGGGTGGAGAGGGTTCCCTACTGAACCATAATAATTGCATATCTGATTTTGAGTGAACCCGTTGGTCCATGATACTAATTTGTATCCGTCCTTATTCACATCACCAATTTCACTCGTGGTTGTCCCACAATCTGTCCAGTAACATTGTTCATTATTAATCCCAGCGCACTGGCTATCACCGTGGATGAGCACCAAACATAACATCATAAGAACTAGAATAGACTGCTGAATCATCCTATAATAAGAGCGAAGGAGGAAAGAAAGAAAGATTATCTTGATTACAATGAAAAAAAAAATAACGATGTTTATATATATATAAAGCTGGTTTCCGGAAAATACAGGTGGATCAAGTGAGGCGGAAAAAAAAGTTGGCGCCTCTCCTTAATGCGCCGTATGTGTAGAGGTCTACTGCAGGAGAGAGAGAGAGAGAGGAAGAGGGAGAGAGATGGAGGAGGAAAGAAAAACATTAAGAAGATGGAAAATTGATGATGGATATCTAAAGAAATGAAAGGAAATCGAACTGATGTTTTTTTTTTTATCTCAATAGATACAGACAGCAAATCAAAAGAAAATCAAATTGGATATGTGGTTGAGGACGATGAGGATGATGCTGTTTTCATGAGTTTGCCACAAGAAAATCAATCTGTTGAAAATGTTAAGGTTTTCTATCGATCTTTTATTATCACTTACTCCTTTTTTTTTTTTTTTTTTTTTTTGATAATAGAGAATCAACCAGCGCCCAGTGACACAAGCAAATATTGTAGCTGTATTCATAGATATTTTTTTTCTAACAAAATAAGTAAAAGAATCTTCCTTAGTTATTATCGTCTTGCATATACATGCACTTCTATAAATATTACATACACATATTTATCCTTTTTTCCTGCTGATCAAATCTTTTTATCCGTCTTCGTTGTTTTGACGACCCTGATAGAATTCAATAGTATATTTGAAACATTAATTTCATAACACTGATAGCCCCTATGAGAGACTAACATGATGAAAAGTATAAAAATTGTAGCAGCAAACTTATAGCCTTGAAATTGGACTTTTTAATTATAAAAGTATTAAAGTATTAAAGTTATTAGGTAGAACTGACTCATATAGCAAGAGGTTAGTGTGATTTTTTTTTTTTAAAAAAAAAATAAAACATCAGCTACACATAACATCCTTTGAACCCACATCTTTTTGTGGTCGGATACAACGACAGAAGGCTATTGCATCTTTCTTTCTGACGGGTGTCGCAATTCTCCGTACGGAAGAAAGTATTTGGTACGTAGTACTTACACTGATCTTTACTGCAAATATCCCACTTTTCTTCGCTAGCTAAAATCTGACAAATTCGGTGCTGATTGTCAGGACAGTTACCAAGTTTTCGATAGGTGACAGGGGCAGGTTTACACCAAAGCCTTTTGTATTGCCCAAGAAGTGCACATGTTCCACCATAAGCATCACAACAATTACCAGGTGGATGTATGCTTAGTCCCATAGCACCCGGATTTGTACATATCTGAGCGTGCGTGAGCTCTTTGGTCCATGACACTAATTTGTAACCTTCCTCATCCACATCTCCAAGGTTATTCTGTGTTGTTCCACAATATGTCCAGTAACAGCTTGCACCATTATTTCCATTGCACCTGTATTCAGCGTGGATGGCCACCATACATAACATCAAAAGGACTAGAATAGATTGATGAATCATCCTATAGTAAGAGGGAAGGAAGTGAGAGAAAAACGCTGTTTCTTTTTTTTTAATGAAAATATAACCCTATATATATACTGTATAAAAGGTCGATCTCCCAAAAATGCAGGTGATTCTAGTGAGGGGAAAAAGAAATCTGATTTCCCTTCTTAACACATCCTATTTGCAGGTGCCTACTGCAGGAGAAGGAGAGCAACTAGAGAAAATCAAAGGAAATTAAGCTGAACTCGTGATTGATGATGATGAGGATGATGCTGTTCTGAGAGCTTCAGAAAGAAAGAAAGAAAGAAGGTACATAAAAGAGGGGCTGGTACTGAGATACAAAAGATCATGTATGACCACAACTGTTTGCTTGTATCACAGGTTACAGATTGTTTCCTTATTGTCAAAAAAAAAAAAAGATGTCAATGATGATAAAAAGGTTGATATCGAACCTTACCAATTTCAATAGATGGATTGTCCTGATGATGAGTTGTACAGCAAGCATTATTATGAATTTTCTTCTTTTACCTCACTTTTTTATAAATTACAAATGACAGAAGTATGTATGCTCTTTTTACAATGATGGTGATTCCCATGAACCTGATGTCTTTATGAATTTACTTGATTTATGTCGACATATTTATCAAGAGACTTCTAACCTGCCAGTGTCAAGGAATATGAATTTATGCAAGTCTGGGTTCAGAATTTATTCTATTTATTTATAATTTATCAAACTTCTTTTATTTTTCTCACCCTTTTCTTCTTTTTTTTTTTTTTTTTTTTTTTTGTCTTCTTCTCAATCCAACTTCTTTTAGTCTTTAGAATATAAGTACGTTATTTATTTCAAACTAATGACGAATTATCTGTTATCTTTGGTCAACATCTATTTGTTACATTGTCTTGATCAATTTATCTATATCAATCCAATCGAAAGTAAATAAGATCGTAATGTTACTTTGTTACGCGTGCATACAAACATTTCTCTAGCGTACGTCATACGTGGTCAACCGTTTCAAGAACCTGAACCTGTAAGTGGCACTTGTATACTTTGATTGTCCCCTTTGATTCATACCATCTGTCTTTATTTCTCACCAGTTACTTTATTACCAATCCCAACAACATTCAACAAGTCATAATCGCAAAAAATGGAATATACTCCATAACACAACTAATTCACGGAAGGTCAATCACTACAACCAACGCGTGAAGAAGTTCAAAACCATTGGAATCAATTCTCTGCAGTCCTCAAAATATGTTATATACCACAATGGAATGGATCCGTCAGCGTTATCTGACTATTGTGAAAAAGTCTCTTCCAGCATCGCTAACCATTTAGCTCTGAACTTCAAGAAAAGAATTATTCAATACTGCAAGTTCAAACTGAACTTAGCTTTGGAGGAGTGTAAGTTAAATTTAACAAAAAAAAATTGATGCATAACGTGGTCCATAGATTATTGATTTTTTTTTTTTCGTAGCAGTTACCTAATCAACCTATTGTCAACTTGATAACTGAATTTTTGTATGACACTTTCGCTTCGTTCACCACCAACAATGAACCGTTCGATCTCAATATCCCAGAAACAATCATTTCATATCAAGCAGCTGTACATCGCGTTTGGAATGACTTATTTCCACTCAAGGGAAATCGTGGTGTCCTAGATACAGTCTACTTGCAAAGAAATGTTGGCTCTCTCGTCCTTGTCCTCCTTGAAGTACTACGATAATACGACCAATATGATGCTGAAGAACATACTGACCCCGTACCACTGAACAGATTTTCAATTCTTCCTCGACCAAAGTCGCAACGGCGTTTAATCCTGAAGATATCAACCGTATGTCTGGTCATGAAGGCAACCTGGATAATACTGATGGTCCATCCTTTCAAAAAGCAAATCAAATATTCTACGATGCCTTTCGATTCGACCGTATGTCTGGCCATGGAGGCAACCTGGATAATACTGATGGTCCATCCTTTCAAAAAGCAAATCAAATATTCTACGATGCCTTTCGATTCGACAAGTTTGGGTTGTTCAGGTACAAAAAAAAAAAAAAAAAAAAAAAGCGACTACTTACTTACCATATTTCTATTCTTTTTTTTGTATATTCTCTTTTTGGTATAATCAATACAACGCAAATCACACTTTTTTCACCTGCAAATCATATTATTCAATTACGCAAATTATTTATTCCTCTCCGCCAATTATAATGAAAAAAACAGTATTCTATTTTATCTTTTTTATTTATCAACTTTTATTTTATCTTCTTCTCTTTGTATAAATATTGTTTATCACCGCTCCTATTTGTAACCGACATCATCACATGTATCCGAGCTGCTACGGTGAAATAAAGGTTGGCAATTCGAGTGGTACTCAAGATCATGGATTTCTATCGATTAGCCATTCCCGGGAAGAAGTCGATTGAAAGCATTATGGTAATTCAACACATAAAGATTTAAATTAGAGTTTAGTATATTGATAATCTGATAGTTTATTTATTTTTATAGGATTTGGTCCTTTTTCTCTTTAACTAAGTTTTTATTAATCAAAATTCTTACGTTTCGTCTCGTTACTTATTACGACTTACAACAAGCACAATTTGAACGGTATACTTTGTATCGACATGGCATTATGGACAATTTGGAAGCCAGATTTGCATTGATCGCACTTGCTAGAACATCAACAGGTCTTGAACAAAACGCTATCCTTGCAGTCGAATCCTTGTATGTGTATTATTTTGACCTGAATGAATCTCTATGTGCTACTGACAGCGCTTTTGTTTTTATTTCCTTTTTAGACTCCCAGCGATGAAGGATTTTGATCTTTCTCACATATCTGAAATGCACTTGACAGCGTCCTATATTCACCCTTTGATGCAATGCCTCCTTTGATGCAAAGCCTACTAGCCATCACCAGTCCCAACAAGGTACCTTATTGGTAAGAATCGACCGCTCTCGACTTTGATGGTCAGTTGTTTTGGTAACCATGTTTATTCGTTATATTTTAGTTCAAACACTCTCTCCCTTGAAGACAACAACAGTGAAAAGAGACCTGATTACGTTGTGGACATCTATAACCGATATCATTACATGCATCCGAGCTGCTACAGTGAAATAAAGGTTGTCGTATCTAGACTGATATTTTGTGCAACTAAAATATCCCAGCTTCTTGTCATTTAAGATTGGATTAGGATAGTTTTTTTCTCTTTTCTTTTCTTTCATTCAATTCTAATTGAAATAAAACGCTACCAAGAGTCTCATCGTATTTTCGATCTGTCTCTATTATTATTTTATTTTATTTAATTCAATCAACTACTTTAAAGGTTGACAATTCAAATGACAGGCTCAAGATCATGGATTTCTATCGGTTAATCATTCTCGGGAAGAAGGCGATTGAAAAACATAATTTGAATGGTACACTTAAGAGAAATAGGGAGATGATTTCTAAATGTATAGAGTTTATTTTCAATAGTAAAGATTGGAAGAATGAGAACCGGATAGTACATATCGTAGGGAAATAATAAAGACTGAGATAAAAGGGAATGATGATAACATGAATAAGTAGTTGATCAAGCGGCAGCTGTTTGAGTACGTGTGATCCTTCGTTGCTTGACATCCCAGTTGTATACACGAGCAGTATCTATAAAAAGAAAGAGAGAAAAAAAAGTCAAGGTAATAATACAGTGTCATAGAAGATACATAAAAATAAAAATAACAAGTCGCATTCATCGAAATATATATATAAACAAAAAAAAGGATACTGACTTCCATAGTCGTGATTTGATCTCGTAAGAAAGATAAGTCTTCAATGGTGTTTTTCAACGAATTTTTAGCAGTGGTCAATTTGGATGTCAATAGATCGGTGGCTTCTTCAAAAGTATATTCCAACATAACATTTGCCTATCATACGTAAGAGGAGGTATAATTTAGTAGTTGAATTAAGATGATCATCATTCACTTACCCCTAACCAAAGATACACAGTACCAGAAGGTTCAATCTTTGCTTGTGCATATAAAGTATCATTCAATTCAAAATCGGTATAAACAGGTTCTGTAGCTTCTTGTTTTTCAGTCAAAAGTGCCACCATAGCCAATGTTTTTTCTATTTCTGGGATCTTTTCCTCTAATATCTTGCGTCGTTGTAACAGATTGACTTCCATAAATTTGTATTTACTATATAGAATAAAGTGAATATCCTTCTTTTTTTTTTTTTGTAACTAGAACTTTCTTATAATACCTAATAGCTTCTTGGAATTTCTTCAATACAATTTCAACTGGTTCAGCTTCTGATACATAATCTTCAACGCGTTCCTAATAATAAATAAATAAATAAAATATCAATCATTTGCATAACCATTCCTTTAATTCTTTTCTCCTTATTTTTCTCTTACCACAAAGGGTGATCGAGGAATCCCACGAGGATTACTTTCAATATCGGATGCACTGCTCATGATGACAAGAAGATAAAGCGATGTAGGAAAAACAAAAAAAAAAATTCGGTTTTCAATGAAAAACTATCTTCGGAATATGAAATTTGCCAGACTACACATTTCACTTGCCCTACTCAAAGGAGATACATGAAGGATGGCAAATCAAACTCAACATCACTCCTTGTTTCTAACACTATGAACCATCCTCTTTGTGAATTTTCTTTTTTAAACTAGCCGCTCTTCCATATGACAAAAATGCATATATATATAATATATATTACTGTAAATATTATGCCAAACCTTCTACACAAAGATTGTTTTTTTGATTATTTAACTAGACTTTATTTGATCATATATAACAAATGGTAAACTTAATATAAAAGCCAAGCGAATCTAAGGTAAAGTAGAAGGAGCACACAATACAATAACGTCCCCTTTTCTTCGATGATCCCAATGCACATGACTGTTAAAGAATCGTTGACATACCGTATAACCTTTGTTCTGCAGTAAGAGCGTTTTTATTCCAGGTTCTTGCAAAAGAGGATCAAACATCACCAAATAATCAGGCCACGAATAAGGCATGTCCTTAGATAAAAATGTCACTGGGTCTTGATAAAAAATATCTGCCTGATCCATATAAACATCTGCTGTTGTCTTGTTATTGTCGTTCAGTATTGGAGGTTCACAGGTCAAGAACCACATAATATCCTTTTTCTCCGGTTGGTGCATGACAGAATGCCATGGTGTTGAGTGACAGGGCATAAGGAATCCAATACTTGAGGAAGAAGGCGTTTGTTCACCAAGCCAGACCATAACATCCATCACTCCACGTTGATGCCATAATGATACATAAAGAGCAAATATACATTGAGGTATCCATAAGATGGCAATCAAAATCCATCTCCATCGCCTACTACTTTTGTTCCATACCACTGAAAGTCCATGTGCCGTAAACATGAGTAAAAGAGGAAAGATGGGGTAGATGAATCTAAATTCCTTATGTGATAAGAAACTGTAAACACCCACGACCCACATAACCAGGTAAATGAGATTGCGACTACCTTTCTTGTTGTTGTAGATCATACCAATGGCTGTTAAAGGTAAATAAGTAAGAAGCATCAATGGCAAACCTTGTGATAAGTACCAATGGAATGGATGAGCACCATAAAAGACAGAAATCGACTCAAGTACATTTGTCTTGATAAAAGTCCATGGCACAAATACGATATCACCATGTTGTAAAGCATCAAATCCTCCTTTATATAGCACTGTATCCAATCCAATATTAATCATCAATACCAATGATCTATAATCATCATCATTAGTAATCATAGTAATCGTTATCAATAATGATTCATTTGTATATTTGTTTTGGGACTTACACAATCAAGCCAGCATTCATTAAGACCAGGTAACGACGAGAAGAATAATAAAGTAATTGTAAACCCAAAAATACCCAGATCAATGCATTAGTAGGTCGAGTGATACAAGCCAAAGATGCCCACAATAGACTTTTACGATAATTGCTATATCAAATCAAAAAAAAAAAAAAAAAAAAAAAAAAAAAAAAAAAAACATTTCAGTTAAACAATCAGTAAAAGCATGATTTTTCTATTTTACCCTATCCATGAAGAACCATTTATGTCCACCATACTAGGAAAAGGCCAATCTTTCATTGCGATGATGGTTAATACTGTTTCCATTGAATTAGATAATGTCCTTGCTGACATCAAAAAATGAAACCAGGAACCCAATATAATAGAGAGCTTTAAAAAGAAAATAGTCATCAATATCGATAATATATATATATATATAAGATAGAACTTACTATAAAAGGAGCCATTTCATTTCCATATATTTTCTTGGTTAGACTATAAGTTGCCATATCACCGAATGCAGATAAGGTTGCTTGAAGGTATTTTGGTGTTGCAACCTAAACAAGAAGAAGTGTGAGTTCAAAGTTAAAAGAAAAAAATAAGAAAAAAAGAGAATTGTCTTACTTGCCAATAAAGAAGGGGTATCACAATGACACCATTGTAAACATTTGTAAAGAAAAGCAAAGACCAAAGGATGAAAGAAACTTCGAATATAGTGAGTCCATTCCCAAGTCAAGTATCCATAACCAAATACTATGCGATGAGCCACTTCAGTTGCTTGCCAGTATTCATCTGGATTATCATAAGTACGCGTCAAAGCAGCATTCAACCAACGGAATATGATGAAAATCCCAAGAATGAATAGTCTTGATGTTGTTGTCGAGTTTGGTTGGATCATAATACATGCAAGTGATATAGAAAGAATATGATTAAAAAGAAGTGCATAGACTTTTTGATTTGGAGAGGAAGAAAAAAAAAAATCAAAACTCAGCTTATTGCCACTTTTTCTTACTTACAGGTGACGACATTTCCTTCAACAAAGGCAAGCAAAAAAAAAAAAAAAAACAGCTTGAGCGGGGTTGGAGGTATTCATCCAAGTGTCCATACCCCCTCTATCTTCTCTTTTTCTTCCTTTTCTTCTTACTAGTACAACTATCCATCTTCACTATGGGTGCCACACAATCCAAAACAGAACCTGTGATTTTTTATAACCAAAATGTCCCTCTTCAGGTTAAAAAAAAAAAAAAATATTGATAGATCGATTACTTTATGTATTCTACTATGAGGATTTGTTTTCAAAGAAAACGTGACTTAATAAAATATTCTTTTATATATAGTTTTCTCAAGGATTGGTAGATTCATTAGAGACACGTCAAAAGGTAAGATAAGAAGACTTTCTCTTGATATAATGAAAAAGAACTAAAATGGTTCTTGTTTTGTTTTTGTTCTGGATATATAGTCAAGTCAGCCTGCTCCTGCTCATACCTCAGAAGAAGTAGACAACTTGGTACGTCAGCGTGTTGCCGAAGAATTAGAACGTACTCATCAACAACAACAACAATTGTATGGTGATATTGCGAAACAAAACATTGATAATGATGTTAGTTCTGTGGCTCTTGGTACCGATATCAAAAATATGATTCAACGTATCCAAAGGTAAAAATATATATGACTGGGGAATGGAAAAATATATGTTAAAACTTGTTTCTTTTTTTTTTTCTGTAGATCTTCACCTAAAGAGATTCCTGCCGAAATTGCTGAACGTCAAGAAGCTCTTGTGTTATGCTACAAGTAAGAAGTCAGATTTATATATATATATATATATATATGAACATAGATACTAAACAATTCTCTTGTATTATATTTAGGAAAAACGATGCTCGTGTACTCGACTGCTGGCAAGAAGTGGAACAATTCAAGGAATCAGTTACAAAAGCTCAAAAGCAATTTGTTGCTACTCATCAATAAGTAGAAGGGATCTTATATATAGGATATATATTATTTAGAAACAATAAAAAAAAGAAAAACTTGTATGCAATGAATGTATCTATATTTTTGGTGATAATTGATGATAATGATGATATTGGGTGATACTCAATAAAAAAAGAAAAACTTGTATGCAATGGTTGTATCTATATTTTTGGTGATGATTGATGATAATGATGATATTGGGTGACACTCTATTTTATTTCGAATAGTGAGTAATAAAGTGAAGTAATAAAATTTATGAACATTGTCTCACAGGGTAGGTATGCACCAAAAAATGAGATCACGTAGAGGATCGCTGCACAGGTCAGTGTAGTCAATACCTGCTATCCAAGCATCAGCTAGCATTCTTATTACCCTTCCAGCACCTAGATATTCTCTGTCACGCTATAATTATGAAGATGATCTCTTTTATTTCCAGTTAAACCGAATCTATTATCTTCCAGATAATTGATTTGACACACTGATTTCTTTCTTCTCCATACCATTTTTTCGTTTTTTGCTTTATTTTTTCTTCATACGAGAGAGTAAACATTAAGCACTAGATAACACATGTCCATTAAAAAATCCTATTTCCTCAACCGGATTGGTTTGTGATTTGAAGCTCAACTCAACGAAATAAACAGTAACAAGATGTATCGGGGGGGATATGTGAATAACAAATAGGAACAAGATGAAGGGGAAGAAATTTTAGCCATACTTCTTTTTTTTATTATATTTTTTTTTTTTTATTTTCAAGAGGTATGATCAAAAGGAATATCTTTTTATCTTGAAAGATAGTGCTTATCAAATTTGTTCATAAAGTTTAGAATTCAATTTTACTTTTTTGGTTTGTTTGTTCTCGATCGGAAAGGGGGGAGATAAAATGGTACACAAGCGCTAAGGATAAAAAAAAAATTAGGTTGGGAAGATCGGTTACTTGTTTTTGTTTTTAAGTAGAAAAAAAGAACGAGTTTATAAGCTATGTGTAACAACGTAGCAACGATTTTCCTTCCCAAAAAAAGAGAAATACTCATCCTCACTTGCATCAAAATATAACTTTGATGAAATCTTTCTACATTTTGCAATAATAAAAAAAAAAAAGTCATTTATTTATGATTATGAAAGATAAACATCAATCCATATTTGTTGATGATAATATTTATTTTTAAGAGATGACATTAACATATGATAGACATGTTCCTTTGTAGATCATTCTCGCTGATGGATGGAATAACATGACCTTGTCATACTCTTGTAATAATAATAAGAATAATAATAAGAGTAAAGGCATATACATTAAAAGTGGAAAAAGTGAGGCTGAAAATTCGTTAATGATGTGACCACAAGCGATGATGATGATTGATAAGTGATGGATGATGACAAAACAAAATAGTTTTAACAATGGTACTATGTGATGAATAATAATATTAATGGAAAATGAGTAAGTTCTATTATTTCATTGCATTCATACATCAGATAACCCAACAGTGAACAAACATCAAAAAAAAAAAAAAAAAAAAAAAGTGGAGACAAATAGTGATATTTTTTTATAAAAAAATTTGCTTTTATTTCAAGTTGTCTAATAAGAAATTATATAAAGTGGGGGAAAGAGGGATCTTAAAAGCTAAGTTTCATACATACACGAAATAAAAAAAAGGAGAATATACAGAAAAATAAATAATAATAAAAAAAGAATTTCATTTTGTGTGTTGATACAATAGCATAATAAAAGTGACTAAACTACAAAAAGTCTATGGTAAAAAAAAAAAAATATATAAAAATATAAATAATCTAGTTGTTCAAGACTTGGGCAGCTTGAGAGGTTTGAGCAGAGGAGAAACGACGCATTTCCTTGGGATCGGAAGACAACTTCTTGCCCATCAATTTTTGACCAAAGTTTTGAGGACGTTCCATAGACTTCAAAGAACGGGTACGGTTGGCATAGTAACGAGCGGAGGAGGCACCAGACATGGCAGAAGTGCGACGAGAACCAGCTTCCTTAGCTTGAGGCTTGTTGTCGACCAAAGTGTTCTTGGGTTCATAGATGTATTGCATAGCGAACTTGATGAAATCAAGAGGGACAAACCACACAAAGTTCCAGATCCAGACAATACCAACCCAGCTCCATCCACAACCGTAGATCTTGGTGAAGCCCCAGTCAGCGTAACAGGCAATGAAGGTAGCTACCAATTGAGCAACAACGAAAGCGCACATCAACATGACGGAAGGACGTTCCATGAAGAAGAAACCACGAGAACGAGTGACAAAGATCAAACCTTGAGAAATGGTGGATACTTGGAGGTAGACAATAGAGTGGTAAATACCGTGGTTGGGATCATCGTATCGTTCAACACCAAACTTGTCAGCGAAGAAATCAGTCTTGAAAGCGACAGCGAAGAAGGCAACAGTGGAAACAGTGAGGTAAAGACCGTAGACAATAGCATAGGTGAAAATTTCACGCAAGTTCCAAGAGTTGGGGTAAGGAGAAGGCTTGACACGATCAGTGGAAATAGTCATAATGGTACCGTCATTAAGAATGGCCAAAATCAAAACAAGGAAAGGAGGGAAATCGAATTGGAAAGCCCAGCAGAGGATAGAGAAACCAACAACCACACGAATGGTAACGGAACAGGTATAGATAGCATAGTTACGCATACGTTGGAAAATTTGACGAGAACCAATGATAGCTTCAATGATGACAGACAAACCAGGTTCAGTCAAAACAATATCAGCAGCGGAACGAGCAGCATCAGTGGCATCAGCAACAGCAATACCGACATTAGCCTTGGAAAGAGCAGGAGCATCGTTGACACCATCACCAGTCATAGCAGTCATGTGGCCGAGGTTTTGGAGACGTTCAACAATTTCATACTTGTGTTCAGGGTAGACACCAGCGAAACCATCACATTGCAAGACCATTTGATCGACATCAGTATAACCAGAACCAGCAGGAGGACCTTCCTTAAGAGTCTTGGACAAGAACATGTTATCACCCATACCGAGACGACGACCAGTTTCTTTACCAATAGCGAGTTGATCACCAGTGATCATCTTGACTTGAACACCGAGAGCAATAGCACGATCGATGGTTTCCTTGGTATCAGAACGAGGAGGATCATAGATAGGAAGAAGACCAATAAGACGGAAACCTTTACCTTCACCTTCAACTTCACCACTGGGAACTTCATCAACAGCAACAGCAAGAGCACGGAGACCACGACGAGCGAATTCATCCACATCATCATTCAAAGCCTTGATTTGTTCTTCATTCTTATCACGAGAGCAGAGATCCAAGATGGTGTGAGACATACCCTTGGTAACACGGAGCACCTTTCCTTCACTATCCTTGTAGGTGATTTCAGTACGCTTAACAACAGGGTTGAAAGGCTTGAATTCGAGTTCTTCAATACCACCACGAGCCATGGATGGATCAGGGAGAGAGTTGACAATACAGAAATCGATGGCATCTTGGTTTTCAGTACGAGAAGCGAAAGCAGAGAATTTGATGATTTCATCACCGTCGAATTCAGCATAGGACTTGATGGTAGGCTTGTCAACAATAAGTTTGTTCAAGGTCAAAGTACCAGTCTTATCAGAACAAAGGATGGTGACAGCAGCCATTTCTTCAATAGCAGTAATACGAGTGACAATAGCCTTGTGTTCAGCCAATTGTTTAGCACCGATAGCAAGAGTGACGGACAAGACAGTAGGCATAGCAATGGGAATACCACCAATGAGCAAGACAAGGATGTTATCAATACCACGACGATAATCGTAATGGAAAGCAGCATATTGAACAATAAGAACAATCACCAAGAAAAGACCAATGGTACACAAACAGAAGTTACCAATAGAAGCAAGAATTTGTTGAAGATGGCCAACATCATCACCAGCATCACCAACGAGCTTGGCAGCACGACCGAAGAAAGTATTAAGACCAGTACCAATAACAACAGCTTCAGCTTCACCTTGTTTCACAGTGGAACCAGAGAAAACTTCATCACCAGCATCCTTTGTAACGGGAAGAGATTCACCAGTCAAAGCAGCTTGATCAATAGAAACTTGACCATGAGCCTAAATAAATAAAAAAAAAAATAAAATAAATAACAATTAGTATATATTGTGGGAAATCATGACAATGAGACTAAAAAAACATGATATTGAACATCCGCTGGGAAGTCAAGGAAAAAAAAAATTTTCATCTTCCAATCATAACCCAAGAAATTCAAGACATGACAAATGAAAAAAAAAAATGGGAAGAACTTTTTTGAGAAAACTTACAGCAATAAGACGACCATCAGCAGGGACAACATCACCCAATTTACAAGCAATGATATCACCAGGAACAAGTTCAGCAGCTTCCATAGTTTTCCATTCACCATCACGACGCACCTTACATTCAGGAGCAAGAGCTTCCATCAAAGCCTTGACAGCATTACCAGCTTGACGTTCTTCCATAAAACCAATAACAGAGTTAGCCAAAAGCAAAAGGACAATACCAATGAAATCAGGATAATCAGGAGGTTGACCAAAACCATTAGAAAGAGCAATAGCAACAATAGCAGCAGCTTCCATTACCCAAGAAAGAGGATTCCACATGAAACCCAAGAATTGCAAGATAGGATTCACTTCCTTGGTTTCGAGTTTGTTACGACCAAACTTTTCAATACGACGAGCAGCTTCATCAGAAGTCAAACCATCCTTGGAAGTCCTAAATAAATGAATGAATAAAAAAAAAAGTAATAGTTGATGATGATGATAAAGAAGAATGATAATAGTGAATAAAAAAAAAAAGAAAAAGAAATCATCAGTAAAAAAAATAAATAAATGATGTATTTTTTTTTTTAAAAAAAAGCTTACTTTAAAAGAGTCATACAATCAGTATGATCCATGGTGGAAAGATCAAATTTTTCCTTGTCGTAAAGTTCTTCGACGGTCAAAGTGTTCAAATCGCCATTGATTTTTTGTTGTTGGGGAGTATCAGAAACTTCCACTTTTGTATGTTCTTCAGCCATGACGGTTGTACGTAGATTGAGAGAGAGAGAGATAAAGAAAACTTTTTTTCAAAAAAAGTGTCTATTATAAGAAGCGAAGGGAGAGTATGTTTGGTAAAAAAAAATGGAAAGGAGAAGGGAGAAATATAAAAAAAAAAAAAAAATGAAGGAAAGGAAAATGGAATTATATGTGAGTTTTTGGCTAAAGAAAAAAGAAAAAGAGAAAAAAAAATAAAATCGATTTTTCGACTTTTCTTTTAAATGAGAAATCGAAACAGTGGAGACAGAAATTCAATGGCCGCTGGTCCCACAAAAGAAAATTTTTTTTTTTTTACACTTCTAACTATTTTGAAAATGAGGTTCCACCAATTATGAAAAAGGAGAGAGGGACAAAATGGACCTTTTTTTTTATTTACGTATTGAAACTATTATAAACTCAACCTTACAGGTCAGGTCGTAGTTGTCGGGATCCACCGTCCCAATAGAATCTCTGATATTCATTTTTCCCCTAAACCCGTGCGGTATTCTAACTTGACGTAATCTCGATTGGATTGATTCGTTTAAAGTATGTCTTAGATCTTTTTTATTGGTCAAGTCACTTTTCTTTGTTTCATTGGCAAAAGGAAAAAAGTTTAAATCGCAGAAGCGGTTACTTTTTTACCCTATCCAAGATCAAAAAAAAACAAGGTACGGATATAATAAAAGGGGGGGAAGATCAACCATTGGATACATATAAGTCTAATTCAAAAAAAAATGATAAATGTTGATCCTACCTATTGTGGATCACAAATCATCTCTTTTTATTTAAAACCATATACATCTTATTTTACAAAAAAGAATTAGTGACAAACTCTCTTGATTAGTTAATAGAGATTATGGAAAACTTTACATTTCCTTGTTCACGTTTTTTTTTTTTATCATCCTTTCTTTTTTTTGATGATATTTCGACCGGGCATTTAAATTTTATATAATATATAAAAAAGATGAATGACTATCAACATATGTTTCAACTCTTTTTAGGAAGTTAAACAAAAAAAAAAAAACTCCAATCAAAATAAACACCTTGAAGTCATTAAAAAAAAAAAAAAAAAAAGTCGGAAGCCCCGCTTTTTTTTTTCTCCAACATGGTATTCTTTTTGTTTTATAAAAAAAAATAGATAGTCATAAAGCAAACTAGGGTAAAAAAAATAAAGCGGAGAATCAATGGTGCTACTTTGATATCAACTACTCGTGCACAATCAGTCTAAATGAGTAACAGAGATAATAGCAATTGTAGCAACAACATATAATCAATCGTCATAATAATAATAATAAAAAAAAAAGTTCATTTCTCCTATGGTCTTTTTGGTGGAGTCTTATTTTCCCCGCCCGCACAAATAATCTTTAAGCGAATTTAGCGATTGGCAGAAAAAAAAGGATAGAACAAAAAAGCTCACTCATCCAAGTATTACCTAATTTAGTCAGTAGGACTTCTACTTTTACGGGAAACCATGGGAAAACGTTATCCTCATCTCCATGGTTCCCCACCCTTAATCTACCGATCATGAATACCATCATCGTTTATTATTATCATCCTTATTAAATCAAAATAAAAAAATCTTGACCACCTGCCTCTTTCTACTACGGATCCGATTATTTTTGGGTTGCATACAATTCGGTCTTGTCCTTAAAAGGTCATTAAACAAAAAGGAAAGAAAAGAAGGAATCCGAAAAAAAAAGGCGTGATCACCCATAGGATTATTATTATTTTTTTTTGGATGATGGATTCCCCCTGTTCTAGCCTATTCAAATTCCTTACCCAGTCACTATCCCCCTTTTTTTAACTGTGCTCAACCAAGTTTTTTTTTTTTTTTTTTTTTTGTACTCCCAGGTGACCTCGTTGACTCTTTCGTCATGACAGATCGTGTGTTAGACAGTGCCAAATTTATTGCCCAAGTAAAATAATAAAAAAAAAACTAAAAATATGAATATCAAAGAACACTTCCGGATGAATTATGCTTAGATTTTTTTTCCGTAGCATAGTGACCTTGTTTCCATTCCATATGAGCATATTGATCTTGCCGCTAAGCGGGTAAGAAAAGACATTATCATTTCAAAAGTGATGCATTGATGGCAATCTATTATGAAAAAAAAAAATATTATAGATCTTGGAGAGTATGCAAGAGCGGGAATATAGTACAAAGACTTGGAACCAACATGTATTGAATCCCAAACAATTAAACCAACATACTGTAGATTGGTAAGAGAGAGTTCTTTTTAACAATATATATATAGAAAGAGAGAAAGAGTCTCTTATTTTTTTGTTTTTGAAAAAAATGAATCCATAACGATCATATACACTTTTTTTTTTGGTATATATGCAGGATTTTTTTGGTGGATTTACTCAACTTTTCTTTCTGGAGTGATTTGGATCATGCTGATAAAGCAACACCTCATCCTGATCGATATGCCATCACATATCAAGGAGTTGCGTATACTGGATATTGGTCACTCTGTGCTGCCATCAATCGTGGTAATAACAAAAAAGACAAGAAAAGAAAGAATCTAACGAATGATATTTTCTTTATTTTATTATCAAAGCATTGGATCATGGTATCCCTGTTACTACCTTCAAGTATCTTGCTGAAGCAAATGAAAGTGAGCTGGCTCTGATTTTTAAATCAGATACGAAGGAAGAAATCCCTATGTTGAAAGAACGTATCGAGTTGATGAAACATGCTGGAAAAGTGATGTGCCAGGTAAAAAGTAGACTAATGCAAAAAGATGAATTAACAAATGAATGGAAAATCATCTAATATCCAAAGTGACATTAATTCTTTAGTACTTTGATGGTTCTTTTATTCATTGTATCGAAAAAGCCAATCGATCAGCTCAAGCTTTGATTGATTTACTTTTGGAATATTTTCCCTCCTTTCGAGATATTCATGAATTCAAGGGTAGAAAAGGTATTAGTTTATATTTATTCATCAAATCAATCTAACATTATTATTTTAATTAATAGTATACATATTGAAGCGAGCTCAAATTCTGATTGCGGATATTTGGTAAAAAAAGATAACAAGTCTATAACAAAAATAGCGTGAGAAATGTCACTCAACTTTAACTATATTATATCATTATTATTAGGGCATGTTTTGATGGATCTATGTATGGAGAATTCTATGATATTGATACCATCACGATGTTTGCTGATTACAGGTAACTCAAAAAGTAATAATAATAATAATAATAAATACTCACGGGGACCATCTATTACTTTTTCTGGTATACTTTTCTTCGACTTGTTCACCTCTTATGATTAGAGTTCCTCAGGTACAATTTTTCCATTCTCAGAATGTTCATCTCTAATCTTTTTTTTTTTTTTTACACACACGTAAATCATTTCTCTCTTTCTTAGGCATTGTATCATTTAGGTTTATTGGAGTATAACACAGAATTAAAAACAAAATTGATAAAGCGCGAAAAAGTATTATCCGGTAGTCAAGAAGAGATTGAAATACGTGGCAATTCAATTTGGGCTGTGGAATTAGTCCGCCAAAAAATCCAAGAACAGTATCATAACAAGACTATCAATGCCATTTTAATCGATTTTTATATTTGGGACCTGGCAAAAGAAATTCAAAACCAACTCACTGTACCTACTCATCATACACGTAGTTGTTTCTATTAATCCTTCAACTCAAATTGCATTTACTCCATTCATCATTATTCATTCTTCTTTCTTCTTCAAAATAAACTAATACTAAAAGATTTGGTTAAAATCGGATACAGAAATATTGACTGTTATTTCAAAAAAAAAAAAAAAAAAATAGTTAAAAGCGAGAAGATGTCACGTTGTAAGAAGGAAACATTTTTATTGGTTGCATTTTGAGTAAAAGAAAATCGTTAAAAAAAAAGATCTTTTAAAAAAAGGGAAAATCAATAAAGACAAAATGATGATATTAAAAGGATCATGTTCAAACAAAGTTAATGAAAGTTATCATAAAAGTTGGAAAGACTTGGAAAGGAATAGGAAAACGACGGTAATGATGAAAAATTAAACTTTTAGCCTTACGTTTACCGAAGTTATCATAGGAAATCAGTCATAAAGATGACTTGAAGTCACAATAGGAGCTCCCAGTCGGAAAGTTCTTTTGACTTTTTATCATTCATTCCGAGGTCTTAAATAACAAACAAATGTTATTTGTTTCATTGTTGATGAAAATATCATTTCCTTTTTTGATTGATCCCTTGATTCTTCAATTGATAAAGGATGTATTTCTATCTAAGGAACTCATTCACATCTAAAACATGTACACAGCCGGATAATATCAGGCACAACGCGCTATTTTCACAAAATAATACGGTTTTAAGAAATTCCACATAAAGTCCGAAATACAGTCATCCATCCTTTCGTCCAACAATGATCATAATAATAAAAATACTGTTATCCGATAAAGTAAAAAAAATAAAATAGAAGAATGTCACATATATATATATATAAAGTACATCAGAAGATGGAATCAATTACATTGACATGTAACAGGAATAAATTAAACATCTTGTTACATAAAAGTATAAATAATATCCTTTTTTTCTCAGTCAAGAAAATTCAATAAAAGTATAATAAACAAATGACCAGTTTGTTTCAGCGAATATATTGGTTTGATCGATCTCTCTCCTTGATCATTGATCTTTCATTTTCTATCTCATGCCCGTGCATAAACAACATGACATCACATTTATTCTTCCAACTGGTAATATTTGATAATGATGATGTTTTATTTTAGTTAATGCATGTATTTCTATGTAAGGAAGTCATCCAGACTCACATAACTTGTGTCACACCCCGGAGAACAAATTTATAATGATATCATTCATATCCAGCGATGATCACAAAAAAAAATACAAAAGGATTTATCAAATATTGGACCAAGTTAATCGAATGACATGATCCGTTTTACGTTGAGTAGATTTGATAAAACCCAGGAATTGAAGTTCTGCTACTGATCGGATGAATCTTGCTCTAAATTGATTGAAATAAAATTAAGATAAATTAGTTTTTCATCAAGGAAGCCATAAAAGGAAAGGACATTAAGAAGAAAAAACTTACTGCACTTCATTTTCATCCAGAGGATGGCCATCAGGACGATGTTCTCTTTCAATTAAACAACCAAAAGCCACAAACCAGTCGTACAAATTAATCATGCGTCCACATTCCAAATATAGTTTATATAACAAACTAGTATCTTGTTCACTTGGTAATAGTGATTGACGGTCTTGTTGACAACAATCACAATTAAGATAATATTGAGATTGATTTAACGCTGTTTGAATAGATCCACGAGGTTGAGGTGCAAATGACTAGTGTAATGTAAAATGAGAGATAAGAAGTTTTCTTCTTCCTTTTTTTTTTTTTATCTTATCTTACCTTTTCATGTAATTTCACATGAGTATAATAGATTAATTCATGTGCAGGTATACTTGTATAAGATCGTAGATCATGACTATCCCAAAAAAAAAAAAAAAATAACCAGTAAATATAATAGAAAAATGTTATCAAATAGTGATATTTATGCATTATTTCTTTTTCTTTACCGTAAGATAGATTGGAGCCAATCAGCAATCTCCATAGCCATTTTCGATGTCAAAGTTCCTTTTTCTCGTAATTGAGCAAATGCATTTTCTTGTACTTTTTCCGCTGTTTTCGTCTGTCTTGATGATGATGATTCCATGGATGTTGGTATCCTATTGGTTGAGCTTACTATCATTCCTTCCAATCGTTTTTCTTTTTGTTTCATTTTGGCCTTTTCTTGATCGGACGCTGATTGCCATGTCTTTAACTGATGTTGCCATGTTGTCATCTTATCCTTCCAAGTATTGTCATCATAGTCTTGTAATATATTTGTGAGTTGTTCCAAAAAGGGTTCCAATGCTGTTGCCTCCATTTTCCGTACTAATGTTACCAAATACTGAATCGTATCTGCTTGAGTACCCCATTGTGAATTTTCCAGTTGTTCCAGATAAAGCAAACGCCGCGTTTTCTTTTTTGTGTGAGGAAATTGTGATTGCAGGAATTGAAGCAGAGCCATTCCTCGTTGAAAATGTCGTTGATACCTTCCGAGATCCACTAACCATGTCGCCAATTGTTCCGTCATCAAGTAACAATCATCATTCAGTAATTTCAAAGCAAGCTGTCTGTTTTTGTCAAGTTCGTCCTCCTGTTTTCCATCCGTATCATCTACCAAATCTTCAATGAATTGCCGAAATGAGCGTAACATTCGCACATGAGCAGCATGATCAACAGTAATAATGTTTTCTTGATACCAGCGTGTCACTGTTTCCAAAAGTGTTGTATAAGGTTGACCAGCCAGACTAAGGAAGATGGAAAGAGGATTGCTGTAAAAATGATGCATCAATGCGTATTTTACGCTTGCCTTGACTTTGCTGATGGAAAAGTCAAACAAGTAAAAATGATCCAATAAAAATTTATAGGGTTTCGCTCCAAATTTTAATGTGAAATCTGATTCGATGAATATCTAATATATATGTTAATGAGTTCTTTACGATTCTTTCTTTTACATATATATATTTACCTTGTCTAAGACTCGATTAAACCAAACATCACTTTGTTGTAACCAAAACTTTTCAATACGAAGTAGACAAATAGTGGATTTTGTCAACGATTGATGAAGGATTTCAGTAGAAGTGGCAATGCCAATAATAAACACAAAAGGTAACTGTACCCGATATTCACTGGAAAAAATAAAATAAAATGAAGATTAAAAATAAATAAATAAAATGTTTTTCCACTATTCTCCAACATTTACCTAATGATGGTCATAAAGTCCTGAAGTAAAAGTGGATCGAATGATTCAAAATCCTCGAGAATGACAACTAATTTTGGCCATTCCTTCTTATTTCCATTGAGTTGTCGTTGTTCTATTGTTTCCAAGTACCAACCAACAAGGATTTGCAAATCATGACTAGCCAATTTTACAGGTTTTGTAGTGATATAAGAGCCTCCTAATTGATAGGAAGTATTACCTTCTTCTGCCAGATCATTATGTTGGATAGTTTCTTGATGCGATATAGTTTCTTCCTCGTTCACTTTTAAGCTACTGCCGTGATCGTTCCTCTTTCTGGTGGATGTGAATACGTCGTGATCATGATTCATGAATTGTTCAATCATTGTAGACATGATGGTTTTCAAAGAGTGACATGTTTGTGAGGAAAGTGAGGCTACATAATGGCGATTCTGTGTCCTATTTGATGATTGATCCCGTAAGGTTTTACCAATTTCCTTGAACTGAGTACTATGATCTGGTGTATTGATACCTGCAAATACAAGTGCTGCTGGAATTTCATGATAAGGCATTGGTATCAAGCTAAAAGGAAATTAAGAGGAGAGTTAAAGAAGGAAAGCTTTTTATTTACCATTACTGCTATTCGACTTTTGTCTTACCTGTTGTCACTGGTGTCATCAGAAGTGTCTACAAAATGTCGAATTTGGTGCCGAATGGAATGATTTAGATCTAATAGAACGTTCTAAATAGACACATACTAATTAATATATGTATATATATGATATAACCAAAATACAAACAATGACTTACATCCATGATGGAGTTTGTTTTTTTCCATAGATCTTCATAAGCGTTTTTCCGTAATAGCATACACTCGATTGACTCCATACCGTTGAATAATTGTTGGAAACCATCATATTTCATGACTTCAGTATCAGTAGATAGTCGTCGTTTAGCAGTTGATGATACAGTTGTTGATACTATTTTAATCAAAAAAAAAACAAAACGAAGATTAATCTATTTTGTTTTATTTCACTGAATAATAATAATAATACCTTTTGATTGGTTTGTTCGTTTGCGTTTATTTTTCGTACCATGGTTGGTTTGACTGGAACTAGGCAATACCAAAAAGCATCCCTATATATAATAAAAGAAAAAAGTTTAGTATTTTCGTGATTTATTATCTATAAACTATTACTTCAGAAATGGAATCAAAGTCGTCTCTTGGTTGTATTGAAGTCATTGAAAGAAAAAGAGCATAGAAAATGGGATGAAATCAAGGGGTGCCGCGCAATAAAAAAAAAAAAAAATTGGAAGACAGGTTAACTACTTATGATGTTTTTGGTCAAGCAAAAAATCAACTTCCGAAATCTCGAGAAGAATAAAAAAAAAAAAAAATTGAAAAGAATAAAGATGAATAAAAAAAAAAAAATCCAATGAAAAGGTTAACATCATAAAATTTAAATTTATTTTATTATGAAAAGATAATTTGTACCTTTTTTTTTTTATTGTTTCGTATAATGATGGGAAAGCTGCATGAATTTATCTACGTGACGGTGGATCTAAGCCAACAAAGCAAGGAGGAACAAAAAAAAAGTCCATTTATAAAAAAACATCTTTTTATTACTTTCTATCTTGTTCAACTCTTTGTTATATATATTCTTTATCTTATATTAAAATATCTAAAGAAAAAAAATATGCAAGTGACTGAACAAACTCCTTTTGACGAAAACGAAGGAAAATTAGAAGTACCAGCCTTTTTAGGCTTAAGTCAACAACAGTCAAACTTGTTAGTAGCTCTTTACAACGAAACTGATCCCGAATTTGCTAAACAAGTGCCTACTGCTTTACCTTTTGCTGCTCAACAATTAGCAAACGAATATGAAAAAAGAAATAGTGTTGGTAAAAAGGTAAAAAAAAAAAAATAGATAGACTTTTATTGAACATAAACGAGCTTTCTTTTTTTTTTTTTTTGTCAAATACCCCTGTATACAAATAACTAACGAACAACAACTCTTTTTTTTTTTTTATTGATATATATATAAATAGTTGGAACGAGCTAATGTGAAATGGGCAGAAGAATTTGAACTTTTTGAAAAAGCACAACAAGAAGCTGTCACTCGATTATCTAATACGGAAATGAATATTGATAAAGCAGCAGAAGGATTAAAGTTGATGGATAATGAAAAGTGTCCTTTACATGATCTCTTATTGGGTAGTCTTTTATATGGAGGACTTCGAAGGGATCCCGTCTCACCTGATGACCGAGCTAGTATGTCTCCTGTTGCTAGTCCTAATTTTGCTGGTGCCAAACATTTGTTAGAACGTGCTTTGAATGAACATGATTATTCCATGGCTGCTGTTCAAATTGGTTCTTTTTATACTCAAGAAGAAAAATTGGCTCAAGGAAAAAATTTACCTGGTCAAGATCCTAAAAAACTTGCATTTGAATGGTATGCAAAGGCTGCTGCTAAAGGAAATCCTGTAAGTTTGTATTTTTGGATGATTTATATTGGATGTGCATAAACTTATTTTTTTTTTTTTTTGGTTGATAGATGGCATGTCATAAACTTGGTTTCTTTTTAGAAAATGGCATAGGATGTCAACAGAATACACAACAAGCTATTGCAGAATATACCAAAGCATATGATCAAGGATATCCTGATTCGGCACATAATTTGGGTATCATTCATCAAGGCAATTCAAAGCTCACATTACCAGTGAGAGATGTGAAAAAAGCCATGGATTTCTTTGAACGAGGTAAACAATGGGGTTATGCACCATCTTCCAATGCTTTGGGTCGTATGTATTTGTTAATGTCCAAAGATGAACAACTTGCCAAGGATGCTGGTAACCCAAGTGATGATAAGGAAGAATACATTGTTACTGGAATTGATTTTATGGAAGATGCAGCTAATAATGGAGATGCAGATGCTATGTTAATGTTGGGATTAATCTTTGGTTCTCAAGATTATGGACTCTATGATATGGATAAAGCTCAAAATTATCTAGAATTGGCTCTTGTACGTGGTGATCTTGAAGCATACAATTATCTCGTACGTGTCTTACGTGCCAAGATGGCAGCACGTGTAGCCTTGGAAAAACAAAATATGGAAAACTTTGAAAAATTATCGGATGCTGATAAAGCTAAATTGGTGCGTCAATTGGCAAAGGAAGCTGCCCCTGAAAAGGTGAAGCATCGACAATGTGCTAATCTTTTATGTGAAAATACTGAACAAAATCAAGGTGATTTTAAACGTTGTGGTCAATGCGAGCGGGTTTCTTATTGTTCTCGTGAATGTCAACGTAATCATTGGAAAGCCGGTCATAAAGCTGTTTGTAGTAACAAAAAACAATCTTCATCATCATCACCAATTACTTCCACTGTCCCTGAACCTAACGTTTGAGAAATAGACAGATTGATCTCTCTTACTCCTTTGTATCCAATTCCTTCATCTTATAATATATTACCGCATAATATCTTTTTTATATTACTTCAATGAAACATTCCTTTTTTTTTTTTTTCTTGAGAAATATTTTCCACATGATGAAAGATATTTTGTCTCTATGGAGATATTTGAAGACAAAAGATATCTTCAAATTTTTTTTTTTTATTGTTTTCATACTAGAAAGTCTAATTCCTTCAATATTTCTATACCTTCTAACCAAAATGATTTCCATTTCTATATCTAGCACATCTAGTAATGATTTCGCTATTTTCGTTCTTCAAAAAAAAAAAAAAAATATGGTTGAAGGTGCCAAGTTAAGCATATGCAGTTCCGAGTGTAATTGTTCTTGGAGACGAATTGCCTTGATGGTTTATAAAATCATATGTATGTTACCAAAGTCTATAACTTGCTTTGTCAATCAACGTCTCGCTTTTTTTATTTTCGCATTCAAACAAGATTTAGCACTTTTGCAGTTGTGGTACGTTTTGAAAAATCCTTTTAGTTGACCTTTCCGGTAACAATCCTTCCAGTTGAAACCTTTTTTGGTCTTTTCGTCAAGTACAAAACAAAGTTCGTCATAGTCAGTAGGACTCATGGTGACGGCAGTGGTGTGGGTATTATTATTCGACGAAGGAACGGTATATATGTCGTATATTGCTGCTGTTGCTGCTTGTTTGCCTTCATTTATTATGTCATTAACGCCTTGATTATTTTTTATAGCAGACTCGATTCGAATCATATATTCATAAAATTGTTGAGCTATGAATTGTGTTTTTTGAGTATCTGATGTAGCAGGGATATTTTTACTCAAATCACGGGGAAGAGAATAAAGAGGAATCATAACCACATATAGAGTGAAGAAACTGTTAAAAAAAAAAAGAAAAGAAAAAAAAATTGAACGGTAGAAAAGAAGAAGAAAACAAGTGACTATATAATGATATGATATAACATTGCTGTGTAACATCCCTGAATTCATTACTCTATTTTATAGTGGTTAATATTACAAAAGTTTGATCATCAGGCATATTCTGGATCTAAAAGCAAAAAGAATTTACATTTCTTTCTAAATGAATGTGTGCAATTCATTCAGGAATATGGTATACAGCATTGTATTTTTTTTTTTTTTTTTTTGCCTAGAGAATATTGTCTTACATTAACGATATTAGTTCAGTTGAAAAAAAAAATATTGATGATGATGAACTAATCATTTCCATCCTTCCCATCATTATCATTATCATGGTCTTAGATATCAGTGTAGAATATCTTGAGATATCAGCATCAGTGAAGGCTTGGTCTTTTTTTTTTTTTTTTAGAAAAATATGGATTGAACATCCGAAACAGGATTGATCGGCAAAACGTGAACTCGTACCTCTCTATTGGTCAGCGTTTGTTGTTTACTCCCTTTTGTTTTGCTTCAATGTTTCGCCATATGATTAGAACAACAAATCCTTGTCGTCCTATACAGAGATATGTACGTCTTTCTACCTATAAAGTCCTGAGACAACACTCTATTCTTACACTTCCCCTTTTATGTCAACAACAACGACGACGACAAGAACAACAAATACTACAACGTCAGTGGAATTCGACTTCAACTGCTGAAGAAAAACACAAACCAACGTATTGTCCAGGATGCGGAGCTCCTTTTCAGAAAGATCGACCTGGTTACCCTGGTTATGTATCACCACGTAAGCCAGCTACAATACCTCAACGTAAACATAGTAAAGGACTTGATAATGAAGCTTACGATTCATTGTTCAAATCATTGGATCCTACTTTTCAAGCACTTCTGGAAGGAAGAGAGATATCTGATAAGGAAAAGAACAATAGCGAGCAACAACAACAAGTATTACAAACAACCAACGATGAATCTCAAAGTAACAAGAATACCCCCATCCCTGTTTGCCAGAGATGTCACCAACTAGTAAATAATAACAGGAAAGAAGGGCCTGACATTGGATTTCTCAAAGCATCACAACAACATACATCATTGTCCTTCTTACATACCAAACAACGACCATTGATATTGTATGTTATGGATATTACAGATATGCCTTGGTCACTTGAATCGTTAAAACAGATCTTGAATATACAGCCAGAAGCCCGAGTGATGATTGTGGCGAATAAGGTTGACTTGCTACCAAAATCCGTAAACAAACATGAACAACGTATTAGGGACTATATCTTATCTAGTTTGAAACAACAATTGGAAAAGGATGACAATCAATCTGGAGTGGCAACAACAAGGAACATTCAATCTATCTCTTTGATCAGCGCTACAAAAAGTTGGGGAATGAAAGGATTACTCAAACGTGTTCAACAAAATTTACTTCCTACAGATGATCTCTATGTCATGGGAAGTGTCAACGCGGGAAAATCAGCTCTCATTCATCAATTTTTAAGTCAGTCTCGTAGTTTGGATAAAAAAGAATATCGTACGACAAGTTCAAGTGTACCGGGAACAACGATAGGTATGATTCGGATTCCTTTACATGTATTAGGTATCAGCACCAGTACCGATGACTATAACAAATCACGATTGGTTTCACGAGATCACTATTTGATCGACACACCAGGAATGATCGATACTAAGAATGATCTCCATCCTATGATGTTAGCAACAGAGATGCAGCAAAAGCTTGTATTAAACAAGAATCGACGCACTCCATTAAAACCAACCACCTTTCGACTTTATCAAGGACAATCTATTGTTTTGGGCAAGGCAAGAATAGATGTATTGATGACAACAAATAAACCAGTCTTGATGACTTTATTCACACCGCTTGCACCTCATATCACGAAAACGATCAAACTGGAAGACAAAGATCTAATAGAACCTTTGGATGGTACAGTCATTGTACAAAGTCATCATCATTCTCATGCATCAGCAGATTTAGCTTTTGCTGGGATTGGCTGGATTGCTTTGACAGGTGGATTTGGAAAAGCTTCATTTAAAATATGGTTACCAAAAGGTATTTCGGAAAAGGTTTTTTCCCTTCGTGAACCTTCCTTTTTACCATTTGAATATCATGGTCAAATTCGAAAATTCTTTGGTTCTGGAAAACGAGCAACTAGTTAGACTTTAATTCAAAATAGATAAATAATAAAAAAAAACTCTAGACTTTATTTTTTTTTTTGATAGAAATCATTAAATCTACTAAGAAGACTAGGCGCGAATAAAAGAATTGTAGTACAAATGACACCTAGTATACTTTTTTTTTTTTTTTTTTTACTGTGTTTCCATGATGGTTTGACTAACTTACCGAGAATGGCTCGATTTTTTGTTTGCACAGACTTTTTTTATATATAAATAACAACAATTGGTGTTACCCACAATCCGCCACAGGAATATCGATGAATACTGGGACTCTGCTGTTCTTCATCATCATTTCACATAAAGAGGGAGGAGGGATTTTTTGATTTGTTTTTCTTCGTCTTTTTTTTTGTTGTTATTTATTTCTTCTCTCTCTCTCTTTTTTTTTTTTTATTTTGTTTTGTTTTTTTTTTTTTTATCTTGTTTTTTTCTCTCTTTTTTTTTTTTTTCTTTTTGTTTATATATTACGTGTTTGAATTGACTTTTTTCGCTATTCAAATAGCCACAAAACAAATCAGCGCGTAAAAGGAACAGTATGCTGCAACAACAATCATCACTTTGCTTTCAAACTTCTCCAAAAGAAAAAGAGTAATAAAAGAATAGACGAAACAGTTGTTAAAAAGTATGATATATATGTTTAGACACAGAGGTATTTATAACTCAATACTTTTCTTTTTTTTTTTTTTCTGTAAAGATATCAAATGTTGACATCATCTAACGGATTGTATAGGATGGAAAGTACCAACACCTCTAATAGCTTTTTACAAAACTCATCTAGAAAGTATGTGTGTAACCCATGCGGTATCTATGATTTCCCCGTCAGATCCTTTCCTTTTTTTTTTTTTTTTTTTCTCTTTGACAACATTCATTATTATTTTGTAAATAGACATTGACATATGATTTTTTTTTCTTATTTTTTTTTTTTTTTGATGGATATAGTAATATTCGATTTGAAGTGATTATGGAAGCACCTACAGCTGCAGCTCAAAAGATTGATGAAACGCCTTTAACTTATCTTAATAAAGGTAATAAAGCATAAAAAAAAAATAGGGGAGTGGGAAAAATAAGGGGGTAGCGACAAATTTGATTTATGATAATAAATGTTTATTTATATTAGGACAATCATATAACATTACATTAAAGGACACTCATCAGTTTGAAGGATATATTACAAGTACTATTATGATCATGTTTCACGATGAAAATCATCGAAAAGTAGCTCCCAACTATTGGAAATTCTGGCAAACTCAACAAAATAATCCTCATATGGCTCGTGCCATTGATGTGGGTAATAAAATAAAATGATTCTAAAACCTATAAAAAGATAGTGATTTATTCCTTTCTTTTTTTTTTTTTTTATAAAAAAAAATATATAGAACTTTCAAGATCAAATGGTCTTCATCAAGTAGAATGTCATTATTTTGATCGAATCACTTTTCGCTGGTATGGTAACAAAGGGGCTAATTTGTTGATTAAATTCAATTGCCTTTCTACTGATTTTTCTCGTATAAAAGGCGTAAAAGGAATTCCTTTAAGATTACATATGGAAAGCAATATTAATGATGATTATATTGAAAAAACTTATTGTCGCATCAAACTATTTCGTGATAAGGTAAAAAGTTTTATGATATAGTTCATTGTTAACAAAATCATTCTTTTACATAGGGTGCTGAACGAAAAAATAAAGATGATGCAAAACATATTGAACGACAATTGGAAAAATTACGTGGCAAGCATGGTGAACCACATCCTTTATGGCTGACTTACTCTCACGCTGTACCGTATACCCTTTTTCAAGAAATTGACACCAAAGATGTATCTACTCTTTATCAAACAACAACAAATTCCTCAAGAAGTGTTTCATCTAGTAGACAATCTCCCTCTTCTTATTCCATACCATCTCCTCCCATACCTCTTGCACCACCATCACCTTCTATCACCTCACATCATTCTCGTCATCCACAACAACAGTTCAAGACAAGTCCCAGTAAAAGGCATCATCGTTATCTAACTGATCCTGGATATCCTTTACCATCTCATCCAAATTTATTTCAACAACACACACCTCCTTTACCTATCACCCTAGCACCTCATCACCCTTCTACTGCTGCTGCTGCTGCTTCTTCGATCTCACCTTGGATAACCTCACCTTCTGTGGATATTGATCCTGATTATATTCCTCAGAAAAGACATAGAGTTGCAAGTAAAGTATATAACAGAAGATAATATATTTCTCTTATACTCATTGACCTTTTTCTACAAATATCCATAGAATTGAGCATCTTTGTTCGTTTTGAAAATCAATCCGTCTATCGTGCCATTTATTTAGAAGAACTTACCGTACAACATTTAAAAGAAAAGATCCTGATGAAAATGGAATTCGAAGATGAAGATCAAAAGACATTGATCCGTGATATGGTGCGTCAAGTGCCAACAAAACAAGATCTCTTAGTGACAATGGATGATGATGCCATTATCCAGGATATTCCTGAAGAACAAGTCATTCTTATCAACAAACGTATTAATGATGATGGTTCCATTACCTTGATATTGATTTACTGATCCACTTTTGGCAAGTAAGATTTCCTGATTTCCTTCTTTCTCTCTCTCTCTCTTTTTTTTTTTATTTCTATGTACCTATTATTTTCTATTCATTCAATACTGTCACAAATCAATAACAACAATAAACTTCTCTTTTTCCTTAGAAATGAATATCATTGGTTTATTTGGAAGTTGGTTTTGTTTGTATAAGGTAGAAAAAAGAATAGATAATGATGATAGTTGTTCATGATAACCAACAACAATGACGATGATGAAAGCATGAATACAGTTTATCAAATTAAGAATGTAAATAAATGATACATTGTCATACTGCCTTCCAATTATTATTATTACTATTATTATTATTTAAATCCATGATTATTGTCGTGGATGATTTTTCAGAGCTGGCATCTTTCACTCTTCAAATGGAATATCAAGTTTTTGCATTGCAGTAATTGTTCAGAGGCATCGTGGAAGAAAAATTTACAGGCAAAAGGAGCTTAATAGTAGCTTTTTTTTGCATATGTTGATGAAAGAACTTTGCTTCTTTTTTTATTTTATTTATTATAATGAAAAGTCTTTTTGCTTTATTGTAAATCAGCATCAGGTATAATCATTTATCAACAAAGTCAGTAAAATCAGTAACGTAGGTTTATTTGATAAAATAATACAATAAAAAAGGAATATATATTTTTTCATTTTGACCTATGGACGGGTCCAGTGCGACATTGGAACTTGATTAATGTCTTGTCGGTTTTCAGTTCATGGCGATTTATGGCTTCAACGTTCGATTTGTGCAAAATTTCCAGCTCCTTGATATTCCTGACGAGTCTGCAAATCATCATCAAAGATTAGTCTCTGTCCTCCTACCTATTCTAAGCACTTACCGCATCGTCTTCTTGATATCTTCAGGATTGGTTGAGATACCAGCGTAGTCGATCACACACAATCGAACGTTTTTTGTGGCTGATGAGATGTATGCAAACATGTCTGCAGAAAAAAAAAAATATCAGTATTAAATTATCCACAACGACATACACCTCACCTTGCGTATTCCCATTGCAATGACTACGTGTGCTGCCGACATCACGCGACAAGATTGGATCGCTTGATCTGGTACCGTCGGACACAAAGGTTTTTTTGCAAAGACATTGTTTTTTCAGTCGATCTGCCATTGCTTCAATCAATCTCTTTCGTGTTTCGACAGGCTCTTGACCGGGAGACTTTCTGATGTATCCAATGTTCGTCCAATTTCCTTTGGCTAGTCGTTCAAACAAAAGAAGTTGGCCACTAGTGGTGGGTCTCATTTGCCATAATCGGATCGACTTGTCTAAAAAAAAAAAAAAAGAGTAAATACATACGACGATATACAGCGAGTACAAAGGGCCTTACCGCGGGAGCTGGCATGGAGGAACAGGACGCAAACTTGATTCAGGAGAGCGGGATCAGCATAGGGATATTTGCGGAGGATTTGAGGATACTACACGATCCAAAAGCACCTTTGACGTGATCGTACGCGATCCTTGTAATATCAATGTTTCCGTAATGGCCAGAGACTTCCAACGAAAGGATTTTCCAGATACAAGGTCGCATCAACAAGATACGTCGAGTTGTCGTTCATGGCCATCAGCTTTTCAAAAAAAAAAAAAAAAAAAAAAAAAAAGAGAATGATTAATATACTGTACCATCATCATCATTATTAAAAGAAACTTACTATTAAAGCAAGCACAGAAAGAAGGAAGTCCAATAAGTATATAATAAAAAAAAAAAGCAAATGGACCTAAAGGCCCGTCTTGATGTTTGTAAAGTTGTAGTCCAGAAAAAAAAAACTTGTATTGGAGTGGATGGATATGAAGACCTTGTATGCTTGTAAATTTGTTTAAAAATTGATATCAAAATAGATAAAGAAATTAAAAGAAAAAGAAAAAAAGAGAAAAAGAAAGAGAAAAAAAATAAAATAAAATAGCACTTTTTTATACCTCTCACCTGATCAAGGAATAAAATAAACCCGACTAAATTATCTCAGAAGAAAAAAAAAAAAAGAACTATTATGCAAATTCACATCAACATCACAAGATATCAATATTACATTAGTATACCCCTGTCTTAACTGTGAATATGACGATGATACAATATAAAAAATATAGTTCTTTTTTTTCCAAATATGGTCTGTTGAAAACAGTCAACTCACTTGCTGAGGCAATCACCATCAATCATCAATCATCAATCATCAATCATTAATCATTAATCATCAATCATTAATCATTAATCATTAATCATCAATCATCAATCATCAATCATCAATCATCAATCAATGTGTTTTGACATACTCCACCGACATCTCTAGAGCGATATCTGAAAAAGTGGTAATGCGACATCCATTTTGGGAAAACCCGATATTTTACTTTATAACATCACGAAAAGCATTTTCTTGTGACCCAACAAAACCTTTGAAAACACTGTATTTTTATTCGTCCTATTTCGTTACATTTCAATGTGATTGATCCCATCTTCTAATGTACCTTTCATTCTTTACTTGTGAATGCATTCTTTGGTTTTATTTTACGCATATGGTTACGGAATACACTGATACGACAATTACCTATGCTAGCATTGAAAGTTATAAGGAAAAGAAAGTTTGTTAAAAAATTAAAATTGGAAAATTAAAGCGTGGCTCCAACAGCATCTATCATATTAAAAGTCAGAGAGGACAATCCAGCAAGTTTAGTTCAAACTTTTCCCTGAAAAAGAATGAGATGAACGCCCCCCTACACTACCGGAGGTAGCTCAGCTTTTATTGGTGGGGAGATCCAATTTATTTAATATTACATTTGAATCTCAAACTTCAGGATATCCATACTTCTTTTTTTTCCAAAATAGTTTTATCAATGACAAGGGTTGCCATAGTAACAGGAGCTAATGCTGGAGTTGGCTATGGGATTATTCAACACTTATTACAAACCGAAAAGGATACCACGATAGTGATGGCTTGTCGAAATCTAACTAAAGCCCAAGTAGCTAAAACACAGTTATTACAACAGTTCGTTAACGCCACAATAGAGATTGAGTTGATAGATGTTGGTAGCGTTACATCCGTACTAAATTTTTGTGAAAGAATAAAACGGAGGTAAGAAAATTTTAACATGCCGGTCATGATTCTGTAATACTTATATTCAATCTTTTTAAATTTTGGAAAATCAGGTACGATAAGATCAACTACTTGTTTTGTAATGCTGGTATCCTAAGCACTTCAGGGGTCGACTGGATACAATCTCTGAAAATGTTCTTTACAGATCCAGTTGGATTGATGGAAAGATCGGATGCTGCTATTCAAGTGGTGGGTGAAATTAATTCAGACGGTATGGGCAAGGTATTTGCTGCTAATGTCTTTGGACATTATATCATGGTAAAGAAATAAATAAATAAATAAATAAATAAAAATAGGAGGTTAACTATACAGATAATGGACTGATTTTTTTTTGTCATACTGAAGATGCGTGATTTGGAATCACTATTGGCAAATTCTAAGGATGGACGTGTCATTTGGACTAGTTCTATTACAGCAAACGATACTTGTTTTGATATTAATGATTGGCAAGGATTAAAAAGGTAGGGTACCAAAAAAAAATAGTAGTTATGGATGATGATTTTCATTCCCTTCTCTATCCATTATCTAGTACGATTCCTTATGAATCATCAAAATGGGCATGCGATCTATTATCAGTGGCATGTCATAATCGATTTCAAAAGGAAAATTTACCAATTTCTTCATTTACCACATCTCCTGGTGTAGTAGCCAGTAATATTGGTGAATTACCTATTTGGATTACAGAACTAAGAAAACTTTTACATTATTTGGTAAGAAAATCAAATACAAGATCACACTTTTGTATTAAATAATCATGTTTATATAATTTATAAAAAAAAAAATGGTACTACGACATATAGATGCGGTTCATGGGTGTTACCTCTCAAAATATATCTGGTTATCGAGGAGCGCTAGCTGATGCTTTTGTTGCCCTCTCACCTGTCTCATCCTTGAATGAAATGGTACGATATCTTGCATCTACTGATAGATGGGGTCAGTCTTATGTAGATGAACAACCTCTGTTGATGGATATGGCTACAGCTGAACAATTATATAAAAAATGTGAAGTCCTCTATCAAGCATATAAAACAAAATAATTTTTTAACTAATTTTCACACCCTAATTATAATACATCACTTTTAATAAAAATCACCTGTCCTATGTACCTGATTTTCTGTCTATTTATTGTAAGGATTTTCACTAAATATGAGTCCTTTTTGCGCGAGGCACTTTTGGAAAGTAAAAAAAAAAAAAAAAAAAAAAAAAAAAATTATCGGCGTTAAACACACTGGGCATAAATGCCTCTCACTGCGAAAAAAAAAGTTGTAATTGGCTCGTTTACCCTCTTCAAAAACCCGCAATTACCTTTTATAGTATAATCATAGAGAGACTGTAATGAGACATTTTTTTTTAGCTGCCTTGTATATAAATGTCTTGAAGGATAATGTCATTTCTTTGATTAATTTCTTGTTTAAATCTTTTTTTTTCCCTCTTTTTCTCTTCTTCTCATAAAAGGGTTCCAATATCTATCATTCTCTATCAACTTTTATCATAAAATCAAACAAATGATAGTTATCAATAATACCAAATATGCATGTTCAGGTAAAAAAGGATAGTAATACGAAATGATCTTAATAAAGACTAATATATTTTCATTATGAATATATTAATGTCTCTTATTTCCATTATCATCAGCATGCATCAAGGTTAGCATTATACATTAAAAAAAAGGATATCATAAATCATATACTATCCAACGCGAAAATCGCTCAAATTTACTTTTTTTTTTTTTTTACAAACCTTCTGACATTGAATAATAACAAACAAAACAACTTTTAGGGACATCGATCATCCCAATGCAAGCATACTGATCGTCGACTTTGGGCTATTCGAAAAAAGGGACGTCCTATTAGTCAATGTGAACGGTGTCGTGAGCAAAGACGTAAAAACCGTATCCATCAAAAATGTCTATGTCCAAAACTTTTACCACTTTTAATGCCAACTGAAAATTCATCTTTTTATAAAGAAGGTAAGGCAGCCATTGTAAGCAAACATGATTAATAACGATAGATAGAATCATCGTTCCCTTTTGACTGATCCACTCTCTCCATTGGATACAGAGTTAGTCAAATCGAGTGTTATGGCCATTGAATCTATGTTAATATGAACATCTAACAATTATATTAAATCGTCAAGTCATCTTTGTTGTGAACTATGATAGTTTATTTTAGTGCTCAATTTTTTTTTTTTTTGTAAATAAAGTTATTCCACAGTTTGTCCATTGGGACAGATATATATATATATATATATATATTTAATACAACATTTCCTAACATTCATCATTTTTTTTATTACAATAAAGCTACTCAACATCGACCAGCAATAAAATGTAAACAAAATTTTACAAAAAGAGTATTTGATAAGGACATACCGAAATGACATAATAATGATAAAAATAGTGATTTTCCATCTTCAAAATGAAAAAGTATCTATCATATGATCAATGAGGTTTTTGATGTTTTTCTTTTTTGAATTTTATACTTTGTATCGGCGCCTATCTGTGCTACTTGAAGGGCCCTCATTCACTTTGTGATCTCTTCTTTACCCCAACCCCCTTTTTTTTTTTCTTCTTTTGTTCATCGGTGTAGGCAGAACTTCAAAAATCTAATAGAATAAAAATAGTACATTGATTATGCATTATCATATGGAAGAGGAGTACAAAAAAAAAGAGAAATATATTTTGGTTTCTCGAAGAAAAGAAAGAAGGGAAATCAACATGAGTTGGGGAGAATGAAAATGTTATTTTTTTTTTTTATTTTCATGTGAGTAAAAAAAAAAAAGTTCTTTTATTTCTTGGGTTGAAGACAAAATAATCTAATTCCGAGAAGTGGCGCTTTGACTTTTTTTTTTCCTTTATTTCTTTCTCTTTACTTCTTTCTATAATTCATTTACTATGGCTTCTCTTGTGTCGTCTTTCCTTCACCACTCGGCCAATAAAATCGAGGATTTATCACGATATGGAAAAAAGAAAGGAGGAAATCATGATGAAAATGGACTAGGAACAAGGTTGCCCCAAGCAACACTTTCAACCCCCACAATGATTCATCAATCTTATTATCAACATCCTCAAGCAAGCTACAGCGCAGAGTATATTGCTTCTTCTCCAACTTATGATCCTAATTATATGTTGATGAACTATACAAATAATCACCAACACCCAACAGGACCTCCTCTAGGTAGCCCCGTTTTGACCCCTAGTACATCATGGTCTACAGAGACCAGCACGAAGAATAGTATACCTGATATTAATTCTGGTGATATTGGTATTATACTTGATCGAAGAAGCATTTCCCAAGGAATGAAGTTAGTATCCATCGCTGCTGATGAATATGATGAAGGAAACGAAACTGTTGCTTTGGATATTTACCTCACTGGACTTGATAAAATCCTCATGGCATTACCAAGTAAGGAAGAATGACACAAAGCTTTTTTTTTTTTTTTAAGAAAAAAAAAATGGAGAGCACGTTTATTGATTTCACACTCCGTGTCCTACCTTGTATAGATAAAACTGATTCCAAGACCAAAATGGCACTCCGTGAAAAGTTATTAAGGTAAAACAAAGAAAAAGCGATCTTTTCCAAAACATCACATGGATTTACTGGATATTAAAGTAATAATAAAATGTTTATTATGATAATAGTGTGGAAGAAAGAGTTGGGATATTGAATCTCGCAAACCGCCGCACTTCATCAGCAAATAGTAACCAGGATAACGGCACCAATACATCGTATAACGAAAAAGAACAAGAACAACAACGACGACAAGAAAATCTTGCTAGTTCGTTAGTGGATACCTTGATTATTAGTAAAATCACACAAAGTCTGCAATCCGTTAAGCAGGCAGCTATGAGTCGTGCATCACTCAAGCAAGACAATGTCCAAACAGATGATTATACCCAGCAACAACATAATCCATATCATTCCCACCAAATACCTTCTACTGATATCCATTTAGATGCTAGAACTCCTCTTTATCAACATCCATATCCAGTAAACGTTGTGGAAAAATTTAAACAATTTGGTCAAGTGCTTATCCAAGCTAGCGTGACTTTGGCCATCTTGATCAAGCAATCACCTATTCCAGCATTACTTAGTTTTTGTTTTACGTACTTTATGCAGCTCCTTTTGTGGGTGGATGCTTATTATGGGGTACGACAACGTGCACAAGATCTGAGTGTGACAGGTATCAAACTATTGTTACAAGCCGATGAACAATACAAGTTACATGAACTACTATCCGAGTTCCTCTTTATGATGGTAGCTGCTACTTTGAAAGCAGTAGTGGCATATAAGGAAACTCCTCGGTATGGTTCTTTCAATATGCCGTCAACATCTAATGAACAACAATTTCAAACTTTGTCTGAACCTAAACTAAAGGAAATCAACAATAATACGGATGACTCAAATAATCATTTACCATCCACTCCATGTGCTTCCTCATCATCCTATGCTACCCTTTCTTCTTGGGTCTGGTCTCCAAGACGTTGAACACAACAATATGTTTAGAATATACCTTCAATTCCTTTTTCCTTTTATCTTTTCCTCGTTTCTTTCTTATTTTTTCTGCTTTTTGGACTTTAATGCATTTTTTGTCTTTTGTAAAATAAAACAGAGAATATAAAACTTTTTTTATTATTATTAAAATGAGATAAAATAATGATGATGATGGTTTATATATATATTTATATCTATATGCAGTCATATGATATTTTATGAGATTGTTGAAAGCAAATCGTCCCATTCCTTTTTGTCAAGATTCAAATTGTCAGCTCCAAATTTTTCTTTGGCACTTTTGATATGAGCCCGCATGTCATCATTGACTATTGAGAATGATTGATGTTCAGCCAATGTATGTAAAGTACGTAATGCTTTTTCTACAAGATCTTCGTCATCTTCAATAGTGTATTTCACAATAACATCATCCAAAACCTTCACCATTCCGTCCTTGACTAGTTCCTCAGCAAGTGATGGGTTTTCTATCATTAATGTATTATATAAAAAGATAACTTTTCTAACCGTTGGTGTATCTATGATGATTAAATTTTAGATTTAATATTTTCTATAATACTCTTATTAATCGAATGTGCTTACCGTCCGCACTGTTTTTCAAAATGTTTGCCATGATTTGAAATCCATTCATAGATTTGAATTCTTCCACTGCTGTAGGACAATGTTTGAGAAGACCAGATATAGCATATTGTGCCTTGGCACGTTCTGTCTTTTGATCGGATGATAAGAGTTTTATCAAAGGAGTCAAGCCTTTTTGTTCAAGGAACTATTATTATTCAATAATATATTAATCAATATCCAGTTTAAAGAAAAAAAGAAAAAAAAGAAAAAAAAAACGGCATCGACTGTTTTTTTGTTTTTGTTTTTAAGACTTACAGCTTTTTGAGCATCAGGATTATTTTGAAGAGCAGTACCACATACCCAAGCAACTCCTGTACGAACTTGTTGTTCATCATCACTTAACAGTTGTATCAAAACAGGCCAAAGTCCCATATTTTGAATATTTTTGGCATTATCAATCCCTTCTACCAGCTAAAAAAAAAGTATAACATATTAATATTAATATAAGCAAAACTAACTCTCCTCTTTATGAAAGAATATCACTACTGTGAAAAGGAGTGATCTTACCATTTCCAAATTATCGAGAGCAATCTCTTTATTTTCGATAGTATCATTAGGATCTGCAATGCATTGTACAGCCTCTATAAAAGTTGATCCCCCAAATATAATGGTTTAAAATGAGTCATTATATTCAAACCTTATGATATAAAAAAAATGGAAGAGTAATGTTTTACCTTTCATTAACGTAGCATCGTCTTTGCCGAGAATAGCTTCTATTACTCTAGGATCAAACTTTGAAGGATCAGGTTTGTATTCACCACGACGAATAGCATCAGCATTGGCCTTTAATTCTTCTTGATCGCTATTGTTAACAGCCCACTGTAATAATTTTTCCATGTTTATATATAGTATCTAAAGATTGACTCGATGCCAAAGAAAGTGAAAAAAAAAATGAAATAAAAAAAATAAAGAGAAAAAGAAGTTTTTTTTTTTTTTTTTTTTTTTTTTTTTGCGTTTTTGTGCGAGGAAACAGAAAGAAGGTCTTGGAATTACACTTTATTTCAACTACTCCGTCGGGGCGACGTGCTCTCTTGACCTTTCCCGGTTGTTGTCCGGAGTTTTCCGTCTAATAGGATTTCCTTATTAGTGAGTAAGATTTATTACACAAGTAAAAAAAAAAAAAAAAAAAATTACATTATGTACAGTCAAGAAAGTTAGGTTTGGGTCAGGGTTAGTTGAAAATGGGTCACACTCAATATGGGTCAACTCCACAAAAGTGGGTCAAGGTGGGTGAAAACAGGTCAATCACCTTTAAATTAGCTGTTAATACCATTTTGTTTTGACTATTATAAATAAATATATATATATATGACAAAACAATCTAGACAAAATGTGCATAAAAACCATTATTTTTATTTCATAAAAAAAAGACACACTACAGACTACAAACTACAATCCTAAAGCTAAAACAATAAGAGTCACAATAGGGTCGATGTGGTTGGTGAGGAGTTGCTGTTCGCCAATGGCTTGTTCATTGTTGAAATCAGGTAAATTTTGCAAGCTATGATACATAAAGATTTAGCATAGATACACAAAAACCATATTTCCACATTCACTGCTTACCAATTCAGCAAAATATCAACCATACATTCGTCAAGATCATCCAATTCTGTGTCCATACATGTTTTTATCAGTGTGTGCTTGATTGCCTTGCGAGGCTTGTCCTTCAATTTCTAAAAAAAAAAAAAAAAAAAGTCAATTCAGCTGCAACTACAGTTTGAAATTCCATAATGACTTACTGATCAAGTTGTTTTTCCAGCTTTTCTTCGTTGCTAGAGGCGGCAAAAAGTATTCGCAAGGCTTCCACATTTGTCGAAAATTCATTTTCTTGTTTGTTGTAGAAAAGCTTGTTCATGATTGCTGTGCATTTGGATTCTTTGACTTTGTCCTAATTTGGTAACCCATAAAATATATCAGTCAAAATAATGAAATTATTATGATCAATTTCTTTACCTGTTTCCCATTTGCATTTTTAAAGGACCTTTCAAAGTTCTTGCTAATGTTTTTGAGAATATGCCAGATGCAAAGCACATGTTGGGATTCATAAAAGACTGTTTCCACTGCTCTTTCGAGAGCTGAGCCCTGGTCAGTTACTGTCAAGAACGTGACAGGAGAAAAGGTATAATATCGGTAAACAGACAGACAGACAAGACAGAAGTAACTATATATATGCTTACGAGAATATATTAGTTGTTTGATATGAAGGAATAAAACAATGTAAAAGTAGTTGTTGACCAAAAGAGATCTTTATAGTTGTAGAAATAAAATAACGTATTTATATATAAACTAGACAGGAGAGACTAACTAATGTATCATTATTGTAATGAAGGAGAGCAAAAAGAGACAAAAGAAACAGGAAGGAAACAGGAGAAGAGAAAGAAAAAGAGAAGGTGAGAAAAAACAAAAGAAAAGAAAAGTAAATAAATAAAATAATAGAACTCAGACATACGCATGATTTTTATTTTTTATTGACTAATTTCCTTGACAATGATATCCTTGACAGTTTCATCCGTTATTACGTTTTTTTATCATATTTATCAGTTTCATCCATTTTATTTTCTCATTGTTTCTCGTGATGATTAATCATAATCATCTAAAAATAATCTTTAGTTTTAGTATAAATACATCTAGTAGTTTATCTATTTTTCACTCTTTGTCAAAGTTTTATTATATCAAAATCATTTTTTTTTTTGTTGATTTCCTTTTTGTCGAATTTTCTTGATTGAAAAAAAAAAGAATAATGCTCTTTTTATCCACACAGTTCTCAATAAATAACAATGACAAAGATATACCTTGCGCTTATCTGCCACGTTTGCAAGGCGGGAGAGTTTTCAAGAAAACAGGCACTTTTACGTCACTTGAAACTCCAGCGACGCTCTAAAACATACTTCTGAAATGGATGCACTTATCATGTACGAATCAGATTAAAACTGACTCGGATTCTGAACCGAAAAACCAAAGCTCTTGAAGTACGATACCTCCACAGCCAATTCCACCAAAGCCAACGTTACCTCAGAATTGCTTTAGAATTTTGCGGTAACATCAACTTGTTAAGGATTGGAAATTCAAGTTGGGTATCCCACTTCTACCGCCCTGGTGCTGCTAACCTCAACGACTTCCCTATGCTAAGAGGAATTCAAGCAGCCTTATCCAAGTTATTCTTCACACGAAAGGAATCCAAACTCGATCACCAAGTCGAATATTTATGGGACAGGAATGATTTGATTCAACATGAACTAAACATTATCATGACTGGTTCTCCAACAATACACCATGACGATCTCCTGGGAGATTCGTCTTCTGAGAGCTAGACACAGTTTAGAAAAAATTCGTAAAGTTTTATATCACTGGGCGGTTTATCATTTTATTTTAAGGTCTCATTCAATCACACTGCAGTGGGAAGAGACTTAGTTCGACTAGGGGTCTTCTCCAAGAACTCTTTGGATATCAACAACATGAACGGTATCCTCTCCTTCCAAGTCGTTGGATACCAAGTTACATTTTATTATTCGTATCTTGCTCCCCATGGTGTCTATATTATGCTCGAAGTAGCGCATGCCCAAATACCAGCGTCTCATCGGGATATTGAATCGTCTGTCTTCGATATGGATGAATTGTTGGGTGTGGTGACAATATTCACCACACATTGTGTGCCATTAACTCGTGAACAAGCTGAGGCGAAAGCGGTCATGCGGCGTGCCACTTTATCAACACCTCAATTCAAAAGGGTAATTGAACCATCGACATATCGAAGACGACGATCGATTACGAGCCATTATCATGATGTTTAGAGTACTTTTTTTTAGCATAGTTTTTTTATCATGATGTTTAAAGTACTTTTTTTTTTAGCATAGTTTTTTTTCCTTTATTGTATTTGAATAATAAAAAATCATTCTTGAACTCTTTTTTTTTTGCATTTGAACAAATAAAAAAAAATTATTATTGAATTCTTTTTTTTTATTACTCTTATTGCCGTGTCTTGTTTACAAATGATACCTTGTTCCTGTCATGCTGGTCTAAAAAAAAGTTTACTATTTTTTTTTTTTTTGACCAGTAGTGATCGGTGGAAAAAATTTAAGTTTTGAACATCAGACAGGCTTAAGGGAAAATTTGCGTATCTTCTTTGTATCTATACTTTTTCTTTTTTTCTTCATCTACTTTCCCAACCTCAACAATAAAGAGTTGACTGATAGAGTCCTCCATGTCTAATCCTATTTGTTACGATATTACAAACGCTCCCATCACTGCCCATTCGTTTAACCAAAACAGTAAAAAAAAAAAAAAAAAAAAAAGAAAACGAACTGTGTTAAGATATGAGATGAAACTATTGACTTTTGGAAAAATAACCTATTTCTTAACATTTAAACTTAATAGAGTTGGTAGTTTGTCCCAATACTAATGATGCCCAAATCTACGAACATGGTCAATCAGCTTGGAAACTTGAAGCTACCTTGAAAGGTGTAAGTAATATCAAAATGTATATCAAATATAATTCTGACTCTAATCATCCATATATAGCATGACAAGGTTATCACAAGTATTGATTATGCTCCCAAAACAAACCGTATTGTTACTTGTTCTCAAGACCGCAATGCTTATGTATGGACGCAAGAACCTGATGGTACGTGGAAACCTGGTTTGGTTCTCTTGCGTATCAATCGAGCCGCTACCTACGTCCGTTGGTCTCCGAATGAAGATAAGTTTGCTGTAGCCAGTGGATCGCGTTGCGTGGCTGTATGCTATTTTGAAGAAGATAATGACTGGTGGGCTTCCAAGCATTTAAAGAAACCTATTCGTAGTACGGTATTGTCTTTGGATTGGCATCCTAACAATGTGCTTTTGGCTGCTGGGTCCGCTGATATGAAGGCACGTGTGTTTTCTTCTTTCATCAAAGGTCTTGACAAGAAGCCAGCTCCTACCGTTTGGGGAGATAAGTTGCCTTTCAATACGGTATGTGCAGAATTTACTAATGGTCGTGGTGGTTGGATTCATGCTGTTGCTTTCTCTCCTTCTGGTGATCGACTCGCCTTTGCTGGTCATGATGCCACTATCAGTATTGCTTCTCCTGCTACTGACGGTTCTGGTGTTCATACATTGATGTCAGTGGAAGCAATGTCTTTACCTTGTCGCTCTCTCATTTGGGCCAATGAACGTCAAATTGTTGCTGCAGGGTTTGATTGTGCTCCTCTATTGGTTGAAACAAAGGATGATGTCCATTGGCAAGTATCAGGTTCTTTGGATGAATGCAAAAAGAAGACCACTTCTTCTTCTTCTGTTTTGAACAGATTCAAGTCTATGGATTCACGTGGTCAAACAACTGATAAGGATACTGTGTTATTGACAACCCATCAGAATACTATAAAGTAAGAAAAACGTATATTATGGAAGCAAATGGAATCTTCTGACTTTTTTTTTTTTATTAAATCATATAGTGAAATTCGTGTATTCTCTGGTACTCGGGATAACGTGACTCAATTTTCGACTTGTGGTGTCGATGGAAAAGTAGTGTTGTGGAATTTCGATCCTAGCTTTGTTGCCACTGATTTAGCGAATTTGAAACTTTAAAATAATACAAGTAGGATATATTGTTGTTGTTTTTTATTTTTAATAATAAACAAATGAAGCGAGCATATTACTGAGGAGATTGTTTTAGCGAATGTTTAATGGAATATGTAGGAAATAATATCTAAGAATACAATGGGTTTGATAAAACCAATAAATAACAAAAGGGGAGAAAAAAAGTAAGGTCTAAAAAATAATAATAATAATAATAATAAAAAGTACAGAGAGAGAATAAGAGAAATCTATATTTTTGGGGTAACCATATTTTCCCTCATTTTCTCATAGAGCATTCAAAAGGTCTTTACAGCCTTCATAAGTGACAAAACTCACACCGATAGCAGGTGCCACCTTGAGATAATTAGGAATAAGGCCTTTATACAAAGAGCGAACACCCTCACGTTGGATCATAGTACGAATAGCATGAATGGTACCATCGTATTTGTAGCCTGCGTTTGACATACCTACAACTTGAAATCGGCGACGTAGGACATCCAAAGGATAAGTAATAGTTTGAGCAATGGAACCAGCCAGAGCTCCACATACTAAACGTTTGGTAGGTGTTTCATTATCAATATAGGATTTTAGACTTTCATAACTCCAAAAACTAATTGCCACATACGGACTGACACCTAATGTAGTTGGTACCAATCCTCTGTATAGCCCTGGTAATCCACCTTCATGACGATAGATTGACATCATTGTAGGAAAAATGCCCGGTAGTTTTTGTGTAACAGAAGTACTATGAACAGTACTGGTGGAAATAGAAGTATGAGTATTATGATTGTTATTCATACGAAGAGATGCGGATTGGATCGCTAACCGTGTTTTGACCATGTCTAAAGGATAGGTACATATGACGGAGACAATACCAGCTAAGGCACCAGAAACTAAACGACGAGGGGTATCCAATTCTGTTTCATTTTTATCCATTAGTAAATTTTTAAAATATTCATAAGCAGCAAATTGAGAAGCACTATAAGGGATAATACGAAGTACATTTGTACCGTTACCTCGCATCATGCCTACCATTCCTTCTTCCTGCCACATCTTTTTCAATGTAGGCCAAATACCTTGGTAAGAAGGCATATCAGGACCTTGTATCTAAGGAAGATGAGAATTGTTAGTATATACATATAAAAAAAAAAAAGACGAGCGCATGAAAAGCATGTGATAATCTTTTCTTTTTTTTTTTCAGGTACCTGAAATAATATTTTCATTCTTTCCATTGGATTTACTACAGTTCGAGAAACAGCACCCGCCATACCACCAGCAATAAGATGTTTCATTGTATCGGTCAACATAAATTGATACCATGGTTGCGAAGGAGTAATGGCTTGGGCAATAATTCGCATAGTATCAATTTCTTCGACTGAGACTAATGGATGGTCAAACAAACGGGCAAATTCGGCATACGAAATTTGAATATTTTTGGACTGTAGTTGTGTGTGCTGTTTCAACTGGGTCAATAAGGCCTATACTCAAAAAAAAAAATAGTTACGAACTTTTTAGTAAAAAAAGAAAAAGAAAAAAAAAACCATTTCACTAATATAATAGTAGGATAAAATATTTTCCTTTTTTTTGGTGACAGATCTCGTACCTCTTTCAACGGAGTATTGGACTTCTTACAAACAGCTATCAAATCGATGGCTTCAATAAGACCATCTTTGTTATGATCCAAACAAGTAAAGAGTTGTTCAATGCTCCAGGTTTTAGCGTTATCTTGGAGCATTGCAAAGAAAACAAAAAGGAAGAGTAGAACAAGATGGAGAGAGGGGAACAACTGCTTGGAAACAAGAACAAACTAAAAGAAAAAAAAAAACAAATAAAAAGAAAAAAATCGGAAAGGGGTCGAAAAGAAGTAGTGACTGAGATTAAAACCATTGTGTTGATCCGAACTTGATGATTGGTCAACGATAAAAAAGTAGAACGGTAGAATACACTATTTCTGTAAATGTAATAATGTACAAGGTTTAGTTGGAGGACTTTTTCATCAGAAAAAAAAAAGAAAGAATTCCTCTGTTAAGCTAGCTCTCCTATTGAGATATTTATTGATTTCCATTTTGAATCTTTTGGGTTACACCATTTGAAGATAATACAACTCTTTCTCGAGCGATCAGCAAGAAATATGATTTTATTAATGATGTATATGGCTAATTGTTTTTTTTTTTGTATACATATTTTTTTCGCAATGATTGAAAATTAGAATGAATGTAAATACTATAGTTAATCTCATAGAGTGATTTCTTACATGCTATAGTAGAATTGCTCTATGATTTGATATCGTTGCCAAGTCCACTCATCAGGTCATCTAATCCAATAACCAATATTTTTCTTTTTTCACTAATGAAAAAATACAATATTAGGATCTATGCTGCAGATATGGATGATAATCAAGATGACCCTTGCTTTTTCTTTCGTAATATCGTGCGGTATAATAATATATTCAATGCAATTTCTTCATGATATTAGCTACAGTACGTTAGTTTTTTTTTTTGTCCTATTGCCATCTTTTTATGTGTAAACTATCTTGTTCTTCGTATTGTCCCGTATCTCCAAATTGAGTATTTCACAAATGCATGTGCGCAAGTGAACCTACCACTCTCATTGATGATTTTCAACGCCAGCGCCCCTTTAGGAGTAGAGAATTTTGGAACTTTTGGGAAAATAAAGTGCCCCAAGCAAAATGGGTGCCTATTGATTGTTTTTTCTTTTCTTGTATTCTTATTTCTTTCCTTTTCATTCAGTTTACTTCTTCATGTCTTTCTAGATGGTATGCCTTCAACGCACTTGAGTCATCGCCATCAACCATCTACTACATCCAGCACTTCGTCCTCCTCCTCCTCTTCATCTTCAACTCGTCCTGCTCTTCCCCGTGTACTTACAAATTCACCTTCTAATGCTGTTCATCTTTCAAGAAGTACCGCTCGAACTTCACGAAGAGTTCGCTCTCACTGGTTTACCCATTTTGCTTTAAACTGGCGTCGAAGTTCTCGTTATTCAAAATTTGTTTTTATTTACTCACTGACTTTACTGGCGTTACAGGTTATATATTAAAAAAGAAGGAACATATCGTTTGTCTTCAGGACAGTAGTACTGAACTAATATAAATTTCTTTTTCTTTTCTTCAATTGATAAGGTATTAGCAACGGTGATCGTACTATGTTTTTCTTGGGATATGTATTGTGATAAGCCTTTACGTATATTCCTAACAGTATATGTCCTTCGTCTAGTTTTATCTTCACCTCTTAGTATATATCTGCATCTTGCTCCACGAAGACAACGAAGGCGACCTAGACAAGACGAACGAACTGAAAGAGGAGAAAGTTATTCTATGACACAACTACCAATTTCTTCAACGGGTACGCAACCTGTTCCATCAATACCCGTCCCTACTGCCACCCATACTCCTTCTCACTCTATTAACCCAATAACACGTCCTCCTCCGCCTGTGCCACCAATGGTTTATCCTCCTCCTCCTCCTAATTCTTTTACTCAATCTACTTTAATCAGTTGGATCGATAGGTAATAATACTTATTTATATTCCTATATACTTTTCCATTATTCTTTAACCGTATTTGTACTTTTTTTTTTTTTACTGTTATTCAACTTAGAGCCAAATCGGCATTGGATCTTTTTGCAACTTTATGGTTTATTATTGGAAATTATATGCTTTTTACTTCCACTACATGTTCAGAAACTGCTAGACCTATTTACTATCTTTCTTTAGTGGTGATTATTTATGGTTATTTGATCATTACTGTACCTTTACTCTTATGTACTGCTGTCATTTTCTGTTTACCTTGTGTACTCGGTAAGTAACTACTGAACATAACTTTTATTTATTTTACTTAAAATTCTTCTTTCCTTTTTGACTGCATATATGATAAATAGTTGGTATGCGGTTACTTCATGTTGAAGATGGTGTAGATATGGGAGGAGCATCTGCTGACGATATTGATCGAATACCTGTTTATCGATTCAGATCCAATAAACCTCATCCACCCCCACCTCCACGTCGACCACATCCACGTCTTCATCATCATCAACATCAGGAACAAGACGATAAGGATAAGAACCAACAACAACAAAAACAACAACATTCTCAAGATACATTAAATTTGATTGATAAATTATGGATACGATTGGGTTGGATGGAATCACCTTCAGACGAGGAACGTGCCGAAATCTATTACGATGAATTGGAGATTCCTAATGAACAGGATCAAGTCTGCGCTATCTGTTTATCAACATATGAAGAGGGTGATATTCTATGCCGCTTATGGTGTTATCATCATTTCCACAAAACATGTGTGGCCGAATGGCTGATCCTGAATAGTCGATGTCCTTTATGCAAACGGGATTGCCGAAGACAGAAAGATCAACAGCATCGCAATACTAATTTGCCAACACATGTAACCACAAGAACAACAGTTCCTCCTACAACAACCAGAAATGACGTTGTAAATATTGTTACTGATTCTACTACAACCATCACTGACAACGAAAATGATAACATTGGGGTGAATGATGTAAATGAGACCACCATCTCTCCTGATACTGACCCTATCACCAATCTCACTACTACCACTACTACAACTGCAATTATGCCGACTGCGCCAAACTCGAGCACTGCGAATACAAACACAAACACAGTCAATACGACGAATGATACACCCTCGTGATTGGGTTGTACCTTTTGTCGTAGTCTTACACCTTTGTTTATTAGTTTATTTTCTCTATACTTATTTACTTTCCCTTTTGTGGCCTTTTAGTATTATATTATTATTTTCAAATGTATCATAATTCTCTCTCTTTCTCTCTAACTTTCTCTTACCATGTGAACTATATATACATATATATATATAAATAATAAAAAAACGTAGATATTATCTGTCTCTGTATTTTTCAGCTCTTTATTACTGCTGATACAATTGAATATGAGAAGGAATAATATTACTGCTGACAGTAGGTTCCATCATGAGCGATTTTTTACTCCATAAACGCAACCACTCAGAAGGAAGTTGATTTTTTACCTTTGTACTATTACTTCTTTCTTTTTTATAGGGTGACCAACGACTTGGATCATCCATATGTATTTCGGATGGTAATGTAGTTGTTGCATTCTTATTTTGTTGACGCAGTTCTTGTTCTTCTCGAGCCCGCCAATGCTTTAAAATATCAACATATTTCTGCCCTGGTCTTGCAGCCGATAAATAAGAATTTGTCAAACGAGGTATATGTATGTCCTGAAATATATCTAACAATTCCCTTGACTCTGGAAACTCAAGATTGGCAAGATTAATTTTTATCCTTGGTGAAAGAGTTGGATTGGACCGAGGACGAGATAATGATCCAATCTCAACCGATGGTTTCCGATGAGAAGGTGATGTTCGGGTCTACAGCATAAAAAAAAAAAAAAGAGAACATTCGATCAGCTATGGAGTTAAAGACTGTTTCCTTTTTTGGGGTAGTCACCGTTTTTAGTGTTTTCTTCTTTGGTTTCCTAGCAATGAAAAAATGAACATTTAAAATCAAATACTCGATCGTATTAGCCCACTGGGAGCTTTGCTTGACAAGATCCAACTGAAGAATATGCTGAGGTTGATATAAAGGGAAAGGTACTGAGTGGGTAGACATGGAAGATACCAGTTGCTTATTAGATGATCGTTTCCGTACAGTAACACTCAAAAGCCTTTGGGTTGCTTTTCTCCATGAAGATAATGGGATAGGTTCTAGAGCAGGTGTTGATTGCTGCATAAGTTGAGATATGGCATCTATATGAACAAAGGTAGGCGCAACAATAATAGCCATAGCAGAGGCTGACATATGATTTGCAGAACTATAGTCAGTCACCACTCGAATAGACTGAAGAAGATACTTTAGCAGATGATGATGTTCTAAAGGCATAGATTCCATTGCTACTCGAAACTTTTCTATAGGTAACCCTGTTTAAAGGAATCGATACAATTTAGCGATATAATTATTTTTTTTAAAAAAAATACATATTCCTTTCTCATTATGTTTAGTTAACTAATGATTATTATTCTTACCTGAATCAAGAGCTTCTAAGAATAATGGCTGTTTGCATTGCGGAATCAGAGGTTCAGGCAAGAGTTGAAGATAACGCTTCAATAATCCCGTCCAGTAATGAACTGTTACTGGAATAGAAGGTTCGACTTGAAATGGGTCATCGCTTTGCTCAAATTGACATTGTAATTGATTTAATACTGACGCAGACCCTGATCTCCTAAATAGTCCTTCAACTTTCAAATCTAATAGGGTATATTTTTTTGATGGTAAAGTAATTAGAAAAAAAGTGATATGGAATGATGATATTATTATTTACCTTTGTTAATTTCTTGAAAACATCGGGCAACAATACCAGGAATCACTAAACCTGTCTCTGTCAAATAGGAAGATCTTGCAATAGCAGTAACAATAGGCGAACCAAATAAAGGTGGTCGAACATCGTAACTCATTTTATATTCTCACTATTACGCGGAAAGAGGAAGAGAGAAAGAAAGAGATGAAGTTGACATATCCTTTACTGCGTGCGGATAAGATCATAATCGGAAAATAAAGGTATCTCATGCATTACTACAAGTACTTTTTTTGTCTTTTATGAAAATGTGCCTAAAAATAGACGTTTCTTTATTTTTAGTCAAATCAGACAGCAAAAACTATAGCTACATAAGTGGTAATATCCGGGAAATTATCAATGTTACTTTTAATTTTTTATTGATGATTAATTCTTCCAGTGTCTCTCAATGTAGTAGCTTTTCAAAATAAAAGGACTTTGACTATGGTAGATTGATTTTTGTTAGGGTGTTCGGACAGTAAAAAAAAAAAAAATCGGATAAGTATGTCTCAAATCATAGTAGAAAACTGTAAATTGGTCTTCCGTATTCCCTCCTGGTTCCTTATCTTCTTTCGAAAGCCATATGCCAAATTTCAATCGTTTCATAGATACAGCCCTTCATTCCCTAGAGCAATTGCAAAATCTCTCTCTGAATACTAGCGCAAATACACAAGGTACAAACGAAGCAAGTGCCTTTTGTGAACAACATGAATTTTCTTCAAAAGTAGTATACGTCAATCCCGCCACAGGCTGTTTAGCTTATCCAGCGTATAATGAAGGTGGTGACCGTATACTAGATTTTTCCAGTGTTGGATACATGGAAGGCAACGAAATACTACCAAATATAGACCATTTAATAAAACAAGTAGTTGAACCAAGTTTTCCTCAAACCAATGATGATACAGAGCGCATACAAAATGCTTTGGATTGGGTAGGAAACTTGCCCATCGACCCGAGTTCAGGTTTTCGAGGTATTGTACAATTAGGTCAAGGAACATACCGTATTAGTCGCCCTTTAGAGTTACATGTATCTGGTGTGATATTACAAGGCATTGAAAATGGTGGAACTGTCCTTGAAAATATTGGAAACGAAAATCATTTGATTCGTATCTCAGGAAAACCGAACGAACTGGCAAAGAAACGAGCTCCTATAGTTGATGATTATATTCCAGTAGGATCAACTGAATTAAATGTAAAACATGCGGACCGACGATTTAAACGAGGTGATACTGTTGTGGTGGCTGTAAATTTCAACGCAGCATGGATTAAAGCTATTGGTATGGATATCATTCATCCAAAAGGTGATACAACAAAAAACAATGGATGGAAGCCCGGAAGATTTGAACATTTGCGACGAATATTGGACGTTAAAGGGGATAAAGTGGTCCTTAATAGTCCTATCACCACACGATTAGAACAATGTTATGGTGGAGGATATGTAGAAATTTACACATCTCATCGAATCCAAAAAGTTGGTATACAATACTTGACCTTGCTTGATCCTCGAAATGCGCAACGCACCAAAGAAATCATAATGAAGAATGAAAAGAATAAAGTCAAAGATTATAGATTCGCTTCTGAAATGTTTGATCAGGTTCTAATCGAAATGGATCATGCTGAAAATTGTTGGGTGAAGCAAGTAACCTCTGTATGGTGGCGGAATTTTGTCCGTTTAGGAACAAATACTTTGGCTATAACATTTTCTGTATGCTTGACGATAATGACTAAAATATATACTGATTTTCTCTTTCTTTTTTTTCAATACAAACAAAATAGCAATGCCGCCATACATTTCCTCCTGGTAGTGTTGGAATGAAAGAGCCCATAACACCACTCGTTGGTCAATTCGGTTTTGAAATCTCAGGTCAACAAATTCTGATTGATCAGTGCCACGTTGAACATAGTTTTCATGCTTATTCATTTAAAGGAAGAATACCTGGACCAAATGTTATATATCAATCAAATGCTGTTGGACGTCTTGGTGATGTTGGTCCTCATATGAAATGGTGTAAGTAATACATTTCCATTTGCAAGTACTCTGACTCAATATTCTTTTTTTTTTTTTGACTTTTTTTCCCATAACCAGCCTCTGGACAACTGTATGATAGTAAGTCGTATAACTTATTGACATTATATATCGAGGAATATATCCAGAGCTAAACTATTTTCTATATTATGTAATCTAGATTGTAACATCGAGGGGCAGTTGATAATTCAGGATAGATTTGATGCAGGTAGCGGTCATGGATGGTCAGGAGCGAATAGTGTTGTTTGGAATAGTGTTGCTCATACAGGGGTTGTTGTGCAATGTCCTCCAGTTGGTCAAAATTTCTTGTGTAAGTTTTCTTTTATACAAAAGACATTTATGAATCTCAATAATAATTTTTTTCATTTCTCTATTTTAACAGTGGGTAGTTCTTCAAAGCGTGGAAAGGCACGAATGAATCACCCATGGGCTTGGGAGGAATTAAAGGACTCAAAGATACATCCAACAAGTTTATATTTAACTCAACTGTATGAGAAACGTAGAGCATTGAAATAGTAATTGTGTCACTATATTGAAATACTTTTGATAAAAATAAATTTGTAAAACTTTTACTTTATAAAGTATTAAAACAAGGCAATTCTTTTATTCAAAACAAAGAGCAAAAATTGGCTTTACAAAAGGTAATGATGATAGCAATGATAGGTCCAAAAAAAAAAAAAAAAAACCTGTATGTTAAATTTTAATGAAAATCAGAGACGGGCACCTTTTGGGAAATACTTCATAGCTTGACGAACGCCCAGATCTGCCATGATTTCTTCTGATCCACCAAGAATTGCCTAATGGTAATTTTAATTACTAAAAATTGAAATATTTTATATTTAATTTTATTTGTCCTTACCGAAAATTTGTATGTACGTTGCAAACTTTCAATATTTCTACCCATACCGCCTTTGGTAATAGCTCGTCCACCGAAAATTTGGCAAGCATCATCTGAAACATGATGCAACATTCGAGTCATTTGGTATTTACAAAGAGCAAGAGGACCTGCCATTTTGATGGATTGTTCATCATAATTCATATGATTCATTTGGAAGGTTAGATTCTCGAGCCAGTTATGCATACTTTCAACTTGAGCAATCTAAAAGAAACCAGATATGATTATTTGTCTCGTTTCATCTTTCATTTTCCCTTTTGTTTCTTTACCATGCCAGCGAGCTTGTTACGGATGACAGGTTGATCAATGAGACGTTTTCCAAAGACTTTTCGTTGGTTAGCCCATTTGAAACAGTCTTCTACCACAAGGCGAGCAGCCATAGATGCACCACATAGCATGATGTATCGTTCATGATTGAAATTGGCTTTTGCAGATAAATAAATAAAAAATCCCAGTTTAATGACACAATAATCAGGTCACACAAATTCATTCCTACTTACACAAAATAACTTTAAAACCTTGATTTTCCACTCCAAGTAAATTTTCCTTTGGAACTTTGACCTAATATCCCAGTTACTTAGTATATATACTAACAGTGTTTTTCTTTTCTTTTCTTTTTCCTTTCCTTTTTTTTTTTGGACTTACATTTTCGAATGTAACATAAGCAGTGCCAGCACTTGAGCCAGAAGAAGTTTTGATTAATTTTGTCTCTACACCTTCAGTACGTTCAATCAAGAGCATGGAAATACCACCTTCGGTTCGGACAGCAGTAGAGAAATAGTCAGCAAAACAGCTAAAAAATTTATCAAGTTAGTATTCGAATGTTTAATGACAAAATCTTATTTCGAAATAATACTTTACCCAGTAGTGATCCATTTCTTGACACCATTAACAATGTAATGAGAACCATCTGAAGAAAGCTTGGCGGTTGTTTTGATGTTAGCAACATCAGAACCAGTGTATGGTTCAGTGATAGCCAAACACATACGTTTTTTACCACTAAGTACCAAGGGTAAGACCTATATACGATTTCTTTCATTATTTGATTTTTTTTTTTTTTTGTTTCTCGCATACAATCTTTTCACTTACCTTTGCTTTAAGTGCAGGTTTACCAAAATTAATAACTGTTGGTACAGAGATTGTCATACCACCTAATAATCCTGAACCTAAGCCTGGACACGCCCACCGAGCAAATTCTTCGTGAACAATCATTTCATAGAAATAATCATATTCTTCAGGTTTGATCCCGCCAGGTAAATGAATCCCATGAACGGCATCCGGTCCAATATTAGCAGCTAGCAGTCCAGCAGCGCCTACCTTTTGTACAAATTCATCAGAAGGACGTTCTCCAGAATCTTCTATTTCTCTTGCTTCTGATTTAAGTCCATCTAAAATCTTGCGAACGGCTACACGGAAGCGGGCATGATTTTCACTATCGGAAAGAAAAAAAAAAAGCGATCATATCGAATTTTAATACAAGGAAAATTAGACCAAGTAAAATAATATTTATATATCAATGCATGGATACATACGTGAAATAGGGTGATTTGTATCCCATCCAAAAGCTGGATTCGGCATAAGGGACTTTGGAGATATCTCCAGCTTGGTAAAAGTTTATTTGAGGCTGTTCATTTTCAATGGTTCCAATCTTATATCTGTTGTATTTTAACAATACATCCTGCTTGTGCAATCCGTAAAATGCATCTGTAGCGTCCTTCCCAGCGAATTCAAGAATAGGAAACGCACCACCAGGATGCATATCAATAAATCGACTCATATCATAGACACTAGCGTCAATAATAATCCAAATATCATTTTCTGCTGAATGACGTGCTACTTCAGATCGAGTGAACGTTTTCATTATATTACTATTACAATATTGAAAAAAAAATAGACAATTAAAGAAAAAAGATATTCAGGAAATATCATATTTGATTTATTTATGTAAAATAAGGCATGAGGGACGGGTTAACCTTTCCAGTTGTGAAATCACTGACTAAGATGATTCCCAGGCAATCATTTGAACCCCAACCACAAAAAAAAAAAAAAAAAAAAAAAAAATCATTGACAGAACTTTGTCCTCCAAACTCATCTATTTTGTATCCCTCTGCATATACTTTTTTTGGGATATATAATTGTAGGTAAGAAAGTTTAGCCGTGGGAAGCAGAAACAACAAATCATCTGATCATGAAGCAGCAACAACCTTTTGTTGTATACTTCTTTGAAGCGAAAAATCAACAGGGCGCGAAGAGTTCGATTGTTTCACGATCACTAGACACTAAAGCGCAGCTTACCGTCTTTGTCATAATAGTTAACGGGTAAAAATAAGTAATTTGCGAGAGTAAATGATACAGTTTGCAGATGATAAAAAGGGATTTGCGATACGTGAAGGGTAGAGTTTATGAGTAAGAGTATAAAGAACAAAAAAAAAAAAAAATCAGCAGATGGTGATAATGGATGTGGATCATATCAATCACCCGTAAATTCCATCATATCCGAAATTCATACCTTTTTTTTTTTTTTTTTTTTTTTTTTTACCACCAACTATCATCACCAGTCCGTTATCAACTATTAGTTTTCAACTGTCCATCATCAGCAATCAATCATCAATTTGCCCATGAAAATATCATATTGTCCATTTCCACGATACAAAAGAAAGGTAAACGCAATTCAGAAGAAAAAAGAAGTAGATATCTCCTGATTTTCCTAAATGGCGTCCAATGCTTTGGATATATTTTGGATATTCATCCGACAGTCGACATCATGCCAAATTCAGAAAAGGGCGTAAGAAAAAAATAAATAAATAAATAAATAAAACATGTGAATAAGCTAATATTGGCATGTGTCTAGATCTATTTACTTCTCATTATTTTTTGCTGATCAGACTTTTTTTCCAATTTTATGCATTGATAGCTTTTTTCTTTTTTTGCGTGCACGCAAATCATGTCTCTGCGCGATGCCAATCATTTTCCTGGGACATGCTGAAAAATTTCTGACAAATGCGAATCGCTTTCAGGGCGCACGTTGATAATCCTTTGGCACCACACACTGCATATTACTGCTTTATGCCAACGGATTGTGAGATGAACTTGGTTTTCGGATAACTGTTGGATAATCTTTGAACGCCAAAAAAAAAAAAGAAGAAGTGTATAGCGCCAAATGAGATAGATTGTGCGATTAAATGAGGGAGCCTCCTTGTGTGGGGGAAAACTTGTTAGTGTGCGCCACGGAAGTGATTGGCATAACTTAGAAATATGATTCGCGTGCGCCACATTTGGTTTGCAAACAAAATAATTGGAAAAACTCTGTAAATGAACTTCATTAATTTTCCTCGCAACAATGCACACGTAGATACACGTTTTAAAATTCTAAAGGTAGGAGTGACATTCTTAGATGTTCTATGTACACCCTTATCATATGATCTTTGTTTATACGACAATTGATAAAGACCAAGTTTTTAATGGCGTTTTCTCTCTCGTTCTCTTTCTACCTTTCTCTCTCTCAGACGCACAGGGGTTCATCATTTAAACTTCTACATACCAGGAGAGTATTCTTCGATGTTCTCTTATACTATTTGATACGATCTTTTGTTTATATGATATTGAGAAAGATCAAGTTTTTTAAATATTACTCTCTTTCTCTTTCATAGACGTACAAGGGGTTCATGATTTAAACTTCTATAGATAGGGGTATTATTCGATATTCCATGTATATCTTTTTGGTACGATCTTTGCTTAAGGGTATATATATATACTGGATATTGTTTTATTTTTTTTTCCCATTTCAATAAAAACAACATCTCTCTGGTTTTTTTTTTTATTTTCTCCTACTATCGGTGTGGTTGTTATTATGTATTGCAAAAAATTGTTGTCATTGCTTGGACTGTTTGTGTTTGCTTTTCACGTTTGCACTGCTGCGGTTCCTGTTCAAGAATTAATTGACAGTGGTGGTCAGAAAATAAGTCAAGATGGTGAATGCTTCAGCTTCTACTCTCCAGAAAACGACAAATGGTTAATAGCAGACTCAAAAGGATGGTTACAATTTTCATCTCTTGGGGCATCAACGTTTCAATTTAAAACTATAAATAACAATACAGAAACCTCATTGGGATGTAGATTGACTCTATTAAAATACAAAGGTGCTTGGAAAACAATCAAGAATCAAAGGCAGCCTGGTGGTGGCGATTACTCATCATTGTGGAGTTACGAAGGGGTCTTAACAACAACTTATCATGCATCAAGAATAAGTGAATTTGTATGGAATGACCAGAGGCATTTCCTTTTAGATGCAGGCTTTAATTCAGAACAAGGATATGGCGCTGTAGGTCCTTATGCAACGTACCTTGATAAAAATTCTAATTGGTTAGTGGGAAAAGAAGTAGCAACTAGAGGAGGTAGAGCACTATTTTATATTTTTAAACAGAACGATTGCTCGCCTACCAACTTTTATCCACAAAAGGCACCATTAAAAAATGATGTAGCATCTAAGCCTATGAGTGGAACGTGCAACAAGTGAATATTAATTTTTGAATATATAAATAATATGAAATAAAAACCTTTGTCTTTCTCTCTCTCTTTCTTTCTCCTACTTCTCTTTCATTATTAACTGCTTTACTATTACGCTTGATTACTGGAAGGAGCGGTACGCTATGTCTACAGAAAAGGAAAGTGTTGATAGCATGGAAACTGAAAATTAGTTGGGTTCAAGAGTGTGTTCAAAATGTAAGACTGGTTCATATGCTAAGATTCATCGCTCCATCTTCATTAGAGATCCACTGTAATCGGAATAGTCAGTTCAATGAATATTACTACTAGTAAGATCTGTTCCAGTAAGGTCATCATGATGTGTCTATAATGTTTGGAGGGATCATTGACATGCATAAATAACAGATGTCTAAGAACAAGGGAATGTTGTCAAGGTTCAGCAATGAAATAGATTAAACCCGCTACTATGTGATGAAAACTAACAAGCAGCAGTTTATTATAAATACTTTAAAATTAAAATAAAGATCTCTTCTACTTTCTCTTTCCCTATTCAACTATTAAGGAACATCGGTATATGGATTTTAAACAATATCAATGTTAGCAAAAATTCAATTTAGTGTATTTCTATTTTAACGACGCATATAATTAGAAACTTTTTTTTCTAAGGGTATCTAGCCTACATTGTTGTGTAACGTGGATGCTAACTCTGACGCTTCTGGTCATTTAAAAATTTTCCTTTTTCTTTTTCTCTTATCCTTTTTTTTCTTTTTCTTTTTTCTTTTTTAATATTATAGGGATACTGTTCTATGTGTTTATATATAGAGAGAATTTCAAACAAGAGGGTAAGATACAAGCTTGTTAAGCATAAAACTGATAGCCAGCAAGGTCAAAAAAGGCTCATAACGTATCAAGATCATCCTAAATTCATTATTGATTTTATACAAACACTTGATTTTACACCTATTGACACAGATGAATGGATTTATATAGAATCTTCTCAAGGAAGCACTGTTCTAAGCTGTTTTGATTAAAACCTACGATTAAGGAGTAATTTGAAATGCAAATTACTTTGTTTTTTATGTTGATGTAGCATATATAGTTAGTTACAAATATATATGTATGAATACGGATGAACGATTTTTTTTAAAAAAATCATTGAATTCTTATCGACATTTTAATGAAGTCGTTATTTTCGTACAGAAAAAAAAAGTCAATTCTTATCGAAATGAAACCTTGTCGTATCATGAAACAAAAGTCGTTAAATAAATACCAATTACCTAAAAGAGACTACTGTGTTCAGTAACTGTGGAATTGGTGTAGATATATGGTTAAAAAAATAAAAAAAGAGACGAGAACAAGTCTGTGAGATTTCTTTTTATCTTTAAAAAATGGTTAATAAAAGAGACAAAGTATCTATAAAAAAAGTTCTGTTGGTCTTATATGTAAGTACGTAGTGAGTGATACGTCATACTGGTATGATTACACCATATTTAAGATTGGTGACCAAGTTTTATTTTCTTGTCTTTTTATTTTAGTTTGCAATACTGTTATACAGAGAGTATAATTTTATTAGTATTTTATTTTTTTATTGATGTGATGAATCATCATATGTGTAGTGATTCATTATGTTAGTTGCCCTGGAACGTTTATACATTGATGTATATCTTTCTTGATAGTATCAAAAGATCATGAGCATGCTAACTTTCAAAGTCCGTATTTTTATTTTTTTTTATTTTTTAGATATGCGATAATTTTTATTTTCTTTTCTTTCTTTCCTTTCTTTATAACAATTTTAGTTATAGTATACCAATTAGTAGTCTTTAGTAGTTATATTCTTATTTAATAAACCATTTATTTTTATTCCAACTACTTTGTTACACGTCAATGTAATTGATTCCATTTTACGATGTATTTTTTATTCTTTATTTGTGAATTGCATTCTTTAGTTTTATTTTACGCATATGGTTACGAAATACGCTGATACGACAATTTGGTCTGATGAAACGAAGATCAATCGGTTTGGTTCGGATGGCCGCCACTACGCTTGGAAAAGGGTAGATGAACAGCTTCAACCTAAGCATGTTAAGCAGACGGTTAAGCATGGTGGTGGTAGTATCAAGATCTGGGGGTGTATCACGATGGATGGACCTGGTTATATGGCCAAAATTGATACTATATTGGATAAGGAGCTCTACCTGGCCATCTTGCAAGGTGAATTGGTTGAAACCTTTAAATGGTATGGCTTGGATCCTAGCAAAGTCATCTTCCAGCAAGATAATGATTGCCGACTGGTTAGCAAAAGATGGCCGTTTTGGTCGTTCAAAGATGTGTAGGGTTGGTGCCGCGACTGTCCGGATGAGAAGTTTATGGGTGCTCAAAGAGGAACATCGACGTAAGTGACCTGACTGTAATATTTATCTTTACGACAATAATCTCCCTATTTTTTTTTTTTTTAGGTGATGCTTTGAACAAAGTCTTTAATACACCCTCCTACAGGAAAAAGGTGCGCGAGACAAGTGATAACTAGCTTACAGTTGGGTATTGTCGCAAATCAAAATGCAACGTCTCACAAGAACAACGAGTAAAACTGATCCAACGCATGGTGGAAATCCTGAAATTGAAATGTCTTTGTAAAAAGGTGTATGTATCTCCCATTTGCTCTGCCAGCTCACTCTTGCTTGAGCGTGATTTCAGCAACAATACTGCAACTGTGATGGACAAAATTAAGTACAAAGATGGTCATTTTCAAGGTAAATCATCAAAAGACAGGGTGCTGCCTTCATAACTCATAAAAAATTCCTAGACTTTGTCATGCATGGCAACCCTTCCTATTACCAACGGTACACAGATATGGAATCAGATCTAGTCGAGACTGAGGACAAAGTGATGCTCAACACCCGCACACAAGTCGTTGACTACATGAATCAAGTATATCTTTCGAACGCACCACCTGTGTGGTAATTCAACACATAAAGATTTTAAATTAGAGTTTAGAATATTGATAATCTGATAGTTTATTTATAAAGAGTTTTTTATAGGATTCGTTCCTTTTCCTCTTTAACTAAGTTTTATTAATAAAATTCTTACGTTTCGTCTCGTTCTTATTCAGACTTCACAAATACTACATACTCCTCGTCCGGTGAATGTAGCAAGAACTTCCAAGCAATTCCTCCTCTTTATTCATCTTCGTCGTATTTTCCATCTTTTGTGTCAAGAGACTATCCAATGTTTGCGACCATAACTTTCTCTATCTGTAAAGAATTTGGTGGTTGAAAGCTTTGTTATATCATCGGTATGTCAAAACAGATTAGGGACCAAATATTACAAAGTAAGTTGATTTTATCTTATTATTATCCTTTAATTTCATCAGCAGACTACTGACGTACGCTTCTTTTTTTGTTAGACCAACGGGAATCGCAAACAAGAATGTTACAAGATGGTGCCTTGTATGAAGAATTAATTATGAACAAGACTTTGCTCCTTTTCATACATACTTTGAAAAAAATATTTGATACGCAAGGAAAGTGTTACTGTCGAAAGCTTTCTACGTAAGTATCTAATGACATTCATTCAACATTTTGCACGGGAACTGACGTATTTTTTATTATAGGATACTCTTGTACTTATCTTTTTTATCTTTATTTTATACATTATATATATATTATTCTGTTCATATTATTTTTTGATATATCTTCAATAAAACATTGTTTAGCAAGTTTTTTTTTATGATTGAATTATTCAATTATCCATCCATTCAGCTTTTTGATAAGGAAATAACATATAGATGGTATTGGTGGTTTATTATTTGAAAATTAAGGGTTTCTGTTATATCTGATTAGATGTAATATATATTTGGGTCATGATATGCTATTATATTGGATTTGATATAAAACGTCAAAATATTTATATTATATTTCTTATATTGGGACAATGATCTTTTTACTATACTCCATCATGCTGCTTATTCTGTAAAAACGCTACCTGTGCGCCATACTATTTCAATGTCCGGTCCCGTGAGCATGGCATTGCCAGAACAAAAAAGGAGAAGGGGAAAGTCTTTTTTTTTTCTATAACTTGTTACATTCTCGTTAATTTGACTACTTCATCCTTCTTCATATATGCTCTCGTGAGCATGGCATTTCACATGTTGTCAGAACAAAAAGGAGAAGGGGAAAGTCTTTTTTTTTTATTCTTTCTCTTCTCTATCTTATTCTTTTTTTTCTATAACTTGTTACATTATCGTTAATTTGACTACTCCATTCTCCTTCATACATCTCTTTTTTTGTATTAATCTCTCTCCCAGGAAGTTCTGTTACCATTAGTTGATTCCCACTATTTTACCTCTATCGATCTTTCTATGGAATGGATCCTGACGCGTTAAAACGAAGCAACCCAAGTTTACTCTACGAAAAATGTCATTTTTTTATTCAGCGTACATTCGAAAATCGTTTGGTGAAAGCAATGTGGACGCACAAGAGAGCTTATGGTGTGAACACAACAACTCCTAAGAACACATTTATCGCCAGTTTATTAGCTATTGAAAAAAGCAAAAAGTCTCTGCACAATCTATATATCGATGCAGCCAATGAATGGGGACAATTAGAAGGCAAAAAGAGCACTGATGGTATGTAGCACAGAAATGCGAAAGAAGACTTAATTTCTGTACATATTTGCTAACATGATTCTTCTCTTTTTGCTGCCTCTCTACCATAGATTCAAGAATGATGCCCATTACAAATATCAAGATGAAAGAATACTGCGACAGTCTCTATGTTCCGACTGTTCTCTCGTACCGATCGTTTGTGGATGATAATGTAAATAGAATCTACGATTCCCTATACGAATCTTCCTCTTCACCAACAACACCTATACCATTTTCTTCATCATCTTCATCATCATCATCATCAACAACACCTATACCATCTTCCTCTTTATCATCATCATCATCATCATCATCATCATCATCATCTACTCCTCTACAAAAAGCGAAAGGGAGAAAAAAAATGGAAACTGGAGAAAACATAAAAATGATCACGGTGGCTACAAAAAATATAATGAAGGCGACCTTATCAAAACCAATTCAAAGTCTTTCAAAGGGCGGTATCTGATGTGATTATTGAAGTTTCGTTTTTAGTGCAGCTTCTTCTACAAGCATTCTTGGACAGGTATGATTCAATATGTTTTTTCCGCCTCTGTGTGATTGTACTAAGTAGTGTTGGTATTATTTTTATTCTTTCTTGTAGTCATTCCTCCGAGATAAGAATTGAAGACATAGTTCCTTTAGGCAAAATACGTCAAGACTTCAATCAGCCCTTGAGTGTTCCTCCTGTCTCCCTAAAGCAAGAATTGCTAGCATCCCGCGTAAAACCAGCAAGTCAACGCCATCTATATGACTTTCTTTCTGCTGATCATCTGAGCCACCTTCTTTCAAAATTCTTTGGTCGCGTACAAGTACCTCCTTCAACATCATCACCAACATCATCATCATCGGTAGCACCGTCATCATCAGCCACATCATCTCAAGATCCTTGGATCCAAAACCTGGAGTCATTACATCTAAACTTAACTACAATTACCAACGAATTAAAATACGCAGCAAAACCATACATGGAAATTATGGCCACAAACGCGTTACGTACGTCCTTGGAAAGGCATTGTTAGTTCTCCTTCGTTTGCATTTGGCTCCTGCCCGGGAAGAACGGTATCATATGAAACTGAAGAGGTAAAGAAAAAAAAAAAAAAAAAAAAAAAAAAAAAAAAAAAAAAAAAGAGAAACGGTCAAATATCTATCATGAATGTCTTCTAAATTTGATTTTGCTTTGGTTTTAGAAAATCAAGTGAATATAGTCATGAATCGGAACGAAGTATAAACAGACATTTGGAAACAAAGAAGATCCTGAAGCAACGTTTGTGGAGACACAAGAAAAGACTGAGAAAATTAGAATCAAGGACCCCACTACCAGAAAATCATGATGCCCGGCGACGACAAGAAACATATATCATCAACAAATTGAAAGAAGAATTGCTCAGCAGTGCGACAACAGAAGCTATGGACCTGCAAATCGACAATAATGAAGATGATGACGACGATGATTTTGATGCTATTGCCAGTCTAAATCCGTACACAGATGAAATTGATGAAGTCATTGCTTCTAGAGATGATATTGAAGAAGAAACAACTGTTACCACTGGTTTTAAGGAACATTCAAATGCTCAACTACTCAGAATAGCTTCCTATCTCAAATCTGTTTTACTGAATCCTCGTCCTGAAGTAATAGTCAACGAAACTTTTATTCAAGAAAAATTCTCTGGTCTACAACTCTCGGAAGCAGCCTCAGTTATGAAAATTTACATCTTCTTCAAAAACTTTGTTCTTCCCAACATTGGCGATATAGGAGTCGATTCGCATATTCTTCCTGGTGTGTTTATTATTCTTGCGTGCAATGGTATCCTGCGCTCTAGGGGATATTCACATTTCTGTCGAAAGGTTTTACCGGAGACAAAGCCATCAACATGACATGCACTGACGTTAGACACGACATCCTTATATCACGCGCTGAAATCATCTCTGTTTAACAATATGAAGGTCAATACAAGTACCGGTCTCCTAATCAACAGTGAAATGAAAGCCAAGGCAAATCCAAGCGAAGTCTTCGATGCTTGTTTCAATATCCAGGAAATTCAAAAGGCGTGCAGCGACAGGAATTGCAGATTCGACAACAGATTAATGATCACTTCCTTCGGTATAGTGCGTCTACAGGCCATTGGGCAATCAGGAAGTACCGCGAAGTCAGCAGTATTACCATCGAGTTCTAGCCATCAACGCAAGAAACGAAAGCTAGACTCAAGTGGATATGATGTCAAAATGAAGGAACTGAACAACCAAGCAGCATCGGCAAGAAAAAGAATCAGTGAAATCCGAAGAAATGCAGCAACCCTTCGACAAGCTATCAAAGCAAGCAAAGTTCAACTGAAACAATGTGAATCAAGTGAGCGACAAAGTTTAATTGAGGAGCAAAAACAATTAAAACGTGAACGGGACGAACACTATATGGAATTAGTTGAAAAATTAACGCTGTTGTCAAAAACAAAGAAAGAAAAATCGGCGATCTACCAATTTTGCTTCGGGGATAACAAAAACGTGCCTGTATTATCATCAACAAGCTCGATAACACCTTCGTCGTCATCATCAGTAATAGTAACAGCATCAACATCGGCATCAGCAGTAACAAAACCAGTTACTTACTACGGTGTGGATCCTGGAGTGGTAACCATGGCGAAAGCAGTAAAGATGACCAAACACCAAGCAGGGTCATTTCTATTATTATCAAACAAGTATCAACCGCTGGAGGACCTGCTAGATGAAGATAGGGATGCCAGAAGATCCTTACTAAATGTCAATGCAGTGAAAGTCAACGCCAAAGACATAAACAACAAATCAAGAAATAAATACTACCAATGGCAACTCAACAAAAGAAAAAGCTGAACAATCATAATTCGTCAACAAGGGATAGTGTTTTGAAAATTGAGGAAAAACTAGGGGGAGCTACTCAAAGACGTTATATGGAAGCTGTAAATCAAGATATTATCATTAACGAACATTCGTATAGGACCTCCGTGCGACAAGCCCTCATAAAATTTTACCATGACTCAACATTCATCAAAAAACAGAAAAGGAGCCGTAAGTAGATTTCAAGACAAATCGTACGCAGTAGCAGCAAGAAAACTTATCAAAGAAAGAGAAAACGACTTGAATTACGTAAGTTGCAGAACAAGTGACATGTAAAAGCCGATACTAATCCACATATTCAGAAACCGAGGCTCAAGTAATTCGTTTTATAAATGAAGTATACCAAATGGAAGATCTGAACAACGACATTGTTTATCAAAAAAAATCAATATCAACAAAATCTATTCATGAAGTGATCAACTGTCACACGACCCTCTTCAACAACAAATCAAACCTTTCGTTTGATAGATGGTGCAGTAAATCTCGTTTATCATTTATGCAAGCAAAAGAAACGCGAAATAGTCAAATACGTGTGTGGTAATTCAACACATAAATATTTTAAATTAGAGTTTAGAAATATTGATAATCCGATAGTGGAGATCAGATTACAGAGTAATCTGATAGTTTATTTATAAAAAGAGTTTTTTATAGGATTCGTTCCTTTTTCTCTTTAACTAAGTTTTATTAATAAAATTCTTACGTTTTGTCTCGTCCTTGTTTAAGACTTATACAAATACAACAATCCAGATCACACATATAAATTCACCCTAGTTTTTTAAAACATTCATAAGTATTTTCTTCTAATAAAACTACCAGCAAGAATCTCATTTATTTTATTTCGTCTTTAAAAGACCAATTAGTATCACAACACTACCAACCATTTCACCGTATCTCTGATTTGTCTCTTTTATTATATTTATATTATTTTATCCGATCAACTGTTCTAAGGGACAGTACGCGTTTATGCTTTCCAACACGATATTTTCCCAATTAGTGCCTCAAGTATAATATCTTTCAGGATGGCAGATTTGTTTCGTAAGCGTTGCTATTAGTTTAGTCCAACAAAGACTGAATACAGAGAAAACGCCATGAAACTACGTTGAGGCATGATCTAGCTCGAGAAATATACATTGTGCTATATACAACTTTCTTTTCAGGATCGGCAGGGATACATCAGCAAAGGAAATTGAGAAGCCCCTTGTTAGCCAATCCTTGGATGTCTTGAATTCAGGGGAGGTAGATCAGGAAGATCTTTTTCGTCCTGTCCTAGCATTGCCATTTTCGGAATGACCCTATCAGTTGTTTTATGTGGCGCAACGTGGAGATAAAAGTACAATCTTTTTGTTTTAAGGGGTCTCTTCTTTTTAGGAGGGCTTTGAAAGGGAAACTTCTCCATCGTTATTACAATAAAAAACAACATTCAGCATTATGAATACCAAGCATTATGAATACATTGCCATTGTCGTTTGTTCGTTGACAATATTGTATTGTGTAGCAGAGGGGATCATTTCTGTCACATTTGGCTCTGAATCGGACTCGTCTAGTCTTTTATTCCTTGGAATCGACTCATTAGTTGAAGTTGTATCAGCAAGCTTAGTGTTATGGAGAATGGCAAGTACCAATGTAACGTCGAAACGGGACAAGTTTGCTACTCTAGGAATAGGGATCATGTTTCTTTTGTTAACCATTGGAACAATTGTTGTTAGTTGTATGAATTTATCTAAAATGGCACATCCTGAAAGCACTCTTCCGGGAATCATTATCTCGAGTGTGAGCATTGTTGTAATGGCAATTCTCTGGTTGACAAAAAGGTGGCTAGCTAAACGGCTAAATTCATCCACATTGGAAAGCGAAGCCAAGTGTTCTTTCGCGTGTCTTAGGATAACATGCGTGTTGTTCGTTGGAAGCATGATATTTTATTTCTGGAAAGGTGGGTGGTGGGTGGATTCAGCCGCTGCACTTGTGTTAGCATTGTTTTTTGGTTGGGAATCCTATGAAATGATATCATGGGCTTTATCTAAGAAGTTTGATGGAGGCTGTTCTTGTTCAAAAAAATGAAATAAAAACATCATTCGGACGATGCATGTATGAATATTGATTTGGTTAGGTTTCATAAGGCGGTAATTTGCGCAAGACATATATCAACACCAAATAAGATCTCTAGATCATTTTTTATTGAAAACCAGTAAGTCTAGTGCTCGGAAAAATTACCACCTGAACAGTGAATTAAGGAAAAGCGTCTATCCTTATTGCAAGGAAGAGCTGAGTCCATTGTAACTGGTGGTGGTAGATCCAGAGCAAAGATACGATTAGTGGAATTACCTTTATGTAGAATTGGTGTAGGTTGTGGCAAAACTAAAAAAAGAGACGAGAGCAAGTCTGCGAAAGATTTCTTTTTATTTGAAGAAGTATATATATACGTGGTGAGCAATACGTGATACTAATATCATCACATCATATTTAAGATTGGTGACCAAATTTATACTTCGTTCAAGAACCTTATGTCAAGAATCATGCAGCGACTCTGAGTTTTATTTATTTACTTCCTCTTCTTTTGTCCTTTTTGTTCCCTTCTGTTTTTTTTTTGTTTTTTTTCCCACCTTCTCTTTTCTTCTTCTTTTGTTCTCCTTCATCACAACCTTGATACGATAGTTTAGATATAAATACGTTATTTTATTTCTACGAAAACTGATTGACAACCATTCGTAATAAAGCAGTGGGGATTTATGTCACGAACTACTGCTGTAGGGAATAGAAATCTTGTCAGAAGCTGGTTCCAATTTGAGGGCGCGTAAAAGAGGAACATAGCCTGTCATTCATGGTGACCATCGAGTTGCAATCGTTATTGGCGGAAGTCTTCGTAGTTGTTTGGTCAGATGTTGCAGATGAGGCATACCAGCCAATCTTTTGCCATATGTTTCGGGGGGTCATGAAGAAAGAAATCACTGAATTGTATCCGTTTGCAATAGGAGGATTCCAGGTACTTTTCGAGAATCTGGGTTATGCAATCACTGGTATATTTCTACTACATTACATACATCGTTCACTCACCATTTTTTTTTTTTCGCTTGAACGCAAAATAGGGGGGACACAATATCGAAGGCTGACGTACCCACCGCGTCCAGAATGGACCTGAGAATTCTCTGTAAGAACATGGTGCCTGGCACGGACATTGTGGAAGCTGAATTTGGCAGGTGTATTACAACGAAAAAGTATTATACTGATAAGAAAAGGACAGTAATCAATGGAAAATCACAAATAAACGACATGATAAAACACTCTCAGGGTGATGATCTTCTCAACGTCAAGGTTTGTCTTTTTCAAGTATTAGGTATGTAGTTTTCCCTCTGATTTACCCAAACGTCGTATCTAGATCATAAACGTCGTGTAATTCAGGTATCTTAGCTTCCTGTCATTTAAGGTCTCATTCAATTTTACTCAAATAGAAACACTACCAACAGTCTCATCGTATTCTCGATCTGTCGTATATTATCCTTTTCTCCACAACTTTTTTTTATTAGTGAACACTCATGTTTTTAAATAAAGAAATGATTTCATGTACGAGCATAACAGTAGTGTTTCTAGTGGGAAAATGAATTGCCAAAGGATGCGACGTATCGTTTGAATCCAACTGCTGAGGGATCTGCTTTTGCTTTTTGGTCCTGATTACTGTTGACCATAGTTGCTTGCTACTGTCTTATTCCTTTATCGTGCTCTGTTTCATATCAATAACCACCCGACATCATCACTGAATCGAGTTCATTCGTTTTTCCCATTTTAATGCTGTGAGTATATAAATGTGTGAACTAAGTTGTTATCTTCATTTAACAAGCTATTAATTCGCTTGCCTTTCTATGCCTTTTTTGCTGTCAGAGAACCAACTGACTAATATATACCTCTTCCTAATGTAAGGAGATGTCAGGAATAACATTGTAGGAGAAAGGAAGGAAAATGAGAAAAGAAGGATTATTTATTCTCACTTACATGGGTTACTTTGGCAACGGGAAAAGCAATTTTATTGGTTAATTTCACTTGGGGTGAAAGTTGGCAAACAATTGAAAGTCAGCACAAAATCAAAAGGATCTCGGACGGTAGTTTATTGTCCAATCATATTGAGGCGGGAAAAAACTGGCCAATCAGAAGACGGCATTTGGATTTTGTGTTGAAACGTTGCCCAATCATAATGCTTAAAAGTACGGCAATATACTGACCAATCACAAGAAGGCGGCAAAAGCTGACCAATCAGAACGCTTTGTCCAGTGCTAGTAAAATTTTACGTGGTGCATCGGTTTCTGCAGAATTTATTTTTCTTTTTTTTTTTTGTAGGGAAAAGACTTGTTTTATTCAAAGGCCGTGTGGGAGTTTCTCTCCTGATTTACAAATTAAAACAAATATTCTAGGGGGGCGCTCTACTGTTTTCTTTTTGTTTTATATATTCTAACTAGGTTGGTTAGTTAGTTAATATTCGGTTTTGAATGCGGGGAGAAGGAAAGTCAATGAACGATATATCCTGCCACCGAACGACGAGACATCAGATAGTCTTTAGGAATATTGTACGAGCCAAGTGTTTGTCCCATGTTTGTTTTTCGAATGTGCAACGCCAGTGATAGGTCCATATAGTAGCGAGTACCCGTCCTATCCACGATAGAGTATTCATATTAGAGAATGAAGGTTCTATGATGAGATTCCAAATTTGACCTTGGCTTGGAGGAAATGATGGACCTGACCATGTATCGTTCCAGATGTGATCTTTCGCGGTGCACCCAAGGAAAAAGTGGTAGACATCTTCTATTGCAAGGTCACAAAAAGAACACATTGGTGACTCGTGAACCGTTGGCATGAAACGATGTAATTTTTCTTTTGTAGATATTGTCCCATGTAGTAGGCGCCACCATACCGTTGTTGCCCGATGAGGAATACGAACATGCCAGAAAGATCGCCATATCTTTGTTGATATTCGCCATCCCAAAGGAATTTGTAATGGAGGGTGAGGTGGCGAGATGAACCATTGGTACTGGGGATGGAAATATTGTCGTAACGCTCGCGGAGATGCTGTTTCAACTGTTGTTGTTGCTTTGCCAGGGAGAATGATCATCCAGTTGTCACTTGCCTGTGGATCAGTACCAAACGCTGGCGGTAGAGGAGGTAAAGATGCTATGAGCTTTCCTAAGGAAGTAATCATATTAAATCCTTTGGTTAACATTTTGATCTTCCTGTAGTTGGTAAACACTTCGTGGCTTGATTCGATTCCAATGTAATATCGAAAAAGGTCTAGCACAATTGGTGTACAGAAATCATGCGATTGGAGGGGTCGAAGAAGTCTTTGTAGGTAGAGTAGCTGTAACGCCAATTGTTGATGATAAAGATTAACAATACCTAGTCCACCATATTTCTTCTGTAGGCACGCTGTATCCATGGACGGAGCAGGCCAGAAAGGATAGATGAATTTGCGAATTTCTGTTTGTACCTGTTGTAACCATTTGGGAGGGACTGATACTACGCGCAATATATGCCATAACCGTGACAATAGCATGGAATTAGCAACCAAACTAGATCCTCGTACTGATAAATGACGCCCTCGAAAATGATTGATGTGTCTAACTAGTTGAAGGTATAAGTTATCAAGGAAGCTGTCAAGTTGGTGTGTCGACGTGTATATCGGATAGCCCAAATACGTGATGGCATTGTCACTGTCATTATCGTGCCATATGATTTGCGAAGAACGGCAAGTGGTTATCCAATCGTCGTGTGCGGTTCCTGAAAGCGAGGTAATATATGTTTTCTGGAGGTTGACTTTTGAATTGGATGCTTGATTGTATAAATCGAATAATTTTAACGCTTCTGTCCACTCATTAGTATCATTAAAGAAGATAAGTAAGTCATCTGCGTATGCCAGGAGCTTGATGGAGCTTGATACCTTTTGTGCGATTGCTGGAGTCTTGATCATATGTCGTTGTCTGCCAATAGGAATCACTTGAGGATGGTCAAGACTGATACCACGAATGATGGGGGAAGTTTCAATTAATCGTAGAAAAGGTTCAAAAGCTAAGTTGAAAAGCAGAGGGGACAGTGGGTCTCCTTGCCTTAATCCTCGCCGTTGGTAAAAAGGTGCACCATTCCAGCCATTGATGGATAAAGAGATCGCCGTGTCAAAGAAAAGGTGCTGCAATGTCTTGACCAAAACCATTGGTAGACCAAAGTGTAACAGTGTCCGTGTTAAATATTCTGGATGTATTCGATCATATGCTTTCTCTTGATCAAAACAAGCAGCCACTGCTGGAATATCTTCTTGATTGTTGATGCGTTGATAGTGTTGCATAACGGCTTGTAATACCCATCCGTTATCTGAAATCAATCGTCCAGGCAGGAATCCGGTTTGATAAGGATTGATTATATCTGGTAGATAACTATTCAGGCGGTTTGCAAGTAACTTGGTGAATAACTTGGCATCGGTGTTTATCAACGATAAGGGTCGCCAATTTTGAAGAAGTTCAGGATCTCCTTTTTTAAAAAGTAGGATCATTCTTGTCATCATCCACGAGGAAGGGATACTGCCTTGCATGGCTTCGTCGATTACCTGGCAAAACAACTTTTTGGCATCCAAAGAAATAGAGAACACCAGTTTGTACACTTCAAAAGGTAATCCATCCAAGCCAGGACTTTTGCCAAGTGGTGCGAATTTAATCAGATCGTCCAACTCTGTTACTGTGATAGGTCTGATTAGTCGATCTGCACTAGTTCTTTCGAGTCGACATTGTGCTGGGATAGCATCCAATAGTTGGTCAATAGCTGAATGATTCACAGGTGATGGTGTATAAAGTTGTTTGTAAAAGGATCTAGCTTCATGGAGGATCTCGCTATTGCAGTTGGTGGACTGTCCAGTATGGGAGGACTTGATAGATAGAATGGTCTGTTGTATCGTACGTTGTTTGATCACCCTGTAGAAGTACTTGTTGTTTCGTTCACCTTTTTCTCGCCATCTTGTAGCTGATCGTAATAGTAGTTGTGCTGTTTGACGGTCAATATGCTCTTCCAAATCTTTCTCTATGTGTTGTAACCGGTGTTGCAAATTGGTGGATGAGGAAGATAGTGAGTTGTTGGATCTATTAGACAAGTTGGCCATAATGTCTGCCCGTTCACTTTCAAGTATACGGATTTTGGATTTTGTTGCACTTTGAGAATGGAGGCTGAAGTCTTTGGCTGATAGTTGTACCATGGTTTTTAGGGATTCCCATTTTGTAATTGCATTGCCATGTTCCGTGGACTGAGAGAAGAAAAGGTATAACATGTGTTTTAGTAGATTAACATATGAGGACTGGGTAAGAATAGTAGGGTTTAAACGCCAACAGCCTGGACCTATGTCCACTTTGTCCAAAAGAAAATCCACGTGCAGAAGGTGATGGTCAGTCCAATTGGATGGTAAGTAGCGATGTTGAAAATTAGTCACACGGGAGGTTATATGGCGTGAAGAGAGAATGTAATCAATGGTGGAGCGATAATCACCCCTATGGAAGGTAAAGGATCCCTTTTCATTAAGATCCGTGAAGTGTTGGTGTCTCCAAGTATTCCAATGTTTTAACCAGATAGGGATGGTGCGATGAAGATTAACATTGAGATCCCCCACTAAGAACCAGTCTTCATGCGATAGATTTTTAAAGATTGGCCAATCGCGCATGTGTTGATAGAAATGTTTCTTTGTTGTTGATGATGTTTGTGCTGGTGCATAAATGTTTGCTATATTGATGCCAATCTTTGAATTTGTTTTATCTATAATCGTAGTTGAGATACAGCGTTCGTCGTTTGAAACAGCTTGATTCAACATATCATATTTTGTATTGAGAAGAATGATTGCACAATGTTTTGATAAAAGTAATTGTGCTCCTGGAAAATTAAAAGTGAGTTGCTTGATGTATTTGTCGTGTAAGTGAGTGTCGCGAGATAATGTTAATTCCTGTAAGCATAAAATGTCTATGCCTAAATGTCGTGATCGAAGATATGAGGTGAAATGGCGTTGATGTTGAGGGTGGTTTTCTTTGAATATACTACGTACATTCAAAGAAGCAATGCGTAATTTGTGATTACTCATTGACCTGACGGTCATTGGTTTCGTTAGTGGTAGGTGACTCCGGTATGATATCGTATTGAGACATTGCAAGTAACTTAGCTGACGTGGAGGAATTGGATGCTGGTGTATGTCTACTTGTCATTCGACGTTTTGCTTGTATGGATTTTCTTACATTAGCTGTCCTGATTGGAGAAAAACGGGACATGCCAAAATTGGCTGCATGACCATATGTTTTCATCAGCTGATGTGCTTTGTGGCGGTGACTGTGTGATTCTTCCAACTTATTAGGGGGTAGTTGGGGAATAACAATATTCTCATCGTTTTCTTTTTCATCGAAAGTTTCTTCTACCATTTGTTCATCAATTCCTTCAGGCATTGTAGTATTCGCATCCAATGAGACAATGCTTGCGTTTGTTGTCACGTTCGTGCGAAGTTTATCACTGTGTTCCTTCATATGCTGGTCGTTGCTTGTCTGGTTTGTTGCTTCCACCTTCTTTTCATTGTCACGAATTGCTGCTAGTCTAACGTATTCATCCAAAGCTTCCTTTTCTGACCGAGTTTTTTCTTTGCAATGACGAGCATAGTGACCTTTGCCTTGACAATTGTAACAGGTAACATTTGCCATTCGGGGACAGTTTCTTCTAATATGACCTGATTCTTTACACCCGAAACAAATAGGAGGAGCACCACGGTATGAAGCACTCACTTCCATATCCCATGGTTCTAAATAGAGTCTACGATCTAGCGTTTGCCATTGAATGTCCTTAATGGGTTTGGTATCTAGGAGTACCAGAGCGTCACCTTCAAAGTATCCACGATTAGTTATCTTCTTGATCTGACAAACTTTGCCATAGCGTCGTAGACCATCGAGGAGTTCTTTGCAAAGAACATCGTCAGGAAGAAAATAGGGAAGTTGACTCAAAGTTAATCTTACTAATTGATCGGATGTGCCTTCATTAGCCGGAGTACCTTTGTAAAGGATGTTGTTGCATACTACCCCTTGTTGGATGGCCTTCTTTCTGTCAGCAGGGTGTACAAATTGTACTTCGATCAAGAGTGTAGTACTTGTTTGATAGCTGTACCTAGTTACTCGACGAGCTCCTTTCAAACGCCCAACTTCTTTGGCCACTAGATCAAAAGCTTCGGTATAGTGATCGAAATCTTGTTTGCGCAATTCAAAATACACTGCCTCAGTGTAAGTAGCACATTGGAGGATCGCAGCTGCCTTGCGTGCAATCATTTTTTGACTAATGTCGTCTTCTTCCCACAATGTTGTGTATTCCAGTCGTTCCTTGACACCAAACTCATCTTTTCGAGGAAGTCCATTTGGGATCCGTTTGTGTTTGAGCCCAGATTTAGCTACGACACTCCACGAACGTTGACCTATGTCTGAGGGACCTTCCCCTGAAGGAATGTCCATGTCCATGTTCGACATGACTACCGGTTGTTGTTGTTGCTGTTGCCAGTTGTTTGTTGTTATACTATGGATAAACGTTTAGCCGACCAAAAGTGAGATTAGTCGGGAAGAGAGCACTTTTGCAGAATTTATTTTTCCGCTTGATTTTTCGTTGTTGAAAGCATTTTTGAAATTATTTTTTTTTGTTTTATAAGCGTTTCTGAAATTAGAGATTTCTGAAGTGGCTGGGTAGCTGATCCTGCTTTCGAGTGTCTGCCAATTGGTGCGTTCATCTGTAAGATTTGACCTTCTTGCGATACTAATTTCTAAACCTATATTACATAGGAAATGCAGAGACGTGAAACCATATATGGTAATTATATTTGAATATTATGTTTTTGGAAATTTATAAAAAATAATACCTCAAAAAGAAATTGAAAATCCCTGGAGGAAATGAATTACCATATATAGTCATTCAAAAATATATATTTCCTATTTTAAATTTATATTATATAATTCCCATATATGGATTCCAATCGCGTTAATTTCTATCAAGTATAAAAATTTAAATAGCCCTGTTCTCAAGATCTCTATGATATAGAAAATCCCATTCTCTAGAATTCAAAATTAGGAATACTGTAACAGGCCGCTTCAGAAGTCACTAAATATGAGAAATACTTTCAACAGTGAAAAATCAAGCGGAGAATTAAATTCTGCAGAAACCGATGCACCACGCAAAATTTTACTACACCGGATAAAGCGTTCTGATTGGTCAGCTTTTGCCGCCTTCTTGTGATTGGTCAGCATATTGCCGTGCTTTTAAGCATTATGATTGGGCAACGTTTCAACACAAAATCCAAACGCCGTCTTTTGATTGGTCAGCTCCTAGGTCGTCCAAGGTCGTCCAAGGTCGTCCAAGGTCGTCCAAGGTCGTCCAAGGTCGCCCAAGGTCGCCCAAGGTCGTCTGGATTTTTAGGGGCTATTTTTTTTCTTGGTATCTCTCCAACATTCTTCGAATTACCTGTACCCATGGCAACTCTTGTCTCTCTCAAACTTAGTTGTCACATCTGTTACCGTCCGTTCATTGGGGCAACAGAATTAAAAAGCCATCTTGCACTTCTCTTTCGTTTAAAGATTACTACCACCACTGGCAAAACCATTTAAGCGTTACAACTTTACTATTTTATATCAAAACACCATCCAAAACTACATATTCACAGTCTAGTACATCCAGATAGTCTGCTGTATCAATTCCGAGCTTTTTCACGGCAAAAATGACAAGTCCTGGAATTAATGTCCATCATCATGCGAATGATGAATCATGGGCACAGAAGGTGGCGAAGGGACTTCAGGCAAAGGTCCCAGCGCCCATGAATTCTAGGGATCTGATGAGTGATCAGATCCACTATACTGCGGTGACCCTCTATGAAGATGAACACCTGAAGGATCAAATAAGAATCCATAGAGCTGAACAGATCATTCAACAAACGTTGGAAGAAGAAGCGGTTCTGTTTGAGCTACCAAAAGGGAATTCTCCACGCTCACGGAGGCATATACTCTTATCCAAGACCAAGTGGGAATTATTGATGGGGTTACACCTCTGAACCGCTTTGGTTCTAACACCAGAGGCAATATTTATTGGAAGTAACTTTTGTTGAAAATCAACATGCATGTGATGCGATTGAAAAAGGAATTATTATCAACGAAGTCAACTACAGGGCAAGTCCTACCAGACTTCATGGATCAACTCAACCACTCCGCATGACTAGAGTGTTTCTAAATTATGTGCCTAAGAAACAATCAGTGCTAAAAGAAGGTATACTTGAATCGATGAAATTTTATGGCAAAGTATGTGAAATCAAGAAGATGATGAATGGAAACTTCTTTGAAGGTCAAATATCTATCCTCCTTGACACCAATGATGATGGTGTAGACAAGAAATGCCGCCCGCTGCAACGAATGTTATATATGTCTCATTGGGATAGATATATTCCTGCTACATTTAAAGGTGCTCCACCAGTATGTTATCAATGCAGACAGGCAGGACATATTCGCAAGGAATGTCCAGTGATGAAACATGTGGTAATTCAACACATAAAGATTTAAATTAGGGTTTAGAAATATTGATAATCCGATAGTGGAGATCAGATTACAGAGTAATCTGATAGTTTATTCATAAAAAGAGTTTTTTTAGGACTTGCTCCGTTTTCTCTTCAACTAAGTTTTATTAATAAAATTCTTACGTTTTATCTCGTTCTTATTTAAGACTTATACAAATACAACGCCTCCTCTCAGCGTATATTCCAGATGATACTGTCACATCAGATGACCTTTCCGCGTGGATGTCAAAAGATGGCTCATGGGGCACGACTATTCGAAAGCAATCTAATAAAAAAAGAAAACGTGGCCGATTGATCAATGTTGTCAAAAAAGTTTACAGAGGTAATACCAGGAAAGTATCTATTTTTTTTTTATTAAAAATATTCTTCTTATTTTGATTAGATTTTACTTGGGATGATCTTTCAAATATTCAGGAATATAGATCACTGGTCAGATCGTCAATGGCCACCAAATGTACTGTTGGTTACGTACGAAAATCAAATACCCATGAACCTGACACAACCAAAAAAAAAAAAAGCTAGTAAATCTCCAAATCTACAAGATGAAGACGAAGCTCTTATGTGAAGATGTATTTGTGTCTTACAGCACTTCTGCCTACGACCCAACTGCCGAACGGGATGCAACAACTCCACCATATGCTTTCGACGATTGCTCTGGTAATACACTAGATTTAATCGCCAAGATCACAAAATCCGCTCGACAAATTCGCCTTGTGGTAATCGACTATGCCGGATTGTCAACAAATCCCGATGATATCAAGTTATTCATATCTTTGAATAAGTCCATACGAGAAGTGGTAGTGGATATTAGTCATAAGGTTGAAATATATTCTCGTCACGACATCCTTAAAAATATCAAGGTCATCAAGAAATTTCGATGTCGTAGACCATGTATAAAACGATCACAATAGTTTAGTGTATATAATAAAACAAATAATATTACCCCTTTATCTCTTCTAAGCTAGCATATATCAATCAATTTTTTTTTTCGGAGGTTGGATAAAGCTAACTAAAAACTAACTATTTTTTTTTTTTTTTTTTTTTTTTTTACCAAAAGGAACGGTACCATGGGCGGGTATGTACCACATCTTTTGTCTTCTTTTCGTCAACTATAGGATTCTTTTTCGTTCCTAAATTAATCCTTGTTGACTCCACTCCGACATTCGATGTGTACTGTTGTAGAAAAAATTGATTTGCTGATGGCAGTGCTTGTTGATGCTTGTGATGATGGTTTGTAGTAAAATCGTTCAAATGTATCTGTTGTGAGACTCTAAGATAGTTGATTGGATTAAAATAAAATAAAAAATAATAAATAAAGATAAATCGAGAATACGATGAGACTGTTGGTAAGTTTATTTCAATAAGAATTGAATGAGAGAGAAAAAAGAGAAAAAACTATTCTAATCCAATCTTAAATGACAAGAAGCTGAGATATTAAAGTTACACAATAATATCAGTCTAGATACGACAGAGGGTAAAGTATTTTGTCAAGGAAACAAAAAAAAGTTTGGAATTCATTTCTTCGTATATTGTTCGAATCGAACGCACACGGATTCCGCATTCTTATAGTGAATCGTATTAGGTTTCTCAAGCAGCAATGCATAGCAGGCTTTCCAATTCATCCTTTTTCGAGTATTTTTGAATTGTTCGACAAATTCCATAGTGCGCTGATAGTTTTGTTCATCAAATGACCGAATGGATGATTCTGGGTTGGTGTCACTTTTTGCAGCAGCTGTATTCTGATCATCATCCTCTTGAAACTGTCGTTTTACTGATCGCATTTTTCAATCCCTTGTTGCGCATGCTGATCGATCGCAGATGAGTAGGCTAGTCGCTCGCTGGTATTCAATATTTCTTGATAAACTTTGATGTTGGCATCGCAAATTGATTTGACTGCATCCAACAATTGAGTTTCTCGATCCAATGATTTTACTAAGATTTGTTGCAAGATTTCGAACAATCTGACCATCGTGGAATCTTTCCAACCTTGACTTTCCAACAGGCACGTTTCTTGGTCAATCAAAAACAATGATAATGCGGTGAAAGGGTGCAAAGCTGCGCCAATACATTTCTTGGCAGAAGAATGATGAAGAGCGTATTTGTCATTATATCTCCATCTGCTTCATAATAGAAGATGAGATCTACTTTTCGGCCCGTGATATACTTGCTGGTAGTTCCATGTTCATGTTCGTTTATCTGTCGATCGAATTTTGGAGCCCAACAGGCAGTTTCACCGCTACAGCAACAGAAAACGCGATTAAGTATACTAATACAAGCTATTCTTCTTGCCCTGATCTAACTTATCCTTACCTCTTCATGTTGACACAGATGTCTCGGAACAATATCTTGAAGATCGGTTTCCAATAGTCCATATATCCAGCTTCAGTTTCATCTTGCAACAACAAGTATCGAACCATATTCATGCTAGGTAAGAGTTCACCAATTTAGTTGCGAAATTGTATCTACATTTGTTAGTGCTTTTTACTTACATACGAACCATAATATCCAGCATTATCATTACCGGGGAAGATTTGATATCCATGTCGTATCACTGTATTTCGTAACGATAGGCGTAAAATAAAATCAAAGAATGCTTTCACTGATAAAGAATGAAAAGTACATAAGAAGATGGAATCAATTACATTGACAATGTAACAAAGTAGTAGGAATAAAAATAAATGGTTTATTATAAAAAGTATAACTACTATAAACTGCTAATTGATATACTATGATTAGAGTTATTATAAAGAAAAGAAAGAAATACAAAGAAAAGAAAAATGCTACTTCCTTTTTGCAATCAGCACGAAAATAAAAAAAAAAAAATTAAAAAGCCGCAAATCGTTATATGCTAGTTGTGGAACAAACGCAGGCTCAGTTTACTTTTGTTCTACACTTCCCTTTTGTATTTGTATTTTATATAGAAAATATGTTGGAGTCCCTTGTCTCCACCCTACTAAATCGATTCTTGGGAGCTTATGTATCAAATTTAAATTACAATCAACTACAGATTGGTATATGGTCAGGTAAAAATAACAAACAAACAAACAAACAAAACAACAACAACAATAGTAAAAGTGCGGGAACAATATAGGCATATTATTATTATAAATAACAATACGATAATAATAACGGTCCATCGCACAACTATTGAACAATCAGCTATTCAATTTACTGATCACAATTAACAATATTCTATACTTTAATAGGGGAGGTTGTTCTGCGAGATTTGAAGCTCAAACGTGAAGCTTTGGATAAGCTTAATTTGCCAGTCGACGTGTTAGAAGGCTACTTGGGAGAACTTACTTTGAATATTCCCTGGTCTAACCTTAAAAATAAGCCTGTGGTGGTTTACATTAAAGATGTGCATGTACTTGCAGTACCAAGAAATGAATCGACAATGACTGCCGAAGAAATAGAATCGCGACAGTATGAAGCCAAAATGAGGAAACTTGCTGATGCTGAACTTGTGCAATCATCAATCTCAAGCGAGCAACAAGAACAAATGGACGTTAAAAATGATACTTTTGTTAATCAATTAGTGGCCAAGATTATGAACAATCTACAGTTGTCAGTGACGAATATTCACGTTCGATATGAAGATAACATGTCTGTGCCGGGACATCGATTTGCCACTGGTATCACTCTGAGTGAATTATCCGCTATTACTACCGATGAAAACTGGATGCCCAAAACTATTGAAGACCTGGTCAATGTCATTCATAAATTGGCCACTTTGGAATCTTTATCTATTTATTGGAATACTGATGCTAGATCTCTTGGTCAACTGAACGAACAAGAATCGAAAAAGGAATTTCAGCAATTGGTAGGAAGAAAAGAGTATGATATGTGAAAATAGTACTGATTGATGATTCTAATGTTCTATAGATCGCCACGAAATCTTTTATTCCTGATGAACATCAATATATTCTCAAACCTGTATCAGGAACTGGAAGGGTAAAGAAAAAAAAAAAAACTAGTTGTTAACATGTATTGATGTCCTAATCATTTACTCATATATATATATATATATATATATATATATATATATATATATTGATAGATCAAATTAAATAAATCTTTTGGAAATAAGGTCCCCAAGGTGGATGCAACTCTATTATTTGACGAACTTGCATTTATGGTTGATAATGAACAGTATCGAGACGTAATTCTTATGCTTGACTTGTTTCATTCTTATCTTAAAAAACAAAAAGTAAGTATCATAATGTCTTCTTTTCTTTATTAAATGTTTTATACTAATATCATTCGTTTTCATTTGACTCTGGACAATCAAGTACCAACATTTGCACCCATCCAGTGACATGACACCTAAACGAAATCCAAGGGAATTTTTCAAATTTGCAGGAAATGCTGTTTTGGCTGAAATACATGAACGTAATGCCCGTTGGAGTTGGAATCGATTGAAGGAACGACGAGATGATCGACATGCCTACTTGGATTGTTATGTAGCGGATAAGTTGGGAAGAGCAACGGAGGATCGAGTGAAGCAATTAGAAAAACTGGAACGCAAATTGAGTTATGAAGATATATTGTTCTACAGAGGTATTGCCAAAAGTCAACTGAAACGAGAAAAGGCATTGATGGCAGCAGAAGAAAAGCAACGCAAGGAATTAGAAGCAGCTACCAAAGCTACACAACAAACTCAACAAGGCTGGTTAAGTTCCTGGTGGTATGGACAAACATCGGCTGGCGCTAATGATGACAAGGTATGTCAAGTAGAAACAAAAAAAAAAAAAAAAAAAAAGAACAAAGAAAAAGAAAAGGCAAATGATGGAATATAAAGATAACTCATATATCTTTTTCTATATTTAGAGCGATGGGGACTTGATGATTACTGAGGAACAAAAACAAGAATTTTATGATGCTATTGAATATGATGAAGATAAAGCTGCAATTGCAGAATCGATCGAAATCCCAAAGGATGTAAGTGTTATTATATTTTTACTACTTGATTATCTTTAAAAAAAAAAGAAAAGGAAATGGGTTTGCTCACATTTATCTTGTGATTTAAATATTGATAGACAATACTACTTCAGCTTCGTACTTCATTGAACAAAGGATCTTTCACCCTCAAACGGAATCCCCATGCAAAAAATCCTTCAGAGTTAGTTTCCTTAGTATTTAACTCTGTAATGCTTGGATCGACCCTTTATGTTGAATCATGGAAAGCATCAGCAGCTTTAGGGGATCTTTGTCTTTATGATGGTGTAACAGAAAATACTAATTATCGTCAACTTGTTGGTGTCAGTCACAAAATGGGAGCAATGAATAATCAAAGAGAATCCAAAGGACAGGGTGACATCGGTATTGATGGTGTGCAATTGGAAAACAAAAACCTTTTGGCAGGCAAAAACCCCTTTTTTATGGAATATGAATATCGACCTCTGGACAAACGTGCAGACAATGCAATTTCTCTTATTATGCGTGATATAGATATCGTATACAATCCGTTAATTATTGGTGAAATATTTGCCTTTTTCCGTCCACCTGAAACAAGTATCGATAGTATTAATGCATTGGTGGAAGCCGCTGGAGATGCTTTGGAAGATATTCAACAAAAACGCTTACCTCAAAATATTCGTATTGATTTGTTTTTGGATAGTATCAATTTTATCTTGAACAATGATGGGATTCGTATTGCGACTGGTGAACTTTCTCATGGTGAGCTATTGATTTTGCTTATGGGTGATAAGATTAAAGTTCAATCGAAATTTGCAAACTTTACCTTGACGGATGATTCAAAGAAACCACTTCAAAACCAAGATAAACAATTCAATGGTGATCAAATACTGACAATTCAGGGTGAAGAATTGATTGATTTAAGCTATGAAACTTTCCAGAAACCCAGTCTAGATGCAAAAGACGATCATTCCTATCCTGGCTATGACCAATCGTTATACCTTCGCATGGGCTCTGCTCAGTTTACATTTTTGGAAAAACCTGTATGTAATTTACTCTCCTTTTTCAGTAAATCTGCGGCCATGAAAGCATTTTATGATCGTGCACGACAAGCCGCTGTAGAAACTGCTCAACAACAATATAATACTACTACCAAGACACATTTTGATATTGTTATTCGCACTCCAGTAGTACTCTTTCCTGAATTACAAAGACAACATCCAATGGATGTAGTTGTAGCTCATCTAGGTGAAATCTGGGCTTCCAACTCATTCATAGAAGAAAGCGATGGTTGTATGAATCATATCAGATCAGGCCTTCGAGATATGCATCTCACATCCAAATGGCATTATACAAATATCGGTGGAAATGATAAACAAGTACAGCTTCAGACTCTACCTATTATTGACAACATTGATTTGAACTTTGACACTATCATACCTCATATTAAAGACAATCAATATCAAAAAAGAAGTGATGGTACTATTCGTCCTGGTGTCGAAGTAGTTGGCGATCTTAGTCGGGTATCTATGAATCTTACTGAACGACAATACAGCTTTTTGTTAGAAGCAACTCAAATGGCATCTCGTATACTAGGCAAAATACAACAACAGGATGATCAAACTACCATGGACAGGGATGAATATCAAGAAAGTAACCATTTTAATCGACCTGAAAATACTGTCAAGACACCCCCAGAATCATCTCTCGTACAGCGTCAACAACAAGACAAACGTGTATTTGATGTAGAGCAACAAACCGTTCAGGAGAAGAGCGAGGATCAAACCCCATCTCGACTTCGATTTCAAATGTCATTTAGGATTCCTGCTATTGAATTTGAAGTTTATACCGAAAAGACCGATATTTTACTTTATAAGAGACCAATATCAATTGTCCCTATCAGCTTATCAAAATTTGCTTTGAATGGATCATCGATATCTGTGCTTGGACAAGAAAATGGGAGCATGAATATTAAATGGCAAGTGCGTGCACTGACTGTGGATGATACAAGACCCAATATAAGAAGCAAGTTTAAAAATATAGTTCCGCCTATCCAGCATGGAAATCAGTTTGTTTTACTTTGTGACATTTCCCCCCCTCCTACTCCAGAGAGTGGTGCAAATCGCCATGGTATTGTACTTGTGACCATCAATGAACCCAAAATGATTGTTTCTTTGGATCATGTCTTTATGCTCTACCAATTCTTCACTGCTCCTATTTCTAGAAATAATTCAAATAAAAAGCCTCCACCACTACCACCGCGTACATCGCAACAACAACAACAGCAACAACAGCAGCGACGACGATCTTCGTATTATGGAGGCAGATGGTATTCATCAGGCATATACACCAACGAAGACACTATCACAGAAGAATCAACATTAGAGCTGTCGTATCGCTTGAATATTACCAACGTAGAGTTTATCCTACTTGCTGATCCTGATGCAGAAGATTCTGAAGCTGTAGTACTTTCAACCGAAACTGTGATGATTTCACAACAATCTGTCATGGCGCTTGCAGTTAAACAAATGGGAATGTTTCTATGCAGGATGGATAGTCGTGATACGTCTACATTGCGATTTATTCAGCCATTCAATGTATCAGTTTCAATGAATAACAACAATTTATCAGCAAGATCATCCGATACTACTGATGGTCAGCTTTTGACTGAATTGGAAATAGATGTGGATGCTTTGGTTCTTTGTCTTTCCTATCGTGATGCCATGTTAGTCACCTCTATCTTTAACAAGGCGTATGAACTTTATATTCAGCATATTAGTCCCACTCTCTCTGACAAGAGTACCTCTACTCCAAGCATGACTTCCCGCTTCGGGTCAAAATCAATTGATAATTATGCAAAAACAATCTTCACTTCCGCGAAATCTGAAATTGACAATATTCTTCAACTATCTGATCAAACAAAAGAATCTGTAAGTAATGGGGTTATGAAGAAATTAAACTAATGTCATTTTATATTTAATAGTTACGAGCATCATTCCGAGGCATGCAAATCATTTTGATCGAAGAGGTGCATGAATTTCCAATGATTGACATGACATTACAACCTTTTGAAATTACTGCTTCTAATTGGTCAAAACTGGTAGGGATTGGCAGAGATATAGAAAAAAAAAAGAAGAAGAAGGATTGGATTATATGAATATGATGCGAATACACTTTATTTTGGTATGATTTCTCATCTTTTTGTAAAATGTTTTCTAGCTCTCCGCCAACGTACATTTTTCAGCATACGCCAATTATTTCAATATTAAAAACTCACATTGGGAACCATTAGTTGAACCTTGGCAATTCAAATTGGAGATCTCGAAAGGGAATCAAGAAGAACAGCCTTTGAATATCAAAGTTCTCTCCACCACAGATCTGAATGTCAATATCTCTCATACGTTTTTGGAAAGTGCAATGACAACCATTACCATGTTTGACAAACAGAAAAATGTAAAATAACTTGAATGAAGAGGAAACTATGAAATTGACTTTTTTTTTCTTGCAAATAGCTCAACTATTGTGGAGAGCGTGGTCATGAATCTCCATACAGACTTAGGAACCGTACTGGTTATCCCATACATGTTTGGAACAATAATGAAAATAATCTCGGTGGTGAAGTGACTGTAAAAAGAATTGAGGATGGAAAGGATTTGCCTTGGTGGTTTGAAGATTGGCGAAAACGACGAGAAGTAAGTAATAGTAAATCGGAAAATATGAAAATATGAAAAATTAGAACATTTATATCTATATATGTCCACTCATTTTTTTATATGGATTATCATCAGATGACCGAAACAGTCAGCAATATTTTGAATGTTCAGTTGGAAGGGGCGTTATGGGAAACACTACGTAATGCTAAAGTAGATACAGAAGGTGAACACATTTACCCACTAAGACCACTCGTACGAAATGTGCAACATCGCTTGGTATTTGACGTCAAATTAGTGGATAATGTGAAAGTAGTGACTATTCGATCGGCTTTGATGATTGAAAATCGTACACTACTACCTGTAGACGTGACACTTCTTGATTCTCGAGGTTATTCTGATGGTACTTTCATCAAGATTGGTACGTATATAAAAAAAAAGATGAAGCGAACTAGATATAACCATAGAGAATGGTACTAAATATTATTACACATGGTACATTTACTATTATTGTGAATATATTATTAGCTCCTGGTGATGATTACCCACTTCCTATTGAAAGGGCTTATCACAATCGATTTTGTATTCGGCCTGATGGTAAGTCTCTAAAATACACTCCATTTATTTATGATTAATGTTAACCAAATATTTTGTTGATATTCTCTTCTATTAGTTGGATTCGGATACAAATGGACCAGTCATGCTATACATTGGAGTGATTTTACAAAGAACGATGATTACCAAAAAACCATTAGCTGTGTGTCTGAAGAAGGAAATGATATGCCACCTTTTATTTTTCAAATGTTTGCTCGACATGACAAAAGCAATGCATTATATGGTCACTATTGCGCCATGTCTATTCGATTGAGTGCTCCTGTGGAAATTGAAAATTTATTACCCTATGATTTCAATTTTAGAATCATCGACAAGACAGCAGGACAAGATTATAACTCATTCTTACGGAAAGGTGGTTCCATTCCACTTCATGTGGTAGAAAACAAGCATTTACTTCTTCTCAATATCCATATGCCAGATACAAGTATGAATTATTATGTGGAAGAATTTGACTTTTATGATTATTCACATTTTATGTATTTGTTTTACTTGTTTTATAGTTTATAGTGCCAGCGATTTTGCCATCATTAGTACCCGTGGTTCAGAAGACTTGGATATTGATGATACATTCCAATTGATGGATCGTAGTAATAATCGATTGACATTGAAAATCAATACTATGTAAGTTTTTCTTTTTGTTAAAAAAGAAGTTGAGTTTAAAGAATGGTTCTTTAATATCACTGTTATGTGATATTTTCTAGTGATATCCCTGAATCCGGAGGCGCACGGAAATATAGTATATATTGTCCTTACATCATGATTAACAAGACCAGTTTACCGATCGCTTTCAAACCAAAACTTGCCTGGCAAAATTCTGTATTTTCCTCCCAAACTGATTTCACTGTTTGTAGACCAGCAACAAAGGTAATAATAATAATAATAATAATAAGAAAAAAAAGAAAAACGGTTTAAAAGGGATAGCTGACTATATATATGTATATTTTCTTTTTTTTTTTTTTTTTTCTGGGATGGGTGGGTCACAGCCTGAACCATTTATGTACTCTTATCCTAAGTATGATAATCGAAATCGATCTCTCATCCAAACCTCTGGATCAGAATGGAGTGAGGTAAACTATTAAATGAATAAGATTTTACTTTATTCTCAAACCCTTAATTTCTTTTGTATTAGCCACTCAGCTTTGAAGCAGTACGAACAGTATATGATGTAAACATTCCAACACCCTCGCAATCTGAAGAGTTCCATATTGGTGTTAATGTTCAAGAAGGACAAGGAAAGGTAAAGATGGATGAAATTGACAAGAAAGATAGTAAGAGGCATCCATTAGTTCTTTTCTCTGAAGGAAACTTGCTTTTTTTTTTAATATATAGTACAAGCTGACAAAAATGGTGACATTTACTCCTCGATTTATATTGAGCAATCACTTGAATGTTAGCATACGATACCGGGAACCTGAATCTCGTGTAGATCAAGAAGTGGAACCTCAATCCAGAATACCCCTTTATCGCGTTCGTAAAGGTGCTGAAAAGCAACTTTGTATTAAATTACCGGGGATCAATAACGTGTGGTCATCACCATTCAATATTCAAGATATAGGCAAAGTACATGTTCGCTTGGATAGTGCTGATGGTTCTACCACTATGCTGATGAAAGTGACAACTATTTTAGAAGATGCTACTATTTTTATTGTTTTAGACAAGGAAGACGATAATGAATGGCCTTACCTGTTGATCAACCAAACGAACGAAAATATGACATTCTATCAAGAAGTATGTAACTCTAAAAAAAAAAAAAAGAAGATTTTATCATTGGATGCATAATACTAACCATGTTTCATTTCCTTCATCATCAGAACCCTATGACGATATCGGACAGCTATGCTGGTCAACAATACAAAACAAACAAATCAAAGATATACACTATACCTCCTCAATCAGAGGTCTCTTATTCCTGGGATATGCCTGCTGTTAAAGATAAAAAGATTATTTTAAACATCAATGGTCGGGAACGTGCAATTAATCCTCAAGAAATTGGTAGTCAATTGCCTTTCCGTCATATGGTAAGTAAAATTTTAATTTATTATAATCATTCGATAAATGATGGATTTATTTTTTATTATTTCTTTAGACAAATAATGGACAACAAGCGATTACCTCAATAGATATCAAAACACATGGTTCATGTCAGATAATTCACTTGTTTCCTTTCAGTCAAGGTAGTAGTTTATTCAGACCTGCTTCTGGACAAAGTACCAGCTCTTCAATATCACGTTCAAATAGTAGCAACTATAGAGAAGGTTCCAGAAAAGGTTATGATGAATTTGAAGCCATTGATGTCAAGCCTGTCATTCATGCCATTTTCCAAATTAAGCTTTCTCACATTGGGATTTCTGTCATCAACAAGCAATTACAAGAACTTGTGTATGTGACATTGAAAAACATGGATATCAAAATGACTGACTCAAATATGTATCAATCTCTTCGATGGAATATCAAATGGCTTCAAGTAAGAATTAAAATTCATGCGTATAATTAGTGTGAAAGCTAGAGATGTTGATCACTTCTTTTTTTTTTATTTAGATTGACAATCAGCTCTATGGAACGCTATTTCCTATACTTCTTTATCCTACGAATATGACAAAAGAAGCAGGACAAGAAATATTACCCACTTTTCAGCTGGCACTGGATAGAGTCAAAGATGATTGTAAGTATGATCAGATTTAATAATTGTATTATCAAAATTTGTCACGACAAGTATTTTTTGGACTAATGAACATTTTCTCCTTTTTTGCGTAACAATTATTATAGCACATGGTGTTCTATATTTCAAATATTTCTCAGTTCTACTACAAGAAATGAGCGTTGAAATGGATGAAGAATTTATTTACGCAGTTCTTGATTTCTCTCGTCTCGATGTGAATGGCTGGAACACTGATATGGATGAAAGGTAAAAAGAAAAATAAAAGTGGAATTGGGTTTTTCATAAGCTCTTCTAATGACTAATATCTTTTATATCATATCAGTAATATATGGGAATATAGTACCGAAATCCCTGATGCAAAAGAACAAGACAATGTTTCCCTCCTCTATTTTGAAGTTCTTAGTGTTCAACCTATTCGGTTTGATCTTTCCTTTGTACGAACAGCGCAGATTAATATGGTGGACGACATGTAAGAAAAGTTTTGATGAGAAATAAGTGTATATATGACAAAAATTAATATCCTCATGTAATTTATTTTATAACTAGAAACCAAAACAACTCTGCTTTAATGTTCTTTATCAATATTCTTACTATGGCTATTGGAAATATCAATGTAATTGGAGCTACCATTTTTTTTTTAGATTCACTAACTGCCGCAACTTTTTTTTTTTTTTTGTAATTATAGAACGCTCCTATGCGATTCAATGCATTGGCTGTAGAAAATTTAATGGCTAGTCGGCAGGATTTAACCGATCGTATTTTTATTCATTACAGTGATCAATTTGTATACCAAATTCATCGCATGCTTGGATCAGCCGATTTTCTAGGCAACCCAGGTAAGTTGAAACGATATTTGTTGTTATTGAGCTTTTTTTGTTTTGTTTTCTTATGTTTCTTTTTTTTTCCAAAGTGGGTCTCTTTAACAACCTAAGCTCTGGTGTAGCTGAACTGTTTTATGAACCATGGCAAGGACTTATCATGAGTGATCGACCACAAGATCTGGGAATGGGTATTGCTAGGGTAAGTATATATCGATAAAATCCCATTTATCGTTTGATCTTGGTTTGTGGATTGATGAACTGATAATTTCTAATATATATATATAAACAGGGATTCAGTGGATTCGTTCGAAAGAGTGTATTTGGTGTGACAGACAGCTTCACTAAGTTTACTGGTAGTATTGGTAAAGGATTATCGGCAGCAACTATGGATCGAGAATATCAAGAACGAAGAAGGATGAATATGGCAAGAAACAAACCTCGTCATGCATTGGTTGGAATGGCACAAGGTGCCAACTATTTTGCAAATAGTCTTGCCAGTGGAGTCACTGGTCTCGTTGTAAGTTGATTAATTTTCCTATGATTTCGATCATCATAAATTTTAATTTGATTATTTTTCTACAGACACAACCTATAGAAGGTGCTTCCAAAGAAGGTGTAGGAGGCTTTTTCGCAGGCGTTGGTAAAGGCATTGTGGGGTAAGTAGCATGGACGTGAATTAGGTAATCATTAAAAGCGAATTTATTTAACTAACCATTATTACTGTTTTTTTTAGAGCTGTTACCAAACCTGTTGTAGGTGTATTTGATCTTGCTAGTAATGTTACGGAAGGGATACGTAATACAACAACTCCTTCGGATACAAATGATATAGAACGTATACGATATCCAAGATTTATAGGAGAATCTGGTGTTTTGAAGGTAAAAATGAATTGAGAAAAAATGAAAGTGAAATGAAATAGTAGTATCTCATATATCCCAATCTATCTATCTCTCTATTTACCTTGTTAGTCTTACAATCTTCGAGAAGCTCAAGGTCAAAGCTGGTTAAAGGATGTCGGAGGCGGGAAATATTTTAATGATGCTTATATAGCTCATTGTCATGTTCAAGACAATGATCGTGTGGCAATGCTTACTTCCAATCGACTCATGTTGCTTCGTACTAGAAGATTAGGAGTGGAATGGCAAGAACCTTTTACGGATATTCAAACCATCAAGTGCGAACCAACAGGTATTGCTATTTATCTTCGTAGTATGAGTTGGGAACCATTTTTGGTAATTCCTGACAAACGCACTCGTGAATGGTTTTTTAAGAAAATAGAAGATACTGTATTACAATACAATGCTGCTCGAAGACCAATGCAATAATCTTTAATAATATTATCTTTAATAAATCTACAAACAGTTGTTTGATCCCATACACAGACAAAAAAAAAGGAACTTTAAAGATAAAACTTTAGTTATTATAGTTTTATGGTATGCTATGATAGATGAATTATGTCAATAGTTAGATCTTGATCGATTGAGAATGAGAAAAAAATAAAATAAAATTGTCTAATTGCATTAATTCTAGGGTGACCAAGGTAAAGGGCCTTTAAATATCATATTATTGGAAGGACAATAATCAAATAGTGGAGCCAAAATAGGGCAGGTGGAACGATAGGGTGGTCTTCCAAGGTCCAAAAAAAAAAAAAAAAAAAAGGATGTCAGATAAAACGTCAAATATCCTTGCTATATGATTGTACACTCTTCTTTCAAATTACCTCCTTCGATATGGATTGCGGTCCAATTTCTTTTGGCGTAACGTTCCACGACAAGCATAAAGATCCGTTTGGAATGGTTTATAAGAATTGTGGAGTTCACCTTGACGAGCTACATCTGCCAGTTGATTGCCACTTTCTTTTAGATCTTGTTGATCGTCTCCTTCTTCGTTCGATAATGCCACTGTTCCTTCCATAAATGACACAGGATCGATACCGATATATTCAAATTGCTCACGAGGATATCGAATCGCATTGATATGTAATTGTTCAAATCGTGGACGTTTAAAATCAAAACCGATGACAGTTAATTTTGATGGATAGTCACTGGTCATTTCCGAGAAGCGACATAATGAGTATAGTATGTTTTCATATGAATCGCGAGCATATTCTTCTACAATCATCCTTCGACTTAGTGTATTTAAATCATCCAGTGTTTTGGGTAATTGTTGAAGTATCAATGTTTGTGCTGCCTGCCAATAAGATAACCCTTCAGATATTGGTCCTGCTGAAGGTCTTGTTTGTCCACTACAATAAAAAAAAGAAAAAGAAAGCAACTGTTAAGTATCCTATTATATATATCATCATCTTCTATTCCTCTTTACCCAGAGAAAATCAATAAAGCCTGAGGATCAGATACAAGTAAATCAATCCCTTTTTGGATATGGTCCAGAAATGTTTTGACTTGACCTTGTTGATAAGGTTCTAGAACCCAATTTGTTTCATCACGTAAGGCTGTTTCATTTTTACTAGGACCAATATAAATAGCATGTCCAGTGACAACAACAGCATGACGATGACGAGTTAAAGGGGCTGAGGGTAAAGGATCATTAACCCAAATTGCAGCATCGCCATCACTTAAGTTCGTTCGACCCCGTCGCCAACCACTTCCATATTGAATAAAGTTCCAACATAAGCTTATTGTTAATAAGATGAAAAGAAGAGTCATTTGTCGTTTATGACTATATCTTCGCCAAGTGTTGAAAGGATGATATATTAGATTCGACAACGTTGTTGAAGGGTTCACATGCTGTGGAGGGTTAAGAAAAGAGGCTGTGTCTATATGTAAAGGTAGGACTGTTTTCCTTTTACTGGTACTGTGACTAGGTGCCATACTGTTTGCCTTATTAGAAGTATATTAAACAAACAAGAATAAGAGAATAAAGAAAAGAAGAACCAATCCAAACTATACAAAAGGATATACAAAAAGGGGTGGGGGATTGATTGCGAACCGGAACGGAGGTGATGCATTCAAAATCCGCTTTTTTGTTTTTCAATAAACTATGCATCTGATATTTTTTTCAACATTATTTGTCGTAATTATTAATGCACCTTTTTTTCTTCGTTTAATCAAACATCTTAGATAAAACAATCATCATCATAATACGTGATTTTATATTTTGGATTTATTTATGAAAAAATGATTTCTATATGTATGGGAGTTGTACAGAGAAAAAAAATAAAAAAATAAAAAAAAAAATAAAAAAAGGAAAAAAAAAAGAATAAAGTGACTCAATCATCATCACCAGTCAATATTTTCTACATCTTCCTCATCTTCGTTATCATCGTCATCAGATGATGATGATGATGATGAATCATTGGTGGAGAATGCAATTGAAGAGGTTTGATTACTTGCTATACTGGCAAAATAAGCATCTACTAGAGGGAGTTGATCTAGTGTGGATAATGATAAAGGTGATGTTGCACTGACTATGGTATCTTTGCTTGTTGTTGTTGCATCATTTGTGACAGAAGGAAGAGGTCGATCAGAATTAGACCAGTCCATAACGTCAACTTCAGCATCAGCACGGTTACTGTCATCATCATCACACTTTTCTGATACTCTTAGATCCATCAAAGTCGTCATAAAGGTTTCAAATAATGTATCAACACTAGGTAGCACGTGGCTGGGTGCGTCCAAAAGCCCGTCGACTTGAGAGGCGTTATTGCTTGATTTTGTCCTATTTTTACCATGAATTGCATCTTCTCGCATCAAAACATTAGCATGAAGACGTGATTGAAGTTGCAAGGCATCCTTCTTCTTTTGTTGTTGTCGGGAACCATAGGTGTCATCAAGTAAGCTTGGATCTTTGATTGTCGCTAAAGGAGTGACCCCTTCTTCTTGTTCTTTAATCTGATTATTCTCCTTTTTACCGACCTTATTGCTAGCGTTAATGATAGACAAAATCTTGATGGTATGGTTAGGTTGCAAATAGGCCAAATCGCTGCCTGTCAGTTTAGTAGATGGTGTAGGATCGCGAATTCCATTTTGTTTACCATCAACATCTGCTCTATTTTGATGATGTTGATTAGGCTGTTGAGAAAAGGGTACCCACGCAACACCTTGACATACATAGTTCAATAACTGGACAAGTAATGGCTGAGGAGAAGAAGGTTCAAATAAAACCAATTGAGACATTTCATTCTTATCATCCTTGACAACGACCACAAATCGATCTGCTCTTGGATCCACAGATACATATCTTGTTCGCATTTGATAACTCCACCAAACTTGAAGTAGAAGGTAAAAAAAAAAAAAAAATGAGTACATTATTTTGAATATCTCTTTCCTTTTTTTTTTTTTTTTTTTTTTTTTTTTTTTTGGTTGTTACCTGTACAAGTCAGCAAATTCCATACAAACAGATGAGTTTTGCTTCTTGAAACAAGATAAGGAGTATCATTGACAAAATGTAAAGATTTGATATAATCCACTTCTGGAGTAGTAAGAACACCTTGTAAAACATTTTGATAAGGATCCCAAACAGTGACTACTGGACCAAAAGCGACAGTCAACATACTTCCATCAAGAGAAAAGGTAGAAGCAGTGGGCCAAAAGTCACGATATACACCAACTGAGCGACATGTCCAAGCAGATTGATCGATGACGATCGATTCTCTTGGTTCATAAGAAGTAAGGTGCCATATTTTGAATGATTTATCCATGGAGGTAGTGACAACCATAGGTGAAGAGGTCGAAGGATGGAAACATAAGGAGGTGATTTCGTTCGAATGAGGACGATCTACACGTGTATGTAAAACATAAGTTTGTTGATCATGATCCCATAACCAAAATTTAAGATAGACTTCGACCGCGGTGACTTGATCATTTCGCATATCAACAGTGGCCATCCATTCACCATTAGGAGAGAAAGAAACATGAGAAACATGTCCTCGATCGATGGTAGCATCAACAGTTCCAACCACAGCACGAGCATTTCCACTGTTAGGAATAATTTCCAAATCCAAGGCTTGATTATCCACTTTAGCATCATAAAATTGTAGAGTGCCAGGAGAACCATTCAAGACTAGATGATGATTACGAGGTTCTACCGTCATGCCTTCTGCCCATACTAAATTAGTGGATTCTGTACTATTATAAGTTCGATCGTTTTGTTGTTCTTGAAGTTCTAGTTGTCCTTGTCTAGCATCCCATTGTTGTACGCCCTGAATAACTTGTTCCACAGCTTGCGTGACTCCATTGATTAGTCGAATAGAGTTATCTCCCAATGACAGAGAGAAATACTTGTGATTAGGCGTAATATTGATATAACGAATATCACCACCACAACGAGGGAAGAATCGACGAAATCCTGTATCCAATTGCCATACTACCAATACTGATTCTCCAGCCCCAGAAAGAAGATAATTGCCATCATGCATAAATTTCAATGATTGAACTGGACTATAATGCCAATGATGAGATGTCAAAGTAGGATTTTTTACTGTCTCGGGAGTAAAACAATGGTAGAATGTAATACGTCCTGTGCGTTGTCCAACGGCCAAATATAATTTTGTTGGATTGAATGCTATTTGCGAGATGCCTTCCCGAACTAGATAGCTATTAAATATATGACATCAATACACATCTCTAATCTTTTTTCATTCTTTTTTCTTTTTCTTTTTTCTTTTTTTCTTTCTCGAGATTTTTATATACCTTTGAAGTTGAGTAGAAGGAACCTTATTTTCACCTTGATTGATAGTCCAAATATACAAATTAAAAATCGTCCCCAGAGCAAGATAAGTTCCATCAGCAGAAATAGCAATACAGTGACAATCATCCAATTCAGCCACCAAACGCGATCGATTTCCGTCTTCCTTATCCTCTTCTCCAGGTGAGATGGTCAGACTATATTGAAGTACTTGAACCATTTTGGAATTATTCTTTTTATCCAAGGTCATATCAACATCTTCATCAATTGTTTGTTTCTTCTTCTTCTGTAAGTAGGGAGCTACCAACAGATAAACTTGTTCAGGATCAGTTGGTGACAAAAGGAAATGTGTAATAGGCAGACCAACATGGAAAGTCTATTTAAATGAATGAATAAACAAAGAGTTATTATATGTTGAAGATCTTTATACCATTTTCCTTCCTCTTCTTTTTCATACCTTCAAAAGAACTTCGTCATTATAATCCCATAACTTGATCGTTCCATCCAAACTAGCTGAGAACAGTTGTAATGGATTCTTGGGATTTAGGAAAACTGCAGTAACCTTATCTCGATGAGATCCTTCTCCAGAAGATCTTGACAATACTTTGACAGCTGCACCAGTCGCAATACTAAAAATCTTGATGGCAGATCCAACCCCTGAAAAGAAATATCTACCAGATCATTGAAAAAAAAATAAATAATTTTTTTTATGAGTTTAACTTTCATTTAAAACTTGACATGAATTTTACTTTGAATCCTTGGTGAACTCGATAGGACTTTGGCTGATATTCCCACCGATAGTTTTAGATAAAACAAATTGTTCCTTCGCTTTATGTAGGACTTCAACAGGTTTGCTCGACTCTTTTGTCATAGTCTTTTTAGTTCTCTTTGCTTCTGTGGCTAGCTTTGTTGCTTTAGAAGTAGATTTATTTTTCGTCATGGCCGTTACTTTGTTGTTATTGTTGTTGTCGTTGTTACGATTTGTACTTTTTTTTTTCTATTACTAGTTCTTTCTAATAAGTACCAGCAAGATCTAAAGATATGAATAAAAAGTATATGAGTCAAAGTTATAAAGGTTATTTCACTGTTCTAATCGAAAGTATGATACATACTGGGGTAGGAATATCTAAACAACTGATCAAGAGTCACAACAATAGGCGAAAGAAATAGAAGTATCAGAAGAATATAGAAGCTGGCGTGAAGACGAAAAGATTTTTTTTTTTTTTTTTTTTTTTTTTTTTACATGAAAAACGTGTCACAGACAAAACAAGTGCAATTGGTGCAATTGATGTACCGCTTGTCACCGATTTTGATCTCTCTTTGTCTCTAAAACAGCTAGATTTCTAAATTGTGTTCCTATTTCTCATCAGATAAAATATCTCAAATACAATTTAGCATTTTATCTCATCCTAAAGATATGAGACGTAACAAGGATATCCTGATAGGTTCAACCTGAACCTTGCCATTGCAAGTTTTACCATTGTCAAAACTTGGCGCAAAACCATGTATGAGATAGTTTGTATATAAGTGGCTTCAAAGGTGTTGTAACTTATTCTGCTAAATGTGTCGCTAAATGCCTCAATAAAGAGAAGTTATAAGGTTGAATCCAGTGCAAAGTGGGCCACCTGGCCACCCTTTTTTTTTTTTTACCAGCGTAAAATGGCCACCTGGTCTCGTTTGGAGGGTGTTAGATTTTTACTAGATTGAATGATGATTTTTATTTGTTTTTGATTCTTTTTCGTTCCTAAATTAATCCTTGTTGACTCCACTCCGACATTCGATGTGGTACAGTTGTTGAGTAAGTATAATGATTCCATGTTGATTGGGTATGAAAAGACGACGAATACAGCACACACTCAATCAGAGCAGCATCTAGCTCAAAGGCGGTAGAATCAGGTCACTCAACCCAAGATGTAAAGAAACTTGCAAACTGGAGTCTGTCGTATCTAGACTGATATTATTGTGTAACTTTAAGATCTCAGCTTCTTGTCATTTAAGATTGGATTAGAATAGTTTTTCTCTTTTTTCTCTCTCATTCAATTCTTATTGAAATGAACTTACCAACAGTCTCATTGTATTCTCGATTTGTCTTTATTTATTATTTTTTATTTTATTTTAATCCAATCAACTATCTTAGAGTCTCACAACAGACACATTTGCACGATTTTACTACAAACCATCATCACAAGCATCAACAAGCACTGCCATCAGCAAATCAATTTTTTCTTCTACGGACAACAGTACACATCGAATGTCGGAGTGGAGTCAACAAGGATTAATTTAGGAACGAAAAAGAATCCTATAGTTGACGAAAAGAAGACAAAAGATGTGGTACATACCCGCCCATGGTACCGTTCCTTTTGGTAAAAAAAAATAGTTAGTTTTTAGTTAGTTTTATCTCACCTCCGAAAAAAAAAATTGATTGATATATGCTAGCTTAGAAGATATAAGGAAGAAAGGGGCAATATTATTTGTTTTATTATATACACTAAACTATTTTGATCGTTTTATACAAGGGCTACGACAACTAAATTTCTTGATGACCTTGATATTTTTAAGGATGTCGTAACGAGAATAATCATCGCTGCCGTAAATCACTTTGTTCATTTCTACCTGATCATTATCACAATCATTCTTGCCATCATTGTTCATACCTATAACATAAACTAAAGATGAATCTTCATGCGGTCTGTTATTCTTATCCAGCGTGGATGAATCGCACTTAATGGGATAGGAGAGGAATCACCAGAAATCATATGGGCACATGGTAACTTGTACTGAATCTTGATTTCACATTCACAATCGTCCTTTCTGTCCACTCTATACGATGCTGGTACGACGCCGTTTTTCAATCGGTTAAATGCAAACTTGCTGGTCTTGAGTCTTAGACATTCCATCCTGTGGACATCTTTATCAAGCATGAATGAATGGTCGTATCTAAAGGATTCAATCTCGGTGCGTTGTTCGATCTTTTCCCACTATTAAAACATACAACATAAATAAATGAGATAAGTCAGTTTCATCATTCACAATAGACGCCCATTAAGACTTACCATTCCCGAGTACCATCTGTCAATACTTTCAAAGACGGTTTCCATGCTGGCATTCGTGTACGTAACAAGTTGCTTCAATTTTGCATGTGCACCTTCGACCCGATTTGTTGTTCTGTTACCCAGATGGGCTACATGACCAGCATAAAGACCAACCCATTTTTCTTTTACTTGCATGAGAGAAAAAAAAAGAGAGAGAGAGAGAAAAAAGCCATAGGCGGTAAAAAAAAAAAAAAAAAAAAAAAAAAAAAAAAAAAAAAAAAGAAAGAGTGGCCAGGTGGCCATTTTGCGCTGGTTAAAAAAAAAGAGTGGCCTGCTACCTAAAACCGATGTTGCATTCGCTTTAGTTGTAGGTACTGTAACTATTGCGGGAGTTCCCTTCTTTGACCAGGCCATACCTTGTTTCAAATTAACGTGAAAAGCTGATTCATCCAGAAAGACATAATTTGTTGTAAAGTCCATGTCAGTTTGCTGCCACTTTGGTACCCAATCGTACCTTTGTTGAATCTTTTCTTCGCTATTTCTTTCTATAGGCTGGAATTGTGCCTGCTTAATAGATAAATCACACTCAGTTGTCATGAAGTTATAAATTGTGCTACAAGAAACATTTAAGATCCACACAAAGTTTTGCGTTAAAATTTCTGCCATTTCAGCTACAACAACAGGAGGATTCTCGACAATATAATTTAAAAGAAACTGCTTATGCTCCTCCCAAAGAATACGACGTCTACCTGGCTTTTTCTTCTTCTCAAAGATGCTTTCAGGGTCCTCGTAACAACGTTTAGCCCATCTCTGTGCTGGTCGGATATGAATACGTAATTGTCTCGCAGCAGTCGAAGCATTCAAACATTTGCCGAAAAATAAATGAAAAACTCTGGTCTTGTTTTCATCAGAGTAAAGTGTATAACGTCGCTTATTGCATGACTCTATATCAACATCTTCATTGTTCCTTACATTAGTAACTGGATGTATTACAAGGATTAGAAGGTCTTTCCGGAGGTTTATTCATTAGGAATTGAGTACGACAATTTACTGTTTCGATAACGAATAACTCTTCGTCAACAACAAGGCCCATAGGCTCAACGCCGTTCTCATCAACAACATGTCCTTGTCCATCTTCATAAAGAAATGGCATATTCATTCTGAATGTCTGTAAATAAATTGTAAACAGGAAAAAGAAACCGGAAAAAACTACTTCAAAATCGCCTCCCTTTATAAAAATAAACGAAGTTCATGACACGTGAACACGAATTTTTTTTTGCACGACATCAAACTCAAAATCAGCGACTCGCACTTTCTGAAATGACTGTAATTCTTTTCTTTTTTTAACTTCCCTCCTGTATACCACCTCTGTTTTCTTTTTTTCTTTTTTTCTTTTTTCCTATGCTTGGTCTAGAATTAAGTGGAAACTTTTCGGTGAGTGGCCTTTTACTAGCCATACTATGTTTTTACTTGATAGGAGGGAGGTTGATACGTATCTACCTTTTTGAAAATACGGGACGGTCTGTTATGCGACCTCGACCAGTAGTGCAAGTCGTTGTTGTTGGTGATATAGGACGATCGCCACGTATGAGATATCATGCTGTCTCTCTTGCTGATAGTGGTTGTACAGTGGACTTGATAGGATATGTCGGTAAGAAAATTCTTCATATATTATATACTTTCTCTTTTTTGACCTTTCTTTTTCTTTTTTTTAAAGAAACACCCGTGGGAAGTCGTATTTCTGCTCATCGCTATATTCGTGTAAGACCTTTGAAACAAGCTTGGTCGGTTCCTAAAGGTTTACCGAAGCCTCTATACCTCATTTGGGCTCCTTTCAAGGCTTTGTTTTTGTCTATACAGTTGTGGTGGTTGATGGGCTGCGTTACTCAATTCCCTGACTTTATTTTTGTACAGGTAAGGAATGAACACCTTTTTATATTCTTGAATATGGGACAATGAAACATTTTTCTTCTTTTTGTATTTACCATTTAATCGACAGAATCCTCCTTCTATCCCTACTTTAGCGGTGGCAAGACTGGTTTCCTTTTTACGTCAGGCATGGTTGATTATAGATTGGCATAATTTTGGATATTCTATACTTGGAGTTACTCTTGGAATGAATCATCCTGTGGTCCGTTGGGCCAAACGATATGAAAAGTTCTTTGGAAACAAAGCTTATGCTCATTTGACAGTGACGACTAGACTGCGTAAAGAACTAGAAGAATGGAACGTGCAGTAAGTTCAAATAAATGAAAGGAGGAATTTATAGTTCCTAATACAGCTTTAATCATTATTTATCTTCTTTGTTGTTTGATTTGTAAAGAGGAAAAATGATTACCTTCAGAGATAGGCCACAGTCTCACTTCAAACGATTATCGCTACCAGAAGTTCATGAAGTAAAAATTGATTTATATCATGCTACAGACTGATCTAACCATCACTCTTTTTTTTTTTTTTTTTTGGAAGTTTCTACAAAATTGTCACATTGAAGATGTTGTCAAGAAGCAAACATTAGATGCTGATAAATTTTTAGGCTACGATAATAATGCAGTTACAACTTTACTGACGCGTAAAGAAACAAATGACACCGTGATATATCGTTCCGATCGACCACGTTTAATTGTATCCTCCACATCTTGGACTGAAGATGAAGATTTTAGTCTACTTTTGAAAGCAGTAGAACACTACGAACAGGAAGCACCTATTGAAGCACCCAGGCTTTTATTTGTCATCACAGGCAAAGGACCTTTGAAGGATCATTATGAAAAAATGATTTCACGAATGCAATTGAAACGAACAAGAATCATCACTATGTGGCTAGAAGCCTATCAATATCCTTTATTACTAGGAAGTGCGGATTTAGGGATCTCCTTACACACAAGTTCCAGTGGCATGGATTTACCTATGAAAGTTGTTGATATGTTTGGTTGTGGTTTACCAGTTTGTGCTGTTAACTTTGAATGGTACAAAAAAAAAAAAAGATGAAGAAAATCATATAGGCACTGAGCATAATCTTTTCCTATATCGTTTTATATAGCCTGGATGAATTAGTTGTAAACAATAAGAATGGTTTAGTGTTTGACACCGATGATCAATTGGCAGCTCAACTTCTGGTATAATCATCATCATTTTTTTTATTCTTTTTCAGAGAAAAACTCACCCTATCTTCTTTCAAAATGATAGGATCTATTTGTGACTCATCCTGAACGGTTGGAAACATTACGTGCCAATGTCTTGTCCGAATATGCTTCATTGACATGGGAAAATCAGTGGAAGGATATCTTGATGGAATTATTCCCTGCTGCATGAAAAAAAAAAGTCGTTGTTAGGATATTGTTCCATAAAATAATAAATCGATTTATTGTATTTCCTTTGATCATATGCAATAATGATTGAGAGCGGATGATCAACCTTTTTCACACATTCCAATGCTATCTTTTTTTTTAGAAAAAATCAAAAATAAGATATCGTGGTTTATTATTTATAAATACATAAATCTATAAAATTTTCAATTCATATCTGTTGATACAACTACCACAATGAGAACATATCTTTAGGCCATTGTCCAGATTCTCTTGCATTCCAATACTGATTAGTAAAGACCCAAGATTCACCCACAGTACCATCAGGAGTGATGAAATCAGGTTCATTATATTGATCTTGTTGCAAAGCGAACCAACGAGGTTTCCATGGAATGCCTTTCTGTTCAAATTCTTTTCGACGTTCTCTTTGCTTTTGTTCTATACGTTGTTTTTCCGCATCTGCTTCATCCACTCGTCCTATTATATAATATGATTAGATAAAATTAGATCAATTAAAATAAAATAAAAAGAAAACACTTCCTCGTCTTGAATTTTTTTTTTTTTTTTACTTACCAAGTTCATACAAATGCTGATCAGGTCTATATCGAGTATCCGTGATAGGTAATTTATCCTTTTCCAAGGTAGTGATTTCATTCAATTCCATACAATATCGAGTAAAGCCATAATAATCCGCATAATTTTCTACACCAGGCGAATTGGCAGTCCATAATACAGATAATTGCCGTTTGTTCATATCTACTTCTTCCGCTAATTTATCACTCCATTTGCCTACTACACGTCGTACCTTTTTATTGTTACTTGTATAAAAGGTTGCTATAATGTCATTTCGATTTGTTGGTGCACCAAATAATCCACCACCAGTACCTTCCTTGAAAGTTACTATTGCATAGTCACCCGTCGTATGATTTGTTACCTTCATCTCACCAGCATGTTCCAAATATTTTTCACCAGCAATCATATTACGCATCCAGCTACTTGGTTTGGAATAGGTATAATGATCATCGTGACCAGTTAAATTGACATGATAAACACCTTCTGTCATGAATTCCTAAATAAAATAAAAATAATTTTTGAGATCCTTATTCATTGATATCCACAATAATTTTATTTTTATGCTTTACCATAGATTTCCCCCAGAACTTGCTTTTGATCTTGGTACACTGCCAATATTTGTAATTCTTCGATTCAGCATGAGCAGCAATAATCAATGGATTATGAGATACTTTTTCTGATATAAATCGGAATCCTTTATCAGGTCGAATGTTTTCATAAGTTTCCGTCATCATAGGATTAAAAGGCTATCAAGTATATATAATCATTATTAATGATGTTACTACTTTGATCCTTTAACTGAAGAAGTTACCTTTCGACCAGTTCGATATTGAGAAGAGGTATAACTAGAAATTGCAAAAATGGTAATGTACATAAGTCGTTCCATTGGCGCCGATAACAAGCAAGCTTTATCTAACAGTTCTGAGTATTCCAATTCTTCACATGCTTTTTGAAGGATATTCAAAGGTTCATTCATACTGACAGGCATGGCAATGGTAGATAAATCCTTGCCTACATTTTTACGAAATACTGATAAAGCAGAACCAACATCTCCAACAGCAGGCGAAGGTAAACGATGACGACGATGCGGGCATTCTAGAACTTGCTGGGTCCAGTCTTTGTTTTCTGAATGGAATTTTTAAGAAATATATCGATGAGTAACATAGTTGTTTTTTTTTCTTCTTCTTCTTCTTTACCTTGTTGATTTTCATGTCTTTCTTGTTCTTCCTCTTCTTCCTCTTCTTCTTCTTCGTCATCTTCAGTAGTATCTGCAGCTTCTTCAACATGTTCGTTTTCTCCACCATCATTTTCTTCTTCACTAAGACTCAATACGGCGTCCTCTGCATCGTAAAATTCATCCGAAAATGTAGAATCATGAGACACTATGGTAGTACTACGACGCAGACCAGAAGTAGAACTTTCATCATTCACTAAAGGATTGACAGTAGTGACAGCGTGGCTTACGGTGGAGAGAGGAGACGAAGCACCACTACTCCTGTTGAGATTGAATGGATCCCCTTGTAATACAGTTTCTTGCACCACAGACCATTGTTGATCTTGACGTTCAATCGCTATTTCCAAATCATCTTTGAGTTGAACCAATCGAGCCATCCAGGTACTTTTTTCGTCGGGATGATTGTTTGCGAATCCTTTCTGAATCCATTGGTCCAAACATTCCAATTTTTCCTTCACTTGCTGACTACCTTGTAATCCTCTGTTGATATCAATTTTAGCTTTTTCCTTGGCGATAGCCGAGACATGACGAGATTGACGCTTATGTCGCCATTCTTCAAAACTTTCCACTTCAGTTTCCAGACCTGAAGCTCGATGCTTTTTCAAATGTTTCGTCCAGGTTTCATGATCTTCAGGTGTCAATGCTTTCAAATGATAAATCATAGTACCAGAATCAATATGTATCGTACGTGATTTTGGTTGATGAGTGATGGTGGAAATTCGAATTTGGATCAATCCTCGAGGCACACCGGTAGGGGATGTCGAATAGGACAATACTCCCGAAGGCGATAATCGAAACCAACGTTTAGCCCATCCCTGCATTTTCTTACGTCGTTTTTTCAATAGCCATCCAGTAAGTTCGTATTGATTAGATGATGATCCGTCACCAGCAATACCACTAGTACTTATAACACCATTGATACCAGCATTCCCATTGAGTCCTACAAGTGGGGTTTCAGATAAGGTGACGGATAAGGTTAGCAATTTCGGTGTATTGCGAGAAAATGTATTATCTACAATGATATATAATATATTAATAGATGAATATATGTGTGTTAATATATAGATAAGGTCTCTTCTATATAGTCTTTTCAATTTTTTTTTTTTTTTTTTTTTTTTTTTTTTTTTTTTTTTTTACCAAAGACAAGAACATAGTTTCCAGGTTCAGCTACCATCAATGAACCTTCGACTTTGGATTGACTAGAGCTTGTTTGCTGAATAGGAACAATTTCAACCAAACCTTGTTCTCGTAATTTGATGGATGCTACAGACTTGGCTCTCGGACGAGTGGAAGATGGAGAATGACTACTATGAATGGAACTAGCTGAGGAAGCAAGTACATCGGCCTCGGAAATACCTATTTTCAAACCAAATAGTTGTCAAAAGATAAGAAAAATTCCAATAAACTCATTGACTAAGGATGAAGAAAGAGAGAAAGACAGTAGGTAGTTGTTTTTCTTACCTTGTGGATTCAAAAGTTCTCCAGACGGTAAAGAACCTTGTCGAACGGCTTGAGTACGGAAAAGAATTTCAGAGGAAGAAGGCAAAGGTTCTTGACCATGACGTTTATATACACCAAACTGAATGTTATTTCGTTTGGTAGTAAAGGACCATATGATCGTGGTATTTTTTGTTGGTACATAGACGTAGTGTAGATAACTAGGAAAATAAAACAAGGTGTAGGTAGAGAAAAAGAGAGTGAGAGAAAAAAACAAGGTTAGCCAAGCCTCTTAATAACAATAGATATGATAAACCATTTTTCTTATTATTTACCTATCCCTAGGTTGTACTTGAACCACTTCCATAGTTTACTTTATATGATAAAGGTTCAATAACTAAAGAAAAAAAAAAGAATGAAGAAGTAAATTAAATAGGGGACGTGCATGCTTTTTTTTTTCTAATGAGGAAACCTCCCCAGAAATATTGCTAAAGAACAAATTTTGGATCGCCGCTTTCTTAGGATGAAGGTATCAAGCCATGGGTCACCCCTTATCATTCATATCCTTTTTGTCATCTCGATCAGACTACATTTGGATACCTGTAACGAGGTTGATAGTTATTCCTCACATGTCAAAATCAATTCATATGTTTTGTTATCATTTTTTTTTTTTACTGTTCTCTTCTTTCTCAGTCTTATTTATACAAGTATAGACAGATACGAAGAATTTTTGAAAAGTTCGAACGTTAGCTAGTAAAGTAACATATTGAACGGCAAAGTACACTTTATTCAATCAGTTAAAATCATTGTACTGCATAGACCCTTTTTTTTTTTTTTTTGCTGATGATGATGATAAATGCCACATGATTTCTTCATTCACGTAACACAGAACCTGTGTCCACCCCATTTCTCGATTGCCCATGAGTTAGTTACTCTTCCTGCTGTTGCTACTTTTCCTTTCGCCGTAAGTTGATCCAGTTTTGCGTTTCTTTGATCGTTTGACAGTTGTCTTTGTAATCCAGGCATCCACGACCCCAGTAGGACGTATGGCATCCAATATTAAAAACACTAACAAAAAAAGAAAAAACAAGACGTCGACAGTATGGTAAAGAGGAGGTTTTATTTTTTTCTTTTTATTTGCTTGAAGATGATCAAAAAATTATAATAGTCATTTGATTGAATTCAATGAGTCAACTGGTTCAGGATCTAATGTAAAGTGAGCATATTGACCAAAGATAACTTTTTACTAATATAGAAATCAAATAATGTATTTATATTCTAAACTAAAAAGAAGAGACTGTATCAAGGTTGGAATAAGAAGAGGAAAAGAGGACGAAAAATGAGAAAGTGAGGGAAAAAACAAAAAGGTACACAAAGGGGAAAGAAAGAAAGAAAGAAATAGAATTCTGACTCAGACCTAAGATTTCGTGTAGTACGATACAGCTGCTTTGTTGAATATGACCCATCATGTCAAAAAGCACCTTTGATGATATAGACAAAAGGGATGGTGTTTCGGGTAAGAAACTCGGATTCTGTCATATTTATGTCATATTAGACAAAGAGCAACTATGCAACGCTGAAGTGCGTTAAAAGGATCTCCCAAACTTAATTTATTCTTTTCATACTTTGTCTCAATTTAAAGTGAATATCATATGTTGTAATGCAGTCACTCCTCCAGATATAGTTTTTGTTTCTTTTTCTCTTTCTTTTCTCTTTCTCTTTCTTATTATTTATGTTGATATAATATTGTCAAACTGTACAGATACCGTAAGCGCTTTTATTTATTCTATCTCTCATTATACTTATGTTTTTATCTTCTAATCATAAAATAGGTCTTTTTTATTACTCAACATGTGTGCATATGGGTTACATAGAATTAGTTCATGACATCCTGTTTACGTGGCATATTACACTATGTGCGTTGATACTTCCTTTCGGTGACGAAGAATATGTTTTCTGGAATGAAATCTATTACTATTCAGGGGACAAGTGACATTGAAAGAATATATTTCAAATCTTTATTATATTATACAAATTGTTTTGTCAAAACCACATACATATGTGTACGCGCGTCGTGAAAGATGCTGGTGCTTGTTGTTGATGGCGTCTGCTTTGTACGACCTCTTTCAAATTCAGCACGGATGGACAGAAACTGGGTAGAAAGTTTTCGTTTCCTCGCTGTGTAACGCCAATTCAGAATTGCTTACATGGGACAAGAACGATAACAGTAAAGAGATGATGAACGGCCTGAACAATATGAAAGGAACAATGAAAGGTAACAGCAGAGTTGCTGCATGTGGTGTAATAGCTCATCAGTATTATTGGTTGTATTGTTCCCTTTTTCATAGATCTCATCCACCTCTTATATATTACAAATCAAGATACAAGACTGGCTGTTTTGACTTTGATAGCTACAACTAGATTCCATTACAAAAATTGTAAGAATTCCAAGAAACCATAGCCACACAACCTTTGTTTGAAGACGCCGCATTCTGGTCAAACAATGTCACTGATATACCACTTGTCATGAATACTACGACTGATCCCAAGGAACCTGAACCGGAACAAGAGGAAGGTTGGCCTCCATTGCAAAACAGGGCGAAAATTCCATTCTCCGTCAACAAATGGAGGAACGCATTATTAACCATGACAATGATGTCAATGACTATTTTCAAGTTGCTAGTGCTGCTGAAGAAAGTGTTCGCCAAGTAATGATGGAAAATTTTGCTGACAATATGGCCGCTGCGGGTATTCCTGGATATGGTGATCATGAACGACTGGTGCAAACATTGAGCACTGCGTTTATATCAAGGCACATTCAATTATTTGCCAAGGTTGGATACAATATTGCTTTTCATATGGAACAATATAATGCTGGGCAAATACGATTAGCAAATGATGTTCAAGAAGCAGCCACTACGGTATGGGCACATCGACAGATCCGATTGCTTGCTGAAATTGATACATTGGGAAGAAGAAGAAGGAACCTCTTGGCTAGGCGACTATAATCATCCATTTGTGCGGGACGGAATAAACGGGCTATCTGATGAATCTTGGAAGCAACTAGATCAATTAGTTGCCAATACACGCGCACAAATTGCAAGATCAAGAGAGTATTTGTCATTACCTGATCCTGACCCTTATGTCCATGAAGAATTATTCTTGCAATGTTTTCGTCCGGAATTGTTCGAAATTGCCAAGCTACAACGATTGTTCAACTTGGTGCCGAAGCCTTCATTCACCAAGAAGTACATCAAGATAAACAAAGCAGTTTGCGAGATGATCCTTAGGATGGCCAATTTGCAATCATACATTCAAGGTGCCGGGACCGTAGAGAATATCATTGATCTACGGAAGATCCGCTATCATAACGAGTAAATTACAAGAATGATGAATAATAATAAAAAAAGACTATACCGGATCCTAAATTTTCTTTTTTTATTTTTTTACTTTTAAAAATAGATATCCTGGAGTATGTGGAAGAAGTGTCTCTTTTGGCGGATATTTTGAAACTGATGCCTCTGTCGTACTCTGTAGAAAAGTAATTCAAGATCAGTCAAATCGATCAAATATCTTATTACTAAAAGCATCTCAAATTTCCTGACGATTGTACAAAATCGGAAAAGCGATACCTGTTGGATCAAGACCATTTGAAAAATGGGCGTTAGATGTCAAACATGTACCCACATCACAAACCGGTTCACGATACATTATTGCAGCAATTGAATACCTCACGAAATGGGTTGAAGCACGTCCTTTACGATACCAAACTGCTGCCGAAGTTGCTCTTTCTATTTACGAAGAAATCATCTGTCGACATGGATGTCCACACATCATCATCACCGATAATGGAAAACCTTTTGTTAGCGATTTAATAAAAAAAGGTTTGTTTTCAATATACAATTCATCACATCACGATATCGATTGGAAACTCACAAGCCAATGGACTCATCGAACGCATCAATTCGACAATCGGTATGATTGTAAAAAAAATCAGCGAAACAGCAAAAACCTGTTTGGGATCAATACCTGCCTGCAACATTGTACGCATACCGAACGATCAAACAAGCATCAACGAATCACTCTCCCTTTTTTCTCACCTATGGTTATCATCCAAAAACACCATATGATCAACAACGTACGACATACAATGTGCATCAATCAAGATATCAGCATAAACTTGATGTACGTACCACAACGGAAATCAAATACGAAAGGATGCTTGTGAAGCTATACAAAAATCTCAAGAAAACTAAAAAAGAGCCATAAAATCATCGAAGACATACGGCAGTGGAAACCTCCTTTCAAGCTCGGTGACATAGTAACATTATACACTGGAATCCAGGCAAATTCATGGACAGGAAAAGTATCTGACATGTGGGACAGAATCTATATCGCGATGCATATCTGCCCAACTTCAAAAAATTGCTGAAGAAAATACGAAAGGCGGACAATTGGCGACATCATGATAAAAAATAGGCGATGGAGACCATCTTACTTTGGCCCGTGGGATGTTAAGGAGAAAAAAAAAAAGATCCCCTCTGTGCAACGCAAATTCAGAGTTGGTTGGAAGAGACAAGAATAGTGATAACCAAGAGATCACCAACGTGCTGCAAAACGTGAAAGGATCAATGCAAGGTAACAGAAGAGTTGTTACGTGCGCTGTGTAACTGGTACGAACGTTCATCAAGAAGATTAACAAAGCCGATAACTGGTAACGATGGTGGCCATCTTTCTAAGGGAATTATTAGCGGTATTACATGCTCTACGCACTTGGCGATGTTTTATCAGTGGTCGATAATTTATTATCCGCATTGATCCTATCATTGTTATTTCTAAATAAACTGCCTGGTTTCTTTTTTTTTTTTTTTTTTTTTTTTTTTTTGCCTTTATTATTGTTACATCGTATATTCGGGCAAGATGCTCTTTGAGGGTATGAATGGGGAGGATAAGGACCAGGGTTATAGACTAGAGGTGATTTAAGTTTGTAATACAGAAGAGTTTACCGTCAAATTATTTTAGTTATCTGGGCTTTTCTTTCTATATGAAATTTATTAGGTGCAGATATTATATTTTCGAGACTTTTAAGGACTTTTGAAAACTTTGGATATAAAAAATTTACAAATAAGAACTTTATTACACTTTGTAATTTAAAGTAGCAAAGATCAGAATTTTATTTTTTTGGTGTCTAGATGAAATTAATAATTGCTGTAGACGTAGTTCTTGCCAGCATCTTGACAATATTTATGGAAACAGGCGTTATAGCCAACACATGTAGCCCAACTCTTAGGAATATCAATAGGGGAGTTAGCATTAGAAATATATTTCTTGAATCCGCAATTCTTTCCAGCTTCATAAGTAGGTCCAACACCAGGTCCATGTTCATTTGGAGCATCAACACATCTTTGATAGTTCAAGAAAACACAGCCTTGTACAGTTTGGGCAAGGACAAAGGCAAGAACGACAATGGAAAACAAATATTTAAGCATCTTGATAAACTATAGTAATAAGAAAAAAAAGGATTGGCAAAGAAAAAATCAGGATTTTTTTTTTGTATGAAGATTAGGAACTAGTTACTAGAATTTTACTTTTTACTTACAAGTATAAATAAAAGAAAAAGATAAAAATAAAATATCAAAAAGAAATATCAGTCGGTACTTTTATACCAAAAAAATTTTTTTTTTTTTGCAATTTGATGATAGTTATGCAAGTGGTTTTATTTCAAGTCCTATCTACCATTCGAAATGTAAGCAAAAAAAGGAAAACTTCGCCATAAAAATTTGGAAGTACAAGTAATAAGAATTAAAGTTAACAACAATGAGAAAGTTTATCCTTTTTGAAATAATTTATGTCAGCAATTACTTCACATTAACCATCATCAATTTCGTAAACCAAAGCAACTGACCTTTTTTTTTTGTTTATAATATCCAGGTAACTGGATGATTGAAACAGTTCAAAAAAAACAAACAAACTGCTTTTTTATGCCCAAGTATCTATGATCATCCATTATCCCTAGCTTTCATGCCCATATTTCGAATTCCGGGAAATGTTTTACCGGGATCTTCAAATTTTTCCATTATGGGGTGCAATGTGATACAAAATATCAACACAGCCACACCGACTGTAGAATTTTATGCATGAACACTGCCAAATATGGAGCACTTCTTTTTTTCCGCTGTATCATGTTAATATCCTTTTGTACACCTCCACCAATGGAAAAGGTAACGTGCTCTACACTTTATTCTCCCATTAAAGAACTGTTTTGACTTTGTGGCAGTGTTAATACATTTAATACCATAAATGGTGTGGCTGTGTTGATACTTCGTATCACATTATATTCTATAAAGGAAAAAAAAATGAACACCTGGTATTAACTACATCTCAAAATATCAAAATGGAAACAATGTAAAACTGGAAATAATAGACGATCATAATAAGACTAAGGCATATAAGGTTGTTTTCTGACATGTGCTTCGATCATCCAGTTATCTGGATATTATAAACAGGAGAAAAAAAGGTAGTCGGTTGGGTTAAGAAAATGTTCATGATGATGGCCAATATTCAGTAATTTGATGATGACGATGGACGGTGTTCCCGTAATTTACTGGAAACACTGAAAAACCAAAAATTAAAAATTAAAAACAAATGGGTAACTCATTTCAATAAGACCAGACTTCCTGTGGTCTTTAACTTTAATTTTTTTTTTTATTACTATTCTTTATTTTAGGGCGAAGCCTCTTTTTTTCTTTTCCCTCGCATTTCGAAAGATAGAGCTTGAAACGGATAATTTGTATAACCACTTGCTAAATTGCATTTTTTTCTATGATATAAAAGTACCTACCGACCCCATCCTTTTTTTTTTTATTTTATTCATTTTATATTTTCTTATCTGGTTTATTCATACTTGTAAGTAAAACGAAAATTCTATCATTTTATTTAATTGTGACTATGTAAAAGGTATTCAACTCTTTTTTTTTTTGATTGATAACCATTGAATAGTGCTGTCTCAGAATGAACAAGTTATTCCTTTTCAACCTCCTCTTTATGTGCTTTATTGGAGCCATCTCTGCATTTGATTATTGTCACAAGTGTGTTCAAGCTGGCTCTGGAAGCCTTCTTGGCGTTGGCCCCAGTTATACCGCAGGAGACGAATGTGGATTCAAGAATTACAGAAAGCAGCTTGGTTGTTGGGCCTCAGATGTGGATTATAGTGCATGTATGGCTAAAAAGTGTATCGCCGCTGGCAAAAACTATTCAACTCAATGTATCCTTAGCAGTTCTAGAACTGGTACATTCTGTCCTTAATTGTTATTATAATAATAAACAATGTCTTAATTCATGTTAACATGAATTCAATATAAACCGTCAGAAGAGATTCATTCTGTCCCCAATACAGTAACTGCACTTGGTGGCATTCATGCCTCCTTTGCTGATTTATATCTAAAAAAAAATATTCTTCTTTGTGGTATTGTATTAATATGGCTATGATACTTGTTTTCCACCATATCTTCTGTATTTGTCTGTACTCCAGAAACGCTGAAACTTTCAGCGTTTTTGCATTAGGTAATTTGCTGTCGAAGATGCTGATAGGATGAAAATAATCAGCTCACCTGCTGAAGTAATCAATCATCAACCATCATCCTATCATCCCGTTACTGGGTTTTGATCTACGGACATCTCTGGAGCGATATTTGAAAGGGTGATAATGCAAGATCTGCTTTGGGAAAAAAAAGACATGAAGACAATATATCAAGATATGTTTTATCGAGATCAATACAACAATGGAGAAATGAATGAAACTTTAATACAATGTGAAAATAATGAGGGAAGGTACAACGACTCAAAAGATTGATCGTATAATCGGCATTTTTTTTTTACCTTTTTTTATTTTTTTCTCAAAAATGCTATTAATAAAATCTATATTTTTTTTTATATATCATTTGAAAGCTCTATTGATGATGAATAATTTGGTTTTTATTTCATATCTATATCTTTAATAATCATGGAGATACATACAAATAAAAAAAATAGTCATTCGATCAATTTTTTGGTTCGCCATTTCCAATACACCCACATCCCAATCACCACTTTGTTTGTCCACCTTTTGCTTTCAAAACGGCTTCTATTCTTTTTGGCATAGTATCTTGACATTTCTTGGCAGTTCTTTCACATCATCCCTTTCCCAGACATCCTCTACACGCTTCCAAAGCTCATTGATTGAATTGGGGGCCTCGTCGTACTTTGCAAGCTGGCATTTGAGATAAAACCATACATTCTCGATTGGATTCAGGTCAGGAGAATATGGTGGCCGATCCAAAAGCTTTACATCATTCTTAGCGAACCATCTCTTAGCTTTTTTCGACATACAATATGACTTTAAACAAAGATCATTCATTCTTGACCAAATCGAATCACACATCTTCATCTACCATTTACAAAGGAAGGCAGTTCATCTACGGATCGAGGAAATGTAAGGTTACCAATTTCTTGTTTGATATATAGGAAACCAAGTCGTATGTAGAGTTTCGACGAGTGACAACATCCGATACTGACTTGAGCTTCTTGATGTTAGGAATTCCATCTCGAAGGCGTAACAAATCATGCGTCATTCTGTTGTCGCTGGTCGCGTTGTCAGTTACCATTGCTAGTATCCATGCTCGTCAATTGCGTATGAAGAGAGTGTTAGTAGATAAAAACAATACATCACAGTATACGCAAACAAAGATATATTTTTACCTTTTTGTTAATGTCAAGTTACGGAGAGTGTTTTCCTTCCACGTGGATGATATCATGTAACAGATGTTTCAGTTTAAAATCCTTATCCACAAAATGTCCAGTAACATCCATGAATGACAATTGATTAGGGGAAGTCCACATATCTAGAGTGAGAGATATTTTGGAATCAACACCTTAAAAGAGAAAGAATACAGTAAGCATACAATCGTGTATATCTTGATATTGCCTACTTACAGATATGAACGAAATCAAAGAGGAGCAATGGGTGTTGTAATTCGTGACAATGACGTTGCGTACTATAACAGCCGAAGGTATCAACGCGTTTGGATTCAAGTATGACGCTAATTTTCTGAAAAAAGGAGATTCCACTGTCGTAAAGGGTTAATCATCGCTGGCCATCCATTCTGCAAGAAGCACGCATAACCTGTCATTGTCAAATGATTCTCGCCTAAGATGATATTTTTGTTAGATTAAATAAAGTATAAAGTAATCTTTGCATATTTATATATAGACTTACCGTTGGAAAAGCTCATCAATAGTAGATTGTTTCGAAGCATCCTTCTTGTGTTGGTCGAATATAGATATATATTTCACTTTCAAATAATGCTCCCAGTGGCCAGAGATTGAGGAATTCTTCGACTTCACTACTCATAATTTAAGAGAGTAGTTATTTAAAGTGGCATTCTTTACTTATTTGAAGTCAACTTCGTCTCAAAATACAATAGGTCAAAAAAAAAAAGGGACTTTATATTTTGTCGTGGAGCCTCTTTGAGTCCCGACGAGCTGTCCAAATTTTCCAGTCTCCAGCCACACCAGGGACTTGGATTAGCATAAACGTAAACAATTTTATTAAGTTAAAACAAGAACTTTATTACACGTTTATAATTTAAAGAAGTGGTAAAGATGAGAAATTTTTTTTTTTTGTATCTAAATGAAATTAATAATTGCTATAGACGTAATTCTTGCCAGCATCTTTACAATATTTATGGAAACAGGCGTTATAGCCAACACAAGTAGCCCAACTCTTTTTAACATCGATAGGAGAATTACCATTAGAAATATATTTCTTGAATCCACAGTTGCTTCCAGCTTCATAAGTAGGTCCAACACCAGGTCCATGTTCATTTGGGGGATCAACACATCTTTGATAATTCAAGAAGACACAGCCTTGTACAGTCTGAGCGAGGACAAAGGCAAGAACAACAATGGAAAACAAATATTTAAGCATCTTGATAAACTATAGTAATAAGAAAAGAAAAAAGGATTGGCAAAGAAAAAATCAGGACTTTTTTTTTTGTATGAAGATTGGGAACTAGTTACTAGAATTTCACTTTTTTACTTACAAGTATAAATAAAAAAAAAAAAGATAAAAATAAAGTATCAAAAAGAAATATTAGTGGGCACTTTTATACCAAAACATTTGCAATTTAGTGATGGTCATGCAAGTGGCCATATTTCAAGTCCTACCTACCATTCGAAATGCAAGAAAAAATAGAAAGCCTTGTCTTAAAAATATGGAAGTACGAGCAATAAAAATTAAAGTTAAGAACAATCAGAAAGTTTATTCCTTTTGAAATAAATTATGTCAGCAACTACTTTACATTGACCGCCGTCCTTTTCTTGACCAAAGCAACTGACATTTTTTTTTTCTGTTTACAATATTCAGGTAACCGGATGTTTGAAACAAACTTCAAAAAAAAAAACTACCTTTTTTGTCTTAGTCTTATTATGATCGTTTATTATCCCTAGTTTTACATGTCCATATTTTGACATTTCAAGAAATGTTTTACCAGGTGTTCATATTTTTCCATTGTGATACGAACTGTCAACACAGCCACGCCATAGCCACATCGTTTAAAACATTGGTGCATTAACACTGCCACAAAAGTTAGACAGTCCTTTAATAGGAGAATAATAATTATAGAACAGTCCTGTTTTCCATTGGAGGAGGTGTAAGAGAAGATACTATCATCGGAAAGAAAGTGCTCTATACGTGGTAGTGTCAATGCATAAATGCTACCATCGGTGTGGCTGTGCTGACAGTTTGTGTCACATTGTTCCCCATAATGGAAAAACATGAATACCTGGTAAAATATTTCTTGAAATGTCAAAATATGGACATGTAAAACTAGGGATAATAAACGATCATAGTAAGACTAAGGCGTATAAGGTGTTGCTTTTTGACATATGCTTCGATTATGCAGTTTACCTGGATAGTATGAGCAAAAACAAAAAGCCAAGTGCTTGAATTAAGAAAATGTTCATGATGACGGCCAATATTCAGGAATTTGATGATGCCGATGAACGGTGTTCCCGTAATTTACTGGAAACACTGAAAAAAAAAAAAATTGAAAAATTAAAAAAAAATGAGTAACTCATTTCAATAAGACCAGACTTCCCGTGGTTCTTAACTTTAAATTTTATTACTTTTCTTCATAATTTTAAGGCGTAAGTTTTTTTTTTTTCTTGTATTTCGAGTGATAGAGCTTGAAACGGATAATTTGTATAACCACTTCCTAAATTGCATTTCTTTTTTTGTGATATAAAAATGCCTACTGACTCCATCTTTTTCTATTTTATTCACTTCATATTTTCTTACCTGGTCTATCCGTACTTGCAAGTAAAACTAACATTTTAGAAACCATTTAATTGTGACTATGTAGAAGGTATTCAACTCTTTTTTTTTGATTGATCACAATTGAATAGTACTCTCTCAGAATGAACAAGTTATTCCTTTTCAACCTTCTCTTTATGTGCTTTATTGGAGCCATCTCTGCATTTGATTATTGTCACAAGTGTGTTCAAGCTGGCTCTGGAAGCCTTCTTGGCGTTAGCCCTAGTTATAAAGCAGGAGATGACTGTGGATTCAAGAATTACAGAAAGCAACTTGGTTGTTGGGCCTCAGATGTGGAAAGTAGTGCATGTATGGCTAAAAAGTGTATCGATGCTGGCAAAAACTATTCAACTCAATGTATCCTTAGCAGTTCTAGAACTGGTACATTCTGTCCTTAATTATTATTATAATAATAAACATTGTCTTAAGTCATGGTAACATGAATTCAATAGAAAACGTCGGATGAGTTCGTTTTTTGTAATGTCCAATAAATCAATAGTAACAGCTGAGGGTTTCATCAAAATAACTAGACATGAAAATATGTATTTTCTGGGTAAAGTTTTCTTGAGTTCTTTGATGTTTTTGTCAGAAAAAAAAATGGGAACGACGATATTAAGAGGCTTATTCTGTCCCCAATGCAGTAACTGGACTTGATCGCAATTCATGCTTCCTTTGCTAGTTTACGTCTAGAAAATCTTTCTTCTTTGTGGTATTGTATTAATATAGCTATGATGCTTGTTTTCCGCCACACTTTCTGTATTTTCTGAAGTAAGGCACTTAACAATATCTTATTGAGGAGTATTGGTAAATGAATCAAATGTTCTGTTTTTGTATTAAATCAATAAAGTTAATTATTTAAAGCAAAAAACATGATAATAAAAGATGAGTAAAAAGTAAGTTTTTTTTTTTTGGTCATGTAATGAAAAAGGCTCAACAAAATTAATAGATAATTAACTATAAAATTTATAGTATTCGTAAATAAAAAATATTTTTATAGATTCATCTATCCTTGGTAACTGTCATAACCTTTTCTTTTGTAAGATGATTTTTTTTAATACTCAAGTGTATATTATATTGTGATTGAAATCTTCTTTACTCATTTATAAATATATGGCAAGATGATAGTTACTAAAAATGGATATTGAATGATTGCATCAAATTGGGAATGATATCCGAGCATTGTATCACCTATTCTTTTTTTTCAACGCCACCATTCATCTTGAGGTAATACAGTTTATAGGAAAGCAATGTTATCATTGGATCGTTAGAGTGACTACTTTTTTAGGAACAAAAGAAACCCTTCACAACCCAAGCAAATCAAATTAGCTACATCTTTTTTTCTCACATCTCTTTTTTTTTTTTTTTTTTTTTTTTTGTTATACTATTAAAATATATATATACATAGATAGTATTATACCGAAAACGAAATAAAATAACAATAACAAGAACTGCGACAATATATTGATTCAGTCATGCTTATTCTTCGGCATAATACATTAACAGCGGATGAATTATTTCATATTGAAAGAGTAAGAAATACCTTTCTTTTTTTTTTTTTTTTTCCTGCAGCTTAGTTAACTCCGGGTATTTGGAATATTTTTAATTTTTATTAGAAACTATTAAAGGCCAAACAACAACAAGAAGAAGAACCAACAACGTTAGCTTTCAACTTGTATGATAAATCTCGAGCAGATATTTATGGAATACTTTTATCTTGTTTTCAAAAGATGGATGTAATAGATCGACTTGGTTGGACATCTTCTACATTGTTGGACTTTTTAATAGATGTTGATCAAGGATATCTTCCAAATGCTTATCACTCTTTCCATCATGCAGTAGATGTCACATTGGTATTATATTATATGTTAAGAGAATATGATATTGCTGGTCATTTATCTCCTGTTGATATTGCATTATTATTCGTTGCTGGTCTATGTCACGATATTGGTCATGTAAGTTTAACCCTAAATTCCCAGATCAATGCAGCAAGCAAAAAAGTTCGAAACTCAGACAACTCCTCTTTTTTTTTTTTTATGTTAGCCTGGATTAAATAATAATTATCAAGTGAATATGAAAACAGATTTAGCTTGTAGATACAACAATCGATCTGTTTTAGAAAGTTATTCATGCTCAATTACAATGGAACTGATGGATAAACATCAATTATTATCCTCTTTGGAGACATATAGCTATCAATTAGGTGATGGTATTACTGAAGAAGAAGCAAGGTTACATTTAATCAAAATGATTCTCGCTACTGATATGATGTTTCATTATGAACTTCAAGAAAATATGGCAGCCATTTTGGATTTATTTCAATCGGATGATGATATTCGTGTACTCAAATCTGGTCAAAAAATAAAAACATCGGCAACAGCAACAGCAACGACAAAAACAAAAACTGGAACTACATCTCATGAATCTGAAGATGATACTGTTACAATTCATATTGAACAAGAAGGACTTGATGATGATGATGATGGATCGGCAACCGTTGTTATCCCTAAACTTCGAGATATTTTTGCAACACTTGGTGACAATAGTCCATTATTATTTTTTCAGCGTTCATTCAATGACAAGAAAAATAATCAATCCAAATCGTCCAATCATTCAATGAATAACAAGGCATCAAATACATCCACTGATACTACTCCTCCATCGTCGTCACCAACTCCATCTTTAGATAACATGAAAGTGATACATTCCATTGATAACAACCCAACAGCTGAGATCCAGAACGAGGATCATTCTAACGTGCCTACAACCAGTACCATGGATTCGGAGGGAGGCATCTGTCTAGGCCGCGAACATCGTCTCATACTTTCTCAAGCCATTCTTCATGCTGCCGATATAAGCAACCCACTACGTCCTTGGCCCATCTGTTATCATTGGTCACAACGCGTATGTACGGAATTTTTTCATCAGGGTGATATGGAACGAGAAAATCATTTACCATTGAGTCCTAATATGGATCGACGTAAAACAAATCAGCTCGCTGTGGGTCTTCAATTCAGTGATTTCGTCGTCAGTCCTTACTTTGAAATCTTTGCTGCCCTTTTTCCAAAAGCAGATGACTTGGTTGTCTTGTTGAAAAAAAATCGACTTCGATGGCTTGAAACAATCCAAGATGAAAACAGGAAACGAATGGAATGGAAACGTCACCCCACTGCTATTGAAAACATAAGCAAGGAGAATGATATGGTGAATTATGATCATGATGATAAAAGTACCAAAACATTCGATCAAAAGGGTGACGAAAATGATTATGATGAAGATGAATTTGATGATTATGATCATCTTTCTTCTCCTTTGGTCCCTGAGGGTGTCATCAATCCTGCTGGACGTCGTGTCAGTGTAGCAGCTGGTATGGCAGTGATTCCAAACGATTTAGAAAAACGAGTCATTGGATCAGGACCTAGGCGTCGTGTTTATTGGGGTGTCCGTAGTGCCAGCTATGCAGATGCCCTTCATCATTTAAAGACTCAGGAACAACGTGTTTACCATCATCGTGGGCCATCACAACGATCTGCTTCTTTAGCTGGTGGTTATCTTTATGGTTATCATGATACCATGAGAAGGCGGAGCAGTGAACAGCCATCTTTACATTAAAACACACCACTTTCGACTTTTTTTTTTTTTGTAGCTCAATATCTGTAGATAGAACTTTTTCTTCCCTCATCATACTCACAATTTCTTTTTTTTTTTATTTTTTTTTATTTATTTATTTACTTTTCTGTAATAAACGTTCTGATGCATCGATAGAGCTTTATGGAACAGATTTGTATGAAAAAATTTTTCTCATCTTTGTCCATTATCAATAATCATCCACCGTACTATTATTATGAAAGTATTCATTCTTTATTGTTCAGACAAGAATAACCAAACTCTTTATGGAAAAAGATGCCCAGGAGAAAACGATCAAAAAGGAAGCGCGTTTGTAAACGCCGATTAAATGATGTCATTCGTACCGGCTATCATCTATTATTTTTAGTCTGATGAAAATATAAAAATTAAAGAATCATTTTCGCCCCTTTTATTTCTCTCCTTCTTCCCCAATTATTTCCTTTATATACCATGACGTCTCTTTTTTTTATTTTTTGTCATGTTTATTTACTTACTTCGTTCCTTCAGCCTGTGAGTGCGTTAGATATCACGATACAATTCATACATCAATTCATACAGCAAGTGATCAGCAGTAAAGTTAAACTAGCGGAGAGAGAAATCAATAATAACACTCTCCACAAATGGATGAACGATATTCATATTGTGATTCAAATCACGATCAGTCTTACACTTTTGATTGCCCGTACTTTTGTCTTGCTTTCTATTATATTGATCATGGCCTCTATCGAAACCTATGTCACTTATCGTGGCGTCTTTAATGCACTACCCATAAAAGTAAAAATGATTGCACCAAATACACCACAAATAAAAACAACAACAACAACAACAACAACAACAAATAAAACAGGTACCTTGACACCAGTACCTATTGCCGAAATGGTGACTTTGGTACAAGCTGCATCTAATATACACGACACCAATGAAAATAATTCGACCAGTACAACAAAGGAAATTGAACAAAAAACAGATCATCATTCCATCATTAGTCTTCCTGCTTCACCTCAGTTGTTACCAACACCACCTTCAGAAAAAGAAGAACAACAGGGAAACGATGATTCTTCAATCCTGATGAATAACAATCACCTGGTTGATAAAGAAGAAAACGTTGTACAACCTGCAACCACAACAAAAGAAACGATTGATGCACCGAGTCAACCCACACCACCTGACAATGATGATTTTTTTTCAGAGCAACCATTGAAACAACAACAAAAGCAACAAATAATAATCATGACAGAAAATAGCAATGAATTACAAGATAAGCAAATTTCTTCACCTTTACCAAATATTGAAAACACAACCGTACTTTCATCAAAGTCAGTCTTGGCAGAGTTACCATTGCAACCATTGGCGGACTGTGAAAGCAATACTAGCAGCACTACGACTACTGATGATAAAAACATTATTACGAACAATGATAACATTCATAACTCAACATCAGACTCTATCGTTCTGGTACCATCGCCATGTTCAGCTATTTCATCATCACATGATGATGATGACTTTAGAATACAACAACAACAAGGATCAGTTCAGGGTACAGAACAAAAAGAATTCGATCACGTTGTTGAACTAACCGCAATTAACTCTTCGTCGAATATGCCGACGGATTCTCCAAATCAAATACAAGATACAATTGTCATGGATGATACGGATGAAACCAATCATACAAATGCCAATATCATGAATACTGAAGAGGAAAAAAACCATACAATACTCAATACCACGGATACAGAAGAGGAAAAGAATCATCATCATCATCATCTAGGACCATCCAACACAGCGGCAATATCATCATCTTCTCCTTCTATCTCCATGTCATCTTCTTTGTCCACGTTGAATCCATCCTCTGACAAAGTTAACATGACTGATCAAAATAAACGTCGGTCATATAATCAATTACACCAAAAAACTGAAAAGGAATCTCATACCGATATGAATCCTTTATCTGGTCCAGCACCTGTTAGTTCAAGTTTATCGATGAAACTCAATAAGTTAAAACAGCCGGGAAGAAAACTCAGTCAATTATTTAAAAAGAAAAATAAAAAGTAATAAAAGTGGAAGATTATATTATTTTATCCTGTAATAAAATAGTTGTAATGAAATTGACATAGAGACATTGGATAAAAAGGAAAGGAAAGAAAAAAAATTTTTTTTATTGTTATTTTGTAAAACCAAATAGAAGGACCATAGGAATTAAGAGAGAAAGAAATATCATTGATATATATATGTGTTATTTATCGTGGTGGTCGTTTAGTGGTATAAGGTGAAGGCAAACAGGGCTAAAATAAAAATAAAAATAAAAATAAAAATCAATTTTTATGCATATATATATATATTTACCTTCAAAGGTCTTTCTTTAGGCATAATAATAGCTAGTAAATAAGAGATCAAAATTTTTGTTGGAAGTAAGAAAAAAGAGATAAACTAGACTCTCTTATTTATATTCTTTATAATTGTTGTCGATTTAATTCTACGTTCTCTCTCTCTCTATATCTTTTGTTGGGGTTTTATTTGACAACTCTTTTTTTTTTTTTTTTTTTCAATGTGGTCAATCCATACATAGTTTTGATAGTTTCAAGTCACTGACCTGTTTAAAACTCCGTAATCAGTAACTTAAGTTTTGTACTTTTGTCTATTCATTTTCTTTTTTTTTTCTTTTCTAGCAACACAAATAATGGACGATCCTAATGCTGACACTGAATGGTAAAGAAGAAATAAAGAAAGAAAGAAAGAAAAAGAAAAAATAGGTCACTAGAAAATTGATTTTATTTATTAGGAATGATATTCTCAGAGCAAAGGGTATTTTACCACCAAAGGACGAAAAAAGTAAAGATGAAGTGGAAGATTGGTATACAGATGTAGTACGAGCGAAACAGGAACAAGAACAAAGCCTGGATAATAAAACCTTGGATGAACTGGATGAATTAGAAGATGAACAAGACGATCGCATTTTACTTGAATACAGGTATAATTCATCTCTCTCTCTCCTTTTTTTTTTTTTTTTTTTTTTTTGGTGTCGAACTGGTTGGGTGTGGGAATTCAATCAATCAATAACTTTTATTATACATTTGGAATAGACAAAAGAGAATGCAGGAAATGCAAGCAGCAGCAGCCAAAAACAAGTTTGGTGTAGTGACTCAAATATCCAAGCCTGATTTTATCAGGGAAGTGACTGAAGCTAGTAAAGAATACCATGTTGTTGTTCATCTTTACCAAGACTAGTAAGTGTATACATTATGATTTGTTATGTTTATTTTTTTTTTTTAATATAAATTTCTATATATATATATATATATATATATATATATATATATATTTAGTATTCCAGCCTGTAAATTGATGAATCAATGTTTAGATCAACTTGCTAATGAATTCAAAGCGACCAAATTTGTGAAAATTATTGCAGATCAATGTATTCCTAATTATCCTGATCGAAATGTACCTACTTTATTAATTTATGGTGAAGGGGATATTAAGGCAAATCTTGTTGGAGCTATTCAATTTGGTGGAATGGAAATGACAGTTCGAAGTATTCGATCTATTTTGGCAAGACATGATGCTGTGCCTGCAGAAAAGGTAGTGGATCCTGAAAAAGAAAAAAAGAAAACCATTTATCGAACTCAAGCTACTGCAGCTCTTAGTAGTGATGAAGATGATGAAGATGATGATGATAGAGGTTATTATTAGATTTATATCATTTTTAGTTTTTAGTCTTTATGTATATATATATATATTTCTCACTTGTTTTCTTTTTATTTATTAAAGCATATATATTTTTTATGATGATGATGATGAAGATACTATTCATTTTTCATCATCGCATCACCTATACTTTTTTTTTTGTATTCCATTGGAACTGATGATCATGACATACAAAACTATTGATCATCTAGTCAACATATCACATTTGGAAAAAAAAAAAAGGATATGTATAATGTAGTCTAGTAGTGTTAGAAACCGTATTGCAAATTGGGAAAAGAGAAGTAGAGAAGCACCAGTTACAAAAGTCATAAGAAACCAGTTGTCAGAGTTATAAGTGATGCCGCATCTTTTTGATAAAGTTATTGTCATTACAGGTTCAGTAAAAAAAAAAAATTCTGGAAGGGAAAAATCCAAAACAGCGGAGATATCATATAGGCACAATGAAAAAAAAAAAAAAGAAAACACGAAGCGCGCGACTATTTTTTTTTTTCTTTTTTTACTTTTTACTTTTTCTTTGTTTTATTATATCATGGAAGAATATATGACTACTTTATCACCAAGAAAAGTAGAACAAAATAATAATATTATATCTTCAAAAACTAATGTTTCTCCATTCCTTGATGCTTGTCGAACTGCTCATGAAAACGCTACAAAAGAATTTGATCAGTTTTATGGTTACATATCAAAAGTCATGACTCCTAGACGTTCACAACAACAACAAGTAAGAACAATATTAAAACTAACTAAAACAATACTTATGTTTTTATTTTATTTAGAATAATCGTATAAATAAAATCCATAAAAAAACACCAAGAATAACTTCAAGAATAAAACAAGAACTTGAACAACGACACAATACTACTAAAAACTCTTCTTCACTTACACCACTTATGGAAAGACAATCCTTGGCAACTCAACCAATTACTTTTATGCATGACACTCCAAATACAAGTAAAAATAAAGAAAATATATTTATAAAATATAAATTCAAAAAAAAAAAAACAACTTATTATTGTTCTTTATAGGTAATCGATATATTACTAGTCCTACAACTTATCGTCATCGACGTCAACAAGATTATCCACCCCCAAGGCCAATGACTTTGACACCTGAAACTATACGAACAAGTTCAACTAACAATAATAATCTTATTCTTGATGCTGATAATGATATGGAAGAGGACCGTTATCAAGGAAGAAGAAATACCTATATACATAGTCCACATCGTACTGCTCCAAGTTCAAGTCGTTCTAGTACTACACCTTCACGATTATTCAACTATTCATCCATTATCAACAATGAAGATATTGTCGCGTCCTGTCCTTCTTCACCAAGTGTTGTTTTACATGATCAGCTACTCGATGAATCACGACGATTGGAACTCCTTCAGCAGAAAGTACTTCTTGTTCAACAACAATCCTCGCTATTGGCCAATTTTACTACTACTACTACTACTACTAATGTTTCGCCATCCTATGAAAGAACAGCTCTATTCAAGAACAAAAGTCTGGACCAATTGGATGAACCTATCACTACATCGGTACCATCAACTCATTCTTCACAATATGCCAACCCATCTCGTTCCAGTGCAACAAAATATTATCCTACACCAACTTCTTCTTTGACTCAAACTACAAATGTCCCAAAACAATCATTATCGTCTATTCCATCACCACCACCACCTCCTCCTCCAGTATTTACGACAAGTACTCCACTAACTGTTCCAATCTCCTCATTCCCATCTGATCAAAACCCTCGACATCCTGTATTTTCAGCACCCTCCGCCAAACTTGCATCCTATTCAACTTCATTATCAACACCTATACCGTCCAATCGATCTTCCATCCATCATACCTCTAAGACTGAACCTGGATTGATACCATCCTCATCGCCACTTGGACAACAGAAACAGACCATGACTAACGTATTAAGTGATATTCCCAAAGCTAAATTACGATCTGCTGAAACAATTACGTAAGTGAATGTTGTGTATTTATTGAAAAAATAACAATATTGAGATGTTGAACAAAAAAAACTAATTATAATCTATATACATGTATGTATCTATAGAACTCCCAATGGTAGTCGAATCAAGAATAAATTCTGGTCAGAAATCCATGGTTCAAAAAATGATACATCATCATCATTTGATGCTAGTCAAAGGAAAAGAAAGAATTTGGAAGATGAAGAATTATTCTGGATGAATAAAGATGATCAACCAAAGGAAAGTCAGTGGAAGGATCGATTGGAAAAAGTGAAAACCTTGGATCAAGAACTATATCAAGCAAACGATAAGTACACCCAATGGCAACAAGATGAACAACAACGACATATTCAATCTCGGGCCTTTTCCTTACAACACAAGCCTCATCCATCTGATTTGTTTGAAGAACTATCTCATACTCTGAATCAACAAGCCAAAAAAAATCAACACAACAACGAAGGACAACAAAGAATGATTGATGGTGACGAATGGACTTTTGGTGGCCAACATTATTCTGTACAAGAAAGAAAATGATCCTCTTTCCCAATCTTATGTTAGTAGTTTCTTTATTTAGATTGTTTATAAATAATAAACATAAAAAAGAGAAAATACTATTATTCCTTTTTTTACTTTTTTATTGAAATCTTTCTATTTACATCTGTGGAATAAGTGGTAGTTTAAAATGGTTGTCGTATCAATGTATTTCGGTAAGGTATTATGAGAGAAGAAATTGGAATCTATGATGTGACCAAGAGCTTGAGTCATACGTCTTATCAGTTTTCTATCAGTACTTTTCATTGCTACCAGAGGAGACATTCCCTTTGGCTTAGATTCAAATACTTGATACACCTGACAAGAGGGAAATCCATGGATTTTTGATAGTGAAAACCATAGGGCACGGGTTTGTGATATATTACAATGCCCTACCAAAAAAAAAAAAGTTACATTTTTGATTTCAGTACCACAGGAATCAGTTTTTTTTTTTTTTTTTTTTTTTTTTGGCTTTCAACTTACCGAAGGCCAGTAAGCATCAACTCGTTTTTGCTACGAGGAAGGAGAAGGACAAAATACTGGAGGTCGAGGATAACCGTTCACCATACTGATGGCAATCCCATGAATGTTTCTTGATGCATTGGCATCCCGCTGCCATACGGTACCACAAACTTGACAATTGAGCACTGCATGCAATCGGTCACCATCATTTGTTACAACATTTCGCATTTCTTTTTGACCACAGTTGGAGCAAACTTTGCTTATGTTGTATTCATTCATAGGAATCAAGACTAGCTTCCCTTCATTTTCCGCCCGTTTGAGAAGCTTCCTACACCGATCAGCTAAACCAGAGACCTTTCCGCGCATAGTCATGTTGAATTGAGCCGCCCCGTAACATACCACTGGTACTCGTCCATCATGATAGGGATGTTGTTTTCGCCATTTCGAAACATGATCGTTGTCACGTTTTGCTGTTCAACAGGATTCTGTCGTCTTCGCCTTCTGTATCTGGGAGGTCTTGGTTGATTTCTTCGTTCAGGTCGTCCAGCACCATACTTGTCACCGCCGCGAATAAATACATCTACTAATTCTTGATCCATGCGTTGTCGACCAATATAGTTGAGGAATCGTAGACCAGCTACGTTGTGGGAGTAGAATTCTAATAGACGAGGCAATACAGTCAGAACAGATTCAATGTAAACATTGATGTCAGCCATGGACGCCACCTTTTTAGGTGCAATTGAGGATTCGAGAGTTTGGATGTCTTCGTTTCGCTTGAGCTGTAGTATCTTTCTGTTTGTTTCCTTGAAACCAGCCGTTGTATAGTATTCAACTGTAGATATCGACCGGATTTCATGTCTTTGTCGTGCTTCCTCGTTATCATCACGGAAGCCAGGTAACCATCCAACAGCCACAGGATCTTGATCTTCAGTATTTGCATCAGTAGCGTCATCATCATCGTCACCAACATTGTCGTCGTCACCTTGTTCGCTACCTTGATCTTCATCCCGATGGTCATATGTCATGTAGTCGGAACCATCACTTGCAACAAAGACATCGGTAAGTCCTGGATCAACTCCCCAAAAACGAAATACTTCCAGTTCCCAATCGGCAAAATCTTGAGGCTCCAAGTCAGGCAACTCTGATTCATGTTTTGCTTTTTGGAATAAGACACTCGTACCAAATCCATCCGTCATAATCATGTTATTGAATACAACGTTTCTAAAAAAAAAAAAAGAAAAAAAAAAAAAAAAAAAAAAAAAAAAAACTATAGAAAACTATCAGCTTGTGCTATCTATCATAAAAAATCAATTGTGAGACTTCCCAAAATGGAAAATCGTGTAAAGATAATAAAAAAAGAATTGAGAATCAGTTCAGATCCTTTCGTTCAAATTTCTCATCCCTTATAGTTCTTTTACATACATCCATAGCACAAGCGCGTAACCTATATTTCTTATTCCATTTGTAGAGAAGCTATCCTTGAAGTAATCAACGATGAAAGGCAGCGGCTACTAAAAGCAAAAAAAAAAAGAATTTCGATAATGTTGCATTTTTACATTAAAGACAGTCTATAATCGGTAATTTTTCTTTTCTTTTTTATTTCTTTTTTATCACAATAAAGTACAGTTTTGCTTTAATGTTGAAAAGGAAGACAAAATGGTTGAATAAACTGTTGATGATATCATCTTGTCATTTTTCATACTCTTTTACTGCATGATGCAGTCATCATTTGATCGCACCCTGAAAAATCCGTATAGCCGCGTAAGAATAATTCTATAATAAAAAATTTTTTTTTTATTTTTTCTTTTTCTTCCTTTCTTTTTCAGTTTCAACAACTTTTCCCTATCTTTCTTTTGGGTCAATTGTTTTTATCCATTCTTCTTCTTGTCCTATTGTTCCTTTTTATGTTGCGCTGTTCCCGTTTCACTGTAATATAGATTCTGTTTATTTCAACCCACGTTCGTCGACCAATAGGTATATAAACATCGTTTTGTTTATTCTTCACACTAAATATTTTTTTTTATTTACCAGAGACGACCGACAACAACAAGTTACGTTTAATAAGGTAAAAATCAGCACGTTTTATATAACTTTTGGACTAACTAACATCTTACATTGTTTTCGTCTTTAGAATCAACAAAGTTTGGATTGGGTATCGACTTTGTAAACTGTGACCATCATTCAAAAGGTACGCATTCAAGGATAAGTAAGCGATAAAGAAAGGCACTAGCGTATCCGATACAAGACGACGACCAATATCATCAACAAGAGATTAACAACCTGATATACATAAATCCGCTTTCGAATCTTCCGACAGTATTAGCACATCGACGCTTTGTGGCCATAATTCCATAAAATATCAAAACAATGTTAGGTTATCAAGGAAATACTGAAATGGTGGATGGACCTGCGTGTCCAATTTTTTACGACGTACTCTAGTTTTGTGAATTTGGGACTACAAGGTAATTAAGAAAAGAGGTGTCCGTGTATAGTGATGTGTAGCGATGGAATGGAATAATAGGATGATGTGATAATGTGATGATGGGATGAATGGGAGGAGAAGGAACCAAACAATTAACTATTTCGATTCTTTTACATATATGTTATTTGGATAACCTTACGAACCGACATCGATCTGACAAACTTATGCAACTTGACAGACGGCGTTTCCATCAACTTTCTATTTGCAAGATTCTCTACTCCACATCAACTACAAGTCACTACGGCAAATTTCAACTCATGAATACCGAAGTTGTATTGGATTGATTAGACACCAACATTTGGAAATCAAGAAAGCTACGACGATGGTGCTCGATGATGACAGTTGGCTATGATCTTATGACCGAAAGTGAACGAAAGCAGAATATGCTGCGCGTCCAACTTCAATCAACGGAAATTACATGTCAACGATGGATGGATCAGTGCAATTTACTATAGAAAAACTTACTTGATCAAGCTGTGATAGGTTAGAAAAAAAAAAGGAGAGCAGGTTATTTTTTTTTTTTTTTGAAAATAGGTTGACCATTAGGATCTTTTGGAATAGATGGCTTCTATATGTATTTTCTGTATACAGTGTTATGTTTATAGTTTTAGTTCAGTATATATCTTAGTTTAGCTGATGAAATCAATGAATAAAAAAGTTTAAATCATTTCTTTTTTTTACTAGTCTTTATTAGTTACATTTTATTGGATCAAGACAGTTTTAGATAAGTGCTTACAAACGCATATTTTATTGTATTACGGTAGTCTGAAAAGATATCTTGTATGTTATGACTCTATGATGTTGGGATGAATAGTTTTGATGAATTTGGATAGAGAGAAAACTCGAAAGCATATGGTTTTTAGGGCATACTTATTTTCCATCGACGGAGTTGAAAAAAAAAGAAAAATGAGTTAATCGACATATCAATAATGAGGGATTATTTTTTTTTTTTTTGATACTTACAGTCCAACACTATACAAGTGTTACCTTCCCTTTCAAACCTCCAGCATGAAGAGAAGATCGTTCGAATTGTTGAATTGTTTGACAAAAGGCGAGCTGTTCATATCCGATGATGGCTATGTTGATAGAGGCATTTTCGTCTCGTCCTCTGGCGGCATATCCATTCTTCCGGCTGATGCAATCAGGGTTGATGCAAACAACCGTTCCTAAATTGGTGATCTTCTTTGATTTGTCCTTGTTTGTCTTGACAGGATGAACCATGGGCATGTGACAGAAGGCACACAATTTTGAAGAACGATACTCATCAATAGACACCACTGTAGCTTTTTCAGAGAGTTTCCCAATAAAAACATCATGACTGCCACGAGTATGGCCACCGATTCTTGATCCATATCCACGTCCAGCATCACCGTAGAAGCAGATTGCCTTCTGACCTCCTACTAAACTTTTGGCTGACTTGGCGTACGCTTTTTCTGTTTGACACAATCTTGTTCTGCGTTGTCGTTTTAGCCAGTTGGTTGTATGATAAAAGTCTAGTAATGGTTGTCTGCTACGCTTGCTGATCTGATTTAATAGTAATTGTAAAAAGAATAAAAAATGAGTGGGATTTTTTTTTTTTTTTTTTTTTTTTGCTGTTAGCGTAGTAAAGCCTACCCGATGGTATTCCTTCTCGTTCTCGATATTGTTGCTGTATAACGTTTTCATCATAGACCGAGATAAGTCAGCTTCGATATTTTGAACAGACTTTGTTCCATTCTTTTGACACTATTATATTACGGGAAGTTAGATATTGTGTTGTATTTTCTGATGCGATTTCTTTTTTTTATTCTTTTACTTACTTGGAGGTGATTGCACTTTTTTCGATATTCTAGGGTTCGAGAGAATAATGACAATCCAGAGTCGGTACGCAATTGATTCGTCTTTATGCTTCTCACTTTGGTCTTGAATATGGTGCCAACATCGTCAATTTCCATTGCGTTGCCGGGATCTGTTGTTGTACGTGATCGAATATATTTCACCTGTTCTTGAGTAAGTGCGACACATTGAGCCATTGTAACTAATCCAGGATCGATTCCAATAAACTTTTCAATACTGTCGATATCAGGCTTTGTCGTACAAATGGTTGGTGTCATCGCCTTGTTGTCACTGCTGCCAAATATGTCTTGGCATATATTCATCTTTCTTTTTCGATGATCCATAATCGAACATTTTGT